CCGCGCGCAGGAACATAAGAGCTTCGAACGTAGCATCGTGGTCCGCTTCGCGTTCGTCGGCCGTTCCGCGAGAGTGGCCTTCTGGCGGTATGGCTACAACGTCCATCGCCGCCAAACGCGTGCTTCGTGTCCACGCGCGCAGGCCCGGCGTACAGAGGTCCCGCGCCCGTTTGCAGGTCGCTGCCAGCGCGGCGAGCGGTCTTGCCATGGAGCATTCATTTTCGTAATTTCCCGAAGCCTCGTCCACAACCCCCGCCAGACCTCGCGAGAGAGCCCAGATCGGCCGCGTCGCCGCGTCGCCTCGCAGCCGATCCAAATAGAAATTGCCAAGAAGGTCCGGATCGTCCCCCGCCGCTTCCGCTTCCTCGCCGGTGACGAGCTCGACGTCGAGCTGGTCACCCTCCACCAGCCCCAGGTCCGCGGCCGTCTGCTCGGCGTGGACGCGCGAGCCTTTAAATAGGAAGCAGCGCGAGTCTACGTCCTCGCTCTTCGCGTAGGCGTCGAAGAGCGCTTGCATCTTGGTCGTCGAGTTGACCTTAAACGTTTGCTTCTTCCCCTGCTGGTCGCAGGCATGGACAGTGATCGCGGCGCGCGCGGCGGCCGGCGCTTGGGCCGGCGCCGCCATTGCGCGCGCGAGTCGCGGTCGCGCGGCTGGCAATCCCGCACGCGGCGCCGGGACTGCTCGTTCGGGCGTGAGCCTGTCGGCACCCCAATCGACCGAGGAGCCGGGCGGACTTGGGTGAGCACCGGTTCGTCGATCAAACAGCTCCAAGAGCGTTGCGGCGCGGGCTGCGGGGCAGCGCTTTCGCTCGCGCGGCACCGGATCCGGAGACCACTGCAATTCTAGTGTCTTACAAGCGCTAGCTGCGCGCCGGCGCGGAGCATCTGCGGTCGGGGCAGAGTGGCGTAGACCGGGGCACGGCTAGAGAAACGAAAAGTTAGGGTATCACATCGCGAACGGGTCGAACGTCTTCACCGGCACGGCGACGACCTGCTTCGGCGAGGCCGCCGGCGGCGGCGCGACGACCGGCGCCGCGCGCGGCGGCGACGGCGCGACGACGGCCGGCGGCTTCGCCGTCGCGCCGTCCTCGAGGAAGCCGTCGAGCTCGGCCATGTCGTCGTGCTTCGGCGAGGGCGGCCGCGCCGCCGCGTGGCGTTCCGCGACCTCGCGCCGCTTCCGCTCCTCGCGCAGCCGCTTCGCGGCGGCCGCGGCCTTCGCCGCGGCGCGGGCGCGCGCCCGGATCGCCCGCGGCGCCTCCACCTTTTTGCCCTCGGCGTAGATGTCGCCGCCCGTCAGCGACGCGATCGGCGTCTCGACGAAGGGCCCCTTGTGCGCGAGCTGCCAGCCGCCCGTGTCCGGCTCGTCGCCGACGGGCGTCCGCTCCCACTCGCGCTTGTCGATCGTAACCTTCAGAATGTCCACCAAAGCCTTCTTCACGCATCCGCCGTCACGGCCGTCCGAGTAGTCGCACGCCGGGCTCGAGTTCACTTCAATCAACCAGGGCCGCAGCTCCGCGTCGACCATGAAGTCGTAGCCATACAGCTCCCAGGAGTTCTTCCGGTGCTCTATCGAATCGCGCGCGGCCTGGAGCACCTCGACGGCAATTTTGCGCATCTCCGGTTGCACCACATCAGTGAAGACGTCATCAGAGTCTTTACACATGCGTAACCTATCCGTCGTCGCGTCCGTCCGCGCCATCTTCCAGTCCAGAAAACCGGCAAAGTCCTCTTGCGTCCACATGCAGTCCTCGATGCTCACACCGTTCTCCGCTTCGATGTCATCATGGAAGTTCTCCCCATCCTTTTGTATACTATTATTCACCAGGTGCACGAAGGGATTTTCCAAGGATTCCCGCGCGTCCGTGAACTTATGGGACGTGAACCGCGCGTAGCACTCGTCATAGAAATAGATCGTGAGGGGGTTCCAGTCCGTCACGAGGACCCACTGCCTCAGGTCGAACTTCCGCTCCGCAATTAACAACTGCGACTCCATGCGCTCTGGACGATCCAGAGCGCGCCCGAGCCGCCCGTCTTCGGCGTCGCAGTGGTCCAGTAGTCTATCCAAATCATCAAAGGTCGCGATGCCTCTCCCCCTTGATTTCGCGGCGGGCTTGGCGATCCAGGTATTTCGCGTCGAGGCGGGGCCACCATTAAGCTGGTGCTGCGGGTCGAGGGAACTCAACTGCGCCAGGACCGCCTCGATCTCCTTCCTCAGATCATCTTTCAACGGGGAGGGCGCGCGCATCAAGTTGCGGCGCGCCTCCTTGCGTCTCTCGGTGAGCTCGGCCTTCCGGATTCTCTCCAACTTGTCTTCCCGCGCGCGCGCGAGGATGGACCCGGCCTGGTCCAACGAGCTCCGCGTCTCTTCTTCGTCGGGTACGTCTTTCAAATGCAACAGATCATCCAAGGTCGGGGGCATGTCCTTCGGCAGGGCCAGGGAGCAATCCACCCGACCCTGGGCGTGCCTCAAAGCTTCCCACTCGAGGTCCGTGACTAACCTATCAGAGTAGCCCGAACCCCCGTCCAGCTCCGTGTCGTCATCAACTAGCACCCGCAGCTTCTTCCGGCAGACCCGCAGCGCGATCCGCAGCAATTCCTCGTTGAACAACAAGGGCGCCTCCTTGTCTCCTAAGACACCGTCGAGTTCGTCCATCTCCAGACTATCAATGTCCGACGCGTCGTCGGCCGGCGCGGGCGCCTCGGCGACGGGCGCCGGCGCCGGCGCCTCCGCGACGTCGTCGGTCGACTCCATGTTCATTTCGTCGGCGGACGCGGCGGGGTCCGTCACCTCCGAATCTGACTCGGACGAGTCCTCCGAGGACGACTCGTCGCTGGACGAGGCCCCCGCCAGGCTCCTGATCACGTTCTTGAGGCACTTCTCCGCTTCCAATCCGCGAAAGTCGTCGAGGAAGCCCCGGAAGCTATGCGGGGACGACAGGTCGTAGGCCCGCGGGTAGACGTGGTCGCTGTGGTCGTCGCAGTGCCAGTGCAACTCACACAAGCTACGCGTCAGGCCCGCCTTCGTCGTAATCGCCGTGTTTTTGAGGAAGTGGTTCGTGAGCTGGTTCGGCTTGATGCCTTTGTCGATGTCGTTGCTCCGCAGCGTCCACTTCAGGTCGTAGAACGTCGACTCGCGGTCGTCATTGAAGTGCCAGCCGCGCTCGAGCAACGCGTCTTTCACACAAGGGTACCAGCCCGTCATGCAAAAAACCTTCGTGTCCTTCGATAACCCTAACTTGCGCTTGTAGTCCTTGAAGTCCCTTCCCACAGCACCGGTGGGCTGGTCCTTCTCGGACACCTTGTTGAGTCTAGCTATGGCCTCGGCCTGCTGCTCTCTTCTTAGTCGTCTTCGTTCTTTCTCCTCCTCGGTCAGCACGGGCTTCGCGGGCGCTTCTTCCTTGGCCGCGACCTTGCGCACGGGCTCGTTCTCCTTGTCCTCGCCCCTGTCAACGAGTTCCTTGGGCCGCTCGCGGTTCAGGACGCGCTCCCTGACTAATTCCTGGCGTCGTAGTAATCTCTGGGCCTTTTTCTGCTCGGCCTCGACCTTCGCGCGCTTGTCCGCGGCGATCTTCTCGAGCTGGAGCCGCGTCCGCTCCTGGCGGAGCCTCGCCTGCTCGGCGCGCTTCCGCTTGAGCGCCTCCTTGGCCTCCTCGGCGTTCAGGAAGTCCTCGTCGGTCAGCACGTTCTGCTTCTCGAGCACGTTCCGCTCGGCCTGCTTCAATAAAGAGGCGGCCTTCGCCGCCGAGCCCTGGACGACGTCCGCCACCACCTCGCCCAGTTCCTCCTTCCGCTTCAGCGCCTCCTCGCGGCGCTGCCGCGCGCGCCGCAGGCCGTTCTCGCGCACTTTGCGCTTGAACTCGTCCTCCTTCGCCTTGTCGTCCTCGGCGGACGCCAAATCCTGCCGTCTTTTAAGAGCCAGCGTCTTCATCAAGCGTTTGTACTGCTGCTTCTGGCGCCGCCGCGTCTCGCGCACCCGCGCCTCCTTCGCGAGCTGCTCCTCCTCCGGGTCCGCCTCTTCTACCTCTTCTTGCACGGGTGCCGGCGGCGGCACCTCCCGCATGGCCTTGCGCGCTTCCGCCGCCGCTAATAACTTCGCCTGCTTCTTCTTCCGCCTTCTAGCCTCCTTCTCCCGCAGGAGCTCCTCCTGCTGCGCGCGCTGCTTCTCGAGCTGCACCTTCTGGAGGTACTGCTGGTGCCGCTCCGACGCGTCGAAGCCGTGCCGCTGCGCGTCGGCCTCCTCCTCATCCTCGGCGAAGAGCTCGCGCGGGTCCTCATCAAAATCGTCCATGGCGTCGTCGCTCCCGGAGTCTCCATCGTCGTCCCACGGCACGATGGGAATGGGATCCTTGGCGCCGGGCACCTCCGGCGAGAATCCCGTGAAGACGCCCATGGTCGCGAAGACCGCCGCCGGCGCCGCGTCCCCAACACCGGGTGGGGACGGGAGGAGCCGGTTGGGGTCGAGGTCCTGGGCCAGGGCCATCCTTGTACGGCGGCGTGGGGCTGCCCCTCGCACGGCTCGCGGGCGCGTCGGTGTGGTCCAGCGCCAGAAGCCGTCACCGCGCGAGCGCTGCGGTCGTCGAGAAGCGGATTTTGGCAGCTCGGCCTTGGCAGCCAAATAACCGCCGGAGGGTTTTCTCAAACGCTGCCCGCTAGCCAGGCGTCGAGGGGCGCCGAGGAGCAGTCGGAGGACGCCTCGTTTGTTGAGCCCTGGGCGCGCGCGCACCGGGCGGGTTTGGTTTGGTTGGCGCCAGTACGAGCTTAAGCGCTTGTAATCGGGCCGCGAAGGACCGCATGGATCCCGCGAGGGAGCCCCGAGACCCCGTGCCGGAGGGGCAGCCCGGGGCCGCGAGCACGGATGCGTCCCGGGAGCCCGCGAGGGAGCCACGCCCCGCGACGCCGCCGGGGCAGCCCGGGGCCGCGGGGACCGCACGGATGCGACCCGGGCGCCTACGCAGCACCGCGTCGTGTTCGAGGTGCTGGCGGAGCCGCAGCCGAAACCGATGAAGCGGATCGAGTTCGCGATCGACGGCCGGGCCGCGGAGGAGGAGGAGGCCCAGCGCATGTCGATGCGCGAGTGGTTCGCGGGCGCGGGCGACGACGTCCTGACCTACGACCAGGTCATGGCGCGCCTGCCGCCGCCGCTGCCGCGCGACGACGCCGCGGCGCGGGCCTACGCGCCGCGGCCGACGCTGGCGCGCCGCCGCGCGTCTGGGCCGGCGCCGGCGCCGAGGCGTGCTCGCCGTGCCGCGCGCCGCACGCTGAAGCCGTGGACCTCGGGTCGCCGGCGAGCCCCCGCGTCGAGGACGTGCCCGCGCGCCGCGAGGTCGACATGGCTCGCATGCCCGAGCCCGACGTCGAGACCCTCGAGGCGTCCATGCGTGCGCTGCAAGCCGAGATCGAGCGGCGCGAGCGGCGGCGCGGCAAACGTCCTCCGCCGCGGCCCGGGGCCCGGCGCATCTTCGGCGACGTGAAGAATCGCGTGGCGTAATATGGCTGTTCTGTGGATTCTTCTCGCCGCGGTTTCTTCGGTCGCCGATCGCAGCGGTCGGTCGTGCAGAATCTTGCGTGGAGGTCCGGGTACCGCGACGCGTAGCAGGCGGGCGACTCGTCGTGCGTGAAGCGTGAAGGCGCCCGCGGAAGCGACCGCGAGGAGGCTAGCGCGCGCCATCCTAGGCTCGGAGCCTGGCGACCTGTCTTGTCTTGCTTGTCGGCGGGGTCTGGAAGAGAGCACCGCCCCCGCGTCGCCGCTCGCGCGAAACGTGCGACATTACGCGCTAGCGGCTGTAAGACACTAGCAAATGGGCTGGAGCCGAGGGCTGTGCTGCGCAGGCGGGCGGGCGGGCACGCACGAGATTCGCTTTGACTGATTTTCGACGCAGGAGCTGCACCACTCTTTGGTCCGGTAAGAACCCGCACTAGTTAAGACGTCTGGCGTGTAGCACAAGCATCGGAGCAGTGCAGCCTGTGTGCAGAGCTTGCCGCGGGCGGCCCGAGAGACGCAACGCAAGCACCCATGGACGCGGCCCCAACACAAGCAATGGTGGAGCCAAAGAAACTGAAGGTCGTCGAGCTGCGCGCCGAACTGAGAAGGCGGGGCCTGGCCGCGACGGCCTCAAGGCCGTGCTCGTCGACCGCCTCCAGGCGGCGCTGGACGAGGAGGAGTTCGGCCTCGGGGCACCGTCGCCCGCGCCTGAGCCCGCAGCCGAGCCGGCGGCCGCCGCGCCGCCGCCGCCGCCCGAGCCGGCCTCGAACGAGGAGCCCGCGCCGCCGGTTTCTGCACAGGTCCAAGCCGCACGGGCCCTTCGCGCCCGGCGGGCCGCCGCGGCCGGGCCCGAGCCAGTCGAGGCCGCGGGCGCGCCGAGCGAGCGCGACCTGATGGCGGCGATGGGCCTGCCGACAGCATTGGGTGGTCCCGCGGCCGCGCCGACGCCCGCCGCGGCGCCGGCGGATGAGCCAGGGACGCAGAAGACGTGCAAGCACTGCGGCCAGGCACGGTCGCAGAGCATGTTCGTCGAGAAGCAATGGAAGAAGCCCCGGCCGACGTGCGTCGACTGCGCCGCGAAGCTGTCGGCGCAGAACGAGCCGACTCGGACGAAGCCGCCTCCGTCCGACGGCGGGGTCAGCGTGCGGCAGCAGCAGAGTACTACTTCTCGCCGAGGAATTGGGGCCAGGACGCGTTTCTCAAGAGCCTGGCGGACGAGGACGGCGCGGTCGCGCTGGAGGCCTTCTTCACGTTCCCGCGCATCGCGGCGCTGCTCTGTGTGGAAATCAAAACTGCACGGCGTATTCGTGCCGATGCCGGTCGGGTTATCGCCGAAAATTATTTCTATATGCGCGCCCCCGACGACGGTCGACGCGGCGAAGACGGCGGACGACGACCGGCGCGTGCTCGCGGCGGCGGTCCGCAAGTCAAGCCAGCTGGACCTGACGGCCGACGGGCTGCGCGTGAAGGCGCGGCGGAAGCGCGAGCGCGCCGAGAAACCCCCCGCCATCGCGGGCCTGGAGCTGTCCGAGGAGGAGCTCGCGCGGCGCGCAAAGCGGGCGGGCCGGTTCGCCGCCGACGCGGCGCGGCCGCCACCGCCGCCGCCGAAGCGGACGTTCGCCCACCCCGGCGGCAAGATCACGTCGAACAAGGAGGAGGCGACGATGAATTTCCTGAAGAGAAAGGTGGAGGCTGAGCAGGAGCCGCCGGCGCAGCGGCCAGCGATCTATGACGAAGAACCTGAGTAATATGCCAATTCCCGCAGTTTCACTAGACGCGTTGATGGCGTGATAGAGACCTCATCGACGAGTCGGGGGTCAGTCGGAGAGGTCTGTTTTCAAAAGCCATCCATCCGCCTAGGCCTCTATACATGTATACTATATGTATGTACATACACATAGATATATATATATATATATACGAATCCTAGTATGTTGATACGCTAGATCACTAGGTCTTGCGGCTCGCCAAAATACACCAGCGATTGACGGTGCCTTCTACCGTCCAAATGGTACATCATATCAACTCCAGCCCAGTTTTCACACAAAATCGACGGAACCGGAGCCGACGGCCCGCGCTCGGAGGGCGGGAGAAGAATTCTACTAGACAACTCTCGCGTTTATGTTCGTTTCCTTCCGTTTGTTAGTGGTAGATTCCATCCAGCCCGCCTCGGCGACCACTGAGCTATTTTAGATATTCCGTTAGAGCCTCGCGATTCGTCGTCTTGGCGACCACGCGTTTGTGCAAAAATGGGCTTAATACCTAGACCCGCGAGTATCAGCGACGACACCATCCAGATGGACCATAACACCGTTGTTCTATTCACGATCGACCGACTTGCCCGTTCTCCGCGGACGACGGTGCGTACGCGGGGCACTGAATTGGCCCCAGACCCGTGAGTTATGAAATAAACTCGCGTTTCAGGCGCTTTAGTAGTGGGACGGGCCAGGTAACCGGCCTGATCGTCTACTACATTGGATTACCTGTCCCGTTTACAACTCGCGCCTTGTCGGTCTCGCGAGCCCACCATCTGGCTTAGATGGGCACCACACCTGGATCTGCGGCCATCAGCCCGTGTACCTTCCCCATGGACCATGACGCGATCATTTGTTTCATGATCGACGGACTTACGCGAGGTCCAGATAAAGATGTTCACGTCCCGAGCGTGGGCAGCCAAAAGTACCCTTCTTATAATGTAGATGTCATATACTTGTAATTGACTATCGGTGGGGTAGTATGGGGTCCAACGAGACCGCTACGGCGACTACTGGTGGCCCTCGGGTAATTGCGTATTTGACGGTGACGGGGCGCCATCGGGCCCAAAGTATTTACTTTTTGTGGATGCAGATCGGCCCTCGGACTCGCTCCGGGATAGGTCTGGGGTCGGGTGGTCCCCTAGACCGCATGCGCCGATTCTTGGGGCTCCCAGAGGCTTCCTGGATCGAAAACTTTGGGGGATCATGGCGTGCGTCCCGCGCACTGCTGGACCTGTCTTTATTTGTATCCGCCCACTGATCGAAGCGCCCATGCATGGCGCGCGATTGCGCCGTCCCAGGACAGATCCTAGGCGACCCCGGGGAGACCTCGGGACCACGAATCGACAGGATTCCATCGACGCGCCCGCCCTGGTGGCGTCGTCAATATCGCGAATTAAAAAATTAAATTTTTTCGCCCCCCAGGAAGAGTCCCATTGATGTCTATGGACCATTAGCGATCCGAACGATACTCAAAAACAGCATGCCGCGTTTCTTGAATCTTCAAAAACAGGTTCCGCAGTGCATGCAAACACCGTTCACGGCCACAAAGGCCGTCCAAACTGCGGCATTGATCGAATAGGGCCGCGAGGCAGCCCAACCGATCGAACAGGGCCGCGAGGCAGCCCCATCAGTTGCCCGGGGCCGATGCCCAGCGCACCACATAACATGGGGCACCATGACGCCTTGCCAAGCGCCAAACGGCAAGCGATGCATTACGCTGCTGCGGCGATTGATTGCTGCTCCGTACGCAAAGTGAAGCCAAGAAACGATGCAGGACACCACCACTCTCTAAAAAATGACGCGAGCTGACTGCGGCCAAGCGGGCTCTCGAGGGTCACACCTCGTCAGCCGTTGACCCCCGCCACTGAAATCGCGCTCGCTGGCGAGCGAAATCGCTCATCCGGGTGTTGCGGTTTCAAGGGTTGGATCCGCGCCTGGTTCAAAGAGCAGTCACCTCTATTGCGTTTTTGAGAGATGGAGGACGTCTCCTACTCGATGACGGCGAGCGCTGGCGCGTTCTGTCCGCCCGAGACGCGAGCTTCCATCACGCAGCTTCAATCGACAATATAGAAACAAATACCACCGCCGAAAGTCTTCCAACGGCTCTCGATACATCATGAAAAATAATTCATGCAAGACTTGAACTGGGAAGTAGTAAGCGCCATCAGAACCACTCGAAAGAAAGTTCAGGAGCCGCCGATCTACATCACAAAAAACTCTTTTCTTTATATAATCGCGCGGTACCGCAGTTACGGCGAGGCCTACTGGCGGGGTAGAAGGGCGCTCGAAGACGACCAAGGCCATGCCATCGTCGCGACGGCGCCTCACGCACCACGCCCTCCGCCTCTATTGATATGCATCTACGCGACGAGGCCGCCGAACGCGATGAGCACACCAAATGTTCGCGAAGCCGCTCTGGCAAATGATCACCGGCAGGCCGTGAACGCGAGGTGACTTAAATAGTCGGATCTGCGAGCCATGCCCCGGGACGGCGGCTTTCTGCGCGAAGTCGCGGCCCGCGACAAACTTGGGTCCCAGCAAGCCGGGGACCTCTACCTACCTGTCCTGGGCGCCGGAAGACATTTGCGCCGATTTCGGGTACGGCACAGTCGTGAGCCAAAGTTTAGCACAGAGGGCAAGGACAACCTTTGTGAGCTAGCAGTGGGGACCGGCGTCCTCAAATTCAAGCTTTGAACAAACCGCAGGACTCGCATAAAAACGTTCGAGAGAGCTCACCTTGAAGACGTCGCCCGCGCGAGCGCGGAGCTGGGCGACTTGGAAAAAGTGACACGTATTGCGCGTCGCCCCAGCCTCGCGAGGCGCGCGCTTCACGAGGTCTTCATGACACACCTTTCCGACGCCTGACAGCGCGAGAGTCTACGAAACCGCCGTGAGAGCGAGCTCGGCCGGTCGCCGGCGCCGCGCGACGCTGTAGCGGCCGAGCCGCGCCCGTGCGCCCGTGGCCGTCGACGCGAGAGCTGAAACGGTCGCGCGTCGAACTGTCGTGAGAGCGGAGCGACCCTCGCGCCTCCTTCGCCGCATCGGCGCGACGGTTTCGCGCACAGGTACAGAAGAAGCACACAAGCGACCACGAGACGGGCGGCGCTGCAGCAACTCTTGAGTCGCTGCAGCTGCTCGTCGAAGCACCGGGTACAAAATCGACGTCGTCAATTATCTTTATTGAGGAGGCCTTCGCCGCTCTGAGACGCGCACGCGCCCTCTACCTTTCCTCGAGCGGCCTTGCGAGGCGACGGCCGCGGACGTCGAGACTCTCGGTCGCCGTCGCCGCGAGAGGTCGCATCGGTCGAACGAGAGCCTTTTTGAGGTACCCGGCCGCTCGGCGCTCGTGACCCGTTGACAGCGCCGGGCCATCGAAAGTTGCCGTCGCGCGCAGGCACAGGAAGAAGGCACGCATACCAAAAACAAAACAAAAAAGAAAAAATAATGCGTGTCGTCCTCTTCTGCCTCGTTGTCTCTGCGAACGCGCTCCCAGAAGCGCACCTCCGCGGCCGCGTCAAGGACCACCTGCGCGACCGCGACCTGAGCGTCCCCGAAGACGCCAAGAACCACTACGCGAACACCGACGCGTCCTCCGATGAGATCTCGGCAACGAACTTGGAGGAGGGCGGCTTCGGCCTCGGGCTGCGCCGCCTCTTCGGCCTCGCGTCCATCAAGGGCACGCTCTCCCACGAGGGCGCGTCAAAAGACATCAAGTCAAAGGCCGAGACGGCCTACGCTACGGGCGGCCACGCGCGGCCCGTGCTCGAGACGGAGGTCTCGCCGCGGGACCAGGACACGGTCTCGCAGCACGAAACTCAAGGCGCCGACGCCGCGCTCGCCGAGCTCGCGGACGCGCACAACAAGGGCGGAGACGCCATCGACGCGGCGGCGCACGGGGATGGCGACCCGGCCGCGTCCATCAAGGGCACGCTCTCGCATGTCGAGGACGCGCCCCAAACTATTACGTCGGAGGCCGCGGCCTTCGACACTGAAGACATCGAGGGCGTCGCCGGCGAGGGCGAGGCGCTCTCTGGTTCGACGGCGCGCAACGCCGCGGCCGAGATGGTCAAGAGCAGGCTGGCGACGCAGACGACGCGGCCGGCCTACACTGCGCGACACGACGCCGGATCTGCATCACAACGGCGTCTTCAGACCTGCGACTCCGGCCAAGTCCCGGACTGCTCCGGCGTCTGCTGCCCAGCGAGTTGGATCGGCGACGGTGTCTGCGATGATGGCAATTCCGGTTGCGACTTCAGATGCGAGGATAACGACGGCGGGGATTGCGGCCCGCTGCCAACACCTTTCCCGACTGCCGAGCCGACGGTGGCTACGCGGCCGGAGCCGTGCGTGTGCAAGGCTTCGTGGAGCAACACCGACTGTTCTACTATTCAGGAGGGATGCCCGGCGGAAGGCTCAGAGTGCGAGACGGTTTGGGGGTACCGCTGGTGCGAGGTGGATCCGTCGGAATGCTCCTCGGCGAAGGAGCATGGTGACTATCATTACATAGAGTGCGACGATACGAACGTGGCTACGCGGCCGGAGCCGTGCGCGTGCCTTGACACGTGGAGCAACGCCGACTGTACTACTATTCAGGAGGGATGCCCGACGGACGCCTGCGACGGCAGCCCCTACCGCTGGTGCGAGGTGGATCCGTCGGAGTGCTCCACGGCGCTTCCGTATGGTGACTACTATTACATAGAGTGCGACGATACGAACGTGGCGCCGCCGGAGCATTGCGTGTGCCTTGACACGTGGAGCAACGCCGACTGTTCTACCATTCAGGAGGGATGCCCGACGGACGCCTGCGACGGCAGCCCCTACCGCTGGTGCGAGGTGGATCCGTCGGAGTGCTCCACGGCGCTTCCGTATGGTGACTACTATTACATAGAGTGCGACGAGACGAACGTAGCTACGCCGGAGCCGACGGCCGCGCCGACGCCCGCGCCGACGCCCAAGCCGTCGCAGCCGCCGACGACGTCTCCGACGGTGGCTAAGCGGCCGGAGCCGTGCGCGTGCCTTGACACGTGGAGCAACACCGACTGTTCTACTATTCAGGAGGGATGCCCGGCGGAAGGCTCAGAGTGCGAGACGGTTTGGGGGTACCGCTGGTGCGAGGTGGATCCGTCGGAATGCTCCTCGGCGAAGGAGCATGGTGACTATCATTACATAGAGTGCGACGATACGAACGTGGCTACGCGGCCGGAGCCGTGCGCGTGCCTTGACACGTGGAGCAACGCCGACTGTACTACTATTCAGGAGGGATGCCCGACGGACGCCTGCGACGGCAGCCCCTACCGCTGGTGCGAGGTGGATCCGTCGGAGTGCTCCACGGCGCTTCCGTATGGTGACTACTATTACATAGAGTGCGACGATACGAACGTGGCGCCGCCGGAGCATTGCGTGTGCCTTGACACGTGGAGCAACGCCGACTGTTCTACCATTCAGGAGGGATGCCCGACGGACGCCTGCGACGGCAGCCCCTACCGCTGGTGCGAGGTGGATCCGTCGGAGTGCTCCTCGGCGCTTCCGTATGGTGACTATCATTACATAGAGTGCGACGAGACGAACGTAGCTACGCCGGAGCCGACGGCCGCGCCGACGCCCGCGCCGACGCCTGCCGCCGTCGCAGCCGCCGACGACGTCTCCGACGGTGGCTAAGCGGCGGAGCCGTGCGCGTGCCTTGACAGTGGAGCAACACCGACTGTTCTACTATTCAGGAGGGATGCCCGGCGGAAGGCTCAGAGTGCGAGACGGTTTGGGGGTACCGCTGGTGCGAGGTGGATCCGTCGGAATGCTCCTCGGCGAAGGAGCATGGTGACTATCATTACATAGAGTGCGACGATACGAACGTGGCTACGCGGCGGAGCGTGCGCGTGCCTTGACACGTGGAGCAACGCCGACTGTACTACTATTCAGGAGGGATGCCCGACGACGCCTGCGACGGCAGCCCCTACCGCTGGTGCGAGGTGGATCCGTCGGGTGCTCCACGGCGCTTCCGTATGGTGACTACTATTACATAGAGTGCGACGATACGAACGTGGCGCCGCCGGAGCATTGCGTGTGCCTTGACACGTGGAGCAACGCCGACTGTTCTACCATTCAGGAGGGATGCCCGACGGACGCCTGCGACGGCAGCCCCTACCGCTGGTGCGAGGTGGATCCGTCGGAGTGCTCCACGGCGCTTCCGTATGGTGACTACTATTACATAGAGTGCGACGAGACGAACGTAGCTACGCCGGAGCCGACGGCCGCGCCCGACGCCCGCGCCCGACGCCTGCCGTCGCAGCCGCCGACGACGTCTCCGACGGTGGCTAAGCGGCCGGAGCCGTGCGCGTGCCTTGACACGTGGAGCAACACCGACTGTTCTACTATTCAGGAGGGATGCCCGGCGGAAGGCTCAGAGTGCGAGACGGTTTGGGGGTACCGCTGGTGCGAGGTGGATCCGTCAGGAATGCCTCGGCGAAGGAGCATGGTGACTATCATTACATAGAGTGCGACGATACGAACGTGGCTACGCGGCCGGCCGTGCGCGTGCCTTGACACGTGGAGCAACGCCGACTGTACTACTATTCAGGAGGGATGCCCGACGGACGCCTGCGACGGCAGCCCCTACCGCTGGTGCGAGGTGGATCCGTCGGGTGCTCCACGGCGCTTCCGTATGGTGACTACTGGCGCATAGAGTGCGACGATACGAACGTGGCGCCGCCGGAGCATTGCGTGTGCCTTGACACGTGGAGCAACGCCGACTGTTCTACCATTCAGGAGGGATGCCCGACGGACGCCTGCGACGGCAGCCCCTACCGCTGGTGCGAGGTGGATCCGTCGGTGCTCCACGGCGCTTCCGTATGGTGACTACTATTACATAGAGTGCGACGAGACGAACGTGGCTACGCCGGAGCCGACGGCCGCGCCGGCGCCCGCGCCGACGCCTAGCCGTCGCAGCCGCCGACAGCGTGCCCGACGGTGGCTAAGCGGCCGGAGCCGTGCGCGTGCCTTGACACGTGGAGCAACACCGACTGTTCTACTATTCAGGAGGGATGCCCGGCGGAAGGCTCAGAGTGCGAGACGGTTTGGGGGTACCGCTGGTGCGAGGTGGATCCGTCGGAATGCTCCTCGGCGAAGGAGCATGGTGACTATCATTACATAGAGTGCGACGATACGAACGTGGCTACGCGGCCGGGCCGTGCGCGTGCCTTGACACGTGGAGCAACGCCGACTGTACTACTATTCAGGAGGGATGCCCGACGGGCGCCTGCGACGGCAGCCCCTACCGCTGGTGCGAGGTGGATCCGTCGGGTGCTCCACGGCGCTTCCGTATGGTGACTACTATCACGCGAGTGCGACGATACGAACGTGGCGCCGCCGAGCATTGCGTGTGCCTTGACAGTGGAGCAACGCCGACTGTTCTACCATTCAGGAGGGATGCCCGACGGGCGCCTGCGACGGCAGCCCCTACCGCTGGTGCGAGGTGGATCCGTCGGGTGCTCCACGGCGCTTCCGTATGGTGACTACTATTACATAGAGTGCGACGAGACGAACGTAGCTACGCCGGAGCCGACGGCCGCGCCGACGCCCGCGCCCGACGCCTGCCGTCGCAGCCGCCGACGGCGTGCCCGACGGTGGCTAAGCGGCCGGAGCCGTGCGCGTGCCTTGACACGTGGAGCAACACCGACTGTTCTACTATTCAGGAGGGATGCCCGGCGGAAGGCTCAGAGTGCGAGACGGTTTGGGGGTACCGCTGGTGCGAGGGATCCGTCGGAATGCTCCTCGGCGAAGGAGCATGGTGACTATCATTACATAGAGTGCGACGATACGAACGTGGCTACGCGGCCGGGCCGTGCGCGTGCCTTGACACGTGGAGCAACGCCGACTGTACTACTATTCAGGAGGGATGCCCGACGGGCGCCTGCGACGGCAGCCCCTACCGCTGGTGCGAGGTGGATCCGTCGGGTGCTCCACGGCGCTTCCGTATGGTGACTACTATTACGCGAGTGCGACGATACGAACGTGGCGCCGCCGGAGCATTGCGTGTGCCTTGACACGTGGAGCAACGCCGACTGTTCTACCATTCAGGAGGGATGCCCGACGGGCGCCGCGACGGCAGCCCCTACCGCTGGTGCGAGGTGGATCCGTCGGGTGCTCCACGGCGCTTCCGTATGGTGACTACTATTACATAGAGTGCGACGAGACGAACGTAGCTACGCCGGAGCCGACGGCCGCGCCCGACGCCCGCGCCCGGCGCCCAAGCCGCCGCAGCCGCCCGGCGACGTCTCCGACGGTGGCTAAGCGGCCGGAGCCGTGCGCGTGCCTTGACACGTGGAGCAACACCGACTGTTCTACTATTCAGGAGGGATGCCCGGCGGAAGGCTCAGAGTGCGAGACGGTTTGGGGGCCCGCTGGTGCGAGGTGGATCCGTCAGGAATGCTCCTCGGCGAAGGAGCATGGTGACTATCATTACATAGAGTGCGACGATACGAACGTGGCTACGGCCGGAGCCGTGCGCGTGCCTTGACACGTGGAGCAACGCCGACTGTACTACTATTCAGGAGGGATGCCCGACGACGCCTGCGACGGCAGCCCCTACCGCTGGTGCGAGGTGGATCCGTCGGTGCTCCACGGCGCTTCCGTATGGTGACTACTATTACATAGAGTGACGATACGAACGTGGCGCCGCCGAGCATTGCGTGTGCCTTGACAGTGGAGCAACGCCGACTGTTCTACCATTCAGGAGGGATGCCCGACGGACGCCTGCGACGGCAGCCCCTACCGCTGGTGCGAGGTGGATCCGTCGGAGTGCTCCACGGCGCTTCCGTATGGTGACTGCTATTACATAGAGTGCGACGAGACGAACGTAGCTACGCCGGAGCCGACGGCCGCGCCCGACGCCCGCGCCGGCGCCCAACGCCGCCGCCGCAGCCGCCGACGGCGTGTCCGACGGTGGCTAAGCGGCCGGCCGTGCGCGTGCCTTGACACGTGGAGCAACACCGACTGTTCTACTATTCAGGAGGGATGCCCGGCGGAAGGCTCAGAGTGCGAGACGGTTTGGGGGCGCCGCTGGTGCGAGGTGGATCCGTCGGAATGCCTCGGCGAAGGAGCATGGTGACTATCATTACATAGAGTGCGACGATACGAACGTGGCTACGCGGCCGGCCGTGCGCGTGCCTTGACAAAATGAGCAACGCCGACTGTACTACTATTCAGGAGGGATGCCCGACGGACGCCTGCGACGGCAGCCCCCCTACCGCTGGTGCGAGGTGGATCCGTCGGAGTGCTCCACGGCGCTTCCGTATGGTGACTACTATTACGCGAGTGCGACGAGACGAACGTAGCTACGCCGGAGCCGACGGCCGCGCCCAGACGCCCGCGCCGACGCCCAAGCCGTGCAGCCGCCGACGACGTGCCGACGGTGGCTAAGCGGCCGGAGCCGTGCGCGTGCCTTGACCGTGGAGCAACACCGACTGTTCTACTATTCAGGAGGGATGCCCGGCGGAAGGCTCAGAGTGCGAGACGGTTTGGGGGTACCGCTGGTGCGAGGTGGATCCGTCGGAATGCTCCTCGGCGAAGGAGCATGGTGACTATCATTACATAGAGTGCGACGATACGAACGTGGCTACGCGGCCGGCCGTGCGCGTGCCTTGACAAACGTGGAGCAACGCCGACTGTACTACTATTCAGGAGGGATGCCCGACGGACGCCTGCGACGGCAGCCCCTACCGCTGGTGCGAGGTGGATCCGTCGGAGTGCTCCACGGCGCTTCCGTATGGTGACTACTATTACATAGAGTGCGACGATACGAACGTGGCGCCGCCGGAGCATTGCGTGTGCCTTGACACGTGGAGCAACGCCGACTGTTCTACCATTCAGGAGGGATGCCCGACGGACGCCTGCGACGGCAGCCCCTACCGCTGGTGCGAGGTGGATCCGTCGGAGTGCTCCACGGCGCTTCCGTATGGTGACTACTATTACATAGAGTGCGACGAGACGAACGTAGCTACGCCGGAGCCGACGGCCGCGCCGACGCCCGCGCCGACGCCCAAGCCGTCGCAGCCGCCGACGACGTCTCCGACGGTGGCTAAGCGGCCGGAGCCGTGCGCGTGCCTTGACACGTGGAGCAACACCGACTGTTCTACTATTCAGGAGGGATGCCCGGCGGAAGGCTCAGAGTGCGAGACGGTTTGGGGGTACCGCTGGTGCGAGGTGGATCCGTCGGAATGCTCCTCGGCGAAGGAGCATGGTGACTATCATTACATAGAGTGCGACGATACGAACGTGGCACATCCAGCCCCAGGGCCCTTCGGGCCCTGCCCGGGGAGCCGGCCCGAACCCTAACCCTATTTCCCGCTCCAGCCACCAAAGACTACCCACAACCTCACGAAACACTATTCACAACCTCAATCCTGACACAGAACACTACCGTCCAGCCCAACTGGCTGGAAGGGCCCTTCGGGCCCTTCGGGCCCTCGGGCCCGAACCCGAACCCTGCGTCCAGCACCGGCCACCAAAGCCTACCCATGACCTCACGAAACACTATTCACAACCTCAATCCTGACGCAGAACACTAACATCCAGCCCAAGGGCTGGAAGGGCCCTTCGGGCCCTTCGGGCCCTCCGGGCCTGAACCCGAGTCCGAGTCTTTCATACTTTTCGTAATAATAAACTTGGCACGCATCTTGAATTCACTACCAGTATTACAACTCACAAAGCATCCCTAGCGCCGCGTCGACGGCCGCGGCTGGCACTTCTCTGACGTAGTGGAGCCCGTCGAACGAGGCATCAGCGCGCGCGGCCGACAGCGGCGCCAGGTCGAGGACTCTCACCGAGACGCCGAGGCCCTCGGTCGCGAGGCGTCTCATCGCTGGCGCGAAGGCCTCGAGTTGTGCCGGATGCAGGCCCGGGCTACGGAGGCCTCGCAGCGTCGGCGGCGCGACCAGCAGGACCGTCACGCTCAGGCCCGCCGCCCGGCTGATCTTATCGAGCCGACGGAGTGCGTGCTTCGTCCGCGCCTCGAATTTGTTCGGGTCGCCCGCGGACGCCGGCATGTGCAGGATGCCAAAGTTGGCGACCACGAGGACCTCGCCCGGGCCCGGCGGGAGCGCGGCGCCGAACAGCTCGACGGCGTCGGGCCCGCGCTCGCCGGCCGCCGCCGGCTCGAAGCCGCAACAGGCCAGGTTGCGGGGCAGGAGGCCGCAGCGCCAGAGGCCTGCGATGGCGGGCGTCGCGCGACCATCACACACTGTTCGACGCGGGACGAGCACCGTCGAGGCCCCAGATCTGCGAGAAGTGGACGCGAACACCCTTTGCGCTCGCGACCGTCGACGCCGCGCCTGCGAAACGTCTCGCCCGAACCTTCCGCTCGTTGACCGTGATGTTCAGGCGGCGGCCGAAGGCCGCCCACGCATCGCGGACCAGCGAGTCGCCGAGAAACGTCACGACCTTGACGCGCCGCCGGGCGAGGCACGCCTCCGCGGCGGGCCCGGGAAAGCGTCGGACGGCGCAGTCGCCGCGCGCGAACGCCCAGCCGTCGGCGGAGCGGCGCCAGTGGCCGGGGCCCGGGTCGCGGCACGGCGCGAGCGGCTTCTTCGGCGACGGCGCCTCGACCACCGTAAACGTTTTCGGCGCGAAGGGCACCGTGGCCACTTTCGCGCACTCGTCGAGCGTAAAGGGCTGCGCGCGGCCGCAGCGGCCGCCGGGGCAGCGATTCTCCGTTGGACCCAGGTACACGGGGTGGCCGCGGCTCGGATACGCATCGACTTGTGGCGCGGCGACCTGGTAGAGCCAGTTTAATATGGCCGACACTTCGTACGTCCCCGCCTCTGGTGGCACCCAGCGCACGCGGAGCGTATCGTCGTCGACGCGTTCGGCAGTCGCCGCGTCAATCACGTTCGAGCCGGTGAGCGTCACGAGCACTCGCACGCCGCCGAGACGCCGTCGCTTCGCGCAGTCGATGACGTCGAAGCCGCACGGCTGCTTCTCGTCGCCGACGCCGCAGCGATCGACGACCGCCGTCGCGCGCGCCTCGACGCCGAAGTGCTTCGCCAGCAGCGGCCAGCCTCTGCATCTTCGACCGGCGTATTTTGCAACTGGGTCCACGACCGTATTGGGATTAAATGTCATCTGGCTGCAGTCCTGCGCGCCGACGCAGCAGGTCGCAAGCAACAACAACTTGCATGGCGTCATCCTCCGGGCCATCTCATGCGTGCATCTTACGAACCGGGCTGCACCATCGGGACCGGGCAGGCCTTTGGCAATGGGCAGCCCCCAAGTGCCCCCACAAGGTACCTTACCCTATGTATAAGTATAGTACCTCTATCTCGCAGAGCACACTGCTCGCGCGCGTACAGCATGACCTTGTGTTCTAAAATCAAATAGATCATAGAGCAAACGCAGAGACGTGCGCATGGATCATCTGCAGCAGCAAAGCCGCGACGCCGAGCAGCGCACGGCTCTTGCCTACTGCGCCGGCTGCGCCGCGTTGCTGATCACGCTGGTCTGCGTCGCGGCGAGAGCAGGCGACGTCGTCGTCGACCAGGGACCGCCGCGACCGGACGTCATCCTCGTCACGGGCTTTCGCGACTTCAACGGCGAAGAGAACCCGAGCGCCGTCGCCGCGACGCGCCTCAACGGCACGGGCTCCATCACGAGTGTCGTGCTGCCCGTCGACGAGGCCGGCGTGTCGTACGCCGCGGGCCTCGTCTCGCGCGGCGCGGTGGCCGCCGTCGTCCACCTGGGCCTGGAGGACGCGACGCGAGACCTCCGCGTCGAGGTCGCCGGGCACAACATTTTGGCGGGCCCGCGCGGCGCGCCGAACAGCGGCAATTGCACGACGCGGCCAGTCTTCGCCGGCGAGCCCTGCACCCTGGCGACGACGGCGAATCTCGGTCGCCTCGCGCTGCGGCCGCGCGAGACCTGGTCTACGTCTGCGGGGGACTTCTTCTGCAATGAGGTCTACTACCGCACCCTGCGCGCGGCGCGCCGCGGATCCGTGCCGCTCGTCCCCGTCGCGTTCGTGCACCTCCCGTCCGAGGCGACGCGGCCCGTCGACGCGTACCTATCGCGCCTGGCCGACGTCGTCCACGCGCTCGCCGGGGGCGTCCGTCGCGACCCGCGGCGCGCGCCGCTGCGACGGCGCCGATGATGATAACAACGTTGTGACTGTTCTACTAATCTTGAATTTATAACCACAAGAATTCATACAACCTCAGTCGAGGTGAGCGACTCAGGGCGTTCCTGGGGCGCCTCGGGTCGTGCGACGATCTCCAAGGTCCGCCGAGACGCGCCAGTGTCGCCCAAAGCGGTGACGCACGCTGCACCGAGCTGGCTACGCGTGATGCCGCACGCGGCGCCGCTGCTCGCAAAAAACGGGCTCTTGCACGAAACGCGGTCGAGGCCCCGGGCATCCGCAGTCGTCGCCAGAAAGCGGTCCTCAGCGCCGACGACTAATCCGCCCTGAGGGCTGTCCACAAATACCCCTGGTCGGAGAATGGTCCAGTCGATCGGGCTCTCGCGCAGGCGTGCTTCAGCGACCCGCTTCGCATCCAACACGCCGCCCAAGCCGTTCAGCATGCGATAGCTCGCCGTGCGATCGCGCGCAGCGGCTTCGCCGGCCAGGAGCGACGAAACCAAAACAAAGCGGCCAGGCAGCTTCGCACGCTCAGCAGCCTCAACAAGTGCGACTACACCGTCGCGGTCTACGTCAAGTGCTGCGCGACGGTCCGCCTCGGCATCGAAGGTCGGCACGAAGCCCACATCACAGATCACGTCGTCGATGCCCTTTAGCGCCCTATCTAGCGTCGGGGGTGCTGTCACGTCTGCCTCGACCACGGTCCGCCCCGTGGCTTCGAGCCCCGCCGCTGCCGCTGACACCCGCCACCGTTCCAAGGACCGCACGAGCGGTACTGCTGTGTAGCGCTCGTCCCCGTCAAGCGCCCGCACACACTCGCGACCGCTACGGCCCGAGGCGCCAGCGACAAGCACGCGGCGCGGCCGTGCGGCGGCTGCGGACACCGCAGCGAGCGGCACCACAGGCGCCGCGGCGAGCGGCAGCGACAGCACCGCGCGGCGGTTGTGAGACGGCGCCAAGGCGACAGCTTCGAGGGCTAGTGCAGCAATAATGACACTGCGGCGCATCGAGGGTTAGTCGAGCGCACCGCTTGCACCATAAACTGAGAGCTTTTTCTGCTTGGCCTGCAGTGCTAGGAGGGGGCGTTCATAGGCGTAGACATACTAGATTTCGTCGAGCGGCGGCGCAAGTTGCACGGCGGCACATCGCATCGCTGCAAACCAAACGCGCGCGTACGCTCAATCCAATAATAAGTGTGGGCAAAAGGCGCTGCGCACGCAGAGAGTAGTAAAAAAAATGCACAACGCCTTCGAGCAGCAGTCCCTGCCGCCGCCGGATCCGCGCGTCGTCCTCCGCCAGGCGGTCCGCACGTGGAAGAACATCGGGCTGCTATTACTCCTCGTAATCGCCCTGATCAGCCTCGTCGCCGGCCTGAACTGCGACGCCGCGACCGACGACGCGGGCGCGTGCGCGACGCTACTGTCCGCGTTCACGGCGCGGCAGCTCACTTACGCCGGCGCCGCGCTCACGTTCGGCTTCTGCTGCTGCCCGTGCTTCCGGCTCGACTGCGACGCCGACGAGCTGCGCAAGCGGTCGTGCTTCCTGCAAGCCGTCGAGCGGCGGCGGCGCGAGCGCGCGCGGCAGGCGCGGCTGGGGCGCGGCGACGACGGCGGCGCCGCGGCGCCGGACGTCGAGGAGGGCCACGAGCTCATCAATAGGCGGCCCGGCGGCGGCGGGTGAGACGCGCGGCCGCCGCGTCCTCATTTCTTTCGTCGAGTGGAGTCGAGGACGAGACAACCGAACGCCTTCAAAGTTCACTGAGAATACCGTGAATGAGCGACTTCGTTCCAAGCCGAGGCTCTTGCCGTTTTTTGCGTGGCCCGTCTAGGATGCCGCGGGCGACGGTCACCGCGCGTCCCTCCCGCAGGCTCGTCGCGCCGACGGCATGAATCCGAAAATGTGTAAGTTCCTAGTAGTAATGGGGGCAGCAACCCAGCGAGCGCGTCCCGCGCCTCGGCGGTCCGGCCCGCGCTCAGCTTGCGGGGGCCAGGCTTGGAACTGGCGCGGCCGCGCTGCCAAAGCGCACACCAGGGCTGCTCGCTGAAGTCAGTGCTCGTAGAAGGGCAGCACCACAACCGCGCACCACCAAAAAGACATGAGCACACCGCCAAGGTCCATCACCAAGAGCCAGTGCGAGCTGAGCACTGCCGACCTCACGCCCCAAAAGCTCGAGCTCCGCCAAACAAATGTGGCCGCCGCGGCGCCGCCGCTGCCGCCCGCCGTGGGTACGCGCGTAAACATGCTGCCGCCCGCGGCGTCGCCGCCGCCATACGCGAAGGAGGCGCCGCCGCCGACGCCGCCGACCTGGGCCAGCTACTCGCCGACGACGCCGCCCCGAGGTCTCGCGCGGCTGGCGCCGCCCGAGGCGAGCGCGACGCCCGTGCGCCGCCTGCTCGGCCGCGAGCTCGGGGCCGCGCCGGAGCTCGGGGCCGCGGCGTCGTCCGCCGAGGCGTCGGCGGCGTTTTCGGCGGCGGCGCGCTGCGAGGTCGCCGCGGCGCGGTCCGGCGGCGTGGCGGCCGTGCGAATCACCGGTAGTGTCGAAGAGCAACGGCCCGAGTCCTCGAGCAACGGCCACGCGCGCGACAACGGCCTGCGCGCGTCGCTCGAGTCGCTGGAGCACTTTGGCGACGGCAGCAGCGACGCGCTCGCGGCGGCCTGCGACGCGCTGGGGGCCGTCGACGACTGGGTGCGGCGCGGCGACGCGGCGCCGATGTGGGCGGCCAAGGGCGACCCGCGCGCGCGCGACCGGCTGCTGGTGGAGCGCGAGGTCATGCTGCGCCAGGTCCGGGCCTTGCTGGCGGTAAACACGCGGCTCAGCGCCGACCTGGCGAGGGCGCGCGAGGCCGCCTCGCCGGCGCGGTCGCTCGCCTTCGACGGCGGCGACGACGCCGCCACGAGCGACGGCGGCGGCGCGGAGGCGGCGCTCATGCGGGACCGCGTCCAGGCGCTCGAGGACGCGCTCGCAGACACGACGGCGCGGCTCTCGGCCGCGGCCGACGTGGCCACCGCGGCGCGCAACGACATGGACCTCGCGCAGAAGCGCCTGCGGCGCGCCGAGGCGCGGTCCGCGACGCTCGAGAAGCGGCTCGACGCGGAGAGCGACTTGGACTGGGCGAGCCAGCTGATCCGGCACGAGCGCGACGCCGAGGGGAAGCGCGCCGACGCGGCCGAGGAGGAGGTCAAGGCGCTCAAGGGCCGGCTCGCGCGCGCCAACGCCGAGATCGCGGCGCTCAAAGGCCTTCCGCTCAAGGGCCACGAGGTCACGGCGCTCAAGACACCGCCGCAGTCGCCGTCGAAGACGCAACAAGAGGCTTCGTCGCCGTACCACTGGCGCTCCCGGCGCGACACGGCCGAGGCCGCGTGCCAGGCGACGGAGCCGGAAGCCGCGCGCGACGCGAACAAAGCCCGCGGGGCGGCGGCGCTCCTGCGAGCGACGGAGGGGCCGGCCCGGCGCGCGGCCGACGCGAGGGTTCGGCGGGGCGTGACTGCGCTGGCTGCGAACGTGCGGCGACGACGGGCCGTGCGCCTGTGCGCGGCGAAGCTCATGCGGGCCACCGCGGAGCGGTGCTGGCCCGCGCGTATATAGCGACATCGACGCGTACTCACCGGTCGACGTACACACAGGCGGGCCGACGGGAAGCGGCGGGCGCTCGCGGTGATGGCCGCGGCGCGCGCGCGCCAGGGCGTGCTCGAGAACTTGGCGCGGGCCGTCGGCCGCGCGGGCGCTGGGTCGTACGAACGGCGCCTGCGGCGCGGGATGTTCCGAATCTTTCGGGGAGCCTTGTTGTCCTCGGCGGCCGCGCGCGATACCGCGTCGGACCGCGCGGCGCAAGCGCGGGCCCATCACCACCGCTTCACGCTGGTCTTGCTGCGATCGGGCGCTCGCGTCGCGCGGCGGAGCGCCCTGAAGCTTGGCCTGCGTGCCTTCCGGCGGCGCGGCAACTACGCGACGCGCGCCCATTTCCTCTCTTCCATGCTCGTCGCCGGCGCGCGGTCCGCGGAGTGGCGCGGGGTGCGCGCGGCCTTTGGGTGGTGGACGGGCGCGACGCGCCTCGCGGCGCGGCGGGCGGCGGAGGGCGCGTCATCTTCCTTGCTCGGGCCTCCGCCCTCGCCCGTGGTCATGCCCCCCGGCCGCCGCGCACCGCCGCGCGAATCGACGGCTGCCCAGCGCCACCGAGCGGTGTTGAGGAATTTGGACGTGGCGCGGGCCCGGACCGCCGAGGCGCGGGACGCGCTCGCTGGGTTGCTGCCCCCATAACTATGCGATAACTTTTATGACACACGGTGTGCTTACCGACTCACACCTCCTTCTCCTCGTCCTCGTCGAAGAGCCCCGCCTTGGGCGCGACGACGCGCTTCTTCGTCGACGAGATGGGCAGGCCCGTCAGCGGGTCCACCTCGGGCTCCGGCGTCGCGGGCTCCTTTGCCGGCGGTTCAGCGGGCGGCTCAGCCGGCGGCGCCGCGTCCTCCGCGGGCGGCGGCGCCGCGGCGACGGGCGGCGGCGGCGCCGCGGCGACCGCGCGGACGGCGGACACGGTCGGCGGCGCCGTGTACGCGGGCGGCGGCGGCGCCGACCGTGCAGGCGGCACGGCGGCGACCACGGGCCCCGCCGAGGGCGAGCGCCGCGCGGCGACGACGCGGCCGGCGCGCACGGGACCGGCCGGCTTGGCCCCGGCCGGCTTGGCCTTGACGGCGGTGACGACGCGCGGGGCGGTTGCCCCTGGCTGTGCGCGGACGACCGGCTGCGCGGGCGGCGCCCGGGGCGGCGCCGGCGGCTCGGCGGACGCGAGGATGGGCCGCCCGTACTCGTCGTAGCGGAGGTCGTCCGCGCCCGACGCGCGGCGGTGGCCGTACGCGGAGTTGTCCGCCACGTAGCCGGTTCCTCCCGCGAAGGTCCGCGGCGGCGCGCCGTCGGCGCCGTAGAACTCGTCGCCGTGGCCCTGACGCTGGGGAAAAACGGTCGCGTAGAAGCGGTCCAAAGCTGCGTACAGCGGCTCGGCGGCCCGCGGGCGGTCCACTCTGCCGCCCAAGATGTCGCGCGCGCCGACCTTGTAGCCGTAGAACTTTTCGTTCACGTCCTTGCGCACCGAGACGTACGCCGCGTCGACCGTGACGCCCGCGTAGCCGCCTCTACTATGCGAGTAGCTCATGTACGCCTCCGAGTTCTGCGAGCCGCTGGCCGCGAGGTAGGCCTCTCCGGTCGCCGACCGGCCGAGCAGCCCCAGAGCGACGGACGCTTCGCCGCCGACCATGACGTTCGAGACGGTTTCGTTCGCGAACTTCTCCATCGTCTCGCGGTCGATGCCCGTGACCATGTCCGTAACCTCCGCGCCGACGCACGCGCCGAACGTGACGCCAAAGTTGCCCACGGCGCACGGCGCCGACCACGTCCCGTCCGGCAGTTTCGCCAACACGAGCCCCGTGCCGACGCGCACGCCGCCGATGAACGCGACCTTGCCCACGGTCATGAAGAGCAGGCCCTCGACGGCCTCGAGCATCTCCGTCGCGTACTCGGCGTCGCGGCCCCAGTAGTTGACGTTGTCGCGGTCCGTCAAGTTCTGGATCGCGTACGAGGCCTTGCGGATTTCGCCGCCCAGCGTGAACCGGAGGGGGCTGTTGAGGTACTTCGTCGTCGAGTCGTCCTCGAGGAAGTTCTCCCGCTCCGCGTTCGCGTTGCCCTTGATCCAGCCCTCCTGCTCCGGCGCCAGGATGCTATAGCACGTGTCGCACGTGCGCTGGGGCTCCTTGATCGCCCACTGCGGCGGGAGCATGGCCTTGCGCGCCGAGCAGCGGTGGCAGAACAGGTTGCCGCAGAAGCGGCAGTGGTGGCGCCGCTCCACGAGGCCGTCGAAGACGACGTGGCACGAGCGGCCCGTGCAGCGCTGCGACGCGCGGTCGTCGATCCACGCGGGCGGCGTCGGCGGCCACTGGCGCTCCGCGGACTCGGCGACGACGTCGGTCATGCTGTGTCCTGGCTCTCGGGCTGAGAGCGATGCGAACGGTGCTACTTGACCACTGCTGCGTTAGACACAGCGACTATTGTTTCCTGCACGCAAAAACGTCAATGGATAAAGCGGATCGGGTCGTTTTAGGGAAGACGATGCGATTTTTCCCTCCGCTTTTGCTAGAGTGTTACAGCCGCTAGCACCGAGTTTTGCGGCCAGCCATTTTTGCTCATTATTTCGCCGCTCACGGGGCTCGCCATCGATTGAAAGCTTCAGTGTGCACCGCACGCGTAGCGCATAACACCCCGATCAGCGCGGAGGCGCACCCGCGAAGCGCCAGCCACAAAAACACAAAAAGCGACCACACGCCCTCGGCGGTGATAAAATGGCGTCCATGACGACGCGGGACGACGCCCTCCAGTTCGGCGCCGTCGACTGGCAGCGCCTCATCCGCGAAGGCGCCGTCGCCGACCAGCACGCGGCCGCGATCAAGGGCGCCGAGGCCTCGTCGCTCGAGGCCGTGCTGGGCGACGCCGCCGCCGCGCGCGCCTACGCCGCGGCGCTCGCCGCCGTGGCCGGCGGCGTCGACGACGGCGCCGCGCGCCGCTACTGCGTCACCAAGGCCGAGGACGTGCTCGTGGCCGACGGCGCCGCGGCGGCCAAGGCGCAGCTCTTCGCGCCGGGCGGCCTCGCGAACTTCGTGGCCGCCGCGGGCAAGGCGGCTCGCGCCGGCGACGCCTACAGCACGCGCGTCGCCGCGGCCGTGGCCGCGGCGCTCGTGGCCGCGGACGCGCAAGCCGACGCCGGGCCGCTCGTCGCGTGGCTCGCGACGCAGATGGCCGACGGCACCTCCGCCCGCGAGGCCGCGCCGGCGCTCGCCGTGGCGCTCCGCGCGCCGCGCGCGCGCGCCGCCTTCGCCGCGCAAGGCGGCGTCGCGCTGCTCGCGGCGCGCCTCAACGACGCCGGCGGCGGCGCGCAGCTCAAGTACGAGGTCGCGTTCTCCCTCTGGTGCCTCAGCTTCGAGGAGGACGCGCCGGACGATTTCGTGCGGAGCCACGCCGTCGAGGCGCTCTGCGGCGCGGTCGCGGCCGCGCCGCGCGAGAAGGTCGTGAGAGTCGCCGTCACGGCGTTGCTGAATGCGGCGCGCGACGACGCGGCGGCGACGCGCATGGTCGGCGCGGGCCTCGGGACGACGCTCGCGTCCATGGCCTCGCGCCCGTTCGCCGACGACGACGTCAAGGCCGCCGTGGGCGAGCTGGCCACGCGGGTCAAGTCCGTCTCCAAGGAGCTTTCCACGCTCGAGCGCTACGCGGCCGAAGTGGCCTCGGGGAAACTGCGGTGGGGCCCGGTGCACTCGGAGGCCTTCTGGGTCGAGCACGCCAAGGCCGCGGAGAAGGACGACTTCGCTCTCGTCCGGCGCCTCGTCGAAGTCCTCTCGGAAGCGACCGGCGACGTCGAGGCGCTGGCCGTCGCGTCGTACGACCTCGGCGAGATCGCGCACCGTCACGCGGGGGCGAAGAGTGCGCTCGTAAAGCTCGGCGCGAAGGACGCCGCGCTCAAGCTGATCGACCACGAGGACGAGGACGTCCAGCGCCGCGCGCTCCAGTGCGTCTCGAAGATCCTGCTGCGCGGCGGGAGCAGCGTGGTCGGCGGTGCGTGATTGGGGTATGACTATAAGTTGCGTGTATCATTTCAAGTCCCGCGTCCGCCACTCGTGAACGGTGAACTAGACGCGGGAACTGCAAAGAAATGTAGAACTCCTATACACTCCCCGGCGGCGCAGTCATGGCTTGCAGTAGCACCAGCCGCTGCCCTCGACCTCGCATTCTGCGTCGAGGCAGCACCACGGCGTCGTCGACGGCGATGACGACGTATGGTCGCAGGCATTTCCGAAAGCGTCCGTCGAGCACGCGTTCTGAGTGGCGGCGCATCCGGGCAAGGTCGCGTCGGTCCACGAGGCCATGCACGTTCGGCCCCCGGAGAGGCATTCGCCGGAGGCGGCCTGCTCCGGCGGAGCGCCCGCGTTGCATTTACACCAACCCTGGCCCTCGCCCTCACAATTGTTCGTGGTGCAGCACCAGTAAAAACCTGTGCGGAAATCAACCAGTGCGTCAGGCCGGCCTGGATGTATTATTTACTATTCTGGCCGCCTCGACGCAGCGCGAGAGTGCTTGGCGTCCTGGCACGAGGCAGCTTAGGCTTACTCACCCGAACTTTTGATTTCCGCACAGGTAAAAACTGTCGTCGCAGTTCGTGCAGTACTCCTGGGGAGTGCTGCAGCCGTTGATTGTGGGGTCGGTCCAGGACGCGAGGCAGGGCGTGGAGCTCTCCTGTGCGGAAATCAAACGTTCGGGTGAGTAAGCCTAAGACACCTCGTGCGAGGACGCCGAGCACTCTCGTGCTACGTCGAGGCGGCCAGAATAGTAAATAATACCTCCAGACCGGCCTGACGCACTGGTTGATTTCCGCACTGGTGCTCGCCGTGCAGTACCCCGGGGTGCCCTGGTTGCCGCCGTCCCCGCCGAGGGAGAGCAAGAGGATGAGGAGGATGATGACTATTGCGATGCCCGCGATGACACCCCAGTGAACCTTGTGCAACCGACCATCGCCCCGGCGTCGGGCTTGCTGGTACTGCCGCCGGGCCGCCGCGTTCCCTTTGGGGCGGCTCCGAGCTCCATATGACGCGACAGGCATCGGCAGGGGCACGGCGAACTGACCCCCGGGACCTACGCCCGCGGGAATGACCACCGTCATCATCTGGCCGGTGTTCGGCGCGCGAACCTGTGCGCAAATCAACCAGTAGTTGAGACTCGCGTCCGTCGGGCATGGAGGAACGCGCCGCGACAATTGATTTATGCACTGGCGCGCACGCTGAGCCGCATGCCGGAGAAGTGGCCCGCCGGCACGATGACCGGAAACGTGCCCGCGGGCGACGACGGAGGCACGGGGCGCGGCGACTGGACTTGCTCGGCATAGACGGGCTGCGCGGGCCGCGTCGACTCAATATTGACCTGGTAAACCTTCGGCTGCGGCGACTGGACCACCTGAGCCTGAACGGGCGCTGCGGGAACGGGCCGGGGCTGCCGCGGAAGCGGCACCATGAAGCTAGAACCAGGGTAAACCCCTGCTGGCACAACTACAGTCAACGTCTCGCCCGTCGTCGGAGCGCGAACGTTGAGCTGCGAGCCAGGCCCGGCCGAGGGCGGTACTTGCACCGCAAAATGGCCTTCCATGGTAGTGAGTGTGCGTCTTACGGGGCCGTGCGCGGCTATGATACGGGGCCGTGCAGCGTGCGCGGCTATACGGGGCCGTTCAGCGTCGCGCGTCTGTTTACAGCCGTCGGGACAGCAGATGGGCAGCTATAATCATCAACTTTTTGAGCTGCCCAACTTTCAGTCCTGTCTTTGCTTCGCTGCCCGCGTGCACGTGCAACCGCAGGGCGTCCTCGCTAACCACAAAACGGGCATTTGAGGCTGCCAGGAAGAGGGTCGCGCCCTCGCGCGCCCACAAAAAACAGACCGAGGCGCCGAGGCGCCTCTGCCAACAAGAGGTAGCTTCGCGCCCTCGCGCGCCCAAAGAAAACAGACCGAGGCGCCTCTGCCCAACAAGAGTAGCTTCGCACAATGGGGAAGGGCGGCAAAGGAGCTCACCACCATCACCGCTCTGGGGGGTCCCGGAGCAGCTACTCTCGAGGCCGCAACCGTGGCGGCTTCTTCTTCCACCACCGGGGTCCCTCGCACTCCCACGTTACGTACCGCGGCCACCGGTCCTACCACCGCTTCCAGGTCCGGGCGGCCGTGACCATGGCCGCGGGCGGCACGCTGACGGTGGGGCTCATGGGCCGGCGCTCTCATCGCCACCGCACGCACGTCGGCTACGTGCCGCAGCGGCCCTTGATGGCGGGCCCGATGGCCTACGCGGCGCTCTTTCGTGGGCTCGTAGACTTTGTGGACCACACCGAGGTCGACGAGGTCTCCGAGCAGCGTCGCTGGGCCATCGACTGCTCGGGCGACGACCAGAACGGCACCGCGCTGCAGTTTCATCTGTGGCGGCGGGCGCACCGGTACGTGGCGCCCGACTTCTACGACGCGCCGGCGGCGACGACGGAGCCCGCGGACGACGACGCCTGGCGCGCGGAGCTGCCGCCCGACGGGCCGAACTTCGCCGTCGTCGACATCGCGCTGATCGCGAAGGAGCCCGAGGCGGCGGCGGACACCCTGAACGACTGCGGCCTGGGCCAGAAGCTCGGGCCCCCGGCGCGGCAGCTCATCCGCGACGTCGCGGCGGCGTGCCGCGGGTTCTACGGCAGGAAGACGACGAAAATGGTGTGCTGTTGCTTCGAGGTCGACGACGCCGCCGCGGTCGAGGACCGCAACGACGATATCGAGGACGCGGCCGTCGCCGCGCTGGGCCGCGGCGCCGCCGGCCAGCTCCCGCGGGACGCGACGGTGTCCTTCGTGCGCCTCGGGGCGCTGCTGGCCGTCGTCTTCGAGATCGTGCCCCCGGCGCCGGCCGGCGTCGCGTCGTTCCCGCCCACGGGGGCGGCGGCGGCGCCTCGTACGTTCGAGGTGAAGCCGCTGGTCGTGGGGCCCGTGGATATGGACGGCGTCGTCGAGGAGAATGCCTCCTCGTCATCGTCCGACGACGACGACGACGACGTCACCCGCACCAATTCTGGTTTGGCCGCACTCCGCCAAAAGTACAGCGGCCGCGCGTCCTACGTCGAGGGCGAGTCCGCGGACTACGTCGCGACCGCGCCCGCGTACCCGACCGTGACCGTCTGTGTGGTCAAAATTTCACGGCGCGTTCGTGCTGAATCGTCGCGTCGTCCTCCACATGCACTCGACGCACTGGTTGATTTCCACACAGGTAACCGTCGAGGCCGCGCCGGTCGTCTGTCGGCCCGTCTCGTCGTGGACCGGCCCGCCGCCGCCGCTCGTCGAGGCGGAGCTGCGCGCGGCCCACGCGATCGCGAGCGCCGCCCGCGGCGAGTTCGTGCCGCAGTTCTCCCAGGCGCTCTGGCAGGCGACGGCGCACGTCGTGAACTGTGCACAAATCAAATTTCGCGGCGCCTTCGTCGCGCCCGTCGAGCGCGAGCAGGTCCTCGAGAAGATCGAAGCCGACCTTTCATTGCTGAATCGTCGCGTCGACCTCTACTACGCCATCGACGCGACGCCTGCTCGATCGCGTGGCGGTGCCAGACCCGACTCACTATTTGATTTACAGGTCAACGCCACGACCCAGAACCCCTCCGGCGCCGCCGTTCTCCGCGCCTTAGAGGACTTCACATTCACGGCGCCGCAGGGCGCGTTACCGGGCACATCCTTCGTCGTCCGCGCCCCGACAGGCGCGCTCATAGCGGCGACCTTCCCGCCGGGGATCGGGCCCGGTATCGCGTCTGTGTCGGAAATTCCACGCGTCGATGGCGTGGCGGGAGACGCCGTCGCCGCGAAACTCACGGCTCGCTCGCGCAGGCTACAACATCTACGTCCACGCGCCCGGCGCGTGGGGAGCCATCGCCACCTCGGCCGAGGCGCCATCACCACGGCCCGGCGCGTATCCGCCACCGCCGCACTACCAGGCGCCCGTCGCCCTCGTGACCGCCGCTGGCGTGGGCGAGCCGGCACCGGTCCCCGGCGCGCCCGTCCAGGGCTGGGGCGCGTAGAGGTGTAGGGACGTGGATGGCGTATAACGTCATTCTCGGTGCATTTGACATTCCGTTTGTGCCAGCACTTGCGCCCGCGTGCGGTGCTTATGCCTCGCAAGAATTGGATTTTGGCGCTGCCTTTGCTTAAGGAGCGGTGCGGAGCGGCTCGACGGCGCCTTTAGCAGTCCTAACGTGCAAGGCTCAGGCTCAGGCTAGTTACGTCGCAGGGTCCCCCGTACCCCTCCCGCTCCCCCGGGCCCACCCGTCCGGCTGGACTAGGACGCAAGGGCTGAGTCGCAGGGAAGACTAAGGCTAAGGCTAAGGCTAAGGCTAAGGCTATTGCTAGTGCCTTACACGCCGCTAGCTCCAGCAAAACCGGCAACCTCAGTCCAGCGCCCTGGAGTGCCAGTGTCCGTGTCAAGTGAAGTTCTGTGTGACTGCATGCGCATAAGCATTGTAGCTGCCAGATTCTCAAGCACATCGCTTCCTCGTACTAGGGGGGAAATTACTACTGGAGACCCATAAAATGGCAGAGGTGATGCCACCGGTGGTGCAGGCCCAGGTCGTCGAGTCGCAAAAGATCTACCCGGGCCAGCCCGGCCAGGTCGCCGTGCCGGTTCGTGGCAATGCGGCGGCAAGACGCCAGTACATGGCGAACCGGCGCGGGGGGGACGGTAGTGGCCGCTTGCGCCAAGTACACTATCTAATCGCTTTCGGCATTGCGGTACCCATCATCGTCCTCATCGTCCTACTCGCGGTACTCCTCCCCCGCGAGGAGAGCGGCGGCAAAAGCGACGACGACAGCGGCCAGAGCCGCCACGATGCCCCCGGTTACTGTACGGCGAGCGCCACGCAATGCCTGCCCTTGTGGACCGACAACACGATAAACGGCTGCAGCAGCCACCAGGAGTACTGTACGAATTGCGACGACAGTTTTCACTGGTGCTGCACCACGAACAATTGTGAGGGCGAGAACGAGGGTTGGTGTAGATGCAACGCGGGCGCTCCGACGAAGCAGCCCGCCTCCGGCGAATGCCTCACCGTGGACCGAACGTGCATGGCCTCGTGGACCGACGCGACCTTCCCCGGATGCGCCGCCACTCAGAACGCGTGCTCGGCGGACGCTTCCGGAAATGCCTGCGACCATACGGCGTCTGAGCCGTCGACGATCCCGTGGTGCTGCCTCGACGCAGAATGCGAGGGCGAGGGCAGCGGCTGGTGCTACTGCAAGCCCTGACGCGCCGGGTGTGTATATTACTGTATAAGGAGTTCTACTACGACTGATGGGCGCGGCCCGCGTCTTTCATACTAGCAAGCTGTCGACCCGAACGCACTTCCCTGCTAGTATCTTACATCGCTAGGCCAAAAAAGTTAACCCAACAAGGTCGCAGATGCCTTCGCAGGATTGCCTGGGTACTCATGAATTGTCGAGCGTTTGCATCCGCTTGAGTGCTGTCCTGGCAGCCGATAAATAGCGGTCACGAAGATGCCACCGGGCAACTTCGTCGGCGTCGACCCGGCGGCGGAGGTCGCGGCGCTGCGGTCGGACACGAGCGGCGCGGAGCCCGCGTCCTCGGAGGCGTTCGACGTCGTAGTGCTCGGCGGCGGCCTGGCGGGCCTCTGCGCGGCGCACCGGCTGGCGAAGCGGGGCGTGAAGCGGATCGTGCTGCTCGAGGCCGCGGACGCCATCGGCGGCAACGCGCGCTCCGGCGGCGATTGCCCCCTCGGCGCCGGCTACGTGCCGGTGCCGTCGCGGCGGTCCAAGCTGCACGAGTTCGCGCAGCTCCTCAAGGAGCTCGGCGTGACACGGCGCGACGTCTGCCGCGCGCCCGTCGAGCGGCTCTACCTGCGCGCCGAGGAGCGGTGGCAGCGCGCGATGCCCGCAAACTTCGACGTCGCTCCGTTCGGGACGGGTGCAGACCGCGCCGAGCAGCGGCGGTTCCGGGGCAAGATCGAGGCCTTCGCGACGCGCCGGGGCCGCGACGGCCGCTTCGCGTTCGTGCTGCCCGTGGCCGCGTGCTCGCGCGACCCGACGATCTGCGAGCTCGACAAGGAGTCGGCCGCGGACTGGCTCGCGGCGCACGGCTTCCGCACGGCCGCGCTGCGCTGGTTCGTCGACTACTGCCTCCGGGACGACTACGGCACGGCGGCCCAGGACTGCAGCGCGTGGGTCATGCTGCACTACTTCTGCGCGCGCGGCCGCGAAACGCTCTACACGTGGCCCGACGGGCTGGGCCACGTCGCGGAGGCGCTCGCGGCCCGCCTCGCGAAAGCGGGCGTCGACGTGCGGACGCGCGCGCCCGCGCTCCGCTGCGTCGCGCGCGCCGGGGGCGTCGCCGTCACTTACGCGGCCGGCGGCGGCGGCGCGCCCGTCCTCCGCGAGGTGACCGCGGCGCACGCGGTCTGCGCGCTCCCGCGGTACGCGGCGGCGGCGCTGCTCGACTCTCCCGAGGCCGCGGGGCCGCCGCTCGCGTACGCGCCCTGGGTCGTGTCCAACCTCCGCGTCGCCGCCCCGCCCGCGGGCACCGCCTGGGACAACGTGGCGTACGACGCCGCCGCGGCCGACGGCGCGCCTGCGGCGGATGGCGACCTCTCGCGGGCCTCGCTCGGCTTCGTCGTCTCCACGCACCAGCGACGCTTCCGCGGGAACTGCCTGGATGCGCTGCGGCGGCCGCGGCCGGCGGTGCTGACGCTCTACGCCGCGTTCGCCGACGGGGACCCCGACGCGCAGCGCGCCGCGCTCGCGGCGCGCTCGCGCGAGGACCTCGCGGCGGCGGCCGTCGCCGAGGTCGCGCGGTCCCACCCGGGCGCGCCCTCCGCCGTCCGCGCGGTCGACGTCCGCGTGCTCCCGCGCGCCATGGCCAAGCCGGCGCCCGGGTTCTTGGAGCGGGTCTTCGGCGCGACCGCGGCGCCGCGGAGTGCTCTCGGGGGCGCGCTCGTCTTCGCGCACACGGACATGTCGCTCCCGCTCGTCGAGGAGGCGCACTTCTGGGGCGCCACGGCCGCGGACGCCGTCTGCCGCGCCCGTGGCGACGCGGGGGCCGTCTTCCGCCTCAACACGCCGGCGCGCGCCCTCGTTCAAACCGACGCCCAGGAGGAACTCGCTCTCGCGACGCCGACGCTCTGAGTTTTTTAATTTTGTTATAGTGCTACTAGGACTCGTTGGGCGGCGCGGGGGGCGCTGAGGGACTCATGCGGCGCGCCACGAATGCGGGGAGAGCGAATGCTGCGCGGTGAACCGCGGGCGTCCAGTAGTCCGTCTCGCCGAGGGTCGCGGCGATGGCGGCGAGGTCACGCGTCGCGCACGGCGCGGCGGCGCCGCAGAGGAGGGCCGAGTAGGAGCCCGACGAGTATGTCGGTTGATTCCATACAAAAGGGCTAGCGTGCGCGAAATGCGCGGCGTAGCGGGGCAGCGTCGCTGCGGCTTCATCAGTATTCCAGAGGAGACCTGTGTGGAAATCAAACAGTGCGTCGGGTGCACACGCCGTCGAGCAGGCGTCGCGTCGATGGCGTGGAGGTCGACGCGACGATTCAGCGAACGCGCCGTGAAATTTTGATTTCCATGTGCACAGGAGCAGACTTGTATAATTTCTACAGAAGAAGCCGCCCGGCGCTACGAGCGCCGCGACTGAGACGAAAAAGGCGTCCGTGTAGAGCGTCCCGGACGCTCGTTCTGCTGCGCTACAATCCGTCGAGTCGCAGATGACGAGGTCGTAGGTGTCGCCGCGCGCAGCCGCCGCCGCCGCGAACGCGGCGCCGTCTGAAACGTGAACTTCCGTGCGCGGGTCGTCGAGGCCCGCGGCGCACGCCGGGAAGAAGCGCCGCGCGGCGTCGAGGACGGCGGCGTCGATGTCGACGAGCGTGACGGTCGCGCCGGGCCAGCGCAGCGCCTCGCGCGCGCAGCCGCCGTCGCCGCCGCCGATGATCAACACGCGCGGCGCGCCGGCGCCGGGTTTTCTCGAGGCGAGCGGCACGTGGACCATCATCTCGTGGTAGTGGCACTCGTCGAGCTCCGTAAGCTGCAGATCGCCGTCGATGGTCATCACGTGGCCGAAAGCCTCCGTGTCGAAGACCTCGATCGCTTGGAATGCGGATCTCGTCGCCAGCAGCCGAGCACCAAGGTCGAGGACCAAATGCGAGCCGACGTTCTGGTCGCAGCTGACGCAACACGGCTTGTGGGGCTCCGTGCGGCAGCCGGCCACCGCTGGAAGAGCCCGCGTGGGCCAGCGGAAGAGGCTCGGCTTGTGGTTGATCATCATCTCCTGCCGCTTCTCCCGCTTCTCGCGGCGCCGCCGCGCGCGAAGGAGCGCCCGCCAGCCATTCTGCTTCGGCTTTTTGTCGCTCGTCGCCGCCTCTTCGGCGGGCATCCTGCTCTCTGGGCAGCCCTTTGGATGCGCGCAAAAGCTTCGGGCTGCGTGTACCCGCACGAAATGTGGGCTGTTCTTTTCCTCACGAGCAGTCAGATAGGGCTCGGAGGCGTCCCGGCGCGAGAGTTGCTGCGGCTGGCAGCTTTTGGTGCAGCGTCCAGGCTTCGAGGAGCGCCACTGAGTCTAGAGCTGGCGCCACTGGGGGCAAAACACGTCCAGTGCTCAGCCCCATCGGGTGCACACTTGTCACGGGCTGGTGCGCTGGAAAGCCCATAGCCAGGGCTACCCAGCCGCGTTGGCCGTGACAAGTGTGCGCCTGTAGCGGCCGAGAAAAGCTGGCCTGAAGTTCGGCCCTTCGACGCACCTTAGCGGGCCGCGCGAGGCTCCCCGCGAAAAACTTTTGCTGAGCCGAGGCTGCCCGAGAAGGTACTGAAGCCAGTGGAACGCGCAGGGGCAGCTATCTGCACCAATTCTGTCGCTGAGATTACTTTCGGCGTACCGCCCCGCGGTGCGACCTACACCCCATCGCTAGACGGCATGCACGAAAGACGGAAACGGCTCGGGCACATGCGTGGGGTACCCCCGGACACTGCGGCCGCGTTCGAGCGCTCGAGAATCTGGAGATAGTGTCGTATTATGTGTCTCGGGCGGGACCGTCTCGCAGTCGACTAAAAGCACCGAAACGACCAAATCCAAGTTACGCGAGGGCAGCCGAGGGTACTATCCGTCCCTGTGAACGATAATTGACGCTGAGGAGCCCTGGAAGGCGAAGCGAAGGGGGTGTAAAAATTGGGGGTCGCCGAGATTTATCTAAATTTTCCTAGGAGTCCGTGTCTCGGGCGCCCAGGGCTCCAAGCGGCTCTCCCTCGCGCCGATAGCGTATTTTTCAAATGCTCGGTTTTTAGCGTGAATTAGGCGCCGTCGGCAGCTAATTAGGAGATCAAAGCAGCATCGCAATTATATGGCAGCCCGCTTTGCATGGGACCCGACGACATCATAAGGAGCCCCCACGCCAAAGCCCCGCTGCGGGCATGGCCGGCAGCACCGCCAAGCCAGCTGCTGGACATCAAAACCAACGTACAGCATATTCCTACCTAGCTACCCCCCTCATAGGAGCGCCGGTCCGCTGGAGGGGCGGCGGTCTGTACGCAGGCGCAAGCCAGGCCCGCTCTCCTTGGGCAAGAGAGAAAGGACGCCCACTCTTCGCTGTTCATTGCAACGGACGAGGTCCAGCGCTTAAAGGGCGCCATGCCTGGGCACCAGAGGCAGCGCCTCCTCGTGATCTTTATCGCGGCGGCGGTCGACGCGCAGTGCCCCAACAACTGCAATCTCAAGGGCAAATGCGACCCCTTCGGCCGCTGCACCTGTTTTTCGGGCTGGACGGGCGCCGACTGCGGCTACCGGAAGTGCCCGACGCACTACGCGTGGGCCGACGTCGCGTCGAGCGACGAGGTCGCGCATGCGCGGGCCGAGTGCTCGAATCGCGGCCTCTGCGACGAGGGGACGGGCGAGTGCGAGTGCGCCGAGGGCTTCACGGGCAAGGCGTGCCAGCACCTGGCCTGCGACCGCGAATGCGGCTTCAAGGGCAAGTGCGTGTCGATGCGGAACTTCGCGTCGTCGCAGTACAACGAGGACTCGCAGCAGTTCGTCTACGAGACGCCCTGGGACGCGGACAAGATGTACGGCTGCGTCTGCGACTCGCCCTACGACGCCGTGTTCAACTGCGCGTTCCGACGCTGTCCTTCCGGCGACGACCCCATGACGCCGGACCAGAAGAACGAGGTCCAGTACTTCAAGTGCATGGCGACGGGCGGGACGTTCGTTCTGTTGATGGCGGGCCACGCCTCCGGAGACATCCGGACGGGCATGAAGGAGCACCAGCTCAAGGCCGCGCTCGAGCAGTCCGCCGCGATCACCGAGGTCGACGTCACCTACTCGATCGACAACGGGACGGCGTGCACCACGGACTCGGTCAACGTCGTGCGCATCGAATTCACGCAGGACTTCGGGAGCCTGCCTCCGTTGGTGCCGCTGGACGACGACCTCGCGGGCACGATCCAGGTCTCGGCCGACGGCCAGACGGTGTTTACGGACAGCTTGGGCGCCGACTTCGTCTCGAAGAAGGGCACGAAGGAGGACGAGGAGTGCTCGAACCGGGGCATCTGCAACCCGTTCGACGCGACGTGCCTGTGCCTGGACACGAACGGCGACACGTTCAAGAGCTCGGACGGCTACGGCAACGAGGGAAACCGCGGCGACTGCGGCTTCGCGGCCACGGCGATCGACGAATGCCCGGGGATGACCGCGTGCTCCGGGGCGGGCATTTGTGACCTGAGTACCTATCGATGCTCTTGCGCGAAAGGCTTCACGGGCGCCGACTGTTCCTTGCGGACGTGTCCGAAGGGTCTCGCGTGGTTCAGTTATCCGTCTGAAGCTGTGTGGAAATCAACCAGCGGGTTAGGTCATTCGAGCCTCCTCGCCATCGAGCCGACGCGTCGATGGCCTGGACACCCCACGCCATCGAGCAGACGCAGCTACAGAGACAACATCGCGTCGATGGCGTGGCCACCTCACGCCATCGAGCAGACGCAGCTACGGAGACAACATCGCGTCGATGGCGTCGGGCGCCCGAATTTTGATTTCCACGTAGGTCCGAAGACAACGTCGGCCACGACGTCCTCGAGGTATGCAGTGGCGCGGGCACGTGCGACACGACGAAGGGCGAGTGCGCCTGCGCGGTACCCTTCACGGGCAACGCGTGCGAATTTATTCAGTGCCCCGGCGGGCTGACGAACGAGTGCAACAAGCACGGGCGGTGCGCGACGATGCGCGAGATGGCGCTACTTGCCACTTCGAACGGCGACTCGGACCCCCGCCTGTACGGTTCTGACCCCAACAACGGCAACACGTGGGATGCGGATAGAATATACGGCTGCATCTGCGACGAGGGCTGGACTGGTTACGATTGTAGCGAGCGGGAATGTACGTACGGCGACGACCCCAATACCTACGGCCAGGTTAACGAGGTACAGCTCTTCGAGTGCGCCGGGACAGCTGGCACGCTTACGCTTAGCTTTAGACAGAAGACGACTTTGCCGATCGCGTACAACGCCTCGAGGCAAGAATTAGAGGAAGCCCTCGAGTGGCTGACGAATATCGGCGACGTCATAGTTCTCTTCTCGTCGGGCAACTCCACGTGCACCGACATAGGCCTCTCCGTGAACGCGGTGACGGTCGCCTTCGTCACGGAACACGGTGATCTCCCAGACCTCAGCGCGGACACGAGCCAATTGTTCGACTCGAACTTCGGCGACGAAATCGGCGGCGGCTCAGTGGTATTCTTCGTTGACGGCGCCGCGGCCGCGTCGGACGCCTCCCTGGTCTCGGTGACGGGCACAACAGAGTCGCTCGAATGTTCGGGCCGCGGATTGTGCGATCGATCGACCGGGCAGTGCGAGTGCTTTCCCGGCTACGCGAGCAGCGACGGCGTCGGCGGGCCCGGCAAGCAGGACGACTGCGGCTACCGGAAAGCACTCTGTACCGACGCATGGTGCGGAGCGACAGGGTAAATTTTGTTTCAAAATATATTGTTATGGTGCTAGGACTAGTGGGCGGAGTCCCTGGGGGGGAGACACCGCGCGTCGCCGACTAATAGGCGGCTGGAGCGTCCATTTCTACTGGAAGCTGTTGCTAGTGGCCTTAAGACGCTAGCAAGCAAGCACAGCCGCCACAGCCGCGTAGGCAGCGCCAGCGCTCGCAGTAGGCGTGCTAGGGAATTTATTTGATTGCGCTCACGACCATATCTCGTTTGCGCGACGAAGCCATGGCTGCGGCAGAGGAGACAACCCCAGCGGAGCTGCAACGATTACTAGAAGTCCAAAAGGCAGCCCTGCGGGAGCGCGGCCCGCCGAGCGTCCGGGAGCGCGAGCGCCGCCTCGACGTCATGGTCCAGCTCCTGCTCGCGAACGAGGATGATCTTGTTGCCGCCGTGACGGCGGACTTCGGCGTGCGGCCGCGCGAGGTCACGCGCTTCGCCGACGTGCTCATGGCGCTCGAGGCCTTCAAGGCCGCGCGGGCCGGCGTCCGGAGCTGGTGCCGGCCGGAGCGGCGGCGCGTCGACTTCCCGTTCAACGTCGTGGGCGCGACGAACTCCGTCGAGTACCAGCCCAAGGGCGTCGTCGGCGTCGTCGCGCCCTGGAACTACCCCATCATGCTGCTCCTGACGCCCGTCGCGTCGGCGTTCGCGGCGGGCGACGCCGTGCTCCTCAAGCCGTCGGAGCTCGCGCCGCGGACGGCGCTCCTGATCGCGCGGCTGGTCAACGGCGCCTACGACGAGTCGATCGCGCGCGTCGTGCTCGGCGGGCCCGAAACGTCCGCGGCGCTCGCGGCGCTGCCCCTCGACCATCTCGTGTTTACGGGCTCGACGCGCGTCGGGAAGCTCGTGGCGGCGGCGTGCGCGCGGAACCTGACGCCGACGACGCTGGAATTGGGCGGCAAGTGCCCCGTCATCGTCGGGAGGCGGGCGGACGTGACCGCGTGCGCGAAGCGCGTCGTCCACGGCAAGATTTTGAATTCCGGGCAGACCTGCCTCGCGCCGGACTATGTTTTTGTGGAGGAGTCGGTCCGGGACGCTTTTGTGGAGGCGTTCGAGCGGACGATCGCCGACATGTTCCCTCATGGTGTTTTGGGGAGCGGCGACTACGCCTCGATTATCTCCGCGGCCCACGGCGACCGGTTACGGGCACTGGTGGCCGAAGCGAAGAGCGCCGGCTGTCGCGTCATCGAGTGCCGCGGCGGCGCGGCCGACGACGCGCCCTCGGACGCTGCGCGGCGCGTCGCGCCGACGCTGATTTTAGATGCGGGCGACACGTTACGCGTGTCCTCCGAGGAGATCTTCGGGCCGCTGCTCGTGGTCCGGACGTACGCGCGACTCGCGGACGCCTTATCCTATATCGCGGCGCGGCCGAAGCCGCTCGCTTTATATTACCTCGGGCCGGACCGGGCCGAGGAGCGGCGCGTCCTCGACGCCGTGGCGTCGGGCGGCGTCACGGTGAACGACACGGTCATGCACTGCGGCCAGGAAGATTTGCCCTTCGGCGGCGTCGGCGCGTCGGGCCACGGCCGCACGCGCGGCCGCGACGGCTTCCGCGAGCTGTCGAACGTCCGCGGCGTGCACCGCCAGATCGGCCACGCGGGGCTCTCGCAGCTCGTGCTCGACGGTTTGTACCCGCCGTACGACCGCGCGGGCAACATCGTCGACCTCTACCTCTGGCTCAAGATGCGCGCGCTGCGCACGGCCCGGTGCAGCGTCATGTGATGCGCTCGCCGCTCGCTTTATCTTCTAACTACCATCTAGTGTGATTTTTGCGGTCCGGCCTAGTGAGGCCTGCTCGCGAGTGGTACAAGCGCAGTCTCCGAGTCATCGGTGGGCGCGCGGGGGAAATTCCTGGGATTACGGATGTGCCTCAACGGGTGCGCCTCAAATAAATTCTTGCAACACGACTTGTTTTTAAACAGTCGCTCTACGGCCGCGCGATGGCGCGGTTATGGCTGCCCCTGCTGCTATCGCCTTACGCCGCGCGGGCATGCGCGTTGGACAACTTGACGCGCGCCTGCATGAGCGGAAACACCACTGCCCATGAGTGGCCCTATGAAGACTGTTGCGATGCCTACAAGGAACTCAACGAGAGCGTCTGGTGCGCCGCCGGCGTGCGGAACAGTTCAGGATTCCAGGCGCTGAACGCCTGGTCAGGAGACGGCTACGGCGCCTACCGCGTCGCGGACGAGTGCGGCGCGGCGCTGCCGCAATGTTTCGTCGACGCGGACCGAGAAGCGACAGCGATCAAGCTGACGAAGCTCATCGACTGGGGCCCGAGCTACGAGGACGACACCCTCAAATGGGACGCCGAGATGACGGCGATTTGCCACGCCGACATCGAGTACTGGCAGCCGCACATCGGCGCTTATATAGGACGAAACGAGTTCATCGAGTACGCCTACACGCTGTCGCCGAAGTTCAATGGTGGTGCGTTCCTGCACTCGCCGATCAACATCGTCGACATTGCAAAAGGCGAGGGCGACTGGGTCATGAACTACACGTGGCGCACGGCCGCCGGGTTCAACGACGAGACGCTCGACGGAAAGCCGGACGAGACAACCATCCTAAAGCTAGGGTTCTCCGACGACCCGGGCCAGGCCTACCGCCTGACCTACACGGAGTTCTCGCGACCGACCTACGAGTTCATGTCGCAGATCTCGATGACGCCCACCGTCTTGTGCGGCACGGCGCTGGCGTACTGCCCCGGGACGCTCTTCCCCTACGACTCCATGGACGCCTGCGTGAGCTACCTGACCGAGACCGTGCCGGGGGCCTGCCTCGACGGCGCCGGCGGCTTCTTCAGCGGGGACACGCGCGCGTGCCGCCAGATGCATCTGCAGCTCGCGCTGCTGGACCCGATCGTCCACTGCCCCCACCTGGGGCCCGACTCGGAGAAGTGCACGGCCGAGGCGCGGTCCGGGTCGCGCGTGACGGCCTACTGCGGCGCGACGTCGCCGCCCTTCGGCCTCGAGCGCGACGCGACGCGGCCGGGCCTCGCCGCGTCCGGCGTCGCGTTCCTGCTCGTCCCGGCGGTGCTGGCGCTGGTGCTCGTGGCGGCCGGCGCGCGGGGCTGGGGCGACGTCGCCGCGCCGGCGGCGCCCGAGCCGACCGACGCGCGGCGCCGCCTCATTCACCTCGTGAGCTCGAAGTCGCTCGCGGACAGCTCCCTGCGTCGGTCGCTGGGCTCCTCGGTCTCGCTCCTGTCGCTGCCGCGCGACGCGTCGGGCCTGGAGCTGTCGCCGATGCGGCGCGACGCGTCGCCGCTGCGCGACCGCCCGGACTGGACCTCTCTCTCGCACCGGCCGGTCCCTCGCTTCGTCGACGACGACGCGTGCAGCGGCGCGCCGCCCGCGGCCGAAGACGACGGCGCACATCCGGACGAGCTGCCGGCGCGGCGCGTCGGCATCCAGTTCCGAGACATAGCCATCGACGCGATCTCTTGGCGCGGCGAACCGAGGCGGCTCGTCCGGGGCCTCCACGGCGCCGTCGCGCCGGCGACGCTCACGGCCATAGTCGGGCCGTCGGGATCGGGCAAGACGACACTACTCAAAGTCCTGGCGGGCCGCGAGGCGCTCTATGGCTTGAAGGCGACGGGGCGGCTCCGCGTGACGGAGTACGGCGACAAGGCGACGCCGCGGTCGCGCGCCTGGGCGGCGGCGCGGTCGCAGTACTCGTCCTTCGCGACAGAAGTGCCCCTCACGGGCGCGCTGACCTGCGGCGAGCAGCTGCGGTTCTACGCCCTGACGATCCCAGCGCTGAACGCGTCGACCGCGGCCCGCCTCCAGCGCGCGGCGGCGGTGGCGCTCGAGACGGGCCTGCGGGCCCACGACGGCACGCGGGTCGACCGGTTGTCGGAGGGCTTGTACCGGCGACTGCTCGTGGCGATCCGGTTGCTGGTCTTGCCGTCGATTCTCTGTCTCGACGAGCTCACGACGGGCCAGGACGCCGGCACGGCGCTGGCGCTCACGATGGGCGCGGGGCAGTTGACGCGACGCGGCTTGGCGGTCGTCGTCGTCGTGCACCAGCCGGCGGCGGAGCTCTTCGCCCTCTTCGACCAGGTCATCGCCGTGCGGCCCGGAGGCGCGGGCTGCGACGTCGCCTCGCCGCAAGCCATCTGCGACGCCGTCGCCGCGCTCCGTCCACGACAACCCAACTTGGCGGCGAACCCAGCCGACGTGCTGCTCGGCGACGCGCTCCAGGGCAGCGAGATCTTCGCGCCGCCGCCCGACTTCGTATCCGCCGTCGTTCCGGCCGAGAAGGCGACGCTGGCGCTCGGCGTCGACGCGCTCTGCCTCCGGACCGCGGCGCTCAAGGCGGCTCGCTTCTACCGCGCGAGCGGCCCGGGCCAGGTGTTTGGGTATCTCGCGACGGCCATGCTGCTGGCGCTGGTGCTCGTGACGCTGTTCGATCGCGTCGACGCGCCGCGGGAGCCGGCGTCGACGGCGGAAGGCGGCGACGTCGTCTTCATCCTGTTCGTGGGACTTACCACGTTGTGTGGCATCTCCAATTTCCAGGTGAACTGCGGCGCGTGCCCCATCGAGTGGAAGCGCTTCGAGCGGAACGCGGCGTCGCAGTACGACAGCCCGCTCGCGCACTGGCTCTTCGTCTGCGGGCGGGACGTGCTCGTGGTCACTTCCGGAGCGACGCCGTATTTTCTCGCGACGTACGCGGGTTGCAGAATGGATGGGTCCGGCGGGGGGCGGCTCGCGCCGTGTGTGGTCGTGTTCCTGCTGGCGCAGCACGCGTTCCACGCGGCGGGGTCGCTGTTTTACTACGTGAGCACGCCGAAGGAGTCGGCGCTCTGTGGCATCGCTTTCTCCGGAGTGTACAACTTTATCATCTTCTTGCTGGCCGGCGTCGTGGTGCCGCTGGCGCAGATGCCGCCGTTCTGGCGGGGCATCGCGAAGCTCTTGCCCGGGGCGAACGCGATGGGGCTGATGGTGTTCTACCTCTTCGCGGACCGGCCGTTCGACTGCGACGCGCTGGCCCATCCCACCATTTGTAGCGACGGCGACGTCGTCGTGGAGCACTTTGGCTTCGAGAAGTTCGAGGACCGCGTGGGGTCGGCGGTCGCGGTGATCGTCTTGAACTACGTCCTGGCGCGGCTCCTGCTCCTGGCGATCCTCGTCCGGTCGGCCTGCCGCCGCGGCACCGCGCCCTTCGGCCCACCGCCGGTCGACGATGATGGCTCGTCGATGGGCCCGGACTCGCCGCTCACCGTCGACTCGGACAACACGGTCTGGTCCGTGCGGCACGCGGAGAGCGGGTCGCCAAAGCTCTGGCCGGGGGACCAGGCGTCTTCTCTGCGGTCGGCGGAGGCGGTCTAGTAGTCTTCTCTGTCGTTGTAAGCACGGGTTGTTTTATTGTTGATCTTTGAACAGACTTCTTCTCTGCGGTCGGCGGAGGCGGTGTAGTAGTCTTCTCTGTCTTTGTAAGCACGGTTTGTTTCCTTGTTGATCTTTGACCGAACTTCTTCTCTGCGGTCGGCGGAGGCGGTGTAGTCCTTGTAAGTTCGTTTTATTGTCACCCGGGGCGTCGCCGTCGTCGTTCTGTGGTGTAATTGTGCTAGCGGGGCCTTGACGATACTAGTACGGGTCCATGAGGTCAAATGAACGAAAATTGATTTCCGATGCGTAGCAGGGCTAGCACGTGCACTCAAAATTAGTTGGATTTGAGCAAGGCCATTTTTTAGCTTAAAATTTGCGCGTAACGGGGCCTATCTCTCCGCCGAGGGATACTTCGTTCGCACTGCGACACGTCCGGCGCCGCTGGGCCCGGACTTGGATCGAGGCCCACGCTGACATCGAGACTAAAACAGGCTACGATGAAGGCTGTAATCTTAGCGTATTGCAGCAGCGTTGCAAAATATCGAAGAATTATTACTTTGTCGCCGCGGTGAGCGAAAATGCGAACGAAATCGGCTACGCATATGGCGAGTATGGCCAGTTTGGCTATAAACTGGATGCGCGACCTGCTAGCCGTGCGGCGGCATTAAGACACAAAACACGCGTTGCGAGAGGAAGGCGCGCAGACCAGCAGCTGCTCTGGCGCGACGCAAGGCAGCATCGCTGCCGAAACCGCCCGCCGCCGCGTTTCCGGATCCGCCGAAGGCGCCAGAAGCGCTGCCGACGCGACCGCGGTAGAAAACGCAGCCACGGCCGTATAAAACGCATCGATAACACAGGCTCGCGCTCGGCGGCGCCGACGCGCTCCGCGCGACGCCGCGCATGGGCCTGCTCTCGGGCCTCTTCGGCGGCAACAAGGGCACCATTTTGACGGAGTCGCCGGCCGGCAAGAAGCAGGACTTCCTCGAGGCCTCGCCCTACTGGGACCAGTCCACGGTCCCCGTGAACACCTTCAAGAACAAGAGCCCCTACACGGCCAAGGTCGTCAGCTGCAAGCGCATCGTCGGCCCCGAGGCGACCGGCGAGACGTGCCACATCATCTTCGACCACAAGGGCAACATGCCCTACTGGGAGGGCCAGTCCTACGGCGTCATCCCGCCGGGCACGAACCCGAAGAACGGCAAGCCGCACACGGTGCGCCTCTACTCCATCGCGTCGTCGCGCTACGGCGACAACATGGCCGGCAAGACGTCGTCGCTGTGCGTGCGCCGCGCGACGTACTGGGACCCGGACATGGGCAAGGAGGACCCGGCGAAGAAGGGCGTCTGCTCGAACTTCCTGTGCGACGCCACGGCGGGCGAACAAGTTAAGATGACCGGCCCGACTGGCAAAGTGATGTGAGCGCCTGTGTGGAGATCAAATACCAGGCGCTGCGTCTGTATCTCTAGCTCACTGGTTGATTTCCACGCAGGCTGATGCCCGAGGAGAAGGCGGACACGGACTACATCATGGTCGCGACGGGCACTGGCATCGCCCCGTACCGCGGCTTCATCCGCCGCCTCTTCACGGAGACGACGCCCGCCGGCGAGGCCTACAAGGGCCTGGCGTGGCTCTTCCTCGGCGTCGCCAACAGCGACGCCCTCTTATATGATGAGGAGTGGCAGGCTGTGTGGAAATCAAATTCCGGGCGCCCCGCCACCTAACTCACTGGTTGATTTCCACACAGGTGGCAGGCGGCCAAGAGCAAGTTTCCCGACAATTTCCGCGTCGACTACGCGCTCTCGCGCGAGGAGAAGAACAAGAAGGGCGGCAAGATGTACATTCAGGACAAGGTCCGTTGCGGCGTCGCACAGTCGCTTCGATTTGATTTGCGGCGGGGGACGCGTCGACGGCGCGGCGCTCGACGCGACGACGGCGCAGCGCTCGACCGACATTTGACCACACAGGTCGAGGAGTACGCCGACGAGATCTTTGAGCGCCTCCAGAACGGCGCCGTCATGTACTTCTGCGGCCTCAAGGGCATGATGCCCGGCATCCAGGACATGCTCAAGGAGGTCTGCCGGAAGAAGGGCCTGACGTACGATGACTTCGTCGCCGACCTGAAGAAGAAGGGCCAGTGGCGCGTCGAGGTCTACTAAGCGCGGCGTTCGTTCGGCCCCGCGCTCGCCGGTGACGGCGGGCAATTCTTTTATAAGTAGTAGTGACTGATTCTGATGGGGCAGGGGTGGTGGTGGCCTGTTCCGCCGGCGGGCGTCTGCTAATGTCTCACAGGCCGCTAGCTAATCGCATTTTGCAAGCGCCGCCAATCGCAGCTTTGCGAGCTGTTGGTGCATCATTCGTGGACGTGAAGAAATGCATTGATCCCCAAAACCATCGATGCGGCAATTCCTTCGGCGCTTGGCTGCGCCTGGTGCTCCGCGCAGACGCTTGCAAGCTGCACTGCAGCGCAATGCGTCGCATGTCTCAGCGCAGTGCGATCGGTCGCAGTGCAGGCGCATAAAGCGTGCGCTGGCGCAGCGCTGCGCGTCATCGATCACAGCGCTCGACGAGCAACGGCTGGCAGCACTGCCAGTCGAGAAAACGGTCACCTTCAGCATCGTCGCCCACGTTGACCACGGGAAGTCCTCATTAGCGCAGCGCCTCCTCGAAATGTACGGCAACATCGCCTCGACGGACGCGGTCGGGCAGTCGGCTTTAGACACGCTGGACGTCGAGCGCGAGCGGGGCATTACGGTCAAGGCGGTGACGGCGTCGATGCTTGTTGGTGAGTACCTTGTGAATCTCGTGGATACGCCGGGCCACGCGGACTTCGCCCACGAAGTGCGGCGGAGCCTCGGCGCCTGCGACGGCGCGCTCTTACTTGTGGATGCTTCGCAAGGTATCGAAGCTCAGACCTTGAAAGTCGCCGCGGCCGCGCGCGCTGCTGGCGTGCCGCTCGTTTGCGCCGCGTCGAAGATAGACCTCCCGACGGCCGATGCGGTGGAAGTCGCGCTCGAGCTCGCAGCTTTAGAATTTACCAAAGATCCGGAGGACGTGCTCTACGTCTCGGCGAAGAGCGGTGACGGCGTAGATGGGGTGATGCCCGCGATCATCGACGCTTTTAAACAACCCGCGGACGACAGAAGAGCTCGGCCGACGCGGTGCCGCGTCCTGGACGGCCGCTACGACATCACGCGGGGCGTCGTCGCCGTGATCCAGTGCGTCGACGGTTCTTTGCGGGAGGGCGACCGCATTGCCTTCCTAGGAGGAGACGGCAAGGAGCATACCGTCCAGGAACTCGGGCTGCTTACGCCAGCGCACCACCGGACGGGGTTCCTGAACGCGGGATGCGTCGGATACCTCGTGGCGGGCTTGCGTGATGTGCGCCAGGCGCGCGTCGGCGACACGTTATGTCTTGCGACAGAACGCGACCGTCTCGAGCCCGTGGATCCGCTGCCGCCGGCGACGCAGCCTGGCCTTTTCGCGTCCGTCTTTCCGCCCGATGGTGGTCTTTTTGATGAGATGTCTCGCGCTGTCGACCGCCTTGCGCTGAACGATGCGAGCGTGACCGTCCGCCATGAGCTGTGTCGAAATCAAGCAGTGCGTCGCGTCGATGGCGTGGAGGCCACGATTCAGCAGTGGCGGAGACACGTCGCGACAATTTGATTTATGCACAGGCCGCGAGGCCAAAGCACGACCCACGTTGGGTGCGGGGCTGCGGCTCGGCTTCCTCGGGTTGCTTCATATGGATGTCTTCAGGCAGCGACTGCGTGACGAATTCGGCGCCGAGGTCTTGTTCACGAGCCCGACAGTGCCTTACAAGGTGAGGTGGAAGGATGGGAACGTAACGACGCTCGAAGCCCTCGACGACTGGCCGGACGCCGCGCAACTAAGCCGCGAGGTCTCAGATATACTGGAACCGGTTGTCGACATCGAAGTAGTGACGCCGCGCGAACACGTCGGCGCCTGCCTCGGGCTGTGTGGAAATCAACCAGTGAGTTAGGTTTGGCGTGGGCACCTGAAATTTGATTCCACCCAGGCCTAGAGCACCTCGAGACGGCGCGCGCGCAGCAGACAGGCATCGAGTCGACACTCGACGGCCGCTCGATCATCGCCTGCGCCGCACCGTGGGCCTCCGTCGTCGACGGACTGGGCGAGCGCCTGGCGCATGCGTCCCGAGGGCACGCTACTTTAGCCGTCGACGAATTGCCCCGGTACGAGGCCGCGGACGTCGCGAAGGTCGACGTGCTCCTGAATGGCGAGCCAGTGGAGGCGCTGGCCTTCGCCGCGCGGTCGGCCGATGCCCGAGACCGGGGCCGCCGCGCCGTCGAGAAGCTGCGACGGCACGTCCCGCGCCAGCTCTTCGAGTGCATCATCCAGGCCCGCGTCAACGGCGCCGTCGTGGCGAGAGCACGCATCGCTCCGCTCCGGAAGGACGTGTTGACGACTGGCGGGAGCAAAGCTGTCCTAGGGAAGGACCGCAAGAAGAAGCTCCTCGAGAAGCAGAAGCGCGGCAAGGCGCGCCAAAAGACGATCGGAAAAGTCGCCCTGGGCCAGGACGCGCTCTGGGCGGTCGTTGGATCATAGTTGTACTACTACTCTAAGTTGTGGTTGTCTGTCAGATGTCTCTTCTCGATCATTCCCGGTTTAGATTAGACCCGTATCGCGCAGCGCGTCGAGGGACGAAAAAAACGGGTTTCTCGGACTTTGCCTCCGCGCAAAGCCAATAACTCACCGCAAAACGCAAGATGATCCTCACAAACTGCGCCGCCTGCGCCGCCCCACTGGCCCACGACGCGCCGCGATGCATTAGATGTCACACAAGATATTGTAACAAAACTTGCCAGCACGACCACTGGCGCCGCGGCCACAAGCAGATGTGCAAGAAAATACACCGCGGCGGCAACGCGGAACAATACCACGCCAACAAAAAATACAAGGAGGCCGTCGCGGTCGCGGTCGAGGCGTGCGCGGACGACACGAAGGGGCAGACGTGCTTCATTTGCACGCAGGCCCTCCACTGGAAGACGAAGGAGGGCCTCGTGCGCGGGTGCTCCTGTCGAGGGACGGCGGGACTCGCGCACGTGTCGTGCCTGGTGGAGCAGGCGAAGATTTTGTAGGATGAGGTCGCTTTACGCGTGGGCGCTTTGCGGAGCCGACGACGCCACGCTCGACGATCTCCGCGAGGCCGTGACGACGCTCGAGGAGACGCAACGGATCGCGCGGCGCGTGCTCGGCGCCGCGCACCCGATCACAGCAGGGGTCGGGCGCGAGCTGCTCAAGGCGCGAGCCGCGCTCCGCGCCCGCGAAACGCCGCCGGCGCCGGGGAGTTCGTAAGTTAGCAACCCAACATTGCGCGCCAGACTTTTGAAACTTACAACAACTAATACCCTAGTACGCGCCATCCATCCGCGTCTGCCGCCCGCACGTGTGGCGGCAGTGCTTGCCCCGGCACGCGGCGCACGATGCCGCCGCCGCCGGCAGGTCGTCGTCGTCAGACGCGTCGGCCGCGGGCGGCGGCGGCGCGGGCTTCTTCGGCGGGCGACGCGGCGACGACGAGACGCGCTCGGCGATGAGCCGCTCGTACCACGGCGCGCGCGGCGGCCGCTTCGGCTCGGGCGGCCGGCCGAAGAGCGGCAGCTCGTCGCTGTCCGGGCGCCGCGCCGCGAAGTTCGTGCGCCGGCCCTTGAGCCGCGCGGCCTCGTCGTGGCTCGCGGCGGCCTCGAGCGACGTCGCGTACCAGCCGAGCACCTGGCCCTTGCCGCCGCCCCGGGCCGGGAGCGTCGCGCGGAACTTGCGGGCCGCCGGCGCGCTCTCGACGCCGGCGTACGCCGTCGGCTCGAGCGCGAGGTTCGCGTTCTCCTCGAGCGCGCCGGACTCGGGGGCGGCGCCGCTCTTCTTGCGGCGCTTCGGCGCGCGGGCCGCCTCGCCCTTGCGCGACGGCGCCTTCTTCGTGGGCGACGACGCGCGGCCGCTCTTGGGCGCGGGCGGCGACCGCCGCGCGGGCGGCGGCGGCGCGGGCGGCGGCGGCGGCGGCGCGCCCGCGGCCTCGGCCGCGGACATGGCGAGCGCGAGCCGCAGCGACTCCTGGAATGCGCGGTCGTCCTCGGGATTCGTCGCGACGAAGTGCTCCGTGCGCCGCCGCCGGCGGTTCGTCTTGGCGGTTTCGGCCATGTTCGCTAGCGTTCCGTTCCGCCGCTGCGCGGCTCCCGAAGCAGCGCTTCGCGCTCCCGCCGCCGCGCGTCCCGATTTTCGGCTCACCACACCAAAAGGGTGTGCAGCGCTCGATGCTTCGCGCTGCGCAGCAGCGGTCACTTGCAGAGTCTGAGGCACTGATGCGATGGCAAAATCACGCACACATCGCGTAAAATTGAGCGCTGCGGCGTCTACAAGCTAGCGTCCAGTTACACACTAGCAAGTCTTTCACGCGCAGCGTTTTTGGCGGCATTTTGCGCCATTCGCCGGTCATCATTTGGTGGCGCGAGCGCGGAGAGCGCCTGTGAACAGCACTGAGCAGGGCTTGCGCGAAACAGGCACTCACGCATCGACGCGAGGCTGTGAACCATACATACAGGAGCGCACGCCATCGACGCGCGAGAGGCCGAGAACCAACCATGTACAAAAGCTTTCCCTTTTACAGCTCGCATTCCCTGAGCGCCGAGCTGGAGGTCGGCGTCTGCTACCTCGAGCTGCCGCTCAACCGCGTCGACCCCGCGGGCATCCACGGGAACGCGTCGCGCTGGCGCGAGGGCGGCGACGCGGACCTGTCGGTCGGCTGCCAGGTCCTGAACAACGGGGCGCCGCTCCACGCCGTCGAGGCGGAGACGAGCGGCGCGGCGTCGTACGACGAGCAGCGCGTCGCGTTCTTCTACGGCGAGGCCCTGGGCCTGCCCGTGCGCGTGCGGGACCTGAGCCGCGACAGCCTGCTCGTGTTCACGGTGCGCGACGGCGCCGGCGCCATCGTCGCGGCGGCGTCGCTGCCCGTCTTCGACGCCCGGGGCGTCTTCCGCGGCGGGCTGCAGAAGCTGGCGCTCCACGACGACGCCGAGGCCGCCGAGGCCGAGCTCGAGGCGGCGCACGCGAGCGCCGAGGTCGGCGGCCGGCTGGGCGCCTTCCACGGGGAGCTGCGCGGCGACGCCGAGGCCGAGGGCGGGTATAAAAGATATGCGCCGCACGACCACTTGTTTCGGGCCGAGGTCTTTCGCGAGGGCTTCGGCGGCGACCACGGGTCGATCCTGGACGAGCGGGAGGACTGGCTCGACGACCTCGCGTTGAAGCGCATCGGCGAGCAGCGGGCCGCCTTAAATGATCGGGAGAAGTGGCTGCGGGCGCCGCACTGCCACGACGACGAGCGCGCGATGGCTGATAGAGCCTTCCTTTGTGTCGAATTGCCCAAGTTCGACCACCCTGTGCTCTGGGAGGAGCGGCCCTACGGCCCGCCGCCGGTGGCGCCCGATGTGGATGCTGCGCTGGCCCGACTGGTCGCGGACGCCGCTGATACCGGCGACGATGCCTCGAAACTCAGTGAGGCGCTGAAGCAGGCGGGACTCGAGACGAACAATGACGTGATCGTCTACGACTTCGATGATGACGAAGCCCAGGCCGCTCGCGGAACGCCCGCGGAGGAGAAGTATCGCGCGTTTCCAGCGTCACGCCATCGACGCGGCGCGTCACTCACCGCAATTCCCGCGCAGGTGCGCTAGCCAGAGACGCGACGCGCGCCTTGGTCGACACAGAGCTGCGGCCCGACGCTGAGGAAGGAAGAGCGCTAAAGCGCGTTATGTCGGCGCCCGGCGATTCGCTCGCGTCGTCGGACCTCGAGCTGCTGTGGAAGTTCCGGCATGCGCTTACGGGGGAGAAGAAAGCCCTCCCGAAGTTCTTGTTAGCCGTTGATTGGCGCGACGCGACGGAAGTAGCACAGGTACCTGCTTTACTCAAGCAGTGGACTCGGATAGATGTGGCGGATGCCATTAAACTATTGGGACCAGATCAAGCCTACCAGCGACGCGTCGTGCGAGCCTTCGCCGTCGACGCTCTTCGCCAGGCGTCTGACATCGAGCTAGTTACTTACTTGCTACAGCTCGTGCAAGCGCTGCGCTACGACGAGAAGGACGAGAAGGGTCGTTCGCCTCTCGCTAGCTTTCTTTCGGAGAGAGCTGCGCAATCAATCGCGGTCGCAAATTTCGTGTGGTGGTATCTGAAAGTAGGCGTGCGCATGCGGCGTCAAACAGCTTCGATATGTCGCGTTTCCCCCCCCCTCTACGCCATCGACGCGACGCCTCAATTCTCACGCAGGCGGAGGACGCGACCGACGAGCAGTCCTGTGCTACGTATCGCGTGTTTAGAGGTAGATTCGCCGAGGACCTCGCCGAGAAAGCGCCAGACGTGTATGCGACGCTGCGAGCCCAGGAGGAACTCATCGTCGGCGTCTTGGAGGCGCAGGCGCGCGCCAAAGACGAGAAGGGGAGAGCACCTCAGAAGCAGAAGAAGTTGAGGGAGGCGCTTGGAGCGCTGCGGACGCCATCCTTAGTTGTCGAGCGCGGCGTCCCGTGCCCACTCGATCCAGATGTTATGATAAGCGGTCTGCACGCGCCGACTTCGTCGCCGACCATGTTTAAATCCGCCTTGACGCCTTCGCTCGTTGGATTCACGGTTCGAAGGCCGCAGACGACTGCGGCGCCGCCGCAAATGCCTCCACCGCCGCCGCCAAGGAAGCGGGCGCCGTCGACCGCGCGCCTCGGTGTACCTTCGTGGCTTCAATGTGTGATGCTCCACGCCTTCGACGCGCCTCATATCGTTCACGCAGGACGGCGGCTTCTTCGACGCGTTACGAGACGCGGCCTTCGGTGACAAACCCGCGAAGCCGCCGACGGCACCGGACGAGCCCACAACTACAAAACCGTACCGAGTCATTGTTAAACACGGCGACGATTTGCGGCAGGACCAGGTCGTGCTGCAGTCAGTGCCTGTGTGGAAATCAACCAGTGTTCGCTTATTCGAGAAACCTTCAACATGCGGGGCGCCCGAATGTTTGATTTCCGCACAGGTTTGTACTTCTTATGGATTTATTGCTTAAGCGCGTGAACCTGGACATGAAGCTGACTTGCTACGGGGCTCTAGCTACGGGGGCCTCGAGCGGCATCGTGCAATTTGTAGAGGACTCGAAGGCCATATCCGACATTCTCGCCGAGAATCAGTCGTCGATCCTGAATTATCTGAGATCGAATAACCCCGACGCCGCGGCGCCGAACGGCGTCAGAGCGGACGCCGTCGACGCGTTCACGAAGTCGTGCGCCGGGTACTGCGTGATTACATATCTCCTCGGCGTCGGCGATCGCCATTTAGACAACATCATGGTCCGCAAGAACGGCCAGCTCTTCCACATCGACTTCGGCTTCATCCTCGGTAGAGATCCAAAGCCGTACCCGCCGCCGTTCCGGTTAACTCGAGAGATGGCCGAGGCCATGGGCTACCCGGACGGAGCCAATTGGACGGAGTTCCGAACCAAGTGCTGCCAGGCGTATTGTTGCTTGCGACGCCACGCGCCCCTGTTACTGAATTTAATGTCGCTGATGAAGGACGCGGGCGTCGAGCACCTGAGCGAGGACGCTTCCCAAAAATTCCAGGACCGCTTCCGGCTCGACCTGTCGGACGAGGACGCGGAGCACTTCTTCCTCGAGCTCATCCACGAGTCGCTCAACGCCATCGCGCCCGTCGTGCTGGAAAAGTTCCATCGCATGGCGGTGGCGTTCAAGTACTAGTTGTGCTCGACGACGGCGGGGAGCATTATGTTTTTGTTTATGTATCTTTTATAATAATGAAATTTACCCGCGAGCCCGCGTCGTCGTCATCGCGCCGTCGAGAACAAAGGTCGCTAGCATTGTGGGTTATCGTGTAATTTTTGTCTTGCGAATTTTATCTAAATCGGTGCTTCCTGTACGCATTTAGCAGCGTGAATCACACTGATCCTCTCGGAGCTGGCTAGTGTCTCACAGACGCTAGCAATTAGTTTTTTGCACCACTAGTCCTGGGGCTCCAAAAACTAGTCCTAGCACCGTAAGAATACGCAGATATGGACAATAGAGTTAAGCACAACACTAGGCTAGCCGCCGCGCACCGCGCCGACGGGGGACCGCGTCGTGTCGACGTCGAGCCGCAGCGTGGGCTTCGCGTCGACGCCACTGCCCGCCGCCGCCGCGTATAATGCCGGGCAATACGCTTCATAAGAAGGCAGGAAGCGCCCGACGAAGTCCCGGACCTGCTCGTCGCTCAGGCCGCCGCCCGCGCGGCGCTCGGCCTCGCGGCGCCAGCCGTAGACCGTGTCCGCCGGCGAATCGATCGCGACGACGAGCCACGCGTCGGCGTGCGCGTCCCACCGCGCGTAGGCGCCCAGGCACGCGTCGACGGCGCCAAGGTCCACGTCGACTGCCGTCGCGGCGGCGGCGCCGACCTGCGTCGATGCGACCGTGACCCCCTCGGCTCCGTCGATGCGACCGTGACCCCCTCGGCGCCGTCGACGCGTCGACGCGGGACGCTACGGGCTTGAACCCCGCCATCCAACCCTCAACCAGCACGACGTCCGCGCCCTCGACGTCCACGAGCCCGGCGCGGTCGCCGAAGCCGCCGAAGGCCGTCTTGTCGTAGCGCGGCGCCTTCGCCTTGCCGTCGCGTTTCAGGGCGGTCAGGACCTGTGTGGAAATCAACCAGTGTATCGGGTGCACCCGACAATTCTTCACGAAGTCGTTTCTCGGCGATGAGGCTGCCGTGCTGGCTCGGTCGAGCGGTGAGAGACCCAAACCGCCACGCCATCGAGCAGGCGTCGCGTCGATGGCGTGGAGGTCGACGCGACGATTCAGCACGAATCAACCAGTGCGTCGGGTGCACCCGACAATTCTTCACTAAGTCATTTCTCGGTGATGGCGCGGCCGTGCTAGCTCCGTCGAGCGGTGAAGAACCGACATCGCCACGCTATCGAGCAGGCGTCGCGTCGATGGCGTGGAGACGCGCCGCGAGAAATTTGATTTCCACACAGGTCAGCACGTCGTCGAAGAGCTGGAGGTCGTGCGTGCCGCCGTTGCCCCTTAACTCCAGGAGCCGGTTGTGCTCGTGGGTCTTCGCGACCTCGTTCTGTTCCGCGTGCGTCAGGTAGAAGTCGTCGTACGACAGAGCGGCGCACTGCTTGCCGTCGGCCGCGAAGCGCTCGACCAAAGCGTCGCAGATCGTCGTCTTCCCGCAGCCTTGCGGCGCGCTCATGAAGATGACCGTCGGTTTGGTGGGGTTCTTCTCCACGACGTCTTTGCACCAGTAGTAGACGGGCAGGTAGAGGTCGTAGACGCGCGCGGCGAGCTGTGCGTCAAGGTCCGCCGGTTTCGAGCTCGCGGAGCCGAGCCAGGCGCAGACGCCCTTGCCGTCCTTCTCCAGGGTTTTCTCGTCCGGTTTTTGTGTTAATGTGGGCCACACCGGGCCCTGCTGCGTGCGGTCCAGGTAAGGGGTGGCTGAGAGAGCTCGAGCCGTTGCTCTGGTGCTCTGAATGAGCGGCCTCAGGAGCAGGGCTGACCTTGTGGCGTAGGTGAGCATATTTCTACTCGCAGCGAGTTATTTATGCGATCAGGCAAGTCGATTTTATGCCGAGGCCAACTCGATCGGATGCCGTGCGGGTACGTCGTTTCCTGGCCCTAGCTCTCGACGCGGGTTTCACGCATCGAGAGGCCCCTTGGACGGGTGGCTGACGCGTTCTCCGCGCGTCAGAGCATCTTCCGATGCGATTTTTTAGACACATCAGCCGCAAAAAGAGCTGCCAAAACGCGCTCCGAGCGGAGCTAGACGGCTTCCAACAGCGTTCAGGAGTGTAAGTGACACTCTGTCGACGCCACCACCGCGCCGAAAGAACTCTGCGCGCCTCGCGAACACGCACTGCTCCGAGCTCAGTGACCCAAGACAAAGATGCTCTTCGTACAGAGAGCCCGCCACGCCGCCGCGGCGCTGGCGAAGACGCCGGTGCACGCGCGCACCCTCGCCAGCCTGCCGGACCAGGGCCCCGAGGTGGTCTCGGGCCTCCAGCCGTCCAAGGTCGACGCCGCGAACAAGCTCGGCTTCAAGGAGGACGAGGGCATCGTCGCCTTCGGCGCCGGCGCCGTGAACAACACGCTCCTCGCGCTCATGTCCCAGGTCTCCTCGAACCTCTCGTTGGTGAGCCGCTACGCCGACGACATCGAAAAGGACGGCGTGACGCTCCATCACAGAGGAGACGAGTACGTCGTGCCCGCCGGCGACATCAAGCTGCCCCAGACGAGCGTCATCAAGGAATTGGGGGAGAAGATCGCGAGCCCGCGCATCGTCTTGAATGGAAGACAGCTCGGCGGCGACTACGATGAGATCTTCGACAGCATGGGCCCGGCCACGGAGTTCGTCGTCACGGCGCAGAACGGCCCGTCGGCGCGCATGCTCGCCGACGCGGCCCAGAAGTACGTGGAGCGCCACCCGGAGAAGAAGGCCATCCTCGAGAACGTCGTCGGTCTCGTTTCGGCGTCCTTTCTGTCGTCGACGCCTTCCGGTCGTCGCCGCGACGGCGTCGAGACGCCGTCGACGCGACGTCGTCGCCTCGACAGAGCTGGACGCTCATGACGCCGTCGAACGAGAGACACGAATAAACGCAGGCATCGACGCCGCCATGTTCGTCAAGATGTCGGCGACGGACACGCGCGCCGCGACGGTGCTCCAGCCCGGCGCGAAGTGGGTGTTTGGAGCCTACGAGTTGCTGGGGGGCGGCGGCGTCGCCCTGAACCAGGAGGTCTCTCCCAAGACGCTCGAGAAGGCCCAGAACTTCACGGAGTGGTTTAAATTACTAGACGCGACGGACGCCGGCGCCGAGGACACGCACGTGACTTTACGGCCGGAGGCCGTGTCGGGCAAGCTCGCGAAGACGGCGAACAACATTGGCGGCAACTACGGCGCGGCCATCGTCACGAAGGTCGTGCAGCACCACGCGGAGTTGAATGGGAAGACGTTGGAGGGGCCCCTGCCGTACGGCGTCCTCCACCCGGATTTTGATGTTGAGGGGGCTTTTGGGGAACTGGTAGGACAGGACCGCCTGGGCGTCGTCAGGGACCAGATCGCGGCGGCGCGCGACATGTCGTTGAAAGCCGTCGGCGAGTACCACGACGTCCACGAGGAGCTCTTCGAGGACGTCGGCATCAACAAAGCTAGTGTCTTGGACGCGGCGAAGCTCTACTGGACGGAGCTGGATGATAATGGCAAGCGCATCCCGTCGAACCACCCGCCCACCCATGCTTTAGCGGTCTTCGAGCGGCGCCCGTCGGAGCCGCTCCTCGAGGACGTGATTGATGCGGTGGGCGTCTGCCAGACGCCGGAGATGCGCGCTTTGCTGGAGGCCTTCCGCCGCGTCGAGGGCGACAACGAGCCGCTCTCGAACGACTTCAAGTGGAACGAGGAACGGTCCTGGCTCGAGACGCCGGAGGTCGACACCATCAAGACGAACGTGGAGGCGGCCTACGACCCCGTCCAGCTCGTGAAGATCCAGGCGCACCACTTCCAGAAGCCCGTCATCCCCGACACGTTCGTGACGGGTTTACGCGACATGGGCGAGCACGCCATGTCCTTCCAGGAAAGGTTAGGAGAGTACAAGGCCTTCTACGAGAATTTGCAAGTTACGTCTGGTCTACCCGGCGCGTCCTCCTCTTCACCAGTACCGCCGCCGCCGTTCTACAACCTGACGATCGGCGGCGTTTATAGAGATACGCCGGACCGCACGGAGTTCAAGAATGTTAGTAGGGGCTACGTCACGCACGCGACGCCGAAAGATAAACAGATAGTGGCGGACATTTTTCAGAGACTAGGTGTCGACGTCCAGCCGCGGCAGGTCGCCATCTCCGCGCTACGCTCGAAAGTATTGCTCCAGCACCTCCTCTCTTTATTCAAGCCGGGCAAGGTCGTCTGCCACGTGCCGACGTACGCCTCCACGATCGACGCGGCGCGGAACACGTCGCAGCACGAGATCGTCGAGGTGCAGCCGGGAGGGCGCTTCAAGGCCCTCTTCGAGGCGACGCGCAAGGCCTCGGCCGAGGCTTTACCAGATGAGCCTGTGGTGCTATTGCTGTTGGAGCCGCACAACCCGACGGCGATCACGATGAACGAAGAGGAGGTCGAGGAGTTCCACGCCGTGGTCCGGGACTGCCCCAACGTGTCCGTGATCCACGATATTGCGTATCAGGGCTACCAGCCGCAGCAGCAGGACTCGGGGAAGCGGTACCGCGACGACGGCATGCCGCACAAGAATCAAATTTATGTGGCTGTGTTGAGTACGTCGAAGTCGATGTACGCGTCGGGCCAGCCGGCGCTGTACATGGCCGACAAGGATTCGTTGCCCTTCCTCGTGGACCACTACCAGCGGGTCGCGACGGGGCCTACCAGTGTCTTTGTGCACGACCTGCCCTACTACCGCGACACCTTAGATGACGCCTACATGCCGAGCGTGTGGGAGAAGCTCCAGAAGCCCATGCTGGCCTTCGTGGATGAACACAAGGCGCGGTGGGGCTGCGACTATTTGGCGCGGCCGGACGGCCCGCCGTTCATCACGTTGGATGTGCGCGATAAATTGGAAAAGCTCGGCCTATCCAATAAAGGGTTCCGCGAACTCAGCCTTCGGCTGGGCTGCCCCGTGCTCGTTGACACGGGCGTGCTGCGCATCGCGCTGACGGGCTTCGACAAGTCGAAGCACGACGAGGTGCTCCCGAAGATCCTCGAGCGCCTCGACTTCATCATGTCGCTGGGGCCCGACGACGAGATCGTCACGACCTTCAAGCAGTACAACCCGTTCTACGCGAGCACGGGCAAGTCCTCCAAGACCGTGATGGGCTAGCCTGTTTCCCCCCTTGACCCTCCCCCCCGCACGGGTCTGTCTGTCCATATAATTATAACCAAATGAAGAACACTACTTGGGGCGCGTCGATAGACGTACTCTTCGCTCGAAACGGCCGAGGAACATACCCTCGCGGCTCCCGGAAGTTCCGTCGAGCCGCTGGCCAATTCGCAGATCCGCCTCGACACATTGCCTACCGTCCTTACCTGCGTAAAAAGACACTAGTTACCTAGCGTAAAACGACACACTAGAAAATTCAAAGATGCGCCTCGATAGCGTCAAAAGAATGACCCAAATTCAGAATACATCCAAGTCGTTCGCCGAGACCAAATATTTCAGAGTAGCGGCCGGGGAACGTACCCTCGCGCCTCCCGGAAGGCACCGCTCGCGACATTCGCGGATGAATCTTACGGCTTGCCAAAATACACCAGCAATTGATGGCGCCTTCTACCGTCCAAATGGCACATTATATCAACTCCAGCCCAGTTTTCATACACAATCGACGGAACCGGAGCCGACGGCGCGCGCTCGGAGGGCGGGAGAAGAATTCTACTAGACAACTCCCGAGTTTATGTTCGTTTCCTTCCGTTTGTTGGTGGTAGAGTCCATCTAGGCCAATTGAACAATTACTCATCTATTTTAGGTGCTCCGTTAGAGCCGCGCGAAACGACGAATCCGCGACCCCACGTTTCCTAAGGACACGCGTAAAACCTAGACCCGCGAGTATCAGCGACGACACCATCCAGATGGACCATAACGCCGTTGTTCTATTCACAATCGACCGACCTGCCCGTTCTCCGCGGACGACGGTACGTTGACGGAGCACCGGAAAGGCCCCAGACCCGTGAGTTATAAAATAAATTTGCTTTTTAGGCACTTCAGTTGTAGGACCGGCCATCCGAACCGCCTGAGTGGTCACACATTTGATTTACTGTTCCGAAGGCTCCCGGCTGCTCGTCGGTCTCGAGACCCCACATCTCGCTAATTTCGGCATTTCACTTGGACCGGCGACCATCAGCCCGTGTACCATCACCATGGACCATGACGCGATCATTTGTTCTATGATCGACCGACTTGCGCGAGGTCCAGATCAAGATGTTCACGTCCCGAGCGTGGGCGGCCAAAAGTACCCTTCTCGTGGTGTAGATGTCATATACTTGTAATTGACTATCGCTGGGGTAGTATGGGGTCCAACGAGACCGCTACGGCGACTACTGGGGGCCCTCGGGTAATTGACGTTTTTGACGGGAACGGGGCGCCATCGGGCCCAAATTATTTACTTTTTTCGGGGGTAGATCGGCTCGTGGACGTCCTCCGGGATAGATCTAAGGTCGGATAGTCGCCTACGCCGCATGCGCCGATTCTTGGGGCTCGCCAGAGAGCTCTGGATCGAAAACTTTGGGGGATCATGGCCAATAGAGGTATAGCGCAAAGGACCATGGGAGATGTATCTTACTCTAGAAGCGGCAGCGTAGGCGGCGTAGGCGATTGCGCACGTCTATGACCGACCAAAAGCGACCCCCGGGAGACCTCCGGGCCACGAATTGACAGGATTCAGCCGGCGCGGCCGTCATGGCGGGACGGCCAATATCGCGAATTAAAAAAATTAATTTTTTCGGCCTTCAGTACGTGTCCCATTGATCTCTTTGGACCATTCGCGAGCCGAACGGTACTCAAACAGCGGCATGCCGCGTTTTCACACATTTGAAAACCCGAGACCTAATTCTCCAAATTCAAAAACGGGGGCCAGGAGGTATCTACACAGGTCACAACGAGTGCCGTGGGATGCCTCCAGCCCATTGTTTGCGGCCGCCTGCGTCCACATCAGCCGCAACAGAGCAACATTTGCCAGGCATACACGACCACTTAAGGCACCGTAGCGCAATTCCAGACAGCTCATCCCCTCTCAGGATACTCCGTGAGCGGTGTACAGCATTTTTTTGGCTCCGCGACGACCAGCAGCATCTCAGTGGAACTTGCACTGTTTCCAACGCAAGCTCAAAACTCGCAGCACCTCCGGAGACTTCCACAGATGTCTCACAGCACTCCCGTTGGGCAAATACAGTTCGAAGATTCTGACCCTCACACTCCCGTGAACAGCCAACGCCGCCTCGTGACGCCGCCGCCGGTTTCGAGCAAAGTGCAGCGCTCAGGACTCGTACATATCATCGGCAAGGACCCGCCAAAGATCCCGAACCTGTTCGGCGACTTCGCAACCATCGTCCCGGACGACGACTCTCAAGAGCAATAATGGTACGCGCCGCAAACGCGTGGTCGAAGCGAGACCTCGCCATCGCGGCGGCGGCGGTGGCGCTGCAGGCGTACGCGACGAGGAGCGGCTTCGGCGGCCCTTGTGCCTTATTATTGCTGATAATCGCGCCGTTCGTCTTCGGTAGAGACGCGTGGGATGGTGAGACCTCCGCCTACAGCGTATTCAACGGCGGCCGAAGAATCGCGGGCACGTTCACCGCCGAACAGTTCGACGCCCAACTGCGCGGCGGCCCGCGACCGGACGACAGCGACGCCGGTACGGCCGCGCCGCGGAGACCGGCGGAACAACAGACAGCACCGGCGCCCGTCGTCGACGCGGCGACGCGTCGGCGCCGCGCGGCCGAAGCGGCCGAGCGCCGCGCGAAAGCGGCCGCCGCCGAGAAGTGAGGCGGGTACTTTGTTGCCCGCGGATCATGATAAATTCGAAGACCACTTAATATCCCCCACTAGGGCGCGTACCCCTCGTAGGTCCCTGAGCCGTCGGCGGCGACCTCCTCGCCGGCCTCGTCGTCCTCGGCGGCGACGCGCTCCGCCTTCTGCGAGACGGTCCGCTCGAGGGCCTTCTCGACGGCGGACGCCTCGTCGGACCGCGCGCCGCGCTCCTGGCCCGCGCCGAAGTCGAGGGCCCGCCCGGCCCACTTGACGGAGCGCCAGAGCTGCTGGCCGAAGGCGCCGCCGCCGACGCCCGTCTTCGAGTCGAAGACGTCGTCGTCGTCGCTGTCGGCGGACTCGGGCGCGAGGTAGCCGTACGCGTAGCACGCGCCGACGACTACCGCGTCGACCCACCAGATGGCGCCCGGGTCCTTGGTTGCAAAAGGAGCCGCGAGCGACGCGACGAGCGTGGCCAAGAAGGCCGCGTCGAGCGCCTTCTTCTCCGGCGCGGGCAGCGGCTTGATGCTTCGTAAGGACGGCACCGTGAAGAGCCACCACGACCAGAAGCCGAGCACGCGGATGCTCAAATCCAAATCCACGAAGGGGATGAGGTCGTAGGACAGCAGGAAGCTCAGGCCGATCGTCGCGTACGCCTGGCCGCGGAACAGCGCCTTGAGCCAGTCGCGCATGACCGCGCGCTTCTCGACGTAGGCCACGCTCTCCTTCTTCTCGATCTGCTTGAGCAGATCAGATGAAGAATCGCCGGCGTCGCGCCGCGCCCGCAGCTCGATGAGCTCGCGCTCCACATTAATAAGCTTCGCGGGGTTGAGGAGCGCGTCCATCGACGCGCCGTTGTTGATCTCCGCGACCTCGGCCGCGATGCGCTGGACGAGCGGGTCGTCGCTCGTCACCTCCTGCACCTCCTCGACGCGGTCGGCCCGCCGCGCGGTCGGCCGGCAGCGCCGCGCGGGCGGCGCGACGAGCGCGTGCGCCGCGCAGAGGAGCAAGGCGCTTATCCTGGCTGTTCGTCTCATTGTGATCTATGCGTCTTCGGGCTCGCGTCGATGGCGTCTCTGATGAGGTGTCCGCTGGTAATTGCTTGGCGTGAAATGGATGCGGATGGCTAGTGATGCCCAACGGCTGTGGTGGCGTTAGGATCAATTGTTTTCTCGATCTCCAGACGTCGCTAGCCACGCAGGACCTAGCTAACACACACCTTGAGCCCAAGCACGGCTGCTAGCGGTAAGGCACTAGGACACAATCTTTGCGGAAGCGCGACGCCTTAAAAGCGGGTTTATGCACGCCCAATCGCGTCAAGAACGCAATATTATATAATCACCTTTCAGACTTGAGCGGCAGCGCTACGCTCAGCGCTCCAAAGTGGCTGCAAAGCTCAAACACCTGGAGCCCGTACGGACAGCTTGTTGCAGCAAACGCGCGCGGCATTTGTTGAACGCTCGCAAACGCGCGCGGCATTTTTTGAAGGCTCGCCGACGCGCCCAGACAAATGACCATGCAAAAACTCATCGCTGCGTGCCTGCTCCTCGCGCCCCTGTCGGCCGTGCGGCCGCGGGCGACGGCGCCGGTGCCGCTCAAGCTGCGCGGCGGCGCCGACGCGCCGCCGCCACAACCGCCACAACCGCCACCACCGCCGCAGCGGCGCCGGCCGCCGCGCGAGGCCGTCGCGGCGCGGCTCCTCGCGACGGGCTCGGGCCGCCGCGCCGCGCTGACGGGCTTCGAGATGCTGGACCTGCTGGACACGTACGCGCCGCCGCTCGCGTGCGCGAGCCGCTACGGCTGGCAGCGGCTCTGCGCCGACGTGCTGGCGCCGTACTGGGTCGCGGGCGCCGACCGGCGCGACGTGCGACGCGCGTTCCAGCGGCGCGCCGCGGACCCACGGTCGCAGGAGTTCCAGGCGCGCCACCGCTACTACGGGCTGGCGCCGGCCGAGGCCGACGCCTTCCTCGACAAGCCCTTCGACAAGTACGCCTCCGTGTCGGACGCGTTCCTGCGGCGCGAGGGCCTCGGCAGGTACGCGGCGGCGGCGGCGTCGTCGAAGGACGTCGACTCGATCTTCGGGGGCAAGGCGCTGAAGGCCGAGCGCGGGTCGCTGCGGCGAGCGGCAATGCGGCGCGACGCGGGCGACGACGGTGCGGCCTGGGACGAGGACGAGGACGAGGACGACGAGGAGGACGAGGACGAGGACGAGGAGGACGAGGACGAGGATGCTGACGCCGACGCGGCGGAGGAGGAAGGCTCGGACGACGAATCCGACGAGGACGAGGACGAGGCCTACGACGGCGAGGACGAGGACTCGCAGGAGGCAGTCGACGAGGACGACGAAGACACTGCTGCTGAGGACGAGGACGAGGAGCTAGATGACGTCGAGGAGGAGGAGGACGACGACGACGACGAGTGTGATCACTACGACGACGATGACGAGGACGAGGAGGACGACGACGAGTGTGATCACTACGACGACGACGAGGACCTGGAGGACGACGATGATGAAGAGTACGACGAGTACGACGAGGACGAAGACGACGACGAGGAATATGACGACGAGGACGAGGACGAATACGATGAGGATGAAGACGATGAGGACGACGAGGACGAGTACGACGAGGAGGAGGAGGAGGATGAGTACGAGGACGAGGACGAGTCCGAGGACGACGACTGGTAGCCCTCCTCTCAGTTTAATATGTAGTTTTGTGATTGCTAGAAAAAAAAATACGAGGCATGACTGTCCCCCCGAGGAAGAAAGAGCCTCGGTCCCTTGAAGCGAGGAAATATCCCGCGCGCCGCGCCGGCGGTGAGTGCGGGGCTGGCGTTCAGCCGGTGTGCCAATTTTAACTTTTTTGGGCTGCCCGTCGACGCGCGGACTGCCAGTCTCTACACATACGGCCGCATTGTGCGGTCCTAAGCGCACAGCTTGGCACGCGCGGCCCACCACAGCTAGCGCGTCGCCGCACAGCGTGTGCACACACCGTGTCTGTCTGAGCCAGAGCCGGCGCCGGCCGCACGCGATGTTCGGCAAGCCGAAGAAGCGCCCCGCCAGCGCCCGGCGCCGGGCGGAGGCGGACGAGGAGGACGACCCCGAGGTCCGCGCGCTCATGGCGCAGATCCACGAGATGGCCGCGCAAGTCTACGAGAACCAGCAGCTCATCGAGGAGCTCGAGGCGCACCCGAAGTTCGCGGGCTGCCCCAAGGTCCCGGAGCCGCCGCGACTGCGCGTGCCGGAGGCCGTCGACGGCGACGCGCTGCCCGACGGCGACGCCGCGGACGGGGAGGACTTCAACCCGGGCAGCGAGCTCATGGTCCTCGACGGCGACGAGCTCAAGCCCATCACGGCCGTCGACGAGAAGGCCCGGGAGGAGTACGGCGAGGCGCTGGTGCGGCTCGAGCCCTCCGACAAGGAGTTCCTGCGCGACCTCGCGCAGGGCGCGGGCAAGGAGAACAGCCGCCTGCTCGGGGAGGACCGGCCGCGGCCCGTCACGCAGGGCCGGCGGCTCCGCGGGGCCGACGACGAGCGGAAGCCCGTGCGCCGCGGCGACCGGCGGCGGGCGGGCGACGTCGCCACCGCGCCGCGCAACCCGTCGCGGTCCTCCACCTCGCGCCGCCGCGAGGAAGAGGCCGAGGCGCCGCGCCGGACGCGGTCCGGCCGCCGCGAGGACGCGTCGCGCCGGAGCTCCGGGCGGCGCGGCGACGAAGCCGAGGCGCCGGCCTCGGCGCGCCGCTCCGGGCGCCGCGGCGACGAGGACGAGGCACCGCGGCGCCTCGCCATCGGCCGCGACGAGGACGAGGCGCCGTCGCGCCGGACCGAGCGCCGAACCGCTCGCCGCCGGTCGCCGCGCGACTCCCCCCAGGACTCGCGCGACGACGACTCGCGGGCCGGCGCCCCGCGCCGCGCCGCGAACGACGACGACGACGACGAGTACATGGGCTGGCCCGACGCGCGGACGCGGTCGCGCGGCCACGCGGAGCGCAAGGACCGGGGCTAGCTCCAGTTCGCCCTAAGTCAGAGGTAAAGGTGGTCTTCGAATTAATCTAACTTGAACGGGGGGAGGGAAGGGAATTCGACGTTCAGCAGGACGCCGTCTTGTAGAGCAGGAGCAGCGCCCACGTCGGCGCGACGTAGACGCAGGCCATGTGGCCCTCGTGGTCGTTGGAGCCGTCCTTCAGCCCGGCGCCGGGGAAGAGGCTCATGCGGTCGCTCAGCGACAGCCCAAGGGGCACGACGTCGTCGTTCCCGTCGGATTCGTCGTCGTCGTCCGAATCGACGGCGTCGTCGTCGAGGAAGTCCGGAAGCTCGCAGGCCGCCCACGCGACGCCGTCGCGCGTGTCGCCGTCGTCGAAGACGAGAGACACGGACGCGCCCTCGACCGCCGTCACCTTGGCCGCGTACAGCGTGCCGTCGGTCCAGGGTGCCAAAACGCGCGCGCCCTTCCGCGGCGTCGGTCGCTCGGGCAGGCCCTCGGCGGCCCGGAGCTCCCTGCGGATGGCCTCCCGCAGCGCCCCGTCCTCCCGCCGCAGCACATCCTTGAGGAACGCCTCGACGTCCGTCTCGGCGAAGGCCAGCGGAAACTCCGGGACGCCGCCGCCCGCGACGGCGGCGGCGGCCTCCCGCAGTTTCCGCGCCACGGCGTCCGCGCCGACGACGTACACGTCGCCGTCGTTGTCCTCCGGCGCGACCGCGGCGAGCCGCACGGCGCCGTCGCAGTCCGCGCACGTCTCGCGCAGGCTGTCCCCGTTGTAGCCCAGCGACTGCACGGCGTCCCGCACGACCTTGAGCCCCTGGGCCGGCGTCAGGCGCGACGCGCAGAACGCGACGAACGCGTCGCAGTCCGCGATCGCCTTCGTCACCATGAGCTCGAGGCACCGCCCCCGGAGCAGCTTGCTCGAGGCGTCCGCCAGCACGGGCGACGGGCCCGCCTCCAGGAGCTGCCGGACTGTGCGCACCTTGCCAACCAATTGATGCACGTCGTCGTCCTCGAGCGTCTCGAGGGCCTTGGAGCCCGTCGCGGCCGCGAGCTTGTAGAGCGACTCCGCGAGGGCCGCGTTCCCGGCGCCGGCCTTGCCCAGCACGTAGGAGCAGGCGCCGTCGTCCTCCTCGACTGCGTCCCAGTCGCGATCGTAAATCGCCACCCCTACCGGGAAGGTGTCCGTCTGCGGGTCGCCCGCGCCGTCGACCAGGTCCGGGAAGAGCAGGCCGCAGCGCTCGAAGGCGACGCGGAGGGCGTCCGGCGGCTCCCGCCTCGTCCACGTCTCGCCGCCGAAGGGGAGCGTCGGCGGCGGCGCCCAGCGCGCGTCGGCCTCGTAGCTCCCCGCCTTGCGCGTCGTGTCCCGCACGAAGTCCGCGCGCGCGGCCTCGAGCCGCGTGAACGCCTCGCGCCACGTCTTGCACCGGATCGGGGCCTCGAAGCTGCCCCCGCAGAGCTCGAGGCAGGCGCGGACCCAGCGCTTTTCGCCGCCGGGCGGCCGCGGGCCCTGCCTGCCCTTGGCCGCGGTCGGCTTCTTGGCGGGCTTCTTCGACGGCTTCTTGGTGTCCATTTTGCTGCGGTCCTCCTGCTAACCGCCGCGCCGCTGGCACGTTTTTTGGTCGCTGTCGTAGAGCGCTGGCTGCCCCCAGCGCGAGGAGAGCAGAAACGTGATACCTACCTTGGTACGTACCCCCCCATGCCTGCGAAACCCCGCGCACGCCGTCGCCGTGACGACGGCCCGTCGCGGACGACTGCGGCGAGAAAGATTCGCATTTGAAGCACTTATGTGTCCCCGCCCGGCCCGGGGCAGCGGAAGCTGCCCAGGCCCCAGAATCGCCGCGGCGTGGAGGGGACCAGCGGACCAGCGCCTGCCTCCTCCTCGCGCGGGAGCAGGGGCCGAGAGAAACAGGGCGACGGGGCAGCGCCGACCGCGCGCCAAAGAGCCGGACCACAATGGCGACGCCCGCGCCATCAAAAAACGAGCACCCGTATCCCGGTTGTGATTGCAAGAATCCATACAGTCTTACGAGATGTGCAAACGAAGTCACAGGCGACTTTCAAACACCTATAACCAGAACTTCGTGCACCGAGCACACGACGCAAGAAGAGTGCGCAGGGGCAAAACACAACGGCATTCCGAATATCTGCGAGTGGTACGAGGCGGCGGAGTCTGGCGACGGCGGCGCCGGCGACGGCGACGGCGGCGACGGCGGCGACGGCGACGCGTGGCTCTGGCTCGTCCTCGGCGCCGCGCTGGCCTTCGCGCTGGCGCTCGGGGCCATCGCGTTCTCGGTCCGCCGCGACCTGAAGGCCGAGCGGGCGGGCACGCGCAAGAAGGGCACCTGGCGGGCGCAGCTCAAGCTGCACCTCGCGGCCCTCGCCCTCGTGAGCCTCTGCGTGTGGCTCGTCGTCTGGCTCGTCGTCTACGAGGAGGAGCTGCCGGAGGACGTCGTCGGCTTCGCGGCGGTCGTCTTCGAGGTGACGCTCAAGTCGGGCGTCATGGCGCTGCTCTTCGCGCGCTACGTCGCCGGCGCGGGCGCGGGCGCCGTCGTCGCGCCGGCGGACCCGGAGGGAAAGGTCGGCACGGCGACGAGCTTGCGCGCGTGGACGCACGAGACCTTCGAGCTGGACGCGGCGAGCGCGCGCGCGCGGGGCGGCGTCGACGCGGAGCTGCACGTGCGGCGGATCCGGATGCGGCTCGCGTGTCTGGAGGTCTGGGCGTTGCTGGCCGTGCCGCTTGCGTGCGTCTACGCGCTGGACCCGAAGAGATGCGGGTGGTTCCCAGAACGAACGGTAGTGGAGGAAGCACCCGACTGCACGGGCGTGAACCCGTGCTGCGAATGGCAAAACCACCCTAGCTCTGGATGGGATTCGGCGATGGAGGTTTGCGGCGAAGGGGAACAATATTGTTGGACGGGGTCGGAAGCCCATTTCCACAATCCGTCGGAAATCACCTATGAGCTTTGTTGTGATATGCTGGGTATCGACTATGAACCGAATAATTGGGGAAGCATGGGCACGATCTATGTCAGTCAAGGGGGGGGATATGCTACAGGACTATCGGTGCCCGCATGTGGCACGGGGTGTGGCTCATCAAGTATAAGCGCTAAATGTGAGGGGCTGATAAGCGAAGGAAAAGAATGCGAGCCCGTCTGCGAGGTCAAGGTCAAAAGCGCGGGCTGGGGCCGGGCCCGGTCGCCGGGGTTCGACCGCATCTCGCTCGAGAACGTCATGTGCAGCGAGGGCAACACGGCGACGTGGCAGCTCTGGATCGCGGTGCTGGCGCTGTACCTCGGCCACTGGGCCGCGTATCGGATCATCGACGCGCACGACGAGGAGGCCACGGACACCATCCGCGCCGCGGCGGAGGACGCGCCGCCGCACCACTACGCCGTCGCGATGACGGGCCTGCGCGCGGACCTGCGCGCCCCGGCCGCGCTCGAGGCGTTCTTCGAGGGCGTCTTCGCGGCGCAGGGAAGCGTCGTCCGCGTCGTGCCGTGTCGCCACCTGAGCGAGGCCGCGCGCGCGGTGAAGGACGTGGAGGGGGGGGCGGCCGCGGGCGCCGACGCGGCCGCCGCGCGCGTCGCGGAGCTCAAGGCCGCCGGCGCGTCGACGCGGACCGTCGCGGCGGCCGAGGCGCGGCAGGAGTCGGTGAAGGACCGGCTGGCCGACTTATTCGGCGGCGACGGCGGCGCGCGCGGCCGCGTCCAGGCGTTCCGCGAGGCCCTCAAGGAGGTCGAGCGGGCCGAGTGGCGGCAGGCGCTGTACGAGCGCTGGGAAAGCGAGGAGAAGAAGATGGAGAAGTGCCAGCGGAGCTGCGCCAAGTGCATCGACGGCTGCATCTGCTGCTGCTCGTTCGTCGAGCACCGGATCCAGGACGAGGCGGCGTCGCCCGCGGACGCGCGGCGCCGCTGCGAGGAGGCGCGCAAGGCCGTCGCGGACCACGCGGCCGAGGCGTCTCCGAACGGCGGGTCGGCGATCGTCGTCTTCTCGAGCCTCGAGATCGCCCAGGCCGCCGCGAACTGCCCGCTGGGGGCGTCGGACGCCGCGGACGCGGCTCACAAGGGGCCGACGTACCGCGAGGACAAGCCGCACCGGAAGCAGGAACAGCGCGGCCGCTTGGTCGTCGCGCTGGAGACGGCCGGCTATTACCTAACGGGCGTGCAGGGCTGCGGCTGGACCAAGCGGAAGCCTCCGCCAATGGAGGTGACGCCCCTCCCGGAGCCGAGAGACATAGATTGGGGCGAGCTCGAGACGCTCGACGAGGAGCACGGCGAGAAGGCGGACCGGATGAACGCCGGTCGGCTCATCAAGCTGGGCGTCTGGTTCGGCTACTCGGCGATCGTCGCGGTGGTTGCCGGTGCGCGAATCAATATTTCGCGACGCTTACTCGACGGCGTGGAGGTGCGGTTCCCTGGGACCGCCCGAGTCACTGGTTCATTTGCGCACAGATCTTCGCCGTCAACTTCGAGGCGCTCTGCGAGAAGTACGCCACCGACGACGACGGCGAGCCCACGGACAACGCGCTGCTCTGGGACCTGATCGCCGGCTTCGTGCCGGCCTACTTCCAGGACTGGCTCTTCGACTACGTGGCCGTCATCTTGTACAACACGAACCGCATGTTCAACAGTTTGTGGAGCGAGTCGAAGCTCCAGGGGTCCGTCGCGCGGGACTACTCGATCTTCTTCTGGATCGTCGCGTTCGGCGCGTATTTGCTCTCCGTCACCTGGGCCGACATCACGAACGAGGCCTGGGTCTGCGAGGGCGCGTGCGACACCGCGGAGGACGAGGACACCGACGAGGCCTACGACCTCGAAGGCGGCGAGAAGTTCAACCCCGGCATCGCGCTCAAGCTGATGGCGCGCGCGGTGCCCCGCCACGCGTGGCCGTTCGCCTCGATTTTCCTCATGCAGATCGGCGACATGGTGGCCGACGCTCTCAGGGTAGTCCCGTACATCAAGTACAAGCTCCTAAAGCGGGCCAAGGTCGCCTCGGACGCGTCCGTCGAAGAGTCACTCGAGCCGGACGACGCCGACGTGGGCGCGCCGGCCGGCTGGGAGGCGTTCGCGCTGCTCGTGGGCGCGTCGTACGCGGCCGTGTCGCCGTTCACGTGCGCCGTCTGCTACCTCTACTTCGTGGCCGCGTACGAGGCCGGCAAGCACGCGCTCTGCTGCCTCGAGTCCATGCCCTTCGACACGCGCGGCTCGCTCTGGTTCGACGGCGTCGCGCAGACCCACGCCGCGCTCTTCATCGCGCTGGTCGTCCAGCTTGGCATTATTTGCTTCAACAGCACCAGCAAGGGGTGGTATCCCGCGCTCGGCGGCATACCCATCTTCCTCATGTGGAAGCGCTACCGGGACATCGCCCGGCGGCGCTACGCCAAGCGGAACCTTCACGGCCTGTCGCGCGGGCGGATGCCGCTGCAGGGCGCGGCGGCGGTCGACCGCGGACGCGACGCGGAGACGGTGCGTGATGCCCTGGCCCACCTCGCCGACCGCGACCGCTTTTTCGAGGCGCCGGAGGTGCTGCCCTGTGTGGAAATCAACCAGTGTGTCGGGTGCACCTGACAATTCTTCACTAAGTCATTTCTCGGCGATGACGTGGCCGTCCTGGCTCGGTCGAGCGGCGAGGAACCGGCATCGCCACGCCATCGAGCAGGCGTCGCGTCGATGGCGTGGAGGTCGACGCGATGATTCAGCACGAACGCGCCGTAAAATTTTGATTTTCACACAGGTGCTGCCACCCGAAGACCATCCGGTTTATCGGGACGCCCTGCCGGGGCCGCCGATCGACAAGGACACGGACGTCGAGGCGCGGCTCGAGGCCGTGAACGCGTGGCTCGAGCGCCACGACGACGCCGCGGCCGCGTTCCTCGAGCGCGTCAAGGGCGCGTCGGCGGACGCGACGGACCAGCCGTCGCTATTCGGCGGCACCGACGACGTGATCGTCGACTCGGACGACATCGCGTGCGGCACGATGGGCTGCGGCGGCCTCTGAAGTTACTCGCGCGCTGGTCTCTCGTACAAGATTATCCGACCCGGCGCGCCCCCCTTGCCACTCAAAGTCCCCATTTTCGAGAGCAGCTGCCAGGGCCCACTTCTCTCGCACGTCTAATATTTTCCCATAAAATTACCTAGGCGAGGCCGCGAGGGCTGCACAGCAGCCGGCCGTCCCGACGCGGCCGCGCGACCGCCGACCGCGCCGGCCATTCCGTTCGTGGACCCGGGACCGATAATAAATCATAGGGAAACTAATTACGCGCCATCTCCGCCGCCGGGGGCCCGCCCACGTTCTTCACGTTGCCGTCCTTGTCCAGCTGGATTGTGACGCTCATGTGCTTCTTGAACCGCGCCCAGGGCATCGACTGGACCCACGCCGTGCCCGGGCCCGTCAGCGTCGTGTAGCACATGCCCTCGCCGTTGAAGCAGCAGGCGTACCACGTGGGCACCATCTGCACGCCGAGCTCGGCGTCGCTGTACGCGACGAGCGAAGCGGAGTCCAGCACGAGCTTTTCGCCCGCCTTGAGCGCTTTCCGTTCCACGGTCCCCGAGGCCTCGACGAAGGCGGTGCCCGTCCCCTCGATGACCTGGCGTATGCAGCCGAAGCCCGCGCAGCAGCAGAGCAGGGGATTGAGCTCGGGCTCGCAGCCCGGCGTGGCCCCGTCGATGGACGTGAGGTACGCGCCCGACCGGGCGGAAATCTTGTTGCCGTAGGTGGCGAGATCCAGGGCCTGTGTGGAAATCAAAATTTTACGGCGCGTTCGCGCTGAATCGTTGCGTCGTCCTCCACGCCATCGACGCGACGCCTGCTCGATGGCGTGGTGATGCCGGTTCCTCACCGCTCGACAGAGCCAGGACCGCCGCGTCATCGCCGAGAAATGACTTAGCGAAGAATTGCCGGGTGCACCCGTCGCACTGGCTGATTTCCACACAGTCCAGGGCCACAATGTCGGCCGGCCGGGCCGGCGTGATACCCACGAAGCCCGGTTTCCCTCCCGCGTTCTTGTAGTGCATCAGCACGCACTTCTCGCCCCCGAGGCAGCGGACCTGTGCGCAAATCAAACAGTGAGCCGGGTGCACAATAACTCTTCACTAAGTCCTTTCTCGGCGAGAAAGCGGCCGTGCTGGCTGGAACGAGCGGTAAACGACCACACCGCCACGCCATCGAGCTGGCGTCGCGTCGATGGCGTGGAGGTCATGATCCAGCAGTGGCGGAGACGCGCCGCGACCATTTGATTTATGCGCTGCAGCGGACGCAGGCCCCCGGGCACGAAAAGTCCGCCTCGGCCTTGACGCCGTCGGACATGTACATCATGCCCCCCGGCTCCGACTCCAGCTGCTCGCCGGGCGCGAGCGCCACGCTCAGGATCTGCATGTGCTCGCCGACGATGTCCCACTTGCCGCGGCCGGCGTCGTTGCCCGCGCCGGCGCGGTAGAAGCCGAGGCCCATGCCCTTCTGGGACTGGCTGTGGGCCAGCTCGACGTCGACCATCCGGTCGGGCATGCGCTCGCGCGCGATGAGGTCGGCGTAGCCCATGTTATCGGCGGGAGCGCGGAGGCAGCAGCGCGCGCAACGGCGGCGGGCAGCTGCTTAAGGGCCGCGTGGGCTCCACGGGGCAGCGGACGCGAATGGCCGCGAAATCCGCCGGCACGGAGCGAGGCGGCAGCGCGCGCAACGGCGGCAGCTGCTTAAGGGTGCCGAGGGCTCCTCGTGGGCTTCCCGGGGCAGCGCGGACGCGACCGCGCCGTGCAATCCGCCGGCACGTGACCGCGTTTTCTGTTTTGCCTCGCAGATCTTGGGGAAGGGCAGCCTCGAGCCTCGCGTGCCGCGGCGCCAAAGGAGGCACTTCCGCCACGCGCCGACCACGACGCGCGCGCCACCGCACACGCGACCTCGCTCGTCGTCCCGCGCCGCCACTCGCCGCGGCAGATCGGCAGTCGGCAGCCTCTGCGCCGCGCGCCGCGTGAAGGATGGTCCAGGTCGTGGTGCCCGAGGGCGCCGCCCCGGGCAGCCACATGCTCGTCCGCATGCCCTCGGGCACGGACTGCAGCATCGAGATCCCGCCGAACGCGCCGCCCGGCGCGGTCCTCGTCGTGCCGGACCCCGGGGCCACGCCCCGGCCCGTGCAAGCGGTCGCGCCGCCCGTCGAGCGGAAGTCGAGCTGGTTCGGCGGCAGCCCGCGGCAGGCGCAGCCGCCGGCGCCGCCGGTCGGGACGGTCGTGGCCATCGAGGCGACGGGCGACGTGAGCGGCGTCTCCGGCTTCCAGTGCCTCGGCCAGCAGCACATGCCCTCCGGCTGGGACCTCTTCGGGGACAAGTACGGCATCGTGGCCAAGACGCTGCAGCCCGGCGAGGTCGTCAAGTCGGAGCCCGGCGCGATGGTCTTCATGTCGGATAATGTGGAAATGAGCGCAAAGACGGGCGGCGGGCGGGGCCTCAAGGGGGCCTTCTCCCAGGTCGTGTCCGGCGAGGCGCTCGTGACGGTCGACTACCGGAACAACGGCCCCGGCGTCGGCCACGTGGGCTTCACGGCGAACCAGCCCTTCTCGACGGTCGTGCCCGTGCAGCTGGGCGCCGTGCCGGGCGGAGCCCTGAACGTGAAGCGCGGCGCCTACATGGCGGGCACGACGGACGTCCACGCGTCGGCGAAGCGCCTGCCGGCCAAGAACATGCTCGCGTGCTGCTGCGGCGGCCTGCCGCCCGTGATCCAGGTCGTCAAGGGCCCGCCGTCCGGCGTCGCGTTCCTGAGCGCGGCGGGCACGGTCGTCAGCCGGCAGCTGCAGGCCGGCGAGGCCATCCAGGTCGACTCGGACGTCATCGTCGGCTTCGAGCAGTCGGTGCAGTTCGACGTCAAAAAAACGGGCGACATCGTCACAGTCTGTTGCGGTGGCGAGGGTTGCTTCAACACCGTGCTCACGGGCCCCGGCCACGTCTACCTCCAGTCCATCTCCGTCGACAAGCTCATGTCGCAGCTCGTCACGATCACCAAGGAGTCCGAGCCGCAGGACGGCGGGGGCGGCGGGCCCGAGGCGGCGGAGATGGCGCGCTAGTTTAATTGGATGAATTTTAGGACCGGTCCATCTCCGCCGCGGGCGCCGCGCCCCCGAACGCGGCGCCGCCCTGGCGCGTCATGGGGTGCGCGCCCAGGTACCAGTCGACCGCGTACTGCTTGAACTTCGCGTGGCTATAGCTCTGGACGTAGACCTCGCCGGGCCCCGTGAGCTGCGTCGAGAAGAAGCCTTCGCCGCCGCAGCAGCACATGCACAGGCCGCCCGAGTTCTTCTTGACGCCGTACTCCACGGTCTCTTCCCAGGCGACGACGCTGTTCGTGTCCACCTGTGTGGAAATCAACAAGTGCGTCGGGTGCACCCGACAACTCTTCACTAAGTCATTTCTCGGCGATGACGCGGCCGTCCTGGCTCGGTCGAGCGTTGAAGAACCGGCATCGCCACGCCATCGGGCAGGCGTCGCGCCGATGGCGTGGAGGTCGAGAGAACGCGCCGTAAATTTTGGTTTCCACGCAGGTGTCCACGATCAGCTTCTCGCCCGGCGCCAGCACCTTGTGCGTGAGCACGCCCATGGCGCCGATGAAGGCGATGCCGTCGCCCTTCAGGACCTGGCGGATCATGCCTTGGCCGCCGCAGCAGCAGGTCACGGGGTTCAGATCCATGTTGAAGTCCACGTCCACGTGCCCCGTCGACGCGAAGTACATGCCCTTCTTGCCGAGGAAGCGCCGCCCCCCCAACACGAGGGGCAGGACCTTCGCCGGCCGGTTCGGCGTCAACCCGACGTAGGCGCCGTCGCCTTTCGCCTCGAACGTCGCGAAGCAGCAGGGCTCGCAGCCCATGCAGCGCGGCCACCACTTGGCCGAGTCGCAGCCGGCCTCGACGTTCTCCGACATGTAGACCATGGCCCCGGGCTCCGCCAGGGCCTTTTCGCCCCGATTCAAGTGGATACGCAGCACCTGCATGTCCTGGCCGAGCACCTGCGCGGGTCGATTGGGCAGCCGCCGTCGCGTCGAAGGCGTCCCGACGGTCGACGAGCCGTCGCATCGAAGGCATCCCGACCGTCAACGAGCAGCCGCCGTCGCGTCGAAGGCGTCCCGACGCTCGACGAGCAGCCGCCGTCGCGTCGAAGGCGTCCCGACGGTCGACGCCGCGCGGCACCTCATATTTGTTGGGGTCTAGCTTTTGCTGGGGCTGGACCTCGTCGATGCCGAAGGCCCGCAGCGAAGGGGGAATCACGTGCGCGACAGGCATCGCCATGGTTACCGGCTTTGGCGTCCACGGGGCCGGCGCACGCGTTCGCGACAGGCTGCCCTGCTTTTCTGGATCCTTGGAAGCGAGGCGCCGCGCAGCTCGCGCGGCGGCCGCGAAGCGTGCCTCGAGGGGTCTCTCCGACGTGCTCGCGCGAGTCCTTCGCTTAAATCCGTGCGGGGTCCTTCAACTTCCTTCCATCCAAAGTCTGCAGAGTCTAGATTGCCCGGCGCGCGAGCCGAGTTCCGGCAAGGTCCAGCTGCGTCTATCGGTGGTCATTGCTGCCGTCCTGCACCTCGCGTCCGGCGGACTTGCGTGCGTCCACAGGACCCCCGTGCTGCCCAACAAGCTGCCCCACACGAGTGACAAATGGGCGGTAGCGCGTACACGGGCAGCCGCCCCGGCTACGTGTATACCACGCGGCATGGCGTCACGGACTACTACCCCGACGCGGCGCGCCCTTCGCTGCTCACGAGGCTGGCGTCCTGGCGCGGAACCGGTCCCGAGGCGGTCGTGGCTGAACCGGTCGGCGAGGAGGACGAAGTGGCTGCGCTCAGGCAACGCATCGCGAAGATGCAGGCGCAGCTCGCGGAGGAGGAGGCAGCGGAGGCGCGCGAGAAAGAAGCGTCCGAGCGCCGCGCGGCCGAGGAGCTCGCCGCCGCGACTCGCGCGCGCGAGGATGCGCGGCGCGCCCAGGAGCTCCAGAAGGCCGCCCAGCGCCGCGCGCGCGAGGCCGAGGCGGCCCGGGAGGCCCGGGCCGCCGAGGCGAAGACGAAGACCGTCCTCTTGGTCGGCCTCGCCGGCGCCGGCAAGACGACGGCCCTCCACCAGCTCAAGCTGGGCGAGGTGGTCACGCATCACGTTCTCGAGGTGGTCGAGCTCACGGGCTGGAACTTCACGGCGTGCGACCTCGGCCATCCCTTTAACGATCTCCTCCGGCACAACAACGTCGGAGACGTGCGGGGCCTCGTCTTCGTCGTCGATTCCACCGACGCGGACCGGCTGCAGCAGGCGCGGGACGAGCTGCACCGCCTTTGCAAGGACAAGCGGCTGCGGGAGGCCGTCCTCTTGGTCTTCGCGAACAAGCAGGACGTGCCGACGGCGCTGTACCCCCGGGAGCTGGAGGAGAAGCTGGGCCTGAACGGTCGCAAATTCTTCGGCCGCCCGTGGCACGTCCAGGCGTGCTGCGCGACGAACGGCGACGGCTTGTGCGAGGGTCTCGAATGGTTGCAGCGCGAGGAGGCCGCCCGGCGCCGCGCGGCCGAAGAGAAGGCCCGGCTCGAGGCGGAGCAGCGCGCGCTCGAGGAGGAGCACGCGCGGGAGCGGCGCGAGCTCGCGGAGAAGCAGCGCGCGCTCGCTGCGGAACACGCGGCGGAGAAAAAAGCGCTCGCGGCCAAGAAGGCCGAGGCCGAGGCGCGGGCCCGCGAGGTCGAGGCCGAGGCGCGGCGGGCGCGCGAGGCCGCCGAGGCGAAGGCGCGCGAGGAGGCCGACGGGACCTACGCGGCGGGACCCTTCCTGGACGGGACCTACGTCAAGGGCTGTGCGGGAATCAACCAGTGAGTTAGGTCATCACGCCGTCGAGCCGACGACGCCATCGAGCCGAAATTTGATTTCCACACAGGTCAAGGGCGACCTCCGGCAGCTGCGCGAGGCCGAGGGGGCGCTCCTTCTCCGCGTCGAGGCCGCGCTCGAGGGGACCGCCCGATTCGGAGGCCGGGACGGGGCGCTGCTCGCGGAGCTCCAGGCGCTGCGCGTCGGCGAAGAGTTCGCGCTGGAGCGCGCGGACGTCGCGCGCAAGATTCGCGAGCGCCTCGTCGAGCGCGGCCCGGCGGATCTGAGGGTGGAACTCGGCGCGCTGCGGGCGTGGCGGCGCGCCCTCGTCGGCGAACCCGACGTGGAGGAGAGCCCCGCGGCGCCGACGGAAGCACCCCCGAGCGACGGCATCTCGGAGGCCGCCGGGAAGCGCCTGATGCTCGCGATTTACATGGGGACCATCGCCGGCGTCCTCCAGATCCTCGCGCTCTGCACGCGAGGCCACTGGTCCAAGACCGACTACGACCTCGGTGAGTCCACTGCTGGCGCCCTTTTCGGCTCTTGGGTGCCCGCGGTCATGACCTGTGTGGAAATCAACCAGTGTGTCGGGTGACGTGGCCGCGCTAGTTCCGTCGAGCGGTGCGGAACCGGCATCGCCACGCCATCGAGCAGTTGTCGCGTCGATGGCGTGGAGGTCGACGCGAAGATTTGGCACGGACGCGCCGTGAATTTTGATTTCCACACAGGTCATGACGGTGAGCCTCGACCTCTGGCGGGGCTACATCGAATTCGACGTGGACTGCGGCACCCTCGACAAGCCTTGCAGGGATGCGAGCGACGCGGCCTCGACCACGTACGAGATCAAGGCGCACTGCGGCGATGATGCCGCTCAGGCCGCGTCGTGCCAGCGCATCTACGACGCCTCCGTGCAGGCGCGCGCGATGGCGTTCTTCGCGGGCCTCGTGGCGTTCGCGGCGGCCTACGAGCTCGACTACATCGTTTCGAAGCGGCGCCTCGGCGGGATCGTCGGGTCCTGCACGGCCTCGTGGCGCCGGCAGACGGCGCTCGTGGGATGCGCCCTCTTCGTCTCGGGCGCGGCCGCGGTCTCCGGGGCCGGCGCGTACGGGGCGCTGCTGGAGATCGCCACGTCGAGGTGGGATGACGGCCCGTGGGCGACCGTCGCGACCCCGTGCGCGTCGGGCTGCGTCCAGAGCTACGGCGGCGGGATGCTCGCGATGGTCGCCGGGACGCTCGTGGCCCTCACCGCGGCGCCCCTCCGGGGACGCATGAGGTGGCTCGGCGTATGCCTGCCAGACCCCTATCTCTTCCTCCTATTCATGCTCTGCGTCCTCGGCTTCGTCTTCATCACGGCAGTCAAGGCGTGGTGGAACGGGCTTTTGAACGCTTAAATTCGCAACGTGGGAGTCCTGGCCCGTACCGTCTAATTCGTATTCGTATTCTAGAATGCATATGATTGGAACATGCGCCGTCAACGGGCCGCTCAATGAGAGTACTCTCTCAGCGTTAGCTAATTAGGCAATCGATAATTGTTACGGTGCTAGGACAAGTGGGCGAAGCCAATCAGGCAATCGAGTCGATGTTACGGTGCCTAGGCCAATCAGGCAATCTCGCTAGCGACTTGTAAGACACTAGGGATCCTGGCTGCCGGTTGGTTTTTGGCAAGCTTTTTGGCAGGCTGCCCCGGCACGAGCATGGAGCTCGACCGCCTTGCGGAAGCCAGTCCGATGCCGCGGCGGCGCGTCGCCTTCGCGGACCTGAGCAATAGTGCTGAGCGCGCGGCCACGCGAAAGAAGCCGGTTGCTCGGACGCAAGCAGCGCCCAGCCCCAGCATTCCGCTGCCGTCCCCCAGCCCCGCCGCGTCGAGCGAGTACCCGCCGTGGACGCGCTGCTTCGACCCGCGCTACAAGTATCATTATTGGTACAATCATGAGCGAGGCGTCAGCACCTGGACCGAGCCGGACGAGGCCTGGGTCGACGAGCAGCCCGCGGCCGCCGAGGACGGTGACTTCTGGGCGAGCTGGTTCGACGGAGACGCCGACGAGGCCATCCGCCGGGAGGCGGCCGCCAGGACGGCGGAGGCCGCGCGCTCGGAGAAGCTCCGCACCGAGGTGCGCGACCGTATAGTCCGGAGTGCCGCCGCGCCTGCTGCGATAGCAGCGGCGTCACCTGTCGCTGTACAGCCGGAGGTCGAAGCGCCACCGGCCGTCACCTCGTCGTCGCCTGCCGTCGTTGCGCCCCCAGCCGCGCCGGCCGCCGTCGCCGCGCCGTTGGCGGTCGTCGATCAACCAATCGTCGCCACGCCGTCGCCCGCGAAGGTCGCCACATCAAACGGCGACCTCACCGCGCGCGACGCCCTGCTCGGAATCCTGACCGCGCTCCTCGCGGCGAATTTGTATTTTGCGATTTACGACCAGCGGCGCGCTGTCGAGACCGCGCCACCGCCCGTCGAAGTCATACTCTCCAACGCGACGGAACTCGTGATCCCAGTGAAAGCGGACTTGCCCGCCGCGGCGCGCGCCGGGGGCGTCCTGACGATGGTGCTAGCGCCGCTGCGAGCGTTCCTCGGCGGGCTCGCACGGCTCTTGGTGCCACGATTCCCAACAATTGCATAACATAAGTTAGTCACACATGACAGTCACTTCTTTGCCGGGCGAGCCATGCTTGAACCGTTCAGCGACGGCTTGCACGGGTCGAACGGCGCAGGCTCCGGCCGCGAGTCCGGCGCTGGCCGCGGCGCCTGGCCCTCCTGGAGCCGTCTCGCGAGCGCGGCGTCGGCCTCCTCTTGCGCTCCCGCGTTCCGCGGCGCCGCGCACGCGTTGCAGACGTCGCCGCCGGAGTTGACAAGGGTGCAGCGCGCGCACGTCCAAGCCACCGCCGGAGGCCCGCTCCCGCCGTCCGAGTCCTCCGCGGTGAGGTCGATGGGCGACGGCGGCGCCTTGCGCTTGGCCGGTCGCCGGTCCGCGGGCGGAGGCGGCGGCCGCCGAGCTTGTGCGGTCGGCGCCGGCCTCGGCCGCGCCGCCGGCTTCGCCGGAGCCGGCGGCTTTTCGTCCTCCTGGCTCTCCTGGCTGTAGTCCACCGGCCCCGCGAGGTCGTCGTCGTCCGAGTCGGAGATGACCTCCGCGTGCTCCACCTTGTCCGTGCAGACCGGCCCGCACACGGGGCAGACCGCGCGGAAGGTCCCGTCCCAGACGAGGCCCGGCCCGGACTTGCGCTTCTCGCCGCGGCCCGCTGCGACCTCCAACTCCGCGTCGCCGAGGCCGTTCCGCGCGTCCTGGGCGCGCCGCTCCGCCGCGCGGGCCGCGGCCTCCCGGGGCGACAGCTTCCGGTGCGCGGCGCCGCCGCCGAGGCGCCCGCCGCCCATGACGCGCTGCTTCTTCGCCCGGGCCTCGGCGGCCTTGAGCCCCGCGGCGCGCCCCTCCGCGCGCGACGGGTTGTGCCGCTGCGGGTCCGCGTTGCGGCCGCCGCCGATCGGGAAGCCGTCGAGCCCGACGAGCTGGCCCTTGCTCTTGATGAGCTCGTAGTGGCGCGCGATGTCGTCCATCTCCTGGTAGAAGGCCGCCGAGTGGTTGCCGTGCACGATGTGCGCCATCTCGTGCCACATAACTTTCAAACAGTGCTCGAAGCTCACGAAGTCGTGCGACCGCGGGCGGCGCAGGCGCAGCGCGATCGTGTGCGCGGCGCCGGGCCCGTCGCCGCGGCACCAGCCGCCGACGCCCAGGTTCGTGCCCATGTTCTTGCGCTCGCAGCAGCAGATCTCGATCAGCCGCTTGACCTTCCAGCCGCGCGCCTTGAGCACGTTGTCGGCGTGCTCCTTGACGCGGAGCAACAACTTGCGCGCCTCGTCGGAATTCGGGATTTTTTTTATTTCTTCGACCTTCCAGACCGTGTTGTCGTCCAGGGTGCCGCGCTTGGCCATCGTTATAGGCGTGGGGCGCGCCGACGGCGTGCCGCGCCGACGGCCGCGCCGACGAGGCTGAGGACGCGGACGGTTCTCTGTGGCGCAGCGCGGCGCCTAGAGATGCGGTTTCCAGCCTCCAGCCCGCAGCGCTGGTTCTGCAGCGCAGTTACACGGCTGTAGCGTCACCTGGGCGCCACAGGGCCGTAACAAGGCCTGTAAAGCGGACGACCTGCTTTTTGCTAGTGTCTTAGTGCCGCTAGCGAATTGTTTGGGGGTCTCATACACCAGTTCGATACGCTACGCCCACCGCTACAGCGATTCCTGCCCAGCGAGAGCCGCCACAAGCTCATAAGCCAGCTGGGCCACACGAAAACTGAGCGCTAAATACGCCGCCGACGCGGCAAGCGGTTGAAAACAGATCACAAAATGAGAGCCCTCTGGCCCGGTGGCCGCCAGCCAGCGGGCGTGACCGTGAAACTCAACGTCTACGACCTCGACAGCCCGGGCAACGAGTTCCTGTCGGCGCTCGGCCTGGGCCTCTACCACACGGGCGTCGAGGTCGACGGGCGAGAGTACTCGTACGGCGCGGGCTACGGCATCGGCGACGCGCGGCCGCGGAGCGCCGCGCAGAACCCGGGCGTCGCGCGGTTTAGAGGTAGCTACGTTATGGGTCAGGCCGAGTCGCTGCAGGCGTTGGGGCGCGCCGTCGACGAGCTGCGGGGCCGCTTCCCGGCGTCGGCCTACGATCTCGTGCAGAGGAATTGCAACCACTTCACGGACGCTTTGGTTTTCGCGCTGTGCGGGCGGCACACGCCGGGCTGGGTGAACCGGGCCGCGACGGTCGGGAGCTGCGTGGCATGCCTCGTGCCGGCTCAGGAGAGGCACCGCGACCCGACGACGGGGGCGCCGGCCGATCGCCAGCCCTTGACGGCGCCGCTGCCGCGGGCCTTCTCCGGGAGGGGCAACGCGCTCGGCGGGACCGACTCGCCGACGCTGTCGCGCGCGCGGACGCCGCCCCCCTCGGTGCGCTTCGAGTCGCAGGAGATGGCTCCCGGCAAACGGGCCCTCATCCGCAACGCGGCGCTGCGGCGCTTCGAGGCATCGCCCGACTAGTAATTCACAGCACACTTACTAGTTCGGGAACGACTGCGCGGGTCGGCCGCAACGCGCGGTGGCGTGCGCTGCGGCGTCACGAGCGGCAGCCCGGTCCTGACCTAGAGCTCGGCGCGGATGGCTTCGGACAGCAGTGCGGGCGACGTGTCCGGGAAGGCGCGCGCGTAGCCGTCCCGGCCGACGACGTAGTAGACGCCGAAGTTCCAGGAGATCCGCGGGACCTTGGGCGTCTTGTGCTTGAGGTACCGGAAGACGGCGTGGGAATTGGGACCGTTGACGTCGACCTTGGCCATGACGTGGAACGCGACGCCGTACCGCTTCCGGATGCGCGCTTCGACGTCGCGCGCGGCCTGGGGCTCCTGGTTCCCGAACTGGTTGCACGGGAACGCTAAAATCTCGAGGCCGGACGCGCCCAGCTCCGCGTGTAATCGAACCATCTCGGAGTAGTGCGCGTCCGTCTTGCCTCATTCGCTCGCGACATTCGTGATCAGGACGACCTTGTCGCGTAACGTTTCAAAGTCCAGCGATCCTCCCGACGCCGTTTCGGCTGATAAGTCGTAGAACGACGCGGCGACCTCCATCGTCTGGAGGTCGCAGGCGTCCTTGCAGTTGGTGAGCATGTAGCCAGGGTTGTTCTCGCATTCGCCGGTGGCCGCCCAGTCGCTGCAGCTCGCGTGGTTGTTCTGGGCGCCGGCCAGCAGTGCGATATTTAGGAGCAGTGCGGCGCAGGTGCGCGATGGCGGCGCATGGCGGGCCGCCATAGTTCGCGCAGGTGGTGCGCCCTGCAAGCAGAGGTTCGCACCGCTTGCGCACAGCACCACAAAGCACCGCACAGCCCCGCAGGGCCTCAATCGAGCGACTCCACGGATGCTTGCTAGCGGTGTAAGACACTAGCAAAAGACGAGAAGCAGACGACGCGGCCGCACAGCTGCCTTAACACGCCATCGGCGGCAGGCACACAGCCACAGTGACCGCGTCATTCGATCTTCCAGCGATCGTGCCGCGCCCACCCTCTAAAAAACGATTGGGGCAGCCTCCCTGCACCGGCCCTCTTTTTGCTTGCGGCGCCCATAAGTTGCACCGCCGCACGGCGCCTACCGTGCACGATTACTCGTAGCGATGGTCGAACGCATCACGGACCACCCGCTGCTCCACGACGAGCGCCTCGTGAGCCTCGGCCTCGCCTACGCGACTTCTGGCGTCGACATCCACGCCTGGGCGCGCGACCGCGGGGGCGGAGCCCCTTCCGCAAGGAAAAACGGCCGCCGCGTGTCGTTCAACGACAAGTCGCTCGTCAGCGTGCGCGAGATCGAGGCTCGCGAGGAGCCGCCGGAGCCGGAGATAAAGGCGATACCGAAGGGGACGTCGAAGGTCCGGCACAGCGCGCTCAGCCTCTTCGTCGCCGACCGCATCGATGCATCGCTCGGCGGCTCGGAGCGCGCGGCGGCGACGAAGCGCCTCGCGAAGGAATTCGCGCTGCTGCGACGGAAGGACAAGGCGGCGGCGGACGCGCTCGCGGCGCGCGCGAAGGCGCTGAACGACGCGCTTCCTAGCGATGGGTAAGTAGGTCCGTAAAGCTAGTGTCTTACGCCCGCTATAGCCACACACCTCGTGTTTTTGGTCGCCACGACAGCCTTGAAGGGAGACCAAACAACAGCAGCGAGCTGCAATAGCAAGCTCCAATAGCACCATCTCGCAAACCCAGGCTCAGTCGCATAAATAGCTCTCCATATCACCAGACAACTCAAAGGCAGGACCACCGCATCTACCATGGTAGCAGCGCAAAAGCACCAGGCCGCCATCCAGCAACTCGGTGTTACGCATTTATTCGCTTGCGCGTTGTTGTTGATATTCGTCATCGCGGCGTCGCACGCGTTAAGGTTGGACCTCGCCGGCAGAATCGTCGTCTCCGCGTCGCGGTGCGCGGTCCAGCTCCTTATCCTCTGCGCGTTCGTGCTCGAGCCGCTCTTCGGCCGCAACGACCCGAGACTCATCGTCGCCTACCTCTCGTTAATAGTCGCCCTCGCGGCGAAGGAGGCGTCGTCGCGCCTGAAGTACGGCTACGCGGGCCTGCGGCTCCACTTCGCCGCCGCGTTCGCGTGCGGCGCGGGCACGGTGATCCTCTACGCGGCGGTGTTCGTCCTCGCGCTGAGCCCGCCGTGGGACGCCAAGTACGTCGTGCCCGTGTCGGGCATGGTCGTGGGCAATGTGCTCACGGCGACGGCGCTGGGCTGCGGCGCGTTCCTCACGGACGTCGCGGAGCGCGCGGACGTCGTCGAGCTCGCGCTCGCCCGCGGCGCGACGTGGCGCGAGGCGGCACTGCCGTCCTTGCGCTCGGCGACGACGGCCGCGCTGACGCCGACGCTGAACAGCATGGCCGTCATGGGGCTCGTGATGATGCCGGGCATGATGACGGGCCAGATGCTGGGGGGCCAGCCGCCCGTCGTCGCCGGCTGCTACCAGGTCATGATCATGTACTTGGTCTGCGCGGCGTCGTGCCTCACGACGCTGGTGTTGTTAGGGTTGGCGTCGACGGCGGCGTTCGACACGGCGCGGCACGCGCTCCGCCGCGGCGCGCTGGCGCCGCGGCCGCCGGCGCAGCGCCGCGACATACTCGTCTCCTTCCTTCTATTCCTGCGGGACGCGGCGGTACGAAGCGTCGCCCTTCTCAGGGCGTCCTTCGCGGGCCGGGCCTACGCGCCGATCGCCGACGACGTCGTGGCGAAGGACGAACCCCAACCGCGCGCGTACGCCGTGAGCGTCGTGCGCGGGACCGCGTCGACCGGCGAGGTCCTCTTAAAGGCGGAAAACGTGGTCGTCGCCCTCACGAACCTGACGTGCTCGCTCGAGCTGCGGCGGGGCGGCCGCACGGCCCTGACCGGCGAGACCGGCGCCGGCAAGACGCAGCTGCTGAAGACGCTGGCGAAGCTCGTGCCCGCGACGGGCGGCCGCCTCGCGGGCTTCGACGGACCACCGCCGGCCTACCGCGCGCGCGTGGCGTTCGTCAGCCAGGACCGGCCCACCGTCGCCGGCAGCCCGCGCGACCACCTGGACCAGGTGCTGGCCTTCGGCGCGCAGCGGCACCGCGACCCGGTCCAGGTGCGGTCCTCGATCGAGAGCTACGCGGAGAGCTGGCGGCTCCCCACGGAGAAGCTCGGCGCGCCCTGGGCGTCGCTTTCGGGCGGCGAAGCCCAACGGGCGAACCTGGCGATCGCGCTCGCGCTCGCGCCGGACGTTTTGCTCCTAGACGAGCCGACGAGCGCCTGCGACGCGGCGACGACGGCCCTCGTCGAAGCGTCCCTGTCGGCGTTCCCCGGCGCGCTCGTCGTCGTGACGCATAGCCAGGAGCAGGCGAGACGGCTCGGGTCGGTGCATCTGCATCTTTCCGCGGTTGACGGTGGGGAGGCTTAAGTTTATCTGTGCATGAAGTCGATGTTACGGTGCTAGGACTAGTGGGCGGAGCCCCTGGGGGGGAGTTTATCTGTGCATTCAGCTAGTGGTGCAAGACACTAGCGGGAAAGGGAGCGGGACTCGCTTTCATCGACTCTGACGGCTCACCATCGGCACAGATTCGCTACTGAGCTTGCCAGCTGGTCCCAGCTGTGTGGGCGCTGTAGCGCTGTGCCGCGCCGTCAACAGATTTCCACCAGCGGCCGGGAACAGCCACTGTGCGCTTGCGGCGCGGAACGGTACAAACTACGCGCGCCGCGCGCTAGGGACTAGCGCAGCGGTCCCAGGCCCAGCGCAGCGCCCACATACCACGCTACGATGGCCAGCGACGACGGCTTCGACGACGAGAGCCTATTAGCGTCAGTGATCGCGGCCGAGCGGGACGCGGGCGCGGCGTGGACGAGCGGCGAGCCGAAGCCCGCGCCTAAGCCGGTGCCGCCGGCGCGGGCCGAAAGCCTCGCGCGGCTGGCCGCGCCGGCGCCCGCGCGCAAGGCGGCACCGCCGGTGCCACGAGCAGTGCCGCCGCAACCGCGCACCGCCGCGCCGCCCGCGCGCAAAGCGCCACTGCCGCAACCGCGCGCCGCGGCGCCGCCGAAGGCCGACTCGCTCCAGCGCCTGCCGCCGCCCGCGGCGCCCGCGCCCAAAGCGCCCAAACCGACGGCGCCGAAGCCGCCGAAGGCCGCAGCGCCACCGAGGCGCGGCCCGCCCCCCGTCGCGCCGCTGCAGCAGAGACGCGGGCCACCCAAGGTCGCAATCCCGCAAGTCGCGATGCCGCAGCAGCAGACGACGCTCGAGACGGAGTGGGACGCCGAGGACGAGGGCGACGCGTGGGCCGCGCATCGGCGGGCCGCGCGGGCGGGCGACTTCTACGCCGTCTGCCCGGGATTTGATGATCAGCTGCGCTTCGCGCTCGAGCACGCGGCGAGCGCCGACGTGCAGGGCATGACCGCGGCGGCAAAGTCGGCGACAGACCCGCGGCAGAAAGGAGTGATAGAGTACATCCTGGCGGAAGTCGCGAAGGTTGCGCCGCGGCGCCGCGGGCCCCCGCAAGTCGCGCCGCGCGCCGCGCCGGCGCCGACGCCGGCGCCAGCAGTAGCACCGCCGCAGCCGTCGGTGCTGTGCCCGCCGACTCCTGAGCCGCAGTGCAGCCAGGACCTGATGGACTTCTCGTCGCCGCCGCCGCCGGCCGGCGGTCACGACGGCGTGCCCGAACGGCCCGACGCGCGGGCTCTCTTCCACAGCGAGGCGGAGCGAAAGGCGCTCGCCGCGGCGCGCGCGCGGCCACCGGCGTCCGCGCCGGCCCCAGCGCCGGGCGCGGCGCCCGCCCGCCGTGGCGCCGCCGTGCTGCTGCCCGGCGGCCTGCGGCCCGTCGCCCCGCGGGGGCCGCCGCCCGTGGCGCCCGCAGCGCGCGGAGGCCGGCCGCCGACGCCGGCGCCGCCCGGGTTCCGCCGCGGCGGCGCCGCGCCCGAGGCGTCGCCGCCGCCCACGGAAGCGGCGCCGCGCCGCGCGCCGACGCCGGCCGCCGGCGTCAAGGCCGGGGCCGCCGACACCTCGGCGCTCCGGCTCTCGGCCGTCGCGCCGCGACCGCCCGCCGCTTCTTTCTACGAGACCGCGGACGGCCGCAACCTTGGCGCGGAGTACAAGAAGATCGACGAGGCACGCAAGCGACCGCCCGTCGCGCAGCCGCCGGCCGCTTCGTTCTACGAGACCGCCGACGGCCGCAACCTCGGCGCGGAGTACAAGAAGATCGACGAGGCGCAAAAGCCGCCGGGCAAGCTCACGCAGGCCGGCTTCCGCGAGCACTGCCGCCCGGGCGGCGACCCGCGCGCGGCCGTCCGGGCCTGGTTCGACGCGAACGCGAGCGACTCGAGCGACGACGACGACGCGCCGAAAGCGCCGCCGCGGCCGCCGTCCATGGACGCCGTGTCGTCGCTGACCGAACCGTCGGCCTGGGGCAAGCAAGTGCCAAAAGAGGAGAAGGCCGGCGTCCCCGCGTCGCCGCTGACGGGCCCGTCGCCGCCGCTCGACCCGAAGACGCTCCTCCAGAAGCGGCCGTCGACGCACCGGTCGCCGGAGAAAAGGGGCGACAAGCGGTCCCGGGCGCCCTGGGCGGCGGCGGCGTCGCCGCCGACGCGCGCGCTCAAGTTCACGGGCGTCGTGGAGTACGCCGCGACGTTGAGCGACGCGGCCGACGCCTGCGCCAAGCTCCAGCGGTGCTGCCGGACGCAGAAGGGCCGCTGGCCCCGCGTCGACGCCGTCCTGGGCTTCGACGTCGAGTGGAAGGTGACCTACGAGGCGGGCTGCCCGCCGCGCAAGGTCGCCACGGTCCAGCTCGCGGCGCACGACTACGCCTGCGTCTTCCACGTGTCGAAGCTCGGCAAGGTGCCGCCGCGCCTCGCCTTTTTGCTAGCGTCGCCGACGATTTTGAAGGTCGGCGTCGGCGCGCGGAACGACGCGCGGAAGCTATCGACGGACTACGCGCTGGAGAAGAAGGTCGCGCCCGTCGTCGACCTGCGGGACCTCGCGGACGCCGTGCACCTGCCGGGCAACCGGGGCCTCGCGGACCTCGTGGCGACGGCGCTGAAGTGCTTGCTGCCGAAGCCGGCCCGGACGCGCACGGGCGACTGGGAGGCCTACCCGCTGACGGCCGAGCAGCGCGACTACGCTGCGCTCGACGCCTACGCCTCCTTCCGCGTCTTCTCGATGCTCGCGGCGCGGGCGTCGCCCACGGCGCTGGGCGACGTGACGAACCGCGCGGCCGACAGCGTGCCGCCCGTGATGCCGGCGGGCGAGACGCCCCCGGAGTCCCAGCCGGAACTGGAGTGCAAGCCGCGGAGGTCCGCCGTCGCGTGGCGCGACCCCGTCGCGGCGCGGCCCCAGGTCGGCCACGTCCAGCCGGCGAAGCAGGCCGCCTACGACGACTACTTCCTGTTTGGTAAGACGGCTGAAGCCATCGCGGCGGACAAGTCCATCAAGATCGGGACGGTGTACAACTACCTGAGCGAGGCCGTCGACCGGGGCCTGGCCTACGACTGGGCGCGCTTCGAGGAGGACGTCGGCGGGCCCCACGTCTTCGCGGCCATAAAGGCGGCGCTCGCGGCGGGGCGGTCGCGGAGCGACGTGCGCAAGGTCCTGGACGTGGAGTGGTGGCAGATCTCGCTGGTGCAGGCGCACACGACGCGGCTCGCGCTGCGCGACGCCGACGCGATGGCGGCCCAGGCGGCGGGCGCCGACCACGCGGCCGCGGTCGAGGACGTGACCACGCAGGACTTCGTCGCGGAGGGCCGGCGGCGCGCGGAGGCGGGGGCGCGACCGGCGTTCTCCGAGTTCGCCTACGCGTCGCAGAGCGCGGACGTGGCACAGTTCGCGCTGTTCTTCGAGTAGGGGTGTTTGGGGGCACATGGTCTCTAAGCACACAACAATTACTCTAGATGTCTCCGCCGCGCCAGGAAAATAATCTCCCTCCGCCGCGCCGGGAAAATGGCCTCCCGCCGCCTACGCGTCCTCCGCGTCCTCCTCGTCCTCGAAGTCCTCCTCCCGCCCCAGGATGCGCCCCTTGCCGTCGCGGACGGCCGGCGACCGCGCCTTCCACGGGATCTGCTTCCCCGTCGTCCGCAGCACGACGGCGCCGGGCGTGCCCGGGGGCAGGGGCCGGTAGAGCACGCACTTCTTCTTCTTGAGCTGGACGACCATGGCGTCGCACGACTCCGCGAGGGCGAACGCGACCGCCGGCCAGGCCTTGACGTTGAGCTTTTCCGGGCCGCCGGCCTCGAAGAACTCGCTGCTCGCCAGCGCCGCGTCGGCGGCATCGACCGTCGCTTGGTCGAAGTCGCCCGCGAGCTCGCCGTCGTGGAGGCGCTTGTAGGCGAGGCGCTTCCGTCGGCGTCTATCGTCGATTTCTTTTCTCAGGGTTTTGATCTGTTGTGGGCTCAGCCAGCCGTCGCTGACGTCTGCGATGGCTGAGGCGGCTTGCAGTGCGCTCTGTTTGATGTTGCTGTATGGCCTCTGGCTGAAGGCTGCCGTTTTCGTTAGTTGAAGCAACAGTACGACAAACATTGATGCTCTAGCGTGTATATTAATCATTTTTGTTGCGGTTTGCGCTCTGTTTGCGCTGTGTCTCTCGACCAAGATTAGCTAGCGACATGTAAGTCACTAGTCAAAACTAAACCCAACCTCAGACAAGCTTTTGCTCGGCAGACAGGCATCTTTGGCTGGCCACAGGCTGCGAGCAGTACACACGCATCCTTATCATTGATCGAGAGCGTACCGACAACCAATGATGCAATTTTGGCGGCTCACACTGCTGGGCTGTGGTGCCACAGCATTTGTCGCTCCGTACGCGCGCACGACGTCAACGCGACCAGGGGCCACGTTTTTTGACGTCCTAGCAGAGGAGTGCGTGCTCATAGATCCCGCGGACGGCACGTGTTGCCGCAACGAATGCGCCTCTTGCAGCTACCACGACGACGGCGAATATGCGTACGAGGAGAGGACCGGCGGCCGCTGGCTGCCGACGCAGGCTGAGACCTCGGTGCCGCCGCGGCTGCAGACCGCGAAATGGGTCGACGTCGTCTTCGGCGAGGCGACGAACGTGACGCGAGACGGCTTCGAGGCGGCGCTTGACGAGCTACCCGCGGAGGAGATCGACGTCGCCTGGCGGACTCTCACGTCGGCGCCGAAACTGCTGCGCAGAAACGAGGTGCAGTCGAAGCTCCGAGCAATTGCGCCCAATGGCGTAGTCGACGAGGCCGCGTGGGCCGCGGCCGCGGCAGAGACGCGTGCCGCGCCGGTGCTTGACGTGGTCGACTACGAGTCCATGGAGACGGCGGAGCTCAAGGCGATTTGCAAGGATAGGGGCATCAGGCCGCTGCCGGTGCGGCGCCTCGTCATCGAGGATCTGCGCTTCTACGACGCGCACGGCGTCGCCGGCGTCCGACACCCGGCGACGAAGCAGCTGAGCCTACCTAAGAAGAAGAAATAAGTGTGATAATTGTTAGTCCTTCAGAATCTTCGCGACAGCCGAGACCTTCATAGACGTTACGGCGCCGTCCGACCACGCGATCTCGCAGCGCCCGTCCTCCGCGACGCTTTCGATGATGCCGTCGAACCAGCCCGAGCCAGGGAATCTCTTGCGGACCGCGCGGCCGACCAGCGACGGCGCCGACTTATTGAGCAGCCCGGCCTTCGTCTCCTTGTACGTGGCTTCGTCGATTTCCCCTTCGTCGAAGCGCTTCTTCACCTCGCGTATGGCCCGTACGGTCTCGGGGGTCAGCGTGCCTTTCGCCGGCTTTGCCTCGGGCGGCGCGGCGGCGGCCTCCTCCTCGTCGTCGTCACTCGACGGGGCCGTCGCGGCCTTGGTCTTCTTCCGCGCCTTCCCGGGGAGCTTGGTGGCGGCGAGGTGGTCTCGGAACAGAATCATCTTCTGCAACGGATGGTTCAGGAGCCAGCCGTTGCCGAGGTCGCGGCCGTGCTGGGCCTCGAAATCTTTCGCGTCCTCTTTTATCTGCACAAGATCGTCCTGGAGAGTCACAGGTTCTCCCTTGCGAAACACGACGCCCGCGGGCCAGCGGTGGTAGTCGACGCCTACGCCGGTTACAAGCTTAGTAATTTGCCGGATCACGGTCTTCCGGTTGTCCGGCGAGATCTCCTTGTGATAAGGCGTCGTCGTCCCGAGGAAGTCGTAGCACTCTTCCATGCAAAACTCGCCGAGTTTGTCGCGCTGCTCGTCTGTAGGCTCCCACGGCTCCTGGCGCGGCGCGCGCTTCTGCCGCTTCCGGCTCTCGAAGAAATCGTCGTACGAGCGAGGGTCGTCCTGGAGCCGCTCGATGGGCGCCGGCCCGCCCGCCAGCCTGACACTTTTGCGCTTCTCGTGCTCCTCGACCTTGCGCTTCTTGGGCTTCGCCCGCGCTGGTTTTTTGGGTAGCTTCTGGCCAGTCCCACCGAGGCCTAGCGTTTCCAGGAACGCCTGGTTGGCCGCGATCCTCTCGTTGCGCTGGAGCTCGTACTCCGACAGCGGCGGGGGCTCGACCTTGCTCTTTTTTGGGGGGGGCGTCGTCGTGGTCTCGGCCATGGTGGGGAGCTGTCAGTCGACTTTTGAGGCCGGGGGCAGCCCCAAAGCGCCGCGCTTTCGACGTTATCGGGAGTGGGCACGTCGGAGGCCACAGAACCTCGTCGTAGATCGTCGGACGACGCCGCTGTCTTGATCCAGTAGCCCTCTCAAAGAAACAGGGAGAGCGGTGCTAGTATGTTGGTCCGCTAGCTTTATGCTGGCAGAGGAGACGACGCGCATTAGTGTGTTTCGTACGCACAGAGGTCACCAAACACAGCTTGCCAGCGCGCCTTGGACGCTCTGTGTCGGAAACGCCGCCCGTCGTCGCCGCGGCACCACAGCCAGCTAGCGCAAGCGCAGCGCCGCAGCAGCGCTCGTACGCCGTCGACGCGCCACCAGCAAACGATGGCCGAGCGCAACCCCAAGGGCTCCGCGAACGTCGTCCGGCGCACGTGGGACAAGGACAAATACGAGCAAAAGGCGAAAGATAGAGAGGAATACGGCGACGAGCACGTCGACAAGCCCACAACAAATGAGGAAGAGGGCATCCGCGACCGCCAGGAATTTAGGGCAGCGGAGCCCGGCGCCGCGGGCCCGGCCGGCTCGAAGCGCGCGTGGCTCCAGCCGCGCGAGAAGACGTATGGGTTTGAGCAGCAGGCGGGCCACACGCAAGTGCTCATGAACGCCGAGATCCAGAAGAAGGCGACGGGCTGGTACTGCGACGTCTGCGAGTGCTTGCTGCGGGACTCGGCGTCGTATTTGGACCACGTGAACGGCAAGAAGCACCAGCGCAAGCTGGGCTACTCGATGCGCACGCAGCGCGTCGGCGTCGAGCAGGTGCGCGACCGCCTCGCCACGGTCACGGAGGAGCGGCGGCGCGCCGAGGAGGAGGCGAAGCGGCGGCGCGGCCTCGACACGAACCAGGAGTACGAGCGCATCCTCGAGGCGCGCGAGGCCGACGAGGCCGCGAAGCGCGAAGCCAAAAAGGACGCGAAGAAGCGGAAGCGCGAGGAGGCCGCGGCCGCGGCCGCCGAGGCCGAGGAGGACGTCGACGACGAGGCCGCGGCGATGAACGCGATGATGGGCTTCGGGAGCTTTGGGGGAAGCAGGAAAGGTAGGTAGTACTACTACAGTGTCTTAGTCTTTCATCTTGGCGGCCTCGAGCCGGGCCGCGCGCTTCGGGTGCGCGAAGACGAACTTGCCGTCGGGCCGCGGCTCGTCGGGCGACGGCTCGCGCGCGAGCCGCCGCAGCTTCTCCCTATCAATACCGCGCTTTGGCCGGAGCGCCCGCTTCGGCTGGTGGCCGCGGCGCTTCGTGGACACGACCATGGCCTTCTCGACGTTCGTCGACGCAGAGACCTTGCGGAGGCGCTTGGCCTGATTTTTGCTGGGCAAGACCTTGCGGCCGCCGAGGCCGATGCGACCCTGCTTGGCCATTGTTTGTTTGAGCGCTGTGTTGCGTCGACGGCGTGCGGTTGCAGCGGCAGTGCTTTGCTCGAGCGCTGCGTCGTGTTTGTTCTATCGTTCGCGTCGACGGCGTGCGATTGCAGTGGCAGCGCTGAGGGGGCTATTTCGGCGGCAAGCGATGGATTTGTGTCGGTCAGCTTGAGTGGGCAGGCAGCTCACGGCTATTTGTACTAATACGCAAGCCGAGCGTGTGTACTTTTGACTGGTTCGACCGCTCGGGCGCTGCAAGTCTGCTTCGCCCGCGGCTGGCTAGTGGTCTTACATGCCGCTAGCTAATTCTGCCGTGAACCGCGCGAGCGGGCTATATCACAGCATAGGTCAACCAGGCTCCGCACAGATCGCTCTGTACCTTTTGCCAGCAATGCGCGCACCATCCATGCGATCCCTCGCGCTCACACTGATTGCCCTGCTATGCCAGCTGCAGCACGCCGCGGCTGTCGACGGCGAGCAGGCGGACCGCTGCAGAACGCTCAGGAGTGTGAAAGCAGTCGACGAGTTGTTCGGCGGACGCGTGGGCGTCCGCGTCCTCGCCCTGGTGCCCGATGAGGGCAAGGCGGCGGCCGCATTTCGAGCCGTGGCGGCATCCTTCAAATATCCGGCCGAGTTCTACTTGGTAGACGGGCCGGACCTCGTGGGCCGGGCCGTCGACCAGGCGGAGCGATTACGGTTGTACGCCGCCGCCGAGGCGAAGGCGCACGGCAATGCCGTGCTGCTCCTCAAGCCCTACGACGAGTTGGTCGACGTCACTACGTTTACAACATCAAAAAAAGGGCGAAAGAAGCTGAGTCGGTGGGTCGAGGATACCATGCTGCCGTTAGTTGTGCCCTATCTCCCTGATTATGTGGACATGATCTTCGGCGGCCCGCTGAAAATGCACGCCATCCTGGCCGTCGACCCGGCGGACCCGCCGGCGCCGCCGGTCCGCGACGCCTTCTACCACGCGGCGCAGCGGCATCGGGGCAAGGTCATGCACATCGTCATGTTCAAGGCACCCGACTGTGTGGAAATCAACCAGTGAGTTAGGTTATACGCCATCGTGCTGCCGCAGTTACGGGGACAACGTCGCGTCGATGGCGTAGAATCTCCACACCATTGAGCAGACGCAGTCACAAGGACAACGTCGCGTGGGGCGCCTGAAATTTGATTTCCACACAGGCGCCCGCCGACGCCGACGACGAGTACGGCGCGGCGCTCAGGGACACGCTCGCGTTCCTCAAGGTGACCGAATTTCCTTCCTACTTGATCTCGGACATGACCGAGGTTGACGACGAGCACCCGGGCGGGGCGCAGACGCATTTCCGGGGCGACCTCGAGGACAAGGACGCAGTCCTCGCCTTTCAAAAACCATTCGCGGCGAAGGCATTAGCGCGGCGCGACGGCCTCGACGTGAAGTACGCGGAGATCCTGCGGGACCCGAAGTTCCAGGCGCTGCTCAGCGACGAGCGGATGGCGTCGCTCATCTCGGTGATGGGTGTCCCCAAGGGCCTCGTCGACCAGGCGCGCTTGGCCGACGAGCTCTAGTTTGTAATTCTTTGTGCTGTGTTACAATCTTACAAAACCCCGTCGTCATTTCGTCTCGCGCCGCGGCCGCGTCTCCTTCGTGCCGTCGGGAAAGAGGGCGAAGCGCTGTTCTTCCCGCGCGTGGACGACTCCCACGTCGGGCCAGGGCCACCCACCAAATCCAGTTTGTTGATAGTCCGTGAACGCCTTGCGAATGTCGGCCGAAGTGCATCCGACGAAGGGACCGTGCTGCATGACGGGCTCCTCGAGGTCGCGGCCCTGCAAAACCAAGACGCCGACCGGCGCGTCCCCGGCCTCTAGTCTCAAATCCGCGCTCGCGTCGACTTTGACCCGCTTCCGCCCGACGACCTTTGTGCCGTCGACGGTCGCGCTGCCATCCGCGTAGAAGTACAAGTTCCGGTGGATCTTCCCAGAGCCCGAGGCGCCGGCAATGGTATAACACTTCCGCGGCTCGAGCTTGATCGTCATGACGAGCAGCGAGGAATTCGGGTCGGACGCATAGGAGTCCGGCGGCGGCGCGAGCGCTTGCTTCTCGAACCCGGGAGCGGAGCCCGCGATGAGCTTCGCCGTCACGCCGTCGGCCTCGATGCTAGGGATATCTTCGCCCCAGAACATCTTGAAGTGCGGCGGCGACATCTTCTTGGCCCGTGGTAGATTCAGCCAGATCTGGAAGAGCTCGAGCCGATTTTCCTCCGTTTGGGCCAAGCAAGGAAACATCTCGGCATGGCTGATGCCAGCGCCGGCGGTCATCCACTGCACGTCGCCGTCTCCAAATCTTCCCGCAGCCCCCAGACTGTCCGCGTGGTCGATGAAGCCTCTGACGGTCACAGTGATCGTCTCGAAGCCGCGGTGCGGGTGCTGCGGGAAGCCGGGGACGCCTCCCTCGCCGTGGTACATGCTCCAGCCCGCGGGATTGCCAAAGTCGGCTCCGATGCTATGGCCGCGCAGGCTGGCGTCCGGACCCATTTTAGCATTACCCTTCGGGTAGCGGTCGTCGTGGTGGACACCAAACAGGAACGGACTGTCAGTTGCGAACGGGAACGATAGCGGGTCGACACTCAGGATGGTGCTCATTGTGCTCAAGGCTGCCGTGCGCATGCGAGCAACTGACGGAACGAGCTTGCGGTACAAGCTAGCAGAGGCCAGGGTGGACAGTGCTATGTACTCTGCAAATGCTCTCTTGCTCCAGACAAGGCCGCTCTTTGTGTTCAGGCTGCTCGGTGTTCAGGCCGGCCTGAGAAAGCTAGTGTGTCAAAGGCTAGGCCACAAGAATGCAGTCCTAGCACCGTGTCCTAGCACCGTGAATTGAGAGCGCAAGATGAATCAAGAAGAACTTACACCCCCTTCCGGAAGTTTCCGCGCCCGCGACGCGAGCACGCATAGACTCTCCGCCTCGTCGAACGTCGCTTGCCGCAGCGCCGCGACCGCGACCGTGCCGTCCGCGGCCCGCGGCCGGACGCTGAAGAACCGCGTCGCGTTTTGCGCTTGCTCCCAGAAGCCGGGCGTCCCGCCCGCCTCCAACACCTTGCGCCGCACGACCTCGTACCGGTCGTAGTCGATGCGCAGGCCGAGCTTGCCGATCAAGTCGGCGAACAATTCCAATTCTTCGCGCTTCGGCACGTGGTCGTGGACGCTCTCCAGGCGGCTCACATAGCGCGCCGCGGCGAGGGTCCGGAGCTGCGCGCCTTCTTCCGTCGGTTTGTTTGGCGTCGTCCGGGCGGCGATTCGCTGGAACGCCTCCTCCTCGGCTTCCTCGGCCCGCCGCTTGATCTCCGCCCGCTCCGCGTCCGTCTTGGAATCGTACTCTGCGAGCAGCCTCTGCACGGACGGAGTTTGCATCCACCAGGGTAGTTCAGGAGGCGCGGCAGCTTCCACTGGGGCATCGCTGGTGAGCTGCTGCTGCTGCGCTTCCAGGGCCGCCATGACTGATCCGTGCGTCCTGGGGCGGGCAATCCTGGTCTGGGAGCCGCGCTTTAGGGCCGGCCATTCAAACAAAAAGCAGAGCAAAAAGCTGGAGAGGGCAGCAAAAATGAGGGCTGCCCCTCACTAGCGAAGCTGCCGCCGCGGCCACGCTGTCGCGGAGGCCCACACCGTTGAAGGATGAGGGCTGCGGGCCGCACCACAACAATGTGGTGGTACTGCCTCGTCCTCGGCGCACAGAGCTACGCAACGGACTGCCCGCCGGTCCCGGCCACGGCCATGGCGGGCCAGCGCGCCACGGCCAACGCCACGGCGCTCGCGGCGCGCGAGGTCGCCGCGACGCTCCGGCGGGACGCGCCCGCGCCGGGCGCCGCGGCGGACGTGCTCCGGGCGGTCTTGCAATCGAGGGACGACTTCCTGCTTATATTACGGAACCGCGTCTTCGTCGACCGCGCTTTCCTGACGAAGAGCAAGCACGCGGCGCACGCGGCGTTCGTCGCGTCGGCCGCGAGGCGCGTCCGCCTCGGCAACGTCGCCTACCGCTTCTCTGCGGGCACGCGCGGCGTCAAGCGGTCGTCGTGCCGCCCGGTGCCGACGGCGGTCATCGCCAAGGTCGGGGGCCACCGGCAGTGCGGCGCGCTCGTGCCCAACCCCTACTTCGGGCCAGACCTCGACGCGTGGGACGTGGCAGAGGACGTCGTGCCCTTCGCGGCGCGGTCGAGCAAGGCCCTCTGGCGGGGCAACATCAGCTCGCGGCCCTGCGACAAGGACGCGGGCAACCGCGCGCGCCTCGAGGCCTGCGCGCTGAGCGTCGAGCGCCCGGACCTCTTCGACGCCTACTGCCCCCACGTCAACGGCTGCGCGCCGCGCGACCCCGACCAATGCGACGCCGCCGGCGAGCGCCTCGTCGCCAAGACGTACGGCGGCGACGTCTTCCCGCACGCGTCGACGACGGAGTCCATGCGGCGCGCGTTCCGAGCGCCAGCGACCATTGCGAGGGGCTACGTCGAGCCTCGCAAATTCGCGTCCTCGAAGTATCTCTTGCATCTGCCGGGCGCGTTCACGGGCAGCTACAGCCGCAATCTGAATGGATTGTGGCGGCGCGGGGCCGTCGTCTTGCTCTGGGCGGCGGCGTACACCGAATTCTACTTTCCCGCTTTAGAGGAGGGCCGCACGCACCTCGTCGTCGACGCGTGCTCCGCGCCGTCGGTAATTGAGCGGCTGAACGCGGACCCGCGCCGCGCGGAAGCATTAGCGGCGGCGGCGCGGGCCGTCCACGACTCCTTGCTCTGCGCGGACTGCCTCGCGAGGTACTTTGCGAGTGTCGTAAATCACTTCCGGCGCCACTTCGCGCTCGGACCCGTCCTCGACCACGACCGGCGGAAGCTCGCGGACTGTGACCAACTGGACCTGCTCGAGGTGCGCGGCGCGCGGCCGTGGCGGGACCCGTACGGCCGCGCGCTGCCCAACGGACATCTCGATTTGCGGAACGTGTCGGTTTCTGAGTGCGAGCAGCTGTTTTCTGTGGAGGGTGGGTAATATCGTATCCGTCCAGTTTGCTAGTGGCTTTCAGCTAGGCTGCTCCCGCTAATCGCAACGTTGCTCACGACGAAGCCAGCGTTCTCCCAGTGCGCGGGGAACTGGGACAAGGCGCCGCGACACGTTAGACCAAGTGCTGCGGGCGAGCTTCACCGAGCAGGGCGAAACGAGGTAACGCGTAGCGGTTGCGCTAGGACCGCTTGACTGCACTGCGGACTACAACGCGACAAACGCGGCGAGAAACGTCCTACGGAAGCATCTCGCGCACGAACAACGCCGCCGTAGCATAGCTCTCCACAGCGGCTGGCGTACTTGAGTCGTTCGTGAAAAAACGCGATTCGCGGAGCGAGCCGAGCCGCGTCCGCGACCAAGCGAGCCGAGCCGCGTCCGCGACCAAGATGGCGCCGAGCGTCAAGACAGAGCTCCCCGCCGCCGGCGCACCGGACCCGCTACGCACCAAAATAACCTTTGACGCCGAGGCCCACGCGCTGCGGGCCTCGTTCAAGTACCTCCCGAGCACGGGCGGCGAGCGCGACTGGCGCAAGGACCGCAAGGGCCAGGGCGACACCTACGCGAAGATTCCGATGCCGCCGGCGCCGCACGAGACCTACTGCGACTACCTGCAGGGCAAGATCTCGGACCGCTGGCTCAACCTGTCCTGGTCGACGGGCCAAAAGGGCGAGTACGAGCCGCGGGCGCACGTCAGCGGCTGGAAGGCGGCGTGAAGACGTGGCTACTAAGTACAACAACTGTCTAACACACTAGCCTTCTTTGCCGAGGTCCTCCCAGGTCACACTCGGGCACTCGGCCCGCGCGAGCGGCGTCAAGCCGTCCGGCCTGAGAGAATCGTACGCGACGGGGGCCTTGACCAACAGCACGGGCCGGCCCGCGACGCCGACCACCTCGTGGACGCCACGATGATCGCCGCGTCGACTCTCGTGCCACAGGTCGAACGGCTCCGACACGCATACAAATGGCGGCGGCGCCCACGCGTCCGCGGCGCCCGGCGGGGCGTCGTCATTTTCTTCAAAATCAAACCAAAGAGCCAATGGCGTCGTCGTCGCGAGCGCAGAACCGACCACCGCGGCGTTGACGTCCGAAACGTGCTCGGCAGCAGCCAGCAGCCCCCGGACGCGGTCCTCGTAGACGTCGCGCAGCACGCTACGCCACGCGTCGCTCGGCCAGTCAAAACGGCTTCGCTGGCGCACGATCGGCTTGAAGTAGCGCTTGTCGTGCCACGAGTCGAGGAAGGTCCCGTATTCGGACTCGTGCGAGGCCCGGTTCACGACCGGGTAGACGCACTCCCGGCCTTTAGCGACGTCGTCGCTGCGCATCCAGTGGTCCCAGTGGCCATCCGGCCACTGCGGGTGGAGCTCCGTCTCCCACAGCTTGCGCGGCAGCAGCCAGCCGAGCCCGGGGAACCACCCCGTCCGCCGCAGGGCACCCGGGTCTCCGTGCTTGGCAAAGCCGTTGTCGTTCCACGCGCTGGCGACGAATAACGAGTCGTCGCGCTCCAACGCCGGCGCCACTGCAGAAAAGTAGTCAAAAAAGTCTTTCGAGACGACTAGGTCGTCCTCGACGACGATCACGGCGGGCGCGCCCGGGAACACGTCCTCGAACGCGCGCGTGAGCGCGAACTTGTATGTTCTTGCAATGTGTTGGGCGCCGTCGAGCGGCACCAGAGGCGGTCGCTTCGCCTTGTGTGAGACGCCGAACTCAGCGACGACGGCCGCGACGGCGCTGTTCGCGCCGTCCTGGGCCACGAGGATGTCTTGGGCCGAGGCGCCCGCGGCCATGAGAGACGTGAGCGCGTTGCGGAGCGTCTCCGTCCGGTCGCAGGCGATGACGACGACCGGGAATAATCGACCCGACGCGGTGAAGAGTTCCATCGGGCCAGCCGGCGCGTCCGGCCGGGGCGCACCATACGTAATCGACTCCTCGGGTACGGCAGCCGGCCTCCGCGCCACCGCCGCGGCGGCGTGCGCTCGCTCCACCTCGCTGCGCCAGTGCTGGGGAGTCGCGGCGAAGGCGTGCTGCGGCGGCGGCGGCCCAGGGAGGCACAGGTGCAGCAACAGACCAAACGCGATGAACAAGCACAGTAAGATCAGTTCTCGGCTGCGCCGACGGCGCGTGCGTCGACGCATCACGACGACATTGCGATGAGGACTGAGGGTGAGAGGCACAGCGCTTCGGCTGGACAACGCGTCGTAGCGCTGGAAAACGATGAAAACAAGAGCTCGGCTGATCAATGTGATGCCCTCGGGGGCGCTGCGTGTTGTTGCAACGTCTGTAGGGCCGCCGAAGCGCGCGCGTCGTCGAGGCCAACAAGTGCCAAAACGGGTTTTACACTGGTCCGGCAATGATACTTCGGACCTTTAGAGGCCTGGTTCTAGTGCGTCCATCCCCCCGGGACTAGGCTAGCGTCCCCAAAAACCGAGTAACTAGCTACTACTCGGCAAGGATACTTAAGTCACCGAAAAGAAACCCCTAGGTCACGAGGTAGATGTCCTTCACGTCGTCCTTGCCGAACCGCTCGCCGCAGGCCGGGCACTTGCGCGACCGGTTGTCGATGTTCTTCTGGACGCACTCGCGGCAGAATGTGTGCATGCATCGGATCAGGCACGTCGTCTTCTCGCGGTCGTCGCAGACGCTGCACCGCAGCTTCGCCTGGGCCTCGCGCAGCAGCGACTTGTCGATGTCGTCGCCGGCTTGCGCCGCGTGCGCCCGGAGGCGCTTGACGTCGCGCTGCGCCGCGTCGAGCGCGCCCTGCAGCTTCGTATTTTGGCGCTCGGCGCGGCCCGCGCGCTCCTTCTCCCCCAAGACCCGTCGCTCCGCGTCCGCCAACCGTCCAGATAAGTCGCCGTCGACCGTCTCGAGCCGCGCCTTCATGGCGTCGCGGTCCTTCGTCGCGGCCGCGGCCCGCATCTCCGCGCCCTCGGCGATACCCTTCAATTCCACAACTTCTGCTTCCCGCGCCTCGAGCCGCCGCGCCGCGTCCTCGCCGTTCGATTCCAAAGTCGTCGTCCGGCCGTCCTTGGCCTCGACGAGGGCCTTCATCTCCGCAATCACATAACGCGTCGCGTCGAGCTGCTTCTGCACGGCGTCGCGCTCCGCCGTCGCCTGGCGGCACTCGGCCTGCTGCGTCGTCGCCTGCTGCAGGGACGCGCGCCAGGCCGCGTCGTGGGCCGAGCTCCCCTCGATGAGCGACGCGTTCTGCGCCCGCAGCTCATCTAATGCAACGGCCGTCGCGTCGACGTCCTCGAGGAGCGCCGCGTTCATGGCCTCCGCATCAGCTAAAGCGCTCCGCAGCTCGTCGACGCCCCGCGCATCCTCAGAAGCCTCGCCCTCCTCCGGCTTCGCGGCGGCCTGGGCCCGCGCGGCCAAGCGCTTGACCTGGTCCTCGGCGCCCTTGCGCAGCCGCCGCTCCTCCTCGACCAACTGATGGGCGGTCTGCGCGGCGCCGCGTAGCGCCGCGCAGGCGGCCTCGAGGGCCCGCGACGCGTCCGTGGCCTGCTTGCACGCGGCCTCGGACTTTTTTCGGGCGGTCCGCGCGGCGTCCAAACGCGTCTGCCAGTCCGCGAGGCCCTTCGCGGCGGCGTCCCTGCCCAACGCCTCCGCCGCCGCGAGCCGCGCGAGGCAGCCGTCCGCGCGCTTCTGGGCCGCGTCGCGCTTCGCGACGGCCGCGTCGAGCTTCGCCGTCGCCGTCCGGAGCTCGCCCTCCAGCCGCAGGGCCTTGGCCCGCGTCTCGGGGTCCTCGCTGCGCGCAGTAGCGACGGCGCGCGCCTTCTGGGCCAGTAGCGCGGCGTGGGCCGTCGTCGCGGCGTCCGCGGCGCTCTTCGCAAACAATTTCTCCTCGGTCGCGGTCCCGAGCTGGTCCTCGAGCTGCGCGACGCGCTTCTTCTGCGTTTCCAAGGCCTTCTGGGCGTCGGGATCCGAAGCGGCGGGCTCGGTCTTCGCGCGCTTCGCCTCGCGCACGTCGCTGTCGCCCCGCGCGCGCGCCTCGTCGGCCTCGGCCTTTTTCGCCTGGCGCACCTCCTCGGGCGTGATCTCGCGCTCCCGTTCCACGTCGTCGGCGCGCTTCTGCGCCGCGTCGCGCTGCTTCCTTAAATCGGCGACGGCGGACTCGAGGCGCTCGACGTTCGACGACGCCTCCGCCGCCCGCTGCTCATTTACAGAAGCGGCCTGCTCGGCAGCTTGTAAAGCTTTCTGGAGCTTCGCGGCGTCGCCGGCCGGCAGTTTTTTGGAGACCGTGGCCCAGCACTTCGTGAGAGCCGCGGCGGCGGCCTGGCACCGCTTCGACCTTGATTCGGGGTCGTCGCCCGCGATGTCCATGGGCGCCTCGCCGATGGCTCGTAGCGTCGCGGCCAGATCGACGTCGAGCGACCGGAAGGCCGCGTCGAAGCGCTGCGCGCGCTCCGTCGATGCCTTTGCTTCCTTCTCGGCACGCTCGCGGGCCTTGCGCTCGGACCGCGCCTCGCGCTTGTACTGGGCGTGGCTCTGCCAGAGGTTGCGGTTCTGGCCCTTGAGGAAGGCGTAGGCGAAGGGCGTGGAGGGGGCCTCGGCCTGGTCCGCCGCGAAGGTCTGCGAGGACGTGCGCTTGGGCGCGGCGGGCCGCGGCGCGCGGCCGCCGCCGGACTTGGGCCGGTCGCGCTTCTTCATTTTTTTTGTGGCGCTCCTACGCGCGCACGGCTGGCGGTTTAAAGGCGCGCCGCCCTCTCCCTGCTGCTAAGGAGGATTTTGTGCTAGGCTGCACTGCACGCGCGGCTTGCCTGACACCAGCTACTTGGCGCAATGAGAGTGCGTCGCAGCGGTGCCTGCACTATCCGACAAATGCGTGCGTGCCGGCGATACAGCCGCCGCGTCGATGCCGCCAATGGCTTGCTAGTGTCTCACGCCGCTAGCGCATGAACGTGTACGCTTCCCAACCATACAGGGAGCCGATATGCGATACAACAGCCCTCGCGATGGGTGAAAGTGCGCTCCCCTCGGCTGCGCGCAGCGGGGCCAGTTTGCCGGCGCAAAAACGCCGGCGCTTACATCGTCGCGCCCGAGCAGGCGTTGCCGTCCGCAGCACCTGCGCCGCAACGATCGAGGGTTGCATACGCCGCGTGCACCGGCACCGGTGAGCCAGCCCCGAAGGTAGAGGCTGCCCAACGAGGCTGCCCGACGAGGCGTTGCATCGGTGAGACAGCCCCGAAGCCACAACAAACAAAAATGGAGACGCCCGAGACGGCCCGCGGCCGCTGGCCCCTCTGCCAGGTCTGCGCGGGCGAGTTCGACTGGCCGCGGGCGCACCACTCGGACGAGGACCGGCTCTTCGCGCGGTGCCCGCGGCTGCTGAGCTGCCTGCACACGGTCTGCGAGGCCTGCTTGCACGACGCGCGCGAAAGGAGAGGCACCTACGCCTGCCACGTCTGCCAGGCGCGGACGAATGTGGAAAGTGTCCACGCCATCTCGAAACTATCCGTGGACTGGTCGGCCGTCGACGTCTGTAGAAGGGCGGCCCAGCGCGCGGGCGCCTACAACTGCGACGAGTGCGCCGAGGACGAGCCGGCGGCGAGCTGGTGCGAGACGTGCGGCATTGGGCTGTGCAGTTTCCACCGGACGAACCACGCGCGGTCGCGGCGGACGCAGGAGCACGCCGTCGTGGACCTGCAGCGCCCGCAGACCGGCACGGACGCGAGCGATTATGGCGGCTACGACTCCGAGACGCCGCGGCCGCCGGGCGCCGACGCGGAGCCGCCCCAAATCGCGGTGAGCTGCGCGCTGCATCCGACGGAGGAGGTGCGCTTCTTCTGCGCGCACTGCTGCCAGCTGGCGTGCCGCGACTGCGCGTCGACCGGCCCGCACGTGTGCCGGGTGCTGGGCCGCGCGGCGACGTGGACGCCCGTGCCCGCCGCGGCGGGCGCGCTGCGGGCCAACGCGGAGAAGATGGACGGGAATTGTGTTGATATGGAGGGGGACGTGGCGCGGGCCCTCGCGAAGACCGACGAGGCGTCCGAGCGCGTCGACGAGGCGGCGCGCGACGCGCGCGAGGCCATCACGAACGCTTTTGATGCCTTCCGGCTGACGATCGCGGAGCGCGAGGCGTCCCTGAAGAAGCTCGTGGACGACTACGCGAATGGCGTGGGCCTGGATTTGGACAGCAGGCGCCAGGCGCTCATCGCGGACCAGCGCGACGTGAGGGTGGCCCGGGCCGTGGGCGGCGCGGCGCGCGACCGCCTCGCGAACCGGGACGCTCAATATCTAAGCGTGACGGCGGCCGTCGCGCGGCGCCTCGACGACCTCCGGAAGCGTTTGTACGCGGGGCCCCTGGAGCCGCCGGCCATCGACGCGGCGGCGCTGCGCTTCGAGGGCGACGACGCGTCGTCGGAGCGCATCCTCGAGCTCGTGACGCGCCTCGGCCGCGTCCACCGGCCCGACGAGCTCGACACGGAGCCGGCCGCGCCGATCAAACCGCCCGACGCGCCGTCTTCCACGGCGCCGGTCGAGCTCGTGGTCCACGCGCTGCGCCCGGAAGGGACCGTTGGAAGGCGCGTAGAGAAGCTCCTGCAGCTACGCGCGTCGGGCGAGGAGAACCAGCCGCCGCCGGAGGTAGTCGTCGCGGGCGGCGGCCACGTCGCCGCGAAGAAGCGGCAGCAGGCGCCGAACGTCGACTCGTTTGTGGTGGACGTCGTGCCCCAGGGGACCGAGGGGCCCGTCGTCGCGCGCGTCGTCGTCGTGACGACCACGGACCCGCGGCTGCGCGGATCTATGGTAGAGACGCGGCGGATCGAGTCGACCGGCGACCCGCCGACGATGCGCTTGCTGCGGACCCTGGCGCCCAACGACGCCGCGCCGCTGTCGCCGCTCCCGTCGCCGGGGCCGCCGCCGACGCCGGCGTCGGCGTCGCAGCGGCCGCCGCCGTCGCCTGAGTAATTTCTCTACACTAATCTCCGCGCGACAAGGTCGACGACGGCTTGAATTTCAACGCGTCTCGTTTGCTAGTGTGTTACAGGCCGCTAGCCCGCGGCGGCGCGAGCTTTACCGCTCTTTACGCCAAGAGATTGGACCAGGGACGACGCGCAGGAGCGATTCGCACAGCTTTTAACGCCGTCGACGCGCCGCAAAGCGTTGAATCCCACAGCTGCGCCAAACACGCCAAACACAACAAGCAGACCACTTTTAGCATTGAATGCAGCCGCTCGAAGTGATGGCCCAAGAGTTCCAGGCCTATAAGAACGGCGGCGGCACACGCATCTCGAAGACACTGCTGGCCGCGGGCGCAGTATTAGTGCTCGTGATCTTCGCCCTGAGCGGCCAGAGCCCCGGCAGCGCAAGCTCCGCGCACACGTTCCAGCCCGGGCCGCCAATTGCTGCTCTAGCCCCTCCTGGCGAGTGCGCGTTCGGGGAGGACTGGTCACCCGCGCCTTTGGTCGACAGAAAAAAGGTCTCGGACGACGCCGTGCTGCTGCGCTTCGGCCTCGCCGACGGGCGGAGTCTCGGGCTCTCGACGTGTGCCTGTCTGCTGGCGCAAGGGGCGGGCGTCGTCCGGCCCTACACGCCCGTATCCACGAACGCCCTGAGCGGCGCCTTTGAACTGCTCGTCAAGGTCTACCCCGAGGGCGCCCTCTCGAAGCACCTGGCCACGATACCCATTGGGAGTAGTGTGAACTTTAAGCACATCCCGAAGAACGTGAAGATCCAGTACCCGTTCCCCGCGACGCGCATCGGAATGATCGCCGGCGGCTCGGGCGTGACGCCCTTCGTGCAGGCGCTCCACGCGATCCTCGGCACGCCCGAGGACAAGACGGAGGTGACGCTGCTCGCGTCTCATAGAACGCGGGCCGACGCGCTGGCCGTCGAGGCCTTCGACGCGTGGGCGGCGGCGTCCAAGGGCCGCCTGCGCGCCATCACGACGCTCACGCGCGAACCGGCGTCGTCCGCGTGGGCCGGGCGGCGCGGCCGCCTCGACGCGCGAACACTCAAAGCCTTCCTGCCGCCGCCCGTCCCGGACGTCCTCATCTTCGTCTGCGGGCCGCCGGCCATGTACGAGTCGCTCTGCGGGCCGCGCGACGACCCCGAGCTGACGGGCATTTTGCGGGACCTCGGGTACTCGAAGGACCAGGTGATTAAGTTCTGATGGTCTTCAAAAGATTAGGTCACTCATGCCTAGCCCATTTTCTCCCACGCGACCTGGCCGATCGCGGCGTCCTGCGCACCGGTGCCCGTCAAGTCGACGACGATGAGCTCGTCGCCCTCACGTCCGGGCTTCGAGCCGTTGCAGACCTCGCCGATCTCGGCGTAGACGTCGGCCTCGGTCATCGAGCCGTCGGCGATCGCCGACCGCAACTCGCCGACCTTGGACGTCTGCTTCGTCAAATCGGAGACGTACTTCGACGCCTTGAGGATGTCGGTGGGGATCTCCTGCTTCGTCGGCTGGTCCGAGCCCGAACAGATGATCGTCGCGTGCGGCTTGAGCCAGCTCTTCTCGACGCACGTGGTAGAGCCAGGAGTTTGGGTGTAGATCACGTCCGACGCGCCGCACATCTCCTCCGCCGACGACATCGCCGTGAAGGGCACGCCGAGCTCAGCGGACATCTCCGCGGCAAAGGTCTCGTGCGAGCCGTCGGGCGCGTAGCAGACGCCCTTAAAGTCCGGCTGCACCGCCTTGGCGGCGCGGGCCATGACGCGGCCGATCGCGCCGCAGCCGATGAAGCCGATCGTGTCGCCCTTGCCAAAGTGCTTGAGCGCGATGCCGCCCGCGGCGCCTGCGTTGGTCGACTATGTCACAAGCGTCGACGGCGCGATGGGACGCCGCAGACGCACCCGTGCGCAAATCAGTCATGAAGCGGTTCTCCTGGAAGATGCCGCAGGGCTGGCCGGTGACGGCGTTCATCACGACGAAGACGCCGCCGCCCGGAGGGCCGCCGCTCTTGTAGAACGAGACCGAGGCCACCTTGACCGTCCACGTCGCCGCGCCGGACACGTAGCCACCCTTCACGTGGCAATCGCCCGGGCCCGCGCTGTCGGTCTCATCAATGGTAATGTGCATGGGCATCGGCACGTCGACCTTGCCCTCCGCGAGCTTGCAAAACGCATCCTCGACGGTCTCGATGGCGTCGGCGACGCTCAAGCTCTTCACAATCGTGTCGTAATCGAACATCTTCGGCGCGGGCGCAGCGAACGTGCGCGCCGTCAGCGGCCGCGCGCGCTGCGCAATCGTGCGGCTCAGTCGTGCGAGCATCATCTTGGAAGCCTGCGGAGGGTGGTGCTCGGCTCCCTGGTGCACGTAAGCAATGCAACGAAAAACAGCGTGCCGTGCTGGACGTAGCTCTCGGTTCGCTCGTTAACTTCTCAGACGCTGGATCCATGCGTGTATGTATGCAAACGGAGCTCTTTTGCGGAGCTGCGTGTCCTCTGAAAGCTGATTTGACGACGGGGTCGACCCCCGCTTCCCGGCCCCAACATTGCTCTTCTTAGAGCTGAGGGTAGATTTGACGCAGTGGGAACGGAGCGGAGCGCCATTTGAATTCAGACCCCACGCGCATACGGACGAGTACCGCGAAGAGGGGACAGAGCTTACGCAGCAATGGGAGAAACAACCAACGGATTCCAGCGACTCCTCTAGTTGCCCAGCTTGTCCCACGCCACCTGGCCGATCGCCGCGTCCTGCGCACCGGTGCCCGTCAGGTCGACGACGATGAGTTCCTTGCCCTCGCGGCCGGGCTTGGAGCCGTTGCAGACCTCGCCGATCTCGGCGTAGACGTCGGCCTCGGTCATCGAGCCGTCGGCGATCGCCGACCGCAGCTCGCCGACCTTGGACGTCTGCTTCGTCAAGTCGGAGACGTACTTCGAGGCCTTGAGGACGTCGGTGGGGATCTCCTGCTTCGTCGGTTGGTCGCTTCCGGAGCAAATTATGGTCGCATGAGGCTTGAGCCAGCTTTTCTCGAGGCACGTCGTGCTCCCGGGCGTCTGCGTGTAGATGATGTCCGACTCGGCGCACATCTCCGAGGCCGAGTCCGACCTGCGAACCAAATCGGTAAGCCCGCGTTTTCATACGACGGCGGAAACTACGCCATCGACGCGACCCAATGATTGATTTCTACACGGACGCGAACGCCGTGAACGGCACGCCGAGCTCCGCGGACATCTCCGCGGCGAACGTCTCGTGCGAGCCGTCCGGCGCGTAGCAGACGCCCTTGAAGTCCGGGCGCACGGCCTTGGCCGCCCGCGCCATGACTTTCGCGATCGCGCCACAGCCGATGAAGCCGATGGTGTTCGAGGAACCGAGGGCGTCGGCGGCGAGGCCGAAGTGCTTGAGCGCGATGCCGCCCGCGGCACCCGTGCGCAGGTCCGTCATGAAGCGGTTCTCCTGGAAGATGCCGCAGGGCTGGCCGGTCACGGCGTTCATCACGACAAACACGCCGCCGCCCGGCGGGCCGCCGCTCTTGTAGAACGACACCGAGGCGACTTTCACGGTCCACGTCGCGGCACCACTCACGTAGCCGCCCTTGACGTGGCAGTCGCCGGGCCCCGCGGTCGCGGTCTCGTCGATCGTAATGTGCATCGGCATGGGCACGTCGACCTTATCCTGGGCCAGCTTGCAAAACGCATCCTCGACGGTCTCGATCGCATTCGCGACGGACAACGACTTGACGATCGTGTCGTAATCAAAGATCTTCACGCCGGCCGCCGCGCCGCCCTCGTCGCTGCCGAGGTCCTCCGCGCAGGCGTGCATCGCGCGCGCGTGGCCCGGGCGGACGCGCTTGCGCTCGAGCTCGGCCACGGGCGTCGCCGCGATGGCGCGCGGCGAGTCGTAGCCCTCGGCGCGCAGGATGGACGCGTAGTCCTTGGCGACCGCGTCCATGAGGCCGACGTCCTCCGTGAGCCAGGCGTGCAACTCCACGTCCGAGACCTGCTTGCGGCTGAGGTTCGGGCGCGGGCTCGCCTCGAGGCTCTGCACGAGCGCCGCGGCCTCGCGACGCGCGAGGCGGCCCTCGATCATCTCGGCGCGCGTCAGGGAGCTCGCCTCGGCCGCGCCCTGCAAAAGGGCCGCGGCCTCGCGTCTCGCGAGGCGGCCCTCGATCGCGTCCGCGCGCGAGAGCTTGGGCGGCTCCGTCGTGTCCGCGAGCTTGGACGACGCTTCTCTGCGAGCCAGGTTGCCCTCCAGGGCTTGCGTGCGCGAGAACGAGGTCGAGAGCCGGCGCGTGGTGCGGAGCAACATTGCTAATGAGAGATCCTTGCGGTTTTTGCGAGTTAGCGGTGAACGACGCAACGATGGCGTCGCGTCGATGGCAATTTTTGCGCGCGAGACGGTCTTTGGTCGCGTGCAAAAGCGATGCAAAAATGGCTTGGCTTTCAGGCTTGTGAGACCGGCGCAAGCGAGCGGCTGGAGCAGGTCTGCAAACGACGCGACGACTGCCTTTGTGACCCCTCATACTCGCAGGGACCGGTGCGATCGTGCGGGTTCGCGGATTTCAGGTGGCGGCTCGATTCAGCCAGCGACAGCTCTCATAGGGCCACACTGGTGCAGCCTGTGCTCAGGAGACGTGTGCAAGCGCGATATACGAAGTGCTTGCGGCCCGGTACGAAGCGTCGCGCTGAATAGCCACGAATCGAAGCCGTACGTGTTCAGCGGCTGCCGACGCCATTTTGAATCCGGCGCAGCCATGGACCTCCAGGACGACCTCACGGTCTTCGGGCTATCCATCGCGCTGCTCGCCGTCGCCTACGCTATTGGGAGGGTCGTCGGTCCGAAAGTCACGAAGTGCGAAACCGATGAACAAAGAAGGAAGCAGCGGGCCTGGATCCTGACGCTGATCTCGAGCGTCGTCTGCAGCGCGCACGGCGTCTTCTTTTTAGGAAGGGTCATCAAGCACGGGTTTGGGCACGAATTTTCTAGAGGCGAGACCGTCGCGGATAGAAGAGTCGCGCTCTTCTTCCTGGCCTATTGCATCGCTGATTTGGCGACGGGCGCGCTCGATTATATTGATGAAATAGACTACCAGTCGGGCTGGGCGCACCACTCGTTCTATGGGATCGGGTTATGTGTCTTACTGTATAGGAAGCACACGCACTTCTTCATGGCCGGCTTGATTGAAGAGTTACCGACCGTACTGTTGGCGTGGGCGCGACTCGCCCACGCCAAGGAGCTCCACTGGCCCTTCGCCCTGCTCTATTTCATTGTTAGAATATTGTATCACGTGGTGGCGACGTTCGAGGTCCTGGAGCACTCGCTCTTCGCCTTTGGCCTGGGTTTAGTGATTTTCCGCCAGCATTTGTGGTGGCTCGGGGCCTGGTGGCGCCGGAGCTCGGCGTCGGCCCACGCGGCCGGCCCGCAAGAAACCCGCTTCAAGAAGACGAACGCCCAGCTCAACCTCCACACGAAACTCCTCATCTGCGCGGCCATGGTTATTACCCAATCGGCGACCATGCTCCACGTGACCATCGAGGGCTACGGTCGGAGGGACTGGGTCCACGAGACGATGACGGTGGTAGGACTGACGTGCGCGTGGATCTACTTCTCCTACGAGGCCGTGCTCATCTTCGCGGACACGTACACGCGCGGTTTTATTGCGCTGGCCATCAAGGAGCAAAAAGTCATCTACAACATCTCGTGGGAGGATCCCCGCGTCGAGCGCGAGGAGCTCAAGCTCTCGTCGGACGACGTCGTGCTGACGATATCGAGCGCGGGCTGCAACGTGCTCGACTACCTCCTGGAGAAGCCGAAGCACATCACGGCCGTCGACCTGAACGAGGCGCAGCTGGCCGTTTTGGACCTCAAGCTCGCCTGCGTCGCCGCGAAGATGCCGCAGCACGACTTCTTCGCGCTCTGGGGCCGCAGCGACCCGTCGGCGACGCGGCGTGGAAACGAACTTGAACTTGACCCGGTCTTCATGAAGATCGCCTCGACGCCGTCTTCGTGATCGCGTGAGAGTCTACGCGATGGCTTCTTCGGGAGACCACGCCGCCTCGACGGCGTCGACGCGGCCGCATGAGAGTCTACGCGTCTCGCGAGGGAGCCGCGGCGGTGTCGCGACGGTATCTGTACAACGCAGGCGCGTCTTCACGGAGCACTACCGGCCGTCGTTACGAGCGAGACTGCGGAGAGACGCGTCGCGGCGCTACTGGGACTCGAATTTGGATGAGTTGTTTAGAGATAATTGGATGTTCTGCGGCACTTCTGGGTTGATGGCCTTTTTATTTATGTTGATCGCACGACCCTTGGGCATCTCGTCGGCCCTCCAACGAAATCTGAGGTTTGAGGACCTGAAGAAGGGCTACCTCGCGCGACTGATCGACTTCGGGGCCTGGGTCGTGGGCCAGCCCTTAGTGTGGACGTACGCCGCGCCGCTCGGCGGCATCCCGCCCGAGCAGCTCGCGTTGGTGGACCGGCGGCCTCGAGTGTTTTCCGAAAGGATCCGGGAAATCCTCGCGACGCGCATGTGGAGCCGCGACAACTACTTCTACCACGGCTACTGCACGGGCCAGTTCGACGCCTTCCCCAAGTGCCCGCGCTACATGAGCGCCGAGCACTATCCTAAGTTGCTGGCCATGTCCGACGCGGAACTCAAAGAAAGGGTCACGCTCTTCCACGGCTCCTGGGGCGACGCCGAGCCTCCTACTTCGTCTGGATTCACGTTCGTGTCGTTATTGGACAGCATGGACTGGATGCCCCCGACTCTATTAGCGACGCTCGTGAAGGACATGTTATCAAGATGTGATCGCGCCAAATGCCGCGTCTTCTGGCGGTCGTACGCGCCGGGGCCGATGCTCCAGCAAAAGGCGACGGATCTCTTCACGGTGCACTCGCCGGCGCTGGCGCAACTGCCCCATCGGGAGGTGCAGTCCTACGACCGCGTGGGCTGGTACCTGTCCCAGTGGACGGCGACCATACCCCAAGACGCGGACCTCGACGCGCTGTGTCCCGCGGGGTCGTCGAAGACGTACGAGAACTCGCTCATGGACGACGCTCTCGTATGTTTAGCCATGGCTAGACAAGCTCTGAGGAAGGACAAGGACGTCGCGGCCTTCTACCGGAACCAGGCGGGCCGCTACGACGGCTTCCGCGAGTCGCTACTACCGGACCGCGACACGTTCCTGAAATACACGGTGCCCTGGTCGCGCGTGCCCACGTTGCTAAAGAAGCAGCCGACCTACGCCCTGGTCTGCGTCGGCTGCGGCACGGCGCGCGACGTCGAGTTCGTCGCGGACCACCTCAAGTCGCTCCCGCGGAGCGCGCGCGTCGCGCTCTGCGACCTCTCACCCGAGCTCCTCGCGCAAGCGAAGTTGAGGGTGGACAAGCTGGGCCTCGCGGACCGCGTCGACCTCATTCAGTGCGACATCACCGCGGGGCCCGCGGCGCTCGCGAAGCTCGGCCTCCGTTCGAAGGACAGCGCCGTCGTGGCGTGCTCCTACTGCCTCACGATGATCCCGGCCTGGAAGGCCGCCGTCGACGCCATGCTCGACCTGCTGGTCGACGACGGCGCGCTCTGCCTCATCGACTTCACGCAGCGCTTCGACCGCGCGTCGACGCTCGTGGAGCGCGTCTACAAGGCGTGGTTCGGCCTCGACGGCGTCTACTTCAACCGCGACCAGGTCGACTACGTCGCCGCGCGCACGGCGCCGGAGTACTACGCCGAGGCGCGGTCGCGCGTGCCCTACACGCCGTGGTACCCGACGCGCTACCTGTTCGCCGGCCGCAAGGAGGCCTGATGAGGTGGGTTCTCGTCCGTTAACTCTCGGTTTTCGCTATCTGTCTTTGTTTGGCGTTTATTGTTCGCTTGCTAGTGTCTTACGGCCGCTAGCTCTCCCTCCTGGAGCCCAGCGTTTTTGCCCGAGCACGACGCATCAGTGCCTAGAGCTGGCTTTTGTTTTGTTCTGTGCACTGTTGCTGCCAGTGTGCCATCTCTGGTGCAAGAAATTTGATCGCTGCGGCTCATCAAAGAGCACCGAGCACAGCTGGTGCAGGGCGCAGCGGTGCGGATTCGCACCAACAGAAGTGGCGGCAGCAGTGCGGCGGCACACCACAAAGCACTGATGCCGCGCGGCGTCCTCCCGCGCGGCGCGCTGCGGAAACGAGGCGCACTGGTCCGGGACGTCATCGCCGATGCCTTGTGCGGCCCAAATGGCTACTTCGCGACGCGGCTGCCCGTGCTCGCTTCGCACACGGCGTTCGCGTTCCGCGAGATGAAAGGCCGCGCCGACTACGAGCGCGCGCTGCACGAGCGCTACACGGCGCGCGCGGGCTTCCTGACACCGGCAGAGATCTTCGCGCCGTGGTACAGCTATGCCGCGGCACGCTGGGCTCTGGCGTGGCACCGCGTCGACGCCGTCAAGGCGGCCCGCTCCGGCGGCCGCCCGCCGCCGCTGCGCGTCGCCGAGTTCGGCGTCGGCTCCGGCTCGCACGCGGTGCATTTTTTGGATTACGTGCGGACGAACGCGCCGGACGTCTTTGTGAATTGTAGATACGCGGGCGTCGACGCGTCCCAGGACGCCTGTGCCAACTTCGAACGGCGCGTGCACGACGCGCACCCGGGCGTCGCCTCGGCCGTCGTCGCCGACGCGCGGAGCGAGTGGACGCTGCCCGCCAACTTCCAGGACGAGAGCTGCCCGACGGTCGTCTTCGCGCTGGAGCTGCTGGATAATTTGCCTCACGACAAGGTGCGGGACGGCTTCGAGGGCTGGGTCGTTGACGGCCGCGAGGACTTCCGGCCCGCGGCCGACGCCTGGGTGCGGCGGGCGCTCGCCCTAGACGACCCGGTCGCGGGCGACGCCTTCGTGCCGACTGGCTGCCTACAATTTCTCTACCGTGTCTTCGAGGGCGCGCCGCGGCCGCGGCTTTTTTTGGCAGATTTTTCCGAGCTGCCGCGCCCCACCGGCCGCGACGCCACGGCGGCGAACGCGCCGCTCGTGGCCGCCGCGGACCGCGACCTGGATTCGTACCTCGACGCGCAAGGGAACGCGGACGTCTTCTTCGCCACGGACTTCGACTGGCTCGCGAAGGCCTACGCGGCCGCTGGCGGCGTCGGCACCGTGGCCACGGTCCCGCCGGCGGAGTTCTTCGCGCGTTCCCCGGACCTCGCGGCGGAGACGGCGACGCGGTCGGGATTCAACCCGATGCTCGAGGACTTCTGGAATACGCGGATCTTTCTCGCGAGTGGCAGAGGGGTCGGATAAGTTTTTGTTGTAGCTCGCCTCGCCCCTCAATTCAGCCAAAAAAGCTGCTTTCACAGAGAGGATAAACAGCGCGTGCCCGAGACGAGAAAAGCTTGAGATAAAACTATAAGGTGAGACCGCCACATTGTCAACATCCCTTCGTGAAACGCACCAATAGCCATGCGAAACCTTCGCTTTTTTGCGCTCACAGTGACTCACTGGCTCACAGCCTGAAAAATGCGGCCGCGGAGGCGCGGCGGCGTCGCACCCCGCGACGCCCTCGGTCTCTCTCGAGAGGCCGGCGGCGTCGCACCTAAGACCCGGTCGGCGTTGAGAACGCCGACGTGGTGGAAACCAAGAGCCCGGCGCGGCGGTGCCGCCGGGAGACGCCCGTACTCGTAGCTGCGCTCGTTGCCCTCATCCGGACGACGGCTTGCTGCAAACTGTACATCTGCTGCCGTACCCTAGGTCGGCGGCCCCACGACGCCGTTGCATTCTTTGCAGAGATGGCGGAGTCGCGGTTCTCGTTCCCTCTCCTTCGTTCTTGACGATGCTAGATTTGACGCCGCTGACGTCGCACATGTGGCTCAGGACGGGAGATAGCTCGCACTAGGGTCGAGCCTTTCCGAGGTTTCCCCGGCGACCACACTCCCAAGCCGCTGCCTGGCGAACGCGCGTCTAACCTGGCAAACCCCCCCGTCCCTGGAAGCCCTGAACCTGCCTCGTGTAAGACCATGCCTTCGCTAACTAGTCAACACATGTTACAACCGAAAATAGCGGCTCCGAGGCTCGAGGCAGTCTCACGCAACGCCCTCCACAGAATCGTCGGCGTCGGCATATTTCTCGCGCAGCCGTCGTAGGACGTCCTCATCGGCGTTCCACATGCCCCGGCCGGCCGCCTCTAACAGGCGCGCCAGCACGTTCCGGTAGGCCTCGGGGTTCGAGCGGCGGAGCTGTTCCGACACGGCGTCGTCGAGCGCGTATTTCTCGGAGGCGCCGTCCCACACGAAGTCGTCGACACCATTCACGGCGCCCCAGCCGACCATCGCCGTGAAGCGACTCGACACCTCGTAGGCGCCGCCCGAGCCCTGCTCCAGCATCGCCTCCGCCCACCGCGGGTTCAGTAGCTTCGAGCGATACTCCAACCGAAGAACGTCGTCCAGGTCCTTCGGTTGCGGCCCGTCGGCGTCGTCCCGGAACGCCTCCACGATTGACACCGAACATTTGTTACCACTCGCGTTCTCAGCGGCCACCTTCAGAGCGCCGGTGTTGGCGTAGTATTCTTGTATGTCCGTGAGGCCGTCTGCGCGGGGAGAAATCAGTGAGACACGGACGCGTCGATCACGCGCAAGACACAGCTCGCGTACATTCGACCGAGTCAATCTCTTGGACGACGCGCTCCGTTGTAGCGAGGAGAGACTGGAGCACGTCGGCGCGGTTCGAGCCCTTGTCGCTGCGTCCATACGAGAACGCGTTCCGCGACGCCCAGGTATCGCCGAGCGCCGAGCTCTCGTCCCACTCGCCGCCTGTGCGGAAACCAACCAGTGAGTCAGGTCAGCGTGCAGACGCAGGTGCGCGTCGATGGCGTGGGGCGCCTAAAATTTAATTTCGACACAGGTCGCCGCTGCCGACGCGCTCGTTGACCATAGATCCGTAATCCCCCGCTGGATTCGAAAAGAGTCGGGCCGCAGGCCGCTCGGCGCCTTGAGCTTCGAGATCGAGCGCGTGCTTTCGTACATAATTCATCTCAACAGGCTCGTCGGCCGCGGCAGCACAACGCTCGAAGAGATCGTCCAACAACAAAACGACGTTCTCGAAGGTGTCGCGAAAGATTCCCGACAGTGATGCCAATACATCGACGCGCGGCCGCCCCAGCTCCTCGAGCGGAATTAACTCGAAGCGCGCGACGCGGCCCGTGCCCTCGGCCACGACCTTTGCCCCGACCAAAGCCAGGGCCATGGCCACGGACTCGCCCTTCGTCTTGATGGCGTCGAGGCCCCACATAGTCACTGCAACCGTCTCGGGATAGGCCCCGCCGTTCGCGGCGCGATGCTGGTCGAGGACGCGTTCGGCCGCGAGCGCGCCGCGCCGGAAAGCGCTCTTACTTGGCATGCGGTACGGATCCAAGGCGTACGTATTGCGGCCCGTTGGCAGCACTCCCAAACCATCTCGCAGGACGTCGCCGCCGGGCTTCGGCGCGACGTAGCCGCCGTCCAGGCCCGTGACGAGCGAGGAAAGTTCCTCAGTCGACTGACTCAAAGCGAGCTTGAGCTTTTGGGCCTCCCCAAGCGTCGAGTCGTCCTCGGGTTGCTCGAAGAACAAGCCCCGCAGCGCATCAAGGACGCCCTCCTCCTCTGATTCGCCGCCGCCGCGTACAACTGCAGCGAGCGCTTCAGATGACGGCGCGTCCTCGACGCCGTCGAAGTACGCCTCGAGGAAGGCGGCCGTACCGTCCGCGTCCGGCGCCTCGCCGAAGGCGCGCAGACCCGACGAGAACAGTCGATTCTCCACCTCGGTGACGCGCGCGCGGACGGCCGCGACCCACGCTTGACCGTCGGCGCCCCGCGTCGGCACCTCCTTCTCCAGAGCCGCCTTCGCGACAAGTTCGTCGACCTCGGCCAGAAACGCGTCGTCGTCGGCATCCGCGTCGACGAGCAGCTCTTTCAGCTCCGCAAGGACGCCGTAGGTTCCAGCCCGCGCGTAGGGCGGACTGAGGTACGAGACAAGAGTGGCGTAGCCGCGGCGCTTCGCCAGGATGGATTCGCTCGGGTTGTTCGCGGCGTACAGGTACAGGTTCGGCAGCCCGCCCAGGAGCACGTCGGACCAGGATTCCTTGTCGTTACCGAGGGCTTGCCCGGGCAGCCACTCGACGGTGCCATGCATGCCTACATGCACGACCGCATCGCAGCGCTTGTCGAGGCGGTCGTAGAAAGATACGTACTGCGGGTGCGGCGTGAGGTCCCGTTCAAAGAGGAGCCGCATAGGATCGCCCTCGACACCTAATAGAGGCTGGCACCCCACGAAGACGTTGCCCACCTGCAAACCGCTGACGACATAAGTGCCGTCTGCCGAGCAACCTAGCGCAGGCTCGCGGTCCTTGGCGCCCCAGCAGGCGTCTAGGCGTGCGCGCATCTCTTTCGTCGTCAACGTGTCGCCGATGTCGTCTCCGCTCCGGGCGTCCGCGATCACAGTCACGTCGCCGCGAAACGTGTCTGCCTCGTCGATGAATTCCCGCAGCGCCTCGGCCACGTTCGGGTCTCCAGCTTGCGCCCGGCGCGCCGCGGCTTCGAGCGAGGTAATCATGCGCGCCGCGCCGCCGTTGATCACGTCGGGCCGGCAAAGCCATGCGACGCCCGCGACGAGCGCTTCGCCCGAGAGTCCCGTCGGCGCGTCGTAGCCCGCGTTTTGAAGGGTGTGCAGGATGGCGTCCAGCGACCGCGGCACATTCAGCAAAGCCGCGGTGCCGACGGCTCCAACGTTTGGCGGGAAGCCGTAGAGCACGAGGCCCACCTTGCGGTCGCGTGCGGGCGTGTTCCGTAGCTGAACGCGGCGAGCGACGCGCGAGCAGAGCTTCACGACGCGCTCCGGCTCCAGTACGATGTCGTCGCCCTCCAGAGCGCCCAGCACCACTGCGTCGACGGCGCCGTCGAGCTCGGGTAAAGCGTACAGGACCACGGACTGGAGCCCCGTGACGCCAGACTGCCGCCACGAGGCCATGTCTTGCAGTAGCAATGGCGCCGCGACGTAATAAGGTACGTCCATGCTACCCAGCAACCCTTCCGCGACGCCGCGCCCGGCCTCCATACTCCCCGCGGGCCCGCCAACTAAAGGAAATCCGATCGTATTCACGATGGCGTCGACTGAAGCCGCGTCCTGGGGGCGATACGAGGTTTCTCGCGTGCCGGCCTCCTCCTTGACAGACGTTAGGACGTCGCGCACAATGGTATGCGCTTCGACGCCGTTGATGAAGATCGGGACCGGCAGCAGTCCTTCCGCTTCCATCTGACTGATGAGTTCCCAGACGTACGGCTGCTTCGTGATCACGTGCTTGCGGAAGAGCAGCACCGCGACGCGCGGCGCCTCGGCAGGGGCGAGCTCTGCACCAGCCGCGGTCGCGGCCGCCGCGGCGTCCGCCGACAGGCGCCAGTCGAGATATTCGCGCGGTGACAAAAAGTAGCGGCCCGGCGCCAGCGGGTGCAGGCAGCCGATTCCCGGCGTCTCGACGACCGTCGGCGCGGCCTCGAATCGCGGGACCGGCGCGACGTGGCGCTCGAAGAGCACGCGCAGCATGGATTCGACATTCTCTTGCCCGCCCTCGTTCCAGAAGCGGTAAAGCTCAAGCCAGCTCCGGAGGTCCTGGGCCGTGTCGTTCGGGATGAACTTGAGGAGTTGCGGGCCGATCTTCAGCATCTTGAGGTAGCCCTGGAGCTTGTCCTCCTCGCGGCCGCTGCCGAATTTCGACAAGAGCGCCTTAACGGCGGGCGGCGGGCCGCCGCCGCCCTTCATTTCGAACCCGCCCACCCGATTAAACTCCATCAGCTCGGTTGCGCACTCAAAAACCAGCCGCGGGCCCTTGACATTTTGTACCCGCGGTACGAGCCACTCGACGTCGTCATAATCGAAGAGCAACGACCCGACGAACGCGTCGGCTCTGGCGAGGGCTGCCGCTACGTCCTCCTTGCGGCTTTGAACATCTCGATCAGAAAACACAGAGACCTTGACGTCTGCTGCGACGGACTGGGCGCACTTCTCGTACAACGCGCAATTGAAGCTCTCGAAGCCGCTGATGAGGACGATCTCTCGCTCCGTCGGCGCGGCTTGGAGTCGTCGTCGGGTCCGCGTGGTCGCGGGCGGCACCAGGCTCCAGGCGAGGCTGCTGAAGACAAGCAGTAGTTTGATGCGCATGTTTGCTCAGCGCTGAGCGACCACTACTGTTCGCAGGAATCGTGCCGCCGCGTCTGCGCTGTAGAAAGTGCAGATCCAGTGAGAGCTTACTCGCGGCACGAGCCGCAACGCGCTCTGGCAAGCGCGAAGACCTCGAGTATCTGATGTGACAGATGCCTGAATGCGTCTGACTCCGGCTTTAGAGCCGAGCACGAGCCCTGAAGGCGCTCAAAAGGCAACCTACGGCTTGCTTGGCTTGCTAGTGTCTCACGCCGCTAGCCTGAGTGCGCGGAGCAAACACGGAGCACCTACACATTGCGCCAAGCGAGTCCGTACAGGCGGAAAAATCCCATTTGAACCGAGATTAGTCTCCCCCCCTCTGCTTGACCGACGTCCGCGCGGCACAACAAGCTCACTTGTTCTTCTTCGGGTTCCCCCGAGGCTTCGGCGCCGGCGCCGGCGCGGCCGGGCCGTCCGCGGCGGCGGGCGCCGGCTTTTCGAGCAGGAGCGTTTTGTATAACACCAGAACGACGATACCCGCGAGGAAGCCTCCGATCTCGGGCGAGCCGGCCAGGAACGCCTTGACGGCGGCGAAGAACGAACCGACCTGCTCCCCGAGGCTCTTCGGCTCCGCCGCTTCGAACGCGGCCGCGTCGCCGTCGGCCGGGGACTTGTTCAATTTGTGATACGTGATCAGCGCGACGTTGATGGCGAAGAACATGAGTGCCTTCTGCGCGCTTTGCAGGTACTGTTCGCGCGTGAAACCCATCCTCGGACAACGCGCGTCGCTGGGCAAAGTTGAGGGTGGTCACACTTTTTGTCTGTGCAGAATCTGTGCTTAGACAGCGCTCGCTTCGAACGCGTGGCGACCAAAGGCGAAGAACGCGTACCGCTGGAACGTGAACGTCGCGGTTTGACCGCTTGCAAGCGAGCGCGAAAAACCCGTTTTGACGAGGGAGCTCTCCGGGAGCGCCGTACCACGTACCCCGCCCACAGGGTATTGAAATAATACTTAAGGTGAATTTGGTGCTGGCGCCGCAGCGTGCGGCGCATGGTGGTCGTGGTGGTGGTGGTCCTGAACGGAATCCAAGAGCCAGGCGAGCTCCTCGACGGAGAGGTCGCCGCTCTGGTCGTGGTCGGCGAGGTCGAAGAGCGCGGTGATGTACTTGTCCGCGGCCTGGGCCGCCGGCAGCACGGACCGGATCCACGTGGCGAGCTCGTCGCGCGTGATTTTGCCGTCGCCGTTCGCGTCGATCTTCTTGAGGACGTGGTACCAGTCGTCGCCGCCGGCGACGTAGGCCGCCGCGAGGAGCTGTCTCCTTATTCTCAACAGCACGAGCAGGTCCGAGGCCGGCTCGACCATTTTGGATTTTTCCATCATCTTCTCGTGCCGGTGGTCGTCGCGGCTCCGGTCGCGGTGCCGGCACCGCATGTGCGGCACGTGCTTCGCGATGTTCTTCGAGGCCGCGCGGCCGTGCTTGGCTAATTGCCTTACCTTTCCGGCCATGTGGCTAAATTCCCGGTCGAAGGAGTCGTCAATACAATGAATCCACTGTACGATGAGCGTGAACAATTGCGAGACGACGGCCAAGCCGCAAAATACCGCGAGCACGTACCAGAAGTGGTACCAGCCGAATTTCTCCAATCGCCGCCGCCGCAGCTCGGGCCGCACGCCCGACCGCTGCCAATAAAAATCGGCGTCGGCGTAGGGTGCTACGGCGTCTCCGGTTAAGCAGCGCCACTTCGCCGGCCGGCCGCCGGGCTTGTAGTAGAGGGCGATCTCGTCGCCCAGCCCGATCGTCGACAGCGTCACGAACGTGTAGTAGCACGACGTCGTGATCGTCCAGGCCTCCATGACGCAGAAGACAATGACGCAGTGCGCGAAGTGCGCCATGAAGAGAAACACCGAAAAGTAGATCTCCTGCATCTTCGAGGGCTTGGCCTTGAAGCCCAGGCTTTTTCTGATTTTTTTAAGGATGAGGTGCGAGCAGCGCTGCGACGCCGTGCCGATCCAGGCGAGCGCGTAGCACATCAATGGAATTCCCGTGAGGCCCATGAAGATCGTCGCGTACATGCCCGCCGGTTTTGCTGGAGAGAAGTTCCCATACCCGATCGTCGTGATGACCGTGAACACATAAATGTACGCGTCCCAGGCCGCCCAGCCCTCGATCTTGTTAAAGACGATGGCCCAGGCCGGCGTAAACACAAAAAAGGTGAACAGCATGGTCAACAAACCCTGCTGGCGCAGGATCCAGCCCTCGACGGTCTTCCGCTTGTGCCGCTCGGTCCGCTCGTGCCACTTTTCCAGTCGCACGTTCAGCGAACTCCCGAGGTGCATGCGCAGCAGCCCGACGTCGTCGTCCCCGTCCTTCGCCTCGTCGTCGGGGTGGACCTTGGACTGCCCCTTTTTGAAGGCCCAGCTCAGGTGCGGCAGGCTGCCCGACCGCGCGAGGGGCGACGTCGGGAGGCCGCGCGCCGAGCTGCCCGTGCGGAAGAGGCCCCGGCCGCTGCGGGCGGCGATGAGGTTCCCGGCCGGCGCCATGGTCGCCCCCGCCGGGCGACCGACCTGGGCGGGGCTGCCCTCTTGCCCGGCGCGCCGGGAGAGCGATGCGCCCTCGGCGAACGCTTGCCCTCGGCGAGTTAGGCGCGCGGTGGCCTCGAGATGCGCCGCGAAGCCATGCTCCCTCGCGAGTAGGTGCTTTCAAGGCTGCCCCTCCGCTTAGCGCTCCCTCGCGCCTGCCCCCACTAGAATCCCTGCCCGACGTTGACACGCGTCCAAGATGGAGGCGTAGGCGTCGGCGGGAGCCGGCGTTTGCCTCCATAGTAGTAAGACCGGCATGGGTTGTGCTTGTGCACGGGTTTTCTGCCTAATGTGTGTCTGCAAAAAAAAATAGGTTCTGGTGCTTAGCCGTGGCGTTGCTGGCCTCCTTGGGCTTCGTTTGCACAATCTTGAGCCAGCTGGCGAGCTGAGCTGCATTCATTTGGCTGCAGTGGTACATGCTGCAGCGCTGCCGGCTGCACAAGCATGAGCCGGCTGCAAATACTCGAACCGAACGCGTCATTACGCTTTGAGTGCGACGGCGCAGACCTGCACTACGAGGTCTGGGAGCCTGACGGGTCCGTCAAAGGAACGCTCTACCACTCGCATGGCGTCTGCGAGAGCAACGAGACGACGAACACGCAACGCCTCGTGCAGCGCGCGGTCGCGAGGGGCTGGCGCGTCGTCTGTTTGGAGCACGAAGGCCACGGCCTGAGCAGCGGTGCGCGCGCCGTCGTTTCAATGGATCGCTGCGTACAACTGTTCGAAGCGTTCGTCAGGTCGAGACTTGGAGAGGGCGCGTGGGCCCTGAGCGGGGCTTCGATGGGCGCCAACGTCGTGCTGTATGCCGCCCAGCGCCTCAGCTCCCTGGAAGGCTACGTGGGCACCGTCTTGTTCGGCGCGGCGGTCGGTGTGGACCCGAGGGCCGTGCCGCCGGCTCTGGTCGTCGGCGCGCTGCGCGTAGCCAGCTTTTTCATGCCAGAAGCATCGCTTGGCGCGACGCCGGTCGAGGAGCCCGACGGCTACGCGCTGCCCGCCGACTCGACGCGGAACTTCCGGGGCCATTGGCCGCTCGTCACGGCGAAGGAGCTCCTCGACGCGACGCGAGACGCCCTCGCCGACGCGAAAGCTTCGAAGCGCGGCCTCGACCGGTTCCTCGTCGTCCACGGCGCGCAGGACCACGTCGTCCCGTTGTCATGTGTCAAGGAGTTCCTCGCAGCGGCGCACCTGCCGCCCGAGGCGCTGCGGGTCGTCAAGAAGGGCGGCCACGACCTCACCGGCGGCCGGGGCGGCGACGAGGCGTGCGCGGTCGCGCTGGACTGGTTAGAGAGGTGTAACAATCAGGAAACTTATAACCCCAGCGCCGCGCGCGCCGCCGCGGCGACGTCGTAGACGTCCGCGAGCGCGCCAATGCCTACGTCGCCGCAGGCCAGGGCCTTGGACACCGGCGCGACGACGGCCGCCCCATAGACGCCGCGCAGCGCGGCCAGGTGGTGCGCCGTCATCGGGTGGCTCCACATGGCCGTGTTCATCGCCGGCGCCACGACCACGGGCTTGTCGAGGTCCCACGCGCGCGCTGTGCAGCTCAATAGGTCGTCGCAGAGCCCGTTGGCGAGCTTGGCGAGCGTGTTCGCGCCGAGCGGCGCGATCAATAACAGGTCGGCCCACTCGCGGAGGTCGACGTGAAGCACCGGGTCGCCGACCTGGTTCCAGCGCGCCCACTCGTCGTCGTCGCTCAATATCTCGATCTGCGCTTGCTCGAAGGCGCCGTACGCGGCGCCGTCGTAGGTCCGGGCCTTCCCGAGGAAGAACCTGCCCCGCTCCGTCGCGACGACGCGCACGTCCGCGAACGCCTTGAGCTGGACAGCGAGCTTGGGCACCTTGACCGTGGCGACGGAGCCCGTCGCGCCTAGCAATATGCGCGGTCGCCGCGTGGCGGGCGGCGTCTTTTTGGGAGGCGGCGGCGGCGCTACGCCCCGCAGGCGCGCGACGACGCTTGCGCAGTCGGGATCGCCCGCGAAGCGCTGCAGCGCCGCGGGGCCCTCGCGGCGGAAGGCCTCGAGCATCTCGCGGACCTGCGGCTTCTGGAGCCCCTCGGCGGCGATGCGCGTCCGCGGATCATCGACCGCGGCCGCCGGCTCGACGATGGAGCCCTCGACCACGGGCTCGCCTGGCCGCGGCACCACCATTCCCGTCGACTGCCCTCGCAGGACGTCCAGCGCATCGGAGCACGCCGGGTCGTCGACGTAGCGCTGCAGCGCTTGAGGACCCTCGTTCCGGAAGGCCGCGAGCATCTCCCTTACTTTAGCGTCTTTCAGCGCCACCGCCGCGGCTTCGGTCAGCGTCGTCGACTCCTTCTGTTCGTCGTCGTCGAAGTGTAACAAATTGTTCGTCTCCTGCTCCTCCTCGCCGCGGTCCATGCTCAGGCTGCGGCCGAAGGCGGCTAGCATCTTTTCACAGGCCACAAGTTGGATTCTCTTTTGGTGTGCACCCGAAGCGTCGACTGCTGGCGACCTGCTGTGTGTCCGGAACCGCCTCCGAGCTCGTAGCAGCGTAGCTGTCCCGCGTTTCGCAGCAGCGCGACCTAGCGACACAGACACACTAGCAGCAAAACAGCGCCGCCTGTAAATGGTCCCAGCTCCTTTGTAGCGGCGTTACGGTTGCTCGAAACTCGTTGCGTGTCTTAGACACCCCAAATTGCAGCCGCTGTGCTGAAGACTCTGTCTCCAGCGGGCTACGCGAGTCAAAATACGACAAAACCGCTTGCAACGCACCGAGCCGTCAAATCTCCGCACGGCTTTTGACACACGATACAACGACCGACTTCTGACACACGCTGCAACGATGATCAAACTCACGGATTTAGCCGACGAGCTCCTCGACATAATAATAGACCACTGCCCGCTGGAAAGCCTCGCGACCTGCCTGATTTCGAATAAAGCCATCCGGAGTCGCTGTCTGAGGGACGGCGTATGGCGTGCGCAAGCTCTAGCGCGGTGGCGATGCATACCGGACGTCCGCGGCGGCGGCGCGACGCGTCGGGGCTTCGAGAACCGGCTGCGATTGGAAGCGGACGCGACGGTCTTCTACGCAGTAATTCATCGCTGCGGCGCGATCGGGGAGAGTGGGGAAGTGCTTACGGAGTGCTCCTTAGCTCCGGGCGACTATGGGGGCTTGTGGCGCCGCGTGGCCGCCGCGACGGCCATGCGCGCACGAAGGTCGGCGCCCGGCGTGACGGTGCAGATCGAGGTGGGCGAATTGCAAGAAGCGCACCGCCGTTGTCGACGGAGAGCTGGCGGCGGCCCGGTCCGTTGCGTCCTCACAACAACCTCCCTCCGCCCGGATGAAGAAAATCAGACGTTCTTTGCCTGCCTCGCGGCATTTCCGGTCGTCCAGGACCCCGGTGGCAGTAACTCGGCCTTCTACCTGCGGAAGCGGGCGGTGGGCCAATTTTTAAGACGGCTATCCGCGTGGCACGGCGTCGAGCAGTACATTGCTCGAAACTTCGACCGAACCGTTACGGTCCGAATCGAGGGAGACGTGCCGGAGGATGCGGAAGACGTCTCTGTTGAGTCGGCGCTCGCCAGGATGGCAACAACGCCGCCGCCGGAGATACACGAAGTGCTCGACCCGGCGCATCTCCTGGAGCGATTCATGGTCGCGGCGAACGGCGCGATGGATCGGCCCGAGCCGGCCACGTCACCGCGGCGCCGGCCGGGGCCTGCAGTGGTGCCGGTCGGGGACCGTGCTTGGCACATTAGAAGGTAATTACAACAACTAAGGCACACCACTGGCAAAGCCGGCCGCCGCCCACGCCCCGTCGCATTCGCGCGGCGCCGTGAACGGCAAGAGGGCGTAGTCCCGCGCGTGGAGCCAGCACCAGACGTGCACCGTCGACGGGCCGTCGACACGTATGGCCCGGTCTCCGCGAGTAAAAGCGGGGAAAAGGTCTCGAGCCTGCGGCCAGCCGGCGCGCGCGTTCTGCTTCTGGGCGGCGATCGCATCGCTGGCGCGCCGCGATGTTATTCCGGAAGCCCCGGCGACGGTCATTAGGACCTCGTTCAAAGCCTCCGAAGGTGCGACGACGGCAGTCGACGGTAAGCTCCGCGGGAAGAACGACGTCTGTGGCGTGAGGTGCTCGTTCCAGTCGGGGGCGCACGCCAGGTCTCTGACCGTTCGTGTCAGGATCTCGTCGGCCAGGTCCGTCGACTTTCCCGAGAGGAACTGGAAGACTTGCTTCGGGTTCGACGCGTTCGCATAAAAAGGTCTCTGTCGGATCACGACTTTGCCCCAGCCTCGTCGATGCTTCGGAGGTCGCTCGTAGGCTCGTAACTCCCGCCACGCGGACGCGTGGCGGTCCAGCGGGTCCCGTACCTGTGAGGGAATCAAATCGAGAGGACGATCCCTTGTCCCGGTAACGCGGCGCGGGCCACTGGTTGATTTCCACACAGCCCCGCGCGATCGAGAACGTCATCGACCGTCGCTTTTCTCGCGGTATATCTCTCCATAAAGCGGCGCCGCCCAGACGGTCCGCGACCGGTTTGGCATCGTGTTGGATCAGAAAAGACGCCCCGCTTCGCGAATCGTCGGCGTGCATCGCGTCGGCCCACTTCCGTACTACGGTCGTGGCAACTTTCGGTATCGGTAAGTACGTAAATGAGGCTGTTTTCCCCACATAGACCATGCCCTGCGGATGTCCGAAACTCCGTGGTCGCACGCGCGTCCGCCTCCAGACGTCAACGCACCACATATCTCTAAAAGGCACGTCGTCGCCGCGTCCCTTGCCGCGTTTGCAGGCGCGCGCGCCCTGGTCGACGATTCGTCTGGCCAGGGCGTCTGCATTGACCTTTTGCTCTGGAGCGCATGCGGTGCGGAGTTTAGTTTCGCAGGCCTCGACAAAATTTCGCTGCTGCGGCGTCATGGGTCGCCAGGCGTACTTTTCTTGCAGCGCTTGCCAGTCCGTCGCGACCGCTGTGCTAAATAGTGACAGCCATAGCACTCTCATTTTGATCTCAGCAGTGCCAGCAGCGGTCTGAGCGCGGATTTTGGCGGCTAGACGTCGTCGCCCATTATCAAAGAGTAATTCCACGCTGCCGTAGTCCTCATCGGCGTCTCCGCGCGTGAGCACCAGCTGAGCATGAAATTGGAAGCATTGAGACGGGTTTTTCGCGTCGAGCTGTGGTCGTTAGCGAGCCTTCGTACCTCTCTACCGACCACCAAGACCTCTCTACGCGACGTGCCGCGCTTGGTCTGCCGTGCGGGTCCAGCACAAGCAGCGTAACACTGTGAGCCAAAAAGCGCTGTCGTGAGGCCTCATCCGGCCCTAACAGCTGCTTGAACGCTGTATCGGACACCCGACGGGGCGCCCCAGCGACCGGACCCAGCCTGCCCCGCGAAATCCGTCTGGGGCAGCCCAACACCAGAGACTATCTGCCAGGGTAGCGCAGCGGCTCCGATGAGGGCACCCCTCGCATGCGCCTTCGTTGCGGCGGCCGCCGCCTTCCCGAGCCTGCGACGAAGGATGGCCATTGAAGAGAATCAGCCGCGCGAGCATACTGCGATTTACGTCTGGGACAAGGCCGTCTGGTTCGCGCCGCACGGTCACGACCCGGCCGAGCCGCCGGACGAATGGACGCGGCGACGCCTCGGCGACTACGAGAACGACTACGAAAAACCGGAAGCCCAGGACTCGACCAAGAAGTGCTTCATGATCGCGAAGAAAATCCGCGTCAACTTCGAGATCGACCCTCTCTCTGGAGACAAGTACGGGTGCATGAGCTGCGATCCCACGGTAGGTTGGCCGACGGGCAGCTGCCCCACGCAAAAGAAGTGTCCACAGACGGAAGAGGACGCGAAGCCCTGCGACAAGATGGACTGCCAGGTGTACGTCGACCAACTCTACGAGTATTGCCGCGGGAAAAAGGGCTTCCTGTTCTTCGTGCCTGAGCAAAAGCCGAAGACCCTCCCGGCGGGCTTCTTCTACGACCCAGAGGACACTATTACCGGCACATGGAACGACGAGGTCGAGCAGGCGATCAAGATCGCGGTAGAAAAATGCGGCTGCAACGGCGCCGCCGGCTCGCGCGCGTCGCTAGTTTTGGCGGTACTTGTCGCGGCGGTGGGCGTTTTGCTCGCGTAAGGAGATTTGTGTGTAGAAATGACCCCGAGAGCTCTTCTCTTGGCGGCGAGGCGGTGGCGTGGCTCACTATACCGTAGACTATACCAAACGAGCACGCGGGCTGCAAAAGCAAAAGCACCGAGAGCTAGCGCGACATACCTACTAGTACTTCTAAAGATGCGCCTCGATAGCGTCAAAAGAATGTCCAAAATTCAGAATACATCCTAGTCGTTCGCCGAAACCAAATATTTCAGAGTAGCGGCCCGGGAACATACCCTCGCGCCTCCCGGAAGGCACCGCTCGCGACATTCGCGGATGAATCTTACGGCTTGCCAAAATACACCAGCAATTGATGGCGCCTTCTACCGTTCAAATGGTACATTATATCAACTCCAGCCCAGTTTTCATGCACACTCGACGGAACCGGAGCCGACGGCCCGCGCTCGGAGGGCGGGAGAAGAATTCTACTCGACAACTCCCGAGTTTATGTTCGTTTCCTTCCGTTTGTTGGGGGTAGATTTCATCTAGCTCGCCTGGACATCGGCCAGCATGATCATGTACTCCGTTAAAGCCGCGCGAAACGACGAATCCGCGCCCTCCACGTTTACTGAAAAAAAGGCACATACTCTAGATCTGCGAGTATCAGCGACGCCACCACCCAGATGGACCATAATGCCGTTGTTCTATTCACAATCGACCGACTTGCCCGTTCTCCGCGGGCGACGGTGCGTACGCGGGGCACTGAATTGGCCCCAGACCGGTGAGTTATGAAATAAAATTGCATTTCAGGCGCTTCGGTTATGGGACGGGCCAGATAACCGGCCTGAGCGCCTACTACATTGCTCGAGACCCCACAATGCTCCGCGCGGCTCGGCCAACTCGCGAGCCCATGATCTCAATAATTTTGGCGAATTACTTGGATCTGCGACCATCAGCCCGTGTACCATCACCATGGACCATGACGCGATCATTTGTTCCATGATCGACCGACTTGCGCGAGGTCCAGATCAAGATGTTCACGTCCCGAGCGTGGGCAGCACCAAAGTACCCTTCTCGTGATGTAGATGTCATTTACTTGTAATTGACTATCGCTGGGGTAGTATGGGGTCCGACGAGACCGCTATTACGATTCCTGGGGGGCCTCGGGTAATTGACGTTTTTGACGGGAACGGGGCGCCATCGGGACCAAATTAATTACTTTTTTCGGATGTAGATCGGCTCGCGGACGCCCTCTGGGATAGGTCTGGGGTCGGGTCGTCACATACGCCGCATGCGCCCGTTCTTGGAGCTCCCCAGAGAGCTCTGGATCGAAAACTTGGGGGACTTGGGCTCTGGCCCGATGTCTGGCTGAGGACCTGTACTAATATGTATCTACCGATGGAAGCGCCCGCGCATGCGGTGTAGGCGTTTGCACGTGTATAGTACCGACCCTAGGCGACCCCAGGGAGACCTCAGGACCACGAATTGACAGGTTTCCACTGACGTGCCCGCCCTGGTGGGACCGTCAATAGCGCGAATTTAATATTATTATTTTTCGGCCCCCAGTAAGTTTCCTATTGATCTCTTTGGACCATTAGCTAACGGAACGATGCTCAAACGGCTGCATGTGCGTTCCGAGTTTGCTTGCTAGTGTCTTACATGCCACTAGCGAACGGTCGTCCCTTGTTTTTGGTGGCCGCTGCGCTAGTTGCCAGTGCGCTGAGTGCTCGTTTCGGCCCGCGCCGCAGCAATACTGCACTGTCATCTTCCTTCACACGAGTTTGCGGCTCTCCAGACGAGCCAGCTCCATTTGAATACTATGGCCGAGCTGCACGCATCAAAGCTACAGAGACAAGCGGACGCCGCGCCGTCGTGGGGCGCGGAACTGGAGCGCCTCCTGCGAGCGTTGAGCGACGACGAGGAGCTGCTGGACGAGGCCTCACACGCGCTGCAGGCGGCGACCACCGGCGCGGCTTTCGACGCGTCGCCGGCCGTCGCAGCCTTGGTTCGGCACTGCGATACGTCCTCGCGCCGCGGTGAAGTGGCATCGCGCGTCTTCTACCTGGAACAGGACGTCCAGCAGCGAGCCGCGCACGTGGCTGCGACGCAGTACGCCGAGGAGATCGACGATCTCATTCAGCGGACGGATGTCATCGACGTGAGCGCCGAGAGCAGTAGCGACGACGAGGCGCCACCGGCGGCCGCTCAGGACTCCGACGACGACGGCTTCGAGATCCTCCCGCCCCCCGCGGCCGACGATGACGCGGCGCTCGCGCGGCGCCTCCAAGCCGAGTATCGACAGGCGGACCGCGACCAGAAGAGAAGAGAGGAGGCCGACGCTGAGTTCGCGCGACGGCTCGCTGAGGGCCCCGTCGTGATTGATGTGGACCAGATCGACCGCGACGAGCAGTTGGCGCGGCGGCTCTCCGAGGCCGGGCCGGCGACGCCCTGCGCACTAGAACCCGTCGCGCGCGTGACGCCGACGCACCTGGGCACGCGGCGCTTGCGCGTCGGCCTGCCGGGCGGCCAGGCCGTGACGTTCGAGTTAGAGGAGACACAGCCTCTATCGATGGTCTTCCCGCCGCTGAGAGAGAAGCTCGGGCTCGACGCGCGCGACGACCCGTACTCTACGTATGTGCTGGCCCAGGGCGAGAAGCGCTACGACCGCGCCGAGCTCCTCATGACCGTCGGCGCCGCGTGTGGCGACCACCGTCGCGTTCGCTTTCGGGTTGAGCGGCGAGACTTAGTCGGGCACATTGTCATGGGCAGCGGTTCGTTCGCGTCGGCGCCGACGATCTTCAGGCTGACGGCGCACGGCCGCCCTTCGGCGATTATCGTGGTCCGCGATCCCTTTGGAGACGGCGGTCTGCGAATCGCGAAGGGGATCGAGCGATATGCGGTGACCGGCGCGCACCACCAGCGGCGCGCGGACCTCAAAGCCGCGGCTTTGAACGGGGGAACGAAGGCGGCCAAGGCCATTCGCGAGTGGCAGAAGGCGAAGCGGCGCGAAGAATCGAAGGCTCGAGAGGACGATCCAGAGCATCGGACGGCGACGGTGCGGTACCTCGAGACGGCAACGGCGACGGTCCGCGCGTCGGGCGGCAACGGTTCGATTGCGCTCGCCGAGCGGGGCACCTCATCGTCTCGCCGCCATTTTAGTCGCGGTGGTCAGCATTTCGCCGGCCTCGCCGTGCCGGACGAATTTAAGTCCATGGCCGGCCAAGTCATTGATATGGCCGAGCGCGCCGTCCTCGACCCGTCGTACGTCCCCCGCAACGGGCCTGGCGATAACGCTACGCGGATGCTCGCCGCCCGCGCGCTCCAGAACCAGCACGACTACTACATGTGCCAGGGGTTGACGTACGGCCGGAGCGCGTCGCTCCCGAACCACATCGACGGCGTCGGACATTGGGTCGTATTGTTCTCGCTCGGCGATGAGTGCACATTTAACGTGGGCACGGGACTAGTCGGTTCGGGCGGTATGCAACCGGACCAACCCACCGACTCCTTCACGTTCCGGAGCGGCGACGCGCTAGTGTTCAACGGCGACCCGGCGCACGTGGCCATACATGGTATGGACCGCGTGCACCCGAACACGAGTCCTGCAGTCCTGCCGCGCTGGTTGCAGAACATCCGCGCGTCGGTTCAGGTTCGCCAGATGTAAGGAGCGGCCCATGTGATAAGTACATACAAAATAACAATACTCTAGAGCTCCGCCCGCGTCAACGGCCGGGGCCCGTGCGCGACGCGGCACCAGCGCTCCGGCGCTACCGCGACCAGCGAGCCTAGGGCAGCCGCCCAGCCGCCAACCCCGCAAGCGCCTGCCGAGCCACCGTCACGCCGCGCTCCACGACCGACGCCTGCCACGCGGCCGACGGGACGCAGAACGCGTCCCGCACGTCCCGCGCCGCGGCTCTCTGCTCGTCCTCGTCGCCGTGGTGCCAGGCCGCGTTCTCGCGGACCAGCGCGCGCGCAACGAGTAAGCCAGGAACGGTGCCAAACTCTTGGGTGAGGCCGCGCGCGTTCGTCCAGCCGAGTCGGTCCGCGTAACCGCGCGGCACGTCGCCTATGGTAGCATCGTAGCCCGAAGCGGCACCCGTCGCAGTCTCTCCGTACAGAAACGTCCCGTCCGGCTCGCCGAAGACGTGTCGGACTCCGTCAAGCGAAGCGTCGTCACCCAACGCCATCAGCGTGTCGACGCCAGAAGGTCCCAGCCCCGTGTGCGCGTCGACCAAGAAAATACGGCTCGACGGCGGCACCACTTTCCCGAGAAACTTGAGCACGTACTTGTGGGATTTTTGTAGTTCGGTTCCTCCGAACCACAGGCCATTGGGTACCGAATACTGGCCACTCACGAGGACCCGTTTAGTCGCGACGAAGCCCTTGCGCGCTACCGTAGAGAGCGCCCGCCACCAGAATTTGGCTTCGCTCCACGACGTCGGATTCAACAGCGATGCCAGCTCCGCGTAGGCATCCTCCACGTCTCGTCTCCGATCGACAAGGCCTTCGAACGGTTCACTCAACCTCAAAGCGTTCCTGTTCAGGTCGACGCCCTTTTCATTCCATCTCCTCCCGTACGCCATCCCGAAAGGATTGACGGCATGGATCAGGACGGCCCGCGTGTTGCGCGGCGGACAGCGGTCGCCGGGATTCTCGCCCCACGCCCATTGGAAACAACGCGCTCTGGATGGCACTGCCCACGTAGCCCTCGACGCCGTGGACCCCGGACAGGTGCACCAGCGTACTGCAGTTAGCTCCAGCGCAGTTGTCCACAACAACCGCGTCGGTGGCGAGTCCTGGCGCCACCTCCGGTAGCCGACTCACCGAGACGTTGCAGACGTCTTTGAGCGCGGCGGCGCGCATGCGGAGCAAGGATCGCGCGCCGTCGAGGTGCTGCGAGAAATGACACGCCGCCGGGTCGACCGGACATATGCCTGGCGCTGGCGCTTTGCGTCGCAGCGCGACGGCCGCGATCGCTGCCACTATTGCCCAGCGCACCGCTGCAAAGCTTATGAATCGCTGCGGCGACGACGCGCGGGCAGCATCCGTCCCCGACGAGTGGCCAGCGCGCCTCTGCGACCGCGAGCGGCGCGTCGCAACCATGGATGGCTGAGGTCCAGAGGCAGCTTTTCCAAGCGCAGCGATGCTCGAAACGCAGCGCTTGGATCGATGCGAGCCGAGATCTGTCTTGTAATGCGAAGCACGGCCAGAAACCAGCTATACGCGCAAATCTCGCGCGAGGCGATTTCAAGTAAAACCCGTTTTGAATTTAGGAAAAATACACACACGACTCACACGCATCCGACCGCTCAGGGATCGAAATCAATTGCGTGCAACGAAGGCCGACGCCCAGCAAGAGCTTGGGTTGTTTGGCTGTGATGCACAGTTGGTGGGACTTTGGAGCAAAAAAAACGAGGAGCGCTGCTGCCGTTGACTCTGTTGGAGGGCACAATTGATCAACGACACGGCTGCGAGCTTTGCTCGACCGACGAGTTCGTGCCGCCTGAGGCAGCCTTGGCAACCGCTGCTGGGCAGCCATCTGGGCAGCCTCTACCATGGCACCGAGCCGTAGAGTCGCACCAGCACCAGCAGAGGACGCTACCGAGCAGCAGAAGCCGCGCCCGCGTCGGCCCACAAGAATCGCACCGAGTCTGACTCCGTCGCCCGATGCCGCGAAGCAGCCGCCGCCCGGGTGGCTCCAGGACACACCAGCCGCCGACGCGAATCAACCGCCCCGGTGGTTGCAGGACACTCCTGCCGCGTCGCCGGACGGCCCGGCGCCCAAGCCGCGTTGGCTGCAGGACACCCCGGACGCGCCGCGATGCACTACCGAAGACGACGACGATGCGACGCTGGACCGGCCCGCGTCGCCGCCGGACTGGCTCTCGCCTGACCAACCCAAGGTCAGCGACGAGGAGGACGAGGGCGACCCCTACGCGACGCCGGCAAATCTCGGACCGGATTCTGACGACGACGACATGCGCGTCGTGTCGCCTTCGCCGTCGCCCGTGGAGGTTATAGACACGTCGAAGCGACCCGTCCGCGAGTTGCGCCAGATGGCCCAGGAGCTCGGCGTCGACGTGACGAACGTCGTCGAGAAGGGGGAGATGGTCGCGGCGATCCGGGCCGCGCGGCCGCCGCCAGTCGAGGTCGAAGACGAGGAGGACGAGAGCGACGGCCCGGGCGAGCACATGTCCGTGCTTTTTGAGTTATTGCCCTTTTATCGGCAGGGCGACGCCTCGACGGACGCCGTCGTCAATAGGGCGGTGTCGGCGACGCTCCAGGACGATCTCCGAGCGGTCGACGACGAGGGCGCGACGCCGCTGGTCGTCTGCGCGCAGTACGGTCACGAGGACCTCGTCGAGGCGTTATTAGAAAGAGGCGCGGACGTCGACGCCGCGGCGCACTCGGGCTGCACGGCCCTCGTGTACGCGTGCGGCGCGTCGCAGGCGTCCTTCTCCGAACGGCTCGTCGAGAAGCTCCTCGACCACGGCGCCGACCCGAACATTCCGGAGCTCCACCACGGCTCGCGGGCGTTGCACTACCTCGCGGCGACGGGCCACGAGCGGCTCTGCCGCGAGCTCGTCATGCGGGGCGCCGACGCGGCCGCCAAGGACTACGGCGGTTGGGCGCCCGCGGACTACGCGGCTGACGCGGGCCACGGCGCCTGCGCCGAGGTCCTGCGGCAGCTCGCCCGGCCCCCGCAGACGCCGAAGACGCCGCACCAGGTCGACCACCTCGAGCGCGAGGTCGAGAAGCGCCAGGCCGTCGAGAGCGAGCTGGCCGCGGCCCAGAAGGCCCGACAGGACGCCGAGGCGGACCTGGACGACGCCCTGCGGCGCGTCGACGTGCTCGAGGCCGAGGCCGCGGCCCTGCGCCGCAAGTGCGACGACCAGGCGCACGACCTCTCGTACGCGCGGGAGACGGGCGCGTCGGCGGCCCACGGCAGCGACGCGCGCATCGCGCAGCTCGAACGGGAGCTCGCGGCGGCGCGCGCGCACAACGAGGAGGCGGCCCGCGCGCACGCCGCGGACGCGTCGTCCCAGAACGACGCGGCCCGCAAGGCCGTCGAGGAACTCACGGCGACCTTCGAGAGCCAGCGCCAGCATTTGGTGGACGCACGGACGCAGGCCGAGGCACAGCTTGTGCTGGCGATCGATAGGAACGACGCGTCGGCCGCGGCGCACGTCGCTTTATTAAACGAGTTGCGGGGCGAGGCGGCGGCGGCCGTGCGCGACCGCGACGCCCTGCAGAAGAGCAGCGAGCGCCAGGTGCTCAACGCGGAGCGGCGCTGCGAGCACGCGGAGAAGGTCTCGGCCGAGGCCGAGCGGCGCGCGGCCGCGGCCGAGGAGGCCGCCGAGGCGCGCGTCCAGGCCCTCGAGGAGCACATCGCGCGGGCCGACGCCGTGGACCGGCGGAACGCGCAGCTCGACCGCGACTTGGTGAGGGAGGTCAAGCGGCGCAAGGACCTGCACAACGCGCTCGAGGACCTCAAGGGCCGCATCCGCGTCTACTTAAGGGTGAGGCCCATGAACGAGAAAGAAAAGACGGCGCACGAGGTCTGCTGCGAGCGCAGCGGCCAGACGGGCGTCGTCGTCAAGCGGCCGGACCGCAAGCCGCCGCAGGACCGGCAGCACTTCGAGTTCGACCGGGTCTTCGCGGGCGAGGCGGCGCAGGACGCGGTCTTCGCGGACGTCAAAGCTTTGGTGCTGTCGTGCGTCGACGGCTTCAACGTCTGCATCTTCGCGTACGGGCAGTCCGGCTCGGGCAAGACCTACACGATGGCCGGCGGCGGCGGGCCCGTGCGCGACGCCGTGGACCTGGAGTCGTGGGCCGTCGCGGCGAGCGCCGGCGTCATCCCGCGGAGCTGCGTCGAGATCTTCCGCGTCCTCGACGAGCGGGCGGCCTTGAACTCCTACGAGGTGGAGCTGTCCATGTACGAGTTATATAGAGACGCGCTGCGCGACCTCCTCGCGGACCGCAAGGACAAGAAGCCCCTGTTCGTGTTTCTGTGTCCTACGTCTGCGCGATGGCGGAACTCACCGGTCGATGTGCCCACACAGGTCCGTGAAGCTCGCGCAGCACACGCGCGACGGGCTCGCCGCCGTCGAGGGCGGCGTGTGCCGTCAGGCGAAGTCGCTGGAGGAGCTCGTCGCGCTACTGGACAAGGGCCTCGAGCAGCGCGCCGTCGCGCACACGGAGCTGAACGCCGAGTCGTCGCGGTCGCACCTACTCGTGTCGATCGTGCTCACGTCGACGAACCGGCGGTCGGGCAAGAAGACGCGGGGCAAGCTCATGCTCGTCGATTTGGCCGGGTCGGAGCGCGTCGAGAAGTCGGGCGTCCAGGGCGACGAGCTGAAAGAGGCCGCCTCCATCAACAAGTCGCTGAGCGCCATCGGCGACGTCATCGCGGCCTTGTCCCAAAAGTCGAAGCACGTGCCCTACCGGAACCACCCCCTCACGATGCTCATGTCCGATAGTATAGGAGGCACGGCGAAGACGCTCATGATCGTGAACGCGTCGCCGTCGTCCGAGCACGCGTCGGAGACGGCCAACTCGCTGACCTTCGGCAGCCGGTGCAAGCGCGTCAAATCCAGCAGTGGCGGCGAGATGGCGGCGCAGCTCAAGGACCTGCGCAAGGAATTAGATAGGATGAAGGCGACGGGCGCCGCGCGCGCCTTCCGCAAGGGGGCGGAGTTGCCGCGGCGGAAGGCGCAAGTTCCGCGGCGGGCATAATCCATTTTTTGTCTACTACTACTACATTACACATCGATCGCGCCGTCGCGGAGGTCCTCTGCTTTCCTTTTCGGTGCGGCCTCGGGCGTTACCTTCTCGCCTATCCGCTGGCCCGCGTCGCTTTGGGTGAGGAACCAGGCCTGTGTGGACATCGCCACTGAGCCACGTCGTCAATGGCGTGGCGGTCGACGCGATGATTTCCGCACGGATAGACGCGATCGTCGCCGTCGGCACGAAATCAAGTCCGGGCAGAATCTCCTCCGCGAAGCCCGCCGCTGCGAAGATGCCAGAGCCGTAGAGCCAGAAGATGAGCGCCGCGGATACGGGCGCCCAACCGACGTCCGCCCCCTCGCCCGCGACGGGTAGCAAGTACGTCGACATTCCGATGAGGTCGATGAGTATGCTCACGATGAGTTTACCTTCGCGCGTGAGCTCACTGGCGCCGCCGCCTCCGTTTTCTTTTGCACGGATGGCTGTGGTGCGGCAGCCATGCTCTCCGGGCCTAACAAAGCTTCGCAGCGCTGGCGGCGCGAAGCTCTGCACCGATGCCGCACATAACAGGAGTCCTACAGATCGCATCACTGCCTAACCGACTCCTGTGCCCTCACAAAGGCTTATCATGGGAAGCTCTGCCCAATGCTAGTGTCTTACCAACCGCTAGCGCGGGATTCTTCTGGCGCTCAATAGGTGAGCTGGCAAGCCGCTGGCGTTGTTGGCACGAATTAGCGGATAAAATCAGACCGGCACTTTGAAACGCGGACGTCGCGGCGACGACGGTCTCGTTCCGATCTCCGCGTGATCTTAGCGATTACGGACCCGTCGATAGAGCCTCGTATGCTTCCGTTGCTGCAACCGGGTGGTTGAGGAGAAAGTAAAAAAGGGAGCATGCTTCAGGTCACCGAGAGCAGCACTTGATTTGCGCTGACGTTCACGCAAAATCGGTGCAAGGGAAACCAACAAGAGCCCGACCACTACCTCTATTCGACCACGCAACATTCGACCGCACGTGGCGAGCGCGCGCAACGTTTAGAGCCAGATAAAAACTGATATGGCGGGAATTGCCAGTAGACCGGCGCGTACGTGTGCAATCTGGCTAGTCCTCGCGGTCCTCGCGACCACCGGAGCAGACCCTGTGCCCCTGCAAACGCCATTCGAACCATCGCCGAATAGCTCCGCGACAGCACCGGTATGCGAGCCGACCGCGTGCATGATCCTCGACGTCGGAGCCGGTTACAACAAAAAAAAGACGGACGCGAAGCACTGCCGTCGCGACGACAACTGCTGCGCCCCCGCCGAGCGGGCCGCGTGCGCGCCGGGCTACCGCTACTCGCGCGGCGAGCCGTGCGACGGTCGACGCGTCGTCTGCCCAGTGTTCTCGACTTTTGATTTCCACATAGGTGCGCGCCGGGCTACCGCTACACGCGAGGCGACGCGAACGGGAGCGGTCGATCGACGTGCCAGGCGTACAATTTCTGCTGCACGCGGTGCAAGCCCGGCGAGGCCTGCCCGCGGTACTCGGATAAATTCGGCGGCAGCCCCTACTGCGAGCGGAGCTACCCGGCGGGCTTCGGGACCTTCCTTCTGGTGGGCTTCTTCGTCTTTATTATGCCGTGCTGTTTCGTCCAGTGCTGTCGTGGGCGCCCCTCCAGCAACGGCCGGCGCCGCTCCTCGGCCGCGCGTCGAGCGGAGTCCGTGCGCCTCGCCGCCGCGAGGCGTCGTCGAACGCAGCAGGAAATCGTCGAGCTCCGGAGCCGCCGCGAGTCCTTCGCGGAGTCGACGCCCACCGAACTCGCCGACGCGCACGTCGTAGAAGTCGCGGACGGCGCCTCGGAGATCGCCGCGGAGGAAGTCCACGAGGTCAAGGCCGAGGCCCGGTCCTCGCGGGACTTCTCGCGGGAACTCGGCGATTTCTTTGACGGGCTGGGCCCGGCCGCGTACGCCCAGGAGGCACCGCCCGTCGACGACGAGAGCGATGACGAGACGAAGACTCCGTCCTAGATCTGTTTGTTGTAAGTTAGTCACACATCACATCCGCCCCGTCTGGCGCCCGTACTCGATAAGCTGCGCGCTGACGAAGACCCAAAACAGGCCGGGAATCCCGAGCACGGCCGCCTCGGCGATCTCCTCGCGCAGCCGTGTCGGTCGACACTCGTCGAGGCGCGCCACAACGGGTCCAGACTCGCGATGGAACCGCGGCGAATACAAGGACAGATACTGCTCGTAGCCCGCGGCCGGACAGGGATCGTCCAGCGCCTCGGCGTCGACCTGCCTGACGCTCCCAGCATCGTCAACGCCCTGCCAGTATATGCGTCGCAATACGTAGGATTGCGACTGTCTGATTTGCAGCTTGTCGTTGTCGGTGCCCGCGATAACTAAATCACCAACAATGGTCTTCCCGCGTATCGCCTGCTTGGCCGCGTCTGCAAGCACAAACCCGAGCTCCAGTCCGAGCCAGCCGAATCGCGGGTCGAAGCCGTCGTTTTGTTGTGCGCGCAGGCGAGTGCATGGCCTTTGCTCTGCTGTGCGTCCCTGAAACGCCCTGGTCGCGGCGATGGCGTGCAGCGCTGGCCACCAGCGACGCATTCTAGCAATGCTCTGCCTTGTGTTGGAAATGCTCTCCTTGTCAATACAGCAGTTATATGTGCCGTTCGTCACACTGGTCACGGAGCACCTAAGTGGCGTGCCGCTACGGTAGCTCTTATGCAGAGTTGGCTACGGTGAGGCTCAAAATCCTGCTGCGCATGCTGTGGATTGCTTGCTAGTGTCTTACAGACACGCTAGCTGATCGAAGCGTTCGGGGTCCGTACTACCTGGGGATGGATTCAATAAGCGACTCTCTCTCTCTCAAAAAAAGAGAATTAGTCCGCGGGCGTCCGCAGCATCTCCAGCCGCGCCGCCGCGAGCTTCGGATCGATTGCTGGATCCACACTCATATCCTCGGACCCGTCTGTGAACGTCATCTTGCCCTCGGCCGCGCGCGCGGCGATCTTCGCCTCCATGGCGGCGATCGCCGCGTCGCGCTCCTTCACGAAGGCCGCGTACGTCGCCTCCCGTTTGATAGCTCGCCGCTTCGCCAGCGCCACGACGTCCACGGAGCAGACCCGGAACAGCACCGAAAACAAAACGTGCAGCCACCAGCCGAGCAGCCTACAAACAACGTTGGCCGACGCCGGCCAGACGCCAATGACGTCGGGGAAGCGCCGCCGACCCTCCGGCCGCGACCGCGTCAACAGCTCGACGTCCGCCTTGGGCAATTTCGGCCCCGCGGCCGCCTCCAGACAATCGCGCACGTGCTCGGGGTTCGCCGACCGCGGCACGACGCAGACGCCCCTTTCCAAATTCCACCGCAGCGCCATGCGCGGTACAGAGACTTGGTGCATGTTCGCCGTCGTCCAGAGGACCTGGTCCTCGGCGAGCCGCCCGCGGCCGGAGGCGAGGGGGCCCCACGCGACGACGGCGATCTTTTTGGAGAGGCACCAGGCCACCAATGCCGAATTAGGGAACCGCGGGTGCGCCTCGACCTGGTTCACGGCCGGCGGGATTTTGGCCGTCTCCATCAACGCTTCCAGTTGCGCCGCGTCGAAGTTCGACACGCCGATGCTCCGGACCTTCCCGTCCTTCACGAGCGCCTCCATCGCCGCCCAGGTCTCCGCGAAATCCTGGGCGCCGTCCCGCGCGAAGAGCGTGCCCGGTTTATATTTAAGAGGCCAGTGGATCAGGAGCAGGTCCAGGTAGTCCGTCTGTAAATCCCGCAGCGTGTCGGCCACGGCCTCGCCGACGGCGTCGCGGCGCAGCTCCGTCATGAAGAGCTTACTCGTGAGGAAGAAGTCGGCCCGCGGCACCTTCGAGGCCCTGACGGCGCGGCCGACGGCGGCCTCGTTGCCGTACATCCGCGCGCAGTCGAGGTGCCGCGCACCTGCTTCTATTCCGTCGGCTATTTGCTTTTCTACTAGTTTCGAGGTTCCCAACCCTACTCTAGGCATGGCGTGGCCGCTCGACAGCGTTATCGTGGGGTCGGTGGACATGGTCTGCCCCAGACCCTCCTGAACCGCTACTCTTTTGACACAGCCGTTGCTGGAGATGGAGTATATTGCGTACACGCCTCGTGCAGCGTGAGGGGCAGCGATGCGGCTATGCGCGCGCGCGATCTGGTTTCCGAGCTATGGCTAGTGTCTTTATAGGCCGCTAGCTGGCTTGCGCGTTTGGGCAAAACGCGGGTGTTTAGCGCTCACGATTCGATTGGAGTTGCGCAGTGTACGCTGTTGCAAGCTATTAAGTGGCACACGACGAATAACTCCCCACAGAGGCGCGCAAAGGCACAAAAAAATGGCCTGGCGCGGCGGCCGCTGCTTGGCAGCGCTCTATCTAGAAACCGCGGCCGGCCTGCGGCAGCGCAGCGTGCGCAAGGAAGAAGCGCTGGCTGCATCTGCCTTTGAAAAAATGAAAAGCGTCGGTGACACGCAACACTTCGACCCGGCACTGGAACGCGCCAACCTCGAGGCCTGCGCGAAGACGGTCGCCCAACTGGGCGCGGCGCGTGCGGAAAGGGTGGAGGAACTCGCGCGCCAGGCGGGTCTGAAGCGAGTGCCGCGCTCCGTCGTCTCGCAGCCGATGCGCTGGCGCGACGGCGTGCTGCGGCCCGACCGGTCGGCGCTCGATCCCACCATCCTGCAGCTCTGGTACCGGCCGTCTCCCAAGACGTCTCGCGCCATCCAGGGGGGCTTCGTGCGGTCGCACACGGAGCCTATGTCGTCGCTGCGGGACGGCGCCGCGCGGTCGTTGGAGCGCAAGGTCGCGTCCTACAAGGACGGCGTCCTGGCGCGCATCCAGCTTAAGGCGGACGCCGTCTACGCGGTCATCGACCGGCAGCGCGACAAGCTGGTCGACGCCGTCGACGATCTCTCGCGCGCGGCGCGCAAGGCGCTGCCGGAGGGCTTCCAGGACCGCGTCAAGGCGGCCTACAACCAGAACGTGGCGCCGGAGCTCGCGCGACTGCGGTCCGCGCCGCGCACGAAGCCCACGGTGGACGTGCCAAAGGGTCTTATCGACGTCTTGGCGCTGGAGCGCGTGTCGCCCTCGGATTTCGCGGTCGAGTGGCACCGCGAGGTCCCGGCTGAATACGTCGGAGCCCTCGCGCCGTCGTCTTCGCTCGACGTGCGGTTGCGGAGCGGCGACCGCGCGCTGGCGTGGATGCTGCTCGCCGCGACGTCGTCGCTACCGATTTATCGGAGTTGGTGCCTGTCGGCGTCCCAGTATCATGATTGAACATGATGAAGCTCATAGGTCGACGTCTAACACAGGCGCTTCGCGGCCGAGTGGTCGACGACGCACCAGGAGATCGCGCAGGGAGCCCTGGTCGCGTGCGGCGTTTCCTTACTTTGGGCCGCCTATAGAGCAAGAGGTATCGACGAGGACCGGCTGAAGCTTGATCTGCAGCGCGTGCTACGGGTGCACCGCACGGCCTCGGGCGACGAGGCCCTGGACAAGCTGTCGCGCCTGGCCGCGCGCGCCGCGGCGCGGCGGGCGACGGACGCCGTGCACGCGGGGTCGTGCGCCGGCGCGTCGGACGATTGTATAGAGCTCCTGGCGGCGACGGGCCTGCTCGGCGACGGCGACGCGGTGCCGCGGCCGCGCGACGCCGAAGATATATTGGCCGACTACCTGACGGACCACCTGGCGCGCGGTGCCGTCCGGGCGCTCGACGTCGATTCGATGGACGAGCCCGGTATGATTAGTGTGTGATTAACTTGAACTGTGTAACCTTGGCGGGCGTTCGAACGCTTCCCCCGAAGTCGCCAGGCAAGTGGCTAGGGGGCCTAGCGCTAAGCAAAGCAACATTATTTTAGATCACAACTCGAACACGTCGTCGCCGTTGACGGTCGCCGTCGCCAGGACGGCGAGCAGCATCACTGGGAGGATATAGAGTAGCGCCGGCAAGCCGCGGCCGTCGATGCCCGGAGACAGTTCACACAACAGACACCCGACGCCGAACCCTGCCAGCGCCGCGGGGAAGAGCCGGCTCTCTTCTTGGGCGAGGTCGTATCTCTTGGCAAAGCCAGCGACGAGTGCAGGGAACACGCTGTCGCCAAGACCCAAGACATCAGAGACTCGTCCGCCGAGCCGGACCTGAAGAAGTCCGGGCTGGAAGCCCTCCGAAAGTCTTGAGACGGCCACGGCTCCCATGGGGGACGCGGCGGCGGCGGCGCTTGGAGCGCCCGCCGTCGCTCCTGCCCCCGCCGCGGCCTTGGCGCCAACCGCAGCCGTCGCTAGCGGCAGTGTCGCCGCGACCGATGCGACGTCGTACGCGACGAGCGCCGCCGCCGCGGCGCACAGCGCTGCAAAATTTGAGAACTGCAGAGCCCGTGCGGTCGCGATGGCGAGGCACATACATAGTATGTTTTGGACCGGCCAGGCGTACGCCGCGGGTACCAGGTAAGCAAAAGCGACGAGAACAGCCGCGAGCGCTGTAGCCGCCGGCGCGCCGACTCGCTGGAGTTCGGCTCGCGTGAAGATGCCTAACGTGCCCGCAGTCGACAATGCCGCCAGCGACGTTGCGGACGCGGCCGCCTCTCGCACGGCGCCGCCGTCGGACGATGCCAGTGCAAGCAGTCCGAGCGACAGCAGCAGACTTGCTGCTACTGCGGCAGGCACTAACGCTGCTTGCTGCGTCTCGTCGACGGCGTCAAGCTTCTGTAGCGGTGCCAGGTCCGTCGTCGGCGCGAGAGAGTCGGGCAGCACCTCGCGCGTCAATGATTCTAGTCGTGTACCCAGCGCTGATGGGTCACCGCCTCCGCGGGCGCCGCCGACGGCGACGACGTACGTAGCCATGGCATAGATGTAGACGCGTTTTACGAGGAGGAGTGGCAGCAGTACGCGCTGCGCGTAGAGAAGCTGCAATACCAATGCTCCCGCAGGTACGGCAGCGAACAATGCGACTGCCGACGTGATGTCAGGTGAGACTGCCGCATCCGCATCGTCCTGCTGCGTTGCAGGGAGTGCAAATGGGTGCCTGGGCTGCAGCCTATGGTTATGCGGCACCAAGTGCGCTCTCGGTCGCGAAGCGAGCAGTGCAACGGATGCATTGATATTCAGGAGCACGAATATGGCAAATGATGGAATCATTGTCCATCAATTCCTCTGCCACGCTGCTCACACGCAGCTAGCGTCCAGTAAGGCACTAGAAACAAAGGCCTCAAATAGAAAAGCGGTTCTTTTTGGCTGTTATTAGTGCTTAAAACCGACGTGTGCGATAGCATTGATCAATGCGGTGCTGTGCGGCTGCTCTCCTCGCAGCCCAAGCAGCTCGTGCTTCGTCGAGCGCTTATTTCCATCCCGCTGGTGCGCCGCCTGGACCGCGCGAAGAGACAATCCCCGTGGTCAACATCGGTCCATACATCCGATGGCGCGAGGCCGTCGACAAGTACTGGCCCCATGACGGCGACGCGCCGCTGCCCGACGAATGCGAGCTAATTGTTAAAAAGTGGGGCGACGCGTTCCGCGCCTGTGGCTTCTGCCAGGTCCTCGGCCACGGCGTGCCCGACGACGTGATCGCAAAGGCCCGAGAGCTGGGACGAGCCTTCTTCGAAACCACGACTGCCGCCGCGCGAGACGCCTGCGCCGGCGACGGCGGGCGCGGATACAAGGGCGTGGGTGCGGTCGCCGTGGCGGCGTCGGGCGTCACCGCCGACGGCGCATCCACGATCAAGCGGCCTCCTGACTACGCGTCGGAATTTGTATTTTTAGGAGACGGGGATGATGCCCAATTGCCCGTGCCTGGTTTAAACGACGCGCTCCGCGACTACTTCCGCGCGTGCCGACGCGCCAACGAGTGCTTCCTCGAGCTGACGGCGCGGGCGCTTCATCTAGAACCGTCGACCTTCGCGGGTGACTTCGAGGGCGAGTCGTGGCTCAATCGCCTGCGGCTGGCCTACTACCCGTCGCAAGCGGGCAAGCCGCCCGGTACGCGCCAGCTGCGCTACGGCGAGCACACGGACTGGCAGTGCTTTACGATCGTCGCCCAGGACAAGCAAGGTCTGGAAGTGGAAGTGCCGTGCTCCGCGGAAGCCTACGCCGAAGCCCCAGAGGACCGCCGCGGCTCGCGGGAGAACTCCATGTTCGTGCCGTGTACACCGGTCCCCGGAGCCCTGACGGTCAACGCCGGCGACCAGATCCAAATTTTGACGAACGGCCTCTTCCGCTCCTGCGTGCACCGCGTGGCGAACCCGGACCCGAGCGACGCGACCGCACGTCTCTCACTCGTGCTCTTCACGGGCCCGCGGCCCGACGCGCGCCTCGCGCCGCTCGCCGCGCTCGGGCCGCCGAAGTGGGCGCCGACGACGAGTGGCGACCACGTCCGGGCGAAGATCGCCGCGGCGGCGGCAGAGTAGCCGTGTGTTGTTGTTTTTGTGGTGTGCATACTAAACCAAATAACAGTGTCATTCTTTACTACTCCCGCCCCCGAAGCCGAACCTCGACAAAAACCCACCTCGCCGAGGCGTAGCCTTGAGCGCGTGGATATCGTCGGGCTCCTCGACCTTGGCGACGCGGTCCGGGTTCGGATCCAATGCCGGCTGCCGGAACCAGTGCTGGTCGAAGGCCGGCGGGCTCCGCGCGGAGTCGTCGGCGGACACGGCGATCTCGATCGACGCCGTCATGTTCATGTGTAAATATGACGCGCTGACGAAGACCCACCCCACCAATGCTCCGACCGTCGGGACCAAAACCGCCCACGCGTGCCAGTACTGCTCCTTGAGTAATAAATAAGCAAAGAACGTGAAGCAGCCCGCCAGATTGGAACCCAACACAGTATATATGCTGGTCTCGAAGAAGGCGCCGCCCGTCTCGTACTTGGGCACGTAGACGTAGAGTAATTGCCGCGCGTAGACGAGGTACGCACAACAAAAATGCAGCAGAGCGAAGGGGTAGACCAGGGGGCAGATGCCCGCGAAGATCAGCGCGTAGGTCACGACCATGATCTTACCTGGGTACTGGAAGCCGTACCGGAACTCGGGCGGCTCGAAGGCGCCCTCGGTCAGATCCCGCTCCGTCAGTCGATCCCGGAACAACCGCGCCACAACTTCTATCCTAAACCAGGGCCAGATCCGCGACAGCTCGAAGGGCAGCACGAGCAGAATCTTCATGATGATCAGCTCAATGAAGTAGACCGCGGCCTCAGGCATGAGGTCCGCGAGTTGCTCGAGTAAGTACAAAGGGTTCGTCACCAGGCCCACCACTAATGTGACGATGGAGCCCGACACGAGCGACAGGTAGATGTTCGCCCACTGCACGAGCATGTACCGCCGGTAGACGACCTGCTGCACCTCGGACGCGAACTTAAATCGCTCGTAGAAGACCGCCAGGCCCAGATACAGAAAAGGTAACAATGCCAGAACCGCTTGGACCAACATGATAGGCAAATACGCGGAAAAGATGTTGTACCCCAATTTGACTAAATAGGGCGCCGTGGGGATATGTTTGGGCGCCCACTCGTGCGAGATGTAGGTGCAGATCTGGATCAATGAACTCCAGTTCATCGCCAACAAAACCAGCACGGTGGACACGAAGCCGTGGCGCACCAGTCGCCCCGTTTTGGAGGTGGGCACGTTGCCCCAGATCAAATTCTTCCGTTCCGGCCGTTGGGGACAAGACTCCATGCAGAAGGGTCGCGGTGATAACTGGGCTTGCCGCGCCACGGAGCAGCTCCGCAGGCTCCGGAAGGTGACGAAGCCCGTCGCCGACTTGTGCTTCGTCGCGATGGTCGGATCCAACCGCCGCACGGAGCGAGACAGCAGCGCCTCGCGCTCGCCCTCGCCCGTGGCCACCGGGTCCTCTTTGCCGCCCTCGCCGAAGGTCGAGAGGTTCTGGGGCGTCGCGAGGATCCGGTCGAAGAACGTGCCCGTCGCCTCGCGCTCGACCTCCGCGGACCGCTTGTGGATCTCCGCGGCCAGGTCCCGCCGCCGTTCGTCGAGGCGCGCGAGCTTGGCCTCGTACCAGGGGATCGCCTCGACGAGCTCGTAGGAGCCCTCGCGCAGGTTGAGCCGCTCCTGGGGAGCCGTGCCGGTCGCCTCCTCCTCGAGCCGCAGGTGTTCCAGCGCGTCGAGGACGCTTCGTCGCTCCGCGAGGACCTTTTCCAGATCCCCCAGGTCCGCCAACGCGATCGTCGCACAAACAACTTCCCCGGGGAAGAGGTGCTCGAAGTAGGCCTTCAACGCAGCGTCGGCGCGGCATTCCCGGGGCACGCGCTCGACCATCACGCTATAAGTGGCCTGGGGGTCGTCCTCCATGATTTCTGTTTTTGTGAGGAACTGCTGGCGCAGCTTGACGAAGGCCTCGCACTCCTGGATGACGTCGTATAAAGTGTGCAGCGTCACGAGCCAGACCGCGCAGACCGCGGCCCAGAGCTTCCAGTCGTTGTCCACGACGACGTTGACCGTCCAGTCTAAAAACCGGAGCGAGCCGTCGCCCTCGCTCAGGAAGATCCACGTGACCGGAATCGCGATGACCGAGCCGAATAATGATAATCTACAGCCCATGCGCATCAGGCGCATGAAGACGAAGCCCTCGAGCCCGGCCACGTCCATGAGCTCCTCGTCCGGCGCTCTCAAAATACCCATGGCCCACGCGCCGATGCCCGGGAACTGCGACGAGAGCCCGCGCCCGGGCTGGTAGCGCGCCTTCGGCCAGAAGTGGGTCCTTCTATGCCTCTGCCACTCGAAGAGGACCAGCATCGGGATGCACGGGATGAGCGACACGACGGCCACGATCCAGAGGTCGTACCAGCCAAGCTGCTTGATGAACGACAGCTCCGTGATCACCAAGAGATCGTCCGTGATGCCCGCGGCCGATAGCTCGTCGGGGATGTCGGCCCAGCCGTCCGGCGTCGCCATGGCCCCGCTCATCCGCGCGCGGCTGCCCCCTCGCTGCTAATGCCTCGCGGGCTGCCCCGCGCGTGCGCCCAGCGGCCCGCGCGCTCTAAATCCTTCGCCGGCTGTCCTACGGCGTGCACCAAGCGGCCGGTGCCGCCAAGGTGGCGCTTTTACGCGGCGCGTCGAGCTGCCCAGCTCGTCGAAAAGGCCTTTTTCCTACTAGGATATGGTGCGACCCCTGGTTCGCCTTTCCCGCGTTACCGAGCCCTCGCCCCCCGCGCACGACTCCTGGCGCGCCCCCGGAGGAGGCGGCCACTAGGCGGGTAGACGGAGCGGCCGCTCGGCAGGTTGGTTATTGGCGGCTGCCCCGAGCGCCGCAGACGGCCCAGCATGGCACGATGATACAACAAAGCAGCCGATGATGCGGCCCTAAGCAGTAGCCGTGAGCCGATGGAGCACAATACCGAGGAGCCCCCACCACTGCCCGAGGCGGACCTCGACGCCTGGCTGGCCCAGGGGGGCGACGCCGAGGACAGTTCCGACGGCGAGGACGAGTACGCGGCCTGGCTCGACGGCGCGCTGGGCGCGGCGCGGACCCGGCTCCAGCGCGCCAAGGCCGAGGAGCTGCGCTTGGATCGGCGCCTGAGCGGCGCGGAGGAGTCTGATTGGAGCCGCTTCGTCCAGCAAAAGAATGACTTAATGGAGGACGTGACGAAGGAAGCCCAAAAGGCGCAGGCCGAAGCTAGAGCGATCATCGACGCGGCTGATTTATTAAGGCCGCCGCCGCCGCCGCCCACGCTCATGAAAGGCGACTTCCGGCCACCGGCCGAGATTCATGACGACGTCCGTCGGGCGCTGGAGGCCTGCGTCCAGGCCGTCGAATTTATGAAGGTGGACGTCGTGAAGGCGCCGCGGGGGCCCGACGCCGAGCTGCGGGACGCGGCCGCGGACTTCGTCGTGGCGTTCTGGAGACGACGCTTTTTGTTGAGACCGAAGGGCAGCCTGCTGGAGCTCGAAGAATGTAGAAGACGCTTTGCCGCGAAGCGCTCGGCGTACGGCGCGTGGCTCGGCGTCGAGGCGCTGTCGGTTGAGTTAAAACGCGAGCGGGCGCTTGCTAAAGATCGGGAGGACGCGGCCGAGGCCTGTGCCGCGGCGGAGCGCGCCGCCGCGGAGCGCGAGGAGGCGGCGAGGAAAGCGGAGGTGCGACGAAGACAAATAGAACGCGACGCGGAGGCCGCGGCGCGGGCGGCAAACGACGCGCGGCGCATGCTCGACCTGCAGGACGCCTGCGACGCCGAGGAGGCCGCCGAGAATTGCAGAAGGTACCTCCGCAAGCTCAAGCGCGCCAAGGCCACGAGCGCCTACACGACGATCGCGGCCTTCGTCTCGTTCCGCGCGTGGCGCCGGAAGCGCGCCGCGCGGAAAGCGAAGCGCGAGGCCGAATCCATTCAAGAAGCGTGTGCGATGAAGACGATGCATCTCGCAGACGTGGAATCGCGGAAGCTGGTGGAGTTCTGGCGCGTCGAAGGTATGAGAGAGCTGCGGGAGCGCATGCATATGCGGGACGCGGAATTATATGCGAAGAACGTTATTCAGACGAGGGAGCGCGCCCGGCAGGCGGAGGAAAGGCAGCGGGCCGCGCTGCGCGCCGATGCCGAACTGGCAAAACGCGTCGCCCGCGCGGCCGCCGTCCGCTTGGACATGCTGGCGCGCCGGCGGGAGCGGTCGCAGGCGGGCGACGCCGCCGTCGCGTGCGCGCGGGCGGCATTTTCCGCCGCGTCGGAAGCTGTCGGTAGCGTGGCCGGCGTCGCGGCCGTGCGGCGCTCGGCCGAGGCGTCAGAACGAGCCGAGGCCGAGGAGCGGGCGGAAAAGGCCGCCGCCGAAGCGGACGCGCGCGAGGCGGCGCGCGCGGCCGCGGCCGCGCGCGAGGCGACCGACGCCGCATTATTATTGAAAAATGACCGTCGCGCCGCCGCCGAGGCTGCGGCCGAGGCCATGGTCCGGGCGTTCCACAACCAAGATCAGAAGGATGACGCCGCGCGGCGAAACGCGCGCGCCGTCCTGGACCAGCTGGACCCCGTCGCGCGGCGCCTCGCCGTCGTCGACCCGGCGTGCCTCCAGCGCGCCGCGCGCCTCTTTTCTGGTAAGGTGCCCCTGCGCGCGGACGCGCCGCCGCCGCCGCCTCCTTGCATCGAGGACGACTGGGCCCGGCGCGCGGCGGCCGTCGTGCCGCCGCCGCCGCCCCGCGTCGACGCGCCCCAGGCCGTGTACGACGACACGCCCGCCGAGCGCTCGGCGCCGGGCCGGGTATTTGGAGAGGACCAGCTCCACGCGGCCTGCGGCGGCGACTGCACGCGCGTGCCTACGTTAGATTTGTCCGTCGAGAAGCTCGGCGGCGACCTTTCTTCACTACGAAAGTGCGCCAAGCTCGAGAAGCTCAACTTGAGCGTGAACGAGCTCGAGGCGTTCGACCTCGTCGCGCTGGGCCGGGCGCTGGCGGCGACGCGCGTGCGCACGCTGGCGTTGCGGGACAACCGCCTCGCGGGCGGCCTCGCGAATTTGAATAGGCTCAAGCTAACGGCGCTCCATTTGGACGTGAACCGGCTGACCTCTATAAAGGCGCTCGGTCTGCGACAACTAAGGGAGCTCTCGGTCTGCGACAACAAGCTGGGGTCGTCGGGCGACGGCGGCCTCAGCCTCGTGTTGCGGTGCGCGCCGTGCCTCGAGGTCCTGCGGGCGGCCGGGAACGCGCTCTCGACCTTCGACTGTCTGGCAAGGGCGCCCAAATTAAGAGAACTGGAGCTGTCGCGGAACACGTTGGTGGAGTTCGACGGCCACGGCGCGTCGTCGAGCTTCCCGGCGTTAGTGGATCTGGCGCTGGCGCACAACGCGTTGAGGAGGGCGCCGCGGGGCCTGCGCCTCGCCGGGCTCGAGCGGCTGCGGATCGGCGGCAACCGCTTCGAGAAGTTGGACGACCTGGCGGCGCAGGAGGCCTGGCTGCCGCGCCTGCAGCGCCTCGACGCGGCCGACGGGGCAATTACGAACTTGGGCGAGGCCCTGCGGTGCTGCCCCGCGGTGGAGGTGCTGAACCTCGCGCACAACGCCTTCGCGGACTTTGATACACTGGCCGCCGCGCTGCGCGGCTGCCCGCTGCTGAGGGATGCGATGTTCCAGGGCAACCCCCTGCCGATGGACGCGCTCGCGCGGGCCTGCGCGACGGCCTGGAAGGACAAGCTGGCGTGCGGCGGCGGCGCCGAGCGCGCGGGCGAGCGCGCCGCGGCGTTGGCTGTGTGCGCCGAGGCCGGCGTGCTCAGTCTAAAACGGCTCAACGGCGACGGCGTCGACGCGCTTTGTTTAAGGCAGCTCGCCTGGGCCTATGATTCAACGCGCGGCGGTGTTAATGATGACGTGACGGGCCGCCTCGGGGCCCTGGCCCGCCTCTTCCCGCGGCCCTGCGACGGCTGCGGCGGGCGGCTGGGCATCGCGCCGTCGCTGCTCGCGGCGGTGCGCGGCGAGGCCGAGGCCGAGCCGATCACGTGCCGCAAGTGCGGCGCGGTCTTCGAGCTGCCGCCCTGGCCTGTGTGTGCGGCGCGGCGGTGCGGGCCGCCGGCGGCGGCAAACGCTCAGCTATCCTCGAAGCGGGACGCGGCCCTCGCGCTGCTGGCCGGCGTCGCGGCGTCGCGGCGGACGCGCAAGACGGACGACTGGACGCCGTGGCGCTGCGTGCGGCTCCTCGACCCGGCCCTGGCCGCGGCGACGGTCCAAGCTCGCGTGAGGCGCCGCCTCGCCATGAAGCTACGACCGCGGCTCTTCGCGGCGCTCGCCGCATGTCAAAGCAGACGCGACGCCTCCGTCGCGCGGCTGCAGGCCATCCACCGCGCCAGGCGCGTGCGCCGCCGCTTCCACCGCGCGCTCGACGGGTGCATCTACGTCGACGACGACCTCGTGAACTTCAACGAAGGTGTTGATGTTGACGCTTTTTTGGGAGGCGACGTGGCGCGGGCCTTCGAGGAGGAGGAGGCTCTGCCTTCCTTCGCACGCCAGCCGCGTCTCCAAGTCGGACCGGGCGGAGATCTCGTTGGTCGGCCGCCGTCCGCCGACGTCGTCCTGCCCGACATCTTCGCGGGCCGGGGGCAGACGCCGGACCGGGACATCCTCCGGTCGTCCTCCGCGCCGCACTCCGTTGTTGAATCCGTCGCGTCCGTGGCGGAGCCGAGGCGCCGCCGCCGCCGCCACCGCCCGCCGCCCGCGCCGATGCCGACGTCGCAGATCGCGCGCGACCGCCAGGCGCGGGCGCGGGCGCGGAAGAAGGCGACGCCGGCTTGGGCTTCGAAGCCTGGTGGGTAAGGTTATGTTAGTGTTCTCTGCCAGTGGTGTTTTCTTACCCGTGCCTCCGATTCTATTCGGCGGGGGGCGGTTGCCGATCCGGCGGCGGCCAGTCCGCCGGGGGCGGCGAGATATCCGCGGGCTCCGGACCCAGCGTTTCAACGTTGCCGGCGGCATCTCCTGGACACGGCTCGAGCCGCACGACTTCGGGGCGCGCTTCCGCCTGCCGCGCCAGAGACGCCTCATCGCAACGCCAGTTGGCCTCCGCAACGTCATCGGCGTAGGAAGCGCGCTCATGGGCGCAATAGCGGACCTCGTCGAGTTGAGCGCCCGCGCGCTCCAACTCGCGAACGAGCGGCTCGAGAACATTACCGTGAACCGGCCCAGGGTAATTGTTCACGCAGGGCCCGTCCGCATGCACACCCAAAAACAGACGTCGCAATGCGCCGATGGCGCAAGCCTGGAACACCTGCACGAGGACGTCGACGCTGGTGCACGCCGCGAGTTCGACGACGGCCGGGAACCAGTCACGCCCGGTTGGAAAACTGTCGTCAAAGTCGTTCGGTTGGAAAAGAGTCGCGCCCTGGATGCGCACCACGCGTGCGCGCGCCAGAGGCTCGCACAGGCAAACGGCGGCCGTGGGCACCGGACCCTCGCCCCAATACCCCCGCCCTCCGCCGCATGAAAGGGCGAAGCCGTGCGCCATGCATTCGAGCGATAGGTCCTCGAGCGCCGCGCACGCGTCGCTCTGCACGTCGACGACGACGGCCGGGGAACTTCGGCCCGCTGGTGCCGGCACCTCGAATGAGAGATGGAGCTTGCGCAGGTGCGGCGACGTGACACAGATCGTCGTGGGCTGGGCGGTGGTCAAATTACCAGAAGGCACCCTAATCGGCAGGCGGACGCTCTCGAGGACCGGCGCGTTGTGCAGGATCGCGGCCGCGAGGTGCCCGTGCATGCTCTGCACGTCACCGAGCAGCGTCACGACGTCGACGACGCGGAGTTTGCTGAACGTCTGCGTCGTCGGCCCCAAGAGCGGCAGTGGCGCCGTATACGGTTTGCCGAGCATCCCTGCGATGCCTCTATTCTCGACGAAGAGCTCCTCCAGCACCGGCGCGAACGCGGCGACGTCGAGTTCGGCATCACAGACGTCGGCGTCGGCGCCGATGACCAGCGACCGCAGCGCGCGACGAAACGTATGTTTACCGCTCTGCCGCCACAAGAGCTGTTCGACACGTGGAAACGCGTCGACGACGCCATCAGGTGTCGCGAAAGGATCCTGCGACGACCAAGAGAAGTCGGCCTCGAAGCAGGCGCCTCCGGCGGGAGCCTGGGACAAAAATCCGACGACCTCGACCGCCCGAAACTCGCCCGAGGCGGCCGCGGCCGCGCGCCGTTCCCAGTCCGCCGGGCTATCCTCGGGCCGTTGGACGAGGTAGGCCGTTCCCGCCGTCCGCCGCGCCACGCGTAGCGTGCGCACGCGCGGCGGCGGACCCACGACCGGATCTCCGCCCTCCAGGCGCGGCCATAGCGTCCTGTCGAGCTGCGGCGAGCGGTCCCGGAGCGCCGCCACGCCTGCCGAGACGGCCGACGCGACGCGCGCATTCTGCAAGCGGAGCCTCTCTGGCCGCTCAGCCGTACGGCGGATACTCGCCGCCTGTCTCCTCCTCGCTTCTATCACGGGGTCGGGGCTCGCCACATTGGCCATGCTCTCCGGCTCTCCGGTCTCCGGCAATTCCGGCAATTCCTCTTCGTCCGAGTACGAGTCCTCTTCGGACGAGTCCCCGATGTTGTCGAAGCGCGAGTAGTCATTATTATAAGCTGCCATTATGCTCTCCGGTCTCCTGCTCTCCTACACGCCCTTAGGGATGCCCAGAAAGCTGTGTGTTCGCACGACTGGCCGAGTGTCTTCTTCGCACCAGGCCCAGTGTGTCCGAAGGGAGCAAGACGAGCAGTACGGCAGCCCGAGGAAGATAGCTAGGGAGCTAGTGTCTTACATGCGCTAGCCCTGCTCAATCGCGCAGCGCACAAAAAAGCCTATAATAGGTGACGCGCGATCGATTTGGTACGCGCAAGGGTCGCCCGCAGCCCTACAGATCAAGATCCGCAGTTCTTTGAAGCTGCCGCACCGGAGCACAGCCTCCTCTCAGAGAGCAGCTTTTTTGAGCTCGACGCAATCGCAGCGGTACAGATGTCGCGCGGCTTCGACTACTCCAAGTTCGACAAGATCGGCGACAGCGACGAGTCCTCCGACGACGAGGACTGGAAATTAACCGACGCGGAGCGGAAGGCCAAACGCGAGAAGAAGCGCGACGAATTGATCGAGCAGGAGCTCGCGTCGCACAAGGCCATCGAGGAGAAGCTCAAGCGCGCCGAGAAGCTGCCGCCGCGCCGCAGCGACGACGAAGGTCCTACACCTGAGGCGCCGGCGGCGTGGTCCGACGGCCGCCGCAGGGACGAGAAGGACCCGGCCAAATTACGGGAGCGCGTCGCCGCGGTCGACGGCGTCCTCGGCCAGCTCGCGGACGACGCCGACTTCCAATCAGATCTGAAGCGGCCCACGGTGCAGAAGGCGATCAACCACTGGACCAATAGAGCGCGCCTGAAGGGGCCCGAGGCGCAGGAGCTGTTCGGGGACGCGTCGCCCGAGGCGCCGCGGCTCCGCAGCGTGCTGGCGAAGATCAGCCGCCTGTCCGCGGCGTGCAAGGCCGCCGGCATGCCCGTTCCCATCGACCGCGTGCTGGCCGGGCGGCGCGTCGCGTTCGACCCGCCTGCGCCGAAGAAGAAGGAGGCGCCGGCGCTCGACGAGTACGGCCTGCCGCCTCTGCCGCCGCCGACGCCCTTCTCGTGGCGCCGCTTCCTCCGGCAGCTCGCGGTCCAGATGTCCTGCCTCCTCGTCTCGCTGGTGATCGTCAAGGTCTGGATCGAGCCGCGCCTCCTCAGACAACTGGACGAGCGCATGGCGGCAGAGCGGGCCGAACTCGATCCCGCGTCCGAGGTCGTCTACTCTGAGGAGGAGGAGTGGGCCGCGGAGCCGGAGCTGTTGTAGGTGAAGTGTAACTATCTTAAACAAACAAGGCTAGGCGAGGGCGTATCTCGAGGCGTCTCTGACGACCTCGTCCTGGGGCGTCGGCGGCGGCGGCCTGGGGCCGGAGAGCTGCTCGCCGGCCGCGGTCACGGCGCCCGCGGCGCCGGAGACGACCTCCTTAACTATTCCGCACGTCATCGTCACCGCTCCCACTGCTACTCCCACGACACACGTCGCAGTTGCCGCCACCGTCGCCACCGGGAGGACGGTAACGGCCGAGGCGATGCGCGCACACCCTCGCGTCGCCGACGGCCGCGAGGGGTCGAGGTTGTGGTAGCGGTCGAACGGCGTCGCGGTCTCGTCGCCGACGAGCTGGTCGCGAAGGCGCGTCCTTCGCCAGACCTCCACCGTCGTGTCGGGCGCCGGCGGCGCTCCGGCGTCGCTCCCGTGAAGCCCGGCGGCCGCGGAGCTGCCAGCCTCGACGATTTGGGAGCCGACACCACAAACAATCTCGATGCCGCCGCCTGCGACCTCGGCCACTGACGACGCGACGCCGCCGAGCAGCGCGCCGACCGCGCCTACCAAACAAGCGCCCGTCATCAGCGCGCCGGCGCCCGCTGGGCCGGACTGCAACGCGCGCTCCGCGGGCGGCAGCACATTTCCTTCAAACCACGCCCTCCGTCTCACCGCCGCGCCGTAGGCCGCATCTCTTTTCGTCTGCGATTCAAAGGTCTTCTGGCACTCCTCTGGGTGCGGGCAGCGCGCGTCGCCGCAGTACCGGCAGCCGAAGAAGGCCGCGCCCTCCCGCGTGTGCCGGTGCGCGGCCGCCCACGCCTCCGCGCGCTTCCGCAGGCCGTCGCATGGGTCGAGCCGGCCGCTGTCGAGCTGCTCGCCGGTGAGCGGGCTCGAGAGCCGTTGCGAGAACCAACGCGTTATGGCGTGGCGGTCGTAGACGCAGCCGTCCGACGCGCGCACCGGCTCCCGCATGAGCGCGTGCGTGATCGGGCACGTCAGGTCGTTGGGCGGCGCCTCGTCCTCCGGAGGTTCGTCGGGTATCGCTTGGTAGCCCATCCGGAGGCCGACGAGCGTCGACGCGCCCTCGCGCGCCTCGTCGTCCGCCATCTTGATACCTCTTTCGCGCGGCTGTCGCTGCGCCTCTTTTTTGTTTGTGAGGTGTGTCCTCTGGATAGTCTGTACGAGCCCCCAAACGGCTGCGTTTCGCGCTAGAGTCGTTCTGGGACACGTAAGGACCCAGAACGAGATCCTGATGGCCTCCAGCGCACGCTGTGAGCCGAGCACCAGCCGGAGCCGGGCGCAAAAATAAACCTAGCGGCCTGTAAGACACTAGCATTCCTTTATTTGTCCTCGCCGGCGAGAAAGCAGCTCCCTTCGGATACGTGGTTCCTGCCAAACTTCCTTCGGTCCTCGGATCAGCACGAGCCAGGCTTTCTGACTCTTTGCTCTTCTGTTCTCCCGAAGTGAAGTTGCTGGCGCAAGACCCACGAGAATTACTACCCATTAATTGCTTTTGGGCAGCACCATGCGCCTGGTAGTGTTTTGGCTGCCCATACTCACCAATGCCCTTGTCGTGCCTGTGAACAAGCGCACTGTCGCAACGCGCCGGTCCGCGGCCACACTCAAACGAACCGAGGCGCCGCCCCTCGACGTCAAAAACGAGGCGCCGCCCGTAGACGACGCGACTGCCGCCGAAACCGACAGATCGCACGGCTTCGCCGAGGGCCCGAGCGTCGCGTTCTGGCAGAAATACGCGCCACCGGCCGAGGGCGGCATCGGCAACCTGCGGGCGGCGGCCGCGAAGGCCCTCCAGAGCGGCGCGAAGGGCGCCGACGCGATGCGCTACTACGGCTACCACCTCGCGCGCGCCACGTTCTTCGCGGGGCAGGGCGCCGCCGGGGTTCTAGCCTACCAAGCGAGCGCGTCGTCGGCGCCGTACCGCGGCGACCCCGCGACCACCGAGCCGTCGAAAGGCCCGCCGCGGTCGCCGGCCTTTGAATTACCTATCCTAGTCGATACCATGGGCGCCCTTTTCGCCGAGGCGGTCGCGACTTATGAGCAAGATTTCGGCGAGGTCCAGAAGGGCACCTTCCCGCTGCCGTGGGACATGGTCGACGGCGTGCGCAACCGGCAGACGTCGCCGCTCTTCCTCGCGGACCAGGCGCGGCGCTACGTGAACGAGGCCATTTCCATCCTGACGAAGCGCAACCGGCGGGACCCCGGCGACTTCGGCGTGCCCTACGGCGGCAACGCGGACCTCTACCCGGACTACTACCTGAACAACTTCCACTTCCAGACGGACGGCTGGCTGTCCAGCGACTCGGCGAAGTTGTACGAGACGTCCACGGAGACGCTGTTCCTTGGCCGCCAGGACTCGATGCAACGGCTCGCGTTGTACCCGATTCGGTCCTGGGCCGCCACTGATGATTTCAAGGTGCTCGAGGTCGCCTGCGGGACCGGTCGTTTGAACACCTTTCTACGGGACGCCTATCCGCGCATGGACGTGTCTGCTGTAGATCTATCGCCATTTTATTTGGAGGAGGCCAGAGGCCACGCCAAGCGCTGGGAGGCGTTCCGGCGGCGGACGCAGCCGTCGCAGCGCGTCGGCACGGCAAAGTTCGCCCAGGCCAACGCGGAGAAGCTGCCCCAGGCCGACGAGTCCGTCGATGTCGTCGTCAACGTGTACTTATTCCACGAGCTGCCCCACGAGGCGCGGCGCGCGGCGGCGGCCGAGATGGCGCGAGTGTGCAAGCCCGGAGGCCTGGTCGTCTGGGTCGACTCGGTTCAGACGGGCGACCGGCCAGCGCTCGACGCGACGTTGGGCAACTTCCAGTACCTGAACGAACCCCACTATCCTACATATATCAACGAAGATGTCGGCGCCCTTTTCATGGAAGCGGGCCTGGAGCCCTTCGAGAAGCACACGTCGTCGACGTCGAAGTGTTTGTCATTCGTCAAGCCCTGCGCCGCCGACGACGACTACTGCCTCACGAAGGTCGCCTAGTGCACACAAGGACCCATTTTTGCTTTGCTTCGAGCTAGGCCGCCGACTAAGTGGCCGCCTAGCCATCTTTAAAAGAAATACTTAGGTCAGCGCCTGGTCGTCCCACGACGGCACCTGGTCGTACTCGAACCCTGGATAGCGCCGGAACGCGCCCCACAAGTTGAACGTCGCATAACTCCCGGGCACGAACGTGATGAAGCCGAGCAGAAATAAAGTGAAGTAGTGGTAGGGCACGTCGGGCCCGACGTCGTACCACTTCTCGTAGATTCCCGTAATGATCACGACGAGGCCCACCGTCGTCAGGAAGAGCGCCGCGAGCGCGGTCCGCGGCGGCGGCGCCGACCGGTTGCGCTGGAGGCGCTTGAGGAAGGGCGGGAGCCAGTACTTGTAGATGCGGTCTTCTAGTTCGACCATGGTGACCGCTGTATGTCGCACTGGTTATTGCGCGCAAGGAATTGATCGCAAAAGCTCTGCTTGGGCCAAACCACTTGCTTGGCGCGTCACAGCTTGTCTCGAAGCCGCTGAAACGTGCGGAGCGGCGACAAGAGGACTGCGAATAATACTCTAAGGGTTCGAAGGCAGCAATTGAGCTTTAGCGGCTGCGTTTTCGTCCAAAAGGCTGCTGTCTAGTATGTCTGTATACGCTAGGGCCGTCTGGTTTTGAGTTTCGACGCGCGTTGGCCGTCCGTGAGTCAAGCTGAAAGGAATTAATATTAGAACACGCATTGGGCACAATCATGTGGCGCCTCGCGCTGCTCCTGGCGGCACACACGCGAGCGCTGCGCGCACCAGCCAGCCTAGGCCGCCGCGCTGCCGCGTTGCGGGCAGCAGAGAACGATAACCCGGACTTTTTAGAGCAAAACCTAGGAGACGCGTCGACGGCCGGCGAAAACAAAGCGTTCAAGCCGTTCCTGCACCCGCTCGCCGGCGTGAGCGTGAGCCCGCGCGGCTTCGTCGCGGTGCTCGCGTCTCCACAAACAGACGGGGAGGCCCAGCGCGCGCTGCCCGTCGTGATTCATAGGGCGGACGTGGATAGGATTAGGAGCCCCTACGCGCTCGCGTTCTTACAATTAATCCAGGGCATCGACGTCGCCACCGCCGCCATCCTCCCGCCGGACGCGCTCCAGAAGCACGTCGGCCGGGACGACGCCGTCCTAAAGCGCGTGCGCGTCGTCGCCGCGACGCAGAAGAAACCTACGACTGAAAAGCGGTCCGCGGCGTTCGAAAAAGCCTTGCCGCCGATCGCCGAGAAGCTCGAGAAGACGCTCGCGACGTCGCTGAACGTGGCCCTGCCGGCGGGCGCCGCCGAGGAGTTATTGAGGAAGTATGCGGCCGAGGACGGGTCGTTAGATCGGGAGGCCTTCGCGGATGTCGTAAAAGCCGCGCGCGAGGCGGCGGGGCCCGTACAACGGGACGACGACGTTGTTTTTCAGTTGGTGTTGGAGGACGGCGACCGCGTGCCGGCGTCACCCTTCCTCGCGCTGGCGCTCGCGCTGCGCCACCGGTGCGAGCTCGCGGCGGGCGACGTCTTCGACGGGCCGCACGCGGTCGACGCCACTGATTTAGATTTACCTATCCAGCGCCTCGAGGCGTTGGTGGCGGACGGCGCGCGTTTGTCCGCTCATTTCGCGACGATGTTCGACGCCGCGACGCGCGACGCCGCGCTGCCGTCGTCCAAAGAGCCCTAGTGGCGTTTTTTTGTGTGCATAGTCCTGGCCTGCACATGCCAACCGGCGCCCGTGAGCGCGCCGCCCTTAACATATATCTGTTCTACTCCTATTCCGTCGGCAAGGCCTCGCGCGGCGGCAAACTCGAGTGGACGTCGCGTCGATGGCGTGGAGCCCGGCGAAGAGGTCGCTCCCGCGCCTCGGCGCCCGACCCGGCACCGCCCCCGACGCCGTCGACGCGAAGAGGGCACGCTCGGCCGCCGGCGCCGGAAGGAAGAGTAATAGGCCGAGACATTAGAGATAGGGAAGCAACACGCGCCTACTCCTCGTCGATCTTCGGCGCGAGGTAGAAGGACAGCGAGCCCGCGCCCTCCGTGTCCTTCTCGCCGCCGACGTTGTACGCGACGACGATCGGCACGTCCGGCGACATGGAGATCGTCACGCGCGGGCAGAGCGGCGACGCCTTCGTGAAGAAGCCGAGGTAGCGCAGCGCGAAGTTCAGCTCGACGGGCTCGTCCATCTCGATCGTGACGGCCTCCTCCTCCTTGTCCACGCTGTTCGTCTGGCGGAGCGTGATGTTGCCCTGGCCGAGGTCGCCGCTCACGGAGAACTTGACGCCCTCCTTCGTGCAGCCGATGGAGCACGTGTCGCCGAGGACCGTCATGTCCCGGACGATACGCTGGAACTCGGCGGAGGACATCTTGACGTTCGTGTTGTAGTCCTGGTCGGGGATGCCGAGCGACTCGGCGTCGATGTCCATGAGCTTCAATTCGAACTCCGAGACTCTTTCTTGACCCTCGGACTCGAAGACGATGGCCAAATTCTCGCCGTCGTCCTGGGCCTTGAGCGTGACGCTGTCGTCGTTGCCGGAGCACTTGAGGATCTTGGCGAAGTTCGGGAGGTTGATGCCCAGCGTCACGTTGCGGTCGCAGCGGAAGTGCTCGAACATGTCCGTGTGGAGCACGAGCGAGACGAGCGAGACGTGCGACGAGTCCATCGCCTGGAGGTTCATGCCCGTCTCGCTGACCTCGATGTTGCCATCCGTGACGAGGTCCTTGATGGCCTCGATGACCTTCTTGAGCGTCGACGCCTTCTGGAGCGTGGCCTCGAACATGGTGCTTTTCGCCTGCGCGCGTTCGAACGTGATCGGCGCGTCCGCGGCGGCGGCGTTTTGCGTGTGTGGGGTGGCGCGCTGGCGGCGCGGCAGCGAGAGCGTGGCGCGAGGCGGCGCGCGGCGCGGCCCTGCGCCGCGTCGCTGCAGCGCGTGTTCCAGGGGGCGCCTCGGCCAAAAATCGCGCCCGCGGTCACCGCGCGCAGCATTTTCGTTGCCGCGCGCCCTCATATATGTTGTGGTGAGCTCATAGTGACTCGGTGGACTCAGGAAGCGCACAGCGACGGAGTTATAAGGCTGTGAATGGGCGCTGCTATTTTCAAAAATGGGAGAGCTAGTGCTCTTATCTAGCGAGAATCATGAAAAAATTGCCTCTTCTGCCTTGCCGCTGAGACAGGTGGCCAACCGCGAGTGCTCGAAGGACAAATCAGTCACCTAGCGGCCTGTAAAGACACTAGAGCTGGCGTCTCACAACAGAGTCTCGCTCTCAGTGGAGCGCGAGAGGGCAACGCGGCTGCAATTAGTAGTCGCGAGCGCCTACAGGACACGTCGGCTGAATGCTGCGTGTGGCAACAATCTCGTTGTGCGCCGGCGCCCGAGCCATGTCCTTGAAGGCCGGAGCCCAGGTGCCCAAGTTCGCTGTGACGGCGCACACGGGCGCCGCGGTCTCGTCGGACTCGCTCGCGGGCTCGGCCTACTGTTTGTGGTTCTACCCTAAGGCGGACACGGGTGGGTGAACCGCGGAGGGGCAGGCGTTCACGGCGCTCTGCGACCAATTTAAAGCCAAGGGCTACGACCTCTACGGCGTGAGCTGCGACGCCGTCGACGCGAACAAGGCCTTCCACGAGAAGTTCGACTTCGCGTTTCCGTTGCTCTCCGACGTCGACAAGTCCATGACGAAGGCGTTCGGCGTCTGCAAGCCGGCGAAGGACGGCTCGGACCCCTGCGACAAGTCCGCGCGCGTGACGGTCGTCGTCGGCGCCGACGGCACCGTTGTCAAGTGCATCGACCCGTTCGACGCGCGAGAGGGGCCCGCCGCGCTCCTCGCGGAGCTCTAGATGGCGTATTGTGCGCGCGCGACCCGGCCGCGGCGCCGTGACGGCCGTCCGCGGAACCTTTCGCGGGCGGCCCGACCCTGCCGCCGCCGGTTGTCGCGCGCGCGCGAGCGCCCCGGTCCTACCCGACCAAATTAACAGTGTTTATTCATCCAGACCACGGAGTTGTGGGGATTCAATGGGGATTCGGAGTTGTGGGGATTCAATGGGGATTCACATTGGGGGCGGCGGCGGGTTCGTGACAAGTGCCCGGCGCGCCGACGCGGGATTCATTCAGACGACGTGCGCCCGCCCGCCGCCGCGGGACCAGCTGGGCCCGCAACAGTCGTCGTAGGTCTCGCCGCTCCTGTTGAGCTCGTGCCGGATGAAGAAGCAAGTCAGACAGGGCCAACACCAGTAGTTGTCGCAGCAAGGGTCGCCACAGCAGATAAGCCCGCGGTCGGCGATCCCGTCCCGCTTGACGATGGCCTCTCTTATTTGGTTCATGTAAAGCAAATAGAGGAAAGCGAGTAGCATGTTCAGCAGGCCTGTGCGGACGATCGACCGCGTCAGCCCCCCACGCCCTCGACGCGAAGACGATTCCACGCTGCAGCATACCGTCGATGTTCACCCCAGCCGCCGTCAAAAGCAAGCTCACGACCGTCTTGAAAACCGTCGCCTGCGTGCAAAGCAACCGGTGTGTCGGCGTTCATCCGTTTAAGATGATTTCCGCGCGGGCCGGCGCAATGCAGAGGACCGCGAAGACCTCCCCGTGACTCCCCGGCCTCACGACCCGGTCGTGGAGCTGCGCTACCGGCGCGCACGGGCACCACCACGTGGCGCAGCAGAGCTGGCAGCCGCCCGGCGGGTCGCAACACCCGCACGGCTGGCCGCCGTTCCACTGGCCGGGGGCCCGTACCACCTGCGGCATCATCATCTGCGGCATCATCATCTGGCCGTTCATGGGCATCGGCATCACCTTGGACGCCACGGGCGGCGGCTGCGCGTAGTACGTCCCGGGCTGCTGGGGCTGGCCCTGGGGCTGCCCGTACGGCGGCTGCGCGTAGTACGTCCCGGGTTGCTGCGGCTGGCCCTGGGGCTGCCCGTACGGCGGCTGCGCGTACGTCCCGGGTTGCTGGGGCACGACGACGGGCTGCGGCTGGCCCTGGGGCTGCCCGTACGGCGGCTGCGCGTACGTCCCGGGCTGCTGGGGCACGACGACGGGCTGCGGCTGGGGCTGGGGCTGCCCGTACACCGGCTGCGGCTGCACGACGGCGAGGCCGCGCGCACGTACATCTTGCGGGGCGAGGACCACGGGTTGGGCGGCCGGCTGCACGATTGTTACGGATTGGGCGGGCGGCTGCACGACTGTTCCCTCGACGACTGTTCCCATGACGACAGCATTGGACTCTCCCTCTCCACCAAGTTCTGGAGAGAAGCCCGGCGGCTGCTGGGGCTGCATCGTGTGGGTGCCGCGACCGGGCGAACGCCTCGTCGCTCCGCGACCTCACAGCGTCCCGCGAATCGATTTTACAGCGCCCCAAGAGGAGGAGCTTGTGAGGCAGAAGCAGGCATGTGTCCCGCACGATCCGGGTCCTCTGAGGCCGTCAAGTCTCTTCGTTTGCAACCACTAGTAATGGGCGAGGGGGAGTGAAGAACAGCAGGAGCGTACTAAACACAGGCGTCCTTACGCGGCTACATAATATCGTCGGCGCGCCCGCTCGGAGAAAAGAGAGCGGGCGCGCGTCATCGCCGCCGCGCGGGATTCCTTCAGACGGCGCCGGCCGCCTTGAGCAGCTCGTCGAGCCGGCCCTGCTGGTCGAGCTTCACGACGCCCCCCAGCCCGCCGTCGTTGCAGCCGCCGGCGTAGACGCCGTCGATCCAGATGGCCGGGACTGAGGTACGATCAATACGGTCGCACATCTCCGCGCGGATGGCTGGCCCGTCGTCGGCCTGGTCGAGCTCGTAGGCGACGTACTTGGCGCCCTTGGCGTCGAGCAGCTGCTTCGCCTTGATGCAGAAGGGTCATTTCGTGAACGACAGCATAACGACCGGGTTCGCGATGAGCTCGTCCAGTTTCTCGTTCGTCGCGGCGACATCGTAACCACCAGCCATCATCTTCACGACGGCCTTTTTTCCCTCGTTGAGCGGCGAGTTCTGCAGGAGGTTCTGCACGCCGTTCGCGAGGTCGGCGTACCAGACCTTCGTCGGGTCCTCGGCGTGCCGCGCGAGGCTGCTGCGGGCGGGCTGCGACACAGGCGCCTGGAAGGCAGACGCTGCGGCGCAGAGCGCCAGCGCCACCGCGAGGCGCGGCATCGTACTGAGCAGCGGTCCTGGAGCGTCGCGCAGCGGTCCTGGGCGACTCGTGGACCAGCCTAACGCTCGCGAAAGGGCCTCCCACGCCCGCTCCGCAGCCCCCAGACGATGCCTCTCAGCTTTGCTAGTGTCTATGGCCGCTAGCCCCCGGATAATTCCCTCTTTCCTTCTTGTCTACAGCACGTCCTTGACGGCGCGACGAGTTGTCTTCGCAAAAACCGCAGCTGCGCGCAGGGTGGCACTTGTATCACAGCTTTAGCTTGCCCAAGATCGTGGTCGTGGCAAGACGCGGCTAACGCCTCGTCGACGCGTTTTGGTTGTACCAATACATCAGTACAGTACACATTCCTGCAGCAGACCACCAGTTCCGCAAGCAACCTTGTAAATAAAAAGCTTGCAGCCATGCCAAGCACCCCACTCATTATCGGGCTCGCGGCCACCGCGCACGCACTCGTCGCACCCACTACGCCGCACCAGCGCCTCGCGCCCACGAACGCCGTCGCCGATTTGCTGCGGGACGCGAAGTTAGATATTCCGTGGCTCGCCGAGGGCGAGGCGCCGAAAGAAAACAAGGTCAACACGCCCGACTCGGCCAAGCGCATCTTCGCGCTGCCGACGGCGCCGAAGAGGGTAGAAGAGTCGCCGGAGCGCGTCGAAGAAGTAAGAGCGCGCGCGCGGACGGCGGCGGCCGACGCCGCCGCGTTGCGCGGCATGCTCACGGGCGACGCCGATCAGACGGCCTGGTGGCGCTCGCCGCCGCCCGCCGGCGAGGGTACTGAGAGGGACCTCACGACGGACGAGCCGCTGCGCGTGTTGGTGGCAGGCGGGGGTTTGGCCGGCCTCGTGACGGCCGCCGCGTGCCACTCCAAGGGCATGAAGGTGGCCCTCTTCGAGCAGGCGTCGTCCTACGCGCCCTACGGCGGGCCCATCCAGATTCAGAGTAATGCGCTGCGGGCCATCCAGCGCATCAACCCCCAGATTTATGAGGATCTCGTGCAAGCGGGCACGTGCACCGCCGATAGGGTATCTGGCCTGAAGATCGGCTACAAGCGGGGCAACAAGCTCGCGGGTTTGTACGACAAGGGCGACTGGCTCGTGCGTTTTGATACATTAGGCCCGGCGCTCGAGGCCGAGCTGCCTCCCACGGTCGTTGTAGATAGACCGGTGATCCAGCAGATCTTCGTCAAGCACGGCTTCCCCGCCGATACAGTTCGAATCAAGTCGCGCGTCGTGGACTACGAGGACCGGGGCGGCTGCGTCAAGGTCACGCTGGAAGACGGCACCGAGGCGTTCGGGGACGTGCTGGTCGGCGCGGACGGCGTCTGGTCGTCCGTGCGCAAGATCATGCACGGGTTAGATGAAGGCGCGGGCGGCGACGCCGCGTCGGGCGCGGCGGGCGGCGCCTTGGACGAGGCCGAGGCGCGCAAGATGGCGCGCGACACGGTGCGCGTGGCCCAGAAGGCGTTGCGGAGGTACTCGGGCTTCACGTGCTACGCGGCGCTCGCGAACCACAAGGCGTCGAACATCGAAGAAGTCTCCTACCAGATCCTGCTAGGCGACAAGAAGTATTTTGTGAGCACCGACGGCGGCGGCGAGCGGCAGCAGTGGTTCGCGTTGATAAGGGAAGACGCGGGCGGTGTCGACCCGGAGCCGACGCCGGAGAACCCGACGCCCAAGCTCGATCGTTTGAGGAGAGAGTTCGCGAACGGCGACGCCTACGCGTGCGACCAGGACGGCAAGGTCTGGGACGGCTTCGCGCTGGAGCTCGTCGACGCGACGCCCGAGGAGGATATTAAGAGGAGAGATCTCTACGACGGCGCACCTCTCTTAGCGACGTGGGACCCGAAGCGGTGGCTCGCGCCCTGGGCTTCTGGTAGGGTCGCGATCTGCGGGGACGCGGCGCACCCGATGATGCCCAACCTCGGCCAGGGCGGCTGCCAGTCGACCGAGGACGGCTACCGCCTAGCCGAGGAGCTCGCGACGGTGCAGCACACGAAGCAGACGGCGGGCGCTTTGGGATCGTACTCGCGCAAGAGAGTGTTTAGGACGTCCATCGTGCAGGGCTTCGCGCAGCTCGGGTCGGACCTGCTCGTGGACTTCGACCTCATGATGACGATCCCTTTGATAGGGCCCTTCTTCCTCACGGCGACGCAGCTGTCCATGCCCTGGATCCTGCGGTTCCTCTACACGCCCGAGTTCTAGGTCATTAGTGCGTAACTCTATTGGTCGTATCATCGCGTCGCCGCCGTCGCGGCGACAGCGTACACGTAGGTATATCTCAAAAATTCATTACCCACCCATCTTCCGCGCCACGCCCGCGGGCGCGCCGTCCCACTTGAAGCCGTCGTCATACACCAAATCCAAACACCCGTCCTCGCGCACCTTGGACACCGTCGCCGGGTGGAACCGCACGCCCGTGCGCCAGCGCGCCCGGACGCGCTCGCCTGTTTCGAACACGTCCGTACTTTCAGAATCTTGCCGCGCGCGCGCGAGGCCGACGAAGAGCCGCGCGAGGGGTTTATTTTTCGCCAGCTTCTCGACGGTCAGCCCCCCGCCCGTATTGCCCGCGGCCTGATACAGCTTCACAGTCTTGTTGAAGGCGTCGGAGTGTTCGGGCGCCCTTAAATTCACCTCGGCGACGTTGGCCCCAAACACATTCAAACCCAGAATGACGCGCCGCTTGCCGGCCGGCAGCCGCGTCGTCTCCTCGGCGGCGTGGGGCCACTCGCCGTCGTGGATTGTACAGCGGCCCCGCCGATAAGGAACACGGTGCCAGTTCTTGCCCTCGAAAGCATTCGCACAAAGCCGGCCCTTGTAGCCGCACTCGGCGTAGTGATTCAAGCCCCGCGAGTTCACGAGGAAGGCGCCGCCCTCGATGCGCCTTTCATCATTGATATGAGAGCCGTCTTCCAAGTCCGCAACGTGCACCGTCGACGCGTACAATGGTATAACGATCTCGTTCGTCTCGCGGCGGTGCAGCTCGCAGTAGTCGACGTGGTAGTCGACGGCGCCCCGTTCCGGCGACGCCAGGCACCAGACGGCGACGCCGTGCGCCGCGTCCAGCGAGATGTCTTCCTTACTTCGCTCTAGTACTGATCGGACGACGCGGCGCGCCCATTGTTGTCGCGTCGCGTCGTCGACCGGGCCCTCTTCCTCGGCATCTTCTTTATCAAGATCCGCCAGCGGCACGTAGCAGCCCCAGGGCCGCCCTCGTTTTACCGCGTCGTCGGCCAGCGCCGCGCAGAGCTCGTTTGGTATCGCGTCGTCGTAGATGCGGAGGAAGCGTCTTCTTACGTTCTTTGCGCGGACCAGCGTCGTGGCGTTGCTCGAAGTAGTCGTCTCGAAGCCGTCGGACCAGAGGACCGGGGCGGCGGCGCACTCGATTTGTTGGGCCATGCTTTTTGGGATGCCAGCGGTGGTCACGGACGGCACGAAGGCTAGGCAGCAGCGCGCAGCGACTGCAGAGATGCCTTTTTTAGCAGCTATCAGGTGTTTTTAGCCGTTTTAGGCCCGGTAGCGCTTTGGAAATATTAAATCCAGCATAGCTAGCGTGATGTAAGGCACTAGCAAAAGCCCCAAGTCTCTCTGAAAGCGCGCGAGACCATCTACGCGCGCGACACGCGTGAGAGGAGGGCCGCCGGGACCTCAGAAATCAAGCCAGCAAGAGCGCCGGCTCGCGACCCGCGCGACAGCGATAAACAAAGCTTTGGGTCATCTATCCAAAAACCAGACAACGCGATGACCGCAGTAGTAGGCTCCGCCGCCGAGGACACGACGCCGAGCGAGCGCGAGGCTCCACAACGTTTTGCCTGGTGGCACCCGCAGAGCGCCGACCTCGGGCGCCGCGCGGAGGCGAGGCGCCAGCACGCGCGGCGCAACGACCTCTGGGCGCGGCCCACGGCGGGCGAGGCGCCCATCATCCCGCGGCCCCTGCCGCCGCCGTCGACCAGTACGGTCTTCGCGGTGATCGACGGCCCGGTCTTCGCTCCCGTCGACCCGCCGACGCCCCACGCCCTGGCGCGCCGCGCGGCTGCGCCGCCGCCGCCGCCGCCGGTCGAGCCGTCGACGGCCGCCGCCGCGGGCGCGACGAAGCCGCCGACGGTCGCGGCGCCGAAGAAGCCGGACTGGCTGGCCATCGAGCCGAAGAAGCCGGCGTCGAAGCCGCGCGGCCGCCGGGGCGTGCCGGCGTCCGCCGTGCCGGCGCTGGCCGTCGACGACGCCGTCGACGACGCGCTCGCCGAGCTGTCGGACGACGCGCTCGTCGCCACGGTCGAGCAGGCCGCCGACCGCGCCGACAGGGAAGACGGCGCCGCGGCGCCGAAGAAGCCGGCGTCGAAGCCGCATGGACGTCGCGATCGGCCGCGGCCGCAATCGGCCGAGGAGGACGTCGACGCGCTCGTCGCGCGCGGCGCGCCGATCGAGCGCACGGAAAAGCCGCGGCGCGGGCGCGGGCGGCCCGCGAGCGTCGAGGCGGCGACCACGACGCGCGAGTACCTCGCGCGCGGCGGCACGAAGCCGGACCTCAAGTACGACCTCAAGGGCGGCTTCTTCCGCGTGCGGACGGCGGCGGCGCCCGCACCCGCGGCCGAGGCGCCAACCGCGCCGGCCGAGGAGCCGGTCGCCGTAGGTCGGCGCGTCGTCATACCGCAGGAGCACGGCGGCGGCTACGGCATGATCGAGACGATCATCGACGGTATTTGTGATGTGGCACTCGAGGCGGACCCGGCGGGCGACTGCCTCGCGCTGCACGTCGACGAGCTCGCGTTCGCCTCGGACGAGGAGTATGTGGGGGCGCCGGCGCCCGGCGAAGGCGCCGACGACGACGAGGCGAGCGTGCCGCCCTCGCCATCCTTCGATATCAATGAGACGCCGGCGCCGGCTCCCTCTCCACCCAAGGCCATGCCGTGGCGGCCCGAACTACAAAGAGAGGCGTGGCGCGCGGGCGACTGGTGCATCGCCATCCGCGACCAGGATGTCGATCTTCGCCGCGGCCCGCGAGGCGGTGGTCGCCGGCAGCTCCTTCGTCTCGACGACCTCGCGGTCGCCGTTCGTGTCCTGCACGATCTGGATAACTTGAGAACCGTCCGCGTGCGTGATCGTGTATTCGAACGTCGTCGTGACGCTCGTCGCGCTGGTTACGCGGTTGGCTTTCGCGCTGTAGCTGTCAGTATCTAAGAGTCCAATGGGCGGCGGGATTTCGATTTTGCCCTCAGCCATGGTCTCTCGAGGGAGTAGTTAACCGGTCACCGACGCTCTCGAGGCCTGTTTCAGTCACTGGCCTAGACAGGCTCTTGTAAATTTGTAATTAATAGAGAGCTCCAGAAGGGATCAGGATTGGGTTATTATAAACCGAACCGAGGTCTGTCGAAACACGGCCCCGACTCTAGTTCAGCTATGTCCCTTTGGGCCCGGCAAAAGCGCGGCCCACGATAATGTGCCAGCGTTACTAACACACTAGTTTAGCAAGGCCTCGAGGCTCTCGGCCGTAGCGACGCGTAGAGGTGACCGCTGGCCCGCGCAGCAACGCGTTCCATCAGTTCTTGCTCCAGCAGTGCGGCGCCCCTGAACACGCGGCGAGAAACCGCAGAGAGACCGGCCAGCGCTGCTGAGCCTCCTGGGTTTCAAACTCGCGAGCGTGCTGCGCGACCCACCGCGGGACAGGACTCCAGCCAAACAAAACGCCGCAAGCCACCAGAAGCCATCATACGAATGTCGAACCGCGGCGGCCTGCGCCTGGGCTTCGGCGGCAAGCGGACGAAGCGCGCCGCCAAGAAGAGTGAAGGCACGCACCTCACGCCACGAAAGGACGAGCCCCTGACCGTGCGCTGCGCCAAGAGCCTCGCCGAGGCCCTGAGCGAGCAGAGCGATGACGTCGAGGAGTGGGGCGCCGTGGTCTGCTCCTGGCCGGCCGCGGCTTTAGAGAGAGTCTTGCCGTTGCTGCCGGCGCGCGTGTTACTGAGATTGCACGCGGCGTTTGGCGGCATCAGCCCGGCGGCGCACGACGTTTTAGGTGATGGCGCCGTCCTAGAAAGGGCGATCCAGCGCGACGAAAAGCGCGAGAACGGCCTCGTGGACGTCTTCGCGGGGGACGCGGCCGGCGCGCCCTGGACGGCGCAGCCACCTAGAGGGGTAGCCCCGGAACAATTGCTGTTCCACCAGCCCCACAAGCCCGAGGTTGGTTCTAGGGCGACATGCGACGACATCGACGCTTTTCGAAGAGCCTTCGACGTGTTTAGTGGCGGGTTACTACGAGGCCTGGACTTCAAGAAATTAGGGTTAGTGGCGGCGGGCGGGTCGATCCTGGCCTGCGTCTCGCCGCGACCGGAGAAGGCGGACGAGGACCTAGTGGGGTGGCTCGAGCCTCGACCCGTCTCCGTCGTGCCGGGCCGGCACCACGTCGAGTCCGATGCGAGGACTTTAATCAGAGACCAGGAGGCGTCGCCCTTCTGCACGTCGTCGGACGTGGATTTGTTTTTAGTCGGCTGCGACGAGCAAAGGGCGTTCGACGCCCTCAGGGCGGTGCACGAGACGGTTCTGAGGAACGCGTGCTGCCGCGTCGCCTGCGTGCGGAGCGCTTCGGCACTCACAGTCTCCGCGGGCTTTCCGCGGAGGCACGCGCAAGTCGTGCTGCGCTTGTACGCGTCGCCGGCCGCTGTTTTAGCTTCCTTCGACGTGGACGCCTGCTGTTTTGTTTACGACGGTGAGCGAGTCTTGGCGTCGGCTCGAGGGCTGCGAGCTTTGATTGAGCGGACGAACCGCGTCGATCCAGCGAGGCGGTCGCTGACGTACGAGTCGCGGCTGATCAAATACGCGTTGAGGGGCTTTTCGGTCTTCGTGCCGCCGCGCCTCTACAAACCGAGTGCCGTGGATCCGCGGGTCTACGATTTGTGCCTGGCTTTGAGGGAGCACCATCCCCGCTGCTTGGCCGCCACACCTCGCACGCCGGAAACGCCCGCGGGGCGACGCCTCGCGGCGGCGGCGGCTTTGCGCAGAACAAGGGACCCGGTCTTCGGCGACGGCGGCGAGAAGCCTAGTGGATTGGTGAGGTTACTCGTCGCCTCGAGGTTGTACGCGCTGCGGAACGCGGCCGACGCCGAGGTCACGCAAACGAAAAAGAAGAAGGGCGTCGACGCTACTACTTCACTAAGGGACGTCCTACGACGAGGCTGGTGCTACAACCGCCAGAAGACGCCGCCTATGCTCCCGGACGAGCCCCGCACCTTCTACTCGTCGCAAGGGCCGTGTCGCACGGAAGGCGACTTCACGGCCGAGGACGAGGCCCTCGAGACGGGCGGCGAGCAGGATTCGACGCCGGGCCAACCTTTATATAGGTGTTCCTTGCCGTGGAAGCCGGGTTGGGACGCCGCTCGACTCTTATCTTTTGTAAGGGCGCGCGACGAGGCCGCCGCCCAAGCGGAAAGAATGAGGGAAGATGGCGAGCACGAGTGGGCGCCGCCTCGGGTCCGAGCCGTCGCTCAAAGGAGCGGCGGCACGCTGCCCTCCGAATATGTGGCAAGTGCCTCCTTCGCGTTTGATGATGTAGTACATGTCAGTGCTTTGAGATGGAAGGCACCCTCTAGATCTTTCTATCCAGTACCAATAGAGGGCTTCTCGGACAGCGCCCATTTGAGTGAAGGCGACCCGCAGCAGTTCTACAAGTGTATTATACAGAGTGTGGGCCACGAGTGGGGCCCAGATGAGAAACCAACACATTACGTGAAGACGCGACCGTCCAATATACACCACGCCCAGCAGATGTCCTACGCGGACTTTGCGAACCTGGGGTTGTTGCCGACCGCCTCGTACGTCGGTGGGGAACATGCGACAGCTAGAGTCTTCGAGCCGGGCGTTGTTGTCAGGGCGGCACTCACCAATGTAGAAGCGGGCGCCGTCAAAGTGTTTAGAGCGGCAGCTCGAGCGTTGGCGGCGGCGCCGGCGCCCGTCGTCGACAACCTCGAGACGTGGGCGGCGCCGGCGACGAACGGCGTGCAGGGGTCGGGCATTCCCGTGGACGCGGAGACGTTGCTAGGTGCGGACGAGGTCCACAAAAACGCCTTGAAGGACATGCCCGCTCCCATCAAGACGCGGATAAATTCCGCGCTCCGAAAGCGATGCGCGGGCATCGCGTCGAGGATCGTGAAGGATCTGCCCGGCGGCGGGCCCGCCAAGGACGAAGAGTTAAAGAAGCGCCACGCCGAGCTCGTGAAGACGCAGGAGGGTTATGATGGGACACGGACGTGGTCCGAAGCTCATCGCAGAATAGTAAGGAAGACGTCGCTGGAGATCGTCGAGACGTTGGATGCGGATGCACGTAGGGCATTGGCCGCACCAATCTTCGACGCTTATGTGGACGTCGCCTTCGCTTTTGAAGCGGTCGCGTTGAAGACGGGCGCGCAAGTGGTCGGGGTGTGCGCGCGCTGCGCCGCGGTGCTCACGTCGAACCGCAAGTGCGCGCGGTGCAAGGTCGCGAACTATTGCTCTAGGGACTGCCAGGCGCGGCACTGGGACACGCACAAGGCCACGTGTAGGAAGGCCGACGCGCCGCCTAGGCCTCCTGCTCCTCCCGGTGGCGCGCCGATTGTACAAGCTGTAGGCCGCGCCGCGAATCTCGAAGGCGCCGGGGCCGCGGCGATGAACGAGCTCGAGACGCAGATGCAGGGCCTGGCGCAGATCTTGAGGGAAGGGGGCGCCGGCGCGGCGGACATGCGTCGCGCGGTCGCGGACGTGCCGCAGGCGGGCTAAGTCATATACAGTTCTTATTCATGACTCTATAATTGTGTCCAACGCCTTGAGTCGCGCCTCGACGGCGTCGAGGCGCGCCTCAAGCGCCGTCCGCGACGCTCGCTCCTCCTTGAGCGCCTCGACTAAAACCGGCACGACTCCCACATAGTTGACGGACTTCGTCCCCGCGGCGTCCGTGCTCACGAGCTCCGGCAGCACGTCCTCGACCTCCTGCGCGAGGAAGCCCAGGAACCTTCTCTTGGATCCGTCCGCGCCCGGCGCCTCCTTGACCCAGCTGTAGCGCACGCCGCGGAGTTTTTCAATCGCGGCGGTCGCATCATCCAGATCGGTGACATCGTCCTTGAGCCGCCGGTCGGACGTCGTGTAGGCCGCACCTTTTATATTGATGGTGGAGCCGGTGAGACCCAATTCGTAATTGGCCCCCGTCGCGTCGATCTTGAAATAGGTCTCGCTGTCGTCATCTTTCGTTATTTTGATCAGGTCGTTCGTGCCGTCGTAGTGGTTGATCACAGTCTTGCCGGAGACGACCTGGAGCGCGGCCGCGGCGAGCAGCGCGCGGAACGCCATGGTTCTTGCCGCAGGGCTGCCCCAATGGTCCGTTCGAGTTCGTGCGGCCTCGTTTCGGCCGGGAGCAGGCGCTGCTTGGCTGCCCCGAGAGCCGGCCGCTGAGGCAAAAACCTAGTGTGTCGCGAGCTCTAGCCTTTACGCCACCGAAGCTTAGGACGCAGTCGAGCACGAAAATCCACATATCGAACCTATCATTTTATTTGGGAGCCTCCCCTACTTTCGGAAGTAGCCCCGCTTCCGCGCGAGCGCGTCGCGCGCTCGCCTCGCGCCCTCGGCGCCCTCGAGCTCCTCCTGGTCCGTCACGCCGACCATGTCGAATTGCGTGTACGCGAACGCCGCGAATAGGAACGCGAACGCGACGACCGCACCCGTCGGGTCCGGCAGGCCCGACTCCTCGCCGAGCGCGACGAGCACGTCGGACGCGCCGAGCGACGCGACGACGGTGCCGCGCGGCGGCGTGGCCAAGCGCTGCTTGCACGCAGCGGTGTGGGGCCTCGGGGCTGTAAAACCGAGCGCTGAGGACAGGACTGCAAGGGCAAGGAGAGCAAACCGAGCCATGGGTGTCAACAGCGCCGGTTTTGACCGCTGCCTGGGGAAGCGAGCTGGAAAGCGAACTAACCGGCCGTTCCTGCGCTTGCACTGTCTCTACAGGCCGTGTTTTGACTGAGCCGCAAAAAAGCTGGGCTAGCGTCCTGTAAGACACTAGCCAAGCAAAGCAAAAGCGCACGGCAAAAAAGGCGGCTAATCAGTGCCCACGAGCACACCTCCTACGTTGCGATTGTTGCAAAATAGTCACACCACAAGACTGCGCCCCCTTCGCAACCGAACAGCGCGTCGCGACCCCTTTCACTACACCGCACACACTGCGGCTGCACAGCCTCAACAGCTTGGCACCAGCACCATGGTAGCAACCCGCCGCTCCCTGTCGCCGGCGCCGAAGCGCGCCGCCAGCCCGGCGCGCAAGCCCGCGGCACGCGCCAAGTCGCCGGCGCGCAAGAAGAAGGCCAAGGCGGGACCATTCATCTTGCTCGACCCGAAGCGCATGCCATTCTGGCTCTACGCGCCAAACCTGCTGGGCTATATTCGCGTCGCGACGTTAGTTTATGCTATGTACGAGAGCGACCCGGGGTCCAGTATGGCCGCGACGTGCCTCGCCCTGTCCTTAGCCATCGACTACGTCGACGGGCCCTGCGCGCGGCGCTTCGACATGTGCACGAAGTTCGGCGACTTGTTGGACCACGTCTGCGACCACGTGACGATGCTCTGGCTCGTGCACTGCACGACGGCCTCCGACATCGATAGGGCCGTGAACGCTTTACATTGTGGCGTCGCGCTGGCCTACATGGCCTACACGGGCCACTACTTCAAGCACGCCTCCACCTCGAACGTCGTCACAGCAATCGTCGAGGCGAACAACTACTTCAACATGCCCTCGATCCTCTGGAACGCGAACACGTGCGTCGTGCCGCTCGTCAAGATGTCGTACCACGCGTCCTACGGTATTGGGTTGAAGGACTCGACGCCGCTGCTCGACGTCGTCAATTACATGGGCCTCCTCGTGACGGCCGCGTACACGGTCGCGTGCGTGCACGGCGCGGCGCAGCAATAGGCCCGGGGGCGTAAGGCTCGACTCCTCGTTGAGCGGAGGACCCCGCACCTATCGAATTTGCATCATTCATTTTGATCGGTGGAGGGCCGCGAGAGCCGTAGACACCGCCCCACGACGAGGGGCTGCCCCGATTCGACAAGTCCGACCCAGTAGAACCACGGCAGCCAGCGTCGGCGCGCGCCGCGGGAGGTGATTGAGTGATGCCCCAAACCGCTACCCCAGCAGCTGGGACGCCGCGCCGCGAGGACGACGGCGCCGTGACGCCGCGCTGCGAGGACGACGGCGCCGTGACGCCCCGCGGGTCCCCAGAGGATGATGACAACGACTCGTTCCACAGCGTCGACGAATTCAAGACCCCGCCACGAAACACGCCACGAAAGAAGGACGGCGACAATAACTACAAAAAGCGGTTCAAGGAGCTGCAGAAGCACGCGCGCGAACTGGTGCGGCGCCACGCGGCGCTCGAGGCCGAGCTCGCGGAGGCACGCGACGAACTGGCAAAAGCGCGCGAGGTCTCCGACGGCGGCTCCGAGCCCTACGAGCGGCCGCCGCGCTGCGAGCTCCACGCCGCGCTCGAGGCCGAGCGTTATCGGGCGGCGGCGGCCGAGGACGAGGTGAGGCGGTTGTCGCTCGCGCTGCGCGTGATGAAGGACGTCAAGAACGTCGACGTGGCGCGGCGGCGGCGCCGCAGCGGCCGCGCGCTGTCGCGGGCGCTGTTACAAAGAGCGGCGGCGGCGAGCGGCGTCGCCACGCCGGAGCGATACGACGAGGCCGAGGAGGAGGTCGTCGACGACGGCTGGCTCCTCGGGCGCCTCGGCGCGCGCGGCGATCAACGTGAGGAGGCCGACGACGTCTCGTCGGACGACTCGAACTGGATCGACATCAACGTGGATGTTGTGGATGTGCACGCCTCGCCGGCGAAGGTGCGGCGGTCGCCGGGCAAGGCGCGGGCCTCGCCGAAGTCGGACCTGCTCGTCGCCGGCGACGGATTACTGCGCAAGGCGCGGTCCCTTATCCAAGGCAAGTCGCCGCCGTCCTCACCACCGTCGCGGCGGCCCTTCGCGAGGCCCTGGCGGTCGCCGCCGAGGCACGCGATCACGCCGCCGGTCGCCGCGCGCGCCACAGGCGCTTCGACACTAGACGCCGACGCCGTCGCGGCGGTGCTGTCAGGGCTGGGCCCCGCCTACGCGTCACCAGCAAAGACGCTCCGCGACGCGTCCTGCGACGGCGCCTTCCTGAACACATTGTCGGCCGCCGACCTGGCGGCCACGCTCGCCGACGCAGGGCTCGGGCCAGTCCAGGCGCGCCGCGCGCGCCACGCGCTCGGCCTCTCCCCCTGTAATAAGACTAGCTGATCACATTTATGTCACTCGCGCGCGCGCCGCCATCGCGGACGCCATCGCGGCGGCCCCGAAGCTCATTTTCGCAGGCGTCTCGTGGTACGCTCGCTCCGCGGCGGCCCCCAGCAACCCGCCACTGCTACCGACCCAAGATGCCACGCCCCGCCGGCTGCCACGAACCGCGGAACCAGGCGTCTCCGCTTTCGTCTCCGCGACGCCCGGATCATCGTCGTTGAACGCGAACCCGAAGTATCCCGGCGCCGGCAGCGGCCGGAAGCCGAGGGACTCGGCGAAGCGCCGCGCGCGCACGTCCGCCGCGGGGACGGCAGCGTGGCAGCCCCGCGCGCCCGCTTCTCTCAAGCGCCCAAGCAGTTCTGTCGCGAGGCGCGTGCCAAGACCGGCGCGCCGCGCCTCCGGCAGCACGTGCACGCGCAGGTGCGCCGCGTAGAAGTCGTCGTCCAGCCCCCGCGGCGGCCGACCGCACAGTGGATCGTGCAGGTCCCTGGCCACGAGATCCTCGGCGCTCCAGGCAGCGCGCGGTTTTTGGTGCGGATCGGGATACCTGTCTCGCACGCCCGGTAGGTATTCCAGCTGTATTCGGGCCTGTGTGGGAATGAAATTTCAAGCGCCCCACGCCATCGACACGACGTCCCGTGACCGCGTCGGCTCGACGGCGATGACCTAACTCACTCACTGCTTGATTTCCACACAGATACGCGCGCAAAATTCGCCCGTATCTAAAGTAGCGACCGCGTATCCCACGATGTAGCCGGTCTCGCTCTCGACGGCGACTGCGCAGAGCTCCGGTTCGAGGCGTAGGTACGGCAGGGCATAGCGTTCGCCGAGGATGCCAGGGTCGCGCGCGAACTGGGCCGAGGCGTCAGAGCCGCCCGCGCCCCCTGTCCTGACGCATATATCAACCAGCGCACCGGCGTCCTCCTCCTCCGTCGCCGCGCGCAGAAAGTACTTTGGCACGTGCTCGGGCGTCGTCGTCGTCTCGGCGGCCCGCATCTCCCGCACCGTTTCCATCGGCTCGTCGTCGTCTTCCAAGCAGGTCGCCGCCTTCGCCGCGGCGCCGACGGCCAGCGCGTCGTCGCCGCACAGCGCGAGGCGGATCGCCGCGCGGCCGCTCGCGATCCAGACCGGCGACCGCGACGCCGCGTCGACGGTGGCACGGTGGAGTGCCGGCGTGATTCCCGCGACGACGATGACGTCCGGATCCGCGATCGCGGCGATGGCGAGGCACGCGGCGGCCAGCGTTTCCGCTGTCCCGTCTGTGATCAGTTGCGCGGCGTCCATGTTTCTGATTTGACCATTCAGCGCGAGCGCGCCTTCCACGGTGTCGCCCAATGCAAGCAACGCCGCCGACCCTTCATCTCCCTCGCGTGGCGCCGCAGCCCCGCCGGGCCGCGCCTCCGCCAACAGAGAAGCCTCGGCGCGCCGCGCGAGCGCCGTCGGCACGTCGAGCGCGTCCGCGAGCGCGCGTCGCAGCGGCGCGGCGACCCAGCCGAAGCACGGCGCCGTCACGACGTCCTCCTCGACCTCGCCCGGCGGCGCGACGCCCACGCAGGCGACGTCCGCCCACGCGCGACCCACATCAGAAACGTACGCTCGCGCGGCGTTCGCCAGCGCCGCGACGGCGCCCAGCAGGGCCACGTTCTCCAGGCGGTGCGTGACCGCCGGCGCTACGATCGACCCGTCGTGCCAGAGCGCGACGCATCGCACCTCGTCGGCTCGCAGGTCCAGCCCCAGCGCCAAACGCTGGTCGCCGGGTGCGTCCAAAGGGACCAACATCGCTGGCGCCGGCGCCTGCTCCATAGGCGCGACGCGTGCACTCATTGGTGTTCGCATGACTTGCCCTTCAGGGGCAGCGACGGCTGCTACGCGGTGTCACCGAGGGCAGCGTCAAGCGCTGTGTGCTCTGCGGCGTTCCAAGGAGCGCGTGCTTGGGCAGCCGCTTTGGTTCCGCAATTGCGCGCTGTGGTCTCAGGCGCTGCAGAGCATCTCGGCAGCACGAGCGGAAAGAAAGATGCGGAAGACTCATATGAGGGGGTTCTGTGTGCGGGTGGAAGGCTCGCGACGCATGCGGGTTGCTTGCTAGTGTCTTACATGCCGCTAGCCCATATAGCTTGGAATCGACCAAAAGGAGCCTGTTGCCACATGAATGCACGAACGTAAAAATGAGCAGCACCTGGAAGCAGCAAAAAGAGGCATTCGTCAGCGACCACGACGGCGGCAGCTTGATAGAGCTCATAGCGGTGGCAGCCGTCGTGCCGCTCTGCTGCGGCGCACGGCTTAAACTGCACGACGCGAAGGACTCAACGAGCGTCAAGCTCGCGAAAGATGCCGGACTACTGGTCGCGCCAATCGCTGCATCGCTCACCATCGGCGCCGACTATATGCCCGCGATGTTTCTGGTGCTGGCGGCGGTCGCGCTCAGGACGCAGAAGCATCCGGCGACGCGAGCAGCGAGCGACATGCTCGTGACGCATGCGCACGCCATTCGGCTGTTCCGCGCGTGCCAGGCGGTGTTCACGGGAATTTGTATTCTCGCCGTCGACTTTCGCGCATTCCCGCGGCGCTTCTGCAAGACGGAGACCTACGGGTATTCCTTGATGGACATGGGCGTCGGCTCGTTCGTCGTGGGCAACGCCATGATTAGCCGCCTCGTGCTCGGGCGGACATGGCAGCCGAAACGCATCCTGCCCTTGGTCGTGCTTGGGTTGGGGCGGCTCATCACCGTCAAAGCCTCGGGCTACCCGGAACACGTGACAGAGTACGGCGTCCACTGGAACGCGTTCTTTACGCTGGCGGTCGTGGACTTGTGCGACGGCCTGGGCTGTTATCTGAAGCTCGGCCCCGGCGGGTGCCTTTGCGCCGCCATGGCGCTCATGGTGGTGCCTCGTTTTGGACTCGGCGCGGCCTACGTCCTGTCCGACGCGCCGCGCGACTCGCTGTTCGCAGCCAACCGCGAGGGCCTCGCGTCGGCCCCCGGCTACGCGGCGTTGTTTTTTGCGGCGGCAGCGTTCTTCGATTTCGTCCTCGCCCGCGGCCAAAGACACCTATCTCTCGACGACTCCGTAGTATCTCTCTTCAACCTCTTCCTGAACAAACGTGGAGCTCCCGCCCTCGCCTGCGTGTCGGGCGCGTTCCTGGCGCTCACGTGGCTCGCGGGCCCGCCGTCGCGGCGCGTCGCCGACGCGCCGTTCGTGCTGCTGTGCCTCGGCTTCAACGGCTGGATCCTGGCGCTCTGCGCTCTGTTCGCGGACAGGCTGCAGGGAGTGGTCCTGGTCGTCGCCGACGCGCACCTGCTGTACTGGTTCCTCGCGGCGAACGTGACGACTGGCGTGTTCAACTTCGCAACCGACTCGCTGAAAATACCTGGTTTTGTAGCCGTGGTCGTGCTCGTCGCGAAGACTTTCGCGGACGCGTTCTTGGTGCAGACCGCGACGGCGGAGATGAGGCTTAAAGAAAGCTAGGTTTAGTCCTCCATGCGATCGGTCTCCCGCAGCTCGGCCAGCAGCGCGTGCCGCTTGCCCTCGGCCGCCAAAGCAGGAAACAGCAACCGCTCGGCGTCGGCCCGGCCCAGGCGCGTATTCAGAGCGAGGATGCGCCGCCGGTCGCCGCGCGCCGCGAGGCACGCCGCGTAGCTGGACACCCAGTGGTCCCGGTCCGAAGCCGACCCCAGGCGCTCGGCGCACAGGACCTTCGCCTCCAAGCACGCGCACAGCGCGTCCGCGTCGCGCGACAACGCGTCGCCACTCAGCAAGTCCGCGGCGGTCGTCGCGTCCCTATCTGAAGCCTGGCGCGCCGCGTCGACGAGCAGCCCCGTCGTTGATGGAGACGGCGGTAAGGAGGACGACAGCGCGTCCGCGATTTCGAGCCAGGCGTCGGCTTTTTCATCATAAGCGCAGACGACGCACGCGCCTCTCCTAGAGAGGGCGTCGCCCTTGCAGGCGAGGCCGAGCGACGGCACGCCTTTTGCATCGACGCTTGCATTGACGATGTCGCCGCCGCCCGCGACTCGCAACGCGGGCGACGCCGACGTCCGGGCTACATTGGTTATCCTTTGGTCGGGCGCCTTCGATTCGTCGACGCGCCAGACGCGCACGCCCGCATCCACAGAAACGCACAGGACATACTGGGAGTGCAAAGCGAGCCGCGCGGGCGGCGCGCCGACCAGTAACGGCGGAATGAGCAGCGCGCCGCACGCCGCATCCAATATACGTACGGACCCGTCCGCGCCGCCGACGACGACGCGTTCGAAACCGGCCGTTAATGCCGCCGCGGGCGCCGGGGCCGTCGCGCGCCACCGTCTCTGACCTTGGTCCGACGCGACGACGACCGCGCGGCCGTCCGCGATCGTAGCTTGGACGTGCAGCTCGCGGCCGTCGAGTTTTAGGGAGGTAGTGAGCAGCGTCGTGTCGGCCGGCGGCGGCACGGCGTCTGATGGAGGCGCCGCGGCGACGGCCGGCGCCGCGGCGACGGGCCGCGGTCGTGGCGGCGACACGGGCGGCGACGCCGCGGCCGCCATGGGAGCACCGACGGGCGTCGGCTGGATGCGCTTCTTCTTGGCCTTGAGCACGTTGACGCGCGGCGCCGCGACGGGTGCCGGCGCTATCCTTTTTTTCTTGGGCGGCTCCTTTTTTTGTTGAGTGATCTCGGCGGGGTTCGGCAGACTCAATCCGTTCGACCCGCCCTCGACCGCAAAGGCCGCGTCGAGATGGGCCCGCGCGTCCGACGACGAGAGGCGCTTTCCTAGATCTCGCTCCACGTCAAACTCAAAAGTACACGTACTGCCGTCGTGCGAGGACGCACATAATAGTGAGCCGTTCCGCGACCAAGCTAAATCCGAAACCGCCCCCCCGAAGCAGTCGCGGAACACTACGAGAGGTTTTGCCCTTGCCGAAGTCCAGACAGATACTGTGGCATCTTGGCCACCAATAGCTACGACTGACCGAGGCTGGTCCTCGTCGTCCTCGCCGTGGAAGAGGACTGGACTGAATCGTACGACGGTCACGGGGTGCCGGTGGCCTACTAAATCTGCTACAGACTCCCATTTACCTCTGGCAAGGACACAAGCCGTCGCTTGTAGAGCTTTCCGCGCGTTCGGCACGCCCAAACTCCTCCCATCCGGCGCCCAGGACAACCGCTGGAAGAAGGTCTGGGCCGTGACATCTTCGAACGGTGCTCTGATATCGGCCTCGACGCGAAATTCGGAAGACGCGTTTTTGTCTCGTCGCCAGACCAAGACTCGCCGGTCTTCTCCGGCCGAAGCCAAGAATCGCCCCGTAGGGTCCCAGGCCACGCCCTTGACCCAGTTCTTGTGGCCCCGCAACGTCGTCTTGGGCGTCATGGTCATGGACTTGGTGGAGACGTCCCAGATTAATACGGTATTATCTATCGAACAGGACGCCAAGACTTTGTCGTCGTCGCCCCAGGCCACATCTAAGACATCCATCGTGTGGCCTCGCAGCGTCGCCTGCCGCGTCCACGAGGCGCCCGTGTTCGTCCACAATAACACCTGCGTGTCGTCGCTGCCACTGGCGAGCCAGCTTCCATTCGACGACCAGGCGCAGCAGGTCACGACTTTCACATGCTTTGATAGCGACTGGACGAGGTGTTTGGCCGGCTCATCATCATTACTCTTAAATAGTTGCGTCGACCAGAGCCGTACCAACTTGTCGCCGCCGCAGGTCGCTAATAATGAACCGTCGGGATTCAAGGACACGGAGTAGACGGCCGCGGCCGCGCCGTCCTCCTCGTGCAGTCTAAAGTGGCGGAAGACCCTCATTTGCGTCTCGCCTGCTCGAGTCACCTCTCAAGCTAGAATGGTCTCCCAGGGCTTTTGCGGCGCCGGCGTGCAAACCTGCAGGTAGGCTTGCGCTGCGCAGCAGCCGTTGTGGCTCTGAACAGCTCGTGCTCACACTGGCGAGGCCTACGCTGTGAGTCCTCGAGCGCGCTCGATTCGAGTCCCAAGATTAGCTAGCGGTGGTTGTAAGACACTAGCAGCAGGCCGCAGGACTTTTCGCGAGCAAGGAGCGTCGACGAGGCCTGCGAGGAATCATTCTAAACAAAGCTAGCGTCACGGGACCCAAAGTGCGGGGCTTGACTGGAGGCGGCGGCGCTGATCAGCACAGCTGCCATACAGCGCGACACGGCTGCCCCCGACCGCTTACATACATACAAACAATGACTCATCACGAACCATGACCACGGCCCTCGCGCTGCGGCCCCCGCCGCCGCCCAAGGACACTCGACAAGATGAGCCGGACGCCTTCGGCAAAAAAGACGTACGCCTCTCGGAGAAGGCGCTGGAGCTGCGACGGCGCGTCGAAAAAAGGCGCCAGGAGGCCCAGGACAAGTTTCAACGAGAGGCGGAACTTGTATTGCAGAGGCAGCAGACGCGGCAAAAGCGGCACGTCATCGCACAGCAGGAGGTGCACGGTTCCGAGAGACTAGTAGATGCGGATTTGCTCCATAACCACCACGAACTCTTCAAGAGGTCCGGCCACCAGTTTAATCTCGGCGAGAAGTACGAAAGATTGGGCCGAGACACGCAGCGGGCACTGAGGGCAACGAGAGAAAACCAAAACAAACTAAATTATTTGGAGGGGAGAATTAGGAGGTTGCGAGACGACGTCAACGGCGTGCCGCGGGGCCACGCCGACGACGAGGTCGACCAGATGCTGAAACGAGCGCGGGACGACACGACGCAATTAGGGTTTCGGAAATTCTTCCAAAAATGCGATAAATGTGGCGCGCGCGTGACGCGGGAACATTTTGATGGGCATCGTAGAGTGTGTCCAGGAGCTCCTCCCGAACTAGGTAATAGTTCCGATGATGATGAAGAAGCAAAACAAAAGGGCTGCGAGACGGAGGAGTGCGTGGTTTGTGGGTTAACCAAGCCTAGGGACAAAATAAAAGCTCATGTGAAGAGATGCAAGAAACGCCAACAGTACATCAGGGACCGAAAACAAGCTTCGAAGGCTGTCCAGATGAAGCCGCAGCCGCCGCGAGATCTGCGAGTCGGTAAAATAACAGCCACCACTATTGAGTTGAAGTGGGCGCCACCTATTTTAGATGGAGGCGCCACGGTCTTTGAGTATGAGGTGGTGTTTAGTGTTACTACCATAACAAAAGTAGGGAAGAAGGTGAACAGAACGGTATCAGCCCTACCTCCCTTGCAGACGACGTGCTACATGTACCAGGAGCCGGTCTGCGAATATGGGTATGTTCTTACTGAACTAAGAGCTTCTACGGAGTACAGCGAGTTCCGGGTACGGTGCAAGAACGAGGTCGGGTGGAGCGAGTACGGCCCGCCCCTCGGAGCCTACGAGACGAAAAATGCGGTGGCGCCGGGCGCGCCCATCTTTTTACACCACGAGCCGCCGACCTCGAAGGCCATTGCTTTATCCTGGAGCCCGCCGATCCGAGACGGTGGAAGTGACGTCGTCGACTACCACGTCCACTACACGGAAGTCCGAACCTTGACACATGCCGAGTGGCTCGCCGAATTCAACCCGGGCAAAGGGAAACAAACCTCGGACGAGAAGCATGAAGTGAGAAATGACGTCTCGTTACGCGTCGGCGGTCCCGTGTGCAACTACGTGTTGCGGGATTTGCGGGGCGAGACGGATTATTGTAATATCAAGGTCCACGCGCGGACGAAAGCGGACTTGGACGGCGAATCCGCTTGTATCGAAAAAGTGACCACCCTACCACCGTCGATGCGGGAGTTGTTAGTTAAAGAAATTCAACGCGTACAAGAAGTGGAGGGCGACTTCGTGGACACGGAGTTCTACACGGGCTTTGTGCAGCGAGAATATAAACCGGACTACCTAGCTCGACTCAAGGCCGATCTAGCCGAAGCTTATGCAGCCGAGAAAGCAGCATTGGACATCAGTGAGGAGGACCAAGAAAAAGCCAAGAGCAGGTGGAAGACGTCGGCATTGGGCACGATGGGCGCGCGGGCCTTCGCGGAAGCGGCGCCCGAGCCCGAGGAGGAGGAGGACGAGGAGACGCTCATGGAACGCGCGGTGCCGGACTACGCTCGTAAAAGGCGGCAGTTCGAGCACCGTCTTAAATGTCTGGAAGAAGGTATCAAAAAAGCGGAAGAGGAGCAGATCAAGTGCTTCGCGGACCGGGCGGCTCTGGCTCGAAGTATGGCCGAGACGCAGAATCGCATCATTGAAGTCCGAGCGGAGATCGACCGCGTGGCGAACGTGAAGGCGCCCTACATTAATAGTAGCGTGATCCACGGCGCGACGCAGCGCTTCACGAAGCCGCAGTTGCAGCACGACCTGCAGGTCGAACTCGAGAGGTGCCTCGGGTTGATCGCGAACGCCAAACGCAAGGTGCAGCAGTTGGACGAGGGTCGGGTTCGGGCCTCGAAGACGTGCATCCAGAAGAAGCAGCAACTCCATGACAGACAAGCAGCATTTGTTAATATCCGAGCCGATGCCAGAAGACAGGCTCGCGTCGCAGCTTTACAAACTAAAAAGAAAAAATTAACAAAAAGGGAAATACGGGAGATCGAACAGAAGTGTCGCCTAAAACATTTTGAGTTGTGGTGCGACTATATTGATGAGATTAAGGCGGCGCGGAAGACGGCGATGCGGTGCCTCAAAAGTTGTAGTTTGAGATTTAAAAGAAATGCCTGGCAGAAGTGGCGCTTCGGGGAGTTCGAGGACTTCGGGCCACCGAGTCCGGTGAAGATTATCGGGCTCGGTGGGAGATTATTGAAGCAAGCCTCGGCGTCTCGTTCTGAAAATGAGGACGACGCGCGCGCCGCGTTGAAGGAGCTGTCGACGTTGAGGAGTGAGGTAGCACGACTGGCCTATACGAAAAGACAGCAACGGGAGTGGCACAACAACCATAAGGCGGCCTACCAGACTTCCGAACTCGAAACGATACCCGGCAAGGAAGTCGTGACGATAGAACGCTTGGCCGATGATAGTTCGACGCGATCACGACCCTACGAGGACGAGAACGCCCCAGAAATTGCTTATTTATTAGAAGGAGATGGACTGAGGAGAGCGGGCAAGCACGAGTTCGCGCGAGATCGGTATAATCTATGTCTAGAAGCGTTAACACGGAGAGCTAAGGATAGACCACACGGTCAAGCGGATGTGGCGGCACTAGCAAGGTGCATGCTACATATTGGAGAGACGTATTTTGAGGAGAGAGAGTTCGGGAAGTGCCTGGCGGCGGTCGATCGCGCCGCGGCGCTGGCGAAGGAATGCAACGACGCCGTGGATTTTAGTTTGAGAGGTGGCGGCGTCAACTTGGATCCCGATGAAAGTAGGATAGATGCGGCTCGGGTGCTCCTCGAGAAAGTCGAGTATCATCGCGACAAGGCGCGCGCGTCCATTAGGACCTTATCGGCGAAGATCCAGTTGGTGCAAGGCTTCGCGTTGGTCGAACAATCACAATATCAGTACGGCCAGGTGTTACTGGAGCGAGCTTTAAGTTCTTTCGAGCGCTTGGGTGACGTCCGAGCGCAGCGGGAGTGCGCGTTAGCACTGGCCGAGTGTTTCCGACGACAACACCGACCCGCAGAGATGATCGAACGGATGGAGGTCATGGCGCGAACCATAGACAATGAAGTGAAGACCAATCTAGAGGTAGGCGCGTCGAAGCTCAAAGCTCTACGAGACAGACTAGTTTCGAACAGTGCCAAGCAGGGCAAGGTCGTGCACCTCCAACGGGAGTCGGCGCGGGCGCTACGCCTAGTCCACGAGCAGGTCGGCGCGAAGAGAAGAATAAAAAGAGCAATTGAGGAGAGAAGAGAACAGGAGAAGAAGACGCAGAAGGTCGAGGAGCTCTATAAACGTATTGAGGATCAGCTCGCGGAAGCCAAGGTCACGGACAAGGACGAGATGGAATCTGTTTTAATACATGGTAGAGCGCAGATCTTCGAGATCGAAGAGCTTAAAATAAGATTAGCTGAGAGACTCATTGAAGTGCAACGAGATGTTGATGCATCAAAAAGGGAAGAAATGGCCTCGATCAACAAGGTCAAGAATTTCGAGGATGATATAAGAGAGGCTTTGAATGAACATAAGGTCGAGGCCGGGCCGCTCATGAAGAAAGTACTTGAGAGTAGTAAATTCCGGTTCATCGCGTTGTGCGCGACGAACATGAAGGGTAATGAAGTGATGGGCGGCGCTTCCGGCGGCGTCGGCATGTGCGCGACGGCGTGCGAGAAGAATATAATTGTGTTTTGGATGAAGAACGGGAAACAGCGGCGCGTGTTTACCGGTGATGATGAAGGCAGGCATCTTGGGGATCCCGAAGGTCATACAGCACTAGTAAGTGCCTTGCACTTCACGGGTTCTCGGGTTTACTCGGGGGGCATGGATTCTCGTATATTTGTCTGGGACACGTCGGAGACGTCGCTGAACCGGGCCATCACGGGCGAGCGGTGGAATCTGACGGAGGATGAGCGACGAGGCGCCATGGGTAGACCGTTGATGCTCTTAGAGGGCCATGAAGCCTCGGTCACGGCGATACAAGTAGATACGTTGAAAGTGGTGTCTGGGGGGGCGGACTGCAAGGTCATTCTTTGGAGTAGAGCAACTGGTATCAAATTAAGAATCTTGCACGGTCATCAACGAAGTGTATTATGCTTGGACATCGGGCCGACGTGGATCGTCTCCGGTGGGCAAGAATCAGAAGCTCGGATCTGGCACTTGCCGGACGAAGCGGACCCGAGTCAGGTCATGGGCAACGACAAGAAGACGAAAGTAGCCTTGGATGCACTGAAACGTAATAGAGATATAAAAACGCGGAAGAAGCTCGCTTCAGGCGATGGGTTCGAGCTCGAGGCGGGCCCGGGCCTAACCGTAGCTAAATTCGGTGCGTTGGAGCTCATTGGTGGCTTGGCCGATGGGCACGTCGTCGTCTGGTGGCTCCAGGACGGCAAGATCCTCCAGAAGGTCAAGGCCCACCAGGGCCCGGTGCACGACTTGCAATTCGACGCGACGCGAATTGTATCTGCGGGAGGCGATGGCTTAGTGGTCGTGACGGATATCACGACCGGGGAATTGATGCAACAGCTCAGAGGCCACGAGGGGCCGGTGCTAGCCCTCATGTTCGACACCGAGAAGATACTTTCAGCTGGAGTGGACAACACGCTGAGGCAGTGGCTCTGGGCCCAGGAGAGCGATCGGGGCAAAGTCAGCGACAAGTTTCATGTGTATGACGCCGGCGACACGCTCGTGAGCATAGCAAGACAGTACGGTGTCAGTCTACCGGAGGTCATCCGGTGGAACGCCATTGAAGACGTGAGGAAGGTCTTCCCCGGTACTAGGTTGATAGTACAACCCGGCAACCCCGACGAGCCGACGGGGCCGGAAAAAGCATTAGCTAAGAGGCAAGCGTCCAAGAGACGGAGGAATCAGGACGCGCTGCAACAGTCGAAAGCTTCGAAGGCCGGTGCCGCCAAGGACATGTCGATCCTCGAAAAGTTGAAAGCTAGAGAAGCCGAGAGCGACCGCATGAACTTCCGGAAGAACCCCCTCGAGACGGCGCCGGAGCCGCGGAAGTATCTCGCGGAGTTAAGGTACGTCGACAAGTCCACATTTTCTTCCAGAATTGCGAAGAAAATAGAACCCTCGGCGCTAGACATCGACGCGACGCGTGTGAGGCGGGAAAAGAGCGATCCCAATAAAATAGGCAGGTTAACGGCGCTCGGTGGTCGAGTGGCGAAGGCAATTATTGAAACGATTGACCCCTTCGGGGAGGTCGCGGAGCGGCGCAAGAAGGCCGAACAGGATAAGCTGGCCGCCCAGGAGAAGGCCGAGAAGGACGAAGCAGCTGCGGCGGCGGCGTCGCACGGCAAGTCCGAACAAACTAAATTGCTTACCTTGGAGGAGAAACGCGAGGTGGCCAATGCTACCTTTATATTGGAAGAGTTGATCTTGCCTGGGTTGTTGCAGGAGGAATGTGTGGGCATGGCTGAAACCGAAAGTCGCAAGGCCACGTGGGCCGAGTCGCTGACGGGGAGATTTGACGATTCCGTGCGGAGCGGCCCGATTGACTACGACGCGCTGGAGTTGTTGTTGCATCAGGAGCGCATGAAGGCGGCTCGTTTGCATGCCCAGGAACAACAAAAGATGGAGGCCGAGCGGAAGACTGGTAGTGGGGCGGCTCTCGTCGAAGGGTTCTCGATTGCGAACATCGCTTTGTCGGCGCAGCGCGGGGCGGCGGCTGCGGACTCTCATGCTAGGCAGGAGGAGAAGGACGAGCGCTACTCGCACGCCGATAGCCAGGACGAGATCGACACGCTATTGTCGAGCGACTGGGGGGCCGCGTACTAAGTGTGTTGTTAAGCAGAGGAGGATTGTTGAGCTAGCTGCGCCTTGAGGGCCTCGAGCTCTCTACGAGCAGCGTCTCGCTCGAGGCGCAGCCGCTCCTTCTCGTCGTCGAGCTGCGGCCGCGACTGCGTCGCGGGGGGCGTGATGACCGTGGATGGGGGTTCGGCGGGCTTCGGGGCCTCGGAGTGCGCGATCTCCTCTGTTGATGCCGGCGGCGCCGTGAGGACCGCATCCACATAACCGCCGCCCGCGGGGGGCGGCGCCGGCGCGCGCCGCACGTCGGCCGGCGAGACGCCCGACTCGCTCTCGCCGTCGTCGTAGGCAATTTCATAGCTCCCGGAGTCCAACGACGCAATTCTGCCGGGGTACCAGTGTCCCGCGCCTTCAAAATTCGCCTCGACGACGTCGCCGACGGCGAACGTTTCAGTGGAGGAGGGCGCCGCCGCGTTTGATGGAGGCGGCGGCGACCCGGCGAGCGCCGCGAGGAGCTCGGCCGCGCCCTCGTCGTGCGGCGACCGCGCGACGGCGGGCCGCTGCTGCGTGAGGCCCACCAGCAAGTCCACAGCCTCCTCGTCGGCCTCCTCTTCACCGTCGTCCTCCTCTCCATCATCAAAGGACGCCGTGTTGTCGAAGGATTGTGTCGGCGACGGCAGCCAGTCGCCGCCCCGGCGCTTGCGCTTCTTGGGCTTGTAGTTGGCGTTCATCGCCGCCTTGCGCGCGACCCAGGCCGCGACGCGCGAGGTCAGGTCGGCCTTGTCCGCCTCCTTGAGCTCGGCGAAGCCCTCCATGTCCTCCACAGTGTCGATCGTCTTCGTCTTTTTGGAAGCGCGCTCAAAGCTCTTGAAAATACAAGCGGGGTGGTACCAGTGGACCCGTCTAGCTGGTACATCTTTTCTCGCCCTAGGTGGTATTTTACCAACGCGTAATTCACCATCGTTGAACGACCGCTTGCACCGCAGCCGCTTACACTTCGACCGGATCTGTCTCTCGTAGTCCACGCAGAACTTGTTCGGCCCCAACCTTCCACTCAACATGCCACCACATCTACCGTAGTCGTCCTGGGTCTGGTTCGGGCCGCCCGCGTCCAACGCGGCGCACAATTCTTCCCCTCTCATGTCCGCCTTGTCCGTCATGAGTAATTGTTTGACCTTGACCGCACTCAACTTCACGGGCACGGGGCCCGTCTTCTTGGAGCCGGGCGGCGGCGGCGCGAGCGCTTGGGCCGCTTGGAGGACGTCCCTGAGACCACCACTCTTCGACGAGGAGGGCTCGTAGCCCAGATCGGCGCGCCGTTTCGTCGGCGGCGCGGCGCGCAGCCCGCCCGGCCGCTTGCGCTTTTGTACGGAACGGTGCTCCCAGGCGGGGCCCGGCGCCGAATGGGCCGTGGGCGGCGCCGTGGGCCGTTTGCCATAGGTCTTGGCGTAGGGGTTCTCCTCGAGTTCCTGGGGGCACTTCTTGCAGTTCTTCGTCGAGCGGCCGGTGTCGTCGCGGAACATGGCGGGATGGGCGCGCTCAACCCCACACGCCGGGCAGCGCTTCATGGACCGCACCTCCCTCGCCTCGAAGGCGTCCCTCACTCTGCGGGGACATTTATCGGGGGCGGCGATGAGTCGCGAGACGTCGGAGGAGGTAATGGCACCGGGAAATGCCTTCGCGGCGGCTTTTCTCGAACTAAACCTCCGCCAGGGCCCGCCGACCCTTCTCAATTCACACGCTTTCCGCGAGTCCTTCTCGTCCTCCTCATCCGAAGATTCGGCGAACAGATCCAACATGTTGTGCAACGGCGCGCCGTCCGAGCCCTTTTCCGGCGACCGGTACAAGCCCGTGCGGCCGGCGTCCGGACTTTCGGGCTGCTGGTTCGACCGGAGGATGTGTTGCGAGGGCTGGGGCGCCGGCTTCGGCGCGCTGGGGTCGTCGAGGTCGAAGTCGTAGTCCTTGTGTCTTAAGTGCTTCCGCGACGTCGAGTGGTCGTGCTGCGTGCCCCATCCACTATAATGGACCTCGTAGGTGTCTCGGATCACGCTCACGATCTTCGCCGGGTACCAGACTCCCCGCCACAAACTGTAGCAGTCGTCGCCCCGCTTCGGCACCCACAAGCTCTCGTCCGTCTCGTTGATCTTCTCGGTGGGCGGCGACGGCTTCCGTTGGATTTTGCGCGGCGCTTGCGACTTCGGCGCGCCGTCGACGATGGATCGAATGAAGGCTTTGTTCGTGTCAGACAGCGCGTCCCAGCCGTGGTCGATATCTTCGACTTTCTCTACTACTCTGCTTTTGGCGGAGCACGCGAGAAAGGCCTTCATGGCGCACTCCGGGTGGTACCACGTGACCTTGGGGTTGTGGCCGTGGCGCAGCGACCTGTGTGTTACGGCGCGTTCGTACTGAATCGTCTTGCTCGATGGCGTGGCGATGCCGGTTCATCACCACTTCGTAAAGAATTGATTTCCACACAGGTCGCGACGGCGGCCGCTTCCCTAAACGTAATTCTCCTATTTTGAGAGGCTCCTTGCACGTCCGCAGTTGACACCTCGCGCGCCCGTCGACGGCGACCTCCACCAAGAACTTGTTCTCTCCAACACTACCGGCGCACTTCCCGCCCAGGCTCCCGAGCTGGCGCTGCCGCGCCAAAAACGCCTCGGGCTTCGTGGGCTCCTTCTTCGGCCGGTCTTCCGGCTCGAAGTTGGCCTTCGGGGGCGGGGGCTCGCTCGCGGGCGGTCCGGCGGCCGCCGCGGTCGACTGGCGCGTCTCGGCGCGCATCATCGGCGGCGCGCGCCTTTCGGCTGCCCGGCGCGCGGCGCGGGGGCGCGGCGCGGGCCGGGGCTTTTTTGGGGCCTTCTGTAGGCTGCGGGGCGCCCGTCTAAGGTGGCGGGGGGCTGCCGGCGGGCGTCCGCGGACTTGCGCGAGAGGCTATATTGGAGCCTCGTCGCAGGTGGACAGAGGAGGGGGGTGCGTAGCGATGGTCTTGGTTTGAGCTTTGTTTCTGGGGGGCCTTTAGGGCTGGGACGGGCTGCGCCGGAGGCCTCTTATAGCATGTGAGTTTGGGGTGTTTTGTGGCTGGGCGTTCGAATGGGAACCGGCGACGCGTCTTTGCGGGGGCCGTGGGACGCGTGCGGTGCGCTTGCCGCCGTTTTTGAGAGGGCTGCCGGCGCGGCGTCTTACGAAGAGGCGCATGCCAACTTTTGTGTTAGGGCATTGGCACGGCTTCGTTGACGGCCGCACGAATTGCCGCAGCGCAAGAGCCAGGGAACGATGCCAGCACCTCGAAGGATACGACGTGCCATCGTCGTTTTCGCCGCAGCGAGCGCGCTTTCACCGGGCGCCAAACAGCTGGCTCAGAGCAGGAGGCCAAACTTTCGCCGCGCGCGGGGCGTAGAGCCCGGCGCCGCCGCCGCGCCGTTTAGACCCCGCCGCAGCGTCGCCTGCCGCGCCGGCAACGACGACGACGCCCCCCAACCCGCGTTCGGCGCGGAAAGAAGGAGACGGCGACCGGCGCTGTCGAACCTGGCCAGTGTACAAAGGGGCGTGGACGAGAAGCCGCCCTTAGATGACGACCGACCACCGACAGGAGCCGTGCTCGAATCCCTGGTGGCGGGAGAGAGGGAACTCTACGAGTCGACCCATGAAAGAATAGGCGCGGGACTGAAGGATTTGACGAACTGGGCGGGCTTCATGTTCCGAGCCAACGCCATGGGCCTCACGGAGCAGGTCGATTTGTCCAAGTCCGTGAAAGATAGGATACGGCACGCGGTAAGCGTGGCGAAGGGCGAAGCCCCCGCGATCATTGAGAAGGACGATTCTGACATCGAGGACGACTGGGCCGACATCCACGCTGATTCTCTTGGTGTAGAAGAGGACGATGACGAGCTGGAACCGTATGAGAGGCGAGAAATGAGAGAAGACGACGACCTCGACATGGTCAAAGTGGATTTGGTTGCGGACGACGTCACGGCGGAGGAGTGGGCCGATATCCAGGAGGCGGCCTTCGAGGTGGACACGGCGGTGATCGACGATACGGTCATGAAGGGCAAGTGGACGATCAAAAATGGGAAACCTACGTTCAAGCCCTGGCGCTTCTGGCCCGCGAAGACGGCCGAGGAGCAGTTCGCCGAGGCGGAGGCCATGGACCGCGTCTTGTCCGCGTTGCGGGGCGAGGACCCGGACGAGATCGAGTAAGTGTTAAGTACATCCATATCGTTTCTTTTTCGTCGCGTGGCGTCTGCTATCGTGAGTGCTGGGCGACGGGCGCGTCGACGTCGTCTCGATCTAGTGCGCGCTGTTTGCGTCGCGGCGGCCGCGCGCCGCATGCCGGAAAAAACGACCGTGCCTTGCCTCCACCCGTCCTCCCCTCGGCCCACGCGTCGTCTGCGTCGTCGTCACGGGTGATCACGGGTGAGGTGCGACGGCCATCGGTCATCCACATCTCGCGTCGAGGCAGGCTAGGCTGCGGGAGCGCGCCGTCAAAACGCGCTAATAGCTCGCGGCTGCTGTGCTGCGCAGTCGTACGCGCTGTACGATTCATACTGCGCGAGCGCCGCGCGAGCCGCGGCTGCTGTGGATCGTCATCGCCCTCTACAACCCAGCCTTCTATTTTGCAATTGCGCAGCGATGTCGACCATGATCGACGCCGACGCGGCGAGGCGCGAAGGCTTCGTGCCCCTCGGCGCCTCGCGGAAGGGCTCCAGCTTCCGGGGCGGCCGCGCGGCCGCGAACGACACGGCCGCCGAGATCGGGAGCCTCGGCAAGGGTCATTTCCTCCAGGAGCAGATCGTCAAGGGCCCGGCGGCGTCGTTACCAAGACGGAAATCATTAGATGAGCGCAACGAGGCGAAGGATCAAGCGCTCTACTACTCGTTAAGGGACCGGATCCCGAGCGATTTAGCCATGACGCCGGGCGCCGGCGGCCAGGCGTTGCGGCGGGTCATGCTCCACGGCGCGACGGTCGTTTTTGTGACGCCGGGCTACGAGGGCAAGCGCTTCGTCTTTGAAAGGGCGAAGGATTTAGGAGTGCGAAGCGTCGTCATCGACGCGCCGGGGTCCTGGGCCGAGCGCATGGTTGGCGAGCGGGTCATCGCGAAGTTTATACCGTTGGATTTGAATCGCGACTCGACGTCCGTATTAAATGACTGCGCGGCGGCCATAAGGGCACTAGGGCGCGAGGAGGGCTTCTCGATGCCGGCGGGCGTCTGCACGTTCTGCGAGCTCAGCGTGCCTTTGGTCGCGCGCCTCGCCGAGACGCTGGGCCTGCCGGGGCCGTCGTCGGCGGCCGTCGACACGGCCCGGGACAAGCACTCGACGCGCGCGGCGATGAAAGCGGCTGGCTTACCGTCGCCGAGTTGCTACCGGGTGAACGACGAAACTGATCTCAAACAAGCGGCTTCTGTGGTCGGCTTCCCCGCGGTGCTCAAGCCGCTGAACGGCGCGGCGTCGTTAGGTGTCAAGAAGGTCGACTCTGAAGCTGAACTACAAAGGTGCTACGCGGATGTACTGGCGGAGATGCGCGCCACGGTCGTCTCGTCGGGTGCACTCGTGAAGAAGGACCCGACGGCGCCATCGGATCCCAATGGAGAGGACCCGTCGTTCCTGCTCGAGGAGTATTTGGACGGGCCGGAGGTCGACGTGGACGTGGTCATGGGTTTAGGCGAGGCGAGGTATGCCAAAGTGGTAGACAACGGGCCGACGGCGGAGCCGTACTTTGCCGAGACGTGGGGCGTGTGTCCGTCTTTATTACCAGCCGAGGGGCAAGCATCGCTACAAAAACTCGCCATTGACTCATTAAAGTGCTGCGGCTTCGACTGTGGGGTGTTTCATGTGGAGTGCAAACTTACGAGTAGAGGTCCGCGATTGATAGAAATCAACGCGCGCATGGGCGGCGGGCAGGTGCGCAAAACACATTTACTGGCTTCTGGCGTGGATCTGGTCGAGGAGACGTTATTCACGGCCGTGGGCATCCCCTGCAACCCCCACGTCTCGATCGAGAACACGGCCGTCGCGTATACTTATGTCACGAACCAGAAGTCGGGCGTGGTGGATGGGCTGGCGAGTGCGGCGAAGCGGGTCGCGGAGACCGATAAAAGTGTGGCGTACTGCAAGCCCCTCGTCAAGGACGGGGCGGCGATCGTGGGCTCGGACGACGCTTTACCGGATTGGTTATTAGACGTCATGGTGACGGACAGCGATGCGAAACGGGCGCTGGACCACGTGCTGTCCGTGGCGACGGCGCTCGACGTGCCGCGGTTCGTGCGCTGAGCGATGCCTCATTTGGGGGTGTGCACATATTCCCAACATCAGTGTATAAGTAGTATCTCTTTATGACTCGGTCTTACGCGGCCGCGTACTATTCGGCGTGCGAGAGTTTCTCCCGCGCGGCGTCGAGGTGCTCTTGGGCCTTTTGAGAGGTGGGGTAGTCGGGGCCGAGAACCCTATTTGATATTGCGCTGACGTCCTCCAAGATTTCCACGGCTCGGCGCACGTCGTCCAAGGAAGCTTCCTCGTCCAAGCAGAGAGCCGTCGCCTGACTCCTGCGGAGAACCATCGTAGTGGCGTTCTCGGGCCCAAGGAAGCGTCCGACCTTGTCCAAAAGAGAATTCTCTTGTATGAATTGCGTGCATCCGGCATAATCTTGAGCATCTAAGAGTGCGAGAGACAAACTAGTTGCGGCTATCAAAGTCAATTCATCCTCGGATCCGAACTCGCTTTGGCTCGCAACGAAATTAGCTCGCATCCGCGCAATGCATTCTTGGACCCTCCCTAGTTTCCTTAGGCAATTCGCAATATTGGCTTCCAGAGTCAACTGCCCCATTTCCGGGTATCGCGCAGTACTCCACGGTGAGGGCGCGCGGGCCGTTCGGCTTCGATCTGCGAAAAGCGTTCTGGCCGTACTGGTTGCACGTGCTGACGCGGCACCGGTGGAGGCGGTCCCGGGCGGCGGCGATGGCGTTTAGTTTGTATCCTTTGTAGTCCAGATATAACCTAGCGCTTTTGTAAGGCACTAGCAAGCCAGCCAGGCTTGAGCTGCCTCTTGTACTCTTGCGCAGCGACAGACGCAAGGAGCGGGCGCAGGAGGGAGGACAGTGATCGGTCGCAGCGGTGCGAGTGCGAAATCGCATCCATTCGAGTCATGCTGCACCGTGCAACACTTTGGCTGCTGACATGCACAGCAGCAGCAGCAGCGCTGACGCCGCTGCAGGACGCACGCCTCCGTAGCGGTTGCGAGGCGCGCAATGCTTTTGCCGCAGAGATAGCACGTCCCAAACCTGACGACCTCGCAATCGCTATAGCAATCGCGGCCGAAGAGAAGCCAGACGAGCCGCTCTCCGCTTGTGAAAAACGAGTCACCGAGGCGCTGGACGAGCTGGCTGCCCGAGCGACGACGCGCGCACGCCTTGAGCTGATGCTCGGGGACCGCAGCGGTGCGGCGGTCGTGGCGCGCGCTGTCGGTGCTGCGATGTTCGGCGATCAGGGCCTGCCCGAGGAGAACAATACAAAAATTGAATTCTTCGCGGGAGACGTCGACGACTACTACAATCCAGCCAACTCGCTCATCGACGAAGTCATTCGGAGACGCCGAGGCATCCCGATCACGATGAGCTTGGTTTTTGCGAGAGCTTGTGCCGCCGCGGGCACACCGTTCTCTCTGCTCAACACGCCGATGCATGTTCTAGTAGCTCCGGACGACACTTCCGAGACCTTTGTGGTGGACGCGTTCGGGGGCGGAAACGTGCTTGAGAACGCGCGGTCGCAGCTGACCGATGTTTCCCCTCTCGAGGGTCTCTCGCTGGCAGCGCGGATGCTGAGGAATCTGCGGATGATTTATGAGAAAGGAGAGGACCCAGCCCGACTCCTAGGTGTCGTGGAACGCACGCTCTTGGTGGCCGAGCAAGACGTGGAGATCTGTGTGGAAATCAAATTTACGGCGCGCGTTCGTCCTGAATCGCCGCGTCGACCTCCACGCCATCGACGCGACGCCTGCTCGATAGCGTGGCGGTGTCGGTTCCTCACCGCTCGACGGAGCCAGCGCGGCCACGTCGTCGCCGAGAAATGACTAGACTAGTGAAGAATTTTCGGGTGCACCCGACGCACTGGTTGATTTCCACAGATCGAGATGAAGGCAGTGCCCGAACGGGAAAGAGCTCACTGCCGGGCGACGGTGGGCGTTTGTTTGCTGGCCCTGCGCGACGACGACCGGAGGGACGAATGCCTCGGATTGCTTCGCGCGGCGAAGCAGGAGTTCGGGGAAGGAGGGAAGTTCTTTCGGATGCTGTTGGCGGACCCGTTCCTGAACTAGATAAGACTTGTGTTATGTGTACTCCTCCTCGATGCGTTTTTCCTCCGCGTCGGCGAGCGCGCGCAGGCTCGCCACGACCGCGAGCGCGGCCGCTTTTTCAGCGGCGCGGTCGCCGGCCGCCGCGGGCGGCGGCGCCGATGGCGATGATGGCGCGCAGCTGCCGCTCGTGTGCGAGTCCATGGCGTGGTTCGCGAGTGCGTCCGCCACAGCGTTTTGGGCACGCGGCACGTTGCGCGCGGTCCAGTCGATATTTGTGAGTGCGGCCCGCACGCGGTCCCGCAGCGCGATCAGGTGCTTCTCGCGGCACTGCCAGTCGCCCTTCACCTGACTTATCACCAGCTTCGAGTCACCCAAAATAGAGACGCGGTCGACCTTGAACCGCCGCAGCGCCTCGCAGCCGAACAGGAACGCGCTGTATTCCGCGACGTTATTCGTCGTGGCCGGGTCCGGCACGTCGCACCATCCCGCCCACACGGTGGCGCCGTCCTTGTAGAGCACGGCGCCGAGGCCCGCGGGTCCCGGGTTGCCTCGACACCCGCCGTCAAATCGTAGTTCATACGCGTATGCCGCGTCCACAGGTGCAGCACCTGCGTTTACGAGATCGCGCGTCTCGTCCGGCAGACTCACGTCGCATTCACCGATGCTGGCGGCCCTGAGCTTTGGCCGTCGCAGCGATGGCGTATGGTGGAAGCCATGGATGTTTGCAGCTGTTATGAGCAGTGCGGCCCGCCGATACGACATCGTCGCGGAGTTATCGATCAGAAACTGCGCGCTGCACCTGCTTGTTTCCTTGTCTCGCAGCGCAAGGAATTCAATGAAAATGAGGGAAACGCCTTGCACGATGTCGGTCTACTGTTGTTGATGCTGGCGCGTCGTAACGTTGCGCCGTAATGCCAAACGCGTCGGCTGTGCAGCAGCTGGAGCTAGCGCCGGTAAGACACTAGCAAGCAAGGCGCGTGCCTGGCGATGAGTCAGTTCGGCAATGAGCCAGTTTGAGGAGATCCCGTCCCCGGGGCGCGGCTTCCAGGGCTCCCGCGCTTTAGGTGGGCTAGCGGCCTGTAAGACACTAGGGATGCCTAGCAAGCAAGGCGCACAACACGCACGAGCATAGGAGCCGCGTTGGCGCAGGCCAGACAGCGCGCACATTTCGTATTAATCGCCAGCATGCAGTGGTGTCAGTGGTGGCGCGCCTCTGCACTGATTTGGGCTGTAGCAGCAGCTGGCCCACTGCAACCATTGCAGCGCTTGCGTCGCATCGATGCAACTGGGCGGCTACGCGACGGTAGCCGTCAAGTAATTGCCGTACAAAAGCTGCGCGGCGGGTTTGGCGGCGGTCTGTTCGAGTCGTACACGAATTTGCTCGCGAGAGCGCCTCTCCGCACGAATATGGTTACAGCCGCCTGCCTCGCCATGACGTCGGATGCAGTAGCGCAGCGGTTGTGCGTGGACACGGAAGCGAAGCTCGATGAGTGTGCAGTGTACGATTACCCGCGGACGGCCTGGATCGCCCTGTGGGGCTCCGTCGTGAGCGGCGCCATGCTCCAGCAGTGGTTTGTGCTGCTCCGGTGGCTGTTCCCGCTCTACAAGACGAGCAACTGGCAGCTGGCGGGAAAAGTGTTCGTCAATCAGCTTGTTATGTCACCGGGTCTTAACGCGGGCTTCTTCGCATTCGTGATCCTCACCCGTGATCCTCCAGTATTGCGCTTCAACGCCGAGAAGCGACGCGAGTACGGCCGGAAGATACGGGCCGATTTACCAGCGACTTGCCTCCGCTCTTGCGTCTACTGGAGTATCGTCCAAACGTTTAATTTCCGGCTCCTGCCGCCAAAGTACACCGTGATCGCGACGAGCGCCGCCTACTTGGTGTGGACCGTCTACCTGTCGCTCGTCGCGAACATCAGGCGGGGCTAGTTGTTGTTTAAGTCATTAACTCTTACTCTCAGCCGCTGGTGGAGGCTTCTTCTTCTTCGCGACCGGAACCCATCGCTTCTTCTCGCGCCGCGGCCGCCCCGGCCCCTCGCGCTGCAAATACGCGTCCATGTCCTCGCCCGCGGCGACGGCGTCGACGAGGCGCCGCTCCTTGCGCCCGCCCGCGTGGCCGCACGCGTGGCGCACGAGCGCGTGCCAGAGGGGCCGGCCCCAGTTCGGCGGCGCCACGACGTCCCAGCCGCCCGCGCCGTGGGCCGCGGGCCGGGGCACGACGAGGCACGGCGCGCGCAGCGGCGCCGGCCGATCGTCGGCGTGGCGCGCACTATTAATTTTGTCGTCGGTGCGCGCCGCGACGGCGGCGGACGACGCGCGCCGAGCTTCCTGGGAGAAGATGGCCTCGCTCGGCGTCGGCGCCTCGTCGACGCGCTCGCGCGGGTCCGGCACGTCCAGGGCCATCGCCGCGTCGGACGGCGCCGCGCCGATCAACGCGGCGACGACGTCGCGCGCCTTGCAGCCGCGGACCTCGAAGCGCACGAGGCCGCCCGGGACTTGGGATCCCTCCGCGCCGACGGCCCATTCACGGGGAGCGACCTCGACCGTCCGCTCCGCCGTCGCGTCGAAGACGAGGGCCGCGGTTCTTAAACTTCGCAGCGCCGCCTTGAGGCCCCGGTCGCGCCGGTAATCGGGCCGCCGCCAGCCGCCCTCGTCGACCATGGCGAAGCGCTTCGCGTGCCAGACGTGCGTCTCGAGGAAGCGCAATGTGACATCTGCTGCATGCGGGTCGTGCGCTTTGAGCAATTCTGAGGGCTTGCGCCGCGCGCGCCGCGTCGGGTTGGGATTGTTCGGGTTCTTCTTCGCGAGGAACGGCGCCGTGTGGCTCCGCGCCCGGCGTCTCAAGTGGCGCGGCGCATCTCTCTGATTCTTGTCCAGTTCCTCGTCGAGGGCCTCGAGCTCGGGCAGGCGCGCCTTCGCGAAGTCGACGACGTTGACGGCTAATTGCTGCGCTGCCATCGTGCCGGTGTGCAGTGCGGCGTGCAGCAGCGTACGTCACTTCTACGAGCGCATGCGTCGACAGGGTTGTTGTAGCAGTCAAATGCGCACAATGCGCCCTTAATCTGAGCGGTATGCAAGGTGTACGGCCCGCGCGACGCTCAGCCAGGCGTGCTTGCTAGTGTCTTACAGTACGCTAGCATCGCTTTTGCGGCGCGGCTAAAAATCCCTGCCTGATTGCTCCACCAGGCATTGCAGCACGCTCTCAAGACGTGCTCGTACTGGAGCAACCCGCTTTCGAGGAGCTGTTCGCACCGCCACGCCGGAAAAAGCCAAAGCTGCGATGGGCTGCTCGAGCAGCACGCCATCGGCGCGGCTCCTTGTGATCCTAACTTGCGCCGCAAGGACTGCCGCGACCACCGTCAGCGTCACGCAAGACGTGTGGCGAGAGAGCGCCGCCAGCGCCCAAGCTGCCGCGAAGCCGGACTGGGCCGCCGCCGACCGTCAATGCATAGCGACGATCGCTTCCGCGAAACCGCCCTACCTGTCGTATGACGGACGGGACACGACGGAGCCGAAGCTGTGCCGCGTGGACCACGGCGGTCCCGTCGACGCCGACAAGACGACGGTCTTGATGTTCGTGAACGCGCCACAGTACTTGGAGCAACGGGGCAACTGGGAGGCCTTCCTCAACAAGGCGTCGTATTGTAGGAGGACGCGGCGCCGGTTCTACATCTGGATCGGCGTGCCCCCTTCAAATGTCCTGAACGCGCGCGTCGACGCGCCGTGGGCGCGGTGCCGGGACAAGACCCGTGGGCTAGAGAACACGTTGAACGGCGTGAAGAACCTGGCCTTTCTGGCTTTATTCGACGACCCGTCCATCGATAAAGTTATGTATATGGACACAGACATGTGGGTCTCCTCGGAAGAGATAGAACCGGAGGCGTACTTCGCGCTGACGGACGCGGACCTGCTGGGCAACCAGAACCGCGTCGGCGGTCCCAAGATCCCGATGAACGGGGGCCTCGTCTTCGCGCGGAAATCGGAATTCACCCAACAGTTCTTCGCGCTCTGGTGGCGGGGCCGCTGCGGCGCGCACGACCAGCTGCCGCTCTGGGCGACGTTGTTTGCCGCGTGGTCGGCGGCGACGGACGGCGCCTACAGCTTCAACGACGAGCATTTCAAGAAGTACAGTCACGCGCACCTCGAGGCCGTCTCATTACTACAAAGGGACGCCATGTACATCCGCCAGAAAGCCAATATGGAGGGCCCGTACGACGGGGGCAACTTCTCGGCGACGGGTTTGCTGGATGTGCCTCTGGCATTGCCCCACGTCCTGCTACTCCCCTCGGCGCCCGTCGGGTCGCTGCCCGCGGTGCGGTCGGACCCCGTCCGCTCGCGGCCGACCTTCGTCTGCCACACGCGCATCGACAAGGACGAGTACGGCCAGTGCGTCGGCGCGGACGTCTGTGCTGCGGGGAGGTGCGCGCCCTTCCTCGCGCTGACTTCGAAGTCGTCGTTTGCGATGGGGCGGTTCGTATTGCTGGGCTTCTTCGTGGCGCTGAACGCGGCCGTGCTGTCGCGGCGGCCGGCGCTGCGGCGGCGGCTCGCGGAGCGGGTGTTGGCGCTTTTTTCTGGGGGGAGGTGATACTAACAAGTTGTTTTCTTACGATGTTATTCAGCATTAAGCCGGGCTGTCCAGTTCTTGGTCATATTCTCTGTCGTCCTTCTCGATGGCGTACCAGCCCACATGGGCCCAGTAGTCCACGATCTTCGGGATGACGTCGGTGGGGAGGCGGTTGCCGCGGTTCAATATGTTCGCGAGCGTGGAGCGATGCAGGCGCTCGTACGCGCGGACGCCGCCAGCGTCAAGTACCGCTTTAAGGTAGTCACTCCTGTCTGCGTATCGTTCCTTAATCGTCGCTCCCGCGCGGACGAGCAAGGGCACCATGCGGTTCCGTCGCACCCTCGGCCTGGGACGGGGCGAGCCTCGTACGATAACCTCTGCTTCAAACTCGTATCGTTTCATGGCCTGGTCGAGGGCGGTTGGAAAAGCAGCAAACGGCCCATACTGGGCTTCGGCATTGATGTCAGCAGAAGCGCCAGCAGCGAGGAGCACTTCGACCACTTCGGCCGTGCCGAAACCCACCGCCCAGTGGAGCGCGGTCGGCGTGTCCATAAATTCACCAGTTGGTACTCCCGCGTTCATCATTCTTAAACGCCAGGACGCATTCACATTCGCGCCGGCAGCAAGCAAGGCGCGGATCGACGCGACGTGTCCGCTAGCCGCAGCCATAGTAAGCGGGGTTCGATAATAATCGTTGCGTGCGTTCACGTCCGCGTCATTTAACGCAAGCAGCTCGACACAGCGAACGTGGCCGTTGCTCGCCGCGTAATGCAACACAGTATCCCCATCCTCGTCAGCCAATCTCGGGTCTTTTCCGTCGTTTAGCGCACGACACAAAGCCGCGAGATCGCCGCGCAGGGCCGCGGCCTTTAGGTCAGCGTCCATATGTCCAGCCCAAGGCTCCAAGCTGTAGAGAGTCAGTCTAGAGACCGCCGAACAATACAGTTCCGTCTCAGCCGCGACCGCAGGCCGTCGCAGGCGTCTAAAACTTAGAGCTTGCGATGACTGTTGGCGTCGTGGCGCTTGCTACGGCGGCGCTGAGCAGAGGAGGCGGAGGCTGCTCTCCCGCATCCCTAGTGTCTTACCGGCCGCTAGCCGGAAACTCTTTTTCCGCAGACGCCTGCCTCTCTGGTGTTCTTTTCTATACGGCTCTAAGGACAGGGATGGCTCTCAAGTGCAAGGTTTAGGCCCAACCAAAGCTTATGCCCATCTCTTTCCTCACGCCGCGCGGTACGCGAGGATGCGACAGGACAGGTCGGTACTCGATTTCTATTGACAATAGTCGATACGCATCGAAGCATAGCGCTGAGAGAGCGAGGAGTACTAGATCTCTCAGGAGGCTGGCTATCCAGGTTAGCTAAAGCACGCGCGCGGGAGGGCGCCAAGGCGCAAGTCGGCTAGAAAACAGCCATGGGCGCCGCCGCCTCGTCCAAGAAAAAGGTCGAGACGACGCCCCTCGTCCAGACGGCCGAGCGCGTCTGGACCTCGGCCCACGAAACCGCCGAGCGCGCGAACGACGCGCTTTTCGCGTTCATATTGTGGCATACATTGAAGGGTGTCGGCGGGGGCGTATTTTTCAGTTGTCTGCCGCTCTACGTCACGAAGCTCGCCGGAGATGACCCCGTGCGGGCGGCGGTCTTCGCGCTCTATGCCATCGACGTGACGTTGTCCCTGTCACTGCTCGATGGCGTGGAGGTATTTGAGGCCCTCACTGCTTGATTATCACACAGGTCCTATTTCTTTAATTTCCTGGGAATTGCCGCGTCGATGCCCGTTCTGGCATACTTTTTGCTTTGGCGCTTCGACCTATCCAAACGTCTTTACTTTGAGCTGCACGCCGTCGCCGTGGCGACGCTCGCGGTCGGCTTCGTCCTGTACTGGTTCTGGCTGCGAAAGGCAGTGGGGCCGGCGAAGTGCCTCGCCATTGGATTAATCATACATGCGGTCGGTTTCTTGGGCATCGGCGCCGCGTATGATGTAGGACTACTCTTCGCAGCCACGGCCGTTCTATTCATAGCCGCGCCCGCAAACCTCCAGTACCTGTACATCAACGGCGTCGTCCCGCCCGAGAAACAGGGTCGCCTCTCGGGCGGCATCCAGATTGTGGGCGCCGTCGCCGCGGCTTTGGGTCTGGGCCTCGGCTATTCGCTCTGGCTCGGCCTGAAGACGTCGGCCGAGCGCGGTACGCGACGTACCAAGCGCGATTTCTCGGCCGCGGCGCCCTTCTTCGCCGCCGCCGTGGCGCTGGTTCTTGCGTCGCTCTCGCTCTACTCCGCCGTGAGCCGCGAGCGCGTCGAGCGCGAGGGCTCGAAGAAAAAAGAGTACGACTCCGTCGCGGACGAGTGGGTCCACCAGCGCGTGACGGAGTCGGAGTCGGACGACGACTCCGTCGAGGCTCTCACGGTGAGGACTCCGCTGCAATAAGTACACGACAACAAAAATTAAGACATCTCCCGCGCCACCGCCGCGGCCCCCGCCCGCCGCGACGCGCTCACCGGCAACCCGTAGCGCTGGTCGAGCAGCGCGCGCTTCGCAAACACGTAGACCGCCGAGAACGGCCCGTAGAACACGGTGTAGAAGATTGGCGCGTCTAGGCGCCTCAAATTCCAGCCGGCCTTTTCGAACAGCGACATGACCGGCACGAAGATGAGCGAACACAGGATGGCTAGTAAAGGATACATGGGCGCGACGTAGGCACAGGCCTTCCCCAACTCCTTGCCAAACGTTTTGACCTCGACGTCGACCGTCCTCCGGACATCCACATAAAGGACCGCGACGAACGCGGCCGCGGCGACGACGGCGCGCGGCACGTACACGTGCGCGAACGCCATGCCGCCCTGGACGTAGCACAGTATCGTACAAACGGCGAACGCTCGCAGGAACGCGCTTTTGTCCACGTCGCCCTTCGTAAGCGTCGGTACGCCGCAAAGACACGGCCGCCTTGTGATTTTGGCCGTGCCGTAGGCCCCCGCCGCGAGGACGGCGCCCTCCACGATGGCCACGACTGCATTGGACGCGAGGAGGCCGCCCAGCGCCGGCACGTGGTCGCCCACGAAGTTCACTATGAGTAAGGCACAGCCCAACGCAGCACAGAGCGCCTTCGTCGACGCGTCTCGCCGCGCGAACAGCACGAGGCGCCGGCCCGGCTTCTCCGAGAGCCACTCGCTGACCACGAACGTGAGGACGACGGCGTTGACGACTTCTCTTAGCATGGTTTTGATATGTGCGGGAGGCTGCCTGAGAGCCCACAGGCTAACCTGGTCTGTACGGCACCGGACGGCAAAATCGCTGGACGTCTGCGAGCAGGGGTCCAGTCCTTTGCTCCACGCAGTCCAACAGGCTCTGGGCGTGCCGTGGTGGCGTGGTAGACGCTCGGGCACCGGATCGAGCTAGCGGCAGTAAGACACTAGCGAACTGCGGGTCCAAATTGGCCGCGGTCAGTTCAGGCCCAGAACGCGGGCCGCAGTTCGTGGTGAACAAGCAGGTAGCGTAGCAGTGCTGCGACAGCCGCTGTGCATACGCTGCTGCGCGCGCCGCGGTCTCAAATCTCTCCGAGGACCGGTTCCGCGCGCTGCCTAGAAAGCGGCTCTCGCACGCCGTAGGACGCGGTCTCAATTACTCCACAGAGACCGATCTGCGCGCGCGGCGCTAGAAAAGCGCTGCAGCCTCCCGCAAAGCGCGCAAACAAAAGATGGCCGACCGCGACGACGCCATGGACGTCGGCGCCATTGAGGACGACGCCTTGAATGACGACGACGAGCAGGACGAGAACGGCGACGAGGTCGAGGAGGGCTACAAGATGGCCAAGGTGTCGGGCTGTGTGGAAATCAACCAGTGCGTCCCGACAATTCTTCACTAAGTCATTTCTCGGCAATGACGCCTCCGTCCTGGCTCGGTCGAGCGGTGAGGAACCGGCATCGCCACGCCATCGAGCAGGCGTCGCGTCGATGGCGTGCAGGTAGACGCGAAGATTCAGCACGAACGTAAAATTTTGATTTCCACACAGGTGAGCGGCTACCTCCACTTCAGCAACGAGCACCGCCCCGAAGTCACCACAAGAGTAAATGCGATGGAGGGTTTGGCGCCGCGCGAGCGGTCCCAGAAGATCATTGCGGAATTAGGCAAGATGTGGAAGGCCCTATCCCAGCAAGATAGAGATGATTGGAAGGAGCGCGCGCCCGTCGTCAAGCGCAAAATCAAGGCCAAGAAACCGAGTAAGAAGCGCGCGAAGAAGACCGATGATGATGCACCGGCGCAGAGATCTTCACCAGTACCGTACATCGGCCCCGAGACGCTCGTCGGGCCCTACCCCATCGACGAGGAAGCCCTGCGCAAGCTCAAACGCTTACATGACGACGGCATCATCGACGACGACGAATTTAGGCAGGGCAAGGCGAAAGCCTTGGGTATAACCCCCAACAACGGCCCGCCGACGCCAAATGAACAAGTTGGCACGGTCTACCGCCCGTCGAACCCGCCGCCGCCGCCGTCGCCGAAGGTCGAGAAGGAAAAAAAAGAAAAAGCGCCCAAGCTCGAGCTGCCGCAGTCGTGTTTGGAAGCCTTCATGGGCGAGTCGTGCACGTGCCTCCAGGAGAACCCGAAACGGGCCAATACGAAATCTTATGATTCTTATGAAACGTACAAGAGTGGTACTACACTACAAGGTATCTTGGATTTGGGTGCCAAGAAGGCCGACCTGGCCCATGATCTAGCAAGGAAGTACATCACGATTGACGACCCCCAGAAGCAACAGGCGTTGTTGGCCAACCTGCGACCCGTGAAGAAGCGCGACACGACCGAAAAGACGGCCGACGAGGTCGAGGCGGACAAGGCCTTCGTCGCCGTTACTGGTAGGTACTATACCAGGAGGGTGAAAGACAACGCGGGGGTACCCGAGGACCCCGAGGAAAAGCTCGAACCGGGCTTTAAGGGCCCCGCGAACTACCGGAACGCCACCGGCGCTTTGGTACTGGACGCGCCTTCCGGTAAAGCGGCCGGCGGTTGTTTGATTATGAAGGGCATTAATTCCACAAAAGACGACAGACCGCTCGTGCCGAAGCTCGTCCCCAAGTCCAAGTCGGGCAAGACGTCGACGGACGGGTTCATCAACTTCAAGTTGAAAGCAAGAGGCGTCTCCGGCACGTTGCGCCTGAAGGTCGCCGCGTCCAAGGACCACCAGAACAACTCCATCCTCGTCGGGAATCTGAGGATCAAGGAGGGCGAGACGGAGTGGGTCGAGAACATCCGGGCGTTCCGCGCGTCGGGCGACACGGACGACTGGCCCGACGAGCTGCCTCAGTCCTCCGCCTAAGCATGATCCGTAGTCTCGCGCGGCGGCGGCGTGCCCCTGGAGAGATTCTACACAAGTACTTAGAGGTACATCCTAGGCGCTCAGCTGCGCCTGCGCGTGCGCGAGGCCGGGGATCTTGGACGGATGGCCGACCCATGCGTTGATCTGGAAGTTGAGACCGTAGCTAGAGAGCTTAACTTCCTCTTCTTCTCCACCACTGAAGCAGAGGCGAATCCCATGCATGACATCGAATCCACCGAGTTCTGATTTCAACCAATGTTGTACCAAGATCATTGGTTTGCCACACGCCTCCAGACGGAGAAATGCTCCTTTATGCCTCCTCTGCGCGTTGAAGAGGTCTTGGAGGGGCTGGCTGATTATTAGCATTGCAGACACAACGTAAAGAACCTGGCCCTTTGGAACATGAATGCTCGCATCATCACCATAGTCGTCTGTTTCGGCTTGCGTCTCTATGATCAAGTTTCTCGCCTCGGGGATCACCTTGGCAGCGGCCGCAGCGGCCGCAGCGGCCTCGGCAGCCCTCATAGCGTCAATCGCAGCGTCGCAGGCCATCGACAACGCGTCATAGCAGAGAAATTCCGCCTCCGCCTTCAGGTCTTCGAGACGATCCTCATCTTTTGCCGCCGCGGCAGGCAGGCGATCCGACCGCATGTAGCGCAGCACGTCGGCGAACACGTCCGGGTCGCGGTCGATGAATATCTCGCGAGGGGCGCCAGGCGCGTCGTCTTCGGCGGAACCTGTGACCTCCGGCGCATCGTCACCAGGCCTCGCGCGCTTTCTGCCACGCATCTGCGTGCCAGTGTCGCCCAGCAACGCTTCGAAGTAGCCCGCGCCCGACAGCTTCAGCGTCGTCGTGGAGGTCTCAAACACGCGGCCGCCGGCGTTTATCAAGATGCGCGTGTCTTCGGACATTTTGCAGTCAGTCTAGTTGCTGGCGCGTCGCGCGCCCCAGCAATTCGCACGCGAGCAGCGCGTGTGACAGTGCAGTCTGTGCAAGCTCAGTGTACGTAGCGCTGCGAAATTCGCGTTGCACGTGAGCAATCGAAGATAATTGATGCTACTGAAGACGTCACCAAGCTTATTCAAGCCTATCACAGCCAGCGGGACCTGTTTTGGGCCGGCAGCCAGCTTGCTAGTGTCTTACCTATGCAGGCCGCTAGGGGCACTCATCCGAAGACGTCAAGGATCACTACAATCCACTTACCCGAAAGCTCTCGGCAACAGCTCTCAGCTCGGGCAGCGCGCCCGCGTCGTCGACGCGCGCCTTGAGCGTCATCACGTACAACCGCCCGCCGCGCACGGCGACGCGGCTCAAAAAGTTGTTGTTGCCCCGCGACGACTCATTACTATAAGCGAGCTCGTAGTACGTCTGGCCGTCGACGACCAGCTCCGTCGCCTTCGACAGCTCGGCGGCCGTGACGCCGTCGCGCTCGCGCTCCGAGGCCACGACCTTGTCTCCCACAAATGCCGGCGTGCCGAAGTCCGACAGCTGCTCGATGCGCACGCGGTCGACGACGACCCCAATTTCCCGCTTGCCGTTCTTGTACAACACCTCGGCGGCGTGCGTTTTGACCGGCTTGGGCTTCGCCTCGAAGCCGTCGGGCGCGTCGAAGGCGAAGCCCTCGCTATTGATGCGCGCCGCTCGTGCTGGCCTGTTGATTGCTGCCACTGCTGCTGCAGCACTCAGTTGTCCCAGGCGTCGTCGCGGGAGGGTGAGTCCGTGCGTGTGCTGCGCCAGCGTTGCGAGAAGTAGGAAACGCATGCTCTTGGTGCGCTATTCGACCAATGCGACGGCGTGAGGCTGCGGTGCTCGGCTTGCATGTTTGCTAGTGTCTTACAACGCTAGCCAAGTGAGGTTCGTACAGGTCGCCCCACGGCGGATGCCTACAATACCCCTGGACACTCTTCTGCAGCTTGCGGATGGCGGGACCCGCCTTCAAGGCAGCCCCGCGGCCGCGGCAAGGATATCGTGGGCTGCCCAACTCAAAGCGGCCGTACGCCTCGTGGGGGGCCCCCGAGCCGTCCCGTGGAGAGCTCCCGGTGCGCGCACACCAAATGTATCCAGATGACGTTGGCTATATCGGTGCTCTAGTTTGGAGAGCAGCAAAAGGCGACATCAATTATTTGCATTGTTCGGCGCAAATAGTGCAGCACCGACGTTGCGCGCGGCCCTAGGTGGTCCAAAGAAGCAGCCCAGGCAAAAAAGCGAGTGCGCGCGGCAGCCGGCGCCGCCTGCAGTCGCCTTCAAGCTCCTTCCCCACGCCGCAATGGCCACGACGACGACGACGACGGTCTGCGGCGTGCGCGCCCGGCCGCTGGCGCCGCCGCCGGTCCAGGTGCCGCCGCTGCCCACGACCGTGGGCCCGCTCGTGCCGATGCAGTACGTGCCGCCGCCCGGGGTGCCGCTGGTGACGCCGACGAACGCCGGCGGCGCGCGGGCCATGCCGCTCCCGCTCATGGCGCCGCCCGCCGCGCCGCTCTACATGCTCCCTTTGAAATCGATCCCGGGCCAGCCCTGGTACGCGCCGCTCCAGCAGATGTACGGGCCGGGCTGGACGCCGACGGCGCCCGCGGGCTCGACGACGACCTGGTTGTTTGACGAAGACGGCGACGCCTACCCGGCGGGCGGCCAGCCCCTGCCGCGGGAGGAGAAGCTGCGGCGGCGGCCGCCGTCGCCGCAGGAGCTGCCCCCGGTGCCGACGTCGCCGCGCGCGACGTCGCCGCGCAAGCGCCCGCGCGAGGCCGTGGTACATGACGACATGCGCCGCCCCGCGGAGATCGCCGCGGCGGCGGCCGCCAGCGGCGCGCGGCCCCTGACGACGGCGCAGGCGCTCGCGCAGAAGCTCATGGCGCCGCCGTCGAAGCAGCCCCGCGGGCAGCAACCCCGCGGCCAGGCCCGCCGCTGGACGGACGAGGAGCACGAGGAGTTCCTCGCCGCCGTCGGCCGCTTCGGCAAGCGGTGGAAGACCGTCGCCGAGCACGTCCCCTCCAAGACGGCGGCCCAGGTGCGGACCCACGCGACCAAGTACTTCTCGAAGCTCAAGGAACGCCAGGACCTGAGCGACCCGGCCGCGATGCTCCTCCAGCTCGCGGCCGCGTCGCCCGCCAAGTGCGCCGCCTGAACCCTGTTCCCTCCCCCGCCCCCGTGTTAATTCTGATGTGAATCTGCTTTGGTATTACGCGTCATCTAGCTCACATCTTGAACTTGGAGAAGCTGGCGTAGCGGTCCCAGTAGATGGCGCCGAGCGCGTCGGCGCTCTTCTTGAACGTCGGCCAGCCCTCCTTCGGGCCGTGGAACTCGATCTTGTCCAGCGACGCGGCGCCCGAATCGAGCATCTCGCCGACGGACGGCACGATGTTGTCGAGGTGGGCCTGGACGGCGGCGGCGTCGACGTAGGCCTCGCGGCAGAAGAGCTTGTCGCCCTGGATCGTCCAGCCGTAGTACATGCAGCCCTTCTCGTTCCTCGTGAGGTCGACGCACTTCTTCATGAACGGTTCCGCCTGCTTCAGGTCCTTGATGGTAAACGTGGGCTGGATCGTGAAGAAGTCGGCGGTGGAGGCCTCCTCGGCCGACGTCTGCTTGAAGTTCTGGAACGAGTCCCAGACCGTCCAGGAGCCGAGGCCGAAGCCCTCGAACTCGGGCACCTTCTTCGCGTCGGCGATGTCGGATTCCGTGCCCATCAGGTCGATGTTGTCGAGCGCGATGTAGCCCTTCTCGAGGGCCTCCCCGAGCGCGCCGGACTTGGCGACGCACGAGAGGTGGTGGCCCGCGGCCGCGCCGTCGACGTACGTCTCCCGGCAGAAGAGCTTCGAGCCGTCCTCCTTGATCGTCCAGCCGTAGTAGAGGCAGCCCGCCTCGGCCCTCGTGTCCTCGACGCACTTGTCGAGCAGCGGCTTGGCCTGCGTTGGGGGTGCGCGCGTCCAGCGACTGCGATAGGGGAACTGCGGGAATCGAACCCAGCGACCTCGCGCTCCCGAAGCGCGTATCCTACCACTAGACCAAGCTCCCATGTGCACATGGCGGCATGCGTTGGCGCGCACGCTGCCCCCGGCTTTGCGGACGCTGCCCGTGCGCCTTGGCGAAGTCCTTGATGGTGAACGTCGGGTAGATGTTCGCGTGCGTCGTCATGGTTGCTAGTTCCGGAAGAGCGTGATGTCTTGGGACCTTGGGTTTGGGTTTTACGGAACTCTCCGCGGCGTACCTCCGGAACTCGCCTGAAGTCCGTGGCAGAGCGCCGCTCTATGGCGTTCTTGAGGGATGCTAGGGCTAGCGGCCGGTATTTACATTGTAGGAGCCCGTGGTAGACTTTGGTATTACTTACGCGTCTCGTGGCTTCACATCGGCATGTTCCGCGATGTGACGTCGTGTGCGCTTACTGCTCGCCCGCCTCGGCCGCCGGCTTCATGATGACAACATTCTGCTTCGCGATCTTGCCCGCGGCGTCGAAGAGGAACGTGTCGGTCGCGTGGTTGTACCCCGAGCTCGGGCAGCGCCACACGAGGAAGACCATGCCCGCCTTGTCTTCGGTGGCCTCCTCGACGCGGATCGCGGGCGCGGCGAGCCCCGACAGGTCGGAGAGGTCTTTGAACAGGCCAGTGAAGCACTCCTTGACTCCCTTCAGGCCCTTGAACTCGACCAACTCGTCCGTCACCTGGTTATAGACCTTGATCACCGACTTCTCGGTGTAGTCCTTGAGGACCTTGTCGACGTCCTGGGCGCCGAACGCGGCGAAGTGGTTGTCCCACGACGCCTGGACCGGGCCGCCCTGCGGCTCCGTGCAGAGCGGCGCCTTGCCCGCGGGCGCGCCCGGGTTGAGGATGCAGACGGTCTGGCGCACGATCTTGCCGGCGTCGTTGAAGAGGAAGGTGTCCGTGCAGTGCACGAAGCCCGAGCTCGGGCAGCGCCAGATGAGGAAGACCGACTTCGGGTTGCCCTCCTCGACGTGGATCTCCGGCGCGGCGAGGCCCGAGAGATCGGGCAGCGCGGCGAAGAGGCCCGTGAAGCACTCCTTGGCGCCCGCCTGTGTGGAAATCAACCCAGTGTGTCAGGTGCACCCGACAATTCTTCACTAAGTCATTTCTCGGCAATGACGCCTCCGTCCTGGCTCGGTCGAGCGGCGAGGAACCGGCATCGCCACGCCATCGAGCAGGCGTCGCGTCGATGGCGTGGAGGACGACGCGACGATTCAGCACGAACGCGCCGTAAAATTTTGATTTCCACACAGGCGCCAGCCATCCCGTTGTACACGGTCTCGGTGTCGTCGTGCCAGTTGTAGACGATGATCTTGGACTCCTCGCAGTAGTCGAGCAGGACCTTGCTAACGTCCTGGCCGCCGAAGGCAGCGAAGTGGTTGTCCCACGCGGGCTGGACGACGGCCTCGACGGTCTGGTTGCCGGAAGTGCAGCAGAGGATGGAGGCCATGTTGTCTCGGTGCTTTTGCAACTTTGATTGGCTTGTACGTTTAGAAATCGCTGCCCAAGGAGGTCGATCTGTTGGTTGATGAGGTGGCTCCCCCCCCAAGAAATTTCGCTTGCTTCCGGAACTCGCCTGAAATCCACGGTAGGGCGTCGCCCCTGAGCGTTCTGAGGCCCGCTTATGCTTTGGAAGAGGGCTCGCGACATTTACACGAGGAACGCGCGGTGGCGCGCACAACGCTCTACTCTAGCGGAGCCCGCGAAGCTGGAGCTGGGGCCGGCACTTCCTCGAGCTTGCTCAACGGACTCGCCTCACCATAACCGCTATCTCTAAGCGCAGCGCTAGAGGGGCTAGCTAGGGTAGGGCTCGAGACTGCAGCTGCCTAAAAAGCGACATTACGGAAGTGCGTCGACAGCAGCATTGGCATAGAGAGTCTCTTGATATCATACGTTTGCTGCGACGACGCTTCGCCAGTGGTGCGCCACCGCTGCCCAGCAATTTGGCATCGCCATCTAGCCTGCAGCAGTGCCGCAGCGGCGCAGCGATGGCCAAGAAGAAGCGCCACACGCCGCGCGGCAAGGCCAAATCAACAGCCAAAACTAGCAACCCCTTCGACGCCGTCGGTAATAAGAGGAAGCGTCCCGTCGCGCTGAACCATCGGGCGAAAGGAGCGGTGCGCGATGTGGGACGAAGCAGGGCCAAGGGCGACGAGCGGAGACGAAGGGGTCTACTGAAGGATTTAGCAAGAGAAACGCGCGAGAACGTCTTCGAGGATCAGAGATTAGGCGAAGGTTTAGATGAAGACGATGCCATGTTGTTGCGGTTCCAGCGCGAGCGCACGAAGCGGACGCGGACGTCGCGACGAGGTCTGGATGAAGAGCTGACGCACGGCGGCAAGCCGCTGTCCGATGCCGCTATTAGTGCCGCTTTCTTTGGCGATGAAGGTGAGGATAGAAGGGCGAAGGAGTCTGTACAAGAACATTTCGGCACGGGCGACGACTACGAGAAGCGCGACTTCGTCGGGGACATGATCGCGCAGACCAAACAAGAAAGAGAAGAAAGACAACAAGCCAACGAGCAGCTCGCCCGGGACCGGGAGGCCCTGGACGCGTCTTTTGGGGACCTGGCCCAGTCCTTGTCTTTTCGCGCCAACAAGCCGGACCGCAACGATGACGACGACGACTACGATCGGGATTTGCGGGCCTTGGCCACGGAGCGACGCGTCAGGGCCACGGATCCGTCGATCGCGCCGGCGGAAGCGGCGCGGGCGCGCCTCGACGCTCTCAAAAGAAGGGAGGCGCAGCGCTCTTCAAGAATTGAAGGGCGCAAGGCGGAGCAGACGAATAAAGATCCACATGATCCTTGGTCGCGGGACCCGTCGGACCCTTGGTATGGCATAATAAAGCCGGAGGGCTACAGCTCGTCGGAGGACGACGTCGTGGAAGAAGAGGAGGAAAACGAGATCCCCTACGTGTTTGATGCCTGCCCTTCCACGAGCGATGAATTGCGGGAGCTGGTGCGGAGCGTCGGGGCGACGTCCGAGGCGGACATCGGAAGAGTAGTACGTAGAATAGCGTGCTGCCACGCTCCGGCACTTGGAGATGTGGCCAAGTACGAGGGCTTTGTCAGGGCGCTCTGCGGCGCTTTGGTGGATGCGGGCGACGATCTCTGTAATGGTACTGGTATGAAGAATGAGGTTGAGGCCCTAGCTCATACGTTGTCCGGCGTCCTCGTAGCTTTGGAGCCGGAGCGCGCCGCGGAGTGCATTGAAGAGGCTTTGATTGACGAGGGCATGTCTCCGGGCGCATGCCTCGCGCTGCGCGTGGTCCTGAAGGAAGAATCTTTATTATGTTCGGCGGACGACGAGGCGCCTCGGTTAGCCTACCGTTCAATAGTGAAGCTGGCGCAATCATTAGATGAGAACCGCGCTCCACAAACTTGCGGAGAGGTCGGTATTGGCTTGCTACGGTGCCTGACAGTTATGGAGGCGGCGGGCATCAACGCCGAGGGGCGGACTTGGTGGGTGCCCGAGGCCTTTGCGTTTCTCCAGACGGTCCTCGGTGATATCGAAAAGTGCGGCCTCGCCTCCGCTTGTGCCTGGCGCGGCGCCAATCCGCCGCAGATAGCGATTGAGGACCTAAGCCAGGATACGTCATCAACGAGGTGCGCTTCCCTAATCGCGGGCGCGGCGTCGCTGGCCGTCGAGGCCGTGGCCTTCACGGTTTCCGACGCGAACCGGGGCGCCGCTTCGGCGTTCGTCGATCCGCTCGTCAAGGCCGCCACGGCCGCGCGGGAGCTGCTGGCGGCGCGCGGCGCCGCGCCTTCACTGTTAAAAACGCTCGACGCCTGCCTGGCTTCCCTGAATAGTGTGGATGCGTCCGAACCGGACGCGGACGTTATCATAACCGCGCCGGAAACGCTCGAGCCGCGCCTCGAGGCGCACACGATCGGCTCCAGGCTCACGGAAAAAACGCCAAAGGGCGAGCTCAAGAAATTGAAAAGACAGGTGCGCAAGGAGCATAGGGGAGCGGTGCGCGAGCTGCGGCGCGACGCGGAGTTCCTCCGCGCGGAGCGGTCGCGGCGCAAGGCCGGCGACCGCGGCTCGAAGCAGGACGAGCGCCAGGCGAACTACGCGTGGCTCCAGACGCAGGCGCAGAACGGGTGGTCCGGCAAATAAGTAGCTAGTTTGTGACTCGCAGCTATCTTCAGGCTCAGGCTAGTTACGTCGCAGGGCCCGATTTTTTTCTAGTGTCTTACGAACGCTAACTTGTCTCCGGCGCGGGCATCGCGCATGCAGCCCTCACCGTCAGTCGAGCACGCGCGAGTAGCTGGGCAAGTTGGAAAGCTGTAGCGTGAGCCGTCGAACGCGATCGCGTGGCTGCCGGTTGCCCCAAAACCGCGCCAGGCCTGTGACAGCACATTGAGAGAGCAGAGCTGTACGCGCCAACGATGCACAGAGCAAGCACATGGCTCCTGCTCGCAGCCTCGACGCGAGCCCTCCTAGCACCGCTGCGCCGCTTAGGCCTCAAGAAGCCGCCGGCCCCATCCATCGTTTTTGATGATGACGACTACGACCACGAGGAGAATGTCTGGTGCCCGCTCGACGAGTGCGAGATCCCGCCCGAGGCCTCGTCCCTAGAATCTTCATTGAGAAGGGACCGCGGCCTCCTGGGCAAGGCCTGGAAACGGCTCGGACGGGCCTGGCAGGGCCGCGGCCGCAAGCCGCCCGGCAAGCTTGTTTTAATCAGACACGGCCAGTCGACTTGGAACGCCAACAAGACCTTCACGGGCTGGGTCGACGTCGACCTGTCGCCGATCGGCGAGACGGAGATGGAGCACGCGGCGCGGCTGATGCTGGAACGAGGCCTGCAGGCGGACGTCGTGTACACTTCGGTACTGAAGCGGGCGATTCGCTCCGCTTGGATCTTACTCGCGGAGCTGGGCCAGACTTACCGACCAGTCGTCAAGGACTGGCGCTTAAACGAAAGGCACTATGGTGCGCTACAAGGTAGGAGCAAAGTCGGTCTGGTCGACGTCCTCAGCCCGGCCGTGGTCCAATCATTTAGAGCAGGCTACGCTACTAGGCCTCCCGAACTCCCGGACGCGCATGCGCTCTCAGCCACGAGAGAAAGAAAATACGTAGGATTACCGCGCGGCGATTTGCCCAGAGCGGAATCTTTAGAGGAATGCCTGGAGCGAGTCGTGCCGGTGTTTCAAGAAAGAATCCTCCAGGACTTGGACGAGGGTTTAGATGTGGTCGTCGTGGCCCACGGCAACAGCCTGAGAGGCCTGGTGAAGAACATCGATGGCCTCGACGATTCAGTGATTGAACGAGTAGGGATCCCGAATGGTATTCCATTAGTGTATGAGTTTGATAGGGATGACAGTGGTACCTTAATACCGGTTGAAACAATGGACAAGACCCAAACCGATCTTTCAGGAGAGTTCCTCGAAGAGCGAGGGTTATTGAGAGAGGCCATCGCGCTCGAAAGGAAGGCCCTGCTCGAGCCGCCGTCCTGGGCGCCGTCGTCGCAGGACGCCGTCAGTTCTACTCTGGAGCAAGGTCTGGAGACGCTAGCTAGAGAAAGGAGGGTGATGGCCTACGCGCAGCTCGGGACGAATCTACCGCTGGTGGACCCCGTACCGTTATTAGCCCAGGCACCCATCAAGGTCGTGCCTTCTGTGGTTCCTGATGCTGATGCTAGAGGTGGTGTTGTGGAAGCTAGACCCACCCAACCGCAGGCCGGGCCGATGGCGTCTAGGGAACGGCCTAGACGGCGTAGAAGTGTGAAGCCCCCGACGCCGGGCAAGCAGCGCCCTCCCCTCGTGATTTTGATACGGCACGGCCAGACGACGCACAACAAATTAGGCTTATTCACGGGCTGGGAAGACGCTCCGCTCTCGCCAGAAGGCCGGGCCGAAGCTTCAAGAGCTGGTGCTTTACTCGCGGCCCACGGCGTCGAGGTCGACGCGGTCTACACGTCGTGGCTCACGCGCGCCATCACGACGGCGTGGCTAGTGTTGGCACCTTTAGACTCGCTCTGGGTGTCGATCCACAAGTCGTGGCGGTTAAATGAGAGGATGTACGGCGCTTTGACCGGTCTGTCGAAGAAGATGATCGCCCAGCGGCATGGGGAGGCCCAGTTCCGGAAGTGGCGGCGGGGGTTTGCGGAAAGACCGCCGCCGGCGTCGCCGTTTTCCTCAAAATACCCGGGCAACGACGAACGCTACGTCAAGTACGTCCACGACCTCCCGATTAGTCTGAGGCAGTCCTTCATCCGGAGCCTGGGCCACGGTAAAATAGAACTCCACCACAAACTGCCTAGGACGGAGTCGCTGAAAGACTGCTTGCAACGAACCATACCTTACTACAGGGACACGATCCTGCCCCAGACGGTGGCGCAGAACAGAACCGTATTGATATCGTCGTCCGAAAACGCGATTCGCGGGTTGCTCATGGATTTATGCGACGTGCCGCGCGACGTCATCAGCGACATTGAAATACCAACAGGTGTTCCGTTAGTATATGACCTCGAATCGCGATGTCTGCATTTATTTGATGACGGCATCCTCCCGAAGCCGCGGGACCGCTACGACTTCGGCGCGGCGGCGGACGTCATTTTTAGACCGTGCGACGACGAGGAGGGCTGCCCGGTCGACCCGCACCTGTATTTGGACGACGCGTTCTGCGAGGATTCCGAATTGGATCGCTACGAGACGGAGGCCGCGGAGCGCGAGGCCTGGCAGCGCGTGTTGAACCTCGACGACGAGGAGTTCACGACGCACATGTCGAGCTTCTACCGCCCGCCGGTCGCGGCGGACGCGACGCGCTGGGACGACGAGCCGCTGGAGATCGAGATCTGAGTTTCGTTGTCCGTCCCCCTGTTTATCTAACTTTGTGAATATTTAAATTGGTGATAAGAGAGGTCACAAAGTTGGGAGAAAACCCGTTTATTGGCGAAAAATCACTCGAAAAAAATTTTTTTTTCTTCGCAAGCCGCGAGACTTAAAGCTCCGCCCGCAACGGGACGATGATCCTCATACACTGCGCCGCCTGTGCCGCCCCACTGGTCCACGACGCGCCGGGGTGTGGAGTTTGTGCCACCAGATATTGCAGTGAGGCCTGTCGACTCGATGGCCAGCGCGGAGGACACAACGAAGTGTGTTTGGCGATACACGACGGCGGCAACGCGGAACAATATCACGCCGACCAAAAATACAATGAGGCCGTCTCGGTCGCGGTCGAGGCGTGCGCGGACGACACCGCGGGTCAAATGTGCTACATCTGTTATGGCGAGGGCGATGAAGAGGGTCTCGTTCGTGGTTGTTCATGCCGCGGGGAGTCTGGCTTCGCGCACGTGTCGTGCTTGGCGCGGCAGGCCCAGGTCGCGGTCGAGCGCGGCGGCGGGCGACGCTTTGATCGATGGTACTCGTGTGGCCTGTGCGAGCAAGATTACCACGGCGCCGTGCGGTGTGCGCTCGGGTGGGCGTGCTGGAAGACATACTTGGGCCGGCCGGAGGAGAACCTGCTTCGGCGGGAAGCGATGAAACAGCTTGGGAACGGTCTGTACGCTGCCAATGACGTCGGATGCGGAGACGTCCTCGATTCATTCTGCGTGAGACACGCACATCTGTCTTTGCTGCGGCGCGTTGGCGCACCAGAAGGCGACATACTCGCCGCGCGGGGCAAGCTCGCGAGAACGTATCGAATGCTTGGTCGGGGTGAAGAGGCCTTGCGCATTGTGCGACACGCATATTTCAAACATTGTAGGCTCTTGGGCGAGGATGATAGGGAAAGCCTCGTCTTAGCCGAAAACTATGCGTCATCCAGGCTTTACCTCGACCCCGACGAAGCCAAGGCATTGCTGCGCAAAATAATCCCTGTGGCGCGGCGCGTATTTGGAGAGGATCATCAGCTCGCGATCAGATTGAGGTGGCTGTACGCGGCGAGGCTCTGCGAGGACCCCAAGGGCAGCGAGCCCACGCTCGACGACGTCCGCGAGGCCGCGACGACGCTCGAGGAGTTGGAACGGACGGCGCGGCGCGTGCTGGGCGGTGGACATCCGATGGCACGGGAGATCAAAAGCAGCATGCACTACGCGCGGAGCTTATTGCCGGTGTTCAGGGTCGCGGCGGAATGGTTCTCTTATCGCAACTGCATTCTAACACGGCGGAAGTATTTCGTAAATAACGCCGTCGACGACGGGCGCGACGCCGACATGGACGACGTGCTCGCGTCGTGATCGGACGACAAGCGCATGAGTCTAACGTGTAAGATGGGAAAAGAGAACTTACTACAAGGGACAGGGGATCAGGGTCACGCGTTCACGGAGAAGACCGGCGCAGCGTCGGGCTCCGTCTGCATGGGGTTCAGCGCCTCCCCCAGGTCCTCCATGGGCATGTACTCCGCGAGGATGCCGCGCACCTGGTCGCGCATCTGGCGCTGCGTGCGCTTCCAGTAGGCCAGGCCCGCGAGGAGCATGACGACGACGACCGACACGACGAGCATCAAGACCCCGTACCACGGCATGCCGTCGTGCTCGACGACCGGCTCCTTCGACGAAGAAGACCCGCCGGACGCCGCCGGCGCGGCGCCGTTGTTCGCGACGCAGTCGTCGTAGCGCGGGTCCGACGCGCAGTCGCAGACCGGCGGCCGGTCTTGTATAGGGAAGCCCTGGCAGATCGAGGCTAGTATGTTCGGCGGGTCGACGCTGCCGTAGTGCACCACACCATTAACAATGCACTCGGGCACATAAACAATATTCTCCCGGTCTAGAGCTTCTACGGCCTGGTCCAACACATCGTTCCTTCCCTTTTCGAGGCCGCCACTTCCTTCCACACAAGTATCGACGGCCTGCTTGTCCGCGCCCGCATTCTTCATCGCCGTGGCCCGACAGGAATCGTCGGCAAATGTCTCGGCCGTCGAACACAAACGAGTGAACTCCGACACATAATCCCACCAGACCTTGCCCACGCCGACCTGAGATTTATCGGAGACGTCGTCGCCCCCCACTAAATCCCACAGGCAGGCCCGCCTCAAATTCTCCGCGACGACGTCCGCGCCACTAATACCCTCGTCCTGGCTCCCGTCGGGATCCGGCGCACAATATAACCCCCCATTCGTACATAAATTCCCGCACATGTCCGACCCCGTCTGCTTGACGTCGCAGCCGTACTGCGAGCCGTTATACGTGTACATCATCGGCGCGAAGTGCTGGTGCGTGCCCAGCTGGAGCACCGTATCCTTGAACGCCGTCAGGAAATCCAAAGAAGCCCCATCAATAGACGTCGTCCAGAGCTCCCACTCGACGCGGTCGTCGGGATTTGGGACCGTGTACTCCAAAGACGCCTGGACCGTGGCGTCCTGCGACCAATCTGGGCTCCAAGCACAGGTCTGGGGCCGGCCCTGGATCGGGAGCTTGCCGCACCTAAAATAGTTGACGATGTCGTCGGCCTCCTGCTTCGGGAGCATGACCGCGGGAATGACGATGTCCGCGCCGGACCCATCATCGGCCAGCACGGGCTCCGTGTACTGGCAGCCGGCCTGCGGCGAGCACGCGGACCCGCAGACGCACAGGTTGTCCGCGACCACCAGCGCCGTGGCGCCCATCTGCTGCGCGTTTCTAGCTTTGGTCACGAAGGTACAGTCTCCTCTATCCACCATCAAAATGAAGGGCGTGGGGTAGGTCTTCGTCGTGTCGAACGTGCAGAGCGTGCCGTCGCCGCCGCCGTCGCCGGCGTAGTAGAGGCGCTGCGTCGTCGACGCGTAGGATGGTCGTCCGAAGAGCGAGGCTTTGTGCGAATATCCGCCGGGCTTGCGGAGCGAGGCGGGGACGTTGATCTGGAAGACGGAGTTCTCCGTGGCGGCGAGGCCGACGAGGAGCGCGCCGACGGTAAGGCGGCCCATCATCATGGTCAAGAAGCGCTGGGGTCAGCCCCTGGGAGTGAGCAGCTGGCTTGGGCTAAGTCGGCGGCGTCCCCGCAGGCTGACGACAGGGGCGTGAGGGCGGCTGCTGAAGCGCGCTCCTCTCGCACCGGCGCAGAGCGGAACTCTCTCCTCCTGCGCTGTTTTTGGTGTCTTGGTTTGCTTGCTCCTAGTGTCTTTCATTACGCTAGCCTGGCTGCCCAGCCGCCGCCGCAAAAAAGCCAGTAACGCACTAGAAAGCGAGCGCAGAAACTCCACAGTGATCAAGCGATCGTCCAGGGTGCAACTGCGCATCAATAACTTGCATCCGCGAGCTCCTCAGCTCACTCACCTGAGCACAGCAAAAAGAGGCCGCGAGGCATCCTCAAACCGCGTCTAAATACGTGTACCAAGAGGATGGCATCCGTAGCACCAACCACAGACGACGAGCAAACGTGGTACGCCGCATGCCTCCGTTTCTACGCCACCGGCGACGCCGACGCGAGAAAGGTCGTGGAGCAACTCGAAGCAAGCGAAGACTCCGCGACGCGCGATCGGTACCTGCAGCTCAAGGACGCGGCGCGTCGCCAGGCGCACGCGGAGCTCCAAGCTAAGCGGGCCGCAGCGTTCGCGGCTCGCGTCGACGCGCTGCCGGCGAGCGAGCCGCCGACGACCTGGTCCGCCGTGCGCGCCGCCCGCGAGCGACTCTCGGCGGCGTCAGGGCGCTGGCGCGGAGCACCGGGCACAGCCCGCGTGCTCGGCGGCCTCACGAGTCTGCTGCGCGCGCAACGATCGTCTAGGGGCGGCCGCGTGTTGTGCTGGGTCGTGGATAGTGTGGCGGTCGTAGAGTCGGGCGATGAAGCATTCATAGACGAGTTCTTTGGAGTCCTGGCGGCTCTCGCGGCGCGAGCGGCCCTCGATGGCGATAAGCTCCGAGTCCAGGTCAGCGAGGCGTGGTCCGACCGGGCGCTCGGTCGCGTATACTCCGCGGCGCCGCGCCCGGACGTGGCGGCCGGCGGCGTCGAAACGACGGACCGCGCGCGCACAAATGCGAACGGTGAGCGCGACGAGGCCGTGCCCTTCGCGGAGAAGCTGTACGTGCTCGTGCTTGATCTATATGTGTGGTTCTGTGACTAAAATGTTTTTTCGTATTCGCGCGTCGATGGCGTCTATCCTATCTCGGGGGAGGATTTACGCAGGCGAAGGGAGGAAGGAGCGGGCGCGTGTGCCTAGGTGCAGGGGCCCTTGTCGAAGTGCTCCCGCGTCGCCGTGCCCGTCAGCACAGATCTGGTGTCGCTGATCATCCGAAAAGCCTGCCGAGCCGCGCCCGCCGCCGTCGGGCGCGCCGTCGCCTCGCCGCGGTGGCTCCAATCATAATCTAAGTCGCAGCTCTCGAGCTCCCAGGTCACGGCCAGATTGCCGGAGTTGGGGAAGACGCGCAGGCTCACCGTGCCACTGTAGGACGCGTCCTCCTCGAGATCAAAGCGGAACTGGCCGTCAGCGAAGCTCCAGCGTTGAGATCCCGACCGACTAGAGATCACGGGCAGGAGCGTTCTCGAGTCCCCGTCGTAATCGTCAACTTCCCACTCACCGTCCGTCAACGTCATCATGCCAAAAAAGCCGCCACTGCTCTTCCAGACCGAGAGCACGAGGTAGCCGACCACGTCGTCGCCCGCGTCGCGGAGCTCGTAGTAACCCAGCGGGAGCGACGGCTCGTTCGCTGGTGGCGCGGCCGGCGGCGCGGCCTTAATCTTCTTGGGGGGTGGCGGCGTCTCGCCCGGCGGCGCCGCACGCGTCGCGGGTTGATCTAGGAGCTGGCGCTTCTTCTCCGTGAACTCACTCTCAGTGATCACGCCGTCATCGAGGAGCGACTGGAGTTTCTGTAGGTCTTCGGTGATACCTTCATCTACTACTGGGCCATGGTCCATTGTGATTGTCCTATCGGGTGGACGTCGTCTGTCCGGGGGCCTGCGATGAGTCTCGGCGTGCGCTGGTGGTTCGTGGGCCTTGTTGGGCAGCCGCCTCGGGTCCCCAACAGCCTCGGCTTGCTCGTTAGCGTGCGGAGGAGGCAGGAGGGGGCAACAAGGCTCATGTCCGCACCCGCACGCCCAGGCCGGGCCGAACCCTGCCAATCGTTCTGTCTAGACGTCGGGATTAGCCATTATGATTCCACAACAATGTCTTTCACAACAACTCCTTACACCACAAAACGACGACGCCACCTAGCTCGCCTCCAGGCTCGCGACCAGCTCCTCGACCCACTTCGCCCGCTTCCCGCGAAAGTTCCAGGCGTCCGCGCGGCGCAGGATACGGCGCACGAGCTCGTCGCGCGGCAACGACGCGAAGGCGCCGCCTGGTTTGAGAGCGACGTAGGCGAGCTGCTCCGCGTCGAGCTCGAAGACGCCCACGCCCTCCCTCAATCTCCCGAGCCGCGCGTCGGCCTCGTTCGAGCCAAGCGGCGCCGCGGCCTTTCGTATCTCGTCGAGGTCCCGCGCCAGGACGAAGGCGCCCGCGCGCGAGACCTTGACGGAGGTCAAATGCGCCTCGACGGCGCGCGACGCGTGCGCCGCGAGCGACTTGCGCCACGTGGCTAGTAAATCGTCGTGCGCCGCGAACGCGTGGTCCGCCGCCGCCGCGCGCCGGAGCAGCGCGTCGCGGAACGCCACGGTGGCCTTCGTCGGCTTGAGCACGGACGGCTCGTCCCGCATCGCGTAGTCGCCGCTCTGCCGCGCCCGCCCCAGCGCCTCGCCGAAGCCGTCGGCCGTGCGCTGCGCCGCGGCATCTAATGCTCGCGCCGCCGCGGCCGCGGCCGCGTCGGACGCCTCGAGCCGCGGCGCTAAAACCGCGAGCCGGCCGCGCCACGACGTCGCCGCGACGCGCGCCGCGCGCACGACGTCGTAGAAGGCTGGGGGAGGACCATCGTCGCCGCCGTCGTCCGTCTGGAAGACGCTCGGCCGCCTCTTGGTTTGGCGTTCGGCGACGCTGGCTGCCGCCGCGTCGAGCGCCGGCGCGAGGAGCCGGTCCCTCACAAAATCGTCGGCCGTCGCTGCGAGCGCCTTCGCCGGGTCCGCGGCTGCGTCATCGTCGACGACGACCGGGACGCTCTTTCCAGCGAGCACGGCGTCGACGACGGCCCTGGACACCCTGCCGCACGGCCTCCGCGGCGCGGCGACGCGGCGGCACCGCGTCAGGGACCGCTCGAGGCAGCCCGCCGCCTCGGCGACCGCGCGGCCCTGGAGCGGGCCCTCGAGCAGCGACGCGTAGTCGTCGCCTTCCGGGAGGCGCCTGACGACGCGCTCCAACGCATTCTCGAGCCAGTCGCGTTCGCGCGCGCCGTACGCCGCCGACAGGGCCTCGATGACGTCGTCGAACGCGGCTCGGAGGTAGACGACGCCCTCGGGCAGGTGGCGCGGCGGCGTATCGTCCAGTGCCACATCGTCGCCGTCCGACGCCTCCGTCTCGGACCGGCCCGCGTCGTCCGTGGCCTGGCCCGCGCTTGGTTTGTGGAGCTCGTCCTCGAGCGACTCCAGGAGCTTGGAACAGCGGCGGACCGTGCCCGCGACGGCGCCTGTGTCGTCGTGTTTCTGTTTTTGCGCCTTCACGCCATCGAGGCGGCCTCTCGACGCCGTCACGCCATCGACGCGGCCTCTCGACGCCGTCGATGCGGCAGGAAGGCACCTCTCTTTCCACGGCACTGGACGACACCGAGATAAGCCTCGGGCACGGCGTCCGCCTCCTCCTGGTGCGCCTCGGCGTCGGCGTAGTCGGCCGCCGCGCAGTAGGCGTGGGCCTTGTCGCGGAGCTCGTCCGCGAGCCTCGTGCTCAGCGCCGCGCAGAAGGGCGCGAACGGCGCCCGGGCAGATCTCGCGACGCGCGCGGCGACGCCGAGCTCGCCGCGGCCGCCGCGCGCCGCGCAGAGCACGTCGCGCGCGCTCGCGGCGACGTCGACGAAGGCGTCTTTTGTGGTGGCGGTGTTGCCTGTGTTGTTTTTTTTCGTGTTTTTTTTCGTGCCTCTCTGCGTGTGTTTTTGCGACTTACGTCGGTACTCATGTGTGTCTCCACAGACACGCCAGTCGACGCGACCCGTCGCCACCAACGTCGTGAGACGAATTCACCAGAGCTAGACGCCATCGACGCGACGGCGGACTCGGGACACTGCTTGGAACCGCGGGCGCGGTGGCGCGCGTCGCTGCGCGCACAAATACGTGCCAGGACCGCGTTGGCCCAGGCGTCCGCGAGGCTCGCGTCGCCGGCGAGGCTCCGCAGCGCGGCCGCCGCCGTGGCCGCCGCGGCGACGTCGCGCTTGCGCCAGCAGAACGGCGCGCGGCGCCGCGAGACCGGCACGACGGCGCCCGCGTCCGGGCCGTCGTCGTCTTCCCTAAGAGCGAGCGCGAAGAGCATCTGGCCCGCGGCGCGGTCGGCGAGGCGCCGCTTCCGCCTCTGTATGGCGCCCGCCGCCGCGCGGCCCGCCAGCGCCGGCCGGTCCGCGAGCGCGGCCAGCGCCGCGACGCGCTTCGCGTCGACGTTCCGCAGCGCGTTCTCCTCGGCGGCGGCGCCGTCGCCGCCCGTGTTCGTTTCCTCATCAAACGCTGCGGCCGCCTTCTCGCAGGCGCGCCAGTCGGCGGCGAGCTGTTCGGCGTCGGCGGCGCGCCTTTGGATTTGGTCAGCTGCCATGGCGCAGCGTGCAGTGGGGTGTTGTGGCGCTCGTTGATTGCGCAGACTTCTGCACGGTGTAGGTATGGAGGTGTATTTCCTACTGCGCAGCCGGCCGCGCGGCCGCGTAGGGCTGGATGAAAGTTATTCGCGCGCACCAGCGTCTGGCGCACAACCCGAACCTCAGCCGTCCATGGGAAAAACGCCTCCCGCAGCCCTTCTCCCCCTTCTCCACCCCCTTCTCCACTTACTCTGGATTTTTCTGACTAGCATTCTTGTGTGATGCAACCAGCGTGTTTTTATGTTTTTGACAACGTGTCAGACTTTTAAACAGGCTAGGGCATGATTCCGTCCAGTGAAATTTCGATTGAGGAGGAATAATTGCTAGTTGCATGACGCAGTGTCTGCTGTTTGATTGTCTTTTGCCCACGCACGCGTGTGCGCAGGAAAACTACACCAATTCAGTAGATTGAGTCGCAAGACTGGTCTCAATTTTTCACGCTCCTTTGGAGCACCCCCCAACGCGTCCAAACGCGCTGAATTACGACGCAGACGATCCTGGCAATTCTAACGCACAAACAACGAGCTCCGACGTACACCGCACACGCAACACGAGAAGGAGCCAAAGGAGCAAACGAAGTGGTTCACAAATTCACAATTCATCATATCCGTTGACCGACACCAAAAGTTTACGGGTAGCGCCCCGGCAACATACCCTCGAGGCTCCCGGAAGACACAGCCCCGCGCCGACATTCGCGGATGAGTCTTACGAGTTGCCAATTTACACCAGCGATTGACGGCGCCATCCCCCATCCGAATAGTACATTATATCAACTCCAGTCCAGTTTTCATACACACTCGACGGAACCGGAGCCGACGGCGCGCGCTCGGAGGGCGGGAACACAATTCTACTAGACAACTCCCGAGTTTATGTTCGTTTCCTTCCGTTTCTTAGTGGTAGAGTCCATCTAACCCGCATCAGCGCCCACTGAGCTATTTTAGATATTCCGTTAGAGCCTCGCGATTCGTCGTCTTCGCGACCCCAGGTTTACTTTTAAAAAGGCGCAATACCTAGACCCGCGAGTATCGGCGACGGCACCATCCAGATGGACCACAACGCCGTTGTTCTATTCACAATCGACCGACTTGCCCGTTCTCCGCGGACGACGGTGCGTACGCGGGGCACCGGAAAGGCCCCAGACCGGTGAGTTGTAAAATAAATTCGCGTTTCAGGCGCTTCGGTTACCGGACGGGCCAGATAACCGGCCTGAGCGTGTACTACATTTGATTTCCTATTACCAAATGCTCCCGCGCCTCGTTGGTCTTGCGGCTCGCGTCGATGGCGTAAAGGGGCACCAGACCCGGATCTGCGGCCATCAGCCCGTGTACCATTACCATGGACCATGGCGCGATCATTTGTTTTATGACCGACCGACTTGCGCGCGGTCCAGATAAAGATGTTCACGTCCCGAGCATGGGCAGCCAAAAGTACCCTTCTTATAATGTAGATGTCACATACTTGTAATTGACTATCGGTGGGGTAGTATGGGGTCCAACGAGACCGCTACGGCGACTACTGGGGGGCCTCGGGTAATTGACGTTTTTGACGGGAACGGGGCGCCATCGGGTCCAAATTGCACACTTTTTTCGGGGGCTGATCGGCTCTCGGGCTCGCTCCGGGATAGGTCTGGGGTCGGGTGGTCACCTAGACCGCATACGCCGGTGCTTGGTGCTCTCTGGATCGAAAACTCTGGGGACTTGTACTGGAGGCTCGAAGGCTGCTGGGACCCGTCTTGATATGTATCCACCGATGGGAGCGCCCACGCATGCGGTGTAGGCGATTGACCATGTCTAGTAACGACCCCAAGCGGCCCCAGGGAGACCTCAGGGCCACGAATCGACAGGATTCCATCGACGCGCCCGCACGGTGGAGACGTCAGCATCGCGACATCCAGAAAATAATTTTTTTGGCCCCCAGGAAGTATCCCATCGATCTCTTTGGACCGTTAGCGAACCAAAGGATGCTCAATCGGCTGCATGTCGCGTCGCGTGGAAATTGCAAAAGCAACTAAACGGGTTTCGCCGCCGCCGAAACGCGCGTCGTGCTATCCGCGGCCTCTGAGCGGCGCGTTGGGCCATCGTGCAACCGAGCACGACCCACACAACTGTGGTCGCGTTGACAAACGCGTAAACAGGGCCAAAAACGGTTACAAGACCCCCTGGGGACCAGTCTCACACAGCCTGCGTCCGGCGCGCGCGCTATCGTACAGAGATTCTACTGCCCACCACCTCTGCGGCGGGATGGCGACACGGCAATCGCCACATTTCGCGTCGCCGCGGCGGCGACACGAAATTGTGGCGACATGTGAAAACATCACTCAATATCTTGACGACGGCGGGCCCGTGAACGCGATGGATCAGCACGGACGGCCGTTGCTTCATCAGGTCGTGCACCGCCCTGACTTGATCCGGCTACTCGTCCGCGGCGGCGCGGACACCGAGCTAGAATTCAAGAGACAGACGCCTCTCATGGTGGCGGCGGCACATGGGTTCGCCGAGAGCGTCGCGGCACTCCTGGAAGGGGGCGCGGACGTCGATTACTGCCGCAGCCTTCCCACGGAGTCCGACATGGACACGGAAGACGACGACTCTATTGATCCATCCCCACTTGCATTCGTTCAATATCCAGTCCTACCTAATGCTTTGGCCTGCGCGGTAGTTCACGGAACTTTACGTTGCGTCGAACTCCTGCTTCAGGCGGGCGCAAATCCCAATGGTTATTTGTGTCGAGCCGGGGGCCACCCGGATCCTTTAACGAAAGCGATCGAGTGCTTGAATCTGGAAGCCGTCGCCGCCCTTCTGAAAGCCGGTGCTGACGTGACGAGTTCGCTGAGCATGGCTCAGTTCATCGTCGGTGATTACCGATCGTCGGTCTCTGGAATCAGATGTGCGCGCAGAAGACTCATCCCGATGCTTCTGCGCGCGGGCGCTACGATCTCTCCAACGTGGCATTGCCGACCGCTCGACCGCTTAAGTTTGAATATTTTGCGAACGGAGCGTCCCGTTCTGTGTGGAAATCAACCAGAGTCTCCGGTGCTCTGGAGGTCGCCGCGACGATGGCGCCGTGAAATTTTTGATGTCTACACAGGCCCTGATACCGCCGACGTTCGCATTGCTGCCGCCGAGGAGCTCTCGACCTATTTCCTCCACGTCATCGCCGCGGGAAGCTTCGCGAAATACGACGAGTCGCGCCGCGCGCCGTTCGTCGCAATGCTCGAGCGCGTCGGCGCCTTTCCCATTCCGAATGAAATGATCGCGATTGTCTGTGCGTTTTGGCTCCGCGCCGGCGAGCACTATGGGGACGTCGAGGACGATGAAGACGCATGGGCTGCCGACCTGGAGGAGGAGCTGTTCTCCTAATTTTGTTTAGTTAGTAGAGTACTTTATAACCACAACCCCGCGATAGAACGACGACTGGACTAGATAGCCGACACCGCGGACTCGATCCGCGGGTGCGCGACGAGGGCCTGCTCGATGTTCGCGTAGCGGACGGAGTAGGTTTTGTACCACTCCACGGTGCGCTTGAGGCCCTCCTCCCAGGGCATGAGCTCCTTCCAGCCGAGCGCCTCGAGCGCGGAGTTGTCGATCGTGTACCGCAGGTCGTTGAACGCGCGGTCCGGCACGAAGGAGATGAGCGACGCCTCCTGGTCCTCGAGGCCCATGATCTTGATGAGCTGCTTGGCGACCGCGAGGTTCGACTGCTCGTTGGAGCCGCCGATGTTGTAGACCTTGCCGATCTCGGCCTTGTGGAGGATGCAGTCGAAGGCGCGCGCCACGTCCTCGACGAAGAGGAAGTTCCGCGTGTTCTCGCCCGTCCCGTGCAGCGTCACGGCGCGGCCGCGCGCGAGCTGGTTCGTGAACTTCGGGATCAGCTTCTCGGGGAACTGGTGCGGGCCGTAGACGTTGTTGCCGCGCGTGATGATCACGGGCAGCCCGAAGGACCGGTGGTAGGACTTCACGAGGAACTCGGCCGCGGCCTTGGTCGCCGCGTATGGGTTCGTGGGCTCGAGGACGTGGTCCTCGATCATGGGCGCCGTCTCCATGGACTCGCCCTCGCCGTAGACCTCGTCCGTCGAGACGTGGACGAAGCGCACGACGTCGTGCACCTTCGCCGCTTCCAGCAGCACGTGCGTGCCGAGGATGTTGTTCCGCGTGAACTGGAACGAGTTGCCGAACGAGTTGTCGACGTGCGTCTGCGCCGCGAAGTGCATGATCGTGTCGATCTTCTCCGTCTCCAAAACGTAGTTGACGAGGTCCGCCGAGCAGATGTCGCCCTTGACGAACTTGTAGTTCGGCAGCGACGCGACCTCCTCGAGGTTCGCGAGGCACGAGCAGTAGTCGAGGCGGTCGAAGTTCAGGATCTTGTACTTCGGGTACCTGCGCGGCGGCGGCGTCTCGCGCAACTGATTCACTGGCTTCGACGGCGTCGCGGCGACATTGCGGCGCGGCGGGTTGAGTTTCACGCAGCAAGGCTGTACTTCTTGCAGAGGAGAATGACGACGTGCGACGCAATGAACCCAGCACCTCCCGTGATCAGGATGTGTCGATCAAACCCGCTTCCATGATCTATGGGCTTCAGGGGTGGCAAGCTGGCCATGGCCGACATTGCTGTCGGAGAGCTGGCGTTGCTGCGCAGCTATATGTTTTTTGGCAGCGTAGACGCTATGCACACGCTCCGTCGTTGCGTGACGCGTCAAATCGCTCCCGATTTAGCTCACACGTCTGCCTTGCCAAAAAATTAAGGACAAAGCCAGCGAGCCGGATTTGACCAGAGAGGGGTCCAAAGCTCTCCAAGAGACATGTGTTCACTCTTACTGGCGTCCAGGAGGGGGGAGGGGGGATGCGACGACGACGAGACCGGCGCGGCCCCGTCGCGCCGCGGGCGCCGAGACTCACAGTCCGTTCGGGGCTGTCCACGTGAAGCCGACCCACTTGCCGCCGTTCGCGGCGCGCCAGGCATCGTACGCGCCTTTGTTGAAATAGCTGGGGTGCGACGTTATCGACGCCTTCTTTCGATAACAGAACTCCTGCGAGAAAGCCCTCAACGCCTCCGGGTTCGCATTCTTGGGCTCGCCGTACTTGTTGAGCAGCTCCAGGTACTTGGCGTTCTCCCAAGCAGGGAAATATCCGGTCAGCTGCTTTGGCGACGCGTCGTCGTCGCCGCTGTCCACGTTGTCCGCCGATAGGAAGGCCTCCCAGTCGTCCCTCGCCTGCAGCAGGTCGCGCTCGTGCCTATTGTAGCGGGCCATGGCGGCCCGGTTCGTCGAGATCCCTCTGGGCGGCTGCACGATCGCCGGCGCCGGCGGCGCGGCCGGCGGCGCGGCGGCCGGAGGCGCGACGGCCGGCGGCGCGACGGCCGGCGGCGCGACCGGTGGGGCGGCGGCCGCCGGCGGAGGGGCCTCGGTGTCGTTCGTGAGGTCGATGCTCGCCGGCTGCGCGGGCGGCGGCGTGGCCGACGGCGGCTTGGCCATCTTCTTGGGCGGCGTGGCGGCCGCGTCGGCCGGCGGCGCCTCGCGCTTCGCGGGTGGCAGACGTAGGAGCTGCTTCTTCTTCTCCTCAAAGTCACTCTCGGTGATGATGCCGTCGTCTAAGAGCGACTTGAGTCTGCGGAGGCTCTCCTCGACCTCCTTAGTTACGAGATTCTCTTCCGCCATGGTGGTTGTCCTGCTGCTTGGCGAGGAGTCAAAGGCGCCACAGAGGCTCGGTGTGAAACGCACTGCGGAGAGCACAAGCTTTGATAGGTGCTCTTCCAGCCGTCAAACGCGCCGCAGCTCTTTGAGCGGTGGTCGCGTGACACAAATGAATCAGACACTACCCCCAGTTCGACGCGGCTGGTGTCTCTGCGGCGGTGTCCGAGACCTGACCCAAAAGGTACAGCACAGGCAACCCGAACAAAATGTCAAAAGCTCGCGAAATAAACAACACTACTTAAGCCCGACATCAAATCAAGACCGGTTCCACGTCAGCAAAGTCACGGCCGAGCAAACCAAACCGAGCACGGCGCCGACGCCCATGGCAACGATGCTCAGCGCGCGCGTCCGCGCCGGCGCGTTCGGCACGAGGCGGAGGTGCACGGCGAGCGGGTAGACGAAGGCGAGCGGGATGCCGAGGAAGCCGCCGACGAGCGCGACGATCTTGTCGAGGCGCCGGACCTCGGCGATGGCGACGGCGACGAGGACCGCGACGACCGCGGTCCGCGCGGCGTTGCCCTCGAGCTTGGACGTGCGCGGCCGCGGCGGCTTGATCGCGCGCGTCGGCGTGTCGGCCTCGGTGTCCGTCTCCGACGGCGGCTCGACCGTCGTCGGGTCGTCGATGGCCACGTACCCGACGCGCGACACGGACAGCCGCTTCAGCTTGCGGCCCACCGATTTGAGGATCTGCACGGCGGGGTAGAGCTGCAGCGGGAACGTGAAGACGACGGCCAACGAATAGGCGAGCTGGACGGACGCCTTCCACGGCCCGCGCGGCAGGTTCAGCGTGAGGACGACCTGCGTGCTCTTGCCATAGGCGATCCAGTTCAGCGCACCGAAGAAGATATAGGTCGCAATAATACCCGCGCACGTCCGCACGTACATCTTCGAGAAGTCGGCGCGCCGGTCCGGCTTGACGGCCTCTTGGAGCGGCACGACCTGTGTGGAAATCAAAATTTTACGGCGGGTTCGTGCTGAATCTTCGCGTCGACCTCCACGCCATCGATGCGACGCCTGCTCGATGGCGTGGCGATGCCGGTTCCTCGCCGCTCGGCCGGGCCAGCACGGCCACATCATCGCCGATTGACTTAGTGAAGAATTGTCGGGTGCACCCGACGCACTGGTTGATTTTCACACGGGGCACGACGAGCGCGGCGGAGCCCTCGTAGACGAAGGCAGACGTCCCAACAAACAAATAGAACGACTCGCGGTTGAAGAGCGGCAGCGTCGTTAGTGAGGCCGGCGGGTCGTGCGCGATCGTCGTCGTCGCGTGGAGCGCCAGCACGATCAACGCGTACAGAATCAGCGCGTTCGCGATGAGGTTCGTCGTCGCGAACGTCTGCATGTCGCGGATCCACGAGAGCGGCACGAGCACGAGGAGCTGCAGCGCGCAGCACGTCGCCAGCGTCGGCGTCGCGCCGGTCCAGTAGGCCCAGAGCTCGCGGCAGTTCGTCGCGATGAAGATGACGTACGTGAGGCAGATGCCGCACTGCTGCAGCACGATCGTGACGCGGCAGAGGTAGACGCCCTTGAGCCCAAAGGCCTTGCCCATGAGCCCGGAGTAGCTCCGGCCGTGGAGCGCCCAGGCCTCCAGCAGCCGCGTCGCGCCGAGCCCGAAGAGCGCGAAGCTGAGGACGAGCATGCCTAACGAAAACGCGAGGCCGCCCTCCTCGAAGCCCCGGGGCATGTACAGCACCGCGGGGCCGACGGCCGACTTGACCGTCGCCAGGAACGCCTGCTGCAGCGTGAAGCCGCTCTGGCGCGCCTCGCGGCGCGCCTCGACGTCCTCGAGCCACGACGGCGACCGGTCGAGCGGCCGCCGCGCGGTCGGCGTCGACGGCGTCCGCTGCCAGTCCTCCTCCTCGAGGTCGGGGTCGAACGACGCGAGCACCGCGAGCCGCAGCCGCGTCGACTTGAGCGTGCCGCCGTACAACGAGTGCCGCTGCCGCGACGCCTCCAGCAGCGCCGCGCGCCGCTCGAGGCCCAGCTCGCGCGCGCGCGCGGCTAAATCCCCGGCGTCCTGGCCGTGGGTGTAGGTGGCGTGGGCCTGGGAGACCGGGGAGGCTTGCGGGGGCTGTGCAGCCATTTGGTTTGGTGCGGTCACCTAGCGCGGCGGCGTCGCTTCTACTGTCACAGCCGTCTAATACTTGATCAATTGAGACGCGAAGTGCGCTTGGCGTTGTGTTTTACGCGCCGACGAGCGTGTTTTGGCCGCGCACGACGTGCTTGAAAGTCTGCTTGCTAGTGTCTTAACGCTAGCCCACGCGCGAGGCTTTGGAAGACGTCAATCGAAGAGAGCTATACTCCGATAAAAAACAAAGTCTCCTTACAGGTTTGCACACGGCCTCGGACAAATCATCACGTGCGCTTCGTCGACATGACGCCGTCGCCGATGATGAAGGACGCGAGGTAGTTCGAAAGGTACTCGTCCAAGTCCCCGAAAAGACGGAGCTTGTAGCGCAACGTCCAGTACTTCTTGAGGTAGTCGTCGAAGAGGGCGTTCATTTCGGGCGCCCCGGGCAGCCGGCATCGCGCCGCATCCCGAACACACCAGAGCGGCGTCGTAAATTCGGGAGGCAGAGGTCCGCTACCATATTCCCAGAAAGTGAGGTGCGGTAGCTCGAAAGACGCTCCGTGCGCGAGAAGAAGCCGCACCACAGCAAATTTGACCGGACTTGGTACATGAGAACAATGCCTGCACATCATGTAAAGTGGTGATTCAAAAACCTCTTCACATCCCTCTCGCTCAGGGTCAAAGGTGTGGCTCCCTTGATCGACTGGAGCACCGCGTGCAAGAAGCAGCCGGACTATGTTCAATTTGTGATTCCTGACAGCATAGCGAAGCGGCGTCATTTCGCAAAAGCAGTTCGGCCTCGGTCCTTCACTGCGACCCTTCGTGATGTCGGCGCCTCGATCGAGCAGTAAAGTCACAACATCAACGGGTTCTCCGGTTGCCTTGCACGCATAAGACAATGCCGTAAAACCATCAACGGTCATAAAGTTGACGTCGGCGCCGAAATCGAGAAGTAGGCTCGCCACCTGCGCGTGGCCCGCCTTACACGCAAGGAGGAGCGGCGTACACTCATCGGCGATCCAATCCGGCGACGTGTTTGATCGACCCGATGATGGAATGTGCCCGTATTGGATCTGCGCCGATCTTTCCACAGCGATCTTCACATTAGGATCAGCGCCGCGTTCCAGGAGTAGCCTCGTGGCGACAACTTTCCCGCGCCGGGCGACGACGAGCAGCGGCGTATGGTCTTCCGCAACTTCAAAGGTGCACGTGGGCGGGTCGAAGTTCCCGTTTGCGAAGTTGCGAAGGCCTGGCAGGTCTTCCCGAAACCACACCGCTCGACCATCTCCGGTGCGTCCCAGAGGCAGGCTCTGTCCCTCCAATTTTGCGCCCTCGTCGAGATGCCGCCGGATTTCCGCGAGGTCGCCCCGCTCACACGCATGATAGAAAGCAGGGCGATAGCAGCCGGCGTCCATACTCGCACCGGTGCGGCCAATGGGCAGCCTCTGTGCCATGTGCGGCGCCCTGCTCTGCGAGAGATGAAAAATTTTCCCGCCATTTTGGTCCAGGGACCACTCAGCAGACATAGCAGCGCGGCAGCAATGGTGCCCGTAGGGAAAAAAATGCTCTCCGCCACGATGGCCATGAGCCTTCGGCTCGGCAGCCCCATTGGGGCAGCGCCAAATTACGCGGCTGGGCTCGGAACCCACGCCCAGGGCACCGCGCGTCATCATGCAGCATCGCTGCGACGACGCGCGGGCGCCGGCGTGGGCATGGGTCACAGCCTCCAAGCCTGCCGGTCCCTGCGACCGGTAGGCTTGGCAGGGCTGCCAGCGCGAGGGTGCAAACCACGCGCCGGGTAGGTCCAGTGCCTCAGGCACGGACTCCGGTGGCGTTTGCGCCGAAGCGCGTCCCGTCGGCGCCCGCGTCGACGCCGACGGTCCGCCGCGCGAAAGCGCAGCGCCTGTCGGTATCGGTGCGCAGCGTCAACGCTGCGTTCGGGCGACGCATACGATGGTATCTCGATCCCAGCTCGAGCCCGGCCAGTGCTGCCCCGCGCGCTGCGCATGACGCGGGCGCGGCGACGCAAGCAGCACAAAGTGCTGGATCGACAACGATGGGCAAACGAGGCGCCGCGGCGCGAAAGCAGTGGTTGTGCGCACGCGGGCGTGGCCACCGCGCTCCCTACGGTGCCGAATACGGCGAGTGCCACTCGTTTGGCAGCTGGCAGCATTTGAACAACATGTTGGGGCCCGGACTACCGGGCAGCCCCACACCCTGCCCAAAAGTTGCCCCAGCGGTGCTCTATCACGCGCCGGGCCCACGGACGCCGCAGCCTCGGCAATCTACGATTTTTCGCCATGGGTGTCCGGGGCAAGCCACTAAAATGGCTTGCTCTTGGACGGTCGGATTTCCCGGGTCTCATCTTTGCGCATGGGCATTACGCAGTACAGTGAGGTCTCGGCCGTGGACAAGGTATACCACGTTGTCCGCCGATAGTATGCGTCATTGTACGACATCTGCGTCTTGTTGCTTTCTTCTTGCCTCAAATGGATCCTGTGGTCCTCAGGCTAGTTGAAAACTATACCAATGCACTTAGAATTGTACGCAAGTACGTTCTAGAATTTTTTCAGCCGCTTGCGGCGCCCCCGAACAACCACAAAACCGCCAAACTACCCAAACGTGCCCAAACGTGGCACTCGCGGGACGCATGAGACAACGGAGATTCCAAAAAACCAACAACGAGCTCAAACGGTCACAATGGGGCCAAGTTATGGACACCGCGCGATACCGCGCGCGGAGACGCGGAAACAACAAAATTGCACCTACGCGGAGACGGCGTCGCTCGCGAACCGTCTGGGACCACGGCGACTCCGGAACACAAAGAATGAGCTCCATCGGGGGTGATTCAGCGGAGTTACGACGGAACGCGGGACAACGAACGCGGGAAACGGAAACAGCCAAAAGGCACCAGACGCGGCGCTGGCGTGACTCGCGGGACGTCGGGGACCACAGCGGCTCCAGAAAACAAAGAACGAGGTAAAACGGAGGCGATACGGCAGAACGCAGGACAACGAACGCGGACTCGGAAAACGCATAAATAACACACTCAAATATTTACCCAGTCGACCGCACGGCCGACGACGCACCGGTCTCCAGGGTCACCTGCGACCGCTCCGCGCCCGTCGCCTGGGACCGCTCGTCGGCCGACAGGTTCGCCGACGGCGACGCGCCCGAGGGCTCGGGCGCGACGGGCGTCGGCGTCTCGAAGCGCGCGTCGCCGAGCGCCGCCAATTCGGCATCCGACACGTCGGCCTTCTCCGCGAGGGCAGCCAAAGACTGGATCTCGTCCGCGACCGTGCGCTGGGCCTTGGCCGTGATCTCCTCGCACGCGCCGGGCTCGACCTCCTGCGGGCTGACGACGCCGTCGTCCAGATCACTAATATCCACGGTAGACGTCACCTGCTGCAGGAAGTCGCGCGTGGGGGCCTTGGCCAGGATCCAGGCATTATCCCGCTTCTCGAACGCGATGAGCAGCCAGTGGCCGGCCTTGCCATAAGCTAAAACGGCGTGGCCCCAGCGCAATTCCCCGACCACATAAGACCCGACCTCGGGCACGACGCGCACCTTGATCTTGGAAAATTTGGGGAGAGAGGGGTGCGCCCGGAACCACCGCGGCCGCGCGAACAACTCGACCTCCCGACCCTTCTTCAGCGTCTTCGGCAGGACGGCGAACTCGATGTGGCCGCCCATGATCATCTTGCGCTTCACCTCCTCGGCTTCGTCTAGATCCTGTTGCTTTCGAATGGCCTCCTTCTTCCGGTAGATGATCCACTTCTGGAGCCGGCTCCGCTTCGCGCGGGCCGCCTTGAGCTCCTCGGCGTTGAGCTGCATGAGCTTGAGCTCCTCCGGCGTGCGGCCCTGCGAGCGGACGTCGCGTCGATGGCGTGCCACGGTGTCGCGTCGATGGCGTATATGATGCCCGGTCGCCGCGACGCTGTCGACGCGACGAACGCCGGAGACGTGGCGTTGGCGCCCCGACGGCGTCGACGCGAAGAAAGACACGCTCAGTACAATAGGGACGCCGCAATACACACCTTCTCGTAGGGCGTCTCGCCCGCCAGGATCGGTCGAAACACGGGCGCCTGGCCCTTGGCGTGCTCCGGGTGCCGGTTTCGCAACCACACGAGCGCCCGAGGCTCCAACCGCGGATCTTTGGGCAGCGGCGCGCCGCCGGCCTGCGCTGCGATCGCCCGCCTAATCGTGTCGGCCGCCGCCGCCGCGGCTTTCGCACCGCCCCCACCGATGCACGACGAGGGCCAGACCACTTTCAGCCACTCCGTGCCGCTCCCCTTCGTGACCAACGGATTCCCGAGACCGTCCGCGACGCAGTAGACGCCGCACGTCTTTAAACCAATAGCGCCCGTCGGCCGCCCGTGCTTCTCGTCGGGCATGTCGTAGGTCTGGACCTCGGCGTGGTGCGGCACCTTACTATCAAAACATAGGAGCACGGGAAAGGGCGGCGGGTCCTTCTTGCCCTTCTTCTTCTTCCTTTTGCGCTTCTGGAGGACGTCGTCCTCCTTCTTCTTCCAGAACTTGCCTTTTTGCGCTTTCGCCGCTTTCCGGCCTTCCTTGGCTCGTAATTCATTTGCCACAACTAGTCTAGCTCTCTCAAGCATGTTCCGTCGCTCCTTCTCCGCAACCTGGGCCTTCTCGTACTTCCGGTGGGCCTTCTTCGCGTCGCGCATATGTAACGCAAGCTGCGCCTTGTCCACTAAACTAAGTCCACAAATTTGACAGACGCACTCGGACTGGTCGCGCGGCGGCCGTCGTCGTCGATACGCTTCTCTCGCAAGTCTTTGGGCCTCACAACTAGCGTCCGCTTCTAAACATCGCACGCCGTCCTGCACGCGCGGGTCGTCCGTGCCTCCTCGCGCGTCCTTCGGCGGCCCGAGCAGGAGTCGCTTCGGCTTCGCTAGTAATCGTCGAAGAATGGCATTGACCTTGCGCCGCTCCCTCCTTACTCGCTCCTTCCCGCCGCCCTGGGTCCACCACAGGATTAATTCTTCGACGTCGATCTCGCCCGAATTATCTTCATCTAATTGGGCGTAGACCTCGGCCAACTGCTGCCGCGTGAAGTGGCTCCAGCCCAACCTTATCAATAATGCAGTGAGCTCGTGGGCGTCGACGGTCCCGCCGTGGTCCATGTCCACGCGCTGGAACGTGTCGCGCAGCCTGCGTACGGCGTCGCGTCGATGGCGTGTACGAGGTCGCGTCGATGGCGTGGAGGTGTATGAGGTCGCGGCGATGGCGTATGGGGACACACAAGGACGCGGATAAACGCACCACTCGTCCTCGGCCTTCTTCTTCTCCATCGCCTTCAGTTCTTTCGGTGTAGGTAAAGCGCGTACCTCCGCTAAATGATCCGCCTCGGCCTTCTCCGCCTCCTTCTTCCTGATAGCATCACCGACGGGATCGGCGATCCTTCCCATTTGCTCACCGATCTCATCAAACGAACCGCGCGGCCGATAAATGTCCTCTCCACTTCCAGACCGCTGCCGTCGCTTCCGGAACTCCTTCCACGAGTCCTTGTCCTTGGACTTGCGCGGCTTGACCTTGGCCGGAGCGTCGGTCTTCTTGCGGCCGCAGCACCATTTCGAGGGCGGCTTCTGCACCTCCTTCTTCCTCTTCCGGGCCGAGCCCGAGGACGAGACCGAGAGGTCCGACGCGCGCCGCCCTTGTAGACCGTCGTCCTCGCGCTTCCGATCTAAGGCCTCCTGCTCGCGCTTCTTCTTCGCGGCCTCGCGCTTGGCCTTCTTCGCCTTCTTGTCGACGTCCATCTCGTCGCAGACGGCTCGAGCTAACCTAACTCCATCAGGAACACGCATGGCCGCGAGGTTCGCCTTCGCGGCCGCCGCCGCGCCCGCGGCTTCAACGGCGTCGTCCTCGTCTTTCGTCCGGGCGGCTTCCTTGGCGCGCTCGCGCTCCTGGCGCCTCCCAAGTCTCGCGGCGACCTTGTCGGGTTCCGGCAGCCAGCCGACACTCGTCCACTCGCCGGCCAATTTACAGGTCTCTGTCGACACGGGCGGCGGCGGCAGGACGTGGGCGTCGTCCTGCGTCGACAATTCCTCGTCACTCACGCCGTCCTCGAGCTCCTGCTTGAGGCGCTCGTACTCTCGCCTTTTTCGACGGAGCTCCGTCTGCTCCCGCGCGTTCTGCCGTCGCAGCACCTTGGCGTCATGACTACCGGAACCGCGACTCGCCCGCAAATTGTCCGACGAGCCGCGGTCCTCCCTCCTGATTCTTTCCTCGTCGGTCTCGTCCTTCGGGGTGATGGCCTTCAGTAGCAAGTCGAGTTCGGCTTGTTTTCTAGCTCTTTTACGCCCCTTCCGTTCCCGCTCGGCGTTGATCCTATCTTTTCTTGATTGGGCCAACGTAGTAGCAATGGAAGGTACGTACGTGACGTGTTTGCCCGTCACGGCCGCGGTCTTGGCGCATTGTTCATCAGCTTCACTCGCGGGCATGCGGTGGTCGCGCCAGAGCCACTTCGCGTCGCAACTATTCCCGCGGAGCACCATGGTTTTGATGGGCGTGGGCTTCGACCGGTCCAAGGCATTGGCTAAGGACCGCACGGCTTCATCGCTCAGAGCATTGTTGGCCAGATCCAAAGATGTCAATCTCTTGGTGCGCTCGCAGGCGGAGCACAGTGCCGTAATACCCAACAGGTCCGTGCCGTCGCCGGTCAACTGACAGTCGCCCAACCCAAGGTGTTCCAGACTCCCCTGCCTCACACCGGCTGCTTTCTCCGCGGCCCTTGATTTCGCTTGCACGGCCTTGGCCTTGAGCGTGGCGCCCATGCGCATGATCGCCGATGAAGTAGGTGCCTCGGCTTTGATAGTTTTTTTATCTGTTTCGCCTTCCGATTCCTCGTCGGAACCGACGCCGGCGATGGCTAATGTCTTCAAAGTCAACGCGCCGCCGTTCGGGTCCTCGCCCCGCTTCTTGGCGGCTCTTTCCGAAGCGACCTGGTCTCGTAGTTCTCCTGAACCTCCAGCTAAAGCCTCGCCGAGCCACCACGCGCCCAACGACCCCATGCGCGGGTTGTCGTTCAGTTCCAGATGTAATAATGTTCCCGACAATCGAACAGGTTCGGAGAGGTGCTCGCAGCCCTTCGCGTCGATGCGATTCGCAGCTAACGAGATGTGCGTGAGGACGCCGTTTCGCAACAAAGCTCTCGCTATGGCGGCGGCCCCATATTCTCCAATCGCATTCTCATTCAAATCCAACCTTTGTAAAGTGCCGTGGCCCACAAGACCCATGGCGACTTGGGCCGTACCGTCATCAGCTAAGGCGCATCTTGCTAAAACACATCGCACTAAAGGAGCCGGGACCGTGGGCTGCTTGACGGGGCGGGGCCCTTCCTTTTTCGTCGGCGAGTCGACGGGCACCTTTCTCTCTGTACCTAGTGCCTTCCCGACGGCGCGGCCGCCGTCCCTTCCAATGCGATTCCGACTGAGATCAAGCACCTCGAGACCCGGCGCGTCGCCCCGTTCCAGCGTCGCGCAGAGAGCTCCAACACCGTCGCCGCTCAACCCGTTCGACGCCAAGCTTAATTTCTTCAGAGCGCCGCCGCCGCCGCCCGCGCGAATCGCCCCAGCCAAGGCCCAGGCGCCGTCGTCTTTCAAACCGTGGCCGTCCAACCGGATGTCCAAATCTTTGACGGAAGTAGCAGCGTGCTCGGCGACGACGTGGATGACATTTTTCGGGGGATCGCCGCGCTGCGGCGCGGCCGGGTCCAAGTGGTACTCGCCGTCGATCTTGAACGTATACGAATACGACCCCGGCGGTAGTGCTACCATAGCGTCGTAGGCCGCATAGACTTTCTTCGAGGGCTGCAGTTGGACGAACTCCCATCCCGAGAATTCTCCTTCCACACCGACAGATAACTGGGGCTTCGGCTTTAACTCCGGCCGCCATCTCAACATAACTTGGGCCGTATGTGCTCCTTTGTCAACGGTAAACACAGCGGGCACATCACCGACAGGCTTCGCGACGTCCTTCCTCAATGAACTGATGGCGTCGGCCAATGAAGTGTCTTTACCTCGACCCTTCAGGAACCGCTTCGAGCCGATCGTGGCCAGGCCCTTGATCGAGCGAGGCGCTGAACGCCAGCCCTTGCAGGGGTCCACGCCTACGACGGTCGCGCCCATGGCCTCGGCATCTCTGTAAGCCTGCAACGGATCGGAGAGCGACGGGTTCGGCGCGTTCATCCAGAGCGGCGGTATGTCTTTGGGCGTGGGCGGCGGCGTCGGCCACAGGACGGGGTGGAACATCAACCGATTCGCTCGTAATCTCCTAGCTTCGTACTCCGGCGTATCAGATATAGCAAACTCGCCATGTTCATCATGACCGCCACCGGACACGGTCGGTCGTCCGACGACCGATCGCACGCAGCTGAACCTTTTTTCAGCATTTCTAAACTCCTCGGCCTCTCGAGCCTCGTCTTCGTCGGCGCCCAACGGCCTCGGTCGCGACTGCCTGAATTTAAGTCTAGCATACCGCGCCGCGTCCTCCTCCGCACAGGCGCACATGATGCGTTTGGCTTCCCCCACTTGGACCGCACCGGCGGCCGCAGCACCGGCGTTCGACGCCTGGAGCATCATCACCCTCATCTTCCCGAAGAAGCCGCCCTGCTTTTGCTTGCCGTACTCCTTGTACCAGGCGTAAAACTCGTCGAAGTCGATGTCTCCCGAACCGTCGTCGTCCATGTCCTCCATGAGGTCTTCCAGTTCCTTCTTGTTCTTTAGGGGGACACACAAAGCTTTGAGGAGTACGCCCAACTCGTCGACGTCGATCGCGCCCGAACCATCGGCGTCGAAGGTGTTGAACGTGTCCATGACGCGCTGCAACTCCTTATCTTGCAACTCTTCGGCCGCGGCATTTACCGATTGCAGTCGCAGACCTTCACTCCTCCGCTGCTTCTTCTGGTTCTCGAGGAACTTGACATCTCTGTCAAATTGCGTCTCGGGTGGCTCATCCGCACCTCGCTCCAGCGCGCATTTCCCACCAAGCTTCTCGAGCTCGACGCGGAACCGCTCCGCCTGCGGTCGTCGCACGCGCCTAACAACATGCGACGGCAATTTATCAACTAATTTAGCTGCTTGCTTCCATTTACAATCAGTGAACGTCATAACCAGCTTGATGAACTTTCTTCGTTTGAGGAAACCTCTAGAGCGATTGGTCAACAAAAGGTCCCACCAGCCGACATCTTTGGGATCGACCTCGGCCGGCTCCTCAACTAATAAACCTTGCCTCCGGAGCTTCTCCCGGAGCTTATCGGCTCTACGTTCCTGCTCCTCGAGGTTACCTTTTCGAGCAGCGTAGGCCTTACCTAAAGCATGATCTTCAGCCTCGCGCTTCTCCTGTTCTTTGAGGGTTTCGATTTCCCTCCTCTTCTGGAGCTCCTCAGCTAAGTCTTGCTCGGCCCGTAACGCCGCGACGACGCGAGATAACTCCTGCTTCCCATGATCAGTTTCCAAATAAGCTAGCATGATGTCCTTGACCTCGCGCCCAAACAGATCCACCTCGTGGGCCTCCTGCTCCTTGTAGAGCGCGCGCTGCTGCTCGAGCTCGCGGCGCTGGCGCGCCGCGCGGCCCTCGACCTCGGCGAGCACGGTCTTTTGTTTGGTCAGGTGGAGCTCGGCGGGCGCGACGGGCCTTGTGCGTCTATCACGCTTCGAGACGTTCTTCCAGACGTACATGGTGCTGTCGTGCGGCGCTCTACCTGGAGCTAGGTTGCCAGTGCTGGTCGGTGCGGTGCGGCGGCGGCGTACCGCTGCCCAAAATTATACAGACCGCTTCTAGGCCGGGTCTGCGGCAGCTGTAGCCATAATTAATGAAGGGGCAGCCCGCTCCCGGCGCGCCATAGCCCTTTTTAGGTGCTGCCAACGCCAACAAAACCTGCACGACACGAGAACCGCGAGTGTCCTGAAGCTCTCCAGCAGTCCTCCGGTCGGTGGGCGAGAGGTCCCGCGTCCGCGGACTCGCGCCTCGCGCGCCGCGGCGGCGGCCGCGCGAAGCGGTTTGGCAGGGTGGCTGCCCGGGCCGTAAAAGCGTGCCGTATCGCTGCAAACAGCGGTCACGGTGATTCATTCGCTCCTCTGTAGACCCGCTTCATCAGCCCTCCACGCAGCGTACGCGTAGAGGCTGCCCAGTTGTTTAGCAAGGGCAGGATCCAGGACCACCCCTCACGCGGCCGACGCGGCCCCGGGTGACACCAACCATGCTCGGCTCCTTCGCCTTCGCCCAGCCCGACGCGCGCGTGGCGCCGACCATGGCCCAGAGCCCGGGGCCCGAGTCCGTGCGCAGTTCCACGGAGTCGCTGCACATGACGCTCGCCCAACACCTCGACGTCAAAGAGTCGGACGACACCGAGCTCCAGGCTCTGCTGTCGCGGGTCGACGGCGACGTGCCCGACGACGACATTGACGAGGACGAGCTGGCGCTCCTCGAGGCCCAGCTCGGGCAAAAGGAGGAACCGACGGGCGCGCTCGCGGCCCTGGGCGCGGAGCGGTGCCGCCAGCGGCTTGCGGTGCCCGAGGAGGCCGACGAGGACGGCTCCGACTCGCCGACGCCACCGCCACTGGATGCGCCGGGCGGGCCCGCGGCTCCCCAGAGGCCGCGCGCCGTCGCGCTACGGGAGTGCGCGAAGCACCTCCAGACGCTCGTGACGACCATCGAGCAAGAAAATACGGCTCGCAATAAGCTCCCCACCGCAAAAGGCGCGGCGCTCGTTTTGAAATTAGAGGACGCGGTCGACCGCGCGGAGCAGCTGCGCCAGGCGTCCGGCGAATCATTGGATGGGCTGCGCGCGGAGCTGGGGGATGTTCCATACCTCGCCGAGGTCCTCGAGGCGGCCGTCGAGGTCGCGCGCGACGAGCATTTGGCCGCGGACCCCGACGTCGTGAAATCCTTAAGGGAGGACGTCGACAGGTGCCTCAAGAAGGTGCGCCGCGACCTGCGCAAAGCGGATGGGTCTGTTAAGCGTGCTCAGGCGCGCAAGGCCCGTGCAAATATGAGGCCAGAGCTGCCGCCGCAGCGCGGCTCGGGCTTCAGCGAGAGACGGTACGTTCGGCCGAAGAAGAAGCCCGTGCAGACGGCCTTCGGCTACAACGCGCGGGACCGCGTGACGGAGGACGTCCTCGTCATCCCGGAGCGGAAGGACGGCCTCGCCGTGAAGCGGCCGGACTTCATGAAGCGGGCGCCGCCGCCGACGGTGAGCCGGCACAATGCTTTTCAGCCGACGTCGAACGACCTGGCGGGGTTGCAGCTTTGAGCTTTAAGTTCCTTTTGTCACACCAGGCTCAGGCTAAATTACGTCGCGGGGTCTCTCCTAGATAAACCCACTACAGTCTACACTGAGTGCCGCTGGAGCCGCTCCTGCCAGCCACTACGCGACGAGAACCGACCGCCGGACAGCCTCAGAGAGTGATTAGCTTCCTTCGGTACCTAGGGGCACAAAGCCGGGCAGCCCACGCACTCCCGGGAGAGGCAGCACCTCCAGCGCCTAGGGACCCAAAGCTCAGCTCGGAGCGCCGACGGGCTGCCCACACACTTCCAGAGGAGCGCCGGGCGCGGGGCAGCACGCCGACGATGCGGCGCCTCGCCTGCGTCGTCGCCGCCCTCGCGCGCGCGACGAAGGAGTACGAGGAGAGCTTCGCAGAGGACCTCTTCGGGAATTTGGAGCTCTACGAGCAGGCGGCGCTGAACGGCGACTTGACGAACGCCGAGGCGCGACGAGCCCGATTGGTCGAGGACCTCGACGCGCGCTGGGCCGCGACGGAAGGGAACAACCCCAATAAAGTGGTTCCTGAGCTCTGGGACGAACGAGTGGATGACGGCTGGTTCGACGAGCCGCCGCCCGTCGACGAGTCGATCTGGATCCCCAACCGTCATGGTATCGAGGAGTCGGACGAGGTGCGATGCAAGCTCGACTGCCACGCGCCGTCGTGCGCGCGGATCGGCATGGACGTGACGCAGGAACGTAGTTGTAAGTGGGGCAAGTGGAAACCAACCGTCTTCAACGGCGCATCCAATGAAGGGGGCCCGTCGGCGCCGCTCGGGCGGACGAACAAGGAGCCGTGCCAGCATTCCGGCTATTTCCCCTTGTACTGCTCGCGGACCTGGGCCCAGGCGCAGTCTCCTTCCGGTAAAGCGTACGCCGCCGCGGGCACGAGTCATTTGTTCGCGCCGGCTGGTTTAGACGAGCAGGATGTCTTCGAGGGCGGCTATTCGGGCGACGCCGAGCGCTGCGAGAAGCAGTGCATGCTGACCGTGACGCAGACGCCGGACACGCGGCCGATCATCTCTGATGTACCGTTCAACATCAGCAACGTCACGGATGCCTCAGCCAAAAAGCACAACGCCACGTGGGTCGCTGAGCAAGATGCGGAGCGGGAGGAGCACCACCGCATCGCCGTGGAGGCCGAGGCGAAGGTCCGGGCTCGTGCGGAAGAGGAGAAGAGGAAGGAGAAAGAGGCCAAAGCGAAAGCTCTGAAGGTCGAGCAAGAAGTGAAGGAGCAGCGGCGGTTGCTGGCCGAAGCGGAAGAGGCCGCGCGCCAGCATGCTCTGAAGCAAGAGAAGGCTAAAGCTAGAGAGAAGGCTGAAGCCGAGGCGGCCCGAGTCGCCCAGGCGAAGCGCGAGAAGGAACGCGCGCGCGTCGCGGCCGAGGCCGCGGCGGCGGCCGAAGTCAAGAAGGCCGCCGAAGAAGCTGCAAGCGAGAAGAAGAAGCTGCAAGCGCAGCGCTTGGCCGAAGCGGCTGAGAAAGCCAAAGCTGCCGAGAAGCAGCGCCTCGCGGAGAACGCGCGACGAGCCGCTGCGGAACAGGCCTTACTTGCGAAGGAAGCCGAACGCAAGAAGAAGCGGGAAGCCGCACGCCTCGCAGCTGAAAAACAGGCAGCAGCAGAGGCAGCGGAGGCCAAGCGCCTCACCGAGGAGGCCAAGGTAAACGCGACGCGAAAAGCCGAGGCGGACCGCGCGCTCGCGGCCGAGAAAGTCGCCCAGGCGGAGGCGGCCCATTCCGAGACCGCAAAACGGAGATCCGCGCGAGCTGCTGCCGGAAAATCACCCCAGGCGAAGCGCGTCGAGCGCGCGGAAGCCGAGGCGATCAGGACCGCGAACGCGAAACTCGAGGCCCTCAAGACCGCGGGCCATACGATCAAAAAATCCCAGGCCGGCGGGAAATGTGGAGTTGATGACGATTGCGTGTCGCCGCTGCAGTGCAGCAAGGGCGACAAGGAGCCCTACCCCACGTGCAAGAAGAAGCGATAACGTTCCTTGAAAGATAGTTAGAAGTATAGTTCGGTACTCCGGGGCAGGAATGCCGTCGCGCGCACGCCGTCGCCGCGCCTCCTTGGAAAGATAGTTACGACCCGAGGGGGGCAGAGTTACCTAGGCGCGCGCCGCGGCGTGCCCCCCCTCGGCCTTGTGCTCGAGCCGCGGGTTCGGCTTGAGGCCCTCCAGCCCCAGCAACTGGAACAGCTGCGTATCGGAGTCGAACTCGGGGTTCGGCGTCGTCAATAGCTTGTCGCCGTTGAAGATGCTGTTCGCCCCGGCCAGGAACATCAGAGCTTGTTCTCCTTGACTAAATTCCAACCTTCCAGCAGACAGGCGCACCATGGTCTTGGGCAGGATGATGCGCGCCGCGGCGATCATGCGCACCATCTCAAACACATCAACCCTTTTGGCTTTGCCGGAATCCCCGATCGGCGTGCCCTCGACGGCGACGAGCGCGTTGATCGGCACGGATTCGGGGTGGCCGCCCTTCAACGACGCCAGCTCATGTAATAAACCGATGCGATCCTTCTCCTCCTCGCCTAAGCCGAGGATGCCGCCCGAACAGACCGAGATGCCGGCTTCCTTCACGTTTTGAATGGTATTCAGGCGATCATCGTACGTCCGCGTCTTGATCACGGAGGGATAGAACTCGCGCGACGTGTCCAAGTTGTGGTTGTAGGCGTGGAGGCCCGCCTCTTTTAATTGTTTCGCTTGCTCGGGATTGAGCATACCTAGAGTAGCACACACTTCTAAACCTTCCGCATTGACGCGCGACACCATCTCCAGGATCTCCCTAAATGCCTTCTTCTTGTTGCCTAGTTCCCGCCACGCGGCGCCCATGCAGAATCGAGTGCTCCCGGCGGCTTTTGCCCTTCTCGCACTTTCTACAACTTCGTCGACCGGCAACTGCTTCGTGGGCTTGACGTGGGTCTTGTGTCTTACGCTCTGCGAGCAGTAGCCGCAGTCCTCCGTGCAGCCGCCCGTCTTGATGGATAATAAAGTGCACTGCTGGACGTCTCTAGAATCCCAGTGCGCGCGGTGGCAGGCGCCGGCGTCCCGAATAAGTTCGAGTAACGGTTGATCGTACACGGCCTGGACCTCGGCGCGCGTCCAGTCGTTTCGGGTCGGAAAGCAGGCCTGCGTCGCCGCCCGCACGGCCGCGTCGTCGGCGACAGAGCGGTAGGGTTTCGGTTTCCGGTCCGGTTGCGGGGCTTCTGGTCTTGTTCTAGTGACGTTGATCTCGGGCGCGTAGTCCTCGTCCTCCTCGTAGGCGACGGCCGCAGTGGACTTGCCCTGTTGGAGGCATGCGAGGGGGCTACGGCGCCGCAGCAGCCGCGCGGCCGCCCTGCTTGCGAGAGCCATGGCACAGTGCTCCCCCGGGTCTCCGCTTGCTCCCGGATGCCGTGAAAGGCCCGGTTTCAAGCCAGAACGAGGCGCTCGCGGCTGAAGTTGCTCCTAGAGCGTATGAGCTAGGTTTTGTCGATTATTTTTTGCCTTGGAATCGCGCCAGGGCTCCAAGGAAGGCTAGAAGCACACCATGGCGTCCCGGTGCTAATTTCGGGCCCGTCCTCGGAGAGGCAGCTCTCAGACCAATGAAATGCGATGCACCGTGATTCAAGCTGTTTGCACCAGTTTTGTTTGATAAAATTGCACCCGCAGCAAGCATTTATACGTAGTGCAGCGCTCTCAAATTTTCGGCGCGTCAATTGAGCCCTACACCAAGCACCAGCCATGAACGATGCACTGCTGGGCACATTGAACGTCGTCGCCGTAGCTATAGTCTTCTGGTGCCTCTCCGTGGTCTGCGAGGAGCGCTTCGTGCCCGCGCTCGCGGTGATATGCGACGTGCTCAAGATTCCCGACGATGTGGCAGGAGCGACGCTCATGGCGGCCGGCGCGTGTAGCCCCGAGGTCGTGTCCAGTTTCATCGCGTTGTTCGTCACACACTCGGCGCTAGGAGTGGGCTCCGTCGTCGGCTCCGAGATATTCAACCACCTCTGTATATGCGCCGGCTCGGTCTTTTACGCCAAGGGCGGCGTCCTGGTACTGGACAAGGCCATCGTCGCGCGGGAGACCTTGTTCTACGCCATCGCCCTCGTCCTCCTCTTGTACGTGCTGATGCGCGAGCACGACGGGGATAACCACATAGTGATCCGCTGGTGGGCCGGTCCGGTGCTCGTCGCCGTATACGCGCTGTACGTCGTCGTCGCGGCGAAGTACGATTTCATATTGGCGAAGCTCGGGGCCGCGCCAGCGCCGCGCGCCGAGCAGCCGCCGCCGGCGGGCGCCAAGCTCGAGCGGCGGTCGTCGTTGATCTACGAAGACGAGCCCGCGGCGAACTTCACGACGCCTGCGCAGTCCGAAGAGCTCGACGGCTCGTACGGCAGCGTGTCGAACCCGCTCCACGAGGACGCGGACGAGTCGTTCGGCTCCAGGGAGTCGCTGTCGCACTCACTGCGCCGGCGCCGAACGTCCATCCTCCGGGCGTTCAACGAGGAGTCGCGCCACCTCATCGACCGCTTCGGGCTCCTCCGCTTCGCGAGAGACGAGGCCCACTTCGGCGACGTCGAGGACGAGGACGGCACGTTTGGCTGCTACGTCTTCAAGGCAAACCGTTTCTACCTGTCCTGCCGCGCGTCGACGCACGCGTGGGAGCTGCGTTGGCTCCGGGTCTCGCCGGGCGAGGTCTGCCTCTACCGCAAAAAAGACGACGTCGACGCGAAGCCCTTCTGGACGCCGAGCGGGCCGTCGAGGTACGCGTTACGCGGCGTGGCCGTGGCCGACGCGCCGCGGCACGTCCTCGCGCTAGACCTGGCGCCGATCTACTCGTCGGCCGCCGACGCCCTCGGCTCTTCTTTCGACGACGTGTCGGAGCTCGTCGCGATGCGCGCCTGGATGCTCGCGCCGAACGGTGCGGTTTTCGACGCCGCGCTCGAGCGGCTGACGGCCGCGGCCGACGCCGCCTGCCAAGTCGTGCCCCTGCGCCGCCAGGCGTCGGTATTCGTCGACGGCCACGCGCCGACGGACGAAATGGAGCCTTCATTGATCGAGTGGCCGGAGGACGCGACCTGCCTGGGCTCCTGCCTGCACGTCGCGCTGCTCCCGATCAAGTGGCTCCTGCACGTGACGATCACCGACGTACGTACTGATCCTGGATTGGCCAAGGACCAGGCGCCGCGCGCGTGCCTCGAGTGCGTCGCGTGGCTCGTCGTCCTCTCGCTCGCCATGGTCTGGTGCTGCGAGACGCTGGGCGCGCTCCTCGGTCTGCCCGATTCCGTCGTGGGCCTCACGCTGTCGGCCGTGGGGACGTCGCTCCCGAACCTCTTCGCGTCGATTAGCGTCGCGCGGCGCGGTCTCGGCAATATGGCCGTGTCGAACGCGCTCGGGTCGAACAGCTTCAACATTTACATTGGATTGGGCCTGCCGTGGCTCATCTACACGGCGGTCATCGGCCCGTACCACTCGCTCCCGGCCGACGACATCGTGGGCCCAGTGCTCGTCCTCGTGGTCGCGCTGGTCGGGTTCCTCGTCCTCCTCGCGTGCACGGGCTTCAGGCTTCACCGCGGCCACGGCATCGTGTTCCTGGCCTTGTATCTGGCTTTTCTCGTCTGGGCCGTGGCCAAGGAGTACTAGTATTTAAACCTGTCTTTTATACAACCCCCCTACTCCTCGGCCTTCTCCGGCACGAAGACGGCGATCTTGGCCAGCACGGTCACGGTCACGCTGCACATGAGCAGGAGCGAGATGGGGAAGATGCCGGAGCCGCTCGGCCCGCTGGGGATGCCGCCGTCGTGGTTGAATTTGTCGTCCGAGTACAGGTTCTCGAACGCGAAGCCGTGGATGACGCCGCCGCGGTACCAGAACAGCAGGTGCGAGAGGATGAAGACGAACATCCAGTGCGGCTCCTGGCCCCAGCAGAACTGGATGATCGGGTGCCTGCGGTCGGGCGTCGCTGCTCAGCGGCGGCGGCGGCGACGGGATTTGATGGGATACCGGCGGCCCCAGAAGAGGCCAGGCTGCCTCAATTCTCCAAGCGCGGGCCACCCCGAGACCCGGGGTGAACCGGCCTTCGCGGCGCGGCGGCGGCCGCGGGCGCGCGCGCGCGTGCGCCGCCCACGACCGCGCGCCGCGGCGGCGCCGGGCGCCCCTTAATTTGCGGCGCGCCTCGAGCGTTCGTCGGGGGGCGCGCCGGCGGCCGTGCTGCTCTGCGATGGCAATTGTTCAGTAAATTGGGGACGCTGCCCCCTACGGCGGGACCTTCTTCTTCTTCAGGTCCGAGATGGACCCGCTGAACACGCTCTGGCTGGCTCCCGTCGGTTCCGCCATTTCCGCCCGCTGTTTCGTTTCCAACCAGGGAGCACGGCGATGTGACCGCCGCGAGACTGTGCGGGGTTGCCCCAGGCGTCCGCACGGCGCGGCGACGGCTCCTATCTCTCGCCCGGGGGCCGCACCGTCTGCTTCGCCGCAGAGCTAGATTGCTAGTGTCTTACGGCCGCTAGCTAGCTAAAACGCAGTGGCTCTTTTGCGACGGCCTAGCTCAGCGGTGTCGACCTCCATCGCTCTGTTGTCTGCGCGATTTGAACTCTGCCCGAGGTGCGACAGTGCTGCCGAAATCTCGCGTCCTGACGATACGTGGAACTCATCAAACCTAGCAAGTGGACATCACACAGCAATAATTTGCGTGCTCATCCGAGCTAGACAACGCAGCCAAAGCATGGAAAACGACAGCGACTCGGACGACTCCGGCATCCTCGTCGAGGAGGTCACCACCGCGCCGAGCGACGACGAGGGCGTCCTCGTCGAGGAGGTGGCCGTCTCGCACGCGGAGGACGACTACGTCATCGCCGACGCGACCGTAGCCAATGAAGACGCCTCGGACGACGACGCCGTCGTTATTGAAGATGTCACGCACGAGCGCGACAGCTCCGACAGTAGTTCTGACGACGAGGAAGATGAGGACGATGACCTGCCCGTCGTCGAGGAGGTCGCGCACCCGAAGCAAAGCTCCGCCAAGCAGCGCGCGCCGCCGTCGCGCGTCGAGCTCGCGCAAGCCAAGGAGGAGAAGCGCGTCGAAGGCAACGCATTGTTCGCCAAAAAACGTTTTCGAGATGCCGCCAAGTTTTATGGAGAGGCCATCGACCTCGACCCCTACGACCATTCTCTTTATTCGAACCGGGCGCTCTGCTTTCTGGAATTGGGAGCCTTCGAGAAGGCGCGGCTCGACGCCGAGGAGTGCACGAAACTCAGACCGGACTTCCTGAAGGGTCATTTGAGATTAGCGCGCGCGCTGCGTTTGTTAGGTGCCTGCGATAAGGCGCTGGAGGCGTGCAGGGCCGGGTTGGAGGTCGAGCGGAACTCGAAATCACTAAGAGCGGAATATGTCGAGGCGAAGAGGGCGTTGCGAGCGCAGAAGCGCAAGCGGGCGATCCAGGGCGACTTGCACGACCTGGCCGCGGAAATGACGCCCGAGGTGTGTGTCGGCGTCCCTCTTTCACACGCGCGCGTCGCGGCGATGGCGTCGGGCCGTCGCCGCCGACGTCTGTTCGCGGCGTTCTCGTTCGACGCGTGGGTCACGGCGACGGCACGCGGTCGGAGAGAAGCGGATCGCACACGCCTCGACGCCGTCGGCGTGAGAGGGCGAGAGCCGCGGCGGGCCGTCGATGCCGAGAGACGACACACGGACGCCCACAAACAAATCACGCCACAAAACGACAAACACTAAAAAAAACACAGGAGCGCCGCTGGAAGGCCTGGTGGGCCGGCCAGGGCCACCCGACCTGCGTCAACAACACGAACCTCGAGCGGTACATCCCGGACTGCCCCGTCGACGTTTCCTATGATGCGGAGGTCTCGCAGGAGCTCCACGGCCCGGACAACCTGCCGCGCCTAGAGGAAGAGGACGACGAGGACGAGGACGATTTGTTACTCGAGGAGATCTTGGAAAGGCTCAAGTGGGACGCGTTGCTGCCGAAATTTGAAGATGAAGGATTGGGTCCGCGGTCGCTGTTGACGTGCGCGCGACTACCGGAGCTCCGACCCGTTTTACAAACTTTCCTCCAGGATGATATGAAAGAGTTAGTAGCATTAGCCGAGGCGCAGGCCAGCGACTGCCTCGAGGCGTCGTGGGACCGCGGCAGCGAGGCGATCAGGGCCTTTCCGCCGTCCAACGCGCCGGGCCTGGCCTACACCTATCCTGGCTTCTCGTGGCGGCAACGAGTCAGGGAGATTGAGTTACGGGTGTTGCTGCCGCCCGGGTGCTCGGCGCGCGACCTTTGTGTGGAAGTCAAGCCGAGACGCATCACGGTCAAGGTCAAGAAGACTGGTTTACGGGTCTGGCCCTACGAGCGCAACTCCTGGACGTCGATCGTGGATGTGGGGCCGCAGCTGCCGGGTGTTGTGTCTGAACCGCCTTCGTTTGATGAGCACGAGGACGATGTTTTAGATGCGCTGGACGAGGTCGCGGACGAACCTAAACTGACGTCGGCCGCGGAGGCTTTTAGGAAGGCGAAGGCGCGCCCTGTTGTTGATGATGATCACGCGTCCGATGATGAGCTCGAAGTGGAAGAACTGCCTATGAGCGATGACGAGCTCGAGGTCGAGGAGCTGCCGCTGAGCGATGATGATGACATCGAGGTCGAGGAGCTGCCGCCGATCGCCGAGGCGCCGCCGCGGACGCTCAAGGCGCGCTGGGTCGAGGGCGGCCTCGCGCTCAAGGAGTTCGAGGTGTCTGAGCAAGACGTAAGAGCCCAGATCTTCGCGCAGACGGCGATCCCGCCCGAGCTCCAGATTTTGGAGTCTGATGGAGTTGTGGTGGCGGACGCGTCGAACGTGGACACGATAGACGTCCGCGAGGCGGCGTCGACGGCCGAGGCCGCGCGCCTGTTACAACCAGTTCAAGAGGAGGAGGAGGCGGAGGAGGACGACGACAATGCTTACGCCGACGCCGCGCCGGACACGGTCACTTTATTAGATTTCCCGACTTCCCGAAAGCTGCTCGTCGACGAGAGCGTGTGGCACGTGTCCAAGCCGCCCGCCCTTAAAGGCCACGCGCTCCAGGCGCCTATTTTGGTGATGCAGCTCGCCAAGTTCCAGAACTTGGAGAAGGGCACGGCCCAGGACGCGGCGCAGGCCTGGTGGCGCACGATGTTTTTGGGCGCGGGCGAGGACGACTCGCTCAAGGCGCCGCCGGCGGGCTTCTTCAAGTGGAAGTAGTAGGCTGTAGTACTAATGATTTTGTTACACAACTTAGAGGAAGAAGCACCGTTTGAGAAAACCAACCAGCGACGAGAGGACGCCCTTCTTGCGGTTCAGCGCCGACGGGTAGAACATGGACCGCAACAGCACCCTAATCGAGTTCCGCACGGGCGCGAGGCCGCCGCCGCAGCCCATCGAGCCCCACGCGCACGGCGCGTAGGCGTTGTCCGCCGTCCTCCGATGCACCCTCAACCCGCCGTCGTCGTCGAGCTCCAAATAACTTTTCGAAGCACCGGGGTCCGCCGAGTTGGAAGACCAGATCACGCTCTCGACGTGGCCCTTGTCTCCACTATTAAGCACGAGGTTGCCGTCGTGCTGCAGCAGGAGCCAGCCGAAGCCGTGCTTCGCCCGCGTCGGCTTGGCGAAGGTCTGCCAGACTATGGAGCGAGAACCGGCTTCCCTCACCCGCAGATTCCCGTCCACTTCGAAGCGCGCTTCGTGCGAGCCGTCCCGCGACACCAGGGCCTCGTCCAACAAGAGCGCGCGGCCGCTCTCCAACCGCCCCACCACGACATTGATGGGCTTGCGGTCGCCCGCCAGGTCCGCCGCGAGCGTGTTCTCCGCGCGCCGCGGCGCGTGCTTGTGCCTCTTTCGGGCCTCCTTGTCGTACTTCTTTTTGGAGCGGGGAAAGCCCACAATATCATAGGCCTTGCGCAGCTGGCGAAATGGTTCGTTATCGCTTTTCCTCAGTTTATCGGGATGCAGCTCCTTCGACCGCGCCTTGTACGCCTGCTTGATCTGCTCGCGCGACGCGTCGAATGGCACTTTCAACACGTCGTAGGCGTCTTTGTGCTCGAGGCCCCAGGGGTCGTCGGCCTTGGCGAGCAGCGCCGCGGCGGCGTAGAGAAGGACGGCGCGCATCGTCATGGCGTTTGTGTTTCGTATTTTAAGCTGAGGCTGCGGACAGCGCAAATGCGGTATTTGAGGCCGCGGAAAGGCGCGGAAACAAGTAGCAAGCGGCGGCGGCAGTGCAGGGGAGACAAATCGACGGCGCGCGCTGTGTCTGGCGTCTCTATGATGTCTAAAACAGCAAATTACGCGCAAAATAATCGTTGTAAAACCCGTTTTGATTCGAGTCGACGCGTCTCACAGAAACTCGTCGAGAGCCTCACGGTACCAGTTATAGTCGCCGAATGAGCCTTGCGAGCGCTTTCTCCGGTCGATGCGACGCTGAATTTGCTTTGAGCACACTGGTTTTGCGCGGTCCTAATCGTGCCTCACACGCCTTTATCACTGCGCAAAATGCGTTGAAAACTACTGTCATAAACACCATTGATCGCTGCCATCATTGTTTGTTTGAACTCGTCGTGATCCTCGAGAGCAGCTGTCTCAGAGCACAGCACAGCATAAAACAGCACAGCATAAAACAATGACCACGCCCCAGTGGCGCATAAGAGACCTGCAAGAGCTGTGCGCAAGGCGCGTCGTCGCCTGCATCTCGCAGGGCGACACCTTTTTACAGGAACAATTACAATACCTCCCGCCGGCGGCCCTCGAGGGGCTCTGGGCCTTTGCGGCCGAGACGGACCGCCTCACGGACGCATTAGTGGCCGCAGCATTGAATCGGGAGAGTTTGCTGGACGCGGTCGAGCTGGGACGCGTCCCGCTGGGCGTGACGGAACGAGGGTTAAGAAGAGGCCTCCGCGCGCTGCCGCCCGCGACGCAGAGCATCCGCGTCGGCTGGCCCGCGCACTTCGGGCCCTGCGATTGGCTCGTGCAGGCGCTCTACAGCCGCTCGAAGGACGGCGCGACGCCTCTGTTGAAACTGGAGCTGCGCGCGGCGGGCCTCGGCGGCGGCCAGGGCGGCGTCGTCCCCACGCACTGGACGCGCACGGGCCAGCAGGACGCGGCCGAGGAGCGGCCGGCCCCGAAGCCGTCGTCGGCGTTGCTCGGAAGAGCGCGCGCGGCCGCGCACTCCGAGGAGGCGTGCCTCCTGCACGTCACGGACGGCGCCATCAAGTCCATGCTGCGGAGCGCGGCCACGGACCAGGGCGGGCTCGAGGTGCTGTCCATCGCCGGCGCGCGGGAAGCCGAGGGCCGCTTCGCGGACGCGCTGCGCGAGCACACGGCGCTAAAAGATTTGCGGTTCCGCGACGCGCCGCTCGTGTCCGACGACGCGGCGGCGGCGCTCGTCGAGGCCTGCGCGTCTACGTTGGAGGCGGCCGACGTGTCGCGGACGGGCGCCGGCCCGCGCTGCGCCCAAGCCTTATCCGGCTGCGCTTTGTTGCGGCGGTGCGCGGTCGACGGCTGCGACCTGTTCGACGACGACGCGTTAGATACGCTCCTCGCGAGTTCGGCCCTCGAGGAGCTGTCTTGTCGCCGGTGCCCGAAGCTCGCGGCCGGCGCGTGCTGGCGGTCCTGCGCGACGCTAGGAATTCATTTGAGGCGCCTCCGCTGCGATCTGCGGCGGGGCGGCATTTCAAAACTGCGCGCGCGGCGCGAGGCGGCGCTGCGCCTCATCCGGGACGAGGACGCGTCGGACTCGGAGGAGTCGCTCGACGCGGCGACGGCGTCGACTTTAGATGATCTGCCGCCCTTCGACGCGTCCTGGCGCGGGACGTCGCTGGCCTTCCTCTCGTGTGCCCTCGTCGGTTTTGATAATACTCAAATCCGCGATGTCTGGCTCCAGGCGTTACTGGCAAAACTCCCGAAGTCGTTGGTGGATCTGGACGTGCGCGGCAGCTGGGATGGTTCCGTGAGACCACTCGCCGCGTCGCTCGAGCACGTCCAGGGCATCCTGCCGAATCTGGAACGGGTCGGCGGCTTCGCCGTCGCGCACGTCGTCGCCCGGCCGCCTCTCGTCTCAAAGTTCGCGTCCATCAAGGCCCTGGACATCGCGTGCAGCGCGCTGACGGCCCTAGATGTGGGTGCTTTGTTGCATACGCTAGATACGCTGCAGACGGCGTCGCTGCGGGCGACGTCCGCGAACGCCGTCGGCGACGCGGCCCTCAAATCGAACATCGAGACGCTCGACTTGGAGGGTTTGAGATTTGGTTCGTTGCTCCTCGACCGGCTGCCGCGCCTGCGCGTGCTGCGGCTGACGCGCTGCGCGGTCCAAAAACTCGGCGTGAAGCGGGCGCCTTTACTAAATGAGCTGAACGCGGCGCAGTGCGCGGGCGCGTTCTGCGGCGTGCGGGGCGTCGACAGCTCGGCGCCCGAGCGCTTACGTTCATTGAGGCGATTAAGGGCGCCGTCGGACGCCTTCGCGGCGGCGTTCGCGCGAGCCGGCACGGCCCTGAAGTCCCTGACCCTGGAGGACGCGATGGTCTCGCACGAGAATGATGATGATGACGCCGCGCGCGCGACGCTGGGCGGCGTGCTGCGAGCCAGAGCGGCTACTAGAGCAGCGTATCTCGGCAACGAGGCGCCCCATCTAGATGGGCTGGTGTCGCTCGAGTTGTTGCGGGCGCGCGACTTCACGGCGAAGCACTTCGCGGCCCTGCCGCTGGCGTGTCCCGCGCTGCGGCGGTTGCGGCTCGTCGCCTGCGCGAACTGCCGCGGGACGCTGGCCTCGGACACGCAGCTGCCGCCGCCGGTGGCGTCGTCGGATCGCCGCCTGTCGGCCACGTCGGACGGCCACTTCGGCGAGATGACGCCCGTCAAGGGGCCCGAAGCCGAGTCCGACGACGAGCTCTTCGCGATGGACGACGAGCGGCCCGAGCGGAACGTGTCCTTCGCGAGTCCGACGTCGCGGCGCCTCGCCTTCGACGAACCGCCGCGTGTTGAGCGGCGCTCGCCGTCGCCGGCGCGGGCGACGCCGCCGCGGCGCCAGCGGCGGCAACATAACGGCGAGCGGTTTGATGCGCTGCTGCAGTGCTGGGTCGGCGGCCACGCGGGCGGGAGCGGCACGCCCTCTGTCCTAAGGCGGCTGGCCGAGCCGCGGAGCGCGGAGTATAGACGGTTCGCGAAGGTCGCCGCCGCCTTACCCGTCGACCGGCGGACGGGCCTGCCGGTCTGCGCGCGCTTTTTGGCCGGAAGATGTTCAAGGGCGACCTGCGAGTTCGCGCACCAGCAGGGGGGCAACAAGAAGCGGGTCCGAGCCCTGTTGGATTTACTGGACGAGGTCGATTCCTACCGCGAGGGCGACTGGTGGGCGCCGTCGAACGGCGACGAGTCCGACGACAACTCGACGGACGGCCTGTCGCGGAGCCCGCCGTCCGTATCTAACTCATCGCCGTCGTCGTCGTCGCCGCGAAGTCATGTGAATGACTTTGGCGGGCGGGCACGGCCGCCGCTGCGCTTCGAGAACCTGGAAGCTTTGGAGCTCGACGGGTGCCGCCACGTCGACGGGCTTATGTTGGATGGACCGCGGTTGTTGGCGCTGGCCGTGCCGCGGTGCGACGGTCTCAGTAACCTATCTGTCATAGCGCCGCGAGCCACACATTTAGATTGCTCGGGCTGCACGCGGCTGCGCAGCGTCCCGCTGAAGCCGGGCGCGCTGCCAATGGTCGCGGTGGCGTCGCTCGCGAACTGTCAAAGATTAGATGCGTCGTTCTTGCATTCCTTCGTGGACCACTGCCGGCACCTGACCCATTTAGATGTGTATGGCGCGGCCCTCGCCGAGCGCGAGGTCAAGAGCGGCTCCAAAAAGTCGAAGGCCGGGACCTTACATTCGGACCCGACGCGCATCAAGAAGTCGACGCGCGCCGGTTTGTCAAAACTTACGGCGGGCCGGCCCCACCTCGAGGTCGTGAAAACGCGGAAGGAGCACGAGGCGCCGCGGAACGCTACCCGTACAACTTTGGACCTGCGGCTGAGCTAGTCCTTGTTGCTTTGCTTAGACCGCACGCCCGCCCCGCGCTACGCTGTCGCCCCGAGTGTTAGCTCGGGGGCGACAACAATGTCTGTAAATAGTAACTTCACAACACCTAATCGTTACTAGAAATGGTCAAACCAGCCCCACGCGCTCGCCGCCCTCGTCGTCCGCGTCGTAGGGCCGCAGGCGCCGCCGCGTGCGGCCCACGGTCACGAGCGTCGCGCCGAAGATGAGCGCCGAGATGCCGAATTCGAGGCACGTCCGCCCGCCCTTCGGGCACGGCGCCGGATGCGGGAACAAGACGCACGCGAGCTGGAGCGCGTAGAGCGACCACGACGGCCCCAGACACCGCGGCAGCGCGCCCACCACAAACATCAGACCCATCCACTCGCCCTGGTCGCAGGGCCCCAGCACCTTGGAGAACGTTGCGAGGGCCACGTTCCTCCCGAAGGGAAACGCGACCGTGATCAACGCGAAGCCCGCGAGGAACCGCGCCTCGCCGAGCTGCGCCGGCCAGAGCGGCGGATCCAACAATACGAGCGACCCCGCAAACCCCAAAACCAGCGACAGCACGAGCAAATCGTAGTCGCTCCAGCGGTTCGACAGCTCGGCGACCAGCACGGACGTAACTAGAGACAGCACGGACACGCCGGCGAAGAGCGTATCCACCCTACGCTGCGACCAGCCGTAGCGCGCCGTCACGAAGGGTGTTGTTATTGTTTCCTGGATGGCGAAGGAGTAGAAGTGCGCAAAGAAGGCGCCGAGGCACACGGCCAATCCGACGGCGTCGGGCCGCCGCTGCGTTGTTCGCCTCACGACATTCGTGCGCGGCGACGCGCCGATGGACGGCGACGCGAGGCTGTGGGAGAGGCGTCTTTCCAATTTGTGGCCCTGGAAGGGCTTGGCGTAGCCGTCCGACCTGTGTGGAAATCAAAATTTTACGGCGCGTTCGTGCTGAATCGTCGCATCGTCCTCCAAGCCATTGACGCGACGCCTGCTCGATGTCTTTGATTTCCACACAGCGTCCGACGGGTTGAAAGTAAGGTAGCAGGCAACCATCATCGCTACGCATAAAAGACCGACGAAGTAGCCCGGCGCCGTGAACTCGTCGACGCGCCAGCGGCCATAATCCAGGTTGAGGGGAGCGAAGAGCGCACCGACCGACGGGCCCGCGACGAACCCTAGAACCGCATAGACCCCAATCTCCGACGTCAGCGGCGTCACGCGGTCCTCGCGCGCGGCGACGCCGACGTACGTCTGCTCCACGACCTGTGTGGAAATCAACCAGTGTGTCGGGTGCACCCGAGAATTCAACACTAAGTCATTTCTCGGCGATGACGCGGCCGTCCTGGCTCGGTCGAGCGGTGAGGAACCGACATCGCCACGCCATCGAGCAGGCGTCGCGTCGATGGCGTGGAGGACGACGCGATGATTCAGCACGAACGCGCCGTAAAATTTTGATTTCCACACAGTCCACGACCATTTTGCCGCCCGTCCAAATCCCTCCCAGAAATCTTCCAACTACGACGACCTGTGTGGAAATCAACCAGTGTGGCGGGTGCACCCGATAATTCTTCACTAAGTCATTTCTCGGCGATTCTGGACGAACGTGCCGTAAAATTTTGATTTCCACACAGACGACGACCCACGGCGCCCAATTCCGCAGATTAGGAGACTGGCCGACGTCGTCCGCGACGACATATAGGATCGAACCCACGACGCCGAAGACCATCGTCTCCAACAAACAGCGCCGGGGCCCCGTCGCCGGCGCCTCCCGCAACCGTTTCGTCATGAGCTTCCCGAAGACCGCGCTGCCGACCATCTCGCCCAGCGAGTAGACGGCCACGGCCACGCCGAGCACCCACTCCTCGGCGCCCATGCGCCTCAAGTAGTTCGCCAGCGACGGCACGATGATGCTAAACGAGACGCAGGAGAAAAACACCTGGATCTTGAAGAGCGGGACCCATTGCTCGTGTGGAGGCTGCTCGCAGCAGTGGTCGAGGGCGGCGCGCATTGTTTTTGCTTCGTGCTACTTGTATGTGTGCACTGTGCAAGTATGTGCAAGTATGTGCAGCCTCTGGCCCTATCGGTGCCTTGTGATGATTCGGAAACGTAGCTTGTCCACGTCTGCTTGCAAGAACTTGCGCTATCACGTAGTTTTGATGCCTTGCAGCGTGGGAATTGCTCGCGTTGTCGTGACGATGCGAGCTAGCGGCACGTAACACACTAGGAACACTCACAGGCCCGACAAACGCGCATCACCGGTGCGCTCGTGCATCAGCGATCGCAATTGCACTGTTTTGCAAACCCTCTACCAACACTTGCAGCAGCCTGACACTGCAAGCCGCAACCGCGTGACGATGCGGACGCTCTGGACACTATGCCTCGCGGCAACAACGGCAAGCGCGCTGCGTGGCAAAAACAAGCAGCAACCGCTGACCACGACGCAAACGCTCGTCGCGGGTGGCGCCAGCAGAGCCGCGGCGCAGCTATTGATGTACCCCGCTGATGCCTTGCGGACGCTAGCACAAACTAGAACTGGCGCAAAGACGCTGGCGGAACTAGGCGCCAAGACGCTGGTGAATGGCTGCGTTTTCACCTCTTGCTTCGCGTTTCCAGTGGGCGCGATACAATTCGCAGTGCTAGGTAGGGCAAGACGAGCGATCGCCCGGCGGCAGCCGAAGACGCCGTCGACGCTGGTCGATGTCCAGGCGTCGGCTTGTGCGGCGCTGGCGTCGTGCTCCGTCACTGTGCCGCAAGAGGTCCTGAAACAAAGATTAGTAGCCGGCATTTACCCCAACGTTTTCGCCGCTGTCAAAAACATTGCGAGGACGGAGGGCCCAAGAGGCTTTTTCGTGGGCGCGTTGCCGACGGCCGCGCGCAATGTGCCGTTCGTAGTCGTTACCTTCACGGTGTATGGCGCTTTGTCTGCGTGGCGCGGTGAGGCCAAGAGCACCGCCGAATCTCTGGGCCGAGGAGTGACCGCGGCCCTCGTGGCGGGTGTCGTGACACAACCTGTAGATGTAGTGAAGACCCGCATGATGACCCAGGCGGCGTCTAGTTTGCCACCCTACAAGAACGTCGGCGACTGCATCGCTACCATCGCGCGAGACGAGGGTCCTCGGACGTTTTACACCGGCCTACCGCAACGCTCGGCTTACATGGGACCGCTCTGGGCGCTCCAGTTCGCCGGCCACGACTACCTCACGAAGGTGTTCCGTCGCCGCAACGCTCGTCGCGACACTCGTAGCCGAAAGGCCTAGCTCGCCCGCTCGTCGTCCGTACGTTAATAACAAGTTAGACAAACAACTACTGCACGCGCCTTGCAGCATGCTCCAGCAGCGCCTCGCACTCCGCCAACCGCGACGCGCTAAGCGCCTTCCGGGCCCGGAGGTCTGCGAGGCGCGCAGACGCCGCCGCCGCGTCCCCATCAAACGCCAGGACGATGATAGAGGCGGCCTCGTCGTCTTCGGCGCGGCCCCGCAGAATCTCGAGCATGGCCTTGAAATTGCGCGCTGCCGGTCTGAACGGCCGCGCCGCACGAGATCCCCGCCAGTACAGGTATGCCGCCGTCACGGGCCGACCAGTGGCCTGTGCGACCGCCCCGAGACCGTTCTCTGCTTCTCCACGACCCGGTTCCGCCCGCCGCGCGCGCTCGTACCAGGCCGTGGCGCGTTTCGCGTCGCCGCCGTAGCGCCGCAGGTCCCCGAGGCGCAGCAAGCAGCGGTAGCGGCCGCGCTTCGACGCCGCGTTGTCGCGTGCCTCCGACTTCGCGAGCAGCTCTTCGTACACGTCGGCGGCCCGCGCGCGCGAACGCGTCGCCATGCGGCGATGACGCCGCGGTGTCCGGCCGGTCAGCGCGCGCGCCGGTTTCAGCGCTTTCCAAAGCGCTCGATCGAGCGTGTCGACGTCGACCGTCGTGCCGCCCGAAGCCATGGTCCGTTCCAGCGCGGCGGCGTCCGCTTCCGCGAGTTGATGCTGGAGCGTGCGCGTCATGGCTTCGACGCGTCGCGCTCGACTGTCATTTTGGGTCTAAGGCTGCAGCGGCTCCAAACTCGGCAAATCTGGGCCCAGCGTTCGAATGAGCTCGCGCAGAAGCCCTGGAAGGGGCCGCAGAGATAATATTGCCGTTGAGTTACGCCAGGAATATTGCTGGCCACGCGCTTCATCGAGATAATAGCTTCCTAGTGTGTCTTACCGCTAGCATTATTTGGATTCGGCGTTACAGATCTGCGGTCTGTGGCTGCCCCTGGGCTTCTGATTTGTTCTGGAGCGTCGGCGCTACGCTGCGTTAATCGGATCGCACGACCTACAGGCTGCCCCTGGGCTCCTGCTGTCACGATGATGCAGGGGTATTTGTTCTGGATTGTCGGGCTGCATCTGCTATCGCCCGCCGCCCCGGACAGCGCACCTCTTCAGTATCGCCAGATCGCAGAGCTCGTGGCTAGCGACGCCGCGAGCGACTTCGGCTGGTCCGTGGCCATCGACGGTGACACCGTCGTGATCGGGGTGCCAGGCAACAACACCGTACCGGCGACGCCGGGCTCTGTCTACATATTCCGTACGGACGACGGCGGCGCAACGTTTGCCCAGGTGACCAAGCTGACGGCCGTTGCGGCGCACGGCCAGTTCGGCATCGCTGTGGCGATTGACGGCGATACAGTCGTGGTCGGGTCTCCCTACGACGACCCTGGTGGCTCGGCCTACGTCTTCCGCACGACCGACGGCCTTACGTATGGGCTGGTGGCCAAGCGGACGGCCGCCGACGCCGCGGCGAACCTATGGCCTGCCACGCCGGCGGCGAACGACCTCTTCGGCTGGTCCGTGGCGATCAAGCAAGGCACCGTTGCGGTCGGAGCCTACGGCAAGGACGTGTCGGTCTGGGATGATATGGCAAATCTCATTACCCGAGCTGATATGGGACTTGTCTACCTATACCAGACGAGTGACGATGGCGCCACGTGGTCGCCAGGTACTAGACCCGACCTTGGTTATGGAAGCACCGAGGACTACGTGGACAATTTGGGCTCGGTGCCGGCGTCCTTGCCACCGGGGTCCCAAAATACCGGGGACCCGTACACTGACGACACTTTCTCGGCGGGCGACGCCTTCGGCTACTCCGTGGCGATATTCGAGTACGCTGACTCTTATACCGGCGGTACTTACGACCCAGGTGGGAACTATGTTTTAACTACCACCGAGTTCACGCAACCCGTGATCGTGGTCGGGGGCTTTTCCGAAGCTGCCTACGTCTACAGTCAATGGGGGTGGGAAAAACTGACGGCAGATGATTCCGTCGAGGGGGATCGGTTTGGTTGGTCCGTGGCTATCGACGGCAACACCGTCGTGGTTGGGGCCCCCGGGGACGACAACGAATCGGGCTCGGCCTACGTTTTTCTCACGTACTTCGGCCCACGCCTAGATCCCCCTCTCTGCGCTCACTCATGGTTTTATAAATTCGACCAAGTCGCCAAGCTGACGGCCACCGACGCCGCTGCGGGCGACCACTTCGGCTGGTCCGTGGCAGTCGACGGCAGCACTATCGTGGTCGGAGCCTACAACGCTGGCACCGGTGGCGCGGTCTACGTCTTTCGCACGACCGAAAGCAGCACGTACACGACTTGGAGAGACTGCTACGCTTATTATGTGTCTCCAGAAGTCGTTACGTACAACCAAATCGCCAAGCTGATGCCAGCCGACGCAGCAGCGTACTCGAATATAGCCGGCATCTCCGTGGCGATTGCCGGCACCACCGTCGTGGTCGGGACCCGGCGAGACGGCGCGGGCTCGGCCTACGTGTTCGAGATCCCTCCGGAACCGGCACCCGGACCTCATTGCTGGATCCTAAAAGAGTGTAAGACCTCCAAGGATGCCGGCCCGAGCGTGGAAATGCTCGTCGCAATCATCGTGATATCCTTAGTTTTGTGTTGCGCCGCCGCCATAGCCTACCGATGGCGTCGGCCTCTCGCTAGGAAGGTCCACGCAATGAAGGTCCACGCGATGACGCCGGAGCAAATAACGAAACAGAAGGATAAAAAGATGAAACAGTTGAAGGACCTGATCGATGGTAATGCCGTAACGGTAAAAGACCTCTCAAACAAAAAATGGCCCCCGTGGCTGCTCAAAACGGAAGGTTGCATCGACGAGCTGCTGGATGAACTCGGCGCAGATCGACAAGACGTAGACATCGCAAGGGCCCGACAAATCATCGCGGACTTTGCAAGCAAGAAGAAGGCCAAGAAGAGCATGGAAATGCCCCCGGGGCCTCTCAAGGAATTTGTCGAGTTCGCGGGACGCGACGAGCTCAAGGGTGATTACTATTTCGCCAACCGCGCGCAGCGCCTGCACGCGGAAGAGCGCTCGAAGTTCGAAGCCTCGAACGTGACGCGCGCACGACTCGAGGCCGCACGACTCGAGGCCGAATGCAAGTTCCTGCAAAGCCGCATCCATGAGGCGATCAAGAAGGAACTCGCGGGCGACCCGAAGCGCGTGGAGGCACGCCTGCGTGCCGTCAGCGACCAGGCGACGGATTTCTTTAGTAAGATTTACATCAGCATCTACGACACTGCGCTGGAATCGGCGGGCAAGCAGGCAAAAGACGCCTACGACAAGGCCATAGAGACTCTCCGGGCCGGCGCGTCTGGCACGTGCTTACAGCGCGCGGAGTCGGCGCCGGCGCTGGGTGCCTCGTCTGCGCCGCCGCTGGAGCGCGCCGCGTCGGCGCCGGCGCTGCTGGCGGACGCGCTTGACGTGGCGCCAGAGTTTGACAAGTTCGTTGAAAGACTCACGGTTGCCGCTGGCAGCAACGTCAGCCGCAAGAAACCTCCGCCCAAGGGCGCCGCGCGCATCGTCGAAAAATGTGCTCTGAAGCCCGAAGCGCCGGACGACACGTCGAAGGTCTGCGACGTCAATCGCGACATGCTCGTCTGTGACACGCTCGGGGACTTGACGTATCTCCTAGAATCCCTCGCCCGGGCAAAAGACATTTCGGTCGTCCGCGTCAAGGACCGCCACAACCATCCACCACCGTCGAAGTGGCGGGACGTGATGGTGAATATCATCCTGAAGACCGACCGCGAAACGCACCACGTCTGCGAGCTCCAGCTGTGCCTTGCGATGATGCTGTCGGGCCGCGAGGGGCTCCACGGCCACACGCTCTACAACCGCCAGCGGTGCGCCGACGAGCTCCTCGAGAAGCTCGCGGGATAAGGGTATTTAGTAAGGTAGGTAGAACACACTATTAACTCGCCACGACGTCCGCCGGCCGCACCCCCCGCCGCACCGGAACCCGCAGCAGCCGCCCGCCCGCGGTCGTCACGTAGAGGTGAGCGTCCGTCGCTAACGCCAGGCCCGTTGGGGTGTCGTCAACCTCGAGCGTGCCGAGGAGCGCGCCTTCGGGCGCCGCCAGGACCGCAACACCATTCTCTGTCGTCGCGTAGACGCGCCCGGCGCCGTCGACGGCGAGGCCCGCGCCTTCACCAAGGTCAGCCTCGTGGAAGACGCGTGCCTCTGCGCAAGAGTCGGCACAAGCGAGCGCGAGGACGGCATCGACGGTGCGGACGTAGAGCGTCTTGGCGTCGGGCGAGAACGCGAGAGCCAGGGGCGCCGCTGCCAGCGCCGCGACGGCCGTCCCGTTGCGGAACTCGACGACGAACGTGCCGTTCCGCTCGCCCGCAACGTGCGTCGCGCCGCGCGAAATAGCCGTCGCCGCGCCGGCCCAGAGCGTTTCTCGCGCCCCGTCGTCCGCCACGGTCACTACGTTCTGGTCGCCGCAGAGCACGAGCGCGTCGAGCTCGGCCGTCGCGACGCAGGCGAGCGGGCCCGTCGCGTCGAGGAACACGCTCGCGCCGACGCGCACGAGCCCCGTGCCGTCCTCGTGGCGCCAGACGCGCTGCGCCGGCGCCTCGGCGAAGAGCAGGTCGTTCGCGTCGTCGTGCGCGCGCCAGACCGGCGACGCCAGCGGGCCGAGGCCGTCGACGAGGACGCGCGCCTTGGCGTGCCGCGCGACGACGTCGCGGTAGAATTTCGCGTCCCCGGTGACGGCGAAGCCCTCCAGCGCCTTCGGGGCGAGGGCCGCGTCCAACAGTTGCGCGTAGAGCGCCGCGGACGCGAGCAGGAGCAGGAGCCACCAGTTGTCCGGCGATTTGACGAAGCGGAAGGCATACGCGGCGGCGGCCTTGGCCTTGGACGGCCGCGGCGGCGGCGGCGGCGCGGCGCCCGGGCCGTTCGCGTAGGCCGCAAACGCGGCGGGGCCGCCGGGCGTGTTGCGGCGGCGGGGCATCGACGATGCTCGTTTATTTGCAGGCGTGGAATTTGCGTTGTCCTGCAAGCCCGGGCGAGTTCTGGGCATCGATGGCTCACCCGCCGCTTTGCTACCTTGCTTGCAGCTGGCGCTACAGGGCTACAGATCACGCAGCCGTCCAGCTGAGCTGCAGCCTTGTATTTTTGTCGATCTCTTGCTGTCGTACAGCGTCGCAACGCTCGCTGTTACGTCTCGACGATGCGTTTTGGCATCCCGCAGCTTGTTTCTAGTGTCTCTTACGGCCGCTAGCTCGCTCCGCCGCCGCGGCTTTGACGAGTCCCCAGGGACGTACGAGGCGCAGGCATCGCCGGCGCTGCTGCTCCGATTCACTGGACAGCCCTTCTGGCCGGTACTGGCCGCGGCGGCACGCTCGGTGCTCGGAGAGCTCTGCTACTGGATCCAAAATCCGCAGCGCAGCCTACGATGGCGGATAACGATGAACAAGTCGCAAAAAACCTCCTCGTCTACGCGGCGGACAAGGGCACGCAGGACGTCGACCGCCAGAAGATCAACGCGATCATCCTCGAGATGAGCGGGGACAGCAAGTATACGAACGAGAAGAAGGAAAAAAGGGACAATTCGCAGGAATGGATCGCCACGGCGCGCAAGAAGCTCGCGACGTTTGATGCCACCCAGAGAAGTGTAGCAAGACACCACCTGACCAAAACCGAGGCGCGGTTCGAGAAGCGGCGGCACGAGCTCGACGCGGCCGGGACGTGCTGTGCTGTGGTTGATTTCGACATGTTCTACGCCGCCGTGGAGATTCGGGACCGGCCGGAGCTCAAGGACAAGCCGGTCGCCGTGGGCGGCATCGTCGCGCACTGCGTAGAAATCAATTGCAAAGCGCTACACGCCATCGACGCGACTCACTGGTTTACTTGCGCACAGGGCATGATCAGCACAGCGAACTACGTCGCGAGGAAGTGGGGCGTGCGCAGCGCCATGCCTGGTTTTATTGGCCAGGCGCTGTGTCGGCGCGGCCCGGAATTCGGCATGCCCAAGACAGAGCTTGTCTTCGTATCGCCCGACTTCGCCAAGTATGAACGCGTCGCGGGCATCGCACGGGCTATATTCGCGCAATACGACCCGCATTTTAGGGCCTACTCGGCGGACGAAGCGTACATCGACCTGACGCGCTACCTTCGATGCCGCGTGGCCTGCGGCGACCACGCATCGGCGCGAGCCATGCTCGCGGACGAGGCGCTGGAGAGCGGCGCGTCACGGCTCGCCGAGGCTCGCGAGGCGGCGCGGCGCGTCGAGGAGCTCGAGCCGGAACTTGAGGCTTTGCGGGCCGCCGGCGACGACGAAGACGTCATCGAGGTCGAGGAAGACGACGACGACGACGAGCCCCCGCCGAGCCGCGAGGAACGGATCGCCGCGCTCGAGGCCGAGCTCGCGCGGGCGCGATCGCTAGTCGACGACGCGGCGGGCGCGTTCGAGGAACTGCGGGGCCGCGGCATCGACGTGTCGTCGGGAGACATGGACGTCGTCGCTCGACACGTCAAAAAGCGCCTGGCCGAGATTAGTGCCGCAGTCGACGCGCTGCCGGCCCTAGATATTGTTGCGGACGACAAAGCGGGCGCGCTCGCCGAGCGAGTCCTGGACGAGATGCGCGCGACGGTGCGGGACGCGACGGGCGGCCTGACGCTGTCGGGCGGCCTCGGGCCGAATTTTCGATTAGCCAAAGTCGCGGCGGACCAGAAGAAACCCGATGGACAATTCCGCGTCGGCGCGGGAAAATCGGCCGTGCTCGAATTCCTGCGGGACCTACCGTGGCGCGCGGCGTCCTTGAGGCGGTTTCATCGCGTCGATGGCGTTCGCTGACCGACACGCGCGCAGGTGCCGTAAGATCGGTGGCATCGGCCGCGTCCTCGAGATGAAGCTCGCGGACGCGCTGAACGTGCGGACGTGCGGTGATTTGATAGATAACCTGCCGGAGTGCTACTGCGTGCTGGGCAAGAGCGCGGCCATGGGCTTCCTCCACGAGGTCGCGTTGGGTTGCGGCGAATGCGGCGGCCCAACAGACGATGGTGAGGAGGACGACGAACGCGTGATTCGCCGGAAGGGTCTAGGAAACGAGCGGACCTTCAGGCCCGTGCGAGGCGTCGCCGCTCTCACGGAGAAGCTCGTACGCATCGCCGGCCTCGTGTCCGAGCGCTTGGTAAAGCATGATATGAGGGCTGCTAAATGGACGCTCAAGCTGAAGACGACGGACTTCCGAATAAGCACGAGAGATACTGCGACGAAAAAGACGGGCAAGGACAAGTATGTGCGATCGGTGAAGGCCATCGTCAAACTGTTGAAGCCTCTGCTCCTCGAGGCCATCGGCGAGGCGGAGGCGGCGGGCACGCCGTTGGAAATTAGATTGATGGGCGTGCGGTCCTCGGACTTCGAGGGCCAGTACGTGCCCTTGGCGCGAGGTCAGACGACCCTGAAAGACGTGAAAATGAAACCCGCGAGTCCGCCGCGGCCGCAACCCGCGGCGCCGGCGGCGCAGAAGACCTTGGCAGACGTCAAGTTCAAGCCAGTGAGCCCGCCGCCGCCGCGGTCCACGCATCCTGCACCAGCGTCGCCCGCGTCGCCCGGGGCGACCGCGGGCATCGACGGCGCCGACGTCGACCCCGCGACGCTCTCAGAACTGCCGCCTGCAGTGCGCGCCGACATCGAAAGGCAACTCGCGCTGTGGCGCAAGTCGCGCCGCAGCGCTCCCGCGCGGCGCCCGCCGCCGAAGAAGCCGCGGACGCTCGACGCCTTCCTCGCGGCGCCGGCACCGGCGCCCGCGGCCCCGCCACCGACGCAAGTCGACGAGCCCGCCGTGGCCCAGATTACGTCCATGGGCTTCTCGCGGAAGCGTGCCCTCGCAGCCCTCCAGCAGGCGAACGGTGACGTGCCTCGAGCGCTCGAGCGGCTCCTGTCGTGAATTGTAGTGATAAGACAATGTTATACTTATTTTTTCGGCTTGAGAGCCACAAACACCTCGTCGGTAATCGTCGTGATCCCGTTCTCGCGGGCGTACTTCTCCGCGGCGCCCCTCACACGTCCTCGGACGAATCCCGGGATCTTCTGGAGCCGCGCCTCGGCGTCCGCGGTCCATCGGATGCCATCGTCGACCACCGTAGCTCGCTTCAGCGTCGCGTACCGCGGCCGCGCGTTTTTGAGGACGCGATAGGTCTGAAAATAGCACGCGCCGAGGATGGCGCCCTGCGCGACCGCGGTCCGCTTTATTGTCGAGTCCTCGAACGACAGACGCGTCAGCGCGTCGGCGCCAGTCTTTAAAGAGGGCCGGCCGATTTGCGTGAACGGCTTGAACTCGAGGCCCTCGAACTCGTTAACGGCCAGCCCCTCAAAACCCCACCGGACCAGCGACAGCTTGGGCAGGAACTTGATGGGTTTCGGCGTCGACTCGTCGCTGATGTTGCTTCCGTTGAAAATGATCATCAGCACTATTATCGGTGGAAACATGGCCAGCGCGGCGTCCGTCGACGGCGCGACGGCCCCGACCAGCAAACCCAGCGCTGAAGCCGCGACAGAATTTAATGCGGTGAGCCCAAGGAACCGCCGGAACTTCCGCGTGGTCCTACCTAGCTTGGCCAACGGATACAGGATGCCTCCGAAGAGACACGACAGACCGACGGATAGAGGCAGTTCCGCGGCAACCTTGGAGAACAAATAAGGCAACGCGCCGTACATCGGCCGGCCGGATCGAGGGCTCCGCTCCCGCTGGACGATTGTCTTCTCCTTGGGGAAGGCACGGATCGTCGAGGCGATCGCAAGGTTCGTCGCGCCGATAACACAGAGACTCAACAAACCGAAGCGATCTTGGATCGACCGCTGCGAGTCGTCGAGATCATAAATACCGCCATAGATCAAGGCCGTCATAACCTGCTGCGCTGCTTTTATTGCGGTAGCCGCCTTAGCCCTCGACACGTCCCGTCGGGCGCGCTGGTAGAGCAATCGCAACTCCGCCAGCGGCCGGCGGCGAGGGCCCTTAGCAGTCGCCTTCGTCTTCGCCGGAGTCGCCGCCGGCAGGGGCCGCTCGGCCTTTTTGCAGGCGTCCGAGAGCTTCGCCAAGACCTCCCGCGACGACGCCTCCGTCTCCGGCGAGCCGTAGTTGACACTGACCGTTTCGACGGCGTGCTCTGCGGGCGCCGCCGTCCGCGGCCGCGGGAAGCCCTCCTTGCGCAGCCGCGCGTCGAGGTCGCAGATCGGCCCATGATACATGCATTCGCCCTCCGAAAGCAGCGTCAGGTCGTCGAAGGCGGCAAAAACGCCGCCGGACGGCTGGTGAATCACGCATACCACCGTCTTCCCCGCGTCGCACAACGTGCGCAGGCTCGCCACGACGCGCTGCGCAGCGAAGGAGTCGAGCCCGGACGTCGGCTCGTCGAGGAATAGCACGTCCGGGTCGTCGACAAGCTCACAAGCAATCGCCAATCGCTTCCGCTCGCCGCCCGACACGCCCCGGATCTTGTCGTCGCCGACGATCGTGTCCGCGGCTTTCGCGAGGCCCGTCTTCATCAAGATCGAGTCGACGATTGTCGGGACATCTGCGTCTGGGCCAAGCCGCAACGTCGCCGCGAACGTCAGCGTCTCCCGCACCGTCAAATACGGATAGAAGACGTCCTGCTGTCTTACGTAGGCGCCTTCGACCTTGTCCACCGCGACGCCGTCGGCGCGGAGATCGCCGCTCAGCTTCAGCCGCCTATCGCACGTGCCACTCAGCGCGCTCAGCAGCGACGTCTTGCCGGATCCGGAAGGACCCATAATGGCGTGGAGCCGGCCGGCTTTCGCTTGTCCACCGACTGCTCGCAATATGGAGCGGTCCTTTATGGTCGCTGTGATCCCGCGCCATTCGATCGTCGCGCTGGCGCTCGCTGCTGCGCACAGCACGAGTTTCAGCATGGTTCTCCTGCGTCCGCGCGTCCGCAGCAATTAGAGCTCGACGGCGTGATAAATTAGCAGTCGCAGGGCTCCTGTGCCAGTTCTATTCGCCTGCGGCCAGCGGACTGCGCTGCTGTCAATGGAGCTGTTTTGTGTGGTGAGCCTCTCGCTGCACAAATAGAGCCAGTGCGACGCCGTCAACGCACGACGCCACCGCAGCGATCGCCAGCGATCGCAGTCGTGCACGGCGCACCTATTCAAAACGCTCGTGAGGCGAAAACGCTCCGTCTGGCAGCAATGCAGCCACAACACAAGCGCCTCCTTGGCGCCGCCGCCACCGGCTTAGCCGCAGCCGTCGCAGCACACATCCTGCGACGCTGGCGGGACCGCCGCCGCATACGACGCATGACCAAGGTCGAGCTGCACGCTCATTTAAACGGATCCATCCGCCCGGCGACGCTAAAGCGCCTCGCGGCCGAACGGGGCCTCGACGCCGCGTGCCTCGACCGGAAGCGGACGCTGGAGGTCTGCTTCGAGATCTTCGCGCTCATCCACAAATGCGTCGATAGTTTAGAGATTGTCGCAGTCATCGCGCGCGAGTTCCTCGAAGATTTGAGGGCGGACGGCTGCGCGTACGTGGAGCTGCGGACGACGCCGCGCGCGTTACAGGGCCGCACGGAGGCGGACTACGTGCGGACCGTTTGTAGAGTGTTGAGCGAGGCGTCCGGCATCACGGCTAGATTACTAGTGAGTGTGGACCGGTCGCGCGGCCCGGAAGCGGCCGCGAAGACGCTCGCGGAGGTGGCGCAGCTGCGGCGGTCCGACGCGACCGTCGACCGGATTGTTGTGGGCGTCGACTTTAGTGGGAATCCGACCTCCAAACACGGCTTCGACGCGTTCGAGCACTTGTTCCGCGAGGTGCGGGACCAGTGGGGCCTTGGTTGTGCGCTACACGTCGGCGAGACGCCGCGGAGCGACGGGGACTCGGCCAAGATCCTCGCGTTCGCGCGCGAGAAGCCGCGGCGAGTACGCTTCGGCCACGCGCTGGCGTTCTCGGACGACGAGCTGCGGGGCTGCGCTTCATTGATAGAGGCGTGTCCGTCCTCGAACGCGGCGACGCTGGACCTCGCTCGACTCGAGGACCACCCGCGCCTCTGGTGCCACTTTCACTCGACAGGTAGCCCGCCGCTCGCCATCTGCACGGACGATACGGGAGTGTTCGGCTGCTCGCTGGCCGGCGAGTACCTCAAAGTGTGGGACGCGTTCGGCCCCGTCGACTTGGTGCGAGTGGTCGACGATGCCGCCGCGGCCGCGTTCGACGCGTGTTGTGGAGAGGCCGTGCGCCGGCGGCGCGCGATGTATAATGTCTAGTGATTGTTGTTTAGGAGATCCCCCGGTGCGCCTCGATGGCGCCCAGCAGCCGGTTGATCGCCGTCGCACCGCTCAGCGGGTACTCCGACAAAGACACGTAGTCGACCATGGCCTCGAAGTCGTCGCGGTCGACGTGGCCCGCCGCCATCGCGCCGATGACAAAGCAGACGGGCTTGTCCGGCATCTGCGCCGCGAAGGCCTGGGGCGTGTAGCGATCGCCCTTCACCGAGAAGCCGTACATGACGCAGCCCGCGGGCAAGTGGCGCCCGATGGGGTTCTTCACGACTTTTAGGAGCGTTTCCCGGCCGTCCGCCGCCCTTACTTTGAGCTTGTGGAGGAGCTGGACCATGAGCCCGGCAAACCGCTTGTACGTTCGCGGGATCCTAACTGAGGGATGAAATTGTATCAGTACATTTTGTCTGGTGCGCAGATAGACCTGGAGCTGGCCCGCCTTGTTCAGCGGCGAGTCGAATAACGCCATCAATTCTTGATGGGCGATGTCCGGCCTACATTCTTTGGGGTCCCGGCCGTGCTTCGACAGGATGGAACGGTGGTCGTCGCTGTTCAGTAGCTGGAACTCGCCCTTGCGAGTCTTGACTATTTCTAAAGAAGCGAGGTCGAGGAGGACGGTGACCTTCGGCGGCGTTTGCTCGTCATTTGTAGTGAGCTCGGCCATTTGTGTTGCCGTTTCGCTGCGCGCCGATGGCGTGCAGGCGCCGCTGCAAGCTGGCTCTCGCTATGTTACGGATCACCGGTGCAAGAAGAAGCTCACTCCGTCGCAGCAGCTGCGAACGAAGTATTAAGCAGTCACGCGCGCTAGAAATAATTACACACAGCCCTTGCTTCGCCCGTTTTTGCTCTCCTGAGCTCAGGCAGGCTTGCTCTAGTGTCTTACAAGACGCTAGCAGCAGTAAGCATCGTGAGGCGAATCGTCCCTTGCGCACCGTTCTCTGATCCTTTCCTGGGCGTCGAAGCCCGGCGCGCGGGTGCGCCATGACTGCCGTGAAAGTGGCCGGCAGCGCCTGAGCTCAAACGATTGCAACGCGCGCATCGATCAGCAGGCAGCCCAGTTCCATGCGCAAACGAGAACGATCAATGCCTGCCGCCTCGCGACGGCCGCGCTCGTCTTGGCAGTGAGCAGCATCATGGCCTTGCTGTGTGGCGTCGCGCGCGTGGTCGTCGGCGTCCTGCTGGCCGCGCACTGCGCCGCGGCGCTGCCCCACATCGCGCCGTCGGCCGCGCCAGGCAACAGCACCGACCGGCGGCGCCTCCAGCCGGGGTCGGGCCCGAACTGCCCGGCGGGCATGTTTGATATGACCGACGGGAGCTGGAACTGGTGGCAGTGCGGCCATGGCTGCGCGGGCGGCCGCTACACGGATGCGTATTGCTACTGCGCCTGCCAATGCGAGAGCGGCAACCCGGCCTACCTCACCGGCAGCGACGGGCCGTGCGTCGACTCTGATTACTACTATGACGACGCTGGTCAGGCCGATGACTGGTACTATTACTATGACGACGATGGCCAAGACGATAATTTGAACTATTACTATGACGACAATGGCCAGGACGAGGAGGAGGACGCAAACGAGGACGAGGAGGAGGACGCCGTCGAGGACGATGACTGGTACTATTACTATGACGACAACACTGTCTCCGTCTTGGACGACGACAGCATCAGAGACGCGGTGGCGGCGTGGCTCGAGGACGCGACGGCCGCCGAGGCGACGTACGGCCACATCTCGACGTGGGAGACATCGGAGGTGACGGACATGTCGGAGCTGTTCGATGGCGCCTCGTCGTTCAACGAGGACATTAGCGCGTGGGACACCTCGGGCGTTACGTCGATGGCGGAGATGTTTCGGGACGCATCCTCCTTCAATCAGGACATTGGAGGCTGGAGCGTTGGAGCTGTTATCGATATGGAGGAGATGTTCGATGGCGCCTCAACGTTCAACCAGGACATTAGTGGTTGGGCGGTCCACAGCGTCGGGGACATGGGCTGGATGTTCGCCCACGCCTCGGCCTTTGACCAGGACCTCGGCTGGTGCGTGGACGACCTGAACCTGACCGACGCGTTCACCAACACCCCGTGCGAGTCGACGTCGTGCGGCGTACAGTTACAGGACAACGATGGCGCCTGCCCGAGCCCGACCTACGCTCCCAGCCGGCGCCCGACGCTGCGTCCCACGCCGACACCCAGTCGGCGCCCTACGCAGCGCCCGACCTATGCACCCAGCCGGAGCCCGACGCCGCGTCCTAGCCCGGCGCCACGGCCAACGTCGACGCCCAGCGGACGCCCGACGCCCAAGCCCTCGGCCGCGCCGATGCCGCGACCAACGCCGCCGCCCAGCCCGCGCCCGACGCCCATGCCCTCGTTTCCAAGAAAGACGCCGCAGCCGACCCCTCGGCCATCGCGGCGCCCTACACCTAGACCGTCGCCCGCCCCGACGCCGTTACCCGGCGACCCGACGGCCGCGCCCATCTCTGCGCCGTCGCCGCGGCCCACGCGCCGACCGTCGCCGATGCCTACGCGGCGACCATCGCCGCGGCCGACGCCGCAGCCCTCGCCGCGCCCGACCCCTCGTCCCTCGTGGGAGCCGTCGCGGCGGCCGACGCCTGCACCCAGCCTACGCCCGACGACGATTTATGGCTACACTATGACCGACAGCAATATCAGAACGGCCGTCGACGCGTGGCTCGCGAACCCGACGGCCGCCGAGGCGACGTACGGCCACATCTCGACGTGGGCGACTGGGGGCGTGACGGACATGGAGGAGCTGTTCGAAGATGCCTCGTCCTTCAACGAGGATATCGGCGAGTGGGACATCTCTGGCGTGACAACGATGGAGGACATGTTCAGGGGCGCCTCGGCCTTCGACCAGGACCTCGGCTGGTGCGTTGACGACGACGTGGACCTGGACGACGCGTTCGACGATACCCCGTGCGAGTCGACGTCGTGCGGCGTCAAGCAAGGGGACGGCGCCTGCGCGCCGACGCCGCGCCCGACGCCCGAGCCGTCGCCGGTGCCCGAAAGCCCGACGCAACGGCCATCACACAAACCGACGCCCAAGCCCAGCGCGACGCCGACGCCGCGGCCGACGCCGCCGCCGACTCCGGCGCCAACTCCCGCCCAAACGCTCGTCCAGGTCGATTCTTCGGTGACGCTCGCGGGCATCGTCGCCACCGAGTTTAACGCCGACGAAGACATGAAGGCGGCCTTTGCACAGTCCGTCCTGGATAGCGCCAACGGAGCCTTCGACGAAGTAATTGATATCGAGGCGGCCGGGATCGTGTCCGCCGGGAAACGGAGACGCCTCGACGACGGCGCGGGCGTCGACGTCTCCTACACGGGCGTCGCGCGCGTCGACGACACCGAAACAGCCGAGGCGGACTCGGCGGACTTGCTGCAGCAGTCTACGGAGGCCCTGAGGACAGCTGTCGACGACGGGAGCTTCTTAAGCACGCTGCAGGCAGCGGATGCAGCATTCGCCGCCGTGAAGGTGGACCTCGAAGCGACGAAAGCGGCGTTGTTGGCGGCCACGGTCGTCTTCGTCGTCACGACGCCTGCGCCGACCACATCGCCGACCACGTCGCCGACCACGTCGCCGACGCCGAGCCCGTCAAAGACGCCGCTGGCGAGCGACAAGTCGAGCGGCAAGGGCTCGGGCGGCGACACGACGGCGGCGAGCGCCGGCGGCGGCGCGGCGGCGGGCGTCGTGCTCTTACTGGCCGCCGGCGTCATGCTTTCTCGGCGCAGGAACGCCAGGAAGACCGACGAGGAGGTGGACGTCGAGGCACCGGCAACGCGACCGAGCGACAACGTGCCATCCCCGCCCGAGTCGACGCGTCCGAGCGAGGCGAGCGCCGCCACGGCCGAGACGGCCGAGCTGCCGCCGCCGCCGCCGCCGCGGCCCTCGCTCACCTCGCCCAGCAGTGCGCGCAGCGCGCGGGGCCTCATGCGGGGAGTCAGCCGCTTCGTCGGCAAAGCCCTCGCTTCGCTCAGGGTGATTCCGAGGCACCTTACTTTTGGTGAAGGGACGGCGAGGGTGAACTGGCCGAAGTCCGAGGACCTGGTGGGCCGCAGCGTCGACGGCCGCTGGGAGCTGGCGTCGGCGTCGGACGGCTACGACGTGCCGTGCACGCCCGCCCAGCGGGAGGCGTTCGAGCGCGTCCAGGGGACCGCCCTCGCAGGGCGGGCCGCGGCGCTGCGGACGTCATTAGATCTGCTGCGCGTGAGCTGGGAGGTCGGTCGCGTTCAGTTTAATGTGCGGCGCGGGAACTGCTTCGGCGACGCTATTAGTGTGTTGGGGGAGCTACCGGTCGAAAGGTGGCGCCAGCCGTTCTTCGTGGTGTTCCGCGGCGAGCCGGGCCTCGATGCGGGCGGCGTCTCGCGGGAATTCTTCTTCAAGGCCATCAGTGAACTGCTGGACCCGGTCAAGGGCGTCTTCCGAGTGGTCGAGGGTTCTACATATTATCCGAACGACGATTTCGTGGTGAAACGAGCGCTAAACGGGGCGGAGGACCGCGTCCTCACGTTCGCTGGAAGGTTGTTGGGAAAAGCATTGCTTGAGGGCCACCACGTCCCTGCCGGGTGGAACAGCGTCCTGCTGAAGCATCTCATGGCGCTGCCCGTCTCCCTGAGAGACGACCTGTGCCTGATCGACGCCGAAATCAGCCGCTCGTTGGAACTCATCGCCGACATGTCCGGGGCGCAACTGACTGACCTGGCGCTGACCTTTTCGGTGGCCAGACCGACATTGAACGGCTTCGAGGACGTGTCCCTCCGCGGCGACGGCGGCGAGGAGGTCACCGAGGGGAACGTCCAAGAGTTCGCCCGTTTAAGAGCGACGGCGGACCTCGGCGGGCAGCAGGCGAAGAGCATCGGGTGCCTGGTACGAGGCTTTCGCGACGTCGTGCCGGAGGCCACGTTACTACTCTTGGAAACTCCAGAGGAGCTGCGAGAAGCTTTGGCCGGCGTCGAGGCTCTGAATGTGGACGACTGGCGGGCTGCGACGCAATTGCGAGGCGAGTTCAAGGACACTCCGAAGCACAGGGTCGTGGAGTGGTTCTGGTCGCACGTGACGACGCTCAACGCGTCCAAGAAGGCGGAGCTGCTCAAGTGGGCCACCGGAAGCGCAAGGTGCCCCTTGGGCGGCTTTGCGAAATTGCATGGGCGGGATGGGGTCTTGCGGCCTTTCACTCTGACGTCCGTCGAGCTGGCGCAATGCGCCTATCCTAGAGCGCATACCTGCTTCAACCGCATCGACCTGCCGCTGTACTCGTCCAAGCATGACCTCGTCGCGGCATTCGATGTAGCGCTGGACCCGCGGCAGGCCCAGGTATTTTCGATGGACTGACGTGCGCGCGCGCGGTGCGCCGCGGTCCGCGGAAACCGAACCCGTACCCCTACACGCCATCGACGCGTGGCGTCATGATCATGATCGCGTGCGCTGACCTTAGGAATTAACTAGCTGTTGTGGTAAACTTAGAGATCCCTTCTAGTCCATCTTCGTCGGGTCGAGGTTGCCCCACTCCTCCCACTCCGTGAAGAGGCGCTCGTCGAGCGCGTCGAGCTTCTCCATCTCCGCGGGCGTGATCTCGAACTTGAAGACGTCGATGTTCTCCGCGACGCGCTCGGTCCGCACCGACTTCGGGAGCGGCACGTAGCCGTGTTGCACGGACCAGCGGACATGTATCTGGGCCGGCGTCGCACCGTGGGCCTTGGCGACCTCCTGGATCACGGGGTTGTCGAGGCGCTTCGCGCGGGACAGCGGCGAGTACGCAATCAATCTAATGCCGCGAGGCTTGCAGAAGGCCTCGATCTCGTCCTGGCGCAGGAAGGGGTGCAGTTCTACTTCGTTCGCCGCCGGCACGACCGTCGTGCGCGGATCATCAATTAACTTCTGCATGTGCGCCACGCCGAAGTTCGACACGCCGATGCTCTTCACGAGGCCCTGCTTCTGGGCCTCTTCGAGCGCGAGCCAGTAGTCGACGCGCTGCTCGGGATTCACAGGCCAGTGGATTAAATACAAGTCAGCATGGGTCCCCAGCTTCTCCACCGACGCCTTGACGTGCTCCAGCACCATGTTGTACGCGTCGGTCTGCCACCGGCCCTCGGCTTCCGGCCAGACCTTGGACGTGATGTGGATCTGGTCGCGCGGCACGCCCGAGTCCTTGACCGCGCGTCCGACGTCGGCCTCGTTCTCGTAGAACCCGGCCGTATCAATATGTCGGTAGCCAATTTTAATTGCTTCCTTGACGATATCATATGCCACGGCGCCGGGCGGCGTGTAATACATGCCGAAGCCGACCGCCGGGATGGAGTTGCCGTCGCCCAGCGAGACGCGTGAATCGGGGCTCGTGCAGGTCTCTGAAGCCATGGCTCTCTTGATCAGGACTGCGGAGACTAAAACAAAGCCAGCAATGACAGCGGTGGCTCCAAGCTGCGGCATGCAAAACACCGATGCGATGCAGGTCAAGAGGAACACGAATATGAGCTCTCGGTGCAACGTATGCTGTTTTGTCGATTGCAACAGCCGCGTCGCGTGGCCGCGTCGCGTGGCCGGAGATGATCGACAAAAAGCTGCTAAAAATTCCTAAACCGAGGCAAAAAACCGACCTTTGTCTGTCCTTAGAGAAGGTTATTGGACGGCATACGGCGAACGAGAGGCTTTCGGGTTGGCATCCTCCAAATTCAAACAAAAACGGGTTCGATTTGCGCCGCAAAACTCCCGGTGCCTCGGACAGCTCAAATCCGCACGCTCGGGCAGCCTCGTTCGCACGTATTCGATAATTGTACGTGCCCTCTCGCCTCGGTGCGCTAGGACAGGAGACGCTGCTGACCACAAGCACTGCTGACCACCGTGGGGACTAGACCATGAGCGGCATGAGCGTGGCCTCGGGCCGCACGACCAAGACGGGCGCGACGGGCGACGGCGAGGAGACGTCCTGGATCCTGGACGTGGTTGTGCGCGACAAGTGCATCAAGGTCACTTGCGGCGACGCCACGCAAAGAGTGCGATGGCTGGGGCACGTCGGCATCGCGCGCTACGACGAGAAGAACTACCAGGGCTGGAAGATCCTGGGCGTGCCGACGAAAATCACGAACCGGGAAGGTTTACCGATAGACATGGGCGGTTTGATCAGCGATGTGCTCAAGGACGGCGACACGGTCTACGTGAGCCACTCCCTCGAGCCGCACGACGTCGAGCGGCAGGACTAAGGTTATTTGTGTCACTTAGAGTACGCGCTGTCCGCGCGCTTAGCAGTTCAGGTGCCCGTAGACCGTCCCGTCCTGCAGCTGGCCGTCGACCGAGCACCAGCCGACGTCCCGCGAAATTAGCGTCGGCGTCGCTGACGGCATCGACGGCGTCGGCCTTGTTCTCACCGCGAGGTAAAAAACCAGCGCGGCGACCGGGGTGACTATCGCGAGCCGTCGGACAAGCCTTCTTCGCCGCGCCCTGGCGGCGAGCATCGATGAGTAGCGGCGCCTCTGGCCATCCATTGCGGGAACTTGTGTTCTTGATCAATGCGCGAGCGGAAATCACTCGCCTCGCGGAAGATAAGTCACGGGTAATCTCGCGACAATCCCTACCGCGCCCCCGGGGCGCGGCTCAGTGCTCCCACGCAAGAAAAAAGATAACCTATAGGCTAGCCTGTAAAGACACTAGCATTGGCACAACCAGCTCTGCCCTGCTCCGCCTTGTGAATGTGACAGTTTAGAAGCATATCACACAGTTAAACACCTAATTCACAGAAGAAGACGCCTCGGCGTCGTCGACCCGCGCCGGACTCCTCGTCTCCGCCGCGGGCGACCCGTAGGAGACGAGCGGCGACGGGGACGAATCACCCCCATCGCCATATTCGGAGAAGAACTCCGCGAGCTCCACAGCAGCCTCGTCGTCGGCGTCCGCCGCCATGGGGTTGTAGGCGCTCGTCGTCGGCGCCGCGACGGCATCGGGCCGGTCTATCTTCACGATCCGCGACGCCGCGCCGGCCAAGGCGTCGAGCACCACGAGCGCCGCCGCCAACGCCCCGTTCGGGCCGCGCGGGTCCATCGACGCGACGAGCCAGGCTCGCAACGCCTGCGACGCCGGGATGGCGCAGAGGCCCCCCAGCGTCAGGCAGGCCCCCGCCATGATGCCGAAGTGCTCCGCGGGGAAGAAGGCACCGACACATGTATAAAGGTGCACGAAACCCAATAACCGCGCCGGCACGAACACCGCGACCGCCAAAATCTGCAGCCACCACAGCTTTTGGGTGGACAGGATGCCCCAGGCCACCTGCATCAGCAGGAGCACAACATAGCCTCGCGACGCGCCCTTCTCGAAGCCGACGGCGTGCGCGTGCTCCTCGAAGCGAGCCGCCCCGTAGAGCGACGGCAGGGCCATCAGCGGGAAGCCCCAATCCAAGACGTCGCCCAAGAGTTCGGACCGCCCGTGCCACTTCGCCTGCTCCGCGAAGGTCGCGACGTAATAACCCTGCTGCGTGATGTTCGCCCCGACGGCCAGCGCCGCACAAAAGGCAAACAACAGCCGCCGCCAGCCCACATGCCGCAGCGCGCCGCTCCCGGGCCGCCTCAAGGGTCGCGCCTTCGTTCTACAAGCGCAGTAGAGTATCAACAGCGCGCAGGCCGCGAAGTACGAGCAGTATAGAGTTACCAAGTTTGCGCCTCTCACGCCGTCGTGTATCAACCTTAACGTGGGAAAGATTAGGGTCCCGAGCGCGAAGGCCGTCTCCATCGTCGGCGCCGCCACGACCCTTACGTCGTACGGCCGCGAGCACGGCGGCGTTAACGATCCTTTCTCCCCCTGCAATGCGAGACCGCCAAACGACAAGAGCATGCCCGACTCGACGAGCGCAAAGTACACGTAGGACAGGTACTGCTCGTAGCGTCTTCTGGTGACGACGAGGTAGAACGCTCCGGTGGAGATAGCGAGCAATGCTGAAGACAACAAGCACAGCCTTCTCAACCCCAACGCGTCCGACAGCGACCCGTTGACCAGCGCCATGACATTTAACATGGCCGACGCGAAGGTCCAGGCGGCGTCGACTTGATTGATCTGCGCCTTGCACCGGTCGCCGTGGTCGCACGCGTCCGCAAATAAGCCCTCGTCCAGGAACACGGTCTTGATCCCATTAAAACCGAAGCAGGCGCCGCCCCAGAGGAAGCCCAATGTAGCCATCATCGCGAGCGACGCGCCGGCGCCGGTGGTCTTCGCTTGGCACTGCGTTGGCTCTCCTTCGGTCGGCGGCGGCAGCATCGCGCTGGTGGATCGGCGGCGGCTTGTTGGGCTTTGCACCGGCGTCTCGTCCGCCATCGCTGCGGCGGCGTCAATTTTTTCAAGTTTTGATGCAGCCTGTGCAGGCACCTAGCTAAGTTTCACGGGTTCCGGCGACAGCAGCTGGTCAGATGCATCATGAACTATCGCGCATCGATCGATGAGAGCCTGCAAGCTGGCATGCGGAGCAGTAGGCGGCGTATTTGCGATGCGGCCAAAGCCTCGAGCTGGGCGGCGCGCAGCAGACGCAAAAATCGACCTACGACTCATCGTCTCGTCTTCCACTTCATCCTCTTCAGCGACGCGTCTACCCTGCCGCGACGAAAACCCGTTTTTTTCAGCCCACCACTCAACCTCGGCGCTGCTAGATCACCGACGCTGCGGCCCCTGATTGCGTTACAAGCGTAGAAGTGCGATAGCAGTGCCGCAGATCATTGTTCACAGCCTCCCGAGCGAGCGCGCTTGCTGCCGTGACCTCCTCAGCAAGGCCGCCCAAAAGCACACGCGCTGACCGCGAGCGCCTCGCGCGGCCGCGGCGAGCCCGTCGAACCCGCAGCGACGTCGCCGTAACCACAGCGCACACGTGCGCAAGTCTCGCCCGACGAAACTGCCGCAGCCGACCCGCCGCCCGACGCGCGTTCCGCGGCCGCCGTAACCACAGCACACATGCGCACGTGCTCGACGAAACTGCACAGCCGACCCGACAAACAAAGCGCGTTCCGCGCAGGTCTACACCACACCTAGAGAAGCGGCGGTAAGAACAGGGCACCATGTCGACGGAGACGTGCCCCACGAGCGCGCCCTTCTTCGGCTTCATGGGCGTCACGTCGGCCCTAGTCTTCGCGAACATCGGCGCGGCCTACGGCACGGCCAAGTCCGGCGTCGGCATCGCGTCGATGGGCGTCATGAATCCTGGATTAGTGATGCGGAACATCATCCCCGTGGTCATGGCCGGCGTCCTGGGCATCTACGGGCTCATCGTGGCCGTCATCCTCCAGGGGTCGATTTCGAAGCCGGAGGAGGCGAACGGCGCCTTCACGACCAAGTTCTCCTCCTTCTCGGGCTACGCCTACCTCTCGGCGGGCCTCTGCTGCGGTTTATCTGGATTAGCGGCGGGCATGGCGATCGGCGTCGTCGGCGACGCGGGCGTGCGCGCGGTCGGCCAGCAGGAGAAGCTGTTCGTCGGCATGATCCTCATCCTCATCTTCGCGGAGGCCCTCGGGCTGTACGGGTTGATCGTCGCGCTCATCCTCTCGCAGCAGTCGGCCGAGTGCACGGCCTAGTATCCCCGCCCCCTGTTAACTAAAACACTACGTTATAAAGACACAGCTCGCGGCCACGAGCACCACACTCGCGACGGCGGCGACGGTCGGTCGCCAAGCTAAACCGGCCGCGAGGACGGCGACGCCGATCGCGGCGAACGCTCGCGCGCGGGCGCGCGGTGCCATGCTCGTGGCCGGCGGTTTCGCCCTCTGCTGCTGCCGGCGTTCTGCGCGCTCGAGCATGGACATGCCCAGCACGTTGGGCTTTTGCGGCGCGCCCCCGGGCTTGCACGGCTGGCAGAAGCCTCCCGCCGGCGTCGGTGGCGGCACTCGAATACGCACGCCGCAGTTACAGGTGCCCGTGATCAGGTAGAAGAGCTTGTGGATGGGCTTTTGGTGTTCGTCTTCATTGAACATCGTTGCGCGCCACGCTGGACGTGGCTGCACTCAGCAGTGCGTGCTGCAGGTTCCGCGGCGACGGCGTTTGGTGAACTAGCGACTGCTCACCGTCACGTCAGGTATGAGAGGATCAACTACGATCAATGCGCTCCAGCGATGGAGCAGCACCGCCGCTACACGGCCTCAAAAAGCAGGCATGCATGCAGGCTAGTGTCTTACAAGACGCTAGCCCTCGATACCCAAACGCAGCCACAACGCCGTCGACAAGGCTCATTACCCGCGTTTCACACGCTCCCGCAGCACTACTAACGCCTACAACAGGCTGCGCATCCATGCGCAACCTCTGGCTGATTTTCATGACCACCCAGGCGGCGCTGCAGCAGGAGGACGACCCGCGCGCGAGCCCAACGATAAAGCTATCGAACGGAGTAGTAATGCCAAGGGTCGGCTACGGCTGCGCCGGCAAAGCCTCCGCAAGATACGTCGAACGAGCATTGCGCGAGGGCGTGCGGCTCATCGACACGGCCCAGGCCGACGAGTGGTACGACGAGGCGGCCGCCGCGGACGGTCTTAGAGCCTCTGGCGTCTCCCGGGACGATGTGACAGTAGTTACGAAGCTCCACCCGAAGAACCACGGCGCGACGACGGCGCGTAGATTAATCGACGAAAGCGCACAGCGCTTCGGCGGGTACGTCGACGTCTTCCTGCAGCACTACCTGGCGTGCTGGGACGGGCTCTGTGGTAAAAATTGGCGAAATACGGTAGAGGGCGACTGGCGCGACTCGTGGCGCGCGATGGAGGCTGCGTACGACGAAGGTTTAGTAAAGGCCATCGGCGTGTCGAATGTGGGGCCGCGCGAGGTTGACGAGTTAGTGAAGTTCGCGCGCATCAAGCCGCACGTCGTCCAGGCGTGGATGGACCCGTTCCACGCCTCTGTCGAGTTGCGAAAGACCTGCGAAAAACATAATATCCGCTTCATGGCCTACTCGACGCTGGGGACGCAGTGGTCCATGCAGGGGCGCGCCAACCCGGTCCTCAGTTCATCAAAGCTGCGGGAGTTCGGCGACCCGGCGCGCGTCGCTTTATCGTGGGCGCTGCTGCGGAACGCCGTGGTGATTCCGCGGTCGTTCTCCAACGAACGGATCGCGGCGAACGCGCGGCTCTACGACGGCGGCGTGTTGACGGTCGGTCTAGACGCGGCCGCCCTCGAGGCCATCGACGCGCTCGACGGCACGCTGGATCAGAGCGATGATGTCCAGGCTGTGTTCGCGAACGACGGCGACGAGAACGTGGTGCTCCTCTGGAAGGGCCCCGACGGCGACGTCGAGGTTGGCTCCGCCGCACCGGGCGCAAGCGTCGAAATCTCGACCTACCGCGGCCACGAGTTCGCCGCGAAACTTCATAGACATGAAGAGGCCTTCGCCACCTATCAGATAGGCGCAGCGAGGCGCCAGACGTTCCGCGTGCGCGACCCAGAGGCGGGGCCCGACCTCTGAAGACGTCGTCGAGCAGACGCCAGACGACCTAATTGTTGTGTTGTAGAACTCCGCGGCTAGGCGGCCTAGCTCTAAGCAGAGGAACCTTACTTCCCCAGCGCCTTCGTCGCGGCGATCCACGCGTCGAGCTTTTGTAAACCCGCGCCCGACGCGAGGCCCTCCTTCGCCTTTTCCACGCCCGCAGCGACACTCTCAGAAACACCAGCCACGTACAGGCCCATGCCGGCGTTCAGCGCGATGGCGTCGCGGCACGCGTCGTCCTTGAGGGTCGTCTCCTCGCCCAGCGGAATGGACGAGGGATCTGCCGCGAGGCACCGCCTCAACGCGTTCCGGTTGAATTCCGGGCCGCCCCCGACCAAGTCGGGCAGCGTACACCGCGGCAAGCCGTAATCTAGAGGTTCTAGCGTCCACGTCTTGGAGTCGTATCCTGAACTGGTTTTCTTGAGCTCGCGCACGGTGCACGGTCCGAGGGGAGACAGTTCATCTAAACCGACGCCGTGAATCACCACAGCGTGCTCCACCACCCCGATGCGCTCCAACGCGCCCGCCAACAAATCGACGAGCCTCTCGTCGAAGACGCCAATGACCACTCTTTGAGCGCCGGCGGCGTTCGTCAGGGGCCCCAGGAGGTTGAAGGCCGTTCGCACCCCAAGCGCTTTCCGCACGGGCGCCACGAAGCGCATGGACGGGTGGTTCTTCGGCGCGAAAAGGAACCCGAGGCCGACGTCGTCGATGCACTTCGTGACGTCGTCGAGATCCAATTCTAAGTCTAGTCCGAGAGCTTCGAGCACGTCCGCGGCGCCGCAGGCCGAGGACACTGATCTATTTCCACACTTTGTCACCTTGGCACCACAAGCGGCAGCTAATATCGCAGAACAAGTAGACAGGTTGATGGTGCAGGCGCCGTCGCCGCCCGTGCCGACGATATCTAATAACGTACCAGACGTCTTGACGGGCACGCAGGCCGCGCGCATGGCCTCGGCCGCGCCGGCGATCTCGTCCGGGGTCTCGCCCTTCTGCCTCAGGCAACACAGGACGGCGGCGACCTGCTCCGGCGAGGCGCTGCCATCCAAGAACGCCCCGAACAAGCCCTTGGCGTCGTCCTTGGCGAGATCTTCGCCCTCTATTAATTGAGAGAGGTACGGTTTTAAGGAGGCTCCGCTAGGTGCGGCCTGCACGACCGGCGTTTTGCGCAGCTTGTTGCCGAGTTTTCTGAGTGGTGCGAGCGGGCGGAGCGCTTGCGCCGCTGTGAGCAGGGTGATCGCGGAGAGGGTGCGCATCGTTTGCAGTTGTTTTGCAGTCGATGTCGAGCGCGTTTTCTGCGGTGGCTGCAAGCGAGAGACAAATTAGTGCTTCGACAGCACTGCGTGGCACTCCTCCTTGCCCCAGCGATCGAGGACGGGGCAGCAACAATGAGCTCTGAGAGCTACGGGTTTTCATCGATTTGGGAGGGAGCTCTGGGGCAGCCATCGCTCCTCCGGCGAGCCTATGAGACCTCCCTGCTATTGCTTGCGGCCAGCATGCTCAGTACCCACAGCGCTCGAGAGCACGTTTACTTTTGGCCAGAGAGGCGGAACAGCTAAAAGCCAAGGGGCAGAACAGCGTAAAGCCATGCTGCAAACCTATATTCGGGCTGCCGCGCGCCGCGGCGCCGCGGCGCGCACCGCCACGACCGTGGCGCGCCCCCAGGAAGGCGCTGCCCTCGCTGCTGCACGGCGTTCCACCACAACAGCGGCGCGCGCCTCCATCGTACACGACAAATTGGTACTGACGCCGGCCCAGCGCCGCCGCCACATCTTCAACGAGGCGCTCGCGATGACGCCCGAGGCCCGCGCGGGCGACGGTCCGCACGTCACGTTCCTCCGGGCGCTCGCGCGGCGCCTGCTCGATCCCGCGGTGATGCTACCGCACGGTCGCGTGCACACCGCGTTCGACGCTGAACCCATGACGCCGGCCGAGGAGCTCGAGCTGGTAGGGGCGGACGTCGGCCGCGTCGGCTGGGAATACAGATGAGCGCGCACGCTGGCGCCGCCCCGCACACGGCGGGCGGCAGCCGCTGCGCACTAGTTTATGTACATAACAATGAACTTACAGGACAACCTCCTCTCGCTTCACGAGCCGCTCCACCAAACCCGCGAGCGCCCCCGAATCCTCCGGCGGCCAACTCAATCCCCGCTTCTCGACAAATTCCCTATTCCAGAAGCGCGACAGGTAGCGCGCGCCGCCGTCGCAGAGCACCGTCACGACCGTCAACCGATCCGATGAGGACCGCCGCAGCTCGGCGCCCGCCCGCAGCGCCGCGACGCAATTTAAAGCAGACGACGAGCCGAGGAACAGGCCCTCGAACCGTAACAAGTAGTGCGCCATGACCAGCGCGTCCTGATCAGCAACGCGAATGGCGTCGTCGACGCGCGCCTCCCGAAAGTTCGCCGTGACCCGATCTAACCCAATGCCGTCGGCGATCGTGTCGTAGCGGTGGCGTCTTACAGATCTTTCTGCCTGTTTGACGTTGTAGCACACGCCGTGCCGCACTTTTGAGTGCAAGGCCGAGCCCTGCGGGTCCGCGAGGTAGATGCGCGCTTCGTCGAAGACCTTCGAGCAGCCCGCGAGCGTGCCGCCCGTCCCGGCCCCCATGACAAACGCGTCGACGCGGCCGACCTGATTGCGGATTTCGTGAGCGGTGTGGAGGTGCGTGCGCCAGTTGCACAAATTGTCGAACTGGTCCGCGAAGATCGCGGTTTTGCCCTTTTCGTTGAGATCCTTCGCGAGTTTTCTAGCCACGTTCACGTAGTGCGTTGGAGAAGAAATAGCGGCACTCTGGACGACGTGCACGTCGACGCCGGGGCACGCTCGTATAGCATCGCGCTTCTCGGCGGCGCAGTCGTCGGGGATCACCGCCACCAACTTATGTCCGGCGGCCGCGACGAGCGGCGCGAGCGCTAAAGTTGTTGAGCCGGACGAGCCCTCGACGACGTAGCCGCCGCCGCCCTTTGGTAGTGAACCGTCGGCCTCGGCATTCAAGATCATGGCCAAGGCTAATCTATCTTTTCCCGTGCCGTTCGGATTTAAATGTTCGCACTTTGCGTAAACGTCGCAGCCGCAGAGTTTGCTTAAAGATTGCAGTTTTATCAGCGGTGTTGAGCCCACGAGCTGGGCGCCGCCGCAGGCGGTCCAGTCGTCTTGTTCTTCCTTGCGGCGACGGCGTCGTCGCAGCGCTATTGCTACAGCAGCAGTGATCGCAGCGAGAGCTGCAGTCATGGTGGTGCGCATTGGTCGATAGGAGTCTTGCTGCGCCGCTGCACGCCGCGCAGAGATCACAGTATTACAACGAACGAATTCCTCGTCGAGACCTTGCCTAGCTTTGTCAAACGCCGGCACTCGCGCTTGCTTGTTTGCTAGTGCCTTACAGCGCTAGCTACGGGATACCTCGTCCTAGCACCGTAAACGTCGACTACATAGGATACCTCGTAAAACTCACATATACGCGGCGGGAGGAATCAAGAGGGAGGAGGCGATACGGAGGTGTGGGGAGAGGAGGAGCCGTGAGCGCGTCGCGCGGCGGGCTACTCGATGAATCGGCGTGACGGCGTCCACTGCTCACCGCCGCTTCACGCACTTGCCGTTGTCGAAGACGTGCTCGCTCGAAATCGTCTTGAACTTTTGGTGCTCGGCCACGCAGGCGTTCGTGTGCCAGTTGCCCTCGGTGTCGCACACCGGGCGGTGCACCATCGCGCACATGATCTTGTCGGGCTTGTCGCCCCCGCCGCTGAGGGAATCGGGGCCCGGCTTCTTCTTGCTTCTTGCGCTTTCGACGATGGTCCACTTGTTCCCCGGGGACCCTTCGGCGCACTTGTACTTCGTCTCGCCGTTGTCCTTGAGTTTTTGGTAGCATTTCGTGGGTTCCTCGCATTTGCCGAGGTCGCCGCACAGCTCCGATGCTCCCATGGTGTAGCTGACGCCGGCGAGGTCCGCGACGTAGGTGCGCGTCCGCACGCGCGCGACGGACGCGACCGCGGCGCCGCTGAGCGCGGCCGCGAGGCAAATCGCGGCGACGGTCGCCCGGCCGAGCCTCAGGGGCTTCGCCTCCGGAGCCGCGGCGGTCTGCGCTTCGGCGTCGGCGGCGCCGTACGCTTTGCTGACCGTCTGCATTGTTTGACCTGCGTCGCGCCGCGCGTTAGGATACCTTGTTTTGAGCGTTTCTCCGCGTACGCAGCTACGCGTTCGTGACCGCTTAAGTACTCTCTGGTTCTAGATAAGCTGGCAGAGCGATTTTGCGCCCTTCTCTCCCGTTTCTCGACGAACGATGATGATAACGATCGTGCGAGGGTCCCGTACGATAGACGCGGCCACGACTGTGATCGATATCCAGCGACACAGCGCAAAGCCAAATGAGAGCTAAAGTAATTTCCAGACATGCTCGATTCGCAACAGGCCCACCCTTCTACGGACTCGAAGGATGGAGTGGGACGGCCTTTGGGCGCACGAAAACCCAATGACACGTTCGCGAGCTAGCGTCTGTTAGACACTAGGCATCCCTAGCAAGCAGGCTGAAGCACAGGCAGCACTGTAGCGCTGTGTATGGCAGCTTAGAACTCGTGCGAATCTCATATTACAGCCATGCACCGCCGACGCATCCTTCTCTGCTACTACGCGGCCGCAGCGAGCGCCCTTCAGTACGCCCACCCCAGGCCCTCACCACGCACGCGACGGCGCAGCAGTGAACAAACCGATCCCGTGCTAGAAGTCGAGCGCCTGGAAAACGCCATCGCCGCGTCCACCGAGCCCAACGAGCAAAAAGAACTGGCCGAGAAGCTCGGGATGTCGCGGATGTCGGCCGAGATGTCCGTGCTGAGCGCGAACGCGGCCTTCTACGACGCCTTCCAGTCTTGCGACGTCGCGAAGATGAAGGCGGTCTGGAGCGACAGCGACGACGTCACGTGTGTACATCCGGGCCACCCGCTGATTTCGGGCGCCGATTTGGTCTTGAACAGCTGGCGCGCGCTCTTCTCGAGCGCCGGCGGCATGCCGAAGCTCGAGGCACAGCGGCAGCGCGTGGTCCTGTGCTGTGTGGAAATCAACCAGTGCGTCGGGTGCACCCGACAATTCTTCACTAAGTCATTTCTCGGCGATGACGCGGCCGTCTTGGCTCGCTCGAGCGGCGAGGAACCGGCATTGCCATCGAGCAGGCGTCGCGTCGATGGCGTGGAGGACGGTGCGATGATTCAGCACGAACAAGCCGTAAAATTTTGATTTCCACGCAGGTCCTGCGCGGCTCGGCGGCCTGGGTCACGTGCAACGAGGCGCCCGAGGGCGAGCCGTCGGCGCTCGAGGCCATCAACGTGTTTGAAAGAAGGGACGGGCGGTGGTACATGGTCCACCACCAGGCCGGCCCCGTCTTCGTCCAGCAGCCGCCCCAATAGCCGCGCGCCGCGGCGTCCTCGTTTTCTCGTCACACCGTTCGTTGATGTCTATTCATACTGAAAAACCGAATCCACGCCTGTCGACAAAACCTGTCACTACCCCTGAGAACGCCCACCTCGTCGTCGTTGCACGTCGCGTCGATAGCGTGCGCTTCTCCGATCGGCGCGGCCCTCGCAGGTACGCCATCGATGCGACTAGTTGTCTATAGTAATTTCCTTGTATTTTTACTCCTTCAGCGCCGCAATGGCAGACGCCCCGACGGCCTGGAGCGTCTCGCGCGCTTTCCGCAGTTCGTCACCTTGCGCTTCGATCAGGTCGTCGGTTTGTTGGGTGTGCTCGTTGAAGGCCTCCTGGATCTGATCAAGTTCGCCCTGCTTCGCCTCGGCCTCCGATCTAGCAGAATCGACGTCCTTCTGTAAAGACGTGGTGCGCTCCATCAGTTCGTTCTGCTTCCGGGCCATGTAGTCCGTGAAGGCCGCCTGGACCTCCTGCATCTCCTCCCGTACGGCGTCCGTGCGCGCGTCGGCTTGTCTTAATTCGACGGAGTGCTGGTTGATGAGGTTGATCTTTTGTTCGTGGGCCTTCACTAACTGGTCGCCGAACGCCTTTTGCGTCTCGCGCAGCTCGCTCTGCAATGCATTGAGCTGAGCAGCATGCTCCTTCTGCATCTCCAGTTTCGCCTCGTGCGTCTTCGCGAGGGACTCTTGGAAGGCCTGGCGCGTCTCATCGAGCAACGCCTGGACCTCATCTGTGACAGCTTGCGCCTGCTGGAGGTCGCGCGCATGCTTCTTGTCCGTTTTTAGTCTAGTTTCATGCTGCTTCACGAGCGTCTCGGCGAACGCGGCGGAAATCTCGGCGGCCGTGGGCTGCACGTGCTTGGACAGGTCGACGCGCGGCGTCTGGACCTTGGACGTGGCGCTCGTCTCGAGGTGCCGGTGGATGAGTCTCCCCGTGGACGGCGCCTGGAGCGCTTCCCCGGTGAAGGCCACGAGGGCCAGGGCGAGGACTCGTCGTCTGATCATGGTTGTTGGCTGGCGCGTCGACGGCGTCTTGGCGGGTAGCAGTTGCACGCGGGCACTGGCTGCACTTGGCAACGGAGGCGAGGTGGCGCGTCCGGAGCTAGGAGGTCACTGCCACCGGTGGCAAGATGCTGTGACAACGAGCACGTAGCGTGTGCGTGCGTAGCGGTGGCGTACGGCGCGATAGCGGTTTGATGCTCAGTCAGCTCTCAATTCTAGAGGTTTAAATTACGCTAGGTTTAAAATTCAGGGCTTCAAACTGCGTGGGAGACCCTTATTCACCCGCCACAGACGCGCAGACACGCCTACAACGCCCCTTAACACTCGATTGACGCGCGTCCAAGGCCGCGCCGCCGCCACCGCAACCGGAAAAGATACAGGAAGCACAAAACCCAAAACTTAAGGACGAACCAACCAATCGGAAGCGGCCCCATCGAACGCGTCACCGACGCACCGGTCGGACTGCCGCGCGCCGTACTTCGCGAGTAGCGCCTCGTCGTAGTTCCGCTTTTGCTCCCGCGGCTCCGACGCCGCGGGCTGCAGCCCACGGAACATCTTCGCGAAGATGGACCGCCACTCGCTCTTCAAGTCGCGGACCATCTCCTCGTTGTACGCGATGACTTTCTGCGACATGCCGCGCAGATCCAACGAAGGAGCCGTCAGCTGCTGTACCAAATCGTCGAACGAAGTAAACGTAGAAATGTGGGGCCACTCGTAGAAGTCCGCGTACTTGATCCAGAAGGCTATTGCCTTTATGTCGAACTCGTCGTTCGGGTCGTGTCTGTGGGAAGCACCGGGCGCTCTCGGTAGAGGACTTCCACGTGTGGGCCGCTTCTTCCTGACTAGATCCCAGGTCCGCTCGCTCATGACGCGGTACTTCAGCTGCCACTGCGCCAATAACTCCGGTGAAGGCGCCCACATCGGTATACCCATGCGGTAATATTCGAAAATCGACATCAATGAAACTTGGTAGGGGATCAATACGATACAAGGGTGGGCTGCTAAATCGCTATATTCGAAGTGCGGGTAGAGGTCCCGTATTCGCTTGAATTGGAGTTGTTGGCCCTGGAATCGTTTATTTCTTGCCGCGCTATCAAGCTGCTGGACGAAGTGGTCCTTGACGCCTCGTCCTGGCCCTATTAGTATTTGTCGTCGCGTCGGGTTGTAGGTTACGCCCGTATATCCGCCTGCGTGTGGAAATCAACCGGTGAGTTAGCAGACGACGCCGCGCCGATGGCGTCGAATCTCCACGCCATCGAGCAGACACAATCACTGGGACGTCGTCGCGCCGATGGCGTGGTATCTCCACGCCATCGAGCAGACGCTGTTACAGCGAAACGTCACGTCGACGTCATCGAGCAGACGCAGTCACGGGGACGACGAGCGCGCCTGGAAGTTGATTCCCACACCGCCACCCACAATAATTCGGCAGGACCGGCACATGACTTAAACCAGTAAAGTACTTGACGTACTCCGCGTCGTAGCGGTTGTTCGCCGCCACAACATTGCGGGGATGCGCCGCGATGGCCTTGAGGTTCGCGTTCCACGCCTTCCACCTTCTAGGATCATGCCGGCCGATCTCGTATCTGGTGGAAGCGACGACGATCAGCGACTTGTTGAACGGCATGAACGCTTCACACAAACCAGCAGCATGATGACATAAGAACGCGTCGACACTTCTCATTCTAGCATCATTAACATAGGCCTCGAAGAACTTGCGCCGCAACTGGTTGGGGCACTGTCCTAGCGTGATACCATTTTGTTTAGTAATCACTTTGAGGTTCCGCGAGCACGTCTTCTTCAGGTGACAGTGGCCGGACAACGACTCATCGATGATGCGCATGCCCATGGGCGCGAAGAGGTCCTTCAAGTCGGCGATGGGGCTTATATGAAAGTCGGAGGACCAGAAGGTGTATCCCCTATAGTCCTTCTGCGACTCCGGTTTCGTGGTTAATACCTCGCGCCGTTGTTGCCGAGGTGGTGGCGGCGGTTCTGGCGGCGCTTCGATGTGCTCCGCCTGGGCCCGCGCCAATTCCACGTCGCTGCGGGCCGCATCTCTTAAAGCGGCGTGGCCCTGGAGCTCGACGTCGAGCTCAGCGACGCGCGCGAGCCGCAGGGCGATGCCGTCGTCGGCGTCCTGCACTGCCGGGTTGTTGGCGTAGAGGAAGGCCATCAAGACGAGCGCTGCGACGACGAGGCAGCCGCCCTGGCTCGGCTGGCGCGGCCGGGCGCCCGAGCGCTTGTCACCCATTAGCGCTCGCGCCGGCTGCCAGTGATGGTGGTCTGAGAGTTGGACTGCTGCTTGGACGAATGTGTGCCACTACGCTATCTCCTGTCCAGCCCGCAAGCACGGCTGTTTGGCCTCTTTTGCCTTGCCTGGCATGCTAGCGTACTGTAAGACACTAGAGCTAATCTACACGGGGAGGAGTCCACCATCAGGGGGGATGCCACTGGGTCGTCTGCGTCTGGTGGTTGACGTAGTAGGGCCGCCCGTCGGGCGCGATCCGCTCCTCCCACTGCGGCGGCAGATACGTCGGCGGCGGGTCAGCCACGGGCACCGATTGCACCGGCGCGGCTTGCACGATCGTCGCCTGGACGACGGGCGTGCCGTCGACGACGTACGAACCGGGTCCCGCCGGCGGCGCCGAAGCGACAGGGGGCATGTTGACGTAGGCCGGTCCCGTCGAAGCCGGCGTGTTCGTGAGGGCCGCGGCGTGAGCCATGGGCCCGGGCCGCTAGTAACAGGACCGCGCGCGTCGCCGACCGCGGTCGACCCCTGGTCGCCGGGCGAGTAGATACATGACCTAAGAAGACTAAGGACGATTTGGAATTGCGAGTGAGTAAGCACCGATAACGACGGCTTCACAGCTAGCGTGACGACATACTAGACTGCCGAGACAGACGGTCGGAGAGAGTGCGCGGCGCCGCGCCGCGCGAGGCGTTTGTGTTAGGCGTAAAGGACACGAGACTAATACATATTAACCACGATCACTGCGCGACGCCGCAACAATGCCTCGGCCCCACCAGCAAAAGCACAAGCACTCGCGCCGGTCCCACGCGTCGCCGCAGACGCGGAGCCCGCCGCTCGGCCAAAGAAAAGAGCCCCACTTCCTGGACGACGACGCGCCGATTTCTTTCAAGTTTGCTGGTCTTCTAGCGCTCGCCGCCGCCGTTGGCGCCGTCGGTGGCTGTGTGGAAATCAAATTTACGGCGCGTTCGTCCCGAATCGCCGCGTCGACCTCCACGCCATCGACGCGCCGCCTGCTCGATGGCGTGGCGATGCCGGTTCCTCACCGCTCGACGGGGCCAGCACGGCCGCGTCATCGCCGAGAAATGACTTAGTGAAGAATTATCGGGTGCACCCGACACACTGGTTGATTTCCACACAGGTCGGCGGCAACGTCCTCATGCGCAAGTACACGTCCACTAAACAGCCGCTCCCCCTCACGGTCGTCGGCGCGTTCTCTTAGGGCCGGAACCTCGCGGAGGGCCTACAGACGACGAAGCGGGCCCTGAGCCACTCGCGGTGCCGTGAGGAATGTTTAGAACGGCTCGGCGCCGCCTGGAAGAGCACCAAGGGGAGCGAGTCCGACGCGGCGCGGCGCCTGATCCGCCGCTCGGAGAACGGGCGGCTGACGCTGGCGGCGCCGTACGCCGAGCGGCTCCAGACGCAGGTCCCCACGACGAAGAGCTGGTCCGAGGCGAACGCCTCGTCGTCGTAAGGCTCACTATTCAATTGTAGGGGGAAGGGCTATGCCGCCAGCACCGCGACGGCCGCGGCCAGCGCGGCAGAAGTCGTCCGAGGCGCGGCGCCCGACGTAATGTTGAAATTCAACGCCTGGGCGGCACAAGCACCGGACACGTACGTGACGCCAGCAGCGTCGGCCCGACAGGCGTTGGAGTAGGTCGTGCCGTCGCCGCCGCAGACCGGATCCCAGAGCGCGGCGCAATCGACGTGGTCGGGCGGCGACATGGTGGGGCTCGGCGACGGCGAAGGCGCGGCGGCCGTCGGCACGGCCGTCGGCGCTGGGGCCGCAAGGCACGCCTCGACGGCGTCCGTCGCGGTTGCGGCTTGCAAACAAGGCACCTTCGCCGCAAAGTCGACCAGCTCTGTGGGAGGCGCCGCGGGGTCGTAAGGGAAGGACGTCCCCGACGCCGCCGCCTGGACCGTGTCGCCGCCTGTAGAGATGGCGATACTGTTTGAGGCACATTCCCACGCGTTGACGTGCTTATGGTTCTCGAGGGTGCCGTAGGAGAACGTCGCTTCGTCGATCTGGTGAAAGGTCGTCGGAGCGCTCGCGTCGCTCATGTACGTCGGTCCGTAGCGCGCTGAGCGTGCGGCGTCCTCGCCGGCGACCCACTGCTCGACGAAAGAATACAGTCCATCGATGTCCGCTGCTGCCTTGAGCTCAATTCTGCTGAGGAAACGCCAACCAAGCGATTGAGACCAGATATACCCGCTAAACTGGGCGCGATCGCCCACCTCGTGGGCTTGCGTCACGTAGTAGTACGGGCCGGCACCGAGCTCCGCGTCGAGCTGCGACTTGCGACCGGTGCCCTCGCCCCCGAAGCCGGTACAAGTCACGCCAGTCCCGCACGCGACGGTGGTGGCGAGGTCATCGGCGTCGCACGTGTTGTGCTCGGTATCGCAGGTATCCCATATAGAAAAAATGGCACGATCGAGTGAATCCGTGGGTTGCTGGACGCCGCCGTAGCCGTACTGGAAGCCGTTCGATGCAAAGTAGGTAGCCTCGGCAACGTCTCTCGGCTCGACGCGCTGCCACCAGAAAGCCGCCTGGGCGACCGACGGGCTGTAGTTGAGGTGCACGGACGCCGTGCGGACGGAATCCGACAAGGCATCGCGGCATGAGCCTGTCGCGTCAATCCACTCGCAGCTATCGCCACTACACGAGGCTTGCTCGTCGCCGTAGCAGCCCGAGGTGCATTCGTTATCCAACCACGTACACTCGCCGTTGCACCAGGCCGCGCCGTTGCCTTGCGGACAGAGGTCGCACGACGCCGCCGAATGTCCGCCACAGACCACCTCGGCCAGCGCCGCGCGCGCCGCGACGAATAGAGCAAAGCGCCGCATGACTCTATTTGGAAGGCGCGCCGCTCGCGATCTCCTTGAGCGCGTCGTTGATCTCGGCGTCGCGCACGCGCTGCTCGTCGTGGTACTGATCCACCTCGTGCGTCGTTTTTAAGGGGTTGGGCAGCTGGTCGTCGGTCGCCGCCGACGGCGTCGCCGCCGTGCCCTCGATCTCGGCGTTCTTCTTGCGCTGGGCTTCGGATGCTTTCCAGACTTCCACTTCCTCGGCGGTCACACCGCTGTCAAAATCGCGGGGCGCGATGCCAGGCGTGTATGTCGCCATGTTGTTCTTCTGAGAGGCTGCCCGCGGGCTCGTGGCGTCCAATAATTTGCGTTTAGGCTGCCCGATTGCGCTGTGTTTTTTGCAACTCGGGTCTTGCGCCGCGGAGTCGTCGTCGGACTGTCGTCCCAAGAAAGGATATGAACGTACGAGTCTTAGGTCCCCAACCACGCCTAGCGCGCCCGCGCGGCGAGCGCCGACGACCGCGCGCCCCGCTCGAGCGCCGCGCGCGCGTCGTCGGCGTCGACCAGCACCCGAAGCTTCGCCTGGCCCGGGTTCCGCGCCTTGAGCGCCTTCGACCGCCGGTCCGGCGCCGCGCCGACGAGTCCCGCGGATTCTAGGAGAGCGACGCTGTCGTCGGCCGCGCCCGCGCAGTCGCCGCGCCGCCCTAATTGCGGTTGTAACCTGGAATAGGCCGTCGCTAAAGCAGACCGCGTGAAGCTCCGGTCGGCGTTCGTGGACAGGTCCAAGGCCGCTCGTAAAGCGACGTGCGCGTGGTGCGGCAACGAAGCCACGGCGGCCAAAGGCCCGTGCGTCGCGCCTCCACTTTCCCGGATCGCCTCGGCGGCCCGCGCCATGGACACGGGATGTTCACCGTGGCGCCTAGCGCTTAAGAGAGCCGCCCGACACGCATCCAAGGCACGTCTAGCATCACCACTATGAGCCGCGACCTTGCGCGCGACAAACTCGAGGGCCGGCGCAGCAAAAACACCTTCGCCGACCCTTTGCTTGACGATGTCGACGAGCTGCTTGTGCTCGTACGGTCTAAATACCACGGTGCCGTGCCTCGAGGCTTCTTCGGAATTCCGGGGAATGTCCCCAAAAAAGGCGCGTCGAGGGACATCAATCGCGTTCGCGACCCCGACCAGAGCTAGCGTCGACGTCTCCCTCGTAGCTAGCCCATAAACCTTTCTGAGGGCTTCGCCGCCGCATTTTAATAAAGAATCAATCTCGTCGACGACCACAACCCTCAGTACGGGATTCGTCTTGGTTCCCGCGTCGCACGTCTCCTTGAGTCTCAACAAAAGCTCGCCCCGTTCCGGGTCGCCCTGGAGTACGGAAGAGGAACAAACGCCCTTCGCCACGGCCCTCAGAAACGCATCACCAGAGGCAAAGGCCGTGCCCCGCAGGAAGCATGCTTTGGCATCGCGCGTTGGGATGGAACCGAGCACGTGAGCACGCGCGCGCTCCACATGTAATGTCTTGCCCGTGCCCGGCGCGCCGCAGACGTACAACGAGCCGCCGCGCCTTTGTTCTAATCTTTCAGCGAAGAAGCGGCGGATGGCCTCGTACTCCGTTTCTCTGTGAGACGTGGTGTCGGGCGCGTAGCTCAGTCGCAGCGCGTCGTCCGGGTTTATTGGTGACGGTTCCGACGGCTCCGAGGGCGGCGCCTCTGGTGTCGTGGGCGCTTCCAGCAATGGCTTCTTGCAGCGCAGTTCAGAAGTTGTGGCGTCGTTCCGCCGGTCGCCGTCCGCGTAATCTAGCGCGATGGTGCCGTCTTCATTAATAGCGCGCACCTTGGCCGGGTAGTACTCGCCGTCGGCGGGCCAGAGCGCGTCGACCTTGTCTCCTACCGCTATGGAGAGCTTGCGTTTTTTGGGGGCGCTCGACATTTTTTGTGTTTATGCAACGCGTGGGGCACGCGACGCGCTCGGGCGCCGGGCACCGCTGCGGCGGGTCCCTGGCAAGCAGCGACCGTGCTTCAGAGCGCGCAAGTGCAGTTTATGCGCTTGCTTGATACAAGCGCGCGCGGTCCGAGATTATCTAGCGGCATGTAAGACACTAGAAGGCCGCAGCCAGACCAGAGTGTACCCCTAGGAGACTCCACGGGGTCCAATCGTCTCTCCTAGACGTGTTGGCGGGACATCTGCACTAAAAAAATGCGAGTTCAAAAAGCTGCATTTTGATTTCACAGCCTGTTTAAAACTAAAAACGGACAGCTGTAGTGTGCAACGCCGCATAGCTGCTGCATTTCATCCACATCGCTGTCATCCAAGAAACGCCTGGCTTTTGACGCCGCAAAGTGCGTTTTAGCACACCATTTCAAAAGCGCTCCTGCAAAACCGCAGCGCCGCTCGTGCACATCACCACAGCTCGCTACAGCTCACGTATCACCATGAGCAAAGCCCCCGACAACGCTCGCACGGACTTAGCCGTGCTCTACGGCGGCCGCTGGCGCCTGCCCAGTGCAAAGCGCGGCGTGCGGCCGCTCTGGGTTTTGAGAGTTTTCGAGACGCGCGACACGGAGTGCTACGAAGTCTACTGGTCCGACAAGACGTCGATGTTGGTGGACGCCCACGAGGTCTGTCCAATGGAAGACGTCGAGCGCGCCTCGAAGCGGCCGCGCGCCGTGTCGCCGGGCCCGCTCGAGGCCATGGCGCAGGCGGCGCGGAGCGAGGGCCAGCCCCTGCAGCGCCGCGATAGTGTAGATTTTGCGGACTTCAACGCGTTAGTCGACGCGAACGTCGGCGAGAGTGATGGTTTGCCGCCGCTGGTCCACGAGCGCGCGGCGGCGGAGCCTAGAAGAAGGCGCAAGGGCCCCGGCCGGCCGCCGGCCCTCTCGCCGGCGCCGGCGCCCGACGTTTTGAGTACGGCGCCGACGACGCCGCGGAACGCGCCGCCGCTCCCGCTGCTCACGCCGTTCTCGCCCGTCGACGTCGCGCGCGTGTCCGAGCAGATCTCGGCGCTCTCGCCGGGCGACGACGACCACTACGTCTCCGTGCAGCGGCTGCGCGAGCAGCTCCTCCAGACGCCCGTGCCGAACCTGCCCGCGGTCCTCGACCACCTCGAGGCGGAGAACGCGATCATGGTCGACGGCGACGCGATCTACCCCATCTAGCGTCGTCGTCCTCGCCTAAGACGCTTCGTGCGCCTCCGTTTACGTGCGGGTGTGGTCTGGATCCCAGCTCTCGCACCGAGTGCGCGCTGGCTAAGCCCGGCGCCGGGCAGCTCCATCGATTAACAGCTTGCATAACCACGCTCGAATTCACCGGTTCTGTGCGTATTCGGCTGCCCCGACAGCTGCTGCTGCGTGATGACAGCTTCCCCCAACGAGGAAGCGACCGCCTCCGAGTCTCTGGAGTCGCGCGCCCAAGCCGCAGCCAGGCCGAGGAGGCCGTCGAGCCTTCGTTCTTCTCGAAGCTTACCTCGTTCTTGTTCGGGGAACGGGAAGAGGCCCCCACGGAAGAAGAGGCCGCCGCCCTCCCCGTTCTCGCGGAAGCCGAAGAAGCAATCGAACAACCACCACTGCCTCCGCGGACCCGACGCTTGTTCTCGGGCGCCGAGCCTGAGATGGCTCGCGGCGACTTTGCGGTCCTAGGGTTCTGGTTCGTGTCGTGTATCATCTTCACGTGCGGGTGTCAGCCAATTCCATGGCTCACGTGCGGGAGGAAAAAGAAAAGGGACCCGCTCTTTTACACGGGTATTGTGCTCATCAGCATCGGGTGCCTCCTAGTGGTGTGCTATTTCAATCGAGACACATGCGCTCGCGCTGTCGATCGTCCTCTGCCTGACGCTGGGGCCGCCGATCGCGCGGCGAGTGGCTCACAGCGAGTATGATGACGATGAAGAACTCGATAAACAGGGCACGGACGCTCATCTCTTCTACAACGCGGCCACCTACCGGTGCGTCCTGCTTGTGTTCGTGCTCGCGACCCTTTTTTGTTCCGCGCGGCTTCGATGCGCTGCGAGGAAGCCTCCGTCCGGCGACGCGGTCGAGCTCGGGCCGCGCAGCGAGAATCCGATGCCCGTGGATAAGTATTAGTTTCAAGAAACCCTACACTTACGCGGGCGGGCGGTGTACTCATCACTCCGTCTCCTCGCACGCGTGCTCCATGGCGTAGGCGTTGTTCACGACGGCCTGGTCGCCCGGGCCGTCGTAGTAGTAGTCGCGGCGCCAGGCCTGGTCGCCCGTGAGCTCGTACTCGGCGCTCTGGTATTGGGAGACGCCGTCGACGGGCTGCTTGTACAGGGCGTAGGGCTTGTAGAGGTAGTGCCAGGACCTGTGTGGAAATCAACCAGTGCGTCGGGTGCACCCGATAATTCTTCACTAAGTCATTTCTCCGCGATGACGCGGCCGACCTGGCTCGGTCGAGCGGATAAGAACCGGCATTGCCACGCCATCGAGCAGGCATCGCGTCGACGGCGTGGAGGACGACGCGATGATTCAGCACGAACGCGCAGTAAAATTTTGATTTCCGCACAGGCCAGGACCGGACGTCGTAGTCGAGGTCGAGGCCGCGCTTCGGCTCGCGCTTGATGCGCTCGTATAGCGTGTCCGTCGAGGGCGCCTTGGTCGTCTTGACCTATGTGGACGCCATCGAGCAGGCGGCGCGTCGATGGCGTGGAGGTGGACGCGACGATTCAGCACGAGGCGCCGTGAACTCTTGATTTCCACACAGGCGAGGAGAAATTGATCTACGCCACGGGCACGACCAAGTTCCTCATCAACGGTTGCGCGCGGCGTCCATTTCTCGACGCCATCGAGGAGACGTCGCGTCGATGGCGTGGAGGTCAACGCGCTGTTGCGGCAACAAAGGCGCCGCGAAATTTGATTTCCGCACGGGACGATACAAATGCCTTCAAATCGTCCGCGGACGCGCGCGCGCGGCCCGGTCTGACCAACATGGCCCGGTCCGCGACGAGCGCCGCCTCGAAGGTCTCGTCATCACCCAACTCGCGGCCCATGTAGAGCAGCGCCTCCGTCGCCGGTTCTTCTTCGAGCGCGCGCGCGACCGCCGTCGCCGCGACCTTCTTCTTCAGCGACGCGACGGTGTCCTTGGACTCGACCTTGTAGGACGACAGCTGGCCGCTCGGCAGGCGCACGTAGACGAGCAGCGTGCCGATCCGGCGCGGTCTCAGCTTGTCGACCAACCAGGGCGTGCTCGTCATCTGATGGAGCAGGCCCGGCGTGGGGTGCGTGACGCCGGGCTGCTTGGGGATGCCCGTCGCGCCCTCGAAGACCACGGCAGCGGCCATTTTTGCGTCGCGGTGGTGGCGTGCGCGCTTCGATTATGGAAGGCCACTACCCAGTCTTGGCCAGCCAAGTTGTGGGGTTTTCAAAGGCCGTGAGAGTCATATGGGGCGCTCTCTACACGCCTCTGTTTGGAAACTGATGGGTTCTCGATTTTTTTTTGCTTGCTAGTGACTTACAGGCCGCTAGCCCCGGCGCTGCGCGAAGTTTTGCGAGCCGTACGCTCGACAGCCTGAACGATCGGCTACGAGACTCTGCGACACGTCGCGTACGAACCATTCCTAAGGCGTGAGCTGATTTCCAACGAACGTCGGCCTGCCCTTGGGGCCGCAAGGCTGCTCAGAGTGATTGGGTGCTCAGCTGCAATTTTGATAGGCGGCCCGCACGACTGCGATGCGAGCTCTCACATTCCTCCTCGTCCTCACCGCCGGCTGCAGAGCCGAGAACGCCACCAAAAACGCGACCGCGAACGCGACGGGCGCGGCGACGTCGACGCTCGTCGAGCTCGATGAGAAGAAGCCGCGCCGCCGCCCGAAGAAGACGGCCGAGAAGACGCTGGACCAGCTCTTGGAGCAGCTGTTTGAAGCCAACTCCGTCCAATCCGCGGCCGCGGCGACACCGGCCCAAAAGAAGAAGCGGCGCAAAAAAGCGAAGGACCTCGACGTAAGTGACGACTCCGAATCTTTGGAGGCCTTCGTGAACAAGCTGCTGGCGAGCGATAAGGATGACAAGGACGACGCGGTCTCGAAAATATTTGGCGCGGGAGACCTCGCGGGTTTGGAGGCCGAGCTGTCCAAGCAGGCGCGCGAGCTCGCGGATTTACTGAAACCGACAAAAACAAAGAAGAACTCTGGTTTTCGAACGGTCGAGATCTCGACGGAAGATCTGGCCAAGCTCTTCCCGTCCGCAAACGACCAGAAGGTCCAAGTGCAACTGGGAGACGGCCAGGTCTTCACGGTCGACTTCGACGGTGATATTCAAAAGTCAATATTGCAGAAGAGCAAGAAGAACCCGGTGCCGACCGTCGCCGCGTTCTTGGAAAGTGTCTCTGGCAGGCAGACCGACAATTTCGACTTTCCCTGCTCCACGGAACCCTGCGCCGGCGTGTGTATCGTGGGCAGCGGGTCCCGCTATATTGATGGATGGTACGCGCGCGGGCCCTGCGCGGGCGAGGTGTGTACATATATACAGGGAGACGTCACGCTTTCCCAGTTCACGCAGCCCTCCGGCACGTCGCACTGGTTCGTCTCGAACGAGCGTAATCCCGAGACGCCCTCGGACGACGTCGACTATTTGCGGACGATCAAGGCCGGCGCTTCCCAGAAACCGCCCGAGGCCCGCTCGGCGTGGGGTATTGTGGATCGCGCGTCCACCGTCGCGCACGCTGAATTAACAGAAGAGGAGGCTCGGATCATAGCGTCCGACTGGCCGACGCGCGCGCCCTTTGTCTTAAGGGCGCAGCGCGGCACGGTGTGTCAGGACGCGCTGGAGAAGTTGTCTGGAGAGGACGTGCCCGCGTTACTAGATGCTTTATTGGACGGGTCTGCGGAAGGTTTAAAGCGCGTCGAGCGCGCGCTGTCGCGTCTGGCGAAGCCGGAAAGCTGGAAGTCAATTGCCGCGACGTGGCTCCTCAAGGTGCTGGACGACGGGACCCTGGAGGATATTCTGGATGGGGCGGACGCGCAGTACCGGGAAGACGTTTTAGTATTAGCGGCGGTCGGCGTCGCCGTGCTCACGGCGTTCCTCATGCTGGCGCTCTGGCTGGGCCGGCGCGTCCTCTTTGAAAATGTGGATAGGCCGTTCTTCGACCAGCGCGAGAATGATGACATACTCGGCGTGGCGCCGACGCCGCAGATCGGTGGCGAGGGCTGGGCGTCGGAGTCCGAGGATGACGAGCCGCGGGAAGTTACTTTTGACCCTGTGCCACGGACAGAGTGGCGGGCGGTGTTGAGGAGATTCGAGGGCCATTTCGTCGTGCCCGTCGCGCTGCTCCTCCTGATGATTCTGCGGGAGGCCGCCGCGACGCCTTCACAACTAACATCAGCCTTCGTGAGCGCCTATCAGAAACATCCGCGAGTGGTGGTTGCGCTCGCGCTGAACGCGAGTTTGAGGTTCGCTTTATCTGTCGTCGCGCTCACGCGCCACATCATTTCGTGGGTCGGAGCCGACGACTGGCGCGGCGCGACCAAGGCCGCGGGAGACGAGGCCTTGTGGTTGATGGCCATCGCGCTCGCGCGCGACCTGCGCAAGGGAGAAGACGGCCTGGACGAGTCGCTCCGCGACGCGTTCCTCGGGGCTTTGGTTGCCGGCGCGGTCGCCCTAGTGGCGAAGCTCTGCCGGGCGCGGGCCGCGCGGCTCGCGCTCGACGAGCCGCTGGAGGCGAGCTACGCCGCTGTGTATAAACGCGTCCGCGCGCATCTAGTGCTGCTGCTCTGCGTCCTGCTCCTCGAGGGCTTCGTCGTCGGCGCTTCTGTATACTACTTCCGGACCATGGAAACCGGAGCTTTCTGGCGCTACTCCCTACCCCGGAAATTAAGGGCAGCAGCGCTCTGCGCGCGTACTGTCAGCAGAACGACGCAAGTCTTCCTGCACGTCTGCTGCACGTTGATCTTCGGCAAGGACGCGATGCTCGTCTCGGCGCTGCGGCGGCCGACGCGCGAGGCCTTCGCCCTCGAGTGGCGCTTCCACGCGCGCGCGAAGCCATCTCCAAGACGGGCCGTCGCGTCGTACTACTGCGAGCTGTGGTGCCACTGTATCGAACTCGTCGTGGCGCTGGCGTGGTACGGCTACGAGCTGATCCGCGGCGCGCTCGAGCCGACGGCCGGGTCGGTCTTATTCTCGCTGTACGCGCAGCACGCGTTTGGGAAGCTGCGGGCGAAAGTCGCCTACCACCGCGAGTGGCTCCAGCTGAACACGAGGGCGAAGGACGAGCGCGCGCTGTTCGTCCCGGCGAGCGAAGCCGTCGTCGAAAGGTACGACGATATCTGCGTCATCTGCCACGACAATTTCGAGGTCGACGGCGCGCGGCGCCTAAGGCGGACGACGCCGATCAAGCTGCCGCGGTGCGCGCATTTATTACATAGGGGGTGCCTCGAGGTGTGCCTCGAGAACGCGCACCGGACGCTGCGGCCTTTGGTGTGTCCCATTTGTACCGCGCCGATGCGGCGGGGGGAGGCGGCGCCGGAGCCCGTCGTGGCTCCGGGACCGGACCTACCCGTTGTTGGGGATTTCGCCGCCGCGGCTCCCGAGGAGGAAGTTGAGTAAGTTTTTTGTCTGTTATTGACTTAGGCGTGTGAGTAGTGGGCCACATAGGCTCGGCACCAGGCATATGCCAGGGCTCGCACGGGTTTTTCGCTCAGTGAAGCATACAAGCTCCGTCGCGCTTGTCCAGACCTACCCGTCGCGGAACGCGGCTCGACAGATAACGCGCCGAACTTGCAGTCCGTTTTCTGCTCTCTCAGAGAGTCGACACAGACTTTAAAGCTCTCTCTCTTGTGAGAGCCAGTGACTGCATCAGAGTCTTTCCGGCTAGGCGAGCGTGCGTGCCCGCTTGACTACTCTTCTTTGAGCTTCTCCGACTGTGCACAAGAGCTATGCGTATCGTCCGCGCCCTCGCCACATTCGCCGCGCAACCGCGAGGCACGCGTCGCCTGCTCTCGGTCCGGTTTGCGTCCGATTTCGTGAGCCGGAGCGCGCGCCCCGGAGCCGTCGCGGATGCCGAGGTCCTCGCTGATCTCAAGAACCCGGTCATTCTCGACGTCCGAGATCCCGCGGAGGTCGAGGCCGGCAAGGGCGGCCCGCCCGCGAAGATCGAGGGTGCCGTCAACGTACCGCTCAACATGGACGGCGTCAAGCAGAGCGAGCGCCCGACAACGCAGGAAGAGTTCCTCAAGAAGATCAATGAAGTCGTCGTGGCGCTGCCCAAGGACCGCCCGATCATCACGCATTGCGGCTCGGGCGGCCGCGGCGGCAAGGCGGCCGAGCACCTCTGCGACGCGGGCTTCGAAGCCTACAACGGCGGCGGTCCCGCGCACATCGCGGCGGCGCGCGTGTACGAGATGACTGAGTCGGGGGAACTTCCTCCGTACACGCCGCCGATGCCGTAAGACGACGACGACGCGACTGCGCGGCGGCTTGTGGCTATTCGGTCTAGCTCTAAGAAGTCATAACTACGAGTCGTCAATTTACGCGTCGACGGCGTCGCCGCCATCATCGCCGGCCTCGAGCTGCTTCGAGAGCGCGTTCTTCACCTCGAGCTCGCGCAAGTTGTAGCCGATCGCGAGCTGCCACATGCATAATTGCGCCATCGCGCTCCCCGACTGCTGCAGCAGCGTGTTCGCCTCGACGGACGACGTGCCCATGCCCTTCATGATGGAATAGACGAGCTTCTTCATGCCATCCAAAACATCATCAGTAATCTCCGACGTGAGCGCCGCCATCTGCTGCTCCGGCAGCGAGCGCACGTACGCCAATAAATCGGACTGCGTCGCCTCCCTTCGAGCTTCCTCGACCCTATCCAACTCCGTCCGCAGCGTCTCGACCTCTTCCCGTAATTCGGCCATGTACGCGTCGGCGTCGATGGCGACCTCCTCGCCCATGACGTTGACCTTGACCTGGCCCTCGACGGGCGGCAGGGAAGAACTGTCGTCCTCGCCCGGCATGAGCGCGGGCACGTCCTGCAGACCTGTGTGGAAATCAAATTTCGGGCGCCCCACGCCATCGACGCGACGTTGTCTCCGTAGCTGCGTCTGCGCGATGGCGTGGCGATTCCACGCCATCGACGCGACGTTGTCCCCGTGCCCGCGTCGGCTCGATGGCTTGGAGGCTCACGAAGGCTCACGCAATATTTCTCAGGATAACCTAACTCACTGGTTGATTTCCACACGGCTGCAGACTCCGCGACAAACTCAACCGGTACTCGGCGTTCTTGAACATGTACCCCGTCATCTGGAGCTGGAACATGAGGTTCGCGAGCTTCTCCGACGTCGTCACCGTCGCCGTCTCGAGGGCGAAGGAGCCCGCGTTGCCGAGCAGACCCATGATCGTTTGTTTGACGGCGTCCTGGACGCGCGGCGGCGCCGTCGCCGCGAACCGCCCGATGATCTCGCCTGGGGATAACGCAGCCACGACCTTGTAGTAGGGGTTCGTCTCGTCGTCGGACTTGGCCAGAGCGGCCGTCGGCGCGTCGTCCTTGGCTGCGCGCGGCTCCAGGTCGAACTCGTCGTCCCTCGTGCCATTATCGCTGCGCGGCTCGTCGGTCGCGCGTAACAATGTAGGTCGTCGTCGCGCAGTCGATGAAACGGGCTTGAGCTGTGCATGTCGCCTCAGCGGCGGCACGAAGGCCGTGGCAAGCGCGAGCGCTGCAATCCATGCGAGTGCTGGTCGCGGAACGGCCATCATGCAGCAATGGCTCAAGCTTGCGCTTGCAGGCATTCCTAGTGTCTTACAGGCCGCTAGCCCCGTTCGATAATCCGATGCTCTCCCGCGCTAGTGCCCGGCATTCTGGCCATTGTAGATTAGCCAGCCACCCACACAATGCACTCAGCCCGCAAGAGCCGCGACAGGACCATACCAGGGTAAGGAGGCTGCCCGGATGTAATGGGAGGCGCCGCCATCATCAGTTCGCCGCAGCGGCGGACACCGGAATCGTTCGACGCGGCGGCGGCTGAGACGCGCTTCGCCAACATCGCGGGTGGCAAGCAGGCTCCGTACAGCGACGTGGACAACGCGCTGATCCTGCGGGCCCTGCGGCGCCAGGCGGACGTCGTGCGGCTCACGCCCGTGGTGCTACCAAATGGCACGGTCCTCGAAACCGAGGTGCGCTTCGGCGCGCACGCGGTGAGCGAGCGGGTCCGAAAGCCGCCCGCGACGGGCATGATCCTGAGTGGAAATCAAATTTCGGGCGCCCCACGCCATCGACGCGACGTTGTCCCCGTGGATAATCTAACTCACTGGTCGATTTCCACACAGGCATGATCCAAGTCGACCTCGCGACCGAGAACACGCTGACGGTCGTGCGGCTCCTTGGGAAAGGGGAAAAGGCCACCTCCCCTCTCAAAGTCAAGGCAGCTCGTCATCACCAGCCCGTCGACGCGCGCACGCCGCAGCACGGTTTGCACACAAAGCATGGTCAGTTGTATCCTAACTTGAGGAAGCGCTTCTCTCGCGTGGGCGCCGTGGCGGTCCTCTGCTTCCTCTGCCAGTTATTTGCACGTTTCGGCGCGCCAGTATACTGCCACTGGATGACGATTGAATACGAGATGCCTTTGAACGCAACCAAGGTCGAGACACGGTACGACCTCTGGAACGCGCACGTCAAGACAGAGAATGGGAAAGAGACGGAGGCGCTCGAGACGGACGACAAGAAGTGCGCCGGCGACGCGTTCTGCGAGGCGCTCGTTGCGTCCAGCAATACGGCGCGGGACACCACGGTGGTGGGAGTGACCTCGCTTTTGGTCGCCGTGCCCGCCCTGGTCCTGGCCAGGCAGAGTCCTCGCCCGCACCACGGGAAGCTCTTCGCTGTCCTCTGCCTGGGCTTAATGTTAGGCGGCCTCGTGGCCCTCGCGGGCGCCGGCAACTACCGGACGGAGATGACGGAGGCCGTCGAGGACCACGACGTGTTCGACGGACAGGTCTGCACGGTCGGCTGCTTGCTTTCGATTCTGGGCGGCGTCGCCGCGCTCGTGGTCGGCCTCCTGGCGCTCGTGCTCCACTTCGCGATCCCGCCACGGAAGTTGCATCTCAAGTCCGTGCGTCCGACCTGACGAGTCCTTCTCGACGCCGTCGCCCGGGGCGACGCATCCATAATAGTTTGTGTTTTCTTTAATGCATTAGCCAGGGATCGCAGTAGCCAAGGAGCGGGTTTTGGTCAGGACGTGCTCGAGCTGCGCGCGGCGCGCGTCAAGACGCTGCGGCAGAAGTCAGCGCGGAACAAGTGATTGCTGTGTGTCCCCACCCCTCTCGTATGATAACAAGGAGCTTAGTAGGTCGGGAGCCGCGGGTCGACGTCCCTCGCCCAGGCCAGGATGCCCCCCTCCATGTTGTAGAGCCGGTCGAAGCCCAGCGATGCGAGGTCGCGGCACGCCGCGCGCGACCGAAAGCCCGACTTGCAGTGCACCAGCAGGTCGACGTCGCGGGGCAGCCCGTCCGCCGCCGCCTTGATATTCCTATGCGGACAGAGCGCGTCGGCGAAGGGCAGCTGGCAGATCTCGGCTTCTTGCGGCAACCGCACGTCCAAGACGTAGGGCGCCCAGCCCTCCCGTAATTTGTCCGCGCACTCCGTGGCCGTTAAGGGGGTGTGCGCGTCCGGCGGGAGCGGCTCCTCTTCCAGAGACTTTTCCGCGGCGGCGCACTCGGCCGCGCCTTTCACCAACGGAATTTCGCGGAACGTCATCCGCAGCGCATCATAAACCAGAACGCGGCCCGCGAGGCAATCGCTTGATGGCCTTTTCAATAACACCTTGAGCACCTCCGTGGCCTGGATGCATCCTAGGACACCCGGTAATACACCTAAAACGCCGCCCTCCGCGCACGAGGGGACGGTGCCCGGCGCCGGCCCCTCCGGCATCAGGTCCCTATAGGTCGGCCCAACACCGGGCGGGTAGTTGAACGTGGAAGCCTGGCCCTCGAATCGCAGGATGGCGGCGTAGGCGCAGGGGATGCCCAATGCTCTACACGCGTCGTCGACCGCATATTTCGTGTCAAAATTATCACATCCATCTAAGATGACGTCGTGGCCTTTTAGTAGTTCCTGAGCGTTGTCTGCATTTAAACGTTCTCGCAACTGCTTCACCTCGACCAGGAGGTTGACTCTATGTATAGACGACGCGGCGCTCGCGGCTTTGTATTCGCCGACTTCGTCAGTGTCGTGCACGATCTGCCGCTGGAGGTTTGAGGTTTCGACCGTGTCATCGTCGACTATTGTTAATGTACCCACACCGGCGGCTGCGAGGTATAAGAGAGCAGGCGATCCTAAACCTCCCGCGCCGACGACGGCCACTTTAGAAGCTTTGAGGCGCTTCTGGCCCTCGACACCAACGTTCTCTAGTATTAGATGTCTTGAATATCGCTTGATCTCGTCGTCCGTGAGGTCCTCGTCGGACGGTGCGGTTGTGACCGGCGCCGGCTCAACAACCGGTGCTGCAGGCACAGAGAGGTCGCCGCCGAAGAGCGCGGCCAAATTCGCAGCACGCGCCTCCTTCCCGGCCTCGGGCGGCGCGTTTTTTATCGTGTCGTAGCCGATGCGGTCGAGGTCGGCCGGCTGGGCTGATTCGGGCGGCGGCGGCGCGACGCGCGGCGGCGCGGTTCTGGGCGCGAAAATCGACACGAATGCAGGCGCGAGGAGCGGCACGGGGAGGATGAGGGGGAGCTTCATTTCTTCTTGTGGAGCGCGCTCCAAGCGCAGCAGAGAGTCAGAGCTTGCAAGGCGGCGGCGGCCAGCGCCTTAAAGATGAGCTCTTGTTCGATGCGTTTGGACGCACGAGATCCAGCCAGAGCGGTGCGCAACATCCAAGGCTGCTGCGGCAGCGTATTGCTCCAGGGCTCAGTGCTTTTGCTTTCCTGCTTAGTGTCTTACATGCCGCTAGCTTATCGCGCTTCACGCAAAAGCCCTTCCTCCGTTACAGGCACAGGATTCGACTCTTCTGGTTATCCTTTTGATCTACCGAACCTCGTATGATACGCGGGGCCGGCTCGGAGGCTCATTTAATGTGCTTGTAATTTTCCCGATTTGGCAGCCTGCGCGAAGGCACAAAATGGCCCTTTAACCTGGCTGAAGAGGGAGCGTCCAGCAAGGGACACAGAACCACAATCACGCGGCCGATCCGTCGACGTGCCCGGACTCATCTTCGCGACGCTAGTAGTAGTCTTTGTTTTGTGGCCCGCGGCGCAGTGGGCGTTCGTCGTTCGACCTGTAAAATGCGCGGCCGCCGAGTAAAGGCGCGGACCTTGAGCGACGGCACCGAGGTGTTGGAGACGATCTACTTCGACGCCGACGCTTTACGCGCCAACGAGCATCTCGCCGCGCAGCTCGAGTTGCTGCTATCCTCACGATTGTGGGGCAACGCCCAGACGATCGAGGACGTCTTCAATCCGAGAATCGTCGACGACGGCGTGTGCTCGGTGACGGCGTTTACCCACAAGCACCATGGCGTCCTGGAGCCGTATTACTTCTGGCTCGCACGCTTCGGCGGCAACGCGAATGGCCACGTGATCCGGGGCGATGCTGGTCCCTCGGAGGAGTATCTCCCTGGCGAGAGATGCACCACTCCGCCGTCGCAAGGGTTGCCGCTTACCTACTCTCGAGAGATGGTAGTCGTGCGGTCTCTCCTCGGCGGCCCGTGGGTGGCCGTCGCGCAGAACGTCGACGACGACCTCACGTGGACGTGCCCCACGAATCCCGCGCCCGAGGGCTTCATGGAGCGCTTCCGCGCGGTCGTCGAGAAAGAGTAAACAGTCACTTATCACACACTATCCGAAGTCCACCACCTCCTCGAGCTCCTCGGGCGCGTCCGGCCTCACGACCTTCTGCGCCGCGAGAGCGCCGAACGCCAGGTACTTCTCCTCGATATAATCAAAGCCGGCGAGGCGCGCCGCGAGCTTGTGCGCGTGGTCCGCGCCGATCACTAACGTCCGCGGCGCGCCGATCAATTCAAAAGCTTCCCGGTGCCGCGCGACGGCCGCCTGCAGGTACAGGCCGTCCTCCGCAAATAATGGAGACCACTCCGCCGCGCGGCGCACGGGCCCGGCCGGGCCCTCCTCGACGAGCTTCACCGCCAAAGCGTGGACGCCTCCACTTAACGCTCGCTCGGATTCGGACGCAGACGGCAGAGCTAAACCCCGCAGCGCCTCCTGGGCCTTCTCCGCCGAGTAGTTTGACAAATGAGCCTTCGAGCAGCGCCACGCTATCAATATATCGATATCGTCCTCACGGTAACCCGGAGCTTCCGCTTGGAGGCGCGCCACCAAATCATCCAAGGCACTCCGCACGCGATCCTCCTTCGCGCGGCCCCGCGGCTCCGGATCCGTACACTTTTGGCCGAAGACCGTCGCGAAACTGATGGGTACGCTATGGTTCTCGCGCAGAGCCGCGAGAAACGGCACCAAGTCCCCGTAGAACGCGTCGCGCGTCCCGATCTGTCTAGAAGTGTCGTCCGCCAGTCGCGCCTTCTCGGCCGCCGACGGCGGCTCGCGCCAGAGCTTGACGCGGCCGGGCGCCTTCAAAGTGCCCTCGGGCTCGATGACCAGTAGGTCGTAGTTGTCCGCCACAAATTTCGCCGCCTCTCGCGCTTTCTGCAAAGGCAGCTCCTCCATTTTGATACGTTTCTCTTCCCTATCTTTCACACTGGTAGAGAGGGCCTCCTCGGTCTTTTCGAGGACGTCCCTTAACATCGCGTGGAACGTTGACGGAGACTCCAGCAACAAAGCTGTCTCGGATTGGTCCGCCACGAGGACCCGCTCGCCCTTCACGACGGCACCTAAACAGGGCCCCTGTCCACTTTTAAGCTCGACGTCGAAGATCTTCCGACAAACACACTCGGCGTGCTCCAGCCTTCCAGGGGCGTTGCCGACGCCGCACCACACTCCTAAGAACTCGTCTCGTAGCAACGACTGGACTTTGACATCGCCCAGACATTTTACTAAAGCGGATGGTGCCGGTTGGTCCTTCTCGACGAACACACCTAGGCAAGGCTTCGCATCGTACTCACCTTCTGCTACTAACACAACCGCCTTCTGTGCACTTACACCAGTATCCACGTAGCCCGACCCGTCCACTAAGCGGTACTCATCAATCGCCACCGTGCCCCGTACCGCATGCTTGTACTCGTAGTTCTTGTGTTGCCCGCCGTCGACAGCTACCAACATACCCGCTTGCAACCTTTTGACCGGCCTTCTGCTCCTAGAAAAGACGTTGCCATGTAAGACACCTCGCAACCTTAATTCCTTCTTCGCGCCCTCGCCGCAGACCTTGCGCGTGTGTTCATCAAGCGACTCGGCGTAGACGTCACATGGGGAAACAATTTTGAGAGTTTGGACCTTGTCGTGCGCCGGGAACGCGCCTTTGAGTAGAGGTAAGTCTGGGAGGTGCGACGCACTTTCGCGGGAAAAGGCGCAGGCTCTCGCATACTCGTCGCCTTTGGCGTGCAACCGGTTCAGCAAGTGGTCGCCGTGCCAGGGCACGTCGTCTCCTTGATAGGGTTGTACGGGTCTTGACCAGGGCAGCATCGCTTCCAACGCAACGCGTCGTTGTTGATCCTTGTCGCAGAAGATGAGTACGCCGGCCTCGAAGGACATGACGACCGACGCGTCCTGCTCGGACACGCCCCAGGCCGCGCCCGAACAATTATGTGAGCCTCCGAGCACACCAATCAACGTATCTTGCTCATCATATAAGCAGAGGATCTTCGAGTGGTGGAGCGTTCGTCGATCCGGCGGCGGCTCGTGGCGACAAAATCTAGCCTTGAGTTGGGGCTTGAATTTCGCCCAGATGTCGGGGTGGGGCCCCGTCATCTGCGCTGTGCCCTGGTCCTCGGTCATGGCTCGGACCGCTAATCGTCTACTCATTCTCATGGCTACATCAGCGGTAGGCCACACGATGCTTAACCTTCCATCATCAATCGGAGAACCAAAGATCGACTCCCTAAAACATTTCAGGAAGCGGTCGTCAAAGAGTCTTCCCAGCGACGAGTTGGCGAACTCCGCCCTGGCTACCTTCAGGCCTCGTTCCCGTAAAGCGCGCTTGATCGCGCGGTGGCCGAAGCAGTCCGCCAATGAACCTCGTCGCACGCCCGGCGTCGACCTGCGTGTGGCACCCTCGACGCCATCGCGCAGACGCGTCGATGGCGTAGAACCTCGATTTTCACGCTGACGAGCACGGGATGAACACGACGCCGTCCGCTATACTATCGAGGTCGTGCCTTTGTAGGATGTCGTCCCACTCCTCGCGGACGGACGTCGCAGCAGCGTCGTCGCCCTTGAGCATCTCAGTTACAAAGCCCCGTAACGACGACGCGAAGGTCACCTTGGCGTGGCGGTTCGATCCTTTTGTTCTTGTAAGTCTTAACGTTCTTTCATGAGCTTCTCCCCTAGATTCCGTCGCCAGCCCGCCGCGCCACTCGGCCCAGCGGTGCACGGCCTTCCTTGAATCTGAATCTAAGCCGCGCACGTCGACTCTACTTCGGTCGCCCTTCGCGAATTTTATGAGAGCGTCGCCCTTCACGGCCCCGATCCTTTCTTTAAGACAAGCATCAGCGGCATCTCTATCATCTACTTCGGCCTCCGGCGTCGCCTGTTGTACCATAGGTGTTGATCTGCGAGGGAAGTCGCAGACCCAGAACTGGTTGTTCATCTTGTTGTCGTAGCCTGTGTGTAAGGACGCCGTCGCGAACTGCCGCGGCTCTCTCGCGAGGCGTATGGACTCTCATGCGGCCACGTCGACGCCATCGCCGCGACGCCATCGCCGCGACGGCGTCACGTTTCACGACACCGAGTCACGGACCTCCCAGGTTCGACGACGACACGACGACCCGCAAAAAGTCGCCGAACACCAATAGCCAGAACTTGGGATGCATCGTCGCTAGTTTTAATCGTTCCCGCACTTGCGACGACGCGTGCTTATCATAAAAGGGCGGCCACACCACGCGGAACGGTTTCTCCTTCGTCCCTTGCCGGACTTGCGGCGCGTTCTTCGAGTGGTCGTAGTTGTCGACCACGGTCATGAGGTTCGGCTCCACCACGAGTCTAGAATCTCTGAATAAGTAAGCTAGGAACTCGTAGTCCACACCGTAGGACGTCATTAAAGCTTTTTGTATAAAAGGCGTGTGCCACAAAATGTCTACTGGAGATAGGGTCTCTCGGTCGCTTTTGGCCAAGGGACCGGTGATGGCTTCATCTAGGGTATTCATGAAGTATTTGGTCCCGTCGAAGACCTTCCTTGGTGGTATCCTGTGCGAGGCCTTGTCCACATCGTCCTTCCAGCATCTCGGGTCGGCCGGGATGTGCTGGGGGTGGTCGTACTTCGCTCGTTGTCGTTCTCTCAACTGTTCTAGATCTTGGACCTTCTCCCTACAGACATTTCGATGTAAAGGTCGGTCATTCTCGTTGTCGCGTCGTCGTTTGAGCTCTTCTGCTCGTGCCTTGGGCACGCCCGCCTCCCGATACATGGGCCGGTCGTCGTGACCACTTCTCGACGCTTCTTCCATGCGCGGCTTCTTGGGCGGCGACTCGTCGTCCGAGCCCGTGAGGTCGACGATTTTCTTCTTCGGCTGCGTCTGCGTCACGCGCGGCGGCGGCGCCGACGGTGCCGGCGGCCGCGGCGATGGGGCGCGCGGCGGCGGCGCCGACGGCCGCGGCGACGGCGCGCGCGGCACTGATGCTTGCGCGGGCGCCGAAGGCAGCGGCGGCGGCGACGGGTAGCGCGGTCTCGCGGGCGCGGGCGCCGGCGCCGGCGGTGCCTCCGCTCGCGGGATATCGGGTCGCCGGAGTCCGCACACCCAGCACTCCCTGGCGTCGGCTTTGTTCACGGTCGTGCAGAAGCACTGCCAGTCGGCCATTTTTTCGCTCCCCGCCGCTGTTTTATTTGTGCTCTGTGCTGCTGGTCAAAGCTGCTTTGATCTTAGCAGTCGTATCGCGGCGCGCCGCTGCGCAGGGTGTTAAGGGTCGAGATATGCGCTGCGTCAGGACCTCCTGCCGTGCCGGGAGACGCGCTCGCGCCTCAGGAACCGATCTGTCCGCGCGAACCGCGCCCGCCGCGTTAATACCTAGCGGCCTGTAAGACACTAGCATACAGAGTGGTACGGGGGACCCTGCGATGTAACTAGCCTGAGCCTGACAGAGTGGTTTACGATGGGCTATCGTGCGCAGGACTCGCCGCCGGCGAGATGAGGTCGATCGGCGACGCCGCGCGCGCCGGCGACGGCGACGACAACCGCGTCAAATCGACGACGTCCGACGCCTCCGACGAGAGGCTCATGGCGTTCGAGTACGGCGTTTGCGCGCCGGAGTGCGGCGCGGGCGTCGCGAGGTCCATGGCCGAGGACGGCGGCACGCGCGGCGTCGTCAAATCCATGATCGACGACGCCGGCGTCGCGGGCGGGCGAGCGGGCCGTGGCGGGCTGAAGCCCAGGACGCTGTCGTCCGAGTCGTCGTCGGGCACCGGTGACCGTCGCCGGCCGCGGGCGCGCGCGGCCTTGCTCGCGGTTGTGGGAGGCGTCGGCGGCGCGGTCGAGCGCCGGCGCGGCGGCGAGGCCGAACGCGGCGGCGGCGGCGCGCGGCGCGTCTCCGGCGTGCGCACTCTCGCCCTTCGAGCCGCCGCGTGCAGCGGCGACATGGCCTGCTCCGGCGCTTCCAAGCGCACCGGTTGAACAGGGGCAGGCGGCCGCGCGCAGGCGCACCAGCCCCGCTGATGCGCCTTCGCGTGCAGAGCCGAAGCCACGGCCTTCCCTGCATCATCACCACCGCACGTCGACAGCTTGTAGCGGGAACCGCGCTCTTTCACGACCAGAGGCGGGTCGCCCTGCGTGAGGTCGCCGCCGACGCCCGCCCAGCCGTCGTAAGCCATCGGGCCCGACTTTTCGTACAAAGAGACGTTGGCAATTCCCGTCGCTTCGGCCGCGGCCATCCACCGCTCCTTCGTCAAAGGTTCTTGGGCCGCATCTAAGGCGCACAGCAACGCGTAGTTGCACGTGCGGTCTCGCGGTACTCTTTTACCGGCGCGCTTCCTTTGTACAAGCAAAGCCGGGTTCGCCGGCGTGAGCAAGCGATCAACTAAAGCAGCCTTGTTGCCCGACGCGATCTCGCCCACGGACTCGCAGAGCTGCTTGAGCTCAGTAACTTTCAGGCGCCCGAGCGCGTCCCTATCTCTCCGGGTCCAGGCGGCGCGCGCGGCGGCGGTCAATACAGAAGTACTGCGCTTCGGCGGCGAGACCTCTTGCGTGGGCTGCTTCTTGCGCTTCTCGGGCGTTTGTGGCGGCGGCCGGTCGGCCTCGCGGAAGTGGCTCTGGAGCTGGCGCCGGCGCTCGGCGGCGAGCCAGCGCGCTGTGTCTCTTGGATCAGCCGTGCGCACGATTTTAGCACCGGCGCGCTCCCTTTCTGAAATGGCGGCCGTGACCGCTTGCAGGTTCGGGTTGCCGCAGGCACCTATCCCGAGACAACCGCAGCCGCAGGCTCGGTAGACGTGTTTCGACCTGTGTGGAAATCAAAATTTATGGCGTGTTCGTGCTGAATCATCGCGTCACCCTCCACGCCATCGACGCGACGCCTGCTCAATGGCGTGGCGATGCCGGTTCCTCGCCGCTCGACCGAGCCAGGACGGCCGCGTCGTCGAGCACCCGACGCAATTGTTGATTTCCACACAGGCTTCGACGGGTCGCCTTCGATGACGTACACGATCTCCGCCCGTGAAGCACCGAGCTGGGCCACTCTCTTCATCGCATCGTGCTGCCGCTGCCACCTTCCATCCTTCAGCGACGCCGCGACGTCGACGGCGGACTTGCGCTCTATTAACACAGGAGCGACGTGCGGGCCACAGCCCGTCGCTGCGTCGACGCGGGCTCTCCTCCGCGCAATGACGTAATCCCCAAATCCCGTCGGAAGTGTCCGCGTCTCGAAGGGCGCCCGGTTGTCCCTCAGGAGCTGGCCAATTGAATGGAGGTGGTGGCGGTCGCCGCCGCCCTCGCGATCATCCACCAAAACCACGACGTCGTCGGCGGACGTCCCGCCCCAGGCCCGCAGCGCGCCGCGGCTCTCCTCATTATTCCCGCACCGCTCCTTCGCGAGGCGCCGCGCGACGTCCCGGCCTTCGTCCGTGAGCTCGAAGGCGCAGCCGCCCTCGCACTGCGACCGCTGCCGTCGCTTGACAAGCTTCAGGGCGCCCTCGAGGATCTTCAGCTGCTCCCACGCGGAACACGAAGCCGGCGCCGCGCAGATTTGTTGTAAAGGTGCGAAGCGGCGGTTGTTCTCGAGCAGCTTTGATGCTGCATCCAGCACGTCGCGCATCGGCGTCGGGATCGTCGTCTTCTCCGTTTCCAGGAGCGCCGCTAATATCGCGACGGCGGCGGACGCGTACTTCCCGTTCTCGGTGGTGGTTGGTCCATTTGCTGTGGCAAGCACGTCGATGATGGCCGAGCCGACGCTCTTGACTTGGCGGCACTGCGTTGCCGACCGGAGCGGCTGCTCGTGCACTGCTATTCTTACCAACGCCTTTATCGTCGCGAGGCGCGCGGCGGTGTCGAACTCGCCGCGCCGCAGCGTGTCGGCGCGGTCCCAGAGGGTTCGTACGAACTGGTCGCGCTTGTCTGCTAGTTGTTGTTGGGCCATCGCGCGTCGTTCTGCCCGTTACAGCAGTGGCCTGAACGTTCCCTCTGCGACTGCTGGGGGCTCGGGCGCGGCCGCTGCGAGGTCTTCGCAAGGTAAGCGCTATTTCTGCGGACGTCTGATCCGCGTTTGACCCACGCGCACGCCGCTAGCCGCGCACAAAGCAAGGGCTGGCTTCGTCGGGATTATAATCACACTAGCGGCATGTAAGACACTAGCAATTATCAGCAACGCATTGCCGACTAACGCGACCCGCATACCGCCTCACGCCAGACCAAGATGCTCCTCACAAATTGCGCCGCCTGTGCCGCCCCACTGGCCCACGACGCGCCGCGATGCGTACGCTGTAAAATGCGCTATTGTGACTCGACTTGCCAGCACGACCACTGGCGCCGCGGCCACAAGCAGATCTGCAAGAAAATACACCGCGCCGGTAACGCAGAAACTTACAATGCGGACAAAAAATACAAGGAGACCGTCGCGGTCGCGGTCGAGAAATGCGCGGCGGACACGAAGGGCCAGAAATGCTACATCTGTCTCGAGGCCGTGCATCCGCGCACGGGAGAAGGCCTCGTGCGCGGATGCGCGTGTGGAGATCGTGAGGGCGTCACTTCTCCAGAACTGGGCGTCGCGCACGTGTCGTGCTTAGCGGATCAGGCGAAGCTTTTGGTCGCGGAGGCGCTGGAGGATAAGTTGGGTCTCGAGGCCCACCATGAGCGGTGGAAGCGGTGGGACACGTGTGATCTGTGCAAGCAACCATACCATGGCGATGTGCGATGCGCGCTCGGATGGGCTTGCTACAGGACGTACGCGGGGCTACCGGAGATGGACATGGCGCGACTCAATTCCCTCACAGTACTCGGCAATGGTCTTTCAGAGCGTGACGTTGGACGCGCTGAGGAGGCGCTCTGCGTATACGAGGCGGTATTGAACTCTTTGCGGCGCGACAAGACCGCCACCAAACACGATTTGCTTACGGTTCAAGCAAACATCGCCCTTTGTCTCAACCGGCTTGGTCGCCACGATGAGGCGTTTGCGGCTGAGACGAGCGTGTTCGCGCGTTATAAGGCCACGCTCGGTACCGCGCACCAACAAACGATTCTCGCCGGCCTCAATCTCGTGGCGGGCTTGTCACAAAACAGAAAGCACGCCGAAGCTCGCGAGTTTCTGCGCAAGCACGACCTCGTCGCCACATCGCAGCGCGTCCTCGGAGCCCAACACCCAATTACGATGCGACTACGCTGGGCTTCCTTCGACGCGATTTTATACGATGCCGAATCATCAGTCCCGGACCTGGTCGAAAGCGTGACGGGCATCGGGGCCGTTTTGAAAACCATGCAACGCGTCTACGGTCCCGCGCATCCCGAGACCAAGAAGGTCCAGATCACCCTCGACCGAGCAAAATCATCACTCGCCGCGGCCCGCGGGGGGCCTTTTGATCCCCCTTTGCCGCCCGGCTGGGAGGCGGCGCGCGACCCCGCGAGCCATGGCCGACCCTACTTCTTTGAACGCGCGACGGGGCGCACGAGCTGGACGCACCCCACGGCGGACGCCATCACGCCCGGGCCGTCCAAGAAGAAGAAGGGCAAGAAATCCGGTCGGTCCGGCGCCTCGCGAGCAGTTCCCGCGCCCGCGCCCGCCGCGCCGGCGTCTCGGCCCGCGCCTGCGCCGATGCCGGCGCCGGCGCCCGCTCCTGTGTCGGCGGCGGAGCCGTCTGCGCCCGGTGACGCGCAGCCCACGGGGGCGCCGGCGAGGCGACGCCGGACCGCGCGACGCGATGCCGACGACGCCGACGCCGCGCAAGGCCCGGCGCCGCCCCAGGCGCCAGATCACGGCGAGGAGATTACGCCTCGGCCTCCTCTGGCGGACTGCCTGCTGATGATCGTCCTCGCCGTCAGTTTGAGGCGTGAGTGGATTACTCCCGTGACGTTCTACGCGCTGATTGCCATCCGGGTGTTTCTATTTTGAGCGCCACCGGGTAAGAAATTTTCTGTCACACTAGATATACTTACCCCTATATCGCCGCCGAGAACACGTGGACCACGCATAAACATTTGGAGCCCGAGTACTCGTAGGCCGCGTAGCCGTCCATCTGTTGATCATAATACGCCACGGACTCACTAAAAATAGCGGTCCTATCCTTCTTCTGCACGATCAAACAGCTGATCATCCACTTGAAATTTGGGGACAGGGCCCGGCATTGATCTAACACGTCTTGGGTTATTCCGTCCGTCCACCTGGCATGATACTTGACGTCGTAGGCTCTTCCTTCGAGGTGCTTCCGCGCCACGTTCTCGATGAGGTACGCGACGTTCGGTTGTATTTGTTCGAAAAATACAGTATCACCACCGACGACCCCGTCCTTGTCCTTCGGTGGTAATGGAGGCGCGTCGGCCCGCTGCCGTTGGGCCTTGGCCTCCTTCTTGCGCTCGCTCTTCGACTCTTCTGTTGTGTCAGGAGCCTTGGGCTCGGGCTCCGCGGGTTGCGTAGGAGCGGGCCGCGCGGGCGCAGGTCTATCAGGACGGGCGGGCGCGGCTGCGCGTTCCGCCTCCTCCCGCGCGCGCTTTTCTTTGGCCAGTCTTTTCGCTTCGCGCTTCTTCTCGGCCTTGGCCTCGCGTTTTCGGGCGGCCTCGTCGTCCTTCGCCTCGGCGTGGCCGCCCTCCGCGGGCGGGCCGACGACGTCCCTGTCTGGCTTTGGTTTCTTGGGCATGGCGACGGCGTGCTATGGTCCACGGGCTAGGGGTGCGGCACCCGGCGCGCGGCGTGGGGGGCAGCCAAAAAGTCGAGTTGTGGAAGCTGCCGCGCGAGCCTTGGCTGGCGGGGGCTGCGTCGAACGTCGAGAGAGGAGCGTTTATGACCTTATATTGTATGTGAATATGAGATCTGCGGCTACGGCGGGCAGCTCGCGTGCTCGAAACTTGAGGGTTGCTAGTATCTTACCGAACGCTAGCTGCCGTAAAAGCGGCTCGACGCCCTCGCGGTCACTACGCGTCAATTTGGCAGTGCTTACTCGCATACGTGCCTCAACTTTACGCGAAGCATCTCTCGACGAGAGCTTTGGCCCTCGCGACGCCTTGCGCAGCCGTGAATCGACACATCGCCGTACGAGCAGCGGCACCGCATCGATCGCAGCGATGCCCGCGCGACGCCAGAAGTCGCCCTCCGGCGCGGCAATGCGAGCGCTACTGGTCCTCGCCGCGTCGCGCGCCGACGACCGCGTCGACTGGAACCGGCGCCGCGTCGTGCGTGTCTTCGACTCCACTCAAATGTCGCTGCGGGGCGGCGTCGCGATGACGGATCGACGGGGCCGGCCCTACCGCTGCGCGCTGAGCGCCGCCGACGCGCACCGCAAGCCGCAGTATCGGGACGAGGAGCAGCGGCCCGCGGACAAGGCGCTGCGCGACTACGCGCGCTGGCGCGACGCCGCCGACGTTTGTGATGTACTGGCGGCCTCCAAGGACGAGTTCTGGTCCTACGAGCTCTGCTTTGGAAGGTACGTGACGCAGTTCCGGCCGGCGAAACCGTCCGTGAGGGGCGGCATGCTCGAGCCGGGCCGGGCCCACGCGTTGGGGAACTACACGAAGCCTGGTAGGCGGCTCGCGTCGCCCTCGGAGCTGCGGGGCGTCTTCGGCGACGACGCGCTCGAACGGGTCGTCGCCTTCCCGTCGGGGCTGATGCACGACGCGCTGGTGGAGACCTATGAGAGGGGCGAAGGCGGGCGACGGACGACGGTGTACGTCGGTTGCGGGCTGGCGTCGCGACCATCGGACGAGGGCGGCCGCGGCGCCGAGGTCTGGAAGGATACTCACGCCGTTCAGAGCAAACGCAAGCACACGCACGGCGCCGGCGACGCGCGCGACGCGCGGGACCCCGCCCGCGTCGCTTTGGTAATAGAACCGACGCCGCGCAACTACCGCATGTTCGTGGCGGCGCCGATGGCCTGCGCGAAGCCGGATTTGGTCGCGGCGATCGCGGGGCGGGCGGCGCGACGATTGAACGCGACCTGCCTCCAGAAGCGGCGGCACGACTGGACCTACGAGGTCTGCCCCCATCATTATGTAAGGCGGTTCCGCGACGATAGTAGCGTGGACCTTGGACATTATAATGGTTATGACATGAGCGACGCGGGCGTCGTGGCCCAATCCTATGATCATGGCGCGTCATGCCTCGGTGGCGTCTACAAGACCACGGTTGCCTACGAGTGCTCGCGCCACGAAGGCAAGCGCGAAAAGGTGGCGCTCGCGGCGGTCTTCGAGACGTCGGCCTGCGAGTTTGAAGCTGTAGTACATATTGCGGCGCTGTGCGACCCGCCGTCCCATGATTATGTCGGAGACGACACTTTGGATCATTTGGACTGCGTCGCTGATTTTGACGAGGATAATGTGCCCGAGTACCCGGGCTGCCTCGGGAAGCCCGGGGCCTGGGTCGACGGCGGCTGCGGGATCGGGCTGAAGGCCGTCCTGAAGGCGGCGGCGAACAACAAGTTCACGCGGAGTTCGGTGCGGGAAGATATGTATATCAAGGCCTTCGAGGGCCTCGACGTGGCGGACATTCCACATCTGTCAAAAGAGGACTGGGACGAGCTGGGATTGAAGGCGGAAGACCGGGCCTTCATCACGCAAATACATAAAGATCTGCACCCGGAATACTGGTTTGTTGAGACGACTGAAGGTAGGGAGTGGACGGGCGACTACCTGGGGGAGGGCGAGCTCACCTTCATGGAGGCGCGCCACCTGCGCAATATCCACGACGGCATGGAGGAGCGTCTTGGAAAAAGAGGCTATAAGCCCGGCGAGCGGGCGCCGCGCGACGTTGTGGAAGAGGCGTTCCGCGACCTTGGTTTGAGCGAATCCTACCTCGCGCCGGTGCTCAACGAGTACGGCGACTTCGAGCTCACGGCGGCGGAGCGCGACGCCGTGCGCCGCGCCTTCGATCCCAAGGCGACGCAGCGGAAGATCCGCCGGTTGGCCGAGGAAATCCTGGGCGCGCCCGAGGGCTGGCTCGACCCGCGGAAGAAGGCCGTCAAGGAGATCGTCGAGGAGGAGATGACGAATCGGGCCGTCCACAAAGGCATGGAGGAAAATCTGCGCAGGCGCGGGTACGGCGAGAAGGCCCCCCGCAACGTCGTGGAATATGCGGCCCGCGACCTGGCCAAAGAGATGTATCTGCCTGAATCCACGCTCGAGGACCTCTTGAAACAGTACGCCTACGCCGACGACGACCCCGCGGCGTTCCGCGTCGGCGACGACGTCGCCGTCGCCGGGACGGCCGAGCCGGGCACGATCACCGCGGCCCACGCCGACGGCACCTTCGACGTCAAGATCGACCGCGACACGAAACGGAACGTGCCGCTTAGCGCCCTCGAAGCTCCGGCTTTCCGCCGACGCCGCGACGCTGGTGACGTTGGCGGCGACGCTGGCGACGCTGGCGATGGCGGCGACGCTGGCGACGCTGGCGACGCCGATGTGACGGACATGCTCCGCGAAATGCTCGGTCCCAGCCTCGAAACTTTTGGCGGCGGCGACGACGCCCTGGGACACCTCTTGCGGGAGATGGGGACGAGTCTGGACGAGCTCAAAGCGGACGTCGAGAAGATGCGCGCCGCGAGAGAAGGCGACGGGCCCCCGGTCGACGAGCCCGGGCCGGACGACGACTATGATGACGAGCAGTTCGAACTCTACGACGACGGTGACGACGAGTATGACTATGATGGCGACTACGACGAGAGCAACGACGAGCGCCTCGTGCGCGAGGCGCGCGAGGGCCTCGAGGAGCGCCTGCGCGCTCGCGGCTTCAAGGGGAAGGCTCCGCGCGCCGTCGTGCAGGAGGCCTTCGCCACGTTTGTCCGCGACTTCATAAGAAGCAACCGAGACTTAGATCAAGAGGTCTTCGACGAGATCTTCCAAGACATCTTCGCGGGCATCGCTAACGAGTATATCATGGAAGATGCCGGCGCGGAGACGTTCGACGGCTTCGGCAGCGACGAGCACCTCGCCGCGCAGACAGCGCGCATGAAGGCGGAACTGCGGAAAGGCATCGCGCGGCGGCTGAAAGCGAAGGGCATCGAGCAGCCTACCATGAAAATCGTGGAGGAGGAGTACCGTACTCATTTGAGGGGGTTTCTGGGCACCCAGCCGTTCTTCGAGGGGGCCGACATGGAGGATGTGTTCGAGGAGATGTTCAAGCACCTCAAGCGCGTCGGCGTCTACGAGGATGTTATGGGCGAGTTCAGCGGCGACGGCGCGCGACGCGACGCCGCCGCCGCCGCCGCCGCCGACGACCTTGAGAAGGATATCATGGCGGCGGCGGAGCTGGTTCGCCAGGCGATGGGCGAAGCGGCGATGGACGGCGGCGGCCTGATGCCCAGCCAGATCCTCGAGATGATCCGTGATGGCCTCGCGACCGTCGACGGAGCCGACGCCGAGGTCATCAACAAGGCCCTCCGCCGCGCCGGATTTGATGACGCCTTCGCGGCGCAGCTCACGGCGGACCTCGTGCCGGACAAGCCGAACACCCCGCGCCGGACTCGCGCCGCCGCCGCCGCTGAAGAAGAAGACGACCCGGAGCTCATGGCGGCGGCGATGCGCGAGGCGCTCGAGGAGATGGCCGGTGAGCAGGACGGGACGTCCGCGGAGATGCTCCAGCTGATCCGCGAGAACCTCGAGGAGGCCCTCACCGGAGAGTACGCCGAGGAATTAAGGCAGGCCCTCCGCAAGGCCGGCGTCGAGGACGCCCTGGGCGTCTTCGAGGACTTTGTTGAAGAGAACCTCGGCGACCTCCTCGACGACGACGACGAGTCCGAGGGACTGTAGTATTATTCTTGTAATGTTTTACACCAGTGACATTCGGCGCGTCACTTCTTCTTCTTGGCCGACGTCTTGGCGCCGCCCTCCCACTCGCCCGTCTCGTAGTTCCACTCCGCGCCGAGCGGTGCCCGCCCGCGCGGCTTGGGCACGCCGTCGGGCTTCGTTTTCTTGGCGACGCCGACCCAGACGCCCGTCTCGCTGTCCCAGGCGGCCGGCGCGCCCGTCGAGTCTAGCGGCGCCCGGCCGCGCCTGCGCGTGATACCGTCGTGGTGCTGCCGAAGCGGCGCGTCGATGGCGTGCCGCGTCGACTTCCACGCCATCGGCGCGACGGCGCGCCGTAGCAATGGAGGGCTGCCCAAGAAGAGCACCGCATAGCGTCGACGCGACGCACGGGCAGGCGACGCGACGGCGATCAGGCAAGGACGCGGCGGGCACGCGGCTTCGGAAACTTGTCGTTCGCGTTTTTGGCAGGTTTCGCGGCGGGCTTCTTCGCGCCCGCGGGCTTGGGTGACTTCGGCGTCTTCGGCTTGGGCTTCGACGGCTTCGTGCCGCCGACCCACTCGCCCTTGTCGTAGTCCCAGGTCGCGCCGAGGGGGGCTCGTCCCCGGGGCTTCGGCACGCCGTCGGGCTTCGTCTTTTTTACGACGCCCGTCCACTCGCCGCGGTCGGGGTCCCACGTCGCGGGCTGGCCGCTCGCGTTCTTCGGCGCGCGGCCCCGCGGCTTCGGGAACTTCTGGACCGTGCTGGTCTTGGACGTCACCATGGCGTCCTGCTTCCTTGTTTGCGGCCGCCTGCGTGGGTTGGGAACGGTCCGCAGCTGCCGAGAACGTCGACCGCCGGCTGTCAGGTGTGTGCTTCTCTGTTTTTTGGGAGGCTGCGGGCCCAGTACCAGCTTATCCACCGCGCACGAGTGGTTTTAGCTGCTTCGCCGCGCGCGTCCTGCGTTTCTGGGGGCAAAATAGCAGCAGATGTTGCTGGCTAAAATGCTGCCTCGCCAGCATCCGCCGCGGATTCCGGGGTTCCAGAGACTTGTACAGTTAACGACGCCGCTACCTACTGCGTTTGAGGTTCACAGGGCTAAACAGAGGCGGCGTCCTGCCTTTTATTGCTAAAGCTGCGGCTGCTAAAATTGTGCTAAAATGCCAGGTGCCAGTAAATCGGCGTCTCGGCGTTCATACGAGGTCCACGGCACGCGAGGAGTCGTCCAAGCGCACTGCAACGTGCCCGGGGCGCGCGCACCTGCAGAGGCAGCACCCGCGCAGGCGCGCCCGCGTCCCGGCTGCCTGTGCAATTTATGCGTCCCGGGCTGCCTCAGGCCGTTGTGAGCGATCGCGAACCACGCGCCCACGTCACGCCGGAGTCAAAACCTAGCGCTACGTCTAAAGCGTCTATGGATCTAGCTAGCTCTTCTCCCGCAAAGCCAGCACAGCTCGATTGCTCACGCGCAAGACACTCGCACAGCAATAAACGATGAGGACGTATCTGTTCGCAGCGCTCGTCGGCCTCTGCGCGAACGGCGCTGCAGCGCAGGATGACAACGCGATCACTGACATGATTAGCAATCCTATCCTGTGCGGTTTCGCAGCGCACAATTTATCATTTATGCGCAACACATCGTCATCGGAGCGACGGCGTTTGCGCGCGCGATTTTGCGCGCGCGATCGGTCGTCCGCCAAGGGCCGGCCGTCGACGCCCGCGCGTCTCGCGCCAGGCGGCATCGTCGTGGCCCATACAACTCGTTACACGTCGCAGGCGCGAGGCCCTGAACATGAAGAACAAGAACCTGTACGCGGGCGTCGCGGCCGGCTTCGTGAGCGGTAAAGTAGTGAAAAGCTTCGCGTATAGTCTGGTGCCCGTCGCCGCGATCGGGTATGTGGTGATGCATGCCCCCGAGATCCTCGCGAAATTAGGGTTTGAGAAGTATGCAGTCATGATCGAGGAGCAGCACGCGAAGTTCGTCGAAGCCGAGGAGAAGTTCGAGGCGCTCATGAAGGAGAAGGGCAAGGAGTTCATTTCCGGGGACAACCTCAAAACAATGGGAAAGCTGAAGCGCAAGCTGGCAAGGTTCGCCAAGAAACACATTCCTCTGTGTGGAGGCTTCGCGACGGGCTTCAGCCTCGCCATGGCGAGCTTCCCCTAGGGTCCTGGTCTCGCGCGGCCGCCGCGTCGACGGCGTCGAGGCTCTGACCGGAACTCCACGTTGCTCGTTCGCGTGTGACAGCACCTTTTAGCGGCGTAAGGGTGCTTGTGTTATAGGAGTCCGCAGTCTTTCCATGCGATCGGAAAAACGGGTTTTACACTGGGCAAAAATTCTTGGGCCTGCTTCTAGTCGTCCATCCCCCCTGAGCTAGGCTAGCGTCCCCAAAACCGAGTAACTAGTATATATACTTTAAAAAAAATTCTTGGGTTTTGCCAGAGTACCCGGCTCTGGGGCGCGAAACTCGTTCAAGAGCATCAGAATATCGACGTCGTTGTCCTGTGAAAAGCTCAGTACAAATAGCTATGGGGTCGCTGTGCTGCAACGCCCACCAAATCGATGTCATAGTGGCAGTCTGCGCCTACACGGTGCTCATCCTCGGGACGTGGCGCGTCGACGCCGTCGTCAAGCCGTTCAAATTGCTCGCGGTCTTCGTGCACGAGGGCTGTCACGCGTGCGCCTGCCTCGCGACGGGCGGCCGCGTCGACGGCGTCGAGGTCAACATAAACGAAGGAGGTGTCACAAGGTACCGCGGCGGCTGGCGCCTCTGCGTGACTCCTGCCGGCTACTTGGGTGGCGCTCTTTGGGCCGCAATTTGCACCGCGGTCCTCGACTACCGGTGGGGCATTTTCGCCGTCGCGGCGTCGCTCGGGCTCGCATTACTAGCGACGCTCCTGAGTTTGCTGTGGACGAAACGCAACGACGACCGCGCGACCACCGGCATGCTGAGCGTATTCTTTCTGGGCATCTGCGTGTTTCTCGCCTGGGCGAGCCTAGAGGGCGGCACGGTTCGTCTCGTGGCCCAGTACGTGCTACTCTTCGTGACGACCTACGTCTCCGTCTTCTCCGTCTACGACATCTACGACGACTGCGTTCGGAGATATGTGAACGATGCCCAGACGAAGTCCGACGCGGTGGTCTGCGCGCAGCTGTGTCCGATCTGTCCGGCGCGCGGCTGGGGAGTTGTGTGGCTCGTCATCTCGATGGGATTCTGGGCGGGAGGTGTTTGCTTTCTGGTGCTGCACGTTGGTGGGCACCTCAATTTATGAGGGGCTCGCGTCGACGGCCAGGTACTAACTTTAGTTTCGATTCTTATAACCTGACCGCCTCATGCGAACGGGCTGGTCGCGGTCGTCGTCGGGACTGGATATACATACCGGCCGCTCAAAGCCACTCTCCTCCCATAAATCGTCAAAGCCCCTCTGCGCGTAGTACGCCGCGTACTGGCGCGAGTGTGTGTATTCACTAGGACCGTGATTGTACCCGCTGAACATCAGCAGAGACCCGAACGCCGAGAGGTCGGGCCGGTTTTCTGCCGGCTTTTTGTGCCAGTGTTCATACGCGATCGACTCGGGGCGATAGACATTGCGTCGTTCGCTCTTGAGCTCGCCGCTGCGCGCCGCGTCGACGCACGCGATCCAATCGGAGATGATAGAGGGCTCGCAAAAGATGTGCCCCACCACCGGATGCGTTCCCGCGAGTAAAAACAGCAGGTGCACGAGTTCTGGCACGTCGAGTGCCCCTACCCCTACCGCACGTGCCATGTCCAGGAGCAGGTTGCCGCGCGCCACGGAGCTCCGGTTGTCGTTGGCCTTGTTAAAGCATCGTTCGTCAGACTCGTAGTCGATGGGCGAGACCCACTCCTCTCCAGGACACTTAAACGAACAAGTCAAGCTCTGGCTCAGCTGCGAATCATAGCCGCCATGACACCAGCACTCCGGCACCACCACGACGCGCAGCAAGACCTCGTTGACGGTCAACGTTGCGATGGAGACGAGTTTGGAACCCAAGTAGGCCTTTTTCCCCCGTTTTGTGAGGACTTGTCTTTCCGCCTCGGCGGTGATGAAGACGTCGCAGGAGGAACGCATTGCAAAGTCCCGCACGGCGGCACCCTTGGCCGCTGGCAGGCGCGCGGCCCACGCCTCCAGCGCGCCGCGCAGGCGCCTCCAATACTGCGCCTCCTGCGATTTGGCCAGCAGGACGCGTGGATGGACAGGGGCGTCAGCGTCCGCGTCGGATGGCTTGGGGGCGTCTGACTCGCCTGCATCCGACTTGGCGGCGTCTGAATCAGTATCGTCGCCCGATCCCGAGGCGTCCGAGACGTCCGAGTCCGACTCCAAGTCCAAATCCGAGTCCCTGTCCGAGTCTGAGTCATTGTGCCACTGAGCGTTGGGGTAGGGGCTCGAGCGTTGGGGCAGGGCATTGGAGCGCGTGGCCTCATCGCTCACGCCGGGACCCTTAAAAAACCACGGGCCACCTGCGTGAACGGAGGGCTCTCCGACCGGCATGCCGAACGAATTATCTGCCTCGCGTCGCCGCTCTGCCTCGCGTCGCCGCTTCGTCTCCGCGCCTGCAGCTTCCAACCTTGCTGGCCAGTCGATCATGCCGGCGTCACTGTCTCTCGCCCGCATTTCCTCCTCGAGGCGTGCCTCCCTCTCCTCCTGAATCGCCCTGAGCTCGGCCCTCTCCTCCTGAATCGCCCTGAGCTCGGCCTTGGTGTAGGGTCGCGACTCACGGTAGTTCCACGGCTTGCACTTGGCGAATTCTAAATGCGTGGACCGGCGCGCGGTCAGCGCGGCCCACACGCGCGCCCAGGCCGGCGCTCCGTCGAGGATTCGGCAGAAGGTCTTCGACACCGCAGGTAGGACCAGGGCAAATTCCGGAGACGCCACATGGGCTGCCAAGCAGTCCCAGGCAGCCCTCGGGAGCCGGCGCCGCAGGCTGCCCCCATCACTGTCATCAGCCGCGTTCTGAGGCGCGGGCGCCTCGGGACGCTGGGCGGCCATGGCTGCGGATGTGTTCGGTTTGAGACTGGATTGCGAGCTGGCCTTATTGTTCGCTCCCTCAGACCAGAGTGTTCGGCTTGGGAGCGTCGGCATGAAAACCTAGTGTGTCGACACACGCTAGCTCGGTCGACGCGGCGCGAGGCGGCGTAGGGCTGCCCCGGTCCGTCGCAGAACCCACAGACATCGCCCTGAGCACGGTTCGATCCACCGTGGGCAGCCGCCGCCATCGATGCGATGCGAGGGCTCCTCCTCCTCCTGATCACAAATGGAGCCCGCGGCCAAGCGGCGGTCTGGGCCCGCGGCCAGCGCCAGCTGAACCGCTCCCACTTCGAGGGAGCCCACGCGACCTACGCCGAGCAGCGCCAGCGTATCCAAGCGGCCGTCGGCAACTACTCCTTTTACGTCTATGCGGGCGGCGCCTTCGACGCGATCACGACGGCGCTGCCTCAACAAAGAAGACACTACAAGATCGCGGAGGAACTGGTCGAGGTCTGGGTCCACCGCGCGTTGCTCAACGACAAACGCCGCACGACGGATCCGGAGGCGGCGAGTTTGTTTTTCGTGCCCGCGTATCTGTCCCTCTCGAAAAATTCTGATGGGCAGGGCCACGACGAACGACTTTCAGCTTTAATCGAAGAACTAAGAAGCTCCAAGTGGTTCCAGCGCCACCGGGGCGCCGACCACGTCTTCGGGTATTCGTCGATCAATCCCGGAGTGGCAAGGCAACTGCTATTCCCGAAGCTCCACGCCGGTTTAGAACAGAGTTATTTCGGGGTCTTCGAGATGAACCCGGCCTGGGTCGGCGGCGATAGGAAGGAGGAAACTCTACGAAGGATGGTCCCCGCGCCATATGTAGTGGACGCGTCAAGGCTGGCCGGCACGTCGACACAACTACATAATCACGAGATCTCCGTCTTCTTCGCGGCCCATAGAAGACCGAACGCCGCGCAGTGGTCGGGCTGCGACCGGAGCAAGGCGCTTGGGCTGGAAAGTGTCCCGCGGTCGTCGATACATATCAAATCCCACCGACGACGTTTATTAGATGAGGACGCCTTCGCGCATAGTATGCGCGTGGCAGACTTTTGTTTGGTCATGTGCGGCGACACGCCGACGTCTAGGCGCATCTTCGATGCGATTGTCGCGGATTGCATCCCGCTCATCGTCGGTACAAGATTGTGGGGCCGGTGCGAGGCGCCGTGCCACGAGGGCTGGGGCTGGTTCGTGTCTGGGAAGGAGCACCCGCACCTGCCGTTCCGCGACACGTATGTTGATTATACACGGTTTCCGCGCGTCGACGAGAGGCTCCTGTACGAGGACGCCACGAAGGCTTACGAGGACGCCGTGCGGGATGTCACGGAAACGGAAGAACGGGACATGTGGCGCTACCTGAACGCGATCCGCGACGACGTCGTTTACTGTGTGGAAATCTCCACGCCATCGACGCGACGCCTGGCTCCACCGAGCCACTGGTTGATTTCCACACAGGTCGTTTATGGATATGGGTCGCCCTTTTCATCTCAGAAATTCGGTCGCGCCGCGGCGAACCTCATGGACGGCGTCATGCTGCGGCGGCTGCACCAGGGGCTCGTGCCTCCAGCACTCCGACCCGAGGACCACTCGCCGCTCGAGGGCTACGCGAAGGTGTCGCCCTCTACCTAAGTTGATTGTTAGTACCCCCCGTACTCATCTTGGGGAGGCGGCATGGGCATGCCCCCGAAGTCCTGGCCGCCGCCCCCTCCCGAATTCCCACCTGTGTTGCCACCTCCTGGCACGAAGGGCAGTGACCGCAGCATGACGCCCAGCATCGGGAACAGATTCCCGAACAGGTTCAGGAACCCGAACGCCTCCACACAAATTCCCAGTAACGGCCGCCCCGACAAGATGAGGAAGAAGCCGAACGCAAACACTAAAGTTGCTCTCAGTTTTGCCGGTGCCAACACATATCTAGAAGCCCGCGCCGGCCCGACGACGATCGGCGCGCCCAACACTAATAGGATGTTGCCCACGCGGATCAAATTCTTCTCGAAGAACAATGAAATGCCCAGCATCGTCGCCATCGCGCCGGCGGCACACATGATGAGACCTGTTTTTCTATCAGGCACGAAGCCCTTGACGTCCAAATTCTGCTTGGGCGCGTCGACGGGCGGCGCGCCGCCGTAGTCGTAGGCGTCGCCGCCCGCGTAGCCCTCGCCACTCCAGTCGTCGTCGTACGACTCGTCGTAGCTGCCGCCCCGGATTGCGATCGCTGTCGCGTCGCGGCTGCCGCCTCGCACGCCTATCGCGCGCAAGCTTGCTCCCGCCCTGCCCGCCTCTGGTCGTCGCGTGCGCAGCTGCAGCTTCAGGGGTACGGGCCGCGCCACGGCGACGGCTGCGAGTGCGACGCTCCAGCTTGCTGCTCTATGCATTGTTGCTGCTGCAATGGGAATGTTGCGGTTGCAATATGCGTTGCTCACGTTGGCTGCGCTGGACGGCAGCGATGCAGTATAGTAAGTCAAATGCGGTTTGCGGCTGTAGTAACTGCAGTTTTGCAGTCGCTTGAGTCTCAACACCACGCGGCAAGTGTGTTACTACGCTAGCTAAAGCTAAAAATCGACAAAGAGCAATACACAAATGCTGCCCATCTGCGCCGCAGGGATGGAAGTTTAACGTCGCATCTGTGCCCGTCGCTGCGTACCAGGAACCACCAATGTGGGCTGCCCTATGGCTAGTCGCCGCCGCCGCAGGGCAGCAGTGCTCCCCCGTCGTGAAAGTAGAGCGGCGGAACCCCCTCGACCCCGGCACTGGCTACGCCTGGCCCGACATATACGCCGGGACCTGGCTCCAGCCGGCGAAGCGCTTTATGAAATTCGAGCCTAGGAAGATCGGCAACATCGAAGGTGCCGTCCACGCGCATGTGTATGGAGGCGTCAACGGATTACAACCGACGCCCGCGCTCACGCGGGACTTCTTCGACTTTTCGGTGGAGCACTTCAGTTACCTCACCAAGATGGCGCCCGGGAAACAGGGCCAGGACACGTTCCTCGGGAACATCACTTCTAGACTAGATGGCTATACGCATCGACATACCTTCTCTCATCAATATCTGGAACGCTCCATCGGCATCGTGCCCTTCGGGGGCGTTCCTTCATCAAAACATTGGCAAGCACTGTCTTCACAAATGTTGAGAGCTGTTGTGATGTCCATGACCGATGCCTTATCCAGAGTCATCGTGGCGACGTGCGACGAGGCCCACGCTATGAGAGCGCGAGAAGCTTTACAAGGTCTGGAGCGAGTTGTGGTCCACAACCTGAACCTCGAGAAGTGCCAGCTGCCCTATTTACCTCGAGCGACGCAAGCGACGCTCAAGAGGTGTTTGATACAAAGAGCGAGGCGCGAGCGACACGTCTATAGGAACGAGATTTGTGAAAGCTGGTTACAAGGAGAGGACTATGCCTACGTTATGTACAACGACGCGGACTTGGTCCTGCACGCGCGGTGCATCCGAAGTCTAGGAAAGGCGATGGATGAAGATCCAACACTGATTATCCTACCCCATAAACTGCAGACCTTCGCGAAAGATGATGACCCTCTACCGGAACTCGGCGTCGCGCCGTCGGTGCGCGATCTGACTCATGATGTGGATAGTGCGTCGTGCTGCGACTCGGGGACATATCCTGCGCTGAAACATCTCGACCAAGGTTCGTTCGATGGGTGCCAGAACTTCTGGTACAACTGCCCCCGGATGCTCGCGTTGTATGATTTTGCGCGGTTTAGTGAAGGTACGTACACGCCCCTGTTGCTGGGCAACGAGCACGGGCGCAAGTGTTTGTTGTCCGAGGCGCGGGAGGCTTGTGATGTGCCGCATCGACGCCTTACAGTACAACGCCAGTACCTCGTGCCTTTATTAGCGTTCGGCCCGAACAACCAGTTCGAGGGCCTGCTGGAAGCCTTGACGGTGGCGAAACTCGTCGGGAGGACTTTATTACTTCCTCGGTACTTCGACCCCCACTATCGAGATACGCGTTCTCAAAAAAAGAAATTCGGGGACGTCTTCGACGAAAGGACACTACGAGAATTCACTTCTGTAGAATTCGTCGACGAGGATGTAATAAAGTTGTGGAAGACGTCGCCCAAGATCCTCGCGTCTCCCTTAAATAAGGAGCGGCTGTCCAAAGCTTTACATAATGTGGGCTTCGACCAGGCGCCGCGGAAGAAGGCCTTCGTGCGGTCGCACTCGCGGGCCGCGGACGTGGCTCAAGCTTTTAAAGGTTTTAGTGCGGCCGGCGCCGTGTTCGTGGCGTTGTGTGTCTTCAGCGTCCTCCCTTCGACGTGTCGTCCGCGGCGATGGCGTGTCCGCCGTGTGACGCCGCATACGAACGCAGGGCGCCCCTCTTCGTCGTCGACGGCGAGCAGGACCTGCTGCGGGAGGCGGCGCGGTATCGCGTCCGGTCCGAGCGCGTGCGGACGCTCGCGGCGACGCTACGGGGGGCCCTCTTCCCCGGCGACGAGAAGGTGCTCTGCGCGCATGTTCGAAGGGAGGCCGAGACGCTCGGGTGCGTGCCCGGTAGGAGGTACGTCGTCTGCCCGACGCCGCAGGGCACGGTGCCGACGGCGACGCATTGAGCCGTGTGGAAGTCAAGCAGTGAGTCGGGTGCACGTCGCGACACTTCGATTTCTACACAGGCTGTTAGATAACATCGTGGACCGGGCCGCGACGCACGGCGCGTCGCGCATCTACCTGGCGCACGCGGGTGGCGCGGGCTTCGAGGACGAACCGTCAACACTGTTGGCGAGTCTGGAGGAGCGGGGCTTCGACGCGCGGACGGCGTCGACGGACATGAGCGTCGGCTTTGAAAGTCTAGACCCCTTCGACGTGTCGCTCGTCGAGCAGGAGCTCTGTTCCATGGTCGAGAGCTTCGCGCCGTCGGCGCGGTCGACCTGGTCCCAGACCGTGGTTTTAGATAGGAGCGCGCGCGGGCGCCGCAACGCGAAGCCGCTCGACGTCGGGCCGGCGCCGGTGAAGCAGCGGCGGCTGCCGAGCCACTAACATTGTTTGTAGTTTGCTTCTAGCCGCGGGGCCGACGCGGGTCTGCCCCGCCCCCAGCCCTCACACCGTCGCCTCTGGGTGTTAGCCCGGAGGCGACGACGGCGAGGGAGGGAGCAGGCCGGATGCTAGAATACCAGGGCCGCCCGGTGGCGCATCGGGGTCGCGCGGGAGAATCATCTTACTCGGTAGCGTCTTATAAGGATCGCACGAAGTGTGTGGACGCGCGAAGACTCGAAGATGCGAAGGGCCCCGATTTAGATGATGTGCTTTCTGGGGAGCCGTCGCCGCGACCGCCGCGGCGCCCGGCGAGCCCGAATCGTCGAGGTCGTAGGGGCGGCGAGCAGAATAGGAGGCAGCAGCCGAGCGCTCCCGTCACTGGGAATACAATGACGCCGGAGCAGCACCAGCAGCTCATGTACTACTACGCCTACCAGCAGCAGTACCCGTACCCGTACGTGCAGCCCGTGGCCTACGACCCGGCGCAGTACGCCTATGGCTACGCGTACCCGCAGTACTACCAGCCGGGCAACCCGGGCTTCCCGCAGCCCCTCGCGCCCATCGACCGCGCGGACGCCGAAGCATTGGCCGAGGCGTCGGCGGCGGCCGCGGCCGCGAAGGGCGCTGATGACGACGCGGCGCCCGGCGAGCCCGAGGAGGGCACGCCGAAGCTCAAGCCGCGCGCCGACACCTTCGACGGGCCGGCCCTCTGAGGCACCGTCCGCCCTGTCCCCCCCCCCGTCGCTTCGACGGCGCTACCGGCCTTGCCGACGTCGCCCCCCCAGAACTTCCTATCCCTCCCGATTAAAAAGAGATCATCGACGGCGTGTCGCGTCGGACGGCGCCACCCCGACTGACTCGCACCGGCCTCGAATATCCGTGGGCCCGATGCGCGCTAGCGGCTGTAAGACACTAGCCAACAAGCAAGCCGAAGTCCCCAGCCGCGCGTGCGCTAAACACGCGCCACAGACACACGCCACGGCTTGGCATCACTACTCTCCTCCGCCACCAGCGTGAGGCGTTGAGCGCGGAACCAGCGCGAGCTGCAAAAGTAACAAAAAGGCCTCCTGGGCCGCCGGCCTCGCTGGCGGCGCGCGCCGTCGCAGCGGTAAGCAAGTGACACGCAAACGACGCGATGAACTTCGAGGGCGCGCCGGTCTGCCGCATCGTCGCCTGCGGCGGCCTCGCCTCGGCCTTCTTCCTCCCCGCGAGCGCGAAGGCCCGACTAGCATTGGACCTCGGCGCCGTACTGGCACGAGGAGAATGGTTGCGACTGATCAGCCACCACTGGGTCTTTGATGGATTGGGCGAGGCGGCGCTGGGAAGCATCGCGCTGTTTCGATTCCGGCGCTTCGAGAGATATCTCGGGTCTAGAAAATTCTGCGGTTTTGTGTTGAGCACATCTGCGATCACCACGCTACTAGTAGTGGGCGGCGCCACCCTCTTTCCCAGGTTCATCAAAGCGCCGGCGTCGGGGCCCTACGCATTGATATTTGGATTGTACGCGCTCTTCTACGACATGATCCCCGTGGCGCAGCCGAAGCTGATGCGCGTGCTAGGTATCACGCTCTCGGACAAGTCGCTCATGTATCTGGTGGGCGCGCAGCTCTTCGTCTGCCAAGGTTCTAGGTCGGGCGTGCCCGCGGCGTGCGGTTTATTGGCGGGCTTCCTCTACCTGTCCGACACGGTGCCCCTGCTGCGACGGTTGGCGCTGCCCAAATTCCTGGAGCCGCTCTTCGCGCCGCGCCGGCGGCCGCCTCCTCGACAAATGCCTGTCGACGACGACCCGCCGCCGCGCTCCGTGCCGCCGCCGGCCGAAGACCGCTTCCAGCAGGTCCAGCCGTCCGACGACCACGTCGCTTCTTTGGTGTCGATGGGCTTCGACCGGGACCGCGCCTTCGCGGCGCTCCTGGCGTGCCACGACGACGTCGCCGCGGCCGCGGACCGGCTGCTGCAGGGCTAGTGGCGCCTGTCCTCCGCCGCCCCATTTGTTTGAGACATTAACATAACTAAGTGAACTAACACCGCCGACACCACCCTGACTGGGACGCCACCGGTCCCGACACGATCGACGCGGCACGCCGTTTTGGGACGCCACTTCAATGGCCCACTTGGACGTCCGAGTCCTTGGACGCCATCGACGCGAGCCGTTATGTGACACACTAAATTCAAGTTAACTAAAGAAGCCCCGCAACCGCTTCAGCGCCCGCTGCGCCGGCGACTCCTCCGCGGGCTCTTCATTCCTAAACTCCTCGAGGAGCTCCTTCTGGCGCGGCGAGAGGACCTCGGGCACGGTCACGTGGACCGTCACGATCTGGTTGCCTCGCCCGCGCCGATCGACCGACGGCAGGCCCTTGCCCCGCAACCTTAACTTCGATAAAGGCTGGCAGCCCGGGGGCACTTTGAGCTGGACGATGCCGTCCAGCGTCAGCACGTCGACCGTCGCACCGAGCGCGGCGTCGGCGAAGGGCACCTCCAGTGCCACATGAATATCCGGACCGTCCCGTTCGAAATACGAGTCCGGCTCGACCTCGATCTGCACGAACAAGTCGCCCGACGGCGCCCCGGGGTCGCCCTGGCCGCCCTTGCCGCTCAAGCGGATCTGCATGCCCGAGTCGACGCCGGCCGGCACGCGCACATCCACAGATTTCCGATCGCCTCTCCTACCGTCGCGCGCGACCTCGTGCCACTCCAAGGTCTTCTCCTGCACGCCTCGAGCCGCCTCCATGAAGGATAGCCTCAAAGTCAACTGGAGGTCCGCGCCTCGACGCGGACCCCGCCTCCTTTGCCCGCCCCCGAAAAACTCGTTCAGCAAGTCTTCGAAGGGCTCCTGGCCGCCGCCCTGCTGGTGGAAGTGGAAGCCCCCGGCCTGGCCCCCAAAGGCCTGGCGGAAGGCCTCGAAGGGGTCGCCGCCTCCCCCGAGGTCCTGCGCCGCGTGGCCGTACGCGTCGTAGCCCTGGCGCTTCTCCGTGTCGCTCAGCACCTCGTAGGCTTCACTAGCCTCCTGGAACTTGGCGGCGTCGCCGCCGGCGTCGGGGTGGTGCTCCTTGGCGAGCTTGCGGTAGGCTTTTTTGATCTCCGCGGCGGTCGCGCTCCGCGGCACGCCGAGCACTTCATAGTAATCTCTTTTTGCTTTTGACGACAGTACGCGATGGTACGGCGCGGGCGCGCGGCGCGGCGGCCGCCTGGCGAGGTGGTGCAGCGTCGCGCGCGGCGACGGCGCGCCGCGGACGACGCGGTGCCGCGCCGCGAGCAACGTCCGGAGGCCGGCGCGCGGCAGCATCGCTCCTCCGCAGTCTTACGTGTGCTGTGTCGAATCGAGGTGCCGAGGTTCGCAGATAGCACCGACGACTGCTATGACCAATGAGGTGGAGGAAACACACAACAGCTGCGTATAAACGCAGTCGTGGCGTGAAATAAAAGCTATCACCAAAACTGGAGCGCCTGGCTAGTGTCTTACAGGCCGCTAGCTTTGGCAGCGCGAGGCAGCGCGAGACCAGGAGCGCGCGGAGACCAAATTCGTCACTATCGTGTCACCTATGATCGCTCATGAAAGAGCTGAGATCTGTTAATGGCGTAAACATGAGACAATGAAACCTCACAAATTTTTGCTCCTCGCCGCGGCGGCGGCGGTCGTCGCCGAGCGAGCGGAGCCGACGGCCCACTTCATTTTACTGGCGACGCAGCGCACGGGAAGCACGTGGGTCATGAGCGAGCTTTCGAAGCACTCGTCGTGCATCGCCACGGGCACGGAGCTCTTCCTCGACCACAAGGGCTTCACTTGGACGGAGTCTTCACGTGTCCGGTGCCTGAAGACGCTCTACGGGTCCGACGTCGACAAAAAGCAGAAGCCCCACAAGTGCTCGGAGAAGTTTAAGAAGGTCCGCGGCCGGCGTCCGACTTCAAAATCTTGCTACGCCACCGACGCAGCTCCCCACGCAGTTTCGAAGCGAAGTCCGCGACTTCGCCGCGCGCCAGAATCGCTCGTCCCTGCCCGCCGTCGTCGGCTGGAAGTACCTGCTCAATGCGGGCAAGCCGGGGCCCCGATCTAAAATTGGCGTCGGGGGTATGATGCGCGACTGGCCCTGGCTCAAGCGCATGTGGAAGCACAGGGGGGTCAAGGTGCTCTTTTTACGACGGCGGAACCACCTCGCGACCGTCGTCTCGCGCTGCGCTGAAATCAAAAAAAATTACGGCCCGGCCGCGGCACGTTCGTGCTGAATCGTCGCGTCGTCCTCCACGCCATCGACGCGACGCCTGCGCTATGGCGGGTTCCTCACCGCTCGACCGAGCCAGGACCGAGCACCCGACGCACTGGTTGATTTCCACACAGGTCTCTCGCGCGTCCAACTGGAAGACTCACGACGCGCACCCAAAACCTGAGGACCTACAGCGCATTGCGAAGAAAAAGGTCAAGCTCGACACAAGCGGTCGGTGGGAGATGCTCCGGCAGCTCAAGAACGTGAAGAACGCCTACAGCGAGCTCGGCCACCTCCGGGACAAGGCGCGGGCCGCGGGCCTCGAGACGCGCATGGTGGCCTACGAAGATTTATCAGCGAACGCGACGGCGTTCGCCCAGCTCGCGAACTGGCTCCAGGGCGGCGGCTCGAAGTGCCCCAGTGCGTTGGACACGTCGCGGGAGGTCGACGGCCCGGGCGCGCGCGCGGTGCTCAAGATCCACTCGAAGCGCCTGAACGAGACGGTCCTGAACTGGAACGTCGTCGTGAAGACGCTGACCGGGACGGAGTTCGAGCGGTTCTTGCACGAGGATGCGTAAGCTAACTAGGATTATCCCCCGATACAGCTTGCGCGTAGCCCCCCTGCGACGCCGTCTTCGCACGCATCGCGTTGATCACCTGTCCGACCATGGGCGCCACCGCAGTATCCTCTAAGAAAGCGGCGTTTTCCAGCGCGTTCGCGACGACGATCGCATCACCTAAAGTCGCCGCGCGGCACCACACTCGCCCGTTCAGGCCGATCGCGACCTCGTACGCGATATATTGCGCGAGCGCTTTCAGTACCGGCGCGTCGCGCTCCAGCAACAATTCCGCGAATTGGGGAGGCACGACGGCAATTAATGCTTCAGATGAAGATAGAGGCCCGAACGTCGCCGCGCCCGTCGTCCACTCGCGCCGCGGCCCTTTCGGCGGCGCACAACAAGTCAACTCCGCCTCGCCGCCCCGCGGCACGCGCAGCACGCGGCAGTACACGAGGTCGTCAATATTCAAGTGGGGCCTTGTTCGTTTCGTCGCCCCATCAAACGCCACGGCGCCGAGCACGCCCGGCACCGCCGCGCCCATCAATTTCACCTTATAGCCCTCGGCGTTCCTTTCTTCTACTCTCCCTACTACATAGTCGCCGGGCAGCGGCTCGTAGACGCGCGGGCGCCGTATCGTCTCTTTGTTTTGTCGCCTTGACCGCACGTCGGCGAAGGCCGCGGCGAGGTCCTCGGCGGCGGCGGCGTTTGGCATCTTTTTGTGTTGTGCAGCGATGGCGTGCGCTCACGTGTCACAGCGCAGCGATGGCGTCCGCTCGCGTGTCACGCACTGCGCCGCGCGGCGAGTTTGTGTGCAAGCACTTGAGAGCAGTGGCACGCGGTGTGGCGCGATTGTGCGAATCGCACGTGTCGCGGACGTTCTTGCAAGCAATAAATGAATGCGCAGACGCGCTTGCAGTGCAGCTTTTAGCGCGCGGAGCCGTGGTGCAGCAAGCGTCGAGTGCGTGCGGGCTGCTCTCGCAGCCTTGCTCTCGATCGATTATACGCCGCGCGCCGAGCTAATTACTCGCCACACCTTCGTAAAAGTTAGCATTCACCCCGTTGAAGAAGGCTGAGGAGCGGTGAGGCACAGCGTTGCGCCTGGCGGGAGCCTGAGCCGGCGACAGTGCAGCTGCACTCGGAGCAATTACTCCGCGCGCGGAGCCGAAAATACGGCAAGAGCTTGCGAGACAGTGTGCACTCCGAGGCACAAGCCGAGGCGATGGCCGACCAGGCCACGGCCCACGCGTTGGACGGCACGCACCGAGTGATAAGGTGCCCGCTCAACTTGGACCACGTGCAACATGTTGATTTAGCGGTCAACGACGAAGGCGAACTAGAAGGCCAGAGCAACGTGATGAAGTACACGTGCAAGAAGCTCGAACCCCCGAAGGACGACCCGCACGCGCGCTGGGCCGTCGGCGTCTACGACAAGACGACGGGCCGCGTCGACTTCAAGTACGCCGACGAGTTCGACATGTACGCCGACCCTTTGCAGGCCAAAGCGCCAGAAACGGGAAGCGCATTGCCCGAGGGCGACTGGCTCGACAAAAAAATAGCCATCGCGGACGCGTTCCAGACGCCTAAAGCCCAGAGGCAATTGCGGCAGCGCGCCGCGAACAGGGTCGCGCCGGAAGCGACGTTCGGCGGTGCCGACCTTAGCAGTACGGTAAAAGAGCTCGAGGAGAAAGCTAGTCAACAACAAGCCGAGGAGGAAAAGTCCGGCCTCGAGGTCGTCTCGACGACCTTTGATAATGCCTTTGCGGCGCATGGTTCCTCTCTAGATGCGCAGAAAAGGGCGTTACAAGCGCTGGCTTCCGAACGAGGCCGGGACTCGTGGGTGCCCGAGGCGTGGCCCGTCTTCATCGTATCTCAGCTAAAAGACGCGGACGAAGCTCAAACGCGCGATTTACTGTTGGCGCGGCACTTGTTGGAGTTCCGGTCGCTGGACCAGAAGGGCACGTGTAGGGTGGTTGCCGTCGCGCGCGAGCGGCAGATGCCCGAGGCCGTCCTGGGCGCGATCCTGGAGACGTACGCCCAGGCCTCCAAGACGGCGGCGGGATCGTATAGATACGACTGCCGCGCGGCGCCGTTGCAAGACGCTTTGACGGTCGCGGTGCTCTTCGCGTTGCTGCGGGCCGGCGGCGGGCGGTTAAGGGTCGAGGACGCGGCGCGCGCGCTCCGGGCCACGGTCAAGCGCTGCACGGCGCTGCTCAAGGCGCGGCTCGGCTGCGCGGTGTCGGCGAAGCGGAAGCGCGGCCAGCCGCACGAGACGACGGCGCGGCTGCCGGGGGTTGTCGAGGACGAGGAGGAGGCCGCTGCTGGGGGCGATTAAGAGAAGTACTATTTTTCTTACTAGAAGTACGCGCGAAGCTGTCAAACCGACTCGCGGTACTTTTCCACGTAAGACTCCAGCCTAGTTTGGGCGTGCACGGTATCTGGGTGATCCGGGCCCAGGACGCGGCGCATTGCCCCTGCCGTGTCCTTGAGCATCTCAAGCGCCTCGCGCTTTTCGTCGGCGGCAGAGTCCTCGTCTAGCATCGCGTGACAGAGGTCCTCGCGCAAAGACAACGTGAGCTCGTGGTCCTTACCGAGGACGCGTCGCGCCACTGGCGCCACTTTGCGTAGCAATCTCTTCGCTTCTTCGAAGCGCCGTAGTTTAAGAAGAGATAGCGCGTAGTTGTCGGCCGCTCGGAGGGTTTGTGCATGTTCTTCACCGTTGAGCCTCACACGTCCAGAGTACGCCTCCTGCCGCATCTGCAGGGCCCGTTCATATTGTCCGAGCACCTCATACGTATTCGCAAGATTACTCTGCACGGCAAGCATGTTGTCTTCTGAGTCGCCAAGGCGCCGCATTATAGCCAAAGTGGCCTCTTTCACGACCAGCGCGTCATCATGGTGGTTTGCACTACTTAAACCGAGCCCGAGCATGTTTATCGCCAAGCGCCTACTCTGATCCCTCTCCGCCCGACCCACGTACGTCTTCCAGCACGCCCAGCCGAGCGCGCAGTAAACCACGCCGTGATAGTCTTGCTCGCACAGGCTACAAGTGTGCCAACGATTAAACCTCGCCTGCTTCACCTCGAGGTCCAAATTGTTCTCCTCGGCCTCCGCGACCAGAATCTTCGGCTGCTCCGCCAAACACGACACGTGCGCGAAGCCCGCCGTCCCGCGGCACGCGCACCCGCGCACAAGACCCTCCTTCGTCTTCCAATGGACGGCCTGCGTGCAGATGTAGCACGTCTGGCCCCTCGTGTCGTCGGCGCACGCCTCGGCCGCGACGGCGACGGCCTCCGCGTACTTCTTATTTGCGTTGTACTGTTCGGCTCCACCCGCTTTTTTAATCTTCTTGCAGAGCTGGTCATGACCGCCCTCTTTCCAGTGCTGCACCTGGCATTCGGGCCCACAATAGCGCGTGCTGCAGCGGCCGCATTTCTTCCCCAAGGTTAGCCCAAGCTCGGTGGCGCAGACGGCGCACTGCGTGAGGATCATCCTAGCTTGTTTGGGCTGCTTCTCGTGCTTTTCGCTTGGCAATGATGTCGCAGGCTCTCCTCTTTGTCGCAGCTAGTGTGTCGACACGCTAGCACCGCAGGCTTCAATGCGTCCAAAGCGAGCCATAGGGCACGCGAGAACGAGCCCTCGGAGCCGTCTTTCGGCCTTGCAAAAATCTAGCTCCCGCTGCAGCGCCAGCGCGAGAGCTGCCCACCTCCCCGGCGCCGCCCTTGGGACGAGCGGGCGCCTTGCACGCCATCGACGCGGCGGGCAGCAATACTTGGTCACGCGCCATCCACCACTCTGCTGCGCATCGGTAGCCGTGCGCCTGGGCAGCACCTCTTGGCAAGCACCTCTGGGCTGCTCTCACAGCCCCACGCAACACAAGCATGTCGCGCCAGGGCAGCCGCGTGTCCTTCGACACGACGCCCGCCGCGTCCTACGCGGAGTCGCATTTATCAAATGTTACGAAAAAATCGCAAAAGCCGCTCAGCCCCGAGACTTTGAAGGGATGTACTATTAGTTTCGACACGGGCATCGCGCGGAACCGGAGTAAAGTGCGAGACGAGTACGAGAAGCGCCGGGACAAGACGCCCTACAGCGTGAAGATCCGCGGGAAAAGAATAGACGCCATCTCGCGCCCGGACCCGCCGAAGAAGAAGAGCATCCACGACGAAAAGCCGCCGGAAGAATTGCCCATTGGCAGTACGGTCCTGAAACTCGCCAAGGTTCGTCGTAGAGCCCAAACGCTGAAAGCGTATGATTTATCAGATACGGTTACTGAATTAGCGTCCTGGGCCGACGGGCTGCGGATCTACGCTCCCGATAGGGTTGATTTGAATCCCATCTTGGAGCCCATCACTGGAAAGGACCTACCTCGTCAATACTTACGAGGCGCGGACGCGCGAAAGGCCTATTTGAGGGGAGGCAAGAAGCCCCTGCCCCCTCGAGCGGGGCCGCTGCAGGTGTCTTTCGTGCAAGGCATCTCAGTGGCTCCCGTCCTGTCAAAGGGCGCAATCGAGGAGGACCTGGGCGATGTCTTTGCGGAGAACCACCGGTTACGACAGAAGGGTTATGATGATATATTGGACATTCAGCCCGATTCTACCATACCACCTCCTCGCATCCCGACGCCGCCGCCGACACCGCCACCTACACCACCTCCAACGCCCGCTCCAAAAGTCTACCCGTTCCCCGACGAGGCCTGCACGCAGCGCTTGTCACCTTCTGTCATAGACACGTATTTTGGCGACGGTGCGCGGGACAAGTTCCGGAAAGCGTTCCGGAGGATCTCGCAGCAGGCTTGTTATGTTAGAACCACAGATGAAATTACGGTAAAGGGCCCCGTTCCCTTCGACGCGGAGCTAGACTCAGACAATGAGAGGGAACCGGGCTTACTTGCACCATTAAACTCGCCGAGGCACGACTTCCTCGCGGAGCTCGCTCGCTTACAATTACCGCCGGAGTGCATCCTGATACGGGAGACGCCTCCTTCCACAAGAGCCGAAGCATTAGCGAGGCCGGACTCCACGGCCCTAGATCTGTCGCATCGTTCCTTGGGCGATGTGTTGGGTGAGGCATTAGCTCGAGTACTGCCAAAATTACCAGAAATAGGTGAATTGCTCGCGGCGGGCAATCGGTGGAGCGACGATGCATTAACGCCGTTGTTAGATTCATGCATCAAAATAGGCCCGAAGCTCAAGACCCTGGATCTGTCGGCCAACGACCTGGACGATGCCTCGGCCAGGAAGCTGGCCGAAGTTTTGAGCCATGAGAAATGTGGGATAGTGTCGCTCGGTCTGGCGGACGCGGATCTCGACGACGCGGAATTGGCACCTATCTTGGAACAATGTGCGAAGTCCAAGACGCTCAAGGTCTTGGATGTGGCGGGTAATGGTCTCGGCGGCGCGACTGACACGAACGGCGCGTCGGCCCTCGCGGTCATGCGAACTACATCAGAAGCGACGACCAAGGCGCATGACAAGAAAGCACACCACACCAAAAACAGTATTGGGGACTCCAAAGGGTGGGCCCAGTCGAAACGGAGTTTCTTGGACGCGCGGCCCGAGCTCAAGAAAAAGGTGGCTCAATCTAAGGTCTTAGGTGGTGTTGCGGTCGGGTTGGAATTACTCACGAAGAACGGCTGCGGGTGTTTGGAGTTGATCGCTTGTTTAGGGGCCTCGTCTTCCTTAACTCATGTCGACCTGTCGTGGAATCGCATCGGAGAAAAGGACGGCGCCGTCTTCGCTGCTTTATTATCGCAGAATACGACGTTGGAGAATGTCGCAATGGGGTTCAATTCATTAGGAGATGTCGGCCTGCAGCACCTGGCCACGTGTCTCAGCACGAATAAAACGCTGAAGCGCCTCGACGTAAGATACAACGGAGGCGGCCCGCGCTGCGCTTCTGTGTTTGCGTCTCATTTGAGAAAGAATACTAGTCTGACGGAGTTGGTCCTCGACGGCAACCCCTTAGGTGCGGAAGGGCTCCGGGCCTTCTCAAGGGCGGCCGGAGAGATAACCTCATCCCTCAAACTGAGGGACTGCCTCTACGACGTCAAGAAGCCCTTGACAAGTGTGGGCCTCTTCATGGAGGAGGTCAAGATCGGCAAGGGGAAGAAAGCGATTACAATCCCTGCAAAACGCATGGACGCGGAGCCCTCTAGATCTCTGGCACTAGCCAAAGCGAGAGGTAGCTGGGGCAAGGAGCTGCCTGACTTGCAGCACCACGAGGCCTACGACGCGGACACGTTGCAGAAAGTCAATGATGCTCAAAAGGCTGTCGAGCATTCGACGCCGCTGAATATGAAAGAAACTCTGTGGGACCCCGCGACGCCCCGCGGCTTTTATCAGTTGGAGTTGGACGATCCCTACGAAAGGTCTGTAGCCGAGGACATCCTGGAGTTGTGTGGTAAAAGGCCCGGCCTATCCTTGACGGATGTCGTTATGGCCGACGGTGTGGAGGAGTTGCGCAAGCCGGAGCACTTCAAGACGAAACTAACGTTGAGGGTGGAACCTCCACCAAAGGAATATTCCAATGATGAATTCCTGCCGTTGCCAGATGTCAATGAGAGAGAGGAAGACGAGGCCGACGAGCTGCTGCGGGAGAGTCTCATCGAACAGGGCAAGGATGCCTGTTTGCGAGTATTAGTGAAAGGTCGAACGCCCACTAATGAGAGAACCGTAGGACAGATTGTCGACGGCGAGGACAACGCGTTCACATTGCCTCCAATGGAAGAGGGCGGCTGCCTCCGCTTCCGCCTATCGACAACGCCGCGCGCTTCGTCCGTCCTCGAGGCGCCGTCCGCCAATGGTCTGGAGGCGCTCGTCAAATGCATGAGGGAGGACACGGAGCGAGGCGCCTCGGCGGAGGACGCAGTAGACGTGTGGACGCGCGACTGGCGCCTCTTGAGTTGCCAGGTCCCGAGGTTGATGGAAGCTTTGCAAAAAACGCCGCCGGAAAACGTGCTATCGATACTACTCCCGCGTTTGGTGGATGACGCAGGCGCCGAGGCATTGATGGAACCTTTATCGAGGCCGCAGCAATCCGTATTACTGAGGAAGTTGGGAAGATACGGCTCGGTGTTCTTTGGGGCCCGCAACGGGAAATATGAATTGGACCTGTCGGACCCGCTCCACCAGGAATGCGCGCGGCGCCTCGCTTCGCGTTCCTCAGCGGAGCGCCGCTGGTGCCTCCAGCAACTCCCCGAGGAATTACCCGTACCACCGGAAGGCGCGCCGTTCATCTTAGATCAGCCTCCTATCACAAAACCGACGGAAGCGCAAAAAGCAACTTTTTTTGGAGAAGGGTCGGAGCAGCGCTACGGTTCCGGTTGTTTTAGGAACGTGTCCTATGGCAACATTCAGCTGACCGGTGTGGTAGGTGATGACTTTTTAGGGGCTATCATCGAAGCGCGGGCGCCGCGCGGCACCTTACGGTTTGACTATTCATCATTGATGCCCGTGGCCGAGGGCGAGACGTTGCCGAATGCGGCCTTCCGGCGCACTTTAGATGAGTGCGGGCTGCCCTTGGACGCCGTCGTGCTGGCGGGCAAAATTGGAAGGTCCTACCTCGAATCGGTCGACGAGGATGCTGGGGATGCAAAGTGGCGCGCGCGCGCCAAGGTCATCGACGAGCGCTTCCTGCACGACATTGATACGGGCGCGCACGACCCGTCAAACCCCATGGCCTTCCTCGAGGCGGCCTCCCCTCTGGATGTCGGGACGGCGGTCGCGCCCGTCGCCGCCGCGCTGCGGAGTGTCAAAGAGGACGCGACGGGCGTGATCGCCGGGCCCGCGGCGGCCGTGCTACGCGCCGTCCAGCGCGCTGGCACGTTCACGGCCGAGGACCTGGGGGAGAGCGGCGACCCGGAGGCGCCCGCGACGCCCGCGACGCGGCTCCGCGAGGTGCTCGCGAAGGCCTACGTGGACGTGGGGGCCTGGGACGGTGCGGTGGAGGCGCTCTGGGCTGAATTAAGTCGCCGCGAGAGCTGTCTTGGGGTGGAGAAGGGCAAGCTCGTCCGGGTCGCGCACGCGGTGCGCGTCCGCGTCGTCGCGGGCGGCCGCTGTATTTTGCGGGTGCGCGGGCTCGAGGCGGGCGAAATTGATACGCGGACATTTCTTGGAGTTTCAATGCCCGTCCTGCAGAAGAGCTCGGGCCGCGTCTGCACGCAGCAGTCGCCCGCGGCGGCCGCCGCGGCGCTCGCGAAGCAGGCCGTGCTGGAGCCGCTGGGGCTGACCAAGGCGAAGTTGGTGGATCGTGGCGCCTGCGAATCTGGGGTTGCGCCGCGCGCCCCGCACCAGCTGCCCGGCGTCGCCACGCGCGTGACATATCACTTTTACGACGTGGTGCTCGATGGCTTCGAGGACCGCGCCGCGGAGCGCGAGGCCGAGGCGTTGCTGGACGCGGCGTCGCGGGACCCGGCGGAGAAGTGGCGCTTCGTCGACCGCTGCTTCGGCGACGACGTCCCAACGCCGCCGACCGACTGCGCGGCCGCGTTGGAAAGTTTGAGGAGACGCCTCGCCCAGACGAAGCTGACTTCACAACAACTGTGCGTCTGCGCCGCGCTCTTCCCGGCGGCCGCGGTCGACGAGATCTATTATCGCGACGAGGTCCTGGCGGGCCTGGCGCATCTTGTCGTGGACTTCGAGCACCTGGAAAGTACGGCGAAGGCGGCGCCGTGCCACCTCAACGAGGAGGCCTGGCGGAGAATAGTGAGGCGCCTGGGCGTGCTCAATGTCAAGGACCCGCGCGCGCTTGGAGGCACCTACAATCTAAACTTGCAGCAGCCCGACGAGCGGCGGTGCGCCGGCGTGCTGATGGCGCTCGTCGAGGACTTGTCGGTGGAGCAGCCGCCCGCCCCGAAGAAGAAGGGGAAGAAGAAGGAGCCTGTCGTCGTCATTCCGCCCAAGGATCCGACGCCCGGGACCGCCTTCCTGCGCGATCTCGTCTTCCGACCGACTGAGAAGGCGGACCCCGAGCCGGGCTGGGTCTTGCCCAAGGTCTGGCGCGCGACCAAAGGTGAGAACATCGGCATTCCGACGGTCGGGCGCCTGGCCTGCGCCTACGAGCCGGGCGACCGCGAGGTCGAGGACGCGGAAGAGAGAAGGAACGTCGTGGAGGAGCTGCGGCCCTGGTTCAAGGTCGGCTTGCCGAGGCCTGCGTAAATGTTACAACACATACATTAGGCCACTAGCTGCTCGCCGCAACAGCGACGCCCCGGAGCACCTCGCCGCACGCGCCCGGCGCCAGCAGCGACTCGAACGTCGCCGCGTCGCGCGCGAGGAGGCACCCCGCGAAGCCCAGGGCGTTCACGTCGACGCCGTTTGCACTCTTGCCACCGCCGTGCAGGCTGCTGACGCGGTAGGTGCCCCGGGCGAGCACGGCCTTGTGTGGGAGGGAGGTTCCATAGGGTGGGTGGAGCACACTATGACTTATGACAACGTTGGAGCCTCCCTAGCCGTCCGTCCAGGGCTTCCTGTCCGGCGGCACATCAGCTTCGTTTTTGGCGGCTCTCCAGCTCGTCGTCTTCGCCCAAGCTTCGGCAGCTTCTCTCGTGTTCTTGCTTTTTATTTTTTCGTTCAGAAGAGCAGGAAGGTACGTGCGTTGGAAAGGGTCGTCCCCATAGCTTCCCGTCTCCCCTGCCTCTGCTTTCTTTCTACTCGTGTAGCGTCTCGCCCTCTTCTTATCGTCGATTCTCCAAATAAAAACATGACCCGCAGATTTCGCTAGCGATTGGCCCATTTGCTGCAACACGGCACCAGAAATCGTATTGCAGGCTCGCCTATCCCTCCGTCTCTCTTGCGCCTCGTGTCGTGCATCTAGAACCGATGACACTTCAGCGTTCACATCTATCCGGCTCGTCTGGTCCGGCGCCCGCGCACTGGAATGGATTACGACGCGGCAGGGATCTGAGATGACGTCTTGGTCTAAAGGAGCGACGGGCGCCGGCGAGGAGCCCCCGCCGGATAATCGGCGCGCCGCAGTCTCTAACGAACTGGCAACCGTCTTCCAGGCCCTGGAAATAATGCTAGATCCTCCTACAGCCGGTAGGGGTGCCCAGTCATTGCTAACAGTACGCGGCGCATTGTCGCGCGCGACCGCGGCAAATACCCCATATACATTCGACGACGCACCCGACTCGTCCCACGGCGCCGCCACTGCATTTCCATCACTCGCCCACTCGATGCGATCAAATTGCGGGATCTGTACCGATCCTACCAAACCTAAAACTGGATCGTCGGCGCAGAAGTAGAGCCGCTCCCAAGCTAACACGCCAGTAGTAAAGTCGACGGCGACGAGCTGCGTCTCGACCAGTCGACATTTTCCGCTAACACCAATTCCTTTCTGCACGACGAAGCCCGAAACTGCTGGATCGATGATGGCCTCGACGGTTCCTTCGCTAATTTCGCGAACGTGGCGCCCGCCAATAATTCTCCACTCCCTGATATTCACCCTTTGGCCCACGCGCGCGTCGCGTCGCGCCGTCGCAGGTCCTTCGTCAACATCAGTCATCAAGTTCCTCAACAGCGGCGCGGGCTTGAGATCTTCAGGACCTTTTCCGAGGCACGTTTGGGCGAACCCGAGAACCGTGATAGTGGAGACCTCCAGGGCCCCAGTGGACTCTGTAACATCCGCCATATCATCAGTAGGAGACCCAGGAGGCCGCAAATGATCCACAAGACGTTGTAGACCAGAAGCGAGTGGTTCAGTTACGCGAGGCCCACCAACAACTAACACCCTCTCCAACGGACCCGAGACTAGGTATTTGAACTCCCGTAGAAATTCTTGATTTCTCAACACCCCAACGTCAGACACGATAAAAGCAAAAGCTCCATGAGCGACCGCTATAGTTCGGAGGTCGTGGCTGCTTAGCTGACTTAGTAATCGCGGCTTGTCCGCGTCTACTATCACGACGAGGCGGCGATCCAACTTGGACCCGGCCGTCGGCGGCCCCGGGCAGAGCCGCGGATCATCAATTCGAGCAGCAACGCGAGGATCCTCTAGCGAAGGCACGTCCCGCAACTTAGTCGCCAAGGCACCAATCAGTTCGAAGGTAACCAAACGAGTCGCGCCCACCAAGCCGACGAGCAAGCTCGTGAGGACCCGCGGATCCGAGCACAGGCTGACGTAGGGGCTGACCACGAGCACGTTCGCCTCCTGCGGGCTCTGTACTAATTTGCCGATGCACTTTATTGCCCTTTGGTGTCCCTTGTCGAGTGTTCCAACTCCGACGACGCACACGTTCAGCACCGTCGGCTTCTGCTTCTTCTTGTCCTTCTGCCTCGACGGGAGCGAATTGGTCAGCGCGCGCGCGGCTCGTTTTAATGTTGTTAGCAATGCGCCGCCGCTCCGCACCGTTTGCCTGGCCGCGTCCGCGACGAATTCGCTGGGCGACCGCATCGCTCCCGCGCTCGCGCTTGAAGCTCTCCGGCAGCAAGCTTAGCTCTCGCGCAGCGCGCCTCGCCGAACCGCCCCGGTTCTCGCCTAGGTGGGCTGCGGCTTTTGTGGAGTCGCCTTTGCGCGTCTCGTCGGTGCTTCCAGAGGCCCCTGGGAGCCAATTTTAGCGCCGCTCTCCGTATATATCCAGCTAGCGACTGTAAGACACTAGCAAGCAAACTCCGTCGACAGCGCGTTTCTACGTCGACAGCCATTTTTTACAGCGCGGCCTCACGCAAGCTGGCCGGACAAATGTCAGTCTACAACGCCCACCGCCCGTCCCTCATCGGTTTGCCCATGGAGCCCCTCAAAGGCGACGCCGTCGAGCGCATGAGCATCGGCACGCTCGACGAGCCGGACGAGACGGCGGCGGCGCGGCGGCGGCAGCGGTTCCGCGTCGCCGCGGGCGCCTGCGCGCTGCTCTTCGTTGCGACGCTGGCGCTGCGCGTGGCGGCGGCGCGGCCGCGCGCGCCCACGACGGACGAGTGGGCGCTCGACTGGGACCTCGCCGCGGAGCTCCGGGCCGCGACGGCGGCCGCGGGCGGCGCCCTCGCGCCGCTCGCCGTGGCGCGGGCGACGTACGCGGGCGGCTGCCTCGTGCTCGAGGCGCCGCGGACCGCGACTGAAAAGGTGGACGGGGACCCCTTCGATAGTGTTCGGTCGCAGCTTGTCGTGCGGCCAGTCGTGTTCGGAGGCTACGCGCTCGTGCTGAACAAGTTCCCGGCCTTTGCGGACCACGCGCTCCTGATCACGGCGGCGGCCGTGCCCCAGGCGCGGCGCCTGGACCGCGACGACCTCGACGCGCTGCACCGGTGCGCGTCGGCGGCGAGGGGCCTCGGCTTCTACAACTCGGACGCGACAGCGGGCGCGTCGCAGCCGCCTGTGTGGAAATCAACCAATGCGTCGGGTCCGCTCGATGGCGTGGAGGTCGACGCCAAGATTCAATGCGCTGGGAAATTTTGATTTCCACACAGGCAGCCGCACCGACACTTCCAAATTGTGCCCGGCGAGAGTTTCGTCGGCGAGGGCTGGAGCGCGGCGCTGCCGCCGATTTCCCGAGACATCGAGGCGTTGCCGCGCGACCCGTGGCGCTGGTCGGGCCCTGCGTGGAAATCAACCAGTGCGTCGGGTGCACCCGACAATTCTTCACTAAGTCATCTCTCGGCGATGATGCGGTCGTCCTGGCTCGGTCGAGCAGCGAGGAACCGGCATCACCACGCCATCGAGCAGGTCTGGCGTCGATGGCGTGGAGGACGACGCGAACGCGCCGTACAATTTTGATTTCCACACAGGTCGGGCCGCGTGCCCTTCCAACCCGTCGCGCAAACGCTGCCGCGGCTCGCGGGCGTCGCGCACGGCGTCGTGCTCCTGCCGCCTAGGGCTACGTTCCGCGTCGACTTCTCGACAGACGGCGCCTTCGCCGACGCGCTGCTGCGGGCCTACGCGCTGCTGCTCCACGACCTCGATTTGCTGAACGGCGAGTCGCACAACCTGCTCGTCGGCCGCGGCTGGCTGCTCGTCGTCGCGCGGCGCGCACGCGAAGCAAACGGCGTCGACGTGAACGCCCTGGGCTTCGCGGGGTGCCTCCTCGCGCGCGACGCGGCGACGTTCGAGGCGCTGCTGGCGCCGGGCGCGTGCGGCGAGGTGCTCCGGGGCGTCGCTGTTCCAGCCTCGGACATCGCGGTGCCGGCCTCGGACTAGTTGTGTAGTTGTGTTTTTGTCTTATCACATACACCCCCGCCGTCGCTGACGACACCGCGCAGACGAACCTCTACGCCCACGTCTCCTTGACGTGGTAGTTCGCGGGCTTGGAGAAGAGCGTCTCGAGGAACTCGACGTGCCCGGCCGCCTCGCCGTTCTGCGCCGCCCGCTGGATCAGCGCGAGCACGTTCGGGTCGTAGAGATCGAGGCAATAATGCGGCCCCTTCAAATGTTCTTTCAGCGCATCATAGTCGTCGGAGGTCAGCCGCACGTACAGGAAGTTGCACCCGAACCAGGTGGCACTATCCGGGCGGAAGAGGTGATATGCTAGGCCGGACGCGATGCGCGTTCCCCACAAGTAGCGCACCGGCCCAAGAAGGGGCGCGACGAAGGGCAGCCAGAGGCCAACTGTGGGGAGATCAACCAGTGAGGCGCCAGTCGAGAACGATAAAATAGTGATTCTACACCGAAGGTCGCAGTGTAAAATGAAGACCAGCAAATACCACGACTGCGCCGGAATCTTGTAGAAGCGATTCCGATGCACAGAGCACAAATCCGACCGGCTAGCCTCGAACACCGTCCCCGTGAAGCACGGCACCATCGTCTCCGCTTTCTTCCACGCCCCGACCGTGGCGATGGCCAGAAAGCACGCCGTCTGGGTGCCCGACACGTTCACGCCCGGACACGCCTCGTTGAAGAGATTAGTAATGGGCTTGCGGACGTTGTCGTGGCTCGCCTCGAGGTGCCTCTCGAGCGCCTTTCTGGATGGCGCGTCCCGCCTAGAACCGCGCACGGCCGCGTTAAAGGCCGCGAACGCGCACAGCGCGAACAATGCCAAGGCGGTGGTTATCTGTCTCCACGCCAGCGAGTCCTCGCCGCCGTCGTCCTTGCCGCCGTGAATGAGGTATGTCGTGCATACAGTCAAAAGATGCTCGATGCGCTGTATATATTTTTTCATGTCATCAGCTGCCTTTACCGTGGCGGAGCCCATAATCTTGATGGCGAGGTGACACGCTCGCCTCGCTTTATCAGATCTAAAGCGGTCGGTGCACGTGCCGCGCACGATGTGGTGCATGGCGTTCATCGAGAGCACCGCGGCCGAGCGGGACCCGGCGCCGGCGAAGTTCTCGTCGACATCGCCTGCGACATAGCGGTTCTTCGCGTACGAGAGCTCCGGGTCCGTGCAGAGCAGCAATAACAATTCCTCGGCTTCGGGCCAGAACGCCTGGTACGTCGCGGGGTCGCGCTCGTAGTTTGCGAGCTTATACTGAAGGCGCGACTGTGCCGGGGTGCCTATGTTGGGCCCGGGGATGTCGCGGATGGCGAAGGTAGAGGTTGTGGCCGCGCTCGCGAGCGCGGCGGCCGAGGCGAGCGCTGCTGCTTTGAGCAGCGCGGCGCACATCTTTGGCTGGTGGATGCGGCTGATTTCGTATGTGTGGCTGAGAACGGTGCGCTTCCGAGCGCTTGGATGATTACTGCGTATCTATGCGCTCGTATAGCTCACCAAGCACCAAATGGCGCTGTCGACGAAACCCGCGAGAACGCTGCTCTTAGATTAAGGTCCATGGTGATGTTACACGGGCTGACGGTCGCAGGTCCGGGTCTACAGCTCGAATTGGCGAGAACGTGGGCTCGCACTTGAGTCGCACGATCCCGCGCCGAGTTTTCCGAGAAGGTAATCCTATGTAGTAGACGTTCAGGCCGGTTGTCTGGCCCGTCCCACAACCGAAGTGCCTGAAACGCGAATTTATTTTACAACTCACCGGTCTGGGGCCTTACTGGTGCCCCGCGTACGCACCGTCGTCCGTGGAGAACTGGCAAGTCGGTCAATTGTGAATAGAATAACGGCGTTATGGTCCATCTGGATGGTGTCGTCGCTGATACTCGCGGGTCTGGGTCTTCTGCTTGTTTTCACGTAAACGCGGGGGCCCGAAGTCGCTTCGCGGCGAGGCTCTAACGGGCCATCTAACATAGCTCATCCCCGCTCAGGCGGCCTAAATGGACTCTACCACAAACAAACGGAAGGAAACGAACATAAACTCGGGAGTTGTCTAGTAGAATTCTTTTCCCGCCCTCCGAGCGCGGGCCGTCGGCTGGATCGAGGAGGAGCGGTCGCCCTTCAAACTTCTTGGGGATCGGCCCTTTTTCTCGGAGGTCGTCTTCGTGCACAAGCCGTCGTGCGTGCTGCTCGTGACGGACCTCTGGTGGAACTACCCGGCCGACGCGCCGGCGGCGTGGAAATTTGGTATGGATCGCATCTACCGGCCGGTCTACAACGGCCTCATGAAGCAGCCGGGCTGGGAGGCGAAGATCGCGCGGATATTCGCATGGGAGTGGGACTTCCTCGCGCCCTGCCACGGCGAGCCGGTCCAGGGCCCCGACGTGAAGCGGGTCCTCGCGGAGCACCTCGACTACGCCCTGTGATGTGTCACTAACAGTTTGTATTAACATGCGTCTTGCTCGAGAGGGACTTGCACACGCCTCCCCCGTCGACGAGGAGCTCCTTCTGAAGGCCGCGCCGCCGTTTCGCGCCATAGTTCACGGACGCGTCGAGCATAATGTCTAAGATTTGGAACTCGGCCTCCAGGCGCTGCTGCAGTTTCTTTCGGGACGAGCCGTCGATGGTCGTCGACGTCTCGTCCGTGGTGTTGCGCGCTTGGTGAATCCAGCCGCCTCGTAGCCTGTGTGGAAATCATTTTTCCTACGCCCGACGCCATCGACGCGACGTCGTCCCCGTAACTGCTCTGCTCGATGGCGTGGAGATTCTACGCCATCGATGCGACGTCGTCCCCGTAGCTGCGGCAGCTCGATGGCGTGGAGGCCCACGAAGGTCTCCGCAATAACCTAACTCACTGGTCGATTTCCACGCGGCTCGTAACACGTCGAGGGTGTCGTCGCCCCGCAGCCAGCGAATAGCCCCCTCCAGGTCGTGTTCGCACGCCTCGGCACGCACGACCCAGAGGTCACTCTCCCGTCGCAGCAGGTCGTGGAGCACCGGCCCGATGTACCACGAGAGGCCCTTCCCGATGTGCGAGCCGCCGCCCTCGCCCACGCCGACACCATTAAAAAACGAGTGCGCGAGCATGAGGCACGTGAGCGATGGACTCTTCGACCTGTATGGATCCCAATCGGTGAGGCAGCATCGAGCACGCGTCGCGTCGATGGCGTGAAGTCTACACAGGCTTCGACCGCTCCGTCACCTCGTCAACGAAGTGCTGCACGTCCGGAAAACAGTTGTAGAACCCCCGCTCGCCGTCGAACTTCTCGACGGCCCGCGGCGGCGTGCATTGGCCCTTCCATTGGCGGCAGGCGTGCGGACTCCGCCAGTTGAACGCCGAGATCACGCGGTCCACGGGGTCGCGCGCCGAGACGATCACTCGCTTGTATTGTGCGAGCGTCTCCCTGTCGACCTTGTCGAGGTGCACCTCGTGGTAGGCCACGCGGTTTTTTCTTAACTCGGCGGCGATGGTCCCGCCGCACGTCTTCCCCACGTGCACGAATAGGACGTCGCTGGCCGTCGCCGCGGCGCAGAGCAGAAGCCCAGCGATCCGCGGCATGTGTTCTGGGCAGCCCGATGGCGCTACAGGGGCAGCATGCAGTGCAGAGCAGATGGAGCAGCCCGACGATCAGAAGCGATGGTCCTTTCAGCGCGCTACGCGACGATTCATCATTTGTTGCTTGACTACTCCTGCACAAGTTGCGCCGCGTGCCAAAAAGCTATGACATTGTGCCAAAAAGCTGTAGACCCGCACGAAGAGGAAGAGGCTACTCAATACCTTTACACGCCGTCAACGCGACAAAAATGACATCATCGCTTCTTCTTCAGCGCCCGCTTCAGCCACTTGGCGCGCTCGACGGAGCCGACGACGACCGCGCCCGCGCCGTAAATACCTAAAATCCACGCGAGCGGGATCCGCGCGGGTAGCACCTCCGCCTCCAACCGTTTTGAGAAACTACGAAAGGCTCCAGCCGTCGCGGCGCCGAACGCGCCGCCGACGAGGACCTGGGGCGCCGTGTGGTAGCGGTTCGTCACGCGCCACGCGAGCGACGTCGCGCCGTACACGGCCAGGCCACCGAGCTGCAGTTTTGTTAGGGGAAAGCGGAGCGCCGCGCCGACGCCCAGATGGCACACGCTACAAGCGTGGCTCGACGGCATCCCGCCGTCGTCGCCCGCCTCCGGCCGGTCCTCCTTGATGATCCTTTTGAGGATCTTGTTGCAGACGGCCGCCAGGATGGCGCCGGCGACCCAGGTCAGCGTCTCCGCGTCGCGCCTCACCATGAGCGTCGCCGCGACGGCGCCGCTCACCGCGAAGCGCGTCGACTCGCCCACGGCCTTATACAGCATGGGCGCGTCGGCTGCGGCGGGCGACACGGCCCGATGGATTCGCGCTGTTTTTTTTGTGGTGAGTCGCGGCGGCGGCGCAAACGCTGCGGAGTGCACGAGCAGCAGCAGTGTCAAGGAGCCGCTGTAGAGCATCACGCGTCGCCGGCGCTTTGTTGGCGATCTCTTGGAGCTCTTTGTGGTTGTTTGCAGCGCCTGAGAGTGCGGAAACGCCTCGGTCAGCCGCCCGCGCGCGCTGCGCAGCTGCAACAAAACAGGTTTTGTGGCTAGCTGAGCGACAGCCAAAAGAGAGCTTAAAAGGACTGAAAGCAAGATATTGATCGCCTCGCAGTCGCATCTGTGCAAAACCAGCCGACGAGGGCTCCAGCGCGGCTGCAGCGAGCACTCTGCCAGCTGCAGCATGGCTGCAGCATCATCAACAGCAGGGCCAGACGCCTCCGAGGGCGAAACGGAGCGCCAGTGGGAAGCATTCGCCCCGCACCTCCCCCACGCCTTCGCCGACGGCGACCGCGTCTTTGTGATGAAGTCGCGCGGCGGCCAGCGCGGGAGCCGCCCGTTCGCCGCAGCCTACATCGTGGGCGAGGCAACCGAGGACGGCCGGCGCACGGTCGTGTACAAGGATGGAAGCACCTACGCGGCCCGGCCGGCGTTATTGGTACCCATCCGCGGCGGTGGGCCTCTGACGCTGTTCACGGCGACGACGCGAGCGTATCGCCTCGCGGCCGCGACGCAGGACGTCGGAACCAAGACATTGGAGGTAGGCTGCGACCAAGGAGAAGCAACGCGCCGACTCGTTGCCCGCGGCTGCGCCGTGCTAGCCGTCGACAAGGCCGCCGACCGCATGCGGACGGCCAGAGACGCAGCGCCGGGCGCGACCTTTCTGGTGTGCGACGTGCTGTGCGAGCCCGATCGCGTGGAGGGCAAATATTCATCTGTCTTCGTCGACATCAACGGCTCGCGCGCCTACGACACGGTCCTGAAGTGCGTGCGCTGGGCGGAACGGCGGTGGCCCGCCGCCCTGGTCGTCGTCAAGTCGTCGGAGGCGATGCGGATGCACTTTCCCGGGGCGATCGAGGTCTCGGCGCCGGCGCGGCAGCGGGCGTAGTTTTTGTGTATGTGTTCACACTAGTTGTCGTTAGAAATCACAAGTCGCCGCGCCCAGCCGTTTCAGGCTTCCAGTACCCGTAGAGCGCGTAGTGCTGCCGCCGGTCGATGTCCCCATACGAAATCGTCACGGCGTCGCCCGGCGCCAGGTCCCGCGCCGCGCGCAGCCGGATGAAAAAGTCGCCCGCGTCGACGACCGCGGACCCTTCAGCATGATGGTTCGCCATGTCCACGAAGGGCACGAAGGCGAAGCGGTCCGTCGTGCCCGACGTGCCGTCGTCGAAGCTGACCTGGGTAGAAGTGGCGCCGAAGACGCGCGACCGCACGAGCGCCCACGCCCACGGCAGCGTCCCCGGCCAGGCGTCGTCCGGCGCGTCGAGCGCGGGCAGGACCTCCCGCGGGAAGTCGAGCTCTCGCAACCTATGTTGCTGCTGGCGCGCCGGCTCGGCGAGCTCCGGCCCCAAACTATCAAGCTCTGCGCCGCGCTTCAGCAGGGGCAGCCCCATCTCCTCGACCTTTGGGAGTAACGTCCCGTACTCGACCCAGAATGGATCGTCCGGCGTCAAAATCGCGTCGTGCAGCTGCAGGGCCAACCTAATATCCCACGTGAGCGCCGCCGGCGCGTTCTTGAGGGAGGCCGGCAGGTCGCGCGTCTCGACCAGACAGCGGTCGAGCGGCACGGCGAGCAGCACGTCGCCGGCGGCGAAGGGCTGCGCCGCGATGAGGCCGCGGACGCCGTGTTTGTCCCTCGCGAGCGCGACTTTCCCCGGGTTTTGGTCCGGCACGTTCGAGGCGAGCAAGATCGCGAACTTCCGGCCTTCGATGATCGCGGCGTCGTCGGCCGTCGCTGCGGCGGCGAGGAGGAGGAGGAGCTTGCGCATCTCTGTGGGCTTACGCTTGCAAGAACTTGCAGTGCACCGGATCAGGCGATATCACAGCACCAAAATGCAGCTCTCTGGACCAATCGTTTGATCCACAGCACGACTACAACATCAATCACGCGCGCTCTCGAGGCTGGTTGCGGGTTTTTTCGCTTTGGCACTGCAGCTCTGTGTGGCCCATCTACCCCGTGGAGCGCGGCCAGGACTCGTAGACGGACCGCTCCGGGGACCGCCGAACCCACTTTTTCCCATGAAAGCTTTTGCTGGAGACGCCCGGCGTGCGGCGCTTCGCCTTTAAAACCGGGCGACCCGGCCGCGGGCAGCCGCAGTCGCAGCGATCCCGGGCGCCACCAGTCAAAGGGGGCAGCCCTTGGCGCGGCGAGCGGTGAGGCAGTGGCCCATACAATAGCCTGGGCCGGAGGCCAGCGCTCGAGGCGTAGCGCTCGACGCGTACGACGGACTGGTGAAGCGCTGGGCGCACCGTAAACCATGGTCCTCGCGACGCGCGGCCGCAAGAGTAGGATACGGCGCCTCGCCGACTCGCAAGAGCTCGACACGGGAATACTGCTGGTCATCATGTTCAACTGCGTGATCATGGCCTTCCCGCCCAATAAATTAAAAAATGCCACCTCACCGACGGACTTTTTTTGTCTCGCGGATTTTATACTGAATTTCATTTTTTTCTGCGAGTTCGCGATAAAGTTCTATGCCTATGGCTTAGCCTACTTCAAGGACACGTGGAACCAGTTGGATTTCGTCGTCGTCATGCAGGGGACACTAAGCATGACGACGGAGTGCCCCTACGTGTTTGGGAGATCTTCGGGGAGTGGTCTCGCGGACATCTCGGCATTGCGGATGATGCGCGTTCTAAGGCCATTGAAATCACTGAGAAAGTTCCCGGAGATGCGGTTGTTGGTAGGAAGTCTGTTCGGGTCCTTCCACCTGCTGCTGGCGATCGTCGTTCTCATCGCCATGGCGGTGTTTTGCTTCGCGGTCGTCGCTACCTTGTACTTTGGGGATGCGTTGGACTATCGCTGCGTGCCGGACCCGTACTACGACCCGGGGCGAGGGACATTTCATGGTTTTAAACCTTATACAGATTTTGCAGCGTGGAACACGTCGCAGTTCCCGGACGCGGATTTGACGGGAGGCCAGTACTGGGACTCGGCGGAGAACTTTCGGGCCTATCAATCGTTGTTAGAGGAGAACGAGAAGGATCGGTACGCCCGCAACCGGTTTTTAGTGTCTTCCTACTGGCGGTCGTTGCAAGGCGTCTATCGCGACTATAGGAAGGACCTCGTGCCGCACTACACGGAGTTCCCCTACTTCGCGTCGTTCTGCGGCGAGTGCGACACGTGCCACAAGTGCCAGGGCTGCTACAGCGACGACCCGGCCGACGGGTGCGACAAGACGATCTCGGGGGATTTTTTTAGGAGGTACGGCGACCCTTCATTATTAAAGAAGACGTTCCTCAACGCGTCGATGGACGACCCCTGGCCCATGCCTGGTGTGTCTATCCCGTACACGCACCCGCGGACGCCTTCTCCGACGGTCGCGCCGTCCGCGGAAACGGTCTCGCCGACGGCCCGCGGCCAACCGGCACCGACGCCGCTACCATCAGCATCGACGGTGCCGTCGGCCATGCCGTCGACGTCCATGCCGTCGGCCTACCGCTTCGTGCCGAACCGCGCCGATCCCTCCGTGACGCGCATCACGGAGGTGTGCGTCGATCTCAAATTGTCGACGTCCGAATCCATCGGCCCCGACGGCATGCTCGTGCGACCGAAGGTCTCGCTCGGCGGCTTCTTCACGGAGATTATTGGTTCCAAACTAAACCTCGGGTATAAGAACATCGATGATATGAAGCATGAGAAGGCCATGCCGCCGGAAAATACGGCAATTAAGCTAAAGCGAGACGTGGCGAACTGCGAGGTCGACCTGAAGACCGCGAATGCGGTCTTCGAGCCCTACTGGCTCATCAGGAATGCGGAGCAGCGCAATGCGAACTGTTCGGCAGCCTTCCAGGGTGGCGAGTACCCCGACTCCTTCTACGAGTTATGTAGTGGTACGTATAAGAAGGGCTGGGACGACTTCTACCAGAGGGACGAAGTCATCCTGAATCGCATAACAGACCACAAATGTAAAATGAGGGGTGGTCTGTCCTCGAAGACCGGGAGTCATCGCCACGGCTTCATGGGCGACAAGTACCCGCGCCACAAGCAATTGGTGTGGTACATGCGGTTCGACGGCACGATCTGGAGTCTGCTCCCGTGTGGAAATCAACCAGTGGGCTCAAACTCGGCCACGACCTCCGAGAGACCCCGGATTTGACCTTTGACGTCCCCGCAGGTTTATTAACAATTTTTGATGTGATGAACATGGAGAACTGGAACGACGCCATGTGGGCCATGCAGGCCGCCGTCGGGAAGTACACGTGGCCCTTCTTCTACGCTGTTGTTGGTTTTGTCAATATATGTCTGCTGAACTTGTTTCCCGCGGTCATGTCGTTCAATTTGCGCAAGGCTATCCGGGAGGAAGAAAATAGGATCGCGTATGATGCGAAAGCGGCCTTCTTGGGCGACGAGGTCCTGTCCATGACGCAATTTGAAGAACATATGATAGATATACTGGCGGCGGAAGAGGAGGACGTGGTGGCCGTGCGGAACTACGTGGAAGGGCATGGGAGTGCTACGCTCAATCTGGTGCAAGCGGAGGAGACGGATCCTCTCGAGAAACTACCGGGCGTGCCGCAAGGCGCGTGTGCGGAAGCACTGAGGGCTATCGTGAGACCGGAGATGGGCCGCTTCTCCATGTTTATATATGGGTGCATCCTGGGCAACTTGTTCACGATGGCCATCAACCCGCTGCACGCCGAGAGCACCAGTGGTAAATGGTTAAGACCGAAGCACATCTCGCAGACGATCTCTATCCTAAACATGTTCTTCACGTGGGTCTTCATCCTGGAGGCGTTGATTAAGTTAGCTTGTTTGGGGGTTGCTGGTTACTTCTACGATGGATACAATTGTTTCGACTTTATCCTCGTGTTATTTTCTTGTTTGGACGTCATGGCGGAGATCGCGCTCGGCACCGCCGGGAAATCGGGGAATGTCATGTTTTCGGGAGGTTTTTTCAACATGTTACGGGTGGTGAGGATGTGTCGCTTGCTGAGGGTGTTGCGGTTGATATCCATCAGTAAGATCCATCGCAAGAAGTCGATGGCAGCTTCCCAATTGGATTTTACGCGCTTGATGGGCATCATGGCGTCGGCGTCGATCTGGGTCGCTAACGTGTTGGGATTGCTGTTCTTGGTGGTCTACATGGGCGCCATCGTCTCGATGCAGTTTTTTGGGGGCGAGGTCTACGCCCTGAATGATTTTAGTGGGAGGTGGTCCAAAAGAGGTAGATTGAACTTCGACACGTTCGGCATGTCCTTCATCACGAATTTCGTGGTCATAACGGGCGACGGCTGGAACGAGGTCATGTATTCCACGATGCACGCGTGTGGCGGGATTTCGGCCGTGTACTTCGTACTCATACTGGTGATAGCGAGGTACGCCATCTTATCCATGCTCATCGCGATCATCTTCGACCAAGTCGAACGCGATTCGATATTGGTCATAAAGCAGGCGGCCCAGACGGCCATGGTCGCGGTGTTTAAATTCGAGCGGGGTATGTTACATGGGCTGTTACGGTTCTTTTTCGTGAAGTGGTTCGCCGCGTCGAGGAGCGCCTTTGATGACGCCATCGAAGAAGACAAGAAGGGCGGGATCAGTCTAGCGGCCCAGCCGGAGCCACCTTTAACAAGGTGGCAGCGGTTCATGCTCATCGACAAGACGTGGGGCCTCTTCCCGCCCGACAAGCAGCCGCGGCGCTTCATCAAGTGGCTGGCGGCCTCGGAAATTTTCGAAAAAATAATGTTCGTGACGATCATGGTGTCGGTGTTTGTATTAGCGTTGTACTACCAGTACCGGAACACGCACTTGCACGCGACGGACCAGAGGAGGGGGGAAATGTCCGAGATCACGAGGTGCGACCCCGCGTTCCCGGCGGACCTGTGCGGGCCCCACCTTGAATCATTATGGTTCATCCAGCGCGTCTGCATGTTCATTTTCGTGGCCGAGTTTTTTATTTTGACCATCGCGAACGGTTTATTTGCATATTTATCAAGTTTCATGAACTGTTTGGACTTCTTCGTGACTTCGTTATCGGTGATCGCGGCGTGCGGTGTTTCGGGAGTGTTACCTTTTATGATCCTGCGGATGACGCGAATAATAAGACCCCTGAAGAAGTTCGTCCAGTCAAGTCCGGCGATCATGTCCATTTTAACTGCATTGGAGAACTCATCGAGAGGATTGTTTGCGGTCATAACGTTCGGCTTCTTCGTGTGGACGACCATAGCGGTCGTAGGGATGCAGTTGTACCAAGGTAAGTTAAACTACTGCACGGCGGCGACCTACCCCAAGGGCATGTTGCTAAAGGCCTTCGCACCGGACAAAATAAACCACTTCGGCCATTCTTTGGAAAATTGGCCCTACAAGCAGTTCAAGTATGGTACTTTTGATGGGCCGAACGGGACTTATAGTGATGGCCTACCGTACCACGGCTGGCCTAGTGGAAGAACGATCTGGGGCCCGAACGCTACCAATAGTATGGGCTGCAAGGTCAAGTATCCCATAAAACATCCGCAGTACAACCGGTTGGGGGAAGTTGTCGAGTCGGTAGAGTCCTTTAAGATCGAAAAGGCCTTTTATAATTTCGACAACTTCTGGCAGGCGATTGGGAGTGCGTTTGCCATGTTCACCTTCGACGACTGGCACAAGCTGGTGCTGCAGTGCGTCAACGCGAAGACCGTCGGGCCGTTCCGCAACCACGAGGCCCAGGCTTCGGTCACGATGCCGCTGTTCTTCTTCGTCTTTGCGGGGTGTAGCTCGTTCCTGATCACGTTTTTATTTGTGGGGGTGATCTATGGTACGTTCACGTACTTGCAACTGACGCGGGGCCGACGAAAAATAGCCTCCCTGAAACAGGCCCAGTGGTCCGTCTACGAGTCGAAGCTCGCCTGCATCCAAGCCTCCAAGGAACCCCAGGAACCGCGCGTGTCCTTCACCTTCACGAAGATATTTTTTAAAATATTCAGACATCCTCGGTATCGCGTAGCATATGCATTATGCTTGTTCGTCGACGTCTGGATGTTCTGGATCTTATTTGGCTCGCAAGTACCGCTCGCGACGCACGACCAGATGCATACGAAACTGAATGAGAAGGGCAAGGACATGCAGGAGTATCTTGGTAGACTAAGGGCCCTCGATTTGGTCATCTCGTTCTTCCTCATCGTGGAGTGGGTCATCAAGGCACTATGTTACGGCTGGTTCGCCACACTTACCAGGGTTGAGGAACGTATTAGGCTGGTCCTGTTGATCCCCGTAGCGTTATATTTCTTCCTCGAAGCCAGCAGAGGCTGGGAGAAGCTTCCGTTGTTCGACATGGCGTCGGTCCAGAGAGGTTTAGTTGCACTAAGGTCCACCCAGGTCTTCCTCGTGGTACCATTATTCCCAGAATTAGCTCAAGTCTACCACGCGTTGACTTGCGCATTGGGTACGGTGTTTCCCATGGTCGGCTTGATGTCCATCGTGACCTTCGCCTTTGCCGTTATAGGGATGGTCTTGTTTGGGAATGAAGTCGTACGGAAACGAGACCGAGATTATGGGTACACGGATACAAGACAAGGTATGCCGATGCCTAGGGTTTATGGAAGTTACTGGTCCGCTACTAGAGTGAAATTCTCTACTATTACCAAATCAATGAACACTCTCTTCATAGCAGCAACCTCAAATAACTGGGTCGCGACGCGCGACGCGATGCGGGCCGACCTCGACCCGTCGCTCTGGTTCGCCAATAGGCTGTTCTGGATGGCCTACATATTGTTAGTTAGATTTTTGTTCCTGAACGTCTGTACCCTGATCTACATCTACAAGTACGAATCGACGTCGCCGGACCAGCCCTGGATCGCCATGGACCAGGTCGAGGAGTTCTTGGTGGCGTGGCAGCACTTCGACCAGTACGGCGTTGGAAGGATTAGAACGAAACTACTATCGAGGCTGTTGCGGTTGTTATCACCACCTCTCGGTCTCTCGAGAGATGCGCCCCAAGCGTTGGCGGATCGCCACGCTCGTCGTATTTTAATGGCCATCCCGTTACTACTGGATGACGAGGTTAAAACAGGTGAGCCCGATTTAGTAAAAAGATGGGAAGAAGTTAGGAAGCCCTTTACCGCTTCCGGTAAAGCGGATGACCACGGGCGGCTGCCGCGGTACCTCGAATTCCATGACGTGTTGAAGACTGTACATCGCGTGGTCATGTTCCCGGAGTTGCAGGCCTTGCCCGACGACGAAGGGTTGATGCTTCGTAGGGAGTATGCGCAAGCAAAACTAGATATCTTGCGGCTGGCCGTGAATCGGTTCTGCGAGCCGGCGGCGCGGGCGATCGACGCGCACGGCGACCGGGTACCGGCTTGTGTTGCTGACATGAGTCTTGTACAGAGAGCGAGACCGGACGTCTTTCGCTATCGGCTGAGACAGGCTTTGACCTTGGAAGTCTACCGATGGCAGAAACAGATAGAATTCGGCAGATTTGACGAGGAGTCGTTCCATGAGTGTGCGTTGTTACTAAAGGCTATTAAGGAGGAACGACTCAGTGCGATGATGCAGCTGGAGGTGCTGAATCGGTTGGCGGGCAAGGGCATGCTCATGTCGCTGCAGGAGCGGCGGCCGAAGCTCCATAGGCACCTCGGCTTCTTAGATGGACTACTATCGAGGGTAGAAAACGAACGTAGCAACCACGTCAGGAAGGCCTGGCTGCCGTCGTCCATGGCCCACTCCGGCACGTTACCTTGTGCACCGAAATCTGCCACAATACCTAAAGAGCGCATGGTCTCATCAATAGCTGTTGGGGGTCGACAAGGAGACTTGATCGTGACGTGCCACGGCGGCAAGGATGTTACGGTCTGGAAGAAGCGCAAACCCAAACGTAGATCGGAAGACGACTGGTTGAAGAGTGAAGCTCAGAGGGCCAAGGAACGCGAGCAGGAAGAGAACCGGGACCCCTGGGCCTACGCCCCCTACTTCAAGACCCAGCAGCTCGAGGAGGATCTGGGCACGGCGGTCTGCGTCGCCATGACGGCTGATGGGAAGCGGTTCTTCTCGAGCGCGGGTCCCGCGATCCGCGGCTGGGTCCAAGCGAAGAAGGTGAGGGGCGGCCCCAAGGGCCCGCAGTTCCGCTGCGAGTCGATCATGCAGGGCCACACGAAGGACGTGACCTGTCTGAAGATTGCCCATCGCCAGTTGTTTAGCACGGCCGAGGACGGCGCCATCCGCATCTGGCGTTTAAGGGGTACGGATGCGTTACAAAGCGCTACACTATCGATGACGGCGCCGTGCACGTCGCTGTGTTTACTGGATACGGCGACGGAACCTCGGGACATGTCCGGTTTGCACGCGGTCGCTGGTCTACGCGACTCGTCGATTTGTGTGTTGCCCTACTCCCTGAAGTCGCAGTGGCTCCAGGGTGCCGTCTGGAACGCAAAACTCACCGTGAAATGCTCCGACGCGCCCGTGACGGTCTTGGACTTCCGGCATAGGTTGCTGTACGCGGGCACCGCCTTAGGTAAGATCCACGCGTTCCGACCGGTGAGTGGCGCCGAGGACATGGGCACTTTACAAAAAGTCGCGAACGAGATGGAGCGGTTAGGCTACGGGAGATCAGCGGAGGAGTTCGCCAAGACGGGGTTGTCCGATGGGAGATCCGCCGGCTCGCCACTACGGGAAGTCGTTCGATTAGACCGGGCCTTCGTGCTAGATTGCCACGCGGCGGCCGTAACGTCGCTGTGTCTGGCGGGCGGCGTCTTTTTTAGTGCCGGCGCGGACATGGCCGTCGTGTCGTGGGCAAAACCCAAGGATGATAGAACCGCGCAGTTCCGGGCGATCCCCCAGGCGGGCCAGGCCGCCCCCAAACGACTTAGTCAAGCGTATTCCCATGCGAAAGTGGTCCATAAAGCTCCTATTACCGCGATGGATGTTGCTGGGGATCTCTTGTTGACGGCGGACGCGGATGGGAATGTCTGCTGCACCGTGGCCAAGAGATTTCGGGAAATTGTGGATACGAAAGCTACCGAGGCGCAGGATGAATCATTTCTGGAAGAGGAAGTGCTCGAGAAGCCCAAGTTTTTTCATCAGAGGGAGCTGAAGGAGCTGTCGGCGAGGCACTTTTTAGCTCATCTGCTGGCCCATTACTACCCCATGCGGCCCTTGAGTCATGCGGCCAAGGGCCACGCTCCTGAAGAGGATATACCACAGGAGGAGGAGGAGTCTTCCGATGAAGAATATCTCGACGATGCATTTGTCGCGGGCGGGTTCACTCATGAAGATGAAGATGGGGATACCGGGAGGGTGCCGTCCGGCGACGAGCTCGAGTCGGACGAGGAGAGTCTCGAGTCTATGAGTTCGGAAGGGTCGGAGAACAGCGGAGAGGACGGCTTCGTTCCCCTGCCGTCCGAGTCGGAGGAGGAGTCGGAGTCGGAGCTGAGTTCTGTCTCGGGGTCGGACTCCGAGGAGGATTCGGAGGCGGAGCGGGTTTATGAGGCGTAAGCTTTTGGTTTTTGTAACTTAGTGCTGGATTTACACTTCGCCAGACGGCGTTTCGCGGGCGCGGAGGACGACTCGCGCGTTTTGCAATTGCTGCTCAATCCCCGTTGTGAGCGGATGCGCAGCGCCAAACACGCGCCGCGCGGTCCGTACAATGTCCTCGAACGTCGTTACGGCCTCGCGGAGATCTTCGAGCGTGGCGCCGGCGTCATAGGGCCTCCGCGGATCATGCTGGGGGAGCGCATGCCTTTTACGCGGCGGATGACCGGGATCTGTACACACCCGATGGCCATTTCACGTACGACAAAAAGAAGGACGTCTTCAAGTTCGCCTACTACGGCGAGGTTTCAACGGGACATGGGACGCATTCCAGTGACGAAGTAGAGTACGGCTACGCGCCGGGCGAGCCCAAAGACGACCAAGTCAAGCTGTGGAAGAAGTCGTGCGAAAAGGACGGCTGCCCGGGCATCTACAAGGTCTTCATGAATTGTTTAGGCCACTATGGGGGCGGAGGAATGGGTCCCAAGTGCTACCTCAATTTCTACTGCATCAAGTCCGACACCGACGAAATGTACCACGACTGCTAGACGCCGTCGCCGCAGCGCCGGCCGGCCCGCGCCCAAGCAAGAGCGGGTCTTTTTGGCCGCGATCGACCCTGGGACGAAGGAGTGCTGTTCGTTCCGCGATCCCGAACCCCGCCTCGCCGGCGCTGCATACACAAGAATTCGTATTGATTATATCCCTCTTTCCCTCCCCCTCGTCGTCCGCTACGTACGTGTCCCCAACGTTTAACATAGTAGTACGTCATTATGATGCCTCTAGAGGCCGCCGCGATTACCCACCCGCACTTCACGCGCTGGGCGTGGCGCGTCGTCGACGGCGCGCTGGCCATACTTGGCGGCCATCTGGCGCCAGAGCTCGGGTTCGTTCTGGCCCCATTTCCTCATGATAGCGTCGATCCTTCCCAGCCACATCGCGGGGTTGTGGCGCTGGTAGAAGGCCACGAGGCGGCGGTACAGGTTACATTCGAGGCAATACCGCAGACCGAGCTCTCGCTCCCACTCCTCCTCGGAGAAGCCATCGCGCGCTTCGACACATTCGCATGCAGTGCAATATTTCTTGAAGGAGGCATCCGCGAGCCACTGGTCGACGATCTCCTGCGGATACTTCTCGCAGAACGCGTCATCCGCAGCCATGTTGACGCCGACCGTCGGCACGACGCCGCGATCCTTGACGAGGTGCTTACAAACCCTATAATACTCGCCATCGTCGTCGCATTGGGAATCTATATACGCAGCACAAAAGTCTAGATCGAACTCAAAATCTTTGTACCCGCCGCCTTGCCATCCCCGGTGGGCCAGCTTACTCCCGCTAGACACCACGAGCTGGGGTGAATGGCTCACGAGTTCCTGGGCCCAACATCCTAAGTCATAGTTGCAGTTCCTGTGCGCGATGTCCAGCGCGAGCTTCGTGGGCAACGCCCCGAGGTTAAGCAGCGTATTCGCCTCACCTCCCCTATCATGCACATCCGGGTCGGACACGGCGAGCTCCAACGGCGTTATCGGTACGTCGGGCAGGACGCCATGCCATCCGGTAGGTCGCGAAGTGCAGTTATCCCAGACCTCGTCCGGCGTCTTGCCGAACACTCGACTGTACCGCCAAGCGCCGTGTCGCATGATACCCGTCCTTTTGATGGCGTAGGGCGGGAGGTGTCGCTCCTGGAGCGCCTCCGGGAATTCCTTGGCGATGAGAGCGAGTTCTTCTTTGGCGCTCTCGTCGAATCCATATTTCCCGTGATAGCCTCTCTCGCTCGTCGGCATCGCGTTATATAGCGCGTTGTCCCGCAGCGTCGTGACCGTGAGGTGCCACACGCGCCGTGCCGCCCGGCGCGCCGCAAGCGGTTTCAACTTTAAGAGCGCCACCAACCGCTTATTCGTCGCAGCCAGCAGCGCGCACCGCGGATAGCTCAGGCCCTGCATCACTTGCAACCATGCATCGTCGGGCAGGGATTTCCGTGCTTGCGCGTTGTCGAGGGGGTCTCGGTTCATGTTGTATGTCACGAGAGCACCCCGGATCACAGTGAAGTACGGGGTCGGCTGTCCGCGCGCGGAGGCCTCCAAGTAGGACGCCGCGCGGTCCCGCGCCGCCCGCACCTCGCTCCAGCGCGGTCGCTCCGCCAGCGCCTCTTCGCACAAATCTACGGCTGTTTCCCAGTACTCGTCCTTGAGCGCCTCGTTAATCTCGACGAGGTGGTCTGCCATTCGCGCATCGTCGTCGTACGGCTGCTCCGGTTCGAGTTGGTCATCGGCATTGGACACGTCCGTGTCGTCTACCACGAGTTCCCAGGAGCTTCGCGCTCGTGCTCTGCCTCTGGCACTCATGCTTTGCAGCTCAGTCAAGTTCGGGCACCGCACAGTGGCAAACAGTTCAGGAATCGGGTCCTCGGGCACCGCACAGTGGCAAACAGCTCAGCAATCAAGTCTTCGACAAACTTAGCAGCCTACTCGTGTAGCACACCTCACAATAATGGCTGCCGGGGGGACGTCCTAGTGTCTTACAGGACGCTAGCAAAACACAGCGATTGGCTGCTGTGGCCCATCTACCAGCCGAAAGACGTGCCAGAATCCATCAACGGCATTGACTTACAGCCCATGAGTGGCAGCATAACAATCCGCATCTTGATTGGTGGAGCTTAGCCCAAAAACAGCACCTGGCGCCAGCCGCGCAATTTGGCACATAGCCAGCCCTCGGCTAGCCAAAAGTTGCCAGCAGCTATGCTCCTCATCATCAACCTCGACGCGCGCCAGGACCGCCGCGCGTTCATGGACCGGAGCTGCGTCGCGCCGCTCCGCGCCATCAAGACGGACGTCGCCTACGTGCGGGCCGTCGCAGCCAGCGAAGCAGCTTCCGCGCAATCTCTTTCATCCTTCGAGCTTGATGAATCGAAGCTCGAGGCGCTCCTCGACGCCTGGCACAGTTCGGGATGCGAGGCCGTCGCCCGGTCGGGCCTCGAGCGCTACTACTTGCGACCGGTATCAAATGAGGAGAAGGCGTGCACGCGGTCCCATCGATTAGCTTGGCAAAAAGCAAAAGAGGCCATGCGCGAGGATGCCGACCTGAAGTGGGTGCTGATCGTCGAGGACGACTGCGTGCCGTGCCTGCACCCGGCCGCCGAGTCGCAGTGGAGCGCCTTCTACGGGCCGGCCTGGCAGGTCGCCTGGCGCCACATCGCCAAGGCGATGGAGAGTTGTGGAGAGGACTTTGATTTCGTGTATGTGGGGCGCCATAGACTCGGCCCGGAAGACGAGTCGGACGCCGTCGTGCGGCCGGCGGGCTTCTCGTCCTGCTTGCACGCGTACTGCGTCACGCGCCAGGGCTGCGATAGACTATTGGAGAAGAGCGCGAACGTGCTGCTCGTGCCGGCGGACGATCTGGTGCCGGCTCTATGCGGCACGCACCCGCGCAAGGACCTACTGTCTACGAAGGAACCGCTGCGGGCCGGCTGTTTGCAACGGGACGTCCTGTTCCAGCTCCAGTCCATCGCCCTACCAGGGGACGACGTCTACTCGATCTCGCAGTCGTCGATCGAACCGCCAGAGATGCGATCGATGCGCCAGGAGCTGTGGCGCCACCCGTCGTTATGGTTGGAGCGGAAGGATATTTTAACCTTAAGATGCTGTGGGCGGGAACCTTTGAAATCCCTTAATGACGCAAGCGCGTGGCGCCGCGTCGTCCTCATCTGTGTGGAAATCAAATTTCAGGCGCCCCACGCCATCGACGCGATGTTGTCTCCCTAGCTATGTCTGCTCGATGGCGTGAGGGTCCACAAAGGTCCACGCAATATTTCTCAGGATAACCTAACTCACTGGTTGATTCCACACAGGTCCTCATGGCCGACGATGATGAACGGCCCCACAACGTCTTCGACGGTGGGAGACACGTATCCTTCTCTGAGAATGATCTAAGTGCGGTAAACGTCTGGGAGGCGCTGTGTCGGAGGAACCACGGCGCTTCGTCACTGTTACCGTGGAACCCGCGGCCGCGTTTACAAAAGCCGCTGCCGGACGTCGATCGGTTTTCGGCGGAGAGGTGCCTGAAACCCGCTAATCCTCCGTCGGCGTCGGAACTCATAGCGCACGGGGGCTCGCCCTTTCTACTGTCGAATTTCTCCGAGACGCGGGCCTCATTAACGGATCTCGGGAGTCGACGGTGGCGCTGCTCGACGCAAGGGGAATTGAACTGCAGGTGCACGGCGGAGGACCTGCAGAAATATAGTAACGTGACGACGGATGACGACCCCCTGGTGTTATTTGACCACGAGGACCTCCCCGAGAATCTAGTGATAGAACCACCATCATCGATGCGCGACGACTTGTTGGAGGACTTTGCATCCAAAACCGAGGAGCTCTGGCGCGACGCTGAGAGTGGAGCGGCGCAGTTGTTGGGGAGGGAACGTAAATGGATAGTGGGAGGCGGGCGCGGCGCGGGAAGCCAGTGGCACCGCGACCCCTTCTGGACGAGCGCGTACCACTGTCTGCTGTCGGGGCGGAAGCTCTGGTGCTTCTTCGCGCCGGCGGGCGCGGGCTGCCTGCCGCCCGGTTTAGTAGATGAGCACTCGGCGCCGGCCGCGGACGGCTGGTTCCGCGAGTGGGAACATTTGTTACGGTGCTCGGCGGAGCTCGCTGTCGACGGCGCCCTGGCCTGGTGCGTGCAGAGCCCGGGCGACTGCGTGTTGATCCCGCCCGGGCTGTGGCACTGCACGCTCAACTTGGAAGAGTCCGTGGCGTTCACGCGGAACATCGTGAACGGGCGCGACGCGAAGGCCGTGCGCGCGTCGGGGCTGGAGATCACGCGGGACGACCCGGCATTGGGGGAGGCGTACGCGCGGCTCGTGCGGGCGCGGCGGTCCGACGACGACTCGGGGAACGGGCACGAGCCCGTGCCGATGGAGGAGTGATAGTGAGGACGACGTAAATTCCCTCGCTTAGTTATTAGATTGGCTCCATAGGAACTCCCGCTTCGCGGGCGCGTGCGTTTCGCAGCCGGTCTTCGATCATCACTAGGAGCGGGTGCTGGCCGCCGAGCACGCGCCGCGCGATCGGTTCCAATTCCTCGAGCGTCGTCACAGCCTCGCGCAGATCGTCGAGGGTGGCACCCCTGTCCTGGTAGAGCGCAGCCGCGTAATTCATCTTCATCAAAATCGTGAGATGATGACTCTCTCCTAGAACGCGTCGCGCCGCGGGGATTATTTTACGCAAGACGGGCTTGGTTTCTTTGTAGCGCCGCAGATCGATAAGGAACGACGCGTGGTTGTTGGCCGCTCGGAGGGTTGATTCATGCTCTTCGCCGTTGACCCTTAAACGACCGGAGTAAACGTCTCGCGACGTGCGTACGGCATCCTCGAACCTTCCAGTCTTAGCATACGTCCTCGCGAGATTGTTCTGCACGGCAAGCAATTCGTGTTCCGATGCGCCAATGCGTCGCTTCATAGCCAACTCGGCCTCTTGCACGGACAATGCGTCCTCGTAGTGTTCTACTTCGTGTAAACCCATCCCAAGCACGTTCATCGCCAACTGCCGAGGCCTGTCCGTCTCCGGCCGCCCCAAGTACGCCTTCCAGCAGGCCCACCCGAGCGCGCCCCGAACGACGCCGTGGTATTCTTGCTCGCACAGGCTACACGAGTACCACCGTTTCCACCTCTCATTCCCCGCCTTGTCCCAATTATTCTCTTCCGCCTCCGCAACCAAAATCTTCGCCTGCTCCGCCAAACACGACAAGTGCGCGAAACCTGCCGTCCCGCGGCACGCGCACCCGCGGATGAGACCCTCCTTTGTCTTCCAGTGAAGGGCTTGCGTGCAGATGTAGCACGTCTGGCCCTTCGTGTCGTCCGCGCATTTCTCGACCGCGACCGCGACGGCCTCCTTGTATTTTTTGTCGGCATTATACTGTTCTGCGTTGCCGCCGCGGTGTATTTTCTTGCACATCTGCTTGTGGCCGCGGCGCCAGTGGTCGTGTTGGCAAGTCGAGTCACAGTATCTTAGCTTACAGCGTACGCATCGCGGCGCGTCGTGGGCCAGTGGGGCGGCGCAGGCGGGGCAAGTTGTGAGGATCATTTTGCGTTGGCGGGGCGTCTGTAGAGCGTGCGCGTCGCGGACGGCGAAATAAAACAGGTTTGAGATGGCGTCTTGGTGCTCGTGGACGTCGCAATTACGACCCAGGCAAGCGCGCCCGTCGGCGACGACTGAAGCATGCGCCGCCGCCGCCGCGTCGGGCCGCGGGCCGTCGCGCTCGCCGGCCTGGCTTGTTGCCTCTCGACCCTCTACATTTTCCGCGGCACGAGTGACGAGGGCCTCCTCAGGGACGAGGGCGAGCCGGGCCGCGTGCCGCCCGAGCCGGAGCTGAAGACGCTCGTCGTTGATTTGTGCCAGACGCACGTCTGGTCGCAAGACACGAAGCTATCCATCCGCGAGGCGTCGACGCAGGGGAAGCGGAGCGACACGTTCGTCGTCAGCGCGTCGTGGTTCTCGTCGGCATCGCCGCGAGAGGTCTTCGTCGTCGCGCGGCCGGGCTACCGCGCCGGGCGCGACGACGCCCTGACCGAGCTCGCCGGCGAGCGCGGCTGTGCTCCAAAAATATACTTCATGGGAGCGGTCGGCGACCACCACCTCACGATCTCGGAGCCCGCCGGCGCGCGCGTCGGCGGCGATTTCTTGAGATGGCGACCGGCTGTGTGGAAATCAAAATTTTACGGCGCGTTCGTGCTGAATCATCGCGTCGTCCTCCACGCCATCGACGCGATGCCTGCTCGATGGCGTGGCGATGCCGGTTCCTCACCGCTCGACCTTGCCAGGACGGCCGCGCCATCGCCGAGAAACGACTTAGTGAAGAATTGTCGGGTGCACCCGACGCACTGGTTGATTTCCACACAGGCGACCGGACAAGCGCCTGGCGCGGGCGTACGGCCGGGCCGTCGCCTGCGTCCACGGCCTCGCCGACGACCTCAGGCAAGAGTGCGCCCGACCGCCCAAAAAGCCCGTGGACGCGCTCGGCGCCGCGACGGTCGGCGGGTCGCTGGCGAAGGCGCCGCCGGCGTCCTGGCCCCGGCGCCTGCGGGCCGTCTACCGGTTCGCGGCGGAGCGCTCATCGGCCTGGGCGCGGTCGCGCCTCGCGTCGCGCTTCGTCTGCTCGCACGGAGACTTGCACGGCTGGAACGTCGTACGCACGGGCGACGCGATAAAGATCCTGGACTACGAGGACGCGCACGAAGGAAGCGCCATCCAGGACCTCGCGCGCTACGCGCGGAAGCGGCATAGAGCAAATGTCGAGACGATGCTGCGGGCGTACCACCGGCGAGCCTTTGTCGGCGAGCCTTTGTCGGCGACTCAAGTCCGCGACATGATTTTCGATGTGGAGATCGGTTTGGCTCACGAAGTACTGTATAAGCTGACGACCTGTCCGGAGCTCCCCGGCGGCGGGTGCCGAAGATTCCACATCCCGACCTACGTGTCTACCGTGCGCCACCTGCCGCCGGGGAAGCTACCTGCCGGGCCAAAGAAGCAGTCGCGCGCGCAGCTCGACACCGTCGAGGCAGCGTACTCTGCGCTCGACGCGGCGTCCAACGGCGACGACGCGCTCGCGGCGGACATCGTGGCGATCGGCGTGTTCAGGGCGTCCCAGAGGCGTATGTGGGCGCTGCTGGCGCGGAACGTGACGGAACACTAACCACAGATAATTTATACACAACTCACCGCCGACTCTTCTCCCGCCGCCGCTTGTTCCGCACTTGCTCCGCGTTCCGCCGCCGCAACGCCGCGGCCCGCGCGCGCCGATCGCTTTCCGAAAGGGGCCGCCTCAAATATGAAACGCCCGCCGCCGTCGCCGCCGCCGCGACGCCGGCAGCCGCCTTCTTGCGGTAGGACGACCCGCCCGCCGCCTTTTCCACCGCCGTGAAGAACGCGCCCGGCGACCGCACGACCAAGGCGTTGTTCATCTTTGTTCCGACCTTGCTATCAATAGCCGGGTCGATCTGCGTCAGCAGCGTCAGGCGCGTGCGGCCGTTCGGCGCCGGCTCGACGACGTTCGCCGCTAAGAGGATGGCCCCCCGCGCGTACTTCTCGGTCACGGGCCGCAGAGGGTGCGTCGTCGCGCGATTGACCACGCACCGCGCGCCGCCCTTCATCTTCGTGAAGTGGCACAGCGTCACGAAGTCCCTAGGACGAAACGGCCCGAAATTCTTCGTGGCCGACCACGACACCTTCGTCTGTTCGTCGAGCCGCGCGATGTCGTGGCACTCGTCGCAGAACTCGTTGAATTCCTTGGCGCGCTTCGCGTCCGCAAACAACGCATAGACTTTATCTGGTGGGGCGTCGATGATGCCCTTCGCTAGGACACAAGCGTGCTTTTCATTATCTTTCCTCCGCCAGACTTTGGTGCGCGCGCCGTCCTCGGAGATTTGCGTCCAGCGCGGGTCACGCTCATCAATTAAAGCTTCGACCGTGGCCACGGCGGCCGCGTTGTCTCGCCGCAGCGACCTCGGTGATGGTCCGTCGGTCGCGTCGAGGGCGATCGATTGCTTGGGCTTTGGTACGAGCCTGGCGCGCAGCTTTGTGAGTGGTGTGGCGCGCGCCGTTGCGGCAAGGAGCAGCAATGCGGCGCCGCGCATGCTGGCTGTGGCTGCCCAGTCTGGTTTCGCGGTGCAGCGACGGCGTGACACCGTGCTTTTGCAGCTGTGGGCTGCGGCGATGTCTGCGCCGTCTCTAGCCCCGAGAAACTGAGCAATGGCAGGGATTATGCTGCAGATGACTCGACCGCGATTTTGGACAGCTAGCGGCCTGTAACACACTAGCAAGGTTTTACGAATGCGTCGCCGCCCACGACATTCGTCCAGAACGAGCCCGCGCACCGCTCCTCGCCGCAAAGCGGTGCCGCTGGACTCCCTTGCAAACAAAGAGAGGGCAGCCTCAGCGCCCCAAGAGTGAAAGCCGGGCAGCGCGTCGCATCGGCCTCTGCGCGTCTAGAATCGCCGGAGCTGCATATATATTGCTGCCTCCCATCGCTTCGGGACACGTGCTTGCTGCATCACTCGGTTAGGTGGGGCGGCCCCTACAGCGCACAAACATGGCCTGGAGCGAGCAGCGCACGCTCAAGCATGGCCGCGACGAACATATTGTGAGGCGAGGCGCCGACGGCGTCTATCATCTGGGACCGCCACCTAAACGCGCCGTCGAGCTGCGGAGCCCGCCGAAGGTGAAGCCACCTCCGCCCAAGGTAAGAAGGCGCCCTAAGACCGTTGTAGCTGAGCCCAAGGACGGCCCCTCGGACCTCCAGAAGCGGTCCACGAAGTTTCAAGTCGAGGCGAAGATGAACTACATGCGCACGAACGCGGGTCGCATCGAACTCATCGACCGACTCGAAGAGTACGAGCGGCAGCACCAGCTCGCGCCGATCGTCGACGAGCCGTCCCGGAACTTTATAAGGGAGAATCTTGAGGTGGAGTATCCCGACGAGACGAGGAGGCGACTAGCGGATGCAAGGCGAGCTACGATAGCAAGGAGGGAACGGGCCGTCATCACCAAGAACGAGCGGGAACAGCAGGAGATCACGCGACGGAACATGGCGTCGCACGCGTACAAACAAGTAGCACAAAAACGAAACGAAGAGCTCGCGAAATGCGTTTCTCGCTTGAACCGGTCGCAGGGGTCCGCGCGCTGCCGCAGATGGTTGGGATTGTACGTCACGGGCCTGTGGACCCTGAGACAAAGCGAAGCCTTGGCGCGAGACCGGAGAAAACGCGCGAACTTGAAGAGGATGCGGGCCACGCTCCAGATCATCCGCTTTTTACATAAGACGTGTAAGACGCGGACGCTGCACCGCGCGGCGTCCACGATATTGTACGTGGCTCGGTTGTTGAAAGCGCAGAACGGGTTTCGCATGGCCTGCAAGAAGCTCTGCTTTTGTGTGGTTCGAACGCAGCGGTGGTGGAGACAGCGTTGTCTCTGTACGCATGCTACGGAGGAACTGGCTTCATTGCAGTGGTACGCCTGGGCTAAACGAAGGGACGTTGATAGAATAACACCGGAAATTCGAAAACGATTGATACGGGACATGTGGCGCGACAGGCGGCAAAAGCACTTTTTGGCCATGATCAACTGGGAGGCCTATGACCTCAAGCCTTTATTGATCGAGGCGGTGTGCATGGCGCGCGACCGGGGCTCGCGCGGGGAAGTGAGGGTCTTCTGTGAGGAGGTGCAAAAACGGGGCGACATGACGTCTACGGCGTACCGGTACGGGATTGATGTGCATGACCTCGTGCCGCCGCCGCGCATGGCGCGACTTTTGACAAAGAAAGAGATCGAGAAGCTCCAATCGTTAGGGGCGCAGCAGATGGACGTCGAAGCTAGGAACATGCTCCTGGGGTTCACGTAAACAGTTATTAGTCAGGCGTTTCACTAGCCTTCGCGCGGTCGCAGCACGCCCTCCACGCATCGATGAAGTCCCGGCAGTACTCCTCCTTGTGGTTGCGACGGGCGAGGCACCACTGGATGGCGCACGCCTCCTTCTTGCACATTTTCTGTTCGATCGGGGCGTCGTCGGCGTGCTTCTTGCCGGCGCCCGTGTAGATGAAAGCGCCGGTGTGGCGCGACATTTTATTACTTGGACAGCGTCTTCGAGAGCGTCTTCGCGAGCTTGAGTGCCTTGGCGGGATCTTTCTTCACCTGCTCTACAATTTTTTTACGAGTCTCGGGGTTCTTGAGCGCTTCCTCGCCGGCCTTCTTGGCGACCTTGAGGGCCTGGCCTTTGGCTGCTGCTTTGAGCGCGTCCATATGGGTCCGCTGCTGTGGGGGCTGCGTGCAGTGGTGTGGCTAGATGGCGCCTTGCGACGTGCGAAGACTATCTGCAGCGCGAAAGCACAGCACGTAGACGACGAATATCAAGGAAACGGATCACAGTAGCTACGCGATGCTGAGCCCCAGCTTTTTTGGCAGTCCCACGGCAAGCGGCACCGGGTTTTTTTCAAAAACCCGTTTTGGACTGTATTTACAATCAGCCTAGGGAGGACTCCGTAGAGGAGTCCTAACTAGGCCTCCTCCCATGGGACTGCTTTTTTGGGCTTGCCTTTTCGGGTTGCTAGTGTCTTACAGGCCGCTAGGTCGAGGAAGGCTGATCTTCCGGGGATACTCGTGCCGCGGGTGTGCCGGAGAGCCTGGGAACGGTCCGGAAACGGGACCCTTAGCGGCATCCTAGTGGCCGCTGCGAATGGAGGCCGCACAACCGATTTCGGAGGCTGCCCCGCGCGTCGCACCGGTGCCGAGCGCAATCGAGACTTCGTCAATACTGCTGCGACACCGCAAAAATCCAACGTGCACTGCAGCAGCGATGGCCGAAGCCTTCGTCAACGCCATCAGCGCGGCGCTCACCAGTAACACCTACGGCATCGCGGGAGCCTGCGCGCCCTCGAACGGCGGCGTCGTCTTCACGAATGCAAAGAAGCAGGCGCGACTCGTGCCGGCGCCGGAGTTCGCGCGCCTGGCCGCGGCCTACGGGAACGCGCCGACCGAGCAGCAGAAGAGCGCGCTCGTCGAGTGCGCCTGCCGCGCTTATGTTGGAGGTGCCGCCGACGTTCCGAGTGGATGGGACGACGCTAAGAGTAGATTACTTCCACAGCTCTGGACCCTGTCCAAGATAAGGCAGAAACAATCGACGCTGCCGCCGGGCGTCGTATTACCGTACTGCGGGCTCCATGGCGAGGACGACTCGACGCTCTATGATGTTGGGGTGGTTTTAGTTTGTGACTTCGCGCCCGAAGACGCGAACAACGCGCCGTCGCTCGAAACGGTCGTATTATCCAAGGATATCAGAAACTGGTCGATAAGTTGGACCGACGCCTTGCGAAGCGCGCTGGACAACCTGCGCCAACGGACTCGAAGGCTGGAGGCCTCTTCTGGCTTCCAAAAGAGGTGGGAGCACCATCCTTCCGGATGTGGGTCTACTCTATGGCGGGATCGATACGACGCCGCGAGATGTGCGCTACTACCCTCAGTCGTAGCTAGAAGAAAGAGAGAAGACGGCCAGCCCGAGCCCGGCGCGCACGTCTGCGTGTTCGCGGCGCGGGGCTTAGCTCTGGGCTCCACCTCCAAAAACGCGCTGGGCTTGTGTTACCTCGGGGACGTCGTGCACACGAAGATCAAGCCTACCGGCGACATGCTCTCGGCCCAGGCTTATCGATTAGTGAAAGTGAAGACCGCTCCGGGTCGAAAGCACCCGCTGGTCCAGAAGGCCGGCGAGGGCGTGACCTGGAAGTGGCTCCCCTACGCGCCGGCTGCTCTGAGTGGAGAGTTCTCGCTCCCGACCTCGAAGGACGAGGTCGAGGCTTTATTAGAATGTATTGAAAATGGCAGGCCGTGCCCCGTCTTCGGGCCTACCGAGGACCAGCGGCGCTTTGAGGTGAGGAAGAGCGCGTTCGACGGGAGCAAGGCACAAGGGAATGCTTCTTTCCAAGGGAAGGACTGGAAGGGCGCGTTGCAGAGTTATGATCGAGCCTGTAAGGTGGCCAGTGAAGCTGCGTCTGATAGGATGCCCCTCTACCCGGACGAGCCGCGGCCTCTCGCCGCGGTCCACGCGAACGCCGCGCTATGTTTCATGAAGCTCGCTGAAGAGTCAGAAGGTAAACAGCGGGAGGTGCTCTATGCGCAGGCCCTGAAACGGGCCATGAGCTCCGCCGAGGCCGACGGCACGTACGCGAAAGCCCACGATAGATGCGCCAAGTGCTTCGAGGCCCTCGGTGAAAAAGAGGCATCAAACGAATCCCGCAAACTATATGAAGCGTGCAAGGCCAGCGACGACGCTGTTAAACAGGACGCTAGAAGGGCGGCGCTCGCCGCGCGCCAGGCGAAGGTCGACGCCATCGCAAGACGCAAGGCCGCGATGCTGCGGACGGACGACAAACGATCGAAGCCGCCGCCGCCGCCGCCCGTCTCCGAAAATACGGCGCCGAACCCGGCTTCCACGTTCATTACTTTAGATGGAGGCGCGGCGATGCAGGACCTGGGCATCTTCGACGCGGCGCCGCCCGCGCCCGGTGGGTTGGATCTAGACGGGCTCGGGCTGTCCTCGGGGCTGTCGACGAACTTTTCGCCGTTTGGGGCGACGTCGGGGTTGTCAATGGATTAATATTGCGTTCTCTTAGTTGTTGTCGCGCCCGTCGCCGCGTCGTTGTGGCCGTCCCAAGCGTAGCGAATATTTTTCCTAGGGGGATGCGTTCTCTTATTTGCTGTCGCGCCGTCGCTGTCGCCGCGTCGTCGGGCCGTCTCCGGCGGAGCCAATATTTTTCCAACGGAAAGCTCCATATAAGGCGCTTACGCAGCGGTAAAGCTGAGCGTGTTTCCGAGTTCCAGACCAGCAAAACCCGGAGGTTTAGCGGCATTTTTTTCAGCAAAAAGTAGGGGCTCTCGTCGACCAGCACAGGATCCGCCAGCTGTCGCGGTCTTGCGTGTCGGACGAGCGCAAGGCCATTGCTTCGTATTCACCGGCGAGAGGCCTGTGGTTGTACGCGTAACCGCCCAAAAAAAGGAGAACAGCCTGAACCGTAAACACCATGCCGCGCCGGCCTTCCGACTGGGAGCGCGCCGACAGCGCGCCGGGGAAGCCCAACTTCTACCAGCTCGACGACGCGGCCGCCGAGAAGCGGAATTCGGGCCGCGAGAATTATTTTGTGGGCGCGCCGCCGTCGCCGGACGCGACACCGGTAGTGGCCAAAAAGAACATCTCTGCCGAGCTCGAGAGCGCCTCCGAAACGACGGCGGCGGTCGTCACGTCCATCACTCCCCCGGGCGCGCCGATCACACCTGTCCCCGGCCCGCCCGTGGAGACGCCGCAGACGATGACCAAATCCACGACGCCCAAGAAGCCCAAGAAGAAAAGCTTGCTCAAGACGCTCTCGTCGCCGGTCAAGGCCCTCGCGAAGAAGGTCTCGCCGCGCAAGAAGGCGCCGCCGCCGCCCGCGCCCGCAGATACGTCTCCCTGCAGCGACATCACGGCCGACCGCGGCTCGCCCATTGCCGAAGTCAGCGTCGAGGATATCAAGGCGCTCGCCGACCACGTCGATGCCGCGCTCCTCCCGTCGGCGGCGTCGAGCAAGCTGCCCGAGTGGTTCGCGAAGCTCCAGGACGCCGTCGCGCTGAACTGCTGCAAAGGCGACGCTTCGGGCGAGCGCGGCGCCGCCCAGTGATCATAGTCCCCCCCGGTACCCCTCCTCTAAGTCTCGTAGATACCCTCTTTACTTCCCACTATTGCGCCGCCGCTTCGCGAGGAGCTTTTCCTTGAGCGACGACCGCGGCGTCGTCTTCGGGGACGCGACCGGGGGCGTCTTGGCCGCCTTCTTCCGCGCCTTCGGCGCCGGTGGCGACTGAAATAGTCCCCGATCTTTCGGCTTCGCCTGCTTCGGTGGCGCGGCGTCGGCCTTCTTTGATGGAGCAGCTTTCCGCGACGCCGGCGCCGGCGGCGACTGGAAGGCGCCCCTCTTGGCGGGAGGCGCCTCGCCATTCGTGTACCCGGGATAATCATAGCCCGGGAACTGCTCGGCTAACCTTTGCCGCTTCTTCTGCTCGCGCTTCTTCAGGGAGGCCGGATTGGGCCCCTCCGACCGCTCGCGCTGCTCCTTGCCGCCCTTGCGTGGCAGGAAGGGCTTGTCCGACCCCTTGAACAGCTTCGGTCTATTCGCTGTCTCGGGCGGCACGACGTGGGCCACGAGCTGCTTGCCGTGCATGAGATACTTGTCCATCGTCTTTGCCGCTATTGAGGCCGTCTCCGCGTCCCCAAATTCAATAAACGCATAACCCTTCGAGGCGCCCGTCCGTTTTGAGCGAGATAATCTGAGGTTAGTGACCACACCAAACTGCGAGAAGAAGCCCTCCATTTCTTTTTCATAAAAACCGTGGGGGACGTGTCCTATATAAATGGTGCGGCTCTCTTCTGACTTGGGCTTTTGTTGCTTCCTGCCTGGTTTTTGTGGGGGCGCGGCCGCCTGGGGCTTCGCGGGCGCGGCGGCCTCGTCGTCACTTGAGTCCGAGGCCCACTCGGGGCCGTCGAGCGCCGCGAGCTTCTTCTCGATGTCTCTCGCTTTGGCGAGCATCTTCTTGGAGGTCGGCATGGTGCTAGTTTGATTGCTGCGGCTTGGTTTGTAGCGTTTGCTAGCGCTGCGGCTGGGTTTGCAGCACTGCAGCCTGGAGAGCGACGGTGTTGCTTGTGACCTCGTGCGTAGCAGAGATGCACGCTCGTGGTTGCAGATTGCGTGCACAGCGAAAATGCGTGCGCGACGCGCTCGCTCGCCTTGTTGCTTGCACTGGGACGTCAAACACGCTGCGGTGTGTTTTTCATCGCTGGCTAGTGTCTTACAGGACGCTAGCGTCTAGCACCGTAGATCCCCCACGTCAACACAGGAGCTCTCAAGACAGGATTTACCGAGAGAGAGAACCGGAAACGGCGGACCGCGGCAGCGACGGCGACGAAGACGCGAACGAGACCTGCGCCGCGGGCGCCGGCCTGATGTCAAGGAACTCGTTGAAGACCTCGGCCGTCGGCGCCTCGTAGAGCGCGTCGTGGAGGAAGCGCTCCAGCAGAAACGCCTTGATCGTGAGGTAGTCGACGTCGAGGTTCCGGAAGCAGTGCTGCCGCCGCCGCACGCAGGCCCACGACCGCTGGGCGTTCACGAACAACGAGACGCCGCCGGCGATGCGACTCAACCGGTCGTCGACGTCCCAGAGCTTCTGCGCGAGGCGCTTGAAATCCGAGAAGCTCCGCCATCGCCCGACGCGGCACGAGCCTATCTTCGCGACGACGAGGAACTCCGCGCGGCCCCTCCATCGCCGGCCAGCGTCGACGACTTGGACTTTGGTCAGCGACAGCGACATGGTGCAGACCTCGGGGCCCAAGGTCCGCCAGCTTCGCAACGCGCTTTCTCCCCCGAATCTATTGACCAAGGGCTATGTCTAACCAAATTGCGCTGCCAGGGCGTCATGTCGCCCTCGTCGATGCCCGCCTCCGTAAACGTCGTCGGCAGGGCGTCGCTCGAGACCCGCGCGGCCGCGGCTTCATCCGTCGTCGCGGTAACCAGTCGGACGGCGTAGGGGGCGCCGCCAGGGGTTGTCGAGGGGATCCACTCGAGCATGTTAGGTCCGGCGCGCGCTAATTGAGGCGGCAATACAATCCTTAGCCCGGCCGCGCGTCAAGGTGTCAATCAGATCAGAGCACTCAGATTTTTAGAAGAGTGAAGCGACTCAGCGCGGCCGCGCCCGGCTGGGTCGCGTACTCCGAGTGAACTGGGTAATCAAACGACTATATATATCGCCTTCCTGGCCGCTCGGAGGGGCCAGCTGTGGTGAGTTAGGCAATGAGCTAGCGGCCTGTGAGATACTAGAATTTAGTAGATAGAGCAAAAGTACTCACCACGCCGCGCGAGCCTCAAAAACCCCAAACCGACGCAAAATGATCCTCACAAATTGCGCCGCCTGCGCCGCCCCACTGGCCCACGACGCGCCGCGTTGTATTAGATGCCACACAAGATATTGTAACAAAACTTGCCAGCATGACCACTGGCGCCGCGGCCACAAGCAGATTTGTAAGAAAATACACCGCGGCGGAAACGCGGAGCAATACTATGCCGACAAAAAATACAAGGAGGCCGTCGCGGAGGCCGTCGAGGCGTGCGCGGACGACACGAAAGGCCAGGGGACAGCGTAAATTACAAAACCACAAAACACTACCCAACCCCACCGGGCGCGAACAACACGCGCACCACGCGCCCCGCCCGCGAGAGCGCCGCGACGCCCTCCTCACACAACTCGTGGACGTCGTCGTCCGCGTAGACCGCGCGGACGCCGTGCGTGCCGGGAACCGGCCGATTCGCGAAGCGCGCGTCCTGCGCGTCGAGGAGCTCTTTTAATATAGCGGCCTTCGACGTCTGCTCCAGCTTCGCGGAGCGCACCGCGACGTGGCCGAGGTGCCGGTCGTCCAGAAACGTGCGGATGCCGTCTCTATGGGAATTGCGCGTGAGCACGACGCCGCGCTTCGTGGAGGCGAGGAGCTCGACTAAAGCTTCGTCGGCGACGGGCGGCTTCTTCTTGCCTATGATTGACGGGTCGGCGCCGGCCCGCGTCGAGCACAGCGTCCTATCAAAATCCACAATGACAAAAGCTTCGCTGCCTAGATGCCGCGCGATGCGCGCCACATCATCACCATCACCTCGAACCAACGCGCACTTCTCGCACGAGTGCTGGTCGCACACGACACACCTTTTAGCATGGTGGCAAAAGCCGCGCTGCCTTCGTTTCCGTAAAGGACACGCCGCGCCCCGCGCGCACATGCCCTCTTGTCGCGTAATCCGTGCACAGCCCCAGCAGACCCCATCTCGACACCACGCGTCGAGAAATGTAGAACCTTTGCATCTCCAACAAGACGCCGTGCCATCCAAGTGGACGCGCGCGACGCGGCACCGGCCCGATTCTTTCGGCGGCGGCCAGCCCTCCTCCTTCACCCGTTTATCCGCCTCGTAGTCGTACCTCTGACAAATCTCCCTAGCTCGTACGACACCGGCCGCGACGGCGCTGAACTTTGGTGGAAGCGCGACGGGCCCGTCGTCGCCCGCATCAAATAACGGCCCGCCGTCGTTCGCCAACGCCGCGTCACAACAAAGCCGCACACCTTTCAAAGTTGCCGCCGCCGCGCGGCACGCGATGTGCTCCTTGCGTACTCGCAACGCCCTCGCTAACAACGGGTAGCTCTCATTCGTTTCGAGGGATGTAGCCTTGGCGTTCGTGTCTCTATCAATCTTTTCTAGAGAAGAGGCGGTCCTTTCTAAGACCTCGGGGGCGTGTCTTAGGGTCCGCGCGTACACGACCATTTGTTCGTGGATCGAGAGAGCTTTAAGGCCGCCGCGACACTCGACGACAGCTAGGGCGTACTTTTGTTCCGCACGAGTGCAGGCCGTCGCGTCCAACGCATCCACGACGGTGCGCGCGGGCTCCCTCGAAACGCGGTCGTCGTCGTCCTCGTCGTGCTCGACCAGTGACCTATGGGCGTCCTGCAGCTCGAACTTCAGTTCCGGCGCGGCCTTTGCTGCGCGCTTCAACAGTCGCGCCGCGCAGCCGTCCTTGACTAAGTTACAAAGGCGTTGTTGTCTCTCAACACCTTGAACGCGGGGTAAACAGCAAGTAGATTTGGTCACGTCGCGCGCATCCTGTAAGGCTTTTAAACAACCTCTCAGTTTATGTAAAGCATCCGACAACTCGGCATATTGTATTTCGGCCGCGTTCCACACGTGGTCGCGGTGGCCTCCTCTAGGTATAGCATTCTCATCCCTAAAAAAGTAGGAACCTAATGAAGCCAGACTCGTCTCCAGTCTTCGGCCCTCGTTGAACAAACGTAGTAAAATCTTCTTGAGAGCGATCAAATCCCTTCTAAATGAAAACGCCGATCCTAATCTCTTACCGACACATCGGTCCAATTGTTTCGTCTTCGCGTCACCTAACAACTGCCAGTCCCTCCACACGAGATCGATGCGGCCCTGCTCGTACAACAAACAGTTCTTTTCACAGTACTCCAAGGGATTCGAGTGGATTTTCGTGAAATGCGCGGCACACCGCTTCTTGAGCCGCGCCCCGTCGTTGGCCTGCGCTTTTCGAGCGCCATCTAGGAGTTCTCTGGCTCGCCGCGTGTCCGGGTGCTCCGTCCCTAGGATCCGTTGACACCGTGTCAAGACGTCATCTAGTACACTTTCAGCCTCGACCAGATCATCATTCATAGCATCTGGATTCGTAAAGAGGCCCCGCCCATAGTACGTCTCGAGGTCGAGCACGGCGCAGTGGTCTCCACCAAGACTGGCCCTTATTTCCGGCGTCTTGTCGCGCATGAATTGTTTAGCTTCGTCGAATTCGCCCGCGTCGACCAAAAACTCGGCTAAATTAGCCGCGTCGTAGGCCCGCTCCTCGATTGTCCCACCTAAGGTCAAACCCAACGCATAGACCTCCCGCTGTAGACTCAGCGCTTCGGCGTGCCGGCCCAGCTTCTGGAAGCACACGGCCAGATTGCCGTTCCAGCAGCGCCCGACGACGCTCCCTCCCACTTGACGTTGGTGGACGAGGCAGCACTGGTAGGCCACCAGGGCCTCGTCGTAATATGATGCTGCTAACAAGCCGTTGCCGAGGATGGTCAGAGCGCCCCGTCTCGTCGCGCGATGCTCCGGCAGGCTCCCGTACGTGTTCCAGCAGGCCCAGCCGAGCGCACACTTCAAAAGGCCGTGGTGCTCCTGCTCGCAGAGGCCGCACGTGTCCCATAATTCAGAAGGCCAGTCGTCGTCCTCGCTATCGGTCGACTCCGTCTCGGAGCCGTCCTTTTCCGTCGCGAGCTGTGCTTGTTTTACTAAACAAGACAGGTGCGCGACGCCCGTATTGCCGCGGCACGCGCACATCCTCACCAAACCCTCGCTCCCGCCATCATCCAAGCAGATGTAGCACGCCTGGTCCCCGGGAATTGCGCAGGCCTCGACGGCCTTCTTCGCCGTCTCGGCCAGCTGCTCCAGGACGCAAAAGTCCTTCAGCCGGTCGAGCGCCGCCGCGTCGACCATGCTCCCGTCGCCCTGGATGGCCCGGCGCAGCCTGCTCGCTTCGTCGGTGCTGGCGCCGACCGACGCCGGCGTCGCGCCTTGGAGACGGGCAAGCTCGTCCATTATTTCTTGTGAGTCCGCGCAGCCAATCCACTGTCCGACCAGTACTGGCGCTCTGTAGCTACCGGCGCCGCAAATCGACCGCTGCACACTGCACTGGTCTGCACCCACACTTGCCGTCGTCCAATCCGCGCGACGTTGCAGAAGGTAGTCGTACACTGCAAGTACAGATCCCACGTAGCCTGTATGGGCTGGTAGGCTAGTTTTGAGTGAGTTTTGATGTGTTGTTTGCGCTGAAAAACCTGTGACCAAAAGCGCTGCCGGTGCTTGAAAAGCACTACCGCTGCCAAACGCAACGCCTGGGCCTTCCACAGCAAGCATTTATCGCGTGCAGCAACAGCCAACCGGCAGCCGCCAGCGCTGCTGGTCTAGAAAGCAAAGCCAGCCACTGCAGCACCGATGATCAAACGCATCGCATTGCTCGCAGCAGCCGCGTGCGGCATCTCAATGCCGCGCAACATGCTGCCACGAAGAGTTAAAAGGGAAGAGACGCTCCCGCTGCACCGCGCCGTCGCGATAAGAGGAGGAGGCGACGCGCAGGACGTCGCGGCGCGCGCGCTCGGCTACTGTATCGGCGCCGGCAGCACGATTCTGTTCGCGCCCATCGTCTACACGCTCGCAACCCAAAAGTCCGCCGACGGTTTATCGTTGTCGACGTTCACCCTGTCGCTCTGCGGCTACTCGTGCAGTGCGGCGTACAACTTCAAGAAGGGCCACGCTATTTCAACATACGTCGAGAGCGTCTTGCTGGCGGTCCAGTGCGCGGTGATTTCCTTCGTCTGTGCCGTGCTCAAGGGCATCGCCGTCGAACGCGTCCTATTGGGATCAATAGCGTACGTCGGCGCGGCCCTCTTGCTATTACTGGGCAGCCCGCCACCAAGGTTATTGGCCGTCCTCCAGGTCTGGGCGACGTCGCTCCTCCTGGTCTCGTTGATACCGCAGCTCTACCTCAACTACTCGCGGAAGGAGCCGGGCCAGTACTCGCCCGTCACTGCTGGTCTGTCTGTATTAGGCAACTCGATCCGCATCTTCACGACCCTCACGCTCACGAAGGATCCCCTGCTGCTTTTGGGGTTCGCGCTCGGGTTCAGTCTGAACGCGACGCTGCTGGGGCAGATAATGTTCTACACGTAAACAAAACTTAGTACTCGACAGCTGCGGCCACGGCCTCGCGCTCGCTCTCGCACTCCTTCAGGAGCACTCTGGCCACGTCGGGCAGCGTCGACCCCGGCCCGAAGACCGCCGCGACGCCGGCCGCGTGCAGAGCAGCTCTATCCGATTCCGGCACGACGCCCCCGACGACCACAGCAATAGGCGCGCCGCGCAGCGCCTCGACGACGCGCGGCACGAGCACGCGGTGGCCGGCCGCCATCGTCGACACTCCGACGACGTGCACCTCGTGCTCGAGGGCCATCGCCGCGACCTCCTCCGGCGTCGCGAAGAGCGGCCCGGACACGACCTCGAAGCCCAGGTCCACGAGCCCGGCCGCCACGACGTTCGCTCCCCGATCGTGGCCGTCCATGCCGACCTTCGCAATTAAGACTTTCGGCCGCCGACCCTCTCTTTCTTCAAACTGGAGGCACTCCTCCCGCAACGCATCCAACGAGCCGTCGGGCGCCGCGGCCGCGTAGGAGCCGACCGCGGCCGTCGGCAGAGCGTGGTGCTCGCCCCAGACGTCCCGGAGCGCGTCCGACATCTCGCCGAGCGTGCACCGTACTCTCGCGCATTCGATGGCACGCGCCACGAGGTTGTCTTCGTCGGCAAACGACGCCGTCGACCGCTCGAGGGCGGCGCTCCGTCGTAGCGCATCCAGAGCCTCGGCGCACCGTTTTGAATCACGCGTCTCCCGAACCTTCTGCAGTCGCGCGAGCTGCTTCGCCAGGGCTTTGGAGTTGTCGACGATGCGCACGTCGACGTCCGAACTGCTGGAAGTCCGGTCGTTCACGCCCACGACAATGTCTTCCCCAGAATCGACGCGCGCCTGCGTTCTAGCGGCACACGCCTCGATGCGCCTTTTCGCTTCTCCCGATTGAACATGTTCAAGCATGCCACCAGTCACGTCGACCGCGGCCAGGATCTCCCTCGCTTTCACCAGTAACTCGTCAGTCAACGCCTCCATGAAGAAAGAGCCGCCCCACGGGTCCGCCACCCGACACACGCCGCTCTCCTTCTGTAGCAGTAATTGCGTGTCCCGCGCGACGCGCGCGGCGCCATCGGACGGCAGCGCGAGGGCCTCATCATACGAATTCGTGTGCAGGGACTGCGCGCCGCCGTGCACCGCGGCCAGCGCCTCGAGGGCCGTTCTCGCGACGTTGTTGAGGGGATCTTGGGCTGTTAATGAATACCCCGACGTCTGGACATGGGTCCGTAGCACGAACGCCTTTTCACTCGTCAAGACGTCGCCGTGCCTCTTTTTAAGTTCTTCGGCCCAGAGCTGCCTAGCTGCTCGCAATTTGGCGATCTCGACGTGGTGGTCCATGCCCATGGCGAAGAAGAAGGACAACCGGGAGCAGACCGCATCTAAATCTAAAGAAGCCTCACGCGCGACGCGCACGTACTCCAGCCCATCGGCAATCGTAAAAGCTAATTCGGTAGCAGCGTCGGCGCCGGCCTCGTGCATGTGGTAGCCCGACACACTCAGAGAATGAAACTTCGGGAGATGACCCGCGCAGAAGCCCATGATGTCGACCGTCGCTCGTAATGAGGGCCCCGGCGGGTAGATGTACGTGTTGCGGACCATGAACTCCTTCAGTATATCGTTCTGGATCGTACCCTTCAGCCTTTCTGGCGATACGCCGGACTCTTCTGCCGCTACGATAAACATCGCGAGCGTCGGCAGGACCGCGCCGTTCATGGTCATGCTCACGGACATCTTTCCCAGATCGATCCCGTCGAAGAGCGTCCGGAAATCTTCGACCGTGTCGACGGGCACGCCGGCTAATCCGACATCACCCTGCGCTCTAGGATGGTCTGAATCATAACCTCTATGAGAAGGTAGATCGAACGCCACGCTCAATCCTTGCTGGCCTTCTCTCACGGCGTTGCGATAGAAAGCGTTCGACTCCTCGGCGCTGCTGAAGCCGGCGTACTGGCGCACGGTCCAGGGCTTGGCCGCGTACATCGTCGCGTAGGCGCCTCGCCGGTAGGGGAAGACGCCGGGGGCGGCTTCGTCGTCGGCCCCGAAGTAGCACGGTTGTATCTCCAGCGATTCTTTCGTCGTTGACGTGAGGGCATCGAGGGTCGTGCCGGCCTTCTTGGCTTCGCGTTCGGCTACGGCGCGCCAGTCCTTCGTTGTGGTGAGGCACCGCCGCAGCGCTCTTGCGGAACGCATGGTATTTATGACTCCGCCCTCTTAGGTATGGGTCCGTCCGCTCGCAGTGGTCGCTGCGGGTCTTGGCTATTAGCAGGCGCGTACAAGGAACTCTAAATACGCTGTGGCCCAAAGTCCTCGGCCGACCCCTGGACCAGCAGCTAGCGGCATGTAAGACACTAGCAAGCAGTGGTCTTTGCGTAAAAGCGGCGCAAAAGACACGAACGCGAGCCCGTGAAGCAGCCCAAATTCGGCGCGGCGTCACGACTCCAGCCCTACACGCGAACCGCGCCGCGAGCCGCGCTCTTGAGCCGGCCTGTCGCGCCGGGCAACCACCCTCAGCGGCGACTGCGCCTTAAAAACAAGCCGCGCGGGGCGCATCCGTCGACGCCGCGGTCACCATGAGCGCCAGTGGTGTCGTGTGGCGGCAGCCGCGCAGCGGCGGCTCTGTTAATGCTACAAAATTCCGCCAGACGTGGAAGCCGTACGTGTCCGAAGGCGAGGCGCTCCAAAACCTCTACATAACCAACACGGGCGACAGGATTGGCGCCTTCCGTACGAGAAGTCGCTCGGGCGGTTTTTTTGGCCGCGAAACTTTCTGGGCCGAGCTCGAGAACACGGGGGACAACCTCGGGCTCCTGCTCGATGCCTTGATGTCAGCGGAGCGGGTCGAGGATGCGGCGAACTTGGAGTTAGATGACGCCATGCAGGACCTGGAGAACGACGACGGCGACGGCTTGGACGCGGAGCGCGTCAAGGCCTATGAAAAGAAGCTCCTCGTCGGCCTCGACGAGGACGACTCGGAGCCCGAGCTGTCGGAGATCAGAAAAGCGTGTATCCTCGAGTCCTATAAGGATGTGGGAGAGATAAAAAAAAAGTGTGAGGAGTTCGCGGAGAAGTTGTTCGGGCCGGAAAGGAAACACGTGCTCGTCCCGAACGAGAAGCTCGCGCACTTTCTCTGGCTCGGAAATTACCCCGACTGGTGCGACGAGATCATGAGGACCTTTAGATCGTACTCGCACCGGCGCCTCAACGGCCGCCTCCTCGCGCACGTGCGCAAGTTCCTCAAAAAGGAAGGTCGTCTACGGTGCAGAATCCCAACTTTGGTTCCTTCCAGTACGAGTTTCCATGATCTTAGAACGTTCAAGGTTCTTGTTGTTATTGGTCGATTCCTCCACAGGTCGCCTGGAAAGTATGCTGCGAAACGCGTACCCCGACCTCAACGGCGACGAAATCAAGATATTGCTCAAGCAGGAGAAGAAGAAGAAGAAGAAGGGCGAGAAGGGCAAGAAGAGCCCGTCCCTCATCCACATCGACCACTTCCTCGCCCAGCTCTCGGACTGCACCTTCAACTTCGTCGTCATGCTCAATTTCGCCAACATCCTCTTCGGCGCCACGAACCGGTTCTTAGCCAAGAACTTGTACGTGGGCCGGGACGTGGCCAAACAGATCCGCGAGGTCGCGGTCGAGACGCTCAACGGCGTCCGCGCGGTCAAGGCGGCCTACGACTAGGCGTCTCTTCTAAGTTTCTACTCCGACTAGTCCCTAGCTCCGCGCGCCACCGGTGCGCATCGATAGCGCCCGACCGCTCCCATCCGAAGATGATCGCGTGCTGTTCATTTATTGGAGCGGCACTGCCCTAGCGCGAGGCGCCCGACACCGCGTTCCGCGACGGAACGACATTCGCGTGGGAGGTACCAGGCACAGAAGCGTCCGCGCCGCGGCGCAGCGCCGGCGCAACGGCTGTTGTGGGCCTCCGACGCCGTCGCGGCCGTGTTTGTGAGCGCGTCCAGAAAGAGGACGGGTCGCGCCGTCGACGCCGTCTCTCTCGTCTCTCATTTTTAACTCCGAAGGCGGCGTGTGTGTGTGTGCGTGCGTGCGTGCGTGCGTATGAAGAGTCGAGGTACACACCAGCGCCACATGAATGGGGCGAGGACAACGAGTGAGGAATCATAGGAGGCAGTCATCGAGCAGACGACGGCGTCCTTCTGGACGCAGGGCTTTCACGCCATCGAGCGAGCGCAGTCTCTCAGGGAAATGATCTCGCGCTGTGTTCGAAGTAGAGTTATGTACGTCGCGGCGCGCGTGACAATTCGGCGCGCCCGTCGCGACCGTCGAGCACCACTCCCGCCCTGGATCATTTCTGTGCCTTGGCGGGTGTGTGCGCTGTCGCCTTCGAGGTCTTGCGCGGCGGCGGCGGGCCAGGGTCTTTTCAGCCGCGGCGCGAGCGGCCGCCGGCGCGGGCAGTTTGTTAGCTATCTTGCTGGTGTCGTTCGCCGTCGCGCCGATGATCGGTAGTCGTCGTCGCGGCTCCTAGCCCTCGGGTTGAGGCAGTGGCTACCTGCTCGGAGCTGTGTCCTCAGGCAGCGCTGCAGCGATGTCGCTTTGGCTGCCGCGAGTGTTTGCCGGGCCGAGGACGCAACCTGGTGTATCATTATTTTTCTCCCAACGTATGGTTGCGGCGAGATAGGCTGCCGCCGCTCCTCAATATTGGCTAGCGGTCGGTAAGACACTAGCAAGCGAGAGAGCAGCCTCTGTAAAAGCTGAAACGCGTCCACTGTGTGGGTGCCAAGTGTGCAATTAACACGGTCGTGATCCGACGACCGCCGCACTTTGCTGCCTCGAGCGCTAAAGGTGCCCCCGGCGGGCCAGAGCCGATTTGCGTGTGCTGGCCTCCAGCTGCTGTTTGTGGCCGGCGGAGCGGGAGACATATCGTCGCAGCGGGCGCCGCAGCACCGGGACGACGCCGACGGAACGTAGGACACGACTCAAGTAATAACTCCTGGATCGTCTGCGCGCGAACGCGCGCCAGGTGCCGGTGGCCGCTCATGAGTGTGATTCTCTACCGAGGCTATAGTACGAAACAGTTGACGAGGCGGCCGTTCATCTCTGCGATAGATTCGAACTCTCCGGTGAACATGACGTCCTGCGAGGCCAATTTGCTCCTAGACCATCATCGATGCTACCAGTGAGCGAGCACGCGACGCCCTCGACGAACTCGAGCGCTTCGCCTCGAGGCAGGGCTTTCGCGCCGCCGTCTCCGCCGTCATTTCCGAACAAATAAGGTGGCACGCGCGTCGGGTGCACGTGGGAGTTGCACCGTACCAGGCTTTGTCGAGGCAAAGCAGCTCTCCTCCACGCCATCGCCGCCGCGACGCCTCATCAATAACTCTCGATGTACGACCGTCGCGTGCAGCCTCGACGTGAATCGACTGGACGTGTCTCCTACGCGAGCCCTGTCGCGGTCGGAAGAAGTCCTGGGCGCGTCGCGCGCCGCGGCGAGTTCTAGGACGCCGCCGCGACGAGTGCAACGTTCCGCACGGCCCTTCTACGACGGCGTAGAAGCAAAGGGCACGTTTTGCAGAGACCACCAAATTGGCGGAGCCGCGGCGGTCCGATTTCCCAGTAGGGTTCCTAAATACAATGTGACTTCTTACACACATAATAGGGTGCATGCGTGCGGAAGCGAGCGACGACGCGCGCTCCGGGGTTCTAGTCGCTCGATTCGTCGGAGTCCGACGGCTTGTGGTCCATGCTGAGCCTCTTGCGGTAGCCCGAATAGTCCTCTTGGGGAGCGGCGACGCCCATGGCGGGATCGCGGTCGTCTTGGGCGCTGGCCTCGTCCTCCGCGACCGCGCACTTGTCGAAGAAGTGTCGGCCTTCATCAAGAAGCGTGCGGCGCTGGACCGCCGTATCCGCGGTTAACTGGGCGAGGTTGTGAATCCAGTGGTGATGCTCGCGGCGCTCCGGCTCCTTGGTCCAGTAGCCCGGGTAGTAGAATGTATATACCCCCAAAGCCTTCGGCGCGAGGATTATACCCTCGACCACGGCGAGGTCGTGGCGCAAACAGCAGGTGAACCCCATGACCTTGGCCAAATCCTCGAGCACGTTATCCCCCACGAAGGGAAACTGCTTCCTCAGGACCTCGACCTTAAAACTATCTTGGTCCGGACTCGGCTTCAACGACGCGCTGCGCTCGAACTCGGCGAGTGCTTTTACCATCAAAAAGTCGCCGCTCTCCTCCTCCGTCTCGTCCGACGCCCGCACCGCATCCAAAGAATCCTGGAAGATCTGTACAGCGGTTGGGTCCGGCTTCTCCGTATTCGGATCGTGACCAACATGGAAGGCCGAGAGCACTGTGGTGCCTCTGCTAATGAGCTGCTTGATGCCCAGTTGAGCGTACTGCTTCTCCAAGCGTTCGACTGACGATACGGTGAGCTCCAAAGCCGACGTCGTGACCGCGGGTTGCTGCGAGGCGTCAGGACTCGTAGCGGACAGCGGCGAGGCGCCAGGACTAGGATCGCGCAGCGGCGAGGCTTCGGGACTAGGAGCGGGCCGCGGCGAGGCTTCGGGACTAGTAGTGGGCCGCGGCGAGGCGCCAGGACTAGTAGTGGTCGTCGCCACGCCGCCGCCGCCACCAGATGGCCTCAACCGCTCGAGCAACCGCTCCTTCCGCCCGCGATCCTCCTCCCGCTTGCGGATCGTCGGCGACAGCTCCAACGCGTACTCGACCGCCGCCTCGTGCTGGTCCAACGAGAACCGCTTGCCGTCCTTCCGCACCACTAATTCAGGCCCGTCGGGACCGTTCACATAGAAGACGCCCGCCGCGGCCCGCGTCGCGCGGTTCAGCCGGTCCACCTCCTCCCTAATGCTCCGATCCCGCGGCACGTCGGTGGGCCGCCGCGCGCGCGCGCGCCGCGCTTCCTCAACCCGTTTCTTTGTGAAGAAGTCCTTGCGTAGCTCCGGCAGCTTCTCGAGGCGACCCGCTTTGAGCTGCCGCTTCAACTCCCCGTCTGTCACATTAATAGCGGCGAGGACGCAGGCGACGGTCTGCTGTAAGCACTTCTCTATCGCCTCGTCCACCGTCCTGCCGAAGTGGAGCCAGTGTGTGTTTCCAGGACCCGCGGCCGCAGACTTCAAGAGATAAAAACGGTTCTTCATGTATGGGATCTCATCCTCGAAGCCGCTCAGAAAGTTCGATCGCTGCACGAACGTGTAGTACATCTCGTCGCCGGCCTCCGCGTCCTCTTTCAAAGCCGCGCGCCTTCTGTGTAGAAATCGATCGATAAGGTGTCGTACGCCGTCGACGCGATAGCGCACCGGATCGATGGCGTCGAGGATTTAGTTTCCACGCCGCGCTCGACGCCGCTCTCTTCGCTTCTTCTACATAATCGTCGTCGCCCTTGGCGAGAGCAACGAGCAGCCTGTAGGCCTTGCCTACGTCGAATTTCAAGTCCGGCAGCCAGCGCTCCTCCCGTGTTGCGACCACGTCGTGATGAGACATGGTCCCGTAGGCCGAATCGACAAGCGCCCTTGTTACGCGGCCGAGCGTCGTGAAGGGCTGCCCTTGTTCATCGTACTGGATGTTCACTTCGACCCTATAATCCAACGTCTCGCCCTCGACCTTGCCTTTGTTGGGCCGTGTGCACTTCAACTGCGCGCGCGCCCGCTCCATTTGGTCCGCCTCCGGCTCCCTAAGTACTGTGACGTACGCGAAGACCTGACACGTTGCTGTTGCATCGTTGGGCAGCGGTAGTGGCGAAAAATCTTCGTCGACGCTCGCGTCTTCTCTAATCGGTACCTTCACCGGCACCCGGACCTCCCTTGCTGCTTCCGGGACGACGCCCCTGGCTTCGCAATCCTTGCACGAGCGTTTCTGATCGCTTCCAGGACCAATGACTTTGTCATACTCTTCTGGGGTGAAGGCGTCTCGCGGCAATGTCTTATCGCAGCCGTTGCACTTCCTTGGTATCGTCTCTCTTTGCTTCTCTAGTCTCCTTTTAGAATAAGGCATATCCGACCTCGACACCATCGGGAGCGCTTCTAGATTTTTTTCCCCGGCTGGCGTTTTGCGCGTGGCGCGCGTGGTCGCGGGCACGGGCGTAGGAGCGCGGGCCCGGGGCTTCCTCGGCGGCGCAGGAGGTACACTATCTTTCGTGGTCCTGGCGCGCTTTGCCGGCCGCGGCGCGCCCTTGGAAGAACTGTCCGAGCCGCGGCCTCGGCCGCGGCCTCGGCCGCGGCCCCGGCCCCGGTCGCTGCCCCGGTCGCTGCCCCGGCCCCGGCCTCGGCCCTGGCCCCGGCCCCCCATCGGTCTATGAAGAAGTGGTGTAGCTTGTTTGGAGCAGCTAAAGCCGCCTCCCCGCGGAACGCGCGGCTGCCCGCGTCCTGCGGCGCGACGTCTGCGGTCGCCGCGCGGCCGTCGAGGCACGAGTATGCCCGTGCGCCCTCTCTGCGCCGGCGCAAACACAAGACGACCCTCCTGTTTGCAGGCTAGTGTGTCACAGGACGCTAGCGGCCGGTAAGACACTAGCAAACGTATAGATATAGAGAACTTTACACGCCGCCGCCGCCACCGTCGTCCGCCAGGGGGATCGACGCGGCGAAGGCCGGCATACTCCATCCAAACCCCGGCGGCTCGAGGTCCATCTCCCCCCCTTGAGGCGTCGGCTGCGCCGCCGCGAGCGCGAGGTGGGCCTTGAAGGCTCTCATGTAGGCCTTGCGGCACCGCTTCTCGGCCTTGTGGAGCTTGGGCCAGTGCGGCGCGACGTGCCGCGCGGTCTCCGCGACGGCGCGTTTCGCTCGTAACGACGCCTCCGGTACGTCGTCGTCGGGCCGCTCCGCACCGAGTAAAGCACCGACGCACGCCGCGTAGGACCGCGAGACACTGATACAATTGTAGCCTCCTTCCAGACATAGAGCCACACCTCTGGAAGGCTCCAAATCAATGAGCTTGTGGAGCAACCGCGCGTAGCCTTTCGGGGTTAAATCACAACCACCGAGAGGATCGCCGCGCGCGCTATCAAAACCCGCGGAAACAATAATAAGCTCCGGCCGATACAAGCGAAAGAGAGGTAGTAGAAATGCATCAAAGGCATAAACATAATCACCGTCACCGCTTCCGCCGCCGTCCCACCCGACGTTCACGTTAAAGCCCGCGCCTCTCCCGACACCGACCTTGAACGGAGCCCCCCCGTCTCCGGGAGGGTAGAAGTTGCCCCGGTCGTGCCTGTGAATAGAACAAAACAGCACCCTAGGATCGCCCTCGAACATGTTCTGCGTCCCGTTGCCGTGGTGGACGTCCCAATCTACCACTAATATTCTTTTACAGGGCTTCGTCGGATGATGTAATGCTGCTGCCGCTGCCACCGCAACATTATTATACAGGCAGAAGCCCATCATGCAGTGGCACTCCGCGTGGTGGCCCGGCGGCCGGATCAAAGCCGCGGCGTTCTGATACGTGCCGTCCGCCACTTTACAAACGGCATCGACGGCGCCCGCTGCGGACAACAAGGCACAATCGACGGAATACTCGTTCAAATATACGCTGTTCTCGCGCATCGCGACTTCTCCGAGCCACTGTTTTAATCGAGCAATGATCTCCAAATTCTGTTCTCTCACAATGGCGTCGCACCTCCTACCTAGTTGTATAGTGGCTTCGACGTATCTCGCTTCGTGCACCCTACACAACTCCTGAGCTGAAGCGCGTCGCGGCGGGATTCTTTGTACTTTTTCCAACAGCCCCTGCCGCCCTAGTTCAGCATAAGACATCGTGATCCGTTCCGGTCGTTCGGGATGATTCGACGCGTTGTCCTCATGTCTAGCCATGAGCTCGTCATAAGCTAATCCAACACGTCGATGCGTGGACGCAAACACACTCGAGAAGGGCTCGGCCACATCCAACAGCCACGAGTCGCCAATATCGTCAGAACCAGCATCGTCGTAGTCGCCGTCGTCCTCGCTATCGTCACTGTCCAAATCCCCCAATAATGCAGCGACGCCCGGCTGCTGTTGTTGTTGTGGGGCTGCCTTGAAGTCGTCCTCACTATCGTCGTCGTGGCCGTTCTTCTTGGCCGGTGCGAAGTCGTCCGAGCTATCGTCGTTCGCTTGGGGCTTCGCCGGCGCGAAGTCGTCTTCGCTGTCGTCGTCCTGCACGGGCGACATGGACATCTGCCCAGGGTCTTCTACTGGCGTCGCGGAGCCGCTCCCCGAGGCATCATCATCTAAAGCCGCCTTGGCCGCGGCAGCTTTTCCAGCCTCGGAGTGGGGGCTGACCCAGCGCGCGTCGGGGTTGCCCTCGAAGATCAGGACCTTGACGTCTCCGTCACTACCGCTGCTGGACTCCTCGGACTCCTCGGACGACGACTCGGACGCCGCGTCGAGGTACTCCTGCTCGCGCTTGGCTCTCAACCAGGCCCAGAACTTTTGTGCTCTTATCCAGCGGCGGCGGCGCTGGAGGTACTTCATTTTTGCTGCAGTGAAGTGCTGCCTTGTGCTGCTTGGTGTGTTGCCGGTGGGCGCTCGCTCGCGCCGCTGTCGACAGCGGTGATGAGTAATCTCGTAGAGATTCCGTCAATCGCACGTGTGCAACCGCTGCGGCTTCTACTGAGCTCCGGCGATGCGGACAAAATGTGAGCTAGCGGCTTGTAAAGACACTAGGGATGCGGCCGCTCGCGGACGGGAGCCATGGATGCGTACGCTGACGCGTCGCAGGACTCAATGCAGGTGGCCGAGGGCTCCAGCAGAGCTCCATGCTCGGCACCATCTCAAGCCTGTCCCAGCCTGCAATTCATTGCTGCATTCCTCGGAGAGCCAACGCTGCAGCAGATACGCTTGCGATTAGTGATTTGTTGCCCGAAATTGAACCGGTGTCCAGCCCTCGCGGCCGCGCTGCGAAAACTGCAGCAGCAGCAATCACTGGAGGTGGTGCATGCACCACTATACGCCGCCGACCAGTCCCATGCAGCAAGAACGCTCGAGCTACGGCGCCGCCGAGATCGAGCTCGACGAAGAAAGGAACTACGGCCGCGCGAACAGCAAGCCCTTCGGCCGGACGACGCTGCCGCACGGCGTCGCGTTGATAGGCGCCTTCGGCTCCTATGCGCTGGTAGTGAACAACATCAGCGGGCCGGGCATGCTCGACTTTCCCCAGGCTTTTCAAGCCGCGGGGTGGCTTCCCTGTGTATTATGCATCCTGGGCGTGGCGGCCGTGTCCGCGGCGGTCGCCTGCGCTCTTACAGATGCCCACGCTTCCCTGAGAAAGGAAAAGGCCACGCACGCCACGAACCCGACGTCGCGAACGAGGGCGGGCCGGTGGCGCGCGCGGTCCTGGAAGGAAGTACAAACAGATAGCGTCGAGTTCTCCGAGATGTTCGGCGCGGCCTACGGCGGTACTATTTTTCGAGGAACACAATTACTGTACTTCCTCAACTTGTTTTCGCAGAACGTCGCGGCGATCGTCACCACTGCCCAAGCTACTGATAGCATGATCGCCGCGCTTTTTGGCGACTCCTATGCTTTGAATGTGCCTCACTTCACGATAGAGACATGGGAAGGATGCAAAAGAGAAGGCTGCGTCCCGTTTCGCCTGGCGGCGCCTGGACTACTCCTGACGGCGGGCTACGCGTTCTGCTTCTTGACGCTGGGGCCCCTCGGTTTTTTTACATTACAAGAGAACATGCTCGCGCAGAAGATCTCGTTCGTTTTATTGGTGGCGTTGACGCTGCAGTTCCTGGCTTATTTCGTGACGAGCCCCACACCGTCGAGGGTGGCTCTCGTGGGTCCGCGGCCCTGGGACGTCGTCGGCGTCGTCATCTTCAACTTCGCGTTCTGTGTCACGGTGCCGGCCTGGCTCAACGAGAAGGTACCACAAGTAAACGCCAAAAAGACAATCTGGGCGGCTTGTTTATCTTCCGCTGTGGCCTACTGTTTAGTGGGCTGGTTGGGAGGCGTCGCCATCGCGCGGGCGTCGGACAATGTCTTAGATGAGCTCACGTCCTCATTGGCGCCTACGTCCGTAAGGTTGGGCGGTGGAATCTTCGCCTTCGCGATTATTGGGCTGGGCGTGCCGGTCTACTGCGTCCTGATGCGCTATAATTTGAGGGCGGGCGGGTTGAGTGAGTTCTGGTCTCATATTCTAGCAGGCGCGGGCCCCTGGGCCGTGTCCTGGCTCGTGTACAGAGGACATGGGATATTGGAAGTGCTGTCGTGGTCAGGATTAATATTAAATGCGGCCATCGACTTCATCGCTCCGATGGTCCTCGTATTACATTCGACGTCGACGCGGGCGAACGCGTCACGGTTTAGAAGAGGCGACTCGCTGGGGCCGCACGATCATATGAGAGCGGCGATGCTATTGATGATTGTCGTCGTGCTTGTCGCGACCGGTCTCGTGCTGAAACTTTACGAGGCGTTCAACGGCGTCGGCGGCGACATCGCCGACCAGATCCACGGCGACGTGACGCCGGACTCCTAGTAGTGTGCAATAAGGTATACAGTGTGTTCTTACTACCCCTTCGCGCTGGCGAACCGCACAGGCTCCGGAACTAGTGGAGGCCCCTTGGGCAGGAGCGCCTGGAACTTGTACTTGCTGATCTCCCTCGCGAGATCTTCATCAACATCTAAGTCCTCGGGGTCCGCGTCCAACGGCGCGTCCGTCACGGGCCACGTGCGATTACCAGAAGCGACGCGGTCGCCCAGCGCGCACCGGTCGACGGCGAGTGCCGTACCGGGAATTCTGACGGGTTCGTCCATCAGCGCCTTCGTCAAGGCACAGAGGTACGCCTCGGGCGCCGCCTGAGCCAAGGGCGGCAGGCGATGGGGCGTATACAACGTTTTGGGCGGCGCGAGCTTGGGAGGCGACGGCGTCCCGTCGCTCAGGTCCTCGCGGACGTCGCCGAGCGCCTTCGCGAGGCGCTCGCAGAACGCTATCCGCACGGGCCGGCCGGCCCCATCAAAGTCGTCGAAGGTATTCGTAGGTGACGTCGCCTTGGCCGGCGTGTTCTGCGGGGCGCGCATTCGATCTGGCGAGCCGTTCCAGCTGTCGCGCGAGTCCATCGAGCCGCACGAGCTTCGAGGAGACGCTGCCTTCGCCTCCGCGCGCGGCGATGAACGGGCCGCCACAAGTTTCGAAAAGATGGGCCAGGCCCGGCCGCCCCTATTGACCGGCACGTCGTCATGCAACGCCATGTGCCTTCTTAACATCTCGCGCGCGGTGCTATCCAGTGATGCGGCGGCGTCTCCCAATAACCTCATATGAGCCTCGGCGTCCCTTTTCCAAGAAGGGCCGAAGCCTCCATCGATATTCGTGTTGAGCTTGATGAGGAGTGCAACTAGCGAACCCTCGCCCCGGAACGGGCCGCAGATATTTAGTAGTTTTTCAGTGGGGTTCCTTTGACAAACACTTTTCCGCGCCGCCCTGAGTTTGAACGTGATCACCACCAGTACCCGCGTCAGCGTCATCAATCGGAGCCACTTCCGCGCGTCGCAATCGACACAACACCGTTCCAACATATCCAAAATAACGATGGCCACGTCGCCGCAGTCGCAGGCCACGTGTCTCCTCAGCTTCGCCTGGAAGGCCGTCGCGCGCGTCATCGTGTTCGCCACTGCGGCCAGAGTTGTGGTGAGCGCAGCGTCGTCCGCTTTACGTTCAAACAGCTTTGGGAGGATCTTCGCATCGAGCAACGCCTTCGCGATGGCCGACGCCCTCCCACCAAAAACCTTGGCCCTGATGGCGATGGGGGCGTCGTCGTCCTCGTCGTTCAAGTAGTAGGCTGTTGGTAAGGTTAAATCTTCAAGACACACAGCCCACCGCTCGAGCTCGTTGTCCAGTTCGTCGAAAGCATTCACAACTGCTTGCGGCGCGTGCGCGGCCCCGACGAGCTCCACGACGTCGGCGCCGCGCGGCGCCTCGGCGTGCGCCGCGGCCGCGATGCGCGTCACTAATACCACAACCCAGCGCCGCAGGTCGTTGGCGTGTTGGTCGCTGCCGTCGTCGTTGACGCGCGCCAAGATGCCATCGATGCGGGGCTGGAGATGCTCCAATTGCCTGATCAGGCCTTCGTGGCCGTCTTTGTCGTCGCGGGCGGCGCGCGCCATCGATGCGACGTCGCGCGCGAGGTCGGCTGCCATCGCTTCGTTTGCGTGAGTTGTGGGGCAGCCGTTGCGCGCGTACACTGGTGCGCTGTACCACAGCGCTTTGTTGGGCTACCCGCTCGAAACCCGTGCAATCGCGCCTGCACTCGTGGCTCGTAGAAGACTCTTCGGGGGGTTCGCCGAAAAGTATTGAGACAGGACAAACAGGAGGCGGCTCCAGAAAGTCTAGTATTCGTGTTCGCTAGGCTCATTTCACTTACGGCCGCGCCATCCCACGCAAGCAACGGCCTAAAACCTCGTGCGGCGCGAAAAGACGTTCACAATCAAGCCAATATAGCGCCCCTAGCACGCGTTGGTAGCCAGAACTGACCCGAAAAAAAGTGTTCCCTTGGAGAGTTCGGCTCCAGCGCGAACCCATAGCGCCTTCAGATTGCAACAGCGCGACGACGACGGTGCTGGTGCCGGTCCCCTGCCCGCTGCGTCGCGCTCCGTGTTCGCGGCGGTCCTTTGCACGCCGCGCGCGCTGGCGCCGGTTGACCGCCGACCCCGCGCGGGTGGTTTACACTCGGCCGTTGGTAGCCACCGCAATCGCGACCGCCCGCCCACGCAAGTGGACGCAACCCGGTGCGTCCGCACGCAGGCCGATGGTCAACGACGATTCGCTGAAGAAGCACCCGCTCGAGTACGCCTCGGCTCTCCTCACACTCGGGGAGCACGGTGACTGGAAGGGCATCAAGCAGCGGGTCAACAACGACGGGCACATCTTCCACGGCGTCCACGTCTGCCAGACGACGCAGCACCGGAAACCCGGGATTCTGAACCGGTACCTCGCGGACTCTCCTCTCTGGGCGGAGCTCGGCAATGTGCCGCCGGGCGTGACGGTCATGGTCGTCGTGCGGGGGTCTCAGCACAAGGCACCCGCCGCCGACGAGCGCTACGTCCACCCCGGCGGTCGCGCCGTAATCACCCAACAGGGCGGGAACCAGCTCACGAAGACGCACCAGAGCGAAGAGCTCGAGAAGTACTACTTCGAAGACAGAACCAACTCCTACGTCATCGTGGACCCGGCGCGCGACGCGGATCCGAACCCCCGCTCCTACGGCGTCCGCGTCATCGTGCACTGCCGGTCCGAGGTCTTCGCGGAGGAAGTCGAGGAGGAGGGCCTCGACGTCGTGCACATCATCACGGTCAGCAAGTGCGAGAAGAAGAACTACGCGTCGTCGACGACGAAGAAGAAGTCCGCGCGGCCCGCGAAGAAGCCCCGGGCGTCGTCCCGCGGGCGCCGCTCGCCGCCGCCGGAGCCGCTGTCGCCGGCCACGGTCGCGCCGCCCTCGCCCCCCTCGCCGGGCGCGAAGATCGACGCCGCGCTCGCATCTCCGGAAGCGCCGCCGCCCGCGCCGGTGTCTTCCCCCGACGAGCCGGTCGACGAGCCGGAGGACCCCATGCTGGCCTTGGAGTACACCGGGCCGTGAATAACTACCGACCACTACCTCACAAGTAGTCAAGTTATTTCTTGGCGCCGAAGAACTCCTGGATCGTCTTCTTGGGCTTCTTCGCGGGCGGCGCCGGCGGCGGCGTCGGGCGGCGCGGCGGCGCGGCCCCGGGCGCGCGGGCCGCGAAGAAGGACGTGATGCGCGCGACCCGCGCGTGAGGCTGCGCGTCGCCCGCCGCCTTCTTCGGCGCCTTCTCCGTGGAAACGGGCACGCGCGTGAGCAGCAGCGACACGGCGACGTGGTCGGACCACGTCGGCGGCGTGTATATGATGCCCGTGTGCGGCGGCCGCGACGTATGATAGGTGTAGTCCTCGGCGCGGCCGTCTCTAATTCCACTGCCGTCGAAGCCCGCGGGCTGCCAGCGGCCGTCGAGCGTGCACGCGTCGAGCGCGTTGCCATTCCTACGTCCACCATCCAGCGTCCCGGCGACGGGGCTCGATGAACGCCACAAGGCCTCGTCGACAATGACGTAGTCGATGCGCGAGCCCTCGTTGTCGTACCTTCTATTGGTATACTGGTTCCAGCACGTGAAGCGATCCGTGCGTTGCGGATGCAGCGCATCTAAAGAATCGACAAAGCCGTCTCGCAACAAACCCCGCAACCACGCCTCCGAACTAACTGGAGCCGCCCCGAACGCCGTCGGCGCGTCCTGCGGCGGGTCCAGCGCGCCCGACGCCGCGGCGAGCTTCAGATGATCATTTGATAGGGCGACGCCGCTTAATTTGGTAAGGGCCTCGCGGAGGCACGCCCCCGTCAATTGATTGGGCCCCCTCACGAGAAAGCGGCCCCGCGTCGAGCCCAGGACCACTTCGCCATCACTTTCGACGCCGACGCCGTCGACTTCATACGACGACGACGCGTAACTCTCTGAAGTCTCGGCGGGCGACAGCTGGACCGCGTCGCCCGTTTTGGTGTGGATGGCTCTACACCTAAACTTGCTGAAGGTCTCGCCCGTCCTACTGTTCGCCGTCGAGCACGCGACGACCGTTCGATTTCTCAATGCGTCCCGCACGGCGGGCCACGCCTCGGCGGCTTGCGCTATCATACTTTTCGCCTTGGCGTCGGTCACTAGTTGAGCGGCCTTTTGTAATTGAGACGCATCCAAACCACGGTGGAGGAAGCACCGGTCCTTCGGCGCGACGGCGCAATTCAAATCGCCCGCAAGTAGCACGTGCTTGCCCTTCTGGCGCTCGGCGGTCATCGAGCGCCTCAAGGCCGTGAGCCACCTCAACTTGTACGCGAGGCGTTTGCCACCAGAACCGTTGGGCACGTAGGCGTTGAATAATACAAAAGTGCCGTGGTCCGTCAAGACGCAGCGGCCCTCGTCGTCGAGCTCCTTCTCGCCTAGAGGTCTAGATGAAGCCCGCACGACGCCAAACGCCTTATTTCTAACAAAGGTAGCGACACCATTTAAACCGGCCCGCTGCCCCTCCTTGCCGTCGTTGCACGCCCAGAACGACTGCCACGCGTCGCCGTCGGCCGACGCGCATAAAGCTCTGGCGTCCTGCTCGACTTGCTTCGAGGTGAGTTTGGTTTCTTGCAAGCAGACGACGTCGGCATCTAGCCGCTCCAACCACGTCGCGACGCAGGCTTGTTTTTCTTCGACCTTTTTGGTCGTGGCCGCGGGGCCCCGTCGCGTCGTGCGCGTGATCTCGTCCAAAGCCGTGCGCCAGCCGGCGACGTTCCAGCTCACTAGATGGAGACGGCTCATTTCTTCTCCTCTTCCTTCGCTTTGCGGATGCCCTCGAGCTGGAGCTGGCGCAGGGGCTCGAGCCAGATGTAGAATCCACCTACCACACCGGCGAACGCGCCGATCACGTACATGTGCCAGTCGCCGGCCCTCCTCCTTAGTACGACGCCCGTCTTCTGGCGGAAGAGGTTGCCGAGCATCGATCTCTGCTTTTGGATGCTGCCAGCTCTGTTTGTGTTATACGGCGAAACGGATCGCGTCTTCGCGAGGGCTGAATCGCTACGTACAGATGAGCGTGTGCGAAGAATTCTGGCAGTCCCTGGCGCCTGTGTACCGCTACGTGGCCTCGGCGCGATTTTGGCTGTATTCTAGTGTGTCTCTCCTAGCTGGACGCGCGAGAGCGAAGTTGCAGACCGGGCTTTTGAGGCACTACTGTCACTAGCGATTCGTCATAAGCTACTGCGCGCTGCATTTTTGCCGCGCCTAAGTGGCAGCGCGTCTAAAAGGATGGTCTCGACGAGGGGAGGTGCCTCCTCCAGCAGCCCAGCCAAAAAAGCGTCGCCAGCGCGCGCGCGGCGCAAGAGCTCGGATAGCAGTCCCGCACCAGCGGCCAAGCCGCGCGGGCGAAGAAAGAGCAGCGCCGACGAGGCGCCGGCGCCGGCCGCGAAGCCGCGCGCGCGGCGCAAGTCGAGCGAGGCCGCGGAGCCGGCGCCTGCCGCGAAGCCGGCGCCTGCCGCGAAGCCGGCGCCGGCCGCGAAGCCGCGCGCGCGCCGCAAGTCGAGCGCCGAGGCGTCGCCGAAGCCGAAGCGCGCCGAGCCGCCGCGGGGCGACGTCCTCGACGAGTGGGAGCCCCTCTACTTCGACGCGGGCCAGCAGGAGCAAGAGGAGCCGGAGGAGGAGGAGGAGGCACCGCTCTTCGTCGTCGACGCCGCGCCCGCCGCCGCGAACGTTGTAAGGGTCGCGTACGACGGCGGCGAGGCGGAGCTGCCGGCGCCGGCCTACTTCGGGGCCCTGCGCGCGGCGACGGCCGCCGCGCGCCTCGACGCGCTCGAGCGGACGGCGCGCCGGGCCGAGCGCGCGCTGCGGGACGCGCCGGATGATGACGAGGCCGCGCGGCCGGCAGTAGCGGAGAGGACGGACGATGCCACGGACGCGGCGCTCGCGCGGGCCTTCGCCGCCGCGCAGACAGGCCAGGGGCCAAAACGGAAGAAGCGCAAGACGCGCGCCGAGAAGCGCGCGCCGGCCAAGGACGCGGGGCCGGGGTGGTACGGTCTTCCCCCCGCGGACGCGACGGTCAGTGCGGACGACCGCGCGGCGCTGGCGTTGCGCGGCGTCGCGGACCCGAAGCGGCACTACAAGCGCCAGGACGCGCCGAGCGAGTTCGCCGCGCTCGGGACCGTCGTGGCGGGCAAGTTCGACGGTGCGTCCGGAACTTTAAAGAAACGAGAGCGGAAGACCGGGCTCATGGGCGAGCTGCTCGCCGACGCCGGCGCGCGGTCCTACGCCAAAAGGCGCTTCACGGCTGTGCAGGAACGGCAGCGCGGGCCGGGGCTGTCGACGCTGAAGCAGAAGCGGAAGGCGCTCGCGCGGCGAAAAAAGGGGCGGTAAGTCTAGTTAGTACAGCCTCCGGGTACCATCTCGCACTTCTGCTTGCCGGTCATCGGCACGCATCTCTTCTTTTTGTGGGGAGCGTACTGCCGAAAGGCCTCGCGGACATGATCGCACGCGATACGGACGCCTCCGGCTCGCGTCGGGCAGGGCGGACCCCCATACTGTGTGAGGCTCGCGCAGACGGCGTGGCCGTGGGGCGTGTAGTCGTCGCGGTAGACGTTGTAGGTCTTGGTGTCGTGCATATTGGTGGGCGAAGCGGCGCCGACGTTGACGACTTCCCCCGGGAAATTGGTACGCAGATTGATGCGACAACACCCACCGATCATACCGCACGGCTTCGACCAACACCCTCGCGAAAAGATGGCGACAGCACAGTCTTGGAATTCGCCCGGCACGGACCAGGCCCAATCGCCACTGTAGATCAGGGCCCGACTCGCGCTCATGGCCACGTAGTTCGAGAAGGACACCCCGCGGACGGGCGGGTGTATCGGCATGATCGGCACGACGTCGAACCGCCACATGAGTATTGAGCGGTATCGTCGGCCGGACGCCGCGACGGCCCGCATCCCTAGGGAGACAAAAAATCGCCGTCGCGTGGCGTAGCTCCACGCCGTAATTGACGAGAGCGATGTAGAGCCGGCTACAAATCGCCGAGCCCGCCCAGGCCATCGCGAACGCGTCGCCGCGCAAGTGGTCGGAGAGATCAGTCTCATGCGAGACGAAGAGCGCGTCATTCGTGAAAAACAGCGCGAACCACGCCACGGCGAGTGCCAGGTTGAGGTATGCGGCAAATTTGCCCATATTTGTGACAGTGCGAGAAGCAAGAGCGTGTTAAGCGGGCACCGTCTTGTTACCACGACGCGATGCGCGCTGCCAGAGTGACTCAATGAGACACTTTTGCTCCAGATGCAATAGATTGGTGGTTTCTGAGCAAAGTCGGACGGGTGACAGCCCCCGGGCCAATAGAGTGTCGATTTCTACGACTCACGATCACGGTGAAGGTTTTTTTGGGCCGCAGCGTGAAGAGCGAGCTAGCGTCGCGTAAGACACTAGCAAACAGACTGCGGCGAAGCTGAAGCGTGCTGTGCATTGCCTGTGATCACACAAGTGCGAGCGATTCATTGCTTACGGAACGATAACTTCTGCGCGACGCCAGAACCGCTGCCGCGGAGGAGCCTGGAGCAAGGAGCAAGCGCTTCACACCGCTGCAGAGCAGCAGAGAGCCACGATTGCGCCACACAAGAGCGCCCTCGTGATAATAGCGCTCCTCCGGCTCATACCACGCGCCGGAGCGATGACGACGAAGCGGGTCGCGCGCGTGCTGCCGCCGACGCCCGACGGTATTGAGCGCGCCGGCGGCGTGCTCCGGAGCGGCGGCCTCTGCGCGTTTCCCACGGAGACGGTCTACGGCCTCGGCGCGAGCGCGCTCGACGAAAGAGCCGTAAGACGCGTCTTCGAGGTCAAGGAAAGGCCGCTCTCGGATCCGCTGATCGTGCACGTCGCGAAGCCCGAGGACGCGCCGGCGCTCGTTGATTTAGATGAGCCGTGCCGGAAGGCTTTTGATGCATTAACAGAGGCGTTCTGGCCCGGGCCATTGACATTAGTGTGCCCCGCACGATCACATTTACCGGACTGCCTCTCCGCGGGCACCTCAACGGTGGGCGTGCGCTGCCCGTCGCATGAGTTGGCGAGACGACTCATTGACGCGGCCGGCGTGCCTGTGGCGGCGCCGTCCGCCAACAAGTTCGGGCACGTGAGTCCCACGACGGCGGCGCACGTGCTGGACGATCTGGGCGGCGAGGACATCTCCATTCTCGACGGCGGTGCTTCCGGGAGTGCGCAGTGCGAGCACGGTATTGAGAGCACGGTCGTCGGGCTGAGGACGGAAGGTACGACATGCCACCTGACGCTGTATCGGCGAGGCGCGCTGCCGCGGGCCTCGTTAGAGGAGATCTGCTCGCAAGTGGGGGCGCGCCTGAACACCGCGGAGACCTACGCGTCCGAATCCAAACCCGACGCCTCGGGCAGCCCGGGCCAGCTCCTGACGCACTACGCGCCGCGCCTGCCCGCCGCGTTGTGTACTGTCGTCGCGGATGCAGCAGCGGACGACGCGAAGAGCGACTCGTACCTCGCGAACTGCGTGGTGGTCGATTTTGGTGGGAGGTTGAAGACTCTAGAAAAAGCCGCGCGCGCCTACCGCGACCTCTCGGCCGCGGGCGACGCCAAAGTCGCGGCGAACGCGCTCTTCGATACATTAAGATGGGCCGAGGGCGTCCCGGGCGCGGCGAACGTGTTCATCGCCGACCTCTCGGAGGAGCGCGCGTCGTCGGCGCTCATCGCCGGCGTCGCGGACCGCGTCTACCGCGCGGCGTCGGGCAACGCCATCGAGATCCCTCGCAAGACATAAGTGAAGTTCATACCTACCTTGAACTGCGGACGCCTTCGCAACCGTTGTTGTGCGCAGGTTTTCTGGTGTTTGCTGTCCAGATTGATCGCGGCGATGGCGTGCTGGTGAAATAGATACTACGAAAACAAATTAACCCGGCAATAGGGACAGCACGCCTCCTCGCGCTTCAGCGCGACCCAGTCCCGCGCGCAGTCATTGTGGAACTGATGACCACACGGCAGCGCGAACGGTTCCGTGACGTCGAGCGGGGCGAGACATATGCCACAGTCCTTGGCCGGCACGACGCGCGCCGGCGTCGCCAGGCTCGCGACGAGCGCGTCGACGGTCGCCGTCTCCGCCGTCGCCTTCGCCCGCCCCGCGCGCATATCGGAGAGTTCGGACAGCGTCTGGGCCCGCTGATGCACCTCATAAAGGAACACGCCCAGCGCGCACCAAAAATAAAGCAACAGAATCGGCAGGACCAGGATCTGCACCAAACCCACAAAGACCCGCGCCACCACCATCCTATTCGCCGCAGATAAGACAAACACCGGCAGGAGTACGCATTTCGACGACGCCGTGCCGATGGAATCGATGATCGGCGCCTTCGACACTCCGAGGACCCTCAGCACCGTCGACGTGACCAAATGCGGTACGGCGACCGTCATCGCGAACCGCCACGACTTGAAGTACACGTAGGCGGGCCGTGGCGCGAGGGCCGCGGCGACGAGGCCGCGCGCCGCGCCCGCGGTTCGGCGCATTGCAGCCAGAAGGCGCGACGCGACGGCCACGAGCGGACCAAATAGATTAGTTGCTGTTGCGCGAGCGTCAATTTCAACGCCTCTGTCGTGGGCAAAATAGGCGGCCGCGAGCGCCGCAATCGAACACAATAGACATGCAAATGGGTTCTTCCAGATGGAGACGACCGCGTCACTGACGAATGAGGCGGCCGTGCCCACAGCATGACGCACGTATCTATAGACGGCGTGGCAGGCCATCATCGTCGCGGAAAAGACCGAGTCGGCGACCTCGAACGACAGGACTAGCAGCTTCAAGCACACGCCGACCGCGCGGCCCAGCGGCTTTGCCAAACGCGCCGCGACGGCCACCGCGAGGTCGATGAGCCCCATGTCGGCATGCTTGTACAGGGCCACGCCAATCCGCTCCAACACCGCCGACAGCCGCGCGAGCGTCCGCCCGCTCGCGCGGCCCTCGACCTCGGCGGCCCGCGCCTCGGACGCGTCGCGGCGGAAGGCCGCGCGGCGCTGTTTCGCAGCGACCGCGTCGACGCGGTGGGCGGCGACGACCAGCGCGACGCCAGCGTAGGCTATCGCGGCGGTGAGGAACGGCCCAGCATTCATTAGAGACGGGAGGCGCTTGACGCCCTCTTGGCCGAACGCGACGGCCGCCCCGGCGCTCGCGAACGGCACGGCCGCGTCTTGTATGGCGCTCAGCAGCGGCGAAATAATTTGCTTGTAGGCCCACCGCGCGCAGCGAGTCGTTGGGTACACGACGCGATTCATCAGAAACGCGCCACAGCGCGACCAGATTTTCTTTACCGCGCGGCCCGCCGGGGCCAAAACGGCGTCGAAGCAGGCGTCCGCCGCCCTGGCTACGACGCCGTACGACCACCTCATGGCGCGCCCGACCAGCCGCGCCACCGGATGCACGACTCTTTTAATAACAAAGACCAGGGCATCGGCGCCGGCGAGCACGACGGGGCGGACGACGTGCCTGAGCACGCGTGCCAAAGCGTGGTCCAGCAGAATCAGAAATTTTAAGATGGCCCGAGCCACGGGAACCACCACTTGCACGCCGGCGATCTCTTCGAACTCTTGGATCGCGGAGAAGCCCAGGAAGGCCGTGAAGCAGCGGAGGCCGCCGCGTTCGACCGGCGACTGGCCCTCGACGCGCAAGACGTTGAGCGCCAGGAACACGAGCGTCTTCGAGCGCCCCGCCAGGCTGTTAAACGTTTTTTTGAAGCCCGCTGCCATCACGGCCTGAGATATCCCCTCGATCCCGAAACAGACGAGGACGTGTGTCATCGCTGGGGACCGTACGCCGTAGCCTTCGTAGGCCTCCAGGATGCAGAATGCCCCCGTCGCCGAGCCGGCGACAATGATTGAAGCTCTCCTGCAGGTCTTAGACCTCAGGGCCGTGCGCACGCGACCGCCGACTGCGCGGTCCAACAACGAGAGGACCGACACGCCAGCCACGGCCGCGCAGCCGACAACTACCAGCGGCCGGTCTCGCGCAAATGACCCCTCCGGCCCGAGCGCGCCTTGGACGGCCACCGCCGCGCGCCGGCCAAGGCCCGCCGGTTCCTCACCTCTGCACCAGGCCCGCAGGACGCCCGCGAACGCGCGCGCCGGCAGCGTCGCGTAGCCGAGGAGCGTGGAGCGGTGCTTCCAGCCCACGGCGACGGCGGCCGCGCCGACGACAACGCGCGTTCGGCTGCCCTCACTCATGATCTGCCCTTGTTGTAGGAACTGGGCAGCCCCTACTGAGTTGAGCTGGCTTTCATTGTGCGTGATGCGCTTCTTATGAGCAATCGAAGCGTATCAGCACCGGAAGGCAGCAAAGAGCGCTGCAAATTGCTCAGGAGGCTTCCTAGTGCCTTACTGCCGCTAGCAAGATCGAGAAAAAAAAGTGGCAGCGCGAGCTAGCGAAACGCTGCCCCACTGGTCGCGAAACGCTGTCCCACTGGTCACGAAGATGCCGTCAATCTCCGACATTGCGCTGGGCCTTTACGCCGTCGTCGCCACGGGACTAACGGTGCTGGTGATGGCGTTCCTCGACGCGTGCAATCTTGTGGCCGTGCCACCGGTCGGGGAACACGGTGGAATCTCGAAGGACGAGTGTTATGCGATGAGCGCTGCCATGATGAAGGCGGCGCCGCGCGGCCGCGAGACGGCCGGCGAGATCCTAGTCATGTTCTTTCACGTCATCGTGCGCATCGAACAGAACTTCTTCCTCGCCTCCGCCGTCGCGGCGTGGTTCGCCCTCTTCAAGTGCTCGCCGTCACAGCGCAAGCCCTTCCACCTTTTCCTCGCCATGCTCAGCGTCTGCTGCGTCTCGTCTGACGCGACGTTCGCGGGCCTTCCCGGCCTCGGCTCGACGTCCCTCGAGCTCTCCGACGCCGCCAAGGCCTCGGTGGTTCTTCCGTTCATCCCGGTGTGGACCATCCTGGGCATGCTCAACGGCCTCGCCTTCCTCGGCGCGAAGGAGAAGTCGGCTTAGTTTTCTCACCCGTGGCGCGTTCTCCGCATTTACCATCTCCACACACTTAATAAGTCTAAACACAACATTACCCATCGACGTCGCCCCACCGCTCCCGGCCGACGCGCTCCAGGAACGGGGTCCGTGCGTCCTCGCCGTCGCGCCGCTGGACGAAGACCGTCGCGCCGCCCCAGCTCATCTGGTGGAGCTCCTCGTCCACAATCGTAAACAGGGGCGACGGCAGCGGCCGCGTGAACGTGATCACGACGGCGCCGGGCCGCAGGCCCTCCGCGAGGTCCGCGACGGCCTTGAGCAGGTCGTCGTCGAAGCACGTCGAGTTGACCAGGACCACGTCGCCGTCGGCGGTCCAGTCGTGAAATTTCAGATCCGTGATGTCGCCTTCGTAGAACTCGACCGCCGGCCGCGCGTGGCCGAGCGTCCACTCCGCCGCCTCCACAAGACCTTTGGCCTCGCGCGCGAGGCGGCTCAGGCCCGCCAGCAGCTCGACGCCGCGGCACGCCCGAAAGGGGAACAGCACCGCCGCCGCCACGACCGGCCGCCCCGCGCCGCTGCCCAGGTCGTAGAACACGTCCTGCCCCGGCCGCAAGTCGTCCCGAATCTTCCGCAGCGTCGCCTCAAAGGACGCGTACTCGATCTCGCCGTACACAAAGCTCTGCTTCCGCGTCCAGCGCCGCTCGTCGCGCTCGCGCCGCGACTCGCGCTTCGCGTCGGCCGCGTTCTTGAAGACCGCGTCGTAGAACGCCTCGGCGGGGGACCGTCGCCGCGCGGGCGCGGCCTGGTTCCGTTCCTGCAGCGGCGGCGCGGGCGGTGGCGCCGGCGGCGCCGCGGGGCCCTCCTGCACGAAGAGCTCGGGGTCGCAGCGCCCGAGGAAGTCCTCGCCGTCGTCGCTGCTCGACATTGTTTTGCTGTGGCTTCGCTGGGTGCTGTGGCTTCTCCACGCGATCTCTGCTCCCTCGCGCTCGACGTATGCTCGCTGTTTGTGGCAAAAAAGGGGCAGGCACTGCCTGCAGGCAGCTAGCAATTTGTCCCTCGCAACTATACGTCAGCGCACAGGCAGTTCGGAGGCTTCACGCAGGGTCTTTTGCAAGCGCTCGCTCGCCGTCAGTGCCTGCGATACGGCCGTTTACGCTTTGGGCTCGACGTAGGGCTAGCGTTCATTGACATACTAGCCTTCACCAGATCGATCAAGAGCACAGCTCGAGGAAGCCAATAGTAGTGGCTGCGGCTGCCAAATTTCAACCGCGTATCTCTCCGATGTCAAGGCCGCGTACGCCCGCCAGTGATCTGCGTAACCTGCGTGCCAAGAACCGCCAGCTTGTGAGAGATGCAGACGCTCTCCGCAAGCGTGTAGCAGATCTAGAGGTGGAACTCGCTACGGCGCGTGCCCCAGCGAACCACGACAACAATGGTGATGATAATGTGCTCATGGAAGATCTCGGGAGCGAACAGTACCAGGACACCTGGCGGATGGATGGCGCGAGCCGCTGCCTGGAATTATCAATGCACGACACGCGCGTTACCTGCCCGTCCGTCGAGACCGATCATGCTACTTCATCGATGCCTGGCGTGCGCTGCGACAAAGCGCTCACTTTTGGTCAGTACTTCCAAACCATCTACTTCGTGGGTGTTGGCTACACCTTGTGCGGTTTGGTCACGGAGGCGCAGAGTCTCCAGCTTCCTCATGTAGGGGATAACTTCAGTCGCTGCCCGTACATGGCAATGTGTGATTTTTCCGGGGACTCTAGATGGAGCGTGTCCATCATGGTCGACATGGTCACTCGGACGGGCTCGCTGCACCAAGATGGCAGGGAGCTCGCTTCATGGCAGGGCCTCCCCGACCGCGTCTATGTAGCCATCGCCTTGAAGCGTGTCACGACGCGAGAAGCCATTCTCATGCCGGCGATGCACACGAAAACAGTCGAGATCGAAACAATTCAGTAGAGGGCGTTGCTGAAGAGGGTTTGTGTAAGACACTGTGTGAATAGTCAGCGCACAACGCCCAGGACTAACAACGGAGAGGTCCGCATTTCTTAGCGAAGTCTTTAAAATGCCCGGCGCGCGTGTGCAGCGCGGGAGAAAACGGGGGTGGGGCAATCACAGGGGGAACATGGAGTCGGTGAAGGACATCTCGCGCGACGCCTGGGGCGGCGATTCGGAGCCGCTCCGCGCGGAGTTCGAGGACGAGTCGCTCCGCTGGTCGCGCGATGATGAAGAGCCCGAGCGCTCCGAGCCGTGCCGCGACGCCGACGCGTCGGGCGTGATCAGGTGCAATTTAACGTCGGACGGCGGCTGCGCGTCGGCGAGCGACCAGTCGAGCGGCGGGTCGCGCTCGTGGATGGACACGTAGAAGAGGTTGTCGTTCGACGCTTGCAGGGGAATGACGATGAAGTCGTTCTCGAAGGTCGTGCCGTCTCTCCGGTAGTAGCTGAGGCGCGACGCGGCGGGCTCGCCGCGGCGCATGGCCTCCTCGACCTTCTGCACCGCGTGGAAGTTCGTGCGCGGGCCGTGGAGGTGGCGCGAGCTTCGACCTAATGCCTCCGCGGCCGTGTAGCCGATGACACGGAGCCAGCCGTCGGAGCAACCCACCACCGTGCCCTGCTCGTCGAGGATCTGGTAGGAGCTTGCATCAGTGGACGCCGTGAGGTAGGAGAGGACGACGGCGGCCTGGCCGCGGGGCTTGGTCGCGGCGAAGACCTCGGCGAGCGCGACGCCGTGGTGGTGGCGCGGGTCCTCGGGCAGCCGCGCGGCGAGCGCGGCCACGTACTGGGCGGCCATGGCGTCCTCGCGTGCCTCGGCGGTGGTCCTCGCGGTTGGCTGGCGCTCGCGTGCGGATTTGCGGGCGGCAGCACGGGCACTAAATGTTTGAGGCGACGCGAGGGGCAGCCCGCGCGCCGCCGACGCGGGCGTCGACGCTGCCCGGCGGTCCCTTGTGTGTCGGTCGGGCCCTCGGACGGTGCTCCTGCGTCTCACGGTGCGTGCGGCGCGCGCGGTGCGTACAGGAAGGAACAAGTGCGCACTAAACTCAAGACACCGCACCGGGGTGCAACTCTTTTGTGGCCCGGTCTGCAGGAGGCCTCCGGCGGCCGCATACCTGCCAGGGACGGCTGGGCTGCGTGGGAGCCGCGGGGACAACACCCGCGCCGCCGCGACCGCGACCATACTGGCAATTGCTAGACTAATACTCCTTAGACTAGTATCCGCAGCAGTTCAGCGCTGCGGCGGCGGCGGCCCGCTCCGCGCGTAGCCGCGTTGCTGCGGCGGGTACTGTTGGCCGGGCGGGGGACCATACCCTCCCGGATAGCCGCGCGGCGGGTACTGCCCAGGCGGTGGCCCATAGTTGCCGTAGCCGCGCGGAGGAGGCCCGCCGTAGCCGTAGCCGCGCTGCTGCGGATACCCGCGGGGCGGTCCTCCGTACTGGTTGCCGCCGAAGCCGCCGCCCGGCCCGTACTGTCCACCACCACCGCCAGAGCGGCCGCTCGGGACCCAGCCCGCCCCGGCGCCCGTGCTCGGCGGCGTGTACGCCACGGGCCCGCGCGCTCTAGCTTGCGCGAGCTGCTCGTGGTAGCTCGGCGCGCCGCCCCCGGGTCCCGGGCCGTACTGCTGGGCCGGCGGCGGCGGCGGCGCCCGCTGCGCGTCCCGGCTCCGCCGCGGCGACGGCGGCCGCGCGATCGTCTCCTGGCGCCGCGGCGGCGCGCTGCGCGCGTGCGCGTCGAGGGCCAGCCGGACGTAGCGCTCCGTCTCCGCTATTGATGCGTCCTCGGCCGGCGGCGCCGGCGCCGGCGCCTCCTCGGCCTCGGACGCCGACGCGTTGGCGCCGAGCTCGGACGGCGCGCCGATGTCCGAAATGGCGTCGGGCTCGGGCCGCTTCGCCGGCGGCGCCATGCTATCACTTTCACCGTCGGACCAGCGGTCGCGCTTCCTTACCACTCTTGGACCGAGAAACCCCGGAGGTTGCGCCGGCGCGAGCTCGGAGGCCGAGTCGCTGCGCTGCGTGTTCGTCTCGACCAGGGAATTTACCGAGTGCGTCGTCGCCATGGCCGGGCTCTCGGGTCGTATGGAGGGCGCGCGGCTCGGCGGCGCGCTCGCGTCCATGGCCGAGCCGGAGTCGCTTTCCATGGCTACGGTGTCGTAGAGCAAGAGTGCTTTTCTTAGCTGGTTCTTGAAGGTATCCCTTTTCTTCCCACCCCTGCGACTCCTCCGCGGCTTGCTTTTCTTCGGTTTCTCCGCGGCCTGCTGTACGTCTACGGCGGCTGCAACTCCCTCCGCGGCTGCAGAGAGGGTGGTGTGTTTTGGGGCTGCTGGTTCCGTGGCCGCAGTTTCTTCTGCCGCCAAGCAGCGATGTGTCAAGGGGCTTCACACAGAGCTTCTCTCGCTGAAAACAAGCCAGTGAACGGGGAGATATGGCAACTTTTAAGGCGGCGCGCAATAATAATAGCTAGGTCAGTAACACACTAAGCAAGCAGCCCTTTTTTTGGCGGACGGCGTCACGGCAGTTTGTTTGCGTGCAGATCGACCTAATATTGATCGATGATGCTGCCCACACAAGGATGATGACGAGGCGACGATACGGACCAATGATGGCAGCCTACAAATTCCTGGGCAGCCTCCTCGTCCTCCGCACCATCAAAGCCGACCCCTGCGCGCCGCCCCAAATTCGGCTGCGCAACAATACACTCAACAAAACAATCGCCGTCGTGCTGAGGGGCGAGGCCTTCCGCAACACGGGCCAGCAGCACGTACGCGGGACCTGCGGCTGCGCGTTAGCATGGAAGACGCAAAGGCGCATCGCCGACGACCACGAGAAGTGGTTTGTGGCATTGGGCCGGAGCGGCTACGGCGTCGACGTCTTCGCGGCGACGCGGCCCTGCTCGAACACGAACGCGACGTACAATGCCACCGAGACCTTACGGGAGTGGTACGGGCCGCGGATGAAAGTTAGTGTGGAGGACGTTGATGACGGTTTACCGTTTGCGCAAGTCAGGAATAGAGATAGAGCCATTGCTCTCGTGAGGGACTACGCCCATGAACATGGCGTGAATTATGCGTATGTGTTCATCATGCGATGGGACTACAAGATTGATGTATCGAAGTGGCGCCCGCGCTGCGTCTTAGACGGGACGCTCAAGGACTCGCGCCATTTAATTTGGCGGACGAAGGACCAGGACAAGATGCAGGTCGTGCCGGGGGCCTTGGCGGCCTGCTTCTACAAGCAGAACGCGGACCGATCGGCCGTGTTAAATGGAACACGCTTGGTCAGGCCGTCGGACTGCACCTGGGACGCGTGCCTCGAGCACGTCTGGATCCGGACCGGTGGGTTAGGGCGTCCCCCCAAACACCCGCCCCTCGTCGTGTCGCACCTCTGGAAGCACGGAGAGTGCCCGACGCCCTGGGCGGTGAAGGTCGTCCATAGAGCGGGCCCGCACATCGGCAAGGGCCGTTTAAAAGATATCGCGGCCTGCGAGCGCGCGGACGCCGACCAAAGGCGTGTGGACCACTGGCAGGCGTGCCGGGACGGGTCGCCCGGCCAGATGCAGCGCGCGGGGCTCGGTTGTATACGAAACGGCTCGGTTGTATACGAACGAAACACGACCGCGGTGCCGCCCTTCGACTCGGCGACGCACTGGCTCGCCAAGAAGAAGGAGCACTGGACGGCCAAGGTTCCTTATCTGCGCGGGGGACCGCTCCCTCCGAAGGGCGTGCGCCGCGGCGAGGAGGGCCGCGAGGTGTTTGTGTAATGTATTACATACAGTTAATCCGTCTTGCGCGAACCCGAGCCGCTCGTCATACGCTCGTCGGGGTCGCTGCTGCCGCGGCGCCGGTTCAGCCGCCGGGCCCCCGTCGCCGCGGCGTCCGTCATCAGGACCTCCTCGGGCGCGGCCTCGAGCGCCGACAGCCGGATAGCCTCGGCGATCTGGCGCTCCTCCTCGGACTGCTGGGGCGGCGCGCTCTCGAGCAGCGCCGCCTGCAGCGCGGCGTCGTCGTCGTCGGCGCCGCCCGGCGACGCCGGCCCGGGCGCGTCCCAGCGCTCCGTCGCCGCGAGGCCGGCCTCGGCGCGCGACGCCGCGAGCGCGCGCTCGAGCTGCGCGTCGACGCCCGCCGCGAAGGCCGATTGCTGGGGCCGCGTCGACTGGAGCAGCGCGCGTTGCAAAGCCGGGTCGTCCTCGCCCGTCGACAGGCGCCGTTCTAATGGAGGCGGCCCGCCGCCGCCCAAAAAGGCCGCGAGGACCGCGTCGCCGTCGTTGACCGAACTGCCGCGCTGGCCCGCGAGGCGCCGCGCGAGGCGCGCGTCGCCCTCTTCGTCGCCGTCTTGCAAGCGCCGCGCCAGAGCTTCATCGTCGTCGTCCTCCTCCTCGTCGTAGTCGTCCTGGAGCCGCCGCGCGACGTCGCGGTCCTCGTCGTCGCTATCGTAGATGTCGTCCCTTGCGGCCCGCTGGGCGTTCTGGCGCGCTTGAAATGCGTGCGCGAGGGCCGCGGCGCCGCCGGGCGCGTTCATCAGCCCTTCCAGCAGCCCGCCGACGCTCGACGGCGGCCCCACCAATGCTTCGGGGCTCTGCGTCGCGTCCGGGCGTCTCACTTCAGGCGACGCCGGCGCGTCGTCCTCCGCTAAAGCCGCGGCGATGGCCGCCTGGTCCTCGGCGCTCATGCCATTGTCGTTGCCGGCCAGGACGTTGCGGCCCGCCGCCGCGAGCGGATTTGGCGGCGGCGGCGCGGGCGGCGGAGGCGTCGGCGCTCTCGGTGGCTCGACAATCTCCTTTTCGGACAGATAGATAATAGACCCGTTCGCGCCGAGGCCCGCGGCGTCGAGGCGCGAGCCGTCGTCGAGCTCCTGGGTACCTTGCGGATCGCTCGTGAGCTTTTGCGTGTCGACGGCGACCTGCTTCTCGCGCTCGATCTGGGTTTTTACTGCTTGAATTGTGGTTGTGGCGTCCGGGACTGTGAGGCGCCACATGCCCTGTGGGCTGCGGACGCGCAGCGTGAGGGGCATTGTTTTGCTTGTCGCCTATGCGTGCTTGGAGAGCGCGGTTCTAGACGCGCGGTGGCCTCTGGTGCTTTGGCTGCTTAGGGACGTGCTTTAGCCAGCTCGCCACCTCAAATTATGTCCTAGGTGCGCCAAAATTTTCGAAATCGATGTGTCGACGACGCTGGATAGCGTCTGTAAGACACTAGCCATAAGCGTGTGTGAACGCGACTCTTGCCTCACAGACCAGCCCATGGATCATGCAAAGCTGGTGGTAGCTGCATAATATCGGCCACGAGCCCTGCTAGCATTTGCATCGATCTTCGGCTGCTCAATCATGCAGAGCCTCCTCCTGTGTCTGTGTGCAGCGTGCGTGGCGTCGCTCCACGCGCCGCGTGGGCCACCGTTGCACGCTATACGTGGCGAGCGGCTGCGCACCACGCTGCACAGCACGCCTGCGAGACGTTTTGCTGCACAACATGCCACACGCATCGATACGCGGCTGCACGCGACACGCATCGATGCGCCCGCGACAGCCGTGCCGCGACGGCTGGCGTTCAGAGCGGCTGCCGCAGCGGCAGCGCTGGCGGCGAGGCCGTCGAGCGCGCACGCTGTCACGACGATCCTCGCCGATGCCGACGCCATCGACCAGCCGCCGACCGACCAGCGAAGGTATCGGCTCGTCGCACTAAGCAACGGGTTGAGAGCCCTACTGGTGTCCGACGAAACGGCAGAAACGGCCGCTGCCGCGCTCGACGTACATGTGGGTTATGCGTGCGACCCAGCCGATCGGCCGGGCGTCGCCCACTTCTGCGAGCACATGTTATTCCTGGGTAACAAGCAGTACCCACGGGAAGGCGCCTTCGCCGAATACGTGCAGCGGCGGGGTGGGAGCTCGAACGCCTACACGGCTGCCGAAGACACGTGCTACCACTTCGACGTCGACGCGACGGATTTCGAGGGCGCCCTGGACCGCTTCAGTGCGTTCTTCGAGGCGCCGACCTTCTCGCCGTCGGGCGTCGAGCGCGAGCTCGAGGCCATCGAGAGCGAGGATTCGAAGAACAAGCTGAGCGACGGCTTCCGCTTGCTCCAGCTCGACCGGTCCGTACGAGGAGAGAAGACGTACAAGAAGTTCGGCACCGGCAACCGCGCGACGCTGCTCCAGTCCGACGAGGCGACGCCGGCGCGCTACGCGGCGCTGCGACGAGTCCTTGTCGACTTCCACGAGACGTACTACACCGCTGATAGAATGGCGCTTGTCATCTTAGCTAGAGAGCCGCTAAACGATTTACAACGACTGGCCGAGGACAAGTTTGGTCGTCTGCCGCGCGGATCTGGACCGCGGAACCCGGCCGTGGCGCCGACGGCCCTCGTGCCGCCGACGAACGGCCTCCGGCCCGCGCTGCTCGTCGCGCCGGTCGGGGCCGCGCGCCGCTTGGCTCTCTCGTGGCGCGTGCCGTATACTGGCGATACTGACGCCGCGCGGCGCGCCGAAATCCGAGCGAAGGCGGGTTCGATAATAGCCTCGGTGCTCGGCGACGAGGGCGCCGGGAGCCTGCTGTCCTGGGCGCGCGCCGAGGGCTACGCCTCAGGGATTTCTGCGAGCGCGTCGCCGGACGGCTCGACGGGGCTGCGCCTCGACCTCGCGTACGAACTCACGTCGAAAGGCCTTAACTTCTGGCCCGATCTCGTCGCGGCGACGGTGGGAGCCGTCGCCCGGCTCCGGGAGAACGGCGTCCCGCGGTACCGCGTCGAGGAGCTCGACCAGCTCGCGGAGCTCTCATGGCGCTACTCGGAACCAGGAAAAGCCGACGACCTCGCGCGGGGCCTCGTCACGAACGTGCAGGAGGTCGGCTGGGACGCCGCGCCAGAGGATCAAGGCCGCGTCCTGGCCTTGTTCCGGAGGCGCGGTGCCGGGGCCGGCTCGACGGTCGACGCGCAGCTCGACGCGACACGTGCTTTGCTCGAGACGGGCCTCGTCCTCGAGAACCTGTGTCTGACGGTCGTGGCGCGCGAGTTTCTGCGAAAGGATAGTTATTGGCCGCTCCTCACCAAACGCGAGCGCTGGTACGGCACGGCCTACGAAACGTACGCCTTCGACGGCGCCTCGATACGGCAGCTCCAGAATTTGAAAGCGCCGCCGCGCGGCGGCGTGACGACGCCGCGGCCGAACCCCTATCTTCCGCGCGACCTCCGGCTCCGCGCGCCTCCGCCGGAGCCGCGGCCACCCCTAGCCCCTCTGGCGGCCGAAGATCCGGCGGCGCCGCAGCCTTTAGTTGTCGGTAGTGGCTGGACCGCGTCTTACTCGACGGACCGCGAATTTGGTCGGCCGCGCGGCGCCGCTTTTTTTAATGCGCGCGTCGGCGCCATAGGCGAGTCCCCCGAGAGCTACATACTGGCGCTGCTCTGGCGGCTCGCCTGCCTCGACAACTTAAGAGAGCGGCTCTGGCCCGCGCGGACGGCCGGTCTGCAGTACGCGCTCGACGTGGGGCCTCGCGGGGTTTCACTTTCCTTCTCGGGCTACTCAGATGGCCTGGCGGCGCTGGCGCGCGACGTCAGCCAGAGCGCCGCGAAGTTCGTGCCCGACGAGGCGTCGACGGCGCGCCTCGCCGACGTGATCCGTCGCGACCTCCAGGACAAGTCGAAGCCCTACGTGGCAGCAGGCTTCGCGGCCACGCGCGCTCTCACGCGAGACGGCGCATTCGCGGACCAGGAGCTTGTCAAGGCGCTCGACACGGTCTTCGCCGACGGCGCCACCGGCGCGGCGGTGCGTGTGAAGGCGTTCGCGCGAGACCACCTCTGGGCGGGCGGGCGGCCTGCGTTCGCGCGGGGCGGCGACATCCTGGTAGAGGGCAACTTTTTGGAAGCCGAAGCACGCGCGCTCGCGGCCGCCGTCGCAGGCGCTCTGCCGCTCCGGCCAGGCGGGCCGAATTATCCGACGCCGCGGGGGCTCGCTCTGCCGAAAGCGCCCGTGGTACTGAGGATCGGCGCGGAAGAAATCGGCACGGAAGAAAGGAACTCAGCGGCCGAGCTGCTCCTCGCCGTCGGCTCGGGGCCGCGTGCGGTGGCGCTGGCGTCGGTTTTATCTGCGCTGCTGAAGCCCCTGTTCTTCGATGCGTTGCGAACGAAGGAACAGCTCGGCTACGTCGTCCAGCTCGGCCAGCGCGCGTTGCCCGGCGCGGCGCGGCCCGTCGCTCTTGTACTACTCGTGCAAGGGGAGAAGCCACCAACGGTGCTCACGCGCCGCCTGCGGAAATTCGTCACGACCGAGGCCGCCGCGGCCATCAGGAACCTCGACGAGAAAACACTCCGAGGCATTGCCTCCTCGCTCGCCGACCAGAAGCTCGAGCCCGACCGGCGCCTCTACGACCGCGCGGGCCGCCACTGGGAGGAGCTCCGCCGGACGCGCGACTCTACGATAGAGGGCGCCGCCCTCGCTCTGAACTGGAACCGGCGCTACCAGACGGCGGCCGCCTTGAACGCGCTGACCCTGTCCGACGTCCGCGATCTCTGGGCGGACGTCGTGTCGGGCGGCAGCTTCGCGGTCGAGGTTTCTAACGCGCCGATCGACGGTGATGAAACTGTCGCACGGAGTGCGGAGGAGGTACGCGCGGTGCTCAAGCCCAGCTAGTGTCTGTGTGACGTTGTCTAATTCATTTCACTTGTTACCCCCACGCTCGCCGTCCGCGCACCGCGCCCAGGCCGGACCCTGCCACGCGCGGCATCGTACCCCGCCCACCGGACGCGCCGAAGCGCCCGCCGGGCCGCGGCCCGCTCGCGTAGCTCCGCGCGGCCGGCACGCTCCGCATCCGCGAGCCGCCCATGCGCGGCCCCGTGCGGTTCGCGCCGATCGACGGCATCCGCGATCCTCCCCGCCGCGGCGGCCCCGTCGTCTGCGCGAGGGGCCGCCGCCGGCTCGTCGTGGCCATGGGCCGCCGCGAGACGCCGAACGTCTTCGCGTTGCCTCGCCGCGTCCCGAGGCCGCGAATGGAATCCGTGCGGCGCTGGTTCGAGCGCTTCTGGTCCAGAAAGGCCTGCTCGGCGTTGTTCCGCCCTCTGCGCCCGCCGGCCGCGCCGCGGACGAGCGGCCGGCCCGCGCGCGCCACGGTCTGGCGCTTCTGCTGGTCTCTAGCTTGTTTTCTATTGAGCCACGAGTTCATCGACGCGTCGCGCCGCGACGGCTTTCGACTCTTCGACAGGCGATCGGGCTTCGGCGGCTGGAGCTTGACGGCCCAGACGTCCTGGGCCGGCCGGTTCGATCTCGGAGGCAATCTTTGTTTGGTAAAGGTCAGGGGCCCGCGCTGCCGCATGCCCCCCTTGGCCGCCGCCTCGACCCTATCATAAATCGAGTCCTTTTCCAGCGAGCAGATCCGCCTTTCTAAATCCACCAACCTATCGAGAGATGATAAGACGGTCGTCAGCGTCCCCTGCGGCTGCGGCGGAAAGGGTCCCACGGGCGGCGGCTCGTCGTGGTCCGGCGGTTTGGGCCGTACGCCGACGTTCGCCGGCGGCACGCCTGATTTACCGATCATCTGCTTGCGCGCCGCCTTGTAGGCGGCCTTCCGCTCCCGCAGCGACTCGCGCTTCTCAATCTGCACGCGCAGCTTTCTTAAACATTCAATGTGCCGCGCTACTTCCGCATCTAACCTTTCCTCCTCCCGCCTCTCATTCTCTTGATACTCCAACACGAAATCTTTCGTGACTTGCAGGGGCTTGGCCTGCTCCTCCTCGATCACCCGCTGCATCCAGCCCGCCTTCGCCTTGACGTTCTCGACGCCCACGGGTCTTTTCGCGTCTTTAGCCTTCATCGTCTTCGTCTTCAGCAGAGCGGCCTTGAGGGCCGCGTCGTTGGCGAGCTTGTGCCAGTGCAGCAGCTTCATCTCGGCCTTGATCTTCTCCGTCTCCGTCGACATGGTTGCGGTCTCTTGCCTTCGCGGCGAGGACGTGCTGTTGCTGTCTACCGGTCGGGGCAGCCCTCCCAGCGGCGATGGCGTTGCCCGTGTCCCTGCTGCCCGGCGTGCGTTGAACGACGTCTCAGGAGCTTATATGGAGGCTCCAGGGCAGCTTCGGCGCTGTCCTCCGCAAATAGCGCGGAGGCCGCACGGCGGGCGCTCTAGCCTGCGAAAGATACGAAACTTACTAGCGTGATCCTCAAGCGAGGACTGTGCATGGCTTTGCGCATCACTCCCTCCCGCTGGAGACCGCTCAGTCACGCGCGTGGACCCGCAGACAACAGCGGCGCGCGCGCCGGCGCTGGCTCTAGTGACTCTGGAGAGTGACTCTGCCAGACAGGACAAGAGCTAGCTCATCAGCAATCATCATGTGATTCGCACCGTGAGAACCGCGATCCCCCCACCACGCCATCGCCGCGAAAGGCAAATGGTAGGGAGACAACCAACTCGCAAACACACCTAATTAAACGCCTCGAGCGGCGCCCGCGCCCCGCGCAGGACGGCCGCGTGGTCGCCCGCGAGGCGCACGCTCACGTCGAGCAGCGTGTCGGCGAGCGCGCCGACGGCGGCCGCGTTCGCGCTCGACGCCGTGCCCATCTTCGCGCGCGAGTAGACGCCGCGGCAGATGGAGGCGATGCGGAAGTAGCCCACGCTCGAGAAGAGGTCGAAGTGGGGCAGGCCCGCTTTGCAGAGCGCCGCGACGTCCGCGCCGCGCTCCTTTGAACGAAGCGCGTCGGCGTACGCGCCCACCAGATCTTCGAGGGGCGGCACGCCGTGTTTATCCAAATTCAGCCCCCGGAAGCCCGAGAGCGGCCCGGCGACGAAGGGCGGGATCTCGTAGGGCATGCACAGGTACGCGACGTCCGCGAGCGGGTGGCCCAATGTCGCGAGCTCCCAGTCCAGGATGGCCCTGACACTGCCGTCTTCATCATAAATCAGGTTGTCGCAGCGAAAGTCGCCGTGCGCCACGCTCAACAAATCAACATCTCCACCGACGTCTGTCGCATGGTCCTCGCACGCGCTCCGTAATCTATCAGCGTGGTCCGCAACTCTGGCATCCGTCGTCACGCCCAGCTTCTCGTCCGCGCCTTGATATTGCCGCGTCCAGGTCTTGACCTGCCGCGCGAGGTAGCCCGCTTTGGGCGGACCCCCGAGCGCCTCGACTAATTTTGGCGGCGGCGCCGCCGCGTGCAGCGTCGCCGCCGCCCGCGCCGCGCTCTTATATAACAGAGGTCGCTCATCAATTGATGCCCGTTCCAAGTACGGGTCCCGGAAGTGGCGCCCGTCCACATAGTCGTAGACCCAAAAACGCGTCCCAAGAATGTCCGTGTCATCACAAAGCGCTAAAGCGTGCGGCGTCGGCACGCCTTGATTTCCAAGATGGCTCGCAAATTGGAACTCGCGGCCGACGTCGTGCGCGCCCTTCAAGAGCTTGCCGCCGGGCTGCTTCCGCACCACAACCGCTTTTTCGCCCCAGCGCACCGTGAACGTCGGGTTGCTCTGGCCGTGGCTGAACTGGCCCACCGTTACCTGAGCGACGTCGCGCGGCGCGCCGACCGTCTCATGCAGATATTGAACCAATTTCGTCGGATCGAAGGCGTGGCCCTTCCGGGGCTTGGTCTCGGCGGCGCGTTTAGATGATTTGTCTAAGAATCGTCTGGCTACGAGTGCGGCTTCCGGGAAGCGGTGGCAGAGGGCCGCGACGACGTTCATTGCTATGAATATCTGCTATGATGCAAGCAGTGATTGTGGCTCTTTGCACACGCAGGGAAGCGCACGCGTCGAACAGCTTGCAGCAGAGGTACCGCCACGACCGCTGCGAGCCTCTGTGACAGGTTGTCAAATCCTAGGCCTCCAGTCGCGCGCCGCGCCGCGACAGCTAGCTAGCGGCAGTAAGACACTAGCAAGCGCTGTAGCGCGCGTGCGAAGGTAGTTTAACGGCTCAATGCCTGCTCGACGACGCGAAGGGCAGCCGGCATTTCGAAAAAATAAGGCATAGAACCATTCGCGCAAAATTGGCAGCATTTGAGACAGGGCCAGCATGGCTGCCGCCAAGGAGGGCAGCAGCTCCGACCGAATAGGTCAAATCGAGGAGCGCCTCTTGGCTCACAAATGGCTCACATCAATGTGTTGCTCTGTCATCGCCATTTTGGTTTTGCTCCCGGTGTACGCGGAGCGCGTGGCCGAGCCCGCAGACGCGAACGCCGGGACGGGCTGCTGGGTCGTGTGGGCATACAGCGTGAACGCTGCCCGGCCCGGAGGCGGCGTCTACAGAGAATGGTCGGAGTGGTGCGAAGAGAGGTGGGATGCGTGCTGGCAAAGCGACGCTTCATTTCCCCCCTGCTGCCAGACAAGATCCGAGAAGACGAGCCTCCTCATCCCCTACGACGAGTCGTACGCCGACAAGGGTTGGTGGGGGGACGGTTACGGACCGCATAACGCGACACTTCATCATGTGGGGTTCTGCGAGGAGGACGACGCGTGCGCGAATTGCGAAGGGGACACGTTCGCCGTCGAAGCTGCGACCTGTGCGGCTGGGCGCTGCGAATCGCGCGCCACGAATGGTAGTTGCGCATGCGATTCGCGCGCCTACGAGGACACGCAAGGGGGTGGCCGGTGGGCCTGCGACGACGTTCGCGGCTGCCGGTGGCGCCGCGACTTCGTGGTGGGTCTCGCGGGCCCGCCGCAAGATCTGGTGAGTTGGTGGGCGCAGGACGAAGACTTTGCGATCCTCTACGCGCTGTATCTACTCGCGGTCGCCGCCTCGGCGTTTGGCGTCGCGGCGTCGCTCTTAATCCGACGGGATTTCCGCCGGAGCGAAGAGGCGGCTTCGACGACGCCGTTCCGCGCCTATCTAAAGGCTCTCGTGGCATATTTCGTGATCCAGCTATTCGCGAATCTCGCCGCCTTCCTGGGATTCACGACGTGGCGCTGCGAGCACCACAACGTGCAGACGACGCGCGCCTACGACTGCGATTGCGAAAATCCGAACCCGACGGTGGCGGCCATCGTCGGCGGCGCGTGGGAGTGGATGAGCGGCTTCCGCGGCTGGTGCGCGGGTGACCAGGGATCGTTCTCGAGACACTGGGGACTCATTTACCGCGACGAGGAGACGCCCGAGGGCGCCGCCCACAGCTACGCCACGTACATCCTCGGCATATCTATGGGCATCCTGACTAACATCGTGCTCGAGCTCGTGCTGGTCTGCCGCGTCCACCTCTTGGGCGGCGTGCCGGGCGGGCCGTCGCCGCGGACCTTGAAGGTCCTGCGATATGCTGTGTGGTGCCAGCTCGTGCCCTTGGCGGTATTCATGCCAGTCATGTACTGGGCCCAGTACGACCTCGCCAAGAGATTCCTGAGAAGCGACCATCAAGGAAACGCGTACGGTGATGCGATTTATGCATCGGCGTCGGTCATTGCAGTGGTCGGATGCGTGCACGTAGCAGTCTCTCTATACCTTTGCTACGCGTTCCTGCGGCCCCTTCGGCACGCCGACCGGCTCGGTGCCGCCGACAAGGCGATGCGCGCGCAGATGCTGCGCGTGCTCGTCGCAACGGTCGTCGCCGTTGTCTCGACGCTGGTGTGCTACATCAACCCCCTCGTCGAGTTCGCGCACCCTTGGATTTTCTTCGCGCTCGACTCGATCATCAACGACCTGTGCCTAGCTATCCTCGTGCTCACAGATCAGGAAGGTGACGCGGCCGCTGCGCGCGACGCGTCGGGCCTGCGCGTCGGCGTCGCGCCCGACGACTCGCCGGGGCTGGAGCTGTCCGACGGCGCGATGTTGTCCTGATCTGGTCTTCGTATCCATCCGAGTCCGGGCTTTCTTTTTCGGGATTTTTAAGTTCCTTTGCTCTGAGCCTCCGACTACCGCGGGGTATTTCTGTTACGGTGCTAGGACTAGTGGGCGGCGCCCCTGGGGGACACCGCGCGTCGCCGATTCATCGGCGGCGAGCGCATGCCACATTTTTCATAACAGCATACTTCTTTCTAGGCAGAACCGTACGCGCTGGCAAAAACCCGAACCAAGTAGACCTCGGGCTATCCTTCTCTAGACCTCCTGCTGGACATGCATGCTGGTTCGCTTTTGGGTGCCCTCGGCCAAAGGGCGGGCTCATCAAACAGCGCCCGCTCTCGGCAGTGGCAAAAGGGCTCGCAACGCTCACAAACGGGCGAGTGAGCGCAGCCGGGCGCCGTCGAGGCCTCACGCAGACGGGCCCACGCGACCGAGGGCTGCCCGCGCGCGACGCGCCAGCGTTAGACCATGCCGCGCGTGTTGCGAGGCAAGCCGGACAAGAACCCCAAGCTGCGCATCCGGGAGTACGACGACACGGGCAACTTCGGCGGGAAGACGTCGCGGAGAATCAACAAGTACGTCGACTTCAGCAAAGAGGCCGAGGAGGACCGTCGACTGGACAAACTCACCGCGCGACGGCTGCGAAGGGAAGCAAGGAACCGGCCTCCGAGACAACCGACGCCCGTCGAACCACCGGCACCAGCACCAGCACCCGCCACGTATTCAGACGACGTCTTCCAGGCCCCCGTGAAGAAACTGAGCGAGGAGCAGATGCGCGATTATGGCTTCGGCATCCCCCAGTGGTCGCCCTACTACCGCTTCGAAGGGCAGAGTGTTCAAGTGGGAAGGGCCATGTCCACGGACATCGGCAACTTTCCCAAAACCCAAGCGCTCACGCCGGCGATGCAGGTGCAGCAGGCCCGGAACAACATCGCCGAGATGAAGGGTCGCGCGGTGGTCGACCACCTCTGGGAGCCCATGGGCCACCGGCCGGACTGCATCGACGACCTGCGCTGGATCGACGTGTCGCGCGAGCAGGCGAACATGGAATTGGCGCACGCCGCGAAGATGGAGAAGCAGATGGCCGAGGAGAAGGCGCGCAAGCTCGCCGCCGAGGCCGAGGCGGACGCCCAGGCCTAAGTTACTAATCTTTCAATAGTGGCCTCGCCTTCCTTCGCGGCGATGGCGTACCGGCGGGTAGGAGTCTACACTAGAACTTTGTTATCTCTAGGCCGCTGTGCGGGTCGAAGGGGTTCTCGTCGCTGGTGGAGAGGAGCGACGTCTCCTCGTCGACTCTCGCGATCTTGGAGCGGTTCTTCGTGTAGAGCCAGGCGTAGGCCGCGAGGACGGCGATCAGCGAGAAGCCGAACAATAGGTCCCGCATGAGCCTTCCACCCGACGGCGCGCTTTCCGCGGCGACGGCGTGGACCTTGACAAAAGCGCGCCGGAACCAGGGGCCCCAGAGGCCCTTCCAGAACTCGCCGGAACAGCCCCCATCCTCGAAGAGCAGATAGCGCGCGCCGACGACGTCGGTCGCCGAGAACGTGTAACTCAAGTCGCGCCACGCGTCGTCGCGCGTGCGGTCGTCCCCTAGCTGGCCCGCTTTGTCGTGACCGAGGTCGTTCTTGGTCTTGCCCGATCCCCGCGTGACGCAGTAGGCCTCGGTCAAGGCGCAGGACGACTGGAGTTCCTCCTGCGAGCAGCGGCACGGCGCCCAGCGCGCGATCTTGCTCTTGCAGGCCGGATCTCGGCAGAGCGCCGCGCGGATGAAGTATTTGTCGCGCGAGCCCGTCTCCGTGATCTGCTCTCCCAGCACAATCTCGACCTTGCCCGAATCCAACACCGAGGCCTCCACCCAATTCACCAAATCCACGACCTGGCGCCTGGTATTGGGCTCGAAGGAGGTCTTGAAGACGCCGTCCTTGGCGGACCAGCCGTCGCCGCCGTTCACCACCGACCAGCCGTCCATCGTCCTCTCGCGGGCGTCTCCATTGCGCAGTAGGTTGCCCGTCAACGCCCGTCCCCTTTTTCCAGACCGCGGCAGCCGCGTGTCCGCCTCGCAAGGTTCGCGGTCGACCCAAAACGGGTCCGACTCCGGCCGCGGCGCGTCCTCGGCCGGCGTCCAGCCCTCGTCCGTGGACGACCAGGGGAAGTCCCAGGCTCGCGCGGCGGCCGCAACGAGGAGGACGAGCGTCCTTGGTCTCATCAATGGAGCAGTTTCACTATTTGTCAGTCACGCTTTCGCGTGTGCCGTTCGTATGGAGACTCGTCTCAATCGCTTAGTGCCGGTTATCACGCGGGCGTGTCAAACCAGTGCTAGCACGTTCGAGTTAGCTAGCGTCATGTAAGACACTAGCAGTGGATTTCACAGGCGCAATTTTACGGCGCGTGCTTGCCTTAAACACTGTAAGCGCTGCTCGCTTGCTGTTCAGCCTAGGCCATGAACACCCAGCATGCAGCAGCGATGCTCGCAGCATTATTGGTTGCAAGCACAAGCGCCCTGGACGCCGCATATGCCCCCGCGAAGCTGCAGTGGCAAGCAAAAGCCAGAGACACGACCGTGCTCCTCCTCACCGAGACCGAGGGCGCGCGACAAACGGCGCAGGCGATGTGGCCCGTCGGCGCGGCCATCGAGGCGCTCCTGAACGACATTGATGACGCTCAAGAAATCATCTGCTGCCTACCCTTCGCGACGGGCAAGGACTGCGCGACGTTTGGATTACGACGGTACGAGAAGGGCGAGGCGTGGGCCCTGGGCTCCGCGGCCAACGTCGGGAGTTGCCGGGCGGCGGCCGAGGCGCTCGATGGGAACCGCGACGGCGGCGCCTTCTCGCTGCGCTGCGCCGAGCTCGCCGTCGACGCGGAAGTTGATAAAGGCATCCTGAGCCTCGCCGGCTTCGCGTCCGAGGCGGCATCTAAACCAGAGAATGTGGAGGTGGTCGCGAACGCACTGGGCCTCGCCGAGGGGCAGGTCGCGTACGCGGCGGCGACGCCCGGCGACACGTTAGTGGTAGAGGTCGAGGACGAAACCGCGCTCGCCGCCGCGGAGGTCATTGATGGTTACCGGTGCGTTCTCGCGACCACTTCTGTTGAAGAGGGCTTCGCGGCGCGTTGTCTCATTGGAGACGACGCGCTGACGGCGGCGGTGACGACGCTCGGTTTGTATTGGACGGCACGGTCGGAGCTCGACGTCGGCCCGCCCTTGCGACTGTCGATCGACGGCCAGGCGCTCTCGCTTACACTATCGCCGCCGCCGAAGCCCAAGCTCGGCGGGCGGAAGCGGCGCATGCTTCCCCGGCTGCCGAGCGTCGCCGTATCGTTTATTTAGGACTAAAACTTGTTGTGTTAATACTTCTACTGGCCGGGCGCGAACGCCTGCGCCAGGCCCGTCGCCGCGCCGAAGCGAATAGATCTGATAGGGTTGATGTCGACGCCGCCCCGTCGCAGGAAGCGGCCCGTCACGCGGAGCTTCGCCGGTCTGCAACATCTGTCAATATCGAGGGTGACGCGCTCGACGGCGTTCTCGTGGAAGCCCGTCTCCGTCCGCAGAGAAATGATATAACAAAACAACGACGCATGATCGATACGTGGGCCCTCGTACTCGATCAGTAAAGTGCCCCAGTCGGGCTGGCCCGTCACGGGACACAGCGTCCTCAAGTTATGACTGCAGAGGCGCTCCGTGACGACGTCGCCCGTCGTCTTCAGTAGAGACGCGTCCGGCCTTCGCAGCATCGACTCGGGGACGTCGTCTTCACAGACGTCGTCGACGCAGGTCCAGCCTTTCATAGGAGGCTGGTCCTCGCATAGTCGTGCGCTGAGCTCGCTCGCGAGGCAGCCCACGACGGACGCCACGTCCCGTCTTATGGTAGAGAGCGCTTCGTCCGTCGACGCAAAGCGCTTGAAGTTCAAACTGTTCAGGTAGAGCTTCAGGGACTTGGACTCCACAACATTTGGTGATACACAGGGAATCCTCAGCTCCACGGCGCCGCGCCGCGGCCGTCCACGATGGTCGAGCCACGACACTTCATAACAGTTCCAGACGTCTTCACCTTCGAATGGGACCGCGCCGTCGGCCAAGCCCAGCAACCGTCGCCCCCTCGTCCGCGGGATCGGGAAGAGCACGTCGGGACTGTAAGTTTCAGGCGCGTCGCATTTCTCGCCGAGCACGCCCTCCTTCGGTTTTGTTGGCCGTTTCTGGGCGCGCTGGGCCGCGGCGAGCGCGAGCGCCGCGGCCGCGAGGGCCAGGGCGAGCTTTATGGGGAAATGCTCGTCGCTATTCCAGGCATTGGGGTCGCTGTACTCGTCGACCACGGGAGCGAGGAGATGGCGCAGTCCCATTGCCTTCGCGTCGACGGCGTGCAGCTGCAGCGATGTGCTGCACTCGCTTGCTCGGTGTGATGGCAAGCGATGCCTCAGCGATGGCTGCCCCGGTGCGCTGCGCGGCGGAGGTACGTTACGCGCTGCCGCTGCACTTAGTTTATGCAGTGGTGAAACACGCCCACTTCACTCGCGGAAGAGCAGGGGCAGCCGCAGGTCTAGTGGCTTTGTCTAGCACAAAACGAAAACGAAATCCGCGCGCTTCAGCCTCGACATGTCGGCAAATTAAAAGAAGACAGACACTTACTTCACCTAGAACATGATACAAAAACACAACATCACGACAGCGCCCGATCGATCGCGACGACGTCCGCGGCGTCCAGCTCGAAATCCGAGACTTCCAGGTCTTCGCGCATGTGGTCCATCGACTTCGTTCCGTCGAGGACGACGACGCCGAGCTGCATGAGCGCCCTATAGTACACGCTGACCGGCGGCTTTCCGAGGCGACTCGCGATCTCCGCCACGACGGGTCCGCTCACCACGTTTCGGTTCCCCGTAAGGGTCCAGAAGCCCTGGTAGGCGACGCCGTGGTTTTTGCAGAAAGCCCGCAGATCGCGGTCGTAACCGGTCCGATTGTAAAACCTATTCTGCACGACACCAGGTTTCACGGTGGACTCGTTCCAGAGCCGCTCGAAGGTCTGGAAATTCACGTTCGACACGCCCAGCGTCCGCACAGATCCGGCGGCATGGAATTCCTCCAGCACGCGCCAGGCACGCAGCGTCAGCTCGTAAGTCTCGAGCGGCGAGTGCAGCAACAAGGCGTCGACGTAGTCTGTGCCCAGGTTCGCGAGAGACGTAGAGAAGGACGCCCGAACCTGGTCCTCGACCGGTTGCCAGACGTGGTACGGCCTGCGGTCATCGTGGCCTCCCACTGGTGTGAACTTCGTCTGGATCCACAGGCGCTCCCGCGACGCGCCCGCGATCGCGCGGCCGAGCGCCGGCTCGTCGTAGTGCTTCGGCTGGCAGGCCGTGTCGAAACCAACGAAGCCGGCGGCCAGCGCCCGCCGCGCGAGCCGCTCCGTGTCGTCGCGCTTCCACGCCGTGCCGTAGACGAGTGACGGCATCGACGCGCGATACTCTACTGGGACACTAATCTTGACGAGATGTCGCGCATTGTCGACGAGGTGGCGCCCGTCGGCGTTGGCGGCGCTTCGCACGGCTTTGACCGCTTGCGACGCCGCGTCGACGGCGTCGTGCGCGCCGCTCGCCCGGGCGAGATTTATGATATGCGTCCAGTAGGCGCTGAGGTCGGCCCGTATTTCTGGAAACGCGCATGCTCCCGTGGCGTCGCCGGCAATCGAGACCTCACGGCACACTTCGGCGCCGCGAGCGACCGCGGCGCCCATCGCCGCCGTTTGCGAGGCCCCGTTCAGCGCGGCCGCGGCGCCCCTCGCTTGCCTCGTGAGCTGCTCCAGCTCGGCGACGAGGAGCGCGGGCGCCGGCGTGCAGATCGCTCGTCGCGCGGCGATCCAGCCGATTATGTGTACTCTCAGAGACGTCACGAAGTCGTTGACCTCGCACAGCCCCGCGACGACGATTGGCGAGGAGCGCGGCGCGGCGACGGGGTCAGTAGTAAGTCCCGCGGCCGCGCCGCGCGCCAGGACCTCGTCGGCGGCGGCTCCGAGCCCCGCGTTGACCCAGGCCTCTCTGCCTAGCCGTATGCTCGCGACCAGCTGGCGCAGGCTCGTGAACCGGTCGAAGGCGTAGCGGCCGTTACCGTCCGTTGCCGCCATGCCACGCAGATCGTCCCGCAACGCGGCCCAGGCCTCGAGGTCTTCGTTCTCGTGGTAGGCGAACGCGAACCGCTTGTCGAAGACCCTCTGTTCGGCGCCCGCTCGCAGAGCCGTAGCGGAATCTGTAATTTCCGCGAAGCTCCGCGGGCGGCCCTCTGTCGGTTGCTGAAACCACCACGGACAAATTCCCGCGGTCGGCAGCCACATGCCCGGGTAATTCCGGCCAGGATTCGACGTGCCCGTGGAACGGAACATCAACTCGCCGTCGAGCAACGCGAAGAGTCGTCGCGACGGTAATGCGGCAGCTTGGTCGGTCGCTGCTACGAAGAAGCGGCCCAAGCCGTCGCGTTTGGCTGTTACATGCCGATACAGCGTGGCGCAGTCGTCACTCGAGACGCTGTACTCGCTGCAGAACGCTTCCGTCGCATCGGTATCACGCGGGAACCAGCCGAGCTGCAATCGCTGCGTACTGCCATCGCCCAGTCCGATTGGTATGGAGTCATCGGCGCTGCAAATGCATGCGAGGGCGACGAGCCGCAGCGCTCGGGTGCGCATGACTGCTCTTTGTGAGTTATTCCGATGCACTGCGCTGCGCCTTGGCGCCTGGCAGCTGCAGCCTCCCTGCCTGGCTTAGCTCTCCCACAAAGACGCACGCGGAAAAAGCTGGTCCAACGCTCGCAGTACTGGACTAAAGACGTGATGCAAGAATTTCAGCTATCCTTCGCAGCGATGGGCCGAGTGCGGGCGTCACACAGCTGGCAGCTAGCGGGCGGTAACACACTAGCAAGCCTGTGCGCCGACCAAAAAGCGTGTTTCCCAGCGCGACGCGAGCAAAGGGCTCCTCCACAGTGTCTCTGGTACACACTGTTTGGGTCTGTTGCCGTCCTTCCAGCGCAGCCGACGCGTGGCCGCGAAACGCCTGGACTCCCCGTCGAGCTCTCCCAATCGGCGTCGCGAGCGCGCCGGCCGAGCACGCTCGTTTACAAAACAAAGCCGAAGCGCCGGCTGACATCTCCCAACACAAAGCAAACAAAGCCGAAGCGCCGGATCACATGGCTTTCTACGGCGGCCCGCGCGGCCCGCCGCCGCCGCCCTGGCAGGTCGTCGTGGCGCCGGGCCAGCCGCGGCCCTACTATTTTAATCCAGTGACGAACGTCACGACGTGGGAACCGCCGCCGCTGCCGCCGCCGCCGCCCATGAGCGCACCCGTGCCCGACGCGGCGCCGGGCGGCATCCCCCGCCCCGACCCGATCCTGGAACCGGAACGCTACGAGGCCTGGCTCCAGGTCACGCAGCACATCCAGTCCGGCGACAAGAACACGGCCTCGTTCAGCGGGTTGCAGAACGCCGCCGGCAACGGCATCAAGGGCCACATCACGGACGCCGGTGGTCTTAAATTAGGTGATTGCCACCTCTACCCGCTGGGCGCCTGCATGAAGGGCGACAAATGTCCCCACGTGCACAACAGGAAACGGTTTGGGCATTTGTACAACGCGGACGGCCTGCCCAAGGTCAAGCCCATCGCCGTCGACGACGGCCGGTCCGTGCCGCGCTACTCTGGAAATCGCGACCGCCGGGCGCCGTCGCCGCGGCGCCGCCGGTCGCGGTCGCGGTCGCCGCCGCGGCGCCGCCGGTCGCCGTCGCCCGACGACTACCGGCGGAGGCATCGGTCGCGGTCGCCGGACTACCGCCGGCGCTCGCCGCCGCGGTCGTACAGCCGGCGCGAGCGAGACCGATACCGCTGAGGCGCCCCTAAGAGTTTTATCACAGTTCATGTTAACTCTCCAACTCCGCGTCGACGATCTCGTTGAGCCACGCGGCGAAGCCCCGCCGCGGTTTCGAGGGCGCCGACGCCTCGCGCTCGACGACGGGGACCGGGTCCGGCGGCCGCAACAGCACGTCCTTGAGCGCGGCGACGTCCGCGCACGCTGCCTGCGCCGCCGCGCGCGCCGCCTGGCACTCCGCCTCGGCGCGCGCGGACGCGACGTCCCGCGCCTGCTCCGAGGCGCGCGCCGCTTTTAGGGACGCCTCGAGCTCGCGGATTTGTTGTTGCGCGTCCTCGACGTCGCCCTCGAGCGCCGAGATCTGGAGCGCGTGGTCGCGCTTGAGGTTGGATTCCGCTTCCTGAGTCTTCTGCTCGAAGCTCCGGACCACCCTTTCTAAATTCTTGCGCGCGGCCTCGACGCGATCTCTATCAGTCTTCGCGGCCGTGGCCGCTTCTTCCGCGTCCTCGCAGCGCTTCTTGAGGAGGCGCCCTAAGGCGGCCTGTTGGTCCGCGTCCTGGGCGGCGGCGTCCAAGCGCCGCCGCGACGATGAGGCGGTCGCCTCGCGCGACTGTAGGACCAGATTCAAAGAGTCGCGCTCGGCGAGCGCGGCGCCGCACGCGGCCTCGGCGGCGCGCCGGCGCTCGTCGACGCGTTTTGAACGCGCCTCGGCCTTGTCTGCCTTTTGTAATGCCTGCGCCGCGTCGTCGCGCGCAGTTGTCGCGTGCTTGCGCTCCTCGGCGGCCTCCTCTGCCTTCGTCGCCGCGAGGCTCCGCGCCGACGAGGCCTCCTCCCTCAAACGCGTGGCCTCCTGGTCCCGAGCTTTACGAGCGGCCTCGAACTGCGCTCTTAATTTATCCAGGTCGCCGCCCGTCGCCGGCGCTTTTGAGGAGGCGACCGCGGCCTCTAACCTGATAGAAGCGTCTTTCGTAGTCTCGCGGGCGAGCTCCGCCGAGAGACTGGTCGCGTCGTCGACGCCGGCGCCGCGTAGAGCCGCGGCGCAGAGGACCGCGACGACGTCAGATGTGGTCGCTTCGTTGCTCGCCACCCTATCTGCCTTGCCATCAAACTCGGACGCGGCGCAGGCCTCGAGCTCTTCGATGCGCGCCTCGAAGGTCTCCCGTTGCAGCTCCAGTTCTTCCCGCGAGTCGGCGCGGAGCTGTTCCAGGGCCGCCTGGACGCGCGCGTCGTCAAAGGGGTCGCGGCCGTCGTCCGTGACGTCCTGCTCCTCGGGATCTAGCAGTCGTTCTTCCGCCGCGTCCAGCGTGTCCTCGAGCGTGGCCAGCGCTTTGTCGCCTATCGCACGCGCAGCCGCCTTGGCCGCGCCGCCGAGGCCCTTGGTCCAGTTGCCCAGTCTTGCGGGCTGCTGGGTGGTCTCCGGCTCGTCGTCGTACGAGTCGTCGTCGTCATTGCTCGCCGCGCGCATCATTTTGTGAGCTGTGCGGTGCGTCCAGCCTTCGGCCTGCGAGGCAGGCGCAGCAGCGGCTTTGCCAAGCTGGCTTGCTGGGATTTCCTAGTGTCTTACAGGACGCTAGGTTACTGCTCTTTGCGTCAAGATAAATTAGGAACGGGTTATAGGTTGAAGAAGGCCCCCCAGGGTTCATCGTATTCCCCCCAGGGTTCGCGAGGGCCGCGGTCGTACGGTCTTCCAAACGTTCGCCACGCGGCGACGATGAGCGCGATGACCTCGTCTAGGTCCGCAGCGTCCGGATTACGCCGCCAAGCATCAGGAACTAGGTGCTTTGTTTCATCGTGATCAGTGAGCCAATACACAAGCTTCCAGAGGGGCCACTGGCTTAGAAACGTCCGCCAGCCCCGCTCCTCGTGGTTGTCCTCCTCGTACGCGACGGCGAGCGCAATTGCCTCGTCGTTCGCAGTTGGATCAAAGGCCTCGTTGTCGCTCGCCGCGGCGGGAATCGTCTCGTCGTTCGTAGGAGGGAGAGTAGGTGGATCAAAAGCCTCGTAACCAGCGGCCTCGCTATTTTGAGCTTGCGGCAGATCAAACAAGGACGACAGATCATCGAGCTCCGAATCAGCGTCGGCGGGCTCGTTATTTTGATCATTGGGCGGCGGCGGGTCATCAGGTACAGCCTCGACTGTTGCTGCGGTGGCTTCATCTTGAGCTGCGAAGTGCGCCTCGGCCGACGCTAGCGACCCATTGAACTCCAAATCAGAGTCATTTTCGTCGATGGAGAGCGCGGCGAAATTCTTGATGAACGTGCTGTTGCTGTTGAGAGAATCGGCATCGTGGGACGCGTCGTCGGGCGGCGCCGCAATATAGAATAGTGTCGCGGCGCACGGCGTCGCCCGCGTCTCCAGCTAAGAGAGGATGCGGTAATCCGAGATGGCGCTCGATGACGTCCCACCTCACGTCGTCGCCAAAGGCGTCCACCGACGTGGACGTGTTGTCGCCGCCAGCGAAAGCCCAGCCGGTCGGCACGCCGTCGGTCCACTCGATCGCGAAGATCGTCGCGCCATCGACGAAGGTCCTAAGCTCGTCGGCGCCGGTCGTGTTCTTGAAGCCGTCGGCCGTATCATCGGCGCAGACTGCGGCGCCGAGCGCCAGTAACTTCAGCAGTGAAACCATTACATTGGTGATTGATCACTGATCGCTTGCTCGCAGGCAGGTCGGCGGAGTTGCGGCACGAACAATAGGCGGACGAGTTCTTAGATGAGCTCACCGCGAGGCGCTCGCGTAGCTCAAGCCAAAAAAATTCCGAGAAAACCCGTTTTGATGCGTACGCGCGTTTGCAGTCGCGCGAGTGCTCCGCGCTTGAGCCAGAGATCTGCAAAAAGATCGCAGGAGCGCTGTCACAAGAGACGTATACGTCGCTGTTGCAACGCGCAGCACCTCGAGCCATCGCTGCGACGCAGAGCGAGGTCGTCACGTGACAGCCAGCCATCTGCAGCAGCTCCTCTGCGGCACGCGTGCCAGCAGTACTCTTTCAAGAACACGAGCAGTACGTACTAAACATCCAAGAGCAAATGTCGACAGCGACCGAGCAGTCCCCCATTAATTTTACGCCCGACGAGGGCGACGGGACCATGGCGCCAGCGTACGCCGTCGTCTTCTGTCTGAATTGTCGAGGCCCGTGTGGAAGTCCATCGAGCAGATGCAGTTACGGGGACAGCGTCGCGCGGGTTGCCTGAAATTTGATTTCCACACAGATATGATGGGTTCCGGCTATCTCACACTCCCAAGAGCCTTCGCAGACGCCGGTTTGGTCTGGGGCTTGTCCATCTTAGTCGCGGTCTCGATCGGCGCGACGGCCGCGGCCGAGTGCTTGCTGGACTGCATGGCGCGCGCGGGCTGGATCGCGGCCGCGCGAGCGCTGCCCGAGAGCGGCGGGTCCTTTTGTAGAGTGCCCCTCGACGCGCCGTCGCCGCCCGTGACGCGTCTACAAAGGGAGGCGCCACGGCCCGTCCAACTCCCGGACCTCTGCGCTTTGTATCTCGGAGATACGGGCTACGCGGCCTACGTGACGTTAATCTCGGGCTACATGCTCGGGAGTCTGTGGTGCTACGCGGCCATCTTCGCGGCGGCCTTGGAGGCGAACCTCGCGCCGAGCGGCCACGTCCTCTACGTCGGCCTGTTCGCCGTCTTCGTCGTGCCCCTCTCCCTGAAGGACCTCGCGGACCAGAAGGCCGTGCAAACCTTACTCGCGTTCGGCCGCGTCGTCATGCTGGCCGTCATGCTCGTCACCGCGTTGACGTACCTCTGGTCCATGGGCCCGATCGCGCCGATGCCCAAGCGGACGGGCCCCTTCGACGGCGTCGCCGCGTTAGCGCCGGTCGTCACCTTCTCCCTGGTGCTGCACCACAGCGTGCCGCAGATCGTCGCTCCTGTCAAAGTACGAAGCGAGTTCGACAAGAACGTGCTTTTCCGAAGGGCCTTCGTCGGCGCCTGCCTGCTCTACGCTCTCTTCGCCGCGCCGGTGGCCTACTTATTCGGGGAGAAGACGCAGTCGGCGGCGAATCTGGGCTGGGCCACGTACCACCACGTCCACGACGCGTCCGACCCGAGAGACGCGCTGAAGACGCGCCTCATCGCGTGGCTGGCCCAATTCGTCGTCCTCTACCCGGCCGTCAACGTCCTCGCCACGTATCCTTTGAATGTGATCACGTTCGGCGACGCGTTACTGGCGGCGCACCGCCGCTTCCAGGCGAACGGCGAGGTCTCGGCGACGCCGCCGTCTCGGACCTCCGTCCGGATCGCCCGATTGGTGGCCGCCGTGCCGCCGCTCATCGGCGCGTGCATTCAACCGGACATTTCGTCCGTCACGAACGTCACGGGCTGCTTCGGGCTGTTCCTGTGCGCGGTCGTGCCCGGCGTGCTGAGCCTGGCGGCGCGGCGACTGGCGCCGGGGCCGACGGAGCACGCGTCGCCGTTGAACGGAAAGGCCGCCGCGGTGGCACTGGTCCTCGTGGGCCTCGTGCTGACGGCCGGGTCGCTGGCCGCGGCGCTCTGAATCGAATGTGCAAATCGAAACTGTGCAAATCGTCGTTAACTTTATGAAGTCTTATGTGACCGCCTCGGGGTCCCGCAGCGCGTTCTCCTGCGGCGCATCTGCGCCGATGGAGTGCGTGTCGAGCGTGAAGCAGCGCGGCACGAGGAAGTCCGCAACCATCAGGGCGGCGGCGTTGCCCAGCAGGACGCCCGCGATCGCGGCGGCGGCTGGCGAGGCGCCGATCGTGGCGACGCATATGACGCCGAGCACGAACATACACACGTAGGCGATACGCAGCGCCCACCGTACGTCCTTCTGCCGCCGCGGCGTGCACGTCTTGCGGAGGTAGATCGCCGTGCAGAAGGCGATGAAGGCGAGCCCGTCGAGCGCTATGATTGTGATGAGGGCAGCCTGGAGGACCATGTTTTAGTACCACAGGTCGTTTTAGTACCACAGGTCTTGGCCGAGATTGGTGGGCAGCCCTTTTGGGAGCCTAGCGCTGAACAGGCAATTCAGGATCGTGGTGTACGTGTTCCGTGCGGCTGAAATAGATCGCAAAGGCAGCCCAAATCCTTGCCCCACGCTCGTGAGAGCCAAATGGCTCTCTCAAAGCTTGGGCTGCCAGAGCCCGCACGAATTCGATCGCATGCCGAACGCGACCTGGAGAGGTATATTCAGTACGGGTAGTCGGCGCGCCGCATAGAATGATACCCGAGGCCAATTCAGGCAAAAGGCCTCGACGCTGCTACGCTACGCGTGGCGTTTTCGAAAAACAGCAGCATTCGTGACACGAGCGAACGAGGCAACTCTCCAGCATACTCACGCATCGCTGCCAAGGCAGCGCGCATCACTAGGGCCGCCCACGTAAAGTTTCACTGCAGCCAGAGGAGCCCTGCCACAAGCCGTCGCCGCGCCAGCCATGCTGCTCTACCTACTGCTGGCATCGCTGCGCGGCGCACTGCCTGTGACCGGCGCCGCGCCGAGAAAAACCGGAGAGGAGACGCCCGGCCAGCTCCGGTCGAAGGCCGACGAGGCGCTGCTCAAAAAGGACACCGATACGGCGCTCTCGTTACTGGCGCGAGCGATCAAATTGGAGCCCGACAACGAGCGGAACTATTTCAAGCGGGCCAATGTCTTGAAGCGAGCCGGCAAGGCGTCCCGCGCCGTCGAGGATTTAGATAGTGCATTGAGGATAAAGCCCGGCTACGGCGCCGCGTTATTGATGCGCGCGCGAGCGTTACTGGGCATCGGCCGCTGCGACGAGGCCAAGCGCGACTACGACGCGGCCAAGGACAAGGAAGGGTCCGGCGCGGCGGCGGGCTGCGTCGCGGCGCTGCAGGCGGCTGATAAAGCTAGAGCGAAGGGCGACCGGCGGTTGGAATTAGAACATCTGGCGGAAGTTCTGGAGAAGTACGCCTCGGACCAGCCGTCTCATTTGTTGTTGTTACGAGCGAGGGCGCACTACGACCGCAAGGACTGGTACGAGTGCATCGCCGAGAGCGGCAAGGCGTTGAAACAAACGCCGGACGACCTCGAAGCTTTAGAATTAAGAGGTTCGGCCTATTATTTCCTGGCGGACCACGCCATGGCGAAGACGCACTGGCAGCAGGCCTTGCGGAGCGACCCGGAGCATCCCGGGTGCAAGAGCGGCTACAAAAAACTGCGCTCTCTAACGAAGAAGGACGCGGCCGGCGACAAGCACTCGGCGAACGGCGACCACGAGAAGGCCGTGGAGCAGTGGGTGTCGGCCTTGTCCGTGGACGAGTCGCACGCCGTCTTCCACACGTCTACGAACCTGAAAATCGCCTCGTCCTACCTGGAGCTGAAGGACTATTCGAACGCGAAGCGCCACTGCGACGCCGTCCTATCCCAGGACGATAAAAACGTCGACGCTTTGATAAAACGAACAGAAGCGGAGATCGGCGCCGAGGACTACGACGGAGCACGGCGGACCGCCGCCCGAGCGAGGGAGGTCAGTGACGACGACCGGACGCGCAAGAACCAACAAAAGGCCGAGGTCGCCTTCAAGCAGTCCAAGGAGGTGAACCACTACAAGGTACTGGGCGTGCCGCGGGACGCGCGTACGCGGGACATCAAGAAGGCGTATCGCGACGCTGCGTTGAAGTACCACCCGGACAAGATCGCGCCCGACGTCAGCGACGGCGAACGGGAGCGGCTGACGGCCAAGTTCCAGGAGATCGCCGCCGCGTACGAAATATTGTCCGACGAAGAAACGCGCGCGAAGTACGACGCCGGCGAGGACGTCTCCGGCAGCGGCCAACAGAGCCAGGGTTTCCCTGGCGGCTTCCCGGGCTTCCCCGGGGGCTTCCCCGGCGGCGGCTTCCAGCAGGGCGGCCAGCGGTTCACGTTTACGTTTCGATAAGTTTTTATTTATGCCAGTGGCTAGCTAGTTTTCCTTGGCGGGCGCGTGCCGGGACTACGCCATCGTGCGGAGGCGCGCGTAGGCGTCGACTGATTTGCATGCAAACCCGCACGATAAACAAAAGCGGTTCAATACAAGTTTGCGCACCTGTCAATTTAGCCATCTCTCGAGCCAGCCATCGGCCGGGGATGATCGCGATCGCTCAGATCATGAGGAGAGCACCAGTTCCCGTCAGCTCACTGCAGTTAAGCCTCATCGAGCCCGGTTAGTACTACGGTGGGTGACCACGTTGGAATCCCGGGTAGTGATCTCTTTCTTTTTTGCTTTTTTTTTTGCATGCCGCCTTACTTTTACCAACAATACGACGCAAGCGGTGAATTGCAATGCAGGGTATACCTGGGACAGGCGCGCTGTGAGAGCTTACAGACGCAGATGCCGCGCGCGCGAGGCGAATAAGGAATCGCTTTGCTGCCGAACAGGAGGCCCTGGACGTCGCCCTGCTCGCGGCCGCGGGCTGCCCATTCAGGCGCGGACCACGAGCCCAACACCATTACACTGAGCATACTGCGACCTCACCGAGCACTCACCATGGCGACGGCGCCGGCTCCACCAAGCACAAATAAAACAAATTACCGCCTCGACGCGGCCTTCGACTACGAACAAACGGCGGCCACGTTTCGAAAAAGCATAGACGCGCGGAGAGCCATCGATGCCGGCAAATGGAAGCCGGCAGCACCTAAAGCCCCGCGGCAGTGCACCAGTGCCCCGGAGCACATCGTTGTGTCCAAGCAACTTGAGAGCAGACCAAAAGCAACGCGGGCACCGCCACGGATTTCCTGCGGCGACAGCTTTGCCGACGACTTGACAAACGCGTCCTCCGTCACGGGCCAGTCGCGGCAAAGCTGCCGACCGCTGACGTCTCCCGTGCAGACGTGGCGACTCCGTGATCGCACACCGCCCGCGACCGCGCTGATGCCGCGCTGGGCGGCGAGAGAGACGCGCGCCACGACGACGAGCGGTCAGTGACCCGGAGCAGAACGACCTTGAACTTGACGTGGCCGCAGCGATGGCGTCGACGCGATGCCACTTCGCCTCGACGCCGTCGAGGTGGCCGTCAGAGAGTCTACGCCTCTCGCGAGAGAGCCGCTGCATTTTCGCGACGGCATCATTCAACGCAGGCGCTGGGAGGCTGAAAGGCGGCGGTGCCGACGACGACGTTCCGGAGAGCCTCGCTTATCTGCCGGCCCGGCTCCCCACGGATCGCTACTTCGACGCGGCCTCGCGCCTCGAGGACCCGACGTCGCCGTACTACTGGACGGGACAGCTCTCGTCGCCTGCGGCGCGAGTATTCCTCACGCCCACCATACTCCATGTGGGTCGAAGGCACGCACTCCGTCGAACGACCATAAACGCGCGCTCGCGCATCTACTGAGAGCCGTGAAGGGAATTTTGTTAAAAGTTTTTCAAGAAGTTTCTCAGCCGTGCTAGCTAGTCCTCAGCACTTTTTCGTCAAGCGTGTGGCGGGCCAGCTAGTCCTCAGCACTTGCGCGGTCAACGCCACGCAGGGGCTAGCTAGTCCTCAGCACTCGAGCGACGCGCGGGCGTGGGCTAGCTAGTCCTCAGCACTCTTGCGCCGGACGACTTCTCCTGGACGCCCCCGAAGCCTGAATGCAATCGTGCGGGTATGCTCTAGGTCCGCCCCCGGCCCCGCGCAAAGCGGCAATAGCACACTCTACGCCTGGACAGCGCTCGTCACTCCGCGTATTTGGCAGCCTAGACCACGCGCGAGGACGCCTCCTGACCAGGAAGCGCCCCAGCGGCAGCCCCAGTGAGCCATGGGCTGCCAGACAAGCAAGCCAGAGGATGTGCAGCCGCCGCCAACGCCGCCCGCCGACGCGGATAAAGCCAAGTCGCCCCCAACGCCTCAAACCGCGCCCGCGGACGAGCCCGCTGTCGTCCTCGAGGACGCCTTCGGGCCCGCGCCGGCCTCGACGCCTTCGGGCTTCGCGCGCGCGTTGGGAGTTGCCCAGGATCCAGCGTCACCGCCGCCCGCCCCGACGAGCACACGCGGGCGGTCCCTCAGCCCGTCCTCCTCGCGAGGGGACCTCGTCGAGGACGGGAAAACGGCGTCGCCGCCGTCCACGCCGCTACCGCCGCGCACGGACCCGCCGAGCCCGACGTCCGCCGGGAGCTTGCAAGCGCCGGCGTTCTGCGTGGACGATGACGTGACGACACCAATAAAACTGCCGCCGCAGCCGGAGGTCGCGTCGCCCTTCGACCCCGCGCGGCCGCGGCGACCGCCGACCGTGGAATGCGACGCCGACGCGGCAGCACGAAACGTGCAGGCGCTTCTCGCGGCGCTAGGCACGCCGACCAAACGAGTTGCGACGAAGCCGCCGCCGGCGCCCGACGACGATACGACTCGGTTCGCGCGGCAGGCCCTCGAGGCATCCGGCCGCGACTCCGAGGACGCGTCGAGCGCCGCGAAGGCCCTGGCGACGCATGGGTCGGGCCTGGCGGACGGGCTTGCTCTACTGAGGAAGTGTTAAAATCATAATTAGCGAAACACGGCCCGGGTAGTCGGATGCCTGGCGAATTTTGGACTCCACCTCCCCTGCGGAACATCTCCGGACGGGTCGATGCTACGGGGACATGGTCCTTGCGTGCCCGTACTCGAAGCCTTCGTCGAGGCGGTACCGGGTCGGCGTCATGGGCAGCGATCGGAGTAGGTGAAGCGCCGGCCCCACTTGGTTGCTTCGAGCTTGCTCGTGCCGACGCTGCCCGGGCAGGCAGCAACGTTGCCACGGCCAAGCGACGTCTCGAACGCCGTGTATTGACGGCTGGCTTCCCGCGTGCCGAGACCCGCGGCTCCCGGGCCAAGGGAGGCAGCCCTACGGAGAGCGTTGCAGCGCGCAGCAGGCCGCTCAGCGCGGAGGGGCAAAAACAATTCATAAGGCAAAGTTCCCAACTCTCCTCCATCGCGTCCTCAGGAGCCCTCACTCCCGGGACAGTGCGAGCGCTCAGATCATAGGGAGAGCACCGATACCCGTCAGCTCATCGAAGTTAAGCCCTATCGAGCCCGGTTAGTACTACGGTGGGTGACCACGTTGGAATCCCGGGTAGCGCTCTCTTTTCTTTTTGCCACTTTTGCCATTTTTTTGCCCCCCTTGCCCGTCTCTGCATTTCGACCCAATTTTGGTGCACACAGTCTTCCCCATGACACAAAAGTGCTAGCTTGTGGACTTACTCTCCCACGTCTTGAGGTGCGTGTCCGGCAGCTTGGTCGCCTCGCGCCGGTCGACGAACGCCGCCGGCCCGCCGTCCTTGGCCGCGACCAGCGCGTAGTGGCGTCCCGTCGCCGCCACGGCCTCCACCCGCCCGAAGCCCGCGTCGGCGCACGCCTCCGCCACGCCCGCCGCGCCAAAGTCCGCGTAAACGTCCAGGTACGGCTCCGTGCTACGGATGAACACGAACGCCGGCGACGCGCGCAGCTTGCGGAAGCCCTCCGTCTCGAAGTCCTGCGGCGTGGGGAGGTGTCGCGGCGATGGCGTACAAGTGGATGAATTCAGACTCAGCAAAACGCGCCATCTCGGTGACCCACAACTGGCCGCCCGGCCTGAGGACTCTATAAGCTTCGTGCACGACGTCGCGCGTCGCCGCGGGCGGCAGCTCGTGCGCGACGAAGGAGAGCACCACAAAGTCTTGGGAAGAATCACCAAAAGGCAGCGCCGCGGCGTCGGCGCGCGCGTACGAGACGCGTTTATCGTCCGAGACGACGTTTATCCAAGCATTGTCGCCCTTGCAGAGTTCTGGCAGCCGCCTCGCGACTGAGATCATATAAGGACTCAGGTCGACGCCGACCAGCGATGCAGCGTCGGGAAATTTTGCAGCTAAACGCCGCGTGCCGTGCCCCGTCGCGCAGCCGAGGTCCAAAATGGTCTCGCCCACGGCCGGCGTTCGCGCGCCGGCCGCGACGAGCGCGTCGTCGAAGGCGCCGCGGAACGCCTCCTCGCCGTCGGCGCCAAATGCCGGGTAATTTCGAGCACCTACAGCCCGTCCCGCGACCTCCGCCTCCCAAGCCGCCTCCCAGCAGAGGTTGCCCGGCTCGTACGCGTGGAACGGCTGGCGGTAGTACGCGGGCACGGCCACGTCGGCGTCATCGTCCAGCTCCCACGTCGTCGCGCCGCGGATCCAGGCCACGGCGTCGGCCCACGGCACGCCGTTCTCCTTCGCCGTATTGATCATCATGTTCCGCGAGGCGGGCACGAGCAAGTTTTTGTAGATGGGCGACTTGAGCACGGCGCTCATGAGGTCGAACGCTGATGCTGTTGGCGCCGCAGCGGCCGCGAGGGCGAGCAGTATCTGGCACTGCATGGTCATCAAGCTTGGTCAGCGTCCGCAGCCGTGCGAAATAGATCGTTTTCGGCGCAGGGCCAGCGTCGGGAGCAACGATACGGCACGCGTGTGTGCGCAGAACCGCGTGTGTGCCGTTTTTAGCCGCACCTGGACGAAGCCAGCCTTAAATGCTAGTGTCTCACAACCGCTAGCCCGGCCGGAGTCTTGAGATGCTAAAAGAGCGGCACCGCCCACGAATTTGACGGTTGGACGCTGTGAGAGCACCAATCATACGCCGCGAAGGCGTGAACAGCAGAAAACCGCACCAACGCGATCGCTGTGGCACAAAAGGTGACTTGCAGCAGCTGCCCCAGCGCGTACACGAGCGCAGCGCCATAGAGATGGACGCCGTCCTGGTGAAATTCTCGACGGAGGAGCTGCGCTTAGCCTGTCAGCGTGGCGACATCGAAACTGTGCGCGAGTGCATCGATCGCGGTGCGCAGATTAACGACAGGAGATCCTTCGACCCTAATATTGAGATCTCTCTAGCTCTGCACGCTACAAAGACGCCACTTTACATCGCGTGCGAGAATAATCGCTTCGAGGTCGTGGAGCTTCTTTTGGCGCATGGTGCCTCTCCTCGCATTGCCGACGGTCGCTGGCAGACCCCGCTTTTCATAGCTTCTGTATGGGGCCACAGCCGCATCGTCCGACGCCTTCTGCTGGAGGACAGCGATCTCAACCACCGGAGCACCAACGGCTCGACGCCACTTCTGGCGGCTGTCTCCAGTGGACTCTCCACGTGTTGTGCTGACTGCGTCAGGACGTTATTAGAGAGGGGCGCTGCCGTCGACATGCCGGACCACAGTGGTTGGTCACCGCTTGTGGTCGCGGTTGAATCTCAAAAGTATTATCATGGGGCCCATAATCTCGATGAGCGCCAAAGATTCGTAGACATGGCCCGCATGCTGCTGACGCACGGTGCTGACTTTGACTGGGTGCCTTCACAAAATAGAAGTTGGAGAAAATTACGTTGGAGGAGCCCGACTGATTTTTCATCCTGCGCGACGCCGCTGCAACGCGTGCGAAAGCTTGGAGACCCTGCAATGAACGCGCTCTTCGACTGCTACCTCTTCTCCTACTTCCTGCTCCGCATCCGCCTCTGCGTGATCGGTCCGTGCGCGCCGCGGCCCGCCCCGCGCCGACGCGGCTTGTTCGGGCGCCTCGTCGCGAGGCGCAATGACGTCGGCGGGGCGCGCTACGGCCTCGTCGACGAGCCGCACCTCGCGCGCCACGTCGCGTCGTTCCTGGTCGGCTAGTTGTGTGACTAAGTGTAAGAAATAAAACTAATACCATGACGATGACCCGGAACTCCCGAACATCGAATTGAAGAGGCTCTTCTGTTTGGGAAGAGGCGGCTTCACGGGCCGCGCGGGCGCCGCGGGCGCCGGCGCCGCGGCGCCGTTGTCCTCGCTCACCTCGATGACCACGCTCTTCGCGCCGCCGCCCTCGAGCTTCCGCTTCGCATGTCTCAAATTGGCGCGAGCCGACGCGAAGTCCGGCCGCAGCCGCACGGCCTCCTCGTACGCCTTTATGGCAGCCTGGTAGTCGCCTTTTGATTGTAGCGCATACCCCATGTTGTTGTAGGCGTCGGCGTAGTGGGGCCGATGTTTTACTGCTGTTTCATATGAGTTGATTGCTTCGTCCAACCGCTGCTGCGACTGCAAGGCCACGCCCAGATTGTAGTGCGCGATGGCGTACGTCGGATCGACCTTCAGCGCGACCCCATACGCCTCGACGGCTCTGGAAACATGCCCGAGCGTCTGCAATACGATACCCATGTTGTTGTGGGTTATGGTATCTCTGGGGTTCGCCCGCACCGCGACCTCGTACGCCTCTAACGCGCCCTTCGTCTCGCCTCGAGCATGTAACACATTTCCGAGAGAAGCGGCGATCTGCGCGTTCGTCGGGTCGAATTTCAGAATGAACCGGTAGACTTCCGCGGCCTTCGCGAGATCGCCTCTCAGATGTAACGCGTCGGCCAGGTTGCACTGCGCGTCCCAGTGCTCCGGGCGGTTTGCTACGGCCGTACCGTACGCTAAAATGGCTTCCTGCAACCGCCCTTGCGCCTCCAAGGCGACCCCCAAGTTATTTATCGTATCGGCGTCGCCGGGATGCCTCGCGATGGCCACGTGGTACTCCGCGACGGCCTCATCCAACCGCCCCACGGATTGCAAGGAATCAGCCAAGTTGCAGTGCGCCTCGGAGTGGTCCGGGTTATGTAGTATAGCCTGCTCGTACGCTAGGATCGCTTCGTCCACCCGATTCGTCTCTTCTAACGCAACACCGAGGTTATTGTGGGCGTCGGCGTGCGTCGGCTTGATCTCTATCGTCCGTCGGTATTCGCGAATGGCCTCCTCGACATAACCCCGGTTCTTCAACGCAATGCCGAGGTTGTAGTGCGCATCCGGATAAGCCGCGTGATACGTGATCGCCGCTCTATACGCCCTTATAGCGGCTTCTACTTTACCTGACTCCTCCAACGTATTCCCCCGATTGCAGTAGTAGTGGGCTTGATCCAAACACCACTGCCTCGACTCCTTCTGGCCGCCTAGCGTCCCGTCGATCTTCGAACGTAAAGCATCCACCGCGTCGGGACCGTACCCCACGTCCCGGATCTGCCTGCCCCTCCTCCACGGCAGACTTCCAAAAGCGTCGACGGCCTCGCCCGCGTCTCTGGTGGAGTCCGGTGCTAATTCTTTTTTCAGGAACGACCCGATGGCTAGCAACGACTTTGCCGAACGTAGGGTGTTGTGATCGCCCTCCGCGACAATGATCTCCTTCGGGCCCCCGTACGCGTCGTGCAAGGCTTGGGTATGATGGGTACCAATAAAATCGTCCATTTTCGCGCACACAAATAGGGCCGGTAGTCTACAGCGCGGCACTTCCCTTATGGCGGATAGGTCCCTGATGTCGAAGCCTGCTTGGGATTGTACTGAGGTACCGAGCATGGACAAAGCTAGTCTCGTAACTACCGTAGGTACGACGACGCCCCTTTCTCTACCTTTGGCCACGAGCTCCTCGGCCAGCTGGCAGAAGTCCGCGAAGGGCGAATCCAAAACCATGGCGTTCGTCGTATGTTTTATGGGAGGTGGTGCTTCACCCCACAAAGGTGTAGTTTTTTGCGACGCTTCCCTAGCTTGATGGAGTAAAGCGGTGACGGCGCCCATGCTTCGACCCCACACGCCGATCTTCTTGACCCCATGTCTCCTCAAATGATCGACTACGGTTTTGAGGTCGTCCTTCTCCCAATAGCCCAGCGACACGTAGTCGCCTTCCGATCGACCGGATCCGGCGCAGTCGAAGGCGAAGAGCGTGAGGCCGAATCCTAAACACACTGAAAGTTGGTTCAAACCTTCCAACCGTGCGGAGGAGTTGCCATGTAAGAACACAACACATGGCTCACCTTTTGAGTTAAGAGGCGCCCAGTGCGAGCACTGTAGGGCCAAACCCCGCGCGTTCCTCAGCACAAGGTCCTCCCTCCTGTAACTTCTCCCACAAAACTCGAACTCCGTCGGCCCGAGCCTCGCGGGGTCGTAGTCGGCGCGCGGCGGCCGGATGATCGCGTTGACCAGCTCCTCATAACCCTGGCGCATGATGGACCAGTAGGACGGTGCGGACTCGCTCGGTTGCGCATTTTCGGTGGACGTGGCGGCGCCCATGGTGGTGCGGCGCCTGGGATCTCTGGGGCTGGGGTCCCCCGCGCGTCGAAGGGCTGCCGGCTTTTGACAGCGACCGGTGCGCGCGGCGGCGAGGCGTCCGCTGAGCGCTGCCCCCTCGGCGGGGCGGTCGCGGAGCGCTGGGGATTGCCGGCTGGCTTGGAATGGCAATTAAATGGGGTTTAAATCGGGTTTAAACCGCGTGGTGTTTGGGTTTGGGCCCGAGAGCTACGGAGTGGCGCCGGAAGGGTGCGGCGACGACTGGCGATGCGGGTGCGGGCACCATAAAACCATAAAACCCGGTTCCAGGCAAAATTGGCATCGACACAGCCTGTTGCGGCGGATTTCACGCGCCACGCGCGGTCGCCGGCCGCATCATGAGGCTCGTATAGCCGCCGCGACCACGCCAAGCAGTGCTGCCGCGAAAGAGGTAGGGCTGCCCCCAGCTTGTGTGCGCTCAGCTCGAGCTACACAGCCCCGTAGGACACAGCACGAAAAAAACGCTGCCCCGGCGATGGTCGTTTCGCACCGGGGCGAGCGCATGGCGGCGCAGCCTCATCAAAGAGCCGCTTTACAGGACCCGAACGCCGCTCTCACCAGATGCGTGCGGTCGCGACGACGTTTACTGCGGGACGCGACGGCCGAGGTCTTGAGCAATTGCGACGACCTGTCGAGGGCCCAAACATCGATCAGAGAACTGGAAAGTAAACATAATGATGCACTACGGAGTGACGCTCTACGAGCTTTGTCTGAATTACGACGGGCGGGTCGGATACGAGATGTCGTATTTGAGGAAAAGGATCTAGGCGTGTCCTTCGTGCTCGCGCGCTTCGACAGTGTCGATGGCAAGCACAACGAACTGGGGAGGCGGTTCGTGGTCGTCGAGACGACTAGACCGCTAGGTGTGGCCAGGAGGATGCTCGCGCCGACGGACGAACTGGTGGGCATCGTCGGGAGTGAAGGACTAGAGCCGGTCGTCGACCCTACGGTGGATGCGTTCGACGACCTGCTCAAAAGATTAGATCATGAAGAGAGACCGTTGACGCTCGTGTTCGCTTTAGGACCGCAGCGGGAGGCGGCGCACGCCGCGGCCGTGGCCGCGGAACGAGAAACGGCGAAAGCTCGGGAGCTGGAGCGGAAACAGAGGCGAGCGGAACGACGACTACAAGAAGCTCCAAAGTCACCGACGGAGTCGTTCATGGAGGAGGCCTTCTTCGGTGGGGAAGACGAGCCTCCACCCGTGCCGCCGGTGGAGCGGAGTCGAGCCTGGAACGCGACGGAGGATCGCGAGGAGGATGCCGAAGCGGTCAAGAAAGCACTGGAGGCGAAGCGGTTGCAGAGAGAGGCGAAGGCGCGCGAGGAGGCCACGAAGCGCGCGTCTTTGTTACGACAGCGCGCCGAGGCCGACGAGACGCGAGCTATACAAAGGGAGCGCGACGCTCGAAGGGCGGCGCGCGCGCGCTCAGCTGCGGATGCCTGTGCCGCGAGTTCGGGACGGTGCGCTGCGATAGCGCAGGCTTGCGTGGACGAGGCGAACGACGCGGCCGGTGGTGTTGCGTTGTTATCTAATCTCCGTAGCCAGCTTAAAACTCTACGAAGGCAGCGCATTTTTGATGGCGCGGCCAATACCGATTTCAGGAGGGAGTTGGTACGCGTGAGAAGGGACCTCGAGCAGGTTCTGCAAAGGTACGGGAACAATCTCACAGACAAAAAGGGTGGGGAGGACGATTTGGAGGTCATTGGAAGACTGCTGGCATCGGGCAAGGACGACTTCTGGGACGAGGATGAAGAGGAACCGTCCGAGACGCCTCCCCAGTCGCCGAATCGGGCATTAGAGAAGCTGCGGACGCGCATCGCCTCACCTAAAAGATCATCAGCAGCACTGCGCGCTTCCAAGCCGCCTAAATTTGTGCACTCGCCGTCGAAGCCGGCGACGCCCCACCAGTCCGAGCTCGATGCCGCGGGTGATGAATTTGATGAAGATTTGGATAGGGCGATTAATTGGGAGGACGACGACGACATTCGCGAGGGCGTGAAGAAGCGCGAGAAAGATGATGCCGATTTACTGAATCGGCGCAGTGAAGATCTGAGGCGGCGCTTCGCAGCGGAACGAGCTTTAAGGGAGGACCGCGCGCGCGCTGCCGACGCTGCAGCCTTAGCTGCCGAAACTTTATTAGTGAATGCGGCGGAGCAGCGCGCCGCTGAAAAAAGGGAAGCTCGTAGATTGTTAGCCTCCGCCGAAGCCGCTAGACGGACGCGGGACCGCCTCGCCGTGGCGCGTTTGCGGAACGAGAAGGAACGAAGGATAGCGGCGCGCCACGCGGCCACGGCCGCCTGCGAACTGGAACGGATCCGAAGGGTGCGCATTGATGAAGACGCGCGAGCCGAGGAGGCCGCGGCGTTCTTGGAGCGACGCATCGAAAATATTACGACAGTGGTGGCGCTGGCCGAGGCGGAACGAAGTAGGAGAGTGGACGAGCGGGCCGCTCTGAGAATCGAGGCCGCGGCCGAGCAGCTGTCGCACCGCCGGTCCGCCATCGCCTTCGCGAGGGCGGCCAAGGATGCCGAAGTAGAGGCGTGGCACGCGCGGCGCGACGTTGAAGAAAGAGCCGCGCGCGTCGATATGGTAGCGGAGCGCGCCCGGTCGATAGCGTTGGTCTGCGGGTCGGCCGAGGCGGAGCGCGCGAGGCGCGTCGAGCTGCTCGTGAGGGCGGACGAGGCGTATCGGAGGGAGCTGCCTCGTATACGTCAGAGAGTGGTGGAAGCGTGCGAGACGGAACGCGCCGAGCGCGTCGCCGAGGTCAATCGAAAGCGAAAGGCGGAGGTCCAGCGCGCCGTCGACGCGAGACGGGACGCCGCGCGCCGCTGCGAAGAGGAACGCCAGCGTTTGTTGGAAAATCTCGCTGCTTTAGCGTGGCGGCGGCCCTGGGCGCCCGCCGCGATCCAGCGCGCGGCGGGTGACGTGGAGGCCTTCAAGAAGGACGCGGCGCTCTGGAAGCGGCGCTTCTCCGATGTTAAAAATTCGTTGACGCGCGACGTCGACGTTGCCAGGTCCGAAGCGGACCGGTGGAAGCGCGCCTGCCACGACCTGAAGTCCAGAGTACAGGTCGTGAAGAAGGCGAGCGAGGGCGAGAAGGCGTTACGGGAGGAAATACAACTGTGGAAGCGGAAGCACGAGGCATTGGTTGCGTCGCAGGCCCTGAATGCCGAGCTCGTCGCGGCCAACGAGCGGGGCTCGGCGCGGCGCAGGAGCGCCGAGGCGAAGCAAGCCGCGGAGTCGGGGATGTGGCGGGCGAAGCACGACGAGCTCCTTGCGTCGAGCGACGCGATCCAAGCGAAGCTCGAAAGTGAAAGAGACGCCTGGAAGCGGCGCTGCTCGTCTCTGACATCCGAGATGGATGGGCTGCGGGCGCGGCGCGGCGGCGGGGCGGCTAAAGCGTCGGAGGCGGACTCCCGGGAGCTCGACGAACTGCGGGCTTCGAAAGCGTCAATCGAAGCGGAGCGCGACGCCTGGAAGCGGCGGACGGACGCGGGCGCGGCGGACGCGGCCAGGCTGCGCCAGCGCGTCGCGGAACTCGAGACGACCGTCGCTTCCGCGTCGGCCGCCGAGGCCGCGCTGGCGAAAGAGCGGGACGCGTGGAAGGCGCAGCATGACGAGTTGAATGCACCGGAGCGGACCGGCGCCACCGTGCGCGACCTCGAGGACAAGCTCGCGGCGGTGCGACGGGAATGCGACATGCTCAAGGAAGCCGCGCCATCGAAGGGTCCGGGCCTCGACGTCGCCTCGGCCCTCGCCATCTCGCGCGCGGCGCGGTCCGTCGGCGTCGCGGAGCGGCGCGTGCGCATCGCCGACGGGAAGGCGGCCCAGGCGCTCGACGCGGCCGCGGCCGCCGACGCGGCGAGCGCGGCGCTGGCGGCGGACTGCCTCGCGGCGCAGGGCCGGGCCGGGAAACTCCAGGCACGCCTCCAGAGCGACCGGGCCGCCCAGCGCGACGCGCCACCGCCGGACCAGGATTTGTTGGACGAACTCGTCGCGGTCAAGCTTCAGTTGGCCCAGGCGTCCCAGCTCGAGGAGGAGCTCGCAAGCGTTCGGGCCCAGCTGGCCGAGGCTCGGGCGGGCCACGATTATATCAAGCCCGTCGAGAAAGCGCCCAAAAAGAAATTCTTCGGTAGGAGTAAAAAGTGAATAGTGAATAGACTTATCACACAACAGGAGCCCCTCCGTTCGCGCGGCGCTCGTCCGCGCGTCTCGCGGCCTCTATGAGCGACTGGCGCGAGCCCGCGGCGTCGCATAGCGCCGAGAAGCTGGAGTCGGCGTCAGCGAGCAATGTCGACGGTGCCGCGTACTCGCGGAGCTTGCCGTCGTCGAGGACCGCCACGGCATCGCAGGCCGCGATCGTCCCTAGCCGGTGCGCGATCGTAATCCTAGTAGCGCCGCCCAGGGCGCCGCCGTTGAGCACGCGCTGCACGAGGCGATCCGTCTTCTGGTCGACGTTCGCCGTCGCCTCGTCCATGAGCACGAGCCTAGACTTCCGCGCGATCGCACGCGCAAGACATAGTAATTGCCTTTCACCGACCGATAAATTGGCCCCAAACTCACTGAGCTCGAAATCCAAGGCCAATGAAGCGACACGATTGGCCGGCACGTCGCCGGCAACTTCGGTCGCCCCGTCTGATAGTGAAGCCAGGGATGTGAGCGAGCCCGACGGCGCGAGGCCGCCCCCGCGCGCCAGCTCCAGCGCCGCCTCGAGCTCCTCGTCCGTGCGCTCCCCGAACATGTCGAGGTTGAAGCGAATCGTCCCGGCGAACAGGGTAGGCGCTTGCGGCACGATGGCCACGCGCCCGCGCAGCGTCTTCAGCCCGACGCTCGCCACGTCGACGCCGTCCACTAGAACGGCGCCGCTCTGCACTGGGTACAGGCGTAGAATTGTCTGCACGAGCGTCGACTTGCCGGCGCCGGTACGGCCCACGACGCCGACGCTCGATCCGGCCTCGATCGTCAACGTGAGGCCGCGCAGGGCCGGTTCGGGCTGCCGCGGGTAGCTCAGGACGACGTCGCGGAACTCGACCGCCGCCGGTCTTTCCCGCAGCCAGCCCGCCGCGTCACTCTCGAGCTCTAGCGGCGGCTCGGGAGGGAGATCGAGGTACTCCTGCGCGTGAATTCGCCGTGAAGGTCGCGTCGATGGCGAGGGGGGGATGGCGTCTTCTCCACCGGTACGCCATCGCAGCGAGTCGACGCGCGCAAGTTGTCAAAGGACGCAGAACAGTACGGCGATGCGCTCGACGGCGTTCATCGACAGCTCGAGTTCGGTGTAGGTCCGCATCAGCCCGATGATCGCCGCCGTAAAGGAAACCGCGTAGGTCAAGACTAAACCAGCTTCGGGCGGAGATAACTTGTCCTCGTTGGCCAGCGACTGAGCATACAACGCCAGGGCCGTGCTGCCGGCCACCGTCGACCCCAACGCGTTGAGGCGCACGGAGAGCCAGTAGGACAGCGCCGCGAGGTGCAGTTCCGCCGAATTTGTTCTGTCAACCAATCCAGCAAAGCGCTGCGCGAAGCGTCCGAAGGCGCCGTCGAAGGACCGAAGCGTCTGGAGCCCGTTCAGCGACTCGTTGAACAGCGCGTAGACGGGCGACTTCGTGGTCGAGTCGATGCGTTTGAGGTCGCGCGCGAGCAGGAGGTAGTTCCTCGCGACGTTGAACGCGACCGCCAGGACGGGAATGAAGCACGGCAGCAGCCACGGCACCTGGCGGCCGATGGCGAAGAGCGATACGCAGGGCGCGACCAACGAGCGGATCAAGAACATGGTCGTCATCGCCACGGACCTATCGACGGCCTGGATGTCCGTCGCGAAGCGGTTCTGCACGCGGCCCACCGGCGAGGCGTCGAACCAGGCGACGGGGTTGCGCAGCACGGCCCACGATAGTTTTTCGTGGATCGTCCGCGAGGCTCGTAGCGCCCCGAGGTTCTGGAACGAGATGGCGATGGCCGTCTGCACACAAAAGACCGCCGTCCACACCAAGTAGAGCGTGAGGCCGTTGCCCGACAGCGGCTTGCGGCCGGCCTCCATGGCCGAGATCCAGTTCGTGAGGCTGTTCGCTTGCACGTATTTGGTCGGTTGCTGCAGCGCGAACAGCGACGACCCGATGAGGAACGCGACGCCGGCCGCGCTCAAGTAGAGCTTGAAGTTGCTCAGCAAGGGCGCGCCCTTCTGGCGCTTCTCCTCTTCGACAAGTCTACTGTTCGCGTTCCCCTGGGGCCCGATCGGCGCAGATTTGGCGACGGCCTTCGGGGCCTCGGCCGTCTTACTTGACTCGGGGTCAGCCAGGTCTTCCAGTAGTGTAGCGGCGGCCGCGTCGGCGGCGGCCTCATCAGGAGAGCCGGCGAAGGCGACGCTGCCGTCGGTTGTCAGGATCACGACCTGATCCGCCCGTGGTAAAGCCAGCGACACCTGGTGCGTCGCCAGGACCACGGTCTTGCCGCGCGCGACCAGGCCGCAGATCGCCGATTCGAACAGATGCTCTCCTACATGCGCGTCGACCGCACTCAACGGATCGTCGAGGAGGTAGACGTCCGCGTCGGCATACAAGGCCCGCGCGAGCGCGACGCGCGCCTGCTGGCCGCCGCTCAGCGTCACGCCGCGCTCGCCCACCTCGGTCCCATCACCACCAGGGAATGACGAGATGTCGGGCCCGAGCGCGCAGGCCTCAATGCAGGCGCCGTAGCGCGCGTCGTCCTTGCCAGCATCGCCAAAACAGATATTCTCCTTAAGCGACGCGTTCTGGCACCAGGCTTGCTGTGGGCAATACGCCGTCGAGCCGCCGACGCGGACGCGGCCTTTGACGCGTCGTATCTCGCCGAGTAAAGCCGCTAACAGTGACGACTTGCCGCCGCCCGTGACACCAACCACCAACGTAAGCGTGCCCGGCGCCATGCGCAGGTCGACGCCGCGCAGCGTGAGGCCGCGCTCGTTCGGGTCGCTTTCGGTGATCAGAGGGTTCTCTTCGGTCGCCGCGGCCGCGTCGGCCGTACCTCCCCAGCGGAATGCGGCATCCTCGACGCGCACCTCGCCGCGCTTGACGCCATCGCCCGAGGGCTTGTCGTCCACGTCCGGGGCGTCCAGAAAACTTTCGACTCTTTGTAAACTCACGTAGCCCGTGATTATGAAGGTCGCCGCGGAGGGCGCCTGCATCAATACAAAGCGCAGGTTCTCGAGTAGAGTTAACGTAGTGAAGCCCGTGGCCGCGTCGATGGGCTTGCCGAGCAGCCAGGACATGGCGACGAACGTCGCGACTCCCATGATCGGCGGCGTGGCATTGATCAAGGTGGCCACGGCGACTTGTAACCGGAGGATCTTGGCGAGCTTGCCGAGCTCCTTTTCTCTCCTACCCTTAATGGCGTCAAAAATTCCAGACTCGTAGCCGAGCATCTTGATGATGCGCGAGCCTTGCAACATCTCGGTCACGAGCTCGAGGCGGAAGTTTCTCGCGGAGAGGAACTCCTTCGACGCCGCGGCTAATCTCCCAAAGATGCCCTTGTTCAGCACTGTATTTAACGCAATGACGATGAGCGCGCCGACGGCTGCCACATGAACGAGCCAGAAAAGAGCGCAAAGCGTGATGACTAATTGTATGACGGGGCCCCAGACCCAGTGAAAATACGCTATCGCCGTGAGCGCATTCTGAACGTCCGCGCTCATCAACCCGACGACCTCGCCGACTCTACCACCGCCACCCGACTCCTTCTTCTGCGGGCGGCCGCGCCCGGCGGCCGCCGGTGGTAACGACGCCGCGGCCATGTCTACGCGTCGCGCTTTATCGTAGATGAGAACCATGATGGCGCCGCGGCACCGCGTCGCGACTCTTCTTTGGAGGAACATCTGCAGCGCGTCCGCCGTCGCGTTTAATAGGGGTCCGCCGAACAGCAACCCGACCGCTGTCCAGCCGAAGGCATCATCCCTCCCAAAACGCCTTAAAATAATATACAAACCCAGCGGCTGGGCGTAGCCCGTCACGATGTAGAACAACCGGCAGATCCCGGCCGCGACGAACTGCGGCCAGCAGAGCCGGCACAACACGCCGAAGAGAGCTAATGTTCTGGAACGTCCCGGGTCGCCGCCGCGCGCCTCGGGGTGCTTCTCTAGTAACTCCTGGAGCCGCGGCCAAGTAGTGTCGACCAAGTCGCCCTCGACCTGCTGTGGCAGGTCCTCGACCGCGACTGTGTGGAAATCAAATTTCGGGCGCCCCACGCCATCGACGCGATGTTGTCTCCGTTGATTCCGAACGCACTGGTTGATTTCCACACAGCCGCCCACGGTTCTCGTCCTTCAGCACCGCCTTGCGGTCGAAGAGTCCGCGGAGCCACGTGAAGCCCACGATCTGATGCAATTCAATGGCATTCTCTTCGGGCGACGGCGCTCGTTCGCGCGGCGTTGCCTTATCGCCCGTCAACGCAACGACCAGCAATATCGCGTGCGCACAGAGCGCCCAGAGGGACGGCGCCGACAGGTGAAACTTCGCCGCGGAGACGCGCGTCTCGCGTAGGGCTGCGAGCGCCGAGCAGGCGACGAACGCCGCCGCGGCCAGGCTCGGTTTCGCTGGTGAGGACCGGCACTCCTGCGCGTCGGCCTTGGCGGCGACGAGCCAAGCCACGGATCGCAGCAGGTCCGCGCCCGCGCGGTAGAGCCGCGCCCGCTGCTCGCCGCGCGACCGCAGCAATCGCACCGAATAGACGAGGAAGCAAACCGCGTAATAAATAGCCAGGACGTAGTAGGCGGCCTGGCGACTAGCGAGGCGCACGCGCGACCGGATCGCGTGCTTCGGCTCGTCTTCTTCGAGCAACGGCGCTTCGAGGTTGTTGTCGTTGGCCGTGATGTTGTTATTCGTCTTGCGCGCCGCGCGGACGGTGAAAAGCCATGCCACGACTCCCCACAACAGCACCGCGCTGAGGATGCAGAGCTGCTCCTCGCGCGTGCCGCCGATGCTTGACAGTGATATGTGCATTGAGTATGGCTGCAGGAGAGCTTGCTCTCAGTGGGTTTGAACTCTTAAGTTTGCACGCGCAAAACAAGGCACGAACACAATGAGTCTTAATCGCAGCGCTGGCGTCTCAGCACGCCGCGCACGCCGTGTGTGCCACTGCAAAACACGCACGGGGATGTTTCCTAGTGTCTCACACGACGCTAGCGCGGCTTGAGCCCCCAAAGGCGTGCCGCAGCGCACCAGTGGTGTCATTGGTCCAAAGTGCAGGCACATTGATTGCGGTAACGACGCCGCAGCGATTTCCTCGATAAACGAGCAGTGCAGCGCAGTGCAGCATGGACCCCACCCGCCCAACACGAGTAGCCGAAGCCATCCTGCAAAAGTACAATTCCCTGCAAGTAAAAGACGAAGGCTGGACCGTGGTCGCCGGCATCGCCGCGGTCGACGCGGGCGGCCACGTCCACGTGCTGGCGGCGGCGTCCGGGTGCAAGTGCGTCGGCAAGCTGGAGAAGTGCGACGACGTCGTCCGCGACGGCCACGCGGAGGTCGTCGCGCGGCGCGCCTTCCGGAGGGCGCTGCTCGACGACGCCGACGCCTACGACATTGCTCGAAGCGGCGAATGCTGGCTCTTCGCGACGGCGCCGCCCTGCGGCGACGCGGCCATCTACGAGTTGGACGATTCTACGATTGCCTTCTCGGGCGCGAAGCTCGGCGACTGGCGGCGCGAGGACACGCAGGTCACGGGTGCAGTGCGATTGAAGCCGGGCCGCTCCGACGTGCCCGTCGACCGGCGGAGCGGGTCGCTCTCGTGCTCGGACAAGATCCTGAAGTGGAGCGTCTGCGGGCTGCCGGGGGCGCTGCTGCGGGCGCGGTTCCCCGACGACATTCCGTTAAAGGGCGTCGTCGTGTCGGCGCAGCCGCGGGCCGCGACGCTGGAGCAGGCCCTGGACCGCGCATTGTTTCAGCGCGCGGAGTACCTCGCGGCGGCCTGTCACGAACGGCCGCCGTTGCTCCGGACGCGCGTGACCGACGTCGGCGCGGACGTCGCGGCGCGACGGGGCGTCGGGAAGCCGTCGTCCTTGATCGTGGCCTGGTGGCGCGGCTGCGGCCCGTCGCCGGAGATTCTCATCGCGGCGACGGGCCGGCCGCGCGGCGCGACCAAGAGTTCCAAAGCTGTGCCGCGCCTCGCGACGGCGTCTTTTCTAGAAAAGCTCGGCGTTCGCGACCGCGCGGCGCACGTCGCGAAGGCGCCGCGGCGCGCCCTCGACGTCGCCGCGCGCGAGGTCCTGCGCGCGGACCTCGCGAAGCGGAGCACGCACCCGCAGCTGCCGCCGGCCTGTCTCCTCGTACCCGAGGGCGTCGACGGCTGCCGTGTACGGCTCGACGACGACTAGGCGGTGTGTGTTCACGCCACCGACGCGCCATCCCCGGCAGCGATGGCGTCTAGGGCAGCTGCAAGCCATCGCCGCAATGAATTCTGTTGTGTTGTAAACCAAAAACTAGTTACTAAACGCGCCTCTCGTACGCGTCGAGCTGGCGCGAGACCCGCCGGCCCGTCGCGACCGTCGTTCCTACCAAGGCGAGCACGCCGAGCCCTCCGGCGACGTAGCACCACCGCGGCAGCGCGACCGTCGCGCCCTTCGCCGCGAGGACCGTGCCGACCGTGCCCGGCAGGTAGCCCAGTAGAGTACTGAAGAAATAGGCCGGGAACTTCGGCGCCATCGCTCCATATAAATAGTTGATCGCCGGCGGCATGGGCACCATCCTCAACAATAATAATATAGCGAAGCCCTCGTCGCGGACCGCCGCGGCGACGGCGCGCAGGCGCCTATCATTTGAGATGCGCTTATCGAGGCGCGGCCGCAGCCGCGTCCGTCCGACGTAGTACGCCACGCACGCCGCAGTGACAGAACTCGCGAGCACGACGGCGAGCGCGACCTTCGTGGGGTAGGCCACCCCCGCGGCGGCGGCGAGCGGCACGGAGGGGATGCCGCAGAGCTCCATCGTCATATATATGGATACGAAGGCGACGGACCCGGCCGGCGTCGTCGTGAGGTCTCTTACCTTCTCGAGCGCGCCGTCGACGGGGCCGCCGCCCCGGACTCGCAGCGCGTGGAGCGTCGTGGCTCGCCGCGGCCGCGGGAGAGCCGAGGCGACTGTTGCCGCATATGCGAGGCAGAGTGCGCGTCGCATTGCGTCTGATAGCTTGTTTTATAGCCTGCCAGCGAGCGCAAGGCTGCCGGGCAGCTATGCTGCACGCGCGCTTGCGAGTGCAGCCTGCCAGCTGAGTAAATGCAGCAACAACCAAGCGCTCTGGGCGAGCTGCACGTGTCGGCAGCGCCAGAAACCTGTCGAGCCAGTAAACAGTGGGCGTAAAGGACCCCAGGTGCGACGTTCAGCGGCAAAAACTGAACCACTTAAGCCACAGCTAGCGGTGCAAGACACTAGCATTCCACACCCGTCGACCACCAAAGGTCCGGCGCGCCCGTCAAACGCACTCTTCCGAGTCAGGCAACCGTTTTAATTCCGCCACGTGCATCAATATTGAGCTCCTTGGCAGGCAGCTGGCAGCCGGCCTTTTGCTCGGCTGCCCCGCTGCCCCGCGGCACCATGGAGAAGGAGATCTCCAGCCAGAAGCTCGCGTCCACCGAGAAGCGCGTCCTGGCCTACTCCGACCTCGGCTTCGCGGTGCATGACAAGAAAACAAAACAACTCAAGAGCATTTTACAGGATGTCTCGGGGCGCGTCGAGCGGGCGCGCGTGTTGGCTATCTTGGGGCCGTCGGGAGCCGGCAAGACGACGCTGCTGTCGTTGTTGACGTTGCGGGCGCCTTCTGGCGAGGCGACCGGTGTGACGACGCTCGGCGGACGACCGCTGACGCCCGCATTGTTCCGGAAGCAGTGCTTCTACGTCGCCCAGTCGGCGGAGGAGGCCGCCTGGCCGACACTCACACCTCGAGAACAGCTCACTTATGCGAAAATATTATTCGAGGCCGCCGGTGCCGACAAAGAGGAAGGGCGGGTCAATGCCGTGTTAAAACAACTTGGTTTAGAATCTTGTGCCGATACCGTAGTAGGACATGAATTAGTGCGGGGTGGCCTAAGTGGCGGCCAGAAAAAAAGATTAGCTGTTGCCGTCGCGTTGATAAAAAGAGCAGTGTGCATGTTCCTCGACGAACCTACGTCTGGGTTGGATGCTGCTGCTGCTCTCAGAACCGCAACCGCTTTTAGGGAGGTGGCCGACAGCGACGATCTCATAGTGGTTGTGACGATCCACCAGCCCTCTACAAGTGTATTTGCAACCTTCGACCAGTTACTACTTTTGAGTGAAGGCCGCACGGCGTATCGGGGCGAAGCGTCTTCAGCAACGGACTACTTCGCGAAGCTAGACCACCCCCTACCACCACTCACGAACCCGGCGGACTTTTTACTTGACTTGGTCAACAGTGACTTCGTCGACAAAAAGGAGGTGACGCGCCTGCTGGACGCCTGGGCTTCAGCTCATACGAACGGTGCCATCGACGTCGTCGAAAAAGGTGGTGAAGACAACTGGGGGTTGACGCCTACTTTATGTAATACCTTCGTGCCCGTGTTCCGGAGGCAGTCTACCTTACTATCGAGAGATGTGTTAACGTTGGGCATACGAGCGGTATGCTTCCTGATGGGCAACCTCTACTTCTCGGCCGTGTATGTCGAGAGCAGGCAGCGCCACCAGGACCAGGTCGCGAATCGATTTTGGCTCATCATCTGGTACATTGGGGTCCCGGCGCAAGTCACTGCATTGTTGGTGTTCGCGCTGAATCTGGAAGCCAGAATCGTGCGAACGGAGGTGGCCAACGGCATGGTGGCGCCTTCCGCTTACTTAGCGGCGCGGGCGGTCTTGGAGATACCTCTAGTCATCTTCCTGGCCTTGGTAGCTCTCGGATTGCCGGCCTTCGCCTGCATGAACTTTATGGCCGGGGACCGCTTCTTCACGACGACCGCCCTCTTCTTCGCGCAGCAGTACTGCTGGGACTGCTACGCGTCGTGCCTGGCCGTGGCCTTCCCGAACCCGTTGGTGGGCGCGGCCATGTTCATCGGGTGCTGGTTCTCCGGTTTCTTGTTCGCCGGGTTCTTGATACCGGTAAAAGATATCATCTGGCCGCTGCGGGCGTTCCACTACGTCTTTCCTCTCGGAAATGCGGCGCGCGGCATGACGTATTCCGAATTCATCGACTCGAAGTACGACGCCTGCGATAATTATGATTCTGGCACGTTCTGCTTCTGCGATGAAGATGAAGATGATGGGAAGGGCTGCGGCGGTCGGGAAGTGCTGAAGAAGCTCGGCATGCTCTACGACCTGCCTACGGACAAGAACACCCTACTCCTAGATCTGGTCTGGCCCTTGGGCCTGGCCTTGCTAGCGAAGGCGACGGCCGTCGTCCTCTTCGCGTACTCGTGCCGCGGCACTGCCCTCAAGACGAAGACCGGCAAGGTCACCGCCGGCCCCCGGTCGGCCTGAAATTGATCATACGCCCGCAAGACGGCGCCCTATCGATTGCTCTGTACATGAACTCGCTCCCGCCTCCGACTGCTGTACCCGTATCGCGTAATCGTAAGTCTATGGAACATAACTCCACGTCAGACGACTGGATAGAACAAAATTTTTACCACGGACGCATGCCCTTTCGCCAGTCGTAGTCGTCGTCGCTCGACGCGTCCTCGACGAGCGTCCGCCCCTCCCGTTTATGGATCACTCTAGCCTGCATGTCCGCCGCCTCCTTCGCCAGAGAGGACTCCTTGCCGTGCGAAATCACCAATCGCACGAGCGCGAGCATGATGTGCACCTGCGCCGCCGTTTCATTCCCCACGAGGTTTTGCAATTTAGCGCAGCGCAGGCGATGCAACGCCGTGTAGGGGTGGCCCGGCGCCCAGAAGCCCTCGAGGCGCGCGACGTCTTCGGCGAGTGTTGCCGCGCTTTCCCATTCCTCCTTTTTAAGGGCCGCCTCCATGGCGTCGCGCTTCGCTCGTAATTGAGTACGAGCCGCCTCCCTAGCTTTAGAAGCGAAGGCGCACTCGTCGCAGGCGCAGACAAACCCGTAATTCTTTCGCAGCGATTCTCTCCGATGCTCATCAAGTAAATCGGCGTACTCGTGCGTCAGCTCCTTGTTCGCCTCGACACTTGACAAGACGGCGTACTCTAAGACAGGCGCTTTTGAGACAGTGAACCGGAACCGCGGCCAGATGTTCGGCCGACAAGAGTGGTTCGCCGCGGTCACCGCCCTCGGATAGAGCGCGACGCCGACCTCTCTCAGCTCATCGTCGCAGACCGAGTGCGCGTTGCGTTGTAACACAGCTAATACAGAGGCGCACGCGTTTTCATTAGTCTCGCCCGACAACTGTTTGACGACTTGCGCGGCCGCCTGTAACTCGTCGTCCCCGTCAAGATTCGATTTCCGCTTCAACGCGCTTACATATTTATTGATGGCGGGGTCGGCGCGCATTTTACGTAAGACGCGCGCCGCGAGCAGACACGTCGGCAGTATTTTTGGCAATGCTGCTGCGGCCTTGCACTCGCCATTTTGCAGATGATCTTTTGAAGCGTTGGATGTCGCACACGCTTTGCCGCAGTAGACCACGGCCGCGCAGCCTTGACATTTCACGCTCTTGGCGACGGGCGCCAGACACACGTCGCATCGCGCGCCGTCGAAGCCCCGCGCCGCGTGGGCGATTGGATGACTCTTCAGGATTACCGAGCCTCCTTCGAGCAACCTTCTCGCGAAGAGGCCGACGCCAATGCTGCCGGTGCACGTTTTCATGGTGACGTCGTCATTTATTATTTTTTCTTCCTGCGGCGGTTTTTCGTCCTGAAACGACCAGCGCGTCTTTCCGCCTTCTTCTCCTTGTTGTAATGTGAGGCCTTCGGGCCTTAAAATCGTCGCTTCGGCTGCGGCTGCGAGGTCCTTCATTGAGAGGGCAGCCATTTGTCGTCGTTTCGTCTTGATATTGCAAGGGTGCGTTCGCTGGTCTTTCGAGAAGCTCTGGCACAAGCGCTTGTGGCCGAGATGGCTCAGCTACGGCGCGCGGCTGCTTGCTACGATTTTGCTAGTGTCTTACTGCCGCTAGCTCGTAGCTCACGTGGACAAAGCGGCCTGTATCTCGGCCCCCGCCAGCCGGTAGTCAGCTGTACGCTGTGCATAGACTCTTTACAATATTGTCCTTACGCCTGTGGCTCAGTTGTGCATCTCGTTGCCATCTCACTGACGACTGCACAAGCTGGACATCAGCATGAATCGACTCCTCTCTGCCTTATGCGTCGTCGGCGCGCTGTCGTTTGCACCGCAAGCTGCCCTCCCATCCCGATGCGTCACGCTGCATGCGAGCGCAGCCGACATCGAGGCCCTGTCGGCGCGCCTCGGCGACGCAGCGGTCCTCGAATCGATGTTTTTAGTCGACGGCGCGCCGAGGCAGTTTTTGCGACGGGAGCAGTTCGTCTCGGGTCTCGTCGATGCGGCGGGCCCGGCGCTGAGCGCGGACGCGGCGTACGAGTGCTGGTTGGCATTTGGCGGGTCGCCGCGGCCCGCGACCAAGAAAAAGGAAGACAAGGGCTTCTTCGGCAACTTCGTCGCGCAGATCGCGGAAAACGCGGGAGGCGTCAAGGACACGCGGGAAAAGGACCAGTGGGGCAACCCGATCTCGGGCATGACGGTCATCGACCAGGCCGTGATCACGTCCGAGCAAAGAGCCGTCCTCGCGTCGATGAGTAAGTAAATTACAGGTGGTGGGGAAGGGGATGATCACTCACATCATGGCCGCGATGCCGAGGCACGATAAGGCCAACATGAGGACCTCGGGCACGTAGTGCATCGGGTACTTCGTCGGCAGGCCGGGCGAGAGGTAGCCGAACTTGGCGTTCCACGGGTAGAGCGCGCCGCACGCGACGCTCATGGCCAGGGCGACGGGGACGGCGTCCTCCGTGGCGAGCTTGAACTTGACGAGGTAGACGATCGTGAGGAAGGCGCACGATGAGCCCCGGATCCAGAACTGGAGGAGCGGCGTCGCCGGCGCGTCGAAGTGGTCCGTGACCATCTTCGCCGGCACGGCGAGCATCTGGAGGCCGTACATACCCATAACGACGCAGAATATCTTGATGAAGAGCTCGGGTTCGACGAGGGCCATGGTGATGGAGAGGAGCGAGGTGATGTGAGTCTGCGCGGGTACCGAGACGTCGCGTCGATGGCGTGCTGGAACTCTCGAAGCTGACCCTCGCCAGACCATCGTCGCGCCTCGACGGCGTCACCCTCCAAGTGTGGGTCCCCTCCAAGTGTGGGTCGGCCGCGGGCGGCCAGGCGAGAAAACGAAGCATAACCAGCAAGGAAGAGCGCAAACGCGACAGGAGGGCTGTGCGCAGCGAAATGAGCGCGCGCCGATAGGCGGAGCTTCGCGGGGCGTGCTTGGAGAGCCATATTCCAGGTCAGTAGCCTCGGAAATGCCTCATGCGCGGCCGCTGGCTCAGATTTCGCTGCGTCTTCGATACGAGCGCTTGCGAGTGAAGTCAGGAACCACCGACCACGCCCGGATTTGAACATAAATATCACTGCGCCGCGCACCACGTGGCTAATTTTAACTGTGGAATCGAGAGCCCGGCTAGCGGCCTGTAAGACACTAGCAAGCACGACGCATCTCTCGCCGCACCCCTCGCCACCGCTTCAAGAGGGTAGCAGGACTCGCGAGCCGCCCGGAGAGGCGGCCACGCCTAGTGGGGTGCTCTCATAACGCCAAGCGAGCGTGAAGGCGCGTAAAAGCCGCAGTCCCCACTGCCGAAGCACTGGGAAGGTACCAAACGACAGCGTATCCCGCGCGGCGCCGAGGGGCAGCCGGTGCCACCGCAAACAAGAGCGAACGAAGCAGCAACAAACAGCAACAAGTATGCCCGTCCTAGTCGTAGAACCGGGCAAGCAAAAAACGGCCTTCACGCCGACGCCGACGAAGCGGAAGATGCGGTCCACGGGCACGCCCTTCGAGGACGCCGCCGTGCGCACGGTAGAATTGTCCGCGGACGCGTTCCACGAGGACGCGCGCGCGTCGATGGTCAACTGCAACCGCTACCTGTGTGCGCAGCAGATGGCCGACAAGAAGATGCGGGGCGGCAAGCCGGAGGACACGGCGGGCACCATCGCGCGGCTCTGTGGGGATGTGAGAAGGTTCGGCGGGGCCGTTTTTGGAGACCAGTGCATGGTCGTCGAAGGAGATACACTGTTACATCTGTTGGTTAGAAATGATGCCCACAAGGACACGGTCGAAGCCTGTCTTAGGGGTGGTGCGGATGTCGGGGCGGTCAATGCTCGTGGCGAGCAAGTCCTGGGGTTGGCGAGGAAGGCCGCAGCGCGATCGGGTCAGAGAAGGCACCACGGCCCGGGGGCCTCCGAGGAAGCTCGCGAGAGGAGACTGCACGCCGAGGGCGTGGTGGTGGTCATCGAGAAGTATAACGCGAGAAGGAATACCAGTGGGAGGAAAAGGGCTCGTAGAAGAGCGAGACTGGGACCGGGCGGCGCTCGTTCTCCGCGCTCGCCGTCGTCGTCGCGTGGAAGGCGTAGAAGGTCCGCGTCACCCATAAGACCGAGAACGGCTCCAGAAGTCAACGCGTCGCGCGAGGTCGACGCCTGGCGCCGCGTCGCAGCTAGAGCGCACACCGCCGCCGACGCGATTGAAGCGAGATTTAGAGATGCCTGGACGCATGAAGATGCCGAGAAGGCCGCTAGAACGGCGCAGAACGACGATGTGGTGGTGGCGGCCGTTCGCGGCGCCGTCGCGGAGGCCTTAACGGCGCGCGGCGAGGACGACGCCGTGCCCGAGCGAGCTACCGCAAGGTTAGATCGCGACCTCGAACACGTCAAGGCCGAGCGGGACGTCGCGCGGGCGAGATTCAATAAAGTGAAGAAAGCGTACGACGAAATTTGCGAGGAGCGCCGGAAGCGCGAGGAGCAGATCGAGAGAGACCGGGTCCGACGCATGAACCGCCAGGCGCCCGAGAACGCGACGACCGAGCGGTTGGTGCGACAGAAACTAGAAAGGGAAAGAAACGACGCGCGGCTCGAACTCATGGCGTTGCACGCGCAGCTCAAGGGAGCGGCAAGCTACCACAAGCAGCAGCACGAGAAGGCCGCGGACGTCATCGACAAGCTGCGGAACGAAAACTTGAAGTGGCGCGAGTGGTGCGTGTCCCGTGTCCTTGCGGAGAATGAGTCGCGTCGATGGCGTGGAGAGCGATTGTTTGCGTCCTGGTGGTACTTGTGAACCTCCACGCCATCGAGCAGGGACACCACACTACCACAGAGCAGCCCCAGCCCCACGCCGTCGAGCAGAGTACTCACACGGTCCGACGCAACGCAGGTACAAGCAAAAGGGCGACTCGCTCGAGCGCTTCGGCCGCCAGAAGGTCCAGAACGAGATCGACGAGACGCGAGCTCGGCTGCGAGCCGTGTTGGACAAGGCTTCGGCCGTCGAGGCGCGGAATTTGAGAAGGGAGCAGGAGCTCGACGCGCGCGAGAAGGCGTTGACGTCGACGCTGGCGCCATCCGAACTATCGGATGAACAGCGCTGGGGGCGCACTTTAAGATCGGAGCTCGCATCAGCTTCTGACGAGGATGCACTGAGGATCACGTCCGAGCTGCTTGCGAATGACGACGCGTCGCGCGCGGCCGCTTTCCGGACGTCGGCCTCGGACTACCTCAGACTAGTAGAGGAGTCGCGAAAGGAAGATGAACCTGTCGCGTTCGTCGCTCCGGACGGTGCTCGCTTCGAACCGACGGGCGCCACGCGCGAAGGGAGAGCCGTCTATGCTGGCTCTTCAGGCACTTTAGCCTACGCGAATGAACGGTGGACCTGGTCTAGTGTAGATGGCAATGTATTATGCGCGTCGACGACCGACGCCCTCGTCCCACCTCAAACCGAGTGGGTCAATAGCGACGGCGACACCGATGCGAACTGGACTCTACAACAACTAGACTACGAGGACAAACGTAAAGAATACCCCGCGCCCCTATCCCTAAGGCTGATGGAGGTCGACGCGTTGCAAAGAGCCGTGGCTCTAGAATCGCTGTCCGTCTTGCGCCTCGACGCGCAGTTACAGGATGGGTCCTGCGACGGCGCCACCAAAAAACAGCTTGAGAATCAGCGAGATGTCGTGAAGGCGTCGCGCGACGCCGCCCTACGACGCCTCGCCGACCAGGTCTTCGTCGCGACGTGTTCTGATATAGCACCTGATTTGACGGAAACGTCGAAGCGCTACGACGCCTTATTTAGATCCCTCAAAAATACTGAGGTGGAAACACTCGTGAGTTTGCGGTCCATCTGTACTAAACTCTCAACCTCAGATAAAAAGTTAAGGCAACGGCTCTCCACAAACGCCCTGCGCTTCGGCTTCGCTACCTCCAGAACCTCGCAGCAGACCGTGGATGCTTATGACGTCCGATTCGCCTTGGGGTTGCTGAAGGATGCTACTGATCATAAACCAGATTTTGACGCCGAATTGAAGCGCATCGGCGCCGAGAGCGGCGCCACCGTGTTGCTAGCACCGGTCAAGTCGCTAGGCCGGGCCTTCGCCAAGGTCCACGAGAAGTACGGCGGCAGATATGATGGCTTGACCGATTTAATAAGGGGTACGTTACAGTGCGACTCGCTTGACGTCGTCGAGAAGTGCGTGCGAGCCTTGGCCCAGTCTCACCGATTTAAGGTATCGAGGGTGAAGAATCGGTTTGATCCTGCTCACATTGCTGGAGACGGCTATCGCGACGTGCTCTGCAATGTTGAAATAAATGATGGTTGCATCGCGGAAGTACAAATCAACCTCGCTTCGATGGTAGACCTCAAGGAATCGTCGGGCCACGCGTGCTACGAGGCGTCTCGCATGATCCACTTCGCCGACAACAGCAATCACGTGTCGAGCGCCGCGGGCTGGGCATCTCGAGCGGCGGCGCGCTGCCCGGCCGACGAAGCGAGACCCCTTTGTTTAGCCGAGCGGGTGTCGACGGGGCAGCTCACTTCACTAAGTCTGAAAGCGGACGCCTCGACGCCATTTCCCGCTAGAGATGAGCTTAGAAGGTCGTTATGTTCGCCGTTCGTCCGGTTACGTGCTTTGCGCATCGACGGCCTGAACGGGTTTTTGGAGGTTGTCTTGACGCCTGAATCACTAGTGTCATTGTCACAGTGTCTGGAAGAGCTATCGGTGGGCGGCAAGGACCTGGGGCCGATCCCCGACCTTTCATCATTAAAGCGGCTGCGGGCGGTGCGCTTGCGCGGCGCGCGCGGCCCCTTCGACTTGCTCCAGTTCGCGAATAGTATGCAATCGCTGGTCTGCTCGTCGTGCCGAGGGTTTGGCAAGCTCCCCAAGGACCTGGAACGGGTCTTCCCGGCCTTGCAAGCCCTTACATTAAGACAGTGCCAGCTCGAGGGTGAATTACCAAGTTATTTTGGGGACGGGTCGCGGTTCCCGAAGCTCAAACGACTTGATTTGTCGAGCAACGCGCTGACCGGGTACGTTGATGCTGCATTATTTAGAGGTCCTTCCCTATCGTCCATAGACCTCTCGAAGAACGCGTTGAAGGGGGCCGAGCCCACCATCGCGTCCGTGGTACCGATCAACGTCTACCTGAACGACCTGAAGACGCACGGCAACGCCTGGGACGAGGACAAGGGATTCGAGGACGTTGTTGCCGCTTTGACACCGCCACCACAACCGGCCTGCGTGGCGGGCCCCGGCGGCGATTCGAGGTTAGGAGGCCTCTACCACCAGCGCGGCTCATTAAACGGAAGGCCGCGGTACTGCGCGGCGTCTGGGGCTTCGATAGAATTTAGGGAGAGCGGGCCCGCGCTCGGGCCCCACTGGGCCTGGTGCCTCGCGGACGCTACCGTGGTCGCCACGGCGCGCCCCGACGAGGCGCCGTCCGCCTCGCAGTGGGAGGCGGCCTGCGGCGCCGTGCTGCTCACGGGCGCGGCGCCGCCCCTGGAGTTCTCCGCGCCGTCCTCGCCGGCCATGTCGCCCCAGGTCAAGGAGTCGCACCCGCCCGTCGACGCGGCGGCGACGACGGCGACGTTCTCTCAGTTCTAAGATTAGTTGCTTCCCTTAGAACTCCCCCCGAGCGCCGCTCGAGACTTTTGCAGTTCGCTCTCAATCCCCATTGTGACCGGGTGCGCGCCTCCGAGCACGCGCCGTGCGATCCGCGCCGTGTCCTCGAGCGTCCTCACGGCCTCGCGGAGATCGTCGAGCGTGGCAACGTCGTCCCTGTAGAGCGCCTCCGCGTAAATCGTCCTCATCTTGAGCGTGGTCTCATCATTATCGCCGAATACACGCCGCGCCACGGGTATACTTTGGAGCATCAGCGACTTGGCTTCTTCGAAGCGCCGTAGATCGCCAAGGGTCCCCGCGTAGGCGGCGTCGCCGACCGCCGTCTCCGCGACGCGCCCCGATACTCCGGCGCCGCCGGGCACACGACGGCCGCGCCGCGACGGCTGCGTCCATCGCCTCGTCTTCGATGACGTAAACGCGAACGACGGCGCGTGGCGCGACGAGGACGTCCTGGCGTCCGGGCTGTCTCGCGTCGCCGTCGAGCCGGCGCCGAAAAGGCGGCGCCGCCGTGAGCCCGCGGTCCGCTTCACTGCGCCCCTCTCGGAGCGACACGCCGTCCAGGGCCAGTACGACGATCAGCAGAATCGCCGGCCCTAAAACTAGTTTTCACCCCAAACGCCGTCGACGCGAAAGTAGGGGACAGGGTTCTTAGTCTTCTTGGGGACACCACAACAACGGTAGTGGACATGGGAATCACGTGAGGAACGTGCCGCGGATCGCGCCGTGACCGGCGTTATCGGCGAAGGGCGCCAAACGCCCACCGTCGCGCGAGAACGTGTAGACGAGCGGCGTCGCGTAGGGGATGTCCAACGCGGACAGCTCCGCGACCAATCCCTGATCGACCTCGCCGAAGCCGCGCCGATCGAGATGATGCATGAGCGTGCGGATGACGTTGTTGTGCGCCGCGACCAGCACGCTCCGCCCCCTTTCTAACTGCGGTCGTATCACGTTCTCGTAGTAGGCTGTGGTTCGCTTCTCACAAGCGGAGAGGGACTCGGAGCGCGGCAGCTCGTCCGGGTCGCCGCCGGCGTCGCGGTACGCGCTCTGCAAAGCCGCGTAGCACGGGTGGTCGTCACTCATGGGCGGCGGCGAGCAGGCCCAGCTCCGCCGCCAGGCCTTGACCTGGGCCTCGCCGTATTGCTCTCTGGCATCATTTTTATTCACGCCCGTCAGCGCGCCGTAGTGGCGCTCGTTGAGCTGCCACGCTCTACAATGGGTGGATTGGTCGCGCGTGCCCCGAGGCATCTCGCTCCTCGATACCGTACCTCTAGGCCCCTTGGGCAACGAGGCACCAGACAACGCCTCCAACACGACGGACAGCGTGTCGACCGTCCGCTTCAACGCGGACGAGTGCAAGTCGTCGAATCGACGCACACCGGACGCCGCCAGCCGGTGCCCGGCGTTGACGGCCTGCTTCCGGCCTTCGTCCGTCATCCCAACATCCGCCCAGCCCGTAAACTGGTCCTTGGCGTTCCAGTCGGACTCACCATGCCGCAGCAGCACGAGCACCGCGCCCGACCGGCGGCACTTGTCTAACCTCGCCCGGAATGCTTCCTCTCTTTTCATGTTCCAGGGCTGTCCTAAGCCGGTGTAGCGTAATGAGAGAGGAGGAGCGACTTCGGTGGTCGCTTCTGAATCTGCATCTTCCTCGTCGTCGGTGAGGCCATCGGTCAGTTTCGGGTTAGTGCGCTCGCCGTGCACGGCCGGCGCGAGGCAGAAGCTCGCCACGACGCTTCTCAGAAAACCCTTCTTCGGTCGCTGCGTCTGGAGTTCTTCAAAGGACCGCTCGAGGTCGAGGCCGAGCGCCGGCTTGGCGTTGCCGCGGGAGCCCCAGGTGTTGCGCAGGGTGTCGAGGAGGCCTGGACTGGACTGGGTCGTTGTGTAGGCCGCCATTGTGCTCGTTTTGCGTTTCTTACGTGTCCCCTCACCAAGAACACTTCGACTCGGACAGCGCTAGCGACGGCTCCGTAGGCTCCGCGGCGCTGCAGTTGAGGTACAATGACGGTGCTGAACCCTCTGAAATGTGTTACTTAACCTCGCTCGTCGGTGAACAGCGCAACGGCGGTTCAGCCGACTTTTTTTGCAGGCGTGTATTCTGTCCTAGTGTCTTACCGCCGCTAGCAGGCAAAAAAGGCAAGAGCGGCCTCGGGGGCTCCTCTGGGCCAATCGACACTGGGAAAGACGCGTGAAAGAGACTCTAGCTCGAAAACCCAAATCTCGCAAAAACCCGGCACTTTGTGCTTTCCTCGGCTTTGGCAGCGCGCTGGGCTGAGCACATAGATCGTGCGCATTGCCATAAGGACGCTCAAAGACATCGGCTCCAGCCGAGCAACCAGTGGACAAAGCAAAGCCAGCGCTGTCGACGCGTACAACCTCTGCCCTCACACACTGGCAGGCAGCCACTAAAAAGCAAAGCGTCGGCAGCCAAGCAAAAGGTGAAAGCGATGGACGACGACGACGCCGCCGAAGTGGCCCTCCCCCTCAAAGTCCTCGTGCTCGGAGATCCAGCAGTAGGCAAGACGGCGTACGTAAGACGATTGGTACGAGGCCAGGGTTTACTAGGAGAGGCCGGCAAGCAATCGGTACCATCCGATTGCTTCAAGAAGGGCTACAAGCCGAGCAAGGGCGTCGACTTCGCGTTAAAAGAGTTCGAAGTCGATGGCCGGACAGCAAGACTCCAGGTCTGGGACGCGTCCGGAGAACACGCGCGACGAGGCGAAGTGCCCGACGTCTACTACCAGGACGCCTTCGGAGCTTTGTTAGTTTATGATATTACAAGACCGACGACCTTCGACACAGTACTAGATTGGAAGCGCGACATCGACGAAAGGATGATCCTGCCGACGGGCGAGGCGCCACCCGTGTTGTTGGTGGGCGCCAAGTGCGACTTGGAGACGGCCTCGGCAGATACCGCAGAATTAGACCGCTTCTGCGCGGACCACGGCTTTTACGGATGGTTCGACGTCAGTGCCAAAACGGGTTTTAATGTGGACACGTGCGCCCGCTGTCTCGCGGAGAAGATCTTGGATGACGAGTACAACATCGACCATAAAGTGGGCGAGAACGCGCGGTTCCGGCCCGCGGACGTCTTCGCGCCGGACGCGGAGGAAGGTAGTTATTGCGCGGTGGCGTAAGGCGAGCTTGTCTATCTTCTTTCTCGCGTCGACTGGCGTTTTCGCGTGCGTTTCGACTTGTTGCTAGTGTGTTACAAGTCGCGCTAGCTCGATGATCGGTGCAAACGCTGCCAGCTCGCGGTGCTGGCGACTAATTCTGGGCCAGACACGTGCGCGTGGACGGTTTCTTGGCGTACAAAAGCTGGGCCCGAGCGGCAGGCCACACAACGTGCGTAAACCCTACCATTGAGAGAGCATCAAAAGCTCTCACTGCCAGCGCAATCGCATAAATGCTCCTCGTCGCCTCAATTCTGGTGGGCATCGCTGCGCCTGCCGACGGCTTTCAACGACCAAACGGTTTCCATCGACCGCCGCGACACGCGGCCGGGACGACGCGGCTGCGCGCCAAGACGCGCGCTCTTGATCCACTGGACGAACTGGAAGAATACTGGCAGGCGCACGGCGCCAAATGGAAACGTACCCTAGAAATCCTCGACGTGCGCGCCGCCTGGCAGGCCGGCGAGTGCGACGGCGTTTTACCGAGCGGCAAGCGGTCGCGCGCCGCGGCGCAGGAAAAGCTCGTCGACGTGGCGCGCGCGCTCGAATTGTACGACGCGGACGAGCTCCAGATCCGGCGACGCTTCCGCAACGCCACGCCGAGCGAACTTCTGCCGCGATGGACCAAGGTTATTGAAGAGCGCGACCGGCTCCAGGACGAGGGCGCCTGGGACGCCGCCGTCGTCCAGAGCGAGCAGCAGCGGGAATTTCAGCAATCCATCGTCAAGGGCGAGGTGGAATCCGCGGACGCCTCGCCCGCGCTGTCGCGGGCGGTCGCGACGGCGCTGTCGCCGGTCCTCAAGGCCGCCGCGAATACGAGGAATAAAGCGGACGGCGGCCAGCTGCTCGAGCTGAACAAGCTCCAGGAGACGGCCGGCGCGGACGCCGCGGAAAGGTGGCTCACGGCGGCGCTGCTCGCGAGCCTCGAGACCGAGGTCGCGGACATCGAGACGCGGGCGGCCGCGCCGCAGTCGTTCCGGGAGCGCGAGGACGAGCTCGAGGCTGGAGAAGGGCTCGGTCTCTTCGGCGTCGGCGTGGGGCTCGCGCTCGTCACGATCGTCGCCCAGAACGTCTTGTTCGGCGGGGGTGGCGATGGCGGCGGCGGCGGAGGGGTTGTCGACGGGTTCCCGACGATCTAGTAGCCTAACCTTTGACATGAAAAAAATTCAGCCTTACCTAGAGATACCTATCGGCAATTTCGCGAAGGTCTTCAGGGAAGTCGTCCAACGTCCAGTCGAGCTGTTCCGCGAAGCACAGTTTGATGGACGCGCGGACTTTTACCAGTAACGGGTGATGCCTTCCGAGGACAAACCGCGAGCGATCCAGGATAGTTACGTGAAGATAGATGGAATGAAGTAGCTCAGCTCGGAAGCCAACTACTCTCTCAATTCCAGCGCCATCAAATCGAGCGCCATGAACATGGCCAAAGAAATGGTGACGATAAATAGCTTGCGCGTAGCGCCATATGACACGAGCACCCGCGCACGAGACCCTCGTCGGATTCCTCGGCTTTTTCCTTCCCGCAGATGCGGCACGTCGCGCCCTCTATGGGGTCCAAGTACTCTCTCTTGGGGTCATATCTACACGCTTGCACCGCAACATCCAAGGCCTCCTTAGCCTCCTCAGTCGCGTGATATGATTCTGCGCCACCGCGAGAGGCAATCTTCGCGCAGGTCGCCTTGTGGCCTCCGCGGCGCCAATGCTCGCGCTGGCACGCCGCGGAGCAATAGCGCGTCTTGCATCGCGAGCACCGCTTGATGCCAGTCTGAAGGGGAGCCGCACAGGCGGCGCATTTGGTCAGGAGAAACGGCGTAAGTGATTGAGAACTCATAATTATCTATATTGATATGCGCGGTAGAGCCTGTTAATTCGCCCGCGAGTCGCGCGGAGCGTCCAAGTTGTTGCTCTGTCAAAACGGGTTTTCCAAGCTATGATAACTTACCACTAAGCCTTACCACGGGCAAGAATAACAGGGAAATTACAAGAAGGTACTCCTGCCCGACCGTCGCCGCCCGCCCCCGTAATTGCTTGAGCGGCGCATTTGGCCAGGAGAAAAGGCGTAAGCGATGGAGAACTCAACTTATATCATCATCGAAAAGGCCCGCAAATTCGCCGGAGGGGAGCGAGTCTAGAGCGCGCTGGCGTAGTTGCTTGAACTTCTTCTCGAGGTCCAGCGCCGTGAACGACGCCGCGCCGAAGACGACCTCCGGTAATTCGTCGTCCGCCCTACCTTCAAGCGTGAAGCAGACGTCCGCGTCGAGCGTCGAGAGTTTGGACATCATGAGGTAGACCGCTCCCCGGCCCATGTAGCTGAAGGACTCGCCGATGTCCAAATGGACCTCGACGTAACCACTTCCGCCCGAGAACTTCGCCAAACCATGTCTTCTCGAGAGAGCGCCGGCCGCCGCCATGAGGACCGGCTTGCCCGACCACTTCGCGAAGACGCGGGGCAGCTGCTCGCCGTCCAACGCGCGGACCTGGAACACGCCCTTCAGCCGAGCACACAAGTATGGGTCGTTTGGCGCGTCGCGCAGCCACCTCCGACACAGCCTTAATCCGGGAGGCCATTTGCTCACGTCGGGCTCGTCCGTCGCTATTACTCTAGCATGGTCGGCTATTTTCAGGACCAACAACAAAATCCAGCACGGCGACGCCGGCCGCCAGCCGCTGATCGACGGCGCCTCGCACGGCGCGGCGATGTTCAGCGCCAGCGTTTCGGGCAGGCCATTCAACATTCTCGTCTCACCGCCTCGTAACGACGGATGATGCGTCAACAAGTCGGGCATGGCGCCCTCCGGGCTTCTCAGAACTCGCACGTCCACGACCTCGTACGTCGCCTTGCTAGATTTTATTTTCACCCGATCGCGCAGATACGATCCTCCTCTTAATTGAAACGTATCTGCCGGACTGTGGCGCCACGTGTTCGGCGTCGGCTCCGTTTCTTCCCGCGGCACGGTCCACCGCGGGACGTCCTCGAGCATCGTGCGCATGCGCCGGGGCGGCTCTCGCCTTGTAGGTAGGGGCGTCTCCGGCACATCTAATACAGCCGTCGCCGCCTTGAGCGCCGCCTTCTTCACCTCGCCGGCGTGGCAGAGCCAGCACGCTATTGCAATAGCGAGCGTCGCGAGTCTTCTGAAAGAATAGTCCTCGCTCTGTATGAGATCGTAGCCCACCAGCCCTAACGTCACCAATGATAAATGAGACGCCATCGCCGCTCTATCAACACCTTGTAGCGCTTGTTGTAAAGGGTCCATTACTTCGTCGTCGGACGAGTCGTCCGACGAAACATCCACAGAAGACACGGAGCCGCTCCGTCGGTGCAGCGGCGACGCCGTCGCGAACTCGCGCTGCCGCGCCTTGAAGGGCGGCGTGCCCGGTGGAGATAACCGATCTCCTTCCGACGCGTAGCCGGCTAACAATGACGCCCTTGCTGCAGCTTTTTCCGCCGCCCGCGCGCGTTTCCGATTTTTTCTTCGTTCTATGGTGTGTCTCAACTCATACAGCTTCCGCCGCGCCGCCCGGCCCTTGGCGAGCTGCTTCCGCACCGCTCGCTCCAATCTTTCGTACTTCCGCACTTTGGGGAGGTCTTCGTCACTGTCCGAATCGCGTGAGTTACGGGGCGACCGCCCGGACGTCTTCGCTCTTATTCGATCGAGGTGCTTTCTTACGAGGTTGCGGAGCTTCTGCCTTGCCTTTTTCACTTTCCCGGTTGGCGTCGCCGGAGGGATGGCCGGCGCGGACGCGGACCGCGGCGTCGCCGGCATTGAGAGAGCTCGGGAGCGCGGCGGCGGCGGCGTCTCGACGGAGTTGCGCGGCGTCGTCGCTGGACTTCGATCCTCGTCGCGGCGGGCCGGCATAGTGGTGTTTGGGCTGCTGTGCTTTTGTGTTGGTGTTTGGTGCTGGTTGCGTTCACGCGTGGGGGCACGTTGCGACGCGGCGTTCGTGGTGTTGGGGCAGCCTCCCGCGGTCGCGCGGCGATTGATTTCTTGCAGCGCTTCACACAGCAGCAGCTCCAGAGTGGGAGAACTTGTCCGGCCCCGGCCGGCCCCGGCTCCGCATTCGAGCTGATTGGAGTCCTTTCGAAGCGTGATTGTCGTTTTGTAAGGATCTTCTGTTTTTTGCGTGCGCACTTAAATCGGGTTTGAGAAGTTTGCGGCCCGCGCCAAAGCCTCAAAACACGCGACATACATAGCCACAGTTGCGCGAAAGCTGTCCACAGGTTCGCATCACTGCTTCTGCAAACCTGCCAAGCCAAATTTCGCTGTCGCTGCGCGCGTGGAGAGATTACTGCACAGCACTCAGCCAAAAAAAGAAGCAGCCATGCCAGTCACGAGCTCGCGCCTCCCCGGCTTCTTCAAGAAGTCCGTAGAGGAGCGCCGGACCACGGTCTGCGACCTCGCCGGCTTGAACGACGAAGAAAGGGAGGCGGTCGCGGCCGCCGGCGAACTGAGCGATGAGGCCGCGGACCGCATCATCGAGAACGTCATCGGGACCTACTCCCTACCGTTAGGAGTAGCTACCAATTTCATCATCGACGGCAAGCACTACGTCGTGCCGATGGCGCTGGAGGAGCCGTCGGTCGTCGCCGCCGCGTCGAACATGGCCAAGCGCTGCCACGCGCGGGGCGGCTTCACGTCGGACTGCACGCCGCCGGTCATGATCGGCCAGATCCAAGTGTGTCGGTTGAAGATCGATGCACAAGTAGCGAGAAACGCCATTCTAGCGAACAAAACGAAGCTGATCGAAATGGCCAACAGTGTCGACCCTATATTAGTGAAGTTTGGAGGTGGGTGTCGGGACGTGGAGGCGCGCGTGCTGGAAACGGACGCCGGCACCATGCTCATTGTCCATTTACTGGTCGACTGCCGCGACGCGATGGGCGCGAACGCCGTCAATACGATGTGCGAGACGATCGGACCCGAAGTTGGGGAGCTCTGCAAAGGTGTTGTGGTGCTGAAGATCATTTCCAACTTGGCCGTGCATCGCTTGGCGCGGGTCAACGGTGTTTTTACCGCCAAAGAGTTGTCAACGTCCGGTGATGAGGAAGAGGGCCGGTCCATAATAAATGGGATCCTGGATGCGTACGCCTTCGCCAAGGCGGACCCGTTCCGCGCGGCGACGAACAACAAAGGCGTCATGAACGCCATCTCGCCGATCGCCGTCGCGACGGGCCAGGACTGGCGCGCCGTCGAAGCCGGCTGCCACTCGTACGCGTCTTATAAGCACGGGCGCGTCGCGCCGTTCGTGGCGTGGTCGCGGAATGGTGACGGCGACTTGGTTGGGTATATTGAGATGCCGGCACCCGTCGGTTTGATCGGTGGGGCAGCTAGAGTACATCCGTGCGCGCGCGCGTGCGTCAAGCTTCTGGGCGTGAAAACGGCCACGGAGCTAGGTACGGTGTTGGCCGCGGCGGGCATCGCCCAGAACCTCGGTGCCTTACGAGCGCTGGCGACGGTGGGCATCCAACAGGGGCACATGAAACTCCACGCGAAGAACCTCGCGGTCCAGGCCGGGGCCGCGTCGGCGGAGGTGGACGCGGTCGTGGCCCGTGCGACGGCAAGCGGTCGGGTGACGGCCGCGTCGATCAAGGCCGCGTTGGATGCCGAGCGGAGCGGGTTGCCCGTCCCGCCCCAGTAGCTCATTAAGACACACTATTACTATCTCCGACGCGTCCTCTTCCGCGTCGCCGCCTCGACGGCCGAGTCCTGGAGCCGCCGGGCGAGCGCCGCGTCCGACGACTGCGCCGCGGCCCGGCGCGGCCGCCGGCGCGCGAGCGGCTCCGGGCTCGGCGACGGCGACGGCTCTGGCGATGGCTCCGGCGACGGCTCCGCGGCCGGGGGAGAAGAGTCCTCGTCCGGAGCGCCCTGGGCGGCGCGCCGGCGCGCGAGCAGCGACTCCGCGGGCGGCGACGATTCCACTGGTGGCGACGGCGAGGCCGCGGCCACCGGTGATGCCGGTGCCACCGGCGAGGCCGCGGCCACCGGTGATGCCGGGGCCGCCGGCGACGTCGCAAGGGGCGGCTCGGCGGCGAGCGCCCGCGCCAGGTTGCCCCGGACGCGCGCGAGGGTCGCCTCCTCCTCAGGCGATCTCACAGGAGATGGCAGGGGCGACGGCGGATGCGACGGCGCCGCGGCCACCGGCGACGGCGCCGCGGCAGGCGGCGAAGGCGACGGCGGCGCGGGCGACGGTGGAGCTTGCACTGCCTCCTCCTCGTCCTCGGCCTCGGCCTCCTCGGCGTCGTCCGACGCATCGGCCGGGGCCGATGCGGCCTCCGCTCGGCGCACGATGTCCACCAATGCGCGAAGCTGCGCCGCCGGCTGGATCGAGCGCTTTCGGCACGGCGCGCGACAGACTGGGCACTCGTGGCCGTGACCGGGCCGCGTCGTCTCGAAGGCGCGCAGGATGCAATCCTTGCAAAAAGCGTGGGCGCACGGGAGGCAGTGCGGGTCGTCGAGGACCTGTGTGGAAATCACACGCCATCGCGCAGGCGTCGCCTCGACGAGAAGCGCCGCGAAATTGTTTTCTACGCAGCAAGCACGTCCATGCATAAGGGACACGACGCGCCCTGGCGTAAGTCCTCCAGGACGCGGCTCTCACGCGGCGGCGAGGGCGCCGCCGCAGCTCGCGGCGGGCAGCCGGCGTCGATGTGATCCGCGATTTCAGTAAGAGGCATCTTCTGATCGCAGAGCGGGCACGCGCCGATGGCGTCGGCCGCCACGAGTTCCTCCGCGGCCGGCGCCGCAGGTGCCTCCGCGGCAGCCCCGCGGCACCGCAGCTCGAGGTGATAGTTCATGTCGCTCAGGAGCACGGACTCAGAGCACACGGGACACGCGGCGTAGCGCGAGGCGTCGGATGGCCGCGCTGGCGCCGCGGCGTCGCTCTCGCGCGGCCCGGACTGGATGCTGCTGCGGGCCGTCGAGCTGGCGTCGCTGGCGCGCGGACCGTCGTCGTAACCGTGCAGTACCGGGCAGTCCAGATCAAGGTGGTGATTCAAACTATTTTTGTGCATTGATGCGCCGCAGGCCGGGCACTCGACGAAGCGCGAGCCCTCCTCCGCATTGGTAGCGCTCAGTGGCGCGCTGTGGCGGGCAGCGCTCTGCAGCTTGGAGTGGCTTTTCTTGGCCTGCTGCCACCAATTGCTGCCAGCAGCGCTCATGGCACAGTGATTGATGTATGATAAACAAGCGACTGGCTCAGAAACGCAGCGCTACGCGCCAGTCAGACTGCATTTGGACCAGCCTGGCGCGCCGGTCTTGAAAATCGCATAGATCACCAAAAGGTCTCCAGGCCTCTCCTTGGTGTATGAATCGCCCGCTGAAGAGTCCTCAAGGCGCGAGCGCCAAAAACGGGCCTAAAAAACGGGTTTTTCGGCCCAGCGCAAACGTGAATTTTAGAGCCTGTTTACTCCCCTGTGAGACACAACTGGCACGTGACACGCTGCGCATATAACGCCTACATATAGCTTTCCTCGTAGCGGGAGCGGGCGGCGCGCTGCGAAGTAGCTAACCGGGCAACTGCTCCTGCGCGTCGTTCACACGTTGCACGTGAAATGCGCGCGCGTAGCTAACGATGGAGGCCAAACTCTCCGAAATCAGCGTCCTCGCGCGCGCCGCGCTCTCCCTGCTGGAGGGCGAAGTGTCGCCCAAGACAGCCGAAGCGGCGACGCTCCTCTGCCGCGTCGCCGCGCTCGCCGAGGCCCCCGATGCAGCCGCGCTGCCGCCGAGGCCCGACGCCCTGCTGCCGGTCGAGGCGACGCCGGCGCGGCGGCCCGAGCCGGAAGACGCCTTCAAGACCGCGCGGGCGACGCCGCCGCCGCCTCCGAAGCCCCTGCGCCGGTCGCCGCGGCGGTCGCCACCGAAGGCCGAGCCGGTACTACAGACGCCGTCCGTGACGTTTGCGCCGACGCCGGCCGAACCGCCACAGCAAGCGCCGGCCGCACAAACTGAACCGGCGCCGGCGGAAGACCAACAAGGCCCGGCGCGGACGAGCAACGTCTCGGACATGTCGCTCGACGACGAGGACGAGGACGAGGAGCCGCCGCGGCGGTCGGAGCGTATCCAACAACGCACGTCGAGCGCGAGCGAGGCGTCGGCCGAGGACGCGCCGGTTTCATCAGCGGACAACAAGGAGAACGACGAGCCTCTGGTGGACTCGCCCGAGGAGCGGCGCCGCGCGGCCGCGTCATTTAAAGCTCGAAGAAGGAGGCGGACGGTGGACGCGCGCTGCTTGCTGGGCGACGACTCGCCGCCCGAGAAGGCGCGCGTCGTGCTGGCGGCGTGGAGCGACGACGAGCCCAACAACGCTGAGGACGAGACCGTTGAGCTCGGCGCGAACGCCGAGGCGGAGACCGTCGAGATTTCGGTGAATGACGGGACGGGCGCGGCGGCCGCGGCGGCGGCGCTGGCCTCGTCGGGGGCGACGTCAGGCGCGGCGGCGGCCTGGGCTCAAGCGATAGAAGGGGCCGAGGCCGCGCAGCGCGTCGGCGTCCAGAGTCCACCGGTTGCGACGAAGCGCCTGGCCTGGGCGGACCACGACTTCAGCGCGGGCGGGTCGGCCAAGGCGAACCGGGCCGGCGTCGCCGCGGCCGTCAAGGCCCTCGTCGAGGCGCGCGACGCTCTCGTGAAGGAATCGCCCGCCGACGCCGCGGCATTAAGGGACGCGCTGCGCTCTCAAACCACCGCCGCGGCGGCGTTCCACGCGCGCGAGCTCGACGCTGCATTAATGGGCGAACCGGGCGAGCTCGGCGAGCGCGCCGTGGCGCTCGCCGACGACCTGGCGCGCTACGAGATGCGGCGGCTCCTGAACCCGCCGCGGGACCCGATCTCGACGCCCGCGGCGCTGGAGCGCGCGGCGGCTTTGCGATCACCAAGAACAGTCTCACCGGTGTCGCTCGTGCCGGACTGCGTCGCCGTCGCCGAGTCGGCCTTAGACCGGTCGCTCGCCGTGCTCGTGTCGCGCGCGCTCGACCACTGTAGTAATGAGACGCCGCCGCCGCCGACGCCGCCCTCGACGAAGGGCGACGCGTTCGCGCGCGCCGTCGCGGAGGCGGACGCGGCCGTCGCGCCCCACGCGCGCAGTTTAGAGGCGTGCGCGGCGCGACGCTTCGCGCGGCGGTTCCTCGGCGACTCTACAGTGACACAAGCGGTGAACGCGAGCGGCGGCTGGGCGGGCGTGCGGCGGGCGGCGGCGCTCCTCCCGGGCTCCAAGTTCGCTTTGCTGGACGACGTGCCCGCCCTCGTCGCTGCATTGAACGCGCGCGCGGCGGCCGACGACGCCGAGCGCCGGGCGGCCAAGGCGGCGCTCATGCGCCTGCAGCGCGCGGACGCGGCCATGCTCCGGCGCGTCTGCGGCGTGCCGGCGAAGCAGCGCGTGCCCAAGCCCAAGACGCTCGCGGCGCACGTTTCTGATCGCGCGTCCGAGGCGCTCGACCTGGACCTGTCTTATCCCGACTTCGTGGCGCGCGCCGCCGGGGTGTAAGTTCGGCCGCTCGTCTTGGTACTGTCTCCCTTCCTTCTTCCTTCACCTTCGCGACTGTCTCGGCACCGAACACCCCAGCAGATAGAGCATGGAAGAGCAAGGTCCTGGCCATGGCTGCATGGACGTCCTTCTGACTCCTTCACGTTCGCGGCGGCCCGTCCCGGTACATCTAGGCCCGAATCATGGGCGGCACGTCGTCGAGCGAATCAGCGGCGATAAAGACCCGCATGAAACGTCCAGGGAGTTGTCTGGCTTGCTGCCTAGTGTCTTACAGGCCGCTAGCTAGCACGGGATTAGTGAGATATCGAGCCACGCGACTCAGTCCACGCGGCCCATCGGCAAAGTTTGGACCCACCGGGCGCCACCAAAGTCTCATTACTTTACGTTAACGCCGCCGCTACCGCGAAACCGCGTCAGACCGGCGGATTATTAGAATTCCCAGCCAGCGGTTTCATCATACCCTGATACGCACGACGGCGTACCTCTAAAACACTCGACGGCCTACACGTTGCTGTGCTTCTCCCTACTCATAGGGGCCTACGTCGTCTTTGACCAAGCGAACAGCCAAAAGAACGAGTTCCGACTTAGAAGGGCCGGCGTCGTGATTGATAGAGTAGCCTTCCCGCAGCTGCCCTGGGCGATCCTCAAGGACCCGCAGTTCCTCAAGACGTCGAACGGCGGCACTCTACTAGTAGACGGCTGGTATCAGTATTGTAGGAAGCCCCACTACATGGCCGACATATTGCAGGCGTTATGCTGGGGCCTGATCTGCGGCTTCGAGGTCCTGCTGCCCTACTGGTACGTCTGCTTCTTCGTGCCCATGATCATCCATAGAGCCGTCCGCGACGACGCGCGCTGCGCGGAGAAGTACGGCGCCGACTGGGACACTTATATCAAACGCGTGCCCTACGTCTTCGTGCCGGGCGTCGTCTAGATCCCCTTCCCCCTTTATAGTCTCTCGCGTAAAGACTTTCCTCCTCTGATCGCGTCGATCGAGTGCTTGCTAGTGTCTTACTGGCGCTAGCTACCTCGCCTTTGCTTTGCGCCAGCCCTTCGGGCTGCAGCGCTGAAACAGAGCTACTCCATTATCCCGCGCACACTTTGAAACTAGCTCTGTACTGCGCCGGCCCGCTGCGCGAGCGCTATCGAGCACCTGCGGTGAGCTGCTTTGAGAGCATCGGCAGCAATGCGCCGCCGCCCCGCAGCGGAGAAGGAGGAGCCGGAGCTCCTCGACGAGGACGAGCAGGAGGCGTTGGTGGCCGAGCTCGACGCCGACGCGAAGCAGCTCGAGCGACAGATGCGCCTCGCGGCCACGATCACGTTGATTTTCATGGCGTTCGCGGCCATCTTCTGCTTCGTTGCCGCCGCGCTGGCGCCGGACACGATCGCCGCGCCCGGCGAGCCGACGGTCGCATATTCATTAGCGCACCAGCGGGTCCTTGGGCTCCCTCGCGACCGGCTCCTGATGATGTACGCCGCCACGGCGGCCGTCCTGCTGCGCGCCGCGGTCCGCGTGTCCGCGCCCGCGGAGGCGAGCCGGCTCCGCCACGTGCTCGCGTGCGCCGCCGCGGCCGTGCCGGCTCTTTGTGTGCAGCCCGCTTGGTCGGACGGCCGGAGGGCGCTCGTCGCCGCCTGCGCCGCCGCGGCGCCCCTCGGCTACGCCCTGGCGAGCCACGTCGACGCGGACATGCGGTCCCTCGGCGCGGACGTGGCCGCGCTCGACGGGGCGCGGTACAAGCATAAGGAATTGTGATGTTGGAAAATGGGAAACGGGAAAGAAGATGCCAGACTCTGGCTAGTCGTGGTCCTACTTAAAATCCTTGGGGTCACGATCAAATAATTTCGCGCAATAGTTTCGCCACGCTTCCTCCTCGGTCTTCCCGTGCTTGCCTATCTCCCCCATAAGTTTGTTGTCTTGGGCCATTCTGTCGCCCTTCCCGCCGTAGTGGAGACTCATGATTTCGTCGGTTTGTCCCAGGAAGTCGTCCGCCAGTTGGCGCCGGTAGTCCCGCCATCGCTGCTCGTCCGGCGTTTCGGCGGGAAACGCCCAGTCATAAAGCTTTTCACCGAACGTCTTGGGGCGCTTGAGTTTGGCTCCCGGGAGATCAATACGGCGTACGGGACCGCGGATCCGCCGTATCTGTTGCCGTCTGAACGACGCCGTCAGCGCCGGTTGGAGGACGCGCCTGCCGTAATGCGCCATTCAATACTGAGCGGTAGTATGGGTGCAGAATTACGCGGCAGCCGTGCAGGCAGCCAGTCTCGCGGCGTCAATGACACCGGAGCGACGCCGGGGCAGCCGCAGGCTCGGCGCAGCTCGAGAGCCAGAAGAATTGCCATGCTAGTGGGAGAAGCTTCTGCTCCGAGCAGGACTCGCACGCGCATCGCGGAGCTCTCTCAAGTGAACTTTATATATAGGGACAGACACAGTTAAACGGCACAGCCCGGCCCCTCGCCCCGCGCCTCGCCCCAGCCGTGGAGCATCTCCGCCTCGGGGTAGCGCGTCCTGTAGAAGGCCGGGTGCGCCGAGACCGCGGCCCAGTAGCGCGCAACCTTCGGATACCTCTCCGGCAGCACGAAGCCCTTGTAGTGACCGCCGGCGACGAGGAGCACGTACAGCTTCGTCGCGACGAAGGCGTCGGCGAGGCCCGGCGCCGCGCCGGACAGGTACGGCGCGAAGGCGCAGGCTTCGAGCGCGTCGAGCTGCTCGGCCAGCCCCGCCAGGAGCTCGTCATCCTTCGCGTCGTCGGTGTTCTTCAGTAACATCGCGATGCCCTTGAACAGACCGCCTACGGACTCAAGGACTGCGGTGTCGGTGGCCGAGGGTGCCAGGAAGTGCTTCGCGATGCCGCCGCTGTCCGCGATCGCGTCGGCGCCGTCCTCAAAGCCATTTGGCGCCCAGCAGGGCATGGACCCGCCGTGCGCGTCGAGGTGCCACGCCGGCTTTTCCGCTTGCGGCGTCGGTCGCAATTGGTAGGTCGCGCCGGCGAGTTGCATTGACATTGCCGCGTACTGCGTGAAAGGGCAATCGCCCTGGGCGCCGTCCTTGCCAGCTTTGGTCATGAGCACGCCTTGCGCAGACATTTTTGCAGTGATGCGGCGGACTGACAGGCTAGTCGATGCTGCGAGTAGCAGGGGTGCGAGTGCTGGTCTCATTCGAGAGATGTACGCACTCTGTACTGAATGCAGCGGGCCGGACGTGTCGAGTTAGCTAATTAGCATTGTAATTAGGGAGAGCCAAGCTAGCCACAGAGATACTAGCTCCTCTCGCGCAGGTCCTCGGGCCGACGGCTCGCCAAGAGGCATAGCCAAGACGCCTCCGATATATTTGGACAGTCCGGTTGACCTCAGCCCATTTCTTTGGCCAATTTCTTCAGTAGAGCCTTCGCTTGTTCGCGGGAGAATTGGTCTGAATCTCGTAGCATACCGAGTACTGCACTCATAGCTCCTGCGTGGGAGTCAGAGCTAAGGTGACCTTCAAGTTCCTCATCTGCTAAATCCCTCCGACACACAGCCAAACTCGAGCGACGCGCTGCGTACGCACGGCGGCCCGACGCCGGCGCAGCGGGCGCGCCCGGGCGCCAAGAATCACACCAAGTGGTGCAGGGACCAGGCACGCCGCCGGGGCTGCCTGTGCGGGCGATCCCACCCCCTTGACCCAGCATGAGCAATATACTCAAAAAGATCCTGCCGCGGGCGCTGCAGGCCACGGGCAGCCCCACGGACCTGGAGTCCACCTGGGCCCAGCAGGAGGCCCTGCCGCCGTCCGTGGCCGCGGATAAACTGCTGACGGAGACGTGCGTCGGGCCGTACGAGGTGCTGAGGCGGCTGGGCGACGGCGAGTTTTCGACGGTCGTGGAGTGTAGGAAGGCGGACAATCCCGAGACGTACGCGCTCAAGGTCATCGGCAAGGCCAAGGTCCAGAGGCACTCGTCGATACTGAAATCGAAGCGGAACATCAGCCGCGTCAATCGGGAAGTCAGGGCCATGCGCGCGGCGAACCACGCGGGGATCTGTCGGTTGTTCGACGTGATGCAGACGCCGTCGCACATCTACCTCGTGCTGGAGAAGGGCGACCGGGACTTGTATGCATTGATAGACGACTACCCGGGCGGCTGCCCCGAGAATGTGGTGAAGAGCGCGACGCGGATCTTGGTCTTAGCGTTGCGCCATTGCCACAACGCGAAGATCGCTCATAGGGATATCAAGCCCGAGAACATCCTCGTGTGCGGCGACCCGCACACGTGGCACCAGAACCCCGACGCCGGCATTGTTAAATTATGCGATTTCGGATTGTGTGCGGACATCCCGGAGGACGGCGCGCTGCTCCAGGACTTCGTGGGCAGCCCGGGCTTCTTCGCGCCGGAACTGTTGCAACGGCCGGCGTACGACGGCGCTAGAGCTGACTTATTCTCGTTGGGCGCGGTCATGGTCGAGCTGATTTTTGGGCATGATTTCTTCGGGGCCGTCTGGTACCCGGCATACGAGGATTTATTGAAGGTAGATCGCTTCGCCGCGGCCATAGCAGATGCGGTGGCGAGAGTGCGCTGCGGGTCGAATGAACGGCCGCCTCTGGAGCCGCCCCTCCAGGCTTTGCTCAACGGTTTGCTGGAGGTCGTGCCCGAGCGCCGAAAAACCGTCGAAGAGCTGTGTCATGAAGAATGGTTCGAGCTCATGCGGGGCGGCCCCGACCAGGCGTCGCTCCTGCGCTTGACCTTCGACCACTCGCGGCCCTCGGCGGGCGAAAAGCCCGCGAAGCATAGGGCGCGGAGCAAAGCGCAGACGCTGCGGGGGTCCAGTGCCGCTTTGGCGGCGGCCGCCGCGGCGCCGGCGCCCGCGGACGCCGCGAAGCCGCCCTTCGTGCGCAAGGTCACGCCGCCGCCCGACGCGATCCTCGAGGCCGCGCCGCCGCCCCGGGAGGGGCGCGTCGTCTCGCCGCAGCCGCGCGGCAGCCTCGGTTGAAAAAAACACGGGCGCGGGGCCCCAGGCCCGCGCCCCACCCGGCCTACCTGCCGGAGACCGGCCTACCTGCCGGAGACCACGGTCGCCTCGTCGACCCTTTCTCTATCGCCAGCCGTTTTATCGACATCAACCGCCGGCGTGCTGTACATTACTCCTGTATAAGCCATCGATATACACCACACCAACCCGTGAACTTGAAATGTTAAATCTTAGCATCCCGGGGACCCCCCCTACAGCTCGAGCTCGCCCGAGTCCGTGATCTCGACCGTCTTCGTCGTCTTGCCGCCGCCGGAGCCGACCTTCTCGACGGCCTTGACGACGTCCATGCCCTCGAGGACGCCCCCGAAGACGACGTGGCGCCCGTCGAGCCAGGCGGTTTTCACCGTGCAGATGAAGAACTGCGACCCGTTCGTGCCGGGGCCCGCGTTCGCCATCGATAAGACGCCGGCGCCCGTGTGCTTGAGCTCGAAGTTCTCGTCGGCGAACTTCTCTCCATAAATCGACTCGCCGCCCGTGCCGTCGCCCCGCGTGAAGTCGCCGCCCTGGAGCATGAAGTTCGGGATGACGCGGTGGAACTTGGAGCCCTTGTAGTGGAGCGGCTTGCCGCTCTTGCCCACGCCCTTCTCGCCCGTGCAGAGCGCGCGGAAGTTCTCCACCGTCTTTGGCACGACGTCGCCGTAGAGGCCCATGACGACGCGGCCGGCCGGCGCGCCGCCGATCGAGATGTCGAAGAAGACCTGCGTTTTGCGTGCAGTTTTGCCTCTCGCGCGTCGGACGGTCGCGGGACAGCTGGAAGGTCACGGCTGTCTGGCACTGGATCTCGCACCTTGTTCGTTACTTTGGGCTCGGCTGCTGCCACAGCGGCCGAGAGTGCTGCGGAGAGTAATGCCAGGCGAACCATGCTTGCTTGTGCACGAAAGTTTGCTGCCGAGACGTGCCTGAAAAAAAGCGGAGAGGCCGATACGCTAGAGGCCGAGTACGCTAGCTCTGCTCGTCCGCTTTTTGGCCAGCGAGTGCGTCTGCGACAGCGACGAGCATACATAGTCTTTATTTTGCAATACCGCGATGCTGCTCGCCAGGCGAGCACAGCTTTCACTGCTGCGGGCCAATACAAGGGCTCACCACAGCATCACAGCTGGTGCCTGCAGCCGCACGCCTGCAGCACATACGTCCGCAGCACGCCCGTCGCCGCGCAGCCTCACCACCGGTTCGCGAGCGTTCGCGCAGAAGCCAGCCCGAGCCTTCGCCACCGCAAGTGGCGACGACCGCACGAAGGAAAAGGAGCCGTCGCGCTGGGAGAAATTACAACAACTCTTTCGGGAGCACGGCGTGGCCTTCGGCGCGCTGTACGTCGGCGCGAACGTCGTGACTTTCATCCCCATCTTCGGCGCATTGACCATTGGTGGTGTGGACGGCCCGGAGCTCATCCTCTGGGCGGCGGACCAATTGGAGATCACTTATGATCTGTCCTTCATCAATACAATCCACAAGGATTTGGTGAACGCGTTCATCGCGCTCGAGCTCAACGCGTGGGTCGAGCCGGTCCGGCTGCCGGCGGTCATCGCGTACACGCCGCGGGCTTCTCGGTGGTTGAAGGCGCGGCGGGGTGGTGAGGTGCCTGTGGAGTCTGTGAAGGCTGAGCCGGAGCCTGTGAAGGCCACCGAGCCGGAGCCGGCGCCGGAGCCAGAATCGGCGCCAAAGCCGGCGCGCAACAACCAAAAGCGGAGGCGTCGGAGGCGTGGGGGATGATGATAGTAATCTGTGTCTATGTCCGTATCGACGGGTTCGGTTTATCTGCTGTAGTAATCTTAGGCGGGGCGCCTCGCAGGATAGCGTTCACTCGTCAAGCGCCCTGTACGCGATGTACGACGCAATGGCTCCCCAGACGAAGAACGGCGCCTTTCCCATCCCGACCTCGCCGGCGTTCACGAGTCCGGCCTTCAGCGCCGCGGCCGCGATGACGGCGTAGCCGTAGCCGAACGCCTTTTCCTGCGAGTCGCCCTTCGCGAGCACCGCGACGTACGTGCCGCCTGAGAGGAGGCACGAGCCCAATAACTGGGCAAACATGCGCGAGAACGGCGACATCGTGTCGAGGCCGTATAACTTGTAGTGCGCCTCCGTGAAGAAGGTATCAGCCAGGCCCAACGCGATGGCGAGCGTCGGAGCGACCCACTTGTTGAGATGCCCCGTCTTCGAGAGCTTGCCGAGGACGATGCAAACGGCAATCCACGCGCCGACGGACGCCTTGTCTAGGCCGAGGGCTTCAATTACAGGCATGCACACGGTGGTAACCGCTGCGGAGAGGAAGAGGCTCGTTGACGCAGCGGAGCTTATACATGTTCCTATCGGCTTTCATGTTTTCCTGCCTCTCGGTGCATAGATAGATGCGTTTTTGCGACAGCTTACGACTCTGTGTATAATTTCGACGCTGTTGACAGACTGAGGGTATTGGTATTGCAACTAGCGACGATTAACTGCTGTCGGATGTGCAGCGTCCTGCTTGCTAGTGTCTTACAGGCCGCTAGCGCGATTTCCTACAGCATGGGTGCCGTCGTAGCCGCTCCCCGACGGTATTTCCTCAGAAAATCAATCGAAACCCCGAGCAACAAAAATAACATTAACCAGGAGGAGGCGGCCGCCGCACGAACCCCTCCAGCAGCCCAAGAATTTCGGCGTCGAGCGGAGGAGGCGTCGGCGGCGGCCGCGGCGCGTGGTAGAGGAACCGCGCGATCCGCACGAAGCACGCCTCCGGCACGCGGAACGCGATGGCCGCGCGCGGGTCCACGGGCCGCGAGGCCGCCCTTTTGACCGCCTCGAGCTCGCGCACCTCGGCCACCGCAGTTTTCGTCGCTTCCGTGACGGCGGTCTCGAGCGCCTCGCGCTGCGCGACGCAAAACAGCCACAGCTTCCGCCGGTCGGCCGACGACGGCCCGTCGACCTGCGAGACTTCTTCCCGTTCTAAACTTCGCACATCATCCACAGTCGTCGCGTTCAGCCAGCGCAGCGCGCGGGGAAACACCGGGTCGACGAGATTATGTTCGCCCGGCGCCGAGGACGTCAGGCCCGCATTGAGTAGGGCGACCTCCAGCGGCGGGTCGTCGGCTCGTATTGATGCTTTCGCGGCCGTCGCGGCGGCGTACTCCGCGGCGGCGATGCGTTTACTTAACGCGTTCGCCCGCTTGCGCTGCTGCGCCGCCGTCGTCTTCACTTCAACAACTTTAACCACATCTTTGGCGCGCACCGCATTCGCAAAGCAAACGGCGAGCGCCGCGCGGTCCGACGCGGCGCCGAGCCACGGCGCGGCGCGGCGCACGCGTGGCCGCTGCGGGAACTTGGCCGCGAATGCCGACCAGCCGCCCGCCCTCTCCACGGCCCCGAGCAGCTTCGCGAGCTGCGCGCCCTCGTCGCGCAGCGCGTCGATGTCCATGCCTCGCGCCCGCAATCGTTCAGCGTCGATGTCGCCTCTATCCAGCAGCTCGAGCCGCCGCCGCGCCGCGCCGGCGAGCGTGAGGCCCGCGCGGTCGCGGACGTCGTGGCGCGCGCCCCTCGCGAGCCTGCGTGGAAATCAACCAGTGTGTCGGGGTGCTGCGAACGCGCCGTAAATTCGATTTCCACACAGGCACCAGCAGCCACGCGACGGCGTCGAGCCGGCCCCACGACACCGCGACGTGCGCCGCCGTGTCACCAGTCTCTTCATCCACCAAGTCGACGTCCGCCCGGCAGGCGTCCACGAGGTACGCCAGCGTCCGCACGTGGCCGTTCATGCACGCGCCCTTGAGCGGGATGGCGCACTGCCAATTTCTTGGCAGTGCGACGAGCGCCTCGCCATCGCTAGCCTCCGTCTCGGCCACTAATCTCCGCAACGCATCTATGCCATCGGCGCCCCTCGAACCGAGGTAGTCAGCTGCCGACAGCTGGCGCCGCAGGACTCTTTGTTGGTACGAGTTAGCCATTGCTCACCAGTTTTACAGAATGCAGAACCACTGCCGCCTCAGCAGCGATGCAAATGATATGGTCGTGCTGGGAGTCAGCTATGCAAACGCTAATGCCCTACCGGTCGCAGCAATGCAAGGATATAAGTCAAGCAAATGTGGTGACTCGCTGGATGCGTGCCAGGTCGCAGCAATGCAATGAATGGCCGCTTTGCCAAAATCGCGTGGGCTAGCGGCATGTAAGATACTAGCAAAAGCAAACGACATGCAGCTGTTTGAGTACCGTTCCGTTCGCTAATGGTCCAAAGAGATCAATGAGACACTTCCTGGGGGCCAAAAATGGAATATATTTAATTCGCGGCGGCCCGGCTGAGGACGCCACAAGGCGGCCACGCCAGTGGAATCCTGTCAATCCGTGGTCCTGAGGTCTCCCCGGGGTCGCTTAGGGTCGAAGTATACATGGCTAGGCGACTACAGCGCATGCGTGGCCGCTTCCAGCATATTTCGGCCAATTCTCTCAACCATCCAACCCACTTGTGCATGAATTACTTGGCAATGGCTTCCAGAAGCCCTCGGTGGGCCCCAGCGCCGGCGTATGCGGTACAGGCGCTTACCCACAACCAGACCTACCCCGAGAGACCTCCAGGAGTCGATCTGCCCCCGAAAAAAGTAACTAATTTGGACCCGATGGCGCCCCGTTCCCGTCAAAAACGTCAATTACCCGAGGGCCCCCAGTAGTCGCCGTAGCGGTCTCGTTGGACCCCATACTACCCCAGCGATAGTCAATTACAAGTATATGACATCTACATTATAAGAAGGGTACTTTTGGCTGCCCACGCTCGGGACGTGAACATCTGCATCTGGACCTCGCGCAAGTCGGTCGGTCATGGAGCAAATGGTCGCGTCATGGTCCATGGTGATGGTACACGGGCTGATGGTCGCAGGTCTGGGCCTGGTGCCCATTTAAACGAGATCCTGGGGCCGCGAGAGAGACGAGCCGCCGGGAGCCTTCGGAACAGTAAATCAAATGTGTGACCGCTCAGGCGGTTCGGATGGCCCGTCCTACAACTGAAGCGCCTCAAACGCGAATTTATTTTATAAACCACCGGTCTGGGGCCAATCCAGTGCCCCGCGTACGCACCGTCGTCCGCGGAGAACGGGCAAGTCGGTCGATTGTGAATAGAACGACGGCGTTATGGTCCATCTGGATGGTGGCGTCGCTGATACTCGCGGGTCTGGGTCTTCTGCTTGTTTTCACGTAAACGCGGGGTCTCAAAGTCGCCGTTTCGCGCGGCTCTAACGGAGCATCTAAACTAGCTCAGTGGTCGCTGATGCGGGTTAGATGGACTCTACCCCTAACAAATGGAAGGAAACGAACATAAACTCGGGAGTTGTCTAGTAGAATTCTTTTCCCGCCTTCCGAGCGCGGGCCGTCGGCTCCGGTTCCGTCGAATGTGTATGAAAACTGGGCTGGAGTTGATATGATGTATCATTTGGACGGTAGAAGGCACTGTCAATCGCTGGTGTATTTTGGCGAGCCGCAAGACCTGGTGATCTAGCGTATCGACACACTAGGAATCCGTATATATAATATATATATGTATGTATATACATATGCATGTATACAGGCCTAGGCGGATGGCTTTTGAAAACAGACCTCTCCGACTGACCCCCGATAGTGAAGTTCAGAGCTTAATTCCCGCTCTGCCGGCGTGTTCCGGGAGGCATGAGGGTATCTTCCTGGGCCGCTACACCCGAACGCGACCCCCCGACGACGGTTCCCGGGAGGAGAAATATACTTTCAACAAACATACTCATCACTGGGACGGTTCCCCGGGGGAGAGCGCTGCAGCGCGGGGCCGCCGAGTCCGCAGTTTCCGCGGCGAGAACCGCCGTCGCAGGCCCCACACCCGCTTCGCGGGCGACGCCCGAGGCGGAGGATCATCGTCCGTCTCGCTAAAGGCGACGGGCGACAGCGTCGGACCCGACGCGGCTCGTCGCCGGACGCCCACGAGCCGCTCGACGAGCGCAGGCTTCAGGCCCTTCGAATCCGCTCCCGCGGCTTCCAGCGCCGCGCGCAGCTCCGCGACCCTCAGCTTCTTCGCCGCACGCGTCGCGGCGTCCGCGTCGAAGTCGTCGTCCGACGAGACCTCGCGCGACCAGCCGCGCAGCAGTCCGGGCGACGACGGCGCGGACGCGACAGAATCCAGAGACTCGCACGGGTCGCGCGGCGTCGGCCGGACGCGTGGGGTTCCCGGCTCGGCCACGCACGAGGCCGGCTCTTCGTCGTCGCTGTCGTCCGAGTCGCGCAGGAGCTCAGCGATGCGCCGCCGCGCGTCGCGCGCCGGTGGCGTTTTCAGAGGCGTTTTTGGCGCGCGGCCCTTCGGCGAAAACAGTCCGGGCCGCGCGCACTCCGCCGCCAGGTCGTGCGCGACTGCCAGCACCGAGAACACGGCACCGTGCGCGACGGCCCAGCTCGCATGAGCTGTCGGGAGGAGGCCGACGAAGAACGCGACTTCAGTGGCGCCCCAGGCCGGCGGGAGCAAGAAGACGAACCCGACGGCGGCCGCGCGCGCGAGGCTGTGGCCCGGGACCCAGGTCAAGCAGCCGTAGGCGTCGTAGGCCAGCAGGAACGCGTAGCACGCCCAGAAGCGCAGGACCTTGCGCACGGCCGCGTCCTCGGCCTCGACGTCGTCGCGCGCTTTGCGCGCTTTAAGCGCTTGGAAGCTGAGCCAGCCGCCCCAGGCCGCCACCACCACCGAGAGCATGTCTGTAGCAGTTCCGCTCTGCCGAGAGCCGCTGCGGTCGTACTGACCGCGCCAAAATCGATATTTTTCGGGTGGCACCCTGTTAGCCGTGTGGCGTTTCTGGACGCGTGCAACGGCGCGGCGCCGAGACGGCAGCAACACCGCTTCTCCCAGCGCCTAATTTACGAGCGCTTCGCTCCACAGAGCGCGCGACAAGCGCCACGAGCAAATGTTAAAGACAGGCTAGCGAACTGGAAAGACACTAGCAAACAAAAAGACACGTCGTAACAGCTTCACATAGGCATCGTACCCCTCCCGAGCACTCCAGAACGGCTCCAGAGCAGGCCGCGAGGTCGATGTCCGGCGCAGGGCAGCCCAGCCAACGACTCGTACAACTGCGGCTTGAAAAACGAGCAACGATGGGGCAGCCCTGCTGAGCAGCGACCGGGACACCCGCACCGCCACGCACGCACTGCCCCGCGCGACGGGTCCTCGTCCAAGACACAGTTGGTTAGCTAGCCACACCTCGCGAAGCCGGCTGCAAGAACGAGCGCCTTTACGCGCAGAAAAAGGCAAAGGACGCAGAACGGACACGATGGCCTCAGGAGAACTGCCCTTCGTCGTCATCCTAGGCGAGGACGCGAGGGGCCTGGAGACACCAAGAGGAGGCTGGACGAGCGACGCGCGGCATCGCTGGCCCGTCGAGCTAGGGTTATGGGTCGGCGACTGCACGCTCGACGGGTTGCGCTTGGTGGCGCCGGGCGACCGGGCTCCGACGAAAGTCGAGGTCTTCGCGGCTCCTGGAAATGACGCTACTACAGCAGGGGACCCTCTGGATGATGCCTTCCTCTCAAAAACTGCAGACGACGTCGTGACCGACGAAAAACGCAAGAAATGGCTTTCAGAATATTGCGCGGCGGTCTTTACGCGGTGCGGGTCCATCACGTTCGGCGAAAATAATCTGGCAAGGAAGGGCTCCGACGCTAGGGAAAGGAAGGTGGCGCGGCTGGCTCGTAGTGCGAAGCGCACGAAGTTCGTGCGACTCGTGATCCACGAGCCGGTTAGAGCTCCATTGCCGGGCGATCGGAATGGCGATGGGTCGAGAGTGGGCTTTGCTCGCGTAGCATTATTAGGCAAGTCCATGGAATGTCGACACTTACCTGTAATCTCGAAGATACGCTGGGACGCGGCCGAAGAAGAATTAAGTAAAGCTGGCGTGGCCACGGACGTAGTGAAGTCGCTGGCGTTAATGCGGCTGTCCCATCGAACAACATCTGTTGATAGCGATAACGACGACGAGGAGGAAACCGCAAAAACGATCCAACAAGCGCGACAGGGCGAGCTCGACGCCGCGGCCGAGACCGGGAGAGCGGAGGACGACGCTGTGCTCGCGGCCTTGGCGACGGCGCAGCACCGCGCACGTAAAAAACATCGCAAAGAAGCGGCCGAAGCCTTGAAGCAGGCCGAAGTAACAGCTGTGAGGGCCGACGAGGATATCAGAAGATCACAAGAACGGCAGCATAACGCTGTACAAAGGGAAGATTTCGACGCCGCGCGCACGGCCAAGGCCGAGACGCAAACCCTCAGAAAGCAGCGTCGTACTGATGCTGCGAGATCCTTGGCGACGCACGACGACGTCATCCACCTCTCGGACCGGAAGGCGTCCTCTTCAGGTAAAGAGGGCAGCGTCTTCTGTCACAAGTGGGTGACGTCTCCTGACACGGACCTGCTATTACCGGACGACGACGGGGACATGTTCCTCGACGCGCAACAATTGGAGAAGGCGCGGGAACGCGACGCCGCGGACGCTGTCGCGGACGTGGCGGCTGCCGCAAGAGTCGCGGCGAGAAGACGCGCGCGAGACCAATCGCAGCGAGACGTGTTTGATGAAGATTCGTATGCATCCTCCTCGGAATCGGACGACCAGGCGTCCAGTGACGACGAGAACGACCAGACGATCGACCCGATGGCTACACTCAAGTCGCCGATTAGTGGCGCCCAGGACTGGTCATACATTTCTGAGGCGGCCATGCCGTCCTCATCAGATAGGGGCTGGTGGGGCTTCGACGAATACCCCCTCGAGACGCTGAAAAGGCCGCTGGACTTGGACCTGAGTGACGACGAAGACGTCGCCCGACCGCCAACTCCAGCTAGATTGTCTGAAGAAGAAGAAGCGAGGAGGGACCGAGCGCGCAATCATTGTGAGAGGTTATTACATACGGAAAGTGTTTCCTCGAGACTCGTACGCTGGATGGCCCATGAAGGCGTGGCGGACGTCGACGGCGTCGCGGACGCTCTCGCGCAGATGCATGCGGTCCGGTTATCTCCACCTTCAGCGCCGCCCGGTGGGTGTCCACCACCACCGGACGACGATGACCTCTCGCTCTTGTTGTACAAGTCCACTTCTGTCAAGAGAGAGGCCGTCTCGAAAGCTTTAAAGGCCACCATCGGGCCGTTAGCGTTGGCCTTTGCGTGCCAGGGCAACTGGTTGATGAGACGGCAGGTTTTGGTGCTGGTGCGCGACGGCCGGTCGCGCATCGATACCGAAGCTTTGGCGGAGGCCGCTGGAATCCTACAATGGGAAGAGGGATGGAAGCGGCGGCGTTTGCTATTCGCGGCCCTCTGCGCTTTATTACAACAGGGCCTCTCGTCCGAAAGCGCGGACGTCTTCGCGGAGGCTTGTCGGTTATTGGTTGATCTTTTCCGCGGCAAGAAGAAGCGCCTGGATCGGAACGTGTCGCACTCGACCATCGCCGAGAGCCCGACCTATCAAACGATACGGAGTGATCCGGGAGATGATGGTGATGACGTCCTGGCGCCGACGACGTTATTACGACGAGGTATTTGTAGAAAAGGCGCGCCGCTGAAGGACGCCTTGGCGGCGTTGCGGGCGTTGCTACCCCTCGTATGTCAGCGCTGCGCGCGCCACTGCAGCGACACCGACGAACGGAGCTCACACGCCGCTTCTCGGCGCGCGGCGCGAGTCGCGGCGCGCTGCGTGTCGAGGCTAGCGAGGACGCCTTGGTTAGGGGCACCATTAGTTGCCGCCGCCGTTTTACCGAGACCGCCGCCCGTCGGCGCGCACGTCATGGAGGAGACCGATTCCAGGAGACACGCGGCCGCGGTTTTGGGCCACCCGTCGCAGCCCGCGAAATTGGCGGCTGCGAGACTACGGACGTTGGCCTTGCTGGTGGCGCGCTTCGGCGCGCGCGACGATTCGGTGTTGGATGCGCGCGATATTGCATCTCTAGCGGAAGCGGTACTCCGTCAAGATCCAAGACAAGAGGTCTGTCGCGCCGCCGCTTCGTTAATAGGCGCGTTGTATGCGGCTCTGGTAGATGCGGCGGCCGTCGCGCGCGTGTCGTCGGGCAAGGACTTTTCTTTGGTAGCTTGTAATAGGGACGCTCGCCGGAAGCTCAGAAGAGCCTTTCAAAACAGGACGTCGTCCATCCTGTCCCCCTCGAGAAAGAGCGGGCTCGTGAGGTACACGGACCCGGAGACCGGCCACGAGTACATCCTGGACGAAAAGACGGGCGACAGTCGGTGGGCCTCGGCCGACGACTGGGCGGTGGACGCGAAGATGAGGAATGTGGGTCAAGAAATACTGAGGAGGCGGAACATCCTCAAGGCCTTTGGATCTCCGTCGATCATGCCGTCGGAGACGCTGGCCGATGACCTCCATACGATCGCGGACGACGATGCTCGCTTAAGACGTGCACTCGCGCGCGTCGACGCGGAGATGGCGCGGCGGCACGGGTCGGCGCCGTCCGTCGCTGCCGAGGCGAAACGATTGAAGAAGGCCGCCGCTCGCCATGCCGCGGCGCGATCGAACGCCGCCAGCGACGCGGCGACCGCGGCGCGGAAGGCCGCCCAAGCGGCCGCCGAGGCCGTGCGCTCGGCGGTCGAGGCGTGTCGCGTGGGTAGGAGCGGAGAAAAGGACGACAAGACGCGCCGGCTCGAAGCTATATTGAATGCGGTCTCCTCGCGGAAGCTGCAGGTCGTCTGGAAGGCCGGGTTTCGGGTGCGGACGCAGGCGAAGTACCGCGTGGCGTCACGAAAGGCGTTCGAGGCGGCGAAGGCCGCGGCTGACCAGGCGGCGGCGAGCGTCGCGCGACTGGATATCAGGAATGTGAAGGACCAATGCAGCGAGTTCCACGCGAATGCGCTCGACGCGGACAAGGCCGCGCAGGCGGCCCAGGCGGCCCTCGACGCGGAAAAGCAGAAGCGCGAAGCTGCGCAAGCGGCGGCGAAGGCGTCATCAAAACCCTCGGGCAAGGTCCACCCCGCCGACGCGAAGCCCGCGAAGGCCGCCAAGAAGAAGGGAGGGTTTTTCTCGCGTAAGAAGAAGTAATACTAAGACAACACAGTCCTGCCGCGGAGGAATCGCTCGGCGGCGGCGCGGTCGTCCTCGGACATCTCCCCGAGGCTCTCCTCGACCATCGCGCGGAGCGGTCGCACGCGGCAGGGGCCGCTTGCGCGTTCGCATCTATGGCCACAGGCGCGCTCCTCGCCCTCCCAGAACTCGACGACGAGGACGCGCCGCGTGCCGCGCGTGACGGGGCGCACGCTGTGGTGGCGGTGTGAACAAAACACAATCGCGTCGCCAGAATTAACAAAAAAGGGCTCCTCGTCGCCGGCGTCGGGGGCCACGAACTCGCCTCCGTCGAAGTCGTCGCCGGGCCGCGCGAGCATGACGTCAAACGTGTATATGCTACCGCTATCGTAGTGCTGCTCATGTTTTAGCGCGCCACCGGGCGTGACTGTGTGGTATTCTACAACTCGTGGTACGACATCCACTCGCGACGCATAATCTCCGAAATGCGCTCTGTCCGCTGCCCGCGCCGCAGCGAGCATGCGGGCGAGTAGCCCCGGGAACCGCGCGTTGAATCGTCGATCAGTGGAAAGGTATGTTGTGGTCCAGAGCGCGGCTCCCGTGACCGCGCAACTAGCTTTGGCGAGGCGTCCGCACGCGTGTGATTGAGCCGCGTGAAACGCATCGATCTCTACGATCTCTTCCGAACTGAGAAATGCTGGCAGCCGCACCACGGGAGTCGCCTGAGCATCCGCGGCACTGATGCGGGATGGGGGCAGGTCGCTGTCTGCCATAGCAGTGTGCAGCGTGCAGTGTCGGCCAGCTGCTATGATAATGCCACACCGATGAAGCGCATGCTCGGGGGGTTGCCGAAGATGCTCTGCAGCGATTACCAAATCCTAACGCCTGCAAGAGAGCCAGTTGCGGCCGTGATGGGCAAGATTAGCTAGCGGCATGTAAGGCACTAGCAAACACGGCGTTGTCAAGCTCCGGGCAGCCAGGCGCCGGGGCAGCCTCAGAGCGTCCGAACGGGTGAGGGCTGCTCCCTCAGCTGACGGGGCCGACGCCGGAGCCCTCGACGCCGTCGACGGGTCGGTGGAATCTCTGCCTGGCTTACTAGTGAGGGTGCGCCCTAGCACGTCGAACGCGACCCTAACACGTTGGACGCCGACGCTTCGGTCCTGGAACCATGCCCGCCGTCGACGCCAGCGGGAACCGCATCGCCCGCACGCTCGACGGCGGCCCGCCGCAGCGCGCCGTCTACATCCCGTCGCCCGTCCCGTCGCCGGAGCCGACGCCGCGGAGCCCCGAGCCGACACCGCTCCCGACGGAGCGCAAACTGCCGCGCCAGGTCAGCCGCCGCAAGGTCGCGCCCCTGAGCCCGCCGACGAGCCCGACGAAGGCCGAGCGGTCTCGAGGGACTATAATAAATGACCGAAAACGGGCCTCCTTCGACGCGTACGAGCCTTCCCATGTGAAGCCGGCCGCCGTCGCGCTGAAGGACTGGGCGCCGACGACGGCCGTGGTGAGACGGCCCGCAGAACGGACGCCAGTATGGGACGCGTACCACCAGAATAACTTTCCTCCCCGTTCAAACAAGGAAGAAGGCACTGTCGATGTCCGCCCGCTCTTCCGGAGCCACAAGGTCGCCGTGCAACGCCGGGCGGCGCAAGTCGGTTGCGTCGGCATGGCGCACAACGACCCCTTGTACTTACCAGCCCATACGGCCGCGGCCATCGACGCGCCGACGCTCCAAAAGTTAAGGGAGGCCGGTTCTGAGTTAAAAAGGGGCATCTGTGAACGTAAACATGTGACTACTTTGATGGAGTGCGCCTTCGAGAACCCGATCGTGGCGTCGGCGAAAGCTAGGTATTGCCGCGAGGATTTGGGTTGTACTTCCATGAAACATTGTACGTATCCAAAAGTGTGCGAGTGGATCGCGCGCGAACGGATCAAGCAGTTAAGGACGTCCAAGAGACCCTTCGGCGACGTCGGTCGACGGTTCATCCCTTTGCCTGCTTGTTGTGATAATCCCGCCTGCAATGTTTGCTCTGCCGCTCTCTCCCCACAGCAAGTCAACGCGCTCACACCGGAACTCCGACAGATGTACGCCGTCTGGAAAGGGTTAGTCGGCCACAACCAAGCTGGTGTCACGCTACCCGGTACGACCGAATGCTTGGAGTCTCATGGTTTACCGATGCCTCTCGAGGAAGTCGAAGAAGTTTTCCAGAGATACGACGCCGATGGCGGCGGCTTTTTGGACTTCGACGAGTTCTGTGGGATGTTAGATGATCTACGGGTGGGCGACAAAATAGTGAAAAAACGGGTCACGAAGTATGTCCTCTCCGATAAATTGCGCTCGCAATTGGATCTGGATGATGAAACAGTCGCCTCATTGACCGTAGCCTTCGGTCAGTTTGATACGAGTGGTGATGGATTACTCGACCTCGACGAGTTCTCGACAGCCATGCGCAACTTGGGCCATGATTTGACGGACGACGAGTTCAAAAGTGTACTGGGCCAGGTCGACAAGAATAGGAACTTCGAGATCGATTTTGGGGAGTTCTGCCAGCTCATGGGCAAATGTGAAGATGGACAGTTTAATGTCGGGACGTCGGTACTACAAGGTGCCTTCAAGGGGTCGTTGGGGCTGGAGAAGATCAAGAAGCAGGTGGATGAATTGGTGCGGGAGGCGACGGATCAACATGGGCGGAAGCTGGGGTACAAGAACCTGCCTCATGGAGTCTCGGACTTGACGCTGCACGCGACGAAGCCCTTTCCCTCCCTGGAGGCGACGTTTTTAGGTGAAGTGCTGGTTGGGACGCCGTACGAGGGCCGCTTACTAAGACTGAGGATTTCGGGCGACCACTGCTACCCCGTGTCGCCGCCGCGCGTCGCCTTTACACGCCGGGTCATACACCTAAATTTCGACGTCGCGCCTTCCGGCGAGACCTTCGTGTCGCAATTACTAAACACGTGGAGTGGTATGTGCGACGTCAAGTGGCTCCTGGATCGCATCGTCCAGCTCCTGAGGGAGCCGGAGCCTGATTTGGTTCCGGCCGCGGCGCGGCCCGAGAACGCGTTAGCTAGGGACGGCGACGAGGACGGCGACGGCGGTATTGACGACGAGGCGGGCGCGCGGGGCACGCAGCCGCTGGGCAACGACTTGAGAGTGAAACGCCAGGCGGACCGCCTCGCGGCGGAGTTGTTTCGTCTGCACCGGGACCGGCCGCGGAGATATAAGGCGCTCGCGCGCCAGCACGCGCTGCGAGACCTAGAGGAGGCGCTTCACGTGCCCGCGGCGCTCGACGCCGCGAGCGACGACGCCCCGGAGCTCCCCGTGCCGCCGCCGGCGGAGAGCTCCACCGAGGACGAGGACGAGGCATCTGGCGCGGGGTCGCCCGCGCGGCGGCGGCGGGCGAAGAGCGACAAGCGGAGCGTGGGGTTCGCGTTCCCCGCTTAAGTTTACTGGTGTGTTGATTTTCACTCATATCCCGTCACGGTCGACGGGGTATGTTATTCGGCACTCCTGGCCCAGTGGGTTATCGATGTTACGGTGCTAGGACTAGTGGGCGGAGCCCCTGGGGGGGAGACACCGCGCATCGCCGATTCATTGCCCAGTGGGACTATTAGTACTAGTAGTACTAGGAGGACCACGTGGAGGACCTCCGAGTCAAACCCGGGAGATGCTAATTCGACGGAAGTTACACAGCCTAGTTCTCGTTCTGCGAGTACTTCTGGCCCTCGCCGGAGAGGACGCGTTTTACCTGCTGGATCGCGCCGTTGCCGATCACGATGAGCACGATCGGGACCGCGACGAGGAGCACGGGCGCGAAGACGACGCCGGCCTGGCCCAGGAGCGGGGCCTTGATGCCGAGGATGGCCGCCGAGGCGGGCTGCGCGGCGACGGCCGGCACGGCGGCGGCGATCGCCGCGGGCACGGGGCCGGCGGAGACCGGCGCGACGTGCGTCTTCGGGGGGGCGAGCGCGGCGGCGCAGGCCAGCGTCGCGGCGGCGAGGAGGAACGCGCGGGCCATTTTTTTGGTCTTTTTGGAGCCTGCGCGGGCGGTGCGTGGTCCACTCATGCCGGGCGACGTCTACGACGTCTACGCAATGACGCGTCGCTCTCTCCTGCGCTCGCGCACGGAGGAGTTTCAGCCTCGCTGCAGAGAGAGTGATAGACATGAGCGGGAAGCGAAAAGTCACAGCGCGGCGTTGCGGCGACTATATTTATCGTCGGACGGCGCCTCCCAGCTCCAGACGCTGCACAAGTGCGGATTAAGCCGGACAGGTCACAGTCAGGACACACCTCGTTGATGTCTCTAGTATGTCCACTCACGCTAGCTGCGAGCGGTCTAATTGACATTACAACATCTTATAAGAAACTCGGATGCCTGCAGGCCGCTGTAATGCCAGCCAGGCATCGTGCGGGGCACAGCTCCTGCCAGCACCAAATCCCTGCTTTAAAGCCCAGCTCCTCCACGCGAGAGAGCAGCAAGGCATCGTTTCGAACACCTTTGGGACCCATTACATTGCGTTGGCTCGCGGGGTCCCACCTATCACGCTGCGCAACGCCAGGGGCTGCCCCATCTATCGAGGCGCTGCAGCAGCCAGTCGGCAGAGCAATTCAAACTGGAGGCATGGGCATCCCGGCCCTCATCAAGTGCTTCTTCGTCGTCGAATGCGTGATTTTTGGACCGTTTGCATTACATCATTACCTGGCGTGCGCGAACACGAAGCAGCTCGAGCACCTCTCGAGCAACCGCGTCGCCTGGCTCGTCCTGCACAGCGGCGAGATGCTGCATGGCGTCGGTGCATTGCTGGTCCTCTTCGTCGTGCTGAACGCGCTGATTATCAATGAGGTGTCGACGATCGAGCTCGAGATTATACTATTAGCGCACTCGCTGTGGCTGGGCACGATCATCGCGTTCTGGCCGCTGGCGAAGGACGCCGCGATTCTCCACATTCCGCTCTGGTGCGGCGCCGCTGCCGTTTGTTTCAGCTACGTCGAGAGCTGGAGCCTGGTCCTGGACGCGTTTGTCATTGTCTACGGCCGCGTGAAATACAAAAGCGACGTCTACCCGAACATCATTAGCGGAGGCGACTACGCCGCGGACATGGCTCGCTTCCGCGAGTTTTGCCTAGGCCACGACCGAGAGGACCCGAAGTATACAGCTGTGTAATGAATTAACCTATACCTCCCGCAGCGGGCAGGACTTGTACTTCGACCCGTCCGGCTTGACGCAGGACCGAATTTCGTGCTCCACCTGTACTATCGCACCGTTCTCCGGCGCATCGGGGTCGATCACGTCCAGCACGCGGAACATGCACTGGTCCAGGGCCTCGTCCTTGGTGTGCGCCCTTCTTTTAAATCGGTAGTTCACGTAGGCAAGGTCGAGCGCGTCGGCCCGGTCGTAGACCGCTCCCAAATCATCAACATACATGGAGATGTGGACGCCGCCGTTCGTCGGGCGGCCTTCCTCGTCCTCACCCAATTCGGCGTGGTTCGCCTTCCCGAAAGGCTTCGCGACGAAGCTCAGCGTCTGGGCCGGGCCGATCTTCAGTTGCAGGAGCTGGTCCGCGACCAATGTGCAGTCGCCCTCGGGCACGCCCATGACGCTAGTGTAGAAGCGCTGCACGCCCGCGAGGTCCGCGCCGCGCGACACGTGCAGCGCGATGTCCGTCATGTGCAGCGGCGCCGAGGCCTCGCCGTCCTGGACGCCGCGCGGGTCCGCGGCCTCTCCGTCAATTTTGATCGTCATGGGCGTGCCCCAGGGGCAACTCACGTCGAACCCATCCGCGTTCGCGCGCATCTGGAACTTCGTCCCTTCCAGAGCCTCGTGCGCGGCATTTAACCGTGCCTCGTCGAAGCGATCTAGGTCCGCGTACGCGAGCGTCAGCCGCCCATCCAACGGCTGCGCTTCCGGTTTACCCTCGGGCAGGTGCAGCTGCGCGATGCCGGCGTTGGCCCAGAGCGTCTTCTTGCCCTTGTCGAGGTTCTCCATCTTTCGCGGGTCGACCGCAAAACCCAGTAAATCGAAGTAAAAGGCCTTCAGGAGGTCGTGGCGGCCCTTTTCGTGATTCATATTGACGTGGTCGACTATTTTTATAGCTCGTTGGGCCGTGCCGTGTCGCTGGCTCGGCGGCGCTATTAACGCGTGCGTCGTTGCTAGGATGGCGAGGAGGCGCGGCATCGTTGCCGTAGCGATTGTGCGAATGCGTTGCTGCTGTAGCGCTTGAAGGCGTTACTGCTGTAGCGATTGTGCGACGGCGTTGCGCAACAGCGTCCGTTTGCTCAGCTGAGGTTGCTGTAGCGATGCGACGGCGTTGCAGCAGTGCGTCTGCCACTCTACACAGTGTCGAGGCTCTGCCACTCGTGCTCGATTGCAAACAGCTATGCGATTCGCGCACGATGCAGCGTGGTATCAATTATCTGCAACGAGCAAGGCCACACGAGCAATTATCGACGGGAAAAGTCGATTTGACGCACGATGGCGTCCACCTTGGCAATTTACGAGTTTTGTTTTTTAGAGCTCACGCGGACGGAAGCGTCCCGGACAAGCCTGCGGCATCGCCCCCGCGGCACATGGGTGCGCTCGACGAGCGTACGGGCTCAAGGCCGAGCCGTGGTGGTTGCTCGCGGCGGCGCTCCGTCGACCCGGCCGCGCGTGCGCGCGCCCGCGAGCGAGGCCCGCGACCCTCCATTAAATAGGGGGCAGCCATCGAAGCACCGGCCGCGGCACCGCTGCAGCGTTCGGGAGGGAACTGCCCCAACAGCCGAATAGCAAAGCAAAGCGGTCAGGCAGACCCCGCGCCGGCTTGGTGGCCAGGCAGTCGCAAACCATGGCCAAGAAGGCCGCCGAGAAGGACACAGAGGAAGAGACCGAGAAGCCGGCCGCGGCGCCGGCGCCCGGCTACGCGAGCCTCCCGGTCGCCTACGCCGCGTCGTTGCAACAGCACTACGCGCAGCACGCCAGTCAATCCACACAACAGACGCCCGGAGACGCGAACGCCCGGGCCTACCAGTCCTACCAGGTCGCCCAGTACAACGCGGCCCTCGCGGCCGCCGCGCCGCCTCGCCCGAAGCCGAAGGGCAAGGACGCGAACAACCCCCACCAGAGACACGGGCGCTGGACCGAGGAGGAGCACACGCAGTTTTTGAGCTTGATGACGAAGTATGGGAGGAGCTGGACGAAGATCTCGCAGTGCATGCGGACGCGGTCGGAGCCGCAGGTCCGCTCGCACGCGCAGAAGCACTTTCTGCGCCTGAATCGGCTGGAGAAGGCCGCGAAGGGCGAAGGGGCCGCCCCGGCCGAGGCCCAGTACCCGAAGCCCGAGCGCAAGAAGCAGAAGCGGCGAAAGGTCGAAACGCCGGCCTACGAGCAGCCGTCGTCCGACGAGGCCGGCGTGCCGTCCGCGCTATTAGCGCAGGGCGTCGCGCTGCCGGGGCCGCCGCAGCAGCCGTACTACGGCCAGGGCGGCTACCCCTACCCCTACATGGTGCCGCCGCAGCCCGGCGCGGCCCAGCAGCCGTACTACAACTACCTGCCCTTCGCGGCCATGCCCAACGACCCGAACGCGGCGGCGGCCGCGGCGGCGCCCTGGACGGCGGCGGCGCCGGCCGCGCCGGCGCCGCCGCCGATGACGCCCGAGGAGCAGCAGCGGCTCTACGCGACGGACCCCCAGGCCTACCAGATGCGCGTCCTCGCGCAGCTGGCCGCCGCGCCGGGGCCGCCGCTGGGGGCGGACCCCAACAGCAGCTTCTGGTTCGACCCGGCGACGGGCCAGATCGTCTGCTCGACGGCGCCGACGGAGCCCATCGCCCACGGCACGCCCCTGCCCGCCGAGCCGCCGGTCAAGGCCGAGGCGGACGCGGGCGACGCGAACTGAGGTCTACTAAGCTATTTTGTCACACATTACTGGCCTTTATGGACTCGGCGAAGTCGTCCTCTGCATATTTGAAGGGCGGCTCGCGGTAGAGCCGGTGGAGCGAGAGGAGTAGAGGCGCGCTCGGCTCGTGGTTGACGGGCGCATGAGAGGTGGCGCGCCACGCGCTCGACGGGAGCCGCTCCGCGAAGGCGCGGAGCGCGACGGCCTCCCGCGCGCCCGCCGGATGCCCGGGATAAATGGCCACGGACACGTGGCCGCCGGGCTTGACACTGCCGAGGGCCCACGAGGCCAGCGCCTCGACCGTCGTCTCCGCGTCCGTCGTCGGCGGCGCCTCGTCGCTCCGGGCGCGCGTCGGGAGAAAGCCGAGGTTAAACGCGACGACCGTCGCTGATCGCGGCGCCAGGCCCGGGGGCGGCGCGGCGTGCGACTGGGCGCTCGTCCGGAGGCAGGCGGCATTGGCCTCGCCAGCCTCGTCTCGGACGCGCCGGGCGCAGGCCTCCAGCGCGGCCGCGTCGACGTCCAGCGCATGGAGCGTGCCGCGCGGCCCGACGAGCGACGCGAGTATTGCCGCGTCGTGGCCGACGCCGGCCGTCGCGTCCACTGCGATGTCTCCTTGTCGTAGTGTTGCGCGCCAGAGGCTGTGCGCGAGGCTGAGGTGCGACTGCAGCGGGCCCGCACGCGACGACAATGCGCGCGCTAAGCGCGCGACGAGTAATGAGCGCATCAGTCTGCGCATCAGTGCTCTCGATTGTGCACTGCACTAGCGGCGCTCCTGTGCTGTGAGCTGCGGCAGCTTTGCAAGGCGACGACGTCTAGCATCAATTACAACACTTGCATGCAACCATAAGGCACGTAACCACCTGTGCTAAAGTGAGCACATCGAGCTAGCAGGCCTCTGTAAGGCACTAGCGTTTGGCTAGCCTCAGCTGGACAAGTTGATTGAACGGGCGAACGTTGCACATTGTTCGGGGGGGTTTGCCGAGGCGGTTCAGCTTAGAAGGAGGTACGCTGTTATGAAAGAAGCGGCCCGCGCCCGCCGCCGATGAATCGGCGACGCGCGGTGTCTCCCCCCCAGGGGCTCCGCCCACTAGTCCTAGCACCGTAACATCGACTAGCCTCAGCTTGGCACGACGCCGCCGCACGTCGTCGCCGCAACACGACGTTGCCGCAACAAACCGGTGTCACAAAATCAGGATTACCCGGGGGTACGAATTCGAGCTAGAAGATCAGCAGCGGCTCGCCGACCTCCGTAAGCTGCGGGATCGTGCAGTTCAAACCGAACGACCGCGCCAGGATGACCTTGAAGAGCTTGAGCACGTTGATGGACTCGGTCGAGGAGGTAAAGACGACGGGCGCCTTCATGGCCCGCGCGAAGCGCCGCGCATCTCTATCTATCGCCTCGCGCTCTTCCGGCGGCAGTGTGATGAAGATGTCGTACTTCGTGCCCACCAAGATGGCGTGGGCCGTCCGATTCAAGCCGCGGCACTGGCGGTACCATTCTTTTATTGAGGCTAGTGTATCTCTCCTCGACAGGTCGAACATGAACAGCAACGCGCGCGCATCATTGACCACCAGAGGGAGCATTGATAGAAATTCGCGGTGCCCTCCTAGATCCCAGATACTAAAGGTGATGTCGTTGTTCCGCAGCGTCACGGTTTTCTCGAGGAAATTCACGCCCAGTGTTTGTATATAATCCTCATCCAGCTTGTTCTCCACATACTTGACCATGAGCGTCGTCTTGCCGACGCGCGCGTCGCCGACCATGCCCACTTTCAAGACGACGGCGTTGCGCTGGCCCTCGTCGGCGGCGTTCGTCGGCTGCGAGAAGTCGGCCATCCGTCTTTCGCGTCGCGCGCCGCGGCTCTAGTTGTATGCCAACTCCGCGGCGGCGCCCCGCGGCCGCGCTCCCGCTCCGCTTTTCTGTCTGCCTCGCTCCGCGGCCGCGCTCGCTCCGCGGATTCGGCCTCGGATGCGTCCTCGGCAGCTCTCGGCTGCTCTGGCTCTAAGGCCGGCTGGCGCCGCGTGGGATTCGCGCGCAGCGCTCGTCCTTTCGAAGCGCTCGTCCTGTGCAAGCCTTACGCGTTCAGTAGCCGCGTTTGTCCACGATTTCGCGGAGTTTTGCGGACGTAAACCCGTTTTAATCGGTTCGCGCGGGCGCGCTCGATTTTAGCAAAAATTGGCTGGATATAAGCCCCACGACGCTCGAATCGGACCAAAAACTGCGCGCGAGTTCCCTCGAGGCCCACTCCCAGCTCCGAATCGAAATCCGGCAGCTCGCAGGGCTAGGGGCGCGTTTCAGGCCGAATCAAATAAGCTGCCATCCGTGATCAGCTCGACGCGTCGTCAACTCCATAAGCTATGACGCCCACCCCCTCGCCCCGCGGCAGCGAGGAGCTGACGGTACGAACGAACCCGAACACGCCGCCGCGGACGCCGCGCAGCGCGCTCGACGCGATCGAGGGCGGCGCGCCGCCGTCCTCGGCGCGAGCCGTGCTCGAGGCCCTGCGGGCGCTGCAGCGCAAGATCGTGCGCCTCGAGACGGAGCGCTCCAGCGCCCTGCGCGAGGCAACGGAGCTCCGCCATCGCTTCGAGGGCCAGTCGGCGGCCTCCGAGCGCGCGTCCGAGCTCCAGAGCCGCCAGCTCGAGGACCTGGAGCGGTCCTTCCAGCTGCGCGAGAGCCGGTTGGTACGCGATAGAGACGACCTGACGCGGCGTCGAGATCCGTGTAGAAATCCAAGCCCACGCCGGCTGCTCGACGGCGTGAGGTCACCGGGCGATATCCACGCAGGCCTCGACGACGCGGAGCGCGACAAGCTCGACGCGCTGCGGGAATGCGCCGGTTTGAGGGACCGCGCCGACGCGCTGCGGGCGCGGCTCGCGCGCGCCGAGGCGCGCGCCGTGGGCGACTTGGACGCGGCGGCGGCGCGGTCGCCGGGCGCCGGCCGCGACGACGCGCTGGCGGCGCGGCTCGCGTCGACGACCGAGCGCGCGGTCGCGGCGGAGTTGAGAGTGGAGGACCTCGAAAACGAGCTCCGGGCGGCGCGCGAGGCTCGCGAGCCGCCCGCGGCCGCGCCGCCACTACCACCACCGCCGCCGCCGTCCCCGCCGCCGCCGCCGCGGCTGCGCCTCGCCGCGAAGCCCAAGCGCGCCGTTTCGAAAGCCGCTCCAAAGAAGGCCGTGTCGAAGGCCCCAGCGCCGACGCGGCCTGGCGCTGGCCCCGCCGCCGCTGCGGCGCGGCTCAAGGCGAGGAAGGCGGTCCCGCCGAAAAAGCGGGCCGCCACGGCAGCCGCCGGCGCGTCAAAACGGATAAGTGCGAAGGAGGCCGCCGCGGGCCGCGCCGCCTCCCTCGCCGCGCCAAAGCGGAGCGCCACAGCCGCCCGCGCCGTCACCGCCGCTGCGCCGAAGCGGAGCGCCACGGCCGCCGCCGCGGGCCGCGCCGCCGCCGCCGCGCGCCTCAAGGCCACCGCGAAGAAAATCGGGGCACCGAAGCCGTCGGCGACGCACCCCTACCTCCGCACGACGCGGCCACGACGGCCGGCCGCGCCCGCGCCCGCGCGCGCGCCGAGGCATTCGGCGCCGCCAGACTCGCCCGTAAACCCGGCCGACGCGCGCGGCGAGACGCCGCTCGTCGACGCGCTCCAGGAGGCCGTCAACGCCACGGACGACCCGGACCACGTCAAGACGCTGCGCGACATCCTCGCGCGCGTACAAGGCGGCGAAGACGCGCCAGCTTGATCGTGTAAGATAGAAACAGAAATAGGTTACGTCGCGAGCGTCGCGTTCGCCGGCCGAGCCTTCCGCTTCTTGAAGACCCTTCTAGGCGGCTTGAAGGCCGTGTAGAAGCGCCGATCCAGCAGAGCTCGATTCGCGGCAGCACGCGCGGTGGCGCCCGCGTCGGGCGAGGACGCGCGAGCGGGCGCCGGCTCGAGGTCCACGTCGTGCGCGACGGCCACGCGCGCGCCGCCGCCGTCGGCGACGCCCGCCGCGACGCCGCCTCCCGGCCGCGGCATCGGCGGCGACAGACTGAGCGTAATTTCGTCCTCGCGCGCGCGCCGCACCGTCGTCCACGTCCGCGCGTCGCCGCCGCCAAGCAAAGAATTCGCGGCGTGGAGCGTCGACGCGAGGGCCTCGAGGAAGGGCAGCGCGTCCGCGTCGAGGCCCTGGTCGCGCGCGTCGCAGATGGCCGCGTGCAGCGGCTGCAGGTGCTCCGGCAATAAAGGAGAGGCCTCGCGCGGCATGACGGCGCAGCAGTGCACGTCCGCCGAGAGCGCGCCCGTCTTCACCCTTACCTCGTCATCCACACCTGTGTGGAAATCAACCAGTGCGTCGGGTGCGCCCGACAATTCTTCACGAAGTCATTTCTCGGCAATGACGCGGCCGACCTGGCTCGGTCGAGCGGCGAGGAACCGGCATCGCCACGCCATCGAGCAGGCGTCGCGTCGATGGCGTGGAGGACAACGCGATGATTCAGCACGAACGCGCCGTAAAATTTTGATTTCCACACAGATCCACACCAGCCTCAAATAAAGCTTTGAGCGCTTTCGAGGACGGCGCGTGCGGCGGCAGGTAGCGGTACGAGCCGTCCTCCACATAACCTTCGACGTACGCGTCGAGGCACCACGCGATGCCTTGTATATAAGAAGCGGCGTCGCTCGTCGTCGTCCTTTGCGGAGATGGCGCGATCTGCCGCCGCAGCAGCTTGGCGGCCAGAGCTCGCGCTTCCCGCTTCGAGCCCGCGGCCGCTGTCGCGTTGAACGGCTGAGAGTCCTTCGTCAGCGCCGCGGCGCAGACCCACTGGCGCTTCCCGCTGACTTTATCGAACGAGAGCGACGCTCTTTGTCCAAGCGCGCAGATGGGGTCGCCGTTCGGCCATTCGGTCTCGCCGAGCCTTTCCAGGACTTGCGCGGCGGCCTTTTTTTTTGCCTTCTGCTTCGTCGGGCCCGTCGCGGCCTCCTTGATCTCCTTACAGACGGCCTCGCAGCGCCACTCGTCGGGCGACGCCGCGCCCTCCTTCAGGTCAAAGGTCAATTCAGAAATGTCCTCGGTCTGGTTGCGCTCGTGGAGGTCCCGCAGGTCGAAGGAGTCGTAGAGCGTCGGCGTTCGCGGCCGCGACTTTCGTAAATACTCGAAGAACGTCGCCGCGAAGGGCGCGTTCCAGCCTCGCCGCTCGTTTTGGGTATAATGGAAGAAATGGGCGCCGTCGTCTTCACCCGAAGCCTCGAGCACGGCCCGCTCGTAGGCCCGTAAACAGGCGTGGAAGGGCGCCGCTCGTAGCTTCGGGACGTAGTCGTTGCCCTGCAGCAACAGTAACACCAAGACATCATCTCTACTCCGGTCAGCCGCGGCTCCGGGAAAGCGCTTCGCCAGCTCTCTCGCCAGACGCCACGCGCTCACGACCCCATAGTCCGGCTTCACGAGAGGCCGCAACACGAAGGGTTCCAAAGATTTCCCGCGCGTGCAGTCCAAGGCAGCCAACGCCTGCAGGACGACGTCCGCGTCGCCGGACACGACCGCGGCGGTGCCGCCGTCGCAAACTGAAGATCGGAGCCACCTCACCAACTTGAGCTCACCTTCTCCAGCATGACGCACGCACGACGCGTAGACCGTCACGTTCTCCAGCGTCTGCCTTCGCGACACGCGCTCGACGGCGTACCTTTCTAGGGCATCAGACATCACGTCCATAAATACAGTACCCGGCGTGATCAACAGAGGGTGCACCTCGTCGTGTGGGTCGACGCCCGTCTTCGCGACGTTGGCTTCTCTCCTTTTCCGCTGCGTGACGATTTTGGCGACGGGCGCCGCGCCGTCCAGCGCCAACACCAAACTCTTCCGCGGGCGGGCGACGCGCAGCACGCCGTCCAGCGCGGCGTACAGCCGCTTGACGGCGTCGTCCTGCGACGTCGCTCTTCTTGCAGAAGTATGAACATATTGATTCACGTCCACGAGCACGTGATCAAAAACGTCCTTGGCCGGCGGGCACTTGCGGCTCGAGCACGCGCCGGCGCCCAGCCAACTCTCCGCGAAGAACGTGCCGAAGTTCGCGATGCCTTGCACTCGCGTCGTCGCTTTGGGCGGGCGCGGCGCGCGGTTTGTTGTCGTGAAGCCGCCGGCCCGCAGCGCGAGGAGGAGTGCGTAGTTTAGTAACCGCATCGCTGCGTTGGTGTTGAGACTGGTCTAATGTTTTGTTTTCGGCGGTGATGCGGCGTCGCGGCGACAGCGTGCACTAGCAGTCAAGCTCAATTGCAGTCTAGTGCGATGTGCCGTCGGCTTGCCTTCGCTCCGGCGCAGCAGCCAGGAAAATGAATCATTTGCTCTCTTCACGCCCCTGGGCTCCACTCGCAAGTTGCCCAGCGACGCACTTCAGCTGCAAAAACGCGGTTATTAGCGGATAGACATACTAGATTTTACGACAGCTTAGATCAAATCGCTGATACAAGAGCGTGGTGGGACGCGGGCGGAACAGCATCAGACCCAATGAGGCGCTCGGCCCCGGTCTGGTGCCCAGCCACGGCTTCTAGGGTTGGGCAGCAGCTTTAGGGGCAGCCGTCCATAGTGTAGAAATGCGTCGCGCGGCGGCACCGTTGCGGAGTCTGAGGATCGCACTGCTGGCCCTTCTCACGCAAGCGGCCGCCTTCACGACGCCGAGCCACGACGAATTATGTAGAGCGCAAGCGGCGCCGGGCTGCCTCCAGGTCCTCAAGGAGATCCATCTCGAGCGCATCGTGGAGGACCGCGGCGCGCCCTACGCTGCGAACGAGAGCGCCGAGGCCTACCTAGAGCATTTGAATGCGACCGTGGGCGCGCGCGCGCGCATAGGATTAGGAGAGGCGCACGCCGAGGCCGCGGCGCGGGGCTACAAGCTGGCGCTGCCGGGCGAGACGCAGCGCTACCCCGGCTCGGTCCACGTGCGGGGCAACTTTTTTATTGCGGCGGCGTTCAAGCTGGAGCACGACGGCGAGCAGCTCCGCCACCTCATGCGGGAGGGGAAGCTGCCCCCCCCATTTCGGCACCTCGCGGACGCCTACTCGACTATCTATCGGGGCATCCAGCGGGCGCAACGGAGCCAGTTCATGACGCAGAAGCTCCTGAGCACGGCGCAGCACGCGCTGCTGTTCGGGGCGCACAACGCCCTCGTCTACCTCCCGCCGGAACGCGGCGTCAAGCGGGCCCTGGGTGCGCGGTTTTTGAGGGAGGCGGCGGGGCTGGAGGCGGCATACCTCGCGGACGCGCGGGCCGACCGCGCGCCGGCCTTTTATGCAGACGGCTTCCTCTCGGACGAGGCTTTGGAGGAGCTCTACGAGTGGTGCCTCGACGCGACGGTCTGGTTCGACGCGAAGCCCGGTTATTTGGGCGCCTACTTCGACGACGGCTTCTCTCCGAAAGTGCTGCTCCAGGTCGTCGAGGAGCTAAGACTGGCCCTACCTCAGATAATCGGCGACCTGAACCTGAAGACGGCCTGGGCCTACAAGTACGACTCGCAACCACAAAACACGGGCATCGCCGTGCACGCCGACCCCGCGGCCGTCAACGTCAATTTCTGGGTCACGCCGGACGCCGGCAACACGGGCCGGGAGCCGGGCGGCCTCGTCGTGCACCGCCAGTTCCGGGGGTCCCAGGGCGACTGGAACGGCATCGAGCACGCCGCGCGCATGCGCGCGCACCTCGACCAGCTCGAGCGGGACTCGGGCATAAAGCCGCTGCGCGTGCCTTACAAGCGGAACCGCGCGGTGATCTTCGACTCGTCGCTGCTCCACGAGACGGACCGCTTTCGCTTCAAGCGGGGCTACCGGCACCGCCGCATCAACCTGACGCTGCTGTTCGGGCTGCCGCGGCAGCCGGGCAAAACGGAGCCGCTCGAGCTCTGCGTGGAAGTCGTTGCCGGGAGCGAGACGTGCGTGACGATGCCCCTGTCGAAGGCCGGCGTCGACCGCCTGATGACGTACTACGTGGAACGCGTCCTGGCCTGCTCTCGGAAGGAAGCCAAAGCGACCGCGTCGCTCGAGACGCCCGCCGCGAAACGAGCGACGGCCCACGCCGTCGCGCTGTGCACGGCGCGGTCGCTCCACGCCGCCGGGGACCGGCGCCTCGCCATCGAGGTCCTCCAGTCGCGGCAGACGCACTGCGGCTCTAGAGCGGCGGCGTCCGAGGCCGAGTGGACCGTGTGCGGGACCCTGGCCGCGATGCACCAGGACTCCTTCGAGGCGACGGCGGCGTCCTTCGCGGCGTCGCTCGACGACGTTTTGAGGTGGCAGCGCCACACGACCTACGTTTTGGACGACCGCGTCTGCCCGCTCACGGTCGACGAGCTCGAGCGGTGGTCACATGCTGTGTGGAAATCAAAATTTTACGGCGCGTTCGTGCTGAATCGTCGCGTCGTCCTCCACGCCATCGACGCGATGCCTGCTCGATAGCGTGGTGCTCGTTCCTCACCGCTCGACCGAGCCAGGACGGCCGCGCCATCGCCGAGAAATGACTTAGTGAAGATTTTTCGGGTGCACCCGGCGCACTGGTTGATTTCCACACAGGTCACATGCGCCGTCGGTCCTGGTGCACGTGCCGCGGACCTCTGGCACGACGCTGCGCGCCCTCTACGCATCCGTCCTCAACGAGACGCAACTCGCGCAAGCGAGACACTACTCCGCGGCGCAGATGCGCGCCTGCGCTACGCGCGAGTGGGACCGGAAGCGGTCCGTCGCGATCATCCGCGACCCCTGGGCCCGCGCCGTCAGCGCGTACGACCACCTCGTGAACGTCTCGTACAGTGCATAAATCAAATTGTCGAGGCGCGTCCTTCGACGCGACGTCAGCACGACGACGTGGTGCATCTGACTCACTGGCTGATTTGTGCACAGGTATCGAACATATCGAAGCATCCCTCCGATAGATACTTCGGGACGTGGCTGACTCTCTTCGATGACTTCTCGGACTTTGTGGAATCGGGCGGCTTGGAACTCGCGGCCACGGCCTGCGCTCATTTCTTGCCCGCGTTGGATTGGGTCTCGGACCCGCGCACGGGCGACGTCTTAGTCAACGACGTGCGCCGCTACGAGGGCTTCCACGCGGCGGGCATCGACGCCGCGCTGGCCTTTACGAGTTTGGACGCGGGCGACCGCCGGCCCTTCTACACGCGGGGACCGCGTGGCGAGTCGTACTGCGGCCGCTACACGCGACGGGCCGCGGACGTCGTCGCTCGCGTCTACGGCGAGGACGCGCGCGCGTTCGGGTACGAGAATACCTGTGCGTCCTACTTGCCGCCGCGTGATACCAAGAGGCGTTACCTCGTTGAAAACGCCGCGGCGGCGACACGCGCGCGGCGCCGCGCAGCGGACGCCTTCGTGCGCCGGCGAGAGGAACGCGCCTGGCGGAAGCGGAAGCCTCCCGAAGGAAACCGAAAGTTCCGCCGGCGGTGGCGGCCGGGGACATTTGTGCTGTAATTGTTTGTAAGAAAATGATGCCCCTCTCGAAGGCCTGCGTCGACCTCCTGATGACGTACTACGTCGAGCGCGTCCTGGGTCATATTAGAGAGAGAGAGAATTATAACATATAAATGGATGACTTCGTGGCGCCGGACCGATAAAAAATCGGCTCGATCTACTTCGAGGAGTCGCGCATCAAATGGGACCCTTCTACTTGGACTTATAATCCCCTAGCGCCCCCAGCCCTGTATTGATCTGATTGTAGATGAAGCCGACCAAAATATGCTGCGTGCGAAAAGCAATGTGATGTAAGACTAGTTTCATTCTTTCACCTTCGGTTTTCCTGAAGGTCACGCCAGTGATCGCACAAACACCGTAGACGAGCTGCATGTGGTGCTTCTCGCCCTGGGTGGAGTCACTCGGCTGGGTGACCTTGTGCAGAAGCACCGTGCTTGGGTGAACAAACGGCAGCTCCTGCAAGGCCTCGTCCTTGAACATCCAAGCATCAGCGCCAGCAGGGAGGCCCGCAGCCTCGAGCAGCTCATCGGTCGCGGGCTTCAGTAATCTACGCAATGTTCCACGAGGCAGGAATGCATCAAAAATAGCATCACTCCCTTTCTGCCCTTTTTTCTCGACCGAAACAGAAGGATTGATGCGACGACCTTGAACATCATCCATCCAAGTACACAATCTGAGCGCTCGGTTGCCTCTCTCATAAAGAGGTAATCCTGGGTCATCTTCATCCACATAGACCATGCCAGATACTAAAGCGTTTGCATCTCTAACTACTGGTGCGACGAGGGTGTCCGTATTTGGTCGACCGTAACCCAAGTCGAACACATGGTGAACTTGGACATCTGACGAATCTCCAGCTTTAGCGGTAACATAGCAACCAGTCTTGGCCATGCGCAGGCCGTTACTTCCCCCGCGGAGCACAAATATAGTAGGACCGAAGGTAAAGTGAAGCCCGTGGTCCGGTTGTACCACCCACGCCAGGACGCTTCGATCACGAAGGATAGCTACTCCTCGTCGCTCTGACGACGATGCGAGTACCAAGGTATCATCGTGATTTAGAGCACCAGGTACCATCGAACGCAATAAACGTGTCTGGCCGCCGTCATGTTCCCTTGAAGCAGTGGGAGAGAGTGACAGAGTGTACTGCCTTCGTAAACTTCGTTTAACAGTCTGGCTGAAAATTTGTCTCGGTGCTCCAAAGCGCGCTATACCAAAAACGCGTAGTAGCCTTTCTCTTGCGTCTCCGCCGTGCCCTGGTGCCGGTCGCCCCGGCAGTCGTGCATTTTCCAACGCTTTCGCGTCGGCATAGAGCTGAGCCATCGACCCAGTACCTACGTGGGGCGACGGTGAGCGCGTCGCGACGGCATGTGCGAATGTGTTCGACGCTGGCCTCGCGCTTGGTCGGTTGCTCGGCGAGCTGGCCGGCAAAAGCAAAATCGCCTATTATCCTCGAGCTCTCTCTGTCAACTTGGCCCAGATCAAGGAGCTGCAGGCTCGCTGTACGGCGTGAGCGCCTGCGCGGCGTGTGGCGTCACGAAGTCCGCAGCGCGGGGCACTGCGACAGCGTACCGTGCGCGGTTATGTGTGTGCAGAGAGTTTACCGCGTCAAAAAACAGCGTAAAAAACGCGCGGCTGTGGGCTAGCGTCTCGTAAGACACTAGGCAACCGAAAGTTCCGCCGGCGGTGGCGGCCGGAGACGTTTGTGCTGTAGTTGTGTAAGAAAACTCAAGTTAACAACAACACCTCACGGCCGCGCGTACGCCGCGCCGGCCGCGAGCGCGCGCACGCGATCGAGCGGCGGGCTCAGCAGCACACTCACGGGGCCGCGCCGGAGCTCGACGACGCCGCGGTACGCGCCGCGGGGGACGCCGGCCTTCTCGTTGTCCATGGCGCCCAGCCGCCGCGCGAGCGCCGCGTAGGCCGCGAAGGAGCCGTCGTACTCGACGCGCACCGTGCCCCGCGCGCTCCCGGCGAGCACCTCCCCGAGGTCGACGCGCGGCGCCGCTTCCAACTGCGCGAAGAGGCGCGCGTCCGCCGCGGCCGACGACCGCACATCGTCAACGTCGAACACCGTCTCGGCCGACTGCGACAGAACAATGTCGCTCAGGAAGTGCGAGTACTGGCCGCCCGACGTGCCCCGGGTGCTTTTGACGTGGAACGTGCGGCAGACGACGGGCCGTACGACGTGCCGGTTCCGCCGCTGCTCGGGCTCGCGCAGCCAGTCGTCCCAGTAGGCTTCGGGCCACTTCGGTCCCAGTTCCTCCCAGATTCGTCGCGAGAGCATCCAGCCGAGCCCCCCGAAAAAGTCGCTCCGCTCGACGCGCGCTATATCCTTCGTCACATCAACATGCCGCCGCTGCCCGTTGTCGTTCCAGGCCGACGCCGCCAAAATACTCGCGTCGCCGTCGACGACCGGCGCGACGGCCGCGAAGAAGCCGAAGAAGTCCGGCGCTATCTCCAGGTCCTCCTCGAGGACGATGACTCGGGCCGTGCGTGCGTCGGCGAAGGCCTCGGTCAGCGCCTTCCGGAAGTGGCGCGCGAGGCGGTGGTAGCCGTCGCCGCCCTTGCCGTCGTCAGGCTGCGTCACGACCCGCGTTCGTTCCAACGAGGGGCACCTGCGCCCGAGCGCCGCGGCCGCGGCGTCGATCTCGGCGCGCGCCTCGCGCCAGCGCGGCCCGCCGCCCGCGTCCTGCGATATTACGAGACGCGGGCCGCGGCCGCAGGGGTGGTGCCGCACGACGGCGCCGAGCGACGTCCGCAGCGCCGCGGCGCGGTCGAACGCGACGACGAGCAGCGCCGTCTCGGCGCCCAGCCCCGGGGCCGGCGCGGCCGGCGCGCTTTTTTTTACGGGTGGCATTGGCGGCGCCGGCGGCGCCGGCGGCGCGGCGGCGGCCGCCGCGGCCTCGCGCGTCGCCGCCGCGCGGAGCGCGTCCCCGAGGTGCCGCAGCTCGCGCCAGGCCGCGTCCGCCTCCTGCCGCGCGACGCCGGCCTCGCGCGCGGCGAGGCCCTCGAGCTTGCGCTCGAGCGACGTCGCCGCTTCCCGCAGCTCCGCGAGGCTCCGCGGGCGCGGGAGCGGCGCCGCGGGCGGCGGCGCCGCGGCGGGCGGCGCCGCGTCGCCGTGGAACCCGACCTGGAGGCCCACGAGCAGCGCGATGGTGCAGCCGCATATCAGCGGGAGCCTGCTGCGCTTGCGTCGTCGCGGCATTTGTTTTATTGTAGTCAGCAGGCTTTTGCTGCCTTTGCTCAGGTGGAGCAGGTTGTCTCGGCTGAGAGGAGGCAGGACGCTGTTGCTACGCGATGGTCGATATGAGAAATCAGATCTGAGTGTATATGCGCACCCTCAAACACCGCCCCTGGCTTTGCGAAGGCATCCCTAGTGTCTTACATGCGCTAGGTCTCCGAGCCTGCCGGGAGAAAGTATCGAGTAGAACGATGGGTTGGGGTTTTACGACATCCTCTCCCGCCCATTTGGCTCATAAGAGGAGTACGTTCCTCGCTGTTACACAAGCGAGGGTTTACGAGCTTGTATACCGCACATCCCACTTTTTGTAAGATGCCACCCAGCGCAGCCCACACGCCATCCCAAGCCACCAAATTTGGCACGCGGTGCACTTACATAAAGTTGGTGGGGTAGCCCAACTTTGGGCTGCAGCGGAGCCCCTCGCGCCGCGCACGGAGCACACCTCTCCAACGCGAGGCGCCCCCCACGCCCTCGCCGCGGAAGAACACTAGCAAATAGCTTCGATCAACACGTCGGTCCACACCTCCAGCGCCACGCCCACGCCCCCGCCGCGGAAGACCACTAGCAAACCGATCGGAACCGCCTTAGGCAGATCTGCGCCCGCGGGGGTCGAGGGAGCGGCAGGCCTCAGCCGACGACGCGCACGGGCGCGTCGCCGCCGGAGCCCTCGTCCGAGTCCGAGTACGAGTCCGAGTCGCAGCCGACGCGCCAGTCGTCCATGCGCGCGTCGCCGTCGCTCGCGTAGTCGTCCTCGACCTCGAAGTGCGCGACGCGCGTCGGCATGATGAGGGACGTCGACGTGACGCCCATCTCGCGGCGGCGGCCGAGCTCCGAGTGGACGAAGCGCGAGTAGTCGTCGGAGCGGTACCAGATGCGGTGCTTCTCCTCGGCGGGCAGGTCGCTGAGCGACTCGCTTCTTACCAGAGAGACCGTGCTGTGGAAGGACACGGACTTGCGAAGTTTCTTCTTCGGCTTGTCCGCGAGGATGCCGCGCAGGTCGCCGCAGCTCGCGGCGGCCGGCGCGGACGCGGCGCGCGCGAGCGCGCGCGGCGGCGGCGTCGCCGCGCTGCTCGCGTCCGAGCCGTCGTCGCGCGCCCAGGCGCCCACGTCCTCGATGACGGAGTCGGGGCTGCGGTCGCGCGGCCGGTAGACGTCGTCGTCCTTGCCGGGCGGCTGCGGCGCGCCGAGCGGCGGCGGCGGCGGCGCCCGCGGGCCGTCGCCGGGCGGCGGCGGCGCGTCGTTGGGGCGCGCGGACCAGCTTGTGCCCATGCGCGAGAAGAGGGAGTTCATCAAAGGGCGGTCGCGGGGGCTTGCCGGTGCAGCGGCAGCGCCTTGCTTGTCTGCCGCTTCAACGCGCGCCTGTTATAGATTTCGGCTGCTCGCACGCTTCCTATTATGAAATGTGGTACTTCCGCGCGTTTTCGTGTTTTGTTGCAACGTTTGAGCTTGAATATGGTGTCGGAGCACAGCTCCCACGCATGCGATGCGGTCATCACCTCTTGGCTCGCTCTGAGACTGCTATATCACATAATATCACGCGCTAGCCGTCATTCCGAATCGCAAGACACGTCTAGAACAGGGGGAGAGCGGTCCAGCACCAAATTAGCCCAAAAGCGGGCACACCATGTAGCCCCACCTGTCCCTGCTAGCACTGCGGGAGGCCGTCCCGGGCGCCGACAAGCGGTCGTGGGACGCCGGAGGAGGCGTAGACGTGTGCCCAAAGCGGAAGCGTGCCGAAGCTCGAAGGCCTTGTCGCGAGCCTCGGCGCTGGTCGCGTGCCGTGCTTCTCGAGCCGAGCGACGGCGCAAAAAGATGAATACGCCACCCGCAACGCGGCCCGCAGCTGTCGTAACTCCGACGCTGCAACAATTGCCGAGACTGGACGCGATTTTGGGATGCAAGGAGGCACATCCTCCTCCAGCGATGCCGTCGATCATCGATTGGAGCACAGCGCGCGAGGCGCCGAGGGCGACGCCTTCTATGGACGTTCCGCATCACGGTACGGACGCACGGCGGCGCAAGTACGCACGGCGGCGCTCGTCCGACGCGACGCCGTCGAGCGTCATGCATGTTATCGCGCGGGGATCTTCCGACCAGTGGAAGACCTTCGCGTCGTCGCCGCTGATGGCAGCGGCCATGCTCATCGACGGCGCCGTCGATGAGATCTACGACGAGTAGCTCGCCGACCCCCCGCTTTAGCGGCACAAGCGCCGCGCGGGCCTGTACCTGTAAGTTTGTATGCCTATAACAACGGCTAAAGAAGCTAGGGATGGATGCCTGGGCACGCTACGTGCTCTCCGCGCGCAGGTCGGCGAGGCGCGTGCCGGCTACGATGAGCGCGTCCTCGGGGGGCTCTAGCCCCCGGTCCTCCGAGCTACCACTCGGGGCGACGGCGTATGAGGGCCGGGGGCGGGGCGGGCGTTCGTCTAGGCGTCCGGTCACGCAGGGAGCCGTCGGCCGGGTCGCTAGGCAACCTAGCTCTAAGCAAAGCAAGAAGAAAAAAAACCGCGCCATGTATTAGTCCGAGATCAGGTCCCCGAGCGGGTCCTCGGCGCTGAGGCGGCCGTCGAGCATGTCCTGGACCGAGAAGTTCTCGCGGCGCCGCGGGTCCGCGTCGAGGAACCGCTGCATGCGCGCCTCGTCGACGTCGAGGGCGCTCGAGGTGTCGCGCCAGGCGACGTCGCCGACGAGCGCCGCGCCCTTGGGTTTCTTCGCGGCGCGGACGCGCGCGTTCCGCCGCGCGCGCTCGCGCCGCCGCACGCGCAGCGCGGCGAGCTTCGCGCGCAAGCCAAAGGGGCTCCGGAAGCCGCGGAGCCGCGGCGCCGCGTAGACGAGGAGCGCGTCGCCGCCGCCGCGCCGGTCGACGGCCACGAGCACGTCGCCCTCGAGGTAGAGCACGACGACCTCGCGCGGCGCCGCGGCGCCGAGGCGCGGCAGCGGCAGCGGCACGCCGAGGCACCGCACGAACCAGCCGCCGCCGAAGCGCGGCGTCAGCCGGAGCGTCGCCGCGTCCTCGGCGGCCACGTCCCAGGCGCTGCCCGCGCTCAGGAACGGGCCCAGGAGCCGCGTCTCGCGCTCGAAGGCGACGGGCGCGACGGCGGCGAAGCGCGCGCCCGGCGGCCGCGCCGCCGGGCCGGCGTCCTTGGCCGCGACGAAGCGCGCGTACCGCGGGAACGCGGCGCGCACGGGCAGGAGCTCCTCCCAGGCCCGCTGCTGCGTGAGCAGCGTCGACCGCGCCCGCTCGGTGACGCCCGTGTTGCCGCTCGTGACGAGGAGGTTCAGGTCCCTTCCTATGGTCGCGAGCTCGGCCTCGGCGTCGGGCCGCCGCAGCGCGTCGACGACCTTGTCCTTCAAGCCCCGCGTCGCGTCCTGGATGCGGTTCGTGCGCAGCTGCGAGCTGATCCAGCGCTCGTAGCCCGGCTCCGAGGCCGCCGCCGGCGGGCCGAGCGGCACGCCGCGGCCGCCGCCGAGCGGGGGCGCCGGCCCGGGCGCGGCCTCGGCGCGGCGCGCCGTCGCGGCCCGCGGCCGGGGCGGGTTTCCCGGCCGGAAGGCCCCGGCCGCGCGCCAGAGGAGGAAGGCGCAGACGACGCGCGCCGGCATGGTCGTGGCACTGCGCTTGGGTGCTGCAGAGTCCTGCAGCCAAAGCGTCTCGGATTGGCCCGGTTTGGCACAGCGGTCCTCCTCAGCTGTTTGGTGTCAGTGCGAACGATAGGCGGCCGGGCTAGCCGGAATGGTTGTCGACGTAGAAACCCGCGAGCTCTGGAGGCTCGGGGCTCAATTGCCAGTGATTTATGCGGGCTCGGCGGAGTGCGAGCTAGCGGCTGTAAGGTACTAGCAAGCTCTCGAAGCTGAGATAGCAGCGGCAAACTTGCCCATTCGTTGCTGTGTGTACGGTCGGGCCAGCGATGCGCGCCCTCAGCATGGTCGCAGCGTGCATGGGCGTCGCAGCAGGGTGGCAGCCAGGCGCGCGACGGGTGCACCGGACCCGCCTGCGCAGCGCGCCGGCGGACGAGCTCTTCCGCCTCGCGAGCGACGACGCGCGCGGCACGCTCGACTGCGCGCGGCTGTCGCCGAACGCGCTCGCGTACGTCGGCGACGCGGTGCTCGAGCTCTTCTGGCGCGGGCGCAGCATCTGGCCTCCGGCGAAGCTCGCGGACCAGCAGCGGCGGGTCGTCGCGGCGGTCCGCGCCGAGGCGCAGGCCGCCGCCGTCGCGCGGCTCCGGCGGGGGCCGGTCGGCGGCTTCGCGCTCTCCGAGGCCGACGACGCGTGGCTCCGCCGCGGGCGGAACGCCGTGGGCCGCCGGGGCCCGCGACGGCTCGCGGCGAGCGTCTACGCCGACGCGTCGGGCCTCGAGTGCCTCGCCGGCGCGCTCTACGTCTCCGACGGCGACCGCTGCCGCGCGCTCCTCGCGGCGCTCGCGGCCATCGACGGCGGCGGCGACGACGACGAAGCGTCACCCACGTAATATCTGTCCCCGGGCACTCCAAGTTTCAGGTTGGCTACATGTTAGGGCCGGGTTCGGGGAGGTGGGGCGGGGGCGGGGGGAGGGTGGGAGGGGGGGAATTGCTCGCCTACGCGACCGTGAAGCTCGCGCCGACGTACGCGAGCCGGTTCGCGCCGTAGGCCAGGTCGATGGTCGCGCCGTCCGCGTCCCGCGCGATCGTGTCGGCGCGCAGGTAGTACGTGCCGGCGGCGAGGTCCGCGGGCAGCGCGAGGTCGGAGCCGGCCCAGCTGCCGTCGCTCGCCGCCTCGGCCGTGGCCAGATTGTCGCCCGCCTGGGCGCAGGAGTCGTACGCGTCCGCCGGGCCCGCGTACGGCGTCGCCGAGCCCTCGCATATCCGGAGGGTCACGACGCCGTCGGCCTTCTTCAGGTTGCCCGTGTACGCGAGCTCGGCCGTGAACGAGGCCCCGGCGGCGACCGTCGCGCCCGCGAGGCTCTCCGTGACGGAGATGCCCGACGGCGTCGGCGCGGCCGTCGGGACGGGCGCCGCGACGGGCGCCGGCGTCGGCGCGGGCGCCGGCGCGGCCGTCGGCGACGGCGCGGGCGCCGTCGCGACGACCGCGACGTCGTCCGAGGCGCCGACCCAGCCGCGCGTGTACTCGCTCGCCTGGATCGTGTACGTGCCCTCGGCCAGCGCGCCCGTGTCGACGCTCAGCGTGAGCTTGCAGTTCCGGCTCTCGGCGCCCGTCGCGAGCGCGGACACCTGCGCGTCGCCCTGCATGAGGACGACGTCGAAGTAGCACGTGTCCGTGTCCGAGCCCGCCGCGACGCCCGTGTACTGCACCGACACCGTCGCGGCGTCGCCGGCGACCCAGAAGTCGCCGCCGGCCGAGACCTGGAGGCCCTTGCCCGTGGGCGCGTCCGTCGGCCGCGCCGTCGGCGCCGGCGGCGTCGCCGGCGCGGCGGCGGCGGCGTCCGCCGCCGGCGCCGTGGTCGCGACCGTGTACGTCGGCGACGTGAAGGCGCCCTGCGTCGCGGTCCACGCCTGGAAGACGTAGCGGCCCGTGGCGGCGGGCGTGTAGTCGAAGGTCGTGCTCGCCGCGACCTTGAGGGCGAGGACGGCGTCGCCGTCGTGCGCGTTGTTGGCGATGGCGTCCTGCGCGCCGTCGCCCGCGGGGTTCAGCGGGCAGCGGTTGTGCTTGAGGGACTCCTCGCGGCAGACGACGACCGTCGTCGGCTCGTCGAAGGTGTCGCCCGTGAAGCGCACCTGGAGGTCGTACTTCTCGTCCTTGACGAGCGTGCCGCCGACGTCGACGCCGCTGACCTCGACGACGACCGTGTCCGCCGTCGGCGCCAGGGACGGCGCGGCCGTCGACGGCTTGGCCGTCGGCGCCGGGACCGGCGCGGCGTCGCCGATGGCGAACGGCTTCGAGTAGACGTCGAGGCCGCGCGTGTACTCGATGGCGCGGAGCCGGAAGTCGGTGCCCGCGAGGCCGGCCGGGACGGGGTAGTCCACGCTCAGCTTGTTGCCCGTGACCTGGGCGTAGACGGCGAGCGTGCCGACGGGGTCCGCGCCGTCGGCCTCGTAGAGGAGCAGGTCCACGACGGCGCCGAAGCCGTAGGAGTAGGCCTGGTCGACGTCGCCGATGCGGATCTCCACGGTCTGGGTGGATTCCTTCTGCCAGAACTGGGGCTCGGGCACGAAGGTGATCGTGGACGGCGTCGGCGCGGGCGTCGGCGCGTGCGTCGCCCCTTCCGTCGGCCGCGGCGTCGGGGGCGCCTTGCGGACGGGCGAGGGCGTCGGGACCTCGCCGGCGTTGGCGATGGTGAAGTAGTCGCTCCGGCACGTGAGGCCCGTCGACTCCTCGTGCACGAGGATCCGGTAGTCGTCGGCCGTCTCGAGGTCGGTCGGGAGCGTCAGCGGGACCTTGCCGCCGACGACGCCGTAGCTCTGGGCGTTGGGGTGGCCCCCCGAGCCCCAGACCGTCCACGCGCCCGCACCGGCCCGCGTAATCGACTCGTACGGGCCGTTCTCGCCGGCCGCGAGCGACGCGCCGTCCGTGCCGTACCCGAGCGGGCCGTTCGCGTCGACCTGGACGTCGTACTTGAGCGCGCCGAAGAAGCCGTGGGCGTCGGCCGACTCCTTGTCGCCCTTCTTGCGGTCGCCGGCGTCGGAGACGTGCCCCAAGTTCTTGTCGTTGTGGCACTCGCCGCGGCAGAGGCGCAGCGTCACCTTCGTGGCCTTGGCGGCCACCGTGACGTTCTGGCGCGTGACGGGCACGACCTTCATGTCACCCGTTTTCATGGACGAACAGTCCCATTCGGGGTACCGCGTCTCGCAATCCTCGACGTACCCGGGGGCGTCCGAGTCGGTCTCGCAGCAGCACGTCTTGTCGGAGCCGGGCGCAAGGGGGCAGTACCCGTACGTCCAAGCGTGGGTCGTCCGGTTGTAGCCGAACGGCCAGTACGTGTGCATCGGCTCGGGCTCCGTGAGGTACCCCTGCCGGTCGGTGGGCTTGAGCACGCATGTGGCGGGGGCAGTGCAGTCGTTGTTTACGGCACACGCGGTCGTCATGTCGTCGGAGCAGACTGCGCCGTAGGCCACCGGCACGCACGTCTCCCCGGGCACAGCGGTGCAGTCGAGGTCGTCTTTGCAGTCTGTGCCCGACCCGGCGCCGAGGACACCATCGGTAGAGCATTCTCCCGCGTACGCGTCGCCGACGCCGGGGTCGGCGGTGCCGCCACCGGCAGGGGCGCCGTCCGTGTTCGCGATCGGGCCGTCGACGTACGGGTAGACGAAGCGGCCCCGGCCGCCCAGGGGGTCGGCGACGCACGTGGCCCCGGTTGCGGGGCAGTCCTCGTCGACGCCACACACGGTCGTCATGTCGTCGGAGCAGACGCTCCACCGCAGCTGGCCCTCCTTGGCCGTGGCCTTGCGGAACGTGCCGTCGCCCCGGGCCGTGCCGCGGCCCGAGCTGTACCGGTCCAGGGGCCAGTACTCGATGTTCGCGAAGATCTCGGCGCCCGGCACCAGCGGCGCCGTGAGGCCGTCGCCGTAGGTGCTGAACTTGCGGATCTTGTTCATCTCGACCTGACCTGCCGCAACATTTCCAGTGCCGCCCGTCATATCAGTGCCCGCGAAGAGCGCCGTGTGGAAGCAGTCGATCGTGCCGTCCTGCGACGGCGCCTTCGTCGGCTCGGGCGTGGGCGCCTGGATGTGCTTGGTGCGGATCTTGAACTCGAGGTCCTGGCGGGGCCACTGCCCGGAGGCCGTCCAGCCGCCCGTGTCGAGGCCGTGGCCGTACTCGATGATGCGGAGCTTGAACGAGTCCCTAGAACTTCCCGTTGTCGGGACGCCTTCGTTGTCGGGGAAGTTGAGGCCATCCGTGGTGCACTCGCCCGTCACGAGGTCCTGGTCCGTGCACTGGGGCACCGTGTACTTGACGGTAAGCGTGTTGTCGTGGACGCTCTGGTACTGCGCGAGCGAGTCGACGGGGTCCGCGTTGGGTTCGTCGCCGTACAGGAGCACGTCGACGACGCCGTACGAGTACGAGTACCAGTGGCACATCTTGATCTTGAGCTCCACGTCCTGGCCCCACTCCCAGACCTTGTCGTCGGGGATGCCCGACTCGACGGTGGCCGTGCAGGGGATGTCCTCCACGGGCTTGGGCGTGGGCTCGTACGTCGGGTTCAGCGTCGGGCCCCGCCCGACGTTCGACGGCGCGGCCGTCGAGGGCGACGGAGAAGGCGCGGGCGTCGGCGCGTAGTCGTAGACCGTGAAGGCGCCCGTGACGTAGGTCTGCGTCTCGGCGGCGGCGGTGCCGGCCGGCGACACGTTGTCCAGCATCTTGCGCCGCGCGTCCGCGTAGGCGAACAGCACGAAGAAGTAGTTGTTGCCGGCCTGGATGCCCGTCGGCACGGAGAAGCTGATCGGCGTGCCGTCGTTGGAGGCCGCCGAGGCGTCGTAGTCGACCTGCTGCATGAACCCGACCTCGGCCACGAACTTGCCGTCGCGGTCCGTGCACAGGTCGGGGCCGGCGACGGCCTCGCCGCGGCAGAGCCGGATCGTGACCTGCCGGCTCTGGTCCTCGTCGCCCGTGAAGCGGAGCGTGCCCGTCACGGACTCGCCCGCCGCGAGGTAGCCGCCGTCGCCGCTCTTCCAGAGGGGCACGAGGTGGCCGTCGGCGCCGTGGAGCTCCATGGAGAGCGTGTTCTCCGTCGGCAGCATCGTCGGCGCGGGGATCGGCACCGAGGTCGGGTTGCTCGCCTCGGGCGTCGGCGCGGGCGTCGGCGTCGGCGTCGGCCGGGGCGTCGGGTCGAAGACGCCGTCCTGGACCGTCAGGGGCGACGAGCGGCCCACGAGGCCGTAGGAGTACTCGACGACCTTGATTCTGTACAGCGTCGTCGGCAAGGAGGCGTCGACCTTCGCGCGGTCCGGCGTCCAGTCGCCCGTCCACATGTTCTCGCCGTCGGACTGGCAGCCCGAGCAGAGGATCTGGACGACGGCGTCCGTCGCCGCCTCGACGAGCAGGACGTCGAACTCGAAGTCGAAGACGAACGGGCCGTACTGCGCCTGCTGGCCGCACTGGCCCAGGAAGTCGTCCTTCGTGGCGACGGAGGACGTGGCGGCGGCGAAGTCGACGCCGGGGTACGCGCGCGCGCAGCCGGTCTCGGAGATGTAGCCCGCGCCCTGGATGAACTGGATCTTGGTCCGGGCGGGCTCCTCGAAGTTGAGCGAGCGGTCCGTCCAGTCGCCGTTCTGGGCCGTGCCCTGGGTCCGGATCTGGAAGGGCAGGCGCTCGGCCGTCGGCGCCGCCGTGGGCCACATGGTGGGCTTGGGCGTCGGCCGCGGCGTCGGGCCCTCGGTCGGCTCGGGCGTCGGCGACACGGTCGGCGACACGGAGGGGTGCGCCGTCGGCGCGGGCCAGGGCACGCGCGTCGGCCGCGGCGTGGGGTAGAAGGCCACGACGCCGAAGGTGCCGGTCGCGAAGGACGTCGCGCCGGTGCTGAGCTTGCGGCGGTCGTAGATGACGCTCATGACGAGGTAGTAGCCCGTGCCGTCGAGGGGCGCGCCGTCGATCTCGTTGGGGATCGTGACGGGGTAGGAGGCCGCGTCCTTGGTGACGGTCACGGAGGCCGCGAGCGTCGCGACGAGCGTGCCGCACGCGTCGTCCGCGTCGTCGGTCGCCGTCGTGCGCGACGAGTCCGAGGCCTCGCCGTCCTTGCAGAGCTTGACCGTGACCTTGGCCGACTCGTCCTGGCCCGTGAAGGCCACGGCCATGTCGACCGTGACGCCGTCGCCGCCGTCGAACGCCAGGACGTCGTCCTTCTCGGGGTCGCCGCCGCCGGCGCCGAACTTCATGGCCCCGCCGCCCGGGCGGTTCGAGTCGGTCATCACCACCGCGAGGCCCGGCTCCGTCGGCACGGGCGAGGGCACGGGCGAGGGCGCGAGCGAGGGCGCGGCCGTCGGGACGCTCGTCGGCTGGTCCGAGGGCCGCGGCGTGGGGGCCTGCGACGAGGTCAGGAAGACGTCGGGCGACGTCGAGGTGACGCCGCACGTCGACTCCGCGGCCACGAAGTAGTAGAGGCCGTCGGCCTGGCCGTCGAGGTGCCACGACACGTTGACGTACGGCGTGTACGAGACGTGGTTCTCCGTCCGGACCAGCGCGGACGTGCCGTCGTCCCGCTTCTGGTAGAAGGTGAGGTCGACGTCGTAGTGGGGCGCCATGCACTCGCCGACGCCGTACTTGGCGCGCCACCACGCCTTGCGGTTGCAGTCCTGATCGACGTCGCACTCGCGGTCCTGGTTCGTGCACTTGCCCTTCTTGTCGTACGTCGGCCAGCAGCTCGGGGGCCACCGCCCCGCGCCGAGGCCGTTGCCGTTGGGGTAGAGGCAGTAGCTGGCGTTGTTCCACGCCGCGTCGTTGATCGGCGGGTCCGCCGTCATCTTGTAGCCGCGGGCGCCGTCGTCGCAGTCCATGTGGTCGCCGGCGAAGTAGAACATGACGCTGTTGTCCGCGTAGGCCGTGAACTTGTGCATGTCGAGGCCCCGGACCTCGACGTCCTCGCCGACGTGCGCCCAGGTGATCGAGCCCTTGCGCGTCGGCGCTTGGGACACGGTCGGCGTGAGCGAGGGGAACGACGTGGGGACCGCCGTCGGCTTGGGCGTCGGCGCCGGCTTCGGCGCCTTCGTCGGCGCCTTCGTCGGCGCCGGCGTCTTGACGGACGGCTCCGGCGTCGGCTCCGGCGATTTCTGCGTCTGCGGCGTCGGCTTCGGCGTCGGCTTAAACGACGGCTTCGGCGTCGGCACGTCCGTCGGCTTCGGCACCGGCACCGGCGTCGGCATTTCCGACGGCGCCCACGTCGCGAACGTCGGCGCGACCGAGGGCACCGCCGTGCTCGGCTGCGGCGTCGGCTCGGCCGTCGGGATGCCGGTCCGCTGGTGCGTCGGCTTGTACGTGGGGGCGTACGACGCGTTGGCATCCCGATGCCCCAACACCGTCGGCTTGGACGTCGGCACGCGCGTCGGCGCGGCGAACGTCGGCCGGGCCGTCGGCAGGTACATCTTGGCGCCCGCCTCGGGGGCGTACTGGCACGCGGTGTACCCCGCGTTGATAAGCTGCGCGTCCGCCCAGCCCACGGCCTCGACAGCGCGGTCGCCGTACTTGTCCTTCCAGGCGGCGTCGCCCGACTTGAGGGTCGTGCACGTGCCCGCGGCGGCGCCGTACTTCAGGTTGCAGTTGAGGGCGCAGTTCCCGCCCACGGCGGAGTAGATGTTGTCGTCGGCGTCGCAGACGTCCAGGCCGGTCACGGCCTCGATGGCGTCGTGGATCGCCGACTCCCAGTCCGCCGCGCTCGTGGCGTCGAGCGTCGCCTTCTGCTTGCGGAGGGAGACCGACGCCGGTTTGGGTTTGTAAACCAGGTGGTACTCGTACCAAACATCGCACGCGTCCTGCTGGAGCCGGCGCTCGTCCGCCGGCGCGCCCGCGAGCCGCCGCCGTGCAGGTACCTCCTGGACCTGATAGGCGTCCTCGGCGCTGCTGAGCCGATCTAACTTGAGGTCGCTCGGGTCGGCGTTCACGAGGACCGCCACCGCAAACTGCATGTAGTCGTCGACGGTGTCGCTATCGACGGCGTCGTAGACGGCCGACGGTAGCGCGAGGCAGATCGCGCCTTTGTCGCCCGTCTCCTCCGAATAGTCGCAGCCCAGCTCGCAGACGCAGCAGCCGTCCACGAGGGGCGTGAGATTGGACGGTATCCAGGTGTTGCCCGACTTTTTCTCGCACGCGTCCTCGGCAACGGCACACGTAAACACGTCGTCGGCCGTCTTGCACGTGCCGAGGTGCTCGTTCTCGGCGGTCGGCATGTACGTCTCGAAGGTCGGCGCCTCGGACGGCGCTGCCGAGGGCGCGTAGTCGGTCTGGAGGCGCCGCTCCGGGTTCACGTGCTTGCGGCGCAGCAGCCCGAAGCTACCGCTCGCGTGCACCTCGTGCGTCTCGACGGCCGCGCGCGCGGCGCCGGCCAGCAGCGCCAGCAGCGCGGCGGCGCGCGTCATACTTCCCGTACCTGCGTGGGCGTCGAGCCGTTTCGTCGCGAATAATTCGCCGCGCCCTCGCCGCGCAGCGCGGCCGGGGCGCGGCCGGGCGGGCGCGGGCGATGGGGCGTCGAGCCGTCTCGTCGCGAATAATTCGCCGCGCCCTCGCCGCGCAGCGCGGCCGGGCGCGCAGCGCGGCCGGGCGGGCGCGGGCGGTGGGGCGCGCGCCCGCGCGCCGCCGGGGCGCCACGGCCGTCCGGCCGCGCGGCCGGCCCGGCAAACCGGCAGCCTCGTGTGAGCGCTCGCTCGGAGGCTGCCCGCAGCCGCCGCCGCTCGAAGGCTCCAGGGGTCTCGGCGCTGCCTCGCGCCTCCGGCTCGTCGCTGGTCGGTCTAGGCTCGTGGCTGGCCCGTTTTTGGGGATTATTGCCGACGATGCTGCGGGGCTAAAAAATTAGATGCTGCGGGTGAGCCGACGTTGAGGGGGTGAGCAAATTCCCCCGCTCGCGCCGAGCTGTCATCGGGGGCAGCCAGGACCCCTCGTCCGGCCACACGAAGGGCCCACAGGTTCCCGGCAGGGCTGCCCCTCGGGGCAATCCATGGGAAAGGCTGCCATTTGGCTGCCCCTTCGGCTCGTATCAGTCTAGTGTCGCTCTAGGGCCGCGCCGGTGGCTGGCACACCCTCGCGCGAGGCGGGGCTTCGTCGCTCCGGAGCGGGGCTCCGCAGCACCAGAAAAGGAGATCATCCCCGTCGCGGACTCGTGACTCCTGCCCGGCCGAGAAATAGGCGTGTCTGCGTACCTTTTCGCAGTCCTACCTTGCAATCGCATCACACCTTTGTCGAGAGGCTAAAAAGGCGAACGTCGACGCCAAAGAGATCAAACATGGCAGCCGTGGCACGAGCAGCGAGACCAGTCGCGCGGGCCGCCGCCGGACGCTACGGTGCGGCGCTTGCGAGCAGGTGCGCACGCGGCGTCATCTCTCATCACGCCACAGGATCGAGCTAGATACAAGACGCGAGCGGACGCGCGCGAGAACGGCATGCGTCGCACGACACGTCGCGCGCGAGCCGCCGCGACTCGCTGGCGGAGCGCACCCCGGGACCCGCTTGCGCCGCCGCGCCGCGACGCACGCCCGCACGACCCCGGGACCCGCGAGAGCGGCCGCCGCCGCGGGAACGCCGGCGACGCCACACACACACACACCCACCGACCGACGCGCGCGCAGGTCGCTCTACGCGAAGAGCGAGGCGAACCGCGAGAGCGTGCTCGACCGCTTCGCGCGCGACCGCGTCTGCGCCGTGCTGCGCACGGCGACGGCCGAGGCGTGCCCCAAGGCCATGACGGCGGCGATCGAGGGCGGCTTCAAGATCGCCGAGTTCACGCTGACGACGCCGGGCTGCCTCGACACGCTCGCCGACTTCCGCGCCAAGTACGACGGCGACGTCATGGTCGGCTGCGGCACGATCATGAACACGACGGACGCCGAGGCCGCGTGCGACGCGGGCGCCGAGTTCATCATCACGCCCGTCCTCGTGCCCGAGGTCGTCGAGTGGTGCGTGCAGCGCGACATCGTGATCATCCCGGGCTGCCAGACGCCGACGGAGGCGTACAACGCCTACAAGCTCGGCGCGCCGCTGCAGAAGATCTTCCCGGGCGTCGCCGGCGCGCACGCGTGGGTCAAGGCCGTCTCCGCGGCCCTGCCCATGCTGCGGCTGAACCCGACGTCGGGCGTCGACCTCGACAACGCGGGCGACTTCCTCATGAACGGCGCCGCGTCCGTCGGCCTCGTGGCCCCCTTGTTCGACCCCGCCGCCGTCCAGGCCGGCGACTGGGACCAGATCCGCGCGAACGCGGCCAAGGTCATCGGCAACGCCGCCAAGGCCGGACCGCTCAAGCGCTAGGGGGCGGGGGCGTCCCCTAAGGGCAGGAATACTACTACTAGCGGTTCTGGTAGTCGCGCGACGGGCGCCGGGCGGCGTAGCACGCCGCGCGCGCGCGGTCGGCGGCGGCGGCGCGGCCGCGCGCGCGGAGCCACCGGGCCGCCGTCTCGGCGCTCCGCTTCTCGTGGCGCCAGGCCCGCGTCGCGCACGCGTCCTGCGCGCGGCCGCCGACGGCGTGCGCGTAGAGCACGGGCGCGCCGGCGGCCGGCGCGTCGACGCCCGCGAGCGAGAGCACGCTCGCGACCCAGTCGTGCGAGTAGTACAGGGCCGCGCGCGCGCGCACCGCGCACGCGAAGAACCGCCCGGGGAGGTAGCTGAAGCCGTCCGCGTTGCCGGCCTCGCTCCGCGTCATGGGGCCGTCCTGCGCGAGCAGGCAGGTCAGATTCGACCGCCTGTGTGGAAATCAACCAGTGCTTCGGGTGCGCGATGACGCGGCCGTCCTGGCTCGGTCGAGCGGCGAGGAACCGGCATCGCCACGCCATCGAGCAGGCGTCGCGTCGATGGCGCGGAGGACGACGCGATGATTCAGCAGGAATGCGCCGTAAAATTTTGATTTCCACACAGTCGACCGCGTGAGCGCCATGTCGAGCCGCATGATGAAGACGTGCTCGAACGCGCGCGCCGCCTTGCCCGCGCCTTCGGGTTGGTCCTCGCGCGAACTGCTTTCCGCGTGGGCCAGCGCGAGGGCCCGCGCGTGCGTCGCGGATTGCGTCGTGTTGTCGTAGCTGCCCAGGTAGACGCCGCGGAGGCGCGGCGCCAACTGCGCGAGGAGGTCGCGCTCGACCCAGTCCTTGCCGTTCGAGCAGCGGTACGTCGCCACGTATATATTCACCTCGTAGCCACGCGCTTCCAGGGGCGCGAAGAGGTGCTCGTCCCAGGACTCGACGACGGACCGCTGCGACGCCTCCGTGCCCCGGCAGCAGGAGCCCTCCGTGTCGCGCGAGCCCCAGTTCCGGAAGGCGACGCCTCGCAGTAACACGGCGACGCGCGGCGGCGCGTGGCGCTTGGCCGTCGCGAAGCGTTGCACGCTCGCCGCGCAAACCGGGTCCGTGGGGCAGAGCTCGCGGCCGCGCGTCCGGGCCGCGTGCGGCGGGCAGTAGGCCGGCGCCATCGTGGCGAGGTCCGCGCCGGCCGCCCACCCCAGCAGCAGGAGCGGCCACGACGAGGGCGGTCCCATCTGCTAGTTATCCTGCCTTGTCTCATACATGCTGCTGATGCGGACCAGCAGCCTGGGCAGCTCTTAAGCTATATGGGCAGCCTGGGCAGGCCTCCGAGCTGACTTTGGATTGCTTGCTAGGGATGAGGTGGCTAGACTGTCAATCTAGGCTGGCTTTTTTCACGAGCAGAGGACGCGAGCTAGCGGCCTGTGCAGGTAAGACACTAGGATGCCTAGTGTCTTACAGGCCGCTAGCATCCACGCTCGCGCTGGGCCAGCGAGCACTCCTAAAAGGCTGGCGGCAATTCAGCTAAAGCGAGCGGATTATCGCGTTTTAACAGCCAACCGTTCGGCTTCATTTGAAGGCGCAACGACACGGCACAAAAAGGTTGGCGACGAGCAGCCATGGGCAAGCACGGCAAGAACACGACGGGCAGGGCCGAGAAGCTCAAGGCGAAGGCGAGGGCGAAGCGCAAGCTGCTGAAAAAGGCGCAGGCGCGCGTGCCCGCGCGGCCCCCGAAGCCGGCGGCCAAGGCGATGGACGTCGACGCGTTCCTCGCGGGCGACCACCTCGCGGCGCCGGCCGACGCGCCGGACGACGCGTTCCTCGCGGGCGACCACCTCGCGGCGCCGGCCGACGCGCCGGACGACGCGTCGTCGGCGTCGTCGGCGGCGTCGTCGGCGTCCGCCGCGGCCGACCACCGCGCGGAGCTCGACGCGCTCCGCGCGTCGGACCCCGAGTTCTACGACTACCTGCGGGAGAACGACGAGGGCCTGCTCGCGTACGAGGATCCCGCGGACGACGACGACGACGACGCCGGCGAGGAGGCGGCGGCGGCGGCGCGGCGCGTCGTCTCCGTCGAGGACGTCGCGGCGCTCGCCGCGGACGGGGCGACGTCGTTCCGCGCGACGAAGCGGCTCGTCGCGCTGCTGCGCGCGGCCTGCGGCGGCGACGCGGCGCCGCCGGCGTCGCGGCGCGCGCGGCGCCGCCGCGCGCAGCCGACGGACGACGGCGACGCCGACTCGGCCGACTCGGTCGCGTCGGCGCCGGCGAGCTCGGACGACGACGACGACGACGGCGTCGAGGGCCCCGCCGTCGACTTCGCCGACGCGGCCGCGCGCGAGGCCTGCGCGCGCCACGCGCTCGCGGCGCTGGGGCCGCGGCTGCGGGCGCTCGCGGGCGGGGCGGACGCGGCGCGGGCGCCGGACCGCGTCCGGGCCCTCGCGCGGAGCGTGCTCGTGGGCCTGCTCAAGGCGCTCAAGGGCGACGACGCCGAGCGCGCGACGCGGCTCCGGGTCGTCGCGCTCGAGGCCGTGGCGCCCTGGGCGCCCTGGCTCGTCGTGGACGCGAACCTCGCGCCGCGGACGTGCCGCGCGCTCTGCGGGCTGCTGTGCCGCGTCGTCGAGCCGGCGCCGGAGGAGGCCGACGAGGAGCGCGTGGCCATGGTGGCGCGGGAGACGCGGCTGCAGCGCGACGCCGTCGCCGCGCTCCGGGCCGTCCTCGCGCACACGCGGGCGCTGGCGGTCGATGCGCGTGGCGACGAGACCGTCGAGGCGCACGCGCTGCGGCGGTGCTACGCGGCCTTCGCGCGCGACGTCGCCGGCAGGGGCGCGAGCGCGCAGAAGGCGCGCAAGGCCTTCGCGAGCGTCGCCCTCGTGCAGGACGCGCTCGTGGGCCTCTACGCGGACGCCGGCGCCGACGCGGCCTACCGCACGGCCTTCGTGGCCGTGCGCCAGCTCGCGCTGAAGGTCCGGAGCGCGCTGGCGACGCGGGCGCCCGACGACGTCGCGCAGGTGCTGTCCTGGAAGTTCCTACACTGCGCGCGGCTCTGGGCGCGGTGCGTCTGCGGCAACGCGGCGCCCGAGCGCCTGGGCGAGCTGGCCTTCCCCCTCTGCCAGACGCTCTTCGGGGCCCTCGAGCTGGCGGCGGCGCCCTCGAAAGCGCCCTTCCGGCTGCACTGCGTCCGCTGCCTCCACGACGTCGCCGCGGCGACGGAGTGCTTCGTGCCCACGACGAAGCCCCTCCTCGCGACGCTGGACGAGTGCTCGCGGGGCGGCGGCGGCGGCGGCGACGGCCGCGGGGGCGTCGACGACGGCGGCGACTTTGGGGGCGAGCTCGACTGCGGCGACAAGCGCGACGCGAGCGCGCGCGCGTCGCTGGGCCGCGAGGCCCTCGAGCAGCTGCTGGACTTCCTCGAGCTGCACCGCTACGCGCCGGCGCTGCCCGAGCTGGCCCTGGTCCCGCTCGTCGCTCTCAAAAAGCTCGCGAAGGAGCCGCGCTGCCCGCAGAAGCTGCGCGCGCGCGCGAAAGCCGCCGCCGCGACCCTCGAGTCGGCCGCCGACGCGGCCGCGGCGGCGCGCGCGCGCCTCGCCGCCGCGCCCAAGGACGTCGTCGCGTTCGAGCCGCTCAAGCCGCCGGGCGCGCCTGCGGCCGCGCGGCGCCTTGCGGACCGGCGCGCCGCGCGGGCCGCGCGCGCCGCGCGGCTGAAAGCGGCGCCGGCCGCGGCCCCGGAACCGAAGCCGAAGCAAAAGAAGAAGCGGTCGAAGGCGCCGGCGCCTGCTCCAGCGCCCAAGCCGAAAAAGCCCAAGAAAAAGAAGGCTTCCAAGGCGGACAAGGACTTCGCGATGGACTTCGACGGCTGAGCCTGAGGAGCCTTAAGTTATCTTGTTGGGTCTTAGGAGTAGTCGGCTCGTGTGGCCGAGCACCAAGCAAGGCAGTAGTAGCAGAAGGGGGGGCGCCGCGCCTAGTCGAGCTCGGCGATGATGTCGCCGAGCACGAGCGTGTCGCCGAACTGCAGCTTCCGCGAGGGCACGACGCCCGGCGACGCGGCCTGCCGCTTGAGCGTCCCGCGCATCGTCCGTCCGTGCGGGTCCCAGGGCGCCGTCGGCCGCTTGCGGTACGAGAACATGACCCGCGCCTTGGCCGCGCCGTCGTCGACCGCGGCCTCTTCGTAGGTCTCCTTCGCGTCCGCCTCCTCCCCACCGCCGACGTCCTCGGCCTCGTCGGGCTCGGCCGCGTCGGCCTCTTCCCGGAAGCCCGCGGGCTCCTCCCACGACGACTCGCCGCTCGTCCTGTGGATGTAGTAGACGCACTGCTCCGTCGGGTCGTAGTAGTCCATCCACGTCGGCGGCGTCCAGCGCGAGGCGCCCGACGCGCGCGAGTAGTAGTAGACCTGGCCGCTCACGGGGTCGATCATCGTCTGCCAGTTGCACACGTCCTGGGCCGTCGTGCCCTCGGCGTTCGGGGTCGCCTCGGCGGGGCCGTCGACGGGCTCCAGCGTCGCGTGGTGGACGTACGTCACCGCGTCCTCCGTCTCGACGACCATCACATCATCGTCGAAGTGCGCCGCCCAGCGCGACTCGCCGCTCGCGTCCGACACGAAGTAGAAGCACCGCTGCGTCGGCTCCCAGAACTTGGCCCAGCGCTCCGCGGGCGCCGCGGCGCCGGCGGGGCCCGCGGCGTCGCCGACGGTCGCGGGGCTCGTCGCGCCCGGCGGCGTCGGCGGCATCGACGCGCCGCTCTCGCGGCGCCCGTTGAGGACGTCCGGGCTCGTCGACGGGCGCCGGCCCCGGGACGCGCCGGGCGTCGGCGGCGGCGGCGACGGCGCCGACGACGCCAGGGACGCCTCGCTCTCGCGGCGCCGCGCGAAGAAGGCGCTCGGCCGCGGCAGCGGGCTCGCGCCCGCCTGCTGCGTCCGCCGCAGCGTCGCGGCGACGATGTCGTCGTTCCGCTTGATCGTCGCGCGCGCCTCGGTCGCCGCCCGCCGGAGCGTGCCGCGCATCTCGGCCTGGACGGCGGGCGGCGCCGCGGCGAGCGCCGCGCGGTTGTTGCCGAACTTCTTCCTGCGGGGCACGGGCTTGCCGTTGCGCGCGCGGATCTCCTCGCGCACGGCCTCGCGCTTCGACTTGCGCTTGACGCCCGCGCCCTTGCTCTCCTTGTGCTGCGCCGCGGCGGCCCCGGGCGCGGCGGCCTTGGGCTCGGCGGCGGCGGGCGGCGGCGCGGCCGCGGCCTTGGCCTCGGGCGCGACGGGCGGCGGCGCGACCGCGGCCTTGGCCTCCGACGTTGCACGGGCGACGAGCACCGGCCGCGCGGCGGGCTTGGGGATCGCGTCGAGGACGTCGAGCGCCTTTTGGGCCAGCGCCTTGGCCTCGAGGGCCGCGGGCGGCGCCGCGGGCGCCGCCTTGGCCTCGGAGACGGCGGGCGGCGGCGGCGCGGCGGCCTTGGCCTCGGGCGTCGGCGGCGCGCGGGCCGCGGGCGGCGGCCGCGCGGCGGCGGCCTTGGCCTCGGCGGGCGTCGGCGACGCCGCGGGCGGCGGCGGCGCGGCCCGGGCCTTGGGCGCCGGCGCTGCGCCCGCGGGGACCGGCTGGAGGTAGGTCCGCGGCACGTAGCCGAAGGCCTCGCCGGCGTCGGCGAAGACCCAGCCCGGCGTCGCCGCGAGCTCCGCCCGCAGTACGACGACGCGCTGGTCCTTGGCCAGCCCGAGCTCCGTCGGCTCGACGGGCGCGTGGGCCTTGCGCGCGCGCGCGCGGCAGAGCGCCGTTTCCTCCGTCGCCTCGCCGCCGGCCCGGTCGCGCGCGGCCCAGTAGGCCCGGGCCTCCTCGTCCGAGATCTCGGCCGGCGCGTCGGCCTCGGCCCTGGCTGCGGGCGCGGCGGGCGGCGGCGCCGGAGGCGCGGCGGGCGGCGGCGCGTGGACCCGCTCTCTGGCCTCAGCCTTGGCTTTGGGCGCCGGAGGCGCAGCGGGCGGCGGCGCCGGCGCCGCCTCGGCCTCGGGCGCCGGCTCGGCGGCGGCCTTGACGCGGCGCGTGAGCAGGCCCGGCTCGGCCTCGGGCTTCTTCGCCCGGGCCTTGCGCGCCGCCGGCGGCGGCGGCGGCGGCGCCTGCTTCCTCGGCTTGTGCTCGGGGTCCGGGTGCAGGCCGTTCAGGCGCGCGGGGTTGTTCGAGACCCGCGGCTTGACGAGCTTGCCCAGGGGCTTGCCCCGCGGCGGCGGCGGCTGCGCGCGCAGGGCGCCCCGCACGAAGAGGTCCGCGTCGTACTCGACCTGCCTGATGTCGGCAAAGACCTTGGCTCCTTTGTTTCTTCCCCGTTTCGCGGGCAGCTTGGCCTTGCCCGGCGCCGCGCCGGGGCGCAGCAGGTTCTTGAGGTCGTCGACGCCGAGGGGCATGGTCGGTTTTGTGCTGCCCTTTCTTAGCTGCCCTTTAGCTGCCCTTTTTAGCTGCCCCCGCCCTTTGCCACCATCATAACGATCTCTAGTAGGTCACCGGGCCTCACGGGCCTACGCGTCCGTTTCGAGCAATCGGGACGGGGCGGGTACTGCGTGCGGAGCGTTGGAGCAGTCTTACGTGAGGGGCTAGCGGCCTAAAGACACTAGCAAGCAGACACAGCCGGGAGCAAGCTGGGCTAATACACCGCCGCCAGGGACCGCCGGGGACGAGGCGCAGTTTATTGGACACTAGCAGCACCTATGTCCTCCATCGCTGCGCTTCGACTCGTCACCGCGCGCGTCGCGCCGGCCGGCAGGAGGGCAATGGGCGGAGGTACCGTATCGCGCCGCGTCCGTAGATTAAGGGGCGCGCCCCAGCCTTCAACCTGCGCGCTGGACTGGTCATTTTCGAAGCGCTACGTTGGGTAGACCCACTCGCGCCGACGCGGGGCCCGACGTCGGACCTTCGACGCTCCGCGACGCCACCGACGCGACTGCCGCTCGACAGTGAACGAGCCTCCGCGCGCGCGCGTCCTCGACCCCCGCGCCCCGCGCAGTTCGACGGCAAGCCGTTCAACAAGGGCAGCATGGCCGCGTCCGTCATCGCGACCGTCGCCGGCGGCGCGGGCGTCATCTGCTTCGCCGCGTTCTTCCAGAACAAGAAGCACGGCTTCATCAAGTAAACAGCGGGGCGTCGTAAGGTACTAGCTTGTTTATAACACAATTCACGGGGCGCGGTACGGGTTCGTGAAGGCGACGAGGTCCGCTCGCGCGAGCCCAAACTCGGCGCGCGACGCCCGCCGCTCGACGGCCTTGACAGTTCGTTCGCAGTGGAGGACGACGACTGAGCCGCCGTCGACGTCGTGGGTGGCGTCTCCTACCCGGCAGAGCGAGCCGACGTCGTCCGTCGCGCCGACGACGAGCAGCGGCCGGCCCTTGTCCAGGCACTCCTTGATCATGAGCTTGTACCGCGGCTCGAAGATCTTGAAGACTCTAGCTTCCCCCTCCTTCAACTTCACGCCGTCGAGCACGAAGAGGGGCACGGCCTGGTCCGCCGGCGTGATATCGCCCCCGTCAAGGCAGGGCGCGCTCGACGGCAGGAAGATCTCCCGCGCGGCGGCCGCGTTGGCGCGGAACGTGCGGTCCGCCGGTGTCCTGTGTGGAAAATCAACCAGTGAGTTAGGTTAGATATATTGCGTGGACTTCGTGAGCCTCCACGCCATCGAGCCGACGCGGCCACGGGGACAGCGTCGCGTCGATGGCGTGGAATCGCCACGCCATCGCGCAGACGCAGCTACGGAAGCACATCGCGTCGATGGCGTAGGGCGCCCGAAATTTGATTCCACTCAGGTACCAACGAGAACTCGGCCAGCGCCCGCGCGAGCGGCGTCACGTCCAGCAAATCCGTAAACACCGCGCCGACGAGCCGTTCCTCGCCCGCGCCGCGCCGCTGCCGCGCGACGGCCGGCGCCGCGCAGGCCACGGCCCGCGCGCCCGGGAAGAGGCTCTCGAGCCGCTCGAAGACAGTCTCGGCCGTGCCCACGCCGCACAACGCGAAGGTCAGGCGCTCGGGCGCCATCGCGAGCAGCGCCTCGTCCGCGAGCTCGTCGGGCAGCGCGTCGGCGGCGCCGCTCCCCAGCGCGACCGGCGGTTCCGGGACGGCGATGCGCGTCGCCGCGACCCACGGCTCGCACGGCTCGTCTCCCTCGTCGACCGCAACGACGACGTCCGCGTTCAGATCAAAGACGTCGTGCGCCGCGCAGGCGCCGGCAATCGTCCACGTCGGCTTGCTCGGCGGCTCGGCGAGCCAGGCGTTGACCGCGGCGACCGACGTGTCCTCGAACCGCGACGACTGGTGCAGGCCTCGCCGGCAGAGCAGCGTCTGGCGTGGCGTCTGGTGCGGCGTCTGGCGCGGTCCTCGACGCAGCGCGTATCTCAGAGCTGTGACGCGCATGATTTAATCTTGTGACCTACCAGCCAGGCTCTCACACTGGTCGTGCAGCGTACGGCCACGGTCTCCTGCGTTGCGAGACGCTACGTTGGGGGCTCTACGAGTGCGCAGCGTAGTGCAAGCGTTCTGGCACTCGCTCGAACGCCTGTTTGCTCGGAGAGCAAATGCGCTGGCAGGCCAACAAAACTTGGGCCACCACACACCTGTAGTGCTCCGCGCGTGTCGAGCATAGAGACAATCCGGCGGGGCCGAGCACACGTTCTCCGTTGACACGTGCGCCTGCAAGCGTTTGACGACAAGTGGGCGCCCTGCGACTGCCGAGCATGCTTGCAAACCTATTATGCTGCGCCATCGCAGCACGAGCCCTGCAGCTCCAGCGACCGCGACTCGCCACAAGAACGTCCCTCAAGGCGACGCGCACGGAATCCATATTGCAACACCTCGAAAGCGAGGGCGACGGCCTCGGCGCCGGCGCCGCGGGCACGCTCGCAGGCCTGCGCGCCCTCGACGCGCGCTGGGAGGCCATGCGGCGACCGACGGCAGCGTCACCGGCAACGCCCTTCGTCACCGAGGCTTCGGTGGAGGCAGAGCCGGATTTTGATGTTGTGGTACTCGGCGGCACGCTCGGCATCTTCGCGGCGAGCGCCTTCCAGGCCCGGGGTCTCAAAGTGTGCGTTATTGAGAGGGGCCCGCTCGCGGGGCGGAACCAGGAGTGGAATTTGTCGCTGGATGAAGTGAGGGACCTGGTCGACGCCGGGGCGTTGCATGCAGATGACATTGACGGCGCCGTCGGCACGCCGGGCAAGTACGAGGTGCTGGCCGGTGCAGATGACACGCTCGTCGCGTCGCACTTCGGGTCGGTGCGCGCGGGGTTTAACGACCAAGAGCACGGCGCGTCCGGCTCGGGCGGCGCGCTCCAGGAGGTCTGGCTGCCGAGCGTGCTGAATGTTGGTGTCAGACCGGACGTGGCCGTTAGGCGAGCGCGGCGGCGCTTCGAGGAGCAGGGCGGCGTCGTGAAGGAGCACACGCCTTGCAATGGGGTCGTGGTGGGCGAGAAAAGCGCGCAGGTGACGCTCGCCGAGGAAGTCATCACGACGCGACTCGTCGTCGACGCCATGGGCAACGCGTCGCCCGTCGCGCGGCAGTGTCGACGCGAGGCGAATGACGGCGCGGACCCGCGGCCGTCGGGCATCTGCTGCGTCGTCGGCACGTCGATGGCCGGCTTCGCCAAGGACAACTCCTACGGCGATCTGATATATACGAACGAGGACACGCGCATCCACCAAGAAAGGCAGTACTTCTGGGAGGCCTTCCCGGCGATGTCGCTGGGTGAAGACGCGCGCACGACCTACCTCTTCACCTACTTAGATGCTGATGAAATGCGCCAACACACTGTGGAAGGCCAGTTCGAGGATTATTGGCGCATGCTGCCGACCTATCAGAAGCACAACGCCGACTGCTTGAACAGTAAGCGTATAGAAGACGCGCTCGAGGACGGCGACCTGATCTTGAAAAGGTGCCTCTACGGTTTGTTCCCGACCTACAAAGACTCGCCCCTACCGACCCGGTGGGACCGCGTTTTAGCTGTCGGCGACGCGTCGGGCGTCCAGTCGCCCCTGAGTTTCGGGGGCTTCGGTGCGCTCACAAGGCATTTGGGGAGGGTCACGGACGCCGTCGAGGACGCTCTACAAAATGACGCCCTCGACCGCGCGTCATTGACACTAGTGAACGGCTACGCGCCGAACATCGCCGCGACCTGGATGTTCCAGAAGAGCTTCGTGCACCCCGTTTCGTCGCAACGGCCGGCTTCGTTTGTGAATAGGTTGATGCGCCAGAATTACGTCAACATGGAGGACCTCGGTGACGATGTGTTGCGACCGTTCAACCAGGACGTCGTGCAACCTAGAGCATTGCTGCAGGTGCTGGGCCTGGCGACGCTGCGGGACCCGCTGAACATTTTGCCGTTATGCTACTGGATCGGTCCTCAGGAATTGGTCGAGTGGCTCGGCCACTTCGGGATGATGCTTTTGTACGACGGCGCGCACCACGTTCTTGGGAAGAGAGTGAGGGCGTACTCGCATCGCCTGCCGGATCAAAGGCAGGGCTTCGCGCTCCGTCGACTCGCGGACGCGTGGGAGTACGGGTCGGGGATGGACTACTAAGTACACATGTTGTTATTCGTCGAAGCGTCGAGAACCCGCCGCAGAAACCAGCAGGGACCCGTCCCAGACCTGGTGGACGTTGACGGAGACGACACCTAAAACAGCGGCGACGACGCCCTGTTTTAGTATTTCCATGCATGACGCTGACGGCGCCGCTAGTCGCAACGCGCCCGCGGCGACGAGCGAGACGCCCACCGTCTTCGCGTAGGTTAAATGGACGCGCTCCCACGCATAAGTCCTTTCGTCGGCGCCCCTTACGAGTTGTGATGGTGCTTTTCTACCAAGAGCCACGTCCAAGCCATCCTGGTCCGTGCCGTCGAACAGACTGCCGCGTAACGCTCTCGCCAACCTCACGAAGGGCTTCCATCCCACGGTCGCGCCGCCGCCGCACCTTACTGTTGATATACCGTCTCCATGCCTCCGCCAGCAGGCCTCGAGCTGGGACGAGGCATACTTTGGATCAGCTGGTGTGAAACCGTCCGGTCCGAGTGCTTCGTCCTCCGCCGCTTTTAGAATTGTTTCTGAGGCGAGGTCGCATAGTAGCAAATCGGTTTCATCAACCTCGTCGCAGCCAACAACTAACACCGTGTTCTTCTGCTGCCGTTGACCTTGCGACGCGACTCGGAGTCTTGTGATGTCGTGGGCCACCGGCACTTGAGCTAACGCCTCCGAAGGTCCGACCACGACGTGGCGCACTCTAGCGCCGCGCTTGGCTGGTGCGAGGGCCAGACAGGCCTGCTTCAGGCGCTTCCTCACTAATAAAGACGATACGGAGCACGTGGACGGCGCCCGCGCTGTTAGATCAACGACGGTCACTTGAGTCGTCTTCGTCCTTGTCAGCAACTGTTCGACGGCGCCGTCCAATTTTCTAGCGTCTGTCCTAGCGTGCCTGGCGTTGACCGGTGTCGGCGGCTGCGTGAGGTCCTTTTTTGATATCGAGAGTTTGCGTTTGAGCAAGGCCCCACGACTTTGTGAGGGCGCGTCGTCCTCTAGAGCTACAGGTGGTGATGCTCTACTCAAAGTAAACGCATACGCCCGCGCGGGTCTATCTGGGGTCGCGGCCGCCGCCACCAAGACCTCGGTCTCGGCGTAGGATGATAACGACCCATCTCGACCAAGACCTCTCCGTACGAGCCGCGCACCGGTATCCACACCTAGTCTCGTCAACACGATCGCCGCACAGGGCGCGGGGCCCTCGTCCTCGGCGTCGTCGACCGCCCCCAAATCGCAGGCCGTCGCTACGATGCAAGCGCAGGCGCAGCACCAGGCCGCGGCGCCGGCCTCGACCTGCGTTGTTTTTTTCTGTGTTGTGTGTGTTCTATACGCCATCGACGCGGCCCCGTTCGCGCTCTCGGCGTCGCATGAGCTCTCGCGGACGGCGCTCCACGCCCTCGCCGCGATCGGCGTCGCGCGACCCGGCCCTCCACGCCGTCGACGCGATTTGATTTCCACGCCGAAACAAACCACCGGCGCAAGCACGCGCTGGTTCCACAGGAACGCCGCATCCGCCCGCTCGAAGCGCTGCCGCGCCGCGTCCTCGGCCTTGATGGACCCCCGCTGTCTCAGTGCTTGCCTTTCAGCTAAAGCGTAGTCCCGCGCGTCGGACGCGCGCGTCGACGTCAGCGTCGCCGCGTCGGAGTCGCGCGAGAAGACCCAGGGCCTTTTCCGCAGCGCGCTCTCGAGCAGGCGCAGGCACAGGGCCTCGTCCTGGGCTTGGCGCTTCGAGAGCCGCCGGTTCGCGTTCGAGACGGGCACGACGGCGACCTTCGTGGCCCGCCTCAGTCGAAAGGCGTGACAGGCGTCGCGCGGCCACCTCAATTTAGCATCGGCGAAGACTTGCGTCGATTTGTCTCTTTTCAAAAGCGGTTCGCTCTCTAATATAACGGCGGCGTAGGGGCCGCCGCTGAACGCGTACACACCAAAAAGGCCCTCGATGCGCACCTTCGGTGCCGTTTGAGCGGCTAGCGACGGGTGCGCACTTTCTTGCGGCAGCGACGGCCGCCGGTCGCGGTGGACGACTCGACACGCGACGCCGCCGTCTTTTCCGGCTGTGATGAGCAGCGGCCGCAGACCGGGCTCGCCGCCTTCCAACAGGAGGCCTTCGGCATGGCTGCGCAGGTAGCGGGCCGGCGGCGGCATTTTGCTGGCTGGGCAGTGAGAGGGGTGCTCTCCCCTGCTGCTGCGGTGGCGCTGCAAATCACTGCGGATTCTGATTTGTTCCTTGCAAACGAACAACTCTGAGCTGCCGATGCGTCGGTTTGAGCCCCGTCGCGCGGCTATTTGCAATGGCTTTGGGCCTGTGTCAAAGCCAGCCTTTGTGGAGCGCCTCGGCTAAACTGCGCTAAACGGGGCTGTGGAGACGTATGTTGGCAAGGATGCACCGCTTCCGAAGACCGCTCGGTTAGCGAAACTGGACTGGGCGTGTGCTCCTCGAGCACACCCACCGGAGCAGCACAGCTATATCGTAGCTGGCCACACTCGGTGAACCAGGGCGCCCCAGCCTCTCCGCGAGGCACAAAAAATACCAGCAACGCCACACCCTCGCCGCAGAGGCGCCAAAGGACGTCTGCGCGCCGCAAACTCAGCCATTTCATACACATCCAAAATCCGCGCCCCGCGTCTGGTTGCGCGCGTTGGGCCACCCACGCGCGTCAAAGAACTCGCTGCGGACGCGCCCAAACACGGACGCCGGTTCCTCCTGAAATTTGAGCCCGCGCGCCGACGAGCGCCGGCGTCAACGAGGGGAACCAGTTCCAAAAAAAGATACGAAGCATGACGACGACCTCGCCGCCCCCCGTCACGCCGCCGCCCGCCGACCCGCTCTCGCTCAAGCCGCGGCACGAGCAGCTCGTCTCCGACCCCTTGATCGAGATCCTGAGTATTCACCGCGCCATGCGCCTCGAGATGCAGGCGGTTTGTGATGCGGTGCACGGCGCGAAGAACGACACGAAGCAATTATCTGATGCCGCGCGGCGCTTTGAACGCTACGCCGTCGTGTTTCGGGCGCACTCGTCCGCGGAGGACGACTTGTTGCTACCAGCGCTCGAGTTGCGGGAAGCCCAGACGAGAGGCATTGAAACGACGCCGGAGCACGACGCCGCCCACGATGTGGAGACGCAGAAGCTCGAAGCCGCGGAGCAGGCTTTTACGAAACTCCTAGCAGCAAAGCCGAACAGCGCCGACTTCAAACGAAAACTAGCTTCCCTCAAGCTCGAGTTGGATGGTTTTAGGGAGTTCATGGCCGACCACATGTTGGAAGAGGAGGAGGAGATGCTTCCGCGGTTGCGACGAGCCTTTGCGCATGACGAGTTACTCCAGTTAACAGGCGCGGTCCTAGGGAGACGAGGCGCGGACGACACGGTGGCTACCCTAGAAGTAGTGGTGCCGAACCTCGAACCCTTGCAGGCGAGACACGTGCTCGCCACCATGAGCGCGGTCGGCGGCGGCAAGTTCCGGGCCTGGCTGGCCTCGTTAGCTTCCGTGAGCGGTGCCCAGAAAGGCGGGTCAGCGCGAGGCGCCTGCAGCTCCTCGGGGGGCCCCTGCGCCTACTGCGTCGCGAAACGGCCGCCGCCCCCGCCGAAGAAGCGGGGTAAAAGGAAAAGAAGAAAGAAGGACGACGACGGCGACTCGACGATCAGTTCGAACGACGAGACCGGTGAAGTCAAAATAGAGGGTCCTTCCTACCACTGCCCGTACTGCGACGCGTGCAAGCCGGGACGAGGTCTCGGTATAGATGCGTTTCACTGCATGAAGTGCCACCAGTGCATCCGCGCGCCGAAGGGCCGGGCATGCTCCCGGGACCCGCCCTTCGTGCACGTCTGCCCGGCCGACGCGAACCCGGCGCCGTACGAGGTCTCTCCCAAGACTGTTGGAGACGAGCCCGCGCGCAAGGTCTCGGAGGCGTGCGCGCGGTGTGGAAGGTGCGTTTTTGCTTCTCTCGAGTTGCTCGACGCTTTACCATGCGGCCACGTCGTCCACGCGCGGTGTCTCCAGGGGAACACGGCGTGCCGGCAGTGCGGCGCCGGCGCGGCGCCGGCGCCGGCCGCGGGCGCGAACCCGCTCGACTTCCTGGCCACGGTCATCACGGCGGCCAAGCCCTCGTCCTCCTCCAAGTAGTAACGAGCCTGTCTGTTTATATCTTGAGCTTTTTTTTTGGGGGGCTCCTGTTCCGGTCGTCCAACGCCCGGCCGTCTCTGCTCTCCGATATCGTATCAATTCCGAGCGTCGCGCGACCCTCGCGTCTGGCGTGGTGCGGGGAAGTCCGCGCGGTCCGCCCGCCCCGTAGGAGTCCGGTTTTGCCGAACTTCAACTCGCGCCGCGGGACGCGGTGCCTTCCCCCAGTATGCCTGCTCCTGCTTGAAGCTGGCACGGTCCCCACGTGTCAAAGGCGAGTCTCACGCGTCCTATTGGTCGCTGGAGAGCTCGACGCGACGGCCCCCAGCGGCACGCTTAAGGCTGGTGAGGCAGAGCGTCGCTGTCCTTGCCATTGCAGTCCGCGCGGCGGCCCCCGGACGTAAACAGCGGGAAGCATGGGCTACTTCCTCGAGATCGTCGCGGCCCTCGTGGCCAGCTACCTACTCACGCCGGCCGTCGCTTTCACCTGGCTGAGGCAAACAGCAGCACCTCGGCCGGCGGCGCTGCAGCAGCGGTCATCGGCCCTCGCCCGCTCCCAGGGCGGCTTCCAGGCCATCCTCCGCGCCGCGACCGCGAGTACGTGCCCGGACTGCGACGTCTGCGCGGACCCCTTTTGCGGCTGTGCGATGTGCGCCGCGAAGGGGACGGTACTCAAAAAGCACAGCCTGCCGTGCGGCTGCGAAAGCGTCTGCCTCTGCCCGGGCGGCTTCGCGAACGTGGCGCACGCGCCGGGCTGCCAGTGCGACCAGTGCTCGCACTAGGGACGCCTTTCCGTCTCCGCGCCGAGTAACGCAACTATGTCCCGTTTATCTAGAGTAGCTACACGACGCCGTCGCGTCTAGCCGTCGCGGCGATGGCGTACTGGTAGAAACTAGAAACACGACAGGTTAGTGCGAGGGGAGCTGCGACGACAGCGCGGCGCCGCAGAAGTAGGCCACCGACGCGCATAAAGCCCCCAGCGCCAGCGTCTCGGCGCCCAGCTTCAAGGCCTTTTGTTGCACAAATCTAGCCTTCGCCGCGCCCAGACTAAACAGCGTCACTCCAGTCACGGCACAAGCGGCCAGGAACAGGTCGTGCTCCGACGGATCGTGAACAAAGAGAGGAGTAAGTAAATACCCGACGAGCGGCGCCGTCCCGAACACGACGAACGACGCGAACATGAGCAGCCCGTCCTTCGCCGACTCGACCCACGCGTCCTCCTCCGGGACAAACAACCCGAGCTCCTCGACCATCATGACGTCGACGAAGAAGTCGTGATACTTCGCCATCGTGCTTATCACGACTTGCGCATCTTCGCGAGACATGCCCCGCTGGACATAGATCTCGACCATCTCCTCGACCTCGCCCTCGGGGTGATTTCTGAGCTCCCAGTCCTCCCGCGCGCGTTCCCTCCTGGCATATTCATCTGACGATTTTGTCGAGAGGTATTCCCCAACACCCATGGCCATGGCGTCCGCCAAGATGTTGCAGGCTCCCAAGAGCAGTACTACGCGACTGGTGAGTCCCGAGCCGGCGCACGAGGAGACGATCGCAAAAGACGTGAGGATGCCATCGAGACCGCCGAAGACTATCGTTTTGAGTTGGCCGCCGACTTTCGAATGGGCCTCGTCGTGGCCGCCGTCGACCCTCGACGCGTGGGCTCGCGCCGAGGCTTCCACATCGAGCGCCGAGTACGCGGCCTGGGCCTGGCTTTTGTCGACGTGCGTCCGCTCGTTCGGCGCCATGTTTCAGGCGTGTGTGGTCTGGCAGCGATACTCGATCTGCGCAGGCCGGTCGCGGTGGCGTCGCGGCAGCTCTTCTCCTGGCCAGAGGAGGCGAGGAAGGTAAGTCAAGCGTCGCGCGGCGGCGCTAATAAGCAGCAGCGCTCGCAGTACTCAAGCGCAGCGTTATGAGAGTTCACCCTAAGATACGGGGAGCTTTAGGGGCCGCGCAGGCAGTCACTTTGACCGATTTGCACCGCCTTGCTCAGATGGCTAGCACCTTAAACGCTAGCTCCAATCACGCGCCTATCGATACACGGAGGTTCTGCAGGCCTGGGGACTCGTAGAAGACCCGCCTGCCTGGGCGGGCATCACATAATCTGTGAGCAGCTCGACATTGCGGCTGGAATGCGGCTGGAACAGGCAACACGGGTGCTGTGCACGTCGATACGCGTGCATATTACGCGCATCTGATCCCTTGCATTGACAGCACAGCGACTTTTTCGCAACTTTGAACCGCCGCTGGGGCCACCACTCACCGGAGAGCATCACACACTGGTGCAAAATAAGCGCCATCGACGCGACAATGGCAACAGCAAGAGTGCGCCGCCGCTGGACCCTCGCCTGCGAGAGCTTAGAAGTAAACAAAACAAAAGAACGGGAATGGTGGCGCCGCGTCGAGACCGGCTACGGCGAACCGGGTCGGCACTACCACACTTTGGTGCACATCGACGCCATGCTCACCTTAGCTACCGACCACGAAGTGCAAGACCGAGTAGCCGTGGATCTCGCCACCATCTTCCACGACATTGTCTACGACGCCGTTGCTGGTGGTGGTGGCCGCAACGAGCGCGAGTCCGCTCAAGTGTTTGTCGAATTCGCTCAGAGTACCACAATGACGTCGGAACGCATCAATAAGGTAGTAGAGTGGATCGAGCGCACGTGGAGCCACGACGGTAATGGCTTGGACGACGACGGCCGGCTCTTCATGGATTTTGACATGAGCATCCTGGGCGCGGAGAGCGGGGCGTACGCGCTTTATGCTTCCCAAGTGCGTCTCGAATACGGCCACGTGAACTGGCTGTATTGGCGCATCGGGCGGTCGCAATTTTTGTCTTCTTCGACGTCCAAAAATGTGTTTTGTACTTCTGAGTTTGCGGGGTTGGAAGGGAAGGCGCTTGATAATGCGCGGGCGGAGTGTTTGAAATTGCGGCTCGAGCTATTTGTGGCGGGCTGTGTCGGCGTCGCGGGCCTTGGCGTGGCGGGGCGCGTAATGTTGTCGTTGTTGTGACTTCTACTTCTACTCTTTTGTGACTGGCGGCGGGAGGTGTCGCGTCGATGGCGTCGGGGGTGCCCGCGTCGGATGTACGGGGCGCGTTCCCAGGCGCGGCGCGTCGATGGCAAGCCAGCGGTCGGGAGGCGGCCCGAGGAGGTATCTGCGGCCCCTGATGGGCGCAGTACGCTCCTTCAATAAAACCCCGTGACGAGGTCGAGGTCAAAAAAAAAAGGCCCTTGCTCTTGGAGTGTATTTGGGGCCGCGCGGACTGAATATTGCACCTTGGGGGCTGCCCTCTTGCGGAGATGGCGCCCGGTACCACCCCTACCATGCGCACCACTGGCGCCCCATCATCGCGCTGGCAGGCGAGCGCGCAAAGCCCACAGCGACAGCCGAACGTGCAGTTTTTCTCCTTCCCGTGGCAGGGCGGGTCGTGCGCGGCGGCGCGGATGACATACTATAGTGGCCCCTTCGAAATGCCGTCGCCGGTGGCTTGACGCGGGGATCGATGCGCCCGCCGCGGCCGCCGCGGCGCGCGACGCGAACTTGTTTTTCGGGTGCACAGCGTCGCCGGCGAAACGGCACAAACCGCACAGGTTCCCGGCGCAGCTGTGCGAGCAGGACTTCGAAGCGTACGAGTGCAGCGTGATCAGCGACGACACGATGCAGGCCGTTGGCGCGGGCATTCTCAACGAGAGCCCGCGGTCAGCCGACCCGCGGCACTAAGAGGCACGATGCCGCCGCGACGCCGCCGCCGCCGCCGCGCACACGCGCGGTGTGCCGCCCGGCGCGAGAAACCCCCTCCCCTTGTGCTGTAAGAAGAAGACCACTTAGGCACGCGCGTATCCCTAAACGGCCATCTCCATCTGGATCTTCGGGTAGGGCTTGTAGCCATCGACCGTGAAGTCGTCGTACTCAAACGCATCAATGTCCTTCTTCGCCGCGTTGATCGTCAGCGAGGGAAAGGGCCGCGGCGCCCGTTTGAGCTGCTCCTCGAGCGCGTCGATGTGGTTCAGGTAGACGTGCGCGTCCCCGATGACGTGGACGAAGTCGCCCGCTTTTAGATTGGTACTTTGGGCCACCATGCGCGTCAAGAGAGCGTAGGACGCGATGTTGAACGGCACCCCCAGGCCCATGTCCGCGCTTCTTTGATACATCTGGCAACTCAACTCCCCATTGGCCACGTAGAACTGGCAGAACATGTGGCACGGCGGCAGGGCCATCTCCGGCAGGTCCGCCGGGTTCCACGCCGACAGGACAATTCTTCTAGAGTTCGGGTCGCCCTTGATCTGGCGGATGCACTCCGCGAGTTGATCCACGCCCTTCCCTGCATAATCAGCGTGCATGTCCTCATAGGACGCACCGAAGTGGCGCCACTGGAAGCCGTAGACCGGGCCCAGGTCCATCTCTTCCCGGTGCGGGAGGCCGCGCTTGTCGAGGAATTCTCGGGAGCCATTCCCGTCCCAGATGTGGATGTTCTTCTCCTGTAGTAATTTACCGTTGGTCGCCCCAGACACGAACCAGAGCAACTCTTCCGCGACGCCGCGCCAGAAGACGCGCTTCGTCGTGAGGAGGGGGAAGACGTCGTCTCTTAATGAAAATTTCATTCTCGCGCCGAAAATAGATTTGGTTCCCGTGCCCGTCCGGTCGCCTCGGACCACACCAGAATCGAGGATCTCCCTAATGAGATCCAGGTACTGCTGCTCCTCCTTGTTCACTGGAGGTACCGGCGGCGGCTTCTCGACGAGTTTTTCTTTCAATGAATTCGTGACGTCGCCCAACTTCGTAGATGAACATTCTCTGGTAAGGGTCTGGAACGAGTAGGCGAGGTCGCCCTCCTTTTCGGGCGGCGACATGGCTACAGTAGTGAACCCGGTCCCGGTGAGGTCGGGAAAAAAGGCGTCGCATTGGGGTAGGACGCCCTTGGGGTCCTCGACTCTTGTAAGTAGGACCTCCGTGCACCGCGCATCATTAACGGCCGCCTTGTACAATTCCCCACCGCCGATGACGAACACTTTCGCGACGTCCTCGCGCGCCTTCATCTGCGTCAATGCCGCGTCTAGCGAAGCGTAACACGCGACGTCCTCCGGGAGATCTAGCTGTTCTCTAGCGTCGGGGTTTCTCGAGAGGACGACGTTGGCTCTACCAGGTAACGGGCGGAACTTCTTGGGAATCGAGAGCCACGTCTTCCGGCCCATCACAACAGCATTCTGTTGCGAGGCGGGCGCCTCCGTCGTCACGCGCTTAAAGTAGGCCATGTCGCCCTTCAGACGCCAGGGCAGCGCGCCGTCCCTCCCGATGCCCATCTGGGCCGTCGCGGCGACGATGCAGGCGACGCCGTCCTTCGGTGCTTGGGGCTTGGTGCCGAGCATCCTGGCGACTCGCGTGATTATTGGGCGGAGGGCCGTCGCGGCGCTGAGGACGAGGGCGAGGGAGAGCAGCCGGGAGCGCGCCGTGTTTGCGCGCGTGGGCTGGCGTTTCTCGGCGCGGCGCTGTCGGATACAGCTGTGGGGCGCTTCGAGGGCGTCAGAAATTTAAACTGAGCGCAAACAGCGGCCAGTAAGTTTGATTTTGCTAAACGCGCGCCGAGCTAGCGGCCAGTGAGACACTAGCAAACACCGGGGCTCAAGCGCAGTGGCGCATAGGTGGTCAAACGCGTCCAAAATTCTCTTAGGACTACCCAGTGACCCGTGCTCTGAGATCAACCGCGCTGGCGCACAGCCGGCCCGCACACAGCTCACAAGCTGGTAGACCACTGCAGCAGCAAATGCCAACCGAGCGCGAGCTAAACGCCGCAATTGCAAGGCGCCATCTCGAGGACCTTCGCGCCATTCTCGGACGCGACAACGAAGATATCGAACGCCTTGCTGACCTGTGGCCGCCGGTGCCGCGATTGACCATCGAAGAGGAATCGTTAGGGGGTTGAGCTATGCGCCTCCGCCTCCTCAAAGGCGATATCGCCAAATGCGGAGCCAACGCCATCGTCACCTCGGCCAACGACGCCTTGTGCGGCAACGACCAGCCGCTCTACTGGCGCTTCACGAACCAGCGCAACGTCGACGGCGCTATACGGAAAATAGCCGGGCCCGGCCTCCGCGACGCTTGTTTGGCACTGCCGGAGATCAAGCCTGTCGTCCACGAAAACGAGGAGCCGCGCGACATAAGTCGATGGGCCGAGACGGCCAAGAAGCGCGGCCTGTCTCGAACCTTGAGGTGCGCGCCCGGCCGCGCCGTCGCGACGCGCGCCTACGGGTTAGATGCGGACTGGTGTATTCATGCCGTGGCGCCCGACTCGGAATTTGGGTATGAAGGGCACTACCAGGGGAATATTGGCATACGAGGCGAGGACGTGCGCGCGACGTCGGTGCCGCCCGTCGCGCGGCTCCATGCGACGTATGTGAACGCCCTCAAGGTCTGCGCTACAAAGGACGCGAGGACGGTCGCGCTGCCGGCGCTCGGCGCCGGCGTGAAGGCCTGGCGGCCGCGCATCGCTGCAGCGACGGCGCTGGGGGCTCTCTCCGAGTTCGACTACTCGTCGAACTTCGACGATTTGGCGGTCGTGCTCGGCTCGGACGCGGCGATGGTGGCGTTCACGCGCGCCTTCGAGGCGGTCCTCGGCGAAAGCGAGGACCACGCGTGGGAGCTGGAGCCGGGCCGCCTCGACGGCTTCGAGCCCGCGTCGGTCGCGCCGGAGCTCGCGCCGCGCGCGCCGCGGCCGAACAGCGGCTACGCGGGGGACCACTGGAACCCGAGCGACGCGGGGTGGCGGTAGCCATGTGTCTGTTTGTAAAAGTACGTAACATATCAACTTAGATCACGTGTCAAGGCACAAGGAGAGGGGACCAGGCTCTGACGTTCAGCCACGCGCCCAACTCGACCGCTAGTCGAAGCGCCCGAAATGAAAAGGCGGCTCCCCCGGGTCGCCCCCCGTCGAGGGGATGAGCGGGCCGTCGTCCGAATCGTCGAGCTTTGGAGCTACTATCCGAGCTAGCGTGCCCTCGAAGTCTTCGACGGCGAGATCCGGCCAGAAAATCTGGGCCGCTTCGAGCGCCATGTTGCAGTTGTTGAGGCGGAGGACCTCGAGCGAGTTGACGGAGAGGCTTTCCGAGTCGAGCACGATGTCGGATATGGCCAGGTACTTGAGCGTCGGCGGGAGCGTCCGGAACGCCGTCCCCGCCCCCGGGATCGGCGGCGGCCTCGAGAAAGCCACACCGTGGAGCATCTGGAGCGTCTCGAGCTTGGGACAGGCACTGAGGGCGGCGGCCGTCAGCTGTTCTATCTGCTCCGTCGACGCGTGGGTCTGGTACCCCGCCATGCCCTCGATGCGGAGCGTGTGGAGGCGCTGGAACGTGGAGAACTGCGGCGCGCCGAGCATCCAGACGTGCTGGTAGGCGGGCGCGCGGAACGCGAGCGTCTCGAGGTTCGGCAACCAGTTTCCGAGCTGGTTGATGAGCGCGAAGTTCTGGTGGTCGTAGCCGCAGAGGTAGAGGTGCGCCAGGAGCGGGTCGCCGCCGCCGCGCGCCGCGCGCCACTGGCGCACGGCGGCGCCGAGCGACTGGGCGGTGCACAATTTGTCGGACGCCGCGAGGCTCTCGAGCTTGGGCGCGGCGCCGAGCATCGCGGCGAACTGCGCCGGGCTGCCGCTGCATCCATTGCCGACGGCGAGCATCTTCAGCGTCGCCAGGCACGGCGGCCGCGCCTTCATGACCTTGGCCGTGATGCTCTTGCCGTTGAGCGCGAGCGTGCGGAGCTTTGGGAGATCCTTAATCGCAGCGATGACGGCGTCCGCCGAGAGGTAAGACCTGGTCCCGCAGCTCGTCGCCAGGCTGAGCGTGTGGACCTCGTCGCGGTGCGCGTGCCACTGGACGAGGCGGTGCAGGCCCAGGCTCGACGCCGCCGAGGTCTCGGCGCTGCTGTCGAACGCGTGCTCCTGCCACGGCCCGATGCGCAGCGCGTCCTTTCGCCACGTCCGCCTCGCGCCCGCGTCAAATCCGCCGGCGCGGATCACCGTGAAGAGGCCGTGCGCGGACCGCAGGCGGCGCCACGCCTTGCAGACGCAGATCGCGATGCGGTAGCGGTCCTGGATCGGCAGCGCCAGCAGGATGCGCGCGAGCACGTCACCGCTGACCACGTCGAACGCGCCGGTGCCCTTTCTGTCGTCGCCGACGGAAATGACCTTGGGCGCCTTGGGCCGGCACGCCGCGGCCGCCTCCTCGAGATCCTTCCGGGAGACCGAGCCGGGCTGGTCGAACATGCGCAGCGCGAGCTCCTCCAGCGCGGCGCGCGGGCACTGCGCGATCAGCGTCGCCGCGTCCGAGCCGCGCGGGGCCTCGGTCGTCTTCTTCTTGCGCTTGGGCGCCATCGATGCAAAAGTGCTTTACACAAGGGCGGACGCCGCGCACCGCAGCAGCTGGTGTCGTACGCGCTGCGGCGTTGCAACGACGCACCGTTTGGCGAGCGATGAGCCAGCCACGCGGTCGGAGCGACCAAGCAGATCGACCGCGTTCGACCAGTTTGCTAGAAGTAGAGACACTAGAATTTGAAGAAGACTTAGAACAACAACTAGGGCGACTCACCGCTCGAGAACCCGCCGGGCCCGCGGAGCCAGTCCTCGACGCCCCACGCCTGCGCCTCGAAGTCGAGGTGGTTCAGGCGCATCGCGGCCAGCACGTTCTCCGGCAACGACTCCGGCGCCCGCCCCTCGACGATCCAGGCGATGTCCATGACCAGGCGCGGCAGCTTCGGGAGTAATCTAAATAAAGCGTGATTCGAGGTAGCAGCGAAGTCGGCACCGACATCTAATCCAAATTCCAAATAATCTTCGTTCCGCGACACGTGGACCACGCCCTGCCGGTCGCCGCCCCAGGGCGGGGCCGCGGCGGCCATGAGCACGGGCTTGGCGTTGAACTGGTGGAGCAATCTAGGTAGGCCGATGTTCTCCTGGTGAATGTTCGCGACGCTCCCGACACCCTTCAGGGAACCATTTAAGACGGAAGCCGTCTCGGCGCCCTCGACGTATTCTCTCCAGAGCTTGAGGTGGGGCGGCCACTCTGTTTTTGGTTTTTGTAGTAACTCACATAATAATGGAGATGCGCGCCACCAGCACACGACCTGCCAGCCCGGCGGGCCGTCTCCAGTATCACGATTGGGGCCCACGAGGGGTGGAGGCGTGCCGGGGAAGTACATGGTCTGCGTTAAAATGCGAGGGCACCATCCCGGTAATGCTTTCTCTTCTGTTGTTGGTGGTGGCAGTATGGCCCTCCCCGGCAGGTCGAAGACCCTTGCTTGACACCGCAGAATGTCCAGCCCGAAGGGTTCGTAGAGCGCGGGCCCGCTCGCGTACTTTTTTTTGTCCACCAGATAGAGCGCGCCGCGCAGCTGGAAGCCCGAAGCTTCGGACGGCTCCCAGGACCGGGGTGCGCCCTCTTTCGTAGCTCGTGGCACGGACGCCCCGGGCACGGCGGTCCGGCTCTGGTGGATGCGGCTCCGCTGCCTTAGTAGTACTCTTTTCCGCGCAGCTAATGTCGCGAGCGACGGCTGCGGCTGTACGTCGCTCTCCTCGATATAAGACGAGGACCAGATCGTGTCGCCGAAGCCTCCTCTCAAACCCGGTAAGCGGAGGGGCGGCGCCAGCGCCGGCCGGAGCAAGGACGCTAGTAACGCGCCCGTCGCAAAAAATGCAAGGGGCCGCGCCAATGCAGCAAACTTCGCGGCGTCGCCGCCCGCCACTAACCACTGCAACACGGCAATATGTGCCGCCGTCGCGATGGCCGCCCAGCACACGCGGTCCTCCGCGGCTAAATCCGGCGTCTCGGCTCGTTCGCGCGCCCTTGCGAGCTTGAGCTCGGCCGCGTCCGCGTCGAGCTGCGCCAAGACCGCGGCGTCGGCGTGCGCCTCGTCGTCGTCGTCGTCTTCTTCCTTTTGCCGCGCGGCGTACATATTGCTGCTGCTGCTTCTGCTCGGTGCGCGTTCGGCGTACGAGCGAGCGCACAGGTCACACAGCTTATGGGAGGTCGGCGGAGAAGCTAATTTACGGGAGTTTCGTGCAATTCCGCGGGCTCACGAGTGATCTATTGTTTTTTACGAGCCCTCTGCCGCCGTTGACTCGCTGTTTGCGCTTGCGGGAGGCCACCCGCAGCTTTTTGCTCGCGTCTGGTTGGTCTCTAGTATCTTTCAGCTAGCGATTATGCCGCTCCACTTGGCAAGGCCATTTTTTGAAAGTTAGGCCACACAGACGGTCCCCGGCGCGTTTCTGACTGCACGAGAAGGACCAGAGTGACAAAAAACCAGCACTCAACGCCAATTCGAAGCCTCGGAGGCCGCCTACGCGCCGCATACGCACGTCAAATCAAGATGCGCGCATTTGCCATCACTACGACCGCCCTCGGCGCCGCCGCAGCCTTGACGCCGCAGGGGCAGAATCCTCTGCAGCCAATGCGTGCCCCGCAGCCGCCGCAAGCGCCACAAACCCCGGGTGCCATGCCCGCGGCACTGACGCCGCAGCGCCGCAATCCATTTAAAGTGGTAGCGGGCGACCTCGGCCACCTCGCCACGACCGTCGTCAAGCTCGGCCTGCGCGTGCCGCGCGCGACGGCCGGCGGCGTCCAACAATTGGTCGGGTCCATCAACGACGCGCGCAAGCGCCGCGCCGCCGCCGCGTACGTCGACGCCTGCCTCGAGGAGGCGCCGCAGCCGCCGCCACAACCTCAACCCGTCGCCGTGATCAAGCCGCCGACGCAGCCGCTGCGGGGGCTGAGCCCCGTGGCCATGCGCGCCGTGAAAGCCGGACGCGCGAACGTCGCGCAGCGCACGCCGCCGGGCCTCTCGGCGTCGTCGCTGCCGGTGACACCGATGGACGCGGCCATGGGCTCGCGCGCCCGCGCGTCGGGCGTCCCCGCGACGCCCGTGGCCTACGCCCCGGCGGTCTCGGGGCGCCCGCCGTCCGTTATGGACGCGGCCCTCGGCGCGCGCCAGGCCATCCCCATCAACCCCTCCACCAGGGTGTCGGCGTCATCCACGGCACCGTCGGTCCTCGACGCGGCGCTGGGGTCGCGCGACCGCGCGGCCGTCGTGAAGCCCGTGACGTCTGTGTCGAAGACGGCCGGCGCGCGCGAGAACTACGCCGAGGCGGCCCTGAAGCAGATGCAGCAGCGCGCGTCGGCCATGGACGAGGTCGCGGCGCGCCGGCGCGCGCACGAGCGCGACGCCGCGGCGGCCTGGACGCGGCAGCGCGAGCGCGACGTGACGGCGGCGCAGCGCGCCCAGGCGGCGACGCGCGCGGCCGCGGCGCCGACGGTCATCGTCGACCGCGTACAAGCGCCGCGCCGCGACCCGCCGCTCGTGGACCGGCGCACCGTGCCGCGCGGCGGCGCCTTCGCGCCGACGCAGCAGTACGCCGCGCCGGCGGCCGCGCCGGCCGTCGTCGACGCGGCGCCGGCCGCCGCCGCTGTCGCCGAGGAACCGGTCGCCGCGCCGCTCGTGCGCAAAACCCCGATCGGCGCGGACCTCTTCACGCAGCTCGGCGGCGCGTTCCTCGTCCTGCTCGCCGTCATGGCGGCGCCGTCGTTCAGCGGGCAGATGGCGTGCGTCGCCGCCTCGGTCGTCGGCTACCAGCTCCGGGCGCTCCAGGCGTTCTTCGGGCCGTCGAACTGACCACCTTCCCCCCCTTAAAAACACATCACTTGGGCTTAAACCTATCGATGAGGGCGCCGAGCTTCGCCGACGCGTCCGGGGGCACGTGCGGCACGGCGAACTCGTTCGCGTAGGGCACGAACTGGTTCGTCTTCTCGAAGTACAGGCCGTCGCGCCGCTCGGCGTCGGGCGGCGGCGGCTCGGGCGCGAGCTCGTCGCACATGTCGAGGACGCTCGTGAACCCTTCTTTGCTGGTGGACGGCGCCGCTGCCTTCGGGAGGTTCTTAAAGTCCATGCTCCGGTAGGCGTCTGCACGCGTCGGTTCGTCCTCCCCGTCCGACGAGTCGATGGCCGCGAAGCGCGAGTAATCTACGGAGTATTTGTCGTCGGGGGCGGCCTTGCGCCGCATGGCCGCGATGCGCCGCACGGCGGGCAGCGTCTCGACGTCGGCGGTCTTTCTCGCTCGGAGCTCCTCGAGGCTCAGGAGTTTTGGCGCCTCGCCGTCGTCGCTCACAACGTCCTCGTGCAGACTGACCTCCGACGACGCCGTCGACGCGTCGTCGTCGTCGTCCCCGAGCATGCTGCCCTTTACTTTTTGCGGCGTGACCCGCGTGACGGCGTTGCGCGCGCGCTCGTACTCGTCCTCGACCGCTTTGGCTCGTCGCGCGCGCGCCGCGTCGTCATCAGCCGCGCGCGCCGTGACCTTGCCGTCCCTCTTGACGGGGTCGCGTCCGAGGGCCGCGATGCTCCGGACCGCCTCGTCGTACTTGCCCGCGTTGAACGCCAAGGATCGTTTCGCGGCGTGCGCGTCGGCGCCGCCGAACCCTAGGAGGTCGTCAACCCCTATCTCGTCGTCGCTCGCATCCACAGCGTCGTCGTCGGCTCTTGGACGATCCCTGGGCTTGCTCGGGGCGTCGGGCAGCGCCGGCCTGATATCGCTCGCATCCCTGGGCTCGCGCGCGTCGGGCAGCGCCAGGCCGGCGCTGGGCAGCTTGGGCAGCAATGGGCCGAGGGCAGGGGGCAGCGGCAGCCCAGTGCTGCTGGCGCCGCCAATGTGGAGTGACAAGGGCTCCATCTCCCGTCCTGCTACGCTCCAGGAGCCGTGCGCGGTGCATAAGGCGGCGCGGGCAGGAGAGCTCGAGCTAGTGTGTCGACGCTAGGTTTTTTGCTCTCCAACATCTATAACAGTACACTTATACACAGCGAGGCAGCTGCTACCACCCCCGCGTCGGCGCGTTCGGCACCGCACCGACGGCGGGCCACGCCGCGTCGACCTCCCGACGTAGAGAAGAGACGTCCCACCGTGCTACGAGCTCCGCGCGCGTCCGTAAAGCAAGCCTAGCCGGCGCGTCGTCGACGCACCAGCACCACCCGAACATGTCCTCTCCTAACAAATCGCAGTCCGAGATCCCGAGGCCCGTCTCGCGCCGGTTCCGCTTCGTTCTCTCTAGAATACTTTCCGCGGCCCTAGCCTTCCGCTGCGCCGGCGTCAGCGCCTTCCAGAACTCCTCCGTCTTCTTTTTAGCGGCGACGCAGGTCTCTCCACCAGCACTCAGCCGCTCGTCATACAGCTCCACGAAGCGCTTTTCTTCAGTCTGAGTGATCTCCCCGAAGTTATCGACAGCTCTTGAAGCCAAAGCGCTGTCGAAGGAATACCCGAGTCTCAAATGCGCCAGCATGAGCTGCTTTTCTGGGAGTAAGTATACTACATCACCTACCCCTTGTTTAGCCGCAAACGCGTAGTGGACCCACAGGTGCGTCACGGACGCATGGGCGATGAGTTTTTGTCTATGGAGTTGCGCCTTGCCCGCGCAAGTACCCTCACTCAGCAACATCTTGTCGGATTGACCCACTGGCATTCCATGATTGTCCATGCGACACGGCGCAAAAAAAACACAAGGCAGCGCCAACGCTCGCGGCGGCAGGCGACGTTCTCCGAACGGCGTGAGCAATTCCATCAAATACTGCTCGGCATTGAGGGACGGCGGCGGTACTAAAAATTCGTCGACGTCGTTGTGGGTCACCCACTGCGCTCCTGCCGCGACCAACCGCCGATGGCACGTGTTCTGCGCCGCGTACTGGGCCGGTCGCCCAAAAAGTGACTGCGTCGTGCACGTGGCGTTCGACTCTTTGATAATACTCGCTTCCACTCGTCCCGGGTCGCATTGATCGCGATCGTCCTCGAGCGAGGGCCAGGGCACGACGGTTATAGACGAGAAGCCGTCGTAGGCGACCTTCAACGGGGAGGTCTCTCTGGCGCTTTGACCACTAAGAGCCTTCGCAAATACACCATCAGAGTTGTCCGTTATGAGCACGTGTCCGACGCCGAGCACTCGCAAATGGGCGAGCCACTCGGCCACCCGCGCCGCCGGTAGGCCTAATATATTGCCGTCCCTATCATGATAGGCGCCGCCCTTGACCCACGCGCACGCGCCGATTTTCGGGCCGTTGTCGGGCCATTTTACTGCTCGTTGTACTAAGAGAGGTAAGGAAGGGTGCGCGCCCTCCAAGTTTTTGTGCGGGGCGATCCTTACGTGGAGCCCATCGTTTAACGCCGCGCGTCTTAATGAAGGTGGTACCGGGCACTCGAAGACGATCGTCGACCGTCGCCGCAGGAACGTCGCGAGGTCTCTTGTGGACGACTTGACCACGGTCTCCTCACCTCCAGAAGAAGAGTAAGCACAATACAGGTCTAGGGACGCGCGGTCCTTCGCCAGATAACCTCCACTGGGAGAGCGCGACGCGTATTCCTCATTCAAAGCTTGCGCGACGGCCCTTCGCACCTTCGTCTTCCACTCCGAGGCCACGCAGACCTTGCAGCCCGATCTCCGATGTTTTTTTTCAAAATCCCGGCGCCACTGCGCCCACTCATTGAGCGAGGCTCGCTCCAGGGTCCGCTCTCGCGCGTCGCAGGCCCCCTCCAGCTGGCCCACAATGGTCGTTGTGGCACAATCTTGGGCCTCGGCGCAGCTGATCGAGTAGATCGCGAAGGGAAGTTTATGTTTCGATGACGCGAGGATGGGCGTGGCCTCTCTCCGTCGTCCTACGGGCGGTGCCAGTCGCGCGGGCGGTGCAAGCTGTGCGGGCGGCGGCGCGGCGGAGTGGTGGTGCGGTAGCTCCACGTGGAAGCTGCGCAGCGCCACCAGCAAGGCGAGCGCGGCTAGCACCGCGACGCGCTTGTTCTTCATGACCGCTCGCGGCGCCGCTTATCGGAGCTCCTCATCCGCCGGAAGATGTCGTTGGCCTCGCTTGCTTGGTTTTCCGGGACGGCGATCGTCGCGACCGGGACCGCCGCGGTGGTGCTGGTCGGTTGCTGCTGGAAGCCCGCCACGCGCAGGTCGCGCGTCCGGCTGTTGTCTACTGGTGCTGGAGCTGGTGGCGCCTCGAAATGGAGGCTTTGGCGACCCATGCGTGCTTCAGCGGCCCATTTAGCATGCGACTCGAGTTTTTGCAGGTTGCTAGTGTCTTACAGGACGCTAGGTGATCCGTCCGAGCCTTGTTGCTATGTCGTACTACAACCGAAGACGCTTCTCTACGGAGCTGCATAGCTATACAAGCGGCGCTCTCTCCTCACGATTGTTCCCGAGCAATCTTCGAGCAGTTCCAAAGCAGCCAGATCAAAGCAGATTAAAACAGCACCAAAAGCTGCATAGAGGCAGCCCAAACACACTCACAGCGGCACTCACAGCACACGACACGACCATGATGATGAACGCGATGCAGACCCTCGCACGCCAAGCGCCTGGCGCGCTGGCAAGACACGCGCCGCGGGCAGCCGGCGCTGCCCTGAGCACCATGGCCTCGCGCGGCCTCCTCTCGGCGTCGCGCCGGGCGCGCACTGAACGCGCACCACCGAATCCCGCGCTGCTCGCCGCGCGTCGCGACATCTCCGTCGGCAGAGACGGGCGCCACTGGAACACCGTCCTGTTGATGGTGCCGCAAGCGGAGGAGTGGTCCGGATCGGTGCCGAATCCCAGTTTATGGTGCCTTCACATCGCCGCCGCCGCCGCCTCGCAACCGGGAACTCGCGCAGGCAGATCGAGCGCTTCGGTAAATTTAGTCACACGGCATTGCCGGGCCTGAGCTTCGCCATTCCGATCATCGACGAGATCGCGTACAAGCGTTCCCTGAAAGAGACGACCATCGACATTCATCCCCAAACGGCCATTACCAAAGACAACGTCCACGTCCACCTCGACGGCGCCGTCTACACGCGCGTCGTCGACGCGTACAAGGCGAGTTACGGGATCGAGGACCCGGAAGGGGCCATCACGACGCTCGCGCAGTCGGCGATGCGCAAAGAAGTTGGAAATTTAGAGCTTGATCAACTCTTCCTCGAGCGCGAAAAGCTTAATATTGGCGCGCGACCGCGTCGATGGCGTCCCTCTGCACGCCATCGAGGCGACGTGTTTCGTTCACACAGGCATCGCGCAAGCGCTCGACGAGGCGTCGCAGCCCTGGGGCATCCGCGTGTTCCGCTACGAGATCGCCGACATCCACGTCGACCGCGGCACGCGCGAGGCCATGGAGAAGCAGTCGAACGCGGAGCGGCTGCGCCGCGCCGAGGTGCTCGAATCCGAGGGCTACCGCCAGAAATTGATCAACCAGTCCGAAGGCGAGCGCCAGGGCGCCATCAACGCCGCCCAGGGGCAGGCCGAGAGCATGCGCCTGAAGGCAACGGCGGAGGCCGACCAGATCAAGGCGATTGCGGAGGCCCAAGCCGCTTCGACGCGGATGGCGGCGGAAGCCACGGCCGACGGTCTCCGCGCGATCGCCGAGGCCGTGAGTGAAGAGGGCGGCAAGGACGCGATGGTCCAACGGCTCGCCGACAAGTACGTCTCGGAGCTGGCCGAGATGGCGAAACAAAGCAACCTTGTGATCGTTCCGGACCGACCGAACGACATCTCCGGCGTCGTCGCGACGGCCATGGGCATGTTCGACCAGGTGAAGCAGCAGGGCTCCGCGAACTAGTTCCTGCCCCCCTTTTTGAATACAATTGAGAGCGACCAGTTCTGCAGTTTCGTTTGCGTAAATCATTTCCACGTCACGGTGTGTAAGACTTGACAATTTTAAACTTGGGGAAAGTACATGGGACGGTCCGCGCCGCGGAGCCGCGGACCCACGGCGCGCGCTCTACCAGCGCTCCTCGAGGCGCAACCGGAACGCCGCGATGGCGGCCTTCTCGGCGGCCGCGCGGTCCTGGGCCTCCTCGCGCCGCGCGAGCCGCCGGAGCTCGTCCCAGCCATTGTCCTCGGCTAGCTCGCGGGCGTCGCACTCTTCGTCGGCGCAGACGTCGTCGAAGCGCGAGTAGGCCGCTCGCGCCGTCTCCCGCGGGAACTCGTCGGCAGCCGCGGCGAGGCGTGTGGTCCGTCGGACGGTGCTGCCGGCTGCGAACGCATCGGCACCGGTGACGAGGCACAGGAGCGCGAGTTTGAGCTGCATGGCGGCGTCCCGTGGGTCCGTGGCGCTGCGTACGCAACGCTTCGTGTCTCTCGCGACCGTTTCGCGGCACTGCAACTCCTGCAAAAGGCAAGGAGGTGATGACAGCGCTCTCACAAGCTGCGTTTCGTGCTCTGGTTGCACGAGCAAGGTATAGAAGTAATTTGCACTGTTGTGCGCAACAAATTCTGGCGTTTCGGACTGATCGCGGCAATTCGCAGCGCACCGAGCAAAACGTCGAGTGATGACGATGCCGGACTCGAAAGGAGCTCAAAATACATAGGAGCACTCGTCCGCCCACACAGCAGAGATAGAAGGACGCATCACAACAAGGGAGAGCTCCGCGAGGCCAACCCCGCACGATAGCCCGAGCTCGATAGCGCCGGAGCTGCCTCGGCACCCCACGCGGCCCTCCGGGCTGGGGGCAGCCCGAACAGCGCATAACCATCGACCGGCACCACCGCCGGGCCCGCGGGCAGCAGCCAAAACGCCAGCCCTAGCCGCCTAGGCCCCGCAACCAACCATGCCCTCCGACGTAGCCACGAACACGATGATGCGCCTGCCCGCCTCCGAATTAATGACGATGCGCGACGACTTTTTAAAGGAAGGCACAGCTGGTCTAACACTTACACAATTCGTCCGCGTGATGTTAAGGAGAGGCAGACAAGCCCAAGTGAACGACTGGACGCAGGAGGCGAACAAACGGCGCATGTCGGGCCTGAGTCTAGGAGATAGGCCCCATTTTGATAGTGACAACGATGATATTGATGACGATCCCGAATTGCGGGACGAACATGGTCAAATCAAGCCCTTAGTTGATAGTTCTGGTAGACCAAATTTGGAAGCGATCGACGATCTGTGCGAACTTTTTGATAGTATTGACGTGAACGGCGACGAACGCTTGGAGTGGGACGAGTTCACGCGCTGCGTCATCGAGCACGGGATGGGTGGCCAAAAGCGGGAGGCGCACGACCGCTACGAACCGAGGGACATAAGACCGGACAAAGAACAAGTATTTGGCGATTACAAGCCCGGCGAGGGCGGCGACGGGCCACTAAAATTCTTGCGATGGCTGCCCGAGATGCGGCTGCTTTGCGTCTGCGCGGCGGGCACGTTCGGCCTGTTCCCGCCCTTTCCTCGACAGCAAGCGCTCCGATTGCCTCCCAAACCCGTCTATACGGATGCCCTGGAAGTTGTAGATGCGGAGAACCTTGATGATGATGTGTCTGACGACGACGGGGAGGACGCGGAGCTGCACACGTATCTAAAAGACGCCGGCGTGAGCTGTCTGGACGTGGCCTTCGCGCCGGTGCGTCGCGGCGTCTTTGTTGCCTTCTGCGCGATCACTGGTGGGGTAGAAGGCCTCCCGAGAGCATCACGCCCGCCGCCCGGAGAGAACAACCCCCGCGACGCAGGGCGACGAGCTGGTGATCGTCCTCTGCTCCGACCTTACATTAAGATTCTACCACTGCTCGGCGCGAGCGTCGCCCAACGATGAAACGATAAAATGCCGGGGCGCCGTGCGACTGCGGGACCCTTCATTTAGATTGGCCTGGTGGGCCGGTAGCATCCTGGAGGGCCCCCACGAAGGGTCGCGGCTGTGCTTTTTGGTCGGGCCGCGCAAGGATATCGATGTTCTATGCATGGAACCCTTCGACGGGTTTAATCGAGATGTAAAAATGCCCTCCATCGCCAGACTACCGTCATTGGTCGGACATACGGACGCCGTGATGGATGCTTTGGTATTGGACCAGCCGCGGGAAATATATATACCTTCCTCAAGGAAGGAGATGAGCCGCGAAGTTGGACTATTAGCGACGTGCTCCCTGGACAAGACCATACGACTCTGGCACTTACCCGAATGCAAGGAGGTCTGGTGCCTTACGGGACATATTTCTGGAGTGCGGTCGTTGTCCTATGACAGACACCAATCTTTATTAGTGAGTTGCGGCTTCGAGTATACGGTGCGGGGCTGGGGCGTCACGGGGGAACAGGCGTTCCCCATGTTCACGCTGGAGGGCGGCCACAACGCCTCGGTAAGATGTGTGAGGTGCGCACCGGGAGGGGCGGCGTTCTGTGTGAGTCTAGACGACGACGGCGTGATGAGCTGGTGGGACACGTCGCGAGATAGTGTCGCCTCGCCGACGGAACGCCTCACTCATAGTGTTCAATTGGAGACGGAGACGTGTCTGCTGGTTGAGCCCGTGGGATGTGGGGTGGACGTCGACGCCGCGGAAGACCTGTTTAGAAGCTTCGCGTCCGAGCGCGCCGAGCAACTGTTGCGAGGCGACGAGGAGGAAGTCGAAGAAGTGTCGGAGGCCCAGAAGCTCATTAAACAAAGGCATAAGGGGGACGACAACAACCACACGAAGCGAGCGTTGGCCGACGCCGCGACGGCGGGCCAGGCCATGGCCTACTCGTCGAATGCTATTTCCTTGGCTTGTGGCGGGAAACGGGGGATTGTACGTTGGTTGGATGCTGCCGATCATAGAGATGCGGAGGCGCCAGCCACACATATCGACTATTCCTCGCAAACGCACTCCATTTTGACGGCTCATGATTCCTCGTTAAAGCTCTGGGACGCGCGGACGGGGTTATTAGTACATGAGGAAACACTGGAGGACTCCCTCGTGAGTGGCCTGTCCTTCGATGCTCGAGGCCGAAGATGCATCGTCACGGACCGAAGCGGCACGGTCAAGATACGACGAGCCAAAGATGGTTGTGAATTGATGTATTTAGGTAAACATGGTGCGGAATGCTCTGCGGTCGCGTACTGCCCGTTAGATAGAATAGTGGTCACAGCAGGATGGGACCGCGCGCTCCACGTCTACGACGAACTGGAGGACGATCCTCAAGATAGTCTAGTTAGATACACCACAAATGCCCACGACGGCGACATCCAACAAGTGTGTCTGTCGCGGGACGAGGGGCTGATCTGTACCAGTGATAGGAATGGAAGAACAAAATTATGGGACTTTGAAACACTTTTACTGGTCGGCGAGTGCTTCGATGGGGACGGTTCGGCACTGCCCGAGGCGTCCTCTCTGTCATTTATTAAACCGTATCCTTGCTTAGTGCATACGGACGATGACAGTGGTGTGCGACTCATATCCACCAAAACAAGACGGAGCGCGTTGCGGTTCGAGAACGGCAAAGCAGCTAGAATTGATGGCGAGTTACGTAGAGGAGCTGCAGCAACATGTTCCCAATCGTTTGTGGATCTGCACGGTGGCAAGGAAATAGCGCCTGGTGTCATGAGCGGACGCGTTTTAGTGTTCACGGGCGATAGTCGGGGCGCGATTCAGAGTTTTGACGTCCAAGATGCGCTCAAAAGATTAAATATAGAGGCCATTGCCTCTCCGAAATGGAAGCGCATGGGATATAATCCGCGCCGGAAGTTGAGTCGCGATCATGCTCTCTCCGAGGTGAATGATATTCAATTAAAGCCGTCGCGAGACTATCCTATTAGAAGTGGCTTGGCGTCCTATACCTGTAACCGGTGGAACGCGCATGATCGTGCCGTGACTTGCGTCGTAGTAACGGCGGATCCTCCTAGGCTTATATCTTGCTCGACAGATGGCTCGATAAAAGCTTGGGGGTTAGATGGTGAACCCGTTGGTACGTTAACATATGGGAGAGATGCGGACCATAGAGCGTTAAGAAATCTCGCGGCGCCCGGGCGGTTAAGCGTCGCTCAAAAGCTCAAAGCCTCTAAAAGTGCTGCGTGGAGGTTCCTGAGTGGGAAAGATGTGCGTAGACGGAAGGAGGCTACTTTACAGAGAGCTAGAACCATCTTACAGGAAGTAGTAGAGACGAAACGGAGAGAACGTATGCAACAGCGAGAAGCCCAGGAGTTGGAAGAAGCTCGTCAGGCCGCAAGGGAGCGTGTGGACGAGGCGTCCATCGCATCTTATGAGTCAGACGCCGCCAAGGAGCAGGAACGGACTCGATTAATCCACCAATTGGAAGGCGAACAGACCTGGGTCGAGTCCGAGTTCGACCGCTTGAAGGCCCAGGCCAGCGAGGCGCACAGGGAGAAGGCCAAGGCCAAGAAGGGTAAGCGGCGGCGGAAGAAGAAGAAACCCGACGAAAGTGTAGATATCAGTCTGGACGATTCAGCAATCCCGACGGAAGAGGAGCGCCGCAAGGAGGAAGCCCTACGCAAGGAACTCAAGAAGAACGAGATGCGGCCGGACCCCGCGGATCCTGATAATTGGAACGTCGGGAGTCTCAACCGCGAGAGGGCCATGTACCCGGCGCACCATACTGTATTGAATGAAAGGGGCGCGAAAGAAGCTCTGAAGAAGACGGTCAAAGTAAAAACGGCGGCCATGCTCACCGCCGAAGCTGAACAGGTGAAGCATCTCGTGGAGCCTTCATCGTTTTTCAAGGAGCAGTTCGGAAGGGCTAATAGATTTGGGGCGACCGGTGAGCAGTCTGTTGTCGCTTTTAAGGAGCTGCAGCGGACCGTGCGCATGCCTCAGCCTCCCGTTGTGCGTGATGAGCCTCCTGTCTCGGAGCCTGCGTCCTCGGAGTACACGTCCGAGACGTGCGACGAGAGCGTCCGGACGTGGGGCGACTGTACGTTCGGAAATGTCAATCGGTTGCCGCCCCTGACGGAGAACGCGGCGCACGCGCGGACCGTCTCTGCTACTCTAGAGAGGTGGCAGAGGCGCGTCGACGGCTACGCTAAGATGGTGGACGAGCCGTCTGAAAAAAGTTTCGTGGCGCGCGTCCACGAGCCCCTGCGCAACAAGTTGCGGCCGCAGCGGGCCAAGAAAGTGTCATCAAAACCCAAGCTCGACCAGAAGGGCCCTTCGCGTAAAAAGCGTACGACCGCTAGAGGTTTTTATGGGCCCTATCCTTTTTCAAATATTGACGCCTTCGTCAAGGCGTATGAAGCCGCCTTGCCCCCCGAGGCGAAATTTGGTTCAATGGCGCCTCTCGACAAGGTCGAGAAGCACGAAACAATTCAAGGCATCGACTACCTGCGCCAGCGCGCGGTTATTGTTGCTGAGGACCATAAGACTGCGCTCTCCCTGAAGGGATTTCTCAAAGGCTACTTCCCGTTGATAAAACCGTCGGAGCTCGCGGAGTGCCTCGACGTGTGCTTGGCGCGGCGCGGCATCGGGCCGTTCGCCAGAAAGGGCGACGCGCGGCGAAACGAACTGCGGGCCGTCTTCGCGTTGTTCGACGTCGAGGGCCGCGGCGCCATCTCCATGGCCGACGTGCGAAGCGCGGTCAAGCGCGGCGGCGCCGGGCTGTCCGAGGCCGACGCGGGCGACTGGCCGAAGCTCGCCGAGGCGCTCGAGGCGAAGATCGGTTCTATCAATGACGGCGAGATCGGCTTCGAGGCGTTCGCGCGGATCGTGGAAGGGGCGCTGCGGCGAGATGACGAGGAAACTGATGTGTAACAAGAATTATATAACATATCGTGGCGGTTCCTACCACACATACCTCGTGCTCCCGTCCCCGACGGTACGGCGCTTTGCAGTACGGGATAGTATTTGTACATATTTTTATATATTCTTCTATTATGATATTCATTCCTCGGTTATTAATTAATTATTCATTCATTATTTGTACTCATGTATGTATACATATGTATATACATACCTATCAGGGTGGTCAAAAAACAGGTTTTGGTCCAGCTGCTAAAAAGTCATGGGAAAGGCCCAGCGCCGAAGAGCGACACGCAAAAGTCACCACGAGTCGGCTACGAGTCGCCCGGCGACGAATGATCGCGTCCTCGAGGCCACAGAGCCGCCTGCAGCGCCGCCTCATAAGCCGGACCTGCCCGATCGCCACACCCTGCACCGTGTCGAGTTCGGTCCGCTGTTTAATTTTTTCTTCGGCTGGCACACTGGTTTCCTCCTGTTTTCCCTGGGATCTGGATATCTTGGCGACATGACGATGGAGCACTTCGACGTCATGCACACAATAAACACGGAGGGGCTGCTCGCGCTACAAAGTTGGTCCGTGATGGCGGGCGTCGTCGTCGGCTTCGCCCTTGATTGGCTCTGGACGGTCGGCCTGACACTTGCGGGAAGTTTGTTCGTCTTCCCCGTCGCGTCGTTGGTTTTTTTGGCGGTGGCCTACAGCTATTCGTTGCCCTTAGTCGCCTCAGCTCTGCGGGGAGCGGTGTTGATTTCATCCTCCTTTACTGTTCATAGTTGCGATGCGCCTAAATCCCTTCGCCTCCTTGCAGCCGCGGGCCAAATTTATCTTATCTACTACGGCTTCTTTGGCGGTGTCTGGGCGCCGTTCTCGAGCGGCTACGTGGCTCCATTGGCTTTCCTGTTTGCTGTATATCTTCTAAGTCCCGTCGCAGGAGGTCGATTATTGGGTTCTGTCGCGCTGTTGCGCAACATGGGCATCCCGCGCGTCATTGGTTTCATTATGGTCTCAGCCTATTTTTTTACTAAAGCAATCTTTGACATCTTCTGTGAGCGCGTATGGGCTCAAATTCTTAAAGTGGACGATCCGGTTGTGGTTGAGAGATTTATTTTTCCCCCGATGCCCCCTTTTGCGAGACGGTCGCGATACGAGACCAACGCTGCTCGCGAAACAAGGTGGGCCTACTGGCGCCTATATCATAGCAAGCGCGGAAATGAAGCTGCTCTAAAGCGGCTCGGGAAGCTCGAGCGTCGCGCGTGTGACGTATGCGGTAGACAGGCTGACGTGGACGAGCCCCGATGCGCGGTGTGTGATGGCTGTGGGGACCGGAGGTACTGCGGTGTTCACTGCCAACGGGCAGACTGGACCAGGGACAAACATTCGGAAAAGTGCAGCGGGGCTAGCCGCTAGTTAGGTAAATGGTACAAAACTTATCAAAATTGCGCGGCGTAGCGGAGCCCCCCGGAATGGTACGGGTCAGGGGGCTCGTCGCTTGCGCTTGCGCTTCTCGGCGCGCTTGCGGTTCCGTGTTGAGGTGTCGATGCGCCCTGGCGGGCGGATTCCCGGCGCCTGTTCTCGCCGCGTGGCGTCGAACGACTCGCGGCGCTCACGCGGGCGGATCGCGGGCGCGTCGATGGCGTCGCGGCGACCGCACCGCGGCGCCCGCCGGCAGCACGCGCAGCCCAGAGCCGCCGGGTGCCTTACCAAAGGCCCGACGATGTCCGCGGGCGGCCGCACCCAGGGCCGCTTCTTCGTCACTTCGCGAAACGTCAGCGACACGCGGTCGCCGAGCGCCGACGCGTCGAGCACGCCGTGCTTCAGCCCGTAGCGCGCGATGCCGCTCATGACGTACATCGAACCTGCTCTCAATTCAACATCCACGGAACCGTCGCGGCCCGGCAGCTTCGTGTCGCTCGAACACGTCCTTACGAGAGTCAAGTGCGCCGTCGCGCCCAACGACACTCCCACAACGACGGGGCCCATCTTCGTCAACTGGTCGTGGTGGAACCTTATATAGCTCCGTTTCCCTTTGCGATACCGATTCGCGTAGAGGAAGTCCAATGCTGTTGGTAGATTTAACTGTTCGAGGAACGCTTCCAGGCCGGGGACTAGAGTCCTTCTCACTAACTCGGGCAGAGGTAAGGGCGCGACTTCGGCCGGAATCAGCTGCTCGCGATCGAGGAGCGTGACGCCGTGCGTGCAGACCTCTCTATTTTGCTCATGTTTTTTATCATTATCCTCCCACGCATAACAGTTCGGTACGGAACCCTTCGTTTCGTCGTAGCAGCTCGGGAAGACCGCGTCCTCGATATCAGAATGTGATACGTGTGAAGGTACGAACTCATCGACGACGTGGAACCCGACGTGCCTTAAATCGCCCCCCGCGAGGCAGTAGGGCCAGACCGTCCTTTTGACGAAATCATTAACGTCGTAGATTTGCAAAGTGCGCGCCGATTCCTCTCGCAACAGTGCTAGCTTCTCTCTTCTAGGATCGTTCGGCAGCGTCTGCGCCGGGCAGACGCGGTGCTTGTGCACCAGGGCGTTGAAGGCCGCGATCTTGGCCTGGAGGTCCCGATCTTCTATATCTATCACGGCCTGCTCGCCTTGCTCGCAAATACGTCCACTTGCGTGGCGCGTCGCGTAGAACGTCGACGCGCGGCCCTCGCGCGGCGGCCGGAACCAGTAGTAGTCGCCGTCGGTCATGGCATGGCCTGCGCGATGGAACGTCGAGCGCGCGTCGCGGTCGCGGCGGGCGTTTTGTGTGGCACCGTAGGCTCAAAAATTATAATCAGCGGTAGGTATCCTCTTCACGCGGAGATACTCCGTCCAGTTGAAAGAAGACCAGGTTTATTCTCATTGCCGTGTTTGCTGCTCTGTGCATGCAGACGCCGGTGGTTACCTTGTCTCGGCGGCTCCGAATTGCGGTGCTGCTTGCTGCAGGGTTGGAGGTGCGCTGCTGGTTACTAATGCGGCTTATCCGAACCGGTCTTTTCGACATGGCATTCACAAAATATATCAAGCGCATGGCTCGCACGCGGCACAGCAGCCCGCCGGTCGCCCGGGGGAGGGCGCACGACGCCTTCAATTGCGCTCGAAGCGAGCAGCAAGAGCAGCCGAATCGATGGACTAGCAAGTCGTCCGGGCAGGCCTCGTGTCTTTCCAGAGACCACTCCCACGCTTCTCTAGTGCACCACGGCAAATCTCCGCCCCGCACGAAGCGACGGGAGTTTTGGCATAGCGCCGCCGGCTTTGTCGCGCGCCGACGCCGCCTAGGGCGCGACCGGGCTGCCCGACGGTCACAGCTTTGCCGTACGTACGTAAACGCATCGCTGCGACCCGTCGGCTGCTGCCCGGCACGTATAAGGAGCCACCATGGCGACCACAGCGGCCGGCGCCGCAGACGAAGACGCGAAGAAGCAAGCGCACGACGACGCCGCCGTCGGCTCCATCTCGCACATCCTGCGGACCTTGTTTAGGGGGCTCTACGAGGAATCGGAAGCTCCTGAAGAGGAGGCCCCCGGCCCGGCGCCGGCCGAAGCCCCAGCATGTATCACCGATGAAGCTTCCGTCGCTTCTTTGAGGATGGAATTGCAAACCGAACCATGGTTCGATCCTAAACAACGAGGCGACCCGGAGGCTACGAAAGCATTGGCGCGGAAGCGAGCCCTGTCGATCGCCAAGCGCTTAGAAACGCAACGGACGCAAGCTGATGATTTGTTGCAATATATGAAAGTCCAAACCACGAAAGCCAAACGAGAGGACAAGGACGAAGAAATCTCCCTGAAGAAGATCGGTTTAATACAAAACGCGCACCTGCCGCAGCATCGCTCGACTTTGGAGTTACACAAGGGCGACATGGACCAGAGTGGTAAATTCGCCGATGCCTTGGTGACGGCCGAAGACCTGGTCGAGGCCAACAGGAGAGACGTGGCTATACAATCAGGTAATTATGCCCAAGCTGGTTTGACGATGCCGGGACCGCCTTTACTGGAAGAGGACGAGCCGGCATATTATAAACAAACAGCATCCTTCTCGAAGCGGTGTTCCAAGCTCTTACCCATCTCGCACGGTCCGAACGGCGGGAAAGCTACTGCGGAATTTGTGAAAACGTTCCTCGCAACTACTAAATCGCAAGGACCGGCTTTAGAAGAGAAAGTGAAGCAAGCCCGCAAGAAGCGCGTCGACCAGATGACCGGCGACGAGGAGTGGGCCAACGACACGATTTTGCGGGGCATGCGGGCGCGACAGCATTTTTTGCGGAACCCGCGCTACGATCCTTCTTCGTCAAACCATAACACTAGATTAACGGTGCGGCCCCCGTCACCGCGCATGATCGGCAAGGACGTCTACGTCGAGGGCGACCCGATGACCATTGCTTTTGACGCTACTTATGCGGCGTCCCAGCGGACGTTTGAGAAGACTCAGGCAGCTGTAGAATCGCACGATCTCATCGCCGTGGAGCCGGCCTCGTTGTTCTTCCGGAACCACGTGCCTGCTCAGATCTATGAACAAACATTGCATATCCGGAACACGTCGGCCATATCGCGCCGATTGCGACTGCTGAGACCGCAGTCACGGTACTTCAAGGTCGCTCGCGTCAAGTGGCCCGGCGGCGAGGACTCCGGCGTGCTAGCGCCGGGCATGTCCGTGCATGCATTGATCAAGTTCGCACCGGATAGTCTGAAGGATTTCGAGGACAGACTAGTTGTCGTGAGCGAGGAGGGCGAAGTTAACATAAGTCTGACGGGCAAGCGGGACCCTCCGATCCTGGACCTACCCTCGGTACTAGATGTGGGCGCGTGTTTGTTAGGAGGAGTCATAGAAAAAACTTTCCGCGTGACGAATTCCGGCGGTCCCGGTGCGTTCCGACTGCTCGACGTTTGTGATCGAGACGTCCCGGAGCACTTGATCACGTACCAGGAAGTCAGGACGGGCGCGTTTGTCGTGGGTCCCGCTAGGTTCTCATTAGATACTGATCAGTCAATGGATGTGCATGTCACGTTCAAGCCCGAGGAGGGACGACCGTCGTACGACGCGTCCTTTTTACTAATTGACGAGGAGCAGCACGCGACGACCTATTCTCTGAAGGGCCGGGCCGAAGCTATTCAAGTGCGCGTCGCGGGCTTGGACGGCGTCGATCTTGATTCACATGGTGATTATAAGCCTCCCAGCACCCTAAACTTCGACTCGGTCTGCCTCGGGTCGTCGTCCGTACATGCTCTTGATTTAGTGAATGACGGTGAATTATCATTGTCGTATGAAGTACGTATCGACGGCGCGTCGTCCTTTACGTACGCGAATGGCGACGGCACCATACACAGTGAACAAAGATCGAACGTGGCCGTGACGTACGCGCCTTCAGCAAATGAGGCGTCTCAGGCCATACTCCGAATTATGATAAAACAAATACCAAGGCAGGCCGCCGGTATCACTAGTGACGAGGATGTAGTGGATATCGAGGTCTACTCCTGTGTTCTTAGAGGTAGGGGCCATCTAGCCAGATTAGAAATAGCACCGGGCGCCGTCGCCTTCCCTCGAGCTATGTATCTCGGTGAAAGTGTAGCATCAAATGCCGTCACAGTAACAAATCCCACCGACTCGACGGTGGCGTGGGCTTTTGATGACGACCAGCGTATTACTGTAGACGGTTCCTTGGTGCAAGACGCGCCCCAAGCCTCATTAGTCTGGCTGCCGTCGGGCGGCGTCCTCGAACCGGGTCAATCCGTAGATACGGTAGCGACGGCCACTGGTTTGGAAGTAGGTTCGTACGACGTGAGCTGCGGTCTTGATATTGCCGATCAACTAAGTGGAGAGACGCACGAGGCGGGGCGAGTGGTGGTGCGTGGTGAAGTCGTTCAAGCTCGGATAAAATTCGAAGTACCAGAGGTCGACTTGGGACTCATCGCGGTCGGCGGCCGGAAGGACTACGAGCTAAAATTCACAAACACGGCGCCGTGCGGCGTCGACGTCGAGTTTCAGGAAGTAAAGGATCATCTGGAGGCCGTCGTGGACGATGATGATTCCGTGGATGAAGGAGCCACGGCGACGGTGGCCGACACCTTTGTGATTGACCACGACGCGTGTGCGTTGGAGTTCGATCCACCACTCCTCAGAGTGCCGGCCAAGTCCCAAGGTAGCATTTTAGTAAGATGCGCGGCGGGGAAGCGACCGGAACGATTGCGATCCGTCGTGACGTGCGCGTGTAATCGAGCCCCGCCCCAGTACATGAGTATTAGAGGAGAAGTCCAAGCGCCCAAGGTGTATCTCAAGGAGACCTCCGTACCCTTAGGGGTGGTGTACGTGGGAGTACCTGTCGAAAGGGAGTTAACTCTGGTGAATCTCTCTAACCTTAGTACAAAATTCAAGTTCGAGCGGCCGGGCGGGTCATCACCAGCTTTCACTTTGGTGTTTGAGCCGCGTTCAGGAGAATTGGAGGCCAAGCAGGTGTTGACTATTAGTATAAAGTATACGGCGTTGACGGCGGGCGTCGTCGACGAAGTATTGGGCTGCAAGGTCTTCGGGTGCGCCCTGCCGCTCGGGTTTGGACTGAGGGCCACGTCCAAGAATGCGGTCCTGGCCTACGAGTTATTGGGAGAAGACCAAGCACCACCTCCACCATTATGCGACTCCAACTGTGTCCAATTACCGGATGATGTGCAACTACCGCTCGTGCCGCCGCTACCTTCCCTAAACTTCGGTACTGACGTGCCCTTGTTCGAGCGACGGAAGATGAGGATTGCCGTTCGTAATTTGAGCGCGATTGCGGCGCCATTCAACTTCGGCTGCAGTAAATATGCGGCCGAGCCGCTACCACCAGAAAAACCAAGGTTCGCGAATAAAATTTTGGACGATGCACATGACGTGGAGAACACGTTCCAATCGGAAATGGGTCGCACGTACGTCTCGAAACGATTGCTGCAGAAGCAGGATGCTATTGTGCTCAAGAAGGGCAACGGCGTGGCCTTTGCCGTCGAACCCAGCACTGGTCAATTGACCCCGTGGGGCGTCACGGTCGTCACAGTGACAGCATTCAACAACATGGCGTCCCTATTTAATGATACGTTGTCGTGCGAGGTCGAGACGGCGCCGACGGCGTCGATACCCGTATCGCTAGCCGTGATAGGGTGCCCTTTAACTTTCAAGCAGGAGTGCGCCGGCTTGGATCTTACATTGACGAAGTGCAAGGACCCCTTGTTAAGGTTTGGGCAGGTCACAATAGGCCATCCCTCACCTCCAGAGAAACACATAAAAATTAGAAACGACGGGCCCGTCGACGCGCGCATTTCTTGGCGTTTAGTAAGGGAAGGCCTCGAGAATGCGGAGAGGCAATTCGTGGAATGCAAGCTCATGGCGACCGAGGACGGCGTTTCCACGTCAATCGAGTGGAAGGAGCCCGAGGTCTACGAGTCGCCCTTTACAATAAAACCCATCAGTAGAGTCGTCAAGGCCCACGCGGAGGCGACGTTCACCATGATTTTACCATCCGAATCCGCTACTGGTTTACCGGGACGCATCGCGTCCGTCGCCGTGGCCGACGCGGAGTGGGTCTCGAAACTACAAGTGTCGTCTCACGATTCTGTGGAAGGCGAGACGGCGAAGCTCACGTCGCTGGGCGCCTTACACGTCCAGCAGTCCATGAAAAGTAAATTGTTAAAAGCAAGGAAGGCTCCGAAGGTCACGGCCGCTCTGAAGGTCTGTCTTGATGCTAGGATCGTGGAACCCTCATTACGCATGGAAAAGGCGTCCAAGGACTCTAACATAAGGTTCAGAACGTGGTCCACGGTAGAAGTCCCGCCCGTGACCCTCGTAAAGCACGCGCCCAAGTCCCTGCACCGCAAGACGTTGCTGCGGAACCCGCTGGACGTGCCCGTCTCGTGCTCTTTATCATTGGACGGGCCCTTTTCCTTATTGAGATGCTTCTCGACGGAGTTTTCCTACCTCGGTGCGGACTGTACGTCTACAATTAAATTGTTGCCAGCTCAAAGCATGGGCGTCGATATCTTGTTCGAGAAGCCGCCCTTACCAGTGAGAATAGGCGACAAGCCCTTGCCTTTGGAACACTTGTACCGGGGCGACCTGAACATCACCTTTTCGACCGGCCAGTTACAAACCATAGCCCTGAAGGCTACCGTGTTATCACCTACTTTGGTGGTCCAACCGGCGGCGCACGCCTTTGGCGTGGTAAGGGCCGACAAGACGTCGGAATTGCTCGTCTTCTTGTCGAACCCGACGGAGGTCGAGGCGTCCTGGTCTTTGAGGCACGTGCCGCGGGCTGGTCGGAAGAACGACGGAATTGACGGCGACAACGCGAGACCCGATTCCGTCGACGACCCGTCGGTCTTCGCCTTCGAGCACGTGGCCGGTGTGGTCGCCGGGCCGTCGTTACCCCTAAGGTCGGCGGCGGCCTGCGTGCCCAAGGATTTTATGCGAGACGCGCGGCCGCTCTTCGCGCAGACGCTCACGGAGCTGTCCTGGAAGGGCGCGGCGGTCACGTCGCTCGCGCAGTCGTTAACGAACGACGCGGCCGCGAACCCGCGGGCCCCGAAGCCCGTCCGCGTGACCTTCTCGCCGAAACGCAACGTGCGCTACTGCTCGCGCTTCCGCTTCGACGTGCACCACGGCGAGTCGTTCGACGTCGTCCTCCAGGGCGCGGGGTCCTACGAGGAGGACGTTTTGCCGCGCCACGTGCGCGTGGCCGGGCGTAATAGGTGATAGATAGTATTCTTAGTCGAGTAGTCGCATTTGCGTCTAGAGGCGGAGCGGAATCCGTGGTAGAAGGGTCGGAGAGACCATGCGAAAACGTGTGTGGTGTCAAGGAGGAGGACGAGGCAAGGACGCGGCGGCCGCTTCTTCCGCCTGCAGGGAGGCCGCGAGCGCCGCGTCGGTATCCCTGCTCAGCGCCCGCGCGATTGCAAGGTCGCTGGTCGTATCCGAGGCCGCACGGGCGGGAGCGGGCGGGGGCGCGATTTGTCGCTCGGTCTCGCGGCGTTCCGCCTCGCCTCGTCTCGTGAGCTCGCCCAAAAGCACGGGCTGCCTGCAAAACGGACACGGGGCTCGATTCGTCGGCGGTTTCGTCCGACACACTTGCGTGATGCACTTGCGGCAGAAGCTGTGGTTGCACCTTGTCCACACGCGGTCGCTGTACGGCTCGAGGCAGATAGAGCACTTGTCCTCCGACTGTTGCCGTTGGCCGAGGCGCGGCGGAGCGAGTGGTAGTGGTAGGAACTCTTTGAGCAGCGCGACGACCGCGTGATGTTGCCGACGCTTCGCAATGGCCAGCGGCGTCGCTCCGTTCTCCGCAGCCCGGTCAACCTCCGCGCCTTTGTCCAGCACCAGCCGTGCCAACTCGACGTGGCCTTTGTAGCAGGCGAGCATCAGCGGCGTCAAACCGTTCTCATTCGCCCGATCGACCTCCGCGCCTTTGTCCAGCAACAACCGCGCCGCGTCGACGTGACCCTCAGCACAGGCGACGAAAAGCGGCGTCTGACCGTTCTCCGTCGCCCGATCGACCTCCGCTCCTTTCTCCAGCAACAGCCGCGCCGCATCGACGTGGCCGTTCCTGCAGGCGATCCACAGCGGCGTCGCACCGTCCTTCTTCGTCTGGTCGACCACGGCGCCGCCGTCGATAAGATGCGTCATCGCGTCGACTTCGTCTGTCTTGGCCGCGGCGTGCAGCGGGTAAATATGCTCCTCGAGCAGCGCAACGATGGACGAGTGGCCTTTCTTCTGCGCGATGCCCAGCGGCGTCGCCCCGTTCTTCGCAGCCCGATTAAAATCCGCCCCGCTCGACAGCAACAGCCGCACCGCGTCGACGTGGCCCTTCCAGCACGCGATCATTAGCGGCGTCCAGCCGTTCTTGTTCGCCCGGTTGACCTCCGCGCCGTAGTCCAGCAACAGGCGCACCGTGTCGACGTCGAGGCCGTGCTGACAGGCGATCATCAGCGGCGTCGCACCGTTCTTCATCGCCCGGTCGACCTTCGCGCCTTTGTCCAGCAGCAGCCACACCGCGTCGACGTGACCGTTCTGGCAGGCGACGTACAGTGGCGTCGCACCGTTCTGATTCGCCCGATCGACCTCCGCGCCTTTGTTCAGCAACAGCCGCGCCGCGTCGACGCGGCCCTGCTGGCAGGCGATCCATAGGGAAGTTGTGCCGTCCTCTTTAGCTTGGTCGACCGCAGCGCCGCCGTCCAGGAGTTGTGTCATCGCCTCGACGTCGCCGGTCTTGGCCGCGGCGTGCAGCGGGTAAATATGCTCCTCGAGCAGCGCAACGATGGACGAGTGGCCTTTCTTCTGCGCGATGCCCAGCGGCGTCGCACCGTTCTCCGCAGCCCGGTCGACCGCCGCGCCTTTTTCTAACAACAGCCGCACCGCGTCGACGTGGCCGAAAAAGCAGGCGGCGAACAGCGGCGTTGTGCCCCTCCTCGCCGCCCGATCAACCGCCGCGCCTTTGTCCAGCAGCAGCCGCGCCGCTTCGACGTGGCCCACTTGGCAGGCGATGTACAGCGGCGTCTTACCGTCCTTCATCGCCCGGTCGACCACCGCGCCTTTGTTCAGCAACAGTCGTGCCGCGGCGACGTGGCCCTCCTGGCAGGCGATGACCAGCGGCGTCCGACCGTCCTCGTCCGCCCGATCGACCTCGGCGCCGCCGTCGATGAGCCGCGCCATCGCGTCGACGTCGCCGGTCTTGGCCGCTGCGTGCAGCCGGTAAATATGCTCCTCGAGCAGCGCAACGATGGACGAGTGGCCTTTCTTCTGCGCGATGCCCAGCGGCGTCGCACCGTTCTCCGCAGCCCGGTCGACCGCCGCGTCTTTGTCCAGCAACAGTTTTGCCGCGTCGACGTGACCCTTCCAACAGGCGATCAATAGCGGGGTCCAGCCGTTCTCCTTCGCCCGATTGACCTCCGCGCCATTTTCCAGCAAGAGCCGCGCCGCTGCGACGTGACCGTTCTGGCAGGCGACGTACAGTGGCGTCGCACCGTTCTGATTCGCCCGATCAACCTCTGCGCCTTTGTTCAGCAACAGCCGCGCCGCCTCGACGCGGCCCTGGTGGCAGGCGATCCATAGGGAAGTTCTGCCGTCCCCTTTAGCTTGGTCGACCGCAGCGCCGCCATCCAGGAGTTGTGTCATCGCCTCGACGTCGCCGGCCCGACTTCGGAGCAGCGCGGTGGATTGGCAGCCCGGAGCAGCTGCCCGCGTGCGGTGGGCTGCCCGTCGACCGGACGGGCTTGCCTAGGGTGGATTATACGTCTCCCAGCTCCTGCGCCCGAGGGTTTATACTTCTGTGCCAGTATATAACATACTAGATATTTATGCAAAAGTCGCGTTTTTGGGCGTGTGTGTGCCTAAACCGACGCTAGCGTTCGCGTGGCCGGGCGTAATAGGTGATAGATATTCTTAGTCGAGTAGTCGCAGCTGAAGCAGAACAGGCGGAATCCGTGGTAGAAGGGTCGGAGAGACCATGCGAAAACGTGTGTGGTGTCAAGGAGGAGGACGAGGCAAGGACGCGGCGGCCGCCTCTTCCGCCTGCAGGGAGGCCGCGAGGGCTGCGTCGGTATCCCTGCTCAGCGCCCGCGCGATTGCAAGGTCGCTGGTCGTATCCGAGGCCGCACGGGCGGGAGCGGGCGGGGGCGCGACTCGTCGCTCGGTCTCGCGGCGTTCCGCCTCGCCTCGTCTCGTGAGCTCGCCCAAAAGCACGGGCTGCCTGCAAAACGGACACGGGGCTCGATCCGCCGACCGGTTCGTCCGACACACTTGCGTGATGCACTTGCGGCAGAAGCTGTGGTTGCACTTCGTCCACGCGCGGTCGTCGTACGGCTTCAGGCAGATAGAGCACTTGTCCTCCGACTGTTGCCGTTGGCCGAGGCGCGGCGGCGCGAGAGGTAGTGGTAGGGACTTCTCGAGCAGCGCGACGATGGACGAGTGGCCTTTGTTTCTTGCGCTGGACAGCGGCGTCATACCGTTCTCCGCAGCCCGGTCGACCGCCGCGTCTTTGTCCAGCAACAGTTTTGCCACGTCGACGTGGCCCTCCTGGCAGGCAATATAGAGCGGCGTCGCACCGTTCTGATTCGCCCGATCGACCTCCGCGCCTTTGTTCAGCAACAGCCGCGCCGCGTCGACGTGACCCTCAGCACAGGCGACGAAAAGCGGCGTCTGACCGTTCTCCGTCGCCCGATCGACCTCCGCTCCTTTCTCCAGCAACATCCGCGCCGCGTCGACGTGGCCGTTCCTGCAGGCGATCCACAGCGGCGTCGCACCGTCCTCCTTCGTCTGGTCGACCACGGCGCCGCCGTCGATAAGATGCGTCATCGCGTCGACTTCGTCTGTCTCGGCCGCGGCGTGCAGCGGGTAAATATGCTCCTCGAGCAGCGCAACGATGGACGAGTGGCCTTTCTTCTGCGCGATGCCCAGCGGCGTCGCCCCGTTCTTCGCAGCCCGATTAAAATCCGCCCCGCTCGACAGCAACAGCCGCACCGCGTCGACGTGGCCGTGCTCACAGGCGATCATCAGCGGCGTCGCACCGTTCTTCATCGCCCGGTCGACCTTCGCGCCTTTGTCCAGCAGCAGCATCGCCGCGTCGACGCGGCGGTTAACGCAGGCAACGTATAGCGGCGTCATACCGTTCTTGTTCGCCCGATCGACCTTCGCGCCTTTGTCCAGCAGCAGCCGCGCCGCTGCGACGTGACCGTTCTGGCAGGCGACGTACAGCGGCGTCTCACCGTACTCATTCGCCCAGTTGACCTTCACGCCTTTTCTCAGCAACAGCCGCGCCGCATCGACGTGGCCGTTCCTGCAGGCGATGTACAGCGGCGTCTCACCGTACTCATTCGCCCGGTCGACCTTCTCCATTTCTTCATCAACGCACAAAGAGAAAACGCAAATGTCCTTCATCAACGCACAAAGAGAAAACAACGTATATGGCACGAAGCAAAGAAGGCAGACGAGGGGCATGACGCACTTTTCCGCGGCGGCCGTCGTGAAAGTGAGACCCTCGTCGTCCGGTGGCGGCCTCGGTGGCGCCGCTCGGCACCAGTCTTCGCAACAGCCGTCGGCAATATTATTCATCAACGCAAAACACCAGCAACAGCAGCACATGCAGAGAAGGACGATGAGGGAGACGACCCACCCCGTCGGTCTTGTGTGTGGCTTATCGTACTTAAGGTGCTTGGAGACCATGTCGTCGCAGGCCAGAGCGAGAGACCCCGCCGCGAGGCCTGGAGAGGAAAGCTCGAGGGCCGCCGGGTCGTAGGTGGCGGGCGGCGTCTTCTCGCAGAGGCACACGTTACGGCGGTGGCCGTACGTCACGCGGGCGTCCAGTTTTCCTCCGTCTTTGTCGTTCTTCTTTGTCTTCTCTTTGGTCGACGGCGGGACCGGGTAGCGGCCGGTGCCGCAACTCTTGTCGTCGAGGGCCTCGCGGCGGGTGATCCAGCCGGTCTTCCACTTCTTACAATCGCGGCCGTAATCGCCTTTTTTCCAGCACTTCCTCTTCGTATTCCATTCGTTGTCCAGCAGCACCGTGCACTGCTCGCTGATGGGGCAGGCGCCGCCATCGTCGGGGCGGCCCGGGTACCACAGGCCGGCGTCGGCGGCGACGGTGCCATTGACGCCGGGGCAGCTGTTGAACGACGCGGCGCCCGTTCCGCCTCCGGAAAAGTGGCCCGTCCAGCCCCACCAGCCCGGCTGCCAGAAGCGGTCTCTCAGCAACTCCAGCGCGAGCTTCGTCCGCGGGCACGCCAGCGTGCCGCCGCCCACCACGTCCGGGAAGAGGTCGCGGCAGATGGCGACGCAGTCCGAGATGTTGCTCGCGGAGCGGTCGAGGTCGTAGCGATAGAAGTCTTCCGCCCACACGTAGGCATCCGCGTACGTCGCCCAGGCCGTGCCCTCGACGGAATTCACGCCGTAGAGCTTCCGTTGAAACCGGAAACCGTGGTAGCGCGGCGGCGGCGGCGCGCAGGCCGCCCAGTAGTCGCCCCCACTCTCCGCGACGTGCCCGCCGTAGAGCCCCGGCGACCGCGCGAGGTAGCGCAGAAAGTAGGGCCGCGTGGCGTCGTCGCACCTATCCATGTCCCATGGTTTTCTATTACCGTTCCAATGTAAGGCGAAGGCCTCGTCCAGTGTCTTGGTGTCGCGGTCCGTGTAGACCCACGGCGCCACGCCCAGGCCCTGCTCGAAGCGCACTTCGCCACTGTCTTCGAAGCACTCGACATCACCCCTCAAAGCTAAAAATGGTAGGCCCAGCCCGAACGCGAGGGAGTCGCTGGGCCAGAACGCGCGCCGGTAGTTGGCCTCGAGCCAGCCATGATATTTCGCCGTGAGCTGGTGCTGTTTCCACGTGTCGAGATCGATCACCACGAGGCCAAAGTTCCAAGCGCGGGTGTTATATAGCTCGTCGACGAACGCGTCGCCCGCGTCAGGTGAAGGCTCGGCAGGGAACGCGTCCTCGCCGATCGCGGCGAGGCGCCGGAGGAGCCGCGGCCACGATGCACGCCTCGCGACGGCTTGGTCGGTGCGTGCCACCTCGGCGAACCAGTCGCGCGCGTCGCCCGGTATGCACTCCGTGGCGCCCTCGTGCGAGCATCCGGGGTCATCCTGCGCCGACAAAACGCCAAAGCCGAAGTAGGGCACGTCCGCATACGTCAAAGTGGTCGAGGACTAAAACTCACCCTCGTGCCCGACGTACCACTGTTGGCACCCGGCCGCCACGGCCTTATTTCGTGTGGTCAAGGTCGTGACGTCTCCTTGGACGATGACGTCGTCGTCGAGCATCACGAGCGTAGAAGCGGGCGCGTAGAAGCGGGCGTGATTATACGGCGACGTATGCTTCTCGTCGCGATCCCAGGGCACGACGGGTACGGCGTACGTAGATTTCGACCGCTCGACCTTAGAGAGCGCCGTCGTCCACATGGGCTCCTCCCCGACACGCGTCCGGACTTGCGCTTCAAACTCCGCGAGGCCGTACGGCAGCACGACCGCGCCGTCGCACGCCGTTTCTGTTGCCGTCGCGAGCGTCTGAGCGGCCTCTTTTGTGGGAGCGAGGAGGTGAAGGCGCAACGCGGTCGGCTGGCTGTTATCACAGACCGAGTTCAAGACTGCCGCCGACGCCGCCATGCGGTCCGAGGCCAAGAACACGTCGGTGGTGGCGGTCGCCGCCGCGGCTAGCGCGAGTATGAACCTCATGTGGCTGCCCAATCCTCACAGTTCCTTGGGCTGCCCACTCACTGTCTCCCCTCGTGCGATGGGCTGCGTTTTTTGGCTTGCTAGTACAGGCTGCTAACACACGCACGCGGGATTTAAGCGGCTGCAAATTGCAATCCGCGAGATCCAGAGCACACACTGAATTTCACCAAAAATAACTATTCAAGTAATTAGGGTTTTCTCGAACTCTCAATCTGCAATTTTGAGTGCTTGTGGCGGCCTAACCGCCGCTAGCGTTCGCGTTATCCAGTGCTTTTGAAGCCTTGGCTCGCGGCGCAAAACGCTGTACGCAAGCGAGCGCGCCAGCCACGCCACATCAAAAAGACTCGATGGCCCAGCAGCTCTACACCGTCACCGGCAAGCACGGCGCCGTCGTGCGCGCCGGCCCGGAGACGAGCTCCGCCCTCGTCGGCACCGTGCCGGTCCTCGAGGTCGTCAAGGCGCTGGAGGCTACGACGAACTCGAAGGGCGTCGAGCGGTTGAAAATAGAAGGCGCGGCGATGACTGGCTGGGTGTCGCGGCGGCTGCTGGAGAAAGCCGACGCCAAGAAGTCCAAGGACCTGAAAATAGCCGTGGAGTGGAAGGACGGGGACACGACCCTCAAGCGGCTCGCCGTCGAGGCCGAGCCGGGGGCGACGGCCCACGACGTCAAGCTGAGCCTCGAGGCGATGACGCGCGTGCCCGCGGCGCGGCAGGTCTTAGTTAAAAATGACGTGGAATTGCCGGACCACGAGGGCGTCGCCGCGGCCACACTCATCATGCGCGAGGAAAAGCAAAAACCGCGGCCCGACCTGCAGACCGTGCGGGGTGGCGAAACCTTGGCGGCCTTCCTGCCGCCGCCTGCCAAGGTCGTCGAGGAGGAGGCCGAGCCCCTGCACCTGCGGTCGCACGGCACGCTCTGCGGCGGGTCGTTCACGACGCGGAAGAGGACGCCGTTCTACGCGGCGCGGCACTTGAACGCGAAGGCCGCGGCGCCGTCGGACGACGCCGTCGAGGCGCGCGCCGCGGCCGTCGACGTCGACGCGGCGCCGTCGGACGACGACGACGACATCGACGAGCCTATTGTGGAGGAGGTCGACCGGCCCCGCTGTCAGGTGCCGCCGCCGCCGCCGCCTCCACGCGAGAAGAAGCCGATCGTCGTCGACGTGACGGCGCCGAAGGCGCCCGTCACGACGCAGGACGTGCGCGCGGCCGGCGGCCCGCCGCCCCAGAAGGCCGTCTGGAACTCCAAAGATACGTGGGAGGAGCGCGACGTGACGGCCTGGGCCGTCGAAAGGTTCGCGGAGTTGTTGCAGGAGGAGGTATGTCAGGTGTCTCCCTCGATCAACTTAAAGTTCCGCGACGTGCTTCGAGTCGTGGGCGACGCCCAGGTCGTCGTGTTTCAAAGGCGGACGCGGTACTTGTTTGATTTTTCCGAGGTTGAAATCGCGTGGGCCGCAGAGAACAAAGAGGGGAGTCCCTTGTTCAACGGCCGCTGTATTATCCGCGACGCGGCGTCGGGCGCCGCGGCGGCGGATTTGGAGCTCGAGACGGCCTTCGCGCCCGCTACCGATGACGAGAAGGCCGTGAACGACTTTCTGCGGCGGCGCGGCGAGGGCTTAAACTTAAGGGCGTCGGTCGGCGCCGCGCTCGAGCGCTTCGAGGCCGAGTTCGTGCGGCTGTCGGGCGAAGGAGTGGCCTTGGCCGTCAAGTTTCCCAAATCCAAGCGCCTCGCGAAGCGGTGATTGGACGCGGCGACGGCCTATTTTGTGATTAACATTATATCAAACTTAGAGTGCGAGCGCTTCCTCGAGCTCCTTTCTGGCAGCAGCAATATTCGTCTTCCGCCGGTCGCGCACGACGTTCGCCGCGGCGCCCGCCGGCGGCGGCTTCGTCGGGACGGCGCGCTCGGGCGGCGGCGGCGGCGCGGGCGCCGCCGACGGCTCGACGCGCGACGTGACCGGCTCCTCGTCGTCGTCGACGGCTAATAGAGAGAGGAGCTCGTCGTCGTAGCCCAGGTCCTCGGCCACGTTGTAGGGCGTGCGCCTCATGTGGTCCCGCAATGTTTTGTCCGCGCCGGCCCCGATAAAATATTTGACCGTCTCGAGGCTGCCGCTCGACGCGGCCAAATGCAGCGGCGTCTCGTCCCAGGTGTTTGGGGCGTCGAGCGCGAAGTCGTGCGACGCGATGAGCATGGCCGATGCTTGCGGGGCGCCACTGCGCGCTGCTGTGTGTAGGGCAGTATCACCACAAGGGGTGCGCGCCGGCACGGCCGGTGCGGAGTCGACGAGCGCCACGACGCACTTTTTGGAATCGTGCGCGGCGGCGACGTGGAGCGGCGTCAAGCCTTCCGCATCCTTGAAGTGGATGCTGTAGGGGCAGCGCTCGAGGCAGCCCCGGGCTGTTTCCACATCATCGACTTTGCACGCCTCTACCAGTTCGGGCCCGTTCTTTTTCAGGGTGAAGTTGCCGCCGACGAACTGCATTCGTACGGTGCTCCTGGGCGTCGATGAAGCGCGAGGCAGCCCTGCGGTCGTTTGCGAAGCGACGAGGCAGCCCTGGGCGCTCGTAGACGCTGCCGGTTGGCCTGTTAGCCTAGTGTGTAAATACGCTAGAGAACTTGGAAAGGAATTACGACACGCTACAGCATGCTTGTTGTGTCCCCGTGGCCTGCTTCGGCGGTAATAAACCGGACGGCGCGAACGGCTGGGCGGGCGGCGGGTCGTAGACGTCGCCGTTGTAGCCCGGCACGTCGAAGCCTCTAGCCCTCGTAAAGACGACGCGCCAGCAGCACGGGTCGCGAAACCCGTCGCCCCAGTCCGTGTGCTTGTAGTCGTCGTGGGCCAGGACGCCGCGCCGGTCCCCGAGCTTCGAGAGGCCGAACAAGTATTCCACGTCCGGTTGCACGTTGGCGAACTGCAGCGTGATCTGCCTCGCCCCGAAGTAGTCGTAGCGAAACCCGAAGCCCTGGCGCTGGCGGTGGTCGAGCTCGCCCTGCGTCGGGCCGCCGCGATGCCCGATCGTCGCGTCGTCCGGTCTCGCATCTAATAAGTCCACATGGTGCGGCCCGCCTCCATCTCTATCTCTCCGGCGATTCCGCGCCCTCGCTAACGCCAGACACTTGCCGAGCTTCTTGGGAACGACGTCCGTCGCGGAGCCGCCTCTTCTCGGCTCCACCCTACCCCACGGTAACTGCAAGTTGTGTGCCGTCTCCGTGCTATGTAATGTGACGACAATCCTCGCGCGCCGATCCGGGCCGACCACGGCCGTCGTGATGTGATCGAAGGCGTCGTTCGTGAGCCAGCGGCCGTCGCGGCCCCCAATCCTCACATCGGCCCCATTCACCTGGATCGCCCGGACCCACTGGTGCAAGCACGGCCCGCAGGGCGTGTGCGGGCCACCTACTAATGCTACCCTCAATCGATCGCCCGGTGCGAGCTGCGCATCTCGCACGCGCCGCATCGCATCCAGCGGTCGCTCGCCAGCTACCAGTCTAATGACATCAGACTCCAGCCCGACCGCTTTGCCGACACGTCGCACGATAGCCTCGCAGCGCCAGCCCGGTCGAGCATTCACGGGAATCGTCATTCCGGTCGGGGTCCTGCAAATAACATGGATCGGCGGCGCGCCCGGCTGGTCGTCGTCATCTTCCGAGTCGTCGTCGCCCGTATCCACGAGCGTCGCGATCTGCGGCTCCGTGCGCTGCGGCGAGTCGCTTCCGTGGGCCCACAAGGTCGAATCCGTGTTCGGGGGCGCGACGAACTTGCGAGCCGGCGGCGGCGCCCGTCGCTTCGGCGGAGAACCGGCCTGGGACATGGAAGAGCCAGGTCTATCTTGTTGAAAGAAGGCCGAAGCTGCTGTTTTTGGGGAGTCTGGTGTTTTCGCCCTTTCCCAGTCCTTCGCCGACCGCGCTTCGGCATCGAGGATGTCCTGGCGGCTCTTTGATCTCGATCTCTCTCTCGGAGGCGGCCTACGACCGCCGCTCCGATCTTGGGGTCTCGGCCGTCGGTTCGGCGTTCGTTCGCTCCGATGGCGCGACGTGTCCGCGTTCTTCGGCGTTTTGCCCGTCTGGCGCTTGTAGTCTTCTAAAGATTGTTCATAAGCTAGTTCGGCCGCCGTGGGCCCGTCCTCGTCGTCATACGAGGGGGGCGGTCGACGTCTCCTATATTCCCTTGAATCTCTGTGAGTGCCGGCCGTACCTTGCCTCGAATAGTCGTCCCGGTAATCTCGGGACCGACTCCGACGTCGACGACGATCGTCCCGGTCGTCATAGTCGCGCCGGGAACGCCTTCGACGACGATCGTCGTCATAGTCTCGATCGCGTCTAGAACGTCTCCGATCGCGGTCGTCGCGCCGAGAACGCCGTCTGCGAGGAGAATAGGACTCCTCCCGCAACTTCACGCCGCGCGCCTCCGCCGCCGCGAGCTGCTCTCTGAGATATTCATTTTCATCCTCCAGAGCCGTTTCTCGCGGCGTTCGGGGCGGTGCTTGCGGCTCATAACGTCTTCTTGCGGATCTAGGAGCGTCGCCTCTCGCTGACCGTGGGCCGTACTCGCTGTATTCGGACCTCGCGGAGTGTAAGGAGCCTCTCCCACCCCCGTACTCGGAATACTCACTCACTTCATCAGACGGCCGTCGGTCGGGCCCCTTGTTCGTCTCTCGCTTAATACGGGCCCAGGGGTCCCTCTGCCTCTGGTTCTGGGAGCTGCCGGGTCGCGGTCCTACTGAAGCATAAGACGCTACAGAAGATGCATCATCACTATTGTTGCCGCCCGACGACGCGTTCGACGACACTCGAGGCCTTGTGGGGTTGTAGCCCACCCGACCGGAATTGGGCCGCCGCGCTTCGACCGCCGTCGTCGCGGTCGACGCCACACTGAAGTTCGACTCGGAGTCGCTGCGCTCGCCCCAGTACTGACTATTGGGCGCGCAGTTCCGGCAGAAGCCGTCCCGTCCCGCGGGATTGACGCAACCACTCCGAATGCACCGGTACTGCCGCGGTCTACCACTCATACTTCGTGTACTTCTGACAGACGCCATGCTCGCGACGGAACCGGCATCGCTCCGGTTGTCGTCATCTTCATCTTTGGAACGCGCACGGCTTCCGCGTCTAGGCGTCGGCGGCTCCGTGTCGATCGGCGGGGGCTTGACGAGGCCTGACGGTAGGCCGCCTTGCCTCGGTGTCGTATCAAACGAATTCCGCCCGGCCCTCGCCATGGCCGAGGGCGGCTCGCGCCTAGGCCCCTGGCTGCGGGTCGAGCGGGCGCTGTCCGGCTGGCCGGAGTAGGCGTCAGGTCTTCTCCCGTGGCCGCGCGCGGAGCCGGCCCGTATGGTCGGCGGGTTCAGGCGTCTTGCCCTCGTTCTAGGCGTCTCGAGGGGGTTTTGTTGGGCGGCCGTGGCCATGGTTCTTGTTAGAGCGCTGCGGCTATCCTTTTCAGCCAAGGGCTCGTGCTCGGGTTGAATCAACTAGGTTCCAGCCGCGGCCGCTGGGGTCGCGGGTGCTGAGGCAGCGGCGGCGCTCTCCTGGCCCGGGGGCAGCCTTAGAAGGGCGCTCCCATCGTGCGCGCACCGGAACAGTGTCGCCTCGATGTGGTCGCGGGGTCTGGCGCTGCAGCGGCACTGAAAGTACTAGGGTAAGTCTTTGAATTAAGACCCCTCGGAGGGCTAAGAGCAAAGCCCGGGACCCGGGCCGGGCCTCGCCGGCACAGATTCGACGTCTGCGAGGACCTGACTTCGACGACGGCTGCCCCAGGCTGCCCCAGGCTGCCCCTACCTATCCTACGAGTCGCCGCGTAGCCTTCCTGGCCCCGTGGGGCCTCTATATAGAGGCACAGAGGCTTGGAAGGGGCGTAGCGGACCTAGGTCGACGTTATCAATTCGATCAAACTTAAAACGACGGGGAGGAGAGGGGACAAATGTGACTACCAGAGCCGCCCGCTCGACCGCGGTCTCTTTTCAAACTCGAGCTGGCGCGCCGCCGCGGCCGGGCTGTCCGGCGACCGCCTCTGCAGATGCCGCCGCCGCGCGTCCGGCGTCTTCGGGAGCGACTTGGCCCGGAACGCTCTAGCTCGACGACTTCGCTCCGTCCGCTCCGACTTCATGTCATCAAAGTCCACAAATCTGAAAAAGCGCGCGAGATTCGTGGTCCTATAGGCATTCAACCATTGTAATTTCTCGACGTCGCGCATGAGCGGTCTTTCGGACGGAGCCGCGCTCAGCAAGCCATCTAGCAGGGACGAGAGCCCGGCGACGCATAATGAACGAGACGCCTTTGAATCAGCATCATCGTCGCGCGCCTGCGCCGCCGCGTGCTCGGCCGCCGCTAACGCGGCCGAGAACTTGTCGGCGATGGCTCTAGAGTGCTTCGCACGATCATCCTCAAGTAATAACTGCCCGAGAAAAGGAGGATCCGTCGGCAAGGACTGCGACGTGGCCATCTCAAATAACACACACCCGAGCCCCCACGCGTCGACGGCCCCGAAGACGTCCTCATTACCTTCAAAACATTCTGGGGGTTGATACACTTCCGTGCCTCCGACAGAACTGGACGATGACGCGTCGTCGAAGGAATGGGACCGGCCCCGCCGCGGCGTGTGCACCGCCGACTTGACGGCCAGGCCGAAGTCCCCTAATTTGCACCGCGCCTCGCTACTCTTGACGAAGATGTTCTCGAGCTTGACGTCTCGGTGGGTCACACCTTGGGAGTGGGCGTATGCTAGCGCGGTGGTACATTGCCTTGTTACTTCTACTACGACGTCTAATGGAAACGGGACACCAGAAGCCGCCACATGGTCCAACAGACTCCCCCCTTCGCAGTCCTCCATGGCGATGCACGCAAAGTCCGCGATTGTACTCGTATCATCTATCAAAGGTGATCCCTTCACGGCCCTGTGGACGAAGGTATCGTAATACGCGACGACGTGGTCATGCCGCAATTCTAGCAAGTGTCTGGCCTCATCTAGTACCCCTTTGAGGGCGTTGACGTCTCTCTCCAAGTCGACACGGACCAGTTTTACTACCACTCCTTCTCCTTTGCACCGCCACACGCTTCCAAAGCCGCCTTCTCCCACCTTGTCGTCTAGGTTTAACCGCCCGTCGCAGATGCGACACGCACACGGGACTCTTTCTGTTCTAGAACCTAACAGAGGCTCGGCCACGAACCTATCGATGGACGAAGAAGCACCAATCGCGGCCAACGCGAGGATAGCCACACCAACAACATAGCACCACGTCGCGCCGAACGCCTCGGCGAACTGATCCGCGACTGAAGCCTCGAGCTGGAATCTGGCGGAACTACCTTGGAGGCAGGCGTTCGCGATGGCCACGGCGGCCCGTTCCCGTCGATCCGAGCAGTCGTCCCTCTCGAGTCGCTGCAGGACCCGCTTCCGCAGGTTCCGCACGTCACTTATATCTATACCTTCGTCGATGGACCACATGGCCCGTCGTTCCTCGTCCGACGCTTCTTGCGAGAAGGCTCGGTCCGCGGCGGCGACGATCTCGTCCAAGTCGCAGCCGTCGTGGTCTTCGGACGTTAGTGCTATTATGGACGCTAAGCCTCGACGTTGTGCTGGGCTTAGTGATCTAGGTTTATCGGTTTCGGCTTGGCCGAAGCTGGCTAGCAAAGGGAGCCAGAGGCTCGTGAGTGTTGGTCGGGCGCAGGCTGCGGCGGCCATGTTAATCTCTGCCGCGCTCTGGCTCTGTCTGCTCTCTCTCGGTGATTTCGCGTGTCGGGCGGCGCTTGTGGGCTGGCGGCGGGCTTCAGGGGTCCGATGCTATCTCGGAGACGTCCCTGGCACCGTGTGGTGCCTGCTAGCCGCGATTAGAACGCCGGCGGCCGCAAAACCAAGTTTGTGGCTCTAGAGGGGCTCTGCTCTAGCTTCAAATTTAGATCACCCGTCGACGCGTCGGTTGGTGTTCGGAGCAGCGCTCTGGGACGGGCGGAGGAGAAATAACGTCGATCGCACCGTACCCGTACCAATTTATGCGTGATCTTGAGCCAACTTGGCGCAAGAGTGGCCTATACGTGCGCTACGGAGCATTAATTGACTAGTTCGACTGTCGGGGGACTTCTGTACTATCCCATCTCTGCCGCAGCGAGCCGAAATCTGTGGTGCATCGCTACACGCCGAGCTGGAGCCCAGTTCTCTGGGCTGCTCCAGCAGGAGGCGCAGAGCGCGGGAACGAGGCCGCCAGCGGTGACGCTACGCCGAAGCCGTCGACAGCGCTGGCCGCGCAGCCAATTCACAATAAAAAACCGCGCAGGCAGCACAGGATGAAGGTCGTGCTCGCGCTCGCGATGGGCGCGGCGGCGCTCGCGCCGAACCAGCCGCAGGTCGCGGGCAAGGTCGCGGCCAAGGCCGCCGGCGCCGCAGCTTTAGGTGCCGCCATGACGCTATCCAGTGTACCCGCCTTCGCGGCCGCCGGCGACTCGATCCGGCGCACGGAGCCCGTCGCGCGCAAGGAGGCCGCGGACGAGTCGTCCACGACCCAGCTCAAGTACTCGTACACGAACATGCCCTGGGAAGATTTGGAAACGTCGACGGCCAAGTTCGCCCCCAAGACGAACTGGAACACGCTGTACCCCGAGAAGCGCCTGCGCCTCGAGAAGAAGTCGCCGGTCGCGCGCAAGGACCTCGCGCCGGCGGGCAACTTCGAGACCTACGCGAAGACGTACCCGGGCCTCTACTCGGCCCTGTCCGGTTTACCGATGGGCGAGACGACGCCGTTCCTCGGCGCGAAGCCGGCCGAGCCGCCGGCGGACGCGCCCAAGAAGTAGGCGCCGTGTGTAACTTCTTGGCGGGTTTATTGCTCTCTCTTAGTTGGGGATGTCTCGTTCACAGCACCGCGAGATATTGCTCCCCCGTTACCGGGCCGTCGCTCGGGCTATGTTTACTAGTACCTGCCACGGTTGCCTTGCCAGTGATTTTCCCACCTAGCCGCGGAGCCGACGCGAGGCCGTACGCCTCATACGCCGTCGCCCCGGGTGTTGGCACTGTGGGCTCGGAGGCGCAGGTGGTGGTTTCCGAGTCGAGACTAGTTTTTAGCACCTACGGACTAGCGCCACCCTTCTTCTTCGTGCGCGATTTCACTGCGGACCGCCTCTTCTTCTTCTTCGCCGCGCCGGCGGGCGGCGGCGCCGGCGCAGCAGCCGCTGCCTTCGCCTGGGCGGCCGCCGCCGCGGCGTCGACTGCAGCCTTGACCTCGGCCGGGGCGGCCTCGACGGCCGGCGGTGCCGGGGCGGGCGCCGGCGCCGGAGCCGCCGGAGCTACGGCAGCGGGCGCAGGCGCAGGAGCCGGAGCCGGAGCCGGAACAGGAGCCGGCGCGGCCGCCGGAGGAGCCGCGGGCGCGGGCGCGGCGGCCGAAGGCGCGGCGCCCGTCTTCTTCGCGACGGCGCGCCGCCGCTTCTTCGGCGCCGCCGGCGCCACCTCGGCGGGCGCCGCGGCAACAGGCGCCGCGGCGGCGGGCGCAGGCGCGGGCGCAGGCGCCTCGACAACGGGCGCGGGCGCGGCCTCCTCAACAAGCGCCGCCTCCTGCGCCGCGAAGACCTCGGGCGCCATTTCTTCCATGGCCTTCACTTGAACATCAGCACATCTACTTCTCCCAAAGTCGTCGACGGCGTCGATCAAGTTGTCCACGAGCTCGGCCTCTCCACTCAATTCCCGCCCGCCGTCCCGCGTCGCGCGCAGCACGTTATCCGATAGCGTGAAGGTCAGCCGCCCCGCGATTTTGATGCCGTCGTCTTCCAGCGTCTCCCACCGCAAGGCACCCAACTGCCCCGAAGCCTCCGCTTGGACGGAGGGCGCCTCGAAGGCCACGGGCCGCGCGCCTCGGATAGCTAGCGTCGCGTCCACCGACATGAGCGCCTTCGGGCCCCACTCGGTTCGCAACCAATCACCGAGCTGCGCCGGGTCCCAGATTTTTGTGGAGAGTAGTTGCTTGGCCATCGCCTCCGGAGAAGACCTCTCGCGACACACGGCCAGGACCATGGCGTCCCACTCCTCGGGAGATGGCGACGTTGAGCCCGAGCCGCTCCGTACTTCGAATTCGACCGTGCCAGGCAGGTCCTGGAACCTTCGGATCGTCGCGGCGGCCGCGTCCGCCACGGCGCCTCGCCGCGCCGGCGTCTGGGGCTCGGCCTTGCCTTCCCGCGCTTGGACGTCGGACCGTGCCGCGTCCATGTCACCTAATCCTAACCAAGTACCAGTCGAGAGGAACTGGTCCTGCTTGTCCTCGTTCTGCTGGACGCTTACTACTCTAGCGCCTCTTCGACCGAAATCATCAACTAAAGTTGGGGCTCTTCTTAACCCCTGACTGAAAGCCACAACGTCGGCATCGCGCGCGCCGGCGCCGAACAGGGGGCCGTGCCGCACGACGGCGACTCTTGCACCGCCATTGCGACATCTTTCCGCCACTTCATCAACATCATTCGTCTCGGCGGCGCCGTCCAACAGCTTCAAAGGGTTTGGCAACGAAAAGCCGTCGTCCTCGTCCGCGGCGCCGGCCGGCGCCACTAGCACAATCGCCCGCGCGCCCGCGCAGCGCTCCGCGAGTGCACTCAGCTTCTCCTCGCCGCCGTCGGCGCAGACCACCGCCGCGTCGACGTAGCCCGCGCTACCGTCCGTACAGCGCGTCACGTCCGCATCATTTAAACGGACGGCGACGGCGTCGGCCACCGTGTCGCCGGCCGGCCCTACCACGGCGACGCGCGGGCGCGGCGCGGACAGCGCTGCGGCCTGCGCGACAAGTACGCACAGCGATGCAAGCCTCATTGCAAAACTGGGTCCTGTCGCTTGTAATAGCTGGTTGCAACGCGCCTGCTCAGGCGCACGCTATGCAAAGGTGCTGTCCAGCGCTTCCGATTTACAAATGAATGCCCAGCGGCTCCGCGCAGAGGCTGATTGTCCCTGTCATCAGCCTGGATGCTGCAGAAAGCAAGAGAGCCGCACCGCAGCAGGAGCCGTCTGGAGGGTAAAAAACGTCGTGCTATGACGGATGCATCGCACGAAACGCAAACCGGGCTAGCGTATCGACACACTCTAGGCCAAAAGCAGTCTCTTGCCAAAGCTGTGGGCACCACGAGACGCGCTGCGCGCTGGAGTGCTGGCATCGTTACTTATAGCTCTCATAGCTACGCAGCGACAGCTTCGTTTCGTAGAAACGGCTGGCGACGTCGCGGCGTCGTGAAACAGCACGTGACCAGAGAGCGGCGGAGGTCAGGAGAGTTTCAGGCGCCGACGCGAACATATAAAAAAAAAACACCATGGCCCTGCGCCAAAGCAACGGCGCGCCCTCCGTCGAGCAGCAACCTAGATACTTGGCCGAGGCCTCGCGCCGCGTGCAAGAGCAGGGCTTCTACGCGAAGAAGGCGTGTGGCGCGCGAGACTTACCTGGCGCATTAAGGCATTCGTCCGACATGCTTCGAGAACTACGAACTTCTCTACTCACACCGAGGAACTACTACGAGCTCTACATGAAAGTGTGCGACGAACTACGACACCTCGACCAGTTCTTCCAGCAGTTAGTAGCGGACGGGACACCCGCGGCCGATATCTACGAGCGCGCCCAGGCCTGCGGCGACGTGTTACCGAGATTGTACCTACTCATCACGGCAGGAGCGGTATACGTGAAAACCATGCAAGCGCCGGCTAGGGACATACTCCACGACTTAGTGGAGATGGCCAAGGGCGTGCAGCACCCCATGCGCGGGCTGTTCCTGAGGCATTATCTCGCGCAAGCTTGTAAGGACGCCCTACCGGATACGGGTTCGAAATTTGAAGGAGACGGCGGGGATGTTAGTCATGCGGTCGACTTTATTTTGCGCAACTTCGGCGAGACTAATAGGTTGTGGGTGAGGATGCAGAACCAGGGCCCCGCGTCTCAGAAGAAGAGGAGGGAGGAAGAGCGCAAACAGCTCAAGATATTGGTCGGGACGAATCTAGTACGATTAAGTCAGCTAGAAGGTGTTGATGAGAGTAGATACGCCTCCGATGTGTTACCACCACTGTTAGAACAAGTCGTGAACTGCCGGGACGCCATCGCGCAGCCTTATCTGTTGGATTGCATCATTAACGTTTTTCCGGACGAGTTCCACCTCGCGACACTCGATAGTTTTTTGACGTGCTGCACGCAATTGAGAGATAAGGTCTGCGTCCGATCCATACTGGAGGCGATGATGCGTAGATTAGCTAATGGTGCTCGGCAAGAGGATAGTGAGGTGCTCGGGCCGCCCGGGGCGTTCGACGCCTTTGACGCGTGTGCGTCTCGCTTAGTAGAGGAGAAGAAGGAGGCTCTGAAAGTAGCGGATTTGATCCAACTGCGAGCGGCTCTCCTAGAGTTCGCCGTCGAGTGCTATCCCGGCGAGCTCGAGTACGTCCAAAGGTGCCTAGCTCAGACGTCGGCCGCTATTATGAATGATGTCGTTGGCGACGACGCCATGGAGTTGGAAACGTTGCTGTTGGCACCGGTCTCGTCACAACAGATGACCCTCGCGTCTTTACTGACATTAGATGATATTGCGCCGTTGACGAGGCGATTACCTATTGAACAAAGGAAGAATGTTGCCAGGAGGTGTTTGCGTCGAGTGTTGGATGGTGACGACGCGTTGGACTCACCAGAAGCCGTCGTCAAGCTCTGCGCGATCCTCGAACCTTTATTATGTGGCGACGACTCTAGTATGAATGACGAAGCCCTGGAGAAGGAGCAAACTTCTGTAGCATCGTTAGCTCATCTGTGTCGTTCAGAATCGACGGATGATGTGTTCCGGGTGCTGGGCACGCTGAGGAGAGCATTGGGCAAGGGCGGGTCGCGAAGGACAGCTTATACACTACCAGCATTAGCGTACCGAGGTTTAGAATTAGCAAGGGTGGCGAACGGGCCCGAGTTTTCGGCAAGGAAGGTCTTCCAGTTCGTCCACGAGACGGCGACGGCGCTGGCTGGCGTGGCGCCCGCTCGCGCTCTACGTGTTTTCTTAGCAGCAGCCTTGGAGGCCGACGCCCAATGCCTAGGCGCGATCTCTTATGAATTTGTCTCCCAAGCGTTCATCTTGTACGAGGACGAGTTGCCAGACTCCAAAGCGCAAGTCAAAGCCTTAAGGAGCATGGTCGGGACGCTCCTCGCGGCGGAGAACTGCGACGCCGCGGACTACGACGCCTTAGCTGCGAAAGCTACTCAATACGCGGCGAAGCTGTTTCGGAAGCCGGACCAGTGTCGGATGGTCGCGGCGTGCTCGCATCTGTTCTGGCCTCCACAACGCGTCGAGGCGGTCGAGGCGCCGCCGCCCGCCCCTGCCGCTGAGGACGACGACGCGGCGACGGTCGAGGACGCGCCGCCGCCGCCGCCCGCGCCGAAAAAGGAGGGCCGCAAGCGCGACCCCAAGCGCGTCCTCGAGTGCCTCCAGCGGTCCCTCAAGACGGCCGACGCCTGCATGACGAGCGCGCAGCCGCCCATTTCTTTGTTCGTCGAGATCCTGGACCACTACCTGGCTCACTTAGAAGCGGGAAATCCATTGATCACGCCCAAGTACATCGCGGGCCTCGTGGCGCTGATCACGGAGCACGTCGAGACGATGGAGGCCGGCGAGGCGCGGGAAGCCGTCGAGCGGCACTACGCGAACACGCGCGCGCTCATCAAGGCGCGGGGGGTCATCGAGCTGGACTAAGGGTTGGTACATAGTAGCTGGTCTTTTTAGGGGTATTCTGTCCCCCGAAGGATTTACTTGTAGGGTTTACTTGTAAGTTATGACCACTGTTTTTCCTTCTTCGCGGGCGCGGAGCACCGCTTGCGCGCTTCGCAAGGAACGTTCAATCCCCGCGACGCTCGGATGCGCGCCTCCCAAGACGCGTCGCGCGGTCCGTTCCGTCTCCTCGAGCGTCTCAACGGCCTCGCGGAGGTCGTCGAACGTGGCGCCGGAGTCTCTGTAGAGCGCCAGCGCGTACATCCACCTCATCTTGAGCGTGATTTCATCACTCTCTCCGAGGGCGCGTCGCGCCACGGGCAGGCTTTTGCGCATCAGTAATTTTGCCTCTTCAAAGCGCTGGAGAGCAACAAGGGACGACGCGTAGTTTATTGCCGCTCGGAGGGTATTGATGTGTTGTATACCATTGAGCTTCAGCCATCCAGAGTATACATCTTGCTCCATGCTTAGGGCCCTCTCAAGGTCTCCTAGCTCTCCATACATAACTGCAAGATTGGTCTGCGCGAGGAGTAAGTGTCCTTCTGGTGCGCCAATGCGCCGCATCCTAGACAAATCGGCCTCTTGTACGGACGCCGCCGCCTCGTAGTGACCTCCTTCGGATAGACCGCCCCCAAGCTGTTTTACCGCCGTGTACCGAAGAGAATCTGTTTCCGGCCGCCCCACGTACGTCTTCCAGGCCGCCCACCCGAGCGCGCACGCCACGACGCCGTGGTAGTATTGCTCGCACAGACTGCACCTGTGCCACCGTTGATACCTCTCATTCAGGACCTTGTAGTCCAAATTGTTCTCCTCAGCCTCCGCGACCAAAATCTTCGCCTGCTCCGCCAAACACGACACGTGCGCGAAACCCGCCGTCCCGCGGCACGAGCACCCGCGCACGAGACCCTCCTTTGTCTTCCAGTGGAGGGCCTGCGTGCAGATGAAGCACGTCTGGCCCTTCGTGTCGTCCGCGCACTTCTCGACGGCCTCCGCGACGGCCTCTTTGTATTTTTTGTCGGCGTAGTATTGTTCTGCGTTGCCGCCGCGGTGTATCTTCTTGCAGATCTGCTTGTGGCCGCGGCGCCAGTGGTCGTGCTGGCAAGTTTTGTTACAGTACCTCGTATGGCACCTGGCTTGCAAAGCAATCTTGCAATCACGTATGAACAGGTTGGACGTCGGGAACAAGCGTCAAATATGTATCGAGACGTGTACTCCGGATGGTTGAAGCTCCTCGGCGATGAACATGGAGACACCATTGATGCAGGCTACAACTACGCGACGTCCCTACTCGATCTACACCGCCACGCAGAAGCGAGGTCGCTGCTGCGCAGAACGACACCCGTGGCGCGACGCGCCCTCGGAGAAAATGATAGTAGGACGCTCAGGATGAGGCGGGCTTACGCGGAGTCACTCTGCAGAGCCGACGGCGCCACCCTCGACGATCTCCGCGAGGCCGTGACGACGCTCGAGGACGCGGGACGGATCGCGCGGCGCGTGCTCGGCGGCGCGCACCCGGAAACAGTGTGGATTGAGAGGTCTTTGCGAACGGCGCGAGCCGTGCTCCGCGCCCGCGAAACGCTAGAGGCCTAAGATAGATGCGATTAGTCACACCGCGAGCAACACCTAGGTCACCCGCTGGTAGAACAGCGACCCGCTCAGCGCCAGCAGCAGCCAGGGCAGCGCCGGATGCGGCGCGTGATGGTGCCACACCGCCATATTTAAGAATATCGAGAGGAACTTGCAGGCCGCGCCGAGCACCGTGAACGCCGTCGCCGACAGGGCCAGCCGCGTGTTCAGCCCGAAGAACGAGATGCCCAGGCCCAGGACGCAGCTCGTCGCGACGGCGACCATCACTGTAGAATCATCCAAACCGTCCGTCCGTCCGATTTCCTCGCCCGTCAGCAACGACCAAAATGGGTAGACACATAAAGCCAGCAGGTTGTTGTAATAAACATAACCCCAGGGCTTGAGCTTGATGGCCGTGATGACGCGCTTGACGATCAACATATCCGCCGTGATGCATAACAAGTACGTCGACGCCCAGAACAGCACGACCGGGTCCGACATTTGCGATAGGTTATTGTGCGCGAATCCGAGAGCGCCCATGCTTATTATTAACAAGGCTAACCAAGCGTCGCGGTTCGGCCAGTCGGCGCCCAGCAAAAACACCTCGCCGACTTGGGTTAAGATCGGCGCGACGGATCTAATCACTATAAAAGTGTCTACAGTAGCTCGAGCTAACAACCGCATGTTGCACGCTATCGAGATGTAGAACATGACGACCGCGGGCGCGAACTGTTTGACTTTCGTCAGTTGTAGAGCGTCCGCGTCCAAGACCCGACAGCACTTGAGCAACAACACCATGCCCGCGGAAAAGCCAAATTGCAGACAAGTCAAAGTACCCGAGTGGGGAAACTTCGTGAGGGCCCACTTGTTGGCGATGGCCATCGTCGCGCTGTTGAGCGAGTAGCCCGTCGCCAGGAAGCAGGCGTAGCCGACCATCACGCTTTCTTCTTGCGGTGCGCGCTGTCTCTAACACATTCGCCGAGCGGCGCGTCGAACATGTACGGGTCCGCGTCCGTCTGGATCGAGTAGCACGCGACGGCCGCGAGGGCGGCGAGGATGCCCAGTAGGAAGCTCACCAGGTGGAAGCCGGAAGCCTGGACGATGACCACGGGCTCGGCCGCCGCCGCTGCCTTGGCGCCGAGGGGCATGCTCGGGCTGCCTTTTTACGCTCTTTGCTGTCGATCGAGATTTTTGCTAGTGTCTTACACCGCTAGCAACTGGCCCCGGCGCGTGCGCCCAACGGCTTGCATTGCACCGCAAGGGCTGCCCGGTTCGTGGCTACGAGACGAGACGCAACAGCTGCCCGTCCTGGGTGATACGCGGCGCGCCGTTCCGCGTCGCCGGTTCTCCTCGTAGGTCAGAAGCTGTTGGGGGCAGCCCATGATGGCGCGCCGCCTCCTCCTCCTCCTCCCCACCATCAAAGCCATGAAGACGAAGAAGACCGTCTCGAAACCGACGAGCTGGACCTACCTGGAACGCTTCTGCTTCTCCGCAACGCCTGATGATCAAGAGGAGAAAACAGGTGATCCTCCAGTCCTCGAGCTCCACGCGAACTTCGAGCTGAAGGTCAAGCATCGGGGCGGTTCACTCTTGATGTACTTTGAAGAGGGGGCCAACGCCTTTCCTTCGATCGCCAATAAAACTTTCACCGAGCTCAGTCTCGAAGAGAGGTATGCCAAAGCCACGGTCGCCTACGACTTCCTCATGGTCGACGGGCAGGAGACGACGTCCACCAAGAAGTCGTACTTGATTTCAAGAAGCCCCAGATTTGTCTACTTAGTGTGGAGCAACTACAACACGAGGTGCAACGAGAAGTGCTCTTCCGACTTTCAGAACGGTAGTTTGTCAATCGCCCAGCAGGCGCAATTAATCTCGTGTGACTTGGAGTATAAGAATAGGTGCATGGGTCCGACGGAGATCGAATACGAATTCCACCTGTGGAACGGGAACGAGTGGGGCAAGGAATTTTCTGCCGATGAAGATGCACTGCCCGTTACGTCCATCCTACTCTTCTGTCTGCAAACACTTTGTTTAGTGGCAGCTTATCGAGTACGCGTAAGGTTGGAGGCGGGCGGGAAAAAACTCCATTTAACAACTAGAGTTTTGACCGAGGCCGTGGCCTTCGAGTGGGTCGCCCTACTCCTGAGGATGTGCTTCTACTTGAGGTACCAGGGCAAGGGCCAGGCGCCCTTGTGGTTGGACACGTTGTCGCGAGTCTGCCACGGCGTCGCCGATGTGGAAATTGTCATACTCCTCGTGTTACTGGGCAAGGGCTGGACGATCGTACGCCACAAGTTACGCGTCGCGTCGCGCATGAAGCTCGCGGCCTTTGCGGCGACGTACGCCATGGCATCCTTCGCGTGTCTGGCCCTGTGTGGAAATCAGATTCGGGCGCCCCCCGCCATCGACGCGACGTTGGCCCCGTGGCCGCGTCGGAACCTAACTCACTGGTTGATTTCCACACAGGCCTGGCCTGGTCGCAACGCGTCAGAAACGACGTCGAAGTACAATTCGCCTATGCCGGTTCGACAGGTATCTTTTTAGCCGTTCTACGATTAGTAGCGTGCGCCTGGTTCCTCAAGGCCGTGACGGATACCATAAAACATTTCCCCCAGAAGCAGGCTTTTTGTAGGGTACTTAGAGTCTTAGGCGCGATGTGGTTGCTGGCCACACCTATCGTAATATTCGTCGCGCACATGGCCGAGGACCCCTACCGACGAGAAATCTTCGAGATCGGCGAAGCGACGTGTTTCTTCCTGGGCCAGGCTGGGTTAGTTGCGTTGTACGCGCTGGGTGGCAAGGACACGTCCAGGGGCTGGTTCCAAAGAGACACGGAACGTGTGAGAAGGCCTCGACGGTCCGACGCCATCGGCGCGCCGCCTCTCCGCGACTCCTTCGACGACAAAAAAGTTCCAGGCGACTTCGACATTCTGACCAGTGGTAGAAGGCGTTTGAGGGTCGACGACGAGTTCGAGCGGAATCATATAAGGAAGATTGGGAAAGTAGCGAAGGCCATCACGGAGCGCGTCTCAAAACTCAGAGAGGAGGCCGCGGCTTTCGGGGACGCTCTATCCGCGGCTTTTGTGCCGGCGAAGTTCGACCAAGATTTAAGAGTGCGGACGCCTCCTAGAAGGCGGCCGGATGATGGCGACCGGTGGCGGGCCCGCGACGACGGCGAGGCGCCGCGTCCTCTCCAAAGATCGGGGTCCGCGCTCGACGACGCTTTGGACGAGGCGCTGCCCGAGTACTCGTCGGCGCGGCGGCGGCTCGGTTCTTCTGGTAGTTTTCGGTCGCAGAAGCCGGCTAAGATCTATACCTAGTCGCCGATACCCCTCCCTTTAGTACGGGTTTTTGTCACTCAGAGCACGACTTTGAAGCTTTGTAGCGACGCAATCTCTATACAATTCAACTAAGTCTCGTGCCTACCACTGCGCCGAAACGACAGCGCGCCTGAAACCTTGTCGTTCACCTGCATAGAGCAATAAATAAGCCTTTTCAACACAGGCCATCCATTCATTATGTCTACTGAGTTCGAGACCATCCCAGCGGAGGAGAACGCGCTCCTCGAGAAGCCTAAGACCGGTCTCCGACGCGTCGTGGTCGCCGTGCGCACCCAGCGTCCCCGACGCGCGCGGCGAATCGCCGGCGATCGACGATCGTGCTGTGAAACGGTTCCGCGACGGCGTCGCCCCGCGCAGGCCGCCGCGCTGTCGTTCGTCCTCGGCGTGGTCGCCGCGACGGCGGTCGGTAGTACCTCGACGCCCGGCGCCATGGACCTCCACTCTACGAAGATCAGTGACGCCCACATCAGCCTCGTCCATTCCAAGGGCAAGAAGTGCCTCACGGCCACGGCGAACATGCAGCACCTGGTCCTCGCCGACTGCGGCACTGGCACTGGCAAGGGCCACCACTCGAAGCAGCGGTTCAACTATCAGTACAAGTTCGGCTCGGGGCACGCTAGCTCGGGGCGGATCGAACTCAGAGACCATCAAGACAGCGGCGGGCTCTCCACGCTCTCCCTCGATATGTGGGGGTGTTGGGACACGACGACAAAGTGCCAAGCTCTCCTGTGGTGGCCTGAGTCGGATTCGAAGTCTGAGAACGGTGAGAACGTCCACTGGGACCAAACCTCGAAGCAGATCAAGGTTCCCAATAGTAACGGCGAATACCTCTGCTTGATGGTCCAAAGCAACCAGGAGATCACGTGGAACACGTGCCACGACGGATACAACACGCAGCAGTGGCAGATCGGCGACGCGCCGTCGCCGCACCCGTCTGGCGGCGCCTGCAACCACCCCTGCCCCTCCGGCAAGGATTCGGAGTGCTCGTGGTTCGGCGGCGCCGCTAACTCGTGCACCAAGTGCGACACGACGCCCGGGACTCGCTTCACGTGCGTGGCGCCGTGAGACCGCGAAAGAACGCAGCGCCCGCCGCCCGCGCCCAAGAAGAGCGGGTCTCCCCTTAGGCGATGATCCCTCGCCCCCGCCCGCGCTGCCTAACATGACGTTCGTATCTTATGCTGGCTTGGCACCGGAATAACCCGTCGGCGCGTCGTCGTCGCATAGGAGCCGCACGCCCGTCGTGCGCGCGACAACATCGGCGCGCCGCCGGAAGAGGCCCGCCGCGTAGTCGTAGAGCCGCGCGTGGGGCCGGAGCGCGGCCTCGATGCGCAGGACCGCGCGCAACGAGACTTGTTCTTCGTATTTTCCCGCGTGTTTCGGACCTCCGGTGATGCCCACCACGTGAGCGTTGCCCCGGAGCGCCGCCGCGCTCGCCGCCGCCGCAGCCCGTCGCACATCGCCGCGGCAGTCGCAGCGCCGGGCGTAGTCCGTCGCGTTGGCGCGGTGGTGGCCGAACTGGTACTCCCAGAGGCACAGCGACGCGTCCAGATCCTCCACGAGGCCGACGACCGAAGCATCGAGTCGCTGACGCGCTAGCGCCGCCTGGGCCACCGCGTCGCATTCTGGCCCTAGCGGCGAGCCCAGGTGTTCGAGCGCGAAGCGAGCAAAATTGATCTTTGCGCACTCAATCGATGGCGACGGCGCTTCGATGCAGCCTTGCGCGACCATGGGTTCGACGCGCCGATTCTTCTTGTGCGTGATCTTCGAGAACGCCCACGCTATGGGTTCGCGGATCATTGTCACGACGAGCGGCGGCGGTCTGCTCGCATAGGCCGCGACAGCATTATCCCACGTCGTCTCATAGCTATAGAAACACGGCGCGACCGGCGGCCGGACGTGGCCCCTAAACGTCGCGAGGCTGCCGGGAACTTCGCCTGGGCACTTTTGGACGTCAATGGCCGCCGGCGCGCGCGCGAGCACCTCCCGTCCGGCCATTTTCGACATGTGGAGATGGAACACCCGCCGCTGCCACGCCGTCGTCCAGGCGCAGGCCATGGGCACGTCGTCGACGTCCGGGCATTGGAACTTGCGGCTCAGCGCATAGACCCTCTCGTCCGCCGTCGCATTCGTCGTGTTGGTTATGCATGATGATGGAGCGGCGGCCGCGTCCGAGCCCACGACCGCGGCAGCGACCAGACTCACCAGAGCGCGGCGCAGCATCTCATCGAGGACGGGATTGTCTGGAGGCAGCCGATCCCGAGGGCAGCCGATCGCACGACGCCGCTGATCTGGCGAGCGCGAAGCAGCCCAACTTGGATTTTTGGTCAAGATGTGGCACGCGCATCTACTGTGTTTCTCTCAGCTAATATTAAATTTTTTGGTTGCCTAGTGTCTTACAGGCCGCTAGCTCACGCCACGGTTTTTAGAGGTCTCAAAGGCCGGTTTGGATCTGTACATAGACACCGATTCATCGGCGGCGGGCGCACAGATGGATTCTGCGGAGCGCTCTGAGCTTATTCAGCAACCCAGGAGCGGCGAGTGAGAGAGCCCCTAAAACCCTCGTCGTGCCCAGTAACAGTGCAAATAAGCCGAGATAACATGACTCTCGAAGAAACCATCCCTGTCGACGAGGAGGGCGCGACGCTCCTTCGCAAGCCCAAGACCATAGGCATCAGGCGCGTCGTCGTCGGCGCCGCTCTAGTCTCATTTGTCATCGGCGTCCTCGCCGCGACGGCGGTGCGGACCTCTCCCGGGCCGCGCCACGCGTCGAACCTACACAGCAAGCACAAGCACGAGACGACCGAGGTGGACGACGAAGGGCCGCACCCCTACTTTTGGGACGACGACGACTTTCCCGATGACGGCATCGAAACTTACGCTTGCGAGCGGAAGTGCACCACCGACGCGGACTGCGCCACGAGGTGGCCGGAGTTCAACGAGTGCGGCGTGTGTCAGAACTGGGGCAAGAACCCCTCGATGGAGTGCGACCGCGGTACGCGGCCGGTCGCGCCGCCGAACACGCCGAGCCTCACGATCAAGGACGCGCAGATCCGGCTTAAGTCGGACCCGACCAAGTGCGTGACGTTCTCCCCCGCGGCGGATTTCCGTATTCATGACACGCTCATAGTAGACAAATGCGGAGGCGGTGACGGCGCCGGCCACCGGCTTTCGCTCCAGCAGTTCACGTACAGCTACGAGACTGGCAGCGAAAAGGTCAACGGGGAGGGAAGGATCGTCTATGACCACGATATCATTGATAAGACGAACAGCGCCAACCGGTGCCTTTCCGCCAGCCTTCAATGGTGTAACCCGAAGACCGGGTGTGACATGATCCTCTGGGATTGCAAGTACCTCGAGTCAAACGAGGGCAATTTGTACTACGACGGGACTACGATTAGGGTGTACGATAACGCAAACAACGGAGACATGTGCCTGACCGACCACGAGGGCAAGCTCACAATGGAGAAGTGCAAGGGCAAGGAAGGAGATAAGACGCAGCAGTGGCAGATCGGCGACGCGCCGTCGCCGCCGCCGTCTGGCGCCTGCAACAAGGCCTGCCCTTCTGGCAAGGATTCGGAGTGCTCGTGGCTCGGCGGCGACAATTCGTGCACCAAGTGCGACACGACATCCGGGGCTCGCTTCATGTGCGTGGCGCCGTGAGACCGCGAAAAACGCAGCGCTCGCCGCCCGCGCCCAAGAAGAGCGGTCTAGCGCGCGCTGCCTAACACAAGACGTTCGTAAATAGTAGGGAAAGGGGAGCTCTTATTCAGGAGAGGGACCGAGGGAAATGCGCCGCCCCCCGAAGCTCGACGACCGCGCCGCCGGCGCCGCGTCCGTGCCGTCGAACGCCGCCAGAGCAGCGGGGTGGAACGTTCGTAACGCGTCGCGGATCGAGGCCAGCAGGGCCGCGTCGACGGCGCTCGGCCGCGCCCGCGCGACGCTCGCGACGTCGTCGAGGACCGCGCGCGCGTCCGAGTCGTCGACGGCCTGATCACCTTGATCCTCGTCCCACGACGCCGCGGCCCGCGCGCGCCGCCGCGCCACGGCGCGCTGCGCCAGCGCGGCGCAGGGCGCCGCGAGCGCCCGCTTGACGGCGCCGTCGCAGAGCCGGGCCCGGAACGACCGGAACCACGGTCGCGGCGCCAACCGCGCCGCCGTCGCTAATAAAGGACGCCACTGTTCGTGCGCCGCCAGCGCGTCGAACAACGCCGCCCAGAGCGGCGCCCGCGCCGCGTCCGCCGCGTCGAGGCGCGCGTCCCTGCTCGACGACGACTCCTCGACGGCCTCGTCGTCGTCGGCCTCGAGCAGGACGGCGCACAGCAACGGCAATAAAGTGGGCGCCAGCCTCGCGTCGCCGCCGCGGTCCCGCAGCAACGTCTCGACGAAGCGCGCCGCGCCGACGCCGCAGGCCACGCCGTGCTTGGCGACCACTCTAGCGTGCGGCAGGCGCGCCGCCGACAGCTCGGCCACGACGCGCAGCCGCCGACTCAACGCCAGTAATGTGGGAGGCGCGTCCTCGGCCTTTGCCGCATTCCGCCACGCATCTTCCAGCCGCCTCCGGTCGCCGCGCGCGAGCACCGCGGCCGCCCGCAACGCGCGCAGGCGCGCCCGCGCCGTCAACCGCCGCCGCTCGCCCGTCTCCGCCCTTCTAGCCAGCACTTCCGAGCCCTGGTCGTCATCATCAGAATCCAGCCAGGGCGCGTCGACCTCGTCGGCGTCCTGGTGGTCGGCCTCGTCGCCCGGGCCGCCCGTCGCCGCCGCGAGTTCCACTAACAGCTCGACCGCACCCCGTTCGTCGGACCGAGGCACGACGTCCGCCGCCGAGTCGCCATCTAACGCCTTTTGGAGGGCCGCCTGGATCGGGTCGCCGCCGCTCAACGTGACGCCGTCCCGCGCGCTCAACACGAACGCGACCTTGACGGCGGCGCGCGCCAGCGCCCTATCTCTCTTCTCCAACGGTGACGGAGACAAAGCGTCGTCTCCTGATAAATCGTCGGTGCCGTCGTCATCATCAAACAACCACCGCCTCGCGAGCTCGCGCCGCGCGACCTCCGCACTACCGGGGTCGTTCTCCCGCGCGGCGACGGCCGCCGCGGCGCGATGCGCTCTCGCCGCCGCCTGGCCGAAGGCGTCCGTCGCGCCGCGCGTCGCTAGTGCTTGGTCCGCCGCGGCGTCCGCGGCCCGCGCGTACAATCTTCTCAGTAATCCCGCGGAACCCGATCTTGAAACGTCGTCGTCTTGTATCGATCCGCCGCCGAACAGGACCGCAGCGGCTCGTCGCGCCGCGGCGTCCGCGCGCTTGACGGCCGCGGCGCGCGCGTCCAGGGCTGCGGGCGTGTTCTCCCGGTCGGCCCAGCGCGACGCGTACTTCGCCGCCTCGCGCGCCGCCTTGAGGTGGCCGAGGCCGTCCCTATCGGTCGGTGCCGCCTGTAATCGCTCGGCGAAGGCGTCGGCCAAGGCGTCGGCTCGCTTGTAGGCCAACCGCGCGTTCGGGCACTTGTCGAGCCTCCGGTAGAAGTCGACCTCCGCCCTTGACCGGGGCCGGGGCACGCCGTCCTCAGCCACCAAATCCGCACACGCGATCCATTCCGCGCCCTTCGGCAAGTTATCCACGACCTGCGAGATGCGCGCCAGAAACGGCGCCGACTGCTCCGAGAGGAGCGGAGCTAAAGTCTCCAGGGGCCTTACCACGAGCTCGTGGAAGGGCAGCTTCCGCGCTCCCAGCGCTCTCGCGCCCGCCGCGCCTAAATGCGTCGCCGCGTCGTCGCGCACCTGCCGCAGCCAGGCGACGCAGCGGATCCACTTTTTGAGAGTAGCTTCCGACGGCGCCGCGAAGGCTCTATCATCTCGAGCTTCCACCGACCCGCCCGCCGCTCGCGCAGCTCTCTGCGCGTCGATGACGCACGCTCGTAACAGCGCCGCCCTTCGCTTCTCGGCGTCCGAGACCTTGGCCACTTGGTTGGATGTGTTCTCGTCGACGGGAGACAGAGCGACTCTCGGTTCGTCCTCTTCCTTCTCCTCGACGAGCATCCTCAAGATCAGATCCAGTCGATCGTAGGCCGTGGCGTCGGCCGTCGCGAGGGCAGCTCGTAAGACCCGAATTCTTCTTTCAGGATCTCGCACGAGATCGAGCGCGTCGCGCGCCGCGTCACTCAACGACTCGCCGTCTCCGCTTACGCCTCGTGCTAAGACCCTCGTAGCGATCGCGGCACCGGCGACGTCGTCCTCGACGCCAAACCGACCGCAGAACTCGAGGACCTGCCTGATTAATGAGCAGGACACGGGTCTCCTACAATCGCCTTCCTCCTGCAACTTCATAAGATCGTCGGGGTCCGGCGCGTCCAGGACCGCCGGTAAGAGCTCCGTAGCATGACTTGCTGAACGTCTAAGGATATCTCTGACATCCACAGTAGTGGCGGAAGCCTGCAAACATAATCGAGCGTGGTCGAAGGCCACGCCTCTTCTCTTCAAGAAGCGCCACCAGACCGCGTCGTGGGCGAGTGATCGAGAGGCATGTTCCAAAGCGCCGTCATCGAGTCTCGCGGCGACGGCCTCCCCCACCGTGGCCAACAAAGCTAAACGATCGAGCTCCGCCGCCGAGCCGCCGCACGTCCCGACCGCACTTCGATACGCATCAAAAGCCTTCTTCGGCGGGGCCGCGAGCGCACAGGCCACGCAGAGCTCCGCGTCTGGCTCGGCCGCGTCCAGTAAAGCTTTTAGTCTTCCAAGGGCGACGTGTCCTCTCCTTTTCGCGCCGGGCTCGTCGTTCGTTCGATGCTTGGCGACGGCGGCGTCCCTCAAAGTTAACGCCCGCGCGGCCAGTCTCCACGCCGCGGCTTTCCGGAACACACTTACGAGTGAATCCGTGGCCTCGTCCACTTTCACCGCGATACTCTCACTTGTTGCAGAAGCGTGGGCCTCCCTTAGACAAAGCACGAACTTCCTCAGAGGTAGGTTCGCCTCGTCGGCCTTGAGGAGTAACCCATCATCATTTCCGCCACTCGATATCAACGCCGGCGCGCCCGCGCACCGCGACCGCACCGCATCCACAAATCGCAAAACCTCCATGGCCGCGCAGTCCTTCGAACTATCTGCCGCTTCCGCGGCACATCTCGCTCGGAGTCGATACGCCGCCGCCCTTCTAGCGTCGCCCGCGTTGGAGTTCAAGTCCACCGCAGCTAAATTTGTGGCTAGTTTTTCCGCCACATCCCGCAGCGCGTCCGGGTCACTTCGCCATTTGGATGCGGCCGCGTCGGCCTGCTTGAGACTTTCAGCAACTCGAGTGTCATCAACAGCAGCCTGTAGAGCCACTCGGCAAGAAGTCCAGCCCGGCGGCGCCCCCAACAAGTCGGCAAGTTTCTCAATCTTCGCCACGCTTTGTTCCGAGGGCTCCTTTTCGCCGAACGTCCGGTCCGCCACTCTCTGTAATAGCTTCAGGGCAGACGCGTCGTCCCGCAGATCAAACGACGTGCAGTCCCAGACGTCCAGCGATCTTTGACAAGCGTCGACGATGTCCAGGCACTTGCGCGCTTTGGCGTCCGCATCTCGCAGCGACGAGTCGTCGTCCTTCCTCGACCCGCCCACGTCATCCGCCAAGTCCGCGGCCACGCCCGCGCCCAGCTGGGCGCACGCGGCCAGCTCCCTTCTTTTTAATTGGGCGCCGTCGTCGCCTCCATCTAAAACGCGGAGGCAATAGGCCACGACTTCCCGCCTCGCACTTCTCCGTTCGGCCCCGGCCGCGCACGCGTCTCGCAGCGCGCGCCGCGCGACACCGACGGCGGCGTCCGCCGCCTCGTTCACGGCCGTAGCTTGCGACTCATCATCATAGAATTCCGGCCGCGTCGCGCCTCTGGCAAACGCCACGACGGCATCTCTTCGTGATAAGGTGGCCGGATACGCTCGAGCCAAAGTCGTGGCGTCCCGCAAGGCATCTCTAGGTGCCATCCTCCTCAACCGCCAGGCGCCCGACGCAATCCTCCTCAACAAAAAGCGCGCGTGCGCGGCGTCGCCAGCGTCGAAGCCTCTGACGCGGTGCCGGTGCGCCAAATGCGCCAGCCTAACTAAACGCGCGGCGTCCGCCAGAGGGCGCCTCTTTTCGTCCACGGACGCGTCGGAATCCAGCAGGTCGGATCTATGAGCGAGTGCGATGACCCCGTCCGAGAAGGGGGCTCGAGCCGCCGTCAATATGGTCAATGCTGCAGAGGTTCTCTTGGCGTCGTCGTCCACCTCATCTAAGGCAGCAACCGCAAAGGCCAAGTCGTCATTTTCGGAAGCGGCCTCGTCCCTTCTTCTACGACGAGAGTTCCGCAGCTGCGTGTGCTTCTCGGCCCTTGCTGAAATATAGGCCGTCAGGATGTCGTCCGCGTCGACGTCGTGTTCTCTGCAAACTGGTCTTACATGTTCCTCGACGTGGGAAGCTACATCATTGACGGCCTCCACTCTATCCAATAATCTACGAGCTAAGGAAGCCTTGTCGCACGCCTCGTACTCGCCCAGCTGCGCGTCGACGCCGTGTGCATCTCTCAAAGCGGCGACTCGCTCCAGCGCCGACCGTAGCTCCGCAATGTCCTTCTGCGCGTCGGCCGCCTCGCTATCCGCGAGCCACGCGTCGCCGTCATTACCACACGCCACGGCGCCCGCGCCGCAGCGATCGCCGATGCTGTCGTGGGCCTCCCTCGCTATGAGGAGGGCATCATCTAACCGTCCATCAGCTTCCAACGCTCTCGCCCTTGTCGCCGCCCAGGCCGCCAATCTGCCAAGCGCGCCGCCCGCTAACGAGGGAGCCACCTCGCCGAAGACCCACGATACATAAGTGGCCACGGGCGCGTCCACTGGTAATCCTTCGACACATTTCACGGCTCGCGCATCCGCTCTAGAACGCGCCGCGGCGCCGCGCGTTCGTGCATCGCCATCGTCGAACCGCAGTTCGCGCCATAGCACGGCGGCCACGGAAGCATGACCTCGCTCGCACGCCTCCTTGGCGTGCGCCCCCGCGTCGCCATCCCTAAACCGCGCCCAGGCCCGGGGCCATGCGCCATCATCCAACGTCGACCCGCACCGGGCCGCCGCATCCAGGACCCGGGCGAAGACGTCTAATCGACGTTGCGTCGTTTGCAAGAGGCGTTCGGCGTTGACCTTTTGCTCGTCGTCCGTCTCTTCGATGAGGCCCTCAATGGCCGCGTCGAGTGCAGAGCGCGCTTGTGTAGAAGACGCGTAGGGCGCCGCGATGACGGCGGTCGCGGCCTTCTGGATCGTGTCTGAGGGCGCGGCCGCAAAGATGGAGGATAAAGGCTCCGCCGATTTCCCGTCTACGACGTTTCGGAGGGTCGCTTCTAGAGCATCACCATGATCTTCCAGGGGCTTCGACGGCGGCGTTAATGGTCGCGTTTGAGTCACGACCTTGCGTGCCGTTAACCTGCACACGGCCGTCGCGCCAAAGGCCACGAAGCCGTCCTTCGCCGTAGCGACGCCCGCGCAGCCGCCGGCGGGCGCCGCCGCGCAGGCCATGCCGCTCCGCCGGTCGTAGCGCAGCGTCGCCGTCGCGCCGTCGTCGGCGCACGCGGCGAGGACCCAGGTCGTGCCCGCCGCGTCGGGCGCGGCGACGACGACGGCGAGCGATCTTAACGGAGCCGGCGCGCGGAAGGCGCTCACGGGCGCGCCGGTGCGCGCGTCCCACCAGCGCAGCGCGCGCCCGGCGGCGACGAAGAGCCAGCGGTCCGTCGCCGCGAGCGCCGTGACCGGCTCGCCCGCCTCGCTCGCGGGCAGGTCGAGGTCCCGCGCGATCGCCGCCTGGCCGAGGACGGCGCAGAGCCGCGCCTTGACGACGGCGCAGCTCCCGTCCGCCGCGCCCACGGCGAAGCGGTCGCCGACGACGGCGAGCGCCGTGCCGCCCGCGGCGGCCGTCGACACGCAGGCCGCCTCCTCGACGACGCGGCCGCCGTCGAGGCCCAGCAGCGCGACGCGCAGCGCGCCGTCGCCGTACAACACGCCGAGCGCGCCGTCGCCCGCGCGGAAGGCAGCGCCGACGACGTGAGAGAATGGGGCCACGCTCGGGCCGCACTCGACGGTGTCGACCAGGCCCTTGGTCGTGAGGAAGGCCACGCGGTGGCGCGGCGAGCCCTGGTCGGCCTGGTCGTCCGTGAGGGCGACAGCGCAGGCTCGGGGTACATCTCGCCAGCAGCAGGCAGCGTGCGTCGCCGGTCCGAGGGCGATTCTCGCCTCCCCTGTTAGGGCAACAGCACCATCCGCTGTTTGGACTATGGTACAGCCGTCGACGGCGCATAGGATCCTTTCTCCTTCCGCAACGTGTTGAATTTGTTCATCGTACTGTTGCGCCATCGCTCCGCTGCGAAACGGGCTGAGGGCGCACAGGCGGTTTTATGCCGCCCGCGTCACCGGTTGGAGCCCGGGAAAGCGCTGAGTTCGACGCGCTTGAGCGCTGGCTGCTTATGCTCAGCGCTGTGGTCGCAGCTGTGAATTTTGACGGCCCCAGCCTCAAAAGACCAAAATGCCGCGGCCAAATATAATTCAGCTAGCGGTGTAAGATACTAGCAAGCAGAAATACCCTCGTCTTGGTAGAGCTATATTATGAGTATATTTACACAAACTCGAAATAGAGCGAGTTCCACGCCTCCTGGACCGCCGCGTCGTTGTCAAGACCTGTCGCCGCAAATTTCGCCGTCGACGCGGCGACGTCTGCGAGCTCTGCATCCTTCACGAGCGTGTACCACTCCACGAAGTCCTTGCCGAGCGCGTCGACCAGGACCTCGTCGGCGCGCAACGCGCTGAGAGCCTCGGGCAGCGACGTCGGCAACAGGACGGCCTCGTCGTCCCTGGCCGGCGGAAGCACGAGTTCCCGCTTTACGCCATCGGCGCCGGCCGCCGCGAGACCAGCTAACACAAGGTAGGTGTTCGCCGAGGCGGACGGCGCGCGGTACTCGACGTAGGCCTCGCCGGGCGCGCAGTCGCGAGACTTCACTCTTATACACACGTTGCGGTCCTCATGGCCCCAATCCGCCCGTGTCGGCGCCCAATTGCCGTGCCGCGCGTAGCATCCTGGCGTTGGGGCAGCCAGCGCCTCGAGGCCGCGAGCGTGCGCGAGGACGCCGGCGATGAAATGCCTCGCTGTAGGACTGAGGCCGTCCTCGTCACCGCCCGTCGCCGGGTCCTCGCCGCGCCACAGGCTCACGTTGAGGTGGCCGCCGTTGCCGACGCCGCGCGGCCCGCCGAAGGGCTTCGACGCGAACGTCGCGGCGAGGCCCCGCCGCATGGCGAGTTCCTTGACGCCCGTCTTGAAGGTATGTGCGCAGTCGGCCGCGGCAAGGCCTCGTTTGGGCTTGAACGTGATCTCGAGCTGGCCGGCGCCGTACTCGCAATTCATCGTTCGCACGTCGACGGTTGTTATCTGCTCGGCGACGGCGTAGGCGAAGTCTGTCTTTGCTAATTGCAAAGTAGCAAAAATGTCGACGCCGTCGAACAAGGGTCGCCTCTCGGCGTCCGCCACTACAAATTCGAGCTCGGACGCGGCCAGGAGCTCCAGGCCGTGGTCGAGCCGGAGCGCGTCGAGCGCCCCGCGGCATACGAAGCGCGGCGTAGGCGCGGCGGCCTGCTCGCAGCAGACGCGGAAGACGTCCCGCTCCGGGGACGACGCCCACGGTAAACGTTGCAACGTCGCCCAGTCGGGGCGGAGGCGCCAGTTCGGGCAGCCGTCCCGCACTTTCTCCGGGAAGCATTGCACGCGCGCGTTGGCGCCCATGGAGATGGCGCCGGAGTAGAGGTCCACGGGATCGCCCGCGTGGCGAGCAGGCACGGTCTTGCTGAGCGACTTGCCGTTGAAATCGACGACCTCGAAGCGCACATAGGCGTGCGGCGCCGTCGACGCGGCGAGAAGGGCGCGCGCCTTCGCGCCGAGCTTGCAGCTCGGGCCGCCCGACAGCTCCGCGACGATCTCGGCCGTGGTCCGCTGCCTACAATCTTGATCTTCTCGAGCCGCTGCAGCGTATCCGTGCCCCATGCAGGAGAGCTCGGTCCACTGGCCGGGCGATGCAACTCGGCAAAGTTATGCCCTCGGAGCGCCTCGCAGATGTCCCGTTCAAACACACAAAGTACACTGACCCTTTACGCCCCCGGCCCCCGCCACCGATCAATCAGCGCGTCGACCGCACCCGCGTCGGGCAGCACGTACGGATCCTTGAGGTCCGGCGACTTGCCCCAGGCCTTCCTGATACTCTTCTCGAACTTCGCGAATTTCTTCGCGTAGGCCTTGGCTTTTTTAGCGTCGGCGCAATACTCCGCGACGTCCGCCGGCGACGCAAAGACCTGCTTGAACGCGGCCTTTTGCTCCCTCTCGACCAACGAATCAATAAGCTGTTTGCGCCATCGTTCCTTGGCCTCGAAGGCCTCCCTACACTTCTTGTACGTGTCGCCGCACTCCTTCGCCGCGTTCACGCAGGCCAGGAACGCGTCCTTGACCTTCTCGTCGGCGGCGTCCGCAGCTTCAATACGTTTCTTCTGCTGCTCCCGAGCTTCCTTTCTATATTGCTCATCCAACTTAGCCTGCTCCTGGGCATTCATGGAGTCCCTTTCCTTCTGTGCTAATTCCTTCTTCTTCGCCTCGGCCCGCCGACAGTTGTCGATGGCCTTCTCGGCGGCGGCGATCTCCTTCTGCTTCGACTCCTCGATGCCGGCGAGGTGGTGCTGCTCCCTTAGGGAATTGTAGGCGAGATACACAAGATGCATGAGGCCCGGGGCGTAGTGGGGCCACAAGCTACCGGGGGCCGCCCTGATGGCAAAGATGCCCGCCGCTTGGAGCAGCGCCGAGCCGGGTCCCAGGCCGGGGTCCTGGGGCTTCGAGTTCTTTCTTAGTAGTACATCAACCTGCGGCACGTGTTCTCCCAGTAAAGCGCCCGTCGTGGGCTCGTATTCTACCTCATCTTTCACGCCGTCGCCGTCCCTGTCGTCGTCGTCGGCTCTTACGGGCAATGAAAACCGAACGCACTCTTTCATGATGTCCTTCAGTGACTCTTGGATCGTCGCCGGGTAGCTCCCCGCATATAAAGCGGCTAATCCAGGCAGCGCGCGGCAGGCGGCGACGGCGCAGGCCTCCCTCAAACTCGAGTCGAAGCCGCCCTGGTCCCCCCATTGTTGCCGCGCCTTCAAGATACGCTTCCGATTGGCCGGTAAAGCCAATAACCGATCCACGACGTCCGGTAACGAGTCTTTGGCCGGGAAGACCTCGCACCACTCGAGCCGGCAGTCCAGGTTCCTCAAAAAACAGTGGAGCGTGCCTGCGCGGCGACGGCGTGGGTGCTGCGTGTCGGTGGTCGCGGCGATGGCGTGCCGGTGGGGTAGGTGTGTGATCGTCGCCGCGATGGCGGTACAGCGCATACGCCATCGTCGCGGGTCGTCGCTCGCGTCGCGACCGCGTGAGCGTCCTCCGTGACGTGTTTCAGACGCCATCGACGCGACGTAAACAAACGGGACCCGGACACGATACCGTGCATGCTGAAGCCCGCGCCGTCCGCCAGCGCGTCGACGACGACGTCCGCGAGGCCGCCCAAGGCGGCGGCGCCCGGCAGCGACGCCTCGACGAGCAACCCGGGCGGCGGTCTTGCACTAATAGCGTCCGTGAGCTCGCGCGCGTCGGGCGCGATCTTCGGGACGACTCTTCGGAAACACGTCTCCACATCCACCAATGGCAGGTCCTTCCCGAGGCGCATGAGGGCCTCGTGCACTTGCGGGTCGTCGTTGTCGCGCAGAAAGAACTGCAACGGCTCATCTAATAGAGCTAAGACACAAGCCGCGGCGTACGGAATTACTAAATCAAATGAGGTCAGAACGCACTGGTCCCAGACAAACAGTAAAACGCCCGTGGCCAGGATGTCACTCAACCCGCGGCGCATGGACCGTCCGATGGCCCTCGCTACTATATTTTCCGCGTCGTCCGTGTCCTCCTCTACGCGAAGTGCCTTTGCTAATGAGGGACATAAGTCGACAAGCAAAGAACGACACCTCTGGAGCCAATCTCTAGGAACCCACCACCGTTGCGTGTTCTTGCGCTGCACGCCCAGTCGCAAAGCTAAAGCGGCCGCGCCGGCGCCGCCCTCGAGCACCGATTGGTTATCTGTCGATTCGTCGCCGAAGGCGAGCGTGCCTTCCGGCTTGGTGGCGGGCTCCAGGCCCCGTTCTAGTGTACTGGAAACTGCCGAGGCGAGCACGGCGTCGTCCAGCGCGAGCACCTCGAGCAACGGTCTTGCTAACCAATACACGTCCGAAGGCAAAGGGCCACCAGACTCGCGGGCCTTCGCATCCAAAAACGAGAAAGATGAACGCGCAACACACAACTTGTCTCCGTCCGTGTCCGAGAGCACCTTCACGCAGAAAGCTGTGATGTCGGCCTCGTGCGGGGATCTCACGGACCAGTCGCCTCTTGATTCTCGGAACTCGCGTTCGACTTTGACATCTGTGAGTCTTCGAGCCCACAATCGCTCTCTTAAAGCTTGCGGTAGGGCTCTTCCCACCAACGCTCGAAGCGCTCCCGGCGCGTCGTCGCCCGGTAGACTGTCGAGCAAGCCCATGATCGCCCCCGACGCCTCCCTTTCACAAGCATCCACATAAGATTCGGCCCCATCCAATCTATATATAGCTGCTCTTTCGGCTAACGCGTTGTCTAGCGTCGCGGCGGCGAAGGCCTCGAATTGGCCCGCGACCGCACTTTCCCTTTGTAGTTTCGCGTAGGCGTCGTCCAACGTCGCGCATCTTTGGATGGATGATTGATCCCCGAAATCTTCTGAAGACGACTCCACGCGCCACAGTAACTCTCGGCATAGTTGTCGGAACTCCGGCGATTGCGCGGTTCGTTCCGTAGCCTGCGCGAGCCAGTCCGGGCGGCTCCTTATTGATGGAGGAGGTGGAGGGGTGGGCGCTCGTTGTTCCTGGACGGGCGGCCGCGGGAACTTGGCTCGCAGCTGCGCGAGGCGCTCTTGGGTCTTCTCGCGAAACGTGTTCGTCGACTCGATGAGCGGTGAATGCGTGCCGAACTGGGCCAATCTCCCGATCAGGTCCTCGCACTCGCGCATGGACCTGTTGAAGTCGTCGTCCATCGTTGTTTCGCGGCGGTGGCGTGCTGCTGCTGCCCCCTGCCCAGGGGTGGGTTCCTTCCCTGGCGAGGCTGCCTCCGTTGCGCGTCTGGCGTATGCGCACGTATCAGTTGCGTATGATCTCCGTTCTGTACGAATTCTAGCCTTCGGTGGTGCGCTACAAGACGTAGCGCTGCCAACCGGCGCTTTGCCGGCCGCCCGCGGCGCATGACCCGCACGCGCACTCGCCACGATGTCGCGGACACGCAGGTACCCTGTAGATGCGCCGTAGACGCCGTACGACCCATAAATTTCACCTCTAGTACCTCTATGTCTAGCATGCTGGCAGGCGCCGCGAGAGTAGCGCGACGCTATCTGCTGTGTGCTCGGCGGTTGCGGATTCTCGAGCCATCGCTGCGCATCGCTGCGGACACAACGAAACGCCATCGCCGAGCGTGCGAAGCACTCAATCACCACAGGAGCTCTCCGCGGCGCCGCCGACTAAAAGATGGACTCCTTCGGCCGCCGCGTGCCACCGACCGTGAAGCCGACGAACTATGTCGCCGGTCTGGGCAGAGGCGCCGTCGGCTTCACGACGCGGAGCGACATCGGCCCCGCGCGCGAGGCGGCGAACACCGCGCCGGGCGGCGGGCTCCAGGGCATGCAGGGGCCCGGCGCCATGCCCCCGCCGCCTCCTATGCCTGGGATGCAAGGCTTGGGTCCCGGCCAGCACGGCCCCGAGAGAACGGACTACGGCCAGGCGCCCGAAGGGTATGTCGCGGGCATGGGTCGAGGCATGGGCGACAAAGCTATTGAGCAGGGCGAGACGAATCCCATCAAAGAGAAATTAGCGAGAGAGACCGCTGACTTGAACGAGAGGAATTTCGACCAGTTTTCCGGCTATGGGGGTTCTATATTTGGCGACAGTACGCCGTATGAAAATGACGACGCGGAGGCGGATCGGGTGTATGAAGCCGTCGATGAGAGGATGGACTCTCGGCGTAAACGAGCGAGAGAGGCCAAACTCGTGGAGACGATGAAGCGGTTCCGGGAAGAACGGCCGAAAATTAGTGACCAATTTGCTGACTTGAAACGGGAGCTCAAGGACGTGACGCGGGAGGAGTGGGAGGGCATCCCCGACATCGGTGATCATAGTTTGAGGTTGAAACAGAAGAAGCGGCCGGACCGACTCACACCAATGACCGATAGTGTCCTGTCGTCGATGGCCGCGGGTCTCGACAACACGGGGCATACGGGCGCCTTGGATGCGCGGCAACAGAAGACGGGGGGCTTCGAGACGCCCATGTCCGGCGCGCGCACGCCCATGGGCGGCTGGAAGACGCCCATGCTGGGTGGTGGGACTACTTCCGTGGCCGGTACGTCGTCGTCCTTGACGTCTGGACTAGCTGCGGCGCGCGGTACGGTGCTCGGCTTGAAGCTCGATAAGATGAGTGATTCCGTAGCGGGTCAGACCGTTGTCGACCCGCAAGGGTATCTGACGGATCTCAACTCTATCAAAGTGAATACCGCGTCGGAAGTCGGAGACATCAAGAAGGCTCGGTTACTGTTGAAGTCAGTTACTACTACCAACCCGAAGCACGCGCCGGGCTGGATCGCTGCCGCGCGCGTCGAGGAGATCGCGGGGAAGGCGATTGCTGCCCGGAAATTGATCCAATTGGGATGTGAGGCGTGCCCCGACGCCGAGGATGTGTGGTTGGAAGCTGCTAGACTACAAAGTTCGGATGCGAATGGTCGATCGGTCTTGCAACGAGCGGTGACGCGCTTGCCGACGTCCACGAAGCTGTGGCTGCGAGCGGCGGAGCTCGAGCCCGACGCCAATAGGAAGAAAGCGGTGTTGAGGCGAGCGTTGGAGCTGATCCCGTCCTCGGTCAAGCTATGGAGGGTTGCTGTGGAGTTGGAAGACGTCGAGGACGCTAGGATACTGTTGGGACGGGCCGTCGAATGTGTGCCTCACTCCGTGGACATGTGGCTCGCTCTTGCGAGGTTGGAAACGTACGAGAACGCTCGTCGCGTGTTAAACCAAGCGCGCGAGGCCATCCCCACGGAGCCAGCGATCTGGCTCACGGCCGCGAAGCTTGAAGAGGCCCACGGCCACGGTGCTGATTTAGTTGATCGCATTGTCTCGAAAGCGGTGCGATCTTTAGCGTCCTATCAGGTCGTGATTGACCGAGAAGCTTGGCTCAAAGAAGCGGAAAGCGCCGAGCAGGCCCAGGCGCCCCTCACGTGTGCGGCTGTCGTGCGGCATACGATTGGCTTGGGCGTGGAGGTCGAGGACCGAAAACGGACGTGGCTCGACGACGCCGACGCCTGTTTGGCTCGAAGTAGCATAGCGACGGCGCGCGCGGTCTACGCCCACGCTCTGTCCATATACCCAAATAAAAAAGAAATCTGGAAACGGGCGTGTTCCCTAGAAAAGAAGTTTGGAAGCCCGCAACAACTCCAGGAAACGCTGAAGAAGGCCGTGGAGTGCTGCCCCCAGGCCGAGGTGCTGTGGCTCATGGCCGCGAAGGAGCAGTGGCTCGCGGGCGACGTCGACGGCGCGCGCGAAACTTTAGGTGATGCCTTCGAGGCGAATCCCGATTCGGAGCCTGTTTGGTTGGCCGCTGTTAAATTAGAATGGGAAAATGATGAAAGGGAACGGGCACGAGCGTTGCTCGCGAGGGCTCGGTCGACGGCGCCGTCGGCTCGCGTGTGGTTGAAGGCAGCATTATTGGAGAGGGAGTGCGAGGACTTTGATGCCGAATTGCAATTACTAGATGAAGCTATTACGTCGTATCCCTCGTTCCACAAGTTTTATCTGATGGCGGCGCAAGCTTGTGAATCAGAGAATAAAGGTTCAGATAAAAGGTTAGGCGACATGAAAGCAGCCAGAGACTTCTACCAGCGAGGTTTGAAGAAGTGCCCGAAGTGCGCGGCACTGTGGATCGGCGCTGCGGCGCTTGAGGAGAAGGCGTTTGGTGCTACTCGAGCGAGATCGGTGTTGGAGTTAGCTCGGTCTCGAAACAAGGGCACGCCGTCGCTGTGGTTGGCGGCGATGCGGTTGGAACGGCGACATGGCCACCAAAAATTAGCCGAGAATTTGCAAGCCAAAGCGCTCCAGGAGTGCGAGTCGTCGGGCGAGTTGTGGGCCGACTGTATTTCTACCGCGCCGCGACCCGCAAGGAAGGGGAAATCGCTAGAAGCCTTGAAACGGTGCGACAACGACGCTCGGGTGATCGTGGCCGTGGCGAACTTGTTCGTCTCCGAGAGGAAGCACAACAAGGCCCGGAAATGGTTCGCACGCGCCACTGCTCTAGAACCGGACTTAGGCGACGCCTGGGCCCACGCTTACTTCTTCGAGGTCAAAGACGGCACGGATCAAACAAGGCAGGACCTTGTGGATAGGTGCGTCGCGGCGGAGCCGGCGCACGGCGAGCTCTGGACGTCGGTCGCGAAGGACCCGAAGAACGCTAGGTTGGACGTCGCGCAGAAATTGAGGCTGTGCGCGGAGAAGCTCAAGCGGGCGGAGGACGAGGAGGCGCTCGCATGAGTAAGGGTTTTCAAATATTTTGTCCAGATTAGAATCTCGTGGGGTGGTTGGGGGAGGGGGTGTTATCTTCGTAGCGCCTCCTCAGAGCGCGTCGATCTGCGCCTCGGCTCACTTCGCGAGCTTGGCGGCGATCGTGCCGAAGTGCTTGCCGTGGGCCTCGGCGATGTCCTTCTCGAGCGCGGACGGCTGGCGCGAGCCGTCGGGGCCGGCCAGCGTGCCCGCGCCGTAGGGCGAGCCGCCGTGGGGGGCGGACAGGTCGAAGAGCTTGGGCGTGGAGTAGCCGAGGGGCACGAAGACCATGCCGTGGTGCGCGAGCTGCGTGACGAAGGTGAGCGCCGTCGTCTCCTGGCCGCCGTTCTGGGTGCCCGTGGAGAAGAAGACGCCGGCGGGCTTGCCGACGAGCGCTCCACTTTGCCACAAACCCCCCGTCGAGTCGAGGAGGGCCTTGACCTGGGCCGACGCCATGCCGAAGCGCGCGGAGAGGCCGAAGAGGAAGCCGTCGTAGTCGGCGAGCTTGGCCGCGGACGCCTCCTCGTCAGCCTGGCCGACGCCCGGCGCCCCCATCTTTCCGAGGACCTCGTCCGAGAGCGTTTCGGGAACCTTGAGCAGGGTCACCTCGCAGCCGGCGGCCTCGAGGCCCTCCTTCTCCGCGAGCGCGAGCGTGCGGACGTGGCCGTACATCGAGTAGTAGACGATCGCTATCTTCGGTTTCGGCATCGTGGCGGTGTTGATTACTTTCTTTGAGCTACACGACCCTATGGTTGCTTGAGTGTTTGCCTGCGCGATGTAGTGGTCCGCGTGTCGCGGCGGTCAGAAAAACGGGGGTTTAACGATGTGTCCCCCCGCGCGCGGGCAAGAACGGTCAACGAAGGCCGGCTCGCGTGGCTTGCCGGCCTCTAGACGATTGCTTCGCAGCGATTTGCTATTGGTGCCTAGCCAGTCGTGCCACAAGGGCAGCCAATATCGCGCGTTGCTGCAAAGTTTTCGCTATAGAGCGCGCGGGAGGCAAACGATGATTTATGGCGCTGAAGGTGCACGGTGGACGGTGTTTTAGCCGGTGAAAATGCACAAGGGCAGCGTCCGGCCTTTTGGCCGGTCCGATAGGGACCCCGAGCGGGGCTGCCGTGGGCTTATGGCATCCATAGATCCGCAGAGGAGACGTCCTGCATTACGCCTAGGCCAGTACTCCTGCGCAAACTCGTTGAAAACCCGCGCGCCAGACGTTTTTGCAACAACAGGCTCTGACACCCTGGGGCGCTTGCGGCGCACCACAGATCAGAAACGAATTGATTCTAGCAAGTTCTTGGCTGTATCTCGCTCGGCCGCTTGTCATCTCGCGCTGCCGACGTGTTTGGAGGCTGCCCTTCAGCAATGCGGCCACCCGCCCTGTTACTCATCGCATGCGCCAACAGCCTCAATTTCAGCCCTCGTCGGGTCCACTTGCGGAAACTCTTACGGAGGAAGAATCGCCAACCAAAGAGGCCAACGATGCTGCGCAACCAGGACCGCCCCGAGCTGCTCCTCTTCGTGACTGCCAACGCCGCGCGCTGGACCGACGGCAGCGCGCGGCCGGGCGTCGAGCGCCTGGTTGCTGAAGCCGCGGACGCGGGGACGCCGTCGCTGTGGATCTGCGAGGATGACCCGAAGCCGGTCGGTGACCTAAAACCGACGCCCTGGCCAAACGCGCCTTCCTTACCCTGCCCCCAAGCACTGCAAGACGCGCGCGCGTCGATAGAAATCGAGCCAGATGGCTTCGGCGGCGGCATGGGTGGCGCCGGCGGCACGCGTGCGGTGTCCTCAGAGGAGGCGTCGCGTCGATGGCGTCTGTGGCGATTCTGGACGTCACTCACCACCCGATAATCCCCACAGGCACGCGGGGCCGGAAGATGCCGGAGCGCGAGCCGCTCCCGGCGCGGTGCGTCGTCATCGCGCCGAGCCGCGCGGCGGCGATCGCGGGGCGGAGCGCCGGGATGAGGGTAGTAGGCTTGTGCTCCGAGGCCGAGGTGACACTCGACGGCGCGGCGCGGCGCACGAATCAAACTTCAAAATGCATCCGCTCGATGGCATAGAGAGTATTACGACTCACTGATTGATCTCAGGCGCCGCGGACGTATTATTCGACGAGCTCGACGATGACTGGGACGCCGTCACGTTCGATGATTTGTACACGCCGGGGAGCTACTGGGTGAATCCGCCGTCGCCGCGCACCGTCGACGGGCGCCACGCGGACCCCTGGACGGGCGAGGTCGTCGAATACGACATGAGCGGCGCCGTCGTGAGCAGCGCCGAGGCCGAGGACGAGTCCGTCGACGACGGAGAGCTCTCGGCGGCGGAGCGAGCGATCCTCGCGGACATCGAGGGGCTCTAAGATTTTGTCAGTATACTTAGGGCACAAGGGGAGACCACGCCTTCTCAAAGGAGGAACGGCGGCGCAGAATCAGATGAGCTCGGCGAGGGTATAGAGCTGGTCCTCGTCGAAGAGCGGCGCGTCCTTGCTGTGGGCGGTGGCCGGGCAGACGGGCCGGTCCGCTTCGGAGAGCGGGTGGTAGACCTGGGCGATGACCGTGATGCGGCCGCCGTGGTACACGCTGAGCGAGAGCTCGACATCGCACGGAATGTCGCCAGTCCGTCCTTTCAGCATCGTACGACCCATCTTCGTCGTGCAGTCGATATGTTTCGAGCCCGGCGCGGCGCGTGATTTGAGGGCGAGCTCGGCGTGGAGCCGACCGATGGCGTCCGCGTGACTGCCGAGGCCCGCCGCGTCGTGGTATAGCGACGGCACCGGCGTGGTGTTCAGCGAAAAGTGCGCGGCCATCGCTTGACGGCTACAGATCTGGTGATCGAAGGCCGCCGAGGCGCCAAAGCTGATCGCACCGTCGACGCACACGCGGAACCACACATACGTCTCGTTATACGCAGTTCTCAGTAGCGCCTTCGCCGCGTTCGGCAGCGCGACCGGAAAGCTCGAAGCGAGCGCCTCGGCGGCTTGCGCGGCAGCGTCGTCGGCGCGCGTGTCGGTGCCGACCGCCCTCGCCGTCGGCGCGTCGGGGATCGGGCCCGCCCGCGCGCGTTTGGTCGCAGGGGGGTCAACACCGTCGCCGTCCAGCGTCGACGGCGGGTGCTCCGGCGAGAGCTGCGGCGTCACCGGTGCTGGTCCCGCAAAGCGCCGCGAGAAGGGATTACCGGGCGGGAGCCGCTCGTGGAACGCGCAGCATTCGGATCGCACCGCGCAGCAGGCGCCGTTCACGGCGGGCACGGCGAAGACGTCCGAGAGCTTGAGTTTTCCCTGGGACGCCATGAGCGAGGCCCGCGCGAAGAGCGTCGAGGAGTCTCGCGCCAATGCGACGAGGAGCCACTCGCGCACGTGCTCGATCGAGACGGCGCCGCCGCGCGTCGCCGTATCTTGTATATCTCGCGTCGTGTGGTCCGGACCGCTCTTCACGGAGTCCAGGGCGCTGCCCGAGAGCTGCTGGAGCGCGGCCGTCTTCTTGCCGACCGAGCGGCCGCGGCCGCGCCGCGACGGCGCCGAATCAATACACGCAATGCCGAGGCGGACGCAGCGGCCGCACGCCGGCGAGGCGCGGTCGCATTTGACCTTGCTCTGCCGGCACGCGAGGCACGTCTGGCGCAGTAGTTTTGGTTGCGTTTCTGGTGTGGGTTCGCTCATGATCTGTGACTTCGCGCCGCTGGTTGTTTCTCTGTCGAAAGCTCCTTGAAGATGCAGTGGCCCAGATTAGAGTTTCGGCTGCGAGGCGCTGCGAGATGTCGCCTCCGCTGCACAGATCGGCCTTTGAGGATCTAAATGGTGAAGATGAGGGCCAGACTGTCAATCTAGGCTAGCTTTTTTACGGCGCAGAGCATGTTATCTAGCGGCCTGTAAGACACTAGCCAAAGTCTCAAAATGAGAGGTCTACAGGACCGAGCAAGAGACCGAGGTTGAATACTGTTAATGAATTGTTATATATTCGCGTCCGGCACGGATACGCGCCCCGACCGTACGAATTTGACGAGCGAGAACGCCTCTTGCTCCGGTTCACCGGCCGCGAGCGCGCACAACGCCGCGATGGCCATGCCCCCGGCAGACAGTAGCCAGACCGCGCTGCCAGTCGGCGGCGCGGCACCAGCCGTGGCGTTGTAGACTAACAAGTAGAGCCCTAGCCCGACCAGGCCGCCGACGTTCGTCGTCGCCCAGAGCGCGCCTGTGTTGAAATCAACCAGTGAGTTAGGTTATCCTGAGTAATATTGCGTGGACCTTCGTGAACCTCCACGCCATCGAGCCGACGCGTTCACGGGGATACGTCGCGTCGATGGCCTGGAAACTCCACGCCGTCGAGCAGACGCAGCTACGGAGACAGCATCGCGCCGATGGCGTGGGGCGCCCGAAATTTGATTTCCACACAGGAGCGTGCCCTGCAAGTGCCCCTGCTGGTCGCCGGACGCCTCGGGCGTCAGTAGCGCCGTGAGCGTCGGGAAGACGCCCCAGCCCACCGTCGCGAGGGGCACCAGAGTGAGCGCCGCGGCCGAGTCGTCGAGGAAGCCCACCGCGAGGGAGCCGACGATCGACAGCGCGAGGAGGAGCGCGACGGACCGCGCGTAGCGCAGCGACGAGGGAAATAATGCTGCTGAGGCCGCGACGGCGCCGACGAACGGCGCCGCGATGGACAAACAAGTAAACACCGTGCCGGACTCGATGCCCCAGCCAAACGTCGCCTGGCCCCAATAAATCCCAATGTTGAGCAGGCCCGTCATCACGACGTACAGAGTGAAATAGCTGCCGACAAGCCACGCCGCTCTTCTATCCCTCAATACGAGCGGAATCGCCTCCGCTTGCGACGCAATGCCGTCCCTTATTGCCGCGCCGACGGCCGCGGGTGAGTCGAGGCGCTGCGCCGCGGCCTGGTCGGGTCTCGTCTCCGGGAATTTTTCGTACGCGAACCACAAGAGTGTGGCATAAAAAACGCCCGGGAAGGCCATGGCCGCGCCATCGTTAAAGTAGGTCCACACAGGGTACGCCAAGGCGGAGCCGACGAGCGCCCCGGCGCCGCCCAGGATCCAGACGCTCTCCATCGCGACGGCGAGCTCCTGCCGCACGTTGTCGTCGAGCGTGTCGTGGCGCAGGCCCGTGGCGACGGCGCGGAACGCGCGGATCGGCGCCCAGTCCTCGGCGCCGCCGGGCACGACGCCCTGCCCGACGCAATCGACGACGACAGCGTTAGCCAGGCCCCACGACACGTCGGCGGCGCCCTGGAAGAACGACCCCGTGATCCACCACCAGGAGGCCGGATACACAAAGGTCAGGAAGAAAATCGTGACCACGAACGCGCTCGCGAGGAAGACCGGTCGTCTCCCGTGGCCATCCGCGATGTCTCCCGCGATCGGGCTCATGATGATCTGGCCGACGTTGTAGGCCACCCAGGCCATCGTGTACATGTTCGCCGCTCCGACGGTGCTGTAACCGCGCGCCTCGAGGAAATAGGGCGAGATCACGGCCCACATGCCGTACGCGAGACTCCCGCAGAACTGGAAGACGTACATGGCCTGCAGGGCCCCGAGCGCTTCCGTCCGCCGCTTGCCGCCCGCGCTCCGATTCTCGAGGTAGGCCTGCTCGACCGAGCCGGCCAGGAGGCCCTCGGTCTCCTTCGACGACATGCTGCTGCTGCTGTGCTGCTCCCCTCCTCGATGGCAGATGCTGGGGGCAGCTACACTGCTTATCACTGCTGCTCCGAGGCAGCAATGTACACACTAATGCGTCGCTTGCGCGCGCCGGGCTGCCGATTGGGCGTCGCGGCGCGTCCGAGATGGATGCGGCCAAGGTGTGGGACAGCTGAGGAAATCTGGCGTTCGGGGCGGCGGCTGCGACGCACGCCTCGGGATGCGTCCCTGGACGACTCTGTACGACTCTCAAGACAGCGAACGTAACTGGCGGAGTGCAAATCGCGCCCGCGCGCCGCGGACCAAGGACGCCCCGACGCCGTCGACGCGAGCGAATAACACTAAACGTGAGTTAGGCGAAGCGACCGGGCACCACTACGACTCCAGCGCCAGCTCGCGCGGCCGCTTCAGCACCGGGCACTTGCCTGATGAAGAAACCTCGGCGAAGTCGTGGCGGCCGAACTTCTTCTTGCACGCTACCAACCTCCTTTTGGAGTCGACGCCGCCGTTCACGTGGAAGGAGATGGCCTTGGCGCAGGCGTAGAGCTCGAGCTGCGTGTAGCCCGTCAGCCGCTCGCACGGCCGCGGCCAGCACTCCCTATTATCACGGTTCTCCCGCGCCTCGGCGACCAGCGACAAGTGGACGGCCGCCGCCGCAATTTGCGACGGCTTGAAGTCGAGCAGGGCGTACTCCTGCAACGTCCGCTGCGAGTAGTACTCGGCGCGGTGCTTGACGCGCGAGGAAGCCCTAGACACGGCACACAAGCGCTCGATCCACAGGTGCGCGTTCGGCGCCGTGATCTTCCAGTCGAGCTCCAACAAAATCTTCATCTCCATGTCCAGGACCTCTTCGGCGGCATAAGCATGATCAGTAATGTACGTGAAGTCGGCGACCTCGGGCGGGTAGATCTCCTCGTACTTGCAGGCTACAAATAAAGCGGACACGCCGAGCAGCTGGAGCTTCTTGCGGTGGATCTGCTTTGACGACAAGTAGCGGTCGATGATCTGGACCGTGAGATACAGCGTGGGCTGGAGCATCTTGAACTTGAGGTGGACCTCGACGAGCCAATCGACTAAAACGGCGCGCATCTTGGCGTTGATGTCCTGCTGGAACTCGATGTACGCCTCGATGGGCCACGTACTTTCCACGGACTTGTAGTGCTTGTAGAGGTCCACCACATATTCGGTAACTTGCTGCTCGTCGTGGGCGTTGTCGACATCGACATCGTAGGGCACCGTCTCCCTCTGCTTCTTGGGCCTCTTATCGTCTCTTTGGTCGGGCGGCGGCCGCGCCTTCCTTTTTCGGCCCTGGTTCGGGTCGACGGCCCCAAAGGCCTGGCGGCCGCGGCCGGCGGCGGGCCGCGGCCGCGGCGGCGGCGCCGGCGGCCGCTCGTCGAAGATCTCGACGTCGCCGTCGCTCGCGTTGTCGTCCGCCTCGCCGGTCGTCGCGCCGCGGCGCGTGCGGACCATTTTTTTTTGCTGGCGCGGGCGCGGGGGTTGGCCGCGGCAAGGGTGGGGGGTTTTGCGGCGCTATAGAGGCGGCCGGCGCGCGCTATGCGCTGTGCGGTTTGAGGTGCTTTTGAAAGCAGCGCAGCGTGTTTATCGTGCGGCGCAGCGGGGAAACTTGCTGCAGCGCGCGGTTTAAGGTAGCTGAAGCGCTGTGTCAAGTGCTAGGGCAGGAGGTGATCTGTGCGCCTCGTTAGCAGCCACAAAATTGAACGAGCAGGCCGGCGTAAATTGAAAGTCTTCGAGGGTCGAGTCTCATTGGTGCGCCGCCTATGGCTCGAAGCAGCCCTCTGACTGCTCTCCGCCGCCCACGAGGAAGCCTGCCTGGCTCCGCGTGGTCTTGGTCGAGTCTTGCAGGGCCATACCGTAGGCGCGGACGGTGCGCGACGCTCATGAGAGAAGGTTCGGGATCGCGCGCCCGGCGCCGCTCGTGGCACTGGGACGTTCGCTCGCGTACTCGACTGGTGTGAAGGACGGGCGGTGCGAGATCTGAAGGCTCCTGAGTAAACGCGCCTACCGCGCGCGATAATGACAGAATGACCTCCACTTCTGCTCTTTGCTTCCTGGCGCTGAGATACGCGTCGGGAACGTGTCTAGCAATGGGCGGACTGATCTGGCGAAGCTAGTAGGCATTTCTTGTCATACCAGCAGCGCTGCCCAAATAGCGGCCGCTGAGCGGCGCCAAGATGGCGTCGCGCTGTCTCGTTTGGCTCATAAGCCTTCTGATATTCGACAATGTCATGTCCCTACGAACGACGGTCTCCGGACGCTTCACCCTTACAAAAACTGGAGCAACGAATTTGTTAAATTCTGACGTCTCCCGCACGGCACACAGCGCGTTGGCTCACCGGAGTCGGTCAGGTCACGCTGCCGCGGCCGCCGCACCCCGCTCCCAGCGCCTCCGCCTCGCCGCGGCGCCCGACGCCGAGCCGGACGCCGCCGCGACGGACGGCGGCGTCTTCGGCGCCGCCGCCCTAGCCGCAGGAAACATGGTCGGCGGCGGCATCCTCGCGATCCCGACGGTCTGCGCCGGGCCGGGCTTCTACCCGGCGGCCGCGCTGACGATCTGCCTGTGGGCCGCGAACGTCGGCACGGGGCTCCTCCTGGGCGAGGTCGCGGCCGCGGCCGTGCGCCGCGGCGACGAGGACGTCTCGCTGCGCGCGCTGAGCCGCGACGCCCTCGGCGAGAGCGGCGCGCAGCTCACGAGCGCGTTCTTCGTTGTCACGAATCTGATGCTCATGGGCGCCTACGTCGCCGCGGGCGGCGACGCTTTGGGCAGCGCGGACGGCTACGTCGGCCACCGAATCGCCTTCTTCCTCGCGGCGACACTGCTCGCGGGAGCGCCATCAGTTCTGGCCGACGCCGCGAACTCGGGACTAGTCGTGGCCATGGTCGGCGCGTTGGGGGCGCTCCTCGTCTTAGCAGCACCGTCTGTCGACCTGTCGCTACTCGCCCAACCTGGGACGGCGTCGGAACCTGGCAGTGCCCTGATGACGGCGGCGCCGATCCTGCTGGGCGCGCTGGTCTTCCAGAACGTCGTGCCGATCATCGCGAAGCGCTTCAAAGGTGATACAGAAAAGATCCGCGAGTCCGTGGTTCTGGGCTCCGCGGCACCAGCCGTCGCCTACATCGCCTTCTGCGCGTCGGTCCTGGGCCGGCCCGGCGAGGCCGCGGCGCCCGGCGAACTGCTCGACGCCGCGCGGGGCCTGCCCGACGAACTGCGCGGCCCGGCCTGCGCCGCGCTCGCCGTCTTCTCGGTGACCGCCGTCGCGACGTCCTTCACGGGCGCCGCGGTCGGCCAGCTCGAGGAGATCCGCGGCCTCGTCGGCGGCGATGACGACGACGATTCCTCGAACGAGGCCATCGTCGCGGCGGCGTGCTTCCTCCCGCCGCTCGCGCTGGCGTTGTCCGGGCCGAACGTGTTCCTCCCGCTGCTCAGTTTGACGGGCGGCTACGCGAACACGTATCTGTTCGGCCTGCTGCCGTGCTTGCTCGCGTGGAAACACCGCGAGGCCGCGGAAGCCGGCGACGAGATCCTGCCCGGCGGCCGATATAGCTTGTCCGCGCTCGGAAGCGGGGCCGCCACCATGGTCGTCTCCGCCGGCTTGGGCGATGCCGCGCATGCCATATCGACGGCCGTACCACACGTATAGCCGTCCAATTCGCAAGAAAGAAAAAAAGAAGAAAGAATATCGACATACCCGCTCTCGTTCCTGTCCCATATGTACATAGAAAGTAAGTTTACAACAGACATAACTAGGCGAAGGGCCGCAAGACCCCTCGCGACAACGCCGTCCAGGCCGGCGGCTCGGACGCCGGCTCCGACACCTCAGGCTGGTGGCAGTGGTGCGCGTGCGGCACATACTAGGCAAAGGGCCGCAAAAAAAAACGCAACAACGCCGTCCAGGCCGGCGGCGCCGCCACGGGATCGCGGGCACGCGACCGCAACCGGCGCCACTCGTCGCCGAGGCGGCGCCGCAACGCGCCGTCGCGCACGACCAACGCTGCGCCGAGCTCGACGTCGCGCCGATGCGACCGCACGTTCCAGTTCGAGGACCCGACGACCGTCGCGCCGACGCGCCGCTCGTCGCCCGCCGAAAACGCCCAGCAGCCCTTGGCGTGGTAGGTCTCGCGCGGCGCGGCCCACGCGCGCACGTCGCCCGACCCCTTGAGCTTCGTCGCGAGGTCCCAGGCGAAGCGCGCGTGCGCGAGCGGCAGGAAAGCCTTGGCGCCCGTCGCGCCGGCGAAGCCGTGCGTGTCGGGGGAGGGCACGACGACCGTCGCGGCCGCCCGCCCGAGCGCTTCGACGACGGCGGGCGGCGGGTTCGCGTAGGCCGTGGAGAGGCCGCAGCGCGGACTCGCGGCCAGCACGGCGGACAGCGCCCGCGCGTCGAGATCCAAGAGGTCGCGCACTTGCGCCGTCGGGAAGAGCGTCGCCGCGGGCCGCCGCCGCGACCGGTGGAAGCGGCGGCGCCGCGGCGGCGGCGCCGGCGCGGGCCCCGTGCAGAGTTCGCGGAGCGCCCGCGCCCGTTCTCCCGCGTCCGGCGCCGCCGCGGCCGCGCGCACGGCGCGGTCGTACCAGTCCGCAACTTTACTATCGCGCACGACGACGTAGCGGTCCTGGCGCGAGCGGAAGTACTCCTCGCTGAGGTTCGCGCCCGTGAGCAGCGCCGCGTCGTCGAAGACGCAGGCCTTGGCGTGGTAGACGCCCAGGATCTCGCCGATCAAGCCCGAGCGCCCCGACGCGTCGACGAGGTGTATGTCACCGCCGGCTTCTTCAACGGCGGCCAGCGCGTCGACGGACGTCCGCCCGTCTTTATCACGCCGCCCGGCCCGCGCCGCGTCCAGGGTCACGTTGACGGCGACGCCGCGGCTCGCCGCGCGCGCCACGGCCTCCGCTAGGTTCAAAGCTAGCGGGCCCGTGCCCCAGTATAAGGCGCTGAGCGTCACGCGAGTCGTCGCGTGGTCGCAGCGCTCGATGAGTGACTCGTAAAAGGCCGTCGGCGTTCGCAAGATCTGCACGCGTTGTGGCCTTACATTAAAGCAGCGCAGGTTGAGCCGTGCGAGGGACCGGTGGAGCTGGTGGGCCGACATCAGCTAGTCTGCGGTTTTATGCATCGGTTTATCGCTGCGACCGCGTGCGCCTAGTGCAATGCTGCACGAATCACGACTCAGGCTTGCATAGTGCGCCCGTGTCGCGTCGCAAAAGCGTCGAGCGTGAATTAGCTAGCGGGCCTGTGAGACACTAGCAAGCAAACTCGGAACGCACATGCAGCCGTTTGAGTATCCTTCCGTTCGCTAATGGTCCAAAGAGATCGATGGGACACGTACTGGGGACCGAAAAACTAATTTTTTTAATTCGCGGCGCCGAGGGGGACGAGGCCACAGGGCGGCCGCACCGGTTTAATCCTGTCAATCCCTGCCAAACAGGTCTCCCTGGGGTCGCCTAGGGTCGGTACTATACACGTGCACGCGCCTACGCCGCATGCGCCGCCGCTTCCAGCATTTTCAACCGATTTCTCTCAGCAGACCACTCGGTTTAGCCATCTTTTGGCCATGGTTTGCTTCCAGGGCTCTCCGAGAGCACTAGGCGGCTGCATCGACGGCGTATGCGGTACAGGCAACTACCCGCCACCAGACCTACCTCGAGAGACCTCCAGGAGCCGATCTGCCCCCGAAAAAACTGTGCAATTTGGACCCGATGGCGCCCCGTTCCCGTAAAAAACGTCAATTACCCGAGGGCCCCCAGTAGTCGCCGTAGGGGTCTCTCCGGGCCCCATACTACCCCACCGATAGTCAACTACAAGTATATGACATCTACACGCCGAGAAGGGTACTTTTGGCTTCCCACGCTCGGGACGTGAACATCTTGATCTGGACCTCGCGCAAGTCAATCGATCATGGAACAAATGATAGCGTCATGGTCCATGGTCATGGTACACGGGCTGATGGTCCCAGGTCTACGTGTCGAGCCAATTTAAGCGAGATCGTGGGCCCGAGAGACCGACGAGCCGCCGGGAGCCTTCGGAACGGTAAATCAAATGTGTGACCGCTCAGGCGGTTCGCATGGCCCGTCCTATAATCGAAGCGCCTCAAATGCAAATTTATTTCACAACTCACGGATATGGGGCCTTTCCGGTGCTCCGTCAACGTACCGTCGTCCGCGGAGAACGGGCAAGTTAGTCGATTGTGAATAGAACAACGGCGTTATGGTCCATCTGGATGGTGGCGTCGCTGATACTCGCATATCTAGCTCTTGAGCTCTTTTATATATAAACGCGAGGGCGCGGATTCGTCGTTTCGCGCGGCTCTAACGGGGCATCTAAAATAGCTCAGTGGCCGCTGATGCGGGTTAGATGGACTCTACCACCAACAAACGGAAGGAAACGAACATAAACTCGGGAGTTGTCTAGTAGAACTCTTCTCCCGCCCTCCGAGCACGGGCCGTCGGCTCCGGTTCCGTCGATTATGTATGAAAACTGGGCTGGAGTTGATATAATGTACCATTTGGACGGTAGAAGGCACCGTCAATCGCTGGTGTAATTTGGCGACCCGTAAGTCTCATCCACGAATGTCGCGGGCGGTGCCTTCCGAAGCATTGCTCTACGCTATAATTATCCAGCATATCAGATACTCACACTCAAAGGGAACATAGCGAGTTGCTATTTAGAAATCGGGCGTGAGAAAGATGCGCTCACCATGCATCGTGAGATATACGCTGGAATGCAGCACCTCGATGGACCGAACCACGAAAATGCATTCATGGCAGCGTTTCAACTTGCCTCATCTCTGACAAGAACTGAGAACTATGCTGAGGCGTTAGAGCTCCTGCGTGAAAGAGCGCCCTGGGCCCAGCGCACGCTTGGGCCCGACCACGAGTTAACGCTTTGTCTCAGAAGGACCCTCGGAAGTTCCCTCATAGCAAACGCGCGGGTCAAGACCGACATTAGTTACTTGATTGAGGCCGAGACCTTACTCGAGGATGTTCACAGACGCTTTCGACGCGTATTTGGCGAGTCCCATCCCGATACGAAACACACGGAGGAAAAGTTGGTTTTCGCCAGACACTTCAAGGCACACGTCGAGGAGTTCGAGAGAGAGTTCGAATCGCGTGAGAAGTCATAAATCACAATAATTTACCAAAACAAACACACAAACACTCACCCATACGTCCAGTCCGGATTCGCGCGACACGCCGGCGGCACGGCGACGCCGCGCGTGAACGAGTCGATATCGTCGCCCCGCGTCCGCCCGGCCGCGTCGAAGACCTGGCCGACGTGCTGGAAGTCTGCGGGCCGCCGCGTCGGGAAGGGCCGCGACCCCGCGAAGAGCTCGCACGAGTAGCTGTCGTGCGCCAGGACCTCCTGCTCGACGAGCGGCGCAATATCAGCAGCAAGAAAGTCCAGGTCCGCGCCGTAGGCGTCATGGTCGAAGTACTGGCGCGCCAGCATCTCCACCTTTCCATGGATCTGAGAACGTCGCGTCGCGCCCCACATGCCGCCGTTCAGGAGGCGCTGGTGGTTCGGGTGGTCCCGGACCGTGTGCACCTCATACGCAGACTCGACCCAGTCCGCGACCGCGAAGGCGTCCCGCGCGTTCAATCGCGAGTCCGAATCTCTAATGATAAATCGATCCACAGTCACGTCGTCGGCCACGAAGAAGCGCCGGAACATGCCGTGGCTTGCACCTTCCGCGCTCCAGTCGTCTAAGTGGATTTCCGCCTTGAGCGCCTCGAGCTCCCTTAACTTTTCTGAAGGGACACTTGAAGAATCGGCATACACCCTCAACCGCCACGTCGGGAAGTAGGCCTCGACCAATTTAGCGTTCTCGATGCAGCCCTCGACGTACTTCGGATCATCTCCGTACAGCGCCATGGCGATGACGCGGCGTTCCTTCGTCGGAGCGAATCGGCGCTTCAGCTCGAGCCGCTGCTCATTATCTTGCCTCGCCTCCTCCGCCGCCGCGACCGACGCCTCGGCTCGACTCCGCGCGACGTGCGCCGCATCAAGCCTTTTGGGTTGGAACGGCGCGCGCGGCTTGTGGCGCTTCCTCGCTATTAATACACCTTGCTGGCCCTCGAAGTCCAAATCGTCAAAAACTCGGACGCGGCCCTGCGTCTCGTGCACGAGGCCCGCCCTATGACCACCACGTCGCAAGAACTTCCACCGGTCTTCACCACCGTTGACATCAACGCAAACCACGCGGCCGTCGTCTCGGACCGCGAGGCGCTTGCGCTCGCCATCACCACCGTCGATCGTCAGGCGGCCGTCGTCGCGCTCCCAGGCCCGCAAATGAAGGGGTACCGTCGCGTCGGCACCACAGCGCGCCTCGCCGCCCGCCTGGCAGTAGAGCGACCGGCCGCGGTCGCCGGACCCGGCGCACACGAGCTCCAACGTCGCCGCCGGCGCCGCGTCCTGTGCCGCCGGCTTTGGTTGCGTCCTGGGCCGGTCGCGCGAGAACTGGTGCCGGTGGCGCTGCTCCACGTGGGCGTGCTGCTGCCAGAGCTGGATGATGGTCACCAGGGCGAGGGCTATGGCGATTGTTGTGCGCAAAGCTGGTGGCGGCATTTTTTTTGTGGCCAGGGTGCCGCTACGCGCTTTCTTTTGCTTGCGCTGGCTTAATTGCAGCAATAATGCATGTTTTAGATGTGCGCTTGCAGCGATGCGCACTCAGCGGCCTTGTTGCGCAAGTGCGGCTGAGGTTCCTAGTGTGTCAACGCCGCTAGCCATCTGCCAGGGCAAAACGCACACGCATCGCATCGGCAGCTAGCGATCGCATTGGTGGTCTTTCTGGCTTACTACAGCCAGCCAGGATTGATCACAGGCAGCGCATCGGACCCACGGGGAGATTGCACTGAGTGCAGCCTCTTCACAGTCTGTGCGCACCGCGCGCGTCCGTGCGCATACCACTGCAGTATAACCCCTAGAAATGCAGCCAATGGAGCTAGACGACGGCCCACAGCCCGAGGGCTACGGCGCCGGCCGCGCCGCTACCATCCTCGTCGCTGAGTGCGTGGGTACGGGCGTGTTAGCATTGCCGTACGTCGCATCGGTGCTGGGCACCGGTCCGTTCCTGCTCTTCGTCGCCGTGCAAGTGGCGCTCAACTTGTACGCCGGCGAACTGCTCGCGACAGCGGCAGAAATGTCGGAACGAAGAACGAACTACGAGGCCTGCCGGAGCACAACGTCGGCGCTGTGGGACTTCGTCGACGACACGGACAACATCGACTGGGACACGGGCGAGCCCAAGTCCCCGACGACGCGCCCGCGCGACATGCTTGAATTGGCTCAGGGACTTGATGCCGGCCGGCCGCTGCGGGCACTGGTCGCGAGCGCGTGGTACGGGAACCTCGTACTGATACTGGCTCAGTACCTCGTCGTGATGGCGCGGTCGTTGCGCGTCGCGTTTCCGTTGCCGGGCTGCGCGGTTGTGGTATCGCTCTTAATCGCGGCACTCACCGCTTGGTTGATTGCGCAGCTGCCGACGCTCGATGCTCTAGGGAAGGGCGCGGCCCAATTGAGCTTCGCGTCCGTAGTCGCAATTCTCGCTATTTGTGCCAAGCATACGCCGACCGGCCCGCCGCCCGTCGTTGTTGAGGACGCGAGCGCGGCCGCCGTCGCGGCGTCGCTGACAACTGTTACGTTCGCGATGATAACGTCCAAGCTGTTCCTCAACGTGCGCCGCGAGATGCGGGACCCGCGCGAGGCGCGGAAGACGCTTCGATACGGCATCGCTGCGTTTACTTGTGTCTATGTTGTCGTTGTTTTCCTGTCGGGCCCGGAGCCGCCGCGCTTCCTGCTGGACGCGGTGCACCATGGCACCGACGGGCGCATCGCCGCCGGCCTGTTGTTTGCGCACGTGGCGGTATCCTACGCGATCAACCAGAACGTGCTCGCGCGAACGCTCGAGCGCTACCTCGGGCATGCGCTGTCGAGGCGCGGCTGGGCGCTGATGACCGCCGCGTTAACGCTGTCGTCGTTGCTCATCGCGGTGCTCGTGCCAGTCTTTTCCGACCTCGTCTCTATCATTGGGGCTCTCACGTCAGGGCCTCTCGGATTCGCGATGCCGGCGTTGCTCTTCGATCTCGCCACGCGCGATTCGGACGTCAAGCGGCGGAGGAAGGGAGTCGTTAGCCTCGTTCTATTCACGGTCGTCCTCACGATAGCCGGCACAACGGGCGCGATCGTTAGAACCGTGAAGGACTGGGAGGCGCAGGAGCGGAGCGCGCCGGGCGTGCGCGGGTTCTTTTGTGCCGAGCAGGCGGGTAGTATGTCTTAGTAAGTGTATTGTTGTGTTCACTTCTAACAAAGTTAATTACATACAACTACAAAGAAGCCGCCGCGACGGCCCTGTCCCGGTACTTCCACAACCGCTCCCCATCCGCCTCGCGCTCCAAGAGACGCGTCACGTTGCCCCGAAGCCGGCACTTCGACCGGACCAGCGCCATGCCGCCGAACTCCTCCGCGAGCCTATTTAAGCACCGCTGGCGCCGCGCGTTCCAAAGCTTTTTATTTTGTTTGTGCATCTGGTCGTTGCGCTCGCCCAGCACCAGCACGGGCGCGAGATCTTCAAAAACGATCGGCGGCAGGCCCGTGGCGTTTCCATTATAAAAGTGGAAGGTCAGGTCCTCGCACGTCGGTTTATGAGAAATGATAAACGCCAGGGCCTGGCGCGGCGCGGTGTGTATGAAGCCGTCGATGGTATCTCGCCTGACCACGGACGTCTGTCCCAGTAAAAAAGAATACTGCTTCGAGGCCGTCTTGCGCGGGTGGAAGACGTACTCGTACTCGCCCGTCGCAGCATCTAAGCGAAAGTTGCGCTCGGGGTACGTGCCCAAAATTTGGTCCGGCGCCGCCATGCGGCCCCACGCAAAAGCATCTAAAGTTTCGGCGTGGTGGAAGACGTCGTCGTCCTGCAGGACTACGCTTTGTGTTGGTACTCTTTTAGCGTGTCTATATCTATTCAACAACGTGTTCGTCGGCTCGACGATCACTTCGACTTCGGTCGTCGGGTTGAGGATGCCCCGATAAAACCCTTGTTGTTTCGACCGCCAGTTCGTCGCGCAGCTTATTATCGGACGGTGCTCGGGCAGACCGTTCCACAGCACTAGCACCTTCTGGACCATGTCGGCGTCGGCGTAGCCGCAAACTAGAGCGTCGAGCCTCTCGTTCTGCTCGGGTATGTAGGCCATGACCACGACGGTCAAACGCTCCGGCCGCTTCGCATGTGCTAATAACGCCTGGCGGTTGACCTTGCAGCTCCCTTCTTCAAATAGCAAGGGGTTGAGCCCTACACTCTTCGCGTCGGACTCGCGTTGGTTCTCGTGGCAGCGGCACTCGCAGTAATTGCGCAGCTCCTGCGCGACGACGCGCCAGTAGCCCGGCGGGTGCGTTCTCCGATAGTTTGGGAGTATGTGGCGCGTCATGCCCTCGGCTTCGGCGGCGTGCAGTAGCGGCAGCAGGGCCAGCGCTGCTCGCATTGCTCCTGCGGGCATTTGTGTGCTCAGCCGCAGCTCCTATTTGGTGCAGGCCTTTTTTTATTGTACCTAGGCAGTGCGGCTGTGTGCTCTGCTCAGTTGCTGCACCGATGCCCCCCGCCGCGGCTTGCTTCACTTTTTTTGGCTAGCGTCCAGTAAGACACTAGCAATCATCAAAATTCGCCAAAACAACACACCTACGCGACTGAACCAATCAAAAATGATCCTCACAACTTGCGCCGCCTGCGCCGCCCCTCTGTCCCTCGACGCGCCGCGTTGTATTAGATGCCACACGAGATACTGCAATCAAACTTGCCAGCATGACCACTGGCGCCGCGGCCACAAGCAGATCTGCAAGAAAATACACCGCGGCGGCAACGCAGAAAAATACCACGCCGACAAAAAATACAAGGAGGCCGTCGCGGCCGCGGTCGCGGCGACCGCGGACGACTACCTCCCGGCGACCCGGGGCTTCACCTGCTACATCTGCGACACGGCGACGTCGGAGGGCCTCGTGCACGGGGGGTGTAATTGCGTCGGCCCGGCGGGCTTCGCGCACATGTCGTGCCTCGTCAGGACGGCGGAGATTAAAGGGGACGACGTAGAACGGCTCTATGGTTCTTTGGCGGACGTCCCGGAGATGGACGACGCGTGGGATCGGTGGTCTGAATGTAGTCTGTGCGGAGCGTTTCTCAAAAGTCACGTACGTCTCGCGCTCGGATGGGCGTGCTGGAAGACGTACTTGGGGCGGCCGGAAGGGGATGAGTTTCGGATGAATGCGATGAACAAACTTGGGGACGCCATGCATTACATAGATATGTATGAAGCCGCAATTGCGGTTTATGAGGCCGAAATAGCTGTTCGCCAGCGCGTCGCAGGGCCGGACAATGATCAATTTTGTATGATTGGGATAGCTCGACGCTCTATTGCGGTTAGCTGCGAACGACTTGGTCGGACTGAGGAATCGCTCGAGATGTACCATTCCGTGCATGCCGCACTTTTGGATCGAAGCCGTGATAATCCATCATACTGTGAGGGCGAGCTTGCGGCGGCCCTCGACCTAGCCGAAGCACTAATCAAGCAATCTAAATACCCCGAGGCGAAGAAGCTTCTGATCCCACGGATCCGCGAGGCGATTCGCTTGGTTGGACCTGACGCCACACTCACGCTCGAGCTACGCTACCAGTACGCAAAAGTTCTCTTTTTTGACGACGACGGGACCACAGCCGACCAGTGCAAAGCCATAACAACGCTAAGAAATATTTGCAAGATTGCAGAGCGCTGGGATTCCAGTGACCAAATGGCACAAAGTATCTTTGGGGTGATGCAGCTCGATCTCGGTTTCTGGGAGGAGGCGGTCGCCGCCGGGGAGGGGTCGCCCGAGCGCACGCGCGCACACATTGCGTACACACGCGACCCCTTAGGTGGCTCATAAAGATAAGACAACATCCAAGAGTTTAGAACAACAACCAACTAGGACGAGGAGGCAAGCGCCGCCCGCCGCAACGCCGCCGCGGTCGCGGGCGACGTCGAATCGACGAGCGCCGAGAACCACCCGTTCGGCAGCTGTACCAGATCCCGCGGCGCGCCGGCCTCGACGCACTTTCCGGCGTCCAAGACGACGACTTGATCGTAATCGATGATCGTGTGGAGCCGGTGCGCGACCGTGAGCGTCGTAGTAGACGAGAGTTGCGGCAGGTCGCGGAGCATGGCTTGGACGCGGGCGTCCGTGTCGCCGTCTACCGAACTGGTAGCTTCATCCATAACAAGAACGCGTGGGCGTTCGAGCAGAGCGCGCGCCATGGCGAGGAGCTGGCGCTCGCCGATCGAGTAGGTGGCGCCGCCGTCACTCACCTCCGCGTCCAAGGGCGGCGCTCTGCCGGGCAGGACCAAATCGAGCGCCTCCCGCACCTCATCTTCAGAACGCTGGTCGAAGGGGTCGAGGCACGACTTGATCGTTCCCGAGAACAATACGGGATCTTGGGGGATGATCTGGGCGCACCGGCGCCGGCACTCGCGGAGCGGGCGCAGCGTGCTCACGTCGACGCCGTCGACGAGCACCGCGCCGCCGCTCAAGGGCGTCAACCGAAACAGCGCAGCGGCGAGCGACGACTTGCCCGCGCCCGTTCTTCCAACAACACCGCACCGTGCCCCCGCGGCGACGGAGAACGACAGCCCATCCAATGCGAGCGGCAGCCCGGGTCGGTAGCGCATGCGCACGTCGCGGAACTCGAGCGCGCCCCGCGACGGCCACTCCTTGGGCGGGGCCGCGTGCCCCGAGTCGTCTTCCGCCGGCACGGCCTCGGTGACGCGTTCCACGGACGTGAGGGCCATCTCGGCCTCGCTAAATGTGAGGCACAAAAAGTAGAACGAGATCGCTTGGTGGAAGCACCACGTGATCAATAAACCGACCATGGCCGGCGAGATCCCGATCTCCTCCCTATAGGAAGCCGCAATACCGCCCGCGACCGCAATCACGGCGGCACAGAGATCATAGCGCAAGGACACCCACCGCTGCGCCGCCGTCCACGCGAGCAACGCCGACGTGTTCCCGTCCACCGCTCTCTCAAATCTATCGGCGAACGCCTTGCCCACCCCAAACGCGCGCAGCGTCGCCGCGACGTCCACGCCCTCCGACACAAGAGCTTGCAAAGGACTCCGCGACAAAGCATCCAATCTCTGTAGATCGACGGCCGACGACCGGTAGAACTGGAGGATGCGAAAGTAGACGCCGAACGCCGGCACGAGACCCACGATGATAGTGCCCCGCGTCAGCGCCATCATGACGCACACGCCCGTGATGGTCCAGCCCACCGAGATCATGAACATCACGGCTCTCTGAGTTAATAAAACATCGATCTGCTCGGTGTCGAAGGTGAAGCGACTCACGACGCGGCCCTGGGGCGTCGTGTCGAAGTAGGACATCGGAGCATTCAGCGTCCGCGCCGAGACGCCCTCATAGAGTTTCCGAGCGGCGCGCACCCCGCCCTGGAAGCCCCACTGCGTCCGTAGGAAACAAAAAACCACAGAAGCCGCCCCCAGCGACAGGTAAACGCGCGCCCAGCGCCAGCGCGCCGCCAAGCCCCCCTCGTTCTGGGCCGGGAACGTCGCCAATCCAAATACGTCCACCGGATGTCTCCTAGCGTCGGCCCACTTCGCCAGCCACCACTCCGTCGCCACGTAACAAGCCCGATCCAACGCCAGCGTGAGGACCTGCCCCAACAAAAACCACCAGCCCCCGGCGCTCTGTGCCCAGACCCACCAGGTGCCCGCCCGGGCGACGCCCGCCTCGCGGGCCTCGGCCGTCATGAGCGCGGCGTCGGCCGAGTCGCTCTTCCGTCTCGTTGTAGGAACAACAACTTCTTCTTCCACGACGACGTCGTCCTGCGACAGGCCCCGCGCCCGCGCGGCGACCAGCGGCGCTATTGTAGAATCGTCCGGCCGCGTCGCGGCCGCGCGCTCGGCCTCGGGCCACGTGCCCTGAAAGGCCACGCCGCCGTCGACATCCAGTACAATAATGCGGTCCGCCCTTCTAAGGTAGTGCGTGCCGTGCGTCACGAGGACGACGGCCGCATCTCTCAAAACGCCCCGGTCGCCCAGCAGCGCGTCGAAGCACCGCTTCCCCGTCGACGCGTCCAACGCGGACAGCGGGTCGTCCAACAAACACAACTTGGGCGCCGCGTAGACGCAGCGCGCCAGGGCCAAGCGCGCCTTCTGCCCGCCGCTCAGCGTGACGCCGCGCTCGCCGATCTCCGTGGAGTCGCCGGCCGGCAGCTGCGCGACGTCCTGGTCGAGCTGCGCGGCCGCCAGGGCCCGCTCGTAGCGCCCCGGGTCGAAGCCCTCGGACGAGAACGCGGTGACGTTCCGGCGCACCGAGGCGTTCAGCACGCGCGGCCGCTGCGCCGCCAGCGCGACGCGCGCCCGATCATAGCGGACCGTCGTGCCGTCCAACGCGGCCGCGTCGCCCAGGATGCCGTCGATCAGCGTCGACTTGCCGCTCCCGACGGGGCCCACGACGCAACACAATTCGCCCGGCCGCAGCGCGAGGTCCAGGCGGCTCGAACACGCGACGAAGGCGCCTTCAGCATAACGGAACGCGCCGCGCTCGACGACCAGCGCCTCACCCGTGAGAACGTCGTCGTCGCGCTTCGACTCCTCGTCATCGTCCTCGTCACTCATCCCGACGAACTGCTCGATGCGGTGGAAGCTCTCGATGGCCTGCGCGAGCTGCCCCAGCAGCGTCCCGAGCTTGTTGATGGGGAAGCGCAAAGCCCCGATCAGCGCCAGCACCGTGAACGCGTTCGCCGGCGTCAGGTAATTATCCGACGACGACGTCATGTGCGTCGTGAAGAGCGCGATCGTCGCGACGACGGGCGACGTGACCATGAGGAGCATCGACAGGCCATAGACGAACATCTCCATGCGCACGTGGTGCAATTCTATGGACCGCAGCGCGCGCCAGCGCGCGCTCCAGAGCGCCTCCCAGCCGTTGTACTTGGCCACGCGGACGCCTCCGAGCACCTCGCCGACCTCGCGGACGCGCTCGTCCGTCACCGGCATCCGCCGTTTGCGGATCGCGATCATCCACCGTCCTAAACACTTGGCCACCGGCAGCACGGCCACGAGGCACACGATGCCGGCCGCGACCGCCGCGCCGTCGCCGCCGACAAAAAAAACTAACAACACGGACACAATGACGATCTGCAGCGGCGCCGCCCACACCAAATGCAGCTCGAGCGACGCCTCCATGAGCTTCGTCGCGTCGACGCCGACCAACGTCCCGACGTCGCCGGGCGCGTCCGACCGTCTCCGCAGCACCGCGGCGGCGTAGACCTCCGCGATGGCCAGGGCCCGCAGCCGCGTCCCGGCCCGCGTCGCGAGGTGGAGCTGCCGCTGCTGCGCGAAGGCCACGATGATCGTGAGGGCCGCGATGTAGCCCGTCACGCGCAGCGCGGCGTTTTTGGCCCTCGCGCCGTCCTCAGAGACGGCAAGCACCAACGCGCGCACGACTAGAGGTTGGACGAGCTGGCCCGCGGAGACGACGGCCTGCCAGCAGCCCGCGCGCCGCATCAGCCCCCCGCACGCCGCGCTGAGTTTCGCACGGAGGCCGCGGCCGCCGCCCCGCAGCGTGCGCACGCGCTCCTCGTCAGACGCCGGCCAGAGGTCGTCGGGGTCGAGCGTCTTTTGGGCACCTTTCCTTAGGAGCGGCGTGACATAACTAAAAGTGAGCTGGCTCCAGCAGCTCGACGCGCGTTCCGGCCAGGCTGTGTGCTCTGCTGTCTCTGCTGGCTTGCCATCTAGCGCATTGCTACGATTACTCATCGCTACTCGCCCCCGCGCTGGCTTGCTGCTCTCTGCTGTGCTGTCAGCGCTGCAGTCCGCCGCTCGCAGTCCTCGTTCGGTCGTTGGGTACCGCACTCCTGTGCTGCACACTGTATGCTGTTTCCTGCTGTCAGTAACAGGACCAGTGGCTCTCCCGTGTGTCCTCTGGACTCACGATAACACGCCTGCGAGAATAATCCTCATGAAAGCTAGCGGCATGTAAGACACTAGCCAGAAGCCAGGGCTCTCGCTTGGAAATCACTGCACCACAGGCGCTTGGGGCAGCCCGCAACGCAGCAGACAGCACGAATCAAAGGGATACACATCGGTGCAGCAGCAGCAGTATCCCCCGAGGCAGATGGAGGCCGCGCCGATGCGGATGCTGCCGGAGGAGGAGGATGCCACCCGAGCGCCGGTCGCGGAGACCCCGCTCCTGGGCAGCCACTTCGAGCCGGAGGAGCCGGAGCACGTGGAGGAGGAACCACAACCAAAGGGCCGCGTCGTGCCGCCACCACCAAACGCGTTCTCCGAGGCCGAAGCTTTACGCTGGCCGGCGATCCGCGAGGCGTTATCAGATGAGACAAGACAATGTGTCGGCCAGGGCCTGGCCGTGCGCGTCGTGCGCGGCTACGCCGCGGCGTCCGACACGCCGCCGAAGGTCGCCGAGGTCCTCGAGAAGACCGTAGCGTGGCGGCGCGAGTACGACGTCGACGCCGCGCTCACGAAGCCGGCGCCGGCCTGGGAGGCCTACCAGCGGCTCTGGCCCTGTGTCGTCCACGGGAAGGATGAGAACGGCCGTTTAGTTGTGTGCGAGCGATTTGGCGCTATGGACGTCCCCCAACTCCTGGAAGAGGTCTCAAGGGACGACATGAGAAGAAACCGGGCCCAGACCCTGGAAATTGTGGAAGCTTTACAAGCTCGAGCGTCGGCGAAGCATGGCACGCCCGACCGCACGGAGCACGTCCACGTGTTTGATTTGAGCGGTCTGCGGAGGAGGGATCTAGGACTCAAAACGCTGAACGCCATCAGAGATATGGTCGGCCTGTCGCTCGACCACTACCCGGGAGCGATGGAGACGCTGTATGTCACGAACACGCCCGTCGTCTTCCAGATCGCGTGGCGGATCATCAAGCCCATGCTGCCCGCCGAGGTTCTGGCCCGGGTCCATCTTTGTGGCGGCGCCAAGGAATTTTTACCGGAGATGATCAGCGCGGGCTGCCCTTTGTCTTCAATTCCGAGCTGGATGGCCGTGCCCAAGCAAAAACTGAAGGGCCAGCATGTTGGTGTATCTGTGGAGGACTACGTGCGTGCCATCGAGGCCGGTACTTCATCATTACCGCAGGAGACGTCGCTGCGGCTCCGCCGTGATGGTGACGACGGGGACGTCCTCGACGGTTCAAATGGAGGCCCAACCATTTTAAAAAGGGGCCGCGTCTGCAAGCGCGGCCGCCGCACCAACGCCGTGAACCCGAACCACGTCGAATTAATATTGTACGCGCCGGGGCGCCTCGCGTGGTCGCGCAAGAGCGGGTCCATCACGAGCGTCGCCGTCGCGAAATGTGATTTGCGGCGGCCCGGCTCGCACACTTTTATCATAGAGACGCCGTTCGGCCACGAGCGGGGCTTCCGCTGCGAGAAAACCGAGGACGCGCTGGCCTGGGTCAACGAGATCAACGCGATTCTAACGGCGGCGCCGTGCTCGCCGGGCTTCCGGCCGGAGCACTTCGCGCATACTCCTATACCGCCGTGGCGGCGGCGCCTGCGCAACTTCCTGTTCTACGCGTTGTTTGGGATCGTTCTCGCGAAGCTGATCTACTTGACCCACTGGCTGCAGTGGCGGGTCCTGAAATTGACTTTAGCCATCTACGTCATGTCGCTGGTCTGCGGCTTCTTCAACCCCATCGAGGCGCTGCTCCACCGGAACCCGCATCTCATTCCCGCATGAGGAGTAAATTTAATTAGGTTAGGCGCTCGTCGCGTTCGCGAGCAGGTCGTCGAGGCCCAGTCCCGCGAGGCGCTCGACGAGCGCGTAGTCTTCCGCGTACATTCGACGGACCGACGCGACGACGTCGTCCGCCAGCAGCGGCACGAGCCGGTTGCCGCGGTTCTCGCGCGACGGTCAAGATGGACGGCAACGTGGTTCCTCAGACCGTGAGGAAGGTCCCCTCGGTCAAAGTGAAGGCGTCCGGCTGCCCGGGAAACCCAGACAAGAAGGCTTGGACGAATCCAATCTGCATGGACGGCATGCCGTTTGTGAAGAATGGCGAGTTTATGTTCGATATCACGCGCACGAAACTTTGCGCCGGCTGGTGCGGCGTATCGTCCACCGCCACACAATCCCAGTGCATCGTTGGGGACGAAGTGAAGCAGAAGCTCGACGCGTGCTGCGCCGGGTTCCAGTGCAACAGAGCGGGCTTACCGAAATGTAAGTTCTGAACGAGCCCCACCCTACTCTGCCGCGGCCGAAGTGCACATAGCTCCTTTGCTACCCCCCACGTATAAAAACTAGTCCTTTACCGGCGACGCAAACAACTCCGGCGCCGCCTCGACGCCTGCCGGCGTCGATGCGAGCCCCGAGACCCCGAAGCCTCTCAACACATCCTCGAAGCCCGCGCAGCCCTCGACGGCGGCGGCGACGAAGTCGAAGAACTCGTGCTTCGAGACCGACGTCGAGTAGTCCTTCCCCCGGTCCGTATATGCCTTGTTCACGATCTGCTCGCAATCGGAATCGGTCGGCGGCACGCCGCGACCCAGCGCCACGGTCAGCGCCCGCAAACACGACAAGAGGGCGATCGTGAACTCGTCCCTTGATAAATCGTTCGTGTCCTCGAGATCAAAGGCGTCGAAGGCCAATCCCACCTTCGCGCGGAGCGCGTCGCCGCGGTCCGGCGCTCGCGAGAAGAAGGCTAGTATACCCAGGAAGGCCAGCCCGTTGATGATGGATCCGTCCGGCGCGAGCTTCTTTACTACCTTCTCTGCTGTCTGCCGGTCTCCTTCCAATAAAGCGGCCACAATATCCACATCGACGCCGAAGTCGAATTCGTTGTCCTTGAAGACGCAGACGACCTCCGACGCCTTGCCGTGGTCCCAGGCCTGGAAGACATCGAAGGGTTCTACCAAATTCGGCTTGGGCCAGCCGGCGCCCATGTTGTCTGTGCAATGATAGCTAACGCTGCTGACCGAATCGAGTGATGACAAGCCGTCGAGCAGGCGTCGCGTCGATGGCGTAGAGGATGCTCGGGCAGCCCGGGGGTCGTTCGCCGACGGCGTGGTGTCGACAAAGGCGGCGCCTCTTGGGAGGCAGGGTAGGCAGCCTATAACACAAGCCGTGCACGAGGAACACGCCAAGATGCGCGCGAGATACTCGACGCGTCGCTGCGGAGGCGTATCTATCGCAGAGGCAGCTTTTAGGCCGACCGCGCGGGAGAGCATGAGAGGCGCTGGATCATCTTGGCATGCCAGGCCGTCGCGTTCCTTTGCCCACGACGGGCCAGGAAAGGCGTCAGAGGCATCGACTGGCGTGGACTATGGCTCCTCGATCGCAGGCGAAAACCCGTAAAATAGCTCTGTGCGGCAACAACGCCGCGAGGAGCAGGCGCCGCAGGCCACCCTCAACTCTCGTAGACCGACCAAACAGGTCCTCCGCGAGGGCTGCGAACCCACAGCTTCGTCCGGTACCAAAAGGGCAGCACACAGAACCCAGAGGCAGTAGAGGATGGCCAAGCCGGGCGCCCGCGCCGGCCTCGCCCGGGCTTTAGATGAATTGGAGCGGGCGGAGCGTAATTATGAAGAGCCTGAGCTTGCCACCAAAGCAGCAGCTAATGCCGCGGCCGCCGCCGTGCGGCTCATGCGGAAGCGGCCAAATGACAGCAAAGCGCAGCAGGCTGGTTTAGAGGCTCTAGTATTGGCGACGAGCGTGCCGTCGCGCGTCGACGCGGCGTTAGATGCCGGGGCTGCGGCCGTGGTGCAGCGGGCCGCGGCGCGCTTCTGTGATAATCATGAGGTCGCCGATAAGTGCCGCGAGGTCTCTCAGCGACTCCTGGCTTCGTCGATACAGCTGCCCGAAGATGAGCGGGACGACGCGTCGACCGTCGTCACGACGACGTCCAAGAGTCGGCAAAATGAGAAGCTCCGTGAAGATATAAGAAGGGACTCGGCGCTCTTCCAGTCCTACGCCATTTCGGATGAGAACGCCACTAAATTACTCCAGATGTTCCCGCCCGATTCGAATCAAAGATCGCCGGTGGGGAAGCGGCGGGAATTTGCCGCGTCTTTTGTGAGGGATCGGTCGCAGTCTCCTGAACGTAAGTCAGACGCTTTGTTCGAGTCGTCGCGGGACGACGCCGATTCTTTATCAACTCTAAAGCCGGAGAACTCCGTGGACTCGCGGCGGACCGCGTCGGCCGACTCGCCGTCCGTCGTGAGGCGGAGGCGACGAACTGACGACTCGCGGAGCCCGAAGACCGTGGACTCGCCTTCAGTAGTCAGGAGACGTAGAAGGCGGCGTTCACCTCACAGGGATATAGACAAGGCGGCCGTGTTGGATATACGAAGGGAGACCGCGAAGCTACGGGAGACCAGTGAATTGATCATGGACGACGAGACCGTGACCTTGCCACCCACAGCGGTAGAAAGAGAAGTGGACGGTTTGACAAGGGACATGGGCGCGCCCTACATGGATGTGGACGCGGAATTGTTCCTGAGCGCCCACGGCCTGCCCCAGAATACGCGAAGGAAGCGCACCGTGCGACTTTTAGAAAGATTGTTCGCGCCGCCCGTCGGCACGATCAACGTGGAAGAGGCCAGGTTCCTCTCGGCTTTAGATCTAGGTCGACGCGAGCGCGAGATGATCTCGGCAGCTCGAGCGGAGGAGGGCGATCGGTTGCGGGAAAGAGGAGTAGCAAGGGGCTGGTCTAGAGCTTTAGCTGGTGTGCTGGGCGACGGCGTCGGCGATCCAGTGATGGATGATGCGAACTCGCGCCTGTTGACGCGACGGGGGCCGGTGCGGCCGTCCCAGGCCAACCGGTTGCGCCACGCGTCTTCCGTAATTAAGGAGCAGGAGGATGTCGCAGCAAAGGCGCGTTCTTTACTTGAGGACGCCGCGTCAAGGAAAGAGCCGCCTGGATTGATGTCGATGGGTATGGCGCAGGTCCACGGCCCGAAGGAAGGCCCCCAGGCCGACGCGTTGAAGGTCGCCGACCCGACGCCGTTATTGGCTTTGCTGCGATCTCTAGATCCAAGAAATACGGGAGTGGTCGCGCGGTCGCAATTTGAAAGAGCTATTCGCGTCGCGGCCGGCAACGCGCTCACCGAGGATGAAGTGCAGCACCTCGCGGACCACTACGCTACCAGTGTTGATCGATTAGACGTGGGGAAGGAGCCGGGCGGGTTTGCTGTACAACGTTCAACGACAGAGAAATCAGCTGACCCGGTCCCCGAGCCGGTCGTCGACTACGAGTTATTTGTGTCGTCCGCGAAACTGGGCGCGGCGTTCGGCGCGCCTCGAGCAGATATGCCTTACAAGGGCTTCTATGATAAGCAGCAGCCGAAGCCGGAGCACGACCGGTACATCCCCGGGGCTCTGCGCTGCGGCGCCGACGGGAATCGAGGTTCCAGAGTAGCGAAGGAGCGGCCGCCCACGACCTGGGACGAACATGTGAGGAGGGTGCGCGAGGCCAAGGCCGGCGCCTTCGCTTATCTCGTGAGGCGAGGTTTCGGCGCTTTGAGGACAGCGAGAGCCAAGAGTGCTTCTGGAAGGTGGCTGAAGCTCACGGGAGAACGAGCCGCGTGCGTCTGCTACTTTCGAGTGCTGGCGAAGGCGGCGGACAAGCACTGGACGAAGAAGCAGAAGGCCTACCAGTGGTGCAAGGCGCGCGTCGGACGAGCGAGAAGACATCGAGAGAACCGGAACGACGCGCACCGCTACCTCATGATTAGGGCAAGGGCGGCCCGAGAGCAGAAGACGGCCCTCATCCAAGGCAAGGCCGCCCCGGCCAAGGCCTGGGAGCTGCATTTTAGACGCAAAGCGGCCTTTGAATATTTGACGTGGCGCGGCAAGAAGTGTCTGTCCTTGAACGCGGATCTACTCGCGGCGCACACCTTCCTCAGTGAAAGGGGAGAGAACATGCGCGCGACGTGGGTGATCATGCAGATTGAATTAATACGCATTCGCGAGGTGTCGGCGCAGTACCATGCCGCGGAGAAGGCCCGGGCGATCACGGCACTCGAATTGCGTACGTTAGCCGTGCGCGTGCACCGGCAACAGATATTAAGGAGAAGAGACATGAAGATTTTGATCACCAAGGCCGAGAAGGGTAGGATAGCCAACAAGAAGCGCGACAAGATGTTCATATCATTGGATAAGCTCGGTAGGGGCGCCATCGAGAAGGTCTTTAGGACGGAGAACGCCGTGGATATGCTGAACGCGGTGGGCGCGTGTTGCTTGGCGCACTGTCGTCGTCAAGTAGCAGCTAGGGAGCATTTGATGAACAGAGTGGAGCGATTGCAACGCGCTAGGGTACTGATGGAGCTTGGACATAAATATTTATCAGCCTTGGGCGAGCGAGCGATTCACACGTCAATAGCCCAGACCGAAGCAAGGGAGTGGCTTAGTGGAGAGATCGGCAATATCAAGAGGAGCGAAGTGATTCAGAAACAAGCACTGGCTCGCCAAGAACTCAGTAGTGCGGTCCAGCAAGCGCGCGACGCCTGGCTCTCGCGCGTTTTGAAGGACAAGTATCCCAATGAACTGAAAGAGTTCGAGAAGGCCGCTAACAATAGGGAGTCGGAGCGGATGAAGGCCGCGGCCCAGCTCCCGACGCGCGACGACAAATTGAAGGACGTGCTGCAGTGCGCGTTCTCGATGTATGATATTGATAATAGTGGAGAGATCGACCGGCAGGAGTTCATCGCGATGATGAAGAACGGGTTATTGTTGGGCGTCGACGAGCCTCCTACTCGCGATGAGTTGCGGGATGCGTTCCGGCAGGTCGATGTCGATCGGTCCGGCGCGGTGTCGTTCCCGGAGTTTTATGCATGGTTCAACCACTCGCGGAACATCAACTCGACGGGCGTGCCGGGCCTCGACAAAATTGTACCCGTCCGCGACCGCGCGTTACGTGACATGCTCGCGGCCTACCGGCGGGGCGAGCTCGAACTCACTCCCGAGGATTTGAAGCCGCCGCAGCCCAAGGGCGCGCCCCGGCGCAAGAGGGTCAAGGACGCGCCAGTGGTGGTCCAGAAGGAGTCGCTCGCCTCGCGGTTGGCGGCCAAGAGCAGGACCATGGACACGAACGATTCCGTGATTAAGCGGCGGCTGAAGGCTAAGAGGGAAAGGGACGCGCAGGAGCAGGTCGCGGTCGCGGCGTCTCAAAGGTCCTTTCGTTCGACCTCGACGGGCGGTCTTCTACTGTTGCCGAGCGTGTACGCCATCGACGCGCCGTCTGCTCGATGGCGTGGCGGTCGATTCTCGTCTCGAGACCCGCGCGGCTCACTGGTGTTGTTTCCCCGCAGGCCGACCTGCTGGCCAAGGACTTCCGCGCGAACTGCGCGAAGATCTTCGACCTGATAGATGAAGATGGCTCAGGGACGCTCAGCCTTCCCGAAATCATGCTCGCGCTCAAGGGCAAGCCCGATGTTTTGAGGTTCATCAAGACTTGCCGGAACCCAGTCCTTTCCGAATTTTTGGTGCCTCCACGCGTGCAAGCCGCGATGAAGGAATGTGATACCAATTCAGACGGCGAACTGGACCGAGACGAGTGGAAGGCTCTGAGTGATAGATCCTTGGAGGCTATCTTGGAGCGGCACGCGCTCGCTCGCGGCAACGACGATGAGTCTCGGTCTGTGCATAAATCAAAATGCCACGGCGCCTTCGTGCTGAATCTTCGCGTCGACCTTGACGCCATCGACGCGAGCACCCGACTCACTGGTTGATTTGCGCACAGGTTCATAGACGAATTTCTCGACATGGCGGTCATCGTCTACGACCTTATTGATGAAGACATGAATGGGACGCTGTCGAAGGAGGAGCTCGTCAAAGCCTGCGGCGAGGACGAGGACGTGATCGAGTTTGTGGTAAAATGCCCCCTGCCGGAGCTGCAAGACCTATTGAATCCGGAGCTCCTCGACAAGGCCCTGTCAGAGATGGATACCGACGACGACGGGAGCATCAGTAAAGACGAGTGGACGGAAGCGGTCGGTAGCTCGCTCACGAAGCTGCTCGACGAGCGCCAGAAGGACCGCGACGCGGACAACGAGTTCGCCATCGACTTCCAGACGAAAGCCAGAGAGGTCTTTGAGATGATCGACGCCGACGACTCGTGGACGCTCGACAAGGAGGAGCTCATGGCGGGCATCAACCAGAAGCGGGTGTCGCGCTTCCTCATATCTTGTGGCAACGAACATTTGCAGTACCTCTGCGTGCCGGCTAGATTGGGCCCGATGCTCTGGGAGCTGGATACGAGCAAGGACGGGATCATCTCGTTGGACGAGTGGGACTCGGCCATCGCCATAGCATTGGACAAGAAGCTCGAACAGAGAGCCGCGGCCCGTAGTAGAGACAAGAAGGTCGCGGCCGACCAAAGACTTGCGGAGGCGTTTGATATGAATGCGGATTCGCTCGAGGCGGTGCGCGATCGCAAACTCGCGGAATTGGAAGGACGCATCGACGAAGACGGGAATATTATATCTCAGGAGGAGATGGATAGAAGGGCGGAAGAGGCCGAGCTCGCGCGCCTCAAGGCGATTCCGCGCAACGCCTGGGGCATGCCGCTCTCGAACCGGTCGTCGCTGCTGTGCGCGATCATGTAACTACTGTAGTATGTTAACGTTAGAACGCGTATGCGCGAGATCGATCACCCCCGCGCGAGGATCCCCTGGTTCATGCGCGCCTGCGCCTTCTGGAGCCGGCCGACGGTGGCGACGAGGCTGTCGCGCTTCTTCTTGGTGAGCTTGTTCGGCTCGAAGAGGCACTTGAGCTGCTCCGAATCCTGCCCGTGCAGGTAATTCTCGAGGGCCGACACCATCTTTTCAATTGTTAGTTTTTTTGGTCATCGATGCAGTTCGTGCCATGCGTTTAGTTTTTAACCTCTCTGACGGTTGAATAAAAAAAGGATTAAGCTGGGTTAATCTCGCGTAAAATCAGCCGCAAAATCAACCCTTAAAAATCGGAAGTGACCCTCACACTCAGGGTCACAGAGCCGACAACACGTCGGGGGTCGTCTGTCATAAGATAAGTGAACCTCAACATATCACACTAGACCTCGTCCCCCTCGGTCATGTCGTCCACGATCCGCTGGACGTCGCGCGCGGGCAGCTCGAGGAAAATGGAGCACGGCGCAGAGCCCGAGTCGTCGGACACGTCGCCGAGGACGCGCCGGTACACGGCCAGCGAGACGCCGTAGACCACGGCATAACCTAAAGCGGCGAGATACAAGCCGCGCTGCGGCGCCGCCGCCGTGGACAAAAGCGACGCGGCGACCGCGCCGGCGACGTCGCCCGCGTCCGAGAGCGCGGCCACGGCCCGGACGCGGCCGCCCCGCGCCGCGCCGGCCGCCGCCGCCGCGGCGTCGCGGCCCAACCGGCCCGTCACGAGCCATGCCGCCGCCACCACAGCGACGCAGGCCTTCGCCGCGATCGAGTCGCGCGGCAATAACCCTTCCTGCCGCGCCGCCGCGAGGAGCGCCGGCGCCGCGAGCGTCGCGAGGCAGCCCGCCGCGCCCGCGACGCGCACGCCCCTTAATGGTGCTCGCCGCGGCATTTTTGCGAGCGCTTCGGGCGCCCTTATTCTCAACACGAGCACGAGCACACAAGCGACAACAACCACGCAGGACGCGTCGGCCGTGCGCAACCCCACCCCACCCTGCGACGCCGGCGCGAGCGCCCAGCACGGCGCCGCGACCACCAAGAAAGAATTCGCGGCGCAGACCGACGCGAGATTTAATCCCAGGACGAAGCTCAGCAAGGGGTCGGCCTCCGACGGCGGTTCAGGCGACGCGTCGCGCACGGCCCGCGCCGGCGCGGAAAAATGATTCGGCAGCGTCCTCCTCAAATCGTCCTGCGTCCGCTGCGCGAGGCTGCCCAAGTTCTCGGACGTCGACAGCGACCGGCGCAGCGTCGCGGCCTGGATCGCCAGCACGACGTCGTCCTCTGACACACTTCGACCGGGCGTGCCCGGTTGTTCATCTTCGTCACCCTCCAGGACCCACCTTTTTCGTTGCTCGCAGTAGTAGAACTCTCCCTCCGTATTACCCAGATGGGCGATTTTCGCCGACGACGTCCGCCCCAATAACTTCGCGTACCACGGCGTATCAGGCTGTATTTCTGGAGGTGGTGGTGTGACTTCTTCCTCGAATGCTTCCACCGTTTTAGTTTCGTCGAGGAAGTCTACCGAGCCGCCGGCGTTCAAGACACAGACGGCGTCGAGCATATCTAACTCTGAATCGGCTTCACCTAGAGGCGGTCCACTACCACCATAATCGGCCGGTAACTGCTCTGAGGTAGCCACTTCTGACAAAGTGGAAGGGTAGTCGCTTCCGACGATCGTGACGCGGTCTCTCACGTCTCGCGGTAAGACACGCCGCACGGCGGGCCAGGCCGCGCCGATCCACGACGGCGCGTTGACCACGATGATCTTGCGCACGCGGAACGGTGCCAAGTTGTTCAGGACGTCCGACGCGGTCGAGATGAGGTTCAGGAGGAATTTGTTGACCTCGCTGAACCGCAACCCTTCGATATCTAAGACCGTGACCATGCGCGTTTCTTCCCCATCATATTTTCGAGCCATGTACTCGTGGACGAAGATAAAATGTCTAAAAGCCTCGTCCGTCGTCACGCGACCGCTCTTCAGCGCCGACGTATCGAGCCGCCCGACGCGCTCCCACATGAAGATGGCCCCGTCCCTCGTCTTGCCGTGTAAATAGTGCGGGTAGACGCGCTTGATGTCGTGGTACTTCGGTTGTTGACTGATAGCAATACTATCGACGTTCCTTTCCCTTCGCCATTGTTGGGTGGCGCGCCACCGTTCCGTGGCTTTGGCCCGGTCGTTGTCGCAGGACTGTAGATATAAGCGGGGCACGGGCGGCTCGTCAGTACCTCTTCTCTTGACGGGGGTACTCGCCGCTCGCACAATGGGTAGGGATGCTTGCCGTCTGATACGAGGCGCCTTCGTGAGCAGGTAGGATACAAGTACAATACCAAGCAAGACCTCCAGCGTCCGCACTTTATGCCTCAGACAAGCCTGGACGACCGCGTACCACACCACTCTAACGTCGGGGGACTTCGGCAGCGGTCTTTGTGTAGAAACGGCGGCGAGCAGCCCCCGCAATACACGCCGCCAGAAGCTCCGCGCGGCCAACCCTAATAATGGTATAGAGGCGCCGCACGCTCGGCCCGCTATCGACCACGCGTCGCTCCTCCTCGAACGCGCGTCGTGCCGCGGCGGCGCCCACCCAAAGGCCGCGACACAACCGGCGACAAACCTCCAAAAATACATGGTCCGCCCGGACCGCACGTTCCCCAAAGCCGCGTGCGCCGCTATGAGTAGTGTGAGCTTGAGGCTCAGCGGCATCTCGGGCAGGGCGCATCGTTCACTGAATGCACGCACTATTCTCCCGCTCCGCCGGCCTAGCACGGCCGCAATAACCACCCTTCCCCACTGCACGACTTGCCTTGTGCGTAGCGCGGTCGCGCCGGACCGCGCCAATGCTCTAGGTCCGAAGGGCGGGAAGAGGCTAAACGACGAGAAGCCCTCGACGAGGGCGCTCAGGGCTTCGGTTGCGCGCGCCATCGCTTTGTTTTCGCTGCGGCGGCGCCTGCCTCGATTCGTTTCGTTGTTGGCGCAGGGCGCGCGGTGCTAGAAGACAGCGTGCGTCGCAGTAGTGCAGCAAAGACTTCTAGAACTCGCTTCTCTGTGCCATTGATCTTGCGGCTGCTGTGTACAGGGCCAAAAAGCAGACGAATGAGCCGCTTGCTAGTGTGTTACGCGACGCTAGCAAGCAGTCTGGCTCGAGCCGCCGTACACGCTACGTAGTGGTCCAGCGGTGGTGAGACGTGGTTCAAACGAGAGTTCAGAGCCAGCAGAAGGACCTCCGGCGAAGACTGGTATATCGAATAGCCCTGCGGGGCCAACACGACAGGGGTGGCAACACGACAGGGTGAAGATGGTGGCGTGGCATGCCCTACTGCTCCTGGTAGTCAGCGCTTCAGCTCTCACGACACCGCCCGGGCCGCACCGCGCGGTGGCCAGGACCTCGGTGCGGCGGAGAGCGACCGCGAGTGCCGCCAGTGACGCGCCGCAGTCGCTCCGAGCGGCCGTCGAAGAGGCGAAGAGCGTCAAGCGAAAAGATCGAGAGGCCCAGGCCATCGACCGCGCCGTCGCGCGCGTCACGCGGGACATGGACCGCGTCGACTTCAGCAGCGACCGGCGAGGCGCGCTCGAAAGGAGAGAGAAGGTCGCGCTGGGCGCGGCGACGGCCGTCGCGGCCGGCGCGACGCTCACGGCGGCGGCGCCGGCCGCGGCGGTCGCGGCCGGCGCCGCGGCCACGGCGGCGATCGGCGGCTACAAGGAGTGGGGCGCGCTGCGCGCCGCGGCGAACGCGCACGAGGTCTCAGCTGTCGCCGTGCGCGCCGCGGCCGAGGCCGAGGAGATCCTGGCCGGCGCCGAGCGCGTCAAGTCGGTGCTGCCCGTATGTGTCGTACTGGGAGCGACGGCGACAGCTCTCAGCTCGTCGGCGCCCGCTCTACTAGAACTCGTCGAGCCCGCGACGGCCGTCGAGCAGATCCCCGAGTATTACGACGAAGCGCCACGCTGGGCGCCGCTCGTGAAATACAACACGCCGACGATGGAGGTGCCGGCGACGCAGCCGTTGTTCGTCGATCGATCCGCGGCCGTGCGGAGTCGCACACTTGTCTCATTGGTCTGCCCCGCGGTGTCCATCCTGGCGGCGTCTGTTGCGGTGGTGGCGGAGCAGGATTCGCGGAGGCGGTGCGACAAGGCGCAAGCGCTCGGGAGGAGGCGCTTTGCTACGAGTGAAAACGTGGGCTACACCTGGCGCTCCGTCGTGGAGCTGTCCCAGGACGAGGCGAAGGCGGACACCGCGCTCTGGGTCGGGTTCGCCCGGTCCATATTACCGGCGCCCTTCGCGGCGGCGTTCATGACGTATTCAGGCAGCTTTGCTTTAGCTGCCCCAGTGGCCTCCGCCGTGGCCGCGGCGCAGGCCGCCTACTACCTGACGGCGGCGGAGTACGGCATCGCGCGGGCAACCGAGTCCGTGGCCGCCAAGGGCCGCACGGCGGCGGTGGCCGACGCGTACTCGAAGCAGGCGCGCAAGGCCTGCGCGCGCGTGCCGCTCGCGTCGGCGACGGCGGCCCTCGCCTGTGCGACGTGCGCCTTGGTCGTGGAAGTGGCGCCCAAAATTCTAGGGTTCGGCTTCGCGTTGGTCGCAGCGGCGCTGGTGCGCGACGCGGCGAAGTTCCGGGCGCGGACGCGCGGCGACGCGGCGGCGGCGGCCGCCGCAGCGGATCAGCTCGCCGGCCTGGACGACGGCGCCGACGACGACCCGCTGCTGCCGCTCGCGCTCACGTGGCGGAACTTTAAGGCGACCTTGACGGCGTCGCTCGAGGCGATTGCTTTTGGGTTTCGGTGGCGGCGGTAACTTGTCTTTGTTGTAGTCCGTGCGCATGGCTTTCAGCTAAGCGCTAGAGGGCCTGTAACACTAGCAAGCAAGCAGGCGTAAAAAACCACGATTACGAGGCCCGCGGCGGCGTAGATGATCGTGAAACCGGGGCCTACGTTTGTATTTTTAACGCTACCACGGGGCGCCGCGCCGCTCGAGCGAGAAACCTCGACTTAGCTCATATCCAATCAGAGCTCTGGTGGCCACGAGCACCGCGCGACCCCGGGGAAGCGATATTTCCGACGCCGCAGGCATCCACTTCACTTCGGCAACATGGCGCGCACTGTCTCCCTCCTCGTCGCCATCGCGTTCGCCGCGGCGCCGGACACGGCGGAGGCGCTTGGCGTCACTCAGCCCTGCCCCTGCGCGGCCGGCCCAAGAGAAGTTTGTTGGAGTGTCGAAGATGAATCTGGTGGCACTGAAACTAAGTGTGTGGGGGTTTTCGTGGAGGAAGCTCAATGTGGCGAACAGGATGGGGTTGTTCCATGTGTTGGGGTCTTCACTTGTCAAGAAATCACCGGGTGGGTGTTCGCCGACGAGGATAAGTCGTGTGATAGCCTGTCGACACGCTCCGGCTGCGAAGAGGCTGGCGGCGGCTTCTCACCTGCGGTCCCCCCCGCTTGCTGCGGCAAGTGTGTCTTTCCCTGAAGTCGCGCCCCACCTGTCCAGATCGTGCTCCAGTGCTCACCGTCCTCCGGGAACTCAATCCAACCTGCACCCGGACCCGTCCCTGGATTCCGAGCGGTCCCCATCCCAATCCCTAGGGCCCCCGCGGCTCCCGCTTTAAGAACCCCCGCGTGTAAAAAAACAAAAACAAATTGACTGCACATTGTGGATGCCACTCTACCGGTATTGAACGTTACGGTCGCCCCTCGCGCAGACGCCTCCGAGACATGTCTCAGGCTTGCTAGTGTCTTACAGACCGCTAGCTCACTCCTGGCCGGCCGCCGCCGAGTAGCTTTGGTTTGCGTAGCGCTGCTCGTGCATCTCTCAGCCATAGCACATATACGGATTGTGGCCGAGCCCTGCTTGCGCCTGGCAGCATGCCGTCGCCGCGAAAGCGCTCCCAAAAGCTACCGCTCTACCACAACAATGGGAAGCGGCGCGCAGAAGACCCGCTAAAAATCCTGCTCGCGTGGGTCGCGCTGCTCGCCGTCGCGTCGACGATCTGGAGTCTGCTGCATCACCACCGGCGGAGCGCGCCGGAGGTCGACATCCACCCGTCGCTGATCCACTACGACGCGCGCGGCGGCGCGCTGCTCAACATCAATGGCACGGAACCGCCAGAATACGCGCGGCGCGACTGGCAGCACCTGGGCACGTTCCGCGGCGCCAAGGGCTGCCTCGACGCGGCGCGCGGCCCCGGCGCGGCGCCCTGCCGCAGCCTGCGCCAAGGGGCTGAGTCCCAATTGTTTCTGCTGGCGCGGAACGGGCGCCTCATCGTCGGAGGCACGGTCGGCGAAGACCCGATGCGCTGCGTCGTCGCGCAGGACGGGGGTCTCGACACGGAGCCGTGCGCCGTCGGCGCGACGACGCACGCCGTCTGGACGCACGCGCACGACCGGACGTTGCGCCACCGCGACGGCTCCTGCATCATCGCGGCGCGCGCGGATCTCGTCGTCGTCGGAGACTGCTCGGCGGCGACGCTCGACGAGCGGACGTGGTTTCTCGGGAGGCCGTTGCCTCGGTGATGTTGTTTTAATTTTTGGTTTGTGTAAGGTAATCTCCGTACAAGCGTGAGAGTTGCTGATTTCAGACGAGGCCACTCACGTCGGCGACTCGGCGCAGGCACGTCGAGCCGCGTGCCGTGCCGGCTTGTTCCCGAGGCGTCTCCTCGGGCCCTTGGGCGCCTTTTGAACCTTCAGACGCGCCCAGCATGGAGCCGAACATCAATATCTGAACGGGTTTTGCGGGCTGAACCCGCGCCGCTCAGTTCATACGACGGAGTTCGTCGCGCTGCGCAAGCACAAGTACGCCACGCTCCGCGAGCTCGCCGCGGCGGTCGCGGCGCAGTACGCCGTCGTCGCGGCGCTCTTCGACTCCGAGTGCCTCCCCGACGACGCGTTCGCGTGCGTCGCGTCGTTCTGGCTCGGGCCGCGCGGCTACGACGCGGCGCCGGCGGCGCGGCCGCGGCTGGCGATGCCTAGTATTGAGCTGGAGTCATCTTCGTGCGCGTAAGGCGCTTGCTTCGTGTTTTCTATAGGGATCGGTCCGATTGGACGATGTATGGACGCGGGACTCGGGCTAAAGTCGATTTGGGCCCGGTTTCTTCCGGTATATCGGTATGAGAGGGGTAGTTCAGTGCTCTTGCTGCCTGTGGAGGGGTGATTGGCCGACCGGCCACGCGCAAAAATCTCAAGCAGCGCGTGTTTTTATTCGGCGCGCCACGCTCATCGAAAAACGCGGCGCGAAGCTAGAAATCAAGCTTAAAGTCTCCAATATGAAAGTACTCGCCACCCTCGCAAGCGCAGCTGCTGTCGGCGCGTTTAGCGCGCAATCGAGCATAGCCAGGAGGCCAGCTGTCGCACCGACTGCGCTTTCGAGCACACGACGCGACCCCATCACCGGCAAGATCTACGTCGGAGAACCAGAGCCGCTGGAAGAGCTGGCGGATCTAGTCGGCGGGCTCCTCGGAGGACTCGGCCGGGTGGCGGACGGCCTGCTCGGCCCGGCGCCGGTGCCGATCCCCATTCCCGTGGAAGACGAGCGGGACCAGGCCCAGGGGCCTGAGCAGCCACCCGTGGGAACGGACCCGTACAAATACCCCGGCACATACTGAACAGACGATACGGAACGTTATTCGTTCGGCCGCGCGAAATTGTGTAACTAGAATGTAAAATGATACGGTGATTGAAGGCGGGGGACGCATGGACCTTCGTCCGTGTCCACCTCGGTGAAACTGGCCGCGAACGCTAGTGTCTTAGGCCGCTAGAAAGACGGAGTTATAGAAGCTCAGATTTCTGGCCGCGGTGGGCTCATAGTAGCTCAAACCGGCGCTCCCATGCCTTCTCAGGTAGCCTACATACACTGGCGACGACGCCCAGGCTTTGTCCTGCTCGCCGCCGTCACGCATGGCCTGAAAGTGCTACCTAGCCGGATCCCGACAACAAACGCGCCGCCCACGCGCGCGCTGGCGCCAAAGCTGCGACCACTGCGCCTCCTCCAATCCGCGCGCCTCACAAGGCAGCGCTACGACGCGCTCCAGATCGAGGGCACGAACCGGCGGCCGCCGACGGAGTACGAGCTGAACCGAGGCAAAGCCATCGACGCGCTCAACGCCGACGCGACGCGCTTCGCCGACGCCGAGCTCGACTGGAGCATCTACAGCGAGCAGATCCAGCTTGCGGACCCCACGGGCGTCCGAGCTCGAGGATTGGCGAACTACAAGCGCTTCTTCCAGCTCGTGCGCTTGTTTCGCTCGTTGATGGTCGACGACGTCAGCGTGCGCCACCGACTCCGCGTCGACGACGCGAACGGGCGCATCGTGATCTGCTGGTACTCGACGTGGAGAACTTCCATGGCCAAAAAGCCGATTCAGATCGACGCCGTGTCCTACTACTCCCTGGACGACCGGGGCTTCGTCGAGGCCCACGAGGTCGACCGCGTCGAGATAAACGGCAAGCGGCGGTCGCCCGAGACGGCATGGGAGCGGCTCCAGGAGCTCGTCGCCGGCGGGCCGGGCCAGATGTACCCCGCCTAGGCCGAGCCCTAAAAAGAACCTGTTTGCACTACTCGTCGCGTCGATGGCGTGCACGTGAGTTCCCCCCCCAGGGGCGCCGCCCACTAGTCCTAGCACCGAACAGAAGTACAAACAAAGAACGGGGCCACTACCTTAACTTACCCGGGCAGCAAACCAGACAACACGCGCAGTTCTCCACGACCCAGTCCCCCTTCTTCTTCGCGCCGCCGCCCTCGACGTCCAAGTCGCGCACACAGCGCGCGTAGGCCTCCTCCGTGAACGCCCCGCCACGTTCAACTAAAGCACCAAGAGCTGCTAACGTGCAGTCGTCCCGAAATAACAAATCGTCCGGCAGCCCTTGTAATCCAAACTCGCCCTCCAGGACGCCCTTGAATTGAGCCAGGTCGAGCGAGTCGACACCCAAATCCGCCAGGGGTCGCTTCGACGGCAATGATGATGCGTCCCTTCTAGATACCTTCCCGAGCGCGCGCGCGACGTCCGCAACCACTCCACTGTGCTCATAACTCGAAGTGGGCTGCTCCGCGACGACCGCCGTCGTAGGACCATCAGAACTTCGATACGCCACGTCCAGCTTGTCAGCGAGGAACGCGTCGCGACACCGACGCCTAGCGATCTTGCCCGACGTCGTCTTCGGGACCGTCCGCGGGGCGACAATGCACAGCGTGTCCACCGAAGCCCCGTGCTCGTGTGCTATACTGGAAGCGACTTGTTCACAAAGCGCCGCGTAGGCGCCGTCCTGGGAACGCTTCTTTCTTGTACTAGCGTCGTCGCGGACCTCGCCGATCACCACGAGTCGTTCCTCGCCTTTGTCATCGACGGAGAACGCGGCGACGCAGCCGGGTTTTAATTGAGGCGCGGCCCGCTCGGCGCACCGCTCTAAATCCTGGGGGTAGTGGTTCTTGCCTCTTAGTATGATAAGGTCCTTGCGGCGGCCGCACACATACAACTCACCCTCGCGAAAGAAGCCCTCGTCGCCCGTCCGCAGGAAGCCGCTCTCACCGTCGATGGACGCGCCGAAACTAGGATCTTCCACGCCCCAGTAGCCCCGGGCCACGCTTGGCGATCGGACCCAGATCTCGCCGACCTCATTCTCACCCAGAGTCGCTGTGCCTTGATCGTCGTCATCAATCCGCACGATCTTGATGGAGACGCCGCGATCGGAACGCGGCGCGCCGCACCCCACGAGCGCGACGCCCTCTTCAGAAGAAACGCAGCGCCGCTCCCGCAGCGCGTCCGCATCTATCCTGCACCTCATAACACCATTGCCACACACCAAAACCGTGCTCTCCGCGAGGCCGTAGGTCGGGAAGACGACACCTTTCCTCAGTGCATGCTTCTCGCCAAAGAAGCGCTCGAAGGCGTCGATTACCGCCGCGTCGACGGGCTCGGCCGCGTTGATCGCATGTTTAAGGCAGGACAGATCCAAGGTTTGCGAGGGCGGCTTCCGCGTCACGAGGGCATACGCAAAATTCGGCGCCTGCGTGTGCGTGCCCCGGACCTGCGATATAGCTTCCAACCACGACGCGGGCCGAGCCACAAATTTGAGCGGGGACGCGTAGTAGCCGCGGCCGCCGCACCGCAGCGTGCCCAGGTAGCTTCCTATCAAACCCATGTCGTGGTACTGGGGCAGCCAGCTGACGTTGATTGTTGTCTCATCAGCTTTCAGGTCGTCGACGATGAGGTCGAGGTTGTGCTTTAGGGAAGAATGCGTGATCACGACGCCCTTCGGAGCGCTCGTGGATCCCGACGTGAACTGCAGGAAGGCCACTTCCTGCGACGCGGGCGCCGCTGCCAAGCCAGGCGTAGACTTGTCAATATCACATACGACCCACTTGAGGGACGACGGCCACGTCGCGTCGCCGCCCGCGACCAACTTCGATAAAGCAGTTGTCTTCTTCGCGAAATCATATAAAGAAGATGTAAGAGCGAAGGCCGCGCCGCAACTCTCGGCAATTTGGCAGAAGGCATGCAACTCGCTCGTCTTCCTTCTCCTTGGTTCCGGGGGGAAGACCGGTACTGGTATTCCTCCAGCCCGCGACACCCCCAGGAACGCAACTATATACGCCAGGCCCGGCTCGTAGACCAGGAGGCAGCGGGCGCCTTCTTTCACACCTTCCTTGTGTCGCAGCTTGTGTGCCGTCCGTGCGGCGGCCTTCTCGACGTCACCATAAGTTAATGAGAGCGTCGCCTTCACGCTCTGGTTCTTGTCCTCGAGCCACGAAAACAGAGGCGCGTCCGGTTTTGTCGCGGCCCACGCGGCGAGGAGCTCGCTGACGGTTTCAGCGTCCTCAGCCATGCTGCGCTCGCCGGCGACCTTTGCGGTCGTGAGGGCAATAATGTTGGCAGGCTGCTATGCTGCGTTTTTTGATGCCGCAGGAATGCGCGGAACGGCTGGCGCTGCGACCACGCGATGTGGCAGCTGTGCTGCCCGTGTTCGATGCGCAGCGACCGCGGTGATGCAGCTCTACGCGGCTTTTTGGTCGAGTGGTGGGTCAGCTAGCGGCATGTAAGACACTAGCGTACAGCTGCGCGGTCGTCTTGCTGGCTGCGTGAAGCTATTACGCGCGTACGCGTGCGCGCACGCATCGATTATTAACCTCACGAAAACGTACGACAGAATAGTGTTGGCAAAAGAAGCGCAAAAAGCCAAAAACCCACTGCGAGCAGCAGCGCCTCCCAGCGCGTCGCGCAGCAGGACAGCGGCGAAGCAAGCAAGCATTGCTGGCAAACGCGGCTGCACAAACCGCACACGATAACAAAATCGCAATGGCCGACGACGCCTCGGACGGCGAGGTCGAGGACGACGCCGACTGGCGCGCAAGAGTACGGCGGCTGCGACCGTTTCTGCTGGATGCGGACCTCGTGCCGCCTCCTCCCAATCCGCCGGACACATCCTCAAGTTGCTTCGCGAGCTGGACGCGGCTCCACGCCAAGGCTCCCGAGCCGCCCGGCGGCTTTGCGAGTGACGCCGGCGCCAAGGCCTTAGATGCACTACTACGAGACCGGCGCCAGGCGGCGCCCGGCGCCTTCGCGCGCCAGTGCGCGGCGCTGGGCGGGCTGGACGCGCGGCGGTCGCACGTTCTTTTTGAGGGCGAGCTGGACATCCCAACGGAGGACTACTACGACACCGCGCGCGCGCTTCAAAATCAAAGGTGGTCGCGGCAGCGCGCGGCGCGCGCGGAGGATGACCTCACACACGGCCGCTGGGCCGACGCCGTGCGGAGGTTTGGAGACGCCATCGCCCTCGACGCGACGAACGGCGACGCGTACCGAGGGAGAGCTCGCGCGCGGGTCGGGCTGCTCGAAGGCGTCACGGCGAAGCCGCACCAGCTCGCCGAGGGCGTCGCGAGTGACGTCGCCGCCGCGCGACGCTACGGCGGGCCGCGCGACGGCGACGACGCGCTGCTGGCCGCCGCGCGCGCGGTCGTACAACCCGCGGCGCCGGCGCCGGCCCCCGCCGTGGCGCCCCGGGTGGACGCCGTCGCCGTGCGCGCCGCGGCGCCGCGCGCACCCCGACCTGCCGTCGTCGCGTCGGCGCCGGTGCCGGTGCCGCCGCCTCGCGACGCCGACCGCATCCCGAAGAAGCGCAAGCACGAGAAGAAGTCGAAGAAGAGGTCGAAGAAAAAGAAGAAACGCTCCCGTTCGTCGTCGTCGTCTAGTTAGAATAACAATGTGACAGTTAACGGTGCGGCGTCGACTCGCCCTTGCGGTGCGTCGACCGCTCGAGGTTCACGGCGACGCACGGCGCGCCCGCGTCGACGTTACCAGCAGGGCAGCAGTCGAAGGCCGGCCGGTTCTTCGTGTGCGCGAGGAACGACGCCGGCCCGGCGCCGCGCGCGCCCTTCTTCCGCCGCGCGGCGTTGCTTCGCAAGGACGGCAGCTCGGGCCCAGGGCACCGTTTCGGAGAAGGCAGCGCCGTCTGCGGCAGGAGCGCGAAGTCGGGGAAGTCTAGTAAACGGTCGGCCGCGAGGTGGTAGATCGGGTGCGCGCGCGCGACATAGCTAGTGTGGCGTCGCCCCTCGCTACGACTCTGCTAGGAGTAGGGCGGAGTGCTCGAAGACTCGATAGGCCTCTCAATCCCGGCGCATACGTATCCTCCCTGGGCCGATGTTGCCTGCATGGTGCTGTGCCCTTTTGTGGCAGTTTGCTTCTCAAAGAACGCCACAACCGGGAGATCTCCGAGCCCGCCGAGGCTAAGATCAGACCCACAGTGCGCCTGCAGCGTCATAAGCGTCACCTCGAAATCTCGTCTTCATTGGCCCTCGCGGCGCATCGCAATCGACTGCCGTCCCTCGACCGCCGCTCGCCTCACACAAACGCTAGCGTGATGTAGCGCTGGCAGTGGCGCGAGACGGCAGCGCCACGCTGCGAGACCGCCGCGCGCCACAAAAGACGCAGCTCCGCCGCCACAAAACTTGGATTTTCATCATCACCTTTAACCATGGCTATTTCACGCAGCGCGCGGCATGCTGCTACGGCGACTCGCCGCGCGGGCGCGCGGGCGCGCCGCCGCGCCGCTCGGCTCGAGCGTGAAGGCGCTCTTCGTCAGCCGCGGCGCCGACACCGCATCCTACCGCGTCGTCGACGCCGCGGCGTCGACGCTCGACATCGACGCCGGCTGTTCTCGGTTGGCGTCCATCAGACCCATCATCTTTGGTGACGAGGCCTCGGGCGGCTCGTCGGAGAAGTTGATCCAGTTTCTACTAGCCGCAGGCGCCGGAATCGCCGGGCTTCATTCCTCCGCGGACTGCGTGCAGGGCCGCCATACCGCGTGCGAATGCAAGAACCGCGTCGGAATACGCACGGGCGAGGATTATCCCGCGGGCTGGGTGGAGGACTGTCGTGCACGTGTGTCGGGAACACACCCTCGGAAGGGGGACGGCGTATCTAGGTACGGCGTGGCGACGACCTGCGACAACTACAACCTCTTCCCGGAGCTGTTTCTAGGGCAGCCCGTCTTTGGCGGCGTCCGTAAGAGCAAGTCGGGCGCGTCGGGGAGGTCGGGCAAGGGGGGCCATGAGCGGAGTCATGCGTCCACGCCGCCGCCGCTCCTCAAGACGATCATGAAGGGCGTGGACCCGGGCTACGATCGCGTCAAGAGGCTGTTCGAGGTCGTCTTCGGCCACTCGGACATCCTCAAGACGATCTTACCGCTCCCCGAGGACACCGATCCCCAGGCCGCCGCGAAGGCGCACTACAGGGAGCTGCTGGCGGCCAAGATCCGCGGCGAGGACGTACTGTCCTTCGACATCGAGCGGGCCGATCAGTGGAGTCTGACGAAGCGGATGCGCGCGGAGAACCAGCCCAAGGGGCTAGTGGTCGCGTATGAGGCGAACCAGCTCGGCGCCGTCGTCGGGCGGCTGCGACCGGACCTCGGCAAGGGCGACGTCGAGGTGATCCTGAACGAGGGCCAGGCGAAGCCCTTCGGCGAGCCGCGCGTCCGCGAGCTCATGAAGACGCCCGGCCACGACGACAAGCGCATTTGGTCCTTCGGCTCGTTCCCGGAAAAGGATTTGCTGGACCACCTCGGGCTCGCCGAGCGCTACCGCAACTTCCACGCCGTCCTGTCCGTCGCGCTGGGCATGAACTCGCAGGGCCAGCACCGGAACAGGTCCACCAAGGCGCCGTGCCCGATCGCGACCAACATGCCCATGATGGGGCAGATGGTCAATTGCGATTATGATGCGGTCGTCAAGGACCCGTTCGTCACCCCCTACCAGCACGCGGCCGCGGAGAAGTGTTTGGAGAGCGAGGCCCACGTCTCTGACCCGGTCGCGACGCTACAAATCATGGGCATGGTCGCCACCGAGGGTTTGAAGGCCCTGCGCGCGCGCTGGAACGAGGTCGACGCGTATCTGCTCGGCGACGACACGGCGACGCGGCCGGCGCTGGAAGAGGGCCACGTGATTTGGTACAACGCGAGCGAGGCGAACCGCAAGTACGACGCGCCGGCGACCGAGTGGCCCGGCGCCAAGATGAAGCCGAAAAAATCCCGAAGCGGGAAGCGGAAGGCCAAGGTCACGCCGCCGCCCGTGCCGCTCTCGCGCTACTTCGGCGCCGCGCCGCCGACGGCGAAGCTCGTCCTCGCCGGCTCCGGCTCCAGCGCGGACCCCCTCGACCTGAGCAACTCGCCGTCGCCGCCGAAGCGGCCCCGCGTCGAGCCGCTGGACGAGCTCGAGTAGACGTGCTTCCGACGCCTCCTTCTCCCCTTCCCCCGCTCTTGTCTCTTTCTAAGCTTGTCAACATAAATAAATAAAATAAATAAATAACAGTGTTACAGTAGAGCTAACGACGGTGCGGCGTCGACTCGCCCTTGCGGTGCGTCGACCGCTCGAGGTTCACGGCGACGCACGGCGCGGCCGCGTCGACGTTACCAGCAGGACAGCAGTCGAAGGCCGGCCGGTTCTTCGTGTGCGCGAGGAACGACGCCGGCCCGGCGCCGCGCGCGCCCTTCTTCCGCCGAGCGGCGTTGCTCCGCAAGGACGGCAGCCCGGGCCCAGGGCACCGTTTCGGAGGCGGCAGCGCCGTCTGCGGCAGGAGCGCGAAGTCCGGGAAATCTAATAGACTGTCGGCTGCGAGGTGGTAGATCGGGTGGGCACCTGTGCGGAATAGGGACAATCGCGACGCACCGAGGCCGCCGCGCCGTCACCGAGTCGCGGCGACGGCGTGGAACACTCTCAAGTAGGACGCCGGCCACGAACGCGCCACCGGCGACTTCACGAAGTGCGCGGGCCGCAATTGCCGCGCGTAGTCGAACGTGACCTGTGTGGAAATCAAAATTTTACGGCACGTTCGTGCTGAATCGTCGCGCGGACCTCCACGCCATCGACGCGACGCCTGCTCGATGGCGTGGCGATGCCGGTTCCTCGCCGCTCGACCGAGCCAGGACGGCCGCGTCATCGCCGAGAAATGACTTAGCGAAGAATTGTGCACCCGTCGCACTGGTTGATTTCCACACAGAACGTGACCACCCGCCTAGCGTGTTTATATGTAGACGTCGAGCTCTTGTTCTTGTAGTCTCTAGATGTATAAGCTAACAATTCGCCGTCGTAGTTCAGATTTGAATCTTTATTCCAGAGCGTCAGCAGCGAGTGCCACAGAATGAGCTGGTCCTTCTCGCCGCACCGGTCGCGCCACCACAGTCTTAACAAAGCCCGCGTCCACGGAGTCTCTCTTACGAGCAACACGGCGGCATTGACGAAGACTTGATAATGCTCGGCGCCGGCCGCCACAGAAGCCTGGGCGTCCTCCATGACCCCGAAATAACAGGACGCCAGGCCGTGCCTTGAGAAGGACTCCCTGCGGAAGATGGCGTCCGTATCTAGCACTAAAACTTCGTCCTGGCCCGCGCGAGATAAGGCAGCGTGGATCGCGACGGCCTTAATCCAGTGGTTTCCTGCTTTACCGGACAGGCATTTCGGATTCGGCGCGTGGGCCGTGTCGACGTTGCCCAGAAACAGTAAGAAATCCAGGCCCTCCCGCTTACAGTAGCACAGCTTGTTCCACAGGAAATGCGACCACGGTCTCAAATACTTCAGATCAGTAGCTATGGTTAACACAGACCTCTGTTTTCCATCATTATCATGGTCGTTCTTGAGAGCACAGAGCTGCGGCGGCCCCGGGATGACCGGTGGGATTGGGCTCTCCTTCGAGAGCACCGTCCGCGTCTCGCCCGTGCTCGTTTCTAGTTCTACTACGTGGTTAAGGAAGTCTGCTCTCAAAATGCATCCTGTCGCTACTTCCGGCCAAATAGCGTCCGCGGCGATGGCGTGTAGCGTGGCGTTCGAGAGGGCTGCTGCTGCCGAGGCTGTGCCGAGCAGTAGCAATGCGCGCATCGATCTCGCAGCGCTCCAGCGCCGATCAATGATCAAAATTCTAACCACTCTCTGCCATAACACTATATTTACACGATTTTTAAGCTGCCGTCCACAAAAAATTAGCTTGCTAGTGCCTTACATCCGCTAGCTAGCTCCAGCACGCGTCCTTCGCCTCGCAGCCACGTCGTTATGAGGCATGTATAGGACCGCAAGAACCGTGCCACGCCTCGAAAAACACACGAAGGAAAATTCGAGCTCACAACACCCTTCACTTTGCGGCATTTTCAGCTAGCACCAAGCATAAAATACGGCACCGCCGGCCGGCGTAACGACTACCAGCATCAGCAAGATGACTTTCGAACACTTCCCCGTTGATCCGACCACGTTCAAGACGATTCCTGAGGAGCAGTGTTACCTCAAGCCCAAAGCTCAGGGCAAAACGATCAAGCGCAAGGGCCTTGTAGCTGGCGCCGTGGTCCTCTCATTTGTGCTCGGCTCGATCCTCGCGACCGCCAGCTCCGCGACCAGCATTCAGCCGACGACGACCGTCACGACGTCTCTCGCGAGCGAGCCCGCGCCGGCCGCGGACAAGAAAGCCGCGAACGAGAAGCCGGCGCCGGCCGCGCCCGCAGCGAACCAGAAGGCCAAGCCGACCTGCGGCCACGACAAGAACTCGCCGTGCAGCGCCCAGGATTTCATCGACATCCTGGACCAGGAGGGTTGGACGAATCGCTCGCCTCTGACAGTGGAGCCGAACAAGAACGAGTGCGCCACCAACCCGTGGTCGATTGGGTCTGACCTCGTCAATGGCTTCAAAGAAGTTGACGGCAAGTACGAGTCAGTAGGTGAGGGTCTCCTGGACTTTCCTCCGGGCTCTTGCGGTTCGCGGCCCAGCTGGGACAGTCGCGTCTTCGGGCCGCACACGTGGAAGACCTTACACACATTCGCGGTGAACTACCACTCGCCGCCGACCGAGGCCGCCGTCGACGCGTGCACCAACTTTATCAACGCGCTCCCGTACCTGATTCCCTGCTCGCACTGCGCCTGGGACCTCGGCCAGTCTGGTTCAGCGTCTCAATGCGCGCGGTCGCGGCGATGGCGTTCCGGCGGACGCGACTCCGTCGGAGACCCGCGCCGTCGGCGCGACTTTCTCTACGCACAGGTTCATTCAAATGAACAAGGACAAGAACGGGCTTTTTGATGCTGAGTGCGGCGGTGCCACCGGGGTCCCCGGGTCCTTCGACGAGTCCCTGTGCCTCGCGCCCGAGGAGGCCTGCAAGTCGCAGCGCACCCTCGTCAGCTTCTTCGTCCGGGCCCACAACAACGTGAACCAGCACACGCAACCCTGCCGCCCGCGCTTCACCATCAAGCAGGGCTACGACACGTATCAGGAGGAGTACATCTGCGCCCACAGCGTCGTCTGGGGCACGAAGCAGTTATGCGGCGGCGGCTACTCCCCCGCGGTGGACTCCCCGCAAGGCGAGGTCGCCGGACCGAAGGGAACGGGGACGGCCAACGGCCAGGACTACTACGGCGTCGACGCCGACGAGGGCTGCAAGCCGGAAACCGCTCTTGCCTGTGGCACCGTCGAGTGCAAGGCCTGAAGTTGAACATATTTCCTTTCCCTTCCCCTTCCCTTGATAGTAGTATAACTACCCTTCCTTTCCATTTATGACTACCCTCGGGGCGGCCTCGCGTCGGACCTGAATACCGCGATACGTCTCCCCTAGGCAAAACATACCACAAATAAAGCTTAGTCGAGCTGCCGCGACCGCGCCATCCACGCCTTCCTTTCGTCGAGAGGCGGCTCCGCGCTCACCGCCCGCTCGCGGATCATGGAGCCGACGGCCTTGCCGACGTCGGCCTTCTGGCGGTGGCCCACGGCATCCGAAGGAGGCGCCGAGAAGTACTCCGGCGTGTTCCACACGATTAGCGCGTCGTGCCTCCACACGCCATCCCTTTTCTTGCCCGTTCTATATCGTATGGTCCCCATGCCGTGCCTGTAACCATTCTTCCACTCGCCGTCCCACTGCTCGCCCGACGACTTCGTGAAGACCCCTCGCCCACTTCTTTTACCTTTAATCCATTCACCCTTATACGTATCATTCTCGAAGACGTGGTCCCACGGGTCATATTTCTTACCCGGGTCCATGTGCTTCTTCCTTTCCGAACCGTAGATGTAGGTGCCGAACCCGTGCATTCTGTTGGATATCCATTCCCCATCATACGTATCTTTACTCTTCAACCATTCACATTTACCCTTGCCAAACCTCAATCCTTCCCTAAACTCGCCCGTGTATTTTGTACGACGATTGTAGTGCGTGCCCTTCCCGTGGAATTTATCCTTGAGGTACTCGCCATGATAATACGAACCATCGGGCCACGTCTCCTTACCGCTACCTTTTTTCTCGGACTGCTGCCACTGGCCTTCATACCTCCTAGGCTTCGTCTCGCCCTTCATCTTGTTGATGTGATAGACATAGGTCCCGAAGCCCTGGCGCATCCCATTTTTAAATTTGCCCGTGTACACGTCGCCGTTCGGGAACAGTACTCTACCAGAACCTTCCCGGACACCTCGCTCGTCGAAATCCCCTTCATATTCACCGGCGTATTTTTTGGTGCGAGGCGGGATGGGGTAGGGCAGCTGGCCGTTGTAGGCCTGGTTCGGGAAGCGCTTCGTATCTGTCGGGTCGTCGAGGTTCGGCCCGACTCGCGGGTAGTGCTGCTTCTTGGAGGCCTTGCCTCGCGACCGCGCTCGCTGCTTCGAGGTGGCTCTCTCTTCTTTACCACTTCCAATCTTGAGGACGCAGTGGCCGCAAGTTTGTTTTGTTCTCTCGTGATTTTGGCGGTGCCAATCACATAAGAATAAACCGCAGACTTCGCACCAGTACGAGCCCTTCTGCTTGTCCGCGCACTCGCTGCAGGGCCCCGGTTGCGCCGGCGGCGGCTTCGGGGGCTGCTTGTGGCCCTGCTGTTCTAACGCTTGACGCTTCTCGGCCGCGATTCTCTCCGCTTCCGGATCCATGAGCCGCGTGATCTCCTGATTTACGACCGAACCAATAGCGGCCCCGGTCTCCTTCTCCTTCGTCTCCTTGTCGATCTTGAGCGCGATCGCACCCGCGTCGGCGATGTCGATGCCCTTCCACGTACTTTTAGATTTGGGCTGGTACCTCTCGACGAGTTTCTTCACCTTCACGATGGCCGCCTGGAGCTTGGCTTTGTCCTCCTCGTAGGTCCTGGGTTTTCTTTTACGGCTCTCGAGCTTCTCGAGCTTCTCTTGCAGCTGTTTAAGTCGCTTCGTGGCCTTGGCCAGATCTTCTTCCCGTATTTTTTCTAATTGACTGACGTCGCGGTCGGCGTAGGAGCCGCCTCCCTCATTGTGTGGGGAGGCGAAGAGGGGGTGGACCATGGCTGCTTCTGACGCGCGCGCGGCGGCTGCCCGCTCGACGTATCAGAGGTATAATTGGGTGTTGCGGCGGCGGCGTGGAGAGCCGCGCCGCGGCGGCGTCTGTGGGTCGCTGGCAGCCTTTGGGCCGTCCCGGCGTGCGAGCTGGCCACTAGTTCGGCTGCCCGGGCTGCCCGGGCGTGCAACGCGCTCGATTTAGCTAGCGGCTGTAAGATACTAGCAAGGAGCGGTGCGCGGACGCGTGAACTAGACGTACGGCTGGGTATCGCTCGTAAATGTGATCATCAATTAGGCTGCCGGGACCTGCCATGCCTCCGCACCACGACTAGGGCTGCCCAACATGGCAGCGGCTGAGGATGGGCAGCCATCGAGGCACCCCTACGCCTACGCCGACGCGGTCCCGGCACCGGTCGCATTCGTCGTCGGCGCCGCAGTCGCCGCGGTCCGCCTCGCGTGCTTGCTGCTGGGCGCCCTCGTCTACGTGGCGTGCGCGCGGGTCAAAGCGCCGCGCATCGGACTGACGCGATTGGCTATGTGTTGCTTCGGCGTGCTTCCCGGCCTCTTGGCCGTCGACGACCGGCGTGAGAAGAGTGATGCGGCAGAAACGCCGATCGTCGTCCTCGCGCCGCACCACGGTTTATTGGAGGGCCTTTTCGCGGCCTACTACTTCGACGCGCGCCCGATGATGATGCGGACCTTTGCCAAACTACCGGTGATTGGAGCCATCGTGCGGGCCAACGGCGCGCTGCTCGTGGAGCTCAAACGCCACAAGAAGGGCTCGAGCGTCGCCCCGGCGGACGCGAAACCGTCAGCAGCAGCGAGACAGGCCCTCGCCACCCACGCGGCCGACTACAAGGGCGGCCGCCCCGTGGCCGTGCTGCCCGAGGGCACGACGCACAACGGCGCGAGCCTCCTGAAGTTCTTCGAGGGAGCCTTCAAACCGCTCGCGCCGGTGCAGCCCGTCTGCGTGCGGTTTTCGGGGTGCGTCGACGGCTCGTTCTGCGGCACGTTGATTTCCCACCTCGCGCGGCTGCTCAGCGCGCCGTACCAGCGCATGACCGTCACCATTCTTCCTGCGACGCGGCCCTTGGACGGCGAGGACGCCTCGGCCTTCGCGGCGCGCGTCCGCGCGGAGATGGCGGCGGAGCTCGGCGTGCCTTTGTCCTCCTACGATGCGAAGTCGCTGAACGCCGAATACGTAGCGCGACGACGGCGGCGACCTGGGTAAGTTGTATTTGTGTGAGGACGAGTACAGTCCTATTGTTACGGTGCTAGGACTAGTGGGCGGACGAGTACATTAAATTTTCCTAGAGCGTCTCTGGATCTAGCTCATAATCTTGTGCCACCGGCCGGGTGATCGACCGCTGCGGCGCACGGAGACGCTGCTCGTGCGTTAAGAACTCTGAATAGTGAAGCTGTCGACCTCATCTCCAGCTCCAAGCGCTCACGGAACGCGAATCGACGCACACACCAAGAGCATGATGACCAGACCGCCAACGCCGTGCGAATCGACGCCACCGACGCCAATGACAATGAGTGCCCTCCAGTACACGGCCGTTCCCACCGTGATCTGCCTGTCCGCCATCGGCGGCGGCTACGCCATCTGGCTCGCCGAGGGCAGGGACCCCTTCCTGCCGACGATCAGCAACACGTGGGACACGGCGCCGGGCACGTACTTTAGCAGGTGGCTCGTCGGGCTGGCGACGGGCTGCCTCGCGTTATTACAAGTATTTATATACCCGGAGGCGGCGGCGGGCCGCGGCTCGACGAAACAAAAGTTGTGTCTGAGGGTGAGTCTGGCAGCTATCTTGTGCCTGTCGGTCGTGGGGTCGATCTGCGACAGCCCGAATCGCCAATGCAAAGGTAATTTATACGTGCACTCGTTCTTCGCCATCACGTGGTTCGTTTTATATGATCTTGTCATGCTCGTTTCCTACGAGCAGGACTTGGTGCTGGCTTTGTTGGCGACCATATGCACCACTACAAGGACTACGTACCACACGCGGCTCTGGTGGGTCGCTTGCCTGGAGTGGACCAATATCTTGCTCGTGTTAGTGTGGTCGGCGCGGCGCGTCGATCGTGATCTGAGGTGGGGCTTCGGGCGACTGCAGAACACAATCTGGAGTATCACGAGCGACTCTTTACTGAAGCTTTGCGGCGTCATATACGTATCCACCTTACTTGTGAGTTGCGTGATGGGTCTGCACGCGGGCTACATCCCACGAAACCACCGCCGCTTCTGGTTCATCAGCGACATGTGGACGCAGATCCCGGGCAACTGGCTCTCGCGCTGGGCCGTGATGCAGGGCTGCCATGCCGGCTGGGTCGCGCATGTGGCCATGTTCGCTGATACAACATCAAAACTTAGAAAGATGGGTCTGGTCGTGGCCATTGTATCGTTGGTTGGTTTATCCATCGTGGGCTGCTGCGACGAGTCCGAGAACTTTCCTTTGCACATAACGGGGGCCCTCGTCTTCTTTTATGGGTATGACATTTGGACGGTCTGCGCGGTGCTCGACGACGCCTCATCGCGGGCGCGAGTTACGTGCGCGATTGTATGCTGGCTCTGCGCACCGATCCATATGCGCCACATTATGCATGTGCCGCCTTCCTTATTAGACACGCTGGCCGTGCTCGAGTGGGCGAACGCGCTGGCGATTATTGGGTTCATGCTCCTCGACGGCCTCGTGGCGCACCCGTCGGCGCTGGCCGTCGGCGTCGTCCGCGCCGTGCCGGACGGTTTGGAGAAGCCCCTCCTCTAGTCTTTTTCCCCTATGTCCTGTATATCCTGTAACTTGAAGTACCACAACAACATACAGTCATACTTACTTTTTTGTGGGCTGCTTTTTCTTCTCGCGAGCGGCCCCTGCCTTCTTTTTCTCAAGCTTGGCGAGGAGCGCCGCCCGGTCCCGTTCCGCCTGTCTCGAGTGGAGCGTGTTCCCCTTGATGTTTCCGTCAGCGTCTATCCAGCGTTTGTACTCGGGCTCACGTTTTTTCTCTTTGGCGTTGGCCTTGATCGCCGCGTCGAGCAGCGCGTCGTCGTCCAGACCCAGGTCGTCGTCGGCCGGTGGAGGCTTCGTCTTCGGCGCTTTCTTCTTCTTCGCAGGGGGCCGCGGCGCCAGCTTCGGCGCCGGGGCGGGCCGCGCCGCCGCCCGCGCCGCGCGGTCCTGCGCGAGCTTCTGGAGCAGCGCGTTCGCACCCGCCAGCTGCCGGGCCGCTTCGCCGCTGGCCCCGCTCCCGAACGTTTTCGGCGCCGCGGGTGCAGGCGCCGCGACGGGCGCGGCGGCAGCGGCCGCGCGCGCCTTGCGCCGCGCCTTCTTTTGCGCGTTCTTGCCTTTTGGCGGCGGTGGCGGCGCGACGGCGTCCTCGGGCCGCGGAATAGCCATCAGAATGAGCTTGGCGCCACTGGCGAGCCGCGGCGCCGCGGCGGCGAGGGCCATCGAGTCGTCCACGAATTTTCCCGCGCCGACGAGCTTCTGGCGCGGAATCTCGACGCCCGTCGCCTCTTCGATGGCAACCTTGAGCTCGCCGACGGTCCAGGCCGGCGCGAAGGGCACGAAGACCGTGGCGCCGGCAAACGCGACGCGCAGCTCGCCCGACGCCGGCGGCAGCGGCGCCGCCGCGGTGGCCGGAGGACTCTCGGCGGGCGCCTCATCCTCCACAGCGGGCGCCGCCGCTTCAGGCGTGGGCGGCTCGGGCGCAGCCGGCGGCGCTGCAGGCGTGGGCTCGGGCGCCGCCTCGATTGGAGCGGCCACAGGCGCCGCGACGACGGTCGCCGCCGCGGGCAGGTACTCCGCCGCCGAGACGTAGTCGCCGACGTTCGCGACGTGGTCGAGCAGCGCGGCGATGAACGGCGACGCGCGCACGGTATCCGAGTCGCCGACGACGCAGACGTGGCGCCGCGCGCGCGTCACGGCCACGTTCAGGCGCCGCTCGTCCGCGAGGAAGCCCACGACTCGATGCGGGTTCGACCGCGTCAGCGACAGCACGACGGCGTCGCGCTCCCCTCCTTGATACCCGTCCACGGTCTTGCAGTCGACGTCGGCCGGGAGCATGGTTCTTAACAAAGTAACTTGCGCGTGGTACGGCGCAACCACACAAATGTGACCGGGCGCCATGCCTCGCTTCAGCAGCAATTCGACGTGCTTCACGACGACGCGCGCCTCGCCTTCGTTCCCTACCGAGTGCGCGCCGTGCTCCTCCGTCCCGCTCGAGTCGTCGTCCAGGCCTAGCCCGCACGTGTCCACGTGGACCATCACCGCCAGACGATCCTCGTCATTCGCGAGGTAGTCCTCGTACAGGTCGCGCCTCACGCAGACCGGCGCCGCCTCCAGCAACCCGCCGTAGGACGCCGCCGAGGCCCACTCACATATATCACCGTGCATGCGGTACTGCGTCGTGAGCAGGACGCTCCGCCTCTCTTTACAGCCGGGCCGCTTGTCCTCCATCAGCCGCTCGAACAACGTCCTCCCGAGTAATTCCGCCTCGATACCGTCGCACTTCACGGTGGGCGGCAGTTGCTTGTGGTCGCCGGCCAGGATCGCCCGGTCGCCCTTCAGTAAAGGGATCCAGCACGACGCCTCCAGGGCCTGGGCCGCCTCGTCCACGACGACCAGATCGAAGCGCTCTTCACAAATCTCCCGCCGCGCCGCGCCCGCGTTCGTCGCGAAGACGACGCGCGTCGCCCCCACCAACCGCGTCAACAGCTCGCCCTCGCGGCGGCGCACCTCGGCCCTGACGGCGCGCACGTCGCGCCGCGCCGCCTTGTCCGTGGCCGCGCGCCGCGCGAGGTCCCGCGCCTCGTTCCGCGCGTCCTCGACGACGTCGGCGCCGTCCGCGTCCCGCAACCGCCGCTCGACGGCGTGGCGCAATACGATTGGAGACAGGCGCGCGGGGTGGCCCAGCCGCAACAGTTGGACCGGTCTAGATTTCCGCCCCTGCCGCTTGCGCCAGGCTTTCGACTCGACGACGTCCGCGACGCGCTCGAGCAGGTTGTCCACGCTCTGGTTCGACGCGCCGCAGCAGAGCACGCGCTGGCCTAGGGAAGCGGCCTGGCAGACGATCTCGACGAGCGTCGTCGTCTTGCCCGTGCCCGGCGGCCCGTGGATTAGCAAGAGCGGCGGCGCCGCGAGCGCCCTTCGGACAGCGTCGCGCTGCGAGGCGTCCAGGGCGGCGTTGAGCCAGCGCGGCTCGTCACCTAATCGTGTTGCGGGCGGCGCGCGGCCCAGCAGCTGCGCGCAGAGCTCGTTCTCCGCCGTGAGCGTGGCGACGGCCGCGCACGCGCGCCGGAGGCACCCGAGCGTGGCGGCGTTCGGCCGCGCGTCGACGCGCAGCCCCTTGACGCCCACCGCGGCCACGGCCTCGTCGTCGGCGTCGGTCAGCACGTCAATCATATCCTGCGTCACGCGCGAGACGACGCCCTCGACGCGCGCGCCGTGCTTGCCCCGCACGGTCACCTCGGACCGGACGCCGAGGCGGTGCGCCGGGAGCATGAGGCCGTTCGCGTGCGCGAGGCGGAGGCGCGTGCGGCCGCCGGGGCCGCCCACGTCGACGTCGGCCGCCCGCAAACCGAGCACCGTGATGCCGCGCGCCGCGCACTCGTTCGCCGTCAGGGTCTGGAGCGCGACGTCGAGCTCGGACGCCTCGGCGTCCCGCTCGGCCTCGAGGGCCCGCAGCGTGCTCCGGGCCCACGCGGCGCCGTCGAACGCGACGTCGCGGCAACTCACCTGGCGGTCGTCGCCGGCGCCCGCGCTCGTCGACTGCAGGCCGACGCCCTCGCAGAAGACGTGGACGGCGTGGCGCTGCTGCGCGCTGAGCGTCGCTGGGAGCCTCACCTCGCCGACGCGTTCCGTGGCCGCGGCGAGCGCGAGCAGCGGTGCCGCGGTCTCTGCTCCGAGGGCGTCGAGCAATGGGGCGGCGCCGGGGAGCTCGTGGCTGCTGTCCATCATCAATGCGGCGTGTGGCTCGCAGCTGCTGTCGATCGGGGGGGGGCGGCGCCTGGCTGCTATTGGGCACACCGCCGCAACACACAGGGCGCAGCCGCAGTGTTTGCGATAAATTGGACCCCCCTCGCGCACGTGCGCTTATATGTGCACAGGTTCGGCTTCAAATGAGGCGCGCCGCTTGTTGCATTTACTGCTAGTGTCTTACAAGGCCGCTAGCTATTATTCAGAGCGCTGCTTTTTGTATTACGGGGCAGCCGGCCGTGCCAACTGGCAGGCAGTGCGATTGGTGAGCAGCGTGCCGTGCCCATGCAAGCGGAGCAAGGACCATCAAGCGCACTGCGACTCGTAGGACGGGGGCAGCGTGCCAACCAAGCACAAGCGGAGTGAGCAGCGCCGGTGACGATGCGGCTCGGTCGCGTCGTCGTCGCCGCGGCGCTCGTCAGTAGTGCCGCTCGACCGAGCCCCGCCGGTGAACGGCCATCCGTGTCGTGGAACGCCGCGCGCGAGGAGTGCGAGTCCCGCGGCCAGGGCCTCTGCTCGTCCGAAGAGCTCTGTCCGACCGGTGCGCCGTTCGATGGCGGCGTTTACAGCTCGGACACGTGGGTGCCCGTGTCGGACGGCAGCGACGAGTGGCTTCAGTACGGGAAATGGGCGAACGGACCACTCTGCAGTCTGCACAGCGTCCAGCACGCGCCCGACCCGCATCCCTGCCACACCCATCATGATCCGGTGCGGTACCCAGATGCGGCGAGCTGCGGCCACTCCTTCTTGTACTGCTGCGGCGACTACGCGCCGTGGATCCCGCAGCTGCCCGAGCCACCGACGGTGTGCGACAACTCGAAGTGCAGCCGGCAGCTGTCGCTTCCTTGTCGCTGGCCGTACGCCTACACCTTTGACCGTCGCTGCACGCCCCTCGCGGCAAACGATCCGTACATGGACGACTTCGTCCCGTTTTTGCTGGAGAGGTGCGCGAAGGACGAACATTGCAGCGGCGTGTTCGAGCCGCTCGGCCGCCTCGAGCCGGAGGTCTATAGCCACGACGGGACCCTGGGCTACCTCACGTGCGACGCGCGCCACGCCCCCGAGGCCCTCCCGGCCTCGAACCTCTACGACACGCAGGGAGTCATAATCACGTGCGCGGGCAGCGGGAACTGTTCGTCGCCCAGCTACGTCGGCCCGGTCTTCGACCGCGCCTGCGCGCGCACCGCCCGCCTCGGACAAATCAGCGAGGGCGCGTACGAGATCATCGACCATCCCTGGTCCTATTACGACGGCGCGCGGTCCCGCATGGGCCTCAAGGAGTGCGCCGCCGCCGTGCGCGCACTCGCCGGGACCGGGTGCGACGGCGAGTACTTCTACTGGAGTCCCGACATCACGTGTCGCTGCGTCACGGATCATTGCGCCGCGAGAATCGCGGCGCTGGACGACTGGCAATTGTACAAGTTCGGGTGCCCGGACGCCGCCGGAAACCGCCCGGCGGCGAACGAGACGTGCCGGAGCGACATCTGCACCGACTACGGGTGGGACTGCTGCGCGCCGTTCCCCGAGCGGCCGGGGTGCAGCCTCGCGGGCTACGCCGTCCGGTCGGGCGGCGTGTCGCGCGACGGGGCGTGCGAGGACCCGGACGCGGTGTACCAGTGCTGCGCGACGGAACCGGGCGCCGTCGAGCCAACGACGGACTTCGACGGCTGCCTCGCGGGCTACTACACGTGCGCCAACTGCTGCGACCAGGACGCGGACTGCTCCTGCGACGGGCTCGGTGGCGACGCCTACGCGCATGAATGGCGCACGCCCCGGTGCCCCGAAGGATACTACGAGTGCGGCGATTGCTGCGACCGCGACGCGGACTGCGCCTGCGATAGTAGTTGCACGGCGCGACTGGCGGAGCCGCGGCCCACGCCCGCACCCTCGCCCAGGCCGACCCCGCCGGCTGCACCGACGACCACGACCTGCGTGTCGGACGACTTCGAAGGGACCAGCCTCGACCCGCAGTGGACGTCTTCCGCCGGCGGCGACGGCGAGTGCGCGCTCAGCGGCGCCGGGGTGTTGGTCTGCAAGAACGCGAACAATGGCGCGCACATTCGCACGGCGAATACAATCATCGAGGCCCCGCTGATGATCAGCGGGTCGCTCGACAAGACTGACGATTGTTCGGACCACTACATAAAGGTCTCCACCCAAAGCACTGATTCGGGCGCGCCGTGGTCCAACCGCCCCGGCTTTGTCACGTTCGTGTGGAACTGCGATTACCGGGCCATCTACGGCCAGACCGGCGTCGTGTCCACCTATAGTCCGTCGCGGCAGACCTACGACATCGAGATCACGATCGACGAGTCGACGGTGACGTTTCGGGACCCTACCGAGGCGGAGACGGTGACGATCGACTGCCGAAACGACATCTGCACCGACTACGGAGATGACTGTTGCGCGTCGGAACATTGGGACGAGCCCCGCGGGTGTCGCGTAGCGGGCTTCGTGCCCCGCTCGGGCGGGCAGAATTATTGGTGCCCCGAGGAGGAGAGGTACGAGTGCTGTGGGGAAGTCAGTGGAGTCAGTGGCGACCTCAGTCTCTCGGACACTATTGGCGCGTCCGGACCGCTCTATGCCTACGTCGGCGCGGACTGCGACGGTTGCGAGGCCGCCTGGGACTCTGTGGAGATCTGCTCGTGGTCGGAAGCGCCTACCTCCGCGCCGACGGCGCCATGGCCGTCGGACTGCTCTTCGGCCGGTAGATTTAAGTACGAAGGACATACGGGCTACTGCGTCGAGGCTGACGGCGAGATCTACGACGTCCTGCTCGTCGAGGACGGCCAATATACGTGCCGCCACACGGACGAGAACAGCTGCCCGGCAGGCTTCGACATCTGGGTCCCGCGCAGCTACGCGCACGCGCTCGCCGTCGTCGAGGCGACGGGCTGGTATGACCCACTCGTTGGCATTTACCGCGACGAGAGAGGCTGCGGTTCGTGCCAGGGCTACGCGATGAACAGCGACGCTATGGCCACGTACGGCGGCGTCGGCTGGAAAAGCGTTGCCGGGGATCCGTGGTTCATGCGGTTGTCGAGCTACAGCGAGCCAAACGGCGACTACGAAGCCGGCTGCTGGCTTGGCACGCACGGCTGGACGGAAAACGAGGGCTTTGAGTTCTTTGACTACTGGTGCCGTAACTGCCGGTCGTCGTACCTGTGCTCGCGGAACGGGGCCAAGCCCGTGCCCACTCCTGCGCCGACAACGGCAGCACCGACGGCGACGCCCGCGCCGACTCCGGCGCCGACAACAGCAACGCCGACGGCGACGCTTGCACCAATACACGAGGGGGAGAACGTACGTGTTACAACCAGCGGCTCCTTCGTGCACGTCGATCAAGCGAAGAGCTTTGACGATGCGCGCGCGTACTGCCGCGCGCACTATCACGACCTCGCGTCAATCCACAGCTCCAGCGAGAATGCGGCAGTTGCGGCGCTTTGTCACGGTGGATGCTGGATCGGGGGCTCCGATGCGGCCCAAGAGGGCACGTGGACTTGGTCGGACGGTACGGCGTGGGATTACGAGAACTGGGAATTCGGAGAGCCCAACAACGGGGGGGGCGACGAGCCCTACATCGTGATCTCCGACTCAGGACGATGGAACGACGACAGCCGCTATGGTACTTACCCATTCGTGTGCGGTTGGGAAATATGCAGCCTCGCGTACCACGACAACGTGTCCCAGCCCGAAGGGTGGTGCCCGGTCGGGTACCACGACTGCGGCGACTGCTGCGACTTCAGCGCCGACTGCGAGTGCGCGCGCGTTCGCCGCGGCGTCGACGACGGGTCCTGCGGGCCCGGCGTCGACGACCTCGCGTGCTCGGTGCGCAAGGCGCGACGGACCGAACACGGCGACCACCACACGGAATGCACGGAGCAGCGGCCCTGGACCATGCAATCCGAAAATTGTTGGGACGGGATCGCGCGAGCGCCCCGGGGCCAGTGCTGCGCGGGGCCGAACGAGGTCCCCGTGTGCGAGGACGGCTACACGGTCGTGCCGGGGGACGCGCCCTGCGTCTTCACCTGCTGCAAGGGCGACGCGGAGGCGTTGACCGCCACCGAAGTGGACCGGGCGGGCGCGGTGTGCTGGGAGGCCCACGCGAACGAGGGGAAGTTCCCTGTCCCACACTGGGCAGCGGGTGGCATCGAGTTCCATTACCTTTGCTGCGACGACTCTTCGGACCACTGCCCCAACACGACGAGCAAGGTCTACATCGTCGACGACGGGACGCGCCACGGCTGGGACGAGGGCGAGTGGTTCCGCGAGACCGAGTGCCGCGCCAGAATAGTTACTTTCTGGTCGCACTACGACATGAGCGGCCAGTATTGGGAGATACGGAAAACCGATCCGTTCACGAAGCCGACGCGGCGCGGCGACTGCAACGCGGACGCCTGCCGCTCGTTCAAGCCCGGCGGGCCGCGGATCGCCGCCCTCGAGGACGTCGTCGACCGCGACCCGGGCGACCTTGGGCTGAACTATAACGACGACTGCTCGCGCGTCGCACCGCCCATCCAAGGCGTCAATGTAGCCGATGTGGCGCTCCGCGCCTTCGGCCCGCCGGCCGCGGCGCGGTACTGCGCCGACGGGCACCGGCTCGCGGGCATGGACTACGTGCCGGGCGTCGGCGCCTGCTGCACGAACGCGACGGCGCCGGCCGGTTGCGTGGCGCCGCTCCCCGTCTGCTTCCACGAGACCGGGCTGCGGCGGTGCGACGTCCTCCTCAAGTACTTCGGCGCGGCCTACGACGCGGTGCCGGCCCACAAAATCGAGGAGCTGTACGGAAAAGGGGGGACCGCGGGCTGGACCGGGCGCGCCGCGGGGATAGAGCACGTCCGCGACCGGCCCTGCGGGTTCTCGCCGCGGCGCGCGCCGTACGCCTGCGACGACCTGCGGTGCGACCCCGACACGCAGACGCTGTACTACGTGCGCTCCCACAAGTGGCGCTGGTGGTCGTTCCTGGACTACTGGTTCGGCTGGTACGGCCGAAGCCCCTGCCACCGGTCGTGGTGGCGTACGGACCTGCCGGGTCGGCGGCCCTGGCCGCACACCGCGAAGAATCGGTGGGAGGGCGAGCGGATGCGGATCCGGGCCTGCGGCGTCGTGACCGCCGACGGCGATTTCTTCCACGCGCAGCTCCGGGAGAAGAAGCGCTGGGACGAGGCCGGCTGCGCCGGCTGCAGAAACACTTGCGCCGGCTGCGCAGACAGAGCTCCTGAATCTGCGAGTATCAGCGGCGAGGCCCCCTACCGGACGCCGTGGCACGGCGCCGATTTCCGCGTGGAACCCCTGGGCGATCCGTACTACCGGCATCACGAAAAGCATCATGAACATGAGCAACCGGAGACGTACGTCGAGCACCCGTGGACGCACTTCTGGGCCTCTTCCCGCGCGCCGCGGCGCTGGAGCGGGCTCGAGGCGCGGCCGACGGCGGCGGCGGCCGACGCGTGCGCGCAGGACGCGGAGCGAGAGTTCTACAGCGGCTGCCTCGGGACCTGCGGGAAGACGTGCGACGAGCTCGGCCACGACCCGGTCCTCTTCGAGAAGCTCAAGGACGCGGTGAAGCGGTGGCCCGACGCGGGCGGCGGCGAGGCGATCCCGGACGTCTGCGGCTTCGACGCGACCATCGCCTGGGACGCGGACCCGACGTGGTGGACCTGGCGCCAGGTCCTGGCGATCCTGGCGCTCGTGGGTCTCTGGGCGGCGGGCGTCGCCTGGGCCTGCTGCATATCGCAGCCGACGTGCTGGGGCTACGCCCGGCTCCAGAAAATCCGGAACTGGGCGGCGGACGGGAAGCTGACGCGGTGGGGCCTCTTCTGGTGCTGCGGCGGCTGGTTCTTCGCGAGTCTGGAGCTCTGTCTGCGCCGGCCCGCGCTACTTTTTGTCACGGTCGTTCCCGTAGTGCTCGCGGTGACGCTCAGCGGGCAATTAGGGGCGGGCGCCGCGGCGCTCTTTTTCTTCCTGTTCTTCGGCGGGCTGCTCATCGTGTTCCGCGAGCAGGTCCGCGCGCGCTACGAGAAGTTCTGCGAGCGGCGCTCCTGGTTCGGACGCCACGTCGCGCCAATTCTGGAGAAGCTCTCGCCGTGCGTGGGAAAAATTTCGGCCGGCGCCGCGGCCGTCGCGTGGCCCTTCAGGAAAGGAGCGGCGGCCGCGCGGTCCTGTCTCGCGCGCTACTGCTACTGCTTGTGCGACTCCTTCCGGCGATGCCTGGTCAAGCGGCCGCCCGCGGCCGTCTACACCGCGGAGGACGGGACGGAGCAGACGGCCCCCTGGGTCGTGGCGCCGGGCCCGCCGGGCACGATCGTGACCCGCCCCGATGGCATCAAGGTCAAGGTGCCGGAGGGCGTCCAAAGGGGCCAGCTCTTCTCGCTCGCGGAGGCGGCGCCCGCGGGCGACGGCGCCGTCGCGCCGAAACACGCCGCCGAGCCGCCGTCGCTCACGGAACGCACCGCGCTCCTCGCGCGCAAGGCGTGGATTATAAAAAAGCGCACGACCGCCGCGCTGGCCAAGCAAGTATTCGTCCCGCTCCTCGGCGTCGGCGTCCTGTGGTTACTGTACAACGCCAGGGAAGAGAACCGGCTAGCGAGGAGCACCGTTGCAAGCGATACGAGCGCGACGAGCGCGCCGACGGCCGTCACGAAGACCCGCAAGCGGACGACCTTCGACACGAACCACGGCGACTTCGAGCTCGTCATCTTCCAGTTGTTCTTCGTGCCGTGGGTCCAGGTCGTCGCCTCGGCGTTGGTGGGGGACGTTGCGCAAGGCACGCGCGAGGCGACGCGCGCGGCGGGCGGCGCCGACGCGGCCTACTGGCTCGCATCCTTTTTGGTCGAGGGCGTCGCCGTCGGCGGCGGCGTCGCCGTCGCGATCGCCGCGGGCGCCGCGCCGGGCCTCTTCCGGCGCGCCGGCAAGAGTTTCGAGGTCGCCGCGTTCCTCGAGCTCTTCGCCCTCCACTGGCTCTTTCTGCTGGCGCTCGTCCTCCAGACCTTCGTGGTGGTCACGTGCCTCCTTCGGTCGCAGATCGCCGCGGCGGGGCTCCCGCCCCTGTTGCACGCGGCCCTGCACGGGTGCTACTTGCTCTGGGCCCCGCTCCGGACCTGGAACGTTGGGAAACGGAGATACAAAACGAACTGGCGCTTGCGGGCGCGGCCGCGCGCGCACTTCGCAAGCGCGCTCCTGCCGCAGTTCGCCTACGATTTGTTGGTGGACTCGTTCAGCCCGACGAAAAAACGAGCGGGCTGGCGGTGCTGGCTCGTCGACGACGGTTTTGTGGGGGAGCGCTACCCGTGCGAGAAGTGTAGAAAAGAGTGCTGGGAAAAAGCCCCGAGGCCGCGGCGCGAGGCCTTCGAGCAGCATCTGGCGAGGAAGTCGCTGACGGCGGCGCCCTGCGCCGACGAGCACCTCATGTGCGAGGACGTCTGGCCCTTCTGGTACGAGAAGACTGAGGATCGGGGCTGGCGGCCCGAGTCCGCGTGGACGGCCGGGGTCTACTGCATGCTGATGGTGTCCGTGGTGTTGTGGGCGGCCGTCCTGTGGTACGTGATCCAGGTGTCCACGTCGGCGGCGCGGGGCAAGGGCAAGGACCTGCTCTTTTGCCTCCGGAAGGCGTACTGGCGACCGCCGCCGCCGGACGAGGTCGTGGAGAAGGCGCCGCTCGTGGACCACGACGAGTGGTTCGAGAATGATAAAGATAGCGACGCGCCGGTCCAGGTAAGAGGCCTCCGGAAGGTCTTCGGGAAGAAGGTCGCCGTATCCGACGCGACGTTCGCGATCCGCGACTCGGAGATTTTCTGCCTGCTGGGTCACAACGGCGCGGGCAAGACGACCACCATGTCGATGATGACTGGAGCAATGGCGCCCGACGGCGGCAGCGCAAGTTTCTTCGGGATCCGCACGCTCGGCCCCTTAGCCGACGCGGATGGTTTGGATAGGCTCCGCCAGCTCCTCGGCTTCTGCCCGCAGCACGACGCGCTATTCCCTCGGCTCACGCTCCGGGAGCACCTCATTTTCTACTCGCGGCTCAAGGGCGTCGAGGAATCTAGAGCGGAGAACGAGGCGTCTGGCCTGCTGGAGCTCTTCCGCCTCACGGAAATGGCCGAGGGGTTTCCGCTCAAGCTCTCGGGCGGCCAGAAGCGCAAAGTGATGATGGCCGCGGCGCTGACCGGCGGGTCCAGACTCGTGGTCCTCGACGAGCCGACGGCGGGGATGGACCCCGTGGCGCGGCGCGAGGTCTGGACCCTGCTGCGCGACGTCCGCGTCGACCGGTCGGTGCTCCTCACGACGCACCACATGGAGGAGGCCGAAGCGTTGGCGGACCGGGTGGCGATCATGGCGGCCGGGAGCGTGACGTGCTGCGGCACTCTATCTTTCCTGAAGCGGCACTTCGGCGGGGGCGACGACGCAGCGGACGGCACGTCGACCGGCGGCCTTCACATCGCGGTGACGACGGCCGCCGCGGCGCGCGATCAACTTAAAGCGGTTTTTGCGCAGCACATGCCCAAAGCCAAGCTAGCGGCGGCCTCGAAGCTCGAGGAGGACCTCCGCCGGGCGACCGAAACGGACGCCGCGAATCCGCTCCTCGGGTCGACACCCAAAAGCTTTTCCTCATCATTTAAGAGCCCGCTCCTGAACGCGACCCGGGGCGCGAGCTTCTCCGCGTCGCGGAACTGGGCGGACGGCGCCGAGGCCCCCCTCCTCGAGGACTCCGCGCGCGACGTCACGACGACGTACACCATCCACGCATCCAAGGCGCGCGTCGCCGCTCTCTTCGAGGGGCTGGAGGCCGAGGCCGACGGCTTGGGTCTCGTCGACGTTTCCGTGACGGCGACGTCGCTCGAGGACGTGTTCATATCCGTCGGCGAGCAGGTCGAGGGCGCGGCGGCGCCCGTAGAGGCGGAGACGTTGGTTGGCGGGGCCTTGCTGCCGTCGGCGCCGGGCGAGCCGGTGCCGGCGGGGAGGCTCGTCGCGGCCGTGGTCCAGTTTCGGCTCCCAGCGGTGCAGACAGATCAAAGTGACCTCGACTCACCTCTTGATTCCCACACAGGCTCCAGCAAATAAGAGACGACCTCGTGTGGATCAAAAAGTTCGTCCTCGGCGGCGCGGCGCTGCCCGGCGGGCTCCGGCGCGCCGTCAAGCGCGCCCGCGGCGACAAGGGCGGCGCCACGACTTTCACCGTGCCAACGCCTTTCGCCGTGCTCGCCGCGGTTTTGTCCTCGGGGTTTATCGTTGGCTTGGCTGTGGGCTTGACCGAAAAGGGAAGCCGGGATTCGCCCCGGGGGTGGGCGGCGGGCACGGCGGCCGGATCGGCCGTTGCGGCTTCGACACTCGCCTTGGCTGCTTTGGAGTGCGGCATACGTTTTATTGGAGGCGCCGCGTTGTCCGCGCCGTTTTCGGTCGCGGGATGCGTCGTCGGCTCCGTTTTCGGCGTTTGCGTGTGTGGTTTAAATGCGCAGCATCATTTCGTTCTTCACGCCTTTACGGGAGGGCTGACGTGGGCGATAGCCACGGCGGTAGCGGTCGGCCTCGAGGCTGGGCTCCGGCCGTACTTTGGCGTACCCACGTCGGCAGCCGGCGCGGTCGCGGGATGCCTAGTCGGATGGCTCACGGGCTGGCGCGCTTTCAGTGCTCAATTCTAACTCTTCGACGGGCGGAGAGTCCAAGCACCCAAAACGCTGGTTTATTTCCGCACAGGAGCGTATGCCTGAGCGTGCGCAAAAAGACGTTTCGGCGCATGGCCGCGAGCGCGGCGGGCCGCCGCGCGCGGGCGCGGACCGCCGGCGGCGTCGCCGGATTCTTTGTTGGCCTCGTCGTGGAAGTTTTGGGCTCCGTCTTCGCCTCAGCGTTTTGTTCCGCCGGGATACATGGAACGACCCTGGTGCTCCTCCAAGTGGCGGCGGCGGCGATGCCGCTGGTCGTGCGCGCGCAAATGCCCGGCAAAGGAAAGCGGGCGTTCGGTTTCAAAAGTAGACACGCGGAGTACTACAACACCCTCGTCGCGGGGGTCCTGGTGGCCGCCTATCTTCTTGTGGCGGGCTTCGTGGTGGAGCCCTACGTCCGCGAGCGAGCCAGAGGTCTGCGGAATCTATTGGCCGTCTCGGGCCTCGACACCTTCACGTACTGGCTGGGAAACTGGCTCGGCGACGCGCTGGTACTCGTGGGCGGCTCGGTCTGCGTCGTTTTCATGTTAGCGGCGACGCGCATGGCATATCGCAAGCGGTTATGTAGCAGCGCGCCGACCTACGCGCAGCTCCACGCGGCCGCTCGGAAGGAGCAGCTCGACCTAGGGCCTTACGATGCGACCGTCGAGTCCATGGCGGACGCTTTCAAAAGCAGGTACCCGCAGGGCTTCGACGAAGACCCGAACGATCTGTGGCGCTCCGAGTCCTACGATACCATCAAGCAGTGGTACTGCGGCAGCATCTGGGACCACGGCATCGGGGCCGGGGCCTGGCAGAACGCAACCAAATTTGTCGTCCGCCGCTGGATGGAACGCTGGCCGTGGTTGTGGATTTTACTGCCGCTCTGTAGCGCTGGGATCGTGAGCTTCTCGCACTTCGCGACGACGACATTCGACTCTCCGCTCATCGCGGTCGCGTCGACGCCCATTTTCATCGCTATCCTGGGCGGCGCGGCGCCGGCCGGGCTCGCGGGCCTCTGGTGGGTCGCCACCAGCGATCCAGACAAGATGCTCGGCCAAGATTTCCTCTGTAAGATAGGGTGGCTCGCATCGATCGCAACGCCGTTCGGCAACTTGGCGGTCCAGATCTGTAAGGTGGCCTTCCACCCGCAGCTGAAGCGCGCGGGATTTCTCGAGGCGTCGGGCGACGGGCCCCTGGGGCGGCAGCGCGCGGACCCGCCTTTACCGAGCGGCTGGGCGGCCGTGATCTTCGCCTTGTTCCACATCGTGCTTTATGAAGGAATAGTCTTCTTTAAAGATCGACGGGCCCTTCGCCCGCTCGCCTGGGTGAAGACGCGTGTCTCCAAGGCGCGCGCGACCGCGATGCCCGACGACGTCGCCGCGGAGCGCGCACGCGTCGCGGCGCTCACCGGCGCGGGCGACGCCGCGAGCGCGGGCGACGCCCTGTCGACGGGCGAAGACGACTTCCAGATTGTGGTAGACGAGCCGGAGGAGGAAGCGCCGCCGACGCGGCAGCCGCGGATGAGCCTTTCCGCCGCCGTGCGTGACACCGTCGCCATGCTGCGGAACGTGCCGCCGGGCGACGACCCGTACCCGCCGCCGCTCGTGCGAGACATCAAGTCAGCGGACCGCGACGGCCTCGTCGTCTCGGACCTGCGGAAGATATATCCGCCGCGGTTCTTCGGCGGTTCGGCCGTCGAGTCCGTCCAGTGCGCGGCCTTCGGCGTGCCGACGGGCCAGGTCTTTGGTTTACTAGGCGCGAACGGCGCCGGGAAGACGACGACCGTGTCGATGGTCTGCCGCGCCGTCGAGCCGACGTCCGGGGACGCCAGGGTCGCGGGAAAGAGCGTGCTTTTCGACTTCGAGAACGCGGCGGCGCGCGCGCTCGGCGTCGTCAACCAAAAGAACGTCCTCTGGGACCACCTGAGCTGCCGAGACCATCTGAGTCTCTTCGCGCGGCTCCGGGGCGTCGATATCGAAGGAGACGCGCGCCATGCCGCGGAGCAAGCGCTCGCCGTCGTCGGCCTGTCCGACCACGCCGACAAAGCGGCGGGCCGCCTGTCGGGGGGCATGAAGCGCAAGCTGGCGGTCGCGGTGGCGCTGGTCGGCGGCCCCTCGGTGGTGTTGCTGGACGAGCCGTCGTCGGGCCTGGATCCAGGAGCGCAAAGGAATCTCTGGGACCTCATCAAGGTCACGATGAAGGGCCGCGCCGTCGTCCTGACGACGCACTCGATGGGCGAGGCCGATCTCCTCTGCGACCGCGTCGGCATCATGGTCAAGGGCACCATGCGCTGCATCGGGACGCCGCAGGAGCTCAAGGAGCGCTACGCGGCGGGCTACGAAATCTCGTGCCGCCTGGAGACGCGGGACGACGCGCACGTTGCGGACCTCGTGGCGTTCGCGCGCGAGGCCTTTTCGTCGCCGGACGTCGACGTCGCCGCCGCGGACGCGGACATCGCGACGCTCGAGCTCGCGGGCGTCGACCCGCGGCGGACGCCGGCGCTCGCGTTCCGCGCGTTCGACGACGACGCGTGCGCGCGGCTCGGCGTGATCGACTTTTCGCTCGCGCGCGCGACGATGGAGAAGGTGTTTTTGAGGATTGCCGGCGGCGAGGAGGGTCTGGCGCAGTCGCGGCTCGGCCGGGAGATCGCCGAGATGCTCCAGGCCGAGGCCGACGACGAGGCGCAGAAGGAACTCGATAAGGTGCCTTTCTTTGAGGCGACGTGCCTCGGGTGCCACCGCTACGCGTGGGTCGTCGGCTGCCGCTACCAATTCGGCTGTTATCTGGTGTTGGGGGCCCTCTCTTTGTGCGCGAACGATGCCAAGCGTCGGCGCAACGACCCAAGAGCTCTGCACAACGCCCGCGGCCCAGCAACAAGAACCACGTGGGACATGGAGCTCATCCAGTGGGGCGTGTTCTTCTACTGGAGCGACTGGGGCCTGCAGGTCGCGTGTGCACTTATGTTCGTCACCTGGTGCGTGTGCGCCCCGTGCGCGCTCTGGTGCCTGCGGATGCCGGCCCGCGGCGACGGTTCCGTCGCGCCGGCCTAGCCTAGCTTTCCTCGTCGCGCCGCCATCTTTCTGATCTCGCGCCCCCTCCCCCCTTCGCGTCGCCGACTCGCACCCGTACTAATCTGTGACGTAAACTTCCAAAAAGCACCGCTAGTTAGTGGGGCTCGCCGGCGGCGTCGCGGCCGCGAGCTCGAGGACGCGCGCGAGCCGGTCGTCGCGGAAGAGGCGCGCGCGGTCCAGCGGGCTCGAGCCCGACACGGTCCGCCGCGACGGGTCCGCGCCGTGGTCGAGGAGCCCGCGCGCCATCGCGTGGAGGCCCCGCGCGGCGCACAGATGCAAGGCAGTGCTCCCGTCGAGCTTCGCGGCGTCGACGGGCGCGCCGCGCGCGAGCAGCGCGTCCGCGACGGCCAACGAGTTCGTCCAGGCCGCGACGTGCAGTGGCGCGTCGCCGTCGTCCGTCCTACTGTCGACGGACGCGCCCGCATCTAACAAAGCTTCGCACGCGTCGACGCTGCCCAGCGCGCACGCTAAATGTAAAGCAGTCGACCCGTCCTGCGACGGCGCGTCGCACGTCGCCCTTCGTTTATCTTCCGGGCAGGCCTCGAGCATCGCCCTTAAAGCTCCCACCTGCTTCGCTCGGACCGCTGCATGCAAGGGCGTCTCGTGCGCGCCGCCCCGCTGGCTGAAGCCGGCGTTCGCGCCCGCTCGTACTAACGCGCCGCACGACGCGGCGCGGCCGCCCGCCGCCGCGACGTGCAACGGCGTCAGGCCCCGTCGCGACAGCGAGTGCACGTCCGCCGACGCCTCGACGAGCTTCTTTATGAGGTTCGAGGGCGCCCAGTCCGGCCGGCCCGACTGCGCGAGGCGATGGAGCGGCGAGAAGCGCTCCACGTAGTCGCGGCGCGACGCGTAGGCCGTGTCTCTATCGGAAGCCGAGGCGCCCTCGCTGAAGTCCGTGAGCGGCTTTTCGGACGCGGCTTTTAATAAAGCGAGCGCCGCGCCCTCGACGCCGCGGTGGCAGCACACATGTAAAGGTGTGGAGCCGTGCTCATCTCTCCTATGCGGCGACGCCCCGCCCTTGAGCAGGGCCTCGACGGCCTCGGACCGCGACGTGCGCACGCCGAGGCACGCGTAATGCAGCGGCGTCGCGTCCGCGCAGACCGGCGGCCGCGGGCCGTCGCGCATGCGGATCGCGTTCGGGTCCGCGCCCAAGCTTCGCGCGTTCGCGTCCGCGCCTCTTCTTAGTAAAGCCTCGACGAGCTTCCTCCGCCCCGCGAAGGCCGCCAGGTGGAGGGGCGTGGCGCCGTCCGAGGGCGCCCGCCCCGACGGGTCGAAGCCGAAGCGATCAATAAGCTGCGCGGCGCACATGTGCGCGCCCTGCGCGCACGCGACGTGCAATATGGAATCGCCGGACGCGCAGTCGTGCGCCGCCCTCCTCAAGGCCGCGGGCGCGTTGTTGCCCAACCTTAACGCCATGTTCGTGCAGTCCTCTCGTAATTGCACGTTGTGCAAATCAGAAGGGCCGATGCCCGTCAGCGCGGCCACCAAGGCCGACGCGTCGTCGGCCCGCAGGGCGCTGCAGGCCGCGGACAATCTTGCTGCCGCTCTACTGGGTACGGGCTCGGCGTTGGGCTGCCGCGTCGGGAAGCTCGACGGAAGGGGCTGCTGGGGCGCGTTCGGCGGCGGCGGCGGCGGCAGGCCCGAGTTCGCCTGGTCCAGGGCCCGCTGCTGCTGGGCGTGGATCTGCGCGGGGCGCGTCGCGTCGACGGCGTCCGAGCCCGGCCTCCACGCCATCGGCGCGTCAAGTGAAGAACCGCGTGGGCGGACGCCGGTCGCCGACGCGCGAGAGCACGGCCGCGAAGTGCTGGAGGTCCGGCACGTCTCGGGCATAATGGGCGAGCGCCTCGACGGCGCGCGGCCGCGACAGCACGAGCCGCGGCACGGCGCCGCGCGGCGCCGCGGCGAGGCCCAGCGTCTGCCGCAGGTGGGGCGCTCTATTCAAAACGCCGTGGATCGCCTGGCAGACGACGGCCATGCGCTCGTTCGTCAAGTGCAGCGCCGTCGGCCGCGGCTGGCGCTGCTGCGGTTGTTGGGGCGCGGGCGCGGGCGCCGCGGGCGGGATCCAGCGCGCCGGCAAGGGATCTAACCCGCGCTGCGTCCGCCAGGCGGCGATGCGCGCGCGCAGCGCGTGGTTCGGCACGAGCTCGCGCGAGACCATCGGTTCTCGGGTCTGCGGCGACGTGTTGTGCGTCGCGAGCCAGTGCGCGATGGCGGCCCTTTCATACGAGTGGCCGTCGTTGGCCACGACGGGGTCGGCCATCATCGATAAAGTGATGGGGCACATGTATTCTGAGGGAGCTTCTTCCTGCGACGGCGCGTCGCCCGAACTATGGGACGTGACGCTGCGGCCCGGCGACCGCGCGGCCGCGCGGTCGACGGCCTGGCGAATGGCGGCGGAGGGCGGCGGCGGCGCCTCGTCCTGGGCGCGCACGCGGCGCTCGTACTGGGCCCTCCCGTCCCGCGCCGCGCGTCTTTCGTCGTTGTCGGCGGCGTTCGACACGAGCTCATCATGGCTATCGGGCGTGAGCTGCTGGACGCGCGCTTGATCTAAAGCTTCTTGGGCGGGCGAGGCCTCGGCCTCGTCCAGCCGCGTCGTGCCGTCGCCCGGGACGCCGACGCCCGTGATCGTCGTGAGCTCGGGCGGCGGCGCGGCCGAGGGCACGCCGTCGTCCTGGAAGCCTCCTGGTTGGTTTTGGCCCATCTTTTTTACGCTGTCGCGGTGGTTTTTGCAGCAGAGAGCTGGTAGCTCTTTTTGTGTTTTAGTCACGCGCTGACCTACGGCTGCTTTTTCGGTTTTGTGGCTTCGTGTAGACCGGTGTGAGGCTCGCGGGAGCACAAGGCTGTGGAAAACGGCCCTTCGCAGGGTGTTTTCAGCGCTCGATGCGCGCTCGAGTTTTTACTAGCGGCATTAAGGCACTAGCAAACCAATGCAGGGGCCTCAACTCGGTTAGGAGCCCTATATACACCAGCGCCACAACCTTGACAGCAACAAATTGCCCCAGGGCCAGATTTTGATCCAGAGAATGGGTGCCGGCCGTGGCGGCTTGCGCCTTGCCCCCAAACAGGTCCAGCAAGGTAAAATAGCGAAACGGAACTTGGGCTGGCTGCGCCCCTTCCTCCTCGTGAACGGCTTCCTCGTCGCCCTCGCGTCGGCCGTCGACCGGCTGGAAGCGGCAATGGGGCCGTCGTTCCTCGCCTGCCTCGCCGCTTGCGCGCTGCGCGACGCATTCGTGGTGCTCTTCCTCGACGTAGCGACGGCGGGCAAGGCCCGACTGAATGACCGCGCGCGGCCCTCACGAAGCCAGGTCAAAGACGCCTGGCGGCGGCTCTTTCTGGTCGCAGCGCCGGTCGACGCGATCACGCTCTGCCTCGCGCGCCATCTGGGCTGGGTCGGCGCCCCGCGGCCCACGTCCTACCTACGCTTCGTCGCCGCGTCTTTTTGTTTCGAGGTCTGTTTCGACCTCGGGCACTACTGGACGCACCGCTTCGCGCACGCCTGCGCCCGGCGCCGCAGCGGAATCGCGAAGGCGTTCTTTAACGCCCACGCGGCGCACCACGCCCACGCCTCGGGGCTGGCGCCCGTGCTGGCCTACGCCCAGGCGCCGCTCGACGTCGTCGTCTGCAACGCGCTACCGGCGCTGGCGGCGCTCGCGGCGACGGGCCGGCTGCTGGACTCCGTCACGCTCGTGTGGGCCTATAAGGCCTACGTCGAGGCGGCGGGCCACGCCGGCTGCGAGAGCCGCGCGACGTCGTTTCCCCAGTGCGTCTGGCTACCGCGGTATCTCGGCATCGCGCTGCGGACGGCGGACCACGACGCGCACCACGGCGCCGCCGCGGTCAACTTCGCGAAGCGGTTCACGCTGTGGGACCGCGTGTTCGGTACCTACGCCACGCCCTCGCCGAACGCGCCGCTCCGCGCGCCAAGCTTCGAGAAATCCGTTGGAGGATAACTATGCTATTGTCTGAACAAAACGGACGTATGTAAAAACCGATTACACACGAGAGACCTCACCCGGGCGACAGCGGAAGCGCGCCGGCGCTGCCCAAGGAGAGATCACCAGAAAAAGACAGGTCCGGCGACGCGCCCGAGCCGCCCGGCGAATAGTTCGGCGGCGCGCCCGGCGGCGGCGGCGGCGGTATCTCCCCGTAGCTCTCGGGGTAGCCCTGCGCCGCCAGCGACAAATGCCGCACGGCCAACCGCTCGTCCATTTCGACCTGGACCGCGGCGTTCCTGGTGGGCACCGCAGGCGCGGTCGGATCTTTCACGACCCGCGGCTGGTAGGGGCAGACGTGCCCTCGCTTCGGCTGGCCGCACTTCGAGCAGCGGTAGTTTGTCCGGTTCCTTCGTCGCTCGGCTGGTTTTTTCTTCGTGTCGTCAGTCGGCTTGCCGCCGGGGATTTTGGCACTCATTGTTTCTGCGCGCGGCCCGCGCCGCAGTGAAACAGAGCGAGCTGGGGTTGGAACCCAAAGAGGGCTGCTCCTTTCCCGGAGGGCACCGCTGCGGAAAATTCGTGAACGATGGCGTCAAGCAGCTGACGATGCTCGATCTTTCAACCAAAAAGTATCTGAATACGGCGCGAGCAACAGCACGCCGCGACCTGCGGAGATTGCCTGGAGGGAAACTGCTTAATTCGCAACTGCTCCGAGCCTTTGTTCCGAAGCCTGGAACGATGCTTCACATGCAACGGCGTCCGTCGCCTAGGTTTGGCGGTGGCCGTCGCGGGTTTTACACACAATTTAGCCAAAAATCGGCGTCCAACTCGTGAGCCGCAATCCGTGCAACGCGCGGACTCAGCGACAGCGCCTCGACGCGCATAAATCGCTGCGCAAGCGCTCGGCACCGTCCAGCCGTCGTTTGAGTGCTGGGAGCAGCCAAACTTGCTCAGCCCAAACTTGCCAAAAAAGGCAAGCAACGACGTCGCGCGCCGCCGCGCTCCGGCGCACACTCTCCTACGCAAACGCAAGGAGCAAGCATATGAGAATGGCCTCCTACTTCCCGCCTCTGGTGGTCGCCGGCTGCTCGGGCGCCGGCAAGGGCACGTTGATCGCGAAGCTGATGGCCTGGGATCCGGAAGCATTTGGCTTTTCGGTGAGCCATACGACGCGTGCGCCGAGACCGGGCGAGGAGGACGGCGTCCACTACCACTTCGCCGAGGTCGATACGATGAAGGCCGAGATAGAACAGGGCAAATTTCTGGAAAGTGCCCACGTCCACGGCAACTACTACGGCACGTCCAAAGCCAGCGTGGAGGACGTCCAGAAGGCTGGCAAGATTTGTGTCTTAGACATCGACTGTCAAGGAGTGCGTAGTGTGAAAGAAGCGAACCTCGGCGCGAAGTGTCTGTGGGTGGAAGCACCTTCCATGGAAGCTCTGGAAGCGCGGTTGCGGGGCCGCGGCACGGAGACGGAGGAGAAGATCCAGAAGCGCATGACGAACGCGCAATCCGAGATGGACTACGCACGGCCGCGGGCCGGCCCGGCGCCCTTCGACGCTTACCTCGTGAACGACGATCTGGACAGCGCACACGAGCGGATGAAGGCCATCCTGCAGACGTGGTACCCGCATTTAGGAGGCGGGGGGTCGCTGCGGAAGAACCCGTGCGCGGCGCTGCGGGGGGGCTGCTCGCAGTCGTGAGTTTCCGCGTAAGACTATGACACCTAGCGTCGACGGCGTAGGGGGGGGCGGAGGTTCTCCTGCGAGCCGTAGTGCGGCCTGCTTGCTTACATCGCAACAACCGGCCGGCGGATGCGCACGCTGGGCTAAAACTAATGAAGAACAGTCGCAAGAGAGGGCTTCTTCTCCGGAGAACCCTCCACGGAGTTGCTTGCTAGTGTCTTACATGCCGCTAGCTCCATCTTTGGCGCGGAGCTTTTGCGCGGCGCGCTGCAGTGAGCCAAGGCACGCGTGCGGTACGTGATTGCCATCACTGGTAAAAACGAGTTGCGACGCGAACCTGTGTCAGCAACAGCTCCGTACGCATAAAAAAAAGGCATCTCAAAAAGGCAGCCATTAAAAAGCAGCGCGTAAAACGCCGACGACGCGCCAAAGCTCATAGAAAATGGCCACGCACGCCGGCGCGCCCGACAAACCGCCGCCACCACCATCAAACCATCTCGCGCCCGAGCGCTTCGCGGAACGAACTTTGGTGCTACTAGACGGCGCCGAGGGCCTTTTAGCAAGGTGCCACCGCCTCGACCGCACTCTAAGGTCCAATGACAAGTGCCGGGCCGTGCGCGAACCGGAGTGGAAGGGCCTGCGCAGCAAGCTCGCGAAGGCGTTTCCCACATTGCCGGATTTGACCAAGGACGCGAAGCTAGAGAGTTTCCGCGCGCGGGCGACGGAGACCGCTGCCGAGTTGAGGCACGGTTATGAGCTGTTCGTGGACCTGGAAGCGCACTTAGCTGTGCACTTGACCACTCTCAGGGCCATGCTCGGGCAACTGAGGCATTATTCTCTGGACGAAGGTCGGGAGACGACTCGTTCTGTCTTGAGGCTGTTCAATGCCTACACGCGGCTGTTGAAGTTCGCGTCCACCATTCCTGATCGGAAGGCATTGGTCGCTTTGTACGCGTGTGCCCTCAAAGCTGCCTCGAGGCCGTTGCCTGGCAACTACGAGCCTGTGGCCAAGAAACTCTTACCTCGATTAGATGATTGCTGGCGCTTTTGCGTCGAGGCCTTCAAGGAGCACGTGGCTACTTTATCTTCGCTCGTAGCGCAGCAATTGGAGCTCGTACAATTACATAGCGAGGGCGCCCAGTCGCTAGTAAGGAGGTCCGCTCTCACATTGTTGGAGGACGCGTCCGGTTTACAGAAGCCGTCCGAAGCTCCATTGGATACGAAGCATAAGGGTCGGAGGGACTGTCGGACTTTACATGGGGAATTGCTCGAGGCGCGACTCGGGTGTGATTTTGCGATCCTAGCGACGTTAGCGTGTCCCGGGGTTGTGTTCGACGCCCAAGGTCTTGCGCTCTTAGTATCGAAGATGGCCTGCGAGGATGCGTTAGTCATGCAGCTGTATCGCTCGTCGACGATAAATGTCCATAGCGAGTTGGAGGCTCTAGGGAAGTGGTTTCCGCCCCGGAACTACCCGCTGCAACGGCGCGACGTCAAGCTCGCAAAACTAGCCAAGGAGTGGTCGAAGAACGCGGTATTACATAGTGGCCTGAAGCATCGGGAGAGACGGGCTTATCTACTCGGTGAATTAGATGTGGCCCAAGGGCTGTTGGTCGCCGTGCCGGGGTTGAGCACGGCGAAGGCGCCTTTGGTGTTAGCGTGTTGCGCCCTAGCTCGGGACGAAGTGCTGTGGGCCTTACGGCACGATCCAACAAGAGGAGGCGCGGCGTTACCGCCGAAACATCGCATGAAGCACTACGACGAAAAGCACTTCGAAAGTCCAGACTTGCCGCAGCTGGCCGACGCGTTCGTGGCCCTGGCGGCTCTACTCAGAAGAGATCGCAAAAAGGTCGCGTCTTACCACTTAGCGTACGCGTCGAAGGCCGACGCCGAAGCACTACAAAAGTTCGCTGGGAAGGCTTCGTCGACGGCGCCGGCGAACTGCGCTTCGATGATTTCTTCACTTGCATCTAGAGTAGCTTCCGTGAACGACGTCGATGCATGCGTCAAGACGTTGCTACGGGCGGAGCGCGACGGGCGGTTTGGCGGGGGGGAGCTGAACGCTGATGCTGTCCAGGCGTCTTCCATATTGACATTAAAACTAGACTGGCGGAGAGTTCAGGCTCGACTATCTTGTTCTCCAATACAAGGGGACCTCGCGACGTTCTGCCGCTGGGCGAATGTCATGTTGGATCATTTGTCGTTGGCCGACGGGTCTTTGTTGCTGGAGCACTGCGACGCCGGTGCGTTGTGGCCCTTCAGGAACCAACTCCTCAGAAGGTTGGACGCGACGACCGCGCCAGAAGGGCCGTCTCGGTTGGTTAGAACACTCCTAGAAACGTCGAGATATGCGCGACGATGTTTGGGCCACGGCGCCTGCGAGGCCGACGCCATTCAGCTCGAATCCGATTCCAAGTCGTTAGCTGAAGCTGTTTTAGATAGGTTCGCGTCATGTGTCCAGGGCTGCCTGACGAACATCACGAAAAGTCTTGAATCATTGGCAGCTCAAATAGCACCGGTCGAGGCGGCGTACCGCCAGGAGCGGCGCGAAGCCGCGTTGCGAGAAGCCGCGAGGAAGGGTCTCGAGAAGCCCAAGGAAGCACCTTTAGCTGGTTATGAGTCTCATCCGCGCAACGAACGGGCCATCCAGCCGCTCGTGAACGCCGAGACGCGCCTAGCTTCGTTGCTGGAGGTCGCGCGCTGGGATTTTAGTGACAGAGAAGACGCGCGAGGCGTGTTCGGCGGCGCGCTCGTCGTCGGAGACGTCCGATTGCGACCGCTGGAGTACGCGAGACAAGCCGTGACCACCTTCTTGGACCGGGAGATCCCGAACGCGTTCTTCTCAGGAAACCAATTCACACGACCGACGACCGCGGAACGGACCTACACGTCACTCATGGGCGCCTGCGCGCGAGCTGCGGGCTACTTCGACGTGGACTACTGCGGTCATGTGTATGATATGCTGGGTGGCCCGCCGGGCTGGCAGAAAGATCCGAATCTGCCGTCTGCTGCTGATAGGGCTCGAGGAGAACCGATCGGCTCTGTATTAGCTGAGAGAGTGGCAGATCAATATGTCCGTATTATAAGAGCTTTGCCAGCTCATGTAGTGTATTGTCCACAACATAGGGCCTGGCGGTCGACGTACGTAGCGCCCGAGAGCAAAAAAAAGCAGAATGAAGTGTTGCCGAAGGAGCCGTCTTTAGCTGAGAAAGTATTGCAGGGGCCCGAGCTCGAAGCTTTATTAAGGGTGTTGGGTGCGGACGGTGCGCGCTGCTTGGACGCCGCATTTACAAGGGCCGCGGTCGACGAGATGGCGCGGTGCGTGCGCGGCGTCCTTGTGTTTACGCCATCGAGCAGACGCCATCACCGCATCACACACGCAGGTGCAAGACGGCCCTCGCCGCCAAACAATTAAGACCGATCTTCGAGCGGGTCCGGAAAGGTAGTCTGACAGGCGACTGGGTGCCAGCTTCCCAGGACCTGAAGACCGCCGGCGTGTTGGATGCGTTACTAGCTGCCTGTGTGAGACTGGGCAACATCCTAGCTTTAAGGGCACTGACGAGGGAGTCGCACGCGCGAGTCTCGCGGGAAGCGTGTCCCCACTTATTATCTTCGGCATTGCTAGCGTTGGACGCCCAAGGCTCGTCGAACAGTACCGCGGCAGCACCGTCGTGGCTCGTGCCGCCCCCCAAGAAGCCCTACGACCCTACTTATCTTCCCCCTGTGGACGACGACGCTTATGATTCTCCCCTTTATCGTGCTTTGACGGCGGATTCACCGTTCGGTGTGGAGCACTACGAGCGGGACGGGAACTTGCATCGGGAGGCCGCTGCTGTTGTGGAAACATCAGAGGATTTCCGCTACACCCCTTGGGCTTTGGCTGTCGCGATGTCTGCCGACGCGTGGAAACCCGCGAGGTGGTATCCGGACCTCGCGTGCTGCTCGCCCGGTCTCCACGTGATCTCCTTCGCGCTGCGAGCCTTGGCTCATGTTTCTTCTGGGCCGTTAGATGATCCTCAGTCCCCCAAAAGGGCGCAACAGATGGTCGCCGACTTTGTGTCGTCGGCGTCGTCCATCGTGACGCATATGAGACTCCATGAAAAATCGCCGGAGTTTATGGATTTGCCGCTGCGGGCGCAGTACATGGTCATTGAAAATGCGGCGGTCGACGGGAATTTGCCGCGGTCGTACCTCGAGCGGCACCTGCCGTACGCGGCGATCCACGCGGCGCTGATGGACATCGCCATGGGCCACCAGACGGCGGCCGACGACGCGAAGGCGCCGTTCACGCCCGAGGTCTTTGATCCGTAGATGGGGGGGGCTAAGTAAGTATTGTTATAAGTGACCTCGCGTCCGCGGCGGCCCTGCTTTCGAATTCGCCGACGCGGCTCCGGGTATCGGTCCCCGGAGCGGTGCTGCGACGGCTCTTGGATGCGCAGGCACGTATGCAAAACCGGCTCGTCTGGGCCGGCCGCCGCGCTCATCCCAGGCAAATCGATTGTTGTGGGAGCTTGGCAATGATCCTCGGCTTCGTGATGTGTTGCCTCGCGAGCGGTATAGGCGAGCCGGCGAAGCTCGTGGGCGGGCCGCCCGCGGCCGACCTCGACGTCGAGCTCGCGATCCCGGCGGAATACCGGGCGGCGACGACGCCGAAGCATTGGCGACGACCCGACGCCCGCGCCGGCACGCCGCCGTACTACGTGTCGCCGATCGCTGATGTGCCGCGAACCGAGGTGTAGGGCGGGTCGCGGCGCCGCCTCATGACCTCGCATCGCTGCGCGCTACGCATCAAGGGGACCAAGTGTGCATAAGAAAAGACCATGATGATCTGCATAGTTCTTAATCCTACCGGCCGCCACCCCTGAGGGGCCGCGGCTGGCATATCCGCCGCCGATGCGATTTTCGCCGATTTTCTACTTCCCCGTCAGCTTGCGGCTCAGCTCGCGCTGCTCCTTCCGCGTCGTCTCCTTGCGGTCCCTATCGGAAATCGTCTCCTGCACTGGCGGCCGGCCGGCGTCGTATTTCTGGACCACGGGGCCCTCCCGCGCCAACTCCTTCAAAGATTTCGTCTCGGTGCGGATGGTGTCCTTGCCCTGGATGTCCTTCGGCTTCTTCGCGCCCGGCGCCTCGCGCGCGAGCGACTTCATCTGCTTGGCGCCCGCCTTGTCGGCGAGCTTGGCGGCCAGGTCCTCGTCGGGCAGCGAGCCGGCGAGGTTCGCGCCGCGGGCCTTGTCCGAGTAGGAGTTCGCGCGGCGGAGGTCCTGCTTCCGCTCTTTTTTGGCTTTGAACTCCTGGTACAGCGCGTCCTTCTCCGCCTGCGTCAGCGCCTCGGCCGGCGGCGCGAAGAGCGTCGCGCCGCCGAGCACGCCGGCGGCCGCGATGCCGAACTCCTGGAGCGCGAGCTTGCGGCTCACGAGCGGCGTCGACGCGGGCGCCAGCGCGGCCGCCGACGCGGCGACGAGTGCGAGCTTGAGAGGTGCCATGATGCGTCTACAGCTGTGGATGCGAGAGAAGCACAGGAGGCAGCGGCTATGCCTCTATGTTGTAGATGATGCTAGATGCTGGTGAAACCAGGCTTAAACTCGCTGCACGAAGCTGAAACTTCGTGTGCTAGCAGGAAACGCTGCGGAGAGATGCTACGCAGCCTTAGAATTCCCTAGCTCTGCGGTTGTGCCGTGCTATCCGGTCCCAAACCTTGGTAGCCCAGCTTCATCGAGCCGCGATCCTACTAGCGAATCGATCGGACGACGCACGAAGACTCGTGTGCCGCCTTCACCAGCTCGCAAAAGACAGCTCCATACACCCTGGCACAGCCGGAATGACGTTGCCGACCGGGGGCGCGCGCGGCGGCGACTTGCAGCCCAAGCCCAGGCTTATATCAGCGACGAGGGCAGCCCCCCGCGTGGTCGACGCGACCCCCTGCGGCGCTCTCGCTTGCCTCCCCAAATATGAATTCCGCCGCTTACTCCGCGCCCCCCGTCGTCGCCGGAGATGTCGCCGCCGGCGCCGGCGCCGCCTCGTCATCAGTAGCCCCGTCCTTCAAAACGGGCGGGTCGCGGCACCACGCGAGCAGCCCGTCCCTATCATAAGCCTCGCCCCTTCCAGCAATAGCGCGCCAGACGGCGTGGCAGTCGTCCGCCGTCAGATCAGACTCAGACAAACCCATGGACCTCACCAAAGCCTCGAAGTCCCATTCCGCGACCACTGGAGGTTCTTCTGACACCTCAAATTTGATGGAAGCGTCCCGCAGTAACGCGAGTTTCCTCAGTCCCGTACCCTTCTCCACGTTTACCGTATCTTCCACCACTTTTTGGGATGAAGCTAGTTCATGCATTCGGTGCGTATAGCCCGCCATCGAATCTAAATGGGCCGCGTGCGCCCGCATGAAGACCATGAACTCTTGGACGGTGACATTGCCACTACTATCAGCATCGATGCCTCGCCATAAACCCCTCAGTAGTCCGTCCGGCAACAATTTCCGATCGATGTTCAGCCCCGGGTAGATACTTCGACACATGTGCCGGAATTCCTCAAAGGCCAACGTATTGCTATCATCAGCATCTATTCTTTTGAAGATCTTGTACCAGTTCCCGCCGGCGCGGTGCCACTTCTCCGCGTGTGCATTGAGCACGGAAATGGCTCTTTGCAACAGTTCCTCCTTATCCAGCAAATCCGGCCACGTCTCTAATTCCAATTTATAGACGCAGTGCTGGAACTCGTCAACCGTGATCTCTCCCGACGAATCTTCGTCGGCGGCGGTAAACAAGCCTCGGAGCGATTCGTCGTCTAACTGTACTTGTAGGACTTTCACGGCCCTTTTTAATTCCGGAAAGTCCAGTCTACCGCTCTGATCCTCGTCGACCGTGTTGAAGAAGACGCGCCACTGCTCGTCGAGCTTCGGGGACATGCCCCGCCTCTCATAATATTTTTTGAGGTTCCTTTTTAGATCCAGGACGATAGATCTTAATTTCTCCGGTGGGAGTTGTACTTTCTCCACTTTCTCTGGCCCTTTCAACAACCCGCGACTAGCTAGATCGTGGTCCGTCGGCTTGAACATCGAGTGCTCGCGCCCGTGCCTCCTAAAAAAAATCATGAACTCCTGCACGCTCACTTCGCCCGACAAGTCGTCATCCAACCCTCGCCACAGTCCCCTAATCTGGTTGTCGGTGACTTGATCCGTAGTCACTTCCAGGCCGGGGTATCCCGTCCTGAGGACCTTCTTGAGCTCCTCGTAGGACATGAGGCCTGCGTGTGTATCAACGCGTCGACGGCGTCGAGGCTCGACGCCATCGACGCGACGCAAGGCCGCCGGACGATCGGCATCGGAGGACGGGACGCGGGAAAGGACCGCTGTCGTCGTCGTCGAAGAGCCGGAAGATCTTGAACCAGTTCCCGCCGCAGCGGTGCAATCTTTCTGCACTCGCATTTAATAACGCGACGACCTTCTTCAACTCCTCGCCCTCTAGTACAGGCCAACTCTGGACTTGTATAGTATAAGCGCATCTCTGGAACTCGCCTCTGCCCAATTCGCCGGACTTATCATCGTCGGCCCGGGTCCACAGCGCCGCCAATGCTTGGTCTTCTACATCTGTGAGTGCTTTGGCAGCAGATGAAAACGTGGCCCACGTCACGCGGTCGGGACCGCCCAAGGCATCGAACAAGCGCGCCCAGTCGCGCCAGACGTCCGCCTTGTCGTACTTCTTCTTTTTTGTGTTTTTGGCGTTCAGGGTTCTCATCAATAGTCTTAGTGTACTCCAGACCTCACTATCACTTGACTCGACGGAAGGCGGCGGTTCAGGCTTCTCCAACGTGCCATGCAGGAGCTTGTCGTGTTCGGTTTGTTTGAACATGGAGTGCGCCTGGCCGTGCCTGCGTGGGATCTCTCGTGAGGCGCGTCGACGGCGTCGCGGCGGCGTCGCGTCCGCGTCGACGCCATCGACGCGACCTGCTCTCACGAGACGCATGGACCTCTCTCGCGGCGGCGTCGACGGCGTCGCGGCGGCGTGACGCCATCGACGAAGTTCCGAAGCGGACACCGTTTGGCACCTCCGAAAAAACACCATAAATTCTTGTAAAGTGACGTGCTGCGATCTATCGTTATCTAATCTCTTCCAGAGGCCCTTCAGCGTCGCTGACGATAACTTGGACGAAGGAACGTCCACGCCGGGCGGGTAGGAACCCCGAACAGCCTGAACGAAGTCGTCAAATTTCAACTCACCGCTGTCCTCGACGTCCAAGGCTTTGAAGATCTTGTACCAATTCCCATCGGCACGATACCAATGTGAGGCCGCCTGATTCAAGATATCCACAGCTTTGTCGCAGGCGTCATCCGTGAGGTCCGGCCACGCACTTAATTGGACCTCATAGATGAGAGTCGTAAATTCCCTCAGCGTGACTTCTCCACTTGAATCCTTGTCGGCCTTGGCGAAGAAGACCCTCAAATCGTACCTCGACAGGTCCTTGCATTTCAGGGTTCCATTGAGTACAGACGATGCTAACTCATCAAAGGTCAATCGACCAGATCTATCTTCATCAACTAACTCGAAGAATTCCTGCCACGACGTGCCCAGCTTGATGTGCTTCCTCTGCTTGTGGAAGTAGGCGGCGAGGCCCGCGTCCAACGACTTCACTACTGTTAATAAACTCTTCTTCGTGTTCGGGCTATAAGGCGACGGGGGCGGCGGCGGCGGCGGCGGCGTCGGGGCCACCGGTGTTTTAGGACGGGCCTTGGGCGTGGGCGGCTGGGCCCAGGGCCGCTCCTCGTGCCTCGACTTGTACTTCGCGAGGAGCTCCTCGGACGGCGAGGGCGGCGTCGGGACATTGGTGGTCTCTCTGGGCGCGTGCTTCTTGATCGTGTGCTTCGGTACTCTGAGGGCGGCGAAGTCGACTCTATTTTTTGTTCTTGTGCGCGGTGAGCGCCCTCCTAACAAACGACTCGGCAGCGCGCGCGTCGGCCGCCGGATCCGGCGGTAGTCGCGATGCGTCGGCGGGTGGCGGAACGAATCTTCGGAACGCGCCGTGTTCGTCGAGGGCTGGCCCAGGGCGCTGCTGCCCGTCGTCGAGAGCCACATTCTTACTGGGTACCGGGGCTGCCGGTCGTTGTGATTGATTGGTGGTGCGGCCGGTCTTCCTGGCGGCCGGGGCTGCCCGCAGCGGTGGCGAGGGACAATACGACGCGGCGAGAGCGTCTGTCGACTGGCAGTTCTGCTGTGCGCACGCGTTCGGCCAAGCAACAACAGTCTTGAGGCGCTGGGCCCGCACGTTGCGGCGTCGGCGCGGACCATTGTCCAACAGCCCAATCGAGTGGTCTACGGATACCTGGACGAAAACCCGCTCACGCTAGCGGCGGTAAGACACTCTGAGAGGCGGTGCAGCTGCAGCCAGCGCGCTGTATTGGCGTCGCTGCGCATCAATTCGCCCGCAGGGCTGTCTTATTTCAAGTGCTGCAGCCGCGCATTGCGTCGAAAGACCGAGAAATAGCTCAAAAAAACCAGCCCTTACCAAGTGCTCTCAAGAGCAACTACAGCAACTACAGCAACCCCAGCGACGCCGGCGATGACGCTGCTCGACCACGCGAGAGCCCAAGAGCGCGACTCCGCCGCCGTGGCGCACGAAAAGGACGCGAAGCAGGGCCTGCTCGTCCAGCCGAAGCCGCCCGCCCGAGCCCCGAAGAAATCTGCACAGCTGGACGGCTTCGAATGCTCGCGCATCGACGGTTTAGCCCGCCCGCTCCTCGTCGCGAAGGGCAGCAAGGGGTACGCGGCCTGCGCGTATATAACCACGGACGCGGCGGACAAGTTCGGCGAGGCCTGCGTCGTCTTCTCGGGCGTCGCGACGCACGAGGCCTTCCTCGACGCCCCCGTCGCGAAGGCGAGCAAGGCGGCAAAAGCCTTAGGCGTGAAGGACGGCATGCCCGGCCGCGACGCGCTCGCACTAATCAAGTAACAACATTAACAGATCCCCACGGGCAGGCAGACCTCGCCCTCCTCCTCCCGCGGATGCTTCAAATCATCTTCTGCATCGTCGGCGATGCCGCACGTCGCGACCTTCTCGACCACACTTAATTCGGACCCGTCGACCTCGGCGGCGAAGGCGTGCGTTAGCACGGCCCAGCCTAGTAGTATAGCACCCGCGTCGATCGCGAGCAACGCGCAAAACGACGCCCCTATTTGCCCTTTCTTGTATTGAAAATAATCCATGACGTGATCGCCGCGAGGATGACCGTGCGTCACGGCCTCGACAATTATATAACAGAGCCAGGACTGCGGATTTATGAGATAAAAAGGATAAAACAAGCTCTTGATCTTGTGCCGCGTGATCATGATGCCGTTGAGGAGGAGCATGGCCGTTAACAACGGTTCGGCGAAGTTCGCCGCGGCGATCGGGGTGGAAGACAGCGCTCCCACAATGTTCGCGTAGGTCGTGAACGCGAAGGCCGCTAGTATCGAGGCTATCATTATTGTCAGTAGTTGAGGTCCCATCGATACACCGATGAGAAAGTACCAGATGGGCGTCGTGAGGACACCGACTAACGTACAAACCCCAAGACATACGACGCATCGCGCACACCAGTAGCTCCCCGCCGTGTAGGTCCCGTTCGCATACTCGCGCGCGACAAAGGGCCGCTCCGTAGGCAGCGCCAATATCGAGGTCATCGCGCAACTCATCGACATGCCCATCCCGCCTAAACAGGCCCCGAAGCCGATCCAGAGGTCCATGGGCCAGGCCCTGTATACTAGACCCGCAACTAATGCATTCATGATCGACGCGTGGACACACAGCCCGAGCTGGTCCGGCGAGTAGGCGTAGACCGACGCCGTCCGCTTCGTCAGTATGAAAGCCTGCCTGATTGGCGACACTTTAGGTAAAGTATGCTGCTGCACCATGGGAGCATCCTTAACCGTTTGTAACCTATCAGCACATCGCGCCGCGACGTCCGGAGAAGACGAGAGAACATGCAACGCGTGGTCCGCGAGGTTCGTCGCCGGGGGGCACTGCAAGCCCAACGCGGAAAAGAAATCCCGCAAATGACGGGGCGGCCCCGCGAAGCAGCACCGGCCGCGCGACAGCAGAACGACCCGGTCGAAGCCTTCGACGATCGACCAGGCCGGCTGATGGAGCGTGCAGACCACCGTCCTCGCGTACTTTTTCGAGAGAGAAACGACCATCCGACCGACGTGGCGCGCGGCGGACGCATCCAAGCCCGTCGTCGGTTCGTCTACCAACATGACTGGCTTCTCGGCCAGCATGTCGATGCCGATCGAGACACGTTTCCTTTGCCCCCCCGACAGGCCGCCCGGCGCTAAGGCGTTGCCTACGACGAGATGTCTTCTTGCTTTGAGGCCCAGAGCATCTACGAGGGCATCGGCGCGCTCGACCGCGTCGTCTCGGTCACTATATAGTAATGAAGCATACCTAAAAGTCTGCTCGACGGTCAAGCCGGCGAGCAACGTATCTTCTTGAGGTGTCAATTGCACTACCCTTGAACTGGGTTCGGCGCCGTCTATCGTCACATAACCTCGCACGATGTTGTGTTGCGCCCTTCCCGACAGCGCGTTCAAGAGCGACGTCTTCCCGGCGCCCGAGGGCCCCATGAGGCACGTCGACCCTTCGAACTCGCAGGACAGATCCATTAAAGTCGAGCCGCCTCCATATGAAGTTGTTAAATTGATACAGTGAATCGCGGGCGGCTTCGTCGTAGATACAGGAGTATCGTCGGGATCATAGTCGTCGTCCGACGAAGGAGGAGGACTTCCTTCGAACAACCGCCTTATGGACGACGCCGCGTCCTGTTCGACCTCGCTCCGAGATTTTTTGGGGGCGCGCTCGCGGCCCGTCCTCCTCTGTTTAGTTAGAGAGCGGTAGCACGCACAACCAGCTAAGAATAGTGTCACTAAAAAACACAATAACAACGCCTGGAAGCAGGCCGTGACCTGGCCCGTCCTTATATCATACATTTGTAGTACCTGAGTACCCTTTTCGTTCGTGTGATGGAAATTCAACGTCAAGAATATTTTATTGGACCAGTGCAACAAATTGGGATACCTCAACGGCTTGACGTAGGGCTGCATCTGGTTCTGGGGCGGCCCGAAGCCCGTGGACTGCATCATTATTAACTGCAATGTAGGTATGGCGCCGAGCGCGTCGAGCGGCGAGTCCACTAGGAAGCCAACACATAACCCGAGGAAGTTCGAACACGCCGATAGTAAAAAGGTGGCCCAGAGCCACTTGTCCGGCACGCTCACGGGACGCCATCTCGTCTGCAGTAGGACGTAGAACACCGCCATCGACGCGAGAGCCGCAATTAATGCTACGATGCAACACAGCGTCACTCTCGCTAGGAAATACGCTACAACACCATACGATCCATTTCGATACTCCCTTAGTACCACAGGCCGCTCCAACGGTAGAGACACGCAGAGCCAGTTCGCGCTCGCCATCAGGATCGCACCAGCATACACTTGTATCAAGTTGCCCTTGGAGATGCAGGGCGTCATCCCTGTTGCGAGCAACCCGAGCCATAGGGCCTGCGCCAGGACCATCAGGACCATGAGTCGGCCTTGATCTTGATCCTTCGTCCAGATTTTACACTGGCGATGTAGCAACACCAAATACTGCGTACTTATGGAGGAACCGTCCTCAATGCAAGGCATCTCACCACTCTCCCTGGTTACTTTCCTCGGAGAGCGGTAGGTACGCTTGTCCGGCGTTCGCAGCACGACGTTGATGGCATGATCCGGGGCGGTCTCGTTGGTCGGTAAAGGCATGTTCCGCTCAACGAAGAAGGCGTCCAATTCTTGAGGTGAACCTTCGAAGGCTAGGCGGCCGCCCGGCGCCAGTATTAGTATTGAATCGAACAATGCTAATAGTTGTGACGCGGGTTGGTGGACGGTGGCGATGGTGGTCCTTTTTTCTCTGTATGTCGTTTGTTTGAGGAGTTGCACGAGGTTGTAGGAAGCATACGAATCTAAACCCGACGTCGGCTCGTCGAGCAGTAAGAGTGGTCGCTTTGAGAGCAACTCGATCGCGGCGGAGGTCCGCCGTCGTTGCCCCCCTGACACGTTCTTTACCGATTCTTTGTGGACGTCGGTCAGTCCTAATGCTTTCAGGACGGACCGGACTCGAGAAGCGCGCCCCTCGCGGTTCACCCTTAGTTTTAAGCGAGCGGCATACAGTAATGTCTCCTCGACCGTCAAACTTTCGAAGAGGCGGTCGTCCTGGGGCATCAGCGACGAGAGGCGGCTCCGCTCCGACGCCGTGGCGGCGACGTCGTTCACCAGGATGGCGCCGCGGTGGTCGCCTTGCAAGCGCCCGGCCAATGCCATAAGCAGCGACGTCTTGCCCGCGCCGCTCGGCCCGACGAGGGCCGTGATCGTTCCTGGGGAGAACCGGGCGGAAACGTCGCTCAGCAGCTCCCGCTTTACTGAGTTGGTCTCCACCGTCCAGCAGAGCCTGTTCGCGCGTAGAGTCGTCGGTGGCACGCGGCCGTCCTCGTCGTCGGCGTCGAGCGTGCCGTAGCCCTTCATTTCGCTGCCCCGGCGCTGCTATAGATGCGGTGATGGCCCCTGAGGCGGCGCGCGCACCGCTTGACGCGCTCGCGTCTCGTGCGGCAGCTTTTACCAGCTCGCAGACTCTGTTTTCCTTTGAGATCAGGACCCCCACGAAGTTGCACCTGGCCGGTTTAGGCCTGCGGCGACTCGCAGGCAGTCGCTCGGAGACATATCCGGAGGCCCCCGGACGGATCCGTAGCGTGCGGGGCAGCCTCACATAAATTTCAAGCCATCCCTCACGTCACGACGCGCTGCCCAAACGACAAACTGCTGCCCAAAAAATGGTCCTCTCGGCCCCAGCGGAACCGATCTTCCTCGTCGGCGTGGCGCTCGGCGTCCTCATCGCCGGTGCCATCTTTGCACTTAATATGCGGCGCTGGCGGGCCCAGCAGCGCCTGCGATGAAACAGGTCGCGGCGGCGGCGGCCGCGGCGCTGGCGTACCACTGGTGGGCATCTCGTAGGAAGCGCACGGCGAAGGAGCGGAGAGAAGCGGCGCTCGAAAAACGCTTCGAAGCGAAAGCAGGACTGACCTTGTACGGCAACGTCGCGAGCCCCTGCACGCGGCGCGTGTTGATCCACCTGAAGTTGCATGGTGTTTCCTACAAATTCGTGGAAGTCAATTTGCTGCGGGGCGAGCAGCGCTCTGAAGCTTACAAGAAGATCAATCCTCTCTGTAAAGTGCCCGCCCTGCGTCATGATGATTTGATACTCTACGAGTCGGGCGCCATTTCGTATTACATCGATTCCAAGTTCGGCCCCCAAAATGAACCTTTGGAGACGCCGTGGCTCGACTGGGAGCTGTCGCTCGCCGACGCCTTTTCAAGGTTATCGAGGCAGTACGTCGACGCTCATATCGTGCGGTCCCTGCATGCGAGGCCGCACTTCGTCCAAGATTTGCCAGAGGGGCCCTTCGCGGCCAAGTGGACCCGCATCTTCGACGGGACATTTTGTGAAGGTATTGAAGCCGAAGCATGTCTCGAGCGCGTCGCGGCACATCTGAGTGAGCTCGAAGGGGCGCTGGCGGACGGTCGCGCGTTCTTGGGCGGTGCAGAGTTTTCGGCGGCCGACGCGGCGGTGCTGCCGCGATTACTGAAATGTCCGCAGAACCACTTCCTCCGCACGCCCTTGCAGGAGGAACGGTTCGGTAATATAATAGCGTACGTCGAGCGGTGCCTCGCTTTGCCAGTCCTGGACGCGGGCGCGGCGCAGACGCGGCTCTTCTGGCGGCCGAACGTTGTTGGTAGGTTTGTGGTGCCGGTACTGGAGGCCTGGGGCAACGTCCGCAACGCGGCGTACTCGACGGTGCACCGCGCCTCTGCCACGGCCGTCGACGCGGCCGTGGCGCGGACGCCCAAGTTTACGGCGAGGCCGTCGACGACGGCCCGCACGCTCGTCGTCGACGCGGCGGCGGCCACGTGCTTCGCCGTCAGAATCGCGGCGCGCGAGCTCGGGGACAACGTGACGGTCCTGACGCTCGACGCGCCCTCGCTCGAGCGCCTCGCCCCGACGCCCGACGCGCTGGCGGCGTGCGGCGCCCTCGCCGGCGGCTGCGCGCGGCTGCCTCTGTTGCTTGGTGGTGGTGAGGCCGTCGCCGGGGCGCTCGCCGTCGCCACACAGCTCTCAAACGGGCGCCTTGGCGATAGCCTGGACGCGGCAGTCTCCATCAAGCGGTGGATGCACTGGGCGCGATCCGTCGACGGCGACGTGCTCCAGCGCCTCTACGCTTTGTATGTTGGGCCGCGGCGCTTGTTGGAACGGGGCGGTATCGAGTACGCGCTGGCGCCGCTGCCTCCGGTCGAACGAACCTTAGCACTGGAGCGGTGCCGCGATTGTAATGCGCCCCTTGACACCGCGCTTACCGCCGAACTCGCGGCGGCCCTCGCGACGGTCGAGGAGACGCTCGCGAATGGCGATCTGGCGCCGGGGTTTCCTTCTCTAGCCGACGCCTTCGCGTTTCCCATCGTCGAATGCGCCCACGCGTGCGGCGCGGCGCCTCTCTCAGGGTCGGTCGCGGCGGCGCCGCGGCCGGCGACGCTTGCTTGGCGCGCCTCGTTGTTGGAGCGGGAGGCGTTCGCGGAGGTTGGCGCGGAGATTGGGCGGCTTTGGGGGGTTGATTCATAACAATAGTATTTCTTATTCATGTGCCAGTGGCTCATACAAGCCCAGCGTCGCGGATGAGCCTGTAAACAGACGAACCAATGGAGCCAGGACGAAAGGTCCATCCTCTTCATCACTATCATCCACGCTGAAATATCGCGCTCTGTCGCGTTCTGTCGCTATTTCAGAGAGACTTCCATCCTCTTCCACGCGCTCGAGCGTCGCGTGGAAGTGGTAGGGCGGTACGTTCCAGACGCTAACAAGCAGCGTCTGGCCACTTTTGATGCGCTTATTTTTGAAAGAGAACGTTTCGATTCTTCCAAGAAGAGGGCTGCCAATGCCTGTATAATCGTTGCCGTTGCTGTTCCACACATACGCACGCTTGATTGCGCCGCTGCCCGAGAGTAAGGCAAAGCCACATCCATCCGTAGTCCTCAATTCCTCTTTCTTCATTTGCACACGAAATCGAGCCATCCTGTGTAGCGGTACCCGAATGCTGTTGGCGACAAAGTAGAAATCACGCTCAGCGACTTCATTAGTGACCGTCCTCGGACCGGTAAACTCAGGCCATCTGTACTGCTGCCGGGCCGGCTTGGAACGAGACCAGGTAGGGTGCCTCAGCACGCCACCTCGCCATGAATCCGTGCCGCGCGTGAGACCATTGCGTTCCGCGACGACCTTAAAGACCGGCTCACTAGCACCGCGCCAGGAAGAGGACGCGCACAGTGCAGAAGAGATATCGCGCAGCGGCAGCCAAGTTATCACGAGCTGCGGCGGCAGAGAGGAAGGGAACGACGGCTTTATCTCCGCCATTTCGCATCTATTCGCCCATCCTCACGCTGTGTTTTTGTTTTTGCTCGGCTAGCTAGCGTATGTAAGACACTAGCAAGCTCTGCGTGAAGGCTGCCCCGCGGCCCCATTTCGCCCGTCGTGCCCTGCGCGGCCCCATTTCGCACCGCATCGATCATTTAAAAAGTCGCAGCGCCCCATACAATGGCCAAGAAGCGCGCCCACCAGCTCCTCGTGAGCATCGAATCCCTCATAGTGCTCTGGCTGGTCTGCAGCGGCGCGGATGGCTTCCTGACGAGCACGGCAGCCGGCCGCACACTACTCGCATTTGCGGCCTTCGGCAACCTCGCTCCGCAGCAATTCCAAGATTTCTGCAAGACGGGCCGATGGTTTAGCGCCGACTTGGTGCTGGGCACAATAGCACAAACAACCGTCGCCGCGCGGCACCTCGGCAGCCGGCCGGCCCTCGACGCGTGCGCGCTCGTGGCGTTGTTCGGGCTCATGCAATTATTCTGGGCGAACGGCCTGAATCTGTGGTGGGACTTTCAGTTGGGCGCGGACAAAGTCGCGGGCAACGAGGGTGACGACAAGCGACTGGCCGAGGGCAAAGTATCGCTCCAAAAGGTAACGCGGCAGACGCGCAGCATGGGACTTATTACGACCATTCTGGGTATCTGCGTCGTGCGGCGCTGTCGCTCACAAGTCGCCGCGACGCTCCTGTGCACTACTACCTCTTTCCTACTGGCTGGCTACTCGACGCCGCCGTTGAAATTCAAGTACCGCGCGCTCGGCGAAGTATGTCTGTTCGTGTGGGCTATGTGTCTCAATGCGCTGCTGGCGCTCGTGGCGCTTGATGTAAATCCGCTGTCGCCGAAATTTGTGGGCGCCTCGGCCGTCGCGGCGCTTCTGCGGGCCTATCCGAACTTTTGTTTCAACGTCCGCGACGCCAAAACGGACGCTCGGGTGCCGGGCCTCAGAACGGTCGCGATCCTACTGGGAGAAAATGGCATACGACGCGCCTACCGGTGGTCCGTCTGCGTCGTGCTCCCGGCCTGCGCGGCGGTGCTGGCGTGGGTTGCTCAAACGGTGTCCGACGATCGATTAACGGGCGGCGCGCCGGTGCTCGTTTCGATAGGCTTGGTGCCCCACGGTGTCGCCGCGCTGCGCGAGCCGGTCGAGTCCTGGGCCTTCTACGACCACACGCAGCACGTGACGGCGCTCATGTTGTGCGTGCAGACGGCCCAGCTCCTTGTAAGCTAACACTACTCTTTTTTATCACCCCCACCCTTTTTATTGTCTTTCTTCTGCTTTTTCTTCTTGCCTCCGCCGCCGCGCCCGCCGCCGCGACCACCCCCGCGCCCGCCCTTGCCGCGGCCCCGGCCACCACCCTTACCTTTGCCGGTGGACTCCTCGCGCTTCTTCCACGACGGCATGATGTCTTTTTGCGACGGCCGCTTGTCGCGGATGTTGCCTCCTCGACTGGGCACGGCGCCGATGACCACGGTCTTCATGGCCGACTGCTGGTCCTTCGTGTTCAACGGCGTCGCGAGGGCGCTCTCCATGCGGTCGATGCGTTGTTTTGACGTGGCCAGCGCGTCTTGTACAGAATACGGCGGCGGCTCCGTGCTCAACGACGCTCTTTCAGCATAGACGCTATCCACAATAGTCTGCTCCCGACCTTCCGCGGCGTCGCCCCACAAAAAGGACTGCATCGTCACGTCGCACCGCGTTAGCAGCATCCTCCTTCGCAGCGCGAAGTCCGTCCGCAGCGCGTCGTGGATCGCCTCGAGCTTCTTCAGCTCCGCGGCGGGCGGTTGTGACGGCGGGTCGGCCGTCAAGTTCGAAGCGCCCTTCTCTTGGACGACTTTTTCACAGTAAGCTAGAGCGGCTTCGGTCTCGAGGGGCTCCGTGCATCCGAGCTCCGCCGCCAGGGCGTTCGCGCGCGCCTGCACGCCCGCTCGCTGGACCTCGCCCTTCTTGTGCTCTCTCGCTTTCCTCAGCGTCTCGCACCGGGCCTCGCCCTGCAGGAACTGCGCTAACAAAGTTTCAGAGTCGCCCCAGTCGTAGCCTCGTCCTTCGGCCCACTGGCGCGCTTGTTGCTCGTTCGCCGGCGCGTCGGCGAACGACGCCTGGACGGCCGCGAGGGCCTGCGGGAGGCTCACCTCGTCGGTCTCCATCGCTGCCATGTTTTGTGCGGCGATTGCGTGCTTTATGGTGGCGTATGATGTGCGCGACGACAAATACGCTGCGTCGTGTGCTCTCGCTGCCTCTAGCGTGCGTTATGACCGATTTCGCCGATGCGGCTGCAAGCTTAGTGTCTCTCGACGCTAGCTCGATCAGCCGACGGCGCAGCGCATTGGTGCCGCACGAGCACTACCGGACCGGTTTCGCACCGTCAGGGCATCAGTGTGAACGGTACATGTGGCCCCGCCTCCTCGCCGCCACGCGGTCGAACGCCGAGCTCTGGAGCTTGCCCCTGCTCCTGATTGCCACCGCGCTGCCGTCCTTCGACGTGCTGCGCATGAACCGGAACGCACGCGTGCCGCGCGCCGCCAACCGCGGGAAGCGCGCCGTGAGCCACCACAACCGCAAGGCGAAGCGGCCGCGCAAGGGCACGCCGACGCTGAACAAGCGCGGGCGATAAGCGATGGCGTCGAAGCCGGCCCTTCTCGCCACAGGCGCCGCCTTGGCTGCCGCAGCTTGGTACTACCTACGGTACCGACGCAAGACCGCACCGAAACCGCCGCCCAAACCGCAGCCCAAAAAGCGACAGCTCTGCGCCTGCGGCTGCGGCAGAGTCGCGTCGATGCGCTGCGGCCGCTGCAAGACGGCGCGCTACGCGACGCGCGAGTGCCAAGCTTCTCATGCACGGGCGCACGCGCCGGTGTGCTACTTCGATTCCGGCGTCCAGGCCATGGACGCCGGGGAGCCTCGAAAAGCGGCCAAGCTCTTCGAGACGTCCATCGCGAAGGCGGACAAGCTGCCGCCGGAAGAGCGCGTCAAGCGGAGAAGCGCGGCCTACCTCGCCATGGGACGGGCGAGGCAAATGGCGAAAGACTATGATGCCGCGCTCGCCGCGTACGCGGCGGGCGTAACCTCCGCAAAAGCCGCGAACGTGCCGGCGGACGCGGTCGAGTGCATGGTCGGCGCCGCCAACGTCGTAAGGGCGATAGACGGCGCCGCGGCGGCCGTCGAGCTCTTCGCCGCGGCCGCCGCGCGGGCGGACGAGGCGATCGCTAGCGGCGGCGCGCGCCGCGGACCGGGCGCGCTGCCGGGCGCCGAAGCCACGCGCCTCGTCGCGGCGCGGGCCTCGGCGTGGGCGAACCAGGCGACGTCTATGCTTGCGACGCCCGGATCCGACGCCAGGCGGGCCAAGTCGCTCCTCAAACGGGCCCTCGACGCGCGGATAGCTATGGCAAATTATTATCCGGAGTCCAGCGAGGCGAAGCGGCAACTCGCAACTAGTCGAGCGAATTATGGCCTAGTGCTGAGGTTGACCGGCGACCCGGCCGCCGAGGCTATGATTCGAGCCGCCGAAGCGGACGCGGCGGCGATCGGCGAGGCCGGAGCAGGTATCATGCAGGCCCTAAAACGGAACAGCGCCAATTTGGGCAAAGCACCCGCCCCGCCGGGGACGTGCCCAATCTGCTTAGAAAATTTCGGGGACGCCTCGGTGGAAGCGGGCTGCGGCCACCGCTTTTGCCGGGAGTGCCTGCGGACCTGGCTCAAGCGGTCGAACCGGTGTCCGACGTGCCGCCAGTGCCTCAACTTCGCCGCGGCGCCGGAGTGCCTCAATATGGGTGAGACGCCGGCGCCTAGTAGTAACTAATCTTCGCTTACACCGAATATTTCCCCCCACCGCACACCCTCGGACTCGTCGTCGGGCAACGTACCCGTGCAGTCGTACTCACCACAATCAACACCCTCGCACATCGAGTCGGGTGATAAACAACCAACCCAGGACGACGGCGACTGCGTGTTCGTTGTTTTGGAGGCGCGCTTCGGCGGCCGCCTTCCTTCCCTCCGCGCGATCTCGACCATCCTCAAAACGTCCTCGCACCTCCTCAACCTTGCTTCCAACTGTGGTGAAGAATCCGCCGGCGTCGCGACGACGACCCCATCAAGATTTTTCGTCGAGTACGCGTCGGCGACCAACGCGCGCACCGACGCGTCGAGCTCGGGGTCCATGGCCATGCGTTGTAGTCTAGCTTCGACGCCCGGTGGCAACGGCTCCGTGCATGAGCAGGGCAGCCGCTCTTTACATGAAGGGCAATGTTGAGGAGGCGGCGTGGACGGCGGTTCCGTGGGGCTCGTGCGCCCCTCGAGGACACCCTTCAAAAACCCACCGCCGGCGCGCAAAAAACTATTTCGTCGCTGCGCGATCTCCGAGCGCGCCTCGAGCTCGCGCGCTCGCGCTGCGGCTTCCTTCCTAGCTTGCGCCTTCTCCCTCCTCAACCGCTGGTTCTCCTCGTAGAGGCCGCCCAGGTCCGGCTTGCCGGCCGTCTCGCCTGGCTTCACTTGCGTCGGTGACGGGGGCCACTTCGTGTTCGCGACCCGCTTGGCGGCCATCGGTGCGGCTCCTTTATTAGTTCGACGAGGGCTCGGGCTGCCCCTGGTGCGTATACGGCGGCAGGAACGAGCCTTCGGACGCAGCTAGAGTGTCTTAGGGACGCTAGCTCGGCTTGCTCGGCCAAAGCCTGTTATTCGGTTGGCGGGCTGCCCGCAAAGGGACAACACCCGCAGAACGAGCAGCCCGATGCCTCGTCGACGTCCCAACCCGAAGAATAAAGCTGCCCGCAAGCAGCGCGAGGCGGAGCATGAAGCGTGGCTGCGGACAGACAAAGGCCGGTGCTTCATTAACATGCTAGATCTACAGCGGAGTTGCCCCGAGCTCACGAGAGACGCAATCGGCGGGAGGATGCATGGGGATGAGTTGATGAATACCTGGAAATTCGACCTCAGCGGGTGCAGCATGACTGCATTACCTGCCTCCATCGGCTCGTGGAATAGCTCCCCAAGACCCCTGATAGAACTCAACCTAAGCCATTGCAAGCAACTCGCTGCTCTGCCGGGCGAGATCGGTGAGATCAAGTCGCTTGAGTCGCTCGTGTTGGAAGGGTGCTCGAGCCTCGTCGCTCTGCCGGACGCGATCGGTGAAATCAGGACGCTCAATTATCTCAACCTGACAGGGTGCGTAAGGCTCGCCTCATTACCGGACGCAATTGGTGACCTCGGGGGGCTACAAATCCTCGACTTGACGTGCTGTTCCGTACTTCAGAGAATTCCCAGCACGATCGGCGAGCTCAAGGCCTTGAGGGCTCTCTCTCTGGCCAACTGTATGAGCCTCAGCGCGTTACCAGACAGGCTCAATGAGCTCGGGGCGCTGAAGACTCTCATCCTGGGAGGCTGCTCGAGCTTAGCCCTTCGGCTAGGCGCATTAGCCGGGCTGGGAGCGCTCAAGGCGCTGATTGTTGCTGGATGCGACTCGATAGAGGCGCTCGATATCGACGGACTACCAAACCTAACGTCTCTCGATGTATCATCTGGTTGCAACAACCTCCAGATAACATCAAGAGCAATACTGGCATTACGCGAGCAACGAGTGGAAGTTAAAGGCTTTTCTATGCGTGAGATGATGCGGAACCTCAGGAACAAAGCCAAGCGGCGGCGCCAGCGCCGACTATGCGACTTCTGCGGCTGGCAGGGCAGCATCGCCGAGCCGCGATTGCCGGTGTGCTATTGCGGGCGAAGGCGCTACTGCGACGAGAATTGTCAGCTCGCCGACTGGGGAGCCGGGCATTCGAAAACGTGTAGCATGGGTTCCTTGAGCATTTTCCACATTGTGTCGCTACAAGGCCTCGAGAACCTCCGATCGAAGGGGCTGCTGACCGACGCAGACTACAGGGCGCGCAGGGGTGAGATCATGTTGATAACCCCTGCCGAGGCCCGATCACTGTGCGAAAAAGCACGGCAGCAAGGCATCTTCCCGGACACTAAATTTTAACATTGTGTGTAACTGTGTATGAAATTCCAAAGTATTACGCGTAGGGGTCCTCGCCCGCCCAGGCCGCGTCGCGCGACGGCTTCCGCACGAGGTCCTTCCAGAAGATCGTCGACGACGATGATTCGGGAGGCGGCGCTTCCTCCGTCTGGGCCCCGAAGCCCGACGTGCACCCGCAGAAGATCGACGAGCCGTACTCCGTCGAGTCCTGGCGCACGACGACGGCCCGGTCAGCGTCCTCGGGGTCGTCCTCGACGGTGCTCAACTCCACGGTCCGCGTCGCGCGGAGGGCCGGCGGCGCGCATACACGACCGGGCGGCGCGTCCTGGGAGGGCCGCTCGCGCTCGGGACTATTTGGAGGCGGTCGCCGCGGCGACCAGAGCTTGGCGGGCGACGTCGTCTTGTGCGGCGACGTCCACGACGGCCAGACCTCGCCTTCGGGCGACGGCGGCGGCGTGGCGTCGACGTCGAACTCCACGTCGACGACGTCACGTTGCGCCTCGTCGCGCGACTGCTGGATCAAATCCCTAACCTCGCCGGCCCAGGCGTCGGGGAGCTGGAGCTGGCGCAGGCGCTCTTCGATGTGGGCCGGTAAGGGCGACGCGTCCTGGGAGGGTGGTGGTGGTGGTCCGACCTCGGACAGCCCCGGGAGCGGCACGCCGCCCTTGGGCGCCTCGGCGCCATCATCACCACCGCCGCGCTGGAGCCAGGAGCCGCCGTTCCGCAGCAGCGCGTTCCGTCTCCTGGCGATCTCCGACGACGCGTCGATCGTCCGTCTCAAGGATGTGGCTTCCCGTTCAGCTTGGTTCGCGCGCTTTTCCGCTACCCGGCTCTCCGAATATAAACGGGCGACGGCCTTGGGCGCGGCGGCGCGCGCCGCGTAGCGCTCGCTGTCGGGCGACGGCGACGGCGCGCCCGTCGGCTGGTCGGCCGGCGTCTTGGGTGTTGGTGGCATCCTTGTTTTTATGGCTTGGGGCAGGCGTCAGGGAAGGCTGGGTCTCAGGAGAACGACATTGGTCGTCTCCGGGGGCAGCCCTCCGGCGGCTTTTCGGCCGCCTCTTGCGACCACTTGGCAGCGCTCTCCTGATGCCAGGGAGTGTTGCAAGCTTGGAACCTGGTGAAAAAAATGGGACGACTCTTCCGCACGCTGTCTTGGAATCGTGCTATCGAGACACGACGACGGATGAGTGCGAATTCGTAAAAAAACAAAGAAAACAGGTTTCTCGGGCTCATTGTCGCAGCCAAAAATTGGCCTTGCGCGTTAACCAACCCGCATACGTACGGACGTGAGAGCTGTGTGGCCACTGAACACCGCACAAAAAGAGCGCACGTGAAACGAGCTCTCAGAGCTCATTCGACCGCCAGCTCTGCAGCTTCTAAAAATGGCAGCGCGAGCGCTAGCCCGCGTGGCGACGCGCTCCCTCACAAGAAGACGCGCCTCCTCCGCCGCCGCCACAACATTTATAGAACCGCCGCCTTTCGAACAACCGGCCAAAGACGCGCTCGGCCCGTTCAGTGACACGGACGCCCTCGACGTCACGGGCCGCCTCACGGAGGACGAGGTGCTCATAAGGGCTACGGCTAGACAGTACTGCCAAGAAAAGCTCGCGCCGAGGATCGTGGAAGCTAATAGACACGAACTTGTGGAGCGAGACATTTTCCGGGAGATGGGTTCATTAGGGTTGTTAGGAGCGCAATTGGACGGATACGGCTGTAGTGGAGTGTCGTCGAACGCCTACGGGCTGATCGCGAACGAAGTGGAAAGGGTCGACTCGTCCTACCGGTCGATGCTGTCCGTGCAGAGTTCTCTTGTGATGCATCCGATCCACAAATTTGGCAGTGAAGAACAGAAAGCTAGATTACTGCCGTTACTCGCTGCGGGGGAGTTGGTCGGTTGTTTTGGATTGACGGAGCCGGACGCCGGCTCGGATCCTTCCGGTATGGCTACGAAGGCGACATATGATGGCACTACGGGAGAATTCGTCTTAAATGGGTCGAAGCACTGGATCACGAATGCGCCCGTCGCCGACGTGTGTGTCGTGTGGGCCCGTTTAGATGGTGTCGTGCGGGGCTTTATTGTCGAGCGCGGTGCTGATGGCCTGAGCACGCCGAAAATTCCCGGAAAGTTCTCGTTGCGGGCCTCGCCGACCGGTAGTATTGTGATGGAGGACTGCCGCATACCTCGAGACAACGTGCTCCCGAAGGCCTCGGGATTGCAGAGCGCGTTCTCGTGCCTGAATTCCGCACGGTTCGGCATCTCCTGGGGGGCTTTAGGTGCCGCAGAAGCCTGTTACGAAGTAGCGAGGGACTACGTCTCCGATCGAGTCCAGTTCGGCGCGCCGCTAGCGGCCAATCAATTAGTACAAAAAAAACTAGCGGACGTCGTCACCGAGTTATCCCTAGGATACTGCGCCGTGCAACGGTTAGGTGAACTCAAAGACGAAGGCCGGGCCTCGGTAGAAGCTTTATCGCTCCTAAAGCGGAACTCCTGCGGCAAGGCTTTGGACATTGCACGTACCTGCAGGGATTTGTTGGGGGGCAACGGCATCCAGGACGAGTACCACGTCATCCGCCACTGCATGAATTTGGAGGCCGTGAACACGTACGAGGGGACGCACGACGTCCACGCCCTGGTGCTGGGGAGGGGGATTACGGGCATACCGGCGTTCGTTCCTTCGGCGGCGCGCTCATGATGAGGCGTCGATGGCGTGGGAGGGGTTTTCGAGACCTAAAACTTGTTGTTTGACTCAACTCATAATTTTTTACCCCCCTCGCCATATCCATGCCTACGCGCTTCCTCCATAGATATGCCGGCCTCACCGAGAAGACGTTCAAACTCGGCCACCCCAGGCAGACCGCCGACGCCGCAGCATTCCCCCTGGTGCGTGGGCCAATCCGCGGCTTGGCACTCCTCCGAACAGTAGCGCGCCACGCCACACGCGCCACACACCAAGTAACGCGGCTCGGAAAGGTGGGCGTGGTTGTGGCAATTGGTGCAAAGCCGTCGTCGGAACCGGCGCCAGTGAGGTTTAACTCGCGGCCAACGCGCGACGGCAGCTTCATCCAAAATAAGATATTTCAGAGTTTGATTAAAGGGCCGGTTCTTGTGGGACAACCCGAAGCCCATCTGGAAGAACTGATTACCGACGACGGCGCATAGATACTCGTCTAAGGCCAATTCATCCTCGGGATGACTTGCCACTATCGCATTTCGCATGGCCCAAACTCTCTGGTTTTTCTCCCATTCGTCGTCGGTGTATGAGTACATGCGCTTTGTTCCGAACAGCCGCAGGGCGGTGTGGCGCACCTTGTGTCTCTCGAGGATCATATTTAATGACTCTGGCGTGATGCTTCCGGCGAGAAAGGCTCTGACACCGTTAGTCTTTCTGATAGTGCCTCGCATGACCGGGGGGACTTTGCTGGGCTGGGGAATTTGGGGTCCCGAGTCCTTGTCTCGTCTCCGGGATTTCTTGCCCATTATATCAATTTTTTGCTTTGTTAGAGCTATGAAACCGCCGCGCCGCGACGTATGCGGGCACAAAGCGCCGTAAGGCAGTCAGCTAGATATCGCGAGCTCCTATAGAGCCCGGTGCTCGCCGCTAAGCGCAAAAAAATGCTGGATGAAAAACCCGATTTTTTATCTCCGCACACAAGCTTGTACAAGTAAGTAGCACCATACCACAGACCCCCTCCTCCTCGCACCGATGAGCCGAATATCAACACAAATGCTTAAGATAAGTACCCCCCGTCCGCGCCGCGCAAAGCCGCCGCGCCGACCGATCAAGCGACGAAGCTCAGCCCCGCAACCGTCGCCGAGTCCGCCAGCAACAGCCCGAGGAACCGCGCCCGAAAGTCGGACGAAGGCGGCGCGACGAGCCGGAGATAATCCGATAAAGGCGGCACGAGTCCCGCTGCTAGTAAAAAGACCACCGCATACCCGGCCAACAACACGTAGAGCATGGGCTTGTGCTCCCGTAGTGATTCCGTGAAGGGCCGGCCCACGTAATTGCAGGCGAAGGTGTTCAGCTGGACGCAACTCGTCAGGAGGAAGATCGCCGTGTTCAGGACCGAGGGAGCGAAGGCGCCGTCCGGGACACTCTCTTCATTGGAAGCGAAGGGCGCACACAACTCGAGGCACTTGAACAACGCTTGTAGATGCGCCGCGAACTGCAGACCGATCGATAGGATCGGTTTTATTTCAAACACGCCTCGAGGCGGCCGTTTCTTCGACAGCGTCTCGAGGGGATTCGCCCGCGACGTCAAGAAGAACAGCGCCGCCGTCAAGATACCGGACACGGTCATCTGGGCATCACCTTGCCTGTGTGGAAATCAACCAGTGAGTTAGGTCATTCGCGTGAACCTTAGTGAGCCTCCACGCCATCGACCCGACGCGGCCACGGGGACAACGTCGCGTCGATGGCGTGGGTGCCCGAAATTTGATTTCCACTCAGTTCCTTGCTTCACACCGTGCAAATACAACGACGACAGCATGTACGCCGAGACGAGACATAAGACGGCCAGAATCTTGAAGATCTGGATCATGCTCACGAGCGTGCACCGGCCTTGACACACGATGGCTAAGACACATTCTATGGTAGCTCTCTTGGAGGTAAATGGTGACGCTATGGAGGCGTCGCCCAATCGAACCAGGGACGGGTCCTGGTCCGAGAGCGATAGCTCCGCATCAGCTAAAGTTTTCCTCATCGTCGCGACGTCTTCCGACGTAGAAGGTAGTCGCTTCTCGAGCTCCGGCGCGTTCGCGATCGACACGCCGACGTGAGCTCGTTTCAACGCGCCCACGTCGTTCGTCCCATCACCACACATCAAAGTCGTGACGCCTCTCTTATTAAGGGCGTCCACGATCTTCTCCTTGTGCTTCGGCGAGAATCGAGCAAATACCGAACAGCGCGACGCGACGATCGCGACCTGTAATTCAGATAACGACGCGAGGGCGTCGCCGCGACAGCACAAGCCTTGTGAAGGTGCGGCCGCGAAGGGCTTTACGCTATTACCTGACCGCCAGACCGGCGACTCGCCGTTCGCCGTCAAGACCCACGTTTGGTCATCGCCCAGAATGCCCACCGACCGCGCGACGTGCGCCGCCGTCAGCACGTTGTCGCCCGTAATAATAACGCACTTGTGGCCGGACGCTTGTAGGTGTTGGATGACGTTTCTGGTTCCGGGCTTGAGCGGCGAGGTCAAACACAGGAAACCCCGGAAGATTAGATCAGCTTCGGCCGTCGAACGCTCGACACTCTTCCAATCCATTTGACTTGATACGGCCCGAGAAGCTAAAGCGAGCACCCTCATGCCCCTCGACGCGTGCTGCTCGTACAACGCGTCGTAATCGGCCGGCACGTCTCGGAGGAGCGGCCTCAGCGCTTCGGGCGCGCCCTTGCAAGTAACAACCGTAGAAGCGCCTTGCGCGCAGGCGCAGGTCATCCTGCGCAGCTCCGACGAAAAGCCGTATCGCTTCAGGACGCGGACCTTGTCAGGACGGTCCACACCCGCAAATTGGAGCTGCGCCCTTTCGAGCGAATCGCCGAGCAACCCATTTGAACCTCTAGAAACGGCGTGGCAGCTCGCTAACACGAGCAACGTGTCGGCTGGTAGGTTCGCTCTATCATCAATGAACTCAGATGAAAACGCGACGCCGCGCGCCGTCAATTCATCACTGGTAAGTGTTCCGGTCTTGTCAAAACAACAGACGTCGACGGAGCCGGCGAACTGGATGCGGAAGGGCTCCGTGCAGAAGATGCCCGAGCGACCTAAGGCCTGCAAGGAATTTGTTACCGCGAGAGATAATTCCATCGGCAGCTCGGGCGGCACGACGGACGTGATGATGAGGATGCAGTGGAGCCCGAGCTTGAAGCGGTTTCTCCTCGGGTCCTTCAGACCCTCTTGGAGGACGTAGAGAGCGGCTACGACGGCGAAGATAAGTAACACGCCAATAAACTTTCCGGTTTCCGTGCTACCAGTGACCTGCTCCGTCGCGAAGAGGATCGTGCGCATGAGTGAACCTTGTGCGGTCTCGAAGCCCGTCCTTAGCACCAACGCTTCGACGCCGCCGTTCGGGGGTGTAGACCTCGTGCTGTCTCCACGACTCGCATCCAGCAAATCCGTGCCCCCGAACAGGACGTGCTTCCGATGACCACCGTCGACGTCTAGCGTTGTAGTTAAATCAGCATCGATTAACCCTTCCTTGCGCTGGGGCACGCTCTCACCAGTAAGCATCGCCTCTGAGACCACGGCCGAGCCTCCTAGCAACAAGCAGTCGCAGGGCACGGGTATCGGGTCCTTCCGTCTTTGAGTAGAAGAGAGGGCGATGACGTCGCCCGGTAGCAGGTCGTCGGACATGACGGGCCGCCACTTTTTTTGTCTGTAGGCATACAGTAACCGCGCGGGCCGCCGCATGCTTCGCAACTGTTCCAGGTTTCTTAGTCGTTGTATGCATAGAGTAGCTTCAAATAATAACAACATAACGAGCGTGAACGCCGAATAGACCCAGTACTCGTCTAAACTCCACAAAACGCAGCAAAAGACCTGGAACACGAAGAACGGCGCCAGGTAGTGCTCCTCGAATAATTCGGAAAAGGTCGGGTCCTCGATGTTGAAGGCGTTGGGGCCCCAGCTCCTCCTTTGTGTCGTTTCTTGCTCGTTGGTTTCCAATCCTGTACACTGTGCTAGCTCGGCGAGCGGTCTCTGGGTCTTTGGTGCATGTGGTCGCCAGGTAGGACCGTCTTGGACGTATATTCTACGTTGAAATGAGAAGAAGCGGCCTCTAGGTGCCTCCTCTTTTAATTCGCAGAGCGCGGCCGTCGACGACAAAGCCAGCGCGTGCGTCGCATCCTTATGATCGCATGTCCTAAAGGCGACCCAGCATCTGATTCTAACGGACCAGCGCGTGCTCAGGAAGAGGAGTAGGTGCGCGGCGAGCGCGACGGGGATGCACGCGAGCGTCTCGTACGATATCGTGCCGTTCATTAACGAAATCCAGGCGTATGCGTGTAATAGAGCATAGATGAGTGCGAAGGGCGCCACGTCGAGCCTTAACAAAGGGCGGCGCGACTTGCAGAGCGTGACGCGCACCGCCTCGCTGGCAGTGGTTGCTGCCATGTCTCTGGTTGCTTCCGAGCGGTTGCGCACTGGTCGCTGACCGAGGCACGGCTGCAATAGCGTGCAGACCTGCCTCGCCGATGGCGTACAAGCGCGCCGCGTCGATGCTCGAGCCGCAAACGCAGCTAGCGTCCTGTAACACACTAGGAAGCAGGCAGCGCTGAGTTTTCGTCGCCGTGCGCGGCCATACGGGCATCATTTATCATCGCAGTGAAGACGCAGCGAGCGGACAGAGTGCTGATTAGTTTTGCCGAGCGAAAATGCTGGAGGTGCCGCGCATTCGGCGCTACAGCCTCGTGCTGCTGCTGGTGTCCCGAATAGCAGCGTTTGTCGCGCCGGCACCGCGTCGTCGTGCGGCACCACTGCACTCAGAAGACGGCGGCTTCCTCGAAGCCGCGAGCGCCGACATCCGCCGGCCGAAGCCGAGCGCGTCGGCCGAAGACGTCGTCACCGCCCAAATGAATGCCCTGCAGGCCGGCGACGCGATGCGGGCCTTCAAGTTCGCGAGTCCCGCGAATAAACAAGTTACGGGCCCCTGGCGTCGGTTCAAAGCTATGATAGAACAAAACCCGGAGTATAGGTAGCAAGGCGGCGTCCGTCCAGTAGACGCCGTCGCGGCGATGGCGTCGCGGCGGAAGTAGTTCTCAGCACGCCGTCACGGCGCCGCGCGCAGGCCGATGCTCGCGTGCTCTCGCTGGGAGTTCGTGGGCATGCTCGGCGACGACGAGCGCAAGGCGGCGCGCGTGCGCGTCTTCCCGGCGGGCGGGTCGTCGGCGCCGTTCGCTGTGCAGACGCCCGTGATCGAGTACACGTTCTCTCTGTCCAAACAGCCGGTGGTCACCGACGCGGGCGACGAGGGCTACGCCGTCTCTGGGTGCTGGTGCACGGACAGCGTCGTCGCCGGCTAGTAGTTATTGTAAATATGGTGTGTAGTAAAACGGTGCGATGCGTTAAAAAGAGCCTACATTCCAGGAATCTCGGGCTCCGGAAGGACGTTGGCCGGCGGCGGTGGTCCTGGAGGCGGAGGCGGCGGCACGGACCCCGGCGGCGGCGGCACGCTGCCAGGAGGCGGCGGCGGCACGGATCCCGGCGGCGGCGGCATGCCCGGCGGCTGGGCGTAGGCCGACGCGTACCTGTGCTCAATAGATAACGCCGACGCGACACTCAAAAGGCGAAGGCACCGCGATGAATCGACGCCGCAAGCGAACTGGGCCATCTGCGCGTAGGGGTCGACCATGCCGTGCGACGGCGCGTAGGGGTCGATCATGCCGTGGCTCGGCATCGGCGGCGGCCGCGGCATTTCTGGTTTTAATTGACCGGTCGCCTGGTCGACCCGAGCCATGGACAGTTCTAATTTCCCACCGTCCTTGTAGCCCTGGACGAAGACGTAGACCTCGGCGCCGACCGGCGCGAACTGCGCGACGTCGCCCGCGTCGTTCAAGCGCGCGCCGTCGGGGTGAATCCTAGACACGTGCACGAGGCCGTCCATGTTATGTGGTGGTGGTAAGGCCACAAAAACTCCATACCCCTCCAATCGCTTAACCTGGCCCCTCAGCACGGCCCCGACGTCCGGCAGCGTGCCGCGCGGTCCTTGGTGCTGGTGTCGCGGTGGCAAGGCCTGGCCCGTCGCTTGATCCACATCTTGGGCGGATAACTCGACCCTATTGCCCTCTTTCACTTGGACGACCTGGACGAAGATGGGACCGCCCAGCGGGAAGGCCTGCTCGATGTCCCGCGCGTCGTAGAATCTCTGACTCCTAGATAATTGACTGACGTGGACCATGCCATCACTGAAACCTTCGAGCGTCACAAAGGCCCCATAGGACTCGATCCTTTTGACCGCGCCGCGATGGATGGACCCAACGGCCGGTGGCGGCTTATCCCGAGCGTTGTCGTTCTGGTACCTCTTGGTCTTCGTGATATCATACGTGCCGTTTTCTTGATTCACCCCGTCCAACGACAGCGCCACTTTGTTGCCGTCCTTGATCTCCTTGCAGAGCACATAAACTCTAGAACCGGGAGGTACTACTGCTTCCACGTCTTGCGGACCTTCATACCGCCGAAATTCGCGAATCCCAAACTCCGACGTGTGGATCATGCCCGTGAACCCTTCCGGCTCCGTCTTGCAGAAGGCGCCGAAGGTCTGGCACCGCTCCACGACCGCTCTGTACACCTTCCCTGGCTCGGGATTCGCACCGAGCATGCCTTGCAGGCTCAAGGCATTGCCGGCGTTCGCCTTCTGCAAAGCCAGCTGCCGCGCCATCTCGAGGGCCTTCCCGACGTCGGGCATCTGGGCCGCTTGGGCGGCTTCGTTGGAAGGCGGCGGGGGTGCATAGCCCGCGGGCGGCGCGGCGCTGAATCTAGATTTTCTTTTCGGCGGGGCTTCTTCGCTGGATGAGCGGTCGCGGCGCTTCTTCTTCTTCTTCTTCTTTTGGCGGTCGCGTGACCGGCTTCGCGACCGTCGCGGCGGCGGCTCGTCCCTCCTCTCGTGATCGTAGCGGCTCCGCCGGTCGTCGCGGTCGTCGCGGTCGTCCCGGCGGCGGTCGTCTCGGTCGCGGTCGCGGCGGTCGTAGTAGTCGTCGCGCCGCGGCGGCGGCCGGTCGCGCTCGTCTCTCCTTCGGTCGTCCCGGCGGTCGTCGTCGCGGCGGCGGTCGTCCCGGCGGTCGTCGGGCGGGTGGTAGGGCCGCGATCGCGGCGCCTCGTCGCGGCGGCGCTCATCAGGGTTATAGGGCCGCGAGCGCGGCGCCTCGTCCGGCGGATGGTAGGGCCTCGACCGCGGCGGCGACGGCGGTTTCGCCTTCATGGCCTCGTTGACGTCCCAGCGCCGTTCATTCGTCGTCTCGTTCACACAATAGAACTCGCCGGGCTTCGACCGCGACTCCTTCCAGGACCAGGGCGCGCGCAAGGCCGGTTTCCCGGGCGGCGGCTTTTCCGCGACGGTCGTCTGGGGCCCCGTGCGCACGTAGCCGACGTTGCCTCCTCGAGGCGCCGGCGCCGGGCTCCCCGCGGCCGGCGGCGCCTCGCGCTTCGGCGGCGACCTGCCTCTTAACGCGGACGGCCGCGGCGGCTCGGCGAAGATCGACGCGCGCGGCCGCGGCGGCGGCGCGTCCCGTCGTTCGTCCTGCTCCCAGCGCGGCTTGTGCTCGTCGCGTGGCGGCGGCGGCAGCGCGGTGTCGTACTTGCTGGGGCTGGGCCCGTCGCTCGAGAAGTTGCTCTTCTTCCTGGGTTTGTTGACGCGGCCGACGGGCTCGTCATCAGAATCGTCGTCGAAGAAGGGGTCGTCGTCGTCCTCCTTTTTGGCCGCCGTGCGCTTTTTCGGTATTTTTTGGGCAGACATGGGATTTGGTGATAGCTGCTTTGGCAGTGTGAGAGGCGTGCGGTGCAGCCGGCACGCTTGCAGCGCGAAGTAGGAGGAAGCCTTGGAACCCTCCAGCCAGCGCGGCAAGCAGTATGCGCTTCAGGGCGCGTAGCGGCGCCGCGGCTTGGGCGGAGCTAGCGGCATGTAAGACACTAGCAGCAAGCCCTGCCGCAGCAGATTTTGCGTGATACAGAGCCTAATTGATCCGTCGCGACAGATTCGTCAGCCCCATATTCACGCCTTCGAAGCGTGCTACGGCCTTCGAGCCGCCACACGCCCTGTAGCCGCAGCACAGCTGCGAGAGCATAGACAGCTTTTTGCACAAATACACCCGCCGCGCGCGGCACAACGAAGAAAAAAACGCCATAAGGAAGAAGAATCAATGGAGCTCGTCTACGCGCGCTCTGCCAAGCAAGGGATTCTGAAGCACCGCGACAAGCGACTGTTAATAGCCGTCGTCGTGAGCATAGTTACAGGCGCCGGTTTGGGCGAGATCTTCTGGCCGCGCGTCAAACCCAGCTTCGAAGAAGCGGTCGAGCCCGTGCCAGAGAGCAATCATAAACTCCCGAACGAGGCCGCCTTCGAGCAGACGCTGCGGAGTTGTTTAGGCGCGGCCTGCTACACGGCCACACCGAAGGGCTCGAAAGCAGAGGCAAGAATCGCTCTATTGGCGCCTCCCTCGCAAGCCGCCGACGCGTTCTTCGCGTGGTACGTTGCCTTAGCGAAGCGGGGCGGCGCCACGGCGCGCAAGGTCGAATGGATACAGACGGCGCACGCGCCGCCTTATGGGTATGGCAAGAACCACGGGTACACGCGGATCGTGCGGCTCGCCTTGCCGTTACTCTCGTCGGTCGCGGCGTCGTCGCAAGGCAATGCCGCCGAGAGCCTCGCGCAGCACGTCCGGTGGCACTGCCGCGTGTCTCACGTCGCGGCACACACGGCCCAACTTACAGTGAGATCAGCATCTGATCTGCTGGACGTCGTGGAACGGCGCCTGACGACGGAGCGGTTGCTGTCCTTCGTCGGCATTAAAGTCGCGCCCGACCTGTTAGACGAGGGCGAGCGGACCTTCGCGCCGGTCCTTCGAGCTTTACAAGCGGCGGACGCGTCGATCGACGCCCTGGACGCGTCCCGCTGGCGTCTCGCGGACGTGCTCTCCTCCGAACTGTCCGCGACGCAGAACTTGAGAGCCTGGCCCTGCCGCAGCCTCTGGGTCGATATGGATGACGCCGCGTTGGTGGAGGCGGCGCGAGCGTTATCACCGAACTGCTCGCGGCCGTTCACGACGTGTAGCGTTGCTAGGGATCGAGAGGAAATGTTCGGAAAACGAAGCGAGCCGATTAAATAATCATATCCTTAGGCCGCGCTCCAGTTCGTTTCTTTCCAATTCTCCGTCGCCGTTGCAATCTAATAAACCCCAGACGGAGTCGCCGTCGATGCGCCTTTCTGGAGGGACGACTTGGTTCACCGCACCGACGGCGTCGAAAAACTCGGCTCTTCGGACGACGCCGTCTCGGTCCGTGTCCAGCAGATCGAAGACCGCGTGCGCCGCCGGTGACGTGGCCGCCCGCGGCGGCAGGTGCCTCGCTGGTAAGTCGACGGAAAGAAAGTCGCGGATTTCGTGCCACTTCGCCTCCGCGGCGGAACCGTCGGCGAGGCACGGGAGGAGGTGGGTCTCCCAGACCTTCGCGTCCTGGCCGACAATATCACTAATCGCCTTGGCCACGGCAGATATGGAAGAGCACCCCGCGAGCGCGTCCCGCAACCGGGACCTATGCCGCCACAGCGCGCCGCGGACGCGCGCCGCGAGCGCGCCCTGGGCCCTATCATCTTCACCCGCGTCCCACCGCCGCACGTTGACGGCGCCCCGCGCGTCGACCTGCAGGACGGCAGCCTTGTTGAGACCTGCGTGGAAATCAAAATTTTACGGCGCGTTCCTCCTGAATCGCCGCGTCGACCTCCACGCCGTCGACGTGACACCTGCTCGATGACTGATTGATTTCCACACAGGGTGAGGCCCTGGCGGTTCGGGTAGTGGCTACAGCTAAAGACGGTCCATCTTTCCCCATTCGGCACCGGCGTCACGGCCGCCCCGGTCGCCTCTGTTTCGTGGGAGCGCACCAACCGCGTGAACTTCTCCCTTGCTAACCACTCCCCAAGCGCGCCGTCGGGAATGAGGCACCCCGCGTTCCTCTTGAAATTATCCACCACATCACTCTGATCCCAGGGGTCGCTCCAGAGGACGTCCCTCACAAGTTCCACGTCCTCCTCGCTCTCGGCGACGACCGACCGCACCCGAGGCGCTCGCTTGAGCTCGTCGAGCGAAGGCAATGACCGGGGCAAGTGGCCGTGCAGCACCATGGTCCTCGTAGAACCATGATTGACGACGCAGCCCAGCGGCATCGCGGCGAACGCGTCGTCCGCGTCATCTAAGAGGGAAGTATCAACCCCATACTTCGCGACGAGTTCCGCCTCAAAATCATAAGCCCTGGACAATGCAGCGTCCTCGTGGTTGCCCCTATTGATGTGCACATGCCTCGGGAACGCGAGCTTCATCCCTAGCACGGCCGCGAGGACCTCGACGCCGTCCGGGCCTCTATCCACAAAATCTCCATTAAAAATGATGCGGCTTTTGGTCGACGGCCGGCCGTGGAGCCCCATGACGGCATTCAAGTCTCCCAACGAGCCATGGAGATCTCCAACAATGGTCAGCGACTCCCTCACATTGAGTTCCTTGACGACGGGTTCGCTCCTCAGCAACTCCGCGCCCGTCCTCAGAACTCGGCTAAAGTCCTCTTCGGAAGGCAGCGATCCTCGTAGGACGTCTCTTACAAAAGCCTCGTAGCTCCTTCCCAAATTGTCCTCGCCTCGTCTCTCCCGCGCGCGGTGCGGGTTCGGCGACGCAGGTCTCGAAAGCTTCTGCAGCTCGTCGTCGTCGTAGACGATGCCCTGCGCCTTCGCCCACGATCTTAAACCGCCGACGAGCGCCGCTACTCTTAAGCGCTCGGACGTCTCGATGGCGTCCATCGCGGCTAACGCGGCGTTGAAGGAGGCCTGGCGCCGGCCGAGGCGGCGCAGGAGGCTGGTGGTCCGCAGCATGCTCCTGAGAGCAATAATTTCTAGCGCGGAACGCTTTTGGCTCCTGAGAGCAGTTTTGCTCTTCCTCTGTTTTTGTTGTGACGGGGCGCTTTGGCAGCGCTTTCTTGGGCAGGTTGCGATGGACCAAGGCGTAGGAAGTTGTGACCTGACGCGTGAGGTCACAACCCCGCCGTAGACCGAGCAATATGGCTGGGAGTGAAATGCCTCTCCTGTGCTTGCTAGTGTCTTACTGACCGCTAGGGCATTTTGCGTTCGGGGTCCGTACTACCTGGGGGTGAGTTCAATAAGCGACTCTCTCTCTCATTTTTTTCCGACGGAAAGTGCAATCGGTTCAACCGATTACTCAGGAGGGATAGGGGGGACGGGAAGGGGGGTCAGTCGTCGAGGACTTTGATCACTGCTGCGACGAGATCATCCTTCTCCTTGCACGTCGTGCACGCGCCGCCGCGTGACGCGAGGATGTTCCGCAGTTGCTTGATCGAGAGCTCGCGGAGGGCGTCGCGCGCGGGCCGCGTCGGTGCCGGCGTCGGCTCGACGGCCGGCTCCGCGTCGACCGCGTTCGTCTCTACGACGTCGGTGTCAGCGACAGGCATCGGCTCGGTCGTCCGCTGCTCTGCGAGGCGGAGTCGCTCCTCGCGGGCGGCTTCGGCCTTTGCCAACCGTTCCTCGAGGTCTTTGACCGCGGCCGCCTTCTGGGCCTGTCTGCGGGCGGCCTCGTGCCGCGCGCGTTCGAGGCGCCGCTGTTCTTCGAGGGCCTGTCTGTTGTGGGCAGCCTCGTGCCGCGCGTGTTCAAGGCGCCGCTGTTCTTCGAGGCGTCTCCGCTGGACGTTCGCGGCTTGGTGACGCGCGGCGACGGCGGCGTCGAGGCGCCGCTGCTGCTCGGCCTCGCGCCGCAGGAACGGCACGGTGAGCTCGAGCCCAGGCCAGCCGAAGGAGACGTCCATGGTCGGTAGCACACGCGGCGCCGGCGCGAGCATCCGACGGACGAACGCGTCGAGCGGCTCCGCGCGGCGCGGGCGCGGCTGCGACCGCAGGCCGAGGATCTCGTTGACCACGCCGTCGAAGAGCGAGTCGACCGACGGACGCGCGCGGCACGTCGGAGATCCGGTCGACGTGGTCGGCGGGGTCGACTTGACCGTTTCGGCCACCGGCGCGTCTGCGGCCGGCGTAGTAGCCTCGGACACTTGAGTCGGTGCGGAGGCGACGCGGCTTCGTCGGTCGCCGAGGAAGAAGCCGCTGGTGAAGACAACAGCGAGCGCGAGTAGGCCGAGCGTCCAATAGCCGACGCGGCGCCACGCCGGCGCGTTCCGCCGCGCGGCCCGCGCCGCGGCCTTGATCTTGGTCGACGCCTTCTCGCGGGCCGCGCCGAGCTCGCGGAGCGTCGCGTCCTTGAGCGCGGCCGCCGCGTCGCCGATGGTGGGAGGCGCGTCCGGTGCGGCTTCCTTCAGAGCTGCCTCGAACGCGACCGCGTGCGTCGCCTCGACGGTCTTGTCTGCCTCGACGGTCTTGTCTTGCTTGTTTGCGTGGACGCGCGGCGGCAGCGTCTCCGCGACAATGGTCTTGACTTGCTTGTCTGCCGGTTCAGGGGTCCTGGGCAGGTCCGGGAGTGCTGTGGTCTTCTCGGGGTCGCCGAGGAGGACGAATTCTTCTTCAGCCTTGGACGCTACGGTGTCGTCTTTTGCTGTCATGGTGCTTTTTGGTGCGTGCGCGTCGTGTGCGGCGCGTTCGTGCGCGGTACTGCTAGAGCGAGGACGTGCGGTTGCTGTGACTGCTCTCGTGCTGCGAGAGCTTGAGCTGTTTTGCGTGTGATGCAAAAAGCGGTGCTGAATAGCTGTGAGAGCGTTGCTCCAGAGCCTGGAACGAACTGCCGCGTGGAGCACGCCAAAAGGACCGCGGAACACCTCCAGCGAGCTCTGTGACGGACTCTCATGGCTCGCTAGGCATGTAATGGTCAAAGTCCTCAAAACTATTTACACAATACATATATGATTCACGTTTTCGGCCGTACCTTCTCCAGCACGCCGAGCGCCGCGTCGAATGCTTTTCCTACCGGCGTCCGTCGGACCGCGCTCTGGAGGGCCTCGACGATCACGGGAGGCACCCGTTTGTTCAGTTCGGCCCGCAGTTCCGGATTTTGCGCGACGTGGGCCACGACGCGGGCCGCAAACGAATTCTCAACAAAAGAATAAGCGCTCGTCGGCGCGCGGAGCGCTCCTTTTACGAGGTACAAAAACTCGCGCCGCGCCGCCGCGTCCACGCCCCACGCTCGCGTCGCGTGCGCGACCTGTCGGAAAAGCTTCGGGATGCCGTACGAGTGCACGGCGTTGAAGATCGCATAGGAAGCGACTGCTTTCTTCGCGAGGAACGCGCCGATGATCGGCACGATCGGTACCGCTGCGAAGTTCCGCACCGCCGGCTCACGCAGTGACGCACGCGGTACCGCTCGAGGAATGCGGCGCACTGCCGCGGATAGCATCATGGCTTCGCAGTTTACAAGAACGGCTCGCACGATAGTCTGGGAGAGCACCAAGTGCCAGAGGTACCACAGAGCTCTGGCTACCGCGATCCGTTGAGGCTAAAACGTTGGAGTTGAATTAAGCGTGTCCGTAGCGTACGCTGCTGATTCGTATCAATCAATAACAGCTCAGAGGCGCCGCAAAACGCAAAAAACCGCGCGGAGAGAGCTGCGAAAACCCGCACCAAAACGAGACGCAACCACGCATACCGAGAAGAGGTCCCCCACGTCTCGCCAGACGCGTTTTTCCCTCCCTGCCCCCCGACGCCGTCGACGAGCTGAAGGCACATCACATCTCACACAAGTCGAGTTGTGCTCAGCAAACGCGGCGCGACGGCGCGCGCCCGCGCGTAGCGCTGCGCAAGTGACTCACCGGTGGCCCCTCTCCCGCGGCGCAGAAGCGCGCGGCGCGGCTGCCCCCCATTCCCGAGTTTGGCCAGAAGGCACAGCCAGCCTCCATCTGCAGATGAAGACGCCGGCGCCGCCCGCGGCGACGGATCCTGAAGACGACGCGGAGCATCGTGAAGACGCGCTCTGCCGCGCCTGCGCGCGCGCGCGGACCACCGTCGTGCCCGCGCTCGGCCGCGCCTTGGACCACCCGCTCGCCCAGTTGTTGACGGGCCTGCTGACGGTCTTCGCGTTGTTCGGCGACGACGTTCAACGCAGCGTCTACAATGGACGCGCGTCGATGGCGTCGCGCCCGACGGAGAGTTTCGCCCTCGCGCCTCGACGCCGTCGACGCGACGAGACGCGAAGAGACACACACGCGACACGCAGGTCCGCATCCTCGCCTTCGACGGCGCGTCTAACGCCGACTACATCTTTAGCGTCACGAACGCCGTGGTCATGACGTACTTCGCGCTCGAGATCCTCGCGAATTGTACCGTGCACTATGACACCTACTTCTTCGGGGTCTACTACATTCCTGTCCTATGCGCGGGCTTCTACTTCTTCGGAGGCTTCTACTTTTGGCTCGACGTGATCAGCACGGCGTCGATGATCTTCGACGTGCACTGGCTCGATGTGTTAGATGAGAGCGGTCAAGCGGGCCTGGCGCGGTCGGCTCGGATGTCTAGAGCGACCAAGGGTGCGCGCGTCGTTCGATTAGCTCGTTTATTGCGACTAGTAAGGGTCGTCAAGCTCTTCCGGTTGCGGGCGCGGCGCGTCGAGGACGACGACGACGACGACGACGTCGCGCAACCGTCAAAAGTAGCGAAGCGGTTGACGGAGTTAGCTACAAGAAAAATCGTGATACTGCTGCTGCTCATGGTCGCGGTCTTTCCCCTGTTCGACGATCCGCTGGGAGCTACTGGAGCGTCCTCAGATGGTAGCTACAGAAGGCTCGGCGTGCAGACTTTACATGCGTTAAAGCCGATCATACCTGATGGTCAGTCAGCCTCGGACTACTGTCTGAGCGACATGGACGAGTTCTGCTCGAACCTGAGGACCTACGTCTCAAAGATAGGTAAGGTGCGGTACCTGCGGGTCGACGGCCACGATTACGACGCGTACCTCAAGAGTATCTACTTCCACAGGCAAGGGAAAGGCTGGTTCCAGAATCAGAAATCCACATATAATAGTGGAGGAGGCCCGCGAGGCAAGGATTCTTTGGGTTTTCCGGTCCACGAGGGTAAAGGTAGGATGGAGTCCGATAAAAGACCTCTCGGGAAGGAAAGGAAGGCCTGTTCGATCGCGCCCTGTTCGAACGAGGGCGCCTGGGACCCTCGTAGTGATTTGGTGGACTCCTTGGCAGAACTCAAAGACTTGTACGGGTGGAGAATAGGGCAAGGTAAGGACCTCGATTGGAGTGTCGTGCAGGAGGGCGACTGCGTCCATGCGCGGGAGTGCATCCAGACGGGCACGGTCGTGTTCTATGACACGCGGGACGCTGCCAAGTTTGACGCTTTGTTGAATTTGATACGGATGGTCGTCGTCATGATTGTACTTACCACAGCCGTAGTGGTGTACACGCAGGACGCGACGGTGTTAGTTGTGGGTCCCATCGAGCGCATGATGTCTTTGGTACGACGTTTAGCGGAGAACCCGCTGGGGAACATGTCCCAAAGAAGAAAACAGTCGCAGAAAAAAATCGACCAGACTGATGAAACTTTTTTACTGGATCAAACGTTAACAAAAATCAGTGGATTACTACAAGTGGGCTTCGGTGCTGCTGGGGCCGAAGTGATCGCGAGGTCCATGGACACGTCGCTCCAGAACCAGACGTACGTCTTGCCTGGGAAAAGAGTTACCGCAGTGTTCGGTTTCGCAATAGTCGAGGACTTCACGGTCACCTGCGGCGCGTTGGAAGAGGATACCATAACGTATGTGAACACGGTGGCGTCGATAGTCCACGCGGGCGCGGCGGCGTTCCACGGCGCGCCGAACAAGAACATCGGGTGCGCGTTCCTCTTAGTGTGGAAGATCTGCGACGGTACTTTACCCGGCTTGCGTGATCTCAGAGATAAAGATCCTCCCCCGAACACGCCGGAATTTCGCCAGTGGCGCACGGCTAGGAGGGCGGCGACGTCGGTCGCGTCGCGAGCCCAAGACGATATCATGTCGAGACCGGTCCCGCCTCTGGAGATGGTCGAGAGCGCGTTAGCTGCGTTCCTGAAGGTGCAGGTCGACTTAAAGGCAGCTAATGGACAAGGCGGTCGCTTGGCTCACTTTTGCAACGACCCTCGAGTGAAGCAAGCACTAGGCGACGATTTCAAGGTCAAGATGGGCTTCGGCCTGCACGTCGGCTGGGCCATCGAGGGGACCATTGGTTCGAAGTTCAAGATCGACGCTTCTTATTTAAGTCCAAACGTGAATGTCTCGGCGCGCCTCGAAGCGGCCACTCACATGTACGACTGCCCCCTCTTATTTAGTGGCTTCTTCGCCGACGAATTAAGTCCCGCGGCTCGGTCGTTCTGTCGGATGGTCGACGTCGTCTCCGTCAAAGGGTCGAATGTGCCTCTCGAATTATGGACTTTTGATATCAGTACGTACCCTGGGAGTTCACCAGCACCCTTTACCACGGTGTTGAATGGCCACAAGGTCCCGAAGGCCGTGGACTTTGCTACTGATATGTACTATCGAGACTTGCAGCGCGACATCTCCCCAGAATTTATGTCTCGTTTCAACGATGGAGTGCAAGATTACGTCGCGGGCGACTGGTTGGCAGCCAAGTCAAATTTGAGCGAGGCCCTCAAGATTTCACCAGAAGATGGACCTACTCGTACCCTGTATCGAGTCCTGAAGTCCTACGAGTTTAGAGCTCCTTCCGACTGGCGCGGGTACCGCGCGCTGACGTCGAAGACCTAGTATGCTCGCCGCGGGACTGCCTCGGTAGTCTAACCCCGCAGACGAGCAGCCATGACAGCCTATCCCCTATCCCCCCTGTTGTCAACCCCATGTTGAGTAACGGTCTGTTGAAATGAAGATTACTCAGAGCTCCACGAGTCTTCGACGCGACCCCGCGAGGGTCTTGAGCCCCTCTCGAATCCTCTCCAATTCTCTAGCTTTCTCCCGCGCGATGTACTCCGGATCGTCCGTGTCCACGAGGCCCTCCAAGATCGTTCTGGGTGCCTTGCCTTCCGCGCGCTGCGTCAGCCGCCCCGCGTTATTGATGGCCTGCGTCCTTCGCTCCTGCTCGGCCTTCACGAGCCCATCAAAGTTAATATCTTTGATGCAGCCGACGGGACACGCGGCCTTCGCCTCGTCGATGACTTCCGGCGCGTCGCCGTGCTGTCGATAAATACGAGCCATGCCGTGGTCCTCCTCCATGTAGAACGTCGCCGGCGCGATCGCGGCACATAAGTTGCAGCCGACGCAGGACCGCTCGTCGACGAACGCGAAGGCTTCCCGCTCCGGCTTGCCGTTGACCAAGGGCACGGCCTCGTGCGAATCTATGGAGCCCCAGTCCGGTTCTTGCTCGACAGCGTTGAACTCCTGGAGGTCAATACAGTCGTCTGACGGTAGTTCTTCCGTGACGTCGCACCAGGGGTCGTCTCCCTCGTCGTCTTCCGCGAAGATGGGCACGCCGCCGTTCAGGAACTCCTCCTCGTCGACGCACTCGGGAGTGGGCTCTTCCGCGTCGCACCAGAAGTCCGTGCTCGCGAGGAGCAGCTCCTGGTCCGCGGTGAGGTCGACGTCCTGCCAGACGCCGTCGAGCTTGGCCGCGATGTCCGGGTCGATGAAGGGCGGCGTTTCTGGCGAGGCGGGCGCGGCGGCGGGGGCGTGGTGGCCCCAGCCTCCAGGGGCGCCGGGCTTGGGGGCCGCCGCGCCCGCGGCGCCCGCAGCTCCAGGCTTTTGGAGGGCAGAGCTCGGCCGCAGCAGCGCCAGGAGCGCTACAATTTTCATGGCTGCGGGAGACGTTGTCAACAATAAGCTTACGGACAGTCGCAGCTTCTGAGGAGGCCGGGATGTAGCTACAGCCGCGGAATTCTGCCAAAACGACCCACTGAAACTTGAGCTAGTGTCTTACGGACGCTAGCGCGATTTTTTTCCCGTCGCGTTTTGTGTACACCTTGTTTAGAAGGCTCCTCACTGAAATACCCGCACGCCTCTAGCGCTCCAAGAAGACGGGTCCAGATGACACTAAAGATGTATCAAATTCTTAGCGCCGGCGCCGAAGGAAGGGGGACTCACGCCTGGCGGCTCTTCGCCAGCAGTTCGCGGGCGCGCGGCGTGAGGTCCTCGGGCGCCGTCGCTGGTCGAGGCGCCGGGTCGAAGTCGATCGGCGCCGCGCCGCGCCGCGTCCGCCCGCCGGGCGTCGAGCCCGTCGCCTTGAGGATCAAATCCCAGTCCACCTGGTCCAAGGACATGGACGCGTCCGACGCCGGCTGCGTCGACGGCGTCGGGTCGGGCCGCGCGCTCATCTCTTGTAGAGTGGTTGCGACGCGCGCTTCCGACGCGGGGCTGATTCCTGTTATAGGCCTTTGATCCACAGACGCCCCTACCAACGTGCCGCCCCAGTCGTCAATCGATGCACTCAACTTGAGGCCGGCTGAGGAGGTCGACATCGTCGGCGGCGGCGGCGCGAGCGGCGGCCGGCCCCGGTTCCTCGGGAAATTGTTCGCGGGTCCTTTCGCCCAATCTCTTGAAGCTCTTGATCTCTCTACGCCGTCGAAGGACGTATCGATCACGTCCCCGAGCCACGACGCATCATCTAAAGATAAAGAGCATAAAGTAGCCGACAGGCGCATCGCCAGCCCGTCGTCCTGGGGCGGTGGCTCCTCTTGACCCCGTCGCCGAGGTCTCCGGACGCGCCGTCGTCGCTCGTCACCACCGCGCGGCGAGTCGCAGATGTTCCGTTGTGGGGCCGCCTTCGGTGAAGGCGGGGCTAACAAAGCCCCACCCAAACAAGCGGCCGCGGCCTCGGCCATCTGCGCGACGAGACCCGGCTCCGTTTGCGCCTTTCTTTCGGCCCGCTTCTCGAGCGCGTCCCACTCGTCGCGCTTGAACGCCACGGACCCGAGGAATCTCTGTCGTGAACTCTCTCGAGACCACGTCCTCGCTGCCACTAATAACCCTCGCAGTTCCGCCTGGGCGACGTCACTGACCACGGCCGCGGCCTGCTGCGCGCCGGACGACTGTCGCGTCCTTCGACCATCGGGATTTAACGTTAATTTTGCCATTGATCCACCAATCTGCCCAGCTAGCGGCGGCGTCCGGTGTTGGACGTGCCGCGTCTCGCCCATGCGCCGGAACATGAGCTGCAGTAGTTCTTTGGCGGACCGCTCACCTAACCGTCTAGCTTCGGCCGCATCAGCTTCTCCCCTACTCTCGGACTGGCGGTCGCGTCGTCTAGCTTGGGCTTCTAAACCATGTGTCAGTCTTTTTGTTATCAATGAATTGAACCTATTTTTCACGGCGTTCTCGGCTCTTCCGGGCAAACCGCGCGCGATCTCGGACCACTTGTTGCCGACCCTTTGTTGGGCATCGAGTAATATGGCGTCCTCGTCCGGGGTCCAGTCCGACTTCACGACTCTCGAGTCGAGATGATTCAACCATCTCTCGCGACACTGCTTGCCCGCCCTCCCCGGGATGTGACTGGCAATCAGAGCCCAGCGCTTCGGGCCGAACTTGGCCACTAATTGCCTCAACAAATTGTCCTCCTCGGGCAGCCAGGGCCCCTTGACGGCGGCGTGGCGCACGGCGGCGTCCCACCTGGCTTGACAGTCGTCTGGCGTCCTTTTTTGGGGTCCTCCGTTTATTGGTGGTAACAAGTGCCTCGCGACCTTCGACCAGTCGCCCGTCCCGAAGCGCAAGACGCCCTCCCGCAATACCGCGTCCTCCTCTTCCGTCCAGGGGTCCGCGCAGTTTTGCGTGGGGAGGTCGTTCGTCGCGGGCGTCGGGGGGAAAAAACGTCTAGGGGCCGCCGCGGGGGCTTGGCCGTTCGTGGGCGTGGACCAGCTCTGCTGCGGCGGCTGTCTTTTGCTTCTCCCTCTGGTGTTGCGCGCGGCGCCGTCGACGCCGCGCTTCATTGTGTTTCCCTGCAATTCTAGCCTCCCTAAATAATCTTTTGGTGGGCGGGCTGCTGCGCGCAAAAAGGGCTGCCTTTGGGTTTGTTTTTTGCCTGGCTTGCCTTATGATAATGTGGGCGGTCGCGCCGGCGGCGGGCGCGGCGCGCAGATTATCCTGCTCCGGCCTCTGTCTGGGCCGCGAGCCGAGGCCGTACCGTCGCGCATCTGCAGGTACTGCTCGGGAGGGGTCTCGATTGCTGCGCGGGTCGTGCGAGCCGTCCGCTTGCTTACTAGTGTCTTACAGGCCGCTAGCTCGATGAAACAAGCGCCGCCGGTATAGATCGACTTGGCAACGACTCGTAGTTTCTTGGCTCTGTAGCAGCATCAATCAATGCGAACCGCCTGTGAGCATTGCTGCGTCCAGCGGTGGCGTTTAAGCAACGATGTCATCAATGAGACTGCTGCTGCTATTTTGCACTGCCGATGCTCAGCGCGGCTGGCGAAACGGCAACTGGATCAGCGGGTTCCGGGCTCCGGAGGACGTCAAGGCGCAATGGGCCGCGCGACCGCCCATGTTCGGGCCCGCGCCGCTGGCGAATCGGCGGCCGGTCACCGACGCGCCCGGGAAACTCGCTAAGCCACGCACGCCGGCACCGTTGGGAGAACCCTTGTGGCCGTTTCCCGCGCAACGCTACGACGCCGACGTTGTGACCGGGCTCGCGCTGAATTACCGCGAGTTCTCGCACCGGGCCTTCGTCGGCAGCTTGAGACGAGCGGGATACACGGGCGACATAACACTCATCACGGAGCCGCGGAGCAGGCTCCAGCGCGGCTGCGAGGCCTACCTGCGGAAGAGTGGCGTCGTCGCCTACGGCCTCGTGCCCGACTGTAGCGCGTCTAGCGGGGGGAACATCAAGCACAAGACCTGCAAGTGGCGCGAGGGCCAGCCGCCCCTGCCGCTCGCGATCATCCGCCACGCGTTGTATCTCGCGATCGCGAAGACGTACTCGCCGCGCAGCATGTTCTACGTCGCGGACTACCGCGACACGTTTTTTCAGGCGGATCCATTTCAGCGCGTTATTGAACGGAGAGGAAGACGCCTCGAGGGCCTCGAGCTCCTCGTCGTCGCGGAGCACTGGTGCGTCGCGGCGTCCCAGGGATTTTCGTTCATTCTTCACTTGACTCCTCGATTGCGCGAGACACGCCATCGCCGCGGCGTCATTTCGATGCCTGATCCGTCCGCGCAGGCCCTTCAAGAAGGTAGGGAATTGCCCCTTCAACGGCGGTTGGGTTCGTAACTGTTGGGGCCGCGCCGAGTGGGACCGGCTGCGCAACCAGTCCGTGCTCTGTTCTGGTTCGTATATGGGTGCGCAACCAGCAATAGTGAATTTTGAAACAAGACTGCTCAACGAGGTCGACGCGCACGACTGCCACCACAAAGGAGTACCTTCAGATCAAGGATATTTGAACTATCTATTTTATACGGGCAATCTGCCGGCCGAGACCTTCGTCGAGACGCGCGGCGACGGCGTCGTCAACACGGTGGGAAGCCTCGACGGCTCGCGGCCGCGCCACGCCGGCTACCTCCCGCCGACGCACGTCAACATCGGAGAATATTGGAAGATTCGCGACGCCGCGGGCTACGTGCTCGAGGACGACCTGACGACGCGGTCGGCGGCGGTCCACCAGTGGGATCGCTTCGGCCTCGAGTTCCACCAATTCGTTTCAGAGCTCGGTAGGGACGTACGGCCACGACGACGCCTCAGTTCCGCACAAAAGCTCTGCGACGGAGAAAGGTTAATCGTCATCGGGGGCTTCCACCACAGCTTCACGAGCGTCCTCCGCGCGCAGCTCGCGAAACGATTGGGCGTGCCGCTGCGGGGCGGGCGGGACGAGCGGTGGCCGGATGACCACGTGGAGGAGGCCTGCTCCGCGGAGTGGACGGTGTTCAAGAAGCCGACGAACAGTCCGCGCGACGTGCGCCGGTTCGAGGGGTTGCGGCGCAAGTTTCCGGCGGCCCGCATGATCCTGTGTGGAAAACAACCAGTGCGTCGGGTGCACCCGACAATTCTTCACTAAGCCATTTCTCGGCGATGACGCGGCCGTCCTGGCTCGGTCGAGCGGTGAGGAACCGTCATTGCCACGCCATCGAACAGGCGTCGCGTCGATGGCGTAGAGGTCGACGCGGCAATTCAGGACGAACGCGCCGTAAATTTGATTTCCACACAGGTATGATCTTTTGCACGAGAGACGCCCCGAATCAGATCTGGTCGCTGATGAAGCGGACCTGCTACCGAACGTCGGAGCCCTTCGCCACGTGCACGGCCTTAAAAAGGTGTATGATCAACGAGGCGGAGAGGAAGTGGCGGAGGCCCAGCGCGCGCGACTGGACCGTGGATCTGGCGGACTTTGCTGCTGATCCGCGGAGTCTCTTGCGGGCGGTCGTTCCGGCCCATCTCGCCCATCCAAGCGTCCGGGAACCTCGATCCGCCGCGGGTCCGCCGCGGGGAGGGTCCCACGATGATTTAAGAAGATGGCAGGTGGCGCAGCCGGTCTACGCGTACAACGATGATACCTACGAACGCGAGAGTGGTTCCCTGGCGCCGTTGCTGAAGTCCCTGTCGAATTGCGCGAGGGTCCGCTCATTGCCCCGAAGCCTGGCTTGCCTCGTTAAGCGTGACAACTGCTCGCGCCAAGTAATAAGGACTCGATGATAAAACTATTCCCGGAGGTTACTACTCTCTTCCCAGCCGGGCTGCGGGTTGAAGGGCATGCGGTCGACGTCGAGCGCCGTCAGCCGCCGCCGGCCCCGTTTTTTTCCTGGCGAAGCCGGGGGACCCGCGTCAACGCGGGACGAGGGTCCCGGACGAGGGTCCCGAATGAGCGAAGACGCCTCGGCCAGCGCCGCGTGATGATCGCCCTTCCGCGCAATCAGAAAACCCTGCAGCTCGGCCATCGACGGCGCTCTACTGGCCGTCGCATTGACACCAAACGCCGCGGCGTCTTCATCGGACGCGTCCTCGTAGAACCGCTGGAATAACCGCGATGCCTGGTCCGCGTCCGCGTCACCCACGAGCTCCACGACGTCGACGCGGCCCGGTCGAATTAAAGCCGCGTCCAATCTTTCGACGTAGTTCGTCGTCATGAGCACCACCCTCCCTTCGGCCGCCGCCGCGCCGTCGAGCGCGTTCAACAAACCACTTAGCGTGAGGTGGCCGCGACTCGTCTCCTCGGAAGCGAAGGCCGCGTCGACGTCCTCTAATAAAACGCAGCAGTTCCTGGGGGCGTTCGCCAGCGCTAAAGCGAGCCTATCGTCCGTCAGGCCCTCATCTGATAATGATAGCAGACACACGTCCAGGTCCAACGCACCAGCTAACGCCAGGAAGAACGACGTCTTCCCCCCGCCCGGCGGGCCGTGCAGTAAATAACCGCGTCGATACGGCACGCCCCGCTCCGCGTACCACTTTTTCGACTTAGACCACTCGGCGACGTCCTGTACGAGCCTCTCGGCCTGGCCCTCCTTCAGGACCACGGACTCGATCGGTCTTTTGGCTCGAGCCTGGCCGAAGGGCCGCCACTCCGTGCCCCAGCACGTGTAGAGCGTCGTTGTCGTTGCATCGCGACTACCCTCCGCGTCGCGCCGCGCTTCGTTGAGTAGAGATGGAAAAAAGTCACTAGAACCCGCAAAAGCCGTGAGGACGACCTTCTCCCAGGGCGTGCCGCTCGACGTGTTCACCGTGCCGTACTCCCGGGCTCGTTCCACGAGGACCCACCGGCCCGCGTGGCGCACGACGTGTAAACCTGGCGCCGGCACGAGGTCAAAGGTCGGGCCGTCGTCGCCATGTAGCGTCGTGACGCTCGCGTGCCTAAATGATCCGATAGGATTCGTCCGCTTCAGCCAGTGGAGCACCCACGGGTACGCAGCGTCGCGGCTCGTGACCTCGAGCGTCGCCGTCGCGCGCCGGCGTAGCGTGGATACGGCCAAGCGGCCGGTGCTCCGGAACGCGGACAAGCCTAAGCTTAAAGCGGCGAGCCCTGCGCCGCCAGCGACGACGGCGGCGGCCGGGTGGTCTCGCAGCGGCTCCGGTATCAGGTCCGTGAGCGGCGAGGGCGTTTTTGGAGGCGGAGCTGCCACATCACTCATCGTCTGCGCTCCAGGCGAGCCTGAACAGCCGGCACGCGCAGCGGAGATCGAGTCACTGCCGCGATAATAGCTTGTCGCGCTTGGCGCACGGGCTCAGGAGTGCCGCTATATGAGTGATGAGTGAGCTGCGTGCGTTCTGGACTACTGTATGCCCAGCTATGGGAGCTAAAAACTCAGCGCCAGAGATGCTTGCTAGTGTCTTACTGCCGCTAGCCCTTAGTTTTTCAGGCTTTCATTACCAGTGCCCGATCGCGAGGAGAGGTTGTTTGACCGTCGAAAAAATACATAAATTCATCTTTGAGGCGCGCAAGCGAAGAAACCGCACGCGATTTGAGGGCCCTAGCCACTTTTCTAAAAATCCCTGTGGCAGCCAGTCGAGTCGACGCCGCCGAGCAGGAGTTTGGGAATCGTGACACCGAGCAAAAAGAAATGTCTCGTCGGTCGATGCTCAGAGCGGCTCTGATACTCGCCTCGATCCACGCGCAGACGCCGCCGCCCGCTTCGGGCCCGGCGGAGCCGTCGCCGCCGGCCTGCGCCGACGATTCGACCTGGCACAAAAAAGACGACGAGACCAAGAACTGCCAGTGGGTGAGCGAGCTCCTGCCGACGCGCTGCGACGTCCACGGCGACGACAGAACGGCGCAGGAGGCGTGTAGAAAAACGTGCGACACCTGCGAGTCGGAGCTTCCGCCGCCCCGGCGCTCGACCTTCGCGCCAACCGTCACGCCGTCGGAGGAGGAGGAGTGCCGGACCGACATATGTGCGTTTCCCGAGACGAGCCTCCACGCTATCGACGCGATACGTTTTTGTGCACGCAGGCCTTGACAGGGACAACGACTGCTGCGCGCCGCTCGGTGGCGAAGGCGCGGGCGACAAGCCCGAGCCCCGCGGATGTAGTATCCCTGGCTTTGTGGTAAAGCCCGATCCCACCGGCCGGAGCGGCTGGGCGCCGTGCCACGCGGCCTTCGGCACGGACGCGACCTACAAGTGTTGCAGAGATACGGAATTTGCTAGCCCGAACGAAGTGTGCCGCTCCGATATATGTAAGGATCGCGACGACGACTGCTGCGCGACGGGCGGCGAACAGGGCACGAAGAACGAGCCCCGGGGGTGCAAGGTCGACGGCTACAAGGTCACGGCGGACATGCACGGGCGGTCGGGCTGGGCTCCGTGCAAGGCGGCCTTCGGCCAGGACGCGATCTACCAGTGCTGCATCCCCAAGGACGAGTACAAGGAGACGTGCCGGTCCGACATCTGCGTCGACCGCGACAGCGACTGCTGCGCTCCCGAAGGGGAGAAACGTGGCTGTGGCATCGCGGGCTACCACCCGGCCCCCGACCCTACAGGAAAATCCGGCTGGGCTCCGTGCAAGGCGGCCTTCGGCCAAGGGGCGATATACCAGTGACAGACCGTGCGGAAATCAAACGCGTCCGCCCCCACGCCATCGACGCGTTTCCACGCAGGTGCTGCGGCCCCGCAGACCTCATGCAGGAGACGCTCCAACCTACACAGAAACCTACGCAAGCACCGACCGTCGCGGCCGCTAAAAAGAAGTATGTACACGGCAGCCGAAGTGGCTTACAGGTGTTCTTCGCACTCGTCCTCATTATGGTTATCATTATCAGTATAATGGCCATCTGTGCCCGGTGCAAGAAGGACCAGCGGTCGAACCAACGGTCCCTGGAGATGTCCGAGCGTCAGTCGTCGTACGAGCCGCCGGTCGTCCAAGGGGAGCGCGTGCCGACACCCATGGGGCGCGTCCCGCCGTCGAAGCTCGACAGCCCGCGCGGGGCCGTTGTTTAATACTACTATGAACTAAATCTCTTAGCCAACTAGAGCAGCGACATCGAAGTCATGCTCATGGACTGGACCTCGTCCGTGAAGAGTTCTTCAGTGATTTCTTCGATGATGGCGTCCATGGACAAGCTCTGGTTGACGACCGCAGTACAGATAATTTTCTGCACGCCGAAGGCCACGTCGACCAACTTCAACCCCTCGCTCCACTTGAGCCCGTCCTTCACGACCGTCGCCTTGATCTTGGCGTAGAGCGCCTTCAGGTCCTGGTCCGCCTCCCAGGGCTTGATCTCGAGGTTACATAACGACCTGTGCGTAAATCAACCGGTAAGTTGGGTGGGAGACCCCGCCACGCCATCGAGCTGGCGTCGCGAGACGCGTCGCAACAATTTAATCTATGCACAGATAACGACCGCTGGTTCGCCTCCTTCTTCGCGAGCTTGGCCATGGCTTTGGCCTTGGCCTCCTCCAGCGCCGCCGCGGCCGCCGGATCGTCCTCGTCGTCCTCGGCCCAGAAATCATCCTCCTCCTCCTCACCACCGCCCGACTTGAACTCCTCCCACGACTTGATGGCCGCACGCGCCGCAGCCGCCTTGTCGCCATAAGATTTCAACTTCTCCCGGTCCTGCACCCGTTGCTTCTCCGGCGCCTTCGCGAGGTAACGAGCGTCTTTAATCTTCGCTTCTAATTTCGCGACGAGCGGCTCGACCGTTTTGAGTTCTTTCTGGAGCTTCTTGATTTCGGCATCCGCGTCCACGAGACCCTTGAGGTCCACCAGGACACTGAGTTTGTCGTCGACGAGCTTCTGGCCGCACCCTTTTGGAGGTGTCACATTATTCCCGATACTGACCGACGCGGCCCGCATGAGTGTGCTACAGTCGTCCTTCCTCCCCTCTAGTATGGATGCTCGTTCCGCATCATTGCTAAACACGGCGTGGAAGTGCGCGGGCTTGTTCGCTAGTGAATATTGAGCTCGCAACGAGCGAGCACCCGTGACGGTCTCCAAGACTAGGGACGTGCCTCGCTCCGCCTCTTGGTTATCGAACGTATCAACTTCTGACGGAGTAGGATAGGGCGCGACCATGATTGAGCTAACGGCAAAGGTTCTTGGTAACCGCTGCCACAATTCCTCGGTCACGAAGGGACACAGCGGATGCAACAACCTTAAACCAGCATCCAAGCAGGCCCACAGGACCATTTTCGCCGCGTCCCTACCTTTACCTTTTTTATCGTCGTCGTACATGACGGGTTTCACGAGCTCGACATAAACGTCACATAAATCATCTAAGAAGAAGTGGTAGATGGCCTGCACGGCCTCGCCGAACTTGTACTCCGTGAGGCACGTGTTGACGTCCAAGACACACCTTCTTAAGCGTGATAGGATGAACTTGTCTCGGCCCGCGAGAGGTTTCAGTGTACTCCATAGATTTTCTGACGCTTTGTAGTCGTCAAAGGTCCCCAGCATAAACCGCACGGCGTTCCAGAGCTTGTTGCAGAAACTTCGATAACCGACAACTCTCTTAATATCCAAGTTGATGTCCCGGCCTTGGACCGTGTATGCCAATAACCCTACTCGGAGAGCATCCGTGCCGCACCGCGGCATGCCCTCGGGGAAGTCTGCCTTGAACGCTTCTTCCGCCCTCTTGACCTCAGAAGCCCTTAAATTCCCAGCCTTCAACTTGTCGACGAGCTGCGCCAAGGGACACCCGTCGATGACCTCCAGGGGGTCGATGACGTTCCCCAGCGACTTCGACATTTTGCGGCCGTCCTTATCTCGCACCATGGCATGCAAATACACATCCGTGAACGGTAACTTGTCCGTGAGCTGCAGCCCCATCATCACCATGCGGGCCACCCAGAAGAAGAGGATGTCGAGGCCCGTCTCGAGCAACTGCGTCGGATAGAAGGCCTTGAACTCGTCCGTGTCGTCGGGCCAGCCGAACACGGAAAAGGGGAAGAGGCCGGACGAGAACCACCTGTGTGGAGCATCGTATTCACTGGAAACGGTCCGAACGGCCTCAAACTCGAAAAAGAGACCACCCACGACCTCGTCTGATGGAGACGACGCGCATCGACGGCGTGAAGGCGCCTGTACACGACGGGACGCCGAGATCGCACGTGTCGAGGACGTCCTCGTCGCGTTCTAGGGTCACGTCCTTCGTCCCCAGGAGTTTTTGTGCTTGTGCTAAAGCCTGTGCTTCCGACCGGGCCACGATCCACCGCTCCTTATTCCGTTCGGCGTCGACGTCGACGTTATTTCTCGACTCACCTTTCCGAAACGCGAACCACGCGGGGATCCGGTGGCCCCACCAGAGCTGGCGCGAGATGCACCAGGGCCTTATGTCCTCGAGCCTGCGTGGTGTGGCGCGTTACGGCGTCGACGCGTCGATGCAAGGACGCCGCAACAAACCACTTGAACCACGTCCGCTCGTGCATCTTCGGTCTTATTCTGAGAGACCCGTCCCTGACCGCGTCGCAGGCCCGTTTCGCGGGCCCCGTGCAGTCCACGAACCACTGGGGCTGCACCAACGGCTCGATAATATCACCACTACGAGAGCACACAGCTAGGGTCATCGGTCTCTCGCTTTTGCCTCGCAACAGTCCCAACTCATCAAGCTTCTTCTCCACCAACACTCGAGCATCATAGCGCATCTGACCGGCAATCCACGATGGGAACACCTCGACCGGGTAGTCCCCCGCACCAGTGACCGAAAACGGCGTGCACTGCGTCACGACGCGCCCGTCCAGCGAAAAGATGGTCATGAACGGCAGCGCGTGCCGCTTCCCGCAGTCGTAGTCGTGGGGGTCGTGGGCCGGCGTCACCTTCACGCACCCGGTGCCCTTGTCCATGTCAACTAACACATCATCGGTTACGACTGTCACAACACGAGAAGGGAAGAAGGGGTGTTTCAACTTCTTGCCGTGCAAGTGTTTATAGCGAGGGTCCTTGGGATGGACAGCGACGGCCACGTCCCCCAGCATCGTCTCCAAGCGTGTCGTAGCTACGACGACCTCCTCATCCGAACCTATAACTTTATAGGCGAACTCCGTGAACATGGCGAACTGGTACTTCGTGGCGCCGTGGCCCGGGACCGTCCGCAGCTCGCCACCATTGAGTTCCAAGTGGTCGACTTCGAGGTCGGAGATGGCTGATTTCAAAGCACAACTCCAGTTCACGAGGCGAGACGCCCGATACATGATGCCCGCCTCGTGGAATCTAACAAAAGCTTCCGTCACGGCCTTGGCGCAGCGCTCGTCCATCGTGAACCGTTCCCGAGACCAGTCCACGCTACTACCAAGCCTTCTCAGTTGCGTGCAGATGCGACTACCGTACTGGCCCTTCCAGGCCCAGACGTGCTCCAGGAACTTTTCCCTCCCCAAATCATGCCTCGAGACCGGCGGAGACTGCTTGGCCAGCATCTTCTCGACGACCGATTGGGTAGCGATGCCCGCATGATCGGTACCGGGCACGTACAGCGTCGCGTCGCCCCGCATGCGGTGCCACCGCGTGAGACAATCTTCGATCGCCGCCGTGAGGGCGTGGCCCAAGTGCAGACTACCAGTCACGTTCGGCGGCGGGATGACCTGTGTGGACATCGACCAGTGAGTCAGGTTGTCGTCGAGGTCTCTACGCCATCGACGCGACGCGTCCCTCGCTATCTCGGCACCGCGGTCATCTGAGAGGCCCAAACTCGGACACGACCTCCGAGCGATGCACGCGACCGAGTATGGACAGAAACACCTCGCGCCGACCGCGACACACCAAAAATTGAAGGGCGCTTGAACTTGATTTCCACACACGCGGTAGTACCATGACGAACTTTTCGTCGGCCGGTCGCTTCAACGCTTTTTTCTCGTCGCAGCCGTACCAGCCGGACTTCTCCCACCAGTCCTGCCAGGCGGCCTCGACGTCGCCCGGGTTGTAGGTCCTCGACATCTGCTCGGCCAGTATTTTTTTGTCTCCTTTCGGCGTTGGAGGTGCAATTGCTTTGACGTCGGCCTTCTCGGCTTCCGCTTTAGCTAGAGCCTTCAGTCTAGCTTTTTCGGCCTTGGCCGCGGCCTTCGCGGGGTCGACGGCCCACCTATTGGGATCCTTGTCCTTCTTCTTCTTCTTGACGTCCTCGCCTCTCGCGAGGCGCTTCTGTTCTCTTTTGGAAAGGCCCTTCTTCTCTTCTACAGGTGCTGCTTTGGCCTTCTTCTTCTTGTCTACTATTGCTAAAGAGTGGGTGGGGTCGAGCGCGGTGATCTGTTTCTTCAGTGATAGGAGCTTCTCGACCTTGGCCGCAATTTCATCCTTGGAGGCTCCACTTTTTTTGGCTGCGGCGACGGCCTCGCCGGCCTTCTTGCACTCCTCCACCAACTTCGCGGGGACGGCGCCGCCGCTCGCTGCGGGTGCGGCCGCTGGTGCTGCAGCAGCTACATCGTGCAAGCAGCCGTAGACAAACGAATGCTCGTCGAGCGCGGCGATCGTTGCGAAACCCGCCATCGCTCCGCAAGATCGGTGCACGCCTGCTCACTGCCTGCCTGCTGCTACGTGCGGAGCTTGAGCCTGTCGCTCTCCAAAAACATAATCCAGCTAGGTCATAGACGTGCTAGATTTGTGAGAGCAAGTGCAAAAACAGCCGCGTCCAGTCGTGGTCAGGAGGTCCCTGGACCTCCACGTGCTCGCTGCAGTTCGCAGCGCTGCGGAAAAATGCGGCTAGTCGGGATAGTAGCACTGCTCCACAGCTGTGCAGCGCTGCACGGAGCAATACCGCGCCGCGCACGCCATCGATGCGACGCGAGCGCGACGGATGACGCGGGCGGCGTCTGGGACGCGCGCTCTTGGCGCCTCACGTTCGACGTGGGTCGCACGGAGGGCGACGAGTCGATGCCCGAGGACTGGGCGGCGTCGGGCGCGCGCATGGCCTTTAGCGTCGACGTCGAGGTGAGCTCCGACGACGCGAGTAGTAAGGACAGCGAGGTCGGCCGCGGCGCGTGTGCGCTGCGACCGCTGACCGAGGGCGAGTTCGTCAGCGGCGAAGGCGTCCAGCGCGTGCGCGTCGCCGAGGGCGGCTGGCGCATCGATCACAATGATATCTTGCGGTGCTGGCTGGACGTCGAGAGCGCCGCGGCTCGCAACGACGTCACGCTCGCGCCGGGGCGCTGCTACTTCGAGGCGGCGGTCTGGCGCTCGCCTGCGGATTTGGCCGCGGGCCGCCAGAAGCTCGCGCCGCTCGTGGCGGATACGCGAAAGGCGCAGGACGAGCTCGAGCGCGCCCTCGACCACAACGAGGGCGACCGGCGCTTGGACGGCAGCGATCTCATCGAGACGGCGAAGGCCTACGGCGACGTCGCGGGCCTCGTGGGGAAGCGGGACGGCGCGCTGCGACGGCAGCGCGAGGCCGAGCTGGACTTGCGCCTGCCGGCGACGGACCCGCCGTTCGGGCGGTGGCCGGGCGCCGGCGAGCCCGTGGGCCTCGCGCCGACGCGCCTTTACGGCTTGAAGGAGTCGCTGTTCGGCGACGAGCACCTGGCGCTGGGTACGTGGCGGATTAAGCCCGTAACTTAGTTTCACCTACTTCGCGGCAGCGGACCGTCGGCGACACGCGTCTGCAACTCGACGAGCGTCTTCTCCGCGGAGTTGTAGCGCTGCGCAAATTCGGCCGGGTCGGCCGTGGTCGCGGCCGCCCGCACCTCCGCCACGATCGTCCTCAGTTCCGCCGTGCAGCGGTCGATCTCGCGAAGGCGCGCGAACTCGTTGCGCGCGGCGTCCCACAGCGAGGCGCCGAGGAAAACGTAGCCTTGATTGACGGGCAAGTCATAAGCGTACACCGCCGCGGCGACGACTACACCGAAGGCCACCGCCGCGGGCACGTCGACCTGATCGGCTCTCCGCCTTCGTTTCCACCGCTCGGCCGCGCGAGGTAAGTTGAGAGGCGGACTTCTTTCTTCGTGGCCCGCGATACATTGGGAGATGCAATTCGACACCGCGCCGAGGCCGCAGGCATGCAGGAGCGGCGCCGCGGCGTCGCTCAGTGCTAAAAATCCAGCCGCTGTGGGGTGTGCAGCCTCAAACACAGCGAATCCGTCCGTGATAGCGCTGATTCTTCGTGTGCGGCTCCTTCGCGGCTCGTATACCGTCTGAAACGCATTCACAGCTGAGATTAGCGCTAGCGCTTGACGCATAGTGCCCCAATTTTGCATGCACGCGCCAAGCTCTGCGAGCCGATTTTGCTGATAGGCCACGTTGGTCGCGTACGACGCGCCGTCGCAGCAAATTTGCTGCCTGACAGAGTAATCGAACTCCGAAACGACGTCCAGAACCGATTCAGCGCTTTGCCGCATCGAAAATGGGGCGTCTGACACTGCTAACGACGCTTATTGCCTCCACGGCGGCCCTGCAGCGCGCGCCGCTGCGCAACGTGGCCCAGAGAAAGGCCCAGAACGCGGCACCGGTTAGGGAGCAACAGGCGACTGGGCTCGCGGAGAACTTGGAAAATATTTTGGACCCTGTGGGCGAGGTCGTCGTGACGGCGCTGCGAGTTGGAACGTAAAGCTGCGGCGTGCTTTACAAATTGAGGGGGAATTCACGTGATAGTTCGCACGCAGGTGCGCGCTCATGATCCATCACGGCATCGACAAAATCGTGAACGTCGACGGCTTCAGCGCGAACGTCGTGCAAAAGTTTTTCGGCTTCCTGCCCGGCCCGGCGCCGTTCTGGACGCTGTCCGCGGCGGCGACGCAAGTCGTCGGCGCCGGATTCCTCGCGATCGGTTTGTTTAGCCGGCCGGCGGCCGCCGCGATGACGGCTACAATGCTAACCGCCGTCATCTTCCACCTCGAGAACACGGGCCCCGAGGGCTTCCCGCTCGCCGTCGTCAAGCAGCACTCCTACAACTACGAGCTCGCGGCCATGTACGTTCTGGTATTAGGCTACTTCTCCATCGCCGGCGCGGGGCCCTGGTCCGTCGACGAGCAAGTTCTGGGCGGCGAGCTCGAGTTCTACGAGCAGACGTTCGAGAACGCCAGGGCCAAGCTGGCGAAGGACTAATGAACATGTACTTAGGGCTCTAGCACATGAGCTTGCGCCGGTTGAAGACGGGCAGCGGCTCGGCGTCCTCGACCCGAATCCTAAAAGCCGGCTTGAGCGCGTGTTTCTGCGACTGCACGGCCTCGGTCGTCGGGTGCTTCAGGTCGTAGGCCTGCCTATTGACGCGCTTCGCGTGCTCGCGCATCTGCGTGCAGGGGTGCGGCAGCGTGCCGCCGATCTTCAGGGGCCCGGGCTTGAGCTTCGCCTTCTCGCGCGCCGGCAGGTCGCCGTCGTGGCTGAAGAGCAATTCCGCACTCAACCCGCCTCGCTGGTCATCCAGGGGATTCGACTGGAACTTGTCCGCGTCGCCGGCGCGGTCGACCATGTCCTTGGGGTCGATATAAGACTCTTGAGAGGTAGATTGGGGCACGAAGGCCTCCCCGCGCGTCTCCATCTTTGCTAAATCTCTTCCATATTGATCCTCGACGTAATTCCCGTTCATAACGCCGCAACAGTACGTGTTCTTGTGGCCGCAGATGCCATAGCCGTAGCCCGCCGTGCCCGACATGGTGCTTTACACAAAGCGCGGCGGCGGCGTTTTGGTGGGGGTTGCTATGGGGCTGCCTGGGCTCGGGGCTGGCGCGCGGCGAGGCGGCGACGGCCTCTCCTGGGAGTGATGTGGCGCTTGTTGACCACCCTCCGGCGGCGGTAGAACGCTACTACGTCGTGGGGTTCACGAGGGCAGCGTCCAAATTGCCTGTGATAGCGCCGCTGCAAAGGCCAAAAAGCTAAGTACCTAGTTACGAGGAAACGATGTGTCGCATGCGTCGCCGAGGCGTGCCTGATGGGCTCGCGCCTTGGTTTTCGGGCGGACTGTCGGTGCTAAAAAAAAATTGCGTTGGGATTTCACGCCGTCGCGCAGCCGCGAAAAGCAGCCCGTGCGCGCCGCACGGCTGCCTGCTACGGACGCACGACGTCGGCAGAGAACCGCCTCGAGTCTGCCGCCGCTCGGTCGCTGCCCGGGAAGCTGCAAGGCATGGCTCGCCGCGTGAAGACGCCCACCAAGGACAGCAGCCAGCGCCAGCTCTCCCCCCTGAAAGCGGCCCAGGACCACAAAAGCCCGATCAAGCAACCGCCGCGGCGGCGCCTCGGCGGCGCCGGCTGCTTCCGACGCTGCGCGCCGGCCCACACGGAAGGACTGCACGACGACCTCGACGGCACGCCGCTTCGAGTACCGTCGCCGGCGCCGCCCGAACCGGCCGACCCGCCGCGGCTCATGGACGCCATCGCCGCCTACAACAAACTCATGGACGCCGAGGAGGCATTGGTCGAGGTCGTCGGATTGGACGGTTTGCGGCGGCATCGCCGGCGGCGCGACGTCGTCGACGAGGACCGCGCCTGCGACAGGCCCTGCTGGGGGTTAGATGATGACCTCGACGATTTTCAACCGGCGTGCGCGGAGTGCCCTATTTCATAAACATACATTCATTACTCGGCCGGTTTGGGCGCCGGCTCCGCCGTGGCCATCGGCGCCCACTCCACCGCACCTGTATTAACGACGCCCCCCGAGTCTTTTGCGGCAAACTGAGCCAGCAACTGCGCCGGCGTCAGCCCGTCATCATTCACCGCGTCGAGGTCGCAGTCGTACTCGCCCAGTAGTTGCACAATATCTCGTCGACCTTCGAGCGCGGCGCAGTGCGCCGGGCCGTTCTGCATATTATCCGTACCATCGGCGTCGGCCCCCAACCGCAGTAGCATGCGGACCGTCTCCGCGTCGCCCGTCGCGCAGGCAAAATGGAGAGGCCTCCGACCGCCGAACATGCTTCCGACTTCATCAATATCGGCCCCGAGGTCATGCAGCAATTTGACCGTCGACGCCCGGCCGTTCTGCGCCGCCAGCGCCGCGCAACTCCTTCCGTTGTGGGTCTGGTCTTCCGGGTCGGCTCCAAGCTTCACTAATCGCTCCACAGTGCTATCATGACCTTGCTCAGCAGCGTAGTGGCAGGGCTGCTTGCCGTAGGCATCTTCTGCGCACAAATTAGCGTCTAATTCGGCCAGGATTCTCAGAGCTCGGTCGTTGCCGCATTTGGCCGCGACGTGGGCCGCCGTTCTGCCCGCTCGATCTTTCTGGTCTAGATCGCAGTTTAACCTTCGCAACAACTTGAACGTCAACGAAGCATCTTCATCGCGAGAAGCAGCCACCATCGCCGGCGTGACACCTCGATGTTCGTCCACCAGCACATGGTCGCACGTCGCGCACCGCACCACCAACAGCTTCAAAGGCTCGTCCCGGCCGTTCTCCACGGCGTCGGAACAGATGTTCGCGATGGTTTCCAGATCTTGCTTATCCGTGAGATCATAATAAGGTACCCTACATTTGGGGTTGTAGACTAACCGCAGACAGACCTCCACTTCCCCCGTTTTGGTGTCGGTGGGAGCTAAGTCTTCCCCATCCAAACTATCTTCCGATCGTCGTCGAGAATTCTCCATGGCCAATCGCGCCGCCCTTTCGGGATTGTAGAGCTCGTGCCAATCTTGCAGCATCTTCCTCTGTAGACTACGTTTGAGCGGTATCTTCACGCTACCAATTAATTCAGGTTCTGAATCATCAAAGTCGTCGTCGTACAAACTAACGGTCAGCTCCTTCTCCGCAGCATCGTCGACGGGGACGTCGAAGCGCTCCATCCAGACCTGCGTGTGGCGGCGGTTTCGCGTGTTGCCGCGGTTTTCTGGCTCTCTCGCGGCGTCGACGCGACTCGTGTCCATCAGAGAAGGCGATGGGTGGTCTCTGTTGCGATTTTGAGTGGATTCGGACGCCGCGAGGTAGACCGGTCTTAACGATTGGACCTTCGTCGTACTCCTCAACACCTGAGGCTTGTCCTTCATGTCGTCCTTGGTTATTGACTCCACGACGAGTGTCGCAAAGGGGTCCGAACTGCCCGAGGCGAGCCCCTCGGCCACGTCCATCACTGGGAGCTCGCGCGCGCGCATCAAGCAGATCCGGAGCTGGTTCGGGGGCATATCTAACAAATCATCATTACCGGCCATGTCAAAGGGCAAGTCTAGGACGAAGTCGGGGTTGTGCTGCCTGCGAGGAAATCAAAATTCAGGGTCTCTCGGGGTCTGGGTGAGGTGCTGCTCGCTCTACGCCGTCGAGTGTATCTCTCGGAGGTCGTGGCCGAGTTTGGGTGCCGGGATCGCGAGACGCGGGTACGTGCCACTTGAGCGCGACCTCGCACTTGCCGCCCGTCTTCTGGCCCGCCTGCGTGTTTCCGAGAGTTAACATCGCGTCGTCGCGTCGATGGCGTCTCGGTGGCGTCCGGGCCCCAGCACGTGTCGCGTCGATGGCGTCGAGCGCGAGCGGTCGCCGCGACGCCATCGACGCGACCTCTGCCCTCCACGCCATCGACGCGAACGAAGCGAACGGACACCGGTCGCGTACCTGGTCCTTGAGCACGAACCACCGCCGCATCAGCTTCCTATCTGCTAAAGCTAAAAAGGGCAACGCGAACCGCCCGATCGGGTCCGAGGTCCCGTAGGCGTCGTAATCTAAGACCTCGAAGACGACCTTCGCATCTTTATCACTATTGGGCAGTTCAAAAGACTCGACCCAGACGGGATTTAAATCCTTCTTTCGCACCGTACTTTTGACCCGCTCGTCGCCGACGCGTATGACACAGTACGGATCGCTCGACCCACCAAACACTCCAGTATCCATGACCGGCAGGTTCCGACACCGCACCAATGTTATCAACAACGAGTTCGCTTCCTCGTCGGGATGGACCTCGTCCCTCGAAATTTGGTCCGGCAGCGTGACCACAAGATCGGGGTTGTGGACCCACCGCAAGGCGAACTCGATCCTTCCTAAATTCGGTCCTTTCTTCACTGTGACTTCGTCCTCGTCGATCGTCGACGATCGGCGCTGTTTTTTGCCGCCTTTCGACCGTCTAGAGCCTCGCTGCTGCTTCTTCACCGTTTCTTCCTTCTTCCCGTACCGTTCCGTCTTCACGCCCTCGGGAGCCAAGGCGTACCAGACCCGCTCGACTCGTCTCTCTTCCACCTCGTGCAAGTCTCCGAGGTAGACGCCGCACTGGCCTGCGCGGGGCATTTCCGTCAAATCCACTGCCCCTCCGTAGGCTATGGTACAGCTCGCACGCCATCGATGGCGTATGGGCGGCACCCGACGCCATCGACGCGACATGTCAACACACGGGCCAAGCTCGAGCGCGAGGTCCGAAACAGCTCAAACTCGACAAAGAGCCATGACAACGAAGTGAAGGCACCGCAAACCTTCAAAACGCCGAGAAACGGACCCATGAAGTCGTTCCCCTTCAAATCGTAGTCCTCGACGTCGACCTGGAGCGTGACCTGTGTGGACATCAAATTTTACGGCGCGTTCGTCGCGTCATCGTGCACCCGACGCACTGGTTGATTTCCACACTGGAGCGTCACGTTCAGTCCATCATCACAAGGGAAGCGGAAGGTCTGCATCCACTGGGGGTTGATGCTCTTCTTGACGACGCGGCTCTTGCGCTTCTCCCCGTCCAAGTTCAGGAACGCGCACGGGTCGCTCGAGCCTCCTCCACCAATCAAGTTTTTGTCCATCACGGGCAGGTTCTTGCCTCGTAATAAACAAACTAATAATTCATTGGCCTCCTTGGACAAGCAGTCCTCGGTCTCGGGCTCCGTAAATTCCTCAGGTAAGTCTAAAACTCGTTGTGGATCATGAGCCCACCGCAGCGCGATCTCGACCCAGCCCGCGTCCTTCTTATCTTCATCGACCAGCTCGAGCCACTTCCGGAAGGTCTCCCTCCCTTTTAAGTGAGACATGGCCACGTGACAGCGGCCCATGACCTGGTTCGCACTAAGTGCTTCATAATCCTCCATTTTCAAGTGCAATGTTTGTTGTTCATCTTCAATAGGTAGCTCGAAGTACTCTCTCCAAATTGGTCGTAAGTTCTTTTTTTTTGTCGTGCTCGTGACGCTCTCGCCATCTATCATAAAATGAACTAGGGGGTCCGAGGACCCGCCGGACGTGAGTCGCGACTTGTCCATGATCTTCAGCTTCCTCGCGCGCACGAGGCAGATCTGGAGGTAGTTCGCGGGTTGGTCTAGGAGGTCGTCGTGGTGGAACGCCTCGGGGAGCTGGATGACGCGCTCCGGGTTGTGCTTCCACCTTATTGCTAACTCTAACTTGCCCAGCTTCTTCTCCTCCTCCTTCTTCTTGGCGAGCGTGGGCTTCGGTCGTAACACGTGCCACCTGCGGTCGACGCGCCGGTCCTCGAGGGACTTGATATCGATGGTCAGCTGGCCCATGAAGTCGTTGCCTGCGCGCGGCGACGGCGTCGGGGCGGTGCGGGACTCTCCAGCGTGGCGACACTTCCCTGCGCGACGCCGTCGACGCGACGCCGTCGAGACGCGTCGATGGCATAGGGCGGTACGGCACTCTCGGAGACACCAGCGTCACGCCATCGACGCGACGAAAGGACGCCGCCCCGCGCCCATCAAATCATAATCCTCGACGACGACCAGCAGCTCCGCGTCGTCCTCTTCCACGAGCAAGGAATGGTACTCGGCCCACTGCGGATTTAAATCTTTTTTCTTGATTGAGCTAGTAGCCTTCTCTCCACAACACGAGAACGTGACGACGGGATCCGACGACCCGCCTTTGGACATGAGATGCCGGTCCATAACAGGTAACCCCGCGGCCCGCACCAAAAATATTTGTACCTCGTTCGCCGGCCGGTCGAAGTGCAACTCCGACGCTTGGAGTTCGGGCGGCAACGGTACCACGAGCTTCGGATTATGGACCCACCGCGCCGCCAAGTCGATCCTCCCCCGCTTCTTCACCGGCTGCTTCTTCTGGCCCTTCTTGAGCTTGGGACCAAGTAACCGGTGCCACTGGCGGTGGATCTTGCGGTCCGACAGCGTCTTGAGGGGTATGCCTGCGCGGCGCATCGTATTCACTGGAAGCGGTCCGAACGGCTCCCTCTCGTGTGATCATGAAGACGGCGTCGCAGCATCCTCACGCCATCGCCGCGACCGCGTACCCTCCGACACGCCGCACGGCCCCGACGCGGTCCGAACGGCCTCAAACTCGAAAAAGAAACCACCCCCGGCATCGTGAGATGGACACGAGTCGACGGGACGCCGAGATCGCACTCGTGCGCCCCATGAAGTCGTTGCCCGTCAGGTCGTAATCCTCCACAACCACCTCTAGTATAGCTTCGTCGTCTTCGACCGCCCACGAGAAACTCTCCAACCACACGGGATTGAGCTCCTTCTTTTTTTGTGTGGATTTGAATGACGTGCCCATGACATCTAAGACGACTATGGGGTCCGACGACGCTTTCCCCAACAGACCACTGTCCATGGCCTCCAGATCTCGCGCGCGCACCAAGTAGACATGGAGCTCGTTGGGCATGGCCTTCGTGCCCGCTTTTTCACTCGTTTTGAACTCCTTGGGCAGGTCGTAGGCTCTTGCTTTGTCGTGGCACCACCTCAGACACAACTCTACTTCGCCCCTTTCATGCTCGTCCTGCTCTCCACTAGTATTGCCTAGTTTGTGCCAGTTCCGGTGGGCGCGCTCGTCTTTTAGGGTCGCGAGCTTGACCTTCACGCAACCTGCGTGGACATCAACGAGTGAGTCAGGTTCACGCCATCTTCATGAAGACGTTCCTCGCTTCTCGCCGAGTGCGAGCGGTCGCGTCTCGCGATCTCGGACAAGGGCGCTTGCACTTGATTTCCACCCAGGCAGCAACCCATGAAGTCCGCGGCCCCGAAGTTGTCGTGGTCCATGACCTCGAAACTGAAGACGGAGTCCGGATCTTCACAAGGTAACTCAAAACGTTCCAACCAGACCGGCGTCAGATTCTTCTTCTTCACACTACCCTTCTCACTCTTCCCCTCGACGCTCATGCAGGGGAAGGGGTCGGCCGACGCCGGCCCCTTCCCAAACAACTTCTTGTCGACGGCGGGCAGGTCCCTGGCCCGGATGACCGTGACGCGCAACACATTGGGAGGCTTGTCGACCTTTTTTTGATAGGGCGTTTTTTGTTCCTCACACACGTCGTCGGCCCGCTTCGCGTTCTCCTCGTCCTTTTCCTGCTGGCGCTTGCGTTCGAGCTCCTTGGCGGCTTTCGACTGGCCGGAGAACCAGCCCATGGTGCGCGTCCGTCGGCTTGTGGCTGTGTGTGTCTGTGATGAGTCTAGCTGCTATGCCGCGACGCGTGGCCGGCGTACGAATTGCTGCGTCACGCGTGCGCGCTTCGAGTCGCTCGGTGGGCAGCTACCTCGCGACCGCTGGCCGCCCGACGAGCCTAGCGCTGCCCCAAAACAGATCGACCCAAGACGGCTGCAGGCGTGCTCCACGACCTACGCGAGAGGCGTCGTTGCACGTATGGACGAATCAATCAGCAACACCAAAAACCAAAACAAGAGGCCATCATCGCCCGATTATCAGCGCCGCGCACCGAGTTACGCTACAATTACACAGATTAGTGCATCGCTGCGCACGCCTTACCAGCACGCGAAGCGCAAAAACACGCCAGCTGTGCCGCATAACAGCAAAAACAAGCCAGGCTGCACAGGCTGCACACTGCTAAGCCATGCCCATCTCCAAGCGCCAGAAGAAGGTCTCCCTCACGAAAGTGAAGAAGCGGAGCCCGCCGCAAGCGCGCGCTTCCTACGTGGATACCGTAAGAAGCGCCGTCGAGCAGGCCCCGAACCTCTACCTCGTCGGCATCGACGCCTTCGCGCGGCCGACGCGCTTCAAGCAGTTGAGGAGTGCGTTACCACCGGGGTCCACGTTGCTGATGGGCAAGAAGACCTTGATGAGGGTGGCCCTGGGCGATAGTGACGAGAACGAGTTGAAACCAAACATCAGTCAATTCGCTGCCAAAATCGAGGGCGGCCACGCTTTGATAGCTACGAGTTGCGACCGAGGGGCTCTTGAACGGTGTTTAGCGGAAAGTGCCGCGCCGGAGTTCGCGACGGCCGGGTTTCCCGCGCCGTCGACGGTGACGCTGGAGCGGGGTCCTCTCGACGTGGCGAAGTTCCCCGTGTCCATGCTCGCGGCGCTCAAGAAGCTGGATTTGCCGGTGGAGGTGCGCGAGTCGAAGCTGGTGTTGATCGACGACTGGTCCTGCGCTTCCAAAGGGTCCCCGTTGACGGCGGCGCAGGCGAAGATGCTCTTCCACTTGCAAATGCGCGTGCACGAGTTCAAGCCGTCTATATTAGCTTCGTACGTCGACGGCGTCGTGGGGGACTAAGAATCGCAGTTAGACCCGGCAAGATCGATGCGGTCGAGGACCTCCCATTCCCCGACGCTCCGGCCCCGCATGTCGACGAGCGCGACGCCGTCGAAGACGACCTCCGCGCCGTAGCGCAACTGCGGGACCGCCGCTCGGATCGCCTCGGCGACGTCATTTGTGACGCGCGGCGAGCCGATCCAGTCGTAGACGAGGCTCGTGTGCGGGAAGCTCGAGCCGGCGGTGCCGAAGCTCTGCCCGATGGAATCACGCAGTTTTTCGTACGATTGGCTGCCGCGAAACATAACCCCGATCCCGCGCATTTGATACGGCGGCACGTCGCCGTAGGGACCGTAGAGATCCGGAGGCCCCGTGAGCCGGAGCGTTATTGGCCCGCTGCCCTCGACCGCATTCTTCAGCCGCGCGAAGCGTCGTCGCGCGTCTGACTCGTCCAGCCGCATGCCGTATTGCAGCGTGCTGTGCGCGAGCCTGCGTGATCGACGTCGCGTCGATGGCGTGAGGGTGGACATTTTGAACGTCGACGGACGCGGAGCCGGCACCACCGCGGACAGTTCGGATTGAAATTATTTATGACATTTTGGATGCCCGCGTCGGCCGCGAGGAGCCATAACGTAATTCCTGAGAATTTGAAGCCGTACGGCGTGGTTTGGTCGACGCCGTAGAGGCGTGTCAGCAGTGCACCCATGCTAACGTCGCCGCGTCGCCTAGCGTTACCGACGTGGAGAGCGCTCTCAGAGGTGGTGGGCGCAGATCTCAAGCACACGCGCTGTGAAGACGTGCAATGCACCGCAGCGAGTCGGATTGTACTCTGGGTCGTGCGTCGGGCGTCGGCGGTCCGCACAGCAGCCAGGGTGGTCCGCCACGCCAAAGTCAACGGAGAGCGTTTTGCTAGCGTCGTATTAACACACTAGCAACCAGCTGGGAGGGGTACGGGGGACCCCGCGACGTAACTAGCCTGAGCCTGAGCCAGCTCTCGACTTGCACGTAACATCGGCCCCTCGACTTGCACGCACACACGCCGTGAGCCTTAAAACACGATACGCATCGTCACGGGCTGAAAGAATATCAGTGCCATCGCAGATGGTAGCATGTTTCCAGCGTTTACAACTGTAAATTTACACCAGGATGGGGAACGCGGCGGCGCCGCCGGCCGAGGGTAGTCGATCCGACGCGACTACCTCTCACGAATTGTCCGTCGCCGAGGCCTCGCGCGCGTCGTAGGCCGCCGCCCACGTCGCTCGCGCGTACGCCTCGGGCTGTAAGCGCAGCTGGACCAGCAACTTCTGGATCTCGCGGGCCTCCGTCGCCTCCTTCTCGAGCTTTTCAGCCGTGGGCTTCTTGGACTTCAACGCTTTCCACGCGGCCTTATCAGTATGCGCGGCGATAAATGCCTCGGCGCCGCCCGCAGCGATCACGTCGAGCCCGCGCAGGTACGACGAGTAAGTAGTGGACGCCCTCATGCCCTTACCTTTAGAAGCCTTCACTATGTTCTCCGCCGATCCAAAGAGTTCAAGCGGGCCCGTCTTGTCCGCCCGAGCTTCGTCGGCGAGCGGCAGGATCCTTGCCAGAAACTTGTCGAAGGTCGTGGCGGCCTGGCCGGTCATGGTTCGGGCGTGCTCGAGCACCTTCTTGGCTTTCTCGACGTCCATATCCATAAATCCGAGCTTCTCGGCGGCTAGGTAGAACTTTGGCGGTTTTGGCTGTGTCACTAACTCTCTCACGGCGGTCTCCGTCGCCAGCGTGTAGGCCTCGCCAGCGAGTAGGCCGTCGAGCTTCTCGCGAACCGCCACAGCGGTGGGGTCTCCGGCGTTTGCGAGGCCGAGGAACGGATAAAAGTTTTGCCATTGCCGGCTAGTCACGGATCTTTTGATAGCATCAGCGAGGATCTCCGCGTCGAAGAGGTGGCCGCCAGCCTTCTGCGCCGGCACGAAGGCGGCCGCCACGATGGGATCAAAAACGGACCACTCCACGCCCTTCATGCTAAAGATTTTGAGGCGCACGTCGGCGACGGTCGCGGCGCACTTGTCCACCTCAAAGCCAGCCGCGACGCAGGCATCGTGGGTCCACGTGCCCAGCGCTTCTGAATAGTCGTTGTAGCTCTTGAGCGATGCCATATCGCGGAAGAGGCCCGCCTCTTCCATCGCTGATCGCACCACGATGCCGTCGTCGTGATGGTGGTCGAGGAGCGCCTTGAGCCAGCGGACATCCACGAAGCTCGGGCACGCGTTGCGCGCTTCGGCCAGCCGCGGCGCCGACGCGAGGAGGCCTTCCTCACAGGGCTTGGGGCAGCGCTTGGCGGCCTCCACAAACACGCACTCGAGCCCTGTAACTCTGCCCCAGTTCCAACCCGCTCCTAGAACGGCGACGCGCACGCCGTCGATGGCCTCCTTCTTGACGCGGCCTTTCAGGGCTTCGACGAGCGGCGACGGCTTCAAACTTTTCAACAGAGCAGCATGTGCGTTGTTGATGTCGTCGGCATCGGCAGGCTTGCCGCAGAAGAGGCCGAGCTCCGCGAGGGTGTCTCGGATCTGCTTCGCGATGTCGCCGTTGCCCAGGAGCCACTCGTATTGTGCGGGGCACACGCCCGCCGCGTGGCGCGCGGCCGCCACGATCCGCGCGTCTTCGAGCAGGTACATCTTCTTGTCCGAGGCCATCCAGAGCTCCACCAGCTTCGCGAGGAAGCGATCCACGGCAGACACCAACCGCAAATTGTACCGGCGCACCAGCGCGAGGACCTCGTCGGCCTTCACGGCTTTGTCACCGGTAAGCCGGGCCGCCTTCACTAACTCCGACGGGTTACCCTTGGTCACGAGCCGACGGTGTGCCTTCTCGACGACCTCGGGCTTCGGCATCGAGTAGGCTTCGCGCAGGACGCGCATGGCCACGAGCGCGTCCCGGAACGGCTTCGCCTCGTCCGACAAAAGCACCGTGTAAGACTGCGACGGCGGCAGGCCCGTCGCGACGCGCACGCGCGCCAGACGTTCCGGGGTGAGCAGGTCGAACGGCGGCGTCGCGTCGGCGTCCTGCAGCGCCTCCTCGATGAGCTCCGAGGCGTACTCGATCACCGTAAATCTAAACAATAGGCTGTTGGAAGCGTCCACGACGGCCTCGATGTCCTCGTACTCTATAGGTAGGTCGCCGCAGGCGGAGATTAACATCTCTATCATTTGCGGCTCGAAGCGCAGCGTGTAATCGGGGTCCTCGATGCACTCCTCGGGCTCGTCCTCGCCGATATCCATGGCGTCGACCTGCACGCAGGCCCGGCCTTCGTACGTGTAACCCTTGCCGCCCACCGACTTCGTCTTGTCCCAGGACTGGTAGACCGCGCGGAACATGTACTCCTGCCGACAGCCGATCTGCTTGTTGAACGGCACGATGCCTTGCGAAAAGACCTGCACCGCGACGATGAGCACGCCCTCCGTGGACAGGCCCGCCATCTTGCGCGGCTCGCGGCCGTAGCTCTTGATCGTGTGGACCACGACGAGTTTCTTCCGCGTGACGGGGCATTCCCGCCAGTGCACGCCGTCAGTCTCCGTAGCGACCCAGTGCACGCTCTTGATGAGAGAGGATCGCAGGCGCTTCTCCTGGCCCGTCGTCAGTTCCGGCCACCCCTTCGGAAAGTATCTGTAATGACTGGCGCGCTGAATGTCCCAGCCCTCGCCGATGCCGAAGATCCTGATGTACGTGTAGCCCTCGTAGCTCTCGATGTTGTAGGGCAGCACCTCGTCGAACAAGTACGCATCAAGCGGCCGAAGGCGCTTGAATTCCTCGAGGAAGTTGTCGTGCGCCTCCGAGGTCTCAAACACGATCGTCGAGCTGACCGCGTAGACGACGTATTCTCTTTTCTCACCCCGAGTCCGTTCTTTGCCCATCAAAAATAATGCGTTCACGAACTCTTGCCCTCCTCGTTCCGCGCCCTTGCACAGCTCCACGAGCTGGGAATCCTCAAAAGAGGCCCGCCACACTTTCTCCACCGTGAACTTGCCGCGGCGCACTTGGTAATCTTCAGCGAGGAACTGCTGGAAGTAATCCTTGAAGATAGGATACTTGTCCCAATCCGACAGGATAGCCACCGGGTCGTCCGTGCACGACGTCGTCGTGCCGTGCTGGACGCCGTTCGCTTCGACCACCATCGGCATGGCGCCATTGGACGCAGACACCGTCTCGTGCTGGCCGCCGTTCGCGTCGAGTATTATTACCTCTGTTTCTGGGACCGTCGAGGTCGCCGCCTCGCCGTGAGGGCCGCCGTGCGCGCCGAGCACCTCCATGTCGTCGCCCGCATCGACGCGCGGCATCTTGGGAGCAGGCTCGTCTTCGTTGCACGACGACGGTCTCCGCTTACACTTGACAGCACGAACCACGTTCTTGATAGGTCGAAAAACCTGTCGCGCGCCCCTCTTAACTAAATTGATGACGTTCCCTAAGTTGCTCCCGTCCGCCGCGGACGCTAAGCGATCCGCATACTCTTGGACTTCGTCGTCGTTATGATAGTCGCGAGGAGGAGCGTCCGGCGTCGTCTCCATGGGCTGCAGCGCCTCCTGCCGCGGCGCCTCCTCGTTTCGCGAACCGGAGAACAGGCTCTGGTCCGCATAATGCTGGAGCGTGTCTTTCTTTTCTTCCTCGTCCGACGGCGTCGCCCCGACCAGCGTCGTCGCCACGAAGATGCTAAAAATAACCCGCCACATCGTGCGCTTGGGCGGGCGAACTAGTGGTGCTTCGCGCAGCACCGTCACGAGTTCTTGGTTGATGTAACAGGTGTTTTACCTGAGTGGCCTTCGAGCTCTACTTGGCCTTGCAGATCTAATGCTAGCTGTAGAGGTCGAGGAAATGATGTAGTGATGTTGTAGTAAATGTGAATGAAGTAGTAGGGGATGTGGTAGCAGATGTAGTGCGATTTGTTTGATCTGCGCGGACGGACGCGATTAGCGCTCGGCGCGCCGCTCGACGCGCGAAGGGCTCTCAGAGAGGCGCCGTGCGGTCGACGGCCGTTATTTTGTCTCCGCGCGTCCGCGCTGCGGCTGCGGCCGGCGCGCAGCGCCGCGCGCCGCGCAAAGGGGCATAAGCTATCAAGCTGACCCTTGGGGCCTCAGGTGAGCTGAGAGCCAAGCCTGGCCAACGATGAAGGGCGTGATACGTACGCGGCGGCGCGCCAGTTATTCTTCGATGTGGTGGCTTTTTACGGCCGCCGGAGGCTTGACCACGCCGATGAAGGGCGCGGGTTTTGCTCCGGTGATTTCAGCATGCCCGAGCCGCGGGTGCGGCTCGTGGATCCATTGTGATGGTGCGCACGGCAGTTGAGGGCTGCTGTGAGCCTCTTGACGAGCTTGCTATGTCAGAGGGGCTGCCCCTCAATGGCAGAGCTCGTTTAGCTTTTGTGCTTTGGCTGCTCGCGGTGCAACCCGCACGAAAAAAGCGATCTCCTCACCAATCCGAGCCGACCGCTTCCTCCCCGAAACGTACTGTGGCCATCCAGTACTAATGGCTCTCTCTGGAGTCTGCAGCAGCACATCATCAGGCAGAGCGCTGGCGGCGTGCGCAGTAGCGAGGCCGTTGCGATGAATAGAACTCGTGCGAGGAGAGTTCATTCTAACGGTACGAGCAGCACTACAGTTCGTGCAGCTTGCAGGCGCCCGTAGCTGCTCCACAATAGAACTCTGGCTGCACATGCCAGGCAGCCCTCGCGGCGCGCATTCGGCGTCACGCTCATTTAGTGGTGCCGGAGGATCGGGGCATACCTCCAGCAAAAACACTCGCGGCACTCGTGATAGCGGTCGTCGCTCAAACTCCGCCGCGGCAGCGCCTCATCATGCGAGAGGCGCCCGAGAGTTGCGCACCGAGGGCAGACGTGTCACCGCGTCAGCGCCCGAGGTTAGCGCACGTTCTGCGACGGACTTCCGCTCGCGAATCGGCCACTAGCGGAACCTACCCCAGAGCATGCACGCCGCCGCGACAGCGATGACGTGGAGCTCCTCTCTCCGACTCGGAGCGCCCGTCGATTGAGCGTATACGGCACGTCGATGACGACGAGTCGACCGTACGCGCCTCGTGGGCCTGGACGACGTGCCCCTCTCGCTGTCGCGGGCCGCATCTGAGGCGCTGCCCTCGTGCGGCGCGAAGCCCTCGTAGAGCCGTCGGCGGTCCTCAACTAGAGCACTCTAAGTAAGCGCTGTACGCCGTCAAAGCCTGCCGCCACGGCGCCGACGGCGTAGTGCTACTACTTCGAACATCCGAGGTCGAGCCGAGGTCGCGGGCGCCCGAGCTACCACGAGGCGCGGCGACCTGGACGGCGCCAGCGCCGCGACTGGCGCGCGCTGGCGCCCGCCCGTGATGACCGACGCCGTCGTCGCGCTGCGACGGCCGACTCGTCCTGTTCGCATCACCGGCAGGTACTCGTCCAGTCCGCTTCAAAGGCTCGCGTAAGGAACGAAGTAGGTCCACCTTATGCAGACGACGGGGCGGGGAGGATTCCGAGGAAGACGCGCGAACAAAAGAGTGGGAGAAGGACGGCGCGCGCGCGTCGTAAGCGACCTAGTCCTGCCCGCCGCCCGACTCGCCGAGCCCCACCGCCTCGCGGAGTCCCATCTCGACGTCGTCCGCGAGCGCGTCCGCGGCCTCCTTGTGCTTGGGGAAGAACGAAGCGACGAAGAAGCGGAACGCCCTCAGGCAGGGGATCGCGTGGTCGCGGAGCGGCGGGTGCATCGTCATGTAGTAGCTGAGGAGCTGCGGGCCGACGCTCATGATCACGGACCGGAGGTACGCGAGGAAGGCTAAGAGTACGGACCGCGCCTTGTAGACCAACGCGCCCACGAGGAGGGCAAAGAAGACGCCATCAAGACTCACCGGAATCCCGAGGGCCTCCAGCGCATCGCGGCCGAAGTCCAGCACCCACGCGATGAGACACAGGAGGACACTGCTGACGGCGCGCGCCTCGCGGTAGACACATGGAGCTACCAATTTCACCGTGCCCCACACACCCAGTAGGGTCTGCCAGGCGTGGTGGTATCTAGCGGGCACGGGCGGCGGCAGGGCAGGATCCCACGTCGGCAGGACCGGGTCCCGCGCGGCGGCCCGCGGCGCGACGGCCACCACGGCGCGCGCGAGTAGAGCGAGGGCGATGATCGAGTTCGACTTCATCTTGGCGGGCTTGTGGGCTACGCGGCGGCACCTTGTGAGGAGGAGGAGGTCGTCCTGGCGAACTTCGAGGCGACGGGACGGACGGCGGGCGTCGGCGGCCTGCGTCGGGGGCGCGTCCGGCTCGCGTGGGGGTACAGGCGGCCGTCTCGCCGCGTACGGCGGCGGGCGACGCGCGGCGCGGCCCCGTACGCCGCGTTGTCGCGAAAGTGTGTCCAGAGCTTTACAGCGTTTGGGCGTCGGTCGCGCGCTCTTCGCGCGCGATTTTTGGCCTCTGGCGGTCGCACGTGAAGAGGTCTACCCTGCGCGACGCGTGATACTTTAGGCGCGGGCGTCCGGACGGTGTTTTGTGGCGTTTTTGTCGAGCTAGAACGACGCCGCGCGCGCGGTCTGACTTTTGGGCTCAGTGGCCCCGCGCCACGGCTTACGAGGCGACGAGGAGGACTGCGATGGCTACTTAGACAGCTCGCGGCGACGGGATGGTCTTCTTCCGATTTCGCGACGTCCACGACGGCCGCGCGACGACGTCCGATTTTCGATCGATGAGACGACCACCGGGCAGTACTCTCCCGACGCGTCGCTCGCCACATCATCTATGCTGTGACGGCCACTCGCGCATTCGTCTCGAGCTAGCGGTCTGTAACACACTAGCAGCCCACCAACTCACGACTTGCATTTGCACAAGTAAGCCGTGAGCCTTATTAACACAATACGCATCGTCGGCCTGCCCTAATCCAGTGCCATCGCAGATTATGGCTCTCCAGCGATTACAAACACAATGACAGCAGCTCTCTAGTTTACAGCCCTTTGAAGACTCCGCAGTGACAGCAAAATGATTGCAGCACGACCCACCCGCCGCTTCTCCGTGCTCGAGGCCGAACCGCGCGTCGACGCAACGCAAGACCAATCATCGTCAAAACCGCAGCTGATCATCAACAACCTGCGCTTCGACCGGCCCGCGCCCGTGCGGCTCTTGCGCAACGCGTTTTATGTCGAGGACGCAAGAGCAACGTTAAAGACGCGAGGCTTCTACGCCGTGCCGACAGCCCTCGACCGGCACGCGCTCACCCGCCTCGCGCCGCGCGTCGCCGTCGCCGGCGCGTCCCTCGACGACCTCGAGGCGCAAGATGACGCGCTCCTCGCCGCTCTCCTCGCGGAGGCATCGGCGGAGGCGCGCCGGGCGACGGGCCTCGAGGCCTTCGCGAGCGACGTCCAGTTTCGAGACACGCAGCACCGGACGTCGTCGGCGCCGTTCCTGAATTTTCATCTGGATGCGCCTGTGGTGGGCAGTGCATAAATCATCATGGCCTCCACCCACGAACCGACTCACTGGTTTATTTGTGCACAGGTGGTGGGCCTCTTCGCGGTCGTGTCGTTCATGCGGACCTTCCCGCACCTCGACGCGCGCGGCCTCGGCTGCGCGACGCTGGGCGAGGCCCTGGGCGACGCCCGCGTCCGGAAAGCGCTCGCGACGAGCGGCATCGCGTACGACGTCGCGAATAGGGCGCCCCGGCCGGGCCAGGTGAACTACTGGCTCCAGCTGACGGACGCGTGCCCGCGCGCGGCGCCGCCCCTCGCGTTCTTCGACAAAGCAACGAGCTCTGCTTTATGCGACGCCTGCGCGCGCCAGCGCGACGCCTGCTCCGAGCATCCCGACGACGGCGTCCGTGCGGCGCTAGACGCGGCTTTAGATGCGGCCGCAGTGTTATCCGAAGCGCGGGGCCGGGCCCTCGTCTGGGACGCGTGCCGGGTGCTGCACGCGGCGGTCTACCTGCCCGAGCGCGCTGCGCCGCGGTGCTCCGTCGAGGTCCGCTGCTCGGTGCTGTCGCGGGCCGATGTCCTCCGCCACCGCGACGCGCTCGTGGCAACTATCAAAGAGGCGATGTAGTTGTATGTAATTACTGTAAACACTCATGAATCAGACGCCCCCCGGCTCACGCGTCACGACGATGTCGCCCGCCTCCTCCGCGTGGCCGAAGGAGCGCATCTCCTGCAGGAAGACGTTCTGGTGCCAGGCCGAGCAGGGGTAGCAGACGCAGTCGAGGGCGAGCTTGCACGCGTCGGACCCGACGTGGTCCCCGAAGTAGTCGTCCAGGTGGTCGTCGTCGATGCCGTACGCCTTGATGATCTTGTACCGCTGGTACGCCGTCAGGAACGCTCCGGTGAAAGAAAAAATGACCGGGGAGACGCAACAGGCGAGGGGCGCCGGCCACGCGCAAAAGTAAAAGGGCCAGGCCAGCGCCGAGCACGCGACGCAGCCCTGCGCGCCGAGGTTACAGCAGCAGGCGGGCGGCCAGCAGAGCTCCTCGTGCCGCGCGCTCGTGACCGCCTGCCCGAAGGGCAGGAACGTGATGTGCGTCGCGATCGGGAACAGCAACGGGAAGCACGTGCACTCCTGGAGCGGCGCCGGGCAGCACTCGCGCAGCGGGTCGACGTGCTTGCACAGGAAGCACCCCAGGTGCCTGTTGCGGTAGAACCATGGCCCGTCGACCCGGATCTGCTCCCAGCGCATCTGCGCCAGCCGCGGCTCGACCTTGAAGGGCTTGATCTCGATAAACCCCTTCATCCAATCCAAAAAGCGGTTGCCGCACGCGCAGGGGCAGACCGTCGACGGCGCCTCGCTGTCCTGCCGCCGCAGGTGCCGGTCGTCGTCCTTCTTCGCGACCGCCGGCGGCGTGTCGCCCTCGTCCTTCTGTTCGCTGCCTCCCCCAAACAGGCCCATGGTATGTCTTTGGTTTTGTTGATGTAAAGGCGTCGGGCGGGGCTGCGTTTTGTCACAACCGTCGGCGGTTCCCGCGCTGCGTGTGGTGAGCTGCGTGCGGTGGGCAGCGCCGGCAGCGAAGACGGCCACGCTGGCCTGGCTGCTTTTGGCTATCCATGAGAAAATGTCGCTAGAATGCGCGCGGGCGGGCGGAACGACTCCGTGCGGGTGTTGGAGCGGTGTGGAGATCGCAACGGCGTGCGATTCGATTTTCAAAAACCCGTCTCTCAGCTTTTTTTGTGGGGCAAAACCACAGCAAAACACATGCTAAACTGCAACATTTGCAGGTGCTGAGGGGCGCTCTGCTGTGCAAAAGTCGACTCAGTGCTGCACGCCATCGCTGCGGCCCTTACGGCGCGGCAAAGCAATGCGTCACGCAGCAGCCCTATTGTGCCTCGTCGTCGCGCAAGTCAATGCGCTTGCGAAGTCAACCCTGGGAAACACCACGGTCTACCAAACATTACCTAGACTCGAATGCAGCAAGGAAACCGACACAAACAAGGCCGCGGACGTCCGCGCCGAGCCGATCATTTTATTCGTCCACGTCTTCAAGGCGGCCGGTTCTTCCGTGAGAGGCATTTTCCGGAGGTACGCCGAGAAATGCAATAAGCGGTGGGCTTGTCTGGTCCAGTGCCAGAAGGGAGGGTCACCAAGAGGTGCAACAGTACCCTGTAGACTAAGGGATATGGTTAACCTCAACAGAAGGCTGGTCATGGGCGAGGACGGGCGACGGAACCCTAGGACGGAGAATTTGGGGGCTTTATCTCATATTGTGGGAGGCCATTTTCACTATGGGATGCATATGTTGGTACCACAGGGTAGAAAGTACTTTTATGTTACGGTAGTACGAGAACCCCTCAGTACGTGGATCTCGGGCATGAGGTACCACGACAAGTCCCTGAAAACGGTGAGTGATGTCCGCAATGCGGCCGAGAAATTTTTACCTCGAGGGTCGAACCGCTTCTATCAAAATGGTTTGACGTATCTGGGGGCCGTCGATGGTCTACCGTTGGGGCGGAAAGCCCCGATGCCCGAGAAGCTCGTGTCGGCTTTGTCGAATCTGGAGGATGTCCTGGTGGTTGGGGTTGTTGAAAGTTGGCCGACCACTATAGACCTGTTGCAGGCCATGCTTGATCCCACGGACCAGGCGCCGTACATGTGGGACCGCTACCGTGATAGTGCGAGGAAGAAAAACACGGCCTCGAAGTCCTTGTCGAGTGTGGACATCGTTCGCGATTTAAGAGGAGACGGCTACTGGGCTGATATAAGGCGGTTCCTGCTGTTCGAGAACGCCTTCTACGCCGCGGCGTTAGCTCGACACGCGTTGGCCTGCAAGCACGTGCTGGGCGATGATTGTAGATTAAGACGCCAGGGCGGGCTTGGCGTGTTGTTGAACGCGTCGCTGCTGGCCCCTGATTTACTGCCGTCGGGCGACATCGACGCGGCGTCCCTCGTGAACAGCCAGCCGGAGAAACCGCGCGTCTCGCCCGTCGCCGTCGCGTCCGCGCACGCGGTGCTGGCGGAGGCGAAACGGCAGCGGGCGGTCCGGGACAAGCAGCGGAAGAATCGGAAAAAGAAGAAGAAGCTCCTGCCCGTGACGGAGCAATTATAGTGTAGTGAATTAACAGTCGTGTGAACTAGTCGCCCCTGAGCGTGTCGCTCGCGTACGAGTAGACCTTCGCGGCCTTGTCGCACGTGTAGGCCGCGGCGGTCCGGGCGCCGGCGGCCGTCGTGCCCGCGATCTTCCGCGTCAGGGAGCGGACGTCGATCTCAGCCTTCGACGCCGTCAGCGCCCCGGCGCCCGCGCCGGTGGCGGTGAAGCCTGCGCCAACAGCGAAGCTCTTGGCGAGGCTCCCGAACATGGCCATGGATTGCCAGGACGCCATCCAGGAGCCCGCCGCGACGCCGGCCCCTTGGCTCGCGGCGAACCAGCCACCGGCCACGGGCCCGGCGGGCGTCAGGCCGATGGCGAGGAGAAACGTCGGCAGGACCGCGGCCCCGGCGAGTCCTCCGATGCCGAGCCCGGCGCCAATTTTCTTCGAGGCCACCGTCGCCTCGTTTACTGCCTTGTCATCGGTCGCGCCAGCGCACGCAGTAGGGGTACAGCAAAGGACAATTACCAAGTACTTGATCATTATATCGAGTCGTGGGAGAGGGCGCTGCGTCTGAGGCGAGGAGGTGGATGTGGGAAACCCCTAAGAATCACCACGAGTGCGCCGGAGTCCCCAGCGGAGGGTCCGGAGGCGAGAGTGCTGATCACAGTGCCTAATAATTTCAATTAATTAATTGTTACTCCTACTCACCGCCGCCCCCGCCCGCGAAACGCCGAGCAAACAGCAGCGACCGTCAAATGAATCACCCCCAACGCCACGAGCGCCCCCAAGTGTGGCCGCGTCGCGGCCAAACCGAGCCGCTCGAGCACCTGGTCGCCCGTCACGACGGAAGCCAGGCCGCCTAATCGAGGGCCCGTGCCCCGCTGTAGCGTCGCGCCGCGGAACTCGCGGTCGATGAGCCACGAGACGCCCCACTTGATTGGGGATAGAGCCGCCACGGGTTTCTTGCGAGCCTTCTCGCCGGCGGGATTGATGATCCCCGTGAGCATGTGGATGACCGTCAGAGGTACGCCCAACGCCAGCGCGGCATCCGCGTCGGGCGTAGCCGCACCGACGGCCAACCCCAAAGTAGACGCCGCGACGGCGACCAACGCCAGCGGCCCCGCCGGTCTCGACCGTAGACCCCCTGGTGTGGAGAAATGTAGCCCCCAGCCCATGAGCGCCGCGAAGAACGCGTCCAATGGTAATTCAGCTAGAGCTTTGGCGAGGACGTACTCGGCGCCTCCGTACGAACCTCGTTCCGTCTCGCGGGCCACGACGGGCCGCTCCTTCGCGAAGAGATCCAGCGACCGCGTCACGCCCAGTACTGCGGTAGAGATCGCGGCGAAGCTGAGCATCGCGACGCGGTCCGCGCAGCCGTCCACCGATAAAATATTCCCGTCGCCGCGGTATCTTCGCCCCAATACGGCGCCTAGGCCCGCCGTCGCGAAGAGCCGTAAAGCGTGCACTCTACCATCTCTCAGGACCTGGCGCCGGGCCCGTCCGAACAGCAACGAGATGCGCTGGAGCAAGGGAGCGCGCTTCGGCGGCCTCAAGGCTCGAGATTGGTCATCACTCGCCGGCGGCTCGACGAGAGAGGCCTCGGCGAGCTTCTCCACCATGCTTTTATCAGTAACAATTTCGAGGAGCCACTCCGCCGGGTTCGTATAAGGCGGCAAAGCTTCGCCCGTAATACGCTTCACGAAGAGTGGGACGTCCTCCGTACTTCCAGCGTACGCGACCGTGCCCCCCGGCGCCAGTAACACGACGGCATCGATGTGCTTCAACCAAATCTTCGACGACGGCTGATGTAATGAGGCAACCACCGCGGTATTGCCTGAAACGGCCTGCTCCTTCAGGGCCCTTACGACCCGCTCGGCCGACACTCCATCGAGGCCCGTGGTCGGCTCGTCGGCGGCCAAAACGCGCGGCTCCGGAGCTCTAGCTAACTCGACAGCCACACATAACCGCCGCCGTTCCCCTCCACTAATCGCTGCACTTGAACCACCATCATCGAACCCGACGCGCCGGTCGGCCACGTTCATAAATCCGAGTCTCCTCAGCTCGGCGTCGGCGCGCTTCCGTCGCGTAGCCTTGTCGACGCCAGCTAGAGCCAAGGCGAACTCCAGCGTTTCCCGCACCGTCAACATCGCGAACAGGGCACCGTCCTGCGCCAGCAAGGCGGCGTCGCCATATCTCAAACCCTTTACCTTAGTACCGGCCGCTTGCACATTTCCTGATGATGTTGCGCGGCCCCGCGGCGCCGCATTGACCAATGCTCTTAAGAACGTCGACTTGCCCGCGCCGCTCGCGCCCAGCACCGCCGTGACGCTGCCGGCCCGCGCGACGCCACTCGTCGGTTTCAATAAGAACTGGCGGTCCGGGCGCTGCACGCTGAGGTTGCGCCAGGTCACGTCGGCCGCGGCCGTGGCGCAGAGTGTGAAGACGAGCATTGAGTGCATCTCTGTGTGTTGGCAGCAGCCTCAGTGCACTGTGAGGTTTTGCTGAACAGCTGTACCGCAGCGGTGATGCTAAATCGCTCGCACGCTCGGTGCACGTGTCAGCAGTCCTGGTAGTGATGCCAGCCAATCTATCTGATTGTACACCGGCGCTAACCGCAAGGCAGAGCAGCTGAAGGCTGAAGCTAGCTAGCGTGTCGACACACACTAGCACTAGGCCCGCGCCCTATACACGGGTATGAGAAGCAATCGAACTATCATGCCGAGCGCTGCAAGCTTGGGAACACCTCGCGAAAACCCCGCACCTCTCACACAAATCTCAAAGCCATCTCAATTATTTTGGCTGCGGCTGGGAATCCAATCACGGCACGCGAGGGCAGCCATCACTCGCTTCTCCAGCGTCGGCGCTCGTTGGCTCCCAGCGAATCAAGGTGAACGGGCAGCGCCCACGCCTACGACACTGCATAGACCACTTCCAAAGCAGCCCACGCCAGCACTTGCGCCAGACGCGAGACCGCACTACCAGAGACGATGCGCAACAACCTCACGCGCAGCCTCAGCGGCCAGAGCAACCCCACGCCGCGCTCGACCCGCAATAGCATTGATGGCGACGGCGGCGGCCAGCTCCGCGTGAGGATCGTGAAGGGCCGCGGATTAGCTGGAGAGCCCTGCATCACGACGTATTACGGCGAGACCGAGGTCGCGCAGACGTCGGAATGGAACGTTACAGTAATAGCGACGACGGCGGGGCCGCCGAGCCACAAGCCCCATAAAAAAATAACGCTCGAGCTGCGCGAGAAGATGAATACGTTACGAGACCTCAAGGACGTGTTCGAGGGCCACGGCGCCGCGCTGGGGACGGTTGTGGTGGATGTCGGGTCGTTGGGTGGCCTCGACGAGAAGTTACGAATAAGCAGACAATGGTACGAGGTCCGGCCACCGCGACGCACCCCAAGACACGGTTCCAATTACGGCGAGATCGAAATTGAAATCGACTACCAGCCCCCCAAGAAGCTGCAGAGCTTCGGCAAAGGGCTGTTCTTGGACGCCGATGCAAGATCTTTGAATTTATTGGGTGCGCTCTTCGACCGCTGCGACACGAGTCAAAATGGCGAGTTAGATAGGGATGAGTTTAGACGCTTATATGCGAAGCTGCGAGATCTCGACGCGGTCTATTCAACAGATAACACAATGACGCCGAACCACGCCGCGCAGCTGTTCTTTCGGGACGCCGACCTCGACGGCGACGAGCACGTGACGTTCGACGAGGTGCGGGCCGCCGCGAAACGGGCGGCTCTTCGCAAACTACCTAGTCGCGTAGATGTCGTCGTCCATTCGTGTCGGGGCCTGGCTCATGCTTCTTCGGTGAAAAAGAGTACGTGGTGCTGTACCACAGACGCTTTGGAGGAACACACGTTCTGCACCGTGTCGGTTGATGGAGAGCCCTTTTCTCGTAGTCGGTTGAGATCCTATACGCACTCACCCCGATTCGAACATTTAACCAGTATAGAGGACGGGAGTCATCACGGCGAGGTCGTCTCTGTCGAGTTGTGGCATCGCCGGAAGGGCAAGGCCCCCACACCTCTCGGAAGATGTGATGTCGATGTCCTAGCGGAGCAGCTAAGAGCGGAACCCATATCAGGTGCCCAGTACCAATCAAGTAGCGCGTGGCACCGCGTCGCGCCGACCGACGGCTTTGGCGACGTCCAGGGTCAAATCATGATTGAGATTAGGTTTTATCCGCCAAAGGACACGCCTCGGGTGCGCGGCGGCCACCACGCTTCATTAATGTCTCCTACAACTTTGAAAAGGCATGAAGAGCAGGGTAGGCGGCAATTTGACAAGTTCTGGCCGTCGTACCGCGGGCCGTGCGCCGTGTCCTTCGAGCGGGATAGTGGCGAAGGTGTTGGGGAATTATTAGATGACGCGGTGGGCGGTCAAGTCGGCGCGTTGGCTTATGCTTGTAGCTGCTTGGGTATTCACTGGTCCGAGACTCTCGCCAATACAGTGAATGCAGGTGTACCTACAAGACCGGGGACCCATGTCGGACCCCAGAAGAAGCGTTCGACCCAAAGATGGCTCGTGTTGGGCCCCCACGCGGACCGACCCGGGGCTTCTAGGGATGCTTATTTAAGGTATAGTGTGAGGAGCTGGAAGGGCGCCGACGCCTGCCACGCCGCACCGGACGAGCCCTCGGAATCGTTTTCCATCCACTGGCAGGACTCGTTCGTTTGTGGGGATAGGGCCGACAGCGAAGGTATCCTAGAAATTGAATCGAAGAAGAACGGGAGTGTAGAGCTCAAATTTGCGACACGTCGAGAGTTGTATGCCTGGTGGAAGCGGCTCCAACGGATTCAAGAGAGAACCATGAAGCTGGGGCTACCGGCGGACCCCCGCGCGCAGAAATTTTTACCAAGACACTGTAGAAGCAGTGAAAGGACGGGTTCGTTAGACGCCGTCGCCGAGTCAGTCAGTGACGCGGCGGAGACGGCGGCGGCGCACAACGACCCGGACTCGTGGGTCGTCGTGCAGCACTCCGCGAAGCGCATTCTAGAAAGATTAACAAGGCCTCCTCGCGTCGATACAGCTTCGTTAGGTCCTCGAGTCTTCGCCTATCGCGTGCGCGACGCCATCGGGCAGCTCGGCGAGATTTTAACCTATGAGCGGGACGACGTCATGCTAGAAACGCAGCGCGAAGGGCGGAAGGTGTCGGTCTCGTGTTGGCGCCACGTCGAGCAGTGGCATCCTGGTCATGGAACTACGAAGATGGGCGAGCACGACGTCGTCGTGTACTGCTCGTCCACGCGCTCGTCGGGACGATCCGACGCGATTTCTTCGGGAGCGCTTACGATATGCTGTGAATTGAGATGTGCCTTGGTAGCCGTCGACTTTCTAGGGTCCGGTGGGTCCCAGGACGCCGGCGCGTCGTTCGGGTACTGGGAGCGCTATGATCTGTTGGCTGCCGTGAGGTACGCCAAACGTCAGTTCCCGTCAGCAAAAATCGTATTGTGGGGCGGCGCGCCGACGGGTGCCGTAGCGTGTGCCTTATATGGTTCTGTGAGGTTAGAAGTCGCTCTCAAGGGCATGGTCTTGGACGGCTGCACGACGCAACTAAAGACGCACGTCTCCGACCTAGCGTCGCTAGCGATCAAGCCTACTTCTGCTTTAAGGAGGAAATTAGTGGATGACGTCGTAGCGTTGGTCGATGAAAGGTTCCGGAAGAGAACAGGCGTCGGCCTCAAAGCCGTGGCCCCGCAGACGGCGATAACGAACCACGCCTTTTCCGGTACTCATTGTCTACTGATCGGTGAGAAAGACGGCGACGTCGGCACCGCGCGCGACGCGGACATTTTGCACTCTGAATTAGACAGAGCCCATCCTGAGGATGAGCACCACTTGCTGTTGGTCGGTGGCCGGACGGCGCGGCAACGGCACAAGAAGCGCCACGTGCCCCAGGCGTTGGAGGCCGTGGCTGCCTTTATTGGGAGAAGGTTCGACGTGTCCAAAGGGTTCCGGTACTTCACGGTGAACTCGCCGAAGGGCATTCGAGATCATCTATTACATAGTGTGCCCCCGTGGGACCACTCGGATGCGGACGACGCGGATCTCCGGGCGACGCACGAAGCATTATCAAGAGAGGAGTCGATTCTACCTTCTGAACCGTCGTTCCGGGCGCCTCTGCAGCCTTCGGAGTCGAACGAGGAGTACAAGGAGTACCACGGCGACGATGATCCGGGGCCCGGTCGTACTCGAATAGTGAAGGCGATTTCCTTCCACGAGTAGTGACGTCCTTCTTGAGCCTTTTCGCTTGCACACTATAAGCTCTGTTTCTTCTCTTCCAAGAATGCTAAGTAGTACACAACACAATCCTTAGACTAGTCCATGTGGTGAACCACGGCTCGCGTAGCGCGACGCGTCGACCGTGGCTAGAGAACGGCCGGCGGCGCGTCCTCCATGGCCCGCAGCAGCGAGTCGTACTGCGCCTGCTTCGCCTGGAGTTCGCGGCGGACGCGCTCGAGCGTCGCCTCCTGCGTCTCGCCTAGCACGAGCGTCTCGTACTCTTCTTCGCTGGACGACAGGTCCGACGCGTCCGCGCGGCGGCCGCCGCGGCACCGCGACTGCCGCTGCCGCTCGCGGGCAAGAAAGTGCGCGTCGCCGTCCTCGCTGTCGCTGCAGGACTCGATCCAGTGGTTCTCGAGCCGCTCGGCGCGGATCCGTCTTCTAAGCCGCCGCTCGCGTCGCTTCAAGACTAAGCGTTGCGCCTCGATCTCGAAGCCGAACGTCAGCATCGACGCGGGGATGGCGACCATGGCCACGGAGAAGATGGCCGTGAACGCGCAGAGCGATTTCAGGAGAGTCGTCAACTCACCGTCGGGCTCCCCTTGCCCCGTCAGCATGAGGATCGACAGGTACATCGTTGCCGGGATGGATTCGAAGCCCTCGGCGCCCTTGCCGCTGTAGTAGAGCAACGAGGACGTGAACAGCACCAACATCCCCGCTAGTACTCCGGCGACGCCCAGGATGTGCATATTCACATAGAAGACCCGTCCCAGCGCGTCGGCGGCGCCCGTGAACCGGTCCGTCTTGAGGATGCGCAGGACTCGGAACGCCCTCACATATGCGGTGGAGGGCACATCTCCGTCCTCGCCCCAGTAGATAATCTTTTCGGCGATCCATGGCATGAAGGAGCAGAGGTCGACGATTGATGCCCAGCTCGTGACAAAGCGCCACCGGCCGGCAGTGCCACGATATTTTGCTCGTTCGCCCGCGACGGCGAAGCGCGTGATGTACTCCTGTGTGGAAATCAAATTTCGGGCGCCCCACGCCATCGACGCGATATTTTCTCCGTAGCTGCGTCTGCTCGATGGCGTGAAAATTCCAGTAACTCACTGGCTGATTTCCACACAGCTCTCGACTGCGATGAACAGCAGGGAGGACACCGTCTCGAAAACTTTCGCGGCGGCTCCGTGTTGCGCCGCCCACTCGTCGACCGTCAGCATGACGTCTACGTATACGTTGGCCAGGATGAGCAATAATAATGCTCGGTCGAAGAGCACCGACCCGTGCGCCCTGCTGCTGCTATTGAGAAGTTGGTATAACTTCGAGTGCTGCACGCGCGTCGCTGGCGGCGCAGTTGCTGGCACGCTGCCGTACAGGTGTCGATCGCTTTTTGCCGCCGCGAGGCGCGTGCGCGTGCGCGCTACTGTGCTGCTGCGTGGTGGATCCGTGGATGCGAGGGGAATTTCAGCAATCATATGGCTGCAGTTGATGGAAAATATGAGCGATGTTGCTCCGAGCACTGAAAGAGCACGGCTGGTGGCAAACTGCTGAAAAACTGAGGCTGCGGCTGGCTCCTACCACCGAGGTAAGGTACCATACCGATACCTTACCCGGTAAAACCGCGCGAGAAAGCACTTGTAGTACGATAAATATCTAAGTTAAACAACCACTCTCACGCCTTCGCCGGCCGCCGCGGCGCGTTCGCCCGCAGCGCCTCGTCGCGCTCGCGCTTCCGCTTGATCGACCTTTCCAGCCACGACACGCGGACGGCGTGCTGGCCGAGCTGCAGGTTCAGCGTCTCCTCGACCAAGGATGGAGTCAATACTCTCTCTTCGGTCGCGAAGGCCGCCGCGCGCCACGCCAGCGCCAGCTTCGACAGCTCTCTGGCCGAAAACCCCTCGCATTTATCTGCCGCTTTCACAATCATGTCATCAGTAACACCGTCATCGAGCGTGATGGGCCGCGGCGCCGGTTGAAAAAAGCTCGTCCGAGGCAAGGGCTCGAGCATCTCCCTGACGTACTCCTGGAGGATCTTCCGACGCTCCTCGAGGGCAGGCAAGGGAAACTGCACGATCTCATCCACTCGATCGTGCACGGCACTGTCGAACAGCTCCGGTAGGTTGGAAGCGAAGACGACCATGACGTCGGTAGACGGCGTCCCCGTCCGGAACAGAAACGCGTTCAGCGCGTTCCGCGAGTCCTCGGACATGTCCTTACCTCTCTTCCTTACAAACGCGTCGGCCTCGTCGATCAACAGTAGTAGACCGTTCGGAGAGCGCTGCGCCCAGTCGAACATCTTGTGCATGTCCGTCACGGCGTCTCGGCCGAGCGGCGCGACGTCGCCGCCACTCATGACGGCGTAGTCCATCCTCGCGTGTGCGGCTAGACGTTTCGCAAATAATGTTTTGCCCGTGCCCGGCGGCCCGACAAATAAGCAATGTCGGAACGGCGTTTTTGCTGCTCTCGCACCGTTCGCCTGCGCCGCGATGCGCAGCAACGATCGCTCGAGCTTACTCTCAAAGACCGCGCCCTTCATGAGCAGTTCGGGGTCCACAGCTTTTGGCTTTGTCAAGGAGCCTAGACGAGACACTACAGAACCAACAGTACCACTCCCGACAGCAGAAGAGGCGACAGCGAACCCGCGAGACGTTTCTCGCACCAAGGCGGGCTTCCGCAGTCGCGCGTCCACATAATCACCGACCACCGCCGCGAATTTCCGAGAAAAATACACCCCGGCCGCCGTAGCTGTTAACACTCCAACAACAGCCACGGCTCTATCGCTATCATTCAACAACGCATCTTTCGCAGCACCGAGATTCGTCAAAGTCGCCTTCACGGCCTCCAAAGTCGTATCGCGAGCCACCTTCGCCTTCTCTTTAATTTGTTCCAGCCTCAAATCCTGGTTCTGGCTTTCCGCTCTAGCTGTCGCCTCGGCACTCGCTTTTACATATACGGCGTCCGTGGTCCGTTTGAGCTCCTGCTCGAGTTCCGCCGTTTTTCGCCGCTCCTTCTCTACCCTTAACTCGTGGGCCTTCCGGTCCTCCTCTTCGCCCGCCTTCAACTCCTCGTCGTACCTCGCGCAGGCCTCGTCCGTTTTTTCCTTCAACTTAGCCTTGAAGGCCTCGCGCCGCTGGAACTCCTCCTGCTTGCGTTTCCGCGTCTCCTCCGTCTCCTGGCGCTGCGCCTGGCGCGCTTGGGCTTGGGCTTGCCGCGACGCGGCCTGGTACTCGGCCTGCCGTTTGCGCTCCTCGGCCTGTTTGTCTTGGGCGTCTTTCAATTTGTACTGCAAATCAGATTTCGAGAGGTTTTGTCTTGCTAATTCAGCCACCTCCTCGATACTGGTCGGGTCGAACTGAGCTTCTTGGTAGATGCCGGGCGGCTTCGGCGGTTCACTCGGCGCGTCCTCCAGCCTCGCGATGCGGTAGCGGCAGGCCGCCGCGGCCGCCGTGGCGCCGGTCACGTAGAGGCCGCGGCGCGCTGCTAGGAGGCGGAAGGCCATCGCGTTTTGCTGGCCTGGTCAGCAGGCGGCGAGGTTGATGCTTGCGTTAGCCGTGCCGCTCCTCGTCTGGGGTTTTGTGGAGTGGGAGATGCGCACGAATGCTGCGCTCTGTTGCTTTTTTGTGCACTCTGCTGCAGCGCTTGGCTCACAGTGGCGCCTCGCCTTTTCACGATAGTCGGCTAGCGTGCCGTAAGATACTAGCAATTTATCCGCGCACATAACTCTCATCTCCGCGCACTTTCCAGCACCGTAACAATACCGGACGCTCGCACTGGTCGGGCGCAACAGAAATACCCCCGCGGTACGCCATCGCCGCGACTCAATACAAAAGATACGGTGGCCCGGGCCTACTTAGGCGGCGCGGCTTCAGCCTCTAGAGGGGCGGCCCGCCCGGCGGCGGGCCCGGCACGCCGGAGACGTCGCAGGTGCCGTCGGCGTTGCGCGGGAAGTTCGCGCGGAAGGCGGCGTACTTCTCGGGGAACGTCTTGTAGAGGTAGTCGTCGACGGCCATGGCGGCCTCCTTCTCCGTCGGGAAGAGGCCGATGGACTTGTACTTGCCGTCGCCGCCGAGGGACACGGGGTTCGTCGCTCTAGCTTGCCACGGGTTCTTCTTCGAGGGAGCCGCGCTCACACCATGATATTCAGAGGTGGGCGCCCCGCGCGGCTTCTTGGCGCCCTCGGCCTTCTTCGGGCGTCTAGAATGAGTCCCCTTGCCCTTGGGCGCGTCGTCGCCGCCGGCCGGCGGCTTCTGGCCCTCGCTCAGGGCCCACTTCGGCGGGCGGCCGCCCTTCTTCGGGCGCTGGCCGTCGTCCTTGGCCGGGCGGCCGCGCTTCTTGGGCGGGCCGCCGCCGAGGGGCGCGAGCTCCTCGTCGTCCTCACCCCTCAACTCGGCGTTCTCCGACTTGAGGCGCGCTACTTCTTCTCTGAGTCTATCTTCCTCGGACTTGGCGGAGGGCAGGCCCGAGGGGATGCCGTAGGCCACCGGTAGGGGCTGGCCGGGGTAGTACTGGCCCTGGTCCATGCTTGGGCGGGCGCTTCGAACCTGCGGGCGGCGGTTTACGTCTGGTTTGGCGGTTCTGGCGGTGCGGGGGCGTCGCGCGGTCGGGCGGAGGCTTGGTCGTGGCTGTGGCAAGGCTGTCGAGGCGCCACAGGGCGCGCGCGGCCCGTCGGAAGCGGAGCGGCCAAGCCTTGCAAATGGCTGTTGCTGGCGAAACGAGCTGGCGCAGGCCCCGCAGGAGGTGGGGAAGCTCTGAGATCGAAGGATGCAACACACTGAGGCCTTACAACGTTCGGGGGAACTGCGGATCTCCCTAAAAGTGGAAGCGCGGAGGCAATTTGCTAGAGGTGGGCCGCTAACTCCTAGAGACTTTTGATACCCGCACGATAACAAGCTTCTCGCCGCGTCTTTTCGGTCTGCCGGCGCTGCGGGTCGGCCCGGAACAGAGACGCGGTCCTTTCCCGCGAATGCACGAGTCTGGCAGCCCAGCTGGAGCCCCCGCGCGCGCGCGCCATTCTCAAACCACCATCAGACCGCGGGGAAGCAGCCTCACCTCTCCAGGAGCTCCTCAATGGGGCCCTGGCCCTCATGCGGAAGCAGCGGCATGCCTTGGCGCGGCTAGACACGGAGACACGGGTTTTTTGTGCGATTTTTGCAGAAGTCCTCTGAGCGAATCCAGCGACATTTCCACGTGTGCTTGAGCGTATAGGAGGCCTCTTTGCCCACCTTGCGGCGGCCTGGTCCTTTGCCTCGACTGCTCGACGCTGCATGAGCCAGCCTCGACCTTGCGCGAGTTGCTGCACGCGTTGCCTTGCAAGGAGCTTCGGAGTTCGCATTATTCTTTGACTGGGCCAAAAATCTAGCAGTTTGGGGCACTGCATCGCACAAATCAGTGAGGCTGCAGCAGGCAGTGCTACAATGCGGCACATCCATCGCGCCCTGCTGGTATTACAGCTCACCCACGCACTGCACCTCACAACAGCACCGCGACGACGACGGCACACACCCTGCAAAGGTACCAAGCTCACGAGCGACTACGTCGAGTCCCTCTTCGACGGCTTCGCCGACACCTTCGAGGGCGTGCTCGTCGAGCAGTTGGAATATTGTGCACCAGCGAAGGTGGCGGAAGCGGCGATCAACGCCACGGCACTTCGCGGCACAAAATACGCGAGCGCGCTCGACGCCGGCTGCGGCACGGGCCTCGCGGGCCTCGAGCTGCGCGACGCCGTGCAGGGAGCCCTAGACGGCGTCGACCTCTCCTCGAAGATGGCCGAGTACGCGGCGGAGCTCTGTCTGACGGACGGCGGTGAGTTCGAGCGCGCGGACGCGGCGACGCGCAAGGCCACGGGCTGGGAGACGATTTACCGCCGCGTCGAGACGGGCAACCTGCTACAGCTCGACAAATGCGGGTTGGACGCGCAGTACGAGCTCGTCGTGTCGGCCGACGTGTTGTGTTATTTCGGGGACCTGAGGGACGTGCTCGGAGCCCTAGCCGCGAAGACGGCGCCGGGGGGGGATCTCATCTTCACCGTGGAGACCCTGCCAGAAGGCGACTGGCGGTGGGTCCTCCAGGCTATCGAGCGCTACGCGCACCACCCCGATTACGTGCGCGACGTGGCGACATCGATCGGACTGGAACCGCGGGAGGCCATATCTTTCCAGCCACGCATGGAGAGCGGGCTCCCGGTCCGCGGCACGCTCCACGTCCTGCACAAGCCTAGGTAGTTAATGTGAAGTTTTAAAAACAGTACCAACAACAACAAAAGCTCGCGCCGCCGCCGCCGCCCCTCGATCACTCGGCGCACGGACTCGTCGCCGCGGGCGCCAGCTAGCGGACTAAGACACTAGAAAGAGGCAGCTTTTTCAGCGTACGTCCATAAAACGCCCAGCGCGGCCCCGCGCGACGGCCTGTGACATACAGACAACGCTCGAAGGCTTTTAGTTGCCACGCTCTGGCTTTTAGTTAGATCGCAGCGCTGTTTTTTAGCTTCCCCAGGTTAGCCTAGCTTTGGTCGCCAGCACTTTAGCCGCATCCAACAGTGGTATTCCGCAATGCTTAGTTCCATATTTGTATTTTTTTCACCTAGATACGCCGCACCGCTCACAATAGCAGCTTCAGTAGTTAGTCAACGCAGCAGATAGCAGTGAGCTTCGTTCCATATTTGCTTTCTTTTTACCTAGATACAACCATGGGTAGCGACTCCGAGGAGAGCTACGACCCCGGCGAGCCTCCAACAACCGAACAACCAAAGAAGAAGGCCGACGAGGAGATGTATGATTTAGGGGTCTTTGATGAAGATCCAGAAGAGCTCCAGAAGCGGGCCGTGGCCCTGATGAAGCAGCGCGACCTGCGCAACAGTTTGAAGAGCCGGGAGGTCCCGGGCGGAGTCAGATAGCATTTAGTAGAGCAGCTTGTTGTTTTTTGTGATATTAGTATGTTCATGGTCGAGTCTACAGGCGAAGATCGCTGCAGAACTAAAAAACCTGAAGCCGCCGTCGCCGGCCGCGGCGTCGCCGTCGCCGTCGCGGTCGCGGTCCCGTGATCGCGGCCGCCGCCGGCGGTCGTCGTCGTCGGCGTCGCCGCGGCGGCGGCGGCGGCCCTCGAAGTGGGACACAACAACGACAGATGATGCTGCCAAGGGGTACGTTTCCTTAGTTCTGGCATGGTTTCTTTTCCTTTTCGCCGCGTCTTGAATCTCACCCTCAGTCTTGTCCCCCCTTAGCGCGATGCCCCCTCAAAAAAAAGCCAGTCAATCCACTCAACGCAAGTTCAGCCAAAGTGCGCAGCAGCGGTCACAGGTCCAGCAACGCCAGCCAAGGCAACCACCGCAGCAGCAACGATCGCAGCAGATCCCCTATGGAGCGTCGCCCTTCGACGACCGGCGGTCGCGCTCGCCGCCCGGCCGGCGCCCTCGCGGGCGGTCGCCGCCGCGACGCTCGCCCTCGCCGGATCGGCGCCCGCCGCCGCCGCGCGGCCAGTTTCCGCCGCGCGGCCGCTCGCCGGAGCGGCGGCCGCCGCCACGCGGGCGCTCGCCGCCGGGCCGCCGGTCGCGGTCGCCGCCGCGCGACTCCCGCGGGCCCCCGAACCTCGGCACGCCGCCGGGCTCGCCGCGTGGTGATAATCGGCGGGGCCCGCCGCGCGGCGACGGGCCCGGCGATCGACGCTCGCGCTCGCCGCCGCGGCGCGGGCCGCCACGTGACGGCTTCCGCGGCCCACCGCGCGACAACCGCGGCCCGCCTCCGCGCGACGACCTGCGGGGCCCACCTCGCGACGGCTTCCGTGCGCCGCCGCCGCGCGGCCCCGACCGCGGCCCGCCGCCACGCGATAACGGATTCAGAGGTCCGCCGCCGCGCGAGCGCTCTCCGGACCGGCGTTCGCCGCGCGGCCGCTCGCCCGACCGGCGGCCGCCGCCGCACGGGCGCGGCGGCAACCCGCCGCGGGGCCCCGGCCCGAAAACGGGCTACGACCCGCGCTTCGACGTGCCTCCGCCCGGCGCGCTGCCGCCGCGCGAAGACGACCGCTTCCGCGGCCCGCCACGCGACAACCGCGGTCCTCCGCCACGCGACGACGTGCGGGGCCCGCCACGCGACAACCGCGGTCCTCCGCCACGCGACGACGTGCGGGGGCCGCCACGCGACAACCGCGGTCCTCCGCCACGCGACGACGTGCGGGGCCCGCCACGCGACAACCGCGGCCCTCCGCCACGCGACGACATGCGGGGCCCGCCACGTGGCCGGTCGCCCGAGCGGTTCCGGGGGCGCGGCCCGCCGCAGCCGCGCGGGCCGCCGCGCGGACCGCCCCGCGGGCCGCCGCCGGGCAAGGTCTGGGACGGCTTCCGCTGGGCCGATCCCGACGACGACGGCACGGCGGGGCGGCCGCCGGGGCGGCGCCCCCCGTCGCCGGCTTCTCAAGCTGCAAGGAGACAGCTCGCGCACGGCCCGCCGCCGACAGCCGACCTCAACATCGGCAACCGCAAGTTCTTCGTGGGCGGCCTCTCGCACGCATGCGGCGACGGCGAGCTCCGGGCGCACTTCCAGCGGTTTGGGCGCGTGACGAGCTGCATCGTGATGCGGCGCGACGGGCGCTCGCGCGGCTTCGGGTTCGTGACCTACGCCGACGAGGGAGCCGCGCGCGACTGCGCCCGCACGGCGAAGCACGTCATCCTCGACAAGGTCGTCGACGTCAAGCACGCGACGCCTACGCCTCCGAAGTAACCTCTTCTACTGATTCGTTGTGGATCCGTTGGTGATGGAGCGCGGCGACGGCGTGTTCCCCACAGTCGCGGTCATGTGTCCGCGTCGGGCTCGCGCGCAAATGGACTCCGACGCCTAGCTCCATCGCGCCGCGCCACAGAATATTTATGCTCCTTCGTCGATGTTACAGATAATATATTATGCCTGGTTTGCTAGTGTCTTTACAGCCGCTAGCTAGCGCAAATCGACGCGCAGAGAGACGCCGAGTGCTGCGCGCCTGCGCGCGCGCGGCTCCAGGCGATCATGGATTTCAACAATCCACCAGCCGGCGACGCACTGCCGGCTTGCCCCGCTTCCTATGAAGGCTCTATGGACATGGCCCCTCAGGAGGCACAGCCGCCAGGGACCCCCCACGCGGCCCCAATGCCCTTGGACGGGGGGCGCACAGCGCCCGTCGCCGCGCCGCAGCGCGCCGCGCCGCCTTTCGTCGACCCCTGGCTCACGGAGGCCGACGCGGCCGGCGACCCGATGCTCTGCGGCGACGCGCTGGCGCCCATGGACGCGGCGCCCAGTGTGCGAGCGCCAAAGGCCCTAACGCCGCCCGCACGCGCGCCCATGGCGCTGACGCCGCCCGTACCACCGACAGCTCCGATGGACGCCGCGCCGACCGCCGCGGCCGCCCCAATGGCACTCACGCCGGCCGTACCGCCGACGGCTCCCATGGACGCCGCGCCCACCGCTACGGCGGCACCGATGGCGCTCACGCCGGCCGTACCGCCGTCGACGTCGATTGCTCCGATGGACGCCGCGCCGACAGCCGCCGCGGCACCAATGGCGCTCACGCCGCCCGCGGCGCCGATGGCGCTCACCCCGCCCGCGCCGCGCGCCGCGTCGGACGCGGCGGCCCCGCCGGTCGTCGTCGTGGCCACCGCGCCGGCCGCGACGAAGGGCAAACGCGTGAAGCGCCAGACGATCGGCCCCGGTGCGCCGCCCGCGGCGCCGGCGCCTCCCGCGGTCGCTGCGCCGGCGCCTCCTGCGGCCGCCGCGCCGCCCGCAGCGCCGCCGGCTCCCGTGGCAGCTCCCGCGGCCGCCGCGCCGCCGCGACCATTGCCGCCCGGCGCGCGCTTCAACGCCAAGGGCGAGACCATCGTCCGCCTCCGGCGCCCGCCGCCGCCGCCGCGGCCGCCGACGCCCCCGCCGCCGCCGATGAACGACGTACGAGTAGGAGCAAGAGTGGCCAAATCCTTCCCCGGCTTCGGCGCACGCAAGTGGCTCGGCACGATCTCGGCCCAGCGCGCGTCCGGCAAGTGGGAGGTGCGCTGGGACGACGACCCGGGCTACCGCCAGGCCTACGCCGAGACGACGATGCGGAAATGTTTGATCCACGGCGCCGCCGCGGCGCCGCCGCCGCCTCCACCAACGCCCGCGACGCCATCCACAGAAAACCGCGCGTGCCTCATGTGCGGGGAATCCACCAGACTGCCGGACGGGTCGCTCGACGCGGACGGCTGCGTGCGCTGCGACGCGTGCGCCGTCGAGATGTGCCGCGACTGCTCGGGCCAGCGGCGGCGGCGGCGGACGTGGCGCTGCGACACGTGCGTGAACGCGAGTGGCCTCGGCGAGGCGGAGATTGATGATGTCGTCGAAGAGCCCGCCGGCGCGGAGGAGCGGCCCATGCGGCGCGCGGCGTCGCTCGACGCGGCGACGGTCCTCGCGAGCCGCCTCGACAACAACCGGAACAAGCCGGACGTCGCGGCGTCCGTGCTCGGCCCGCTCGCCGTCGCCATTCCGGAAGCGCGCTCGCGCCGGCCGTCCGACGACACGCCGCCGTCGACCAACGAGGACAGTGACGAGGACGTCGCGACGCTGCGGAAGCGGCGGTCGCCGTCGTCGTCGCCGCGCGCCGGCCCGGTCGAGGCCGCGGCGCCGGCGCGCGTCGTCACGGAGAGCGCCGACGAGGAGCCCGTCGACACGCAGCCCTACGACGACGACGAGGCGCCCGCGCCGCCGGCTGACGAGGACGAGGAGCCCGTCGTGGACGAGGCGGACGAGGCGGACGAGCCCGTCGACGCCGACGAGGCGCCGCCCGACGAGGAGGAGCCCGTCGACGAGGCGGCCGCCGAGATCCCCGACGAGAAGCCACGTTCGCCGCGGGCGCGGCGCCGCATCGCGGACGAGGAGGAAGAAGAGGACGACGGCGGCGCGGCCGAGCGGGCGGCCGCCGCCGAGGCCGAGGAGGCGGCGCTGCTCGCGCGGCTCGCCCGCTGCGGCGCCGATTTAGGAAAAGCCGCGTCCGAGGGAGACCCGGCGGCCGCAGTGAAAGCGCTCGGCGCCCTCGACGCTCTGGGGGACGTCGAGAACAGTATTACGTCCTACGAGGGCCTCGGCGCCACGGGCGTCATCCAGGCCCTCAAGCAGCTCAAGAAGCAGAAGACCTACGGCCAGGCCGACGCCAGCGCTTCGATAGAACAAGCAACGACGCTCTTCGAGCGCTGGAAGGCGGCGAACGGCGCTATTCAGGCTCGCAACGACGCGGACCCCGTGAAGGCGAGGAGACTGAAGGCCGGCGTCGAAGAACTTATTAAGAAGGCGAAGGCCGCCGAAGAAGAGGTAGAAGAGGAGGAAGAGGAGTTCGAAGAGGAGGAAGTAGTAACGATGGTCATAGCAGAGAACGACCGCTCGGCGCGCGGCGTGCAAAGAGGCGACCGGTTGTGGGCTTTATTTGATAAGGACGAGCACGGCCAGGAGTGGTGGGGCGGGACCGTGGTCCAGGCCGATCTTAATAGTAGGGGCGACGGGGACGTCGACGTCGTTTTCGACGACGGCGAGCGGGAGGTGATGCGGGCCAAGGAGTGTTTCCGGCGGTGCGAGGCCGGCATCCTGCGCAGTTTGCGGCAAGCTAGGCCCAACAAGAAGGCCGAGCGCCGCCTGAAGCAGTGCGGCGTGACGCCGCGCGAGAACCACGACATCCGGCTGCCGCCGCAGCAGAAGGCCCGCGCGCCGCCGAAGAAGAAGAAGGCGACGAAGAAGGCGGCGTCAGCCGTCGGCGCGCGGGCCCAGGCCCGCGCCGAGGCCGTCTGGGCCGCCGCGGCGCGGGCGCCGAGTACCGCGGCGGACGCGTGGGCCGCCGTCGAGCGCTCTGCGGAGACCAAGGCCCGCAAGCGCGCCGCCGCCGCGCCCGCGGCCGCGCCGGTCGCGAAGATCCCGCGCCGCAAGCTCAAGGCGAAGAAGGCGCCCGCCGTCGAACCTGTCGTGAAGCCGACGGCCGTCCCTAGGAAGCCGAAGAAGCCCGCCGTCGTCCAGAGGAGGCCGAGCCCCGATCCTAGAGGAGACACGGCGTGCCACTTCTGGGCGCGCGGCGAGTGCCGGAACGGCGACGCGTGCCCCTACAAGCACGACCCGTCCGCGAGGCCGCGGACACCTATTATAGACTACACGACGTCGCCGCTGCTCATGGTCGAGAAGGGCTGCGAGGCGGCCCAGGACTCGCGGGCCGACCTGGACTTTTTGCTGCGGGACGCGTGTGTTAGGGCCGGCCGCATCAAGCCCTCGGGATACGAGGGCCAGAAGGAGGCGGGCAACCTGTTCGGGTATTGTAGCTTCTGGGCCGGGAGCGCGCCGTCGCGGACGCGGACGCGGCCCCTGCCGTCTCTAGAATGTTCTGAGACGCACCAGAAACTGGAAGAGTCCATCCTCGACTTCGTCCACAAGGCCAAGCCCGACCCGGCCTCGCCCTACGCCGGCGCCAATGCTAAAAAACTTGCGAGCGATGCGGCTCGCTCCTGGCTCAAGGCCAACGACGAGACGTCGGACACGCTCGAGACGTTCTCGCGCGACTGCGCGACGGACGACTGGACGGACGCGACTTGTGGTTTGTGTGCGGCGTCCTTGGTTTCTGTGTGGCCTTCGATCCGCCCGCGCGAGACGTCGCGGCGGCGGCGCAACCCCGACGCCGTCCGTGACGTCGTCCCTGGCACCGCGTCGATCGACAAGCACACACAATGACGAAAATCTTCGTGGCGCTTCTCCGGCTGAATCGTGGCCCGCACGCCATCGACGCGCACCCGACTCACTGCTTGATGTCTACACAGGCGTGCACCGCGTCGACAACCCGCGGGGCCAGACGTGCGAGCTCGTCTGCAAGGCCGCGCCGAAATTACGGGCGTGTATTCGCCTCGAGGTCCTCTTCCGCCTCAAAAGGAGGCACGACCACTTCATACGGGCGACGTGTGCTGGGAATGCCCAGAAGCAGCAGTTGGAGCAGGCGCGGTTCCTCACACGCTGTTTGGTTGTGTTGCTGAAGTACGGCGCGTTATTGAGCGACCCGGGCCAGCACGGCATGCTGCCCTTGGCGGTCTTTGGCACTTTACAAGAGTGGGGCTGCGAGGGCGAAGGCTTCGCGACGCCCTTGAATGCGACGCTCCAAAGTTACTGCTCGCTTCATTCTGAAGCGGATAGGTGCTTTGGCTCGCTGGGCTCGTTCTTCGACTGGCGGCCGAAGATGGGCTCCTTCGAGCTGAACCCTCCCTTCACCATAAGATCGACGGCGGTCGAGGACCACGTCGTCGAACTCCTGCAAGCGGCGGAACGAGACGGCAAGGCCCTCAGTTTCTGCTACGTCGTGCCAGAGACGGCGGGCCGCCTGCAAACGCGAAAGTCTATAAGGAGAGAGACGCCCTTCCTCGCGGGCGAGCTCATGGTGCGGGCCTCCTCGAAATACAGCGGCGGCATGGGCCAGGGCCACGTCTACCGGAGAGGCAACGAGTTCCAGACCCACGCCAAGCAGCCCTGGGACTGCCCCTTCACGACGGTCATCACGTGGTTCCAGACGACCGCCGCCAAAGAGAAGTGGCCCGTGACGGACGCGCTCAAGCGGGACCTGCTGACCGCCTTCGCACCGGGTGCGCCGGAGCCCGAGGCGATGCGCTGAGTAAGATGGGTGTTGTTGAACTACTCTCTACGTCGCCCCTCCCGCTCCCCCTGGCCCACCCGTCCGGCTGGATAGCTGCTCTAATGACCAGGACGGGTTTTTCCGGCAAAAATTTTGGGGTCAACTGGAGATCGCTCAGGCGACAGGCGTTTCGTGATCAATTTAGAAGCATGCGACGACTGCTCGTGCTCGCTTGCCTCGTCGTCGCCGCCGCGCGGCCCACAGATCAAGCAAAGGCAAAGCTCCAAAAGTTTGATGCATTTGCTGCTCCTCGGCAAAGGGGTTCAGGCCGAAGGAAGCGCAAAGGCGCGCCGCAAGCCGCCGCTCTGCCAACAAACGGCGCCTGGAACGCGTCGAGCCTAGCCGAGCCGTGGCGCGAGCCGTGGTACGAGGGTAACGCGCCGGCATTCCCCTTGGCCATTGGACCGCTCCTCCGACTAGGCCTAAGCCCCCATTCTCCAACGCTCGATTACCCCCGACGAAGACCTGCACGGGTCGCGGCGATGGCGTACTGGGGGAGGAGTACTCAACGTCCGCGCGGCCCGTGAGGATATATTCGAGAGAAGTCAATGCAGACATAAAGTTTTAACAAACAAAGGAGGAGATGCGGCGCATACAATCACCGCACGCGCCGCCCGTTGATGATGCGAATAGCGACCCGGAAGGACTCGTCCTCGGTCCACGCGCCGCTCTCGCGGAACGCCAGTCGCTGCCGCGCGGCCAGAACGTCCGGAGTTTGCGCTTGCGGCGTCTGGCGGCGACCGCGCCGTGCAGGCGGGATGCGCAGGATCGCGTGCTGCATCACCTGATCGCCCTCGTCGAGGCGGTTCAGGCGGCGGAGCGATCGCGCGGACACGCCGTAGCGAATACAAATGCCCGCTAGAGTGTCGCCGGGTAGCACGACATGCTCGTCGGCCGGCGCGTCGGCCGGCGCCAGCGACGAGGCAAAGGAGGACGTCGACATCATCGACGTCGTCGACGCCACGGACGACTCGCTCGGCGAGAGCGAGCTATGGCGCGCGCCGTGGCCACCACTGCGTCCGGCCAGCGCGAGGCCCAGCGCGAGCGCCGCATCGTCGACGGCGCCTCCTCTGCCGCTCAATGCATAATTGAGTGCACTCACCATGCGCTCGTCGGTTGGATCAGCTGCTGCTGGCGGATGCATGGTCTCGGCGGCCGCTGAAAAAGCAGTCAACTACCTCGCACAGACATGATGCACCACGAGCTGGTTGCGGATGAGGGTGCGTCGGCAATTTTCATCAGCATCAGGCCGACCCGCACGAATGATGCTTGGTCGAATCTTGTTCATGTGATTGGTGGCTGTGGTTATCGAATCCGGGCCTGAAACACCGTGCGCCAAAAACCCGTCTCAGCATCTCGATGAGGCCTCGAGGTAAAAATCGGCGCCGAGGCCGTACTGAGGCGTACCGCGCGCATAAGGCGGCTTACGTATTGCCGCAGCGCGCCACTGCACTGCGCACGCGCATTGCTGGCCACCACTGGCGCCGTAAAGAACTCAGCGCTCAAGGCACTGACCCAGAAGAATAAATGCGACGCTGCTGTATGCTCGCGTTGGTAGCTCGCGCGGCGCACGGTCTCGCAGCGCCGAGCCGGAACAAAGTCGTCTTCGTCGGCGCCGGTAGCTTCGGCTCGGCAATGGCATTGGTGGCAGCGAGAGCCCAGCCCGACGCCTCGATCAAGATCTGGGCGCGGCGCGACGCCGTCGTCGACGAGATCAACGATCAGCGCCGGAACGGCCGCTACCTGCCGGAGGACGCGGACCCGTTCCCGTCGAACGTCGAGGCGACGACGGACTTGCGAGGAGCCGTCTCGGATGCGGACGTGGTAGTGCTGGCCGTGCCCGGCGAGTTTCTGGGGACGACGCTGGAGCAGATCAACTTGGACGGAAAGGTCGCGATCTCGCTCGTCAAGTCCGCACGCCAGATAAAAGGAGACGTCGCGACGGTCTGCGAAGACGTCGAGGCGAAGTTCAAGACGTGCCGCGCGTGTGCGCTGTCCGGCCCGAACATTTATGGGTCATTAGCTCGCGGCGAGTTCGCGGAAGCCACCGTCGGGGCGCTCGACGAAACGACGGCCGCCGAAGCCGCGCGCGTCTTCGCCAGCCCCGCGTTCCGCGTCGATACGGTAGACGACCGGGCGGGCGTCGAGCTCTGTGGGGTCCTCAAGAACGTCGTCGCTTTGGGCTCTGGATTCGCCGATGCCGTTGCGGGCCCGAACGCGCGCGCCGCCCTCATAAGAGCAGGCCTCGTCGAGATCCACGCCTTAGCGTCGAGATTGCGCGACGCCGAGCGGGCGACGTTCTTCGAGTCGCCGTGCGGCCTCGGCGATTTAGTATTGACGACGTCGTCTGGCCGCGGGCGCGTCCTGGCCAAGGCTTTCGCGAACGATTCTGTGGAGGAGCCGGCCGAGGCGAAGTGGGCGCGCCTGGAAAAGGAGTTGTTTGACGGCATGAAGCTGCCGGACTGGCACGCCGCCCAACTAGTCGGTGACGTGCTCGACGAGCGCGGCTGGCGCGGCGCCTTCCCGCTGCTGGCGTCGATCAACGACGTGGCCTGGCGCGGGGCGCAGCCGGCGGCCGTCGTCGACGCGCTCCGCCCGCAGCCCGCGTTCGCGCGCTGAAGAATTCGTATCCTCCGACCCCCCCCCCGTTCTCATCCGATCGCCCTCCTCCCCCCTCCTCTTGTGAGAATTATAAATAGATGAACTTGAAACAGAAATCATGATTACAAAATCGAATCCGCCGGTCGGAGTGAGTCGTCGGTCTTGGGAGATGGTTGCCGTGGATCACGAGGACGCGCTCCGGCCCCGCTGCCACCAGCGCCGCCGAGGCGTCTCCACCGGCACGTCCGCGCCCGAGATGACGTAGTACTCCAGGTCGCGGAGCGTGCGCTCGAGGTCGTCGGTGCCGTCGAGGGCCGCATCGACGCGCTCGCGGCAGGCCCGCGGCACGCGCCTGGCTACCGCATGGCCGATAAACGCGAGGCCCGCCCAGCGCCGCGCGCGCTGCGCCGCCGGCGGCGCGAGGAACGCCGCGAGCGCGAGCGCGCCGATGACGTAGCGCGCCTGCCACAGCGCGTCGCGCGGCGAGAGCAGGACGAAGTCTACGCCCGCGTCGAAGGCGTGCTTGTGGCCGCGGTCGTCGCGGAGCCGCAGCGCGCCGTCCTTGAGCTCGAGCGTGCCGGCGCCTGTTTGGAAATGGACCCACTGTTGCCTCGATGGCGTGGAAGCGCTCTCTCCCTTTGATTTCGGCACTGGTCGGCACCGACGTTCTTCACGCAGACGCGGCGGCCGGCGAGACGTCGTCGTCGCGCCGCCTTTCGCGCGGCCGCTCTGCGAGTTTTGAGGTCCTCCGTGGGGAATTGGACGGCCGGCGGCGCCCGTGCGAGCACGACGCAGGCCGCCTCGGCCACAAGCCACGACGCCGACCACGCGCTGCCATCCGCAAAACCAGCCACGAAGCCGACAGCGCACGCGCTCCAGCGGTACTCGGCGCGGAACCGGAACGAGTTCGCCGCGCCGCGCAGGCACGCCTCCCGCACATCGTGCGGCGCGCTCAGCTTCTTGAGGGTGAAGCAGCGGCCGAGGAGCGGCGGCGCCTTCGGCCCGCCGCGCGGCGCGAAGAAGAACCTCGCGACGAGCGGCGGTAGGGCCGCGATGGCGTCTTGGATCAAATCGTCTTCGTCGTCCGCGTTGCTGCTTAAAAATGGTAGGGCTTCGAGCAGCTCGTGCTCCTCGGCGAGGCGGGCAAGCTGCCGGAACATTTTGTTTGTAATTTATCTTGTCTTTGTGCGCTGGCCGGCGAATTAAATTGGCTGAGCTCGCGCGTGTGGTGCAAGTAGGTTGTATTCGAGTGTCTTAGCGCGTCTGGCAGTTGCGTGGCGAGCTTAGTGGGGAGGACGTGTCCGGATGACGAACAAAAAGTAAACCTAGCGTAACAACACCACTAGGCCAGTCCAAGCCCACAAAAGCGTGCGCTATTTGCCAGCGTACAACTCGTAGAGCTAGTACTGACGCTTGGCAAGCATTTCTACGCGCCTTGCGCAGCATTCCTTGGCCAGCATGGCGCGTGCATGCACCGCATTGCTACTGCTCAGCGCTGCCTCCGCCCTGAGACAGCCACAGACCGTGACGCTAAGAGACGTAACAGCAGTGCATAAGTCAAATTGTCGCGGCGCGTCTCCACCACTGCTGAATCACGGCCTCCAATCGCGGCCGCACGCCATCGACGCGACGCCAGCTCGATGGTGTGGCGGTCCGATCTCTCACCGTTCTATTCAGCCAGCACGGTCGCGTTTCGCTGCGAGAGAATACGACTCGACTCACGGATCGACTTGCGCACAGGTCCACAGTAAAAGAGACGTCACATTGGTTGGAGCTATGCATTATAACCCAGTGAGCATTGCTCTGGCAGAGCGATGCGTCGAGGAGCAGGAAGGGCTCGGCGCCGTCGTCGTCGAGAGCTGTGAATCGCGGTGGCGGCGGACGCAAGAAGTGAGCCCACCGGGAAGCATCGGCCGCGTGCTGCTGCCTTCCGAGATGCTCGCCGCCGCCGAGGCGGCAGAGGAGCGCGGCGTTCCGATCTCTCTGGGCGACACGGACGTCGGAGAGCTCGGTCCGCGGCTGAAAGAGCTCCTCATCGCGAGTTTGATGGACCTCCTCAGTCCCGGCGAGGGTTGGCGGAGAATCGGCGACGACTTGCGGCGTGGTGCGAAACTCGCGTTCGACACGAGCGACCTCGACGGCGACGCCTTGGAGTTCTCGGACTTCCTGAAGCCGGACCTACTACTAGGCTTCGTGACGTCCTTGCTCGCGTACCCGGCGGCGGCCCTGGTCAAAGCTCCTATACCTGTTGGGGGTCTACTTCTCGGCTCAGCATTTGGCGCGCACTACCTGGAGCAAGCGGCGCGCGAGGCCGACGCCCTCGCGGCCGCAGGTGGCGACTCCTCCGCGTCCTACCTGTTGCTCAGCGGCGTGCTGATCGTGCTCGACATCTTGTTTCCCATCGTCTTCGGGCGGCTGTTGCTCGTCGCCATGCTCGAGGAGCGGAACGTGCGCTTAGCCCGGTCCATCACCGAGGCCGCTGATAGAAGCAGGGGCAACGTCGTCGCGATCTGTGTGGAAATCAACCAGTGCGTCGGATGCAAGTCATTTCTCGGCGACAACGCAATCTTGATAACTGAATCGAGTGGTGTAAGACCCACACCGCCACGCCATCGAGCAGGCATCGCGTCGATGGCGTGGAGGACGACGCGACGATTCAGAACGAACGCGCCGTAACACAGGTCGCGATCCTCGGCGCGCTCCACGTGAATGGAGTGGCGCGGCTCCTGAAGGACCCGTCCGGCTACGGCGAGGGGAAAGCTGGCACGTGGTGGACGGACGACATGATCGAGGCGAAGCCCGAGTAAGTATATTGTGGTAAACTTAGTAGGTGCGCGGCCGGTACCGCGGCTGGCCGAAACCCCCCGGAGGCTGCTGCTGCTGCTGGACGCGGTAGCGCGGGTCGCGGCGCCGCTCGGCCTCGATGCGAGCTTGGGCCGAGGCCGCCGCGCCCACCGCCGCCACCCCTGACGCCGCGCAGAAGTACATCGCAAATAAGTAAGTGGCGACCATGGCCGTCGCCGCGAGCGCCGCCGCCAGCGTGAACGCCAAAGCGTGCAGCGGGCCCGGCTGGTACGACGCCACGAGCGCGCGCAAACGCCATAGAAAAACGCCCAATGCGCCACATAACCCGAGCGTGAAGTTGAACAGTAAGTTGATGAGCCACCTTATGACGACCGCCGCCGTCGACTCATCTCTCCTACCAGAAAAGCGCAACCCCGAGAAAAGTAGATCCCACATCGACTGCCGCTTCGCGAAGGACTTGCCCCCGGCAAAGGCGCGCCAGAACGAATCTCGAGCCTCCGCGACGGCGTACTCGCTGAGGACGCCCACGCCTCGCTTCGCATCTGATAATCCAGCATCTTCCCTAGCTCTCAAGTCGGCCAATTCTCTGGACGCGGTTTCCGCCTCTGATTTATGGTACTGACACCGGTCGTCGCAGGAGAACCAGCCCGAGGCGCTTCGTTGCAAACTGCGCGCGCGGCGCACGCGCGCGGCCGCCCGACTGATCGGTTCGGACAGATCTGCGGCCTGGACGTCTTGCTCATATTGAGAGGCAACTGTGTCCGACACGCGAAAGCCCGTCGCGAAGACGACGAGCGCCAGTCCCAACATCCAGGAGCCCGTGATCTTGGGATGGGCCCTGGCGGTGTTTATGGTCGCTTTGGTGAGGATCGTCACGGCGGTCGTCGCGGCCTCGCCGGGCTCCAGGTTCGCGAGCTGGGCGTTGTGGGGGTTCGGCTGCTGGGCCATGGCTGGTCTCGCGGTGGATCTTGTGGTAGTGGAGGCTTTGCGGCTGTCGCGCGTTCCCGACGCGTGGATCTTGATTGCTGCCGTAGACGCCGTAAAATGGACGCGGCGGCGGCGTGACTGGCGCTGAGACTGCTGCGTGTGAGGCGCAGAGGCGTGCGTAGGATCTTCAGAGGTCGCTTGAGGCTGGAATCCACCTAAAAAGCTACGGCGGAGGCAAGGTGAGCTAGCGGCCGTAAGACATACTAGAAAGTACGGCGCCTTTGGCTCTGGGGAGCCGTACGCACACGCATATATCGCTAGCGCACGATATTACATATCACTACACTGCTGCGGCCTGTAGGAAGCGATGCCGCGGCTCCTCCTGGTCGTCGCCGCGACGTGCTGCGCGCTGCAGCCCCACAGCGCACTACACCCAAAAGCACCGCGCCGCGCAATAACCGTCACGGCCGCCGAACTCATCTCCGAGACCGACGCGGAAGCCCTCGCCGACGTCGTCGCCGCAGCGCTCGAAACGGACGCTGTTATAGACCTACGCGTCAATAGGGGAGAAGCTGACGCCATGTTCAAGCGCGTGAGCGGCCGCGTGGTGGAACTGAAGAACAAGCGGCTGCTCCAGCTCACCTATAAGAGGAGAGGCGCCTGCGACCTCCAGCGCAACCACGCGTTTCAGGGCGACGACGGCGCCGAAGGTACTGATGGCGACCTGCTGCCGCCCAAGAAATGGTCCGCGCGCAAGGCCGTCGCGCACGCTTTGACGGGCGGCGCGCACGCGAAGGCGACGGTCGGCGCCACGCGCTACGACCTCACAAAAGGCTCTTTGACATCTACAAGCTGCGCCCCGGCCAAGAAGACGGCTTCACATGACCGCACTAAAAAGCGCGTCGTCAGCGACGACTTCTTGGTGGCGCTCAACGTGACGAACGCCGCGGGCAAGGCGCGGCCGGGCATGGAAAGGAAACGCAAGCAGATCTTGAGGTTCGCCGAGCTTTTAGATCATACGCTCTCCAAGACGGATTTGTATGCTTCCGATTCAATCCGTCTGGTCGACGAGGGCTGCGGCAAGGGCTACCTGACCTTCGCGGCGCACGAGTTGCTGAAGAAGAAGAGTCAGGCGGCGCTGGACGTCGTCGGCGTCGAGCGGCGGCGCGAGCTCGTCGACGCTTGTAATTGGGCGTGTCGCGACGATGCTGGATTGTCGTTCATGGCGGGCGACATCGCACCTCAAGGAAAGGTGGACGTCGTCGTCGCGTTACATGCGTGCGACACGGCCACGGACGACGCTTTGCATGCCGCGGTCCTCGGCGGCGCGCGGGCGATCGTCGCCGCGCCGTGCTGCCACAAGCAATTAAGGCCCCAGCTCGAGCGGCACCGCAAGGGTTCTGAGGCGGATCCCGCGCTGCAGGCGATCCTGCATCATGGTATTCTCGCGGACCGGCACGCCGAGGCGGTGACAGATACGATGCGGTGTTTGGCGCTGGAATGCGTCGGCTACGAAGCTAGGATGGTGGAATGGGCGCCCCTCGACCACACGGCGAAGAACACGATGCTCGTCGCGACGCGGGCGGACGCCGGGACCGACGCTGCTGAAAGGTTGCGGGCGCTCGCGGCGTTCCACGGCGTGGCGCGGCAGCGGTTGTGTGGGCTGTTGGAGCTGGAACTGCCTGGCGGTGGCGACGAGGTGCCGCCGCGGGGGCGGATGCCTCAGGAGTAATGTACTTGTTGTTACAGAGACCGCGTCTTCGACGAGTAGAGCCGCGTCCGAACCCTTGTTATGAGTGTGCGTGGACGATTACCGTCGGCGGGATATCCCAGTTTCGCGCGCGCACGTCTCTCCTGGTGGCGGCTAGTTTACGTCGCAGGGTTCCGTTTTCTAGTGTCTTTACGGGCCGCTAGCGATTTTGGTGAGCCTCCACAGCACCACGCGTTCACAGCGCTAGGCCTCACGCTCGCATCACTGGCTTGTCTTAAGAACTGCTATTCACTGCGCAAGTGATCAGAGCTGCACTCGCAGCGCGCGCGTGCATTGCGATCACCGCTGGCATAAAGTTGCAGCAGCACAGCCTAGAGTTGATTAAGCACAGCAATGGCGAAAAAGAAGGCAGCGGCGCAAAAAGCCGCGACGCCGGTCACGGTCGACGACTGGGGCGCCACCGCGGCTGCGCCGGCCAAGAAGAAAAAAGGTGGCGGCGGCCTCATGAAAATGGGCGGCGTTGTGGTGGCCGCCGTCGCGGTGATCATGGCGCTGGGCGGCGGCGGCGCCAATCCCCTCGTCGACTTAGATGTAAACGACGAAGCTGCGTTAAGGAAAGTCTTCTTCGGCGGCGAGGTCTGGGCCGTCGCGTGTCAAGATGGCAGGAAGCCGTTACCTGATAGTGTCGAGGCCGTGGCGCATCGCCTGAACAAGGAGATGAATTTTGGGGTGGTGGACTGCAAAGCACAGCTGCCCGGTAAGGGCTACACGTTAACGCAGCGCTGGAAGCTCAAGAAGCAGCACGCCGACGATCCCGTTGTGTTTCTGTCGAACGGGGTCTCAGTCGAACAAATAGGCGCCCAGTATTTTAGATCAGAGTACGACCTCATCCGAGAACTGCGCTTATTAGCCTTACGGCGACCGTTTATGGCCAAGAACACTGAATTATTAAGGGAGAAGTGCTGGTCGAAGGCGCGGTGTTTGCTCGTGTTACAAGGAGGCACGCTGGAAGCGCCCGTCGAGAAAGCGCTACATGCCTTGGCGGGACACCACGCGAGGGGCGGCAAAGGTAGAACAGGTCCCAGCGCCGAAGATCAATCACAAGTGGTCTTCGTGTCTATGGACGCCGCCGAGCATAGACTACCCTTCGAAGGGTATGATTTGGGTGATGCTATTAAGCTAAGAAGCTTCGAGGCCGGGAACCACCGGGCGATCTACTTCCGGAACGTCACTGGTTCAGCTACGTTGAAGGCCTTGGCCCACAAGGGCGCGTTGACGACCGAGGCCCTAGGCAAGTTTCTGGGGACTGTGTCGCTTGACAGTGATGAAAAACCATACGCCAAACTAGTAGACATCAAGAAGGACATCAACACGCTCGGCATCTACCGAAGGTCCAAAAAGACGAAGGCCAAAAAAGCGACGATCACGGGCGGCAAGGACTTCACGGAGGACGCCAAGAAGGCCGCGGAGGAGAAGAAGAAGAAGAAGCCGGAAACCGCGGAAGAGCTCAAGGCCGCGTTCAAGGAGCAGCAGAAGCGCGAGCAGGAGAAGCGCGCGCGCATGGACGCGGAGAGCGACGACCTGTTCGAGGAGGTCGACGGCGACTTCGAGGAGGTCGTGGAGGAGGAGGAGGACGAGGAGGAGGAGATGATCTAGGGGGCCGGGGGTAAGGTTCTCGTCCAGTCTCTCGTCGCCCGCGCGCGTCGGCGGCGTACCGGTGTTCCACGCGAAGGGGACTCTTTGTGTACGGTAGGACGAGTGGGCGCGATCAGTCGATGTTACGGACTAGTGTGTCGACACACTAGGTTTGGCACGATTTTTCGCATTTTGCATGCTGGTGCGAGGCCCAAGATGGCGCAGCGATGGTAATACTACGATGAGGCTATCAATACGTAACACCGCGCCATAGAACGCGCGGGGGCAGCGATAGCAGCCCCAAGGATGCTGCCACTGCTCTGCTGGCTGCTGCTGGCAGGCCACGCGGCCGCCGCCGAGGCAGACTACACCTACAACGTCTCGGACCCCGTCTACACAAAGCTCACCGACCAGCTCCAACGATTGAAGCGACAACGCAAGCCCCTGCGGCTCAAGGTCAACTCGCACACCGGAGCCGGTAAAACCTACTTCATCCGCCACCACGACGCGAAGTACCTGGGCTGCAGGCTCCTGGACTTTGATGATTTCGAGGGCGCGAATCGGAGCAGCGCCCTACTCTTGGCGTACGACGCGTGCGCGGTGCTGCTCGGGTCGGCGCACCTCGACAAGCACTCATCACTACCAGACGTGGCCTACGTCTTCGTCGTGCCGTTCCTGAAGGACATCAGGCGCAACGTCGCCAAGCGCAACGAAGCGGTAGGAGACAAACACCACGAGCGGTGGTCGAACGAGACGTACATCCTGAAAAAACGGGAGCAGACTTTGGGAAAAGTGTTTCGCGGCGGGCGCCAGCGGTTCCCCGTCTTTTCTTCGTTCGAAGAGGGCGTGCTCTTCTGCGCGGAGGCGTACGGTGTGTAAGACCTGTTTTGTGTGAGCCCGCGTCCGCGCGGCGCGGCGTCTGTGTCCCGCAGCTGCCCCTCGCAGGACAGCCAGACGTCCCGGGACGACGGATACGTGCCGAACGACGAATACAAATCCGCGTAGATTTCATAACCCGAACGGAAATACGCTGCGACGAGCACTTTTTGCAGGCGCGCGGGCGGATATCGAACGCTCGGGGACGTAAAACAATCGTCGGCGACGTATCGTTGCTGTGCCGTACCGCGCAGCAACTTCCAGCGGCCCCGTTGCACCGAGAGCAGCACCAAGCTCTCCAGAGCCACAAGCTCTCAGACAGAAACACTCGCGCAGAGTAGTTGCACGCGCAACGCAGGGCTCTCGGAGGAGCGCCAGCAAGAAACCACTGCAAGCGCCAGCAAGAAACCGCTGCAAAAATGGCCTCCATCCCCACGAACACCGCGCGCACGGCGCCGCTCGACACTTCCGTCAAGCTCGGCGCGGCGCAGCAGCGCGCTTTGAAAGATTTGGTAGCCATGGGCTTTGGCAAACAAGCGTGCAAGGAAGCTTTATTGAGGACGGGCACGACGTCCATGGACCGCCTGTTAGCTGCTTTGACAGGACCAGAGGAGCCTCCTCCTAGGAAGCGCGACGCGGCGGGCACGCCGAAAGCCGTGCCAAGACCTAGACCAAGGCCGACGCCGCAGCGGCGCGCCCCGCCTACCGCGGCCCCGAAGGTCGGCGCGCACCTGAAGCACGGCGACGTCCGCGGCGTCGCGTCCAAAGTCTACACGAAGGGCAACGCGCACACCTGGATCGACTTGAAGACGACGACGGGCGACGTGATTGAGGTGCGGAGCACGCAGGTCGAGAGCATTGAGTTAAGTGCGGATGAGGTCCTCGCGTGTAGTAAAGAAATGGCGCCAGATGATTGGTTAAGGTTGAGGGTCGATGGTTTGGTCAAGCTGCCTTCTCGTCAAGGTGTTATTGGCAATCGGTTCACTGCTAGCGATGGCAGTGAGAAGCGCCAATTAGTAGTCGAGGGCTCTATTATAAGATGCGCGTTATGCGAAGAGACGACCTGGGATTTAGGAGGCGACGTCCACCGGAATTGGCACGCCGCCCAGCACTCGATCAAGTCGCATTGTGGCCACTTTGCGTCTTGCCGGAGGGGCAACGCGCACGTCGAGGCGCTGGAGAAGGTATCTGGAAAGGAAATATCGATGGAAGGCGCACCGGTCAAGTGCGTGAAACGGCGTCCTTTTTCGAGCGGCGCGTCGATGGCGTGAAGCTGGCCCGTATCCATGGCTGGACGCCGTCGACGCGGCGCACCGCCGGAGACCGCTCGCCCGCGAGAGATCGAAACGTCGACGCGACTCGCAGGTCAAGGGCGTCGTCGTCGAGTCGACCGGCGAAGCGCGCGCGCGTCGTGTCCCAGACCCGACGGATGATCGGTCCGAAGAACCGCCCGGCCTCGGCGCGGCCGGACTCGCACCTCAAACTCAACACGGCCTTGCATCAGCTCCACCCGGACTTTGACGGGACGAGGAAATTCCCGAGAGGTAGAGGCATCATGCCCTCGTTCTTGCTCGAGAACATTGATGGCAACGACGTCACGAACGAAAACCACGAGGCCTTCGAGCAGTTCGTCGTCTGCTGGCTGTTTAACGAGATCATTCCTCGAACCTGCCGGGTTCCTGGAAAAGTGGATGCGAAGGGGGTGAGCGTGGAAGTGGATGAGACGAAGCCATCCATTAGAGTGTTGGAATTGGGCGGCGGCATCGGTGCGGTGAGCACGATGATCCAGCAGAACCTGCAGATGGTCGATTCTGACGCGCCGCACGTCGTCGTCGAGCCCAATGCGTTGTTGTCAGACGGTCCGTTACTGAGGAATCGCCTGCGGCACGGTTCGCGCTTCGATGTGATCAGAGGAGTTGTGTCCTCCAAGGACAAAGTAGCATTTGGGCTGGGCGACATCAACCCGAACCACCCGCGAGCCTGGATGTGGGGCACTATTGATGCGTCGGCGTCGCGTAAGGTCGATGTCAGGGGCGCGCCGCTGTCCGAAGTCGAGGATTTGTTAGGTGGTGCTCCCACAGTGTTAGTCGCCGACTGCGAGGGCGGCCTCATTTCACTGTTAGAGGACTACCCTCACATAATTGATGAGGTCGTGGCCATCTACTACGAGAGAGATCCTCCTGGTGATTATACGGCGTCCGAAGCGCTGCTTGCGGCCAAGGGCTTCGTGCCGGTTTTGATTGCTTCCTTGCACCGCGTCGTGGTCCGCGAGAGCGCGCTGCCGCGGCCTGTGTCGACCGCTGCTGCGGCGGACTCGACGACGGCGGACGCGACCATGGCGGACGCAGCGCCGGCGCCGGCGGCCGCTCCGACCGCGGCCGCGACGGCCACGCCCGCGATGGCTGAAGCCGTGGCAGCGCCGGCGCCGGCGGCCGAGGCGGCCACGCCCGCCGCCAAGGCCAAGGTCGAGCCGCCGTCGCCGTCGCCGTCGCCAACGTTGTCCTCCTCGACGGATGATATTGAAGCGCGGCGCGCGGCCGTCGTCGCGCGCTACGCCGCCGAGCTGAGCAGTCTCGTGGCGGAGAAGGACAAGCAAGCCAAGCAATTAGAAGGTCTGGTGACAGAGACGCGGGCGCACGCCCAAAAATACGGTACTGTAAACAAGGAGCTCGAGGCCGCCCTACTCGAATTTATTGAGGACCACGCGGAGCCCGCTTTACGAGCCGCGCGCCGCGCGAAGAATGCGGTGGAAGAGGCGTCCCAAACGACCACGATGACACGGCGCAAACTCGCCGAGAACTCGCGAGTGCTGTGCGGCTGGCACGACGACGCCTGGAGTGACGACGAGGCTCTCGAGTGGTATCCGGGCTGCGCGACGCCGTCGAACCCCATGGACGCGGCCTGCGACGTGTACGATGTGGTCTTCGACGATGGCGACGGCCGCGAACGAGTAAAGAGGGAGGAGCTGCGGTCGGTTTTTGTTCCTGGTGCTTTTGATTGGGCGTCGCCTTTTGTGGAGGAGGATGACGAGGTCGAGGAGGAGGCGGTCGAGGTGGAGGACTTTCCCCTACTGTCAAACGATGGTGTGGAAATTCTAGAAGCGTTGCGGCTGCCGCCGGCGCCGCCCAAGAAGGGCGCTAGGGTGCGCGGGCGCTACAAGCACGAGGGGGCCGAGAAGTGGTTCCATGGTAGTGTGGTGGGCATCACGTGCCGGCGCGGGCGCAGCATGTTGCTATTAGTGCGCTACGACGGCGAGGACGAGGCGGTGGACGAGGCGTGGCCGTCCGACGACTTGGAAGTCCTGGCGCCCGAGGAGGACGTCGTGGCCATGGCGGTCGAGCCTGTGCCCGTCGCGGAGCCCGCGGCCGCCGAGGCCGCGCTGCCGCCTGCCGAGGAGGCGCCCGCCGAGGAGGCGCCCGCGCTGCCGCCCAAGAAACGGGGGCGGAAGGAGCCCAAGCCCGCCGCCGAGCCCGCCGTCGAGCCGTCCAAGCCCGCCGTGCAGCCGTCCGCGGCCGAGCCGTCGTCGGCCTCGGCGCCGCCGGCCGAATCAAGAAAGCCGTCGCTCGCCGAGATGGCCACGGCGGCGGCGCGAGCGGCTAGAGAAGAGGCGGCGGCGGCGCCGCCGGAGGGCTCGGACGACTCAGACGACGAGCCGATCGGGCTGGTCGCCGGCCCGAGGGTGTAAACTAGTCTATCTTCGCGTAGAACGGACGACACCCGTTGGACGGACGCGGGCACTCTCGCGGACATATGGCCCCGTTGAATTGGCGCTTTCACGACGATGGATTCGAGTGCTGCACGCCCGCCGCGCGGCACAAAAACTCGCAACGAAAAAAAAGACCAACCCCAGCCCTCCGGGCGTTGCGGTTAGGCATCCACACGTGCGCTCGCATGTGAAATACGGGATGCGCCGCTCCGCGTTTGAAACCCGAAACACAGTAGAGCTCGCAAATTTGTTTTGGGCCTGCCCTGTCCGTGCCGCGCGGGTTCCGCTGGAGCGCGCGCGCTGCCCACTGACCATTGCCAAGACGTTCCATTGCTGCGCCGCCGCCGCGGCTGAGTAGAGGCAGCCCACCGCCGATTCAGCCTCTCGCTGCCGCTCGGTGCGCCGCGGAGCCGCCATGCCGTCCGCACGGGTCATCCCCGAGGACGTCCTCGACCTCAAGGCGCCCACGAAGAAGTTCCTCTGCCCCCTGACGGCGAACGAGTACGGGATTGAGTTTTTGTCTTTTGTCATCCAAGACTACAGGTCGAAAAAGACCATCTTCGAGGTGAGTAGGGATCGACCGTTACCGATAGATTTTTCGACGCACGACGCCTTGGATCCTGATAGTCTGAGGAAGATCAACTATGAGTTGAGTGAGGACTTTCTCATGCTGCCGCAGATTAGCACCACATTAGTTTTCTCTGTCGGGCAAGAACCTCTCAAGGACTTCCGCATGATCGAGCGCCACTACTTCCGGGATCGCCTGATCAAGTCCTACGACTTTTCGTTCGGGTTCTGTATCCCTGGTTCGACGAACACGTGGGAGGCGGTATATGCCTTACCGCCCATGGACCCGGACCTCGTCAAGGACATGATCGACCACCCCTACGAGACGTCTTCCGATTCATTCTACTTCGTCGGCGACAAGCTGATCATGCACAACAAGGCGTTCTACAAGTACGTCCGGGAAGATGCCTCCGCGCAGTGCAAGTCCTACGAGGCGAAGTACGGTAGTTCGTCGAAGGGCGAGGCCAAGGGCGCCAAGAACGCTTCTGGTGGTGCGAAGGCCGAGGCCAAGACGTCCGGCGGCGGCGCGGGCGGCGCCAAGGCCGAGGGCAAGAGCGACGCCTGGTCCAAGGAGACGGACTACTTCTAGGGTGCCGCGTGCCTGCCTAACTGCAGTCGGTATTTTAGCGGCAACCAGTGGCTGTGGCTAGTCGGCTAGTGTCTTACAGCAGCTAGCTTTTGCCGGTTCATTTTGTGACCCGGCTTTGTTGCGAAGCTCCATAGACACAGGTGAGGCTGCCGCATAACCCACCGATGGCTCACCAGCCCGCGCGGTCCATATCGGCGGCGCTGCGGCGCGAGCGGCCGCTGCGGAGGAGCGACCTCATGATCCCGCCTGGTACTGTCGAGATGGGGCCGCCTTCGCCGAGCGGCCCGGTCTTCGTGCGGCCGCGCGCCGTCGTCGATGAGGCCGACGCGACTGCCCATGCGGAGCCACCACCGGACGCGGATGCGGCGCCGACCGCACCAGAACGACCCGCGGCGAACGCGGCGCCGCCGCCCGAGGAGCCCGCCGTCGTCGTCGTCGCGGCGGCGCCGGACGACGCCGAGCCCGCGCCGCCGCCGCCACTGAGCCCGCTCCCGCCGGACGACGACGCGGTGCCGCCGCGCCACAAGCCGCTCCAGCAGCGCGTCTCGCCCCGGTCCGTGCTGCTCGTGCCGGACGAGCAGGACAGAACCGTAGACATAGACGTCTACGTGGAAGACGAGGACGAGGAACAGCTCGACCGGCTCACGATGCTGCGGAAGAGAGGCTACTTGGCCTTCTACGACCGGCCGCCGTTCATGAGCGTGGCGCTCGTGGCATCCTGGTGCCTCGTGCAGCAAGAACGCGGCTACCCCCCATACGACGAGGACGCGTACTGCCTCGGGCCCGACACGCCGTTCAAGACGGTCTTCGCCCACGCGTACGCGCATTCCTCGCGCGAGCACCTCTACTCGAACGTGGTTTCCATGCTATTGGTGGGCGGCGTCCTGGAGGCCGTCGAGGGGCCGCTCTGCGTATTGTGCATTTTTGCGTGCGCGGTGCCTTGTGGAGCGGCGTACCACTCATTATGGAAGCCGCACGCCTTCGTGCGCGGCGCCTCGGGAGGCGTCTACGGCGTGATGGCCGCGCACGTTTCGACCATGTTCATGAACTGGCACGAGATGCCTCTTCGCTACTTCCGGCTCCTGGCTTGCGTCTTCGTAATAGCGGCGGAGATCGCCGGCCGCTACTGGTACCGCCAGCCGAACCTCGGCTACGCGGCGCACTTCGGCGGCGCCGTGGGCGGCGCCGCGGCGGCGTTGGTGCTCGTGCGCAACGTGCGGCTCCGTTCGGTCCGGCGTCTGCGAGGCCTTCGACCTGCGCTCCTACGCCATCGACGCGACGCGGCGCCTACCGCCCGATTCCCGCGCAGGATGCCACGAGTTCGCGTTCCTGGTCGCCGGCCTGGTGGTGTACGCGGCGTCGGCGCTCGCGGTCGTCTACTACGCTGGTGATTCGAGACCAGCGCTCGGCATGGCGCTGGTCTCGCCGCCACTGGTGATGCAGCTCGCGATGACGTCCTGTTCCTACGACGGCGACGACTCCGTCTTGGAGCCCGGGGCGCGCGTCTTTGATCTCTCCGCGTGGCGGGCGCTGTGCCGCGGGCGGCCTTCCTCGGTCGATGATGATGGCGATGGGGTTGTGTAGGGTGTTTTCATGTGGCCTTCGAGTAGTCTCTCGGTCTGACCGCCTCCTCGCGCGCTTCAGTGAGAAAATGCTAGCGCGCATAAGGCCACTAGAATTGTCAAGACAGCAACAGAGTCAAGCGACGGTAAACCAGGGGTCAATTCGACCCGAATCGCTGGGAGGAACTCCTAAAAATGCTGACACTAACTTCCTAAGCAGCCAGCTCGAGAGACGCTGCGACCGGCACGGAGAGAGTTGAAACTCGCTCGAGCTCTCCGGTAAAAGTCCTGTGCGAGCGGTGGCGTACAACATGGCGCGGCGGCCCGGCGCAGTGGCCATGCTCGCTCTAGCTGCAGCGCCCTGGCTCTTAGCGGGCTTCGCGCCCGCACCGCCGCGTTGCCGCATGCCCGCCGCCGCAAGACGACGAATACAAGTCAACGTCGAGACGGAGCGGCGCACGGAGCAGCCGCCTCCCACCAAACGACGGCGGCGCAACGGCGTGCGGCGGCGGAACAACGGCGAGCAGCGCAACGGCGAGCCGCAGCCCGTCAACGGTAAGAGTGAGGGCCGCAGCTTGTCGGTCATAGCGTCGTCGGTCATGGCCCTTGGGGTGCTGCCCGGCGCTGAAATAAAACTCATACTGGAGAACCTCTGCGCGAGTCTCCCGCCGGACGAGTTCAAGGCTTTTCTGCTGGCGATCGGCGCCAATCTCGCGCCGCAGTACCACAAGAACATCTGCTGCAACCTGGGCCCTGATTTACTCACATTCGCGTCGCCGGACTCCATAAAGAACGCCGTGAATGGGACTACAAGAGCGGTAGGCCGAGCCTTACTGCCCAAGAGGGCCGCGAAGGCCTTTGTCAACCGGTGGCTGCGGGAAAGCGACGCGTCCGAACTCAAAGAGGTCGTCACGAACGCCTTGAAGCGAGTCGGGACGCGGCGACTGGAAATGATCGCGCCCGACTGCCTTGCAGCGGTTTTTGACCAGCCCCCGAGAGTGAAGGAAGAGTTCGTGGCGCAGGAGGTCGTGGAGCTGTCCCCAGCCTGCGCGGCCTGGGTCGCGCCGCGACTGGCCTTGGCTCTACCCGCTTCGGATCGGTCCGAGGCTCTCATCCGAAATATCGAGGGTTTATCTGATGGCGACGCGCGGGCGCTGCTGAACGATTTGGCTTTATCGTGGGAGCCGGGGGATGCTACTTTGGAGCGAGTGCTCGAGGTGGCTTTATCTGATCCAAGATCTGATGCGGTTGTCGCGGAGCGCACGTTGGCGAAACGTCTACCCACTCGTGTGAAAAATCAGTTGCTGAAGATGCTGGCGCCGTCCTTCGCCGATGACCTGGAGTTATTGGCGTCACTGGGGGACTTCGGCGGCGCTCGCAGATATGCCGATGCTGCCCTAGGCTTTCTGAGTGGAGCGCCACGAGTTTCTGGATCGCCGCGCGGAACAGGCGGCGCACTGAATGCGCGTTTAGTGGCGTCCGTCGCTAGGCAGCAAGACGTGGAAGAACGGGTCCTGAGGGGCGCCGTCAAGGCTTTAGCGCAGCCGCGCGACGCCGGACCTTTAGCTGGTGTCGAATTTCCGTCCTTCTCCAAACGGGAACCTAGACGAAGACCTTCATTGAGTGCCGAGGCCGCGGCGGCGGCGCGAGCCGCAGCGGAGACGGGGCCGTCCGTCGCGCGGCTCGACGCGGGGCAGCGGGTGGCGGAGGCGGCCGTCGCGGATGCTGTCGACACGCTGCCGCCGGCGCTAGTCGCGTCGCAGCTAAGGGCGGTTGTCGCTCGTCTGCCGGCGGACTTTGTCCGGCAGGAGGCCGTCACTCTGTTAGAAACTTTACCGTCGAAAGAACTTGTGGACGCGGCTGCCGGTTTAGTAGATGCGGCCCCGGAGGGCGTTTTACGCTCGCTCGTGTCTCGTTTATTGGATGCGGCAACAGCATCCAGACTAAAACTCACGCAAGGTCTAGCGACGGGCGGCGTCGTCACACTACAGACTTTGGGTGTGGCCGTCGATACCTATGACCAAGCTTTGTTAAGAACGACGGCTAAAACCTTGCTGTACGGCGCGCCGCCCGAAGCCCTCACACAAAAAGTGCGCGATATATTACTGTCCACGCCCTCGGAGAACATAAGGGGAGGGGTCTTGCGTGCCCTCGACGCGGCCAGCGCGAAAGCCGCGAAGTACGGCTCTTTGAAATCAATGCTCGCGGCCAAGACGCCCGTCGTCGAAGAGGTGCCCATCAACAATCAAGTGAGACGCGAGGAGCTCGCGTCGAATCTCAAGAATCTGTTTCTGCGGAAGAAGACTTCTACGGTAGAGGAGGACGCGTCGACGCTCGAGGAGCTCATCACGGCGGCCTTCAAGGAACTGCGGCCCGAGGTCATTTTGGATTTGACCCTGGAGACTCTGGCTGCCTTACCGCCGGACGCGTATGAGTCGTTGTCGCGGTTACTCGTGGTCGGCTTGTGGGACCGCCTGCTCCTCGCGCAGCTGCCGGATCCTATTTCTCGAGGGTTGCGGGACGTCGTGGACACGCTCGACAAGGGATTGAATTCGACGGCGGTGCAGTCGTACGTCGAGGCCGGCGCCGGGGGCGTCGTCGTCGGTGCTGCTGCGAGAAACGTACTAGCGGGTTTTAGCGGCGCTTTAGGAGCGAAAACAGCCTTGGGCGCTGGTCTAATCAAGATGGGCGCATTTGTCGCTGTGGGCGCCAAGGCCATTGCTCTAGCGGGCGTCGTCGTGGCTGGTAGATTGTTCCTCATAAATGATACTCCACCGGAAACGCTCGATGATTTGACCACCGCGTTAGCCGAAGACGCCTTAATAGTCGGGGGTTTGGTAGCGGTAGCGGCCTATGGGATTACGAGGTACGATCGTATAGTCGCAGAAGTCGACGGGCCGGCTCGGGTGAGGGAAGCGGGCGACCGGTCGCGGGCGGCCCTCGTGGCGCTGCTCGCGACGGAGGACGAGCTCAGTCGAAGGACGTTACGACGGCTGGCCCGCAAGGGCACGACGCGCGGCGCCGCGGCGGCGTGTCGCAATCTACTGCTCGACGAGTATTTGGATGCAGACCTGGCCGCGCGGTGCAAGCAGAGCTACGAGTCGTATCTGCTGAAGCGCGACGGGCCGCGGGACCTGCCCGCGGTCACCAAGGAGGCCAAGGCGGAACAGAATTTTGGGGACAAGGCCAGGGACGTGTGGCTGAATGTCCGCGAGTTCCCTGTTGACTTAGGGCGCGGGTTGCGCGAGCGGTTCTCGAAGGATGAACCCGACGTTGCCGACGATGAACCTGATGCGGAGGCGCTGCTCGAAGAAGCTGCGCGGCTCCGCGCCGAGGCGGACGACCTGGCGGCGGAACTCTCCTCTTCCGGCGAGGAATCTTAATTTAGTAACTGTTATCATCAATATCTGCCGATGGCTGCTCCCTTTAATTCTCTTACGTAAACGAAACGCTAGTATGTTACATGCCGCTAGCTGCGTTTTTTGCGAGGCTTTTTGCGCGATTCCACAGCTCTCGCGAATCATTATCAATCGCACTTCATAGATACGCAAGCAGTCGAATACTAATTGGCCAACAAGCGAGCAATCGAAGCTGCAAGCGGGGCCATAATGGATGCAGCCATATCACAGGCTCTCAAGCGACTGGAGGAATTAGCCGCCAAGGGCGCCATCGATGCGAATCAGCTCAAGGTAAGACAGGATCAGCTGCGCCAGCAGGATCGCGTCGCAAAGCTGGCCGCGGTGAGCGGTTGCTACATCGGAAAAGAGGGCAAGCCTGTGGCCGCCTCCGCGACCACAGGCATGGCTAGTCTGGATCACGACGTCTTGCAGCACATGCTCTCGTTTGTGAGGAGCTACCCGCGTTGCGTATTATTGGCCACGACGAGCAAACAACTGCAGCCATTGCTGCAGGGGAAACCTCTCTCGGACCGCGCAAGGGATGCGCCGGGCGAGCTCGTGATGGACCTGGTCGTACAGGCCATGAAGGACCAGGGTCTGAGCCGCGCCGCAGAAAAACGATTATCCCTCGTCGCCGAGAAGTTCCCGGACGCGCTGGATCAGCGGCACTGGCCGCCTCTGTCCCTAGACGACTTTCCCCAGCCCCCCGGGAAGAAGAGATATCGTCGGGTCTTCCTGAGCCGTCATGGTGACGAAGAGCTCGGCCATCGATTGTTTGAGCAGGAGTACGAGGAGTGGCACGGCAAGTTACCCAACAAACCGATCACGCCGCTGGAGCTCAGCGTGTCAGTTCAGTCGCCCTGGGCGATGGAGATCATGGACGCCTTGCTCGAGCTAGGGGCCAAGCCGACCGAGCTCGCGATTACAATTGACATGGGTAATGCTAATGCTATGGACGGCCGAGGCGCTTTCACACCGACGCTACTCAAGGAGAACCCATCGCTGGTTTCCACCTCGACGTACGACTTGGATTGGATTCATCGTGAGAACATATTTCCCGTTTCCGGGAGCAAGTGGATACGCGAGGTGGAGAACTTTGTGGAGTACTTGATTACCCGCTGCGGCGTCGTGCCTGAAGTAGGGGTGACGCACAGCGCGGGAGGGAACTTTAGTCATTATTACGACGACGATACGATTGCCAACTTGCTCCGCATGGCTCAGGCCACGCAGGTGTGCACGAAATGTAACGCGCCGAAGACGCGCGACGACTTTGAGCAGGAGGAGTGGGAGTGGGCCGGCGACACGCGGCTCTGTCGCACGTGCAACGTTCGCGCCTGCCGCAAATGTGGCGCGTCGAAGGCGCGCGCCGACTTCGAGGAACCGGAGTGGGAACGTGAGGGCGACGAGCGGCTCTGCCGGGTGTGCAACGTTCGCGACTGTTGCAAGTGCGGCGCGTCGAAGGGGCGGAGCGAGTTTTCGTCGGTGCAGTGGGATTGCGCCACCGGCCGCGAGTGTCGGACCTGCAACGTCCGGGCTTGCTCGAGATGCGGCAGGTCAAAAGACCCTTACCACTTCCCCGACGAGGGGGAATGGGAAAAAAATGACCGGCTCTGCCGGTCGTGCAAGCTGCCGCCGAGCAAGCGGCGGTCGTGCGCCCAATGCTCCACGTCCCTGCCGCAATCGGACTTTTCCAAAAAACAGTGGGGAAAGGCGGCGAATGGGAAGGGCCGGTGCAAGAAGTGCCTAGGAAATTGACGCTGCCGACGCGTAACAAATACTTAGCCTCTACGCCAGCGCCTTCAGCTCCTTCAGCTTCGCCGCGCACGCGTCGACGTTGCTGTCCTCGAGCGCGTCGAAGAGCGAGCCCTTCCCGTCCGGGTACGTGACCACGGGGTCCAGGATCCACTTCGCCAGCGTCGCCTCGTCCAAACCGTCGGCGATGATCGCCGCGCCGAAGGCGTCCTCGCTCGGCTTGACCTGGAGCCAGTTCATCTTCTCCGCGAGGCCCTCGAAGGGCGACGCCGACGCGTGGACGCCGTTGTCGCCCGTGTTCGGCTCGCCGCTCAAGCCCAAATTCTTCCAGTCGCTGTAGATCAGACCCCGGATCGAATCCGCCGGCGCCGCGGCCGGGTCCGTCGGTCCTAACAATTTCCCGCGGAAGTCGGCCCACGGTAAGGTGGAGGCGTCCCATTCCACGGCAAAGTAGTGGATCGAGCCCCCGGGCTGCGTGAAGCGGTCCCGCATGCTCATGTAGAAGGCGTTGAACGTGTAGATCGACGAGTCGCCCTTGGCCAGCTGCCCCGCGTAGAAGCCGCCCCCTAACTTAATAATCTTGCCCGCGCCCTTGGCCGCGCCCCAGGCCTCGTCCATCTCCGAACCACTTAATCCAAGCTCCTTGCAGGCGTCGATGGCCGTGAACGCGCGGCCCTGTGACAGGACGTCGCTCCAGGACTCGCCGAAGAATTCGGTGAACTTGTCGTCGGGCACGGCGAGTTCCGCCGGCGGCGTGATCGTGGCTTTCGACGCGATGGCGTAGTAGTGCTGGTCCACGAGCTTCTTCTGATCAATATCCTCGGACGAGATGTCGCCCTCGGACAGGATGGTGAGGCCCGCGCCCGTAAGCTTGCTCTTGACGAGCTCGATCGTCGGCGGCGTCACAGCGTGGGGCTTCACGAAGACGAAGGCCGAGTTCTTGACGGCTTGCAGCTCGCTGCCGCCTCCTCTACAAACCGTCGGCGTCGTCGCGCGCGTCGGCGCGAAGGCCTGGGCGGTCGTCGCGGCCGCTATTACACAGAGCAGCTTCATCTCGTTACCTGCGTCGACGACGACCCCGTAAATGCGTCGGCTCGATGGCGTGAAGGGTGACTCGTACGAATCTCTCGACGCGTTTGCTTTTGCTACTATCGAGGTGAGTCCTGGGTCTCGACGGCTAGTTCGCTCATGCAATTTGCTGCATCGCTGTGGCAGAGTGTGCATGCTTTTGTTCCTGTCGAGGCGAACGCAGGCCTCCGCATCTCTTCCGATTCGACTTGTTAGCTAATGTGACGCTGCGTCGGCACCTGTGCTGCTTCTCTGCGAGAGTTGGTGCTCGGCAATGAGAGCACGCAGTCACTGCTACTTGGACAGCCAGGACCTCGCCCGAGCACCGTCCGAGACTCCGGTTAGAATACCCTTCCGCACGTCAGGAAACGTCGACTCGAAGGGCCAGGCGTACTCGCAGGGCGGTAGCGGCGATTCGCGCCGCGACGGTCCGGGGGGCTCGGCGCAGGACTACTCAAGCCAAGACGCCATCGCCGCGGCGCCCAAAAAAACTAGAGCCAGCCGTATGCTTAGACCGCCGGCGTAGGGAATTCTCTTCTACGCGAAGGCGCGTTTCGCCCTCCGCGAACAAACCTTGGATCTAGGCCATCCCAAATAAGTTGGAATAGGACGGCAGCTTGGCCTTGGGCGAGAGGTTCCCGTAGCCGTTCTCGTCGGCGACGCCCTGGAGCAGCGCGACCAGGGCCTTGCCGCCCTCGCGGAGGCTCTTAAGGTCCATGCCCTGCTCCTCGCAGCGGTTGACGTACTTGGCGTCGCCGGACTCGAGGAGGGCCTGGCGGCGCTTGGCGGCCTGCAGAGGGGTCAATCCTTCGGCATCTAAGGCGTTGGCGTTGGCCCCCTTGGCCAGTAAGTAAGCGACGACCTCCGGGCGGCCCCAGGCCACGGCCGTGTGGATGGGCGGGTCGCCCGACAACGGTTCCGGAGCATCTAAGTCGACCTTGATTTCTTCCACCAGAAACTTGAGCGACGTGTTCATGTGGCTGTTCATGCACGCGCCCTGCAAGGGGATCTTCTGCTGCCAGCCCTTGGGCAGCGTGGTCCCGCCGACCTTCTTCTGCTTGCACAGATCCTTGAGCGCCGCGATGCCGTCGGCGCCGCGGCTCGCCAAATAGTCGGCGCTCTTCAGCGCCTTGTCGAGAGCCGCCTCCTGGTCCTTGCCGGACTTCTTGTAGCCGGCGGCGGCCATCGCCTGGTCCTGGAGGTAGCTCATTTGCTGTCCCATGGTCTTTGCTGTGTCTGGGGTGACTGGCTTGTTGCGTCGGAGCGGGCCTGGAGACCCTGTCGGTGTTGCGGCGGAGCGGGCTCGGAGACCGGCTCGAGTTTTCGCGTTTTGTGCCTGCGCGGGAGTGGGGTGTTGGGCGCGGCGTCGGCGACGGCGTTTCTGTGTACAGTCGCGCGCTCGGGACGTGAATCAGGCCTTGATTGCCTCTAGATCGAGAGGGCTCGTGCTCGCCACAGGCGCTGCGGATCGACGCGCTCCTTCGCGAACCGCCGTCAACGGCAGGATAGAGCTGAGCTACTGCGCGCGTTTAACGTTTTCAGACACGGCTTGTCACGGTGCAAAGCCCGGAGAGCTGAGGGCTGGCTTCTTTTGCGTTAATTCCTAAAATCGCTTTTCGGGTCGCAGAATGCACGACTCCCTTTCGGACTCAGGCTTCTCTTACATCAACATATACGTACAACGGGAGAGGACCCCTCCGGGCAAGCTCAGAAGAACTCCGTGTCCGCCGCGCTGTTGGGCATGAGCGGCGCCGCGCGGTCGTCGCCGGCCGCGGCGCGCCGCCGCCGGCAGCAGCGCGCGTAGGCGTCTGCGAGCAGTGCTGCCGCTACCAGCACAATACACACAACGCCGACGGGGTAGGCCGCGACGCGGACGAGCGGCCTTGCGGCGCGCCACACCGTCGGGAACGCGACTGCCAGAGCGATGACCGTGATACAAAACACCGCAAAGGCGACGCCGCACCGCCGCCGTCGCCTCGCGTTTTGATCGACCTCGAGGGGCCGCGCCGTCACCGGCTCGAGCGAATCGCCGCGCACATGAACGCCGCCCCAACGCCGCACCAGGTCTTCCGGCCGCACGATCGCGGACTCGTCATCACTATCTTCCTCGTCGGTGCTGAAGCGGCGCTTCTGTAAAGCTGGCAGAGCGCTCTTCATGTGTCTTCCTGTGGACTCCGGCGCGACGGCGACCGAATGTATGGTTTTGATAGGATGTAAAGCGCTGGAATCACGTGTGTTCCGGTGACGCAGCGGTCTGCGGGCCGAGCTTGCGCGCGAGCAGCCGTCTTTCTAGTGCCTTTACGAGCTAGCTCGCACCTATACGTTCAGCTGCACTGGAGCTCCTCCTCGCACGGCTCGTGACCGCCTGGACACACGAACCACTGGAGAGCTGCCACCTTAAGCAACTCGAACCACACACGCAGCATTTAGAGCGATTCGTCCCACCCTTGAGCCTCCACATAAGAACGCTTGCACGCGCACTGCCAATCCGTAACACCGTACGCCGGCCGCTTCGAGAAAACAAGAAAAATGCTCCGCCACGCCCTAAGAAGAACAACACCCGTCCTCAAGACCGCCACGCGCGGCATGCCTTTAGTACCCATGGTCATCGAGTCCTCTGGGATGGGCGAGCGCGCCTTCGACATCTTCTCGAGGCTGCTCAAGGAGCGCATCATCATGCTGCAGGGGCCGGTCCACGACGAGATGGCCGGGCTCGTTACGGCGCAGTTATTGTTCCTCGAAGCCGAAGATCCGGAACGAGCTATTAGCCTCTACATCAACTCGCCAGGTGGGAGCGTCACGGCGGGCCTCGCCATCTACGACACGATGCAGTACATCCGAGCGCTTGTCGGCACGCTGTGCCTGGGCCAGGCGGCGTCGATGGGGTCCCTCCTCCTCGCGGCCGGCGAGCCCGGGATGCGGCGCTGCCTGCCGAACGCGCAGGTCATGCTCCACCAGCCCAGTGGCGGGGCCCAGGGCCAGGCCGCCGACATCGCCATCGTCGCCAAGGAGATCCTGAAGACGCGCGAGAAGCTCAACAAGATTTACGTAAGCCACACGGGCAAGGACGTCGAGGCCATCGAGCGCGTCATGGACCGGGACACGTACTTCACGGCCGAGGAGGCGAAGGAGTTCGGGGTCGTCGACGAGGTCGTGGCGGCGCGCGAGCGGCCGGGGAAGCCCGCGGACGACGACGAGGAGCCCCTCGAGCGCGCGGCTTGAAGTCTCACATGGGAATCGCTGTAGCAGTCGGTATCGTGCAGTAAGTAACGTGTATCTTTAGTCAGTCGCGGAGCGTCGTGGGCGCGTCCGGCGCGGGCGCGGGCGCCGCGACGCAGTCGTCGTCGACGAAGACGTCGAAGGCCGGCGGCGCCTGCGCGTGAGCGCGTGGTGTTTTTCTCTCTCGGCGAGTACATCCAATGCGACCAAAAGTTGTGCCTCTGACGCCGGACCGCGGACCGCCGACGCGAGCGTCGGCGCAGACGTCTTGGGCGCGGACAGCGCCGCCTCGGTCCAGGGCGTCGGGCCGCGCGTGTTCTCCTTGGCGCGCTCGCGGAGGGACCTGTGCGCAAACCAACGTCGCGGCGATGGCGTGGAGGTGAAACGCGGGGCGGCGACCCGAAGTCGGGCCAGTCGTCAACGGGAGCCGTCACGGGCCGGAGCCCCTCGTCGACGAAGATCTCGAGGGCCGGAGTTGTTCCCGAGGCGGCCGGCGTCGACTGCGGCTGTTGCGTGGGCGCTCGCGACGGACGTTGCGCGGTCAGGCCGCGGGGCCGCGGCCGCGGCGGAGGCGGGTTCCGCTCGCGGTCGACGGCGCGCGCCTCGAAGGCCGCCTGCTTCGCCGTGAGCATTTCCGTCGGCAACGCGCCCTTCTCGAGGCCCTTCTTGTAGAGCTCCGCGGCGTTCTTGACGTGGCCGCGCTCTTCACTTCGTAAAGCCCACGCGCACCAGAACGCTGCCGACTGCAGACCGACCTTCTTCTTCTTCATGAACTTGAAGAGGTCGTCGGGGTCCTGGAGGTTGTCCGCGTAGTCGAGCCACATCTGCACGTAGCGCGCGTCGTTCTTGTAGCGCTCGTCGTCGCGGAACGCCCGGCAGCATCTTTCCCTCAGCTCAAACGCGGCGAGCGCGTCCGTCGGGCGGTGCTGTTCCAGGTACGCCGCATATGTGGTGAACGCTTGGAGGGGGTCGTCGCCTTCCGTCGATAGAGCGGCCTCGTGGTGGCGGATGGCGGCGTCGTCGTCGGGCGCGGCGCCGAAGGCTCGGTTTAATTTCGCCACGTCGCGGCCCTTCTTCCTCGGCGCGGCGTTTTCTTTGCTCGTCTCCCACGCGGGGGCTTCCGTGTCTAGCGCGGACATCGCAGCGACTGCTGTGTAGCGTAGATAGCGTGTTTGTAGCGTAGAGAGTGCAGATCGCGGCGCGGATCGCTGCGGTGGCGTCTGCGCTGTACGGCGCTTTCGCGCTAGTGTTCTGTGCGATCAATTTCGAGCTAGTTGGCTCCGCGCAGGTCGCAACGTCGCGGCGTGGGCTAGCGGCCCGTAACACACTAGAAAGTTCCGACGGGTCCTTTGCCGGGAACGCTGTCGCTGCGTCCCAGCAGAAGAGATACTAGTATGCGAAACTATCACTTACCGAACCGGAAGAAGTCCATCGCGTTCGCGATCATCTTCGCCTGGCCGAGAGGACCGTCTTTGACGTCGGCCGGTTTGCAGAATAAGAGTCCGGGATTCTTCGACACGAGGTCGAGCGCCTCGTCTTTGCTCTCGCACCGCTCCACCCACGCGTCGAAGGACGCCTTCACGCGGTCCGGCTTCCAGCCGACGACCATCTTATTATTGGTCACGATTCGCAGCGCGGCGTCGGCGTCGCCGACGGTCTCGACTAACTCTACAAAATTCGCGCGCACCGTCTCCGCGTCGGCGGCGCCGGCGAAGTCTAGCCGACGGTCCTCCTCCGCAGCGGCTGGCGCGCCTGCCTTCGCGCACAGGGCCACTGCTGCATCCGTGGCTTCCTCAACGGTGGCTCTGCTCGCCGCGAGGCGCAGCGGAAATGATCTGTGCGGCGCAAAGGCTGCCGCAGCAGCTGCAGAGAGGAGGATTATGCAATAATCTCGCATGGTACGGCTCCTTTTCTCTTGCGGTTCGATACGTGTGCACTGTAAACTATCAGATTGCCTCCTTGCTCGGCACTAAGCTTGCAAGTACAGGATGCTGGGGTGCCAAATCCACTGCGCTCTCTGGGTGACGGGTTTTCGGTATCAGCCTCTAGCTACGGAGTTCAGCGATCGCCAACGCAAGCACGGGCTGGATGGAGTCCGCGCGCCGCCCCAGGGAGCAACAGCAAGGCTAGACGCCAGGTTATTGTTGAGGCCGCTTCCTCTGCCTGGGCGGGATTGGACTCGCAAATAGCCAGCCCCTGCGACGAAATAAAGCAGTCGGGCAGCATCCAAACTAGGCTCCACGCGGTCCGGACGTCGTCGACAGCCCGGCAGCGCGGAGACAAGTGCACGCGCGGCCGCCAGCGACGACAGGGCAGCCTTCGAAGATGGACGAGGCCGCCGACACCCCTTTGCAAACCCCGGCGCCGACCTACGGCGCGGTCCCTGAGGCGGCGCCCGTATCGAGACGCCCGCGGAAGGCCCTGGTCGCCGCGCTCGGCGGCGCCGGGCTGTTGTTCGCGGCCGTCGCCGTCGCGCGCGCGCCGTCCCACGAAGCCATTGGCGCACCCTCCACGAGCTCCTTCTCCATGACGCCCGGCGTCGGCATCGGCGCCGTCGAGCCGGCGCGGCTCCACGCCGCCGCGCAGAAGAAGCCGGGCCCGAAGAAGAACGCCTACAAGGAAGGCCTCAAGACCGCCGAGCAGCGCATGGCGCACTACCGGGCGATGGTCGACGAATTGAACGCCAAGGCCGCCGTCGAGAAGACTGATCAAAGTATGGTAGCGGCGATGTGCGACATCAGTTCATCGCCGCTCGTCGACTGGACGGTCTGCGACTCGTTCGAGAACGCCGCTCCGGGTGGCTCCCTCCTAGCCGTGGAGCAGGCCTTCTTCGACGCGCAAGGCCTGAAAACGCACCTCGACGAGTGCTCGGTCTCGGAGAACACCGATTTCAATTGGCTGCGGCCCTGCGAGTGGCAGGCCGTGGCGAACATGGGTGAATTTTGCTCGGATAAGTTCAGCCCGCAAGTGCCCGAGTTGCTGCCTGGTGTTAGTCTGAGACCCGTCAAGCCTAGTGATGATGATGCTTGCACGAAATTAACTAATACGGAGGTATCTTCGGACGATTGTAGATTGTGCCAGGCGAACGCCTTCTGCTCGGCCTGCGGTGCCGATAATAAGTACTGCAACGCCTTCCTGAAGGCCCACCCCGACCTGCTGCGGAGCGAGACGAACGTCGGCACGGCCGAGGCCTTCTTCGTCGACAAGGAGTTGAGCTACTGGTGTTCTGATGACGTGCAGCAGGCTATTGATGCTGGGACGTACGACCCCAACGCGAAATACGACGTGCCGACCGGAGCCGCTATTTACACGGGCACGTACCCCGAGAGCGGCCAGGCCGACGTGTCGAAGCTCGCCGAGGCCCAGAAGACGCACACCACATTACCGCAGCGCCACGCTGATGCGGGCGAAACTGAGCAATCGCGCAAAAACAAGCAGGCCAAGAAGGCCAAGGTCGACGCCACGCCGCCGAACCCCGACCGCCACGCGATTACCAGAAGGAGCCCCGACGCGACGTGGACGGGGTCGCGGACGGCCACGGAGCAGGAGCGGCTCAGCGCGCCGGTCGAGAGCGACCACAAGGCCTGCGCCTACGACGCGGCGATCGACCGCGAAAGTTATATTGCGATCGGCGGCTACGACACGGTCGCGTACTGGTCCCTTCCCTCAACAACGGACAAGATGCCGGATGGGTCGACGCCGATGCCCGCGCCGGCCGTCAAAGGTAAGAGCGAGTATGCTGTGAATCATGGAGGACATGTGTGGTACTTCGCGAACCAGGAAAACATGGATAAGTTCATCGAGTCGCCGAATGCATATGTTCCGGCGTTTGGCGGTTTCTGTACCTGGGGAATTGCCTACGAGACTTGGTGGGGCTGCGTCGGCAATGGTGTATTGGTGCTGCCGCCGGCGGACCCGAACTCGTGGTACATCAAGGACGGCAAGCTGTATTTCCTGCTCTTCTACGGGCTCTGGGACTGGTTGGAGACAGAGCCTGGGGGGATCGACCAGTCGCTCGCCATCGCGAGCGGCCGGTGGCGCCAGTGCTTCGGCGACATCTTCGAGACGAACTTCATGTTCGACGGCGTCATCTCGGACCTCTACCAGGGCACGTGCGAGATGCGCGACGGCAGCGCACCCCTCCAGAAGGGCGACGACGACTCGGCGCTGCCGTACTAAGACATAGTGGTTATATATGGCCCCTCGTCGGTCGCGTCGCGCGGAGCTATACCTAGGTAGTGACACTCTAGGTAATGAAACAAGAGACGCAAGCAGTGCTAGAAGCTATTCTTCCACGCGCGCGGCGATCTGCAGCCGACAATTCGCCTGGGGCTGCCCGCGGCCGCGTTTTTGACTGACTCTGTGTGCACAGCGATGGGCCTGTTCGCGGCCGACGGGGTCGAGCCCATCGAGTGGCTCGCCGCCGGCGATGCGGTAAAGCTCCAGTGCGTGACGGGGCATTGGGGCAACCAAAACAACAACTGGGTCGGCATCGACGGCGACGGCGACAACTCTGTGCGTTGCGTGTATTCGCGCGACCAAGCCGCTGTCTTTACTTTGTACAAGACTGATCGCTTGAACAGGTACAGGCTTCAGAGCAGGGACGGCTGGCTCGGGCGAAGGGGTGAACACATGGTTGCCAACCAGCCGCGGGGGTCATCCTACGACTTCATCGCGTGGTCCGCCAGGGAAGACGGGTATTACTGGGGGCGGACAGCCAAGGGGGGTTTGGAAAAATGGAGGAAATTTGTGAGAGAGCCGCGAGCCCCCGGGCGGGTGGCCCTCGAATATTGCGACGGTATCGTCGGGAGGCGCATATCTTGCCGAACCGACGGCGGCTGGATGGTTCTCACGCCACACGATATTTCGACTCTGGCAGGTGCCGAAGGAGACGTGGAATATCGCGTGGCGATCACGGTCGACCCGAGATCGCCGCCCCCTATGCCGGGCGGCAGCTGGCTCCAGTCGGCCAAGGATTGGCGCGTCGTACACAACGTTAGAGATAATACCTGGGCGCTGCACGCATCGCTGGCGACATCGGTTGGCGCCTGGCGCACGAGTCGGATGTCCTTCGATCCCGAGCAAATGGTGCCTCTGTGGAACAAGGAGGGCGTGTTTCGGGAGGGGGGTAAAGTCGGTAAATTCGCGGCGCTGGTTGAGTGGTACTACATTAGAAGAAGTCAGGCCGGGTTCAAGGTCAAGTACCCGCTCTTCCTCCGCGGACGCATCCCGCCTGACGACTTCGTCGACGACCTCCGGGGTTTCCCCGAAGTCAGGGCGCAACCTACCAGCAGGGCAAAATTCGACGGTGCGATAGCTAAATTGCGGGAAAAATACGAGGCTGTCGGAGTCACGCTGAAGCGCCGGGAGACGACGGTCAAGTCGGACGGGTGTTGTTGCCCCGGCCCCCCGAAGATGGTCTGGTTCCTTGAGGTCGCACTACGGGACGCGGAGCCCCCGGCGCCAACACCCGAACTTTCAGAGGAACAGCGCGCCGCAATCGCCGCATTTGCCGAGATGGACACTGATGGTGACGGCGAGCTGACCGCCGACGAGATCTTCCGGGCGCTCTCGAAGAACAATGCGGACGTGACCCTCGAGCGCGTTCACGAAATAATGAGCAAGGCTGACAAGGACCAAAACGGGACGATTAGTCAGCAGGAGTACCTGGACGCCGTCGCCGCCATGGGACCTGGATGGATTGGCTCTTGGCTCGGAAAAATAGCCGCGCGCGTCACCGCGGTGTGGGCGGAGCCTGAGCAGAAGCCAATCGACGGCGAGGTCGTGCCGGACACCGCGGTGTGGGCGGAGCCTGAGCAGGAGCCAGTCGACGGCGAGCTCGTGCCGGAGGGCGAGGCCAGCGCCGTGGAGGAGGTCGCGATCGAGGCCGCCCCCGAGCAGCCGCTGAGCCCGGGGTTCTCCAATCTGCAAGTCGAGCTGCGCGCCGAGCAATTTGCGCTCGAGCCCGAAGCCGAAACATAAAAAAAAACCGCACGAATTCGAACTTCTCACCCTCCGTCGGCCTAAGAACTACTACATCTCCCCCTTACTCTTCGCCGCGGCGGCCGCGCGCCAGCCGCGCGCGCGCCCGCGCGGCGGCATCTGCTTGCCGTTCGCAGCCCCCGGGACGTTGATAATCTTCTTCCCCGCCTCGGAGAAGCCGAGGCGCACCGTGTCGTAGCGGCAGACGTAGTCCGGCCTTTTTTTGTTGTCGCACCAGTCGTAGCCGTCGAAGAAGCGCGCGGCGTAGTGCTGGCCCCGCTGGCGGCAGCCGCGGCCCGCCTCGCAGCGGGGCTGCGCGAGCATGCAGGCCTGGTCGCACTGGTCCGTCTCCTCGAGCGGGCACGTGTGGCCGTCTTGCGACACGAAGAGCTTGTACCAGATGCGCCCGCCCGCGCGGACGCGTCGCAGGCAAAACTCGAAGAGCCGCGCGACGGGGATGTGCTTGTCCGACACCGCGTTCAATAAATGCCGCTCCCCGCTGATGCCGACGTGCCGCGTCTCGCTCGTGTTGACGTGGTACGTGATGAGCGTCTCGATCCTGTTTAAGTAAGTATAAAGCATCTCCTGGCGCTGGCCGAGCGCGAAGCGATCGTTGAGCACCAGGTCGCCGTTGATGGAACACCCAAAGTGGGGCACGAAGATCTTGGCCACGGGCGACTTCGACGCGAAGGCAAACACCGGCGCGGGCACCTCGCGCGTGAAGATCGTGTCGACTCTTACCGAAGCGACGACGTCGAACCTCAAACCCGTGGCGTGCTCCCGCGCTTCGACTAATCGCCCCGATTCCCGCAACGAATGCAGCGCCCGCAACAAGTTCATGATCGACTGGCCATCATCATGATACGTGTCCGACGTCACCTTCATGACCTGGCGCTTGAATTTCTGGAGTCTGGCATCCAAGGCGTCTTGATCTTCCAGAGTCCATCGGCAGGGCGCGAACCTTCTCCACGCCCCATATCCCGGTAATTTCTGGAGCGCCTCGCCGCTTCGCGCGTTCGTTATTCTACTGGCGACGTTCGCATGTAAGACGACGTCAATCGTGTACTTTTCCTTCGTATCATCTAACAGTGGTGCGAGCAGGAACCGCTCGAAGTTCAAGGCCGTGGCGTTATTCCTGACGAGTCCAAAGAGAGCTAGCGCGACTCGGGTTCCTTGCGCGGGGTCGTGCGGCACGTTCTGAATACCACATCGCTTTGGCGGCTCGGAGTCGGCGGTGTAGGTCCGCATCGGCTTTGGTTTGTGCTTGACCATTTCGGAGGCCGTTGTGAAGGCGGCGAGGCATATCATAAGACGCATGGGTGTGCAGCTGGAGGCGGAGCTGCCGCGGCGATGGCGTGCGGCCATGGTTGTGTAGCTAGAGGCAGTGCTGCCTCGCGGCGATGGCGTGGGGCAGCAGTCCGTCTTTGGGCGTCAGCAACGCGCCGGCGGCTTCGATAAAACGTCCACGCACGCCCGTTCCATCGCTTATGCGCTTGGGCAGCCCTGTGCCGTGTCCTTACTTTTTTGCTGCTTGCTAGGGATGCCTAGTGTCTTACAGGCCGCTAGCACGCGGATTTCCCCGACGCGAGCTTGCTGCGGCGGAAACATCCGCACGTCAGGTTCAGCAGAGGTCGTCCGGATTGCCTGTAGGCCTCACCCAAGCTAACACTCGGGCGGCGTATGGGGGCCGGGGGCGGGGCGGGCGTGCGGTCACGCAGAGAGGTGTCGGTTTCGTGGCTAGGCGGCCTAGCGCTAAGCAAAGCAAGTAAACAAATGTGCCCTTACGAACCGCGAAGAGCCGAGCAGTCCTCCATGTGGTCCGTCGTGAGCGTGAGCTCGTCGAGGACGAAGGCGTTCTCGCAGGTCACGTCGAACTGGGCGCTGTCGGCGTCCTTTATACAAACGTCGGGCGCCCGCGCGAGCCAGTTGAAGTGCGTGGATTTGGGCACGTCCGCCTCGTAGCGCGGCGCGTCGGCGACGTCCGCGGCGAGCCAGGGGCAGTAGTACTGCACGTCGTCGTACGAGCACTCGGCCTCGATGAAGGTCGCGGCCCGCGTCTCGTCGTAGCAGGGGCGCTGGGCCGGCTGGACGTGCATGTCCCAGTTCTTGGCGAGGCGGTCCGCGAGGTCGGCGCGCACGTCCGCCGGCAGCGCGTCGCCGCAGTTCAGGTTCGTGCTCTCGGACGGGTCCTCCAACAGATCCGAGACCCAGACCGTCGTGCGGTCGGCCGAGCAGTCGCAGCCCGCGTATTCGCTCGACGGCGTCCCGACGGCGCACGGCGCCTGGCCGATGAGCACCTTATAGCGGTCCGTTCGGAGCGAGACCATGGCCTCGCCCGCGTCGTCGCCCGTGCCGGCCGTGGCCAGGAGCAGGATGTCCTCGCGCTTCTTCTCGCTGTTGCCTCTCAAAGATTCCCAGAGGTCCTGGCCGTAGAGGTCGTCGGGGAGGGCCTCCGGCGCGCCCAGGGCGCCTCCTATTAACGTCGGCACCCAGTCCGTGACGTGGACGAGGCCCTCGTAGGACTTGAGCGAGCCGCGCAGGTTCGCCCCGAGCCACATGAAGCACGGCACCTGGGTGCCGCCCTGCCAGCCCGAGCCCTTGCCGCCGCGCAGCGGGTAGTTCGAGGCGCCCTTGTGGGGCTCGCCGCCGTTGTCGCTCGTCTGGATCCAGATCGTGTTGTCCCGGTCCAAGCGCGAGTAGATCCACTCGTTCGCCGCGTCGACGATGCGCAGCGCCGCCAGGGCCAGCGCCCGCTCCTGCGGCAGCCCGAGGCCCACGGCCTTCATGTAGACGGGCTGGCCCAGCGCGTGCGCGTCGGGGATCGCCACGTCGTAGTGGATCGCGTTCCAGGCCGCGTACAAGAACAGCGCCTTGCCCGCGGTCTTGGCCGCGGCGACCTCGCCGAGCGCCGCGTCGCGCAGGAACCGCGTCGTGTACTGGCCCGCCGCCTTGGGCGACGGCCCGTCGTTGCGCTGCGCGTCGAGGATCGTCCCGGCGATGTCGGTCATGGCCACCGATTCGATCGTCCAGTCAAAGTAGTCGATCATCGCGTTGTAAAAGCCCGTGAAGGCGTCGAAGCCCCGCGCCGTGGGGACGTATTTGGGGGAAGCCGCGCCGAGGTCCCACTTGCCGACGATGGCCCTGTGGTAGGCGCCCGGCCGCGCCTTCTCGAGGAGCTCGCCGATCGTCTGCTCGTCCGTCGGGAGCGCGGCCGTCGCGCCGGCCAGCAGCGGCACGTGCATCCCCAGCTGGGCGTGGTGCCTTCCGGTGAGAAGCATGGCCCGCGAGGGCGTGCAGTCGCGCCAGGTGTGGTAGTTTTTCACGTCGACGCCGCCCGCGTCCTTGCGCAGCGCGTCCGCGAAGGGCATCGCGGATTGCGTCGCGGCGTCCTGCGCGAGCCACGGCACGTCGGCGTAGCCCTGGTCGTCGAGCAGCGAGATGACGATCGTCGGCGTCTTCGCCGCGCTCCGCCGCCCGACGTTCCCGATCTCCGGGTCGTTGCTTCGGCGCAGCTCCGTCGTCCGGGCGTTCGTGACGACGGCGACGGCGCCGAAGGCCGCGACGCAGGCGACGGCGGCGCCGACGGCGGGGCGCAGGCGCCTCGCTCGCCGCTGTTGGTGGGGCAGCAGGCTGGTCGTCTCCTCGCCCTCCGACGCGTCGTAGATGGGCTGCCCGTCCATGGTCTCTCGGGCTGCCTTGTTTTTGCTTGTTTTGGCGGTACACACGCTCGGGTGCCTCGGGCGCGCCTTCTTGGGCGCGCTGCCTCGGTGGGGCTGCTCTACGCGGTCGTCGAACAGCCGCAAAAGCCAAACTCACAAGCCCATCTCCTGTGGAAAAGCGAGCCACTATTTGATTGAAGCGACGCGCGCGACCCGTTCCTGGCCTCCCCGGGGGTGTGGGGAGCCCTCAGACTACCCCGCGACGTAGTCCTAGCCGAAATGCTAGCGGCATGAAGGCACTAGCAAGCATGGACAAGCGGGCGACGGGACGCGGAGCTGCATTACGGCCTAGAGATAGTCAGTTACTAATTCGTGTAGCGCATCAAGCCCTCACAGCGTTGTGCCGACGACTGCGCCCAGCCGCGTGTCCCTACCGTACTGTATACAGCAGAGCAGAGCAGCCCTGCTCCTGCAGCAACACATTGCAGCGCGCAGCGCGAAACGCCGAAGCGACACGCCGCCGCAGCGACAAAGTCTAAAAACAACGCTATAAAAAATGCCCAAGCGCAAGGGCAAGGACTCGAGTGGAGGCGGCGGCAAGCGCCACGACTCGGGCCTATTAGCCGCAGATAAAAGCTTGGGCCAGAACTTCCTCAAGAACCCTGCTGTTGTTGATAGTATAGTGGAAAGAGCTAAACTCAGACCGACGGACGCCGTGCTCGAGGTCGGTCCCGGTACGGGGAACTTGACTGTCAAGTTATTAGCGAGGGCCAAGTCGCTCGTCGCGGTGGAATTCGACCCGCGCATGGTCCGCGAGGTCAAGAAGCGCGTGGAGGGCGATCCCCGCAAGCATCGCCTCGAATTGATCCAGGGCGACATCCTGAAGACGCCGCTGCCGTTCTTCGACGTCTGCGTCGCTAATCTGCCGTACAACATCTCGTCGCCGTTTTTGTTCAAGTTATTAGCACATAGACCCTACTTTCGGTGCGCGGTGGTCATGTTCCAGGAGGAGTTTGCTCAGAGATTGTCCGCGAGGCCGGGCGACGCGTTGTACTGTAGATTGTCGGTCAACACGCAGTTGCTGGCCAAAGTGACACAATTAATCAAGGTAGGGAGGAACAACTTCCGGCCCCCGCCAAAAGTCGACTCGCGCGTCGTGCGCATCGAGCTGAAGAACCCGCCGCCGCCGGTCAATTTTGTGGAATGGGACGGCCTCGTGAAATTGTGCTTCAACCGCAAGAACAAGACCCTTAGATCATTATTCACGTCGAAGAAAGTGATCGCCGACCTGGAGACGTCCTGGAAGACGTTCGCGGCGCTCCGCGGTGCTTCGGGCGAAACGCCGGACGTGAAGGCCATGGTCGAGGAGGTCGTCGGTGGCGAGCGCTTCGACGGGAAGCGGCCCGCCAAGATGGACCAGGACGACTTCCTCGCGTTGTTGGTGGCGTTCAACGCCAAGGGGTTGCACTTCACGTAAGGATGGCTTTTTGTGATCGGTAGGAGTCGCCGCCGCGAGCTCCGTCGCGGTGGAGCCCGTCGTCCGGGCCTGACCTGAGGCGTCTTTTTGTGATCGTAGGAGTCCTCCGCGGCGAGAGCCGTCGTCGCGAGGCTTCCTGGTGGGGGCCGCGGCGGCCTCACGTGCCGCTCTGCCAAGGCTTGGCGCAACACAGCTCCATTCCAATTTTGGCAGGCAACAGGCGTTGCGGGGCGTGCTTAGGACACGCAAACGAGCCGACCAAAGCGGTAGGGGCAGCCATTCGTACCGCGAGCGGCGAGGCAAGAGGCAGGCAGCCTCTCCAGATAAAACAACTACAGCTCTACGCGCGGCGCGCCCGCGGAGCGCTAGTCGTACCGCAGTGACGTACCGCAGTGACGCCGGTCGAGGCGCAGCAGCAGCAAGAATCCCTCTACACCGGCACAATATGCGCTCTCTTCTCGTCGCGCTGCTGGCACCGCTCGGCGCGGCACAGTGCCCGAGCCCCTATCAGGGCACGAGCATCGATGCTTGCTTCCTGATTTCTGATTTCCCGGCGACGTTCTCGCAGTGCCAGCAGCACTGCGAGTCGAACGGCGGCTCGCTGGCCACCATTAAGTCGAAGGCGGAGGACGACTACGTGCGCCAACTGGTGACGACGCAGCGCGCGGTCTGGATCGGATTGTTCGAGTCCGGCGAGCAGGACGAAAGCGGTGTGTGGGAGTGGGTCAACGGCATGTCCGATACGTGGCGCAACTGGCAGCCCGCTGTGTGGAAATCAACCAGTGCGTCGGGTGCCAATTCTTCACTAAGTCATTTCTCGGCGACGACGTGGTCGCGCTGGCTCCGTCGAGCGGTGAGGAACTGGCATCGCCACGCCATCGAGCAGGCGTCGCGTCGATGGCGTGGAGGTCGACGCGACGATTCAGCACGAACGCGCCATAAAATTTTGATTTCCACACAGGCAGCCCGGCGAGCCGAACGAGTGGTGCACGGACGAGGACTGCGGCTTACTGGCGCCGGGGCTCTGGGACGGCTGGGTCGACGCGTCGTGCACGATTCCCAATTGGGCGCACTGTCTGTGTCGGCGGGGCCAGCTCGCGGGCACGAACTACCGGCGGGACCGCGTGCGCCTCGACCAGAACGCTCACGACTACGATGACTGCAAGGAGAAGGAGGAGGAGGATCCTGATGAAGATGAAGATCAGGCGGGCTACTTCCGGTACTGTCGAGAGAATGGGTTAGCCCCCAAAAATTGGGACGCGCGGCGGCAGGCCTACCCGTACGAGGATGAAAAAGCTGCGGGGTACCAGTCGGGGACCTGCGGCTTCGCCGCCTGGGAGCGCGACGAGCAGTGGGCGGTCTGCTGCTGCGTGGATCCGACGTTCTGCTGCGCCTGGGGCGAGGACGAGAACTGCAAGTCGCGCGACGAGGAGTGGGAGGACGAGGACGAGGGGATGCGCGACGAGGAACTCGTCGAGCGGGTGGACGCGATGAAGCGCGAGGTCGACGCTCTGTTGGCGCTCGTCGTCGTGCTACTCGTCGTCGTCGGCGCGCTGATCGTCTACCTCGTGCCGTGGCGGCGGCGACCGGCCTTCGCCAGCCCGTCGCTGAGCGTCGAGCTGAACCCGACGACGTACAACGAGCTCGGGCGCAGCGTCGAGGGGATCTGAGCGTAAGTTTATGAGTGTTTAGGCAAGGGGGAACAGCAAGGGGGAGGGCACCTCCGAACTTCACCAGCAGGTCGTGCACAGGCACACCTCCGCAGAGAGCCCTCTTTCGCCGATGGAGGCGTAGGGGACACTAATGCCGCATATGCTGGCGTCTGGGAGCTCGAGCCAAGGCACTTGCAAGCTCGCGAAGACGCACGTTTCCCCGCCCGGTCTGGTGCAGCCGCTCGTATCACACACGGTCGAAATCGAGCTTTCCGCGCCCGCAGAGAGGGTCCCGAGCGCGTCCTGTGCCTCGAACGTCACTTTGCCCTCGAACTCGACTTGCACGTTACCGGTCGAGTAACTCACCCACGGGTCGCCGACGTGGACGGACGCCGCGTTGGCGCCGGCGTAGGTATCCACCTGCACCTGGACCGGGACGCGCACCTCCGCTTCGAACGCGCACGCGTCGCCGCCGCCGCCGCCGTTTCCGTTGTACCAGATGTCGCACCACGGATACATCTTGCAGATGAGCCCGCTGCCGTCGCTGCCGCCGCCGCCGCTGCCCCAGTCGTCCCAGAACCAGCTTCCGCCGTCGTCCCAGAGCCCAATCACATCATCGCCCCAGAAGAAGTCCGGCGTGGCCGCCTCGGTGCCCGGCGCGGCCTCCTTCTTCGCCCGCGCGGTGAGGACCAGGTCCCGGGCGAACAGGTAGTAGGCCTCGGGCTTCTCCGGCTCGGTGACGGCGCGGCCATGTTGCGCGGCAAAGGCCTTGTCCGCGGCGGCGAGGAACTCGCGCTGCCGCTCCTCCCCGGCGCCCGCGAGTTCGCTCATGGCTGCCGCGTGGGTCTTGCGCAGGCCCTGGGTGGTGAAGACCTCGGCCTTGACGCCCGCGGTCATGACCGCGTTCGCCACGCCGTACGCCGTGGCGACCGTGCGCTCCCGCGCGTAGCTCGCCTCGCCGTCCACGTCGAAGCAGACCCCGAACACGAGGTCGAACTCGAGGTCCAGGACGATGCGGAAGACGCACGGCAGGTCGTAGACGCACAGGCCGTCGCCGTCGAACTCGACGCCGATGGTCACGCCGTCGCCGCTGCACTCGAACCCGGGGTCGAGCCAGGGAATGCAGGTCTCCGCGCAGTCGATGAAGTCGGGCTCGACGACGTCGCCCACGTCCCGAGTCGCGACCGCGGTCGACGGCGCGGCGCGCAGGGCCTGCGACCGCGGCCCCGCCCCGCCCCGCGCCGCGACCGCGCCGAGCAGCAGCGCCGCGCCGAACGCGGCTCCCGCCACCAGGGCGCGGCTCTTCTTCTTCGGTACCAGCGGCTGCTGCTCCGAGTCCGTATCCACGAGGAGCTGCTGCTCGTCGTCCGCCATGCTGCCCTTTAGCTACGAACGCGTCTCCCGGCCTTTTTTTCGAACGAATCTACTCTCCCAGACAGGGAGGAGGGTCTGGGAGGGAAGATATCAGAAAAGGCACCGTTTACCCAGCACGCATGCATCCGTCTGGCGAGTCGGAGGATAGCGCACGACCCGGACAGAACGTTCCAATCCACTGCTGCAACAAAATGCATAAAATTTAATGCACTCTAGAGTGTTACACACGCTGCACCAAGCAAGCAAGCTGCGCTTGACGCTCTCTCTCCAACCTCGCATCCAGCAGAGCACTGTGCAGCGCTGGCGACGCATAACTTGTTGTAAAAGGTCGTGGGCAAGCAACAGTGCAGTGCAGCACTCTCAATGGAGACCCTGCAGCTCCTACTCATAGCAGCAGCAGTGGCCGCCGCCTGCGGCGCCTTGTTCGTCGCGTGGGCCGCGACGTCCGACTCGCGCGAGGCGCGCGTCTACCGGCGGAAGTGGAAAGAGTTCCGCCTGAAAAACAGCAAACGCAACACGTCGAAGTACCGCGGCGTCGGCGCGGGCGGCGGCATGCATGCGGCGTCCCCAGGCGGAGCCTTCGACGTGCGACGGTCGCGGCGATGGCGTGCTGGTGGCAGGGCACCGCCTCAGAAACGCCATCGACGCGCCCCCCCCACGCAGGCGCGAGCGCGCGCGACAAGCGCGTCGGCTAGCTTCTAGGACATAAAAACACTATGACACAACACTCCACGTGCGCGAGAGCCGCTCGCGGTTCGCACGGACGTGGGCCCGGAAGGCGTCCCCGTCGAGCAGCGGGTCCTCGTCGACCTCCTCGAGCGCGTCCACGGAGATGAACGCGTCGTCTCTAATGGAAGCGTCGTCCGGCCGCAGCTGCAAAGCGACGTCGACGCGGCTCCTAGGAACCTTCCCGACGCCGTCCGCGTCCAGTAAACTAAACACCAGGTCTAGTGCACCGTCCTCGCACGAGTGCAGCGCGTCGAGCACGGCGAAGCCGACTAAGAACGAGAAGAAGTCGATGTCGTCCGAGCCGCCCCCGAGCTTCGCAAACAACGCGTCCAAGGTACTATCGTCGAGGCGCAGGTCCTCCTGCTGCTCGACGACGTTGCCGCGCAGCGCGGCCCGGAACTGCACCACGGACAACTTGCCGTGTTTTTGTTGATCAGCCCTTGCGAACCTCTTGAGGGCGTCCGCCGCGCGCAGCCGCTCGACGGGCGTCTCGGGCAGGGCCTTCTGTAAAGCTTTGAGCTGCACGAGCGTCTTGTGCGGCGGCAGGCCCAATTGCCTGTGCGGAAATCAACCAGTGACTCAGGTTAGAACGACGTCGCGGCGATGGCGTGGGGCGCCTGAAATATGATTTCCACACAGCTAATCACCGCGCCGTCATGTTCAGCCACATGTCCGCCCAGGAGTGGTCCGTGACCGGCACGCCCAGTGAATCGGCCATCGCCCGGCGCACCCTCCCACCAAATGCGGCCGTCGACTCCTCCAATGGTTCAATAGGATCCAAAAAGTCGATGCGAACCCGGTTCCAGGGCTGCAGCATCATTCTGAGTGAGAGTTCGCCGAACTGCGGGCCCGCGGTGCACCAGGACGGATCCAATCCCATACCGCATCTGACCGCAAAGGGGAACCGCGCGACCGCCGGCTGCACTTTAGCTTGAGGCGCGAAGGCCCCGGGCTTGAACGAGATCAAGGCCCTACCGTTTAACGTCGTCCCTTCAGGGAATACTAACACAGGCGGCCACTCGGTAGCTTGGGGCCTTGTGCGTCGATGAATCGCGTCGACGACTCTTGAACGAGACGCCGGGTCGCCCCTTTCGAGCCAAATCAACTGGTGTAACCTTCCAACAGCGCCCAGCGCCGGTAATTTGGCGAAAGCCGACGCGGTGACGGGCGTGCACCGCGTCTCTATGAGCAGTACGAGGGGTTCGACCATGCTGAGGTGGTTGCAGACGAGCACCCTCGCGTTTGCGTCCAGTTTTTCTCGCCCTCTCACCTCGACGCGCCAGAAGCCTAGAGCCAGCAGAGCGAGGCGCACGAACAGTAAAACAGGCAAGCCTAGGACCCGCCGCCAGCGCGGCAACCGGGCGTCGTCCGGCGGCGTCGTGAGCGGGAGCGACTCACCCGACGGCGCCCGCGCGCCCCAGCCTATTGTAGCGATCGTCGCGAAGAACGACGCGCCGCTCGCCGCTATCACCAAAAACGCGACGCGGGCCGGGAGCAGCCACGGGGCTAATAGAGCCATCTTCAGGCGCTCGGCGCTCGTGACGCGCCACGTCGCGTTCACCCAGGGGTTCACGCTTCTTGGTAATTCGGCGCACATCTCGAGGCGGTGGCCGCTTCTCGACCGCCTCACGGAAGGCCGCTGCGCCGCGGCCAGGGCCGCCGGGTCCTGGAAGGGCGCGCAGCACTCGACCTTTTCTTCTTCCTTTCCGTTCCGCAGCAGCTCCTCGAGGTCCTCGTTGCGGCCGCGCGTGAAGAGGCCCATCAAAATCCACGCAAATAGTGATGTGACGAGCCAGTACGCGAGCGTGTTCGTCGCGCCGACCGTCGTTGTGGCGTACCAAATGAGTACGATCGCTTCGATCATGTTTGCTGCCCGCGGCTTACGGCACGACTATGCGCGCTGCGGCGTAGCTATGCAGTGGTTATGCAGTGGCTGCCAGCTGCTACTCGACGGCGTAACGGTCGTCGGACGGTCGCCGCCTGCTTCCGACGTACTCCGGGGCCACTAATATGATATAGCCACTGACAGCGTCGATTTCTTACGGGAGCAACGTCCGGTTTTTGCTGAGGCTGCGTGGTTGCTAGTGTGTGTACGCTAGCCCGGCCGCCGCACCCAAGCTAAAAACGCGCTCAAACGAGCTCAATCCTGCACGCTGGTGCAAGACAGCGCCTGCGAGGCACCCCAGAGAGCCGGCGCAGCGCTCCGTTGCATCACTGAGCCGCAATATGGCGAGATCACTGCTGCTTGTGGCATTGCCACTCAGCCATGCGCTGCTCGCGCCGCCGACGAGCTACGCCAGGATACCCGCCCTCCGAGCAATAGTAAACTACCAAGTAGAAGAAGGCGGCGAAGCTAGAGCGACGCCGCTCTCCGACGACTTCGACGGCGCGGTCCAGGACGCGGCTAATGGCTTATTAGGTGCGATACAAGACGGCTCCCTCAAACTACGATTAGACTTCGACACGAGCATGGGCGACGAGACCTACACGAAGCTCAAACTCTCGACGGAGTTCGCGCGAGACGTCGCCATCGAGTGGGCTCTCAGTATGGAAGAGGACGAGAACTTGGTGCTCTTCTTCCCCGACGCGGGGGCCGCCGCTCTGGCGAGGCAGGAGTGGAAGATGGATGATTTGGACGAGGCCGAGGTGCCTCCCAACGTGCGCGTCAAGGCTTTTCCGCGCGACCGGCTGGACGCGGACGATAGGGCGGTCTTCGCGTTATGTCCGCGGGCGCCGGAGCGGGACGCTTGTGAAGAATTAGTGAATACGTGTGAGGAAACTTTGCGGCCCGTCGCTTTCTGTGTGGAAGAATTTTACGCGAGAGACCTTCACGCCATCGAGCAGACGCGGTTACGTGGAAATCAACCAGTGAGTTAGGGTATGACGCCATCGAGCATACGCAGTAATGGGAATATCGTCGCGTCGATGGCGTGGAGTCTCCACGCCATCGCGCAGAGCCACCTGAAATTTGATCTCCACACAGGTCGCGTTACTGAACCCGTACTTAGTTGATATGGGTACGACGGGCTACGGCATGGCCGGCCGCCTGTTCAAGGAGCGCTTCGTCGACGCCCTCGAGCCGTGCTATTATCTGAGGACGCTCGAGTGGGGCGCGCTGGCCCGGACCTACCCGCGGCCCTACAGCGTCTGGCGCCAGTGCGGCCTTGACGAGGATGTGGAGGGCGGCTACGCGTTCGTGAAGAACTATTTTTCGCAGCCGAACGACGAAATGCTGGAGGAGCTCTTCGACGAGGTCTACGGCACGAACACGGGCGGCCCGATGGACGAAGCCGACGGCGGCGGGGGGAACCTCTTCGACGGCATCGGCAAGTTCATCGACGCGTTCCAGAAGTTGTAATTCGATCGTTTTGTAATTTGCTAGGGCTATAGTAAGCTCCCGAGTGGGCCGTGGCCAGTCGTCGCGGCGGCGGCTCCATCGTTGGCGCGAGCAGGAACCCTCCATAAAGCGGCGCGTAAATATTATCACCTAGCTCTAAGCAAAAAAATCATGAGACGAATATAGGCGTACTTACGAAGATAGAACAGTCGCGCGCCTCGGAAGAAGGAAATAAATTCACGCGGCCATCGCGGCCGCCAACCTACGTTCGGGCTCGGACCGTTCCGGGTCCTTGTTGGAACCGCCGAACGATTCCGGGATCTGGGAGTCGTCGCAGATCTCGCGCAACGCACTCAACGTCTCGACGCCGGCCCTTACAATGCTCACCTTGGCGACCGTCTTCGGGTCGACCCAGGGCTTGACCACTTTCCAGACCACTTGGAACCACTGCGGCGCGTTGCAGATGACGACGCGCGAGACCCGTTCCGGGTAGTGCTCCCTAGCGATTTTAGCACAAGCTTTGACGAACTGGTAGCGCACGCCGCGACACTGCGCCAACTGCAGGCCGTCCACATCGAACAAGACGCATTGATAACTCCTAGGACCGTCCCGCTCCGGCGCCAAGTAGGCCCACGTGAACTCGTGGACCGCGACGTAATGCCGGACCATGTCTTGGAGGGACACGTTTTCCCTCGCTAACATATTCATGTCGACGTGGCCAATTCGCTCCAAGTATACTAATTGACCATCTCTACCATGACCTGTGTGGAAATCAAATTTTTACGGCGCGTTCGTGCTGAATCATCGCGTCGTCCTCCACGCCATCGACGCGTCGCCTGCTCGATGGCGTGGCGATGCCGGTTCCTCACCGCTCGACGGAGCCAGCACGACCGCGTCATCGCCGAGAAATGACTTAGTGAAGAATTATCGGGTGCACCCGGCCCACTGGTTGATTTCCACACAGACCATGACCAATCCAGAAGTGGGGATATGCCTTTTTAATGGCTTTGAATTTGGGATGAGGTTCCTCCAGTATCTTATCAGTGCCGTAGTGGGCCCTCCACCGCTGCGACGCGCGCCACTTCTTTCTCGCTTCTCGCATGTCGCCATTCGAACCGACGATGAACTTCCTACCGACTCCTGTCGCGGCTTCTGCGGCTCTTACGGCGGCCGTGTCGGACGGGTCCACCTTGTTCGGGATCGTCTCAGGAGCGATCGGGACGCGTTCCGGAGAACGAGAATGGTCCGACTCGCTGCTCTTTTCCTTCGGAGGCGGTTCCAGCGTCAGGGAGAAGGCGACGCGATCGTCGTCGACTTTTTCCGGTAGTAGTTCGTAGGCCTTTTGTAGTGCAGCTGCGTAGAGTGGTATGGCGAAGATAGCTTTGAGTCCAAGCGCATAAATCGTGTAGAGCACGGAGGCTAGTAGTACGAGCGAGGAGAAGAAGGACCGCTTGACTCTTGTCGGCGCCTCCGCGGCGACGGCCCGCAGCACGACGCGCGCGCCGTCGTCCGCTTTTAGAACGCAGCGCCCGACGGCCGCGGCCTTGGCTAACGATGAGGCGTCGATCTTGACGTCTCCATTCTTTCGCAGGACCTCGAAGCCCTCGCCTGCGTTGTGTTTTGTTTGCTTCGATCCTCTCGCGTCGCGTCGATGGCGTACTCTTGTTCCGACCCGTCCCCACTCGCGAGCTTCATCGTGCTGAGGCGCGTCGATGGCGTACTGGCGGGTACCGATGGCGTACTCCACCGCATCAGTACAACACCAGTACGCCATCGACGCGCATCAGTACCCCACCAGTATGACATCGCCGCGTGTCAGCACGACGCGACCGTGTCTCTCTCTCTCCGCCGGCGTCGCGACGCCATCGATCCGACGCCGTCGCCGCGAGATGGGACGCCGCTTCGCTACCGGGCGCCGCCGGCTCGACTAGCGTCGCGGCCCCGTACGCCGCGCGCGTTTCGACAATAGACTTCGCGTACTGCCTCGTCCGTATGATCAAGGCGGACGGCGCTTCCCGCGGCGACGAAGCGGCCGGACTGCGGCAGCGCGCCTGCCGTGCCACGTCGATAGCGTCCCTCCAAGCCTTGGCCTTGCCGTCCCTACAGAGAAACCAGCGCCGCAAACCACCCTGATCAAACACTTCGATCTTCTCGCCGTCGAGTTTTACGGACGTGACCTGGTCCAGGGGTATCGCGCCCCGCTCGTCGCCGTACTCCGTATCCCCGGGGTTGCGCTTGAACCAGCTCAGCTGGGCGTGCGTCAGGACCACGAACCTAGTTTTCTTCACACTACTCGTGGCGGCTGCTGAGCGATCCCACTGTTCAGAAGCGGTTTCTAAGTAACCGGTCTTGAGAATACCTAACGAGTAGGCGGCCTCGCGCCAGTCTTTCGCTGCGGGCGCCAGGTTTCGCTGGTCGCGCTTGCTGAGGGAGGGCTGGGACTTGGGCCGATCCCCCAGGGTGTGGCGCCTTCGTATGGTGCGGCGCGGGGGCTCCATGGGGCCCTGGCCTCCTGGAGGCTGCCCAGCGCGCCGACCCTCGACGGCAGCCGCTCCTCCCCGGCAGCAGCGTCTCAATAACGAGATGCAGGCCACCCACTCCTTCCAGGCATGCTTCGGTGTGGTGCCGGGTTGCACAGAGTGAACGAGGGTTGCTCGGGTGGTCCTGACGGCTCCGTGGACGGGTGGCTTTGGACTTCTAATAAAATTCTAGTGCGTTACCGCGCTATGCCAGCGTGGCAAGCTTGCATTTTGCTCAGCGCTTTATCTGCCTGGCGAAGGTGTTGAGAGAACAGGCTGAGCAGCGGCTATCGTTCCCCGGGACCGCGCTGACCTGAATCGCGTCAGCGACGTCGACGTCCGCGTTCAGAGCGAAACGCAAGCCAGGATGCGCATCTACGCCATCATCGCCCTTGCGGGCGTGGTAACGGCCTACGTGCCCTCGCCCCCGCAACGCGAGACGAAGCGAAACGTCGTCGTCGCGGCCCAGTCCACGCTAGAGCGGCCGGTCCTCCAGGCCACCGTCGAGGACCAAACGGAAAGGAATAACGTCCTCAACCTCCCCGAGAGCGAGAAAATTACGTTAGAGACGCCGCTCGAGGCGGGGCGGCGAGGCCCTTCTGAGTTCGAGTTGAATCTTGGTAGGGCCATTGATGCGCTGCGGAGCGACGTCCCCGCGTTCGCGGATAGAGAGCTGTCCTGGGACATCTACGCGGACAACGTGCAGCTCGCCGACCCCAGTGGCGTGCAGACGCGTGGTTTACAAAATTACAAGCAGTTTTTTGGGGTCATACGCATGTTCCGAAGGGTCATGATCGATAAGGTTGACATCACGTTCAAGCTGCGCTACGACTGGTCCAAGAAGATAATAAAAGTGACGTGGTACTCGAAATGGTACGCTCGTGGTTCATCAAAAGCAGCTTATGTCGACGCGACGTCGGCGTTCCATCTTGACGAGCAAGGGAAGATTTTCAAGCACGTCGTGGATCGGGTCCAGGTCGGCGGGCGGCCGCTGAGCCCGCCCTACTCGGTGGGGTGGCTGGCGTTCCGGGAATATGTATTGGCGGGCTTGGACGGCCCGCGGCCGGCCGCCGTTCCTTCCTTTGGCTTCGAGGCGTCCGACATTGGTCAGGACGCGCTCGTGCTCATGTCGGCGATGTCGGCGTCGTCTGACGTCGCCCAGGACGCTCCTTTAGTGATGTCGGCGTCCGACGGCGAGTCCGAGGCGCCTCCTCCTTCTAAAAAGAAGGCGCCGCGCAACAAGGAGAAAAAGCAGAAGCGGAAACTACTGCCGGGGCAATGCGAAGGGATGTGGGACTGCGATTCGCCGATGGAATGTTGCGACTTCGTGATGTTCAAGATGTGCTGCCGCGGCGGCTTAGGAATTCCGGCGTTCCTCGAGCCGGCGCCCGTCCTCGTGCCCATCCCGGTGCCGGTAGAGCGTGGGCCGCCGGGGATGCCTGGCGGTCGCGGCGGCGGCGTGCCTCCGTATTGACCCCTTTCGTGTAAAACCAATTGTTGTAGTTCTTAACCTTGGTGCGCGCGGGGCCCCGATGGCGCGCCGCGGACGGCCTTAGTAGAAGCCGAGATGCGCGTAAAACTCCATGATGCTCGCGACGACCTCCTCGGGCAGGGAAGCAAATTTTGGGGCGAAGGCTGCGACGAGGCAACCGCGGTGGGCTTTTTCGTAGGCCTTGAAGCCGCCGAGCGACGAGACCCGTATGCCAGCGGGACCGGCGCTTCGATTCCATCGACCGCCTGGATGCGAATCGGCGCGACTACGCGCGATGGCGCCCGGATGCGTCCGCGAGGTCGCGGAGAGGTCCTGGGCCAAGATCAAGCCGCCCTAACGATTTTTAGAGTCCGCGGTCACCGCACCACACGAGCGCTCCCCCCAACGCCGTCGCCGCGGCGCCTACCCTCTACAACGATGGCCCGCCGCGCCCCAGAAACAACGACCACCACGACAGGCACTCACCCCCAAAAAACACAAACTCACGTCACCCTACTTACGACTTCTGCGACAGGATCGTCGTCAGATCCCTGCCCTCCCTAATAGTTTTGGTCTTCGCGATGTTCGCGCCGGCCTCCTCCAGATCATCAATAAAGCGCGCGATCAGATCGTCGCCCAACGACATGTGCTGCTGCTCGCGCCCCCGAAACTGGATCGACAGCTTCACGCGATTGCCGTTCTTGATGAATTTGTCCGCGCGCTTCTTCCGCACGTCGTAATCGCCTTCCCCAATTTTGTAGGACATTTTTACTTCTTTGATTTCATTCGTTTTCGCCTTTTTCGCTTGTTCTTTTTTCTTCTTGTCCTTCTGGTATCTCAGTTTACCATAGTCGACGATCTTGCAGACCGGCGGGTCGCTCTTCTCCGCAATCATGACCAAATCAACGCCTTCTTCCCTCGCGCGCTCTAGCGCTTCGTCCCGCGTGATGATACCTAATACCTCGTCATCGGCCTCGCCGCGATCCACGACCACTCGGAGTAACGGCTGGATGATCTTCTCGTTCAGCGGCGGTAGTACGATTTGTTCGCGCTTCTGTGCGCCGGGGCGCCCGCGCCTGTGTGATGACTCTCTCTGGCAACGCCGCTCTCTCGGGTCGACGGCGTCGCGACTCGGTTCATGAATCAAAGTGCTTGCGCGTGACGCCGCTGCGCACAGGGCCATGCTGATCGTCGGTCGCTTCTTCACGGGCCGCCGCGCGAGGCAGCGCACTGCTTGCTTGGGCACCAGCGGCCTAGCACTCCGGAGCAGCGCCAACATCGCTAGCACAGATCGCCCAGCCTGCCTCATCGCATCCGCAGCGTATTGTCGTGTCAGTTATAGCACCGGTCTCGCGTCGATCGCGTCGCGCGGCGCGCTGAGGCACGGCTGCAATCAGCTCCAGCTCCAAGCACCTCAGAGTCGTGCGGTGCTGCGCAAGCGTCTCGGCCTTTTAGCCTTGGCCAGACGCGTGCCTGGACGGCTCCGGCCGGCCGACGGCTCCTCAAAAAATGGCGGGCGGGCGATGCAATTTGCTCAAAACACTGTCATCAAATCGGCATTTGTGCGGCGACTGGTGCAGAGTCCAGCGCGCAAACGTGCTTTCGCGACGCGTGCTAAGGCTACCTCGCGCTTGCGCAAGCATCCGCCCCGGTAACGCCGCGCCAACAAGCTAGCTGCCGCTGCCGCCTGCAAAACTCAAACGAGCGACGGCGACAGCAACCATGAGGAAGGTCGACTCCTTCGGCATGATCGACTGCCAGCTCGTCAAGCACGACGAGGCCCAGAAGGTGCTGAAGGAGTGCATCACGTCTGTCAAGGCCGATTTGACGTCCAAGGCGGATCCCGTCATTTCATATGTCGCCGGTTTGTGTTCCTATCTCTGCGGCGAGCAGATCTGGGACTCGGAGACGTGGCGGAGATGTTGTACGGTCCACTTCGAAAGTGTATGTCCTGACGACGCGCAAGCGGTCGGCACGGCCTACAGGCAGTCTTGCATGGATCGGTGGAAAGAAAAAGTAGTGGACACCTGGGGCGCTGATTTAGACCCTGACTTAAAAACGGCTTGCGACGTCGAGTTTTCCTTAGCTTATGGGGGGAAACTCTTGTTACATAACACTCGATTATTCTTGAAATGTGGACGAAGGTACGGTATTTGCGGCAAGAACGGCGTCGGGAAGACGACGCTCATGCGCAACGTCGACAACGGGAAGATCGAAGGCCTAGATCCGGACTTGTGTTCTGTTTTCGTCGAGTCGCACGCGGACGAGGACCCCGACGTCCGCGACGCGGCGTATCTATGAACCTTGAACGTGACGCGGTCGCGGCGATGGCGTCGCGTCGATGCGTCGATGGCGTCATCACGATCACACGAGCGTCGTTCCCGCGCAGGACTCGAAGCCCGTCCTCAAGTGGGTCTGCTCGCGCCCGAGATTGGTGGAAAGGCAGGTCGCCGACGAAACAAATGCGTTAGAATTGTTGAAATCAGTAGGGTTCACGGACGAGTTACTCAATGCCCCGGTAGCATCACTATCCGGAGGCTGGCGCATGAAGCTGTCGTTGGTCGTAGCAGCCCTGATGGACGCCGACATCTTGTTACTGGATGAACCTACCAATCATTTAGATAAGAAAAGTATCGAGTGGTTAGTTGCCTACTTAACGACGACGCGAGCGTGCTGCATGATCGTCAGTCACGACACGGCCTTTTTGGACGCGGTCTGCACGGACATTATTCATTACGAATCCAAAAAACTCGTGAGGTATCGCGGTAACCTGTCCGAGTTCGTGGCCAAGGTCCCGGCGGCGGCCGCGTATTACCGGCTCGAGGAATCGTCTACGCGCTATGCCTTCCCGGCGCCGGGCCGGTTGGAAGGGATTAACAGTACGACCAAGGCCATCCTGAAACTGGACGGCGCTACCTTCACGTGGCCGGGTCGGGACCAGCCTACACTTGTCGATGCGTCTTGTAAGTTGACACTTGGTTCACGAGTCGTGGTCTTGGGCCAGAACGGCGCGGGCAAATCTACACTTATTAAGCTTGTTGTTGGTGAGAACGGCCCTGATAATGGGGAATGCCTGTGGCGCCATCATAACTTACGGATAGCCTACGTCGCGCAGCACTCGTTCCACCACATCGAGCAGCATCTAGACAGAAGCCCGTGCGAGTACCTCCAGTGGCGCTTCGGGAAGTACATCGACGAGGAGCAGCTCCAAACGAAACTAGTGGAGTTGAAGCGGCAGCAAGCTCAGGAGGACCCCGACCGGGAGCCCCCTCGACCCCTACCTCATTCGTTTGAAAAAATCATGGGTAGAAGAGAAAAGGGCGGCGTCGTGGAGTACGAGGTGAAGTGGTGGGACCGGGCCGAGAAGCACAACCTGCATATCGATAAAGATAGGTTGGAGCGGACGGGCCACGCCGAGGAGGTGTTGAAGTACGACATGTTGGTCGCGGCGCGCGCTGCCGGTTTGGATTTAATTAATGTCACGGTCAAGGAGCTCCAAGCGCATCTCGATGAGTTCGGCCTACCGCAGGAGTACGGGACGTACGGTAAGGTACGAGGCTTATCAGGGGGTCAAAAAGTCAAGTTGGTACTGGCGGCGGCCATGTGGAATAGGCCTCACTTACTCATATTGGACGAGCCGACGAACTTCCTGGACAGGGATAGTCTGGGGGCGCTGTCGAACGCGATCCGCGACTTCGGGGGAGGCGTCGTCATGATCTCGCACGCCGAGGAGTTCTACAAACCTTTGTGTAGTGAACAGTGGCTCGTCGAAGCCGGTAAACTAACCTGCGACGGCGAGGCCGAGGACAAGAAGCTGAAGATCGGGAAGAAGAAGCGCGAGGCCAAAGTGAAGGAAGAGGTCAAGACCACCGGTTCCATCAACGAGGAGGTCAAATATCAAAATCCGAAGGACTTCTGGGGCAAGAACCTGTCGAAGAAAGATATAAGAACGTGGGCGAAGAAGGTGGCAAAAAGGGACTACCCCGCGATGCGCAAGCTACTCGGCGTGCCCAAGGGCAAGACCATGCCGGGCATGCCCGAGCTCGGGGACGGCTTATCATAAAGAGTGTTACTTAGTTATCCTTAGTAGGGCTGCGACGACCGAGAGGTCGATCTCCGGGTGGCTCGTGAGGTATGCCACGGCTGTTCCTAGGCCGACGGCGAAGGCGGCCCAGAACAGCTGGCCGTGGCGCCGGCCGTACTTGGCGATGTAGGAACCTGCGCAGACTCGATGAGACGACGCGTCGATGGCGTAGAGGGATTGCGGCGGCGATTAAGGCGCCGTGAGATTTGATTTCGGCCCAGGTAGGAACTCTCGCGGTCCCACCAATACGGGAGCGCGACGACCGCCGTGACGCATGAGACCACCAGCGGCGGCATGAGGCCGAAGTGGAGGTGGACGGCCAGCAAGAACACAGCTTTCACCGACGCCTTCGTGAGACGCACCCGCATCCGGAACAGGTCCTCCTTCACTACCGCACTCTGCTTCATTGAACGCGCGACGCCGAGCTGGCGGACGTATATGGCTAATAAATAGCTCTGGACCGTAACAAAAAACGCGCGGCACGCGACGACGGCCCGCGCGAGTTCACACGTTCTCGCGTTTGTGCAGTGCGTCCGCCGGAAGAACAATTGCGCGGCGCCCATGATCGAGAGGTCGATGGCCGCTTCCTTGAGGAGCGGCTTCGGTTTGGTGGGTATGAGGCCGCCTCCGCCGCGTGGCACAGAGCTCGTGCCGCTGCCGACGACGATTCGAATGGCGCCGCCGCGACCGGCCGTCGCCGGCCCGTACGCTGTCGCGACCGCTGCAATTGCAAGCAGACGGATCATCGAGAGTGTCGACCGCATGATCGAGAAACGTCGTTCGCGTCCTGTTCGCTGCAGCGACACACCTGTGCACAGCTGTGAAACAAGCAGGACCGTGCAGATGTGTTATGTGTGCCCTAGGCCCCACACGAGTGGACAAAACGCAGCGAGGAGTCGTTGGATGAGTAAAGCACTCACTCAAGCGCTCAGTTGGCCGATGCGGCCGATGCGGCACTGCGAGAGCTAGCGTCAAATGAGGCACTAACAAGCACAGCAGGCTGCAGTGCGCAGACATCGATCGGATAGCACAATCGTGAAAACGCTTATTCGCTGCTCATCTACTGTGCTCGCTGCGAAACTCCATCGATTTCGCGCAGCAGCTCGTAGAGCGACACTGCACTCGCCTGTGCACTCGCCTGTGCGGCCAGAGCGACCAACCGGACCCGCTCGCACGCCTCGTACAGAGCGCTTTTGCAGCGCTCTCACGCGCACGCCGCCGCCGCAAGCAGCCCATGGCGGCGCAAGCCGCGCAGACTGATGGCGACGACCTCGACCTCTGCCGCGTGCAATCGGAACCGCTCTCGCACGACGAAGCCGTCGCCTTCGTGACGAGTGGAGACTGCGGCGCCATATCAACATTCCTCGGCACGACGCGCAACAACTTTGACGGAAGGCCCGTGCGGACGCTCATGTACGAGGCGTACGCGCCTATGGCGGAGAGCAAGATGCGCGAAATTCTACGGGAGGCGCGACGGGCCTACGGCATCAAGAAGGCCTGCGCTTTGCATAGAGTGGGCGAGGTGAAAATTGGAGAGGCCTCCGTCGTCCTCGCGTTCGCGTCGCCGCACCGGAAAGACGCGTTAAACGCGTGCGCCTGGGCCATCGACGAGCTGAAGCGCGTCGTCCCGGTCTGGAAGCAGGAGGTCTATGCGGACGAGGGTGCGGATTGGAAGGCGAACAAGGAGTGGGACCCGGCGGGGCTCGCGCGCGAGATCCGGGCGCCGCCCGCGGCGTAGCGCGCCGCTGTTTAATGTACATAGTAGGTAACAGACAGTTAATCGGGCGCGTCGTAGTCGCGAAACGCGCAATCACTCTTCACAACGACCGGCTTCGACGGCTTCGATGATGAAAGCGACAGGTCCACGAGCGCCGGCAGCGGCGCGTCTTCTTCAGGAATGCGCACGGCCAGGCACGCCTCGCGCGCGTCGGCCAGCGCCTTCGCGGCGACGGGCGCGCCGCACCAGCACGCCAGGTAGCGGATCTTCCGTCGGACGCGCTTCGGCGCCGCGCGGTGGCGCGCGATGCAGGCCCACGCGTCGAGGAGCGCCGCGGCGACGGCGCGCGGCCCCGCGCCCAGGATCGCCGCCGCGTCACGGGCGAGCGCCGCGTGGCCGCCCTTCGACGCCAGGCCGGCGGCGATCGCCCGCCGCTCCGCATCGACGAGTGCCGCCGCCACGGTCTCGGGCCGCTCGTCGCGCGCCACGGCGGGACACGCCGCGAGCCACGCGTCCGCCGCGGCGCCCTCGTCGAGGTGAAAGCCGTCGAAGGCGCGCGCGGCGGCGCAGTACGCGTAGAGGGCGCTCGCGACCGAGGGCGCCGGCGCCGCCGTCGCGTTCAGGTTGTCGCGGCAGACGCGCGCGACGCTCTCTGCATGCTCTGCATCGGACGGCGCCCAGACGAGGAGCCAGAGGGGCGGCGCCTTTGATGAGCGCGCCAGGACCCGAGCTCTGGTCACCTCGCCGCCCGGCGCGTCGGCCTCGGTTGTTTCCGCGCTCCGTTCGGCCTCGTACAATCGTCGCGCGGCGTCGGCGTCGCGCAACGCTTCGGATGAAAGAGCGTCGTACTTCGACGCACAGGCCGCGAGGTCGTCGTCGAGCCGGCCCAAATCACACCACCAGGGCGCCCACGGCTCCGACTCGAGTTCCCCGTTCGCGATGGCTCTCAAAACAAGTTGCTCCTCGGCTTTTGTAGGTTGTACAGACCCATCGAGCAACTGCAAGAGCCGCGCCTCGTCGATTTCTGGAGAAGGCGCCCCCTTGAGGAGATCGCCGACCCAGCGCGCTTTCTTTTGCGGCTCCTGGGCCAATGCGGCCTTCACCCTTTCTTTGAAGAAGCCCTCGGAGCAGCGGTCGCCGTGGTTTCTAAAGCATTCTAGCGAGCAGTACGTCGCGCCGCAGCGCGGGCACGCATAGCGGCCGGCGTTGGCCTGGCAGACGCTGCACGCGTTGTTAGCCGTCGCTGGCGTGGGCTCCGCATCTCTTCTTGTTGTTTTGTACTGCGTGTGTCTTGTGTGCTGGAGGAGCTGGCGGCTCATCTTTTTGTCGCGCGGCTGCTCATTGGTTGTGCAGTCTCAGCTGCTGTCTTGTTGTACTACCAAGTAGCGTGGAGCGTGCCGCGTCGCCGGTCGCAGCTGTAGGCGTGTTTGAGCGATGAAACCTACGTGTCACACAGCTTATCAGACAATGCCTAAGGCGTCAAAACGCCGCGTCGTCCGTTGTTTTTGACGCTAGCGGACGGTAACACACTAGAGAGCAGCCGGATTCTAGCTCTCCTGGCGCAAAAAGGGAGCAAGAGCTGCAAACGAGAGCACCGGAGCGAGTTATCAGCTTCTCTCCAAGCCATACAACACACCTCGCCGCCAGCGCGCGCCGCCCAGCGATGCCCCGCCAGCTCCTTCTCCTGGCTGCTGCAGCCTCAGCCCTCGTCGCGCCGACACGCCAGTCGCCGCGCGCCGCTTCCTTACAAGCGAAGAAGACCGTCTTCATCGACGGCGAGGCGGGCACCACCGGTTTACAAGTATTAGATCGACTCGCCACGCACCCGGACATAGAAGTCCTGTCGATCGACCCAGCCAGAAGAAAGGACGCCGCCGCGCGCAAAGAAGCCATCGCCGAGGCCGACGCCGTCGTGTTATGCTTACCGGACGACGCCGCGAGGGAAGCGGTCCAACTAGCAGAGGGCACGGACACGAAAATAGTCGACGCAAGCACCGCCCATAGGATTGATGATAAGTGGGTCTACGGCTTCCCCGAGCTCGACGCGGCGCAGCGGTCGAAGATCGCGTCGTCCACACGTGTGGCGAACCCCGGCTGCTACGCGACGGGTTTTATTGCGGTCACCCGACCTCTGGTGGATGCCGGTCTCTTGAAGCCGGAGGCGCGACTGGCCTGCTCCGCCGTGTCCGGTTACTCGGGGGGCGGCAAGCAATTGACGGCCGTGTTTGAAGAACAAAGCCACGAGCCCTGGGGCGCCTACGGCTGGAACCTCGACCACAAACATTTACCGGAGATGGCCTTTCATGGCCGGTTGGAGGAGCCGCCGGTCTTCCTGCCGGCGGTCGGCGCCTTTGCGCAGGGCATGGTCATCTCCGTGCCCGTTGTCTATTCCAGAGATTGTTCGGGCGTCGCCAAAGGTGATCAATTGCACGCAGCTTTACAAGCGCATTATGCCGGTTCTAATTTCGTCAAGGTCATGCCGCGCGGGTTATCGGGGGCCACGGACGCTAATCTTCTCGAGAGAGGCGCTTTCTTGGAACCAGAAAAGCTCAACGGGTCGAACGGTCTGGAGTTATTTGTGTTCGACAACGACGCGCGAGGGACCGCCTGCTTAGTCGCGAGGCTCGACAACCTGGGCAAGGGCGCTTCCGGCGCGGCCGTCCAGAACCTGAACATCATGTTGGGTTTGGGGGAAGATCTAGGATTACAGCTATAAGTCACATTATTAGTCCGAGCTCTCTCTCTAGTAATTCAGCAAGCGAGGACCCGTCCCGCGTGTGCGTCCACTTCTCTCCATCATATTCGTAGCGGCACGGGCCGGACAGTGGAGACGAGAGCCAGAGCTGTCTATTCGGAACCTGTTTGTTTAGCACCCAGGTGCCTGTTCCCGCTATTTTGAGGGTCAGGACGCCGCTGGAAAGCTCGCACTCGACGTCGTCTCTCGCATCGCTCAGCTCGTCGGCCTTCTCCAAGATATTGTCGAGGGCCTCGTCAGCTAGAGCGACGTAGTCGTCGCCCGCCGCCGACGACGCCGCGCGCGTGGCGCCTGATGCCGCTACCCTTGACCGCATGCTCTCAAAATATGAACTCGCGTCGCCGTCGGCCGTCATGGCCGCGACCATTTCTCTCGGTAATTTGCGGCCCTCCTCGCGGTGCGTGATGCGTCTGGCCTGGGGCCGCCGCAGCGCTTGCCGGGTGCGGGAGAGCGCCTGGCGCAGCAGCATGGTCTGTGTGTGGTCTCTGGGCACGGCAGGCGGTCCGGCTGGCTGCAGCAGTCAGGAGCCAACCTTAGTCTGTGGCCGCTGGGGCCTCTCTGAAACTGCGGTCTTCACACACACGAGCCTCAGCGCTGTGTTTTGTATACGCCAGCAATGTCTCGTCGTAACAAATAGGCCCCGGTCGCGCGTAAATGGCAATTTTGCCGAGGCTGTGCTTGCTAGCGGCATGTAACACACTAGCAAGCGGCAAGCGCGGCGCCGCGGCACCGCGCGGCCCTGTAGAGCTCGCATTGGCGCGACGAAATAACCTTACAAGCATCGCTCGCTCGAATAAATCATTGCTGCGGGCTCTCGCCAGCGTGCAAGCTGTGCTCTCCCCATCCCCCAACCCTGCTGCTCCGCCAGCAGCGCGACGCGGCGCGGTGCTCCGCCAGCAGCGCGACGCCGCGCGCGAGGACAAAAGACGTGACGCCAACGCCGCCGCCGCGTTCATAAAACGAAATGAAGCGTTGGGAAAAGGCCGACAATAGCGCCTGGGCCGCGCTCCAGGAGGACGCCGAGGGCCGCCTGCAGGCGCGGAGTGCCCAGCAAGAGACGAAAAAACGGAAGCGACAGCAAGCGCCCGGCGGCGTCGCGCGCGGACTCATCAGGTATGTGGCTCTGGTTGTCGATGCTTCCGAGGCCGCGAAGGAGCCGGATCCGCGGCCGTCGCGCTTAAAAACGGCCTGCGACGCGCTGGCGACGTTCTGCGGCGACCTGCTGGCGGCGAACCCCCTCGGGGCGTGCTGCGTCGTGGCGGCTCGCGACGGCGGCGCCAAAGTGGCATCGGACCCGTCGTCCGCGCGGCGGTCCCACGCGGATGCCTTGACAGCCATCTCCAAGGCGCAGCCCAAGGGTCCTCTCTCACTAGCCGTGGCGTTGTCGCGCGCTCTCGATGCATTGTCAAGCGCCCCGGAACATGCGCTGCGGGAGATCGTGGTGGTCGCGTCGAATCTGGCGACGCGCGACGCGGCACCGGGACTAGATCCCGTGGCGGATCGGTTGCTGCACTACGGCTGTCGCTTGCACGTGGCCCACTTGGCGGCGGAGCCGTACGTCGTGCGAAGGCTCGCGGAGCGGTCGGGCGGGACGTTTAGTGTAGCGCTGGATAGAGGCCACCTCGACCGCATCCTGGCCGAGCGCATCCCGCCGCCGCCGCTCACGGCCAAGGACGCCGCAAAATTTTCGGAGCGGCAGCCGCTCGTCGAGATGGGCTTTCCAACTCTCAGAAAGGACCCGGCGCCCCAGTGCGCCGCCGCGGCCGTGTCGCTCGATCGGCCGCCGGTCTGGGCCGCGACCACGTACACGTGCCCGCGCTGCGAGACGCGCGTCGCGGCGATCCCGACGGAGTGCCCCGTCTGCGATCTGCCCTTGGTGTCGGCGCCGCACCTCGCGCGGTCGCACCACCACTTGTTCCCCGTGCCCATGTTCGTCGAGAAAAGTGGCGAGGGCGAGTGCTTCGGCTGCCGCGCGGCGCTCGCGGCGGAGGCGTACGCGTGCCCGCGGTGCTCGTCGGCGTTCTGCGCGGACTGCGACGAGTTCGTGCACACGGTGCTGCACAACTGCCCCGGGTGTTGTGGGGCGAGTGGTGGGGGGAGTTAAGTTTCGTGCCGGGTTTTGGATCTGCATTATCCCCCGTAGCGCCGTGTAGTGGTCCACCGCACCCGCGCGTGACGTGAGATAGACTTGGGCTATAGACCAACTCGCCAGAGACGCGCAAGGCTGAAAACACGGGCCTGTGCTTAAGAGGCAATAATTGCAGCTGCAGAGCACGCCTTGCACGCGGCGCGAGGGGGACGCGAGGGAAAGCTCAACGCGCCATCGGGTTGGCGAAAAAAGAATTGATTAAGCCACTTTAGCGCGCCGAAAAGAATATCCGCGTCATGTCGGACGCGACACCTGATCAGGCGCGGTTTGATGATGATGACGATGGTGAGGTAACGCCGCCGCCTTTGCCGCGCCATGATAATGACGATGGTGAGGTAACGCCGCCGCCTTTGCCGCGCCACGCCTCGAAAAAACTCAAGGAAATGGACAAACCCGAACTCGCCTGGCGGGCGAGCATCTCATCCCGACGCAGATTCGCATGGCGTTTCACCACCTTGAGTTGGAAATCAAACGGGTGGTCTCAAACCACAACAGAGAAGCTGGTAAGTCAAAAATTCCTAAACACAAGGAGTGGCGCCTGGAGCGCGAATATTCTCGGTTAGCATTTGCGATAGCAGTCGAGTATATTACGAACTACCGCAAGTGCTGCATCCCAGGGTTTGGCTGGCCATTATTGCTGCCAAAAGCGCAGGACGTATCTAGTCAAGTGACACAGTTTTATGAGTTGGAAAATGGCGCGATCTATGAGACCAAGATGAACAAGAAGGAGCGACAGACGTTCTGCTGCGCGCGCGGCCCGGGCGCGCCTTCCTCTGCCGAGAAAAAAACGCAGACGACGCCGCCCTCGCCCACGTCCCCGGCCGACGCGAACGCGCCTCCCTCCGCCGACAACGTATAGGAGAAGCCACCTGCTCGCCGCGCCCGCGCGTGCCCCTCCGCTATGCACTAACAACAACCTTCGTTCGAAACTTCATAATTACAATACCAAAGCAGCTCTCCTGATCGCGCTCTTGATTCGGTGGCGCGGTGGCGCCGACGACGCGCGCGCCGCCGTCATCTCCGCGCGCCGCCGCCGGGTCTCGTCTTCCCTCCAGAGCGCCGCCAGCGCGTTCGACCTGTCTTCGGCGATATCAGAGATCTCGTAACGAGATTTCCGGCATGCCAGCCAGGCGCGACGAATTGGCCCATAGACGTCGTCGGGCGGCGGCAGGTCGTCTTTCGGCGGCGCCGTCTTCGCGGCCCACCGCACGCACGCTCGCAAAAGCCGACGCGCCGCGGGCTCCCCGTCTTCCAGATGCGGCGAGATGAGCACGACGCGCCCGCCGTTCTCGCCCAGCACGATCGACGCGTGGCGCGGCATCACGCCCCGCGGCAGCTCCTCGGCGTCGCCGCGCTTCTTGCGCACGTTGCGGGTAAAATCACTAGCGAAGGTCGCCGCGACGCGAGCGCTACCCGTCGCGCGCAGGAGCGGCCCGTTCGCGTAGCGCGACACCACGGACATGGCGCCCTCGCCCGGCCGCGCCTTGAAGAGCTCAAACGGCTCCCGGAGCTTGAGCACGCAGTCGTCGCTCCGGCCGCGGCACCAGTGCTCAAAGTCCACCACAGAACACTCAGGGAGGACGTCCAGCCAGCCCTTGCATCCTAAATAGGCCCCGGCGCAGATGCCGACGTAGCCGCCCCCACTCCTGACAAAGGCGCGGACCCGCTCGCCTCCGGCTTTTCCTAGAGCGTCCAACGTATTCTGCGCAAACCCGCCGGGAATGAGCAGCACGTCGAATTTATCTGTCGTCAGCTGCCCGCGGATGACGTCCTCTGGTGATAACGAGCACACCTCAGCCACGTTCCTCTCACCAAGGCTCTCGAGCACGGCGGCGGCGTAGCGCTCGGGCGGCGCGCCCTGCGACTTGACCGGATCGGGCAGGTACGCTATTCTAATTCCCTCCGGTGCCCGCTCGACGGTGTCCGCTGATGCGCGCAGCTTCCGCACCGCCTTGAGCAATCCGCGGCGGCCGTCGTCGAGCGACGTCCATTTCGCGCCGCAGCCGAGCGCCTCGGCGACCTCGCGCAGGCCCCGTAACTTCTCGCAGGGCGCCCAGGAGAAGCGGAGCACCTCGCGCTTGCGCTTGCGGCGGCAGGGGATGGGCGTCTTCTTCTCGGCGGCGATTTCTCGTTTCAGCATGGCTTCGAGCTCCCTCAATAAAGTTTCTCTCGATTGGTCGCCGCGCGCCGCCGCCACGGCGTTGCGCAGGCGGTTCGCGCCCTTCAGGACGTCGTTTTGCAGGGCATTGCGCCGTGTCATGCTGGTAGAGCGCGCGTCGACGGCGTTGGGGCAGCCTTCTGTGCACCCTGCGAACACAAGGGCAGCTAGCAACCGGAGATTGCCGCTGGTCGCGCGCCTGTTTCCCGCCGGAGAGCCTTTTCACAACGCGCCGTTTCGGCAGGACCCGCACGCTCCGGACACGCGCGTGGCCGAGGCGGTTATGCTTAGAAGGAGGTGTGCTGTTGTGAAAGAACGCGGCCGCGCCCGAGGCGATGAATGCGGCTAACGACAGTAAGACACTAGCACCAAGCCTGCAGGCTGCAGTCGTGCTGCATCCAGCCTGCAGTCCGTGATCACGACAGTGCACAAAAGCATGCGCATCCTCATACGCATCGCTGCATACGCGCTGATCTGCAGCCGTGCCGCTGCCGACGCCGCACTCCTTAATTGGGCCAAAAGCCAGGGTGCCACGGTCTCGCCGCGCCTCGCCATCCGCCGCACGACCTATGGAGGGAATGGGTTATTCGTGAGCGAAGCGGTGGCCAAGGGCACGCCGCTCGTGCGGATCCCCGGCGACTTGCAATTGGGCGTCGAAGTACTCGCGAAGAGCGACGCGGCCGACCTGCAGCGCTTTGTGAAGGGCCTGCCCTGGCAGGAGGTGGTGCAGGCGGGCCTCGGGTTCCTGCCCTGCGCCGCCGCGATTTGTGCGGAAAAACGGAACGCCGAGAGTCGCTTCGCGCCCTATCTCGAGTTTCTCGACGAAGTGACGTACACGAACGCGATCGCGCAGTGCGACACCGACGACTGTCCCGTCCTCGCCGCTTGTGACGCAGTCGCGGCAGAAAAGGTAAAAAAGATGCGCTACGGCCTCCGAGCCGCGGCGCGAGCGAATGCAATTGATCTCGACGAGTTGTGTTGGGCCGCGGCCGTCGTCTGCAGCCGATCTTTAAGACGACGCGTCGCGCCTCCCTTATCACCGGAAGCCGTCGATAACGTGGGCCCCGTCGCGGCGACGGACCGGAGTCGTTTGTTGCCGGTGATTGACCTCGTGAACCACGGGGGGTCGCAAGCGAACGCGGCCGTGCAACCGCTGAAAAACGACCCCGAGGACCCCTTCGCCACGTGCTTAGTCGCGGCCCGTGACTTAGAAGCGGATGAGGAGATCCTCATAGACTACGGCGCCGGCTCGCCGCCCGCCGGCCGCGCGGAGACATTCCTGCTCGATTATGGCTTTGTCCTGCCCGGCGCGGGCGCTTACGGGTTCGCGGCGCTCGAGGGCGACTTCCTGCCGGCCGTCGGGCAGTTTTCGGCTGACCGGGCGGGCATGCGTGATGTGTCAAAAGACGAACTGGAGCGGCTTAAAGCGCGGATCCAGCGCCTCGTCGCCGCGGCGAGCGCCGCGCACAAGGGCAAGCCCCTGGCCTTTGATGATGTGGGCGAGCCCACGCCCGAGACGCTTTCGCTCGCTTTGGCGCTCTCGTGCCGCGGGCCGGCGGACGTGGCATGCGTCTGCGACGGCGCGCCGCCGGACGCGGCCCACGTCGACCTCGCGCGACAGGCGCTCCGGGCGGCCGCGGCGGCGGCGCTCGCCCGCGCCGATGCGGCGCCGCGCTCCGAGCCGGCGACGCCGTTCGACGAGGCGGCGGCGGCGTACGCCGATGCCGTCAGGGAGGCCCTCAGCCGCGCCGCTACTTAATTATCCACTGTGTCGTTACTCAAGCGGGCGTTTTCTTGCCCTTCGCTTTCGGAGACTTCTTCTCCTTGGGAGCCTTGGGCGCCCAGGCCTTCTTCCCGCCGCCCTTGCCCTTTTTGCCTTTGTTGGCCAATTTCCTGCGCGGGGCGACGCCGTCACGGAACTACTCCAGAGCACGCCATCGCCGCGCGTGTCCGAGACGCTGGGCGCGCACTCCTTGAGCGCGTTCTGCTTGTCAGCACTGGCGGCCTTCAACGCCTCCTTTTTGGCCTTCGCTTCAGCGGCGGCTTGTTCCCGCTCGGCGCGCAATTGCGCGAGGCGCTCTCTATCGGACTCGCCCGAGCCCTTCGTGCGGTCCTTTATGCCGACCAATTCGACCTTGAAGATGAGTGTGGCCTGTACGCAAACCAAAAAGTGAGTCGGGTGCACGCTCGAGCTCGTCGCATCGATGGCGTGGAGGCCATGATTTATGCACAGAGTGTGGCATTGGGCGGTATATCGTCGGAGTCGCCCGCCTCTCCATAACCAAATTCGGGCGCTAAGGTAAGCGTCACCTGATCTCCGACGCGGAGCTTCGGCAGCGCCGACTCCCAGCCGGCCACGACCTTCCGCTCGCCGAGCGTGAACTCGAAGGGGTAGCCGCCGTCATTCTTATCGAATTCAGTCTTCTTGCCCTTCACACGGCCGCTGTAGTTAACCTGGACCGTGTCGCCCTCGACGGGCGCGACGCCATCGCCGCGCTTGTCGAGCTTGATGTGTACGCCGGGCTCGGCGTCGAACCTGCGACGGGTCACGCGTCCGGCGGCTATTCCTGGCGGCGATCTGTGCGAGTTATGCGACAGAACACGGAGACTGGAGGGCGCTGGGAATTACTCCTGCGGGCGCTCGTCATCCACCGACAGCGCAGCAGTCGCATCTACGAGCTGGGACATGCACTTCTGTCAGCTGTAGCCTCCAGCCAATGTGTGTAAGCCGAATATGTCCCGCAAAACGCGGCGCTCTCACACAGGCTAGCGGACGGTAAGACACTAGGTGTCCCTAGCAAAACAAAGCTCTCCGCCCGAACATAACATACACGAAATTATGCGAGCAACACACTATCGGGCGAAAACCTCCTCCTCGGCCGCCGTCGCGTTCGCCGCGGTCTCGTTCAAGACCGCCACGGGCTTGAGCGCGGGCGCGACCTGGTTGACCCGATCTAGGAAGCCGACCATATGTAAAACAGCCTCGAGTAAAAAGTCGACCTGCTTCGCCGGAGATAGGGCCCCCAACCGGACACATTCAATCCTTCCGGCGAACTCGTCGAAGCGGAACGATTCGCGCGGCCCCTCCGGCACTTCGCTCCGGAGCAGCTTCCAGGTCTTGGGGTCGAGCTCTGGGGCACTTAACAAACCGTGGGGCGTCGTCAGGTCATTGAGTTCTTTTGTTTCTAACGCGATGTCCACGATACCCAGTCGCGCGGCGTGTAACTCCAACAACCGCACCTTCGCGCACGCCTTGGCCGCGCCCGCGTCGACGCCACAATCGATGGCCTGCCTGACACATTTCTTCGTCTCCGCCGGCGTTGAGGCGGTCCGCGTCGCCTTGAGCGCTTCATCCGTGGGCAGCCGCCTTGATAAAGGTAGAAAGCACTCGCACTGCTGCGACTTCTTCACGTCCAGTGCTCTCAATCTTCCTAGCTCCGCCACTAATAAAGAAGCGTACATCTCGTCGCCGACGGCGCGAGAAGCTCGGCCGGACTGCTTCGTCCCTAGCAACGCTCCGGCACCTCGAATTTCGAGGTCCCGCCTCGCTAATTCGGGCCCCGTCGACGCGTCGGCGTCGGCCACGGCTCTTAGGCGAGCGCCAGCTGCCAACGTTCTCTCGGAATCAGCAGGATGCAGGAACACCGCCACGGCCGGCACCGACCCGCGACCGACCCGACCCCTTAACTGATGCAGCGACGCGAGCCCGAACATATGCGCATCCTGGACGACAATCGTGTTACATCTCGGTAGGTCCAGGCCGTTTTCTACGAGTGACGTCGCCAGCAACACGGGTCTCGTCTCATTGCTACCTTGCGAGAAGGCCTGCACCACTTTTCCCGCGTCCGGCACGCGGCCGTGCGCTACTGATACCGCTACAGTAGTATTGTCATCAACGGCGGGGTGGTCCAACGACCGTAAAGCGTCTTCTATCCTCTCCGTCGCGTCCTCAATATCCGCGATGCGCGGCACGACGTAAAAGCACTGGCCGCCTCGGCTCAGCTCTTTCCTCAATAGAGCAGTGATAAATGCTTCATCTTCGGGCAAGCCCGGCGCGTCCCTTCTTACGATGGACGCGGTCGTGCCTCGACCCGGCGGCGCTTCGGGCAATTCAGACGTGTCCCGCAGGCCCGCCAACGCCGCACCTAATGTCCTCGGGATCGGCGTCGCGGACAGTGTCAGAACATCAACATCCACACAAGCGGCCTTGAAGCGCTCCTTCTGCCGCACGCCAAACCTCTGTTCCTCGTCGACGACCGCCAGACCCAGATTGCGCCACGGCTGCCGCGGCGACAGGAGAGCGTGCGTGCCGACACACACCTCACAAGCACCGGAAGCGACCGCCGCTCGCACACGTCTAGCTTCTTGTCTTGGATTAGGCTGGCCCTCCTCGACCGTCTCTCCGGGTCGCGGCGCGACCAACAGTTCGACGGAGACGTTGAGCGGGCCCAGTCTTCTTCTGAAAACATTTAAATGTTGCCTTGCTAATACCGTCGTGGGCGCGAGGACCTGCGGTTTTGTATTGTCATTACTGCGCGTTGGTTGTTGTTTCTCCGCGCGCCACCGTGTGTACGTCTCTCTCCGAAGGCGTCGCGACGGTCCGTCCAGCTCGACGCCATCGAGCCGATGCCGCGTCGATGGCGTCGAGAGCGGACGGCCAAGCACAGGAGCCCCCACGCCGCCGAGGAGACGTCGCCGCGACGCGAAGTTCAAAAGGGACGCCGCGCCCGACCGCGACCTGCCGCCCGCCGCGCACCGCCAGCAGCGCGGCCCGAATGGCCATCTCCGTCTTCCCAAAACCCACGTCCCCGAACACCAATCGGTCCATCGGCGCGAGTCTTCTACATAAATCCTCCTCGACGTCGAGCCAGCAGCGCCGCTGCCCCGCGGTCATGTCGAAGCCTAGGCCTGCATCTAACAAAGCTTCGTCAGCAGCGGTCAACGCGTCGAGCGGCTGGCGCTCCCTCGCCGAGCGAGCTGCCGCCATCGTCAGTAATTCCCGCGCGTGGTCTCGCGAAGCCGCCTCGGCCCGGTCGCGTTTCCGGTGCCACACGTCCGGTCGAGCCCACTTGGACAAGGTGGGCGGCTTCTGGGAGGGAGGCACGCGAGCTTTTGACAGAGTCGGTGTTGCCACTTCGGACTTGACAGGTCCGCCCAGGTCCACGACCTCGTCGGACCCTCGCAATCTGGTGAGACGGGCGGCCTCGGCGTGCTCTAGAGCTACAGTTTTATCAGCGAACCGCAATAAGATAGGAGGTTCACTTGATGAAGAGTCGTGCTCGCCCTGGACCCGTCCTGCATATCTCGCGACGCCGCGTTCGTAGTGGACCACATAATCACCCTCGAAGGCCATGCTCCCAAGTTCGCCGCTGCCGATGGGCAGTCCCGTTCGTGCGGACGGCGTCGCCTCGATGCGGACTTCGCCGTTCTTGCCGAGGTTCGGGTTGTTCAATCTGGGGACGGCCGTGGTCGTCGTGCGCTGGGCGCGCTGTGGTCGCTGCGGCGCCAGCGCCCAGGCCGCGCAGGCCAGCAGTGCCGTGGCGCGCATGGTTAGTTTGCAGCACTCCACTGCAGGCTGCAGGGAGCGTTTCAAACTAGCTCTTTTTGATCGGTACTGCTCCACCGCACAAATGGGTTGTGCAAAATGTCTCTCCCGAGCCGAGAGGGCGATTGGTGTGTGAACACAGGCGCTTTTTGTCACTTTGTTGGGCTGCAGGACCCGCACGCTTCGCCCGAAAGTAAGGCCCGCGAAATCTAGTCCCGGCCCTCGTAGCCATCCTTGCCGGGGCCGCGGGCGGCCCAGAACGCTGATCGAGGATCATCGCCTCCTTGACTTGCGCAAACTCGCATCAGCCTTAATTCCTTGCCGTCTGGAGCAACGAAGGACGAAAGACTAGGTCTGGCAGCGGTAAGATGCTTGTGCGCGGCACGCGCACAGGCGCAGCCGCCGTACGCGGGCGCTCGCCCGCGAGGCCACGCAAGGCTGTCACATTGCCTGCCACAGCAACAATGAGTTCGTCGGTCCAGCGGACGTCGCGCGCGGCGCGCTACGCGGCGGCCAGCGCGCGCGCCGCCCTGGCGCGGCCGGCGCGCTACGCCGTCGCGCCGCGGCGCCACCTCGCGGCCTTGACGAAGGCGCCCGGCCGCACCGCGTTGTACGACCCCGCGCACGAGCGGGACAACTGCGGCGTTGGTTTGGTAGCGGACATCAACAAGAACCCGTCGCGAGTGATCTTGACGGACTGTAACGAAATGTTGGTGCGGATGTCGCACCGCGGCGGGTGCGGCTGTGATCCTCAAAGTGGTGATGGGGCGGGCATGTTGGTTGCGATGCCCGACGCGTTTATGAGGAAGCATTCGGGGTTCGAGTTACCGGCCCAAGGTGATTATGCGGTCGCGATGTGTTTTCTGCCGCAGGATGAGGCGAACGCCGAGCGCGCGCGGAAATCTTTAGAGAGAGCTTCTAGGCAGCGCGGCCTCGGTATTTTGGGGTGGCGCGTCCTCGAGACGGACAATAGTGATCTGGGAGAAGCTCCATTAGCTTCAGAACCGAGGGTAGAACAACTATTCTTAACAAAGAAGCAAGGCTGGGATGCGCGGAAATTTGATCAAGAATTATATAGAGCCCAGGCCGTGGCGCAGCTCGAGAACTTCCAGATCATGAGTGACGAGGGCGTCGGGGAAGATGCGGTCTTGTACATCAACAGCATGTCCCCGCACCAGATCACGTACAAGGGCCAACTGACGCCCGAACAGGTCTTAGGCTACTTTTCGGGCGATTTGCTGCGCGACGACTTCCACACGCACTTGGCGTTGGTCCATTCCCGCTTCAGTACGAACACGTTCCCGTCCTGGAGCAGAGCCCAGCCGCTGCGCCAGATGTGCCACAACGGCGAGATCAACACGCTGCGAGGCAACAAGAACTGGATGCGCGCTAGGGAAGGGCTGCTGAAGTCGCCCTATCTTGGTGATGATACCGCTAAATTATTACCAGTTACTTCGGATGAAATGAGCGACTCGGGCAACTTCGACGGGGTCCTCCAGTTGCTCACGAACGAGTCGGCCATGTCGCTGCCCGAGGCGGCGATGATCATGGTCCCGGAGGCCTGGCAGGACAACGACGGACTGACCGACGAGAAGAAGGCCTTCTACGAGTACCATTCGTGTTTGATGGAGCCCTGGGACGGCCCCGCGTTAATTGCGTTTACGGATAGTAACAAGTGGATCGGCGCGACGCTCGACAGAAATGGCTTGAGACCAGCTCGTTATTATGAGACCCACGACGGCAGAGTGTTAGTGTCGTCGGAGGTCGGCGTGGTGCCCTGGGTGAAACCGGAAGAAATTAAAGTTAGGAGCAGACTGGAACCGGGCAAGATGTTCCTCGTGGATTTGGAGGAGGGCCGCATCATCCCCGACGACGAGATCAAGAACCGGGTCGCTTCCCAGAAACCTTATCAAGAGTGGTTGTCCACGCACACGAAGTACCTGTCGGACTGGGCCTCGCAACAGAAGCCGCAGGAGCTGGTCTTCGACGACGAGACGACGGCGCGGCGCCTCGTCATGCACGGCTACACGACGGAGACGATGGAGACGTTACTCGCTCCGATGGCGATTGGGGGCAAGGAGGGCTTCGGGAGCATGGGCAACGATGCTGCCTTAGCTTGTTTATCTGCAGAACCGCGACCGGTCAGTGACTACTTCAAGCAGCTGTTCGCGCAAGTGACGAATCCCCCGATCGACCCTATCAGGGAGGAGCTCGTGATGTCTCTCGTGTGCCCGGTCGGGCCTGAGTCCAATCTCTTGGATGCCGGGGAGAACAACTGCGCTCGGTTGGTCGTGGAGCATCCTGTGCTCACACCTGAAGAATTAGCTGCTCTCCAAGATGACCGTTCGCGCGATGGCTGGTCTTCTGCCACTGTCGACGCGACGTTCGCGCGCGACGGCGCGGATCAGCCTGCACCTTCACCTGAGATGTTTGGTCAAGGTTCTGATAGTGCCTTGGAACGAGCTCTCGCGGATCTCTGTGAGCGAGCGGCTCGAGCGGTCCAGGGTTCGTATGGTCGCGACGGCGCGGCTATAATCGTCTTGAGTGATGCCTTAGCCGGTCCCGACCGATTACCCATACCAACTCTATTAGCGGTGGGTGCCGTGCACCAGCACTTATTGAAAACGGGGCAAAGAGGAAAGGCGGCGCTTTTCGCGGACTGCGGCGACGTCAAGGAGGTCCACGACGTGGCGTTGGCCGTCGGCTTCGGCGCGGACGGCGTCTGTCCTAGGGTAGCGTACGAAGCACTAGCCAAGCTGCGCCACGACGGTTTGATCCACGCGAAGATGCGCAACGACATCCCTTCGCCGGACGACGTCCCGGACAGTGTGGAAATCAAATTCCGGGCGCCCCACGCCATCGACGCGTCTGCTCGATGGCGTGGCGATTCCACGCCATCGACGCGACGTCGTCCCCGCGGCCGCGTCGGCTCGATGGCGTGGAGGCTCAACCTAACTCACTCGTCGATTTCCACACAGGTCCCGGACGACGCCGAGATCCGGAAAGCCTATAGAAAAGCGCTGGCGAAGGGCCTGCTCAAGGTCATGTCGAAGATGGGCATTTCGACGCTCCAATCCTACAAGGGCGCGCAGATCTTCGAGGCCCTCGGTTTACATCCCGACGTCGTCGAGACGTGCTTCAGTGGCACTCCGTCCAGAATCGGCGGCGCGTCCTTCGACGCCATCCAGCGCGACGTCGTGGCCTTGCACGACCACGCCTGGAGTGGCTCCAAGAGGCAGACGGACCCGGCCGGGGCCTGGACCGGAGTTAATCACGAAGACGTGCCGCAGCTGCCCAACCCCGGGCAGTTCCACTACCGGAATGGGGGCGAGGTGCACCTAAACACGCCCATGGGCATGGTGTCCTTGCAGGCCGCTACCAAATCGAATAGCAGGGACACGTTTTTGTCGTATTGCCGCGAGGTCGACGACGTGAATGCGAAATCTACTTTACGAGGGGTCCTGCGGTGGCGGCCCGACGTGTTGGATAAGTCCTCCGTACGATTGGAGGACGTCGAGCCCGCGAAGGAGATCGTTAAAAGGTTCGTCACTGGGGCGATGTCTCTGGGATCCATCTCCAGAGAGTCGCATGAGGCGTTGGCCGTGGCCATGAACACGCTGGGAGGCAAGTCGAACACGGGCGAGGGCGGCGAGGACCCCGTGCGCTTCGGGGACAATAGACGTTCTTCTATAAAACAGGTCGCGTCGGGACGGTTCGGTGTTACGAGTCACTATCTAGCGAACAGCGACCAGATCCAGATCAAGATGGCGCAAGGAGCGAAACCGGGGGAGGGTGGAGAACTCCCGGGATTCAAGGTGAGTGACTACATCGCGGAGTGCCGAGGCACGACGCCCGGCGTCGGTCTTATTAGCCCGCCACCCCACCACGACATCTACTCGATAGAAGATCTAGCGCAGTTGATCCACGACCTGAAGTGCGCGAACCCCGAAGGCGAGGTCAGTGTCAAGCTTGTGTCAGAAGTGGGTGTGGGAGTCATCGCCGCCGGCGTCGCGAAGGCCAAGGCCGACCACATCGTCGTGTCCGGCGGCGACGGGGGCACGGGAGCGGCGGCCTGGACGGGCATCAAGTGTGCGGGCCTGCCCTGGGAGTTGGGCATCGCGGAAACGCAGCAAACTCTAGTTTTGAATGATCTGAGAGATCGCGTGCGGTTGCAGACCGATGGTCAATTAAAAACCCCGAGAGACATCTGCATCGCGGCGGCGCTCGGCGCCGAGGAGTACGCCCTGTCTACCGGTCCCTTAATTGCTCTAGGGTGCATCATGATGCGCAAGTGCCACTTAAATACCTGTCCCGTGCGGACGCGGCGTCCTTTCGACGACGATACGCCGTCGCCGTGAGAGTTTGCTCAACCTGACGCGATCGCCGCGATGGCGTCGACGCGGCATCGATCCTCGTTCCCGCGCAGGTCGGCATCGCGACCCAGGACCCCGAGCTGCGAGCGAAGTTCGAGGGCCAGCCCGAGCACGTCATCAACTTCTTCTTCCTGCTGGCCGAGGAGATGCGCCGGACGCTCCAGTCGCTAGGCATGACGAGTATGGACGAACTCGTTGGTGCGGCCGGCGACGTCCTCGAAGTCGACCCCGCGAAGTTGCGGAGCAACGGCCGGCCGGACAAGGCCATGGGGTTGGACCTGGCTCCCTTACTACAATCCGCGAGAGAATTGAATCCTACTGCTGGGTACCGCCACACGCAACTCCAAGATCACGAGCTCGGCATCAAGGCGGACAATGAATTGATGGATGCTGCTCATTCGCTGATCGAGACCTACGCCAAGGGCGGTGAGGCGGAACCGATCGTCATCGAACGAGAAACGAACAACCTCGATAGGACGCTGGGCACGATGCTCAGTGCGAAAGTGTCGAAGGCCTGCGGCAAGCCTGGTTTACCTGACGACGCTGTCAGGATCAAATTGGAAGGGTCGTCGGGCCAATCACTAGGGTTTGCCTTGGCGCCTGGTATCACGATCGAAGTGGTAGGTGATGCCAATGATGGGTGCGGCAAGGGCTTGAGCGGTGGTCGGGTCATTGTGAGGCCCAATCTTACACAGTTGGAGGGAGGGCACTTCATCCCTTCTGAAAACGTCATTGTGGGCAACGTCGCGTGCTATGGCGCTACCGCGGGCGAGGCGTTCTTCCGGGGCGTCGGTGGCGAGCGGTTCTGCGTGCGGAACTCCGGCGCGTTGGCAGTCGTGGAAGGTGTTGGGGACCACGGCTGCGAGTACATGACCGGTGGTAGGATGGTTTGTTTGGGCAAGACGGGCCGGAACTTCGCGGCTGGCATGTCGGGCGGCATCGCGTACGTCTTAGATCCCGATCGGGTCTTCGCGGACAAGTGCAACATGGGCATGGTGGAATTAGGGCCCGTGGAAGGTGAGGATATCGATGAATTGAAGGGCTACATCGAGAAGCACGTCGCGGCGACGGAGTCGACCGTCGGGGCCGATCTACTTGCCGATTGGGACAACAGCGTCTCCAAGTTCGTGCGCGTCATGCCCACGGACTACAAGGCCGTCCTCGAGAAGATGAAGGCCGAGGAGGCTTTGGAGGCGACGGCATAGGTCTCCTTCCCTGGGGTACATAATCCTTCGTTACATAATTCACATCACTACTTACGCCGCTTCTTCTTGACCTCGCCGGCCGCCTTCCGCGCGACCGCGTTGACGTGGTTCGGATTCTGGAGCCACGACCGCCACGCCGCGGCCTCCGCCGCCTCGGCGTCGTCCTTGGGCTTGAACCGCCCTAGGAAGAATTTGACGGCCTTGTCGAACTTGGCCGGGTAGTCCTTCGTCAGCACCGCGAGCCGCGCCTCGATCGCGACGGTCGCGTCCCTAATAATCTTAATAGCTGCCGGCGTAGAGTGCTTGCGCGCGTTGCCGTAGTTGCCCGACGGGATCGTCTTCTTCGTGTCCATGAAGCACCCCCGCAAAGTGTCGCTCGCGTCCCGATACGTCTCCAGCGACGTCCTAAGCGTGACCTCGACGTACGCCGACGGCGTCGACACGACCTTATCTAAAACATGCTCCGTCTCGCCCCGCAGAATCCCGTCGACGTAATGCTCCAGTAATTTCTTCACCGAGTGCGTCTTGATGTGGGTAATGATCGTGCACCCGACGTCGTCGTTCGTCCACTTCCTAAACCACTTGTCGCGGTCGTCGGGCTTCAAACAGAGCTGCGCGAGCTCGACCGCAGCGAAAGGAACTTGATCAGTAATATTGCGCATGTGCTCCCCGGGCGTAGAAGCGCGACCCTCCATACCCTCGTGGACCGTGCTTTTCCCGGGGTCTAACAGCAACAGTCGCGCGATCTCGTCAACCTTTGCGAGCACCTCGGGCTTCGGCGCGTTGACGTCCACCGCCAGGAACTCGGGCCGCAGCATCGTCCGCCGCGACTTCGGGTCCGTGTCTTCGTTCACGACCGCCTGTCGCCGGCCCTTCATCGAGACCGCTAAGCGCTGCGGCACGACGGCGTTGCCCGCGCGCGACACCATCCGCAACGTGTCCGCGGCCTCGCCGTCGAGCAACGTCCAGATCTTCTCCCACAGCTCATTATCTAAATAAGACGCCGCGGTACGCGGCACCTTCGCCGGCGGCGGCGCGTCCGACTCCGAGGAAGGTAACGTCTTCTGCAAGCACGCGAGGGCGGCCGAGAGGAAGTCGTTCCGCAGCACAATTTCTAAGGGAATAGCCCGTCCGGCGCACGCCACAAACCAAAGCACGCGGCGGAACTCGTCCTCGTCGGCATCTAGACCAGAGCCCTTGGCTTCCTTGGCGATGAGGTGCATGACGACCTTGGCTCGGGCTTCGACGCTCAGGGCTTCGTCGGCGTCCGCCACGATCTCCTTGAGCCGCGAGACCAGCACTTCCTTAATGTCTCTTTTGTCGCCGAGCTCCGAGCAGTCGACCTCAAATTGAGCGCAGCGCGCCTTGAGCCAGTCCATCGACTTCTTGAGGTCCCTGCTCAAATTGGCCAGTAAGCGGCGGGCCTCCGCCGCAGACGCATCAGGAACGGCCTCCTCGGCGTCGTCGTCATCATCATCTGATGCTTCGTCGACCGTCGAAGGCTCCAGGCCGAGGAACGCCTCGAGCTCCGTGATGAGCGCTGCTAGGAAAGGGGTGTCGGTGAGGAACAGCTTTTTCGGCTTCTTCTTGCCGGGCTCCTTCTCCCAGTACGTACCAGTCATGTAGGCCGCTTGGCGATTCATCGGCTTCCCGCAGGGCGTCCTCAAAACTTTGGCGAGATCGTTGAGTCTATCCCTCAGAATCCCGTCCCCTCCGTGGTGGCCGGTCTTGTGGATGTTGTTGCGGATGTCCTTGAGCGTCGTGAGCGTCTTCTGGTAGAGCGTCTTCTGCTCGGGACGCAGCACCGACGCCGCAGTAGTCGTAGTCGCCGGCACGGCCGCACCGTTCGCGTCGACTGCGTCCGTCGAGCCGTCCGCGGCCGCCGCGCCGTCGGGAGGGTCTGCTTCCGTAGAAGTAGGACCTAGGGCGCCGGCGAACAGGTGCAGCAGGGCGTCGTCGCCCGACGCGTTGTGCGTGCCAGACCGCGACACGTCGGCGCCGGCAGCTATTAGTAGGGAGGTCGTCCGCGCGCCCCCCGCGAAAGGTAGCGCCGTAGGCCGATCTAGAACGGTGCCAGCCGTCGCGTCGTACACGTCTAAAGCGCCCAGCGCGTCCCACCCGGCGAACAGCGTAGGCGCGTAAAAAGCAGAGCTCTCGAGGTCGCGGCCGGCCGCCGCATCCAGCGTCGTGGACGACGCTACAGCTTCGGTAAACCGATCTAGAGCGCCGGGGTCCGACGCGAGGCGTCTGATGAAGGAGGTCGGCGCCAGGGCCAGTTCAGGGCACCGGGCGTGTAGAGCTTGTAGAGCGGGTCCGGCCGAAGCCGTCGCCGCGAAGGGCTGCTCGCCGCAGTCCCCTAAATCGAGGAAGGCGCCCGCGTCCAGGCCGTCGTCCGCCGCGTCGCGCGCGCCTTCGGCGCGCGACGGCGCCGCGGCGATGAACGCGAGGCGCGGCGCCGAGAACGCGTCGAACGCCGAGAGCGTCGTGGCGAGGCGCGGCAGCGCGGCCACATCTAAAGCGTCGGCGGCGGCCGCCGGCGCGTCGACGACGTGGGACGCGACGATGGCGACGACGGCCCGCTCCGCGTCAGGCATGGACGCGTCCTCGTCGTCCTCGTCGTCGGCCTCGGCCGCGGCGTCGTCGATGGCGTCGAGGTCGAAGTCGTAGGCCCGGCCGACGACGCCATCGTCGCCGACGAACTGGTGCAGCGGGGCGTTGCCCGGCAGCGCGTTGTGCTGCAGGAAGTGCTGGGCCGCGTGCTGGTAGACGGCCTGGTAGTGTGCCTGATTGCCTGCGCGGGGTTCGACGAGTGAGAGAGGGTCGTATCAGTACACCGCAAGTTGAAGGCACTACGACACGGTTCGGGACCGCTGTTGTTGGCGTGCGCGTAGTTTTGCACTATTTGCGCCGCGGGTACGATGACGATGTTGATGGCCGTGCCGTTGTGAATGTTGTACTGGAGCGCCAGAGACGTCCGCCAGCGCTGCGCCGGCGCCGAGTAGGCCAGGACGTCGAAGACGTAGCGGCTCATGTAGTAGTCGGAGCCTGTGTAAATCAACCCGTGAATCATGTGCGCTTTGCGTACTGGCTAAATCGAGTGGCAAGAGACCCGTGCCGCCACGTCGTCGACCAGATGTCGCGTCGATGGCGTCGAAGGCGCTTGTGAAACTTGATTCGCGCACCGGTCGGAACAGAAGTACTTGGCCCAAAACGACCGGCCGACGTCCTTCTGCGCCTGGACGAGGTCGACGGCGGGGCGAGGACTCAAGCCGTAGCCTTTGGCAGACCGTCGGGAAGTCAAAGACCGCAACCCGGACAGCAGCGGCCACGTCATCTCGAGGAGCGCAAACTCGCGCGAGTAGTGCTGGTTGAAGACCGAAATCCACTGGAGCAACTGCTCGTACTGGAGGCTCGAGTCCACGCCGCGCTCCTCCGCCTCGAGGTACAAGTAGTACGCCAGCAGGAACGTCGCCATCACGTACGCCAGCTCGCAGGCACACGACGAGAACCGAGGCGTGATCTTCCCGACCAGACCACAGACGTCCAGCGAGCCCGGGGCCCGCGCGATCGGGCACCATATCTTGTCTAACGGCGTGCGCTCGACGAAAGTCGTTCCGCCATCGGTCGGGGTCGCGGCGGCGGTGGCCGCGAGGAGCGTGCAGAGCAGGCCGCGCGGCCACATCTTCGCGCGCGGGTGTTCCGCGAGGCGCGGCGCGTGTGGTGTTGCACGGCGGCGCGCGTCGGCAGCCGAGCGCGCGCTTTTTCAGAGATCTGCTGGAGGGCTCAGCCCTGCTGTTTTTGCAGCAGCTGCGCGTCAACGCTGGCGGTTTGAGTGCACGCGGTGACCACTGCTGCCGTCGAAATTGCCACTGCGAGCAGCTCTGCTGCAGCGGTTGCTCGTACGCGTTCAAATTTGACCGCGAGGCCTCGAAGCCTCGAGCTAAAACGAAGCATACTAGCGCGAAACGCAGCATTTTGCGATTTGCGCGGGCTGCTCAGGGCTGCTGCCTTGCGTTTCGCATGGTTTATTTGTTCAGCACGTCGGTGCAGCCGCAGTTTGCGGCCGCTCGACGTGCGTGGCCGCACATCATCTCAGCCAAGCCGAATTTTTTTTTAGCGCGAGAGTTTTCGTAGCGCGCTATACGAGTCGTTGATGAGCAGCGGGAGCAATGGTGGCCCGTTTGGACGCTTCCTCTCTTCACACTTTGGGAGGCGCAAAGGGTGCCTTTTGCTCGGCTCGAGCGCTCATTTTATAGGAGTGAGCCACGTCAGGACACTCTCACGAATGCCACAAATGCCCCGCGACGCGAAATGAGCGCGACGAACGACGCCTCGCAATCAGAGGACTCAGCAAACTCACTGATCGACCGCTCGAGCGCCGCGGCGTCGACCAAGAAGCGCGACGCGCCGTCGGCCACGTCCGAAGACGACGCCGCTTCCACCAGCGACGCCGCGCCGGACGCGCCCAACGCCTCACGAGACGCGAAGCGGCGCCGCGTCGAGGACCCGGCGCCGACGTCGGTGCCCGCGCTCGAGGCGATCCGGCAGAAGCTCGGCACGGAGCCCGCCGACCTGGCGCGGCCCGACGATGCGGTACGGCTCTTCTCGCAGCGGCGCGGCGACTCGACGTGCTGTTACAGGACGTTCATGACGCTGATCTTCGCGCTCTGCACGTTGGACGAGTACAGCCGAGCGCTCCGGGCGTGCGGTCTCGTTCGGGCGTCGAGCGTCGTCGCGTCGGTGCGCGAAATCCAGGGCGCGATCCAGGAGGGCTGGCTTGACGGCTTCGGGTTCAAGGGCGCATCCCTGATCTGGAAAAGGTTGAAAGGGGCGGAGTTCGTGGGTTCGACGGGCTTGGACGCGTGGATCGGGTGCGTCGAGGCGGGCGCGGCCTTGCGAAGAGCGGGCGTCCGGGCGAACGTCGTGGGCTTCGACGGGAAGGCGGTTGGCGCGACGGCCCTGTCGGCGGCGCAGGACCTTGTCGAGCGCCTCGCGCTCTACTTCGACGGCCGCGGCGACGGCGTCGGGTGGGGCGCGGAGCTCCTCCCGCCGGCGCTCCTCGCCTTCGATGGACACAGCCGCGCCGTCGTCGGCGTGTCGCGGCGCCGGCTTGTGCTGCTCGACCCCGCGTGGTGCACCCCGCGACTCGAATGCGTGTCCGCCGAGGACCTCGCGTCGCGCGCGGACCAGTTTGAGGTCCTGGTCGTCCGCCCGGGCGTGCGCGACGCGAGAACGCTACCCAAAGACTTCAAAGGCCAGGCATAACTTTACATTCACTTATGTCGCAGTTCAGAGCTCGCCCTAGCCGAGGACTACCTCGCCGCAAACGTCCTGCTAGTGTCTTTCAGGTCGCTAGCTAATGCTGCTGCTGGCGCGCCAGCGAGCCGCAAGCTGTACGTCTGGACCTATTCCTACGCGCAGCACTTGTTCTGCATCCATTTGTCAGGACTAAGTCATTCCTGGGCCGCGCAGAGAGCAGCGCTGCAACAAACTCAACTCACTTGCTCCAAGCAGGCGCACTGTATAAGATGACAAAACCACCAGCATTGATGCGTAAGTTGAGCAATTCGAGCGACACGGCGCGCAAAGAGAGCAATGCGAGCGATGCGGCGCCAGAGCCGGAGGACAAACCGGATGCGAAGCCGTGGGAGGCGCCCGCCTGGCGAGCGCACTGCGCGCAGGAGCGCGAGGCGGCGCGGCAAGTCAAGCCGTACGAATCCGACTTGGTCGAGAGCCTCGCGGCTCGTTATGGCTGCGTCGCGAGCGGTGACTCCGGTGAGGGGCGATCCGCGCCGGAACGCAGCGACGAGGAGATGTGGCACGTCACGGCCGAAAGCCTCGCTGATCTGAAGAAGGCATGTATAGAATACGGCATCAGCGCGTCGGGTTCGACGGAGAGCCTCGCCGCGCGCGTCTACCACCCGGACCAGCCCGATCCGTTGCCGGCGAAGCGGCGACGGACAGCGGAGATTCTCGAGCGACGGAGGGAGAGTTCCTTGGGGAAATAAGTTTTAGTTGTTGTGAACTGATTGCACCACGATCTTGATTGTTTTTTTTTCTGGCGCTAGTGTGTCTCTGGAGCTACCGACGTCACCAGCCGCGCGAATCGAATTGGCCGTCATACCGCCGCGCTAGGACGCCCGCGGGATATTTGACGCGCGCAGAGCATCCTTGCCGACCCACATGATCCCTCGACGGCGCCGGCAATTTTGTTCTGCGCTGCATCAACTTCAAAGCGAACTCTAACATAAACCTCCGCGGCGCGACGCGACCGCCGGCCGAGGAATCTCAAGGGCCTCATTAGTAGGCCCAAAAACTCGCCGGATAAACGCCGCCGCGGGCTCGCAACTTTCACTGACACCCACGCCGGCGAGAGGTTCCCGAGAACTCCGCCGCGCGATCTGAAAATATGGCCGGCTCGAAGAGCTCCAAGAAAGTAGAGCCCTGGCAGACGCCCGAGTGGCGGGCCCACTGCGCCGCCGAGCGGCAGAGATTTAGGGACGGCCTCTTCTACCAGCTCATGGCGCCCGTCATGGGCCCCGTCATCGTCGACCTCAACGGGTCGGACGAGGAGATGTGGCGCCGCGAACACGACCCCGTCGGCGCGCGCCGATTGAATTTGACTAGGATGGTCAAAGCTAGAGGTCTCGACCCGACGGACAAGTACTGGGCCGCCTACATCCAGCAAGGCTGCGAGGACGAGTCCCGGACGCCGGCGGCCCAGCGCAAGGGCCTCGGCGCGCGCCTCGACTCGCTCACGAACCTGGCCGCGCTCAAGGAGGAGTGCCGGGCCCACGGCCTACCCGCGTCGGGCACCAAGGCCAAGCTCTCGCAGCGCCTCCGCGACTACGCGTCCGGCGTCGAACCGTCCAAGGGCAAGCGGCGCCGCGGCGCCTAAAGCCGACTACGGCGATAGTCATTCCCCCAGCAATAATGGATTGTGTATAACCTAGAGCTTGCGCTTCTTGGCTGCGGGCCTCTTCGCCAGCAGGAGGGGTACGGGGAACCCGCGCAACGTAACTAGCCTGAGCCTGTGAGCCGCAATGCGTATAACCGCGGTGCTCTACCGCGATGCGTCTGTGTTGGGGTCTGACACGCAACGCGCGGTGTGGAAACCCCGTCCTCACCGGTCGCAGCCGAGGAATCGGCGACAAGCGCTAGACGGGAGACGAAGCAAACCAGCTCTTAGGAGGGGGAGGGGGATTTATTCGGCGCTTTCGCGCCCAACTTTCTCGGTGGGAGCGACGCGCTGCGCCTCGGCGGGGAGCACGTGCGCGACCTTCGAGAAGAAGAATGGTTTGGTGGAGGGGTCCAGCGTCCACCGGGCAATATGCGACCGCTCCACTAACGCATCAACCGCGGTAGCGTTGAAGTTCCACTTGCACGCCAGCGCCACCCAGTCCACGAACAACCAGGTCCCGAACACTAAGAGGGCCACGAGCCACGTGTGCCCCGCCGCGAACGTATGGTGGGTCACGCCCCAGTACTCCATCATGTCCGCCGCCGTCGTGTCCTCGGCGCAGGCCGGCGTCGACGCGTACCAGGACATGCCGAAGAAGAAGGCGAGGTTCAGGAAGAGGACCACTTTGTGCGACGCCATGAAGCCTAATGGGCCTAACCCACCTTCTTCCCCGCAGCCGCCCGTCACGTTATTTATTGTGCGTGAAGATACGAAGGCCTTGAAGTTCATGCTTACAGCAATCACGATCATGAGCGTGGTCCCAAATATGCCGAGGCTGCCGCTGTCGTAGACGCCGCCCCGGCCATGTCTCATGGCCCCGTACCCGACATAGTAGATGACGATGCCATGCAACACGGCGTTGACCTGCCACGCCAACACCGCCTTCAGTGATAGATCCAAGTTAAGTCTACCGCTATCGTAGCACCTCGGATGACTGAGAATCCAGCCCTCGTCCGCGTCTCTGTCAAACATGCCCAGCCAGAAGATCTGCGCCGCCAAATAAATATTATAGGCCGACGTGAAGTGCGACTGGTACACACTCGTACCACTAAATCCAGTCGACGTACTATAAAAGAAGAGGCAGTAGGCCATGACCGCGTTCTTGTAGAAGCTGAAGAGTATCAACGTCGCGGATCGGCGGTAGGCCCACCGCCCATGGACCAGCAATAACCGCAACAAAAAGCGGAACTGGCCGATCGCAAAATCGGCCGCGTTCACGGCCTGCCTGCCCTCCAGCCCGCAGATCCCGACGCCGACCTGGGCCTGCATGATCATGTTCACGTCGTTCGCGCCGTCGCCAATCGCTAAAGTGACGGGCTTGGGCTTGATGTGCGTCTGGACTAATTTCACGAACTGAGCCTTCTGTTTGGGCGTCACGCGGCAAGCGAGCACCGCTTTGTACTGCGCCAGTAATCGGAACAGTATCACTTCTAGGGCCGGTCCCGCCGCGAACAGGACACGCACGGCACCGCCATCCAACACTAAGGCCGACCGACCGGCTCGCGGCGGATCGAGGTTCACGCGCGCGTCCGGCCCGAGTCTCTTGACCAATTCGTTCTCGATAGCTTCTTCTAATTCTTCAGGTGTTAAAGCCTTGTCCTTGCCGTAGACGCACTGCTTCGCATATCTCTTGAGCTTGAGCGAGAAGGGCGCGAGACCCTTTTGCGCTTTGGTGTATTGATCCCTCGTCACTTCCCTCGCATATAACTGGCAGAGATCCGCCACCAGCGTCTGTTCCGCCACGTCGGAAGCTAGCACATCCACGGGCATGTCTTCCACAATGAGTCGGCAAGATCGCGCAATCTCGATGGCCGTCTCCCTCTTGTCTCCGGTTAATACCCATAACCTTATTTCGGCAGCGGCTAGCGTCGCGATGGTCTCGGGCACACCTTCCTGCAAGCGGTCTTCGATGGCCGTCGCACCAATAACATCTAGATTGCGTTCAGCCACATCGGCCGCGGCTCGCAGCTTCTCCTCCCGACCCTGTAAGGACGTACTAGCAGGCTCGTAATGCTTGGAATTCCACTCAGACCACTGCTTCTCGCTCCACTCGTTCGCCGAGTAGACGAGCGTCCGCAGACCGGTCACGGCATACGCGTCAATGGTTTTAGTGAAGTCGCCGCTTCGTTCGATGGACGCGGGGTCCGCCCGCTCCAACATACTGGAATCGGCCCCCTTGCAGAAGAACACAATTTTCTTCGTCTGTAAGTCGCGTAGGACGATGGACATCCTTTTGCGGTCGTTGTCAAATTCGTTGGTCGCCAATATTTCGTACTTCGTCGTGACCGCGGGGCTGTGGGGCGGCCCGACACTACCCACTAGCTCCTTCTGCGTCCTCGCACTCAAAGTGTAGCCGCACATCTTGCCGCCCTCGACCAAGGCCCCTTCGTCGGGCGACTCCGCCTGGTAGTGAACCTTGTCATCATCTTCCTCGGGCTGCTCCACGATGACCGTATTACACAACATGAAGGACTCGACCATCTTCAGGGCGCACCAGGCCTCACTGTCGGTCTTGCCCTTTTCCTGTGCTAGGTCATACAGCGCTTTGCACGACAGGGGATCATCTTTTTCGCCATAATCGGCAGCACAGACCTCGTCGTGTTTCTCGCCGAGACCGTAGCACTTGCCACGCACCACAACTCTTCGTAACTTCATTTCATTCCTCGTGAGCGTGCCCGTCTTGTCCGAAAAAATGTACTTGACTTGCCCAAGGTCCGTGACACTGAGACTTCGGGCTTTGGCGTGGACGTCCACCCCGTCCACGGGGTGGACCATCTCCGCGTCCCAGTCGATGTACTTCATCTGCGAGATCTTGGCGAGGTCGAACGTCACGTACAGGCTCATGGGCACGAAGAAGCAGTACCTGCGCGTGGCGCTCGCGTCGACGGCGCGGCGGGGGCGTGACGGTCGCATCTCGGCGGTCGCGCGTCCCGCGAGACGGTGCGGCCCCCTCCACGCCGTCGACGCGGCGACGGCGTCAGACGCTGATAAACGCGCATGATCACGAAGGTCAGGAACCCGAACCCCAAATCTTGTCTATCGCGAGGCTCGAGGTCGGCCCACTTCGCCGAGACACTACTATGCGCATCAATGGACGATTTCAGACCAGTATACCACAGGTCCTTGTCGTTGGCTCTTTCAAAACCGGACATCCCCGCGGCAGAAGCAAACGACAGCGCGAACTGGAAGCAGAGGATGACGATGACCGCGCTGTTCGCGATGCGGTCGAGCTGCGAGAACTTGATCGGGGCCTCGCGCATGTTTTTGGCCAGCTTCGTCTCGAAGCCCGCGTAGACGCAGACCCCAACAACCCATAACGAGTGGACCTCGCTACCTCTCAAGATCACGTGCTCCTTCCCCAGAGCTTTTACGGATTCACCATCCGGCGTGATTGAACCCGTAAACGCGTTCACGTGCTCGTTCGGCAGGTCGCACTCGACCTCTCCTTTGAACTGTGTACTACCTTCAATGGCTTGAGCATCGTCCGTCTCTCCTTTAGGATCCTGCCAGGGCTGCGTGAGCGGCGCGGCCCGTCTTAGCTTGAGCGACGTCTCGCCGTCGATGGCCGCAGTGTCGATGTAGCACGTCGCGGCTTCACCAGCGCCGGCGAGTACCACAAAGTCTACGGGGGCCGTTTCTCCTCTGTGAACGACAACCACGTCGCCCGGCCGGATGTGTCGCAGCTTCGTCGCATGGTCCCTTGAGACTACTGTGACAGGGGTCGCGTTCATCTTCGCGTCGGCTCGATGGCGCTTGAGGTCCGTCAATCCAGCATTCAACACTGATATGGAGATGAGAAACGCCAGGACCCCGACCGTCCAAACACTGGGATAAGGGGTGTTGTACCATCCTGTCTCCTCCGCTAGCAGCATGAGAATAGCGACACATAGGAAATACAAATTGGCCATCCTCCTAAACTCGGCCATGAGGGCCAGGGGCAGAAAATTCCACCACGTGAACTTCGACGTCGTGACGACGTTGTCCTTGCTGTGTGTGGGATCGTAGCCCCCGACTCTCACCTTGCGCGTCTCGGGTCCTTGGCGCGAGCTCATTTGCCTCAGTAATTTCTGGGACAGACTCTTCTTCTTGCCAGTCTTCGGGCCTGCCTTTGCCATCGCCTCGGCCTTCGCCACCGTCGTGCCGGGCTCCTCGCGCGGCGTCATGGGCACCATCTCGGCCCCCTCGGCCATCTCTAATTTAATGGGTGTGGCGGCGATCTTGGCCGTGCTTGCGCGGCCCGCGGGCGCGCGCCGTCCGCTCGTCCCTCGCGGCGCGTGCCGGGCAGCCTCTCCGCCGCGGCAAGCGCTCGTTTTATTGCGCTCCTCGGGGCGATTTGGCTGCCGGACCCCGCACGTTCGCAGCGTGGGTTTCTAGGCGTGCCGGGGACGGCTCGGCGCCGCGCCCGACGGCTGGTCTGTGTTTTTTGGAGCTTTCTTGTCGGCAAAACCCGAATCAGCGACTCGAGCAAGTGGTTTTGGAGACGAGCCACTGTGCACACCTGCGCCCATAAAACTACGTAAGGAATAGTCGACGCGTTAGCCGATGCACCACGGTTGCTGCTCTGCCAAAAGAGAGGGCGAAATTCGCCGCGCAAGCGGTCAAATACGCTGCACCTCTCGCTGGCGGCCATTGGCGGCGCGCGCGCTCTCCGCAGCCGAGCCAATGCGCCCACACGTTTGAGACGCAACAGAGACGCTGCAAACGAGAGCTCTCGCCGCCTCGCACCGCCAACGCCGCCGCCGAGCCCGCGCGCCCGCCGCAGGTGCCACTCAAGATGACGTCCCTCCCGGCGAGCCAGGCCTGGCTCTATGTCAGGAACAACTCGTCCTTCCTCGTGAAGCGCAACGGCGTCCAGTTCTCGCGCGAGCCCGGGAACCTCACGCAGCTCAACACGTACAAGTCGTCCGGCCTCTGCAACGACAAGGCCATCGACATTAATTTGGACGAGGACGGCAAGATCGTCATGGCCCTGAAGGCGCCCAAGCGCGCGACGAAGCCGTCCAAGTCGCTCAACAAGACGCCGCTCCGCAAGAACTTCAGGAGGTCCGCGAAGGCCATCCAGAGCCAGACTGCGGGCAAGTTCTACCGCGGCGACCTCACGGGCAAGGCCCTGGCGCGCTACGCGGCGTTGCACCGCTTCACGAAGGTCCAGCAGGGCCTCGCGAAGAAGGCCAAAACGAAGACGGGGCGCCGGGGGGCCGTGGGCGACGACGACGAAGGGATGCCCTCACTGACTGCTTAGATGGGTAATGGCGTTGTTCTTATTTGCGGCGACGAGAGCGGTACCGGCCTTCGACCGCGTCGCGCGTCGCGCGCAGCGGTGGGGCGTCGACGGCGCAAGGCACCACGCCCGGCACGCCGTCCGTCGGCGCGAAGCCTTGACGCCATCGACGTGAAGCTAAATAGACACTATGTTAGATGGCGTCGAAGCGCGTGCGGCGCGCCGCGAGCGCCGCGAGCTCACTCCTTCCCCGGCTGCAAAATCCCAAAGCCCGGCGCCGTGATGAGGTCGTAGTACTGCTTCGTGAGGTGCTTGCAGTTCTGGTAGTGGTTGACACCTTCCCTCTGATAACATTGCGCGACCTGCTCGCGCACGATCTTCACCGTTTCTTCCGCGATGATCCGTTCCCGGCCTCGTTGTTCCCGGGCCAGAGCGTAACCCACAGGATCGTCGTGGCGGCGGCCGTCGGCCCTCAAGTCTGACGGGACATGCGGGTAGGGTTTCAGTTGGACGCCGACGGGGTAGGCGTCGTTGTAGGGCGCGCCGGGCATTTTGTGGCGGCGACGGCGTCGAGGACTGCTGGTTGGTGGGCGGCGCTTGGCTTATCGCTGCGCGGCGTCCGGGAGCGCTGGCTGGCGGCGGCGCCTCAAGAGGGCTCCTTGGCGGCGGCGCGGCGCGGCGAGTTGGAGAGGCGGATGCGGCCTGAGCTGTGAAGCGTCTCCACGAGTGCTACGGCGTGGCGGCGCGCTCGTCCAGGCTTGAGCAGCGCAAAACTGGGCTCCAGGGGAGGCTGGTGTATTGCTAGTGTCTTTACGACGCTAGCTGCGCATTTTTGGTGCGACCGCGGTAGGGCGCATTTGCGCAGTTGTGCGCTCGTGCGACCTCATACAGTTCACAAGGATCGCTGTGCCGCAGTGTGTGCCAAATTTTACTGCGTGATACGACACGGAGAGCTCCCATCAGTGTGAGCATCCAATCCAGTGATCAATAGCAGCCGCAGGAGCCGCCGCAAAGTGATCAATAGGCCGCCGCAACGCCGGCCGACGCAGCGCACGATAGATAGAGAAGGATGTTCGACTTCTACCGCAAAGTACCGGAAGACCTGAAGCAGGCGACGCAGACGGGCGGTCTCATGAGCATCCTCTGGCTCGTTATGTTAGGATGGATCGTGCTCGCGGAGACGGGACGCTTGACAAGTGAATACAGAAGTAGAATCGACGTGGACACGTCACAAGACCAGCTGCGCATCGACTTCAACATCTCGTTTCCCCATTTGCACTGCGATAGAGCGTCTGTTGATTTATGGGACAAGATCGGAAGGAACCAGGCGGACATAACACGCACGGTCGAAAAGTGGCAACTCGACGAGCATGGTCATCAAAGAGCCTACAAAGGGAGGGATCGCGTCAAACCCGACATACAACATGACGACCACCATTCGCTGGACCAATTGCACGAAAATGGGATCCACGTCGACCACATCGAGGGCGGCCGCGACGCCTGGGACGCGCATCTCGCCACGAAGGAGTACGCCTTCGTCCAGTTCTGGGCGCCGTGGTGCCCCTTCTGCCGCCAATTGGCGCCCGCGTGGGAGGCGCTCGCCGAGGACACGGAGCATAAGAACGAGCCCGTGTCTATTGCTTGCGTCGACTGCACGCTTGAGCCCCAGCTCTGCCACGACGAGGAGGTGCACGCCTTCCCGACGCTGCGGCTGTACCGTCACGGCCGGCCGGTGCACGAGGGGACGTACCGCGGGGATAGGACGGTGGTAGCCATGGGAGAATTTTTGGCGTCGAAGCTCGAACTCCAGGCGGTGTACGAGCATTACCCGCAGGTACGTACTGTCCTTGTGTCACCTCATACCTTACTCGCGTCCCCGCGCAGAAGCAGGAGACGCGGAGAGACCACTGGGATGATGATGATCCTGGGTGTAGAATAGCGGGCCACGTCCTCGTGAATCGCGTGCCCGGGAATTTCCACATCACGGCGCACCAGTCTCACGAGTCGCAAAACGCGAAACGAACAAATATCTCCCATATCGTCCACCGCCTGACGTTCGGCGAGCCGCTCAACCGATGGCAGCGGCGCAAGCTCGGGTACCTCGCGGACCAGCACGCGAGGGTTGCGCCCAAACCGGACGCGGCTTTCAAAGGAGCGCACCACCGGGGGGTGCATCATCATCTTCATGTTGTGCCGACCAGGTACGACGTCACACGCCGACCATTCGCAGCGTTCCAGACGTTACACCACGTCCATTCGGTCATTTATCCGCTGGACACGGCGCCCGAGGCGCGGTTTGCCTACGATATATCACCGATGGCCGTCGTTGTCGAGCGGCGGCCGCACCGGTGGTACTCGCTGGTGACGTCGCTGCTGGCGCTCGTCGGCGGCAGCTTTGCGTTTTTTCGGATGGCGTCCCAGGCGGGCGCATACGCTCCAGCCCGGGGGAGGGGCGCTTTGTAAATGTATATGTGTGTCTACTACGTTCAAACAGAATGATTACGGGTTCGATTCGGACGCCATGGCGATGTGCTGCCCCTGGACGACTTGGAGTTGGCGCTGGTGGACTATTTCGGGTTGGACGACGACGGGCTGGACGACCGGCCGCGGCGCGAGCTCCACGACAGTTGCCGGAGCCATCGGCGGTGGCGCGGCCTGCCAGGCGGCCACGACGGGTGGGTGACCGTGGGGAACAACGCCCCGTCGAACCTGCGCCTCGTCGAAGCCGCCCTGCATGTAGTACGCCGACGCGCCGAGCGCGAGGAGGACGAAGCCGATGCAAGTCATGGTCCAGCCCGCCGCGGGCAGGTCAGGATTACAAGCACCTTCGCCCGGGCGGCCGTGGCCGTACCAGGCACTCAGGATCGCGAAACCGATCAGCGTGAACACGCAGCAGGGCAGCACGCCGAAGAGACTCAAGCTCAGCGTCGCCGTCCGCCGCGGCTCGACTTCCGGCGCCCACGCCGGCGCGCACACCGCGACGACGCCCAGCACCGCTGATAGACACGAAAAGAACGCGAAAAATCCATGAGCAGCGCGGTTCCGCATGGGCTTGTAGCCGCCGAGCTGGCCGCAGACGAGGGTTCTCGCGTGATAGCCCCGCCCGTCTTCAAAATCCCCGCTGCCGCAGGCGTCCCGGCGATCCGCGTTGTGCACGCTTTCGCAGCGCTCGTAGCCCTCTTGCCCGACTTTCATGACGGCGATGCACCCCGCGTCCGCGTCGCAGGCGGCGAGCGCCCAGAGTTTATCGTGGAAGGTCGGGCCGTACGTCGCGCGGCAGCGCACGCGTTCCCTGTCCCAGTACTCGCAGCGCGGCGGCCGGCCGGCGCAGGCACAGTCCTCGCACGAGAAGCCCTGGCGCTCGAACTCGGCGCACGAGAAGCCCGCTTCCGACGCCTCGTCGCAGCTATAATGAGTGACGACGTCGAAATTGTCCTCGTGCACGACGTAGCGCGAGTCCGCCTGGTAATCGATGGCGGCGAGCGGCGTGTCCGGGGCCTCGACGATGACCGTGATGTTGGCACGAACGCTCTCACGCGTCATCTCTAGCAGTGGGCGGCAGGCGGCCGTCGGAGTCGCCGTGGTCGGCAGTGACGTGACGGTGGGCGCCGCCGTAGGTGCGGCCGTGGTCGGCGCCGGCGTCGCGTTAGTGCTGCAGAGGGAGGCGAGCACGAGCAGTCGTAGGCTGCCTCCGCGTCGGAAGCGTGCGCGCATGCCGTCCACTAAGCAGCCCAACTCTTGCGCTGGGTTTTTGTAGGACTCAGTTTTTACGATGGCCCGCGCGCACAGATGCGCGATGCCCGCTTCGATATATGATTCATTCGGGCAGCCATCGGCTATACGTGCTGCCTACAGCGCCACAGGACAGCGCTGCCTGGCACACGATTTTCAAAGCACCCGCACGACACGCCCCCCCCGCTCATTTGAACGGTGACTAGAGGCGACTACGAAGTGCCCAGGGAGTTACCTCAGCTCCGCCCGCGCCCCCGCAACATACGCGGGCGCCCGCGGCGCGACGATGGAAAGAGCCGCGGCGCGGAGGAGCTCCCAGGGCCGCCGCCGCCGCGCGTAGGCGCGGTTGCCGTCGTAGGTCGGCAATGGCAATTCGGGTGTGGGCTCGCTCGCCAACGGCCGCGGCAGCTTTAAGGCGTCGAGCAGTTGCTTCCCGTACGCGTCCCCGAGCACCAAAAAGGCCTCGTAGCTCCAGACGAAGACCCCACAAGGTGGATCGTTGACCAACCCTCTCAAAACATCAAAGGCGAGGCGCTGCTCGCGCGCCGCCACTCCACCATTCCGCTGGTGGTGCCTCGCCTTCGTCCGCAGTGTAGCTGATGGATCCCGCGCCGCGACGACGACCAACACCTCTTCGAACCTATAGTCGTCCTTCAGCTCCCTCACTAAACTCCGCACGTCGGGGAAGCAATTCGCATGCGGCAGCGACCTATGTATAACGGCCGACGCCGCGCAGAAGTTCGCATGTATACCGTGGCCGTCCCAGGTCTTCCACACACCCCTACTCTCGGCGCAGGATGGGTCGTAGGGCGGCGGGAAGCTCGGGGACCGGAAGGCGGCTCCTTCCAACGCCTGGGCGGCGGCGAGCGCGGCCAGCTTGCTGCCCGAGCCCTCGGCGCCCACGACAATGATAGCTTTTTGTGCCTTTATGGTCGATTCGAAGCGCCGCAGGGCCTCCGACAGGTCGTCTTGTGTGCAGGTTACTGGTGTGTCGTCTGCGGGCGGCGCGCGTATGTCTGGCGTCAGCAGCGTGATGAACAGGACGAGCGCTACCAAACGCAGCACGAATTTCTCCTTGTCCATGTCTCACGCCGCCCGCTCGCGCTCGGCAGAGTCCCGCATCGACTTGGACACCACCCCATAAACCACGCTCCAACAAACCACCGTGATGGTCAGGAAGACCCACCAGTCCGTGTAGGTGTCGAAGATGATGCCGCCGCCCGTCGTTGCTGTTGTGTTAAGAGTGTCGTCGTCGGCCATGGTTGCTGTGGGCTGCCGGGGCGATCAATTGGCTGCTTTGGGCTGCATGCAAAATGAGAGGAACCCGAACAATTCCCGAACGCGCGCGCGGCGGGACATTCTCTAGTTCTATGCACAATTATATTACTATCAATAGTCGCCGCTTTCAACGTCGTGCATCTCGGCTTCAGCAGCTTCGTGACGGATACGCGCGGCAGTTCGCGCCGCCTCGAGGCGCTCTGGCCCTGCCGCTTCAAGCGCGGCGCTGATGAGGCCCATGAGCCGCTCAGTCCCCGGCGTTATAGGCCCGGGGATCGTCTCTAGCCTGGAGAGCAGCGACGAACTGTCATCAAAGTGGTGACCTATTTCGTAGCCAGCGTCGGCCTTGACGACGTCGCACCCTTGCTCGACGAGAAACGTCGCTAGAGCGCATCTCTCGTCGGTCCAATCACCAGTCGAACAAATACACCAGGAGAGAGCACAGGTGCCGGCGCAGTCAATTGGACAGCCCTCAACGTCCATGTCGACACCTGCCGCCAGAAGTAGTTTGGTGAGTATGATCGCATCTTGAGGGACATATGCCGCCACGAAGTGCAGCGGGGTTGTTCCTCCAATTGGTTCCGCGGGATCCGCGCCGTATGCAATGATGGTTCGAATCAACTGCGAAGCGACCCCAGTCCGTTCGACTGTTGCAGGAGCATCCGGGTGGTCCTTCTTATAGCGATCAAACACAATGTACGGCTGGTCGAGCCTCTCCCTGACCGATTCGCGAGAGTCCAGATCAACGTCACCCAGCCAATCCCAATACCGCGTCCGCAGGACCTGCTCGGCTTCGCTCACCGTGAGACCGATGCCGCCGAATCGCGACCGCTCGGCCGCGTCCGTGCCCTTGCGCAGCGCCGTCCGCGCCGACACGTCTCGACCAGCGGCGACCACGAGGTCAGGCGCGACTACGTGGGAGGCAATTTTGCAGAGCATGTCGGCTGGCAGGCTCAGCAGCGCTGCGCGGCGAGGCGCGGCGTCCGTTTGCGCCATAGTGGACTGTGTGAGCTTGGCTCAAGTGGAGTCGAAGTGGAGTCGAAGTGGAGTCGAGGCCGCAGAGCCGAGAGTCTAGCGCATGTAACACACTAGAAGACAAAACACACGCCCACGAGTCCTAGCACCGTGTACAACAGACTAGGTGACCGGCAAAACACAGTAGCTTAGGCCTTCGCCTCGGCGGCGCCCGACGACGCGAAGTCGTCGTACGACGGCGCCCTTCTCCGATCGTCGTCGGGCTCCGACCGCACGGAGCTTGTAACACGAGACAGGGCCTCCTCCTCGGCGAACATGTTCGCGGCGTCCGTGAACTCCGCCTGGTTCACGGCGGCGAGCGCCTCCGTGACGGCGTCGGCGACGGACATCGCCGGCGTCCACACGCACACGATGTCCCAGTCGTCGCGCACGCCGCCCTGGCCGAGGACGAAGCGCACTTCTCTATCTCTAAATGAGAGCACCGGCCCGGCAAAGGGGTAGTTCGGCGGCAGCCTTATGATGACTTGACCTGGAGCGCGCTGCTTGCCGAAGACGACGTCCGCGACCCACTGGACGCACTCATCATCACTATCATTCCTATCATCGGGATGGATCGCCGTGATATTCGACGGTAAGGCCGTATTCGCGTATCTCCGCAACTCGCCCTGTAACCTCGTATCTCTTCTTGTTTCGGCCAAGTCGTCCTTCGAGCCGCGAGACGCGCGTCCCAGCCCGCGGAAGAAGTTCGTGAGGTCCCGCGACCGTCGCTTGAGGAACCCTCGGCTTTCCGAGGACGCGGGCCGGTCGTCGTCACTCGTGTCGAGGGCGCTCATCGACTGCGCGCCGCTGTTGTGCCGCAAGATCCGCCGCTGCCTTTCACGTCGTTGCTCTTCATCAACAGCACGGCCGGACTGCGACCGCGATGGCGCGGAAAACCGCCCAGGCAAAGGCGCGCTTCGAGTCGTCGTAATGGCCGGGTAGACCTGCACGGCCTCGGCCGGCACGACCTGGCGCCGATCGACGTTGTCGAAATGACTCCGAGGCAGCGTCGGCGACGTCACGGCGTCCCGCATCGTCACGATGGCCGAAGGAGGCACGCCCTCGGCCCCAAACTTTTTCAATTCCAGCAGCATCCGTCGTCGCAGAGGTGCATTGGTCACACCCGCCTGACTGAGTTCGTCGTCCGTGTAGAAGGACAGCGTCGCGCCGTCCACGTTTCTAAAACCCCGCCTTACCACATCTTCCTCGACGTGAAAATAATCAGCAAGTAATCTAGCCGTCGCCTCGACGCTCAAAGTGTTAAGTAATGGGCCCGGGGCGTCCCCACCTTTGGCCTCTTGCGCGGGCCGCGCCGGGGCCGGCGCCTCGGAGGGTGCGGCCTCCATTTGCCAGCACCAATTTGCTTCTTGCAAGCTCGGCGCCGAGCGGGGGGAATCACGGCCCCGCCTTGAAAGAGTGCTCGGATGGATGCGTCGGGGGCAGCCTCTTCTGACAAGCTGGGCACTACCTGTTTGAGGTCTGCCTATCGTCCAGCAACCTCTCCTCGAACACAAATCGGCGTCATACCCGCACGGCGGCACGTTCGTTTGAAAGGAGGGCTACGAGCCACGCCTCGAAGGCGTCGCTCGGCGGCATGGACCACTGCGCGAGGGTGGGGCCGGTCGAGCAGATGTCGAGCCCAAAACTCTCTGGCCAGCGTGGCTGGCCGCGCGACGCTGGCGCGCGCGCATCGATTGAGGCACTGCACGCGAGCAGTAGCATTGGTCAACGAACGAAGCTTGCGGGCTGCCCCGGGCGCGACATCAGTAATGGGGCCACCAAACAGCCAGCCATCAGCGGAGCAGCCCAAGCGGCCGGCCGCTGCGCTGGGCGCACAGATCGCCGTCGAGACGCTGCCGACGCCCGCTGCACCACTCGAGACGCTGCCGACGCCCGCTTCACCGCCGCGCGTCCCGAAGAACGCTACAGCGACGCGACCGAACGCAACGGTGACGACGCGCCCCGCGAGCGGTGACATCCAGGGCTCGATGGAGAGCGCCGGCGCCCAGCAGGCGCAGCGGTCCGCGGCCAGCGCGGGCCTCGCGTCCGCATTACCTTGGGGTCTTGCCTCCACGGGCGCCGTCGCCGCGGGCTGCAAGTTCTCGCCGGCGTTCGCGAAGGCGACGTCGCCGTCGGCGCGCGTCGCGCTCGCGATCAGCCCGCCGCTCTTCGCGTTCTTTTTAGCTGGTGATCTGCGGGTACATCATGACGCCAAGAGCCGCGGCGACGTTGCGACGGCGCGGTCCGGCGCGACGTGGCCGCTGCGCCTGGCGAACGCCTTCTACAATCACACTTTGATAGCGTTCGGCATGGTCATCACGCCCATGTACGGCGCGATCCTGCACAGTGAGCTCTCGAAACCCAGGTACGAGGGCTGGCGCCTCTCGCACGCGGTCATCCACACGCGTGTTTATGGTCAAGCAGCCGCTGTGGGTAGTTTGGTGCTGGTCTTCGGCTTCAAGGATATCTTAAGGCAGAGCGGCGCGCCGTTCAAGGTTGAATAACGATGTTTTTATGTGCAACGGGGAAGGGCTCCTAGTCCTGGTCCAACAGGGCCATCTCCTCGGGCTTGACGAGCTTCGTCTTCAGCATCAAGGAGCGCAGGGGCCCCAAAGCGGCGATGATGATGGGAAAGCCGACGCCGAGCGGCGAGTTCTTCAGGAGCATCATCGACGCCAGCAGCCCGATTTGTAGTAACGTGAAGCCGCGCGTCACGTTCCTCGGGACGGCGGCCCAGGGCCGGTCCTTGGCTTTGCTTTGCGAGGCGTCGAGCGCGTCGAGGTCCACGAGCGGCCCTCCGAGCAACTCCGTGCTGCGCGCGAACATCTGGTTGCCCTTCAGCGCCGACGTGCCCAAGTACAGGAACAGGCCCATCAGAGCAGCTTTCGGCGTCCTCGCGAGCGTCTTCCGCCCGAACAGTAAAGCTCCGCCGATCGCCGCGTGGATAGCTAAACCAGTAACCCGCTGCTCCTTGCAGCCCACGAACTCCAAGCTGCTTTCGCAGTCGCCCTCCTGGATCACGTCCTCGTAGACGGAGTTGGCCCTCACATGATTGATGCTGCGCACCGTCGCCGCGACGAGCCAGGGGAAGCCGACGACGGAGCAGCCCGCTGCTAATAAAGACACGACCAACAGGTCCTGGTGGTAGCCGACCGGCTTCTTCAGTTTGTTACTTTCCGCGTTGACGATGCGCACCGTGATGTTCTGGTCTGTGTGGAAATCAAAATTTTACGGCGCGATCGTGCTGAATCATCGCGTCGTCCTCCACGCCATCGACGCGACGCCTGCTCGATGGCGTGGCGATGCCGGTTCCTCACCGCTCGACGGAGCCAGCACGACCGCGTCATCACCGAGAAATGACTTAGTGAAGAATTGTCGGGTGCACCCGACTCACTGGTTGATTTCCACACAGGCCAGAACCGAAGAACAAGAGCACCGCGACCATGAGCGCCGGCAACGACGCCAGCCAGCGGTACTTGACCGGTAGGGCGCCCAGGGGCACGAGCCAGGGCCGCCCCGACGTCGTGGAAAAGGTCGCGGGCATCGCTAGTTTTTGTAGAGGCACGCCCGCCCTCGCGCCGCACCAGCCGCCGGCTAGAATCCCTAAACAGATCCCGATGGCCGGCGCGAAGTCGGCCAGGAAGTTCCGCACGCCGCGCTTCAGCGACTCGGCGCCCCTTCTAGCTGCTAACCACGTCGCGCTCCCGAACGTCGTGCACGCCGTCGCGGCCACCGCAAAGGCCTCGCTTGCTGCCATAGACGGATTCAGCAACGCGCCGAAGACCACATCTCTGGCTGCTTCGTAGACAAAAATCGTAGAGATTAAATTGGAAAAAATCTCGTCCGTGAACCTTGTTAATAACGTAACACCATTGGACGTCGAAAATAACGCGCCGAGAAACAGATATAGAGAGGACCAGAGGCCCGTCCAGGCGTATAGAGGTAGGAAGGGTACTCCTAGTTTCGTCGACAGACCGTAGAGCACGGACGTGAAGGCTAAGACCGGTCCTGTACTACCGATGATGGTCAGCGGTTGTGCTGATGCTAGCGCGTAGACGACGCCACAGATCGCTGTAGAAGCCACATACTCTACTGCTCCGATGGCGCCTTTCGTGGTGGCGCCCTGCACAGAGCCGAACGCGACGGCCGGCGCCAGGCACGCGAAGAACAAGTATAATAGCGCGGAGACGCTCTTCACGGAAACTCCATCTTTTATGTCCGACTTGTAGAAGGGCAGGCGCGCCTTGACGTCGCGGCGGATGCCCACTCCAAAACCCTCGACGAGTTTCACCTTTTCTGTTGTTGCTGGTGTGGCTTCGGCCGTCGCGGTCTCGGCCTTGGGCAGGCGCGGCAGCTTGCGCGCGAAGCTTGGGCTCCTGAATCCGGCACACAGGGCTGGCAGCAGCAGGACTGCAAAGCGGCGCGGCGCCATCGTTGCTGTTGCTTCTGCGCAGAGTAGATACAGCTCCCGCTCTTGTGTTTGCTTGTGCTAGCGGTATTGCTTCCGCCGTTGCACAAGCTTCGGCGTAGGATTGCTCCGCACAGTTCGCTAGCTCCACAACAACGCGGGAGTGCCAGGCAGTTGCAGCGGCCGCGTTTGAGGCGAGCAAAAGTGATGCTCTTGCTGCAAAAAACTGAGATGCTTGCAAATCGAGGCAAGCACCCGTCCAAGCGCCGGCCGGTAAGCGCCTCCGAGCACTCTTCACGAGAGGTAGGGCAGCCTGGCACTGGCGCTCAACCCGAGCCCGAGCTTGCAAGAAGCATTTTGGGCTGGCATCAGCAGGCCATTTGCACTGGCCGCCGTGCGGCCAGGGGCAGCATAAATCGCGGCCGCAGCAACGCAGCCACGAGCGAGCAGCTCCACAGGGCGGTGGACACGCCGACCGCTGCGCCTGCTGCCCTCCATAGATAGTACCTGTTGCAACCGGCGGCCGTCGCAGCGATGCGGTGCGCCCTCCTCGTGGCGGCGCTCGCGACCACAGCAGCTCGACTGACCAAACCGCTGCCTCCGGCCGTCCATGTGAGGGGCGGCGGCATTTTTGGGCGAGTCGCGCGAGACGCGATCGAGGCGAGTAGCATCCAGGAGCGGACCGACGCCGTCGCCACGCCCTTAGCCGCCACGAGGACCGCTGTGGGTGCTATGTTACTCTTCAGACCCCCAGGAGCGACGGCCATGTTTGGGCCGAGGGGCGTCGCCGCGTTCCAGATTTTCTACGTCTCCCACTTCTACCTGCGGTTGGCCGTGAAGGCCGTGGTCAAGGTGGACTTCTTTGAGCGGGCCAAGACGCCCCAGACGCTCTGGGCGAAGCGGGCGACGTCGGCGTCCATCGGCGCGGCGTGTGCCGCGGCAGTTATGAAAGTCCCAGAACCGTCCAAGTTAGCGCCCGGATTGGCCTGGGGCGTCTTAGTTGCTCGTAGCGCAACCTCCATCTTCGACCATGCCACGGCGGAACTCATTGAGCGGTTGCGCATCGGCCAGGCGACGCGGGAGATCTTGAGTCCAGAACACCGCTTCCCCGGCGAGGAGGAGCTCCACGATTTGTTGAGCTTGGATCCGCACCACCACCACCGCAAGTCCGTGAAAGATGCGGCCGAAAGTGCGCGGCAAGCGGTCGCGAAGACGATAACTAAGGAATCGATAGCTGCGGAACGCGCGAAGGAGGCCCACGGTTTGTCTTTAAAAATCCAAGTCGCCCGCACGCTGATAGCCGTTGCGTTCACGGTCGGTGGTCTCCGGACCATCCAAACGGGCGTCTGGCCTCTGCCGCCGGTCTGGGCGGCGCGCGCGCCTCCTCCCAGTGTTTTGGCTCTGTACGCGCCGGCCGTCGTCGGTGCCTTTGAGCTCACGGCGGGCATCGGGGATTTGTGCTACATCCACAAGTACCAGATTGATAGATTAGCTCTTAGAGGCGTGGCCTTCGTGGGGCGACACTCCGACTTGATACTGGGCCCCGCCGTCAATCTTGTTTCAGGGTTACAGTCGGCAGCATCGGACGCGGCGAAGACGGCGCACAAGATCTTTCCAAGAAGGCCGAAGAAGAAGAAGTCTAGGCGTTCTGACGGACCCTCAACCCTAGCGAAGACGACGAAAATCATCCTGACGCCCATCTTATATGTGAAACGCGCTCTAGGACTGGGAGCAAGGTACTATAGTAGAGGAGTCAAGTTCTCGAAGGAGCGCGTCAAGCGCTTCGTGAAAGACACGCATCACGACCTGTGGCCGTGGGTCGTTGGGCGCGCCGGGTACCTCGTGCAATGCGGGGAATTGACGCTGATCGGGGTGCCGAAATACCTGCTGAACATGGCGTCCGCGCCCGTGCTCTATGTGACGGTGCTCGCGGCGAAGGGCGCGCAGGCGCTGCTCGCGCCGATCTCGAGGCACCCCTGGATCGAGAAGTTCCTGAAGCTCGTGATCCGCTAGTCTGGAGGCGGTGGGGTAAGAGAAATTCGTAGTAGTCTAGCTTACGCTTAGGTCGCGCATTCTCTCGGAGAGCGCCTCGAAGGACACGAGCTTCGACCGCGCGTTTTGTAGGGTTCGCTCAATGTGCACGGTGAACGGATGAGCGCCGCCGAGCACGCGACGCGCGATCCGTGCCGTGTCCTCGAGCGTCGTCACTGCCTCGCGGAGATCGTCGAGCGTGGCGCCGTCGGCCTCGTAGAGCGCGTCCCCATAAATCCACCGCATTCTGAGCGTGAGGTCATTCGACATCCCGAGAACACGCTGCGCGACGGGTATTGTCTTCCGCATCAAAGACTTGGCTTCTTTGAAGCGCCTTAGACTACTAAGATTCCCCGCGTAGTTGTTGGCTTCTATGAGCGATTCGATATGTTCTTCACCATAAAGCTGCAAAGTTACAGAGTATACCTCTCGCCGCATCGGCAGGGCTTCAGGTCGTCGTTCAAGCTCTTCATATGTGCTCGCAAGATTGCTCAGCATGACGAGCATGTTGCGCGTTTCGCCAAAGCGCCTCGCTAGAGCCAGGTCGGCCTCTCTGACGGTCAATGCGTCTTCGTAGTGCTCTGCAGAGTGTAAACCGCACCCGAGCTCCGTCGTCGCGGCACGTCGAGCCCAGTTTGCCTCCGGCCGGCCCACGTACGTTTTCCAGCACGCCCACCCGAGCGCGCACCGGACGACGCCGTGGTATTTTTGCTCGCAGAGACTGCAAGTGTACCACCGCGCCCATCTCTCACTCTTCGCATCCCAGTCCAAATTATTCTCCTCGGCCTCGTCACACAAAAGCTTCGCCTGCTCCGCCAAGCACGCCACGTGCACGACGCCCGCCGTCCCGGAAGCGACGCCGTCACGATCTCCACATGCGCATCCGCGCACGAGACCTTCTCCCGTGCGCCGATGGACGACCTCCGTGCAGATGTAGCACGTCTGGCCATTCGTGTCGTCCACGCACTTAGCGACCGCGACCGCGACGGCCACCGTGCACATCATGTCTGCATGATATTGTTCGGCGCCACCGCCTCGCTTAATTTTCTTGCAGAGCTGGTCGTGCCCGCCTTCGTTCCAATGCTGCACCTGGCATGCAGGGCCACAGTAGCGTGTAGCGCAGCGGCCGCATTTCTTCCCCGAAGTTAAGCCAAGTTCGGCAGCACATGAGGCGCACTTGGTGAGGAGCATGCTAAAAACGCCGTCGGAGCCCACCTGTCACGGCAGCCCGGCGCCCAAAATAGTCTCAAAGCCTGCTGCTGTGTCCGGCTGTGGCATCGATTTTTGAGCCTAGCCGCAGGCGTGCCGCAGCGATGCGCCGGTCGCTGTGGCTGCCCACCGCACTACTATGTGCCGCCTCACAGCCGCCGGAACCACGATTAGCCGGGCCCAAGATGCACAAAACAGCCTCGACAACCCTAGGTGGCATCCTGGCGCGCGCGGCCAACAAATACAAGTGGCAAGCGCGACTCTACGGCACGACACATCCTCTGGACCCGGCGCCGCGCTTCGGCAGCCGCCTCAAAAAGGCCGAGACGCCTTCTATATTATACGCGCACGTGTATGGTTCCGCGAACGAGGGCAACCCGTCCGACGTCATGCTGCTGCCCTCCGGCAAGAAGTTCAAGATGCGGCGGTTACCTGTGTATGAGTTTGCACAATTGCAGACGTATTACGGGAAAGCCGTGCCGGGCGCGCGACTCGTCGTTTCGCTGCGAGAACCGCTCGCGCGCTACATATCGATGATGAACTACTTCGCGCACGCCGAGCGGGACACTAAGAAGGAGCTCGATGGCGACACTACACAGCTGTTCTTCGAGGCATTACGGAAGCATGTGGCCAGGGGTAGAGGTGGCGACTACCAGTCTCGTGTTTTGGGCTTGCGCAATGCGTCTGCTACGTCGTCATTCATCCAGCAGATGGACAACATCCTACTCCTGACAACAGCGAGGATGGACGAGAGTTTAATTGTATTGAGGAGAGCTCTAGGCTGGGCCCCCGAGGATATTTTGCATCTAGATGTCCACGTGTCCTGTTCTGATGGAGTGCGCTATGATGGAAGAGCAGTTCTTTGTGTCGAACCGTTGCTCAAGGAGCTCCCTCGTGATTTGCACGAGGCGATCGTTTCGCTCCATCGGAACGACCTCCTGCTCTACAATGCTGCGGACGCTGCAGTAGCATCGCGATTTGTGAAGCTGGGTCCCGATGGAGAACAAGAAAGGGATAAATTACGCCTGAGAAAGCGCCAGCTCGCCTTCCACTGTCAAAGGGAAGGGCCCTCGTCGACCTACCGACCGGACAAGGCGGCGTTCGACGGCGACCCCTGCGTGCCGTATCTGATCAACGACGCGTCCTTCCAGATGTACCTGTCGCGGCGGCCGCCTTCTTATGTATTTGACGGGCGGACCTTCATTGATAAATCGGGTACTCCGGTCAAAAGACATAAAAAAGAGTGGCGCGACGTCTTCCATTTGCGCGCTTTACAATACAACGTGTCCTACGGGACCTTGCCCGGGGAACTTGCAAAGCGTCTAGAAAAGCGTCGGTCGGTGCCGACGACGCGGGGCGCGGCGCGTGCTGCGAAGCGTCGTGTCCAGCGGCGCCCGGGCAAGGGTCACGAGATGTGACTCATCGGCCTCCCCCACGCCATCGACGCGGCTGTGATATTAACTTTAGTGTGACTTTTACGCAATACCTCCCTTCTCCGTCATCTCGAAGCCGTCGTCGGAGTCCTCCAGACCGGTATCCCCGAACTCGTCCGTGTTCAGCTGCTGCATCGAGACCAGTAATCTGGAATGCTCGGTGGGCTGCCAGATCACACTGATCGTGGCGATGACGCCCACATTCAAGACCTCCTGCGAGACGCCCTGGACCCAGTAGATCTGGTGCGGCCAGTTGAAGAGTGACAGCGGTTCGCGCGAGGCAAAAATAAACGCGTTCAGCACCGACACGAGAAACACGAACCCACCCAGCACCTTCGCCAGCCGCCAGAACTTTTCTAATTTATATGTCTGGCCCGAATCTCGCAAGGAGTCCATCGTCTTCACCAGCGCGGCATAAATACAAGCTAAAAAAACCAGATCAAACAGCAGCACGGGCAACTCCACCATCAACGGCACGAGGGGGCCCGCCGCGAAGTCCGGGTCCGCCGCGTTCTTCACCTTGGCGATCGTCGCGAAAAACGACGCCGTGACGTACGCCGCGGTCAGCACGATGACGCCGCACTCCTCCGTCCGTCTCAGTCGCGGTCGCACGAGACCGTATCCTAGTGAAACTACTAAGAGTAGTACCCTTGTAGCGCCTCTTCGTAGTAGTTCCAAAACCATCGAGGCCACGACAATGCGAGGAAAGGGGCAGCACTGGGGCTGGCCTGTGCTGTTCTGTTCGAGATACCCGGAGAAAGCTGCCGCGCTTTCCGCCACACACACGAGCAGAACGATGAACGTCAGGAAGTGCAGCGGTAGTAATCTACCGCTATGCGCGCAGAGCACGCAGAGGTAGTAGAGCACAAACAACGAAAAGAAGATGCATCGCGCGCCTTCGAACGGCAAAAAACCAAAGTATCTCCCGGGCACGAAGCCGTACGGGTTTTTGAACTCGAACACGCCATTGAGCTCCATGCCGCTCAGCCAGCCCCCGTCGCAGACTTGTAACGCTAGGTATTGTAAGCCAGCTGTATGTACACTATACTTCAAATAGAGGTGTGACGGGTGGTCGCCGGTCACCGCGAAGGTCTTGCGCTTCTCTCGCGGTGACACCGTGTTGATATTCCCAAGGCAGAGGTCAATACTATCGATCGAATCGAGTTCCTCGTCCGTGCTAAAGGCCATGACCGTGACGTTCGCGCGCGTGCCTTTCATCGATAGTTTGGCTCTTAGATCAGCCAGGACGTAGCTCTCGCCACCAGTAAAGGGGAACGGTCCTTCATCTGACGCGTACATGTAGTACTCCGTAAAAAACATCTTGTTCGCGCGGTAGGTCGTGGCCTCCTCGTAGCGGCAGGCCGTGGTCAGGGCCAGCAGTGTGAGCAGGTATCGGGGAAGAGCCATGGCTGGCGCGCCGGCACGGTGGCGCGTGATCTGTAGCCCTTTGAAGCCCTTTACTTCGCTGCCGTGTGCCGCGGCGGCAGCTCGGCGGGGGCCGATCACTGGAGCCCGGTGACGTCTTTTAGGTATGTAGCGGTGAAGTATGCCGGAGCAACAGCTTGTTAAAGCCAAAAGCAGCTTCGGGACGCTACTAGTATGTTACTACACTAGCTAATCCTTCTCCGAGGACGAATCGCGGCCGAGAACCCGCATCGTCGAATCTTGGTTCAGCCGTCGTTCCGAGGGTTATTTGATCTACATCTTGAACTTACATGCACTACAAAGAAGGGGGAGAGCCGGCCGTGCTAGCATTCCGCCTCGTACTCGCCCGCCGGAGCGGGCTCGTGCGCGACGATGCCTCCGTACTCGCTCTCGGGCGCGATTCCCATGCCCCCGTAGGCGCCCGGGGCCGCCTCCGCCTCGCCGGTCGCGTGGGCGGCCTCCGCCAGGGCCCGCTCCTTGATCGACGCCAGCGGCGGCTCCGGCGCGAGAGGCGCCAGGGGCGGCGCCGACGGAACGGGCCGCGCGTACGCGACGGGAGCACCAGGGCGTTCCTTGATCGGCGCGAAACGCGGGTATTCAATGACGACTGCTGGCGTCTTCTTCCCGCGCCTATGGAGGAGGCACCATCTGACCGCCAGCGCCGCCGCAAGGCAGAAGCACCCGGCGGCGACGCTCGCAATGAATTTCACGGAGGCAAACTTTGACGTGGTGGATGCGTCGTCGTCGTCCTCCTCCTCCTCTTCACCGTCTTCCGCGCCTGCCACGCTTATCTCCTCGGTTCTCACGTCCGCGAAGGCGGCCCCGGCGCCCGCGGCGGCGGCGACGTCCTGGATCACCGCGTCGAATTGCGCGGGGGTCGTCTCGGCGAGTTTTCGGGCGACGGCCTCCGAATCTGTGGCCTCGATCTCGTAGTCGACGACGACGGTGGAGGCCTCCAGCCGGCGGCGCAAGTGGCGCCTCTGAGTTTGGATACTGATGATCCGCACGGCCTCCATGGGGACGCCCGCGACCCCTGCGATGGCGCCCCGCAGCACCTGCTCGGAGCGGGTCGGCGACACAAGGCCGGATAGCGTGAGTGAGCCGTGGACGACCGCCAGCGGTTCCTCGGTCGTCGGCGCGAGCGTCGGCGCGAGCGTCGGCGCGAGCGTCGGCGCGAGAGTCGGTTCCGCAGTCGGCTCGGGAGTGGGTCCCGGCGTCGTCGCGACGCAGTCGCCGCCGTCGTTATCGTAGCAAGTCAGGTCGCAGTGCTTCATGAATTCGTAGTGGTCGTCGCAGTCGCCGTTGCCGAGCCAGCGCTCCGGACAGCAGTGGCCGCCCGGGCCGCTGCCTTCGCAGTCCGCCACATAGCCCGTCGGGCAGGAGTGCGTGGACGTCGGCGCGGACGTCGGCCGCGGTGTCGGTCGCGGAGTCGGCCGCGGCGTCGGCCGCGGAGTCGGCCGAGGAGTTGGCCGCGGCCGAGGAGTTGGCCGCGGCGTCGTGCGTTGGCTGTTCTTCGAGTCCACGGAGTAGATGCTCCAGTTGTCGTGGTATTGCGTCTTCGCGGAGCAACAACGGCAGCCCCAGGCGTAGCCGTAGCTCGCCGAGAACATGAACATGTCGCATCCTGCAGCCGCGGCGGACACGGCACACTCGTCTACCGACGCTGGCGTGCCCAGGTAGGCGCCCTGGTCGCTGCCCTCACAGGAGCTATTCTCGTAAAGGAGGGTAGCTTGTGTGTGGCCCGACACGGCTGTCTGCGCGCCCGTGGGCGCGGGCGTGGGTGCAGCCGTGGGCTGCTTGGTTTTCTTAGTGCGCTTTCCGCTGACGACGGCGCACAAAAGGCAAAGTGCGAGATGCTGCGGGCGCATAACGAGGCACGGGCAGCAGAATGACACGTTTGGTAGCTTGTAAGCTCAGCTGGCAGGCTCACCACTTTTTTTGTCTCTTTTGGTTCGGGGTGGCTTCCGCGCACATTCCGGGCGCCGTCGAGCCATCGAGCCGACTTGCACGCCGTCGACGCGACGCATCAACACCAATGGACACATAGATACGTATATTAAACACAAAACCTAGAGCTCGAGCACGCGGTCGAAGAACGCGTCGAGCGCGTCCTTGAACCGCGCGTCGTGGCGCAATTTCAGGGGCAGCTCGTGGCCACCCGCGTGCTCCAGGAGCACGGGAGCCTCGTAGACGTCGGCCAGCGCGCGCGATGCTGAGAGAAACGGGTCCCGCCTGCCCGAAATTTGTAGCGACGGCAGATCTACCGTCCCGTCGCCCGGCGGCGGCACTCCACAGGCGCATATGACGAAGCGCCACGTCCGCTTCGAGCCGAAGCCCTCGGCGACGCCCGGCTTTGACAGCGCGGTGACGACGGCGGCGCCTTGGCTGAAGCCGTAGAGCCCGTCGTAGGGACCGTACCGCTCAATGTAGGCCAGGACGCCTTTTAAGGCCTTTTCATCATGGCCCCACTCGTGAAAGGGCCGGTTCGACAACATATGAAACACGTCGCTCTGCGGGCTCGAGTCACGCGGCGCGGAGAGCAGGTCGGCGACGCAGCGCGTCGGGACTTCTAATGAGGAAAGCTGAATCGCCGTGATGTCGTTGTTGCTCCCGCGGCCGTGCAGCGCGAGGATTTTGAGCGGGCGGCCCGTCCGCTTGCAGCGCGGCAGGTGCGCGCGGTGCCGGCTGCTCGCGAAGGCGTCTCTATCTGTTTCGCGGGTCTCCCACCACCAGGTTTTTGCGTCCGTTTTGTCGTCGCGCTGCGCCGGCGTCGTGGCAGGTGGCCTTGCTTTGCTTGCCTCAGGTACACTGCCTAGGAAGTAGCCGGCCAGGTCTTTGATGAGTGACGGCATGGCTAAGGCGTTCTGTCTGTGATTCCTGCTCGTCTGAAACGATTTATTGACTCACAAACGCTCCACAAACCACGACGACGTGTAAATTACTAGTGTGTGTGTTGTTATAGCCTAACCCCCTCACTAATAGCGCAATAGACTCCCTAGGCATAGTGTGTTACAGACCGCTAACTCGTTTTTTTGCCAACCTCTTGCTTTTGTCCAGCCTAGGAGAGTTCCAGAGGCGCTGCGACGAGCAACGATATAATTATCTGCGTTCAATCTTACGACTTCCTTGCAGCTTCTCCGTCACTTTTGCACCCGCTGACTAAATCACCTTGAAACATGCTGACTCGTGCGACGCTGCTCGTAGCGTGCACCGGTGCATTCGCACCTCAAGCACACAAACTCACGCCACTGACGCGCCGCCAGTTCACGGAAGTGCCGGAAGCGCTCGATACGGCGCGCTTCGTCCGCGTCGATCCCGAATGCACGGACGATAAGCCGGTGCTCCTGGCCCTCGGCGGCCTCGACGGCTCGCCGCGCGTCGGCGCACGGAACTGGAAGCGCTTAGGCGAATGGTTCGACGTGCGCGCGCTCGTACTGGACCCGTCGGACCGGTCGTCGCACGGCGACCTCGTACGGCTCGCGGCCTCGGCGGCGGCGGCGGCGCCGGACGGTCAAGTGCACATCGTGGCGGAGTCGATGGGCGCGCTGGCGGCTTTAGGTCTGGCGCTCGCGCGCCCCGAGCGCGTCGCGTCGCTCGTGCTGTGCAACAGCGCGTCGTCGTACGCGCGCGCGCCGGTCTCGCGCATCACCGGGTTGTTGCCGAGGCTGCCGACGCGGGTCTACGAGACGCTGGCGCCGGTCGTGACGCCGATCATGGGCCGGCCCGGCTGGACGGCGGCGCTGGGCGAGGGCCTGGCCGCGGCGTTGCCCCGCGAGACGCTCACGCACCGCGAGAGAGCTCTGTTGCGGAACGGCGCGGCGTCCGTCAACGACGCGCTCAAGCGGCTCAAGGCGCCGCCGCGCTGGGCCTCTAATTGCGTGCTCGTGGCCTCGGAGAATGACGCGGTGCTGCCGTCCGTGCGCGAGGCGCGAAGGCTCGCGCAATTAATCCCGGGCGCGACGGTCCGCATCGAGCGCGGCGCGCCGCACGTCTTGTTTGACGCGGCGAACCTGCTGGACGTTTTTGCTGATAACGGCCTCCTCCCGAGCGCGCCGCGCCGGGCTTCAAATGGCGTCACGGCCACGACGCCCATCGAGCGGTCGATGCTCGCCGCGCGGCGCCTCGTGTCGCCGCGATTCTTCTCGACCGCGGCAGATGGCTCCGTCGAGGACGGCCTCTTCAACGTCCCGAGCGAGGGACCGGTGCTCTTCGTGGGCAACCACCAGCTTTTTGGTTTGGACGGCGTTCATATTGTGGAAGAGTTTCTACGAGAAAGGCGGCTCGCCCTGACGCCGCTGGTGTACCCTCCACTTTTAGCAGATGAGAGCCCGCTCGCGCCGCTGCCTTATCCATTACCCGGGTCCGCGGCGATGCTGCGGCGGTTCGGAGGAGAGCCGGCGGGCGCGAAGACCCTTATAGCGGCGTTGAAGCGTGGCGCCAAGGCGCTCGTGTTCCCCGGCGGCGCGCGGGAGGTCTTCAAGCGCAAGGGCGAGGCTTATACGTTGCGGTGGCCCTCGGACTCGTCGGCGCTCGTGCGCATCGCCGCCAAGTTCAACGCCACCATCATACCTTTCGCGGGCGTGGGCGGCGACGAGTTCTTCGGGAACGAGGCTTATGCCTTGGATACCGACGATTTGTTGACGATGGACAACCGCGTCGGCGAGCGGCCCGCGTAGGGATCATCTTAAGGCGTCCGACGCCGTCGACGCGTCGATTTCCACGCAGGCGAGTTCCTGCGGAATCGTACCGAGTCCTTGGTGAGCCTAGTAGATGGAGACACGTTCGTCCCACCGCTCATGGCCCCGAACGCGGCGCCGCGCCGCAACTACTACCTCTTCGGGCGGCCCTTCCACACGACGGCCGTCGACCCGGCGAACGCGGACGCCTGCGACGCGCTCTACGGCGCCGTGCGCACGCAAGTCGAGCTCCAGGTGGAGTACCTGCTGCAGCGGCGCGGCGACGACCCGTACGACGACTTCGTCAAGCGGCTCGCGTACGAGTCTCTGGGGAGCGTCGCGCCTACGTTCTCTGTGGACGAGTAATTTTGTGGTATGTGAACAATATTTACAAGCTAATACACAGAGAATATGCACGATCAGAGTTCCGCCACCGCCGGCGGCCTTATCCGAGCCTGCGACCGGTAGTACTCCCGCCGGGCGTGACCGTCGTTGTCGTAGGGCATGGACTGGTGCAGCGTCTGCGAGTTGTCCCAGACGACGACGTCGCCCGCCTCCCAGGCGTGGAAATACTGGAAGGCCGGCGACGTCGCGTGCGCGAGCAACATGTTGAGGAGCCGCTTGCCGGCCTCGGGCGTTTCGAGGCCGTGTACCTGTGTGGAAATCAACCAGTGTGTCGGGTGCACCCGATAATTCTTCACCAAGTCATATCTCGGCGATGACGCCGCGGGCCGTGCTGGCCCCGTCAAGCGGTGAGAAACCGGCATCGTCACGCCATCGAGCAGGCGTCGCGTCGATGGCGTGGAGGTCGACGCGTCGATTCAGCGAACACGTCATAAAATTTTGATTTCCACGCAGCCGTGTACCTTCATGTGCGGCGACCCCACGTACAGCAGCGGGCCGGAGTCCACGTAGTGATTGGCCAGCAGGGGGTGGACGGCCACTTTCGGGAACATGGCGAAGTCTTCCTCGTCGCCGCCTCGGAAGTCTTTGATCTCTCGAACCGACGCGTGGATCGCCGCCTTGGCGGCGCGTTTCAGAAGCGGCGCGGACAGCGTCGCCCGCGCGGCCCGCATATCCACAAATCCCGTCTCCCCGCCCCGCGGCGGCACCTGCTGGGCGTGCACGATCGACAGCATGTTGTGTTTCGGCCTGTGTGAAAATCAAAATTTTACGGCGCGTTCGAATCATCGCGTCGTCCTCCACGCCATCGACGCGGCGCCTGCTCGATGGCGTGGCGATGCCGGTTCCTTGCCGCTCGACGGAGCCAGCACGGCCCCGTGCACCCGACTCACTGGTTGATTTCCACACAGGTTTCGGCGCGTCCCAAAACTGGCCGTCCTGGTGCCAGTAGTCGCCGAATTTGTGACTCGTGCCCTTCCAAGTGCCATTCGCCCAGAAATTGGTGACGCGTAAGATCGACGGCTGATTGGGCTCCGGGTCTTTCCCGTAAAAGGATTTCGCCAGCGCGACCGGCTCGCCGAGAAGCCGAGTGAACTTGACTTGCTCCGCGCGCGTCAGATTCTGCCCCTTGATGACGACCACGCCATAGGCTCGGACGGCATCGTTAATCCTGTCAGCGCCCTCCGGCCCCAGCTCCCGCAGGTCACCGGCGTCAAGCAGCGCGCCGAGCCGCTCCGCGCCCCCGCACAAATTCGCCGTGCAGTAATCCCAGTCGCGTCGGTGGCGCGGGAGCAAAGTCGCCGGCGCCGCCGCGCCGTAGAGATCAGCCTTCTCCGCCGCAGAGAGTGGCGCAAGTGATGCCAGCGCAACAACGCGAAGCAAGTTGTCCATCATCTAGCGCAACTAGCACCCTAGGGACGCTGCGAACATTTGAGTAAGGTCTTTGAGTCTGGGAGCGGGCTAGCGGCATGTAAGACACTAGCAAGCTTCACCCGCGGAAAACAGGCCGCGCATGCGCACATCAATGCGAATTGGTCGCATTTTTGTACGGCACGATTAGTTTTGCAACGCTCCGCAAGCGTCAACATCTTGCGGCGACCAAAATGCCAGTGCAAGACCTGCTCTACGACTGGCAAGTATGGTGCTACTTTGCAGTGCTCACCTGGGCGCTGCGCAAGCAGCTGACACGCACCTCTGCCAAACAAGCGAGCATCGCTGCGGCGCTCGTCGCCGTCACCTGGTATTACATCTTACGCTACACGACGGCCTACAAGGCCCGGGGCGGCGACAATCTCTTCGACGACGCCTACGCCGACGTGCTCCAGGCGCCGCACGATCGTAACTCGTGCCAATTGCTCACGTGGGTCGTCGTCGCGGCGCTCTGGTGCCGGCACGAGCCCGCGGAGCTCCTCTGGACGGGCATGCTGGGCGCGATGAGCGCCGCCTTCGCGCTGACGCCGCCGAGCTTTCAGAAGCGCTCGACGCGCGTGCCGCTCGCCTACGTCGTCTGCTCGGTCCTAGCGCTGCTCGCGGTCCAGAGGCTGCCCCAGCTCGCCGTGACCGACGCGGTCACCTTCGGTGTTGTCCTCAAGGCGCTGCACCTCCTGCTCGTCGCGCCGCGCTGGCTGCCGTCGTTCGGGCGGTCCTTCGACGAGGCCGGCGTCTACGCGGTGCTCGGCGTCCTTATAGCCTGGAGACGAGACCGCGTCGCGTGCTGGCCGGCGACGGACTGCCAAAAATCGATCTTCGTGGACCTCGTCGCGTGCGCCGTGATTTCGGCGGACGCCGTCCGCCGCGACCGCGGGCCGACGACGGCGGCGGTATTCTGTGTGGCGTCCCTCGTATTCTCGCCCGGAGCTGCTTTTGCGTTCTTCCTGGCGCTGCGAGCCGCGGCGGCGCGCGACGCCTACGAAGCGCCCGCCGAGGCTAAGCCGCTCGGTCGCGTCCTCGTCATCGGGGCCGGCGCGTCGGGGCTCGCCGCGGCGAAGACGCTGCTGGAGAACGGCGCCGAGGTGGTGATCGTCGAGAAGACGGGCCAGATCGGCGGCGTCTTCGCCGACGCCTACGAGGGCGCGCACCAGGTCTCGAGCAAGTACATCACACCCTTCTCCGACTTGAGGTTAGGTCCGGAGGTCGAGTCGCACCAGAGCCTCGACGACTACGTCGCGTACCTCCATACCTAGTAGTCGACCTGTGTGGAAATCAAATTTCAGGCGCCCCACGCCATCGACGCGACGTCGTCCCCGCAACTGCATTTGCTTGATGGCGTGGAGGTTCACGAAGGTCTCCGCAATAATCTCACTCACTGGTTGATTTCCACACACAGCGCGGTCGAGCACGACCTCATGCGGTACATGCGGCACGCCACGGTCGAGGTCCTCGACAAAACGAGACGTGGCTACCGAGCGACACTGCTCGACGGGAGTCACAGGACCGTGGAGCCCTTTGATCGCGTGGCAGTCTGCTCAGGTCTGCACCAAGAGCCGAAGGTCCCGGACATCCCCGGCGCCTTCAAGGGTCTTGTGATTCACTCGCAGGACTATAAGGAGTCCTCGATATTCAAAAACAAGCGCGTCGTCGTCATCTGTGTGGAAATAAACCAGTGAGTTAGGTATTGCGTGGACCTTCGTTAACCTCCACACCATGGAACCGACGCGGTCACGGGGAAACGTCGCGTCGATGGCCTGGGACCACGCCATCGAGCAGATGCAGCTATTTAGGGATACGGAGACGCGTTGATGGCGTGGGGCGCCCGAAATTTGATTTCCACACAGGTCGTCGTCGGCTGCGGCGAGACAGCGTTCGACGTCGCGCACGCAGCCGCCGCAAACAATGCAGCCCACGTCACGCTGGCGACGCGGCGAGGCTTCGTGAGCGTGCCGGCCTGTGTGGAAAATCAACCAGTGTGTCGGGTGTAATCTTCACCAAGTCATTTCTCGGCGACGACGCTGCCCTGAGGACTGAATCGAGTCGTGTAAGGCCCACACCGCCACGACATCGACGCGACGCCGCCACGCCATCGAGGTGGCGTCGCGTCGATGGCGTAAGGTCATGATTCAGCACTGGCGGAGACGCGCCACGACAATTTGATTTCCACACAGGTGCCGGCGTCGTTTGGCGAGGACTTCGCGCCTTTGGATTGTTTAATTGCGAACGCCGGCACGCACTGCTGGGAGTCGAGCTGGTTGCGGCCTGTGAATAAATCAAATTCTCGCGGCGCAATCACGATTCACTATTTGATTTGCGCACAGGTCGCGGCGTGTTGGTTTTCATTGGTTCATCACGACGAAATTCCAGCGGCTTGGGATGCTCTGCGTGAGCGGCTCGTCAGCCGGATGGAACCAATGGCGCGGCCGCGCCGACGCGATGGACTGGGCGGAAGGGCGGAAACACATCGTGAACAAGGCCACGAAGTCATACCCTGTGCAGAGATAGTTTCAATGCACCTTCGTCGACCTCCACGACTCACTTGTTTGATTTCCACACAGGTGCATGCCCCTCATCAACCGCGGCCCCAAGGAGGCGTGGTGGGCGCGGCCGTGGCGCTGGTTGGATAAAGCGCAGGCGGACGTGGCCGTCGGCGTGAACCTGTGCGCAAATCAAACAGTGAGTCGGTGGGTTCGCGTCGATGGCGTGGAGGTCATGTGTCGACGCGCCGCGATAATTTGATTTATGAACAGGTGTGGACCTGCTCGACCACTACGAGGCAGCTAGCTTTGGCGGGCGGGCGGTGCGCTTCCGGTCGACGCGGGCCGACGACCGTCACGACGTGGAAGTGGCCGCGGACGTCGTCGTCCTGGCGACGGGCTACAGGCAGACGTTCCCTTTTCTGAAGAGGGCGTCGGACGGCCGAGGCCTGTGTGGAAATCAAATTTCAGGCGCCCCACGCCATCGACGCGGCGAATAACCCAACTCACTGGTTGATTTCCACACAGGCCAGGACGATGCGCTGCCGACTGAGCATTTCATCTGCGACCCGGAGGAAGGTGACCTCGCGTTCTTCGGCTTCGCGCGACCGAACGTCGGCGCCATCCCGCCGATGAGCGAGTTGCAGGCCATGTGGTGGGTGGCGAAGCTCCAGGGCCGCGCGACGGGGCCGCGCGTGCCGTCGGCGCCCTACAAACTGACGAATTGCCGCCTGAGCTACGGCGTATCGACACCTGTGTGCAAATCAAAATTTACGGCGTTGTTGATTTCCACACACAGGTCGACTACGGCCTGTACATGTTCTCGCTCGCGCGGGAGATCGGCGCGGCGCCAAACCTCGCGCGATGGATCTTGGAAAGGCCGGCCGTGGCGCTCGCCTGCGCCTTCGGCCAGGCGCACGCGCCGTTGTTTAGATTAGACGGGCCCTTCGCGCACGGCGACGCGCCAGACGTCTGCGCGACCGAGCTGCTCGAGCCCATCCGCAAGCGCGGCGCCGCGATGAACTGCATCTTCGGCCTGACGCTGTGCTTCTTCGCGGCCGTGAACGCGTGCGCCGTCGTGGTCGAAGGCGTGGTCGAGTCGCTCTTCCCGCACGAGTAGACTTGTCTTGTACTAGTAATTTCCCGGCGGGCTTCGCGGATCTCTTCAAGTTCGCGGGAGATACCACCAGCCTAGCCAGGAGCCTGTGGACTACAACTTATTCCCGTAGCGCGAGGTCCCCTTGCCCTCGACGAACTCGTGGACGAACTCGTGGTCGGCTACGTACGGCGACAGCTCGGCCATGAGCAGCTCGCCCGATTTGGGCGGCGGGTCGAGCTTGTCCGCCGCGTCGTCCACGACCTTGTCGACCTGCGCCACGGTCATGACCGGATCCCCAAAATACGACGCCACCGTGTTCAGCGTCATCAATATAAATCTCAAATCCATCGGCGTCACGCGATCCGACGCGTTGTTCGTAAACAGCTCGAAGGCCATCTGGATCAGTTCTTCCGTCTTGCCCAGCGCGAAGGGCACGATGCCGACGATGAACTCCTTGTGGTTGATCCTGTCTTCGCCCGTGCGGTCGAGCATGACGAAGATGCGATCCAGGATGTCCCGGTCGCTCTGCGTGATCTCCAAACCGTTCAGGGCCTCCCCGAACTCCTCCTTCGTCACGAGATCTTTGGAACCCTCTCTTTTAGCAATATCGGCCAGCTTCTCGGACATGCGCTGGATGACCGGCCGCTCCAGGTCCGTCACGTTGGACATGGCGCCGATGGCCATGCGGTTCGCGCAGTTCTTGGCGACGTCGTTGCCCATCCTTCTCTGGGCGACTGCTGATGGGGCGGGGGCAGCCCGACGGCACAGCGCTTTGTTGTTTTTCCTAGTGTGTCTGTGTACGCTAGCACCGGCGTTTTGCCGCTTTTTTGCAGCACCACACCGCATAGCTTAATTGCAGCACAGGCACGTAAAGGCAAAGCCACATCGTTGCAAGCGCAGGCACGTCCAGGCAGCCATACTCTAGGCAAAGCCATATCGAAGTTATCCATAAGCACCCCAGGCGCCACAGCAGATCCACAGCCGCACAACCGCGGACCGGTGCAAGAGACCGAGCCGAATGAGCGCCCAAGTAGCAGCCCAAACGACCTTCGACGCCTGGGTCGCCTCCAAGGGCGCCGCCGTCGGGCCGCCCGGCACGACGAGCGTGCTGACGCCGCTCGCCGCGCGCGAGCTCTGGGACCGGGAAGCTCAGGGCGCCGACGTCCTCGACGACGCGAGCGTTCAAAGGCTCGACGCCGTCATCCGAGCCGACGTCAAACGCGCGACGGCCTTCCAGGCGCTGCTGCGCGGGAGAGTCGATCGACGCAAGGCGCCGGCGGCGACGCCGAGCGCGTCGCGGAACGAGCTCGCGCCGTTCAACCCGACGCCAGAAGCCGCCGTCGCCAAAGCGCTGGAGCTGCTGGATGTTGGGGAAGGGGACGTGGTCTACGACGTCGGCTGCGGCGACGGGCGTTTTGTGGTTGCGGCGGCGCGGCGCGGCGCCGAGGCGGTCGGCGTCGAGCTCGACGCCGCGCTCGCGAAACGCGCGACGGAGGCCGTGGCGGGCCTCGCCGGGGCCCGCATCATTCAGGGAGACGCGCTCGCCGAGCCGCTGGACCGCGCCACGAAGATCTTCCTCTACCTCGTGCCGTCCGGTCTGAAAACGATCGCGCCGCGGCTCGCCGCGCTGCGGAACGTCACCGTCGTCGCCTACACCTTCGCCGTGCCTGGCTGGGCCCCGGACCGGCGCGAGGTCGTCGGCGGCATATCTCTCTATTTGTACCTGCCGCGGCGCGTGTTCTCCTGTGGTGCTTGTCAATTGACGCTGGTGGGCGACGCCAAGTTCACGTACGTGGACGGCCCGTCACGGATCGAGGGCACGTATACCGAGGACGCGGGCGAGTTCATTTTCAAGTGGCCTTCGAAGTCGAAGAAAGGCGTCCTCCGGTCGCTCGACTTCGAGCGATGGACCTTCGACGAGCCCCTCGTCGACGAGGGCATCGAGGAGTAAATTTTGGTTAATTGTTTACACATAGCTCCCAACCAATCCGCCGTCGTCCTCAATCTCTAGTTCGAGGGACTGCTCGGCCCAGGCGTTGAGACCGCCGTCGATGTAGTCTACCGAAAATCCGGCGGCCGCGAGCTGTTGCGCCGCGAGCTCCGATCTCCGGCCGTCGCCGCAGACGCACAGGAGGCAGCAGTCGGTCTCGAATTGCTCCAATACGTCGGGCACGAACGCATGCCTCGGCAGGTACATGCCGTGTTCCCAGAGCTGCGCCGGTATACAAATACTGTCGACGATGCGCCCCTCCAGGCGGTGTTCGGCGCTCATGCGCACGTCGATGACGCCGTCGTAGACCGTTTGTATGTTTTCGTGGGCCTCGGTAGGGCTCAGCGCTGCGCGTAAATGTAGCAGGCGGTGAGACCAATGATCATGTGGCCTGTTGAAAGCCGTGGCCGCGCATATGAGGAGAAATCGATGCAAAAGTGTTGTTGCTGCCATGAGCCTGAACGCTGGCGTGCCGGCCTTAACTATCTCAGCGCTGGTCTCACGGCGTTGGTTCCATTAGAATCGTCACCGCAGCATTGTTTCGTCGATCTGGTGGCTAGGTTGGGCTCGTGGGGCTGAGAGCCATTTGCTATTTTGGCAGAGCAAAATCATCACAGTGACGGCTTTCGCGCAGGATCTGCCGAAACTTGTCAAAACGTCGCTCCAGGGTACTGCGACAACGCCTCACACAGCGCGCTGCGTAGCGGGCGCACTAATAGAGGCAGCGGAGACAGCAGCTGTGCCACACCACACATCGCTGCAGCAAGCTCGCCGCGGTGTGACGACCAAGACTCCGCAATGACGCCATCGATCTTGCCACCCGCAACCTCGCTTCAGCTGCGCAAGCACCGCCACGCGTCGGCGCTGTCGACGACGCCGCTCAAAGGCGACAACGCGGACGATTATACTACACCTGTTTATATTGACGGCCAAGGACCGTTCAGCTTGAACGTGGACACGGGCAGCGCGCTCGTCGGCGTCGCGGGCAACGAAACCATTGGTTGCGACCTCTTTTACGACTCGTCGGCCTGCGACGGCGGACCTATCAAGGTCGTCTACGGCAGCGGATTTTGGTCCGGCGTTGTGTGCGAGGCGACGGTGACGCTCGGCGCGTACAACGTCACGAATTACAAGTTCGGCGCCTACCAAAAACAAAAGGCCATGACGACCTGCGAGCGCACGCCCGAGGAGGACGCGACGTCGCCGCGCCACATGACGCAGCCGCACAACTACATGCAGGGCATCGTCGGCCTCACGGCCGGCGAGGTCGGGCTCACCGCGGGCTCGCCGCCGTTGCTCGACGTGCTCTTCGCGACGCACGCGGACGTGGACCCCGTGTTCGGCCTGCAGTGCTGCGCTGTGTGGAAATCAACAAGTGCGTCGGGTGCAACAATTCTTCACTAAGTCATTTCGCGGCAATGACGCGGCCGTCCTGGCTCGGTCGAGCGGCGAGGAACCGGCATCGCCACGCCATCGAGGAGGCGTCGCGTCGATGGCGTGGAGGACGACGCGATGATTCAGCACGAACGCGCCGTAAAATTTTGATTTCCACACAGGTGCTGCGGCTTCGACCGGGGCCGCGGCGGCGGCGGCGCGCTCGACGTCGGCGGCTTTGATGCAAGGCGCTTCTACGGCGCCATCCAGTGGGTGCCTATCACCAAACGGCCCTACTGGGCCGTGCGCGCGACGTCCATCCGGTTCGGCGCCGCCGACGTGCTGCCGGCCGACGTCGCCGCGATCGACGCGTACGCCGACGGGACGGACCAGTCTATAGTGGATTCCGGCACTTCCGGCCTGGTCCTGCCGAAGCGGGCCTTCGACGCGGCCGTCGCGACGTTATCTGCGGCGGCGCCGGACGTGCCGCGTGCGTTCTGGAAGGGCGAGGCCTGCGTGGATGCGTCGAAGCTGGACCTATCATCTCTGCCAGAGCTGACAGTGTCCCTGGCGACGGAGGGAGATGATGTCGTGCTGACGATGCCGGCGTGTCGCTACGTCAACCGCGTCCCGAAGACGAGCTATTGCGCCGCGGAGGCGCCGCCGCGCAAGGAGGACGCCTACTTCTTCTCCGTCGGCCCCATCGAGGAGGGCCGCAACGTCATCCTCGGCCAGTCGCTCTTCGAGAGCTACTACGTGGCCCACGACATGGGCGCGTCTCCGCGGGTGGGCTTCGCGCCGATCCGGGGCTGCGACGCGGACGGTTGCGGGGTGCCCGCCGGGTCGCGCTTCGAGGTCCTCGGTTCGCGGTGGGCCGTCGTCGCCGCTCTCGTATGTCTGCCGCTGGGCGCGTACCTTCGGTGGCGCCGCAATCGTCGCCGCGACTACGCGGCGGTCGAGTCTTCTTCTGTGTGAAGATGTGCTAAGTTTACCTAGATTCTAGAGCTCCTGCTTTCGGACCTTCTTGGCCCGCGGCGGGAGGTGCCTCGCCGGGATGCCGACGGCCGTGTGCCCCGCGGCGACCGGCTTGTTGACGACCGCGGACGCGGCCACGACGGCGCCGTCGCTGATCTCGATGTTCCCGAGCACCTTGGAGCCCGCGCAGATGAGCACGTCGTTCCCGACCTTCGGGTGCCGGTCGTGGTCCGGCGATGTGCCGGTCGCGCCCAGCGTGACGTCGTGCATGATCGAGACGTTGTCGCCGATCACCGCCGTCTCGCCGATGACGACCTGTGTGCCATCGAGCAGGCGTCGCGTCGATGGTGTGGAGGTCGACGAACGCGCCGTAAAACTTTTGATTTCCACACCGATGACCACGCCCGTCGCGTGGTCGATGGTGACGCCGCGGCCGAACACGGCGCCCGGGTGGATGTCGACGCCGAAGACGTCCGCCATCTCGCTCTGCAGGAGCTTCGCGATCGCCCGGCCCTCGCCGTTCGCCTCGCGCCAGTAATAGTTCGCGGCGCGCGCGCACTGCACCGCCTGGAAGCCCTTGAAGAAGAGCAGGACGTCGAGGATGCCGTCGGACGCCGGGTCGACCTCGACGAAGCGCCTCATATCTGCCGCCGCCGCGTCCGCGAGCGTCGGGTCCTCGGTAAACGCGTGGAGGAGCAGCTCCTCGAAGCGGACCTGCTTGTCCGTGTCGTTCGCCGTGAACTTCGAGCCGAGCTCGTGCGCGAGCGCCTCGGCGAGCGACCCGTGCGTGAGTACCTCGCCGAAGAGGAAGCGATCCATGCCGAAGCGAGCGTACGCGGGCGTCGACAGCGCCGCGCGCGCTTCGTCCTGGAGCTCGGCCCAGGCCGCGGCGGCCACCACACCGGGCTGTGACGTACAAAGCCGGCGGCGGCCGATTCGACCAGAGAGAGAGAACTTTCGACCAACGGCGCGCAGCAGCATGATCCTTCAACCACTTGAGCAATTCGAGGTTTTTGGCCTATGAAGCCTCAATCCCTCCTGAAATGCGTCAGCTCTGGTGCCGGATCCGACGGATCAGATTACCGGACGAGTCTGATACCGTTCCGCGGGCTCACGGGGGTCCCTTAATCTCACTACTCACAAAAGTCGAGCCTAGCGTCCTGTAAGACACTAGCCCCTGGGAAGCACCCTGCCAGACATGGAGAGGCATTGAAGCGCGCTGCGGGTCTCGCACTAGCACACTGCACTGCTACAAGCATCGCTGCAGTCTCGCACTACTGGGCACTGCAGTGCAAGCATGGCTTGCAAGCCCTGTGCAGTACTGCTGCTGCTGGCTCACGCCGCAGCACTGCAGCCTCCATCCTGGTCCGCCCTCTCCAAGACTCTACCCTCAGCTGCCAGGGACGAACCAACGATCATTGACGCGGTAAATCACCGGCAAAAGCGGCCGCCGCTTTCTGAAGACACCGTGGTTTTATATCGAGAGCGCAATGGGTGGTGTCCCTACTCCGAACGCGTGTGGCTCGGGCTCGAGACAAAAAACGTGGCGTACGAAACGGTCCTGATCGACAACACGGGCGGCGCGCGGCCGAGCTGGTTCGAAAGCACCACACCAAGGATTCGCTGGGCCGACGGCACGGACCAGGGCGAGTCGCTCGACATCCTCAAAGATTTGGACGAGCGCTATCCGTCGGAGCCGCCGCTCTTCGACGAGCACTCGGCGGCCCTCATCGGCGCGTTCAAAGAGATCTTCCCGCGGATGACGCGGCCATCCTCGCGTGCTGCGTTCCTCTTCCGCAGCTCCGGCCAGCCCGTGGCGCGCCGCGATTTCGAGGCGACGCTCGAGAAGACGGATGCGTTACTTGGCGAGCGCGGCGGACCGTTCTTCGCCGGCGCGAGCCCCACCGCACCGGACGTGTGCTGGGCGCCCTTCCTAGAACGATACGCGGCGCAGCTGCCGCTTTTGCACGACGGCCTAAGGCCGCGCGACACGACGCGCTATCCTAATCTGAGCCGCTGGTACGACGCGATGGAGTCCACGACTGCGTGGAAATCATCGACGCGACGTCGTCCCCGTAACTGTGCATCTGCTCGATGGCGTGGGGATTCTACGCCATCGACGCGACGTCGTCCCCGTGGCTGCAGCAGCTCGATGGCGTGGAGCTTCGATAACCTAACTCACCGGTTGATTTCCACACAGGTCTACGATACCTGCATATGGCTGTCGGGTGCGCGGCAACGCGGCGTCCTGGGCCAAGGTCCTGTCGCAGACCGGGTTTGGGAACGGCGGGAGCGTGCCCGAGACGAATCCCGACGACAGGACGGCGGCGAGCGATGCCGCCGCCTCGGCACGCGGGGCCGAGACGTGGGCGGCGTACGCGGCCGATCGGCCCTGGGTCGCGCCGAGCCCCGACGAGGAGGCGGCCGCGACCATATTAAGGCGAAGGGATGCCATTCGGGACGACGCGGTGCGCCGCGGAGTAGGTGACGCCGACACCATCGAGGCCGGTCTGCGCGGCGTCGTCGCCGGGCTCATAGATGAAGCCCACGTACTCGCTCTAGACGAGGACGCGGCCACAATGGCACGCGACCTCGACGAGCGGCTCTGTTGCCCGCGGGACCTCGGCGCGCCCGCGGCGGCGGCGATCCGGCGGCTGGCAGCGTTGTATGAGTAACTGTACTAGTAGTCTTCCCTGGCTCTTGGAGTGCAGAAAGGGGCGTTTCTACTAGTGGATTTACATACATAATTAGCCCGCACAGCGATGCCTCGTGGGAGCGTCTATCATCGCCGCTCACTCACTTCTCTTTCCGGCACTTGCCGAAGTCCGCGCCGCACGCGATCCACACGAGTATGAAAATGACGAAGCCCGCCAAGGATAAGAAGGTCAAATATAACTTCACCTTCTTCCAGAACATCTGCTCCTTCAACCGGCGCGAGGACCGCTCGAAGGTAAAGGCCGTCGCGTTCAATCTATCGGTCTTGTCCACGAGCAACTCCAGCTTCTCGCCCCGCTCCAAGACCATCTCGATGTTCTTGACCATGACGTCTTTGACGTCGTCGAGCTTGCCTCTGACATCGGAAAACTGCGACTCCGTGGCCATGGGCCCGTTGAAGACGTCCATCTGCCGCCTCAGAACTCGAGAAAATTCGTGGTTCATCGCGAAGGCGATGGCCGTGTGGCGCTCGTCGCCGTGCGCGTCCAGAAATCTTTGCTTGATGTCATCTAAAAACGCGAAGGGAATCCGCCTCTTCTGGTGCTGGTCGTCGTCGCACATGCAGAGGTACAGTATCCCGTCGTCGCAGAGGTAGTGGAAGACGTACTGGTCGTAGACGTACGACACCTTGCCGTCTCTACCACAATCGATCTTCGCCAATAAGAGTCGCGTGATCGTCGGGAAGTTGCCGCTCGTGAACGTGAACTCGCTCAGCACGGTCTTGCCCCGCGCGACGAGGCTGTAGAGGATGGTCATCGCGTCGACGGCCCGGACGGCTTTTGGGCTTCCGCTGCGGGAGGCGGCGACCGGCGCCGCAGGTATCGATTGACTGCGACGGCAGCGTACACTGGGCTCAGCCCTTAAATTGGACGCCGAGACAGACAAGACGGCCCGAGTTTTGTGCCGGCAGGCTTGCTAGACTAGTGTCTTACGCCGCTAGCTGGATGGGAAGTCAAGTCTAGCACCATCACTAAGAAGGGCCCTGCGCCTGCCGTCTCGCCCGAACCTGCTTTCGGCGTCATAGTTTGAAAACGCTCTGCCGGGTGAGCGCACTGATCCCCATCACCATATCAACGAATCCACTGGCAAGAGTATGTAAGACAAACTTATTCACGAACCACCACCGAGCCGCTCGTGGACGGCCCCGTACACGCTAAAGACGACCGCCGCGCCCGGCACGCCGCGCGCGAGCGCGGACGCGTAGCCGACGTATACCCGCCGGAGCCCGCCCGCGCGCACCGCGTCCAGGAGCACCCCCGCGACCGACGCCGAGCCCGCCTCGGCGCCGACCTGCAGGCGCGTCTTCGCGAAGTCCAGCGGCAGCGCCACGGTCCAGAACGCCACGCCGCCGCCCGCGCCGGCGACGGCGAGCTCGGCGAGCCTGTGCGCCAATCAATCAGGGGCGTCGCGTCGATTCATCGCCGCACAATTCGATTGATGCACCGCAGCGAGCTCCAGCTTCGGCGAGCCCCGGAGCGCCACCGCGCGCCGCCGCATGGCCTCGAAGGCCGCGTAGTAGGCGCCGACGCCCGGCACGTCCCGCAGAAGCGTGGCCCCGAGGCCGCGGTAGACGCCGCCCGCCGCCGCCGCCTCGCGCAGGACGGCGCGTAGCGTCGTCCGCCCCGCCGCGACCTGGAAGCGGTTCCGGACCAGCTCGACGGGCGCCAGCACGAGGGCGTTGGCGCCGCCGGCGACGCCGCCGGCCGCGAAGACCTCGTGCGCCGCGAGCGGCCGCGCCGGGTCGCCGCCCCGGAGCGCGCGGGACGCGGCGCCGTAGACGCCGAACATGACGGCCTTGTAGAGCCCCTGGGCCGCGAGGGGCCAGGCGAGGCCCTTGTAGAGCGCGAGCGGCCCCTCCCGTCTTACTGTGACGCGCGCGCAGTGCCAGGCGCCGCGGTACGCGCCCGCCGGCGCCGCCTGCAGCCGCGTGCGGACCGTGTCGAGGGGGTGCACAGCGAGGATCGAAGCGATGCCGCCGGCGGTGCCGCTGATGACCGTGCGCAGGGTCTCGTTCTCCACCATGGCTACGCGTCCTGCTGCAGCACTACAGCAGCTGCACTGCAGGCATCCCTATATTGCTGTATTCTGTTCGACGACAAATACGTACCAATCTCGCATCAATCAGTGTGAGGACACAGCGCATTTTTGGCCACAGCTATGGTTTGTGAGACTTAAGCGCTGGCGAGCAGCGGTAACCAGCAACACGTTGCACCAAACTGCTGGGTCCTCACTCTCCCAGACTCGAATGGCCGCGCCGCGCCAGGCTAGCGGCATGTAAGACACTAGCGTCTTTCGCAAAACCCTTCTTAGCGGGCGAGGGGGTTATGCTGTAACAACACACACACTAGCAGCAAACTACGGACAGGTGAGATTGCAAGCGAAGTCCGAGAACAACAGAAAGAGGCAGCCCAAGGACAACGAAAGGTCGCGTGAAGGATGAGCGCTGCACCCAGCGAAGCGGCCGCCGCTGCCCCGGCACCGGGCGAAAAGCAGGCCGCCCGCCTGCCCGGCTTGCGCGGCCACCACAAGCTCTACCTCGCTGCCGTGGCGCTGGTCGCGGTGTGCGTCTGGCTCATCGTCTGGCTCGTGGTCTTTGGGAAGGTGCTGCCCGACGACATTGTGGGCTTCGCCGCAGTCGTCTTCCAAGTCACTGTTAAGACGGGCATTATGGCGCTGCTCTTCGCGCGCTACGTCGCCGGCGCGGGCACCGTCGTGGCGCCGGCGGACCCCGAGGGCAAGGTCGGCGCGGCGCCGGGCCTCCGCGCCTGGGCGCACGAGGCCTTCGAGCTGGACGCGGCGAGCGCGCGGGCACGGGGCGGCGTCGACGCGGAGCTGCACGTCCGGCGGATCCGGATGCGGCTGGCCTGTTTGCAAGTCTGGGCGTTGCTGGCAGTGCCACTGGCGTGCGTCTACGCGCTGGATCCGAAGGAATGCGGGTGGTTCCCCGAACGGACGTGGGTCGAGCAAGAGCCCTGCTCGGGCGAGAACCCGTGCTGCGGTTGGAATGAGCGTGGTAGTGCGAATGCGTGGGTGGAGAATGAGGAGCTAATAGAGGCAAACTGCGAGGAACAGAAGTGTCGACAAAGATCGATTACGACCGGGAAGCCAAATGGGGACACTTATGAGCCATGTTGCGACATGCTGGGTATAAAGTATGATGCAAACGACTGGAGTATGATGTTCGATTATCAAAGTACTATGATTCCACAGTGTGCTTCAGATTGGACCGCTACGGCTTGTCATTTCGATTCTATCCATAATAAATGCCAGGAACTGAAACTCTCGGGCAAAGAATGCGAGCCCATCTGCCTGGTCACGGTCAAGCGCGCGGGCTGGGGCCGGGCCCGGTCGCCGGGGTTCGACCGCATCTCGCTCGAGAATGTCTTATGCCGCGAGGGCAACACGGCGACGTGGCAGCTCTGGCTCGCGATTCTGGCGCTGTACCTCGGCCACTGGGCGGCGTACAGAATCGTCGACGCGCACGACGAGGAGGCCACCGAGACCATCCGCGCCGCGGCGGAGGACGCGCCGCCGCACCACTACGCCGTCGCGACGACGGGCCTGCCCGAGCATCTGCGGGAGCCGGCCGAGCTCGAGGCGTTCTTCGAGGGCGTCTTCGAGAGGCCCGGCGCCGTCGTGCGCGTCGTGCCGTGCCGCCACCTGAGCGCGGCCACGCGCATGGTGGAGGCCCTCGCGGGCGGCGCGCCGCCGCCGCCGGAGGGAGACGCCGCGCCCGAAGCGGCCGCCCGCGACGCGGTGGAGGCCGCCGACGCGGCCGCCGCGCACGTCGAGCAGCTCAAGGCCGCCGGCGCGGCGCCGGCGGCCGTCGCGGAGGCCGAGGCGCGCCGCGAGTCCCTGAAGGACAAGGCCGCGCGCGCGCTCAAGGGCCTCTTCGGCGGCGACGGCGGCGCGCGCGGCCGCGTCCAGGCGTTCCGCGAGGCCCTCAAGGAGGTCGAGCGGGCCGATTGGCGGCAGGCGCTGCACGAGCGCTGGGAGGGCAAGGAACGGCAGCGGTTCCAGCGGGGCTGCGCCAAGTGCATCGACGGGTGCATCTGCTGCTGCTCGTTCGTCGGGCGCAAGATCCAGAACCAGGCGGCGTCGCCCGCGGACGCGCGGCGCCGCTGCGAGGAGGCGAGGAAAGCTGTCGCTGACCACGCGGCCGAGGCGTCTCCGGACGGCGGGTCGGCGATCGTCATCTTCTCGAGCCTCGAGAGCGCCGAGGCCGCCGCGACCTGCCCCCTCGGGGCGCCGGACGCGGCGACGGAGGTCTCGAAGCCGACGTACCGCGAGGACAAGCCGTATCGGAAACAGGAAAAGCGCAGCCGCTTGATCGTGACGCTGGAGACGGCGGGATACTACTTAACGGGGTTGCAGGGCTGCGGGTGCCGCAAGAGCAAGCCCGTGCCGATGGAGGTGACGCCGCTGCCGGAACCGAGAGATATAGATTGGGGCGAGCTCGAGACGCTCGACCAGGAGCGCGGCGAGAAGTCGGACCGGATGAACGCGGGGCGGCTCATCAAGCTTTGCGTCTGGTTCGGCTACTCGGCGATCGTCGCGGTGTTTGCCGTGAACTGGGAGGCGCTCTGCAAGGAATACGCCAAGGACGACGCCGGTGGGCCCTCGGACACCGCGCTGCTCTGGGACCTGCTCGCCGGCTTCGTGCCGGCGTTCTTTCAGGGCTGGCTCTTCGACTACGTGGCGGTCATCTTGTACAACACAAACCGCATGTTCAACAGTTTGTGGAGCGAGTCGTCGCTGCAGGCGAGCGTCGCGCGGGACTATTCCATCTTCTTCTGGATCGTCGCGTTCGGCGCGTACCTGCTGTCCGTCACCTGGGCCGACATCTCGAACGAGGCCTGGTCCTGCGAGGGGGAGTGCGACGCCGCCGAGGATGAAGACGAGGACGCCGACGTCGACGCTGCGAGCTTCAACCCGAGCGTCGCGTTCCGGCTTATGGCCCGCGCGGTGCCCCGCCACGCGTGGCCGTTCGCCGCCATTTTCCTCATGCAGCTCGGCGACATGGCGGCCGACGCGCTCAGGGTAGTCCCATACATCAAGTACGAGCTCCTGAAGCGGGCCAAGGTCGCGTCGGATGCGAGCTTGGCGGAATCGCTCGAGCCGGAGGACGCTGACCTCGGAGCGCCGGCCGGTTGGGAGGCGTTCGCGCTGCTGGTGGGCGCGACTTTCGCCTGCATCTCGCCGTTCACGTGCGCCGTCTGCTACCTCTACTTCGTGGCCGCGTACGAGGCCGGAAAGCATGCTCTGTGTTGCCTCGAGACCATGCCCTTCGATACGCGCGGCGCGCTCTGGTTCGACGGCGTCGCCCAGACCCACACCGCGCTGTTTATCGCGCTGGTCATCCAGCTTGTCGTATTGTGGTTTAACTTCACCAATAAAGGGTTCTGGCCGGTCATCGGCGGCATCCCCATCCTGCTCATGTGGAAGCGCTACCAGGACAGGTGTCGCCGCCGGCACGCTACGCGGAATCTCCACGGCTTGGCGCGGGGCAGGATGCCGCTGAGGGACGGAAACGCCGTCGACGCGCTGAGGGACGGAGACGTCGTGCGCGACGCCCTGGTTCATCTCGCCGACCGCGACCGCTTCTTCGAAGCGCCCGAGGTCCTGCCGCCCAGAGACCACCCGGTGTACCGGGACGCCCTGCCGGGGCCGCCCATCGACGACGCGACGGACGTCGAGGCGCGGCTCGAGGCGGTGAACGCGTGGCTCAGGCGCCACGACGACGCCGCGGCCGCGTTCCTCGAGCGCGTCAACGGGACCGCGACCGTGCTCGGCGAGGACGACATCGCGGTCTCGGACGACATCGCCTGCGGTACGATTGGCTGTGGCGGCCTCTAAATATCATGATAGTTAAAAAAGCCCCAACCAAAAAGCGCACAACTTTGGGATGCGCGCGCTCACATAACCTGGTCGGGCACGGGCAGCGGCTCGCAGATGTAGTCCAGCACCAAGTCCGGGTCGACGCGCTGCGCCGCGGCATCATCAATAAGCTTCGAGGCCCGCATGAACTCCTTGCGCACGAGCTGGTGCTTCGGGTACTTCAGGACGTGGGCGACGTCGTAGTGCGTCTCGAAGGGGTCCTCGATCGCTAAATGGGGGTTCTGCGGCCAGCAGTCGAGCTCGGCCTTGTTGGCCTTGGGCAGCACGCAGGCCGTCCGCGGCGCGACCACGAGGTTGCGATAATCAACATCCCACGCATAATGTCTAAAAAATAGCGCGAGCAACTCCCCAAGCGACTGGCGGTTTCTTCCAGCAATTTCCCGGAGGTCCGCCAATGAACCTGTTTTATCTGGGTCGTGAAACGACAAACAGACGTCCCTTGACGCGTCGAAGGGGTGCGGCACGCGTTCGGGCGGCGGTCGGTCGGGATTCTTCGGGTTCGGCCAGTCCAGGTCCAATCTCTGTAAGGAGGGTAGTATCGGCGGGTTCGGGACGGTCTGCAGGAAGGCCAATACACAAAGGATGTAGCCGTAACTGGACAGGGTACCATCTGACGGGGAATTAATCCCGCGGATCTTCGCCCACTTCTTGATGACGTAGGCCATGCCTCTGACCCTTCCGTCGATCTTCGCGTACGCCCGGAGCAATTCCGTGTTCCGCAACGCCAGCGGGTTGTGCGTCGACACGTCGCAGTCTAGTCCAGTTTGGGGGTCCGCAAATAGTACAATAGGTACTCGCGCCGTGTCGCGCACCTGCACGTTCTTGGCCCCCGCACTTTCCAGAGCTTCGCCGACGCGCCGACAGACCTCCGGCGAACTGAGTTCCGTGTCCTCTTCACTAGCAGCGGGCACGACGCACATGTCCAGGTCCGCGCCCTCGGCCCCGAACAAGTTCGCGGAGCTTCCAAAGACTCGCAGCACGAGTCGTCGACCGTTGCCCAACACGTCAGCGTTGTTGAGACAAGCCTCGACCCTTCTTCTAACTTCCTCCCTTCGCTTAAAAAAGTTTTCGGAAGGGAACAACTGGGGCAACACGCGCGCACAAGCGTCATCCAGAGCCCGCCAGGCGAAGCCGTGCTGCTGCGCCGACGGCTGGTGCGTCGGCCTAAAAAAGGAATCGGCTCGATCGTAGTGTCTCCTGAGAGCCGCCACGCCGTCGGCCCCGCCGGGCCAGAACTCCTCGAGCAGCGCGTCCCATCGCGTCGAAACGTCGTCTAGGCGTCGAGCCTGCTCCGGAGCTGCGGATTCTAACCATTGTCTAGAGGCTGAATTCCCGTTGAAGGCCGCACACAGCCTCCGACACGCGGCGTGCACATCCCTAGCTCGTCTATCATCATTGCGCTGCTTCTTGATCTTCGCGACGCGCTGCTGTTCAAAAGCATCCCTCGCAGCCACCTCGTCCTCCTCGCTCAGCACGGACCAGGCCCGTTCTCTAGTCAAAGCGTCCTCCTCCGTCTCGTCGACGTCAAAAGGCAGCTCGTCGGCTCGGCGACGCGTCGCTAATGTCAAAGGACCGGGAACGTTCTTCGCGAGCTCATCTAAACATCTGGCGAGGCACGCTCGCAATTTCTCTCGACATTTTTTCTCCGCACTACTCCCGCTTCGGCCGCCCACGTGCGTGAGTCGCTTCGGTGCTAGTGACGCCGGTAGGGTCTCGGCGACCACCGCGAGTTGTTGCAAGGCGCCCAACCTACTTCTCCCAGGTTCTTCCAGCTGCTGCAGCGACGCCTTCAGACTATCTAGTAAGTCATCATGGGTCCGTACCACAACGTCCAACTTATCAGACGTCGCGTAGACGTTGGAAGACGCTTTGGGCCGCTCTGACTTGGGCTTTTGCTGTTGACCTGGGGGTTCTGGATCGAGTAATCTAAAAACAAATGCACCAGCGGCTCGCGGCGCGAAGAAGGCGACGGCGCCCCGCGCCAGACCCGTTTCTTCGACCGTGCCCTTGCCCTGCTTGGCCACTATCGCGGCGTCATTGGTCGGCGCGCCGACGCGGAACAGACCGACGGAGACGTCCCTCCTCGAGCCTACTTCCACATCCTCGTCGACGCGCAGCTCCCAACTGACGTCTAACCTCGCTCGAGGCCGCAGGGGCCCCTTCTGCCCATCAGGAGCGGTAAACGAGACCCTGCCGCCCCGCCTCACATGGACTCGGGGAGGCTCCCACTTTTTTTTGGGCTTTGGGGGCGGTTCTTCCGGTGTGTTGCCGCTGATCAATGCTGATAAAGCCGCGGCGACGTCGTCATCATCTGTTGGTTTTGGCGGGGACCTACTAATGCCGGGCGGCGGGTTGCCTTCGGCTGCTACTTCCAAAGCTAACGCCGCTAGCCCAGGTGGGAGGTGGTCTACGGACGGTACTAAGCCCGGCGGGGGCCCGTTCCTTCTGGGGCTTCCAGGGTGCGGCGCGGCCGGCGCGCCGACGCGTCGCGGCGAACCGGGCGGGCTCCGCCCAATACCAGGAGGCGGTGGCGGCATCGCCATGCCGGGCGGCGCGCGCTGGACCATGGCCTTGCGCTCGGAAGGCGACATGGCCAATAACCGACGAGCGTCCTCAATAAATCTAGCTTGGTCCTCGTGCCGCTCGTACGCCGCGTGCGCCGCCGCAGCGGCGGGGTCGTTCGTCTTCAGTAATGCCCCAAAAGCTAATAGGACGTCAGAATCCTCTTCCAATTTTTTGGCCTCCGGTTCCTTCTGTGGATTGCGATTCCTTCTCCCTCGAGACCTCTGGACCGGTTCTTGCGGAGCTTCTTCGGTAGGAGCCTCCTGCTTCTCCCTCCTCCGTTGGTCGCCGTCGGGCTTGGGGTGCTTCTTGCCGCCGCGCCGTCGCCGCTGGGACGGCTTTTTGTCGGCGGCGGCGCCTTTCGGCTCTTGCGCGGCCGGCATCGCGTTGGCGCGTCGGTGCCTTCTTTGCGCGCTTTCGCGGTTTTTCGCTCGCTGTTGCGGGTCCACGGTGCGGGTGCGCTGACGGCGCGGGCGCCGGCGCGCGAGATGGCCCTTTTTTCAAGCAAAAGCTAAACTCGCCGCTGGCGCTATGGCAGCCGTGACCCGTTGCGCGCTGTTGAGCTGGCTGGGTCAGAGACCGATGGAGGCTACTTGCCACACCGGTGAGGCAGTGCTAGGCCTCCCGCGCGCGCTTTTTGCCACAAGCGAGCAAAAATAATACCCGCACCGAAAGTCAAAACTACTACCAGTCTGGACTGCAGGCACGCATGACCCCGTACCCGTCGATGAGTGGCGTCGGGCGTTCGCGGCCGCGGCGCAGCCCGACGCGCAGCCCAGCGCCCTGCTGCTCTCTTGCAAAACAAGCGGTCACAAGCTCGTAGCAAGCGCGTAAGTACCGCAAAAGACAGCCTCCGCAAGCATCGCGAGGCCCTCAAAGCGCTACCGAGCGCGTAGCACGGCACACACGCGGGCGGGCAGCCCATAGCTACCGAGAGTGTAGCACCGCAGGGGCAGCCTCCGCAAGCACCGCCACAAGCACGCACGCACGATGACGCAGTGGTCCCCCGTCAAGGGCGCGAACCTCCTCGTCGACCCGCGGGCGGCGCAGCGCAGGGAACGACGGGAGCAGCGCTACCCGGCGCCGCCGGTCCCGCCCGTCGAACCACCACCAACGTACGACTTCTCGAAGCGCTTTCGCAAGCCCCATGCGACGCGGGGCGGCGCCGACTTCGGGCGGTCGAGCGTGCGCGCCCAGCGTCCCGGACGCGCGCGGCGATGGCGTGCTGTGGAGCAATTCCGTGACGGCGTCACCCCGCGCAGGCGCCCAGAAACTACTTCAAGGACGTGCCTCCGCCCGAGCGCGTCGACCAGAAGCCCATGACCGCCAAGGACTTCGCAAAAATGAAGCACGTCGAGTTCAAGAAGCACCTCGCCATTTCGCGGAGCGGCGTCGACGGGTCCACTCCCCTGGCGTGCCGGCGCGGCCTGCTCCCGAAGACCATGGGTTCCGGGAGGCATCAGACAAAGGTCGACCGGTCCAAATGCAAGACGGGCGCGGAGATGCGGCGCGGGCGGCCGGCGCGGCCGCCGTCCGACACGTTCGAGTGGTGCGGTGTCAAATTCAAGGTGAAGCGGCCGCCGGTCGAGGCGGAGCCCGCCGTACCCAGCGTCGACGCCGTGCCGGAGGCGGCCCCGCGCGAACCGCGCCCGGGCACCGCGGCGCGGAAGGCGGCCGCAGACATCACGGCCTCCGTCGTCGACGACCTGGGCGGCTCGGCCGCGCCGGCGCCCGCGCCGCTGACGCCCTGGGAGGAGTCCTTAGTCGGCGACGCCTTCAAGGCGCCGGAAGGGTCGCGGTTCAAGGACCGCGACCTGCTCGCCGGCGTCGACGTGTATGCGCACATGCGCGACCACGCGGCGCGCGGCCGGCCCGTCTCCACAATCACGGGAAGACTCCAGCCCTACCGCGGCGAGGCCACAGGGCGGCCCCCGAAATTCGTGCCGCTCGAGGTGGGTAAGGCGCGGCGGTAGTGTTACTAGGGGTTGGGCGCCGCACGTTTCGCGCGCCACAGCGGAGTGCGCGCGGAGACGCCGGCGGTCTATTGCTATTTCCATGGGGCGTCCCTTACGTGTGCGCGAGTATACCTCGTCGGAGGCGCCGTCGCGCTGGCGGCTCTAGTAGGAACCATGACATCCTAGTGGGCGGCACAGCGTCTCGCAATCGCGTCGCACGCTCGCGGACGGTCTGATACCGAAGCGATCGCACGCTTGGGAGCCAGTGGGAGCTCATCGACGTCCTTGGCAGGCGGCGAGCACCGATCCGTATCGCCTGAGGCGCACAAGCTGCCCAACACAACCCAGCCTCTACCAGGCGCTACACGCACAGCAAGCGGGAGAGGCTGCCCCAAACAATGGGCAAGCACGACGATGATGATGGAGATGAGAAGGCCGCCTGGGCCTCGAATAAGAGGTTGAGTGGTGGAGGTGGCAAAGAAGATGACGACGACGACGGTGACGCTTTGTTAAACCCGGTGGTGAAGGCGTTCTGCCACCACGTCGTGTCCCAAAAATTCCGCAAAGAACTAGACACGTTCTTTGATAGTGGATGTGACGACTTCGAGGAGGCGGACCCCGACGGCGAGCATCGATTGGAGTGGACCGAGGCCCACAGTACCTATGTCAAAAAAGTAGAAAGCATGCTCGAGACCTTCTGCCAGTGCCACGGGTTGGATCCCGCGGCCGTGTTCACGATGGTGCAACGAGCTTGTTCTTCTGGTGTCTTAGATGATGAGTTTTTACCAGCAATACTAAATGTCGCGGAGTATCGGTTCTTCGTCGAGCAGATGGTGTTGATGGCCCACGAGGACCGGAACCATGCCCGAGCCAAAAGGTTAGGCGAGTCCTCGTCAGACGAGGCCAAGGGTGACTCCAGTAATATCTCGGGGGTCTGGCTACTGTCCACAAAAGATGGAAATAAACAATTGACAGATGTTGGTAGAGGCCTGGATCGCTATTTGAGAGCCGTGGGCGTCCCACCATCCTTGCACGGCTTGTTCCGCGGGACACTCTTCAGCAAGAAGGGTCTGGTCATTATGCATGAGGGCGACGATTTAACTCTGGTCTTTGACACGGTGACCGGAAGGCACAAGCAGGTGTTTATCGTCGATGGGCGCACTCGTGATATCCCGACCATTGGGGGGACCAGAACACCATTTACATGCACGTCGGACGACTACGGGCGCATTCGCGTCTCGTCCGATAGGCCGTCCAATCTCCCGAAGGGCGCGCGCATCGTCCAGACCTGGCAGCTGCTGGGCAAGTTCCTCAAGTGCACGGCGGAGGTCGAGAAGCCGGGGGGGGTCGTGGCGCACGAGTTCTACTACCGGCGAGAAGCCCCCAAGAAGTCCCGCAAGAATCCCCCCAAAAGGTCGCATAAATAGAATTTAGCCACGTAATTCCCGCCTCCGCTGCTCCCGCGCGCGCTTATGTAGTACGGCGCACTTCTCGGCTTCGGTGCGCAGTTTGTCGACGATCAACTTGGCATTGGCGGAATCCTGCAGCAGCGCCGCGCCGACGGCCTGCTCGCTCATGCGCGAGATGCGTCGTCCGTCCAGATCCAACTTCAGAGCACGATCCGCGGCTTGCGATAGATGGCACCGCGTCGCTAAAAAAGCCGCGAGTCTAGAACTTGACCACTTGTTCGGGAACGGCGGCAAGGCCGACGACGTTTGCGATGAAGGAGGGTGCCGCGAAACCGGTAGACTTCGAGGCCCAGGTCTTGAGACTTCGCCGTGCCTCAGTTTGGGCACCGTCCGAGGCTTGGGGTCGGAGGCCGCCTCTGCCGCACGACTGGTGCCTGCCAGTTCACAGACCGTTCTTAATGTTGACACCGTGTGCTCCGCATCTGTGGCACTTGGCGACACCGTAGCCACCACGGACAGACACGCGTCCGCACTCACGAAGGCCTCCCGCAGAACACGAGTCAAAGCCGAGCCCCGGAACGGCGGCGGCGCGGGCGTGGGATTGTCCGGGTTCGAGAACCCGCCTCTCGCTTTCCACCGTCGCACAGCGCGCGACGCTCGTATACATCTTTTGAGGGCATACAAACTCTCGTTGATCTCCACCGACTCTTTTATCCTTTGCTTGTCGTGATATAAGGAGTCCTGGGACCGCTCCGAACCCGCACAATCAACGAGCGTCAAGGAGCCGCCCTCCTCGTCGAAATCCAACCGACACACGGCGTGGCTGCGACTCGAACCTCCGTTAACGTCCGTGGCCGCGGTCGCTCGTCTACGCCTCCCTCGCCGCAGCAAAGCCAGTAATTCGTGAGGACTCCGAATATCTTCACACACCGCATCTACGGTGGTCCCTCGCACTTCGTCGGCCAGCGTGACGGGCTTCGGCGCGTCCCTCAATGGACTATCATCGCAATCGTCATAGGAATCACCATCCCGCAGCAAGTCGAAGGCGTGCTTGCCCTTCACCTCGAAGTACCTCACGCGCACACTTCTACCTTGTATACTCTCAGCAACATTTCTCTCGAACGTGTGCATCGTGTGCGTTTTCCCACTTCCGGTTTGGCCGAACATGAATAATGCCGCAGCCCTTCCATCTAGTGCCGCTCTTAAGCCAGGTAGACACCCCCGCTCGAAGGCGTTGTCCTCGGACGACTCTGCGGCAATGGTCGCGGCTGCCGGGAACCTCGCGCAGCGGTGGAGCAATCGGACCATATCCGCATGCATCGTGCACTCGTGCACCGTCACCCAGCAGTGCGACTTTTTTCTCTGTTCTTCGTTTGGCGGGGGTAGGTCCGTGGACGCGGCGCAGAAGTCTCCTCTGGCTGCTTCGTGGGGCAGCAAGGGCCGGACTCGGACCACGACCCTCGCACCGGCCCCGAAGTCCGACTCCGAGTTTTCTTTATCATGAGGCGACGGGCAGCAGTAGTGCTCCCTATGTTGTTGAATGGCCGCCGCGAAGTGCCTCGCATTCCTCAGTCGCGCGGTCCGCTTATCTAGGTTCCTTCTAGTGTCGGGCTCCGACGCTTGGGCCTGGTTCATGCGGCGCTGCTGTCGTTCCCGTTGCACACATAAGGGCGTCGTGGTAGGATGCACCCTCGCTTCGACGCGGCGCTGCGGCCTCCTATGCTCCGGCGGTTTTCCGGGCGGCGGCGACGGCACGCGCCTCGCGAGACGCTCCTGTTCAGCGGCCCGTCGCAATTCTTGGGCCAGGGCCTCTTCGCGGCGCCGCGCTAAGACACGCGCGTCCTCGATGGGTCGTTCCTTCTCCTTTGCTTGCGCCTCGGCCTCTCGCCGCTTGCGGATGGCGATCCGCCTTTGTCGTTCGGCCTTCTCCGACGCGCTCTTCGAACGAGGCGGGCTCCCGGACAGATTCATGCGCTTCTGCTGGGTCGTTGGAGGCGGTTTTACTTTCAGTCGCTTCGGGGGCGGCGGCGCCTTCCGTCGCGGCAGAGCCGGTATTTGGGCACTCTCGACATCATTATTCCATCCACCAGAATCGTCTTCTCGATCAATCAGCCGTCGGAACAACAAATCGGCATTGGAATCGTCCTCCTCCTCGTGGGGTGGCGGCGGCGGCGACGTCTCCCGTTCGTAGGTTCGGGGGTCGTAAGATGAGGGAGACGGCGTCGGTCGCGACGGGGGTGTAGGCCTCCCAGCGGGCGGCGGCGTATCTTGATCAACGGGGGGCGGCGGCGAGAAGTAGTAGGCCGCTTGCGGAGTTGCGGCGCGCTCCCACGGCGGCGGCGAGGGCGACGCCTGCTGGACAGGGGACGTCGGGAAGCTCGGCGTCACGGGCGTCGTCGGAAAATAACCTCGCGGCGGCACGGGGGCCGGCGGCCCGTCGCCGTCGGCGAAGCGCCCCGAAGATCTCCTTCTTACGGCCTCCGCGCGCTTCGCGTCCGCGATGGCCGCGGCCCGGCGCGCCGCATACGCCGTCGGGTCGTAGCCCGGCGACGCGCTGTTCGCCGTCCTCCGCGACGCCTGGGCTTCCCTTCGCTTCGCGCGTTCCGCTTGGCGCTGCGCGAGGACGGCGGCGCGCCGCTGGTCGCTGAGGTGCTGGCGCTCGGCGAAGGTGAGGACGCGCTGGCGCGGCGGGCTCGGGACCGTCGCGGCGCTGGCCATTGTACTGGTCTACTCTACCAGAGGCCCCAGGCGTGCGCTGCGGAGCGTGCACCTGGTGGAGGGCAGCTGGGGTACTGCGAACCGGTCGCAAAGGTGGTGCAGAGCCCTCGTACGCTGCGAGCGCCTGCAAAATTTCGCAGCGCTGTCCCACACAACTGCTATTTTTTTGGCCGGACTAATTGTGTCTGAGGCACCCAGTAAGATCGCTCGTGTCTCCTATAGACGTCTCTGGTTGGATTTCGAGTCGTTCGTTGCAAAACGTCCTCTTGCTAGTGTCTTACTGGCCGCTAGCTCGGCTGGTTTTTGGCACAAAAAACGCCTATTAGATTCAGCCAGTCAGCAGTGCGACGCGCGGTGACACTCCCACGTAGCTACTCCTTCGAGCAGTACATCAAAAACCGCGATCGAAGCGGTGCCCATAGCGCATAGACACGCTGCATACTGCTAGCCCAGCAGCACGCCGTCGCCGCGTCGCCGCGACAGCAAGCCGAGACTCGCCAGCAAGCAGAGGTAAGGCCAGCACAGCGACAGCAACGCGACGCGCAGCATGGCCTCGCAAACGAACTACGACCACGTACGAGCCGCCTACGACGCCGAGCAGCTCCACCACGGCGACGGCAAAGCAAGTCTAGATATTGAGAAAGCCATAAAAGCCTCCCAATTAGGAAGAGACCACCGCGACCAGCTGCGCAACGACCTGGCGTCATTGCGAGTAGGATTACGAGACACGTTGTTGTGGGATTATCCGCAAGAGAACGGCGCCGCGGCCTGTGAAAGAGTAGCACACGAGCTCGGCGCGACCTGCGTCATTGTCGCGGGCGCGCCCTTCCTCTTCACCGAACCGAGTACAATAGCGAGGAACCGGCGGCCGCGCTTCGCGGTTTTAGATGATCCGAGGGGCCCGCGCTGGGCGCGGCCCGAGGAGGACTACCACGCCAAGTTGCATCACGCGGCCACCATCGTGCAGACGGCGGCGACCACGAATGCGACGGACGCGCCGGTGGAGAACGCTTTGACCGGACTGGCGCCGCCCGCTTTATGGGGCTGGCTGCTCGACTACCCCTGCGTCTACTGCTTCTCCGAGGAGCAGGGCGACCGGGCCCAGAACAATTTGGACAACAGTGTCCTTTTTGAGCTCTGCGCGGCGTCGCTCGAGGTCCGCGGGCCAAAATGCGGCGTGCCTCTACGCTTGTGCGACGACGCGTTCAACCAGGTGCTGGCGGACCACATCAATGACTTGGCCGGACGAAGACCGCAGCTCTTCGGGGAGGTCGCGTGGTTCCGGTCCGAGCCGCCGCCGAATTCCGTCGTGGCGCTCTGAGTGTTGTTTTGTTCCTCGCGGCGACGGCGTGGGGGTGGAACCCTTCGCGAAGCCTAATTTTGTAGTAGACTAGTTTTACAACAGGGATGGTGCGCGCCGCCGCGCGCCGCGGGGAAGTGCTATACAGCTCACACGAACGGGTGGAAGAGCCCGTAGCTCAGCGACACGACGGGCTCCGGGATACCGCTGCTCGTCGCCGCGAATTCCTGGAGGACGTAGGCCACGATCGCCAGCATGGCCACGCGGCCGTTCGCCAGCTCGGCGTCGGCCACCGCGGCCTCGGAGCCGCCCAGCGCCGCCGCGAGCGCCTTCTGGCCCGCGCGCAAGCCGAGGTCTCCCGGCGCCTTGCCGTCATTCGCGGCCTGGAGGCCGGCGAGCTCCGCCGCGACCGCGACCGCGAGCGCCCCGGCCCAAAACACGACGGGCACATTTTGCAGTCCACCATTCAAAACTGACGGGTTCTCGCCGCCCTGGGCGAAGACCAGCGAGGGCGCGTGCCACTGCGCGGCCAGGTCCGGCTGGAAGAGTTCCCCGAGGGGCCAGCCCACCGCGGCCAGCATCGCGAGGCGAGCGTGCTTGAGTTCCGCGTCGCGGTACCGGATGAGACTTTCAGCATCGGAGGCCAAACCAAGCGGATCAAAACCGGCATCACCGGCCAGCCTAACTTCATCGAGCACCTCCGGGCGGTCGAGGAACGGCAGGGCCTGGGACGCAGCCGGGCGGAGGTCGGCCGACGCGTAGGACACGACCACAGATGGGGAGCCGCCGTCGCGGATCGGCGTGCGGAGATCAGGGGATGAATAGTCGATGGTGCAGGCACCATCATTCCCTTTGATGGTATCGGGGAAGCCCAGGGCACCCTTCAACACAGACATGTAGTTCTGCTGGCCGGGGCGCGCCGCCGTGTTCGATAGAACTCGAGCTTCATCTTTGAAACCAAACACGTCAGCATTCAAGAATGCGGCCTTCTCGAACGCGCCGCGGAACGAATTCTGGCCTTCGCGCTTCGCAGTCAGCAACGCGTCCTCCTCGTTGATGCCGAAGAGGTCCGGTTTCGCGGCGAGCGCCGACTTGAGCGGGCGCAGCTTGGGGAACGGCTTCTTCCCGGAACCCGTGAGGGCGCTGGCGGACGCCAGGATGAGTGCTGCGTGTGCTTTGTTGACATGCATTGTGACTGACAACGTTTTGTGCTGCTAGCTGAGTGTGTTTTTGCGCGGCTGGCGTTTTACGAGAGCTTTTCGCGCTCGTAAGGATGCTCGATAGCGTAAAGAAGGTACTGAGAGTGCGACGGGTGTGCGAGGCGTCGTCTGCTTGCGTAACTTGCGTGTTTCTGCAATTCTGACAGGAGAACGGGCTGGCAGTCAAGTTGGCTGAATCAGCAGCTTAGCACCTTTAACGCTAGCTGCGAGCGCCTGCTTGTGACGAGAACCTCCTCAACGCCGTCGACGCGACCGCAAAACATAACCTACCCAGTCTTAATCCCGCCCCCGAACTTGCAGCACGCTTCTTTGGCAGGACGCCGCTCGGGCGGCGACGACACCCAGTCATGGTGCTCCGCGCGCAACCCCGCACACGACGAGCGATGCGCCGACTTCCAGGGCATGTCCGTGCAGGTAGCTGGATCATAGTCCACAAAGGCAGGCGGCCGATCAAATAATTCCCGCTCGCCCGGCACGAAATTGTCTCTGACGAACGCACTGTCCAACCAGCGACCCATCTCCGACGCCCAGCGGTCCCACTGGTGCACTACGGGTGACATGGTGCCATCTTCATTGGTAATAAAACCTTTGACGGGGTCCCGGATCTTCCATTTTGTATCTAACGGCCCAAGCTCGGCCATCGGAACGTCCCCGCCGTTCAAGGCTCCTATGGTATGTACCACACCGTGGCCTCGCTTGTTCGACACGACTCTCAACCCGTTCTGCTCGTGCCGCCCGGACAGGATCAAAAAGTTGTGGTAGCCCTGGTCGGACGGGATGCCCTTCCGGTGGCACATGAACTCATCAGAAGCAGCAAGCATGGCGTCCACATAGGTCAGCATGGCGTCCCTGCTTCCCATCGTGCTTCCGGAGCACCGCACCGGCGCCGACGGGTCGCTCGGCTGGTTCGGAAAACACCCTTTGAGCCAGCCCCGGTTCCACCGACAGGAACCGACCGTCTTGTGGCCGTTCTCCTCGTAGACGTAGAGGTCCTTGGCGTGGTCCGGGTCTCTTCTTCTCCTCTTAAGGTCGGGCCAGGCGAACCTGCGGGGACGCGATGTGTGGTCGCCGCGGCGGGTGCATGAGCGTCTCTGCGATGGCGTGGCGCCGCGGCGATGGTCGCGGCGACGGCGTGGAGAGCGAGGCGCGTCGCCGCGGCAGCAACGCCACCGCCGCGAGCCTCCACGCCATCGAGCCGACGCGGCCACGGGGACAACGTCGCGTCGATGGCGTGGAATCCACGCCATCGAGCAGACGAGACCACGGGGACAACGTCGCGTCGATGGCGACGGTGGAATCGCCACGCCATGCGCAGACACAGCTACGGGGACAACGTCGCGTCGATGGCGTGGGAAGGCCAAAAAAGGGGACACTGCAACAAAACGGGTCCCGCTGGAAGAACGTATCTCTGGTATCCAACACCAACGCATAACTTGTTGAAGAGTACTGGCGCAGCCACGTCTCGTACATCTCGTATCTAGCTAGAGCGAGCGGCCGCGGACCCCGCGAATCGCCCTCGACGTACCAATCATCGAGCACGCACCCACCGGGCGTCGCTAATAATCTTCGACGGCTCATGCCCTTCTGGGAGCAACTGTATTCGAAAGGGTATGACAGTACTCGTTGGTTTCGGAGGTACTCCTCGACTTTTCGTTTGAGCTTTTTTCTAGGACCGACGGCCATGACGATGTCGCCCCGGAACCCCGTCTTCCTCAGACTCCCCACAAAGTACTGGAACTGGGCCACAGAAGGATAAAAACCAAGGCCCATGACCGCGTCACTCCCCGGGTCGTGCCGAAAGCCCCACAGCGGTTTCGCTGCTACTGCTTTGCGTTTTTCCTCGTTCGGCACCATCAGGTTCTTCTTCCGCGCTCCGGTCAGTAGTGCTACTTCCGGGAACGGCTCCTTGAAGGCGCAACACGTGTCTTGGAGCTCTTCTTTTTTTATGTTTGAGCCGCACTTCTTTGACAACGTCCTCAACCACATGTCTTCACTACACAGTTCTTCTTCCGGTTTTAAGGATGCGACATATCTGTTCACGGCCTCCGAGACGCGTAGAGGCGGACCATCGTATGCAGCTAACGTCCGCGGCCTCGAGGGATCCCCCACCGGGTCGGGCCACGGCGGTTCTGATTGATAGGCATAATAAAAAATGATGAACCCGAGCGGTAAAAGCCAGACCCAGCTCCGCTCCGGCGAGCACCAGTCTAACTTATTTTCGTCGTCGTCATCGTCCGGGAGTTGGGGTATTGTACGTTCTCTATCTTCGTCGACGTGGCGCGGCGGCCTGCGCATTTTTTACTTTTGCCGTCGTCTCGCGTGTCGTGCGCGTCACGTCGGCGTTTGCGCGTCGACAGTGCTGCAGCAAAAGTCGCTTATGCTGCTTAGCTCTCCACAGCGATGCGTTCGCGCCACGAAGAGTTTGCGGCGACAAATGTGGCAACTACGCAAGCCCGAGAGACCCCTACTTGCCAGCTTTGCTGGCCGGACAACCGCGAGTGGCTTTTGCTCATCAGCTGATGGCAAAAGCGCAGCGCTCGAAGCCTTTCACTACGGGTCCAGATGGGTACGTACGGCCAGCGAGGCGCTGGAAAAGCGTCTGTCGAGCTTTCTGTTCGTGCGAGCTAGTGCAACGACACACTAGGGACCTTGGCCGCCGCGGACATTTTTGTACAAGAGGACTTCCCCCCGCGCGTCCGCGCTGGGCTGCCAAGCCTCACCAGAACACTGCTGAACTGCGCTGAAGCGCTGGCAGCTTCTTGCCGGCACGAATTGGGCCGAGCGCCGAGAAGTAGCAGAGGAACGCTTTCGATCACATTGCGCGGCGCGCGCGCGTAGCGCAACCAAACCATGACGACCTCCGTCGCCGAGGCCGGCCAGCGTTTACTGCAGGACGACCAGCCCTTCGACGTCGCCGTGTTAGATGGTATTGTGGCGGCGGCCTACGAACCGAGGCACCCGGAACGGGCCACGGCCAACGAGATCCTCATGAAGCTCCGGGAGAAGCCGGGCTGCTGGCAGGCCGCCGACCAGATCATCGAGAAGTCGAGTTTGCCCCAGGGCCGGTACTTTGGCCTCATGGCCCTCGACGACGCCATTAACACGCGGTGGAAGATCCTGCCGGAAGGGCAGCGCACGGGCATCAAGAACTTCATCGTCAACAAGATTATTTCCCTGTCGAAGGATGAAGAATCCAGCATGAGAGAACGGACGATGATCCACCAGATGAATAAGGTACTCGTCTCGATACTAAAGCAGGAGTGGCCGCACAACTGGCCGTCGTTCATCGGGGATATTTGTGGGGCGTCGAAGAATTCCGAGATTCTATGCGAGAACAACATGCACATTTTGCGGTTATTGTCGGAAGAAGTTTTTGACTTCTCGAAGGACTCGATGACGACTGTACTGAACAGCGTCTCATTCTATACGCGTCGCGTCGATGGCGTCGACGCGGCCGTCGGAGAGTCTACGCGTCTCGCGAGAGCGGTGGCGCTGTCGCCGCGACGGCGTCGACGCGACGCCGCGCCGCCTCGATCGATGACGCGTCTCGCGAGAGGGCGCGGTTCGCAACCGTAACCAACGCAGGCCAAGATCCGCACCCTGAAAGAATCTCTCAACACCGAGTTCGCGGAGATCTTCAAGCTCTGTATCTTCGTGCTAGGAGCATCGAGTAGACCTCAATTAATCAGTGCAACATTAAGAACGCTCAAGGCCTTCCTGTCCTGGATTCCTTTAGGATATCTCTTCGAGACGGACTTAATACGCACGCTCATCGAGCGCTTCTTCGCCGCAGCACAGTTCAGAAATGCTGCATTGGAATGCCTCACGGAAATTGCGTCGCTGGCCGACCTCGAGCCGAAGTACGATCCCAAAATAATCCAGTTGTACGTGGGCGTGTTGCAGGCGCTCGGGCAGGTCGTGCCGCCCAATGCATCTTTGGCTTCCGCTTTTGAGGCCACTGGAAGGGAAGCCGACCAGACCTTCGTCCGGCGATTAGCTTTATTTTTCTCGGGCTTCTTCAAGGCCCACCTGCGGTTGGTCGAGACGCGGGAGCAGGGTCCGTTGTTGTTAGATGGTTTGAACTACTTAGTGAGGATTAGCGCAGTTCCCGACAACGAGGTCTTCCAGATCTGTCTGGACTTCTGGCACGCCTTCGCCCAGGACCTCTACGCGACCGAAACAGGAAGATCCGCTCCGAGACCAGGCGGCTACGGCAACGACGACACCTTCGAGCCGCCCGTTACGTCAGAGGGCCCCGGCGGCGTGGCCTCGAGATTCGGCGGCCGGGCCCCGGAGGGCTGGCCGCCGGCCGACCCCCGCAAGCAGCTCTTCCAGCACGGCGGCTTGCTCAGTCAAGCGCGACTCGTCATGATCTCACGCATGGCAAAACCGGAAGAGGTACTGGTCGTCGAGGATGAAAATGGCGAAATCGTGCGGGAGACGTTCAAGGACACGGAGGCCATCGTCCAGCACAAGACCATGCGGGAAACGTTAGTTTATCTCACACACTTGAACTACGACGACACGGAGTCGATCATGCTCGACAAGCTCGCGCTACAGGTCGACGGCACGGAGTGGTCCTGGGCGAATTTGAACACCCTCTGCTGGGCCGTTGGGTCCATCTCGGGAGCCATGTCCGAGGACGAGGAGAAGCGCTTCTTAGTTACCGTGATTAAGGACCTGCTGGGGCTCTGTGAGGTCAAGCGCGGCAAGGGGAACAAGGCTTGTATCGCTTCCAATATAATGTACGTGGTAGGGCAGTATCCCCGTTTTTTACGTGCTCATTGGAAGTTCCTGAAGACCGTGGTCAACAAGTTATTTGAGTTCATGCACGAGCTGCACCCGGGCGTCCAGGACATGGCCTGCGACACGTTCCTCAAGATCGCCCAGAAGTGCAAGCGGAAATTTGTCACCCAACAACCGGCGGAGCCGCGGCCCTTCGTCCAGGATCTGGTCGCGCAGCTCCCGCAGATCATTTCGGACCTGGAGCCGCATCAAGTGCACGCGTTCTACGAGGCGACGGCGACGTTACTCAGTGATCGGGGCGGCCATCCGTCGGTCGGGCAGCAGCGGCCCGAGTTGTTGCGACGCTTGATGACGCTGCCCAACGACGCCTGGGCTCGGGTCACGGCGGACGCGGCGCGCGACCCTTCGACACTCACAAGACCGGAGACCGTGAGAGATGTCACAAAAATCGTGCGGACGCACGCGCGCGTCTGCGCGTCGTGCGGTCCTTTGTATGTCACGCAGCTGGGGGGCATCTACATGGACCTGCTGAACGTTTGAAGCGGCGTCTCTTCTTTTCACCATGACGCCGTCGACGCGGCCCGACGCAGGTCTACCGCGCCTACTCCCGGTCCATTAGTGAAGCGATCGCGGCGCACGGCGACCTGGCCACGAGACATCAGGACGTGCGGAGCATGCGCGCGGCGAAGCGCGAGATCCTCCGATTATTATCGACCTTCGTCGAGAAGTGCGGCGAGCCGGAGGCGCCGCCCCGATTGGTGGCGGAGTCCTTCGTGCCCCCACTCCTCGAACCGGTTTTGGAGGACTACGCGCAGGCCGTGCCCGCGGCTCGAGATTCCGACGCTTTGCTGCTGCTGGCCACCACGATTGATAAACTGCGAGAGCTCGTGAGCGAGCAGGTGCCGCGCGTATTGGAAGCCGTCTTCGAGCCGACGCTTCGCATGATTACTACTAATTTCGAGGACTTCCCGGAGCACCGCCTGGCCTTCTTCAAGCTGCTCAAGGCTACTAATACCCATTGTTTTGCGGCCTTGTTTGCGATCCCGCCCGAGCATCATAAATTGGTGGTGGATTCGGTAGTCTGGGCGTTCAAGCACACGGAAAGGACGGTCGCGGAGACGGGCCTGGAGATCCTGCACGAGTTGTTACTGAATGTGTCGCAAGTGCCCGACGCGGCGAAACAGCCCTTCTACCGGGCCTTTGTGTTACCTTTGATACAGGATGTCCTCGCGGTGATGACCGACCGATTACATAAAAGTGGATTCAAGATGCACGCGACGTTGCTGCGCCATTTATTTCACCTGGTCGAGGCGGGGCACGTGACCGTGCCGTTGTTTGATGGTGGTAACTACCCGACGAACCAAGCGTTCATGAGGGAACACGTGGCGAATTTGCTCAAATCATCATTCCCCAACCTCACGCACCAGCAGGTCGTCGACTTCGTGCGTCGGCCGCGTCCTCGAAACGCGCGCGACGGGCGCATGGTCATTTCAATCCCGCGCAGGTCGTCGGCTGCTTCGACCTGAGGATGGACCTGCCGTCCTTCAAAACTCATTTGAGAGACTTCCTCGTCCAGCTCAAGGAGTTCTCGGCCGAGAACAACCAGGACCTCTACAGCGAAGAGCAGCAGCAGCAGCAGCAGATGGCCGCCGCCGCGGCCGAAGCGCAGCGGCTGGCGGTCCCGGGCCTGGTGAACCCCAACGACCGGCCCATGGACGACGACGAGGACCTCTAGGCGGGGGGGCGCGATAAGATGACACACACACGAATAGTCATCGACTATCTATCGGGTCTATCGGGTCAGTCAGGGGGTATTTACTCACGAATAGGGGGCGTGGAGCGGGGAATATACAGAAGCTTGGCGCGGACGTCGGGCAGCGTGACGATGAGAGCCTCAGGCGAGCTTCACCATGTCCGCGTCGAGCTGGTCGTAGTCGACGCGGTAGAGGCCGTCCATGCCCGTGATCACAGCCGATGGTTTGTCCTCGGTCATCGTGCCATTCGTGCCATTCGTGGCGACGTAGGTCGCGCCCGAGTCGTCCTGGTCGTAGCCCAAATCAGACAAGGTGCCGACACCGCCCATGCCCTGGAGGAAGAAGAGGCCGTAGCGCACGCCCGCCGTGTGACGCGTGACCCCGTGGACGACGGCGCTCGTGTGCACAGTGGCCGTGCCGGCCGGGCGCGGCGGCACGCGGAGGCCGTCGCGCGTCGCAAACACGAGGCGGCCGCCCTCGTACTGTTCGTCGTCTACGAGTGCAATGAGAATGGTGCGCAAATGATCATCCTTGTGGAAGTTGATAATCTGGCCGCCGGGCTCGCAGCGCCGGATGATGATCGTGTCGAAGTGCCCGCCGCAGAAGGCGACGAGGCGGTCGGCCGCCGCGGTCCCGACGATGTACTCCAACTCCTTGAGCGTGATGTTCAGCTTGAGGTCGGCCTCGCCCGCAAGCGTGCCCCGTGCATGCTCTGCATCTAAGCTCGCACGCAGCGCGGCACACTCGGAGTCATTGAGTAGCCCGGCGTGGACACTGAAGGCATCCGACGTCCCGTTGAGCGCCTCCACGACCTCGCGGCTCTCGGCCGGCGTCGCCTGGCCCTTGTCTAGAAGACGCGCGCCCGGCGTGCCCGCCCACTCGCCGAACGAGCCGACCATTTTTTCGTCGAATTTGGGCACGCCAATTTGACTTTTTATCATGTCGAGAAAACGCGAAGTGCCGGAACCGCCCGATTGCTTGGCCTGGTCCACGAGGTACTTCCTGATGGCGCCGACGCGGCTCTGGAGGTCCTGAACCTGATCCTTGAGCGTCATGCTTGTCACGGGCGCGGATTCATTAGAGCTTCCGGTCTGAAGGTACTGCTCCATGGCCACGACGCGATTCTGGAGGTCTGCAATGGCCTCGGCGACGGTGGGCTTGCCGTCCTGCTGCGCGTCGCGGGCGGAGCGATCTGCGTCTTCAATTTGTTTCAACGTGGTGCAAACGTCCCTTCCAAGCAAACTGCACGAACCGCCCTTCGAATCGCTTGCGGCCTGGATGTAGTTTTCGAGGGCGGCGACGCGGGTTGTGAGCTGCTGAATCTTGTCTTTGAGCGGAGCACTGCCTTTCAGGGGCGCGGGCCATTGTTCCAGTTGAGAAATGGCGGACGCCTGACGCGTATCGGGGGCCATGATGACGGCACAGGCAATCAATCCCAGGGCCACCTTGCCAGCCAGGGATAAGCGGGACTTGAGGGGCGACGGCGTGCCGCTTTGAATCTCAGCCGTGCCGTAGGTGCGCGCGATCATCTTGGTTTGAGAGTCGGACGGCGTTATGCAGGTGTGACGTTTTTTGCTCTGTTAATCTTCAACACTAGTGTCTTACATGCCGCTAGCTCGCTGCGATGCGCGCGCAAGCCGCCAACTTGTTTTTTTGCAAGACAAACCATGTCGGGGATCAATTATTAGAGTATGCGTCGAATGCTAGCACTTTTGCTGCTGTGCAACGCCCACGCATTGCGCACTCCACACCCTCTCCTCAGCAGTGCTGCTGCACACACCTATCGAGCAGATGCCGGGCGGGAATTCGCACGCATCGCGCCCCACATCAAGACGTCATTGCTGGAGAACTCAAACAAGACGCAGGATCTGGCGGCCGGCAAGGCGTTACTCAAAAAAATGGACCGTGCAGCACAGACGCCAGCTGACCTGACCGCTGTCGCGCGCCGAGGCTACATTCGCACAGTATATGACGATAGAGCGTTCCAGGTAGCGGAGATGTTCGGAGCCGCGCACCGCGCTGGCGTCAAGCTGGCACGAGGCGCCCGCGTCGCGTCCCTCGGAGGAGGCCCCGGGTGTTGCGTGCTCGGCTACCGCGTGTTCGAGCGCATCGCGTTCGGGAGTGCGACTTCACGGCTGTGGGTCTACGACTACGCCGATGCCTGGCGCGACGACGTCGCGGCGCTCGCCCGAGCGCTGGACGAGCCCATTCCGTTCGGCGCGTGCGACCTGGCGCGGGGACTGCACGCGCCGGAAAATGACGAAGTGCGAGCCCTCGCGCCAACACTTGACGTCGTGCTCCTGTCGCGGACGCTCTCGGAGGTGCCCGATCGTGGGTGGACGCCGTTCCTGCGGGAGCTCTGGGCGACGCTGAAGAGCGGCGCGGTCGTCTTCGTGAAGGACGAGCAGGACGTCGAAGCCGAGGCGGTGGATCTGCTCGGCGGCGACGCGTGGTCGGTGCCGGGCGTGCGAGGGGTGTTCCTCCGTCACGGCGAGTAAGTGATGTGTTGTAGTGAACAGGCCTCGTTAGGCGGTGGGGGAGAGCGACGGGATAATTAGCGAGCGGATGACTCAGGGCTTCGGCGCGACGGCCGCGATGCCCGAGATGAACTCCGCCTTGAGCGACGCGCCGCCGATGAGGCCCCCATCAATGTCCGGCTTCGAGAGGAGGCCCGCCGCGTTGGCCCCCTTCATGGAGCCGCCGTACTGGATGCGCGTCGCCTTGGCGATGGCCGGCGACACGTTGGTAGAGAGCCAGGCCCGGATCGACGCGTGCACCTCCTGCGCCTGCTCCGGGGTAGCCGTCTTGCCCGTGCCGATGGCCCAGACGGGCTCGTAGGCGATGGCGATGCGCGCCCACTCGGCCTCCGAGAACTTGCCCTTGAGCGCAGCCTGCGTGGAACGGACGCCATCGACGCGACCACATTACGTTCAAGTTCATTTTTGGCTCCGGGGCACTGACCATGTGGTCGTCGAGGACGACGGCGTCGATGCGGCCCGCCTCCCGCTCCTCGAGCGTCTCGCCGACGCAGACCATCACGCTCAGGCCCGCGTCCAGCGCCTGCTTCGTCTTCGTCGCGACGAGCGCCGACGACTCGCCCTGGTTCGTGCGGCGCTCCGAGTGGCCGAGGATGACCCACTTGACGCCGTAGTCCGCGAGCATCGCCGCCGAGAGCTCGCCCGTGTAGGCCCCCATGCCGGTCGCGGAGCAGTCCTGCGCCGCGATGGCGATGTCCTTGCGCAGCGTGCCCATGACGGACCGGATGTGGATCGACGGCACGCCGACGACGACCTCGCACCAGGCGGGAATGTCGCCCGCGCCGTTCAGGGTGGCGACGAGCGCCGCGGTCGACTCCTTCGTGCCGTTACATTTCCAGTTGCCACCGATGAGGTACTGCTTGCCGGGGTAGGGGGCCTGCGGCGCGCCGGGCGGACCCATGAACGCGGTCCTGGCTTGGCTCTGTGCAGATGGGTTGGGGCGTTGTCACCGGCGGTGGGGAGCGGGGGCGCTCTCGTCCTCTCGTTGCGTTACTCTCGATCGCCGCGGCAGCGTTATTGTGTCGCGCGTCTCTCAGCTCAAAAGAACGACACAACTCGTTCCGTGCCTCGCGTAGTCCCCGTTTTAGAAAACGGCCACAGCCTCCAGCGAGGACGTCCTGGAGCAGCGTTAAGCGCCGCGAATGCGAGAGCGCTGCGGCCCGACGATGAGACGCCCCTGGTGAAAACGCTGGGGGCTTACGAGTAGCGAAGCCATTGTTATACGGCTGGATGCGCGACAGGCTGTGAGAGGCCTATGACGAGGTGGCTAGTGTGTTACATTACGCTATCAATTACGCTCTAATTACGCTAGTGGTCGTTTACGCGTCGGCCCCCTGATCTCATTTGCCGCCACGGATGCTCGTCGCCTCCATCTGGAACAGGTACTTCAGGCGCAGGTCCGCGCTGTCGCCGTCGCCCTCCGCCGGGTACACCGGCGGCCTGCCGTTCAGGTTCCAGATCGACGCCGTGAGCACGCACGCCACCGAGATCCACGCGAGCGACGGCGCGAGCACGTACGCGGCCTTGGGCGCCGCCGACGCCCCGAAGGCCTTCACGGCCCGGAACACAGACCCCCACACTGCAAAGCAGCCCACAGCACTCACGCCCAGCCTGCGTTCCACGTTCGTGATGCAGTTCCAGGTGTCGCCGATGCAGAGGTGCAACACGAGCGCGTCCAGCGCCGGGTTTCTTAGAGACCCGGCGTACGCCATCTGTGCAGCCGTAGCTCTAAGAGCCGTGATCGTGAGCCAGATGAACGGGAAGGCGATGCCCGGCGGCGTCCAGGACGGCCGCTTGACGTCCACCGGCGTCGCCTTGCCTTTTTGAGCTTCACGATTAGGCCGCGAGTTGTCGAGCAGCGAAACGACCCTCGATCGCAGCGAGAGGAACGCGAACAGCAGCCACACCGCGGGCTTGGGCAGCGTGGCCACTTTGTCCACGCCCGAGAGGGCGAGCATCAGTAGTTTGTACTGCACGGCCGTCGCGCCGACGTACTTGATCGTTTCTTTGGCGGCGTAGACGGGCGAGAACGACGTCGACCCCGAGGTCGCCACGGCTTTGCTATCTCCGGCGGCGGCCGGCGCGGCGCCGCCGAGGCGGACGCCGAAGTCGTAGTAGCTCACGACGCCTTCCGTGTCGCAGCGCGTGCGCCAATCGGCATTCGTCGCCGCCGAAAGGACGGTCTGCTTAGGCGTCGTGCGCTGGGCCAGCGGTCGGCGGAGCGGCGCCCACGCCGTCGCCGTGGCAGCGAGAGCTAGGACGAGGCGAGCCAGAGCCATGCTTGGAATCTCAGCCTTGGAATAGTGGTAGGATTGGTGAGCGAGTGGTAGAATTGGACGCGACGCCTAGAATTGGGTGCTTGGATCCAGAGTGGATATCGCTGCCAATCGCTGGAGGACCGTGCGTAAACGCTTTGAGGTTCGCGGACCAGTTATGTCGCAGCGAGCAGCAACTCGAGTGGCGTGCGCAACTCTACTGGTGTCCAGCTAAGCGAGCACGCGCTTTTGGTGCCCAAAATTGGGCCAATCCTAGAGCTTTTGTACGCTAGCTCGGTGCCGCGGCGAACGACGACGCGGACGTGCTTATAGGGTTGCGCGTAGGGTTGCGCGGGCCTGCACGAGCAGCGCATAGCTCCGCAGCGGTCGCCACACCAACGCCAGCGAACGCTGACGACCCCTAAGCGAGTGCAGCAGGCTGAACGCACCGCACTGCAAACAGCGGCACAGCGGCGCGGACGCAGCGAACGGCAGCTACGTGGTGACTACCTCCACCTATAACCATTTTGCAACAGCGCCAACAGCACAAAAAGCGCTGCAATTACCCAGCGCCTCAAAACAGCCGACCAAGACGAGAGCAGCGCACTGACGACCCCTTTATTCCTCGTTTCCGAAGCAAGCACGCGCCGCAACGCGCGGAGCTCCGCTCATGAGACGAACTATTCATGATAACTAATCTTCTCTCCGAGCGCTGACACAAACGCACAAATCGCACGCCGCGGCGGCGCACGCGCTCGAATCAAAGCCCGCGCAGGATGGCCGTCGTCGCTCGCGACGTCGACTTCAGCTACCGCGTCGACGTCTCGCGGGGCGTGACGCTCGCCGAGCCGATACCGGCGCTCAAGGGCATCACGCTCAGCATCCCGCGCGGCGGGCGCTGCGCCGTGCTCGGGGCCAACGGCGCGGGCAAGTCGACGCTCCTGCGGCTCCTGGCCGGCCGCCACACGCCGGACAACGGCGTCGCGTCCATCCTGGACGAGCCGTGCCGCAGCCCGAAGCTCAACGGCCGCGTCGCCTACGTCCCGGCCGCGTGCTCCGGCGTCCGATTCTGTTCCTGTCGTCTGCGCGATGGCGTGGAGGTGGACGCGTCGATGGCGTACCGTCGCGACGCCGTCGGATAGAGAGAGAAACGCGGTCGCGCGTCGAGAGAAAAGTCACACACAGGAGAGCTGGGGCAGCGGCCTCGCCTCGCTGAGCGTCGCGAGCATCATCAAGGGCGCGCGCGACCGGTCGACAACGGAGGGCGGCGCCGACGCGACGCTCGACGCGCTCGAGGCGGCGACGGGCGTCGGGAAGCTCCGGCACCGCGACACGTCCGCGCTGTCGGACGGCCAGCGCCGCGCCGTGCAGCTGTTCGTGGCCCTCGCGCCGCCGAAGCTCGAGGTCATCTTGTTGGATGAGGCCTGCGCCGACCTCGACGCGCTGGTGAGGGACCGCGTCTTGACGTACGTCCGGGCCACGGAAGCGACGGTCCTCTACGCGACGCACGTCTTCGACGGACTGGACGACTGGCCGACGCACATCTGCGACGTGCGAGGCGGCCGCGTCGAGGCCTGCGAGGTCTGGCAGTCAAAGGGCCCGGGGTCCCTCTTCGCGACGGCGAAGGCGCGCCTCGAGGCCTCGGAGCCTGCTGATATGAAAGAGGCCGCGGCGCGCGCCCTGGAAGAAGAGACACAGTCAACTCTGTCGGGCGACGCGGTCGTCTTTGAGGGCGTCACGTACCGCTACGACCCGCGCGCGCGGCCGGCCCTCGACGGTTGCTCGTTCACCATAAAAGCGGGCCGCCGCGTTGTCGTTGTTGGCGAGAACGGCGCGGGCAAGTCTACGATGCTCGCTTTAGCTGCCGGCGCGCGCCTTGGTATGGATCAATCCATCTCCATACACGGCGCGCACCCCTCGCAACAAAACCTCCGCGCGCCAACATCAACGCCGCGCGTCGCCTACCTCGGCCCGGCGTTTAAACAACAGCTGGAGACCTGCGCGGCGATCTCAAAAGCGACGCCCTTCGGCGAGACGCTCGCGGCGTACAAGGACGACGCGTTTCAAACGCGCGCAAAGCGCCTCATGGCCTTGTTGCATGTGGAGGAGAGTTGGAGAACGGGCCTCTGCTCGTCGGGCCAGAAGACGCGCTTGCAATTGGTGCTCCAGCTCGCGCCGCGCGCCGACGTGCGCGTCCTCGACGAGCTCACGCGCGACCTCGACGCGCTCGCGCGGCATAGGGTGCTCGAATTTTTGAAGCGCGACGCGGCGACGTGCCTCTACGCGACGCACGTCTTCCAGGGATTAGATGGGTGGGCGACGGATGTTTTGAGGGTGCGCCGCGGCGCGTGTTCGGTCGAGGAAGCTTCATCAGTGGACGTCGCGGGGGTTTTGTTGAGCGGGCTGCGGAATGATGCGGATCTCCCGCCGCCGCCGCCGCCCGTTCAACCGCCACCAAAACAAGGATCAACAAACCTCCCGGCGGGCTGGGCGTCCAGACGAGCGAATACATTAGAGGGTGGCTTCGGCGCGCACGGCTGGACGACGGCGTCGGCGGTCGGCGCCGAGCATGTGAGCGAGGTTTCCACGGCGCACCGGGCCTTCGCGGACCTTTACGAGAGCGGCGGGAAACGTTAGTTAGGTATACATTGTTTACTCATTCACAAGTCAGGCCTTCAGGTGCACGCCGTTGTCCACCGGGAGCGAGACGCCCGTCACGGCGCGGCCCGCCGGCGAGCAGAGGAAGGCGACGCCGTCGCCCACGACCTTCGCGGGCGTCGGACCCATCGGGGCGAGGCGGCTCGCGACGCCCTCGGCCATCTCCTTGCCGCTCATGCCGCGCGTGGCGCCGAGCGCCTCCCAGGCGCCCTCCGGCGTCACTCCCGGGATCACGACGTTGGCGTTGACCTTCTTCGCCGCCGCGCGCACGGCAAACAACCGCATGGAGTACTCCATGACGCACTTGCCGCTGCCGGGCATGTCGTACCCTAGATTCGGGTTGAATTGCAGCGTGCAGCCCGGGCTCGAGATACCAACTAACGAACCACCGTCTTCGGGGAACCGCGCCAGGCCGCGCTCGCACAGGTCCACGAAGGCGTCGCCGTACATCTTCTGGTAGTAATGCATCTGCGTAAAATCCACGCCGCCGTCCGCACCCAGCAGGCTCCCGTCGCCGAAGCCCGGCGGCGGCCCCGTCGCCTTTATGCCGGCCGCGTTCGTGGAACTCACGCCCACGTACTGGCCCGCGTTGTGCACGACGGCGCCCAGGCAGTGCGTCTTGGCGTACGCGCTGTCGAACTTGTCAAAAATGGCCTTGCGCGTCTCCGGGAGCGAGACGTCGCCGCCGACCGTCTCGATGGCGCAGATCGGGAACTGGTTCTTGAGCTCGAGGACGGCCTTTTCAGCAGCGGCACTGTCAGAATTGTAGGTCAGGAGCAAATCAAAGTCGTTCTCGGCCAGCGCCTGCGAGATGCCGAGGCCGACGCCGCGCGTGCCGCCGGTCACGATGGCGACGCGGCGCAGGGCTGTTGTGCTTGCGAGGAGCAGCGCGAGCGGTGTTTTCCTGGTGATGGTCATGGTTTCGAAGCGCAAGAACAAGTGGTTTCGAAGCGCAGAACAAGTGTCAGTGGTGTCACCACGAGAACTGCGGCTGTAGCGAATCAATTTCGGTCGAGGTTGCGGCAGTGGCGAGCTGTGTACACGTGCTTCGCGTGAGCTGCTTCCTGCAATCGCTTCGACTCTGTGTGTGGAGCGGTGCGCGTGCAAACTTTTTTTTGTGTTGAGCACAACCCGCACGCAAGCACGAACTTGAAGTGCGCATATGGGTCTCCAGAACGATAGCTTGGACGCTATACCCCCTCCGAGTAAAGCTTCCATACGATTAAAACACATTATACCCCCACCTCAAAAAACACGGGACGCGGACGCTAGAACAGGAACTCCAGCGTGTCCATGTCCTGCAGTAAAGGCACGCCCCAGTAGAAGTCGCCGCGCTTCGCATCCCTCATCAATTCGTAAAACGACTCGAAGGACATCGTGCTGTTGATGACGGCCGCGAACGTGTGCCCCGAGTACAGCTCCGTGGACCGCGCTTGATCCGAAGCGACCAGCCGATAGAATTGTTGGACGGAGGACCCGTGCCGCTCCACGCACTCCTCCAATCGTCGCTCAAAAATGCTCCGGAATTCCCGATGCAACTCCGTGTGCTCCAACGAATACTCTCCGGTCGACGAACACTCGTCGTCAAACTCGTTCGCGTGGTCGAAGGCGAACTTCTGGAGCTCCGCTTCCAAGTCCTCGTCCTCGTAGTACCAGTCGAAGACGTGGCGCAGTAAAGCATCATCTTGTTCGTCCTGGTCTTTCGCTTCCGATTTGGCATCGCGGGTGCTGCCGCTCTTCGCGTCGTCGTCGTCGTCGTCGTACTTGCCCTCGCCCTTGCTCTCCATCCTCTCCACAGGGGGGCTGCCCCCTGTTGGGCTATCACTGGTGCGCGCGAGCGATGCGACTGCTTCCACCGCCGTGTCCAGCTCGCAGGGCTTCTAAGCGCGAGGTGCGTCGGTCGGACGCGGCGTTTGCGCCTTGGCAGCGCTCTGTGAAGGAGCTAGCGTGGCGACACACTCTAGCCTTGTGCAGCGCCTTGGATGCCTCCTTCTTGGCCCGGCGTGCTCAGGGAGAACGGCTCCGGGCAGCCTCCCCAAGCAAGACGAACAAAGCCAGGATGCCCTCCGTCGACATCGTCCTGCCCACATCGCCCGCGACCATCCCGGCGCCACCGGTCCACTGGTCGACGTCGCCCGAGCAGTCTGTGGCGACGCCGGCCGACGCGGTTCAAGAGGACGAAGACGGCCCGCCGCCCATTACATCAACCGAAGCGGTGGTGTTCAGGGGCATGCGCTTCCGGGGCCACGCCGTGCCCGTCGTGTCTGACGAGGACGTTGCTGCGTTCATGAACGACACGAGCGTTGCAATAGGCGTGAGTCCCTGCGCTTTTAGATTAGCGGACGGCGGCGAAGGTAGTGATGATAATGGAGACGTGGGCACGGGCCAGAAGCTCCTGGATCTGTTGAGAAGGTGGGACGTCGAGAACGTGGCTCTTTGCGTAACTCGAGACGACTCGCAGTCACTCGTGAGTAGTGATGTGTTGGGCGCGAAGCGCTTCAAGCTGAGTCTGGACTGCGCGAAGATCGTCCTAGAGGCCTGCTACGACGACGCGGCACCCGTGTTAAGAAGTAGAGAGGTCGACGGCGGCACTGGTCAATATTTCGACGTTGTGAACAGGTCGGGCATCCCGCCGTCTCGAGACAAGCCGAGGCGAGCAACGCCGTCGATATTCACGACGCCGCGGAAGACCTCAATCGTAAAGGATGAAAGGGAACCGCCTCCACAACTAGACATGACGCGGCGCAACGAGATCCGGGCGCTGCGCGAGCCCCACGGGGATGTCGAATTGGTTTTCAGATGCGCTTGTGCTCTTGTGGACGGCCCGCGCTGGCTCAAACCAAAAGCCGCGCCGAAGACGGGCGGCCCCGCGTCTGGATGGGTCGAGACCTGGGTCGACGTGCGGCTGGCCCTCGGCGAGCACGACGTCCAATCGAGGTTGGACGCCGTCGACGACGTTGATCACGAAGCGCAGGACGCTGTCCGAGACGCTCTTGTGAAAGCGGGCCTCGGGCCGCGCGCGACGGATCGGCTGAGGGCGCGCAACGAGGTGGCTTCGGAATTTTTACCTTGGCTCTGGGATAGGATAGCGGAAGACCCGCGGGGCACGTACCAAAGCCTCGCGGCGGCGACGTCTCCCGGTAGGCGCGGTTCCTCGGAGCTCCTTGTAGGCAGAACGTTGGCCGTGCCGCCGGACGCGCGGCAGTGGACGCGTGTCGGTGGCAGGACGCAGCTCGCGATGGATACCGTGGATCGGACGAGCGAGTTTCTCTGTTAACAACAATTACTTACCTCTCGTGGCGTAGCGCGCGGCCTTGACCCGCCGCAGCTCCGCGTTCCAGTCGAGGTGGCGCGCGCACGCGCAGGTCGTCCAGCCGGCGCCGGGCCGCATGAGCGTCGGCTCGAGGGCCGTCGCGGCGTCGATGAGCCTCTGCTCGAGCATGACTTCGATGAGGGTCTCGACGTGGCAGTCCGACAGATTGTCTTCGACGCAGATGAGGACGACGCGCTTCGTCTTCGAGACGGCGGCGACGCGCTTCAGGGCCGCGTGGGCGTCGGGGTCGTAGCGCACGCGCACCGTCTTCTTTTTGGTCCCGTCGAGGCAGGGGCGGCCGGCCGTGTTGCGGGGGTCGAACATCGCGCGCATGATCTCGCGCGAGTTCTTGAGGAACGGGTACTCGCGACCCGGATACGCCGACACCTCGCTCCCGCCGAGGTTGTGGCCGCCATTTTTCGTGATCGGCCCGCCGAGCCACTCGTACGCGACGCCGGCCCGCGCGTGGACAGCCTCGACCCGGCTGTCCTTCGGGCAGTTGCAGCTCCACTCGGGGTGGCCCCCGCACGGCCCTCCCTTTTTCTTCTGGCACTTGCTCTTCCAGGTCCCGCGGCGCATGTCGAAGGCGACCTCGGCCCGGATCCGCCCCAGGGTCTCCACGTAGTCGCGCTCCGACAGGGACCGCGCGCCCGTCTTGTCCGCGCCGCAGCCCTGGCGCATGCCGACGTGGTACAGGCCGCCGACGGTACCCGCGGCGAGCGCTGGAGCGTCGCCCTTCTCCGGAATTCTGGGCCAGAACGCGCGCGCCGTCGGCGACCCGTCCGTGTCCGGCGACCCGGGCCGCGCGGCCTCGTCGTCGCCGCTGTCCAGCGTCAGGTCGACGGGAGCATCATCCGTCCGCTGGCGCTTCGAGGCGGGCGCGTCGTCGTCCTGCTGCGTCGGTTGTTTGAGGGCGTTCTGCAGGTTCTGCCGCGCGCGAGCGGTGGGCTCGTCGTCCTGCGAGTCGTCCGAGTCCGAGATCGGGAGCGGCGCATCGGCTTTACCGGTCGCAGTGTCGCCTGGTTTTAGTCGTAACGGCTGCCACTGGGGCCTCGCTGCCTCGTCGTCCGAGCTGTCCGGGATCTCTAACGCGTTTGCAGCAGATGACATTTAAGCACTGCGGATAGTTTCGCGGCTTCCCGACCGTTGCAGGAGCTGAAAGTTGGCAGCGAGCACAAGGCAGCGATGAGAGCAGCAATGTGTAGATCCACGGCCACTCTTACACCAGAGTGAGGGCGCAATCGGCTGGCAAGAGCAAGCTTGCCTGCCTGCTAGTGTCTTACCAGCCGCTAGCAAGGATTTTGAACGCCCGCCGCCGATGAATCGGCGAAGCGCGGTGTCTCCCCCCCGGGGCTCCGCCCACTAGTCCTAGCACCGTAACATCGACTCTGATTTTGAACGGAAGACTTATCAACAACAAACAAAGAAGGAGAGAAGTCAAGAAGCTAACCACCGCTCCGTCGCCTCAGTTAACCACGCCGTCGCCTCGGCCATCGTCCCCGCCGCGCAGCGGTGCTCCCAGTGCGGCTCGGCGTGGGCGCAGGCGTGTAAACGCGGCGGCGCCTCGACGCCGAGCAGCTTTTCGAACGCTAAGATGGATCGGCGCATCCTCCTCGTAGGATCGTCGCAGTCCGTGCCCCACGGCTGGCCGCCGGGCCGCGGCGTCGGCAAAGGCGCGCTTGGTAGGTGCATTGGCGCGTCCGTGCGCGGCTCGTCGAGATCTTCAAATAACCAGTCGAAGGGCGCCGCCCAGGCGTCCCGGCGCGTGAGGAAGGTCGGCAGGTCAAACAATCGCTTGACCGTGGCTACGATCGAGGTCCCGTCGAACTGCGAGGTCGGCGACGGCTTCGTGCGCGGCGCCGACACCACAGAGCCCCTCGGGACCCAGGGGCTGACCACGAGCACGGGAACTCTACTCCCGAGCCGCGAGTAGGGCCCGAAGCCCTCGCACGTCTTCTCGCCGTTCAGGCAGAAGCAGGCGGGCTGGTGGTCCGGCGGCGGGGCGGCCATCGGCGGCGGCACGTGGTCGTAAAACCCGCCGGGGTCGTCCCAGGTCATGATGAATGCAGTGTGGTTCCAGCCAGGACCCGCCCTCAGTGCCTCATAGATGTCCTTCCGCAATCTTTCCCCAAGCGCCACGTCGCAGCACGACGGGTGGTCGGAGTTGGGCCCGCCGAGGTCGCCGAGCGTCTTATTAATACCCTGGCGCGGGTCGATCCAAGTTAAAGCTGGTAGCGTGCCCTTGGCCGCGTCGGCGAAGAAGCGGTCCATGGTGTGCGTCCGTGAACGTGTCTGTTTCGAGCCGAACGCCTCCATGAACGTGTCCGTTACTGTGTGGAAACCCAACAGTGAGATTGGTTATCCTGAGAAATATTGCGCGGGCCTTCGTGAACCTCCACGCCATATAACCGATGCGGTCACGGCGACAACGTCGCGTCGATGGCCTGAGAACTCCACAGAGACAACATCGCGTCGATGGCGTGGGGCGCCCGAATTTGAATTCCACACAGCAACAGACTGGAGTCGTTGTAGATCCGCACGTACTCGTGGCCCGCGTCGAGCAGGGCGTCGAAGATCGTGCGCTGGGGGTAGGGCCTATCTTTTTCGCAGAGGTAGCCGTCGCCGGTGTTCGTATTTCCGTTCGCCGTCGCGCTGTACGAGAACATGTGGTTCGGCCAGCTCGGGCCCGGGAAGGCCGTGAACCAGCGGTCGAAGACGGCGAACTCAGAGGCCAGCGCCGTGGAGACCGGTAATGCGCCGTCCGAGAAGCCCTGCATCACGGCGTCCGCCACACTCGTATTCTTCTTATGCACCGACCTCTCAAATTCCACGAAGCCGTCCATCTGCGGGACGTTATCTTGGACGTCGAGCTTGACCTGGTAGGGCGCGTAGCCGTGCCGCGGCTGCTCGACGGCGACGTACGGCGCGCCGTCGAAGACCTCCACCGAACCCTTGCTCGGGTCCCTGCGATCGACGGGATTCGACTCGTCGCCCTTGAGCCCGTCTACATGCAACGACTTCTGATGACCGAGGAGGTGGTCGAAGGCGCGGTTCTCCTCGTAGAGCACCACGACGTGCTTGATGCGGTGCGATGCAGCACGCGTCGTCGACAGTAATGCCAGCAGGGCAGCCCTCATCGCGTACTGTCGAGATGCCGGACTGTAGTTCGTGTTTACGTGTCGATGCCGAACTGTCGTTCGCGTGTTCGCGTGGCGCGTGGCAGAACGCGTGCAAATAAGGTGCTATGCTCTGCGAGGCTGTAGGGTGCGAAAGCTGTCAAAACTCGCGCGAGAATCAAGCACCGCAGCGTCTAGGCGCTGCGTCGGATACACCTATCGATCCAATCACGCGTTTGCGCTGATTTTGCGGGATGCGAACAAAAACGGAGGTAGCGTCGTGTAACACACTAGCGTGTCGAGCCCGCGAAACTTTGGCAGCCGTCGCGCGCGCGCTATTGCGGACGACCGGTGCACAGAGACACATCTCTGACTTCCTCCGCCGCCCGCCAGCAGCCCAGCGCAGACGTTCGCCCGCAGACGTCGCCGCCGCAGTAGCCCGCTGAGCACCAGAGGAGCGCGCCGCGCAAACAAACACAAGCCACCATGGTCGAGCCCAAGAAGATGAAGGTCGCGGAGCTCCGCGCGGCGCTCGCCGAGCGCGGCCTGAGCACGGACGGCCTCAAGGCCGTCCTCGTCGACCGGCTCCAGCTCGCGCTCGACGAGGAGGAGTTCGGCCTCGACGAGCCCGCGGCCGCCGCGCCGGCGCCGAGCCCCGAGAAGGCCCCGGCGCCGTCGCCCAAGGCAGCAAAGCCGCCCGCGCCGGCCCCCGCGCCGCCGCCCGCGCCGGAACCGGCGGCCGCCGAGCCCGCGGCCGAGCCCGCGCCTCCAGCAACGGAGGAGCTGAGCGAACTGGAGAAGAAGAAGGCCGCGCGCGCCGCGCGCTTCGGCATTCCATTGTATGTGGCGCCGAAGGACAAGAAACAAAACGACAAGAAGAAGAAAAAGAAGCGCGCCGAGCGCTTCGGGTTGCCGGACCCCGACGCCGACGAGGCGAAGAAGAAGGCTAGGAAGGAGAGATTTGAAGACCCTAGAGCCAAAGAAGAGGCGGCCAAAAAAGCGGCAAGGGCCGAGCGGTTCAAGGACCCGGCCGTCAAGGCGAACGAGGCCAAGCTCAAGGCGCGGGCCGAGCGGTTCGCGCCGCCTTCTTGAAGTGTGGACCGGCGTCCTTCTTATTTACGCTGGCCTTTCGGAGCTTCGTCTTCGTCCGTAGACGCCGCTCCAGTTCTGCCGGCGCAGAGCATCCGTTGTCTGCCACCGACCCCCGGGCGGTTCTTGCGTTTCCGCGCGCGCGGGTGGTGCGGGCGCACACACGTTTCTTTTGCTCCACAGGTTTTTTCGCGGCGACGCGGACGCGCGTCGCGGTGGTAGGGGGGTAAGGGACTCCCTGTGTTCCGTTTTAGGGGTAGCGTCGACGGCTTCGGCGTGGGGCTACGTTCCACGCGAGCCGTTCGCGCTGCTTGCTAGTGTCTTACAGGCCGCTAGCACCGGCTGCGCAGCCTTTCCTTTGCGGCCGGAGTACGCCGGGTTGAGCAGTTCTCGTGCAAATCGCAGCCTGTCACAGACGCATCGCTCGCCGAACGCATCGGAGAGCAAGTCTCCCTGCGCGGAAACCGCATCGCTCCGCGCAAAAGCGAGCACAGCCCCAGACAGAAGACATGCTGCGGACCCTCGGACGAGTGGTCCAACGCGCCCGTGCGGCGCCGCGAAGCGCTGGCGCGCGGGCCGCGGCGCCGCGGCGGGCCGCCGCGCGCGCCCTCGCGACGCACGTCCTGAACGTGCCCGCGATGGGCGACTCGATCACCGAGGGCACGGTCGCGTCCGTCGAGAAGGCGGTCGGCGACGCCGTTGCGGTGGATGAGATTGTGGCAGTGATAGACACGGACAAGGTGTCCGTGGACGTGCGCTCGGACACGGCGGGCGTCGTCCAGAGTCTGTCCGTCGCGGTCGACGACGAGGTCCAGGTCGGCGCCGAGATGATGACGCTGGACACGGACGGCGCCGCGGCGCCCGTTGCCGCGCCCGCGGCCGCGCCCGCGGCCGCGCCGGAGCCGGCCGCGGCGCCCGCCGCGGCGCCCGAGCCGGCGCCGAAGCGCGGTCACGTCCCGCTCATCAAATTCCTCGGCAAGCGGTCGCTGCTCAAGAAGGAGGCTTCTGCGCCCGTATCTACGCCCGCCGCCGCGGCGCCGGCCGTGGAGGCGGTCCCGTCGGGCCTCGCCGTCGAGCTCGCGGACCTCGCGCCGCGCTTCGGCCTGACGCCCATCACCGACGCCGAGATGGCGGCCGTCGAGTCGGGCGGCGGGAGCGAGGTCGACGCGTGGTGAGGGCCGTCCTTTACGAGTCTGTGGGTAATAACAACTAAAACCAGAGGTGCGGGTCGCCGGGAGGTTCTCTAGAGACTCTAGAGCGAGACCTCTCGAGTATAGACCACGACAGACACCCCCGCCGAGAAACCCGGGTAAATCCGAATACGTCGCAAAGTCAGCGGCTCGGGAGACGTGGTCTAAACGCGATAGAAGCGAGACACCGCGTCGAAAAAATAGACAAAAATCACATTACGACACAACCGGCCTCCGGCGTCTTGCCCTGGAGCCCCTCGTTCTTCGGCTTGAGCTTCTCTCGCCGCAGCGCCGCCGCACCTCGCTTCTCCCCTAAAACACCAAGGACGAACGCGTCGATCTGGGCCTCCTCCTGGCGCGCGAGCTGCGCGGCCCGTTCCTTCTGCTGCTCTATTTTTTGACGCTCTGCGGGGGTGATGGAGGTGTCCTGGCCCGCCGTCGTCGCCGTCGGTGCCTTCACTTTATTCGCGCCGCGCCGCCGGCCGCAGATCGCGCACGTGCCATCGCGCCGGCACATACGTGACCGCTGCGCGGCCTTGTGGCAGCGGCAGACGCCGTCCAGAGGTTTTAATCTGACACGCACCGGCTCGACGGGCTTCGACGAAGACCGCCGGCAGCAGCCGCACCACTTGCGACGACACCGCGGGCAGACGCACTTCCCGCCTCCCGCCTTCGCCTGGCGCAGGACGTCGCTGAAGACCAGGCGCCGGTGGACGTCTGAATGCCGTACCAGACATAATCTATTGTCGCGGACGACGTGCCGCCGCCCCACGACCAGATCCGGCCGCGGCGCCGGCCGGATCGTGCCGTCATCATAAAGATCGAAGCGCTCCCTCCCCCTAAACACGGGGCACAGGCACCCAAAGGACGCCACCGGCGCGTCCACTCCATAAATGCCCCGGGGCACGTGGAGGTGCTGGCCGAACGGGTGCGGGACGCAGCAGCTCAGGCAGCCCTCTATTTTAATTGCCTTCGAGGAGGGGTAGTACTTCGCCTTGACGACGTCGGAGTAGCTACAGCACAAGAATGAGGTGCGGGTGCCGCCCACCCTAACAACATCCGAACACGCGCAGAGGAGCCAAGGCTGCCACGGCACCCAGGGCAGGAAGCAGCAGCACTCCCGCGTGACCGCGTCGCCGCCTCGATGGTCGACGACGAGGCCCCTTCGCTTGCCCGACGCTATCACCAGATTGAGATGGACCGGGCCCGCGCAACTTATAGGTTCACCCGTGACGAGCGCCCTCCTCAAAATCTCGCCCTTCCGGGAGGTCGTGATCGACGGATCGTCGACCGACGGCTCGGCCGTCCGAGCCGTCGCCGTCTCGACCGTCGCGGCGTCGCTGTCGTCGACCCACGTCGACACCGGCGTGCGCATGAACGCTTCCACTGTTTGGTTCGTATTCGTGCTCGCGTCTTCATCATTACGCATGAGCTTCAGAATGCGCTCTTGGATTGCCCGGTCGACGCTCGCGTCCTCTTCATTCGCCAGTGCGCGCCTGGAGGCCACGCCGCGCCAGCGCGCCTGGAGGACCACGGCTTTCTGCATCAGTGCGGCGTCGGGTGTTTTTTTCACAGGACTTCGTTTCGCGAAGATGCCGCGCCGGAAGAACGCCGGGTCGTTGACGAGTTCATCCCTCCTATGAGTATCAATGGAGACGGCGTCCTCCCGGGGCTCATTGACAGATGGTGTGACGCGGTAGAACGCGAGGGGGTCGACGGTGAGCTGTGCCGGTAATGAGCCGGGCGGCGCCTTCACGCGGTCGTCGGGGTCCGCCGTCGTGCCGATTATTCGTGGGCTGAAGAGCGGGTCCGCCGCGCGGTCGGCGTAGATGCCTTCGTAGCCGTCCCAGCGCACCTCGGCCATGGTCGCGTTTGGTCTCTGGGGCTGCCCCGCGTCGGCTGGCTTGTCGTCGGCAAACCTCCCTCCCTGGTATGAATGAGGAGCCCCGCCTCTAGCGGCAGGTGGGATGGTGTGGGCAGCCTAATGGCCTAGGCAGCGCACTCCCTCCTCGGAGCCGCACGCCGTCGCGTCGATGGCGTGGGGAGCCTGTTCAGTCCCCGACGTGGTCAGGCCGGCGAGCACTGCCCTTCTTACCGGGAATTTGGGCCGTTTGCGACAACGCCAACGCCAAAACGCAGCGGCTAGCGTTCATAGACACACTAGGAATCACTCGAAGCTCGAGCAAGCGGCGAAGCCTCGATACTCGTGCGCAGTGGTCGTTGAACACTCGCTGAGCAGCGCTAGTGACTCACAAGAACTGCCACACCACGCTGCCGCCGCCAGCCGCTGAGCCGCAGTGCACCTAGAGCGAGCGAGAGCACAGCTGCACAAGCTCCCGAGCGACCATGTCCGGCGGCTTCGAGGCCATGGGCCTGAGCCCGGAGCTGCAGCGAGGCATTTATGACGTGGGCTACACGCTCCCGACGGAAGTCCAGGACGAGGCCATCCCGCTGATCCTGGGCGGCGGCGACGTCATGGTCGCCGCGCCGACGGGCAGCGGCAAGACGGCGGCCTTCTCGTTACCTATCTTAGAACTGGTGCACGAGAAGCTCAAGGAGCCCGAGGCGCCCGCAGCGGTCGAGGAGGCACCAGAGGCGCCGCCGCCGCCGACGGGCCCTCCTGCATTATCTACACAAGACCGCGACGCTACTTTAGCCGTAGACAATGACCGGTGCCAGTCGCGTTCAGAAAGGTGGTCCGGCGGCCGCTGCTCGCAAGGAATTGCCGCCAAGAGTGGCAAGTACGCCTTCGAGATCTGTGTGGAGGACGAAGGACTATGCAGGGCGGGCTGGTCAACCCAAGCGGCCTCGTTAGACTTAGGCACGGACAAGAACGGCCTGGGCTTCGGCGCGACGGCCAAGAAAAGTCACAACCGCCAGTTCGACGACTACGGTACGAAATACGGCAAAGGCGACGTCGTGACGTGCGTATCTCGGCGTCCCGTCGTGTGGAGGCGCCTTCACGCCATCGATGCGACTCGTGTCCATCTCACCATGAAGTGGGTGGTTTCTTTTTCGAATTTGAGGCCATTCGGACCGAGTCGAGCGACCGCTGCTCCGCGCAGGTGCTGGCTCGACCTCGACGTCGAAGGGGGTAGTTGCGGCTTCGACGTCAACGGGAAGTCGTTTGGCAATGCCTTCGCACCGTTACCGCCAGCTTTACAAGGTGTAGCTCTCTTCCCGGCGGTCGCGATGCGGAACGCGCAGCTGGCTGTATCATTTTCGGAGCTGAAGTTCCCGAAAGAAGGGTTTGTATCCGTAGCGGCGTGCCCCCAGCTGCAAGCGGGCCTTCGTAAGGACCAGAACGAGTACGAGTCAACCAAAAAACGCCAGAAAAGTGGCCGGTCGGTATCGGCCATCATCCTCGAACCGGCTCGGGACCTGGCGGAGCAGACCCACGACTGCATTGAGTCGTATGCTCGTTATTTGCAAGACCCGCACATCAAATGCGCGCTGCTGATCGGCGGTATAAATACAAAAGAAGCCGAACAAGCTCTCAGGAATGGAGATGTGGATATCGTGACGGGCACGCCTCTCAAGGTCTGGGACTTGGTGAAGCGAGGCATCATGGACGTCGACGCCTGCCGCTTCTTCACGCTGGACGAGGCGGACCGGTTCATCGAGACGGACGACGTCGCGACGTGCCTCAAGATCTTCGAGAAATTGCCGAAGGGCGCGTCGGCGACGGCGCGCGACCGGCGGCTGCAGGTGGCCTTCTTCTCCGCTACTTTGCACTCGGAAGCCATCAAGGAGTTGTCAAGAAAGGTCTGCGACAACCCGACGTGGGTCGATTTGAAGGGCGAGAAGCACTTACCTGACTCTGTGAAGCATTTAGTGGTACCTGTGGATCCGTCGTCCCTCGATATTCGAGAACTAGCCAAGCAGTCTCTAGATGACGACAAACGTGTTACTACTGATAGTGTCCACCGCAAGGGTGATTTAGATAAATTTGAGGCGCCGTCACTGCTCAAGGGCGACGTCAAGGCCGTGTTGGAGACCTCGCAAGAAGATTCATCAGAGGTCGTGAAGCTCGCCAAACCGGCTTTGTTTGTCAAATTGTTCGATTCCCTCAAGATGGAGCAGTGTTTGGTGTTCTGTCGGACGAACCTCGACTGCGACCTATTTGAAAAGTACCTGAACAAGATCGGCGGTAGTGGTGGTTTCAGAGGAAGGAAGGAGTCGGGGAAAGAGTCGCCCTACGCGTGTTGCGTGTTAGCTGGCATGCGCTCGATGCACGAGCGGCGGAGGAACCTCGAGGCCTTCAAGGCGGGAGACGTGAAGATTTTGATCGCGACCGATGTGGCAGCTAGGGGTATTGATGTTGTTGGATTGCCTTGCGTGGTCAACGTGACTTTGCCTGATGTTGCCGAGAATTATGTTCATAGGATTGGTCGAGTTGGGCGAGCCGACAAGGTCGGATTGGCCGTGTCTCTCGTCTCTACCGTAAAAGAGAAGGTCTGGTTCTGCCAGCGGGGCAAGAAGCCGCCGCAAAAAGACACGCGCGAATTTGAGAAGGGCGGCAACTGCGTCTGGTACGACGAACCCGAGTTGCTGAAGGGCGTCGAGGCGAAGTTGGGTCAACAGGTGCCGCGCATGGACGCTCAGGATTTAACGTTGCCGCCGGAATTGCGAGACGTGGTCTTCGGCGAGGTGCGCGAGGGTACGGAGGAAGAAGATAAAGCTCGGACGGCGCGGCTGGCGAACATCGCGGGCGACGTCGACAAACTGAAGGACATGGAGGTGCGGTCGCAGCAGGCCTATTTTATGTTGAGGGAGCTGACGGCGGATCCCATGGAGGTGGGCTAGTTGCTAAGGATACTAGGACATTGCACTGAGTCCCTCACAGGAAGGTGAATATTTACGTCCGGGAGGGGTGGGGGACGTGCGCTCAAACGTCCAGCCCGCACACGTCCCGGAGCCGCCCGAGCTGCACCTCGCAGGCGGAACGGAAGGCCGCGCAGGTCCCCAACGCCGGCGCCCGGCAGGCGCTCACGTACGCTTCGACGTCGGCTCGGTAGAGGCAGCCCACGACGTTCCTACAGAACGCCGCGTTACTCCAGAAGGAGTCGTCCGCGCGCCGACCGCTCGAAACTCGCGCGCGCGACTCGAGGCCCAACAAAACTTGCATTAATGAAGGGCCGACAATGGGCTTCACCTTGAGCAAACGCTTCGACGTCGAACTGGCTGGCCAGCGCTGGAAAATCGTGCTAGCGGCCTGTAAGACACTAGGATGCCAGAGAGCATTGCCCTTTGTATGAGAGCCAAGCCTTTGTCCCACCCGCATTTGTCCAGTTTTTGTCATAAAATGCATTAAATCAGCGCGCTGCATTGCATAATGAGAGCTGTCCTCCTGCACGCCGTCGCCGCGGCTGCATTGCAACCCAACGAGGTATGGCACTCCATCAAGCAGCAGGCGTCGGTCGCGGCAACCAGTCCGTTGTCGGCGCTGCTGCGGCCGTACCTCAATGAAGCCATTGGCTCGCACGCTTCACTGGCGCCGGCAACGGCAGCGCTCCTCACCGAGCGGCTCGGCGGCGCGCTCGATGGCGAGAAGCTCATGCTGGTGCTCGAAGACCGCCTCGACGAGACCTTGCTCGCGCGAGATCTGAATGCGGTCGTCGAGGGCGATCCCGCGGCGCCGGAGTTGCTGACGGTGTTCCTGCATTTCAAGGGATTTTTGGCCTTGGCGGCGCACCGCGCCGCGAGCAGTCTCTGGTCGTCCAGGAACGAGGACCCGGGCGCGGGGCAACTCGCACTGCTACTGCAGGGCGCCGCGTCGGCGGCGACTGGTGTCGATATCCATCCCGGCGCGACCGTGGGTTCCGGCGTGTTTATCGACCACGCTACCGGCGTCGTCATCGGCGAGCAGGCCGCGGTCGGCGACGACTGCTACATTCTGCACGGGGTCACCCTAAGAGCGACGGGCAAAACGAAGAACGGCCGACGGCACCCGCACGTCGGCAGCGGCTGCACGCTGGGCAACGGCGCCAACGTGCTCGGACCGATCACCGTCGGCGACGGCGCAACCATCGGCACCGGCGCCATGGTGACCAAGGACGTCGAGGCCGGCGCGACGGTCATCGACACGGGCTTCATGAGCAACAAGGTGCTGGCGCCCCGCGGGAAGAAGTCGTAATATCATGATGAGTGTCTGAAGTCTCACCCTTCACGCCGTCGACGCGACGACAGCTGATTCCCCCACGCCCCGCGGCGAGAGAAACTAGGAGACGGTCCACTACTATATCCAGGAGGACTAAATGTGCAGAGGGGCGCCCGGCCGCGACCACGGGCGGGGGCCAACCGTATGTTCAAAGCTCAGGGCTCGGGGTTGTACTTGCCGAAGGGCTTGCCCGGCATGCCGTACGACGCCGCGAAGGCCTTGACCTTCGTGCGTAATGAATCCACACCGGCGTGGCCGTCCAACAATTTGGAGAACGTGACGAGCTTCTTGTCCGGCGCGGATGCTTGGATGGTTTTGGCGAGCTGGACGGCCTCGTGGAGCATGTCGGCCACGGCCTCGAAGTCGGCTTCCTTGAGGCCTCGCGTGGTCATCGCGGGGGCACCAATTCTAACACCGCCCGGCGAGAGCGCGGAAACGTCGCCCGGCACGGCGTTCTTGTTCAGCGTGATCTGGCAGACGTCGCAGATCTTCTCGATCTTCGAGCCGGTGACGCCCTCGGGCTTGAGGTCCCACAACACGAGGTGGTTGTCCGTACCTCCTGTCGCCAACTTGTAGCCATATGAAGTTAATCTAGCTCCAAGAGCTTTGATGTTCGCCTTGACCTGCTGGATGTAGCCCTTGAATTCAGGTTTGGTGGTTTCGCGAAGCTGCACCGCGACGCCGGCGATCTGGTGCTCGTGGGGCCCGCCCTGCAGCGCCGGGAAGACGGCGTTGTTGATCTTGTCCTCGAAGCCCCTAGCGTCCTTGCGGAAGAAGATGATGCCCGACCGAGGGCCTCTCAATGATTTGTGCGTCGTCGTCGTGACGATGTCGCAGTACTTGAAGGGGTCCGCGGCCTCCTGGGCGGCCACCAATCCACTAATGTGGGCCATGTCCATCATCAGCAGCGACCCGTTCGCGTCGGCGATTTCCCGGAATTTGGCATAGTCCCAGTCCCGAGGGTACGCCGACCCGCCGCAGACGATCAGCGCGGGCTTGAAGACGCCCGCCGTCTTCGCGAGCTCGTCGAAGTCGATGAGGCCCGTCTCGGGGTGCACGCGGTACGGTAAGCTTTCAAAGTAGACGGAAGTCGCAGAGACGGGCTTGCGGCTCATGGTCTTCTTGTCGAGGGTATAAAAGCCGTGGGTTAAATGACCGCCGCTCGGCAGGTCGAGGCCCATGATGCGCGCGTGCGGGCTCAATAATCCGGTATAGACGGCGAAGTTCGCCGGCGAGCCGGAGTAGGGCTGCACGTTGACGCCCCACTCGTCCGGGGACAATCGGTACGCCTCGAGCGCGCGGCTCTTGCAGAGGTTCTCGATCTGGTCGATGACCTCGTTGCCTCCATAATAGCGCTTGCCGGGGAGGCCCTCGGCGTACTTGTTCGTGAGGCAGGAACCGAGGCAGTCCATGATGGCTCTACTGGCGAAGTTCTCCGACGCGATGAGCTCGATGGACGTGAACTGTGTTTTGAGAGACGCGGTCGCGGCGATGGCGTGGAAGCTGGGACGCGCCGCCGACCGAGCGCCGTCGCGCCATCGAGCAGACGTGGTCACCGGGAAGACGGCGCGTCGACGCGTCCCGACTCGGCGCGCTCCCCCCCTCTCTCTTTCGGTTTCGGACGCCGTGCGCATGCCTGGCGCCGCTGCTCCTGGGCGATGAGCTCAGACATCTCGCTGTCGACCTCCTCGAGGGGCTTTAAGCCAGGGTGGCTTTTAATCATAGCAGCCATCCTGTTGTTGCTGCGTCCTTTGAGCACCAGTGATTCAGCGCAGAGCGCGAGCGCAGTGATTAGTATGCGGATAATGGCTGCTATAAGGCAACAGCTAAGTGCAATTTCCACGGTCAAAAACGCCGCCGATTTACACCATGGAGAGGCGCCGAGTTGCTTCGCTGGCGGCGGCTCAAGCCGCCGGACGCATCTGAATCTGTCCTGGTCGTCTTCCAACCGTCTCCAGGATTCCAAAAAACCGAATGTGAGCGAAGTTCATTTACCTGTCCCGCGGGACTTTCTTTGCCTTGTTGAGAGCTAGACCGCCTAGCCACCGAGCCAACGTGAGGCCTTCGTGACTTCTTTGGGTTTGTAGATCGCGCGTATGGATACTAGGAGGTAAACACATTACACAGACGAGAGCGCCCGGAGCACCGCCAGCACGACGTCCGTCGAGCACGACGCCGGGCGCAACAAAAAAGACCCGCCGCGACACTCGACGCGGAGCGCGCCGTCGCCGAGCCGTCGCTTGCGCGTTTTCCGGGCCTGATTCTCTGTAATACGTACGAGAGTCGGGCTTGCACCGAGCGAGACGTCGCTTGGCCGTTCGCGCCGCTAGACTGTTATGGGCGGCAAAACCCACACGCAAAACTGGAAACTGAAAACTGGAAACTGGAAACTGGAAACTCGGAGAACTCGTCAAACTGGAATCTCGAAACTGGGTAAACTGGGCGAACTGGGCGAACTGGGCTACGGTCGCGCGCGCACTAACTTACACTTCTAGGATGGCTCTCGTCGCCGCCCGCATGGCGACGTACTCTTCGCGGAGCGACTGCGGGTTGAACCCCTCGACCAGCTCGGCTCGCAGCGCGCGGTCGGCGTCGGTCTGGAGCGGGTCGACCTGCCACGGCGACGCGGGCTCCTCGTCAGCCGCGTCGTGGAATGCCCTGATGTAGGTCTCCATGCGGTCGATCTCGTCGTCGTCGACGCGGCGCGAGTAGTCGACGTCGAGCTCGAGCCCGACGCACGGCCGCCACTAATCGACCATCCTGATCGTCGACCGTCCCTCCTAGGAACGGCTCGCCAAAGAAGATTTTGGCGCTGTAAATCTCTTTGACGACGCCGGAGACGCCGACGCCCTTGAAGCACTGGTGGACCGTGGACGTGTAGTGCCACATCACCTTGCCCATCGACTCCGTCATCACGAAATCGCCGAAGTCGGGGTAGTCCCGGTTTCTCGAGCCCCGCATGCTCCGCTTCTGTATGGCGTAGAGTTTTACGTCGTCGCCCACTTCGGGGCCGCCCTCGCGCCCGATCCGCTGGCGCGGGGCGGGCATACTGTTTGACAGTTTTCCCAGACTCTAGGCGCCGGTTTTCGTCGGCGCGCGCGGTCGTCGCCGCGGTTGAGCGTCAGTCGAGGTGGGTCTGAGACGCCCGTCGAGTACCGTCGGCCGCGAGGGCGCGCGGCAACTACGCTCGGCGCGGCCAATAATCAAGCTAGCGGCGGTAAGACACTAGCAAGCACGAAGAAGCCAAGAAGTCCTAGGCGCCGCGCGGGAGGAGGGACCTAAGTAGCAACACTTCGAGACCGACTCCTTACGCCCCTCAGCGGCGGCGCGACTTCTTGCCGCCCTTCTTCTTCGCGCGCCGCTCGCCCCGGTTGCCGGCGACCTCTCCAGATTGATCATTGCCGCTCCTACCCGTCCCTATCTGTCGTAAGAGCCGAGTCGGACCACCCACCGGCTCAGTTGCATTTTGCTCAGTTTTGTTCCGCGGAACAGGAAGCATACAAGTCCGAGATACGTTCACTTTACACACACGAGACCACCGCCCGGAGGACCGCCAACACGACGTCCGTCGAGCACGACGCCGGCCGCAGCGCGAACGACCCGCCGCGACATTCGACGCGGAGCGCGCCGTCGCCGAGCCGGCAGACGCGCGCCACAGCCCCGTAGTCGCGACGCCCGACTGCGACGCCGTCGCCACGGAGGACTACAACCGCTGGCTGTTCGTCCACGAGCGCCCGCGCCAGCCGCAGGACCGGCCGCCTGTTCCGCCGGAGCCTCTCTACCGACTCCCGGACGGCTTCCTTCGCCGCCGCGACGCGTCCGGCGCACGCGCGCCAGGCCGCCTCGTCCGCTGTTTGCACGGCGGCGGCCGCTCGTGCCGCGGCCAGGTCGCGCTCCCGCGCCGCGACGGCCGCGTGGGCGCCCCGGAGGCAGCCGCGCCGCGTCGGCGGCGGGGGTTGTGCGGCTTTCGGCGGCGGCGGCGGCGGCGGCGAGGCCGCCTCGGGCGCGGCGAAGCCCATGGCGGCGCAGGCCTGCTGCGCGACGCGTTCCGCGCGGCGTGCGGCCGCGCCCAGCCACGCCGCGCGGTGCTCGTGGGCCGCGAAGGCCGCGTCGCGCGCCGCCGCGTCGAGCTGGCCCAGGAAGTGGGCGTCGAGGCCTCCGCTCCCCGGGCCACACTCGTCAGAATCGGACGCGGCGCCGTCCGCGCGGTAGCGCCGCCTCGGCGCCGCGTCGTCCGCCTCCCGCAGGTCCGCGTCGGCGAAGACCGCGCGGACGGCCGTCGCCACGCGCCGCGCGCAGGCGTCGCCGTTGCGCGCGCCGCGGCGGGCAACGCGGACGGCCACCGCCGCGACGCGCCGCGACCCGAAGCAGCAGACCTGCAGCTCGCACCGCGCGTCGCCCGCCCGCAGCACGACGCCTGAAGCGCGGACGTAGCCAGCGCTCTCGCTCTCGATGGTGTCGAGGCCCGCAGACACCGCCGCCTGCCGCAGCGCCGCCGTGATGGCGTCCACGGGCGCGTCACGCCGGACGCCGACAGTCAGCAGGGCGTCGTAGTGACCGTCGGCTAGAGCACCCTGCTTGCCGGCGAGCGCGCCGGCGTTCACCATGCCGCGTCTTGGCGGCGCCCAGTCGTCGCAGTCGATAGTAGCGCGGCGGCGGCGGCGCGGCGTCCGGCGGGGCGGCACCGTGTCGTCCGACAGGTCCCACAGTGCTGCCATCTCTTGTGGCTGCCCCTCAGTTCGGTGACAGTAGGCTGCCCAAAAGTGCGCACAGCGTCCAGAGAGCAAGCTTTTGCAATTTCAATGTGCGAACTGATGCGTGAGCCAACTGGAGCTTGGCACAACAGCGTCGAGCTTAAAATTGCTAGTATGTATGTGGTATGCTAGGTAATCTCGGCTTGCCGTGCTGAATTGGCACTAATCGTACGCGGCAGCGGACCAGGCGCCAGTAGAAGGCTTCGTATAGCTCCTAGCTTCCGTATAGTTCGCGACCGAGACCACCTCTAGCCGCAGCGGCCGCACAGGGCCTTGCACAAGTCACCGAGCAAAAAGCCTAGCTAGTTGCGTTATAGCGACCTCGCGCCGTTGGCCGGGGATCCCTGGCTTGACATCGTCAAAAAGCCAGCAAAAAGCCATGCCTGGACTCCCCGCGGCGGGCGGACGCCCCGCGGCGGGCGCCGAGGCCCTTGTTCTTCGCGCGGCTGAGAGGAGCTTGAAAGACGTGCTCGAGCTCGTGAAAATTGGAGCCCTCGACCCGTCGACGCTAGGGAGCCTCTCGGGCCTCTGCGAGGAGCTCAAGCGGACCAGCGTGCCGCGTGTCGTCGACGCTGCGGACGCCGGAGACGACGACGAGGCTGATACGGAAACCGAGGACCCGGCGCGGCCGTCGGACGGCACGGTCACGCCCATACGATTTGCGGCGCCGGCGCCGCGGCCGCGCCGGCGCAAGCTGGGCGATGGCGGCGAGGCCGCGCTGGCACTGGGCGCGCTGCGGCTGTCCACCAAACCCATGGACGCGGCCTGGACGTCGCGGGGCGCGAAACGCAATCCGGAACGAGAACCTGTCGAGAGCGAAAGCGACGCCGACGCCGACGCCGAGGACGCGTCGCGCGTCAAGCGGCGCCGCGAGAGGCTATGTAGTCCGTCCCCCGACCGCGCCGGCGCGACGACGCCTCCCCCTGTAGACGCTCCGACGCTGCCGGATCCCGCCGCTCAAGCGGCCGACGCGGCCGCGGTCGCGGCGGAGGCGGCAGCCGCCGCCGCTGCGGCAGCCGCGGCCGAGGCCGCCGCCGCGGTGCCGGCGCCGCCGAAGCCGCCCATCGGCCCGCTGCCAAAAACCCCGCCGTTCGGCGACCTCGAGAACCTGCCGGCCGAGGTCGCCCTCGATATCGTGTCAAGGCTCAATGCGAAGGAGCTCGGGCGGTTGGAATGTACGTGCCGAGGCGCGCGCGGGACCCCTGGTTTGGTGGAGCTGGCGGTGCTCCGCGTTAAACGCCACGATTATGCTATCCCTATACCCACAACCCGTGAGAACTGGCCGCAGGTCGTCCAGCGCTGGGAGTGGACGAACTCGAGCCGCTCGATCTCGACGCGCATGGACGAGGTCGCGGCGACGCTGGACTCGCTCGACATGTCCTTCTCCCTGGGGTTCGGCGCGGAGCTTCAGACCGATGAACCGCCGCGGCGCCGACGAGCGGTGGAGGCTGACCCCGCGCCCCCTGCGCTCTAATCTGAGGTTTCTTACTCCTAGTGCGTGACGGCGACGTTTCCTCGTCGTCCCGTCCGGGTCGGAGGCAACTTCTATGAAGAAGAAGTACTAGTACTGTTAGTTCTTTATCGCGGGACCGGGCAGATGCTGTGCAGGAAGGCGTGACCGCGAGGCCCCCCGTCGGCCCACTCGCCCGTCCCACATGTCATTGACGACCCAAAACGGGGGCTTGACCCAAATGGCTCGTCCCAGATGGGATCCCCAAACAGATACCCGGCTTCCCCCGGGGCCGGATTTTCTGGAAGCGGCTCACGCGGGAAGGCCACGAAGAGACGCACGCGGTTGTGAGGCGCCCAGAGTGTAGGGCCCAGCGAGGAAACGTGGGCCTGGTACGTACCATGGTCGGCGTGGAGACTAAGCGAGCGTGTCCACAGGTCGACGACGAGGACCAGTCGCGCCGGGTCCCTCGTCGGCGAGTCGGCAGGGGGCAGATACGGAAACCAAGGCCCCTCCATACCCATGATTGGTCCAGTTTCGTCGATTATGATTGCATCATCTCTGCCCATCACCCTGCCGAGGCAGTTCCCAATGTCAAAGTAGAAGCACCGTCCCCACTCCGTTTCGACGCCCAAAAGCACGCCGCGGGGCGCGTGCACCGTGAACTTCGCCTCCCAGACGTAATTTCCCGGGCGAAACCCCGGATGATCGAACATGTACGCCGTAGAAAACGGGAGAAACCCCGGCCGCACGTACGCCGTAGTAAATCTGCGCAGTGTGGGTTGATATTTCCGACACCAGCTACACTCCTCCTCGGCCAGCGGTTCCTCCGACGCGGCGCATTCCTCGACCAGCGACATTGGAGCAGACGGGACACAGAGATATTGCTGCGGCCTCGAGGCCCGCAGCGACGGCGTCCTAGGACTGAAAGGACCTTCGTCATTCTCGTACTTCGACGCGCGTGCGACGAATCCGACGCACCGCAGGTACGCGTACGCGCGCCGCCAGTTGCCGAGCGTGGCTAGCCACGCGTCGTCCTGACGCACCCAGTCCCAGCGGTCTTGCACGCAGTGGCGCCAGATGATATTCTGCTCGGGATTCGTGTCCTTGGCGAGCAACGCGCGGATGCTTTTGCTAACGCGCTGCAGACTCACGACACCGCGCCAGTCCCCATACTGTCCAACCTGCAGGATCAGCTCCGGCGGCAATTGGCGTGGCATCGCACTAGCGCAGCGATGCCGTTCGTGCTGAGCAATGTGTATGAACCACAGCGCTCGAGACGACAGCGCTCGAGACGGCTGCCAATCACGTCGCAGCTCCCCTTTGGCTAGGCATCCCTAGTATCTTACAGCCGCTAGCCAAGGATCCTTACGACTCCTCCTCCTCATCCTCATCCTCCTCGTCATCGTCGTCCCCGTCCGCCGCAACCTTCTGCTGCTTCTGGGGCGGCTTGTCGAGGCCGTGCGCCGCGAGATCAAGCGAAACGTCTGCGTCCTGGATGGCGACGCCCTCGCAGCGCTCGGGGTTGTACGCGTCGAGCTGCGTGCCGTCGCGGCCGACGCAGTCCGTCACGTCGAAGTCGTACTGCTTGCCCTCGTAGAGCAAGGAGATCGTCGACCCGCGCGTCGCCGACGAGTAGTACTTGAGCTCGTTCTCGAGGACGCTACGCGGGTTCGCGAGCTTCAGGAACGCGTCCTGGTGCGGCTGCAATTCAATGGTGACGCCGTCGTTGAGCTTGACCCACGTCATGAAGACGACGTCGTACGGCTTTGCTCGTAAGGCGCGTAGCATCCATAGCGGCACGAACAGGAAGTTCTCCGGCGCGCGGAAGTCCAAAGGCGAGCAGAACACGCGTTTCAGGGGCGGCACGACGCCGATGCCCGACCCCAACGCGTCGCCATTTCGAGCTTTTAGGGGTCTATTCAAAGGGTCCTTGCCCAATATCCTCGTGGGCCGCACCTCCTCGAACCCCAGCTCTTCGACGAGCTCCTCGTCGTCGTTGCGGGCCAGCGGCTCGAGCTTGAAATGCCACGGCACCTCCAGCGCGCGCCTCGTGAGCTCCTTGCCCACGCTCGCCGACGCGGAGACGCGGTCCGAGAACTGGACGCGACCGTGGCCCGGCTGGCCGCGCGGCGGATCGAACTCGGGCGTGAGCGGTAACACTAAGACCGCTCGGTGAAACGTGCCCGAGGCCTTTTGCAAGGCATTATAGTCCTCGACGCGCTGTTCTAATCTCGCTCGTCGTGCGGCTTGTTCGAGGCCAGTGGATTTGCCCAACGCCGCGGCCGCTGCCTCGAGTTTGGCCGTCACCCATTCCACGCCGGCGCCGGCGAGCTCTCCTTCCGCGCCTTTATCAGCATCATCCTCGATGTCAGCATCATCGTAGATGTCGCTGCCGCCGCGGAGAGATACGGCGGGGCGCGCTATTCGTCTTCGTCTGTGGAGGCACTTGTACCGCGCGGCTCCGGCGCTCAGCGGAAATCCGCCGCCTCCTCCTCGTCGACGTCGACGTCGTCCTCGTCTTCCTCATCGGCCTCGTCGGAGCCGCCGCGGATACCAAGCACCTTGAACGGAAAGAGCACGGAGGCCTTGATAGTCTTGACGACCTCCTTCTCGGGCTCCTCAATACCACATTGTTCGCCCGTCTGCTTGGCCTCGAACTCACAAAAGGTACCGCCTCTTAGGCGGAGGGCTTTGGTGCCGCGCGGCGTGATGGCTGCAACGCCGGCGAGGCAGAGGAGCGCGTGGTGGATGCGCATGGTTCTGGTGTGGATTGCGGGTCTCACGCGCTGCTGTTATGGAATGTTGGGTGGCCAGCGGTCGGACACAGGTGGATTGAAGTCGCGCTGCGGTGCCTTCAATAATGCTAGCGTCCAGTAAGGCACTAGACCTGCGAAACCGGGGCTCAAGGCAACCAGGCGCGAATGTTGTGGTGAAAGTAATGTAAACAAGTACCCTGTAAACTTAGCCAGGCTACCCGGATCCCTCCAAGACCACTGATCCCTGCCGCGCGACGCCCGGCTCCTTCGCTTGCGGCGACGGCACGAGGTCCTTTGCTTTCGGCGAGAGCGGCGCGGGGAATTCCATGGACGACGACTTCGTCGGCGACCGCTTTGGGGAGTCGCCCCAGCCATAACGCGAGCCCTGCGACGCCATGGCCGTCTCGAAGACGTCGGGGTCGCACTGGAGCTTGTGCGACGCGAAGCGGAGGGCCGTGGCGTCCTGGGTCACGGCGACCTTGACGACGGCGGCGTCGTTTCTAAGGGAGGGCGACGCGTGCTCCAGCGCGCGGCCGGAGTTGCGCACCGCGGCCAGCACGACGTCGCGGTCGCCCTTGAGCTCGGGCTCGACGTGGCGCAGGGCGCCGCCGTTGTTGCGGACGATCGACTTCGCGACGAACTTGTCCGCCCGGGGCCTCGGCCGGCCCCCGGTCTGCGACTTCTCTCTGAACGAGTCCGGGGGCGGCCAGACGCAGTCGTCGGGGAGGACGAGGTGGCCCGAGTCGCCCGTCGGCACGGCCGCCGGCGCGGGCGCCGGCGCGCGTTTCGCGCGCCGCGGCCGCCCGTAGCGCACCGGCGGCGGCGTGCCCTCGCCGTCGATGTGCCACTCGGGCGGCGGCGTCGCGGGCCGCCGCAAGTGGTTGAACCGTTGGGGGCCGAACGTCCGCTCCAATCGACGCGCCTCCTGGCCCATGCGCCGCCGGTTGGTCAGCGTGCCCGCGACGACGCGGTGCTCGGCGGGTTCCGCGGGCAGCCGGATGTGACTCGCTTTGGTGCGGGCCATGATCTGGGGCTGGGGGCTCCAGGGCATTTTTCTGGTGGCTTGCTGGTGTCGGAGGGAGTGAGTCTGGGGTGGCTCTGGCCTGACCTCCAGAGCCTAGTTATTTTGAGTATGCCGGCGCGGCCGACGCGGGCAGTCTTTCGCGTGAGCTCTCTGTCCCTGCCTTCGTACGGCTTGGGCTGCCTCTAGCTGCTCGCGGAGAGCAGGCGTTCAAGCATAGCGCCGGAGATGCTCTCTCGTTCGGGGCGCCATGGCCCGTTCGATTTTTCGTGGATCATCCGTCGTAAGGAGCCCTGCGCAGAGGTGCCTAGCCAGACAAGAGGACGCTTCCGTGAGTTGAAAACCGCACGCTCTCACTTGTCATCGCATCGCAAACTGGAGAGCTGCAGACGTAAAGTTGCAACAAACGAACAAAAAAACAACGATGCGGGGCCTTCTGTTATACCTGCTCCTCGGCGCCGCGAGCGCGCGCCTTTCACCGCCGTCAGGACAGCTGCACCAGCCCACCGCTCTCAGCAAGGTGAGCAAGGGCGGCGCGACGAAGAAGCGGCCGGCCTCGGAGCAGCTGACGCCCAGCGAGACGGTGCTCGCGGGCGCCTGCGCGAGGCTGGTCGCGCAGACGATTCTCCACCCGCTCGACGTCATCCGGACGCGGTCGCAGACGAAGAACCCGATCGAGGCGACGCTCCTCGAGGCCCTGCCCTTCGGCCTCGCGCCGCAGATGCTGCTGAGCGTGCCGGCGGGCTCGATCCAGTTCGCCATGGTCAAGTACTGGCGGACGCAGATCGAGGCGGCCTTCGGCGACCGGTGCACGAGCACGGCCGCGGGCCGCTTCTTCACGCAGTTGTTCGCCGCGGCGGGCGGCGCGGCGTGCGCGGGCTCGGTCCGCATCCCGCAGGAGGTCGTGAAGCAGGGCTGCATGGCCGAGATGTACCCGAACGCGATTGATGCGGTGCGGACGATCTCGGAGGAGAAGGGCGTCGCGGGCTTCTACAAGGGCGCCGTGGCCACGATCTCGCGCGACGTCGCCTGGAACTCGCTCAGCTTCGCGCTCTTCCGCGTCTTCCTCGAGGCCTTCGCCGTGCAGTCGGCGCAGCTGAATTATGCGCTGGGCATCGTCGCGGGCTGCCTCGCGGCCTGCGCGACGCATCCGATTGATGTGATCAAGACGCGCATCATGACGAGCTCCGGCGACGCGGCGAGCGTCGGCATCGTCGAGGGCCTGCGCAATCTGGTGGACGAGGAGGGCCCGGGCGTGCTCCTCTCGGGCCTCGTGCCCCGGCTGCTCTACCTCGGCCCCCTCGCGTCGCTGGTCCTGGCGACGAACGAGGTCATCGCGTCGATCCTCATCGCCGGGCGGAAGTAGGCTCTCGGCCGACGGGTCCCTTAAGTGAAGTTTAGTTAACGACGTGAGGTTAGTTCTTACACGGGTGCCCGCCCATAGAGAGACATAAGGCGACACACGAGAACTTGTGTCCTCAAAGGGGGAAGGGAAAGAACGTAGAATGGGGGAGGGAAACGGGGAGTGGGTTAGGCGTAGGCTTTTGATGCGTCCGCGTCGGGGAAATGTTGTACAAGCTCGTACAGTGATCAAGCGCACTCGGCCGGCAGGCCCGCGTCGCCGGCCTGGCACTCCTCGCCCGTGAGCTGCGCCGTGTCCGGGTCGTCGACGACGACGGACTCGCCGTACTTCATTACGTGGTGGTCAAAATCGGTCCGGCGTGCCCCGTATTTCGCGCCCGCAATCAGCTACCCTTCTCGCCGTCCCGTACGCGCGGACGCCGGTAACGCGCGTCGTCTTCCGTCCTCTGGCCTTTTTTGGCCTCGGCTATAAAGGCTAGCGTCGTCGACACACTAGATCCGGGGCCTCAGGCCTATATGCCGCGTGCGTGCCGCGAACGTGAGATACTTACCCGCCCAAACGACGACTACCTCCGCGTCCCCTTCCTCTTCCCCTTCGCCGACGACGTGTTACGCGTCGCCAGGAACGTGTGGTACATCTCCTCCTCGGTTTCACGCCACGCGCCGGACGTCCACGCCATCTCCTTGATCGTTTCCTGGACATCAAAGTCGTCGGTCTTCAGGACCCGCGTGACGGTCTCACGACCCTCGGCCTCGGCAATTCTCATGAGCAACGATTTCCCGCCCGCGCCCGACGAGAAGGCCGAGGCGCTACCAATCATCGTCATCATTTTCGAAGCCCTCTTGGAGTCCTCCACTTTCTTCGCGTGCTTCTTGGCGAGGCCGACCCACTTCAGGAACGTCCGCGCCGACGCCGTCTGGCCGTGCTTGTTGAGGCGCGCCCAGACCTGGCTCACGTCGTGGTCGTTCGCCAGCGACGGCTTCACCCGCAACGCGCCGCGCAGCGCCGCGTGGAAGTCGACGAGCGACAGCGGCGCGTCCTCGCCGTCGGCCGTGTTGTACGCGTCCAGGCTCGCCTCGAGGCGCTCGACGGCAGCGTCCTCGTTCTCGTCGTCGTCGTGCACGTCCAATCTAGAGTGGGCCACCTGCCGCAGCCGCGTGTGCAGCACGTGCAGACTCTTCTCCCTCTCAAAATCCGGGATGGGCGGCAGGTCCTCGGTCCGGGCCCGCGCGATCAAGGCCTCGTGCCGCTCGCCCACGCGCGCCCCGCCGTCGACCAACGCGAGGCAGCACGCCGGGTCGTAGGGCGGCCGGCCCTCCTCGCCTGCGTTTTGTCGAGCGGTGAGTTGTTGTTGTCGCGGCGATGGCGTTCTGGTGGGGTCGAAGACAAAGACGCCGGAAAACGCACCGGCCGCCGGCTCCGCGCGCAGGGCGACCCAGTCCAAGGGAGACCGTTCCAAGTAGGTGTCGAGGACGTCGAGCTCGACGCGCGGGCCCCACGCGCCGTCGAAGTCCCGGAGCACGCGCCGGACCGTCGCCGCCTCGCCGGTCCGCGCGAGCCAGCCCAGCAGCGTCTCGCCCCGCTCGGCGTCGCGCACGTTCGGGTCCGCGCCGCGCCGCATCAACAGATCCATCGTCGCCACGAAGGCCTCGCGCGCCGGGCCCGACGTCTCGCAGGCCCGCGCGCACGCGAGCCAGAGGGCCGTGCGGCCCGTGCAATCTCCCATGTTCAGCAGGTCCGGCTTCGCGTCGAGGATCGTCGCGACGGCCGCCTTGTCGCCCTTGGCGGCCGCCAGGTGGTGGGGACACCGCGCGAGGGCGTCGCGCGCCCCGAGCACGACGTCGACCTCGCCCCGCGCCGCGGCCGTCGCCAGGATGAGGTCTAAGATTTGGTGCCGCTTCGGCACGACGCACATGTGGCAGGCCCTCCTTCCGGAACCGTCGGCGATCGTCGGGTCGGCGCCCAGAGACAGTAAGAGGTCCACCGTCGTCAAACGATCGTTTAAAATAGCAAAATGCAGCGCCGTGCGGCCGCTCGTCGGCTCGCGCGAGTCCACGCCGACGCCGTCGGTGCGCTCGCGGACCTGCCCCTCGCGCTGGGGCCGCAGGATGTCGCGGACCACGGAGTCGTTGCCGCAGGCGGCCGCGCCGGTCAGGGCGGCGGTGCGGCTCGCGATCATGGTCCTGTCTGTGGTCTCGTTTGCTGGCAGGCGCGGCTCCGCGGGAGAGCGCTGTGGTTTGGACAGGCTGCCCCGAATCGAGAGGCCTAGTATCCGGCCGAACTGGAGTCATACCTCGGTCTCCGCATCCTTCCGCGTTTTGAAGTCTCCGCCCGGAATGGTTCGGAAGACCCTAGCGCGGCAAAAAGCCTCTCCCTGAGCTGCACATCTGCAGCGCCGCCCATTTAAGCGCAAGCGGACGGCCTCCGCCGGACGCCAGTCGACGCGACTCGACTCGTTCGGAGGCGCAGCGTTGCAGATCGACAGGTGCGGCAGCTCCCTGGTTGCTGGGGGCAGCCTACATCAAACTCTGCAGCAGCATGCAGCCGCTCGCCGCCAGCACGCCGCTCGCATACCAAGAAGACAACCCGAAGCCGGAGGACAGCGCGGCGTACGCGCGCTACCATAAATACAAGGGCGCGCAGACGTTCGAGGCCTTCCTGCAGAGCGGCGGCACGCTCCGGGACTTGCGCAAGGACAAAAAGAACGGCTACGTCGCGGTCGATGCGAACATGGACGGGGCGGAGGCGCTCGTGAAGAAACTCACGGCGCCGAAGTCGCTCGTGCCCCGCTGGCGCGCGATGAAGCGGATCCAGAACGACCTCGCGGCTTTTGACACCGGAGTGGACCCCGGCGGCGAGTACGTCCAGCCGAAGCCGAGCTTCATGGACCCCATCGGCGACGTGCCCCGGCGGGCGCCGCTCTTCCATTCGACCCGGCGACGGCGGCCGCCGCCCGCCGAGCTGCTGCGGCACCGTGCGCTCGTCCGGACCGCGCTGTCCACGCCCGGCTTCGATGGCGCCGACAAAATCGCGAAGGCGGGCAACGGCGGCCAGAAGCTGTGCTGGCCCGCGATGCCGCTCGAGTCGACGTACCGCCTGCGCGCGCCGCCGACGCCTGCGCAGGTGGAGGCCATGCGCCTGCGCGAGACGGAGCCGCTGGTCATGGAGCCCTGGCGGCCGGCCGGGGCGGGGCTGCGGGCGGTTTAAGTTTATGACTTGTTTTACTTAGGACTCCCTGATGGCGTCTCGCGGGCGGCGTCGGCGGCGCACGGCTCAACGAGGACTAACTATAAGTAATATTTTTATTATTTATCCCCGGCGGGGCGGCGGAAGCGGTCGGCCACGCTGACGACACGGCGCGTCCGGAGCTTCTCCTCGCTCGCGCGCTGGAACGAGCCGCCGCGGGCACCGAGCGCGGCTCGCGCGTTTAGCAAGGCGAAACGCAGAAGCTCGATGCGCTCGGCGAGTCCCGCGAGTCGGACGCCGATTCCGACGCGCTGACCGAAGAGTTCGCATCGGATGCATTGCTCGCATCGAAGCTGCGGGAAATCGCCGACGGGGCCGTCAAGACCATTCTCGGGTCACAGCGGGAAGAGGGCGGCTTGGAAGACATGCTCGTCTCGTCGCTGATATCAATGATGCGCGGCGGAAACGACGGGATCGACTCAGAGGCGGCAGAACTGGAGTCAGAGATCGCGGCGGCCAAGCGAACGCGCATGCGCGAAGCCGAACTCAAGCGGAAGCTAGGCATCTAATCATGATTACCATCAGTACACGTCGTCCGAAAGGAAGGAATGTGCTGCATTACGAGTAAAACTTGAGTCTTAGAGAAGAAGCACACACTCCTAAACGCAGCCCGCCGCCGGCACCTTGTCCCGCGCCGCACGCGTGTTGATGACTGCACAGAACGCAGAGCGCGGGCTCCGGCCCGGCGGGCCCGGCGTCTTCCGCGGCGGCGTCCGCGCCCCGTTCTCGTCTTGAACCTTCGGCTTCAGCTTTGTTTTCTGCGCCCGGATTGCTGCGAGGACGTCGCCCGGCGCCGCCGGCACGACGACCTTCGCGGGCTTGCGACGCGAGCGCGGCGGCGGCGTCCGCGAGCGGCGCCGCGCGCGGATGGCCGCGAGGAGGTCGCCGCCGGCGGCCGGCGCGGGGCGGCGCGCGGGCCTCGCTTGGTCGGAGCGCGCCCGGATCGCGGCCATCAGGTCGTTGCTAGGATTGCCGGGAGGGGGCACGGATAAGGCAGCAGACGGAGCGGCCACGGGCGCGTCAGCAGACGGATCGGCGACGGGAGCGGCCGCGGAGGGAGCGGCGCGGGCCGCCGCCGTCACCGGAGTCAACACTCCTACCTCGCGCGCCGCTGGCGCCATCACCGCGTCGTCCGCGTCCGGGTCGAAGGGCCCCTCTTCACTAAAGCAGGGCGGCCTCACCTTCGCGGGCGGGAGGTCGCCCGTCTCGAACTGTCGGAGCTTGTCCTCGAGGCCCTGCTTCCACGACGCCTTCGCTTCGTCGGAAAACGCCGGCAGCGACACGAAGACGGCCCGCAGCTCGAGCAACGTCAGCCGGTCGTAGGCGTACCTGCCCCGCAAGTCCGCGACGTGGAACTTGGCCACGCGCTCGGCTTCGGCGCGACACAGCCAGAGCGCCGGCGTCTGAAAAATACGCTTCGCGCAGGCCTTGCTCAGGCCGCGGGCCTCGAGGTCCGCGAGCTTCATCCCGCGCCAGACGCTCGGCGGCACGAGGCTCCTCATAAAACGCCGCGCCTGTTCTCGATCGTCGGCGTGCGCCGCGAGCCACTGCGTGCGCGCCGCCTCGGCCTGCTCGATCTGCTCGGGGTGGCTCTGGATGACGCGGTCCCAGCGCTCGATCTCCTTCTCGTGCGCGTGCGCGTTGCCCTCGCCGTTCAGGAGGAGCTCGGCTGCCTTTTGGAGGTGCTTACGGGCCTGCGCGTCGGTCGCGTCGATGGCGTATGAGCTCTGGCCGACGCCATCGCCGCGCGTAAAATAAAGGACGCCGGCCGGCACCGACGCGAGCGACACGGACACGGGCTCCTTGTCCCGCAGCTGCCTCCTTAACGCCTCGTTCGCGCGCTTGAGCCGCTGGACCTCGTCGGCCTCCGCTTGCGACGTCGAGGCCTTGGCGCGGATCTCCTTGATGCGCGTCTCGTGCGCCGCTTGGAGCGCCGCGGCCGCGGCCCGGGACCGCTCCTCGGCGCGCTTCACGTCGACGTCGTGCGCCGCTCGGAGGGCCGCGGCTTCGGCTTTCAATAGTGCCTCGGCGCGCGCCGCCGCCGCCGCCACTTCATGTTGAGCGCGTTGCTTGAGGTGGTGCAGGGCCATCCCTGCGATCATCACGACGAGGCCGACGGCCGCCAGGATGTGGAACCGCCGCTTGGCATCGCGCTCGGCCGCCTTTTCCCGCAGCTGGGCATCTTCCTCGCGCAGCGCCTCATACAATCGATCCACGACGCAGGACCGGTCTCCAAAACCGCAGCCGCCGCCCTCGTAGCGGCTCAGGTGCGCCTCGGCGAAGCGCCGCGCGGCGACAATGAGCGCCTCGCCGGGCTCGGCGCGCAGCCGCGCGTCGGCGCCGTCGATGGCCACGGGCACCGTCACGCCCGCGGCGCCGGCGACGGCGTCGCCCTCACCAGCATCGCTGTGGTCGACGCGCGGCGCCGGCGGCCGGAGGACGACGGGCGGAGCGGGGGCTCCCTTCTCGCCGCGCGCCGCGCGGATGGCGGCAGCCCGGCTCGCGAGGCGGGAGCGCAGGTCGTCGTCGCCGCCCACGACGACGGCGAGGAGGAGGCCCCAGCGGCGGCGCCCCATTTTGCCTTGCTTCGCAGCCGCTTAAAGCAAACCGTGAACGCTGATGTCGGGTATTCGAAGCTCCGAGCCGTGCGCGGGGAGGGGTCGGAGGGATGCTTCCTAGCGACGGGTGGCCTTCGGATAAATACCGATTTGGCTAGTGTGTCTCGACACGCTAGAAATGCTGGCTCGTGGGCGCGTATCAAACCAGCTGTAGGACCAAGGTGCTGCACCATTGCCTGTGTGTCACGCAGGACTGCTTCTTATCGGGCGCAGATCCAGCGGTCGAAGACAGTAGTGCATTTGTGTGCTCGCAAGGGCTAGATCGCTGCCATGGATGCTATCAAAGACTTCCTCGATGCCAACCACCTGGTCATGGACGTGGTCGTCGTGACGCTCGTCGTCGCGGCGCTGCACCGCAATTACCTGCACAAGGCCTTCACAATTGGCGCCGGCTGCGTCGCGCTGTCCAAGGTCTGCGAGCCCACGACGCTCCAATATGCGGCGTTCGCGCTCGTGGCCTACTTCGTGCCGCCCTTGCTCTCACCGATCTACAAGAAGCAGCCGGAGACCGGCGCGGTCTTCGTGACGGGCGCCGACAGCGGCATGGGCGAGGCGACGGTCCTCCATCTGTGTAAGACGTCCGGCTACGAGCGCGTCTACGCGGGCTGCTTTTCGCCGGCTTCGGAAAAGAAGCTCCGGGCCCAGCTCGACGCGGCGCAGGGGAAGAAGCTCAAGGCGATCTCACTAAACGTCTGCGACGACGCCTCGGTCGCAAAAGCGGCGCAAGACGTAGAAAAGGATTTGCGGGAGAGCGGTACGGGCCTCATAGCCGTCGTCCAGTGCGCGGGCATGGGCTACAACGGCCCCGGCGAGTTCATCCCCATCGACATCTATAAGAAGCAGATGGACGTTAATTTTTTTGGCTACGTAAGAGTCGCGCAAGCGCTGATGCCCCTCGTGCGGCAGGGCTGCAAGGTAACGAAAAGAAGAGGTAGGATGGTCTTCACGGGCACCGGCGGCGGCGTGCTGACGCCCGTGCCGCCCCTATTAACGGCGTACATGGCGTCAAAATTCGCCGTCGAGGCCTTCGTCCGTTCATTTAGGGTGGAAATGCAGCTTACGGAGAAACCGATCGACGCCTGCATCATCTCGCCGGGCTTCGTCAAGCCGACGATGCTCGTGGAGAACGGTTTGAAGCTGAACGAGGTCATGTGGGCGGACTGCCAGAAGCGCCTCGGCACGTCGCAAGCCCGCGACGAGTACGGGCCTTTGCTAGATCGCTTCATCGAGTACTCCCTCAACGAGAAGGGCACGCACGTGTCCGAGGTCGCCAAGCGTATTCGGCTCGCGCTCGCTGCCGGAAGACCGCTCCACGGCTACAAGGTGGGCCCCGACTCGCGCGCGACGCCCGTCGCGGGCCTGCTGCCCGTGCCCGTCGCCGACGCCGTCATGAAGTTCTCGGTGTTTGGGCGTCAGGGGGCGTTCTGACGCGTGTGTAGCGCCTAATCTTTTTCTCCGTAGAACCCGCCAGTAGCTCTCGCGCCGACGACGCGTGATCTCTCTGGTCTATATTGCCGTTTTTTTGTACGTACTTACTCTTCTATCCTTGCGTTGCTGCTCGAGGCTAGGAAAATTCTGACCGACGGTGGGTCGTCATCCAAGGGCCCACGGGCGCGGAGAATATCGGCCCCCGCCTCCCAGGCGTCACCACATAGGGCCAGGCAATTCAGTAGCGATCGCTCATGAGGCCACTCCCGTAGCGCGTCCTTGATGTTGGATTCCGCCGTATTCCCGCCATCCGCCCGCCGCTGGAGCTCACGCGTCGCGTGCTCGGCGTAGGCACCCTCGAGCATCGCCTCGACCTGTTCGTCGGATAGCGCGTCGATAAAAAGCACGCTGCGCGGCGGGGTCGGCGTCGAGCCACGACTTGTCCGTGAGACGAGGAACGGGAGAACGTGTTCGGCCCAGACTGGGACCAGGGCCTGGGATCCGATCTGATAGCCGAGTCGGAGAACCTCCGCGGCGGCATAGCGCGCAGGTCGTGGAAAGCGGCCATGCGTCTTCGGTGAGTAACGTAGACGCGCGGCCTCTTCGAGCACGCGCATGATGCCTGCATTTCCAATCACCCGCGCGTGCTCGAACACGTCATGAATCCTCCCTGGTCTCTCACCACGCGCAGCCTCCTTGAGGGGCTCGAGCGACGCCCCCGCGTCCAACAGCAGGCAGACGATTGCCAATTTGGCAGACCAATAATTTTCCTTATTGGCCAACTTGGTGGCCCACTTATCCGCTGGCCAGCCCGGCGGCGGCGTAGGCTCCAACGGAGTATCATAGTGTGGATCATCGGCCATGTCTGACAAAAAGCCGACGAGGGGAGTGAGAGACGGCGAGCACGTCGAGCCCCTCTGTGCCACCAGCTCGAATTTGTCGGTCGCCAGCAGCAGCTCGATACACGTCACGCTCCGGGCATTCGGGTGACGTATGGCGCAAAACAGGGATCTGAATATGGCCAGATCACGGTCCGCGGTCGCCCCCCGCCAGCGGATCCGCTCCGGACGCGAGAAGTGCTTTGACTATGTCTGGCTGATCGTAGTAACACGCCGCTGCTAGCGGGTTATTGACAGGCGGCGGCATCTGGCCGACCGTCACAATTGGACCTTGAGGCAAACTCAGGAACAAGTCTCTGGCTCTTCAGATATATCTATATTTACGCGTTGAGGCAAATCCGTGTGTGCGGGGTAGGCTCTGCGAAAGTGCCGACGTGATGAAACTACCGCAATCAATTATTTTGTCGGCGCCGGCGTGAAAAACCAGTCAGCTAGCGGTCTGTAAAGACACTAGCAACTTGGCTGCCATGCGGAGCGTGTGCTCGCGGGCAGCCCCACAGGTGGTCACAGGACCTCGCATGATGCTGCGCCCCACGCATGCGAGCCGTTCGCCGCGTCGACGGCGTGTGCTGCTGCTCAAATCACCCTGAGAGCATAGTATGAGGCGGGCGGCCGCGGCGGCGCTGCTCTGCCTCCCACAAGTGCGGGCCTACGTCGTCTGCCTACCCTACGTCAGCTGCTTCGAGGTCGACGACCAAACACTGAAACTGCAGCTCGAGGCCTACTGGTGCCCGCCGGGCGGCGACGACGACTTTGATTGGCACGGCGAGGACGCGCAGCTCAAGGCGGGCTGCGTCTTCCGCGGGCTCGAGCTCGTCGCGCGGATCGGAGCCTTTGGCGGCGACGTCCGCCGGGCCGTCGAGGCGGGCGTCCTGGCATTGAATTTGCCGGAACGGGAGACCGTCGAGGCGACGATCGTGCAAGCGCGGAACGCGACGTGCCAGGCGATCCTGAGCCTGACGTTGGAAGCGCGGCAAAATCTCGGCGCGCCGTTCGCGCGGGGCTGCGACGGCGAAACAGTCAGTATTATGGCCGAGCGCGACGGCGACGACTGGCAGAGCGAGTGGGAAGGTGAGAGGGCGGAGCGGGCCGACGGGGAGGTCCGGGCCGAGTTTCGAGCTTCGGAAGTCGTGGAGGCGCTCGGCGAAACACCACCAAGGTTCTACCTGACCGCCGTGAGCTGGCGGAGCCCGCATGTGTCGCGGCGGTGGCGCGGGTGCGAATCGAAATGGTCGCACGCCATGTACGACGCCCTCGCGACGCACCCGGCGCGCGTTTTTGATATAAGAGACGCGGACGTCGTGTTCCTCGACGTCGAGACGGCGCAGGAGCGGAACTGGCCGCGCATGCACGCGGGCGCCGGCACGGCGAACATGCGTAGGTGGAGAGGGTGCCTGCCCGGCGCGACGAACGACACCTACGGCTGGTTCCCGGACAAGTGGCCGCCGCGGGACCACGGCTACTTGTGGCTGCTCGAGAAGTTTGGGGCCCAGGGTTTACGAAGCCACGCGAAGCTGGTGGTGTTCGACATGCGCGGTTCGCCTCGACCGTCGGCCGTCGAGCGTGTTGTTGTTGCGGGGGCGGCCCTCGAGGATGGGTATAGAGGCGTCCCATTGCCGACGCCGCGGTTCCCCGGGCCGCGGTATCCAGTAGAAGCGGCCTGCGCTTCTGGTGGTATTGTAGCGTTCCGCGGCCGCGACACGCATATTGTAAGGCCCTTCCTGAGCGCATCTGTCAAAACGAGAAACACAATTATGACCATCTGTCGCGACGCTTATGATATAGGAGAGTTCCGCCCCAAGCTCTGTGAAGACGCGGACGACGGCGTCCCCTGCTGCGTCCCGGACGGTGATTTTCCGTATGCTGATTTTATGAGGAACGCGACCTTTGGATTAGTGCCGCGGGGCCACTCGCGGTTCTCGTACCGCTTCTTGGAAGTCTTAGATCATGGCGCGGTGCCGGTCGTCGTCTCGGACGGGTGGCGGCTGCCTTTTGATGATATCATCGACTGGGCGGGCGCCGCCTTCCGGGCCTTCGAGGGCGACGCGCCCCACATCGCGGGGGCGCTGCGGTCCGCCATTCCACAAGATTTGGCGTGCCGCATGGCGCGGCGCGGCGCGGCCCTCGCGCCGCTTTTAGGGAATTTCGAGGCGGTCCTGGAGTTGTTGTTGCGCTCGCTGCGGCGGCACCTTTCTTATAGAATTTATGAGCGGGGCGGCAAGGTCGTCGTCGACGCGACGCCTCGCAAGTCTTAATTAGTTATGTTTTTAGTCATCAACTATTCGCGGCGCGCCGTCAGGCTCCTCCAGGTCACTGACCTCGTCCTCGGACTCCTCCCCCTCTTCGATGTCTTCCAGGGCGCCGTCCTCGGCGCTCGCCTCCTCCTCTGGGGAAGCCGCGCTGCCGTCCTCGCCGGTCGCCTCGTCGCCGGAGCTCTCCTCGCCGCTTTCCTCCTCGGACCCGGACTCATACTCCGACGACGACGATGCCTCGAGCTCTTTCTGCCGCGCCAGCTCCGCGATCTGCGCCAAACGCGCCGTCCGCGCCTCCTGCTTCCGGTCTGCGGTCGCGGCCATCCTTTCTTGAACCTGGGCCCACCGAGCTTTCGCAGCACGAGCCAAGGCCGCGGACGACGTCCGCGCGCGATGCAGCGCCTCCTCCTCGGCCTTGCGCTTCGCCTCGAGCTGCCGCGCGATCTCCGGGTTGCCCGCGTTCTCGAGGTCTTTGAGCGCTTGGCGTTCCCGAGCCTTCTCCTTGATCGTAGAGAAGTCGGGGTCGTCGTAGATCTTCTCGAAGTTGTCCGAGTAGCCGATCCACTTCACTAACTTCGATCTTTCTTTATCCCTAAATTTCCGTTCGCTCTCCATCGACTTGAGGCGCATCATATTCGAGGTCAGCTCCACGTCGTCTCGGAACGCAGCGGGCAGCTGGAAGGCCCCCTCTTCGACATCTCTCCGCATCTCCTCCATCTCGTCCAACATCTCCAACCCTATCCTTCGTTCATGCAAGAACTCGGCCATGAGGGGGTTCTGCTTGTTCTGTCTTACGACGGTCGTACACATCGACATGCTCCGCTGGGAAATGATCTTCTCGATGATTTGTAATTTGCGCTTCCGTATGCGATGCCGGATGTTCTCCTGGTCGTGGTTCCGCTCGTGGACCATGGGCGGTTCACTCCTGCTTTCATCGTAGTCCAGGAGTAACCTCCTCAAGGGTACAAATGTGGAAGATATTTGCCCCGCCTCGTCGACGGCCGCGACGCCGCCCTGGACCTTGCGTCGCATTGCTATCCAGTCCCAGAAGGCCTCGCCGCCGAATTTCATTCTCATGCGCTGTCTCAGCTGGTAGCCCGGTCCTAGCAACGCCGGTCTAGAAGCCGTAAATTCCTTGAAGTCCTCCTTGGAGATGGCCTCCAGTGGGCTTTCGGCGATCAGCGTCACTAGATCTTGTAACAGCAATGCACTCCTTTCCGTACCCGCGAACGCCTCCGTCGTGATGTCCACAACTAGGTCGAGGGCCTCTTCCCGGTCCAGGTAACCGCTTTCATCCGCATCGTACAACTCAAAGACGAAATCCCGAAACTCGTCCGTATCTAACGTACAGATGTTCCAGACAGAAACGACATAAGCTTCAAAATCGCAACTCCCAGACACGTGCCAGCCGCGCATGTACTCCAGCATGCAGAAGACCCGGTTCGCGAAGTCCGAATGTTTTAAGTCGAGAAACTCCATCAACTCGCCCACCGCCAAGGTGTTGGAGTTATCGGCGTCGGCCGTCCGAAATAAGGAATACAAGACGTCGACCTCGCACGGCGCCAAGTGTAGATATTTGAAGATGCGTTCGGAAGCGGGCGACCACCGAGGCTTGGCGAGCTTCAGCGTCCTTGCTTGCACGCACCTCGCCTGGTTCGGCGGACTCAGCAAAATGAACGCGCCGTGTCTTTTGCACTTTTTGTACCAGCGATTGACCGCGTTGTCCGCGGCCCTGTTGTAGAGTTCCTGCCACTTCTCGCGCAGCTTTTCTAGGGACGAGGGTTCTATTGCAGGTGCTGGGCCGGGCGCGGGGGCGGGAGTACAAGCGTAGGCCGCGGGCGCCTCGGCCTCGGGCGCGGCGGGCGCCGGCGCTTCACTAATGGTCGACGCCGTCGCTACACTCCAGGTCGACAGCGTGGCCGAGTCGTCCTCGACGCCGACTTTTGCGGCTTTCGCCTTTAATCGGAGGGCGCCGAGCATACTGTCCACCGGTGGATTCGCAGCTTGGGGCAGCCCGCGACCGAGACTAGGGTGTCCTCATGGGGCCCGCCCGCGGCGACAGGCGAATGATATTGATGGCTCTCGCATGGAGCACCGCATGGGGCTGCGCTGTGCGGCTGCGCTGCGCAAAAGCTAGCGCCAGTTTGTCGCTAGTATGTAAGTGCACGCTAGCTCTGCTAGCTCGGCCGCGGCGCTTTTGCAGCCCTTGCAGCTCCACTGCTGGCGCATACCGATAAATCAGCGTGATCGCATTTGTGCGAATACCTCTGAGCCGCTTGTGAGCGCAGCATTCATGAGCTGTTTGCCCCAGTGAAGGTGCAGCAGTCTTGTTGCAAATGTCTGCGTGGTCAGGCTTCGGCGACTACGTCGAGAAGCTTGGCGCACCAATGACCGGGCAAGGCGACGCGGCGAACTTCGAAGCCATGCTCGAGAAAGCCCTCGCGGCCGAGGCTACGGCACCGACAAATGCGGCAGCACCGCCAACCGAGGCGGCCGCGCCGCCCAACGAGGCAGCAACGACAATTGAGGACGCCCCAGTAACGACCTACGAGACCACGGTCTGCATCATTGGAGGCGGCGTCGGCGGTCTCGCGGCGGCCGCTGCATTATCCGACGTTGGGGTGGAGTGCCTCGTCTTCGAGCGGGACGCGTCGCTCGAAGCCAGGAAAGCGGGCTACGGCATGACCCTATCTTCAGATGAGCGGGGCCCCCTCGCCCACCTGAAGATCTTGGAAAGGTGTCGCGAGCTCGACTGCGCGTCGACGGCGCACTGGGTGTTTGCCGGCGACGGGTCCGTCCTGGGCTACTACGGGCGGGGGCTGGCGGCCTCACTACATTGTAGTGAAGCGCGGTCGGGCAGCCTGAGAGTCCAGCGGCAGCAGCTGCGCGAGGTTTTGTTAGAGCGCGTCGCCCCGGCGGCCGTCCACTGGAATCATCAGCTCGCGCGCGTGGACGAGAGCGATGATGAGGTCGTCGCGACGTTCGCGAACGGCGCCATATGCCGGTGCGCCGCGCTCGTGGGCTGCGACGGCGTGCGGTCCCGCGTGCGCGAGCTGCGCGAGGCCCGGTTGCCGATTGTAGATAGAAGGCCGCTCGCGGAGGTCGGCGTCGGAGTGGTGGTTGGGCTGTCCACGTTCCGCCACGAACTCGTTGAAGGGAGGGGCTTCTACGTGCTGGACGGCCGCGCGCGGCTCTTCACGATGCCCTTTTCGGCGACGCTGACGATGTGGCAGCTCTCCTTTGCTTTGGGGGCGATCGACCTGGCCGGGGACCTCCTGAACGAGTGCGAACGCTACGTGGCGACCTGGAAGGACATAGGGGGCGTCGCCGCTTCGCTTATCAGGGACACGAAGGACGTCTGGTCCGCGCCCTTCCGCGACCGAGATCAGATGGTCGTGGCGTCCTCCTCTCGATCGCGGGTCACGGTGCTGGGCGACGCGTGCCACCCGATGACGTGCTTCAAGGGCCAGGGCGCGAACCAGGCCTTGGCGGATGCTGTTTTATTAGCGCGGCGCGTGGCCGAGGCCAATGACGTGCCCAAGGCGCTGCGGCGCTTCGAGCGCGAGATGGTCCAGCGCGCCGGGCCCCGCGCGGCGGCCTCCCGGTGCGCCGCGCGGCTCCTGCACTCTCCTTCTGCTCTGACGGCGGAGCTCCCCTCCTTCGCGCGCGTCGACGACTCGGCGGCCCTCTGCGAGCGGCTCAAGGAAGCGGGCGTCACGGCGGCGACGCCGGACCTCGAGCGGGCCGTACGTTCAATTATTTATGGTAATACTTAGTGTGTAGTGCAAGCAACGTCCCGGGCCGTGGACGGCGCTCGTTAGATGCTCGTTCACCCGCCCGGGCCATGTAAATACTTCAGAAGAGCGTTACGGCCGCGCGGGGTACGGCGTCCCGCTCCAGGCGACGCGCTCGAAGACGGGCGCGGGCCGCCGCGGGATCGTCGGCATCTGTCGCCGCCACCGCCGCGCGAGGACGGACCCCATGATGCTGTGGATCGTGGCGCTGATGGCCCCGGGCAGCTTCGCGGCCGGCGGCAGGCCCGCGGCGCCGGCCAGCACGACGGCCAGGGCGCTGTTCTGCATCCCCGTCTCGATCGAGACCGTCCGCCGCGCGGCCTCGTCCAGGCCCGCCGCCTTCGCCGCGGCGTAGCCCAGGCCGAAGCCCAGGCCGTGCAGGCACAGCAGCGCGCCGAGGACGCGGCCGGCGCCGGCCGCCGCCGCGCCCGCGGAGTTCTTCGCAACCACCGACCCGCAGATCCACGCGACCAATAACGCCGCCGTCGGCGCCAGGAAGGGCTGCGCCCGGTCGCACTTCTTCGGGAAACACGAGCGGAGGGCGAGCCCGAGCGCGACCGGGGCCAGCACGACCTGCACCGTCGAGGCCGCTAATGCTGCCCTATTCAGCTCCGCCTTGGCCCCGGCGCAGAGCGCGGCCAGAATTGGTGTTAAAAAGCAGGCAGCGACCGTCGAGCACGTCGTCATCGTTATGCTAAGAGGCACGTCCGCCCGGGCTAACAACGAGACGACATTTGATGCGACGCCGCCGGGGCAGCACCCGACCAGGCACACGCCCGCCGCCTGGGCCGGCGGCAGGCGCCATATCATTGATGCGACGACGGCCGACGCCGGCATGACGCAGAACTGCGACAGGAACCCGACGGCGACGGGCTTCGGCCTCTGGGCGATGCGCCGGAAGTCGGCCGTCTCGAGCGTCGTGCCCATGGCGAGCATGGTTAATGCTAACGCGGCGGTGACCTTCGGGCCGTCCAATCTTAGGAGAGTAGGCCCGACGGGCGTCGCGCCGACGACCGCGGCGCCCGCGACGAGGGCCGGGAAGCTGTCCGTGATGGATTTGCTGAGGCCCATCGTGATTAGGGGTTTGCGCATCGGTGTGCGGAGCGGTGCGCGCAGCGGCGCCCGCAGAGCTGCAGCGCAGGCGAGGCAGAGGGAGAGGCGCATCTTTGACGATTCCGAAAGTGGATTGCGGCAGCTATGCAAGCCGATCCTTTCCTCTCTCCTTTCCTCTCTCCTTTCTCCTCTGCTGGCGCTAGCGTTGTGACATACTAGCTCTGCTCGACGCCTCGACTGACTCGGCCTAAGCATCAGGGCGAGCTAACCGTTCGCTGGTACACTCGCTGCTGCTCGCGTAAACTGCTGCTGCGCGTAAGCTGAAGAGCTGCTGCGCGTACACTCAAGAGTTAAAAAAAGCCACTGTGTCCGGACTCGCAATGGCCGACGCGCCAGTGGCCGACGCGGAAAGGGAGGCGGAGACGCCGCCGGAGGAGCCACTATCGGAGGACGAAACCTGTATCGATTCTGGTGCGTTCAAGAAGCACTTCGGGTTCACCGCCACAAACACGGGCAAGCAGGTCCTTTTGGACATCTTAAAAGCCATGGTGAAGCAGAATCTGGAGAAGGCGACGTTCGCCCTGCTCCCTAAAGGCGGCGATTATAAAAAATCAAATTGGCTCGCCGTGTATCTGGACAGCAACGCCGCGGGCGCCGCAGTAAAGCGTCGCCTCCTGAAGTTCCGCCACGACGCCATCAAAGTGTGGAACAAGGACCGCCGCGCCGAGCAGGAGGAGTCCGACGAGGCCTCGAGCGACGACGACTCGGCGGCGTCCTCGGAACCGGATCTGAGCAACGTCGTTTTAGATGATGTGCCGCTGCCCCCCTCCATCAAAAGGAAATATGAAACCGAGATCAAGTTGTGCGTCCACTACAAGGTCGACTTCTCCCAGTTCCAAGGTAAGGCCGCCAAATACTTCCGGAGTAGTGACTTTACAAGCGCATGGAAACGCGCAAAAGGCTTGGAGATTGAGCGGCGCACCACATCGCGAGAAGGCGCCGGCCAGCAAAAGGAGGAGCAGAAGCGCTGCGGTGAGTGCGACGCCTGCTTGAGCATGGTGCAGCCGCCGCCCGGCTGCGAGTGCCCCGCCTGCAAACGCGTCGAACTTGGCTCTTCAGCGGTAGGAACTTGTCGGGAAGTAAGGAAAGCTCGGGAGAACCCGCCGCGCTGCGAGAAGTTGGCCCAGGACAATTTACCAGCAGTAGGAGCCGACGAGCAAGGCTCGGCTCACCTTGGCGATCCGCTGACGCTGGAGGAGCGGAAGCTCAGGGACGTCGCCGAGCTGATTCGTGAAAATTCGGATGCCGATTTAAGGAAGCTTGCACCGAACGTAGATCGTAAGTTACAGGCGGGTACGGCCAAGGCGCTGTCCCTGGCGGTCCCGGGCATGCCCGCAACGATCGGCTACGTATTAAGATTACTCGGCGACGATACGACAAAGGCGGATTTGGGGGAGCACGTCGCCACGCATTTGAAACTGTGCGACTACCTCGACGACGACGAGAAAACGCGGAACGAGATGATCCGCCTCGCTCGCGCCGCCGCTATCGCGCCCGATGAAGAAACTGAGCCGCCGCCGACCCCCTCGATCATGCACCGCCGCGCGTGGACTCGCATCGCGAAGGCGTTGTGTCGTCAGCAACGCGAAGAAATCTTAGCTTTACCGAAAGGTTCGGACGCGTTGGGGACCTGGCTACGGACGCGCGCGCAATTCGCCGTGGACTGGAGATCGGAGTACCTCGCCAAAAATGGGGCCCTCGCTGACTGGACGATCGGGCAAGCCGCCGCCCTCAAAGCGAACCGCGAGAACATGTTCAATGAGAAATTGAAAGGCGAGCGCTACAACAACACCGAACCATTCCGACTCGCTCGGAACGAGACTCATCGCACGGACGTCACCGATAACGTTCCGCGGCTCCGGGAGACGGGCCCGCGGCCGCCGTCCTCTAGGTAAAAGAAGAAGTAACTTAAATATTGTGTCACACATACAGTAGAGCCTGTGGCACCAGCGCGTCCCCTCTACGCGCCCTTCAAACGAGGCGTCGCCCGGCGCGCAGGAGCCCGGCCCGCGGCGTCGGAAGCGCGTCGTCGACGGCCCGCGTCTACTGCGAGTCCGTTCTGGGCTTCTTTGGCTGCTGTGACAGCTTTTCCAACCACCTCATGATGTACTGCGGAGCCCCAATCAAACCCTTTTGAAAGTCGCGCACGAGGTCGTCGGCCATGCCGCCGTTCGCCTGGAACTCATCAGTGGTCTTGCTGCCCTTGTACTGTTCGTAGGCCGTCCAGAAGTCTTCATCGAGATAGGGATTGATGGGTTCAAATGTGATGGACCCCTTCGGAATCTCGCGGTCTGGTGCCGACCGCTTCGTCTGCCCGCCGCCGGCCGTCGAGTCGGCCGGCACGGGCGCAGTGGCGGGCGCTTGCGTCGCCACGGCGAGTGGTTTGGAGGGAGCGCCGAGCGGCGGCGGCTGAGGCGCTTCCGTCTGCGGAGGTTTGGGTCGCTTGCGTTCCTCGTCGTCGTCGTCGGCGCGCGGGCGCTTCTCCGACGCCGTCGACGGCGCCTGGTCCGCAGCCACAGGCAGCGCGGCCGGCGGCTCCTGCGCGGGCGGCGCGGCAGACGTCTCCTCCGACGCGGTCTCGCCGCGCTGCGATAGGCCGTCGCCGTCGTCGAAATCTATATTGACGGCGTCGGGACGATCCGCACCGATCGCTTTGGCGGCCGACTGAGGGCTGAGTGCCCAGGTGGGCGGAGACGGGAGCGGAGATTTACCGCTGCCGGTTGGCGTCTTCGGCGCTGCAACAGCTCGAGCCAAGTATTTCTTTTCCTGCTTCGGCTGTTCCTTCTTCCCAGCAGGCGCACTCATCATGCTGTGCCGCTTGCCAGTCGAGCTAGCGGTATGTAAGACACTAGCAATCACATTTTTGCGAGCCTGTCGAGCGACTCGACAGACCGAGTTCCCACAACAGGGGACTCAATGAAACTCAATCTCCTCATCGCCTTAGCGGCGGGGGTCGGCGCTCTTGTCGGCCCCCAGCCCCAGCTGAAAAAAGTTCAGTCTCTATCTTTTGCGCCGGCGCTCGACGTCTGCGACGACATCGACGCGATGCGGGTCGACGTCCTCATCGACGGCAAGTTCCATCATCGCTTCCACCAGTGCAAAGGCGCCTGGGAGAGCAGACTCGAGAAGAAGCGCCGCGAACCATACCCCCCACCTAGGACTCCAGCCCAGGCCTCGAAGCGCGCCGTCGCCTGGCAGCAACCCGTCTGGTCCGCGAAAAACGCGTAGCCGAAGCCGGGGACCGCATCGGCGGCCGTCGTCTCGCGGAACGCGTCGCGGAAGGCGCGGTTCCCCTCGCCCGTCCTCAGGTGCGCGAACACGACGTGGTCCGCCGCGTAGTCGACCGGCGTCGCGGCCGTCGTTGTGAGGAGCGCGAGGAGCGCGAGCCGCCCGCGGCACCGGCGTGCGGTCCTTCCTAGGATTGTGGATCCCCCGCGTCGCATCGTCGCTCGCAGATCACGAGCTCTGGTTGAATGAGCTCTCTGTCCCGACAGCAAAATCGTCTAGAATCGGGCAATTTGGTATCGTAGCATGACCACTTGAGCCCTTATAGATGAAAACTCAGAGGTTTTCGACTACAACAGCGCGGGTCAGAGCTTCCGACGGGCGCTGAGGTGGGACAGCAGTCGGGCTTCCAGTATTTTCCCGCATTAATCTACAGATCCGGGAGACGTCTTGCAGCGGACGGAGATGTCGCATTAATGTAAAACGACAGCGTAATACCCTGATATTCCTAGTGTGTTACAGGCCGCTAGCATCGCGACGCGTCGAGCAAGGGAGGGCCAAGCCTTCGTACGGAGCACGCACACGCGTGGCAGACGAGTCCTAACACCGGACCTTACGGCACGCCATCGCTGCGGCCGGCGCGCTAGTTTCCGGGCGCTGCACATATCACATTGCTCGCAGCGCTGCGCAACGCGACGCAATGTCCAGCCAGCCATGGGGCGACAAGCGCTGGAGTAGGGAAACGAAGAGGCGCCGCCTGGCCCAAGCGAGGGCCGTCATGGACCAGATCGACGAGAAGTACAAGACGAAGGAGGAGGAGCAGTACCTCGACCCCGACAAGGGCTTCGCGGAACTGCGGGATCCTACCGCTCCCAGACCGATCGCCGACGACAAGGACGCCATCAAGTCCTTTAAGGGAGACTTTGCGTTTCTGGCGCCGGACGCGAAATGTCGAGTCGCCGTGCCGTCGGCGTTCGGGCCCGTCGCGCTCGACGACGACGTGCCCCCCGATTCAAAGCCGTATCCTTCCCTAGAGCACGCGTTCCAGGCCGTGCGGTCCGGCGACGGTGTTTCTGTGAGAGCGTGCGCGACGGCGCGCGACGCCAAGCGCGTCGGCGCCAAAGCATTCAAAAAAAGGAGTGATCAAGACGCGTTCCGCGAGAAGGCCGTCGACGTCATGGATGCGTTGGTGAGGGACCGCTTCGTGCGGGCCGACCGCGACGCTCTGTGCGCCACGGGGACGCGGCGGCTCCGCCACGGCAACGACTTCGGCGACGGCTACTGGGGCCTCAAGGGCGACGGTTCCGGAAGGAACGAATTAGGAAAAGCATTGGAGCGGTGCCGCGATTTGTGTCAGAACGAAAAAAACTTTTGGCTCGCGTGGTGTTCTGATAGAGTCTCGAACATAGATGAGAGAGACAGCGCCTTCGACGCGTGCTGGCGGCGAGAGGGCGACCAGAAGCTCCAGATGCTGCCTGCCGTTGAGGAGGCGCTTTCCCTCGTCCTGGGCCGCCGCGAGGACTCGCCGCTGCCGTTGGATCATGCGTCCATCTCGCGCTTCCACGCGTGTGCTGTCAACGCGTGTCCTGGCACGGAAGAATACGCCCTGGTGGACCTCGGGTCGTCTCATGGGACCTTCGTGCACCGCAAGGGCCGCTCGCCGAAAAGGCTCGAACCGTTTGTGTTCTATAGATTGTCAAAGCGCGACGAGGTCCAGTTCGGGGCGTCTTCCAAAAGATTTAGGTTGGTCGCGGACTGTGAGAGGCGGCGGCGCAAGGCGGAGCGGCTGGCGGGGCGCATGGCGGCGGCGCCGGACGACGAGCAGCAGCGAACAATTGTGGTACGGTCTCTGGCTTATGAAGCCGACGAGGCCGACGTGAAAAAGCTGTTCCGCCACATCCCCGACGTCGTCGTTACCCTAGGAAGGGGCAGCGCGACCGTGGTCCTCCCATCAAAAAACGATGTTACGCGGGCGCTGGCCTGCGACCTCGAGGAGGTCAAAGGCAGGAAGGTGCGCGTGCGACGGGCAGAAGACTAAGTTTGTATGAAGCCTAGGGCGCGCACCGCTTTGGGTCGCGCGGGAACAGGGACGCCCTCCTAATGTTGTCCAACCCCAAATAGAGGAAGACGACGCGCTCCAGCCCGAAGCCGCAGCCCGCGTGCGGCGGCGCGCCGTGCTCGAAGGCCTGCATGTATGATTTGAGAGAGGCCGAGAGGTCCGCGGCGTCGGGGTCCAAACCCTTCGCGCCTGCGCAGCGACGCGTGAGTCGGCGCGCGAACTCTCACCCTCGCGTCGATGGCGTCGGAAAGTGACAAGGACGCCGCAGGCGCACGGAGCTGATCTCTCAACAAAGAAGGGTCGTGGACGCGTTGCGCCCCGGAGCAGATCTCCTGGCCCCGCAGGAAGAAGTCGTAGGAGTTCGACCTTGAACTATCTGAAGGGTCGAGCATCGTGTAGAAGGGTCGGATCGACGACGGGTACCGGTCTACTACGAAGAAATCGACGCCGTGCTTTTCTTTGACCAGTTCACCTAGTCTCAATTCATCAGCACCAGACAGGTCGTCGCCGCCCTCCGGTGCACAGCCGTTATCCCTCAACAGCTGTAAAGCATCGTCGAAGTGAAGCACCACGGGCTCGTCAGAAATGACAGGCTTGGACGAGGGAAACTGCGCCCTTACGGAAGTTAATAGGTCCGAGCACTCCTCTTCTAACCCTTCAAAAATAGCTTTGAAGACGCCGTGGCCAATACTAATAGCCTCGGAGTAATGCGACACGATCGGCACTTCGAAGTCCAGCCCCGTAAACTCACAAAGGTGCCTTCTTGTATTCGAGTTCTCGGCCCGAAACACGGGCCCGACCTCATACACACCGCCCAAGTCCCCAGCAACAGCTAATTGTTTATATAATTGCGGCGATTGCGCTAAGCACGCCGTCTCGCCGAAATAGTCCGTCGTAAACACGCCCGCGCCGCTCTCGCTCTCGCCCGCTATCAACTTGGGAGAGTGGATCTCGACGAATCCGCGACTATCCATGGCGTTCCGGTAGAGGCGGCAGACGGCCGCTTGGAGTTTCAGAGTTGCTGCGGAGGCAGGGGTTCGTAATTCTAACCAGCGGTGGTCCAGGCGGGCCTCTTGCGAGACCGACGCGAATGGTCTGTCAGTACTTTGTGATGCTTCGATCTCGGCTTCTGATCTCGAAGCGTCCTCTACTAAGAAAGGTAGCGTCGCAGGTGCCCTCGTGACGACCTTACAGCTGTTCAATTGTAATTCAACGTCCCCTCGAGAGCAGGTCTCGACGGTCGCCTCCGCGACGCTCCCCCGACAGTCGACGATGGACTCGCAGGTCAGTCTCTCGAGAAACTTGAGAGCTTCATTGGACCGCGGATCCGCCTTGTCCTTAAAATAGCAAGCTTGTAATGTTTCGGCCGCATCATCCAAACTTCGCAACACCAAAAACACGGCCCGGCCCGTGCTCCGGACGTTGGCCACCCGACAACGCACCCAGGCCTCCTCGCCCGCTTGCAGCGCTTTGATGGTTGACGGCTTGTCTGATGAAGAAGCCTGGGACCGGCAGACGTCCATGTCGCCGAACCTCGGTTGATCATCAATAGGAGCCTCGATGGAAAAGGGCAGTTGCGCGGCCACGAGCGGCGGGCCCTTATCTTCCACAACAGCTGGTGCCGCCTCGGCCGCTTTTTGCTTCTTAGCAGCTTTTTTAGCATCAATTTTCCGCTGCTTCTGCAGCTTCTTCAAAGCGCTCTTCGACATCTCCTCGCCCGTCTCGGGGTCCACGACTAAATTAACCGGAGCATCACTCATGTGGCGGGCGACGGCGGCTCTTGGTATGTGATGTAGTCTTGGTATGAGTGCGCGCGCCGGCCGCGCCGCCAGCGCTATGAGCAGCGCCATGCTTTGGCGCATGGGTCTCCGCCGGCTGCGCGTCTTTTAGCGCCCCGCGGACCACTGCCAGCCTCGGTGGCGAGTGGTCAGCCTGCGTTGCCTGCTACTGCCACGGGTGGACTTCGAACTTGCGCTGTGCTGTTCTTTTGCACACGTGTGACTGTGCAACCTGTCTGCGAGCGTTTTGATGCGGGAAGCAGCGCGTGTGGCAAAGTGAAGTTGGTCGTGAGAGCTAGCATCCATACGACGCTAGCTCGCCGAGAGCCTCTGCCGCCCGCTGCTCCGAGCTGAGCGGCAGGTTGTGACCGCTAAGGCACCTAACGGACAGCCCATAACGCGCTATCGACAAATACCACTCGCTCGGCAAGCGTTGAGGCTTGCTGCAATTCACACTGGGAGCTGCCAGAGCAGCACAGCGAAGCGCTCGCGCGCGTGGGTAAAAAAAGACGCGTCTCACGCTGTTCCTCACGCTGCGAGCGGCCGTCGCGCTGCGCGCGCCGCTGCGCCGCGTCGCCACGATGAAGCGCGCCGCCGCCGCCGCCGAGGGTCCTAGCAAAGCCGCGGCCGTGGACCCGCGCGGCGTAGGTAAACCAGAGCTCGCGCGGAAGCCGGGCGAAGCTCGAATCCCGAAGCGCAAGCTCGCGCTTTTATTAAGCTACCGCGGGACGCAATACCACGGCCTCCAGCGCCAGACGGATCCAGCCCTCAAGACGATCGAGGGCGAGATGCGCGTCGCCCTCTCCAAGGCCGGCGCCGTGTCCCCGGAAAACGCCGAAGACCTCTCGAAGATCGGCTGGTCTCGATCCGCGCGGACGGACAAGCGGGTCTCGGCCGCGCAAAATATCGTCGCAGCGAAGTTGGAAGTGGAAAATGATGATGTGGACGCCCTCGTATCTCGGATCAACGACGAGCTGCCGCATGATATTCGTGTCTTCGATGCGGTTCGAGTGACCAAATCATTTAATTGCAAGCAGTCGTGCGATCGGAGGCGGTACGCATACTTATTACCTTCATGCTTGTTGGCGTCGAACGACGAGATCGACGCGGCGTTTGCGAGTGTCGGGTATGGTCCCGAGAAAATCGAAGCATGCCGAAACGCGGTCGCGCTCGCGAAGCGGGAGGGCGCGCGGCCGAGTGACTGGCAAATCTCCGACGAGGCGGCCCGACAAGTGGCGGCGACGTTCGCGGCGTGCCGCGCGGCGCCGGACGCCATTGAAAGATTGCGGCAGTTCTTGCGGTGCTACGTCGGCACGCGGCGCTACCACAACTTCACAAAAAACTTAAAAAGTAGTGATGAGCAGGCCAAAAGGTTTATTCTCGAATTCGACGCCGGCGACCCTAGGATAGTAGCTGATAGCACGGAGTGGCTCCGGCTCGAAGTCGTGGGCCAGTCCTTTTTGTTACATATGATCCGGAAGATGGTCGCCGTCGCGTCCGAGGCTTCAAGGACTGACCGAGGTGATCCTTCGACGTTGTTGGACGGCCTGACGAGTGATGATGCGGTGAACCTCCAGGTCGCGCCGGGCGAAGGTCTATATCTGGCCGCGCCCGTCTTCGACAACTACAACAAGTACAAGGCCCAGCCGCCGCAGAAGCCCAAGCTCGAGTGGGACGCCACTCACGCGAAGCACGATGTTATTGAGAGATTCCGGGTCGAGGTGATCGAGGACGGGATTGTCCAAGGTGGAAAGGCGGAGGCGTTATTGCCCTGGGTGCTCTACCTCTGGCAGGTGCGCTTGTTTGGCTTTCCTTTGTCGGTAGAGGATCCGATCCCCGTGCCGAATCCTACGAGTGGTGCGGACGGCCGGCTGTCGTTCTCGCCCGCCGCCGCGGAGGGTTAAGTTGAGTTAGTTACACACAATGGGGGTTCCTCCGGGCGATGGCGCCTTCATGAGACCACGTCGCCTCGACGCCGTCGACGTGGCCGTCGCGTTGCGCCTCCACGCTATCGACGCGACGGCCCCCTCGGAAGGCCAGTACGACGCCTGACAGGGCAGAAGAAGCTCAGAACACGGGGTCCTCGTCCGTCAGCGTGAACCGCTGCGGCTCGCCGCCTAACAAACCGTCGTCCTCGCCGAGGGGCCGGAGCGGAGCGGCCATCATGCGCGCCCGAACACGCGAGGCATTGCTTCTGATTGCAGAGGTGTGCTCGGCCACCGCGTAGCCGCGGTGCGCGCTAAATCTAAACCGATCCAACGCCGGCGTCCGCGCCCGGGCCTGCTGCGGCGTCAGGCCCGCACCCAGATCGCCCCGACACAGCGGGCAGCACGGCGTCGCCATGCGCTCCCTCGCTCGTTTAATGCAGTCTAGATGAAATCTATGGGAGCACGTCTGCAACACATGTATTTTTTGTTTGTCGTCGTTCAGCGGCTCCAGACAAATGCTGCAGCACTCATCATCAATAGACCGGCGCGGCGGCGTCCGCAGCGGCATTGGACTCTTCCGCGCCGCGGCGAGGCGCTCCCGGAGCGTCGGCGATGCGCGCCCGGGCCGCGAGTTCCAGGTCACCACTTCAAAACTCCGCGACGCCCGAGCCGACCGCGCGTAGGATTGGGGCGTCGTCTGCGCCCAGTGCGGGAAGGGCGCGCCGAGTCTCGAATCACTACGGTCGACGGGCGTGAGGCCGGGGGATTGTAGGACGGGCGAAAAAGACCGCGCGCGCGCGGGCGTCGACCGCGGCGTGCTCGGTTGCCTTGCCGGCGTCCTGGCGCTGGGCGACACGGCCAGGGCGCGCACGGGCGTCGACCGCGGCGAGCTGCTGTGGCGCGGGCGCGTCGGCGGCGTCGCTGGCGTGCGTGTCCCTCGCTGCGTCGGCGGCGTCCGGGCGCACGGCGACGTCGCCGGCTTGGGAGTGCGTGGCTGGCAGCCCGCGCTGGCTGGTCGCGCGGCACCGGTCGGCGAGGGCTGGCGCTCGCGCAGCGGCGTCCGCGGCGGATCCATCGCAGCTGAGGCTGAGGCTGTGGCTGTGGCTGCGAGTCAAGGCTGTGCCACGTCGGCAGTGCGGCTGCCGCGCGAGGTGAAGTGCTCAGCGCTGGTAGCCTGGCAGCTCTTGGTGCTATCCGGGGCGATACGATGAGCGTCGCACGCTATCGCTTTGATTTGAGTTTTGGGCGCGGATGTGTGCTAGTGTGTCTATCGAACGCTAGCCGCAAAAAATTACTTGCGCAGGCGTATGAGCCGCAAGCGCGCGACATCGACGCGCCTCTAGCGGCGTTGGTTCGCGCCTGCACCTACGAGGACCTGCGCGCGCCCGCGCGCCGCGACAGACCTCGCAGAGCCAGAGCCACAGCCTCTGCAATCAGCCTCTGCAATCAAGAGCCACAGCCGTCAATCAACAAGGCAGTATAATACCATGCGCCGCATCGTTGCGGTCGCGACATTCGCCGCAGCTAAAGCGCAGCTCGACGCGGCGGGTCACGCGGCCGCGGCGCCGGCGGTTCCTCGACGAGAAGAGGCGACGCCAGGCCTCCGCGGCGCCGCATCAATGCCCCGGGCGGAGGAGGAGGACTACTCGGCCTGCACGACGGTGGCCGCCGAGCTCGCCTTCGCGCGGCTGGAGATCGCCGCGCTGCAGCACGACAACGCGGTGCTCGCGTCGGAGAACCGCGTGCTCGCGAACGCGCGCAACCTGCCCGAGGTCGTCGCGGACATGCGCGAGTACATTCGGCACGTCGTCGACGGCGATGACGCCGTGCCGTGCAAGGCGGAGGTTTGAGATCTTGTGCCGCTAACTTTGTGTTGTGCTTTTTACTCATTTTGCTGGCGGCCGGGCGCGCGGTCGTCGTCGGGCGCCTACTCACGCGGCCCAGGCGGCCGGCTACAGTCGAGAGCGATCTGCTCGCGGGTCAGCTGAGTAGTAGGAGACGCCAGTTCCGGTCTGCAACCCGCACTCATTTTTGCTCTGCGGCCGGCGCCGGGGCGCTCTGCGAACCCTAACTCGGCCTGCCGCGACCAACCAGTGCGCGGGAGCAAGCATACAAGGCACGCCGAACGCAGCGGGCAGCCAAAGGCAGCAGTACCGATCACCATACGGCTCCATCTCCAAGATGGCCGACTCCTTCAGAGCCATCGCAGCTTCCAAAAGGCTGGCGGCCGCAGCCCTGGAAGCGAGGTTCGATCACCTCACGAGCGGCCCGCCGTCGCCGCGAAAACCGAAGCCTAGAAACCTGACCAAAAGAGAACAGCGCGACCAGGACTTCCGCATCGCGTGCGGCGCCTACGTCAAGGGCGCGCAGAAGGCCGGCGCCAAGCTGTACGCGGACATCCAGGCGGCCGAGAAATTACTAGAAAAGGGCCAGGACGGACGGGGCGGCGACCGCGAAAAGCTCCTCAACAGTGCGGATGGAGACGGCTGGACGGCGCTGCACTGGGCGGCGGCCGAGGGCCACCTGCCGATGGTACGGTGGCTCGTGCAGCGGCCTGACATAAATCTGGACGCCGTCGACGCGGACGGCTGCACGCCGATCTGGGCCGCGGCGTACAACGGCGAGTACCACTGCGCGCTCTGGATCCTCTCGAAGGGCCCGAATCTGGAGCTGCGGGGCAAGGCGTCGAACACGGCGTCGTGTACGCCCTGCAACGCCGCGCGGTCGCAGCGCAACCCGACGATCGCCGACGCCATCGACGCCGAGCTTGAGTTAAGAAGGCAGGACCCGAAGCGCGTCGCGTCGCTCAAGAGCGGCAATATTGACTACGAGGACTTCCGGGAGGACCTCCGGAGCATATCTAAGAATAGGTAACTTTAACGCGACCTAGCCCAGATCAAAACCCTCCTCGGACATGGAGATGATCTCCTCGATTTGGGGAGGGTCGCCCTCGCCCGTCCAATGCGGTCCGGACGCGCACCCGGGCACGGCCAGGAAGTCGTCGAAGTCCATCTTTTTGGAGTTCGGGCAGCAGCCCCACCATTTCAATGTTTCGTGGAAGACGGGCGTGCCTTTGTGATACGTACAAGCTTTGGCATGGTTGTCCTCCGGCCGGAACCGCGCCTGGCAGCCCTTGTTCTGGCACCGGTACGTGCCGTCCTCATACCTCGTGACCTTGGGTTTAGCTTTTGTTCCAGTAGCCCTAGCGAATGATTTCGCGCCCGTCGGCGCTTCTTTGCCCTCGTTCTGGTTGTAGTTCTCGATGGACTTCGTAGGTACTGGCGCACAGGGAACGCAGGTCGGCTTAGGCTTCTCCGGCGCTTTGGGCGGTGTGGCAGAGTGCCTACCGACGGCACACGTCGGCAGCTTCTGGAAGTCGTCCCAGTCCATGGCCGTCTTGCCCTTGCAGCAGGTCCAGCCCTTGTTGCAGTCGTGGAAGAAGGGCGGGCCGACGTGGTGCTTGCACGAACCTTCGGGGTTGTCGTTCGGATCAAACAACTGGGCGCAGCCGAAGTTCTGGCATTTTACTTTGCCTTCGGCCCATTTCCTTTTTGCTTCGGCCTCGTCGGCCTTCCGTTTTTCTTCATCTATGATTTTTTGACGGGCCGAGCCTATGGCCGGAGACGGGCCGCTCACGATCAGTAGCTCGGCCTTGGGTTGTATACACTGCTCGACGACGTCCTCCAGCCCGAGCGTCTCGCCCTCGAGCTCGAAGTGCACGCCGTCCTTGGCCAGCGGCGTGTCCGCGTGCTTGCCGTTGTAGGTGTCGACCGCAAACGCTAACAACTTCTCGACGGGGCCCGGCCGCCAGCTCTTGGGCACGGTGAACTTCGTGTTGAGGTGCCTCGACTCGTCGCCCTCCTCGTGCTTCACGTAGACGATGAGCTTTTTCGTCGCCATGCTGTCGCAGCGTTGGCGTGCAGCGCGTGTCTTGCAAAAAGCTGGGGCGAACGCAGTCTCGAGTAATTTTTGGAAGCTTTGGCCAGCGCTGCGGGAGTGGCGAACCTTATACGCTGCTCTATGCGCCTTGGAAGACGATCGAGTGCTTGGTGGCTAGTGTCTCACATGACGCTAGTACCGCCAACTTGCATTCTGCCTTTACAAGCGACAGAGAGCGCCATTCGTGCTCACAAAAGCGTTTTTGTGATAGCTCTCACTGCTACGCAGTCGGCAGGACCGAAAGAAGCGATCAAATCGCCTCTCCAAAGCAGCTTCTCACATCGCAGCGATGAGAGCACTCGTCGCCCTCACGACCGCCGCGGCGGCCTTCACGCCGCTCCACCTCACGCGCTCCACCTCACTGATCGCGGGGGGCAAGGGCTTCGGCGAGCTCGACCCCAGCAAAGTCGCGCGCGTCCAGGTGCCGCTGTCCGAGCGCTTCACGTTGGTGTACACCTGCAACCGCTGCGAGACGAGGAACGCCATCTCGGTGAGTCGCGTCGCGTGGAACGAGGGCGTTGTTATTGGAAAGTGCATGGGCTGCGACGCGCGGCACATGCTCGCGGACAACGCGGGGCTGACGGACCAGACGAATTCTTCCAGGTTCTCGAATGTCGTGAATGACGCCATCGCCAAGGGCGAGACCGTCAGACGAGAGTCGCTGAATGACGCGGAGGCCCTCGCGGACTGCGGCGTCGAGCTCCTCCCGGACGGCAACGTGTCCTTGGTCGCTCGAGCGGGCGAGGAGACGGTGAAGACCTCGCAAAAAAACGGGCGGCAGGTCATCGCGACGAGACGCGTCGAGGACGGCACGCCGATTATTGTGGTGAAGAAGGACGACGCCACGCCCAAAGTGGAGGTGGTCGACGACACGAAGCCGGCGCCGCAATTACTGCCGGCGAGCGCGCCGGTCGTTGACCTGCCGGCGGGGCCCGAGCCGGGCGACGTCCTTAGAGTGAACACGGACTTTGGCGTCGTGCACGTTCTCGTGCCAGAGGGTGTGAGTGAGGGGGCGCGGTTGGAACTGGGCGGGGTGGTGGAGGTCGCCGTGCCTCCCGAACGACGCGCCGGCGACGTCGTCGGCGTGGCCCTGCCGGACGGGACCGTGGTGTCGGTGGAGGTACTGGCGGAGGATGTTGGGGCCGCTATTTCTGTGGCGTTTCCGGTTGTGGTGCTTTGATGAGTGCTCCGCATGTGCAATTAATTAATCTAAACGCATCGTGCCGACAAGTAAGCGGCTCGCTAGTGTGATTGTTGACGCTAGGTATTATTGGCAAGCTTGCAAGGTTTTGGCAGCCAGAACTGCTCAGGAGTTGCGCAAACCAGCGCACCGGATCGTTTCTTGACGCTTTTTGTGTATAATCATCGCTGCGCCGTCTCGCTTGCGGCAACGATTGGCTCTGAGCAACACTCCTGGGAGAGCACTGCCTCCTGCACCGCGCAGACCGCCGCAGACGTCGCTTGTGCGGCAGGGCAATGGCTCTGAGCTCGAGCGGAGCACTGCTCCTTGCATCCTGCGCATGGACCGCCGTCGCTTGGGCGCCGCCTCGACGACTCGCGCCGCTCCGAATTGGCACTGCGTGGGCGCCGAGGGGTCATCGCGCATCACCTAGAGTAAGGCTCCTCGCCGCGACAGAAGAGACGGAAGTCCCGAAAAACGTGCCCGAGGACGCGCCGCTCGAGCTCACGAACAAGATCCTGCGCAGCATGCGCAGCTTTCCGGCCCTCGTCGGCGCCGGGGCCTTATCCTGGCTCGCGCCGCCGACGCTCGTCGGCACGGCGTTCTTCCTGGGGACCGGCACGGACCTGAGTCGGGAGGTGCTCAACTCGATCGAGGACGTGGTGCTTGCGTCGCTGTCCATCGTGCTCGGCACGCTAGTATCGACAGCGGTCTCTGTGCTACGCGACCGGCAGGAGAAGATTCGGTGCTGCATGCTCCGGGAGGCCTCTCTATTGGACACGCTAGCGCAGCAGCTCGTCAAGTTGTTCAGGTACGACAAGGCCCGGCTCAAACGCGTCACGAGCGTCCTCGAGCGCTACGTGGAAGAAAAGCGCAAATCGATCCGCAAGTCCACGGTCTACGGCTACCGCGACTACTACGCGCACTGGGACGGCCAGCAGAAGCGGTCCCTCGCGATTCTCGATGTGGTCGCGGAATGTTTAGATAATCAGATCGCCGGCCCGAAGTACGGCTTCTCGCCCTCATCGTCGACGGCGGCCATCTACCAGTGCGAAGTCTTAGTTTTTGAGCTCAATCAGGTCAGGCAGGAGTATAGAAGTGCTCTGAACGCCTCGCTGCCGCGCGGCGTCTTCACGACGATCATCGCCCTGATGGTCGCTATTTTATATACGTTCGCGTGCCGCGCCGCGGCGATGGGCTCCTTCGCCGCGACGCGCCAGTTCCTGTCGGAGACGGTCGTGCGCGTGCTGTTCTCGCTGACGGCGACGTCGTTTTTCGCCATTTTGCAGGTGCTCTCCGACCTCGCCGACACGTACACCGGCGCGAACGAGCAATTCCGGGTAGACGCGCGCATTTTGGACGGCGCGACGTTCCGAATAGCTGGAGCGAAAGCTTTAGCCGAGGGCACGGAGAGCTTCGACAAGGTCCTGCCCGACCTGGCCGATAGGCCCGACATGTTTTTAGATGATGAGCTCGCGGAGGAGATCGAGCGGGAGGCCCTGGCGAAGGGCGACCGGGAGAAGTGGTAATTCATAGTACATTTTAGTCTTGATGCGCGTGCAGCTCCGAAAGATTCTCTGGCACAGCCACTCTTCTCCTAAACCACGGCCGCGTGAACAGAGACGGCACGGCCAGCGGCCGCTTCCACCGGAACCCCCGGATCTCCGCCAGCTTCGGGTAGACGTACTCCAGCCAATAATAAGAATGCCCGACACAGATGCCGACGACGTCCGTCGTGGGCGGGTTGCCCATCACCATCGAGAACGCCAACAGCACCCACGCCAGGTACGGCGCCGTGAAGGGGAACAGGCCCAGAAAGGACATCCGGACCCCTTCGTTCCTTCTCCCCCACACATAAACCATCATGAACGCGAGCGAAGACCCGAGGAAATGCACCGAGATCCAGGGCGCGAGCAGCACCATGCAGCTCGCCCCGAACGCGAGCATGACGATGAAGTCGCCTGTTCGTCCCCGAAACTCGCCCTCTTCCAGGAGTCGACAGTATCGGCACAAAAAGTACATGTGAAATAGAAAATCTAGTGAAAACATCCCAAAGAATAGGAAATTCGTCGCTAAGCGCCACACCTGGCCCTCGTGGTATATTAAACTATAATTGTAGTAGAGTGAGAAGGGCGACACGAGATCTAAAGCGCAGGCCGCAGTCGTCGCGACGCTCGCCGTGAGGTACATTCTCGACACCACTGGTATTTCGGTGTACCAGCTCCAGGGGTCCGTGTTCGGGTTGTTGGCCATGGTGCGTACTGGCGGCGCGGCGGCGTTGACGCTGACGCGCGGCGGCGGCTCTACGGCGGCTATGCGCTACGCGTGTTCCTGGGCCAAGTCTTTCCGGGCTGTCGGCCAGGGCCCTCGGCGTCCGCGCTGAAGCTTGAGGTGGCTTCCGCGATCCTTATGTACGATCTCACACCTGTCGTTGGCCGTTTATATGGTGAGGGTCGTCTGCAAAGTCTTTTTGCGCTGCGCTGCGCTTGCTAGCGTTTTTGTAACACACTAGCCTGGCGGGAACACGTCTCGGGAACGGCTGGCGCCGATACAAGACGGGTTTTTAAAACTCGCGCACAGCCGGTGGCGTCCGTTGCACGCCGCCGCCGCGACCCAAAACACACCTAGGTTATCACGGTCGCGGACGACGGCGCGCAGGTTTTCCTCGGTGCAGGTTCTCGTGGAAAAAAATTCACATAACTAGCTGTTAATCTAATCATCCGACATCGCACTCGAGGACGGCGGCGGCGGAGAAGGAGGCGGTGGGGGCTGGTCCGCGAGCCGCGCGGGCAGCTTCAGCGACAGCCGCTTGCCCGTCCGCGGCGCCGCCGGCGGCTCGACGTCCATCGGCGCGGCCGTCCCCATCGGCGGCGCCTCGACAACAGGCTCCGCGGGCCGCGTCGGTAATTTGAGAGACAGCCGCTTGCCCGAGCCCGCTGCGGGCGCGGGCGCCCCGGGCAGCTTCAGCGAGATGCGCTTGCCCGCGCCAGGAGGAGCCTTCGGCGACGCCGCCGCGGAGGCCGGGAGCTGCTCGCCGGCGGCAGCGGCAGTAAACTCGAGTATTTTTTGGTCGAGCCGCGCCATAGTAATACCAAGCTTCTTGCGCTGCTCCTCCTTTTTCAGTAAGTCGCGCTGCGCGGCCTCAGGCACCTGACCTCCCGCCGCTGCCGCAGTACGTTTGAGCGTCGCCACGTCCTGCGCGAGCTTGCTGTGCCTTTCCGCAACTTTCGTTCGGTACGCCGTGACGCCAGCTAACGTTGACAGGTCCGGGCCCTGCACCGCCGGCTTTCCAGGCATGAGGACCGGGGTCGTGCGAATACCGCGAAGATCAGAAGATGATAAAAACATCCACGCCCGCTCCGAATCCCGCAGCCCGTCCTCCCGGAACTCCCGCCCCTTGCCGTTCGCGTCGATCATCCAGTCTTCGAACCGTACTATATCCTCGCAGATCGTCTCCTCGGCGACTTCGTTGTCGTTGTTTCGGAGCTCCACGAGCAGATCTTCGGCCCGGCGCACTTCCTCGACCGTGACATCTTTGCGAGATCTCTTTCTAGCTTTCGAGAAGCGCCTCCGGATGACATCCTGGAGCGGAGGAGTCAGGCCGTCGGGATGGACTAAACTCCAAGCTGAGCCGGCGTGGGCGGCCTGCCGCGCCTTGTCCTGGGTTCTACTGCTCTCATCCTTGAATACTAGTAGTATTTGACCGACATCACCACATTTCACGTATGTCTCTCGGTCCCATGTCTTGTGCGTTTCTACTATGGTCGGTAAATTGACGAGTCGCGCGGGCAGGTCCAAATCATCGATCTTGCATCTGAAATCGAGAGAGTGGAAGTCGTCTTGTTTCACACTCGTGTCGCCTTCCGGCGTGAATTCTACACCCTCGGTTTTGTCCTTCGCGACTTTTTGTTCTAATCTATTTGCGGCGTGGGGGCAGTCCACGAAGCGCAGGGCTACCAGAGTTTGGGCGTCGCTGCGGGCGGCCATATTCTGCACAGGGCGGCGGCGGCGTGCGCGCGCTGCGGCGGCGTCGCGCAGTCGCTGGCCTGAGGCGCTGAGGCGCTCGCTCTGCAGCGGTGCGCAGCTGCTCCCGTTTCTCGCACACTCAAGCGCGTCGCCCGTCGAGAAATGAATCTGCCGATGCTCCGCTGGAGAGTTTTGCAGCCCTTGCGGCGCAAGCGGCCCTCCAAAGCACACCGCGGGCGAGTTAACTAGCGTGAGAGTAAGACACTAGCCACTCAGCGCCGTGTGGCTGTTTTGGAGCCATACTCTAGCCTGTGTGGCTCCTGCTCGTGTGTGAACGTGCCTTGACACAGCTCTCATAGCCATGGATCGCATACGAACGCGATAGCTTGAATTCCCAGCTTTCCAAACAGCAGCCTCTAAGCGGCAGCCGAAAAAGGCTGAAAGGACGCGGCGCGCGAAAGCAGCCCACAAAAAAACATGCTCGACACCCTCCGCAGAAGACGCGACGGCCGCGCGGGACGCGACAATTCGTATATAGAAGCGAAGCACATCCGGCGCGTCGGCTACGCGCTGGGCATCTCGATGCTGTTCGTGGCCGCCTCATTAACGCCGGACATCATGCAAAAAACGAAAATAAAACACGATGATACGGCCTGCGAACATATTGAGGGCCGCGGCGACCCCTGCAAATTTGTGCGAGAGAACTGCCGAGATGTCGCCCACGCGATTGATTATCTGAGACTCATGTATTGTGATGGGGTGAACACTTCTCCCTCTGCCAACCCTCTAGTAGTGGTCTCGCTAGTACTGTGGCTCCTCATGCTCCTCTCGTTACTCGGTACTACTGCTGAGTTCTTCTTCACGGAGCAATTAGACTACGCTAGTCGTAGATTAGGCCTGTCCGACGACGTCGCGGGGGCCACGTTAATGGCCCTGGGGAACGGCGCGCCGGACGTCTTCACGGCCTGGAACGCCATTCATCAAGCTTCTGACTTACCATTGGTGCTGGCCGAATTACTCGGCGCGTCGATCTTCATCACGACGGTCGTTCTTGGTAGCGTGTTGTTGGCGTCGTCTTCCTCCACAAATGTCTCGCCGAAGCCCTTCGCTAGAGATGTCACGATGCTGTCGGCCAGTGCGTTCGCGATCGCGTGCTTTTGTTTAGATGGACTCGTGGACTTCGTGGAGTCCGGGGCCATCATTCTACTTTATATCGGCTACGTCTGCGTGGTCGTCTGTTCTCGCACGATCTCATACGAGAACGACTCGGGCGACGAGAGCGGGTCGCCGCTCTTCGCCGAAGCGCCGTCCGCGCCGCGCGGTTTACGAAGTCCGCTGGACTGGGCGCGGCGACGGCCGGCGGAAGTGGAATTAGCGTCGCCTTCCGAGGTGCCTCGCATCCCGCCCGTGCGCCGGGGCTCCGACGCGGCCTCGCTGTGGGATCAGGATGAGACAGCAGACGAGGACCGCCAGGGGCTGCTCGGAGGCACTTCTGAAGAAGATCAATTGAGTTTGCGAGGCGTGTCGTGCGACGCGTCCACGCCCTACGACCGGGTTGTACTAATAGCAGAGTGGCCCTTCGCCGTCCTCAGGCACGCGTCCATCCCGCCAGCTACTTTTACGACAGAGAGGTGGAACGGCGACATGCGGCGGTTATCGGGAATAGCGTGTTTAGGTGCAGCTTCCGTAATTGCTTTTGACGCCGCGGGATGTGATCTCCGACTCATGGTTTCTGACGCAGTATGCCAATCTTTGGTGATTGTGGGATGCTTCATTGGTGTTTTGGTGTACTGCCGCACGTCAGACGACACGATCCCGTCACAACACATAAGGGATTTGTTGGTGGGCGTCGCGTTCTGCTCGACCGTAGCTTGGTTGGATCTGTTGGCGTCCGAAACCGTAGCCGTGCTGGAGACAGTCGGAGCCGCCGTTGGTTTATCGAGTGCGGTCTTGGGCGTCACGGCGCTGGCCTGGGGCAACTGCATCGGGGATCTGGTGGCCGATACGGTAGTGGCACGAGCAGGCAATCCGCAGATGGCCGTGGCCTCGGTCTTCAATAGTCCGGTCTTCAGCCAGGCCATGGCCCTCGGCGTGCCCGTGGCTGTGTATACTCATTCCAAGGGTCCGCTGGCGGTGGACCTGACGGGCCAGGCCATTTTGAGTTTCGCGGCGCTCTCCACGAGTCTCCTGGCGACGGCGGCCGTCGCTTCTCGTAATGATTCGTCGATCCCGCGGCGCCACGCCTTCGCTTTGTTTGCATTGTACGGCGTTTACATGCTTGGGAGCGTCGCGTTCGAGCTGGACCGGGACTAGTCTCGCCTTGTTTTTGTTTTATCCGTTCCGATGAGTAATAACTTTTCGCTTCAACACACAATTAATTACTCACGCGTACTTCGCGATCGCTTCTTCCAGCGGCGGTTCCGCAGCTTTGAGGATCTCGAGAGGGCCGAGCTGGCCCTCTTTTAAGCGAACGCTGCCGTGGGGCGCGTCTGCATAGGCGCACGGCGGCGCCGTGCCTGCTACTAACCTCGAAGATAGTAGCCCCATGTGCTGTAACGTGGCCGTCGTCATCTCGGCGCAGTGCATCGAGTCGAGGTCGCCCGCGTCAGCCGTAAACAGCGCATGCAATGGCGCCTCCTGCTCGAACTCCGTACCGCGTACTTTTGCGATCCACTCTTCGAGTCGCGTCGCGTGCTCCGGTGTCTTCCACTCGTCAATTCCGGTCAGCGCGCGTACCGCCACCGTCGTGTACTCCTCGTACGCCTGCGATGAGAGCAGCCGGTCGTGGATGTTCGGATAAATATGCACCCCTTCGCCCGACGCCTCCAGCAAGTGCGGCGTGCCGCACGTGCCCTCGTCTACTTCGACGTGGAAGTGGTACGGCGACCTGTTTCTATGCTTGGCGAACCTCTTGACGTCGGAATGGCGCGCGATGTCATCGCCGTGGGGCGCTTGATCAATTTCCTCGTCGAAGGTCATGTGGCCGCGGACGACCATGGCCACGTGGTTCCACGTGCTATCGGTGAGTACTTGAATAGCGTTGCCCACCCACTTGCCCGCGCCGCTCGAACATAGGACCAGGTCCCCGGTCTGGAGCGCGTCGATGCGCGCGCGCACGACGTCGGGATACGGACTCAGGTTCGGGCCCCAGCGCTCGTAGGGCGCGGCGCGCTTCGACAGCGCCGCCACCATCGCATTGTGCGTCTTGGGGTCCAGGCCTGCCAGCGCTTTGCCGACGACGCGCATGCGAGCCAAGCCCGAGGGATTCATGCTTAGATTACTGCAGCGCAGCTGTCGCGCCGATCGATGCGCTGGTTGGAGGTTTCGTGCAACTATTTTTTAGCGGCTTGGGGCAGCCTCGGGCAGCCTCCAATCTCCGGCGGCCGGCGCCTCGATCTGAACCCGTTTTGATTGCGAATAAGCGGGCACACCTCCAAGGTAGCCTTCGAGGTATCGGAGACGCAGGAGCCCCGTCGCCGAGCGGTCTACGAGGCGTGCGGACCCGCCGCAGCGCGAGCTCAGCGCAGAGGCCAACGAGCTTGGCAAGGCAGGAGCGCCGCTTCGGGCAGCCCGAGCACCACCAGTGATGGAGCAGGACGCCCGGACGCACCGCGTCGACCGCTAGAAGCCGCAGCAGCGCGCACTTTGCCCGGAGCTGCCCGCTCCAAGCGCACCACCCTCGCCTAGCGCCAGGCAGCACGCCGCCGCCGAGCAGCCGTGACGCAGCTTAGACACCATGGCCGTCACGCAAGCCTACTACAAGGACGAGAACCGGGATGTCGGCAACGAGGCCGTCGTCGCCGGCGTCAACGCGAGTGCAGGCAACGAAGCGGAGGTGACCATCGACCGGACGCAGTTAGACGTCAATAAGAGAGAAACGAACATATTGGGGCAGGCCGTCGAAAGTAATGAGGAGGCGGCCCACGTCAAAGCCGCGAGGTTAGCCCAGGAAGCGAAACGCCGCGCCGAGCGCAACGTCTTCAACAAGACCGAAGAACGTCATCAACAACATAAATGCATGCGCCGCTTCGCTGTTTGTTGTCCTTGTCTGAAGAACTGGTTGCTCGGCAAAGAATTGGTCGAAGGCAAGACGCCCTTGATGCGCACGATGCAGGCGTTCGAGATGACGAAACGCGACAGTGCGATCTCCGCGTTTTGAGGTGTTGCGGTGCCTTTACGCCATCGACGCGACTCGTGTCCATCAGACGATGTCGTGGCTGGTTTCTTTTTTGCTGAAGAGGCCGTTCGGACCGTATTCACGAGAGATGCTCCGCGCAGGTGCCAAGTTCCTCAAGCTCTTCGAGAAGATCGACTGGGACCATTCGGGCACCATTGATATTGAAGAATTATTCGGCTACCTGAAGATGGACGTCGCGGGCTACGCGCGGAAGACCTTTAGTACGATGAATGTCCAACATGAATTCATGGACGAGGACGGGCGCTTCGACCCGCGCAAGTTCCAGGCGGCGGAGGAAGCGAGGTTAAGTAGAGGTAAGACGGCGAAGCGAGCCGTAAGGGGAGGGAAATTGGAGGCCTCGCAGATCGAGCTCGACTACGCGCCGTTCTTCGTCGGGCTCTTTGATTTTTGTACGATGAACGACGAGCACCTGGTGCGGTTCACCTTTGATTTGATAGATGAGGACCGCTCGGGCTATCTGTCGCGGGAGGAGGTTTATGACTTGATATTGTTGATGTCCAAAACGGAGGCCGAGGCTCAGTTAAAATGCCAGAAGCTGCTGAACGTCATCGACGCGAATCGGGATGGGGATGTCAGTTATGTGGAGTTCGCTCGATGTCACAGACGAATACCATCATTGATGCAGCCCGCGTTTATTATAAGGCGGTCGTTGCGGATGAAGTGCATGGGGACTAAATTTTGGAAGCGGTGCTGCAAGATCCGTACCAAATTAAAAAAGACGAAGGGCCGCGAGCCGTTAGGTGTCTACAAGGATATCCTGGACCAGATGGCGCGGGCCGACCAAGAGGTCGCCGAGGCCGAAATGCTCGAGCTCGAGGCGGCGGCGGCGGCGGACCAGCATCTCGTGGACCAAGCGGGGGATGAGAGCGATGATTTAGATATGGAGGAGTTGTTGGACGACGTGGGCATGGACCTGTGTGGAAATCAAATTTACGGCGCGTTCGTCGCCCTCCACGCCATCGACGCGACACCTGCTCGATGGCGTGGCGATGTCGGTTCGTCACCGCTCGACGGAGCCAGTGCGGCCACGTCATCACCGAGAAATGACTTCGTGCACCCGACACACCGGTTGGTTTCCACACAGGCATGAACGAGGAGAAGCCCAAGGAACTGACCCCTGAGGAAATAGAAGCTCGTAGAAAGGCCGCTCTCAGAGCGAAACTACGGGGCGCCCAACACTTGACAAGAGGAACCTTGGCAATAGCAAAGGCCGCCGGCGTCGACATGCATAGAGAAGGATCGTGGTGGAGCGACTGCCCCAAACAAAGAATGAAGAACTTGGACGACCCCGAAAAGAACGGCAACGCCAAGGTCTACATCAGCATCGAGACGGCGGACGCTTTGTCGGAGTGCAAAGTCACGCGGGATAAAGCTGCCAAGATCCAAGCTCGCGAGTTCATTACGAAGCAAAAGCTGGAGAAGCTCGAGGAAAACGCGAAGAGGTTCGGGGGCTTCCAGGTCAAAGGTAGGAAGCCGACCACACCTTGGGGGAGGTTGTTCCACTGGCTCGGTGAGCGCAAGAAGAAGAAATTAGCTGCGAAGAAACTGCGCGAGGAGCAGGAAAGGGCCAAGTACGCGGCGGCGCGCCAGGCGGAGATGGACCGGCGGGCCGTCGCGAAAGCCAAGGAGAAGGAGCGCCTGGAGGCGATGATGGAGGCTCGTAGAAGGAAGAAGGAGGAGATCGCGGGCCTGAAGACGCCCGGGGCCCTGTCGGAGGGCGCGCGCGCGGTGTCGACGCCGAAGGCGGGGGCGAAGCGCGTGGGCTTCGCCGAGGACTGACTGTGTAACTTGTGAATTCACTAAACGAACCTGTGCCCGCGCCGTCGGTCGCCTCCGAGCTAACACTCGGGGCGATGGCGTATGGGGGCGGCCGGGCGTGCGCTCGCAAGGACTTGAATTTCACTTATCACAGGCGCCCGATGATGTCGCGGAACTGGGGCTCGGGGCAGATCCGGCAGAGGAAGCGCGCCAGGGGAGTCTTCGTCGTCGCGCGGCGCGGGCCGCGGGCCTCGAGCGCGCGAAGAAGCACGAGCTGCTTGCGGCGCGCCCAATTCCGTCCGCGCCGGAGCGCGCCGGGCGGCGAGACGGCGTTCGTGTGAAGGCGGAACGAGGGAGGTGTTCCTGGTACGGGGTAGGTGTAGAGCTCCTCCAGCGCTTTCAGCCGATACAACACGCTCAGGTCGCCAGAAAAGACATTTGCCATCGCTAGAAACTGCTCCGCCTCCTCTCCTTCGTCGCGTATCACATTCCGACCGGGCGTCGAGACTATTTGCTCGGCGCGATCGTAGCGGTAGCTGCCGTCCGCGAGGGGCAACCATGGAACCTGCCAGCAGCCGTCCTCATCTGACTCGAAGTACCGCACGTACGACAAGATTTTCTCTTCTATGAAAAAGTCCTGCGTACTCGTGAAGAGCGTTTCTTCGGCGACGGGCACGATAGCAGGGTTCAGCTCGACCCGTTCCGCGGTCCCGAGAGTGAGTCGCCCGTGCTGCTCCATCGCTGATTCTAGCACATGACGGTCGTAGGCGTACAGCGTCACCGTGGCGGCGCGCACGGACAGCAGGACGACGTGCTCGTCGAGGACGAAGAGATCGAAGACCGTAACCTCCAGCGCGCGGGCCGTAACTATCGCGTCGCACAAAATCCACACGTTTAAAGCCGCTCCGACTCTGAGCACGCGTAGATCTGATGTGCGCCTCTTGAAGGCTGCCAGCAGGTCTTGGGGCAGGGCGGGAGGCGATCGCAGCGGTCGCGCCTCGCGCATCATGGCCCGAATCTCCTCGTCCGGAGCATCCTCCAGCGCCGCGATGAGCTCCGCCGCGGATCGCGGGCGCTCGGGCGCCGCCGGCTCCTCGATCTCATCGTCGGACTCCGACTCCTCGTGCGCGACGTAGCTGCCGTCCTCACTGCTGTCCGAGCTATCCGCTGCGAGCAGTAGCGCGGTCGACATGGCGCTAGGGGCGCACAGTTGGCCGTGCAGCAATTCTGGGCACGCAGCAAACGGCAAGTTGGCGGGTCGCGCGCGAGCGCTGCGATTAGCGAGCGCTGCGATAGTACGCGAGCGCTATGAACCAACGCGCGCAAACAAGCAGCCAAAAATTTAATAGAATCGTGCTAGCGGCCAGTAAGACACTAGCAAGCAGCCAAAAACTGAGGCGCGACTGCTCAAGTGTCCTTAGACGAAGCGAAACGTCGGCAAGGCTCGAAGACGACATACCCCGAACGCTAGCTTCCCGCACTAGAGCGTCTCACAAACAAGCCAAGCTCGCCTCGCAAGACGCTGCCCCAGCCCGCCGCACTGCCCGCGCGCAGCACCACACCACCAATACAACCGCGCAGCGCACGCGCGCCCGCAGCGCCGCGCCCGCGTGCGCCCGCAGCGCCGCCCGAACCTGAAGGCCGAAACTCCGCGCGAACCAGCCGCCCGCGCGCCAAGAACGCGACGCGATGGGCGAGGAGCAACCACCACCGCAAGCGACGACGCCGCAAACCATCGAGACGGGCGACGTCGTCTGGTGCCGCGTCGCCGGGCGGCCATGGTGGCCCTGCGTCGCCTTCGCGTCCTGGGACGACGTGGAGCAGTGGGAGCTGCCTGTGTCTTCTGAAGACCGGCCTAGTCTCGCCGCTGGAGACTTCGTGGCCTGTTTCCTCAAGCACTATGAGCTCGCCGTCTTCTCGGCGGACGACGCGCGGCCCTGGGAGGACGTGCCTTCGCTAGGTGCGTGTGATGAAGCCGTCCAGAAGCAGTTACTAGCTGCTATTGGCGAGGCTCGGGCGCTGAACGCGCGGCGATTACACTCTCATAGACCGCATTCCAGTGATAAAGCGCCGCTACGGCTGCCGCGCAGCGGCGCCACGACGGAGACCTGGGACGCCTGCTTGTTTGCGGTGCGAGATTTAGAACGACCAAAAGACGTCCGCGCGACTTTAGCAAGGGCTTTACGGTTGGCTCTCGAGGCGAAAGCACCCGTGGAAGTAGTAGACGGCCTGCGCCAGTGCGTAGGTGCCGAGGATCACAATATTGCTCGATTAAGAGCCCTGGGCATCCTGCAAGATGCTTTGGGAGCGCCGTTCGCAGACGAGCCCCAACCGAATGCCCCGCAACTATCGGGTCTGCTCGCCGAGCGATTAGTGGATGCGGGCGACGTCGTAGTCTTGGAGATCGGCGGCGTGGAGAGCGTGCGCGGCGAGATCGATCGGGAAGGGAGAGTGGTGTATGGCGGTAGCGCTTTCCGCACCGTCGAGGGCTTCGTCGACAAAGCGCGACAAGATAGGGGAGCGAGACGAGAGAGAAGACCGGACCCCCAGAAGGCCTGGGCCTGTGTGGTCCACGCGCGGACGGGCAAGAGATTGCACGCTTTGCTAAATGAGCCCTCGAAGCGCAAGCGGCCCCCACAGTCCGTTTCAGGAAGACCGCCTAGGGTCCGAGGCAAGATGACGGCGAACTACTCGGGATATACCTACTGCGGCAACAGCTGGTGGACGCGCGACGACCTGATGGCCGACCGGTCCGTGCGGCAGCGGAAAAGACCGGCGACCGACGAGGCGCCTAGACCTAGGAGGCGCAAGCCCACGCCCAAAGTACAGCAACCATTACCGCCGCCTGCATCACCAGTAGTGGACGAAAGCACCCCTCTTGCGGACTACTGGCTCGAGAACACCGAGGAGGACCCGACGGCGGCGCCCGCGCCAGCGGGCGACGCGCCGGCGCCGGCGCCGACGGCCGCGCGGGGCGAACCCAAAAGAGTGTGGGACGAGGGCTACTTCACGGACGCGGGCTACTGGGACGGGCCGTTTACTGATGAGCTCACGGCCTCAGGATTAGATGTGCAGGACGCCGCGCCGCGGTCGCGCCGACGACCTTCCAATAGGAGAGACGCGTCATTGAGAGTGGCCCAGCTCATGGAGGGGTTGAACGCGCACCAGTTCGACCCCCACGCGTTAGTTGCTTGTGAAGCTTATGGGGAGAAAGTTGAAGGGGCAGAAGCGGTGGAAGAAGAGGAAAAGCAGCCCTTGTCGTTACGAGTGCACCCCGACGTGGCATTCTTGTGCGACTTGCACGCGCATCTGTGCGATGCGGAGATTATTGGGTTGCTTGGGGGGCGCTGGGACCCGGAAACGCGGGAGATGCACGTGCAGGCGCCGTTCCCTTGTAGGGCCGTGCCGCGCGATGATGACGGTGCGACCGATGTCGAGATGGATCCGGTCTCAGAATTGCAAGTCCGAGAAGTGATCCGAGGAAGGGACCTCGATGTTGTGGGATGGTACCACAGCCATCCTAGATTCATGGCCGAGCCTTCAGTAACGGACATCGAGAACCAAAGGCAGTACCAGACGCTCTTCGAGGACGACGCGAAGGACGGCCCGGCGCCCTTTGTGGGGTTAATTGTCGGCACGTACGACCAGGCCGCGACCGGTCCCCGAAGTGTTTTTAGATATTTCCACGTCGCGCCGCCGCCCGACGACGTGCGGGCGGGCGACGCCGTCCTGCCCATGGCTCTCCGAGCGCAAGTCCGGTCCTACAAGCGCGGCGTCACGGACGACGTAAGAGCGAAGCGGCGCGAGGGCTTCAAGGAGCCGCCGCCCAAGCCGCCGGGCCAAGACAAGCCCTTCGCGTTCCTGAAGGCGGGCCACTTATTAGGATGCGCCTGCTGCCCGCCGGGGGCCAAGCCCGCTCCAGTAACTGCGCAGGCGTGCGCGCCGGCGCCCGCGGCCTGCGCGCCCTTCCCGCCGCCCGCGGCCGCGCCGGCCGCTCCGGAACCGGCGGCCGCGGCGCCGGCGGCCGCGCCGGCCCCGGCGGAGCCGGCGGCCCCCGCGCCGGCCGCGCCGGCGCCGGCGCCCGCCGCGCCGCCTTCCATGACATCGCTGCTCCCGCCCGCGCCGCCGCCCGCGCCGGCGGCGCCCGCGCCCGCGCCGCCGCCGGCCCCGGCCCCGGCGCCCCAGACGGCGACGCTGACGCTCAAGCTCGGCGGCGCGACGGCGAACGCCGCGACGATCGGGGACATGGCCGCGGCGCCGCCGCCGCCCGCGCCCGCGCCGGCGCCCAAGCCGGCGCCGCCCAAGCCGAAGCGCCGCCCCGTCTACGCGCCGGTCTACTACCAGCCGCGCGCGCCCAAGCAACGCGACCGCAGCATCGTGGGCCCGTCGCTCGGCCCGCGCGACGCGCGGGGCTGCTTCCCGTGCCCGGCCGGCTGTCCACGGACCTTCGCCCACGCGCCCGCGGCCGTGCAGCACGGCAAGTCCTGCCAAAACGGGACCCGGCCGCCCGGAAGCGCTCCACCACAGAAGCGGCCCGCGGCGCCGCGCGTCCCGCGCGCGCCGCGCGCTCCACAACCGCCGCGCGAGCGCCAGTTCGCCTGCGAGCGCGACAAGTGCGTGGCGCTCATCTGCGAGGCCGCGCGGGACAAGCTCGACCCCGCGCTGCGCGCGCGGCCCGACGACGGTTCTGGTAGAAGGACCAAGGCCGCCTGGGAGGCGTTGCTGGCGAAGTACGACCCGACGCCGCTGGCGAGCTGCGTGCACACGCTGGGGCAGCTCGCGCGCTACTACTCGACGCACGCGCGGCGCGTGGACTTGCTCGAGGGCTGGCGCCAGGGCCTCACGAAGTGGGAGAAGATGATGAACTCCATGGCCGTCTGGGTGCTCAAGATGATCGTCGAGGAGGGCGACCGGGCGGACTTCCTCGCGGACGTCATCGGCTACATCTTGATTTGTTGGTGCGACTCGGCGGCGCCGCGGCGGCGGCGCGGGCGCTAGTGCGTTCTCCCCCTTCCTTAAGAGGTCCTTTCTTTCGACTATCGAAATATACAGGCTCCGGGTAAATTTCCTGGGCGGGACTTGACAATTTATTACATACTTGGCGGGGGCGCCGCGGATCGGCGCGCCGCGGCGGTCGCCGCGACCCGCGCCGCCCGTGGCGGTGCCGGCGCCGGCTCCCAGTCGTCGCGGGTCCGGACGAGCGTCACGGGCCGCCAGTCGCCGCGGAGCCACCGCTCGTTGTCGACCAGCTCCAGGCGGTCGGGCTCGAAGACGTAGACGAGGACGTCGCTGTCCGGCGGCAGGACCTCGGGCGCCGTGTGGAACAGCGTCCACGAGTCCTTCCAGACAGCCCGCCGCGCGTCCTTTTCAACGACCTCGCGGACGCGCCCCGAGAGTGCCACGTAGCCGTTCTCGCCGGCCGCCCGCGGGTCGTGAAAAGCTAGAGTGACGCGCGAATCGGCGGCGAACTGCGCCGCCTTTCTCGTGCAGGTCCGCGTCACGAGCGAAAAGGACAGCCGTGTGTCGTCGAGCCGCCTGACGTCCATTACGCGGCAGCAAGGGGCGCCGTCTGACGATCTGGTGCAGACGAACCCGATGCCTGCGGCGTCCAGGATGGAGCGCGCGCTCACGAGCGCCGACGCGGTCGTGACAGGGCCCTCGTGCGGCTTCGGCTGCGCCCTGCCGAAGAAGCAGGACGCCGCCGCGGGCGTTGCGACGGTCGCCATGGCAGCCGCACCGACGCGCGCGCGGGCGGCGTACATTAGTGCTAGCTGTCAGCCTGCAGATTGCTTTGCGCAAAGCTCTAAAATTGCTATGGTGCGGTCGCTTGGTTCCGCATAGCTCAATTTACGAGCGATGCCGTAGCGATACGATATAAAACCGCACCTACTAGCAGTCAAATGCAACCAGTCAAGCCTCTCCCGGAGCTGGTGAGCGGGGCTAGCGTAATCGACATACTAGGAAATTCAAAAGATACGCCTCGATAGCGTCAAAAGAATGATTCAAATTCAAAATACATCTCGGTCGTTCGCCGAGGCCAAATATTTCAGAGTAGCGGCCTGGGAACATACCCTCGCGCCTCCCGGAAGGCACCGCCCGCGACATTCGCGGATGAGTCTTAAGACATGCCAAAGTACACCAGCGATTGACGCCGCCTTTTACCGTCCAAATGGTACATTATATCAACTCCAGCCCAGTTTTCATACACATTCGACGGAACCGGAGCCGACGGCCCGCGCTCGGAGGGCGGGAAAAGAATTCTACGAGACAACTCCCGAGTTTATGTTCGTTTCCTTCCGTTTGTTAGTGGTAGAGTCCAGCTTAATCGCCTCGGCGTGACTGAGTTATATCAAGTGACCCGTTAGGGCCGCCCGAAACGGAGACTTCGTGACCCAGCGTTTCTACAAAAACGAGACCAGATGCTGAACCCGCGAGTATCAGCGACGTCACTATATACATGGATCATAACGCCGTTGTTCTATTCACGATCGACCGACTTGCCCGTTCTCCGCGGGCGACGGTGCGTACGCGGGGCACTGGAAAGGATCCAGACCGGTACTTTGTATAATAAATTTGCATTTCAGGCGCTTTAGTAGTGGGACGGGCCAGCTAAACGGCCTGAGCGTGTACTACATTGCTCCGCGACCCCAAGATGCTCGGCGCGGGTCCTCGGTCTCGCGAGCCCACGATCTGGCTAGATTTGGCTCCAGACCCGGACCTGCGACCATCAGCCCGTCTATCATTACCATGGACCATAACGCGATCATTTGTTTCATGATCGATTGACTTACGCGAGCTCCAGATCAAGATGTTCACGTCCCGAGCGTGGGCAGCCAAAAGTACCCTTCTTATAATGTAGATGTCATATACTTGTAGTTGACTATCGCTGGGGTAGTATGGGGTCCAACGAGACCGCTACGGCGACTACTGGAGGCCGTCGGGTAATTGACGTTTTTGACGGGAACGGGGCGCCATCGGGTCCAAATTGCACACTTTTTTCGGGGGCAGATCGGCTCCTGGAGGCCTCCGGGATAGGTCTAAGGTCGGGTAGTCGCCGACGCCGCATGCACCGGTGCTTGGGGCTCTCCAGAGAGCTCTGGGTCGAAAACCTGGGGGACTTGGGCTCTGGCCCGAAAATTGGCTGAGGACCTGTACTGATATGTATCTACGATGGAAGCGCCCGCACATGCGGCGTAGGCGATTGCACGTGTATAGTACCGACCCTGGACGACCCCAGGGAGTCCTCAGGACCACGGATTGACAGGTTTCCACCGGCACGGCCGTCATGGCGGGACCGTCAATATCGTGAATTAAAAAAATTATTTTCTCGGCCCCCAGTAAGTGTCCCATTGATCTCTTTGGACCATTAGCGAACTGAAGGATGCTCAAACGGCTGCATGCTGTGCCGAGTTGAGGCTAGTGTCTTACGGCCGCTAGCTGGGCTCGCCTCGACATTGCCTCGAAACGACAAAAGCCTGTTGGACGCTTTGCCGGCGCATTACGGGGTTTTTCGGTTGCAGCACAGCAACCTCTACCCACGCCGCTGCAACGAGGCTGGCTGGTTCCGCCGTGCAACCCACAACTACAGCTGTGAGAGCAGGCGAGGCAACACAGCTCACGCCATCGACGCGACACGCTTGAAAAAATACCATCATGAGCGCCCAGCTCGACGCGGAAGAGCGCGCCATGGAGGCCGAAGCATTGGAAGCGATCTTCATGGAGTCCTATTCTATGGACGGCGCGACGTACCGCCTGGAGCTGGAACCCGAGGCCGACGAGGCGCACGTCGCCTGTGTGTTAGAATGTTCATGCCCGGAAGACTACCCCTCATCAACGCCACCGTCCTTCTCGATAGCCGAGGTGCGCGGGTTGGGTGGTCCCATGAGGAAGGAACTCGAGGCAGCTCTGGATGAAGCTTCTCAACTTTTCGAGCCGGGCTGCGTCTGCGTGTTTGAGGTGGCATCCGCCGTAAAAGACTGGCTGGGCGAGCACAACGAGCCCGGTTTGAATGACGAGTCGGCGTACGCCGCGATGATGCGAAGGGAGAAAGGGGGCAAGGAGAAGAAGGCTGTGGTCTACGAGACCGATTCCAATAGACCGGAGAGCGACGAGGCCCGGAAACAAAGGTTGGAGGAGGAGGCCGAAGCTCGACGGCTGGAGCGGCTGCGCTTGGGCACGGCGGTGACGCCGGAGTCGTTCGCGGCGTGGTGGGAGCCTTTTCGGGTTGAGGTGTTGAAGGAGCCCAAAGAAGGAGTGGTGGAAACAGTGTACTTGGATGTGAAGGGCCAGGTCAAGCTCACGGGCAAGCAGCAGTTTTTGAAGGGGAAGGCTCCTGCGATCGAGGAACCGGAAGAAGAGGGTGGCGTCGACGAGGAGTTGTTTGATGACGACGACGACCTCGACGACCTCGACTTCGACGATGAAGAGGAGGAGGATACGTAATTAGCTGTGTTGTATTCGTATTTCAGGGGGGTGGGTCCACCACTTGGTCCACCGTCCCGACGGTCACGAACACTACAGCAGAGACTTACACATCAACAACAGCGGCGCGCTTCACGATGCGCCCGTCGCGGAGCACGACTTCTCCGTCGGGGGGCCCGAGGAACCGCTTCACCGCGGCCCAGCCGGGCGTCGACGCGTCCGCGGCGGCGCGGAGGTCCTCGGCGAGCCAGGCCGCGACGCACGCGGCAGTGGCGGAGCACGACACCCCGGCGAGCAACGCGGCGCCGGCGAGCGATCCGAGCCGAGTGGCCCAGGTCATGGCCGTGAGGGCCGCGGCGGCGCCGGCGAGAAGGAACGAGATCGGATCGGTGGCGCAGTCGGCGGCGAGCGCGGCGACGAGGCCGGCACCGGCCTGGATGGGTCCGAGCGTCGGCACCTGTGCATAAATCAAAACATCGGCGCCTTCGAACTCACTGGTTGATTTATGCACAGGTCAGCACCACGCAGGCCGCGCCACAGGCGAGGCCGAGGGCACACCATTCGCGCGACAGTGACGCCGCAACGCTTGCCGCGGCCGCGGCGACGGCGAGGTAAGATTCCACGTGTAGAAAAGTCGCGAGCGCCGCGACGACCAAGGCGATGCGGGGACCTGGGCGTCGGCAATGGCGCGCGGAGTCGACGCAGGCAAGCACTCCCAACGCGAGGGCCGGCGCCGCGACGCCGTCGAGCAGTCCCGCGGCGAAGGGCGCGCCGCAGACGACGCCGGCGACGTGGCCTGCCAGCGAGAGGGGGATAGACAGCACCGACGCGACGAGCTGGAGGCCGAGGGCGTATACAAGTGGACCGGCGTTAAATGCGAGAGGTCCCCAGCGTACCGTCGAGAAGCACCAGTCCGCGACGGGGCAGAATTGTGGTGCAGCTAGCGCAGCATCGACGATCCACGCGAACAGCACTCCCGAGAAGCCCAGGTGCCAGGCCCCTACCGCGCCGCCGGCGTGCCGCGTCAGGCTGGCGGCCACGAGTCCGACGAACACGACGAGTGCTGCAGTGCTCCATAAAAGCGCCGCGGAGCCGTGCCTTCGTTCCAAGGCGCCCCCCAACGAGTATGCCGTAGATAGATTAAACACAAAATGCGTCGCGTCGACGTGCGCGAGGTTCGACGTGAGGAGCCGCCAGTACTGGCGGCCTTCGATGGACTCGGCGGACGCGCCGACGGTGTCGCCCGTCCAGCGCTTCACTCGTATGACGGCGAAGAAGGCGAAAAGGCCAAGGAGGAGTGCAAACGTGGCTGGCGTGTCGGACATGAGCGCGGCGGCGTGAGATTTTTGCGGTTGCGCGCCGATTCTTGTCCAGCCTTCTTTGACTGCGGCTTGTTTTGGCGCTGGGGGAGCAAGCATTTGTGGGATCAAAGCGCTGACCGCGAGCGCCGCAGCAATGAGGCGCGCCGCGGCGAAGTCGTGTGCGCAGTCGCATTGTAATCGCGGCGTTTGGAGGCGCTTTGCGACTATGCGCGCTCTCACTGCCTGTGGGAGAGGGCCCGCTATATTCGCGCGGCACCGCTCTCCGAGGGGTCAAGAGGCGTGCCGAGACTGGATTCTCCGGGGTGCTGGCTCCCCAGGAGTGCGGCGGCCATAAGCCCACCCAGGGCAGCCTAGCCCAAGTAGGGCTCTTGGGGTTCTCTGGGGCCGTCCAGGCAGGCCTTCCGGTGCCCTGAGCCGCGGCCCGGGTCCTTGTTGTGGGGATGTTCGGCTCACGCTAACTAGCCCCACTAGAAACATGGTCGGGGTTTCGCCCCGCACGCCTAAATTGCGGGTCTGTCGCTTCTCAATAGCGTAAGTCACCCGCCCCTGCCTCCCCCGGCCTTCGCGCGCTGCGACGGCCCCTCAAGGCCGCGCCCCGGCGGCTGCGCAAAAAGCAGCGCCGGAGAACGCGCTCTCGCTGACAAAACACTGTTCCCGTGGGAGAGCGGCGGGGAGCCACCCCGCACGCCCGCCCTGCCAGCCTTTGAGTAGTGCAGGCTGGCGCCCCAGCCCTAAGGACCCCGCCCCGCCCGAAACCCAAAAAATTCCGCCCATCCGCGCCGCGCGCGACCGACCCCGACGAAATCCGCGCAGAACCAAGATGGCCAAGGGCCTCAAGAAGAAGAGCGACCTCGAGCTCACGACGGCGGAGCGCGCCGCGGTCCTCCGGGCCATCGCCGAGCTCGACGGCAAGTCCTCGCAGAAGGCCGTCCGCAAGTCGGCCGAGTCCATACTAGGCGCGCCCGAGGGCTCGCTCGACGCCAAGAAGGCGGCCATCAAGGAGGTCTGCCAGGAGGAGATGAACCGCCTCGAGCAGCAGAAGCCGCCCAAGAAGCAGAAGCGCAAGAAGGCGACGCTCGGCGCGGAGGGCGCTGCAGATGACGACGACGACGCGCCGGCCGAGTACGTGCCCAAGAAACCGAAAGTCAAGCCCGTCTCGAAAGACGGCCAGGCGGAACGGACCGGCAAGTTCTCCAAGGCGGAGTCCGCGGAAGTCATGCAAGCTGCTGAAGATGAAGCGAAGTCGCGGGGCGTCACGGTGTCGCAGATGGTCGAGAAGAGCGACTGGGGCCGCGGCGACAAGAACCCGTGGCGGTCCATCGCCGAGAAGTTCCCGCAGCGATCCGCTCGTAGTATTCTAGGACACGTCAAGCGCAACGGCCACTCGGGCGCCAAACAAAAAGGCGTGAGATGGACGGTGGGCGAGTCGCAAGCGCTGAAGGAGGCCTTCGACAAGAACCCGTCGGACTGGACGCAGATCGCCCAGGGGTTTGATAGGACGCCCGGCGCGTGCCGCGACCGCTACCGCACGTTATTTGGAGAGGTCCCCGCGAAAGGGACACCGCATTCGGAGGCGAAGGAGGTCAAGTCCGGCAACTGGGGCGCCGACGAGGACAATAGATTGCGGAACTGCAAGTCGAAGAACGGGCGGCCCGTGTGCAAGGAGGTCGATCCCGAGACCATTAGCTTTTCTGATGTGGCGCGGGCCGTGAAGACGCGGTCGCGCCTCCAGTGCCGCCGCCGCTGGGCGGAATTGCGGGGCCCCGCGGCGCCGCCTTCCAAGAAGCTCGATTCCGCGTCGGAGAAGCTGAGCCTGTGTGAAGCGTTGAAGGCGTCGGGCGCTACTGATGAGTCTGATGTCACGTGGACTTCTTTAGGATGGGACGTGCCCGGCGCGGCGACGGCCTGCGCCCTGAGCACGTGGAAGCGGCTGAAGAAGGCGCATGGTGGCGGCGACGACGCGGACTTCCAGGAGGCCTTGGATGCCGTCACGTCGGAGCTCCAGGCCGAGGTCGACGGCGGCGCCGACTAGTTGGCGTCTGGTGCCGCGCCCCCCCTCCCCTCCCCCATTAAGACGGGGGTTCCCATTGTTGCGTCGGCGTGCCGGGGGCGCGTCCCGTCCGAGCGCTGCGTGATTGTCAGGGGAGTGTTGCTCGACGACGAGCTGTCCCGCGACGCCCCCCGGGCACGGCCTCCGTGCCGCGTCGACGGCGTCTCGGGCACCCGCACCAAGCTCTCATTTTATTTTTTTCATGCCATTGCCATCGTCTCATTTAGCAGATACACGTGCACTTATGGTGCAGCGGTTGCGAGCTGCAAACAGTCGCCGGCAGCCCCGCATGACGGCTGCGCACTGAACCGGAGGGCAGCCATGCGGTGGCTCGTAGCATACCTCATCACTTCCACAAGCGGGTTCACGGCGCCGGCGTACTGCAACCGGAGCTTTCTAGAAGTCACGGAGGCAAAACCGGTCGAAGCGAAGCGCTACGCCGTCGTGCTGAACCGCCACTGCTACCGCGGCTTCAGCGGTATTGACTATAGGAACAAGGATTCGTACGTCGGAACACAACGAGCCGTGGACATGCAGCTCGCGCTGATAAATAGCGTTCTGGGGAACGTGGTTCTGCCCCTCGAGCACCTCGGTTTTGATGTCGACGTGTTCCTGGTCGCGCACGACCCGTCACCGCACAACGCGACAAAATCCGCCGAGCTCTGGGATTTGTTGATCAGGGCCTTCGGCGGCCGCGTCGTCGCCACGAAGCAATTACATGGATTGGGCCACGGCGGCGGCCGCGACCTCGGCCAGGGCACGGCCATGGTCGAGACGTTCCGGCTGCTTGAAAAGCACAGTATCAAACTCGCGTCGCAGAACTACTTCGGGGGCTCCGAGTCGCACGCGTCTCCCTATAGAGCTGTGCTCATCAACCGCTTCGACGTCGCCTTCACGGATCGCCTGGGCCCCGCCGACCGAGCGGATCTAGATAAGACGGGGTATCCCACGGACGCGGCGCACTAACGCGTTGTGGTCCGCGAAACGCCCCTCCTTCGTCATGAACATGATCGCGTCGATCCCCGGCTGGTTATTAGGATGCTACTTCTCGCACGCGCTCCACTCGCCGGACATGGCGCGCGACGAGTGGTGGACCGACAAGGATGGAAGGTTTTGGCACCCCATGATACTCGAAGACGAGCTGAAGCGGAACAATAAATGGTGGGGCCTGGCGAAGAACCCTTTTCCGACCCGGGACGGCTTCTTCATCTACCGCGGGCCCTACGGCATCTCGCACCACGATGGGGGCAAATTTATTTGTAGGTGGCTGCGGGAGTACTACGGGGGGCCGTCGTGCGGCGTGACGTACGTCGCGGGCGACACGTGCGCCCACGCGCGGAACTCGACGCCCGCGCTGAAGGCCCTCTACAAGCTAGCGCCAGAGGAGGACGCGGCCCGGGCGGAGGAGCTCGGGAAGCTCGTGGCAAGAAGACCAGAGTGGAATCTAGAGCCGAGGCCGGACGAGGCCGTCCCTCCAACGCTCGAGGCGTTCCTGGCCGCCGTCGCGTGCGGCGAGGGCGAGGCGGACACTATCCGGGATCAGTCCGCGAAGGATGGGTTCCTCGAGGGCACGTCAATCCAATGAAGAAAAAGAAAGAAAGAAAGAGAGAAAGTGCGTGAAGCCCCAATGTGATAAGATTGTAGAGTGATATTCATTGGTGTACAACATATAAAGCAAGTTAACATACCTCCCCGCACGTGTTCTCGCAGCACGACAGGTCGTTCATGTACATGTTCGCCTGGCGCAGGCCCTGGACGGCGGCCTTCGTGTCGCGCCCCAGGCCCCTGGAAATTGCGTCGGCGACGATGCCGAAGCGCTGGCGGAACTTGTAGACGAAGCAGAAGCTGAGCTCGCCCTGGACGACGGTGGGTCCGACAAGGAAGACCCCAGGAGTTTTCGTGGACTCATCTTCCGCAGTCAGCAGGGGCGCGCCCGCGAGGCAGCCGTTTCCCGAGTCGTCCGCCAGATCGAACAGGTCGCGCCCAATGGCGGCGACGCTCCCCTCGAACCCCGTGCAGAGCACGGGCGGCTGGGCCGTATGCACGACTAATTCGCTCCCCTCGGCGCCCGGCGGCGCGGCCCCTTCGAACGGCCTCCGCAGCGATCCTTCCGGTCGCAACTGCGCCTCTTGCTTCTTCCACGCGGCGACGACGTTGTAACCTCCTTCTGACGCTTCCTCGACGCGAAGCACGCGCAGCGGCGCCAGGAGCTCCGGAGTCGGTCCAGTAAAACCTTCAGCGGTAACCTCGCGAAGCCGTTCCGCGGTGTAGGGCGCGAGTTCCGTGGAGGGGTCAGGAGTCTGGACGTTCCATGTCGGGGTTGAGGCGAGGACCGTGACCTTCTTGCCCGCCCGGGCCAGGTTGACGGTCGCATCTACCCCCGACTCGTAGCCGCCGATGACCACGCGCTCGTCGCCCGGGAGGCCGGCCCAGGACTCCACTTTCGAGTTGTGCACGCAGAATTCCGCCCCGGGCATGTCGCCGGTCGAGGGATACTGAAACTCCCCGGCAGCCCAGACGACGAAGCGCGTTCTGACGACGGAGTCGGCGCCGCCCGCGCGCACATGCACGTCGAAATCACCGTCCTCGAGTCGCTCGATGCTCCGCACCTCGGTAGCAAGCCGTATGTTGAGGTTCGCGTCATCGGCCAGCGCCGCGAGATAGTCGGCGTACTGCGAGCCCGACGGATGCTGCGCGTGGAGGGCGTAGGCCGGCGACGTGTCCTGGGCCACGGCGTTCAGGTCGAACGAGCTCGTCCAGCCCTGCTGGTTGAACGATGGACTGATGAATCGCATCTCTTCCGGCCACGCGCGGAACGACGCGCCGACGGCGTCGCTGCGCTCCAAAAGTCGGACGCGCGCGGGGTCGAGGCCGAACGCGCGCGTCAATGAGACCGCGCAGCCGATGCCCGCCGCGCCCGCGCCGACGACGACGACGTCGACGTCGAGGTCGTCGCCGCCCCGCAGGCGGATGCAGCCGTCCGCGTCGAAAGGAGCATAAATCAGTGTGCCGTCGTTGAGTCGCACTTGATAGGGTACGACCTCGCCCGGCGCCCAGCCTTCCTCGCGGTGGTAGAGGGCGACCACCGTGCCGGCCTCCCATGGCTCCTCGGAATTGCGGCCGGTATTACAAACGACGCGCGCGCCGCGGCCGAAGCGCAGCGCCTTCTCCTCGACGGCCTTGCCCGTCGTCTCGATGACCTGCTCGAGGTCGTCCTTCTCACGTGCCTCGAGCTTCTGGCACAGATCCCGGATCCTCCCCAACGCTTCGTCCGCCTCGGCGCTGTCGTCGGGATTCATGATCGATGCGAGCCGGTAGGCCTCGTACGCCCCTTCAAAATCAGCCTTGCCGACCGCCCCGCCGTCGATCAGCTTGTCGAGCAGCGGCGAGAGGAGCGCGCGGCCTCGCATGCGTGCCACATCGGCCAGCTCGGGCAGCACGGCGAGGGCCGCCGCGGACTCGCGCTCGGCGGCGTCGAAGTCCTCGTCCTGGAGCAGCTGCTTGAGGCGCGCGGCGCGGCCGTCCGGCTTTGAGAAACTCACGCCCACGTTGTCGCGCGAGATCCGCCGCTTCGCGACCTCATCTTCGTAACCGTCGTAGGGCGGCATGTCATCTTTGGCCGCGCGCAAGACGGTGCGCGGCGCTCGCGGCAGAAAACTCAGTGCCGGTGACAGTGCCGCCGCGCTCGTTATGCAACAGAGCAGCAACATCGCGTACAGGACTGCCACAAGGGTCTGTGTGACTCAGGCACTGCACGTGCTCGGTCGGGAACCTATCGCGCCGCCCGCAGTGCTGCGCACGTCCAAGATACAGCGAAAAGCACTAATATAACAACCTGTAGACAGCTGTATGGTTATTAAGCTGCTTCGAGTCGTGCTACATCCACGTTATTTTTCGGAGCCTAGCTTGACAGAGGCACTAGTTAGATATTTGGTTCCTGCCACACGCCTTGCGCGGCGCAGCGAGGATGAACGACTCGCGGCGGAGGCGTGGATCTCGCTGCCGCGCGTAGCACCCTTGCGAATCGTCCCAGAGCATGGCGAGGCTGCCCGGGAGGCTGCCCCTCAGCATCACTTTTTTGCTGGCGCGCGCGGGCGCAGAGATCATAGGTCCCCACCTCCTCGACGGGACAGACACGCCGACGCTCCATCGTGATATAGCGCAGAACCAGGTGTCGATCGACGACTTACTGGCGCCGTTCGCGGGCAAAAAGCCGGGTCTCGCGTTTCGCGTCCACGCCGACAACGACGCGAAGACCGTGGACGGCGGCGTCGCCGATGCCATCCTCGCTGCGTTGCGGGAGACTGGCTTGCCCGCGGACCCGGCGGAGGCGGTCGCCGTCCTCACTAAATCTCCCGTGCCGCTCTCGATCACGCTCTAGTCTGCGAAGAAATCACCAGCGCATCGGAACGTTCGGTCGGATGAGACGAAGCGCCGTGAAGTTTGGAATTCCGCACAGGCTCCAGTTCGAGTACCTCGACGAAGCCGCGTGGCCCGCTGGCGTCAAGAACCTCGCGGAGACATTCGGCGAGACGAACGGTCGCGCCGAGGTTGAGGGAGGACTGCTACTCCACGCCTACCTCTCGACGGCGGGCGCCGCCGCGCTCCCATCACACGAAGACCTAGGCGACATCCTCGTCGTCCAGCTCGCGGGGGCCAAGACGTGGACCTTCGACGCCGATGATTCCGATGATTACGTCGTGACGCTCGAGCCGGGCGACGGCCTCGTGATTCCGGCGGACACGCGTCACGCCGCACGCGCGACTGAGGGCGGCGTCTCTGCCCATCTGACGATCCACCGCATTAGCGAGCACCAGACCGACATCGCGCGCCGGCAGCTCAGCCACGACGAAGATGACCCAAACAGGTGCTATTCGGGAGATGCGGAATGCCCCTCTGCGTGCGAGTACGACTGCGATGACTGCGAGTATTGTACGGACGCGGACACGATCTGCCGGAGCGAAATCGAAAATGACCCTTTCTACGATGGCTATCCCTATGACATCTGCTGCCTCACCTCCGGCTACAGGAACGAGCGCGCGGGGCCGTGCGAATGCCCTGACTGGCCCGGGCCCGACCCCGACTGCCCGACGACCCCGGGTCCGACCTCTGGACCGACGCTCACGCCGGCGCCGATGGCCGCTACATGCGTGAACGACGATTCGACCACTGATAGCGGTGGTGATACTTGCTCAGAGTGGTATGACAGAAGGCCTCAAGATTGCGGAGAGTACGATGACGACGACTTCACGGCGAGCGAGCGGTGTTGCGCGTGCGGCGGTGGCGAGGGTACGTTCGCGCCGACTGCGACATCCGAACGATGCGTGGACGATTTGTCGACCACTGGTCAGTTTGATAAAGGTTGCTCGTATTTTGACTATTGGCCTGGCGAATGCGAAAAATTGGACGACGAGGATTTCACGGCGACCGAGCAGTGTTGCGCGTGTGGTGGTGGTCTTGCTGGTGGCACGCATGACCCGACTACATCGCCTGCGCCGACGCCGGCGACGCCGGCGCCGACGCCGCGGCCGTCACCTTCGCCGACCGCGACGCCCGCGCCGACGATCGGCCATCCTCTACGCCTGGTCGGAGGCACGAGCGAGTACGAGGGTCGCGTCGAGATCTTGCATGATGGCCAGTGGGGCACAGTCTGCGACGATTCCTGGGACCTGGACGATGCGAACGTGGTCTGCCAGCAGCTCTTCGGGGTCGGCGCCTTAGAAGCCAAGGATGATGCGTTCTTCGGTGAGGGCAGTGACCCCATCTGGATGGATAACGTTCAGTGCTCCGGCGACGAGGATGCGCTCTGGCAGTGCCCTTTCAACGGCTGGGGCGATGAGAACTGCTTCCACTGGAAGGACGCGGGCGTCATTTGCGATCAGAGCCCGGCGCCCACGGCGACGCCCGCGCCGACGGCCGACCGCTCTCTTCGCCTGGTCGGCGGCGGTACCGAACGCGAAGGCCGCGTCGAGATTTTCCACGAGGGCCAGTGGGGAACCGTTTGCGATGATGAATGGGATATCGCCGACGCGAACGTCGTCTGTCAGGAGCTCTTTGGAGTCGACGCCATAGAAGCTAAGTGGAGAGCGTTCTTTGGCGAGGGATCTGATCCTATCTGGATGGGCGATGTTGAATGCGTCGGTGACGAGACGGAGCTCCGGCAGTGCCCTTTCAGGGGCTGGGGTGAGTCGAACTGCCTTCACTGGGAGGACGCGGGCGTCATTTGCGAGGCAGGCGCGTGCCTCGGTCAGACGGCGTGCAAGCCTGACGGCAGCCCGTGCGCAGCTGACGAGTTTTGCAACTTTGACGATGGTAGCTCTGGATTTTGTGAGCAATGCTCGTCCTTTAGCGATTCTGTCGCCTGCTACAACGATGGCCTGCCGAGCGACGGGGCTGCAGACTGCCACGCATGCTGCTTCGGTGACGAGGATGAGTATTCTAACCTGGGCAGCCCGACGCCGCGGCCTTCACCTTCGCCGACCGCGACGCCCGAAAATCCGACGGCGGTGCCCACCTCACCTCGACCAACGCGGCCGTCGCCCAAGCAGCCCCCCCCTGGCGATGATACTACCGACAGTTCGAGCGCCGGTGGTTCCAGTGGCGGCGGCGGCCCGAACGCTGCGGCAATAGGCGGCGGCGCGGCCGCCGGCGCGCTCGTCCTGCTCCTGGCCGCCGCCGGAGCCTCCTTCTACTACCGTCGAAGCACTGCCGCTAAGAAGTCCAACGCGAGCGGGGTATTCGACGAGGCCCGTGGAGTGAAGGCGCCGCCGCCGCCTCAGAGCGCCGTCATCACCTCCAAGGACGAGCCGCCGCCGCCGCCGCCCCTCGGCGCTTAAGCCGTCGCGCTGAGGCTTTTTGGCGGGCGAATTCGCCTTCGACTCTTCCGATTCGCCCGACGTTTTTTTGACCGGTCATCTACTAAGAATTACTCATCAATACTCAAGATCGCGTAGACGACCAACCCCAGACAACCTCCGATGAGGCAGAGGACGCCGACGAGCTGGATCAGCGCCGGGTCCAACTCGTAGCTCGCGCGCGGCGTTTCTTCGACCGGCGGCGTCGGCGCCGTAAAGCCCTCAAATACGTGCTTGTCGCTGACGTAACTCGGCGGCGGCGTGGGAATGTCTTTCGTCGAGTAGAGGAACGGGAGCCGCTTGCCCGCGGGGAGGTCGGCCTTCACGCCGTCCGTGCGAAAAACGGCGAGCGCGGGGCTGTCTGCCAAGCCGAGCTTCTTGATCGCGGCGGCGGTCGGCCCGTCGCCGTGAACGGTGAGCTCTAGCGCGCCGCCCCAGCGGAAGGTGTGGCCGACGCGTATTTTTGTGCGCGTGATGTCCGCGTTGGGCTGTTCCGTATAGGTAAGGAACGGGAGCCCGGGCGTGGGGATCGTAAAACCCTGCTCGAGCGTCGCGGAGAACTCGTCGCCGAGCGCAAAGCTAGCTTTCTTCGGATCGGAGAAGTCTGACTGCATCTCTGCCAGGTATTTCGGGAACCCCCATACCTCGCGACCGCCAGCGACAGAGAACTGGGTGGTCACCGGCAGTGTGACGACGTACAGGCCCGAGTCGTCCTGCTCAAACAACGACAGCATCTCGTCGACGTGGAAGACGTTCGCCACCATGTCCCACAGATACCCAATGAGCGTCGCGCCCGTGCCTTTGCGGACGGCTTGGATGCCGATCCCGACCTCGCCATAGGGGCCCAGGGTCGAGTTGCGATAGTCCATCATGAACAACCCAGCCGCCGCGTTTCTGCCGGGCAGTAGCAACGGCTCGAGGTTGTCCGGAAGCAGCGCGGCGGCTTTGGTCTCCTCGACGAGCCAGAACGCGCCCATGAGGCTTCCGTCGCTATAGCGGACGGGCAGCTCGACCGGCCCCGCGCTCGTCGTGAACGTCTCGTTCGAGCGCTTCGGCTTAGCGAAGAATTGGGCGCGGCGCGCGAGCAGAGCGCTCATCACAGCCGCGGCCGCCGCGACGACGGCGCTCGCGACAGTAATGCGCTTTTTCATGCTTATTTCAGGCTAATTTGCGACTCTCTCTCTTTGCGACTGAGGGCGTAGAGTGGCAAACGAGTGGCAAATGAGTGGAGAGAGGTGAAATCCAGATATGCTGGTACCTGGAGTCCCAGTTGTACCTGGTGAGCGCGTGTCGCGTTGACTTGCTTTCTGCTGGGTCGTTCCACGAGCGGCGAGTCCAGTGAGCACCCTCACAGCAGCAAATGCGCTTTGCTTTTTCGAGGTGAAAAACCCGTCACGATCTACGATCACTAGTACTCGAGCATCTACTCGAGCCAGGCGCGACGACGACGAAAGCCCAAGACTACTAGAAATGTTACTACCGCCGCAGCGCCTCCGCCTCCAGCCGCGCCTTCTCCTGGCGCTCCTTGAGCGCCTCCTCCTCGGCGATGAAGTCCAGGACGCGGTCCAAGGCATACCTCCCCTTCGCCGCCGCGCCGCCCCGATTCACCCGCCGCTCGTCGTCCTCCAAATCCTTAATGCCTTGCCGATGATTGGACATGTTCTGGGCGAGATCCCGGACGAACGCTTTTTTGGCAGCATCGATCTCCTTCACCAACTCGGAATGGACGCGCGACGCCTTTTTGCGCGGCGCGGCGACGTGCGTGACGACGCCGCCGGTCTTGCACCAGGGCACGGGCTCCGTGCGGTCGACGTTTTGTGATCGCCCCAACCGCGGCTTCTCCATGAACTGGTCCAACAGCTTCGACCGCGCGGCCGCGTCGAAGCGCCCCCGCGGCTGCCTTGGTAAGAGCGTCTTCCGGCCCTCCGGCAGCGCGGGCCCGAATCGGAGCGATTCCCGGGCTCCGACCAAGCTCGTGACGGGTTCTGGGGGAGGCGCCCTCCGCTTGATCTCCCGCTGCTCCCAGGCCTCGAGCTGCTTCCCGCCTCCGGTGCGCCGCGCCGCGACCAGTTCACCCTCTTCTTCCACAGGCGGTCCATCAAAAATGATCGTCGACGCCATCGACGCCGGGATGATCGTAGGCACCTCCGGGACGCTCTCCACGTCTTGGTGATCTTCGAGGAAGGCGTCGACCTCGATACTATGTTCGTCATCCGAGTCCGGCACCGTCAACGGAGGCAACGACGGCGCCGCGTCTCCATCATTATCAATTTCGTCCGGGAGGATCTGATCCCTCATCGCTATGACGGACTCGGCGCAGCAGTCCGCTCCTGTAAGGATGGTGACGCATTGCCGATACAGCAGCCGCTTCAACGTCGTCGTGTACATGTTCCGCGACCCGGGGCACAAGTAGTGGAACCCCGCGCTTATGGACGCCGCAATCGCATAAGGGTAGTAGCGGAAGAAGAAGTCCCGGTTCTTCGCGAAGCGCTCGTCCGACAGCAGTCGCACATATAACGTCGCGACCCTCCTTAGTAAGTGGGCCTGCTCCTTCGCCGAGTCTTCCTGGAAGAAGCGGCAGTGGCCGTACCAGTACATGTACACGAATAAATGGCACGACAGCTGGCACGTCGCAAACCTCTTAAAGACGCGCGCTCCGGAGGGTAACACCATGCCCTCGCACGTGTATGTTAGTAGGAGCTTGGGGTTCATCTCGGTGGCGGCGACGTGGATCGGGAAGCGCTCGCTGCCCGGCGGCAGCCGTTGCCTCCTCTGCAATTCGTCGTCGCCCGAGTCCGAGGCCTCATCCAATGATTTTCTTTCAAACGCCTCGGCGTCCTCCGGCGTGAGGTAGGTGAGCTTGTCCACGCTCCTCATGATGTAGGGCTCGCAATTGCGAGCTAATCGTTTTTCACACCTCGCGCGCGCGCGCCGGTCGCCGCCGCCCACGCTCCCGACGCCAGCTAACGATGGCTTGCGCCACTTCTTCGTGCCCGCGTCGGCAAACAAGTGCCCGACGCCTTCGTTGATGGTCTCTTCGAGCTGCTTGCCTTTATCTGTTTCTCTTGCATGCCTCCATGTCACTGTGGGAGAACCACCATCAGAAGGTAAAAACTTGGACTTGTGCCTTTTTTTGGTCCGGCCCATCTCCGCCCGGATATCATCTTCGATCGTCGAGATGTCGTGGCTGCACTTGTCCGTCCAGCAGTCGCGGTCGTCTCGGCAACCTTGGAGTCGCTCCGTGGACTTCGCCGAGATGCGCTGCATGCGGCCGACCAAAGCTTCCACCAATTCATACTGGCGCTGGGCCTTCTCGTCGATGTTCAGCTCGGGCTCGTCCATGGTGGGTCTTTTGCCGAGGGCGGGGCAGCTCCTTGGGTGGTCGAGGAGCTTGCGGCTCGCGACGATGATTTCGCGGACTGCTGCCGCGGCGAGGGCGTCGGGTGGCGCCGACGAGCTCGCGGGCAGCTTCTTTTGCTCCCACGCGTGCTGCGGCGCGTCTGGAGGCGAGGCCGCGGAGCGCGTTGAGACTAGTATGTTTTGGCAACCCCGTCCGATTTGACTCCCGCGCGCGCCTAGATTTAGGGAAGGGTGAAGGCTCCCGGGACGCCTGCGACGCGTAGTTCGAGGGTTTGTCGTCGCTAGTTTGGCCCGTTTGCCGCTGTGGACGCAACGCGAAGGGCAGCGCAAACAGCCTTCGCGGCGGACGCGTCACGCGAAAGACGAGATCAACAGCGCCCTCTCGCGTCGCACCGCGACGGGCTGCACCAAAAAGCTCGAGCCGTAACGGCCCGGCTGCCCCAGAGGAGCGCCCTCGGGCAGCAGCCCAAGCGCCGCCGGTGCCACGACACCCGAGGCGGCCGCAAGGGAGAACGCGACGATGCAAGCGCAACGCAACTACCAGAACCAGCAGGGCGGCACGTCCATGGCCGGGCTGCTGGGGAGGCCGCGCGTGCCGCCCGCCGAGGCGTTCCAGGCGTTTCGGGAGAGCGAAGGCCTGCCCCCGGTCCGGGGCGCGACGCCGCGAGAAGAGGACCGGACGCCGACGCCCGAGCCACCCGAGGACGACCAGCCCGAGGCGCCGCCCCAAACGGAAGAGTTACAACTCGTGACGCAGCAGCCTCTGCTGGACCCGGAGTCGCCTTACTTACTTGAGCTGAAAAGGACGGAGCTCGAATTGGAGGTGCAAAGACGAACACTCAGAGAAGTGCAAGCAGAAGTGAAGTTGCTGAGGGAAGCTAGGCAGCTGGAAGCTAGAAATGAAGCGCCAACAACGCAAGCTGTCTTACAAGTCGCCGCGAGGCAGGCCGAAGACGAGCGGACCATCGAGGGCTACGGCCATTTACTCAAGACGCTGAATACGCGTTTAAAACAGTTAGAACAACGGACCGAGGGTACGATCGAGCACGGCGCGCAACGACTCGAGTTAGTCGAAAAGCGTCTCGGCAACGTGCATGATGTGGACGCTTTATTACAAAACCAGCGCAAGACCATGTACGACCAATCGAATACTGCATCGATAGTTGAGTTGCAGCGGGACGAGGTCGACAAGGTGGCTACGGAGTTGGTAGATGTGCGGAGCGAAGCCACGAAAGCTGTTTCTCGTGTCCAATTAGTGCGGGAGCTCGGGGAAGAAAGGATCAAGAACGTCGAGAGTCGCCTAGAATTTGCGCAAGATATAGCTCTGAGAAAAGTACATGATGAAGCACTAGCTAGACGAGCCCAACTCAACGACGTCGAGAAGCAGGCGCTGGTGCTGGCCGAGGCCGTCGAAGATCGCGGGCGCACGCGAACGGAGCGCGTCATGGGCGAGGTCGTTTCCACCAAGGCCGAGGTCGCAAAGGAGGTCGAGGACCGACGGCAGGCCGTCCAGGAGTGTCTCAATGACCTGGAGGGGAAGTGGAAAGCACTTGGTGAAATAAGGGAGTCCGATCTGATTACAAGAGCCGACGAGGCCGAGGCCTTGAGGACGGCCGTGGCTCTAGCTCATAGGACGACCGTGGAACGCGTCAACGACCTGTCTATCGAGGTAGAAAAAGCTACCATCAGTTTCGAGGCCGCCACCACAAGAGCACTAGCGAGGTGTTCGCGACGCATGGCGTCCAATGAGAAGAGGTATGGGGAGAAGTTTGCTGAATTAGAACAAGTTCTCTCTGCAGAAATCGCCGCTCGTCGAAGTGGAGCTCAAAAACTGGCGGGACGGCAGATGGCCGCCGAAGATGCGCAGCGCCAGGATTTGCTCGAGGTGTCGTCTCGCTTAGGGAAACAATTGACCGATATGGTCGACGACGTGGCCGACGCCACGAGAGAAATGCGCGAGACGGCTCTTCGAGTTGCTCAAGGGTTATCTGACTTAAGGAAGGACATGCATAAACTAGATCACCGACGGGCGCAGCACGTGCGCGACTGCATGAACGCGCAGGCGGCGGTGCGGACGGCGGAGCGGGCGGACGATTATTGGAGGTTCCAGTTGCTGGCGAAACGGGTCTCGTACCTCGAACACACGGCGTTACCTGCTTTAGATGCCAAGCACGAAGCTCGTAGCAACGAGGTGCGAGCGGAGGCCGAGGCGTGGTATCATAGCTCTGTATCGCAAGCCAAGGAGATGGGTCAACAATTACAAGATAATCTGGATGACGCGGTGCGTAACGCGTCGGAGGCGCTGTGGTCGTCGGAGGCGTCTAGCTTCGCGTCGTTGGCTGCTCTAGATGAACGATCACGCGATGCTTTAAGTGATGCGCGCGCGACGCTAGAAGCGACCATCGCCAGCGAAGCTCAATACGCCGCGCGCATGACGCGCAACGCCTGGGACGCCGCCTCGTCGGCGACGTCCGCGTTGGCCGCCGGCACGCGCGCGCTGTTCCACGAAGTTACGAGTTCTGTATCACTACTCGACGTGCGCGAGGCGAACGACGTGAGAGATGTTAGGGATGAGATCGGCGACTGCTACGCGCGGGCCGTGGAGACGGCCACGCAACTCACGACTGATGAATCCACGAGACGTCAGGACCACGTCGCGCTGACCAAGAAGAACCTGGCCGAGACGCAGAACGCGATCGCGGCTGCCCAAGCGGCCATCGCCGACGCGCGCGCCGCGGACCTCGAGAGGAATTTGGTGGAGGCGCGCGAGGCCTACGCGAACGATGCCGTGGCCGAGGGGCGGGCGGCGAGAGCCGCAGCTAGGGCGTTGGTCGAGGCCGAGGGTCGCGAGCGGCGCGTCGCCGACGAGGACTACGCGGAGCAGCTCCGTGAGTTGATCGCGGAGACGAAGGGCCAGCTCCAGGCGGCGGCCGAGGCGCTGGTGGAGCAGGCGCGGCGGGATGCCGATGATAAGGTTTCCAAGGAGGCTGGCAACCGGGACGCCCTGGCGCGAGGCTTGCGGCTAGAAGCTGAAGAAAGACAGCGGGCGCTGGCGAGGAGGACTGGTGCCGCTTCAGTAATAGATGATTTGGTCGACCGCGTCGCGGACCAGGCGCAGATGGCGCGCGACGCGACGCAGGACGACGAATTGGCCGCGTGTGAAGCTAGGTCGAAGAAGCGCTTCGAGCTCTCGGCGAAGGCGCTCAAGGCCGAGGCCGCGTATCGCGCCGTCCAAGAGGACGACATTCGAAGACGGTTCACGTCGTCGGCGGCTTTGGATGCCGTCGTGCACCGCATCGCGGACAACGAGGCCGCGGCGCGGAACGCGCGCATGGGCCGCGAGGTCCAGCGCGTGGCCGCCGAGAGCGAGGCGCGCGACCAAGGTTTGGCCGCGGCATTAGCTGTTGAGCGCGACGATAGGGAAAGGCAATTCGCGGACGCGGAACGCGCGCGTCTCGTGAGTCGCTCGCTGCGGCGGGCGCAGAACGAGGTCCACGACAAGGAGGTCAGGCAGTCGTTCGAGGAGCTCGGTGAGCGGTTGGACACGAACGTCACGTTTTTGGGTGATCGGTTGGATGCTGCGGAAGAGGCTAGGGAGGAGGGCGACAACGAGCTCGGGGAGCGCTTGGACACCGAGGCCGAGGAGCGGCGCGACGCCGTGAACGACCTCAGCGAAAAAGCTCAATCAGCGATGCGCGCCGGCTTCTCGGACGTGGCGACAGATATCCATCGGGTCGAGTCGTCGCTGCGGGCGTCGATCGCGTCCTCGCGGTCCGAGTCGGCGCTGGCACGAGGAAGCGCCTCCTCGAGGGCCTCGCACCGGTCCGCGGCCCTCGCGCGGTATTCCCTGGACACGGTGTCCGCGCGCGAGACGGCCGACGTCGCGACGAAGTCCGCGCTCGACGCTGCGAAGAAGGAGGCTTCGGATCGGGCGGATGAGTTGGCCGAGGAGATGCAGGCAGGCATGGACAAGGTCCGTACCGAGGTTGATGAGAACGTCAAGGATCTGATGGAAGGCCAGGGGACGCTCGAGGACGCGCTCCTAGAGAAGCTCAAGGCAAATACAGAAGCGGACGAAAAGCGGCAAGAAGAATTGGAGGAAAGGATTGAAAAAGCCGTCGATGAGCTCGAGGTGGCCAACGAGAAGCGAGCGACCGAAATGGAAGGGGCACGAGAAGCGCTGGCTAACGAGCTGACGGAGCGGATCGCGGCCGAAGTGACGGCGCGCGGCGAGGCGCTGTCGGAGCTGTCATCGGCAGTCGACGGCGTCAAGACGTCCATCACTGAAGTGAAGGATGAGCTCACTGACAAGATCGACGACGAGACGTCGAACCGCAACCAGACCTTGGATGCTGTGCGGAACGCGGCCCAGAGCTCGCAGAAGGCGGCCGCGGAAGCCCAGGCGGGCGTGGACTCGTTACGCAAGGACCTCGACTCGAAGGTGAAAGATTTGGAAGGGAAGATCCCCAAGGCGGCGCCGGCGGCGCCCGCGGCGCCGGCCGCCGACGCGCCGGAGAGCTCGCCAGGCGACTAAGACTTACGATAAAATATCCGAGTCACGGTCGCGCCACTAGCTGTCTGAGTCCGACGAGTCACGGTAGGGATTTTGGTAGGGCGACTACCAAGACTCACGATAAAATTACGCGCCCCTACTAGCCGTAGGCCCCGGGCCCCGGGCCACCATCATCCAACTTGCGCGCCCGCCCCCGCCTCCCAAACGAACAGGCGGGCCCGTTCTTCTGCGTGGAGACGATTTGACGACCAAACCCCGAGTCCGTCCGGCAGCGCATGGGCCCCGGGCCGTCCGTTCTATCTTTGGCGCCGTGCCTTACCTTAATGGTCACGGGGCAGCCGTAGCGCGTCCTCTCAACTTTGGTATACTTCTCCAGATCGAAGGCCCCGGGCCCGGGGTTGTCCGCGTGGTCCGCCTTGATCGGCGACACCTTGTGCGCCATCGTGTACTGCGGCGCCCAGGGGGCATTTGGGCTGCTGGAAGGTCTCAAGAAGCTATCCGCCCGACAAGTAAACGATTCATCAACTTTCGGGGTGACGCTGTAGCGGCCGCCCATCTTCGTGGCGGGACTGCCGGGCCGCGTACTCAGCATCTGCCGGCCCATCGTGCTTCCGAGAGCATATTTCGGACCGGGCTTGCAGGCCTTCTCCCGGTCTTCGGGGTCCTGGCCCCGCCGTTCCTTCCCGAAGCGGCCGCCCTTGGCCCGTTTATAGACGCCTGCTTTTTCCCCAATTCCTCCTGGTATGGTGTACGCGCCGGGCGCGGGCGTCTTGTGCGAGTTCGGGACGGGCTCGGCGTGCCTGGCCTTGATGCTCACGACGGAGTCCGTGGGACAGGCCGACGTCTGCTTGAAGGCGTCCATGACGGGCATGGTGGCTGGTTGATGGTGGCAGCGGGCGCTGCTCGTCGAGGTGTGGTGGGAGAGGCTGCCCTTTTGCCGCTTGCGCCCGCGAAAGCCGGGATTCGGTGAGCTGCGCGCTGATGCTGTGGCGACGTGCCGCGTGTGCTACGGAGATCGGGTAGCGTCGATGGCGTTAATCCCGACCGGAGAGCGTCGGACGGAGACTGGCGCTAAAAGTGCTGTCAATTGGACGGCGCAAACTAGCCATCCGTATTCGAGGCGTGCGAGCATTCGTCGCGGGGGAAACACCTGGTGGACACACGAGTGGCCTAAAAAACGGGTTTCTCGAGCCGACGCGGTGACACACTCGGGGTCCGGGCTAGAGGGGCTAGCACAATAAGCGACACTCTCTGACATCTGCGAATAGAACAATGTTAAGCAACACACAAAACACAACTACGACCGCCGCTTCCCCTTCTTCGAGCCATGACGCCGCGACCCGCCGCCGGAGTAGGCCGCAACACACGGCACCGGGACCAGGTCCAGCGCGTTGTCCGGCACCGAGTACGCGTAGACGAGGACGTGGCCGTGCGTGGCGCCGCCCGCCGCCGCCTGGCACTCCTTGACGAACGACTGGAGCGCCAGGCGGTCCTTGTTCTGCTTGTCCCTATCTAAATCCGCCTGGACGTCGGCGACGTCGTCGGGCCCCTCGGCGGCCGACAGGCGGCTCCCGACGGCGCGGAGCGACGCGAGCTTCGCGTCGACGGACACGCAGCGCGGCGAGCCCTCGCCGTGCTTGACGAGGCGCACGCGTCGCAGGCCCGCGGCCTCGAGCGCCGAGACGCAGCGCGCCGCGACGTCGGCGCGCCGCGGCGCTGTTGGAGCCGCGCAGTGCACATACGGCACAAGTGTCTTGTCGTGGTGGTCGTCGGCGGCCAGGGCGCGCGCGATGCCCGCGCCCGCGGCGATGCCCGCGCGCACGGCCACTTCTACGTCGTCGCTCGTCCTCACTAATTTGGAGAGGGCGTCCGCCGCGGCCGAGACGTCGTCGCACACGACCGGCGGGCGGGCCTCTTTGGCGTCGGCGAGCTGTATCGCGCCGTCGCCGTAGACCTGGGCGAGCCACGGGACGCCCGCGGCCGCGGCGCGCGCGAGCGGCGCCGGCCGGTGCCTATCGACCCGCTCGGCCGTCACACTGTCGGCAGCGAAGCCGCGGCGGCGCAACGCCGCGGCGACCGCGAGCGCGCGACGTAGGTTGCCATCCTCGTCGACGACGAGCACGTCCAGCGAGGCCTCCGTCGCGACGGCGCGCCCCTCGCTCTCCGCGGCCGCCTTGGCTGCCTCGATGTCCTCAGCGGACGGGCGCGCCGCGTCCAGGTCGAGGCGGAAGCCGGCGGCGACGACCGCCGCGTCCGCGAGCGACGCGCGCTCCACCGGCGCCACATTCCTAGCCACAACGTCGCCATAGCATCCACCGACAGCGACGACGCGGTCGTTCGCCCGTACCTCAAAGAAGACGCCCTCGTAGGGCGCCGCCGCGACTAGAGACTCATCAACGAGAATGGTCGTCGAGGCCTCGACCCGCGAGCACCGGCGCGCCGCCTTGCGCACGGCGTCGACGTCGTTCTCGTCCGGGATCGACGAGCGGTGGCGCATGTGCCCCCCGCGCTGGTCCCAGGACTGCGGCGACGACGACACGCGACTGATCGGGAGTGCCGCCTCGGCCTCGTCGTGCTGCAGCGCGTCGTCCGCGTCCTCGATGCCCGCGAGTGCCGCGCAGGTCACGGCGTCGAAGAGATCGCGGACGGCGCCCGCAGCATCTCTGCGACACCCTTCGAAGCGCTTCGCCACGTCGGACACGGGCCGTCGCAACAGAGAACGCAGGCGCTCGAGCGCCTGCACGGCGCCGCCCCGCAGGATTCCGCCCTGGGCATCCAATGCGTCGCGGATCTTCGGCGGCGCCGTCTGGCGCAGGCCCGCGAGCGCCGGGGCCAGACTCGCGTGCGACGCGCGCACCTCGACGGCCAGGTCCGCGTCGTCTGATGCCGCGCGGCAGGCGTCGACACACAGCGCCAGGGCCTCCCCACAAACGACGGCCTCGGGCGCCGCGCGGCTCACGCAGTCGTAGGCTATTTCCAAGCGTTCTTGGGGTGGGCCCGCGGCCGTCGGCGCGAATACCTTGGCGCAGGCATACCGCTTGCAGGTGCCGAAGCTGGCGCGCGCCTTCCGGCGCGACAGCGCCGAGCGCGCGACGCGCCGCGCGAAGGACGTCGTCGACTCGCGCGGCAGGAGCACGGACGTGCCTCTCGCGTCGACGAGGACGACCTCATCTCCATCATCAATGTCGTCGCGCGGCGGCGGCTTCGGACGTAATAAAGGCGCGTCCAGGGGCGCGGCGCCGGCCTTCTCCAACTGATCAACGACGCGTCTCCGTGCGGCCTCGCGCGCGCGCGCGTCCCTTAAAGCCATCAATGAGAACGCGCCGCGCTCGTTCTGGTCGTACGCCACGTCGACGAGCTCGGACGTCGGCGCGCCGAAGAGGGCATCCAGTAAAGTCGCGCGGGCCGGACTGAGGGGGTTGCGCAAAGCGCTTGTAGCGGCGTCCAGGACTTCGGTGGAGAGCTCGCGCGGCGCCGGGAGCAGGGGCCCGTTCAGCAAATCCGCGGCCGAGGGCCGCTGCGCGGGGTCGGCCCGCACGAGCCCCAACACCAACTCCCGGACGCGACCGTCCGTATCAGCGTCGAAGCAGTCTTCCATCCCACTGCTCCGCACGCGCTCGCCCGCCTTGCGCAGCGCCTGGATGGACTCGACGCGCTCCATCGCCGTCCCATAAGGCGCGCCTCTAAGTAATTCGAAGGCCACAACACCCAGCGAGTACATGTCCGCGCCGCTGTCGTAGGCCCTGTGCTGCGCGACTTCCGGCGCCCGGTACAGAAACGTGCCGACGCCGCGCGTCATCGACGTCGCCGTGTCGTCGTTCGCGGCGCTTTCGTCGTCCTCGTCGACGAGCGAGAGCTGGCGCGTGATTTGCTCGTCGCGGTCGCGGATCGTCGTCGCGAGGCCGAGGTCGCCTAATTTAGCATTTCCCTGGGCATCCAGCATGATATTTGCAGGTTTTAAGTCGCGGTGCACCAAGAGCTTGTCATGCAGGTATTGTAAGGCTAGTAAAATCTGCCGCAGCAATCGCCACTGGTCGTCGCGCCGCTGTTCTAAACGTCTTGTATCGATCAGCTGGCGCAGCGTCGCCGCGCAGAACTCCATCTGGATGTACAGCGTCGTAGTAGCGGGCTTCCCTGTCAAATTCGACGACGACGAGATGATGTCCGAGTCGCTGTCGTCGTCCTCGTCCGAAAAGCCGTCCAAGAGCGAGAACTCCTCTTGGATGGGCGCGTCCTCGAGGCCCTCGATCCAGGCCTGCGTGGAGGTTAACCGCTATGGGACCGGCGAGCTTTGATTTCTGCGCGGACGTATGCCTGGTAGTACCGCACGACGTGCGGGTGGAAGGCTGCTGCTAAAGCTTCCACTTCCCTTAGCTGGCGCCGCGCGTCGCGGCGGGAGGCGCCGCCCGTGAGGCGCACCTTTTTGATCGCGTAGGTCCTCCTATCTAACCGGTTCAGGACCTCGCACACTTCCCCGCAGCCGCCCCGCCCGAGAACGCGCCTTTCTTTGAAGTCGGACGCGTAGCGCGACTGCAGCGGCCCGCCGAGCTCGTCGCCCGACGACGACGACGACGAGCCGTCGTTGAACGACCCGGAGCCACCGGTAATGAGCGGCTCCGCGGACCGGCGCATCTCGGACCGGCGCCGCGCCTGCGACTCCTGCTCGGCCCGCAGCGCGGCGGCGCGCGCCTCGCGCTCGGCCTCGAGCGCGGCGCGGCGCTCCTTGTCCTGGGCCGCGCGCGCGCGCGCCTCGGACTCGGTCGCCTTTTGCGCCGCGTCGGCCTCGCGGCGCTTCGCGCGCTCCGAGAGCGGCAGCGCGCCCCGTTCCAAGTCCTCGAGCGCGTCGACGGCGGCCGCGCAGAGGCCGTGGATCGCGACTTCGCCGACCGCTTGGTGCGCCTCTTTACTAAGCACGGCGCGCAGGTCGCGCAGGGCCGCGCCCGGCACGTTTTTTGTGTCGCGCAGGTCCACCTCGACCGGTCGCTTTTCCGGATAGCCCCGTCGCCTCAAGCACGAGAGCGTGAGCCGGGGCATCGCCGTCGCCTCCGCGTTCCAGATCCCGGGTTCGAGCGTGATGCGTATCGTTCCTAACGCATCAACGCTCTCCTCGACGGCGACGGCGTCGTCCCCGAAAATGGCCCTGAGCGCCTCTTCCTCTTCTCTCCGTCTCTCCACGGACTCCGCGCTGTCGGTGGCGTCCTCCGTGAGGCCTTCTGTCGAGTGCTCCTCGAAGACGGAGTACATCTTAGCAGTCTGGGGTTTGGTGTTGCAAGCGTCAAACGATCAAAGACGTTGCAGTTTCAAATGACCTTTTTGCTGCAGCGATCCTGCGCAATCTAACGCCACGCGTGAGGCAATTTAACTGCTTAAACACACGCTTGTTTTCAGCAGCTCTGGCTAGCTAGCGGCATGTAAGACACTAGCAAACCGACGCCATCGACGCGTCGCCTTCATACTAAATAAACACACACATTATTACACCGCGCGTAGACCCTCACTCGAGCCGCGACGTGTAGCCGATGTCTGACGCGACGTAGGAGTGGCCGTTGATCACCGGTTCCAACGCGGCGAGCTGCGGCCGGAATTTCTTGAACGCTTCGGAGCTCTTGTGCACCGACGCGTAGGCTGTCTCTTTATCGGCGTAGCGCTCGACCACTATGATTGCTCTATCGTTACTGTCGCTGCGCGCCCACTCGTACGACAACGTTCCGGGCTCGTGGTCGCGGCACCACCTCGCTTCCGGCGCAAAGATCGCCTCCGCCTTCTCGCGGTCCGCGACGCTCTTGAATTCCATCTCTACGAGCAGGAAGAACGCGCCTTTGGGCACGCCAGTCGATGCTGGCCGGCCTCTCGCTATGTAACCGGCACCAAAGATGGCGCAGGCCTGGAGGCAGCTGATGGCCAGCGCGCGGTTGGAGATGGCCTTCATTGGTGCTGGAAGTTAGCGCGCACAGCTTTTTTTGTCTCCCAGCCGCCACCAGAGCTAGCGTGCACAGACACACTAGAGCGCCTGGCTCTCCGAGCAAAAAGTGACGTACGCGCGGCTACACGAATAGCTGTAAACACGAGTGACGCCAACGAGCAGCTGCCGCTGCGTAAACAACTCTGCAGAGGCAAGTCCACACATGGGCCAGAGCTGGACGTCCCTGCGCACCATGATGGCTTATAGCGTGGCTACGAACCGCCGAGAAGCCGTGGCCAGCGCAAAAATACGGCTTGGCAGCACGGAAGCCTTGAAATGGTACCGGCTCGACGACGGCGTCATGGGCGGCCGGTCGTCGACGCAGCACACGACCGAGGGTGGAGCTCTGACTTTTGCGGGCATGCTCGATACGAGAGGCGGCGGCTTCACGTCCGTCCGCGCGGACTTCGCCGGCGGACTGAAGAGCGACGCTCTCCGCGTGCGCTTCCGCGGCGACGGCAAGACGTACAAGGTCTTACTGTCGAACGGGCAAGGCGGCGGCCCGTGGTCGAACAACCCGTCCTGGCAGCACGACCTGCCCACGAAGCTCGGCGAGGAGCAGTCCGTCGTCCTACCTCTCGCAAAATTCGTGCCGTCGTTCGGCGGCCAGCGCAGCCGTTCGCACGCGGGCTCATTGAATCCCAAAGACATGGCCCAGGTCGGCTTCATGCTCTCTTTGTATCTCAGCGACGGCTCGCCGAACCCGGAAAAAACCTTCGTGCAGAAGGGCACCGCATCATCTTTCAGATTAGAAATTCTAGGCGTCGAGGAGACCTAAGTTAACATCTAAGCGACCTATCCAACATGGGCTTGGCCGCAATGGGACGCACCGAGAACTTGCCGACGGGCTTCATCGTCTCCGGTGAAGGTACAAATGAAGACACCTCATAAATGACACCTTCCTCGTCGAAGTTGACGGCATTGTCAAAATACTTGCCCGGTCGGCAATTCACTTGGTAGAGCAGGTACTTGTCGTCGGCCTTGTTCAACGGTAGTTCCAACTCTAAAAAGTTCGGCTTCTTCGTTTCCTTCAAATTCCAAATCCCTTTGAGGCCGCCGCGGAACGTCGCGATGCGCGACTTGTCGAGCTTCACTCTCACACTACCATTTTTTCTTCCCTTGCCTCGGCCCTCGAACTGCTGGTCGAAGACCCACTCCCTTGGGAACATGGACTCGAAGAGGCGCTTCGCCTGGCCGTCGTCGCCGACCTGTTGGCGCTCGGCTAGTGTCGTTGTGATGAGGGTGAGGGCGAGGAGGCGCAGCATCTTTCTGCGGCGTGTGGCTGTCGACGCACTGCTCTCTGGCACAGCGAGGGTTGTCTCTGCCTAGGTGGCGCAGCGGCGGCGTCGAGAAAGCTTCGCGTCGAGAGATGCGCTATCACAGGTCCTCAAAAACACCTGCTGCGGCACGGATGATGCACGGCGTGCTCGTTTAGCGCTGCTGCAATGCACAGCTCGAGCTGCTACGGGTTTCAAGCCGAGACGCTGGCTCCCTGCCACGCTTCGTAGCCTGTAGCAGAGATCTCTTGGATGCATCGGGCCTATCGCGCGCCGTCGTTTGCAAACGGGCCTCTCAGCCGCAAGTGTTGTTTTTCATTCAATTTGTCGGCCTCAAAACTGCGCAAGTAGAGCCCCATTACTGCTGTGGCGCGACGCACAGCGCCAGTGATAAGCCAGCGCACGGCCGCAAAAGTTTCGCGTCAGCTGAGCCAGCGCAACCGCCACAGGACCCAAAAAACCAAAAGCACTGAGCAGCAAAGATGAGCATCGTAGCGCTCGCCGCGAAACGGTGCCAGCCGACGAGCCCGAACTCCATCGTCGCCTGGAGCCCCGAGGAGGAGATCGCCGCGGCCACCGCTTTACGGAAAGAGCTGAGCCTCGCGCGGTCGCACCAGTGCCGCCGGCTCTTTGTGGAGCGCGAGAAGCGCGTGTCCCAGGAGCGCCAGGCGCGCTTGGCCCTCGAGGAGGCTTTGGCACGCCACGAGGCGACGACGGCCGAACGGGATGAAGCAAGGAAGAAGGCCGCCGACGCGGCGACGCTCGCGGCCCGTAGAAGGCTGAGCGCGGGCTCGGCCCATCGCGACGCGGACGTCGCGTCGGGCGATACCCGAGAGGCCTTCCAGCAGGAGCGTTTACGAGCACGACAGCGCCGCGACGACGCTCTACAAAGGAGCCGCGCCGCGGCCGATGTGCAACGAGAGCTGAATCTCGAGAGGGACGCCCGAAAAATACAAGCGGAGCAGCGCTGGGAGTCGAGGAACGACGCGGCCGCTGTCCAGCGCGCGCGCGCTGTGAAACATGCTGCCAAAATGGCCGAGATGGAGCCCGACGACGACGCGCCGCTCACGGAAGAGCGCGACTTTTCGAGGGACGAGACCTTCGACGCCGGCGGTCCTTGTGTCCAAACAAGAGGAGAAGGCATCACGGAGGTGGGCGCCTGGCGAACGACCGTGCCGGCGACGCGCCACGCGGCCGCGCTCACGCATGCGGCGGCGGCCGCGACGGACGCGGCCGCGCGGATTCGCCGGACCGCGCAGCAGTCGCCCGCGGGCCTAGCTGCCGCCGACGCTGCCGAGAAGGCGGCTGCGAGAAGACGGCGCCAGGCCGAGGACGCGCAACGCGCTCTCCAAATGTCCCAGAAGCGCGGTTTGAGAGCAACCCGAAAAGACATGAGTCGGCGCATGGCCGACCGGACGCAGCTCGAACTCGACCGCCACCGGCTGAAGGCGCGCGCGGACGCAAAGCGAAAGGCGCCGGGCGTCGTGCTCCAGTCTTTGAGGGATGAGCGCGCCGCGCGGCGCGCGCAGCGCCGCGGCGACTTCGGCGAAGCCACGCAGGCCGCCGAGGACGTCGTCGAGGCCGCGGCCGAGGCGGCCTACCGAGCCGCAGCCCCCACGGGCTTCGCGGACATCATCCGACGAAATCAAAGGCCCTCGGACACGGGCGCGTCGCCGTCGCCGCCGCGGATCCTCTCGACCAAGCCTGTTGAGCTGGCCGCCAAGCCCGAGGCGTCGGCGTCGCTGCAGGCGACGCACTGGTCCGACCGGCGCGACGCTCCACTAACGCAGATGGAGGCGCCATCAGAGGTCGTGCCGCGGCCGCGGCCGCCGCCTCCCACGCCGTCCCCGGAGAAGGAGGCGGTCCTCGCGGACGAGGACGAGGACGTATTAGATGAGGCCTTCCTCAAGGAGCTGGCGGAGGAGGGCGACCGCCTCGACGCCGAGGCCTCGCCGCTGCCATCCGTCCCAGCCGCCGAGCCACCGGCGGACGCGGCGGAGGATCCGTCGCCGCCGCTCGCCGACATGGCAACCGAGCCGCCGTCCGAGGCGCCGGCCCCCGACGTTGCGCCGCCCGCGGAGCCACCGGCGGCCGCGGAGGCCGCGGACGCGCCGCCGCCGCTCCTCGACGCTGTGGCCGCGGCGCCGGCCCTCGACGCCGTTCTCCCGGAGCCGCCGTCTCCCACGGAGGCGCCGCCGCCGCTCGCTACGGTCCCGGCCGAGCCGCCCGCGGTGCCGGAGCCGCCGTCGATGGACACGCGGGAGACGATGGCCTTCGTCGAGGCCACGCTCGCGGCCGACGACGCCGCGGCGGCCGCGGCGCCGCCGGCGCCGCCGTCCCCGGACGAGGACGACACGCTGTCGTCGCGGACGCGCCGCTTCCACACGACGCACCACGACGGCGACCTCGTCTTCAAGGCCCCGGCCGCGGACCCGCCGGCGGAACCCCCGGTGGCCTTCGAGCGGCTCACGGAGCCGGTCGCGCTCGAGGACGAGGACGCGCCGCCCGGGCCGTCGCCCTTCGAGGCGGCCATCGCGCGGCGCCGCGCCGCCGTCGACGGAACAACCGACGACGCCTTCGCGGCGCACGTGCTCCCCGGCGACGGCATCGATTTTACGGAACCGATCACGCCCGTGCCGACGACGGCGGCCCCGACCTGGGAGGAGCCGCCCACCCCCACGCTCGACGCGCCGGCCTTCGCGAGCGCCACGCCCCACCAGGAGACGTTCGTGGACGCGCTGCCGCGGCGCGATCTCGATGCCGCTTTGGACGAAGCCCCGGGCCAAGGCACCTGGTACGACGAGACGTATTCCGACTTGTCGCCGCTGCAGGATGATAGGGATGCGATCAACGCGGCCGCCGATAGGGCCGTCGCCGCGGCCGAGGCCGAGCTAAGGACGCGGGACGAGATCCTCGAGAGCTACGTGCAAGCGGCTTTGGACGAAGGCGCGCCGGAGGCCAAGGAGGACCCGTTATCTTCTCCATCTACTGAGCCGGGGCCGACGACGGAGCTGCCGCGCGACGACGCTATTCTAGGCTTACTGGAGGGTCTCCGCTCGGGCGACGCGGACGCGCTGGCGGCCTGGGCACGGCGCACGCTCGCCGAGACGGGCTCGGACGAGGAGGAGGAGGCCAGCTCGCCCGAGACGACGTCCGAGTCGGCCCTCGACGCCGCGGAGCGTTTATTGCGGTCGCTCTCGCCGGACCGGCCGCGCGTGCCGTCGGACTCGTCTCCTGATATTTCCCCGACGGAGCGGCTCGCCACGTCGTCGTCGTCGTCGGAGGACGGCCTGGATGATGTATTAAGGCGCCTCGAGGAGCTCACGGCGGCGATGCGCGAGCGGTCCGCGCGCTACGAGGCGGCGGACGCGTCGGACAACGCGCTGCGGGACCTCCTGCGCGACGAGTGAGATTCTTCCTTTCCCCTTTTTGCTCCTCGTGTAACGTAACGGAGGCCTTAGTCATCCTTAGTCAGCTGATTTTCGTTCGGGGTTGGACTCTTAAAACCCGAACCCGTCCCAAGCTGCGCGCTGCCTGCACGTGCGGTGCAGGATTGGCCGTCGCGCCCACTCTCGGGCAGCCTGATATATCATGAGATGCTACCAGTTATGCCTGCTGATGAGCTTGCACACCCACGGGCTGCGTTTTCGTGAATCTAGCAGTGGGACATGCCTCTGTAGCTAGAGATCATCAGCCAGCAGAGTACAGAAAAAACGATGCGGAGGCAACCCCTCATCAGGCTGCATCTGGCCCTTCACACCACTATACTTCTCAACTGCGCATACAAGTCCACCGCGGCCGCGACGCCCGTCTGTGCCTCAGCAGCTGTGTCCTCGCCCACGGGCGACAATGGCTGCAACTACGGCGCCTGCAAGTCCCTAACAACATCGACCATGACATGCCAGTACGACAGCTCCTTCTGCGACTCGGGCACCGAGGAGTGGATGACCGCCGGGGAGGTCATCGACGCGGGGCACGAGTGTACGTGCATGGACATCCTCAATTACCCCATGAACATCGGTACGTGCTCGTCGTCGGGTGTCTACAGCCCTATGGCCGTCGCCAGCCACTGCAGCGGCGGCACTGCCGTTTGCGATGCCGACGCTGACGGGCACTATTTCCTCGGCGACAAGGTGGCCGGTGCGACGCAGTTCACGGCGTGCGACCTCAAGTGCGACGGTACTGCGGGTCACACTGCCGACATTCCCACCGACACTTTTCAAGGCTGCGAGTTCCCTCAGGTGGGCTGGGTGACGCTCGCGCAACAAACGACCGGCCGCTTCTACTCGCGGCACATGCACATGATGGGCGATACGGCGATCATTGGCGGCTACATGAAGTCAACGGTCGATCCTTCTATGACTGAAACTGCGGAAACGAAGTATGGAACGAGCGATGAGTTCGAATTACGCGGACCGTTCTCGCGGACCGACCCCGACGGGTCGGAGGGCACGTCCGTCTACGAAAGCGTCAAAAAGTACTACGAGCGCGCGCGGCTGGGTCATCAAAACATCTTCGAAATAGCCTTTGGAAGTGACGCCGGAGCGGGTCTCTCACGCAGGCGGGTGGGACCAGTACGAGGTCGCGTTCGCCAAGGTCGACACGACCACTGGTATTCCCCAGGACATCGTCCACTTCGGAGGACACGGTACGGATCAGCTATGGGACGTGCATACGTCCTCCGACAACACGAGAGTTGCCGCCGCGGGCTGGTTCGCTGGCAACTTGACTGTCGGCTCCACGGTACTCACGACGGTGGCCGGTGGAACGCATTACGGCCAAGGAGCCAGGGACGGCTTTGTCATCAACCTCGATGCTAACCTCGCACCGGTCTGGGCGAAGGTCTGGCCCGCGTCGACGGCCGGAGCCACTGATTGGTATGGCTCGCGTTGCAGCGGCATTGAGTATGACGACTCGAACAACCTCATCGGCGTCGGTTACCAGTGCAACGCGACGTGCGTTGGAGTTATGACAAAGCTGGCGGCGGCGGACGGCTCGCAAATGTGGGAGAAGGTCTTCACCGATGTACAGCACTTTAACCGCGTCACCAAGGCAGACGACGACTCTGGAGACCTATTTGTCCGGGGCAAGCTCTTTACCACGACCGGCAATCCCACGGCGGCGAACCCCACGCCCTTCGGCGTGTCTTGCGCGTCAGAAAACTGCGGATTCTTGGCACGCGTGAGTAGCGACGCATCTACTATCGTCTGGGCGCGGACGATCGAGGGCGCCGACTTCAGCAGTTCTTATGTTGGCAGTATTGAACTCGACCCAACGGGCCCCTACATTTACATGGTCATGCAGGACGCGGCAAGAAGTGGCCCAGTCACCCTGGACTCGGGCACGCCTTACGCCGGCTGCAAGGACGCCGACGGCCTGGTGACGCCGGCCTACGAAGTCTTCATGACCAAGATGGTGACCGCCTCGGACTGCCCGTCGGGCTCGACGTTCGTCGACGCCGACTCTTACGACGCCGTCTGGGCGGCCTCGGCCAACACGGGTGTTCATTGCGTGGGGAATACTGATGACAACTGCATCATCAAGTATCACACATTTACTGGTAGGCCAGAGTGGGCCGTGACGACGCCGTATGTCAATACGGTCATGCCGCTTGCGGACGGCACGGTGCACGCCATCGGCCACGGTTCTGGGCAGACATTCGATACGGTCTCTACGCCTGACTCAACCGCTAGGTGGACTTGGCACGCGGAGTACGACGGCGCCACGGGCAAAGGCAAGCTTGTTCATGCCTTTGGCTCTGCGACTGGGTCCGGATACACGCGAACCTGGGATATGGGTGCCGATACTAACGGTGATCTGATCCTCACGGGTTGCATCTACAATGAAGCGACGTCTGTGTGGTTCGATGAAGGTTTTACGCTCTCCTACCCGGAAGACGACGCGGAGAATCATTTATTCGTCTTGAAGCTTGAGACATCTGCCCCCAAAGTCGCGCCATCCTGCATCACCTCGACAAGCACGTGCGAAATCGACGCTAACTCCTGCTACATTGATGGAATCTGCTATGCGAGCGGCGACACGGCTGCGATCCTCGGCGACAGCTGCCAGGTCTGCGACCCAACCAAGTCCCAGACTGCCTTTTCGGACGGGCCCACCGTCGGCACCACGGAGTGTTACGTCAGTGGCGTGTGCCGGACCGCCGACGAATTTTTTTCGTACACGGACCGTTCGTTGTACACGATATATTCGACGTGCCAATACTGCGACCCGCCCAAGTCTGCGCATTCGTGGTCCGTCGTGGACGGATGGTCGGCTGAGGCAAACGTGGTACCGCCGGATGACTGTTCAATAAGTCCGACCGGGCCCTCAGCGACGCCAGCCCCACATTCGGTGCTGGCTGACTGCCCGGTGACGACGAGCGAAGGGGGCGGCTGCTTGCCGACACCTGCGCCCGGTCCAAGCTCTAGTTCCGGCGGCTCCGGTGGCGCCGATATGGGACCCATCATCGGCGCGGTCGTGGGTGTCTTTTTACTGCTAGCCGTCGGCGCCTTGTGGTTCTACCGTCGCCGCAAGGGCTCGGAGGCCAAGCCAAGCGCGCTCGAGCGGCTCGACTCCCCGTCGCCCCCCAATCTCATGCCACTAAAGGCGCTACCCGAAGGAGAGGCTACCGTCCTCTCCGTCGCCCCGGAAGCCGAGGAGACGTTGCCCGCGCAGCCGCCGCCGGCGACAGGCTGGTTCGCGGCCGAGCCCGAGCTGGCGTCTTTCTCGCCGGAGGCCTCTAGCCTGCCACCGGGTCACATCTCGGGCGCCGAGGCCGCCATGATGATGGCCGCGGGAGAGCCGCCGCCACAGCCGGGGAACTGGTTCTCGGGCGCCGCGCCCGAACTCGAGCCGGAATTCGAACCCGAACCCGAAGCCTAGTCGCATCCTTTCGCAATTCGCATCGCACCCTTTCCAATTCGACATTACTAGTGATCGTAAAATTACTTAGCGTCACGCCGTCACGAAGGGCAGCTTGCCGTCCCGCGCGCCCGCGCCGATTAATAAATCGGCCACGTCGTCGTACCCCGCCGCGCGCGCAGCCTTGACGGGCGTCGACCCGTCGTTCGAGGGCTTGTCGACGTCCGCGCCGTGCGCTATTAGTAAACGCGCGACCTCGAAGTGGCCCTGGCGCGCCGCCGCCCAGACGGAGAGGCCCGCCTCGGCGCCATTTTGCAGCAACAATCGAGCGCAGGCCGTCCGGCCCTCCTGGGCCGCCGCGAAGAGCGGCGTGCTCCCAAAATTGTCCCCACAATTGACGTCGGCCTTGGCCTCGATCAACGCTTCCACGGCGAGGTCGTGGCCCGCGGCAGAAGCGATCCAGAGCGGCGACGTGCCCTCGTCGTCTCGCAGGTCGACGTCGGCCCCCAGATCAATTAGTTTGGAAACGACCTCGTCGTGGCCGTCCTGCGCCGCCATGTACAATGGCGTGGCGCCTTTCCCGTCGCGCGCGTCGATCTTCGCGCCCTTGTCCACCAACAGCGTCACACACCCGGCGCGGCCCATCTGCGCCGCGGCACCTAAAGCGTCCCTCCCGCCCTTGGTCCGCCTTTTGAGATCCGCTCCTTTATCCAGCAATATCCGCGCCGCGTCGACATGACCGTTGCAGCACGCGATGATCAAAGGCGTGGCCCCGTGATTCGCCGCCTGGTCGACGCCCGCGCCGTGCTGCAACAACAACCGCATGCAGTCGACGTGGGCCCGCTCCGCCGCGAGAAACAACGCGCAGCAGCCGTTCTCGTCCGTCTCCACAACATTCGCGCCCTCATCTAAACATTTTCGCGCGCGCTGCGTGTCGCCGTCCTCGCAGGCCCGGTGCAACGGCAGGTCGTTTACTGCGTCGAGGTCATCATCGCCCTCCTCAACTTCCTCCTCCTCCACTTCCTCGAAGATGTCCGCCTTCGCGCCGGCCTTGAGCGCTTCTTCCTCCTGCTCTTCCAGCAGTCGAGCCTGCCGCTCCTCCTCCGTGACCGGGCCTTCCCTCCAGAGCGGCTCCGTGAAGTCGTCGCCCTTCATCGAGACCTTGGGCTTGTCGTCAAACAAAACGCGCCGGACGGGCGGCGACGTCATGGCGAAGAGCGTGTCGCTCTTGCCGCCCATCCTTGGTGAGGGCAGGGGCTTCATGGCGCTGCGGTTGTAGGCCGTCACGCGCTCCCGGCCCGGCATCTTCTTGGCGTTGGCTGCGTCCTTTGGTTCTGGTGGCGCGGGGGCAGCCTTTTAGCTCTCGTTTGGCTCTCTGTTTGTTGGGAGAGCGCGCTGTGGTGGCTGTTCCAAGGCCGCAGCCGATTTCGGGCCTTGGACCCGCCTCGGCATCCGTATTGAGGCCTGTGCTAGTGCTGGGGCAGCCCAAGGAAGCGTTCTGTGCCAGCGTTAAACATACTAGACTCCCTCGCACGTGAATCGATTTTAGTCCCTGCGGCAGCGATTGTGCGACCCGGCGCCCCGATTGAACGCTCGGAACTTGAACGCTGTCTCTTGGCCTCGGCGATGAGCTTCAGCGAGAGAAAAACCACGGAGCAGCGGCCGCATATGAGGCTTTTGAGCCAATGGCCCATCAAGGCGCCGGCGGCGGGAGGAGCCGTCCCCCGCGGCCCAATTTCACAGCCGGTCGTGACGCCGCCGCCCCGCGCAGGCGCAGAAGACCGCGAGGACCGCCGCGCGCCGCCGAGGAGAGAGGGCGCGCCGCCGAGCGACCGCGACGATGTCGCACTGGCACAAGCTGGGCTTCCAGGCCTTCCTGGCCAAGGAGATCATGCGCAAGGACACGCTGCCCTTCGCCATCGGCATGGGCTTCGTGGCCCTCATGGGCCTGGGGCTGAACGCGTCGATCACCGAGGAGGACCGGAAGAGCTCCGCGTACCACAAGCAGTTCGTGCTGAACGACCGCAAGGGGGACCACTAAGTACATATTAGCCTCTTTGTTTACGTTTAGAACGCGCAGCTTGCACACAAAAGACAGCTCCGGGCAGATCTCCGGACGGACTCGGACGCGCTGGCATACCACAAGTGCTCAGTTCGTGCTCGACGACCGGAAGGGGGACCACTAATCTACGTTGCACATTGTTATGAACGTGGCACGGGCCCGCCGCCGATGAATCGGCGATGCGCGGTGTCCCCATAGCACGTAGTAACTAATCTCGTGATTTACGCTTCTTGTCCTTCTTCCCCAAAACGCGCAGCTTGCAGACGAAGAAGCCGTCCATGTTGTGCGTGTGCGGATAGAAGCGTCTCGCATTCGCCATGGACGGGTGGAACCGTCTCGACCCGCATCTGAGAAACCCGGGCCGCGCGAAGTCCAGCGCCTCGCTCGGCACAATTTTGACGGACCGTTTGTCCAGGGCGTACTGGACGACCGCCTCGTTTTCTTCGACAGATACCGAACAGGTCGAGTAGACGACGACGCCGGCCTTCTTGGCGTCGCAGGAGTCGATGGCCGCTAACAATAACTCCTTCTGGAGGTGTGCGATTTTCTTCACGTCTTCGACTGTGCGAGAGCCTTGGATCGACGGGTCCCGCGCGCACACGCCTAGCCCCGTACAGGGCGCATCCAGCAGCACCCGATCAAAACCGCCCATGACGCCCGGGAAGGCGCGGCCGTCCTGGCAGACGACCGCGGCGATCTTGACACCTAGTCTGTGGAGATTCGCCGTCGTCGCCTTGTGTCTATCTCTTTTAAGGTCGTTGGCTATTAACACGCCCTGGTTCTTCATGAGCTGGGCGCAGTAGCTCGACTTGCCGCCCGGCGCCGCGCACAGCTCCAAGATGCGTTCTCCCGGTTTCGGGTCGAGGGCGAGGACCGGGCATTGGGAGGCAGCGGACTGGAGCATGTACCACCCTGCTAAATATTCCGGAGTGGCGCCGACGGGCACGTCACTCCGATTGATCTTCAAACCTACCTTGGACCAGGCCGCGAGGGGCTCGACGGTGCAGCCTCGTTTTACCAAAGCTGCGGCGACGTCCTTCCTCCTCGCCTTGAGCGTGTTGCACCGCGCGACGACGGGGCGCGGCTTCACCGACGCGTCCAAGAACTCGACGCACTCGTGCGGACTAAAAATCGTCAGGAACAGATCCACGAGCTCCCGCAGGAATTCATAGTACGAGCTGAGGTCCGCCGCGAGCTCTTCAATGATAGAAGCGCGGCTGCGCGTCGCGCCCTCGCGGCGCTTCTGCGCGAGATGCGTCAGCTCCTCCAAATTCGACTGGACGCGCGCCCAGACCCGCTGCGGGTCGTCGCGGTCGTCCTCCTCTTCCAGCGCGGCGACGTCGACGGCGACGTCTTCTTGCTGCTGCTGTTTCTTGAGTTTGCCGGCTCTTTCTAACGCGCGCGCCGGGGCTTCTGGGGAGTCGTCGGCCATGGCACTGGTGCTGCTACCAAGGCTGTCCTGCTGGCAGTTTTGCTTGCGCGGCGCGTCCGAGAGCGGTGCAGCGGCAATATATGCTTCTCAGTAGTATCGCTCGTGTCGTTCACGAGCGCTGTGGTTGAATGCTTGCGATAGCGGGCGGCACAGGAGCTTGCAAAACTGCTTCGCCCGCTGGCTGCAGCAGAGGCAGATAGAGGCTCTCACAGTCTAAATCCGCCGCTGACGATCGAGAGATTGCGAGATTTTGGCAGCTTGAACCGACACCTCTCGCATAGCGTTGCACACAGCGACAGGTGCCAAGTCGACGCATGCGTCGCGTAGTTCTCGCTGCAGCGGCTGCACATGCCTTGCAGCACGCACAGCGCCGGCATCGATCACTGATCGTCGCGTCGTCGTCGAAGCGGTCGGTCAGCGATCTGATCGGGAATCAGCACGGCGGCAAATATAATTTCGACGGGAGCTACGTCGAAGGTGCGAGTGCCGGCGCCGACTACGGCCGGCGGCGCAAAGCGACCGTGCCGGCGGACGAGGCCTGGGCCGAGCCGACGCTCGAGCTCGCGCGCGGTGCTGCGTCAATCGACGGCATCGTCGAAGCGTGCGATGCCATCGTCGAAGACGCGGCGGCCGACGTCCTCGAGGTGACGAACGACGAGATGGGCTGGGAGGCGGTCGTCTGCGAACTCGTCGGCCCGGGCGCAGACGCGTGGCGCGTCGCCGGCGCGGAGAGGGTCGGCACGTCGCTCAAGAGTCGTGCCACCACGGCCCTTCCTGTCGCGCGCGTCGCGGACACGGACGGCTGGGCGGCGGCAGTCGTAGTGTTCGAGGATCGGACGGTTAGCAGGCCTCGGGTTTGGCCTCTAGGAGCCGATTAAATCTGTTCGAAAGCTAGCGGCCTGTAAGACACTAGCAAGCGGCAGCATGCTTGATTGGCTGCCCAATCAACCGTAGGCGTCTATATATCGCAGTTTTGGGCTCATTAGTAATTGTCTCCAGTGCTTCGCGTTGCCGAGAAGCAATAATGCAAACACGCAGCAGGAGCCGTCGGGTGGAACAGGCGCCACCGACGCCGCCGCGGCGACTACTCGTTTACGCCGCCATCGGCGCGCTCGCGTGCGTATGGATTCGTGGCTACGAAAAGCAGCTCAAGAGCATGGACGACGTCCCCGAGGTCGCGCAGGACGTGCTCCGGAGATTCGGCTGGACCGACGAAGTCGAATATCATTTCGAGAAGAAACGCCGACCCTCAGCTGACGTCAGTGGCACGGCCAAGCACCCGCTCGTGATGGTGCCCGGGATTATCTCATGCGGCCTCGAGCTGTGGCGGCCTGGCGACTGCTTCGGCGACGACTTCTTCCGGACTCGGCTGTGGGGAGGAATCGGGATGGGAAGGGCGATCCTGCGCAATTTCAGCTGTTGGCTGTCCCACATGACGCTCGACGCGGACACGGGCCTCGACCAGGCCGGTCGCGAGGTACGGGCCGCCGAAGGATATGCGGCCTGCGACTTTTTCGCGCCGGGCTACTGGTTGTGGGCTAAGATCTTCCGTGAGGCCGCCGCCGTCGGCTACGATAGGAACTCGATGTACGTGGCCTGTTACGACTGGCGCCTCAGCTACCCGAACCTGGAGCGCCGCGACCGGTACTTCACGAGACTCAAGCACGAGATCGAACTGCTCGTGAAGCATAACGACGAGAAGGTCGTACTTGTCGGGCATTCCATGGGAGCCACTTTAAGCTTCTACTTCCTGACTTGGTGCGAGCAAGTCGACCCGGGCTTTGCAGAGCGGCACGTCCACGCGTTCGTGTCGCTGGGCGGCTCGTTACTGGGCGCCATCGGTCCCCTTGGCAACATGCTGAGCGGCGAGATGCAGGCGACAGCGGCGCTGGGTCCCATCAATGACCTTATCGACACATACGGCAAAGAGTTGACCCGAGAGATGCGGCGCGAAGTCGGCCGCAAGATGGGCGGCCTCGGTAGCCTACTGCCAAAAGGCGGCGACGCCGTCTGGGGCGAGGACGTGATCACGCTCTCGAACAACGAGACGCTCGGCCTTGACGCGATCGTGCCGGATCTTTTAGCCGTTCTGGGCCCCCATACTGGAGGGTACGACCTCGACGCGCGCCTGCCGACGCCTCCTCGCGAAGTCGACCCGCTTGACGCGGCGTCAGCGAATCCCCTGAGCACGGCCCTACCGCCTGGAATTGGTACGGTGTACTGCCTCTACGGTGTCGGTATTGCGACCGAGAAAAGCTACCGTTACTCTGGCGCGCCAGGGGACCACAGCGAACTCGGAACGATCGACCGGAGCGGCGACGACGGCGGCGTCGGGACTGGGGACGGCGACGGTACTGTACCTCTCGAGTCGTTAGGCTTCCCGTGCGCGGCGCTGTGGCGCGGAGAGCTGGCGGATCATTACAATCCTTCAGGGTCGAGGGTGGTCCTCCGCGAGCACGGAGACGAGCCCGAGCGTTTCAACCCGCGCGGCGGCCCGAAGACGGCGCGCCACGTCGAGATCCTCGGAAACTCTGAAGTTATCACGACAATCCTGAAGATCGCGACCGGCGATGATCGGTCGGTGCGCGAGGACCGCGTCGTGTCGGACATTCTGGACGTGTCATCGCGGATCGTTCGGCGCCTCGGCGCGGCGCTAGACTTGTGATGATCTTAAGTATTACGTGATGTGACTAGTTTGGCCTTCCGCGCCCCGTCCGTCTCAGGTCCAGGAAGAATCGTCTCAGCGAGGAGTGGGCGCCTCGCCGCGCGCCGAGCGCCGCGCCTGCGCTGTGCCACGCTTCACGCATTGATAGGGAGGTGCCGTTGCGCAGGTGCTCGACGTCGGCTTTCGTTAGGAAAATTTTGTCGGCGCAGCCGTCCCGCGCGCACGAGGCGTTCCGGGCAGCTTGTTCATAGTCGATGATGCGGATCGTCGTGCCATCGTTTCCGAGGATAAAATTTCCGAGGTGCCCATCGCCGTGACGGAATCCGAGCCGATGCAGCCTATCCAATGCTGCGGACGCGAGGCGCAAATGGAGGGGCCGGAGCAAGTCAAGCTCGCTCAGGGGCGTGCCCTCGACGCGCTCCGAAAGTCCCACGAAGGTCGTCGTCGGTTGATCAACGTCGTCGATGGCCACGTAGCCCATCGTCCGCGGGGCCAGATCGGGCGCGGCCGCGTGGACCTCGGCCTGAGCCTCCCACTCGGGCCACACGTCGCGCTTGCCGTGGACCGTCGCGACTTTGAGCACTCCGCGGCGCACGAGCATTATCGACCGCGTGTAGACGGCGCCCTGAGGCTCGAGCCGCCGGCGGTAAAGCTTTATAGCCCTCGGCCCCGCCAAGTGGCGGACGATATCGACGGAGCCATGGACGGCCTCGAAGCGTCGGACGTAGCGCCGCTGCCGGGTCAATGCCTCGGCCGCGCCGAGAAACACGCCGCGCCGTCGCGCGACCCTCGGGGCCACGCGTCGGGCTTTCACGAGGGGCTTCGAGTCCCTCAAAAAATTCAGATCGTAGTATCGGCCATACTCACCCAGGAACGCGGCGACGCTGTCCCAAAACTGACGCGAGTCCGCCGACGACACCTTGAGATCCCACGCAGTCACGGAGATGGCGTCGTCGCATCGGCCATCGTCCCGGCCGCGGCACGGGTCGTCGTCCGGGCGCGCCGTCTCGAGGTCTATAATTTTAACGCTCTGTGCCTTGACACTCCACAGAATGTTTTTAAAGTGCAGGTCGCCGTGACGGTAGCCGACCGCATGGAAACGTTCCACGGCTTGCACAGCCAGCAACAGATGCCGCGGCGTGAGCGGGTCCAGGGTCTCGTACAGCACGTACTCGTCGGGCGGCAAATACTCCATGAAAAGCGCACCGGCCGTGACATCGTCGTCCGCAGTGACGAACGAATTTATGACGCGTGGCACTAGTCCGGGCGCGGCCGCAGCGACGGCCCGGTGCGCGTCGATCTCCCTCGAGGCGCTCAGTCGCGGCACGGACATGACACCGAATGAGGCGTGGGCCGATGCTGTCGCAGCCATGGGTCCGGCCCGCGCGAGGATGTTCTCGTCCGACGCCGACGTCGAGCCGGTGCCTGGCCTTGGGTTTGGACTCGGTATCGACTAAGTTCATAAAAGTTAGTCCCCCGCGAGCCGCGAGAACGCCCTCCGGCACGCGTCGTCGAAGGCAGTCCAGTCGCTCGCGTCCCAAGCGCGTCGCAAATCGGCGTCGATGCGCCTCCACGCAGCTTCGTCCGCCGGCGACGGCTCGCTCGTCAGGCGCAGGCCGGGCGGCGCCGCCCTCCGCGCCGCGGTCACGGCCTCCGAGGCCGTCCGCACGTCGTACGCGGCGGCGAGGCCGCCGATGATGAAGGAAAAGGTCCCGACGCTCAGCAGCGTCCCCAGCGCGAGCGCGCGCCCGGCGACGGCGCCCGGCGACGACACGCCCGCGACGGCGCGCGGCGCGGTGAGGCGATATGCGAGCAGGCTCGACGCGCCCGCGGCGCACAATGCGGCGGCCGGCGCGTTCAGCCCGTCTCGTCGCGCTGCGGGCACTGGTGGGGGCTGAGGCACCTCTTTTTCCTGCTGGCGCGTCGTCGACTGGCGTGCGCCCATCTGGCTTTGTGCTGGCTGCTAGAGGGGCTAGGGTAAGAGCTTGGAGGGGGGGTCTGCCGCACAGGGTGTGACAGTGGCAGTGCTGCCGCTGCGTAATCAACGCACTATCGATGCTCGTATCGATTCTATGACAGGAAAGGTGAACTATTTCGTCGGCCCGGCTACGTATACCCACTTCTATATGCGCTTTTATGCCCCGCTTAGCCGTATGCCCTGTTGCTAGTGTCTTACAGCACGCTAGCTAAACTGCAAAGTCGCGTAAGGCACAGCTGCCTCTAACAGGCGCCTGGCATCGGATATATAGGTTTCGTGACGACGCACGAACAGCCTGTGGCTGTGGCCGAAGTCACGCGGCCGTGGACCGTGGGCAAGCGTCAGAGGAGCACAGAGGCCACCTCTACACGAAAGCTACAACTCAAGAGCGGCCGAAAGAGCGCCCGACCGAAGCTATAAAGAAGCCAGAAATACGAAAGAGCGCCAACCGAAACTAGCAAGCAGCCAGAAATAATGGCCGAGACGGGCGCCCGCAAGGCCCACCGCTGCGGAGACTGCGCCGGCTGCCGCCGGAGAAACGACGGCGGCTGCGGCCGCTGTTTGATGTGCCTCAAGAAGCGGCACGGCTCGGACGCGCAGGGGCGCCAGTCCTGCGCGAACCACTGGTGCTCGCAGATGCGCGCCTACGACGACAAGGGCCCCGTCCAGGGTTTGGCGGGCTGGAGCGTCATCGCGATCCCGCGCGTTGCGGATGGCGAGGACTACTACTACCTCTCGCCGGAGGGGGGCCGCCTCCGGAGCCGCCACGAGGTCCTCATCTACCTCAAGATGTGCCCGACGCCGCCGCCGCCGCCGGGCTGGAACTGGGACGCGCCGCCGCTGCCGGCGCGGCCGACGCCGGCCGCGCCGCGGGGCTCGGCCGCGCACAAGGCGGCCCTCGTCGCGCGCGCGCCGACGGCGCCGCAGCTCGAGGCCGCGAAGGGCCTCTACGAGACCTGGGCCGCGCGCGCGGCGGAGAGCGGTTCCCCGCCCGCGCCCGCGCCCGCGCCCGCGCCGAGAGCGCCCGCGCCGAGAGCGCCCGCGCCGCGAGCGCCCGCGCCGAGCGCGCCCGCGCCGAGCGCGCCCGCGCCGAGAGCGCCGCCGCCGCGGTCAGCGCCCGCGCCGGCAATGGCGCCGGCGCCGGCGCCCGCGAGCCGCGACGCCCGCGCGCGCGCCCGCCGCGACGACCGGGAGTTCGACGGCCTGAACGAGGCGATCAGGCGGTCGATGGAAGAGGTCGGGGCGCCGGCGCCGGCGCCGCCCGCGCCTCGAGACCGCAGCATCGTGGGCCAGTCGCTCGGCCGCGACGAGGGCGGCCGCTTCCGGTGCCCGGCCGGCTGCCCGCGGACCTTCGCGCACGCGCCGGCGGCCGTGCAGCACGGCAGGTCGTGCGCGGCGGGCGGGCCACGCGACGCCGACGCCGAGGACGACGACGACGATGACGAGGCCGAAGCGCCGATCGCGCCGCCTGCAGCGCCTCGAGACGAAGAGACGCTCGAGCCGCGCGTCGACGGCGACTGGGAGGCCGCCGCGCGGAAGCTACTGCGGGAGGTCAAGGACGCAGTAGCGCGAAAAGGAAACACGGGGGGGCCCGGCAGCGCCTCCCTTGAGCAGCTCCGACCCAAGCTGACGAGCTATGGCTTCAGCAACACCACCGACTCTTGGAGGTCGAGCTACGTCGCGCTCTCCGTACCAGCTCATTTTCCCTCGACCGGCGAAGGACAGAAAAACAAGATTCGCTCGATCCCGAATCTCGTACGCTACCTCACGCACGCGCTCGGCGAGGCCAGCGAGGACGAGGAGGACGAGGACGATGACGACGACGAAAATGACGATGATGAGCCCGAGGCGCCGACCGCGCCGCCTGCAGCCACGCCCGCGGCACCGACCGGCACGGCGCGGCGCGCGCTCGTGCTCCCGCGCGCCATGGACCTCGCGACGCTCTCGGAGGGCCACCTCCGCGAGGAGGCAAAACGGCGCAAGCTGGGCCCCCTACCATCGGACGGCAAACCCGAGCTGCTCGCGCTGCTGCGGGGCGAGGTAAGCCCGGGCGCGGACTTCCTCCCCCGCCTCATCCGAACCGACTGGCGGCCCGGCGAGTGGTGCCTCGGCGTGTGGGACCACGACTGGACTAGGACCGCAGAAGGCATCCCCAAGACGTGGTACGGCCTCGTGGTGAAGGCGAACGCCGACGGGACCCTGGTCGTCGCGTTCACGGACGACGACGACCAGGACGACGTCCGGCCGGGCGAGCTGCGGGCGCTGGACCGCTCGCTGACGGGCTGCTCGAAGGGCGTGCGCTGGGCGCGGGCGCGGCTCGAGGAGCACGGCACGGCGACGGCCGACGCGCTGGGCCGGATCGTCGAGCCGCCGCGGCGCGGCGCGGCGCCGGCGCTCACAGGGCGCCGGGCGCCGGCGCCGGCGCCCCGGCCCGCCGCGCGGCAGCCGCGGCGCGCGGCGGCGCCCGCCGCGGCGCCGGCGCTGACGACGCGCGAGCCGGACGCGAACGGCCTGCGCTTCTACGACGCGAACGCCGTGCGCACGCCCAACAACCGCGCGCTGGAGGAGCGGAAGATCGACGAGCTCTGGGACAAGTGGCACCGCCAGCTCAAGATTACCAATCAGGGCGTCGTGCACGGCCACGGCACGGTGGCGAAGGTGCGCCTGATCGAGGGCCGCACGATCGTCGACCCGACGGCGATCTACATGGAGGGCCCGCCGCCGGACAGGGACCAGGACGGCGGCGCGCGGAGCGAGCGCTTCCTGTACATCAACGAGCGGAACCACCTGAAGATCGGATCCTACGCCGGCGAGCCCCGGGGCGCCTGGGCTTTATCTTATTTCGTCAATGAGGCGCGCAACCAGGAACCGAACGCGAAGCGGACCATCGAGCGGGCACTGCCGGGCACGTGCTCAGCCCTGACGATGCTGCGCGACGTCTACCCCGGCGAAGAGATTTGCGTGCGCTATGTCGACGAGTCGTACGAGCAGGAGCGCGAGCGGCTGCGCCTCGAGCGGGGCACGCAGCGCTACCGGTACGTGTATCCGCCCAAGACGGCCGGGGCGTCCTGGAACACGTGCGTCGGGATCGAGGGCAAATCCACGAGCGCCGGCACCTACCCCACGGAAGAGGCCGCGGCGCGCGCAATCGACGCACTCCTGCTCGCCAATGACATGGCGGCCGTGAACTTCCCCGGCGAGGAGGCGGCGACGCAGGCGGCGTTCCCGCAATTCTTCGCGCAGGACGAGCCGGCGTCGTCGGGCGGCGACGGCGATGCCGCAGTCGAGCCGGACGCCGGCGACGAGCCGGCGCCGGCGGGCTCGGACACGGACGACGGCCCGCTGCCGGCGCCGGAAGAGTCCGACTCCGACGCCTCGGATGCCGACGCGGCCGCGCGCCTCCGCGCCGAGCTCGTCGCGTTCCTGCCGGCCAACGCCGACTTCCTCGCGAACATCGCGCCCTTCGCCGCGGCGCGCGCGTCCAGCCTCGCGGAGTTCGCGGCGCTGCCCGCCGAGGCGCTGCACGAAGTATTTGATGCGGCAGGGTGGAAGATGCTGAAGGCGAACGCCCTCCGGCGGGCCCTGGCGCGCTACCGCGACGAGCACGCCGCGCCCGCTACCGACGCCGCGGACGAGGACGCCGGTGACGACGCTGACGACGCGCCTCCGCCCGCGCCCGCCGCGGCCGCGCCGGCGCCCGAGCCCGCCGCGCCGGCGCCGCCCGCTGCTCCTGCCGCGCCGGCACCTCCAGCCGCGCCCGCGGCGGCGCCGGCGCCCTCACCCGAGCCGGCCGCGGCGGCGCCCTTACCCGAGCCGGCCGCGGCGCCGGCGGCACCTGAGCCGGTGGCCGCGCCGTCGCGCGAGGAGCTCTCCGACATCGACGATGGCACGTTCTCGCACGTGCCATCGTCCGCCGCGGCGCTCGAACGCGCCGAGATCGAGGCGCAGGCCGCGCGCCAGGTCGCGGCCGCCGAGGCCCAGGCCAAGGCCGAAGCGGCGAGGGCCGAGGCCGAGGCCAAGGCCAGGGCCGAAGCGGAGGCCAGGGCCAAGGCCGAAGCGGAAAGCAACGCGGCGCTCCGCGCGAAAATTGCGGAGCTGGAAAAAGTGGCGGCGGCGGCGAAGATGAAAGGGAAAAAGTGGGAACCCGAGGAGGATGAGGCGCTGCGCCGCGCCGTCGGCGAGTCGCGCGTGGGCTCTGGCCCGATAAACTGGAAGAGTGTTTTCGAGAAATTGCCCCCTCCGACATCGCTGCGAGCCGAGTCGACTATTAGGGATCATTGGACGAAATTGCGCCAAAGAGATAACGCTGCCGACGCGGTGACGCTGGACATGATGCGCGACAAGGCGGCGGCCGCGCGAGCTGACCAACCGCCGCCGCCGCCGCCCAATGAGGATCCGGCGCGGCCGCCGACGGACCCGGTCGTGCCGCAGCGTGCCGCGTGCCGCGTGGCGGGGTGCCGGGCTGCCGACCCGTGCCGAGCGTGCCGCGACGAGCACTTGAATGGGCCGCCGCCGCCGCCGCCGTCGCTGCCGCCTGCGGAAGGTCCGTCGAGCCCGAGCGTGGCGCCGCCGCCCGGCGCTGCCGACGCTCCCGACCCCGAGGCCTCGTCCGACAACGTACCCGATCAGATGAGGGCCGCGGCGGACGGCTTCCGCCACGAGCCGCGGCGCGACGACACGGACGACGACGAGGACATTGCGTGCCTTGCGTCGGCGCCGGCGCCGCGCGACGACGCGCCGCGACGAGCTCCGCCCGCGCCCGCGCCGCCGCCCGAGGCCGAAGCTCCAGCCGCGCCGCCCGTCGCGGACGCGCCGCCCCCGAAGCGCCGAAAGAAAAAGCAGACGATAGGACCTGAGTCCCCGACGGCCGCAGCGCCTCCGCCGCCCGCTCCAGCACGGCCGGTCGCGGCGGCGGCCGACGAGTCCGACGCGGATGATGAGTGCCCGTGGCCGCGGGAGGGCGATACCGTCGAAGTGGTCTGGACCAAGGGGACGACGCTTGAGAATCCCTGAAAAGAGGGCATCGATCTGTGCATTGTGAACTCGATCGGTGACCCCAAACCACACAAGAAGCGCAAGGCAAGCGTGCCGGAGGACCGCGCCTACCACTGCTACGCGCAGCTGCAGTCGCTCATCAGGCTCGCAGGTGACCAGAAGGACGAGTATGAGTTCGTGCTACAGAGCGACCCGCGGCCCAAGCACATCCACCTCAAGTACAAACTAGATCTGGCCGAAAAAGGGCGGACGTGGCGCATCCTCACGCCTGCACCCGCAACCGTCTCGTCGCCCAAGAAGCGACCGCGCGAGGAAGGAGGAATATAATAAGACTTGTGTGTACGACAATCACTACAATTACTCTTTCTGGGCGCCGCACATCGCGCACGCGAGGAATCCGGCCTCGGCCTCGGCGTGGTGGTACGTGCACTTCGAGCAGGTCCACGGCTCCGCGTCGACGTCGATCACGACGTCGTTCGCCGGCCGGTGCACCAACGGCGCGTCGACGTCGATGACCTCCGCGGGCGCGCGCCGCGCCTTCTTCTGTGGGCCACCGCCGAGGAACGCCTCCATGCCCTTCGCGGCGGGCTTCTTCTTCCGTGCCGGCGGCGGCGGCGGCGCTTGAGCTTTGCCAAGGAACTTTCCGATGCCGCCCGACGACCGCTTCTGAGGCGCGGGCGGCCGCGGCGACGACGACGCCGGCTTCGTGCTCTTGAACAGGTTCATGATGCCGCCGCCCTTTCCTTCTTTCGGTAAGTCCACGAAGTTTCCGACGCCCACCCCTAACGTCTGGATCTGGTACGGCGTTTGAATCGACTGCGCGTATCTCCTGAACAATGATACAGCGCCGTCGTGCACGACGGCCGCCGAACCTACCCAGCCGATCGACAAGGGGCCCGTCCGCGAGACACTACTGCCGCCCCGATTTACTGATATCGTCACGTTCGTCGGCGCGCGGTTGTGCTTCTCGCGATCCTTCGTGACGCGCTCCCAGAGCTCCTCGCTGAACTTCTTGAGCCACGCGTCGACGGCCTCGTCCGTGTCGAGGGCCTCCCGGTAGAAGTTCTTCGAAGCAGCAAACGACTTGTACGTCATGCGGTGCACGACGGGATCGCGATACGTCCCGCGGGCCATCGCGATGTAGATGCGCGCGGAGCCTTCGTCGGCCGCGCCCGCCCTCACTAGATCGTCGGGCGTCAGCGCGCCGAGCTCGCCCGCCGTCGTGACGCCCAGCCGCGATATGAGCTGTTTGCCCTCCTTGCCCCCTAGACCCTGGAGCCGATCCAACGGTAAATCCTGCAGCAACCCGTCGATGTGCCGCGGCAGGACCACGGTCTGCTGATTCGGCTTGTGGAGCCCGCACCCAAGCTTTGCGAGCTGTTTTGTAGGAGCGACGCCGCCGCTGCAGGAAAAGCCCAACCGATCGCTCACGGCCCTGCGCGCGCGGCTCACGACGACGGCCGCGGCCATGAGCATGCGCTCCTCCTGGTCGTAGTCGCCGCCCGCGCTCGTCCTCTCCAGTCGCTCCTTCTGCGCTTTAGAGCCTTTCCTATTGGCCGCGTGGCTCTCGCGCGCCATCTCGAGCGTCGCCGCGCTGTCGGCCTGGTGGCTGCCGGGCGCGAGGGCCTCTTCTAGAACATCGGCGAAGGGCGTTGATTCCAGCAGGTCCTTCGCCGCGCGCGTGACGTCGACGGCGACCTCGTCGACGGACCGCTTCTCCACCTTCTCGGCGAAGTCGGCCAGGACCTCGCAGACGGCCTGGCCCGCCTCCTTGTAGACGGCCATGTTGGCCTTGCCGTGTGCGGTCGGGACCTGCGGTGATGACAGATGAGTTGCGTCGATGGCGCAGAGAGCGAAGGCGCGTCGAGGACGCGGAATACGTGCCATGACCGTGATGAGCTCTGGGCACTGCTTGCGCGCGGCGCCCGTGTTCATCATCCGCGTGACGCCCCGCGCCCGCGCCTCGTACGACACGGCGATCAACGACGCGCCGCCGACGGTCACCTTCCGGTTCTCCGTCCGGTCGACGGTCTTCGTGTCCTTCTGCTGCGACTCGTACTGGCAGACCGCGCAGGGGACGCCGACGAGGGACTTGTCGAGCGTACGTTCCACCGCGACGTAGAAGCAGTCCATGTCGATGAAGCCCACACACTCCTGCTCGGCCATTTTTTGTGGTCGCGCCCTCGTGTGATTTGAGCCGAAACCGATCTGTGCGCCTTAGTGCGGCCTCCGAGAGCCACTTCCCGTCGTGCGCGCACTGCTGCGATTTAAATTGAGCGCGGCGGAGAGCAGGCTTGTGTGAAACCGCTCTGTTGGGAGCCTCTAGAAGTGCTCTTTTCGGTTTGGAGCTATGAGTGGGTTAGCAGCGTTGCCTGCGCCGAGCTTGCGCGCGCCAGATCCGCCTGGTGCCTGCAAAAAGCAAATGCGTTTAGCACACGAGCTAGCGTTTAATGACACACTAGCCTGCTAGCCTGAGAGCAAAAAAGACTGCAAACTCGCTCAGATCGCACCGAGCTCGGCCTTGATGATCATGGAATGAATTAATATATTCGACTGATGGCCGAGCAAGTCGCGAGAGCTGGAAAGAGCAGCGCTGGAAAGCACCTATCACAGGAAATCAGTGATGCCTTACGAGAGCGCCGCTGGACCGAGGCTTCCACTCTGCTGGCCGACCTCTCAAAAAGCGCCGCTCGCAACGTCAAGCTCGGCTCGCTGCAGCGCTGGACGCGCGACGCCGACGCCTGCGTCGACGACGACAAGGCTCAGTGGCGGGCGCTGCTGTGGCTGCTCTGCAGAGTTGCCGCCGGTGAAGCCGCCGACGCGCCGACGGGCGACGTGCCGCTGCGGCGGTCGGTCTTCGCCGCGCTGCCGCGCGCCGAGGCCTCCGACCCGACGCCGGTCTGCGAGACACCCGCGAAGCCCGCCTACGTCTGCGCGCGCGAGAAGGCGGCGAAGCGCACGCCGCCGAACAAATATGATTTGACGATCTGGGCGCAGACGGAGTCCGTGCTCGACGGCGCCGCGACCGCGACGCGCGTCGACGTGCCGGCCGTGCCCGGCGCCTTCCTCGTGCGCGACGTCTTCTCGCCGACGGAGTCCGGCCGCTTGCTGGCCCTCGCGGCGACGCTCGGCTACGAGCGGGACGAGCCCCTCGACGCCGCGGCGCGGTCGCGCCTCGAGGCGGCCCGGACGACGACGAGCGCCTTCGCGTGTCTAGACGAGGACAGCGACGCGACGACGGAGGCGGAGGAGGAGGCACAACCGGCGGCCGACGTGCTCCTGACGGACCACTCGCTCCGGAGCCGCGCGTGCGTCGTGGTCGTGGACGATCGCACGCACGACGCGGTTTTTGAAAGGCTCCGAGCACATTTACCGGCCGAGCTCGAGGACTGCTGCGACGCGAAAGGTAGAAGGCGGGGCGTCGGGAAATTGGTTGGCTTGAATAGAAGGTGGCGCTTCTACCGGTACGACGCGGGCGGCACGTACCGGCCGCACGTCGACGGCGCGTGGCCCGGGTCCAGTGTGACAGGCTCGCGCGACCGGCCGCGCTACGAGTACGACGCCTTCGGGGACCGGCTCTCGCGGCTGACGATGCTCGTCTACCTGAATGATGATTTTGAGGGCGGCGAGACGGCCTTCTTTAGCGCTGGTGATGATTCAATTGACGTGACGGCCGTGCAGCCGCTGCGGGGCGCGGTGCTCTTCTTCCCGCACGGCGAGACGACGGGGTCGCTGATCCACGAGGGGTCCTCGGTGACGGCGCGGCTCAAGTTCGTGGTCCGGACGGAGGTGCTCTACACGTACCCCGTGGACGCTCCGGCGCCGCGCGTTTCTGCGCCTCGTGAGAAGAAGAAGGGGGGTCGGCGGCGGCGGGCGTAAGATGAACTGTGTTATTTTTCGTCGCGTCGGCGGCGTGCACCGGATAGATTGTGGATTTAAGGGTGCGTGAGAAACCCGCACGCGTATGCCGCCGCGCGGGTGGCCAATTGTTGTTTGCTAGTGTCTTACAGGACGCTAGCACGCGGGATTTCAAGTTCGAGCCCTGAAAGCCGCCATTGCTGGATCTTCAAGCGTTAAACTAGCTGGTTCAACTCCCCACAGCCCCCAGCGAGTCGTGCGCGCTGCGGCGGTCTGCTGCCGTCCATAAAAACACTGCTGGAGATGCTCTTGGCACGCGCGGTGCGCGGCGTACAGGTCGCTGCCGCAGCTTCGGTCGCGTCAGTACGAGCGCACGCTGATGATACACCAGTCGAAGCGGCGCCGACGCGTAGAAACCACTACGACCACGTAATCATCGGGTGCGGCGTCGGCGGCACCGCAGCGCTCAAGGCCGTGTCGACGCGGGCACCGCCACAAACGAGTCTTTTGGTCGTCGACTCGGACCCGGCGGCCGTCGCGCGCTGCCGAGCGCTGGCAAGGTGTGCGCAGTCAAGCGTATCATGCCTCCGCGACCGCGTGGCAAGCCTCCACCCCGGTCAGCAGACGCTGAAGACTTCATCGGGCGACATTACCTACGGCCGATGTCTGCTGGCCTCGGGCTCGCCCGCCCCGGCGCCGCCGCCGGGATTTGTGGACGCTGGCGCGCGCGCCGCCGTGCGAGTCCTTGGGTTAGGAGAGACGCACGACGCCGCGGCCGCCGCCGAAGCGGAAGCGGTTGCGCGTGCCGGAGGCCACGTCGTCGTGCTGGGCGGCTCGCGCCGCGCCACTGCGCTCGTCGCCGACGTCTGCGCCGCGTCCCGGCCGGCGGACGCCACGGCAGACTGCGTCGCCGAGGAAGGTCCCGCGGCCACGTTGATCTTCCCGGAAGCGACCCCTCTAGGAGCGCGACTCCCGAAAGCGCTCGGTAGACGCCTCGCGCGGCGGCTCGAGAAACGCGGCGCGTCGGTCCTGGCGCTGAATCAGGTGCGACACATCGGCGCGGCACAGGGCGGCGGCGCTTGGGTGTACCTCGGCCGGTCTGACGATCCCATGAAGACGAGCCGGAGGAGGGCCGACCTCGTCGTCGTCGCCGGCGGCGAGCACTTCGCGCCGCAGCTGCCCACGATGGTCCGGCGCGACACGGCGGCGTCGCTCGGCGCCGTGTCCATGTCAGCGGCGCGGCCGACGGTGCTGGGGAGCGGTCCTGTCTACGTTTCGGAAGAATTAGCGGCGTGCCAGTCGGTGCTTTCCTGCGGCGACGCAGCGGCGACGCCCTGCCGTCTGCGCGCATCACCCTTGGCGCGGTCGGCGGCGGCGATCTCGCTTGCAGCGGAAGCTGGAAATTGGCACGCTCAAGCGACGGGCGCTGCCGCTGGCGCGGCACTGGTCGACGGCGACGCGGCGGCCGCGGCCAGAATTGTGGATGAAGTGACGCCACGGCTCGTTGTAGAGCTCGGCGCGGGGCTGTCCGCCGCGTTCATTGGTCGCTGCGACGCCACCCTCGAGAACCGCGCGTCGGACGCTGGCAAGGCCGCCACGGTGGCCGTCTACGTCGACCGGTCCGACGAGCTCGCCTCACCGGTCGGGGCCGTCGTCTTCGTCACGGCCGGCGCGGGCGACCTCGCAGCCGCGGCGGAGGCGGTCGACGACACGCTGAGATTGGGGGCATCACCTGATGCCGTCGCCGCTGCCGCCTTCGCGGCGCTCGGCGCGGGCGAGCCAGGTCTTCGCACTGCCCGAACGACGGGCTCGCGCGCAGATCGACTCGGGCCCCGTGTCGCGGACCGCTCATCGTCGGTCTTGTTCTCCCGAGATAGTGGGAGTGAAGTTGTTAAGGACCGCGCCCTGTCGGCGTTCTCGCGGGGCTGGCTGCACGGGCCCGACGCGGCGCCGACGGAAGCTATGACCGTGCGTGCGAACGCGGAGTCAGCAATACGCCGCCGTGCGACTGCTACTGCGCCGCGCGAACCGGCGGTGGACTGGCTGGAGCTTGCCGATCGGCGCGCGGAGGCGGCCGCTGTGTGTAGATAACTTACTTGCTTGTACAACTAACAATTACTCATGAATCCGCCGCCGCCCTCACGTCCTCCTTGCGACCAATACCTGAGCGTGAAATCCACTGGTCGCGGATGCCCTGCGCTTCCGGCGGCAGGTCCTCGAGCGTCGCCTCGACGAGGTCGTCGTGCTCGGCGTCGTTGGCACCAATCGAAGAGCCGTAGTCGCGCTTCTTGAGCGCGTCGACGTAGCCGAGCGCGTAGCACTCGCGCTCGCGCGCCGACGGCGTCCGGCGCCGTGGTGCCGGCGTGGCCGCGGGTCGCCGCGAGGAGACGATTGCAATGGCGAGGACGGCCAGCGCGACCTTTGCGGCAGGTTTCGACCAAAAGTACCTGGCGTTTTGCCGCAGCTCGTTCACGTCGAGCCTCGAAAATGCTTGCTTGGCCGTGTTCGCCCAGCTCAGTTGCGTCAAATTCTCGCGCTTCAGCGCCATCGCTCCAAGTTCTGGCCGACCCACGATGCGCACGCGCAGGCGGCCCGTCGAGGCGTCGCGGCCTAAGATCTCGACGACGGCGCCGTTCAGTTCGGGGCGGCTCGTGAGGCCGGTGATTTGGCGCTGTTCCATCTTGTCTGCTGCAGCAATGCTGCTCGTAGTACACTTAGCTGCTGGGCTTATGCAAGTCCTTTGCTGCAGCTAGCTAGGTGTGTGCAGTGAGTAGTATTGCTCAAAGCACCGGCGCAGCGACAGCGCGAAGCGGTTGATTGCCGTACGCAGTATAATTTCACTTGATACACGAGTGCTGCGGCGCACGTGGGGCAGTCTTTGACCGCTACACACCGTCCCTGCCTGCTTGCCTTGCTTGCTAGTGTCTTACAGCGCTAGGGGTTTTCGGCGAGATCTCCCGTCGTGGCAGTAGGCATCGAAATCCGTTGCACCGGGAAGAGTGCTCAAGATCGCGCTGCTAATAAAATAAACGGGTGCAGGGCAAATTACATTCCGCATCCCCAGTTGGGTGCCGCATCTCACGCTGCGCTGCAACGCACGCAGCGGCAGTCGTCACAAAAGAAAAATACACGCAAGGGCAGCAAGACTCTAAAACGCCCGCCGCCGCGGCGCATCTCAAGAAGAGGGCAGCCCCACGCACCACCATGCGCTCGCGCCTCGCCGAGCTCACGGGCGGCGACCCCAGCGACGCGGGCGACGTCGAGCTGGGAAACGCATCCAGTAATTACATGGGCGACTTCTTCGCGAAGGTCGACGAGGCGAAGGCTGGTATTTCAACGGTAAAAAAAGCCTCGAAGCGCATCCGACGCATCACGGACGAGCGCATGCTCGCGACGTCCACAAACGAGGAGCAGGGCGCGTCTCGCGAGCTGGGGCCGTTGGTGGATCGGACGAACGCGACGATCAAGAAAACGAAGAATTTGTTAAATGAACTCGCGGAAGAGGACAAGACTCTCAAAGCCTCGGAGCAACGCATAAGAAAGAACCTCGCTTCCACACTCGCGCGGAAGTTCGGCGACGTCTGCCAGGACTACCAGAAGGAGCAGACGAGGTATAAAGATGAAGTGCAGGCCACTGTGAAAAGGCAGCTCGAGATCGTCCAGCCGGACGTGTCACAGGAGGAGATCGATACGGTGCTGCGGTCAGGCGGCCCCGGGCAAGTGATGAGGAGCGCTATCTTGCGGGGTGCCGCGGATCCTGTGAAAGATGCTTATGCCCATGCGGCCGACAGGTATCAGGACGTCCTGAAGCTGGAACAGAGCGTAGCCGAGCTCCACCAGATGTTTCTGGACTTTGCCTTGCTCACAGAGCAACAAGGGGAAATGTTAGATCAGATCGAGTATCAGGTCAAAGCGGCAGGTGAATACGTTGAAGAGGGCAACGTGGACATCAAGAAGGCGATCCAGTACCAGAAGGAGATCCGGAAGAGGTACTGTTGTTTGATCGTCCTGATCCTCGTGATAGTGTTGGTGCTGATGGGCGTGCTCGGGGCGTTCGACCAGGAGGACACCGGTGATAAGGAGGACCGGCGGCGGCTGCGCGACGCTGTTGGTGGGTAAGTAGTTGTTTGCGGTGGTTTGGTGGGGGCGCGTCGACGGCGTGCGCGCGCACGCGAGATCAAAACGGGTTTTTCAGGGCTTTTTTGCCGGCCCATTTTGACTCTTGTCGCCGATCTCCGGCTCAAATTAGGTAAACAATCAATAAATGGTGTTGCCAGATGCCGTCGTAGAAGCCGCGAGAACAGGCGAAGTCGCCACAGTGGAGCAATGGCTAAACGCAGGCGGCGGCGCGAATGAGCGGTGTGCGACGTCGGGGCGTACCCTTCTACACGTTATTGCCTCTGATCGCTTGCGTTCTGATGAGGTGGAACGTGGGCGCTGCGACATCGCGCGGCTGCTTTTGGCCCGAGGCGCCGAGGTCGACGCCATTCGCATTCAAATGGCGCCAAACACGCCTCTCTTGTCAGCGTCTCTATATCATCGGAAGGAACTGTGCGAACTGCTCTGTGAGGCCGGCGCGGACCCGAATTACAAAAGGTTCTGTCAGCCTCACGACCAGGTTCCTGATTTCCCGCTATGGTTTGCTGTCAGCGACCCGGAAACTATTCGCGTGCTCCTCCGTTTTGGCGCTGACCCATCGCTAAAATGCGATTCTGAGTTTGGTGGTGGTGAGTTGGTTACGCCCGAAGAGGAGGCAGTACGTCGAATAATGAATCCAGTCTATGCCTCCGGCCGGCTATATCGCGAATCAGTACGGCTTCTCCGGGACGCGCGGCTTCTGCGGCCGCGGCTTCGCGGCGTGTTCGCTCTCCGCGCGTTGTGTCACCGCGGTCGCGCGGCGCCTACTGCCGCGACGCCCTCGGCATTTGCGCGGCTCATTGGCGGCGGACTTTCTCGGCCGAGGACGCGCGCCGCGGCGAAAACACCCGCAGCACCAGGCCTCCCCGACCCGCTCGCCCACCTCGTCTGCAAGTTCTGGCTGGGCAGCCCCCCGCGCCGGGCGAATCGTGCAGCGACACCCGCGAGCGAGTAAGAACCGACGCCGTCGCCGCGTAAACCACTAAACTAAATCACCTTACTCTGCTTCAAATGCCGCACGAGCCAGTCCAGGAACCCGACGGTGGTGGACACGCCCCCCACGATCGCGCAGACTCGAACAAGCAAATGACTGACAGTCTTGTGGTGCACCGTGACCTCGACCATGAAGGCCGAAAAGTCGTAGACGAAGAAGACGCCGGGCAGCATGGCCGTGGGGGACGTCGCCTTCGCGTGGTGGTGGTGGTCTTCCACGGGCTCGTCGGAAGGCGCTCTGATCTTGAGCGGCCGGAACCTTTGCGTGTAGGAGTAGCGCACGGTCGACAACGGTGTTGCTGAAGGGTGCTTTTTGTATATGGTAGGTACCAACTTGATGAAATATTGAAACAGCCCGGTGCCCGTCTCCGGGGTGACGTAGCGTCTCGCGCCCTCGAGGGGCGCGGCCATGCCCTCGTAGCGGTCCCCGAACCGCAGCTCGTGGATCACGTGCGAGACGTTAAAGGCGTGCGCATGACTCGGATCGAACTGGTGGATGAACCTTCCATTTTGTACTGCTGATTCACCCATGGCCACATGAACATTACCCGCTACTTTATTGACTTCCAACCAACCAGCTAACCGACACCCCTCGCCCTTCTTCACATCCCTCAAAGAACCGGGTCTACTATCAACACATTGGGGCGCCTCGTTCTTGATGGAGTCCGAGGCCCAGCCCCTTTCGCCATACGCCCTCAGCAGATCATCACACGTGTGGCAGCAGGGCTGCGTCGGACTCTCGGCCCCAAAGCAGGACGGACACTTCTCTTTTTTGGGCATCGGGGCTTTATTGGCCGTCGCTTGCGTGGGCGTCCTTATTCTATTCCCAAACTTGTCTAAGCGCTGCTTGACCACGTGCTGCTCCATGTAGGGGTGGTAGTCGCCCGCGACGTCCATTGCATCCAAATGAACCTCGGCGCACGTCAGCGCGGGGAACGTGACGTTGAGTCTTATTCTAAGTTGTTGGCCCATGCTCCGGTCGACGACGACGTGGTCCCTTTCTTCCGTTCTGAGGAAGATGCGGAATTCGCTCAAAAATAAAACGAGCATGACCCAGTAGCTCGCGACGGCCAGCCTACTGCTTTCTTTCGGCGGCGCCGTCGTGAACTCGGCCGCGACGCGGTTGTTCGAGTACAAGTCGATCTTTTTCAGGGTGGCGTTGACCTTGCGCTTGATCGGGCTGGGTTCCGGTCGGGGCGTCGGGGCGTCGGCGTTGGCGCCGCGGCGGCGCATTCCCGTGCTCGCCATTTTATTGTATATTGCTTGGTTGCCCGGCGTGTATTTTTACCGCGTCGACCGGCGTTTTGGCAGCGCTTGGCACGCCGTGGATTTACTCGGCCGTGGCGGCGGCACCACTGATTGCAGGATGCGCTGCGGCGCGTTGCCTTGGCAGTCCAGGCGACGCTTGCGGCAGCTCCAAATGAGTCTTGTGGCGCAGCTGATGTGCTATGATTAACGCTGTGGCAAGTTGTGCGCGTTTCGCGGGCGGCCTCATAAACGCTAGCGGCATGTAAGACACTAGCAACAAGCGGGGGTTTGGGCTGCCGCCGTGGCGCGCCTAGGGCACACGAGAGCGCGCCAAGGACTTTGTTCAGAGCTCTAAAATCATACAGCAACCGCCTCCGGCGGCGAGACGCGCAAAGAAATCGAGCCACACAGCGCTGAGATCATTCCATATGGAGGACACACCTCGCAGCTCGGCACCGCGCAGCGGTGGCGAAGAACTGGGCTGGGCACGCTGCCCGATCTGCGACGCCACTGTGGCAATGAGTGTAATTGGCCAACACATCGACAGCGGCTGTAAGGCGTTCGCGGGCGCCGGCGCCCGACGACGATCGTCCCGCGGCCGCGCGCCGGCAGCGGAAGCCCCCGCGTCGGCGCCGGCGCCGCGCCGCTCGCCGCGCCGGTCGACCCGCGGGCGCGCACTGGCGCCGTCGCCATCACCTCCTCGACAAGCGCCCTCGCCGCGCCGCTCGCCGCGCCGGTCCACGAGGGGACGCGCGCTGGAACCGCCACCACAAGCCTTCCCGCCCCTCCAGATCGGCGCGAGCCAGGTCGGCGCTTGTGTAGGAGTCCACCCCTACGCCGACGTCGACGAGCTCTGGCACGGGCTCATCTACCAGGGCGCGGCCGGCGCGGCGCTCGAGCGGGCCGACGCCGACGCCCTGGGCGCATCCCTGGAAACGCGCGACGAGGCCGTCGCGCGCATTTTGAGAAATGCCTCGGCGGAAACTAGAAGAACAGTAGCAACAGCCCGCCTCGCCGGACTATCGGGAGCGACGTCGACGCGCGACATCAAGCGCGCCGAGATGCTCGTCGCGGCGGCGGCGGACGCCGCCGTCGCGCGCGGAGAGTGTTCCAAGGAAGAGGCGGCGGAGCTGGCAAATCACGAGCGCAAGGCCTGCTACACGCGCTTCGGCACGGCGTTCGAGCGGAGCGCGCTCGACGCGTACGAGCGGGCCACGGGCCGCGCCGCGGTCGCCGACGAGCGGCGCCTCGAGTGGCGTTTTTATAGAGACGGCGGCGATACGGTTGTTTTGGATGCGAAGAAGCACGCCGCCGTCGAAAAACGCGTCGACGCGTTCGTCGCGTCGGACGCGCCTGAGCTTTGTCTGGAGCTGTCGCCCGCGGAGCGGCGCGCGGCTCATAGAAGAGCGGAGGCGTACCCGGGCCTGGAGCACGCGTCCGAGGGCCGCGGCGCGGACCGGCGCTTGATGCTGCGGAAGCCGCGCACGGGGTGGTTCGTCGAAGGGGGCGACGGCCCGCTCTCGGACGGCGAGGCGTCTTCCTTAGATCAGACGGCGAGGGTGCGCCGGACGCGGTTCGGCGGCCTGCCCTGCGCCTGTGTTGATGAAGACGCCTACGCGACGCTTGCCACCGTTTACGAAAGGGGCGCCGCGTGCTCGTGTGAGGCGTGCCCCGCGAAGCGGCTTTTCAATGAGCGGCACGACGAAGACATCTACGAGGAGGAGCACGCGAGCAACGGGCGCAAAGAGGAGCGCGCGCTGCCGACGCAGGGCAGTTCAAATGACGAGCTCTTCCGCGTCGTCGGTTATGTGGACGCGGTGTCTCCTGAAAATGATGACTCGATCGTCATCGAGGTCAAGAACCGCATGCACCAGGTGCGCGCGCCCGAGTTATATGACAAGCTCCAGGTCGTCACGTATTTGCAGATGCTCGGCTGGTCGCGGGGTGATTTGGTGCAGCGTATTAAAGATTCACCGGACGCGCCGGTCCGTGTCGACCGCATTTTACGAAGTGAGCATGAAAACGACTGGGATCGCGTCGTGCTTCCGCGGCTGCGGGCCGTCGCCGAGGCCGTCCTTTCATTACGCGCGGACGAGGGGAGACGGCGGGCCTGGCTCGCGGCGTCGGCTTATGAAAGGAAGACCACGGCCGCGGCGCTGTGCGTGTTCCTGCCCGTGCCGCCGGAACCGGTCGATGACGACGCCGATTTCTGGGCCTCCGCCGAGGCCGCGACGCAGCAGGCCGAGGAAGAAGCCTTCTGGACCGAAGCGGCGGACGCGGCCGACGCGGCGGCGGCGGCCGAGCAGCGGCGGCGTGCGCGGCGTCGTAGTGTTCGGGTGGACTCGGTCGCATCTCGATTGCTGAAAAGGCGTCGGCGCCGGGCGGCTGCGGTGGATTCGGTGGCGGCTCGGGCCAAGCGGCGGCGAAGGGGTGGTGCGTAACTTGTGTGTAAAAGTCTTACGTCGGCTTCGGGTTCAGATACGTGCCCTGGCCCGGGTTCGCCTGCGCGTATTCGCGCAGGTTCAGCTCGTTCTCGTAGTCGATGAAGGCCACGGCCGTCGCGACCTGCTCCGGCGGCAGGTAGGCGAGGAACTGGTCGAGGCGCTGCGACGCGACGTCGAGGGCGCGCACGACGAACGCCTGCTTCTCGGAGGAGATGGTGTCCACCTTGAGCGACGAGCTCGAGCTATCAAAGTACTCGAGCACGGACTGCAGCGCCTCGACGGCGCCCTGCCCGACCGAGTAGGCCTCCTGGCTCCGGCTCCCGCCCGCGAAGCGCGCGGCCTTGTTGATGTTGTCCAGGAGCTGGTAGTTGTCCAGCATGAGCGCGATGGCGAGCTTGATCGAGTTCCGCTGCAGGTCTTTGAATTTGCCGGACTTGATCAGGCGCGTCTCCTGGGCCGCGGCCTCCTTGACGCGGAGGATGAGCAACACCGAGTCGTTCGGCCGGTCCTTCGCAGGGTCGAGCGCGTGCGCCACTTGCGGCGCCAACAGGGCGCCGCCAAAGCTCGAGAATGCCGCGCGGCGGCCAAGCGGGCGCTGGGCGCCGAGTCGTAACGCGCTGCTTGCCGCAAGGCTGGCTGCGAGGAGCAGCGTTCGTGCTCGAGCGTGCGTCATCGGTCTTCGTCGGCGCGCTTTCTTGAGTTGAGTCAGACTAGTCTGAGCTGATTTGGGTGCTGGCGCCGTCTGAGTCTATCGCTGTTGCTCAGGACTCGTTCTTAGGACTAATCCGTAGCGTTTCCGTCGTTCGGTGACGGCGCGTTGACGCTTCCTGCGGAGCACAGGGCTGTGCAAGTTGCCAAGCGCCGAGCATTGCTAGTGCGTAAGTAAGCTAGCATTAATGCCAGTTTGCGACCAGCGCCGGGGCCGCGCGCAATCGAACAGTGGCCTGCCCCGACAAAAGGTGTCGAAGAACACGTGACGAGGCTGTCTTGTGCTGCCTGGCAACCTCTCGGGCAGCCCCAACACACAGCCCCCAACACACTCACTGGACAGATCCTGGACAGCCAAGAAGGATGTCCCTCGCCTCCCAGCCGGCGACGCGCGCTGGCGGCCCGCGCCCCGACGACTCTGATGATGAGGACGACGACGGCCCGCCCGGGGACTTGTACCAGCCCTCCCACTTCCAGGACACACAGTGTGGGGACCTCGCGCAGCCGTCGCACTTCGGCACCGGCGAGTCGCTCGCGGAGCTGAGCGCGCGCATGTCGCAGCTCGAGAGCGTGTCTCGAAGGAACACGCGCGGTTCGATGGAGAGCGCCGCGTCGATGCGGTCGGGGCCCACGACGGCGGCGTCGATGCGCGCTGCAGCCGCAAGGGCAGCCGCGAAGAAGAAGTCGAACCCGCCGACCCCCAAGCCGCCGACGCCGCCGCCCGAGCTGCCGCCGGAGCCACCGACCCCGGCGCCGCCGCCCGACGAGGACGTCCCCTGGGTCGACAAGCTCGGGTCCTTCCGCGACGAGAAGGCGCGGACGCCGAGAGCATTTTCAAGAGACCCCGTGAGCGTGGGCGTCGTGCGGCGCCAGTACCGCCAGCGACGACGTCGGGAAGAGCGGGCCGAGAAAGCTAGAATAAGGAAGCCGCGGCCTGTACAACCCCGACGCGAAAGTTCTTCTAGTGAAGAGGAGCCCGAGGCGCCTCTTTTCCACGATCCGCCGGACGCGAAGAAGCTCTACAATCTGAGTTTCGGCGACGTCGTCGAGGGGACCTCCAGAAGAGAATCATTGGTGAAGTCCATCGAGGACGAGCTGAGGGACGGGGGCACCGTTTTGTTGGTGGCGGACCCGTCAGAAAATGAGAACGACGAGGCGTCGTGTAGGGCCGTGCTGCGGACGCTGCACATGGCGCTGCACCCGAAGCTGCGGGACCCGATCCCGCCTTTACCTATCAAGCGGGCGGACGGGGCCTTTGGGATGACTCTTCGGGCGCCTCCATCTAGGGTCCCGGCGGCGCCGTTTTAAGTGTGTGTTTTATCTCTCGCCTGTCCGGATTCCGGCGCCCCCCGACGCATCAGGGTGGGGTCATTGCCTGGGGCATCCCGCGGCCGCGGCCGCGTCCGTCTTTGAACGCCGGTCCCGTGTGCGGTCTGGAATCGCAAAGCGGCTCCGGAGAGCAATATCGAGGCTCCTGGTGGGTAAACGCGTCGAGCGCGGCGCGCGCGTGCGGGGGCTGTCCACCAATGGCGTCGCACCGCGGCCCGGATTTCGATTTTGCGCATTCCCGTCCGCTGTGTTGCTAGAGTAGGTACGGCACGGCCTAGAGCGGTCGTTCGAGGGGTGCTCGGGCGCCGCGCATGTTTGGCGTGAAACTGGCCGGTAAATAAGGCCATCGCGCTAGCGGTTGTAAGGCTCTAGCCAGCCCTTGCGGCTCTCGTCTTGGCCAACTTGTTGCCTTGCGGCGCGCATTACAGACGCGTCGCGTAACAGCTGCATCCTCGTAATGATGCGCTGCCAGCCCTTCTTGAATTTATGCTGAACCGCCGCCGCCGCAGCCTCTAGCTGACAAAAGCGCACACCCAGCGAGCCTGTGCAACTCGACGCCGCGCGTTCGAACACATGCGCTATTTCACGTTACTCGGACTCTTCGCCGCTGCCTCGACGCAGCCCAACAACTCCTCCTACCTCCGCCGCCACTGCTCCCCGCCGCCGCCGCCGCGCCTCGTCACGCCCATGTACGACTTTGTTGAGGTCCTGCTGGCACTCGAGAAGGGCAAGTACGCCCACGTCGCGGTCATCTACCCCTGCGCGGCCGAATTCTTCCGCCGCGCGCACGAATTGGGACACCGACCAGTAGTCGTGTCTCTCTTCACCGTCGGGAGTCGAAGATGGAAGGTGATGTGTTCAGCTGCGTCATCGCTTCCGTATATTGACTTTGCGGACCTCGAGGTGGACGATGTCGAAAAGGACAACCGGACCTTCGCGTCGGGCGTCTTCCCCCTCGGCGAGGTCTCCTTCGCCGACGCGGACATTCGAACTGCCTTGGAGACCTTTCGCGAGCTCGTGTCCGGCGGCGGCGACGACCCGGGCGGCGAGTACATGTTCCTCGCGCAGCAGATCGTGATCGCGACCCACCATCGGAACAAGGACCGGACCGTCGGCGGCGGCGCGACGATGTTCGTGACAAATGCCGCAAAGGCTAGGGTGAACCTGTCCGCCGTCGCGGGCACGTCGGCCCTCCTCGAGAAAACGAGGGAAGACTTTTTAACTGGTCCCGACCGGTTGCGTCTCGGCCTCCCGGGCTTTATTGGTGGCCGAGGCTTCCCCTCCGAGACGAAGGTGCGGACGACGCGACAAGCAGTTCAATTTGGTGCGTTCGATAGCTTGGGCACGACGCGCACCTGTGTCCAGCGCTTGAACGAGGTGCCGATGGTCGAGTTGATCCTGCGGCCGCGCGACCACACGGAGGAGGAGTGGGCCTTCATCTTCCGCGGCCCGCGCATGGCCGAAGACATCGACAAGGGCGTGGTCTACGCGCTTGAGCGCAAAGGCCGGCATCGTGTCGAAGGAGGGGCGCCGAGCGACGAGCCGCCGGTGGAGCAGGACGGCGACGAGTTCGTCGCCGTGGCGAAGACGGCGCGGTGGATTGCCGGCGAGAAAGTGGTGTTCGCGCTGCAGCGACTCTCGAAGGCCGCGCGGCACGTCGGCGACGCTTTTTTAAATCTAGAAGAGGACGCGTCGAAGGTGCCCGCCGCCTGGGCCGCGTTAGGCGACGTCGCCGTCGACAATAACGACGAAGAGTCGGATTTTGATGCGGCGTTGCGGATGTACTCCGCACACGACGCTGCGGTGGCGCCCGTGGTCGAGTGTCGGGAGGCGCAGAAGGCCTTCGATGGGCATCTGGAGGCGTTGGAGAAGGTGTTGGGCGAGACCGTGGAGAAGCTGCGGGCCGTCCTGGGCGGTCAGGCGCTCAAGGACTGGATAAAGCGGCTCGACGTAGTAGGCGACGCCGTCGGAGCCGCGGACGTTCCCCACTACAACTGGTGCAAGGTCCTGGGCGGACCTCCCGGCGGAGATTTAGCTGAGGCGACGGTCCAGCTGCGCGCGGCCGTTGCCGCTGTGGTTGAAAGCGTCGCGAAGTGTAGGGGCTCGGCCGACCCGCTCGCTGCAGCGGTGGGGCCGCCGCCGGTAGATCGCGCGGGGCCCGACGACGAGGAGCCCAACGCCGCGACCGAGGGGAACGCGCAGAACTCGAATCAAACCCCGGGCGGCGTCACGGGAGATGACGACGATTTTTTTGCTCCCCTGGCCGTGGCGCAGGACGCTTCGGAAGAGTCAGATCTCGCCCGTGCGTTGAGCGCTCTGGCCGCGGCTCCAGATGCGGAGATCCCGCCGACCTCAAGCTCGAAGCACCTCTGGCGATTTAAGGAGGGGCACGAGGTCCCCGAGCGCATCACCTACGACTTCGCCGGTAGCTCCCCGTGCGCAAATCAAACTTCACTGTGTCGTCTCCCTCACTGAAAGGATCTTACTGTCGTAGCCCCGTCGCCGAGCACCCGTCTCACTGGTTGATTTCCACACACAGGTGGCTACTCGATGTCCATCGACACGATCGAGCTCTGCTCTAGTCGCGACGTCGGCCAGGGCGGCGTCGGTGGGACGAGAAAGTGCGATCTAGCCGACATCGGCGCGACCATGGCCAAGTGCTACGACGACGCGCGGCGCGAGGGCTCTCCTATCGACCTGATCACTTGGGACGAAGCTAACCGGACGGCGCGCGGCGACGCCCGCGTGACTCACAACGCTGGGGCCTTGCGCGGGCGTCAGCTTCTCGACGCGGAGTTTAGAAAGGCCATGACCGAGGGCAAGATAACGGCGTCGGTGACGACGTCGCAGGACGAGCTCTCGCCAGTCTCGATGATTGTGCGAAGCAGTGCTAGCAACGGTAGCTATAACATCGAATTTGCTGTTGAAGGCGCGAACTACAAGAAGCTCCCGCCCCTGTTCGCTCACGCGGCGTGCGTCGCCGTCGAGCTCACGTTAGACGATTCCGAGAGGGCCTGGGTCGTGCTGTCGCTGTGCAACGAGGCGCTCTGGGACGAGCTCTCGGAGCGATTAGTAAAAGGGCTGCACATTCAACAGAGCGCCGTCGGCGCTTGTCTGGACGACGGCGACATCGAATGGGGGGGCAACTCGACTCTTTCGCCGGAGCTCCGTGCGGCCATCAAGAGCAACGTGTGCCGGCCGTCCCAGCTCAAGGCGCGCGTCGACGCCTGCGTTGACGATTGGGTGCAGCTCGTGCGCCGGCAGCTAGACCTGGTGTTCCCGCTGGAATCGGGGCCGGCGCCCTTCGAGACGGCTACCGAATTCGTGGATGCGCTCGTCGAGGCGAGTTCCGCTGCCGCGGTCGACGTCCCGTCGAGGAGTAAGCCGCAGCCGTTGCGTGTGCCGAGGAGCGGCGCTGGTTGCGCATCACGCGCCCCTGCCCCGGCGCCGGCTCCGGCCTTCTTCACAAGGGGTTCCTACAAGGTCATCGACCCGGCCGGTGCCAAGCTCCGCAGCTCCTCGAACGATGACTCGACGGAGGTGGGTCACCTCGCCCTGGGGACGTGCGTCGAGGTGGACGGCGTGATGAGGAAATTGGTCAGCACGCCGCGCGCCTGCGTCGTCAAGCGCGGCCGCCTCGTAGGCTGGGTCGACCTGGTCGCCCTCGAACGGATCAGTGCCACGTCGCCGGACACGCCTCCGATGCCGTCGCCCGATGATGATGACGTCGACGCCGCAGTTTCGGGGCCTGCTGCAAGATCACGCGCCCTTGCCCCGGCGCCGGCTCCGGGGCCTGCTGCAAGCAACGGCCTCCTCTTCGTCGGCGCACTCGTCAAAGTTGAGAACGCGGATTCACTGGGCTGGCCGGGCTCCCGTGGCACCGTCGTTAGTCTCGGCAACGACCACGTGGACGTGGAGTTGGAGATCGATTACCAGCCGTTGGGCATCATTAAAAGAGTATGGGCGCCGGCGTCGGGTCTTGGGCCACTCCGCATCATCGTCGAGACTGCGTCCGAAAGAGCCGATCGGAAGGCTGCCCGCGAACGGCGGAGGCGGGCGGAAGAGAAAGATCTTCTCGAGGAGCTCGACAAAGCATTGGACGAGGCGGAGAAGCGGTGCGCCGGCTCCGTGCCGCGGCTGGACGCGGCGACGTCGCTACCTTACGGAGTAGGTAGGATCGACTTGCTGCAACGGGCCATCGATGTTGTTCGAGCTCTCACGAAAGCTTGCGTCGACGCGAAGCGCGCCGCGGCGGCGGTGCCCGCGCCGGCGACCGCCCCTGCCCCGGCGCCAGCTCCGGCCGGCGGGCCTGCTGCGAGCAACGGCCTGCTCTTTGTCGGCGCGCGCGTCGAACTTGAAAACGCTGATTTACTGGGCTGGCCGAGCTCCCGTGGCACCGTCATTACTCTCGGCAACGACCACGTGGACGTGGATTTGGAGATCGATGGACAGCCGTCGAGCATCATCAAAAGAGTATGGGCACTCCGCATCATCGACGACGACCAGTCTTCCGATGGCGGCGGCAGGTCTCTGAAAGGCGACGACGACGACGACGACGACGATGCGACTTTGTCCGATACCGAGCTGGAGCGCCACGAGCGCGAGACTGTGGCTGCCACGAACGCTGCGAATGCCGCTATAGCGAGCGCGCGCGACTGTGAGACCGACTCCGAGGACGAGTTGGAGCGAGCACGCGTCGACGAGGGCTATTCCCTTACCAACCTGCGGCGCGAGCTGCTCAGGCTGGAGCGCGCTCCGGGCTATTCCTTGACCGAGCTGCGGCGCGAGCTTCTCAAGCTCGACGACCATGACGACGAGATCCTTTCCCTTAACGACTGGAGCGCAATGGAGAGCGAGCTGATCGCGCTGGAGGAGCCCAAGGAAGCCGAGCTGGAAGCCGCGAACCTCTATCTACGGTGGCGAGGAAACCGCGATCTGGAGGTGCCTGGATCTAACTCTCTCTTCAGTGGCGAACCGTACGCACATCAAGAGTGGCAAAGGATGAACGCCGAGGCGAAGTCGCCGGAAGAAGTACGTGCGGCGTCGCGCTTGATAGGTGCACACGGCCACGTCTCTTCTTTCGATGGCGCATCGACGGCTCTGGGGCTTCAGATTCATTGGAACGCGCTTTACAACGTGTACCAGCGACTGGTTCTTCGGTTGGTAAGCCCGATGCACTTCGCCACGGTCGTGGCTCCTGAAGGCCCGCCGCGCCATGTCGAGTCGGGCCCGGGAAAGCGACGGCGAATCGTGGCGGCGCCCGCTTCGACGCCCGCGGCCGGTTTAGTTTCGACGCCCGCGCCGGCTTTGGTGCAGCCGCACGGGCTGCCGCGCGACAACCCAGGCGACGGCGGCGCTGCGCGGCAGAGGTTTCCTCGGGACCATCACACCGCCGCGCGACGATCGGCCGCCCCCTCGAGGCTGGCTGCCTATCATCAGGTCCGGGGATCTATCTTCCCATGAGCCTCCCTTCCAATAGTCGCGCAAGGCGCGTCGCGACTCGGGTGTTTGTTGTAACTCTTTTTTGTAGCGCAACTTGTTCAACATTCAAAGTTATTCCATATCCTTCTTCGCAACGCCGTCGCGCGACGCGGACTCGGACTTGTCCACAACTTCGGCGCTCTACGTACGCCGTCGGAAACAATAGCTACAGACAAAGGAAGGTTACCCCGGGGATCATCGCCGCGGCCCCCGCTTCAGCGCGGCGTCGAACGCAGCTTCTGCCTCGGGGTCGTCATCATATTCATTGGGAAGCACCGTCGCGTCGAGTAATTCCACGACGCGCTTGACCATGATCCGGAACATCATGGGCCCTCGTGCGAGGCCGTTGACGAACCGTTCCGTCTTTCCAGCCGCTGACTCGGGCGCGGCCTCCATCGGCCGCTTGGCGACCTTCTTGATGATATTGGCGCGCTTCTTCTCGTAGCGGTCGACTTCCGCGAGGAACGACGTGAGCCAGCGCTCCGCTCGTGCTAATGGCCCTCGTCGCTTCGCGGGGAGGTCCTGGGGTCTAATGGTTGACGAATCGACCCGAGCTCGCTCTTCTCGGTAGACCGCATCGACAAACCCCTCCAAATCTCCTAACAACGAAGGAGGCGCGTCCAAGGGCCGCAAGCGCGCCCCTAGCGCCTGGGACCGCTCCGTACGTGTATTCTCTGAGGAGATCATTCTGTCGACCTCCTGCTTGATCGATGCGAAAAGCTGCGTCAGCGCGTCCAGAGTGTTGGCCCAGGCCTCTTCTAGCTCAATCGGTTTCGACAGCGACGCCTCGAGGTCGCCGAGCGGTCCTCGGACGTCCAACGGCGCGTCGGCCGGCCGTACCACGGCCCCCTGCGACTCGACGATGCGCGCCGCTCTATATTCCTCCTCGTCCAGCACGCGCCCGGCCCAGCTCGACAGCTGCTGGATGACGCCCGACACCTCGGGGTCCACAGATTGGCCGACGACACCTTCCTCGCGCAACGCTTCCTCGCGCAGCGCCTCGGCGCGCAATTCTCGTTGCACTTGACGTCTTAACTTGGCATCTTCCAGGGACCACTTCGCCAGCGTCGCCCGCGCGGCTCTCTCGGCCTTGTCTATCACGGGTATCGTGAGGCCGTTCGCGCTCGACAAGGTACAGGCCAGGGCTGCCAGGAGGCGGCGGCGCCGCCGCCGGGCGTGGCGCACGGCGGGCATGGTTGGTCGTTCTTGTGGCCTCTAGCGCTCGCGACGCGCCGAGAGGGGCGCCTGCTGCCCAGCAGTCTCTTGAGCAACTTTTGTTCAGCGGATTGCGACGCCCGACGGCTGCAGCAAGTCAGGAGCTCTGAAACGCTGTTTTAAAGGTCCACTAATCCTGCAGGGGTGCGTTCAGCGGCTATGCGTCACGATGATCGCGTCAATCGAGATGCCGGCAGCCCCGCACCGCACGCGCCCCGCGCCGCCCGACGCTTCCAACCCGTAAGGATCCTTGGTATGCCTGCCTGGGTCCACTCTGCGATTACAAGACCGCCGGGGTTTGGTAAAAGCCGAAACGCGGCCGCGCGCCGCCAATGCTTTTCTTAGACTTAGACGTGATATGTCATAGTTCACAAAACTGTTACAACCACCCCGGTCCCCCCTCCTTGCAGTGGGGCGACCGCATAAATGCCTTCGCCGCCGCGTGCGCCTTGGCCCGCGGGTCCTCGGGAGGCGTCGACCCCAGCCAGTCCACGCCCGCGACGTCGCGCCGCACGTCGAGGCGCCGCCGCGCCTCGACGCAGGGCCGCGACGCGTTCGCCGCGGGCAGGACGCGTGCGACGTGCTCGAAGTTCGACACGTGGTCGCGGACGTCTACCGCGTGTTGTTTAATCGGCAGGTGCGCCGCGTCCGGCCTCGCGCCAGTGGCGACGCCCAGGAACCGCTCGACGCGCCTCATGGTATTCCGGCGCGCGTGCGGCGCGCACAAATCGCGCTCGTACGTCAGATGGAGGACGCCCGGCGGGTTGGCGGCCTTGGCCAGCGCCCGCTCGACCGTCGCCACAAAAGCGGCTTCGTGCTTGGACCAGGTGTCGAAGAGCGCCGCGTCCACACTCACGACGTGGTCGTGCTTCGCCGACCCCGGGTACGCCGCCCAGACGTTCGACGCCTGCGCGAGGCAGATGGACACGTACTGCGCGAAGGCGTCGTCCCTTCGCAGCAAGATGAGATGCGTCGCCCAGTCCAGGAAAGTGTCCAGCCTTTTCCAGTCGAGATGCTTCGAGAAGAGCTTGAATCCGACCACGTGCCGGTTCGCGTGCTGCCTTCCCAAAGCGTCGAGGAGCTCCTGCGGCCGCTCCCGCCGTCGCCGGAAGGCCTCGTCGTCGACGGTCACGTTCCGCGCGAGCCCGTCCTTGCGGCTCGCCCGCAGGTCCTGCTCGTGGAAGGGTTCGCCGTGCATGACGACGTCGCCGTGCGTCCGCAGCATCTCGACCAATAACGTGCTGCCCGACCGCGGCGCCGACAGGAGCACGAGCCGCGCGCGCTGTTGTGTGGGTGCCGTCGCGTTCTGCGCGAACGCGAAGAGCGAGACCGTCGCGATGAGCGCGCTGCAGGAGACGTAGACGGCTCTGCGGCGGCGCGGCGTGGCCAGCAGCATGGCTGTCTCGTGGCTGCGCTACTTTGACTGTAGTATGCCTGTGAGGCCCCTGTGAGTGTGCCGGCGCCGAGGCCTCAGCCCAACGGCGCGAAGCTGCCCGCTGCTGCTGCGGGCTGTCTTTAGGCTGCTGCTCCACGAATGATGCCCGAGGGCTCAGCCATCGATGCACAAGGCCGGCCGTGGACTGCTAGCGTGCCAAGAGGCACTAGCTTTATCTCCGTCCCGACTCGAAAAAGCAGCCCCCTGCCCCCGGATTGCACTAGCATCGACGGCTTTTGACTAGTAGTCGAGGCTTACACAGCCCAAGAGCCAGCCCAGACTGGTGCGCCTCGGGAGGCAGCCTCTACAGCTTCCACAGGCCGGCAATAGCATCTCAATAGCAATGAAGACGCTGCCCGCGTACGCCGAGAAGCCCGAGCTGGCAGAACTGTTGGACAAAGTACCGCTCCTGCCGGCGGAGAAAGCCGCAGAGCCGCAGACGACATGCGTGACCGGAGCCACGTCCACCATCGGTGCCCACGTGGTGCGGAGGCTGCTGCGCGCCGGCCACACGGTCCACGCGCCCGTGCGCGGCTCGGAGACGACGGCCGACGTCGCTTATTTGAAGGCCATGCCCGGCGCCGAGCGGCTCAAGCTGTTCTACGGCGTCGATCTACTAGTCGAGGGGTCCTACGACGCAGCAATGGTCGGCTGCGCGTCGGTGATCCACGTGGCGAGTCCTTTCTACCTCACGGGCTCGAAAAAGAATCTGAAAAACAAGTTGATCGATCCGGCAATCAAGGGGACCGAGAACGTACTCAATAGCTGTAGCCGGACGCCGACCGTCAAGCGCGTCATATGTACTGGCACGGTACTCGTGGCGTGTTGCGACTTTCGGCCTTCGATCGAGGACAAAGGCTGGACCGTGAACAACGACATGTGGTACGGCGACTGCTCGCCCACCGATTTTCCATATGTCTACAGCAAGCGCGCTGCCGAGAAGCGGTCGTTAGAGATAGCCGCGGCGCAGTCGCAATGGACGCTCACCACGCTCCTGGTAGGCGGGTGCTTCGGCCCCATGTGCGCGCCCAACGGCCAGGGCGTCGTGCCCATGTTTCAGAAGTACATCCGGGGTGGCCTATTCTGGCCGGCGTGCCCACCGATGGGATTCCCCGTCCACGATATCCGTGACGTAGCGGTGATGCATTCCCTGGCGATGACGAGCGACGTCACGGGGAGGTACATCACGCCCCAGAAATGGGGCACGTTCAAGGCCTGCTGCGACGGGTTAAAGTCGGACTCGCGCACGTCCAAGTGTATGTTACCGTTCTTCACGTTGCCGTCGTGCTTCAAGCCGGTCTTCGCCTGCGTGGGCCCCATGCTCGGAATCGACAAATCCATGCCGCGGCGCATGTGGGGTGCTTCGCCGAAGATAGATTACGGGAAGACCACCAACGACTTCGCCCTGGAGGGGTTCACGCCGATCGGGATCCCAGAGATGATGGTCGACACCGAACTATCCTTCCAGCTGCACAAGATCCCGCTGGTGCTAGCGTCGCTGAAGCGCTACAAGTGAGTTGCACACTGCTACCCGGCTGGCTCCATACTTCCGATCGCTCGTATATACATAGGCTAACCTCAGTTGTTATTTATAATAACCCCGGCTCAAGCTGCGGCCGCCGCGCGGACCGGAAGCGATGCCGCAATTCTCGGAACATCTGCCGCGGTTTCAGCCGTCGTACCGCCTGCCGCGGCTTCACGCGCCGCACGGCGGCCTCCCACGCGCCGGCGACGGGGTGCTGGCGGCGCCCCGGCCCGACCGGCGCCTCGCGGGTGAGGCGCACCGGCTCCTCGGCCTGCGGCGCGGACGTGAGCCCGACGGGCGCCGACTCCGCCGTCGCCGGGGCCCTGCCGCTGCGCAGGGCGACGCCGAGCGAGTAGCCCAGCAGGACGAGGACCGCGACCATTTTCGATGCGCGCCGCGGCCGCGCGGGCGCGGCCGCCGGCGGGCGCCGCGCCACCTTCGGGGGCGGCGGCGCGGGCGCCGGGGCCGCGGCCGGCCGCTTCGCCGCGACGGGGAGCTTGCGCGCCCGGGCGAAGGTCGGCGTCCGGTCGGGCCGCGGCGACCGCGGGTCCAGCAGCGGCGACGACGGCGGCGGGGGCGGCGACGGCGGCGCGGGCTCCGCGGGCGGCGGCGCGCGCGCGCTGCTGCCGCGCGACATCGTCTCGACGCGGTGGCCCCGCGGCGTCGCCGTTTTGGTGGAGGCCGCCTCGGTCACCGGTGGCGGTGAAGGCGCCGGCGCCGGCACTCGCGGAGGCGAGACGGCCGCGCCCGGCGGGACCTTGTTGATGGTCGCCGCGCGGGCGCCGACTGCCTCGTCCGACAAGGTCCGCGACCGCGCGCGCACGGGCGGCGACGGCGGCGGCGACCGCGGCGCGCGGACCGGCGGCCGCGCCTCGACGGGCCAGGCCTCGGCGGCGGGCCGCCGCCGCGTGGCGGGCCGCGGCCGGCCGCCGACGTCCGCGACGGGGCTCGGCCGCGTCGACGCCGCGATGCCGGCGGGCGTCGGCACGGCGGGCGGCGACTCAGGTTGCCCGCTGACGAGCGCGGCATTCAAGACGTCGGCGGGGTTGGCGACGGCGTCGGACGCGGCCCAGACCTGGTCCCGCGCGCCGGGCCGCCGCCGCGCGGCCGCCTGGTACGCCGTGTGCATGGCCAACAAAGCCTCGTCGTCGTCCGAGTCGTCGGCGTAGAACTTGGCGTCGGCGGCGGGCGAGGGCGACGCGAAGGCCGCGCGGACGCCGTCGTCCGGCGGCGGCGGCGGCGGCGGCTGGCCCGCGTAGTCGTCGAAGGTCGTGAACTCGTGCGCCGCCGGCCCGACGGTGCCTGGCGCGTCCGGCGCCTCCACCCTAAAAAGCTCGACCGTCGACGGCGGCCCTTCGCCCTTCTCCTCGGCGTCGAGACGCCGGCCCAGCGGTCCCAGTATCGTGTCCTCGAGGTCCGCCGACTTCGGAGTCGTAGCGGCAGCGCGCCCCCGTTCTAGTTCCTTGAGCCGCGCCTGGAGCATGGGGCTGGGCGCCATCCTTTGGGCTGCCCCCTTGGTGGTGGCCCGGCGGCGCGGGTCCGCCGGCCTGTTGAGAGAAAGCTGCGCTGCTTACTAAACCGGGGCCGGTCCCTGGCGCCGCTCCGGTCGCCGCTCCCCACCGCTTCTTAGGCACTGGCAATCCACTCGACTTTTGCATCTCGCGGCCGGCAGCCGGGGGCCCGGACGCGTACCGGCGCAACGGTCGTCGGGAGGGCGGCAACGACTCCGGAGGGACGCGTGTTCCAGCGAGCTAGTGTCTTACAGCCGCTAGCTCGAGTTTGTGCCGCTTGTTTTGCGAGTGCTGTGCTCACATGCATGCGCTTGTGACGTGACACGGTTCTGCATCGCACACCTGTGCATTTTCCGCGGCGGCAGCGCTCGCAAAAATAGGGTGCAAGAGGACATCTCCTGACACTCAGCTGCAGTGTGCAGTGCTGCCGGCGCAAATGAAGCTACTGCTGCTCACGACCTGCGCCACAGCGCTCCACCCCTTCCAGCCGCGCGGCCCGCCGACGAGGAAACGGCCGCACTTCGACGGGTGGTGTATCAGAGCTAGTGAAAACGAGGCGTCGGCCTCGGTCATCGTGGGCTGCTTCTCGCGGGGCAGGCGGAGGTACGACAAGCATCTGGTGATCGTCGCCCAGCGGACAAAAGAGGGAGGTGCGTGGCGCACGCGCGTCGCGCAGAAATTCTACGATGATAATGAGTGCTCATTAACGACGACGGACGAAGGCTTCTGCTTCGCCGCGCCGGCGGGCGTCCTCGAGGCGTCCCCGTCGAGTCTCACCACAAATTTTGATCTGGGGAGCGTGCAAGCATCAATATCGACGGGACCAGAGGCCCCCTGGAATCCTGAGGGCTGGCTCGGGTCGAGGTGGACGCGCTGGCTCCTGCCCTGCCGCTATGCGGTACGATCGACGAACTCAAGGGGGACCTGGAACAACCGTGAAGCTTACGTCCACGCCGAGGCGCAGTACGGCGCGCGGTTCCCCAAGAGTTGGCGCTGGGTCCAGGCCACGGATACGAACGCGACGATCGTGGCGACGGGCGGCGCGTTCGAAATCGGGCCCCTGACCACAAACACGTGGCTCTGCCGCTATCAAATCGGAGATAGAGTTTGGTCCTTCCGCACGACGGACCCGCGGACTTCTTGCGAAGAGGTCTCCGACGAGGGCGAGGCGTCCTTACAGTTGGTATTAAGACGGAGTTTTGGAGGGGAGAAGCGGAGGCTGGAGTTGACCTGCACCGCTAAACCAACAACGTTCTCGGAGCCGCTCTACTGCCCGACGCGAGAAGGGTTCTCGCATAGTCCCGGCTCGCGCGAGTCCTTTTCAAGTACTGTGCGTGTCAAAGCGGACGTGAATGGTGAAGTGGTCGACGAGCGAATCTTCGAGGGCGCGTGTCTAGAGTTTGGAGGGGCATAATTATCCAAGGGGGTCCATCTATCTAGGCGAAGCTTCTAGCTTTCTCCGCGACGAGCACCGCATTTAATGCCGCGCCGCGCAGCAGCTGGTCGCCGCAGATGAAGAAGTCGAGGCCGTTCTCGCCGAAGACGTCGTTGCGGCGGATGCGGCCCACCTCCACGTCATAATTTCCGGTGGACGTGATGGGCATCGGGTACAAGTTCTTGTCGACGTCGTCGCTGAGCTTGAGGCCCGGGAAGTCCGAAAGCACTGCTCTAGCAGCTTCCACGGTGACGGGCTTCTCCGTCTCGATGGTGATGGCTTCCGAGTGCGCTCTGAGAGTAGGAATGCGCACGGCCGTGCACGACACCTTGGGCTCCTTGCCCGTATCACTGGAAGAAGGCAGCGGCGGGAAGCCGAGCATCTTCCGGCACTCCCAGGTCACCTTCATCTCCTCCTTCGTGTAGCCGTTCTCCTGGAACTTGTCGATGTGGGGGATGACGTTGAAGGCGAGCGGGTGCGCGAACTCGGTGTTCGCGATCGGCTTGCTGCCGAAGCGGCCGTCGTCCTCGAGGTAGGCATCGCCCTGCACCGCGTCGGCGATGCCCTCCTTGAGCTCGGCCATGCCGGCCGCGCCGGCGCCCGACGCTGCTTGATAGGTGGAGACTATTACTTTTTTGAGGCCGAACGCGAGGAAGAGCGGGAACAGCGCCATGAGCGCGATGGCCGTGGTACAATTCGGGTTGGCGATGACCTTGTTCCCCTCGCAGAGCTGGCCGTTGACCTCCGGCACCACCAAAGGCACGTCGTCGTCGTATCTCAAAGCCGACGAGTTGTCCACCACCACACCATTCTCACTGAGACCTTTACCAATCTCCCGCGCGTACTTGATGGCGAAGTCGCCCGATGCCGCGAGGAACACGACGTCGTAGCCCTTCGTGGCCTCGACACTGAAGGCCTCCGTCGTCAGCGTGCCCCACTGCTTCGTCTCGACGCTCTTGCCGCCCTTGCTCCCAAACAGCGTCGGCGAGCCCTCGACGGGGAAGCCGCGCTGCTCCAATACTCCAATGATTTCAGCGCCGACGGCACCCGTCGCGCCGACGATGGCGACCTTGAGCGGCTTGCTGCCGGCGAGGGACATGGTCGCAGCGACACGGAGCGCGGGCGAGCGGCGTCCGAGCGTCAGCCGCTGTGCGGGCCGCACGAAGGCCTGCGCCCCGAGGGCGAGGCAGAGCAATACGCGGCGGAGCGAGGTCATCTTCCTTTTGGGAGAGCTTGTTGCAGCTGGCCTGTGAGCGGTCTCCGCAGTGGCAACGCTGTGAGGCGTGAGTGAGCGGTGTCTCGCTACGCTCAGCTTTGCTGTAGAGTGCGGGTGTGCCGTGTATACGAGCGTCGCTCAGGTTGCGGAGGAGAGCAAGTTATGTTCGCGACCTAGCGGCGTAAGGCACTAGCAATATTCTACACGCCGCCCACTAGTCGTAGCGCCGTAACAAAAACACGCGCCATGGGCTCGCGTTCGGCAGCGTCGGCGAGGCGTGACTCAAGCCTCGGAAAAACCGTACGATAGGCGAAACGCTGTCTCGACGAAGACAACGAACCACATAGGTAACACGCAAAGATAATAGAATAAATTACGTCACAGCGCGTGGAACAGCTTCACCGACCCGTCCGCACTACCAGAGAAGAGCCACGGCTGCGTCGGGTGGAACGCGCAGTCCAAGCAGCCTTTTGGTGAAGACACGTCCAGCCGCTTCACCGGTACTATGGAAGGGTTCGTCGTCAAGTCGTCGAAGACCTTCGCGTGGAAGACCTGGACCGTGCCGTCGTCCGAACACGTCGCCATCAGAGGATACCTCGAAGATTTAGGATGGAACGTTGCCGCCCTGAGTGCTTTGTCGTGATATTTGAGCGTGCGATGGGCCTGCTCCCCCAGATCCAGGTCGTGCCAGCACAGCCGCAGATCCCGACTCCCGACCACACAATGGTCCCCACCGGGATGGATGGCCAGACAGGAGATCCACTTGCATCCCGATCGCAACGTCTTCACGAGCTCCTGCCTCGCAAGGTGGTACAAGCGGACCGTAGTTCTCGAAGCAACAAATAAAAAGGGCTTGGACGGGTGAAAGACACAGCTCTGGATCTGGCCCCCCTTGTCGCCCCTTTTGAGGGGTGCCTGGGAAGATCTCCGAGAACAGCGATGCACGACGCACTGCATCGACGCGATGGCGTCGGGCGACACCGTCGCGAGGTAGTCGCCCCTCGCATGCCAGGCCACCGTCCGCGCTGGGGCGGCTAACGCACATTTGACGATAGTGCAAGGCTCCTGCTGTAGCGTCGACCAGACACCAACAACCTCCGCGTCCCGGCGCTGCTCTATGACCCCCTCGTCGTCCTCGCCCTCCAGCAAAGCCTTGGTGGCCTCGCGGTCGTCGCCTCTCGCTGTTCTCGTGTCCACGAGATATACACCCTCCTTGCCGGCAACAGCTAGGACGTGGTGCTCGAGGTGCGGGTTCCATCTCAAAGCTGACAAGGGCCCCGGGACCGCCGTTTCTCTGATTAACTTCCCGGTGGACACCTCCCACAACAGCACGCGGCCGCTGTCGTCCGCCGTCGCCTGTGTAGGTATATATATGTCTCGCCGGGTCTTGGTAAATGCGTAACACAGCCACCAATGGGTTAACGCCGGTCGAAGTAACTATCGCGCGCTCAAACGACGTCGGTCTGCCACAGATGGGTAGCCGCGCCTTGACCAAATGCGCGCTTCGATGATTAGGACACTGAAACAAACGAGCCACTGGCCGTCGCGCGAACAGTCCAGAGCGACCACTGCCGTAGTATGGCCGATGAAGGACCGACATAGCGCGTTCGGGAACGGCTTCAAGTCCCTAGGATCGGGCAGCTTCGGCACCAAAGATTCGGGGTCGATGGCGAGTCTCCTTTTCAACTTGCGGGGGCACAGATACAAATCCAGGCACCGCTCGAACCGCTCCTGGACGCCCTTCTCATACACACCTACTCGTCGTAAGGAGTCGTGCTGCTTTGGCACGAAATCTTGGCCCTCCTCCGGCTCCGTTAATGGCCGTCCCTCGTCGTCCACGCAGTACTCCGCAGGAGGTCTGTAACTCTCCTCATGTCCTGGCAACTTTAATTTGGGAGCAGGCACGGGCAACGGACCCTTCCGCCGCCCCGACGGATCCTCGACGTCCTCGGGACCCCACATGCTAGCCGCCGCCTCCAGGAACCGCCGTTCCGGATCTCTAGCTTCCTTCCTCAGACGTCTGTTTTCTTCTCTAGTTCGTAGCCTTCCATCAGCTAAGCCCTGGGCCAGCCGGTGGATGCGCATGCCCTCCCACTTCGAGGGGATGAATCTACGTTTGGGTTCCGGCGCGTTGTGTAATGGAGTAGTCTCAATAACAGAAGACCGATACGTATCCGGGTACATCTCCGTCTCGGGGTTCGCGAAGGCGCCCTTCTTGAGCCGTCGGATCTGCTCCAATTCCCTCTTGGAAATACGAACGTTCCGCCCATTTAGTTTGTCATAAACCGTCACGCCCTCGCCGTCGTCCGCCTCGATCGCCAAATCTAAACCATCTAGAGGTTTCTCGGGCACTACTTTACTGCCGCTCACATCGTACCCGATGTGATCATACCCTTCATACCAGTGCGTCGGCACGCGGCCCGTCGCGTTGCCCGCGTCCTCGTCGTCACTACTCAGATCATCGAGGGCTTGGTCTTTGAGCTGCTGGAGCGCTCCCGATTCACGTTGTTGCTCGCTGTTTTGTGCTCTTTCGGCGTCGCCCCAGGTCCGCGGCGCGTCCTCGTAGCTTCGCTCGTCGTCCGAATCACTACTCTCGGCGTCCGATGAACTCGACGACGGCGGCGGCGGCGGCTTCTTGCCCTTGCCTTTCTTGCTCTTGCTGGGCTTGGGCATCGCTTGACGTCGTCGCGTGCTGCACAGCTGCAGCAAGGTGCTTGTGAGTTTCACGCACGCGGCGGCGCGTCACGCGCGGTTCTCTTACCGATCTCGATAAATGCGATTGGACGACTGCGTTTGCACCGCTCAGCTCGCGAGCGCGCTAGGCAGCCGCTGCGTTTAGCAGGCTGTGTCGCCAGGCTAGCTCTTGCTGCAGCGGAGAGCAGCTCGCAGTTGCGAGCGCTGAGCGACGTAGGAATTGTTTCAGCTGCGGCGTACGCTCTGCACACTTGAGAACTCGTCGTGCTCGCGATCATCAGCTCTGCAACTGCGACGCCGCGGTCGCATTGGCACAAAACACACCACCGCACTTGAACCGCTGCGAGCGCCGCGACGTCGCCGTACGACGACCAAGCAAGCAAGCGGACTGCACTGCAACATCAACAGCATGGGCCGCGTGTCGCGCCGCCACCAGGCCAAGCGCCGCCGATGGAGGGAAGCGGGCGTCGCCGAGCGCAAGCTCGACACGTCGTTCTGGCTCGCGTCGGGCGGCGACCTGGAGGACGACGCGTCGTGGGCCGGCGACGACCGGGGCGCCTCGGATGATGACGACGCCGTCGACGCGTTTTTGCTGGGGGCGAACCCCGACGGCGCGCCGGATCCCGACGAGGTTGATGAAGACGGCTCGGACGACGCGGACTCGTGGGCCGGCGACGGCCGCGACGGGGGCTCGGACGACGACATGTGGGGCGCCTGCGACGACGACGACGGCGACGTTGCGAGCGCGTCGGACCCGGACTCGGACTCGTCCGACGACGCCTGGGCGCGCGAGTGGGCGCGGCGGCTGTCGACGGACGAGACGTCGCCGCGGGGCGCCGCGACGGATGCCGGTGCGGCGGAGGCGCGGCTCGCGCGGGAGATGCTGGGTGATGACGTCGTGATGGCCGACAGCAGCGGCGACGACTCCGACAGCAGCAGCGACGCCTCCGAGAGCTCCGACTCGGACGCGAGCTCCGCCGATGCACCGCCGGCCGCCTACCGCGAGCCCCTCGTCACGACGTGGGACAAGAAGCGCAAGCGCAAGAGTGGGGGCTACTCGCCGCGCGGCGGCATCGTGCGCGCGCGCGCCGACTCGAAGGAGGAGCTGCGGCGCCAGCGCCGCGCGGCCAAGTTCGCGGCCGACGCGGCGAAAGCGCCACCACCAATCCCCAAGCGTACGTTCGCCCACCCGGGCGGAAGGATTACCTCAAATAAAGAAGAGGCGACGGAGAAGTTCCTCCGGCGCCAGAAGAAGCAGAGTAGTCCCTAAATATTACACAGTTGTATCCACAGCCTTGCAGTCAAATGATGCGGCGCTCGGCAGCGCGCACGCCTCGTCGAAACACTTCGCGCCGTTCGACGCCGAGAGATCCTTCGCCCCGCACGTGTTCGTCGGCAGCGACGGGTTCTCCACGAACGCGTCGAACCAGGGCATGCCGCCAAACGGCGCGCCCTCGGGCGCGGGCTGCGTGTAGTAGTCGTAGGCCTGCTGCACGAGCTGCTGGAGCTCGTCGTCGAAGAGGGGGACGGTCTCGCAGACCGTCTTCGCGTTCTTCGGCGGCGTCAGGATCGCGTCGCGCGCGTCGTCCGCGACGCGGCGGAGGACGCCGTGCAACCTTGCTACTCTAGCTGCACGTTTCTCGACGTCCAGAGCGTCGTTCGCCACGAGCGTCTCGGGAAGCTTGGGCCAGTCGTCCACAAAGACAAACGTGTCGGCGGCGACCTCGTGCCAATGCAGGGCCGGGTCCTCGCAGCCCTTGGCGCTCAATCCCCCGTCGGTCTTATAAGTCTGGTCAACGACGGGGATCGCGCCGAAGGTTAATGCTTCCAGCATGCGGCCCGACGTCCAGACGTCGCCCGCCGGCGCGAGGACATAATACGACCGCCCCTGGAGCGTATCCGAATCCGGATCCGAAACGCCGGCCGTCCACTCGACCTCGGGCCCCTCGGGATGCACTATATCCATGCCGTACATGCCGTAGGACTCGACGTCCAGTTTGAGACCGGACCGAGCCGCCAATTGCTCCATCTCCTCGATGCCTCCCGAAATGGCCCACTCCCCCAACCGGACGCGCGACGGCTTCCGGTATATCACCGAGCCCGAGTAGGATAGTAACGTGTCCTTCTCGGCTTTCAGGGACGCCTCAACGTTCTCGACCAGCTCATCGACCTCGTCGTCCGTCACAACCCCCTCGTAGCCGAAGGGGAACCAGGCCGCGTCGCCGCCCCTTGACACGTATTCGTCGAACTGTGCTTGAGAAGAGTCCCCGGCGTATATGATCTTGTGGTGGGTTACTGGCAATCGCGTCTTGCAGTCCAAGTCGGAAGCTAGCACTATGGTAAGAGGTAACTCATAAGACAGCAACGTCCTCAATAACGTGTTGTGCAACAAAACGTCGTCGCCATACGTATAGACGCACTCGCCTACGAGCAATTCCCCATCGCTCCCGTCACAAGTCTCACCGGAATTGCAGCCCCAGTAGATCACCTCATCCGCCACACCCATCGCATTCAGCTCCTTCTGCATGCCGCCGGCAACTAATGTATCCATTGTGTTGACCACCGAGACCCAAACGATGGAGTTGGCTTTCACAAGCTTATCATCCAAGTTTGATTGAAATGTGTTCCAGGCGCTCGTCGCGTAGGCGTGCGACTTGACCCGGACGCCTTTCGAGGGATCCAGGGTCCCCGTCGCTCTACCTAACCTCCCGAACAGCAGTTCCTTGTAGAAGACGTAGGCGTTGTTCACTTCCGTCGTGACTAGGATGTGCTCCTCCAAATCATAAACCTTTTCCACACTGTCGTTATTCACAGCCTCCCAGGTCGCCGTGGGGTACTCGCCCAGCTCGCCGACGTCCGATCCTAATCGGTACTCGCGTATCGAACCGCGTTTTACTTTGACGGCGGTGCCGCACAGTATTAATGCTGCGGCGGCGGCGACGGACCGTCGCAGTCTCCGCGGCCGCCTCTTCTGGATCAGCGTCGTGCGCTCATCGTCCACGACCTCGGTCTCTGTGGGCGTGGACGCGCCGTAGGTGGCGTCCGCCATTGCTGCTGCTGCGCCGCGGCGACTGGGCGTCGCAAGGGCAGCCCGTGCAGCCTCGCGAGTGCTCAGGGGCAGCGATTCGCGCCCGGTTTGGCGCCGCGACGCCAAGACCGAGCACAAGACAAAGCCATCGAAATGGCTCGCTTCTATGTTGAACTGGCACGCGGGGTCCGCGCGAGGGCTCTCTAGCCCTCCGCCAGCGCGTAGCAGGCTTCACACGGCGACCGGTCGTGAGATGCGTACCCCAGCACGCCAAACTGCGGGGGTAATCGCGGCGCGTGGTGTCTCCCCCCAACCCTGGGCAGGGGCTCCGCCTCTAAGCTCCGTCCACTCGTCCTTGCATCGTCACAGAAGAAGGTTAGCTAGGTACAACACAAGTCTTAGGCCGCCAAGTCGACGACGACGCGCCCGCGGACGCGCCCCTCCAGAATATCATCGGCCACGCGCGGCACGTCCGCCAGCGGAATTGTGGTGGTGGTCGCCTCCAACAAATCCCGGTCCAAATCCCGGTCGAGGCGCTCCCAGACGGCGTTGCGCTCCTCCGCGGGCGGGTTCACCGAGTCCACTCCTAAAAGCCGCACGCCCCGCAATATGAAGGGAAAGACCGTGGTCCGCAGGTCGCCCGACGCCGCGTTCCCACACGCCGCCACGGCGCCGCGCGCGCCGCACCTCGACAAACAGTGCGCGAGCGGGTCGCCGCCGACGCAGTCCACCGCGTAGTCGAACCGCACACGATCCAACGGTTTGGACGGCGCCTCGAGGCGCCCCACGACCCTGGACGCACCCAGCCGCATCAAATACGCCTCCTCTTCAGCAGCGCGCGACGACGACGCAATGACCGTATGGCCCCGCGCGGCGAGGAGCTGCACGGCCAAACTTCCAACACCGCCGGCCGCGCCCGTCACCAGTACGGTTGATGGCGTATCATCGAGGCCGCCGTATCTTTCCAAGTGCAGGATGCACTGCATGGCCGTAAACCCCGCCGTCCCAACGGCCGCCGCGGCGAAGTCGTCGAGCGAATCAGGTAATAGAGTCAGGTCTTGGGACGGCACTCTACAAAATTCGGCGTAGCCCCCGTCATTCGTTTGCCCGAGTTGGCCATTGACGCAGGCCACTCTTGAACCTTTGGGCGGGGCGAAGGGCGCGTCCTGTATCACGGTGCCGACGAGGTTGATGCCCGGGACTACCGGGTACTTTGCCACACCTCTGGAGCCGGTTAATACTAACCCGTCCTTGTAGTTGAGCGACGAGTAGCGCACTCTAAGTAACGCGGTGGCGTCGCCTTTGGGTGGTGCGGGCGCCGTCTCTAATTCTAGATCCTCGAGGTTTGGTGGGTCGGCCGCAGATCGCTTGACTAGCGCTCTGTAGTGGCGGCGCTGCTTCGCTGCTTTGATCGCGCTTGCGGCGCGGCGCAGGAGCATGGCTTTTGACGACGTCGAGCGCTAGAGTATCCCGCCTCGCAGTGGACTGGGACTCAAGGGCTTTTGTGTGCTACACTTTGGGTGCCGTTGCACGCGGCACAGCCGTCCTCGAGCAAGCCGCGGCACGAATGTGGACGAATGTGAAGGCACCTCAAAGGACCCAAACCACAAAATCAGCGGCGCCGCCAGCGGAGCTAGCGGCCAGTAACACACTAGCAAGCTCAGAGAGATTTAGCTCTCTAGTCTACAGAGCGCCCCGTACGGCTGGTTCCGACCGCTTTAAGGCAGCCCAATAACAGCCCCGTGACGGCAGACAACGCGTGCGGCGCGGGGCAGCCATGAAGTCGCTGGGCCACTAACTAGCATGGGCAGCCTGTTTTCGTCCGCGGAGGACGACGCGCCACCGGCGGCGTGGCGCCTCGGCGGCGAGCGTGAGGCCATCGCGCGGCGTCTCGGCCGCGAGGAGGGCGGCGCCGTGCGCTGGGCGTGCCGCGTCGACGCGGTCGAGCCCGGGTCGGAGGCCTTCGAGGCGCTGCGGTTAACTATCGACGACGAGCGCGAGCGGGCGCGCGTGCTGGCGTTCGCGAAGCCGGCGGACCAGAAGCGGGCCCTGGTCTCGCGCGTTTTAGCAAGACGGTGCGCCCGGGTCGGCCTCGTAGACGCCTACGAGGGCGTCACGCGGACGGCGCGGGGCAAGCCCTACGCCGTCGCCCGCGGCGCGCCGCCTCACGCCAATTTCAACTTCAGCGTCTCGCACGACGGCGACTACGTGCTCGTGGCGTCGGAGCCGCTCGCTCTGGTCGGGGTGGACGTCTGCGGTGGGAAACAACGCTGCGAGGCGCTTTCAGAATCGCTGGAGCCCTACCGCGCCGCCTTCTCCATTGAAGAGTGGGCCGCGTTCTTTTCGGGAGGCGTGGACCTCGACGCGTTCCTGGCGCTCTGGGCCTGCAAGGAGGCCTTCGCCAAGGCCCTGGGCCAGGGCCTGGCCTACGACCTCAGCCGCGTGGAGTTTGTTGGATACGCCCGGGGCGGGCGCGGGCCCTTCGCGAGCGCGCACGTCGTCCTCGACGGCCGCGTCGACCGCCGCTGGCGCGTCGACGTCGCGTTTTTGGATGAGTGGCACTGCGCGGCGGTCTGCCGCGGGCCGCCCGGCGACGGCCTCCTGCCGTTCTTCGCCGCGCCGGGGGCCGGTCGCGACGGGGGGCCCGCGTGGCGGCGCGTTTTGGATGAGGCGCGGCCGCCCTTTAAGCTTGTGGGTTTGTGATTTAAACAGACTATCTTACACGGCGTCGCCCAACGACGCCGACGACGACTTCTGCGAGAGGAGCGACTGCGAGTCGCTCCGCGCCAGCCGCGTCTGGCGCCGCACCAAGTCGGCGTAGACGCCGTCGCGCTGAAACAGATCGTCGTGCGTGCCCGTCTCCACGAGCAGCCCCCTTTTCATGACACATATTCTATCCGCATCGCGCACCGTCGACAGGCGGTGGGCCACGACCAGCACCGTGATCGACGACGCCTCGATAAGCGCGTCCAATGCGTCTTGCACGCAGCGCTCCGACTCCGCGTCCAGCGCCGAAGTCGCCTCGTCCAAGCATAAAACGGCCGGATCCCTGCAAAGCGCACGTGCGATGGCCACTCTTTGCTTCTGGCCGCCGCTCAGCGCCGCGCCGCGCTCGCCGACCTCCGTGTCCGCCTTCTCCGGCAGTTCGTCGATGAAGGACGCCGCGTTCGCCGCCCGCAGGCACTCGGCAACCTTCTCGTCGGAAGGAGGCTTTCGGAGGCCGTACGCGACGTTCGCGGCGATCGACCGCGCGAAGAGGACGGGCTCCTGGCCGACCATGGCGATGCGCCGGTGGAGCCACGCGTGGGACCGCGCCGTCACGGGCCTCCCGTCGAGGAGGACAGCGCCGCGAGATGGCGCGTAGAAGTTCTGGAGTAGTGCGAGCGCGCTCGACTTGCCCGAGCCCGACGGCCCGACGAGCGCGACGACCTCGCCGGGCGCGGCGCGGAACGACACGCCGCGCAGGACCTCGGTATCGGGCCGCGCGGGGTACGTGAACGCGACGTCCTCGAAGCTGACGTCGCCGCGGCACGGCGCGTCGTCGTCGTCGTCCATGTTTAGTGGCGCGGGCGGCGCGTCGGCCGCCGGTCGCCGCTCCAGGAGCTCGAAGACCTTGTCGGCTGCCCCCAACGCATCGGCAATATTACTATACATGTCCGCGAGCGTGTTGAACGAGTCCGAGAGCGATTGAGTTAAGAGCATAAACGACACAAGCCTCCCCGACCGCAGCTCGCCCTTGTCGACGACGTGGCCCCCGTAGAAGAGCAGGAGGCAGGTCATGAGGTTCGGGAGGGCCGTGTTGAACGACTGCCAGCAGGCGTACAACAACGCTTGCAACCGCCCGACGCGCGCGTACTTTTGGAGGGCTTCCCCGAAGTCGGCGCAGACGAGGGGCTCCGCGGCCATGGACCGCACCGTCAGCATACTGCTGAACGCCTCCTCGGCGACGCGCATGGCACCCGCGAGCTCGTTCTGCATTTTTTTGCTGAGGCCCCACACCAATTTACCGTAGCGCTTCGTCGCGACGCCAATCACCGGCACGGCGCAGCACGCCACCAACGAGAGGGGCGGCGACGTGTGCACCATGAAGGCGAGGGTGGTGGCGAGCTGCACGGCCGTCCGCGCGAAGACGTTGACGTTGAGTGAGACCTGGTCGCCGACCTTTGACGTGTCCGACGCTAATCTGCTGTTCAAATCACCAGTAGGCGTCACGTCGTAGTAGCCTAATTCTAAACCGACCAGGTGGCGGAAGAGCTTGTCCCTAATTCTAACGTTGATCCTCACCCCGATCCAGGAGAAGATGCCGCCGCGACACCCCGTGCAGGCCGCGCCGGCTACTGAAATGAGCATGAGTTGCAGAATGAGTTTCTTGAACTTGGCGCCGTCGCCGTGGGCGATGAGCGCATCCAACGCGTCGCCCGTCCAGAGGCTCACCGCGGACGTCGCCAATGCGGCCAGGACCGCAAAGACCATGGCGAGCCAGAAGAGGTGCGCGTCCGGCCGCGCGATGGACGCGATGGCTTTGACGGTGGAGGTCGTCTTCCGTTTGGGCTCGTCGTCTTCACCTAGGAGCGGCTCATTCAATCCAGTCCGCTTCGCCTTCGTGCGCAGCCTTCGTTCAAGGAACGCCGGACCAATTGACGCGAAGACCGCGAACGCCGCGCAGCAGCCATCAAATATTTCTGTAGAGCTGTGGCAGTCGAGCCGCGCTCCTAAAGCGCGCGACACGCCCTTGGCGATGCCGTAGGTGAGTTGTATGAGGGAAACGTGCGACAGGCGCTCGGCCCAGAGGTCCGCCGACTCGTTCGACGGCGGCGTGCGGTGCGCTATGACGATATATGTAGCGCAGCGGACGGCGGCGAGCAGGACGAGGTCTATCGTCGTCGTGCCGAGCGCGAAGAAGGCCGCCGCGCATTTGTTGTAGTCCTTCGGCGGCTCGTAAAACGCCAGGAACGCGACGACGGCGAGCTCTAGCATACATGCGGCGTAGAGCTGGACGAGGGTCTTCCTCGGCACCGTTGCCGGTGTGGGGGCCGCGCGGCACATTTGTTGTACGTTGTCGGCGTAGACCGTGGGTGAGTATACTAATACAGATGCTCAGTGCTGCTGCACTAAGCTATGTCTGAGGAGCTCGCCCGCAAGTTGAGTACTTTGTCGTCGCTGCGACCCCTCGCGCGTGTGTTGTGATCGTTTGGCCCTCTGATGCCGCGGGCTTGCGCTCATACGCACGACGAGAGACGGAGCTAGCGTCCAGTAAGACACTAGCAAGCACCATTTTTGCTGGACGGCCGCGCGAGTTGGCGAGACTCGCCGTTTCAGAGTCTGGCTTGAGCCTTTTATTACGCAGTTTCCTTTGGCGTCAATTCCAATCCCGTCTGAGTCTGTGCATGACCCAAAAATATTGCATCTCTTGAAGTCACATCGCGGCGCGCGCAAGCCTAGCAAGCGCGCCCGCTCAACTAATCTCTCCTTGAAGACGTCCCGCCATGCGCCGAATAACCCTCGCGGCCTGCACGCTCGCCGCCGCGGCCGCCGCGTCGCGCGAGGTCCACAAGCTGAGAGCGGCACAAAGCGCGTGCACGCTCAACCGGACGCGCGGCCCCGAGCCGACGAAGCGCTTCGTTGTGTTCACGAAGCAGCGGAGCGGTTCGAGATGGTTCGTCAACGCGCTGGCCCTACGGTCGAACGGTACTTTTCAAACTCACATCCCTGAAATAGAATTTAGGGGCTTCGGCCTGCGCGAGATTCGCCGCGCGAAGGGCGCCTACGCCGCCTGCCACAGCAAGAGCCCCTCCAAACGATGCTCCTGCGCCATGCGCCGCTTCTTCCACGTGCACGCGCACAGCGGACCGGGCTACCAGGACGAGCGGAACCGATCGATGGGCGCGCCCTTACGAGTCGGCGGCTGCCCCGCGAAAGACACCAAGGAATGCCACGTGGGCTACAAGTGGATGGTCGACACGGCCGACACGGGCCACCGCCGCGGCAACCACCACGCGATACCCTACAAGTACGATAAAAAACGGCCGCCCGAGTTCACCGCCGTCGCCGCGTCGATCTGCGAGATGCGCATCCCCTACATCTTCATGTGGCGGAAGAACACTCTCAGAAGAATGATCTCGAACGCCGCGACCCGTGTGGAGATCAAGTTTCGGGCGCCCCACGCCAATGGTTGATTTCCACGCAGGCCGCGAACCAGCACACCACCAAAAGAGCTAAAAGAAAACACATCGACCCCCACGCGCACGCCGCGTCCGCTCGCGACGCGCAGAAGCTCGCGCGCTACCGGCCGAAGCTGAACACGCGGAATTTGTTGACCGACCTGAACCAGGCGCAGATCGAGCAGCGGAACGTTGTTAAATTGTTCGAGTATCACTGCGGGAGCGACGCGCCGCGGCGGCAATACTGGTACGAGGACCTCATCGACGCGTCGCCGAAGAGCACGGCCGCGTGGGCGAAGGTGCTCTACCAGCTCGGCGCCTGGCCGCGCGTCGACGTCGAGCGGGTCAAGCGCCTGCGCCGGGCCGAGGCGAAGGGCGCCGGCTTGGTGACGTCCTTCCGGAACGCGCACGCCCCGCAAGTCATGATCCACGGGTCCAAGCCCATCTCGGCGACGATCGGCAACTACGACGCGGTCTACCGCGTGCTCAAGGGCACGCCGCACGAGTGGATGCTCGAGCGGCACCTCGAACCCAAGTCAAGTCGGTGAGGCGGTCGCGTCGATGCGCCCGCGCCAACCACGGCGACTCATCTGACGCCCGGATCCATCGCAGCTACGGTAAATACCTTAAACTTATTGTTACACATCCTTAAGCAACGCCTCGAGCGCATGCGTGTCCGCCCGGGCGAGCCATGTCGCCGGGGCGTCCGCCGCGATGGCGCGCACAAGCTCCGGACACGGCGCGACGGACGCGACGTGGCGTCGGACGGCGGCGGCGTCGTCATCATCCGCGCGCTCTCCCAGGCGTGCCGCCGCCCTAGCCGCGAGCTCAAGGTGGATGCGACCCGCGGCCGACGCAGCACACGACGACCGCACATCGCTGCGCCCCGTCAGGGTCGCCAGCAGCTTGAGCGCGGCGTCGGCGTCCTTGGCGTTCTCGGCCAGCGCCTCGGCGAATCCGCGGACGTCTCGACCTTCTCCTCTAAATCCGAGCAGGCCGAGCACGTCGAGGGCCGCTTCGGCGCGGCCCGAAGTCTGGGCCAACAGTGCCGCGTAGCAGCCCGCGAGTGCGCCGGCGCGCCAGTCGCTCTCGTCGCCGACGTCGTCCTCGAGTAATTGCACTGACGCGCAGAGCGCGGCGACGCATGCCTGGGCCGCCGCGGCGACGCCGTCGCCGTCGCTGCGGTCCAGCAGCGGGATCTCCGCCTCGCCTAGAGTTTGCGCGGCGTCTCGGCAACACTTGCCGAGCGCCACGGCGTCTTTCGCGAAGGCCGCCTCGGCGGCGAGGGCCGCGAGCGCGCTCAGCGTGTCGTCGTCGGCGCCCAGGTCGTCTTCGGCGCGCGTCAGCGTGTCGTCGAGGTGCGCTTCGACGGCCTCCACCGCGGCCGCCCGCTGCTCGCTGCCGGGGTCGCCGAGGCTCGCCTTGAGCTTGCCGTCGGGCAGCGCTGCCGCGAAGGCGTCGAGCGCGACGCCGGCGGCCGCGGCGTCCACGTTTTGGCTACGTAAGCTTGCGGCGATGTCGCGGGTTAGAGTGCGGTATTGGTTCGCCATTGACTTGCGATTGATTTGCGCTCGCTTCCTGCTACTACTGCCGGCTGCAAAAGCGATGACCTTGAAAACTCGCTTGCTGATGCCGCACGAATCTGCGCGACTTGCTGGCCAAAGGCTGATGCTGTGCAAGTATTAATACGTATTCTGAGTACGCGTGGGTGTACTTTACGCGCCACTGCGCGGTTGCAGAGGCAGCAGAGCTTTTGTCGCTAGTGCCTTACTGCCGCTAGATAATCCCGGAATCTGGCGTAGGACAGCTTCCTTTGGCTCCGTACGCCATTATAACGCTCGTTGTGGACGCGTCTACCGGTTTCGCAGCGTGCTGACTACGAAGAGGTTGCCTGGAGTGAACGAGAGTCTCCCAGGCCACCAGCTAAATCCTCTGTGCAGCTGCACACCCATAGCAGCTGCTCCTTCGCGAGACGCGCGAGACGCCCGCGACGCGTCACCCGGGCCTATCCCAAGCTCGTATAGCCACGCCCACCTCGCTGCGCGCGACGCCCACGACGCAGAAACGATGCCCCGCCCCCTCAAGGTCTCGAAGATGCAGCTCTGGCACGGCCTGTGGATGCTCGTGCCCGGCGCGGCCGTCTATGCGTACATGAAACCGAGCCAGAACGAGGAGGAGCTCGCCGCGCAATTACGCGCCAATTATGCTCGCAACGTCCGCGACGCGAAAGCCAAAAGAAACGACATGCAGCGCTACTTCGATGGGATGAAGTCGGGCGACTCCGCACAAGCGAAAACCATGGCCGGGACGCTCCAGGGCGGCAAGGCGAGCGTCGTCAAGCCGACCTACGACGAGCGGTTCCGGCCGCGGGAGTAAGACTGTGTCATGTTATTCGTGTGCCCCGCGCGTCGAGCCAGGACGTCCGCCCGTCGACGATTCTGGCCGCTTTGGCGCCGTTTTCGATGGCGTCGACGGCGGCCGCGACCTTGGGAGTCATGCCACCAGAGACAGTCCCATCGTTTATAAGTCGCTCCGCGTCTTTTGCCGACACTTCGGGCAGCAGCTCGCCCCGCTCGTCGAGGACGCCGGGAACGTCGGTCAGGAGCAGCAGCGCGTCGGCCTTCAGCGCGCCGGCCAAGGTACCGGCCACGGTGTCCGCGTCCAACTTGACCGTCGCAGTACCGTCGCCAATGGCCAGCGGGGCTACGACCGGCACGACTCCCATCCCCACCAACGCGCGGAGCAGCGTCGCGTCGACGTGCAACCCCTCCCGCGCGCGAAGCATACAATCGTCCCTGCCCGAGAGCCCCACCGCCCGCCCGCCAGCGCCGCCGATTGCCGCCGCTAGGTTCTTGCCGATCCTTCCCAGCACCATCTCCGCGACCTCGACGACGTCCCGCGTCGCGCCGCGCCCGAGGCGCCGCAGCATCCGCCGGATCTGCGGCCCGCCGCCGTGCACGACGACAACGGCGCTTGTCTGTTGCAGCGCGACGACGTCGCGCGCGAAGCCGGCCTCGTCGGTCATGCAGTGGCCGCCGTACTTGACGACAACGAGCTTGGTTGGCGTCGGCTGCAGCGCGATAGCGCCTGCAAGCACCGATGCATACAGCAGCCTCGTCGCACTCATGCTGGCAGCATCATCGTTGCGCCGGGCAGCCTATGCATGTCGCGAGACCCTCTTTGCACACAGTATTTGCAAGCTTCGATGCCCGGGCGTCGCGGGACAGCAGCTTCCGGAGCAAAAAACTCTCCCTGCCGAGAGAGACGTGCGGGTGCCAGACGCCATCGACCAGCTACGTATCCAAGGGCTCTCCTTACTCGTCTACGAACGACGGCCGCGAAGCGTGCGTGCGAGCCAAACCCGCGCGTTCGCATTTTCGGCCGGCCAGACTCGCTCTCCCGCGCGGAGTGGCCCAGTGACCTTAGCGCTGCCCTTTTGCCGTCGCTGCGGCGCGCCGTCATCCCGCATTAGTGCCACGCTTGGATCTCGCTTGCAACACAGCGGCCCGCCACCCAAAAAGCTGCCCCCGAAGACCAAAGCCCATGCTTGACGACTCGAAGGACGTCATCGACGCCATGCTGCACGGCAACGCCACCTGGCTCCTCACGAAGTCTCCCGAGTTCGCGGACGAGCACGACCTGGTGCAGTTCGTGTCGGAGGCTTATGGTTCGGTCACCATCGGTTTACTAGTGCTCTGCTGCGTCCCGCTGACCCTGAGCCTGGTGGGCAGCTACCTCCAGGACCACGCCGACGCCTGGCGGCCGCACTGGATGAAGGAGTCCTGGGCGAATACCTCTGATGCTTATCGATTGTTGCTGCAGGAGATATATGGGGGCCGGCGCGCACGCATAGGAAGGGTGCTCGTAGGTTCTGGAGCCATCGCCATGCAGGCCCTCGTATTGATTACCATAGGGCAGCACTTATGCGGCTTCCGATCGTCGCGAGGCGCCCACTGGGGCTACTTGCGCCTCGACCCGAAGGACGCCCCGGGGCTGTCGCTCCAGGGCAGATGCCTCGCTTTTGTGATGGTCGGCGTGCAGATCCTGCAAGGTGATACCAAGAGAGATTTCACAATACTAAGATACGCCAGCCAGCACCCGGGTGGGTTGTTGGGCAACGCCTGTGCTTTTCTCCTTGGTGTGATTGGCTGTTCGATAGGCGTCTGCAACGTGATTCTAGGTGCCGTGTTGATTGTACGGTCCGAAAGTGTACTGAAAGTACTGACGTCATTTGCCGGTCTCGCATACCTCGCAAAAATAGACAACTGGTTCTGCAACCTTTTCGATTTGGATTCAAATGATTTGAGATGGCTGGAGCCGCGGCTCGGTGCGGCGCACCCGCCCAAGGACTCGGGGTTGTTGACGCTGTTGCGAAGGGTGGTCGCCTGGGTGGTCTACCCGGGCGTCTTCGCGTACATCTTCTTCGTCTGGATCCCGCTGCGGAGCGTGCCGCGGTGGTGAGGTCTTGGGGTTTCGCGTGTAAATTAATTCGATCTGCTCGTGGGTTTTACTGATGTGCGGCGGCGTCGTCCAGTAGCGAGTCTTGCGATCAGTGCTAGTGTGTCTGTCGACACGCTAGCGGTGCGCCTGGGGCTTGGGCCTTTAGACGTGCAAATCGCTCCAATAAATCGATTGCGCATTGATTTCGAGTACTGCATCGTGTAATTTCTCCGATCGGTCACTGATTTGCGAGCAATGAGACCCCCCGTCTCGATGCTGGTGGCAGCACCACTGCAGCAGCCCTCGTCGCTGGCACTGCACTTGCAGCAGCCATCCACCCTGCTGCTGTCGATGCAGCCGTCTCTACTCAGCCCGGAGACGACGCTCGCACCGCTCAACGCCGCCAGCGAACCATGGATCAGATCGCTGGTCTGGACGGACTTTCGCGTCGCGGTGGCGCTCTTTGTCGTTGTGCCGTTCGGGCTGCTGGCCGCCAGCGTGGCGGCGCGGGTGCCGCGCACGCCCGACGATCGATCGAAATCTGCCGAGACGGTGCTGCGGCTCATGACGAGCTACTGGCAGGCGTCTTCCTTACTGCTGCTGACGGTCGCGCTGAACATTCAAGAAGCTAATCTGGGAGTGTTCTGCGGGCTGGCCGCGCAGGCCATGATCGTCGTGAGCCTCTGGTGGTGGTCGGACCTCAACGAAGAGCTCGACGACGACGATGCGCCGCTGAGCCGTGCGTTCCGGGCCTGGCGCCTGCCCACGAGCGTCGCGGCCGCCGCCGGCGTCGTCGTGCAGCTGCCGTTCCAGGGGTGCGTCGGCGCGGAGTCGCTGGCGGGCGACGCCTTCTGCGCGCCGTGGCTCGAGCCTCCAAAGTTCGCCGCGGGCCTCGTCGGTCTCGACGCGTCGCCGGCGCTCGGCTCTGTTGCGAATATAGGTTGTCTGTTGTATTTTGCCGTGCTTTCGTACTACGCGACGGTCTTGCTCCCGACGGTCGGCCGGAGCGGCCGCGCGGCGCGTCCGACGCTGATGAATTTCACGCCGATCGGCGCGTGGCGCGCGCTGGGGTTCATCTCCGACGACGCGATCGCGCCCACGGCGCCGCCGGCCGTAGGCTCCGCAGAGCTCGCGGCGCCGCTCGACCGCTTCCGCTCGCTGATGGGAACGTTGTACGGCATAGCTGGCATTGCGCACGCCGCCGACTGCCTCATAGGTACGTCGGCTCTCTTGACCGCGGCCGGCGCGCCGCCGTTCCAAGAACTACCGCTACCGGGACAAGCGCTCGCGGGCCTGTGGTGTCTGGCGGGCCCGCTTGCATATCTGACGAGCCGCAGTGGCGGCCGCGTTGCCGATGCGGGCCTCGTTGCGTACGGGCTCGTCGAAGTGCTCGGCGCCGCGCTCATCAGTGCCAACGTCGACGCCGCGGAGCTCGCCGCGCTGCCCAACGCGCTCGCCGTGCAGGGCGTCGTCGCCGCTTCTTGGATTTATAGCTCGATGCAGACGGATAAGAGTTGACACAGAGTAAGACACAGACTACTTAGAAGCTCACCATCTCCTTCGGCGGCCGCGACGGGTCGCGGCGCCTAGCTCTTTTGGAGAAGACGCCGCTCCCGTTCTTGCCCCGGATCTTCTTGCCGTTGCCGCGGCGGCCTAATAGAAGTTTCGCCGTGTGCGTTTGTTGCTTCGTGGCGAGGGCGAGCTGGCACGCGGCCTGCTCCTCGAGCGTGGCCACCTCTGTCACAGGTGCAGGTGCCGGTTGTTCATCAGCATCCATCGCCTCGGAAGCGTCGGGCTCGCGCGCGTGCTTGACGATGGCGTCGTAGTAGGCCCGGCCCAGGTCGACCTCACCGGCGCCGCCGAGCGCCCCCTTGATGTACGAGAGCGTCTTCGTGTTGCCCCGGCCCTTCTTCTTGTCCGCCAATCGTTTCGCGGCGGCCTCGATGTTCTTGGTCCGCACCTTCTCGCCGATGGTCTGGCGCATGTAGGACCGGTGCTTCTTTTTGACCTTGGACCGGATGGACTTGGCCATCGTCTACGGCGTTTTGCGGCGGTGAGACTGCAGGGGTGCTGGCGTCGAGCTGTTACAGCGCTTGCTGCAGTGCGATTGGAGGGTGTCGCGCGCGTTTACAGCGTTGCAGCAGAGAGAGCTGCAGTGCTGTCGCGTAATATGTGCTCAATCCGAGAGCGCAGCCAGCAAATTGCTCGCAGCGTATGTCAGATGCGTTGAATCGGCCTCTTGCTGTCACAGCACGGGCACACGATGGACAAGAGTCTCGGCCGTACGCGTCTCTCATCGCCCGCTAGTGTCTTTACAGACGCTAGCGAAGGTGAGCCGTATAGCGGCGAGACACCTCTCACGCGACGCATACCGCGCGCCAGACCCATCACAAGGAAAATGTTAAAATTTCGACGCGAAGCGAGGCCGTCGACGGCCGGGGATATCGAGGCCGCCGGGCAGCCCCGGGAACTAAGGGGCAGCCCCAGGACAAGATGGCGGTCCAGGGCTTCAAGGGCAGCCGCGCTATTGAGAGCGAGGAGGCCGAGTACAAGGGCTTGGTCCGAGGCCTGCTCCTAGGCTGCGCCCTCCCGTCGGTGATGCTCTGCGTCTTCCTCTGGAACACGGGCGTCTCCACAAATATCGTAAGCAAAGACGTGGGCGCGCCCATCGAGGTCATGGAGCGCATGAAGGCCATCGAGGGCCTCGAGCCGAAGGCCGCGCGGAAAGTTTTCTTCAGAGGGGCCAATAGAACTGTGGTGCGGGACCCGACGAACCCCTTCAACCGGGGCAAGGTCGACAACTCGCTGGCGCAGCAACGGTTAAGAGCTTTTCTCAACAAGACTAAGGCAAAAAGCGCGCCCATGCCATGGGACATTCGGGAGGCGAGGAACGAGAAGCGCATGTCGAAGACGACGCCGTCCAAGAAGTCGTCAAAGGCTCCGTTGCCTCCGCATGTCCCTCCTCATGTGCAAGCGGCCCTGTCGGCGGCTCGCGGCAAGCGCGTTTTTGATGCCTCAACACAGGGCAAGGGCTTCGCTCCTGGCTCTGTGAGAACGCCGACGGCCGGCACGAAATTGTTGACCATGTCGCGCTTCCAGAAGCTCATAGATCAAAAGTGTGCCGTGCTCGTGGGGTTTTACAACAGCAAGGACGCGGAGATGAGTCGGGAATTCAGTCTCGTGTGGGACATGGTGGTGCGTAGTTCGGCCCTGAAATACACGGGTGCCTTTGTGGATGTCGCTACTTCCGGTGGTGGCGAGATCGCGGCCAACGCGTCGGTCATCAAGGTCGAGGGGTCTACGGTCAAGAAACCTATAGGCACGCCGTCGGTGATCGCCTACTTCGTGCAGGGCGCTTATGCGGAACCCTACGCGAAAGTTGTTTTGCGGGATATGAAGGAGGCCGGTCCCGTGTCTGGTCGCGCGGGCAAAGATTCGAAGTCCGGTGTGGGCAGGGACGCGCTCGCCGCCTTACGTATCAGACACGAGGCCATCGCCGCGCTGACGAAGAAGCTGTCCGGGGAGGTGGAACGGAGGGGTTTGGCGCTCGATGCGAAGGGCTGCTACTTGAAACAGAAGTCGATGGAGGAATATGATAAAGCTGAGAAAGCTAGGGCCAAGGAGAAGGAGAAGAAGAAGGTGCGCTCGCGGTGTCTTCGACGCGCGCCGATCGCGGCGATGGCGTGGTGGTCTTCGTCGCATCGACGGCGCCTCGCGCCGCCCGCGCGCCGTCACGCGCGCGCCGCACGCAGGAGGAGAAGGCCGTCAAGAAGGAGGAGAAGAAAGATGATAAGGCCAAGAAGGACTCCAAGGACTCCTCCAAGAAAGACGACAAGAAGGACTCCTCCAAGGATGCCAAGAAGGACGACAAGGGCAAGAAGGACGACAAGAAGAGTGACAAGAAGGTCAACAGCGAGAAGGACGCCAAGGCCAAGGTCCTCACGGGCGCCGTCGAGCCCTGATCTTTTAGACCGTAGCATATCCGGTCCCGAGTAACTTCGCACGTAGTAGTCCCCACGGCGCGGCGGCGGCGCCTGCTGCGAGCGACGCGCGGCGCCGCGGTCGCGGGTTTGGCCGGCCGCGACGGGGAGACGTCTCCCCACCCCACGAACCGTCCCCTCCACAATTCGCCGCGCGGGCCGCCCGGCGCTCCGACGCCAGAGCTCTGGTCTGGCTCGTGTGGCGCTGTCTTCGCATCGCGATCCATTATAGAGCAGCCCCGCGCCGCGACGCGTTCCCGGCAGCTTCTTCGCATTAATTTGTACTGATCGAACGCCCCCGGGCAGCCGTTCGCGCCGCGCCGCGCGCCCGTGCTCCCATAGCTTGCAACCGCACCAGCAAGCATCTCACGCCGCGCTACCGCCGTGAGCGCTCGACCGCACCCGTACCATCGCGCCGCTGTGAGCCCTCGACCGCACGACAAATATGGGCGCCGGCGCCTCGCACGGCTACAACTCGATCGAGGAGGCGCTCGCCGACGGCGTCTCGCACGCGGACCTGTTGGCGAACGGCGTCAGTCAGGCGGATATTGATTTTCTCACTTGGAACGACGGCGACCAGCGGTCCTATAGGACCGCGAAGCCCTGCCGCGGGTCGCGCGACGACGTCGGCGAGAGCAAGGAGGAGTGCAAGAGCTGAGCTTGTCTGGGCGGCGCGGCGGCCGCGGCAACCCGCGGCCGCATCGCGCGCCCGACGCTCGCCCGCTCGACTTCACTTCGTAGGATTAAACAACACAGCTAGTTACTATATGACCCCGGGCCAAGTCCCGGGCCGTCGTCATCGAGCGTGTGGCGCGCTTTGTGCTTTCGGGCCGCCGCCGCCGCGTCGTCCCACATCCACGCCGCCGTCGTCAGCGCGTCGCCCTGGAACTCCGCCTGGCTGATGTCGTATTTGACGTCGCTCGGTGCGAAGACGTCGTAGGCCTCGACCAGCGCCGCGAAGGCCGCGCCCGCGCGCCCGTCGGCGCAGACGTCGGGATGCACGAGCCTTGACGCCGAGAGGAACGCGTCCCGCGCGTCCCGGCCCGTCGCGTTTTTGGCTATGCCGAGGACCGATGATGGCGTCGAAGCCGCCAGGATGCCCTCGATGGCGTCCTCTGCGGTCGCCCTGGTGCTGAACGCCCGCGTGGCGACCGGCGGCCGCGCCCTTGAAGAGGCAACGACAAGGGGCGGCTCCGCGGCCCAGCGCGACGCGCCCGTTTGTTCGTCAATCAAAAATTCCGCACCGGTCTCCGCATCAACAAGAGGTCGGTCCCCCGCGCCCGCAGCGCGCCGCAGCGCCACGCCAATTAACGTGGCGCCCTCGGCGCGGTCGACTAACACGTGCGCGAAGTCGCCCGGTGTCAACTCAGTCCCGTCCGGTAACGACGAAGGAAAGACGTGCACGCGGTTGCCGTCGTCTCGACCAGACACCAAATCTGCACCTCGGTCCCGCCGCGGCGCGCCCTCGACGAGGATCAAATGGATCTTCCCGACGCGCTCCCTACTTCGCGCCTCGCGGCCCGTCCGAAACGCGTCGATGAGCTCCTGGAGGCGCCTCTTCTTCACATCATTAGGTACGTCGTCGTCCAGACGCCGCGCCGCCGGCGTCCGCTCGCGCGAGGAATAAGCGAACAGAAAGGCCATATCATAACCTACATCTTGGATAAGCTTCAAGGTTCGCAAGTGGTCCTCATGAGTCTCCCCGCAGAACCCCGCGATGAAGTCCGAGGATAAAGCCACGTCCGGGATCACAGCCCTAGCGCGTTGTATGAGCGAGCGGTAGGCCTTACAAGTGTAGCCGCGCCGCATCGTCCGCAACATTTGATCCGAACCGCTCTGAGCCGGCATGTGGATCTGCTTCGCTATATTAGAAACGCGCGCGATGGTCTCGAGGACGTCGTCCGGGAAGTCCTTGGGATGAGGGCTCGTGAACCGTATGCGCGCGTCCGGCGCCGCCGCGGCGCACCGTTCCAGCAGCTCGGCGAAGCGCACGCCTGTTTGTGAGTCTTTCTTATCGCTCCTGACGAAGGGCACAAAACCTGTTGAATATTCCCGTGTTTGTTGTTTGAGTGACTCCGTGCTCGCGTCGTGGTACGAATTCACGTTCTGTCCGAGTAGTGTTATTTCCCGCACTCCACCGTTGTATAGAGCTGACACTTCATCAATGATGGTGTGGACGCTTCGACTCCGTTCTCTTCCGCGGACATAAGGTACGATGCAATAGCTACAAGCGTTGTCGCAGCCTCTTTGTATGGATACGAACGCGCCATGTGCCGTATGCTCTACTCTCGTAGGTAGTACATCAGCATAGTTCTCACTGCGATCCAATGTCACGTCGATGGACTGTTCATGACTGCGGAGCATCGCCGGCAACCGTCGATACGCGTCCGGGCCCACCACAAGATCCGCCAAACCATCTCTGAACAAGTCGTCCTTGACCCGCTCCGCCATGCAGCCTAAGACGGCGACGGTCTGGCCCTCCTTTCCATTTCTACCGCGAAGATCCCTAAGCCGCGTCCAGACCTTCTGCTCGGCCTTGTCGCGGATGGCGCAGGTGTTTAATAGTACAATATCGGCGGTGGCCGCGGAGTCCGCTTCGCGCAGGCCGTCTTCATATAACAGTGTGCGCACGACCTCGGAGTCGGAGACGTTCATCTGGCAGCCGCGCGTCTCGACGAAGAAGGACCGCGCGTCTTCTGGTGTTGTCGGTGGCGGCGGCTTCGGGGCGGCGTCGCGCGCTAGTGTTTCTCGTAGCGCGGCGAGGCGCGGCTTGGTGCTCGTCGAGAGCGTGCGTGACGCGCGGCGGAGGAGTTGTCGCATTTTCCTTTCGTTCGTTCGTTTGCTGCGCGCAGCGATGCGATCTCTCCCAGTAGCTGTGTTGACAGTGATGCTGTGTCCTGGCTGGCTCCAGGTGGAGGTAGAGGCCTGTAGCGATGCGCAAACGTTGGTTCACGCTGCCGCGGCGTTGCAGGCAGTCTACACAAGAGTGCCGCGTAGTCGAGGATGCAAGCACGACCTCAACCTGAGTGAGCACAGCCGAGAGGCTTGCTAGTGTCTTACACCGCTAGCACGCTAGCGCAGGCTACGGAATGACTACCAGATGGTTACTCGGCCAGATAAATCGAGGCTGCACGCATGGGTGGGCGGTTGCTTGCTTGGGGTGGTGACTTGAGCGCCTTGGACTCGCCGCGTAATCCGGCGGTCGTTGGGGCGCCCGTTGATTATGTACACTGTGATTTTCGCGCCTCAACGCGTCGCCGGCGTGCTGCGGCGCCGCGGCGGAGTCGTTGACGTCGTACGGCGGCCGAGCAGAAATGACAATAGCAGTAACGCCGGCGCCGTCTGAGTCTCGGCCTCCGAGCCAGGGCTTGACGGTACCGGCGAAGAGGGAATCGGACCGACTGGACCGAGAGGCGTGTTTGCGTGCGGTATGATGAGAGTTACACTCCGCTGGGCCCGCGGCGAATGCTTTTCATAGTATGAATTCATTTGTTCAACTCTGTCCAGAGTCTCCTGCTCGTGTTCGCTTTACCGCTCGTTTGTGTCAACTTCAGGCTTACAACGACGCGACCCAGCGCTTTCTAGCCTCGTATACTTGCCACGCGCAGCGTAAACAGTCGCGACAAAAACGCTCTGCAGTGGCCAGGCAAGTGAAATGGAACTCCCGATCACTAGAAAGAGACAGTTCCTAAAGTTACGAAGAAAACAGCCGCGCAAACGCCAACAACGCGACGACGAAAAGCAAGCACCACACCGCGAGCACCGCCGCGGGGTTCCTACACCGAGGCTTCCCCACGCCCGCGTCGAGCAGCCGCGTGAAGAGCCGCCGCAAAATGAGCGAGCCCGTTGCCCGTCCGAGCCCCGGCGCCCACAAAAACGAGAACCTGTGTGGAAATCAACCAGAGTCGGGTGCACCCGACAATTCTTCACTAAGTCATTCTCGGCGATGACGCGGCCGTCCTGGCTCGGTCGAGCGGTGAGGACCGGCATCGCCACGCCATCGAGCAGGCGTCGCGTCGATGGCGTGCCGGGCGACGGACGACGCCGCGACGGCGGCCACCGACGGCACGGGATAGGGGTCCCAAGACACACCAACAACGTCGGTGCGACGCCGGGAGTCCCCCGACCGCGCGCCACCGACGCACGACGCGCGCCACCGCCCTTCTCGACCTTTCACCAGTACTCTCGGAACCCGGCCCCGACGCGGTCCGCATCGGCTCAAAATCGAAAAAGAAACCACCCCCGGCCATCATTCCTGGAATCGAGTCCCGTCGACGTCATGACGACGGCGTGGGGGCCGAGAACGCGCCGAAAAGTTTGATTTCCACGCAGGAACGAGAACAGCCACGGCTCTTCGGCGCCACCCTTCATTAAGATCGAGACGATAGAGTTCGACGCCCGGGACGGCGCCTTTGACGCGCAGACCTTCAAATCCCTCACAAAAACATCTAACGCCGTCGCCCCGTCGAGCTCGCGCAGGCAGTGCGGCGTGAAGCTCAGGCACCAGCCGTACTGGCACCTCGTTCGATCCAAGGGGTGCAGGTTGTACAGGAACGTGGCCTTGTGGTTCCTTTTTGAAAGTAATTTCTGCGTTCGACACGCGGGGTCGTGGACCGCCAAGACGGTCGAGCCCTCTTTTCTGTGACAAGCGTGGACCACCTCCAAACTAAGGGAAGAGCAGGTCTCCTCAACGACCTTCACTCTCGACGCTAAATTACGATAGATGGTGTCGTATCCAGACGCGGTCACCGACGCGACGTTCGCCAGAGCTCTGACCAAAGCGGCGCGCGTCGGTCGAGCGCCGACCCGTAAAGCACCCCGCAACGCTCGTAAGGAACCCTTCGTCCCCACAACCGTTGACAGACCCTTGTCCGCGCCTAGGTGTTTGTGCGCATCCAACGTCATCAACACTGGAGTATGCGTCGTGGTCCGATCGAGCAAGCGGTACGCGGGCTGATGCACCAACACGGAAAACGCGAGGCAGCAGTCGTTGATGAGCGCGACGGCAACATCACCATTCTTGACGCGCGTCGCATTCACCGCTTCCAGCAGATCCAGGACGCGCGGCACGTCGTCGGAGATGCCATCAGTGTAAGACAAAGACTGCGCGTAGACGGCGATCACATCTGGTGCATGTAGTTCTCGTGCGAGTTTTGATAAATCAATGGCACCATCAACCTCCAATCGCGTCAAAGCGAAGCCGAAGCGTCTCTCAGCTCTTTCCACAGCTAGATGGGGGTTTCCCGTGAGGACGCGAGGGCGGCCGAAGCCCTCTGGTAAACTCCGTAGTACCGTCTCGAAGGCGACGTTTATCGAGCGCGTACCTCCTCCCGTCGACACGGCCTCGACATCTTTCTGCAAGCCGCCGAGGAAGTGGCGCTGGAACGCGACAAGGTCGCCCTCGAAGTCTTTTCTAGATTTTGTGCTAGCGAGTTGTCGCCGCGCCCAGGTCAACGGGTCTTTGACGGGAGGGAGTTTTCGGGAAGCTTGTACCGTCGTAGGATCCCAACATGGCTCTGGGTCTTCATACGGTTCTTGTGACGCTAACACTGCTAACGCGTCTCGCCCCAAGCACGCCGTGCAGAAATCCAAGAATAAGGGCGCGCTCGCGCCGGAGCCCCCTTCGTTCGGCGACAGGTAGGCCGCCTGCCACCGCAGCGCCACGTCCATGTGCGCGTCTCGCAGCGTCAAGTCTCGGTACAGCGAATAGCCGCACGTGAAGACGCCGTCGTCTATTGATAAAGAACTCACATTGCATGGGAAGCGGACGTGGCATAGAGGTTTGGTTAGGAGTTGTCGCAATTCAGAGTCGGTGCAGCGCACGTGGACCGGCACGCCTCGCCTCGATGCTTCTTCACATAACGACAGATCTGATAAGGTGGCGACGACGCAGGCCGCTCCATCTAAATCACTACAGACCGTCATGCCCAGCCTCGATGCGACGCCTTTGAGCGTCTCGTCGCTCGCGTCGCCGACGATCCTTCTAGAACCAGTCCTCAACCGGTACGCGTAGAGACACAACGATAAACTCTCCCGCCCGTCGGTGGCGTAGCAGGCGTACGGGAAGCCGAACAGCTGCTTCGGGAAGTCGAGTAGTGTTCCGATGACCAACGCGTCCGTCGCCGAGGGATGCAGCGGGTTCCTATTCCTCAACTCGGCATCCAAGGCCACGGCCTCGACGAAGGCCCTAGCTCGTTGCAAATCAGACGCATCTAGTGAACGCAGTTTGTTTAAGTACTCGTCGACGACAAGCGGGCCATTTAATGCGTGGAAAGCTTTGCTAACTGCATAGACGTTCCCCGACTCCGTCGTCGGCGTCGTTTTTCTCCCGGCCTTGGCTGCTGCCGCGAAGAAGTCCCGGAGCTGTTCTGGAGTTAGGCCCGATCTAGTGAAGGGGTTTATGGCGTCGACCGACGATGTGTCTAGTAATGAAGCCGCTGGGAGTTCGCCGAGGTACTTCTTTGCGGCGTTGACAATAGAGTCCTGGACCGCGGTGCCTGCGCCCTCTTTGACGTCCATTTTTGATCTGTGCGGCTGGCTGACGAGCTGGCAGCGAGGCGGCTGTCTGCTTGGTCTGCGTCTACGTGAGGGCGCAGCTCTTCAGAGGTCGTTCTTGATGAGCGGCTGCGTCGACTGCTGTGCTGCAGACACGCGTGGTGCACGCTTGTGGCAACTGCGGCGCTTTGCGACTTGTGCCACGATTACTAGCGGCATGTAAGACACTAGCAATACCAAGCAAAAAGCCACACCCTCGAACGCGACCCGCATACCGCCTCGCGCCAGACCAAAATGATCCTCACAAATTGCGCCGCCTGCGCCGCCCCACTGGCCCACAACGCGCCGCGATGTGTTAGATGTAAGGTTAGATACTGCAATCGGACTTGCCAAATGGACCACTGGCGCCGCGGCCACAAGCAGATTTGTAAGGAAATACACCGCGGCGGCAACGCGGAAAAATACCACGCCGACAAAAAATACAAGGAGGCCGTCGCGGTCGCGGTCAAGAAATGCGCGGCCGACACGAAGGGCCATACGTGCTACATCTGCACGGAGGCCGTCCATTGGAAGACGAAGGAGGGCCTCGTGCGAATGTGCGCGTGCCGTGGGACGTCGGGTTTTGCGCACGTCTCGTGCCTGGCGGAGCAGGCGAAGATTTTGTGTGACGAGGCCGAGAAGAATAATCTGGGCCTCAAGGCGATAAATAAGAAGCTTGAGCGCTGGTACGCGTGTGGCCTGTGCGAGCAATACTACCATGGGGTCGTGTACTGCGCGCTCGGATGGGCGTGCTGGAAGACGTACGTGGGTCGGCCGGAGACGGACACTGCTCGACGCATGGCGATAAGTGTCCTTGCGCTCGGTTTATTCGACGCAAGACAATACAAGGACGCATTATCTGTGCAGGAGGCCGAGTTGTCTATGCTGCGGCGCATTGGCGCAGCAGAAGAGAACATTCTCGTCGCGCAGGGCAATCTTGCAAACACGTATCAAAATATTGGAAGGAATGAGGATGCCCTACGCATGCGAAAGATCGTATATTCAAGAACTTTGAGGCTCCATGGCGAAGAGTATGTAGGAACCCTCGTAGCAGCTAACAACTGCGCGGCGGTCCTTGCTGAGCTAAAGCGCTTCCCAGAAGCCAAGGCACTGCTGCGCAAAGTGATACCCGTCGCGCAGCGCGTTTTTGGGCAGTCGCATGAAGGCACGTTCAAGATGAGGTGGATTTACGCGCGGGCGCTCTGCGAGGACGCCGGTGCCACGCTCGACGATCTCAACGAGGCAGTGACGACGCTTGAGGACATAGAAAGAACCGCGCGGCGCGTACTTGGTGGCGCGCACCCAACCACAATGGGGATTGAGCGATCCCTACAAAACTCGCGAGCGGAGCTCCGAGATGCGATGGCGTCTAGGGAGATTTAAAATTAACAAGAAATCACGTTACGTAGGGGTATAGGCACAGTCGCGCTGCTTCGGTCGCGCGTTAAGGTACACAGAGAGATCAGGCGCACGCGGCGCGCACCGACGCCGCGACGTCCGACGATGGCTCCGCCTCACAGATTCCCGCGAGGATCTTGAGGTGGTCCATGACGTGCTCGTCGTTGATGCCGCGCGGGCACGAGAGGCGCACGGCGTCCACCGCCGCCTTGTAGCAGTCCCACGTCTCGTCGGTGAACGACGCCACGTCGTCGGTGACGACGCTCGGGTGAGAGATGGCGTCGAAGCCACGTCCACGGTAAACGACGTCCACGTCCACGACGACGCCGTGAGCGTGCGCGATGGCGTCGAAGCGCACCGACGTCTCCGTGCGGAAGGCCAGTTCGGCGAGGTACGCCTCGCGCGCGCCGGGCAGGCCGGCCTTGGCCTTGGAGCGGTAGTAGGACAGCGTCGCCGCGCGCGCGTCGACGCCCGTGCGGACCTGGGCCTTGGCGTCGCCGCGAAGGTAGCCGTGCTTGTCCTTCGCATCTCCTTCAAAAGCACCGGCGAAGTCGCCCGCGAAGCTCGTGTCGCCGAAGATCTGGACGTGGCTCTCCTTCGTCTCCTTGACGACCTTGGCCATCTGGCGCTGCAGCGACTCGCGCGGGAAGGCGCTATCGGCGTCCTCGAGCCAGGAGACCGAGTAGAGGTCGCCGAGACAAGTATGTAAGTTCGTTCCATTCACCACGGCGTCCTCGTCGCAGTACGTGCCAAACGAGGACTCCTCCTCGTTCGCCGCGGTGGTGGCGTAGACCTTCGTGTCCTCTGCGAGGATGCCCTTGAACATCGAGCCCGACTCACAAGCCTCGAGGTAGAAGACGAGGCGATTGTACATGTCCTTCTCCTTCATCTCCACCAAAGCCGCATTCAGATCTTTCGCATAGACCGGTTCTTGATCTTCGGGCATCGCGATGAGACCCGGCGCGCCGTGGTCCGCGTAGTAGATGAAGACGTTGTCGTGCTTCGAGGACCGGAGGACCGGGCCCTTCGCGGTCTTTTTGTCTCCAGTCAGCACGGCCAAGAACTTTGCGGCCGACACGTCCTTGCCCGTGTACGACGCCTTGCAGCCATGATAAACGTCCGTCCCATCAGGTTTGTTGAAGACCTTGCCGGGGATCGGGTTCTCCGTGCTGTGGGCGATGTCGTCGTACATAAATAAGATGATCTGCTTTTCCGGAATACCTTTCTTCTTGGCGATCTGGTAGGCGTGGCAGGCGTCGGCCTGGTGGCGGTAGTTGCCGTAGCCGTTGGACCTGCGGCGGCGGCGTTGGGCTGGCGTTGACATTGCGGTGCGGACGCGGCGCGGATACCCGGCGACTATTACCGCCCAGTGGTGCTCCCACGGGCCCTCCGGAAGCACGAAGGCTGACGCGGAGGCTAGGAGGCTAACGAAAGAGGCTGTGTACATGATTTTGTTCCGGTGCTTTGTGCTGTTAACGCAGGGCGTATGAATGGCAGCTCTTGTGTGCGGCGTTCTAAGAGGCACTGGGCGAGCCTTGGAACGTGTTGCGAGTCACTGGTAGGGGCTATGCGCAGCGTTTTGGCTGATGTGAAGTTGACAAAAATGCTTGCTAGTGTCTTTCAGACGCTAGCTTCGCTTGGCTTTGGTAGTTTCTCACGCAGGCTACTCGCACACAGCCTCCCTCAACGTTGCGCTTGCGCGAAGGACACTCCAGCCTCGCGCGCCGCCACTCCCTGCTCTTTTTTGCTGCTCAAAGCGGCAAAACACAGCGTAACGCCAGCGCGCCCAAAAGCTCCCTGTCTATTGCGCCGGCGGGGATAACTCCAGCTCGACGTCCTCAAAAGCGCATCCAACATGCCTCCGAAGAAGCCCGCCGCCAAAAGCCCGGCCAAGCCGAGGGCCAAAAGCCCGGCCCGCGCCGCCAAGAAACCGGCCGCCAAGAGCCCCGCGAAGCCCGCAGCCAAGTCGCCGGCGAAGCCGCGCGCGAAGAGCCCGGCGAAGCCGCGGGCCAAGTCGCCGGCACCCAAGCCGAGGATCAATAATACGGCAGACGACCACCATGCCCGCGCCATGGCGGACGACCTCGCGGCGATCCGCGCCGCCTACGCCAAGGAGCAGGGCCTGCCGCCGCCCAAGTCGTATCAGATCTGGACGGTGCTCAACGTGTTGGCCTGGATTGGGTGGTCTGCAGTGTTAGCGTCGGCGGCCTACAACGAGAAGCTCGTCCTGATTCTGGAGCTCATGTGCTGCGCGGAAGTCTTGAGGATGATAAAAGGTGAACTAAAAGGCAACGTCAAGATGGGTTTGGTGTTGCACGCCACGCGCCTGATTGTGTACCACCAAGTATTACCCTTCGCCTACACGCGTGTGATTCTGCAGGCCTGGTCCGCGACGGAGCTGGCCCGGTACCCGTACTACGTCGTTCCAAACGCCTATACGTTGGCTATGCGGAGCTTCGTGCCGCTGATCACGTTCCCGCTCGGCGTCGCGGCGGAGACGATGGGCCTGTGGGGGCGGCTGCAGGCCGCGGACTCGCTGCTCGTCAAAGGGGTGTGTGCTTTGCCGCTCGTGAACGTCGTGCTCGCGCCGATCGGCTACCGGTCGCTCCTGAAGAAGGCCGTGCGCGCGTGGGACGGGCTCACGAAGGAGGACTGAGGTTGTTGGTGGCTTTGGGAGTAAGGCGAAGTATGGAGTAGACACGTGTAGTTCCTGGCCCGCGGCGCCGGCCTCGTTATCTCTGGCGTGCACGGTGCTTGGAGCCGGCCGGTCGGCGGCCGGGCGAGTTCCAGGTCGACGGCGTTCGCGCCAAATGCCCTAGTTCCAATCTAAGTATGTCTTTAGATGACAAAAATAAAGGCTCAGGCTAGTTACGTCGCGGGGTCCCCGCCCCTCCCGCTATAAAAGGCTAGTGTCTTACAAGCCGCTAGTAATCCGACTTTTTTGCGGCGAGGCTCCGAGCTGCTTACTCGGCCTACAGATTGTAATTGATTTATTAGACTTGGCACGTTATCACGCGCTTGCTACCGTTTCTCGTCGCACGAACGCAAAGAGCTCCTAACAAAACCGCAGAGGAGAAGCCATCGGTGGCTGCGGCCGAGCTCTAAGCAAAGCCATGGACCGCCCGCGCGACAGCCAGTGGACCGCGATCGGCACCGCCGCCGCCGCCGCCGCGGCCGCCGCGGCGATCCATCTGGGGGTAAGGATCCACCGCGAGGCGCGGAATGACCAGGAGCTCGTCGAAGAGGCGCTGCGCGAGGCGTCCGAGGCCGTGAGCCGCGAAACTTCCAGAAGACGCAAGTCGCAGCAGGAGCCGCGCAGTCCAAGAGCACCGCAGCTGGGATTATTAGGTGTGCACAAGGTCGTCGGTGCCGCCTGGACCGGCGGCCGGTTATTAGTGATTGGATCGCTCATCAACGAAGCCTTACATCGGGGGACACCTTTAAAGAGAGGCGCCATCCGCACGTCCCTCGGGCACCTGTTGGAGACGGTCGCGAAGAGCTGCCAGATCGCGGGAAGCACGGCGATTGTCGTCAGTGCTACCATCTCGTTCTCGCTGACGAGACGCGTGGCCGCGCGGTTACTGCGAAGGCGCCGCCAAGCGCGGACGCCCTCGACGTCGACGCTCGAGGGTTTATTTGCGGGCGCCTTCGAGGAGCTGGGCCAGGATTTACATGAGTGGGGCAACAATCAACCGTTAAATGACTTCAAGACCCACAGCGAGGGCCACGTGGGCTGGTTGCTGCGCGAGCCCGAGGCGCCGTTGCTCGTCGACCAGACGGCGCAGTTCCACGCGAAGTTGCGAGAACTTGGGAGGAGGAAGGACGGCGTCGTGACGCGGAAGTTGTTGATAGACGTTTTTGGCCTGCCGCCACAACAGGGCGGCTGGGACGGCGTCTCCGTGTTGTTGATTCCTGGATTGTGGACGAAGTGGTACCCGTTGTACTGGGTCCACCTCCGGCAGGCTCGACGCCGTGTGGAAATCAACCAGTGAGTTAGGTTATCACATGGACAACGTCGCGTCGATGGCGTGGGGCGCCTGAAATTTGATTTCCGCACAGGCCCTGGACCATTGTGCGATCGACTACCACTTCTCGCGATGCGACTCGGACGCGACAAGTGCAGAAAACTCGCTAGTTGTCAAGAAAGAGATCGAACAGTTACTATCTTCGTCGTCGCGAAGCGTTTTAATATATGCCCACTCGAAGGGCGCTTTGGATGCTGCCAGTGTTGTCCACGACTTGGAACCACAGCAAAAAGCGAGGCTGTGCGGCTTCGTGGCATGCCAGGGGCCCTTCGGCGGCGCGATCACGGCCCACGACGCGATCCGGACGAGAGTACTATCATCGATCCTGGATACGTTGTTCGGTAGATTACTAAGAGGCGCTGGATTGGGCGCCGTCGCCGACCTCACCTACGACGCTAGGAAAGAATACTACAAGAAGCACGCCACGAGGTGGTGGGTGCACCCCGCGCTTCGGGGAGATACTGGCAATGATTGGGTGCCCACCGTCTGCTTATGCGCCGCCGCAACCCATGAACCGGCAGCATTACTCTCGCCAGTAGTAGAATACTACCGGTACCGCTATGGTAGAGATAGAGGCGGCGCCGTCGACGGGTTATGCGCCAGGACGGACACGGCCTTACCGGGCGCGACCTGCGTTTTCCTCAGTGACATGGACCATTTTGGGCCGGCCTGGACGGGCTTCCCGGCGATGGACCGCTACGACAGCGTCGACGTCTTCTTCGTGCTGTCGGCGTTGGCCTTCCATCGGACGGCGACGGCGAATCGACAGGCGCGCAAGCTCCGGATGCGTCCTCCACGTAAACAGCGGATCGAGGACGCGGACGACCTCGCGTTCGAGGCCGACGTCTCGGAGGGGTTCGCGACCGAACTCGAAGATGAAGAACCTTCTGGTTTGGCGCGGATCGCGTCGTGGGGGTTCTTCGCTGGCTAGTCGTTGTGTGTAAAAGGAATCTATCGTGACTTCCAATGATGGAGCGGGTTTTTCAGCTTAGCGCTTGCCGCTTTTGCTCGCGGACAAGGAAGGACTGACTCGCGCGCGGCCAAAAAGCGCCGCCAGACGCAGACAGGCCGGCGCGCGGCCTGACATCTGAGGAGGAGAGCGCTCTCCAATTCATTTGAAATTAGATCTGGGATCTCGCGCGCTCTCGCGCGCTCTCGCGCGCACCCGCGGCCGCAGTTCTCATAGCGCCACGGCCTAGAAGACCTCTCACGAACAATGCCTCCGCGACGGCGCGGCGCGGCGCCGCCGAACCCCTGGACGCACCTCGACGCCAGCGTGCTTCGGCGGGCGGGCGCTGGTCGAGCTCTACGTCAAAGAGAGGGACCAAGCGCTCGAGTACGGCTTCCTTTCCGACGCCGAGCTGCTCGCGAAGCAGGCGTGGTGGGCGCGGGGTTGCAACTGGACCGCGCCAGCGGGCGGCCGCGAAAAGGACGGCCGGCACAAACGAGCAAAGTCCTTTATTACGGAGTGGCTCGACGCTCAGGAAGCCGAGTTGAAACGCTGGGAGGAGGAGTATGGGATTCACCCGGCCTTTAGCCGTATCATGGGATTCATCTTCACCTTGGCTATAGTCGCCGCGATTAAAGGAGTACCTCCCCCGGCCGGGCAGCCGGCGGCGAGGCGCGCGGCCTAGTCCTCTCGTTCGTATCTAGTTCGTAAGGAACGCTCGTTGGAAACAAACAAACAAACTTACCAAAACACTAGGCGTCATCCCGCTGCAGCGGCAGGAAGTACGCCCCGACGCGAAGGCAAAAGCGCACGACCGCGTGGACGACGCCTCGGAAGAACGCCGGCAAGCGTATTTGCAGGCGCAGGAACGTCAGGACGGCCTCGGGGTCGTTGTAGTACCCCCCGTCCAGCACGGCGACGGCGTCGAGCGCCTGGACGTCTTCCGGCGACAGCCGCCAGCCCGCCGCGCCGCAGTTCTCGACGGCCTGCGCCTTCGTCCGCGCGCCGGGGATGGGCACGGCGCCCTTGCAGATGACCCAGTTCAGGGCCACCTGCGCCGGCGTCCTCCCGCGGCGCCGCGCGATCACGGCGAGCATGCCGGCCACGGCCCGCGTCCGCGCGTCCGTGCATGCGTGGACGAGGCGTCCCGAGCCCAGCGGCGCCCACGCGAGCACGGTGATGCCTAGATCCCTGCACTCGTTTACTAAAGCCTCGGTCCGCCGCCTCAACAACGAGAACTCGATCTCCACAATATCAAGGGACACGCCCCGCTTCATTAAAGCACGGCGCAGCTCGAGCATTTCCGAACGCCCAAAATTCGAGCAGCCGACGCGCTTCGTTAAACCAAGCTCGACCGCTTCTGCCAAAGCCGCCGCCAGCGCCTCGACATCGCCGCGGGGAAAGTGCACCAAATAAGCGTCGACACACTCCAGATCCAAGTCAAACAGGCTCTTGCGTAATGTTGGTATGAGGCGGTCCGGGCCGCCGCGCAGACTGTCGAACTTGGTAACGACGAACGGCTCGCGGTCGCGCTTCCGCACGTAGCCGAGACAGGCCTCGCTCGAGGCGTAGCACTGCGCCGTGTCGAACAACGAGATGCCCGCGTCCAAGGCCGCGCCGAAGGTCGCCTGGACCGCGTCGATGTGCTTTAGCTTCCACTTATTGGTCCCGATGCCGAGCTCGTGGGGGAATGGTGCCATCGGTACCGTGCTGATCGCTGGCGCAGGCGCGTCGGCGGCGTCGAGAGAGACTTGTGTCCAGCGATGCGGGCTGCCGCGGCTGCCGCGGCTGAAATACAAGCACGCAAACACAGCCTGTGTGCTGCCCCAAAATGAGAGCACTCTTTGAATTTTTCATGGGCCATGAGTCGCCCACCTCCTTCAACGGTTACGGATGGCTCCCGCCGTGCTCAAACCGTTGTTTCAAGGGCGACGAACATCCCTTGCGGGGCAGGCCACGATTGGTTGGCCGACTGCGTAGGACATATTCGCAGCAGCACAAAATCGAGTCGTAGACGTTCGTAAGCTGCGACAGGCTTCGAACGAGTACCTAATTCATTAAACTGCAGCGTACCCTGTTTAAAATTGGCGTACGACGCAGCATAGCTCCAAAACACAGCCTCTGCGCATTTCACTGACCTCTAGTTCAGACTCAGGACAACGAGCGCGCTCCAACGTTTCAGAGCACTGTTATAAAATAGTCAAGAGCTCTTTAAGAGGTCAAGAACCGCAAACGCCCAGAAAATGTCCACCGCGGCCGCGTCCGCCCCGACCGCGCCGCGGCCGCGCTCGCAGTACAGCCTCTACGACGACATTCGGTGCACCGGCGACGGCGAGCCGCCGCAGTGCGACCTGCCCATGGAGGTCGTGTGCAACATCTTTGATTTCGCGAACTTCACGTGCGCGATGTGCGAGAAGAAGCTCTGCCCCTGGACGATCAAGGAGGGCTGGAAGCACACGTACCTCTGCAGCCGCGCCTGCTTCAAGGAGACGTGCATCTTCCAGTAGTGTGTTCATAAAACTTATGTATCTAGTAAACGAGAGACGAACGCCAGGAAGCGCCTCCTGTAAAAAACGGGCGGCACGGCGGAGATCCGCCGCCAGCCCCGCAGCGCGCCCCTACAATAGTACTCCGCGACTTTCGCCCACGTCCAGGGCTGGAGCACGTCGATCAAACCGACGACGAGGAAGCCGCGGTCTCTACAAACCAACATGCGCGTCCCGCGGTCCCGTTTTTTATATCGTGCTGCCCTCCAACCACCGAACAAACCCGGCTCGCAGACGCCGACGAGCAGCGAGTAGTCCAACAGCCTCAACTGCTCCAGGACGCGCGTGTCTCCACTCAAAGCCTCCACGACCTCGCCGCTCCCATAGCACCTTAGTTGTGCCGCGTCGTCGCGCGCGTCCAGATCTTTAAGAGTGCCCTTTTTTGGCCGCGTGCGGCGGCCCGCCGTCGAGCCCTTCACATCATAAACCGCCTTGATTTTAGGTGCACCAGCGAAGGTATTCGCCATCACGAGCCAGTGTGTCGTCGTCGTGTTCGATCGTACGGTATAAGCGCCAACTAATCGAGGTAGGAGCGACCCTTGTACGGAGGCGCGTGCCGCATACGTCTTCGCCACATTATCGAGCGTCCGCAAAGTTGCTGATGATTCTTGTTTGATGATGTATTGGCCGCATCTCGTCACGAAGAAGCAGAGGCCTCGATTGGCGGCGCCCTTGCTGCCCCCGCCGCCGAGCACCTCGAGAGCTTGACACGGGTCGCGCCTTCCTAATCGTGCCAGCTCCCTCCCGCAGTGCCACCTTTTCCTCAACTCCCCGAAGGCGTCTCCACATCTTTCCTCGACCACAAAATCGCGCCACCGCCTCGACACGGTTCGGCTCTTCGCGGCGTGCGCGAGGCCTCCACCTAACAATGCTGCCGCATCATTATAACGTGGGTGTGCTGGACTCAAGCCTTCGTTCGCGTGCTGCGCGTTCCTCCTTGCCAAGTGCAGCCCCACCAGGGACAAAGCGGCCTGGTAGAGGGCCCGCGCGAGGGTGACGTGCATTGTCGCTGCGATGGCGTGCAGAGATGTGATTCGTGCGATGCTTACGAGCGTCTCTACGCGGTGCAGTCCTCCAGACTGGCAAGGCGGCGCCCAAGCCGGCTGTGTTTGCTAGTGTCTTACAGGACGCTAGCTCACTGCAGCGGCAAAACCGCTCGAACGCGGCCGCACGCTGCACACTTGCCTTGTGCTTCCACATTCATCCTTTAGAAGGCACGCACAGCGATCAGGACCACTGAAGGCTGCGGCGGAGCGAGCTGGAGCCAGTTCATCAATGCTACTCCTATCGGAGGGCTAATACATCGCAACAAACGGCAGCATCGTGATGCGACGCCTCCTCATGATACCACCGGTCGCGCGCGCGCTGTCGACGCGGGCCTATCCGCAAGCGCCGCGCGCCGCCGTCGCCGTCGTCGCGCGCGCGGGCACGACGCCGCCAAAGTACGCGCTCGTTCGACGCTCGAAAGCGCCGGGAGCGGGGCTCTGGTCCTTGCCTGGCGGCGGCATCGACGTCGGCGAGGCGACCATGGACGCGGCGAGGCGCGAATTGCGCGAGGAGACGGGACTCGAGACCGGCGCGTGGCATCCCTACCCCTTCACGACGGCCGACGCGATCTACACCGACGACCAAGGGCGGACCGAGTTCCACTACCTCATCGCCGAGACCTTCTGCGCGCTCTCGAACGCGGAGCCGCTGGCAGCCGGCGACGACGCCAGTGAAGCGAGGTGGTGGTCTTTGCAGGACATCGAGCGCATGGACGACGTCTCCGGCGACTGCGCGCGCGTTTTGAAGCGGGCCGAGGCGCTCGTCGCGGCGGGACTCCTGCCCTAAGCTCGTTGTTGTTTCAAAAAACACAATTTACACCTTCTGCAGCATGAACTCCTCGACCTTCCTCTCGAGGTCCGGGTCCGTGAAAAATTCGCAGACGTACTGCTGGAGGTCCTCCGGCGTGTCGTCGAGGAGTTTCGCCATGAGCAGCCGGATGGCGCCGCGCAGCTCGGGGTGCTGCCGGATGTACTCCTCGTTCTCCTCGCGCAGCTTCTGCTTGGCCGCGGCGAGCGCGGCCTCGTGCTCCTGCGAGAGGAGGCCGTCGGGCATCGTCTCGACGGCGGCGAGCTGAGGTCTTCGGTCACGGGTCCGACTGCGTGGCTGGTGCGGCGTCGGGCGTTGCGTCTGCTGGCGTCTGGTGGCGCTGGTCTGGGGCAGCCTCGACCGGCGTTCCGGTGCTGCGTCTAGCGGGCGGCACTGGTCCGGTCCCGGGGTAGCGTCGACTGGCGTCTACCGTCCTGGTCCGAGGTGTGCGAGAGGCAGCCAAGTTTGTGGCAGCCGTCGAGCCTGCCCGAGTTGTTTTTTAGTGCGTGGCAGCGCCACGACTTACACATGCGTCCTCTGCAGGCAGTGCACGGCGTCCGGAGACGGCGTGGATCATTCAAAAATTTGCATGCTAGTATGTCATTGCTATGTTCATACGAGGTCCAGCGCCGCGTCCAGGTTTGGCCCCTATAGCTGCTCTGTTATAGCGGACAGCGGTCCAGGAACTCATTCAACCTGCCAAGCAAACGATCAAGGCGAAGGAGCTGTTGCCGTGCGCTCCAGCCCTCTAAAAATCGATATCGCCTGCCAATCACTGTTTACGCGAAATCGGTCGCCCACGGTCGATAAGACCGAGCCACAGACGCCATCGAGGCAAGATAAAGGAAAACGCATGCGGCACCACGTCCACCAGGGCCACATGGAGATCACGCACGTCGTCTCGAGCGACTCGCTGGACCTGCCCCTCGTCGTCATGCAGGACGACGGCTCCCAAGACCACTGGGTCGCCCAGCAGGTCGTCAAGGGGTTGACGACGTCGCTGGTCGAGAAAGCACAGAACGGCGAGGACTGCACGCACTTGCTCCAGAATTTAGGAAATCAGCTGACGCCAGCGACACTACAAGTCGCAGTCGAACACGGCGCGCTACAAGCTGCGGTTGTGGCGCGTTCAAGCCCGGACGCGTCCGGTCGAGTATCGGTCGGAAGGACCTTTGCGGCTAGAGTCTACCTCTGTGCTTGTAGCATAGGCGACTCGCAAATTGCGAATTGGGTCTCGCAAGATAGAGTTTCAAGGGTGTTGTACTGGAAAGGCTCTTTACTGGCCTTGGAGTTGCGAGATGGCAGGAGGGCTTTGTATGATGACGCCCGACTAGAACAACCATCAGCGGAGAGCTTCGTCAACTACTCCTGGGACGTCCGAGCGATGCTCGACGCCTTCCGAAAGATCGGAGGTAGAGACGTCCTCGTGCTCGGGTTACGTTCAGGAGGCATCTTACCGAAGACTCTATCTGAGTCAGGCGCGAAAGTCGCGTGTGCGGCCGAGTCCCCGGAGGCCGTCGGCGCGGCGGAGGCGTTCTCGGGCTGGAACGGCCCGACCTGGTACTACGGCGGCTGGCCGAACAGAGGTGAGTGGGACTGCGTCTTCGTGGACGTTGATGACGAGTCGGCCGTCGACGCGGCGATGCGGCTGTCGCGGGGCGTCTGCGTCTATGGCGTCGACGCGTCGGCAGCACAACGCGTCGCTCAACAATGTAGAGCGAGGGGCGCCTGCGTCGACGTCCTGAACGCGGACCCCTACGCGTGGGAGAGCAACGCGCGCGCTGTTGTGGTGGCGCGCGCGCCGGCGCCGGTGTCTCGACCAAAGCGCCGGCTGGACGACGAGGAGGAGGACTGCCCGCTCTTCATGGACGCCATGCCCCTCGGCGGCATCTCCCAGAATTCTGCATTAGCCGGTCTGGCGGCGTTGGTCGACGAGGGCGAGCCGAAGCGGCGGCGCATCGGCGAGGCCCAGGTCGGCATGGCGCTGTTGTGATACGCGCCACGCGGCGCTCACGCGGCGCCGGTCGCGCATTCCTCCGCCGTCTCCATGGAGTTCCCTGTGACCTTTTGTGAAGTAAGGACACATTAAGTTAGGAGTCTTCGCGTCGATGGCGTATGGTTCAGTCCTCGATGCGGGTTTTTCTCAGCTAATGGACCTCGGACCTAAAAACCAAAGACTCCAAGGCCTAGACTCGGCGCGTTGGGACATTTTATCATCAGTGTGGACTCATCGACACGCGCGGGCGCCGGACCGGTACTTCTTCGCGATGTTCCTCCGCATCGCGATCCGACGGAAGTACGGGATCCGCGAGGAGTGCTGCACGTGAGCGCCGGCGTCGTCGTCGCGCGCGTGTACTCACCCACCCGTCGGCGCGCAGGTGCACGGGCGTCGACGGCTTCGAGGACGCCTGCTGCGCCATGTTTTGCGGGTGCTGCGCGACGGCTCAGATGGCGCGCCACGAGTTCCTCGAGGTCGAGACGGGCATCGTGCGTTACGAGTGCTGCTCGTCGACGGGGGAGAGGCGTTTTACTAATATATAAGACAGGCACAAGCTTAGGTCACCACGCGGCGCGGACCGACAGCGCCGGCTCCGCGGTCGCGGCAGCCACGTGTGCTGAGTATGCATGCAATGGTGTCGAGCCCATGTCTCTGCTCATCGCACCGCCCGCGAACGCGACGACGAGATTCGTGAACTGGCGCGCGGCCGCGGCGTCGCGCAGGTAGCACGGGTGCGGCGCGTTCGCGAGCACTATGAGTTGCGTGTGGTTGCCATAGCACCCGTACGGCGAGGGGGGTACGGCGAAGCACGCCCGCCGGTCCGAGTCGAGCCGCGGCTGGTCCTCCGAACCATAAATGCCGAGCACCGGGACCGACGGGGGCTTGGCGTTATGTCGCGACCGCAGGGCCGCCGCTGTTATGTAGCCGGCGATCTTGTAGGGCCCCGGATCCATAACGAAGGGGAGGGCGTACGAGCCGCCCATAGAAGCGGCAACAACCATCAGCGTCGACGGCAGGTCCAGGGCCTCGGCGACGCGGCGCACGAAGCCAGCTCTTCCTTGCCAGCCGCCGATCGTCTTCGACGACGCGCCGTATCCTGGCAGGTTCAGAGCTATCCCCCGCATACCGGCCTCCGCCAACGCATCCAGGACGCCGACGTGCTGCCACGTCGCCATCGAGAACGCCGCGCCGTGGCAGAAAAGGACCGTTTTGGCGGCGTCCTTCGGACCAGCCTCCAGAAACTCGACGGCCTCGCCGTCGACCGTAATCGAGCCGTGGTGGACCTGGTGCTTGTCGACGTAGGCGTCGCGGATGGCGCCCTCGAGGTCCGCGTTCGCCGCGCGGCCGCGCGCCATCCGCCGCGCCGAGACTAATGTCAGGGCCAGCAGGACTCGAGACATGGGTGCAGTCGGTTCCGGAGGGCGTCCGGCAGGGATGGGTGAGAGCTGTGTCCGAGACGCCTCTGGCACGATAGCAGGGCTCGCAGCGTTGACAGCGGCTGCGGAATAATGAGCAATCAAATATTTAAGCGCTTGCGCAGCTAAATCAAGCGCATCCCTCGCGCCGGGCTACCTTGGGAGGCTAGCGTCCGGTAACACACTAGCGAGCTGCCCATCCTTGCAATTCCATTGATTGGTGGCTGCCCATGCACTCCAAATCTCCACAAAAGCTGTGTTAGGGCCAGCAACCGTCACATCGCAGCAAACCACCCATTTCTTTTGGATCCCTAGCGGCGACGAGCCAAGCAAACACGGCGGCCCTTACGGCACTGTCTCTGGCGGCAGCGGTCGCAGCGATGCAGCCACGCTTTGATGTGGCAGCGTACAGACCAGCTGCTGCCAAGACCCCATACGCCAGACCCCTGGAGGTCGGAGGCTTCAGTCGCATCGATGGCGAGCTGCATTTCGACAAGCGCGCATTGCGCCGATACAAAGCGCCGAGGCTGCCGAACTCGCTCGCCACTGGATATTCGGACTTCGTGCCGAAGCGCGACGACAAGGCCGCGGCGGAGCAGTGTCTCTTGGCAGCAGTCGAGCGCTACGCGGAGCAAACAAGTAGAGCGCACTTCGTGACGTACCGCAATAATCTAAACAAGCTACTCGCAACGCTTCATTGCCCGAACGACGATTGGTCCATTGGTGTCAAGCGCCTCGCGGGCGACCAGCGGTGGCTGCTGCGCGTGCGAGACACGCCGCGGCGGCGCGACGAGGAACGGAGCCAGTCGGACGCGCAGAGGCTCATGTCCTACTTCGGCTACCGCTTCGAGGCTTTGTGTACTGGCCACGAGGGGACCATCGACGCCAACGATGAGTACGTCGGCCTGTTTAATTGCAAACTGGGTTCGCATCGCCTCGCCGTGGCGGCCGAGATCGACAGCGTCGACGACGCCGGTACATATGTGGAGCTGAAGACGAATAAACTGCTCGCGTCGAAGCGACTCGTGGGCACCTTCGAGCGGTTCAAGATGTTCAAATTCTGGGTACAGTCGTATCTCGTAGGAACGCCACGCGTGATCGTTGGTTTTCGGGACGAGGACGAACTAAGGAAGCTGCAGAGCTTCGACACGCTGGAGCTGCCGGGACTCGCGGCGGCGGGCGCGCAGGGGCGACCGTCGTGGCGGCCGCAGGCGTGCCTCGGCTTCGCGGACGCGGTCCTGAGGTGGCTCCGAGCCGCGCTCGACGCCGCCGACGGTGACGCGTATGTTGTGACGTATAATCCCGAAGCGCGCGCGATTTCGTTCGCCCAAGACGTTGAAGCTGCGAAGCGGCGGCGACAAGAATAATGTTGTTTTTTGTATGATTTTCAGGACCTTCACCGAGAGATGGGGCCGCCGCGGCCGACACGTCCCAGCCCGCCGCGCCGGGACGGGTCCGGGCGACGCCCCCAGGCCTCCGAGGACACCAAACAGCCCTGCTCGCGTGGGAAGGGACGGCAAAATCCTGTCGAACGTGCCGCGTGAAACCGTTGCAGTGCTTTTTTGTTGGTTTCGCAGGCTCGCGGTCGCGGTCCTGGGCGGCAGGGGGGGCTGCCTCGGCCGCCGCGTTTGGCGACAGCTGCCCTTGCAACCGTAAGCGGCTGCCGCCGCGCGCGCGAGCGAGGAGGCAGCGTCGCCGGGGCCAGTTGGCCACCGGGCGCACCGCACGACCAACCGTCTGGCCAGCTGTCCACCGTCGCTTTCCGGGCCGCAGCGCTTGCGACGATGGACACCAGCCCAGAAGCGCGCTGGACCGAGGTCCGCCTCATTGGGCGGGGCGCGCAGGGCTCCGTGCACCTCGTGCGCCACAATTCGACACAACAGCTGTGTGTACGAAAACGCGTAGCGACGGAGAATTTGTCCAAGAGAGACAGGGATGCAGCTCATAGGGAGTGCCAGCTCCTCAAGACGCTGGACCACCCTCGCATCGTGAAATTCGTCGAGAGCTTCGAGGGCCGCCTCGAGGACGATGCAAGATGCTTGCACCTGGTCATGGAGTGGTGCCCGCAAGGCGACCTCGCGTACCACATCAACGAGGCCAAGTCGACGTCCAGAAAGTTCCCAGAACAACAGATTTCGCGTTGGTTTGCGCAAATGGGCGACGCGCTGGCGTACTTGCACTCGCGACGGGTCTTGCACCGCGACCTCAAGTCGACGAACGTCTTCGTGGACGCGGAGATGAACCTGAAATTGGGCGATTTGGGCATTGCGAAGATCCTGGAGTCTACATTGGCAAGGGCCTCTACGGTAGTCGGAACGCCAAATTACTTGAGTCCAGAGTTGTGTGAGAACAAACCTTATGGACCGGCCTCCGACGTCTGGGCGTTAGGGTGTGTCTTGTACGAGCTATGCGCCTTAAAAAGGCCCTTTGATGCTTCCAACTTGTTCGGGATCGTCTATTCTGTTGTGAAGGGCGACGCTGATCTCGAGGCGGTGTCTACTGATGAAGAGAACTGGTTGCGATTACTGGTAAAGAGGTTGCTGACGAAGGACGCGGAGCAGCGACCGACGATCGCGCAGGTCCTCAAAGACACTCATAACTTACAAGAGCACGTCCTGTGCCAGGGGCCGGTCGTAAGTCCAGACCAGTACGATGATGATTTTGAGGTCTACAACGGCCAGCCTTCCGTGACGCCGACGCATGCTACGACGAAGAAGCAGACGTCGCCGTTTTCGGGCGGGCGCTACGCCGGCATGCCGAATGCGCGCGAGAGTCCACCTTTGGAAACGAGGTATCTGGAGCCCCGACGGCCGGCGGAGGTCGTCATTGAAAGACTGAAGACGCCGCTGCTGGAGGCGCCGCCGCCCGTGCCGCCGTCGCCGGTCGAGCCCGCGCCTCCGGTAAAGCAGCCTAAACCGCGCCGCGACGTCGCGCGGCCGACGGCGGCGTCGGCCGCGCGCGCGACGCCGTCGCCCTCCCTCGAGCGGCGGAGCGGCTCGCCGCCGACCGTCCCGAAGGTCCGGCGGACCGCGACGCCCTCGCCGCCGATCATTGCGCGCAAGCACACCACACCGTTAAGTGGCGCGAGGCACCGGCCGCGGCCGCGCAAGCAGAAGGCCGAAAGTCCTTTGGCCAAGTTTAGGGCAAGGGCGCACGAGTCGTTCCTGGGCGCGGGCGCGAAGCCGCCGCGCGCGCCGCCGCCGCCGCCTTCCGGTCAACCGTTGGTCACGCGCGCGCGGTCCGAGCCGGCGCTCTTCGCCGTGCCCAAGAAAAAGAGCACCGCGATGTCGGTCGGGACGTTTCATCAACTGGTCGCGCCGGGCCAGTCGTACGACCCGCCGCCCCCACCAGGACCGCCGCCGCCGACGCCGCCGCCGCCACTAGACCCCGCAGATAGGGTCGAGAACGAGCGCACGCGGCAGCTGCGGCGGCGTTTGGGCGACGCGGCCTACGAGCGCGTCTACGCGATCTGCCGGCGGGCCCACGAGCGCTGCACGGCCGTGCGGAAGCGCGACCTTTTTGAAGTGGTTGCCCAAAACGACTACGACGCGTGCCTGGCCGTCGAGCAGCTGGTCTTCGCGGACATCGTCCGGTCGACGTCGTCGCGGCAGCGCGCGGCGACGCTCGAGTGAGTCTTGTCTTTAACTTTAAAATTCATCATCCAATTATAAACAAGCGGCGGGGCGAGTGAGTCGCCTCCTGCCGTCCTACGCGACCGTCGCGCACTCGTCGACTTTCTCGACCCACGGCGCCGCGAGCAGCAGGGCCTTGTTAACGAGCGTCGTCGTCGGCGAGCGGTACTGCTCGTGGATCGCGTCGATCGCCTCACACAATTCAGTCGGCAGCGTCTCGAGCCGGAAGGCCGCCAGGCACTCCTCGACCTGCTTGGGCGACGTCGTCCCCGTGATGACGCCCGCATTGTACCAGCGCTGCGCGGAAAGAATCAGTAAGAAACCGGCACGCCATCGACGCGACGTTGAAAAGGACACCGCCTCGCTACGTCTCTCGCCCACGCGATGGCTAGCTCCGTCGGCGTCAGCCCCCACGCCTCGGCGAGCTTCGCGTACGCCTTCGTCGCCTCGACGGCGAGCGGGCCGTTGTAGCGCGGCTGGAACTCCGGCGAGAGGTTCTGGCGCGACCGCGGCGTGGCCTCGCCCGTGATGTACTTGCCCGTGAGCGTGCCGCCCGACAACACGCCATATGGCAAACCGACGACGCCGAAGTGGTGGCACGCCTCGGCGACGTCCCCTTCAAAGGACCGCTCGTTCAAGCTCATGTCGTTCTGGATACAGCACGGCCGCGGTACTCCCAACTTGTCCGCGGCGATGCAGAACATCGTGACACCATAGGCATTTTCATTGGACAATCCCCAATTCTTGATGAGTCCTAGATCCAGCAAATGCTTCACGTTTTTCACCTGTCTCTCGAAATCCGCCATGGATCCATCACTCGTCTTCGCCTTGTAGCGCTCCGGCGAGCCGTACGAGCCCCACCCAAACACGTCGAAGCCCTTGCGTGAGGGAAAGTGCAGGTAATACAGGTCGATGTAGTCGCTCTGGAGGCGCTCGATGGACGCCCTTGCGGACGCCTCGAGTTTCGCGGCGCTGAAGTCGTGGGGCTCGCCGTCGGGTGACCCCTTGCCAGCAGGATTGCACTTCGTGGCGATGTAGAAGTCCTCGCGCTTGATCGAGCCATCTGCAATCCTCGCCGTGAGCCAGTTGCCGATCCACGTTTCGGTGGTTTTGCCGTAATTGAATGCGACGGGGTAGATTTCCGCCGTGTCCAGGAAATTGACGCCGGCAGCCAGGAAGGTGTCGAGCTCTTTGTGCGCCGACTCTTCCTTCTCGACGAACGAGCCCCAGGTCATCGTGCCGGCGCACACCTCGGTCACCTCCATCGTGCCGATCTGCGTCTTGACCAGCGGCACGTCGCGTTTGAGCGTGCGTGGCGCTGCAGCTACTACCGGGGGCTTCGGAGGGAGACACATCGCGGCGAGGGATAGCACGACGTGCGATATTTGCATGGACAGCTAAGCTGCGGTTTTTTGCTTTGTGCTCCGCGCAGAGATGTCGGTTGTTGCCGACACGACGCACGAATGAGGTGATGATACGCCCCTTGCTGGGAGTCCAACAAGTACGCGATTGCAGTGCACAGACAGCGTGTTTGGAGGCTGTCCAATCTGCATCAGAGCCTGACAGAGGCTGGCTGACATCGATCGCCGTATGGACGCGCCGCACGACGTCGAAAAACACAAGACCCCTACTTAAACCGATCGACGCCGTTCGTATCGCCCTCCCACAGCTCGATGACGAGGGACTCGCGCGTCCCGCGTTCCACCCGTTCGATGTTGTGGAGCTTCTCCGAGGGAAAGAGCACGGCGGACCCCTGGTCGAGGCGGTGCGCCACCGGCGCGCCGCGGTCGTACGTGACGAAGCGCCCTCCACCAAAGGCGCCGTCCTCCGACACACGACAACTGAGCGTCAAAACGGAGTCGTTGTCGCGGTGGCTCGGCAGGAACAAGCCGCCGCCCGCCTGGTAGGTGTGCAACTCGATGCACCTCACCCGCAACTCGCGCGTCGACCGCGGCCAGACGGACGGCGCGTGGGCCCGCATCGCGGCCAGCAGCCTTTCCATCAACTCCGGTTCCGTTCTTTGGGCGAAGCCGTCGTAGTGCAAGTAGCAGACGGCGTGGTTCGATTCTTCTGTAGTATCGCGGAACATGTGCGGCGTGCGCCCGGAGGCCTCGAGCGCGGCGCGCATGCGTCGCAGCTTCGCGACGTCATCTGATGAAAGCAAATCTCGCAGGATGACCGGTTTTTGAATTTCAGCGTCGTACCAGCACTTCCGTCTCGCTCTTAACAGCGGCGTCCGCGCCTCGGCGGCGAACTTTCGGGAGGCCGCGACGGCGGCTTCTAGACCGGGTGCGAGGTCGGACGCGCCCGGCCCGGGACGCGTCGCCCAGGCGTCGTCGGTTGTAGTTTCCTTCTCCAGGCGGCGTTTTTCTTCCAGGAGCTGGCGCATGGCCGCGAGCATGGCCATGGTTGGCTGCCTCGATTTCTCTGGACGGGGTGCAGAGACGTGTCGTCTGGGCTGCCGTCTCGACTCCCCTGGACGGTGCAGAGAGGCTGCCGTGTCGAGTCCCCTGGACGGAGAAGAGACTTGTAGCCGCGGTCGACTCTCCTGGACGGTCCAGAGACTGTGTAGCCTGCGGGGGCAGCTTTTTCGGTGCGCTGTTAACGGGCTAGTGTCTTACGACGCTAGCTCCTCACTCCCTCGGATTTTGGAGCTGGTTCTCATCACCATTGCCATCTTAATACCTCAAACTCTTCACTACTATTCATAATGAAGCTCGTTGCCACCTTAGCCCTTTTCACGTCTGCGGCCGCACTGCGGACGCGTAGCAGCAGCCTGCACTCGAAACAGGCGCTCTCCGTGCGCGGCGGGGGCGTGGACGTCGAGCAGATTGCAAGCTAAGCCGCGCGGAAGTCTACTTTTTGCAGTCCGATAGTTTCTTTCGTCATCATTGAGCCTGCTCGCTGCTCACCAAGATTTCCGCGTTCTCGAGACAAGAAAACGCAATTGCACACAGGCCACCTGGGTCGGCCTCGCCTCCTCGGGCTTCATCCTGCTCCCGGCCGGCCGCGACATCGTCGCCGAGGGCACGGCGATTCTTCCGGGGGACGCAGAGCGCGGAAAGCGAGGCGCCCGCGGCCGCCGGCGCGGTCCGTTCGTGCTTTGGGGGGGTCGTGCGACGTCGTTTCCGAGAATCATGGCGGTGGGTGGTTTCTTTTTGGATTTTGAGGCCGTTTCGGCGTGATTCGGTCGCGGGCGGGCGTCGCGGCGGTTCTGGGGCGTACGGTGGTGTCGGGGCGGTCCGGAGCGGCGCGGTGGGTGCATTGGACGCCGTCGATGCGGCGCCGGTGTTTTCGGATGCTCTGGAGGCCGTTGAGCGTGCGCGGGCGCCGTCCGCGGCTCCGACGAGGCCGCGAGGACCCTCGGCGGTCTACGGTGGAGAACGGCGCCGGAACGGGTGCGGCGGTGTAGGTACCGAGGCCCGGCACGCCCGTCGACGCGGCGGCGGACCTGGATGGGATCTGGAGGCTCGGCGCGCTGACGGCCGGTCCATGACGTGGACGGTGGAGCGTAGCTTTGTCAGAATCCGTTGACAACGATCACTTGTGTAGGGATCGGGCCGAGGTCGAGGAGTAGAAAGTCAGAACCCGCTTGGACGAGCTATCGAAGAGAAGCTGACGCCGCGACGGTCGCGCGGCCGTCAAGCTGTCCCAGGCGCGGACGAGGCGTATACGTACGGCTCGTGGCGCGGCGTTTTCGACTGTCTGAGGCCACGGCGGGACGTCGTCGACGCCGTCGACGCGGACGAGGCCATTGATGGGTGCTCGGAGCCGCGCCTCTGGCGGGTGCAGCTTAACATTACACGACAAGGTTTTGTGGGAGGCTACGGTACCAGTCGCGGCGGCGGGGCGACGTGCTGTACGCCATCGACGCGGGCGGAGGCGTTGTAGCAGATATAGATGCCTGGCGGGACTCGTCTACTATCGGATGCGCGTTGTGGGGAGCATCTGGTCCGAGGCATTATAAGCCGTACATCCGACGAGCGCTCTGGTTCTCAAACGAACGGCGCGGGGATCATCGTCGTCTATCGGTCATTCTGACCCATGTTTCTGCGCCAGCGGTCAGGCTTGGGCGAGGCCTACGCGTACGCCTCGCGGCGAGGTCCTACGCCAGCGAATGCGGCGGTCTGGGCGACTAGTCTTTGCTAATCATTGCTGTTGTGTCGACTGCGAACTCCTTATGAGCGCTGGGGAGAGAGGAACGACACGCGGGGTAGTAAGAGGACGATGTGGGGGTAACAGTGCAGGGGGAACATGACGGCCTCGAAGAAAAAGACCGTTCGGACCCGGAGGGGCGTGGAGCCCACGGGCCGGCCCGCCCCGGCGTGAGGCCGAGCGGGGAAGAAGAGCACGAACGAACTCGCCCAGGACGTTCGCGCAGAGAGCTGGTCGGCCGCGCTCGCGGGCTGCGCGGCCGGGCGGTGCCACCGTCGTGGCACCTGCGGAGGTCGCGATCAGGCGCGCGTTCGCGGAATCATGGACGCCGGCGCCGCGCCACGAGATTCGGACCCGATCGTCATCACTGACAGGTCCTCAACGCTCTGCGTGCACGGCCCACCTGGGAGCATCAGGTGGGCCGAGCTCGTTTGCGGCGCTTCTCCGCCACGTCGACGAATAATCGGCGCGGCGGCGACACGGCTCCCTCATACGAATCATCGGTGCGACGGACGGACGCCACGCGTCCACCGATGTAGAGCTGGTTGCCGTCGTCGTCCACGATGGGTGCGCCGTTGCCCGCGGCGGGTCGCGCCTTGAGCACGCCGAAGCCGAGCGCGGCGAGCCCACCATCGTAACAGACGCGAGCATGCTGCGCGCGCGAGATGACGTGGTGCCGCGTCGGCGTCAGGAGGGCCGCGACCTTGTCTTGGACCGTGCGGTGCGGCTCGTCGTAGGCCGCCAGGAACGACCGCACCTCGGGGTAGGCGGCGAAGCGGTCGCGCAGGAGCTGGATGGCACTCGCCTGCGTGAGTCGTGAGTCGCGTCGATGGCGTGAGTCGCGTCGATGGCGTCGGACGCCGGTAGGCGACCTCGTCCGGCGCCAGGAGCGTCGCTCGCGAGAGGCACAACGCCAGCCGAGCCTTGATGCCGCCGGCGGCCTTGATCTGCTCCGAACGCGTGGGCAGCCTCGGGCCCTCGTCCATGCGCCTCAGGGCGGCGGGCATCGTCGCGTAGAGGCGACCGCCGGGCGAGAAGTAGATGGCCTCGCGACCCTCCCCTTTGTGCTTCGCTCGCGCCCCGACCCCCCAGTCGACCGGGTCGTGCTCGGCCGCCTCGGCCTTGGCCTTGAACTTCGGCATCGCGTTCGTCGCGATGTCAAATCGCATTTTGGGCGGGAGGATCCTCCATTTTCCCACGGCTCCGCACGGCTCTGAACCACCGCTCAATCGTGCCCCCGGGACGTCTGAGCTCACCCTAAACTCAGTGAGCACGCGTCCCCCGGGCCGCCCCCGCTCACACCTCCGAGACCCCGCTCACGCACTCCGAGACCAAGCAAAAACACGTTACAACAACTAAATCAGACCTGTCGTCGTCAGCGAAGCGTCGCGCCGGCCTCGACGCGATGGAATCACACCTCCCCGCCCGCCGCATCACCACCCCTCGCCACAAAACGCGTCGACGACGTCGCGCCTTTCAACACGACGGACCGCTCGCGAGAAATCATGCCTCGCGCCCGCCGCTGACCGCCGTCGTTCCCCAACAAATGCAACGGAAGCCCGCGACGTCCTCGATGCCAGCAAGACCGCGCCTCTACGCATGACCTCATGCCAGCAAGATGCGTCTCCGGCACCGAAGCGTCCCCAGAAACGAAATGCCGCAACACAACACCCCACCCAACACATCTTGCTAGGCACCCGAGGCACGAGTCCGACGGTCGCGTCGCTCCAAGGCCCAACGCGGCGTCTCAAGACCACAACTTCCCCCAGGCCCTCACAAATTCCCCCAGGTCCGCGCTCGCACCAGCGTCCACCGCACACCTCCTTCGCGGCCATCACGCCCTGGTGTGGTCGACAATGGCTTTTGTGAAGATCGCGACAAATTAAGCGCGCGGCGGTTCCGCGGGCTTCACCTCACTCCATCTGAACCACAACGCACGTCGAATTCGAGAGGAGACGATGATGGTCTCGTCAACTCGACTGGATGTGGTGGTCCCGCAGGTCCCATGCGTCCGAGATGTCCTACCGATCGTCTCCGGACGGTGTCGGGCAACAATCAGAGCTCGCCATGCTACCACGTCCTCCCAACGTTCTCGATACCCCTCGACGCGCTTGCGTCTCGTCAGAGCGCGCCGACCGAGCCGCGTCGCGACCATCCCTCACTCCCGATGACATTTCACCGCGCCGCCACCACACTCACCTAGCCTTGGACGGCCTCCCGAATTTTCAACGGCGAGGGTCGCCTGACTGTTGGCGCGTGGACGACGCGCCGTGCCGCCCGCGGCGGCCAAAGATGTCCGGCCGCGCAGACGAGCAGAGATAGGCTGCGCTGCGAACATTTCTCGACGGCACGCGTCACTTGTGTCCCCGCAGGCCCGCGGCGCTCAGGGCTGCAGCAGTGCCAGCCAAGAGTGGTGTGCGCAACTGAGCGCCATGCGACGGCGGCGCGTTTTAGACTCAGCGCGCATCGATGCGGCCCATGCCGCGTGCGTTGGTCGAGTTTTAGCCTCAATTGAGAGAAACGAAATGTTGCGGCTCGTCAGAGCTGAGCCATCAACACTGAGAGCAGACAGCAGCAGAGGGCAATCGAGTCAACCGAGCCGCATCGATCACCACTCATCCAAAGCGGTGTTTGCAGGACGTCGCGTCGAGGCCAGCTATCAATACCAAATGCTCTGTTTGACCAGTAGCGCCGCAAGGAGCTGCATGCCTCTGCAGCCAGCACAACCCAGGCGTGGCTCTACGCCGCACGCGTCGCGTCGATGGCGTAGAGGTGGACCGTTCACTGTTGCTCGACGCCGTCCGAGCGCTGCGCACCGCAACGACGCCGACCGCTCCGGTCCGCGGCCGCGTCGCCACCGCTCGAGGCCCACGCGGCTGCTCCAGGCGTCCCGGAGCGCGGCGACGGCGTCGACGCATCGAGTGGCGTCCGCCGCGGCGCCGCGAGCCGTGGAGACCGCTCTCGGGCGCCGTTCTCGAAGTTTCACCAGTGCTCCGCGAAAACCGACCCCGGCTCGCCCGAACGGCCTCAAATTCGAAAAAGAAACCACCCAGCGCCATGATTCTCGGAAACGAGTCGCCTCGACGGCGTGCCACCGCCGCGGCACCGCGGGTCGGCGAGCTACGACGGCCCTCGCACGGCGATCCTCCCCGGCGACGAGGAACTCATCTCCGCCTTAGCGATCGCGAACCCCGACGCCAAGCGCTGGTTCTGGGGCATGTGGGGCCTCAACCACTGCTTCCTGTCCATCCTCAAGCTCCAGGCCATTAACCAGAAGGATAAGGCGATGCTCAAGAAGCTCTTCATTCCCACTGCCGCGACGTTCCTGTACTGCGTCCTGGGCCAGAGCGACATGGGCGGCGCCGCGGACCTGGGAGGCTTCATCGTGATCTGCGGCCTGCAGACGCTCGCCATCGGCTACCTCGCGTACAACTAGAGGCGTCCTGTCGCCACTCCTAGCCCGCGGAAGTATATGGGCCGGCGTCGGCTCCGCGGCTAGGCCGCCTAGGCGGCCGAGCTCTAAGCGACGAAGTATAAACTGGACACTTTACCCGCCGCGAAAGGGGAGGAACTCCGCCACCGCTCGCGCCCATTCGTCGAAACCAAACACGTCAGCAATTCCTTTTCAGCGCCTCGCCTAGGCGCCGATCGTCCAGCCCTGGGCCACGACGCCGTCCAACCCATCCAACGCCGGGACCGAGCCCGGCACGAGCGCCGCGGCCGAAAACCCCATGATGCCGATCATCGCGGCGCGGCCGTTGTTGAGCTCCGCGTTCTGCTGCGTGCGGAACTTGGCGTCCGTGTCCTCGGGGCCGAACGGGATGTTGAGGACCTTGCCGCCCCAGACGTCCTGCCAGCCGCTCGCCGTGCGCTCGATCTGGTTGCCCGGCAGCGGGCCGCCGCGCGTGAAGTGCTTCTTGTACGTGCCGAACTCGCTGTGGAACTCCGCGAGGCCGATGGCGAACAAAATCTGGACCTTGCCGTCGTAGGGCGTCGCCGACCAGGCCTCGAGGGGGTTCTTGCCGAGCGACGCGAAGGCCTTGCCCGCGGCGAGGTTGCCCGGGAAGTAGAGCTCGTACTGGTTCACGAGCCAGCCCGTGCACGCGAGCATGGCCACGCGCGAGTGCTTGAGCTCGGCCGCGCGGTACCACAACATCAGCGAGTCCTCGGTCCGCTCCGTGAAGCCGACGGGGTCCCAGCACTTGCCGTTGCCGGCGAAGGGCGCCGTCGCGCCGATGCCGTCGAGCACGGCGGGGCTCTTCGCCTCGAGGGGCGCGGGCCGCGCGGCCGGGGCGGCCTGCGTTCGTGGACGAGGTGAGGTTTCGATTTGTGTATGTGTGTGTCAACGTGCTCTCCCGTCGGTTTGTGTATCACTGCCATGCGGCCGGGTTCCAGCCGCGTCGGCCTGATCCCGGCGCGTCGGAAAGCCGCGTCTCACAAATCCCGCCGCGCCTCGGCCGCGTCGACGGCGTCGGGCGCCACACGTTCACGTGCCGGGCCCGCAACGCCGCTCCACCGCGCCGGGGGCGGGATTGCTAGGTTCGCGGCTTCCACGACGTCGGGGCAGAGAACCCGCTGGCACGCTTGGATCGGCTCGTCGCAGGCCGATGGTGCTCGTAACCAGTCCAGTGGAGGCCGCGGATGGTGGCCACGCATCACGTGGATCGGTGGAGCCGCCGACGGCGCGCTAAGCCCTCGATCCTCTGCTTCGACATCCGGCCCTCTAACTCAGCGTCTACGGCCTCGATTTCAACCAGATTTTCGCAGACGCTGCGCAACGTACCGGCGCGACGAACGCCGAAGCGCTCGAGAGCGCAAGAGCGGCCACAAGCTTCATTTTTGCTTTGTTACCGCAATCTCGAGCCAAGCTGCGGGTCCGGGTTTTTGCGATTTTTTGGACGCTTCCGGTGAATGCGATTGCTGCAGTGGTCGGTGGAGCCGTAAAACCCCACGCATAGGACCAGAACCGCGGTGGGCTAGCGGTGTGAGACACTAGCCTGCCTTTCGCAGACAGACTTTGACGGCCCGCGCGCGAGCCAATTGCATCGCAAATAGCGCTCAGCTGGTCAGCGCGAAGCCGCGCCAGCACCGCTGACCCGCGCAGCCAGTTCTCGTTGCGCCGCGGTACCCCTAGACCGAATAGACTCAGACCCTCCACAGCCGCGCGCGTAGGACGACCATGTCCATCCGCTCGCAAGAAAAGGTCGACCGCACGGGCTTCGCGGAAGAGGAGATCGCCAAGGCCAGGCAAGCCTTAGAAGTCTCCAGTAATTTAGACGACCCCGCCGTCGTCGAGGCCTTGCTGCAGTGCGAAAAAAAGTGCCGCCTGTCGAACGACGCCATCGCGACGAAGAATGTGTGCGTCGCTATTCTGAAGCTATGTCGCGAGAAGCAGGCTTGGAGCCATTTGATCGCGAACTCGCAACTCCTCGCCAAGAGAAGATCACAGTCAAAAGTAGCGATCACGGGAATAGTCGCCCAGGGCCTGGAGCAGCTCGAAGACACTTCCGTAAAGCTCGACGATGCCACCAGGGAGGAATTACTCAAGACGCTCTGCGACGTGACCGACGGGAAGATGTACTGTGAGGCCGAGCGCGCCAAGCTCACGAGGATGCTGTCCGCGCTCAAGGAGCGCCAGGGGGACGTGGCTTCCGCTGCTGATATTCTCCAGGACGTGAACGTGGAGACGTGTGTTCTCGGCGTCCTTTCTACGACGTGGACGCGTCGCGTCGACGCGCGCGCGATGGCGTGCGTGGAGGCATCGCGTCGCCATCGACGCCATCGACGACGCACATCAAACGCAGGTACGGCGCATTATCAAAGAGAGAAAAGGTCGACTACATCTTGGACCAGGTGCGACTCATGCTCGCGAAGGGCGATCGGGTCCGAGCCTACATCCTCTCGAAGAAAGTGCAGAGAAAAACTCTGGAGGAGGACGACCTCCAGGACCTGAAGGTGCGGTTCTACAAGCTCATGAGCGAGTACCACGTCCTCGAAGACGCGCCTTTTGACCTCGCGCAAAATTTCTGGGCCATATTTAATACGAAGACGGTCCAGGACGACGAGGCGTCGTGGCGCGACGCTCTCAGTTCCACAGCGCTGTTCCTGGCTCTCAGTCAACATGCTCCTGGCGTCTCGGACATGATGCACCGCGTCCTGGCCGACGCGACGGCTGCTCCCAAGTTGGAGAAACTACCGACAGCGAAACATTTGCTCACGTTATTCACTACTCAGGAAATAGTAGCCTACCCATTAACGGAGGAGCACCAACGAGCCGTCGAGGCGCACCCCGCGCTTCATACGGCCGGTGCAGAAATCCATCAGCGGTGGAAAAATACACTGAGGGAGCGAGTGATACAACATAACATTAGGGTCGTCTCGGGCTATTATCGACAACTCAGCATGGCGCGGCTGGCGAACTTACTTGGACTTAGTGTCGATGAAGCTGAAAAACATGTTAGTGACATGGTCTCGGACTCGGGCCTGTACGCGAAGATCGACCGGCCGAAGGGTATCATAGTGTTCGCGAAGCCCCAGTCGCCCGACGAGGTGCTCCAGGACTGGGCCTCGGACATCTCGAAGATGCTGTCGCTGGTCGAGACGACGTGCTACCTCATCAACAAGGAGACGATGATGCACAAGAAGGCGCTCGAGGCCTAGCTCTTAACTGTCTTTTATTCCGTTTACTTCTGCGGCGACGGCGTCGGGGGGTGTGGCTCGCTGGCACGGCGCGACGGGCAGCCGCGTTCACGGCCTTCGTCGTCGTTCCTTCCTCTCTGATGCCTCTTAAATCGTCTAAACCGGTTACTGGTCAAGCTCAGGCTCACAGTGCGAGTTCAAGCGTGCGACACAGCTAGACATGACACACTAGCACTGATTTTTTTTGCGTGACGTCTTTGACGGATACGAATACGATTAGTGCAGTACTACGTGCTGCAAGTCACTCGTAGTGAATCTTCGCGCATACGTGCACGCGCTGCCGCTCTACATTTGTACCGCTCGCAACATTAGCTGCAGCACAAAACTTTGCACATGGCAGCACACCATTGCATCGGCACAGGAGCCGACGAGCGACGCCACTGGCTGGCACCCGACAAGGCTGCTGCACTCGAGTCCACGGTGCAAGCCATCGCTGTGGCCGGCAAAGGCATCAGCGCGTGCGACGAGTCGGGCCGCACGATCAATCCGCGTTTCGCAAATGTCGGCATCGAGGCGACGGAGGAGATGCGACGCGTCTACCGCGAGACTTTGTTTACGGCGCCCGGCGCGACGGACTGCCTGACGGCCGTCATTCTGGATCCGGAGACGGTCTTTCAACAGGATAGCAACGGCACACCGTTCCCGGAGGTATTGGCGAAGCAAGGCCTTATTCCTGGAGTGAAGCCCTCGCTGACGGTCTACAAGCTGCCTGGAACCGCGGGCGAGACGACGATGCAGGGCCTCGACGGCCTGTCGGAGCGGTGCGCGAAATACTATGCGGCCGGCTGCCGCTTCGCGAAGTGGCGGTCTCCGCTCACGATCGACGTGGCCGCGGGCACGCCGTCGGCGCTGGCCATCGAGACGAATTGCAGGGACCTCGCGAGGTACGCGCTGATCTGCCAATCGGAAGGTTTAGTCCCGATTGTCGAGCCGGACCTGGTCCTCAAAGGGGCTCACTCTTTGGAAGATGCAGTCGAGGCGAACGCGCGCGTGTTGGGTGAATTAGTGCGTGGTATGCAAGATTATGGGGTGCACCTGCCGGGCACGCTCCTGAAGACCAATCTGGTGAATTGTGGGAAAGACTGTGAGCCCCAAGCCTCCGTCGAGGCAATCGCGGATGCCAACCTCAGGGTGCTGCGGCGCGTCCTACCCGTGGCCGTCGCCTCGGTGAACTACCTGTCCGGCGGCCTGTCTTTGGATAGGGCTACGGCCATCCTCAGTGCGCTGAACAAGCTGAAGCGGGAACGCGGTGGCGACCGTTACGCGCCCTGGAACCTGTCGTTCTCCTGGTCGTCGTGTATCCAGCTGCCCCTCTTCGATTTATGTAAGACGGAGGCCAAGGACGAGAGTGGCCTCCCGCGTGCCGCCATCCAAAAATTATACGTCGAGAACTTGCTCAAGGCGCGGGCCGCGGCTTTAGGCGGTCTCTGACTCGTGCCGCACACGGCGGTGCCGGTCCTAATATGAAGTCTAGTCACAAGCACTTACATCAAGCGGGGGGATCTACTTGTTCGGGCAGCGGTTCGCCCAGTGCCCCGGCTGGCCGCACTTGAAGCAGTGCCCCGACCCCGGGCGCTTCCCGCCGCCGCCGCCGCCGCCGCCCCAGGTCACGATCAGGATCTCGACCCCCGGGTTCGCCGCGCCGTAGTCGGCGATCGCCGCCTCGTAGTCGCGCCAGCTCCCGCCCGCGAGGGCGCACCCGATCTCGTGAGGAAAGGCGACGCGCCGGAAGCCCTCGGCCGCCAGCTTCGCGAGGCCCTCCTTGAACCAGCGCAACCGGTTCGCCTTCGTGTCGCCGCCCGGCGGCTCCGGGCGCACGCGCCGGTACTTCATCGCGGGGCCCATCTCTGTGTAGAAATGGACCAGTGAGTCAACGCCGCGTCGATGGCGTGGAGGGTGATCTCATTTGAAGTCCTGGCAACGCTGATCCACTGACCGAATTGGGCGAAGAGGCTCACGACGGCCGGCCCGCTCCCGCGGCGCACGGCGATGCTCCCCGGCACGGCGCGGTCTTCCGGGATGGCAAACTTGCGCGCCGGCGGCATCGGCCGGCGGTCCTTGTAGGTGTCGCCGTACGGCAGCTTCTCGGCGATCGCCGCGGCGAGGCCGCGCCCATCACATCCTACACAGTTGCTCTGCTGCACGATGGCGTCGACGCGCGACAGGATGCTCGGGTCGAGCACGCCTCCGGCGGCGTGGACGCGCTCGATCTGTGTCGTTCGGGCACGCTTGGCCGGGCGCTCGTCGACGCGGCGCGGCGGCGGCGCGGCGTCTTCCTCAGCTTGCAAGCGCCGCGCGAGTGCCAGCGACGCCGCCTCGTCGTCGTCGCGCGCGCGCCGCGGCTGCTGCTGCGGTGCTGCCGGTGCCTCGTCATCGCTCTCCTTCGTCAGATCGATCGTCTCCGCCATAGTTTCTGGCAGCCGCTGTGGCGGGGTGGCTCCGGAGCTGCTCTCAGGAGAGTCTGGGGACAGTAATCGATGGCTTTTCCGAAAGGACGTATGTAGAGCGGTCCTCGGACAGCGCGCGCTGGCTTCTCGTCTCACACAGACGGCGTAGGCGTCTCGGGAAGACCAGGCTTGGCAAAAACTAGTGTGTCATCCGACGCTAGCATCGCAGCCGCAAAAAGGCCGCACGCGGACTATACGTAGTTACTCGCGACGCGCGGACCTCTTGAGAACCGTCCGGCCCACATCCGTTGCATCCGCAGCGAAATCAGCGCCCTCAGCCGGGCGTAACCCTTTTGCCACTAAAAAGGCTTCCTCGGCCGCTCGCGCAAGCCGCACGCCAGCCGCCGAGCAGCAAAACCATGGACGCTGCCGGCCGCGCCCAATTGCTCTTCGCCATCCTGCTGGGCATGGGCGTGACGGGATTCCTCTTCTTGTGCGTCTCCGCGTCGACGTGCGGCGCGTGTTATGTGGACCCGTGCGTCCATCCGCCCGGTTTGAAGACGCTGTACAAGGTCAACTCGTCGCTATGCTTCGCCGGCGTCAGTTCAGGCATGTTCTTCTGCTTCCTGAGCGGCTGGGGCGCTCTACTCACCCTACGACGAAGAGCTTCTGTTATGGGCTTCGGTCATTTTTTCGGATCGTGTTGCGTGTCCTTTCTCGTGGCCGTGCAAGCGGCGGGCATGTGGGGCGCGGAAGCGACGTTGCTCGAGGAGTTCGGCGCCCGCAAAATCTACGAGGAGGCCATCGTCGATGGCATGTGCGGACTCGGCGTCCCGTCGTGTGGAGGCGCCTTCACGCCATCGATGCGACTCGTGTCCATCTCACAATGAAGTGGGTGGTTTCTTTTTTGATTTTGAGGCCATTCGGACCGCGTCGAGACCGCGATGCTCCGCGCAGGTACGAGCAGGTCCGCGTACGGCCGAACAAGGCCCTGCACAAGGCGTGTCGGTTCTTATTCACGACGGCGGTGTTGATGTCGCTTGCTTTGATGGCATTAGCACCTTTGTACTTTTTATCTAGAGATGTTTATGAAGATAGCGACGACGGCGAGCGGGCGGCGGACTCGCTGCGAGAGCAAGCGGCCAACGTCGCCGCTCGGGCGTCGCGGAACCGCCACATCACGTCCTACAATCCCATTGGTGTTGATAGAAGTTACGGTGGCGACGACGAGCGGCAGCACCTCGGCAGGGCCGCTTTACCCTTGCGGCCGATGAAGAAGGCTCCCCCTTCCGAAGAGCCGGAAGGAGGCGTGTAATATACCACAAGTTATTGACTATCGCGAGACGGGCGCCCGCGACCGCGACACCGCGGGCTTCTTCGCACTCTTTCGTTTGGGCGGCTTCGGCTTCGGGTCGAGCGGCCCGTCGACGCGCACGTTCCGCGGCTCGAAGTCGGGGTCGCCCTTCAGGTAGAGCCACCGGCCGTCCTCCTTGACGAACAGCGACCTCTCAATAAAATCCTTCGTTTCTACTAACCGCTCGTCCACCAACCCGTCGAGGACCTTGATCCGAGCGTTCCACGTGATGCTGTGCGTCTCCTCATCAACAGGTATCGAGTCGTAGATCACGAGTTGGAGGAATTTGGCTGCGGCCGCGAAGTCGAGGATCCGCGCCCGCCACGCGTCGCGGTCCTCGTCGTATTCTTCGTTGCTCGGGTGCGTCGTGTCGATGATGAAGTCGGGCTTCCGTTCCACGTAGGCGCTGTACCGCGCCTTCAGGATGTCGTCCGGTCCCGCCGCGAGCCTTGCTGCTTCGTCGTCGTGCAGCGCCTGGCAGCAGAGCTCGTACGGGATCTCCGCGCCCTCCGTCGCGGCCTTCGCAGTGAGTGGCTGCCTGAGGGTGCTGTGCCCTGGTGCAAGCAGCGCGGTTGCACCGCTGAGGGTGAGCAGCAGTAGACCGCGGTAGCGCGGCATCGCTGCGCGAGGTTGCAGACGCTCTCCCTGCAGTAAGCGCACAGGTGCGCTCTATGCTTCAACGCGTCGACAGCGTTGGAGGTTGCACAGTGTGATGATCAGAATTGCTGGCTGCGATGCCAGAACGGTGGCTGCCAGTCCTGTGCTGCCGCCGTGCGACGAGTTACAAACTCAGCCCCTGGCAGAGCTGGCTAGTGTCTCACACCGCTAGCTCTGTGGTACGGCGTGGTGAGGAGCTCTGCCAGAGCCGTCGACGCAACAGAGCGATGCGTGCGGCCGCGGCACTAGACATGCGCAAAGCAAAAGCGCTCTGCGGCATCCACGCTGTTGCGCCATAGGCAGCCCCAAAAGGCAGCCCGCGCAAGCAAAAACGATCAAGAACACACGTCTCGCGCGGTAGCGAACGGCTGCGGTGCGCGCGGACCCGGCCGCGGCGCAAGCACACGATCGAAAAGGCGGCAGCCCCGACACGGACAACACAAAAGCGGACGGATGGCCATCTACTGCTTAGATGCGGGCGCGGCGACGACGCGCGTCTGCCTCGCGGGCGAGGACGCGCCGAGAGTGCGTGTGCCCAGCGCTAGAGGAGACAACGAGCAGACGCCGCAGACGCCGTCGTCGCCTTCTAGAGGTTTAGCTCCGGACTGGGCGGCCGCGGAGGAAGTCTGGCTCGCCGCGCTAGCGGCCGCCGCGCCGACGGTCGACGCCCAGGCCGTGGTGATCACGAAGCCTCTCCTCGCGCCGGAGCGGACGACGCGGCGACTGCGCAAGTTTGCGCTGAAAATCGCCCCTCGAGTCTGGGTCTGCGAGGCACCGACTTTAGCGCTATTGGGGGCCGGCCTCGAGACGGGCGTCGCCGTCGACGTCGGGGCGACGGCGGCGAGAGCCGTTCCCGTGGTAGATGGGAGAGCTGTCCCTCATGCGGCCCGAGCGGCGGCTCGCCTCGGTGGAGATGCTTTAGATGCGCGCGTCGGTCAGGTGCTGACGGCGAAGGGTCTGCGGTTTTCTTCCAAGAAATCGTTTTTTGCGGCTGCCAGAAAAGTCAAGGAGACCGCCGCCGCCGTGCAGTCGGAGCGACGGCCGCAACTATCTCTATTGACTGTTGAGTTAGAAGACGGCCAGAGCGTCTCCTTGACCACGGAGGACCGTTTGAGAATTGGCGAGCAGCTCTTCGACGGCGGCGGCATCGACGCCGTCGGGCTGCACGAATTAGTATTAGCGGCGGCGGTGGCCGCGGCGGACGGCGCGAAGCGAGCCAAGCTCCTGAACGGCGTCTTCGTCTGCGGCGGGGGCTCGCTCGTCGACGGGCTTCCAGAGAGACTGGGCGATGAACTGCGCAAGCTCGCCGCGGACCCCGACGCCGTCCAAATAAGGGCCGGACCTCGTAGACAGGATGCGGCGGTCGTGGGCGCCGCGGCTTTAGCCGCCGCGCCGGACGTCGAAGTCGCCTGGGCGACGGCCGACGCGAAAAACATCAGCCCCGCCGTCGCGGCGGCCGCCGCTGCGGCCTCGCCTGCGCGTTCTGTGGTGGAAGCAACACCTAGGGCGCGCGCCGCGTTGGCGCACGCGTCGGCGTCGCGCGACGCGGCGCCCGAGTCGTCGCCCCGATCGTTCACGCCGCCGCCGCCTCCACGTGAATCGCCCATGCTTTCTCCCGCATCTCTCGATATTGTGCGCCAGGGCGTCTCGAAGATCGCCGCGGCCACCGTGTCTCCGCCGAGACATGCATTGCCGCCGCTGCCGCCCCCAAGGACGTCGCCCGTCCAGGTCCCGGACGGCTCGGAAGGCGCGCCCTTCGATTTGGGAGTGGAGTCGCCCCAGGCGCACGACCCCCTGCGCACCGAAAAGCCGGCGCTGCCGCCGCGCGAACGCGACGTCGACGAAGCCGCGCGGCGGGCCTTCGAGCAGTCCGCCGCCGAGGCCGCCGACGCGGCGATCGTCGCCGGATTGAGGAGGGAGGGGCAGTTGCGGGAGCAGGTCGAGGCGCTCGAGAAGCGGCGGTCGCCCGTTTTGTTCTACCTGCTCTTTGCGGCGGCGTGCTGGTTCGTGTACGTCCGGGACCGCGAGGGCGTGCGGTGGACGCACTGACGGGTAAGTTCTGGGAGGGCTACTATGGCGAGTCTGGGGGCTTTCCCCGGCGCCGCGCGCGGCGCGCCCGCCCCGTGCGATCAAGATTCCCCCATCTCCGGTGCGATCATCATCTCCGGCGCGAAGAACCTGCGCGACATCGCCTACGGCCGCTAGCCTCCGCCGAATTCCTCCTCCGACCTTCCACAGCGGCACAGCGCCGCGGTGCGTCCCTTCGCCACCGAGTAATACTACCTCTCGACCCGATATACAGGCATGTAGTTACATCATGATTCAGAAGGAGTTCTTCCGTCGCGACGCGGGGCGCGCGCGGCCGTCGTTGTCGAGGACCGCGTAGTCCGCGGGGCCGGCGCGCGACGACGGGCGCGAGGGCGGCGACGGCGTCGCGCGAGCTGCCGCTAGGCGCCGGCCGAGCATCGCCGGCGACGACAGGGGCACCGAACTTCTCTCAGCAGTGCCCCGCAGCCACGGGTGCCGGCAGCACTGCGCCGCCGTATATCGACGACGAGGGTCCACCTGCAGCAGGTTCGCCAAGAGATCGCGCGCACCTTTGGACAGCCCGCGCGCCCACGACGGGAACCGCAATTCGAACTTCTTCGAAGCGTTCGGCGAATTGATACGCGCCGCGTCGTCGTCGAAGGGCAGGCAGCCGCAGAGCAGCACGTAGGCGATGACCCCGAAGGCCCACATGTCGACCGCTTCGGAGTAGGTCCGCCGCTTGAGCTGCGCGGGAGACGCGTCTTCTCGCGGCGATGCGTACGCAATCGACGCGGCGCCGGCGGTTCGAAGGCACGAGGACACCGATCAATAACCATCTCCGGCGCGAGATACCCGCGCGTCCCCAAGAACGACGCGCAGACGTCCCGCGTCTGCCGCGCCTTCGACAGCCCGAAATCAATAATCTTCACGGTCGGAAATCCGACAGGAGACTCCTTCGCCAACAGTAAGTTTTCGGGCTTGAGGTCGCGGTGGATGACGCCCTGGTCGTGCATGAAGCGGATGGCGTCGCCCACGTCCGACAGGATCGAGGCGGCCTCGTCCTCTCCTAATGTACCTCTTTTTACAACGTAGTCGAAGAGCTCTCCGCCCGTCAACAGTTCCGTCACGAGGTACAACTTGTTTTCATCTACTACTGCATCTTCTAGAGAAACAACATGAGGATGTCGACACCTCTTCAAAGCTAGGACTTCCGACGCGAATTGATCCGCGACGCCGGGCGTTTGGAGTCCTGCGGCAGACACTACTTTCGTGGCGAAGACCTTGCCTGACGCCTTCTGGGTGGATTTGTGGACTGTACTTGTACTGCCAGAACCTATTTCTGGTCCTAAATCGTATAAAGCGGCGAAGGACGCCTTCCGGCACGCCTGTTCGACCAATGGCGAGCCCTGAACAATAGCTATCGGTTTCGTTCGCGCTTGTATTAATGGTGATGGAGACCAACCATCACTGTTGCGTTCGGAGTTCCGCCGCCCGAAGGGCCACCAGCAGGCGCAGAGGTCGGACATCTCCGCCGGCCGCGTCTATTATTTCTGCAGCGCACGCGGGAGCTGCAGCGCCGCGGCAGCGCTGCGGTCGCAGCCGTGCGTCCTGAGTTCTCAGCGCTGCACGCGCCGACGGCTTTTTCGCCGCGTTCTCCTAGCTGCAGCTGAGAGTTGCTCCTGGCTCCAAATCGTTGCGCGCAGCAGCCGTAGCTTCGTCAACGCAGTCCTTTGGACAAATGCGGAATCTGACAGCCCTTGCGGTGTCAAAAGCTAGGCAGACCCGGCTCGGGAATCGTGAGCTCCGCCAGTCACATGACAAAATGAGAATGGATGGCCCCGGCCGGGCAGCGGAAACGGGTGCGTCGCCGCGTCCAGAGGCCTGCTGGGATGCGTATGCCGCGTTCGCAATGAAAATGTAGTGCACGCTAGGCAAGGACTCTAGCTCGAGCTTTGCTCGAGTCGCTGCACGCGACGCGCCGCGAGCAAGCCTCTGTGCGAGCTGACGGCTGCGGACAACGCTAAAATTCTGATCGGGCAGCTGCGATAACTTCGCAGCCGGCGAGCGCTCAGAAAGCAGGCCTGAGGCTTTCACATTAGAAAGCACCAGGAGGACCGCACGCGACGCAGCGCGCACGAGTGGTGCCGCAAGCGTCCGCACGAGCCGACGGCTGCGGACGGACGCTAAAAACCTGTTCGGGCCGCTGCAGAATTAGCACACGAGCGAGCACTGCCTCCGCCGGACGGCAGTGAGTCACAACCATGGATACTGTAGTGGTCGCGTTCATCAGCTTCATCCTCCTGTTGTCCATCGGCTTCGAGCTGGCCCACCACCACCTGAAGGAGACGACGCCGGAGGCCTTCCAGCCCATCCTGACGTCGCTCTACTCCGAACTCACGCTACTCGGCTTTATTGGGTTATTGATGTTCACGATTTTCAAACTGGAGATCCTCGAAGAGCTCTCGAAACACCTGTTCGGCGAGGGCGAGGAGATCAAGGAACTGGGCGAGCAGGTGCACATGGTGCTCTTTGGCGTCATGGCGCTGTTCCTGGCCCAGGCCGTCGCGCTGGCCAAGTTCGGCGAATTTATACAAAGGAAGTGGTGGCGTGGCGGCGTCCTCACGTCCATGAGCGTGGTTTCTTTTGCGATTTTGAGTCTCTGGAAGACGTCGGGGCCGTCGCGGCGTGTCCGAGGGACCGCGGCCGATGGCGTCACGAGACAGCGCCGCCGCGACGCCGTCGACGCGATGCCACATCGGACCGCGTCGAGAGAAATGCCCCGCGCAGGCACGTCTGGGAGTGCACTCCGCTAGTCTCCAAAGCTGATGAAGAAGAGCGGTATAAATCGTTAAAAGCCGCGGCGAAGCTCGCGAAGAACCCGGCGACGTTCTGGACCTTCGCGCTCAAGAACCGCATGTCCGCTCGCGGCGTCCCGTCGACGCGCGTCGTCTCCAGGAATGATGGAATGCTCCGCGCAGGTCCGAGAAATACAGATTAGTGTTACACACGGCCGCACGGTTAAGATTCGTCGAGGAGAACGGCCTCGCGCATAGCGATTTTGATTTTGCCCGCTACCTGGCCTGTCGGCTGGGCCACGCGCTGGGAGAATTGGTTGAAGTGCCCGCGCAGACCTGGATCCTGCTCGAAGTCGTGCTACTCTGCTTCTGGCAGGCCGATATTCATCTAGATCCTAATATGAGGCTGTTTCTGTGGCTGCTGACGGGCTACGCGACCTGCATCGCGACCTATGCCATCCACGCGAAGCTCCGGTTGATCCTCCACGACTACTGCGCGCCTTTTGTGGAGGCGGACGTGGCCATGATGCATCGCCTCGGGGCCGCTGCCGAAAAAGATTTACATGGTCATGAACGTTTTCCTACGAGTCCTAGGGCACCTACGAAAGATGATTCGGACGAGGAGGCGCCTTCCACAATCGCGGCGCAGGGCAACGAGCGCACGAAGAGGCTCAAGGCCCTCAAGGGCGAATCTACTCGCTCTTTAGTTGATGTGCTTCCCACGCTACCGATCCGTAGACGGGGCCCCGAATCGACCCCATTGCAGCCCGTCACAGAAACGACGGAGAACTACTGTGCACAGTTCTGGTACGTGCAGCACCCCGGGCCCCACTTCACGTTCGACCCCGTGTGGAAATCAACTCGCGTCTCGCGATCTCGGCACCGAAACTCGGACACGACCGCCGAGCGATACCCTCGACCGTATCCAGAGAGCAGCACCTCACGCAGGTTCGACATGATCCGGCTCAGCACGCTGATGACGGCCATTTACATCGTCATTTTTGCATTAGTTTATTTGGACGACTTGTTGGTTGGTAGTGACGAAGCTTTTGAAGAGAGAGGTGGGTTGGTAGGAGGTCTACTCATTTTATTGATAGCTCTCTTACCGCCCCTACTCGTGCTGCGGAAGGTGACACGTATTTTGGAGGACTATGTGGTCGTGGCTAATATCTCTGATTTAAAAAATAGACGTACTATTGAAATAGTCTTGAGGCGGCAGAAGACGGTGGCGGCCTTCGAAGCTCTCAAGGTCGTCCAGTGCCTGCGCGACCCGAAGATGCTCTTGAGGGTTGTAGGACATACATCAATACCCTCACCTCAATCAGAGGACCTCAGCACGAAGTTCAAGAGCCCGGAGCAGCCCAAAGCCAAGAAAAGTATAGCGCTGTCCGAGTCGCCGCCGGAGGACTACCAGCCGACGCCCGAGACGTCGTCGACGCCTTTTGCGGCCAGAAAACGCCTCCAGAAGGAGCAGCGCGGTGCTACCAAGAGGAGGCATCGCGCGTCCGTGGCTGGTCTCACGCAGTTGAGACAGGAGGAGGCGGACATCTACGAAGCGCGCCAGCGGTCGCAGTGGCGCCGCATTTTTGACCTCTTCGACGACGACGGCGAAGGTACGTATCTCGGCGTCCCGTGGCCTTCTCTGATGGAAACGCCATCGACGCGACTCGCCTCCATCAGACGAGGCCGTGAGTGGTCTCTTTGTTGATTTTGAGGCCGTTCGGACCAAGACCGCGATGCCCCGCGCAGGGAGCATCGACAGGAATGAGATGCGCGACTTGATGAGGAAGTTCAGCCCGGAGGCGACGATCGACGAGATCGAGGCGGTCTGCGACGCCCTCGATAGCGACGGCGGCGGAGACATCTCATTCGAGGAGTTTTTCGACTTCACGCAAAAGCTGACGTTCCACATGGCGGATCTCGGCGTCCCGCGATGCTGCGGTGCCTTCACGCCATCGACGCGACTCGTCTCCAGGAATGATGGAAGTGGGTGGTTTTTTGAGAGATTTTGAGCCGGTTCGGACCGCGTCGAGACCGCGACTCGCGCAGGCGTCCGTCGGCGACACGCGCGAGCTGGCCAAGGACATGTTCGAGCTCATCGACGCGGATAGCAGTGGCGAGATCACGGTGCACGAGATGCACGCGGTCGTGTCGGATTTGCTGGGCCTGGACCTGAGCGTCGAGGACGTCTTCAACGTCGTCCAGGACATCGACGAGGACGGGAACGGGGAATTGGATTTGGAAGAATTTGAAGTCTTGCTGGAGCGGTTTGGGATCTTCGAGGACCTCATGCATGTTTCGACGTAGGGGGAATTCACAGATAAGTTTAGTTTACTTCTAGTACTTTCACACGTACGACCCTCCACGCCGTCGACGAGGCGTAGTAGGGACCGCGTCGGTGGCGCCGTCGACCACTGGCGGGCGTAATAAGAACCGCCGCGTCGATGGCGTCGCGGGGGAGCTACACTCGGTCGCGGCCCCACCGGCACCGGTGGCCCGCCCGCGAAAACAGGCGCTCGTTGAACGGCGCCGTGAAGTTGTCGATGTGCTGACGCGCTTCTGTGGATATGGCCGGCCGCTTTTCTGCCAGTGAAGCAGCATCCGTCCAACTCGTCACGGCACCATAACCACGATGCTGCGCGCCGGCGTTGTACTTTCCGCGAGCCACGGCCGCTCCAAAGTCGAATTGGGATAGTCCTATGAACGAGGCGACGCGGCCCATCTCGCTCGCCGCCTTTTGGAGGTCGTTCAAATCCTCGGAGCAGACGAGCAGCATGTCTTCCTCCGGTAAAGCCGCGTACCACCAGTCTAAATTTGAAATATACAGCCCTCGCCCCACGAGCTGGCGCCAGAGATGCGCATTCAGGCGCGGTAGTGACATGGCGACGGCCGTGCGCCGCGCGGCCTTCGCCGCGGTATCAGCCGCTTCGCCTTTGAAGCGCTTCCGCGCCTGCTCGCCGGCGTAGCGCCGCGCGACAGCTCCCGCTTGACTTTCGGCGGATTTCGCACCGTAGCAGTCGTTCGAGAGATCCCTACAAACTTTGTCTCCACACTTTCTCGAAGTGCCGTCCCGGAAGAACGCCTCCAAAAATTGAATCTCCGCCCCGACCAGCATTTCGAACGGTAACGGTACACGAGCACTCCCCACATAGTTGTAGTGGTAGGAGGAATGGGCCCGCTCCGCGGGGTCCCGCGCGATGACCAGGATGCGCACACCATGTAAATGCCTTGCCACTCTCCCGGGCACCTGCGAATACTGCGCGTAGCCCGGCGACGCCTCGCCCGTGACCTCGCCCTCCTTCAATGAAGCGGGAAACTGCGACAGGTAGCTCCGTTCCATGCGCGACGCGTCGTACGCGTGGTCAAAAAATTGAATCTGCTTCCGCCGCGCTTGTATCACGGAAGGGTGCGCGGCGAGGTAGTAGTATAAAGATGAGGTGCCGCACTTGCCGATGCCGATGATGAGGAACGACGGCCGACATCCGGACGCGGTGCAGGGCTTGCCGGCGTACGGTAATGGTCTTTTGGTGCGGAGCTGCGCCACGCCGACGGCTAGTATTGTTACGGCCGCGGCCCAGGGCCAGCGCCGCATTTTTGCTGGCTCCCCTTTGCTGCTTTTACTAGCCGTGGTGCTTAACCGATGAGCCGCAGCTCTCGCACATGATTAATGTGATAAAGATTGATTCAATCGCGGCGTCTGGCTCCTCAAAATATAGACCGCGTCGCGTCGCAATAGGTGCGCTCGACGCCGCTCGAGGCACAAAACGGGTTTGCGCAACGAAGCTGTCCATAAGTCTGAACGAGGGAGCTGTCTGTCGTGTTTGCCGTGGATAGCTCCCAGCCAAGACGCCTCGCGGCGAACCCCGCACGGAGGCAAAGCTAGCGCCGCGCCGCTGCGACCTAAAAGCAGCCGTAACGCTCGTGGGACCGCCTACCGAGGGGCAGCTGCGGACGCCCGCCGACGCGAGGCTCGGCATCTAGCCGCTCCCGGGAGGACGGCACGGGCTGCCCAGCACAAGGGCAAGGCCACGATGCGCTCCCCGCCCGGCGCCCTACCGACGAAGCCCCCGCCGACGCCCATGGCCAAACTCCAAGATGACATTACCGAGATCGACATCCTGCTGGAAGCGTCGAAGCGCGCGCGCGAGTCCGTCGCCGACCGCGCCAAAGGCCTCTACGAAGAGCACCTCGCGACGCAGCGCAAGTTCGATGCGGACCTGCAGCGCGAAACGCTCGCGAAGAAGCCGGGCCTGCGCGTCGACCACTCGCTGATGTTCCACCTCGGCGGTGGTCAAGACGCCGATACTGTACCATCGGCGCCGGGCACCGCTCCTCAAAAGAAGAAGGAAGCCACACCGCTGCCCGAGGACGCCGTCGTGCCCCCTCCACCTAGTTACGCGACGGACCAGGAGGCGAGGGAGTGGGACGACTACTATCGCTACTGCGCGCGCGGTGCTCTGTTCAAGGCGCTAGATCGAGGGCGGATGACCGAACTAGAAATGGGAAAGGAACTAGCTAAAATAGCCTTGGAGGCGGAGTCGTTACCGCGCTACGGCGACGACGAGGAGTACTACGACGAGACCGCTCCTCAAGTGTTGCTAGACCTCGCGCGGATCCGCGACGTCGACTCACGATTGGGCAAGTCCAAAACAAAGCTGTATAAGGCTCGACGAAGTGCCTACGACGAAGTCCGACAGCGCTTGGACGCCTACGGCCCCAAGAAGATCAAGGACCCCGGGATGGCGCAGCGCATGCGGGATCTCGGTCTCAGATTACCGACGGGACCGGCACTCGTGCAGGAAGCTTTAGAAGAGCACGCTTTGCGTAAAAAGCAGCAGAAAGGGTTGCAGCTGGCGCCGGCGCCGGCGCCCTCGGAGCAATTCGAAGAGTACTACGAGGAGGACTTCCCGGTACTGACTCGGCGTGAAAAATGAACTTGAACTTGATCTGGTGGAGGCGATGGCGTCGATGCGGTCGCCAGAGCGCCCACGCGCCTCGTGAGGTCGTTTTGTGACGGTGTCGTTCCCACGCAGGAGACGCCCGACGTCATGCCAGAACCCGAACTAACGGCGCAAGAAATTGTGGAAAGGCAGACTCGAGTGGCCGGGCAAATGCGTAGACATATCAAGCGCGACAAACACGTGCTGGACCCAATGCATCAGCTCCCGGCCGACCCGGAAGGTCTCCCGAGAGACATGCTGTTCTCGTCGATAGCCAAGGAACACACGGTGAGTGTGGACCTGGCCTTCCCGTCGCTGGACGCCTATCGGAGGAGCGAGCACGACGTCGCCGCGTATTTTGCTCCAGGCTACACGGCTCACTTGTCAGAAATTGACAAGATCAAACACGTGGGCGGCTTCTGGACGGGCATCCGGGCCGAGACGCGGAGGATGAATTCAGAGGACGTGCCGTCGCCCGTTCCTAAGACAGAAGTGTTGGCTCCTGTCCAAGAGCCGACGCGCACGCTGCGACGCATTCCCATCAGAACGACGGCGTTGGAGTCGTTCAGAGATTGTGTGGAGCACGGGGCGGCGTGCTTGTCTTCGGTCAATCTACCAGAGGCTTCTCGCAAAGCATTGGAGGGTCCTCGGTTTGCCCAGGCCATCGCGACTTGTGGTGAGGCTCTAGACCTGGCTTTAGACGGTTCGGATTCAGATAGGTCGTTGATAGCTGAGGCGTTGTCCCAGGTCTGCGCTTCGCAAGCTGCTCTACCTATCTTGGACTCGGCGAGACCGCCTACGCCACCGGAGTGCGACGCCTACGCTAGGGTAGTCGCGGCAGCAGCAAGACGAGAGGAGAACTTCGCCTACCCCGCGTCCTTCGCCCATCTCTGCGCCTTTTGCTGCGTGTGTGCTGCATTGGAGGACGCCGCCGCGGACGAGCTAGCACAGACAAAACGCAAGAGTGATCGAGGTGCGTTTGAAGCGGAAAGAGCCTATAGGGATTTGGTGCGAGCGCCCCCGCAAACGAAGGACGAGTGCCTCGACTGGATCGACGAGCTCCACGCGTGTGGTGCCTTGTCGGAGAGCACTTGTGGCTCCATGGCCGAAGCCATCCCGCAGCGCAAGACTAACGTCGCTACCGTTGTCGCGTCGGCCGGTTTTGAGAGTGATGTAGACGCTTGCGCGACGTACGAGGCCCTGCACGAGGATGGTGTGAAACGACTCCCGCGGACGGTTGACAGGGACGACGCCGCGTTACTGCTCTATGCTCTCATTCTAGCCGCTCTAGACGAAGCGCGGCCCGCGTATGAACTGCAAGAATTAATACGATCAACGGCCGCCGAGGCCGGCCCGCCGTCGCTCCACAAACCCCACAAAGTAACAGAGGATCAACCCGAGGACGAGGCCGAGGACGAGGAACCTTCTTCAGAACTACTACTCGTGAGGGCCTTCCGCAAGGCCGTGCGGGAGGCGGGCAACACCTTCGACGGGACTGATGAAGGTTCTGTGGATTTCGACGCGGCCTTCGCCGCACTAGCTGGAGGAGGCATGGAGCAGATCCCGCCGCAACTCTGCGCGCCGCTGTTGCGACCCTTCGCGACGCACTGGGGCTCATCGGAGGGCAAAGCGCTGAGTGAGGCGCCTTTTGATGATGCGGCGCCGCGGAAGGTCGCCGCTTTGCTCGCGGCATCCACCGGCGGCCAGGTCCAGGCGCGGTCTCTGGAGCTGTTTTTAGCTGAAACCGCGCCGGCGACGGCGGCCGTGCCCGAGGGCGAGGCGCCCATCGTCGTGGGGCGGCGCCTGCGGCGGCTGCGGAACGGCGGGTTTGGGGTCGTGACCGCCACCGAGGCGCCCGGGGCGGCCGCGGGCTCGGCCTGGATGCTCCACGGCCTCGTCTGCCCGGGGCGGGTCCGAAGTCAAGTTGCGGTGGCGTTGGACGACCTGCCGGCCGGCGCCGCCGTCGACGGCCTGCCGGACGCTCTTCTGCGGTGGGCGCGCTTCGACGACGCGGGGATGCTGACGGGGGTCTTCGCATAAATCACAATACAAACTACTTATCTTCATCATCGTCCGTGAAGGCGGGCGAGTCCTCCTCGTCCGGAGTGACTGGGGCCGCGTCGTCGGCGGCTTCCGCGGGCTCCACCACAGGCGTCTCCTCCGCGGTGGGGTCCGGCGCCATCCACGACGGCATAGCTCCGTCTGCGGCGGGCTCCGGCGCAGGAGGTGGTAGCGGTTCCGCCGCGGCAGGCTCTGGCGCGGGCGGCGGCTCCTCCACGGCAGCCGGTGCTGGCGCTGCGACTGTCGGCTCGGCGGCCGCCTCGGACGCTGCCGACGACGCGCGCGAGCGCGGCGCCGCGGGCGACCCCACCGACGCCGGCGACCGCGACGACGCCGGCGAGCCGAGTGCCGCGGGCGGCGGCGCGCCCGCGGGGAACGCGGCTAATAGACCATTTGCCGGCTTCTCCGCCGTAGCTAATCGTCGCGCCTCCTCGACCAACGCCCGCAGCAAATTCTCCTGGGTCTTCAAAGCTTCAAATCGTTCGTTCGCCTGGGCCAGCGTGTCGGCCAACCGCGCCGCGTGGTCCTCGGCGTCCCTTGCTGCTCGTAACTGCCCGGGCACTGCTTTTGTAGCAGCTACGTACCTCGCTTTCAAGGCCCAGAGCCCGCCGTCGCCCCGCAACGTGTTCTGAGCCTGCAAGCGCCCCGTCACGGCCTCCGGTGTCAACGTGTCGTACTGCAAGTGGGCGCGCTGGACGTAGGAAGAGGCCGCGACGCGACCACCCCCACTACAAGCTCTTTGATCGATCTTGGATGAGGGACTCCGCTTCTTCACCTTGGCCTCGAGCGCTTTCGCAGCTTTAGTGACAGTCGAGGCGAACAACGAACCCGTCCTCAACAACTTTTCGCGAGCCTGGCCTAATTTGGTCGGAGGCGACGGCACGTCTCCATGCAACACGTATCCGGAAGTTGGTACGGACTTGACCTGGTCCTTGGCCTCCTCGTCCTCCTGTCGCTTCTGCCGCCGGTCCGCGCGCCGCATCCTCCTCTGGTTGGCTCGGTCCAGCTCGAACTCGGCCTGCTCCGCACTAGATCTAACTTTGTCTCCTCTCAAGTTACCGTAGCCATCACTCAAATCGGCATAGCCCTCCTGCACGCGGTCCTTGACCCTTTGGAATGTAGAGCTTTGATTTTTTACTTTTTCGTCGGAGAGAGATCTCCTGAGCCTCGCTATTCTTTCCGTGATAGATGAAGACGGCGGCGTCGCGCCGGGCTCGTTCAAGGAGCCGTCGTAGCCACTATTTCGGGGCGAGGGCGTGGAGAGGCCGAGCCTCGCGAGCGCCGCCGACGCCTGGTCTTTTATTTCCTGGCGGTTGTCCGCGGCGGTCTTGCCCTTGGCCTTGTCTAATGCTGCTTTCTGCGCGGCGACGACGGCGGGGTGCGGCGCCATCGGTGCGCCGCGCGCTCCGCTGCTGATGCTCCGGCAGCACAGCCAATAATTACTTGCAGCGGGTCACGGCGTCCAGCGGTTTCGCAGAGCGACCAACGCAGCGATGGCGTCAAGGAATGCCCCTCTGACGTGTCACCGCTCACGCTGGAGGACCGATTGGCAGCGTGAAACGCGCGTCGATCGAGGCGTGAAATCGGGTTTTCTCACGAGGAGGAATCCGTCGCGGGCCGGTGGTATGCCTCCTTTGCAGCGTTGGATAGAGGCGGAAGGAGCAAGGCACTACCGAGATGCGGCATTCTCGCGCTCAGGTCTATGTTGCCGTGAGTAGGGGGTAGGAGCGCCGGGGGCTGTGGACGGCCAAAGCAGCGCCACAGAGCCGAGGAAGCTACCTCAGGCCGGCCTGCTGCACGCCTTTCGTAGGCTCACGAAACAGCTGGACAGCCAGCCTGCTGAGCAGCACCAAGGTTAGCGCTCCCCCATAGTGGGCAGCCTGCCTGGGGGCAGCCGCCGCGAGCGCCGCCGCGAGCCCAGCCTACAGGAAGACAGAAAGTATATAGACAAGAAGCCACGATGGTCGCCGCCGCCCCGGCCCCGGCGCCGGCCGAGACCTGGCCGCCGTCGCCGCCGGCCGCGACGACGCAGCAGCGCGGCTACTTCTCGGAGATGTTACAATATGGCCTGGCGCGCGAGGACGTGACGTCTTTATCTGTAGTGGAGACCGAGGAGCCTAAAATAAAGCCGCCGGTGCCCGCTTCTACCTATAACTCGGGTAGTGGTGTACCGGTCGCGAACGCCATCGTGCGCGTCAAAACTGAGGGCATCGAGCCGAAGGTCATCATGGCCGCCAAGCCCAAGCCCGGCGGCATGCCCCGGGCCTTGGAGATCCATAGAAGGACGAAGCTCTACGCGGCGCAGGACATCACGCAACTTTTGAAGGAGAGAGGTATCGACTACTCTGTCAAATTCAAGAGTGAAGTATTCGGGAAGGTTGGCGCCCCCTCGACAAAACTACCGCTCGAAGCCTTCGACGACGCGTCGTATGAGGTGCACGAGGACTGGCTCGCGTTCGGCGCAGCGCTGCCGTGCAAAGCGCTCGTCTTGGATGACGACGAGGTCGGCGCCTGGGCACCGGCGACGGTCACGGGCTACGACGTCGACAAGGGACTCTACACCGTTGCAGGACTGCCGGTCGCGGCGTCATCATCATCATCATCCTCCTCCTCGTCGTCGTCATCGTCAGACACTGATGAAGTCGCCTTGCACCGCTTACATATCTGCTTCGCGGCCGAGGACCCGGTCAATTTTGCTGAGAGAGTAAAAGCCGCACATACTGCAAGAAGGGCCGCGGAGGCGCAGCTGCTCTTCGGGCTCTGCGTCGACTGCATGCCGACGGAGGGCTGCGCCACGCCCGACGACGACGCGTTGCGACGCGTCGCGGCCTTGGCGACGTGTACGAGGACGTTGAGAGCACTGAATCCGTCGACGGACAAAATAGTCCAAGACTGCGCCCAGGACTACGCGCGGACGCTGAACGGGATTGCTTTCAGAGCGGTACATAAAACTGATACTAGTGAACTGATGCAGCTCCTAGAGCCTCCTCCACTTTCAGAAGAACGTTCCGTACCAGAGAGAGGCACGCATCTCATTGAGAGATCATCATCCTACAAAGACGCCTTCGCCGCCTTTCGGTTCCAGTCGTGCTTAACAAGACCGGAAGTCTTCGCCATCATAACTGATGTGAGGGCGGAGAACGAGAAGATGCTCCTCCTCAAGCCCTTCAACCACGTCGCCAAATCTACTAGGGTAGACGACTTCGGGAAACTGCAGCGCGACGCCACGGATGCTGTTGCAGTTAAGTTGAAGAAGGAGTGGCCCCGTTATGTCACGACGTGTCTGCGCCAGCACCTACGTCACGTCACGAAAGGTGCCGACTCGGCGTCTTTTTCAACTTGAACTTTGGGAAGATGGTCTCGCCACGCAGGCTGGTACAACCTCGAGGAGTCTTCAGATGATATATATAAAAAGAGCAAGTTAAAACAGTTCCTGCGGTGCCTCAACCTGATGATGGAGGTCCGTGACTCAGCGTCTTCAGTGATCTTGAACTTGCCGGAGTCGTGGCGATACCGCCTCGACGCCGTCGACGCGGCCGCGTGAGCGTCTATGTGTCTCATGAGAGAATGTCCGTGCCACACAGGCCTGCATGCGTACCTTACTGACGAACTCTGTCAATGACTATGCTTCATTCTTGAAACAGTGTACGCAGACACAAGTTACTGTCCAAGACTGTTCTACCGTCACAAACGATTCAAACTTCAGAAGGCCGCCGCTCTTCGCTGTCGACTTAGCTGTTGAGGATGATGCGTTTACGTACTCGTCAAAACTAGATTCATTTGTAAATGTGCCGCTGGAGCGCTTCGACGACCTCATGCGCCAGACGCAGTCCATCACGCGCGTCGAGCGCGTCGTCATGCGGAATTTATTTTGGTCGTTCGAGCCGGTCATGAAGAGCGTGCACCCGAGCGAGGACTGGGTGCTGACGCGGCGTGAGAAATGACCTTGAACTTGACGTCTGGTCGATGGCGTCATCATGACGCCGTCGACGCGATCCCAGGAGGGTCCACGCGTGTCGTGACGGCGTCCGTGCCACACAGGTGTCGGTACTGAGGGAAGAAGTGCGTACGGCACTCTCTGCGAGTGTAGAACCGCTCAAGGCTTACTTGGAGACGTACGAGCCGTACCTCGACTTTTTGAGACTAGATGTTGACAAATATGTAGAGCAGGCCGAGGAGGACTACGGCGGGCCCCCTCCAGGTCTCAGTGAAGATGAAAGGAATGAACTGAACACGCCCGACCTCAACGTCAATGAATTGAGGAGGATGGCCGAGGAGCACCTTCTCCAGAAGTCGCGAGTCGAGGACTCGGTGCCCGAAGTTGTGGATGTTGGTGCCTACCACGTCTCTTGTCAGAAAGTGCGACGATTGCTCGCCGATAAACACCAGGAGACGGCGACGAAATTGCTGGATCTCGTCGCCAGAAAGACGGGCGACAACGCGACGGACGCGTCGGGCGAGTTCCAGAAGATCATGGACCGGCGCGCTCGCGGCGTCCTTTCGTCTTGTTACGCCATCGACGCGACTCGTGGCCATCAGAGAAGGCGACGGGTGGTCTCTGGTCCAAATTTGAGCTGATTCGGACCGCGCGGTCGCCTCGCACTCGCGAGAGAGGGAGAGAGCAATCTTCACGGGTCGCGGCGATAGCGTAGGGCCCATACGCCATCGACGCGACTCGTCTCCATCAGACGAGATTTTGAGCGCGTTTCGGGCGAGATCGTCCGAACGGCCCCAAACTCGACAAAGAGACCACCACGAGTCGCGTCGACGGCGTGGAGGCGCCGCAACACTTCGAAACGCGCAGGCTGTCCATCGAGCCCCAGAACATCGAGGCGCTCACGGAGCTGCGCGACTACAAAGCGCAGGTCCCCGAGAAGTTGATTGCGCTCAAAAAAGTGATCGAGGAGGCCATGCGGAATTATGCCGTTTGCGACGAGTTGTGTTACAAGTTGCCGGAGGCCGATTTTCAATTAAGGTGGGACTTGTATTCGTGGCCCAAGAAAATCACGGACGAATGTGTGGAATTGGAGGAGAAGTGCATCCGGTTGGAGAACAAGCAGCAGATCGAGATGGAGGAGGCCCAGGCCGAGGTCCGTGAGTCAGTGTTGAAGTTGACCTTGAACTTTTTGTTGAAGCAGTGTCGTTCCCACGCAGTTCGCGGAGACCCTGAAATATTACCAGTCCGAGGTCGACGCGCTGTCGCAGTTCCACGACCTCAAATTGGTGGACTCCATCGCGCTCAAGGTCGCTACCATCAAAAGCAATTTAAGTAAAGCTGACGACGACGCGCGATTGTACAACGCGCGCGAAAGCTTGTTCGGCAAACCCGTCACGGACTATTCACAACTAAAAGAAATTCAAAAGAAGTTTGAACCGTACGGCGCCATGTGGGAGAGTGTGGATTCCTGGCTCAAGCAGCACGCGGCCTGGCTCACCGACCCTTTTGCGGAGTTGGATGCCGAAGCTGTAGAGTCGAGTGCCCAGACCATTTTAAGAACGCTCAAAAAGTGCGAGAAAAAGTTCGAAAGTGTACCAGGGTGTTTAGATGTTACAAGGACGATTTTGAAAGATGTTAGTGCCTTCGTGCCGCATGTGCCGCTGATCATCGCCTTGCGCCAGAAAGGCTTGCGGGAGCGGCACTGGGAAGCTATTTCCCAGAGATCAGGTAAAAAGGTGCAACCTGATGCTGATTGGACGCTGCAAACGGTTTTTGACTTACAACTACAAGATGATGTGGACTTAATACAAAAGCAGAGCGAGGTCGCCGGCAAGGAGTTCAGTATTGAGACCTCATTAGATGCGATGGAACGAGGCTGGGAGCCCATCACGCTGCAGATCGAACCGTATAAAGAGACCGGGACTTCTGTGTTGCGGGGTATTGATGAATACATGGCTCTCTTAGATGAGCACATCACCACCACCCAGGCCATGAGCTTTTCAGCGTTCAAAGGACCGTTCGAGGAGCGCATCGACGCGTGGAACGAGACCTTGAACACGGTGTCGGAGATGCTCGACGAGTGGATAGCAGTGTCGAAAACTTCAATTCGTGGTCTCTCGCGGTCGGAGCGAGGTCCTGCTCTCTGGATACGGTCGTGTCCGAGTTTGGGCCGCTCCGAGGGCCGTGGTGCCGAGATCGCGAGACGCGGTGGATCGCGGCGATGGCGTCCCCGCGGACGCATCTCTGCTGGAAACGCCGTCGACGCGACGCTAGACACAAATCAACTCGGAGATCAGTATCTCACCGGTCGATGCCCACACAGGTGGATCGCGGTGCAAAAGAACTGGTTGTATCTGCAGCCCATCTTCGACTCCCCCGACATCAACAAGCAGCTCCCGGCCGAGGGCAAGCGCTTCGCGACCGTCGACAAGCACTGGCGCCAGACGCTCGGTTCAGCTAGTTCAGGTCAAATGCCCGTCATCCTCTTCTGCAACGACCCCAAGCTGCTCGTGAAGTTCCAGGAGTCGAACAATCTCTTAGATATGGTCCAAAAAGGTTTATCGGATTACCTCGAGACGAAACGCGCGGGTTTTTCCCGGTTCTACTTTTTGAGCGACGGGGACTTGCTCGAAATCCTGTCGGAGACGAAGGACCCGAAGATGGTCCAGCCGCACCTGCGGAAGTGTTTTGAAGGCATCAAAAGTGTCAAATTTGATAATAGTCTATGCATCTCGCAGATGACGTCGTCTGAAGGAGAAGTCGTGCCGTTCGTGACAGATATTGACCCCAAGGGTCCGTGGCGCAGCGTGGATATGGAACCTTACGCCATCGACGCGACTCGTGTCCATCTCACGATGCCGGGGGTGGTTTCTTTTTGGATTTTGAGCCAATTCATTCGTGTCGGGGCCGTCGCGGTCGCCTCGACGCCGTCGTCGTGATCCCGTGCGCCACGCAGGCAAGAACATCGAGGTCTGGATGGTCGAGCTGAACCTCGCCATGTGCGCCGCGGTGCGGGACCACATGATCCGGGCCGTGCGCGCGTACCCCGATGTACAAAGGACGCGGTGGATGCTCGACTGGCCGGGCCAGGTCGTCTTGAACGGGTCGCAAGTGCACTGGACCCTCGAGACGGAAAAGGCCCTGGCCGAGAAGGGGAATCAAGGAGTGTATGATTATTATGAGCAAATTAAAAGTCAGCTCGCGGACATGGTCGGGAGCGGCGTCCCGTGACTTTCCGGCGGCCTTACGCCATCGACGCGACTCGCCTCCAGGAGACGAGGCGCTGGGTGGTTTCTGTTTCGAATTCGGGGCCGTTCGGACCGCGACGGGGCCGTCGTCGCGGCGATGGCGTCGCGGCGATGGCGTCGCGCGCCACGCCGTCGCCGCGGCCGCCCGAGAGTCTCCGCGCCTCGCGAGAGCACTCGAGGCGCGCCCATCGCGCGGAAGGCTCATGTCACATCACGCAGGTCGTCCTCATCCGGACGGGACTCAGTAGCAATCAGCGGACGACGGTGGGAGCGCTCGCCGTCATCGACGTCCACGCGCGCGACGTCATGAAGGCCATGGCCGACGCTGGTGTTAGTGAGTCTACTGATTTCGACTGGCAGTGCTGACTCGGCGTCCGTTGAACTTCAACTTTGGGAAGATGGCGTCGACGCGACGCATCAGCAGTTTCGTGACGGCGTCGGTGCCACGCAGGTCGCAGATGCGCTTTTACTGGGAAGGTTCGGACGAGGACGGGGACCTGTGGGTGAAGCAAGTTGAGAGCAAGCGTAGTTATGGCTATGAGTACCTCGGCAATTCGTTTCGACTCGTGATCACGCCGTTGACGGACAAATGCTATCTCACGCTCATGGGCGCTTTACAGATGATCCTCGGTGGCGCCCCTGCAGGACCAGCAGGCACAGGAAAAACGGAAACCACGAAAGATCTGGCCAAAGCCCTAGCCAAACAATGCGTCGTCTTCAACTGTAGCGATGGGTTAGATTTCCGAGCCATGGGCAAGTTCTTCAAGGGTCTAGCGTCGGCGGGCGCCTGGGCCTGCTTCGACGAGTTCAATCGGATTAATATTGAGGTCCTATCTGTCATAGCGCAGCAGATCATGACGCTGCAGGGCTGCGTGCAGCGGGGCGAGCCGCGGTGCATCTTCGAGGACACGGATATTAACGTGAACCCCGAATTTGCGGTCTACATAACCATGAATCCCGGCTACGCCGGGCGGTCGACGTTACCGGACAACTTGGAGGCGTTATTCCGACCGGTGGCGATGATGGTCCCGGATTACGCGTTGATTGGCGAAATTATGTTATTTGCGTTCGGGTACATGGCCGGCCGCAAGTGCGCCCAGAAGATGGTCGCGACGTTTCGGTTGTGTAGCGAGCAGTTGTCGAGCCAGGACCACTACGACTACGGCATGCGGGCCGTGAAGACGGTGATTACGGCGGCCGGCAATTTGAAAAGGGCGGCCCCGAACGAGAACGAGGAGGCTCTACTATTGAGAGCTCTGCAAGATGTCAATATTCCCAAATTTTTAGCCCATGATTTACCTCTCTTTGATGGTATATTATCAGATTTATTTCCCGGCATCGCGCGGCCGCCGTTCGACTACGGGCCCCTCATCACCTCATTAAAAAATGCGATTGATGAGAAGGGTCTCCAGCCCGTGCCCATCTTCATCAAGAAAAATATCGAATTGTACGAGATGATCTGCGTGCGGTGCGATTTCCGCGTTTTGAAGTGTTGCGGTGCCTTCACGCCATCGACGCGACTCGTGCCCATCTCACGATGACGTGGGTGGTTCGTTTGTGGATTTTGAGCCGTTTCGGACCGAGTCGAGACGCGATGGCCCCGACGCGGTCCGAGACGGCTCAAAATCGACGAAAAGACCACCCACGGCCTGCTCTCCCCCATACGCCATCGACGCGACGCGCAAGAAGATCAACAGAAGCCGCAACACGCGATGCGCCGCGCAGGCACGGGCTCATGGTCGTCGGGCCGACGGGCGGCGGCAAATCCTCCAATGTGAGGACGCTGCAACGAGCGTTAACGATGCTCAAGAATGATAAGATAGAGGGCATCAAATACGAGAAAGTAGATATTCATCATTTGAACCCGAAGTCGATAACCATGGGCCAGCTGTGCGCTCGCCGCGTTTTATGAAGGTGCCTTCGACTCGTGGCCGTCTCACGATGCCGTCGAGTCGCGATGCGGTCCGAACCGGTTCGTTGAAGGACCCGAGACCTTCTCTGATGGCCACGAGTCGTAGCAATGACGCGAGAGCGCCCGACCGCCGCGGCACCGCGCGACACCGCCGCAGGTACGGCATGTTCGATCCCAATACGTTGGAGTGGCAGGACGGTGCGATCTCGGCGTCCCGCGGTGCTGCGGCGCCTCCACGCCATCGATGCGACTCGTGTCCATCTCACGATGCCGTGGATGGTTTCTTTTTCGAGTTTGAGGCAGTTCGGACCGCGTCGAGACCGCGATGCTGACCGCGATGCCCCGCGCAGGGATTCTCGCGAACATCGTGCGACTTTGTATTAAAAATACGGCGCCCGACCTCCAGTGGGTCATGTTCGATGGCCCTGTGGACGCGATCTGGATCGAGAACATGAACACGGTCTTGGATGATAATAAAAAGCTCTGTTTGACCTCTGGTGAAATAATGTCGCTGTCGGACATGATGACGATGATGTTCGAGCCGGAAGATCTCGCAGTAGCTTCTCCGGCGACCGTTTCCAGATGTGGCATGATCTACATGGAGCCCAAGTCGCTCGGCTTCGATCCCTTGGTGCTGACTCGGCGTCCCGCGGTGCTGCGGTGCCTTCACGAAACCGCACCGCCTCGACGTCGTCGATGCGGCCGTGTCGCGACGGTATCCATCAAACACAGGTCATGTCGTGGCTCGAGCGGCTGCCCGAGTCCTTCGGCCCCGCGCACAAGATGAAGTTGCTGACCTTGTTCGACACGTACCTCGGCGCGACGTGCGGCATTTTGAGGAGGACGATGAATGAACCGTTCCCGACGGTCGACGGCGCGCTCCTCGATTCGCTCCTGAATCTGATGGACTGCGAGTTCCACCTCTTCTACCCGCGCGAGGGCCAGGAAAATAAATCCCAGGAAGAGGTCGACCAGTGCGCGGAACACATGGAGGCGATCTTCTTTTTCGCGTTCATCTGGAGCGTGTGCTGCCCGTTCCCGCGTCTTTTGTTTGCCTTCACGCTATCGACGCGACTCGTGTCCGTCAGACGAGGTCGTGGGTGGTTTCTTTGTCGAATTCGAGGCCATTCGGACCGCGTCGAGCGACCGCGATCCGATGGCGTCTGAGATGAACTCACGGACATCCGTGATTCTCGCGTCGATGGCGTCTGGAGAGTGTCGTCGTGCCCTCCACGCCGTCGCCGCGGAGCGAGAGCGCCGCCGCGAGACCTTGACAAAACGCAGGCACGGTCGACCAGGAGGGCCGGCACTACATGGACGTCTTCGTGCGGCAGCACATGCGCATGAACTCGAGCCAGTTCCAACTCCCTCCGGAAGGGTCGATCTATGATTATTTGTACGACACCAGTCAAAGTAAATGGATCCCGTGGATGGACACGGTCCGTGACTCGGCGCGAAAAATGAACTTGAACTTTTTGTGAGAGCGGCGACGTCGTCTTCATGATCACCAGGGCGCCCACGCGGCTCGTGTCGCGACGGTATCCATCAAACGCAGGTCAAGCCCTACGAGCACGACCCGTCCGCGTCCTTTGCCGAACTCATCATCCCGACGCCGGACAGTGTCCGATACACATACCTACTAGAAACTTTGGTACTACACAACAAGCACGTCATGATGACTGGTCCCACCGGCACGGGCAAGACGGTCAAAACTCGGCGTTTTGACGTGTTGCGGTGCCTTCCATGTGACTCGTGTCCATCAGAGAAGGCGCTGGTCCAAATTTGAGTGAATTCGTGATGCTCCGCGCAGGTGAACGTGAACCGCCACTTGCAAGGGGGCTTCAACCCCCTGAAATACGTGCCCATCTGCCTGACCTTCAGCGCGCAGACGTCGGCCAATCAAGTCCAAGATTTGCTCGACGCGAAGTGCGAGAAACGGCGCAAGGGCATCTTCGGGCCCAGCGCGGGCAAGAAATACATACTTTTTGTGGACGACGTGAACATGCCCCTCAAGGAGGAGTACGGCGCGCAGCCGCCCATCGAATTATTGAGGCAGTGGTTCGACAACCGCGGCTGGTGCTGACTCGGCGCGATTTCCTTCGATTTCTCAACTTGAACTTTGGGACGATGGCGTCTTCATGATCACACGAGCGTCGACGCGCCTCGCGACGGCGTCCATTCCGCGCAGGTACGACCGCAAAGCACTTACTTTTCGGCAGATTATTGATGTGGTCTTCGTTTGTGCCTGCGGTCCTCCCGGAGGTGGGAGGCAATCACTATCAGCACGCTTTCCAAGACACTTCAACACCGTCGGCTACACGCCGATGCAGGATAGCAGCATGCAAAGGATCTTCCAGACCATCCTAACGAATTTTTTGAATGCACCGGGCTGGGAGGACGAAGTTAAGAGTCTGGCGAACGGCGTCGTCGACGCTACGATCGAGATCTACAACACCATACTCAGAGACCTGCGGCCGACGCCCGCGAAGAGCCACTACCAGTTCAACCTGAGGGACATTTCGAAAGTCTTCCAGGGCGTGCTCATGGTCCTCCCATCCAAATTCAAGACGGCGCAGAGCATGATCCGACTGTACACGCATGAAAATCAGCGAATTTTCGGCGATAGATTGATCAATCAAGAGGACCACGTCTGGTTCGACGATTTACTTGAAAAGTGTACGAAGAAGCACTGCGGCGACGAGTATGAAGTATCGAGTTGTGTCATCGCCGATTTCATGGTACCGGGGGCCGACCCGCGCATCTACGAGGAGGTCTCGGACATGAGTCAGCTGCAACCGACCATCGAGGAGTACCTCAATGATTATAATGCGGAGTCGAAGCAGCCGATGCCGCGCGTCACGGTGTGGACATCTATCTCGGCACCGCGGCCATGTTTTCGGCTCAAACTCGAGCACGACGTCCCTCTGATACCCTCGACCGTATCCAGAGAGTAGCAACTCTACGACCGCGAGAGGCCCCGAATTGAAGCACAACTTGAACTTCACACAGGCTCGTCATGTTCATGGACGCGATCTCGCACGTGGCGCGCATCACGCGCGTGCTGCGCCAGCCGAAGGGCAACATGCTGCTGCTGGGCGTCGGTGGGAGTGGCCGCCAAAGTCTCTCACGCTTGTCGACGTTCATGGCCGAGTGCAAGATTTTTAGTATCGAAATCACGAAAGGATACGGTACTGACTCGGCGTGAAAAATCAACTTGAACTTGACGCGGTCACGGCGATGGCGTCTTCATGATCACCAGAGCGCCCACGCGGCTCGTGAGAGAGTATCGCGACGGCGTCGTTCCCACACAGGGCTGTCGGAGTGGCGCGAAAGTCTCAAAGAGATCCTGCTCTACGCGGGCATCAAGGCCCAGCCCGCCGTCTTCCTCTTCAGCGACACGCAGATTGTGTTTGAGGCCATGCTCGAGGACATCAACAACGTCTTAAATACCGCAAGTGACTCAGTGTTGAAGTTGAACTTGAACTTGCATCATCATGATATTCCACGCAGGGCGACGTCCCGAACCTCTACGTGCCCGAGGACGACGAGACCATCACGACGGCCTGCAAGCAGGACTGCATGCGGAAGCGCCTCCAGCCGACCAAATTAAATATTTTTGCGTGTTACCTCGCGCGCGTCATGGCCAACCTGCACTTGATCCTCTGCTTCTCGCCGCTGGGCGAGGCGTTCCGCAACAGGTTAAGGATGTTCCCGTCATTGGTCAACTGTAGCACGATCGACTGGTTCGCCGAATGGCCCGTGACTCAGTGTTGAAGTTGACCTTGAACTTGATCTGGTGGAGGCGATGGCGTCCGAGAGCGTCGTCACGACGCGTGCCTCGCTTCTCGACGAGTCTCGTGATTGGTCGTATCAACGCAGGCCCCGCGAAGCCCTGCATAGCGTCGCGCATCGGCTCCTCACGGAGGAGAACTTGGAGTTGGGCGAGAACAACGCTCACCTCGAGTCGTGCTGACTCAGCGTCCGATGCTGGTCGATTTCTCAACTTGAATTTGCGTCGATGGCGCCCACGCGACGCCGTCGACGCGGCCGTCGGAGCGTCTACGCGTCGCGTGAGAGAGCTGTGGCCGTGTCGCGACGGTATCCATCAAACGCAGGTGCGTCACGTTCTTCAAGGACGCCCACGTCTTCGTCGCGCGTAGATCCGAAGCTTTTCTGGCCGAGCTCGGCCGGCACAACTACGTGACGCCCACGTCCTACCTCGAGTTGCTCGCGACGTACAAGCAAGTTTTAGCGTTGAAGCGCGACGAAGTGGGCACGCTCAAGAACCGCCTACGAGTAGGCTTAGATAAACTGATCGCGACGGCCGAACAAGTCGAAGACTTGCAGGTCAAACTGACGGCCATGGAGCCCGTATTGATAAAGACGCAGGGCGAGGTCGAGGCGATGATCATTAACATCGACAAGGACAAGAGAGACGCGGCCGAGACGCAGACGGTCGTCGCGGCCGAGGAGGAGGCGGCCCAGACGAAGGCGGCCGAGACGAAAGCGATTGCGGACGATGCCCAGAGAGATTTGGACGAAGCGTTGCCAGCGTTGGAGGAGGCCGTGAAGTGTCTTAACAGTCTAAAAAAGTCAGATATCGACGAGGTGCGGACGATGGGCAAGCCGCCGGCCGGTGCGCTCCGTGTCCTTGCGTCGCGACGCGGCCCAAAATCGAAAAAGAGACCACCCCCGGCCTCCTGAGATGGACACGAGTCGTATTGAGGAAGTGAGAGCGCCGCAGGACCCCCGCACCACGCGAAACCGCCGCGCAGGCGTCAAGCTGACGATGGAGGCGTGCTGCATCATGTTCTCGGTCAAGCCCGAGATGGAGAAGAACCCTGATGGTAAGTGTCCTTTACGCCATCGACGCGACTCGTCTTCATCAGAGGAGGCGCTGGGTGGTTTTTTGAGAGATTTCGAGGCCGTTCGGACCGCGTCGCGACACGCGGCCGCGGCTCTCTCGCGAAGCCTCTCAGATGGTCATGACGACGGCGCCGAGGCGTCGCGGCGACGGCACGCCATCGAGGCGACGGCACGCCGTCGCCACGATACCACGCGCAGGCATGGGCAAGGTCCCCAACTACTTCAAGTCCGCCCAGAAGGAATTACTGAGTTTAGGAGGGAAATTGATCGACAAGATGAAGGACTACGACAAGGACAACATTCCCACGAAGGTCAGTGACTCAGCGTGATTTCCTTCAATTTCTCAACTTGAATTTTGGGAAGATGGCGTCAACGCGATGCCACACCGCCGTGACGCCGTCGACGTGGCCGTCAGAGCGTCGACACGTCTCGGGAGTGCCCGGAGACGGTTTCGTGACGCCGTCGTTCCGCGCAGATCATCGACAAAATCGGCCCTTACATCGAGATGGAGGCGTTCACGCCGGCGCAAGTGCAAAAAGCTTCCAAGGCCTGCACGGCCATGTGCATGTGGGTGCGGGCCATGCACAAGTACCACCAGGTCAGCGTGATGGTCGAGCCCAAGAAGAAATTGTTAGCGGAGGCGACGGCCGAGCTCGAGGAGACGATGCAGAAGCTCGCGCGTAGCTCCGCGTCTTGAACTGTCATCAACTTGTATCCATCGCACGATGCCGGGGGTCGTTTTTTGAGCTGTTTCGGACACCATCGTCGCTGCGCGTCAGAGAGGCCGCGGTCGCGTCGATGGCGTCTTCACGAGACAACGTGGTCCCACGCGAGTCTACGTGGTCGTCAGGACGCCGTCGACGCGACGCCACATGGGACCGCTTCCCGTGAATGCGGCGCGCGCGCAGGCCGAGGCCCAGGCGAAACTAAAAGCCGTCATGGACAAGCTTGAAAGACTGGAGAAGGAGTTCAACGAAGCTAATGATAAAAAAATGCAATTACAACGCGACGTGGAAGAATGTGCTGCGAGACTTGAAAGGGCTAAAAAATTAATAGGGGGTTTAGGCGGCGAGCGCACGCGCTGGACGGAGTCCTGCGCGACCCTCGAGTTGAGCTACGCGAAGCTGGTGGGCGACGCGCTGATTTCCGCGGCGACCATTGCTTATACCGGAGCTTTTACACCTACCTTTAGGAAGGGCATGACGGACCACTGGCAGACGCGGCGCGCCCGCGGCGTCCCATGCGACTCGTGGCCATCGCACGATGACATGGGTCACACACGCAGGCTCGAGGAGCTTTCAGTCCCACACATGGAGGGCTGCACCATCACGAAGACGCTGGCGGACCCGGTCGCGATCCGGACCTGGACGATTTGTGGATTGCCGCAGGACGCGTCGTCCGTCGAGAACGGGATCATCATGTCCAAGGCGCGCCGGTTCCCGTTGCTCATCGACCCCCAGGGCCAGGCGAACCGCTACATCAAGAACATGGGCAGGGACCCGTCGCTCGCGGAGAACGGCACTGACTCGGCGTGGAAAATGAACTTGAACTTGACGTGGTCGCGTCGATGGCGTCTTCATGGTCGCGCGGGACGCCGTCGGTCGACGCAGGCATCGAGGTCACGAAGCTCACGGAAAAGAATTACCTGCGAACTTTAGAAAATGCGGTGAGGTTTGGCCGGTGGGTCCTCATGGAGAACGTCCTCGAGACCTTGGATGCCTCCTTGGAACCGCTGTTGTTACAACAGACGTTCGTCCAGGGCGGCACGAAGATGATCAAGATCGGCGACTCGACGATCCCGCGCGCGCGCGGCGTCCCCTTTCACGCCATCGACGCGACTCGTCTCCATGAGAGAAGACGGTGGGTGGTCTCTGGTCCAAATTTGAGGCCATTCGGACCGCGTCGAGACCGCGACCGCCGTTCGAGTCGCGATTCGGTCCGAACCGGTTCATTGAAGGACCAGAGACCACCCATCGCCTTCTCTGACGGAGACGAGTCGCGTCGACCACCTCACGCCGCCGCGCGACCGCCACGCGCCGAGATACGACTGCCCCGAACGCAGGTGGAACGACAGCTTCAAATTCTTCATGACGTCGAACCTGCCGAACCCGCACTACGCGCCGGAAGTTTGTGTGAAGGTGTCTCTCTTAAATTTTGCCATCACGCCGGTCGGGCTCGAGGACCAATTACTTGGGGTTGTCGTCGCGGAGGAGCGGCCGGACATGGCCGAGAAGAAGAACAGCCTCGTGCGTCTCGCGGCGTCCATGCGACTCGTGGCCATCAGACGAGGCCGGGGGTGGTTTTTCGAGCCGATTCGGACATCGTGATCCCGCGCAGGTCGTCGCCAACGCGTCCATGAAGAAGCAGCTCAAGGAGATCGAAGACAAAATATTGTACATGCTCTCGAACTCGACCGGCAATATTTTAGATGACCACGAGGTCCGTGAGTCAGTGTTGAAGTTGACCTTGAAGTTGACACGTTGACGCCGTCGACGCGACCGTCCCACGCAGCTCATCGAGACGCTCGCGTCGTCCAAAATCACGTCGACGGACATCACGGAGAAGGTGGCGGACGCGGAAGTGACGGAGCAGGAAATCGACGCGTACCGCGAGAGGTATCGTCCCGTGGCTTATAGGGCTACGATCCTCTATTTCTCGGTCGTGAACCTGTGCGTGGTCGACCCGATGTACCAGTACAGTCTGCAGTGGTTCCAGGCGCTCTTTGTCGCCGCTATTTCGAAGGCGGAGAAGGCCGAGACGCTCGAAGCGCGGTTAGACGTCCTGAACACGTTCTTCACGTACTACGTCTACGTCAACGTCTGCCGGCGCTGACTCAGCGTCTTCATTGAACTTCAACATGACGTGGTGATGGCGTCGTCATGATCACACGAGCGTCGACGTGCCACGCAGGTCGCTCTTCGAGAAGGACAAGCTCCTGTTCTCCTTCCTACTCACGGTGAAGATCCTCGACGGTTCGAACGAGATCGACGCGACGGAGTGGCGGTTTCTCATTTCCGGGAAGACGACGGCTGCCGTCGACGTGGAGAACCCGGCGCCCGAGGGCAACGCGGGCGGCTGGATCGACGGGCGCATGTGGTCCGAGGTCTGCGCCATTTCCGGGGCAGCCAATTTCGAGGGCTTCGCGGCCGACTTCAAAAATCACCTGCAAGCGTGGCGGGCTTATTTTGATTGCGTCGAGCCGCATCTACAGAGGCTGCCCGATAAATGGAACGACTGTCTCAACAGTTTCCAGAAGTTGTGTGTGCTGCGGTGCCTGCGCGTCGACAAGGTCACGGACGGCGTCATGGCTTACGTGATCGAGAAGATGGGTCAAAGGTCGCTGACTCGGCGTCAATTTCTTTGAATTTCTCAACTTCAACTTCGCGTCGACGGCGTCAATGCGACGTTCCGCCACCGTGACGCCGTCGACGAGGCTGCCAGAGCGTCTGCACGTCGCGTGAGGGAGCCGCGGCAGTTTCGTGTGACGGTATGAATCGACGCAGGTTCATCGAGCCCCCGCCCTTCAATCTGGCCAATTGCTACAAGGACTCGTCCAACTTGACGCCGTTAGTATTTATACTGAGCAAGGGTAGCGACCCCACCAAAGCCTTCAACATCTTCTGCGGCGAGATGAAGTTCCACAAAAAAGTACAAAGTCTCAGCTTGGGCCAGGTCCGTGACGCAGCGTGAAAAATGAACTTGAACTTGATCTGGTGGAGGCGATGGCGTCTTCATGAGGCCGTGTCGCGACGGCGTCGTTCCACGCAGGGCCAGGGCCCCAAGGCCACGCAGATGATCGAGGACGCGGCCCAGAAGGGCACCTGGGTCTATTTGCAGAACTGCCATCTTTTTGTGAGTTGGCTGATTAACCTCGAGGTGCTCTGCGACAATTTGACGCCGGAAAAGACGCATAGGGACTTCCGGCTCTGGCTCACGAGCATGCCCTGCGCGCAATTTCCCGTCTCAATACTGCAAAATGGCGTCAAGATGACGAACGAGCCGCCGAAGGGTGCTGACTCAGCGTGTTGAACTTCAACTTGAAGTTGCGTCATGATCCCAGGAGCGTCTACGTGCCACGCAGGCCTCAAGGCAAATTTAAAAGCTACGTACTACAAGATGACGGACGCGGATCTCCAAATTACGCACAAGCCGGACGCGTATCGGAAATTGTTGTTCGCTTTATGTTTCTTCCACGCGTGCTGCCAGGAGCGGCGCAAGTTCGGCCCGCTCGGCTGGAACGTGCTGACGCAGCGTCGCATGCAGTTTTTCAACCTGAAGTTTTCGTGACTCGGTCCGAACCGGTTCACTGAAGGACCAGAGACGCTCGCGTTCCCGCGCAGGTGCCCTACGAGTTCAACGAGACGGACCTTGATATTAGTAGAGACCAGTTGCAGCTCTTCTTAGACGCGTACGACGAGATTCCTTACAGGGTATTATGCTTTTTAACCTCGTATATAAACTACGGCGGGCGCGTGACGGACTACATCGATATCCGGACCTGCGACGTCATCATGAAGAGCTTCTATCGACCGGCTATCTTCGAGAAGGACTATCCGTTCGAGCCGTCCGGGACGTACCGAAGCATCGACCCGGACCCGGAAAACCCGCACCAAAGCTACATGGACTACATCGAGACGCTCCCATTAACCGCGGGGCCGGCGATCTTCGGCATGCACGAGAACGCGAACATCAGCTGCGCCTTCACGGAAGCGATGGGCATGTTTGATACTTTGTTGACGATGGAGGCGTCCGGCGGGAGTAGTGGGGGCGGCGGGTCCGAGGAACTCATCGCCTACGAAGTGGCAGCCATAACGGAGAAATTGTCGCAGCGGGGTCGCTTCGACGTGCCGGGCATCCAGATGCAGTACCCCGTACTGTGCGATCTCGGCGTCCCGTCGTGTAGAGACGCCTTCACTTCATTCAAACGACTCGTGTCCATCAGAGGAGGGCGTGGGTGGTTTCAATTTTGCTGAAGAGGCCGTTCGGACCGCGTCGAGAGACGATTCGACTCAAAATCCAAAAAGAAAGCACCCACTTCCATCATTCCTGGAGACGACGCGCGTCGACCACCTCGCGCCGCCGCGCGACCGTCTCATGCTGAAATACGACGGCTCCGCGCAGGTATGAAGAATCGATGAACACCGTGCTCGCCCAGGAGTGCATTAGGTATAACAAACTCGTCGACGTCATGGAGCTGACGCTGCCGCAGTTAGATAAAGCTTTACAAGGCTTAGTAGTGATGTCTGGTGAATTGGAAAGCATGGGCCAGTCGATCGCTTTAGGTCAAGTGCCCGGAGCCTGGGAAGCTAAAGCGTATCCCTCATTAAAACCATTGGGGCCGTGGACGGACGACCTCATGTTGCGGTTGGACTTTGTGCGGGACTGGATTGCAAAGGGAATTCCCGTGACCTTCTGGATTAGTGGCTTCTACTTCCCGCAGGCCTTCTTGACGGGCTCCATGCAGAACTACGCTCGAAGCAAGCAGTATCCGATCGATACGATCGCCTTTGACTTTTTGATGCTAGATACTTTTAGTGCCGAAAGTATCACGACGAAGCCGCAGGACGGTGTTTATATTCGGGGACTGTTCCTGGAGGGCGCGCGCTGGGACCCGGAACTTAGATCTCTCAATGATTCTAGACCAAAACAATTGTTTTCTCCCGCCCCGATCATGCACCTCTCGCCCTGCAAAGATAGAACAGAGCCGACCGGAGGAATATATAGATGCCCCATCTACAAGGTGCTCTCTCGACGAGGAGTGCTGTCCACAACAGGGCACAGTACGAACTTCGTCATGTGGATCGAGATCCCGTCGAACCGCGAGGACGGCGTCAACAACGACGGGAAAGTGGATCAATTGGAGTGGGCGAAAGGAGGGGTGGCGGCCTTCTGCTCGCTGAAGTTCTAAGTAGGCTTCATTGTATTTCCTAGCCCTTGCGGACTCGGAGACCTCCGTGAACCTCCACGCCATCGAGCAGACGCAGCTACGCAGCTACGGAGACAACATCGCGTCGATGGCGTCTGGCGCCACCCATACGCCATCGCCGCGACCGCGTCGATCGCGTCGGGGCCGGCTCGCCGTCGCCGCGAAGTAGAGACAGGTAAAATTTCTTACACAAACTGGCCCGAACTTTCCACCCGCGGAGCCGCGGGCGCCGTCCCATATAGGGAAGGAGGCGCCGTCGTCACGGCGTCTCCGTCGACGAGCCCGAGGAAGCCGCTGTCGAGCGTCAATGCGAAGGGGCACACCTCCGTGAACAGGAACAGCGCCGCCAGCGCGACGCCGCCGAGCTGCGGGTCCCTTCTCAACGCCGTCGCCGTGCCTATCTGGGAGCAGGCCGTCACCACCACCAGCCCCCAGAGCGCCCGCCCACAAGCCCACGCCACGACCACTCTACTTCTATGAGCCCGATGCTCGTCGTCGCCGCCCCGCAACGGGAACGGCGCGAACTGCAACGAGAGCGTCACATATAAAGCGCAGTGCGCCACGGGTGCCGCGATGGATACGGCGGCGAGCGCCACGTACGTGTAGCGCACGCCGTCTATTCCACTGAAGAAGATGAGCGCATACAGCAAGACCATCGCGCCCACCAAGACCACGTTCAGCCCGAAGTACGCAATCCTAAAATGCCATCTGTACTGGTTCCGGTCGAGCCAGTGCCTCCTCGCGTCCAGGAAGCATTCGAACCACACGACGATGAGCAGCGCGTAGGACGACACCACGATAAAGTCGGGCACGCAGAGGAGCACGACTACGCCTTTCGCGAAGAGGCGGCTGCGCGTGCCCGGGGCGTGCGTGAGGATGGCAAAGGCCGCAAATCCTAAAGCACGTATCGTGGACGCGGCGCCGAGCGACCCCGTCAGTCTTCGTGCTCGTGTTTTTTGTTTTGGTGTTCGTCTATACGCGGCGCCGGCGTGGGCTGCTACAGTGGCGTAGAGTAGACCTACTATGCCGACGGTCGACTCGTAGTCCGAGCCGTCTTGCAGGAGCAGGTCGATGACTTGCGTCGTGGCCATCTTGAACCGATGGACGCTCTTAGGCGTCTCGACTCAGCTCCGCGGCCCTCTCTTAACAACTCCACGGCGCCCGGCTTATTCGAGCACCATTGCAGGCGTATGAGGGTTGTATTTGACCGGGCAGGCGCAGCGGCCGTCGCAACTCGTCGGCGTCGGAGAGATGCGCTATCACAGGTCCTGAATCGTGCGCAGCTTGCACGAATGCTTGCTCCGCGTGCCTCTCCTTCCGCAATTGCCTCTTTATTCTTTCGCCCTAGCGGAATGTAAGACACTAGCCTGCTCAACAGGGGCTGTGCCTCCTGAAAATAGCTGCTGTTAGGGCGCACTCGCGAGTCAAACGAGGCATAGGCGACGGCCCTCGATCACCTGAGCTGCCCCAGACACGCAAGAGCGGTGGTGAAACCCCGGTTCGCAGAGCTGCTACCGACCCGGCCACAGGCAGCGCCGGAGAGCGCTGCGAACGCGCAGCAACAAACCATGTCGGCGCAGCTCGACGCCGCCGAGGAAACGCTCGCCGCCACGGCCGAGGTGCCGCCGCGCGGCCACCGCCTCGCCGCCGACGCGGCCGCCGCCGCCGGCGAGGTCACGCGGTTTCCCACCGGTTTAAATGATGTACAAACAAACACAAGTGACCCCTGGCTCTTCGTCCAGCTCGCGGACCCGCAGCTGGGCATGCTCAACTCGGACCAGGAGGATGGTACATGGGACGAGGAGACGGCGACGCTCACAAAAGCTGTGGACCACATCAACCGCCTCAAGCCGAAGTTCGCGATCGTTTGCGGGGATTTGGTCCACGAATTCCCCGAGAATGTCGGCGAGAAGGGTAATGATGGAAGGAAAGCTAAGCAAACAAAATCGCTGCAGTCGGCGCTTAGTCGAGTGGATTCGTCGATCGGCTTGGTCTGTTTGTGCGGCAATCATGATGTCGGCAATGTGCCTTCCCGAAAATCTATCCGGGACTTCCGCAATAATTATGGAGAGGACTACGGGCTGTTCCGATGTGGGGATCATCGATGCGTCGTCATCAACTCGCAACTCGTCAACAGCAAAGAGAAGTTCTGGCAAGGTTTGCGGAAGGAGCAGTGCGCTGAAATAACGCCAGTAGCCCGGCAGCAGGATAACTGGTTAGATAGTTTACCTCCAGATGAGCCTTCTCTGATTTTCTCGCACATACCACCGTTCATATTCGCTGACGACGAGCCGAAGGGCTACTTCAACCACGAACCTGCAGTAAGGAGGCATCTATTAGCTCAAATTCGAAGATTGGACAGACGCGCGAAGTGGTTCTGCGGGCACTTCCATCGCAACGCGGGGGGCTTCTCGGACGAGTTGGAGGTCGTCGTGACGTCTGCTGTTGGTTGTGCTTTAGCGTGGAAGGTTGGTGTGGACGAGGAGGATCGGCTGGGGTTGGACGGCTTCGACTGGAAAAAGCGGGGCTGTTCCGAAGAGCGGTCGGGGTTGAGGTGCGTCTGCGTTCACGGTAGAAGCGTGAAGCACAGGTTCTTCTCATTAAAAGACGTGCCCGAGGACCCTTTGATGGAGTCGGAGGCGTGGTAGTCCTGTTTTGTGTACGAAGTAAGTTGTGGCGCGCTAGCTTTTATCTTCGCGTCGATGGCGTCGGGCTTGTAGATGTATATTGTTACGGTGCTAGGACTAGTGGGCGGAGCCCTGGGGGCACACACCGATTCAATGCGTGCTAGTGTGTCACCACACGCTAGAACTATTTTGCTCTCCGACGCGAGGTGAAGCAGCACGAGTGCTCGACGGATTCCGCCGCAACTTGCCTAACAAGACTGCATTTGCCGTGCTAACAAGCACCCGCAACAGCCCTGCAAGCCGAGCGCGTAGACACAACAACAAAGGCTGTGCAACCAAGCTGCTCAAAGCCAACCATTGCAAAGCGAAGCGCTGAAGCAAAGATGTCTCGCCTCGCCCTCGCCGCGATCCTCTACACGACGAAAGCCCTCAGCCTCCCCACGAGAAGATCCATAAAGACGAAGCTCCGCGCGTCTGCAGGAGGCGCGACGACCGCAAAAGCCGAGGCGCCTTTGGCGGTCGCCGGCGCCTGCGTCGGCGTGTCGTTATTTGGCTACCATTTGGGGGTCGTCAACGCGCCGCTGCAGGCGATGGCGGCGTCCATGGGCTTCGGGGACGCGGGCAGCGGCGCCGTCGTTTCGTCCACTTTGGTGGGAGCGGCGGGCGGCGCCTTGCTGGCGGGACCCGCGGCGGACCGACTTGGTAGACGAGGCGCGTTGCGCTGGAACTGCCTTACACTACTATTGGCGGCCGTGGGCTGCTCGACGGCAACTTCACTGGAGCATTTGATCTACGCGCGCACGCTGGCCGGCGTCGGCATTGGTCTTGTAAGTGCCGTGGCGCCCTTGTACGTGTCCGAGGTGTCGCCCGCGGCGAAACGAGGGAGGAACGGCGCCCTGAACCAGGTGGCCATATGTCTGGGCATCGTCGCATCAATAGTAGCTGGCTTGGGCGTCACGCCGACCTCCCCCGCAAAAAGATGGCGGCCCATGTTCGCCGGGGCTCTGGTACCTACGCTATTGCACTTGATGCTCACGTTCAAGATCCCGGAGTCGCCGCGCTGGCCCTTGAGCCAAACGGCCCAGCGGGACGCGGAGCGACTCTGGGGCGCCGACGCTTCGACCGAGATGGCCTCATCCTCATCTGATGAAGTGAAGACGGCGGGGTGGTCCACGATGGTCTCCAAAAAGTACCGGAGAGCTACTCTGACCGCATTCTTACTTTTTGTGTGTCAACAATTATCAGGTATCAATGCTGTGGTGTACTTCAGCACGCAGATCTTCCGGGACGCGGGCGTCACGTCCGCCGTCCTGTCTTCACTGCTAGTGATGCTGGTGAACGTGGCCGGCACGGCCTTTGTTGCCGCACCATTGATAGACCGCTTCGGCCGCACGACGATGCTCTCGGCGTCGTACGCGGGCATGGCTTCCAGCATGGCCGTCATGGGGGGATGCCTTGCATCACCAGCCTTGGCGGGCACGCCCCTGCTGACGGCGATCACGCTCCTAGGCACGGTCGCGTACGTCTTCGCCTTCTCCTGCGGCAGCGGCCCCGTGCCCTCGCTACTCGTCCCGGAGCTGTTCCCGGCGGAGCTGCGGGGCAAGGGCGGAAGTGTGGCGATGCTGTCGCACTGGGGCTGGAACGCCGTCGTCGGGGCCGCGTTCCTGCCGCTCATCAACAAGTACTCGATCCCGACCGTTTATCTGGGCTTTGCGTCGGTGGCGGCCCTCAGCGGCTTGTTTACGAAGTTCGGCATCGAAGAGACCTCTAAGTAAGAATATTAGTCAAGGAGAGGCCTACTACTTCCGCTTCGGCGTCGTCGCGCTGTCCTGGGACCCCTCGGGCGACGGCGCTCTAGGTTTCGCTGCACTCAGCTCATAAGCGCGCGTCCCGGCGATGCGGACCGGTCTAGAAGCCGGCTTCGCGCTGACCGGCGCCGGCGCCCCGTCCTTGTCCAGGGCGATGACCTCAAATTGCAAATGGTCCCACTCGTCCAGCTGCTCTCGCCTCCGAATCCGAGCCCAGGTGTCTCTACGACCCTCCCGCCCCTGCAACACGTTGATCTCCCGCACTCCAGACTTATCGGCGTCCGTCGGGTTGATGCACGTAATCGCATCCACCACAGCACAGCCGCCCCGCAGAGCATGGCGGGGATGCGGCTCCTTCACATCTTTTTTGCTGGCATCGCCCCGCATCGCTCTACTACAAACGGTCAGAAACCACCAGTCGGCGCCCCATCCTTTTAAGTCCGCGTCGAACTGGTCGACGAAGGAACACAAAGCTTGTGAAGCAAACAGCGGACAGGTCATCTCCACGAAGTTCGTTAATCGTAGCTGATTGCCGGGCTGCACGCACGTGACCGCGTGACTGACTTTGCCTCGAGGATCAAAGGCCGGCTGCAGCACGGTCAGGTTGCACCTCTTCCGGATCTTGAACAGGAGCTCGATGCGCGGCGCGTCGATGATGACGTCGTCGTCCAGCACCAAAATGCCATCGTAGCGCGCGACGAGATCTTGGACGCCCGGCTCGCGACACAAAGCCTGGAGGTTTTCAAATTTGCCGCCCTTCCTTCGTCGGAACGTATCGACGTCGTTCTTCCAGGGCACGTCGTCTTTGTCCCCGTAATAAGTTGCCCAGAGATCGAATTGCCGGGGACCGTTCCGCAGCCACAACGGCAATACCGCTTTATCACCGCAGCAGGAATACACTAAATACGGCTTCGACGAAGACGGCGGCCCCGTGGGGTCGTTGGGCGCCGACGCCTCCTCGGAGGACTTTGTAGCTGTAGAGCCTTTGGGCGTCCAGGCGTACACGGGCAAATCTTCCAGCGTAGCCGCACAGGGCTGCGTCTCGGGCGTCGACTTGCCTGATGAATCAGCTAAAGCACGAATGCGCACGTCGGCGACTTCCCGCCACGCCCGGCCGTCGTAGACCCGCCACGGCGCATCTCTAGCTATCAAATCAGGCCTCTCCGCCCCGTCGTACGCAATCAATGCCGCAGAGCCACTCCCCGGTCTACTCCCAATCATCCAGGCCGAAAAGGGCGCGTAGAAGTAGAGGTAGTGGGCCTGTGTGTGGGTACGTGATGAGACAACGCGATAAAACGGCTCTTCAGCAAAAAAGAGACCCGTCAAAGCCTTCTCTGATACCGACGACCTCGATCGATCTCTCAAACGTGCGCTGCGACCGCGTATCGACACTGCATCGCACGCCCTCCTCGTGACGGAACGTGCGGGCGCGGCTGTTCTTGGGCAAGCCTTTTTTGGCCGTGTCGTGGGGGACATACACCCCGGCGCAGGCGTCGGCCGCGGCGCCGCAGGTCGCCGGCAAGTCGACGACGACGGCGCCACTGTCTCGGACTTCTCTCAGGTACGATTCGCGCTGTTTCCTCTTATTCGCAGAGACCACAGCTTGTTCCGCCTGCTCGGCCGTCATAAATTGCCCCAAAGGTGAACCGTCTCTGGTGGAGGCGACCCAGGCTTCTTGGGATCCCGCTTTGGCCGCCTCGGCTGGAGTACAAGACGTGAAGGATGGCGTGTGCTTCCGCCTATCAAAACTGCCGTGCTGCCGTCGGGGCGGTGCCAACATGAGCGCCCTTAAAGTATCGACGTGGGTCTCGACGACGGACGCGGCTCGGATGCACGCGAAGCGCCTCTGGCCGACGACGCGAGACTCTAATCTCACATGAGCCGCCGGCACGGTCGCCCACCGCCGCCCGTCGAACGCCGACCAAGGCGCCCGCACGTCCTGGGGCCGCAACGCCAGATCATGGGCCACCAGCGCCGCCGTACTGCTATAAGGCGTCCGGCCGACCTGCGAACGGGCTCAGAATCAAAAAAGAAACCACTCTCACGCAAGTGAGATGGCCACGAGTCACATCAACAAAGTGAAGACACCTCAAGGGACGCGGAGATCGCGCCATCCACGCGACAAACGGTTTCGCAATTCTGTACAAGTGGTGCGCCCCGCCCTGCTGCTGATATAGCGCGGAACCGTCGCGAGGCACGTGGCCGACGCCATTATCTCTCTTAAGACGTACATACGCACCGCCGCAGTCCGCGCGCACGCAGCCCGGCGGGAGACTCACGAAGACTTGCGGCGCGTGCTGCGCCGAGTCGGAGGCGTCGTAGTCCTCGGCCGACTTTTGTGGGAGCAACACGTGGTCCGCGTAGACCTTCTGGGCCTTCTTCTGATCTTGTACCGCTTTTCTCGACGCTTTTTCGAACGGAGTGTCGTCACTCGTTTCGTTAAATTCCAAGTTTGTGGTGGACGTCGGGGAGGTGGTCTGGAACTTAGAACGCCAGTCGTCGAAGTGGCAGTAGGGGAAGGTCAGCACGAACGCTCGCGTCGAGACGACCTCACCTTGTGTTGAGTCGCCGCGGTTGCACCTCCAAGTCGCAGAGTTGTGGGGCGCGAGGCCGGGCTCCGCCAAGCGGCCGGCAGACCGTCCTGATGCTGAAGCGAGGTTGCTCGCATCCTCCGATTGGGAAGGCAAGCGTCTCAGTCGAGCTGCTTCTGGGCTCATATCGTAAAACGCTCTATCATCTGATGAAGAACAAGGCCGCCCGTCGACGTGGTTCATTCGACGTTTGAACAGCGTCTCCTTCTCAAAAAAATTGTACGTGCTGTCGAGCGCATCTTTGTCGGTCTTCGTCGCTTTCCGCTGGACCTCTAGACTGTCGAACCGCACATTAAAAATCGTCGAGGCATCGTTCCCCCGGCCCCGCTGGTCGTGGGGCCGTCGCTTGGCCTCGTCGAACACACTGCGGAGACTTCTGCCGGGTAGGACATAGAGTAGCTCGTGTTCGGCTAAACGTAACAGCCACGACGCCCCGGCCAGGCGAGCTCTCGCTGTGGCATCGCGCGCACACACGGACTCGTCCTTCGACGGCTGCACGAGGACGGAAACGGCGGAACCGATCCACGACACTTTCTCTTCGACGTGTGTCTTCGTTTTCGCGTCACTAACATAAAGGAAGCACCACCTCACTCCAAGTCGTAGGTGGAAGGCGAGCCACCACGCCAGTCGCTCCAACGCTTCGGGTGATGCGTAGTCACCGGACAGCACAGTGCTGATCGAGGCGCGCGCGTCGTCGCCTGCGCGGAGCATTTCTGTCAAATCGGTCCGAACGGCCTCAAAAATGAACCCATGGCATCGTGAGATGGCCACGAGTCGCGTCGATGGCGTGAAGGCGCCGCAACACCTCAAAACGCGGAGATCGCACCGCCCGCCCAGACGACGTCCATGCGCTCGTAGAAAGCTGCCGACAACTCCGCGGCCTGCCGGTGGCACGACTCGACGTGGCCCTGGTGGATCGTCGACTCCTTGATCTCGTGGTCTAAGAGCGGTCGCGTATACGTGTAGGCGCCCGGGCCGTTGTACATGAGCACGTCACTCACCAATTGGACGCCGCCCGGGAGTTTGTAGTGGGCTTTGGACCCTTTGGGGGCGCAGAACTCCTCGACGGTCCGTCGACAGCCTCGCCGGTTGATCAGGTACGCTCCCGTGGACCAGTGGTTTTTCCGCCAAGGGACAAAGGCTGTTCCTAAACCCATCAACGTTCTCAAGACGCGCACGTTATTTATCGTGAGCTGCAGGACCTGCCAGTCCTTCGGCGCTTGCGACACGATCTCGTCGATACTCGTCTTCCACCTGCGCGGAGCGTCACGATTGGCCCCAAATTCGAAAAAAAGACCAGCCACGACCTCGTCTGATGGACACGAAGCGCGTCGATGGCGTGAAGGCACCGCAACACCTCAAAACGCCGAGCTGCGCGCCTTTCATAAAAAGTTAAATGAATGTCGTCCTCCATGACCAAAACGTAAGGCGCGTCGATCTCCAGCGCCATCTCCGCCGCTCGTAAATGAGAGAGAGAACACCCTATTTCCCCGGAGGACTGCTTCATGTCCTTCGGGAGCTCTACCGTCTTTGAGCGAAGGGACGAGTCGGAAAATAACTTTCTCCCATCGAAGGCCGGCACGCGCTTGTAGTTCTTTATATTAAACTGCTTGAACTGCTCCTCCATGCGGACCTTGCGCTCCTTCGAGCGGTCGAGGTTGATGTATAAAATAGGTACGTTTTCCATCTTGTCGGTATGATGCGGCGGCCGCGGGGCTGGGCTTGCTGGTTGAGGCCTGGGCTGCGGCTTAGTAAAGGGTGAGTCCTGCGGCCCGGCGCGTCGCCCGCCGAGCCTTGTAGCTGCCGTTTGTGCGGTGGACGAAGCTGCCCTGTCTGAGGCCGCTGCGGGGCCTGCAGGCTGCCGGATCGCTGCCCAACCGTCGGCGCTGCTGGGGCCGATGTCCACAACGGTGTTTGGCGGGCCTGCCGCCGCGCCAACGGCCCGTTTCCCGGGGCTGGCAAGCTTAGCGGCGCAACACAACCGGGCCGGGGCCGGCGGTTATTTCCTAGTAGCTTGCGTGGCTCTGTCGCTGCCCCGACGCGAAAATGGAGCAGGGAGGACTCCTGCGGGGCGGCAACGGCGTCCGCCGAGGCTTCGTCGGCACAGAGCCGCACTAGTAAGTCTTTGATCTAGCCTTTTCTGCGCCACTTTTTAGCGCGTGACTGCTCACTTGTGCCGGAGAGGCGGCTGTTGACGCATAACTCACATCACTGCAACCATCGCTGCAGCAAGATAATGGAGTGGCTCCAGGACCAGCTCCTCCGCTTAGCGGCGCGGTACTACTGCCAAGACATGGACATAGATGCATCAAAACTACAAATCGAGAAGTGGGACGCTGAAAGCTGCCGCATCAAAGCGACAGACTTGAAATTAACGAACGAGCACGGCGCGCTCTCCGCCGCCGAGTGCACCGTGGACGTGTCACAAGGCGTAGCAATAGAGACGCAAGGCACTATCTTAATCGCGGCGCCCTGGAGATCCATCGGCGCCGTGATGACGGACGGCTGGCGCGGGCCGGCCGTCAGCCTGCAGGCAGCCATCCTCGAGCTGCGCTGCGGCGGCGCCAAACTTAGAGTGAGAAACGCAGCGATCACCACAAATACAACAGATTCAACCGCCAACTGGGACGTCGCCGTGGCGTCGTTCCACAACGACCACGTGGGCGAGGCGCGGGGCGTCTCCGCGACGCTCGCAACCCGTGTAGCAATCGGTGAGAGGCGCTGCGACAGTACTACCCGAAAATTAGCCAAGGCCGAGGTGGAGGTGGTAGGCGGCGACACCGGTCTTATTATGGACACGCCGTTGTATGCGTTAATCGAGGAAGCCGCGCCTTATTTAAAGAAGGTGGGCGAGGAGGGCTTGTTTTGCGCGTTCAAGTGTTCTAGATTTGTGGTACGAGTCTTGGGGATCGATGTGCTGGGAGAGGCGGGGATCCATCTCCATTTAGTGGATGACGACGTCTGGCCGCGCTGGCGTTGTGATATTCAAGCTCCCGCGCTCCGGTGGGGCGCCGACGACGCACCAGCCGCCTCGACGATGAGAATCTCCTGGCTGACGCGGGAGGGCTGGGCCCTGGCTTGCGAGCGAGGCAGCTCGTCTCTGAACGACTCCGACGGGTATGATGATGCGTGCGCGCGGTCGCCGCGCGAGCCGCCGGGCTGGCGCCACCCGAATTTTATCAAGAAGCCCGTGCTGGACGGGGGGCCTGCTTTACGTATTGACGTCAAGGTCGACGGGTCCTTGTCCGATGCTGGTTTATGTTACGCCGTCCTCGGCGCGCTGTGGGGCGGCGCAGCGACGAAGGCGCCCTCGTATACATGCACTTTACGAATAGAAGCGCTCTCCTCCAGCCTAGGTGCTTCTGAAAAAGTCGTGGCCACCGTGGCACGACAGTCAATGACCTCAGACCCCGTCGCGACGCTCGCCTTAAAAGCCTTGCGCGGGGCCATTGAGCTGATCGGTTCCGAGGATGCGCCGGTCGTCGCGCGGACGGGCGCGCCCGGCGAAATTAGAATAGAGGCAGCGCAAGGTACTTTATATACAGTACCGTCGCTCCCGAATCTGAGGGTGACGGCGTCTCTCAAATCTTTGTTGGTGCCCGATGTGTTTGGGCTGGCTCTCTCGGCGTGCGATGCGACTATGATCGTGACGGAGGACGTGCTCCAGGGCCGGGCGGCGTCGCTCGGTATCACTTTGGATGGTCTCCGTCTCGCGACGCTGCGCGGCGTCGGCGCGGAACGGGCGCTGTTGAACGGCGGCGTCGTCCAGCGGGCGCGCGTGTCCGTGGACGCCGTCTCCATTGAAATGGACGGGGCTGGCAAGGCCGCCGGCGTGTTACGGGACCGCGCCGGCGTCTTACGGGGCGCGCCGAAACCGGCCGACGCGCCGCGGGCCGTCGCCCTCCAGGCGCGCGTCGAGGCCGCGGCCTGCGGCTCGCTCGCGGCCACTAAACTGGCGGCCGAGGTCAAGGTCGTCGACGGCGCGGCGGAGGCGTCTCTCGGTGACGCGGAACATGGCGTTTTGATGCGGTCCACGCGGGGCGGCGTCGAGGTCGTCTCTCATGATTACGTCGATGACATGGCCGGTACGGCCGCGGGGCGGGCCGTGGCAACGTTGCTGGCGGCGGCGATGGAGTTCGCGTTTTAATTTTTATTTGTGGTTTCTGACAGTTTCACTTACTACATCACCCCTAGGGCGCGTTCCGTGCCGCATCCAAAGCGGCTTGCGGCGCTATCGCGTCCGCGGGCGCGGGCGCCGACGCCGCCGCCACCGGTGGCGGCGGCTGGTGTGTTCCATAGTACATGCCACCAGGCAGTGGGGGCGCTCCGGGCATGAGCGGGTTGATCAGAGGCGAGTGCGAGCCTATCATGATAGGCGGCGGAGGCGCTCCCGGCGGCACGAATCCTGGCGGGAGCATCACCGGCACACCTGGGACGAACAGTGGAGGCGGCGGCGCGAAGACGGGCACGAATCCTTGCGGCGGCGGCGGAATCGGCGGCTGAGCATACATAGGCGCCGGCGCCGGCGACGCGGGCCGGAACTCACCGGCGTCGCTCGAGAGGCGCCGCGGCGCCGCGGCCGGCGCCGGCGCCGGCGCCGACGGCTGGAACTCGCCGGCGTCTCCTGAGAGGGCGGCCGGCGCCGGCGCCGCGGCCGGCCGCTGCAGGATCCGCGGCACGCGGCGGAGTTTGCGGTTTGTTTGGGGTCCCTGTAAAGGTGCCACTACTACGCTACGCAAGCTCTGAATGAGATGTCCAAGTCGTTCGAACCCCAGGGCCTTCCAGTCGAGCTTCAGTCCGTAGCGCTTCGTGTAGAGCAACGGCAGAGCTGAGGCCGTGAACTCGCCGCCATTCTCGTCGACGAGCTGCAGAATGCGGCTTTCGATCACCTCCAACATTCTTGATGACGCGGCGACCTCGGTGAGCGCGGCGCTGGCGGCGTCGCGGCGCGTCGCCGCGACGACCTCGCCGATGAAGGCCGAGATGACGGCCGCCGCCGCGTCGTCGCGATCCTTCGCCAGCGCGCGCGCCTCGGCGTCGACGAACGCGCCCGTCGCGGCCGCGGCGTAGGCCTCGACGTAGGCTTCCACAGCGAGCGGTGTCGCCCCGGCGCCCCACATCGCCGCTCTTGCGCGCTCCAAAGCCTCGGCACGGACCTCGGCAGCAGATTTGCCGGTGCCCGCGCGCAGCGCCCACTGAGGGGCGTCGTTCGCCGCGTATATGGTCGCGACCGCGGCCGCGTTCTCGCCCGCCACGCGCTCCTGTTCGCGCGCGCGCGCCGCGGCGGCGGCGCGTTCGCGCTCGGCGGCCTCGCGCGCCTCGGCCTCGCGTCGTCGCCGCGCCTCCTCCTCCGCGGCGGTCGCCGCAAGTGAAACCGGCGGCGGCGGCGGCGCGGCGCCCCACGCCGGCCGCGGCGGCGCGGCGGCGGCGGCGGCGCGGCGGCCCGTCCCGATGTCCACGACCTCGGTGAAGGGCGCGCGGCAGTTCGGGCACATGGTGTTTTGTTGGGCTTTCCTAACGCTCTCGCGCCGCCAGAGGTCGACGCAGACGCGGCAGAATTTGTGCTCGCAGCCGGCGATCGCGCAGTCGACCTCGCGGTCGGCGCAGAGCTCGCACAGGTTGTCCTCGTTCCGCGGCGAGGCCGGGGCCGCGGGCGGTGGCGGCGGGACGGCGACGTGCGCCGAGCCTTGCGGCGGCGGCGGAGGCGGAGGCGCGAAGGTGCGCGTCGGCGTCACCGCCGCCGCCGGCGCGCGCGCGGCCCGCGCCGCGTTTCTATCCGCGACGGCCTTGAGGAGGCGCACGCGCGGCCCGAGCGGCAGGCCGAGCTCGCGGAGGTCGCCGTCCTCGACGATATCGAGGAACGAGTCGTCACATTCATTATCGAGGAAGGCCTGGCGGAAGTGGGAGATGCGACACTGTTCTAGGATTCTTGTGACTTCCTCGTAGGATGACGCCATGATTTCTATCGGGCGCCGGTCGCGCGGCCAGGTGGCCTAAGTCAAGGCAACTGAGCCTTTTCAGCAGAGGGGATACCGCAGCGTCCTGTGCCGAGCACTCGCAGCGCAGGTTGTTATGGTCTGCTTAAGCGTCTTTCCAGACAGCATCTGACTCGTAGTGCCGCGCAAGGTACTATTGCGGTGACCGCAGCTTTTGGCTAGTGTGTTACCGGACGCTAGCTTCGAAAAAAACGCAGCGGGCCAAACGTGCACCAAGAAGGGATTGGAGATCGTGCGCGCAGTGCTCGACCATCCCTGCCAACGTGTGATTCGCGTCGCGTGTCAAATTAGAGGCCTAGCGAGCAGCAGCAGCAGCACCAAAATCAGTGCCTGCACAAAGCAATGGCATTGCCCCTTGACAAGCTAAACAAGCTGCTGCGAACCGCAGCGCTCGGCGTAGAGGTCGTGCAGACTGCGACAAAAGGCCGCGGCATCGTCGCGACGCGCGCGCACCGCGCTGGCGCGGCCGTCGTCCCCGCGGGCGAGCCGCTGGCGCACTCGTCGAAGCGCGCTGTCAACGCCTTCGCGGGACACGGTGAATTTGCGGGCTACGAGCGCGCCTGGCGCAAGGCGCGCGGCAAGCTCGAGGGCGCCGACGGCCGGCGGCACCCGCTCCTGGTCGCGCAGATCGCGAGCCGCGTGGCCCACGAGCCCGAGGCGTCGCCCTACGTCCTGGCCGTCGCCGCGCTGTGCTCGGCCAAGATGACGGGGCCGACGCCGGCACCGTAGGTCGCAGTGCATAAATCAAATTGCTCGCCGCGCGTCTCCACGCTATCGACGCGACGCCAGTGCGCCGAACTTACTGATTGATTTCGCACAGGTGGGTCGAGGACTGTGCGGCCGTGAAGCGCGCCCTGGGTGGAGACGACGGCGACCGCTACGCGTTCCTCACGGACGAGTGGTACGCCGGCGTCGCGTCGCGGATTCACTTGAACTCGTTGAGGGCGGACGCCGAGGGTGACACGGTCGCGCTGTACGCGCTGCCGTCCTTCCTGAACCACCACTGGGAGCCCAATTTACTGGTCGACTATGGTGATGATGATGTCGTCTTCCGGGCGGCGCGACCTGTTAAGGAGGGCGACGAGCTGACGATCGACTACATCCACGGCCTCCCGCAGGAGGAGCGGTCGGCCTATCTCATGGAGAACTACGGGTTCGACGAGGCCTCCGAGATAGACAGTGTAAGTTTATGACCTAGGTCATCGGCGTCGCCGTCGCGACGGGCATTAATGGCTCGGTCTCCTTGTTGGTTCTTGTGCTGCTTTTCCCGTAGACGCAGTAGGCGTAGTAGGCCGCCGCGAGGACGATGGCACCTGCGTGTCAACGGGTGAGTCGCGCGCCAATCGAGCAGACGCGGTTTCATACCCAGCACAAGCAGAATCGTGAGCCAGCAGTCTAATCTGTGGAGGCATTGGTTCTTGTGGCGGCCCTTCTTGCGGTTCGGACCTGTGCGCACGTCGCGTCGATGGCGTTTTGTGTGCACACTGGGTCGGACCCGCGAGTGTCGTCGTCGCGAGCGCGAGGACCGCGAACGCGTTGCCGAGTCGCGCCATCGTTTGTAGAGAATTGACAGCTTGCTTTGGCGTGCTCGTCGTACCCGCGAGCCGCAGCTCTGGCTCTAGAGTCTGATATAAAGGCAGTGGTCTCAGAGGTCGAGATCAATCCGCTTTTGACCACTTTGTGAGTTATTTATACGACGAGACGTCTCAAGGCCTTTGCGCACGCGCGTCGATTAGCGTGAACGCACGCGTTCGTCGTCGAAGAGCGGCCAAAAAATTGCGTGAAAAACCCGGGGGTTACAAGCAAGACTTGTGAGCCACCGTCCGCCGCGTAGCGCGCGGTACGACCGGGCCCGTCTTATAAGCCTTAGACGTTCGCTGCGTCGAGCTCCACAACGACCCTGAGAAATCGGTCGCCAGGGCCCTCAAAAACTGAGCATCCTAAAACAGGCCAAAAAAGCAGGGCTGACCACGTCCGCGCGCGACGGCAACGACACTCTCTCACGCGGCAGTAGCGATGGCACGCCTCGGAAATTTGTTGGCGTTGCTCTCGACGGCCCTGCTCGCGACGGAAAGCCTCGCGGCGAAACGCACCTTCGCGAAGAAGAAAGGAAAGACCCAGATGTGGATCACAATTATTGTCGTCGTGGGCACCGTCGCCACCCGTGCAGAAATGGTTCCCAGTGACGCGGAGATCAACGCCAATGGGTCATCCCGCACGCAGGTCATGCTGGCGCTCTTATGCGCCCTCTACTGCCAGTGCGGCGACCGCATTTACACGGCCGGGAACAACAACCGCAGGAACGAGCAGGAGCCCCTCATCGTCGAGGGCAAGCCGATCCCGCCGCCGTGAGAGTCAGTGACCACCGGCACGCCATCGCCGCGGGTCCCGTGAGCGTCGCGTCGATGGCGTGGAGCCCATGCGTAGCGAGTGGGTCGTCGCGAAATAAACAGAACTGTTATAACCCCGACACCCCCGACGGCTTCGTCGACGCCGGCCCGTCGCCCCAGACGTAGTAGCCCTCGCCCGACTTGCGGCCCAGTTTCCCCGCGGCGACCTTCGCCGTCAGTGAGGGGGGCACGAAGAAGGCCGGCTCGTCCGGGTACTGCGCGCACCAGCCCTTTAGTATAGATAAGCACGTGTCCAGTCCGACATAATCGGCCAATTGCAAAGGCCCCATCGGGTGGCCCGCGCCCAGGCACATGGCCGCGTCGATGTCCTGTATAGCGGCGTCGCCCCGTTCGGCCATGGCGATGGCCGCGGCCAGGTTCGGCACGAGCAACCTGTTGACGATGAAGCCCGGCGTGTCCTTGCATCTCACCGTGATCTTGCCCGTGAGCCTGGCCCAGCCGTCGACCAGCTCGACGACTTCATCATCAACTTCCGGCGTCTGCACGACCTCGCACAGCTTCATGAGCTGGACGGGATTGAAGTAGTGCAGCCCGACGAACCGGTCCGGCCTCTGGGACGCGGCGGCCATCGGCGCCACAGCTAAAGAAGATGTATTGGACGCAAATATCGCCTCGGCCTTGGCCCGCTCCCCCAAATCGGCGTAAAACTTCTGTTTAATGGAAGCGTCCTCGACGATGGCCTCGACGATCAAGTCGCACTGCGCGACGGCGTCTACCGTAGAAGCGTAGCTCAGGCGCGCCAGCGTCTCCTCCGTCGCCGCGGGGGCGTCGAAGTCGGGATTTTTAGAAGCTTTCCTCGAGTTGAGCTTCGCGACGGACGTTTCAATAGCTTTCTGGCCGTTCGCCAGCACCTCGGCGTTCAGATCAACACCGACGGTCTGGAAGCCCGCCGCCGCGGAGATCTGCGCGATGCCGTGGCCCATGAGGCCCAGGCCGACGACGCCGACCGTCGTGATCTCCTTTACATTCGCGCCGCGCTTGGCCTTGTTGGCCTTTTCTTGTTCTCGGATGAAGCGCTCCTCCTCTGTGCTGCGCTTGCCGTCGAGCGTCTTTTCTATTCCCGCGAAGCTGCGTGCGGCGCGCGCGCCCGCGCGGCGCTGCAGGGTCCTTGCGAGGAGCATGCTTGTGGTCTGCGTGTGAGAGCCGCCGACCGCTGCGTCGACTCGTGCGCTTTGAAACGTATGTAAGCGAGCGTGAAATACGCAATAGTGCTCGTGGATGCGCTGAGCCGCAGCGACCAAGAAGGAGGGACCTAGCGTAGCTTACATACTAGCTCGCACAAAAACTGAAAAAGCCGCGCGGGATCTGGCTCCATTACTCAGCTGGGACGTGCAGCGATATTGCAAAAACTTGTTACGCATAAGTGGACAGCGTAGCCGCAGCGATAGTCCGCCAGCGCGGCTGCAGCACCCAGCAGGTGGCGCCGCAGGAAGCTGCTCTGTAGAACGCGGCGTCGCGCGTCGGCGGCCATTTACGAGTCGGAACGCTCTGCGCGCCCTGCGTGGTACCGCAGCAAACGCTGGGCGACGCTCGCGTGCGGTGTCGCAAAGAAAGCGCGGCGCCGTTCAAAACAAGGCGGCGTGATGGAAGCCCTCAAAACCTGCGAACCCTGCGCGCGCAAAGACCACAAGACCTCGAAGACCTCGAAAAAGAACTGCGGCGCGAACTGCCTCTGCGTCTACGGCCTGGGCGAGCAGATCCGGAACGCGGCGAACCCCGTCTGGGGCGAGGCCAAGGGCCTGCTCGCGGTGCTGGGGGATAATCCGAACGACAACGTCCGCGGGGACGTGCCGGCGGGGCTGCGCAACCTCGGCGCGACGTGCTACCTCGGGTCGCTCGTCCAGGTGCTCTACCACAACGCGGCGTTCCGCGACGCGTTGTATAGGACGCCGACAGCACAAAGAAGCGACGCCGAGGAGACCGTCGTGAGCGCGCTGCAGAAGATCTTCGCGGACCTCGAGGTCGGCGAGCGCTCGTCGTGCGACGTGAACGTCCTCACCGATCTGCTGGGCCTCGAGGTGTCGGTGCAGCAGGACCCGCAGGAGTTCGGCAAGCTCTTCATGGCCAAGGTCGAGGAGTGCGTCGGCGACGACACCTTCGTGGCCGACGTCTTCCGCGGCCAGCAGACGTACGAGACGACGTGCTCGGAGTGCCACAACGTCACGGAGCGCGCGGCGGACTTCGACGAGCTCGAGGTGGCGCTGCGGGGCCAGAGCTCCGTCGGCGACTGCGTGCGGTGCCGCTCGGCGCATAAATCAAACGTCCTCCGCGCCATCGACGCGACGTCGTGGGCATCCGACGCACTGGTTGATTCGCGCACAGGTGCCACTTCAACCCCGAGTCGCTCGAGGGCGACAACCAGTACCACTGCGAGCGATGCGGCAAAAAGGTCGACGCCGAGCGGCGATTGAAAATCGTCAAGGCGCCCCCGGTGCTCCAGGTTCAATTATTACGCTACGTCTACGACCGCGTCACCTGGGAGAAGAAGAAGCTCCGCGACGCCATCGAGACGACGGCGTCCATAAAAATCGACGAGAACGGCGCGAGCGTGGACTACGACCTCTGCGCACTCGTGCTCCATAGGGGAGAGTCGGCCCACGGTGCCGACTCAGCGTGAAAAATGAACTTGAACCTGACGCGCCTCGCGAGTGAACGGAGACGGTTTCGCGACGGCGTCCGTGCCACACAGGCGGCCACTACGTCGCGCGCTGCAAGGACTGGCGGACGAGCAAGTGGCACCAGTTCGACGACGACAGCGTCACGGCGTTCTCCGCGCCCGACGAGTTCCTGGGCGACAAGAAGAAGAAGCCGCCGAGGTCGAGCGAGTCCTACATGCTCGCCTACGTGCGGCGGCGGTGGTTCGAGGCGCGCCAAGGTTTGAATACGCAGCCCCCGCCGAAGAAGCGGCGCGGCGCCCGGCAGCCGGCGCGGCAGCCTGCTGCTCAACCCGCGGCGCCGCCCGAAAGTGCCAAGAACCACGTCGAGAACCTCGACGCGGAGCACGCCGCGTCGAAGGCCGACTGGACCGAGGGCAAGGAGGGGCTCGAGGCGAGCGTGCGGCGGCGGCGGGAGGCGTACGAGCGGCTCTTCGGCGGTTCAAATGCGGCGACGCCGGCGCGCACGTCGAGCGACGGCGTCGTGCCCGAGTTCGCGGGCGATATTGCGTTATTGGAGACGGACGCGCTCGAGGCGTGGGTCGCGGGCGTCAAGCCCAAGGGCGCGGCCAAGGCCGGCGCGGCGGACGCGGACGGTGTCGTGAACATGGCCGAGGACTCGGACGACGACGCCACGGCGGTCGTGAACGGGGGCGGCGTCGTCTGGGCGGACCCCGATGCCGGCGAGATGCCGGCGGAGACCGGCGCGCTGCCGTGGGTGAAACGCTTGGTAAGAGCGCCGCGGCTCTGCGAGCACAATTGTTTGAGACCGGCGGAGCTCCACCATTTCAAAGTACTGCGGCAGGACGTCTACGACGCCGTCGTCGCGGACCTCTTCGGCGACGAGCCGCCGAGCATCGACACGCCGCTCAACGCGCACAACGGCTTCTGTAGGCAGTGCGCGGCGGCGGACGCCGGCGAGCGCGCGAACGCGACGGCGGAATACGACCGGCGCCGCGCGCTCCTCGCGAGGCTCCAGGCGTCGGCGGCGTCCGTTTCCCCAAATGGGACACGCGTCGTCGCGAAGCAGTTCCTCGCGGAGCTCAAGAAGATGGACGTGCCGACGACGTCACATGGCGTGCTGAGCGGCTCGGACGTCGACTGCAACGCAAAAATTAAATGTCCGCACGGCCTGCTCAAGCCGCGGTGCAACCCGAAGCCGCTCCGCGTCGACGAGGAATTATGGCGCGAGGTCCAGGCGCGCTTCCCCCGGTCGACGCAGCTCGTCTGGGACGCGCCCGCCTGCGTCGACTGCGCGGGCACGCAGGAGCAGCGCAAGGAGCAGCGGCAGCTGCGCGACGGCGAGCTCGACGCGTGCCCGGCGCTCGGCGCGCTGCTCGAGCGGGCCGCGCCGGCGCCGAAGCGGCGCGGCTCGTCGACGCGGAACCAGCCCGCGCCGCCGTCGGTCGACGACGCGGCGGCGGCGTTCGGCGTCCTCGCGCCCGCGGCGCCGGCCGACGCCGCGCGGCCGCGGACGGCGCGGGCCTGGATCGCCGCCGCGGACGCTGAGGCTGATATGCCGGCCTTCCGGCTCGTGCCGCGGTTCTGGCTCGCGCGGTGGCGCGCCTACCACCGGCTGCACGGCCCGCGGCCCGGCGCGTTCGGCGACGCGGCGGCGCAGCTCGTCTGGGCGCCGCTCTGGCTCGACCGCCTGCTGCGCCTGGCCGGCCCCGGCGCGCCGGACGCGACGCGGCGCCGCGGCGACGACGCCGCCGCCGTCGCGGAGGCGATCGAGGCCGCGCGGGAGGTTGACACCGTCGTCTACGACTGCGTGCGCGGGAATCCCGACGAGTCTGCGGCGACCTCGGCGCTCGACGCCTTCGACGAAGCCCACCGCGGCCGCGACGCGTCCTACGAGGCCGTCTCCGAGGACGAGTACGCCGGCCTCTGCGCGCACTACGACGACGCGACGCCCGGCGGCGCCCTGCGCGTCTACGCGGACCCCGACGGCTGGCGCGTGGCGGACCGGGTCTGCGACGATGGCGCGCGGCAAGCCGTGGAACGGCACTGCGCGGCGCGCGACGAGTACGACGAGGCGCCGATCCGCGTCTGCAAGCTCGGCGCGTCGGACTCGCCGCCGGCCGCGGACGTGCTCGACGACGCCTTCGATGATGATATAGCGGTCGCGGTCGAGCGCGGCGATTCGAGGAGGCGGTCGCGGCGGTCGAGCCGCGCGCCGGCGGCGCGGACCTTCGAGACCGTCCGGCTCGGAAGTGAGGACCGCGTCGGTTTGTTGCTGCTCAAGCTCTGCGAGGCTTTCCCCGAGATGATGGACGGCGGCAAAAAGTGCTTTCCTGCGTCCTTTTTTACGCCGTCGCCGCGACCGCTGCGTAACCCTTGACATCAACGCAGGCGGAAGAACGCGGCGGCGAAAGCCATAATACTGCTGGCGCGCGGCGGCGGCGAGCTCGACGCGGCGTTAACATTACGACAGTCGGGCGTGCGCGCGCGCGACGCGCTCTACGCGCGTATTGTGGATGTCGCCGACGAGGTCCCCGGCGCGGCGACGCTCGACGAGCTCGTGTTCTACGCCGCGGACGCCAAGGCGCCGCCCCACGCGGGCAAGCGCGGCAAGGCGGAGCGCGAGGCCGAGACGGGCTTTGCGGGGACGCTGCTCGGTGGCGGCGCGCCGGCGCCGTCGCGCGAGGAGGAGGAAAGTTCGCAGGAGGTTTGAATACTAACATGAATTAGCTAAAGAAGTCCTTCGCCTTCGCGTCATCCCTTTTCACCTTCGCCGCGGCGCGGCGCCTCCGCTCCGCTTCCAAGCCAGCCTCGTCGCCCCACCGTCTATTGGCGTGTTCCACCAGATGCCGCCGCAGAAACAGCCGCATCGGCGTCCACGTCGGCTGGCGCGGGTTCTCCCGCTCTAACGTAGGTAAACATTTGAGCGTGGCCTGGGGCAGCAAATAAGTTCGCGCCGCGTCCGTCGCGTTGAGCAGGTCGAGGGAAGGGTCGCGTCGCCGGCACGCATTGCACGTTTGGATGGAAAACGCAGTGCGAAACGCGGCGTCGGCCAAAGCACCGCACGTATCGCAGTCGTCGGCCGTGCGCGGCTTTTTGGGTTGCGTCGCTGCCTGGTCGGACTTACGCTTCTTCTTCGCGGCGAGCTTCGCCAAAGCTGCCGCCTTGTTGGCTGCGATCCTTTGCTTCTGGTCCGCGTCCATCGCCTCGGAAGGCCTCGACGGTGAGCAGGCAGAAGGCCGGTCCGGCTAGAATCGGCAGGATCGAGCGCCACAACGACCAACTCCGCAACAGGGGCATCGATTGGTGCGCTCGAGAGCTGTGCGGCGCGCTGTGCTCTCCTTGTGGAGAGCTGTGCTGTGAGTGCTGTGCTCTTGTGGAGAGCTGTGTTGAGTGCTTGTGCCGTCGCCGCGGGTACACGCTGTAGGGGGTTGTTATTGATGGAGGAGAGCTCCACGGATTTAGCGCGAGTGTACGAGGACTGGGGCGCTTTTTTATGCCTTCTTTGCCTGCTTGCCAAATTTTGCTAGTGTCTTACGGCGCTAGCTGAGTTCGCTTGGCCCAGGAGTCATATGGAGGGTCTCCCGCACGCGCCGCCCCCGGAACTACCTCCGACGACGTTCGATCTCGTGCTGCTTGGAGCGCCGAGTGGCAGCACAGCGGCAAACCAAAAAAGCGCTGTACCGCGCCGCGCGCGCAGCCACGATGCAACCCGACGCAACGTGAGGCCAAGACCGGCCCTCCACAACCGCGTGACCCGACGACAAGCCCAGACACCGACGCCAGGGGGCTGCCCCACGACCATGTCCCGTCGCACCAACCACGTCTGGCGCTGCGACATCTGTAATTCGTGTACGAACCCCGTGCGAGCGCCCAAATGTATCATTTGTGGCACGCCGGCGCCGCGGACGCGGTTCGGCACGTTCTCTCATGGCCGCTACGTCCTCGTCGACCTGAGGACGGGGCGCAACGCGGCCGAAGCGCGGATCCACGAGCTAGCTACGGATGTCGTGCATATCGAGGAATTACCTGCTGGTGATGATCTAGAAGAGCGCATCGCGGACGCCTTGAAAAGTGCACTCGACGACGACTTCCGAGAAGCGAGGAGACTAGAGGCGCCTCGATTAGCGTCGCGCGCCCGACGCCGTTTGAAGCACGAGAAGCAATCCTATGAAACGAAGCAAGACGCCAAAGTTCTCAAGGGCGACCTGTTCGCGCAAGTCCTGCAAAGGGACCGGAACGAGGAAAATGCCGCGATTATGCGCAAGCAGTACGCGACCATGCGTAGAAGAGTGCAAATTCAACAGGAAGAGATCGAGGACTCGGAGACGATCCTCATCCGGAAGAGATGTGAGGATGGTTCTATTCTGTGTGGAAATCAACCAGTGCGTCGGGTGCACCCGACAATTCTTCACTAAGACATTTCTCGGCGATGACGCGGCCGCGCTGGCTCGGTCGAGCGGCGAGGAACCGGCATCGCCACGCCATCGAGCAGGCGTCGCGTCGATGGCGTGGAGGACGACGCGATGATTCAGCACGAACGCGCCGTAAAATTTTGATTTCCACACAGGTTCTATTGATGAACACCGCGTTGACAGGGATGAAGCTTCCGTTCTCATCGACAAGGAGGCGGAACTACGAGCAAAATATACTCCTTGCGGGTGTTGCGAGCGGGAATTTCGCGGGCGATGTTTACTGGGTGTGGCTTCTTTTCATCAGGTGGCAGAATGGAGATCACAACACAATGCCCCATTTCCTCCAAACGATCCTAGGTTCGCGATATCAAAACGCTACGAGCCGATCCGACTTTGTGTTTTTTGTACGCAGTTCTTCGACCAAGATTTCTCAGATTACATGAGCATTGCTCAATATTCGCATACGCATCGGAAGGGCGTCGAGCTGGAGCCCTGCTTGCAGCTGGGTCCGGCGCGTGCGAAGGAACGACGGCATCTCAAAGAAGAGGCTCCGGTCGTCATCGAGGACAAGGTCGAACGGCCTTCTTCGGTGCTGAGGGATCGCATGGCGAAATCAGAGTTATTAATGAGGGCCGCCGTGCCGCTCAAGCTGGACCCCTACGGTAGTCACTTGAGTGACTTAGCAAGGAAACCGGTTGTCACAACTTTACGAAGGGGCTACACGCGGAAGAAGCGCACGATGCTGCCCAATTCCGCGAAAGAGCGGCAGTTCACGCCCGTTTCGAAAGAGAGACTGGAGGACATGAAGCCCGCGCGCCGCAAGCCGCGGAAGCTCGGTCAGCGGCGACGCGTGGACAAGCTGCCTCCTTTATTGCCTGCTGAGGACGAGGAACAGCCGTCTCCCTCGAAGCGGCGGCCTCGCTCGCTGTCCCACAAGAAGAAGCGGGCCTACGTCGTCGAACAGAAACGGCGCGCCGAGGCCGCGGCCTACGGAGGCGCGCCTCGTAGAAGGCGTGCTAGACGCCCAGGCCAGACCGAGAGCCTGCGGAGAGATAGGCGGCGCACTGAACAGCATTTCGACCAGCTCACGAGCGTGCGCCGCGGCGCATCATCAGTGGACGAGGACTCGGCCTTCGAGGACTCGGACGAGCTCGCGGCCGAGGCGGAGATCGCCGAATTGAAACGAGCGATCGCCGCCGAACGCGCGAAGGGCGGGGGGTAAGTTTTGTGTAGTAGTCTTTCCGCGACGCGCGTCTCGTCGGACGTCTCGGGCGCTTGCCGTGCAGGTAGATGTCTTCTGGCCTCCTTATTTATGTTACCGTCCGCGCCGGTTATCTGTTACGGTGCTAGGACTCGTGAGCGGAGCCCTCCGCGCTGCTAGTGTCTTACACAGGCCGCTAGCTCGAATTCGTAATCGTGAATCGAGCGCTGTACGCTGCGGCTTACGAACGGCTGCCCCGCTCGCATCGACGGCGTCGAGCTTGACGCGTTTGAGCTGTACGCCATCGACGCGCGAGCTTACGAAGTCCAACGCCGAAGTCGTCGGGCCGCTCCAACAAAACAAATTTAAGGGCAGCACCAATATTGGCAGCCCCCCACAGAGCCATGGGCAACGTCCCGTCCCTCAAGATGGAGGTCGTGCCCGCCGACCCCGTGACCTGGTGGCTCGACGAGGTGAAGGCCTTGCGGAACGAGTACCAGAAACGAGCGAGCGACCAGTGGTCGTTTGCGGCAAGCGAGAAGCAGCTCCGAGGCGTTTTTGAGGAGGTCCTGCCGGACCCCTCGCCGACGAAGGACATTGTCATCGACACGATCTTCCCGAGGTTCGCGGACGAGCGGTCGAACACGACCGATGGACCTACTGGGGCTGGCGGTAAATTCAAGGAGATCCGAGTTAATGTATTGGAAGTGTGGGCGGCCTTCGCCGTCGTGTGCATCGGGAGTATCGACGAGAAATTGTCGTTCATCTTTGATTTATTTGACTTTAACCACCAAAAAAGTTTGAGTCATACGGAGGTCATGGTGCTCTTCGGGACGACGCTGACTGGAATAACGAAGTACGCGCGGCGCGGCGAACCGCCCGATTCGGATACCTTGACGGAGTGGAGTGATGCTCTATATGATTCATATAAAAAAGATTATAGGACGCGGGTCTCGAAGGACGAGGTCTGTGCTTATTACTTGAAGCATTTACAGAAACTATGCGAACGGAAAGATCTAGAAAGTTGCCAGACGTACCACACGTTCCTATTGATCCACGACGTCGTGCCCGATCCTAAAAGGAGGAAGTCAGCTTTACCGGACGAGGAGGGCTGGCACCCTCCTATGATGAAGGCGCCGGGCGATGTCTAAGTATCTGTAACTTATGTCTCCTCGGCGCGCTCCTCCCTCCTTCGTTTCTCCCTTTCGGCAACTAGTGACTTCCGCGCGCAGCTCTGGAACAACCTCGATCGTTTCGAGTCGACCTCGCCGTCCTCGAGGGGCTCCTCCGCGTAGATCTCATCGAAACACGACTGGGAGATGCACGCGTTCACGCAGTTCATATTCGTCCCGGGCTGCATGCCGGCGCACGTTTGCGTCTCGCACTCGCGGCGCCGCGCGCGGAAGGCTCGGTCGCGGTTCTGGTTCTTCGCGGTCGTTAGAGCGATGATTGTCAAGAGTTTTATCGGCGTCATCGCCGCTCGTCGGCCGCTACTCTTCTAGCAGCCTCCGCCTTCGCGCGCGCCGTCGCGGCGTCGAGCTCCTTGCGGCGCTCGATGTGGTAGTAGCCTCTATCTATTGCTACGTAGGTCACGTAGGCCGCGCAGACGACGGGGGCGGCCAGTCTTGCTAGCTTGCGCGTGCTGCTCATGCAGCAGGCTGCCGCACGGATGCTATTGCTGGTGCTATTCGCGCGGCACGGGGTACAATCGCTTGCGCGCTGCGACAGCTCTGATCACTGCTGTGACTCTGGCGGTCAATGCGGGCACCTGGGGCCTCGCCTGCAATCAATGCGATGCAAAAACTAAAGACGAGCGAGACCTAGCGTGTCGACACACACTAGCAAATCAACAGCGCTTTTACAGCGCCGGATGCGGGGCAGCCACAGTGAAAGTGTGGACATGCTGCCGACATAGCAATCGCGTATATATAGCACGTAAAAGGGCAGCCCAACAATGATTGATGACGATTCCGACGCCAGCCCAAAAAAGAGGCCACAGCACCGGCACGACAGCAGCGACAGCGAGGAAGAAGAAGCCAAGCAGCCCGAACCGCCGCGCAAGGCGACGACGGCCCGCGTCGTCGTGGACATCACGCGCGCGCGCGACCTGAGCGAGGAACATGGAACGCCGAACCCGTTTTGCGTGTTGTCGATCGTGCAGCTGCGCGACGGCCGCCGCCTGTCCGACGCAAGGAGGACGCGCGTCGCGAAGCATACGTCGAACCCGGTCTGGACACGGGAGCGCTTCGTCTTCGAGGCGCCTATATCCATAAAAGAGCTGCCGAAGCTGCGCATCGAGGTGTTTTCCTTCAGAACGCTGCGCAAGGCGCGGCTGTTGGGCAAGGCGCAGGTGGCTCTAAACGGTCTTGAGGAAGGCGACAACGAGATCACGGTGCCGATAAAACTTGATACTGTGAAGGCGGGCGAGGTCTGCGCGACGATCGCCATGACTCCTCATGATGAGACTCACGCGGCGCCCGACGCGGATAGTGTGCGGTGGTTCGTCGACGAGGAAGCGGTGGCCCCGTGTTTACATCGCGAGCCGAACTGTTTGCGGGTGGCGTTGGTCCGATGCGTTGAGTTACAGAAGGAGTCGCGGTTACAGAAACTCGAGCACATCGTGCACACGCCTCATATCAAGCTGACGGCGTCGCTCGGCGACGAGAAAAGAGTGACCAGGAATATCGACCGCTCGTCGGATGTGCTGGTGATGGAGGCCTTCGACCTGCCTTATCGCAAGGGCGGCCACCAGTTTTTACACGTCGAACTGAACCATGGTCTCGGCGTCGCGCGCTTCCCGGTGAATGAGTTACCAAGTCCGCATGAAGACGACGGGGGCGCCGCGGCCATGTGGTTGTCATTACTAAAGGGTGAGCAGGCCGTAGGAAAGGTCCGGATCGCGGCGAAGCTGTCGTACGTCGCCGGTTTGGATCCACATCATCAGGACCTCGCCTTCGACGAGTCACAGGATACTCAACATTCGAATGAGGTGAGAGTGGCCGTCTGTCGAGCGCGAGACTTACACCCAGGAACATGGGACTCCTGCGACGCCTACGTTTCGTTGCGCTTGAACGACCCCCTATCGATAGCGCATCGCACGCAGACGGTCCTCAAGACGACGCACCCCGTCTTCAACGAGATCTTCGCCTTCGAGTACCACGGCGAAGGCCATCTAGAGCTTGACGTGTATGACTGGCACTGGACGTCTGACGATGAGCTGCTGGGGAGCTGCGCCGTGGCGTTGGACGAGCCTAGTAGGGAATGGCGCACGTTGGAGCACGGCGCTTTATTGGTCGCGATTCAAAAGCGCCACAACCCGGCTTATACGTATGAGCCCTTTGCCGGTGACTTGCATTTCCGTTCACATGAACCGAACACGCTCATGATCGGCGCGCACAAGGTCCGCATCGCGAATCATATTGCCGATTTCCAGCCGATGTTTCGCTGCGAGTTTACCGTGCCTCGCGCCGACGTCGTGAGGACGCGAGATGAAGGTTTAAGAGCGGGGTTCGCCATGTTCCGCCAGGTGCTTTCACTTGAAGTGAAGGAGGATTGTTTGTTGGAGTGTAGTGTCCCGGGTGTCGGTAAAGGTACCTATGATATCGCCCGACTGAAGGCGCGACGCGCTCGAGACGAGCGTATCGATCTGTATGACGGCTCAACGTTAACGGGCCGCCTCCACGTCCGTTTAAGTTGGCGCTTCGACCCCGGTCTCGATTACGCGCCCTTCACGCCCGAGCCGGTCCGCATGAAGGCCGAGGTCGCGAATCAACTGAAAATCGCCCTGGTCCAGGCGGCTGGTTTGACCGAAGGGTCTCCTTTGGTAGTGTTTGAGGTGTCGTCGTCGGACAAGATCTTGCACAGATGGCGGTCGCAGGAGCGGAAGAAGACGCCGCACCCCGTCTGGTACTGGCCTGTGTGGAAATCAACCTTCGTGAGCCCGCGCGCCATCGAGCCGACGCGGCCGCGGGGACGAAGTTGCGTCGATGGCGTGGAATCGCCACGCCATCGCGCAGACGCAGCTGTGAGGCGCCCGAATTCTGAGTTCCACACAGGCACCAGCAGTGGGCCGTCTCGCTCGACGCGAACGTCGCTTCCCCTCAACTGAAAGCTAGACTTGAGGATGTGTCGAGAGGCGAGCTCATGGGCCACGCGCTTATAAACCTGACGTCATTACTAGATCGGAAGATCCATCGGGGCTGGCACAAGCTGGTCGGAGAGGCGACGGACGTCAGTGAGACGATCACCGTCGAGCTAGGGGGCGAAGTCGAGCTGATCGTGCAGTGGTGCCACTCGCCGGCAACAGTGGCAAAGGTCGTCCCTCCGACGACGCCGAAGCCTGCCAAACCATCACCATCAGGCATCAGCGCCGGCATCTCGGGCAGCACGCAGAAAAAAGTATTTTTTGGCGTCGCGGCGGCGGGCATGGCCGCGGCCGCGGGCGCGCGCGCGCGGCGGCGCGCGGCCGCGCGCGCCGTGCCCGAGCTCGCCGAGATTGAGAAAGATGAGGCGCCGGCCATCACGACCGAGGAGGACGAGGACGGGGCCTCGCTGGATTTGGTCGAGGACTACACGTACGTGAATCCGTTCGACGTGCACCGATTCTGGAACCGCGAGGTCTTCGTGACGCCGCCCGGTGCCGTTCCGCGTCCTTTTTCCTCGCAGCTGCCGCGACGCCGTCGGCGCGATGATGGCGTCGAGAGCGTCTCCCGCGCGCAGGCGAGCAGTGCGCCCGGTGGCAATTGCGGCGCGTGCGCCTCGCCACGGAGGTCGCGACGGGCTTCCCCTTCCTGCTGCACGGCGTGCCCGCGCCGCTCGAGTCGGCGATCCCGTGCGCCGACGGCGTCTTCATGAGACCGCACCGCCTCGACGCCGTCGACGTGGGCGTCAGAGAGTCGTGACGCCATCGTTCGACACAGGTACCTGGACGAGAAGCGGTTTTCATTAAGACGCGCGCACCTGTGCGACGTGCGCGTCTGCCGTTTTGAAGGAAGAGACCACGTCGTGCGCCTCGCGTCTGCTGCGCGAGAGGGGCCGCGTCTGCTCCAGAAGGTCTCCGACTGCCGCGTCTGCTGCGCGACCCAGGAGGAGGCCTGGGCCGTGCGGCGGGCGATCCTCGGGAGAGCGTCGGGAGGGAAGCAGCTGCCCGTCGACAACGACGAGGACCGGGCCGCCGCGGAGCTCTGCCGCGCGGCGGGCGCCGGCGACTTGGAGCGAGTTGCGGAGCTGCTCGAGACGGGCGAGGCCACGGCGGAGGACGCGAACGGCGCGGGCGAGTCGGCGGTGTCGCGCGCCGTGCGCTTCGCAGTCGATGCTGCTCGCGGCCGCAACCGCTTGCAGATGACGCGGGCGTTGAAATGCGTCGGTCTATTAATGCAGAAAGGTGCAGACCCCTTCGCCGCGAGCTGCCTCGGCGCTTCCGCGCGCGACGTGCTTGAGGCGGCGCGCGGCGAGGTCCCGGACGCGATCATCGATACGATACGGAGGGAGCTCGACCGGGCGGCCATCGTCGCGACGGCGGACGGCGGCTCGCTTTTAGCTCTGACGGGCGCGGACGCGGCACGGGCGCGCGAATTATTGCGGAGGCGCGAGGCGCGGGAATCTAGAGCAAGACGTCGCGATGTCACGGGCTGGACAGCAGAGGACGAAAGGCTTGAAGCCGAGGACAACGCCGAAGCGGACGCGGCCGACCCTTTGTATGGGGTCAAATTGCGCCGTTACCCGCGCCACGGCGTCGCCGCGGTCTTTTCTTCAGAGAACGGTCCGGATACGAAGCGGCAGGATAGGAGGGCCCTCGAAGCGAGGTACCGCATCCGGCAAGCACTTGAGCGGCATAACGATCCCGCTCAGGACCCGCGGCGGAATCTCGGGTTTACGGACTACAAAGGACCCACACTCACCGGCAACAAGGAAGCAGATGCTGTGCGTTTGTTGTTCCATAACGACGACGTCACTTCTGTGGATTCGGGCCCCCGGTCCATCGAGGACTCCATCGTCCTCAAAAGGCCGGGCTCGGCGCCGGCGAAGCGCTCGACGCCAAAGCGGCTCGACGTCACGCCGTTGAAGCGGCGACCGCAGTCGGCGACGGTCGGGAAGCCGGCTTCCGAACTGCACGGCCTCGGCGAGTACAACGTTCACGAGACGCATTTGGAGCCCCAGCTCCGGCGCATCCGGGGGTTGTTAGAGGCCGACGCGCAACGCGGGAAACCTACGTTCATCAAGCAGAACCTGCACCTGCCGCCGACGCGCGGCCGCCTCCACAAACTAGCCTTCAAGGCGGGCCGACCGCCGCGGCCGGACAAGCGCAGTATTAACCTCGCGCGCGCCGCGGCCGCCGCCAATTCCTCGCAGAAGCGGTCACTGTTAGGAGCGCGGCCGGCCTCCGCGGGCGCCGTGCGGCCGCGGCCGTCTTCTGCCTCTGTCGCCCGTCCATCCTCAGCCTCTGTCGTGCGGTCTGCGCCCTCGTCCGCGCGCGCACGGCCTGCTTCGGCGACGGCGACCTCTCGGCGTCGGCGCGTTGCTCCAACCAAGGCAGCGCCGCGGCACACTGTTGCCCGTCCGCGGTCGGCGCCGGCGCGCAGGCGACCCGTGGCGCCGCCGCCGAACTGGTCGACGAACTGGTCGAAGACGTGGGCGAAACCTGTTCCGAGCTCACGATAGTCCTCCAGTGATTTGTTTTTGTGAGTAATTTAGTGATCAACTTACACAATGGGGGCGAAGATGCTGATGCTGGCATGGCCGTAGTCTTCTGCGGGAGATCCTGCGTGGTATGGCGCCCCTACGCACCACAGCCGCTCGCCGTCCAAGCAAATACCAGCGAGCTCCACTCCACCCGGCGAGGGGATAATCTGGAGGACCTCCGGATCTGCTGCACTCAAATCATCGGGCAGGCGCAGGATCTGGATTCGGCGACCACCTCGTTCGGAGACGTATAGGAGCTTGTTTCGTACCGCGACGTCGTAGGGCTCGTGAAACTGCCCCTGTTCGGCAGACTTACGGTCGTCGTCATACGCTACGAGATCCCAGTAATGTTCGCCATATTCATCATCATGCATTTCCGGAGCGTCACCCGCCTTGCCAATGCGTTGCACGAACGTCCCATCGCGCCAGTTGAAGATTACAACGGATTGATTGTAGGTGTCGGCCACGAAACAATACTCACCATCAATGGCCAGGCCCATCGCACCCCGCAGCTCGTCGACGCAGCCGGGGGGAGCGCTCGAGCCAAATCGATAACGCACGGCCCCTGAGTTTCGGTCGAGCACAGCAACTTCACCATACCCCCAGTCAGTGTGAAACAAAACCAACACTGCATCGCCAGAAATCTCGAGATCAATGGGCCGCCCAATTTGGAAAAATGCTATCTCTGATAACGACGGAGCCCGAAGTTGCATAGTCTCATAATTTACGGGATGGCGACCCACCTCACGATTGTCGTGGTTGACTACCCATGACACACCCTCGTCGTCCAGAGCCACAGCAGTTGGGCAATTCCAGTCACCTACAGTCCCTCGATGCTCACCCTCCGCGGTGTACATATGGAGACAGCCTTCATTGTAATCGGGTACAATGACACCGCCAGCGACCAGGGGGGTAAGGTGATCACCAAATTCAAATGGACCGAGACCTAAGCGCACCGGGCGGTACAGCCCTTTCGCGCGGCGTCGCCAGGCGCCGTGCCACTGCTTGCAGACTGATGCCGCCACGACGCAGCCGTCGCGCAGCGCGAGCCGAGAGAAGACGCATGCCAGCACGTCGTCCGTCCGCAGAGCGCGATGGGCGCGCGCGAATTGTTCTCCGGCAGCCAGTTCCGCAGCGCTGGCTGCCAGCTCTGTAGCCATATGGCTTATGGGTCAAGTGCTAAAGTACAGTAAAGGTGGTGAGCGATGCGTGGAGCGCTTGCACAGGGCTAAAACGCGCTGCGAAATGACAGATCCGTGTGTATATATGCCGTGAGTACGAGAGATTGCGCTGCACAGGGCCTTTTTTTGCTCGACGCGGTGAGCTAGCGACCTGTAAGACACTAGCCTCAGTGCCCAAGGCCAAAAAACTGGTCACAGCGGTGCTCTGAGTCGCTTAAAGAGGCGCAGAGTGGCCTCTGAGTTCAGTCTAAGTCGCTGCGCTGGCAGCACTGTAAAACAGCGAGTCTCGGGGACAAGATGCCAGACTCCGATGACACCCGCTCCACAAGTGAGAAGCGCCACCAAGCGCTCGAAGCCCAGATGAAGCAGCGCCAGTTCGTGCAGCGTTTGAAGGAGCGCGGTGAGCGCATCAAAAATGCCGAGTCGACGCCACTTGAGAAGGAGTTAAGATCCCGGCTGTGGTGGGAATGCGCGCTGGCCGGGACCGCGACTTGCATCGGTACGGCGGCGCTTCTAAGACGGCGCGCCGGCGTCGTGGCGTCGACCCTCGGAGGGATCCTAGTGGGCAATCTGACCTTCGGCGGCGTCTTCGCGCGGCGCGTCGAGCCCTTCTTCGAGAAGATCTGCGCGCAGCCGGAGCACTCGCCCCGCGTCGATTCTCTATTGTGCCCGACGTTCCTCGACCTGAAGGCCATGATGGCCGAGGAGCCGCCCGCCAAGGCGGTGTCCGGGGCCATGACGCGCATCTGGGAGCTGTGCGAGGCGCGGGCGGAGCGGTTCGGTGGTGGCGCTGCTTCCAACAGCGACGACGGCTGGGCCGGGCAGCCATCGGCCGACGACTGGTCGTCGCCCGGAGGCCCGTCGGACGACTGGGCGTCGCCCGGAAACCAATCAACGGACGAGGACCGGTGGTACCAGCCGCCGCCGCCGAAAAAATAAAGATGATGTGTTGTCTACAAGTTATATCTCCGTCAACTCGGGCGGCGCAACCTTTACCCCGCCGGAGAACTGGGACGGGTCCATGCCGTACCGCGCCTCCAGGGTCCCCTCCATTTCATCTTGCAAAGCCTGCTGTCGATTGCGCTCATCTCTGACGCAGTCCTCGACTGCCGCGTACATGCCGGCGACGCCCCCAAACGAGTTGTAGAACATATAGATGCCCTGCGTCGCCGACTCGAGCATCGCCGACGCCTCCGCTTGCTCTCGGACGTCCCCACTGCTTCGTCGCTGCCCGAGCTTCAGCCACCGAATGGCGTCTCCAATCGAGAACGCGTCCGCCTGGCCCGCGAGCGCGGCGTCGTCGGCGATCTCCTCGTTAGACGCCATCGCCGTCGACTCGTCGCCGGTGGTGGCCTGTGTGGAAATCAAATTTTGGATGCCCGACGCGACGTCTTCCCCGTAACTGCGTCTGCTCGATGGCGTGGAGTTTTCAGGCCATCAACGCAATGTTCTCGCCGTGACAGCGTCGTAACCTAACTCACTGGTTGATTTCCACACAGGTATTGGCGGTGTCGATGGAGCCGCGCGAGTAGCGCGATCTGCCTTTGCGCGACGCGCGCGACCTGTGTTGAAAAATCAAATTTCGGGCGCCCCACCAATCGACACGAGGCGAATCCACACTGGTTGATTTCCACACAGCGCGCAACGCGCGCCGTTCCATCCGCCGGCGCCACGCGCGTAGTCGCCGCGCCAACAACCACGACAGCAGCTCCCTCCGTCGCTTCGGCTCGACGCGCGGCGGCGGATCCGGTGGCCTGCGCGGGCGACGCGTCGGACATCACGAAGGTGGCACGCGACGCGTTCTCCCTCTCGCGTCGATGGCGTCGAGGCTGCACCAGTCGAGACGCCATCGCCGCGCCGACCGCACGGAGACGGCGTCGCGGCGATAGCGTCGAGGGCGCACGTCGCGGCGATGGCGTATGGGTGGAACGGACGCGGAAGCGGACGCCGCCGTCAGCGCGGCCCGCCCGCGCTGGACCTCGATGCCCTTTTTTAGCTTCCCAGCCCGCGCGGCGCGCGAACTCCTGATTATTTCTTTGACCGAGGGCTTGCGCTCGCCCGAGGGCAAGAGCTGCTGATCCAGAGCGGCCGGCGCCGTCGTCGGCCGCCGCTTCTGTGGTGAAGGCGGCTCGTCGCGCTTGAGGAACGCGTCGTATTCCGCCATCAGCGTCGGCGTGTCCTTCCGATATTTACAGCACAACTCATAGCGCTCCTGGTGGCCCTCGATCAAATTCTGGACCTTCGATCGTTGATATTTCAGGTCCAACTCGACCTTGTCGGCCTCGTCCATCACCTTCTCGGCGAAGGACTTGCCCCGCGCGGGCTGCGTCGAGAGCGACGCGCGGCTGTCGGCCCTGCCTTCCAACCTCGCTCGCAACAGCTTCCGGATCTCGTGCACGCGCGCCACGATGCGCCGCCGCTCCTCCTCGATGATAATACCTTCGAGCTGGACGTAGATTTGGTCCAGGATCTTCATCCGCGCCCGCCTCGCATAAACGTACTGCCTTATCAACGACTGACCCAGCACGACGCGCTCCGTGTAGGTCATGACCACGCGCTGCAGCTTCGCGCCCTTGTTCGTGGCCCGCAAAAAGTCCCGCACGACGCCCGCCGCGTAGGCCCTCCTCCAACACCGTATCGTGAAGCACATCCTCAGGCGATGCCGCTTCATGAGCCGCGCATACTTCGAAAATTTCGTCCACATGCGCTGGGTCCGCTTCTGGCGGTAGCACCGCTGGACCATCTTCGCGGCTCGCCGGTGTTTCCGCCGCGTCGCCATGTCCTCGCGGCCTATCTCCAATTGGTCTGACAAAGCCTTCGCGCGGATAGCTTGCTGCACGATCGTGAGTAGTAACGCCCCGCGCAGCCGCTGCAAGGCCTGCTCCCGCAGGATCCGCGGCCGGTCCCTTTTCAACTCGACTTTACTCAACACGTCGTCTTCTCGCTTTTGCAGGACCGCGTCGCGGCGCTGCCGCGCAGATGCTGCTCTTACAGCAGTATACCGTCGCGCCGCCTCGCGCCGCTGGGAAATGATCTCGGCTCGGTGCGCGGCGGCCCTTACTAGTTTATCAGCGAAGGTCTCGGGCGACGTCTCCACACTTCCAGAGGCCAAACTACCACCGCTGAAGAGTTTCTCGGTGACGGCCTCTTGGAGCGGCGCCACGAGCGTCGTGAGGCCCATGGACGACTGCTCGGCGAGCGTCGTGAGGCCCTGCGTCGTGCTGGAGACGGACGGCTTGGCGCTCACTCCCGGGCTCGCGATCTCGGGGAGCCTGCTCATGGTTGGTGGTTTAGGCTCGAGTCATGGATGGGCAGCTTTGTCGCGTCGTGGGCCCACGAATGGGCAGCGTTTTGGTCCTCTTGCCGCCGGAGAGCATATGCAGCGCCATCAGTTTTGTGTCGCCACCTTGTCCCGGAATTGCGCTCCGGGATTCATGCACAGAGTACTCTCTGGTCCGTTTGAGGACGGTTCTATCCTGGGCGACTAGCGTGCGGGGCGTCTCAGAAGCGGGAGCGCCTCTCTGCGCTGTGCACACGACATCTCACAGCGCGTACCTGTGCGAGGCTGCCCACTCGCGTGTCGCGATGCCGCCCAAAACGAAGAAGTCATCAGGCGCTGCGGCACCGCCCAAAAAGAAGAAACCGGCGGCAAAAAAGCCGGCTGCCAATAAGACGCTATTCCTCGCCTGCGAGAAAGGACACGTCGACGCGGCGCGGTCGCTGCTGGCAGAAGGTGCGGAGGTCAATCGGGCGGGTGAGGACGGTGCGACGCCGCTGTACATCGCCTGTCGGAACGGCCACGTCGACGCGGCGCGGCTGCTGCTGGACGAAGGCGCGGACGTTAATCGGGCGAACAAGTACGGTGCGACGCCGTTGATCACCGCCTGCTGGGAGGGCCACGTCGACGTGGTGCGGCTGTTGTTAGATAAAGGCGCGGAGATCGATCGGGCGAACAAGTACGGCCAGACGCCGCTGTACGTCGCCTGCCAGATAGGCCACGTCGACGCGGCGCAACTGTTGCTAGATAAAGGCGCGGAGGTCGACCGGGCGGATGTGAACGGTGAGACGCCGCTGTTTGTCGCCTGCGGTGGGGGCCACGTCGACGCGGCGCGGCTGTTGCTGGACAAGGGCGCGGACGTTTTTCGGACGACAAAGGACGGTCAGACGCCGCTGTCCATCGCACAAACCTTCAGCCACTCGTCCGTCGCGCTGCTCGAGGAACACTTGGATCCGAAGTTCCCACTTCACGCTGCGGCAAGGACCGGCGACGTCGAGGCGATGACTCAACTCCTGGACGGTGGCGCAGAGGTAGACGCAAAGAAGGACGGCGCGACGCCCTTATTCGTAGCGTGCGAGGGCGGCCGCCTCGACGCAGCGCGGATGCTGCTGAAAAAAGGTGCGGAGGTCGATCGGGCGGACGAGGACGATGCGACGCCGCTGTTCTTTGCCTGCAAGAACGGCAACGTCGACGCGGCGAGGCTGTTGCTGGACAACGGCGCGGAAATCGATCGGGCTGAAAAGAAGCACGATTGGACGCCGCTGTACATCGCCTGCCATCAGGGCCACGTCGGCGCGGCGCGGCTGCTGCTGGAGCGCGGCGCGGATATTAATCGGGCGAACAAGTACGGCTCGACGCCGCTGTACGTCGCCTGCTATGATGGCCACGTCGACGCGGTGCGGCTGTTGCTGGACAACGGCGCGGACGTTAATCGGGCAAGGAGGAACGGCTGGACGCCGCTGTTCGTCGCCTGCGAGAACGGCAATGTCGACGCGGCGCGGCTGTTGCTGGAAAAAGATGCGGAGGTCGACCGGGCAAGGGAGGGCGGCTTTACGCCGCTGTACGTCGCCTGCGAGAAGGGCCACGTCGACGCGGCGCGGCTCTTATTGGCGCGGGGCGCCGACGTCGAATGGGCAGATAAGGACGGTACGACGCCGCTGGACGCAGCAAAGCGTCGCCGTCATTACGACGTAGTCGTCATGCTGCTCGAGGAAGCGAACGCAAAGCTGAAACGCCGCCTCGATCGCCATGAGGGCACCGTGCTGGATCTCACGGCGGAAGACAGCGACGACGACGAAGCGCCGCCGCCCCGCTCGAAGCTCCGCGAGCTCCACGACAAGGAAACCACCAAGCGCGTCGCGGAGGTCAAGAAGGAGCGAGACGACCACAAGAGCCGCGTGGCCAAGGTTACGAAGGAGCGCGACGACCACGAGAGCCGCGGCGAACTCCTGGACTCGATGGTCACGCCCCTCGAGTCGCAGCGCCGAGAACTCCAGGAGATGGTGAGCGCCGCGGCGGAGGCGCTCATGGAGCGAGACGTGCCGACGCGCATGCTCGCCGACGACGCAGCCCCGTTCTACTACTCCCAAAACTCCTGGGAAGCGGAGCAGGAAATCCCGTGGAACGCCGAGGCGGATCGCCCGATGAGCCTCGCCGAGGGCATCGCGTGGGTCCACGACAACGCGAAGCCTCCCCGCAAGCGCCGGCGCTAATGTCACTAACAACATGTCTTATGCACACATCACGTCGCCTCCACCGACCCGAGCGCCCGAAGGGCCCGCCGCGCGATCGGCTCCCGGAGCGGCACGGAGTGGAGCAAGTCTACCATTGATCCGAGCCGCCATTTTGTCCGCTCGGCCTCGCCGCAGAGGTGCCCCGCGATCAGGCGCCACAGAGCTCCGTGCGCGGACGGGTCGCTCCTGGCGAGCGCGTCGAGCGCCGCGAAGGGCAGCTTGTACAACAGGCACGGCTCTGCGGCCATGAAGACGCCGACGCTCCGCGTCCTTCGCACGAACTCGTGCGTCCCAATGATGCTCCCCGGTCCCAGCTCGGCGAGGCGGAACGACGTCGCGTGGCGCCGCGCCTTCCGCAGTATCGCGCCCGTCGACTGATTCGGGTCGCGCCGCACCGTCATGCGGCCGCTCGCGACGATGTAGAGCGCGTCGTCGTGCCCCGTCGGCTCGCCCGCAGCGCCATGTGGTAACAACGCCTCGCCCGACTTCAATCTCCTCGCCTCGGCGCATTCACTCAGGCCGGGCCCCGCCAGCAACGCGTCTATCTCCGCGTCGGCGGCGAAGCCTGATAAAGCGCTGCGGCGGACGGCGCCGATCAAAGCTTTATCAAACGAGACCACCGTTGTACCCAGGCGCCGCAGCGGCGTCTGCGAGTTGCCCTCGCGAAGGTCCCGCAGCAACCGTGCCTCGCAGTCGCCAAGGGCGCTATCGACGTCCAGCGATTGCTTCACGGCCGCGCCGCCCGACGCCTGTCGCCGCCGGAGCGCGCGCCGAACGTCTTCGTGCGCGCCGCAGACGTAGAGCGCCGGGACCTCGCGTCGATGCGTCGCCTGCACGAGGCGCGCCGCTTCTAGCAACGCGTCGACCGCCGACGCGTCGGCGCCCGTCGCGTGCGCGAGGTCGAGAATCGCGTAGTGCGCGTTGTCGTGCGCCCCGTCGAGCCACGCCCTCACGAACTCGACAACGCGCCGCCCGTTCCCGAAGAACAGAAACCCTTGCACGGCAAAAATTCCTATTCTATCACCGTAAACATCTAAGCGAGCCGCCTCGTCGCGGTCGCGCTCCACGGAGGACCTAACATTGAGTGCCGTCGCGGCGTACTTCACGACCGGCGCGGAAAGGTTCGCAAACGCAAAAATCGCCACGGACGCGACGGCGCCCGCCGTCAGGCCCGTGGCCAATCCCGCGAAGCGCACGACGCAGACGATGAGCACCGTCACGCAGAGTTCTGCGGGAGGCAGGACCTGGCGGCCGGGCTCAATCAACCATCGGTCGACGTTCGCGAGGCCCTGGCCCGCAACCAAAGCGCTGTAGACAAACCGCGGCACGAACTCCCGCGCCATCGAGAAGCGCGAGTCCGGCCGCCAGAGCGCGACCAGGGCTAACAATACAGCAATGGCGCCCGGCGCGCGCTGCCACCTACCCAATCCCAAACCCCGCGCGATGGCCGACAGGGAGATCTGCTGGCCGAGCACCGAGCCCGAGAGGAGCGCCGAGAGGATGCTGCAGAAGCCTAGAGTAGTGAGTTCGAAGCGATCGTCCGTCGCTATGCTACTGCCGACGACGCGGCGCCGCCGGAAGCGTCTTTGCATGGTGAGCGCCTCGGGCGCACTTGATTCGATCTCCTCGGGCGGCGCGAGCGACCGGCGCATCGCGGCCTGGGCCATGGGTGCCTTCAAAATCGCGAGGGCCACGACGGCCAGCAGCGGCCGCGTCATCGCGCAGAAGGCCGCCAGCGCGCGCTTGCCCCGCGCCGAGCCCGTGATGAGGTCTCTCCACAATTGATGAAAGGCCCAGAGCGGCGGCGTGATCTCGAGGCGGCAGCCGGCCGCGGCGTCGTGCAGCGCGTCGACGCCAGCGTAGGTCACGGCCGACGGCGTCGCGCCGTGTCCCAATAACCAGTAGTGGTTGAGCCCCGCGTGTGTTTCCCAGGCGACGACGTGGAAGATGGCCGTCGGGAGGATGACGACGGCGCCAAATCTTAATTCGGGCGCCACGCGGCGCACTCTTAATAAAGTGTCGACGGCCGTTAGTAACGCGGCCACGGCGACGGGCAACGGATGCGCCTTCCAGCCCCCGCTCGGCGCGGCCAGCCCGATCGCCGCGACCACCAGCTCGACGCCTATTGACGCGAGGAGGCCGCAGATGACCGGGAACGGGATGTAATCCACGAAGCGCAGGAGCCGCAGCCGCGACAGGGACGTCAGGGCGACGCCGATCAGTAAAGCCGCGAACGCCCACGCTAAAATGACCGCCGCAAAGGCGTCGTCATCATCTGAAGGAAGCTTCGTGCCCACGGGATACGCCCGGCCAATCGCCTCGGCCACCAATCCTAGGAGAGGCGCGACGCCGAGGTCGGGCCCGAGCGGCATGGCGTAGGGCAGCTTCTGGAAAAAGACGAAGGGCGCCCCGGCCACGAAGCCCAGCGTCGCGATGCGCACGAGGTCCGCGCCGCGCGGCCGCAAAAACGAGACGTCCGCCGACGTCGTCGACGCGAAGGCCGCCGCGAACACCGTCACGAAGAAGAACCTGTTCACAAATCAACCAGTGAGTTGGGTGCATTCGCTAACTTGATTTATGCACTGAGAAGAACGCGATGCCGCCGACGACCGCTTCCCGCGCTAGCGTGACGGCGACGTCGGCGTAGTAGCGCCGCCGCGTCTGCGGCGGCGCGACGGCGTCGATGACGACGGTCGACGCCTTGCGCAGCAGCGACGTTTTCGGCGGCTTCGGCGAGCCCTGCGACGAGGCGGGCGGCGACTGCCGCATCGCCGCCGTTAGGAGCGAGGCGTCGTCCTTTGTTATAGGCGCTAAAGGCCGCTGCGGCTTGAAGAACGAGCCGTAGCTCTTGGTGCGCTCGAGAAACGGACTGCCATAATCCTTGCCGCCTTCGTCTGTGGTTTCGTCGTCCGAGAGCGCATTTTGCACGTGTGCTGCGTTCGCCTGCCGCTGCAGCCCTGCCTCCAGGAGACTGGATTGCTCAGTTAACGACTGCGACTCCGACTTCGACTCCTCGCGTGGTGGCTCGAAAGCAGCCAGCAAGGCTGCAGCACCTCGCGAGCGTCCAGCAGTGGCGTCAGTCATCTCAAGCTTGCACTGCAGCGGACAGCACGATGAGTTATTTATGGTATTGATTGCTTATGACAATTCAACCACGGCGCGCATCGCTGTGGCCAAAAAAACGAGTGGCCATGCAGAGCTAGCGTCCTATTAGACACACTAGAAAGCAAGCCTCACTGGCCCGTGCGACCTCCGCGACGAGTCCCCTGGGGCGGGCGGGGATCCGCAAAAACCCGTTTTGGTTAAGGAAGGCAAGGCTAGGCTGTTTCCCTAAACGCTAGACGTAATTGTGCTGTTCTGAAAGACGCCGCCCGCGCGGTGACACTAGTCCTATTAGACTGTCCTAACGCCGCCACAGCAGACGCCTCGTCGCCGCGCCAGACAAAAAGAATTTGTACGGAACTCTTGTTAAGTGGGGAGTGGTGTGGGGGGGGACTCGGTGCGATACGAAAGCGGCAAGCCAAGCGCGGTGCGCGGCGCCCTGAATTTATATCACGTCCTTGTCGAGGTCGTCGAAGTAGGCGTGGTCCAGGGCCTGCTTCGCCGAGATGCGCTGGTTCGGCGCGTACTTGAGGCACTTGTCCAGGAGGTCGAGGCCCGAGTCCTCCAAACCGGCCGCGAACTTGGACAGCTCGAGCCGCGGCCACGACGGGAAGATCGACTGGTAGTCCCGCAGCGACGCCACGCCGGCCCAGACGCTCTCGTTCGGCGTGCCCAGCACTCTAAAGATCTTGAACAGCTCGTCGATCTCGCAGTCGCCCGGGAACATGGGCTTCTTGGTCTGCATCTCGACCTGTGCGCAAATCAACCGGTGAGTCCGGTGCGCGTCGACGGCGTCTGGGGGAATGCAGGCCGCGGGTGGTCTCGAACGCGCCGTGAAATTTTGATTCATGCACCGATCTCCACCAGGATCGTGCCGATGGCCCACATGTCCATGGGCGGCGCGTAGGTTTGGGATCCGAGCAGGATCTCGGGCGGCCGGTACCACAGCGTGACGACCTCGTGCGTCAGCGGTCGAATGGGCGGGCAGAACGCCCGCGCGAGGCCAAAGTCCGCGATCTTCAGCCGCCCATCTTTCGTCACCAACAAATTCTGGGGCTTCAGGTCGCGGTGCATGACCCCGCGCGCGTGGCAGAAGTTCAGGCCCCGCAGCATCTGGTACGTGTAGGACTTGATGAGCATGCGGTCCAAGGGCCCTTCGTTGCTGTCTAGGAATCGCTTCAGGTCCTTGTCGAGGAACTCGAAGATCAGGTACAATCGCCCGTCGTTCTGCAGGACGTCCTTCAGCGCCACGATGTTCGGGTGCTGCAGCTCCTTGAGCAGCGAGATTTCTCTGAGTGCGGTCGACGGCATGCCCTCGTCCTCGAGTTCTAGTCTAATCTTCTTCATGGCCACGAAGTCGCCCGTGATGCGGTCCTTGCCCTTGTAGACGACGCCATAGGCGCCCTCGCCGTGCGTCTGGCCCTTTTCGACCTTCGTGTAGCGGTCCATCGTCGCGCGCGGCGCCGGCGGCCTGCGTGAGACGGGCGGGTGTGGCGGGGCGCGGCGGCGGCGTGCTGAGGGGTTGGTTTCTCTCTGGGAGCGGCGCGGCCGCGTCGGCGCGCCGCGGCGGTCCGGCCGGGGGCTGTTTTTCTCTGGGCGGCCGCCGCCGGCGTTCGCGGGCCAAAGCGCAACATTGCGGGCGCGCCGCGGCGCTGGCCAGTTGTGGCAGCCGAGCGCGGCGTCGCGGCGGCCCTAAACGGGCGGCCGCCGCCGTGTGCGCGGCGCAAGCCGGCGCAGCGGCTTTTTGCCCACCGGTCGATTTTTACCGTGCCGCTGTCTCTCGGAACGCCGTTTTCGGCGCAGCACGGGCTGCACGTCAGCGCTGAGCATTAAGGAGGGCAGGAGGGTGCACGGTGAGTCACTTACCAGGAGCTAGCGGCGTCGCAAAAGTGGCTGCTCAAACAACCGCTTCCTAGTGTGTGTGTTTTGCGCTAGCAAAAACCACGCTTGCTAGCCAACATGAAGCACCCACGGACCCCTCAGAGCCGCCGGCAGGCCTCGGGAGGAGGCTTAGCCGAGCCGCGCAAACTCAATAGGTCAATTTTTTTGGCTGCATGGCATGCAAAAAGCGCAGCAATGCATGCATAGAGCAGGCCCCACACGGCGTTAATAATTCAACATAAATACGATAGATCACCGCTGCGCTGCCAGATGGCACGGCTCCTGCTCCTAGCAGCAGTAGCAAGCAGCCATGCCAAAAAGCATCACAAAAACAACACGGAGCTCACGATCGCCTTCACGAGCGACTTACATGGAGAGATCGCACCGCTCAAGCACGCTTCACAAATCTACGCGTCACTCCCGGAGCCGAAGCTGCTCGTCGACAGCGGCGATTCGTATATTGGCACGGGCTACTTCCGGCGCGCGGGCCCGGCGGGCATGGGCCGGGTCATGCGCGCGCTCGGCTATGCCGTGCTGGGCGTGGGCAACCACGATTTGGAGCTGGCTTCTTCTTTTCGCAACTTTTCCGCGACGGCACGAGCGCCGCTCGTCTCGACGAACCTCTGCGGCCACTACGATGCCATAAAATGCTCCTCAATAGTAGAAGTGGGCGACCTGAAAATTGGATTTGTGGGCTACTGCGACACGTCGGCGCTGGGGCCGGCCGAGTGGCGGTCTTCGTTGCCAAAGACGTCTTGTGATCAAAAGATGACCGATCGAGTTATTGAAGAAGCAGTGAAGCTTAAAAGATCAGTTCATATCGTGATCGCGCTGGGCCACTGCGGCTACGACTTCGATGTGGAAATTGCAAAGTCTCATGTCATCGACGCGGTCGTGGGGGGACACACGCACCTCGTGAGGCACCGGTCTTCCTTCAATGATGGGCCCGTCGTGTTGCAGGCCGGCGCGGCGGCGTCGCATCTTGGCGTGTTGCGGTTGAGCCTCGCGCGACGAAAGGGCAACGTGACGGTGGTCAGTGCGCGGTCCGAGATGCATGCGCTCGATGCACATAAACATAAACATGAGGTGATCGACGGCGAACTCTCGAGGCACGCGCCATCGGTCAAGCCGCCCTGGCGCTCGATAAAACAAGGCGCCGACGCTCTTGCTTGTAGAGCATCAGAGTGCGCGATGGGCAATCTCGTGGCCGACGCCATGGCCCGCAGTGCCGCCTGCCACGCGCAGAGACGCGTGCCGTTGATCGCATTAATTGAATCGGGGTCGGTGCGCGGCGCCGTCAAAGTTGGTAAGTTCGGGCGGGACGAGGCCACCAATATCTTGCCTTGGGCCAATAGATTGGAGGTCGTGCGCTTTCCATCAGTAAATGCTCTAGAGGCGTTTGTGGCGTTCGGGGCTCAAAGCTTGAAGACGACGGGCGGCGGCTTCCTCCAAGGTTCAAATAACGTGAGGATCGTCCTGAATGATGATAGAGCTCGCGTGTTTGTGCGGCACTTCGACTGCGCACAAACACAGACGAAGGGCCAGACGTTGACCTTCGACGACACGAAGGTAAAGAGTGCCTGTCCCCAGCGGGGCTTCTCACGACCTACCGGACCGATCGACGTCGTCGTCACGTCCTGGCTTGCTGGTGGAGGCGACGGCTTCTCTCTCGCGAATGCTTCCCGTTTACATCCCCTGCAGCCCGAGTGGCTCAAGGACGTCGACGCCCTCAGGAGGCACGTCGCTAGTCTGCCGGAAGACGCCGTCATCAGACGAGAAGGGCGCATTACGTTTGGGGAGTGCGCGGAGCCCAAAGCTCCGGAGAAGCGCGCGCCACCTTTAGTTGCTGGATTCTTAGGAGCCTTCTCGATGATGGCGTCGTTCGTGGCCACCTATCCTCTGTCTACCTTACAAACAAGAGCGATGCTCGGCGAGCCGCTTGGCTTGTCCAATGGGTGTTCATCGTTATACCGAGGGGTGGCCTTGGCGGCTCTAGCGGTCTACGCGTCGGGCGCCGTCTTCTGGACGGCCCACGAGTTCCTCAACCATTTGAGTGGCGAGAATCATACTGGAGGCCACGCGCGGCAGGGCGCCAAGACGTTCTTGCTGACGTTCGTCGCGGGGGCCCTGAACGTTTTGGCGACGAACCCCCTGTGGGTCGCCGTGACGCGGTTGCAGGGTGGGTTGTCTGCCTTACCTTCTGTGAGTGAGCGGAAGCGGCGCTGGTGCTGGCCGTGTGCGGGGATACTGCCGAATACGGTATTGGTGCTCTTCCCGACGTTGCGCCAGACCTTGTACGAGGGGTTGCTGCGGGGTGCGTCGGCTTCCACATTAGATGCTTCTTCCGGCTTGGTGACGGTCTGCGCGGCCTTTGCTACCTTGATCGCGGCCACCGCGACGCACCCGCTGCAGTGGTATAGGTCAAGGTTGCAGGCCGGGCACGGGACTCATTCTAGAAATGCGTCGGTCTGGGACGGGCTGTCCATCAAACTCGTGCACACTGTTATTTCCAATACATTGATGTACCTCTCGAAGGAGCAGCTCACGCAGTTCGTGCTGCGGACGTTCCTGGCGTAGTAGCCTGTGGTGTCTTAAGTAACCTGTGTTTCTATTCGTGCGCTGACCGCTCCCTAGCACCGGCTCCTCGGACTCCTTGCCGGCCGGGCGGCGGGCGCGGGCCGCCGAGCGTCGAGGCAACCTAAGGAGAGGTGGGTTCCTAATCTGCCTGTACTCACGTGGCGTTCGAGAAGAGTCCTGCGCAGCGGCGAACCATGCGCGGACTTCGGTGAGCTCGATGGGACCAACTCAGTCCGGTCATGCAGCTTCCAAATTAGGGCAAAATCAGTAGCAGTTCGTACGTTTGCATCATGAAATGCATACTGGCCCTGGCGCTCGGCGCCACCGCGTTCGAGAACAGCTACCTCAACAACATCGCGAAGCGGGCTGTCCAGGCCAACACTGCGACCATGGACAATGCGAGGGTTGCGAAGGACAGCGCGTCGTACCTGGAGTCGTTGCCGCAGACGTCGTCGCCGACCATCGAAGCCACGGTCGCCGCGCCGTCGTACCTCGAGAGCCTCCCGTCGCTCGAAGCCGCGGTCGCCGCGCCGGCCGCCGTCAAGCCCACTCCGACGCCGGCCGAGCTGGCCGCGGCCGCCGCGCCCGTCAAGCTCGCGTCCGGCGCCGAGGCCGACTTCGCGGCGCAGTGCGTCGCAGTGCATACATCAAAACTTCCGCGGCGCTTGTTCGCCCACGGCTGAATCACGACCGATTGATTTGCGCACAGGTGTGTCGACGAGGAGGCCCTGTTCCTCGCGTCTGACTTTCCGATCAAGCCGGAGGATCTCGTCGCGCGCGCCAAGGAGGTGCTCACGGCGGGCATCGGCACGAAGGACGAGGGTGCCTGCCTCGCCGAGGGCTTCGAGTTCTGCGCTCCCGTGGTCGGCCCGCTCCCGAAGGAGGAGTACCTGGCGGCCCTCGCGGATTTCAAGCTCGAGGAGAGCTTCGACGTCAACGCGCAGTACCACTTATTCAGAGTGGACCCGACGCAGACGAACCGCGTTTGGTTCCACACGCGTACCCTCGGCAAGCACGTCGCCGACTCGAAGCGCTTCGGCAAGGCCACGGGCTGTGTGGAAATCAACCAGTGCGTCGCCACGCCATCGAGCAGGCGTGGAGGACGACGCGATGATTCAGCACGAACGCGCCGTAAAATTTTGATTTCCACACAGGCCACGGGCAAGGAGATTATCAACCCGCCCCAGTGCATGCACATGGACTTCACGGCGGACGGCCTCGTCAAGGAGTTCGGCTTCTACACCGTCGACCGCAGACAAGGCAACACGGGCGGCCTCGGCGGCGCCTTTGCGTTCTTCTACGGCGTAGGGCGCTCGCTCCCCATTCCGGAAATGAAGCCGTACAAGCCCTCGAAGCGCTTCCGCCTGTTCCAGCTCATCGGCAAGCTCCAGAGCAAGTTCTCCAAGAAGGACGAGTAGAGCTCCAGCCAATTCACGTTTATAAAGATTAATTCATTGTAGCACACACGAAATATCTTATCCATCCAACCGGTCTAGCGCACGAATCGCCCGGTCGGCCCAGCGCCGCCGCGCCGACGGGTCGTTCGGCAGCATGCGCTCCCGCCACTCGGCGAGCGCTTCTTCATCCCCAAGCTTCTGGTAGCACATGCAGATGCCCGACAGGGCGCCGAAATGGTGGATTTTCGCGGCGAGGACCTTCTTGCAGAGCTCGACTGAAACGTCATATTCGCCCCGCAGGTACTCAACGGTAGCTAGCCGGTTCAGGGCCTCGGGCCAGTCGTCGTGCTCCTCGGCCAGCTTCCGCGCGGCCTCGGACGCCTCGACCCACTGCGAGGCCTCGCCCTCGGAGATGAGCCGGTCGACGGCCTCGAGCTTCGCCTTGTTCTCGCTGCCTCGCTCCGAGAACCAGAGGCTCCAGAGGCCGTCGATCGCAGCTTTGAACTGTTCGGGTTCCGTCGTCCGGCCGAGGACCTCGACGAGCTTGCGCTCCTCCGCGCGCCGCCGCCGCGCGGTGCCCGACGACTTCGGGCGCGGCCTTTCATCAGCCTCGACCGCGTCATGAGCGCGAGCTTTTCCAGCGACGCGCGCGCGGCGTCGTCGACGACGAGGTTGTCGTCCTCCGTCTCGGCGCGGAGCGGTTTCGGTCCGCAGCGCGGCCTGTTTGGCAGGAAGGCGCTGGCGCACGCCGTCAAAAAGAAGAGCTGGCGGAGCATCGTGTCAGACTGCTGTTATACGTCTTTCAGTCACCGCTCTTCTTGTTGAACGCGTAGCTGTGTGTTAGAACGTCTCCAGAATGCAGGAAATGCTGGATTTCGAATCGCAGCGCTCACGCACAAAGCACAATTCGGGCCATTGAGCTGGTTCTAGTGTCTTACATGCCGCTAGCAAAAAAAGTTCGTCCCGTACTACCTGGGGATGGGTTCAATAAGCGACTCTCTCTCTCTCTCAAAGACAGCGAAATCACAGCTCCTAGACGCCATCGCCGCGACAATACACGGAGACTACTTAAAGTTCGACAGCAGGTCCGGCGTCCGCCGCTCGAAGGAAGGCGGCGCACTCTGCAGCTCCCGCGCCTTCCGCTCCGTCGCCGCGACGGTCTTCTGCAGGATGCGCTGTTCGGTCTGCACGAGGCGCCGCGCCATGCGCTGGTTCCGCGACAGGAACGCCGCCGGGATGTCGTCATTGGGTGGCGGATACGCATTGAGAGCGCTAGTGGCGGCTTCCCGGATCGTCTCCAACACGGCCAATTCATTGTCCAAGGAAACAATGTCCACGTACGTCTCCGGCGCATTTAGCGGCAAATTCCCGAGGTGCTCCATCGTGGCGCAGGCCATGCGCAGGAACTGCACCAATTCATCGGGGTAGCGATCGGCATACAAGGGAAACGCGGCTCTCGCGACATCTCTACCCGCACTCGCCGCGAAGGCCCGCTTCTGGTCGAATAGGGGGTCCTGGTCCGCGTTCGCGCCCACGACCAAATCGACGCTATTGAACGGGTTCCTATCGAGCGCAAAGCCGTACAGCAGCAGCAAGTCCGAATTCGGCCGCGGGCCGTACGATATAAAAATCTGGTCGAACTGTTTATAAGCTCTATCGGCGAACAAAACAACCTCGTCCTCCTCGGCCTCCCAGGGGAAGGCCTTGGGGATGGCGCGCGCGTCGACGTACGAAGAACTGAACCTGTGTTGAGACTCTCGTGTGATCATGACGACCGCGTCGACGCGTAGACTCTCTGACGGCCGCGTCGACGGCGTCGCGGCGACCGCGTCGACGCGTAGACTCTCGTGTGATCATGAAGACGGCGTCGCGGCGACGCGGCATCGCGTCGACGTCTTCATGAAGACCGCGTCGACGTGAAGACGCCGCATCCAAACGGCGAGTGATTTATAAAATCGATGTACGGCACCAAGGCCAAAAACTCGTCGACCCGGCCCGCCTTCAGCCTGATAGCTCTACTAAATAAATTAGAAAAGGCCCAGGTCCACCGTTCCAGCGTGAATACTGATCTATCTAGCTGAGGATATTGCTCCAAAATAGACGCATGCTCCCTCCGCAGCTTGTCCTGCATCGACGCGGTGGCCTGCCTCGCCGGCGAGCCTTCTAAGTATTGTAATTCGTCTTCGGACCAGGTGAACGTCGCCGAGACGTCTTCGACGGACGGGAGGACCTCAATATACTCCCTCCAGAAGGAGTTCGGCTTCTGGGCCTCGCCGATGAGTAGCAAGGCGATAGCAACGTACTCGTTAGTGTCTTGCGAAACGATGCCCTTGAGCTCCCTCGCTTCCAGCGCCGCTTCTTTCGTCATACATAACCTGACAGGTAAGCGCGCGAGGATGGCGTCCTGGGCTATCGCTCTCCTCGCCAACAACCCTCTCCCAGAATCTTCGCCCTCGAGTTCGTCGAACGTCGACGTCGCCAACGCTAACGAATGGGGCGGCTCGTTCCAGCCCGAGAGCTCCGAGACCCACACATCATTGCCCTCGAGCCACTTGAGGATGGCATCATTTCTTGCCCGTGACTCGGCGTCGGCCTTGCCTCTGTCGCTCTTCTGCCAGCGCGACGCCTCCTGCCTTTCAAAGCCGCCGCCGGCCTGCGCGAGCTCCTGGGCCCAGCTGTCGTCGGACATGTGCAAGCGTAGGCTTCTCCTGGGCTGCGACGGCGGGAGGTAGGCCGTGGCCGCAGCTGTTAGGGCTAGCCATCGCGCAGCCATTATCGTTGTCGATTCGCTGCGCTTCAGGGCGGCTTGTCCTGTGGCAGCACAAAGCCTCTCCGATGCTGTGAGGGCTGGGAGCGGCGGCGCTGGTGCTCTCGCTGTTGGCGTATGGTCGAGGGCGCGTCGACAGCGTATAATTGACAGGGAGCTCCTCACCAGTGCCTCGCCCCGTACACGTCAATCAAGGTGGATCAAGTCCCTGTCATTCACTAGTGGCTTACTACGCTAACTCATCCCTCCGAAACAGCTTCTCGTAGACTTAAGGCCATATACGCTACTCCTCCTTCTCCTTCTCCTCATCCCCACCGGCGCACGCCCGCCCGATCGCCACGAACAGCAACACGACCACGACAGCCCCCGCGAGCACCAGCCCCTTGCGCCTCGCCCAGAACCGCTTCAACCGGTCCGGGAAGCCGCGCCAGTTCAGGTACCGCGCCTTCGCCTCGCCCCTCATTATGGACCGGAGGTAGTTCCGCAGCGCCGCGGCCGCGACCTCGCCGTCGCCCGTCTCCGGCGGCCGGTACTCGTCAAAAAAACGCTCCGCCGGCCGATCGAGCACGAGGACGCGCGGCAGGTCCGACACCTGCAAGTCGAACGTCGCGATGTACTCGTCCCAGCGCCTCCCGTCGAGCACGCCGAAGGCGAAGGCCTCGCGGATGTCCGCATGGAAGCCCGCCGCCGCGGCGCGCATGAGCGCCTCGGCGCCTTGAGCTGCGAGGTCCTCCTCGGGGTCGACAACAGCAGCCACGACCATCCTCTTCAGGCCGATGCGCCGGAAGTTGTGCGGTCCTAAAGACGATACGAGCTCCTCGTTGTGCTTCTCGACCCAGTCCTGCGGTGGGGGTCACGCGTCGGCGGCGCATCGTCGGCGCGACGCCAAGGACGAGAGCACGTCTCCACGCCATCGCGCCGACGACTTCGAAGACGAGCGAAGACGCTGGAAGACACCCGCAGGTCCCCGCCCGGGAAGCGGTGCACGGAAGCGTTCGGCGCGACGCAGCCCACCTTGCCCGGGTACAATCCTGTATTCTTGTGATCATCAACCAAAGCAAAGGACGCCACATGCGCCAGGTCGTTCGCGACGCTTTCAAATTCTTTCAGATTTTCCTCAAAGGGCGCCGTCAGCAGGAAGGCGACGCGCGGTTTATGTACTGTCAGTTTCTCCAGTGCCTTTGCGTCGTACTTTTTGAGCCTCGCGATGGCCGGCTTTTGTAAACGCGCCGCGAGCAATGCGAAGCCCTCCGCGTCTCGCGCTCCGTCGTAGTCGACGAACTCAGTAGAACCGCTCCTTCTGAACCGTAGAGTGGGATAGGAGTCCGCGCCGTGTGCATCGGCGAGCCTCTCGTTCATCCGTTTCGTCGCGTCGATTTTAGCGACGGCGACGTCGGGGTGGTCCAGGGCAAACTTCGTGAGCACGGGCTCCAGGCGCTGGCAGTGGCCGCACCAGGGCGCGTAGAAGTCGAGTATTACTAATTTGTCCGCGGCGTTCTCGAGGAAGGCGCCGACGGTCGGGGCGTCGACCTGGACGACTTCCGCCGCGGCCGTGGCTGCCAGGGCGCAGACGAGGAGCGGCCGCATCATCAGAGATGGATGCTGTGCACAGCTTGTCTTTTTGAGAATTGCTTAGAACTGCCAAGTCTCGCAGCGATGGCTTCTCCGCGGCCGGCACTGCAAGTGCGAGTCCGCACGTCCTTCTACGAGCAGGGAGGCAGCGACACGTGGCTTGTGCGAGCTGCCGAAAAAAATAAAGCTAGCGTTTAAGGACACTAAGGGAACCAGAGGTCTTCGCGGCGCATCGATTTACGGCGCCTGCGCGGCCTGCAACACGCGCTGCAAGAGCTTCGCTCACAGCAGCAATCGCCCGGACCGCGCGCGCGCAACTGCGTGCACGCCGCGGCCCTCCAAAGGCCAGACCAGCTCCTCGCCTCCGCGACGTGACCGAGCGCCGCCGACGCAGCGCGCAAAGATGTTCGCACCCTCCGGCCCCGAGCCCATCGTGGCCATCAAGGCCGGTAAATGTAAAGTAGAACCCCACCGCGACGAGGCGAAGCGCGCCGCCGGGAAGTTGTGGATCACACCACAAAAGGACCGAGGAGAAGTGATAGTCGTGAAGAAGGACGACGTGAACCATTTTCAATGGAGGAGCCGGGAGATGCCCTGCGCGGTGGATCCCAATATTGATACCATGGTCTTCCCCGGGGACGCCGAGTTCCAAAGGACGTCCACCGGACGGGACGAGGATCGAGTGTACATCCTCCAGTTCAAGGCCCAGGAGGACCGGCGCTTCTTCTTCTGGATGCAGGACGCGGACGATAGTAACGATAAGGAGCTCGTCGAGAAGTTAAATAAAGCTTTAAATGGTGATGGTGCTGATTTGGGGGCTTCATTGCGAGCTCTGAGGAACAATCCGGCGCCTGCTCCTGCCGGGCAAGCACCTTTGAGCTTGGACAACATCCAGGACGTTTTTGCGTCGCTAGACATGCCCGCCGCTGCACCTGCACCCGCTGGAAGCGTGGACTCGGACGCGCTGGCTCGGTCGCTCGCGGCGGCCATGTCCTCCCAACAACAGCGTGTTTCATTGGGTGATGTGGCGACGGGCGACGCCGTCGACGCTTCTGGTGTGTTGAATGATCAAACAGTAGTTGAGAGATTATTGCAGCACCTGCCCGAGTCCCAGCGCAACGTCGACGAGTTGAAGACGCTCATACGGGCGCCGCAGTTCCGCCAGGCCCTATCGCAGCTGACGAGCGCTTTACTCACCCCCGAAAACTACGCGTCCATTCTAGCGAACTTTGGATTGGAGGCGGCGCCTCTCACTGGTGATCCGGTCCAGAGCTTCCTCGACGCGATCACGAAGGCCGTCGAGAAGGACGGTGATGGGGATGCGAAGATGGACGACGCCTAGGTTGTCTCCCCCGGCTTTAACGTATCTTACTTATCCTGTCGCGCCGATGGCGTTTGACACATACAAGGTACTTATCACCGCGACGCAGTAGCTCGCCGCCGCCGTCGTCCAGGCTTCGGCTTCGGCCGCTCGTCGCCCGCGACTTTGATCTTCGCCTTTCTCCGGTCGCTACGAGTGCCGGAGCCCGGGAGCCCGTGCCCCTTCTTCCCGGACGGCAAGAGCAGCGCGTTTTTGAACACGAGCGATACTCTTGCGCCCTGGTTCGTCGTCGCGTCCTCGGGCGCCAACACCGCGTGCTGGTAGATGTCTTGACAATTATCGAACATCTCAACGACATCGCCGTCAAATAAATGGAAGGAGTGGCGGTCGTGCTCGTCATCTTCCGCCCCTATCCTTCGGAAGGCGAATCGCCGTGGCTCCCCACATGATACGACGGCTGTCGACAGGTGCCAGTGCGACCCGTGCTCAGGATCGCTGTGGAACTTGCACGCCGCGTCCTCGCCCGCCGGGTAGAGGTTGCACAAAGCGCAGTCAAATTTTGGCGCGTCGAGCATGCCATTGACCTGTGCGCAAATCAATCAGTGAGTCGGGTGGCAACGCGCCGCGACAATCTGATTTATGCACTGCCGTTGCACAGAGTCACGGATCTTTCGGACGGCGTCGGGGATGGGCTCCGGTGCCATGAGTTTGCCGCTGTAGGCCAGTGCCCCGATGCCGGGCTCGGCGAGCCACGCCGTCCGCCGCCGCTCGAGCACCAGCGCTCCACTTTTCGTCGCGATCGTGTCCGCGCGCAGCGGCAGGGCCGCCGCGAGCTCTCCGACGCCGGGCAGGGTCACGGCGTTCACGTGCACGCGGAACGGCAGGCGAAGCGCGCTCTCCGCCGCGCCTAGCGCATCCAACGTGGCCACGGGCGCGCCGGCGGCCGCGCAGCGCTTTGCCGCCCAATGTAAACCGGTCGTGGCGCCCGGCGCGCCGTCGAGCTCGTCGAGCGCCACGCGGAAGGCGGCGTCGACGTCCTGCGCTACGGGCGCCAGCGCGTCCGGCGCCTGCGCCAGCGCGGCGACGAGCCGCAGGCCGTCGCGTCGCTCGGCGGCGTACGCCTCTGCAGGCCCCGGTTCGGCCAGCAGATGCATGCAACGTGTAAAGTCGTCGTTCGCCAGCACGCCCCGTCGCGCCTCCGCCGCGGCGCCACCGACCGTCCAGCGCGTGACGCGTCGGAGCAGCGCCGTCAGCGACTTGCGTCGTCTCGCAATATGGACGTCTTGCGTCTCCCAGTGCTGCGTCTCCTCGCCAGCCAGTGGGAGCAGTCGCGCCGTCGCGAGGGCGTCTTCGACGGTCGCAGCCTCGTTCACGAGGCGGCCGACGTCGCGGCTCGAGGGCGGCTTCGTCGCCGGGGCGAGGGGCGTCGCGGGCGCCACCAGGATGAACACGAGGACGCCGGCGAGCATTTTTGCGCTGTGGCAGTCCAGTCGCCCAGACGTTCGCGCCTCCAGATCGTCCAGACGGTCGCGCTCCGCTGTGTGGCAGTGCTTTCACCAGGAGCCCCTCAGCAGCTCTAGCCGGTCCGCGAACTGGGAGCGTGCTCTCCGCGAGTAGTGGTTAGTCGCTCCGCACTTCTGCTGGGTTCCAACCTTACCGTACGTCCCAGACTCGCGAGTTGAACAGCAGCGCCGCAAAAGAGCAAGCTAGCGTCCATAAAGCCACTAGCCCATCCATCGAGTAGACCGGCTCGTCCGGCCGCGCTCCTGGACAGCCGTTGGCGCAGGTCTCGCGGACGCGACAGCCGCAGCAAAGCGCTGCGAGAAGCGAGTGGTCCGCCGCGCGCACGCCATCGCTCCGTGCGTGGGCCTCTAGGACAATAAGAAGACGCCGCACGTCGACGCCGCCGAGGCCGCACACCGCCACCGACGCCGCGCGCCACCGCCGCGTACGAAACACCGCGAGAAAGAAGCATGATCCTCCGCATTCGAACGAAGGCCGGCACCTGGCGCCTCGAGGTCGAGGGCCCGCAGACCACAATAGGAGCCGTCAAACAACTCATAGAACAGCAAAAGAACGTCCAGGCCGCCCAACAAACGCTGTCCAAAGATCCGAAAGGAGACAAACCTCTAGATGACGCTGCTACGTTACAACAGTGCCGACTGGGAGACAACGGCGCGATGGTCCACCTAATTGTGGGCGAGGCCGTCGCCCTCCCGCCACCGCCCCAAAAGGAGGACCGCGGCATTAAAGGAGCAGCAAGAGTTAAAATAGGCGCCGACGGGAAGATCACCGCGACGGAGTATGACGACTACTGCTCGTCCAAAGGTTTTAGGCCGGGCCAGGCGGCGCTGGGCGACATCAAGAAGGCCTGGACCCTGACGGACTTCCTGGAGATGGACGACCAGTTCAACTTCAAGATCAAGCGCCAGGAAAAGGCCTTTTGCCATGGGGTGTCGCTGGACTCGAACGCCTGCGTGTCGTTCCAGGCCTACGTGCAGCAGCTCGGCTGGCGGAGACAACGGGTAGGGTACCTATACGGGTCTTTTGATGATGAAAAAAATGTGACAGTGGAGGCGATCTACGAGCCGCCGCAGGAGGCGTCTGTGACTGTGTCCTTTTTTGCTCGACGGTGAGCCATCGACTGGCCGTCGCGGCGCCGGCGTCGGGGCGACCGCGCGCGCCCTCGACGCCATCGACGCGACGCGAACACCACGCAGGTCCGAGCGCGGCTTCGAGCTCCTCGAGGACGACCGCGCCGAAGATGTGGCGGCGTTGGCCGCTTTATTAGGCCTACAAAGGGTGGGCTGGATCGTCGCCTGCCCGCCGCGCGAGGAGGGCTTCATCCTGAGCGGAGAGGAGGTCATCACGGCGGCCCTCGAGCAGTTGGAAGCGGCCGACGGTGTGAACGAGACGCCCTTTGTTACTGTGAGAGTATCCGTCGCGGAGACGGGCGAGGCCTCGTTTGAAGCGTACCAGGTCTCGAAGCAGTGCATGGCCATGGTCGCGGAAGGCGCTTTGGCTCCGGACGACGACAATTTGACGTCCGTCTTGGTGCACGAGACGTACACGGCCATAGTAGAGGGCAAGAGAGCAGAAGCCGTCGACACGCCCTTCTTCCTCTGCAACGTGCCCGTCAAGCAGCACCAGTCTTCATGTTATGCGTCCAAATTCCCGAAGGAGAACCGCCTGGTCCCGCAGACGCGCGACGACCTGAAGGAACTTTTGAAACAATCGCGGTCCGCGACGGGGAATTTTGTCGATGCTTTAGCTGATTTCGGGGTCCTGCTGTTCCTCATGAGTTTCCCGGACATCTTCGACCGGCAGGGCTTCGTGCCCGCGGTCTGCGCGTCGGTCGTCGACCGGGCGGTGCCGCTCGACGAGGGCTACGGGCTGATCCTGGCGTCGTTCTCGGGCCTCGACTTCTAAGTGTTAGTTTACCCAAGCGTCGTCCCCGGCCCGCGGCCGCCGGCTACTCTTATATTCGCGCCGTGCGTGAAGGACGCGTCGGGGGACAGCAGGTATGAGACGGCGCCGGCGATTTCCTCGGGTTTGGCTAATCGACCCATGGGGATGTCGGACTCGCTCTTCTTCAGGCGCTCCGGGCTGTCCGTGATGATTGATACCTGTGTGAAAATCAAAAATTCTACGGCGCGTTCGTGCTGAATCATCGCGCACCCGACGCACTGGTTGATTTCCACACAGATTGATACCATATCAGTCTCGGTCACGCCCGGACTCACGGTATTGATCCGTACACCTTGCTTCGCGAGGGGCTCGATGAGACCGTGCTGCATGCTGTTGAGGGCGCCCTTCGACATGCTGTATAATAATGGTCTGCCGAGGTACGCGCTGCCCGACGAGAGATTTACTACCGCGGATCCAGGCGCCATGCGCTTGGCAGCCTCGCGGCAGCACATCAGCGGTCCTAGTAAATTCGTCGCCATCATCGCCTCGAAGGCGTCCGTCGTACATGTATCCAGCGTCTGCGGCATTTCGAAGCCTATGATGCCGGCGTTGTTCACCAGGCCCGTCAACGGTGGCAGCGGGGACGCGTCGATGGCGTTAAAGAGGTCGACGACGGCCTGTTCAGTCGACACATCGGCCTGGAAGGCCTCCGCTGAGCCTCCGTCCTCCACGATGTCGTTCACGACTCGCGCGGCGGCGTCGGCGTCGCTGCAGTAGTTCACGGCGACGACGTAACCATCTCTCGCGAGTCGTTTCGCACAGGCGGCACCGATGCCGCGCGAGGCGCCCGTAACCAAGACGGTGCCACGGTCCAATGCTTGTGCAACCCAGCCAAGCAGCAATAATGCCGGGATCATTGGACTGCCAGGCATCGATGCGACGGCTCCTCGGCTGCAGCTTGCAGTGCAGCGGCTGCAGTTGCTTTTTGGCGTCTCCTTCGAACAGCGCTTGACTGCAGCGCCCGCAGTGGTTCGCAGGGATGCGTGCAGAGGCGTGCACGACGCCTGCTGCGCAACGATCCCTCAGACACAGGCTATAGTCAGCCACAAAGGCTGGCAGCCTAGTGTGTCTATGCTGCGCTAGAATCCGCGCAGATCCACGCAGATCAGAGAGGCCGCTACAAGCAGCAGCACTACGTCTCCCGTCCATAAGCTGGCCTCTACGCAATTGCGGTATCGATTCCGCACAAATTTCGCCATTCACAGAGGCCCTGCTCCACTCAGTCATCAGCGTGGTGTAGCTCGACGCTCCTCAACACCAGAGAATCGCAATGGGAGCCAGTTCTACAAAGCTTGAACCTCTGAAGCCCGTCGATAACGTCCCGGTCCGGCAGCTCTTCGGCACGTGGTTCGTCATCGCCGTGATGCCGACGATCTTCGAGAAGGGCGCGCACAATGCCATCGAGACGTATTCGGCGGGCAAGACGGAGGGCGCCGTAGACATCGACTTTAGATACAATAAAAATTCGCTGGATGGCCCGCTGAAAAAGCTCCCGCAAACAGGTAGCTCCTGGTACGACGATAACACGTCTGGCTGGAAAGTATCTCCGTTCTGGCCGGTGAAGATGCCCTACTTGGTGATAGAAAAGTCTAAGACGGCACTGGACAACGACGCGGCGTGGTTCGTCGTCGGCACCAGTGCATAATCAAATAGTTAAATGGCGTCGCGGACTTGATTAAGAGTTATCGGCTGCACCCGACTCACACTGGTTGGTTGCGCACAGGTGGGCTACCCGAGCCGCGCCTACGTCTGGGTCATGGCGCGCAAGCCGGAAATGCCGCGCTCGGTCCTGGACGACATCAAGAAGCGTTTAGTAACGGACCACCAATACCCCGAGGGCCTCCCCGACCTCGTGGAAGTGCCCCAGAGCTGGGACCGCGACGCGACGGCGCAGTTCGGCTGGAAGCGCCGCGGCGTCGACGTCTCCCCGAAGTAGTCGCCCTGGAGAACGCCGGCGCGCACGATGCTGATAGAGGGGCCTTCGCGCCTCTGAAAATTTATGGAAGACTCGGCGACCCGGCGCGGGATGATTTAGTAGCGCTCAAGCAGGAGAGTACGAAAATCCTCTGTGTACTAACGAAGCGCGACGGCGCGGCGGACGCGGCCCGCGTCGGCGCGCGCAAGTTACTGGGCCCGGGCGGCGTCCAGGCGACGTGCCAGTTCCAAACGATCACGGGGCTGACGCCGTCGTTACGAGAATTAGATGCATTAGCGCACGTTTCGCTGCTGAGTCCGAGGCTACGCGAAGCTTTAGTATCAAAGCAGACGCGGCCGGTCACCGTCCAAACGAAGCGCACGGATCTAGGCGAAGACGCCGCCGCGGCGGCCTGCTGCGCGCGGTTAGACGCGCTTGTTTCAAGGAGCGGCTTCTCCCGCCATGCGCGCACGAAGTGCAACCCGAGCCAATTGGAGGCTATTGTGCATGCCGTCGGCGGCTTTGCGCATGATAGCGAAGATATCACACTGATCCAGGGCCCGCCGGGCACGGGAAAAACTACGACGTTAGTAGTATGCGTGAATGCGTTACACAACGCTCAATATCAAACCTACTACCAGGAAGTTCTAAGGGAGGCCATCCACAAGGACGATCTGGTCCGGCAGGCGGGCTGGAAGAAATGTGCTAGGAGATGTGAGTGGCTCGAGAAGTTACGACACTTGAAGCCTAGGATACTCATAGCCGCACCGTCGAACGTTGCGGTAAAACGACGAGTCGCCGAAGCCCGCCGTCGTGGCCTTCACCGTGTCGAAGACGGCGGGCGAGGCTATTGGATTAGCCAGACAATTTGTGGACGCGTTGGACGTGTTCACGTCCCAGTACCTGTCGCTGACGACGGCGGCGTACATCACGTTCAAGTTCCTGCACTTCCGGGTGTTCGATTGAGGCGGGGTAATTCTAGGAGTCTTGATTGTTACTCGTGCGCTCCGGGGAGGCGTTGGGGCGCGGTGTTGAGTTCAGGCTCTCCGCCAAACGCACTAATTTTGGCGGCAGCGTCCAGATCAATCACGCGCCGCCTCTCTATTAGTTTTAACACTTACTCACTCCGAGTCCGATTCGACCCAGACGTTAACCTCCTCATCGAGTGCCTCCTTGAAAGGGTCGAGTAACTCGCGCTCCAGCTCGTCGTCGTCCTCCGGCGGCTCCTCGTCGGCCGGGTAGGCGTACACGGCGAGCTCCCTATCCTGCTGGGAGAACTCGACCTTCTTGATGCACCAGACCCCGTCCTTGTCCTTGTAGCACCTCCCGATCCAGGCGAGCTCGTCCGCCTCCGGCGTCTCGCGCGGCGGCGCATACGGACACTTGTTATCGACAAACCAATCGCGGTGGTGTCGCGCCCATAGAGGCCCCTCTTGCGCGACGTCCACGTTCGAGCAGGACATTATCTTCTCAATTCTGTCTCCTAACTTACGAAGCGTAGGATCCTGAATGTCGGAGTATAGCTCCCCTATCCGCAACCAATACTGCTCCATCGTCTCGCCCTCCTTCCTACCGTAACCGCGAGGACCGTTGTGCGTCTTCTTTCGCTTCATCACTTGAGACAGTAGAGTTTTGAAGTCCGCAAATGACCTTTGGGTTTTGGAAGCCAACCTGATCTGCGTCGCAGCTTTAGTAGCATGTGCATACGTTTGCAAATAGGAGCACAGTCCCATCAGGCCAACCTTTTCCACGGAGCCCATTTTCGCAATCTCGGCGAACGACGGCAGCTCGGCGCCGTGGAGCTGGCGCGTGCCGGCCTCCAATGCATAGCGCATCGGCTCGGTCCACACTATGGCCTTCGGCGGCTCGCGCGGCTTCACGGACATGAGTAAAGACGAGCGCGACGGGTCGCCGTTGCGTTTGTTGACGTCGTGGAGGAGGAAGCTCAGTATCCTTTTTTGCGCCTCGTCGGGCAGGGACGTGCCGTCCATCAATTCTCCCGTCTCGGTCTTCGCGAGGTAGTAGTCGGTCTCCTTGTCTTGTTGCCGATCGTAGGGGGCGATCTCGGGCGTCGGAAAGAACGTTTCGGCTCCGGCCGCCGTCAGCGCGATGTAAATGGCCTCCCTCTTGCCCTTCCCCTCTCTCACCAAACTCCCTCCCACTCGAAACCTCACGCGCACCCGGCGCGTGGGGACTTCCATCGCTGCCAGTGGATCACGACTATGTTTTTTGCAGCTGTTCCGCGCTGGAACCTTGCTGGATGATGCAATAATAGCTAGGTTTGGGGGCGATCGCGATGGGATTCAGGGCTAGCGACACGTAAGACACACTAGGAAGAGCAAAAGCAAGCAGGGGCCGCAAATTTCGAGGTTGCGCACTGCTTGAGCGTTCTCGCGCATCGCTGGCATCCCTCCTGGCAGTGGCGAGCCAAAGAGCCCGCGCAACCAGGCACCGCAGCTGTGCAAGGCTGGCAATAGGGACGACTGCCGCACGCGCAGCGCGGCGCACTCGCCTCGGTTTTCTGCCGCGCGGCCGTGATGTCGTTCATTTTGCTAAGAATGAGCCCGTGTTCATCCATGCGATCGTCGCGCGTACGAGGAACGGTCCTTGGATATTCCGCACGCGGGAGCCTCGGACGGACCGCGCGGGCTAAAAACGCCGATTCATTGATCGATGCGTGCACTACCACGCGCGGCGACTCTTGCGATAATTCCCGGTGCGCGCGGCGGCGGTCGGGCGTGTGCCGCCGGCTGAACAACTTTTGAGCATCAAATCGACACCTGCTGTTCGCGCTGCGCACTCCTGCGCGACTACGCCAGTCGCGCCAGGCGCAGGAGACACGAGGTCAACGTCGCGTCGATGGCGTGGACGCCGACGCGGTGGGAAAGGTCGTTTCGAGCATTATCGCGGGCGTGGCCTGTGGCGGTCTCGCGGATAGCAGATGTCCATGTAGCGGTACCGCATCTCCGGGGACACGGGCGCCAAGTACGGAGGCGTCGTCGCCGCGACTCCGGTCGCGGTCGTGCTGATCTGCAGCCGTTCCCCCTCCCCGGATTCAGTAAGAGACACATACTTACATGGCCCCCGCCCGTCTAAGGCTTCCTCTTCTTCGGGCAGTCGCGGGCCCAGTGGCCGATGCCGCCGCAGCGGAAGCACTGGCTCGTCGCCTCCTCGACGCCTTCCACGGGCGTCTCGTCGTCGGAGCGCGTGAACGTCTTGGGCGCGGGGCGCTTCTTGCTCCTCCTCTCGTCGTCGGAGGGCGTGAACGTCAGGGGCTTGATGCTCCAGTGCTCGCGATAATAGCCCCGGTTATAACCGACGTGGCGGGCGGTAAAGTCCCGGCCCAACCTGTAGGGCCCGCCAGCGGCCAGCGCAGCTCCGTAGGCGCTTTTTGAGCGCGGCGGCGTTTTTTGCGGCCTCGCTTGCTTTTTCAGATTTCTCCGCCTTTTTCGCCTGGCGCTCGGTCAGGGCTATCGCCGGCGCTTTGGCGGACTTCTTCGCCGGCGTTTTGGCCATTGGATTGCAACGAGATAGCCGCTGATGGCGTCGCGCCTCGCGAGCTCGAGCTAGCTAGGGGCATGTAAGACACTAGCCCCGCGTAGGTGCGGCCGGCGCCGTTGCGGGCGCGGCCGGCCGCTTCGGTGGCAATGTGTGTTACGTACGAAGCTTAGAACAGGGGAAAGGGGGAAAGGCCTTGTGCCTACTCGTCGTCCGAGTCTTCGGTGATGACGCGCCGCTTCTTCGCCGGAGCGCTGACCTCGTCGAACTGGAACTCCTCCTCATCATCATCGTTCGGAGTTCTTCCAGTGTGGTAGGACCGCGTCGCCGTCGAGCCCGACTTCCGGGACGGCTCCTCGGCCTCCGAGTCCGACGCTTCGTCGTCGGAGGAAGCCTGATGACCGTCTGCAGTATGAGTGTCGGACTTGACGTACGTCACCCCAAACGCCGCGGCGGCCTTCAGCGCACCGTCGGAGATCGCAGAAGGGACGTACGCGGGCCAGGCCTTGCGCCCGCGCGCCTGCGACGCGTAGAGCTCCGACGCCGTGTCCTCGTACGCGAACAATCTTTCAAGCTCCTCCGCCTGTGGGAATTGACCAGTGAGTTGTGTTCGTACGACGTCGCGTCGATGGCGTGAAATGTGATGTCCACGCGGGCGCGGGCCGAGAAGCGCGCGGCGCAGTTGTTGTCGTCTAATACGGCACCATCATTGGCGTCGTGCTTGTGGAGCTGGCGCGCGAGCGTCTTTTCGTCGATCGTGCCTGCGTCGAACGACAGCGTCGAGGATGTGTAGGCTCTCTGACGGCCACGTCGAAGGCGTCGATGCGGTGTCGGAAACGTTCGGAAATCACGCCGCGTCAGCACCGGCGGAGAGCAGCCTATACACGTGGACGGGCCGCGCCTGGCCGTCGCGCCAGACGCGCGCCATGGCCTGCTCGTCGTGCGCCGGGTTCCAGTCCGGATCCAACAAGAGCAAGCGACTGCCGCCGACCAGGTTCAGGCCGCAGCCGCCCGCCCGCGTCGACAGCAAAAACACGAACGCGTTCGAGGTCCTCGACTTAAATCTTTCGACTAATCTAGGCCGCTCCGCCGGCGGCGTCGTTCCGTCGACCCGCAGCCAGTCCCACCGCCGCGCATCGCAGCAGGCTTGGATGACGTCCAACGTCGCCGTGCTTCCGGACGCGATTACTACTCTTTCAGATCCCGTCTCGCGGAGGTGCTGCAATAACGCGAAGGCGACGCGTAACTTGCCACTTGAAGGCTCGTGCAGCGGGTTCCGAGCGGGCCCTCTTGTAGCTAAGGCTCGCAGCTTCTGGATCGTGGCGAGAGCGCCGCCGTCCCGCAGCTCGCAGGCCTCTTCATAAGCTTCCCGTTGGTCGTCGACCATGCGGCAGCACACTATATGGACGGTCTTCGGTGGGAGGGAAGCTCTAGCAATGTCCGACGCCGCCCGCCGCAGGTAGAATGCAGATACGGCACTTCTCAGTTGTTGCGTCGCCTCCTCCTTCGCCTTCTTTTGTGCAGAAGACGCGCCGCGCAACGCCCCAGCAGAAATAGGCCTCATGACATCCCTCCGGAAGGACGCCGCATCACCTAAAGCGCCAGGACAACAAACGTCGACCAACGAGTGGAACTCCTCCAAATTGTTCATCGCCGGCGTGCCCGTCAACAGTAACCTCTTGGAAGCCCGACAGTCTCGGAGTAAGGAAGCTGTTTTAGCTTTGGCACCACCCCTTAACCGGTGGCCCTCGTCCATGATCAGCAGGTCCAATTGAGGGTCCGCATCAATGAGACTTTCGCAGTGCCGCGCGAAGGCCTCGTACGAAATGGATAGCACGGCACAGGACCGTCGGCCATCCAACGCGCGCCACCTTTCGAGAGCTGCCTTGGCCGTCTCTACCGTGCCGTCCGCACTCCCGCCCGCCTTCTCTAGACAAGGGATCCAGACGACGTTCGACGAAACCCGCCCGAAGAACTTGGCGTCCTCGTTGGGCCACTGGGCGACCAATGACGCCGGGCAGACCACACAGGCCTTCCGGATCTTCTGCAAACCGTGGTCGTCGTTCTGGCAACTTCCTGCTGCTTTCACCAAAGTTCGCAACAATGCTAGAGTGGTGAGGGTCTTCCCCAGGCCCATCTCGTCGCCTAGTATAGCACCTTCTCTTCTCTCAGGTTGCCTTCCCGATAGACAGCCATACAAAAACTTGACGGCGTCCCGTTGGTGCGGTCGCAATTTCCGCGCGACGGGGCCTCGTAGTGCAACTCTCGGTTGATCTAGGACGACGAAATCAGTCACGGGCCCGTCGTGCATCTTCGTCGAGGGTCTCTTCGTTTTTTGCTTCGGCGCGACTGTGGTGGTTGAGGCCCAGTTCGCGGGCGGGCCGCTCCGGGGTTTCGGGGCGGGGACCTGTGTGTTGACGCGTGGCGGGTTGCGGCGATGGCGTGCTGGCGGGACGCGGGCGGCGCGCCCGCGGGGCCACGGGCGGCGGCGTCGCGCCCCAGCCCGGCGGCGGGCCCCGCCGCGCGGGCGCTTGTTGCGTGGGTGGCGCGGGCCGCGCCGGCGGCGCCTGTGTGGAGATGGGTTTTGTGTCGATGCGTCGCGGCGATGGCGTGGCCGACGCCTCAACGCCGTCGACGCGAGCCTCCACGCCATCGACGCGCCACCGTCAACGCGTCTCGCAAGCGAAGGCCAGGGGACGCCGCGCCGCACGGGCGGCGCGGGGCAGGGCGCGAGGCCGCCGCGCAGCCGGTCCGTGATCTGGAGCCGGTAGCCGCCGAAGGCCGTCTCGTCGTCGTCGTCGACCTCGAAATGTCGAAAAGCCGCCGGCACCGTCGCGCCCGAGACCATGACGCGCGTCGCCGCATCAAAAAGCTTGAGCTTGTGCTGGTTGCCGGGGTACGTCTCCCGGACGACCTCGCCGTCGATCCACGTGATGCGCTTCTTCGGGCCCTTCTTCGCGTAGAGGCAAGCCCAGGCGCCGACCTCGGCGGCGCGGCCGCTCGGCGCCGGCGGAGCCGGCGCCGGCGCCGGGGCCGGCCGCGGCTTCGGCCGCGGCGGCGCCGGGCGGACGGGCGCGCGCGGCGCCGGGCGGGCCGGCGCCGGCGGCGCCGCCGGCGCGGCCGCGGGCCCGCCTCCTCTCAACCGCGCCGTGATTTGTAATCTATAACCGGAGAAGCACGTCTCGTCGTCCTTGTCGACCTCGAAGGGCGCCAAGGACGCCGGCTTCGTGGTGGACGTCACCTGGGCCTTCGTGTCCGCGTCGATGAGCTTGACGCGGTGCATGTTGCCGGGGTACGGCTCGCGCACGACTTCCCCGTCGAGCCACGTGATCTTCTTCTTGGGGCCCTTCTTCGCGTAGAGGCAGGCCCAGGCGCCCACGGGGTCTGTGGGAGGCGGCGGCGGCGGCTTCGACTCGAAGCGCGCGGGCGCCAAAGGTCTAGCTTTCGGGCGCGGCGCGGTCTTCGTCGCGGTCTTGCGCGGCGGCGCGAAGCCCTTGCTGCCGCCTTTTGTGGACGTGGGGAGCTGGAATTTGGCCATGGTTTAGTACTGCGCGTCCACGTGTGCGCGGCGTACGTGTTCGCGCCGCTTAGCGGCAGCGCGGCTGATATGCACTTAGCGCCTCAGGGAGCGCTGCAGACGGCGCGAACGCACAATCTGTCGTGGAGCAGCGCGCACGTATCAAACGAATGCGCTGTGCTGCGTTGCGCTGTGTTTGGCTACTCGTTCGTTGCGCGCGGCGCCGCGTCGTCTCGGTCCCGGAGTCGGTCTGCCTCGACCTTCAAAATCACCGGTCAATCAGTTGTCTACGGAGCTGTTTCAGGACTGCATTTCAGATCATTGTCGGCGGCATCTAAAGTCTCATTTGGACGTCTAGTACACGTCCTTTCGGTGCGGGGCTCGTTTGGAGCATGCCCATGCTCCGCGAAGCCAAGCTCGCCATCGAGAGCACCCGGGATCTGTGCACAAAATGTTCTCCCGCTTCGCGTCGGCGTCGCGCCGGGCTGCCCGGCATGCAAGGCAGCTCTCGACCGCTGCCGCGGGGGATGGCAGCGGCTTCCTGATCGCAGGCGGTGTCGGAGTGGCTGCCATTGCCTGCATGGCGCCTAGAGCTGACGAAGGCCACGCCGCAGCGCCCTCAATCCAAGCCGACGAGGCCTCGAAGAAACTGCTCTCTGTACTCGCACATGGCGAGGAGCTCGCGAAGATCGCGAAGGTCAAGGCGACGATGCCCGACAATATAGCCATACAAAAATTTGATTTTGAGTACTTCGCGACGCTCGACCCGGCACAGCAGACGCGCCTCCTGAAATGCCTGAAGACGGGCTGGGAGAACCCCGATTCCGGATTGGGGTGCTACGCCATGGCGCCGAGTGATTATGATGAGTTTGCCCCATTTTTCGACGCCGTCTGCCAGGAGTACCACAAGGCTTCTGCTGATGCCACTCATGTCACGGACTGGGACGCGTCGGCTGTCGGAGACAAAGGAGTTCTGGATGTGACCAAGCTCGGTCTCTCAGAACTGTCGATGCGCGTGCGCGTCGGCCGAAACCTGACGCAGTTCAACCTGCCCGGCGCCATGGATAAATCGGAGCGCATCGCCTTCGAGAAGGCCATGCTCAAGGCCTTCGACAAATTGAAGAAGGACCCGGCCTACGGCGGCACGGTCTATTCACTCTCCCCAGATTTTGGGGACGGCGAGAAGAACCCCAACTTAATTACGCCGGAGAAGTACGCGGAGCTCGTGAGGCGTCCGAGTCCCTTCCGACGCCATCGGCGCGACGTCGTCTTCGATCTACGCAGGTTAAGAAGCACGTCATGTTCAAGGACATGGCGGCGGACACGTACCTCGCGTCCGCGGGCATCGCCGACGACTGGCCCTACGGGAGGGGGTGCTGGCAGTCTGATGACAAGCAGTGCATCGTGTGGTTTGGGGAAGAGGATCAATTGAGAATCATGTGCATGAAGCGCGGCACGAAACTCAACGAGGTGTTCGACCGGCTCAAGACGATGCTCGACACCATCGAGTCGATCGATGGCATCACCTTCGCGACGTCGTCGAAGTACGGCTACGTCACGTCCTGCCCCAGCAACCTGGGCACAGGTATGCGCGCGTCAGTGCACGTCAAGATCCCGAACCTCACGGCCGACGGCACGGAGACCAAAGCCAAGGCAGTATGCAAACCGCTCGGCCTCTCGGTGCGCGGCACGGGCGGCGAGCACACGCCCATCGGCGCCGACGGCACCGTGGACATCTCCCCCTCGAAGCGCCTCTTCATCAAGGAGCGCGACATCATCGCCAAGCTCTACTCGGGCATCTCGGACTTGATGGTCGAGGAGAAGAAGGCTCCCCGCCGGTGGCGCTAACAATCGACCCGTCGCCGACGATCCATTCCAAAGACCATACATATACCCGTCGTCGCGGCGTAACACAAATCTAAACTTACTATTGCAGGTCGTTGCCCGTGTCGCCCGCGAACGCGTAGCGCGTATCTAAAATCTCCGTGATGAGCCAATTTTTTGGAGGTCGCCGCTCCTGCTGGAGCCGGATGGCAAATCGCAGCGCCTCAGGAGCGTCCGACTCCTTCTCGTAGCCACTCGCGTGGCGGATACTCGGCGCAATAAATACGTCCACACCTACGGTAGCCATCGGACCGCGCGTCGGCGTGCCCGCAATGATCGTCGGCTCGTCGACGATGCGTATGCGAGCCGCGCGCGTAAATGGCTGCACGGCCGGCGAAAGTTCTGTATGCTTCGTGAAGTTCGCGAGCGAGTCCGCGCCCATCCGCGCCGTGATCGCCTTCCGACACGTGTACGTGCAAAAGTAGAACAGCCGTTCGTAGCCGGCGTCGGGCAGGGGATCGTCCGGCGTTCGGAGGCCGCCGAAGCACGCGTTCACGATCTCGATTGGCTCCAAATCCGGGGAGGGCCGCATCGGCAGAGCGCCGCGGATGACGCGTGTGCGCATGTGAGGGCGTCGCACTGGCTGCAGCGCCACCGCGACAGCCAGGACGATCATTCCCACTGGTCTTGCGCGTGCGTAAACCATTTATGCGATTGCCTGAGGGCTTTGAAGGTTTTTGCTTTTGTGAAGAGCAGTGCAGCTGTGGGTCGAATGATGCGCTGCAGGGACCTGGCTAGTTGCGCAATTCACCGGACAGGGATGCCACGAGCGGTTAAGAATGCGTGCGAATGGCTGTTGCTCTCGTAAAGGCCTCGCGCGACCAGGGGCTAGCGGCCTGTAAGACACTAGCTAGAAAGCCCAGGTGGGCGCGGCGTCGTCGCGTCGACTCGTGCGCAACTGCGATAGCGGAGACGAGCCTGATATTTTTGGCGGCCTGACGACCACTGTCACGAGTTGAGGCCACCTGTGGTGGCCTACAGGTCGTCAAATCGGACTCGACACTCACTCGAGGCTCTTTGTCACGCGCGCGCCTCGACGACACGTTATCTCGCGACCGCATTGCCACTTTCACGATGGTTGTACCAGTAGACGTCGTCGACGAATTGGATCGCCCGTACGATCTTGGCGATGCCGCGCTAAAGGCGTGGCTCGACGACGCGGGACCGGGTGCCGTCAATGACGTCTGTGCTGAAGGACACACACCTCTCCAACGTTCCATGTCCTTATATGGAGATATCGACCCCGATCACGTCGAGCTTGCTCGATTCCTGATTTCCCGCGGTGCCGACGTCAATTTAACTGGCCCGGATGACTATGCCCCGCTGCACTTTGCATGCTACTATCCACTAGGACCACATTCGGCAGAGATGGTTTCACTACTGTTACAGGCTGGAGCCAGCGTGAATGCGAGAACAGGCAGTCACGGATACCCAAGTCACTGCACCCCCCTCGGAATACTTCTAAATGCTGTATCTCAAGCGGAAATGTCAAGTTTTAGAGAGATTTTCGTTGCGTTGCTCCGGGCCGGTGCGTCACCGGATCGGTGCGAGGGCGAGTTGTCGGTCGAAGAGGTTCTGAATGAAGATCATGGTTACATTTACAGCGACGTCGGCGACGACGAGGACTTCATCAAATGCCAAGAAATCTTGGCCGGCGTCCGCGAGCACGGCTCCTACAAGCGGTACGCCCGAGCCCCTCACCGCGAATTCCTGCGCTTCCGGTCCCTGCTCGTTCGCGGGCGTGCCAAAACAAATAGTCTCAACGAGCGCATCGCGCGTCTCCCGAACGGCGCCTGCTGGACGGTGCTGAGCTACTGGCGAGAAGATAATTAGGGGGGGATTATGTGCACTACGAACAATAGTACAAAAAAACGCGGTGCGCTTGCAAGCCTGCGCGGAACAATCATCACACCCAATAAATAACGACGAGCGCGCGCGACGTCCGAACGACGTGGGGTCGGAATTGCAGAATCGTAGCATCTCAGCGCCACAAGAGACATCACTCCCCGCGGCTCGACAAGAACGCAGCGATGTGTTCCAAGAGATTGATGTCCTCATTCCCCACTCTCGATGAAAAGAGAGAGACGCCGCGCGCTACTAGATGTCGCCGCCCTCGGCGCTGACCGTGTAGATCTTGAGCGTTTGCGCCACGGCGAAGGCGTCGTGGGCCTTGCCCAGCGCGCGGTCGACGGAGACGACGCGGTCGCCGTCCGTGACGTACCCGAGCTCGCGGCACGTCCGAATGGATTCCGCCCGCAGGAGACCCATGGACGTGCCCTTCTCGTAGGGGTTCTCGGCGCCCTGCGCGGAACGACGGCGTCGCGAAACTGCCTCTGTACATTCACGAGACGCGTAGACTCTCTGACGGCCACGTCGACGGCGTCGAGGCGATGCGGTCTCATGAAGACGCCATCGCCGCGACCGCGTCACGTTCAAGTCCATTTTCTGCTCCGAGCCACGGACCGCGTCGAGCAGGATCGGCGTCACCGCCCTATGTAAAGCCAACGACCGGCCGACCTCCGCCGTGTAGCAGAACGCGACGATGGGGATAGACGGCCGGTGCCGCGCCACGGCCTTGGCGAGCTGCCCCGAGCGCGTCACGCACGTAATGAGCTTCGCGTCGAGCGCGTCGGCGGCCCGACACGCCGCGCGCGCCACGGCGTCCAATTCGACATCTTGGAGAGGCACGACGTTCGCCGACTTTTGAGCGCTACGAGCATAACTTTTACCAGAGGTCTCGCCCTCCCTACTCTTCCCGTCGATGATCGCGTCCGCCTCCCTTATGATCGACTTCATCGCCTGTAAACTCTCGATGGGATACTTGCCCGCGGCCGTCTCGCCCGACAGCATGACGGCGTCCGCACCGTCCAACACGGCGGCCGCGACGTCCGTGACCTCCGCTCTGGTAGGTCTAGGTTGCCTCATCATGCTGTCGAGCATCTGCGTCGCGACGATGACGGGCTTCCCGACCCTATTGCACGCGTCGACCATGTATCTTTGAGCCGCAAATACCTTCTCAAAGTCGATCTCCACGCCCAGATCGCCGCGCGCGACCATGACGCCGTCGCTTGCTTCGAGGATCTCGTCGAAATTATCCACCCCTTCCTGGTTCTCAATTTTTGATATTATTTGAGGCATGCGCGTCTTCTGGTCCGGGCAGCATCTTTCCATAAAAGCTCGGCAGCTCCGCACGTTCCTCGCGCTTCGCACAAAAGATAGAGCGACGAAATCGGCGCCCGTCTCCACGGCCCACTGGATGTCCTCCTTGTCTTTTGGGGTTAATGCGGGTAGGTCCAAGATACTCCCGGGTAGATTCACGCCCTTCCTGGCTTTGATCGGTCCACTGTTCTCGGCGATGGCGGTGACGCTGTCTGAACCAATAGATGTGACTTGGAGCGAGATCAAGCCGTCATCCAACAGTATTTTCGAGCCTACTGCAACGGTAGAAGGCAAGGACTCGTAGTCCACGTGCAGCCGGCACGTACTGTCTCCTGCCTTCACTTCGGGATCCGAAGAAACGTCGTCGAACGTGCAAATGACCTCCATGCCGTCCTCGATGATAAAGGAGTCGGCGTTGCCCGGCAACGTGCCCGTCCGTACTTCCGGGCCCTTCGTATCCAACAAAACCGCTCGGAGATTCGCATGTCTAGATCCGGCATCATGTATGGTGCCCTCGAGCTTCGCGTGCTCGCCTCTTGCGGCTCTCACTAACTCCATCTTCGCGGCGGGCTCGGAATAGTCCGTGACGTGACTGAAATTTAATCTAGCGCAGGCCATGCCCGCGTCGCAGAGCTCCTGCACGCGTTCCTGCGTTTCGGTGGCTGGTCCTAGCGTGCATACTACTTTCGTCATGGCACCTGCATACGCTTTGCCCTCGCAGCTCGTCGATAAGCGCCGCGCGGCGCGTGCGAGGGGTCTTGCGCCGCGCATCATCGTGACGCGCTGCTGGGCGCTGCAACGCAGTGGTAGGCGGCTTGCAGTCGCGCGTCGTCGGCGTGCAGCGCTGCGATCTGGATCGGAGAGCACAAACCACAAGCGCTGCGTGCTGGGTCTCTTTACTCGCGCTGTTTGCGTGCCGATTGCAGGGGACAGGACGCAAAAAATAATCTTGCTAGCGGTCCGTAAGACACTAGCAATCACAACTCTGCGTACGCATCATTATTACTTCAGCCAGCTGTGGACTGAAGCAGTACGACAACAACGTTGCCTTAGCCTGCATCTCGGACCAATTTGAACGAGCCAGTAATTTGCACGCACGACAAACGCCCGGAAGCATTTTTGTACGGGACGCGAACGCGCAGCGTTGCGAAAACGAACGCGTGCGAATGAATTTCATATCCTCACTCCTGGGCCGTCACCGCGACGACGGCGCGTCGACCGAACCGCTCACCACCGCTGAGCTCCTGGGCCTCCGGGACGCGGCGCTGCGCGTCGGCCGGCGGTGGCTGGAGAGGTGCGACGACGACGGCGCTGTACGCACGCTCGCGGGACCGTGCGGCAGAGACGCGCTCGAGGCGGCCTGTGCCGCCGCATCGCATCGCGGAACGACTGACGACGACGCGATCGCGCTCGGCGCACGTCGGGCCCTCGAAAGCATGGTGTTGACGGACGATTCCTCCGAGGCGGCGCCGGGCGACGTCGAGGACCTCGCGACGCTCGCGTGCGTCGTACGCCTCTTCGTCGACGACGACGAAGGCGCCGCCGCGCTCGTGAGGACGCTCGCCGACGCGTGTGATAGTCGGCGCCTGCCGGCGGCGGGCCGCGCCGTCGCCGAGGCCGTCGCCGTCGCCTACTCAGACGTCGCGGCCGTCGTCGGTGCCGCGCCGCTGGCGTTTGCCATGGAGACCCTCACTCCAGGACTCCTGTGTGATGCGCTCGCCGGCACGCTGCCGCTCGACGCGCTGGTCGTGGTCTGGGATCACGTCTTCGCGGCGGGCGAAGTGGGCCTCCTCCGCGCCCTCGTCGCCTGTGTGGGCGTCGCGCGCGAGACGCTGGTGGCCGCCGCGCGCCGGCGGCAGAAGGGCGACAACACCAGTGCACTGGCCCACGACGTCGTTTCGGATCTGTGCCGCGACGCCGACGCGGGGGCGCTGGCGCGCGAGATCGAGCGGCTGAGCCGCCGCGAGGACGTGAGCGCCCTCCTCGGTGATGATTTGCGGCACGCCGTGGGTACCGCGGCCACGCTGACGCGCGCCGAACTTCGCCGGCGCCTCTTGTCGTATGACGTCGATGGCGATGGTGTTCTGGAAGCTTCCGAGGCGCTCGACGCCGCCCGCGCGCTCGGTGGTGACGACGAAGACACGTCGCTCGTCGCGCGCGCCGCGGTCCTCGCCGCGCGCTCGGGCTCCGTGACCGTGGCAGCGCTCGAACGCGCGGCCCTCGGCGACGACTCCATCGCGCGCTGCCTCGGCGGCGCTGTTGATCCCGCCGGCGGCTCGACGGCCGCGCCCTCTTCGCGAGCGCCGAGCCCCACCACGCCCGCAAGCCCGGCGATGCCGCCGCCGCCCGTTGACGCGCCGCCGGCTTGCTTCTCATGTGTCTTCGCGAAGTCTGCGTAATCCCTGTTGTAGTGATCTTGAGTCCTCCCGCCCACCGCGGGCGCGCGGCCCAGTCAGGTGAGCTTCCCATCGGAAAGGTGCGCGAGTAAGACGTGAGGATAAGTCCCCCGGCGTATGTCGGGCGCCGGGCGGGAGGGGTGCCGGGCAATTCCCCCTCCTCAACGGCTAGAAATACAAAACTGAGCACCTGCCGCGAGGCCGTAAAGCCTGCCCCACAAAGCGGATAAATCCCGCCGGGGCTGCCCCGTAGAGCCAGACGGACGTGCCTGAACGTAGCGCAGCCGAGCTCCAGCCCCCGCGCGAGGAGACGCCGCACCGCTGCCAAAAACAAAGCAGCCTGCCCGCGAGCGCGGGGAGCGCACGCGCCGCCCAAACAGATCACCGCGCCGCCAGACAAGATGCCGCGCTCCACTGCGTCCGACGATGAGTACGAGCCGAGCCCCGGTCGGCGGGGCGGGGGTGGCGACGTTATACAGAACATGCCGTACGATGAGGCCCTCGAGCTGTCGCAGGAGAGCGAGGCGTCGTCGCTCGCGGACGGCAAGCCGTCGCCCAAGGCCTACGCCGGCGCAAAAGGAGGCGACGCGGGCGCCAAGGGCGGCGCCCCGAGCCCCAAGGCGGCGGCGCGCGGCGCGCCGGCGTCGAAGGGGAATGCCGTCTTCCACAACAATCCATTTGACGAGGCTGAGGACCTGGACGACTCCGAGAATTCTGTAAGTACGACTGAAGAGAAAAGCAGCAGCCCGGCGCGGCCGGCGGCGGCCTTCAGCAAGCAGCCGCCCGCGCGCAGTTCGCCTGAGCGCCCGCAAGCCGCCAGGCCGTCGCCGAAGCAGTCCGGCAGCATGGGCATGGGGATGATGGCGCAGCAGTCGTCTTCCAGTGACGACGACGACGAGGACGAGGAGGAGGACGACGAGGACCCGCCCCAGAAGCAGGCGCCGACCGAAGTCGAGGGCGCGTACAACCCGGACGACTACGCCGACCTCAATGTGTCAGCGGACGTGCGCGACCTGTTCCAGTACATCGGGAGATACGCCGCGCACGAGGTCGAGCTCGAGTCGACGCTCAAGTGTTTCGTACCCGACTACATCCCGGCGGTCGGCGAGATGGACGCGTTCCTCAAGGTGCCGCGGCCCGACGGCCAGAAGGACAACCTCGGCCTGCAGGTTCTCGACGAGCCGGCGGCGGCGCAGTCCGATGCGACCGTGCTCGAATTGCAGCTGCGTGCAGTCTCCAAAAAGCAGCACGGCGACGTGGCTGTCAGAAGCATCGAAAATGCCGCCAAGAATCCCCAGGAGATCGATAGGTGGATCAAATCCATCGAGGACCTGCACCGATCGAAGCCGCCGCCCCAGGTCCATTACCGAAAAGCTATGCCGGATATTGATAAGCTCATGGAGGAATGGGAGCCCGAGTTCGAGGAGCTGCTCAAGACGACGCCTTTACCTGATGAAAATTTGGAAGTCACTCTGGCCGAATTCGCGAAGATCGCCTGCGGCCTGCTCGACGTGCCGGTGTATGACTCGATCGTGGAGTCGCTGCACGTGCTCTTCTCCGTCTATCTGGAGTTCACGGAGAACGTGCACTTCCAGCAGCAGGTGCCGGCGGACGGGCCGCAGGTCATGACGAACTAGCGTGTAAGGACGTCGTATTTAACTCTCCTGAACTCGAAGTTTAGGCGCGGCGATGGCGTTGTGCGTAGCTTAAAGACTCGGCAACCCTCGATTGAGAGGCCACGGCGTCTGTAGAGCGTTCGCGTCGCGGCGTGTGAGGTGAAAAAACGGGTTTTTCAAGCCGAGTCAAAGCGCCCCGCAAACGCAAAAACTCACCGCAAAACGCAAGATGATCCCCACAAACTGCGCCGCCTGCGCCGCCCCACTGGCCCACGACGCGCCGAAGTGTGCGCGGTGCAAGGTCAGATACTGCAATCGGACTTGCCAGATGGACCACTGGCGCCGCGGCCATAAGCAGATTTGTAAGGAAATACACCGCGGCGGCAACGCGGAAAAATACCACGCCGACAAAAAATACAAGGAGGCCGTCGCGGTCGCGGTCGAGGCGTGCGCCGAGGACACGAAGGGCCAGACGTGCTACATCTGCACGGAAGACGTCCATTTTCGCACGGGAGAGGGTCTCGTGCGCGGATGCGCGTGCCGCGGGACGGCGGGTTTCGCGCACGTATCTTGCTTGGTGGAGCAGGCGAAGGTTTCTGTCGAGCAGGCGGAAAGAAGCAATAGAGGTACGAATGCGGTAGGTATGTGCGCTTTGCAATATGATCATTGTCGGCTGTGCAAGCAGATGTACCACGGCGTCGTGAAGTGCGCGCTCGGGTGGGGGGCCTGGAAATCGAACATTCACAGGCCAGAGAAGGATAGGCTTCGGATCTACTCGATGGGCAATGTCGCGGCGGGGCTACATGGCGTGGGCAAGATAACAGACTCCCTCGCAATCTACAAGTCGGTCTTATCCGCACAGCAGCGCTGTGGGGATGACGCACGCTGCTGTGCCAACACGATGAACTCTATTGCTGTGTGTTATGCGGATCTAGGCCGTCCTGAGCTGGGGCTAGCCATGCAACATGACGCCTATAACAAACAGTTGGTTTACGTCCGGGCCGGCCATTGCCATCCCGATGACCCAATGGCGGTGATATACGGTGGTAATGTTGCAGAGTCGCTCAACGACCTCGGTCGTTTCGCCGAGGCAAAAGCATTTCTACCCGACGTGATTGCGTTTTCCGTGTCCCACCACGGCGCCAACCACGTAGAGACGCTCAAACTTCGGTGGAGGCTTGCGAAATCGCTCTATAGTGGTGAAGGAGCCTCAATCAGCGATTGCGAGGAGGCTGTGGCGACGCTCGAGGACGTGATTCGGATCTCGCGTCGGGTGTTCGGGACCAATCACCCGGGCTTTGCGAATGCGCCGATTGCGCTGGAGAAGGCACGCGAGGCGCTCGCACGCGCCCGCCGCGCCGCGTCCTAGAGAGTAACTTGATATACTTAGTACAGGGCGCCACCGACCACCACTCCTACTCGGCAACGAACGTCGGATTCCTCACCGCGTCCGCCACCTCGACGCGCACCTCCGCGAGCGGCGGCGCGAGCGGCTCTCTGGCAAGCACGAGCGGCACGAGCACGCCATTTGTCGCCCGCGGCCGCCACGCGACGGCCAGCGGCCTTATTGGATCCAGGCCGCGGCACGCGACGCCCGCCAATTTCAAACCATCCCCAACAACGGCAAGCTCGAGGTCGTCCAGCGACGCATTCAGCGCCGCCGCGGCGTCGATCTTGAGCGCCGCGATTAATTGAGCCGGCCGCTCCAAGTGATTCAAAGCCACGGCCTGGCCCGAGGCGAGACAAAGGGCCGCGCGGCCCTGGCGCGCGGCCGTTGATCCGTCCCGCTTCAAGGCTATCAAAGCGGCCGCGACCTCGCGCTTGGCCGCGTCCGCGACGGCGCCACCGCTTCCGGTTCGTATTTGAGCCAGCTCGTCCATCAAAGCGTCGATATCTTCGTCGTTTACTTGAGAAGAAGCCGTCTTTCTGGAAGTACCGATGAGCCGCGCGCAATCATCTAACATCGTAGTCGCGGCGCGCGCCTCCCGTCTTTCATCAGCATCTAAACTCAAGCCGAGCGCCGTGCACGACGTCGAAGAGGGTAGTTGAGAGATCCAGCTGCGCCACGTGTCCCTCGTGAGCTCAAAGCCGTCCGGCAAGGGGCCCAGCACGTCCCCGCACGGCAGGGGCGCCTTGTCATTTTGAGAGAAGGCCTCTTGGGAGATTAACAATGCGGAGATCGCTTTCAATGACCGTCGATCCGACTCCCGTTCCAGTCTCGCACCATACGTCGACTCGAAGGCGTCCCGCAGCGACACCCAGGGCAAGTCCGAGGGCGCCACGTGTGACTGCGATGATAATGAATCAAGGACGGCATCGCACGCACGTAAGGCACACACGGCATCGACGTCGCCCCATTCGTAGGGCTTGGACCAGCCGTCGTCGTACCTCGCTCGTTCCGTGACCACGGCATGCGCGAGTGCGAACAGTGCTCGGACGCGGCCCCGTTCCCGCGGGGGTGTGTCATTATGCTCCACGAGGGCGTCGTGCCTTAGTAATGAAGCCCGCAGGCCCGCGTCCGACGGCAGCGCGATCACTCTAGAAGCAGAGAACAGTCTTTTCGGTAAAGCCTCCTGGTCGGCGGTGACCTCGATGGTCAGAATCACCCTAAACCCAGGCGCCGCGTCGTGGCCGACCTCGCGTATTTTCTTTTCGAGGGATGCGATGAAGGCCTTGGACGCCAAATGAGCGTTCTCCAACAGCACCCAGGATCCTGAAGAGGCGCCGCGCCGCAGCGCGTCGTCCGCGAGCACCTCGCCCTCGTGCGACCCGAGGGCCACTTCCTCGACCGAAGCATGACGTTCTTGAGCAGCTTTCCGGGCGTCGGACGCGCCGTCGCGCCCACCATTTCTTTCGGCCACAACGGTCAGTATGGGAGCCCTCAGAGCACTGACGTCGCACTCGACGGCGGCGGCATCTAGTGAAGACTGGTGCGGGTCCTCGTCCTCCTCCTCGTCGTCCGCGAGGGACTTCCTCGACACTAATGAAGAGCGCCGCCTCCGTCGAGACAGTTTGCGCCGCTCCAGCGCCGCATTACAAATACTCAAGCGCTCGTCCGACTTCGAGGCCGCTTGTGCAATACTCATAGCGCCTGATTTTGACGCATCTAGCCACGAGGCGCCGAGCACCGTCTCGATCAGTGACCGGGCTTGATCAAATGAACCATTGCTCGCTAAAAATGAATCGACGTCTTCCGTAGGGCCACCTAAGTCCTTCCGGCTCTCGCTGAGGAGTCTGGCCACCGCTAAAGCACACGACGCGCGGTGCTCCCGCGTTAGAATGGCTCCCGTCACATACACTGAAGCCTCCTTGAGCAACGGTGCCGTGAGCCTCTCGAAGCGCTGGATACTCGTCTCGCCAATTTGCGCGGGAGACGCATCGCGCAACGCATCATGTAAAGCATTGGAGAGGTAGTCGTCTAAAGCATAGGCATAGGAAGCGTGGAATTGCTCGAGCTGCGACAACGTGCCGAATAAACGCGCGCAAAAGACGGCCGCCGGCTCGTAGACGACCGAAGCCTTCCTCAGTTCTTGTATAGTGGTCTCCGTCGCTCGTGACGCGTCCAGGGCCTCATTTGCCTCGTTCTTCGCCTTCTGCAAGGCCTCGACGGCTCTTTCATCGTCTAGTAAACCCGTACCTTCCGTATGAGTCGATATTAATTCGAGCACGTCGTCCTCGAGCTGCGCTAAGCGTAACTGCTGCTTTTCTAGAGATCTGGCAGCGTCCTGCCGTTTATGCTCCAAATCAGGACGCTCCCGTCGCACGACCTTCGACAGAATGGCATCGGTCAGAGCGTCCGGAGTCGTGGAGAAATCAACGACGTTGACTCGCCCGAGCAAGCCTCTACTTAACCCTTCTGTGCTGCGGCAGTGCAAGACCAGCAAAAAGTCCTCGCTTACATCAACATCCTCGCCTTGGATGCACACGGACAATCCGCCGCTCTTCCGCGCGAATTCTCGATTGAGCAGAGGGTGCGCGACCGAATCCCAGGCGTCGTCGACGTCTTTCACTATGAGAGCCGTGCCAAATCTAGCCGCCGTACATAAGGATCGTGTAAAATTGGCATCGGCGGCGGAAATCACAGAGACGCGCTTGTCTGCTAACAGCGAAGACGCGAAGCGTAACGCTGAGCCGGTCGGGTCCACGAAGAGGCACGACCTCGACGACGCCTCGAAGACGCACGCGTTCAAGGCGCACCTGGAATCCCTCGGCAGGCCGTGGCGGTCGTGGTATCTTCTGAGAGTAGTTTGCGAGACCGAGGCCGTTAGGTCTTTGTCATCAACTAATAGCCCAACACGTGCGCAGACGCTCCTCACTACTTCACGTAGCTGTCGCCGTTGCTTCTCGCTACGAGGCCCATTATAAGCCACGTCGACCGCATCTCTTAAACACTGGCCCGGCAACATTGATACGGCTGAAGGAAACGCCTCCGCCTCGGTGCTCCAGCGCTCCTGCTCGTCCCGCAACGAAGCCACTAACCGAGACGCGCGATCCGCCCGTTCCTTCCCTTTCTCGATGTCCGCCTTGAGGCCCTCCGCAGCTCTCACAGCGACGCCGTACGACGCCTTGTACCGTTCGACGGACTCCGCCAGCACCGCCATCTCCTCCTCTAGCCTTTGTACTTGCTCCCGCGTATCACGGGTAGCTACTTCTAACGCTTCGACCTCGCGCTGTAGCGGTTCGACCTTCCTTTCAATGGCCACGTAGTCGAGCTGCGACGCGAGCCACAAAACTAGTGGACCGGCCGCTTGTGACGAGCGATTCACGCTCTCAAAGTCCAACGCTTTGATCTCCTTACAGTCCTCGTTTTTCTCCCTTTCTTTCTGGTTGAGCTTCTCCAGGAATTCAGGGGTAGGGTACAGGTACCGTTGCCGGATAAATTCCGCCGCAGCATCGTCCATGTCCCGCGGTTCAAAGGATATGACGTTGGGGATGAAGGATCGGTCCCGCAGAGCTTTCCTCACATCATCCCAGTCGTAGGACTTCTGGAGCGGTACTAGACCAAGGATGATCGAGACCGCCTCAATCGTTCTTTTAGCTTGTATCGGAGGCATCCGGAGCGCTCTTAGTTCATCTAGTTGAGCCTTCTTGATGCCCTTGACCGCATCTCGCGCGGCGATGAGTGCGGGTTCGGCCGTCGCTAATTCAGCCTCCGCACTGGCTTTTCTTTGAGCGATGTCGCCGCTCTTCACAGCTAATTCCTCAGACAACGAAGCACCCTGCCGCTGCTTCGCCTCGGCCTCCTGCTGGTCGGCGACCATCTTTTCGAGTTGCTGAGAAGCTTCCGCCTCTTGGACCTCGAGCTCGGCATTTTTTTCGGCGAGGACTTTCTGGCGCGCCGCGACATCACTGGAAGCGGCCTCCAGTTCCCGGAGGCCGGCCTGCTTGCGTTGCTGGCGCTGCTCCAATGCTTCTCTCCTCTCCACAACATCCTTCGCGAACCTCCGGCAACAATCCACGAAGTCCCGCGCGGTGCCCCTGCTTTCTCCATGGATCTCCACCAGGGCGGCAACTAACGCCGTCTTTAAGGTAGTAGGTTGCTCTTCTTCTTCGTCCGAGTCGCTCTCCTCGTACCTTACGTATGATGCCTTCTGCAGCAGCGCGTCTCTGTCGGCCCTCTGTACCACAGACATTGATTGCTCGTCCCACGCACCCAACTGCTCGACGTCGACATCTGCTAGGAGAGCGTCGCCCACATGAGCCAACGCTGACGTAGACCACGTGCCGAACCAGTCCACGACACACCTGTTGAATAATGCTGGGGAGGCCGTCGTTGACGCAGATCTCAAATCCTCCAAACAAAACACAACGTGTAAGTTCCGTCGGACATTACTAGAGAACCATTTCAGCACGACAGCGTCGTCGTCTGCATCACCACCGACGCTTTCCGACCTCCTAGCGTCGCGGCATTGCGTCAACAGCCTCGACAGGTCGTCGGCGGGCCAGAGACCGGGGACTTCTCCCGCGGCTAACAAAGCGTTCATCCGCTCCAGGAAATTAGTGGACACACCGTCCGCGTCCAACAAAATCACGAGTCGTTCCTTGTCCACACCGGCCCGCTTCATGCACGACCGCAGGTCGTCGTCGAAGTGCGCCAACGTGTACGTCCTTGTAGCTTGGATCTCCTTCACGCCCATGCCGTTGTGCCACGCGACAAATTTCGCTAAAACGGTCTTGCCCACTCCCGACTCGCCCACGAGTAGCAAGTGGCCGGACTCCGCGCGCAGGACCTGCGTAGGATATATAGGTTCGCCGTATCGACCTCATGACAATGCTCGTGTGGAAGGCCTTCTTGAGCGGAACGTCATTGATGACAGCCCCCGCACTGTCCTACCTTCTAGGCTCGCAAAGGTAAGTCATCAGAGGGGCTCTTTCGTAGTCTTGGGGGCGGAACGAAGTGCTGGTCCATATTGGAGGCACTCAGATTGAAGTATGTGTCCCCCGTTTGTATGAAAGACGCTGAGAGCAGTACAGAATCGATGCGTAGAGCGTGTCTCGCCACATCGTCGAAAACCACGAGCGGGACATCCAGACATTCCTCGTGGAAGGTCCTCAATCTAGATGCGACGAACCTTCTAAGTTTAGATAAAGACGTCGGCGCGTACTGTTTGGAGAGCCACCTTCCGTATAATAATGGTGGTTCTAGAGCTTCGGACGATACAGGGAAGCGCTTCCGGGCGATACTTCGTAGAGCCTCATCACAAGTAGCAACATCAGTCATTTCCGGCAAACGGTCGGCAAACAGCCTTAAACCTTCGTGGAGCCAGAGTCGCACCAATGCCGAAGCATTGGAACAAGCATCAGAAGCCTGCTCCAAGGCGCGGCACCACCGCGTCAATTCGCGAGCCGAGTAGACGCACTGCGGTCCCTTCGTCGAGAATGTTCGCTGATTGAACTCGTAGGCGTCGATCATCGCCGCCGGGAGGTTCTGGACCACTTCTTTTATGTCAGGCTCCGGGAAATTCGTGGCGATTATTTTCGTCGCTCTTCTAGTATACGCGGCGTAGACTCGCTCCAGCGCGGGTCTCGAGGGTGTTCCCACGGACAGGACGTGGAGGTGCCTTAATAATCGTCGGGGGAGTGGTTTTCGTCCAGCGTCCGTGGGCGGATTACAAGCAGCGACCAACGAAACGCGTTCCAAGGACACCCACCTTGGAGAACATCTCTGGGAAGCGACGCGCGCGAAGCGGCCCGGCTCGAGAGCTGCCCTCGCACTATTCGTCGAGAGGGCCCAGAAGCCCTTCCTACTAATCAATTGCCGCACAAACGCCAAGGCTCGCGGCGTGCCGTACGCGTCGGGTTCCACCAGATTGATCTCGTCACAGAACACGACTAGTATCCTTCTCTCACCATGTAAAGCTTTCTTTGGTACTAAACTAAATTCGTTGCGGGCGCCCCTTTTGAGTTCGCAGTGCTCACTCAACAACCGAGCCACGTCCGAGGCTTTGGTGCCGGCCGCACAAGCTAATGCGGCTCGCGCGTACAAGGCTTGGTTCGACGCCAACGCGTGGTCGCAGGTCATGGTCTTGCCGCTCCCGGGCGGGCCGCACAACAGAGAACCGCTCCGTCGCCGACAGAGAGCTTCTACGAGAGCTTCATGTCTAGCTGTGTCGGCAGTAGGTACTACGGAGTTGAGGTCGGCCTCCTCCGTCAACGGCACTCGACTTTCCCAGGCCTCCCAGAAGTCCGGCGCCCGCGCGGCGCATCTCACATCCAGGCCGATGACACCGTCTGTACCATCATCGGTCTTCGACGCCGCTTTGTTGAGCAGGTCGCCTAACTTGATTCTGTCATCATTATCCATGCTCCCGCCACAGCTCCAGAACAGCGCCGCGTAGACGCTTCTTCTGACGAAAGACGCTCCTCTTTTAGTAGTAGGATCTATGCGATGCGTCGCCGCGTCGTCTCTCGCCGCTAATAATAATGAAGTCAAGGCATTTAATGATTGTTCCGGCGACGGCGACTGCATGACACCCCCTCGCATCGAGAAGGCAACAGCGTGACCCACAATGCCATCGTGAGCAAAGAGCTGTTGGGCAGCACCCGCGAACGCCGCATCGTCGGCATGCAACCGTCGATAACAGCTCTCGACGCGGTCTTGGAGTGATACTAACTCGGCATCCACATGACAAACACCACAGCGAGAAACCGTTGCGGGAGTAGCTCTTGATAGATCCTCGACTTCAAAAACAAATCGAACGTCGGCAGGCACCGCGATCCTCTCCCCGTTCGGCAGCGTCAACACCTTATTGTCATCTAAGGCACTATTTAAATTCTCGGCCCACGCGGGGTCCACGTCGCCGTCGAGGCAGAGCCACGTCCGTTTCTTCTGTGATGCGCTCCTCAATAGGGCCGTACACACCCCGTCGGTCCATTCGAGGGTCGTCGCATCTAGTCTACCGAACAACAACTCCTTGTATCTGTCACTTACAAGAGCTTTGGGATCGATCCAATGAGCTTCACCCTTGACGCCATCTATACTTTCTAAGGCGGCGAGGACGCACTCTACTAACGTAGATTTGCCGGAGCCCGTTTGTCCCACTACGACAGCGCCCGTGGACAACGCTAATACACTTCGTAATTGATGGGCCTTCGCGAGCCATGCTGCAGAAGCATTTACAGATCTTGCTTGCGCCGCATCCGTAAAGGCCTTGTCCAGTCTATCAACAGAAATGGCATCTACCAACGCATCCGTACCTTCCTGTTGCGTCGAACCGTCGTCTTGCACTAGAGCGTCCTCGCGGAAGGCCGCCCGTAGTAGTTCGTCAAAAGGTTGGGCGTCCTCCTGGACTAAGCGCGGCGCCACGGTCGCGCGCACCGCTCTCAGCAAAGCGTTCGGTTCCGACGTCGTGGTGAGGAGGTTGCCGGCCGTTTTCAAGACAGGGCCCAGAGCTCGCAAACCCCAGTCGTAGTGGCTTTGCGAGGATAGGCGCGAGCCACACAACTCAAACAGCGCAACCAACGCGTGGGCGAGGGGTCGGGCCCTGTCCTCCGAGAAGCCATGAGCGTACAATGTGGTCGTGGCGATGGCTCTGCTGTCCGGTTTAGCCATGGCGACCGTCCTAAATAAACGTTTCAGCGTTTCTGGTAATGGAGATCGACCAGCATAGCCCGGGTTCATCGTGACAAACACAGCAGTGGTGGGTACCAAGGGCGTAGGTCTTCCAGAGATCTCCACGGCGGAAGCCTTCGATAACAACCCCTCCTGGATGAATCTCAGTTGCTGCGCCACGGCCGACAGCGCGCCCTCGTCCAATCGGTTGAACTCATCAAAACAACCCCACGCTCCAGTTCTGCAGAGACCTCGCAGTAAGCGACCAGTAGCCCCTAGATCAAAGGCCTCGTCACAATTGAAGACGACGACGTGCCGGCCACACAAAGCACCTAAAGCCCTCACGGACTCGGTCTTGCCCGTCCCCGCCGGTCCCACGGGGTTGCCTCCCAATCTCCATTTGAGAGAAGACGCGAGCGTCGCGAAGCAGCGATCCGTGAGTTGCGTTCTGATTAATCTTCTTCCAATCCCCTGGTACTCGTAGCCGTATGTGAGTGACGCGCCCGCCACTCGAGCGACACATGTCACGGCTAACGGCGTCGTGCCTTTGATCAATTGCTCTAAGAACGACGTACCTTCAACCACATCCATTGAATTCGGATTGCAGTACAGCCGCAGTTGGCGCAGCCATCGGTGGTCTTGTGATGAATTAGCGTCGTGTAAGGACTGCGTGCAGTCCCGCTGCTGCGCCAACTCGACAATTAATTGAGCTCGTTTCAGAGGTGACGAAGTAGCTGATGACAAGGACGCTAATCTGGATACAAGAACTTGGGACGGTCCCTCCAAGGAACCTCCGTCCAAGGCTGCGTCCATCCTACATGCCCAGTCGCACTGTATCGATGAACATAAGGCTTGCGTCGGATGTGTTGATAACCATTTCTCGAGGTCGCTGTCGATCACTAAAGCGTCCTTCAGGGACTGCGCTACTGATATTCTCATGGCTCGTTCGAGCGAGGATAACCAGGCCACACACGACGACTCGTCCAATGAACCTGATAATGGCACGTCCTCACCATCCGCACTGAACATCCGTCCGCCCGACACGTCTCGGAGCGCCGCGAACATCTTCGTGAGGTGCGGCCTAGCACCCTCGATGCCGCCCCCGAGCATCCCCAACAAATCATCGTCGCCCACGAAGTAGAACCGCGGGAACTCGGAACGCATGCTTTCCAAAAACTCGCCGAGCCACCGCTGCGCGTCTCCAAATAGTCGGGAGACGGCTTCTAGGGATTCCGGCAGTGCGGCAACTTCCAACAACGCTCTAACTCTACATGACTCAAGGCAGTCGTCCCGGCACCGGTCAAAAGTTCTAGAACCGTCTGAAAAGGCGTTTTTGGCTTGAGGCAGCCGATCGCCGATGTCCGCATTAGAACCAAAGATCGCGTCGAGGTGGACCCACCTCCTTTGAGCATCGGACCAGAGATCCAACCTTCTTCGTAGTTCATCTACGTCATTTGACAGCACTTCCCGTCGCCGATAGACTTCTGATGAGGAATCGATGTCCTTGAAATGAGGCGCCTCCTTCATAGCTAATAAAGCTTGACTGTGTTCGTCCAACTCCTCGGTCAGAGCATCCCAGCCCCTTATTAATCGGCCCGGAGCCACGTCGAACAACCGCTCGGACCAGTGCCGGTCGACGTCTTCAAGGTACTGCGCCATCGACGCGTCGCGCCTCGCCGCGGCCAGTACTTGATCTAGCTCTTTTCTCATACTTGGAGTGACCTTCAGGCGTAGGAAGTCGCCGCAATTTCTCGATCGCGCGTCCCAGCGCGGCGAGTTGAACAAAACCTTGGCGAGCTTGCGTTCTAGTTGTGGCGTGAGTTCGGCCGAGCGTAGGGAACCGACCCAGCCCCCTACTGATCTTTCCCTCTCTTGCACAAGTTTGCAGGCGTCGGCGTGGCACGCGTACTGCCTGACTTTCGACGAACACGTCCGCAGAGCTTCATTAGCTTTGCGTAACGTTTCCTTGGCACTTGACGGCTCGAAGTCGACCCATCTCGTACGATCTAGCGTACCGATGGAGGCGATGGGACCTGACAAAGCCTCCCAGACCTCGCCCAGGGCTCGCGCTTCCACGTCTATGGCCTCTAACTCACCGGTCGAGGCGTCCTGCGCGGAGCCATCGAGCGCCACCAAAGCTCGCGCGAAGTCCCGCGCGTCGTCCAACGCCCGCTGTACTCGCTCCGTGAATTGCTGTAGCCGCTCTTGCGCTTGCGCCGTGGTCGCACAGGCGTTCTCGCCTTCGCCTAAACGTTCTGGTTTCAACGCGCGCCAGGACTCGGAGATGGCGGCCGACGCCATCCTCGCCTTCACGAGCTCGGCGTCGGCCTCCGCTCGCAGCGCCGCCTTCTCTCCATCCAAACGGCCCTTCCGCGTCTCCAACACCTGGGCGCACGCGTCGACGGCGCCCTCGACGAGCGAAGCTTCAGTCCACAGGTCGAGCTCGTCGTCGTGCGGGTCCTCGTCCTGCGTTTTTAGATTCCATTCTAACCGCAGTAACCCTTGCACCGTTTCTCTCCATTGTGGTAATGCTTCTTGGAGCGAAGCATGTAAAGCTAATTGAGCCAATGCCTCTCTGCAACTACATCTTCTCTCGTCGACGCGTTCTAATTTGTGCCTTGATTCTTTGGCGAGTTTTAACAACCCAGAAGCATGCGTTGCATACCTTTCCCGGGCCTCGGCTCGTAAATCCACTAGTCGCGCATCGAGCCGATGTTTTACGGCCGTATGGGCTTTTCGAGCGTCAATCACGACAGCGAGGCCATTATCAGGGTCCGTGGACGAATAAAATGAATCAGGCTGTCTCGTGACGACAGCCCGCAGGACATCGTCCGACGCGCCCCGTCGCCGCTCCTCCTCGAAGCCCAGGTCGGCGTCGGCGTCCCGTCGCGACGCGCCGGCGCCCTCCAAACAGCGCGCCCAGGCGTCCAACCTCGAACCGCTGTCGTAGGTGTAGTCCTTGACGTGCTCCGGGTACTTGTCGTCGAGAGCTCTAGCTACATCAGTAACAGTAAGACGCCACAGGCCCGAGTGGCGCGCCCAGCGTTTCTCGCGCGCTAGCGCATCGGTGACTCTTCTCTCAATAGCTTGTAGAGCGGCATCTAACGCTTTCGTCAATGTTTTTGATGAGTTATCCTCTTCGACCAAGAGGTCGTCGTACGCGTCGCCGTCATCGTTATTGAGGGCGTCGAAGCGCGACGCCCGTAATCTAGGTAACTGTCGAGCGGCATCTACCAAATGAGAGACCTGGGCCTGGAGAGTGAGTCGTGCACTTGTTACTGGAGGGTCCAATTGGATCCCACTCTCACTCGTAACGAGGCAGTGCCTGCTCCGCAAACACCCGACATCCACTGATGTTTCCTCTTCAACATCACAGATGATAGGCGCGCCTTCTAGAGCCAGGGCCCACCTTATCAACCGATCTGACGTGCGCTCTCTGAGTGAAATGCGGCACCTCTCATCCAACGATGCGACCCACTGGTTGAGTCCCTGGAAGCCCTCCAAGGCTAACCTGTCGACGACGTCCTGCAGCGGCTTCGTGGAGATCGTTTCCAAATCTCTAGCACTGTCCGACGCGGACAATAATGAGAGGGACGCGTCGCACTGTGAACGAGCCTTACTTAACACGTCGACCTTCTCCTGCAAGGAAGCGACGGTCTCCATAAATGAATCGACCCAGGCCCTTGTACTCTCAGAGGGCGACGTCCACGCGATTCTAGGGGCCTGCCCCCTCGAGGCCGGGAACGCTTTTGAAGCGATATCTCGACAAGCCTGAATCCAGGGTTGTAACATGCAAGCATCATCGTCAGATATGTGTGAAGAACACCGATCATATAACCTACAAGCTGATCGTAGAGCGTGCGCGACCTGGATCCGCTGGCGCGCCTCATCGGCAACTAGTGCGATCGTCTCGGGGACCCGGAAGTTCAACCGTCTCAAACAATCCACTTCCCGCGCGAGCTCGATGCGCTGCTGGTCGAAGTTGGCGCATAACCGCCCATGCGCGACCTTCAGTAAAGGCCCATCTCTGAGACCCGAAGCACATTTATTGGTCCAGGTCTCGAGCCATTGATCAAATAGTGGTGAAGCATCGACATGCTTCAGCAGTTCCTCCGCTAGTAGTTTGAGGGTCTTGCCCCGAGGATGCCTCTGGACGTGCTCCTTCCCGATGACCGCATCTAATCTACTAAGTTGCTCCCGCAGCCTTTCATCGACCTGTCGCGCCCAGGCCGCCTTCCCGCCGACCGGTGGGACCTCCCTCAGCACATCTAGGGACCGACAGCCCGAATTTTCATATCTACGAGTACAGGCCGTCTTCAACGCATCAAGTTCAGATGCTACCGCTTCTATCAACTCAGACTGCCTTCTCTGCGCCGCCCTGCGAACAGGCACGCGATCCAACAAAGGCTGGAAGGCCTTAAAGACCTCGAAGACCGCGTCCGTGCCCGACGCCTGGTCGAGCGACTCGGCCATGCGCTGCGCAGCTAAAGTCTCGCAGTGCGTGACGCGCTTTTGGTAATGTGCTGCTGCGGCATTCCAGGTCGCGTCGCCGTCGAACGACGCGTCGATGACTTTGCTACCCAGACTTTCGCGGAATTCCCGGAACGCGCCGTCGAGTTCGGCGAGAGGCCGTTCGTCTCCACTCAAAGCCTCGTCGAGGACTCTTCGGAAGGTCGCGTGGCGCCGGAGGAAGTCCTTGACTTGTGTCAATCGCTTTTCGACGCGCTCATGATCCAAGACTAGGTTGAGGGAGACGTCGGCGCCTCGCCTCGCTAAGTCCAAAGCTACTTCCCGGAACTTGCGGCACCCTTGCCGCGTGACACGAAACAACTGCTCCGCATGCTCGAAGGCGTCTTCATTTGACTCATCTAGGAGAGACTTTTGGTCTTCGAGTAGGAACGAGGCTCGTTCTCCTATGGCAGAAGACGCGCACTCGACTAAACGAGCGGCCCTTGACATATCATATCGTCTAGTGGCTTTGAGCTTGCCTAGTGCTTTGAAGAAGTTATCAGACGTCTCCGTCAAGTCGGGTAGCGAGGCGGCGGACTCCAGTCGATCCAACGGTAAAGATGACAAGAGACTCTTGGCGTCCCTACACGCGTCCGCCGCTCTCTGTAAAGGTCCCGTGACGCCGTCATCTAATTGGGCAGCAGCCACGAACCTCCGGTTTCTCTTGAGGATGGCACCTAGAGCGACTGCAGATGCACTCTTCCGCGTCGTCTGAGCATTGTTAACGGCAGCTGAATAGGCGCGCCAGCGCTCCACTTCGGCGTGCAAGGCGTCGCAGCCCGACGGCGTGGAAGCGAAGTACAAAGGATTATTGTCATCTTGTGTGGACTCGACGAGCTCGGCCAGTGCACGAGTAGAAGCGGCCCACGCCGCGACGCTCTCGGCGCAGCGGTCGGCTATGGTAGAGTCCTCTCCTATCTGATCGGCGACTTCATCACTCTTCATGTGCGAGAGGAGGTCCGCGATCTTCGGTGGAGGTGTAAGTGGTAGCGAGACCAGGGCCGCGTCGCCCTTGTGACCGCACCTAGATAGAGCGGCATCTAATTCGCCCAGCCGTCGTTTCACCGCGGCCACGTTCGAAGTCTCGTCCTCGACCTCGGCGACGAGCGGCGCCAGTGCCGCGCGCACGACGCCCTTCGCCTCGTTTATCGGATCCGCGTCTCTGCCACTTAATACGACTGTCAACGCGTCCGCCGCTAACCCTCCTTCCGATATGGTCGGTCCCAAGGGAGCCGTCGACGCGACGACCACGTACCTCGACGCGCCGCTACGACTCCGGCCGCGGTGGTACGTTACATTGCCGTCGTCGTCCGTCGTGCACACGAGCGTGGACCCGGCCGGCTGGCCCGCGAACCAGGCCACATTACTATCATCCGCGCGGCGTAGGGCCTCGGGCGTCGCGCCGAGCAGCGCCTGGCAGAGCGGGCCCAGGTAATTGTGGAGCGCGTCGAGCGTGGCCGGCGTTGTTGTTGTCGCGGGCTCGGGCGTCGCCGGCTCCGGCGTCTCGGCGTCCGCGGCCTCGGCGCTCATGACCGGCGTCTCCGCGTCAGCCTCTTCCGCGGTCATCCCAGGCGGCGGCGTCGTTGGCGTGTCTGCCGCTGCGGCCTCCATTGCGGCGCGCGACGGCGTTCCTGGTGGCTTTTTTTCAGCCGACATCACAACTGAACTATCGATGTTCTGCTTGTCTTGCAGCGGAGCGCTCATTGCATCGCTGCGCGACGCTGCGCAATTGCGCGGTTTGGCTGTCTTAAATATTTGTATTGATTAGTGTGTCACTGCCGCTAGCTAACTCGCATGCGGCACTTTGCTACGCGTGGAGGCTGCCAAATAGGGGCACCAGGTCCTTCTATATTGCGTCTTAGTGTTGCCCTCGCTGCTGTGCAACGGCACGCCATCGCTGCCGCGGCAATAGTCCTCATTCGTCGCTACACAGCTCGACACTCGTCTGCTGACAGTGCTGTAGTTAGCGCTGCGCGGGCGAGTAAGCCGTCAGCCCTTGCCAGGGTACAGCCGGCTGGAGGCTTTCACCATGCGAGTGCTGTGGCTCCTCACATGCGTGCTGACGTTCTTCAGCGCAGCTGGCATGTTCGAAAGCGACGCGCTGAGGACTTTGGGCTTGCGTAAGGGCGCCACACCCGAAGAGATAAAGAAGGCGTACAAGCGTTTGGCCCGCGAGCACCACCCGGACAAAGGAGGTGATAGTAATGAATTCATCAAGATCCACGACGCCTACGAGAGCCTTTCGCAGCCGGGCGGCGCGAGCAAGCCACCAGCGGGCACGCCGCCCGAGGAGGCCTTGTTCGCAGCGCTATTCCGCTTCGAAGAAGAATTTGGCGACGCGTTCAAAGGATACGGCGAGCACATCGCCAAGGCCTGGTCGAACGCGACGCTCCTCGAGCAATCGCTGAAGCAGTCCGTGGAGCGAGCCTGGCCGACGAGCCCTGGCGAATCCTACGCGGTGCGGATCAAGCGGTCGCTCCTCAAGAGCTCCATGTCTTGGCTGGTATGGACCCTGTCGAAGCTTGATTTAGAACACATCATGAAGAAGGTCGGCGACCACGTCGGCCAGGGGAACGTGCGCTTTACGGTTAACGGGAGGCGCGTGGACCCGGCCGAGGTGCGGAGGCGCTACGCGGCGTACGCGAAGCGGCGGAGGGACGAACTGTAAGACGCGCGAAGCGGCGGAGAGACGAACTGTAAGAATGTTGTCGATGTAAGGAGGCTTAGTAGTAGTAGTCCCCGCTTGGTCGGGGATCAGCCCAGCGCGCCTCTTCTAGTTGAGCCCGAGGTACGCGATGCCGAGGCAGGCGACGATCCATGCGGCCAGGATGGGACGCGAAACGCCGAGGTCGGTGTCGAACACGAATGAGCGGATAACGGTGCCGGCGGCCACGAGGTAGGCGTAGCCGACGCCCTTGCGCGCGCCGTCGCCGTTCGCGAGCGCGGACAGGTAAGCGGCGGTGCAGAGCATAGCCGTGCCCCAGACGCGGGTCACGTGGACGCCCTCCGCCGAGAGCGCGGGGCCGCCGTAGAGCTTGAACGTTTGTTCGGGCGCGAAGTAGGCTTGGGCGCCGTTGAAGATGTAGAGCGCCGGCGCCACCCATTTGTTCACTTTGCCGGACTCCGCCAGCGTCGCGAGGACCACGTGGACGCCGAGCCACGCGACGAGAGGCTCCTTGGGTATGCCGCCCTTGACTTCAGTAATGGCGGGGATGTATAGGAGCATGGCCGCGATCACGGGGATGAAAGCCTTGTCCAGGATCGTCTCCTCGTCGAGTACCATAGTGGCCGCCGCGCACATCTGCCACGCGCCGGAGCCGCGAACGATGGCGTCCGTGAATGCATCACTCTTCATGCCGTAGCTCTCCATCGTCTGGGCGGGACCGAGGTACGACATGACGCCTTGCGCGCCGATGAGGCCGGCGGCGACCTGCGCGTGCCACCGTCGCGGCGTCGCCGCGCGCCCGCGCGCCGCGGGAGAGAGAAGGTAAGCGGGCACGCACGCTATAGATTTAAACCAACTTTGACGCGGGCCCGCCGGCGCCGCGGCCCCACGCGCGGTCGCAAAAGTCAATCTGTTCACGGCGCGGGAAGCGTACATTAGTAAGGGTGTCGCCACCGCCGCGGACTGACAGGGCGCGGCGATTGCGCGGCTGCAGCAGTGCTTGGCTCGAGGCAGAGAGGGCTAAAACAAGAGCAAGCTTACGGATCATGATGAAACTCACTACGCGCGTTGGTATCGTAATAGGCGTTGCTTTCGCGTCGATTGTGCAAGACGTCGGGCGTTAGTTAGGCCGTGGGGAAATCCCATGAAACACTGGAAAGGCAGAGCAAGATCCAGAGCATCCGCATCCGCATTCGCCGCGACGACGCGATACTACTAAGAACTATGGATGAATTACCGATCTATCTCCGTGTCCAGCGTCAGCAGCTCTCTAGGTGAAAACACCCGGGGCAATAGAGACGCGCGCAGCACGAGCAAGACCCCAATCACGGACGGGAAGACCATGGCCGTCGCTTTATTGAGTTTCAACAACCATAGAGCGGCTAAGCAGGACGCCTGGACCGCCGTGTACCGCAGGACCCGCTTCCGTCCTAACTCGACGACGGCCCGTTCCGCCTCACTCGTCGGGTTGAGCATTCTTGGATCAATAAACAGCGACACGACTCTCCCTAAAAACTGGTTGCCCGCCATGACCTTGAAGCCGAGGAAGAGGAACACGCCCCAGACGACGGCCAGAGGCACTTCTGCTAGTACCGGCGCAAAACCCAGCGAAGCCAACACTAAAGCATGGACCGTGAAACCAGTCAAACGCGTCTCCACGACATCCTTGACGTCGCCGGAAACGGTAGGTTTCGTCACGACGTTGACCGGTTTTGATGCCAACTCTTTCGCCTGCGCGACGCGAGCGGCCCCGCCGCCGGCCGTAGCACGACTGGCCGCCGCGACGGCCTCGGCTCTATCTTCCTGCGTCCTGTTCACCGACAACGTTTTATTGACAACTTCCAAGTAGTCGTTCGCATAGCCGCCAAAACTAATCCCTTTCTGCGGTTGGGTGGTCGTGCGTTTCTGGACCGACACCAGAGACCGCGCGAGGATGATGTCGCCGGCCTTCGGGAGGGGCTTTTTGGCGGGCGGCTCGGTTTTTGCGGCGCGGATGATCTCGTCAGGAGAAGGTAAAGGCCTTTTCTGGGCCGCCGGCGCGGCGAGCGGCGCCGGCTTCGAGGGCTCTTTTGGAGGCGTATCGACCTTCTCCACCGTTTGTGTCTCCTGGTCGGCGTAGGTCGACAAGGCCCGCACGTGATTCAGGGACTGCACCGTCGCCGAGCACATCCACGGCAGGCCCAGCAGTGACGACGCTAATGTAATAGAAGCTAGAGCAAACAAATCTAAATGATACGCCGCGCCCTTCTTGAGCTTGTTTTGGGGCGAATTGACCGTTCGGACCGTAATGTTCTGGTCGAGGAAGAACAATGTCGCCAAAAAAACAGCGGGTATGGCTGCTAACAACCGGTACTTTAACGATAGGGCGCCCATGTCCACTAACGAAAAGAGCTTCTCGCGCGGCGCTCCTAAAGTTAATCGTTTCAGCGAGCCGAGCTTGCGCACCGATGGTAGCGAGAATAGGGACGAGGCGAAGACTATAGTAGCAGCTGGCCCAAAGTCCGCGAGTAGAGAGCGAGCTCTTGCGGTAAAGAATCGTGTTTTGGGCGCTCCCGCGAAGGCCCGACAAGCGAGACACGTGCCACCGGCCGCATTCGCAGCGAGTAGAGCATCAGCAGCCCCTTTGGACGACGCGAGACTGTTCCCGATGACTTTCCTCACCGGAGAAAACCCTTCTGAGACAAAATTGAAGGCTAATAATGCGTTGAAGACGTCCTCCGTGAAGCGCGTGCAGTACCTTATCAATCCAGAAGCGTTGAACGACGCTAAGACCGCGAGGTATAAAGCCGTCCAGCAGCCGCACCACGCGTACATCGGTAGGAATGGGACCCCAGATTTAATAGTCCAGGCGGACAATGCTCCGATGAAAGATAGAGTGAGTCCTGTCGGCGCGACGAAGGTCATGGGCTGGCCGGCGAGGCACCTGTGTTTTTTTTTTCCGTGTCTTTGTCTGTGTGTGTCTGTCCAACCACTCTCTGCACGCGCCATCTCGAGGCGATTCGTCTCGTCTAGCTTTATACGTCCACCTCGACGCCATCGACGCGCGGCTCCTCTCTGTGTTTCTCTCGACGTGCATCGCGAGTCACTCCTCTCGACGCCGTCGAGGAAAAAAGGACGCCGCCCAATACGCGTATGCCATGCCGCTCAGCCCGCAGCTCAGCAGCACGTCGCGCGGGCCCAGCGCCCCGCACGTCGCCGTCTGCATGACGCCACCGAACGCGACCGCCGGCGCGAGCACGGCAAAATACAGAAATAAACAGGCTCCGGCGCTCTTCGCCGGGTTCCGCAACCCGTCGAACCAGTCCTGGGCGTATAGCGGTGATCGTTTTCTGATATCATCTCGCACACCTTGGAGCCACGTCTTCCGCGAGAACGGCGCTATCCTTTGGGGGTTGGCTCCGGCGTCGCCGACGGGGAACTCCGTCGATGCTAGTAAAGTTCCCGTGAACTTACTGCCCGTGCGTCTTCTAGTAGATGCGCCCGTCCAGCCCACGGGCATGACCACCCCATTATCATACAACTGCCGCGAAGAGCCATCATTCCCCACAAACACTTCCGGCAAGGACACATTACCGTCTCGACTCAACGCGGTCACGGCCCGGACTTCCGTCTCCCGCGTCGACGCGGCCTTGGGCACCGTGAACTCCTTCCTCGTTTGTTGGGGCTCGTCTTGGACCGTGGCGAGGCGTCTTGTTCGTAGGTCGCGCGTCGGGAGCGGCGGGAGGTAGCCATGTACCGCTACGGCCAGCGCTGCGATGCATGCGTGTGGCCGCATGGGGGCTCTCCGCTGCTCCGCTGCGGTAGCTGCAGTGCTTGGTGCTCTCCAGGAGATGTGAGTTGCTAGCTGCTATCGGCGTTTCTCGTGCGCAGCACTGCTACTGCGTGCACTGGTCGACTTGCGCACAGCTCGCGCCAGCATGCACTTGTACGAGAGCCTGCAGCGGTCGTTTTTTGCCGCGTGCAAACACGAGCGCGCTAGCGGCTTGTAAGACACTAGCGTGCGCGCTGACCGCTCCGCAGGGAGGAGCCACGCCTGCGGCCGACGAGGAGCGCTCGTCTGCGCGCAGAAAAGGAGCTACGCGGTCATTGAAGTGGCTCGCTGCGCCTCGCGCTTCAGTGGTCGGAAGCCGTGACTTTTAGCGCCCTGCACTGCTGCTGTACATATTAAATTGACCCGTTGACGGCTGAAATTATCCGCCGCACTCTCTATCTCGCTACGCAGCGACCAAGGCAGCGCAACATGCACCGCCTCCTAGCCCTCCTAGCCATCCACGGCGCCAGCGCCTTCCTGGCCCCGCCCGCGCCCGCCGCGGCGAGGACTATTGTATTCAAGAAGAAGGACAAGGACGCGGGCGACGCCGACGCGGAACCGGTCCAGATTAATGCCATGAGCAAGGGCACGGTCGTCGAGTTCGACCTCAACAAGCACACGACGCTCGGTGTGATTGATGGCCACAAGGTCAAGGCGAAAGGAGGCCTCCGCTACGAGATCAAGACGGCCGACGGCAAGCTGCACGCGGGCGTCGCGCCGCGCGACATCCACTTCTCCGCTCCCGGCGCGAAGAACAACCTCGACGAGATGCTCCAGGTCTTAGATACCGAGGCGCCGGCCCTAGTCGACCCGGAAGTCCTAGAAATCTGCTACGAGGTCGCCGCAGAAGAAGAAAAAGAGCTGGGGCTCCAGCAGATCGCCTCGCTCCTCGACGCGGGCAGCGGCCCGGTGGACATCTACCGAACGTTCCGTGTGCTGAGCTGCGAGCTCGGCAAGGTCTTCTTCCAGAAGGCCAAGGGCCACACGAAGCACTTCAACGCGCGCGCCAAGAAGACGGTCGAGGCCGCCAAGCGCTCGCTCTGCGGCCAGCACGGCGACGAGTACGGCGAGTTCTGCCTCGTCTAGAGTTGAAATCGTCCGCCCGCGCCCCCGACCCGAAACGCATCGCGACATGCTCCCCGTGTAACACCACATTAACTTACGCGCGGCGATGGCGTATAACGTGAGCTAGCCATAGCTCGCCGCGTCGTCGCGGGGCCGCACGCCGAGGAGCGCCTCCGTCTCGTCGAGCGACCACCTTGCATTAGTGTTCGCGGACATGGCGTTGACGCAGTGGTAGCCCGACCCCGGAATACGGTCCGACAGCGCCGCGGCGCCGAAGAGGCGCAGGAAGTCGCCGTTCGAGAGCCACATGCCCCGGAACCAGGCGTCGTCGTGCGAGTCGTCCTTGACGGATGCCGCCGCCCCGGCGGTTTCGAAGGCGGGCGGCACGCCCGAGGCCCCGATGGTCCGCGGCGAGTTGATACCCGGCTGGCACCAGCCGACCCGGAGGGCGAGGAATACCGTGCGCGGCCGCACGTGCGCGAGCGCCGCCAGCAGCCGTTCCGCGGCCAGCTTCGCCGCGGCGTAGGCGACGGCGTCGCCCGCGCGCTGGGCAGCAGCGGGGTCGTTGAGCGCCGTCCCGACGCGCGGCGCGTCCGACGGCTTTACCACGCCATGTTTATGGTCGTCCTTGTAGCCGCCCATGACATGGTTCGAGGAAGCTAAGATGAAACGGGGCACGCCCGCGTCGGCGGCCGCGAGCGCGACGTTGAAGGCGTGGTCCATGGACCCGCTGCTCTCGGACCAGTCTGCGTTAGGGTAAGGATTCACGGCGCTGAAGTGGACGACGGCGTCGGCGCCCGCGAGGACGCGGCGCCACGGCACGCCGCCGGGCTGCTGGGCGTCTCCTTGGACCACTCGGTCGCAGGGCGGCTCGGAGCCCTTCGCGCAGTAGTCGGGGTGCTCGATTCCGACGACCTCGACGCCTCGTTCCTGGAGGTAGGCGCCGAGCTTGCGACCGAGGTTACCACAGCAGCCCGTGATGACGACGCGTCGTTTCTTCTTTTTCTTGTAGAGGAGCCATGCGGCTGTGGCGGCTGCCGCGGCGAGCAGTGCGGATGTTTGCGGTCGCATAGTATTTGTGAGAGCTGTGAGAGCTTTGTGTGTTTGTCACGGCTGCGTAAGCTGCAACGGCAGCGCTGCACAGGACTCGAGATTATCAACTGGTTGATAGATTAAACACCTAAAACGCGTGCACAGCGGCAGGGATGCGGCGTCGCTGGGGAGCTGCCGAGCTGCGGCGACTAGCGTGTTGTAAGATACTAGCAAATGGAGCAATTCGCCACCACGAGACATCCTTGATATGGTTGTTAATGGGGAACATGGAGTAGGAGTTGGGGATTTCATGGAGATGGACGCATACGTTCGCGCCGACCGCGGCACGTGTGGGCCACGGGGAAATGGCGTGGTGATGATCAGCGTCCGGAGTCGGACTCTTCGGGCACGCGCTGACGCTTGCCCTTGCTCACGAAGCGCACGCCGGGCGTAGCGGGCGTCGTAGGCTCCGGGGCCAAACAGCACCCGAGGCCGAACGCGTCGGGCCAGGCCCAGGCGTTCTCGTTCTGGTCCTCATCGCCGATGTCGAAGATCGCGTCGTCGGCGAACAGGAGGTCTGAGGCCGTCTGCTCGTTGGCATCCAAGGCGGCAGAGGACCCAAAGGAGGGGCCGGGCGCCGGAGCCTGATCAGGTGAGGCCCAGGGCGGCCGCGCGCCGACGCGCAGGGCGGCGTTTTCGCGCTGTAGCGCCAGGACCTGTCGTTCCAAGTCCGCGGCGCGGCGGCGCCACTGCGCCGCGTCCTGCGCGGCCTCGTTCGTCTCGAGCGCGTCGTAGGTCTGCTCGGGGCTCTGCGCCGGCGTCGGCGCCTCGTCTTAGGTCTGGCCGAAACCGATCCGGGGCGAGCGGTGGCGCGTCCGGCTCGGGCTGCTCTGCAAAGACCGGTTCTGAGTATACATCTATCTGCGTAAATTATCGAAAACCCCGTGCACTAGACGCCTGCCGCGACCCACGCCGTAACACCGGCCGGGGGCCGGAGGGGGCCGGACAAGTCAGAGAAAAAAAACCGCGCCCTAATTAGCAAATCTCGGGTTTTTAAGCTTTTGCGAACCGGAGCGCGGCGACGACGCGGATCCGCGTGACCACGCCCGGCCCGCCTCCGGTCCTCATACGCTGTCGCCTCGTATCTAAGCTCATCTCTGCCTTCCTGAGACAAGCAGACCATGAATGCTCTCCCAGACGACGTCGCGCGCGTCCTAGAGGACTTCTGTGGAGCCAAGGAGATTGTTATGTTAGGCCGGACCAGCCGCCGATTTAGACCCAACGAGAAGACGTGGGAGCGGCACGCGAAGTGCAACCCGCTGACGGAGCACGTAATGGTTACGTGGGTCTGGCCCTCATTTGCTAGGTCGCTCTGGGAGCTTCGGCCGGGGGATCCTGACCAGAGCCTGCAAATGCACGATTATGATAATGACACGAGGTTTGTGCTCCAGGTCTGGAGCGGCGGGAAGTTGCTGACAACGAGGAGGATGTCTTTCGAGAAGTTCTCACCTACCTTCCCCGAAGAGTTTAGCGAACATCAGGATGATGGGGACTGGTTCCGAATTTCTGCTGGCACCTCACATCTACACGTGGCCGACGGGGACGTGTGCGAGCATTGCACACAACTGCGGGCCGGTGAAGCGATTCCGGACTCCCTCGGCGTGGGGCTCGGCCTGGACTGTGCGCCGCTTCGCTTCCGCATCGTCGCGGTTCCATACAGGAGCCCTGCCCATTGGAAACCGACGGTCGTGTTCGACGCTGAAGGCAGCACTGAAATTCACAGTCTCTGGCTCCAACTCTGTCAAGGTGGGGATCCAGTCCAACCAGAAGGCGTTCCAAATGACTTACTTCGGGGCCCCGAGGATTCGTCGCCGTGGGGACTGGATCATCACCACGAAGATCTCGCCTTCTATCCGGCTGGTTATTACAACCCCGGCTTTTACAGTCCCCTCAGCAGACAACCATCGTGCCTCGTCCGAATCACCCGCGACGCGGGGCAAAACGCGACTGGCCTGATCATCGACGAATTCAACTGGTATTTTCCCAGAACCGAAATCGGGCGGTTGCGAGTCAATACCGAGTTTATTCGCTCCTAAGAAGGCTATTTAGTACTTAGCTCCCACTCAACAAAAACACGTCGAGGCCCCCAACCTTCCCGACGCCAACCCAGAGAGCGCTCGTCGCGTAGAAGGCGCGGCGGACGCGCCAGTCGACGCAGAGCGCGTAGCACGCCAGCGCCGCGATAAAAGCGCCGCACAGAACGTGAACAAGAGCATTTGATGAAGCCGAGGGCTCGCCCGTTAAACCCGCCGCGAGGCGCTCCTCCTTAAGGGCCCATCTTTCAAAAAGCCACTTCTTCACGTCGCGCGGCGGTTTTGTGATGCGGTCAACACGAACAATAACACGCCGCGGGAATTTACCAGAGAGCATCGACGGCTCGTCCGGGCGCCCATCGTTGTCGTACGCGATGGTCAAGTCGTAGATCACCGGAGATCCCATCGCCTCGACGGCGCCGGCGAACCCGGCCGCGCGCGGCACCAGGACCTGGGACCACTTGATGGGCGGCTTTAATGTCGCCCCATGCTTCTGGGACTTCGCGACGTTCGACTCGGACAGATCTGTCCCCTCGGGGAAGAGCAGCGCCCAGAGCGGTGTACGCCCTGCCAACGACGACTGAATGACGTCGAGGTCCCCTTCTCTGTCTTTTCGGGACACGAACGCGAAGCCGAAGGCCTGCATCGCCCAGCCAAAAAACGGCGCGCTCCTCAATGAATCCTTGAGCGTCACGTGTAGCGAGGCGCACCTGCCATGCCTCATGACCAACGGCCAGAGATACAGCCAGTCCAAGCGACAGTGGTGGTTGCAGATGACCAGGACCTTCTCGTCATCAGGTACGTCGCCGGCGATCTCGTATTTCACGTTTCCCATGACTTCGATCGCCGCGGCAGCGCACGAAAACCACCACCAGGCTATGAATGATGCATATTTTGCGTATAACTTCTTAAAGCCGAGCGGTAGGAGGATGGCCGGCGGCAGCAGGAGCGTGCTGCCAACTAAAGCGGTGGTGACGAGGAGGAGCACGAAGGCCGCGCCGCGCAGGCGTGCGGTGAGAGACATGTGATCGATGCTCGCTGGCAGCGATGCGATACGTTTCAGAATGAATGCTTGCTTTGCACGCGCGTCGACGGCGTTTCTCCAGCTGTACCGGGGCTGTGCAGCTGTGCTATGGCTGTGCGGGCTCACGTGTTATGACTCCACATGATGGTAGGCTGACAATCGCTCGTGCTTTTGCGGTGCTTTGTGGGTGCACGCGGGCTGAGGATTGGCCTGGCCGGCTCGATGCTGTGAGCTGCTAGCGTAATGTAAGACACTAGCAAGAATTGTTTGATTTGACCACGGCGGAATTTATGTGGTGCGCGCAGCCCACGAAGCCATTGGTTGCACCACGTTGTGATATCAATTCAAACGCACGCGTAGACCCGCTCGCAGCCAAGCGCTTGGTTGCAGGCCGGTGTGTTTGTGTTGGGAGAGGGCGCTGTCAGAGCGGCTGGCCACCCTCTCTTTACGCCGCGGTATTCGGTTGATAAGGTACTGCTTGCAAGCGCATTCACGATGGCGGCTCCGTCGTCGCAGGACTTCATGGCCAAGCTCGAGGCCGTGAAGACGCCGCTGCGCACGCCGGTGAAGACGCCGCTGCGGGCCGACCTCGAAGAAACGATATTCAACGAGCTCATGGACGCGGACCACGGCCCGCACTGGACGTCGCCGGCCAAGAGCGACGAGGAGCTCTTCGTCGAGATTGCAAAAGAAAACGGCTCGAGCGTCGCGTCCGACGACGAGGAGGCGCCGCCGGTCTACGAGGCGGTGCGGCCGCCGCCGGCGCCGCCACGATCCGAGGCGCGGCCGCCTCCATCCACACCGCCGCACCTCGCGGAGGCCCTCGCGCCCTACGCCGCTTTATCCAAAGGTTCGCCCGAGGACGTGCGCCAACGGCTGCGAGCCGCGACGACGACTTTAAGAAGACGCCTCGACGCGGGCCTGCCGCTGCGGACGCTCGTGTGGGATCGCCTGCACGGAAGGTACGCCGCCGCGACGCTGGTGCTCTTCCGCGAGCCGGGCGGCTTCTGGTGGCGCTGGGACGCGACGGCGCGGCGCCTGCGCCGGAGGAACCGGCGGCGGCGCCGGAGCGGCCTCGCGACGCCCTCGCCCGCGGCGCGCGCGGTCGCCTTCTTCGCGTCGTCGACGCCCCGGTACGCGTCCCGGCGTCCGAGGCGCCTTTGCAAGAGCCGCGTCCGGAGCAGACGCAGTCGCGGAGACGACGTCGCGTCGATGGCGCGACTGGAGGTCGAAGAATAAAACACGCAGGCCTCGCGACGTCGACGCCGGAATACAGCCGCCGCCGCCGGAAGACGCCGAAACCAGGGCCGGACAAGCGTTCCTCAAGGCGGTCCAGCGGCGCCGCGGCGTCGATTCTCAAGCAAAAGCCGACCACGAACGCTGGCTCGAGGCGCGCCGGGGCGGCGCCCCCAGTGCACCCGATGATAGTGACTCGTCCGACGACGACGGCACCATCACCATTCGGGGAGACACGGCGCACGTCCGCTGGTCCACGCTCGAGGGCGTCCTCCACGAGATCCAGCCGAAGGGGCCTTTGCCGGATCGCAATCTGCGGACCTTCTCCCTGCTGCTCGCGGACAACGAGCGCCTCGACCTGGCCGTGGGCGACGCGCACTCGCGAAGATCGCTGGTGAGCGGGTTTGGCAGCGTGGCGGCCGCGATGCGGAATCGCGACGGTGTCCGCCCGCTCGATGTCTTGTTCGATGATGTATTAAGAAAGTGCGACGGCGCTTTACTGATCAGAGACGGCATCGAGGACGCCGCGAAGAATAGGAGAAGGGATCTACTCGAAAGATGCGGTCTGCGAAGGCTCCACGCCTTATATAGGGACGACCAGCACCCCGAGCTGGACGGGTCCATCGCCAAAGGTACTTTGGTACATGTAGCGCACGACCTCTGTCCGGAAAGCGGCGAGGCGCCCTACACCGTCGAGTTCCCCGTGCCGCGCGAAAAAGGTGAGTCAAGACGCTACGTCAAGTTGCGGCAGCCCTGTCCTTTGTTTGCCGCGGGCTCGTACGTCACTGGGGAAGTAATAGGCCATACCGAGGGGAGCTACGTCGTGCGCTACGTGAGCGGGCCGCACCTCCACACAAAAGATTCGTTGGTGGAAGAATTATTCGGCGGCGAGGAGCGCAAGGAAGAAGAATCATTGATTGAAAGACCGCCGAGCATGCCCGAGGGGACGCTTCTCAAAGGAGTCAAGCGCGAGTTCCTGGAGGTCGACGTGGCCTATCAAAAGAAGGACTTCGCGCCCTACTTCACGCTCACGGCTCTCCTGGTCTACTGGGTCAAGTTTTTTGTGGATTTGTCTGGAGGTGATGAAGTAATGGGTTCACTCGACGATGCGCTGGAGGCCGTGGCGCCCTTTGCCGACGACTGCCGGTTGCAGACGACTGATTGGAGGCGGCTGTTCACGTACCAGTTCGTCCACGTCGACGCGGGCCACCTCGTCGCGAACTCGGTGATTTTGCTTGTGCTGGGCTCGCCGTTAGAGATGGCGCACGGGCCGGTCGTGGGCCTCGCGTTCGAGGCCGGCGTCGTGCTAGGTGCCGTCGCATCTCTGATTTTCGCGCCCTATCAGAGAGTCGTGGGCTTCTCGGCGGGCGTCTACTGCGTGCTGGGCGTGCACTTCGGCCACTTGTTGCTCCACTGGGCGGACATGCGACGAGGGGCTTTGAATCGGTGGGCGCGGTTGCTGATCTTCGCTGTTTTCTTCGGCGTCGACGTCGTCTACTCGTACGCGGAGCAGGTGTCGGCGACGATCCACCTCGCGGGGTTCGTGGTCGGCGTCGTTTTGAGCGCGGCCGTGCTGCGCGACCTCGTCGAGCGGCCACGATCAATATTGCGGGGCGCGGCCCGTTTCTTATTGATCGCGCTCCCCGTGCTGTTGGTTTTGAGGTACGCGTTCTACATCATACAGAGTGACCCGCCCGAGCCCCTGACGTGGCTCTCGGGTGGCGACGTGACGGACTGCTGCTACGTCCTGCGCAAGTGCGGCGTGGCCGACGAGCTCTACGCGCGCTTCTCGTGCCGCGACCTCAGTGACAAGCGGCTCTTCCGCGGGAGCGCGACGGCGCTGTACGGGGGCGGATCGTTGCTCACGGAGTGCCCGGAGGTCGAGGCGTTCCTAGCTGCTGTGTAACAATACATTGTTTAAGCTACGTCGAACGTGCCGTCGGCGTCACTACTGCCGATGGACTCGATGTACCACTCGCCCATGCGTGGTGGACGCCTCCTCTTGCGCAGCTCCCATATCCATTTGCGTTTCCGGTCGTCGCGCGCCACGGTCTCGACGACACAGGTCCCGATCCAGCCGTCGGGCCCGCCCGCCTGTGTGGAAATCAAAATTTTACGGTGCGTTCGTGCTGAATCGTCGCGTCGTCCTCCACGCCATCGACGCGACGCCAGCTCGATGGCGTGGCGATGCCGGTTCCTCGCCGCTCGACGGAGCCAGCACGGCCGCGTCATCACCGAGAAATGACTTAGTGAAGAATTGTCCGGTGCACCCGACGCACTGGTTGATTTCCACACAGCCGCCGGCCACTGTAAAAGGTCGCAGGACCGTCCAGCGCTTGCCCGTGATCGCCATGCCGTAGAAACTGGTTGCGAATTCGTCACTCGTCTGTTTCGCGTCCTTGATGAACTCGTCCAGGGTGTCAAAACGGTAGTAGTACTTGAACGTGTCCCCCGCTAGGTCCCATATCCGTCGGAGCGCCGCGTCGACGTCGTCACCGGCCAACGAGTTCAGGGTCCGCTCGATCATGACCTGAGGTGCATCGGTCGACATGGGCAATGGACAGTCGGACGCGGCGCCAGACAGGAGGAAGTCCCGATAGCACTCGATGGCGGCCTCGTCCGTAGGGACGTAGTGGCCGCCCGGGTGGACGTGGACGCGCGCATTGTCAAAACAAGCCGCCAGGCGCCGCGCCTGCTCGGGCGGGTTGATGTCGTCCGTCGCGCCGAGGACGTGCAGCGTGTCCCCGCGGCAGCCGCGCTCGAGCTCGGCCTCATATGGTTTCGGCCAGGACGCGCCGTTCAGGATGAGCTTGGCGCCGCCGAGCCAGTCGATGGCTTCAGTGGCCGCAGCGAAGCCCAGGAGGATCGCGCCCTGCGAGTGACCCCACACGACGTCGGCTTGCGAGGAGCGCACGACGTCGAGCGCCGCGTCGACGCCGCCGTACTCCGTGGCCTGGTAGGAGCGCACGCCCGGCGGCAGCGTCCACCACTGGTAGCCTCCTCCGTCCAACTCATGCGGTGCGGTGGCGTACGTAAAATCAAATTCGGGCAGCGCGTTCTCGATGGCTTGGAAGCGCAGCTTCATCGACGCGCCCGATCCGCCCTTGCCGTGCAACACGAGGATTTTACGCTTGCTCGTCGACAGCGACGACGCGTAGCGTGCGCCGAGGGCTATGGTCGTGAGGGCTCGTCGCATTGTTTTTGCGCCTCACAATGTGTGCAGCAGGCTGCACTGGTCGACTACGTGCGCGCACCGATGTACGGTTGCAGGAGTTGGACCGGCACAGCAAGTACCACTGTCTGGCGTTCCTTAGATGTGCTTTGCACAGCTGTTTGATGCGGTTGCGGCTTGCAGTGCTGCCGAGAAAAACTGGGGCTAGCGGCCTGTAAGACACTAGCAATCAAGCAGGAAACTGACCAGCGGCCACTCATCAATGCTTTACATCTATAACCCTGTTCAAACGCCTTGCGGACTGGTAAATTTCTGAATTTCTAGCGGCACAGCAAAATAATCGGGTGTCTCGGTGTCTTGGCGCTGCCCGCAAAAACGTGTGATGTCTCGGCTGCCCGCCGCTTCTTTACGATGAGGCAGAAACATCAGTAGAGCCACCGACGCAGAATCATCAATAGGTTCCGCCTCGGGCTGCCCTTGGACGAGACACAGCCCACGACAAAAGCACACCACACCAGGCACACAATGGGCGGTCCGCCCCCCTGCGTGACGCCATCAACGGGTGGTCCACGCCGCGACAGCCTGCCTTTCTCGGAGACGGGGTCGCTGGGCGACAGCCTCGCCGACGACTCGCCGGTAGTCGAGTTCTTCCGCGAAGAAACGAAGGAAGAGCCCCCGGCGCGCTCGTGGCTCGGTGGGCTCGGCGCGTACTTCAAGCCGACGCGCGCGCCGCCCCAAACCGAAGCGCCGAGGCCACCGCCGCCGCCGGTCGACGGCTACGAGGACGACTCGCCGCCCAGCCGCCACGACACGCCTCCATTATTAATGCGGCACGCGCCCAAGGCCGCGCTGGACGTCCAGCTCTCGATGCGCAGCTCGGCGCTGGCGAAAGCCCTCGACAATGACGAGGACGACGAGTCGACGGCGTCCGAGGCCTCGTCGGCGACGGCCGAGCCCGTGGACTCCGGCGAAGAGGCCGTCCTCGCCGCCATGTCGCCTGTGAAACGGCTAGAGACCATGCCTTTGAAAAGGCCGGCCTCGCCCTTCGCCGCCGTGGCGCCGATAGCGTCGCCCGCGGCAATTCTAGAACGGGCGCTGCCGAACCCGCCGACGCCGCCGCGTCGGCCGGTGGCGCGCCGCACGCCCGTGGTGATACCGCAGCCGCGGCCGACGGCCTGGGTCACGGGTGATGGCCACATGACCTACGCGCGGCCGGTGCCGCGCCGCTTCGAGCTGAACGCCGCGGCGCTCCCGGCCGTCGGCGACGCCGGCGAGGACGCGGACGCCCTCTACTCGCCCACGGCGCCCCTGCCGCGGCCGACGGCCTGGGTCACGGGCGGCGGCGCCCTGACGTACCAGAGCCCCCGGCGCCGCTCCGAGCCGCTGCAGCCCGCGGAGCTTCCGGCGGTCGGCGCGGCGGGCGAGGACGCGGCGACGCTCTACTCGCCCGCGGCCGCCGTGCCACGGGCGCGGCTGGCCCAGACCGCGACGGCGACGCTCTTCCACCTGCCCGCGGGCCCGGAGGCGCCGCCAGCCGTCGTGCGAGTCTCGGACATGGGGCCGACGCTGGAGCAGTCGGCGACGTCCATGCTGCTGCATATCCCCGCGGCAGTGCGGCGACCGCCGGCGGAGCCGCTCGAGAGCCGCTCGCTCGCCGTCGCCGACGCCGTTCGACCGCCGAAACCGCAGCCGCGGCCCACCGCCTGGACCGTCGGCGACGGCGCCCCGGCCTACGTTTGTAAAGCGGTGCCCCCCGGGACCGGCGTGCGGGTCGCGGCGCCGCCGGCGCCGCCATCACCAAAACCAACAGCATGGGTCGTCGGCGCGGGCAGCGCCGCGCGCGTCGGCGACGCGCTGCCGCCTGGCCGCGGGTTATTCCAGTCGCCGGCGGCGCCGAAGGCGCGGAAGCGAGCACCGCTGTCGCCGAAGCCGACGGCGTGGGTCGTCGGCCGCGGCACCACCGCTCTGGTAGGCGACGCGCTGCCGCCGGGCACCGGCGTAGTGGAGGACCAGCACGCCGCGGCGAAGACCTTTTTGAGAGCCCAGATCTCGAAGTACGAGGCGTCTCAACAGAAAACGCCCGCCTCGCCGACGGAGCCCGTGGGCGCGCCCGAGCTGCCGCCGACGCCCGTCACGGACTCTCCATCTAGGGACGTCGAGGCCGAGGCGCCCGACGCGAGCGAAGCGGCGCGCATCGTCGCGGCGCCTTCGGTATCGCCCCGCCGCGACTGGGCTAAGAAGCGCTGGAACCCCGCGTCTCCCACAAAGCAGAACGCGCCGGTGACGCCGCCGTCCGGCGCGCGGCAGTGGGCCCAGCGCCGGTGGAATCCTACCACGGCCGACACACCCGCGGACACACCTGCGGAGGAAACGACGTCGCCGCCCTCCGGCGCGCGCAAGTGGGCCCAGAATCGCTGGAACCCCTCTACTACACCGTCCTTCTCCGAGGCCGGCGACACGCCCCAACGACGGCGCCGCTGGTCGACGCCGCCCCAAAAATCTTCCGAGTTAATTACGCCCAAGCGGCGGTCCTCCTCGATAAAGCCGAGCGACGCCATCTCGGCCAAAATCGCTTCTCTACAGCAGGACGCGACCCCGAATCACGTGGAGAAGGAATCGATCAGTGAAGTCAAGGCGACGCCAAACATCAAATCCCGCATGGCGATGCTCCGGGAGGCGTCCCAGGTCCAGAAAAGTACAATAGAGGACACGGGACTGGGCGTAAAGTGGCGCCGCGAGTCTCTGGTAGCGTCGATGGAGAAGACGGCCGCGCCTCTGATCGACGCCAAAAGTGAATTACGAAACGTCGCGACGGACGGCCCTAGTCAGTTACTCAGGCAGCGGTCGCAACAATTAGAGGTGCAGTCCATTCGCGCGGCCTACGATGAGAGGAGGCGGCCTACTCGTCGTAGGGCAGCTAGGTTGGATGGGGCTTCCGTATTTACGTCTCCTGGCCCGGTTTCACCGCCGAAGCAGGAAAGTCCGTCCTACGTCGAGATCTCCGAGGGTACTGTTTCTTCTCTATCCCAGAACTACAACGATCTTATTGCAAGAACATTAAGGGAAGCGCGGGAAGCAAGGGACCGGCTCGCGAACAACGATGATGACGCGGCTAGACGAAGAAGGGTGCAAGCGAGAGAAGCGGAACGGATCCGCAAGAAGGCCGAGTTGTTAAGAAACGCCTGCGAGCAGCCGATGATCCTGAATACGGCTTCCAATCCGTGGGCTTTGCGGGTCGATGCGACTTGCCCCACTCCCGGTGCCACACTCCATGTGTCGCTAGATGGTGGCAAACACTGGCACACGAAACACGCCGTCGATTCAAACACGGCCACTCTCTCGCTAGACGTCGACGACGACGAAGAACGGGTCGTGCTCGCCTATGCCACAAAGACGGGCAACGCGCCTTCCGATGTGGCCTCGATGGCCTTCTCGCGCGAGCCGCCGCGCTACATTCTACACGAAGCGCACGCTTTCGAATTGTGTTTGAGGGGCCATGCTACGTCTGGTAAGAGGTGCATCGTGTGTGGCCTAGACGCGAATGATTCTGATGATTACACCGACGATAACGTGGTGGTGTGCAAGAAATGTGCACTCGCACCTTTAGCGGCGCGCTTCGGTGGCGTTCAAGCAGGATTGTATGAAGGCGAGGCCGACCCCACCAAAGCGGCGTGTTGTGTGGCGGTGGACGCGGCGGCGCATCGGCTCTGGCTTTCAGGTCCGGTGCACTTCGAGGGGAACCGCGACGTGATCGTCGACGCCTCCTTCACGTTGTTAGATCAGCTCGCTTCCGTTCTGAAAAAGCATCCTTCCATAGCCATTCGCCTCGAGGGCCACACCAATTCCAAATGTGGCCTACAGTGCGATGGTAGTTATGTGTGCGCGAACAACCGGTGTGCCAAGGACTTTGGGGGGAGTGGTGGCGCGTCGGCGTTCTCTCGGCGACGGGCCGAGGCCGTCGCGCGCTACTTGGAAGAAGCTGGTGTTTCGAGTGAAAGGGTCCACGCCGCGGGCCTTGCTGGCTCGAGGCGCCTCGTCGACGACACGGAGGGGCCCCTGAAGCACCTGAACCGGCGCGTCGAGGTGCACACGGTGGCTTTTTAATTTCCTTTGCATTGTACTCGTCGTTGCCTTTTTAACGGTGCCCCGCGCTTGCGCGTCGCGGATTCATCGGAGGCGGGAGCGGGCCGCGTCTTTCCAGAACAGCATCTCCCGACTCTGTGTGGTCGTTTCGGTACGGTGCGAGAGAGGTATCGCGGGAACCGCAAGCTAGCGGCCGTAAGACACTAGCCAGCCGGCAGTCTGCCAAAAAACGCGTGCCTAGACGCGGCCGCTCTTGCCCGTCGAGCAACGCGGATACGTTTTCGATCGATCAATCGATAATCGATCAGCGCTGCGCATTTATACGGCGCGGCGCCCTGCACCAGAGCCAGGGTGGTGCTCACTGAATTCGCGGCGCGACCGCAGTAATAAGCACAGAACCCCTCGCGGCGCCGGCGCGGCGCCGCGCAGCCACCATCTCCAGCCCCATCAAGATGGCGGCGCAGCTGCGCGCGGCGGCGGCGCGGCGGCTGCGGAGCGGAAGTCGGAGCGAGCGGCGGCCGCCGGAGCCGCCGGCCGTCGAGCCCGAGAAAATTATCAAGATGTTCGAGACGTATGCGGAAGAGGAGGACTGTTTGGGCATGGAGGGGCTCTGTGGTTTGTGTGAGGCGGTCGGGATTGATCCCGAGACCGACGTCCGGTTGCTCTGCTTCTGCTGGCGGGTTGGGGCCAAAAAACCGTCCATGATCTTACGGGAGGAGTGGAACGAGGGCATGTGCCGCCTGCGATTGGATTCATTGGACAAGCTCAAAAAATTCGTGCTCGGGGACTCGTGCGACCCGACGAACCTCGAGCAAAAACAATTCCGGGACTTCTTCAAGTTCACCTTTTTGTTTTCCCGAGAGGGTACTCATAGAACGATCGAAAAAGATCTCGTGGCTGATCTGTTACCGATCGCGATTTGCGGCCGATCGTGCCACGAAGAGACATTCCTCAAGTTCCTCGAGGCGTCCTCCACAACACGCGTCACGTTGGACCAGTGGTGCTCGTTCCTCGAGTTCAGTGTGAAAGTAGGGGCCGCTCCAGGCTTCGAGGGCTACGAGGAGGACGGCGCGTGGCCCTTGCTGCTCGACGAGTACGTCGAGCAGCTCAAGGCGGACGCCGTACCTTAGGTTTAAGTATTCGTGGATATATGACTCCCGCCGTCCCGCGCCGAAGGTGTCCTGTCGGGGACAGGTACTTTTTTGATTTTTTTGTATCGGCTCGCCAGGCGTGCCCGGGAGCGCTCCGCGCGAGCCTAGGGACCGCGAGAGGGCCCCAAACGCCGCGATTCCGGAAAAGGGCATGTAGGATATGTAGCTTGTAGAATTAGCGGCGGCCCTGAGAGCGGCGCTTAATTTGCCCTGCGGGAGCCCAGGCAAGCTGCAGCGGCGCAAGGACAGGCACGAGGCAGCCTACCGAGGTCGCACCCCCCGCCGGAGGCTGCCCTTGTACGCAACCAAAGCGTTACCGCCACTGAGAGCGGCAAGGGAGAGACGCCATGCCGCGCCGGCGCTACGACGACGACGACGAGGGCTTCCCCGACATCCGCCAGAAGCCGGGCACGCCTTCCGATAGTTTTGGCGGCGCCTACGGCCCGCCGGACTCCGATAGCGAGAGTGGGTATTCAAGACCGGGCACCGCCGGGAGCGGCGAAAGCGGAAGCGCCTCGCTGACCTTCGAGGACTGGCAGAAGAAGGCCGGCCTCGGTTCTATCGGGGGCGAGGACGAGTTCTCGAAGACCGATGGAAGTGCGCGCGACGCGCGGAGGCGCGACGTAGATAACCCGGAAGGCTTCGAGGGGAAATGGTCGATGGCCGACCAGAAGAGCCGCTTGAAGGACATGATGCGCAAGGGCGGCAAGATGGGCTCCATGCACGACGTTGCTAAAGCTGCCAAAGCTGCGCAGAAAGCCGCTCATATTACTACGAGCAAGAACCCGGCGGCGACCAAAAGAGCGAAAGCTCGGGAGAAAGTAATGAAGCAAAGGAAAGACCACGAGGCCTGGGTCGAGCAGTTAGCTGCTGTTTGTGACGCTACCAATGTAGAAAAACAAAGATTAGCTGCTGAAATTATATTCTTGGAGCACAACATGGACCGCAAGAAATTGCTGCGCGTTATTCTGCGACTCGGGAGAATTAAGTTGTTTACGGGCTTCCAGACCTGGGAGCTCAACACCGTCAAGAAGGATCGCTTGGCCAAACAAGCTGAAATTGCGCGTAGAAAGGCCGAGATCGAGGCCTTCTACGCCCAGATTAAAGCTGATGAGATCGCGAATGAAGAAAGACAGAAGGCCATGCTCGAAGGGCGGCTCAAGAACACGTCCGAGGCGCAGTACCAGCTCATCCTGAACATCTTCAGCAAAATGACCGGAGACAAGACGAGGGAGTACTACAGCAAGTGGAAGGGCATGATGATCGACTTTCGGTCGAAGTTTGTGTTGATGAAGCGCGTGCTGGGGCGACTGATGTCGGCCAAGACCAATTCCGCGTGGGGCAAGTGGTACTTCTGCACCTTCACGGTCGGCAAGATGTCGTTGGATGATCAGATCAAGGCCTTGCAGGAGGAACTCGCGAAGGCTCGGGCCTGGAAGGAGAAGGTCGAGAAGGAGGTGGAAGCGATCGCGGACCGCATGGCGCAAGCCATGATCGCCGGCGCGAGTGCGTCGCAGGTCGCTTTGCTCAAGAGAGTCCTGACGAAGTTCTGCCAGCTCCATATAAGGCAGGGCATGAAGGCCTGGAAGGCCAAGGTGCACGGGCAAAAAACGGCCAAGCAGCGCATGTCTACTGTTATCAGACGTTTGGCGAATTCGCAGCTCAACTACGGCTTCCGGAGGTGGTTGATGGTGGCCGTGAAAGATAAAAACAGTGCGGGGCAGCTCAAGATGGAGCAGTTCCAGCGGGAGACGTCGGGTCTCAAGGAGCGGTGCGAGAACGTGGCTACAAGAATAGTGGCGTTGATGACCAAGGTCGAGCAGATGCGCGAAAGCGTCCAGCTCCAAGCGATCGCCGCGGATCGCGTGGCCCACGGCCTGCCGGACTTGGTCGAGGAGTTCGCGAATATAGCTTATATTGATAGGGCCGCGGCGGAGAACCCGGCCAACTTGATGAAATTGATCCCTCCGGAGCAACGGCAGCAGATGGCCGGTGGTCCTGCGATGGGCGGCAACGACGGCCCCATGACCACTACTATTCAATATGGCCCTGGCAGAACCTCCACAAGAGGCTCTACTGGTTTTGGGCAAAGAGGCGGCGGTCCGGACACGGCCTCGATCGCGTCCTCGATAGACTCCGCCTCGTTGGGCTTCGCGGGTATTGGATTTGGCACGCCCATGTCGCCCGAGGACAGAGCTAGTTTACTGGTCTTCGTCAAGGGCCTCGAGAGCAACTCCAACGACCCCAAAATTGCCAGAGTGGCGCCGCAGCTCGCCAAGCACAAGAAGGCCATCAAGAAGCTGGCGCTCGTCGGCGACCCGCGGCTGTCGGCCTGCGTCAAGGCCTACGAGCGGACGCGCGACCCCGGCGACCTCGTCGAGTCCATCGAGATGATCGCCGCGGGCATGGACTTCAACGTCGCGCCGATGTACTAGCCGCCCGGACCTCCCCCCTTAATCTTCGGTTCAAAGGAGTCTTTTTGTTCTGCTAGGGTGCTGAGTCTCCTGCTTGTCGCGGCGGCGACGGCGTATTGTGAGGCTGAGGCTAGTTACGTCGCAGGGTTCCCCGTACCCCTCCCGCTCCCCCCGGGCCCACCCGTCCGACTGTATTGTTTGCTAGTGTGTTGCTTCGCTAGTCTGCTCATCTTGTCGGCAGCCATTTTATGTCGCCAGTCGTGGCCATTCGTGCATTTACACGCTTGTCACACCACGCGCGGACTTCTATCTCGCTGCCGCATCGCTCTGGCAAGTCGCTTTCAGCCTGCGAGCGCGTGTAACCCTCACTGTTCTAGAGCATTCCTGCACGTGACCTGTGCGGGTTGCCGCGGCCTATATCGCTGCCGCGGGTTGCTCCCGAGTCGCCGCGCCGTCGTGCGAGCAACACTGCATCTCTTACACGCCATCGCGCGAGCAACACTACAACCATGCGCCGCGCCAGCAGCGCCCGCGGCTCGGCCAATTCGTTGGGGAGCGCCGCCAAGGCCGAGTCGTGGCCGACGGCCCACGGCGGCTACCCGAGCGACCGGAAGCGGAGCTTCGGCCAGCGCATGAAGAAGTCGGCCAGCGACGGCGGCGCCCGCATGCGCAAGGCCCTGACATCTCCCTTCCTGCTGCTGAAGAAGACGTTCTCCGGCCGGTCGCATAGGTCGGCGCGAAAGCGTGCACCCACGCCAACGCACGCGCCAGTGCATAAATCAAATTGTCGCGGCGCGTCTCCGCCACTGCTAAAACACCATCAACGCGACGCCAGCTCGATGGCGTGGCGTTGTGGTCTATACCGCTCGTGCACCCGACTCGCTGATTGATTTGCGCACAGGCGCGACCTCAGCGCGGACTTCGAGCGCGAGAGCGAGGGCGACGAGGCGCTCAAGCAGTGCCTGTCCACGAGCGTCGAGTTCGAACCGCCGTCGCCGCCGCCGCCACCGAGGAGCCTCTGGCAGCGGCTGATCGACTGGGTCCTCCTGCTCCTCTGCCGGTTCGTGCCGGCGCTGTGCGACACGACGCCGGAAGTGCCTGTTATTGAGCCGGAGCCCACTATACCAGAGGAACATACGCCTTCTCTGGCCGGGATTCCCGCGGAGCATGTCGCGGGCGTCCGCGAGTTACAAAAGCGCCTCGCGCCCTTCATCAAGGAAGAGGGCGAGGCGGCCTTATCCGAGCCGCTCATGCTGCTGCGGTTCCTCCTTGCGCGGGAATGCGACCCGCAGAAGGCCGCGGCGATGTGGCGCGCGACGCACGCCTGGCGGCGGCTCCACGTGCCGCGCGCCCTCCAAGAACTCGGCTCCTTCTCGAATCCGGACCACCGCCCACTGGACGGCGCGCCGTGCCGCGGCGAGTGGACCTGGCGGCGGTCGGCCGTGGCCGACGTGACGACGGTGCGTGGACGGATCGCGCAGAACGCGGGCACGTCGTCGATCCATCGGGACGTCCTCGCGGACGACGGCGGCGTCACAACGGTGTCGCGGACGGGTAGGTTGGACATGGCCGGCCTCGCAAGGGAGCACGCGCTGGACCCGGTCCTCATGTTCCAGGCGTCGATGCTCGAGGACGTCCTGCAGACGGTGCGGGCCGCGTCGCAGCGCGAGAAACGACTCGTGCGGGCCCACACGATCTTCGACTTGGACGGGCTCTCGGTCATCGCCACGCTACGGCACGTGCGCAAGTTCGGCCCGCCGGCGGCGGCCGTCGCGCAGCGGTACTTCCCCGAGGTCAACTCGTCCACCACAGTGATCAACTCGCCGCGCGGCGTCGAGACGCTCTGGGGCATCGTGTCCCTCTGGCTCGACCAGGCGATGCGGGACAAGGTGTCCTTCCGCGGCCGCCATTTCGCCAAGGCATTGCGCGACCACGCGCGCCTCGACGCCGACGCGGTGTCAAGGTTGCCAAAGTTGCTCGGCGGCGAGGCGTCCAACGACCTGCTGATGCCCTGCCCGCCGTTCTCGAAACACGATCGCGCCGACCTCGCGGCGTGCGGCGAGCCCGTCTTCGTGCACGAGGTGCCGCTCGAAGCAACATTTATGTAAGTGACACTAACTGTATTATAAGTACCAACAACATTACAAATCGCGGTCGTCGTCGAAGAGCCGCCCGAGCGCCTGGGCGTCCTGAGTTACCGCAAAATAGCAAGGGCCCGTCAGACTCGATAGTCCCGGCAGATCCTGGCCGAACGGAAAGTAGTCCGGCGAGTAGTAGTGCCAGCAGCCGAGTTGCATGAACGGGATCTCTGCGAGCGGGCCGGCGACGGCCACAACAACCCCTATGAGGAGCGAGGCGTAGGTCCCGTCGAGCACAATCCATTGGAGCAGCGCCGCCGCGGCGAGCGTTGCGAGAGCGTTGGGCGTCTCCGCTGCTATCAGAATTGCGCTCAACTTGATGACAGAGCAGGTCGCAACGACCGCGGCGATCGTTCTGAGCTTTTGGTCATCAATGAGCGGCGCCGCCGCGGCCCCCGGAGCGACGCGACGAGCGATCGCGGGAAAGACGCCGCCCAGCAACGCATAGGTCAGCGCGAGCAGGGGGGGAATAAGCAACGACGTCTTCGCAATGCCATCGCCGATCGGCAGCACGTCGTATTGCAGCAGCGACTGGTTATGAATCGCGTCGCAGGCCGGGCCCAGCACGGCACCTGTCGCCGCGAGCTTACCTAATGCCGGCGGCTTCATGCCTGTGTGTACGCCACTTGTTTGACGCGCGACGGCTTAATCCGCGAGCGATGGTTAGGTGGCGCGATGCTCTCGCTGTCTCTGGGACGTGACGGCTGTGTTAAAGCAGCCGCCCCGGCGCCTGCATTGATGCGCATTGCTGCGCTGCAGACGTTTGTTGCTGTACAGCTCTTTTTTGTTGGCAATACTCGAAGTTGCACTATTAGAGACGCTGGGTGCCCACCGCCAGCAGCGATGCAGCGATGCAACAAGGGGGTTGGTGTGAAGGCAGCAGCGAGGTTGGCAAGCACACAAGCAGTGCAAGCACCCGAAGCTGCAGAAGCGCGGATCAGTTTCGCAGTGAACCAGTGCTTGTGAATTACGAGGGCAACGCAGCACGTTGCTGACGCTGCGAGCAGCGCGCCGGCTTGCCAATGCCAGCTGTGCTCAGCTCCTGGCAGCCTAGTATGTCGACACGCTAGCTCTTATTTCCGCCCCACTAGTCCTAGCACCGTAACAGATATAACTAAGGGTGATCTTTAGGACTCGCCCCCGGACCGCCACGACGCAATCCGCCCCAGGAGCCCGGGCCGCGCCGGCGGAGGCGGAGGCAGGGGCGGCGGCGGCGGCGGCGGCGGCGGCGGCTCGTCGGCGCGTCGCGGTGCGGGCGGCTCCGCGCGCAGGAGCTTGAGGACGGCCTTCCGCAGGCCCAGCGTGGCGCCCAGCTCCTTAAGGGAGGCGTCGTCGGCGTCGCGGAGGGTCGCCCCGTCAATTTTCCTCTTGATCACGGCGGCGCAGAGCCCGTCGACACCGCCTGGCAGGTCCTGCCGCCTGAGCCACCCCGCGGCGTCCTCTGGGGCAAGCTCGTGCAGAGGCAAAAGGTCTGGCACGGCCAGCTGTTTGCTGATCGCGCGCTCGACGTCGTCCTCGGCCGCCGCGGGGGCCTTGCTGCTGCGACGACGGTAGACGTACATACCGCCGCCCAAAGCGAGCAGCAAGATGACGGCGCCAGCGGCGGCCCCACCGGCCGCCGCCGCGTCCGCGCCGCCGCCGCCCCCGCCGCCGCTACCACCATCTCCTCCGTCACCGCTCGCACCGTCGTCTGCTTCGCTGAGACCGAGCGTGGGCGGATCGTCGTCGCCGGGGGTGCCGGGAGGATCCGCGACGATCTCGACCGCGCTGATGTCCTCGGTTGCAATGGAGTCGACGAGCGTTATCGTCGTGCCCGTTTCCGCCTCGACCTCCGTCGCCGCGGTCTCGACGGCCTCGTCAACGTCCGCCGGCGTCGTGGTCTCCACGACGGCCTCCACCGCCTCTGCCTCAGAGATCGACGGCACCGAGACGTTATAATCGAGGGACACGCCGGCGGCCGTCGGTGCCAGGGAAAAGCCGTCGGCAGCCGTCGGTTCCGAAGCTGCCGTCGCCGTCGGCGTTAGGGATGGCGCCGGCGTCGGCATCTCCCGCGTCGGCGCCGTCGTGGGCGCATAGCTCGCATCCAAGCGCCGGCGCGACCGCCGCGCTCTCCGAATGGCAACCCGCACCCAGCTCTCGTCGACGCCCAAGAGGATGGCGAGCGTCCTGAGGAACACTCGTCGTTCGGCTCGGGCCTCCTCCAAGCTCACGCCAGAAAACGAGATGGCGCCCGTCACGACGTAGGGCAGGGGCGTCGGCGCCGCCGTTGGCGTTGGGGTGGGTCTCGCACTAGGTCTGGGCGTCGGCCGCGGGGAGGGTCGCAGCGTCGGCGTTGGCGTCGGAGCAACGACTGGGCGGGGCACGGGACTCGTTGTCGGAGCGCCGCGCGAGGCGGTAGGCGACGGCGTTGTCGGTTGCGAAGACGGCGACGGCGTCGGGTGCGGCGTCGGCGCGAAGACCGGGCTGGCCGTGGGGCTGCCGGCTGTCGCAGTCGGCGAAGGGCTCGGCCGTGGCGTGGGCCTCGGCGTGGGCTTGAATGATGGTTCTTCCGTGGGTAACGGCGTCGGGATCGGCGTCGGTCGAGGCGTCGGCCTCGCCGTGGGCTTCGGGGACGGCGCCGGCGTCGGTCGAGGCGTGGGCTCGGTCGTGGGCGTCGGCGTCGGCCCAGGCGTCGGCCGCGGCGAGATGGTCGGTCTTAGCGTCGGCGACGGCGTCGGCCGGGGGGTAGGCCTGGGCGTCGGCGCGAAGACTGGCGCGGCCGTGGGGTCGCCAGGCAACGGCGTCGGTGCAGGCGTCGGCTGTGGCGTCGGCCTCGGCGACGGCGAGGGCGATGGCCTGGCCGTCGTCGGCACAGGCGTCGGGCGCGGCGTCGGTCGAGGCGATGGCCTGGCCGTCGTCGGCACAGGCGTGGGCCGCGGCGATGGCATTGGGGTCGGTCTCGGGCTGGGCGCTTTCGACGGTAGAGGCGTCGGCTTAGGCGTAGGTTTCGGCGTCGGCCGCGCGCTGGGCGAGGGCGATGGCCTTGGAGAGGGTCCGGGCGTCAACGGGAAGGTCGGGCGCGGCGTTGGCGCCGGCACAGGCGCAGGTGTCGGCGCAGGCACGGGCGACAAGGTCGGGCGCGGCGTCGGCGCCGGCACAGGCGCAGGTGTCGGCGCAGGCACGGGCGACAAGGTCGGGCGCGGCGTTGGCGCCGGCACAGGCGCTGGCGTCGGCTCCGGCGCGGGCCGGGCCGTAGGGTCGCCCGGCGCGGCGCTGGGAGACGGCGTCGGACGGGGCGTCGGCGCCGGCACGGGTAGGGCTGTCGTGGGACCGTAGGTGGGTTGCGGCGCCGTCGGGAGCTGGCAGACGACCGCGATGTTAGAGTTTGTCGACCACCCGGAGCTGGTAGACTCTTTCCAATCTCCGGACACGTCCGCGAGGTCTTCGTTTGAGACGATATATATGTTCGCAGAGAGCGAGTCGCAGCCGTCCGGGTCTGAGCCGATGACCCAGTAGCCACTATCGTGATACCAGAGGTATGTTGTCCATGCGCAGTCGGAGCATTTGTAGTAAATACGTTCCGTGCATCTGCCTTCAGGTAAGTACGTTCCGTGCCTGCCGGTTTGATCGTTGGAGCCCGACACGGTGACGGAATCACAACCTCCCCGAGGTGTCGGCTGGGGCGTCCACGGCGTCGACGTGTCGCTGTCGTGGCCGTAGAGCTGGAGCGTCCACGATACAAGTACGCCGTCGTCGTCGCCGTCGTCGTCAGCGTAGTTCGAATCGTCGAACTTCCAGTGTTCATCGTCGAACGGCTCGTGGTCGTCGTCGTCGCCCGAGCCCGCGCGTCGGTCGGCGACGCGGAGTGTGAACGCCCCGTCGTCGGCGGTTTCTCCCCAGTGCCGAAGCGTCGTGAACTTGTGGTGCGTGTAGCGCGTACCGAGCGCGAGTTTGTCGTCGGTCAGGAGCGAGGTCACGCCGTTCCGCTCGAGCTCGATCCTGAGATCGCCGCGGCGCGGGTGTTCTAGAGTTACGTAGACCGAGACGCTCTCGATGATAAAGTCCGAGGCGCCCGTGCCGGCGAACTCTGTCGCCGTCGATTCGACCCAGTGCTCGGTGCCGTCGAAGTCGAGCAGCGCCGCGCCGCTCGTCGTCGCCGTCACGAGCGTGATCTCGGCGCCCAGGGTCGCCCATGATTGCGCCGCAATAACAGCAGCGTGCGCGTCGACGAGCCCAAAACCGTACTTGTAGCTATGTTTGACGCCGGCCTGGTTCGTGGTCCACTGGCCGGTCTCGTCGTTCTCGTCGTTATGGTCGGTCCGCGCGGTCGCGGCGAGCACCCCCTGGACATCGCGCCATGTCAAATTGGGGTTCGCCTCCAAAACTAGAGCAACGACTCCGGAGATCAGCGGACACGCGAAGGATGTGCCCTGACCCGCGTCGCCGCAATTGTCGGTGTTGCCGTTCCCGACTGGCTTCGCGACGGCCATGTTCCCGCCGTCCCCGCCAGGCGCGCTGATGAACACGGGGGCGCCACTCGACGAGTAGAGCGAGTGCGTGAGATCTGCGTAGACGGCACCGACGGAAATGGTAAACCGCGAGTTGAGATAGCCCTCATAATTAACGTCATCGCCGAGCTCGTATTCGTTGCCAGCCGAGAAGACGTACACCGTGCCCAGGCCGCCTCGACCGTTTGTCGTGCCGTCGACGAGCTGATCGTGCCCGTAGCTCGAGAGCTGGCCGTAGCCGCACCGGACGAAGTAGTGGTCGAGCTCCAAACAGGGCGTCACGTCGTCATTGAAGTAACTGGTGCAGTAATCCACGACAGCATCCTCGCAATCCGAGTCGAGGTCCCCCGACGCCCAGTCGTCGCCGTCGCACGCGTCGCACGGGCAGTCGTCCGAGCTCACCGAGGGACACTCGAACGGGCAGTCCGTCGACAATCGTCGTCCGTCTTCGATGTACTCGCACTGGTCGATGCCCCAGCTATTTGAACTAATGTCGTTCACATTGTAATTGTGCGTGAGAGAGTCCTCGCTTGCGGCGGGGTTGCAATTGCTGAAGCTTTGGACGCACGACGCGATGCCGGCGCCCGGCGCGACGCCGACGCCGCAGGCCGAGTTCGAGTCGGCGGCCGCGATTGCCGCACAATTTGTCCCGTGCGAGTCAATAACGCCGGCGTCGGGGCCTCTGGCCTTTGCGCACGGGGCATACACGCCGCACGAGTTGGCCACGTCGAGCTTCGCCAGGTCCGGATGCGTGTTGTCGACGCCGTCGTCGTTGATGAGGATCTGCACGCCGCTTCCGTCATAGCCCGCCGCCCACGCCTCGGGCGCGCGGATCGCCTCGAGGTACCACGCAGCGTCGGGGTAGTACGGGTCCGGCACCGGGGGCGCATCGGGGTCTTTGCAGTCGTAGGAGCCACACGTGTGCGTGTCGCCGTCGATGCACGTCGTTTCACAACAATCGCCGCCGTCCCAGCACGGGCTGACGTTGTTCGCGGCGTCGCACTGGCCGTCGCCGACGCTCGCCAGGTCGCTCGCGTCGGCGCAGTCGAAGCACCTATACTTGGCCGTCGTGCCGGGAACTAGCTGACAACTCGCGGCCGCGTAGCACTTGACCGTGATGGCGGAATTTTCTACCCAACCCCCGTCATACTCAGTCCACGAATCGGATACGGCCGCGAGGTCTCCGTCCGTGTCGCGGTTATATATCGACACGTACGTACTCCCGCAACCAGAATCACCAATGTACCAGTATTTATTTGAAGTATACCAGATGTACTGCGTGCTACCGCAGTCGATACACGAAAAGTAAGGCTGAGACTCGCACGTTCCGGTCGCTTCGTAAAAGCCGTGCCTGCTGCTTTGAGCGGTGGAGCCCGACACGGAGACGTAGTCGCAGGCGTCGGAGGAGGATTGCAGGTCCCGGCGCGCGCTGCCGGCGCCGAGGTCCAGAGGCACCGCCGCGAGGTCCGCGCCGCGTACAAGCCACGGCGGCACCGCGCTGTCCTCCCGCTTCGTAAGCGCGGGCACGACGCCACCGGCGTCGCGTCCTGCTGCCATGCTGCCCTCCCAAGCCAAGAGGAGCAGTAGCCGCCGCATCCTTCCTTTCCTTGCTATGAGTTGCTGCCCCCTGGCTCAAACTACCGTGCGCACCGAAGTCTGCACCTTGTGCTCCCAGCAGCGTGCTCCCACTTTGTACGAGCTTGTAGCCGCAGAGCCGCTGCTGCTGGAAGAGCCCCCCTCGCGGCCCGCGAGCCGATCGCAAGTCCTGACCGGAACACCAGTGAGAGGTACTACCGTGCCGCATGAAGTCAACAAAACAGAAACTTACGCCCGCTCCTTGCACACGTCCTCGTAGGGCACGCCCTCCACCACCTCCCCCGACGCCTCGAGCCGGATGCGCGCGGCGAAGGCGCCTAGATCGAGCGCCTCGAGCGTCGCCACTTCGCCTTTGTGCGCGCCGCCGACGACGCGGACGCGCTTGCCGACGGCCGGGATGACGGTCTCGAGCTTGGTCAGAGGAAGCGTCGCCCTAGAACGCCCGTCGAGCGTCTCCACGGCCACTCCATCATTAGAAACGCTTCGCACGACGCACTTGACCTTGTCGAAGGCCCCGCCCTGCAGCGTCTTGCCCGCGCGCGCTTTCACGATGAGCCCGGGCCGCGCCCACGTGTCGTCATCAGAAGAGACTGGTGGTGGTCCGCCGAAGGAGAACGCGACCTTGACATCGCTTTGTAGTGTAGTAGCCTCCGGCGCATCAACGCGACCGACGGCCTCGGCGCGCCGCATGACGTCCGATAGACCGTCGTCGCGCCGTCGTTTCCTCTTCAGCTCATCTTCCACTTGGTTCCAGGCCCGTTTTTGCCCCGGAATTTTACCTCGCAACTCTCGCGCTTCAGAATCAGGTAATGCGGCCCATTCCGCAGCAGGGTCGTCCTCGGTAACGCTCAGGACCCAGCCGTTGCCTTCTCTATCCGCCCACACTTCTCCTCTCTCCCTCAAATCGGCGACGAACCTCCCGAGCGTCCCCCAGCACGTCCGCTTCATGTTCGCGTGAGGCCGGTCGTCCGGGTTGAGCACCCGATAAGCCTCGTGGGCCTTCACTCGTTCTCCCAAGCGATGCGTCGCGAGGTACCTCAAGAAAGAGCGCTCGAACGCCTCCGAGTACTCGTCCGGGCAGTACCTCGCCTCGACGTGGTCGCTGCGCTCGTCCTCCGTCTTTTCCTGTTCTATCGCTCTCGCCAAATGATTGGGATGCTCCAAGTGCATCTTGAAGCCGTTCGCGTCCTTGCACCAGACGCCACACAGGCCGCAGTGCCATCGCAGCTTCGAGAGGCCCTTTTTTTTCCACTGGTTCGCGATCCATTTTGGGGTGCCCTTCTCGGGCTTGGGCATCTTTGTCTGTGTCTTTATCGTTTCAGCGCTGGCTGCGACTGGCGTCTCTGGTGCTGCAGCGCTGGCGCGGCTGGCGTCTCTGGTGGCTCCCCTCAGTGCCAGGGGCTTTTTGGCGGCTCGGCGCGGCTGGCGTCGTGCGTGCCGGTGTTGGGCGCAGCGCAGAGGTCACAGCGTGCGTTTGACCGTCTCTTGCCGATGATTTATAGCGTCGCACGCTGCTTTTGCTCCTTTTTGGTAGGGGGATGCACCCCGCCAGCTGGGGCCGGCGGCCCGCCAGCCAGCCCACAGCTCCGGCCGGAGGGGGAACCCTCCGGCCGGCCCAAATACGTCTCTGTAGAGCTATCCGGCCGGCGGCCCGCCAGAAAAATATCCGGCTGGCGGGCCCGCCGGACCCGCCGGCTCACTTCGAACGGCCTAAAACCCTTATTACGCGCCTCCACTGCGGGAAGCGAGACCCCCTGGCACCCTCGGGCCGCGAATACAACCAAAATAAACCTCCAAAGCGGCGTCTAGGGAGGTATTTCCACACCGACCCGGCGGGCCCGCCGGACGCCCGGAGGGGCCCGCCGGCCCAAGAGCCGGCGGGTCCCGCCGGAGACCTGTGACCCGGCGGGCCCGCCGGCGAAAAATCCGGCTGGCCGGCCGGCGGGGAGCCCGCCAGCTGGCGGGGTGCATCCCCCTACTTTTTGGGCTAGCCTAAGTGTGTTAACGCTAGCGTCGAGTGATTATGCGGATTGCGTTGTCGGCAAATCGACCACGATCGAATCGCCTACGGCCTTAGAGTGAGTCTGACGGCCTCAGACGACGGCTGTCAGACGTAGCACCCGCTTCAAGACACTCGCTCTGCGCCCGGGGCCGTCAGTGGGCGCAAAAAAGCTGCAACAAGTGCCGCTTGTTTGCACTGACTGAGACGCCGGACAAGCATGCCCAACACTCCCGAGCAGCGGAGACAAGCGGCCCCGACAACGCCGGACACGCCAGACACCCCCGAGACTCTGCTGCTCGACGCTGACGCGGAGCTGCGCGCATCGCACCCACGTGCGCCGACGCCAGAGACGGTCCTGACCGGCGCCGACGCCGAGCTGCGCGCAGTCTTGCGCGAGACGCCCCAGCGCGCGCGCGCCGCCGTGCAAGCCGTCGTCGGCCGCATCGTCGACGCGCCCGACGACGAGCGCTTCCAGCGCATCAACTCCGAGTCGCGGACCTTCCGCGAGACGGGACTGGAGGAGGGCCGCGCGCTGCTCGCGGCGCTCGGGTTCGCGGAGGACGGCGCGCACCTCGTCTGGAGCGGTAATTTGGACGTGCTCCGCCGCGTCGACCACCGCATCGCCTTCGGCGCGGCCGCGGTCGCGCTGCCGGGCCTGCCGGAGGACGTCGTGGCCACGAAGATCCTGCCCTACGTCGCGCCGCGCGACGAGGCGATCGAGGCCGGCGACGCCGAGGTCGTGGACCTGCTGGCGCTGGACTCGACGTGCCGCGCGATGCGGCGGCTCGCGGCGCCGCGCTGGCGCCGGAAGCGGCGGGACGTCTGCCGCGCCGTCGGCGCGCGGCGGCTGCTGCGGCGGCGGTGGCGCGCGATCGGCGGCTTCTCGGGCGGCGGGCGCAACCGGGGCCGGCTGCGGGGCCCCTGCCGCGCGGAGGACCTTAGCAGGGTGGAGGTGCTCTGTGGACGACGTTTGCCGCTGGAGTTCCGCCTTAGCGTACTGAGACACCACGACGGCCAGGACTTCGACACCTTCGCGGGATACGGCTGCCTGCTGCCCCTCAACGACATCGCCACGGCTTTACAAAACTACAACTACGAGCGGTCGATTCCATTGACGGGCGAGCTCGACCACGCGCGGCTCTGCCTTGACACCCGCAGCGGCGCGGTCGTCAAGCTCGGCTGGTCGTCGTGGTCGAACGGCGACAACGGTCGCGTCCTCGCGCAGTGGCCGTCGTGGGCCGCCTTCCTAAGACTAGTCTAGCGGACACGATACAGTTAGAGGGGGGGTCACCCGAGGAAGTCGACGACGTTGAGCGCGTGGCGCCCCTCGTCCGTCTCGAGCAACGCCTTTAATGGAGGGAAGAGCGGCAGCTCGGCGAGCTCCTCGCGCGAGCACCAGCGCCACTCCTCGCACTTGTCCGGCTCCTCGACGCGCGCCTCCGTCCTCGCGTCCTTGAGCTTCACGTAGCAGAAGACCGTCACCGAGTGGACGCCGTCCATCTGGGTATTATTCGCCACGAAGGGCAGCGTGCCCGCGGCGCGAGCCTTCGACTCGCCGCGAGTGGGCAGGTCCGAGTCGCTCGGCGCGATGCCCGTCTCCTCGCGCAGCTCCCTTAACGCACAATCCAGGAACTCCTCGCCCTTCTCGAGCCAGCCGCCGGGCAGCGCCCACTGGCCCGCGCCGTGGCTGCCCTTGCGCAGGCCGACGAGGATGCGGAAGTCGGAGACCGTGCCGTTCGCGACGCGCGGCCGGCCCTTCGTGACGACGACGCCGACGCCGACGCCTACTTTTTCTCGCTTGGCTTTCTTCGCGGGTGGCGCGGCGGCAGCCGGGCGCCTTTCAGCCATCTTTTTGTTCTGGAGCTGCCTTTTCGCAATCTCAGAGCGCTGAACTTCTCGAGCGCTGTGCGGCCACTACCAGCTGAACCCCGCGTAAACCTTACTGTTCGCAGGACGCCTGTGGGGTCGGTTAAACCAGCTTGTGCTGCTTTGTTGCTGCTGCTAGTGCCTTACAGGCCGCTAGCGCGCGGTGACGGCCGCAGACCATGCTGCCTCAACCTTCGCGAGAATCAAGAAACAACTTCACTACGCGCTCTGGCCGCCGATCCATTTAATCGCGCAAAACCCGAGACCTAAGCAAAGTTTGGACGGCGCGGGCCGCGCGGCTCCGCAAACGGCCCGTAGGGCTGCCATTGCGCACCATGCGACGGCGGCGGGCAGCCATGCGATGGCTCCTCCTACTGATAACGAGTGCCGCCGCCTCCAATTCATCGATACTGAACTGGCACAGCATACATACAAACGCGACGCGCTGGGCTAATGACAAGCGTGTAAATATAAGAACGCTCAAGAACCAGCAGCAGCACGAATGCGCTAGGATCAAGCCCTTCGTGCCTCCTACGACGACGACGGCCCTGCCGCCGCCCGTCGAAGGCCGCCGCGTCGCGTGGTTCATGTCGATGTCCAAGCCCGACGACGAAGTCAGCGCGACGTACGTCGACTTCGCGCGGGCGGCGACGGCGTCGGCGCGGCTCAATGCGCCGACGCTCTACCCTTTCTTTTTGTATACGTTTTTGCCGCATCAAGACGTCGAGGAGCCAGATGATAGGTTAGTGCGCTTTTTGAAAAGGGCGGGGACGCATGTGCTGAAGTGGCGTCTCAGTTTCTATGCGGACATACCTCTGAAGATCCGAAAGTCGAAGCAGGGCCACGTTTCCGTGGGTGCCTTTGGTAGGTTAGATGTACCTTTGGTTGCGGCTACGGTGCTCAAACCAATCTTCGAGCAGCATAACATCGACAAGACCTACGTGCTATACACGGACACGGACGTTATATTTGCTCGAGATTGGCCCGCGCATAATCAACTCACGGTGTGCCGCGGGTGTCCGCGGGGCTGGCCGAACCCAAAGTGCTGCAAGCACCCCTTGAAGGACGACGAGCCGGCCGTGTTCCTGGCCGGGACCGAAGTTTTCAGTATATGGGGTTTAAATAGTGGCGTCATGTACATGAACGTGCCTAGGATGTTAGCCGATAGAGGTAACTTACTAGATTGGGGCAACGAGAAGGCGTGGCAGTTCATGATGTACGACCAGGGCATGCTCGAGACCTTCTATCGGCAGAAGGTGCGCGCGGAAGAGTTGAGGCGCGACAAGGCGCCTTTTAGGGACGTCTCCGAGGGGAACTGGCACGCGTGGGAGAGCTTTGATGATTTGAAGTACAACGCGCGAGGGTTTATGAGGGTCCCACCGGAACAGCCTTATTTGTGGCACTGGCACGGTTTTAAACCGTATGACGTGGCTTGTTGGCTGTCCGTGCTCGAGCGGGACAGGTGGCACTTCGAGGATAGCGTGCGGGACGCGATCCAGAGGACGAAGAAGGAGAAGCTTTGTAGAGGGTTATTAGGACCGCGCATGGTCGTGCACGAATGTTCGCTGGCCATGTACCTGGATCTGTACGCGTCTCACTTACAACTGTTGGCGGTCGCGGACGCGCTCGCTGCTGAGTAACTTGTGTTTTGTGTGTCAATTGCGTCGACGGCGTCGCGGGCTGCGTTTGCGGGTCGCGTCGACGGCGCGGCGCAGGCGAACAATGCGTCGGGGACACCCGGCCGGGACGTCTGTTAGAGCCAGGCTCTGCGGCGCCGGCGGCTCTCGCGCAGTGTGCTCTTCGCAAAGGCCAAAAATCGACGCGAGGGGGCTAGCCGAAGGACGCCCACAATACAGCGTCACACCCCAGCAGCAAAGACAGCGAAAAACGAGCCGCCGGACATGGAAATCGAGCCGCAGAGCAGCATGGCTCTGCAAGCACCACCGAACGCAAACGCGGTCCCCGCACCCGCCGCAAAAGCGCCAGCGACCCCGCCCGACGTCCCACTCATCATGGCGCCCCCATCGGGCCCCGCGCGCGTCACGCCGGCCTACGCCGCCGCCGACGCCGAACGCGTCACGAAGTTCCCGGCCGAGCCGTGGTGCCTCCCGCCGGACTACGCGCGACCTGCATTACCTCCTCTGCCTCTACTCACGGAACAGCGCCAACCGGCCCAAGCGCTACCGGAACAACGGATGAGTGAATTGTGGCAAATACGTACCCCGAAACCGCCCCAGAAAGCCATAAAGAGACGCCGCATAACAGATATGAAGCCGCCCCCCGCCGTCGGCTCGAAAATCAGGGTGCACACCTTCCCGGAGAACGACGAGTCAAAACCGGCAGAATGGTTTCCTGCCGTCGTCTGCCGCTGCCACCCGCCGCCCAAGAAGAAACGGACCGGTGGAAGTGTGGAGATTATATATGATGAAGATGGAAGCGTGGATTTTCTGGACTGGCCGGAAGACGGCGACGATATAGAAGTCGTGGAAAGTGCCGACTGGGACCCCGACGAGCTCGCGAAGTGGTCGCGCAAAGACAAGCGTCGAGGCCGACGGCCGCCGCCGCCGCCGCCGCCCGAAGATGTGCTGTGTGACATGAACGAGGCCGCCCACCTGATTTATTTCGCTCTGTTGCAGCTGCGGTCCGAGTACGCGGAGATCGTTATCGAGAGTGGTGGTGGTAGGTGCTCTGCATTGAAACGAACGGCTTATGATGTGTTTGACCGGGAATGCGCCTCTATTACTCAATCGGAAGATCTGAAATCGAGCGAGCCGCTCGTCGAGGCGTTCCTGACGGGCCCCTGCGCGCGCGGCGACAAGTGGATGCCCTGGCACTGCGCGCTCGGTGCGCATGAAAGATATCTGTTGGAAGTGGTCCGGCGGCTGCCGCGGCTGTCGGACGAGCTATCTCGATCCGTAGTCACGTTCGCCTTTAGCGGCTCGCGGGACATCGAGTTGTTCGAGACTTTACTCAGACCTCTTTTCGAGCAGCACGCGTCCGAGGAGGACGCGGCGTTAGGCCAGCTGTTAATACAAAAGCCGTTCGAAGCTTTACGGAGAGGCGGCGCCCTCTGCCGGCGCTACGAGGCGTATCGACTGCGGGGCAAGAAGCTCCACACGACGTGCTACCAGTGCCACCCGCCGGCGGGCGCGGCGGGTTCGGAATTTGTCTTTTATATTGTGGACCGCACGGCGCGCTTCGCGGAACTCGGGAGAAGGGTCCACGCGTTCCTCGAGAAAGGCCTCGGGAGGAACTTCTTCGAGTCGGGGCAGCTCGCGAAGGATGCGGTAATAGGCGACGCTTTACGAGTCAAGCTCGAGGGCGAGCTGCTCGCGGAGCGGGAGGTCGGGCCGACCATGGCAAAGATGTTTTTGGTAAGCACGCACCTCGCCTTCCCGCAAGCGCATTTATTAGATGCGTCCTGCGCCGTGGGCGACGGCGCGGAGCAGGCCTTTGATTATTTGTATCCTCATGTCCAGGCGCGCGCGCGGTCGGCGCACCGCGCGGTGTTGTTGGATGCGCTGACGGCGCAGTTGGACGAGGAGGCGTTGGATCGGCTCGAGCCTAGATTGAGGCCCATGCTGCGCTTCGTCGGTGGCGCGGCGCGGGCGCGCTTCGGGCTTTGTGTGGAGCAGGTTTCGGATTCTGTGACGCCCTTCGACCTGCAGGTCCATTTGTGCGAGTGGCGCAAGTTCCGGACGCGCGTCGACCGCATGCGGCTGTGTCGGCGCGGGTCCGTCCTGGACCGCACACGGGCGCTGCGGGCCGTCGAGGCCGCGCGGCGGACTCGTAAGTCGCCGTCGGGGCGCGGCTAGTTTTTGTTGTTCTCGTTCGTTCGTAAGTCATTCGTTATATTCTTAAGGCGGGGCGACGGCACTAGTCCTCCCAGAGCGTCTTGACCGGCGAAGAACAGGCGACCTCCGCGGCGGCGAGGACGCAGCGCTCGACGTCGGCGCGGACCTCGTCGATGGGCCGCGCGGCGTCGATCTTGCGCCAGCACGGCGTCACGAGTTTGCCAAAGTTCGCCGCGACGCGGACCTGCATGTCCGAGACCTCGTAGCGCTCGTTGCCGAAGCCCGACCTCGCCTCGGCCTTCTCCGGCGGGATCTCGAGGAACACGACGACGTCCGGCGCCGGGAGGCCCGCGTCCGGCGCCTTGCACCAGTCCAAATCGTCGATCGACTCTTTCGCCGCGGAGAAGGCGACGCCCGAGAACGCGTAGCGGTCGCAGACCACGTCGACGCCGCTCTCCAGCAGGTCCTTGATCGATTGCGCCGCCTCCCAGCGGTTCGCCGAGAACATGAGGTGCACAGCTCTATCGTCGAGCTCGACCTCCTTCCGCAGGTACTTGTCGATGAGCTGGCCGACGCCCGTCGTCCGGTCCGGGAAGTTGATGAGCGTCGCCTCGCGGCCCCGCTTCCGCAACCCCTCGGCGAGGAGCTTGCACTGCGTGCTCTTGCCGGCCCTATCAACGCCCTCGAACACCACAAAGGTGCCGCGCGCCGGCGGCTTTGAGGCAGCGACGGCCGACATGGTCAGGAAGCGCTTGAAAATCGTCTTGGCTGCGCGTTTTCCTCGCTTACGGCTGCGCGGGGTCAAAGACTACGTAAAAACCAGCGGAGCTGTACCGCTGCCGATGCCTAAGCGACCGCAATATTCAAACTGGCCTGTGCCTGCCGATTGCTAGTGTCCTTCATTCCGCTAGCAAGCTCGGGATTAGCAAAAAAAGCAGCTAAAACGGCACTTGCCATCGTAGAACCACGGAGACGATTGCAGTCCATCGCCAGTTGCCGCAGCGGTGCAAAAAAACAGCCCTGATCCGCGCAAGTATGAGTTTTGGTAAGCACCAGTGAGGCTGCCGCCAATATGAAGCGGCTGCTGCTCCTTAGCCTGGGCGCAGCGGTGGCGCGGCCGCCCTTGACCGTAGCCGTCGTCGCGTGCTCCATGCACTACCGCGACTTCTTTGATAATTGGGCGGCGCAGCTCGGGAACCTCGGCCTCGAGCAAGAGATCGGCGTCGTCGCCATCGCCGAGGACGCGGACATTGTAGATCACTTGCAACAGTGGCGTAAAAGCGCACCACCGGGCACGTATCGGCGCGTGGCGCAGTCGCGCGACACGCGGCCGCTCGCGCGCGGCGAGCTCGGCTTCTACACGGACGGCTTCGCGCAGCTGATGAGCCGGCGCGCGCGGCACCTCATCGGCGCCCACGCGGCGCTGCGGCGCCAGTGGGGCGACGACCCGCGCGCGCGGCTGATCTTCACGGACTTGGACGTGTTCTGGCTCAAGGACCCGCGGCCCTACTTTACGGGAGACTGCGCCGCGTGGGCGCAGACGCAGCACCGCGAGAAGGGCTTGCTGAACCCCGGCTTCCTGGTCCTGACGCCGACGGACGCCGCGGCGAAGCTGTTGAAAACGTGGGCCGCGCTCCTCGCGAAGGAGCCCGGGCGCAACCTGCCGCTCTTCAACCGCGCCCACCAGGCGCTGCAACGGCCGCCGCTCTTCAAGCCGGTGACCTGCGCCCTCGATTCCGAGGTCTTCGTCTCGGCGAAGCGCAGCTTCTTCCGGCGGCGCTGGTCGGCGCGGGACCCAGGAACGGTGGTGGTGGCCCACGCGAACTGGATAGATGGGCATGACGCGAAGCACAGGGCGTTCGTCGAGAAGGGGCTGTGGGTTTTGTAAGTTTCTGTTGTTGTGACTCGCGTCGACGGCGTTGATCATAGGCATCCATCGAGACCAATCGTTCACCCAAAACGGCCGAGGAGCATACCCTCGCGCCTCGCGGAAGTTTCGCGGCGCGGCACTATCGCAGGAGGGCAGCACTGTGCGGTCCGCAGGAAAAATAGAACCTAGTGTATCGACATACTAGCAAATTCAGAGATACGCCTCGATAGCGTCGAAAGAATGGCCAAAATTCAGAATACACCCTAGTCGTTCGCCGCGACCAAATATTTCAGAGTAGCGGCCCGGGAACATACACTCGCGCCTCCCGGAAGGCAGCGCCCGCGACATTCGCGGATGAGACTTACGGGTCGCCAAAATACACCAGCGATTGACGACGCCATCTACTATCCAAATAATACATCATATCAACTCCAGCCCAGTTTTCATCCACACTCGACGGAACCGGAGCCGACGGCGCGCGCTCGGAGGGCGGGAAAAGAATTCTACTAGACAACTCCCGAGTTTATGTTCGTTTCCTTCCGTTTGTTAGTGGTAGAGTCCATCTAGCCCGCATCAGCACCCACTGAGCTATCTGAGATATTCCGTTAGAGCCGCGCGATTCGTCAACTTCGAGCCCACGCGTTTGTACAAAGACAGGCGAAGAGCATGAACCTGCGAGTATCAGCGACGCCACCATCCAGATGGACCAAAACGCCGTTGTTCTATTCACAATCGACCGACTTGCCCGTTCTCCGCGGACGACGGTGCGTACGCGGGGCACTGGAAAGGCCCCAGACCGATGGTTTATAAAGTAAATTTGCGTTTCAGGCGCTTCGGCTTGGGGACGGGCCAGATAACCGGCCTGGGCGTGTACTACATTTGATTAACGGTTCCGTATACTCCGGGCGCCTCGGCCCAATCGCGGCCTCAACATCTCGCTAATATGAGCAAAAAAACCAGACCTGCGACCATCAGCCCGTGTACCATCACCATGGACCATGACGCGATCATTTGCTTTATGATCGACCGACTTGCGCGAGGTCCAGATGCAGATGTTCACGTCCCGAGCGTGGGCAGCCCAAAGCACCCTTCTCGGCGTGTAGATGTCATATACTTGTAATTGACTATCGGTGGGGTAGTATGGGGCCCAACGAGACCGCTACGGCGACTACTGGGGGCCCTCGGGTAATTGACGTTTTTGACGGGAACGGGGCGCCATCGGGTCCAAATTGCACACTTTTTTCGGGGGCAGGTCGGCTCCTGGAGGTCTCGTGGGGTAGGTCTGGTAGTGGGTAAGCGCCTGCACCGCATACGCCATCGATGCGGCAGTCTAGTGCTCTCCGAGAGCCCTGGAAGCAAACCATGCCAAAAGATGGCTAAACCGAGTGGTCTGCTGAGAGAAATCGACCAAAAATGATTGAAGCGGCGGCGTATGCGGTGTAGGCGCTTGCACGTGTATAGTACCGACCCTAGGCCACCTCAGGGAGACCTGTTTGACAGGGATTGACAGGATTCCACTGGCGCGGCCGCCATAGACCGTAGGGCGCCCTCGGCCGCGAATTAAAAAAATTCCTTTTTCGGCCCCTGGGACGTGTCCCATTGATCTCCTTGGACCATTAGCGAACCGAACGGTACTCAAACGGCCGCATTCGCGTTCCGGGTTTGGCTTGCTAGTGTCTCACATGCCGCTAGCGCGTTTTGGTTTTCACACGTTTTGGCTGCCATACGCACAGCATCGATGCTCTGTCGCCGCAGGCGCATCGCAGTGGTCGCGTGCTAGCCACGCGGAGCTGCGAAAGGAGAGAAACGCATCTCTACGGCCGTTTCCGGCTTTCTAGCTTGATTAAGGAGGCAGTGTGATTGCGTGCTGCTACGCCGTACGGGAGCAAGCAAGCACCGACGCGTTTGCTGCACTGGAGCTCAGCCAGCTTGCTATGCCCTAAAAAAACCAAAATGAGTCGCACCGCGACGCTGAAGAAACTGCTCGGCGACGACTGGTCGCTCGAGTTCGTCGACGCCGACGGGGACTGCTTTTTTGCTTGTGTGTCCAAGGCCTTCGACGGCGACCCGACGACGCAGGACCTCCGCGACGTCGTCGCCGACGCGTGCGACGACGAGACGTTGGAGTCGTTTCGCGCCGCGCGCGCGGCGGGGCTCGAGGACTACGATTTCGTCGACGACTGCGACGATTTGGACGCGCTGCGCGCGCGCCTGCGAATACCGGGCGGAGCAGCCGGGTGCGTTTGGGCCGATGACTTCGCCCTGCGGACCATCGCAGCTCATCAAAAGGTCGGGTTTGCGATCCTCGACGAGGCCGCGCGCGGGGCAGGGCGCTTTGTGGTGATCGATCCGCAGAATATCATGATTATTCTACAACGGACGCGGCGCCAGCACTACAACCTCGTCGTCCGCGGCCATTCGTACACGTTCAGCCGCGACGAGATCGACGTGCACTGGGCCGTGCGCGGCGACGCCGACGAGGCGCCGCGCGCGAAGAGGGCGAGGAGGACGAGGGAGAAGTAAGTGTTGTTCATTGTACACGATACATATCACACTAGTGCGGGGCCTTTCCGTACGTAGGGGAAATACGGATCGTCCAGCATGGCGCCCAGATACGCGTTCGGCTTGAGCGTCGCGCGGCACCGCTCCGCGTCCGCGACGTAGTTCGCCGTCGCGCCGGGCGAGTCGTGGGTCGTATCGGCGGTGATGGTCGCACGCCGATCCAAGTTGAGAAAGTCCAGCACCGCCGCGAGCTCCTTCCGCTGCCGCGGCGAGCCGTCCTTGATGGCCTCGTAGGGCACCCAGAGCGCGCGCGTCCGCGTCCCGAGCGTGGCCTGTGTGGAAATCAATTTACGGCGCGTTCGTCCTGAATCGCCGCGTCGACCTCCACGCCATCGACACGAAACCTGCTCGATGGCGTGGCGATGTCGGTTCCTCACCGCTCGACCGAGCCAGGACGGCGGCGTCATCGCCGAGAAATGACTAAGTGAAGAATTGTCGGGTGCACCCGACGCACCGGTTGATTTCCACACAGAGCGAGGCGCACTCGCCGTGGAACTGGCGCACGTGCTCGAGCGTTTCGTTGGCGATTTTCGAAAGGCCGCGCCGCGAGCAGTCGAGGGGCACCGTGAAGGTGGCCGCGCGCGTCGCGGCGGCGGAGACGGCGGCCGCCCAGGTGGTGTTATCCACGGCCTTCGGTAGCGCGTGCTTCAGCTGGTCGGGCGCGTCGAGCAGCCCTGCCAATATCGTCGACGCCTGCCCTCCGCTCAGCTCGGCCCGGAATTGCGCAATAGATTCATTCTTCGCAACGCCGCGGATCACGTCGTCTCGGGCGAGTGCGCCGTCGCCCAGCAGCGCGAAGACCTCGAGCGCCTTCGCGCGCACCTCGTCGTAGAACGCGTTGATCACCAGCTTGCGCGCCCGCGAGATCTCCCAGGCGAGCCCGTTCAGGCGCGCGAGGCAGATGACGCGCACGCCCGCGCCCCGCCACACGTCCGCGAGGGCCGCCGTCGAAGCGTCGTCGTAGACGGGCGTCGGCCGGTAGCGCCGCGCCGCGGGGTCCCACACGCAGCTCTTCGCGGTCTTGAAGCCGACAGCTTTGGGCCGGCCCCGGTGGTGGGGCGTGCGCCGAATTGCGATCGCCTCGGCTTTGCTGAGTAGCGCCTCGACGCGCTCGGCGACCGTCGCGTTCGGCAGCTCGTCCTTGAGCCGCGCGTCGTTCCCCTCCATGAGCATGTGCACGATGCCGGGGCGGTAGCTCCTGAGCTGGCTCCAGAGCATCTTCGAGCCGACGCGCGGCGCCATCATCAAAACGGCAAAGCGCGTCGGGTGCCGCCGCATCGCCTCGCGGGCCGCCTTCCTGTCGCCGCTCGTGAGTTCCAACACGTTGTCCGGTGCGGTGGGACCGAACGCGGCGAGGTCGGGGACACCGCCTACCACCTTGAGTAGGAGTAGGACGCCGCCGAGGCGCATGCTGCCCAGCTCACGGCGTCATGGCGCATCGATGCATTGTGGTGAAGCAGCACACCACCCCGGGCTGCCCTTGCGTGATTAAGGCAACTGGATTAAGGCATGAAAAAAATGGGAATTAAAAAATCGAGCTAGCGGCCTGTACTTACAGGTAAGACACTAGCAAGAACTAAAAAAATCGGAAGCGGATCCGCTGCAGAGACATTGCCAGAGGAACAGGGGCAGCCTGACCTCAGAGTGAGGGAAAACGCTGCCAGCCAGAGCGAGGCCGCCCGCCAGGGCAGCGGTCCGCGGTCCATGAGCAGCAATCATGATGGGCTTTATAGAGCCAGAGCAAGCAGAGCAAGCGCCGGCGGCGATATCTATGGAGCAGGAGCCAGCGGTGGCGGCGGAGGGCGAGGCGGCGCCGCGGGAAGAAGAAGTCATGCCGGAGGGGACGGCGGAAGCAGAGACCGGCGGCGTCGTGCTCGGAGAGGGCCCGGCGCTCACGAACAAGACGCTGCGAAAACGGGTGGCGCGCTGGTGCGGCGGCGACCGCGAGGGCCTGCCACACATTTCGACCTGGAATACGAGCCGGGTCTCTGACATGAGCAAGCTCTTCGAGAATCAGCGGGCCTTCAACGACGACATCGGTACGTGGGACACCTCCGGCGTCACGTCGATGAAGTGGATGTTCATGGGCGCCTCGTCGTTCAATCAACCGATCGGCAACTGGCGGGTCGACAAGGTCACGAATATGAGCTCGATGTTCCACGGCGCCAAGTCGTTCAACCAGCCGCTGAACGACTGGCGGGTCGACAACGTCACGACTATGCACTGCATGTTCCTCTGCGCCAGGTCGTTCAACCAGCCGCTGAACGACTGGCGGGTCGACAACGTCACGAGTATGGGCTCGATGTTCTACAGCGCCTCGGCGTTCAACCAGCCGCTCGGCGACTGGCAACTTAGGCCAGACTGCGATACTTGCAACATGTTTGGCCACCCAGACTACAATATATGCACGACCTTCCAGAACAGCCGCCCAGTGAAGAAGACGCGCAACATGTTTGGCGGCACGACCTTCCAGAACAGCCGCCCAGTGAAGAAGACGTCCCGGGAGACGTGCTGCGCCATCTCGTAAACTCGCTCGCTTCCGCCTGGGGATTCGTAACAACGATTACTAGTAAACTACACAAGTACTTACCCCTCCTCCGCGGCGGCGGCGGCGAGCGCGGGCTCCTCGGGCACGGCCTCGGGCACGGCCGCGCGGCTCGGCTCGCCGACCGTCGTGCTCAGGAAGAGCGACGTGTTCTGGCACGCGTCGAACCGCGGCGGCCGCTCGGCGGAGCCCAGGACCACGGTGACGTTGTGGATGCCCATCTGGAGGTGGCCCAGGCCGTAGGTGAGCCGCGAGAGCTCGAGGTCGCCGGCCTCGGTCTTGCCGGCGCGCGGCATGGTCAGGTTCTGCTCGAGGAGGCGCGTGCCGTCGAGCCAGATCTCGACGCCGACCGTCGTCGCCGACGCCCGCCGCGTCAGGTCCTCGGAGAGGCGCCACTCGAGGACCTCGGACGTCGCGAGCTTCTCGCGCTCGGGCTGCAGGATCTCGAAGCGCAGCGGCGGCGGCGGCACGGCGTGGAAGCGCTCCCGCGAGAAGTCGTGCGGCGTCCGCAGGACGTAGAGCAGGGCCGGCAGGAACCAGACGCACGTCATGAGGACGATCGACGCGACGCCCGCGACGCGCTCGCGGAGGTCGCCCGCGTAGTCGACGAAGCCGTCGTCGGCCGCGGCCTTCTTCCGCCGGGCCTTCGACGGCTTTTGCTTCGGCGAATTGTCCTTCGGCGGCGGCGGCGGCGGCGCCTCGGGCTTGCGCCGCCGCACTTCCGGCGGCGGCGGCGCCTCCTCCTTGGCGTCGTCGAGGCCCGTGAAGACGTTGCGGCCGGCCTCGTTCCGGCGCTGCGCCTCGCGACGCTTCCGCGCGTTCGCGCGCGCCGTCTCGGGCGACACGGCGCCGTGGCCCCGTCTACTCTTCACGACCTTCATGCCGTCGTCGCGCGCGGGCATGGCGCGCGGCGCGGCCTCGGTGACGCCGGGCCACTCCTCGACCTGCGCGACGGGAACGCGGCTTCGCGACCGGTCGAAGGGACGTGTACGGACGCAGAGCGGCACGTGGGGCGAGAAGCTCACGCGCTTCTTCGGCGACGGCTTCGGCGGCGAGGCCTTGGGCGGCGTGACGTCGCGCACGCCGGGCCACGACTCGCCGCCGGCGCGCTCGGGCGTCGCGGGCGGCGTCCGTTCCGGCGACGGCGACGGCGGCGCCGCGTTCTGCCAGGCCGCGCGGCGCGGCAGCGGCGCCGACGGCGGCCGCGGCGGCGGCGCGTGCGCGTCGCGCACGCTCCGCGCGGGCGGCGGGTCCCGCAGCTCCGGCTCGGCGGCGGGCGGCGCCCGGACCCTGGCGTTCGCAGTCCAGCTCGAGGGCGGGTGCGGCGGCGGCGGCGGCGGCGCGAGCTTCGCCTCGAGTGCGGCGAGCTGCGCCTCCTGCGTCGCGTTCAGTGCTTTGGTCGCCTCGAGCTTGCGCAGGAAGGCGTGGACCTTCCGCTCGCCCGCCGTGAGCGCCGGCGGCGTCTCTTCCACGGGTTTTTCGAGCGCCGGGTAGTCGTCCTTCGCCGCCGCGGCGTCGTCGCATTCGTCGAGCTCCGGGTGGCCGAGCGACGGCGGCGGCGGCGGCGCGGCGCGGGCGGCGGCGGCGGCCGCGCTGCGCGGCGAGGCGCACTTCTTCGCCTCTTCCATCAGCAGTTTGGCTGCGTTTGAGCGTCGATGGGCAGCCTTTTGCGACACGCGGAGACAGGGGGGCTTGCTAGTGTCTTACTGTCGCTAGCTAACTCCGGTTCGCGTCTCGGCATCTCTACGCAGAACGACGCCCCCACAGAATGTTCTGAGAGCAATGCTGCCACCAAGGGTCTGCCCACTGCTCCTGCTCTTGCTGCACTGTGCAGCCCTGAGGCCCGCATCCTTGAATTTGGGCGTGACCGCTCGCTCCCTTGTCGACAGCTACCGAACGTATCGCTCCGACGGCAGGGTCGAGCCCTTGGAAGAGTTCGTCGCGAGTGCCGTGGCCGCATTTCGTCATGAATTCTCGCTGGACGTGGTGCTCATGGAGCTCGACCTCGCCGAGGAGGCGTCTTCGGAGGACCGCACCGCGCGACGCGACTGGCTGAGGACGGTGCGCACGACGCTAACGACAGTTGACGCCCTTGGCGACGACGCCGCGGCCACACCGACCGACGCGCTCGCCGAACGCGTCGCGACCGTCGTCGCGGCGGCGTCCGAGAACGGGCTGCAGCTCGACCGACGAATAGCAGCCGCGCCCGTCGACGAGGAGGCGTCGGCCGTGCCCGTCGATCATCTCGTGCTCCTGACGCTCCAAGCGTGGTGCAACCACGAGGGCGAGGAGAACGAGCCGGGCGCGACGTGATGACCCCGTCGCACATACTGTTGTTTAAACTGTTTAGTTGTATTTCATCGTGGGCTAGTTCAACGGGGAGTTCATCCAGGACGAGAGAGTATCCGAGTGGTAATTATGTTTTCACAAACTTAGGGGACAGGGGGATCACGCGCAGCGCGCGAGGGCCAGGAGCGCGAGGCCGGCGGTGTCGACGTCGTCCTCCTCGACGAACACGAGCTTGCGCGCCGGCGTCGCTTGGCCGCCGCCGGGGAATTTCGATCCTCTAGGCAGGTGGCGCGGCGGCCGGCGCTCGCGCTGGCCGCGGCGCGGTGCGAACGGCGCAACCGGTGTGAGGCGCGGCGCGTCCGGCGTCGTGAGGAGGAGCGGCGCCATGATCGATGGCGATGTCGGCTTCAGCTTCGGCGTCTGCGGCGGCGCGACGCCGACGGGCGGCTCCCATGCGCAGGGCACCAATTGTTGCGCACTGTCGAGATACGTGGGCTGGACCAAGACCAACCCCGGCGTGATCGCGCGCGGCACGCGCCAGACCATGGCCATCGCTGCGGCTGCCCGCGCTCGGCTTGTTTTCTAATGTGACCTGCGCACCTGTGTGCTTTTGACAGAATTGACCCGACCGGGTTCCTTCCCGAGCCTTCGCACTATCTCGGGAGCGCTCCCGGGGCGGGTCTTCCCCGCTCTCACGTGTATAAGCTATCGAGGAGAAGCGTGGTTAGCTAGCGGCTTGTAAGACACTAGGCACCCCTGGCCCAGCAATCTCAGCTCGAGCGCGGGCGGGGCGATACGGATGCATTTGCCCACGCGCAAGTGCTGGTTGCATCAATGCCGAGCCGTGCCAGCATGCTGCTGATCTACGCACGCGCGTGTGGAGCGCTGCACCAGTTTACAAGATGCACTGGCAGACGCCAGCTTGCGCAACGCGCCTCAACGATCGCCTCTGAAACGGATGCCGTCGAATACGTCGTGAAACGATCGCGCTTCGTCGCGCACGCGGCTCCTTGTACTTCGTTCGACGAGGCCGAAGGCTTCCTCGCGAGGCATCGCGACGACAAAGCGCGGCACAACTGCTGGGCCTGGGTCGGCGCCACGTCGGCGCGCATGAGCGACGACGGCGAGCCGACCGGGACGGCTGCAGCTCCGATCCGTGCTGCCATCGAGGGCGCTGAATTCGTCGACTGCGCGGTGATCGTCACGCGCTACAAGGCCTCGACAGCGCCGAAGCTCGGCGCCGGAGGCTTGATCCGTGCCTACGGCCAAGCCGCGAGGGATTGCTTAAAAACTGCCGTCGCCGCGCCCGCCGCGCCGCCACGAATAGCCATCGACCTCGTCGTGGCGCCGGAGGCGTACGGCGGCGTGCGGGGGCTGCTATCGGCGTGGTCACACCGCGGCGTCACCGTCGCGAGCGAGGACTACCGCGACGACGGAGCAGCGCTGATCGAGCTGACGCTCGACGACGCCGACGTCCGCGCGCCCTTTCTGCGCGAGGCGGAAGCCGCGGGGGCATCGATACGTGATGACGATTCATAATGTTAACTTTTAAACTAACGCATACTCCTCGTCGGGCTATCGGCTCGCCTCCCCACACAGAGCAGAGTGCTGGCAGACTAGGGAGTTTACGCTAGCCGTTTTACTGGCACTAGGACTTACAGGCTGCACTCGAGTGCCAAGCTTTCACTCAGATTGGCACTCGAGTGCCAAGCGCCGAGGGGCAGCCCCGGCTGGGCCCCGGCAGTCGGACGACGCATTGCAAAAAACGCGGCAGCAAACGCGGCCTTTCTCGCCGAGAAAACGGCCAAAAACCATGCAAAATGACCTACGATCGTCTCTTTTGGCGCCGTTTCGAGCCGATCGGGCCACCGCAGCGTCGGACATCGTTCACCACGTGGCCGACGACGATCTGAGACGAAGTTCGGCAGCAGCGGCTCGTAAGATGTCGGTCTATGTGTGGTCCGCGTTTCTCGCCGGGACGCGGTTTCGGGCAAAAATCGCGCCGTCGGTCGCGAGATTTGGCAGGGACCCTCCCAGTCACCACGGCGCGTGCGCGCGGGGGTTGGTCGCGGAAAATCGGCGCCCGAAGCGGCCCAATGCCCGCCAGGCACAACTTTCCCAGCCTGGCCGTTCTTGGGGCCCGCCGCATCATTTGCGGCCGGCTCTTCGGCGCACAGGCTAGTCGAGCGAAATGGAGCTCGCCAACGACGAGCGGCCCGACCTTCCGCTGCCCCCCCGCGCGGCAGATGTAGTGCCAATTCCAGTAAAAGCGCTAGCGTAAACTCCCTACTGCCAGAGCTGCCCATGCGCAAAGGCAGTACCAGGCTGCCCACATTTTGAAGGACAAGGGACCATGGTCGACGATGCCGCCGCAGCGGCGTACCGTAGATACCAAGAGGAGGAGTACGAGAGGCGCATCCTCCAGCAAATCAGGGAGAGGCCGTCAAACATCATACGAATACGGACGTTCGAAGAAGCCAAAGATCGATGGCGCGCGGCCGACGGGACGAGCGAAGGCATCACGGAGCGCATCGACAATGAGGCACAGGGCGTGCTTCGCAAGCACGTCCTAAGCCTGAACCGCATCCGCCGCGAGGAGGTCGAGGCTATGCGCGGGCAAAGCACCGCGCCGCCCATCAAACGCTGGATGCGGAACGGCGTCAACCGCGTCGCGTTGTCGCGGATCCGACCACGGCGGCGTAGTAACGACGCCGAGTGTGCGATATGCCTCGAGTTGTTGCGCGGAGACACGACGAGGACCCCGTGCGGCCACGAGTTCTGCGAAACGTGCCTCGAAGCCGCCTTCTGCAAATCGGTGACGTGTCCGATGTGTCGCGCGGACTGCCGGGCCTTCGCAAGGGAGCGGGGCTGGGCGGTCGAAAGGCAGCCCCCAGTCACGTTCGCTCCCCGCCGGCAACGGCTCCCCCCGGTCCTGCCGCCGGCCTCCTCACGCAAGGACCCGCTCCGCGCCATAAAAGGCCTCGAACGAGCACATAGAGAAACAACACGCAGCATCAGCACCCTGGCGACCGACGTGGCCGATGCGTCACGGCGAGGTGACGTGCTTCGGAAGAAGCTGAGCGCCCTCCGGCGCTCGCACGCGGCGGCGAGGATTTTGTTCTCGAAGCCCCTCGCGGGGCCATCATCGGTGGGGCCGGTCGGCGGGGGATGAGTAATAGCCAAAGGATGCACCCCCGGTCAACGACGGGCCCGGGGGGTGCTACGACTACGACTCTAATTCTTGGTAGTAGTGTAATGCGGGGGAGCCTAGGACTGCGTGCACTCCTGCGTCCCCTCCGCGGGTTGCTGCGCCTCGACGCCGGGCGACGCCTTGACCGCCGAGAGCTTGGCCGCGACGGGCGACGGCCCCGGCGGCGCGTTCTCGTCGCCGACGTCGCCAGAGACAGCTACCGGCGACGCCGCGAGGCGCGCCTGCGACGCCTTGAGCGCCTTGACTTCCAACATGAGGTCCAGGTTCTCCTGCTCGAGGAACTCGATCTTGTCGTGGAGCGCATCCGTCTCGCGCAGCGCGCGGCGCCCGCCGGGCGTGCGGATCTTGGACATGGACTGCTCCGCGCGCGCCGCGCGCGCCTCGAGGCGCGCGGCGCGCTCCGTCGCGGCCTTGCAGGCCGCGTCGGCGGCGGCGCAGCGTGCTGCCAGTTCCGTGTCCTCGCGGGCCTCCTTCGGCGACGCCGACGCCGCCTCGAGGGCCGCGACGCGCGTTCTTAGTTCTTTCGCCTCGGCGAGGGCCCTCTCCTTGTCCGTCCTCAGCTTCTGGATCTGCGCGAAGATGGCCGTCGTCATCTTGACCTTCTCGAGGCGCGCGATGCGCTCGTCCTTCGACTTTAAGATGGATGCGTGGGCGGCCTGGGTTTGGGCCGCGGCCTCGTCGGCCTTCTTCGACAGCGCGTCGCGTTCCGATTCGGCCTCGCGCGCGACCTCGCGCTCGACCTCGAGCTGCCTTCGCAGTTCCGCGATGGTGGCGTCGGTCTCGTCCGCGGCCTCGCAGGCCCGGGCTTCGGCCGCGTCGCGCGCCTGCTGGCGCTCGCGCTCGATCTGCGTCCTTAATTCGTCGCACTCGGTTTGTAGAGAATCGCGCTCGCCGCGCACGCCGTCTGATTCAGTACGCTCCTCGTCTCGCAAAGCCTCGACGGAGGCTCGGGACGCTTCGGCCGCCGCGGCGGCCTCCTCGGCGCGCGCGGTCGCGGCCCGGGCCTCGTCTAATTCTTCCCGCGACCGCCGCAACACGGCCTCATTTTCCGCCTCGGCCGCCTGCCGCGCCTCGTCCGCCGCGGCCGCCGCGTCCGCGAGCTGGCGGTCGGCTTCGGCCCTCGCTTCGGACGCCGCGTCAATCTTAGCTTGCAACGCCTCGATCGTCGCCTGGCTCTCGGCGTCCCTGGTCATTTTGGCGTTCTCGCGTTCGGAAGCGAGCTCTTCTTGTAGAGCGTCGCGCGCGGCTTCCGCTTCACTAAGCTGGGCCTTCACGGCATCGAGGCTTTCCTCCACCAAAACCTTCTCCGCGTGGCTCGCCTCGTTCAAGCGGCGCAGCTCAGCGACTTCCTGTTTCAATGAATCCACCTCCGTAGCGTGGGCCTCGGCCCGTTCGCCGGCCTCGGCCTCGGCCGCGGCCAACCTTTCTTTGAGTGCTTCGGCCGCACTTTCGATCTTCGTCCGCTCGCCCTCGACCTCCTCCGCCACCTCCTTCTCGACCTCCAATTGCCTTCTCAATTCAGACACGGTCTCGTCGGCGTCCTGGGACACGGCGAGCGTCTCGTCGGCGGCTCTCTGGAGTCGCGCCCTTACGGCCGCTTCCAAATTATCTGAAGTAGGCGGGTCCAGCGCCGGCAGCCCTCGAGCTTCGGCCTCCCTATCATCGTCGCGGCAGGCCCCCAGGACCCCATCCTCAGATGGAGGCGGCGGCGGCGGCTCGTCCTCCTCCTCGACGACGGGCTCCGCGGCCTTCTTCTGGGCCCGCAGCTGCGCGAAGGACGGGATCTGGGGCAACCTCGAATCGTCCTCCGGTCTAAAACCGCGGGCACCGACGGCGCACGTCGCGCGGCGCCGCCTCCTCGGCTTGGTCGGTTGCTGGCTCGTGCCGCCGACGCAGATCATTTTGGTAAGCTCCGTCATCTTGGCCGCTCTCTGAGCTAGGTCCGCCTCGAGCTTCTCGTTCTTCTCGAGGAGATCAGCCAGCTCCTCCGTCTTGCCCGACGCCTGGTCGCGCTCGTGCTGTTCTTGCTTCGCTAGTAACTCGGCCAGCTGGCGCTTCACACGGCGTAATTGGGACGCGTCGTCCAGAATCTCGTGGACCACGGGCTTCAGCGTGACGCGCGCCGCCCGCGACCCGAACTGCAAGGTAGATCTCGTTTCCTCAACGTAGTTGCACGACGGCGCGACGCAGCAGACCATGGCCAACTGCGCTTTTCCCGATAAAGTAGGCTGCAATAACCGCGTCAGGCGCGAGTCCCGAAAATTGACAAAGTTCTCCTTGCCCTTCTCGCCCAATTGCTGGACCACTCGAGATAAAGTTAAGAGAGACTGGTTGATCTTGCCGCCCTCCTTCTGGCGCACGCCCGTCGCGCCCGTCAATCGTACGGATTCCGAGCCGGCGAGATCCACCAACGAAATCGCCCCCACGAGGACGCCGTGGTCCTCGGCGCACTCGCGCGGCCGCGACTCGACGACGATCCTAAAGACCGTGTGCGACCTCGACGATCTCTCGTTCATGGCCGTCGCACCGACGGCCCGCCGCTTCTCGCCCTGGACTAGGGCCTCGGCCATGTCGTGGGGCTGCGTCACGACCGTCTCCTGCGCGCCTTCGACATAAACACCGGTCTCGGGGTGCTCCCGGATGTGGACTTCCCCCGTGCCGTCCTCCGCTAATAAGTCGCGCAGCTGCTCGTTGTACACTTCGAGGTAGGACACGCGCAGCAAAAAGTCCGTGTCGCTCCGCGCCTCGATGACGGAGAAAATGTGGTCCGCCGCCAAATGCATGAGGCCCGGCGCGCCGGCGCCGTACTTGTCGCCGCCCTGCATCGTGAAGGTCTTGCCCGACGACGTCTGGCCGTACGCAAAAATCGTGCCGTTCACGCCGCGGAGCGCGCCATCCACCAACTCTCTACAAACGCCCTCGTAGACGTCCTTCGTGGCGCTGTTCTCGCCGTAGACCGCATCATATCTAAAGGCCGTCCGCCCCACAACCTCCTCGCAGTCCGCCTGGTAGACGTTCTCGCCCTCGATGCGCCACGCGCACGCGCCCTCCTCGCTCCGGAGCGGCCTTACCCTTATGGCGACGCGTAGCTTCGTTTCGGCCATTTTGGTTTCCATAACTGCTCTGGCGCTGCTCTGGCGCGGCGCTTGCGGCGTTGATGGCGTCCCGGCGCTGTCCGCGGGGTGAACGGCGGCTTTTTGCGCTGGGGCGTTTTTAGCCAAAGGCACGTCTGCGCGCGTCGCTTTTTCGAAGCGCCGCGGCCTGTCGTTACTGCTGGGCCCGCAGAGAGTCCTCCGCGGCGCTCAGGTACACACTACGCACCAAGCAGGGCGTCCGCGTTCGTGAGCAACTGGCGGGGCCGCGGGTTTTTTGCGAGGGCCAAATCAATGCCTTTCGGACCTGTATACCGCTCCGGGACTTCGTCGTTTTGGGGGAGAGAGCCCTGGAGGCGTCCTGCCTTGTTTCTCTAGTATGTTTCGCGCTGGTTTTACGAGATGCGCATCGACTTTTTGTGGCGCTTGCTGGCCCATTGCACATCGATACGCCCAGAATCAATCACATTTGTGCAAACACATCGCTGTGCCACGCATCGCTGCAAGCAACCGCTGGAAAAAACAAGAGATGGCTAGCTTCGCCTCCCCACTGCAGCCTTTAAGCAACGGCGCCACAAGCATCGCTGCCGACGAGGAGCTCTTGTACACGCTAGAAGACGTGCGCATCACAGCGGCGCCGCAGGAGGGCGACAGCACGCCCTGGGGCGCGGGCCGGCTGCGCGTGACGAGCCGGCGCGTGCTCTGGGAGCAGCCCGCCCACGGGTTTGAGCTCTTGGCGAAGCGCGTGGGCCTGCACGCCGTGACGCGCGACGCACAGACCTTCCCCGAACCTTGCCTCTACGTGCAGCTCCTGCTGAGCGACGCCGCGGCCGACGACGCCGTCTCGGAGCTGTTCCTGGTGCCGCCCGACGCCGCGGCCCTCGAACCGCTCTTCGACGCGCTCTCGCGGACGGCGGAGCTGAACCCCGACTCTGACGACGAGTCCGATGAGTCGGACGGCGGCATGCTCGGTATTGCTGGTGAGGACGACGAGCCGGACGCGGAGGCGATGCTGCGGCGCTTCGACGCCATGCTCGCGGACGCTCCGGCGCCTGCACTTCCCGGCTTCGCACGGGTCGAGGGGCAGTTCGACGACGCGGCCGACGACGATGGCGGGGGGTTCGACGACCTGTGAGTAGTTTCTTTTTCGTTTTTTTCCTCGACCGCTGTGCATCGACGGCGTACGGGGGGGGAAGACGCGTCCGCCTGCGCCTGAATTGTTCGAATTGCATTTTGGCAATTTGCCAGTGGCACCACACGCGGCCCAATACGGCACCCCAGCGAACGTACCACTGGTTACAAGCACTGGAGAGGACTATATATATGGTGATCGTTGAGCATCCTTGAAAACACCATCGATAGAGGTCCACAACGCGTTGCAAACCGAGATTCATGTGTGGCTGCTTTTGACCACTGATTCGACGTAGCGCGGCATACCCAACCTGCCGACACTCGCACCGATGGCAGACCAAACTGCAGAAACCGACGAGGACTGGTCCCTCGTCGTCGAGCGCCGCCCGCGCGCGAACTCGAACGCCTCGAACGCGTCCGCGGCGTCCGACGACGGCGCGCGGACGAAGGCGGCGCTGCGCAACGAGCGACGGCGGCGGCGCCGCGCGGCGGCCGCGGCCGCCGCGGCCGAAACGCCGCAAGCCACCACCGAAACGCCGCCGGCGGACGTCGAGGCCGCGGCGAAGGCGCAGCTCCGCGGCGTCGAGAAGCGCCTGAAGAGCATCCGCGGCCTGGCCGCCAAAGAGACGCTCGACGACGCGGAACGCAAGAAATTAGCACGGCGCGACGACTTGGAAGCCGCGCGAGCGGCCCTTAGCGCGGTCCTCGCCGGCTTCGCGGCGAAGCGCCGAGCCGCCGACGCCGTCATGGGTCAATTGGATGACGTGCAGTTCGACGACTCGTATGAATGCGCCTGCTGCCGCGAGGTCCTGGAGCTGCCGGTCAAGCTGCCGTGCGGCCACGAATATTGTCGAGAGTGCGTGGCGCTCGTGGCCTCGCGCGCGACGCGGCCGTCCGACGTCGTCTGCCCGCTTTGCCGAGCTCCTTTCTACGACGGCGCGAAGTGCCGCGTCGCCGTCGCCGAGAAGACGCGCCGGAAGCTGAAACGCGCTACAGGACGGTGCCACTGCGGCGCGACGCTGCCGCTGGCGGGCCTCCGCGACCACCTCCGGTCCTGCGGCGCGGCGGCCGTCTACTTCGCGCCGCGTTCAAAATTGGGCCATGAGCTCTGCCCGGCGCCGGTCTTTTACTCCGAGAAGACGCCGCTCTCGTCGTCGCCGGCCGCGTCCTCGCCCCTCGAGGACGCGCTGCTGCGGCGCTTCCGCCACGTCGCGCCCGAGCGACCGCCGCCGCCGCCCGAGCCGGTCCCGGAGTCGACGCCCGAGCCGCGGCGGCGGCGGCAGCGCTGGCGGCGGCTGGAAGCGACTCCGGAGCCGGAGGTGGACGCCATCCCGAGTACCCCCGAGGCGCCGCGGCCGGCGTGGGGCGCCGCGCCCGCGGCGGCGCCCGCGACCGATCTCCGCTCGCTGCTGGCGGCCGCCGAAACGCCGCCGCCGCGCGCGCCGAAGCGGGGGCCGCGCGCCGCGGCGGCGTCGCCGCCGGTGTCGCTCGCGGCCTTCTTGCGCGGGCCTCCCAAAACGCCGGCTCCTGCGCCCGCCGCCGAGGCGCCGTGGCTTCGAAAGTCCGCCGCGCCGCGCGAGAGGCCGTCGCCCGCGAGCGTCGCCGACATCATCAAGGAGGAGCGCGCGGCGAAGGGCACGTGGGCGGGCGTGGCGCGATGATGAGGAAGTGCCCTGTATATATGTCTCTTTTGTACACTGTAGCACCGTAGCGTTGGCGCGGCAGAGCGTTCGTCGCGCGGCGTTTTTTTTGTGAGTTGAAAAAAATCGGGTTTTTCAAGCCGAGTCAAGCCGCCGCAAGCCCAAAAACTCACCGAAAAACGCAAGATGATCCTCACAACTTGCGCCGCCTGCGCCGCCCCACTGGCCCACAACGCGCCGCGATGCGTTAGATGTCAGACGAGGTACTGCAACAAAACTTGCCAGCATGACCACTGGCGCCGCGGCCACAAGCAGATGTGTAAGAAGATACACCGCGGCGGCAACGCTGAGCAATACCACGCCGACAACAAATACAAGGAGGCCGTCGCGGAGGCCGTCGCGAAATGCGCGGACGACACGAAGGGCCAGACGTGCTACATCTGCACGCAGGCCCTCCATTGGAAGACGAAGGAGGGCCTCGTGCGCCGGTGCGCGTGCCGCGGGACGGCCGGCTTCGCGCACGTGGCGTGTCTGGCGGAGCAGGCGAAGATCTTGATGGACGAGGCCGATAGATGCGAACGCTACGAGGAGGTGAAGCCATTTTTACGGGCGACAATCCCCGAGGCCGCGCGCGAGCTTGGCACAGAAGACGCGACGGTACTAACCCTTCGCATCAATTACGCAAGTGCCCTCATCTCAGAAGGTCGAAGCAGAGACGACCTGGTCGAAGCCGTGGCGCTTCTCGAGGAGCTATCCTCGACTGCGCGGCGGGTCTTTGGGACGGCCCATCCTACTATGATGACCATCAACGGAAACCTCGAGAGCGCGCGATCGAAGCTCGCATCCTTCGCCGCGGCCCCCTGAATTCATGACTAAGAAACACAGTCTTACATTCACTAAGAACACATCAATCGTCGCCAGACTCCTCCTCCTCGGCGAGCTGCCGAGCAGCCTTCGCCGCCGCCGCGCGCGAGGACCTAGGCCTAGGCGGGGCCGGTGAGTCGTCTTCCTCGTCCTCCTCCTCCGACTCCACGACGACCCGCCGCTTCCGCTTCTTCTTCTGCTTAGGCGCCTCGGGCTCGCTCTCGTCCAAGGCCCGCCGCAGTCTTTTAGATGCGTGCGTGTCGTTCTTCTTGTTCGAGTGGTACGAATCAAAAAACGCGTCGACGCGGCGCTGCCGACCGGCCTTCCGTTCCGCCCACCGCTTGAAGACCGGGTCCAGCACCGCGGCGGCCGTCGACGGCGCCCAGTTCAGCTCCAAGGCGCACCGTTTTCGTAACCGCTTCTCGTCGGGCTCGCGCCAGTCGAACAAGCGCTGCGTCGACTGCGGGTCCCACGCCTCTATATCTCTACCCAGCTGCCTTGCTAACTCGTCCTCATCAGCAACTCGAGGCTCGACATAAGCCTTCGCGGCCTCGCGGTTCGGAAACGCGGGCGGCGCCTCCCAACGCGACCGAGCGGCCCGATGTCGCTTCGCGAAGCGTTTCACGTGCGCATCTTGGAGTTGCGTGTTGCCCACGTCGTCCAACCACCGCCCAAACTTGCGAAGGGATGAAATCGACGCGTCGACTTGATTTTCCGAATGAGCATGGGGAAAATGGAACGCCTGCAGCACCTCCATCGCATTCACGATGCCGACGCCCTTCACGCCGTGCGCATAGTCGCCACCTAATAGTAAAGCCAATGACACGAACTCAGATCTACCTAGCTTCAGCTCCCTTCGACAGTCCTCGGCAAAATACGCCTCGACGAACTTTTTGTCGTCGAAAATGTTCTTGTAGACCTTTTTGGCACCGAAGCAGAACGCGTCGCTGTCGTCCGTGATCGTGCCTTCTACCAATCCAGCAAGTTCCAAAGCCGCACATTGCGCCTCGGCCTCCATGGGAGCGACGATGTACGGCACCCCGAGATCATCCAGTAAACCCATGACGTCCTCGCGCATCTCGTCGGTCACGCTGTCGGCGTCCCTTGCTGACCTCGCGAGCTCTCGCCGCAATTGCGCCGCTTCTCGGTCCAGCGCGTCGGCGCGCGCGGCGTCGGCGAACGAAGGTGGCTGTTGTGGGCACTTGGCGCGCACGGCGGCCACGACGTAAGCGTAGACGGCCCGCTCGCGCGGGTCCGTGGCCGCGGCGGCGGCGGCCGCCATGCCGTCGAGGTCGCCCTCCTGGGCGTTGTCGAGGGCGAACTGGAGCTGCGCGTCGAAGTCGGGGCAGACCTCGTAGAAGCCGCCCTCCGTCGCGGCCTTCCGGTGCGGGGCCCAGGCGTCGTCGTCGTGATCGTCGGCCGGCGGCGCTTCGGCGGGCGGTGGCTCCTCCGCGGGCGGCGCGGGCGGCTCAGGCGCGGCGGCGGGCAGTTGTGCGCCGGTGGGCGGCGGCGCGGGCGGTGGCACCTCCGCAGGCGGCGGTTCGGTGGGCCGCGCGGCGGCGGGCGGCGGCGCCCCCGCGGGAGACATAGGCGGCGGGCGCGGCGCTGACGCCGGCTCGGGGGCGGGCCGCGGCGCGGGGGGCTCAGGCTCCCGCTCGGTGGGCCGCGGGGCGGGCGGCGGCGCCTCGACGACCGGCGGCGCCTGGGCGGCGGGCTCGGGCTCGGGCGCTGCCTCGCGCGACAGGGCGAGCGCGCGGGCGAGGTCGGCGTCGCCGTCCGCGTCCGCGTCCGCCGGCGGCTCCGCGGCGGGCGCGGGCGCCTCGACCTCCATGGCGCGCGGCGCCGGGACCGCAGCGGCCGGCGCCGGGGGCGCGGCGGCCGGTGCCAGCAGCTCCGCGCTCCCCGAGTCAGCAAGCGCGCGCCGGAACGCGCGGCCCGCCCAGTCGGCCATCTGCGACGCCGTGCGCGCCGCCGCTGCGAGCGCCTGGCGGTTCGCGGCCTCGTCGACCTCGTCGGCTTCGTCCTCGGCCTCGGCGGCGACCGGCGGCGGCGGCGCGGCCCCGGCGTCGCCGAGCGCCGCGAGGCGCGCGCGGAAGGCCTCCGGGTCGGCGCACGGGACGGCGACGGCGACGCCCGCCGCCGCGGCGTCGTCGGCGGCGTCGTCGGCGTTGCCCGCCTCCCAGGCGCAGTCGTCGCTCGACTCGGACGCGTCGTCGGCCGCGGGCGCCGGCGCGGCGCCGGCGTCCTCCTCCTCTTCTTCGACGATGAAGCCGCCGCCGCCCTCGTCCGCGGGCGCGGGCGCCGCGGCGGCCTCCTCCTCCTCCGCGAAAAAGCCGCCGCCGGCCGCGCCGTCGTCGTCCTCAGCGACGAAGCCGCCGCCTTCCTCCTCGCCGTCGACGAAGAAGCCGCCGCCGCCATCATCATCAAGGGGAGCCGGCGCCGGCGCCGCGTCGTCGTCGGACCCGGCGAACTCCTCGGGGAAGTCCTCGACGTAGCGGAGCTCGGCCTCCTCGAGGGCCTCGTCGATGGACTGGCCCGGCAGCGGCACGACGGTCTGCGGCGTCGGCCGCGGCCGCGGCGCCGGTCGCCGCGCGCAGGCGCCGTGGCGCAGGGCGCACGCGCATCTACTCTTCCGCCGGCCGCACGCGGCGCACGTCGGCGGCGCGTCATCCTCATCATCGTCATCATCAACGACCTCCTCGTCGTTCGCCTGCAGGAACCGCTCCATGCGCGCCTTGACGCCGCCCCGGACCTGCTGACCGTTTTCATCGTCGCGCAACAGCACGAAGCGCCGCTTGGGGTCCGAGTGGATGCGCTCGCCGCGCGCGTCGTCGTCTCCCCTTTCAGCCTGGGCCCGCTCGACGCGCTGCCGGAACGTCGCGCCCTGCAGGAACGACGAGAGCTGCGTCGCCGAGAACTCGTCGGCGTCCCCGGCCACAGGCATCAAGCGCCGCCGCGCGGCGACGCGCTGCTTGCGGTTGACGGCCTCGACCCTTGCTTTCCTTACGGCCGGCGGCAGGGCGATGAGCGCCTCGACGTCGACGGCGGAAGCGTCGCCGTCGGCCGCCACCCCTAAACCGTCCGCGGTCTCGCCGCGCTCCCACTCGCAGCCGTCGTCGTCGTCGTCGTCCGACGACGATTCTGGTGACGGTTGCGTGGGCGCGGGGCGCGGCGCCGGCGCCCTCGTAGGTGCGGCCTCGCCCTGGCTCCCCGGGTCGAAGCCGCCCGCGTAGGCCGCCTCAGTATTTTGGGCCGGGGCTTTCCTCCGCAACGCCTCGGCGCGGAGCCGCGCGGCGAGGAGCCGCTTCGCGGTGGACCGCGCGTCGTCCTCGCGGCGCTCGCGCCGCATGCGCCGCTGGCGGATGAGCCGCTCCTTGAGAGCAGGGACGCCGCCGTCAAACACAATGACCGGTCGCACGCCATGATAGAGGAGCTTCGCGACGCGCCGCAGCGTGCCGATGACGTGGGCGTTTTTGATCGGTCTACCTTCCTCGTCACGCATCGCTTTCACAAATTGTGTCATCCAGATACTGACATCAACAGCGAGCGTCGTGTTCTCGAGCGTCTCGACATGAATACGACGGCCGCACGGTTCTAATAACTTCCAGAGGCCCTTGACGCCCATGCCTCCTCAGATCTCAATCGGTGCCGCTGGCGCGCAGGCGTCAAAAGGCTTGACTCTGCCGCGTTGGGGCGCACCTATGAGCGTGCTGGCCACAGCGCTGGCGGCCGTAAAGACGCGTGGCCCCGAGACGCGGCGCCCCCTCTCGCAGAGCTAGCGCAAGTAAGACACTAGCAAGCTCGATCAAGTTGGGCACACAACGCGGGCGCTGTGGCAAAATCTGACCGTCAGGACGACTCGTTGTCACCCCTGCGCTGCGTGACCCCAGCGGTCTTGACGATACCTCATGGAGAGCAAGTATCCATACACTTTTAAGGAGCCGCGGCGCGCACTCGTGAAAGCTATGCAGCGCAGGGCGAAGACGTCTCATTTGGGAGCGTTTCAGGTCCTGCCGGAACACGTCATGCTCTCCTGCCTCGCACGATTGCCTCGCGAGGACCACGACGCCGTCGCGGACGCGTCGGTCGGCTTTCGCGCAATTATGCGGAGTGAACGCTTCCTCAAGGCGCGGCGCGCGGAGGAGATTACGGAGGAAGCGCTCGTTGTCGTGGGCGACTGCTTCATGGCCCTCGTGTCCGGGCGCGTGTGGCGACGCCTTGTGCCGATGTCGGCCGAGATGCGCATACTTGGTGGGTTGCATTTTGGTGGGGTGGCTCGCGCGGGAACCGCAGTTATCGGTTCCGAGCTCTTCCTCGCCGGCGGCATGAAACAAAACAGCACGTACGCTGGTGTGTCCGTGTACGACGCAGTCGACGACGAGTGGTTCACGATTCCACTATCGTCTGCATATCCTCAAGGCGCGCGTCGCGAACTGTTTGCTGTCGGCTGCGCTGGTCGTCTATATGTGGGCGGATTGTGTCGCGATGACCATGAATGGCGCATCTTACTTCAAAGCTTTGACCCTGACGCCCAGAGATGGGTGGACATGCCACCGATGCCGCCGCCGCTGCCGGTAGCAGAAAGCGGACTGGGTCATCAATTAGTCGCAGTCGCCGTGGGCTCCGAAATCTATGTCCTCGACCGCATGGAGCCGGACTTTTTTCGCGTCTTCGACACCGAGACAGAAACGTGGAGAACCCTAGACATTCCCGAAGAAGTCGAAATCGTAGATTTGAGACACGGGTATGCGCCATATAACTATACGGTGCCATGGCCCGGCATTTGCGTGGATAGAACGCTCATCCACCTGACGGATCATAGGAAAGACGGCGAACCTTCTGACGGTCGCGAGCACTACGCTTACGACACGGTAAACGACCAGTGGATTAGCTTTGATGGAGGTATGCCGCGTCACACGGCATACAGCGAATCGGACCGCATCCTCTCTGTCGTCAACTACGATGGCCCAGACGACTACATCGTTGGTCACTCTCTTTACTCGCGTGGCGGAGTGCACGTGTTCGAGCGGAGAGGGGAGCTCGATTGTAGGATATCTGGAGCCGTTGACCTGCCCGTCCGCTACGACGCCGTCGAACGAGTCGTCTACGTCGACATGCCCTAAGCAAGCAGAGATAAGTAGTGTCTCTTGTTAGAAGGGGGGAGAAGGGGAGAGATCTAGAACGGGCCGCGCGGCGGCGACTGGAAGCCCATGTCCTGCTTGTAGCGCTGCTGCTCGTGCTGGCTTGCGAGGTCCGCGCCCCAGTTCTGGGACGACGTGCGCTTCTTGAAGGCCCGGTCCGTCTTGAAGATGGCCGCGAGCTCGCACGTCGAGCCGCCGATCTGGAAGACCTGGGCCGGGTCCGCGTCGCGCTGGCCCTTGAGGGCCTCGCGGAGCGCCGCGCCGCGCGCCCAGTCCGGCATGTGCTTGTTGCGCTGGCGCTCCTCGTTCTCGTCCTCGTCGTCCGTCGACTCCTCGCGGTCGCTGATCTCGTACGTGTCCAGCGGGCTCGGCTTCGGCTGGGGCGCGGGCTTCTTGGCCGCGGCGTCGGGGCCCGGCGTGAGCCGCGCGGGCTTCGCCGCCGGCGCGGCCGGCCGGTGCGGCGAGAGCGCGGCCGCGGCCGGCGGCGGCGGCGGCGCGGTGGCCGGCGGCGGCGGGCTGTGGGCGGCCGGCGGCGGCGGCGGCGCGGCGTCCATGCCCGCCTTGCGCTTGAGCTCGGCCTCGCGCTGCTCCTGGCGCCGCTTCGCGACCTCCTCCTGGCGCTTGAGGGCCGCCTGGCGCCGCGCGGCCTCCTCGGCGTCGCGGCGCCTCTTCTCGGCGGCGAGGCGCTGCTGCGTCTCGCGCTCGCGCGCGGCGGCGGCCTGCTCCCGCGCCTTCTGCTGCTGGAGCTGGCGCGCGCGGACCTCGGCGAGGCGGTCGGGCTGCGGCGTCGGCTGGGCCGCGGGCTTGGCCGACTTGGGCGGCTCCGGCGCGCCGTCCTTCTTGCCGCCGAAGAGCGACTGCATCGACGCCACGAAGCCCAGGCCCGGCTTCGGCGAGCCCTTCGGCGACCGGGCCTCGGGCGCGGGCGGCGCCTCGGGCCGCGGCGACTTGGGCCGCGGCGGCGCCGGCGACGCGGGCCGCGGCGGGAGCGGCGGCGGCGCGCGCGGCGGCGCGGCGGCGGCCTTCGGCGGCGCGGGTTTGGGCGCGGCGACCGCCCGCGGCGACGCGGGCTTCGGCTTCGGCGCCGCCTTCGGCGCCGGCGCGGCGCGCGGCGACGCGGGCTTTTTCGGGGCCGGCGCCGGCGCCGGCGCCTCGACGACGTCCTCCTCCATGGGCGCGGCCTCCTTGGCCGCCTCGAGCTCCGCGACGAGGGCGCCCTCGAGCCGGGCCTTGAGCTCCTGCTTCTTGCCGGCGGCCCGGAGCTCGCGGGACTTGAGCTCGCGCTGGAGCTCCTTGAACGTGTACGACTCGACGAGCGCGCGCGCCTTGGCGACGGAGTCGCTCTCGTTCGTCGGCGGTGATGGCCGCGCGGCGGCGGTAGCGGCGGCGGCCGGCGGCGCGCGCGGCGCGGGCTTCGCGGCGGCGGCCTCGACGCGCGGCGAGTTGCTCGCCTCGGTGATCGTCGCGAGCGGCGCGCGCGACGGCGGCGCCAGGGCGCTGCTCGCGGTCACGAGCGCGCCCTTCTCGCCGCGGAGCTTCTTCCGCGCGTGCTCGAGCTGCTCGTCGAGGACGGCCATGTCGGCCTGCGCCAGCGAGATGGCGCGCGCCATGAACCCGTCCGCGAGCGACTCCATGCGGGCCTGGACCTGGCCGACGTAGTCCGTCGAAGCCATGATGCCTGTGTGGCGTTTGGTTTTCGGCGGCGCGGCGGCGTTTAGGCGGTGGCGAATTTTTTGCGTCTGTTACGGCGCCCCGCAGCTGTTAGCCGATTCCCGAGGCAGCGCGCGCAGTTCGCAAGTGCTGTCGCGGTATAAGCGCGTCTGCGCCGCGTGTGAAGGCCACGGGGACCGCGCGGCGGCCCGCGCCGCGCTGTGGCGGCTTGAGAGTGAGTTTACGCTGCGGCGTGCTGTTAACGCCCTATCGCACCAAAATGCCTACGGTTTCCGCGCCTGCGGCGACCAGTGGCCTTCAGGCTTTCTCTCCAACGCGTCAGGGGGCGCAGCGGGGCGGCTGATGGCCCGCAAATAGCTGTGCGCCGCTGAGCAACTGGCGCTTGAGAGAGGAGGCGCCCCCGAGCGAAATGCCGAATTTGTCGCGCGGAGACGTCTCAGTCACCCCCGCAGGAGTCCCCAAGCCCCCCAGAGGCAAATCGACGGACGGCGCTAAAAAAAACCCGACACCGCGGCTATACTGAAAACATAGACACATTACTCCTCGTCGACAACACGCAACTTCTGCGACCCCCGCAAGGGCAGCCCGGCGGGATGCACCGACGCCCCGCGCGGACCGATATCCGCGAGCCGAAAGTCCACCGTCACCCTGTATTGTCGAGCCGCGACGGACGAACTCCCGGCCTTGGCGCTGTGGAGTATATGACAGGGCGCGCCCACCAAACGCGCACACGCCTCGGTCAGAAACGTCCGCGTCCGCTCGCACGCCGGCAACTCATGGTCCGCGGCAAAGTCGGTCCAGTGGACGACGGCCGTCGGCGTGAGCACGGGCAAGATCGCCTCCAGGAAGCGAATCCCGTCGGGCCCGCCGCCGCCGTCGGCGCCGTCGTCGTCCGCGGCCGCGCCGTCGACGCGGTCGCCGTCCCGCTTGCCCTTGGGTCGCGGCGCGAGCACGCGGTCGAACGTCTCGCCCCGCCGCGCGCGCGCCGCCAGGTCGTCGAGGACGTCGGCGCAGACCACTTCGACGCGGTCGGCCGCCGCGTCGCCCTTGCTCCGTCGAAGCGTCTGGACGGACCGCTCCAGGCACCGCGTCGCGACGGGGTTGACCTCGACACAAGCGACTTTGGAACACGCCGTCGTCGCGGCGATAATGAGCGCCTCGGCGCCGCACCCCGCGAACAGGCACAGCACGCGCTCGTCGCGCGCGACGGCGCGCGCCACCCGGAGCCGCTCCGTGGCCAGGCGCGGCGTGAAGAAGCACGCGTTCAGGTCCACGACGACGGAGACGCCGTGCTCGTTGTGCGTCGTGACCAGCGGCCGCCGGTCCCGCCCGCCGAGGCAGACCAAAGCAGTAGCGGGGCTCCGGTGCGCGCCGGCGAGCTGCGCGCCCGCGGGCGGCGCGACGACGACGCGGAGCCTTCCGTTCGAGCCCAGGATCCGCGCCGCGAGCGCCGCCGCGTCCTCGTCGGGCAGCACGGGGCGCCGCAGCACCGCCACGTCGCCGACGACGTCGTAGCGCGCCCGCCGCGGCTTCAGCGCGTCGTCGTCGTCGTCGCCATGAGCCCGGTCCGCGTGGAGCTCCTCGAGGACCGCGCGCAGCGCCGCCTCGAAGCGCCGTGTCTTGGCCCAGTTTCTCTCATGTTTCTCGTTGAGCGTCGCGACGAGCCAGGGGACGTGCGCCTCGGAGAACAGCGCCTTGCCGTCCGGGCTCCGCAGCGGCATGTCGAGGCCCTCGTCGCCGACGACCGCGACGCACGCGCCGTCGGTCTCGAAGGCCGCGGACTGCAATCCCACATTCTTGAAGACGGTCCGGGCTGCGCGCATGAACGCCTGGGCCGCCCCCGCGTCGGCGCAGCGCGCGTGGAGGATCAGCGGCTCGTAGCGCAGCCAGAGCGCGCCTTCGCTATCCGGCGCCGCGTCGAGCGGCGCCTTGCGAAACGGCGCCTGGTCGTTGGCGTCGTGGTCCAGAAAGTACGCCGCGTCGACGCGGTCGTGGCTCACGCGGCCCCGCGCGAAGGACTGCGTGGCCTTGACGCCCTCGCCGCGCCACAGGAGGTGCCGGCCGCTGCACGACGACGTCGTGAAGACGTAGGGGCTGTCGTTCGCCGCCGCGCACAGTCCTACCACTCTCGCGTCGAAGGACGTCGCGCTCGACTTGTCGTGCTTCGTGAGAGCCTGTTGCTTGGCTTGGGTGAAGGCCTTTTTTGGGGCCATGGATGCTCCTCACGGCAGCACCACTGTGGGCATAGATGCGTGCTATGTCTTAGCGTGTCGCTAGGCAAGCAATGCGCGCGTACGACGCAAAAAAGCGATGTAGCCATTTGCTAGTGTGTTACATGCCGCTAGCTCCTTTTGGCCAATTGGGCGTCGAGCTGTCTGGCTGTCTTGGACACTGATTCAACCTGCGGGCGCGTGGACAGTCGCCGCGAGACCGCAGTCCAGCGCGCCTCCGCTCCACGCGCTGCCACAGGCCGTGAGAAGCCAGAGAGCCCAAATCCAACCAAGAGAGATACTCCAGCGCGACAGCGGCAAAAGATGGCCACAGCAGGACCGTCAGTACGTCTGGCCACGGCCCCGCCCCTCAAGAACCTGCCCGCGGCCTTCGACGTCATTGAAAGACATGGCGTCGTCCGGCCCGCGGTGAGCGAGGCCCAGCTCCAGAGCTTCGCGCAGACCCTGTCCACGGAGTGCGAGGACCAGACGCCGGAGCCGCCCTCCGCAACCCGCGCGGCGCCGGCGGCGCCCGACGAGCGGGAGGAGGACACGAATTACCCGCTCATGGCGGCTTTATTTAGAGACGACCAGAAGCGCCGCGCGAAGGCCCGCTCAGCGCGCGACGAATGGAACAAGGCCGTCGAAGCGAGAAGACGAGAGTGGGAGCGCTGGCTGCGCGACGTCTACGCGTCGGGCCCCTGCGTGCGTTCAGATGCTTTTGCCGCGTTTTTACTAAGGGAGACGGCCGCGGACGCGACGAAGTCGGCCATCGTCGCCGCGCGGAAAAGACGGCTCTTGGCTGAGGCGGACGCGCTCACGGCGCAGAAGACGCGCGACGAGCTGGAACGTAAACTGCGAGCGCGGGAAGCCGAGGTCGCCGGCGCGACGGGCGGCCTCGAGGTCAAGGCCTCGCGCTGCGAGCAGGCGCTATCAGCTTTGATCGCGCGGCGCGACGCTCTAGCTTCCTTCGCCAAGGCGCGTGATGCCGCGGCAAGCTCCCGTAGCGAAGCCCAGGCGTCGCAAGAGGCGACGCGGGAAAGATTACGCGGAGAGTTGGAGGCTGCCGAGGCCGCGGAGTTAATCGCAGCGCAGGAACTTCGAAAGTCCGTCGAGGCGGAAGCCGCCGACGCCGCGGCGTCGAACGCGCAGCAAGCGATGCGGGAGCGCGTCGCCGACCAGCGGGCCGCCGAGGACCGCGTCGCCGACGACCGGCTGCGCTTCCTCCAGGAGACGGCTAGACGACGCAAGCGCGCCGTCGCGGCGCGCCACGCCGACGCGCGCGCGGCCACGGACGAGGCCGGCATCGCGGACGCTGCATTAAGGAGCCTCGAAGAGGAGGTGCTTCCTCACGATCGGCGGGGCGTCGAGCGGGCCGTGGAACAGCGGAAAGCCGCCGAGCGGGCTCTCGCGGATCATAGACGAGCCGCGGCGGCGTCCTTACATGGATTGGAGGCCGAAAGCGACTGGAGAAGGGACGAGTCCGAGGCGGTCTCGGCGCTCGGGCCGCTCCTCGCGGCGCCGAACCCCTTCGGCGATGATGGAGATACGCCGCCGCCGCCGCCCTCGGAGCACGACGCGCTGGCCTCGAAGGCGCGGCAGGCCGTCGCCGAGGTCGACGACCTGCTCGCGGCGGCGCGCCTCGAGACCAAAGATGTTTCTGGTAGACTCGAGGCGGCGTTGCGGGCGGCTAGTCAAGAGGAGGCAGCTTTGCGGCGCGTCCTCGACTCGTCGCTCACGCGGCGGGACGGTCTACGAAGAGCGGCGCGCGACGCGCGCCGCGAGGCGACGGGGTGCATAGCGGCGCACGAGGCGGCCTTCGCGGACTCGGCCGTCGCGGCGGCGGAGGAGGCCGACGCGCGCGCGGCTAGGGCGGCCGCCGCGGCGGCGCTGGCGGACGCCGACGCCGCCGCCGAGGCCAAGCCGCCGCGGTTCCGGCGCCGCGAGAGCATGGGCGACGAGAGCGCGCATCAAAGGAGGGAGGAGACGTGCGAGCGGTTGCGGGACGCGCTGGCCGCATCGGGCGCGGGTGGCTCCGTGGAGGGCGTGCTCGTGGACGACGAGGCGCCGGAAGCGGCGTCGGCCGTCGCGCGCGCCGAGCTGGGACGGGTCGAGGCCGTCATCGTCGTGCACTCGCGGGAGCGCGACGACCTGCGCGGCGAGGTCGCGAAGCTCCAGCAGGCCTGGGAGGCGGAGTCGGCGGGTTTGCGCGCCAGTCTGCGGGGCGCCGAGGCGCAGGTCAAGTCGCACGCGGACGACGCGCGGGCGGCGGCGGCGACGCACGACGCGCTGCTCGGGTCTGGTTCGTCCGGGAGTGTGAGTTCTCCGCCGTAATATTGATTGCTTGTAGCCTGCCTGAAAAACCCGATTTGATCTTAGCAAAGCGCGCGCGCGCGCGCGAGCGAGTGTGCGCGCTCTCTCGGCTCTTCAAGCGTCCCTAGAACAACAAGAATTTCCATGGCTTTCACCGGTAGACCGGCGCTCGAAGCGGTCGATGAGAACACTGGCCTAGATGCCTGGGCGGCAAAGGCGCTCGATGGATTAGCGCTCACGCCAACGCCCGCTGTGCAGCAGGAGGTCTCGCAGGACCCTTTCACCGATAGGGCTCTGAGCCGTGCGCAACGACGCCGAGCGCGGGACGCCGAGTCGCCGACGCGACTCACGCAAGTCGCGCGACACGCCGGCCTCTACTTGATTTCGCCGCTACAGAACGCTCTCAACCCGGAATGCAAAGATTTCGATGCCGAGTTCAGACGGGCATGGATGAACCTTGATAAACAAACGCGCCGGGAGATCGAGAATCATTGCACCTTGCTCTATATCCGTTCTGATTCAGTGGACGGACTCCGAGCTGCGTGCGCGGATAAATTCGCGCAGCTGCGGTCCAACATTATGTCACTTGCTCCGTCGGAGGATATCGTCTACACCGGTAAGGTTACAGAGATGGGAAGATCATTGCCGCGTACCCTTACCGGTAAGGATAACAGGCACTCACGGGGGGGAATCGTGCGAGTCGACCAGACGGGCAACGATGTCTACGTGTCGAAGTCGTTTGCGGGCGCTTCTGGAGGAAGGATTTTCCTTTGCATGGGTGACCGTATCGAGTTCCGAATCCAGAACCGCAAGGCCGTCGACGTCCGGCGTCTCGAGGCGTCCCCTCTCGCGCCGACGTGCCTGCCCACTCTCGCCGCGTCTCGCTCCGCCGCCGCGCCCCTGGATGACGATCTCCTGCGCGAGATCGCGTTCGACGGGGGTCACCGCTCGCGCCAGGCGGACGAAGCGAGCGAGGTGTCGGGCGTCACGATCTCGTCACGCGCCACCGCTGCCACGTTCGCGTCGCGCGCCACGAGCGCCTACACGGCGGTCCCGACGGCCCACGGAGCGGCGCGCATGCAGCAGCGCGCGGTGGCGCTCCGCGATCTCCAGACGGCCAAGAAATACGGGACGATTACACGGGCACGCGACGGCGCGCGGGGCGACAAGCGCTGGAAAATCGAGTACGGGGGCCTCGTCTACATCACGGACGAGCAGCAGAAATTAGTGATTACGACGTATCAGTTCCAGCCTCGGGTCGACTCACTTTATATAGGTCCCGACCCGCCGCCGCCGTCATACCCGCCGCCGATATACATGCCGCCGGCACCGTACATGCCGCCGATAGTAGAAGGCTCGATACCTCTATTTCAGCCGCCGCCGCCGCCGATGATACTCCGTAGTACGGCGTGGCCGGTGAAGCCGCCGTTGGAAGTCAAGATTTGCGCGGCGTGCGGTAAATTGCTGCCCGAGGCGGCGTTTTCGAAAAAGCAATGGTCCTGGAAGTCGCCAAAGTTGGTTGGGCGCCGCCGCTGCAATGTGTGTGTGAAGTCCGCAAGTTGGTTGGGGCCGCTACCGCCGCTACCGGACGACGACTGACGCGACGGCCGTCGAGACTAGTAATACTACAACTTTTACGTCGAACTACCCCTGAGGTCGTCGGGCGCGGGCCGCATAGGTAGCGGGCCGCGCCGTCATTGGGACCGGGAGGCGTCCGTTCGCGTGTTTCGGTGTCGCCCCGCAGCGCGTGCGGGGCCTAGCCTCAGCCGCCGCCGCCGCCGGGCCGGCGCGACCGCGGGTTCGGGCGCTGGTAGCTCGAGCCGCCGCCCCGGTGGCCCATCAACGGCCCGCCACCGCCGAACGAGGCCGGCGCTTTGGGCTTTGGCTTTGGCTTCGGCTTCGGTTTGGGCGGCGGCGGCCGCTCCTTCGCCGCCTTGTCGAGGCTCGCCTGCCGGTCGGCGATGGCCGCGGCGCGCTTCTCGTCGAGCGCCCGCCGCCGCGACGGGTCGTTCGCCTCCGCGAGCTTCCTACGCGCTACCTCGCCGTCGACGTACGGCCGCAGCACGTAAAAATAGACCACCGCGGCGCCGACCAGGTACCAGCCGTACTGCGCGAAGGCCTCGGCGGGGTCCGCGAGGAGGCGCATGACTGCGTCCATCTTCGAGCGCTCTTCCTCTTACAGCGCGCGCCGTCGGCGTTTGCGCAGCAGGAGTACAAGGCGCTACAGGCGCTAGATTGAGAATGAGTCCGCGAAGCGCTACAGCGCAGCAGAGCTGGTCGCCGCCGCGAAGCGGTAGCGTCGAGGCTATTTACACAGCGGCGAAACGCCGAGAACTACGATGAACGCCGCACGCCGTCGCGCAAAGTGGGCTAGCGTCCTGTAAGACACTAGGAAGCGTACGCGTACGGCACACAGCCAAGAAGAAGGCGAATTGATCTAAGTTTGTTAGCCCGCGCCTACGCCGTCGCCTCGGCCTTGGAGCGCCGCGACGACCGGCGCTTCGACACGGCCGAGCGCCGCGAGGCCCGCGCGGCCTGGATGTGCTGCGTCTGGACGCGGTGGTACTCCTCCGCGTCCTTCTTGACCTTGGCCACCTGGGCCATCTTCTTGCGCTTCATGTCGCGCTTGCGCTGGAGCATGATCGGCGTGATGAGCCGCTGGATTTTGGGCGCCTTGGTCACCTCCTTGCCGTTCTTCTTCGTGAACTTGCGGCGGATGACGTACTTGCGCACGTCGTCCTCCTTCGACAGCGCGAAGAGCTTGCGAATCTTGTTCGCGCGCTTGGGGCCTAACCTAACCGGCACCTGCGTGTCCGTGAGGCCCTCGATCTCGGCGTCGCCCTGCTTGACCACTACTAGGTTGAGCACGGCGAGGTCCGGGCCAACCACACACCCTCGGACCGACTTGCGCTTGCGCTCGCCCGACCTCCGCTGGCGGTAGCACGACGCGCCCGCCCTCAACAGGAGCTTGACGCGGTGGTTGCAGAGCACACCCTGCTTCATGGGGAAGCCCTGCTTGTCGTTGCCTCCAGAAATACGGAAGACATAACCGTTGAACTCCTCGCCCAATGCTTCGCCCTCGACCTCGGCGCCGATGCGGTTGTCGTACAACGCGCGCAGCTTCTTCTCGTCGTCGACCTCGACCCACTTCTGGGCGCCCGTCGACGGGCAGGCGATGTTGAGCTTCATGGTCGCTCAAGACGCGTCACGGACCTGCGTGGTATGAACGGTGAGCGCCTCGCGTGCGCGTGGTCTCGATGGCGTGGTGCCGCGTCGACGGCGTCGCGTCGACGGCGTCACGAGTGCTTCGACGAGCGTGCCCGTGTCCGCCTTGCTCAGGGGAGCGTAGCGGTCTCGGGTGCCGCCGGCGAGCGGCGAGCGGCGCGCTGGGCCTCCTCACGTGTGCAAGAGATGCTCAGCGGCCGCGCGCGACCCGTGGTAGCTCGCTCGGCGATTGGTGCCGCGTGCGCGTCCCGCGCCGCGCCGCTGGGCCACCCTCGCCTTTCAGTCGCTGGAGCTGCTGATCGCCGCGAGGACGCCCGCAGCGCAAGCGATTTTGAACACAGTGCCGAGAGCAGTGATTTTAAGCGCAGAGCAACGTACCGCGTCCAGAGCAGCCGTCTAGCGTCGCTGTTTGCCGCCTGCTATGCGGACAAGCCTGGCGAGACCTCACTAAAGCGCCTAAATGTGAGCCCCCTCATGCTTCCTTAACAGGCGTTCTAGGCCTCACAGGGAGTACTCCGAGCCCACGAAAAAATTAACAAATTTAGTCTTGCGCCTCCCACCTTGGGCAAAGCGCCCGGCAGCGGCAGCCTATACAGGCCCGCAAAATGGCTGCCCTCCGACGTAGGAGCCGTCGGGCTGCACGCATTACAAGGACGCCATTCGTCTGACGAGCTTTATTCGGCTGCAGGAGTCAAAGCCATCGAGCCAGACCAGCTGTGGACACCTGAGCCGCCGCACTAAGGCATCATGATCGACGAAGACGAGTTAGATGAAGTGGAAGAAGGTTTGGTAGATCTGGCCATGCGCGGCTGGCGGACGCTCGATGAGCACCCCCTCGATCCGCGAAGCAAGCGCGTGCAATTGGAGCACAACGAGCTGAGCACCCTACCGAAGACCATCGGCACGTTAGAATTCATGTGGAAGCTCGACGTCAGTCACAACAGGTTAGAGGCATTACCAAGGACGATCGGCAAGTGCACGCGGTTAAGGATACTAAACGTCGACCATAATTATTTGGAAGATATACCCAAGGTGCGATCTCGGCGTCCCGTCGTGTTGAGGCGCCTTCACTTCATTCAAACGACTCGTGTCCATCTCACCATGAAGTGGGTGGTTTCTTTTTCGATTCCGAGGCCATTCGGACCGCGTCGAGCAACCGCGATGCTCCGCGCAGGAACTGGGCTCGTGTTTCTTCCTCGAGGAGCTCAACGCCGAGCACAACTCGCTGGTGACGGTGCCGGCGTCGTTGGGTTCCTTGCAGCAGTTGAGGGAACTGCGCCTCAAGCATAATCGGTTGGAGACTCTACCCGTGGAGATCGGCGGCTTAGATACATTAGAGGTGTTGGACTGCTCCGAGAACGACCAGCTGGCCATGGTCCCGCAGAAACTGCGCGACGACTCGGAAATGGTCAAGTTCGTCATCAGGCTCCATTACGACACGCTCCGACACATCACGCAGATCAAAGAAAATTATAAAGATGTCAAGGACGCCTTGCAGCGCCAGGAGCACGCCAATTTAAGGTTGCGGGACGCCATCGAGCAGTGCAAGGCGGACAAGGAGGCGATCATCGAGTCGCTGGTCCCCGACGAGGTCGCCGACACGTGTACCGTGTCCTAAGTTCGGGGTTTATGTTAGTCTCTTCCTGTCGCGGCGACGGCGTCGAGGGAGACTCCTCGTAGTCGATGTTACGGTGCTAGGACTCCTCCGTGCGCTAAATCCTAGTGTGTCGATGACACTAGATGATTATGGCTCCATTTTGATCTTGACAGGGGCTGTGCTCGGCCATACGTGCCAGTCTGTCTTTTCCAGCATTTGCACAGTGCTTGACTATTGCCATTGGCTGCGGTCGCGAGAAAACGCGGGCTCATTTGCCCCGCAGCCGAAGCATCACGAGCAAACGCACAGACTCACCAGTTTAAAGCACCGCGGCGGTCGTGGTGGCTAGGCGGCCTAGCTCTAAGCAAAGCAAAGCAAAAAACAGCACAGCGCGCAAAACAATGGACGTCGTCGACCTTTTAAATGACAGAGAAACCTTCGCCGACGACCTGGTCGACGACGCGAGCGAGCCGTCGCTCGAGCTCCACGTCACAAATGATGGGACCGTCGTCGACTCCTTCCTCGCGGAGCGCGCCATAAAGCTCCAGGAGGCCGACGCCGCCCTGGCCCAGCGGCGCGACGAGTCGGCGCGGAAGCTGCGCGAGGCCCGGTTACAAGCGGAAAACCCGCCGATCCGCGAGCCGGCGTCGCCGGTCGTGAACATAGGCGGCGCGCTGCGACGGTGCGAGGAGGACGACGACGACAGCGCGCTGCCGCCGACGCCGCCGCCGCGGCAGCGTCCTTCAGAAATGTGGACGGCCGGCAGTCCATCAACGCTGCCGCCGCCGTCGCCGGCCTTCACAACGAATCAGACCGTGGCCGTCGACGATCGCAATATAAGACGGCCGGAGAACGCGCCCGCGAAGTCAATAGAGGAGCGGCTCAAGCTGCGGATCGCCGGCCTCAGCGGTACAATAAGGGAGGTCACCGCGGAGAAGCACCTCGTCGAGCAGGAGCGCGACGCCTTGAAAAGGGAGCTCGAACGGGAGCGGCGGCGGCGTAGTATGACCCCGACGCCGCAGCAGATCGAAAAAAAGTCGGACGAGACGGCCCTAAAAAAAGAGCTGTTGGCGGCGCGCGAGGCCACGGCGACGGTCAAGACCGCGCTGAACGACGCTAGAAAACGCGAGCGCCGCGCCGTCGAGCTCGGCGGGGCTTTACGACGGCGTGTCGGCGACGAGCGCCGCCGCGCCGACGCTGCGGAGAATGAATGCAATGAATTGAAACGGCGCTTAGCGGCCGTCGAGGCCGAGCGCGACGGTGAACAGAGGCGGTTGATCATGCGGCGCGACGCGGACCGAAGGCGCACGGAGTCGTACACGAAATTCGCCGAGGCCGCCGCGGAGGCTTCTAAAAGGGAAGAAGCGCTGCGGGACCAGCTCCGCGAAGCTCAAAACCGGGGGACGCGGCGCGCGCGCGATCTCGAAGCGCTGCGGCGCGCGGCCGAGGACCGTTGTACGGACGCGGAGCGCGAAGCTAGACGGCTGACCGACGAGGTCGACGCGCTGCGCGCGGCGCTGGGCCGCGCGCCGAAGCGGCGGGAGCGGCCGCCGACGCCGAGCGCGTCGCCTCCTAGACGGCCGCCCTCACCAAAACCGCCGCCACCAGAAAAACCGTCCTACTGGTCGGAGCCGGACTCGTCCGAGGAGGCGCCGACGCCGCCGCGCCGGAGGGCCGCGCCGCACCGGACGCGCGTCGTGCCGCGGCGCGACGACGCGACGGCGCGCTACGAGCGCCTCCAGGCGGCGTTCGAGCGCGTGACGAAGGGATCAAGGCAATAATTTTCAACTTAGATCTATTGCCGAGGTCCAGCGGCTCGCGACGCGGCACAGCATCGCTAACGATGCTCCGAAGATGAGGTGGCCGAGCGAGAATCGTGATGAAGATGCCTCGCTCACGTGGCGTCGTCGCCGCCGCGCCCTTGTCAGCACACAAGCCGGGAGAGACGGCGCGCCGGCGTGCAACGGGCCGTCCCAGGCGAGCATATCCTTGCGCATCAACCGATGCGCGGTCATAGTCTGTGTGGAAATCAACCAGTGAGTTAGGTTCTTCGAGCCGACGCAGAAGTAATTCGCCTGAAATTTGATTTCCACACAGCTTTTTGCGTGCGCGAAGATGTCAAAAAAACGCCCGACGTCCCTCCCATGCTCGCGCCGGATGTTCGACGAGCCGCCCGGGTGGTGGTAGGGGCTGCCTTCGAACACGAACTTCGTGCAGTCGTAGACGCGCCGGTCTAACGAGATGACGCATCGATACGGTAACACCTCGGCGACGACCGCGGCCGTGACGGGGGGTAAGGCGACGCCTATTTTGTACCAGGCTTTCGCCTTGGCGCTCGCCAGGGCTGGATTTTTTGCCGCCCATTTGTTAGATTTCTGGTCGCAGCGGTCGAGGGCGTTTCGCACGGCCGCGTCCGCTTTCGCGTTGTGAGTTGATGCGCCGCCGACAGCGAGCACATCACGGACAGCGGTATCGACTGTTTGCGCGACCAGGCCGTCCCAGACTAATTTTGATTCGCCGGCCTCGGCCCACGCTTTCGCTGTCGGGGCGGCATCTAAGACGTGGGCGGGCTTGAGGAACTGGAATATCGCGCCGACAACGTCTGGAGGCAGGGACAGGGTTGGCATGCTCTTTTGCGGCCGCATGGTGCTCACGGACGGTGGCAGGCTTTGTATGCCACGTCAAAGGCTGACGGCTGAGATACAGTTGGCTCGCGGCAGCACGAGGGAGCAGAAGGACCCTATGAAGGCCTTCACTATGTCCACTTAATGTTGTCGGCTGAGCACTGGCCGCAGATCCGCCGGCTGACTCCACTATTTTCTTAGGGTTAGCGGCATGTAAGACACTAGCAAATGGAGCGCGGTGCGCAGCGCTTGTTTAGTGGGCATAGCAGTCGCAAAGCTGCACTTGAGCGTAATTAGAAACAGCAAAGACCACAGGGGCAGCCTATCCACCATTATGCGCATCGTCTGCCTCGGAGACAGCCTGACAAGTGGCTACAGCCAGGGCGAGGACAAATACCCCTACGGCGCCATCCTGCAGAAGCTCCTCGACAAGGAATGCGGCAAGGGCAAGCACGAGGTCATCACGTGCGGCAACAACGGCGAGACGGCGGTGTCGATGGCCAAGCGCTACGCGGTGACGACCGAGATCGCGGAGCGCCGGCGCCTGCCGCCCAAGCTCTTCGTCATCCTGGCCGGGACGAACGACCTGCTCGCCTATCCTCAGATAGAAGAAGAGAAGATCGTCGGCGCGCTGGCGGCGATGGTCGATCAAACAGCGGTCGAATCAGCGGTCGCCGTGGTTTGCACGGTGCCAAGGATGCCCGCCCCGGAGGAGCGGTCCCCGGATTTTGGGTTGACGAAGCGGCGCTACCGCCTGAACGAACTCATCGTCGAGAAATTCGGCGAGGACCGCGTCGTCGACACGTCGTCCCTCGACGCCTTCGAGGACGACGGGCTCCACCTCACGAAGCGGGGCTACGCGGAGCTCGCGAAGCTCGTCTACCCCGTCTGCCGCGCCGCGATGAAGCGTTGTCGGCCGTCGAAGAAGACGACTGCGCCAGCGCCAACGCCGACGCCCAAAACGGAAGCGGCGCCGACGCCCAAAACCGCGCCGGCGCCGGACGCCACGCCCGCCGTAAAAAAGCTGCAAGCGGCGTACGGGTAAGACAGACACAAAATTATAAACACAAGCAATCAGTCCGCGGCCGGCAGCAGCTTCTGCGCCGCGCCCCTCAACAACGGGTCCCGCCGGTCGACCTTGTACTTCGCGTGCGCCGCGTCGCCGAACGTCGCGTGCCAGTGCATGTCGCGCGACCGCACCTGGACCTCGACCAGCAACCCGTCCAAGGGCCGCAACAGCGTCGAGTGGAGCGACCGGTAGCCCGACGGCTTCGGCGCTCGCACATAATCTTTGGAACGATGCTTGAGCTCATTCCCCAAACAGTGCAGCGCGTCGCGCACGGCATACAATGAATCAGGGTGAGCGTCCTCGTCGGCGCGCGCGCCGAGCACGATGACCCGTAAACCGAGCACGTCGCGCACGGCCTTCGTGTTCGCCGAGCCGAGCATCTTTCTCAACGCGGAAGCGGCCGTCTTGACTCTAGCTTCCACGACTAACCGTCGTTCGACGCGCACGGCGGGCGGTAATACCAGAGCCGTCTCCGACAGCGTTAACGCCGTCGCGTCGTCCGGGAAAAATTTTGAGAGTAACACATCGCAGGACGCGATCGTCTCCGATAAAGACGCCCGACACGACGCCGCAAAGGCCTCGGGGCCCGCCGGGCCGACGGCCGCCGCTGCCTTGGCGACGTTGCGCTTCGCGTGCGCGTACGACTCGGGAAATAGCGTCGCGTAGGACCGGTCCTCGATGTCGTCCAATAATCTTCTAAACGCGACCTGTTGCTGTGCTGAGAGGCTTTTAGCCTGCGTGTCTCCTAATAATTCGCCTAATGGCAAATGCACGTGCACCGCCTGCAGCGCGACGCGCTTCCTCCTCAAAGGGTCGAGCCGCCTCAATGCCACGGCCGTCGTCGCGAGCTCCGCTACTAATGCTCTAGCATCAGTCGTCTCGACCGCGGCCTTGCGTCTGACATCGACGGCGCACGCATCGATGGCGAGCCACGCGTCCACAGCATTATGTTGCTGCTTGAGGTCGCTCTCCGCGGCGACGGGCGCCGCCAGCGTCCTCCTTAATGAAGACACCCCTATCTCGTCCGTACCACCGGCGGCCGAGGCGAAGGCCGCGACGCACGTCGTCGCGTCTCCCCCCACACACAGGACGACCTCGACGATCTCCAGCCGCGCCTCCAGCGCGTCGGCCGCCGACGTCTGGACCAGCTCCGCGGCGGGCGCCGCCGCGGCTAAAGCGTCTCTCAAGGTATTGAGGTCGTCCTCTTCCAAATGCGACAAGAGGCCGCCCCGCTCCCAGCGCGCCCAGGCTGCTACTACTCTCCACCTTGCGCCTCCTCTTCCAGCGCCGGCCTCATCTCGGGGCTCCTCGGGCTCTATATCTATAACGCCGTCAGGGACGGCGTCGACGATTATGGTCGGCATGACGTCCGCGGCGACGGCGGCGAGGTATTCCTGCCGGTTCACGGTGCCGTTGCCGTCGGTGTCGGCCTTGGCCACAAGCTCTTTAACGTGTTCGAGGCTCACGTCCGCATCATTCTTCGACAGCGCGTGATAGATCTCGTCGGCGGTCAGCTCGCCGTCTCCATCAACGTCGATCTCGGCGAACGCTCGTAACGCGGCGCGCTGCTCCTCCGTCAGGTCGGTCCGCACCTCGCTGGCGGCGACGGGTATCTCGGGCTCGACCGGCGCCGCGGCGAGCCTGAGGCGCATGTTTGCCGGCGTCGAGCTGAGGTGCAGTTTGGCCCAGTGTTGGGGGGGCGCCAGCAGGGCGCCAGCGCCCGCGAGTAGTAGTGGTAGTAGTCTCATATTATCGGTAGGGCACCCTCATGTTATGCATTGTTACCTCGTTTGAGGGCAAAACGCATCGATGACAAGACAGCCGCAGAGTTAGCTAGCGTCCACAAGACACTAGAAACACATGAGGTCTCGTGGGGCCACGAGGTAAGTGCGGGCCGTGATTTCTCTCTGGGTGGCCAAGGCCGTCCGGCCTTTGAGCGCGAGACCCCGCACCTTCTCCCATCTCAGCGGACTTGGATGGCTTTGCGGGCAGCGCCCCAGCCCAGACGAAGCACTGGACCGTGGTCAGGCATGGATTCCGCATAAGACTGGTGAAGAATGATGCTGCGGCTACTCGTGGCAGCTGCCCTGCTCCAGACCGCTGCCCCCAGGCTGGTCTACGAGCCGCAGGCCGACTTCTACGGCGCCGACGAAATTACCGTAGAGGTCACGACCGACGCCGACGCTGATAATGCCTCGACCGTCATACCTATAGTCGTCGCTCCTATCGACGACGCGGCGACGCTGCTTGTTTCCGGTGCGTTAACGGCAGAAGCTGGTGGCTCACAAATCTGCGTGCTCGACAACGCAACGATCAATGACGTGGACGGAGGTGATTCGATGGTGTCTCTGGTCATAGGGGCGGACCGCGGCGCTATCACCTTAAAGCCGACGGCGCATGATGCGCATGGCGTCCGTCTCGTGAAGGACGCGCCGCTGACGCTGGAAGCGACGCCATTGCGACTGACGGCACTGCTGAGGACCTGCGGTATTACGTATGAACCGCCTCGCACGCCGGGGCCCGATCTCGTGACGGCGTCGGTCGACGGAGGCCCTCCCTCGTCACTGGATATTGACGTCGCGCCAGCGGCGCCACCCACCTTATTGGGATGCGGCTCGGCCCCCGTAGTGGTGCAGGAGGGTGCTTCCACCAGTATACCTCTCGTTTTTAGTGGAGGCGTCGAGGATTATCCAGTCATGAAGCTCGCGTGGTCCTCGCCATCTGTTGTGTCCATCCTGAACGGCACGGACTCCCTCCTGTCCGTGGCGACGCCCACATCTTTGGTGTTGAGCTCGCCGGCTTCACTAAGAAGGATGGTCGCTTCGCAACTGCTAGTGTACAAAGGCGCAAAGCGAGGCACGCACGCCATACGCTTCGAGCTCACGGGTTTAACTGAATTGAACGGCACTTCCCTAGGAATGTCGGAGGCGACGTGTTCGGTACGCGTCTCTCCGACGAACGCAAAACCGTCGTTCCTGGGCGACATGTTTTGGAAGGGTGACGAGGACGCGCTGATTTCCGTAAGAGGCATCGTCGTAACGGATGCGGACGCCGACGACGTGTCCCTCGACTTAGTAGCAAGTACTGGTAGATTACTCCTAGCGGCGAAACCCGTCGGCATAAATATCGCCACGGCCGAAGGCGATGGCGCGTGGCCTCCGAACTCGTCTTCGTTAGTATTGAGGGGCGGCGTCGACGCTGTGAATCGAGCTTTGGATGGGTTGCGGTTCGAGCCTCCCAGAGACTTCTCCGGCGAAGCGTCGATCGACATGCGCGTCGTCGACGAGGCGGGCGCGTCTGCCGAGGCCACGGCCATTATCGAACTAGAGGAGGTCGCCGACGCGCCGCAATTCCTTGCGGGAGAAGCCGTCTCAGCGTTGGACGGCGCCGTCCACGCGCGGGAGGACGAAGTGATGAGGCTGGGCGGGTCCAGTCACGGGTGGCCTGCGACGGGTGGTCATGGGGAGGTCGTTTCATTAGTTCCGAACGACCTTGGTAGTGTTGATGCCGTCCTGTCCATCAGCATCGACCATTTCACGGCCTTCCTGCTCCGGAACGACACGTGGCTGGAGCATGGCGTCGCAGTTCTACAGAGTGATGAACTACGCCTGAGCGGCACCGTACAATCTTTGAGCGCCGCATTGGCCGACATTACATTAATCCCGTCACAAGACTGGCACGGCCACGCCCGTTTACGATTGAATCTCACTGAAGATAATATAGAACTCGCCGCCACGACCATAGAACTTGCGATAGAGGGCGTGCAGGACGCTCCTGTACTCATTGGTGCTGGACCGTATGAGGTCGAGGAAGACACGTACCTACCGCTAGCTATCTCCCTGGTAGATCCGGACTACGATCACGCGGAGGCACCTGATGTAACGTGTTCGTTGCGAGTGTCCGCGAGGAGCGGCTCGTTACATATAAAAGGAGGCAAGGCGTTCGCGGCGGCGTCTGGTGCTATACTCTTCGAGAATGATGGCATCGAACTGAAGGGCACGCCCTCGTCGATAACTTCCACGCTCGCAAAGCTAGAATACGTGAGTGCCCCGGACTGGTCTGGCGACGACGTCGTCGACGTCGTCGCCGACGATGGAGGCGGCTTTCCCGTTTCAGATGCGTTAATAGCGACGCTAGCCCTTCCGATACGCGTCCATGCGGTTGCTGACGCGCCGCGCGTCACGAGTCCATCTCAAGTGTTATTTGACGAGGCGTCGAAAGGTGTCGCACTAGGTAGGAACGGCACGAAGACCGAAACGCCCATCCCAGGCGTGTCCGTCTACGACCCCGATTCTGAGGTGGTCAGTGTGACGTTGACCGCTACTTCTGGTAGAGTCAAGGTCGTTGGCCGCGTCCAAGATGTCGAGAGTGGTGCGGGGACGGAGTCGCCGTCGTCGTATCAACGAACGCTTTCGTTGAGAGCGAACCAGGCCGCGTTGAATGCTGCTCTCAGTACATTAACGTGGGTCCCTGATGATGCCATAGCGGAGCGCGACGGCTACATCTCTGGTTCCTTGAAAGTGGAGGCCTCTGACGGTGTCTTGACGAATGCCACTTCTATCAGTATAAGAGCAGCAGCTTATAACGACCCACCGCTCATAACGGGGGATGTTGAGGACGTTCTGATGAAGGAGGATAGCGACTGGGTCTCACTACCATCTCTGGAAGCGTCGGACGACGACGACCGTGCCCTAACGTTAAAAGTGTCCGCAAGGAGCGAAGGCGCGCTCGAGGTCCATTCTATCAAAACTTCAGCACTAATCACGACGCGGTCCACGGCCGTCCACGTCGTCAGGGTCGTGAACGCTTCATGGAACGCGTCGCAAGTGGAAAGGGGAGCCTTTCGCCTCGTCGTGGACTTAACAAATATAGAAGGTTTACCAGACGGCGCCGCGACAAGAGCCACGACCGAACCTATCGCCTTCGACGCCGTCGCGAGAATTGCTGATGAAAGGACGGGTTCTGCGGGCGAACGACTGCGGGAAAGCGATGGTTTAGATGGTGATTTATCGCACCAGTCGGTAGAAGCAAAACTCATGAGCCTACCGAACGTCAAGCGGGCCGGTCTCCGCGTTAGTGTGACGCGGGAGGATTACGCCGCGTTCGGGTCGCAGCACTACGACCGCTACGACTCGCTTGGAGGGGCTAGATACGTCGACGACTATCAAGTGCGACGGTCGTACTACAAGTCCGTCGGTAGTAGGTACTCTAGACCGGCTCCAGTGAACGGCGGCCACGAGTGGCGCATTACGTTTGAAGGTTCTACTCCTGAAGCCGCGTCGGCACCTGTCCTAATTCATGCGGATGCGTCGATCTGGGACGGTCTCAAACCAAGTGTGGAGACGGTGCGGCACGCGAATGCTATTCATGGTTCGTTTTCTGTCCTTGTGAAGGGCTACTCTACTTCTGTACGACATAACGCGTCGTCCACCGACCTAGAAAGAGCTCTCATGAGCTTACCCTCGGTCACTGCCGTGTTAGTAACTAGATCGGGAGAAAGTGAGTCGGGCGGCTTCGAGTGGCATTGTACCTTCATGGACTCTTCGGTCGACCTGCGAGTCGACGGTTCGCACTTGCGAGGCGAACACGCATCAGTAACGTCCTCTCTATTACGTGCTAGATTCGGGGACCCGCAATTACACAGAATCGACGTGTCGCACGATCCACACGTATCCATCCATGCGCTATCACTTAAGCGTGGAAGGAACTTCATGAGGATCGGCCTCGACACGCGGAACTGCTCCATCTATTCAGGTGGCAGTCACTACCTCGCGAGTGGCTCATTGCGGTTCACGAGACCAATTCCCAGAATAGCGCCAGGTAGTGTGGAGGAAGAAGTGGATGGGATGGCGGAGTTCAATCGCGGTTTCGATCACGCCTACCCGCCCCACAGTCTACCGGGGCCCAATTCTTCGGTGGAAGCGCACCTGTTGTCCTTACCTAATTGGGGCGATCTGGGGGAGGAGGCCTCTGTGTCCGTGTCGAAGCATGACAATGCCGGTACGACCGTGTGGAGAGTTACCTTTGTCAACACCCCACATGCCCTCCCGCTCTTGCGCGTTCTCGCGGTCGAGGGCAACGACAATTTGAATAGGGATGTCCTTGCGTTGATAGATGCCGAGGAAGACGTCTGGGATTTGATGAACACGTCTATAACACGGTCAAAGTCGTACGCATCAAGAGCGGGCCTCAAGTCACGTTTATCAGATGAAGCGTCGGCGGCGCTCGAGCGCGAGGCGTCGCAACTACGAGGCACGTGGAGAGTAAGGTGGGGTGCTGATGAGACGTGGACGCGACCCTTGTCGACGGACGCGACGGCTTCGTCCGTCAAGGACGCTCTTGAGCGTTTACCTTCCTTACAAAGGCCCCACCCCGATCGAAAGGCCCTGATGGTTGTCTCGAGGGCAAGGGTACCGCAAGGCGGCTTTATCTACTATATAGCGTTCGAACGCGACGCGTACGACTCTGGAGATTTCCAGACGGACCCGTCACAACTGCGAGGCCCCTCCACGAAGCGGTGCCGCGTGACGCGTTTACGAGATGCAACAAATGCGGGAACGGTGCGTATCAATGCAATAGCATCACTTTCACGTATAGAGGGCGACCCGCACTCTGGTAGTACTTCATTTGTTGTAAAGGGCGCGCCGCATTCCATAAGCGACGTGCTACAGACGTGGGCCTTCCAACCGGCACGAAATTACCACGGTCGCGTCGTGGTCGACGCTTCGGTGAAAGACGGGAGGAACGCCACGGCCTATCATGGGCTGTCAATTGAAGTGGCGAATCAGAACGATGCCCCCTCTGTGCTGTTCCGAGATGGTGCCGGCGCGTTAGCTGTCGATGAGGACGCCGAAGCGAGAATGACTGGTATTGAAGTCGTAGACGTCGATGCGGCACCGGGCGAGGTCCACACCGTTTCTATAGAAGCGTTGCATGGCGTGTTAGCGGTGCATCAGACGGCCACCGACGCGCGTTTTGGCGGCGAGGCGTCGTACACCGAGACGCTGCGACGGGGCGGTTTACAAGAGGCGAACCGCGGCACGAGCACCAATCCGGGCGTCCTGAAACGCATGCCTGTAAACACGCAACGAGTACATCCCGAGGCGGCGTCATCTGTGAACGGCTCATTAATTATCCAAGGGTCCCTATCAACAATAAATTCAGCCCTCTCTACACTATCGTACATCTCGCATGAGGACTGGCACGGCGTCGACACCGTATCAATATCAGCAGAGGATGCGTCGAACGCGTCGACGACCGCAGAACTTTTAGTAAGAGTGCGACCGGTCAACGACGTCCCCGCGTGGCACGTCGATTCTACACAGCGAGATGCGGAGGCCGCGCACCACCCATCTCATGCTTCGTCAGCTGGTCGAGGTACCTCCCTGTTATATGGCCGGTACGACCACCTGTCCGACGTTCATGACGCGTCGGCATTTTATAGAAGGAACAACGCCACTTTGTCTCATGGTGTGTGCGTGCCCGTCATCAGTGCCGCGGTGGATGCGCCCGTAGCGTACGGCACCTGTGCTGCGAAGTGGTCCTCGCCCGAAGACGATTGTGTGGATGAAGAGGGCTGCGTGTCATGTGATGATGATGAAAGGTGGTGCATGCTTGACCAGGAAAGGTGGTGCTACTGTTCTACACAAGTCGACGTTGTGGTAGTGCCGTCGCGATACGTCGACGAAGACCAGGGCTGCGTACTCGTAGGAGGTTTATCGATACATGACGCGGACGTGCGGTTCGTCTACGGGCGAGATTTTTCTTCTGAGGTAGCCTGGCCGGCTCATTTGCAAATCAGTGCGGCGGTCGACGATGGGGTGGTAGCCTTGCGAGCTGGAGACAAGCGGGGCGCTTCCGCGGTCCTCGACCAAGCCTTCGAGGGCGACGTCTTCGAGAACCTCGAGGTGGTCAGTGGAGACGCTTCCCAAGGTTCTTCAGTATTAGTCATGCGCGGCACGCTGGGAGCCATCAATCTCGCTTTAGGAGGTTTATGCTACCAAAGTGATGAAAATTGGAACGGCGTCGACGTTTTGCGCTTGACCGCTCGTGACGGCGGCGACGCGGCGCACGGCGCCGGCGGTATCAAGACGAGCGAGGTACGTCTCGCAGTACATGTCCGAGGCACAAGAGACGCTCCCGTGGTCACGGCACCGTTGATGGATGTAGAAGCTCTCGAAGATGCAGTGATCCAGTTCGGCGGCGAGAAGACCAGTGAAATCTACGTCTCGAGTACCTTCTCGGTAGTCGACGGCGACCTCGAGGACCTCACGAAGCCGTTGAGGAGGTGGCTCGTTCCTGCATCAGAGTCGCTGGATTCGATCAATACAAAGACGTGGACCGGCCCCTGGCGCGAGGCTAATAGGTTCGATAGTGACTCCACAGATGGCACCTTCGCCTACGTGGACGCAAATCATCCGACCTGGCTTGGGTCTATAGAACCACATGCTGATGCGGGCCAGGTGTCTTCCGCGAAGCACGCGTTCACGCGCACACAAGTCAAAGATTCGTATTCGTTACACATCTCTTCGCGAAGGGGCGGTCTAAGGCTGCCACTATCAAAAGATGATGATAAAACGTGGCCCCACGCTATCGTACTACAAAACTACACGTTGTTTGAGACTAATAGAGCACTACAAGGGATACTCTACAAACCGGACCTTCATTGGAACTCGCAGCATGCCGCGCAAACGTTAGCTGACGTCGGTACCGCTGGTGGTGTTATCGATCATGACATAGCTCTGGAGAACATCACAGTCGTCATCGAGGACGCCACGGGATTTAGTGGTACCGCATCTGTCCTGTTCTTCGTGCACCCCGTGAATGATGCCCCTGTTCTACAGCAGCAAAATGAAGTGACTCATCTCGAAAACGCGTCATCCGATCAACTGACGAGGCTGCGCCTGAGTACCTCCACAATACTCGTAGCGGAGGATTCTACGATCGATGCCATCGGTCTGAACGTGCGCGACGTCGATTGTGGGGATGTGGCCCACGGCGCGATGGACGTGTCGGCCGTCGTCCACCGCGGCACGCTATCGGTTGATGCGACTGATGCCACGGTCACCGGCGCGGGAGACATGTTGCATATTCACGGTTCACCGGTAGATGTTTCGAACGCATTGGGTTCCCTAGCATACACGCCCTCCAAGGACTATGCCGGCGACGACGCCTTGTTTGTGACGGCATCGGACCGGGGCAACGTCGGACGGGGCGGCGCCCAGCAAACGAGCCTGGAGGTGCCCCTGTTCGTCGATTCCTCTTGTGACGCGCCCGTGATCACACCAGTGAAGAAGGTCGTTTCTACGAATGAGGACGCCGGCGTCTCCATCGGGTTCGAGGTTGCTGACGCGGACCACGCCAACTTAAAAGAGCTGTACGATCTTCATAAATTCCGCGAGTACCTGTATACGGATGAGGATGGATACACGTTGAACACGTCCGCGACGCGGACGTCGGCCACCTTTTTCCCAGAAGTGCAGGTCATGCTGACCGCTGGCAATGGTACCCTTACGCTGGATTCGTCCATACGGTCGGCCTTGACCTTTGTCCAGGGCAAGGGTGTCGCGGAGTCGACCGTGACGTTCCGAAGTACTTTACAGCATGCGCAGACGGCTTTGGCTCACGTCTCCTACGAACCGGCCCGAGACTACTTCACCTTCCCATTAGTAGATGTGGCGGCCGACACGGTCACGTTGGAGGTAGACGACCTCGGGAACGACTTCGGCGGCCTGCCCGAAGGCTTAGGTCAGAGGTGCGACTCATTAAAAACGACGGGGTCCATACGGATCCAAATCAACGCTGTCAATGACAGGCCCCACGTCGCGGTGCCGGGTTCCGTGTACAGAGGCCTCCCGGGCGGCACGGACCGCTCGTCTTTGCGACGGGATCTCGAGTTAATACGAGTCAAGCCGCTGACGGTCGACGAGGATGCGATCTTGGAGCTCGGCCACTTGGTAAGTGTTGATGATGATGGCGACGACCCGCGGGCCTTCCCGGCCGCCGAGGGCGCGCTCACTGTTTCTGTTGAGCAAGGCACGTTCTGGATGGATTGTTCTGGCGAAGAGCTTGAGGTGCGAGACGCTCCTTTCGCAACACAAGAACAATCTACGGAGAACGGCTGGCGCACGGGTTCTATCAGAATAAGAGTAACGCCGGAAGACCGGGACCGTTGTTTGAAGTCATTACGCTTCCGTGGTCTGAAGGATGACCACTCATTAAACAGCACGGAACCGAGGGCACACTTAACGGTAGGCTACGAGGACGGCGGCTACGGCTCGATCCACGAAGCGGCCGGCGTCCGGGGCTGCAGGGCCTGCGCGCCGGCCTACGGTACTTCTGTGGTGGAACCGTCGCTGTTTGACGTGAAGACGATACCTATCATCATCCTCCCAAAAGCGGACCCGCCTTCTATTCACTCACCCTATGACGACGGTGTTTCCGTGGTGGTGGACGAGGACCACGACCTCTACTTACCTTCCATAAAGGTGATAGACCCGGACGACGCTGAAGCCTCCTATGTCCTGCGGGCGTCCACGACGCACGGCGCCATTTCTTTGGGTGTGGACGCCTGGTTCCAGTCGCCTCTGCGGTACGAGGTCGGCGACGGCGACGCTGATAAGTCGATCGTGGCGCGCGGACCGTTGTCCGCAGTAAACGCGGCGCTGGCCGGTCTGCTTTATAAGCCGCCACGCGACTTCACCGCGACAGATGAGATTGATCTGCTGGTCGAAGATTTGACGAATTTCGGGCGGACGGCCTCGTTGTCCATACCTTTAAGGGTAGCGCCGTCCGTGACCTGGAACGACGCGCCGGTCCTCAGAATCCCGAACGAGACGCGCGTCGGCACGCCTTGTCTAGCGGCGCCGCAGTCGTCGTTGCTACGGACGCGAGGGGTGTCGGACAAGCTGAAAGAGTACCCCCAGTGCGACCGGCGGCTCGCTGTGGCGGCCTTCGCCAACTTCGCGGAGGATGTGCCGCGAAAGGCCTTTGCCGGTATTTCAGTAAGTGACGCGGACGGTTCAAGGCTGAAGGTCACTTTGGTAACGTTGCGAGGGACGCTGCGCGTCGACCGGTTTGATAGTTTGGGTCTCGAGAGTCTCGTCAAGGAGCCCAAACGCCTAGAAGTGCGCGGCGAGCCCGAACTACTGAACAAAGCCTTCGCACAACTAGAATACGTGACTGATCCAAATTGGTACGGTGTAGATCATTTGAACATAACAGTACACGATGCGCACAATCATTACGACAAAGCCACGATCCTCCTAGACGTAGCCAGTAGGCCGGACGCGCCTTACGTAGAAATGCGTCGCGATGACGAAGCGTCTTACTACAGAGGCACGACCGGTGAAACGAGGTATGACGAAGGTAACTGGAAGAGGGTGCTGCAGTTCGAAGTAAACGCCGAGGAGGACCGGAGGATCAGGCTGCCGTCATTACGAGTTAGAGATTTAGACGCGGAGGCGAATAGTGAAACGCTGGAAGCCGCCACACGTGGTGGAATGACGGCAGCCTCGGCAATACGAGAGTTGGTGGGCGGTGTGCAAGTACCCCAAGCGTTCGAGAATCATAAAATAGAGCAGGACGCGACGCTACGACTGGACATAAGTGTCGAGCATGGGAAAATTAGTTTGTGTTCCATACGCTGCCCCGGTGTGCTGTTCGTGGAGGCCGCGCACGATAGGGACGCTTCCCGTAGAACGGGTCCCGCGACGGATGGAGATGTGGTGCGACAGGGCTGGCCCGAACTCGTCGAAGGCGGCCGGGCCGCGACCGGCGAGATCCTCCAGCTGCTCGATGCGGCCCCTGTTCGTAGAGAGGACGGTCTCCTGACCGGGACTAATCTGAAGTGGTGGCGCAACGCGACCCTTCGAGGTACGGCCGCCAACCTCAACGCGGCGCTGTGGGACATGCACTACTGGCCGGCCTTGAACTATAATAGTGACGATGGTCGTAGTAGAGACCACCTCTCTTTGACAATAGCTGATGGTGATAAAGCGCATACGGTCGATGCGGCTATTAGCATAGCGGCGGTCAATGATAGACCAGTGGTCCGGGCCGCTCGTCTAGAAACGGTGAGCGTCACAAACAAAGGCGACACACAAACCACCGGAGACGGGTTATCTCTGGTAGCGGTCGGTGTCAACGACGACGCGCTCGTCACTACCGAAGACGAGCCTCTGCCTTTGACAGATCTGTTCACGGTGCGCGACGTCGACACCGACGCCGCGCTGGAAATTGCCATTACGACGACGCATGGACGGAGCTCCTTCTCTTCACAAGTGAGCGAGGTCGTCTTTCTGGAGCCAAGTGACTTCGTCATGAGTCGTGGTTCTTCCCACATCAAGTTCCTAGCGACCGAGGCCAAAGCGAATAGTTTGTTAGCTTCCTTGATCTTCACGCCGTTGCGAGACTGGCATGGCAAGGCCTCTCTGACTGTTACGTGTAACGACCGCGGCGGTCTGTCGCACTCGCAAGCCGTCAAAATTAGAGTAAGGAAAGCGAACGACGCGCCCGTCGTCACGGCACCGGAATTAGCAGGTGGCTACGCCCTCTACCTGGACCAGGGCGGTCGCGGTAAGCTAGAAGGCGCGTCGCACGAGGAGGCCGGTCGCTACTATCGACAAACAATGTGGACTGAAGAAGAAGCTTCTGCGTATGTCTATGACGAGGATGTCATCGAGTATCAGTATCCCTCTTCATTGGAAGCGCACTTGGGGTACGAGCTCTGGTCGTCACGACCGACGCGCGACTACGACGTCGACCTTAAGTTTTACGACTCCGAACCTATCGTAGGGTGGGAGTCGGCGCCCGTGCATGACATCTCACGCCCTAGATACTTCGTCAACTACCAGGAGCGACTCTTCTTCGCTGCGGAGGATGATCAACATGGCGCCGAGCTGTGGAGCACGGACGGCTCCATCACGAACATGAATGCTGATATTATGCCTGGTAGAAGAGGGAGTGATCCCCGCTATCTCACGAAATATGAAGACTTGCTCTACTTCTCTGCGGCCGGTCACGCCGCGGACGAGTGGCGGATCGACCCGAAATACCGGGACGAATGCGACTCCATGCGGCGAGCTTCTTTCGATAGTGATGTTGCGTTCGTCGTCTCCGCAAATAATGTGTGGGAGCCAGGAAAGACGTACGACTGCCCCCGGGGCTGGCGCTGGATGAACTCTGAGGAAGCGCTCACCGTTTTCACGGGCCGGAACTACGGCCCGTCGCAAGGTGGGAGAGATGAAAACCCTCTGAAGAAACGTCATGACCTGGCCACTGATGAAGAAAGGGTCTACTATTCCCAATGTGGCTGGGAGGCCTGGTCCTACGAAAATGTGCAGCGCGAGCACTTCCGCTTCTCCGACAGTCATGTCACGGGTTTATATAAGGCGGCGTCGTCTCCCGACTCCCGGAGACCGGACGTCGACCTGGTCAAGGGCGGCTGGCGGGGTGTGTCACTGAAAACGTCAAGGTTTGCGGGCATCGTGTGTAGAGCGGATCCGGACTCGTATGACGTGGCACCTTCCGGTAGGGAGCTCTGGGCCTCCGACGGCTCGCCGCAAGGCACGTTTCGTGCCGTTAATTCCGCGTCGCATTCTGACCCCCAGTATCTCTGTGTTTTTGATGGAGCGTTGTTCTTCGGTGCGATGTCCGAACATGGGCGAGAACTCCACCGCTTCTCGAAAGAAGATGAAGATGGGAGAGGCGTCATGCGCCTCGTCGCAGACGTACGGAGGGGCCCCGACGGTTCGGACCCGAAATACTTGCAAAGCTGCGGTAATGTCCTGTGGTTCGTCGCAAATGATGGGTTGAGAGGGGACGAATTGTACGCGTCGGACGGCGGGTTGGGGTATCTGAATAGAGATGCGGGTGATTCCGCAAATGATAACGTGCTATACGAACAACGAGGGGAATCAGGGACGAGACTAGCGAGGGACATAAGACCGGGCAAAGGTTCTAGCTCGCCGGACCACTTCGTCTGCTTGAATAATGTGCTACTATTTGCGGCCAGTGACGACGGTCACGGCCGGGAGCTGTGGCGCGCGGCCTGGGCCGATTTAACTGATTCTACTACTTTACAAGTAACACGCGTCGCGGACGTCCACCAAGGGGCCGGCTCGTCGTCCCCGGAGTACCTCGCCGTGTTACACAACAAAGTTTATTTCTCTGCTGATGATGGCCGAGTGGGGCGGGAGCTCTGGAAGACGGACGGGACTAAGGCGGGCACGCGGCTCGTGGCCGACGCTCGACTAGGTTCGTTGGGCTCGTCGCCTAGATACCTGACTCGGCTAGATAACAGGCTCTTCTACGTCGCGCGCACGCCAGATCCCGCGGACGAGGTCGATCGCTCGATAGAAGCCCCGGTTGCTACCCGATTGTGGGCGACGGACGGCACGCGGGCCAACACTAAACCAGTCTTCGACACGACGGTTATGGATCTGGACCGAAGGAGTTTAGATGAAGGCGGCGGCGCGCTGGCTTCCTTAAAAAATGCGTTGTACTACCCCGCGCGGCGCGGCGCTATGCAATTGGACGGCGGTTTGAATGGAGGCCACGCGTCGCAACGGAAGGGCCGGCCCCAGGCGTTCGCCGTGCACGACGCTGATGATGACGTGCTCACGCTCGTGTTAGATGTTCTACCGAGAGAGGCGGGCGGCCTGTCGTTGGATGTGGCGCCGCCTCCCTCAATTGAAGTGCTGGCGGGCGACCTTACACGCGATTCAACACAGACGTTCCGCGGGACGAGCGCGCAGTTGAATCTGTTGCTGGCCGACCTATGGTTTGTGGCGGCGCCGCAGTATGCAGGCGCGGTCGAGATCCAGGCGTCGGTGCGCGACGACCCGCTCCACTGTATAGCGAACGTCACGGACGGGTGCGAGCGCGGCGAGAATGCCACAGGGGTGGCCACGATGCGCGTCTTCGTGCGACGGCACAATCAGGCGCCGACCGTTTCTCTGGTGAAGGGACCCATTGGGGCGTCGGCCGACGGCTGGAACCGCTTCGAGGGCTTCGCATCCATTGGCGATCCGGACGCCGACGACGCGGACCTCGGCGTCGACGCGTCGACGGGTTTGAGGATCGAGCCGCGGCTCGTCGTGACCGTGACGGTGCAAAAGGGCGTCGTCTCGCTCGGCGCTACTGATGCAAGGCTGTCCTTCATCGAGGGCACCGGCGTCGAGGACCGCCGCGTCGTCGTCGACGCTTCGGTGGAGGCGCTGAACGACGCGCTGGGCGTCGTGACCTACGCGTGTGAGAACTGCGAGCTCGGGAGCGACACGATATCTGTGGAAGTCGACGACGGGGGGTTCAGTGGTTTGGGCGGGCCGCTCACTGCGTCAGGATCCGTCGAGGTGAGCATCGTACGGAGGTAGTAACTACTTTTCATTGTTAGTCTACCGTGACCTCTAGCCGCTCCTCGTTTAGTCAGCTGTTGTTACTTGCCCGTCGCCTACCCCTAGGCGCCCGGGTGCCCAGCACCTACTCGGCAGGGAACATGGCCGACGGCACGCTTGCGCCGGGCGCGATCTTGAAGACCGCGTTGTCGAGGAACTCGTCGCCCGGCGCGATGTCGTTGTTGTCGATGAAGGCCTGAAATTCTTCAGTAGTACAGTCGGCCTTGGCCTCCCAGATGCAGACCATGGGGTCCGAACCACCAGCCTTGGTCGCGACGAAGGAGTGGTTGTAGAAGCCGGCGGCCTTGTGGCCCTCGACCATGGCCGCGAACTTGGCCGGGTCGCCGAGCGCGGGGCCGATCTTGCCCCAGAAGCCGGCGGCCCCATCAGGCTTGAACGTGTGGAGCACCCAGAAGAAGGCGCCCGAGGACGCCTTGGGCTCCGCCGGCTCGGCGTCCGTGAAGCCCGTGGCCGGCACGAGGGCGCCGGGCATGGCGCGGTAGCAGTCGTTCGTGAAGGTGCCGCCGGAGGCCGGGCTGACGGCGTCGTTGTCGATGAAGTCCTGGAACTTCGCCGCGGCGTCTTCGGTCTGGCACTCCCAGAGGCAGTTGAGCTTGGCGCCGTCCGGGCCGCAGGGCATCGCGTAGTGGTTCACGTAGCCGAGCGCCTTGTGGCTCGCGGCCATGGCGGCCATCTGCTCCTTGTCGCCCATGAGCGGGCCCATCTTCTCCCACCAGGCCGCCTTCTTCTCGTCGTCCACGAAGGTGTGGACGACGCTCACAAAGATGGGCTCGGCCAGGGGGTTCGCCGGCTCGGCCGGCGGCGCCGCCGTCGCGTCCGTGCCCTCGGCGACGGTCGTCACCTTCGCGCCCTCGTCCGTCAGCTCCTTCGTCGACTCCGCGGCGCCGTCGGCCATGGTTTCGTCGCTGCCGCTGCGTGGGGAGCGCGGTCTTCGCACGAGCCGCTTATCTATGGGCGTGGGGCAGCTTCCTGCTGGAACAAAAGTTGGGCAGCCTCTCCGACGGCCGCCACGGCCGGACGAGCTGCGACGCGGCGGCGCGGAGGCGGGCAATGGGCGGGCGAGGCTGCACGTTCCTGCACGCGGGCGCACCTGTCAAATTTCTTGGCTGCTCTGCGGTGCGAGCGTGAAACAGCTGCGAGAAGGAAGTGCGGGGCGCTCGCGTGGCCGCCGCGACGGCTCCTACGAAGCGCGAGGTGTCTAACCTCCTAAAGGGGATGTACACACACAGTTTTTAGACTTCCCTAGGTCCGTGAGCGCGCGCGTGCGACTCCCGACTTCCCGCGCACGCGGGCGCGACTCATGTCTTCCACCCCTGTGTCCGCTGGTGGTCCATGTACTCCACGTAGTCCGCCCATTGCGCCTGCACGGAACGACGACGTCGCGAAACTGCCGCGGCTCTCTCGCGACGCGTAGACTCTCATGCGGCCGCGTCGACGGCGTCGCGGCGACCACGTCGACTCGAAGCTGACTTCCCACGCTGAGTCAGTGCCGCGAGCTTCTTCTTCTGCTTCTCGCTCAGCGGCGGCGCCTTCTTGCTGATGCCCCGCTGTTTTGGTGTGAGCAGCGGCGCCGGCGCGTCCTCGTCGACGACGTTCGCCGCGGCGTCGGCCGGCGCGTAGTCGTCGGTTGCTCTCGCGTTTGCGTCGTCGCCGTCGCTTGTGCTGAGTGGCCGGCTCCAGGCGCGTTTTGCGTACAGCTGCGAGGTGGATTGGTGTGCAGTGGTTACTGGGGCCCTGAAAGACCTTGAGGCTGGCCGCATTGCGGTAGTAATGCGAGATATGGATCGTATCATGTTGCACGCGCCCGTTGGACCGTCAATGCAGCCGCTAGCGCAGCAGACGCGTGCAAAAACGTGGGCCCAGTTCGCGGTTTTGCCGAAATTTTGAGCATTCCTCGTGTTGCTTGAGAGGTTATTCGCGTTAAGACACGTCCTTGCAGTAACGTGTGCGCTTTGCGAATTCGTATTTTGATCTCTAGAGGTGTTACGCTAGTGAGAGCGGTTGTTTGGAGCCCGCGCAGCGCGAAACAGTTTCGCCGAGCCCGCGCGGCACATAAGGGCCTGCCAGAACGTCATCTCATCTGGCCGGGTGGCACTGTGCAAGAAGCCGCGCTCCCTGAGCCGTCGCTGGCGCCAAAAACAGTGTGCGCAGCGAAGGCCATTATTTACGCCGCGCGTCGGCGAAGCGCACGAACCGAGTTCGCAGCGCCTCTCCGCGCGCAGCGCCCACGATATAAACAATGGAGCCCGCCTCGCCCCCACCCAAGCGCACGCCCGCGCCGCGGACGCCCGTCGGCGCGCGGAACCAGCCCAAGGCCCCGACGCCCGGCCGGAGCCGTCCCGCGCCGGCGTTGTTCGAGGACTACGCCGCCTTCGCGCGCGCCGCGAGGCGAGCGGCGGCGGCCGTCGGCGCGCGCGCCGCGCCGGGCGAGCGCCGCGACGCCGTCGCCGACGTCTGCTGGCGGGCTTGTGCTGATTCGGTCGCGCGGCGCGTGCCGCCGCCGCGCACGCTGGCCGTGGCATGGGTGCCCCAATTGATACAGGAGCTCGGGGCTTCGACACGAGTCGAGGCGCGAGCGTTACGACGGGCCGTGAGAGCGCGCTGCGTGCGGCCGCCCTTGCAACGAGCGACTACAGAAACGCTGCCGGCGCGGAGCCCCACGCGCACGTCGTCGGCCGACGAAGCGAGGAGGAAGCTGAGGGACGCGGAGCTGCAGGTGCTCCTGCGCGTGACGCTCAGCGCGGACGCGCGCCGCTTGCAGGATCGGGACTTTAGGGCCGTGCGCGCCATCGTCGAGCACGCGTCCTTCGCCCTGAACGCGCCGCACGTGCGCTGCGAGCCGCCGCGAAGGGCGCGGCCCGCGGACGACGCCGACTACCACGTCGACTACGCGTCGCTCCCATCCTTCGTGGCGACGGCGCTCCAGCCACCTTTGTCAACGCTCGCGCCGGAGGTCCTCGACCGCCTCGCCGCCGCCCTGGAACTCGCGAGCCAGGACGAGCCGCCGCCTCCCCCCAGACGCCGGCCGCGCCAGAACGACGACGGCGCCTGGCCCGCGCCCGCGCGGTCCATGCTGCCGCCCGCCAAGCGGCCGCGCCTCGAGCGCCGCGCGTCGTCGTCGGGCGGCGCGCCGTCGGGCGGCTCCTGGGCCGCCTTCTGCGCGGCGACGGCCGCCGCGCCCGCGCCGGCCGCGCCGGCCGCGCCGTCGACGACGCCCGCGCCGCCCGCCGCCGCGCCGGCGCCGCGCGCGCGCCCGCGCCGCGCGCCGGCGTCGGCGCCGCGGTCGTCGCAGCCGCTCGCGCGCACGCGCACGCGGCCGCCGCCGCCGCCGCCCGCGGCGCCGCCGCCCGTGCGCGCGCCGCTGCGCCGCGCGGGCTCGCTCGACCGCGCGGGGTCGCTGCGGCTGCTCGGCGCGTCGACGCAGCGGCGCGTCCTCGGCTCGCTCGCCGGCGACGCCTCGGCGCGCCGCGCGCCGCCCCGCTCCGCTGCCTCGGCCTCGGTGGCGCGCGCGCCGGCGCCGGCGCGGTCGCCGGCGGCCCGCGGCCCGCAGACGCTCGTCGACGCGGCCTCGCCGTCACCGCCGCGCCAGCGCGGCGGCGCCCGCGCGCGGGCCGCCGCCGCGCGCCGCCGCGGTGGATCGGCCGCCGCGCGGCGCTCGGGCTCGACGGGCGCGCCCGCGCCCGCGCCCGCGGCGCCGGCGCCGGTCCTCGCGCCGCGCATCATCGCGGAAACCCCGCCATACTTGAACTCGCCGGAGAGCGAGGACGAGGGCGAGGGCCTCGCGGCGCGGCGCCGGGCCGTCGCGCGCGGCAAGGAGCGCGTCCGCGGGCGGCTGGCCTTCTAACCGCGCGGCGTTCGGAACCCGCGCGTGTCTAAGATATATAAAGCGAACTGCAATTTACGTAGCTTGGATGCTCCGACGGGTCTTTCCATGCAGAAACACTCGGGGCGACGGCGTATGAGGGCTCAGGGCCGGGGGCGGGACGGGGCCCGAGAGGAAGGTCTGGGGTGAACGACTCCAGGCTTCACTACTTCTTCAACTGGGCGAGGATGCTGTTCTGCTCCTTGAGGCATTGGAGGATTTGGGCGAGGAGCTGCTCGGAGTTTCCGCCGCCGCCCCCGCCGCCGCCGCCGCTCCGATCCATGGACGCGACCGAGGGCGCGGCGTTGTATGCCGCCTCGACGCCGGCGATGCCCTGGCCGCGCTTCATGGACCACACGTCCTTCTTGAGTTCGTAGGGCGCGTCGATGCCCCGCAGGCCAACGCTCATGGAGGAATGGAACGCCGGGCCGTTCGCCGTGGCCACGTTGAACACGTACTCCGTGCGCTTCACGAGGAGGCACGGGCAGCCCTCGCTCCCGGCCGGCTCCTCCACGTCGCAGTCAGTAATCTTGTCGTAGGGGACGGTCTGCGAGCTGCGGCCCACGTCCTGGCACGCCAGCCGACACTGGCTCGGGTGCTTGTCCACGATGTAACGTAATCCATCCTGTGTCAGCGCGATGTGGCGGGCGTACACTTCGTCGCGGATGTTCTTCATGTCGCACCTGGGTGGAAATCAACCAGTGCGTCGGGTGCTTCTGGCTCGGTCGAGCGGCGAGGAACCGGCATCGCCGCGCCATCGAGCAGGCGTCGCGTCGATGGCGTGGAGGACGACGCGGCAATTCGCACGGGTACGTGAGGGCGGCAATAAGATACCCCGGCGGGAAGCAAATATGTTGTCCCAAACAATATGACCGGTGCAGCTTCTGCTTGTACTCCGTGAGCGCCTGATAATTAAATGAATAAGTCTTCAGGATGTCATTCTGGCCGTCCCAGAAGGGGTCGTGCGTGTTGGGCCGCTGGTCGACCTCCTTCGCGCCCGCTGGCGCCACCTCTGCCATGGCTGCTACTTTCTGGTGTAGTTGGCCAGCCTAACCGGGCTGCTCCCGCGACGCTGCCCAGCTCTGGGGAGTGCAGCCGGCTGCGCGCTGCGCCTAGTATGCTAGGCATCCCTAGTAGCCTTTCAGCGCCCCGATCGGGACGGGAGAGGACCGGGCGCCTACTTCTTCATCAAATCGTCGATGATCGAGTAGAGCATGACGCCGCCGATGCAGATCTATCGCCAAGCCGACGAGCTTCTGGGCCGGGAGCGACTCGCCCACGACCAGGGCCACGCCAATAATACTTGCACTCGCCGGAGAGCGAGGACGAGGGCGAGGGCCTCCCGGCGCGGCGCCGGGCCGTCGCGCGCGGCAAGGAGCGCGTCCGCGGGCGGCTGGCCTTCTAACCGCGCGGCGTTCGGAACCCGTGCGTGTCTAGATATATAAAGCGAACTGCAATTTATGTAGCCCGAGGGAAAGGCTCACTACTTCTTCAACTGGGCGAGGATGCTGTTCTGCTCCTTGATGCACTGGAGTATCTGTGCGAGGAGTTGCTCGGAGTTTCCGCCGCCGATCCCCCCGCCGCCGCCGCTCCGATCCATGGACGCGACCGAGGGCGCGGCGTTGTATGCCGCCTCGACGCCGGCGATGCCCTGGCCGCGCTTCATGGACCACACGTCCTTCTTGAGTTCGTAGGGCGCGTCGATGCCCCACAGGCCTGGGCCCGCCATGGCGTTGCCTAGCGCCGGGCCGTTCGCCGTGGCGACGTTGAACGTGTACATCGTGCGCTTCACGAGCATGCACGGGCAGCCCTCGCTCCCGGCCGGCTCCTCCACGTCGCAGTCAGTAATCTTGTCGTAGGGCACGGTCTGCGAGCTGCGGCCCTCGTCCTGGCACTGTAACCGACAGCCGGTCGGGTGCTTGTCCACGACGTAACGTAATCCATCCGCCGTCAGCGCGATGTGGCGCGCGTTCACTTCGTCGCGGATGTTGGCCATGTCGCAAGGATATGAGAGAAGGGCAAGAAGCATGCACGGCGGGACAATTATCGCGCCAAGCATCTCCGATCGGTGCAGCTTCTGCTTGTACGCCGTGAGCGCCTCGTAGTTGAACCTGTGTGTGGAAATCAATCGCAGGCGCCCCACGCCATCGACGCGACGTCGCCCCCGTGACTGCGTCTGCTCAATGGCGTGGAGATTCCAGGCCAAGACTCGACGTTGCCTCCGTAACTGCTGCGGCTCGATGGCGTGGAGGCTCGCGAAGGTCTCCGCAATAATTCCACACAGGCGCGCGCGAGTAGGTCTTCAAAATATCATTCTGGCCGTCCCAGAAGGGGTCATGCGTGTTGGGCCGCTGGTCGACCTCCTTCGCGCCCGCTGGCGCCACCTCTGCCATGGCTGCTACTTTTTTGTGTCGTTGGCGGGCTGCTCCCGCGCGCGACGCTGCCCAGCTCGGGCACTGCGTGCAGCCGGCAGCCCGGCCGCTAGGGCAGTGGACTAGCGGGGCGGCAACCGCGGTGTCAGTTTTAGACCCGTCTGGAGGTGTAAGCTTGAGTTTGGGACGCGTGAGACGCGTGGGTTTGAGTTTGAGGACCGGATTCTCCGACCCCGGTCGCCCCCCGCGCTCGCCGTGATGATGATGGGCTGTCGATACTCTATAGTGCTACTTACTTAAGCCCCGACCGGGAGGAGAGAGGAGCGGACCTACTTCTTCATCAGGTCGTCGATGATCGAGTAGAGCATGACGCCGCCGATGCAGATCGCCGACCCCACCAGCTTCTGGGCCGGGAGGGACTCGCCCATCACTAAAGCCACGCCGATGATCACGATGACGCGCTTCGCCGTGTTCGCGACGGACTGCGTGATGGCATTCGTCTTCTTGATCGTCATCGTCGCCAATTCATTATAGCCGTAGAAGAAGAGGCCCGAGTAGAGGAAGTTGTTCTTCACGACGCTGTTCGTGGACAGGGTCTCTCTAAATTCACCCCACTTCGACCCTTCCGTCAAATACAAGAGAGGTAGGGACATGATAAAGGCCATGATCTGGGTCACCGCGAACTGGTTGCCGACCGTGCCGAGGCGGTCCTTCAGGCCCTTGGTCTCCATGAGCTTCTTGTTCTCGTTGCCCTTGAAGGCCGCGAAGAGGTTCGCGCTACAGGCCGCGATGAGCGCGGAGACGGCGAAGTCGAGCTCCTTCAACGAGGCGATGATGACGCCGCCGATCACGGGAATCAGGCAGAGCCACTTGGCCTTGGAGATGGGCTTGCCGTAGACGAACTGGGATAAAACAGCCGCAAAAGCAGGCTCGGCCGCCTTGACGATCTGGCCGAAGCTGACCGCGCCCGCGGACATGGCGAAGACCGACGCGCAGTGGGCCATCATCGCACAAAAGGCCACGGGGACCATGGCCTTCACATCATCAAAGGTGATCGACGGGGCGGAGCGCATGTCCGGCGCCGCCCAGGCGAAGAGGGCATAAATAACACCCACACCGAGCTGTAGCGAAGCGATCGTCATGGGGAAGCCCTGGGCGCCGCCCGAGTTCTTGAGGGCGAGCTTGTTCGTGATGTTGTCTGCGCGCGCGGGGGGGCGGCGTGAGTTTTTTCAAACTCACGTCGATGGCGTACGGCCCAACTCCGACGGGACTCGAACCCGCAACCCCCAGATTCGAAGTCTGATACGCTATCCATTGCGCCACGGAGTTCTTGTTTCGGACGCGGGCCGCGGACAGTAGTAGTTGCCCAGGTACCAGAAGAAGAAGTAGCTGAGGAGCGCGACGTCGACGCCGACGAAGTTGGCGATCACGCCACCCCGCGGGAGGGCCGAAACTTCTTTGATGGGCGCGGCGGCAGCCTTAAGTGCACCAACCTCCAGAGAGCCGCCACGGGTCGCCGAGGCAACGGCGCTCTTCGGCGGAGTCAGCGCCGAAGCGCTGGCGGCCAGGGCCAGGGCGGCAAATGCAAACTTCATTGGCGCGCGCGTGCTACAGCCTTCAGAGCGTGTTGGACCGCGAGTCGGCGACTAGTGTATCAATGGACGCTAGGTCGCTTAATGAGTGAAGAGCGCGCCGCACGCGGCCACAGATGATCGTTGGGAGCTAGCACTGGCACGGTTGGTCAATATTTTTGCATCGATTTCACGCGACGATCGAATTTCCATCGATGCTGCGCTGCTGCGCGTTGATAGCTGCTGGCACTGCAGAGGCACTCACAACACTGACGGCCCGTCGGCGCATCCGTGCGACGGCAAGGCGTCGCATAGCGCTCTCCGCCGCGAAGGACGACGGCGCGACCCTGCCCGGCGCGACCTATGAGGTACTCCACGAGGACGACGACATCCTCGTCGTCGACAAGGGCGCGGGCCTGCTGTTCGTCCCGGGCCGGCAGCCGCACAAGCATGACTCCCTCATTTCGCGCGTCCGTAGCACCCGCGGCGACGCGGTCGGGGTGGCGCACCGACTCGACCGGGACACGTCTGGCATCTGCGTCCTGGCGAAAACGAAGGCCGCCCTCCGAGCCCTGAGCATACAATTTCAGGACCGGCAGGTCAACAAGACCTACGTCGGCGCGGTGGCCGGCGTGCCCGCGGCCGAAGGCGTGATCGACGGCGCGATCGGCAAGATACTAACCCCCGAGGGCTACAACCGCGTCGCCCTCCTGAGCGAAGCCGAGGGCGGGCGGGCCGCGACGACGGCCTACCGCGTGCTGGAAACGGCAGAGCATTCCGCGTTGCTCGAGCTCGCGCCCAGGACCGGAAGGGCGCACCAGCTCCGCGTCCACCTCGCGTCGATCGGCCACCCTTTGCTCGGCGACGCGCTCCACGGCGGCGCGGCGCACGAGCGCCTCTGCCTGCACAGTGCGCGGCTCGCCTTCGCGCACCCCGCCACGAAGCGTCCGGTGGCGTTCGCGAGCGATGCGCCGTTCGACGCGACGGGCGGCCCTCCGCCGAGGTGATAATGTACCTGTAGTGTCTCACTAGGCCAGTGTGCCCCGTACCGTCAACGGCACGGGGAAGCTTATGCTACGAATACGAAAGCCCCGCCTTATGCAGGGGCCTAAGGGGCGCGTCTTGCTTGGTCTTCTTGTGCGCGCCACCTTGAAATCAGGGCTGCTCATTCGTAGCGTTCTCCGTCACGAACGCCGTCGCGTCGTCCTTACTGATCTTGTGCAGTCTGGAGGTTTTGTGCTGCAGCGAGATGCCGAAGTGCGCGTCCGCGACCGAAACGAACTCCGGCCGGAACGTCGTCGTGATGAACTGCGCTTGATTTTCTGAGGAATGAGCTTGCTTCTTGATGAGCGACGCGACGGCCGTTCTGTGAGTAGCGTCGAGAGCAGCATCGATCTCATCGAACAAGTAGAAGGGCGCCGGATCGCAGCGCTGGATCGCGAAGATCTGCGCGAGCGCCACGAGCGCCTTCTGCCCGCCGCTCAGCTGGTTCATCTCCGTTATGTCATCACCACTCCCGGGGAATCTCACTTGAATCTTCACGCCCCGGAACGCTCCGCCGGCGCCGGTCGATGCTGACGACTGAGAAGACGCTTCCGGTACAGATCTTCGCACCATGACCATTTCGGCCGACCCACCGGGCGCGAGCTCCGAGAACACGTCGCTAAAGTGCTTCGAGACGCCCCGGAACGTCCTCTCGATCGCTTCATCTTTTTTGGCGTCCAGATTCGATAGCAGCGACAGGATGGCCTTGGCGCCTTCATCTAATTCTCTAGCGCGATCCAACAGTCCGGACCGCTGGTCCGCGAAGGCCACGAACTGGTCGAGAGCTTTTTTGTTCACTTTCGAGAACTTGGCTCTGTCGGCGTGGCACGTCGCGAGGAGCTCCACCAGTCGATCTTCGGGCAGGTCCCGGAAGGTCGCGACCTCCCTTTGGGGTAACGCGCCTACCTGTTGGAGCTTGCGAACAGCAGCTTCCGAGCGATCCACCAAACGCGCCCTTTTGGCGTGTAAGGCGTCTCCTGATTTAGTAACTTCCGCTAAAGCGTTCCTCGCGACCGATTGGCGCTGGAGCGCCGTTTCTAAGCGCTGGAAGGCGTCGCCGTGGGCTCTGGAACGCGCGTCCGACGCATCTTGTTCAGCATCCTTGACGAGCGCAGCGTCGGCGTCGTACGCCGACACACACGCTGAGAGTGAAGACGCCGCCTTGGCCAATTCGGCCCGTCGCTCGGAGGCCTCGTGCGCACTGACCGGCTCGACATCGGTAAAATCCTCATCAGTATCCATCGCATCTTCGACGATAGGGTCGCCCTCCGCCGAATCTTGGTCCCCGACCAACGCGACGAGTCCCAGAGCGCTTCTGAGAGCGTCGCGCCGCTTCCTTAATTTATTTTCGAAGGTGGCTCGCAGCTCTCGGAGCGACTCGTCCACAGCTTGCAGCGCTTGTGACGATTCATTCCTCGCATTCTCGAGCGCGACTCTGCGAGAACCACCTACCTTCAGCTCGTCTAACTCGCGTCGATCCGCATCTAGCGTCCGCGACGCCTTGAACGGCGCCTTCAATCTAGCTTCCACGGCGTCGGCGTCCTCTTTGAGAGCACTGGCGGCAGCTAAAGCGTTGGCAGAGCGATCGGGCAGGTCTCTCGCCACTTTCGACTCGAGCTCGACGCATCTGGAATGCAAAGCGTCGTGGTCGCGGATCAGCGCTTGCGACGCCGCGACATGATGCGCCCGCGCCCGCTCGGCGTCGTCCCTGCTCTTGATCGCGGTCGACGCGGCCTTCTGAGCAGCATCGAAGCGTTTTTGGGCCTGTTCCCGCTCCTGTGAAGCCTGTTGGAGTTGAGACTGCGCCCGCTTCCTCAACAAACAAGCTCGGAGTGCCGAAGCCCGATCGCGACCACCACCTCTGATAGCTCCTTTGCGAAACGCCTCGTCGCCCTCAAGCGTGACCGCATCGGCGTCTAACTGCCGAGACCGCCGCGCGGCGCAGTCTAGATCTCTAGCTAATAAGTGTCTTCCAAAGACCAAGTCGAGGGCGGGATCCACGCTTGACGTTCTTGACGTGTCGAAGGCCGACTGTCTTAACGATACGACGTCCCCGAGCGCGTCGTCGGGCACCTGGACTGGCGAAGGCACCCTCAACCGGTTGAGGGGCATAAAAGTCAGTCTGCCTCTGGTAGAGTCCTGCTCCAAAGCTCGCACGAGCTCCGCCGCCGTCGCGTCGTCATCTACAACGACCTGCCACAAGCGAGGACCGGCCGCACTCTCAACAGCTTCGAGGTACTTCGGCGCCGCGAGACGAATGTGTTCCACCAACGGCCCTCGCACCTTCGCCTTGAGGTGTTTCAAGTCGTTGGCAAGCAACTCGTCCAGCGCTCGCAGGCCTCGCTGCACGGCTCTAGGTGCCAAACTCGTCAACTCGAGTTGGGCGTCCTTCACCTCTCGCTCACACTCCTGCTCCTTCGTCCGGAAGCGCATGGCTTCTCTCTTGGATTCGGCGGCGGCTCGTTCGAGGGACGGCACGTCCTCCGCCTTGGCGTCGCGCTGCTGGGCCGCCTTTTCTGCGGCCTGTTGACTTTGTGATGCTTTCCTATGGGTCGTTGCGACGTCCTCCTTGAGTTTAGATAAACGAGAAGACGCCTCCCTCAACGTCTCTTGAGCTCTCAATGCAGTAGCGTCCGCCCGCGACTGGGCCTCGCGCAACTCCTCCAAGCGAGGCCCCAACGCGTTATCGCGTTCTCGTTTGGAAGAGAAGGTCTCGCCCCTTTCGAGCTCCCGGTGGCGCGCCTCCGCCCGCTGCAGCGCATGAACGGCCTCCAAATCTTTATCTTTCAACTTTCTACGTTGGGTCTCCTTGTCACTCATCTCGCGTCGCGACTCGGTGCACGCCTCCGTAGCCTGTGAAAGGGCTCTGACAGCTCTATCCTTCCACGTCGCATCCCTAGAAACGCGCGCTTGCAGACCGTCTCGCCGCGCCTGGGCCTCGGCCTTTCTTGCTAAAGATATTGACAGTTGATCTCGCGCTCGTGCCGCATCTGACTCTTTCGACTCCGCATCCGCTAGAGCTCGGTCCTGGGCCTTCTGCGCACTATCGACGATTCGATCGGCCTCGGCCAGGTCCGCGTGGGCATCATCGGCCCGGTCCGCGTGCTGGTCTCTCTCTCCATCAAGCGCTTCCAGGGCCGTACGAGCTCGTTGGAGCTCGCCGTCATGCAACGCGTACTGCAACGCCCTATGTTCTCGATCGAGCCGCTCGTAGCGCTGCAGTTCCTCTTTTTCGCCCTCGAGCTCTTGTAACCTCGAGTCGATGGCCTGGAGAACACCTTTGATCGACTCCCGCTTCGCACTCGTTTCGTCGAGCGTCTTCGCCGCTTCGGCCCGCTTCGTCTCGTAGACGCCCGCACCGCCCACCTCCTTCAGCAGAGCTAACCTATCTTCGTCCCGCGCGACGCACAAAGCTGACACTTTACCCTGCTGCACGATGTAGTAGGGGTTCGCCCTACTAAATCCGGCGTTCTCGAGCAGCCCTTCCACTTCTCGCTTCGTGACGCGTCGCCGCTGGACAAAAAATTCATCCTTCTTCGCGCCGATGGCTCTCCTGAGCGTCACGTCGTCGCCCTCGATCGGGACCCTACCGGACGAGTTGTCGAAGGTGATCTCGACGTAGGCCGACGTCGCCGTGGCTCCTGAACCCTCATGTAGTAGTCGTTGACGCTCTTCCTGCCTCAGGTTGTAGAATCTAGGGGCTAACAGACAAAACTGGACCGCGTCGAAGAAATTGGACTTGCCCGCGCCGTTCCTTCCGACCAGGGCGTTGTGGCCACTCGCGAAGGGCTCGATGCAATCCTGCTGGCGGAAGGACCGGAAGCCGCTGATCTTGATCGTCTTTATGGAGAGCGTCGCCATTTGAATTTGCGGCGCGGCGCGGCGCTGGCGGCGCTGTCAGTGCGACGCGGCGGTGTTGCGCGGCAGCTGGCGGGACCGCTGGCTTGGTCCCGTGGCTTGCGCGCGCGGCAGGCTGTTCCCGCCGGCTGGGCGCGCGGCCGTCTAGGTGCTGCGCGCGGCGCTCTTTTGGCGCTGCTGGCTCACACGAGCGAGTGATGCGACTCCACAGCGCTCCAGGCGAGCTATGAGGTCTGTGGCGGTCCTTTGCTGCGGCGCGCGGGAGATTGGCCTCTCTGGCCGGCTTGCTAGTGTCTTACAGCCGCTAGTTTTAGGCCAGGTTTGAATCACCGATCCCTGAGAGTCGCCCGCACCCTGAAGCCTCCGCAGACACGTCCTGAATTTCAAAACCCGCGGCCTCGCCTGCCATTTCGCAGTCGCTTTTGTAGGCTGCCCCCACAAGGGAGAAATGGCGTGCTTCAGCCCGACGAAGGCACGAGTAGCACCCGTCGCGGCGGCAGAATGGGCCAGCGCCGCATCCAATGAAACGGACGCGGCCAAGCGCCTGGAATTGCTCTGTGCCACCCTGGACAGCATCGAAACAAATGCATCGGACAGTGCGAAAGCGCTCGCAGCCTGCATCCACGTCGCCGACGTTAGTTTAGGAGACGTCTGGTCCGAGGCGAGACGAGCCTGCGCCCGCGGCGTGGCCAAGGTGCCCCTCGCATCAACCGACCGAGCGAGGCTCGCGGCGCATTTTGGGGAACAGCTCGATGCTTTGGGCGAGAACGACGACTGGCGGCGGTACGACGGCCTTTGTCGAGCCTTGGAGCAGCTCGTGACGCGGGGTTCAGTTAGTATCGTGCGGGAAGCTCATATTGTGGCCCGCAAAGCTTTAAGCCATGAGCAGCCGACGGTGCGCCAGGCCGCCGCTAGAGTAATGGCATCGGCTGATGCGTCGTTGTTGGAGACGATCTCCATGGAACGGGAGGCTTGGTTGCGGGAGAAGGGTATTGATCGGGAACGGCGGGCGGCCGCGCTGGCGGGCTTGCTGGAAGGTGCCAACGTGCTGATCAAGAACCATGATGTTGCTGATTTCGACATCGACGCTACGGTAGCGTTGTTGGGAGATGCGGCGTCGACGGTGCGGCAGGGCGCCGCCGAGCAGCTGCAGCGCCTGGCGTCCAAAGGGTTGGAGTTGGCTTCGAGAGTCGTCGCGAGCATCTCCGAGGCGTCCTTGGCGGACTGGCGGCGAGCGGAAGGCTCGCTCATGACCCTCGACGGCGTGCTGTCCGATGAAGCGTCGCGGGCCATGGCAAATTACCCGGACGTCGACGAGTCCAGAGCGACTTACCGCGCGTCCCTACTCAAGATTTCGATGAGGTGGCTCCGGACGACCGTGCGAACGGACGATGAGGCCGAGCCGTTCGAGGTACGAAGGGCGGCTCGACAATTGGCGCACTCTACCGCTCGCGCAGAAATAGCTTTTGTGTCTCATACACCTGGTTCTATTGCTCTTTCATTATTAAAAAAGGGGCCGGACGCCGTCGCGGCTCGACTCCTACACCACGCGTGCTCTTTTCTGAGGTATATTGATGAGTCTCTGATGGAAGCTCAAAGAACACCGAGGGGCAGAAGGTGGGGCCTGTCGCACGAGGGCGCCGGCGGCGACTCGGAGAGCGTCGAGCAGTCGGAGAGGGCCGTCTCTAGGGCGGTTGTTGCCGCCCCGGAGAAACTGTCGGAGCGCATCGAGGCCTTCCGACCCGTGTTGCTGGAGTGCGTCCAATTAATTCAACAGCATCCTGCTACAGAAGAAGATGCGCGCGCCGAGCCCAAGGCGTCTCCATCGAGGACGCCGGGGGGGACGTACAATTTGACGGCGACCGAGGAGTTGCGCATCGAGGAGCGACTGGTTATTGTGAGGGGGCTGGCGTTGTGTATTCCCGACGGCGCCATCGCGGAGGAGCGGTTCGGGGCATTTTTTAAAGTGGAAATGAGGGATCCCGGCAGACAGTGGTTTCATCTAGCGAAGGCGCCTTCTGAATTGAGGAGATTAGCCGAGCCGGCGTTATGCGAGTTCGTGTCGTGTTTGAGACATCCACAGGCCCTGGAGTCGGTTGGTCCTGCACTTGTGGACTGGTTACTCGCGCTGGAAGGGAACCAACGGGGCGACCGGGAACGGCCCACGTCGAGAAAACACGTCGCCGAGGCCCTCTGTGTCTTACTACGCGGTGCACTATGTGTCTTCCAGCCGACGGGTCGTATTACGGACCACGCCTGCTCCATGTTAGGGACGGTCTTCCGAGCGGCGGCGTTCTCCGCAGAAAGGGAGACCTTTGCGGTGGCCCTCGGCGAGAGAAACGGTGCGGATACAGTCGCCCGGGCCGCCTCTTCTATGATTGCGCAACTGGCGCCGGCCTGGAGCCGCGTGCGGCGAAGTGACGGCGAGGCCGCGGCTAGATTGGCGGCGTTATGTGCGCTCGCGGCCGCCGTGTGTTCGATCGACGCGACGCACCTGCGCGCGGCGCTCGCTTCGTTGATAGCGGCGTGCCCTGGGCAACAAACCCCACCACGGACTCCCGTGAAAGCCCCGCGGCCGCTGTCTCCGTTGGGGCTGGGGCCGCCGGAGACGCCGGTGACGCCGCTGTCGCCCCACGCCGCCGAGCCCATCGACGACTGGGACGACTGGGACGACGACGACGCGGACGAGGAGCCCGTCGTCGCGAGTTCCGCGGGCCTCGCGGCGCTCGTGGACGCGGTCCGCGCCGAGCTCGGTGCGGAGGCGTCGGCGCCGAGGTTGTCGTTCTTTTAATTCATAGTCTAGTAGTGCTCGTTTGCCTTGCTTTTTGCCTTTGCTCTGGACTTTCACAGCCAGTAAATTGGGCGGCTGCGCGAGCGCGCCTGTGGACTCTTACGCGCAACAACCACAGCGCAGTGGCGGTGGACGTCTGTGGGGCGGCGCGGTCGCGAAAAACCGCGCGGCGAGCCGCGCCCGAGCCGTGCAGAGCGCGTTTTCCAAGTGCTCTTGCAGGCTTGAACTACCTCCTCCGCGCGCGCGACGTCCATCAATTCCGCCTTGAATCATGGTCCAAGTCGTGGATGAGCCGACAACCGCGCAGAAAACTATAATTACTCGCGCGCCCGCCGTCGCCGAGTCGCCGCGATCGTCTCGCCGCGCAGGTCGGACCTCATCCTCATCAACGGGTGCCTCTGCTGCAATTTGAGTTTGTACGCCGATTGCCCCGAGTGCATTGGGGCGTCGTGCAAGGGCGAACTCCTCTGCTGCGTCCAGCGCTTCTGCTTCAAGGCCGGAATGCCGCCGCTCACGTGTTGCGAGTCCTTCGTCGACAAGGAGGTCTGCTGCCAGATAGGCTTGTGTTGCTGCGCGATCGGCGTCAAGTGCCCGACGACGTGCATCAAGCACCAGGGCCAGTGCTGCTGCATCGTGGAGAACGTGGCGATCCCGTGCGACTCCGAGATCCCGATGTACCGCGGCGGCGTCCTCGTACGACTTGCCTTCGACCGATTGGCGCAACGGTAGCGCGTCAGATTCCAGTCCTGAAGGTTACGCGTTCGAATCGCGTATCGGTCACTGAGGTCGTGTCTGTGCCGCCGTCAACGGTACACCCACAGGTCGTGCGCGATCTGCTTCCTCGCGTGTCACCCCCACGTCGGCGTCTGCGTGCGCCTCAAGTCGCGCTGGCCGTACCACCGCGCGGGCGGCGCGCCACCCCAAGCCGAGGCGATGGATGGGAAGGAAGAAATTAGAGTGGTGGAGGAACAGCCGTCGTGGCAGGGCGGGTCGCTCGAGTCGCTCGACGTCATCGACAAGGTGCCCGACGAGTCCGTGAAGTTGGCGGCGGACCAGTGAGGTTGCTCCTTCCTTTCCCCCGACCATTTGGACACCAAGCCCCGTCCGCCCCTCGAACGAAATCCCCAGACCTCCGCACATATACTACTAGTATCCTAGCCAGTCACGAGCAAAGAAGCGTGCCGTGTTGTCTCTAGCTAGACATCGTCAAAGCAGCATCTAATTTCGATGCTAGTGCCTTACATGCCGCTAGCAGCTCATGCTCTCCGAGCAAAAATCACAAAACAGAGTAAAAGCCACTACCGAGCAAGCCTTTACACGCCTGTTCAAGGCCCAAGAGACGTTTCCAAACATCCCTGCGGAATCACGGCACTCCGCAGCACCATCGCACTCCTGACCACCGCTGCCGCATTCATGAAGCGGGCCCCACCAGCAACGCCAAGCAAGGTCGCAAAGCGCCGGGCTGCCACAACACCGGCGCCCAAGAAGACGCATACGCCGGCCTGGGCCGCCGCCGGCCTCGCGCACGTGGCCAAGGCCGACGGCGGCCGGCTCAAGGCAGTCATCGACGAGCACGGCCCGCCCGCGTATCTCGAAGAGCAGGTCGCGGAGGACTCGGCGTGCGGCGCGCTGTGTAGGATCGTGGTCGGCCAGCAGCTCGCCGGCGCGGCGGCGGCGTCGATCTGGCGGCGGACCCTCGGCGAGCTCTGCCCGCGGGGCTTCGACCGCGCGCAGCTCCTGTCGCGTGCCGAGGGCGACGACGGCTTCGACGAGGCGACGCGGAGCAGCTGCGGGCTGAGCCGCGCGAAGGCCCGAGCTATTGTTGCCGTGTGTCAAGCGTTTGCGGCCGGGGACCTGTCGGACGCGCTTCTGCGCGACGCGCCCGTCGAGGAACTGCGCGAGAGGCTCTGTGCCATCAAGGGCGTCGGACCGTGGTCCTGCGACATGTACCTCATATTCGACCTGAAGAGGCCCGACGTGCTGCCGCTCGGCGACCTGGGAGTCCGCAACGGCGCGCAGCGCTTCTTTGGGGTGAGCGGCCACGGCAAGAACGGGACGCTCGACGCAAAGAAGGACCGGGCGACGCTCGAGGCGCTCTTCGCGCCGTACGCGCCCTATAGAAGTCTGGCGTCGTATTACATGTGGCGCGTCGCCGACACGAAGGCGTTTAACCAGAAGCAATAGCCATCTGCGACGGAGCGTCGCGTCGATGGCGTATGGGTTCTCGTGGATGTCCGCCCCCACGCCATCGCCGCGCCACGTCGATGGCGTATTCGGCGCGGTAAGTTTATGTATAGATCTTACGAAACCCCGACCGCCGGCCCCTTCCCGGCCTTGCCCCCCGTCACGAGGTACTTGTAGCCGTCCACCGTCCGCTCCGACGCGTCCGTCGCGAAGCGCCAGATGTTCTTCGCGTAGACGCGCGCGCCGGACACGCGCACCCGCCTATCGGGCTCGGGCTCGATGACCTCCCAGGGGACGACCGCCTCGGCGGCCTCGACCTGCTCCGAGCGTAAAATGTTTATCATCGTGAAGGGCGCCCTCCTTTGATAGTCGGCGTGTTTTAATTGAGCCTCGCTCAACCCCGTAGCGACCTCCTCGCCCTCCGTGAGCCGCACGTAGGCCCGCAGCCACTTTTGGGGGGGCAGGTGGCCGTGCGTGAACGAGTCCACCGGTTCTATCACCTCTCTCTCATAATCGGGATGAAAAAATACTAGTGAGAGTTGGTGCTCCGCGCCGATGTGCTTCAGGGTCTTCACGACGACTTGTGTCATGTCAACGAAGGCGTCGTGGTCCCGTTCCGCATACGCCGGTACACTTAAAAGTACTGTAGAAGCCTGTGAGGGCGGCTGCGAGAGCATGTCTATGGAAGACCCCCAGAAGGCCCTCAGAACTCTAACTAAAGCAGCGCCACCTGACCCGACGGCGCCGCAGACGGGGTACATGATGGGGCCCTTCTCGACGCCTTGGTTTTCTAGTCCTGTCGCCGCGACCTCGGCGGAACGCGTGAAGGGGCAGACCTTCGAGTCGACGATGACGTCCTGCACCCAGGTCTTCAGGGATTCTACAGAAGCGTCCGCCATCTCGTCGCTCACGAACCCAGCATCTTCCGGTGACCAATCAACCGTCACTTTCACGCAAGGTAAAGGAGCGTCGTCCTCCACCTCACAAGTTAAACCTTCAATACCCAGACCCGACACCATGTCGGACCACTCGTCCACCGGGAAATCATCCTTATCGAAGATGATATTAGCTTCTTTCGCAGGAAACTGACAGGCATCATTGACCACACTCCAGAAGATGGTCGACGTCACGATCGGCTCCGCCGTCTCGCAGACGCAGGGTTCGGCGAGCGGGTGCTCGTCTCGGCTCCATTCGACGGCCTGCTCTACGAGCAAAGTCGCCTCGTCGAAGACCTCTACTCGTAACGGTCGTAACCTTTGTACCGGTGCATGTGGTTGGAAGGCGTGCGTCGCGGCGAGGAGGGCGAGGGTCCAGCGGGCCATCGTTGCCGCGCTTGCGGCGCACCAAACGTCAGACGCTCTTTTGTGCAACCCGTCCAGCAGCGCGGACAGCTGCTTTGGCAACCTTAGCGGCGCGTAGCAGTCAACAACGTATATATGCGACGCACTTGCAGCGGCGTCTGCCTTCACAACGAGCCGAGCGAGGCGTTGCGGCGAATTTGCAGGTGAGCACAGCTAGCGGCTGTAAGACACTAGCAAGCCAGGATATATATTTCAGGTCACGCAACACCCTCGGGGACAGTAACCCTACATACGCCGTCGACGCGCCCCGACAGAGAAAGAACTAGTTACACGCGGGGGCGGGAGACGCCTCACTTCGCGAACGCCGACCGCGGCAGCTCCTTGTACCAGCGGTCGACCTGCGTCGACGTGACCCAACCTTGTACAGGCTCGTCGATCTCGTAGCGGACCTTGCCGTTGTCGAGCTCCGTCGTCTCTACAACACTAACGACCGTGCCCGACTCGATGATCTGGACCTTGTCGCTGCTCATGTCCGCCTCCTTGCGGACGATGGTACCCTTCTTGCCGTTGACCTTGTAGAACTTGACGCCGTCCTCGACGCGCTTCAGTAAAGCTTCATTGAGCGGGACCGCGGTCTTGGGACCGCGCACGGGCGCGTACATCCAGTTGCCCTTCTCTCCAACAGGCGTGTCCGCGTGCAGCCTCCAGATGATCTTGTTGTCGGGGTCGAAGGTCTCGGCGTCGGCCTTGATAATGTCGCCTGCGTCACGGAGGCGGCGTGAGGTACGGCGGGTCCCAAGTGTTCCACGGGACACGGAGCACGCACCGATCTTGAGCTCGCCGACGCGGCTCGAGTGCTTGCCGCTCGGGCCTTCGAACAAGCCGCCGGGCTCGGCGACCATCCACTTGTGGTCGAAGGCCTTGGTGAACGCCTGCGCGCGCGCGGCCGGTGGGGCGCGTCTTCCATGGATCGTCGACGCCGGTGTTGTACTTCGCGCACCATCTGGTTCGTCATCTTGGCGTGTGCTTGTCCCTGCGCGTGGGGTTTCGAGGTCGCTGCGGCGACAGCGCGAGGGCTCTCGAGGCGTGATTGCTTTCTGCGGCGACGGCGTGCGCGTGTGCGTCTTCGCTGCCCGTATGCGGCGTGAATGGCGGTGGTGCGTACCTTCGCTGGCGCTTGCGAGCTTCTACGAGCTCAATTCCAAACCGTGTGGCCTACCTTCGCAGTCGCCTCCTCCGCACAGAAATAAAAAAAAAGATGGCGGCAGAGCTCTACCGGCGGCACGGAGGCCTTCTCGGAGAGGTCTGGAAGAGTTTTCGCCTTGCCGCGCTGCAGGCTAGTGTCTTTACAGGCACGCTAGCGCCAGCTGTCCTCGGTAAATTGGCCTGCGCGAGGCGCACAACTGCAGCTACAGGCACCAGACACACGCAGACGTACCGCTGAACTTTGCGCTAGCACCAGCATAGCCGATTCTCGCACGCGCAAGCAGTATCCAACAAAAAGAAAGCGACCCGCAGCGCATCTCCGCAGAGTATTCACAAAATGCAGCACATCCGCCCGACGACGGGCTTACTGGATGACCGCGACGAGGACTGGCGCGACACGCTCTTCTACTGGCACGGCCGCGTCACCTGGGTCGGCGGCGAACGAAACGTCGTAAGTTGGCGCGGGTCCTGGCTCTCGACGGTAGCAAGCCACGCCCCACCGGCGGCGGACTTCTCGTCAAGTTTCAACTTCTTTGAATTGAATTTCGACGTGGATCCCATGCGCGCGCGGCAATTTGCGACCGGGGACATGGACCTCCGAGCTTTGCTCCAACTGAGCGGCGAGTTTCGAGGGCATTATTTGATGGAGCCGCCGGATGGTGCGGGGTATCGACGCGCGTATCGCGACGACGCCCACGAATTTGAGTTCGACGACCGCATCGAGGACCCTCCGCCCGAGATAGGTGCAAGCGATCCCTTGCCTCCCAGAGCGCCGCAGCAGATCCCGGGAGCGCCTTTATTGAACGTCTTCGTCGTGCCGCCGCCGCCGCGAACCCCGAGACAACCGGGGCCCTACGTGTTGTGTGCGGCTCGAGGTAGGAACGAATTTGGGACCTTCGTCGCGTTAGGCCACGCTCGAAGGTTCCGATCAGGCGCCGAGGACGCCGTGGAATTGACACTAGCTAGGAGGTACGTGCGCGACGACGATTCTCGACTGAGGTGGCCGCTGCGCGACATACTGCGCGGCGTCCAGGCGCCGATCCGCGTCTCGCCCTGGGAGCATTCGCTGCCCTGCCGGTTGCAGGGCGACGTGATTGCGGAACAACAGAGGATAGAGGCCGAGCGGCAACGTGAGAGAGCGAACCACATACCTCAACCGTTCGCCGCGCAGCCCCTCGCGCACCACACCGATGAATATAGACGCATGATGGACCGCAAGCGGACTAGGGACTAAAACTACCGAACCATTACATCTAATGAATCCTTCCCCTCCTCGTCGCCCGCGCACCGCACCAGCGTGCACCGGTCCTCGCGATCGATCTGCGTCTGCGGCACGATGATCAAATCGCGCGCGAGCGGGTCGGGGAGCCACTTCGAGATCAAATCGCCTTCCGCCTCCTTCGGAATCAAATCAGGTTTGGTACCGAGCGGCGACTTTTCCGGCTCGTCGTCGGGCCAGATCGCGAACCGGTACGCCAGCGACTGCGCCGGCGGGTAGTCGTGCGGGTTCTCGAGCTCCAGCATCACCGCCAGGATCTCCTGGAACAGCGCCGTCCGCCGCAGCATGCCCTTGACGTTTACCGTCTCGATGGGAATGCGCAACCGTTCGAACGTCGTCTTTTCAGGCGTGAAGGGGATCGTCGCGTCCAACCGCGGCGTCAAACCACCATGACCCCGCGTGCTCTCGCCGCAACTCCAGGGTGTCGCGGTCCCCCCGATGTACGAGTGCGCCTCGTCGAGCGCGACCGGGTGGCGCCAGACCCTCAACGTGATGCGGTGCTCGGGGGGCGCGTCGGGCTTGGCGAGTTCCAAAACGTCGACGGGCATCTTGACTGGCTCGGGGATGTCCTCGGCGTGGCCGTCGTAGAGGCCCATGGCGGTCTATCGCGGCGCGTCTCCTGGGAGCGCGTCGACGGCGTCTCGTTGTCTCTTGGCGCGTCTTCTAGCGCGTCGACCGCGTCTTTTTTCTACCGCTGGTTTGTGGACTGAGTGGCTGGACGGCCTCTCCGGCAGTGCTACTTCTCTCAGGCTGAGCAGCGAGGACCAGCGGAAGGGCTGAAGCTTCGGAGGCGTCCTACTGTGCCTGTAGCGAGCGCTAGAGGCAAAACGCCCGCAAAACGCCGCTAGCGTCTTGTAAGACACTAGCGAATAGCCCGGCACTCTTTGCAGTCGCAGTTTTGCAGCCTCTCGTGCCTCGTTGCAGCGAATAAGTGCAAAAGCCTTGCGCCAAGACGCACAGCAAGCGCCCAGCGTGCACAACAAACTGTCCGACGCCAATCATCTTCGCGCCCGCAAGTGAGCCTTTCCCAGTGGCCGCGGGCGCTCCCATTTCACGCGTCGCAGAGCAACCGGTGCCTGTGGTGGGACTCGGCCGGGACCGCACCGTCGCCTCGCGGCGACCGCGCGACTGGCCCACACGCGCAGGTATGCGGCGCCGCGGCGGAAACAGCGGCGGCAACATGGGCGGGGACATGAGCACCGACTGGAGCGCGGAACAATGGGCGGAAGGTACCAATGGTAAAAGCAAAGCTTCGGAACCGAAGCCGGCGCCGGCGACGGGCGTGCGGAAGTGGGGCCCCGTCGACATCCTGAGCGCGCCCGACAACCGCGCCGTCGCGCGGAAGCTGGTGCTCTACGTCGTGGGCGTGGCGCTGGCGCCGCCCGGGGCGTTCGTCGCCGTGAAGCGGCTGCTGCCGCCCTCGAGGCACCGCGACGCCTGCGCCGCGATCTGCGCCGTCGTCGTGCTGAACCTGCTGATGGCGGCCTACGTGGTCTCGGCCTTCCGCGAGCCCGACCCCGAGGGGGACGAGAAGCCGGCGCCGCGCGTCGGCGTCTGGAAGGAGCGCCGGGAAGAATAATTGTCACTGTGTTACTCAGGCCGGAAGCTCGCGCGAATCCTCCGCGGGCAGAGCGCCTCGCCGAGCAGGGGCAGCAGTCGTCCGCGGAGCCGCGTCGACGGCGCGTGGGACGGGTCCAGTTCGAGCGCCTGGTCGAGCGCTTCCAGCGCGTCGGCCACGAGGGCCGGCGAATTCTCCCCGCAGTTGCCATCCTGCACCGCGACGTTCGCGGTCGCCCGCGCGTAGGCGTAGCAACACGACACCGCAAGCACGGGTCCCACGTCCGGATTCGACGCGTAGTCTATCGGCGCGCCTCCGCGCCACGCGGTAATGCACGGCCGCAATACTTTGGCAGCCTTCGCTGGGTAGCGTTCACAGTAGCCCTCCGCCCGCTCCAGGCGCTCCGACGCGTCCTCGGCCGTCGCCGACGACACCGAGACGATGGAGATGTCGTCGTCGTCGTCCAGCGGCGCCGGCGCCGGCGCCTCGGCGGAAGACGACCAGTCGGAGGAGTCGTCGTCTTCGTCGGCCGCCGGCGCCGGGGCGGCGCCGACGTCGCCCCGCCGGTTTGCACCAGGCCCCTCATAATCAGCGGCGAGGATTCCGTCGCCGGAATCCTCGGAGCCATCGGACTCGTCGCCGGCTGCCTCCTCGGTCCGCACCGGCGTTCGCGTCCGCGGCGGGGAGTGGTCCGTTTCCCGCGGCCCCGGCGACGGCAGCGCGGGCTCCGCCGCCTCCTCGGCCAGGAACGCCGCCGCGTCGTCGCAGGCGCGCCGCAGCGACGACCGCGGCGTCAGGCCGTCGTCGACGGCGTCGGGGACTTCGCCAACGAGGTCCTTGACGCCCGCGATGGCGTCCTCGAGGCGCTGGCGCGCGAAGTAATCGTCGTGTTGGGCACGCGCCTCGCTGCGGGCTTCCGCGCTCGCGCGTGCGCTCGCGGACGCTCGTCGCCGCGCCTCCACGCGGCTCTCGAAGCGGCTCTGTTCTAGCGCGAGCTCATAGGCCGTGTCCGCCGCGTCTATGCGGGCCTTAAACAGCTCGAACTCGTTGTCTTCGCACTCGTCAAGCACGGGGCTGCCCAGGAGCGCGCAGCCTTTGAGCGGGCTCTCCGCGATGGCGTCGAGGTGCGGTGGGGCAGCCATCATCGTTGTCTCCTGTCGTCGTCCGGAGAGCGCGGCGCTGCAGATGGCGTTGCATCGGGTCGAGATCTGCCGGGGCCTCCCGGCCAGGCTTGCGGAAATAGACGAGGCCTTGGGCTGGCCACGAGGACTGTTTGAAGCCGTGGCAAGAATAGCTAGCGGCCGTAAGGCACTAGCAAAGCATTTCACAGAGTCAGCAGCCATCAACCACACGCATACCTCGTCGCAGACGTCGCGTAGACATCTTACAGGCAAGGCACACTCGCCCAGCATACCACTGACACCATTCACAATCATGGTTGCACGCACGACTGCCGTCTTCGCCCTGTTGGCAGCTGGCAGTGATGCTCTGTCAGTGGTCTCGTCGTACAAGTCTTACAAGTCTCGTCGCCATTTGCTCAGCAGCTTGACCTTCGGAGCCGCCGGCGCGGCCGCTGTGTTGGCACCGAATGCTGCGTTCGCGAGCGGCGTCAGCCTCGAGGAGGCGGCCATCAACGCGGAGAAATACCGCGTCAAGGGTAAGCAGTGCACACCAACGAACCCGGCCGATTGCACGGCGCGCTACAACCAGATGCTCGACCCGCGCGCGGGCCGCACGAAGGAGGAGCTCGCGGCGATGGACAAGCGCGACGCGAAGGAGCTGTCCATGCTCGAAACCATGTTGTCCGACGTGAAGTACGAGAGCACGGGCAAGGGGAAGTAGTCGGTCGTATGTAGCCCCCGCGACGTCGGAGCTGTCCACTCGAGCTGTTGTAACATTGTATCGACCGAAAACTACTAGTAGCTAACGCCAATTACTCACCTTCACACGTCCCTCAGTCTGCCGCGCGAGCGGCTTCGCAAACGGCCGCGACGCCGTGCACGAGACGCGGTGCTTCCGGAGCGCGTCCCGCCGGAACCGCCGCCCGCAGTGCTCGCAGGGCACGAGCGCGTGCTCGAAGAAGACGCGCTCCGACTCGACGTTGCGCGCGTCCAGCTCGGGCATGCTCAGCCCGTCGAAGTCCTGTGAGTGACCGAAGCGGTTGCGTCGATGGCGTAGAGGCAGTGTAGACCCCTCGCGTCGATGGCGTGGAGGAAGGGTAGTCGCGTCGATGGCGTCGGAAAGGGACGCGGGAGCAAACGACGCCCGCGTGTGGGTCCGGCGGCAGCTCGCCCGGGTCGTCGAGGTCGTCGCCGGGCGCCGCGAGCGCCGCCTCGTGCACGCGCGTCCACCGCTCCGCGCAGGCCTCCACATGGCGGAGCCGACTCGTGACGGGGTTCGCCGCGCCGCAGAGGTGGCAGAGGGCCGAGCGCGCGCCCGTCTTCCGCGCCGCCGACGACGACGTTGTGGACACGACGTCGTCGTCGTCGTCGTCAACAGGCAGCGCCCCGACGGTCGTCTTGGCCGTCTTCGCGATGAGCGCGAGCTTCGACCGCGCGTCCTTCCAGAATCGGGAGGCGCGCGCCTTCTGGAGCGCCGTGAGCGGCTTCTTCTCCATCAAAGGCACGACGCGCCACTGTAATAAAGCGCGGTCGCGGCCGCCGACCGTAAACAGGCGGTCGCCGCTCCATCTTACGGAAGTGATGGACGAGGCGTGCGCCGCGGCGTCGACGCCGGGGGCGCCCCGGACCACGGCCGGGCTCTTGAGCAACCTTAATATACCCGCGTCACTTCCGGAAGCGAGCACGCCCCGCGCGGCGTGGCACGACGCCACTATAAATGAAGAGGACCACGCCGCGACGCAGTGGCGCCCGAAGACCGTCGTCGGGCTCTCCCAATCCAATTCCGCCGCGCGGCGCGCGCTGATCGTCTTCCTTTGGCTGACGTCGAACCACCGCAGCTCCTTCGCCGCCGTGGCGCACCTGATGTAGTTTTGTGAGGCGTCCCAGTCGATCTGGATGATGCGGCTCCCGCAGTTGTTGTATGAAACGACTTGCGCGCCGTCCATGGCATACACGCGCAGCGAGCCGTCGCGGCGCCCGACCGCAACTTTGTCAGGCGTGAGCCGCACGCTGTCGACGCCGTCGTCCGACACCTTTTGGGCATTCAAAGCCTCGTGCTGCTGGCCCGCGGATTGCGCGGCCATGAGGCCGCACGGGCCGAGGCCGTGGTGCCTTCTTTCTTCTACTTCTGTTTTTGTATGAGAGCCGCCCTTGATTATGAACAAGGTTTCCATCGTGGACGCATCCACGACCACAACGCTGCCGTCATCTAGACCGGCGGCTATTTTACCCTCAGAAGCATCGACGCACCGCGCCGGTCGCAACAACCGCGTATAGTTCACCAGCTCCTTCGACTCGACGTCCCACACACAAAGCAGCCGGTCCATGCCCGCCGTCACGACTCTATTGTTTGATAGTGTAGCGCAGGCTCGCAATTGTGTAGTAGGCGTCGGCGAGAAGTGCCCACTTAACAGCACGGACTGCGCACCCTTCGTATCAATACGAACCAAGACGCCCTGTGACGTTAACGCAAGCATGTCGTCTCCCAAAAAGCAGACGTCTCGCAAAGGCGCTCCCTGCGACGTCTCTTTTTCCATGCCCCTCGCATCATCGACAACAAGAGCGCCGCCCGCGCGCCAGCCCGCCGCACTACTACCTTTACCTGAAGGTGGTATCGCCCCCCAGCACCGCACCCTCCCTGTTGAATCACCGGTACACAGCCTGTCATTATCAACGGTGAGCCGAATCGGATTCACGCCCTTCACTGTAGAACCGTGCACCGGAAATACCGCAAAACACACCCGCCCCTTCCACGCATATACTTGACCATCCCCCCCACCCGTCAATAATGTTTGCGTGGAAGCGACGAAGACACATTGGAACATGGGAGTAGTTTCGTCTTTCGTGGGCCATTGTCCATTCTTACTATCGACGCGCCACTGGTGCTTGGCGGACGTCATGTCCTCCCTATTATTATCGACGCGAATGCCCTTGGAGGCCGTCCAGAACTTGACGTGTCTCCCCGGCCCAACCTGTGTGGAAATCAACCAGTGTGTCGCGTGCACCGATAGTTCTTCACTAAGTCATTTCTCGGCGATGACGTGGCCGTGCTGGCCCCGTCGAGCGGCGAGGAACCGGCATCGCCACGCCATCGAGCAGGCGTCGCGCCGATGGCGTGGAGGACGACGCGACGAACGCGCCGTAAAATTTGATTTCCACACCGGGCCCCACGGTGCAGAACTGCGGCTTCGCGCCCGCGCCCGCGTGGTCGCCTTCCACGAGTTCCTCCTTCGTATCATCCTCGAACATCCAGCACCCATCATACACGGCGGGGGGCTCGTGGACCTCGGCCCGCCGACATGCGGCTGGTTTTTGCTCTTTGGTCCTCAGATCGTCCGAAGCCACATCATTGGAAGCCATGCCGCCCCAGTGGGCGTGCGCTTCCCGCGCGCTGATTTGGTGTTCCTGTTTTTCTTTTTTCAATCTTGCTAATCGTCTTAGATCATCTAAACGCCAATAGCCGAGGTTATGGGTTTCCGAGGCGTCGATGGCCACTAACGCTTTTGCATTTGGTGACAAACACAGTACGAGCACATGGTGGTGGAAGAAGCCCGACCCGAGCCGGTGGAGGACTTGTAACGTTTCGACGTCCCAGACTAAGACCTCTGGTTTTGAATGGGCGTCTCCCGAACAAGCGATGCGTCTGTCTACTGTTAGGGAAGTGACCCGGCGGCTCCCATGCCCGCGGAAGAACTTCTGGGTATGTTTTTTTGTGTCGTAGATCACGACCAGGGCTGCACAAGCGAACATAACTCGCTGACGATCGATAGCAAATAAATTCCGCCCCACGATCGACGTGTCAAACCCATAACACCACTCGAGGTCAATCCGAACCTTCGGCGCGTGCACTGCATTTTTGGCCTCCCTTCTCGCATTTGCAGCATCTAAGATGATGGGCGTGCGGCAGGGCCAGGATTTTACGAGCTCCTGGCCTTTGGTTTTCGCGGTTAAAGTGCGCGCGGCGCGGCCGGCGTGCGGGGCGTCGTAGGCGCGCTGCCTTAGGGGCGGCCGCGACCGCACTATGGGTTGTTTGGTCGGCCGCCGGTGCGTTGGCTGGAAGGTGACGGCCTCGTAGAGAGGTGCCTGCTGGTCATCAGCTTCGGCGGGTGACTGGGGCACGCGGCTGTGTCGCCGGGCGGACGCCGCGGAGGCCGGAGACTGGGGCACGCGGCGCTGGGGCGACTGTGGTGGTTTAGGCGGGCGCACGGCCGGCGCCGGTGGCGGTTTTAAAATAGCCGGCGGGGCGACCTCGACGATCATTGATGGTGCCTCGGGCGCCGGCGAGGGCAGCTCTGTTAAAGCGGCATCGGGGTCTACGCCCTCCGCCTCGCAGTCCTGCCAGGTCTGGGCGTCGACGCTCCGGAGGTAGAACTCCATGGCGTTCATTTTAGTTGATGGCAGCCTCAACGCATGCGTTTGGGCAGCCCTGGGTGCTCCATTTTTATGTGCACTGCCCAACTGAACCCACTGTCTGTTTGCTAGTGTGTTACTGGCCGCTAGCTATTAGCTTTTTCAGGCATTTTACTGACGACGGCGTCGTCAGCGTCGCGGCACTCGACACAAGGTACAACCCCCCTTTGAAGGCTTCCTTTAGCAATTACGGCCCCTGCGTGGAGATCTGTGCAGAAATAAAAATTTCACGCCTTCCGATAATTCTTCACACAGGTCGACATCAGCGCGCCTGGCGTTCGCATAGCGGCGACGTATATAGACAGCGGATACGTCTACATGTCCGGCACGTCGATGGCGACCCCCGTCGTAGCGGGAATCTTCGCCCTCGGCTTCTCCCTCAAGCCGTTGGCGACGAGAAACGAGCTACTTACGTGCGCCTACGAATATGCGACAGAGATCGACGACCTCGAATACGAGGGCCAGCTCGGCGCCGGCCTGATCAACGCCGAGAAGTTTCTCGAGTGCGTCGGCGGTCTCCCCGACCCGACGCCGCAGCCTACTCAAGCTCCGACGCCGAGGCCGTCGCCGAGGCCTACGCCGGCTCCGACCGCCGAGCCGTCGCCGCGCCCGACGCCGGCGCCGACGCCCAAGCCCAGTGCCGCGCCCACGGCCTCACCGACGAACGAGTTCCCGACGTGCGGTGTGCGGATCAACCGCGGCGATGGGACCGGCTTCCATTGCGAAGATGATCCCTGGGCGACCGAGCACGCCGGCAAGAAGATCGCCTTCGCGTGCTGCGACGCCGACATGCGTTACAGCACGTGCACGCGGGCGGATGCGGACGGCGAGTGCTACGCGGGTTTCCTGAATCCGGTATCGAATTTCGCGCCGAAGACGTGGCACGAGGCCACGAACGTGTGCGCGGCTGAGGGCAAGGTCCTCTGCGGCGTCGAGCAGCCGTGCAAGAACAGGGGGTGCCACTACAACGGTCACTACCAGTGGACGGGTCAGGAGTGTCAGGCCGGCGACGCGGGCCTGCCAGTCGCGTGCGCCGAGTTCCCAAAGTGTGGCGTGCGGGTGGTTCGGGGGATCAAAGACGTTGCCCCATATTGCGAGACGGACCCGGACGCGTTAGTTCGCGACGACGGATCTGAAATGGGTATCGCGTTCGCGTGCTGCAACGACGACGGCTCTGGCTCGTCCGGTTGTACCAGGACGGTATCCGGAAGCTGCAACGCCGGACATTGGAATCAACCGGCCACCTGGGCGCCCGTGACGTGGTCGGACGCTATGAACTACTGCGCGACGTACGGCAAGACGCTCTGCGGTTCGTCCAATGCAGGGAGGTGCCAGAACAGAGGCTGCCACTACAATAATATCTACCAGTGGACGAACGAGCCGTGCGAGCCCGACGACGAGGGGTACGAGTGTACTTCCTAGCCCGCGAAAAGACTGAACTCTCCCCTTTCCTCGTTTCTAAACCTCTTTCATAACTAACCTATATATAAACACGCATCGTCGACTGGACCGTCTCCCGGCACACGGGGCACTCCTCCACGAGCCGCGCGTCGTTCGAGCGCGTGACGCAGTCCGCGCAGAGCACGTGGCCACATGGTACCAGTGCCGTGTCCTTCGCGCGCGCCATGCAGACCTGGCACTCCGTGCTCTCGTCGAGCGGCACCGCCTCGAGCGCGCCGCGGAGCCGCGTCGCCTCGGCCTCGGCGGCCGCGGCCTGGCGCCGGAGACGCGCGACCTCGGCCGGCGACGCCTTCGCGGGCTTGGGGATGCCCAGGCTCCTCCTAATAGACCGCCGCGCGGACTTGAGCAAACTCTGGCGCCGCGGGCCGCTATCGCGCGGCGACGTCGGCTTCGACTCCGGCGAGGGCATCGCCTCGGGCTCGCGCGGGGGTAACGGAGGCGCCGCCGCCGGCAGGACCTCGGCGAGGGCCGCGTCGGCGAGGGCCTCCGCGTCGAAGAGTGGTGGAGGCGGCGGCGGCGCCGCGGCCGGCCGGCGCGCCTCGGTGAAGGAGGGCGACGGCGGCGGCGCGGACGCGCGTGTCGGCGGCGTCAGGACCTCGACGACCTCCGACAGCGCGGGCGACGGCGGGCTTCGCGGGGAGCTCGCGGGCCGCGGCGGCGGCCGCGCGGACGCCGCCTCGGCCTCGCTCAGCGACAGCGCGAGCGCGAGCTGCAGCTCGTCCTCGTCGTCGTTTCGTGGCGGCTCCGCGCGCCGCGGTGAGATCGTGGCGACGCGCGCCGAGAGGCCCGGGAACGCCGCCTCGGCGTGGCGCCCCTCGACGCGCACGTAGTCGCGGGGCACGTAGCCCTCGTAGCCGCCCCGTTTTTTACGCGCGAACCACCACCCTTTTTCCGTGGGCCAGACCTCCAATTCATCATCAGCCGTGAGGGCCAAACCACTAGGCTCTTCGGGCACGAAGTCCCACTTCGCCCGGGCGGCCGTCGCGGGGCCGTATTCATCATCTCCCATGGTAGGCTGCCTCTTGTGGTGTTATGCCATGTCGCTTTGGCTGCGCTCTCCTTGCCCGTGGGCTTGACTCCGGCGGATGAATGCGCACGGGCACCAGTAAAAATGCTCCGGCGGAGGCCCTGGGGCTGCTGCAAACTCTGGTGCTCTCAAGATGCCTAGTACCTCTCTATGCGCTAGCTAATTATGCCCTCTCGCGCATCGAGGATAGCTTGGCGTAGCGATCGACGATCGCGCTGCGCAACAGCTGGAGCCGACGATTGCTGCGCACTATTGACAGCGCCGCCACCACGCCGTCGACGCGCCATCACTGGAAAAAACATCCGCACACGTGTGCAGCGGATCACCAGCCACACAGCCGTGCGCGACGCCACGCTGCCGAGGCAGCACACTAAATGCGTCGATCCATGGCCGCGCTCGCAAAGACCGTCCTCAAGGACGACGGCCATGTAGTCAGAAGAGTAGCCATCGTCGGCGGCACGCACGGCAACGAGCGGAACGGCATCTTCGCCGCGCGCCACCTTCTCAAGGATACGAAGCGCGCGTCGCGGTCCACCTTCGAGACGACGGTCGACCTGGCGAACCCGGCGGCCATCGCCGTGAATAGGAGATATGTGGACGAAGACATGAACCGGTGTTTTTCCCGGGAGATGCTGGGCAGGAAGGCGACGTCTCGCGAGGCTCGACGGGCCGAGGTCCTGGATCAAGCCTTGGGGCCGAAGGCGGCTGAAGAACGACGCATGGACTTGGTCATCGACCTACATAACACGACGTCGGACTGCGGCTACGCTTTGATGATGCGGCGCGACGATGCTTTATCTCACGCTTTATGTGCCACGTTGCAGAAGCAGTACGAGGACGTGCGGTGCTGCGAGTGGGACGACAAGCCCGACCACGCGACGCTGCCGTCTTGTGGAAGATCCGGCTTCACGCTCGAGGTGGGGCCCGTGCCGCAGGGCGTCGCCGACGCTGTGACATATCAAAAGACGCTGGAACTCATCGACTCCATTTTAGATGCGGTCGAGGCGCGGAACCAGGCATTGCTGTCGCAGAAGAGCAGTGTTACTCTGGAACCGCTCGAGGTCTATCGGAGAGTGGATCATGTCGACTTTCCGAGGGACGACGACCACGTCGTGGCCGGTTTGATCGCGCCGGAAGTGATTGATTTCAAACCGCTGGAGCCGGGCCAGCCGCTGTTGCTGGGTTTAGATGGAGAGTGCGTGAAGACGCACGGCGAGAGTGATCTCACGCCCTTCTTCGTGAACGAGGCCGCGTACTACGAGAAGGGCGTGGCGTTTGTCTTGGCCGAGGTGGCCGAGGTGGGGGTGGAGGTCGTGTCTTAAGGCTAGTGTTGTCTGAATGAACGAGGGGGAAGAGTCTTCGCCCGGAAGTTGTTACGGTGCTAGAACTAGTTGGCGGAGCCCCTGCCCAGGGCTGGGGGGGAGACAGCGCGTCTTCGTGAGCTAGCGGTGAGACACTAGCAATTTGCGGCTTTGGCGCTCGCCTGCGCAGTTGGCCTCGCGCGCTGCAAGCGTAGGCGTTTCGCTTGCAAATAACGAGGCACGAGTGCTCTCTCGGCCGACTCAGAAGTGATGGCTTTCTCATTTGGTGCAGCTGCTGCACAAAAGCCGGCGGGTGGCTTCAGCTTTGGAGCCGCCGCGACGCCCGCAGCACCTGCGTTTGGCGCGGCGCCCGCGCCCACGCCTGCATTTGGCGCGCCCAGCACCAGCGCAGCACCTACGTTCTCATTTGGAGGAGCTGCGGCAACACCCGCGGCGCCGGCCTTTGGCGCTCCAGCGGCGACACCCGCAGCACCGGCCTTTGGCGCCGCGGCGCCCACGACGACGCCCGCGTTTGGCGCCGCAGCCACACCGGCAGCGCCAGCCTTCGGCGCCACGGCCACGCCAGCCGCGCCGACGCCCGCGGCTCCCGCCTTCTCTTTTGGCGGCGCCGCGGCACCGACGCCGGCGTTTGGGGCACCTGCTAGCACTACTACGCCGGCGTTCGGCGCCCCCGCCGCGACGCCCGCGGCACCGGCTTTCGGAGCTGCCGCCGCAGCCCCCGCGCCGGCAGCCGGCGCGTTCAGCTTCGGCGCTCCGGCCGCGGCCGCGCCGGCGCCTGCTGCGGGAGGCTTCAGTTTTGGCGGAGCCGCACCCGTGGCGACGCCCGCGCCCACCGCATCGTTCGGGGCGCCAGCGGCGACGGCGCCGCCGACGCTGTTCGGCGGTGCGACCCCCGCGGCAGCGCCCGCGCCCGCCGCGGCAGGCTTCAGCTTCGGTGGCGCGCCCGCCGCGACCCCGGCTCCGACCGTACCGTCCTTCGGCGCGCCCGCAGCCGCGCCGGCGCCTGCCGCGACGCCCGCCGCCGGTGGCTTCAGTTTCGGAGCCCCAGCAGCAGCGGCCCCCGCGCCCGCCGCGGCGGCGCCTGCCGGTGGCTTCAGTTTTGGCGCGCCCGCGGCGGCGGCCCCCGCGCCCGCTACGGCAGCGACGCCGGCCGCCGGATTTAGCTTCGGCGGCGCGGCACCTGCACCGGCGCCCGCAACCGCGGCGCCCACGGCCGGCTTCAGTTTTGGTGGAGCCGCGGCCGCGCCGGCACCAGCGGCAGCGGCGGCGCCCGCGCCCGCCGCGGGAGGCTTCAGCTTCGGCGCCCCTGCAGCGGCAGCAGCACCAGCGCCCGCTGCGGCGGCAACGCCAGCCGCTGGAGGATTTAGTTTCGGAGGCGCGGCTCCCGCACCGGCGCCTGCCGCGACCGCGCCCGCGACGGGAAGCTTCAGTTTTGGCGGAGCCACCGCGGCCGCGCCGGCAGCGGCCGCCCCCGCGCCCGCGGCAAAGGGCGTCACTTTCGGCGGAGCCACGACTGCCGCGCCGGCGACGGCAGCAGCAAGCTTCGGGGCCACAACGACGACAATAACCCCGGACGCCTGCCTCCGCGCCGTCGTGACGCACTGCGCCTCACAAGAAGCGGACGCCACGACGGCGGCGTGCCTCGCGCTCGAAACCGGTACTGTCAAAAGCGAAGCCGTCGCCGCCTGCGCTAGCGTCGTCAAACCTACGCCTACGACAGAACCCAAGGCCGCCGTCGACGCGCTCGCGAAGAAGATTTCGCAGGGGTCCACGGTCTTCGGTCCCGTGGCCCACGAGAAGGTCGCCCGGACGCTGGCGGCGTGCAGCTGCGCGGCGCAGTTCGCGACGGGCGCCGCGTGCGGTTTAGATGCTGTTTCTTGGGTCCTCGCGGCCGCGGACGCTGCGACGGCGTCGCTGGCCGCTTTAGACCGGCGCCACCTCGTCGAGGCGGCCTGTGGTCGCATCGCGGCCGTCGAGGCGCGCTGCTGCCGGGCCCTCGGGGCGCTCTGCGCGCGCGGTTCCGATATTGTTGGAGGCGAGGGCTGGGCTTGTGACGTCGCGGCTCTGGCGTGCCGCGGCCGCGTCGGCGACGCGCCGGCGACGCAAAAGGTGTTGTCCGGCGAACACGCCGGCGCCCTGCACTGGCGGCCCCCCTCGTCCTTACAGGAGGCCTGGCGCGAGTCCGTCACCGAGGCGCTCGCGGCGTCACCATCCCCGCTGCGGACTGCCCTCACGAAGACGGGCGACGCGTCAACGGCCGTCGCGAACGCCGTCGCGGCATCGCGGCGCGACGCTTCCTTGTTACCGCTGGCGCTGTTAGCTGCATTGGAGTGGGCGTCCCCGGACATCGCCGACGCGCTCGCGAGAGACGCGCTGACGCCCGACGGCGCGTTGATACTCCTGGCGTGCGCGACGACGGACGACCACCGCAAGCGCGCCGCCTCGCTGGGAGCCTTCCGGAAGTTGCTCGAGATGAAGACAGAAGTTGCAGCGTCGAGGGTGGCGTCGAAAGCGCTTGAAACTATAAATGCGAGGTACTCCTTCGACGCCGGTGACGTGGCCTTCTTGGACGACCAGGGTGCTTTAGCTGTTGATTTGGAGGCCATTGCTCCTTTGATTGAAGGCGAAACTCTGAAAAAGTTGTTTGGCGAAGCTAGAAGGGTCTTTCCGTTGGCACCAGCTCCACTACTTAGGGTAGTGGCCCACACAAGTGAAACGGCGACGGGCGACTTGAGGAAAGTACCGTATGGGGCGCGACTCGCCGTCTGCACCGAGACTACGGCGCTGACCCTCTCTGAGGACGGTACACCAGCGTGGGCGCCGGCTCGCATCGACGACGTCTCAAGAGCCGCTTCGAATGACTCTTTACCGCCGGACGCAACCTTCACTATTAGTTCATCAAACGGTGCCGTGGCGCTCAAGGACGCGCGCGGCCAGCTCCACTCCCCAAAACTCGCGGAACTTGTGGTGTGCGTGGGCGGCTGCGATTCTCTAGTAGGGGGCCGCGTCCCGGCCGGTGCTGTTGGGGTCGTGGCCTGCCACGGCGGCGAGAAGGACACGCCCTTTGCCGTAAGGTGGGACAGTGCTCCTAGATCTGTAATAGCGGCGGCCGCGGCGTTATGTGGCGACGCCGGCGCTTCGGACGACGCGGCTCAGAGTGCCGCAAGGGTGCTCGCCTCCAAAATTGTATCATCTCAGAACGAACTGGCGCGGCCCGGCGACGCCGACGCGCCGTCACCCATCGACGCGCTGGCTCGGCGGGCGTCGCTCGGCGGTCCCGGCGCCGCCGTCGCTGCGAAAGCCTTCGTCGAGGCGCTCAGCGGTTCTACGGCGAGAGACGCGTCGCGGGCGTTCCTCGGGGCTTCAGGACCGTTTTCGCGCGGCGCGTCGGAGTGCGTGCGCAAGGTCGACATCGACGGTGCGTCGGCTCTAGCAAATGCTCTCGCCGCGGCGGCGACGTCGTCCGTCGACGCGGCGCCGTGCTGCGCCATGTCAACGGATGCCAGTCGGGCGGCGCGCGACGTCGTCGGCGCGCTCGTTTCATTGACTGCGAAAGTCGCCGACGCTTCTACAAAGGACGACGCGGCGCTCGAACCACTCTCAAAATGCGCCGAGGCCTTGGCAAAAGTGGCTTCCGAAGGCGGCGAGGCGCGCGCCGCTTTATTGGACGATGCGCGGACGCCGCAGCTCCTCGCGACCATGCTCGCGTTACCGTTGAGACGCGCGCCGGGCGGCACGTCCACCGCCCGGGCGGCGGCCTTCGCCGACCACGGCGACGCTGTAGGAAGGACGGCGCCCCTCCGGGCCCTAGCTCTCCATTCGTTGCGAGCATCAAAAGAGTTCGCGACGGTGCCCGCGACGCTCGCGGCCCTCGCCGCGGCCTACGTCCGGCACGGCGGAGATATTGGAGGCGCCGCGTGTGCGACTATATGTAGAGCCCTCGAGCGCGCGGACGACGCCTGGTGGTGGCGGAGCGGCCCGCCGGTGTTGGGGGAGCGCCTGCGGGAGCCGGCGACATGTAGTTCAGCCTTGAAGATGGTGCGCGCCGTCGTGAAGTGGCGCCCGGACGCGGCCGCGGCATTGCTGCCGGTCGACTGCGGCGAGGCCTGCGTCGCGGCCTCAAAACATCAGATGAAGCATGCCATAGAGCTCTACGTGGCGTGCGCGGAGGCGGCCCACGACTCCGGCAAGCGGATTATGGAGAAGCTCGGGGGTGATGCGGCTTTTGTGGATGGTGTGCTCGCATCGGATGCTTCCATAGCCTGGCGCGCGCGCGCCGCCTTGGCCAAGACGTCGGACAAGGTCGCGGCGGCGCCACCGCCCTCTTTAGATAGAGCGTTCCGCTGCGACCTGCGGGTGGCCGACGTGTCCGCGGCCGCGCGCGCGCCGCCCGGCGAGCGGACCGAAGGAAACCAGCGCTACGCCGTCGACGCCCCGCGCCACTCTGATAGAGAGGCCTCCGCCGGGCGGGACGGGATGCAAGCGAGAAAGGCCGCCGAACGGGCCAACGCCGCGTGGACGGCCGCCGCGGCTTGTGTGGACGCGGCGTCGCACGCCGCGGCTCTATCAAAGCACGTAGCGACTTGTGCTGAGCCCGTGTCGCGACAGGCATCTGAAGCGTTAAGCGAGCGCGGCGCCATCACGGCCGCATTAATCGCGTCCGTCGCGGACGACACGGAGACTGCTGGTAAAGCGGTGAGCGGGGCGGCCTGCGCCGTATGTGTGGAAGCTCTGAGCTGCTGCGGCGACCTCGACGCGCTCGCGAGCGTCGCGGGGCCGCTCGACGCGGCCGCGAGAAGGGCGGGCGCGGCGGGCACGGCGGCGTTATTAGCGTGGGCCGTCGCCGTCGCCGCCGCGGCGCGGAAGGGCCCGCCGTCGAAGCGGGATTGTCTCCGGCGCATCGCGGGCGTCGCGCGCGACTGTTTAAGGGATGCGACGGGCGAGCTGCGCTCAGCGTGCTGCGCCGCAATTGCTGCTTCTTTACGATTGGACCGGGCGTCCCAAGGCTCTGGCGCCGGCGCGGCCGCGGAGCTCGTACTAGGAGTTCCGCTTGCAGAATTACTCGGCAAGTGTCGCGACGCGACGTCAAGAGCCGTGGAGGCGGCCGTGGCCAGCGCGCTGGACCACGGCGCGGCCTGCGAGGTGCCCCTCCGGGCCTACGAGGCCGTCATCGCGGCTTTGACGCAGGCGCAGCTCGCGGCGCCGCTCGCCGACGACATTGCGCGGGACGCGTTCGCGCGCGCGGGCCGCGACGGCGTGTGTCGTTCCCTGGCGCGAGCTAGGGCGTCTTCATCCGAAGTCGCGACGAAGCTCGCTTTACGCCTCGCGCCGCCCTGGCGGTCCGCCTTGCGATTGGCCGCGCGCGCCGTCGACGCGGGCGCCGACGTGTGCCAGGCCGCGGCCTTCGCGCGGGCGCGCGCCGCGGACAACTACGGCGCGTTCCGCGCGCTCGACGCGATCGGCCGCGACGCCATCGCCTCCACGTCCATCGCGGACGCGGCCGCTGCCTTAGATGTCGTGAGCGCGCTGTCGCGGAAAGCCGTGGCATGGCGCCGGGCCGACGCCGCCGGCGCCCGGGCCTTTGGCGCCGTCTGCGTTAGTATAGTGCGGTCGGCCGCGCGGCGGTGCCTCGCCGCGGACCGGTCCCTGGCTGTGGTAATAACGCCGCACCACGCCTGGCAGTCGCCCTCGTCGCCGCGCGGCCGGCGGTCGTCGTCGGGCCCCGCGCCGTCGCCGCGGTCCGGCTCGCCGCGGAAGCACTCGTTCGGCGGCGGCCATGTTCATGAGGTCGACCCCGTCGCCAAGGCCGCCGCCGATCAGCTGAAAAAGCTCGTCGCGCCGGCGCTGGGCGCCGCGCGGCGCCTGAGCCACGAGCCCCGGCCGTCTCCCGAGAACAGGTCGTTGGCGGTCGGCGACCGCGTCGACGTCGCGGTCGAGACGCCGATGACGCCGCGCGGCGCGCCGGCGGCGAGCGGCGTGGCGCGGGTTGGTGTCGTCGAGGCGCTCGACGACGCGTCGGTCACCGTGGCTTTTGACGACGGCACGCGGGAGAAAGTAGTGAGGCGCCTCGTTTCATTAAGAGCGCCGCCGCCGTCGTGCGCGTTCGCGCCCTTTTCGGTGGGCGAGGTCGACCAGGACGACGCCGAGCTCGCGCCGCCGTCGGCGGGGCACCTGGAGGTATTATTGCGCGCCTACGCGAAGGACCCGACGCCCGCGGACGCCCTCGCGCGCGAGGAGGCCTGCGTCGCGCTCGTGCAGTGCGCCGTCGCCGACGCGCGGGCGCGGCCGACGGCGCACTCGCGGTCCGAGGCCGCGCGCAAGGCGGATTTGAGAGCGGGCTTGGCGCGGCACCTCGGGCCGCCGCCCGACGGCGCCGTCGCCGACGATGCTCTCCGTGCGGCGCTGCGGAACGCGTGTAGCGACTTGTTGGCCGCGCACGAGCGCGACATCGCGTCGCGGACGGCTCCGGGGACGTGGCGGCGGTCCGGTTCGAGGACGGGGGCGGATACGGGTCGGATGAGCACTGGGCGGTGAGTTCGTCCTTGTAATTTGGCTAGAAAATAGATCTTTCTTTGCTTAGAACTAGGCCGCCTAGCCACCACGACCGCCGCGGGGCCTGCTTGACCGCACGCCCGTATGCTGCGGCCGCTCCGTTTTAGTCGACCGGGTTGTCACGACCGATAAGTAGTACGTGGGGATGACGATCGGGAAGACGATAAATTTTCATGTTGCGCAACGGGCGGCAATCTCGATAGTCAATTTCCATCTCAGGATCTCCATTAAATTCGTCGCCGTCCAACGTGAACATGAACCTCGAGTGCGGCATAACGAAATGCGATATAAAAAGCAGGTGCTCGATCGACCCGTCTGGTTGCCCGTAATACTCAGGCGCGTGGAAAAGCCTCTCAAGCGACCGCATGTGGTCGGCCGAGCCGGGCTCGCCGCCGAAATACGCCGGTCGCTCGTGCCGGTGGCGCGCGACCGCTTGCCAGGCGTCGCATTCCCGCGCCGCCAGTTTCGCGCTCCGGCTCGTCGTCGTGAAGGCGCCAAGCATGCGAGCATCATACCGTGGCGCTTTAAGGCACTGTTTTTTTTACTCGAATCGAGCGCGCTAGCGTTATGTAAGACACTAGGAAAATGCAAAGCAGTTTTTTGGCGCGTCCGAGTTTGGCTCGCGCTGAGGCGCCATCAGCGCCCTCTGGGGCAGTCGCAAGAGTGCAGCCGGCCTCGGCGCAGCCTCCCACGGCAGCGCTGCGGCTGCAACGCCGAACAGAGGCTGGACAAGCGTCGCGAACACTTTTGACTCGGTCGGCAGCGCGGACGCCGTCGAAGCGCTCGTCATAAGCAATGCTGCGCCGCCTCGCAACGCTCCTCGCCGTCGCGGCCGCCGAACTCTCGCGCGAGTTCACGCTCCCGAAGGCGGTCGACCTTAGCACTGCAAAAAACGCCCTCGTCAAGGGCGACATGCACCGCCTGCTCTCCTACAAGTCGATCAAGACGAGTCGAGAATCGGGCCGCGTGCACGTCAACGAATTCCGGCACCCCATCGGCGGCGCGACGGTCGAGCGCTGCGAGGTCCTGAGGAGCGGGCCGAACCAGTTCCAGATGGTTGTCACCGCGGCCTCGCGCGAGGCGCCCTTCGGCGAGACGTTCACGACGCGCGTCGTCGTCACGCTGCGCCGCGACGCGAACAATTGTGTGGTGATGGGCGCGACGTCCTCGGTACAATGGAACTCGGCCAAGCGGCCGCCGCGGATTCTTGAGAGGCAGATCAGGAGCGCCGCCGAGAAGGGGTCCGTGAACGCCTACGGCGCGCTGGCCAAGTGGCTCGAGACCGGCGGCGCGCCGGTCTCTCGAACCCGGTTCAGGTTGTTAAGGCGAGCCGTCTTGGGCGTCGCGGTGGGCGCCGGCGCGCTGCTGCTGCGGCCGAAGGCGGCGGAGTAGTCGATGGCGTCGCAGCTACGCCATCGTCAAATTCGCAAGATCCTCATTTGGAAAGTTGTACATAACAATCACTTAGTAAAATCGAAACCCGCCCCAGTTCTTCCCCTTGTACGACTGCTCGGTCGTCACCGGCGCCTCGTCGTCGTCCTCCGGGGCATCTTCGAGGAAGTCGCCGAGGGGCTTGAGCACGGAGGAGGGATAGTACTTCTCCACCGCACCGTGGTTGCCCGTCTTGAAGCCGAGGGCCTGGCGGTGGATGAGCAGGTTCTGCCGCTCCTTCCGACACACCTGGCGCTGCGCGTCGAAGGCCTCGACGGCGTCCGCCGTCGCGACGGGCATCAACCTCGCGCGCAGCTCTGGCTTGTTGCCCCCGACAGGCAGGCCGTGGCTCCTCAGTTCGTCGCGGAGCTCGGGCACCCGTAGTTTGAGCACGGCCGCCGCGGCGTCGTGGGCCCGCTGCCGGTCGCGCTCGAGGCACGCGAACGCGTAGTCGACGCGACTCGTCGTCCTCCCGAGGGCTCGGGCCATCTCCTCGGCCACCTCCTCCGCCAAGGTGTCGACGTGCGCCCGCACGTCGTGCTGCGCCCGTAAACGCGTCAAGTAGATGGACTCGCAGCCCTCGTCCACGAGCTGCTCGGCGAGCGCGCGCCAGGGCGTCGGCTTCGCGGGCGCGCGGCCCATCATGGCCTTCGTCAGCGACGACAGCGGCCTGCGTAGATGTATCGGGTGTGAAATCCGCGCACGCCACGGAGGGACGCGAGCGATTGGATTCCCGAGGTGCTCTTGCGGAGCGGAATAACCCAGACAGCCTTGTCAGTGTCGCCGGCCGGGAGATAGTCGCAACGCGTGCCTTCGTGATTTCAAGTGCGGACGCCGCGGGCGCGCCTTTGCATGCTTGCGCGTCGCGCCGTTCGGAGGAGCAGCATTTGCGCGATGCGGGAGTGCTGCAAGCTGAGAGCGGCCAGCCAGCGGCGCGCCAGCCAGCGCGCGGTCAGTATTCGATCGATTCCGGCACCGCGCCAGCCGCAGCGGTGCGTCTGGCCCGCCGGCCGCCTTAGCGGCCGCCTAATCGTGTCGCCAGCGCCGAGGGCTGCAAAGGCTGCTGCAGCTCTGGGGCCACAGCAAAACGCACACCTAGCGCACGGGTGCGAGCAAGGAGTTGGTTGTCGAGTGCCGACGTCACTCGTTTTGCTGCAGCTCTGAAAGAACGCGCACAGTCGCCGCGTGCAGCTGTGCAGCAAAGATGGCAGAGACGGAGGAGAGCGAACCCTCGACGCCGACGACGAGGCGCCGCAAGCCCTACGGCCTCCTCCACGTGCACTGCGTCGATGTTGTGCTGGACCGCGGCTGCCTGCGGACGGCCGCGGCCGTGCGGCTGCAGCTCGGCTGCGGCGCGCAGCGGCAGACTTGCTCCGGCGCCGTCGAGCGCGACGACGACGGTTCGGGGCGAGCCTACCTGCGTCGCCAGGCCGCGGCCTTCGAGGTCAAGGCGTCGAGGCACGCCCCGCGCCAAATAACGATCGCCGTCGCGGGCGACGAGGGCCATCCCGAGGCCGTCGGGACCTTGGACGTGACGCGGCTCCTCGAGAGTGAGAGCCACTTTCTGGACGAACACATCCTCCTGGAGCCCCGAGGCGCAACGGTGCGCGTCGCGTGCGCGTTCGACGTCCTCGAGGCGCCGCTGCGGCCGCGCGACGTGGTCGCGTGGTCCGGTCTGCTGCGGCCCGAGCGCATCTACCCGCTGGCGCCCGACGAGCGCCTCGTCGTCGTCGCGGTCGCGGGCGACCGCGCGCTCGTCGCCGCCGGCGACGCGCGCGTCGCGCTGCGGCGCAGCTGGCTCCGGCGGACCGGCGAGCGCGCCGCGGCGTCGACGATCGCGGCGCTCGCGGCGTCGCCGCTGCGGCGCGCGCTCGAAGATTCCATCGAGCGGCCCGGGGCGGCGCTGGACCGGGCAAGAGGCGGCGCGGCGCGGCTCAAGGACCGATGGCGCGCCGGCGGCGTCGAGGCCGTTCGCGGCGACGTCCTGTACGCGCTCGGCGCCGCCGACGGGCCCGCGCGGACGGCGCGCCTCGTCGCGACGGACTCGCAGGGCGACTTCGCCGACGAGGCGTCCTCGGCGTCGGACGAGGAGGTCGTCGCGCCCGCCCCGGCGCCGGCCCGGAGGTCGCTCGGGATCCCTGTGACGCGAGTTTTGTAGTAACTATCTGTTGTACATTACACAATTGCTATCGCTCGCGGTCGGCGGGCGGGGGGTTCTTCGCGATGAGTCTCTGCTTCCCCTTCTCAAGGGCCGCCAAATCACTCCGGGGATACTCAAGATTCCTCTCCACCTGGATCCGCTGTTGCTCGAGCCTCCGAAAAAATTCCAGATCCGTGGCCGACCAGGTATGGCCTGAGGCGCACGTCCGCGAGTGGCTCACGTCCCAGTCCAACTTCTGGCACTTTTCTCCGCAATACCGCCGCGAGCCGCACCAGCAGACGAGGAAGCGGTCCTCCTCGAGCGGACGGACTCGAGAACAGATGTCACATATTCTCCGCTTCTGCCTCCTCAACACCTTCATTAAATTTCTGACGAGAATTTCTCCATGAGCATCCCCATCGTGGGGATCGTCGAGCTTGGCCCGCTTTGACTCGGAGAGGTCATCCCAGAACTCGCTGACGCTTCCTTTGATGATTTTAGTTATAAGCAGGTCGTGAAACATGGCCTCGATCCTGGGTCGCGCCAATTGCAAGAAGCGCGCGTAGCCTGAGAGCGGCTGTTCCCAGCCTTGGACCTCCAATTTAGCTATCGCCTTGATCGTGGGCGGGAGCGCAGCAAGACTTGAGCACTCTCGCAACTCGAGGGTCGTCAGCGCTTTGAGCTCGCCGATTGCGTTTGGTAGCGCGGCGAGGCTCGAGCATCCGCCCAAGTAGAGCGCCGTCAACGCGCCGAGCTCGCCGATCGCGGCCGGCAGCGTAGCAAGACTCGAGCACCCTGCCAAGTTGAGCTTCGTCAGCGCACCGAGCTCGCCGATCGTGTCCGGCAGAGCGGTGATCGGGCACCGGCGCAAGTTGAGTTCCGTCAGCGCGCCGAGCCTGCCGATCGCGTCCGGCAGAGCGGCGATCGGGCAGTTGCACGAGTCGAGCTCCTTCAGCGCGATGAGCCCGCCGATCGTGTCTGGGAGCTGTGTAAGACTCGAGCATTCGTCCAAACACAACACAGTTAGTGCCTTGAGGTCGCCGACCGCTTTTGGCAAGGCGACCAGTTTATGGCACCCGCCCAAGTTGAGTATCGTCAGCGCGGCGAGCCCGCCGATGGAGTCCGGCAACGCGACAAGGCTCTCGCACAAGTTTAAGTTGAGCTCCGTCAGAGACTTGAGCTCGCCAATCGCGGCCGGCAGCGCGGCTAAAAAGAAGCAGTGGTCTAAGGTGAACGTCTCCAATGCCGTTAGCCCTCCGATCCCCTCTGGCAGTCTGGTGATGTTCTCACAATGAAACAAATCGAGCTTCGTCAACGCTTTGAGCTGGCCGATGGAATTCGGGAGCGCGCAGATGTTGCAATCCGCGAGATCGATTTTTATAACGTGTCCCTCGAGAGATTTTTCAATGCTACCTTCTACTGTTAGATCGTCTAGATAGCAAGCGGATTGCAGGTCCCTCAGTGCACCCTCTTCCAACCGCTTTTTTCGCCGCCGTTCGGCGCCGGTTGCCAATCCTGGCCGCTTTTGCGCTGCGGCGCGGCGCCATCGTTGGGGGCAGCGCTTCACTACCAGTTCGTGAGCCCTGGGCTGCCCGCAACTTTTTGGTGCTAGCGGCATGTAAGACACTAGCGAGCCGTGGGCCGTGAGCACAGCGTGCCTCGCCTGCGCAGCCGAGATGGCGGAGCCCGAGGCGGCTCCGGCCCCGCCGACAGGCGCGGCCGAGCCCGCTAAAGGCGCGGCAGAGACCGCTGCGCCGGCCAAGCCCGAGAGGGCCGCCCCGGCGGCCGCTGGCTTTGGTGGGCGCATTTTGCCCTACGTGCTGGTCTGGTTGGCCGTCGCGTACGGCCGCGACATGCTCGCGGGCCCGCAGCAGGTCGAGAAGGCGCCGGAGGCTCCCAGCGCCGCGCGCGCGCCACCGATCCACCATCGCGACGCCGCCGACGAGGAGTTTGCGGAGTTCGCGAGCGCTGAAGCGGCGCCTGCGGAAGCCAAGCCCGTCGAGACCGCGAAGCCCGTCGAGGCGGTGCCCGCCGTGCCGCGCTCGGCCGCCACAAACGTCCTGGTGCGGCTCTGCACGAGCTGAGGCACGCAGAGGAACTACCTGCAACTCAGGCAGTTCCTCGAAGACGCGTACCCGCAGATAACCACCATCGACGCGGAGCAGTACCCCCCGCCCCCCGTCGGCCTCTTCGCCCAGCAGATCGCGGGCATGGCCCAAATCGCCACGTTAGCGCTGATGATCGGCGGCGAAGGCGTCTTCCGCCTCTTCGGCGCGCCCACACCAAATTGGTACGGCGGCTTCAAGGAGAACAAGATGTTCGCCTTCGGCTGCGTTTGGATGGCCAACAACGTCGCGGCCGGCATGGTCGCCACGGGCGCCTTCGAGATCGTCGTGGGCGACCGCACGATCTACTCGAAGCTCGAGACCGGCCGCCTGCCGAACGCCAAGGACGTCATCGACGGCCTGCGGCGCGTCGGCCTGACGACGCCGCTCGAGGCCAAGTACCTCGGCACGGCGCCGCGCAGTGAGCTCTAGGCGTCGTCGTGCGCCCCGGCGGCCCTTCTACAACACCCCGCGCGGACTTGATGACGCGGCCAGACTCACGGAAAGTCTGGCCGCCGACCTCCGCGCCGGGTTTTGTAGAAGAGGTCGACCGGGGCGCGCGGCGCGCCCGGCGCTCTTCCCCCCCTTGTATAAAAAACAATCCGAGTCAAGAAGGATCAAACCTATTCCCCGGCGTCAAATCCACACTCTCGTCCCCTTCCCGCCTAGCCATCCTCCCGAAGCCCGGCGGCAGGTTGCCCGAGACGTGCGGCGCGCAGATTGGGGGTCTCTGACTGGTATCACAGCTCGAGCCGGGGCAGTCCAAATCCGAACCGCAATACGGCGCCCTCGTAAATTCAACGTCGACCGTCGTGGGCCAGTGCGTCTCGGTCCCGTAGTACTCGCGCGGCGCCGGGTCCGTCAGGCAGTTGTAGTAGGCCTCGTCGCCGTACGCTCCCGAATCGTCCACCACACAGAACTCCATTTTCAGGTACGACGCGTTATGTGCGATCGCTATTGCGGTAAAGGTCTCGGGCGGGATCCAGTAGGGACACAAATGGAAATCGTTTTCGGCACATCGTTCCGACACGACCATGCCGAACCTGTTCAAGGAGCGCTCATTCAGTCGTCGGAAACACACAGAAAATCTCAAAGCATTCGCGCCAAAATTGTTCACGGGTAGCACATGCGCGTCAGGTGGAATCGCCCCCTCGCCCCGATTCACGCAGTTCGACCCACATACTGAGCTATCACAACCGCCCCACTTGTCCATCTCGTCGACGCACTGCTTCATCAGTATTGAGGAACACCCCGACTTCCGCGCACAGACCCCGTAGTACTCGTCCGCACAAGTACACATGTGCGCCGCGTAGCCCTCGCCCGCTGGGGCGTCTCTGGCACACCGTTCATACGTCTCTTTGCATTTCTCGAGTTCGCGCTTCCGACAATGCCGCGTGAACCACTCGTCGCCGTCGTGGACGCCCCAGACGCCGGGCTCGCCGCCGGGGATGGGGAAGGGGTAGGCCGTGATGGCTGGGAGCGCCGCGGCGGCACAGAGCCTGCGGCGCATCGTCTCGGAGGCTGCCCGTGTCTCGTCGGCTGCCCGCGGCCGCTCGGCTGGCGTGTCGAGGTGACGCAACGCTTGAATCCGTCGAACGATAACCGCTGGGCGTCCAGGACCCAGAGAGCTCGACCCAGAGAGCTCGCGCTGCGGCAGCGGACATCTCGATAGACACACTAGAGACCGGCGCGCCGCGCGTCATGAGACGGCCCACTTAGAGACCCTCGGATAGTTCTGCGGAGAAGTGAGTCGCGCCTCGAGACACTTGGCCCGGGAGCGTCACCCGCGGAATGCGGGCCACGGTCAAGCCCCACGCCGTCGTGTCGAAGAGTTTAGGAAACTCCACAACAAAATTAAAACTACGCCGCGAGAAGCGCCTCGGCCTCGCGGGCCGCGCGACTTCCAGATTCGAGGGCCCCGCACACGCTCCCCTGGTACTCGACGGACGTGTGCTCGCCCGCGAAGAGCACCCTTTCACAATGCGATTCACCGACCTCGGCCACGTCCGTGGCCCGCGCCCCCACCTTCCAGAAGGAGTAGGCGCCTCGGGAAAAGCGGTCGCCCTGCCAGGCCGTCGCGTCCGTTTTGTGAGGAGGCCCCGGGTATGCGGCGCCGAAGGCCACGCCGAGGCGCGTGAGGACGGCCGCTAAGCCTCGTTGGGGATCAGTATCAAAAGCGTCCGCGTCACTACCGGCCAAGCACGCCTCGAGGACGAACTCTGAAGGCGAGGACACGTCCTCGCACATGATTGAACTCATGTGCGTGTCCCCCTCATCCACACAAATAATGAAGGGCCGGCCCGGGTCCGAGCGCCACCAGGGCTCCTCCCACGTAAGCCAGACCTTGGTGTAGCGCGCCACTCCCAATCGATTGAGGCACGCGACGCGGTCGTCCGTGAGAGATGGCGAGAAAGATATTTGAGATGATTGCAGCACGCCTAAGGGTAAGGTGCAGATACACACCGTTCCTCGCACGCAGCGCGCCGTCCCCGAGCACACCTCGACGCCGTCTTCGACGATGTCTATCGATGAAACCTCGAAGCCGAGTTCGACGTCGACGCCGTCGAGCAGCGGATCTAAGATAGAGGCCATGCCACCAACAATATGAGAGTGGGCGCCGGCGTGGTCGCCCCACCTCTCATCCACTAAACCGGTCGCGCCCGCGAACTCCCGCAGCTGCAGCTCGTCCGCGTGCGCGCCCATCCAGAGGCCCGCCAGCGAACAGTGCATGCGCACCAGGGGGTCGGCCATGGGCGATTGCTTGCGCAGCGCGGGGCCGAGCGCCTTCCAGGCGTCGCCTTCATTCACATCTCTTGTACAGGTCCGCAGCGCGGCGCCGTACATGTGCTGGCGGGTGAGCAGGTGCGCGTCCGAGACGCGCGCGCCGTCGCGCCAGACCGCCGCCACGCCGCTCAGTAGAGGTGGCGACGTCCAGGGGTTGCCTCGCGCCGAGACCGGCTCCAGTTCGACGGACGCCTCCTTCGCTAAAGCGGCGAGCGGGCTGCCGTCCACACCGTGCACCCACGCGGCGCCGCGGTCCCGCCCGCGCACCGTGTGGACGCGGCCGCCGCACCGGTCGCGCGCCTCGACGACCAGCACGGACCGGCCCCGTTCGACGAGGTCCCGCGCCGCCCGCAGGCCGCTCACGCCAGCGCCGATGACGACGACGTCCACGACCCTTGGTTTCGTGAGCGCCTGCTTGATGTGTTGCGGCGTCGGCACTTCTCTCATCTCGGGGAGATCGTCGTCCGTCGACGAATCAGAAGCTTGCGTCGGCGTCGTCGGCGTGGCAGCGTCCAAGCTGTCGTCGTCAGTCGATGATGCATCGTCGGCTATTGGAGGTGTGGCAGCCACTTTGGCCCATGAGGCCATTGCTCTGCCTGGGTCACCACGCGTCGCAATCTCTTCAGCGCTTTGCACCAGCCTCAATAGGAATCTGCTGCTGTGGCGCACTTGTAACGAATTGCCTCTGCGCAGCCCGACGGCCCCAGCAAACAGGCACTAGCACTAGCGCGCTTACGCAACCCGCACGCGAGGCAGCAAAACCCGATTTGTTTCGCACGACCCGCACACTTCGCAGGCTGGTCTATAGGTGCAAACAAGACACATTTACTACAATACGTGGCTCTCAAGCCGCTTCTTCCACCTTCACCTCGCCCGCGGCGACGTCGATGTCGATGCGGAACTCTCGCTTCGCTGCGGCCTCGCGCCGCTCCTCCTCCTTGCGCCACGCTTCCGCCGCCTCTTCGCTCGTGGAGAACGGCGACGCGGCGACCTCGTACCAGTCCTGCTGGTCGTCAACCACCGAGGTCCGGCGCGCTGACTCTCGATCATACTTCGCGAGGCGCTTAGCCAGGGCCACGGCGTCCGGCGACGGCGACGGGTCGGATTGTTCCGAGAGCGCGGCGCCGCAGAATCCGCACGCCGGCCACTCGTCGCGGCGCGCGTTCAGGCGCGCCCAGATGTCGTCGTACGCCGCGTCGGGCGCCACAGGCGTTTCGCGGGCTTCGACCGTGACGGCGTTCACAAAACCGCAGCGGAGGCAATTGAGCGGCGCACGCTCGACCTTCAAACTGCCTTTGGCCTCGCGCCGCCGCCGCCGCTCGCGCTGCGAGGCCGCCACGAGGCCCTTCTTCTTTGACAGCTCGCGCGCAAACGCTGCCACCGCTGGCGTCGCGCCCAGCAAACCATGCGCCGCCTCGTCCACGGCCTCCATGGTCGTCTGGGCCAGCAGGTGGCGTGCAATGTCTGCCTCTCCTCGCACGCCCGTCGCCTTGGCCAGCGCTTCGGTGGCCCACGCCAGCAGCGCGGCGTCGTCTGATTGCGCGAGCGCCGCCATTTGATTCGTGCGACGCCAAGCGCTGAGCACTGGCTTCACCTGCGCCAAGCTGTGCAGCCTGCAGGGCTCCTCCAGGCTGACCCGCCGCGTCCGTATAGCTACCAAGCGAACGGCTCGGCACACGTCTTCAGTCCCCCGAGGGTTGCCAAATCGTCGGCGGGCGACTGTGATTTGCGCGCGCGCGATGACCGACACATTCAGAGTAACATCCCATCCTGAGCGCGGCCGCTGCGCCATCGCAACCAAAGCGCTGCGCCCCGGCGACCTCATCATCTCCGAACCCACTCTAGCGTTCGCCATCAACGACGCCTTGGTCCGCAAGCGCTGCGCCGTGACGGGCTGCGACACGAATGATATAACGTGCGCGGAATGCGCGAATGTCGAGCACTACTGCGACGGCGTCGCAGAAGGCGGCGAGACGCGGCTCGCGCGACTCGTCGCGGCCGCGCGGGCCAGGGACCGCGAGGGGCTCGCGGGACTCGTCTCGCACATCGACGACGTCGACGACGAGACGTTGGAATTTGCGACCTACGCCGCGGCGCTGGCCCGGCAGTGGTGGCCCCTCTCCGCCAAATGCTCCACAGAGAGAGCCTTGGAGGACGTCCTACGGTGCCACTGCAACGCCTTCGCCGTGCTGCTGCCGACGCCGGCCCTCGCGCACCACAAGCGCCCGGCCATGGCGGGGCTGGGCACGCGGCACGGCCTCGCGAAGGAGATCGGCCTCGCGATCTGTCCGAAAGCGGCGGTCTTCAATCACTCCTGCGCCGCGAACGCCTTCGCGCGGGTGCGCCTGCGGCCGGGCCAATCACCGAGCGTCGAGGTCCGCGCGATCGCGCCCATCGCTGTAGATGAGGAGATCTGCATCTCCTACGCCGATAGCGTCGGCGACGTGACGGCGCGGCGGAAGGTGCTGCGCGACTCGTTCTTCTTCGACTGCGCGTGCGACCGGTGTACGCGGGAGGAGACGACGCCGACGCCGTCTTTTGTGATTGAGGGCGACGCCGCGGCGAAGGCGACGGCGCTCGAGGCGTCCAGCGACCCGACGGCGCGCCTCGTCTACGCGCCGCTCGCGCGGTGCCTCGAGAGCGAATCAAAAGGCGAACCGTTGTCGCCGCACGTCGGCGGCATCGTCCTCGAGAACCTCCGCCACGCCTTCGGCCCGGGCTTCGGCGAGGAGTGGGGCGACAGGAGGATATATCCACAATAAATAGTTAGTCGGCCATCGCGTGCGGCCACTGGATCGTCGCCGCGCGTTTCGACGCGAGTGCAATGCACTTTTCCAAAGCAGCCGCGGGCATGGCGCCGGCCACGGCCACCTTCAGCAGCGGCGCGTCCGAAGCCACTCCGTTGGCGCGGTCGACGCCGACGACGACGGTGACGCGCGCGCACCCGCTCGCCTCGTCGATCGAAGGATCCGCCAGCACGGCGCCGTCCTCCGTCACGGCACATGTGAGCGGTGCCGCATGCAGCACGAGGGGCGTGTTTTCGAGGGAGGCGATCGCCGTGGACGCCGCCAGCAACGCGCAGTCCTCGACGCCGCCGTCGTCCGACTCGCACGTCACCAAAACCTCGACCTTCCGCGCGACGCCGTCGTCCAGAACGCCGCGGTCCAGCGCCGCGCCGTCCGCCCAGCAGTCCTCGAGGAGTTGTGCTACCCTTCTACACCAGCGGTCGTCGGCGTTCAGCGCGCCGCGCCGCACCTCGAAGCTCAGGCGCGGCTCGTCCTTCTCCGGCGCCGCGATGCGCGCGCGGGCCGTCGCGCGCGACCCGCCATTTGTAGCCGTCGCCGCGTCTCCATTTGTAGTGACGTGCGCCGCACGCCACGCGTCGAGGCCGCGGCCGTCCTTCCGTTTGTTAGTCTGTATGGCTTCTGTGGTGGTGCGCGCGGGTTCCAGGCGTTCTGCCAAGCCGGGTATCGCACTGATGTCGAACGCTGCGCGCGGGATGCACTCGGGCTCGCTGGCCTTGAGGGCTGCTGCCATTGTGCTTGTGCTAGTGAGTGGTGCGGCCTGGCGTGCACGGTCGCTTTGGTTTGGCTCCTGGCGGCTTTGGGCTCCTGCGCTCTCTGAGGCTGGGCGAGCTGCGTCAGCTGAACGCGGGCGTCGGCGTAGTTATCTGTCGCGGTACTTCCACAGCGCGAGCTGGCTGCTACGTACTGCTCCGTGCGTGAGTGCTGAGCTCTAGCGGCTGGTTGTTTTGGTGCTGCAGCCAATGCAGCCGATTTGCGCACGGGTTTTCGAGCTTGCGGTTTTGTGGCACCTGGCCAGACGCGCGCTCGGAAGTGACTCCCTGGGTACGTTTCGAACGTATTGACCAATATTTGGCTCGCTCGTGCACTGGCGTCGATCAATAAAGACATACAATTCACCTCCAGTCAGAGGAGTTTCAGGACGCTCACAGGCGCTGGCATGCCGACAGAGACCCAAAAGTCCGCCGGAGGGACAGGACAGGACGCGCTGAGTTCCACCAGTGAGATTGACAGTGCCGCGAGCTCGCCGTGCCTGCGAAACGCGGCCACCGCCGCGCCAGGTGAAAAGGTCGCATCGCTCGAGTCCGCGGACGAGTCGGTGCGCGCTTACGACGAGGACGAAATCGTCCATACGGTGCCGTGTTCGTGCTATGGCTGGTCGCAGCAACGCGTCCGCCTCTGCCTCTGCGGGTCCGCGAGCTCGGCTATTGTGCTGGTGGTGCGGCTTTTGCTCGACTGGTACTCGGGGACGACGTACGTCATACATAGCTTTATTGTGTATTTTGACATGATGCTCATACACCTATTTACGTGTTCGCCGTGGCTCTCGGCGAGCGGCGAGGTCGTCACGTATCTGGCGGTGCTAGCCTTCTACATTACGAAGCATAGAATATTCGAGCTAATGGAGACGGTGGCGATCGCGGCCCTGTGCTCAATTCATTTGATTCGCTCGAGAAACAAACATCTGGACCACGAGCACGCGCTGCAAGAGGAGCTCACCGCGCTCAAGCACTCGGTCCGATCCGCGCGCGTGCTGCCCGACATCGAATGTGGCGGCCCGCCCGACGCTGCCGACGTGTCGACGGCGTCGAAGCACGCGTCGACGGAGTCGACTCAGTCGAGCATCGCGCCGCCGCCGCCGCCCTACTCGCTCGCGCCGGCGAAGGCGCGGCGGCGCTGGCGGGAGGACTTCTACGACCACTTCCTGGACGGTGCGGCGGGCGTCATGTACACGTCGTTCCTCGGACTCATCTTGGACGACCTGATCGCTCTCGGGACCGGCAAATACAAGAAATGTTGATGTGTGCACACATAATTACTGTTTTTATATACCTGTTCGGCCGAGTGCGCGCATATCGCTTGAGGGCTAGTGTGTCTATCGACCTCTAGCTTGAGAGTCGCGCGTCTTCCACAGGCTAGACGCCACTGCTGCGCCATCATTTGTCGAACAGAAGCCTCGAGCAGATCTACACACCAAAGACAGCCACCGCTGCGTCATGGCCGCGATGATGGAGACGGATGAGGACGCGGAGCTAGCCCTGCTCGGCAGCGAGGAGGACGACGAGCAGACGCTGCGCAGCTTCCTCGACGCCTTACCGAGGGACGCCACGAAGCGCAACGCAAGTGTAGCGACCTTTCTCGGCGAGACGTGCCCGCCGGCCAAGCTATTGCTGCGCGCGGCGCTGTGGGCCGTCGACGGGCCGCGCTGCGCCCGCGACGCCCTTCGAGCCGTCTCGGCTACCAAGAGCGGCGCGCAACTCATCAGCAAGGAGCACACTCTATTATTCCGGGGCTTCGCGCACGGCGCGCCGGCGGTGCGCAAGGAGACCTGCGCGACCGTCGAGGCCCTGGCCAAGGCCGGCACCACAGTTCAATTCTGCGCGGCAGCGGCACCGTCTGTCGGCAAGGCGGCCGTCGACGACGACGCGGGCGTCGCCGAATCCGCGGCGAACGCGGCGCGGGCCGTCGCAAAGGCGGGCTTCGTCGACGAGGCGATCGCGGCGGTCGACGAGGCGACTCGGGCGGCGCGGGGCAGCCTGGAGCTCGTCCGGGCGTGCGACGTCGCCTGCGGCGTGGCCGTGGCCTGCGGCGACGCGGCGTGGGACCGGCGGTTAATAGCGTCGACGTGTCGCATCGCGTGCGTCGGCGCCGCCGAGGACCCTCTGTTGCGACTGGCGGCCCTCGAGCTCCTGCAGGGCCTGAGCCGCTCGCGGCGCGCGGTCGAATTGCTCTGCACCGACGGCTACCTCGCGAAGCTCATCCACGTCGCGGAACAGGACGACGGCTACGGCTGCGACCAGCAGGCCCTGCGCGCGGCTTCTCGAGTGCTCGCGGCGGCCGACACCGATTCATTCGCGCGCGCGGCCCAAGACGGCTGCGTCGCGCGGTTTTTTGACCTGGCCTTTGCGCGCTTGGAGCGCGGCGGCGACGCCGACGGCGCCGAGGACTACGTGTGTGCGTGCGTGGCGCTGGGCGGCTGGCTCGAGAGCAGCGCCGACGCCGCCGACGCCGTCTTGTCAAATACGACATTAGTAGACGCGTGGCTCGCGCCGCCTCCAGCCCCGAAACGTTGTCAAGCCGCACGCTTGAAATCATTAACGCAAGCCATGAGCCCGCGCGTCTGGGCCGAGCTCGTCAAGCGGGGCGCGGACGCGGCCCTGGCCAAGGCCATCCGGGACGGCGACGACGACGTGCGCTTCGCGGCGTGGGCCTGTTGCACCGCGGCCGTGCGGTCGAGCCCGGACGCGCTCGTCCGGTTATTATCACATGCGGGCGTGTACGAGTTTTTGGTGAGCGGCCCACCGCCCGACGACGCGATCGAAGCCAAGAGGATCAAGCACGATTTCGTGTGCGCCGTCGCGGAGCGGTCGGGCGGCATGGACGATAGCGCGCGGCGCGCCGTCGAGGCGGCCGCCAACGCGGGCCCTTTTAGAAGGGCTCCGGGGACCGTGTCGCCGGAGGTCGCGCTCGCGTCGCGGTAAGAACACAGACTATATTTACACTGGGAGACCTAGACCGCCGAGCCCCGCGCCCGCGTAGGGTGGTGGGGGCGCCTTGTGCGGTACGCGAGGCGTCCCGACCTGGTGGGCGGCCGCGTTGGCGTCGCAGAAGCCGTCCTCGACGTCCAGCCTGTCCGGTGGCTCCGGCCTGTCTGGAAAGTGGATCTCGATCGTCCCCGTCCTCAGCCCGATCGCGATGACCTCCATGCACCCACCCACATCGATGGCACGAGCGACGTGCGCGGCCGAAGCGCGGATCGTCGGCAGCTCGGGCGCGTTGCACGCGTCCGACACGCGGCTCGACGTACTCGACGACGACGACGCGTCATCGCGCACCATGGCCAGCGCCTCCTCGGGGGAGCAGACGACGTACTCGACGCCCGATTCGCTCATGCGCGAGCGCATTTTTTCTAGGTTTGATCGCATTTCGCTCGCGCGTTCCGCGAGCGCTTGGGCGCGGCGGCGGTTCTGGGCTATTTGGTGGGCGTCCATGATTGACGCGTCGGCACAATGACGACCCGACCACCAGGAGTTTCAGGCTTTCAGCCGGCGCCAGCCGCTCAACGCGTAAGGAGTCGACCCGTGTGGGCAGTAAGAGATTACAGAAGACGGCTCGCGGCTCCAATGACCCTAAATGGCTGAAATTGTGCCGACCATTCATTCGAACAAAAACCCGTGCTCAAAAACGCAAAGCTCGCTCTAGCCCTCAGGTTCGGCCTCTATCGGGTACGGCTGTACTCTTCACGCTGAACGACGCGCTCTAGTGGCATCGACCCCGGACGCCGAGCCAGCCTCAGGGATTTGGGGTAATTTGGCTCCTGCAGGCTCACGGCGTCATCTATCTATCGTAATCACGCGTCGTCGGCAACACCCATGTTCGTGAGCAGTGGGACACGCAGTGGCTGCTCGAATAGACGCCGTCGCGGCCGCGTTTGGGCCAAAATGCCGCAAGCAGCTGGCGGGAGCAAATGCGGCCGCGGCGGGGCCGAGCGGCTGGTCCGAGGCTCCGCACGCATGTCGCGCACCCGCCGGCTGCTGCGAGTCGGCTGGATGGCGCGCCGCGGCCGCGAACGAGAGAAATCACACGACATCGGAGAACGCCGCCGAAACCGGACGAAAGCCCAACGCGCGCGATTCCCACACAGGTCGCTAGAGCCATGAAGCTCGCGGTGTGCCTCTTGGCCGCGCCGGTCGCCGGCCTGGTGGCGCCGGCCGCGCCGGCGAGGACCGCCACGGTCCTCAACGCCGAGATGTCGAAGGCGCTGCCCTTCCTCACGGCGCCGAAGGGCCTCAAGGGCTACATCGGCGAGGAGGCGGGCTTCGACCCGGTCGGCTTCGCCGAGATCATGGACATCAAGTGGATGCGCGAGGCCGAGATCAAGCACGGCCGCGTCGCGATGCTCGCGACGATCGGCTACACCTACCCCGAGATGCCCTGGTTCGCCCAGGCCTTCCCGGGCGACGCGTACTCGCACAGCAACCCCATCAAGGCGGCGCTGGCCGTGCCGCCGGAGGCGTGGGCGCAGGTCGTGCTCTTCTGCGGCGTTATGGAATGGTGGAAACCAGTGCAGAAATGACGTCCACGCCATCGACGCGACGCCAGCTCGATGGCGAGCACCCGAATCACTGGTTGATTTACGCACAGGAGTCTTAATGGGGGCAAGGTCACGATGATGACCATGTTCGACGGCACGAGCCGGGCGCCGGGCGACTTCGGCTGGGACCCCATGGGCCTGATGAGCCCGGCGAACGAGGAGCGGATGAAGATGCGCGAGTTACAGCACGGCCGGCTCGCGATGATCGCCATCGGCGGCATGATCCACGGCTCCTTCGTGACGGGCACGGGCGTGTTCGGCGGCATGAACTAGATGTGGGAAATTGACGGCGGCGCGGTGGGGGCGCCTAAAAAAATAGTCTCTTTACACCTGTGCCAGTGCCGGGGCCCACGCAGAAAAATATAAAATCAGATTTACGAATCGAGGACGGAGGACACGCAGGTCCACAGGTCACATCAGAGCTCCCCCCCGAAGGACCCCTTCGCACCAGCTGAAGACGACTGCACCGTGTCGTGGAAGTAGAGCATCAGCGCCATCGGCTGGCCGACCACGCAAAAAACGACCCAGAAGAGCACGTTGCCCAGGCGATTCGAGGGCAATCTCCCATGTAGAGCGTTCGTCAGAGCTATCAACGGCACCTGGCCCATCATGCCCGCGAAGGCGTACAACCGCGCGACGTGGCACGGCCCCGAGACCAAGACTTCATGGAGAGCTGCCGAAACGAAGAACACAACCAAAGTAGCCGCCATCTTGTTCAGCCCCAAATTCAGGCAGGGAAAGAAGACGTGCCGCACGAGCCAGTTGTGCACCGGCAGGTTCCACAAGCGCCAATATTCATCGAACTTCTGCGCGTTCCACCAGTCTTTATAGAACTGCCGGTCGCCGAACCTTGTCAACTCTGCCAAGATAGACAACCATAATTCAAACAGCGCCACGAACATGAGCACCCAGACGAACAACGACGGTATCGCTAAAGCTAGGAGTCGCTCGACAAAGGACCAGGCGTCCTTGTTGTTGATCGACTCGTATGATCTTTGGACCGTGGGATGCACGAACTGCGTCGTGATCAACAACATGGCAGACACGACCAAGAACAATTCGCCGCACCGCTTCAGCAACCAAGCTGAACGAATACGTCTCGTGCGGGGATACCGCGTCTGGTATATGAGTGTCGGAAACGCCATGAACCGCATCGCGTCGCCCAAGCGCAGGTTCGCGGGGTAGGCGTTGGGCTGGGCGATTTCCCCTTCGCCCGCCACGGCGTCGAGGTCGTCGTTGCTTGATTGGATGCGTCTCAGTTTCGTTTGGGCACCGGTTGTGATGTACTTCCTTCGCAGCTCCGCATTCGTGTGCGCATAAGATAATAGCTTCATCATGGCCGTGCAGGCGCCCAACAGCGTGATGGCGTGGGACACGGGCCGCGGGGGCGCGGCGCTGCACCTGCGTGGTGATGAGGGTGGTGTGGCCGCGCCATCGACGCGAGACGGTGAGGACGCCGGAGCAAGACAGCGCCAGCGGCACGGCCAGCGTCGAGAATACGACGAGGGCGCGCAACAAATGAAAAGAAGCGGCGCGGCCCGGCGCGCGCGCCGCGCGCCTTTCTACTAACACCGCGAGGACGACGCACAGACATAAAGCAATAAATGACAGGCCGAGCTCGTAGGGCACCACACTATCAGCGACAGGTAGAGGCGGCACGGGCCGGCCCCGCTTCGTCAGCACCGGTGCTTCTTCGGCGAAGTGCGCCCGGATCGATCTTACAAGAGGAATGCGGTGCCACTCCTGCAGCAGCGCGCGCGAGTTCGAGACGACGGCGACGACCGCGATCAGGTTCACGAAGCCTCCATAAGATTGGGCTTCCGAGGAGTCGGAAGACAACAATGACGGCCGCGCGCGCCGGTGCACGGTCCTGGCAAGTAATTCAGTAGAGGACCGCTTCTTCTTCTTCACTACTGGTGGAGCTGGCATGGCCAGGGGAGACGCGTTCAACTCGATCGACGCGCTCACGCATTGTAACCAGTCGTCGCGATCTCGCTTGGAAGGAGCGGCTAATGTAATTTCCGTGACGCGCGACGACGCGCCCATCGTCGCCTTGTCCAGAAATAATTTCAGTAAGAACGGCGTCGGCGCCCTTTTTCTTTCTTTCCGGTCGAAGACGTCGTCGGCCACAACCTTTACGGAAGGTGATAGCGGTACCTCCAGCCGCAATTCGCGCGCCGTGCGCGACTTGTAGCACCTTAGAAAACCAGGTACGACCTCGAAATACCGCGACGCCCAGTCGTGGCCCGTCAGCGTCTCGCGGTGTCTTATGAGTTCGCCTCCTCTCATCACATGGCCGACACTCAAAGTTTGGACGCGGTCCCTCAACTTGCGAGCATGCGCCAGTAAGGTCTTCGGGTCCATGCCGTCGAGCGACGCATCTAATAAGTCGCGGTCCGCGCGCCAGGCCGCAGCGGCCGTCTTTGAACGCGTCCGCGGCGTCTGCGGCTCCTTGGTTTCGCGGTTCTTGCGGTTGTCCGCCACGATCTTGGCATACGCACGCTTGGCTTCCGGACTCGGCATGTCCTGGAGGGAGCGCCACGCGGCGAGCTCCGCGCCTCGTAATAACGCGCGTCGCGGCGTCTTCGCGTTGTAGCCCGGGGCCTTGCCCGCGGTTGCTTGTTTATAAAGCGCATACAAGTGGAGCCGGTCCTCATCCCTAAACAAATCCGGGGCCGTCCGGAATTGGGCGCAGGCTTCCTGGAAGGATTCTTCGACGTCTTGCATGGTACTGCTTGTGGCCTAGCTGGTGGCCGGCGGCGTTTTTCTGTCTTGTGGCCTAGCTGTCTTGATCAGCAGGGCGAGCGTTCGGCGTGCTGTAGAGATGCGCTGTTTTATAGCTGCTTTTGTAAACGTTGTACACAGCGCTTCCTATGTGATTTGGGTGCCTGTGATGCGCTACTCCGAGCAATAATACTCGAGAGCAGGCGGTGTTAGCGTCGTGTAACACACTAGAAATTGGGTTAGTCGTATGAAAACAGTCTTAACAAACTACAACTCCGAGCGCGAACCGCCTGGCGGCTCATCGCCATCATCCACGGCGTCGCCGCGACGCCTCAGCGCCGCTGCCGCCGCCGCGAGCTCGGCCTGGTCGAGGCCCAGCGTCTCGGCCGCCTTGCGCTCGACGTACCTGGTGAAGCGGTCGCCCAACCCGTCCAAGGTAGCCTTCGGCCGCAAAAGATCGACCTCGACGCCCGCCACGCGGATGGCAGATTTCGACGTCCGTTCGCCGTCCTGCGCGTCGAGCACCCGCGCTAAGACCAGGCCGCCCGCGGCCAGCACCAGGTCGGTCCTGATCATGGTGAACACGTCGATGAGGCTCACGGAGCCCTCCTTCTCCGCTCGTTTCTCGATGCGCCGCGAGATTGGCGCCAGGTCGTGCGACCAGTCAAGAACCGCCGAGACGCGACTGTCCGCGCCGCCCAGCAGTTCGTTCGGCGTCAACTGCAGCATAGCTACCCCGGAGAAGTCGAGGCGCCGCACGCCCGAGAGCGACGACGAGGAGGAGGACGACGCCGACGAGGAGGGCGAGAGTTGCGTGAATGCTTCCTCGAGCTCGCTCAGCCGGTGCCAGTTCGTGTCGCGCAGGAGCAGGTCGTGCGCATTCACGCTTACTTGCACCGTGCCAAGCGACACCGACACTATAAGAGGAGAGTAGCTCTCGACGACGACCTCCAGGCGCTCGACCCGGAGCGCTTCTTCGTCGTCGAGCGACAGGGTGGCGTTCGTGAGCACGAAACTATGGTTCTGCAGCGAGACCTCGAGGGCGTCGCAGTCCATGCATTTGCGGATAGTGCGCAGCGCGTCGCCGTAGCGCGTTGGCGTGCGCGCGATGACCCAGTCCGCCGACCGCCGGAAGGACCAGTTCGGCTGGAAGCGGCGGCGTCGGAACGCCGCGGCTCCTGCCACGAGGAGGCATATTGCTAGGAGGCCGCGGCGGCGGATCATCTTACTTCTCGGCGGTGGTTGTGGTGATCCTTCCGCGTCCCTTGTAGCGTCGCGCATTCAATTGCTTGTCAGTGCTCTCTTGTCTGGTGGTGTCTCTCAGAGCTTTGTCGCACAGGATTGCGCGAGCTGCTCGCACGTTGCAGTGCGTTGACTGAAACCGTCGCTCTTCAAATTTTGGCCGTCACCAGTGCAGTTATGCGACTGCTTTTGCTCTGCCACTTAAGTACTTGGAAGCCAACTAGCGGCGTGTAAGACACTAGCAAGCCTTGCGTCCTAGTCCAGCCGGACGGGTGGGCCCGGGGGGAGCGGGAGGGGTACGGGGGACCCCGCGACGTAACTAGCCTGAGCCTGAGCAGCGTTTGCGCAATACGCCGTCGACGCGGCGTCTCGAGGGACGGCCCATGTCCCGAACAAGAAGAAGCAGTAGACTATCCAGTCCTTAAACACCAGATCCCCACGCACGGGGGGAAACGCGGCCCGCCGGCCATAAGAAATTCAGACCCAACATCCAGGATCTAGTAGAGGAACGGCGCGTCGTGGCCCGTGAGGACGGCCTGCGTGACCTGGCCCGAGAAGGCGAGCATCGCGAGGCGGCCGTTCTTCAGCTCGGCGTTCTGCTTGCGGCGCAGCTGGACCGGGTCCGTGGGCTTGAAGATGCCGCCGAACTCGAAGTCCCCGGGCTCGCGGTCGCCGTTCATCGTCGCGACGCAGGCCGGGATGCCCGCGAGCGTCTCGAAGAGGCCGACGAAGAGGAGGATCTGGCCCATCGCGCCGGACGCGACGAGCCGGTCGTGCGCCTCCCAGCCCGTGTAGGAGCCCTGGAACTGCTCGCCCGGCACGCGCACGAACGCGGGCACGACCATGCCGATCGACGCGAGCATGCACATGCGGCCGTGCTTGAGCTCGGCCTCGCGGAACCACGGGACCATGCCCGGGTAGCGGCCCGCGAAGTTCATGGGGTCGAAGTCGTAGCGGCCGCCCAACCCGGACTCGCCGCCCGCGATGGACGAGTAGTCGAACACCTCGTCGGCGGCCTTGAGCGCGGTCGCTGCCCGCGGCGCCGCCGGCGCGACGAGCGCCGAGGCGCCCGTCAGCGCGAGAGCCAGCGTGAGGCCCTGCATCGTTTCGCTACACCTGCGTTGAGACGGGTTAGGCGGCGCTCGGCGTTTCGGCTTGGGCGTCGTGTGTATACGCGTGCCGCGATGCCCGTCGACGGCGCAGATGCCTGGCCGTCACCTGAGCCCAACGCCCGCGCCGGCGCCGGGGCCGACGCCTAGCCGCGGCCCCGAGTCGGGAAGAACGCCGACGCAGGGCCAAAAGCCCTGGACAGACGCCCGCGGCCTCAGCGACGGCCAGCGCGGGCGCCGGCGCCGGCGCTGAGGCATGGGCCGACCCTCGCTCAGCGCAAAAGGGGCCATATGCGGCAGGGAGCTAGCTGGGTTCCATGACAGACATCCAGCGTTTACGGCCGCGCGCGCACGGATTTCGAGCGGCTCTTCGCATCAGCCGTTGCGTGGGTATATGTATGGACCGTGAAACGTCTTCTCCAGCGCCGGTTGAACGATTTTGTGCAGACTCAGGCTAAAACAATTCGATGCTGCAGTCGATCCTTGATAGCGAGCCGATAACTCCGTGCGGGTTCGAGCCCCTCGGAAGCGTCAGGAGAAAAGCAGGCTCCCTTGGTGGGGGACGTGGCTAGGACCGTCTTCGGCGCTACCGCCCGCGGTGGCAGCCTGAGCCTCATCACCGCGCTCCGCGCCGCCGCGGCTACAAATTCAACTGAGCCAGGCGACGCCATCGCGAGCCCCACGCCGTCGCCGCGACCCCGTCCGCAGACCCCCAACACCCCCAAACAGTAATCACACAGAGTGTCGTTTAAAAGATTCACGGCGCCTTTCCCCCTTCCGCCTCCGCCCGTTTCGCGGCGTCGCGCTCGAGCCGCTTCGACATGTACGACTGGCGCCCCCGCTCCCGGCACTTGTCGCACTTCGACGGCTGCTTCGCGTATTTCGTGGCGCACTTCAGAAGTTTTTCGCGAAAGAAGTGCGCGTGGAGAAACTTCTTGCAGCCCTTGCACCACTTGAAGTGCTGCTGCGTCTTGACGTGGAACCAGATGCCCGTGTCGCAGCGCTTGCACACATCCTTATTTTGGAGGGGTATCGAGCAGGCCGCGTCCGTTCCTGAAGCTAGTCGGCCGCACATGACGCACCGTCGGGCGTGGGCCTTGCCGCGCGTGCGCGGGAAGTTGATGAGGTCCTCGTACAGCAGAGGGTGGGCCGGTGCGTCCAGATCCAGAGGCTTCGGGACGCCGTCCACAACCTTGGATCGACCCGCGTCCACGGCCGGTTCGGGAGGCGTGACACAAGAAGCGCTCCGCGGCCTCTTCGCCGAGCTTCTAGATGAGGATTGGACCGGCTCGCCGCGCATGTCGAAGCTCCGCGCTCGGGGTTTCCGGCCGCCGAAGGTCGAACCAGCTTGCGGTGCTGATAAAGATAGCAGCGAGAGCCCGTCGATCGACGGAGACAGTCGCCCGGGCGGCGACACTATCGAGACGCCCTCGACCGACTCCATCGACGCGAGCTCGCCCGCGGAGTCGTCGCTCGACGCGTCGCGCGTCACGACGCGCCGTTGTCGGGAGGACTCAGGCGCCTCGGCTTCATCCACCGCGCTGAGCGCCCTGAGGCGGCCGGCCGCGCTCGCACTCGCCGCGGCGTCGCCCGTCGGCGCCGGCGCCTGCTCGGCGACGGCGGCGAGGAGCACGTCCATTGCAACACGCGGCGCAGTGGTGTTGTGGATGCCCCCGGCGGCAGCTACTGGCTACCAAATCCAAGCGATGCCAGCAACACAGCGGTGCTGCAAGGATTCCAGTCGCTCAGCGGTGCGTATCGCTCTAAGTTATTGCACTGCGTTCAGCCTATGGCCCGTTTCTGCAACCGCGCGCACCAATCGAGCTAATTGGGCTCGCGTACCCACCGTTTTGCCCCAAAAACAGCGGCTGTACGCATCTCTGGCGATGTTTAGCTCGGGGTTCGACCTCGCAGCTGTCCGGACGCGTAATAGCTCCAGATGCAAATCTCAGAATAGGAGGAATACCGAGGTTCGGCGCCGGTTCCTTGGGAAATCCCGACGCGGCCCGCGGCAGCCGCGCGTAGAGGAGTTCACTATCACTCCTACGTGGACGACGCCAGCGAGCCGGAGGAGGCAACCGCAACCGCGGCGACGGCGCGCGGCCACGAGCAGATCTATAGACAAATACTTAAGTTAAACTTCAAGACTCGAGGATCTCCCGGGCCAGCTTCTGGCAATACAACTCCACAAGCGACCGCGCGACGCGGTCCGTCGCCCAGGTCAGCTCCAGCGCGTCGTTCTGCGTGGATAAGTAATCCAGGAACTCCTCGGGCTCGACGGATCCGTCGGTCTTGAGATACTCCGTCCACGCCTTACGAATCGCATCTGGCGCGAGGTCCAGCTTGACCTTGGCCTTCCGCCGCGCTCGTTTGAGTTCGCGGTCGCGCCGCTCGGACGCGCTCGTGCGCCTTCTCCTCGTCTCGATGGAGACGTACAACGCGTCCACTAACCTATGATACCAGACCGCGTGGAACGGGATCGCGACAAAACCAAAAATGACCAACGTGGCCATGCGGTAGGCCTTGCCTAATGTAACATAAATATATAGACCCATGCCCACGATCACGCTCATGCACGCGACCAATAACATAAAAATCGGCGTCATGGACATGTCTCCAAATCTATCCGCGAACCGCACCGCACACACCTCGTCCGGGCACTCGTTCATCGCCAGTTTGAGGACCACACAATCAATAGCACAATTGATGAAGGACACATCGGCGACGACCCACGCCAAGGTATAAAAGTTCATGATTTGCCGCCGCGCTTCGATCTCGCTCCTTACATCCAACTTCGTCCGCGCCAGCAGCATGTTCGTCGAAAAAATAATCATCACCGCCGCCATGGTGCCTATTTGTGTATACGCGGCTTTCAGTTGCTCCGTTATTGTGACCTCTTCGGACAAATCTGCCCCAAAATGGAGCCACTGGAAGCCGTAGGCGTCTCTTATGAATGTTGGCGTTGGTAGCGGCACTCCACATATTTTGTAGTACTTGGACGGGGCGTCAGCAGCCCCATTGCTCGGCTCCACGCGCTCGGCTGCCATGGCTGCCCGTGGGCTGCCCTGCTCCGCTTCGTTCGTGCACCGCGGACGAGTGCTCGTCACCAGGTCTGCGCGACGGCGTGGAGGCAGCCGATCACTGTAGCTAGCTTGAATAGCGGCCGCGAGTCCCGCGACGTGTACGTTTGCTGATTTCTCGGAGAGTGCGATAGTGCGGGTGCCGGGCGGCCTCCGCGCGCGATTCCTGGCACGCTTCCAAGGGGCCTAGAAGGGCTAGGGTAAGAGCTTGGAGGGGGGGTAGCGCCGTACTAGCGGAGCGAGCGGCGCCTGGACGGACGCGCCCGATGCTACGGATAGACTTGATAAATTTAGGCGGCTTCGGGCACTTCCTCGTCCTTGACGGCGGCGACAGGCACGTCGTCGCCGCCGGCCGCCGCGCGCTCCTTCGCCCTGACATACGCCGACTGCCGCCCCACGCTCAGGCCCGCGCCCGCGATACTGCGGATGACGTCTCCCCGAAATCCGCGCCCCAAGTGGACGTGCAAAAAACAAGCGAGCCGCTGGTGGAACCGCAACCGTATCGATGAAGGCATGAGCGACGCGTCGCAGAAGCGCTCCGTGGCCGCGGCCCAGGACAGCCGCCGCCGCTCCTTCGGAGACAGGGGCGGCGGCTCGTGGCGCACCGCGTAGGCGAACTGCTCCGCGAATTCTTTTTTGGAATCGAAGGACAGACACGTCGGAAAGTCGTAGAAGAACTCGTTCGAGGGGTGCCGCGCTATCAAGACCCACTTGCCCATCGCGAGGGCCTCAGCCACGGTCGTACATAAGACCTCAGTCTTCGACGGATTTACTAGGACGCGGAAATCCCGACACAACTCGTCCGCATGGTCGACGCGACCATGAAACACCGACGGCACCTTGAGTTGCCTGAATCTATTTTCAATGGCCCTTCTATCTTTCCCGTCGCCCACCACGTGAATGGCACCGTCTGGCAGATCACCGCCGAACTCCTTCTGTGACGCCACCAACAACGAAGCGAGCTCCCCGAGGCCTTTCTGCCACAGCAGCTTGCCGATGAAATACGCGCCCTTCGTTCGCGGTTTTGAAGGCTCCGCGAGCGCATCACTCAGACGAGCGTCACTCGAAGATGAGTAGGGATGCGTCACGGCCCTACGACTTCCGATCTCCAGGAAGTCGTCGCGCACGCCGTGGACGTTCGCGATGATTTCCGCGTCGTCGTTGCCCACGCGCGGCAGCGTGCCGGAGAGCTTGACGATGCGGTGGCCTGTGTGAGCGACAGGTCCCCACGCCGTCGACGCGTCGATGTAGATCTACGTGTGAAGGGCAATGGACGCCGAAGAAACGCACAGTGGCCGTTCGTCATCCACCGCGCCATGAGTAGGGCAGCACAGGCCTTGTATGGGCCTACGATGGGATGTACCAAGTACCCCAGCGGCCCGGGGCACATGCGCTCGGTCGCGGCGTACCGCACGTAGTGCGTATGTATAACACCAACCACATGATCCGTGGACGAACGCCAACTTGATGAGTGACCTTCGACGAACGAGTACCAGTTCAAATGCTCCGGTTCTTCCAGTACTACCGCATCAGGCCGCCACTCGCCTATGTCTTTGTCAGAAAGAGAGTAGCGCGTAAAATCAGGTCGTCGTAGCGCTTCCACGGTCCTACCCATGGGGTAGATGGAGCCCTGGGGCCGGTGGTAGTGCGCGTCATAGAACGCTATCCTCAATTTGGTGGCGGCCTCGGGCAGCTTGGCGATGTTACAAAGCCAGTCGTAGACATACGTCGCCTGCTCCCTTCGGGTCTTAAAATGAGCCGTGTCCCCATACACTTCTTTTTGCTTGTCTGGCTCCAGCCATGGTAAATATAAACAGACCCGGCCCGCCGGTCGCGCTTGTGCTAAATGCGCCGCTCGAAGTAAAGGATTGATGGCCGTCCCCGTGAGCCACGGGACCGACGCCGTCGTGACTACTAAAATAGTTTTTGCGGGGTCCCTCAGGTCGGTTTCTGGTTTCGGGGCGTCGATGACCTCGGCCCGCTTCGACGACGGCCCGCCGCGCGGCCACCAGTGCGCGACGGGCGCGCCCCAGCTCGCGTAGCGCAATCTTATACCGAGTAACAGATTCAGTAAAGGCTGGCTCGTCAGGAACGGCGCGCCGGTCTTGGTGGCTATCGACCCGAGGCGCGGCAGCGAGAGCTTGCGCTTGCGTGGGGCGGCGGTGGCGGTAGCTAGCAGCAGGACTGCTGCAGTCGCGCGCCGCATCGCTGCTGTCAGCGTGCTGTAGCGAAGCTGGACTTTCAAAACAGGTGTTACGCTGCCGTTTCTTGCAGAGTCGCCGCACCGCGGCTCGCGCAGCGGTGAACGACGACCTTTTTGCTGCTGTTCTGAGTATATTGGCTGCTGCGTGCAGCTGTACAGGCCCGCGGGGCTGCGCCAAACTCAAAGCTAGCGGCCTGTAAAGACACTAGCAAGCAAACTCGGACCACGCATGCAGCCGTTTGAGTATCCTTCGGTTCGCTAATGGTCCAAAGAGATCAATGGGACACTTACTGGGGGCCGAAAATGGAAATTTTTAAATTCGCGGCCGAGGGCGCCCTACGGTCTGTGGCGGCCGCACCGGCTGAATCCTGTCAATCCCTGCCAAATAGGTCTCCCTGGGGGTGCCTAGGGTCGTAACTATACATGGTTAGTCGCCTACACCGCATGCGCCGCCGCTTCGAGGGATTATCGGCCAATTCTCTCAACACTCCAAGCCATCTGAGCATGAATTACTTGGCAATGACTTCCAGAGCCCTCGGGGGGCCCAAGCGCCGGCGTATGCGGCGCAAGCGACTACCCACTACCAGACCTACCCCGGAGGCCGTTCGGGAGCCGATATGCCCCCGAAAAAAGTGTGCAATTTGGACCCGATGGCGCCCCGTTCCCGTCAAAAACGTCAATTACCCGAGGCCCCCCAGGAATCGTAATAGCGGTCTCTCTGGGTCCCATACTACCCCACCGATAGTCAACTACGAGTATATGGCATCTACATTATAAGAAGGGTACTTTTGGCTGCCCACGCTCGGGACGTGAACATCTTTATCTGGACCTCGCGTAAGTCAGTCGATCATGAAACAAATGATCGCGTCATGATCCATGGTGATGATACACGGGCTGATGGTGCCAGGTCCAAGTTATTTGCCATTTGTAGAAGATGTTGGGCTCGCAAGGCCGACGAGGCGCAGAGGATGGGCACCCTTCTCAGGACTCTTCCACGGCCTCTCCGAGTAGGCCGGGATCAACACCCACTCCCTCGGGGACCCCGCGACCCCGGCTAGTGGGGCGTTATCCGCCAAAAGGTAACTTGCCATAATAGTCTAAAAGCGCCCCCTTCTCCTGGGTTATGGGCCCACGGCGCTAGCTGCTGCACCAGAGCATCACCAAGCACCATAGCGACGCGAGGGGGAACCGTTTACAACGAAAACCACGCTCCAGAAGCAGACACAAGCCCCCCAACAACACACACGCAAGTATCGGTGTCACGCTACCGCCGACCATTGTTCATTGCGACAACAACTCTGTACTTCTACAGCTGAGGCGTCGCGACCTCTCCGCGAGGTCGCGTCACATCCGTGTGCACTTGGGCTTTATCTTCGACGCGCTCGAGGCAAACGAGATCGACGCTCGGTTTGTCCGCTCCGGCGAGAACCCGGCCAATGCCATGACTGCAGCCGAGGACCGCGATCGCTTCGCGCGCTCCGTCGACGTTATGACTGGGCGCCCGCCGGAGGGCCCGGCGCGGGACGTGCGGCCCTCGGAGCGGGCTGCTTAATGGAGGTACCGCCGCGCGCCGCCGCGCGCGGCTGCGCCGTTGTGTGCGGCGCCCGCCGCCTGGCGGCGGGCGCCGCGCGCGGCTGTGTGGCTGCCCGGTGTTCTACAGTCGCGGCCTTCACTTCCTCAATATTTCTATCCATATACATACGCGCGCCGTATATATACGCCTATCTGGTGCGAATGGCATGAAGCAAACGCATAATGGCCATATTATACCTTGCTGAATGTTGCATTTGCATCCTATCGACGCCGCATCTGCTGCGACGTCTCAACTCGATCGTAATCGTCGGCAATTCCGAACCGCGAACACGTTCCATGCAGGATGGTCCAGGCCAGCAGTGCCTGCTAGTGTTTCAAGGTTCAGCTCATGCTGTCGTGCGCCTCGTCGTCTACGCGCCGAGGGCACTACGCGCTCTCTTCGCTGCGGGGGAGCAGAGGATGGGCACCCTTCTCAGGACTCTTCCACGGCCTCTCCGAGTAGGCCGGGATCAACACCCACTCCCTCGGGGACCCCGCGACCCCGGCTAGTGGGGCGTTATCCGCCAAAAGGTAACTTGCCATAATAGTCTAAAAGCGCCCCCTTCTCCTGAGGCGCGAGGAGCATATCGGGGTCTCGGAGCAATGTAGTACACGCTCAGCCCAATTAGCTGGCCCGTCCTACAACTAAAGCGCCTGAAACGCAAATTTCTTTTATAAACCACCGGTCTGGGGCCTTTCCCGGGCTCCGTCTACGCACCGTCGTCCGCGGAGAACGGGCAAGTCGGTCGATTGTGAATAGAACAACGGCGTTTTGGTCCATCTAGGTAGTGGCGTCGCTGATACCCGCAGGTCTAGGAGCTGAGCCTTTCTACAGGTAAACGCGGGGTCGCGAAGTCGTCGTTTCGCGAGGCTTTAATGGAGTACATGATCGCGCTGGCCGATGTCCAGGCGGGCTGCATGGCATCTAACCCCAACAAACGGATAAAAACGAACATAAACTCGGGAGTTGTCTAGTAGAATTCTTTTCCCGCCCTCCGAGCGCGGGCCGTCGGCTCCGGTTCCGTCGAGTGTGGATGAAAACTGGGCTGGAGTTGATATGATGTACCATTTGGACGGTAGATGGCGGCGTCAAGCGCTGGTGTATTTTGGCGGGCCGCAAGACCTAGTGATCTAGCGTATCGACATACTAGGAACTTGGCGTCGCCGCGGCCACGTCCTAGATAAATATTATGCACACCTACTACCCGTCGCTGACGCGGATTTGCACACAAAGTGCATATGCAGTATATGCACACAAAGTATTACCCAAGAAGCCCCGAGAACCATCCCTCGCTGCGCTCCGGCGCCCCGACGGCCCGATTGAGTCGCGCGCAGCAGAGGAGGCGCTCGGGAAGTTCAGCTTCCGCCCGCGCCTCGATGCCAAATCCAATATCCACGGAGCCAAGCCCCACGCCGCCTTTCAGCGCGTGCAACCCCGCCCGCACGCGCGGGCCGAGGCGGAAGCCGTCGATGGAAATCTCGGCGACGTCGCCGCCCGCGGTCCTCGACGAGACGAACGTCACGGCGCAGGCGTCGCGACCCAGCAGCGCCGCCCCGTTGAATACGACGGACTTGGCGTCGTCCGGCAGCATCGCGGCGCATTTCTGCGACGTCGCGGCGTCCGCCGCCCGCGCGAAGAGCTTGAACCGGCCCCGCATTTCATTTCTATCTGAAGCCTTTTGGTGCGTCCGAATGTCGCGGCACCACGCGGCCCAGAGGCGCAGGGAGGGGTCCCGGATGCGCTCGACGGCGGTTTTGAGGTTGAGCTCGCCGGAGCCGTTCTGCGGCGCGGTCTTGGCGAGCTCGGCGCAGCAGCGCTCCGTTAAACGGCACGTCAGGATGACCTGGCGGCAGGGGCCGTCGCTGTCGTGCGGCCGCGCGGGCAGGATGGCGTTAATCACCAATGTAGAGGGCACGAGGCCGTGCAAAGGCGACACATAAGCAGGTTTCGGCGGCCTCAGGGTCGTTTTGACGAGGTCGCGGCGTTTCTTCTGGCATTGGACAACGTCCACGTGCGTCACGTCGTAAATAGCATCGATTGATGGCCCCTTGAGCGCGAGCACCGCATCTAGATCCGTGAGGTGGTGGTTCGTCCGCGTGTAGCCCTTGCCCCGGACCCGGAACCGCGACGCCGGCACGATGGTCCAGGTGCCCTTCTTCGCGCCGTCGACCGATCGCGACACGCCGGAGAAGCCGGACGGCTGGCGCCGGTCTTTCTTCGGCGACGCCTTCCGGGCGCGGACGACGACCTCCTCCACGTCGTCCTCAATCTCACCGGTGGGGCTCGCGGGCTTGACCCAGGTCGACTTGCGCTGCGACTGCTCGGGGCTCGCGACGTGGTGGAGGCCCGTGGCCCGCGCGAGGGCCTTGCGCGTGGAGCGGAGGAAGGCGGGCATTGCTTGTTGTTTGGAGGCTTTCTTTCTGACCACGCAACCCGCGGCCGTCTACTCCCCGAGGCTGCCCTTGTGCTTGTGAGTTTGTGTGGCTGCCCCGACGGCGTCGAGTGCGTCGGCGGCTGCCCGACGGCGTCGAGTGCGTTTGTGGCGAACGCCTTGGCGCGCTTCGTGATCCTTGCGGCTCCCTGGCGCCTGAGCTTTAAACAGAGAGATGCTTTTTGTGTTGTGGAGGCCGCGAACCCGCACGGTAATCACGCATCCAGCGCGATCCGATTGCTCAAGCCGGACTCCTGTTTGAGCAGAACCGACGGCTACCCGCGGTTTTGCCGCCGGGCCCGCTCGAGGCACAGCAGGGGCTGCAGCGGCGCTGCTATTGCGGCGCGCGCGACGGCGTGAAACTTGTGCAAAGGTGTGCTTCAGGATCGCATTGATCGTTTTTTTTGGAAACGTGATCGATCGCAGCGCTGCGGCTGCGGCAAGGCAGCATGACTCTCTGCAGGCTGTTGCTCTTCACTGCTACCGCTGGGAGCGGGGCGGCGCTGGCACCGTATACGAGGCGTTTCCACCCGGGCTGCACGCGTGAGAGCCCAGCGAAACCGCCGCGGCGCCGCAGAGTCAGTCCAGCTCCGCCGCGGCGCCGCAGCGTGACCCTCCGCGTGCTCGACGACGAGGCGATCGGGCTTGACCTCGAGGCCCTCGGCGACCTCGGAGCGCTCGACGACGCTGCCAGTCTGGACCTGGACGCCCTCGTCGCCGGCGCGGGCCTGACCGTCGCGAGCACCGCGGCGCTCGCCGACGCGGGCGGCGCGGTGCCGGCGCTCGCCGCGGACCTCTCCGGAGGGGGCGCCGCGGCGCTCGGCGCAGCGGAGCTGCTCGCGTTTGAACGGGACGGCCACATCTGCACGCGCGGGCTCTTCTCGTCCGACGAAGTCGAGGCGATGTACAAATCAATGGAGGCCGTGAGCCGCGTCGAGTCTAAATCAGCGGAGCGCCACGCCGTCGCGATGAACGACGCCATGGGCGGCGAGCGCGCGCCGTTCCTGCAGACCTTCAACCCCCACCGGCGCCACCGGCCGGCGTTAAAAGTGGCGACGTGCGCGCGGCTCGCGGCGACGGCGCGGGCGCTGCTCGGCGTCGAAGAGGTGCAGCTCTACCAGTCGTGCCTCTTCAAGAAGCGCGCCGGCGACGAGGCGACGAACTGGCACAGCGACCTGCACACGAGTCCCTTGGACACGAACGACTTCGTGACGTGCTGGTTCCCGCTGCACGATTTGGAGGCGGACAGCACGGGGCTCTGCTACGCGACGGGCTCGCACCGCGACCTGGCGCTGCCCATGTGGTACGGGCAAGGGTTTGATGCTGATGGAAGGTACGAGCTGGAAGACCACGGCGCGTATCAAGCAGGGGATGTCTCGTGGCATCATGGCTGGTTGCTCCACAGCGCCGCCGATAATCGGTCGCCGCGCGACCGGCTCGCCGTCGCCGTGTCCTTCTTTGGAAGTGGTGCGCGGGTGATCGAGGAAGACGGTCTCGCGTGCGTCAACGACGAGGACCACCCGTCCTACGACGACTGGCTGCCGGACTTGGCGCCCGGGGACTTGGCGGCGCACGAGTTGCTGCCGGTGGTAAGGTAGTTTTTATATTTGTGGATCCTGTCCGGCGCTTCGCCGGGGCTTTCCTTACTCGGGGCCAACAACCGCAATAGACACCCGCAAGAGATAGATAGACTGAGATTGTTAGGAAACCTAGCGCAGCCCTGCCGAAGAGCTGCGGGAGTCGAGCTAATTCACTCGCACACCTCGCGCGCCTACGAGCGCGGCCGGAGCCGGTCGCCGTGGACGAGGGGAACTTGGTGCCGTGCCCCCTCGTCGATAACGACGTTGTAGCGGTCGGCGCCGCGGACCCTCACGACACTCTCGACGAAGGCCGCGTGCCAGTTGTCCACGCCCTCGTACTCGACCTCGACCTCCGCTTCAGCGCCGAAGCGCCACTGCGGCGCGGCCCTAGGCTTGAGCCGCGCTTGGCCCACGCTCTCGTCGCTGCCGTTGTCGTCGAAAGCGAGGTCGTAGGTGCAGTCGCTGTTGTCGTTAATAACATCGGCCCCGTACCACTTGCCCTGGTCCTCGCCCTCCTCCTCGAGGTATGCGGTGACACGGTCGCCCGGGTGCAGGTCGAGGCACCACTCCACCACGTCGCCGCGGCCGAACAACTTCTCCCACTGCTCGTCGCCGTCGTCATATTTGACGAAGTGGTGCCCGTTTTTGTCGCTGCCCTTGCGGTCGAGGAACTCGTGCACCTAGGGTTTCAAGTCCTTGCGCACTCTGCTTACAGAGTTGGCGCTTTGAAGTACTGGCGCGAAGTATAGCCAACGCCGACCCTCGATACTGGACGCGAGACGCAAATGCGTCGTGGAGGAGCGGCGAGCTAGCGTCTGAAAGACACTAGCCCAGCTCAAACTCGGCTCAAATCCGCGGAGCGGCTGGTGTGTAACTCGCCGCTCCCTGGCCCAGCCGTGCTTCGCGCAGCCGTCGCGCAGCCACACGAATCCGTCAGAGACGAGGCGCCGCAAAACGAGCCGGCAATAGTACAAATACCCTGATTGGCGCAGCACAAAAAGAGCTGCACCAAAATGGGCCCCGGCTCGCGCACCGACGGCGGGTACCAGCGCCCGACAAAACGCGCGCGCACCGGCGGGCGCGGCCGCGGCAAAGGCAAAGCGAGAGGCCGCGGAAAGGCAAGAGCGGGCCAACCGCGGGACTTCGTGCCCGAGGTCGTGAAGATCGACAAGGCGAGCGCGCTTAGATTAAAGGGCAAGCAGATCACCGGGACCGACGCGATGGGCGGCGGCTACCGCATGGCGCGCGCGTCGCACGGCACGGACACGGGCTGCTGGTACTACGAGGTGCACATCGACAAGGACAAGGTGGCGGCGCAAGACGCGGCGTATCGCGTGGGCTTCGCGCACAAGAAGGCCGATTTGCAAGGTCCGTGTGGCATGGACCGGTATTCGTTCGGTTATAGGAACATCGAAGGGTCGTTGGTGCACGCGTCGCATCGCGTGGACCAGGCGAACGAGCCTTATAAAGCGGGGGACATCATCGGTTGTTTGATCAACTTCCAGAGCGACGAGCTCGAGGACATCGAGTCGGACCATCCCGCCGACGACTCGGCGTTCCCGAAGGACCCCAAGAAGCCCCAGGGCAACTACGTGCGCTACTTCAGGAACGGCAGGGACCAGGGCGTCGCCTTCGAGAACATCCCGCCGGGCGCCTACCGCGCGGCGGCGTCGGTCTTCCGCACGGGCACGTTCCGCCTCAACTTCGGGCCGCGCTTCAAGTGCTGGCCGATGCCGCCGGGCCTCGCGGCGCGGCTGCCGGAGGCGGAGCGGACGGCCAAGCCCGTCTGCGAATTGGTGCCGCCGCTCGACACGCAGCGCGCGGTCCACGCCATCGCGCAGGCCCGGGCGCAGGAGCTCCTGCGGATCGAGCAGGCGCGCGCCGAGGCCGAGGAGAAGAAGGCCGCCGAGGTGAAGGCGCAAAAGGACGCGCTGAAGAACGCGCGGCGGAACGCTCGACGAGGCGCTACCAGTGGAAACTAAGTATAGCACAGTCAGTTACTCTCCTCCTAGGGGTGGCCCAAGTGTGCCCAGAACGCGACGATGGTCGGGATGATCTCGGCCGGGACCCACGTGAATTTTGGCGCGAAGATCGCTGCGAGTTTCGCGCGATGCGCCTTCTCGTAGGGCACGTAGCCGCCGGCCGCGGCGACGGCGTTCACGTAGTCGACGGCGGCGGCGTTAAACTTACTAGTACTAGAAGTACTAGAAGTATCTGGCTGCATCCACTTCGCTCGATCCAAACGCGGGAGCGGAGAGCCAGCCCGCAAGAGCTGCCAAAGGATATGCAACTGATGGCCAAAATAGCCATGGCCATTAAAATTGAGTTCCACAGGCCGGCGTGCGGGGTAGGATCCTCCTTCCACGTGGAGCGACGTTGACGCGCCCGCGGCGATCAACGCGGCTACGAGGTTCCTTCTACCACTGTGCGCTGCCAACCAGATCGCTGTATAACGAAAAGCGTCAGCATCGTCAGCATCACATACTGCGTCTACATCAGCTCCTGCTTCTATCAGCAGCAACACCATCTCTAGTGCTGATTCATAACTCTCTCTGTATACAAGAGCGATGCAGAGCGGCGTCCATACGGGAATTGAATTGGGCAGATCATAGGGAAATGAATTGAGGGTTTTGGCTCGAAGGTCAGGGGACACGCCTGCGGCCAGCTCTCGCCGGACCGCTTCGACGTCGCCCGCCCTGATGGCGTCGTGTATCGGCGCCATTGCTTTTACGTGAGCGTGAAGAGGTCGCCGAGGGACGGGCGCGGCTCCGTGCGCATGCCGATGAGGATCACCGTGGGGAGGAAGCCGTAGTACAGCACGGGGCGCAGCACCTCGACGGCCTTGGCGCCGAGCTTCTTGAGCTTGGCGGCGTTCTTGGCGCGCTTCGAGGCCATGGTTGTATGCGCTGCGGCTGTAAGGTGTTGTGTGGGCGCGCTGGTCCGCGTGCAAGAAGGAGAGGACTTGTGTGACTCGCGCTCGCGAGGACTGCTAGCGGCATGTGAGACACTAGCAAAAAAACGGGGGGAGCGGGAGGGGTACGGGGACCCCGCGACGTAACAAGCCTGAGCCTGAGCGAGCCTGAAACTAAACTGAGCCTGAGAACGGCGCACTCCCTCACTCACGACGCCATTAACGCCACCGCGGCGGGACGGCAACAAGATAAAAGACACAGTCTTACCGTGCGCACACCGTCCCGAGGCGCACCGGCGAAAAGTCCATCACGACGCAATCTACGCGAAGAGCGAGAAGTCGTTCGAGAAGGGCACCATGACGTTGCCCGAGTACTGCGGGAAGCCCTCGATGCCCGCGAGGAAGGGCACGGAGCCCGGCACCGACGACGCGCTGAGGAGGCCCATGAGGCCGACCATCGCCGCGCGGCCGTTGAGGATCTCGGACTTGAGGCCACGCGCCTTCTTCTCCGCCGAGTTGTTCTGGACGAGGTTGAACGGGTCCCTACGTGGAGCGATGGCGTGATGAGTCGATGGCGTACCGGTGGGGTACCCACGGTCACGGAGCGGGAACGGTCGACCGAAGGACGCGAGCAGACGCCGCCGCGCGCCACAAGTTGAGGGTCACCTGGCCGAAGCCGGCGCGGCCCGCGATCGGCGGGTAGTAGCCCGGCTTGCCGCCCTTCATGTAGTGCGTGTAGCCCGCCGGGTCGCCGGCGCCCTCGCCGTACGACTCGAGCATGCCGATGGCGATGAGGATCTGGAGCTTGCCGATGAGCGGGATGTTGTCCCACTGCTCCTGCGGCGTGACGCCCGCGACGTAGCCGCGGTAGGGCAGGAACTTGTGCTCGCCGGACACGATGGGCGTGCAGTGGGCGATGAAGCCGAGGAAGCCGGCCATGGCGACGCGGCCGTGCTTGATCTCGGAGTGGCGCAGCCAGCCGATGGTGGCCTCCTCGCCCTGCGGCCCCCAGTCGAAGGTCATCGTCGCGAGGTTCAGCGGGTCGAAGTAGTCGTTCGGCGGGCCGGGCAGCGACTTCTGGAGCGCCTTGAGGTCGCCGAGCGACTCCTTCATGACCGTCGACGGCGCGGCCGGCGCCGGGCCGACGAACGCCGCGGCGGGCGCGAGCGCGAGCGCGACGACGAGGGCCTGCGTGTTTGCGAGTGTTGCGGCGATGGCGTGCGGTGAGCGCATGCAGCGTCCGCGTCGACGGCGTGCGGCCGCGGCGGCCCTAGCGCTCTTCTTGGATGGCCATGGAGGCCTCTGCGGTTCGCTCAGCCCAAGGAGTGCGCGTGATGCAAAGAGCTCTCGCGAGCTGGTGCAGGCGGTTGTCGTGGGGCCGCCATTGGACTACGAAGGCCATCCGGACGCGGCAGTGTGCGTTCATGGTGCTTTGTGCAGCGGATATTGCTGAAACTTGGGTCGAGTGCGGGTTGTGTTGCGCAGACGAGGACGGTTGAATTGCACTCGCAGCGCGTCGCCAGAGCCGTGCATGGCTGGGGCCTCTGTGCCAGCCAGCCTCTGGTGGTGAGGGCACGGGTTTTTGCAGGCGAGTTTAACCAAGCGCAAACCACGGCGTCAGGCCGCTAGAAGCAAGGACAACATACCCATAGACACGCCACAAACGCACAACGTCGCGGCGTGCAAGTCTCGCGCCAAAAATCACTCTGAAAGTCTGAAAACTTATTTGCTAGTCCTACATCCGACGCGAGCCCGCGTGTCCTGATCAATGATAGGCTTCGACCCCTGCGACTGTATCGTCGACTGCATCGGCTCCATCATCTGCGACTACCTCTGCTGCTGCTGTTGCGCGCCGTCGTCGCCCGGCGACGACGGACGCGGCCGACGATTCCGAGTTTGACGCCTTTTTGCCGTATACAAAGGCGATTCACGGCACCGACAAGTACGACGTCGTCCTCGTCGCCGGGCGCTTCCGCGTGGCCTGTCTGCTGGAGGCGCACGCGCACGTCGCCGCGGGAGGCACGGTCTTTCTACAAAACGCGCAACGCTACCTCGCGCTCCACTACTCCCGGAACCAGCTCGCGACGCCGCGCCGCTGGCTCCCCCACGTCACCGCGTCCTACACGCTAAACGCGGCTGGCAAGCGGCGCATCGGCAAACGGAACAATGCCGTGCTCCGGAAGTACTACGACGTCGTCGCGATGACCCCGGACGTCGTCGCGCTGCGCCCGAAGCCCTCGACGAATGCGAGTTGGGACGAAGACCTGGCCGCGGCGCGGCGGGACCCGTGCTGAGGTCCTTCGACGCCATCGTCGACGCCGCCGGGACGCGCCGAATTACCACCACTGCTAAAGACACGTATTAGCGCAACTAACTAAGGCCGGGGCGCCGCCGACTTCTCGCGGAGCTTCGCCATGATGCCCACGTCGCGGGCATCCACCCTAGCCACGTCCAGCAGCTTCGCGAGGCCCGCGTGCTGCGCCTCGAGCGCGGCCTCGAGGCGCGCCCGGTCCTCGGCCGGGAGCGCCGGCGCGCGCGCCGCCGGCGCGCCGCGCGACGCCTCCCGCGACAGCGCGTCGAGTGCCGCGCGCGGCGCGAGCGCGTCGTGTTCCAGTTTGCGCAGCCGCGCCGCGAGCCGCCGCTCCTCCGGATGCACGGGGATGTTCTCGCGCCGCGCGACCTCGGCCTTCTTCGCGACACGTAATAGCCGCAGTTGTAGAGTAGCGTTTCGAGCTCTCAATTCATCCGCAACACCGTCGGACAGCCGCGCCGCCCTTAGTAAAACCTCCGCCTTCGCCCGTACCTGCCGCGCGAGCTCCTCGTTCTTGGCCAGGGCTTGTTGGGCTCGCTCGACGCGCGTCGCCAAAGCTTGAAAGCCCACCACGGGCTGGGGCACGCAGCGGTCGGGGTCCGGGTTGTGCAGCGAGAACTTGGCCCATCTTTCTGGAGGCACGGACGCGGGCCGCTGCCTCTGGAGCAATTGCGCCGCTTGTTGGGAGGCGGCGACATCGTAGCAGAGCGTCGCGAGCTGCGCGTCGGGGTTCGGCTGGCCCTGGGCCGTGTACTCGGCGATGGCCGCCCTCAGATCGAACGCCGCGCGGTCCACACCTAAACCCTGTGGCCGCGCCTCGGTCGGCGCCGTCAGGCTCCCGGGGGGCATCTGTGATTGTTGTGGTGCTCCGAAGCCCGTGGTCGTTGTGCTGCCGAAGAGGCCGCCCGCGGGCGCCGGCGCGCCGAACGCGGGTTTCGCCCCGAAGAGGCCTCCAGCGGGTGCCGGCGTCGCGCCGAACGCAGGTTTTGCGCCGAATAGGCCGCCGGGTGCGGGCGCGGGCGTCGCGCCAAACAGACCGCCCGCGGGCGCCGGGGCCGGCGCAGCGCCGAACAGCCCTGAGCCGGCTGGCTTGGGTGCGCCGAAAGAAAAGCCTCCGGCGGCGGGCGCGGCGGCTGGCGCACCAAATAGGCCGCCCGCAGGGGCCGCGGCGGGTGTAGCGCCGAAGGCAGGCGCCGCGGCTGGTGTGCTGCCGAAGGAGAACGCCATTTGAACGATGCTATCGATGCGCTCGATGCGTCAAGAGTCGCAGCGCGTTGCAGCGCGCGCTTGCAGACTTGGCGGCCGCAGGCGAGTTAACTAGTGTCGTTGACATACTAGGACTCAAGGCGAAATCGACTTAGAGCTCCAGCAAGCGCGACCTGAGGAGCCTTGACGCAAAGCTTCGGCACTTCCCCCGTGTACGCGCACGATCGAGGAGATCTTCCCTAAACACCAAAAATTGGCAAAACTCTCGCCATGGAGACCACAGACGCCTTCCGGGCTCGCTTCGAGGAGAACTACTACACACTGTTGATCAAAAAGGGCTTTGACCCTGCCGCGGCGAGGACGCGAGCGCGCGAAAAGGCGGCGGCCCTCCCGGAACGGATCGAGACGCCCGCCGCAGCGCCTGCGCCAGCACCTGCCGCGCCGCCCACGCCCGTCGCCGCGCCGCCTGCTCCGCCGCCTGCACCCGCAGTCAAGCGCGAGGCGCCATCGTCGGAGGACGAATCGGAAGACGACGGCGACGAGTCCGACGACGACGCGGTACCTTTGGCCTCCCGATCGGTAGACGAACTGAAGGCGATCTGCCGGCGGCGCAACCTGCGCGTCGGCGGCAAGAAGGCCGAGCTTGTGCAACGGATCGTGGACGACGACGGCGGCGTCCGCGAGCCGTCGAAGAAGAAGCGACGCGTCCGCAAAAGAAACTGGGGCCGCGGCTCGATGAGCGGGCAACAACTCGGCGCGATGGCGTCCGCGATGCGCGTCGTGTTGCCCGAGCAGCTCCCGACGCCGGCGCTCGTGTCGCGCGAGGCGCCGGCGCAACGGGCCGACCACGTTTGTACGTGTCTGTCGGGCCACCCCGACCGGTGCTCCGCGCCGGTGCATCTTTGCGCCTGTTGTACGGGCAATTTCGCCGCGTGTCGCGCGACGGCGCACAACTGCAACTGCACGACCATGATCAGCCTGCTCTCGTCGACGGCGATCCCGTGCCGAACTGTGTGGAAAGATCCAGTTACCGAGACGAGGTCGCGTCGATGGCGTGGGGCGTCCGAGATTTTGTTTCCACACAGGTGCCGCGCGCACGTCCACCGGTGCCGCTGCGACAACCCGTCGCACAAGTGCCTGTCGCGCGTCCACAAGTGCATCTGCGGGACGGTGCTCGGGAAGTGTCTGAAGCATCCCAATCGTAAGAAGTAACTAGCGTTTCGACGCACTAGGTTTCACGCAGAGCAAATCACCTGGTGCCCTCAACCAGACGCATTCATCGTGATATTATAGAATTGTTGTTATCAGTCGTCTCATTGATCATTCGAGATGCGCTGCAGGCGTTTTACAGCCATTCTGGCCACCGTGCATACAATGAGAGTGCATGCAATGAGACTGCATGCTCTCAGGCACGAGACGGCGCGACGCCGCTTCATACTCAACACGGCATCACTGCTGCCCGCCTCACTGCTGCCTGCAGCGATCACGCCAGCACCAGCCCGCGCCGCCGACGAGAAATCCGCAGTCTTCAGCGGCGGCGCGGCCTGCTACCTGCAGCCCTTCTTCGACGAGATCCGGTACAAGGGCGTGACGCGCACCGAAGTCGGTCGGGTCGACGACGCCGCGAACACGCGAGCGCTGCGCGTCTTCTACAACCCGGACAAGTGCTCGTACAAGGCCCTGCTCGGCGTGTATTGGCGGCACGTCGACCCCACGCGCGCGACGCAGTTTCCCTTGGACGCGTCGGAGGAGGGCGACGCGCAGTGCATAAATCAAATTGCTCGATGGCGCGTGTGTGGGTCTCACCGCTCGATTCAGTCAGCACGACCGCCGCGCAGGTGATGCGTTCCGGACCGTGATCTGGGTCGCCGATGCGGAAGAACGCAAACTCGCCGAGCAGTCGCGCAAGGTCATGGAATCCGCCGAGGTCTACGGCAAGAACAGGAAATTTCTCACGGAGATTTTGGATGAGAAACCATTCACGCCGACACCGGAGGACGGCCAGGACCTCTACACGGCGGACGCCAAGGCCTACGAGAAGGCGATCAAGAAGAGCGGTCGCGCCAAGTTCTTCGAGAAGACGTACGAGCCCGTCACGACGACGGCGTGCGAGGAGAGGACGTGCGGCTACGTCTACTTCCCGTGCTCGGCCGAGAACGGGTGCATGGGGATCGTGTCGGGGCGGTGGTAGTAACGTGTGTGTGGGTCTAGTTTGCAGTGTCTCGGCTTTATCTGTTACGGTGCTAGGACTAGTGGGCGGCGCCCCAGCCCAGGGCTGGGGGCGGCTCGCGTCCCGCCGCGCGCGCGAATCGCGAGGCCGCCCCGCCCACACCTCTGCGCGCACGCTCCAGCCCTCGCCAACGTCGCAACGGACGCCTCGCGGCGCGCGCGTGCCTCGGCCTCGCGGACCCGACCTAGCGCCGATTCTGTCTCGCCGACCGGAAACATCCACAAAAGCGCCGCCAATAAAGCGCGCACAAGCAAAATAGGTTGCACAGCGAGCAAGGACCAGACAACGACCATGTCAGCCGACGAACTCCGCGAAAAGACCGGGCCCTACGGCGCGCGCCAGCGTTTATTAACAAAAGGATCCCATTGCTGCCCCGCCGGGCGCCCGCCCGCGGCGCCGCGCCGCGGAGGCTGCCCGCAACTTTGGAGCGACGGCGTCGCCGCGCGCGCCCTCCACGCCGTCGCCGCGCGCAGGGTACGTGGCCGGCGAGGGCTTCACGACCTGCATGCTGCACCACGGTCATAAATTAGACACGGACAACAGAGCCAGAGCGCCGCCCATCTTCCAGACCACAAGCTTCGAGTTCAAGTCCGCCGAGCACGGCGGCGCGCTCTTCGAGCTCAGTCAATTAGGCCCGATCTACACGCGCCTCATGAACCCCACGACGCACGTCCTCGAGTACAAGGTCGCCAAGCTCGAGGGCGCGCCCTGCAAGGCTCATGGGGATTGCGACAACGCGACGACTTTGCCCAATGCTTTGGCCGTGGCGAGCGGCCAGTCGGCGCAGATGCACGCTCTGCTCACGTTCATGTCGTCGGGCGACAACTTCGTGGCGTCGTCCGAGCTCTACGGAGGCACGTACACGCAGTTCAAGTACTCCTTCGCGAACTTAGGAATTGAAGCGCGCTTCTTCAACGCGGCCAATCCCGACGAAGCCGCGTCACTGATTGATGAAAATACGAAGTGTATTTATCTGGAGACGATCTCCAATCCCAGCAGCACAGTTCCGGACTTCGAGAAGTACGTCGAGATCGCCAAGACCAACTCCATACCTATAGTGTGTGACAACACGTTTGGGCAGGGCGGCTGGACCTGCAAGCCGCTGGCCTGGGGGGCGGATATCGTTGTTGAGTCGGCGACGAAGTGGATCGGTGGTCACGGGACCAGCATTGGTGGCATCATCGTGGACGGCTCGTCGTTCGACTGGCGCGTGAAGAAGGCCGACGGTAGCCTCAAATACCCGCTCGTCGCGGGCCCGCAGGAGTCGTACCACGGCGGCGACTTCGCCAACCACCCGATCTTCGGCGTCGACGCCTGCAACCTCGTCTTCATTCTACTCGCGCGCGTCAAGACGCTCAGAGACATGGGTGGGTGTATCGCGCCCTTCAACGCCTTCCAGCTCATCCAGGGGTTGGAGACGCTGTCGCTGCGCTGCAAGGCCCACTGCGAGAACGCGAACGCTCTGGCGGAATGGCTCAACGGCCACGAGGCCGTCAAGGAGGGCTCGGTCCTGTCTATTTCCTTGCCGTCGCACCCGTCGCACGAACTGGCCAAAAAGTACTTCCGTGGGTTTCCGGCGTCCCGAGAGTATTTCTATCCCTCCCGCACGCCGTCGCCGCGACCCGTCTACCCGCGCAGGGCCGGGCTGCTTCGGTTCCGTGTTCACGTTTGAATTGGCCGGAGACACGGAGGACCAGGCCCGCGAGCGCGGCAAGAAGTTCATCACGGCCCTGAAGATGTGCGCCCACCTCGCGAACGTCGGCGACGCGCGCACGCTCGTCATCCACCCGGCCTCGACGACGCACCAGCAGCTCACGACGGACCAGCAGATCGCGGCCGGCGTCAAGCCCGCGGGCGTGCGCATCTCCGTGGGCTACGAGGACCTCGAAGACATCAAGGCCGACATCGACCAGGCGTTTGCCGTTGCCCGCGCCTGAGACGCATCCCTGCGTTACTAAGTTATGCTTTTACTCGATCCGTGTCGCGTCGACGGCGTGAGGGGGGCGCTCAGCACCCCGTGTCCGGGACCGGCGGCACCGGCCGGAACTTGGCGTTGGCGTCTTCGAACTGGCCCTTGATCTTCTCATTCACGACGCCAGACAAAAGGAACAACGAGACGCAGACGGGGAAGAACGCGAGCGGGGCCCACTTCGAGGCGCCGAAGCCAACTTTTCCGAAGCAGCGCCGGGCCACGGCGGTCGTCATGAGGTACAGGTTGATCACGTAGCCCGGAACCGTCGATACGAGGCCGGCGTTGACGCTCATGCCGCCCTTCAGGTGGAAGCGTTGGATGCCGTAGAGGACCTGCGCGGAGAGCGACCGGTGGCGCGCGGGCTACCCCTGGCGAAGCTTTTGATTCGCACGTCGTGACCGTACGCGCGTCGCGACGTAGACCGCGCCGCATTGGGCCGCTCGCGCGGGCGACGCGAAGATCGCGTGCGTCCAGAACGCGGCGAGGAACGCGGGCGCCTGCTCGTGCATGTTGAGAAAACACCGTGTCGCCCAGGTCTTCTGGTTTTCTGAGGCGTCCGAGGGCAGGCTCGCGGAGAGCCACATGTAGCCATAATCTGTGCGCAACAAACCAGTGAGTTCCACGGGGCCAACATCGCGTCGATGACGTGTAGCGCGTTGCAATTGATTTCTACGCAGCGCTCGACAGACGGCGAGCCACGAACCTTGCACGGCGACGCATCCGTCAAATTCCGCGCCGGGCAGTTTCGCCGCCAGGGTCGGCTGGACGCGCGCGGTCGCGACGGGGACCGGCGCGCCGACACGCGACAACGGCCGCGAAATGCGCGGCGCCGGCGCGAAGGCGGCAACAGTGGAAATCACGAGAGCAAAGCGATGCATGGAACACTAGAGTGGGAATCTGTTGCAAGAATACTCGTCCAGGGATGAATATCTATGAGTTCTGATACTAACGAGCCTGCTCCTTTGGCCTCAGGCCACTGGCGGCGCGAAAATCGACTGGTTAGGTAAAGGTATCGGTACCTAAGTACCTACGGTACCTTATACGTCGGTGGTAGGGCAGCTACTACTACTACTAGCCAGACTGCTCCTCTCGACACAGAGGCACAACTCCCAGCAAACGAAGTTATTACCGGGATCGGGAAAAAGCTAGAAGTCGGACCGCAGCGTCTTCTCGCGCTCCTTCCAGAGCGCGGCCTTGTCGCGCAAAGCTTGGGCCTTCTCCGCCTTCTCCCTCGCTTCATCTTCTTCGGTGATGATCGTGCCGTCCGGTCTCCTATTGCGAGTTTTCGCGTCGATGACGGCCGTCCACAACGCACCATACAACTTCTTCGATTGCTTCGCGTCGAGCTCGGCGGCGGCGCAGCGCGCAAATAAGGCGGATTCCGACACGGCGCAGAACTGGACGCCAGTGTTTTGATTCACGATCTGCTTGGCCTGCTCCATAGTACAGGGAGCGGTTTCCGCGACCCACTCTATTAACTGTGTAGTAGCCCAGAGCGCCGGGTCGCGGTCGTCGCGTTGTAAATGGGGGGCGGCCTCGACGGCTACCTTTAATGGAGCGGCATACGACAGCGTGTTCTTCGAGTGATCCACGTCCCGCGCCGTCGGAGCCACACAAGCTAAGACAACCGTAGCGCATAACCTGGGAGACGCAACATCAAAGACGTCCTTCATAACCTGGGTCAATTTCGCTCTTCTGTACGGTATATGTACCGATCTAGCAGCCCCAGGACGTGACGCCTTCGTTCTAGCCCTGATGCACTCTTTCAATGCCATCAGTGAAATATTAATAGCCTTCGTCTCTTCGAGTCGCTGCTGGTCGTGGTCCTTGGAGTCGGCCGCCCGCTCACTCCCAGCCAGGTCGATGACGTAGAGCTTGCCGGCGAGCGCGCAGCCTTCTGGGGGTGCTACTGTAACAATGCCAATCCCATGTGAACGTGAGGAAGTGTCATTGCGGGCAGTAGATTCCGTCGAGCGCGTGGCCGCGGCCTTCTTCACCAATGCATGCATCTGCGCCGCGTCCTCGACCTCGTGCTCGCTGAGGTTCTTGAGGACGACTCGACCGTCGAGCATCTCGCCGATCTTGACCGCGTCGTGGGAGGGGCTCAGGCAGTCGTTCGCGTCGCTCCCCAAAATCTCGCAGTACGAGAAGCTTATCTTTCTGTGTCTCATCACATTAGCGGCCGCGCCAGACTTGAACAACTCGCCGACGACGCGCTCCATCAGGTTCGACATCGTATGCGTTTTACCGCTTCCGGTCTGACCATACGCAAAAATGACGCCTACCTGGCCATCCAGAGCTCTGTGCACCAAAGGCCTTCCAACAGCATCAAAGATGTTGTCCTCGTCCGCATTGGGGCCCCAAGTCCAGTCCAGCTCCGACCGCGCCTCGTCGAGCTTGGGCCTACCAGTAATGGACACGCGCGGCACCAAACACCGCGCCGCCCGGCCATGCTCGCCCGGCACTACGCAAACGAAGTCTTCGTCTCCTTCGTCTTGTTTGAGTTTCGGTCTGATGCGGGCACACACCGTAAATGTTGAGGTTTCTAACCCGTTCTCGGCCGCCGTCAGCTTCGCATCGACCAAGTCTAAAGGAGCTTTGTTGTCCGGACACTCGCGCCGCGCCTTATTCACCAAGGCTTCAAATTCAGACGATAGATCCGCTACCGTTCTTTTACCTCTTCCGCCAAAAGCCCTTCCAGAACCGGGCCGCGACGGCGGTCTAGGTGGAGAAGTGGGCGCGCCGAGCGGGCCGTACTTCCGCTCGAGGTTCGAATACAACTCCTTGTAGCGCCCCTTCCACTTGGCCATCATCTTGTCGTTCACGAATTTCGCTTTTGACGGGGCGTTCGTCTGGTAGAAGTGGACGAACTTGGCGCGCCAGGCCTCCGTGTCGTCCTGGCCTGGGGAGGGCGGCGGCCGCGGGGACAGGGGACTGCGCGGCGAGGCCATGGTTGCCCTTTTTTGCTGCTCTCCTGTGGCGCTCCTGCTGCTGAGCGGTCGACGGGCGGCGGTGCTGCCCTTTTGGTGCTTTTGCGGGTCGCCGGCGGCGCGAGCTGCTGGTCCTCCTGCGGGCGCGGTCGACGGGCGGCGGTGCTGCTCGTGCGGCGCGATTTTCGGCCACCCAGCTGCTTAAAATCTGAGTGTGCGGGTCGTGGCGCTCGCGACGCATCCTTGATGCACCGTCAGAGGCCTGTTTTGGACTGCTGCGTACGGGTAGGATGCGAGGTTCGGACGGGAGGCGGCACAAAAAACATCGCGCACCGGCGGGGCGTCGCAAAAAACACACAACAGAAATTAAAACACGTGCTTCTCCTTCCGGTCGCGGTCGCGCCGCGTCGCGCAGGCGTTGCGCAGGTGCGAATGCCTCGCCGTCAGCGCGTCGATGCGATTACGGACGTCCGCGATCTCGCGGTCGCGCTTCGCCGCGAACACGGCGTCGGCGCCGTGGGCGGCTTGGCGCGCCTTGGCCCGCTCGAGGGCCGCCAGGCGCTTCTCGAGCTCGCGTAGAGCTTCGGCGCCGGCCGTGTCCGCGGCCCGCAAAGCGCCCGCGGACCGGTGGACGTCCCTCTGCGTCTTCCGCCGCGCCGCCTCCTTGAGCTTCTTCGGGTCCGGCGCCACGGCGCGCCGCGTCGTCGCGGCGACGGCGTCGAAAACCGAGCGCGGCGCGGCGCGGCCCGACTCCCTATCGTAGGCGGCCCGACTCCGTTTCGCGGCCCGGCCCGCCGTCGACTTGGGCGCCTCGACGGGCGCCGCTTCGGGAGCGCCGAGGCCGGGGTTCTCGCAGTCCCTAGTCCCGCGGCGGGGCGCGGGAATCGGCAGAATGTCCGTGCGCCCCTGCGCGTGCTTGCCGAGGCCGCTCCCGCGGACGTAGCCCATCTTCGCCATCAGCTTCGAGGCCACGCCCTTCTCGTGGACCTCCCAGCCGCCGACGCGCTCGCCCAGCCGGTCGGCCTGGGCCTTGGCCGCGACCTCGGCGGCCGCCGCGAAGCGCTTTTGCGCGGCGGGGCCGGCGGTCCAGGCGGACTCCTCGTCCTCGTCGGCTTTGGGCTGCTGCGCGGCTGATGCAACACCTCCGTTTCTGCGCGGCACCGGGCCCGCGGTGGCATTGGTCTGCTGCGCGGCGAGCCACGCCGGCGTCGTCCGGCCCCGCCCCCGCCCCGCGGGCGGCGGCGGCGGCGCCGTCGCCTTGAGCACGTGCTCTCGGAGCGACGACACGACGTCGCCGGCGTCGCTCTCGTCGTCGTCGTCCGACAGCGACGCGGCGAGCGACCCGCAGGACCCGTCGTCGCCGCTTTCACCTTCATCGCCAGTGGTATCGCCGAGTTCGGCCTCGGGCGGCGTCGCGTCGCCCACGGAGGCGTCCGCGGCATCGGCGTCCGTGGCGTCTGGCTCGGCTTGGTGAGTCGTCGTAGCGCCCGGCGCCGACGACGTGCCGTTGGCCACAGCGCGCGTCGCGCCGCCGGCGCAGTAGCGCGCGCCGATGCGCCGGCCGTCAAAATTGCCGCCGTGAAGCGCTGCGGCGCAGCGCTGCGCTGCGCCGTCTTCGGCGAAGAAAACAGTGACGATACCGGTTGAAAGGATAGCTTCGCAGTCCAGCACACGTCCAAAACTCCTGGTCATTTCTTGCCCGACGTCTAATTCGATCGCATCGGCTGCCGGCGGCATGGAGGCATCAAACATGTTGTCCAGCACGACGCTCGGCGGGCGCTCGCGGTGGCAGAACTCCCGCAGCGCTGCGGCATCCATGCTAATACATCAATGCTGATCTTATACCACAAACAGCATGGCTGTCGGCGCCCCGCACACAGACTTGTGGCTGGCCTTCATGCAGAGCAGCGCCCACTCCAGGCAGGCTCTCGGCGCGTGGTAAACTAAACGAGCAGTGAGGCGACGAGAGGTGGCTTCAGACCGTGTGTAAAACACCACAGAGCGCTGCGGCCGCGAAAATCCACTGGCTCGGCGGACAGACCTGCTGAATTACAGGGCTGCCAATGGCAGATTTCCTCCACGAACCGGTCCCCGACGAGGTCAAGCCCGGCGCACCAGTAGCGCCCGTGCGCGCCGTCGAGATCGTCGTCGACGGCAGCGAGCGGAAGGCGGTCGGCGGTTCGGTGGTGACGGCGACGCTGCCGCCCATCGCGACGGCCGAGGTCTCGCCGCGGGCCGGGACCGAGGCGACGGTCACGGTCTGCGAGAACGTCATCCTGCCGGCCGGAGGTCTGGTGGAGATGCAGTACGGCGTCGCCGTGCCGTTAGAAGTGGTAGACGAGGCCACTACTTATGAAGGCCCCGTCGTCGCGCAGGGCTGCACGCAGGCCTTCACGCCGCGTCTCGCGAGGGACGACCCCGCGCTCCCGGTCGACGGCCAGCGGCGGCGCGTGAAGCAACGCCAGGCCACCGAGGCGACGGCCGACGCGCTCGCGGCGCTTCCTGTGGATGATACGGAGCGCAGCCCCTCGCCGGAGGACCCGCTGTACGCTGCCGACGGGAAAGATGCGGTCGTGGAGGCGCCAGTCGCGACGGCGCGGGCCATCTCGGAGGAGGAGGCCGTCGAGGAGGCGCTTCGACGATCGCTCTACGAACAGTAGGAGAGACGCGGAATCAGTAAGTGTGAATGTTTAACAAAATATTACTACGACGTACTTCCGAACTGCCGCGCGCCAATCAACCCGGTCGCGACGAGCGACCCGGACACGTTGCCCAAAACGGCCAGGACCCCAAAAAACACGGGCAGCGCCTCGTGGTGCCGCCGGTCGTAGCACGGCTGAATCAGTCGAGGAACGACCGCCCGAGCGTACGGCCCTAGACCTCGGAGCACAAACAAATCCACGAGGACGCCGCGCTCATCTAATCTAGGTGCGTCCTCGTAGCGCCACGACGTCACGAGTAACAACGCGAACCAGCCCGTGTATATCGCAACCGGCACCCACAGCGTCGCTGTTAATCTATCAGCGTTCAAGGCTATCCGCGACGCCACGGCGCAGCCCACGAGCTGCGCCGCGAGGCTCAATTCATTCGACCACATCTCGCAGCTCTCGACCTTGTTGTCGTTCGCGTTGGCACAAGCGTACGGATATACACTGTCGCCGACGCCCCAGTCCGCGAACTGGCTCCAGAAGACCACCAAGCCGAGCTTCCAGGTCAGGGGCTCGAGGTAGTACGGTTTTATTGTTGATGGCGCTTCGTCGCCCTCGATCAAGCGTCTACTACTCTCTTCAGGTAGACGGCCGGCTTGCGTCCTTTCTATATGGACGAACGCCATGATTGAACATAGAACGATCGGCAAGCCCGCCACAGAAACATATGCGGCCAGCCCGAAGCGAGGCGGCTTCGACGCCGGCTCCTGGATCAAGGCGATGAGCGCCGCTATCACACTGCTGGCAGCATCACCAGTCAAAAAAGCACCCACGAGTTCATTTTCAAACACCGAGACAAGGTAGGGTACGCAGACGAACTGCGAGCAGTAGCCGCAAGCCCCTCCTAAAAATTGGGCAAAGGCCAGGAAGGAGACGCTGAACAAAGGGCTCCCAGGAACCGCTATCAACAAACACGTGACGGCCATTAACTGTACTGCTAACAGAACGTAGATAGATGATGATCTTTTTGTGGGACGCCAGCCGCACCACAGCGCCAAAACCCATAGAGCCGCCGGTAGCGTGCCGAGGTTGTAGCCCAGGGCGAGGCGATTCGACAGTGACAACCCCTTGAAGTGGCGCTGGTAAATGGGCACCTCCATGAACGCGAGCGTCGTCGAGACCCAGCTGGAGCCGCCGCCGAAGAGCGCGAAGAGGAGGTAGAGGCGCTTTCTCCGTCGTTCCGCCTGCTCTTCCGGCGACGGGGAGGGCATTTTTGTTTTGCGGTGTCGCGGCGGCGTGTAGGCGCTGTGCGTGGCGGCAGTGCGCTTTGGTGCCTATTTCACGGTGGTGCCGGCTAGTTCACGCGTTCGTGAGCTATTAGTATACAACCTAGACGCGCCGACGGCGTCTGGTGATGAGCTATACGCCCTGCAGCGCGCACAACGCGTTTTTTTTGGGCAAGCCGAGCTAGCGGGAGAAAGGCACTAGCAAACATGGATTCAGGACTTCACTTGCTTTTACAGGAACGATCGGGGAAGGGAAACAGCTCAGGGCGTCGTCTGGACGAGGGCCACGGGCAGGACGTCGTCGATCACGAGCGGGTGGATGGGCCCGGCCGTGCGCAGGACGTCCGCGTCCAACAGGAGCGGCTCGTACGGCTCCGAGGCGACGCGCCGCATGTTGGGCGGCGAGACGATGGCCGGCACGCCCGCGAGGTCGAGGTACGCCGGCGGCAGCGCGGCTTCCACGGGCAGCGCCGCCGCCGGTACAACGGTAGAGAGCGCTGCGGGCTCCGCCAAGACCCCGAGGTCGCCCCAACTTCCACTGCTCTCGCGGCCCGGCGGCGGCGCCCCCAGGTCCGCCCAGCTCCCGGCGGACGGCGCCCGCGACGGCGTCTGGGACTCAAAGGCCGCGGGGCTCAACCCCGGCGCGGCGGAGACGTCGCGCGGGCCGCGCTGGGGCCCGAAGACCACCTTCTGCGGGTCGCGTGTTGCGGCGACGGCGAGCTCCGCCGCGGCGTCCGTCCACGCCGGCGGCACGCCGTCCTTCTTTTTTTTGGAGGAGCGCTTCCGCACGGCGCAGCCGCCGCAGGCCGGGCACGTCTCGCAGCGGTTCGGGATGAGCTTGGCACACTGCGGGCAGGCCTTCATGGCGCCGCGCTTCTTCCCGACCTCGGGCGCCGTGAAGTCCGGAGGAGGCGCGCCGCACAACGACGCGCATTTTGTGGCAAGCGCCTCGACCTCACTAATAGACTGCTTCGCCACCGCTGATATATCTCTATGGCGCCTTCTATGCCGCAAGCCACACGAGACGCACATGAAGGGCGTGCCGTTTTGACAACCGAAGCACGAGTCGCACCTTGAATAGAAAACCGGCAGGTCCGCGCCGCACGCGTCGCAGCGGATGACGAGCGCGCCGTCGGGCTCGCCCTCGACGCCGAGTCTCGCTTGTTTGATGGCGGCCTCGTCTCTTCTAGCTGCTCTCGCGACGACCGCGGCACTCTGGGAACACACGGCTAATAGTTTTGCATCAGTATCTTCCTGCGAAACTAGATGCGCCGCCAGATCCAGCAACAACGACCTCACGGCGATGATGTTCGGGTACCTTATGACATCGTTCAACGCAGCTCTCTCAAGCGCCGCCTCGAAGGTCTCCGCGCATTGGACCCCGAAGTTCCACGAACTATGCACCGAGGGCAAGTCATCACACACGACCCAATGCAAGGTCCCACCTCTCAAGACAATGACGTCGCCCGCCTGCTGCAGACCCTCGCGCACGGGAATACCATAACTCCGCAACCAAGAAGGATCGGGCCACCAGTTGCCCTCGTCGACGTAGATGTCGACCTGACACTTCTCCTTCACCAGAGAACGGACTTTTGATGCATGTTGTGGATCAACAGCGAACCACCTACTACTACCAGGCCCGTGGCAGCAGTTCACGGACGAGAACCGCAGGTTCTCCTCGTGGCCCCCGGTCCACACACCTTTTCTTTTGAGATACAACTGGGGCGCGGTCATGCCCGGCACGCCCTGCCGCACGAAGCGCAACGCGTCCTCGTCGGACTGCCAGAGCAGCCACGCCGGTAGTAGTGTTTTTAGAGCGTCTAGTTGCGGCGCCATGTCCTCGGAAGACGTGTCCACGTTCGCAGCGAATTCTAAGGGTTTGGACGTGTCCGGCGACGTGTTCTCTTCGAGGTCTCTCCGCATGGCGTCGATGTACGGTCCTAATGTTCTCAGAGCAGACGTCTGGGGCGGGAGCTTCCAGCCGGGCTTGGACATGGGCCGTTGCAGGACCATCTTGACCTTCGTGGCGCCGTGGTCCCTCCTGAGTAAAGGTAGGGCGAAGGGGTCCTCGTCATCTGTTGTAGGAGACAGTAACCCTCTCACGATGCAGATCGGGCTGCCGAGCGCTTTATCGCGGAGGTCGGCCTCGTCTCTATGGTAGACGTCGAGGCCCAGCAGCGGCGCCTGCTCGTTGCCGAAGGCCGCCTCGGCCTTCGCGCGCTTCCGCGGCTTCGGCTTTTCCGAGGCGGCGCGCTTGGTTGCGCCGCGCGTCGCATGTTGGGTCACTTTTTCGGGTGCGTGTTTCGGCGCCGCGGCCGTGCCCTTCCGGCGCAACATCATGTTTCCGGCGGTTCGCGGTGGCCCCGAGGCAGCCCCAGCCTCCTTCTCTTGCGCCTCGCTGCGGAGAGCACCTTCTCCTAAGCCTGCGGGTCGATGCTAGTATGTCGATACGCTAGGCCATAAATTTTCGGGTCGGCGCGAAGCGTCCACATTGAAGGACGCGCACGTTTTGGTTCCGCGCGGTCGTCGACCGTCCTCCTGGGAGTTGTCCGCGTCGAGGTACCAGACGAAGCCCTTGCCCACATCATGCGTCAAGTCGGCGGGCGTCCCGCCCTTCTCTAAAAATTCGGCGACGGTCGTGGCGGATTTATAAGCTTCGTAGCGCAGGTTGCAGGCCGTCCCCGGCTTCTTGGGGTTTTCTTGCAGGCACGCGATCGCGCGCGCGTCACTGTCATCCTCGTCGTCGTAGGCGCGCCGGAACCCAAAGCCCGCGCCGCACGCGTCGCAGATGTACTCGCCGCGCGGCGCGCTCGCGAGGCCCACGCACGCGAAGTGGAACCAGTTGTCGCAGCCGCCGTCGCAGGCGACCATCTCGCCGTAGGCGCCGCCGCCGCACACGCAACCTCGCCAGTCGGCCCAGGCGTCGTCCGTGCCTTGCGTTGCCAGGACGGGCGGTGGCGTCGCTCGCGCGCGCGGCTCGTCGGCGTCGACGGTGTCCAGCGCGTCGACGGCCGTCGCGATGGCAGCGATGGTCGTCGCGGCCATGCGGCACGAAACCGCCGCGTGGGCGCTCGCGCCCGATGCAGCGGCGACCGCCCGGTCGCCGGCCGCCTCGCGGTCCTTGTAACTCATGGCTCTCTCAAGCTCACTGGCTCTCAGAGCTCTCTGCCGTACTAGTTTTGCACAGATTCAATTTAAGGCCGGAACAATGATTTCTTGCGACCTTCTGGTAAGTTCTATCGATGGCATGAACGGCGACGAGCCTAGCTAGCTGTCGATGCGACATGCACTGCTGAACCCGATTTGCAGAGCGGCGCCCGCGGAGCGCGGATTCGCGCAAGAATCGATTCTCGGGCACCGTTCGATTGATAAAAATGTACGGCTATGACCGCTCGCTCCAACCAGTGAGCTCAGTGCACAAATCAACTTTGCCTTGACTGCATTTGTCACCTGCACGCCATCGACGCAACGACGCGCGCAGGCCAAGCTCGAGACGCCCCAAGAGAAGGCAGCGCGCAAAGAAAGAGAATCGAAAATGACCCAAGAGGAGCTCAACCAGGAACGCATCGCCGCGGCGCAAAAGACCAATTTCGGCACGAAGGACGAGGGCGGCGCGGGCTGCGTGTGCGCGGTCCAATGATCACGTGCCTCGACACTGGCCGGACGTTCGGCGAGACTGCCGCCGAACAGGCTACTATCGTCTACGGCAGCACCGGCGCGGCGGCACAGGAAATTTTGTCCCGCGACGCCGGCTTCGAGTGGGTGCCGTCGCTTGCGTTTCTCCACGAGCGCCACTTCCGCGATCGCGCATTGCTCGTGTACCCGCCGGCGCCGACGAGCGCGGAACTCGGCGTCGCGGAGGCGCTAGACGCAAACGGGCCACCCGTGTCGCGAGCCGAGGCCATCGAGATCGTCGATTTGGAATCGGCCGGCGGCTACGGCGTCTTCGCGGTCGAGCCTATCTCTATCGGTGCGCTCGTTGTCGAGTACGCCGGCCTCGTAGCCCCCGCGACGGATGATGGGTTCGATCCCTACGGCCTGAGCTACGCGGAGACGCTCGCCGGCGAGCCGCTGCGTCTCTCGGCGCGGCGGTTCGGCAACGCCGCGCGCTTTGTGAACCATACATCTATCAAGCCGAACGCCGAGATCGTGCGCGTCGTCCACCGCGGGCTGCTGCGCGTCGTCATCGTCGCGAGAGAGGGCATCGCGCCCGGCGGCCAGGTCCTCGTGGACTACGGCGATGCGTACTGGCGCGCGAGCGGCGTCGCGCCCCGGCCGTTGCCGCGAATTCTCGCGGACGTCGGTACCGATAGATATCGCTTCTAGTGTGTTACAGACCGCTAAACCAAAAGTTAAAACGGATTTGGCAAAAACGAGCCGGGAAGAGACACTCGAGTGCTCCCCACTCGTACGTGGCAGCGACCAAAATCCGTGGGAGCAGCCTCCAGCCGGTCGGAGTTTAATTTGCAACCATGGCAACCTCCTCGACCAGCCGCCGGGCCCGCCTGGAAGAGGAGCTCGGCCTGCTCCAACAGGACGTCGCTTCTTTATGCTCGAAGCTGCAGCGCCAGCCCTTCCAGGCTCCGGACGAAGATGCCGCGCAGCTCTCGATCAAATCCACCGAACCGTCGGCGACGGAGCGCGCGATCGCTTTGCTGGAGCGCGCGCCGCCGCCGCCGCCGCGCGCCGGCTCGGCGGCGGGCCGCCTCGCGAGATTGCAACGAGCCCTCGACGAGATGACGCGGCGGCGCGACGAGCAGGCCTGCGAGGTGCGGCGACTGCGCCACGAGCTCGACAAGGCCAAGGGCCGCCACGACCGCTACGCCGAGCTCAAGGAAGCCCACGCCGCATTGCAAGAGGACTACTCGTCCTTACAGGCGTCGCTCGAGGCGTCCGAGCGGATCCGCGCGAAGCAGCGCGACCTGCTGCGGTCTTTACAAGGAGACGAGAGCGCCGCCGACGACGATGCGTCGCCGCTCGAGGATGATAGATATGAGCGCCTCATGACGGGCGAGGAGTCGTTCATCGGCGACGACGCCGACGAGTCGCCGTCGCCGCCGCCGCCGCCGCGCCGCGCCGCCAAAAAGGTCGCGCGGCGGAAGGCGTCGCCCGCGCGGAAGCCGTCGCCGGCGCGAAAAGCCTCGCCGTCCGCCCGGCGCGGCGTCTCGCCCGTGGCGCGCAAGGCAGCGACGCGGAAGGTCGCGGCGAAGCGCTCCATGCCGCCGCCCGCGCCCGCCGTCGCCGCGGCCGCGTCGCGGCCGCGCACCGCCGCCGTCGGCCGGCGCGCCGCCGCGGCGACGTCCGCCCCGGCGCGGCGCAAGGCCGCGGCGAAACCGGCGACCACGACCTCGGCGCGACGGGTCGCCGCCTCAAAAACGACGACGAAAAAGGCCGCGGTGAAGAAGCGAACCACGAAGGCTCCCTCGCGGTGATTTTGAGGCCTCGACATCGGGGCTACGAGTAACATAGGCGTACTTATCAACGTGGATCATAAATCTGGAACGCGTGCCCCTCGTTGTACCGCGCGCGCCGGTGCTGCGTGACGCACGCCTGGGGGACGACGCCGATCTGCTCCCGCCAGTGGACCTTAAGGAAGCTCGGGGGCGTGGCCTTGAGGCGGAAGTAGAAGAAGTCCGGGAGCGTGTAGTACTCTCGTTGGCCGCGGAAGAGCGTCTCGACGGCCTCGAAGTGCGTCGCTTGCGCGCGGTCTTCCGTCAATCCTCGGTGGTCCGCGACTCCCGTGTGCGGGTTCATGCGCAGAAAGAATTGGGTCCCGTTGTAGTCGCGCGGGACTGAGATGACGAAGTCGTCGCCGGTGCCATCTAGAACCAAAAAGTACATGCGTTCGTCGGCCAGGTTGCTGAAAACATATGGCGTCGAGTAGTAGCCCTCTGCTTCCCCGAAGCGCCGCGCCAGGATAGCCACGGTGCGGCCGCGGAAGCGAAGCGACTTGACCTGTGTGGATTATCGCGTCGACCTCCACGCCATCGACGACTACTACTTGACTTCCACACTGGATTTGACGCGCGCAGTACTCGCGCGCGGCCGGATCTGGCGCCACCGCTGGCAGACGGACTCGACGCGGCGGTGCTCGCTCTGCTTCAGCACGGCCAGCACCTTCGCCAGCCCGTCGTCGGGGAGGCGGTCGAACGGACGTATCTCGGCGGATGCCGTCGCGGCCATCATCTGACCGCGCGCCACGGCTTCCTCGTGGCTCGGGACGGTCGCGGCCGTCGCCGCGGTCGCCACGGTCGCGTCGTCATTGCGTGCTTCGGAAGCTGCGGGCTGCGGCGCCGCCACCAGCACCCAGCCCTCGTCGGACGCGCCCGACATCGCGAGTTTCAGGAGCTGGGCCTTGTGGTTGCCTTGTGGTAAACCAATGTAAGGGTAGCTACGGCGCGCGCTGGCTAGGCTAGGTCGAAGTGCGGCTAAATACCGCAGCGTACCGCGACGCTGGTGTCTCAGGACGATCTATTCGCCGAGCTAGCCGCTGTAGACTGATGCTCTCCGACTTGCTACATGTAGTGTCTTACATGCCGCTAGCCCGAGACCGTCCCACAGCTATTCAGGCGCCATAACGCCATCGACGCGACAGAAGGACCATAATATTAACATCGGCAATACTTAGACCGAACTGTGCAAACATGAGGGGACGATGTGGCCGGCCGCGCCGGGGGTTAATTTCGCGCGTCGCCGACGGAGATAGCCTACGATTGCGCCGCGAAGGACCAGCCCAGGTTCCACTTCGTCTCCGGGTGCGTGTCGATGAACGCCTCTAATTTAGCAAAGGCCCTTTCGATGTCTCCGTCCGGCATCGAGTCCGTATAAACGCAGTGACCGATGCCTCCGGGTAAGGGCGCTCTCAGGATGCCATCGCGATGCACCGTAATGTCGCGCGCGGCCCTCTTATACGTTTCGGCCGTGATGCCTTCGATCGAGCAGGGTAGGCCAATTTTCGCGTATACATCTAGCACTCTCTGCGCATCGGCGTCGGACAAGTGTCCCTGGACGTTCGCGATCATCGAGTTCATGACGCAATCAATGGCCACGGCCTCGCCATGGCGCAGCTTGAAGCGCTCGTCCGTCTCCAGCGTACGAGAAAACGAATGCCCAAAGTCCATCGGTCTCAGTAGCGATTCTTCCCACAAATCCGGCCCGATGCACTCGAGCATCGTATCTACACTTCTCTTAATGATCTCATCCGCAATCTCGTCGTCCACGAAGTTCCTCTCTACTAATCGGCGACCGTGCGTTTCCATCAGATCAAACAGAGAAGCGTCATGAACCAAGGCAGCTTTCATGATTTCGCCACAAGCCGAAATAACGTCGGCCCGCTCCAAAGTAGGCAAGAACGCCGCATCGACGAAGGTGTGGATCGGGGAATAGAAGTGCCCGACGCCGTTCTTCCGATGATAGTTCACCGCGACCTTGATACCTACTGATGCGTCGACCATGCCCAGCAGCGTTGTCGGTAAACGCGCCCAGGGGACGCCCCGTCGCCAGAGAGCGCAGGCGAAGCCCGCCGTGTCCGTGAGGACGCCGCCGCCGATGGCCAACGCCGGTTCTGCTCTTCTCAGAGGGTCTACGCGCTTTAATTCGTCGAGCAAAAACAGCATGTTCTCCATGGACTTCTCGTCCTCGTTGCCCGGGGCGATGATCGGTTCGAGCTCCAGATCTACTGATTGAGCCCACGTCCTCATCTGACCTTCGTAGAGCCCCCACACAGTCTTGTCGACAATACATATGATGCGACCCGTCGTGAGTTCTAATTTATCTTTGATGAAGGTGTTGCCTTCGTCGAACAAGCCCGTGCGCTGCCAGATCTGCTGCCTTACGCGCCCATCAAAAGTTTCCCACTTCGGGCCTCCGTCTAAGCCTGGTTCTTTGCCCTCTATAACCAGATCGAGCCACTTCTTCGAGGCCTGGTCTACGGGTACGACGTTCAGTGAAGAGATGGCGCCGTCGTCCAACAACGTCGCTTCGAGATCTAGGTGCGCGTCGCCCTTGCCGTCGGCACGCGTCGCGGTCAGCCGCGCTCGCGCGCCGTCGTCGTCGTTCACGACGTGGGCCCACCTCCACGATTCAGCCTCCTCCGTGTGGAGCAAGCGACCGAGACCTCTTTTAACAGCACCTTGGCCCGCGTAGTCCGCAGGCTTGGAGTTGTCGTAGCGTAACGTCGCGGTGTAGTCGAACAGCGCCACGGCCTCGTCGATGCGGCGCTTGTCCGCGATGGCGTCATCACACGTATCCGCGAAGGCCTGGAGGTGGTCCTTCGGCTGGAGGGACGTGATTGGATCTAAAGTCGCCGCTTTCAACGGAGCGAGCCGCCTCGTGCCCTCCTTGGGGATGAACAGGCACTCGCCCCTGTAGAAGGCGAGGCCCATTGCGGTGACGAACGAACGCATCTTGGCCTAGTTTTTGTCAAGGGTGGCGCGGTGGTTTTTTCGAGACCTGCGTGTTACATCGCGGTTTCGTCGCGTTTCGTCGTGTGCGATGCGCTCGGCGGCTCGAAGCGGGCTCTCCGGCGCTGCGGCGATGGCCGGCGTCCGCCGTCGCGCATTCGTGCGCGTGGCTGCCAGGAGGCGATATGTGGATCTATGAAAGCAGTTCGTCCGCGCGCTTTCGTGCTGCACCCAGCGTCTCGAGCGGTGATTTGGAGCACGACTGTGGAGCTGCGGACGCTGGGGTGTGCAAATGGGCTGTTTTGTGCAGCGCTAAGGAGGACGTGTGCTGTGTGTACGACAGCCTTCAGCCGTTTTTCATCCTCGCGTTTGCAGCCCTGATCCCGCGCGGGCATGGCCTCTGTTCCGGCCGAGAGACGTATCTCCGGCCGCGAGCAGGCCCATCTCGATTGGAGAGCACAATGGCACACAGCGAGTTCGCGGCTGAGATGACTCCTCTCGCGAGTGAGCCAAGGCTACGCGGCGCGCCGGAGAGCTCTACCAAGCGGGCGACGGACGCGGCCCTCGGAGACAGCACATCATGCAAGCCTCGACAGCCGCTCTCTATATACGCCGCATCGCTCGCCCTTTTGCAAGCAGCGCTGCACACTTCGTCGCTCACTAGCGCATCTATCAGCACACAACAAAAAACTAGCGCGCGGCACGCCATCGCCGCGCATAGCCAAGTAGCAGTCCAGCAGCCAACTACAACCGCAAGGATGCCCAAGTCCGAGCTCCACCGGCGGAAGATGGCCGACAAGAAATCGAAGCGCCAGCCCGACGAGCCGACGCCGGTCATCGACTCGTCGAGCGACGACGACGACGAGCCCGGGCCCCGCCAGCAGCGAGGCCCGAAGAAGAGCAAGGGCATCAAGTGGAAGTACGTCGCGTTTCTCGCTTTGTTGTTCGGCTCCGCTATCCTACCGGTCGTGCTGTGGATCGTGGACCACGCCGGCGGCCTACTCGGCACCGGACTCACGAAGGCAATTGGAGCCTCCACGGCCAGAATGGGCCTCACGCCCACGCCCAAAGACCGCCTATCAAAATTCTACGAGAAGCACAACCCCGAGAAAGTAGGTGAAGTAGATCATTTAGTACAAAAATATGCTGGTGACTACCCAAAAATGATCAAGGTCCTCGAGGCCAAATACGGCGACTACGGCTTCTTTTTGGGCTGGGAGCAGGACCGGACCTTTGGGAAATTTATGAAGACCCAAGCTGGTGAAGGTGCTGAGGTGGTACAGTACTACTACAAGCGGCACATGCCGTACAAAGCTCGCGTGGCCTTCTACAAGATGTACTCGTTACTGGACAAGATCTTCCGGCCCTACGTCGACTTCATTCGGACGCAGTTATTACATATCTGGCCGGATTTGAAGGACTACATCGGCGTGCCTCCCTATTATAGGAAGCCGCGCTCGTCGTCATCTAGGTCATCAACTACGAAACGGAAGCGGCCGAAGACCGTGTAGTTTGGTAGGGCCTAAGAAGTATCGTGAAGGGTCGCGTCGACGGCGTGGGGCTTCTTCGAAGCGGGGTGTGCGGTGCGCGTCGCGGCGGCCCGCGCGGTGCCTCTGGCGGTGCTGCTGGTCGGGTGTGCGGTTCGGATCTGTACTGAAGTGGCCTTGACAGGCCATTGAGGGCTCGTTGGCGCAGCCGCAAAACCCCGCACGAATTGCTTGCACTTGAGTGCGTCGACGAGGCAATAAGGGCACCGTAGAGCTCACCAATTGACCTATCCCTGCACCAAGTTGCCAGTACAAATAGCAACCATGGTCAGGCTGTCGCTCGCCGCCGGTTTGGCCGGCCTTGCGGGTGTCGCCGGATTCCAGCGCCAGGCGCCGCAGCGGCCCACGACGGTGCTGCAGTACAAGAAGACGGCGAAGGAGATGCGCGCCAAGTACCCGGAGGGCGGCAAGGTGCCGTACGTCCTGACGAAGGACGCACCGCCGCACGGCGTCGCCGGCGACGTGCTCAAGGTGAACCGCGGCTTCGCGAACAACTACCTCGCGCCCCAGGGCCTCGGCGAGCCGGCCTCGGCGGAACAGATTGCCGCCTTCGAGGTCAAGCTCGCCGAGCGGGCCGCGGCCGAGGCCGCTGCGTTCGACGCGGCGGCTGCGCAAGCGCAGCAGCTCATGGCCAAGGGCGACGTAAGTATCAGCCGCGCGGCGGGCGAGGACGGTGGTGTAGAGGCCGTGTCGGCCCAGGACGTCCAGCAGGTCCTCGGCCTCGACTCGAGCGCCAAGGTCACGCTCCCGAAGATGGACGGCTTCGGCGACTACACGGTCACGGTACAGCTCCACAAGCAGGTGAAGGTCGAGCTGCCGCTGAAGCTCGTCGAGGCCTAGGGGAAGATCTGTCTAATATACGTTACCTATTTGTTCGCCACGCCATCGAGCAGGTTTCGCGTCGATGGCGTGGAGGTCGACGCGGCGAATCGCCGGTGATTCAGGATTACGATAAAGACAAGATTAGGATTACGCTGGCCGCATGACGGGGTAGCCCCGCATCATGCCGTCCAAATCAAATTTCTTGGGCTCCTGGTTGAAGGTCAGCGGCCCCGACGGCGCCGAGAAGCGCGACAACACGCAGTAGCTCTGTACACATTGATCAATCAAAAACTCCGCCTCGTTTTTGGCAAGTTCTTTCTCGACGTCGCCGCGCACCAATACCAACCCCCGATCCTTCGCGAGGTCGTCGTGCAGGGTCATCGTGAGCCACGGCCGCGCGAGCGCGGGGTTCTTCTTGTAGTCCTCGAGAAACGTGAACAGGAAGTGCTTCCGGTGCTGAAACTGCGACAGCAATAGAAAGTGGCCCTCTCCTCTTCTTACCGGGTGGAGCTGCAGCGGCGCCGCCTGGGCGCGATCCACTAATAATGTAGCTTGCGTCTCCTCTAATGTTCGCGCGACGGCGTCCGCTCGGTTCGAGTGGTACTCGGCCCAGATCTCCTTGATCCGCGGCGCCTGCTCCTTCCGTAAAAGAGGCAGCTTCACGATGTCCCCCAGCTTCCGCGCGACGTGCGAGGCGTGGCCGGCGCGGCTGATCATCCTTGCTCTGTACGGTTCAGCTGCGGGTCTGACAGCGCGAAGCGATGCCGCGTCGCGTGCTTATGGACTGTTGAGACTACCGCTCGCAGTCTGCCAAGTTCTCTAGCCCCGAGAGCGCGTGTGGCGTGGTTTGCAGGTCTGGCTAGCGGCGGTAAGACACTAGCAAGCACTGCCTTGCATACGCGCATACGCGCATAAGTTGCTTTGTCACATCAAAAAAGGCCGCATCGCTGCGAATTTTGCCGTCTCAACCAGCGCAGCCACAATTCACGCACAAATGCGCCGCGTACTCACATGCTGCATGCTGCTGCCAGCCTGCGCGCTCGTCGCGCCGCGGCCGAGGCGCTGCTCAGCTGTGACCTGCGCCGCAAAAAGCAAGAAAAAAACCAAGGCCGCGCCTTTCAAGCCGCCGCCACTAGAGCTGTCGCGGCCGATCGACGTCTTCTCGCGGCGCGACTCGCACGCCGTCAGCGCCGAGGCGGGCGAGCGCGCGGCGATCGCGCTGCGCATCGGCGTCGAGGAGCTGCGGTCGCTGGAGGCGTCCGTGGCCGTCGAGCGGAGCGGCCGCGGCGGCGACGTCACGCTGCGGGGCGAGCTCTCGGCGACCGTCGCGCAGAAGAGCGTCACGGCGGCGACGGGCGACCTGGTCGTGTCCGACGTGACGGCGCCGATCGACTTCTGGGTCGTCGTCTCGGACGGCGAGAGCGACATCGACGACGACGACCGGGACGTCGTCGAGACGACCGACGGCATGGTCGATCTTGGGGAAATTGTCGTGCAGACGCTGTCGCTCGAGGTCGACCCCTACCCCGGCACGGGGACGGCGAGCGGGGAGCCCGTCGCCTCGTACGGCGACTTGGACGACGCGCAGCCCATCATCGTGGACGACTCGCTGCTCGGGGGGGACCTGGACCTAAGTTGATGTTCCGAACGACGATGATTACGAGGACAACACGGTGTACGGGGCCGTCGGCTTGGTGGCTAGGCGGCCTAGCTCCAAGCAAAAGCACAACACAAAAACAGGTCAGCGCCGGTAGCGCCGCGGCTTCGACCGGACCCGGTCGCGGCGCCGCGCGGGCCGCGGCGGCGGCGCGCGGTTCGCCACGACGCCGCGCTTGTTGAAGAAGTAGTCCGCGCCCGAGAGCAGCGTCGTGCAGACCACGCCGCCGCACAGCGCGTCGACCGTCGCGTCGGCGGCGAGGACCGCCGGCAAGTAACTGGAGACGACGTCGCCGCCGCGCGCGAGCACGACGCCCCCGAGCACGAACTGCAGCCCCGTGTTGAGCTTCGATATCAACGACGGCGCCGCGTCGAGGCCGATGGCGCGCGGGTCCATGCCCCCAAACAGGAAGAAGCGCGGGTCGTAGGTCGTCGTGGACCGTGCTTTTCGTAACGCTTGCCGCGTGCCAAACACTAAACCAACGTCCCGCGCGACGACGAGCGCGACCAGCGCCAGGGGCAGCTCGCCGCGCAGCGCCAGCGGCACGCCCACGCAACAGACCAGGGCCTTGTCGCCGAGCGGGTCCAGGAACTTCCCGAGGATCGTTTCTTGGTCGAGCTTCTGCGCGAGGTAGCCGTCGAGCCAGTCCGTCAGCGAGAGCGCGCAGCCCGCGAGCGCCGCGGCGTCGTGGTGCCCGTGCCAGACCAGCGCGCCCACGGCCGGCGCCGCCGCGATCCGCAGCGCCGACAGGGCGTTGGGGACGGTCGCCACGCGGTAGAGGCCCGGGTCCTCCCTTTGTATCTGCGGTAGCGGCGGCGGCGGCAGCGGCGACCGGAGGCGGCGCGGGCGCGCGATTGTTGTCGTTGACGCCGCGCGGCGCATTGCTGCGATTGCTCCCGTGGGTGCGGGACGCACGCGGCAGCACCGCGCAGTGCGTGCAGCGGCGCGGCGCATGTTTTGCGCTAGCCTGCAGGCTAGGTGCCAAGCAGGCTGACAGCTGAGGAGCGTGTCGCGCACTATAGATCCTCGCTCGCGACTGGCCCGATCTAATACGTAGCTACCGTCTGCTAAACAGCTGCTGGGCCCGTACTGGCATGAACTGCGCGCGCTGCCCACACCCGCTGCTAGCGGCATGTAAGACACTAGCCGGTTCTACTTGTAAACGCGCGTGTCTCCCCCCAGGGGCTCCGCCCACTAGTCCCAGCACCATAACAATAGAGCCGCACTCAGTATGGAAACGAATTAAGCTAAACGACGCGCCCTACATTACGGAGCATCCGACCGCTCCATCGCGGCCGCCGCGGGCGCTGTGTACTTGGCTTTGGCCGCGCGGAGCGACGCGACCAAATCGTCCGGCGACCGCGCCAGCGCTATTAGGCTGATTTGAGCGGTGTTGTACCTGGTCGAACGTTTCTGCTGGCCAGCGCCGGTCGTCACCGTTGTCGTGTGGTCGCTCGCGATTTTCGCGCGGTAGAGGCCAGGCGTCGTCGGGTTCCGTACGACCTTCCAGCACCAGGGCGCGAGGAGGCCGAAGCCAAAGGCGTAGGAGAGCGGGTCGGGTTGCCCCGGCGGCTTATCACAGTTCCAGTAGCAGTCCTTGTCTTCGGCGTAGCGTCGCACTTCTATTTTGTCGACGTCGAACCCATCCCAGGCGATGGCGTTGACGTCACGTACGTAGTGGCTCCGCTCGCTGCCGCGGTCGCGGTCGGGCCGCATGCCCCTCCGGCCGACGACGCCCCTGTCGGTCACAATCAGCGCGTGGTCCGCCCAGGGCGGAAAGTCCATGTCCTTATGCTTGTAGATGAGGTTGCATATCTGGGGTATAAACACCAAAGGACAAAACACGATAAAGTGCGCAGTCCACGGTGGAGTGCACGGCCCGCCAATTGCCACGCAGACCGATGGATCGATGTCGAGCGTGCCCGGAGCGCCGTTGCAGAGGTGCACTCGTCGCTTGGCCGCGTTGGCGGCGTCGAACATGGCGCGGTCGAGCGCGAAGACGTCGACCACCGCGTCCGTCGGCAGGAGCGGCGCAAATGGTACGTTTCGCGCGCGGACGTATTCGACGCCCGGGGGCAGCGCCAGCAGCGCCGGGTGGCCCGTCGCGCCGACGACCGTGCCGGCGACGACGCCGCCCTGAGGGGCTGCCACCACCGTGCCCGCGACCACGACATCCGGGGCTACACTTGCCATTGGCTGCAGTGAGTGCTATCCCGTCTCTCCGCAGATCTGATGGTACCAGAGCGAGGCAGCCACCTGCGCTGTGTTTGAGTCTGGGAACAAGCAACCTGCGAGCTAGATGATGCCATAACCGTGTTCGCGGGGGATGGAGGCCATCGGGGAGGGCCTGGGACTCGCTGTAGCTTCGCAGACGAATCCGTCCCGATTTAGCCACGACTTGCTCTCTGTGTTCAGTTGATGCAGCGCGCCCGCAACGCACGCCGCGCTGGCCAGGTACGGGACTTCACGAGAGAGTCCTATCATCGGAGGCCATTGAGTAGCCCAAAGAAGGGCTGCCCAGAACCAGGCCAAGGGGTTGCAACCCAAGAATTGGGCAGCACAGCCAGTACTACATGAAGCTCCTCCTCGCACTAGCCACGGCGGCGACGGCCGTCCGCGGCGACCGGGTCGACGTGTTCTTGGCCTCGGACCGCATGGCAGCGTCGGCGGCAGTCTTGAACTCGGTCTGTGATAACAGCCAGCCGACCGCGTTGCGCCTTCACCTCCTCGCACCCACAAAAGAGGCCGCTCAGACGCTCGCGACGGCAACAGAAACGGCGTGCGACGGCGCGGTCGTGCTGCCGTACGGCCTCGCGGAGTTTGAAACGCTAGTCCGGACGCGCGTCGGCGAGGAGCCCATGTGGACGACGGCGCTCTCTAAGGTCGAGCGGTCGAAATCTACGTACGCCGTACCCGTCGCGCCCTGGGACCGCGACGAGAAGCATACGTCGCCGTACAACCACGCCCGCTTCTACGCGCCTCAACTCATCGAGGGAGAGACGCTCGTGATGCTCGACGACGATGTCATCGTCCAAGGAGACGTCACGACCTTGACCACACGAAATAAGGCCGTGGCGGCCGGTTGCCAACAGTGGTACGTCGGGCACGAGGGTGAGTTCAAGTCCTCGACGGATTTGACGTATGCGGACGTGCCCTACTTCGGCTTTGGCGTTTTGTCGGCGGGCGACGACCCTAGCTGCTCGCACGAGGGCGCCACGGAGTGCGTTCCCGGCGACGCGCGGCAGTGGTTCGCCGAGGTGGCGCGCACCGACCAAGCCGTCGCGAGGCGCGCATCGTGGCCGCGGTTCCTCCGGCGCCTCGCCGCGATCGGCGACGACGCGTTCCCGGCGGACCCTTCACCTGACGAGGGGAACGCGTTCGTCGACGAGTTATACAACACCCGCGCTTGGAACTTTGGGCTCGTGGTGATCGATCTCGACACGTGGAAGCAGCACCAGCTCACGGCGAAATATCATGGCTGGCTCGAGGCCAACTACCGGCGCGAGTTCTGGCCTAGCGACTCCCTCGCGTTCGGGCTGGGCCTGCCATTTTTAGCTTTGAGGGGCGAGGTCGAATGCTTCGAAGACAATGATGACGTGCGCTTCGAGCAAGGTCTCGGCGTCACGCCGTGGGTCTACGCGGACCGCGACACGAAAACTCTGGACGACGCCTTTGCTTTACATTGGAATGGCAATAGAAAACCATGGGACATGGATAGGTGCGACGACGCCACACGGCCCTACTTCTTACGCTACCTCGCGCGGTCCCCGGGACTCTACGGCGGCCACGTCGCGGAGAGTGGGGGCGACTACTGGGCGGCCTGCGCGCCGCCGCCGCCGCGCTACCACGGTTTCCGGTTTCAGCGAAAGCTCTACGGCGTGAATTCCGTCGATGGCACGGCCTGGGCGACGTACGCGGACGCATACGTCTGGGCGGAAGACTTCTACCGCTACGACCTCGACCGCTCCGCGAGCAACATCTCGGACTGCGTCGCCCACTGCCGCGACCTCTTCCCGGACGTGGCGGGCGGCGGCACGCTGGCGTGCCCGCGGACCAAGCTCGAGCTGGAGTTGCTGAGAGACCGCTTCTGGCAGCCGGACTGGTGGGGCTGGACGGGCCACTTTTCCGGCGGCGGCGCGGGCGCCGCGTCGTTCAACAGCTGCCCCGGCGACAACGGCACCGTCGTCGCCGCCGACACCGGCATGTGGGGGACTGCGGACGACGGCGGCGGCTGCGCCATCTCCGAGCGGTGCACCGTGCTGGTGGACAACGAGTGGAATACGAAGAAGAAGTGCTGGGACAACGGCGAGTGCAAGAAGTGGAAGACAGGCTGGATCAACCGCAAAGAGGCCCTCGACGACAAGAGTTGCGGCACCGGTCGCTACCCCCTGCCGCCGCCGGCGACGATGAAGTCGGAGAAGGACCACCCGGACGGCGGGAAGCTGGACGTCCGCGTGAAGTACGGCCACCGCCGCAACGTGTGCCTCTGCGAGAAGACGCCGCCCGCCACCTACGACCCGGCGGCCCTCGAGCTTTCCTCGCCGGGCCTCGCGGCGGGGTCCGTCGCGCTCGCCTGCGACGACATGGTTGCCAAGCACTTCAAGTACGAAAAGATGCCGAACACCTGGGCCAAGGACAACTGGTGGGTGATTCTCATTTGGGTCATCTTCGGGGGCATTATATGCGGCTCCTTGATTGCGAGGAAGGCACGCAAAGGCGCCTCCGCGCCGGTGGCGCCCGCGGTCGCGGGCGGCGCGGGCGGCCAGCCCGTCTACGCGGCGACGGTCGTGCGTCGCATGTAACTATAACATATCTTATCAGGGGGACATTGCACTCAAGCGCCTCTTGCGCGGGCTCGGCGAGGGGCTCCGGCTCCGGGACCGCTTGCCCGGCGCGCTGGCGAAGAAGCGGTTGACGCACGAGCGCATCGGCCGCTTGCTCGCGCGCGCGTCGCCGTCGCCGTCGACGAAGCGGCGCTTGGCCCGGACCGGCGTCAGCGCGCGGCTCGAAGGCGGCGTCACGGCGGCCGGCGGCGGCGGCGGCGGCAGCTCGACGGGCGCGACGGGGATGGTCCACCGCGTCCGCGGCGGCTGCGTGGTGGGGGTCGGCCGCCAGAGGACGAGCTCGCGCGTGTCCGACGACGCCGGCGGCGCCACCGGCCGCGGCACGGCCGCGACGCCCTCGACGGCCGCGATGACGTCGTACTCGCCGACGCGCAACACGAGCACGGCGACGCGCGCGGCGGGGCCGTGCCGGAAGCGCGCCTCGGCCATGGCCTCGACGGCCACGTTCGCGACGGCCTCGGCCGCGGCCGCCTCGCTGCCGGCGGCCCGCAGCTCCTGGCGCACCGACCGCGGCGTGAACGCGTCGGCGCAGACGCGGTGCCGCGCATCCAAGACGAGGCCGCCGAGGTGCTGCGAAGCCGCGTCTAATACGAGGGCGACGCCCAGCGGCGCCCGTGCCGCCAGCAGCTCGGCAATGGCGTGCAAATCGCGGGCCGCCGGCGTCTTGCTCAGGTGCATCGGCGGCGCGAGGCCGAGCCGCCGGCTGACGACCTGGAGGAAATGCTCGCCGTCCATTGTCCTTTGGTTTTGTCCGGGGGCGGGCCCGCGGCGGCGCCGGGGCCGCGGCGTCGACAACTGAGGTCTCAGAGAGCACCAGCACCGTTCCGGTGTGCCGGCGGTGGGCGCGCGGCGGGCGCGGCCCAGGGGAGCGATGTGTGTGCTGCGGGCCTTCCCCAAAACGTCCCCAACTGGCCCGAGGGGCGCTCCCACACCCTGAAACCCTATGCTGTGGTGAGTTTTGGCTGGCTAGTGCCTTACAGGAACGCTAGCCGCTTTTCTATAATCGAGCAGCTTCGTGTCGCGTGGTCGCACAGACAGCCTAGCCAGGTGCGACGTTGCGCAAGGAGGAAAAGAGGGGCATTCACGCAGCGCTCACAGCGGACGGGGTGCCAAAACGCCAGTCGTGCAGCCAGAACAAGCAAATGGAGCACAAAACAGCAGACGTGAACGCCTTGAGCATCAAACAGCTCAAAGCATTGATCGGCGCGGCAGGGCTCAGTACCGCCGGCTGTGTGGAAAAGAGCGATTTGAGAGCAAAAGCAACAGAAGCCCAGCAGCGCCTCGCGAGCGTGCCCAGCACACCACAAACGCCGGGCGCGCAGACGCTCGGCGGCTACGAGTGCCTGGTCAAGGGCGACACGAATAACGTAGATCTGGCGGTGATCCTGCTGCACGGCCTCGGGGCGAGCAACAGCGACCTCGCGTCGCTGGCGCCGATGCTGCGCATTCCAGGAAAACGCGTCCTCTTCGTGTTTCCGCAGGCGCCCGAGCACCCGCTGATGCAGACGGCCTGGTGGCAGCTTGATGTGATGAAGTTCATGACGCTGAGCCAGCAGGGGCCGGGCGGCGCCGGCGTCGCCGCCGCCATCAGGGACGAGCCCGTCGGTCTGAAGGAGTGCCGCGTGCAGATGCAATCATTGATTGATGACGTCTGCAGGATGGGCGGCGTGGGTTTAGATAGGGTCGTGCTCGGCGGCTTCAGCCAGGGCGCCATCACGGCCTTGGACGTGGCGCTCCAGGGCGACCGGAACCCCGCGGGCGTCCTGTTCATGTCCGGGGCGCCGCTGGTCGTCGACCAGTGGGCACAGCGGCTCCCGAGCCACCGCGGCATGCGCGTGCTCATGACGCACGGCGCGAGCGACCCCGTCTTGCCGGCCGTCGCGAGCGGCTGGGCGCGCGACCTGCTCGTGCAGGGCGGCGCGTCCGTCGTTTCCAAAAACCACGCCGGCGGCCACGACCTGGGCGGGCCCGACGTGCTCCAGGCCATCGCCGAGTTCGTCCGGAGCTCCATCCCCGGCGCATGCGCTCCGGGCACCTCCTGTGGCCCAGGCGGCTGAGGCTAGGGCGCGCTCCGACTGCGGCTCTGCCAGCTAGATCTCCTGACGCGCCCATGACCGGCCGCGGAGTTTTGCGCTCCGCGGCCGCGACCGCGTTCGGAGAGAGGTGTGCGGAGCCGCGGCGTAGATCGCGTGCCACTGTATACGAAACGAATTTTAATTGATCACTACTACATTTCCCACGGGTTCGGGTGGTCCGCAATCCACTTCTGCTGAGCATCCGTAGGAGCGAACGGCAAGAGTGACTTCAACTCCAGCGTGTAGATCAGCGTCGCGTCCTTGGGAATCTTGTCGTCGAAACCCTCGGTACCGTTTGCGCCGTACCCCAACTTGGGCGGCACGATCACGGTCCGCGTCTCGCCGACCTTCATGTCAAGCACGGCCTCGTCGAAGCCGGGGATCTGCGCGCCGACGCCGAGCGTGAACTGCTGCGGGCGCGCGGGAAAAGTTTGTTTGGTGCCGTCGACCTGCGTGATAAGAAATCGCACCGATGGCGTCGCATCGGAGAGAGACATGGTTCGACGCGGCGACGAGCGTAGAGCGGCGGCTTGCCGTCGACGCCCACGCGTAGCACGTAATCGAGCAGCGCCTGCTGGCCGCGTTTTGGTGTGTCGCCGGAGCCCTCGACCTCGACTCTAAATCTTAGACCGGACTTCGTCGAGCCCTCGCGTACCGCTGCGGCTGCGGGCTGGGCGGGCGCTAGTGCTGCAGCGCTTGCGGCACTCGCGGCACCGAGGCCGAAACGCCGCCTGCTGCTGGTTGTCAGCGCGCGAGCGCTCGCGGCGAGCAACAGCAGTGCTCGCATGGCTGTGCTGGGTCGTTGTAAGCACGAAATGTGGCTTTTATTAGAGCGCTAACCCGCTGTAGGCTGCGCAATGGCTCGGATTTTTGGGCTGCGCAGAGCAGGCTAGTGTGTTACATGACGCTAGTGTGCACGGCGCGCGCGAAAAAAAGGCGCGCTGTGCATCTGACGTTGCCTCAGAGCAGCGCAGGGCTCGCCAAACGGCCGGCATCGATCGCGCGCAGCACGCACGCCTAGCAAAAATGGCTCTCAGCACATCCTCAGCAGAGCTCACAACAACCACAGCCGCCCGCGACGACGCCAATGCCGCAGCAGCGAAAGCAACTATAGACCTGCTACGAGTCGCTGATATGGACGACGCCACGAAGGACGCATCCGTAGCCGCCGTCGACGCGTGCGGCCGGCTCGCGCGCGCGCTCGCGGTGCCGGGCGCCGTGCGGCCCCGGGACGCTCCCGCAGCGCTATTGCCAGCCACGATGTTGCTCTTGCGACCGCCGCGCGGCCGGCGGCGGCGCGCGGCAATTGAATCAGCCGCCGGCTGCGCGACCGCCGCCATCACGGCGTGCGGACCATCATTAGCGAGGGTCGCCGGCGTTGACGGTGTCTCTCGTTTATTAGGTGGTGTTAGTTTACGACTCGCTGATAAAAATGATGAAGGGATCACGTCGAAGGAGGAGGCGACGCTGGCGTTGCTACGCGCTGCGCGGAGCGCCTTCACGTCGTCGCAAACGGCCGCGGGTGCGGACCGCAAGGCCTGGCTTGTCGTGTGGGATCGACTCAACGGTCAAGAATCAGACGGCCGCGTGCTCGTGGCGGGCCTGGCGCACGCTACTGCTCTACTCGTGAAGGGCGGCGCTTCTCGTGAAACGCGTTTGAACGCCGTGGAGCTCCTCGACGCCATGGTCATGGCGACACCATCAAAGCTCCAGAGGGATTTGTGGAGGTGCTTCCTGCCCGGTTTATTTGGGCCTTTGTGGGCGGCGGCCGCGGCGCCTCCCACGCCGGCGGAGAGCGACGCGCTGCGTTGTAGTGCGCTGACGGCGTGCGCCCGTCTGGTGGTCGTGGTGTGCGGCGGTGATGTGGAGGACGCCATCCAAGAGGCGCGGGTCGGGCCAACCGAGGACACTGGTGTAAGCGTCGCGCCCACTCGTATATGGCGAGAAACGACGCAACAAAGGCTCCTGTTCCACGTGCCGGCCATGCTCGTCGCATGTAGGAGAGACGCCTCGTCGAAAACGCGTCGGGCGTGCGTCGCGGCCGCCGCGTCGATCAAAGACGCGTGCTCACCCTTTTTAGGACCGTGTGCAGCTCTGAACGACACGCTGGCAGCTTTATGTTTCGACGAGGACCCCGCCGTCGCCTCGGAGGCGCGCCGCGCGAGCGTCGAGACGAGTTCACCGGAAGACGTCGCGAAGGCCGCGCAGGCCGCTGCAGTATTGGCCTGTTCAAATGACGAGGCGGCTTTGAGGGATGCCCTCGACCTTACCAGTGGAAGGTGCGTGGGCACCCGCTCCAACCACTGGGACGGCGACGCCGCGTTTTCGACTTTAGAGGGATTGGCCCGCGTGCTCCGCGGTACTGATGCTGGCGTGCAAAGTTTAGATGCACCCTTGGGCGCGCCGCAGGGTTTAGTCGCCCACGACACCTTCGAGAAGCGTGTCGTTGAGGCGGGGCGGTTCGGGGCCGCGTATCCAAGGCCTCGATTGGCCCACCTCCATGCCAAGGCGACGCGGAACGCGTTGCGGCGGACCGTGTGGCTTGTGGCGATGAAGGCTCCTACCTTGTCGCTGGAAGCCTGTTTACGAGGCTTGACGAAAGAGTTTGGGTCTTTATTGGCCGATCTCGTGTCCTCGTTAGCGGCGGCGCCCCGGCTGCGCGACGCCGTCCAGGACGACGAACCGGTCGACGTCACTCTTGATCAGAAGCCGCTCGAAAGTAATGGTGAGCTCGTCGCGCTAGCCGAGTACGCGGCCGACGAGATCCTCGCTTCCAAAGCGTGGCGGGGGACTCGTGTTGATCCTGTCGAGGAGGAAGTCTCGTCGGATCTGTTGCGGGATGGCACGGCCCTTGCGACGCCGACGAAGGCCCTGGCGACGACGACGACGAACGAGGCCGCGCCGGAGCTCTGCCGCGCCCTCGCGGCCTGCACTGGACTCGCAGCAGCGAGGGGCGGCCCCGAGGCCCTCGCTGCCTTATTAAGACGAGCGTTATACCCGCTGCTGGAGCAGCTCGCTTCCACCAATCCAGACGCGCGGCAGGCCGCTTTAGCTGCCCTCGTCGAGTGCGCCGCTTGTACTGATACAGATGACGCTAAAGAAGCTTTACCTGCCTTACTGGCCGCGAACTTGGATTATGTGGTGGACGCGGCCTGTAGGAAACTAAGGCGAGCGGCAACACCAGAACAAGCCGCGAAATCAGCTTCTGTAGTAGAGGTTCTATTGAGGCACTCCCAGGCCGAGCCCGCCACCCCTCTTTTACGAGATGTCGTGCGGAACGCGCTGAGAGACGTCGACGCGCACTGCGTCTCCGCCGGTTCGACGCATGTCGCGACGGCGTTTTTGAGGTTGATGCGGGCGATGGTCCGGGCGGTGCCCCATATTCCCGGAGAAGATCGCATCGTACAGGAAGAAACGGAAGACTGGCTCAAGCCTCTGTTGCGGGACTTCGGCGACCGGCCCACGAGGCAGAAAGCGCAGGACGACTCCTACAAGCGACTCATGGACGAGCTGAACAAGTACGGGCCGCGCGACCCGCCTCCGGAGGACGCACCTCCACGAGAGGTGGAGCAGCGAGACTCGACGCTGACGGACGAGGAAAAGGTGTTCTTGGGGAATAGGGCGCACCACGCCAAACTCAACGAGATGGGGCCGTCCGAGGCGTCTCCGGAAGAAACGCTGCTGAGCGACGTAGCTAAAAGAGCTACGTACTTCGTGGCTACCGATGATCTGGCGGTCCAGACCGTGGCGTTTGGGGTCTTGGCTGATGCATGTGATAGGCTGCGGGCCGTGCCTGATAGGGTGCGTCCTTTGGTTCATGCTGTGTGGCCCTCTATACGAGCGAGATTGCCTGCAACGCGAGACGCCTGCGACGCCTTGTATCACGCTTCAGGTGCCCAGCAGCGGTGCGTGAGTGCCGCGTTGGACGTCGTCGCCGTGCTCGCTTTTTGTGTAGGGGACTTTCTGGCTTTTAAATTTAAAGACGACGCGTGGCCCTCTTTACAGTTATTGTTGAGGCCGCCTTTGCTGGAAGATGATGATTCTATTCCTCAGCGGGAAGGTGTGGTGGTCGCGGCGCTGCATTGCTGCTCTAGGCTCGCGCAGCGGCGTGATTTGGACGACCTGATCGGTCCTGTGGCTTCAACGATGAGCGGCTTCGCGCTCGCGCTTGCTTCGCAGGGCGCATCTACAAAAGTGTGCGACGCCGTGGCGGCTTGTGTTTCTTCATTAATCCGCCACGACGGCGACGCCGTCTGGCTGCGGGTCTTCGATGGGTCGGGTGAGGGGCCTTTGCCGTCGTGCGCGGCGCTGCCGCCGTGCACTTCCCGTAAACTCGATCCAAGCGTGCGCCGCGACGTGCTGGCGGCTTTGGATCGTGTCGACGTCGAGCTGCCGGACGGCAAGGGGTTCTGGCTGTAGTGGTTAACTTGTGTGTTTTTTCTTTTCAAGTTTCTGGACGGACTCGGACCGCTATTTATTAATGACACACTTATAAACCAAGCCAGCTCTACGATAGGTCCATCTCAGCATCGTCGGACGCCGGCGGCGCGGCGGGCGTCGGCGCCGCTGGCTCGGGCCAGGCCGGCACGTCGGGCAGGAACGCGACCAGGGCGGCGAGATCTCGGTTCATGACGGTAGGTATGGTCGCCTGCGACGAGCACTTGCTCCGCTTCGCCGGCGGCGCCGTCGCCGGCGCCTTCCGCTTTCTAGCCGGCGGCGCCCTCCCTTCCAACTTCGCCTTCCGCTTCTCTCGCAACTCCGCCGCGCGGGCCACCGCGCGCTCCGAAAACGCGCGCGCCTCCGGCGACGCTGCGTCCCAATTCAACGAAAAGTCGGGGACCAGCGGCTCGCCGTAGAGCACCTCGACGTAGGGAACGTCCGGCGCGCCCTCTTTCCAGAAGATCTTGAGGACCGTGACGCCCGGCGTGTCGCGCGCGACGTCGACGGGCTTGCAGCACCGCGCGAAGAAGCGCATGGCTTGGGTGATAATCCCGCCCCTTCTGTAGACCTGGTGGAAGTCCTCGTACTGCGCGTGGCGCTGGTCGAGGATGTAGAGGTAGACCGCGTTGGAGGCCGGCTGCTCGCGAGCGAGCGACACGAAGCGCTTGCCGTTGTGCACCTCGACGAACGAGATCGGCAACGACGCGTCGTTCGAGAGCGAGCCGTAGACGAACTTCGTGTTGCCCCACTGGTGCTCTTTTCGCGACGGCCGGAGCATGAAGGGCTCGCCGTCGACGAGCTCGAGGCGGTCCGGTGCCACGTTCGTCGCGTGGATCAAGAGCCCGCCCATGTCCTTGACCCGCATCGCCGAGCAGGCCCATTCGTCGTCCGCGCAGATGAGCCGCGTGCCGACCCACTCCCGGCCGAAGATGAACGCCAGTTCCGGATTGCTCTTCGCGAGCGACGCGCAGATACCGTTGGCGTAGATCTTGGCCTCGGCCCACCTCTCAGACTCCGCATCCCAGACCGCCTGGATCGCTGCCTCGGCATCCTCCACCAGTTTGAGCTGCAACGGATCGAGCGACTCCTTCCAGAGCTTGTGCTTCCGGCGCGCCTCCAACGCCGCGAGGTGATACTTCGCGGTTCGCGCAGCAATGTTGGCCTGATGGCCTCCAAAAGGATCCGCGTGCCGCGCCTTGACTTCTGGTCTCGCGAGGTACTCCGCGTCGTACTCCGCGGTCTTGCCCGACGCGTCGCACTCGAGGTCGTTCGCGATGCGGTACGCGCAGTCCTGGCGGTAGTTGCCCTCGTATTTAACTCTACCACAAGTCGAGCCGCCGCAGGCACAGGGGTAGCCCCCATAGTAGACCCCCGACGCCGTGCGCGACGCAGCTGCCTTGCCCGACGCGTCGCACTTGAGGTTGTTCGCGATGCGGTACTTGCAGTCCTGGCGGTAGTTGCCCTTGTGGGAAACTCTACCACCACAAATACCGCAGGCACAGAGGTTGCCGGACGCCTTCTTGGTTCCCACGCGCTTGGTTCCCACGCGCCTTGACTTGGCTCGCGAGCGCAAAGAGAGCCGATCCATGTCGTACTCAAAGTCGCCCGCAACGGAGGGCGGCTTGCGCACGCGAGCCGACGTGCGAGTGCCGGACTTCTTGGCGGGGGCCATGAGGTCACGTTCGCGGGTCGGGTCGGCGCGCGTCTCGCGGCGCGACAACTCTTTTCGCTGCGTCCGACGGCTTCTGGCGTCGACGAGCGGCTGACGAGTGCCGCAACGCGTCGTCTCGCAGGAGGGCGGCGGCACGCTAGCTGCGGTCCAGCACTTGGGCTTTGTGATGGGGCTGAGGGCTTCCAAGAGGTGCTGCCGGCGGTGCGCGGGCAGCCCTGATGCCCGCGTACGTGTTTACGCACTGCGCAATCAAGCAGCGGATGCGCGCCCACGCTGAGCTGCGCGTGAATGCCAATCAAGCCTTGACCCGCAGAGCCCAGCCTTAGATGATAGACTCTAGACCCAAAACCTACTAGGTTTGGGGCTGTCGTAAAACGACAACCGAGGGCCATGAGAACCATCACTGACCACATTGGCAAGGTACCCGTGGTGCGAGCACCGCAGAAACCGCGATCGCGCGGTTTTTGGCCGGCGACACAAGGCAGTCTTTTGCCTTGTGCTGCCGCGGCACGGAGGCCGCGGCTGCCGTTCCCGATGCTTTTTATCGCATCTCGGGTGGCCATGGGGCGCTGCGGCTGCCCAGCCGCCGCGGGCCGTCGGCCCACCGCGGCTTTGCGACTGCCGGCTTAGGCCGGCCGCTGGGCTAGAGCTGCAAGCTAGCGGAGCCAGGCCTTGGCTATCGAGCAGATGTAGGTGGATAGGGTGGAGCCCTCCAAGCAGCTCGCCGAGGTGATGCGTGGATCATCGGTCGGGTTCGCGCGCCAAGCGCTGTGCGCCCGCGCAAGTCCAACGGAGCAGCTGTGCGCCCGCGCCCGTCCAAGGGAGCAGGGCTCCGGGGTTTCGCCATTTAAGCTGCCACCACACGCACGGCTCCACGTCTACACAATCGGGGCAGCCCAGCGACGCATCGGGCAGGCAAAGTTCCCCATAGCGAGGGTGTGTCGAGCCCCACCGCCATCGACGCGGCGCAAAAGCATAAAGTGTCCCATAGCGAGGGTGTCGAGCCCTTGCGCCATCGACGCGACGCGAGAAGCATGGCCGTGCACACGCCCACCGGCGCCGCGTCCCCGACGGCGCACGACTTCGGCCCCGACGGCGACCGGGCCCCGGCGCGGTCCGTGCTCGAGATCGTGCGGGACGTCGCCGGCGTCGGCCCGAACGACATCGCGCCCGAGTGGAGATTGTTGTGGTCGTCCGCCGCCGCGGCCATGGCTGTGGGCGCGAGCGGCGGCCTCGGGCAATTGACGCCGCCGCCGAACCAGCAATCTAGGGACCTGCTGCCGGCGACGGTGTCCCCCAACGTGCAAAGGCTCAGCGTGCCGCGGCCCGTGCTGCCGCCGCCGCCGTCCGTCGAGCCCGCGCGGCCGTCCGTGTTACCCGACGTGATCCGACGGAACGTGCTGCAGGAGGCGCGGAGCCTGTCGGCGAACCAGGTCGACGACCGCCGCGCGCCGCCGGCGCGAAAAACGAATGGGCGGCCCCACAACAAGGCCGCCGACCACTACCGGCAAGGGGCCGCGCTGCCTCGATTAGAACGGCGTCGCGCCCCAGCGCCGGCCGCGGGCGGCCCGGTCCGCAAGAACCGACGGCGGAAGGGCGGCCTCAAGGCCTACGGCGGCGCGGCGCCCGCGCGGCGCGCGGCGCCGCCCGCGCGCGAGGCGGCGAAGCCCATGCCGCGCGTCGACGCCGACGCGTTGAGGGCTATCGTGGGGGACATGCCGAACGTGAAGAAGAAGGAGATGCTTCTCGAGATGCTGTTGGATTATGACGGGCTGCCTCCAGGGGTGCCTTCGTTCGCGGGGCGGTGATAATATCGGGTTTATTGTACTTACTGCTCGTATTGCGAAGGGGCGGATCTAGGCCTCGCCGTCGTCCTGGTTCGGCGGCGGCGGATCGATGCCCAACGCTGCATAGCTTTCCTCGCGCGTTGGGAATCGATCTGCGTGATCGGGGTCTTCTGCATTCACGTTCGCTACCCCCGCCGCGATTTCCTGGACCATAGCTGCTGGGGGAGGGATTTCCTCCGTCAACCGCCAGGCCGCCGCGAGCGTCTCGTTGCGGCTCATGTCGTCGTCGGTGAGCTGGCCCATCGCGCGCATGGTGAGAATCGATTGGATGAGCCGCAAGGTCCTCAGCTGGGGCGGGTCGTCGGAGATAATTTCTCGAATGCGCGTGACGCTCCGCACAAAATTCAATTTAACGCCCATCAACAACAACGGATACGCTTGGTCCGGGTTTACCTCGGTCCCAAAACCCTCCTCCAAACAGAAGCCGAGCTCCTGCACAGCCTCGCGGTAGCCGAAACTCAACGCGTTGTTGGCATGTTGGAAGGCCGCGCGCGCGTGTGTGCCCTGGGGACCTTGCGCGTGAAACGCGGCGAGCGCCTTGTGAGTCAGACAGAGCACGTACTCGCGGTGACCGTCGAGTGACCGTCGAAAGGTGCGCTTGATCGGTAGCACTGACTTCCCGAGGAGGGTGAGGGCCTCGGTCGGCAGCCCCGGCGTCTCGCCAGTAACCATCATCTCCGCGAGTAGGATGAGCGCCGAAGGATAGGGGTAGTACATTGTGCCTTTTTTCTTCGCCTTGATTGGATCGTGGGCCAACACTGCCCGGAGCAACGACGCAGCCTCCTCAAACGCACCACGTTTCCGTAGTATCTTCGCGAGATTAACGCGAGCGACGTCTAAGGCATACCCTGCTGGTGCCAGAAGCACATATGTTTCGTCAGCGGAAGAGTCGGCCGCGATCGCCTCGCGGTTGAGCCGCTCCGCTTCCACGGGGTCCCAATCTTCTCCGCGCCTTCTTTCTCCGAGGAAGATCAACGCTTCGCGACACGGAGCGAAGCGCTCTGCTGCCATCGAATACCACTTGTGAGCCTCTGTGAGAGCTAGTTTCCTAATCGCGATCGCGGCCCGATACATGATGATCCTGGGCTGATACATCGCGTCCTTGAACGACCGATTGCAAACGGCGACGGGCGGCAGCTCGGTCGGCGTTAGATAGGAGGTTCCGATGACCTTGTAAAAAACGTCGCGCGGCATCATGTCCTCGACGTTCGTGATGACGCGCCTCGTCGGTTCGTCGCTTAAGGAGAGATTGGCCACTGCAGCATCCATCTTGATAGGTGAGTTTTTTTTTTCACAATGCGCTGAAAGCGAGCAGATGCCCGCGCTGGGCGAAATGAATGATAAAAAGGCCCGTAAAATCCAGAGCGTGGCCTTACGTGCTAGCTTGATGGCCACGCGAACGCCGCGAAAAACCCGTTTTGATGGAGGTGTCGGGGGACCCGCGACGTAATCAGCCTGAGCCTCGGGACATCTCCCTGTATGGATTCAAGGACATACTTACGCCTCCGCTGAATGGCCGTACGCGCGTCGCGCCTCGTGTACGGGGCACTGAATCACTGGGGCGCCGGATCCACCGCCGGGATGCCCAACAAGGCGAGCGTCTGGTTGGGGTCGTTCATGTGTTCCATGGCTTGCTCGAACGTGGCGTTGCCCTGGACGACTTCATCGGCCTGGGCGTTGTACTGACGTACGCGCACGATCGCCACCATGAGCTCCACGGGCATTTGCGGGCCCGCCGCGACTTCGCGCAGACGCGCGACCGCGCGCTCGTCCGGGACGGGTCTACTGACCGCCATGCAGTACCCGGTGTAGGCCGTGAGCAGGTGCACCGGCGTCCCCCGACCGCGCTCCGCCATCTGTCCCACGTCGAACGCGGCGCGCGGATGGCCCACGCCCATGGCCGCGTTGATGTGCTCCCAGGCCCGTCGCGCGTGCTCGTCGTTCGGAGTTTCTTCGTCGAGCGCCTTGTAAATTTTGCCGAGCACGTACGCGCAGTTCGACCCTTCGATCCCTTCGAGGTCCGCCGCCGGTATGGCTTCCACGAGCTCGAGCGCCTCGGCCAGCGCCCCAGGTGCTTGTTGCTGGAGAATTATCTCCGCTCTCAGGGCCCCCGCCTCGCTGTTCGGGCGGCGCATCTGTTGTTGGGTCGCGGGGATATTGTCGTGGTCCAGGACCGCGTCGAGAAAGCTCGCCGCCTCGACGAGCGCGTCGTCGCCACCTTTCTTCATGAGCATCGTCGCGAGACCAATTCGTGCGAGATCGTGCGCGTGTCCCGCCGGCGCAAAGATGCAGTAGCTCTCCGACGGAGAATCGTCGGCTGCGACCGCGGCGCGGAAGAGAGTCTCGGCTTCGACGGGGTCGACGGGGTCTGCGGAGCGGCTGCGCACAAAAAACTTCATAAATGTCGTCGTGCCGCCAGACGCCCACTCGCCGAGGAATAATAGCGCTTCGCGCGTGCCGTGCAGCTCTGCGGCGATCTTGAACCACTTCTTCGCCTCGGGGACGGACGGCGAGCAGCCCTGGCCTATCAATGCGATACAACCGCGGCCCGTAGTCATGCGCGGGTTGTAGGACGTTTCCTTGAACTGGCGGTTCGCACAAGCTATGTTCCCGATCTCTTCGGCCTCCAAGTAGCCGCCCGCGACGGTTTTGAAGAACACCTCGGGCGGAAACAAATCCTCGACGCTCTGAATGGCGGGCAGGTCGCTCGCGCGGCGGAGCCTCTTCGACGGCGGTGGGGCGCCGCCGCGGAAGAGGTTGCTGGCTGTGGTGCCCATGGGGGCCTTGTGTCTTTAGCGCTACTGAGCGCTGGGATCGTGGCGCCGCAGCGCAAGTCGTATGCGCAGCTTCCACAGAGCGTAAAAAAAACTTCCTTGGCTACGAGACGCGGTAGCGGTCCCGCACGGCTCGATCCAAGTGGCCGCAGTCGCAGCTAGCGCCTGTAAGACACTAGACATTTTTTACACCTCTCTACGAGAAAGCCCGCTTCTTCCGCCTCTTGCCCGACCGCCGTCGCCGCGAAGGTTTCGTCGGAGCCGCAACCGGCACCTGGTCCACGGCCTCTTGCGGAACCCAACGCAACAGTCCCGGGTCCCGGAGCACGGCGTCCGCGTCAGCCTCGTCGTCCGCGACGGCGATCCAGTCGACGCCGCCCGCGTCGTCGACGCCGACGAAGCAGGGGCGAACCGTCTCGGCCACCGCGACTCCCGTCGTCGACGCGTCGGCGAACGGCGCGGCGAGCCACTCGTGTGATCCCCGTGGCGAGAAGCACCCCAGCTCGTCCGGCGCGGGATAAACTAAAACCGCATCGCGTCGTGATACATAACGACCCGCCGCCAACTCGACCTGCGAATCGTTGAATCCGAGCCACGTCGCGTGGGCCCGGCCGCCGCGCGTGAGCCAGAACGGGTACTCGCGGCCGCCGGGCGGGTGGACGTTCGGATGGAGGTAGTGCGCCACCGCACCGACGTCGTCGTCGCGCACGTCGTCGCGCAGCGGCTGCAAGAGCAGGACGTAGCGGTCCGTGTCCCCGTCGTTCGCCGCCGCGTGGACCCACGACGGGTCGAAGGCGAAGAATTCGCCTTGGTCCCATCGTCGCGCCTCCCCGCCGACGGTGAGGGCGCATTTGTCGGGTACAACCAGCCCGAGGTGAGCGGTGAACGATAGCAGGCCTCCGTCGCAATGGGGCGAGATGCGCGACCCTGCAGGCATCTTCGCAATCCCGGCGGCAAACGCCTGCAACGGATGAATCCGTAGCCCGAGGGCCATGGCGGCTTCGAGCGCTCGCTTCGTCTTCGGCATCGCATCTGAAGCGGCCGTGAAGCCACCACCCTGCCAGAGCGACAGGAAGGACCAGTCCGCCGCGATCGCCTGGTACTCCGCCCCATCCCATCCGTCGGCGTCGCCCGCCAGCACGGTTTGGAGCTCGCGCGCGATATCGTCGCAGGCCGAGACGAGGGGCGCCGTCCAATTCCACGCCGCAAGCTCCTCGTCCCGCCACGGCGCGTCGACGGCGTCCGGGAAGGCGCACCGCCGGAGCCGCGCCAGCGACGACGCGAACGCCTCAGAGGCGCTGTCCGCGAGCGACGCCTCCTCGCTCTCCGCCGCCGCGATCAACCGCATCGCCAGCCGCGTCTCCGACTCGTCGAAGGCCGAGAAGCATTGCAGGCGCTTCGTCTCGAGGGCGTCGGCGGTGAGGGCGCGGCGGTTCGTCACGTGCGACGGTGCCAGGGCCGCGCCGGCCGCGGCCAGTAGAATGATGTATCGCATCGATGCGTATGACTGCGATCGGTTGCAGTGGCTTTTGCTGGCAAGTGCAGTGCCAAAATTGTACGCTGCTGCACGGCGCGCGAAGGCAGCGCTGTTGCAGTGGCGCTCCAGCTGGCAGGCAAGGTGGTCCCAAACCTGCGCAGTGCTAGCACAGTCGAGACCGGCCGTCGCAGCGCCAAAAATACAATGGCGATTGCTCTGCAGCCGCCCTTTGTGAGTCGTGTCGCCAGACTGATGCAAGAGACTGAAGCTGAAGGGTTGGTCGCTAGGTAAAGCCGCTAGCTACAAAAGATTACTCCCCGCCCTCGGAAGAAACCGGGTCGACGTACACCGTCGCGTTCGCGTGCGCATCTTCGTCGTACGCAAACTCGTAGTCAAACGCAGGCGGCACGCGGAAGGCCCGTTTGGCCGCCTCGACGGCCTCGTCGCCGCGCAGCGAGTCGCCCGGCGCGCCTCCCAGACCATGCCGCCTCAAGAAAATGCGGATGGCGTCCCTGCCACTTTGCGTGTTCGCCCCGCCGCCGCCGTGGTCCGCCTCCCTAAAAGCTAATAGCGACACGGGCGCCGTCCTTCGATAGGCCTCGGCGAAGCGCCGCACTTGACCGAAGGGCACGACCGTGTCATTAAGACCCGCGAACATCATGACCGGTGGTGGTTCATCGCGCGCGGCGCAGCTCCCATCATCAGAACCATCTACTACTCTAGCGAGCGGCGAGAGTGCCTGCGCCCTCTCAGCATCATATTGAGGCGGCAACATTCCGTAGGCACGTTTCCCGTGCAGCATGAAGATCTGCGACAAAACGCCTTCGATGGCTTGATGGGTCCCTTCCTCCGTCGCCCGATGCTTCCCCGGCGGCAGGAACACGTTGTTGCCTGCCGCCGTGCCGTTCAACAACTCTTGAGCAGGCGTGTCCGCCCACTCCTTACACGTTTCCATATCAAATTCGTCAGCGCAGTACGTGAGCCAGTGTCTCGGTTCGGTGCCCACGGCCGGCCACCCCGCAATTACAGCTTGTGGAGGGTTCACCTTCGATGCCGCCCCCAACCCTAAAGCCAGCGCGAGCACAATGTGCCCGCCCGCGCTATCACCGACGGCGAAGACTCGCGAAGGGTCCACTCCTATCTCCGAGGCATGTTCCCTGACCCAAGCCAACGCCCGGGCCGCGTCGTCGACGGAGCCATCTAAACCCTTCTTCGTACTCCGCCGATACCCGACAGAGATACCAACAATACCTTCATGTGCTAAAAAGCGCATCGTGCCCGCTCCTAATTCTTTGAATCCGAGAGCGTAGGCCCCGGCGTGGAAATACAACGCAGCAGGCCTCGCATCACTGCTATCGTGCTCCGGCTCGTAGATATCAATTTGCAGGCCGTGGCCCAGGTCCTCCGTGTGATTCGATGGAGGGACGCCTTCGTTTTGTAGAGCTTGGATCGTCTTGTGGCGCCAGACTGCGTTCAACGGTTCTAACAGCGGCGAGTTGAAGAGGCCCCCGACGATGCTCTCTCCTAGGAGGACGTAGTGGAGGTTTAGGGTTAGCACGAGGGCTCCTAAGATGATCCAGCAGAGGATGCTCCGGTTTTGTTGCTGGGAGGCTGCCATCTCTGTGGACGCTCGCACGGCTGCGGCGTGTGGAGAGAGGCGCTGTCTGAACGATAACCAGTCGGCGTCTGGCGTAAGCAGGCTGCCCACCGGGTGGACGGCCGACTTTGCACCTAGTGTGTTTACATACGCTGGCTCCAATTTATAATTCGGCTTTCTTGCAGCTGGTCTCGTATTTTAGAGCGTCCCAAGGTCAGTTTCACGGCTAACTGTAGTCACACGGACGCCAACGCACCGCTGGACCGACGCCGCGCCAGCTGCGAGCTCACAGCTCACAAGCCAGGTGCTCTGCAAGCAGATTCCACAGCCTCGTGTCGCGCGAGACGTCAATAGAACATGCTGCGCGCACTGCTCCGACCGGCGCGGACGCCGCCGCGACAGGAACGCCAAGTCGCCACCCTCATCTTGCTGCGCCACGGCCAGTCCGTCTGGAACGGCGCGACGGCCACGTTCACGGGCTGGTGCGACGTCGCGCTGACGAGTAGAGGGCGCTCACAAGCTAGAGAAGCGGGCGAGTTACTCAGATCCAAAGGCTACGACAAGAAGCTCTCAGCTTGTTTTACGTCCGAGTTAGAGAGGGCCTGGGAGACGGCGGAGATTTGTTTGGAGGCCATTAAGACGAATGTGGAGATAGAGCGGGACTGGCGCTTAAATGAGAGACATTACGGGAGCGTGCAGGGCATCTGCAAGGGCGACGCGGCTTTGCAATCGTACTTTGGCGAGGAGGAGATCAAGAAGTGGAGAAGGTCCATGCACGGCAAGCCGCCGCCGTTAGACGAGTCGCATCCCCACTACCTACCCGACCCGGCGCCGAGAACAGAATCTTTAGCGGACTGCCAGGCTCGCGTCTTGCAGTGCTTCGAAGACACGATAAAACCAAGGTTGTTCGAGAAACCGAAGCAGTGCGTGTTGATTGCTGCGCATTCCAATACGTTGAGAGCGCTCATGGCGCACGTCGACGGTGTGCCCGACGACGAGGTGCCGCAGCTGCACGTTCCTAACTCGGTACCTATCCTGTATCGATTTGATGAGGAGACGCAGCAGCTCGCGTCGCATAAATTAGGAGCGGAGAACGCGCCGGACTCGCACGCTCGCTGGTTACTGTCCTCGCGGAACCTAGAAAGATTACGAAGCGCGGTGCAGCCGGGCGGTCAATTGACAAGAGCACTGTTCGATGCTCTAGATGAAGATGGTGATAGAATCTTGCGTGTCAAGGAGATCGAGGCGGGCATCAAGCGGCTGCTCGGGGACGATGTGGTGGTGGCCGGTGTGGTGAAAAACATCGTCCGAGGCTTGGACCTGGCGGACGACGCGACGATCACGCTGGAGGAGTTCGAGGCGGCGGCGAACGCCGTGGCGGCTGATGTGTTTGCCGAAGCGGATAAAGCGCGCGCGAAGCGGACGGAGAAGCGCCACGAGCTGGCGCGCGAGGCGGCGCGCGCGGTCGCGGAGCGGCGGCGGCGGGCGGTGGGGGAGGAGCGCATCCTGGAGCGGGTGCGGTAGTGGTCCTTTTTGTGTAAAAATAGCTTATTCTGAGTCGTCTAGTAGTAGAAGCTTACTCGGTTTTGGGGACGCTGCCTAGTCCCGGGGGGATGGACGCACTAGAACCAAGCCTCTAAAGGCGTCTGAGTCGTCTGTGTGTGTGGCGTGGAAAACCCGTTTTGACAGTCGCGCGGTCCGCCGCTGCGACGGCCATACGCCACATAGGATTGCCGCGGGCGTTCGCATCAAATACTTTGATATAAAACTACACAGCTTTGGCCAGCAGCGGACCTGCGCTTACCTGCCAAGCGCTCTTGGTTGCTCCTAACTTTACACAAGTATTTGCGCCTTGGGCTATGTCGGACTCGGACTCAGAGAGCTATTCGCTCGAGTCGGCACTCCTTCGCGCCGCCCTGGCAACTGACCTTGCGGCCCTGCGGCGAGCACTCGCGACCGATGTGACAGTCGATCCGGACCAACGAAGCCCTGGGGAGTTAGCGGCGGCGCTTCGAATCATCATCGATACCGGTTCTCCGCTTACTATTACCAGCCAAACCACGGCTTCAAACGAAGTGCGCCTCCAATGCATCGAGGTGCTCCTCGACGCGGGGGCCTCGCCGAACGTACTTGATTTGTACGCACCACTGACTCTCGCGGCAGCTCGTGGCAATACTGCAATTGTCAATAGGTTACTGAGGGCGGGCGCTGACCCCAAGTATGCCAACCCATTAACGGGCTGGTCGGCAATCCACGCAGCCGTATTCGTGGGTTCGGTTTCCTGCGCAACAGCGCTAGTTAAGGCGGGTGCTGATCTGGAGGCAGTTTGGACTGGCCATACGCCGCTCTTGGCGGCCGTACACTATCGTCAAGAACGTATGTGCCCGATCCTTTTGCGGGGCGGCGCGCGACTCGATCTCGATCTGATGGCGGAACAATTTGATAGGACGCCGTTCTATCTCCAGAAAGTCGAGTATGCGGGAGGCTGGAAGAAATACGAGCAGGCCCATCGCAAGCGCCTGACGACGACGTTCGCCAAGGGCTTCCCGCGCCTCCCCGTCGACGCGATCTCCCACATGGTCGACTTCGCGTTTCACGTAGGATTCTACTGAGTGAGTAGTAGAACGCGCGTAATGTATGCTCTCTTTCTCTAGATTTTGAAAACCCGTTTTGATGCCCAAGTACCAGTGTACCAAACAAGTTACCCTAACATATGCACTACAAATAGAGTTGAAGTACGTGGTGGCGTCGCATACTGACGTATTGTCGCAATTTCTACGACAGTTATTTGCACTCAAAGCGCGAGCGGGTTGTCTTGTGTTTGGGAGCCAGCAGCAAAGCAACATGTATTCCCCCGATCCATGCCGCCGTTCAAGTGGGAGACCTGGCGCTCCTGCGGCGCGAGCTCGCGGCCGGCGCCGATCCCGACACTACACAATTTCATGGTCAGAGGACGGCGCTTACCATGTTGTGCACCGAGGGGGGTACGAGCGCTTCACCTGAAACGCGCCGCCAATGCATTCAGGCGCTCCTCGACGCAGGGGCGTCGCCGAACCGCATCGAGATAAATATCAATAATACACCTTTGACTTACGCGACGACTCGAGGCGACCCTTCAATTGTCAATGCGTTACTTAGGGCTGGCGCGGACCCCAACCATGCCAACGAGACGGGCTGGACGGCACTCATGGCCGCCGTGTGCCAAGACAAGGCACCCTGCGCAATTTTGTTAATCAAGGCGGGTGCAAATTTGGAGGCAGTTTACCCGTCGACAAATCATACGCCGCTCCTCTTTGCCGCTAGAAACAGTCCACGCATTGTCCCGATCCTTTTACGCGCCGGCGCGAGACTCGATACAAGTCGGTTGCGGCAGCTCCTCCCCCTTGGGCCATGCCTCACATATCTCCTTGGCGTCGACGCCGCGGGCGGGTGGAAGAAGTACGAGCAGGCCCATCGCAAGCGCCTGACGACGACGTTCGCCAAGGCCTTCCCGCGCCTCCCCGTCGACGCCATCTCCCACATGGTCATGTTCGCGTTTCACGTAGGATTCTACTAAGATTTACTCTTCCACGGCGGGTTCAGCAGCGGATCGTCCGCCGGGTCGTACGCCCCGTTCGTCCGCCGTCGCTGCCGCTCGTACCACTCGTCCTTGTCCAAGAAACGAGAATAACTACCCTCGTCCTGCGTGATGTCCGCGCGGATCGCCGAGTATACCGCCTCGTCGTCGCGCGCCCGGAGCTCGCCCGCCAGATCCCCGTCCGCCGACGCCTGCGCAGCGCGGTCCCGGGCGGCGTGTCTTTTGGACTTCCCCGCCATCAAAGCGGCCGCCCCAGCGATGTCGCCGCGTTTCAAAGCCGCCTCGACGGCGAGGTCCCGGCGCACCGCCTCGTCCAGTAAGGGAATCAGCAGCTCGTCCACCGGCGCGTCGTTCCCCGCAGCATTTATGACGCGCGGCCGCGGTAATCGCAACTTGCGCCTCTTAAATTCCTCGGCCTCGACCAGCACCCTCAGCTTGCCCTGCGTGCCGAGCGCGTCGTACTCGTCTGCTGACTTAATCGTCTCCGGCGCGTCAGCTTCCACCGCCTCCGCGATACGAGGCTCCAAATTATCGACAACTTGCAACCGCATCTTCAAGGGAGCGACGCTCGTCCTTCGCTCCAGACCGAAGCGAGCCGTCCTTGAAAAAACCTCGAGCAAAGAACGCTCCGTCAAAACATCTACATTAGCCGCCAATGCTAGTCCCACCGCCTCGTCGGCGAAGCACTCGACGATTAGTGGAGCGGAGCCGTTGCGAGGCTGCAGCCGTAAGGCACCCGCTAGATCCGTCCGGTCGTCGAGCGGACACGCGTCCTCGAGCAGTGCACTCGTCACGTCGCAGTCCAGCATATCTCCGATGGCCTCCAAAAACAAAGAATAAGGAGACACGTAGCCCGCAAACATGCGGGATTGCGCATCCTCATACACAGGAGGGAAGCCGTACGCGCCCCGATAAGGCGCCTGATCCTCATCCCTTTCAGCATCCTCAAGCCTTACCTTCGCCTTCTTCCCGAACCGCTCCTTTAATGATGAAAACACATTCTGGGGCTTCAGGCTCCGCCCGGGCCAGTCCTTGCCCCTAATTCGATCGTAGAGGTCTTTTTTGGCGAACTTCGATTTGCCCATGGCATAAGGTAAATTGTCGAAGACGCCGCCGTCTCTATTCACCAAGCCTTGGGCTACGGTCAATGTTTGCACTTTCCCATACTCTTGGCCTTTTAACGCTTTCTCCATCGCGATCGCGGCGTCGGCACCGACGGGCACGGGCAGGGCTTCTACTTTTGTTCCTCCCGTTGCTGCGGGTGCCATAAAAATAGCAGCGCCACCGTCGTAGTCGCCCATGCCCAGCGCTCTACATGATACACACGTCTGCGTCGTCGGCCAGAGCTGCGTCGGCTCGAGCGCGCGCGCTGTGAGGGCGGTGATCAGGAGCCGTGCGGCCGGGCGTCGCATCGTGCGTAGCGGCTCGTCTGGTTTCTATTCGCCCCAACGCGGCGGCTGGCGTGGCTGGCTGGATGATCTGCTCAGCTGGTGTAAGTCGGACAGCTCTCGCACAGCTCAAAGATAGTGCGCCACGGTGCGAGCAGCATACAGGGATCCTGAAGCTCGCTCGTAAGCTGCTGTTGTGGCGCGAGTGCGAAGATAGCCGCAAGAGCAGGACACAAAAAGCTAGCGTACAATAAGACACTAGCAAGCTGCCAGCTGGTGCAATGCGGGGCCTAGCGCTGGCTATTTTGCACGTTACGCACGCCGACGACGCTGCATTAATTATTCAACAGCGTTACTGAACTCCCGTCAACTCGAAAATTGCATACAAGAGCTGTGCTCTCTCAACACTCAAGACTGCAACACAGCTGTGCTCTCTACCGCGGCGTGCGACCAGCTCACGATGATGCTCGCCCGCGGCGCAAGAGCGCTCAGCAGAAGCACAAAGAGCGGCGCAGTCAGAGCGCTCAGCACAAAGACAAAGCAACGCCTCGCCTTCGTCGCCCTCGGCAGCAACGTCGGCAACCGACAACAACAACTGTGCGCGGCGTGGCGGCGCGTACAAGAGACGCTCGGGAGAGTCGTCGCGACGAGCCCGCTCTACGAAACGGCGGCCGCTTATGTGGAGGACCAGCCGTCCTTCCTGAACGCCGTCGTCGCGGTGGAAACGACGCTGCCTCCGTTGCAAGCGCTCGCGAAGCTCAAGGCGGCGGAGCGCGATTTAGGACGCCAGGTGCGCTATCGGAACGGCCCGCGGGAGGTCGACCTGGACCTGCTTTATCTGGGAGACGAACGTGTAGAAGCAGATGCATTGACGCTGCCGCACCCGCGCATTCACGAGAGGGACTTTGTCTTGCGGCCGCTGCGGGCGTGTCGAGCCCAGATTGCTGCGGGAGAGTTTGGTATGGTCGATGCCGCACTCAGACGAAGGTTTGGTGAAGACTATTTGGGTAACGACGTCGACGGCGAGGAGCGACGCGTGTGGTCGTCGCTGGGCGCTATGGTAGAGACGGGCAACAAGACGGGTGTCATGGGCGTCCTGAACTGCACTCCGGATTCGTTTAGTGATGGTGGTGTGAATGCTGACGTCGATGCGGCTCTCAGAAGTGCCGAGGCCATGGTGACGCATGGTGTCGATTACCTGGACGTGGGCGGCGAGTCGACGCGGCCCGGTTCGAGTCCACCGTCCTTAAATGAGGAACTGGACCGCGTCCTGCCGCTCGTGGAGCGCCTCTCCACTACGTTCGATGTGCCTATTTCTGTCGACACCCGTCGATCAGAAGTCGCGTTGGCTGCTAGGGATGCGGGAGCCGCATGTACGAATGATGTAAGTGGAGGGGCCTACGACGCGGACATGTTGCAAACGCTCGCGGACGATGAGCAGCAAAGAGGTGTGGTACTGATGCACATGCGCGGCGAGCCGGGCACGATGAATAGTTTAGCGTCGTACGAGGACGTCGTGGCCGAGGTTTCTGTTGAACTGCAAGAGCGTGTTAATGCGGCATTTGCAGCAGGCATTGCGCCGTGGCGCGTCGTCGTCGACCCCGGGATCGGCTTCGCGAAAAATACGGAACACAACGTGGCTCTGTTGAGGGATTTGGCTCAATTCAAGCGAAACTTGGGCGGTCTCCCTCTACTGATTGGAGCATCTAGGAAACGGTTCCTCGGCGACCTCACGGGCGAGGCCGACGCTTCAAAAAGGGACGCGGCGACGGCCGGCGCCTGCGTCGCCTGCGTCCCGCACGCCGACGTCGTCCGCGTCCACGACGTCCGCACGGCCGTCCAGGCTCTGAAAGTTGCGGACGCTATCCTTAGGTAATGTGTTGTTATACGGGTCTAGCATACACAAAGTACTGCCCGGACGTGTCCTTGGCGATGCGCACGTCGTCGTCGAGGTACACCTGCTCCACGGCGCACGTCGGCGGCAGGCCTCGATTCCAGGGCAGGAGCTTCCAGACGGCGCCTACTGGCACTTTCACATCCCAGATCCATTCTCCGAGCCCGCTCAAGCCCTCGACGGGCTTCGCGGTCGTGTATTCGACCTCGAGGTTCAACGCGTTATCATTGATGTTCATTTTGGAAGCGGTGACGACGCAGCCCCCAAAGGTCGGCAGGAGCTTCCAGAAGCCGATGATCGGGATGGCGGTCAGCGAGAAGATCTGCGTGTCGAACTCGCTGTATAACATATTGTTCTCGGGGTCGATCGTCTGCGCCACCCGTCCGATCTTCGACGCGCCCCAGCTCATAGTCTGCAATTCGTGGAGCTTGAAGAACAGCTCCGCTTTATCAGGCTTGCCCACGTTCGCGTACGAGTCGTAGATGGCCTCGAAGAACGGGCTGCTGCGGAAGATGCCGTGGGGCACGCTCGAAAAGACGAGCTCCCACCGGCCTCGGAGCTTTTCTGGAGATACGTCCGGCACGCCGCCCTTCTCACACAGCGCCTCGACCGCGGCCACCGCTCTGTCCATCCGATCCTTGTACTGCTCGCCCGTCGTCGGGTTAAATCCTTGCCCGCGGTCGAGAGTGGCGCCGTAGTGGAAGATGGCAGCCTTTAACTTGCTAATATCGTCACCGAAGGTTTTACCGAAGGCCGGCGTCGGGATTCTTTCTACTTCTTCGAGTGTCGCTGCACGCAGTTTCGTCTGCATGGGCTGCAGCGGCGGGACCAAGGCATAGCACGTGGTTGAGAGCAAAAGGAGCTTCGCCATTGCGTACGGTACCTCTCTGCAGTGCAGATATGATAACTCTCTGCAAGCAGTGACGTATGAGAGCCCACAGCGACGAGCACGAGGCGCGAAAAAGTGATGACGGTGCTGATTATCTAGCGTCCTGTAAGACACTAGCACTCATCGCCTGCGAGCAAAAACGCGGTGTGCTACGTGCATAAGCGTACGCTGGTCATATCGACAGCGATTCCGAGCCCTGCGAACCACTGCGGCAGCGAAACTGTAACGAGCGAGACGCCAAAAAGCAACTGCAGCAGCTCTGCAGCCGCTGCACTGTGCTGCAGGAGAGAGCGATGAGCGCCTTCAAGCGCACGCGCCTGACGCCAGCGCCGCCCTCGACGACATTGCAACAAGCAGAAGCGAGCGAAGCGCGCTACTGGAGCAGAGTCAAGGCGGCCTTCTCCGTCGACTTTGCAAGTCCAGTAGTAGCCTGCGCCTTCGGCCCGGGCCTCGTCAGAGGCGCCGACGGCGCGCCGACACATAGACTCGCCGTGTGTGCTGGTTTAGATGTGAAAGTCCTATCGATACGAGCGGGCCGAGCCGTGGAGTCGGCAAAAAGTAGATCAGTAGGCAAATTGAAGGACGTCGCGCAGAGCGTCTCCTGGCGCCGGGACGGCCGCCTGCTCTGCGTCGGCGACGGGAAGGGTTCTGTACATGTGGTGGACGCCCAGACGGGCGCGACGCTGCGACGATTGACCAAGGGTCATGAGTTGTTATGTAGGGACGCCTGCTTTTTGCGAAGTAACGACGTCGTGTCCTGTAGCGACGACAAGTCCATCGTCGCGTGGGACTCGGTGACGGGCCAGCCCGTGAAGAGAATAAAGGATGCTCACGAGGACGTCGTCAAGTCGATCTGCGAAGTTGACGGTCTCGTGGCGTCGTGCGGCTACGATGGTTTGGCAAAATTATGGGACTTGAGGACCGGCGGGTCTGCTGTCAGGCAGTTTAATCATCGGGGCCAGTGTGAAGTTATCAAACAATGCGGTTCCTCACTGTTTGCGACCGCGGGCGGTAATGATATTTGCGTGTGGGACACTTCAAATGATAGGGCGCCGGTGCACCGGTTTAGGGACGCCCATGCTAGAAGTGTTGGAGCTTTGTGCGTCGATGCTGACGAAGATAGGTTGGTGACTGCTGGGTTGGATGGGCTGGTCAAGGTCCATTCATTACGGGACCACACGACCGTCGCGCGGGCGGCAGCTCGCTACGCGCACGAGTGCCTCTGTGTCGCCGTCGCGCCGGAGAATAGAGTACTAGTGGTGGGTACCGCTAGAGGGTTATTGGACGTGCGCGCGCGGGAAGAGAAGAAACACAAGGACCGGAAAAAGACCTTGCAACCGCCCGGAGGCACGTTTAGGCACTTCAATAGAGGACAGGGCTTCGCGCCGGGGTCCTCGATCAAGAATCTCGTTGTTGTTGGTAGTAACAAGACGGAGCATAAGCGCCTGGCGCCGCACGACGAAGCCTTGCGGAAGTTTCGGTACGGGGATGCGTTGGATGAGGCCCTGCGGACTAGGGATCCTATAATAGTGGTCTCCGTGCTCGACGAGTTGGAGCGACGCGGCGGCCGGCGGAACGCGTTGCAGCGACGTGATGAAAAAAGATTGGAGCCCGTGCTGGCGTTCGTCGCGGCGCACGTGGCGCACCCGCGCTACGCCGAGTCGCTGACGGGCGTCGCGGCGCAATTGGCGGACTTGTACGGCGACGCGCTCGGCGCGCATCCGGCTTTGGACGAACTGTTCGCGAAGATTTCCCAGAACATCGCGTCGGAGGCGTCCTCGCAGAAGGCGCTGCTCGGGCTGTCCGGGGCCGTCGGCGTGTTGTTGGCGGAGAACGACGCGCGGTCTTTACGGCTGGAGCGGGCGAGGGAGGAGGTCGCGCCGGTGGACGATGAGGGATAAGTAGAGATGATGAAATGCTTAGAGTAGGCCGCCTTAGCCACCCGGTAGTTCTTTTATGCACTCGTCGACGGCGTTTCGCGGGCGCGGAGCGCGGCTCGCGCACGTGGCAGTTCGGCCTCCATCCCTTTCGTGAGCGGGTGCGCGCCGCCGAACACGCGCCGCGCGATCCGATCTGCGTCTTCGAGCTCATTCACAGCCTCGCGGATATGCTCAAGCGTGGCGTCGTCGTCTCGGTAGAGCGCCCCCGCGTAAATAAGCCTCATCGTGAGAGTGATTGAGTGACTCTCACCTAGAACGCGTCGCGCCACGGGCATCAATGTGCGCACCCGTGATTTGGCTTCTTCGTGGCGCTGTGCATGTACAAGGTTCCTCGCGCAGTTGTTGGCCGCTCGGAGGGTTCGTTCATGTTCTTCGCCGTAGAGCTTCAAACAGCCACAGTGTACGTCTTTTAGTATACGCAGGGCGTCTTCAAACCGCCCAAGCTGCTCATACGTTATCGCAATATGGCCCTGGACGATGAGTATGTGTCGTTCTGTGATACCAAAGCGTCGTGACGCAGACAACTCGGCATCTCTCACGGACAATGCGTCCTCGTGTTGTCCTACAAGGGCTAACCCGTTCCCAAGCACGCTCATCGCCATTATCCGAACCCCGTCATCCTCCGGCCGCCCCAAGTACGTCTTCCAACACGCCCACCCGAGCGCGCACTTAACGGGGCCGTGGTACATTTGCTCGCACAGGCCGCACCTATCCCACCGCTGCCATCTCGCATTCTGCGTCTTAAGATCCAAATTGTTCTCCTCGGCCTCCGCGAGCAAAATCTTCGCCTGCTCCGCCAAGCACGACACGTGCGCAAATCCCGCCGTCCCGCGGCACGCGCACATGCGCACCAGTCCCTCCTTTGTCTTCCAGTGGAGCGCCTGCGTGCAGATGTAGCACGTCTGGCCCTTTGTGTCGGCCGCGCACGCCTCGACCGCGACCGCGACGGCCTCCTTGTATTTTTTTTCGGCGTAGTATTGCTCAGCGTTGCCGCCGCGGTGAATCCGTTTACAAATCTGCTTGTGGCCGCGGCGCCAGTGGTCCATCTGGCAAGTTTTGTTACAGTATCTTGTGTGACAGCGTACGCATCGCGGCGCGTTGTGGGCCAGTGGGGCGGCGCAGGCGGCGCAAGTTGTGAGGATCATTTTGCGTTGGCGGGGCGTCTGTAGAGCGTTCGCGTCGCGCGTTTTTGGTGGGTTGAAAAAATCGGGTTTGCCAAGCCGACTCAAGGCAAACCGCAATAACTCACCGCAAAACGCAAGATGATCCTCACAAATTGCGCCGCCTGCGCTGCCCCACTGGCCCACAACGCGCCGCGTTGCGTTAGATGTTGGACCCGCTATTGTGATGCCACTTGCCAGCATGACCACTGGCGCCGCGGTCACAAGCAGATGTGTAAGAAAATACACCGCGGTGGCAACGCAGAGCAATATAACGCCGACAAAAAATACAAGGAGGCCGTCGCGGTCGCGGTCGCGAAATGCGCCGAGGACACGAAGGGGCAGACGTGCTACATCTGCACGCAGGCCCTCCATTGGAAGACGAAGGAAGGCCTCGTGCGTGGGTGCGCGTGCCGCGGGACGGCGGGGTTTGCGCACGTGTCGTGTCTGGCGGAGCAGGCGAAGATTTTGCTCGCGGAGGCCGAGGAGAACAATTTGGACGAAAAGGCATTGCAGGAGCGGTGGACGCGGTGGCACGCGTGTAGCCTGTGCGAGCAGGACTACCACGGAGTCGTGGCGTGTGCGCTCGGGTGGGCGTGCTGGAAGACGTACGTGGGCCGGCCGGAGGCAGACCAGCTTCGGGGATGCGCGATGAACCAACTTGGGAACGGTTTATCCGAGACAGACCAACACAAGGACGCGTTGTCCGTGCGAGAGACCGAGTTGGCTATGCGGCGACGCCTTGGCTCGCCAGAACAGCAGATTCTCGCCTTGCAGAACAATCTTGCGAACTCGTATGAAGCGCTTGGACGAGACGAATCGGCCATGAGTCTGCGGAAGGGCGTATACTCTGCATTTCTGAAGCTATACGGCGAAGAACATAGAAGCACCCTCTTAGAAGCCGACAACTACGCTATGTCCCTGCTTAATCTAGAGCGCGTCGAAGAAGCCAAGTCACTGTTGTTGCAAATAATGCCTGTGGCGCGACGCGTTCTCGGAGATAACGATGAGATCACGCTCAAAATGAGGCGGAATTACGCGCAGACGCTGTACATGGACGACAGCGCCACACTCGACGATCTCCGCGAGGCAGTGACGACGATCGAGGAATTGGAACGGATCGCCCGGCGCGTTTTTGGTGGCGCGCACCCTCTCGTAGTTGGGATTGAGGGCGAGTTGCGAAATTCACGAACAGTGCTTCGCGCCCGCGAAGACGGGAAAGAAGTTCAATTCGTAAAACATTAACTTACCACTATTCCCGCGCCCCGGCCCCATTGCTCTCGCCCGCGGAGAGCGGCGGCAACGAAAGAGACGGGTCCTCGGCGAAGCGCGCCAGGAACGAGGACACGTCGCCGAGCGCGTCGAGGATCGTCGGCCGAGCGTACAAGCTATCGTTGAAGTAGCACACGAGTTTGAGCGCCCCGTCGCCCTGCACGAGGGCCATGAGGTACACGGCGCCGATATTGAACGTCTTTTGAGACAAAGAAGACGAGTCCAGCGATAGTTCGGTCGCGCGCCGGATGCCGGACCACTGGGGCACGTCCCCGTAGCGGTCGTACCAGTTGTACTGGGCCGGTAGCGGCGCCTCTCGACCATTCGTGCAGGCCACGTAATCGTCGGCGTAGGGCGTCGGGTGCGCCAAAGCCTCGAGGACCGCGCGGTGCACCGACTCCGAAAAGGCGCCGACCGTCGGCTGTGGAGATAAATCATCGAGCAGCACGTTGGCGTCGGTGGCGAGCTGGCCGTAGGTGCGCCGATCAGCTTTCGTGCGGCCGGGGTGCGAGTACTGCACGACCGACGCCTCGCCGCGCGACGCGCGGCCGAGGGCATGAGCGTAGGCCGCCAGCACGACGGACGGCAGCGACATGGAACGCGAAAGGTGGCGCTTTACATTATCTAAAATTTCCTTCGGTAGGACTTTGGCGATGGCGTTACGTAACAGAGAACCTGTCTCGAACAGGACGTCAGTCGTAGAAAGTTGGGGCCAGGCCGGCAAGCGCGCGCACCGTGCGTAGCGCCTTCTCCGCCCGTCATTCACATAATTAGATTGATCAGATAACCACGCCGCATAGGGCCGCTCCTCGTGGCCGAACGGCGCTTCGGAACCTTGTAGCCGCGCGTTGTAGGCTCGTACCAGCTCCCCATACAAGACCTGGTGCGACCAGCCGTCTGTAATAGCGTGGTTGCAGCTTAGATATAACACATGTTCATGTGAAGGTGTGGAGATTAATAAAGCGCGCAACAATGATGTTGACTCGTAGGGGTCGTTGCTTGTAGCGTCGTGGAACGCCTGCGCCATGCTCTTGGCCTCGTCCACCGTCGTAGCCGTTTTGATCATGAGTTTTGGCTTTTCGTCAACCCCAAACACGACGAGCGCCTTGTTGGCCCCCGGGACTTCCACCAAGCGAGACTGTAGCGCGTCGTGCGCGTCGACGACCTGGGAAAGGGCCCACTCCAGCGCCGCGACATTCAAAGACCCCTCGAGCAGGCCGACGGCCGTCGGTGGCAGCCAGGCGTAGCCCGGTTTGATGGAGCGCGTCCGCGCCCGCCGCAGCATCCACAGCAGCAGCTCCTGGTCTTTTGATGAAGGCGCGCAAGCTAATCTTCTTCCAGTGTCTTCTACGACCTCCTCCACTCGCTCTTCCACTACGTCGTCCTCCCCGAGAGCACTTACAATAGAATCGACGGTATCGCACTCGATCAACAGCGAGGGCGCGACGGCCCTCCCTAGTCTTCGAGACAGGTCCGCGACGAATTCCGCGCCGGCCAAGGAGTCCATGCCCAGATCCGATAGAGACGCCGTCTCGTCAATATCGTCGACACCAAGGGCGTCGCGCGCCGCTCTTGACACGGCCTCGCGCGTCGACGTCGCCGATGTCGCCTTCTTCACGGTTGTTGGAGCCTTCGTCGGCACGACGAGCGCCGGCGTCGCCAGCGCTACACATCGCGGCACACTGCAACGCAGCGCGAGGCGCACGACCGCTTCGGCGCCGATGGACGGCCCGCGCCACAATATACAAGCGACGTCGGCGCCGCGCGTTTGTTGTGACAAAGCTGCACACTGCGCAAAAGCTTTTGACGAACGACTCACAACGCGGACCCACGCGCCTCGTACAAAGACCACATCAGCGTTTGGTATGGGGCTTTCGTCCCACACCGAACCGCCCGCTTTCAGTGCAGCGTCTCTGAGTGAGACCGGCGCGTGCTTGGAGACGTAGACGGCGAACGTTGATGGAGCGCGCGCCGCCGTCTCCGTTTCACATAGAGACGCGGCGCGGACGTTTGTACATTTCGCGCAGGCCAGGGCGAGGTCCCTCGGGTCGTGGGCACCTGCTAGTAAAGCACTCTTGCCGGTCAAGGCCACGCAGGCCACGGCGAGGGGCGGGCCTCTTTCATCACTTAGCCGCGCCCAGGCGTCTTCTGTAGAAGCCAGCGCGAGCGCGACCTCTGGTGACGAAGTGCGGACACTTGCCGTAGTGTAGCGCGGGCGGCCGGTACGATTCGCGGGGAGTGAGCGAGGCAGATCCTTTATAATGCTGACGGCGTCGTCCCCTTCCATAGTTTGTATCGCATGAGAGCGCAGCGCGTAGAGCTTAACGTCTTGGAGAGAAGACGGTCCCGTCTCGACGGGAACAGAACACAAACCGCGCAGCTCGAGCACATCGGAGACGGACGCGTCGCACACACCAATATCGGCGCGCCGCGCCGTCGTCCGCACGGAGGCCCAGGCCGGCCCGCTTCCACTGGAGGAGACGACGAGGTCGCAGGACGCCGGCTCCCACCAGCGCCTCCCACCGACGTCCTCGCGCCGCCTTACCAGACACGCGAGCTGGCGGCACGCCTCGAAGGCGTCTTTGCTAGAACACGCTCCTATTCCACCCCTTGATGAGACCCACGCCCGCGCTATCACTTCAGAGCCGACGACGTTCGACGGCGCGGCCGTCGCCTCTTTGAGTTCAGTGTAGAAATCAGAGACCTCCCCCAACGTTGCTGGAGGCGGCGGGCGGAATTGTTCAACTTCATCCGTACACCGCGTCGCCGTTAAGAGTATGTCGGATGCATCACGTACAGTTATCAGATCGCCGTCGACCACCACGGAGAAAGGACCCTTACCGTTTTTGTGGAACGTCACATCTCTTAGTGAAGGGCTCTCATGTAAGGCCGCGTCGAGGGCGCTCGTATAGGAATTACGATGGTGAGGCGGCACGTTCGCCAGAGGCCGGTCGTCCGCGAAGCGCTTTCGAGGTTCAGACAATTCCAGCTTACCACTTAACACGGCGTGGGCGATGATGCCCGAGTAGCCGAAGCTCGACACGCCGACACAACCTTTCTCAGATAGAGTGGCCTCCGTCGGCAGGGCGATCGTCCCGACTCTGACGACGGGATTCAGCCGTCGCAACGCGCCGTTCGGCTTTATACTTGATAAGGAGAGCATCGCACTTAACAAGCCAGCAGCGCCGGCGTTCGGCTCGCCGTGGCCCAAACAGGCCTTGGCACCTGATACACATACCCTATCCAATAAAGATAACGCGGATACCTCGATGGGGTCGCCTAGCCTCGTACCCGTGCCGTGGGCCTCGACGCTCGTCACAGAAGTACCTCGTAACGCTCGTCGGAGTAAATCTTTCTGGGACGAGGCGTTCAACGCAGTGAAGGTCGCGGATTGGCCGTTATGCATCACAGCAGACCCGCGCCATTTTATTGAGGTATCTTTCTCGAGGAGTAATAACGCGCAGCCCTCGCCCCGCAAATAGCCGTCCGCATTCCTATCGAACGTGTGACATCTACCTGAAGGAGACAGCATGCCCGCCCGCGCGGCGCCGCAGTGGACCAAGCCTGGCGCTAACATCAGTGAGACACCTCCTACCACACATGTAGAGCAGTCGTTCCGTCGCACAGCATCATGACCTAAGCGCGCGGCAACTAACGCGCCGCTACATGCGGTATCGACGACTAATGCGGGACCCCGCAGATCCAACAGAAACGATAATCTAGAAGCACAGGACGCATACCCATTACCCGTGAGCTGGTGCGGCCCCGCGTGGCACGGTTCGATCCCATACACGTTATCGGCGCTCATCATACCCAACATGACGCCTACTTGTGAACCTCTCAATTCTTCTCGTGTAGCGTAGCGGTTCCGCAGCAACTCGTGGCCCTGCCTCAAGAGGAGCTTCTGCTGCGGGTCTAACGCAGTAGCTTCGGCAGGCCTCAAGCCCCACGTTTTCGGGTCGAAGCCGTCACTCCCTAGACAAAAAGCGCCGTACCTCGCTCGTGAACGTGCGTCATTATCGGCACCACTCGCGGATAATTGAGCATCAGTGACGCGCCAGTCCCACCTACTACAAGGTATGGTAGTGCCGCACCGCACTTTGTTGTTTAAAATCGAATCAAGTTCTTCCAGCGCATCGCAGGCGCCCGGCAACCGCAAGGACCAGCCCACCACACCGACGTCGTCGCCGTCACTCTCTTGGACAACAGGAGGCGCCATGATCGTAGAGCCACCTCTCAACCCGACGACCTCGTGCGCGAGCGCGCGCACGGTCGGGCACGAAAAGACTACCGTCGGGGGCAGATCCACATCCAACGCTACTTCCACCTGCCTGAGCAGCTCGACCATCTGCCTTGATGATAATCCAAGTTCGTGGAAGGCCGTGGTGGCGGTAACCGTACCCTTGGCCACCTTGCGCAGTTCACTTAGTAATGTCTGTTCTATTTCAGAGACGTCGTCTCGCTCACTGAACGAACGCGGCCGCGGTTCGTCCTCCAAGGCTACGAGTGACGCCGTCGAGTTGCACCTTGACATTGTTTCCTCCTCTTCTACAGGTGTCTGAGAACCGAGCGACCAGGGGAAGGCCTGCTTCAGGGCACTCAATGCATTTGTTAACAGAGACCCTTCGACAGCGATCAAGCCTGCCGAGTCGTAGAGCACGCGTAGTTTTTTTTCATCAACTAATCTACGCGTCTGCCGTCGCTGCACCTTGCCGGACGTCGTCTTCGGTATACTTCGCTCCGGAATGATGATGACGCGGTGGGGCTGCAGTCCTGACGATATGCCGACCGTCCGGACCACCTTGTCGGACAGAGCAGCAAAATCCAACTGGTCAGTAGCCTTCTTCCTGACCTCGAACACACAGACCACTTGCTCCTCGTCTTTTGTACTGGAAGCAAAGGCGGCCACGCAGCCCGGCCGGATGGCGACTCTATCCGCTTCTTGCGCGGCCACCTCAATATCTTCAGGATAGTAGTTCTTGCCTCCAACAATAATGAGATCTTTCAACCTACCAGTGATGTAGAGTTTCCCTTCCTCCAGGAAGCCCTCGTCGCCCGTCCGCAAGTATCTCGACTTACTCTCGGAGCCGTCGTCCAGTACTCTCCTGGCATGAAATGTCTCGCGCGATAAGTCGGGCTTGCCCCAGTAGCCCGCCGCCACGCTTCGCGACGAGATCCAGATCTCGCCCCGTGATGAATCTTTTCGGGAAATGGGATCCACAATTCGCAAGTCGCACTGAAAGTTTTCTCCGCAGCACGCGAGGTCCGGTCTTTGTTGAGAGAGAATAACACCTCTAGCACACCCACACGTCCCCACGACGTGTTCCGCTAACCCGTAGTTCGGCACCCAGACGTCACTCCGTAAACCTCTACTCGTAAAGGCTTCGACAAAGCGTTCAAGCTGATGAGGTCTACATCTTTCACCGGCGCCGCACGCGAGTTGCACGACTCTACCGAGGTCGATGTTGACTTCACTACTTTCAGCTAGTCTTCGCACGCATAACTCGTAGGCAAAGTCCGGGGCGGCGCTCCATCGAGCCCCATACCTTGTGAGTGCTTCTAACCACAACAACGGCTTCTTCAGAAAGGTCAAGGGCGAGAAGTTGACCATCCTATAACCCGCCACGAACGGTCCGACGATGCACAGTATCAACCCCGTGTCGTGGAACTGCGGGAGCCAGCTCACGCCGACGATCCGCTCTCGGCTCAAGTCCACTCCTCGACTCTCGAAATGCTGGGCCTGGGCCGGCAGGTACATCTCGTTGAGGTTGTGCCAGACCTGTGTTTTTGCGTGTGTGGTTGTGTATGTGTGAATCTCAGGCGTGGTGCGACCGCGCCCGCGCGTCGCGGCGATGGCGTTCTCATCCTCCCTCCGCGCCATCGCGGCGTCTCGTTGCGTGCGCGCGACTCGCGTCGTGCTCTCGACGACGAGCGCCGGCGCCATCGACGTGAAGCATCGTGTCGGACGCCGCTCTCTACATTCGCGAACGTGAGCATGACGCCCTTGGGGTCCCCCGTGCTGCCCGACGTGTACTGGAGGAAGGCGACGCTGTCGTCGTCCAACGGGGCGTCATTTTCACCTTTGTTGACTTTCAGCTCTCGGTCCGTACTCTTCCAGACTAACCCCGCGGGCCATCTATGAGTCAAGGATAGTGCGCGCCGCATGGAGTCCAATGCTTTTTCTGTTAAACAAAGAGATGCGCCGCAGGACTTCTTCACGAGATCCAATTTTTTCAGCCCTATTTGTAATTTCGAGGGGTCTGGTGGATAGGTAGGAACGGCCACACATCGCAACCGCAAACAAGCCCAAAAGGCCTCGACGAACGCTAGTCCCGGCAGATAGCATAACAAGACGCGGTCGCCGGTCTCGACGCCCCAGTCGTCCCTCATCTTCCGCGCGAGGCGTCTTGACCGCTCCCACAACTCGTCGAAGGATAGAGTTCGTTCTTCCTTCCCCTTATCGTCGAGCCAGGTCATGAAGGGCGCCGCGCCGTATCGTTGCACCGTCTGCCTCGTCTCCGTCAACAAATGAGTGTTGGCCGAGTGCGGGCGCCACCACGCCGGCGGCGCAAAGTCCACGTTCGCTTCGGACCGGTGGCTCGCCGCGCGGTAGGGGGCCTTGGACATGCTTGCTTGTTGTTTTTAGGTGTGCGGGCGCATCGCTATGCCGCTTGCGATGCAGCAATTGATTGCTGCTGCTGTCACCCTTTTTGCTACTGCTCCTCCAGCGCTGCTCAGTCTGCCAAGAACGAGTGCTGCTGTGCCAGAGCTGCTATTTGATATACTGCTGCTGCATGCAGCGTTTCAGAGACGCCTACGCACAGATGCAAGCGCCCACAGCCTGGGAAACTAGTGCATCATCACGCTAGCACGTCTGAGCAGGCGCTCCCCACTCCTCCTCGATGCGCCGCGAATGCGACCAGGCAGAACCGTCGCGCGAGAGGACGCGTCACGCGCAACCCGCACCCTGGAAAAAAATCGGTGGGCCAATCGACACACGCGCATTAGCGTGCCGAGCGGACGTGCAAGAGGCGTTTCGAAACGCGACGCAGCCGACGGCGCCGCCGCGACTTTGCTCGCAGCCCCGGGCTGCCCCCCGGCGCCACCATTGCCGAGCGCCCGGCCCTGAAAGACATCGGCGGCAGGATGTCTGAGACTGAAAACGGCGCCCCGAAGGCGCCCGACAAGGCCATGCAGCACGCTTTACTCAAAGAAAAACGCGCTCATGAAACCTGCGAACGGCTAAGGGCGCAGTGCAAGACGCAGGCGTCATTGATGTGCCGGCTCTTCGCTACGAAGTTGCAGGAACAACAAGCGATCTGCGCTCGAGCTATCTCAGCGCCGCCGGGAGAACGCGCACAAGTCCAAGCGGAAGCCGATGCCTTCGGCGCGTCGACGCGGTGGATCCTCGAGGAGGCCGCCGCTGCCGGTCTAGCTCAGGCTCGCGACAAGGAAGTAGAAGCTCTACGAGAGGAGAACGAGACGCTACGGAAGAAGGTTTCGGAGCTAGAGACGAAGTTAATAGATAACAACGCCATTATCATCGAACCGGAGGAGCCGCAATCATCGTTGCTCATGCGGCGGCTCGAAGATGAGAGGGATAAATGTCGGGACGAGGCTCGGGCAGCTAGAGGTAGAGTATTGGAGCTGGAAGGAGGCATGAACGCGCGGCAAGCGGTCGACGGCGAGGTCGCCGCGCTCAGGAGGGAGGTCGCGGCACTACGAGCGTCGTCGAATGGTCACACCGTCGACCCGGACGAGATCAAGCGCCTCAAGAAGGAACACAAGGCCGCTCTGAAGGCCGCGCTGCGCGACGGCGGTTCCTCATCGGAGCGCGAGAAGGAGGAGTTGATGGCGGCCATGGAGCGGGAAGTGGAGCAGGCGCGCTCGCGGCGTCCTTCACGCCCTCGACGCGACTCGTGGCCATCAGACGAGGTCGTGGGTGGTTTCTTTTTTGATTTTGAGCACACAGGTCGTCGGCGAGGAGCGCGCGCGCTTCGACAAGGAACGATCTCGGCTCGAGAAGGAGCTCCGGAGGGCGAAGAAGGGCTCGAAGGCCTCCGGTCAACAACTAGCTGTATTGCGAGACCAAGTCAGGGCCGCCAAGACGGAGATCCAAGCAGCTAAACAGGACGCGAAACGCATCCTGCAAGAGTTACCTCAGCTCGCGAAGCAGACCTGTCACTTATTAATGAAACAGTGCGGCAATATGGCCCACGAGGTCCAGGAGGCGAAACGGAAATACCACAAGGAGTTGGCTGAAAGAAAGCGATTACATAACCTGGTCCAGGAGCTGCGGGGCAACATCCGCGTCTACTGTCGCGTGCGACCGGTGTCGTCGAGAGAGCTGGAGAACGGCGGCGACGAGGGCTGCAGGCAATGCGTGCAATTCCCGGAGGACGGGATTTCGGTGGAAGTGCGAAGTGCGAAGAAGGAGAAGACCTTCGAGTACGACCAGGTCTTTGCCTGCGACTCGACGCAGGAAAAAGTTTACTCCGAGATCGCGGATTTGGTCGTGTCCGTGTTAGATGGCTACAACGTGTGTATCTTCGCGTACGGGCAGACCGGTCTTGTTTCGGCGTCCCGTTTTCTTGCCCATACGCCATCGACGCTCCCTCGACGCAGGCTCGGGCAAGACCTACACCATGAACGGCCCGCCCGAAAATAGAGGATGCAACCTCCGGGCCCTCCACGATTTGTTCGTCAAGTCCAAGGAACGACGTAGAGATCAGATCGAGGACGTCATCACGGTGTCGGTCCTCGAGATCTACAACGAGTCCATCCGAGATTTATTGAGGGACCCCTCGAAGGGCCTGAAGAAGCTCGAGGTGCGACGGGGCGAGCGGGGCAACTACGTCCCTGATTTGACGACGGTCGAGGTGCACGACGACGCCGAGGTGTTGGAATTGATGGACATGGCCGACTCCGTGCGCGCGGCCGCGTCCACGGACATGAACGAGCACTCTTCGCGTAGTCACATGCTGTTGAGTGTCCATGTCGATACTTTGCATAAATCTTCGGGCATGCGGACGTTCAGCAAGTTACACCTCGTGGACCTGGCCGGTTCGGAACGCATCAACAAGTCGAACGCCACGGGCCAAGCTTTGAAAGAGGCCCAGAACATCAACAAGTCTCTGAGTGCCTTAGGTGATGTCATCGCGGCGCGCGGGGCCGACCAGAAGCACGTCCCGTTCCGCAATTCGACACTCACACACTTACTGCAAGATAGTATCTCGCAGGACTCCAAAACGCTCATGTTCTGCTGCATCTCGCCCGTGACCTATAATGTGGACGAGACCTTCTGCACGCTCAACTTCGCCAGTCGTGTGGGCAACGTCGAGCTTGGGAAGGCTTCCAAACAAGTTGTTGGTGGGGGGAAGGCGCGGCGGTGATCTGGGTAAGTTTTTTCTGTTAAACCTCCTCGCCCACGGCTCCGCCCCCTTATATCCTTGGAAAGTCCCAAATTCCAGATTTTGTGAAAAATATCATATTTTTTTGCCCAGCCATGCCTCTGGACGACTCAGCAGTCGTCTCGGAGCGTTGTGGAGCGTTGGTGGATCGAAGACTGAGCTCCACCAAACGCGTCGAGGAGGTGGTGATTGAGCGTCGCCGCGCGCGAGGATTAGGTGCTCCTCGCCCGAGAACATGGTCGAGATGTCCCACGAGTCCTTGCGCTCCGTGTTCTTGCGCTCGCGCTGCTTGTAGTAGAGGCAGCAGAGCAAACAGATGAGGAAGGCCAGGATAGCACAGACGACGATGGCCACGATCTCGCCCGTCGAGAGCTTGTCGCTCTTCTTCTTCTTCTTGCTGCCGCGCGGGCGCACCTCGGTCGTCGGCACCGGCGTCGCGGTAGGAGCAGGAGAAGACGTCGGCGCGGGCGACGAGGACGGCGCCGGGCTCGACGAGGGCGCGGGCGACGCGGTCGGTGCCGGAGAGGACGTCGGCGCAGCAGTCATCGTCGGCGCCGTCGATGGCGCGGGCGACGACGTCGGCGCCGGGCTCGACGTGGGCACGGGCGTCGCCGTCGGCGCGGGCGAGGACGACGGCGCCGGGGAGGACGACGGCGCCGGCGACGACGACGGCGCCGGGCTGACCGTGGGCCGCGGGCCCGCGAAGTCCCAGAAGGGCGGGTTCGGCTGCACGTCCTCGTTCGGGCACTCGGCCTGCTCGTCGTCGGGCGTGCACTCGACGCCGTCTATGGTAATGTCGTCGGGCCAGGCCGCGTTGTAGAAGTTCGCCCAGTACAGGAGGCGCTCCTTGAAGGACCCGTCCGCGATGGCCTCGTCCATGGACTCGACGAGCGACGGCGGCACGTGGCCGACGCCGTCCAGGCACGCTTGGGCAGAAGTGAACCCGACCTCGCCGCAGGTCTTGAACGGGTCGCCCATTAAGATGGTGGACAGGACGCGGTGCGACGTCGGGTCCGCCTGCAATCTACGACGGGCGTCGACGGGCAGCAGCTCCGCGCGCACGACCTGGTCCGGCGACTCGACGATGGGAATCACATCAGCCATCGCGTTCTGCAGAATCAGCTTCGTCGTGTCGGCCTGGAACGTGCCGTCGGGGATGCCGTTCACGACGTACGAGAACGTGTGCTCCGTGTCGCGCCGCGCGCCCTCGCCCGTCGGCGCCTGTGTGATGCACGGTTTTGTGTCGACGCGTCGCGGCGATGGCGTCTCACCCTCCGAGCAACCTGTGGCTACGCGTCGGCCCTTGCTCGTTTAGAGCGCTATGGAGAAGCCAAGCCGTTGCTGAAAAAAGCAATACCCGTGGCGCAGCGTGTTCTCGGACCGTCGCATGAGACGACGTTTAGGATGAGGGGGTGTTACGCGGAGGCGTTCTACAGGGACCCCGACGCCACGCTCGACGATCTCCGCGAGGCCGTGACGACGTTCGAGGACGCGGCACGGATCGCCCGGCGCACGTTCGGTGGCGCGCACCCACTCACGGCGCGGATCGAGGGAGGTCTGCAAGCCGCGCGAGCAATGCTCCGCCTAAGAACTCAGTAAGAAAATTAATCCGCAGCCGACGCCCACGCCACGGCCCGCGCCAAGCCACCAACGACGTACTCCGCGAGGCCCGGCTCGCTTACCTCGTCCTGATGATGGTCGTGCGGCAGGTGCATCAGCTCCCAGGCCACGTCCACGGTGCCGTCTCCATTCAACGTCGTCTTCAGCAGTAAGGAAGACGTATAGACCACCGTCTTCGAGACCTGCTCGTGGAGCCGCGCCCAGCCGTGCTGGTGCACGTACGACCGCGACCGCTCCAAGAGCAACTCCGCAGCAACACCGAATTCCGGCTCCAGCACCCGATGCCGGAAGTGCGTGATGCCGTGGCAGCGCCACTCTGGTGGACCTTCATCCAAAAAACTTTTCACGGTGTCTACCACTTGTTCGTCGTACGAGAACGAGCCCGTCCACTCGTGCCGCGTGTCCGGATGTTGACGCCGGAAGCCCTCGAAGCGAAAGCGTAGTTCATCCCTCAAAGCGGCGCCGACGTCGTGACTCAAGTACAGCTCCACCGCGCTCTCCAATTCCCTTGCATCTAAGGGCGGCAGCGCAAACGTCGCGACGTCGCGGGCCCACCTGCGCGGGACGACAGCGTCGACGGCGTCGCCGCGTTTCACAAAGGACGCGGGGTCCCGGACCAGGCCGGCTCGGCGCCGCCCCACATCTTCCGCGCCTGCCGCGACGCGACGTGCGCGGCGTCGTTTGCACTCATGCCCGGTTCCAGAATGCCCGCGTCGGCCGAATCCGCCCCTGTATATAAGTCCGACGTGAAGATGATGGTCGCTTGCGACGTCGGTGCGGCAATATCACCGCTTCGTAACAAAGGCTGGGTCAGCGGCTCGAGAGCTCGCAGAGCTGATGGAGGGAGTCGGTTCACATCCTCCAACACCACAACGGCCCCGGGACACTCCGCGACCGCTGATGCAGCAGCTTTCACCGCTCCGCGAGCGTCACTAACAGCGTCCTTCTCCTCGGAGAACGATGCAAATTTCCACCAACTCACGCCGCACTGCGTCGGGTACGGCGCTGGGGCCGTGCCCCAGTAGGCATCTGCTAAATCGCCGGCCTGCCAGCCGAACAATGCTGCACTGAGTAGTCCTAGTAGTCCGCCGGCCACGGCTATTGGAGACGACACGACCGCCACCAAAGCACCCCAGGTCGACACCTTGGCGACCACGGCGCCCGTTGCGACGGAGGCGGCCGTCGCCGCACCGGCTCCGATCGTCGAATAGCCCGTGTACCGTCGCGATTCCTCGAATTTGGCAGTCGCTACCAATTGAGCCAGAAAACTCTTGCCGACGCCACTCGGGCCCGTGAAGTGCAGTCTCAAAGGCGCCGCGCGACCGGAGGAAGCTGCCGAGGCCTGCTGGCGGATCGCCGCCAGGACCGCCTGCTTCGTCCTGCGCCTTCCGGCGACGCGCTTGGCGAAGGCGTCCTCGAGGAGGTCGACGCTCTTTGCGTTCGGGACGGCGTTCGCGCAGCTGCAGCGTTGTTGGGCGGCGGCGAGCGTGGTGATGGCCGCGATCACTGCGAGGCGGAGCATCATGTTATCGATGCAGGCTGCCAGTGCAGCAGTCTATTGCAGCCTTTGGGTGACCTCCCTTCTCTGCAGCTGGTGGCTGTGGTTATTTGGAGCACGTATCGTGACTCCACCCGTGAAGGAGGCTGCGTACGGCGCAACGGAGCAATTTGGCTGCCTGCAAAACCCTGCACAGCCGAGCTCTGGCGCCTGTTACGCGCCAATGTATGGCACGCTGAACGCAAGCGATCGATAAAAGCGCTCAAATGTTGCTCATAACCAAGCTGTGGCCGCTGCTGCTCGCCCCGGCCCTGGCAGCCGCCAGGAGCAGCCCTGATTGTGGAGGCGCCGTCTCCAGTATAGCCGACGCGTCTCTAACAAAGTGGATCCAGGACACGGAGGCCAACGTGAGCACGGGCAGCTACCATGTTGTTTTGGGTGGCGACCGCGCCGCGCACGCGAACGCTCTGAAATGCGCCCTGCGGACCGCCGCGAAAGCAGCAGGAGCCCCACCAGCAGCCTTCTCTTCGATATTAACAATCGACTGCGAGGGCGACGACTGCGCCGACGCGAGCTGGGAATCCGTGGCGTCGTACCTCAAAAAAAGGAGAGGCAGGTACGGCGTCGTCGTCTTCCAAGAAAATGCACCATTGTGGCTCCTCAAGACGAGCGCGGCGTATTTTTGGGGTTCCACAAGATGCGGCCACGCGTCCATGGACGAGGTTTTTGACTGCTCAAAATTTGTTTGGGTGGTCTCGACAAATTTGGCTTCTAGTGCATTAGCGTCAGAAAGTGAAGCGGCGCTGGATGGCTCGAAATTAGATAAGAGGGTGCAGGACGAAGCGCGGCGGAAGTGGCCGTCTCGCATCGCCGGTTCACTCACACAGAAAGCCCAGAGGAGGGGCGTCTTCGTCCGAGGTGGCCTCGACGGGCCGGCGCCCTTCCTGCAACGCGTTTCTGCGTACTACAAGCAACATAAAAAGAAGAGGGATGCGTTGGATCATGTGGCCGGTCAAACGGAAGCGGTGGATGCCGTGAGACGAGCTGTGGCCTTGGCCAAGGCTCGGACATCACAAAAAGTCGTCCACGCGCCTCCGACGTCATTTTACTTGTATGGCGCCCCCGGGACGGGCAAGACGAGACTAGCGGAAGCCGCCGCCGAAGCGCTGGGCTATCCGCTCCACAGACTGGCGATGGAGTCCTATGCCAGTGTCGAGGACGCGAACGCGTTGTTTGGAGCGCCACCAGGACTGCAGCAGGGCGTTTGTCTGGTGGATTTGTTGGTGGACACGCCCCGAAGTGTCGTCGTCTTCGACGAGGTCGAAAAAGCACATCCCTCACTCTTCAGAGAGAAATTACATTCAGCGTTGAGCTCGGGCACGATGACGCATAAAAGAGATCATACGAAAGTAGCGTCGCTGTCGGAAACGTTCTTCTTCTTCACGTCGAACTGCTTCGAGGATGCCGTTGTACAAGCGTGGAACGACGGCGCGAATGTGAGAGACGTTCTATCTATTGCTATCAATGATGCTCCGCGGATTCCTTGCTCGTCTACGCGCCAGAACCCCTTCGAGGACGCGTCGTTACGCTCAAGGTTGGGGAGATCCAGGCAATACCCGTTCGCGCCGCTCGATCGTTCAAGTATGGCCGTCGCCGTCGATAGTGCGCTGGAGCGAGCAGCTTTGAGATTTCATGTGGATGATATACTCGCGTGGTCGCCAGAACTCTCAAATGACTACGCGTCCCGCTTTTGGGGAGACGCGCGCGCGGCGGCCCAGGCTTGCACCGACGACTTGGAGGCGGCGCTCCATGCCGCGGGGCCGCGGCCGCGGAAGACGACGGGCGCCGTCTTCCACCTGAAGCCTGGTGCCGGTCCTTGGACGGCGGACGACGTGTCTGGTACCGAGGGTGGTGTCGGTTTAGCTTGGCTCTCTTCTGATAAGAGTACCACAACTTCGACGGTGGCGACGAAGAAGGCTCCGGCCGTGCCACGTCTGGCTACGAAAGTCGCGACGCCCGAGAAACGGGCGGCCGTGCAGACGCAGCCCGAGACGCAACCGGAGACACAGCTAGATGCGGCCTACGCGGCCTATGCCGTGGCGGCCGTCGTCGCCGCCGTCGCTTTACGCATGGTGTTGGTGGCGATGTATTCGGCCTTCTGGTACGTGGCCGCGTTTTCCGTTCTGGGATTCGTCGCGGCGGCGGTCGTGCTCGGGCCCCTCGAGGCGCTGGCCGTGGCCGTGGCCGTGGCCAAAGTCACTGCGAAGGTCGCCATGGGAGCGTGGCGGGGCCTGCGGCTGTTTCTGAGGGCCGGCGGCGTCGGGCCCGTTGTTGTTGCTTTGCTCGCTGGCGCCTATTCGACGCGTGCTTTGTTTCAGCACCGGAGACGGCCTGTGCAGACGGCGGACAAGGGGACGATGACGGAGCGCCGCAAGAACCGCTTCCGCGACGGGACGCCGTCGCCGCCGCCTTCTCGGGCGCGGTCGCAGTCGAGTCCTCCGCCTTCGCGTGTGGTGGAGGCGTAGTCTTTGTAAAGTTTTGTACCCTGGAAGTCATTGTTACGGTGCTAGGACTAGTGGGCGAGCCTTTTTTTTTGCTAGTGTCTTACTGCAGCTAGGTGCGCTGGCAAGCAAATTGCTTTTGCGTCGTTTTAGGCTGCGCTGCGGGCCACAGACGGCGTACAGGCACGTGAGCCGGCGCGCTTTGCCTACTGCAATTGCGCTACTGCTGTGATCGCATCAAATTCGCGCTGCGTGCCGTGTAGAGACACAGTGGATCGTTCCATCGAGTAGCCTCCTGAAAGCAGCATGGCGGAGAAAGAGAAAATGATCATCGACCTCTGCTTCAGCAGCGACGACGAGAAAGAAAAAGAGAAAGACACGGGCCCGATCGACCTCTGCTCGCCGGACGCTTCCGAGGACGAGGCGCCGGAGGCGGAGCCCGCCAGAGCGGAGGAGCCCGCCAGAGCGGAGGAGCCCGCCAGAGCGGAGGAGCCCGCCAGGGCGGCGGAGCCCTTTGCCAGGGCGGCGGAGCCCGCCAGACGGGACTCCGAATCCGTCAAACGCGAGGCGCCGCCCTCCGCGGGCCACATCATCTGCTACCTGAAATCCACCGGCAACGTTTATGAGCGCATCCCGCTGGACGCCAGCGCGGCGGCGACCGTCACCTTCGGGCGCGCGCTCTCGTCGGACGTGCGCATCGCGATCGCGCACTGCTCGCGCCATCACGCCGAGGTGCGCGTCGACCAGAACGCGCGCGTGTCGCTGGTCAATCTTGCCAAGGCCGCGAACTCGACGCTCCTCAACGCGCAGCCGCTCGCGCCCCAGGCCACGCGCGACGTGCGCGACGGCGACGTCTTCGAGATCTGCGGCCGGCGGTTCAAGTTTGAGGCGTCCGTCGCAGCGCCGTCGGCCAAGCGCGCGCGCGTCGACGATGACGATGAAGACGACGTGATGGAGGTCGCGCCGCCGCCCCCGGCGCCGCCGCCGCAAGCGCCGCCGACTGCTACTGGCGACGACGACGACGAAGAGGTGCAGATCACGCAGCACGCGGGCGCGCTCACGGACTTCCCGCATTCTCGCGAGCACTGCACGACGTTCCCGATCGCGGCGGACGCGTCGAAGCGGTGCGCGAACTGCTATTGTTATGTCTGCGACGCACCGGCGGCGAAGTGCACGCAGTGGGCCACGCACTGCGCTGCACGACACGGCGACCCGCGGTGGCGCGCCGAACGGGCGGCGCACGCGCGCGGCGAAACGCAGCAGGGCGCGCAGCAGTTGGCGGCGCGCGGCACGACGATGGCAGCGGTCACCGTCACGCCGGTCGCGCGCGGTAACAACGTCGAGGCCATCCTCGAGGCCGTGACGCGCGTCTACCCGGAGGAGGCGCAGGCTCCCGCGGGCTTCACGACCGGCATTACCCTCCGGCCGTACCAGCGACAATCGCTCGCGTTCATGCTGAACGTCGAGCGGCGCACGGGCGGCGAGCTGCCGACGCTCGGTGCCAAGGGCACGCGGGGCGGCTGGTTGTGTGACGAGGTCGGGATGGGCAAGACCGCGGTCGTCATCGCGACGTGCCTGGCAAATCGCGCGACGCACAGCCGCGGCAGCGAGACGCAGTGGGCCCAGATGCTGCGCTTGCTCATGCGGACTCCGGGTGGCCAGGCCCCCGGCTGGTCCGGGCCGCGGCTCCCGCTCAAGGCGACGCTCGTACTAACTAATGTGTCGCTCGTCGGGCAATGGGAAGACGAATTCAAGAAGTTCGCGCCGGGCCTGAGAGTGCAGCGCTTCTACGGAAGCGGGAAATTTACGAAACGAGGGATTGGGGACTGGCGAGACGTCGACGTCCTGATCTCGACGTTCACGACTGTGTGGAAATCAAATTTGGGGCGCGCCACGCCCGTACTAACCTAACTCACTGGTTGATTTCCACACAGGTTCACGACGCCGTTCTACACCGCCAACAGATTCGGAAACGCGCTCATCGCCGGAGCGCAGTTTCACCGCATCGTCATCGACGAGTGCCACCTCGCGAGGACGCACACGCGAATCCACGAGCTCCGGGCGACGCACAAGTGGGCCGTTACCGGCACTCCCATGAGCAAGAGCGTCTACGATCTGATGACCCAAGCGAGCATCATCGACCAGCCAACGCAGGAGCTCTCTGGTCTGATGCGGGACACCAGTATGCACCATCGCGGCGCGCGGGACAAGCTCGTCGCCGCCCTGCGGAGAGTTATTATAAGACACACGAAAGCTCAGCGCATCGGCGGCGCCGCGGCCCTGTCTTTGCCGGACGAGGTCGTGTCCACGGTCCTGCTCGACCAGACTACCGCCGAGCAGCAGATGTACCGGGCAGCTTTCGCCCAGAGCGCGTACCGCCGCCGGAACCCGCCGACGCAACCCTTCGGTCTATCGATGGCTCTTACCCGGCACCGGCAGGCGTGCCAGCAGTCGCGCGTGAAGCGCGAGGCGCTCTTCGCGGACCTGCGGTCGCGCGGCGCGAGCGGCGGCTGCCGCGCGGTCATCTTCACGGAGTTCCGGGACGTGCACACGGAGGTCGTCGCGCAGCTGCGCGCGCGGTACCCGAGCTGGACGATCTTCGAGTTCAGCGGGAGCACGGGCGCGTCGTCGCGGCACACGGCCATCCGCAAGTTCCAGGCGTCGGACCACGGCAACAAGGTCTTTGTGATTACAATGCGCGCGGGCAACGTCGGCATAACGCTGACGGCGGCGGACGTCGTGTACCTTCTCGGCCCCTGTGTCGACCCGGGCGACGAGGTGCAGGCCGCGGGCCGCATCCACCGCCTCGGCCAGACGCGGCGCGTGCTCCTCAAGAAGTTCATCATGAAGGGTACCGTCGAGGAGGCCATCGAGGAGTTCCACTCGAAGCTGAAGACGGGCGTGTTCAAGTTCTCGAGCGGCTCCATGCCGAAGGCGGCCGCGCTGCTGCTCTGTAGCAAGTAGTGCACATACTAAGTTCGATCAAGTTGGTTCTAGACACTTATGATTACAGGGAATACAAGGGACCGGGCCGCCGTCAGACGTCCCAGAAGCCGGGCTGCGAGAAGAAGGCGCCCTCGACGACGTCCGGTTTTGGCCGCGCCTGGGCGTTCGTGGGCGACGTCGCGGGCGTCGTCGAAGTCGACGGCGTCGAGTCGCTGCGCGCCATGGAGGGCGACGCGGGCTGGGCCCAGTAGCTCTTCGTGGCGCGGCGGTGGAGCTTGAGGTAGTCCTTGTGGACCGCGTCGAGCGCGCGCAGCGTCGGGTTCGCCGGCTGGGCGTCCTCATTCAGCCGCGCGGGCTCGGAGAGGCTCTTCTGGAAGGCGATGACGGACTGGAGGTCCATGGTCTCGTCGGGGCCGGCCGCCGCGTCTCGCGGGCAGCCCGCCTGTTTCTGCCTTGGAGGCGCCGGGCGCGCCGCGGGCGTGGGGACGCGTCGGCGGGGGCAGCCCGCGAGGTCGTCGGAGCGATCGACACAGTGCGTTGAGCCGTGAAGCCCGCGCGCGCGGCCCTCTCCTGTGTCGCGTGCGCGTGTCTCAAATCGCCTCTCCCGGGTTCCGAGAGTGTCGCAGCTTTTTTGTATGCGTCCGTCGCGTCGTAGTCGTCTTGCGCAGGACTCGTAGCGCTCGGGGACTGCTAGAAAAAAACTCTAGAGTCTCTCTAGCTCTAGCTCTGCCTGGGGGTCCCTGGCATCTCGGCAGCGGAGCGAGCTTGCTTGCATATTTCTTTGCACTGCGTGCAAGCTACCAGTCCACACGCGCTGCATCGCTGCCGCAACAAAACCGTGCTGCAAGTTTCACGCCGTAGCGTACAACAATACAAGCAACAAACCATGCCAGCCCAGCGCCGCCGCCGCGGCGCCCGCCTGATCACGTCCTGCGCCACCGTAACATTAACGTTTGTAGCTCTGCTGGCCTTCTACCAGCTCGAGCCGTTACAAGTCGAAACCACAGTAAGCCAGCCTCAAATCCCAAAGCACCAGCTCCGACCACCAGCAAGAGTAGCACGGCACGTCGACCGCCAGGTCCCACCGAAAGCTCAAAAGCACTTCTACTCCCAGCCTTCGTCCTCACACACGGCCGCCGCTCTGACCAAGCGAGGCTGGCGCCAGACCAAAAACCCCGAAGAGGCCGAGGTACTGTGGTACCAGCGCAAGCAATTGATAGATTGGGGCCATGTCCAGAAGTGGCAGCTCGTGAACCATGTCCGACGGGAGCGAGATATCGGGCACAAGCGCAACCTGGCGCGAAGGCTGCAGGGCACGGCTGCGGCGCGGTGGGTGCCCGAGACGTATGACCTGTCTGATAAGGTACAAGCAGCCAATTTCGCGAAGGTCGCCCTGGAGGAAGAGCCATCAAGTGCCATCAAGTGGTTGGTGAAGCGGCCGGGCACGGACGGGGGGAAAGGTATCGAGTTAGTGCAGAACGCTAGGGATGTGTTAGATGGTACTTCTGTGAAAAGATCAATGAAAGATAGATTAGCTCAAAGATACGTGTCTGATTTGCTACTGACCCCTGATGGCAGGAAGTTTGATCTGCGGGTCTACTGGGTCGTCGCGTCGTTTCGACCGGAGCTCGTCCTTTACGGAGGCGGTACTTTGCGGGTGTCGGCGTCGAACTTCACGGGTGGAGGCAAGGGCACTCACCTAACAAATGCGGCGCAGCAGCAGGGCGGCCATAGTTCCCATGACGAATCGACGCGAAGATCGATGCAAGAGCTGTGGGACCAACTTTCGTCGGAGAAACGAGAAGGATGGCCCGCTGACCCCGCGGCCTACGTCGACTGCCACATCCGCAAGACGATCCAAGACGTCTGGCGGGCCTACGAAAGTACCGAAAAGCATCTGCTCGAGCCGCGCGAGACGCACGACGCGTTTATTTTGCTGGGTTTGGACGTCATGATCGACGCCAACCTGAATGTGTACCTCTCGGAAGTGCAGAGCGGCTGCGGCCTGCCCACAAATACGAAGGCCGTGCGCGACGTCGTCCTGAAGCTCGTGCCCGACCTGCTGGACGTCGTGTTCGCCGTCAAGGACGCTTCGTATAACGAAAAGCCGCCCCACGCGGCGGCGATTGCTCTTGCTGAGGCTCGAGGCTTCGAGGTCCTCGCGAACGGCGGGGCGACGCCGGAGCCGCGCGCGTGTCGCGGGTTGTAGTTGTTTTTTGTGGTGAATAAGTTTCTATGTTGTGCATACGTAGTAATTCAAATGCGTTCCGGGGCTCTCTCATGAGTTCACCTCTCACTCCCCGATACTTTACTTTTGGAGTGCCGCTGCGCCCAGATCGTATCAGCCTCTCCGCCACCCGCCTCCCAAAAAAACCAGCGAACGCCTCGCCGCGTCCCACGACCCCGCCACACGCGCAACTGTCCCATCTCCACGCGCTGCGGGGAGTGGGAGCAATAAAAGAAAAGCAATCTGGGGGCAGCCCCTCTTCTCTGGCATCGACGCCGCCCCGCGAACCCGCCACTCATGAAGCTCGCCCTCCTCGCCCTCGCGGCCACCACGGCGCACGCCGCCTGCCCGAACTCGTGCAGCGGCCACGGCACGTGCGGCGCCGACGACACGTGCACGTGCTACCAGGACTGGGTCATGGGCGACCAGGACGGCGGCGACTGCTCGGACCGCCGCTGCCCCTACCAGGTCGCCTGGTCGGCCGGCCCCGACAAGACGGGCAACATCCACACGTACGCCGAGTGCGCCGGCGTCGGCGTCTGCGACCGCGGCTCGGGCGACTGCGAGTGCTTCGAGGGCTACGCGGGCCGCGGCTGCGGCCTCCAGACCTGCCCGAACGACTGCTCGGGCCACGGCAAGTGCGTCTACGCCGAGGACGTGACCTTCGGCACCGTCTACGGCGACTACGCCGGCGTCCCCGATGCCAACGGCAACATAGTTGCCAATGGCATCGGCGTCGGCGCCGCCAAGGTCCCCCAGATGCCCAACTGGGACTCGGGCAAGGTGCGCATGTGCGTCTGCGAGCCGGGCTACACGGACATCGACTGCTCGCGCCGCATGTGCCCCCAGGGCAACGACGTCATGGACGAGCGCAACAACCTGGACCAGGCGCGCAAGAACCAGACGCAGACCGTGACGCTCATCGGCGCCGGCGCGCTCGGCGACGGCATCGCGAAGGACGGCGCGACGCAGTGCGGCGCAGCTAGCGACGAGACCATCACCGACGCGTGCTTCGCCGACCTCTTCGACAAGTCGTTCGCCCTCACCTTCACGTCGAAGCTCAACCAGTCCTACACGACGAAGCCCATCATCGTCACGTCGATCGCGACGGCCGCCGTGCAGGGGCTGTATGACCTCGGAGCGATATCCGCGGCGACAAGGGATGATCTTCTTGCCATCGGAGCTGGCGTTCAGTACCTGGTTGACACCGGAGCCACGAGCCCATTCACTGGTCTCGCGTACCAACAGGTGGAAGCCGATTTATTCGTGGCCGCCGGCCGCGCCACCGCGCCGTTGACGACGTCGCTGGCCGTGAAGACGGCTCTGCACGAGCTCCCGAACTACGTCATCGATGACTGCGACGTGACCTGCACCTACGAATGGGCCGCGGGCGTCAGCACGTACTACCCGTCCGTGAAGTGCGAGGTCGAGTTCACCGGGTCGTCCGTCGCGGGCCCCCAGTACCTCCTGGAGGTCGAGGCCGACAAGTGCGGCTCCGGCTGCACGCCCCAGCTGTCGGACCCGGTCCAGCTCAAGTCCGCCTTGGTGGCCTCGACGGCGGCGGAATACTTCAAGGCACCTCCACCGACTGAGACGACTATTGCTACCGGTAATGCTGCTACTAATGGGGGTGCTGTTAGTGATACAGATATTGACGTGACTTTGAACACTGGCGGTCTTGGTGCGGTTGTTAATTCTTACATCCGGATCGGCAGCGAGGTTATGGTAGTGACTAACGTTGCTACTAACAAATTGACAGTAATCCGCGCTCAAGACGGCACGACGGCTGTTGCGCACGCCGATGGGGCGAAAGTATATCTCTTGGCCGAGTCAGAAGTCGATAACGGTGCTGGCTATACTGCTAGTGATACAACTATTGCGGTGGATCCGAACACTGGCGGTCTTGGTGCGGCTGCCAACGATTACATCCTAATCGGCAGCGAGGTCCTAAAGGTGACCGGCGTCTCTACTAACGATCTTACTGTACTCCGCGGTCAAGTCGGAACGACCGCGGCGACAATCGCCGACGGGACAAAAGTATATCTCCTGGGCAGCAGCGCCCCTCAACTAAGCGCGCACCCGGACATCCTCTCGAGCGTCAAGGAGACGGTCCAGGCCGACTACAACTCGTTCGAGTGCGGCCGCCGCGGCAAGTGCGACTACTCGTCCGGCGAGTGCGAGTGCTTCGAGGGCTACATGGGCGACCGCTGCCAGACCCAGACGGCGCTCATCTGAGCCGCCCCCTTCCGTCGACTTTTTTCCTATTTCCTATATTTCCTAGCTTACTAAAATGACACTAGATTATCAACAGAAATCCTCAGCTGAGCGGTGCTAGGCAGCGTGTCGTTTGCTTTTAGGCTCAGGCTAGTTACGTCGCGGGGTCCCCCGTACCCCTCCCGTTCCCCGCTCAGGCTCAGTTTTAATTGTTACGGTGCTAGGACTAGCGCTCAGTCTCAGGCTAATTACGCTCAGGCTCAGGCTAGTTACGTCGCAGGGTTCCCCGTTGCTAGTGTCTTACAGGCCGCTAGCTCTGCTTGCTCTCCGTGTCGTAAGCACTCGCGGAGCGGCCCTACGAAGCCTCACAGCTCTCGTAGAGACGGCTCCAGTATTCCTGCGACTGCGTATAGCGTGGCCGCAGCGGAACTGCAGCTTGCAGACCTGTGAGGCGAGCTGCAAGCTTTGCAGTGGCAGTGCACGTGGCCGTGCTGTCGCCACCGCCGCGCCTAGACGTGGCCGGTGCAGCCAATACGTGGCCGCCACAACGCTGCCGTAGCGCACGGCGGGCCGGAACAAGTGTCACTGCTAAGTCGTCGATGCGCCGACTCGTCACCGCGGTGCAGCTAGGGATGGCGGCGAGCCTCAGCGCCCAGCGCGCGCAACTGCTGGACAAGCTCAAGGCCACACCCGCCGGCGCGAGCATCTCCCAGGAATTCGCGCTGCGAGCCGAAGGGAAGGGCTCGCCGCACCGCGCGTCGTTGAAACGTATTTTTGACGAGCAAAAGCCGACACGGGTCACGTTCTACCGCGACAGCGCGGCCTGGTGCCCCTACTGCCAGAAGCTCTGGATGTTGTTGGAAGAGAAGCAGATTAATTACGACGTGCAGCTCATCAATATGAGGAGTTATGGGGAGAAGCCCCAGTCCTTCACAAGCAAGGTGCCCGGTGGCTTCTTACCGGCATTGGAGCTCGACGGCCAGATGTGGACCGAGTCCCTGGACATCATGGCCATGTTGGACGACACGTTTCCGGAGGTTCCTACGTTACCACCGCGCGACTCGGACGAGTTCCAACGAGCTAGAGCGTTGCTCCAGCTCGAACGGAAGTTATTTAGAGTATGGTGCGACTACGTGTTTCGCGGGGGCTGGGGTTCTAAAAGACAGTTCGAGTCGTGCCTCGACGAGGTCGACGGAGCCCTCGCGAAGACGAGTGGCCCGTGGTTCCTCGAGAGCGAGGGCCCGGGCATCGTGGACCTCCAATATGTCAGCCATGTGGAGCGGATGGCCGCGTCCGTGGCCTACTGGAAGGGCGACACGTTGCGGGGTGGGCGGTGGAAGCACATCGATGCTTGGTTCGAGGCCTTCGAGCAAAGGCCCTCGTACTCGGCGTCGAGGAGCGACTGGTACACGCACGCGAACGACATCCCGCCCCAGTACGGCAACGGCAGGACTCCGCGTCGATGGCGTCTTCCTGAGACCACGTCGCCTCGATCGACGCCATCGACGTGGCCGTCGGAGAGTCTATCGCGACGGCGTCGTCCCGCGCAGGCGTCGACGACGGCTCGAAGGAGCAGCAGACTATTCGACGGGCCTTGGACGGCGGCGACGCCGCGTGGCGTTTGCCACTCCCGCCCTTATCGTCGTCGGACGCCCCCTCCGACAAGTTGCAGCCGGGCTGGGGCGCTTTTGAACAGGACGCGCCCTACGAGGCCGCGTATCATGTGTTGGAGAACCTCGAGAATGTAGCCCGCTTCGCGGCGAGAGGCGCGGGAAAGGAGGGCGGCTGGAGCTTCATGCGGCCGGACCGGGCTCGACTAGCCGACCCCTACGCGAAGCCGGCCGAGGGCGTCGTGCTGGAGAAGGTACAAGAGGCTTTATTAGTCATCGGCGCGTGCCTCGTCGGGGACTGCGACACGTCTGTTGACGTGTCGTCCCTGAAAGCCTTGGACGAGTCCATGAGGAATGATATTCGAGCGTCGCTGGCTTATGTCAGGGATAGGGTCGGCGTGCCGCGGGACATGTCCTACCCGGCGGCGCGGTGCCTCCGCGGGGCTTTGAACTGGCTGCGGGACGCGCTCGCGTAAGAAGCATAGAGTTTTTCGCGGCGTGATGAATCCCTTCGCGGCGATGGCGCGGCGGCGTAGCGACAAGTACGTGGAAAACCCGTTTTGCCCCCAGCCTCGATTGCCAGCGCGGGCGCGAGTTGCCCACCGGGTCTCAGGCTGGTCCAAACGCGACGCTACAAGTACGATTCTGCGCGTGGTGTAGCGCGATCGATCTTTCTGCCTCCTCCGAGAGCTTTAACAAAACTGAGGCAGACCAGGCTTTTTTTGCAGCACATAAACTATGCTCAGTCGCGTCGCGAGAGGACTCAGACCGACGTCGCGTCATTACTCGACGCGGCGACCGATAGTCGGCGGCAACTGGAAATGCAATCCCGCGACGGCCGCGTCGTTGCCCGAGCTCGTCCATCGTCATCGCGTACGAGCCCGTCTGGGCCATCGGCACGGGCGTCGCGGCGACGGCCGAGCAGGCGCAAGAGACCCGTGGCGCGACCGCGTCCCATATGTATACCAGCAGCCACTCTTACTGTGTGTCCCATCGCAGACAAGGGCATCCGCGACTGGATCGAGGAGTACGTCGACGAGAAGACCGCGCAGGAGATCCGCATCCAGTACGGCGGCTCCGCGACGGCCGAGAACGCCCCCGAGCTCTCGAACTACCCGGACATCGACGGCTTCTTAGTTGGCGGAGCGAGCCTCAAGCCCGAGATCTGCGAGATCGTCAAGGAGATCGCTGTCGCGAAAAACACGTTCGCGATGGGCGGCGCCTAGAGCCGCGCTCCCGACCCCAAGTCTAAGTCATATCGGCGGCGCGTGCGGTGTGTGAAACAGGACAAGCAAATTTCGAGGCTCGACCTTATGTCTTTTGAGGGAGCCCCGGCGCGCGCGGCGGGTAGGCGGCGGCGGTAGTAGAGAGAGGGGATGGGCCGGCACGTGGGCGAGCACGCCAAAGAGCGCGCCGAGAACGGCGCGGCCGGTTGGGGAATAGGGGACGGGAACTTGTTCGAGAGGGCGCGGCCCCGCGTGTCGACGACGCGGCTCGCCCCGGCGCGCCGGCTTTGGCGCGGCGGGGGTCATGTGGGCGTGGTCGGGGCCGCAAAGCTCGGGTCCGATCTAGAGGCCACCAACCGGGCAGTTGGTGTCTCCGGCTCAGCCCATACAAAAGCCGCACTTGCGCGCGGCCGTGATGCCGTCGTCGAAGGGGATGGACGCGTCGTCGAGGCCGACGTCGAAGAACGTCGCCTCCTCGGCGTTAACGATGGTGGCCTCGCGGAGCACGGGCTGCGGCGGCGCCGGCTGGTTCAGGAAGCCGTAGGCCGCCGCCAGGAGCAGGGCTCCTATGAAATTCGCCTGCGGGCGGTTTCGCGTCGACGGCCGGGGGGCGGAAAGCCGTTCCAAAATGTGGGGCGCGGGGTGTGTGGGTCATAGTCGTCGCGTTGACGGCGTGGGGGGCGGAAGCGGCCCCGCAACCGGGCTAAACAGCCGGACTTCACCGAGCTTGCTTTTTTCACCGCAGCGGGAGCGTACTGGACGGGCGTTTTTGCTGGAGCTGGCCCCGGCACATCATGAAGGTGCGAACAAGGACTACGCTGGCTGCGCGCGAGACGCATGGTGTGCTATATCCCAAGCTTTTCAACTAAGAACAGGAGCTAGCGGCCTGTAAGGCACTAGCCCACGAGCAGCGGGCGGGAAACGAACGAAACGCCGCCTATCCACGCCCCGAGACGCCCATCCGACGGCTCTTGAATAGACGAACACCAATCAACAAAACACAGCTTACTTCGGCGGCGCCTTCGGCAGGTCCCGCAAAATCTTCGGGTAATACCCAATCCCCCGCGTCCCGTCGACGTCCACCACGAGGCCCTTCCAGGTCACGCGCCGCGTCGGAATGACCCCGAGCCGCTTCCAGGCCTTTTCCTCCTCGCGGCGCTTCCTCAGTTTTTCAGCTTCCGCCTGGAGCATCTCGCGCCGCGCCTCTTCGGCCTTCTGCTGCGCGGCCATCTTCCTTCTTCTCATCTCGGCCTCCCTTCGTTTCCTCCGTTCCCTCGCGAGCTCGTCCGGGGCTTTGGCCAGTGCCGCTTCCTTCGCGACGCGCGCGGCTTCCGCTCCATCTAAAACTATTAAGCATTGATCGTTGCCCCTCCCTCGCGCGATGAACCAGCAATCGATACCATCTGAAGTTGTATCTCTGGCATCATTGCCGCCCGCCTCGAGCAAAACTTTCAGCGTGTCCGAGTAGCCATTGAAGCAGCACGCATGGATGCACTTGATGCCCGTGTCCTCGTCGCAAGCGGCGGCATACAGTCTAGGCGCGTCTACTATTTGCTTGTGACTCAAACACTGCGCGACGAGCGCCGTGTAGGGGACCTCCTTTGTTACCGGTGGTGAGCCTATGTTAGGCACGAAGGTCTCCGTTTTATAACGCGTCACGAGGTTGGCCCTTCCTCTAAAGCAGTCCCGCAGTAACGAGTATGAAGGGTCTTCCGGTTTACCCCACCAATCGACGGGCCTAGGGTTCACCCGCGAATGGTAGGCGAAGGTGCCGTGCTTACTGAGCATGGCCTTCATCATCTTTTCGGGGGGCGGGGGCGGCGTTTCTTCGACCGTCGCGGCGTCGGCGGCGTCGGGGGCAGCCTCCTCCTCGGCCATGCTGGTCTCTTGTCGGTCCCGGGGCAGCCCGCAAGGGACGAATCAAACAGATTGCCGAGTCCTGCGGCCGGGCGAGGACCGGTGCTTGCTTTGGCACCGCGTCTGGGTGCCTTTTTTTGGCCAATTGGAGCAGACGCCAAAGTGCGGGGCGGCGTCCGGCACGGCGTTGACATTTGTCAGGCCAGTTTTGGGTCGTACATCGACCTTAAATAAGCACCTGGGCACGCGGGCAGCCGCACGGCTCCCGGCGACGGCCCTCCGGTGGCAGGGGCAGCTCCTGGGCAGCACTGACGGCCCTCACAAATGGTGTACCAGCCCGAGGCGTCCGCGGCGGCGGCGGCGCGCCGCCGACGGAGCCAGCGGCGCGTGGGCTTCGCGGACCAGCCGCCGCCGTCGCCCGACCCGACCTTCCCACCGCCGGCGCTCGAGATTGACGAGACCGACGCGGTCAGCGCCATCGATGATGGCCCGCTCCGGGCGCCCGAAGGCGAGCAGCTCGAGATCCAGATCGACAAGGCACAGACACCAAAAGTGTCAAAGCAGCACATCGCCTTCGGGCGGGTCGTGAGGGAGCGGCAAGCGGTAGATGCCTACGTGCCGCCGCCGAAATCGCTGACGTTGGACCCAACCACCGGCGCGCCCATCTTTAGATCACCTGCGTCAAAAAAGAAGTACGGCTGGACCAGGACACCGAAACAGACGCCCACCAAAGTAAGAAGGAAGGTGAAAAGGGTGATGGATTCGCTGCCTCCACCACCTTCCGTGTCGAAGTACGTCGACCGAGCACCAGATGAAGAATCGGTCATCCGGCCGAGTGACTTCGAGAGCTTCGGTTCGCCGCCTCCAAAAGCGCCGCCGGTCTTCCTCACGGAACCCGACGAGCCGCGAAGCCCACTGTCTCCGGTGGAAAACACGTTCCCGACGGGCTGCTCGGGCTCGGCCGTCGAGGCCGTGCGGGCGAAGAAGGAGCGGTTGCAAAGGGAAGCGGTCCAGGCGAAGCTCGACAAAGTAGCGGAGCGGAAGCTGCGGTTCGTCCGCGAAAAGCGGTGGAAGAAATGGCTCGTGGCGGTGGTGAGTGGACGGGCGGCGATGGAGCTCGCGAATCGATTTCTGTTGAAGTGTATCCAAGAAGAGGACGCGCGATTGCATGAAGACGCGCAAAGGACGTTAAGTAGGTTCTACCGCTCGATAACAAGAAGGCGCCGGCTCCACGCCGCCGCGACTTTATTAAAGGCGCGGAGTTTAAATGTTACGATCAAAATACGGGTCTGGAAGAAGCGCTTCGCGTCGCGCAAGCTCCAGCGGTTCCTCAAGGAGACGGCCTGGGCGATTCGCATCCGCACCGCGCGCCGAAAATATTTTAGGGCGGTCCGGCTGTTCCAGCGGCTCTTCCGCGATTACGGAGCGTGCACGCGCGCGCGGAAGCTGGCGATGCGCCGCGTCTGGGACGCCTGCGAAGGCAAGGCGGAGGAGACCTTCGCGACGAAGCTGAAGCAAGCGGCGGAGGCGGCGGCGGCGCGCGCGAAGGAGCACCCCGCGACGTTCGCCGAGGAGGTCTCGATGACGGCGGGTCCCGACCCCGAGATCCGCGACGCCCGGCAGCGCGCCGCGGCCTGGCGCCGGCGCAAGGCCGAGCTCGTGAAGGCCGCCCAGGAGAAGCGGCGGCGGAAGCAGCGCGACGAGGTACCGACGCGGCGTCCATTTCCCGCCAGCACGCCATCGCCGCGACGCGTCGATAACGCGCAGGCCATCGCCAAGGACGAGAAAACCTGGAACCGGACGGACGCGAAGTTCGCGGCCCTCCTCGCGAAGACGACGGGTCGTCAGACTCGCAGGCGCCGTAGGACCGCGCCCGTGGCTGCCTTCGCGCCCGTTCCCGTGGCTGCCAGGAACGCCGCGTTTTCGGAAATTATCAGAGATCGCCGGCGCGCGCACGGCAAGCGGTACGCCTCGAAGACCATCCGCGACGATTACAGGGGCACGTCGAAGGAGTTCACGATGGAGGAGGCGTTCAACCTGCTGGGCAAGCCGCTGCCCGCGGCCGAGGCGGTGCGGAAAGCGCACGAGTGGCCGCCCGTGGCCTTTTTCGTTGGATTACGGAAGGAGGTGCGTCGTCGCTACGCCGCCGCGCGGGCGAGCGAAGATTCGCTCGCTCTTGCAAGACGGAAGGCGGAGCCGGTGGTGGCGTTTGAGGTGTAAGACTACTAAGACTACTAGGCACTCCTCCTTACGCCGTCGCCCCAGGGTGAGTGCGCATCATGATCACGAAATAACTCGAACATCTTCAGCAGCCGCGCGCTTAGTTGTGCGTGATCGGGTAGAAGAAGTGGTGGTCGCACGAGTCGACGCACGAGTGGCACATGGCGCCGAACGTGCCGAGCATGGCGGCGCGGCCGTTCTGGAGCTCGCACGTGAGGGCGCGGTTGCGCGCCGTGACGTCCTCGATCTGCGTCGTGAACGGGTAGCCGCCCGGGATCGTGCCGACGGAGCCGTCGTAGCCGCCCGGGAGGTTCTGCGGGCCGCCCGTGTACTGGGCCGCGGGCATGGCGCCGATCTCGGCGAAGCCGGCGAAGGCGACGATCTGGAAGAGTCCGAACACGGGGATGTTCGAGATGGCCGGGAAGCCCATGCCGTCCTTGAGGATGTCGGCGAACTGGACCGAGCCGTCGAGGTTGATGGAGCCCGGGAAGGTGACGCCGAGCTCCTCGACGATCATGCCGATGAACGCCATCATCGCGATGCGGCCGTGCTTGATCTCGACGGCGCGGCGGCGCGCGAGGCCCTCCTGGTCCTCCCAGAAGGGACCCGTCGGCTCGATCGGCCCGGGGTCGACGCCGATGTCGGCCGTCGTGTCGACGGCCGCGCGGGCCGGGGCGCCGCCGCCGCCGCCGAAGTTGAAGGCGGCGGCCGGGGCGGCGAGGAGGGCGAGGGCGAGTTTGGCCATTTTATATCTGCGGTGCGGCGTGAGTTTTGAGACGGCCGCGGCGGCGGAAGGCGTCCCCCCGGCGCTGATGTGTTTTTGCGCCCGGAGGCAACAGATCAGCGCGCAGCTTCCTTGCGGCAGCGTAGCATGACTGGGTTACCCGGTTGCGCGCGCCGTCGGTCCGCGGTGTGCTTCGCGCATGCCAATAGCTGCCTACTGCAGCCGCGGCACGCGCACCACCGCAGAGCGCCGCGGGCATGGCGCGTTGCCGTAGAAGCGGTTGCAAACGCGTGGCACAACTGTGGACTTTCGCGGGGACGCCGGTGCACGCAATAACTTGGATCTTCTATGAGCAGGAGCGAGATATTAGGCCTCGGCTGCGGGAGCGCCACGACTGTGACTGCTGACGGCCATGGACCTTGAATGCAACTGCGACCACGAGCCACGACGAAAACTATTGCCCCACCCGTCTTCGGGCCGTCGCAACGGCTCCAACGCGCCGCGCAAGTGTCATAGTGGGCTGCTCGCGTTACCGAGCGGCCGCGGACGCGCGCTGGCAAAGGGGATGCGTTTCTGGAGCAGTATTAACAAAACACACTTAGAGACGCTATCGAAAGAACGGTTCCGCCGCAAAGAGCACGAGCCCCCCGAAGTCGTAGGCGAGCGCGATGCGACGGTCGAACTTGCCCCACAGGATCCAGTGAATCACGAGCGCTACTGCGAACTCAGGGTGCGGTTGGCTGAAGTAGTCGTCGAGCTCAGCCTCCGTCGTGGCGGCGGCGAGCGCGGCCGCTGGCGCGAGAGCCGCTGCGGCCGCCGCCGCGGCACTGGTCGCGGCGTGCATCCGTGCGGCGGACGGCGCCATCGCGTGTGCAGCAGGCGCGTCTCGCAAAGATGCTGCAGCGCGTACCGGTGGCCGCAATGCAGCGATGCGCGCGCACAGGAGCACTTTTAGCAGCCGCATGGTTGCGATGTGTTGTCACCGATGGAATTTCGCAAGGATTCGCAGCAATTGGTTCGATACCGGCCTCAGCACCGCCACAAATCCAGGAATGCGACTGCTCAGCGGCTCGATACCCTGCAGCTGAGAGCAGGCGCGTGCTGTAGCAGGTGAGATGCTGACTCTCGCTGCGCGATTCGTCCTGAGCTGGCGTCGCTGCTGCAGGAGACGGTCTTACGAATGCTCAAAGTGAGCTATGAGCAGAGATATTGCGCAAAATGAAGGCGCTCAACTTGACAAAAACCCGACACTCAAGCAAGAAGGGCCAAAGAAAGCAGTCGCGCGGTCATACACGCACTCCTCCGGCGGCTGGGACGCCTCTGGACGCATAAATCAAGCCAAAAAACGCCGGAGATGCTGCTCGAGTTTTAAATTGGTGAGCTCGCAAGCGCCGCATAGATCGACGCCGAAGCTCTCCGAGCTACAGCAGCAAGCGACAGTACTGCACAGCACGCGTGGCGAAAGAGCGCACTGAAAACGCCCGCAGCGCGCCAAAATCAAAGCTAAAAATGGAGGCCGCCCTCTTCCAGGACACGCCCGCCCTCCTCGCGGCCCAGCTCGACCCCAAGACCCAGAAGGCCGCCGAGGAGGCCTTCGCCCAGCAGCAGCGCTCCAACCCGCGCCAGCTCGCTTCGGAGTTAGTCTCGTGCCTCGGGAACGGTCAACTAAATCCGGCCGTGCGCCAGCTCGCCGCGACGCTCTCCAAAAGGTTCACGGCGCCTCGACGGGCGCTCGGCGCGCTCGGCGAGTGGAATTCGCAAGCGGTCGACGGCTTCCGCGGCGCGCTCTGGCAGGCCTTGGCGAGCGGGCCCGAGCCGCCCGTCGCGCGCGCTTTATGCGTCGCCGTCGCGGAAGAGGCGAGCGACGCCAACCAACCCTGGCCCGCCGCGTCCAGTAACTGCGTCGCCGGCCTGGGCGCCGCGCCGGGCTCGCCGCAGGCGACGGTCGCGCTCACGCTCTGCGCCGTCGGCGATCGGCGTCCGTATATCGCGTCGATGGCGTGGACGATCGCCCACACACACCACACGAAACGCGAAAACACGAACGCAGGCCCTCGCCGACGGCGACGACGCCAAGGTCGGCCTCGCGGGCGACGCCAGCATCTCCGAGGTGATTGCACCATTACAACAACATTTAGCTTCGGACGCCGAGACCGGTGTTTTAGCCGTCAAGGCCGCTTGTACTCTAGCGATCCGGTGCTCGTCGGCCGCGAGGAAGCAGGTCCTCGCTCCTTCATTAGCCAAGGCCGTGTTACAAGCCACGCAAGTCTTCCTGACGAAGGACGAAAGTAAAGGTGTCGAGTGCCTCGACGCGCTCGTGGACGCGGCGGGCGAGGCGCCCGCGTTTCTCGCCGCCGATGCCGGTCAATTATTAGGGCTGGTCGGCGCGGCGGCGAACGCGGCCCAGTTCGAGCCCGAGACGCGTTCCCGAGCGCTCGAGGTCGCTCTGGCTCTCGCGGAGGCGGCGCCGGCCGTCGCGCGTCGGCACGCCAATGATGTGGTCACGAACGTCATCCCCGTGGCCGTTGGATTGTCGCGGACGCCGGAGGAGATCTCCCCGGAAGAATGGGCGGCGCAGCCCTGTCCTTTGTTAGCCTTAGCCGACTGCGACGACGAAGGTGAACATGTTAGGGGCGGCGACCAGGCTCTGCGTAGACTCGCGGCTACGTTAGGCAAGAAGGTCGCTCCGAAATTACTAGGCGACGCCGGGCCCGCGTTAGCGTCCGAGCGGTGGGAAGATCGACGAGCTGCCCTAGCTTCGCTCCACGCTCTAGCTTTAGGTGCGCCCAAGGAGCTCAAGGTCCACTTGGCCACTGTCGCTACTGTAGCGTCCCAGACCTTCGAGCGCTACGCTTCGAACAGTGAAGACCCGCGGTGTGTCTTGGAAGCTTGTAGATTGGTCGGTGCGTTGTCGTGCGCGTCGGGCGAACCTTATCAACGCGCCGCGGCGAAGAACAAGGTCCCGTCGCCTCTGTTGGCTATCGCCCAAGCATTATCTGGTGTGACTTCTGGTCGAGTAGCGGGTGCTTTATGTGCCGCCGCGTCTCTCTACGCGACCGCCGGCAACGATGATGTGGAAGAGCAGTCAGCGTGGGTCGAGGACTCGCTCAATGTTCTCGTGCCCGCGCTGGCAAGGGCTCTCGGCGCGTCCAACGGCGACGCGTCGGCGCAGAAGGCCGTGTTAGAGGCCATCGGCGCCATCGCCTCGAGGGCGGATTCCGTCTTCGGTCCGCATTATGCTACTCTGATGCCCTTATTAGCCCAAGCACTCCAAGGCACGCAAGCGTCCCAATCTGAGGAAGTGGCGCAGATGCGGGCGAGAGCCATCGAGTGCGCCGCGGCTATTGGGGCCGCCGTACCATCTCAATTCAGGAACGACGCGCCTGCTGTATTAACGGCGTTGGTCGCCGACGCGTCCGTGCCGCCGCCTACCACTGATACGGCCGAGGACGACGTGGACGACCTGGCTTTATCTACCTTACTCCCAGCCGCTATTCGAATTGTCGCCACGTGCGGCGCGCAACACTTAGGAGATGCGGCCCTCGAAGCCGTAGCCAAACCGTTGTTAGTCGCCGCGCAAGCCGAGACGCAGATCAGTCACTCCAACAATGTTGGTGATGAAGATGTTCGGAGAGAAGCTTCCGGTATTTACTCCTGCGTGATCGGTGGGCATCGAGTTGCCGTGAATCTACGAGCTATTTGGGGGAAAGAAAAAGCTTGTGACTTGCTCGGGGAGTTGGCCGAGGCCTGCGGGCCGGCGTTACCTCCGTCCGTGGCTTGTGCCTTCGCTTCGGCGCTAGCTTCCAATCAAACGTGCATTGGGGCCGAAGCTGTCAGATCAACAGCTTCCTGCTCGCTAGCTCAGGTCGCCGGGTCAGCTGTTTCTGCCTTCCGCGAAGACGCGTCCCGGAAGCCGCAAGCCTCGGCGCTCATCGACGGCGCTTTACGTTCGACAAGTGACGCGTTGCAGGCTGAAAGAAGTGATGAAGCTAGACCGTTGCACGTGCGCGCTTTGTCTGATGTTTTAGAACACGTGGCCCAATCCCACGTCGGCGGCTTGGAAGCTGGTTTACTCGAGGGCTCGAAGCCCTCTCCGTTAGCTGATAGCGTGGACGATCAATTTTTAGATTCATTAGTGAAGTCCCTCATCGCGGCCGCAAAGGAATCTGATACAAGGAGGGACAAGGTCGAGCAGGACTTGAAAGCCGACGGCGCCTTCGACGACGACGATGGCGACGCCTTAGCGGAAGCATTGGAGGCCGAGGACCAGCTCCAGGAGAATGTGGTGAATGCCGTGGGTTGGGCGCTCAAGGCGAAGCGAGACGCGTTCGCCGACTCGACGTTCAAGTCGACGGTCCTGCCGCACTACGCTCCTGTATTAACGAAGGCCAATGCAAGGGAAAAGGACGTGCATGCCGCGTTATGTACGCTCATCGACGTCGTCGAGCACGGCGGTGCTTCGGGCTTGGTCGCGCAGGCGGCGCCCACTGTACTAGGGGTGTCTTTGAGGTTGGTCGGCGCGCGGGAGACCTCAGCAGGCGTGCGCGCCACGGCGGCCTACGGCGTCGCCGTCGTCGCGCGGAAGTGTGCTTCTGCATTAAAAGCTGTGGACGTGAACCAGGCCTGCGCGGTCCTGAAAGCGGTCGTCGACGCCGGGGGTGCGTCGGCGGACGACGACGACGACGAGGAGACGAAGTCGAGGGCGGTCGAGAACGCGGCGAACGCTGTCGCGGCGGTGGCGGATGCGTTGTACGCGCCCGATAGCACAGAACGGCAGCAGTTGGTCGGGTGGTGGCTCGGGGCCTTGCCGTTCGAGGAGGACGACGAGGAAGCTAGAAGGGCCCACCGGACGCTGGTGACTGGTCTCGAACGGGGCGATCCCGCGTTACGGGCGCACCTGCCGCTCGTCACGGCGCGCCTCGCGGACGCTCTTTCTACGTTGGAGGGCTCGCCTCCATCTTCACCGACGAAGCCCTGCGAGACGCCGCTCGATTCTAATACGGCGCAGCGCGCCGTCCGGGCTTTGAAGGGCGTCAACGCCGAGCAGCCGGCCGTCATCCAGTCGGCCTACGCGGGCCTCATGAAGCCGGCGCAGGAGGCGCTCCAGAAGGCGCTGGCGTCGGCCTAGTTATCTATCCCTCTCTCTCCCCCGCTAATAGAGCTGTGCTTCTACTGGCTCAGGCTCAGGCTGCGTCTTGCTAGTGTCTTACAGGCCGCTAGCCACGCAAAACAGGGAATTTGCCGCTACCGCGAACCAGGTAGCTTGACTTCGTTAGTAAACGCCGCGTAAACAACTCTGACAATCCCCCGTCCTGCGTTTTCTGCCGCTCGATCGAATCTAACCGACTGAGCCAAGTGAGAACACCCTGAGGCTCTGCCGCCGAGACGACCGCGCCGCGTTATAATCAAATCGCGGAGAGACGTCTGGACGCCCCGCAGGCACGATGTGGCGCGCCCTCCTCCTTCTATCCGCGCTCGTCGTCGAGCCGGCGCTCGCCCGCTGCAAGGCGTTCTCGCCTGTGTGGAAATCAAATGTCGCGGCGCATCTTCTCCCACGGCCCATCATCACCTCCACCGTTCGACGGAGCCAGCACGGCCGCGTGCACGCGACGCACTGGTTGATTCCCGCACAGGTGCTCGCACAAGAAGCTCTACAAAGGCAATTGCGGCGCCCTCTACAAGAAGCGAGGGAGCCGTTGGGGTGAGTGGGGCTTCGCCGCTGGGGGATTTTTCGTGGATTTTTGCGAGTCCAACACCTGCTGCGCGTCCAATTTCGACGATTGCTGCGACGCGGACGACGGTACGATCCAGTGGATAAATCAAATCGTCGCGGCGCGTCTCCACGCCATCGACGCGACGTCACACTGGTTAATTTGCACACAGGCGCGATCGCTGGCTTAGTTATCGGAATTATCGTGGCGATCATCATCGGGATCTGCTGCTGCTGCTTCCTCTGCCCGGGTTGCTACGGTTTCGAGAAAAGAAACCAGAAGCGGGCCCCGCCGCCGGACACGGAGATGGCTCCGGCCGCGGCCCCGCGCACGGAGGAGCCGCCGGTCGTCCAGGGCAACGTCGTCGAGACCGTCGCCGCCGAGAAGAAGTGAGGCGTTGTAGATCGCTGCATTGACCCTCTCGTCGCCGTAGGGTCTAACCACCATCATCTCCGAGTCAGATAGTTCCCTCCGGTCATCACTTAAGAAACCGTGACGGGTTTTGTAAGCAAATTTTTTTAGCTCGAGTTAACTCTTGGTCTCCGTGTCGATACTAGGCACGCTAGCGGCCTCGTCGGTACCGCGGCCGGCTACCCGCCTCGCTGAAAAGTCGCGTGTGACCTCACGCCCGGCGCGTTCATTTTATGAAACCCTTGGCTTGCCTATTTTTTAGCTATTAATTTAATCCCAGGTTTTAGTCGCGGCTCGCTCGCGCCTCGCTTGGAACAAAAACGTCCGGTACGCGGCCGCAGCGCATCGTAGAGGCATGAGCGATTGGGATCGTCTTTTGTGACCTCCTGACGAGCCTTGACCAAAGCGGTTCGAGCTGTGCGGCCGCGGCGGCCGCAAACGAGCCGTCCCGGTTTGAGGCGCTGCCGCGGCGTCGGGGGGCTACGACGGGCGTCGCGCGACCCCAGGACCGGTCGCGTCGGTTGGCCACATGGTCGGCGCGGCCCGCGGGCGGTTCACCGGCTGCGCGCGAGCTCGTGTCGCCTCGAAACGGCCGACGGCGCCGACTCGGGCTTTCGTCGCGCGCCGTGCGGCGTCACGACGCCGGTGGCACGCGGCGGCGTCGGGGACCGGTGCCGGGATAGAAACGAGCGAGCGCGGGCCGCGCCGACGGTCCGGGGTGCAAGCCGGACGCGCCGAGGGCCGCGGCCGGGCCGCGGGTCGGCGCCGGCCGCATTTGCGAGGGCGTCGACGGCGCTGCGCGCGTTCGGGCGCCGCGGTGGCGGTGATCGTGCGACGGAGCGGTGCCGGCGCCTTCCTGGAGAAGCGGACCACACGCGCGCCCGCTCGCCTCCCTCCCCACACAGGTGTCCCGCGCCGACAGCTGTCCGAGAAACAAAATGTGATTAACCTACGAGCCCCGATCGGCGAGGGTCGGGATGAGCGTCAACATGAAGTGGTGGACCTTGGCGCTATCGTCCTTGACCGCCGCGTTGTACGAGAGGCGGATCTCGTCCTGCTCGCCCTCGCCGGGCAGCGGCTGCGGGTTCGGGTCCGCGGCGGCGACGAGCGCGGACACGATGATGCCGGGGACCAAGCTCTCGAGCGACGCCAGCGACTCGACCTGTGGGCGCGGCCGCTCCAGGCCGAGGACGTCGTCCTCGAGGATGTCCTCGTAGGGCTCCGTGTCGGGCCTCTCGGCGGGCGCGGCCTCGGGCAGCGCCTTCTGGAGGAGGTCGGTCAAGTTCAGCGGGGCGGCGCCCGCGGGCGCGGCCCGGACCGTCTCGAAGACCGTGCGGAGGGCCGGCCGGAGGAGCGGCACGATGTGGCGGTCCAGGTACTTGTGCGTGGACCTGCGGATAGATGGTCGATACGACGCCGGTTTCGGGGCGCCGGCCGCGCACGCAGAGCGGTAGTCGGCGACGTCGGCGACTTGCGTCGGCAGCGCGTACGCGCCGAGGCCGCCGACGAGGCCCTCAAAGTAGCTGCCGGCGCCCGCCTGCATCGGGAGGATGTGCCTTGTGTGGATGTGGTTCGCGCGAAGCTCGGTGGCGCCCTTGACGGACGTCCACGAGTTGGTGCAGAACGGGCACTTGGCCTTCGCGGCGGGGATCGCGCCCACGGACGGTAGCTTGGCGACGAGGTACGAGAGGTACTTGGCGATGTCGGCGGAGTCGGTGCAGCGGTCCATGGTGATGATCTTGAGGATGTGGACGAGGTACGGGACGATGGGCTCGAGGATCGCGAACGGCGAGGCGGCGAAGGCGGCGGCGTTTGAAGCGGCGCGGGCGCTGACCGACGGCGCGCCGGCGGCCGCCTCCTCGACGTCGGCGGCGGCGGGCGCGGGCGCGGCGGCGATGCCGTGGCGCCGGGCGTGCGCCTGATCCGATCGCGCGGACGCGGCGGACGCGAGGCCCTGGGCGTACGCGGCGCTGTCGCGCGCCAGGTCCGAGTAGACCTTGGCGGCGTCCTCTTCCCCGTCGAAGAGCTCGGACCACGCGTCGCCGAAGTCGGCGCGGGCCTTGGTCGCGCGCTCGAGCTTCTCCTGGCGCCGCGCGGCCTCCGCCGCGACGAGGGCGTGCCGCGCGCCCGCGATGGAGGCCTCGTTCGCGACGCGGTCCGACAGGTTGAACTCCGAGTTCATGCTCCGCAGGACCGTGCCCAGGCCGTGGTCATTCAACAATGTGTTGACGTCCGCGCCGCGGCACGTCTTCACGCCGACCTCGGCCATGGCCGAGTGGATCGGGATGTGGTCGAAGACGTTCGTGATGGCGGTGACGACCTGCGGCGACGGTGTGCGTGGGCGGGTTACGGCGTGCGCGGCGTTGGTTGAAGTGGTCCCACTCCCACGCCGTCGACGCGGGTCCCGAAGGCCGACGCGGCGTCGAGGTGGTGCGCGAACCGGCGGTGGCGCGTCGACGGCGCGTTCGCGTGGCGCGTGTTGTGTTGTGTTGTGTGTGCGTCTAGACGCGGCCGCGCGCCGGCCACGGCTGATCGCGGCGCGCGGCGCGCGGGGAATCGCTCTCGCCGTAATTTTTTCAGACTCTGGGTGTGCGCCGCGGCGTCGAGGGGGTCCGTGCCGCCGGCGAACGCGACGACGGCCGCCCAGAGCGCGTCGTCGGCCAGGACGCCGGCGTAGTCAATCTTGGCGGCGAGCATGCCGCTGCGCGCGAGCCGGCCGCTATTGACGAGCTGCACGAGTTGCTTGGCGACGTCGCGGCCGTAGACCGAGTGGCAGAGCAGCGCCCAGGCCCACGGTAATCGGAACCAATGCCCAAAACGGTTCGCGATGTACATTTCGTAGGCGCGGAGCATGCTAGAAATATGGGCGCAGACGTCCTCCTCGGAGAGGCCCAATTCCTCGGCGTGGTAGAACGTGTGGACGAAGAAAGCGTGCGGGTCCGCGCGCAGGGAGGCGATCAAGGCGAAGTGCCTTATGAGATATTCGTGGATCTCCATCACGCGCTGCCCTTTTCTCTGCTGGCCCCACATGAGCGCGGGGATGGCCAGGCCGAGGCCAAACTCGGCGAGGACGCACAATTGAATGAACATGCTCGGGTCGGACAGGATGAAGATGGTGTAGTTGAGGTCCTTGTCCGATTCGCGGGCCTGCGCGACGTCGATCGCTGAATCGCGGCGTCGTCGCGCAATTGGCACGTCGACGGCACGGGGACCAGGCCACGTTGAAGGCGTCCTGTAGGTCCACGCTGAACCAGACCTTCCTATCTTTTTTGTCGCGAAGAGCCAGCAACGCGACTAACAATAGAGCTCTATACGACACAAGATACGAAGCTACTTTGATATAAGTTCCCCAGCGCGTCTCCTGGCCGAGAGGACATTTCGGAATGAAGCCAATGTCTAGTTCGCGGAAGGAATTGTGCAGGTAGTTCGATACATGCTCCAAAAAGAAAATGAAGACGGCGTTGTGGTTTTGACGCCTCCAGGAAGGGTGCGGCGGCGAGTTCTCCGTCACGGCGTGCAGGACTCCGTCGTGAATGACCTACGTAGGACCCAAGCGCGTGCGTCGGGCGCGCGACGGCGTCGCGCGTGGACGCGACGTCGCGTCGAAGGCGTCGCGACCCAATGTCGGCATCTCCGTCGTCCTAGAAGCGTAGTCGGTTTTCCGCACTGGTGGCACGTGACAGAAACACATGACTTGAAAAACGCCCACGGAAGCCTTCCCGAGGACCTGTTCCTTTAGCAATTCGAAGTGATACCGCGCCTTCATAGCAGTCGCTGCTCCATCACTTACAAAAGATATCATCTGGCCTGCTCGCCTGAAGACTGCGGCCGCCTCGATCGTGTCGGTGATACCGTCGATCGCGTCGGTAATGACGGTCGCGATGGAGAGCCCTGTCTCAACACCAGTAGTGGTCGCGCCGGACAATGGGAAATAAAAGCTCTGAGAGTTGATGTCGTTCACGCCCACCGTGTACGATTGTGGGCCCACGCCGAACACGAACGCCGTGAAACGATGCTCGTATGCGCCCTCGCCGACGCCGTACATGCGCAGTTCGTTGGCATCGTCCCAGAAATAATCGAGGCGGCCGATGCGCATCTTTTTGGCGAGATCGTCGGGCGAGGCGAGGCCCGGATGCGACATTCTTTGCCATAAGTTGGCTGCAGCCAAACTCTTGAGGAACGCGACGGAATCATTATTCGAGACCGTCAGCGCCAACTGCACGCCAGGACCGAGGACGTGAAGAATCAAAATCGTGCTCCGGACGACCGTGGGGCGTACACGGATCATTTTTACCTTGGCTTGCCTGCTACTTTATGCAGTCCGCAGACCAGGCCTGGCCGGACGGACTTGTGAATCGAGCGGTCGGAGCCGTAGAAGGGCGTGCATACTCGTTTACGACGAGATCGCGGGCCGAGGCCAGACAGCTAGTAGCTCTATGAGCTAGCTCCGATGCTTTTTAGGATGCGGCTCAAGCGCCCGTGCGCGACGCGCCGCACAGCTCTCGAAATAACGAAAAACATGTAGCATCGCTGTCACAAATCATCACCATGACCATTACGGGGCCAACAAGGCGCAGGAGGCAGCCACCACCCAAAGCTCATCCTGGGACTAAGATCACAAAAATGATAGAATATGTCTTAGCCAAAAAAGGCGTCGTGCGCAACACCCCGAGGGAGTTCCACAACGTCATGAGCCATTTGCAGCTCCAAGGCGCTCCTCAAGTGTTCGGGCGCGGCTTCGGCGGCGAGCTGTACGCGGCCGCCGCCCCCTTGCAAAATAATAACGCTGCGCCTGCGGTTGCAGGCGTGCTCACGTTCCTCGAGCATCGACTGGCCCAGGTCTCGGGCACCGACGAGACCGCGCTGAGCCCCGCGCCTGCGCCTGCGGCCGCTGCCCGAGCCTACGTCCCCCCGGCCACGGCCTATCGGCGTCAAAGCCTCGGGGGCGTCAACGCGCCGCCCCGGACGGGCGGCGCCGCGGGCTCGAAGAAAAAACGCAAGCGCGTGGTGGCGGAGTATCCCGACGGGACCTTGGAGCCGCCGCCTGCGCGTCGCGGCCGTCCTCCGAGGCTCCAGATAGAGCCGACGGCGCTCGCGGCCCTGGAGACGTCGAGCGCCGCGGCGCCCGCCGTCGCCGTGGCGGCCTGGCGGTCGCTCACCCGAACCATGGCCGACGAGTTCATCTGCAAGGCGGTGTCGAGGGACTGGTGCAAGGCGCGCGCCGCTGCGGAGGCCGTGGTCTACTTTAGAAAGCTCGGCGTCGTGCTGCCTCAGGCCGCGATGGAGACGCACCTCGAGGCGGCGCGCCAGAACAAGCAGTTATTCCTCAAGCGCATGCGCCGGTCGATAAAGCAAGCGCGGCAGTTCTACAACGCGCACGCCGAGGCGTCGCAGGGCTGGCTGCCCGTCGTACCGCGGGACCTCCCCATCGTCGACTTCCGGCGACAGTACCTCGGGTTAAAACCTGCCATCGCTGCCGGTACTGCCGTGATTTTGAAGTCTCGCCGCGCCGCGCCGCGTTCGCTCGTCGAGTCGCTGGAGGAGGCGCTGACGCTGGGACGGCGCCCGATTCCGGCTCGTTATTTGAGAGAGGTCTACGACTTCATGGCCCAGCACAAGCTCGCGAACAAAGCGGCGGCCGCGATCTTGAGGCAGGAACGCAGTGAGACGGGCATCACGTATTCCCCGACGTGGTGCCTGCGCGCCGTGGCGACCTACGACTTAGCCGTGGTCCAGGAGCTCCGCCGGCTTATTGAGGGCATGAATTCCATGTATGTAATTCACGACGGCGGGCGAGTGCCTCGCGTTGCAGTCAAAGGTCTTTTAAATGAGTTTGTACCGGTACGCCATCGACGCGGCGCCGCGTCCCCGCCGTCCGCGCGACGGCGGGGGCGCGGCGCATGACCGGTCGCCCCCGCGCAGGTCGACGACGCTCGCGTCCTCCGGATTCCGCGTCAAATTCGCGGCGCTGTTCTTCGGCGGTCGGCTGGTCGGCGAGCGGCCGCCGCGCTGTGCGATGGCGTGGGCCGGCGCCGACGCCGCGTCGCACGAGGCGGCTTCGCTGGCGCGGGCGGCGCAACACGTGCCGAGCGGCTTCTACCTCGAGGCGCCGAAGTCGAGGGCCAAGGGGGGCTATTCGTTTTTTCAAGAAATGTTTGCGCTGGACCCGGAGCTGGACGCGCGCGTCGCCTCGAGTCTACGGATGATCAACGCGAGCAACCCTTGGCGGAATTTGCCGAGGGACGACCCGCGCATCCTCTCCGCTTATGCGGACGAGGCGGCTGCGGCGGCGGCTCTCGCGGAGCGACGGCGGGACTACGATGCGGCCTTCGAAACCGCGCTGGAGGCCGAGGGAACGGCGACGGAGCTCGAGCGGACGAGTTTGTTGCCGGGCGCGCCGGCTGCGCGCCAGACGCCGACCGCCGCTGTTTTGTACGAGACCGCCTTCGGCGAGCGACAGCCGGGCGTCGGGCTGCACGCGTCGGTCGAGCACCTGCGTGCGCGGTGGGCGTCGGATGAGGCGGACGCCGCCGCCGTCGCCGCGTGCCACGCCGAGGCGGCGCGCTTGGCGGAGGAGCGCGTCGACTCGCAGCGGGCCCTTTTGACGGACTCCACCGGTGGCTACGTGGGGCCTCGCGGCCACCTTACCTTCGACGTCCCCCTGGACGACACTAATGATTTGCGGCGCGCGGCCGGCCTCGAACCCCTCGACCCGCCGCCGCCCCGGCCGCGGCGCATGAACCTGTCGCTGAATCTAGATTCGTGGAGGATGGCGCTCGTCCGCGACGCCGACTCCGACTCCGACGCGGCGCCGGCGGCGCCAGAGTCTCCCACGGAGACGCGGAGGGGCCGACAGGTCCGACGACGGGGAATCTACGACAACTCCGAAAATTGAACGACCCTCTTATTCTGGGAGCGTGTTTGTAGTCTTGGTGTAAGATTGTTACTTGGAAGGCTACCCGGGCGAGCCGAGGGAGCCATATCCGAGACCGGAGCCTGGCCGCCTCGCCGGGCGGCGCGCGGCGGCTCTCCGTAGCCCACCTGACCCCGCGGCACGCTTTGAGCCTCGGAGACCACCAATACGCCTCCGACGCCGTCGCCCGAAAACCGCTGCGCGTCATGGCCCCGCGCAGGGCCCATCACGCCTCGACGTACTCGGCCGAGGCGGGCAAACGACGCGGTTCCATCACGACGGCGACGTGCCGCGCCTCGCGTCCTCGAAATTGCCACCCGCGCGCCGCCAGACCCGTTTCTCGCGCTCGCACGCGCCGGGGCGCGAGAGGAAAAGCACCCTACGACACCGCCGACCCTCACGAGCTGTCAGAGGGCTGGCCGACGTCCAAACCTTCGCGTGGTACCGCCACCTTCATCGCTCGTGCAGTTCCTGCCGCGTGAGCCGCGTCGGAAAAAAACGCGTCCGCGGTCCGCCGCGAATATTTGCGTCGGGGTTCGATAACTTTTCCTGTTTTCGCTCAGCGCCGATGCATATGACCCTGGGGCCCCGCCGGGGCGCCTCGGACCAGCCCCGCTTTCGTCCAGCGGCGAGCGCGGCGCGTCACGATTTTGGGCTCTCCTCGAGAACGAGCGACTCCGGCACCGTTTTGAGCGCTGTAAGTTACGAGGGGCAAGTCACGGCCCACGTAGAGCCAGTCGCGCGGCCCAGGCCTCGGAGGTGCAAGACGGGCCGAGCAAGACGCGATTTTGTCTTAGCGAGGCGCGAGCGAGCCGCGACTAAAACCTGGGATTAAATTAATAGCTAAAAAATAGGTCATGGTCCCCGCCGGCGCCGGCCCGGGGACGCTTGTGTCGGCGCCACACAACGGCCAAAATGTCCAGGTGACCGTCCCGCCAGGGGTCGGCCCGGGCCAGTACTTCACGGTGGCGGTGCCGGCCGCGGCGCCCGTGGCGACGGCTCAGGGCACGGTCGTGGGATAGGAGTCTCGACGGACCGCGCGGCAAAGGCCCGATAAGTATTTGATATATATATATATATATCGCGTCGATGGCGTCTATGACTGCGCGAGCGCGCCGGAAGTAGTCCCATGTACCAAGGTGCGAGGTTATTCGGCTCCGCCCAAAAAGAGCCGACCGGAGCTAGCGTATATCGACACACTAGCAAATTCAAAGATACGCTTGGATAGCGTCAAAAGAATGACCAAAATTCAGAACACATCCTAGTCGTTCGCCGAGACCAAATATTTCAGAGTAGCGGCCCGGGAACATACCCTCTCGCCTCCCGGAAGGCACCGCTCGCGACATTCACGGATGAGTCTTGCGGCTCGCCAAAATACACCAGCGCTTGACGCCGCCATCCACCGTCCAGATGGTACATTATATCAACTCCAGCTCAGTTTTCATCCACACTCGACGGAACCGGAGCCGACGGCCCGCGCTCGGAGGGCGGGAGAAGAATTCTACTAGACAACTCCCGAGTTTATGTTCGTTTTTATCCGTTTGTTGTCGGTAGATGCCATCCAGTCCGCCTCAGCGACTATGAGCTATGGTAGGTGGTCCGTTAGAGCGGCGCGATTCGTCATCTTCGCAACCCCACGTTTCATGAAGGGGGGCTCAAAACCTGGACCCGCGGGTATCGGCGACGCCACCCCCCAGATGGACCATAACACCGTTGTTCTATTCACGATCGATCGACTTGCCCGTTCTCCGCGGACGACGGTGCGGAGACGGAGCATCAGAAAGGCCCCAGACCCGTGAGTTATAAAATAAATTTGCGTTTCAGGCGCTTCGGTTCCGGGACGGGCCAGCTAACCGGCCTGAGCCAATACTACATTGCTCGAGACCCCACGATGCTCGGAGCGGGTCGTCGGTCTCGCGGCCCCCACGATCTCGCTAATTCGGGCTTAGAGCTGGACCTGCGTCCATCAGCCCGTGTACCCTCACCGTGGACCATAACGCGATCATTTGTTTCATGAACGACCGACTTGCGCGGGGTCCAGATCAAGATGTTCACGTCCCAAGCGTGGGCAGCCAAAAGTACCCTTCTCGTGGTGTAGATGTCATATACTTGTAATTGACTATCGTTGGGGTAGTATGGGGTCCGACGAGACCGCTATTACGATTCCTGGGGGGCCTCGGGTAATTGACGTTTTTTACGGGGACGGGGCGCCATCGGGCCCAAATTGTTTACTTTTTTCGGGGGCAGATCAGCTCCTGGAGGCCCCTCGGGGCAGGTCTGGTGGTGGGTAGTCGCCTGTACCGCATACGCCGTCGATGCAGCAGCCTAGTGCTCTCGGAGAGCCCTGGAAGCAAACCATGGCCTATTATTGCTAATCTGCGCGGGCTGTTGAGAGAATTGGGCCAAAAATGCTTGAAGCGGCGGCGTATGCGGTGTAGGCGCGTGCACGTGTAAAGTACCGACCCTAGGCGACCCCAGGGAGACCTGTTTGGCAGGGATTGACAGGATTAAACTGGCGCAGCCGGCATGGCCCATGGCGGCGTCGTCGCCGCGAATTAAACTATGTCTTTTTTCGGCCCCGAGGAAGTGTCCCATTGATCTCTTTGGACCATTAGCGAACGGAACGATACTCGAACGGCTGCATGAGTGTTCCGATGCTTGCTAGTGTCTTACATGCCGCTAGCTGCCTCAAGGGCGGGCAGCGCAGAGCAATCGCTTGTGTAGACGTTGCCAGGTTGGCATTGTCGCGTGCTCGTGGTTCTCGACCGACCCATCCAGTTTGCTGCGCCGCAAACATCCTGAGAGGCTCAGCAGACGTAGTGCAACAGCATTAGCCCTCAGGTAGCAGTGCTCCGCACTGCAAACACATGTGGCGCCGGTGCCGCACGGTGCTCGCCCTCGCCTCCGCTCACGCCCTGCAGCCCACGCGACCGACGCGCCGCATGGGCCAAACCGCGTCGTCGCTCTTCTCCACGGCGACGAGCGACGACGCGCTCGACGCGCTGCGGGCCGTCGACAGCGCGCAGCTCCTCGCCGAGGTCGCGCGGCGGAACCTGGACGCGAGTGATGCTCGAGAAGAAAAGAAGAGCAGCCACGTCGTCGGTTCGTTAAGGGACAAGGCCGCGGACTCGGACAAACGAGAAAAGGAATTAAGGGAAGCCCTGCAGAAGCTCGGCGTCGACGCCGATAGTATCGAGGGCGGGCCGCCAAAAAAGGCCTTCCAGACGTACATAAGGCCGCGCGCGAAGGACAACGCCGTCGGCCAGACGCCCGAGAACGCCGCGCACCAGATCGCGTTTTTACAAAGGCACGAGCTAGCTAGAAGGGCGACGCACCTGCGGAATACCGATTTAGCGGCACAGGCGCGCCGGGCGGCTGGTCTAAAGCCGCACCCCCTGCATGTCGTGCTGGACAACGTCCGGTCCGCCGAGAATGTGGGGTCTATCTACCGCTCGGCGGACTGCGGGCGCGTCGAGGCGGTGATTACCTGTGGGTTCACGCCGAATCCGCTGTCCACCTCAAAACTCGCGAAGACGGCGTTCGGCGCGGAGTCCGCCGTGGGCACGCGGCACTACGAGAGCACGGCCGACGCTTTACGGGAGCTCAAGGAGCGAGGTGTCGTGGTCTGGGCGCTCGAGACGGTCGACGGCGCCGTATCTTATACTTCTGCTCCTTTACCACCTTTGGAATCGCCGGGCGTGGCGCTCGTCTTCGGCAACGAGGTCACGGGCGTGGACCAGGCCCTTTTTGGTCTCGTGGACCACGTCGTGGAGATCCCGACGCACGGGGCGAAGAACTCGATGAACGTCGCTTGCGCCGCGACCGTCGTCATCTGCGACGTGCTCCGGCGGTGGGGGGTTAATGACACTTAGTCCTACTGGGTGTTGAGGTTCCAGTCGTAGGCGAAGTAGCTCGGCGCCATTGTCGCGAGCGCGTCTCTCGCGGCGCCCGCGGGCGCGTACTGCGCGGCGTACGCGGGGGACCCGCCCCTCGTCTCAAAGTCGCCGGCGTACCAGAGGAAGATGCGCGATAGCATGGGCTTCCTCGCGTCGTCGAGCGTGAGACCCTTCGTCTCGTCCCGGAGCCAGAGCTTGAATTGGGCCGTGAGCTGGTAGTCGAGGCGGTCGTCGCCGCCTGTGTCGACGCGATGTTATTCCGTAGCTGCGTCTGCTCGATGGCGTGGAGTTGCCAGGCCGTCGACGCCACGTTAACCTAACTCACTCGTTGATTTCCACACAGGTCGCCGCGATACGCTTGCCCAAGCAAATCCGGGCAGGACCGCGAGGCGCAGTTGACGCAGGCGTGGACGCGCGGCTCGTCCCAGCGCGTGCGGATGACGCCGTGCTCGATCTCGTTCAAACTAAGCGTCTGGCCCGCGACGGCCCCGGCGGGGACGTCCCAGATCTCCTTCTTCTTCGAACCTTCGGGCACGCAGTCCTTGACAGACGCGGGCAGGCCTCCGCCGTTTCTGATCGTGCGGCAGACGTGCTCCGCGCAGAGGATGTTGTAGGCGTTGATGTAGAAGGCGCACTGGGCGTTCGGCGGCCATGATTTGACCGCATTCGGCGAGACCTTCGCGATGGACTCGACGAGCGCGGCGAAGCCGTCCTCGGCCGCGAGCTCGAGGTACGAGACGGCCGCGAATTTCACGCCGTCGACCGGCGCGCCCGACGGTCTCAGGTGGTTGGCCAATAACGCGTCCCAGCTGTCGTGGATCGCCGCGAGCTCGGGCGGCTCCGGCTGGCCGTCCTTGGTGATCGGTTTCGCGTCGGCCGCGAGCGTGCGCTTCGTGATCGACCCGGCGACCTGCGCGCGCCTTTCACTTAATAATCGTACTGTACCTGCCGTTAACTTACCTTCTTCTCGAGATATAACTTGAACGAACTGCAGCTATTGCCCATCTGTGAATTATTGGTTTTTGTTGTCTTGTCTAAAGTTGCAAAACTTGCAAGGTCGTAGGCGTCGCGGGATCCGAGTCTGCGCGTTCGATAAAAGTCGTGGAGTACTCTCTCGTCCCGCAATACGCGAAGCGCGCAATACAATGCCAAAAGGAAGAGACTAAGATTAATCCGGGAGCGTGCTAGCGGCCTGTAAGACACTAGCAAGCCAAAAAGGCGCTGCAGCTGCGGGCTGCCCCACGCCGCCAGCGCGGCAAACACACAGCAACACACAAGCGCTGCGCTGCCCCAGAAGGCCACTGCGGCGGGACAAGATGCTCGAGTCCTCGGAGAACCGCAAGTTCATGCTCTACTCGAAACGGGCGGACCAGGAGCCCAGGGAGCCCAAAAAACCGAAGGAGATCGGGTTCCGGTTTTTACAATTGCAGGTGGGAGACGAGGTCCCGGACTTTCGGGCGGATAGCACCGTCGGAGAATTTGGGTACCACGACATGATCGACGGCGTCTGGAGCGTTTTGGTCACGTTCCCGCCGGACGCCGAGGCCGTCGCCACGACCGAAATGGGCCAGCTGTCGAAACTGCACCGCGAGTTCGAAGCGCGGAACTGTCGCCTGATGGGCGTGTCCTGCGCGTCGAAGGAGCAGCATCGCGCGTGGATAGAAGCAGTGGAAGAAATAGAGGACTGCTCCGTGTCCTTTCCGCTCATCTCCGACCCGGAGGCCGTGATTGGGGCGAAGCTCGGCCTCGTCAAGCAGGACTGGGAGACGTGGGGCCCCGCGCCCGTGCACGCGCTCGTGCCCTCGACGCTCGTCATATTGTGCGATATCGATAAGCGCGTGAAGGCGACGTGGCAGCACCCGACGACGTGCGGCCGGAACTTTTATGAAGTGTTGCGCACATTAGATGCGTGCCAGCTGGCGCTGTTCCACCAGGTCGCGACGCCGGCGAACTGGCTCCAGGGCCGCGACGTCTACGTCGCGCCGCGCCTCACGAAGGTCGCCGCGAACGAGGCGTTCCCCAAGGGCGTCACGGAGCAGCGGCCCTGGTACCGGACGACGCCGCAGCCGGATTTGCCTGTGTAATCGTGTAATAGACTATCTACAAAGTTAGTGGCACGCCCGAGCTCTCGACGTCGACCTTGTCTACTAAAAAAGACGTCCAGTCCGCCGCCGTGATGGGCAGGAGCCGCATCGTGTTCAGCTTCCACAGCGCGAGCGCGAGCATCGCGGCGTTGCAGCCGATGAACGCTAATTTGGGCAGCGTCAGATCGATTTCGGAATCGGCGGACGCGTAGCGCGCGAAGGCCTCGTCGATGGACAGCAACGCCTTGATGGGGTTATAAAAAGCGTGTCCGACGACCATCATCGACCAGATGTTGATGGACGACCCGGACATGTACATCATGAAGCCCTGCATGAAGATGTTTTTCCCTGGGGCTAAGCCGGTCTCCATCGCCCTTTTGGCCATGATGTCCGCCTTGTGCTTTTTTTGTTGGGAGAGCTGCGCCTCTGTCGTGCTCATGATGATGGCGTCGGGGTGCTCCGCGCCGGGGGGCCTGGGGACGCCCTGGACCGTCGCCGCGGCGAGGTTGATGCGCAGTCTTACTGGCGTGTCGCTGGGCATTTTTTATGGCTCCGCGCGCGGCTGCTTTGTTTTGCGAGTAGCTGCTGGAGAGGTGGTGCAGGGCGCGCAGCGCTCTAGCGCACTATCAATCGTTCGGCGTACGCGTCGCTTCTTGCTTTTTTATGATGGCTGCGAGGGATCCAGCGCGTCGTGTTTGCGTAGCGTCGCGCCGCCGGCTTGTGTCGCGCCTCGGCTTTGGTGAGTGCTAGTATCTCACAGGACGCTAGCGCCGGAGGCCTCAGACACGATGCTGCCGCACAACTCGTACGACCAATACCCATGGATAGATGCCGCGCGACTCGTCCGACCATTGCCCATGGAGACGCATAGACAAAAACCCAGGAGTTAGCCAGGCCATCGCCGCGGTCGACGGCGCGGCCCCGACGCCGCCAGGCACTGCGCGCACGTTCTCGCGCTTCACCGCGCGCACGGCGCCGTCGAGGTTGACGCTGATCCGTCCGCGATCGGCGACGTCCGGAGGCGTCTGGACGACGACGACGTGCCGGCCGTTCGCCGCGGGGTTCGACACGAGACCGTGGAGCTCGACGGTCGCGCCGACGGCGAACGCGTCCGCGGGCGCGGCGGCCGGAGCAGCTACAGGAGCGGCGGCCGGAGCGGCGGCCGGCGCGGCGGCCGGCGCGGCGGCCGGCGCGGCGGCGGCGCGAGGCACCCGCCTCGTCCGCTTGAAGCGGGACCGCGGCGCGGCCGCCGGCGCCGGCGCGCGTCGCTTGATGCGTTGCGTCGCGGTGCCCCGCGTCCGCGTCGTGAAGGCGCGGGCGGCGCGGCGCTCCGCCGGCGTATCGAAGATGGGCGCCGGCAGCGGTTCAGCCCACCACGGCAATTCTTTCGCGGCCGGCGGCGAGGGCGTCGCGGCGGGCACGGCGTCGTCGTCGATGACGATGGGGCGCTCGAAGCTCGTCGGCGGCGGCGGCGCGTCGACGTCGATGACGACCGGAGCCGACGGCGGCGGCGCGTCGGTGTCGTCCTCGTCGCCGGAGTCCGACGCGCCGTCGAACCACGCGACCGCGGCGGCGCGCCCGCGGAGGCCAGTCGCCGCGGATGCCCAGAGCGTCGCGGCCGTGGAGTCCGACGCGATGCGCCGACGACACGAAAGGCCAGACGTGCTTCATCTGCACGCAGGCCCTCCACTGGAAGTCGAAGGAGGGCCTCGTGCGCATGTGCGCGTGCCGCGGGACGGCGGGCTTCGCGCATGTGTCGTGTCTGGCGGAACAGGCGAAGATTTTGGTCGCGGAGGGCGAGGAGAACAATTTGGGCGCCAAGGCGCGGACTGAGAGGTGGCATCGGTGGGACGAGTGTAGCCTGTGCAAGCAACGATACGACGGCGTCGTTCGGTGCGCGCTTTCCTGGGGATGCTGGAAGACGTACGTGGGCCGGCCGGAGACGGATGAGGCTCGGCGATTGGCGATGAGCCTGCTTGGGAACGGTTTATTCGACGCAGAACACTACGAGGAAGCGTTGTCCGTGAGGGAGACTGAGCTGTCCATGCTACATCGCATTAAAGCACCAGAATACAACATCCTCTGCGCACAGGGCAATCTTGCGATCTCGTATGAATGGGTTGACCGCAACGACGAGGCCTTACGCATCCGACGGGATCTATACGCTGGACGCTTGAAGCAAAATGGCGAAGAACATAAAGACACACTTATAGAAGCCAATAACCTCGCGAATCTGCTCTTTCACCTAGATCGCTTCGAAGAGGTTAAGTCTCTGTCGCGCAAAACGATGCCCGTGGCGCGACGCGTTCTCGGCGAGGGTCATGGACTCACTCTCAGAATATTGTTGAGTTACGGGCGGGTGCTCTACAGGGACCCCGACGCCTCGCCCGACGATCTCCGCGAGGCCGTGACGACGCTCGAGGAGACGGAACGGATCGCGCGGCGCGTGTTCGGTGGCGCGCACTCGCTTACGAAGGCGATTGAGCGCCACCTGCAAAACGCGCGAGCCGCGCTCCGCGTCCACGAGACGCTGTCGCCGAAAGGGTAAATAGAATCACACAAAACCTAAAGAACCTAGAACCGCAGCGACTCGGGGTGCTCGTCGTCCATTGATGCGGGCGACCGCGACCGCCGCGACCCGAGCGCCTCGAGCAGCTTGTTCGACGACGCCTCCAGCCGCCGGTACCACTGCGGGCTCCGGAGCGCCTCGGGCCGCAGTTCCGAGCGCACGCGGCCGCCCATGCCCTCTTCCGACTCGACCGAGGGCAGCGACCCCAGCGAGTCGGGGAGCGTCAGGGACAGCATGGACGACGCCCGCCGCTCGCGCCGCTTCCGCGCCGCGTTGAGGCGGAGCACCGTCGCTATGCGCCGCGCCGCGCGAGACCGCAACGCGGCCACGAGCAGCAACCGTTCTCTATGCGCGCGCCGCGCCGCCAGCACCAACAACACGAGCTTCGCCGACCCCAGCGTCGAGTAGACCGTCCTTCTCAACACCCGATACTCGAACGCGAGGTCTCCTAACTGTGGAAGGCGGTTCGCGACGCGCGACCACCGCTCGAACCCGTGGCCCAGCAACCAGGGCACCAGAAAGTCGTCCAAGAACCGCTTCACCGGTGCTGGTGGTGGTATACGTAATAAATGGTTCAAATCGCCCGCGCCGCGCCACCACCTCACGGTCGCGTCGACGGGCGGCGCGCGCCGCAGCCACGACAGCATCCTTAGGTTGAGCGCGTCGACGCCCCGCTTCGGTTCATTCGTATAGTAGTACCTGACCACGAGCCACCACGGCGGCAATAATACAAGGTCGAACCAGAACTGCCACCTTATGTATCTTTTAAAAGCCGCCCAGGGCCGCATGTCGAAATGACCCTTGGCATCCACCGACCCCGTCCGCAGGTTGAACAGGATCTCGAGGAAGGCCACGAGGAAGAACCACCTATCTCTAGACGCGCCTCTCGTCGCTTCTCCTAATGCAGCATCCACGCACGGCTGCATGAGCTCGTCCTGCGCGCACCGCGCGGCCGCGAACGTCTCGCGCGCGTCCGCCAGGATTCTTCCCACCAACAGACAGAAAACAAAAAAACGCCAGAGCACGCGCCAGAGAGCCGTCGGATGGGCCATGAGGAAGCGCCTCTGTTCGATCTGCGCTCTGTGCAGCAACTCAAAGGCCTCCGCGGCTCTATTGTACCTCCTCCGAAGCCGTCGTCGCAGCTTCCTCGACCGTTTGGACAGCGCGACGCCGAAGGACCTTACCCTTGCAATCTCGGGCGGGCTCGCGACGGACGTGCCGGACTTGGTACGTCGTAAGGACGGCGCTCGCTGTACCAAGTCCGGCGCTCGCTTGTATTCGTCTACTCTCGACCCGCTCTGCGTCCGCGTTGGCCGGCGACGCAGGCCCTCCGCGTCGTTCAGCGGAGCATCCTCCATCGCTGCGCGTCGTTCGCTGCGCGTCGTTCAGCGTTTGGCTTCACAGGCTGTCAGTGCTAATTGTTGGATTTTTAAGTGGCGTTGGGTGCGCGAGCGCTGGGTTTCCGCGTCGTCCGCGTACGACTGCACTACAGCGCTCCCTAAACAGTTCGACGACGCGTCAAACTGCCGCTATCCAGGCTTATCACTCGCAGAGCGCCCTCTCAGCCTGGTCGAACCCGCGAGTTCGTGGGCCCATGCGGGCCGAAATTTCTAGTGCCGACGAGTCTTCACTCACGGAAGAAGAGCCCTTCTCTACTGGGTGGTTTCATGCTGCGTGATCGGGCAAGGGACACCGTGGCTGGTAGCAGTGACAGCTCTGAGCGCTTACCGCGCGTCCCACGGTCGTGAGCGGGCGACAACGCTCTCACGTATACACAAAATACCTACGGAACGTCCAGCATGGCGCGCCGCGCACAGAATAGAGGAGCTGCCATTATTTTGGCCCTGGCGGTGAGCAGCAATGCACTGCGAACCCCGCTGCGACTGTCGAGACCGTTTTCGTCAAGAGTAGCTGACGTGCGGCGGCGCAGCGCCGCCGTCGCGCTCGACGACGACGGCGCGATCGACGCGGCATCAACAACCGACCTGAAACCGCTCGAGATTCCCACGGACGGTTTAGTACTTGCGGACGTCGAACCATTAATACCGGAGAAAACAGCATTCATCGACAGGCACCCGCTCCTGGCCAAGTCGCTGTCCATGGGCATCACCTACGGGTTGGCGGACATGACGGCGCAATTGTTCGCATATTTAGCACACGGCGAGGTCGTCCCGCTGGCCATGCGATGCAGAAGGGCCATCAGCCTGACGGGCGTGGGCTGCTTGGCTGTTGGTCCTCTACTCACTGTGTGGTTCGACTTCCTGGAGCGTATCGTACCAGGGCGGTCCAAAAGAGCAATTTTGAAGCGCACGGTCCTGGACCAGGCCATCGAGGTGCCCGTGATGATCTCGATCATCTTCTCCCTCTCGTCGCTGGCGGAGGGGCACTCTCCAGCATACTGCCTCGCGAAGATCCAGCTCAAGCTCCTCAGCACGTGGAAGGACTGCACGGCCGTCTGGTTTCCGGTCCAGTTGGTGAACCAGGGCCTCATACCGTTGCGGTTCCGGGTCATCTTCCAGGCCGTCGTGTCCTTCTTCTGGGACACTTATTTATCAATCGTGTCCCACTCGGTCGTCGTATAGAGACCTTCATGGGTCGCGGCGACGGCGTGCTGCTGGGACAGCACGCCGTCGCGGCGACACTCACCCGCGGCTCCGAGTCCCGTTCCGGCGGCCGCACACCAAGACTAATAACAATGTGAATCTTACGACGCGCCTAGCCCATGTCCGCGTCCGAGCCCGCGTCGAAGTCGCTCGTCGCGACGCCGTCGCCGACGGTCAGCGTGACCTTGAAGGCCTGTGTGGTAACCGACGAGTGAGTGTCGGCCGCGCATCGATTGAGGACACCGGCAACATGCCTTGTCGATGTCGTCCGGCAGCACGCAGACGAGGCCGAGCTCGCCCGAGAACGACGTGCCCGGCGGCGGGCAGGCCGTCACGGTCAGCGTCGTCTCCGCGCCGCCCCTTCTGTCCAACTTGCCGATGGCCGGCTCGACCGTGACCCACTCGGGCGCGTCCTCGAAGCCCGCGTAGTAGTCCTCGTAGCCCATGCTGTCCGGCACGACGTTGACGGTGGCCGAGTTGCCGGAGCCGGCCTTCATCTCGCCCTCGGAGACGGTGATGGCGCACTCGCCGTCCCAGCGGCCCATGACCTTGGCCGGAATCGGCACCTCGAACTTTATGTCGTCGGGCATCTCGGTCGCGACCTCGACGCCGCCGATCTTGTTGAACTCGGCCGGGCCCGCGTTGAGAATCTTGTTCTTCAGCGCGTCCTCGTCCATGAAGCGCACGACGGACGCCCGCGGCTGGGCGCTCGGCGCAAAGGCGACCGCAGGGGCAGCAGATAAAGCTAAGGCGAGGAGGATCGACTGCATTTTTGCGTAGGTTGGCTGGCGCAAGCACAAATTTGTGGCACGAGGTGAGAGAGTGATGCGATGCGTTGGTTTTGCAGAAGTGGCGATGCACAGCTCGACGATTGAGCCGAATGCCAACGAGATTTACCTCGACACGTCGAGATTAGCTAGTGTAAGACACACTAGACAAGCAGCCAAAACAAGTTTTTTGTGGCTGGCTCGCGATAGCAAGGGCATTTAAGCTTCGTATCCGCTGGCTGGGAACGCTCTTGCACTGGACCATTGGCTCCCATCACAATAAGGAGCAACGCGTTACCACAAATCGCCTCACACTGGAGTAGCAGCCGGAGTGGCTAACACGAGGAGCAGCGCAACATGTTAGCAACACGCCTCACCACCCTACGGCCCGCGCTCCGCACGCTGCGGCGAACGAAAACAACGAAGGCGAAAGACATGGTTGACCCGACGACGACGAGCGCCTGGTGGAAGGAATGGGCGGGGCAAAACCACCAGGGCTTTTTCAACGTCGGCGCCGCGTTCTTCCTCACGGTGCTCGCGTCGCAGAACTATAGCGGTCGTTTGGAGCGGGCCGCGCTGCAGGCGGATCTCGCCGCCGCGCAAAACGAGGCCGCGGCGCTGCGCGCGCGCGCCGCCGACGACGCCGCGATCGCGGACGCCGCGAAGCGCCTGTGGGTGAAACCCGCCGCGCTGCGAAGCGAAATCGAGCGGATACTGGACCCTCCCCTAGTTTTGCCGGGCCCGAGCGAGACGTCGCCGGCGCTCGTCTGAGACTAAGTTGTACACAAAACCATAAGTTCCACGACGCCCACCGACGCGTAACAACAAGTCCCACGAGACGCCAACCGACGCGACGACTACACGAAACCAGAAGTTACCACGACGAAGGAAACAAACCTAGGCCGCGACCTTGTTCGCCGGCACCTTGGCCGCCGCGAGCTCGTCGCGCATGGCGTCGATCGTCTTTTTGTAGGCCTCCTCGGTCCGGGGGTCGCGGAAGATGGCCGAGCCGGCGACGAACATGTCGACGCCCGCCTCGGCGACCTCCTTGATGTTCGCGCCGGAGACGCCGCCGTCGATCTCGAGGCGGATGTCGTAGCCGGACTCGTCGATCATCTTCCGCGCCTCGCGCGCCTTGTCGAGCGTCGCCGGGATGAAGGCCTGGCCGCCGAAGCCCGGGTTCACGGACATCAGCAGAATAATGTCGACCTTGTCCATGACGTACTTGAGGATGTCGAGGGGCGTCGCGGGGTTGAAGACGAGGCCGGACTTGCAGCCCGTCGAGCGGATGAGCTGGAGCGTGCGGTCGACCTGTGTTTTTTCGCGTTGATGGCGTGCCCGGCCCCCTACGCCATCGACGCGACGTTGAACAACGGACGCCGCATCCTGCATGGGGCGACGCCTCCGGGTGGAACGTGATGTACGAGGCCCCGGCGTCCGCGAAGTCCTGGACGATGCGGTCGACGGGCGACACCATGAGGTGGACATCAATCGGCGCCGTGACGCCGTGCTTGCGCAGGGCCGAGCAGACCATGGGGCCGATCGTTAAATTGGGCACGTAGTGGTTGTCCATCACATCAAAGTGCACGACGTCCGCGCCGGCCGCGAGCGACGCGTCGACCTCGGCGCCGAGCTTCGCAAAGTCCGCCGACAAGATGGAGGGCGCGATGAGGAAGTCCTTCTCGGGCATGATGAGCTCCATCTTGACAGACGCGCGGGCCGCGCGCGGCCGCGCCGCGGGCAGCGTCTTGGCGACGAGCGCGTTCGAGGCCGTGAGGGCGAGGGCGACGATGAGGGACTGCATCTTGTTTTGATCACCTGCGTGCGGCGGTCGGTTCCAATAGGCTGTAGGGCTCGTCTCGAGTGCGTCTCGCGGACATGTCTCCTTTCATAGTTCTCGGTTGCAGCAGTTGTTTGGTGGCGGTCCAGCGTCACTCGTGCACTCCACAATCGCTCTCGCGGTGCGCGGCGACGCGAGGGCTGGATGGTGCAAGCCTGAGGGCACAGCAAGACAGCCAAATGGTGCATCGCTGCTGCTGCTTTTGCAAGGACCGCCCGCCGTGGCAATCAGCACCTCTCTCGCGCTTTCTCCGTGTTCAACGCTGCCGCCAGACCGTCGCGCGGGGGGCAAAATCTGTGCTGCCGTATGACGCCATGTACTTCGAGCCCCCCTCGCTCCCGGTGTTTACTGCTCCTTTGACGTCGTAGCATCAGTGTAGGGGTCGCGTAGTGCCACGAAGAGGGCTGAAACGGCGCGCAAAACCCGATCTGGCGTCGAAGCTCTGCACCAAGATAGACGCTTATAGTTTGCTTGTTCGCGCGCCGTAGCCATCATGAAGCTTCGGTCTGCGCTCGTCGTCGGCAGCTTTGCCGCTGCATCTGGTACGTGCCCAAAAATCGCCCCCGGAGGCCGCTTAAATCGGCTGAGCCCATGGCATCTGTCCCGCCTGTTTGACTGCGCGCCGGTGCCAGAGGGCCCCGGACGCTGCCGAGCGCTGCGCGCGAGCCGCCGCTCGCCCCCGCGCCGCGCGGCGCGCGAAAACCGCCCCCTTTCCGACCGCAGGCTTCTCGGCCGTCGCCGGCAGCGACGCCGTCGCGCCGAAGAAGAACGTCAAGGACGGCTTCTTCGAGTGGCAGACGAAGCTCATGGACGACCTCGCGTCCAAGTACGCCAAGACCGACGACGCCGCGGCGCCGGCGTCGACGGCCGCGAAGGCGTCGTCCTCCTCCTCGTCGGCGAGCGACGACTCCTCCAGCGACGAGGTCGTCGAGAAGAAGCCGCTCGGCACGCGCCTCAAGAACGTGGCCGGCCGGCTCGCGTTCTGGAGGAAGTAGACTCGCGAGGGCACAGACCCGCGCCGGCCGCGGCGCGGAGGACCCGCTCTGGGAGGCGGGTAAGTATCCACACTACTAGTCTCTCATCGCGGCGATGGCGTGGCGGTGGCGTAGACGCGTCGGTGGCTCACAAGTTCCAACAACGGGGTCGTTGTCGAGATACGCCATCAGTTCAGGGAGTCATCGCAGCGAGCGAAAGACGCAGACAAAAGTCAACAAAGGAAGAACGTATACCACGGGGAAAAGGAAGGGGGGAAAGACTTCTCTAGTCCTCGTCCGTCGGCGGCGGAGTGGCCGCGGGGTCGGCGGGGAACGCCTGGCAGCCCGCGTAGATATGCTGGCAGCCGCAGAACTCCGTCAGGCCCGCGGCGATCGCGCGCTGGCCGCCGACGCACCAGTGCTCGTGGCCCTCCTTGTAGCAGACGTAGTTGTGGTCGTGGAGGTACTGCAGGACGGGCACCTCGTTGCCGTGCCAGACCACGAGCCAGGGGTGGATCTCCGAGAAGTCCGTCGACCTGTGCGAAGATCGACCGGTGAGTTAGGTTATACGCGATCGAGCCGACGCGGCCACGGGGACAACGTCGCGTTGATGGCGTGGAATCGCCGCGCCAACAAGCAGACGCAGCTAGGGAAGCACGTCGATGGCGCGGGCCGCCCAAAGTTTCATTTCCACACAGATAACAACAGCACGATGTCCGTGTCGATGTCCGGGTGGAGCGACTCCGTGTCCGTCGCGAGGATCAGGAGGTCCTGCAATCTCAACGTCTTCTGCGACCCGATGATGCGCTCGATGTGCCGCGACGTGCGCCCCGGCGGCCGCTCCATCAAGTGGATGAGCGTCTTGGAGATGACCTGCGGGCATCGCGTCGATGGCGTATGGGAGGGTCGCGGTGCCCCCGCGGACGCCATCGCCGCGTCGCAGAAAGGTAGGACGCCGCGCACAAACGCCGTCGGGCATCATCCTGAAGTAGTCCGCGGCATTCGAGTCGACGCGGTGCCCGCCGATCTTGAGCATGATCTTCGACTCGAATTGATCTTCAGCGTGGGTATCGAGGTAGTCCTTGAGGGACTGCAGGAGGCACGCGTGCGTGTCCTCGAAGGGCAGGACCATGGTCGACTCGTGGGCCTCGTAGTCGTGCGTCTCGATCGTTAGCTCGCGCGGGCCGGTGGTCTCGACTTTCTCGATGACGTCCTCCTCCCGCGGGCGCGCGAGGCCCGGGAAGCGCCAGGCGGCAGCCGTCGTGAGCGCGCACGCTAGGACGAGGCTGCGCATCGTGCAGCTTTGGTGTACAGCTGTTGTATGCACTCGTTATGGCTCAGCTGCAACCGCGCGTCAAGCAGCAAGGAAGCTAGTCTCCTCTAAGTCGACGACGGCGTTTTGCCGATCGCTGCTCGCGTAACCGCGGAGTTTAAGTTTCTACAATTCACATCCGACAAGCAGCCAATCGAGAGCGGCCTCACGAGGCTGATTTACAGAAGTCTGCAATCACCGCGTCTCGGCGACCTGCCGACGATCTTTAACGGCATCTCTGGGCCTTGCGCGCTAGCGGCTTGTAAGACACTAGCATGGTGCAAAAATCGAGCAATTGCACACACCCATGCGCCAATCGCTTCGTAGCATCCAATAGCCAGCTCTTTGATACGTTCTGTGACCGCTGCGAACGGCTGCAAAGCGCCACTGGTCGTGCAGCGCCAATGCGCCGCGCAATAGGCTGGCTGCTAGCCGCCGCATGTGCAGCCCAAAGCCCCGAAAACCGCGGCTACCTCTTCGTCTCGAATCGGTTAGATGAAGTCCTGCTAGCCGCCGCGCAACTAAAACGCGTCGACGCGCGCGCGAACTCGACGCTCGTCGCCGACGCCGCGACGCTGGGCGAATTGGCATCACGATCAAAACTGGGCGGCGCGGCTAAAAGACTGTTCGACGTCGTCATCGCGTCGGAAGAACTGTTCCCGGGCACGCGCACGACGGACTCCATGGGATTTCGATTGCAGAAGCTGCGAGCATTAAGGAGGACGCCCTACGCCAAGACTTTATATCTGGACTCGGACACGCTCGCGTGCCAATCGCCACAACCGCTCTTCGACGCCCTCGACGCGTACGACGCCGGCGGCGTCGCGCAGCATTCTACGATAGTGAACGGCGGCGTCCAGGTCTACCGGTCCAATTCAAAAGCGTTCGCTTTGTATGAGCGGTGGGAGTCGATGTTTTCTGCGGTGATGGCGACGCAGCGGCGCGAGCAGCCCATCCTGCAGGAGGCTTTGAAATGGGCCGAGGCGAACACTCAGATAAAGTACGGGCGGCTCGACAGGACGTTCAATTGTCGGGGCGCGGATACGTGTTCCGAGACGACTCTGAAAAGTGGCGAGAAGGGGCGCTGCGTCATCATCCACGGTTTGGAAACGGCGTCCGTTTTTTACTTCGAGCCGCGTCGATGGCGTAGAGGTGGCGTAAATCCCCCCAGCACGCCATCACCCCGACCAACCGTTCATTCGACGTATGGCGTGGCGGTCGCGTCGACGGCCTGGAGCTTGACGCCATCGAGCAGAAGACAGGACCGCTTACAAAAACACACAGGCCACGGCGTCGCGGCGGCGGCCGACGCCGACGCGCGGAGCGCTCCTCAATTAGGTGTGCGAGCGCGCCGCCAGGCCCTCACGGACGCTTATATGAGACCCTGCCCCCAGCTCGGCGGCGGCCACCCCCTCGTGGTGGTCGCCGAGGCCGGCGCGCACGGCGGCGGCCGGCGCGGCTTCGCGGAGGTGTTGCTGGAGCGACTCCAGACCCTCACGAAGGACAACGACGCGACGCCCTGCAAGGTCGACCGCCGCCAGAACCGCCGCGGCCTCGACGCGGCCCTGAAGAAGTGCTTCGCCTCGAAGACGCGCTACGCGGCCGTGGCCGTCGTCGCGAAATTACCCCAGCCGCCCCTGCACGTGCGCGGCGCGCCCGTGCTCATCGCTTGTGTGTGTGCAGTGTCCTTCAATCATGGTGTCGCGTCGATGGCGTACGAGATGCGAGAGAGCGAGAGTCGCGACACGCACGCAATCAAATAACGCAGGGGCCCACGACCCGGCCGTCGCCGCCGCTAGGGACGGCGCCGCGGCCCACCTCGTGGCGTGCATCCACGACGGGAAGCCGGGCCACGAGTGCGCGCAAGTCGCGAATCGCCTGGTGGCGTGGTTTATCGATGGTGAGAGCTGTAAAGGTTCGACGACGAAGGTCCGGTGCGCCTACAAACTCGCGGACGCGAACTTCCAGGTCGTCCTGGCGGAGTCGCGGCCGCGCACGTCGCTACGAGTGCTCGAGCGCGTGCTGCCGTCTCATTTTCTGAACGTGGCCAAGAGTGTGCCCGTTGACGACGCGGACCAGAACATCGAACGTCGCGCGGCGTTGAAGGAGCTCGCAGGCGACGTGCGGCGCTTCGGGGCGGCGAAGGACGACGCGTCTGCTTTAGCTTACGTGTCGGCGGCGCTGCGCGACGACTTGGAGTTGTACGATTTGTTGGCGGCGAAGCTGGATGATGATCTGCGGGCTTGTGACGCGCTGATTTTGTAAGTTTTTTGTGTTTGTGTTGATTCCTTTCGAGGTGTGGCAGCGTCGTCGACGAACGCGAACCTCAAAAAAGTACCTAATTGCCCCCAAGACACCAGACGACCCCCCAACTCCGGTTTTCGAGCACCCCCGGCGCTTGAGGAGAGGTCTCAGACGCGAGCGACGAATCATGTTCGGACATTGGAGCTACTAGCCTTACTTGATGACCGCGTCGTCGAGGGTGCGGCGCTTATCTACCGCTTATTCGCCGCGGTGAAGGGCTGACACAAGCTCACAGCTCGTCGACGAGCTGTCAGCAAGCCAGCACAGCTCGTAGCAGCGTGCCAGCATCATGGCTCGCGGGTCTCAGCGAAATAGGACGAGACGGCGCCTGCGCGTCGCGCTATCGACGATAGCGTGCTGCGCGCCCGCGGCCTCGCTCGTCGCTCCCGTCGCGCGAACAGCGCGCGCCAGCGTCCAGCGGTCGGCCTACGACATGGGCGGCCCGCCCGGCTTCTACACGGGGCCCGAGCGCACGCCCATCCTCGACAGCGTCGTGGAGCCGCGCGACATGAACGGCTTGTCGCTCCCGGAGCTCAAACAGCTCGCTCATGAATTACGTTGGGATACGATTCGGGCCGTCTCGAAGACCGGCGGCCACCTTGGTAGCTCGTTAGGCGTCGTCGAGCTGACCGTAGCCCTCCACAAAGTCTTCGACGCGCCGGAGGATAGAATACTGTGGGACGTCTCCCACCAGTGCTACCCGCACAAGATCCTCACAGGACGTAGATCTAGAATGGGCACCCTTCGCCAGCAGGGCGGCCTGTCGGGATTCCAGAAACGAGCGGAGAGCGAATACGACTGCTTCGGCGCGGGCCACTCGACGACCTCCATCTCCGCCGCCCTCGGCATGTCCGTAGGCAAGTCCCAGAAGGGCAAGCAGCAGAACAACTGCATCGCGGTCATCGGCGACGGCGCGATCACGGGCGGCATGGCGTTCGAGGCGATGAACAATGCCAATTATTTGCAGGCGCGCATGATCACCGTCCTCAACGACAACGGGCAGGTGTCCTTGCCTACCGGTACTCCTTCCGCCGGCGGCGTCGTGCCGTCTGGTGCTTTGTCGGCCTACACGTCTCGATTGATCTCTTCCAAACCTTTCGCGGACTTCCGCCAAGTAGCAAAAGGCATCTCGTCGTTGTTCCCCGAGGAGATCCAGCAGATCAACGCCAAGATCGACGAGTACGCGCGCGGCATCGTCACGGGCGGCACGCTCTTCGAGGAGCTCGGCTTCTACTACATCGGTCCGGTCGACGGCCACGACTTGGACAACCTCGTGCCGATCTTGGAGAATCTGCGGGATACGCCGTCGAACAAGCCCGTACTATTACACCTAAAAACGGAGAAGGGTTACGGCTACCAGCCGGCGATGACGGCGTCGGACAAGATGCACGGCGTGGCGAAATTCGACGTGGCCACGGGCAAGCAGTTCAAAGGGGCGCCTGCTCCTGCCGGGGCGCCGCCCAAACCGTCCTCGTTAACGTCGGTCTTCGCGAACGAGCTCTGTAGAATAGCAGAGACGGATCGCGACATCATCGGCATCACGGCGGCGATGCCCGGCGGCACGGGCATGGACATCTTCGGGCGGCGGTTCCCGAAGCGGACGTACGACGTGGGCATCGCGGAGCAGCACGCCGTCACATTTGCCGCTGGATTAGCGGTAGAAGGCCTCAAACCCTTCTGCTGCATTTATTCGACGTTCATGCAGCGCGGCTATGACCAATTGGTCCACGACGTCGTGATCCAGAACCTGCCGGTTCGGTTTATCCTGGATAGGGCCGGTTTGGTAGGAAACGACGGCCCGACGCACCACGGTAGCTTCGATTTGACTTATTTAGGATGCATGCCGAACCTCGTGATCATGGCTCCTGCGGAAGAAGTGGATTTGATCAACATGGTGGCTACCGCCGCGGCGATTGACGATAAACCTTCTGTCGTGCGCTACCCGCGCGGCACGGGCTACGGCCTCGAGAAATTGAATGATCTCTTCGGCCTGAACCTGAAAGAAATGCCGGAGGCCGGCGAGGTCCTGCCGATGGGCAAAGGTCGGATCATCAAGGAGGGTCGAGCTGGTGCCTCCAAAAAGGTCGCCATCTTGTCCTTGGGCACGCGACTCGCGGCGTCGTGCGAGGCCGCGGCCGAGATCGAGGGCACGAATGACGACATCGCCGTGACCGTAGCGGACGCGCGGTTCATGAAGCCGCTGGACATTGATCTCGTGCGCAAGCTCGCTTCCGAGAACGACGTGTTGATCACGATCGAGGAGAACTCGGTCTTAGGATTTGGCGACTACGTCTTGCACTTCCTGGCGTTGGAAGGCGCGCTCGATGACGGCAAGCTGAAGTTCCGGCCCATGGTCCTTCCCGACAGCTTCATCGAGACGGCGACGCAGTTCCAGCAGTACGACCAGGCGGGCCTCAACGCGAAGCACATCGTCGGCACGGTGAACAAGCTCATGGACCGCGCGACGGTGCCGGCCGTCTAGGTCTCTTTCGTCCGTATTTCCGCCGTAATACTAGTAGATTGATTACTTCTACGGGCCCGGGGCGGTGCCGCGGTGGCGCCCGGCTAGCGCCCGGCGTATGGCCCAGGTATGGGGAAGTCGATTCTAGTACTAGAAGTAGTATACGAGTACAATTACGCTCACCGCATCGACGGCGACGGCGTGTGGGGCGGTACTTGGGCTGTTCTTGCCTGGCTCCGCGAGACTGTGGTTTCTTGGGAAGACCTCGAGCAGGTACCGCACCGCGGCGGATGTGGCCTTGTGCCGGGGGACCGAGCGACGTGTCCGCATCATGCGCGGGCGGCGGAGTGCGCGGCAATGTCGCGGCGCAGGTTCGCGAGTCTCGCCCTCAAGTCCACGAGCACGTCCGTCGGCTGCGTCGTCGGCGGCGCGGCGGCGGGGACGGTCGCCTCCTCGGCCGTGAAGGCGCCGTCGAAGGCGGCCGCCGCGGCCACGTTCGCGGTGGCAGACGCGGCGGCGGCGACTTTGGCGGCGGGATTCTTGCGCGGCTTGCCGTTGTTTGGCCGCTGGCGGTTCGCCCGCTGGACGCGCTCCTCCATCGACCTGCGCGCCTGCGTTTGCCTCCTCTTGATTTCTTCTAACGCTTGGCGGCCGCGGCCCGCCTCGGCCAGCACGAAGTAGCTGGAGAGGAGCAAGAAGACGTAGACCGTGCGGGGGCAGCCCATGGTGGTTGATAGGATGCACTGTCTGTCTTTGACAACACACACCAACTGATTTGTAATTTGGCACCGATTTGCTGAGCGCGACTCGTCGCGCGAAAGACACGTGGGGCGGGCTCACGAAGGATCGGTGCGCGAGAAGAATTGTGTGGCTAAAACTGTTACCTAGCGGCAAGTAAGACACTAGAAAGCCGCCGCTCTCCTTGGTTTTGAACCAGTGTGCCACACTGCGGCGTCAGCGCGCTTTGCCAGAGCCGTACGAGCACTGCATATTGCAAAGGAGACGATCTCTCAGCCGCGCGCCAGCCCAAAAGCACCACTGCGCGGCTCCACACTGCAAAACCGCCCTGCCACAGCATGAGGGGCAAAAAGATGCAAGAAGCAACCACGCTAAAACGCGTCAAGCCCGAGCCGAGCGACGGCACGCCGGCGAACAAGCGCCTGAAGCCGGACGAGCTCGAGCGCGTCGTGACGCCGGAAGGGGATTCGCAGCAAGTCGAGATCGACCACGTCGTCGACCCCGAGACGCGCGCGCGCGAGGCCATCCGAGCGGCCGAGGCCGCAGGAGACATCATCGATGTGGACGCCCTGGACGACGCCGCCGCGGCGCCGCTGGTCCACGAGCCGGCGACGGCGCCGAAGGAGATTGTGGTGAAGGCCGAGAAGCTCCAGCAGGCCAAGGACGCGACCGCGGCCCGCCATGCTGCCGAGGTGTCGTATCAAACACGCGTCTGGGCCCACGACAAGGCCGAGGCGGCTCCTTTGGGCCAGGGCCGCACGGCCAAGATCAATTGCGCCTGCGTCATCGCCGACGCGGACGCCCAACACTTGGAAGTCGGGCGCGCGGCGTCAGGCGCCGGGCTCGCGGCGCTAAGAAAAGCGGCGCCGGCGCTGGACTCGATCCTTAGAGCAGGCGGCGGCCAGCTCATCGCGGCGACGGCGACGCCACAAGCCATGGCCGCGACGGAAAAGGGCGAGACCATCGTCTCCTGTTCTGCCGAGGCCACGGTCAACGCGGCGATGGTCGAGCACCGCGGCGGCCACTACGCGGACGGCCACGCCGGCATCGAGGACGCCGTCGGCAGCGTACTACGAGCCACCGACACTACCGTAGCCCTCTCTCTCAAGACCAGTGGGCTCGACCTGCCGCCTAGGGCACAAAGGGCCAAGTGGTCGTCACTAAGGACGTGCGATGGGCTCGCCGACGCCTTGGAGACCGAGGGCGGCCCCAAAAATGGAGACGGTTTGCTGGAGGGTGTTGAATTAGGCGACTACCAGAGAGAAACGATAGCGTGGCTGGTCGCGCGCGAGACGTCATCGAGATCCATGGAGGACCTCTTCTCGTCGAGTTTCTCGAAGGACCTCGCCGTCGTCACGCTGCCGGCGCCGCGCTTCCGGCACGACTGGCCCAAGGGCGGCGGCACGGAGGCCGAACGCGCCCAGCAGAGAGCTAAAGCAGACGTGCGGTGCTACTTCCGGTCGCCCGTCGCGCGGAAACATCGGGGAGGTTTTTTAGCGGAGGACATGGGCCTCGGCAAGACGCTCGAGGTTATATGTCTGACGCTGGCGCACCCGGCACCCGTAGCATGGGTCGCGGCGTCTAGAAGACGTATCAAGGCCACTCTCGTAATAGCGCCTCCCTCGCTCTTGAGCCAGTGGGCGCGCGAGTGCCGCCACCGCGCGCCTCAATTAAAAGTGCTCGAGTACGGCCTCCAGGCCACGGACGGCGTGTTACGACAGCGCGGCGCCCGGGAAGCTGATTTGATCCTTTGCGCCTACGCCGCCGCGGGTGCTCTAGGAGACGACGTCGAGTTCTGGCGCGTCTGCTTGGATGAGCCCCACGCGCACTTGACGGCCCGGCCCACGGCGAACGCCATTAACTTCTCGCCAGCTGTGTCCGTGACGGCGGCGGTCGACGCGCCTCATAGGTGGTGCGTCACGGGCACGCCGGTCACGAACTCCTTATTTGATTTGTTGGGGCCGCTCGTCTTTTTGAGATTGGCGCCCGAGTTATTATCATTGAACTACTTCCGCTGCATCCTGGCCAACAACTGGCTCTCGCCCTTCAACTCGACGGCGGAGGTCATGTGCTCGTTACTCAAACCTCTGGTCGTGCGCCACTCGAAGAACGCGGAGCGCGACGGGGCCGCCTTGGTCGCCCTGCCTCCACTAGAAGCGCGCGACGACCGCGCCGTCCACGTGAAGAGCGACCTCTTCGACAAGCTGGCGGCGAAGAAGCAGCCGGAGTGCCGGCTCCACGCCGCCGCGCAAGCGCTGAAGCCGCTGGATTGGTTGTGCGCGGGCGTCGATCCCGCGGAGCGCCACAAGCACGACTCCATCGCGGGCGCCTCGAATTTGGATAAATTGCCCGTCAACGTGCCGCGGCGGCCGGACGCCGAGGCCACGGCCGACACGGTCGCGACGCAGGACCTGCACGCGTTCCGCCGCGACCTCGACGAGAACCTGCGGAGCCGCGGGACGGAGCGGCGCTGCGTGTGTTGTTTGCGGACGAACGTTGGGAGCTTGGCGCCGCGCGCGCCGGCGACGTGCGGGCACCTGTTCTGCGGCGATTGCGTCGAGAGCCTCTTCGAGAGGTGCAAGTCCACCTCCGAGACCGTGGAGGGCGTTCAGTACGCCGTTCCCGACGACCAGCTCAAGGCCGACGACGTCGTCCGGGACCGGCCCTACCTCATGGTCACGGGCGGCTTCCCCTCCGGTTTACATAACTACGCCGATCAACGACGGGCCACGGAGGCGCTGGAGAGATTGTTTGCTCCGTACTGTGACTCGCGCCCGGAGGTCCGTTTATCCGTCGAGTACGGCAAGGACCCGCGCGCGAAGGTGATCCTGGCGTCGCGCGAGCAGGAGGACCGGGCGGCCCAGGCGTTACACGGCAAGGACGCAACAGAAGTCTTTCCTGGCGCGGACTTCTCCCACTACGAGGACGAGGTGCCGCCCATTTCCGTGGCGCGGCCCCACCGCACGCTCGCGTCGGTCGTGTGCCCCGCGTGCAAGGGTCGCTTCTGCGCCGAGGACCTGTTGGACCTCGAGGACGATGTATTGGATGTGCCGCAGGGCGGGCGCTGGTCCGTGGCCGTCCGCAACTTCGCGCTGACACGCGCGCGACAGAGAGCCGCGCGGCGCGCCGCGGAGAAGGCCGCAGTCAACGAGGCCTACCTGGCACCGGCCAAGGCCAAGGCCGAGGAAGTCGCGAGCTGTGTGGAAATCAACCAGTGCGTCGGGTGCTCATTTCTCGGCGATGACGCGGCCGTCCTGGCTCGGTCGAGCGGTGAGGAACCGGCATCACCACGTCATCGAGCAGGCGTTGCGTCGATGATTTTGCACGAACGCACCGTAAATTTTTACTTCCACACAGGTCGTGAGATTAGTAACGCAAGATGACCGGAAGGCGATTGTCTTCTGCGACCAGGCCGAGAGCGTGCCGCTCGTAGTTGCTGCCCTAGAAACCGCCGGAGTGGCCGCGGCGTCGTTCACCGGTGCGGCATCGCGTGCGAAGCGAGACAAGGCGATTGCCGGCGATTGGACCGTGCTCGTGACGACTGTCGCCGCGGGCGGCGTAGGTCTCAATTTGACCCAGGCGTCGCGAGCCGTCTTCTTCGAGCCGCTCCTCGACCTCGCCGCGTTCCGCCAGGCGATTGGTCGGGTCCACCGCATCGGGCAAAAAAGATCGGTCGCGGTCCACGTGCTGGCGGTGGCCGGCACGCACGAGCACATCGCCCTCGACCTGGTCACGAAACGCATGAACGCGACGGACGATGAGGCCGACCAACGGGCCCTGAAGCAGCAGCGGCTCTGCAAGACTTTTAAATTGCTCTAGGTCGACTCGGATGTACGCGGCGGGGCGAATGGTAATCCTATTTAACTATCTACAAACTTTGAGGAAATCTTGACTTAGAACAGAAGCACATGCGCCCCAAGCTAGGCGCGCGCCGCCATGTACTTCTCGAGCTCCTGGAGCAGGAACTCGGACTTCGAGATGACGCGGCCGCCGGGCAGCATGATCTCGAAGTCGACGCCCGCCCAGATCGTGTAGGTCTGGTCGTGCTTGCACTCTTTTGTCGGGTCGAACACGTGGGCGACCGAATGCGGCGGCGCGATCTCCGTGATGCGCATGCCGGCGAAGATCGCGGAGGACGCGCACGCGGCGGCCTCCATGGCGCGGCACGTCTCCGACTCGAGGACCCATGAGTGGTTCGATCTAACAGCATCCCAATTTCTGTAGCTCGAGAGCACATTCATCACAGGAGCGAAGTCGCCGATCGAGTACCACTTGGTCATGGGCGGCTCGCCAGGGCCCGTGGCGGGAACCGCGAACCGGATCTGGAACGTGAGCGGCGTCTTCGCCGCATCGAGAGCGGCTTCGAGCGACGGGAACTTGAGGAAAGGCGCCGCCGCCGCCGCGCCGTCCGTCGCCGCGAGGCCTTGCACCGGCCCGCGCGGGACCGGGTTGTTGCAGGGGGAGCCGTCTTTTCTGCGGCAGGGCGCACACCCACCGCAGCGCTTCATCACGGGCGGCGGCGGCGGCGGCAGTGCCGGGGCGGCGGTCCGGGACCGCGCCGACGAGCCGCCGCCCGTCGCGAGCGCGTCGATCGCCTTCTTGCACGCCGCGACGCGCGACGCGGCGCGCTCGTGGTCGTCCTTGCGCGCGCCGACCGCGGCGAGCGCGGCCCGCGCGAGCGGGTGGTCGGCGCCGTAGTAGGCGGCGAAGGCCAGCGCCCAGAGGACGCACTTGCCCTCGTCGAAGAACTTGTCGTTCGTCGCGTGGAGGATCGGGAGCAGGTGGTCGCTCGACTCGATGACGATGCCGTTCGGGAAGCGCTTCGCGATCGAGGGGTCCACCATCGGGAGGTCCTCGCACGGCAGCTCCAGAGGGACCAGCGTCGGGTCGAAGCCCATGGCCCGCGCCTTGAGCATCGTGATGCGGCCCGCGTAGAAGAGCAAGGCGAAGAAGAGCTTCCCAAAGATGCAGTAGAAGAGGGTCAGCATGTCGCGCTCGAAGTGGAGCTTCCCCGACAGAATCGCCTTTTGCAGAGCGAGATGCAAAATCTTCGGGGCGTAGAACTTGCCCTGGGCCCCTATCTCCTTCTTCTTCGACTCCTCGGCGTCGATGTCCTCGCACGTCTCGATGAAAGGTCCAGCCACGCCCTTGCCCGTCAGCGGGTCGAACGCCATCAGACCCCAATCCAGCAAGCACAGCCCGCCTTCGCCCCCCGGCGTCTCGTGGAGCCCGAGCTTATCTAAAGCGGCGTTGATCGCTGGAACCTCGCCGAGGTTCCGAGAGAAGAGCCGCGCGTAGTCCGCCAGGAAGGTCGGGCTTCTGAGATCCAGAGAGACCTCAGAGCCAGTGTCCGTCATCACCACGAGCGGCTCGCGCGACGCGGAACTAGACTTCGAGGCGCTCTCCACAACCGCCCGCGCCCAGTCGTAGCCCTGGTAGGCGTCGCCCAACGACGCCGGCGCTTCATCGGAAACAGCCATGGCGCTCAGTCTCGCCGCGCCGACCCGACCCGATTGAAGCCAGCCGCGCGACGCCGCGCCGCCTCCTAAAACGCCGCCGGCCGCCGCGCCGAAGCCGACGCGCGGCGCGTCGCCGCAGGCCGTGAGGCACGCCCGCGCGTCGCCGCGGTTCCAATCCCGGAGCGCGACGACGTCCCGCGCGTCGCGCGTCGGCGCTTCGCGCAGTCTTGCGACCAGCCGCACCAGCGCGCGCTCGCTCGCCCGCACCCCGAGCAGGGTGAAGTCCCTCCCAGTGGTCAGGGCGGTCGTCACGCACCGTGCATTCGTCGTCATGCCGACGCGGCGCAGCTTCATCTCCAGCGCGCGCTTTATTTTCAACAGAGCACGCGCCCAGTCCGCGCCCATGTCCTCCAGAGACACGCCGCGGCGCGCGGCGGCCTTTTCGACGACGCCGATGATGTACTTGTCCTTGAGGTCGCCGATCAACCAGGCCCCCGACATCACGCCGCCGCCCGCGCCGAAGGGCATCGCGCCGTCGTCCTCCTGGCCCGGCACCAAGGCGTCGGGCAGCTTGACCTCGCGCGTCATCTCTCGCACCTCGCCGTCGGCCTTGGCCTTGGAGACCGTCGCGGCTTTCTCCTCCTCCTTGAGGGCTTTCCAGAAGACTTGGCAGTTGTTCGCGTTCCCGGCCCGCGCCTCGAAGGTCCTTATCCCCATCGTCACTTTTCCGTCTTTGAAGAGGACGGCCCGCCACGCGGCCTCCCTCGCCGGCTGGTCGAGGTCCGCGAAGAGCAGGTCGCACTCGCCGCGCTTCTTCCTCTCCTCCTTGTCGAGCTTGTCCTTGGCCTTGCGCTTCTGCGTCGCAAGGTCGTTGATCAGGAACCGCACGTAGGTGCCGATCCAACCTCTGTCGGTGCCCTTGCCGCCGTCCTGCCTAAATGTGCCGTCCGTCGGCACGTCCGCGAGCGTGAGCGTCGCGATGATCTTCTTGATGTTGTGGACGTTCGTGGCGTCGACGTTCGTCCACTTCGACGACTTGTTCTTCAGGTCGTCCGGGCCGTCCGGGAACGGCGTCGCGGTCTTGACCTCCTCGAGCAAGGCGAGGCACCGCGACTCCCGGTCGGCTTCTTTTAGGTCGGCCTTTGACCCCCTCGGCTTCTTGCTGCTACCCATGGCTAGGTGGCACGACAATGAGCGCGGTGCGTCGGCGCGGCGTCTTGCGGGCGACGGCGTCTACTGGGACCGCCTTCGCGTGGTCGGGCGTGTCTGCGGTGCGACCTGCGCCGCTCCTCGTAAAAATCGACGACGCCTTATCGGCGCGTCCCCGTCGTGCCGCCGCCGCAAGCATCACCGCCGCACGCGACGCGCCTCCGAGCGCTGGGCCGCCGCCACAGCCTCGGGAGTCGCGCCGCGCCCGCGCCGTCGCCGCGCGCCGCCCAGCACCGGTACAGGGAGCCCCATGGCTTTGTTCCTCCGGTGCTGGACGGCGACGCGGGCCCGCGCGGCCGCCGCCGCGGTCGCAGCCGAGTCGGTACACTCTAGGACCGCTCAGAACGAGATCCGTGTGGTGTGGAGGCTGTGGTGGTGTTTTTTTTGGGTGTGGCCACTCTCGGCGTGTGAAGTTATTTTTGTGCGCGGCAGCGGCGTAAAGACTCTAGAGTGACTCGGACGCGGGTATTCGGGACCTCCTTTTGGTGCTCAAATGGCTGCCTTGGCTGCCCAGCGCTTGCAGGCGTGCGCAGGGACCTTCTCGCGGTCGATCCCCGCAGCTAGCGTAGTGTTTTACTAGCTTTGCGCAGCGTTGACAACCATTTTGCCAATGGGGCTGCACCACCATCAGCGGCGGCCGGCGCCGGCCGCCGAGCCCGTCGATGGCCTCCCGACAACCGACAGACGTCCGCACCACCGCGGCGGACGAGCTACGCATCCTCGGGCGCCGATTGGGGCCCATCCTCATAATCTCGTACAGCGCCGTTTGCCTACAGCACAAGCTAGGAGCCGGAGAAGGCGTTCGGCGGCGTCGTAGCGGACGCCCTCGACACGTAGAACCCCTGGGGACGTCGCGACGCAGCAACGCGCGCCCTGCACCATCAGGAAGGGAAATGTCATATAGCGTCGCGGGAGGCCTACAACTACCCTCACCAGCGGAGAGCTGGCGCCGAGGCGGCGGTGCTTGAGTTGTCGGCGGCGTCTTAGGCGGCGCCGGCGTCGAGAGGGCGACGGACGATGTAAATGGGTGAGTGGCCCAATCGGCCACGCTCGCTTGGCGACGGACGGTCTGAGGCGGAAAGCGTGCCGCTCGTCGTGGCCGCGCTGGAAGCTGCAGACGTCGCGACGGCGTCGTTCACGGGCGCGGCTTCTCGCGCGAAGCGGGACAAGGCGATTGCCGCGGATTGGACTGTTCTGGTGACGACGGTCGCCGCGGGAGGCGTCGGTCTCAATTTAACGCAAGCGTCGCGAGCCGTCTTCTTTGAGCCTCTGCTGGACATTGCTGCGTTCCGCCAGGCGATTGGTCGCGTCCACCGCATCGGGCAAAAAAGGTCGGTCGCGGTGCACGTGCTGGCGGTGGCCGGCACGCACGAGCACATCGCCCTCGACCTGGTCACGAAGCGCATGAACGCGACGGACGACGAGGCCGACCAGCGGGCCCTCAAGCAGCAGCGCCTCTGCAAGACCTTCAAGCTTCTCTAGGTCGACGTACGCGGCGGCGGCGCGAATGGAATCCTATATTTAACTATCTATTCATTCTCTCTCTCGCTCCCTCGGTTCTCCGGGAGGAGCCGACGGCTCGACTGCCTCGCTTATCATGTTACTGCCTCTCTGATACGAGCTGTATCTAAAATCTAGTGTGTAACCTGCACGCTAGCTTCTTGCACCGGCACTTTTGCTCGGTAGTTTCACCCCTTGAGGGGGCATTGGGGTCTGCAAAAGTGGTGCGTTGTGCAGCGGACAACCATCACTATAAACGCCGCAGCCCTACGCCATCGACGCTCGCAGCCTAGGCCAAACACAAGAGGAGGTGCATTAGCCCATTTATCGGATAGAGACGCGGCAAGCCGTCGCCGTGGCAGGAATGGCCACAACGAAGGGGCGGCCCCGCGCCTCGCGCAGCCCGCCGGCCCAGCCGCTGCCGCCGAACGCCATCGAGAAGATTAGGTGTGTACCGGGCAACGACTTGTGTTTGGACTGTAGAGCTGCCGAGCCGGACTGGGCCGACGTCCAGCATGGAAGCTTGCACTGCATCCAGTGCGCGGGCCGCCACCGGGGCCTGGGCGTGAAAGTGAGCGTGACACGAAGTTTAACCATGGACAACTGGACCGAGGCCAATTTGTTAGCCATGTTGTTAGGAGGGAACAAGCAACTCAGAACCTTCTTCGAGACGCACACGATTGAGAATAGCGATATTGAGGTCCTGTATCGGACGAAGCAGGCGTCGTACTACCGAGAGCAGCTCCAGGCGCAAGTTGCGAAGATGGCGCTACAGCGACGCAAGTCCAAGAGCCCGCCTCCTATTAGTATGCCGGCCACACCAGAACCTCCACCGAAGCCCGACGACGGCTTCGCGCGCGATTTTGATGTGGCTCTACGCACGCCCTCGCTAGGGGCATCGTTAACTAGAGCATTGCCGCCGCCCGGCGTCACGTCGCCCATCCAGGGCAACGGTTCCATGGCGCTCGTGACCAAAGTCGTCACGAACGGGCCGGCCCACTCGGCCGGCGTCCGCGTGGGCGATTATGTGGTTGCGCTGAACGGGCGGCCAGCCACCGACTACGACGAGGTCGTGGCCCTGTTCGCGCGCGCGCCGCGGCCGCTGCGGCTGACGGTGCGGCGCTTCGGCGGCGACGCGTCCGCGGCCGGCGCCGATGAAGCCGCGCGCGACGCGATGCGCGGTGCCTCGCCGCCGCCGCCGCCGCTCCCTGAGAAGTCCGCGGCCTTTGGAGGCGCGCCGCCGCCGGCCACCGAGCCAGAGGCCGCCCAGGACGCGCCGGAGACGGCACCGCCGCCGCCCGCGCCGCCGCCGCCGCCGGACTCGCCGCCGACGCCGAAACGGAAGCCGCCGGAGCCCGAGGTCCTCGAGGCGTCGTTCGGGCCCGGCCCGCTGGGCCTCACCGTCGACCGCGACGCCGCCGGCGCGCCCTGCGTCACGCGCGTGGCCGAGGACGGCCAGGCGTCCAAAGCTGGTGTCAGAGTGGGCGACGTGGTTATAGCGCTGAACGGGACTAGCGCGCCGGCCTACGAATCTGTGGTCCGGGACCTGCCCGCGCTGCCGCGGCCGACTTTGTTAAAATTTCGACGGCCCCAGCAGATCGTCATCGACGACGCGCTGAAGCCGTCGCCGACGAAGCCGCCCCAGGTGACGCGCGCGCGCGGCCCTGCGTTCAATGGTAAAGGGTCCAAGGTCTTCGCCGAGGAGCTCGACGACGGATCCACCACCAAGGTCGGGCTCCCGTCGCCCGACGACGCGAACGAGTACGACGTGACCTTCGAGAGCGGGCCGCTCGGCTTTCGCCTCGAGGAGCGGGGCGGCCTCGTGGCCGTGTCGCTCGTGACCTCGGTGGATGCCGCGGGTCAAGCGGCGGCGGCGGGCGTGCGGGCCGGCGACGTCGTATTGGGCGTCAACGGCGAGCGGTACCTGTCCCACGCGCACACGGCGGCGACGCTCAAGCACGGGCGGCGGCCGGTCGAGCTGCGGCTGCGGCACAGCGACTGAGTTGTCGATCGTCTATTTTAATAATTATATGTATCCAATCTCTCGACTGGTTCGGGTTCAGTTTGTTTAAGCTAGCGTAAAAGTACTAAGCGCAGGCGACCGGGTCTCTGGCGCGGCAAAGCTCTGCGTATATATCGCTAGGAGACACCGGACTTGCAGGATACGCTGCAGTATACAGCCGCTACGCTGCGCTAACCAGCGCGCGCCGGACAAGAGCTCTGAGATAGAGTTGGGCCCCAGGGTCACAAGCCACCACGTTCACAATAAGATAAACTCGGCGCGGCATAAGCTCCCGAGATCGCCAGAACGCGGTCAAGATGGCCGAGATCCCAACCCTGGTCCCGCTCCACTGCGCGTTCTGCCTCAAGCACCTGCCGATGGACGGCGCCCCCACCATCTTCCCATGCGCCCGGTGCTTGACGCCGTACTGCTCCGTCGACTGCCGTGCGAAGGACAAGACCGAGGGGTGTCGTCTGCGCTGGAACGAAGCCGCGCTCGACGAGGAAACCGGTGAATGCGTGCGCCCCGCTCGGACGAGACACATGGACATCTGTGGCGACATAGCGCGCGTCGGCCTGGAGCAGCACTACGCGAACGTCGAAGCAAAGCAGGAGGGGCTGGCCGCCGTGCGTTCGAACTCATTTGAAATAGCGCGGGCGACGCAAGATCTAGACGAACCGCCCACGTGCTACATTTGCCTCGAGGGCGGCGACGGCCTCGTGCGCGAGTGTAACTGCCGCGGGAACACGGGCTTTGCGCACCTCGAGTGCTTGATTCAATATGCGAAGACGCTGACGCCCCAGAACTCCTTCTCGTTCCGGTGGCACTCGTGCCGAAATTGTCGATCCAGCTTCACGGGGACGACGCGACTCGCGCTCGCCCGTGAGTGCTGGAAAACTTACTGCTCCGAGCCCGAGGACGACTGGCGACGCATGTGGGCCCTGGATACGCTGGTGACGCCGCTGTCGGAGGAGCTTTACTGCTATCCCGAAGCTTTACGCGCGGCCGAGGCGCATCTGGCGACGCTGCAGAAGCACTTTAGCCACGAAGACCCCACCGGCGACAGAGTCACGGCCGCCAAAGTAAAGCTCATCATGTGTCACACGAAGCTCGGGCGGCACGATGAGGCGTTACAACTGGCCGAAGAAGTCTACGCCCACAACATGAGCCAGTACGGTCCGGACCATAGAAGCACGCTGAACGCAGTCAACAACTTGACGGTGGGTCTTGCTGGCTGCGGGTTCGAGGTGCGGCGCCGGACGCTCCTACGGGACGCCTACGAAAGGGCGACGCACCTTCTTGGAGCCGAAGACGATACGACCTACAATCTCCGGAACGGCCTCGCGTCGTCGCTGTACCGCGCCGGCGACGCTCCCCGCGAGGATATGGTCGAGGCTGCTTCGTTACTGGTGATATCGGTGCGGGTCGCGCGGCAGACCTACGGTAGCGGGCACGAGATAACCACGATCGCGGTCCGTTTCCGCGATCGTGTGTCGAGCTCAATCGCCGCGTTTGATCGCGATTCGGCCTCCCAGCGGCCGATGAAAAGACGGCGTCTACGACTGCGCGACGTCGATCGCCGCGCCGAATTAGCGAATGCGGCACCTGTTCTGAATGAAAAGCGCATCAGCCGCGCGGGACAGCGGGATACCCACGCGTGGGCCGATTATTACGGCAAGGGTCTCACGACGTTGGGGCAGCATGTCGAGGACGACAAGGGGGCGTCGCGACCACCACCGGCTCACCGCCCCCCTCTCATCGACGAGGACGGGTACGTGCCGCCGCCGCCGCCGCCAAAGCAATCCCGCTGCGCCGTCTCTTAGAGATCTAAAAACCGGGAAGTATGTTACAAGCAATGGGGGATGATTCTCTATGTGCAGCAAACAAGGGGGTGATGGGCGACGATGTGAGGAGTGCGGCTTCCGAGGCGGCAACTCCCTGACGTTGCGGTTTCTCGCGCAAGTGGTCAAGCGGAGCCTGCTGGCGTCCTGTAATGTTCATGGTCGGGCGGGGGAAGTATGTATATCATATCAATCAGTCCATCTCGAGGGAGGGCCGCCGCTGCGGCCGGTCCAGCTCCGTCTGGTCCGTCGGCGAGTCCTCGAGCGTCCTATAGATCTCCGTCGGCGACTCCTTGCGCGACGACGCGCCGCTCCGCTGCGACGCGTCCATCTCCATGGAGCCCGTAACCTTGGGCGGCCGCCGCCGCCGCGGCGGGCTCTCGGCGACGGCGGCGAGGTGGTCGTCCATCTGAGAGGGCGAGTTCCGGCCCGGCGTCGACGCGGGCGTCGACTGCGGACTCCGCTCGAAGGGCGGCGTCCGCGCGGCGGCGGCCATGCGCGGGTCCGGCGGCGACACGATGGGTTTCGTCGACGAACTCAGCTCGATGAGCGGCGCCTGGCGCCCCTTATAAGCAGCGCTGGGATTCATGTTGGCCATGTTTTGCTCGTCGTAGTCCTTGGACCGGCGCCTCGCACTCAGATCCAGCGCGCACTCCAGCAAATGGAAGGAAGAAGCGGGCGCCATATTATCGTCATACGTCGTCGGCCGCACCCACGAGCTTACCAGAAACTGTTTTAGTTTGGTCCGCTCCTCGGGCCGGGCCTTCAGTAAACCGCGCACCGCATCGGCGCAGTCCTCCGAGACGCAGTCCCTTAGCGAAGAGTAGGTCTTGCGCTTCGGCTTGCCCCTCGAACAAAGGAAGCCGCAGAGCTGCTCGACGCCCGTCAGCGGCTCGCCGACGCGCCCCGTCAGCGCGTGCGCGAGCGTCTTCCCGAGGGCATAAGCGTCGGCCGCCACGCCGTAGTTCGACGTGCACGGCGCCAAGGCTTCGGGGTAGGCCTTCGGCGCAGCTCTTTTGGTTTCGGGAGCACTATACAAGCGGTTGCCGACGGCGGACATGTCGATCGCCAGTCTCGACAGCGACTTGTCCAGCTCCTCGGAATTCAGGCCGGCGGCATCGATGTCCGCCGGCGACAGCGTACGAGCCAGCCCAAAGTCGATGAGCACGCACCGCGTCGGCGGGCGGTCGTCGGCCGTCCGGCTACTCCCCACACAAATGACATTGTCGGGCTTGACGTCCCTGTGTAAAACGCCCCTTCTATGAAGATACCCGAGGCCCGACGCGACATCCCGCGCGACCACGCGCACATAGGACTCCTTCAACGCTCCGATCGACTCGATCAGATCATTTAACTCAGGACCATGTAACGCCTCCATGACCGCGACGTGGTGCGTGCCACACGGGATCGTGTGTTCGCTGTAGAGGCCGACGATAGCTGGATGGCTGATGGATTTTAATACTGCCGTCTCTCGCAGACACATCGTGGCATGCTCTCGCTTCCTGACATCGGTAAACTTGAGGACGACGTCCCTCTCGGCTAGGCGGTCCTCCGCGAAGAAACACGAGGAAAAGGCGCCCGTGCCCGCGCCCGCGCCGACCACGAAGCGCTCCCTCACGAAGTCGCAACCCAAAGCCTGCTCAATCAACGTCCGCGGCTTGACCGACACGTCGACGCCGCGCGGGTCCGCGATGGCGGCCGCGCGCACAACCAAGTGGCCGCTCCGCGTCTCGACCTGGTCCGGCGCGGGCGCGTTGCCCTGGGGCGTCCTTTGGCGGCGCGCCTTCGCCGCGGCGCTGAGCGCGTCCGCCATGACTATTTATTCACCGGGGTTTAGATTAGGCTGGAGGAGGACGGGAACCTCCAGCGCGCTTTTTGCTTCCTTGCGGCCAGCGCCGCGCTTTCGGGGCGCCCCGCGGCGGCTGCTCTGACAGCTCTCAGGCTCTGCTCTGACAGCTCCCAGCGCGCGGCACGAGGTCGCGCTGCGCTCACCGTGCGCAGGCCTCCTTCGAACTTCACCACGAGCCTCTAGGCAAGGGCCTAGCCATGCGGTTGCACCGCTATTCGCAAAAATCCGCAGCCTGTGCCTGCATCCTTGCTAGTGTCTTACTGGCCGCTAGCTCGCACAACGCCGTGCGACGTCTCGCCGGGCCGAGGAGCACTAGCCCACACGTTCGAACGAGCGTAACTTTTCGGCGAGCGGCGCCCCGCCCCATTCTAACTCCGCAGATCGTCGTGATTGGGGCTGCTCTGCCGGCCGCCGAGGCGACGAGGAGGCGAGGCGGGCTGCGAGGAGAGCGCTCGTACCTCATTCGTCGCATATTCGTTGCTCCCCGGCTGCCCGGCGACAACGAGCCGAGTGGGCTGCCCATCACCATGGAGGCGCCCAACTACTTTGCCGAGACCCTGGGACGACAGCACCCCCTCTATGTGGTCAAAGTCAGCACAATTTTGGACGAGTCGTTCACGGAGATCCGCAAGCACGAGGTGCTGAAGAAGGAGGGACTCCTCGTCGAGTACGAGGACAGCATGAGCGCGCCGGTGCTGTTTTGCAGCCACACGTGGCTCCGCCGCAGCGCGCCGGACAACAGCCAGCACGTCAAGCTCACACTTCTCAAGTCGGTGCTGCGGCGCGCCGTCGCGGGCTCGCTCGGCAACTTGTCGCCGCACTATCTGACGGCCCTGGCCTACAAGGAAGATTCCGCGGCCCTGCACCTGCAGGCGGACGACCTTCGTAAGCTGAAGGACGGCTACGTCTTCTTCGATTACATGAGCATCCCGCAAGAGGACCGCGAGGCCCAGGGCCGCGCCATCGCGTCGCTGGTGAGCTACGTGTCGTCGTCCGCCTTTTTCATGTGCTTGGCGGGGCCCTGGACGCACGAGGACTTCGGCGACGCGCGCGATGATTTGGCGTGGAGCGGGCGTGGCTGGTGCCGCATGGAGCTCGCGGCGAACGCGCTGTCGCCCGTGGCGAAGCCCATGATCCTGGCGTGCTCGCCGTCGCGCGTCGTCACGCTCCCGCCCGGCGGCGCCATTGGTCGGGAGTTTCTCGTCGCGGCGCGGGTCGGCCACGGTGACTTTACCGTCGACGCGGACAAGCTAGAGCTCGGGCCGTTGTTGCGCAACCTCATCGCCGCGAGGAAGAAGCTCGCGCTCGCTCAGGACGACATCCTGACGTTCCGCGTGCTGCACGCGGCGACGACGTGGCTCCTGGACGGCTGCGGACTTGAACGTGAGGAGGACGAGGCTTACGACGACTGGATGGCGACGATGCGCTTCGAGTCGGCGACGGACAACGTCGAGGGGTCGGGGCAGACGCCGCTACATTTCGCGGTAATGTCCGGCCGCGCGGATCTTGTAGAGACCTTGCTCGACAAGGGCGCGCCCATCGACTGCGGGTACGTCCAGGAGGCACCCCATTATACGATGATTAAGGGAAATACTCCTCTCGCCGTTGCAGGGCAATACGCAAGGGACAGTACCATCGTCGATCTGCTCCTAAAGCGGGGCGCGGACCCCCGCCAACACATAGACGAATTCGGCTTGACTGCGCTTCACTTCACCTGCGTCGCCGGCAACGTTCGCGGCATACGGGCGCTCTCGGCGCACGACGAGACTTTATTAGAAGTGCGAAATGGCCACGGCGAGCTGCCCTTGACGCTCGGCGCTTGCTTTACGGGACAACGGCGCATGCTCGAAACGCTCCGGGACGAGTTCCCGAAGCAGTTCGGCGCGATGATAACGACGCACGATGTGGAAGGCTGCTGCGGTCGGAGTTTGTGTTCTGCAGCTCTAGGTAATGGTTCGGCGCCTCTGGAGTTTTTGAAGATGATACTCGACAGCGGTGAGCCCGTCGACCTCTACGCTCCGGTGGCCACACGTATTATGGGACCCATCATAGAATCGATGGCGGTCGACGACATCGCCACGGCGCCGGAATATTTGGTCTTCTTCACTCACTGCACGCGCACGCCCGCGCTCCACGTTGCCGCGTACTTCGGCGTTTTGCAAGCCGTCGACCTGCTCATCGAGCGCGGGGCGGACGTGTCGTCGACCGCGAATCCTCAAGGAATGTCACCGCTTCACTTGGCCGTCATCGGGGGCCACGAAGATGTCGTGGCGCGGCTCCTCGCGGCGGGCGCCGACGTCTCCCTTGAGGACAAGCGCGGTCGGACCGCGCTCTCGTACGCGGAGCAGCTCCACAGCGCGGCGACGCCGCGGACGCGCGAGATGGAACTTCTCTCGCGCGCACCGTAGTTGCGTGCCAAAACACGAAGGGGTCACAAATAAAATCTTAGATGATAGTCTAGAGGCATACATGCGTCGCATCGACGAGGCACTCGTCGCCGAGCGCGTCGAGCGCGTCGACGACGCGTTGCACGCCGGGCCCGTCGAGCACGGCGACCGTGCACGCCTTCTCGTCGGCAAATTTTGCCTGCGCCAGGACCTTGCCGGACTTGCAGCCCATCGTGGCCCGCCGTTTCATTGCACGCGGCTCCAAGGAAGTGTTCTTCTTGGCACCCATTGAATTGTCGCCGGCCGCCATGCGTGCAAAATTACGGCCGTTTTGACTGTAAGTGATCTCGGACGCCCTCGACGCGGCCTCGAGCTGGTCGGCGATGCCCGCATTCGCTGCGCCTGGTGCCACGACGCCGGCAAGCGCGGCGCCCGGCGCGACCAGCAGCGCCCGCGCCAAAACTCCACGCCTTGCGAGATATGGCGCGTCCAGACCGGAGACAGCAGCAATAAGCAGCATCTTGGTTACATGGCTGTAGCTCTTGCGACGGGCCATCGCTGACGCTGCAATGCCAAAGGAAAGGAAATCAGGACCAGAAGATACGCCTGCCGCGCCCTGGCAGCGCACAGGCTCGTACCCAAGCGTATAAGCAATGCCGATCCTCTCGACTAAAAACTTGCCCTAGCAATCATACATACTAGACAAAAGACGAAAAACACGGGGAATAGACATATACAGCACCAGAAAACTACACTCACGCCCCCAGCATCATCCGCGGCTCGCCCGACGCGAGCAGCGCAGCGTCGCGATCGCACGGCACGTCATACCCAATTTCGCCCGCGACGGCGTAGGACGGCTCGATCTCACCGTCCCGGTGGACCCAGTGCCATTCTTTGCCAGACGCCTCGACGGCCGCGCGTTTCGCGAGCTCGTACTTCGCCTGCTGCGACGACCGTAATTGTGCTAAATCGTCGCGGCGCTTCCGCTCCGGATCCAAGTCCGTCTGGTCGTGCTCCATGTCCCCATCCGACAAGTCGTCGTCGAACTCGAAGAGCCGCGGCCACGCGCTGAGCTCGACGACCGACTGCGAATGGTAGAGGGCCAAGTCCTTCGCCAGCACAACCTCCAGAACACCTTCATCAATGTACCACAAACTTTCGGCAGGCAAAATGGGCCGGTGCAGGGCGCCCTCGAGGTAGACTTGTGCCGTGACGCGGTGGCTTATTTTCAGGTACTGCTGCTTGAACACCACATCGACGTCCTGAGCCTCCACACTATGTCCAGGAAAGTGCGACACAATCAGCGTCACGGTTTGAACACTTTGAGTCCAGCGGCACTGGTCCGTCTGCACCCAGACGGCGTCCTCGACGCCCTTGGTGTGGATCCTTGTTAAACCAAATTTCATCTTCTGGGCGTCCATCTTCCGGTGCCTCTCCCCACTTTCCGTCACGAGCGCGAAGCGCTTGCCTCCTTCGCCGTAGCCGCGGCCCTTGGTCAAGCGGTCGATGGCCGCCAGTCGCTCAATGCGCTCCATCGCGTCGACGCGCCCGCACACAAATTTACAAGCGCCCGCGTCCTTGCACTCCGTGCCGTAGGACACCGCCGCATAGAGTGAAGGCATGGGCATCTCCTCGCCGTCGCCATCAATACAAACGGCGGGAAAGTCCATGGCCGTAAACGCGGCGCCCCTGTAAACGCCGTTCACGTAGCAATCCAGAATCTTGGCGTCCGCATCCCAGACCACGCCCAGGCAGTCGTGGGCCTGGAGCTGAGGCACGGCCTTGCCCCTATGCAAGAGGTCGCGCTGCCGCTTCCGGTGGCCCACGACAAGGCCGTGCGGAGAAAAGCCCACGCACCAGCCCTTGCCGTCATCACCGAGCGGTCGCGTGAAGTCGCAGCCCTCCGCCGCGAGGCCGATTCTCAAATCGCCCACCGCACCGTCGAGGTAGACGCAAAACGCGTGGACGCCACTCGACGGGAGGGGGTCCCGCGACAGGGAGCACCCTCCCACATCACTCGCCGTCTGCTCCAATTTCATACCTTTGTCCGCCACAACCAACAGCGGCGACGTGAAGCGCTTGCGCAGGCGCGTCCTGAACGTCGACGCACACAATCTGACAGCACAGGCCGCGACGCGCCGGTCGTCCTCAACATCTAAAGCGGCGTTGATGGCCTCCTGCGCCTTTCTACGCTCCCTTCTTGTCTCCAATTCGCGGCGCAGCTCGTCGCGCGACAGACCCTGGAAAGGGTTCGCGCCGGTCACCAGCGGGTTGCCCTCGTCGGCCTTGACCAGTTCCAACCACTCCGACGCGGCGACGTCGTTCGCGTAGGCCCGCGTCTCTCGATCATTCCTAAGCATCGCGCGCTGTTCAAAAACGCGCGCGCGCGCCTCGAAAACGCGATCGCCGCGCGGCGCCTCGCAGACGGCGGCGCCCCACTTGCCGGCCTTATCCAACGTCGTGGCGAGGCGCCTCCGGTATATGATGGATGCGGGTTCGAGCTCCAACGCGCGTCGCGACTCCTCCTCGGCGTCCTCCCAATTCTTCAGCTTGGCGAAGCAGCCCGCCCGCGCGTGGTGCAGCTTGGACGCCTCGCCCGCGTCGAAGGGTCTCCCTGGAGCTTCAATGGACTCCCCGTCGACGAGCCGTATTGATGAAGACGTCTCACCCAACATGCTATCCAGCAGGCACCCATACAACGCCAGCGCCGTGCGCGCGTCGCCCCTTTCATAGCACTCATCACTACGCTTCCAGAGCCTCAAAGCTCGCTCGTCATTACTTAGAGTCGCGTCGCGCGCGGCGTCCCTCAATTTAATCTCTTGAGAAACTTCGTCAAACAGCCGCCGCGCTTTCGTGGACCGCGGCTCGTCGACCAGCGCCGTCGTTAAGTGTTGAAGGGCGTCGTCCAGCGACCCTTGCTGATGTAAATACGACGCGTACGCGACACGCGTCTTCGGCGCACACGGGTCGGCGCCGTGCTTGTGTTTTGAAACCCAGCGCTCGTAGGGGTCGTTTGTGTTGTAGACAAATCCTTCATCTCGCAGCCCAGCGTCGCGGCGCGCCTCCTGTTCCTTGTGGCGGACGAAGGCCCTCAAATCGGCGCGCGACTTTATGGTGACGGTCTTCGTCCGTTCAACGATAGGCTTCGGTTTTAGCTGTTGCGGGACGGCGTGGCCCGTGCCGTACGGTATCAAAACTTTGCGGGAGACGAAGCCCCGGAGCGGCGTTTGTACCGCGACGCGGCCTGTTTTGTCCGGCGCCGCGGCTGCTACGACAATCGCGCCGCCGTCGAGCTCGCCGACGACGGCGCTCGTCAGCGTGGAACCCGCGCGCACGACGGCGCCGCGCGGCTTCACGCGGAAGCGGCGCGTTTGTGCTGGCTGCCCGGCCATGCCGTCGGTTTCGCTGCCCGCGTCGTCGTGCTGGCGCCGATGCGACGTCGCGGTGGAGCGGTGGCACCGATGCGACGTCCTCACTGGCAGGCCGGCCGCTGGGCGCCGTGCACGGGGCACGAGAGCAAATGGCAGTGGCCTTATGCAGAGCGGCACCATCTCGGCACCCCGACTATTTTAGCGCTCCGAGCTATCGCTGCACGCGGAGAAGGCTCGCTCGATCCCGGACAGCGTATGGGTCGGCGTGTTAGATCCTAGAGCTACTAGCCTCGGTCGGCACGCAAACGGTGGGCAGCAGTGCTATTTGGCTCCTGCACGCGGCTGCCCGCGGACGATCGTCCACGCGGGGCTGCCGGAAGAAGCAGTTCCGCCAACACGCACCGGGTAGCAACGCTCGGGCAGCACGATGGACCTCTCGTCGGAAGCCCTGGCCAGCCCGCCCATGCCCGCGCCCTTCGCGCCCTTCGTCGAGGAGGCCGTGCCGCCGCGCCAGCACACGGCGTCGCCGACCGTGCTGCGCCAGCAGCAGCCCGCGTCGCCGAACGTGCTGAGGACCTCGAAACAGAAGGGCCCGAGATTAGTTGCGCGCGTGCTGGGGGCGCGGTACCTCGCGGGCACGCCGGACCCCGTCGCGCGGGTCTGGTGCGGGCGCATCGACGCGACGCACGGCGCGGAAGACCAGGCGCAAGAGACGACAGCGAGGCGCGCGACGTCGGAACCAACGTGGGACGCGGGCAACGAGTTCTGCTTCGCATTACGGTTGGACGCGCCCGAGGACCTGGCTGGCGGGTGCTGCGTCGTGTCGCTCCACGATGACCGCCAGGCGCGAGCCACGGGGGACAAGCACGGCGCGTCACTTGGTGAGGCGGTGGTGCCGCTGCGCGACGTCTTCGCGCGCGGGCGGAGCGACGCCGCGAAGCAGGCCGTCCATTTATCAGCGACGTGGTTTCCGTTAAGGGACGCGCCGGGGTCGCGAGGCGCTGCTGGCGATGTACTGGCGTCCTTCTCCTTCTCGTTCGGCGAAGTCGACGACTTTGAAGAAGCGGTGCGGGCCGTCCTCGGCGTCCAGGCGGACATGCGGGCGCCTCCTTCACCACCGGCCTGGTCGAAGAACCGCCCCGTCAGTAGCTCACTGAGTCCGATCCGCGAGGCGTCGCACGACGAGGCCCTCGAGTACCGGGTGGCCTCCGCAAGAGGCCCGCGCGGGCCCCAGTCGGCGCGAAGCCCGCCGCCGTCCACATCAAGGACGTGGCAGCGCGGCATGGAGTCCGCGCGGTCGCGCGCGCGGTCCTCGGCCGACTTTTCGGGCGCGTCGGCGCGCGTCGTGGCCATGTCGCGGCTGCGGAAGGCGGCGAAGAAGGCCGAGGACTCGCTGCTGCAGCACGGGAACGCGTCCAAAGTAAGGGACCGCGTTCGTGGTTATTTGGCGCGCTTGCGGGACCGCGACGGCCGGCCGGCGGCGTGCGGTCTGCTCTGGGACGAGCTGCAGCGGTGCGTGGCCTGCGAGAATCCGTCCGACTCCTTGGCGCTCTTCGAGGAGGTCCTGGGCGTGCGCGCGACGAGCCGCGCGGAAGGGCGGGCGTCGGCCGTTTTATTAGATGATTCCGCACCGTTGGCGGCGCGAAAGCAGTGCTTACTGTTGATAGGCGCGTTGGCGAAGGCGCGACCGGACGCCTGTGCGTCGCGTCTCGCGCATGCTTTGCGGGCCTGCGCGGACGTCGCGCAAGGTTCGGAAGGTTCCGGCAGCGCCCTGTCGCAATGTGCGGCGGTGGTCGCGGGCGGCATCGCCCGCGACGTCTTCCCGCGCGCGGCGGCGTCGCGGCAGAACGTGGGACCAGACGAGGCGATGACGTTTCCCGTCGATGTTCTAATAGCGCCCTTTACGCTGGTGCTGGCGCGGCCGCAAGCGAGGGGGCGGCGCGCGGTTGCCCACTGCCTGGCGGCGGTGCTGCGGGCGGAGCCGGGGCCTAGGAATGTTTGGTTGGACGCCGACTCGAGATTGCGCCTCGCGACCCCACATGGTCTATTGGAGGACCTCAAGCGGCGGTGCGCCATGCGCGGCGTGGCGTTACCGGGCGCCGTGACCGCGCTGCCCCAGAACTGCGGCGTCGTCGTCCACTGCGAGGACGACGGCCAGGCGCGGGACCTGAGGGTCAATCTGCAGCGGCCCGACGTCCTCCCGCCGGGCTGGCGCGTGTCGGACGGCCCCGACGACGTCGCGGTCGCCGATACGACGACGCAGCGCGCGGCCTTCGCGCTGGCCGTCGCGCCGGGGAGCGCGCCGGTGTGCTCGTGGGTCGTCGAGGCGTGTCGGAGCCACGCCGACGCCCTGGAGCCGTTTTGTGATGCGGCGGCCGCGCTGCTGCGGTTGCGGGACGACTCTCGGCGGCTGGCGAAGATGTCGACGTCGCAGTTCGACCCGCGCGTCGTCGCGCACGCGGACGCCGCGTTGGCGGAAGGGCTCAAGGCCGCGGCGCCGGCCCTGGCGCGGCACGCCGCGCGCTGCGTCGAGGGCGCGGGCAACGCGTCGCGCGAGATCGTCGGCCAGCTCGCGTGGAAGGACCGGGCCGCGGCTCTCGATCTGGTGGCGGCACTGGCCGCGTCGGACTGCGCGCGGGACGCCGTGGCGCCCCTCCGGAGGCCCCTCGAGGCGGCCTGCGACGTGGCCACGCACCACGCCGTCAAGCTCGTGCGCGACGCCGCGGGACGAGCCTTGGAAGCTCTGAGACAGCTCAAGCTGACGGCTCTTCCCAAGAGGCAGCAGCGGTCGGACCGGGACGTCTGCGCGTCGTTGGCGTCGCGCATGTCGGTGGCCGGCTTCTACGCGCCGCCGCCGTCGCCGGAGACGCACATGTCGCCGGTGCACTTCGGGGACGAGCCGTCGCCCTTTGTCGTGGCCGAGGCGCCCGTCGCGGCGCCGCCCAAGGTGCCCGGCCTGGCGCTGCCGGTCATGGCGCCGCTGCCGGCGCCGGCGCCGACGCCGGCCCTCTTCGCGTCGGACATTCTCGACGACGAGCCCCCGCCGTGGCGCCGACCGCGGCGGCGGCGGATGCGCAAGCACCAGCCCTTCTTCAAGCCCTTCGTGGGCGGCGGCGGCGACGACCTCGTCCAGGCGTCGTCGGTCGGCCCGTCGCTCGCGCCGCTGGAGCCGCTGCGCGAGAGCGTCGACGCGCTCGCGATGCGCTGCGCGAAGGTCGAAGAAGCGTTGCGGGACCGGGCGTCCGTCGTGCGGGCGCCGGCACCGGCGCCCTCGCGCCCGCGCGTCCAGATCGAGTCGCCGCCCGTCAAAGCCAGAGCGTCCAAGCAGACGAAGAAGGTCTGGGGCGAGGCGTCCGCCCTGATGCAGCGCGGCGATTTAGACGGCTCCTTCCGGCGAGCAGCGGCCGACCCGCGCGCCTTCCTCGGGTTGCTGGCCAAGGTGCCCCCGACGGCGCTAGCGAGCGACGTCGAGGCTCTTGTTTTGAATTTTGCGGCGAGAGCCTTCGCGCGGTCGGACGCGTGGCCGCGGCCGCTGCTCGCGTGGCTCGCGGCGGACCCGATCAAGACGCAGCGGAGCGTCGGCGGGCGCCACATGGCGGATCTGATGCGGGCGCTGACGATCGTCGCGTCGGAGCCGACGCCGCGCGGCGTCCAGGCGTCGGGGTTGTTGCGGCGGCTCGGGGGGTAACTGAGAGTCTGACAGATAGTATACTGAAACCCAGTGGTTACTAACTTGAAGCCGTCTTGGCCGCATCAGTGGCCGGCGGCTCGTCGGGCGGCGGCGGCGGCGGCGGCGGCGGCGGCGGCGGTATCGCCGCCGCCGACGCGAGCGCCGCGGCGACGGCGGGATCCGGCGGCTGGCCGGCCACGGCGGCCCCGGCGACGATCGTCCCCGGCGCCGGCGGCTCGCCCGCGGATCGCACGGCGTTCGCCGCGTAGTGCGCCGCGTACGTCGGGTCCGAGTACAACGCCGCGGCCGCGGCGTAATGCGCCGCGTAGTATTGTTGCGCCTGGAGCATCTGCTGGGCCGCGTAGTACTGCTGGGCCGCGTACATCTGCGCCGCGGTGCTGTTGGCCGACGGCGGCGCGGCGGGCGTATTGGTGGAAGCGGCGGCGGCCTTGGCGCGCGCCTCGACGGCCTCGGCGGGCAGGGCCTTGTTCTTCTTGCGGCGCGGCTTCTTCTCGGGCTCGGGCGCGACGAAGCTCTCGTTCATGTAGTCGTCCTCGGGCAGCTTCTCCGACGCGAGCTGCTTCGCGGCCTCGGCCGCCGCGGCCACCGCAGACTTAAGCTCCTTGGGCGCCGGCGCCGGCGGCTTCTCGGCGCCCGCCAGCGCCTCGGCGACGGCCTTGCGCTTCTCGCGCGCGAGCGCGGCCTCGGCGCCGGCGAAGCGCGACGCCGGCTTCTTCTCCGGCGGCGCCTCGGGCGGCGGCACGCGGCTCGGGTCGTCCGAGAAGCGCGACGGCGGCTCGCGCCCGAAGTCGTCGGACGGCGCGCGCCGCCGCGGCGGCGACCGCCCACGGCGCGGCGACGGGCTCCGCCGCTCGTCGTAGTGGCGCCGCGGGTCCTCCCAGTCCCTCCTAGGCGAGCGCGACCGGTCGTCGCGGCGCCGCGGCGGCGACCGGTCGTAGCGCCGCCTCCGGTCGTCGGCGTAGTAGCGGCGCCGCGGCGGCGGCGGCGATCTCCTACTATAGCCGCGGCGTCGTCCATAGGAATCCTCGGACGGCGAGCGGTACGGGCGCCGCTCGTAGCTCGGCGACCGGCTGTAGCGGCGGCGGCGCTCGTACGACGGCGACCGGCTGTAGCGCCGGCGGCGGTCGTAGCTCGGCGACCGGCGCCGCGGCGGCGGCCGGCGGTCGTCCCGGCGGTCGTCGTCGCCGGGCGAGCGCGCCCGCGGCGGCGGCTCGGGGCCCTCGACCGGCTTGGCCTCGCCGCCGTCCCAGTGGTCCTCGCCGTCCAAGGCCTTCGCGAAGGGCGGGCCGCGATTGATGAATTTGCAGACGGGCTCGGCGGGGTCGTCGATCTCGCCTTCTTCCTCCATTCTCGCGCGCGTCGATGTCGATCGGCGTCAATCGGCGTCAATCGGTCGCACAGTCGGATATCGAGGTTGTGTGGGTGAAGGCAGCGCGGAGACGCAGAACAGCTGCCTGTCTGAGAAGCTTGGGTGGCTCGCGATCCCTCGGTGAGCTAATCTAGCGGGACAAGCGCCCTATCCAGCGCTTTGTGGCCGGCGGCGAAATCGGCTCCAGCTAGCGGCTTTAAGGTACTAGCCAGCTGCTCGGCTCGGGCTCTGCTTTCAAATTATACGCAGCCCGGAAACGCAGGGCAGCCAGCAAACATCCTAAAATGACGACCCGATGACGCCACGAACCGCTCACAGCTCACCACGCGCGGCGTCACCGCCCTACTCCCAGCTCGACGAGCTCGACGCCCATTTGCCAGACGATGTAATCGAGCAAGTAGCCAAGCTTGCCTACCTGCTCCAGGCCGAACTTGTGGAGTGGCAGGCGCCGCGCAGCCTCGTCGCCCAAGCGGTAGCGAAGGCCGCGACGCGCGGCTGGCGTAATGCCGACAACGATCAGTTGATCGGGGACCCGGCCGTCGCGCGCCTCGCCCGCGCGCTTCTTGACGACGAGTCGTGGAGCGCGCCCGCGAGCGCGCCCGCACCGCGGCAGGAGCTACGGGAGCTCGCGGTCCTGACCAACGCATTGGAACGGGCCCGGGCCGACGCGGCCGAGCTGCGCGCGGAGCTCGAGCGGACGCGGTCGCCGTCGTCCAAGGGCGCGGCGCGGCGCGTCGCCGCGGCGCGGGACCTCGCTCGCGACACGGAAGCCCGGGCGCGCCAGACGAGCGCCGCGATTCAATCCGCGAAGGCGACCTGCCGCGCCGAGGTCGCGAGCGCCCGCGAGGATCGGAGGGAGGCGGAGGCGGGCGCCGAGCAGGCGCGGGCGGAGGCGGCGAAGGCACGCGCCGCCCGGGACGCGACGGAACTCGAGGCGGCCGCGATGCGAAGCGAAGCCGCCGCCGCCGAGCAGCGCCGCGACGCCGCCGAGGCCGCCGCAGCCGCCGCGGAGCGGCGGCGCGCCGCGGCGGACGTCTCTCCCGAGGACATTCAGCGGCTCCGGAAGGAGGCCCGCGACCTGCGGGACGCGGTCGCGAGCGGCGAAGCGCGGGCCCGCGACGCGGCGGCCGCGCGGCAACGCGACGAGGCGCGGGCGGACGCCGCGAAGGAGCTCGCGGGTCGGCTGGAGCGCGAGGCCGCGGCGGCGCGCGACGCGGCGGCCGCGGGCCTCTCGGCCGCGACGCGCGCCGCCGAGGACGCTAGGCGGGAAATCGCATTGCGGGATGCCGCCGTCGAGGCCAGGAGGCGCGCCGAGGCCGCAGTCGCCGACCAGCGCCGGGCCCTCGCGCGCCTCGAGGCCGCCGTCGCGGCCGAGACGAAGAGCCTGGTCCGCTCGGCGCCGCCGCCGCCGCCTCCGCCGGTCGTCGTCGAGCCGAAGCCTCCGGAGGTGCCGGAGGGCTCGCTCGCGGACGAGGTGCACCGCCTCGCCGCGAAACTCGTGGCGGTGACGCGGGGGCCGCTGGAGGAGCGGAACGCGAGTCGGTGACTGCTAATTTTCGGTGTTGTAACTGTTCCTGATGAGTTGTCTTCCGGGCGTTTGCTAGCGGTGTAAGACACTAGGCAAGCCCAGGTCTCGAGCTCATCGCAAAGGCTCAGCGCATGCAGCACGCGTGCAGTTGCCGCTATCTTTGAGTTGCTGAGTGAGCCGTGAGTGGTTTTGCAGCGAGTTTATTTGCGGCGAGCGAGCCACACAAGTGCTGCACAGCACCCACTCGCCTAGGCTGTCGACAACCAGCCGCAGCAATTGATACATTTCGTGTGCACGCTGCTAGGTCGAGTGGCCGGTGCGTCGATGCGCCTCGGCCTGCGTCGATTGCTCACGACCATGTCAGCGATGGAGAATAAAGCCCCGTCGATGCTGGCGTCGCCGAAGACGCAGGACCCGTTGTTTCGGCGCATCGAGGACGTTCACCACTCGCTCAACAAGCCGTACGGCCGCATCCTCGACGCGGGCACGGGCGGCCATTCGCTCAAATGGCTCGTCACGCTCCCGAACGACGCCGTGGACTGCATCACGGCGGTCACCGCGGACGCGACGAGCGGCGAGGGCAAGGGCGCGTCCGACAAGCAGGCCCTCCTGGACACGAGCCGCGGCGACGCGCTCGTCGAGGGCTCCTGGTGCTCGGGCAACGCCCCGGAGGGCGCCGCCTTCGACACAATCTTGTGCGACTACCTCATCGGGTCCATGGACGGCTTCACGCCCTTCATGCAGGACACGATCCTCGGCGAGCTCAAGGCGCGCTGCGCGCCGGGGGCGTTACTCCACGTCGTGGGCCTCACGCCGATCTACGCCCAGCTCGGGTCGGCGCAGTACAAGAGCCTGCCGGCGGCCGAGAAGGTCGTCGTGGACACGGCGCGGCTCCGCGACGCGTGCATATTGTTGGCGGCGCACCGGCCCTACCGCGAGTTCCCGGCGAGCTGGATCATCCGCCAGCTCGAGAGGAGCGGCTTCGAGGTGCTGACGCCCTGGAAGTCCTACGGCGTCATCTGGAAGCACGCCACCATAAAAAGGCAGCTGGACGTCGCGCGGCGGAAGCTGCCCCACTTCGCGGATCAGAGCGTGGCGGCGGCGATGCGGGGCCAGATCGACGCGTTGGACGCCTCGGCGAAGAAGCTCCTCGGCGACACGGGCGTGACGTACGGCGCGGACTACGTCATCTCGGCGCGGCTGCCGTCGTCGGCGGGCGAGTAAGTTAAAGTATTAATGCGCCGATGGCGTCGCCACCGACGCGTCGAGTCACACAACTACCTTACCCACATCGAAAGGAGGCCGATCGAGACAAACGTCCCCGTCGCGTAGCCTAGGATGCCGACGAGGAGCGCCGGCAGGACGAGGTCGTCCCAGCCCTTCGCCGTAGCCATCGCGGCCGCGGTCGTGGGCCCGCCGACCGCGGCGTTCGAGGCGACGGCCAGTTCGCGGATCGGGAGCCCGAAGAACGCCTTCGCGGCGCCCAGAACGCAGAAGTGGACCGCAAGCTGGACGGCCGAGAACGCCGCGAGCCACACGCCGCTTCGGGCAAGGCCACGCACCCTCCCGGCCGCGCCAATGGCCGCCACGAAGAGCTGCATCGCGACGACGCCGACGATGCGGCCCGCCGGCGCGAGCCGCGCGCCCAGAGACGGCGCCAACGTGGCAAACGCAACCGCTACCGCCGTCGTCAGCGGCAGCAGCAGGTGCGCCGGCGCCGCGGCGTCGGCCAGCGCGACGATGCTCAACGCTGCCGCGACGGCCGCGGCGGCGTCCGTCGCCGAGATCGCGGGGTCGGCGCGCTTCGCGCCGCCTTTGTTACCACCCTTCGCCGGTCCCGACGCCGCGAACAATCCAACAAAATAGGGCGCCACGACGGCGTTGTCCGCGGCGATGCCAGCGGCGACGAGCTCCGGCGCCGCGCCGCCGTACTCCGCCACGGAGACGTAGTTCACGGCGCCGCCGATGTGCCGCGCCGTCAGGGCCGACGCCATCGTCGCACGCGCCGCCAGCGCCGGGATGCCGCGCTGGAGCGGGACGAGGCGCCACGCGACGACGGTGCCGGCGATGGTTCCCAGCGCGGCGACGACGAACGGCGCGAGGAGTCGTCGCCCTTCCCGCCGCACTCTATCTAAATCCGCGTCGAAGAGCAAGGCCGCGACGGCCAGCGGCACGAGCTTCTTGACGACGGTGCCGTAGACGGGCGACGAGGTAGGCAGCGCGCCGAGGTTCGCCAGTACTAGCGCGGCCACCATCGTCACGACGTTCGAGCTGAGCGCCGCGCCGAGCTTCGAGTTTTCCTCCGCATACAAGCCGAGCGCGCCCGTCGTGCCGAGTAGAGCCCAGGTCGTCCACTCGCTCTGCACCGGTACGGCGCGGAGCGCGGTCGGCGGTCGTGCAAGGCGCGCCGGCGGCGCCCGTCGCAACGGCGTCAGCAGTGCCGAGGCACCGCATGCGTAGAGCAGCGTCGCACGCATCGTTGCGCACCGCTTGGCTGGTAGTGGGCAGCACCAATCAGGAGTCGCTATAAATGCGAATTGATGCGCGAATCGATGCGAATCGATGCGTGCACCAGGCAAAATACCTTATACGCAATCCTATGAGCTTGTTGACCGTTGCACACTCGAGCGAGAGCCGCTCTTTGCAAAGCCTAAGGCATCCCTAGTGTCTTACAGGCCGCTAGCTCTGGCGCAGAAACACACGCTTGGCCACGCATGCATGCCGTACTGCATAGACGTTGAGCTCATTCAAGTTTTTTCAGTTTTTGCATGCACAAAAAGCAAACTGGGACGGCGGAACGCTACGAGCTCGTAACCGTGCGGCCGACCGGGCTGCCTCCGCGCGGCCGCTCGGCTCTCCACGACGACGCCCGGGCTGCCGCACGCCAGGGATGGCCTCCTTCGGCGCGAGCAAGCCGAGCCCGTACAAGACGACTGGAGCGGCGCGCGCCCTGCGCGAGCGCTTCGACGAATATAGTGTGTTCGGCGGCACGAACGCCGGCGTCGGTTTGTCGGCCAAGAACTTCGCGAAGCTCTGCGCGGACAGCGGGTTGGTGGATCGCAAGCTGACGAAGACGCAGCTCGACCTGATCTTCATGCGGTCCGTCGACCGCGGCGCCAAGAAGCTTCGGTGGATGCAGTTCCTGCAGGCCCTGGAGTTGTGTGCTGCGACGCGGCGGATCGGCGTCGAGAAGGTCCAGGAGTTAATCATGGCGTGTGCGGGCCCGTCGCTGAACCGACCGTCGCTATCCGAACCCGTGCGGCTCCACGACGACAAGGCGTTGTATACGGGCGTGCATGTCGTGGGCGGACCGTCGACGGTGGACAACAAGGTGACTTTAGACAGATTGGTCCGGTCGCCGCACGCGGACGTGAGAGGAGTGGATCATTCCAAACATTATAGTGATGCGGAGGCCGGCGTGTCGTCGGGCCACCACGTGGGGCTGAGCCCCAGTCGCTCGATGCCGACGCCGCCGCGGCCCGCGCGGACGCCGCCTGTTAAATTAACGCCACGGTCTCCAGTAATACCGCCGCCGGTCGAGAATGCCGTGCCGCCGCCGCCGCCCGACTATTTTGACGCGTTAACTAGGTGCGGCGTCCCGCGTCGTCATCAATACTCTGCGCGTACGACGACATAGGATGGTGTGGGGGATTAAACTCGCCAACGCGCCGTCGACGCGACGACACGCAGGTACTTCCTGCGCCACAACCCAAGCAAGGCTGCGAACGTCGGAGGCTTGCTAGCAAGGTACGCGGGCGACGAAGCGTCATTGTTCGCGAAGATCGAGGCGAAGTACGGTGCCCCGGTCATCGCCGACGATAACTCCATGAGGACGCCGGCAAAGAACGTCTTCGACAAGCTCACGGACTCCAGGCAGTATACGGGGTCGCACCGGACGATCCATCGCGACGGCCCGGAGCCGCCGTCGTCCGGCGTCCGATGGTTCTCCCCCGATTAGTTAGAGTAATTTCTTAGACCGGAAGAAGCTTCTCAGGTACACAACCTGCCAGAGGGCCGTCACGAAGAGCACGCCCATGCTCACGACCCCGAACAGCTCCACGCGGTCCCGCCCGCTCTCGGCGCCCTCGCGCAGCCGCTCCTCCCGGTTCAACGCGGCGTCCATCTCCGCCGCGATGTCTCTTAACATATGATCGGAGTCGTCCAGCTGCTTCTCCACCGGCCCGAAGACGCCCTCCCCGACGGCAGCATAGTCGCGCACGCCCCAGCCCTGCTCGACCGTGATCGCTACGCGCTGCGGCTTCGTGTGCCGGTTCTCGACGCAGGCCCGGTACAGGCCGGGCGTCGTCGCCGTGAACGAGAACGCCGGCGCGTTCGTCGCGTCGTCGTTCAGCGCGGCGCTCCAGAGCAGCTTCTTGGAGGGGTCCTTGACGGTCGCCCGGACCTTCTGCGCGGCCTCGCTGTTCCGCTTGAGGTCGCCGTGCTTGACGACGCCGGCCACCGAAAACTTCCACCGGCCCAGCGCGTCCTCGGGGAACTCCTCGCCGAGGCATCTCCTACTATTCGCGGCGACGTCTACCAGCACGCGGTCGGTCTCGCCGCTGGTGTACGCGACGAGGAGCGCGGCGACGGCGTGTCGCAGGTGTGGTCTCACCATGGCTGTTATTTAAGTAGCGCGCTGTTATTTTAGTAGCGCGCGGCCGGCGCGCTGTGATCAGCCGCGCGGCGCCCAAGGCGCTGGAAAAGCCTGTTTACGCGCTCCAAGCGGAAGCGTAAAGAAGCGGCCGCCTGGCCAAGGGCTAGAGCTTGCAACTATGCGTTCTGAGAAACGCGAAACCGTGGGTAGCGGGCACGCCAGCAATAATTATTTGTTGCTTGTTAATCGCCTAGCGACCCGTAAGGCACTAGTCGGGTTTGCTGCAACGCTCACTAGTCCTAGCACCGAAAAATATATACAGCGCTCGCCGGTAAGCAGAGAGAGAAAGAGAGCGAGAAAAGAAACAAACCACAGTTACCCCCCTCAGCCTAGGACCACGCCACCGTGTGCACCTCGACCCGTCGGTTCCGATGCTTCAAATCCCCTTCCGTGTCCTCCACCACTCTCGACCCGCCCAATCCTCGACATTCGAGCCGGTAGGCCTCGATGCCCCGCTCATGTAACGCCTCGGCGACGGCGTCGGCCCGTCCCAGCGAGAAGCCCACCGAACCACCTCTGCCTCTGAACAGTGCGGCACACCGGTTGTTCGAGCACTCGGTGGACCCATCACAACCCAGACCGCACTTCGAGTTGACGTGGCCCTCGAGCCGCAATCGGATGCCGGAATGCTGTTTCAAAGTCAAGGCCAGCTGATCGAGGACGCCGAACGAGCCGTCCAGGATCCGCGTGTAGTTGCCCTTGAACTCGATGCGCCGCGACAGCCACACGCGCTTCGCCCCCACATCCACGGCGACGCAGTCCTTCTCGGCCTGCTCGACGTCTGGCGAAAAACCGGGCGGCAGGGCACATTTCGCGCACAGAACAAACTCCGGACATTCCGGGCAGCCGTAGCCCGGCCTCGCATCGTCGCTCAATCCACAAAGCTCGCACTGCCCGCCCGGTTGTCGCAACACGCGCAGTTCGTGGGGGTGTCTGGAGTGCTGCACGAGATTGGGAGGTAGGAGGTCAAAGGCCTCGGACGCGACCTTGGACGTCGGCCGGCCGGGCGCCGTGGCTCGACAGATCACGACGTGTCTTCCGCCAGCAGCTAATCTAGGCAGCCGCACCGCCCCAGGTTCGTCCGCGCGGGTCCACTTGTTCTCGGCCGGGATCGTGATCGACCGGGGACTGCCGGCGGCGTTCACGTGCGACACGCAGTACTCCACGGTCGCATCTGGTGTGGTCACGGTGATCTCCACTTCCACTTCTCGAGGGTCGGTGGACACGTTCGTGAGGGTGGGTTTGGACACTCTAGCAGCAGAAGAGGGGCTTGCAAAATCGTCGAAGCGCGGCGATAAGCTGGGCGAGGGGCTTAAAGCTTCCAACCCATCTTTGAGATTCGCGTCGGCCGCCGATCGTTCGCGGAGCGCCTTTCGCACGAGCGACGCGTAGCCTTCCACCGATTCTTCCGCGGCTTCGCGCTCGGAACTCTTCCGTAGAGCCACAACACCAGAAGCCACGCGCTCGAAGTGCTCGTTCATGGCACTCAGATACACCTCCTTGATGCGTTCCGACGCGCGGCGGTGGAACCCGGGCCGGAGCGGGTCGTCGTCCTCGTTCTCGGTCCTCACCTTCACCTTCCGCTCGGCCTGCGCCAGCTTCGTGTTGAGTTTTGATACTTCCTGGAGCGTCGCCTCGCCGCGTTCGGTGAGCTCCTTACTTAATCTTTCGGCCTCGTCGGCCGCCCGTTGCCGCTCCTCGTTTTCTAGAGAGCAGCGCCTCCTAAGCTCCTTCACCTCATTTTGTAAAGCTTCCGCATCCTCCGAGGCCCGCTGCCTGAGTAGACGCTCATCCTGGACAGCACTGCGCTCGGCCTCGGCGAGCCTCCTTCTCAACTCGGCGTTCTCGGCTTCTAAAGGCGACGGGGGCGGTAGGGGTGGTGGCGCGCTCGTCGGCAGGAAATCCAGCGCTCGGCGCGGCGAGAAGGCCGAGTCCGTGGTCGTCGGCGTGGCGTTCGGGAGGAAGTCGGTGACGCGTCGTCCCGAGCTGCGGCGGGCAGACCCGGGCGGCGGCGGCGGCGCGGCGAAGGGCGTGTAGTCTTGCGGCGCGTTCGCATTCACGGGGCGCTGGAAGAAGCGGCGTCGCGGCGCGCCATTTGGGGGAGAAGCCATTATTATGGTTGTGGGCGGCGGCGCCGCGCGCGGCGTTCGTCGCAACGCCTTCCTACGCCGTCCGCGGTGCCTGTGCACGCTGCCCGACGAGCGTTACGGCAGCCCGGGCCTCAGCGGCGCCGCAACTGTGCCAGCTCGAGCTGGCTCGATGGACAGCACCCCGCACAGCGCCAGCTTCGGAGAGCGTCTGCTTCACGGCGGCTAAACGAGCGCATTTTTGCACCAAGAACCACCATCACTCGCCCCAAGACGCGCCAGTAGCTCCCCTAAGCGCCCGTGCGTCCAAAAGGGCAGCCGTCGCCGCATTTTTTTTTCTTCTGGGCAGCGGCGTTGCAAGCTCTCCAGCAGCCAGTGACACCGCCAACAAAGGGCAGCTACCGCTGCAACAACTACACTCTCCGGGCAGCGTTGCGCAAGCATGGAAGTCATCACCCGCGCCGATGGCAGCGTCCACGTGCGCCTCGACACGACGCCCGTCAAGCCGAAGGCCCGGCCGCCCGCCGTCGACCGCTACGCGCTGCAGGAGGCCGAGGACGCGCGACGACGGGAAGCGGCGGAGCGCATGGAAGCCCGCCGCCGCGCGCGCTGCAGCCCGAAACCGCCGCGGACGCGCGCCGTCGACCGGTTGTGTGCGCGGGACGGCCTGCGCTTCACCAGTGCGCCGCGCACGCCGCCGCGGTCGCCCGCCGCGCACTCGCACTCGCCCTTCCGGAGCGGCCCGACGCCGGCGCCGCCGGCCGCCGCGCCCGCCGCGCGGGGGAACTCGAACTGGGGCGAACATGGCGTCCCCGCTGCCTGGCCGCCGAACAACGAGGGCTCGACGGGGTGGTGGCGCCGCGGCCAGAAGCTCGGCTTGTGGGGGAGCGACGCGGACGGCTACCCCGCCGAGCGCCAGGGGCCGGACCCGGCGGCCCTCCGCGTCTGACCGCCGCGACGGCAGCGACTAAGAGAGATCGTATAGCTTCTTAATCTAGGAGCACCCCAGCGCGTGTCGACGTAAAACACTTGCGTGGACACGCTGTCACCTCCATCGTCCTCACACCTGGAACGACGAGCGGCCGCCGCCCGCGGCCTTGGCCGCCTGCTCCTGCTCGCGCGCCGCGGCCTCCTTGAGCGCCTGCGCGAGCCTGCGGGGAACAAAGCGTGACGTATCGAAGGCGAGGCACCAGCTCCGAGAGAAGATCAAGGCAGGGCGATCGGCGACTTGGAAATTCATTACATCTTTGTGTGTGAGGGGTCTTACGCCTCGGTTCAAGAACACGGACCAAGTAAGGATCCTCATTTCGCTTTTGTTGATAGGTGAGACGCTGGAGTACGTACGCATCAGAACCATCAGAATCCAACGTGAGCGTCAGGTGCTCGTAGACGTTCTGCTTGCAGGGGAAGAGCTTCGCCGCGGCGTCGAAGGCCGATCTAGCTAGACATTTCCCGCTCTTGACGCAGTCGCCGTTGCGGCAGAGGCGGCCGCGCGTGACGCCCCACCCGAGCGCGTTCTTCTGGCTGCACGAGCCAAGCACCAAAGCGTCGCCCTTCTCGACGAGGCACGAGTCCGACGCGTTGTAGAACTTGTACAGAGCGGTCTTCGGCCGGCCGCGCTCGAATTTCACACCAATACCCCAGCGCAACGACCGGTCCTCGTCGGAGCAGGCTCGGAACCGAATCCCGTCGTAGCAGGCGGCGCCGTCGGCTGCTTGAAATAAGAAGCCAGAAGTGGCGACGTTCGAGGCCGTGAGCTCGAGCGGCGTGTGGCCGCGCTGGGCGCACTTGAGGACGGAGACGGTGTTCGCCAGGGCTCCTTTGGGGGCCGTTTCGCGCGACGAACCGCCCGAGAGAGCGCGCTGCATCCGCGCGGCCTTCGACCAGATCGAGCTGTCTCTCACGACGCAGTCGCGCTGCTTGTTCGTCGTTAACGCCACTGCCGCGACCATGTCCTCGTTTTGAGTTCTAGACTGGGCCCGCTTCGCGTTGGACTGGAGCATCTCCCACTGCTGGGCTCGGCTTACAGAGGAGCAGTCGCCGCCGCCCAGCACGGTCCGGCCGTGCGCTTTTTTGGTGGACAAGCAAGCACGACGGGGCACGGGCTCGAGGACCATGGCCAGGCTTCGCCGGGACTTTGTGCCCCTTAGTAATCGATCGAGGAACCCCACGGGCCGCGACAGGTACATGTACAAGGCATCGTCGTCGCACGCACCGAAGGTGCCGAGCTCCGTCAAGCACGTCTGATCGGTAGGATCGATGACCCAGTAGGCCTCGGCGTTCTTGATCATGCCGTCGGCCGACACGGCGGGCGCCGCGGCGAGCGCCAGCGCCACGAGCGCGCGCGCGGCGGCGCGGCGCGGCATCGCTGCGGCAGAGCTGCCCGCGAGCGCTGGTCAGCGCTGGCTGCCGCGAGCGCTGGTGAAACCGCGAGCGAGCGCTGCTCCACGTAAAGCCCTCGCTGCCCGTGCTACGACGGCAGAGAGCTCAAGAACTGTTCGCAGTCCGTCTAGACGTCGATGCGGCGTCCGTGCAAATGCCGAGACGTAGCGCGCGCTGCTATTTGCTAGCAATGCCCACTGCTGGGGGTGCAATTTGCATAAAAAAGGCCTGCCGGTGAAACCTCCTTGTCCTCAATGGACGGCTCACATTGTCGCCGACCAGTAGTCGCAGGTGCCTCTCGAACCAAAAGGCCAGCTCTGTTTTTTCGCGCGGGTTCGACTCCGGCAGCCCAACAAAGCCATAAAACACGCCCCAAAAAGGTCGCTGGTGGAGTCCCAGCCGCCTTCAGACAGAGCTCCTCAAGCCGCTCGAAGCTGCGGCCTCGTCGACTGCCGGCGGCAGCATCGTTACCTTGAGCCAAAACCCTGCCTCCTGCACACCAGGCAGAGGCTGCCCAAAGCCATGGCCTCCTTCTTCCCCACATCCACAACAGAATGCTACGTCACGAAGCACGTCAGGAACAGCGAAATCCTAGAAAACAATTGTTTTGAATACGGCGGCGCGGACGTCGCCGGGCCGCGGTGCCGGTTCGCCGCGAATTGTATCCTGTTGAAGGTCTTGTACATCGGGCTGGAGCCGTACATGCGCGTGTTCTGCGTGACGGGCAAGGAGCCGGAGTGGGACGTGGGGCGGGTGCCGCGCGGCAAAGTTATTGGTGAGGTGCTGCAGTCAAATGTCCCATGGATCTCAATAGGCATGAAAGTAAAGGTGACGGCGCCCTGGCGGACCTACACCTGGGTCGAGGTCACGCCGCGAGTGCTGGTGGAGGAGCTCGATAACACGGTCCCTCCGGAACTTTATCTGGGCTTGGCCGGGTCGGGCGGACGGACGGCTCGACTCGCGCTCGAGAAGCTCGTGAAGCCCCAAGCGGGCCACGTCGCCCTGGTGACGGCGGCGGCGTCGTGTGTGGGGTTAGCTGCGTGCCAGCTGATGCGCATGGAGGGCGTGACGGTGCTTGGGAGCTGCGGCTCGGAGCGCAAGGTGACGTTGTTGAAGAAATTGGGCGTCAAGGCGTTCAACTACAAGACGGAAAATGCAGACGAGGCCCTCGCGCGCCTGGCACCAACCGGTCTCGACTTTTTGTTCGACAACACGGCGGGGAGAGTGAGGACCGCTGCGATCAAGATTATGAGAGGCGGCGGCGTGATCCTGACTTCCGGACGCATCGCGCGCTACGACGCGTTCGGCGGCCCGGCGGGCGGCGACGAGGCGCTGGAGAAACAAATTATTTACGAGAACTGCCTGCACGACTACGGGCAGTTCTTCGTGGGCCACTTCTCGGGCGACTTCGTAGAATGCACGAGTCATATCATCCGTCTGTACAAGCGCGGCCGTCTCAAGAACTTCGACACGATCGTCGACGGGTTCCATAACCTCGGCGAGGCATTTGCTGGTATTTTCCGCGGGAAAAACGTGGGACGGACCATCGTCCGGCTCTACGACGACGCGGGAGCATTTTTCGAAGCGCCGGCCCCGGATGCCCCGGCGCCCGCGCCCGCCCCGGCCCCCGCGCCGGCGCCGTGGCGGGTGGACGTGCGCGTGGCGTCCGCGCCGGCGCCGCCGAGCCCGCTGTACGCCGCCGAGGCGCCGGTGCCCGGACCCGCGCCGGCATAAGTACCTGTGACAAACTACATATTTACTACTAGGCTTAAAAAGACAAGATAATTTATTCTTCAACAATCTCTGCTTTCGTTTGGGGCGGTTTTTCGTCTTCATCGTCATCTTCAGATTTGCCATCTTCTTGTTTCCGGTCGCGGTAACGACCATACGCGTCGAACGCGCGGTGCAGGAGGCGCACGCCCGGCTCGTGAATCAAGTGCTGCATGAGGATCGCCGCGACGATGACGACGCACGTCAGCGTCGTGTGGCTCTCCCAGGGCAGGAAGCAGTGCTCCCCGGCGGCGGGGTCGTCGTCGAGCGCAGCATAGATCGCCGCGGCCTGTGTGGAAATCAAAATCTTACGGCGCGTTCGTGCTGAATCGTCGCGTCGTCCTCCACGCCATCGACGCGACTCCTGCTGCACCCGACGCACTGGTTGATTTCCACACAGGCCGCGGCCTCATCGTCTTCGGTTTCGTGATCGCCGCGCGCCCGGTTGATCCAGTCGCTCTCGTAGCAGTTATCGTGGCGATACACGTGGCGCATCAGCTCTTTGAGCGAGGTAATCCCCTCGATCCGCACGAACTGCGCGAACAATAGAACCGGGAAGTGGATGATGTAGGCCGCGAACGTGTACGGCACGAACCCTAAAAATAGCGGGTGCGTCAGCAGCCGCGCCGTCCACGATTCCGACGGCGCGCGGCAGAGCCCGAACACGAGGAGCGCCTCGGGCACGGAGTGGATCCCGTACTGGACCCACGCAACGATTTCGTGGGGCGAGAACTTCAGGACCTGTGCATAAATCAAAATTTCATATGGCGCCTTCGCGCAGAATCGTGCAGCCAACTCACTGTTTGATTTTCACACAGTTCAGGGACCATGAAAATGAAAAAGATGGCGTCCGTGCCCCGGCCCACCTTTTTGCGCTCGGCCGCGTTCAACTCGACCGACAGACATCCCTGGCCGATGACCATACCGAGCGCGAACTGCGCCATCCGAAAGGGCGGGATGGGGTGCCAGAACCAGTTGAGGAACGCCGCGAGGAGGCCCGGGGCCACCAGCCTCCGTCCGAACTCGCCGAGGCTTTTGGGAGGGGGTATGGGCTTCTTGACGGCCGTCTTGCAGGCGCAACATTTTGGGTATGCGACGTCGGGCTCGTCGGGGATCGGCCTGGACCAGCCGATGGCGCATCCCGGTTCCGGTTCCACACAACAGCAACACCACCCGCCGGAGAAGCCGACAGGCACCCCGCCGCAGCACGCACACAACCGCTCCCAGCGGATACGCCACCTTATGTGGTTGAAGAAGAGGACGTTCCAGAATTGGCACATGTGGTACCACGCGGGGGCCAGCGCGCTCCCGGACCACCAGGGGCTGAGAGCCACCGGCGCCGCGAGGAGGTAGGAGGCGGGCCCGACCAGGGGGCACGACACCGCCGCGCCCACGGCCATCGTGAAGTAGTAGAGCGGCAGCGTCGCGACGTAAAAGTTCTTCAGGAGCGTCTTCGTCGGCACCGGCCGCTCGGAGTAGGTCATGAACATCTGCGCGCCGCTGATGATGAAGAAGACGGACGTGTGCCAGGCGTGGTGGATGTCGAACCACCACGTGTCGCAGAGCGCCGCGAAGTGGCGCGCGAAGTGCGCTCGCACCACGAAGAGGCAAAACAAGGAGCGGAGGCCGAAGACCGGATCCAGGTCGATCGTCTTCTCCGCCGCCGCGGCCGCGGGGCGCGCGACGGCCAGGGCGAGCGTGTCGATCGTCGCGTCCGCTAATAGTAATTTGTCCACCTCCGACGACCCGCCGAGCCCGCGCAGGGCGTGCGAGAGGCGCATCAAGCTCAGCGAGTCCATGCCGAGGTCCGAGACGCGCGCGGCGCCGCTGGTCGCCTTGATGCCCGTGACGCGCCGCACCGCCTCGATGACGGCATCTACTGACGATGCCGACGCCGCGATGCCGCCGCCCGTTTCGCCGCCCTGCTTCGCGATGCCCAGCTTATCCGCTAAACCGACGCGGAGCGGCTTGCCCGTGGGGCCCTTGATTAGTGACGTCATGTACCAGACGTGCTGCGGCCGCTTGGCGGCCGTGAGGTAGGGCTCCAGGAACTGGCGGAGCTCGTCGAGCGACGGCGCCACAATGTTGGAGTGTGGCACGATGCACAACCCGAGCGCCTCGCCCAGTGCTTCGTGCGGCACCGCAAAACACACGCACTCGGCGACGGCGGGGTGGCGCAGGCACGCGTCCTCGACTTCTAAGGGACCTACCACCTCGCCGCCCCGGTTGATGATCTCCTTCGACCGGCCCGTGAGCGTGAGCCAGCCGTCCGCGTCGATGGAACCCAAATCGCCGGTCGCGAACCACTCTTCAGGATTGTCGGTCGACACCATCGGCCCGCGGATGAGGACCTCGCCCTTTTCCGAAATCATGAGGTCCGGCCCCACGGCGGGACCGACGCTGTAGGGCCTTCCTAAATCGTACGAGCGGTCCGGTGAGGCAATTGGCATACATTCGGACATGCTATACGTGGGCAGCACGGTCGCCCCGGACCAGGCCTTGAGCTCCTCGGCGACGGCCACGGGCAGCGCGGCCGCGCCGCTGCGGTAGAGGCGGACGCAACTCGGGGGTTTGCTATCGGGCGTCCGCGCACTCAGTATGGCCTGGAGGTGACTGGGGACGCAGTAGATCCAGGTGACCTTCGGTACCAAGTTATCAAGGTTCAGGACCAGCGCCGCCGAAAACTTGGCGATGTAGACCGCGCCCGAGCCCGACGCGAGCGGCGCGTAGATGTTCGCCACGATGCCGCCGATGTGGTGCAAAGGCATGAAGTTGAGGCAGCAGTCCGAGGGTTCCAGCATTAATGTTTTCGCGATGATGGCGCCGCCTCTTGACAATTGCTGCTGCGTTTTATAAACGAGCTTCGGCTGGCCCGTCGTGCCCGACGTCCGCAAAACAAGACAGGGCGGCAGCGCCGACATGGACTTCGCCGAGAGCATACGACTTGACGAGAACATGCGCCGGAGCGAGAAGGCCCGCATCGGAGGCCGCCGGACCGCCTCCGCCGCGATTTGGAAAACTGCGCCTGCCTCGCCGGATTTGGGCTCCGCGACGACGACAGAAGCGCCGGCCGCGGCGGCGGCGGCCGCCGCCGCCGTGGGGGGACCGTCCGTTGCGTCGACGATGCAGTATGCGCAGCCCTCCATGGCCGCGCGCAGCTCCGCCGGCGAGCTGTTCGGGCAGAGCGGCACCGCGATCGCCCAATGCATCACTCGGAGTAGCGCGAGCGCGAGGTCGGCGCCGTTCCGCATCGCGATCGCCACCCGCGTCGACGCGTCTGCGCCGCCCAGGTCGTCGTTGAGGAGGGTCCGCAGCTGGTCGTAGGTGCACGCTCGCGTGGAGTCGAAGCAATCATAGGCAAACACTCCATTTCCCGCCGGCAATACGCTGCCCAACTTCATGCTGCCGCACTCTTGCGCTAATGTGATAGCCCCCGGGCCGATTCCTTGATGATGGCGATCTTCCTTCGTGTCTACCTCACGCATTTAGCGCTGGAATCATGGGTGCTCTGGCTGAGAGAGCTGCCCGCACGCAGACCGCGCGGCGCGCGCAAGTCGTGCGACACGTTGGTCGACAGGGCGAATGATGCGCACGGGTCAGGGGATTTGCCGAGGCGGTCTACCCAGATTACGAAAGACGCGGCCCGCGCCCATCCCGCGCCCGGAGACGGATGCACACAAATAGACGATTACGTAAGGGTCGCGACGGTCAGCCCGTCCCGCAGCGGCAGCACGAGCGGGTCCACGCGCGTATCCTTCCGGAGCTTGACGTTGAACTCGTGGAGCGCCTGCGCCACGGCCCGGTCGCGCCGCGCGGCCTTGAGCGCCCGCTTCGGGTCGTCTCCATTCAACTCCGCTTCGGCAAGGATGGCCTCCTCTTCGCTTGGACTCATACCAGTCGTGCCCTCGGCCACGCGGCCCTTCCAGAGCGTGTTGTCAAAGACGAGGCACGCATTTGAGGACAAGAGGCCCGGCGTATCCAGCAAGGCGTCGAAGACCGCGGCGTAGCCCTTCTTGTCGCAGTCGACGTACACCAAATCGAAGGGGCCGTCTTTGCAGTTCTCAAGGTACTGGCCGCGATCGGCGACGACCTGCCGCACGGCACCCCAGTCCGCAGGTACATCTCGAAAATGCTCCTTTGCAACGTTCGCGGCGCGCTCGTCCCGGTCCACCGTAATGACTTCCTTCGACGCGCTGCTGAGCCAGAGCGTCCCGTAGCCGCAGAACGTGCCGAGCTCCAGAACGCGGGCCGCGCCCCTTAGTTTACAGAGCGTCGCGAGCAATTTGCCCTGCGTCGGCCCCGAGCACATGTGGGCCGCCGCCGGGTACCTTGCGGAAGCATCCAACCTACATCTCTCGATGAGAGGGTGCTCCGGGCCGGATAACGAGACGGCGTACGCGTCCGCGGGGTGCACGATCTGTGCATCCTCATCTGTTGAATCATGCACGGCCACCAACGCTTCCGCGGCTCTTGAATCGAGGACCTCGCCATCTGGTACTGGAGGCGCCGTCACCCTTTCTCCCACGCGATCATTAAACACGTAATTGACGCCCCGGAACCGCGACGTCTCCTCGAGGTTCGTCTCGGAGAGTTGTTGAGTGTAGTTGACGACGCCCCCTTTCAGTCGCCGGACATCGCTAAACCCGAGCTTTTGTTTGACGTAGGCGCCGGCCTTCACACACCGGATGCCGCCCGTGCAGAACATGTAGACGGGCTCGCTTTTCGGCTTCGCGGCCAGGGCCGCGTCGAGCGCTTGGTAGGTGTCCTTGAAGGTCTCCGTATTTAGCGGCGTCGCGCCGGCGAAGGAACCCACGGCGCTCTCGTAGTGGTTGCGCACATCTAAGATGGTGTTTGTAGACGTATTATTGTCGCCGAAGTCGCCTCCTAACTGTTCGTGCCACGTCGACGGCTCCAGATCAACACCGGGATCCTGCAAATCTAAATCGGCGCCGACGCCGTCGTCCGCGACCACATAATCCCTGGTCCGAACCTTCAGCGCGCGGAACGGCATCGTTTCTTCCTTTTCTACCGTGCCGTCGAAGTTTAATGAAGGCGCTTCTTCTTCAAGTTTGTCGAAGAGCCGGGCGTGGTGCTCCTTGTACGTGTCCACGTGGGTATCGGGCACGCAGAGCTGCGCGTTGACGCCTTCATTTGCCACATAAGCCCGGCCGAGGACGCCCATTTGGGACCAGGTCGCCTGGAGCGTCCTGACTAATGCTTCTGCGTCGTGTTTACCGGTGAAGAAGTGGTACCACGACACCATGGCGTATTTATCGGAAGTGACCACCTCCGGCTCTTTGTCTGTAGTTGTGAGGAGTGGGCCTCTTGGCTCGACGACCACAGTATCATCCTCGTGTCGGATGGCGTAGTCCTGCAGTTTTAATGAAGGAACCTTCTGTTCAATAGCGTCTCTTAGCGTCGCTTCGTCTTTGTCTCTGACAAAACAGCGCGGTCGGCGCTGCTTGCCGGGCAGGCGCAGGGCGTCTCTCAACCTCTGGTCGATGGTGACCTTGACAGCTACGAGTTGCTCGTCGGCGGTGCTCGCAGCGCGGCGCGCCAGCCGTCCTACCGGTGCGCCGGCGCGCAGCAGCGCCCTGGCGCTGCTCGCAAAGAGCAGCATCAGTGCTCGCCGCCGCATATGTTTTTATGACTTCTACGGCCCTCCTTGCCTCGCTGGCACAGTTGCAGGACGGAGCGGAGTGGCAAAACTAATCAGCTAGCGGCATAAGGCCGCTAGGAATATTTTGATGAAAAAGTGACGAGTGGTGAGGAGTTATAGCGCTTAACCTGCCACCCTGCCCATATCTTGACGCTGTCGTGCTCTCGTCGACTCGGAGACGCCACAGCTCATAGAACTGCGCTGCCAGCAAATTTGAACATAGCAGCATTGCACTCAACAGCAAGATAGCAGCAAACTAGCAAGATGCCCAGGCACAGGACGATGCGCCTCGCCTGCGCGCTGCTCCTGGCGCACGTCGCGGCCCGCCCGCAACAGCGCGCCAAGCCGCTCGCGTTAAAGCCGGTCACCGGCCGCGCCGCCGCAAAACCAATAGACAACACAGCACTATGTGTCAGCGGCGGCACCATCGCCAAGGCAAGCGACGCCGAGATGCGCCAGGCCGTGATCACGACCATCGGTGTTATATTAAGCGCCTGCGCGTTTGGCGTCGGCGTCGCAGTTACCAGAGGCAAGGAGGTCGCGATGGAGTTCTTCGCGGGGTACCTAGTCGAACAATCGCTGAGCGTGGACAACTTGTTCGTGTTCATTTTGCTGTTTGAGTACTTTCGGGTCCCGGCATCCATGCAGGAGAAAGCACTAAGGTGGGGCATCATCGGTGCCCTGTTGATGCGAGGCGTCATGATTCTCGTGGGTGTCGAGTTAGTGCAACGGTTCCGAGTCGTGACTTTGTTGTTTGCGGGGGTGTTGCTCGCCTCGGCCGCGAAATTACTAACAGAGGGCGATCACGACGACGAGGAAATGGGCAACAACTCCCTCGTAAGGTTATCGAAAGCGGTGACGAAGTCCGTAGAGTATTATGATGGGGACAAGTTCTTCACGAAGTTAAGGGATGGTAGTCGTGCAGCTACACCCTTGTTGCTGTGTGTAGTGTGCATCGAGCTATCCGACTTTGTGTTTGCGGTCGACTCCATCCCAGCAGTACTCGCGATCACGAAGGACCCCTTCATCGTTTATAGCTCAAACATCTTCGCCATTGCGGCGCTACGGTCCTTGTACCAGGTTTTATCAGCGGCTATCGCGGGCTTACCTTACTTGAGACCGGCCGTGGCGTTGATCTTGGGCTTCGTCGGCCTCAAAATGCTCGCGGAGTACTATCATATCCACGTACCGACGTCGTGGAGTTTAGGGGTCATCGTCGCGACGCTCGGCGGCGGCATCGCGCTGAGCCTCTGGTGTCCTCCGCCACAAAAGAAGTAGGCTCTACCCCACCGGCACGCCGTCGCGGCGACAGCGTGTCTACCATCGTGTGTGTGTTGTTTACATCGAACCCCCATCGTCCCGTCGCGTCGCTCGTGTAAAAATACTCGCTACTAGAACTCACCGAAATTACTCGCTACTAGACTCAACCGCGCGGGTACCACTGCGACGGCTCGGGCCGCCCCGCGAACGAGTACTTCCGCGCCTCCTCGAGCGCCTTGCTCTTCCTCCGCGCCTTCAGGACCGCCTGAGGATTGTTCTCCTTCTGCGGTTGGGTAGCCTTCTTGAGGGCCTTCTGCAGTTTCTCGATCTCCTTCTTGAGCTCCGCAGAAGCCTGTGCAAACCCCGCCTTTTCTTTCTTCCGCAACATGTTGACGTTCTCGACGCGCTTCATCAGCACCTTGTTGGCCCGCTTCGTCGCTACTAACTGTTTGTTCTCGGACCCGCCCTGCGCCTTTAGTAAACTCTCAACATGTTCTAACCGTTTCAAAGCAGCATCTCTATCTTCCCGTATCTCCACGGTAGCTCCCCGAATCTCCGCCTGCAGAGCCAATCGAGCCTGCTGGGCTTCCCTTTCGTACCTCTGCCTCAGATTCACCGACTCGCTTCGAGTTGCTCGATGAGCTACCGCTAGATCTAGTTCCGCCCGTCCGAGCCGAGCGCGCGCGTCGACCGACTCGCGTTTGGCATCGACCACGTCCCGAGCCGCAGCATACAACCGCTCGTCCTTCGCTTTATTGTCCTCCGTCAGTTTCTCAATTTCCCCACGAAGCTCCTCGAGCTGCTTGTCGCGCTTTCTCAGCGCATCTTCGTGCGCGGCCTCGATAGCTTTTCTTCGGTTCTCGGCGATCTGTTTGACCGCGCCGCCCCACCGCGACGCCGTCTTCTTCTTCGTCGGTTCTTGCTTCGTAGGAGGCGCTTGTTGCGTCGGCGCCTCCTCACGAGTCACAGTCGCGTCCTCCTTGACCACCTCCCTTGTAGTTTCCTGCTTGACGACCTCCTTCGTTTCCTCTACGGCAGACTCCTGGGCGCGTTCCGGCGCCTCCTGCGCCGCGGCTTCCTTCCGCCTTCTTTCAGCTGCCGCGCGCCACTCTTTTTCGGCCCGCGGCCGCGGTTTATGCGGCGCGTTCGCGATGGCTTCATCAGGCGCCTCTATCATTTCACCGCGACCGCCCCGAATATCCATCGACGACGGCTCCGCGCTCTTCTGCGGGAACCGCGCTACTATCACTGGTCTACCCACGTGTCTCGGTGATACGGTACCATCCGCAATCGCATCGAGATCCGCATCGAGATCATGCACGGTGGGCGGCTTATCCGAGCCGTCGAAGACCATGGCCACGTCCTTGTCCGGCACGAAAGCCAGCAACGTTTCAATCCTGACATCCTGTTCCCGCAGCTCCCTATCCTTCTTTTCCAGGGCATCGAGCAAATTATCGACTTCCAACTGATGAGCTTGGGTGGACAATTCGTGCTCCTGGCGCGCCTCCTGGAGCGCGACCTCGGTCTCCGCCAGGACGTGGACCGTCTGCTGCATCGCTTCCGAAGACGGCGACGCGAGGGTCTCCCGCTTCAACGATGGGATATTTTCGCCGGACGGGACGTTCTCGACGTTCTGGAGGGGGGCTTTCGTCGCGGTCATCATCGGAATGCCTTTACTGGATGTAGGAACACCAGCCTTCGCGAAGACGACCTGCTGTTGTAATTCATGAGCCTTCTTCTGGAGCTCGGCGTACTTGCGGTGGGCCTCCTTATTCAGCTCTTCGAGCGTGGCTATGCGCTTGTGCATGACGTCGCGGTCGCCCTGCACATCCTCCCGTAGCGCTTCGTACTTGCCCGCTAACGCCTCGGGGTCGAGGGTGAACTGGGCCATTTCTGCGTCGTGCGCGCTGGCGTCGACGAGGACTGTCGTGCGTCGTGCGCTGGCGTTCTTTGAATCCTGGCTGCGGCGCTCACGGCGCCGGCGTCCGCACTGGTTTCAAATACGTTGTCGCGTTTTCAGGGCGTTGCCAGGGTTCCTGCGTAGAAATTGAGTGTCCGCGGCCGTTGCTGGGCTGTTGACGCTCCCTAGATCACGTCAATGCAGCGTCACGGCCACGTCGGCCCGAGCACAGGCCCTAAAAACGCCAGCGCCGGTCGAGAGGCCTAGCGTCTAACATACTAGTCAGCTCGGTGCACACCTCTTTGTCGCGCCCTACTCGGCTGCAGCGCAAAATCCGTGGACGTGCGGTCGTCCAGCACCCCTTTGCTAGCGCCCCGTGCGGCTGGGCCCACAACTGCAGCGCAATGCGCCGCCACACTCTCTCTACAGTGCTTGCAGCCAGTGCAGCGCGCTGCGCCACGGCCTTCACGCCATCGCAGCGATGCACCAAAACGCAAAAACTGCACAGCACGCCCGTCGCCAGCGACGAGTGGCCCACATTTCCCGTGTTCGAGGGTGCTGATGCTTTGTTCCCGATCCCGTTCGACGATGCCAGAGTGACGTACCAGTTCACGAGTGCGCTCCATCGACGACTCGTCGACGCGGCGTTGCTCGATGGTGTGCCCCAGTTCTTCCACGTCGTCAAGAAAGGTGAGACGCTCGAAGGGTCGATCGGCGTCGTCTGCTTGATTTTACAGGTCACGGAGGGCGACCCGAACGACCCGCAGTTTGCTTCTCTAGAATCTCCGCCGTACCGGGTTACCGTGAAATGTGAAGGACGAGGTATTGTCTTGGATACCGTCTCGACGATACCGTTCAGCACGGCTCGAGTGCAGCCTCTGCTGGATGACAAGTCCGCCAAGAATGACATCGAGGTCCAGACGCTGGAAAATCAATGTTTTGCCAAGGCCCGACGCGTCGCAGAACTGTCAGCAAAACTCGAGGGCAAGGGCGTGTTTGCCGACCAGGCGCAAGAGGTCCTGGAGTCGTTTATGTTTAGGATCAAGGCCTTTGAAGATCTAGCTTTGGAGAATTTCAACGAGTGGTCCGACGAAGAACGGAGAGAAAGGGCCGGGTTCCTTTTGTTAGCCTTAACTACGTTACCGAGAGCCGAGGAGGCTGCCTGCTTAGCAGCAACGGACGCCTTCGAGCGGTTTACCATACTAGACAATTTCCTGGGGAAGACGGAGTCGGAATTAAGCGCCAAAGTCGCCTTGGACGGCGTGTTTGGGGATAGTGCGCCGCGCGCGCCCTTGCCTCGATCTGGAGATAGAATCAGTTTCTTCTGGACCGAGGAGGACGGCTGGTGGGATTGTGAAGTTGTGGAACGCGTGGCGCCCGGCTTCTACTCGGTGAAGTGGGACGTCGACGGTTCCATAACACGCGTCCAGCTCGACGACGACAACGCGAACCGGTGGCGCCTGGTCCCGCGGCAGCGGCCGCCGGAGCAGTCGGAGCGGCGGAAGCGGGGGTAATTATCTAGTTATTATACAACCCCGGGACGTATCGACGCGAGGAACGCGTCGTTCTCCGCAATCCGGCGCTCGCGTTCGTGCTCTGATCCCCCCAACATAGGCGTCAGATCGCCGGGGACACATCGACAGTGTCCACCACGCCGCAGCTCGAAATGCGGGTCGTGCGACGCCTGCTCCCAGATACCAAAGAAGCCATCGATGTTGTCGTCGACGCCGTCGGCCCAAAGGCAGTAACTATAATGACCCACGCTCGAAGGTCCGAACGATGAATAGAACGCGCTCATTGCTATCATCGACGTCTTGGGTTCTACGCCTCCCTTGACCGTGAACTGCTCGCGGCTCCCTACGTAGCGTTCGTCCGTACCGCCCCCCGTTATCTTGCCCACAGCGTCGAGCGCCAGGGAAACCAGACACACGGATACGAGTCTCTCCACGTCGTAGTTGAAGATTGTCCACTTGTCCGTCGACGCGATCGCCGCGACGAGGCGGGGGAACAGCGACACGCCAGCCACGTCGTCGCCTGGGCTAGCAATCGCCCGCCTTGAATAGTCCCAGTTGCACAGGACGCGCGCGGCGTGCTTCGAGGCGCTGCCTTGGCAGGTCTGTCTCGACGCGTCTTGGATCGCTTCGAGCGCGGCCCCGCTCACTTCCTCGCGGACCAAATCGACCCGCAAGGCGTCCGTTATCGTCGCCGTCTGTGCGACGCTTGCGGACGGGCTCGTGAGGATTTTCCGGAGAGCCGCGCGGCCGCCGAGAACCTCGAGGAAGGTGGAAACTTGTGGGTACACTATGTCAGGCTGGCGAACTCCAAGGAGGCGTTGATGTATCTCTGCCACCGCGATGATATTGGCTAAGACGCAACATGCGAGTGCGCTGAAGTTCTTCGCCTCATTCGTGGCGAGCGAAAGCAGAGGCTTAATCGCGCCGCGGGCCAGGGCCTGGGCGATGAGCGTGGGCGGCTCGCGGCCACTTTGCAAGGCAAGCGCCTCGGTGGCCGTCAATGCGGCGCAGGCTGCGAGCAAGGGCCTCGCGGTCGCGCGGCCTTCGCCGGTCCCGGCGTTACCGGCGAGCAGTGGCGCGGACGCCAGGAAGCGCTTCGCAAGCCGTAGACTAAATGCGTGGTGCAGCACGCGCGCGCGCGCCGACGGCTCATCCTCGTCACCCACGAGGCCAAACCACCAGCTATCCTTCAGACACAGCGGCTCTAGGAAGCCCTCCCAGGGGTCTTCGGACTCGTACCACTCCCGCGTCGCCTCGGAGCAGGCAGAATACGTCACGACGTCTGCGACGCACAGGTAGCCCACGCAGATGGCTCCGAGATCCTCGGGCAGCAGGTGCAGGCCCAGTGGTTCCGGCGGCGACTTGCGTGGCGAGGCGAGGTCCGGGAGGCTCGCGTCCTCCGACTCAGCGGGAGCGACCGGCGCCGTGGCAGCGTCGAACAACCGATCGATATCCTCTCTCGCGCGCGCTGAGGATAGAGCAATACTTTGCAGCTGCTGTTCGACATGCTGTAGGGCAAGAGGCGGCACCATGGATGCTGGATGCTGCCCAACCCCGGCGTCCAAAGTCTCCAGCTCTCACTGCGCACCGAGCGGCAGCGTGACCTTGCGAGCCGCGTGGATCAGTGGGAGGGAGTGCGTTCCTCGATGGATGCTGCCCCGCGTGGAGGAACGTGAGAACTATAGCGTGAGCGGCTTGGCATCTCCCCAGGGCCTTGCCGGGCTGATCGAGAGCCTTTGGCTTGAATCGAATTCCACGCCTGGAGCCGTCGATGCAGGGGTCGAGGCTTCGACGAACGCAGTCTCGGACGGTCGCTTTCGTACGGGCTGCAATCACTGATGCTGGGCTGGCGGCATTGCAGCGCGCCGCCGAGACTTGCTGGCCATCATTTATAATTGCGACGTGGTGAGAACGCATTATTGGAGCCCTGTTGGGAGTTGCACATATGATTGGCCGCCGGCGAGCGCCGTGCTGGGTGCTGGCCATAGCACTCGTGTTGCAGCACGCTGAAACGCTGTCGACGACGACACTTACGGCGCCGAAGCCGGCCTCAACAGCGGTCCAACAGCTCGGCGAATTCAACGTCGCACAACTCCAAGAGTACGAGGGCTTGAGGGGCCGCTTCGACCGCGACAAAATCCTCGGCTTCCTGGCCAAGCGGCCGTGGACGGTAGCGGGCTGTGTGGAAATCAAATGTCGCGGCGCATCTCGTCCCACGGCCCAATCATGACCTCCACGCCATCGACGCGATACTCGCACACGACACACTGGTTGATTCCCACACAGGTAGCGGGCCGGTTAGCGTACGTGTCAAGAGTCTTCCTGGACACGAAAAATGCCTGGGAAAGCCAAGAGTCGTTACCGGAAGACCAGAGGACGCGAGGCGCCATGCTTAACGCCGCCATGGCCGGCCTCGGACCCGTCTCGGTCAAAGTCGGCCAGACGCTTTCGCAGCGACCGGATCTCGTCGGAGAGGAGGCCTGCGAAGCCCTCAAGAGCTTACAAACCAAAAATAGACCATTCTCGAACGCTGCAGCATTGCAGTCCGTAGCTGTAGAGTTCAAGCTCAACAGCACCGCGAACGTGGCCCCGAACATCGGCGGACTACCCGCAAAAGAGTGCCTCTTCGCCTCATTTTCCGAAGAGCCGGCGGCCGCCGCGAGCCTCGGCCAAGTGTATAAGGCGAGGACCCATGACAACAGAGAAGTCGCAGTCAAGGTCCAGCGGCCCGACGCGCTGCGGACCGTAGCTATTGATTATACGTGTTTCGCAGTAGTATGGAAATTAATAGAAAGGTGGTGGTCGTTCCAGAGGAAGCTGAAGGGCGAGGGCCCTTTTGATAATGGGGACATCGGGGACGTCGTGGACACGGTCGCCGACGGGCTCTTTGACGAGTTGGACTACGACCTGGAAGCCTTGAACGCCGATCGATTCCGAGAATCGCTGGACTTTCTGGGCTTTGTCGACGTCCCTACGTTCCTACCTGAACTCAGTACGAACCGCGTCCTGACGACGGAGTGGATCCGAGGCGCGCATCTTGAGGCGTTGAGTGTGAAGGACGGCGCCCTCATGACCCAACTCGCAGTAGAAGCGTGCACGGCGTCTTTAGTGTTGACAGGTTACGTGCATGCGGACCCTCACGAAGGAAACCTCATGCTGCGAGAAGACGGCAAGGTCGTCTTCCTGGATTTTGGACTCATGTCCGGCGTCGACGGCTACATCATGGAGTCCTTCGCGCAGGGGATCCGCGCGTGTTTGGCCGAGGACTACGAGTCGCTGGCAAGAGCGTTTCAAGATGTTGGGTTTCTGACGACGCCGTTGCAGTTCCGGGAGAACCCGAAGCAAGCGTACGAATTATATGATACTCCAGGAGGATTGGATCAATTCGCGAATGAATTGCGGGAGGCGATGGCTACTACGGAAGGAGGTACTTCCCGGTTCGGGGCTCTAGCTGAGGTATTGAACGGTAAGCTGTCGAAGAGGTGGAAGATGTTCACGCCGCCCTACTGCCTCCTCCTCATCCGCACGTTCCTCACGCTGGAAGGCATCGCCGCGCAAGTCGACCCCGATTTTAATATTTATGAGATGGCGCTGCCCTTTGCTCTTCGAAGGTCGCTAGCTCCTTCGTCCAAAGAGGGCGTCGAGACCCTTCGTAAGTCGTTACTTACAGATGATGATCGAATTAAGTGGGACGCGCTGCTGGCTCTCATTGGAGACGAGCCATCTGAGGAAGTGATCGATGATGGGAAGCCCAAGGCCGAGGCGGACATGTCGGCGGCCTTGACGGCCGTTGTTGGAAGTTCTTCTGGCGCGGCGTTGCGGAAGGCGATTCGCGACGTCGACGCGGCGGATTTGGCGGCGCGACTTGTGAGTCGTTCAGGTAGAGATGTTAGGCGACGAGCAGCGTTGTCCGTGGCCGGCGCCATGGAGAAGGCTTTACTTCCTAGAAGACGGAAAGTGTCTCATGTCGAAGAGGAATCCGTGGTTTCACTAAATGCGCAGTCGGCCAAGGGCTTGAGAAGGGCCTCGTCACCCGCCAGTCGTCGCTTGCGCCACCGGCAGAAGCGGTGGCAGCGGCGCGTCGTCGCGCATCTCATCAGGTCGCACGTCGCGCGGCAGATTAGATCAGGACGGCGGGGGTTGTTCGCCCTCGCGAAGCTGTCCTATTTGGGAGTGCGGATCATGGTTGGTGGGATGTTACAATTCCTCTGGGTGGCGCTGCTGCGCGGCATGGAGCGGATCATGCCGGGATTCCCTCGGCGACCGGCCGCGGCCTAAGTTTAGTGTGTTCGAATCTACTTATAGGCTAGCGTCATCAATATCTGCCAGCGACGCGTGGTGGTGCGCGACCTCGAACGCGCCCGTCGCGCCCTCGACGAATACAGCTGTCGATGAGAGCGCGCCGCCCGGTCCTAAGAGCCGCGGCGCCGACAGCGACCCGACCGCGAGCCCGAGCGAGTCGTCCACGTGCAGTTCCTCTGCGCGGAGACCGAGCCGCGCGGGGCCCCTCGCCGCACTCATGGGCGCCCGCCTCCGAATCGCGCCGCCGAAGAGGTCGTCCCACGAGCGCATGGCGGCGTCGGCGCCGACGACGGGCCGGCCGCCGGGGTGCACGCACGCCCGCAACGAGCGCAGCGACGACGCGTCGAGCCGGTCCCACGAGTCGTAGAGCGCCATCGCCGCGCTTCTCAATCGCTGCGCCCGTAGACCGGACGTCCCGTCGCCGGCGGCCCAGTGGAAGCGCAGCGACCCGCCGAAGCACAGCTCGCCGAGCTTCTGCGCGGCGGCGGCCGCGTCGGCGCCCGCCTCCCGCGGGAGCAACGCGACGCCCACCAGAGGCCGGTCCGACTTGTGGGCGGCGAAGACCTTGAGGCGCTTGGCGCGCTTGCGCGGGCCGGGCCGCCGCCGCGCGTGGACCAGCCGCGCCTGTGTGCATCGACGCGTGATCGACGCGACCCGCGACGTGTAACGACACGGAAATACGCGCCAAGACCGCCCCATTCACACGAGCAGCCGCGCCAGCACAAGTCCCGTGCGGGAAGAGGCCGTCGACGCGCCGCGCGAAGCGCTCGAGCGCGGCGGCGTCGTCGTCGCCGTCGTCGTCGTCGAAGTCGTCTTCCTCATGAGCCGCGTCGCCGCCGAAGACGAGGAAGTGCGGCGCCGTGTGCTTCGCGAGCGCGGCCTCGAGCCGCCGCCGGCCGAGGTCCGGCAGGGCCCCGCGTTTGGCGTCGAAGGTCCAGGCCTCGACGTGCGGCGGCAATTTGCAAGCGACGACGTGCAGCTGGTCGCTCTCGGCGAAGGCCAGGCTGTCTACGGCGCCAATCACATTCGAGTAGGTGAGCGCCTTGGAGCCCAGCGCCTGCCGCAGCGCCGTCTGGTTGGCCGCGACCACCAGCACGAGCGGCTCGCCGGCGGATTCGCGGTCCAGCGCCTCGCAGGCGCGGGCCGCGGGGCCCGTCACGGACAGTGCCGTGCCGCCGGACGCCGAGAGCACGCTGCGCCTTACGGTGACGTCGGCGTATTTCGTTGGTCGCTCGCCTCGCAGCGCCAGGGGTTTGCTGCGGTTCGGCGCCGTCACTGTGACTCTGGTACTGGAGGATCTAGTGTGTGCTGCGCTCTGGCGCAGTGGTGACCGGCGCAAACCACAGCACAGCGTGGCACCGTACCGTAGCGATTGTGACCGCATGATCAATGCCTATTTACGCTGTCGGAGGCACCGCAACGCCCAAGAATCTCGGAGGCCACAGCTAGCGTCCAGTAACACACTAGCCTGGAAGCAAAAAACGCGCCCGACAGCCGTACAGCTGTCACGCGTGCAAAAAGGGGGCCAAGTCTGTCTCTGACCCACATCAGATCACAACCAGCGCGTGGCATCATTGCTGCGCAAGCGTAAGAGCCTCAGGTTTTAAAAAGCTCTCACAAGCTGCGACGCGCTCAATTGACGCCGCGAACAGCGTAAACCTCAAAGCCGCATCGCCAAGACAGCGCGTCAAAAGATGAGCAAGTTCGAGGCGCCGACGAACCGCGCCTTCCTCTTCATCAAACCAAATGCCGCGACGCCGGCGATGGAGAAGCTTGTGGAAACAACCCTGGCAGCACGCGGCATCAAGATCCTGAAGAAGGGCGTCATCGACGGGCCGACCATCGACGCGAAACGATTGATCGACCAGCACTACTACGCCATCGCGAGCAAGGCGACGCTCTTGAAGCCTTCGGAATTACCCGTCCCGGAGGACAAATTCGAGGCGTTCTTCGGTATTAAATTCAAGGACGCCATAGCTCAGGGCACGGCCGTCAACGCCCTCGACGCGTGCAAGAAGCTCGACTGCACGCCGGACGAGCTGCGGGCGGAATGGCGGGCCGTCTGTAAAACAGGCGACATGATCAAGTTCGGCGGCGGCTTCTACTGCGGCAAGATCAGGGGCCTGCAGATCTTCAACCCGTTCTTCATGGCCATGCGCGCCGTTTATACGTCTGCAACTGCGAAGCTGATTTACTTCGACGTCGAGTTCGACTCTAATCAACTCTCGTGGGCGGCGTTTCGCGGCGAGGTCCTGGGGCCCACGGATCCGGTCAAGGCGCCCTCCGGTTCATTGCGGCGGCTCGCGCTCGAGCGGTGGGAAGACTTAGGATTACCCTTCGCGCCGGACACGACCGAGAACGCCGTCCACGCGTCGGCGAGCCCATTTGAAGGATTGGCGGAGCGCATGAACTGGCTCGAGGCCGAGCCCAAGAGCGACGCCTTCGGCGCCGCGCTCATCGAAGCGGGCGTGCCGCTATCGACAATCCGGTCGTGGGCCAACGACCCGCGAGTGGCGCTGGGCGGCGGCGCGGAGGGGTCCGTCTTCGACGCCTTCGAGGACCTCGACGCCACAGAATGCCTCGCGAAGGCCGTCGAGATCAGCGCGTCGACGCGTTCGGCGAATAGATCAACTAAAAGAGTAACTTATATACGGGACGAGAACGAGCAAGGATACATATCTACCAGTACCACTTGCCGAACAGGAACGGCGTCAGCTGCACGACCGGCACGTGCGTCACGCTCTCGAGCATGACGTACGACAGCACCGCGAGCATGGCCACGCGGCCGTGGTTCAGCTCCAATTCTCTCATCGTGAACCGGCCGACCGCGTCGTTGCCCAACAGACCATATAAGCCGAGCGGGTCGAAGTCCTCGTCGCCCGCGACGCCCCAGGGCCACTCCTCGCCGAGGCCCTCGAGGTCCTTCTTGTGCACATTCCCGTACAGCGTCTGGCACTTGAGCGTGCCCAGCGTCTTGAGCTCCTGCTGGCCATACAACGCGAAGAAGCCGAGCACGAATAACGTAGGCAGGGGCGGGAACTGCACATCAGAAATCAGACCGCCGTTGAGGATGGACGGCGCGCGGCCGCCGTCGGCCAGGAAGTAGCCGTCGAACCAGTCCTGGCCCCACAGCTCGGCCATGGGCCAGCCCGCGGCGCAGAGCATCGCCAACCGGCAGTGTCTCACTTCCGCCTCCATCTGGTTGTAGAGCTCGGCGTTCGTCGTGCAGAAGCCCGCGGGATCAAAACCGTAGTCGCCCGGGTGCGTGCCGTCCAAGAGGGCCGGTCTAGGTAATTCAGGGCAGACGCCCGGGAAGAATTTCTCGAGCTCCGTGTAGATCGTGGCGTACTTCTGGTCCTTGTTCCGGTGGAAGACCAATGCGCCCGGGTCTCTGCTTGCGTTGCCGACGAGCGTCGCGCGCGTGTTCTCGATGCCGTCGACGCCCTTGTACTTGGCCGACTCCGGCGCCGCCTCAGCCTTGGGTTCCTCGGCCTTGGGCTCCGGCGCCGCCGGCTCCTCGGCCTTCTCCTCGCCGACCACAACGGCCTCGACGGCCTCCGGCTTGAGATCAATCACTTCATCCTCGGCGACGACTTCCGGCAGCGCCGTCGTCGACGAAGAGACGGCCACGCCCTTGGAGTTGTACAACTCTGCAGGCCCGCCGGACTGCATCTGCAGGCCCGTCAGCGGCTTGCGCGCGGCGAGCGGCGTCACGTACGCCGCGGCCGGGGAGAGGGCCAAGGCGATGAGTATCCTCTGCATGATGACGTTGTTTTTTAACTGCGTTTCTTGCAGATTGCGAGTGACTTGGGTCGAAGCAGCTGCGGACTGTTGCTTTTGTTGCACAGCTTTAGCTGTGCGCGACGAACCGCGGCCGGCCAGACGTGCGTAGTGGCGCAACCACGACTGCGGCTTCGGGTTTCCAAAATTGCCACGCAGCCGTCTCCGCCATCGTTGAGTACCTACAAGACGGGATCTTGGACGTTTGGCTGGCTTGCGCGGGCCAAGCGGCGCGAGAGGCAGCCCAGCCTTGGCATGGAGATGGTGGCACTCTCGCGGGCGCAGGCATCGCAAATGGCTGCCCGAAAACGATAGGATGTTCGTGCTCCTGCTCTACGCCTACCACGAGACGGAGCAGGCCCACTCCAACCTCCGGCACTACCTGAAGCACGGCCCCATCCCGACAGCACAGGGGCGGCAGGTCTTCGTGGTCAACGGCCCCCATTCCCTGACGCCATCTGACTTTGCCAAAGATGACACAATCATAGAACGGGAAAACGAGGGCTTCGATTTCGGCGCGTGGGCGGTAGGCTTAGAAAGAGCACCAAACGAAGCGTACACGCACGTCGTGCTGATGAACGCGTCCGTGCGCGGGCCCTATCTACCGTCATATGAGGAGAGGCCGTGGTGGAGGGTCTTCGGCGACCAGCTCGGCGGTGAGAGTAATGTGGGATTGGTCGGCACTTCATTAAATTGCTGGGCGTCGCTTAGTGAGACGCACCTGCAGTCCATGTTCCTGATGTTTGCGTATGATCGATTGGCTGATGTTGTAGAGCCAAGGAAGTTGCTTTCATCGAAGCAAGACCACACGGACGCCGTCTACCGGGGCGAGATCCCCTTCTCGCGCGCGTTCCTCGAAATGGGCTACGCCCTGAAGACGCAGTTGATGGCCTTCCGCGCCATCGATGGCGTCGTGACGCCCGCGGCGGCGCGGAACGAGGACGGCGGCGTTTTATATGGTATCTGCCGGAGGTTGTTGGCTGTGTGGAAATCAACCAGTGCGTCGGGTGCACGCGATGACGCGGTCGTCCTGGCTCGGTCGAGCGGTGAGGATGCGGCATCGCCACGCCATCGAGCAGGCGTCGCGTCGATGGCGTGGAGGAGGACGCGACGATTCCGCACGAACGCGCCGTAAAATTTTGATTGCCACACAGGTTATTAGAATCCAACGCCCACGCGGGCGACCTCCAGTACCCGGGCGAGTACGGCGGTTCCGATATCCATCCGCTTGAGGTCGTGTTTGCAAAGACGGGCCGCGGCGTCGCCGCCGACGCGCTGCGGGCCTACGACGATTGGCTGTAAGTGTTGTTTTAAAAGATACCACGGGGCCGTGGCTCGCAAACACGCGAGAGTCGACGAGTGGTAAAAGTGTCACTGGTCCTTAGGGGGAAGGCGGGAGGCAGCGGCGGCGGCGGCGCGGGGGTATGGGAAATGCGGCGACAGCACGACGGTGCCCACCCCGTCACCCTTTAGTCGACCCACTTCTTGAGGATCGTCGCCTTGTTGGCGGCGACCTCCTTCTCGATCTGCGCCGTCGACATGCCCGCGTACTTGGACAGGTCGATGGGGTCCTCCCAGGAGAAGTAGCGGATGCCGTCCTTCGTGTACGGCTCGCGGCCGAAGTGGCAGTAGGCCGCCGTCACGTTGTACTTGGGCTCGCGCAGGGCGAGATCTCTCGCGAGGGCGCCGGGCCGCGCGTCGAAGTTGATCTTCACAATATCGGTAATGGCCTTGGCCGTGAGGTTGCCGTTCTCGGTACCATAAGTCTCCACGAACAACGACAGGGGCTTGGCGACGCCGATGGCGTAGGACAGCTGCACCAAGGCGCGCTTGCACAAGCCGGCCTTGACGACGGACTTGGCCATCCACCGGCACGCGTAGGCCGCGGAGCGGTCGACCTTCGTCGGGTCCTTGCCCGAGAAGGCGCCGCCGCCGTGCGCGCCCCAGCCGCCGTACGTGTCGATGATGATCTTGCGGCCCGTGAGGCCGGCGTCGCCCTGCGGGCCGCCAATGATGAACTTGCCCGAGGGGTTGATGTGCAGGTTGCACGTGTTGCGGTCGTAGATGGACGTGGCCGGCTGGCCGTTCTTGAGCGTGATCTCGTTGAGCGTCGCGACGATGACCTGGTCGTGGATGAGCTCGTTCATGTCCGCCATCGACGGGGCGATCTGCTCGGCGCCCGTGTACTTCGGGCGGTTGTCCTTGCCGTCCTGCTCCTCCGTGCGCTTGGCCTTGAGGGGCTCGGCGTGCTGCGTCGAGATGACGACGGTGTGGAGCTTCTTCGGCTCGACGGAGCCGTCCGAGTGCTGGACATATTCAATAGTCACCTGGGTCTTGCCGTCCGGTCTCAACCACCAGAGCGACCCGTCCTTGCGCACGTCGGTCAGCTTCTTGCCGAGGCGAGTAGAGACTAAATGAGTCAGGGGCATGCAGTCCGACGTCTCGTCGGACGCGTAGCCGAACATGATGCCCTGGTCGCCCGCGCCGACGTCCATCTCGTCCTTGCCGACGTGGACGCCGCCCGCGATGTCGGGCGACTGCTTGTTGATGCGCACGAGCACCTCGCACGAGTCGCAGGACAGGCCCTTGGAGTCGACGCTCGCCAGGTCGTCCTTGAACGAGTCGAAGCCGATCTCGCGGACTTGCGCGCGGACGATCTTGTCGTAGTCGAGCTTGGCCTCCGTCGTGATCTCGCCGAAGACCATGACCATGTTGTCCTTGGTCGCCGTCTCGCAGGCGACCTTCGAGTAGGGGTCCTGCTTGAGGCACGCGTCGAGGACGGCATCCGAGACCTGGTCCGCGAGCTTGTCGGGGTGGCCCTCGTTCACGGACTCGGACGAGAAGAGGAAGACGCGCCTGTGTTTTTGGAGCGTGAGCGACGGCGTTTTTCTCTGCTGCTGTTGTGTGTGGCTTGGCCGTCGGGGCACACGAGCACCGCGCGTGTTTCGCAACAGGCGTGGCAGCGGCATGTCCCGTTGCATGCGCGCGCGACCGGTTGTGCCCTTGTGCGTGCCGAAGCTGCTGGTATGGCAGCGGCGCGTCGGCGCGATGCCGCGCGCGCGTATTGCATTGCGTCGGCGTCGCCCGCGCGCGTGCAATAGGCATAAGATAAATTGGTGGCTGCATCTCTCTTGTAAACGACGTCGGCGATGCATCGTTTTGCATCGGCTTGCATAGCTACGCTGCTTACGCACTCCTCAGCCGCCACACGTTGCTTCTTGGCAGTCATTTTGGCTAGCTTTTTGTATCGCCTTTTAGGCTGTCAGACGTCGGCCTATTTTCGAGGCTCCTCGTGTCAGCCCCGACGGAGTCTTATCATCTCTATTCGAGGCCGTTTGCATCTACTGAAGGCAGCCAAGGTACATTTAACGCAGTTTCGGTTTTCGAAACCCGAACCACATGGAATCACCACAAACACTAGACTTACGACCCACTACTCCCCTTCCGCTTCCCGCCCACCATCGCCTTCAGCAGCTTCTTGAACTTCTTCTCGTCGCGAATAGCGGCAGCCAGGTCGCCCGCGACGTCCGGCCCCTTCTCCGCAACCACCAACCCTAATGCAAATCGCACGTCCGCCGCCAACTCTGATGGGGGATACCGCGTCCTAACTAAACGCGCGACGTCGACGACGCGCGCCGACGGCAGGACGCCGTCGCGCTGCGCCCGCAAGACGAGAGCGAGGCCGTCGCGCCGTAAATTTGTGGAGAAGAGCCGCGCGCAGGCTTTGAGCGCGGCGGCGTCGTCCTCGGACTCGTCCGACGCCGTCGGCTTTGTGAGTTGCACTTGACAGAGTAAGAATAAGCAGCGGTCGACGGCCTCGCCGGGGAGCCGCAGGCAGCACTTGAACGCATTTGACAGAGCGCATCGCAATGATGGCGCCCGCACGCGGCTACACATTTCCTGCAACACACTAACAACGGCGGAAGCGAGCGACGGGTGGGCGCACGAGCAGACGACTAATTCCAGAATTCGTAACGACGCGGGCGCTGCAACGGAGCGGAAGGCGCCCGCCGACGCCTGCAGACTTTGGAGAGCCGGTTGGAAGGCCGCGTCGAGCACCCGCTCGTCGACCGAGCCGCGCGCGGCGCTGTTACATTGCGCGTCCCGTTTTTTGGGGGCGTCGTCCTTCCAGTTCGGGGCCACCAGCGCCGCGAGGACGGCGCAGGCCGCGTCGGCGGCTCGGGCGGGGTCCACGACGTCCTCGTCCGCTTCATCTGGATAGGCTCGGGCGCACTTGAGGACGCCATTTCCTGAAACGCCGGCGACGCGCGTCGCGGCTGACACATCGGCGAGGAGGAGGGGCCTTGCGGTTGATACGACGCAGGCCAGCCCTAAATACGCGGCGGCGAACGTGCACGGGGCTTCAGGGGAGCAACTTTCGGCCCGCTGGACACAGGAGACTAACAAAGGTTGGAGCCGGTCCGTGCCCACCGCCATGCGTGATAAACAGCGACAGGCCAGCGCGAGCACGGGCTCGCGGCCCGGCCTTAAAGGAGGCTCGTCGATGTCGGAAGAGACAATGGCCTCGCAGACGCGCCAGCACGCCTCGGACGACGCGTTTGTATCAGCGTCCAGAATCCGCAATAGAGCAACGAAGCCGTGCCGCCGCGCCGTCGCGTCGTGACTTGATGCTAATCGAGCCGAGACCTCGGCGAACGTCGATAGGGGTTTGAGGCCCGACGACGCGACGGCCTGGAGGAACAGCCCGCAGCAGACGCCCGTCTGGGCGTCGACGGGCGACGCCACAACACTAGAAACGGGCCGGAGGCCGAGCTCCGCGAGCGGCGCGCCGATCGAAGAGGTGCCTTGATGGAGGACGGACCGCGCCACGGCCAGCACGCCCGCGGGGAACGCCGCTACGTTACCACGGCACGCTTCGAGCACCTCCATTGGCGCCGCGCCGGCGCAGGCTTTACAACCGTCGGCCAGAAGATCTCGTTCGACGTCGTCCTCGTCCTGGGCTTCTGCCTCTTCAGGATTCGCCTCGAAGGGGTCGCGAGCCGTTTGGAAGGACGCGCGTCTGCAAGCGAAGGTCACAAAATCCGCCGCGCCTCCTCTACACGCCGCCAGGGACGCCGCCGCCGCGACGTCTCTACTGGAAGTATCGTGGAGCGCTGCACAAAGAGCCGCGGCCAGTCGGGACGCGCCATTCACATCCGTTTTTTCCGTGGCCTCGGCGACGGCCGTCGCGCAGAGGTCGCCGCGCCGGCCCTGGAGGCAGGTCGTGAGGGGCAGGAGCTCGTCTGCGAGTAACGGGTCCGCCTCACAAACGTCGATCGCCGCCGATAATAATGAAGAGGCGCTCTCGAGCACATCACCGTCGGCGTGGAGCATGGCCTCGCGCGCGCTCGCTATCAAAGAAACCGCACTTGGGACGTCGCGCCACCGTCGTAACCGCTTTACATAAACTGACGCGGCCGCGAACGCGCGCTGCGCGCCGCACGGTTGAGCTTGCGCGAGGATCGCGTCGAGCGCCACCGGCGCCCCTGCATCCAATTCGGACCGGCGCTGCTCCCTTAAATTAGGGTGCATCGAGAGGCCCTCCAGCTCTTCTGGTAACGCTCGAAGGGTCTCGGCGAGCGGCGCGCCCGCCAACGTCGCGGCGACGATCGCCACGAGGTCGCGCTGGTCGCTCTTCAGTAGAGCCGCCGCGAGTGTCAGAGCGTAGCGCGTCTGCAGCGGCCCCGGCGGCGCCGTGCTGCAGCGGAGCGCGAGGCGTCGTCGCAACGCGACGGCGCCCTCCGCCGACATGACCACGTGACTGCGCTGCGTCGCCACCTCCCGCAGCTGCATCTTGCGCAGCGTCTGGTGCGTCGCCGTCGCCGCGAACAGCGCCTCGTGCGGCTGCGACGCCGCATCATCTAATATCAACGCGCACGGGCCGAGGCAGCGGCCGTAGCCTTGCGTGATGAAGCCCTGCAGCCAGGTGTCGGCTTCTTTGTTTCCTGTCGCGTAGAGCAGGGCTAGCGCTTGCTTGACCTGCACGGCTACTTGCGCGTCGTCGGCCATCAGTGCTGTGCTTCACTCGTGCTGCCTGCTGCTGCTGTTTTACGCGTCGGCCGTCACAGCTATGCGTTTCATTGCCTCTACTGATCTCTTCGAGTAGTGCTGCGAAATGTTTGAGTAGCGCTGCGTCTCGTGCGCGCCAGCGCGCCTTCGGTTTCAGCCTCGCTCTCCAAGCCGAGGCGCAAGCTCTCGCAGCGCCACAGGCCTCAACTGCGTCGTGAACGCCTAGGATTGGCTACAGACGCGTTCAACGAACGCATCAGTCGATTAAAACGCGCTCTACCAATTGACGCCGTCGCCGCTCGCGCGCGAGTGTCACAACAGCGGTGTGGCACTGCACACGAGCTTGTAGCGGTGCTGAAGCCGCAGCGGCCGGAAGCATTCACAGCGCCGCAAGATGATGGTGTTACAGCGTCTCGCCCTGCGCGGCGTGTCGCGCGTCCCGACGCGGTCGATGAAGACCGTCGACGACGCGGCGATGCGCGAGCGCGAGCGCTGCTGGGCTGCTTGGGCCAACGCGGACACGTTGCACCTGTGCGTTGGCAGCGTCCCGTCGGGCCTTCGTCTGTTCGACGGCGTGGGGGGGATCACTCACGCGCATCCACGCAGGAACTATATGCGCAACTCGTTGCTCGCGACGTCGGTGGGCCTCACGATGATCCACTTCCGGCGGGAGATCGAGGAGCGCCCACCGCTCGGTGGACTGGTGATGACGGCGCTCGGGCTCGGCTACGCTTTTGCGGGCGGCGCGTGCCACCTTTACGCCGTCGCACGGCTCCGGTCGTCGCTCCTCTCGCCGCTCGGGACGTTCGCGGCCTGCGCGCACGCCGTCGCGCCGCCGTTCATGCTGAGTACGGCCGCGCTCTGCTTCCTTGACCGGTCGCCGACTTGGGTCAAGGACCTCGGCATCGCGGTGCCCGCGACGGGCCTGTGGCGGCCCCGCGCGCAGCCCGTCGAGGTCAAGCCAAGGCGTTGGTACTCGCATTTTCAATCCGAGAAGAAGCCGCGGCCACCTTCTGCGAAGCGTAGCTATTGGCCGCTGGACCAGCACAATTCGAAGACCGACTAATACAACGCTTCACGGCACCGACCCGCGCTGATCGCGGCGATGGCGTGCTGGTGGGGTCTCAGTGACTCTCACACCGCCTTTGCGCCATCGACGCGCGGGCCTAACTGTAGTAGTACAACAATACAACATTAGTCCCGGAGCCCGAGCTCCGTGATGAGTCGGTTCGCGCGTTGCATGACAATCATCGCGGCGCCGTTCCGGAGAAATACGGACATGGAGCCCGGCACGATGCCTCGGTAGAGTCCGAGCAATCCAGTGGTGCGCGCGTGCGCGAGCCAGTTCTTGCCCGCCTGCGCCTGGTTCTTGAGGTTCTCGAACGGCCAGACCACCCAAAATCCGATCAACGCGCAGCCGCCAGACGAGAAAAATTGGCCGGTGGGCGTCGACGCGTAGCCGTTGCGCTTGCACGCGTCAAAAAGGCAGAAATACAGCGTCATCATGGGACCGGTTCTAGCCCACTGCAGCCCGGCGCCGCGGTAGACCTCGTTAAATCGCCACTTTTGATTAGTCTGACCTTTGACTTTGGCGTACTCGATCGGACTCTCGAGCACGGTCCGCGCCGTCGCGCCGACGGCTCCTGCCCCCAGCACGCGCCACTGCATATCAGTTCCGGGCACGTGCTCCAGCGACGCGGGGTGACGCTCGGCCTCTGCATATAATAAGTCGTAGACGGCAAATTGAGCTGAGCGGTAGACCGCGCTGCCCCACATCGGCGGCAGGCACCCTCTATAGAAACCGACGGCGCCCTCGCTCGAGAGGATCTGCCGCGCGGAGGCCAAGGCGCCGCTGCTGGTGAAGCCGCTTTGCGTCTGCATCTTCGTCTTGACGGTGTCGAAGGGGTGGCCCACTACGGTATTGGTTGCACCGTACAAGCCACCGCTGGCCAAGGCTAATGCAAACTCGCGCGTGGCCGAGGCGCCTCTTGCCTCTGTGGAGGTCATGGCGTCTCGTAAGGCTAGGACAGCTATGCAGCGATGATGCACTGCACTGCACGATCAAGTCTCAATGCCTCAGCAATGCCTGGTGCAAAAACTCTGCAAAACGCCGCAAATGCGGCAGAGAGATGTGTCCCACTTTATATTTTTTCCACCTAGCGTGCCGTGTAAGGCACTAGAGCACTTAGCAAGCCAGCTTTAGGCGAGGCCAAATTACGAGGCTGCTGGTGCATCCGTGATCGCACGGAACCGTGCCGGCGCACATTCATAAACCAGCGCAGCCCTCAAGCGGCCAACCGCGCAAGAGGAGCCGCCAGCGATACAGCAAAAGCAGAGACCAGCGACATGGCCCGCGGCGAGACGTACCAGGCGGCCGCCGCCGCTTTAGACGAGGACACGCGAGAATACTTGAGTGAAGACGAGGGCGAGGACTTCTCCTTCCCCGAGTTTACGGAGGACTGGGGCAATGTGATTGTGGTCGACAACCTCCCGAAGATCCCGCTCGCCAAGTACGACAAATTATTGGGCGTCTTGAAGCGCATCTTCGCGCAGACGGGCACGATCAACACGATCGAAATGCCGGCCGAGAACGAGACGACGCTCGGCGTCGCGTTCGTCGAATTCGAGACGGCCGAAGAGGCCCAGAAAGCAATTCGATTGACCGACGGCTACGCGTTAGATAAATCGCATGTTTTCAAGGTCAACTCCTTCGAGGAGGCGAAGAGGCTAGGCTCCTTACAAGAGCGGTACGAGCCCCCGGCCAAGCCGGAATTTGTGCCACGACTCAATCCATCGAGCTGGTTGGGAGACCCCATGCACCGGGACCAGTTCGCCATCCGCTACAACAATGAAACGGAGATCAAGTGGTGCGAGCGCAGCGGGCCGCCGACGCTCGAGTACGGCGGCGAGAGAGAAAAGGAGGGCGGTCTCTACTGGTGCGAGCAGTACGTCAAGTGGTCGCCCCAAGGTAGTATGTTGGCGACGTTCCACAACAAGGGTATTGCCTTGTGGGGCGACTCGGACTTCAACAAGCAGGGTCGGTTTGCGCACAATGGGGTGAAGCGACTCGACTTTAGTCCTGGGGAGAACTACATGATCACGGCCAATGATCACTCCGGGGACAAGCGCGGGGTTGTTGTGTGGGACTTGCGGACGCGACGGGAGTTGCGGACTTTTGAAGTGGCTTCTCTACCAGTCCCGCCCCCGATCCTCCCCGCGGGCGAGGACCCGGGGCCGGTCAGGTACGAGCCGGCGCACTTCAAGTGGAGTCATGACGATTCCTACGTCGCTAGACGAGGCAAGGACAAGAACGGGAGCGATATCGTGTCCATCTATGAGTTGCCGTCGATGGCGCTGCTCGGTAAAAGATCTCTACGAGCCGACGGCGTCCGCGAGTTCCACTGGTCGCCGTCGGCGAACAAACTGGCGTTCTGGTCTCCGGAAGCGGACAACACGCCGGCTCGCGTCACTCTTGTAGAAATGCCGTCGCGAAAAGAATTGCGGCAAAAGAACATCACGTCTGTCACGGACATCAAGCTCTTCTGGCACCCGCAAGGCAAGTACTTGTGTATCAAGGTCATCACCCATACCAAGTCCCGAAAGACGTTGTTCCACTCCTTTGAGCTACTTAGGGTGGACGAGGCCCTCGTACCCATCGAGTCGCTGAAGATGAAAGATGCCGCTCATGCTTTTGCGTGGGAGCCGAACGGCCATCGCTTTGGGGTGGTCCATGGCGACGGGATTAAACCGTCTGTCAGTTTCTACTCCATGCTCAACAAGGCGGGCGATGCCGAACTTACCTTGCTACATACGCTCGAGCAGAAGCAGTGCAACTCGTTGCATTGGTCTCCCCAAGGGCAGCACTGCATCCTGGCCGGTACGGGCGACGCATTTAATGGTATCTTGGAGTTCTACGACGTCGATTCCAAGGCTGGCCGCATCGTCGAACATTATCGGTGCAATTCGATCGAGTGGGACCCGTCTGGCCGCATAGTAGCAACAGCAGTAATGCAGCCGCTGGAGGGCGCCTTCTTCAAGTACCAGATGGACAATGGGTTTAAGTTGTGGACGTTCCAAGGCAAGCAGTACCACGAGACGTCGTACGAAAATTTCTACCAGTTCGCGTGGCGGCCGCGACCTTCGTCGTTGCTCGATGCGGCTCAAAGAAAAGCCGTCGTCAAGAACCTGCGGAAGTACGAGCGCAAGTTCGCCCACGAGGACAAACAAAAAGATTTAGCTCGGATTCGGGAGGCGACGACGGAGAAGCGGGCGACGCGCAAGGCTATTCGCGATCTTATTAAACTGCGGTCGGCGAACTATGCTGCGGGTAGTGCGGCGCGCATGCGCATGCGCAACGGCGTCGACGCGGACGCCGATGATTTATATGTCATCTCGACGCGGACGATCGAGAGCGTCGTGCGCACGAAGGAGGAGGTCGTGAACTAGAGCGTCGTCGGGCGTAAGGTGGGTTTGACTAATTTTTACGCACTCGCCTCGCGGGCGCGGAGCGCGGCTCGCGCGTCTTGCAATTCCTTCTCAATCCCTTTTGTGAGCGGGTGCGCGCCGCCGAGCACGCGCCGCGCGGTCGATTCGATATCGTCAAGTATGGTCACGGCCTCCCGGAAATCGTCGAGCGCGGCACCGTTGGCGTTGTAGAGCGCCGCCGCGTAAATCCACTGCATCTTAAGGAGGAGTGGCTCGACTTCGAGAGCGTGTCGAAGTCGGCCTTCGTTTCTACCCTGGACAGTTCGCAGGTCTGCCGGTCGCGCGAGGACCTGCAGAAGGCGCACGCGACCTTCAAGAGTGGCTCGCCGTCGGTGCAGCGCGCTTTCGTGCGCACCTACGACTGGCTCACGCCGCTCGTCGACGAGTTGGTCGGCGCTGAGGATTCGATGATGTTTCCCTTGGTCAACTACGCACTCGACCAGGTGATTGGCGAGGACAGGCAGGAGACGCTGTTCGACGAACGGCGCCTCACGCGGGACGCGTCGACGGCGGAGTTCTACGAGTCCCTCTTCGGGGCCGAGGACGAGGACGACGCGCTGACCAAGCGCCGGGGCGGGTCGTTCCTGAAGCAGGAGCCCGTGACGCCGCTCTCGCCGACGCCCCAAAACACGAACTGCTTCTAACAGTAAAACATTAGTCCATCTCCATGTCCTCGGCAACAGGTTCACCAAAGACGGCCGGCCGTAACGAAGGCCAGTCGCGCAGCGGGATCGGCGCCGTCTCCCGCGAGACGCGCCGGAACGTGACGTTGATGCGCGGGTCCTCGTTCTTGGTCTTCCACGTCGTCGGACTTTTGAGGAGGCAGTGCTCCCAGTGCTTTTGTAATGTACCAGAAGTCACGAAGAGGTCGCCGGAGCCCAGCTTGTAGCGGATCTGCCGCGATCCTTGCCGTAACATAAAGTCCCGCGTGCCCTTGCGCCAGCCGTCCGCGTGTAACGAAACGGACGCTATGATCGGTTCTTCACCGTACAACTCCACATCTTCATCAGAATGCCAGCTCACGTGGTCGTCGCCGTCCCGGTACTGGTTGATATGCGCCGAATCGAAGTAGTTGAGATCCAGCGACCCGAAGAGCCGCTCCTCGGTCCTTCGTCTAATCCCGTTGACGGACGCGCACATGGGCTCGGGCTTGATCGGTGCTTCCAGGCCGGGATAGGAGTAGTTGACGTCCATGGCGCTCGGCTGGGCCATGTAGCACACGAGTCGCGGCTGGCCTAGTTTCCTTGGGCCGGTTGGGAAATTCACTATGTCCACGAGATTCTTCCACGGCACGTCGATGTTCAAATCGCTGAAAAGCAACGACGGGTCCGACTTGAGAAAGGGCGCGCGGTGCCAGTCCACGATCGCACCTTGTCCTAAGTCGGTCCTCCCGTACACACCATCTTCCGCGTCCTTCGTCTCACAAGCAGGACACTTGTAGACGGCCGCGGCCGCGTCCAAATAAAGCTCCTTCTTGCATTTGTCACACTTCGCCTCGTGGCGCTCGACCTCGTACGTCGACGGGCAGTCGGGCCACTCGGGCCCGCGGAACCACTGGGCCTTCTCCTTCGGGACGAAGCCGTAGCCGTCGTGGTACTCGTCGATCTTGTCCCAGCCGAACTGGGCCATTATTGTCTGCGGCGTGGCGTGCGCGCGCTCTGACCGTGGTGTTTTGGCAGTGACTCCAAAAGTGTTGTTTTTAGAGCTCCTGAGCCGGAGGCTGCTGTCGCAGGGCAAAGGGCAAACAGTAGCTGAAAGCTGCAGACCCTCTGCTTGTGCGAGATCAATGTGTAAAGGCTCGCAAAGCTCGCAAAGGTTGGCTGCTCTTGCTAGTGTCTCACAGCACGCTAGCCCTGATCGTCTTTCGCTTTGGCTTTTGGGGGTGTTTTAGTGAACGCCTGGGCAAGCAGAGCTACCGTACGCACGCCAGGACCACCGCTGCGATCGATAGTAAAAGACCAGCACGCGTCAGCCCTCCATACCGCTCAGCAGCCCCTCACTGAAAAAACACTGGCACAGAGACGCGCTGCCGCATAACGATGGCCGAGCACCTCGAGTGGTTCGCCGCGCAGCACAAGCAACAAAACGAGGCCGCAAAGGACTACCCCGAGACGCCCGAAGGCCGGAAAATCTTCGACGCGGCGTGTAAAGGTGATGATAAAGAGCTCAAAAGACTCCTGCGGAAGTACAGTGACCGCGTCAAGTATCTCTTGGAGGAGCGCGTCAACGGCCAGACGGCGCTCATGGCCGCCTGCGCCAAAGGGCTCACCAAATGCGCGCGGTTGTTGATGGAGACGCCTACTGCGGTTGTCGCGGAGGACGACAAGGGCCGGACGCCCTTACATTTGGCCGCGTCCCACGGCCACGCCGACTGCGTCTCGGAATTATACATTTGCGGCGCGGAGATGGAGAACGCGGACGAGCGCGGATTCACGGCGGCACACTGCGCCGCGGCGAATGGGCATACGACTACATTAGAACGGCTGTGGGAAGCTATGATAGATCTGAATGCGGAGGCCGAATCAAAAATGACGCCGGCCAGCGTTGCGGCGGCGAATGGTAGAACGGAGGTCCTCAAGTTGTTACAAGGCTGGGGCGGCGACCTCCGGAAGAAGACGACGAACGGGGCGTCGAATTTGCATCGGGCGGCGCGCGGCGGCCATACTGAAACGCTGGCGTTCCTTCTGACCATCGATCGCGACGTCGACGCTGTTGATGTACACGGCTGCTCGGCGCTGCACGACGCGCGCGGGTGCTGCGCGCTGAAGCTCATCGAGGCGGGCGCCGACGTTTATGTAAAAACGACGGCGCAGCGGTTGACGCCGCTCCACAAGGCCGCCTGGCGCGACGACGCCGAGGCTTTAAATGCGTTGCTGGACGCCGGCGCGGCGATCGACGCCGCAGACGCCGCGGGCCGGCGGCCGCTGCACCACGCGGCGGCGGCCGGCGCGCGCGCGGCCTGCGAGAAACTGCTTAGTAAGGGGGCGGACGCGTCGGCGACGGCGGACGACGGCTCGACCCCGGCGACGGCGGCGGCGACCGCAGGCTTCGGCGCTCTCGCAGAAGACGCGCTTGCTCGCGCGCAGTACGGCGCATCTGCGAATGACGACGCCGCGCGAGCCCGCTGGGCCAAAGCGTTCGTCGACGCCGGCTGCCCGAGCGCCCACCACGCCGCCGCTTTGGTAGAGAGCAACGCACGGGACCGGCGCTACGGCGAGGTCGGCTTCTGGACGTCGGCGCTGATCCTGCGGGCGGCGCGCGCCCCGAGCACGGCGAGGATCGCGGACCTCGGCTCGGGCGTCGGGCGGTTCACGCTCGCGGCGGCGTTACTCATGCCCGAGGCGCGAGTCGCGGGCGTCGAGATCGCGCCCGAGCTCCACGCCGTCGCATCGCGATGCGATGCGCCTAATCTCAGCCACCGGTGCCAGGATTTTCTGGATGACGACGAGTGCTGGACGTGTGATATCCTTTTTATCAATTCAACAGCATTCTCGCCGGAGCTTATAGCAGACGTGGAGCGCAAGTGCGCCGCCCTCAAGCGCGGCGCCGTCGTCGTCACGCTTACCACGCGCCTCGACGCGCCGGAGCTCGAGCTGGTCGAGCGCTTCGACGCGCCGGCGTCGTGGGGCGTCGCGACGGGCTTCGTGCATCGACGCGTCTAATTGTGTTGTTGAGACTACTATATGCACACGATGTTGTTAGATAGTACTAGCCACCACCAGTTTCGCACTCTAATCGCGGAAGTGGTGCGGGAAGAATACGGGCGAGAGATGGTTCTTGCAGGCGTCGAAGAGGAAGCACTGGAAGACCATTCTGCCAGTTCTCCATGCCCAGCCGCGGAAGAATGCTTTCGGGCCGGACTCCTTTAGGAGCGTCTGCGCCGCGTGCACCTGTGTGCAAATCAACCAGTGAGTCGGGTTACAGCTACGGAAGCACGTCGCATCGATGGCGTGGGGCGCCCGAAATTTGATTTCCACACCGGCGTGCACGACGCCGCGGTACGTCTTTTGGGTCACGTCGCCCTGTTGACACGTCTTGATCGTATCCATCGGGTGCGAGAGGGACGCGACGATGACGCCGCCGCCCAAAGCGCCGGCCATGGCGGCCTGCGGTTTACTGTAGCCCGCCTCCTCGGCCTGCCGCCGAAGCGTCGGTCCCAGACCGAGCATGCCGGCCGTGAAGACGCCCTCGCGCCCACAGCTCATCATCAAACCGCGCCCGAAGAGGGCGCCGATGCCGGCGTCGCCGATAATCTTGCCCGGCGTCGAGAACAACGACGTCCCGTAGCGCTGCTGCTGGATCATCACGAGCTCCATGGGCGCGCAGATGAAGCCCGACAACACGCCGCCGATGAACGCACTTCCAATTTCCTCGGAGTCGCTCAGCTTTCTTTGTTTCCCTCCGGTAAAAATGCCCGTCGCGATGGCCGTCAAAGGGAACTGCAATCCACTCAGCACGCACATGTTCGTCAGCGACATGGTGTAGCCCCGGTAGAGTATTCTAGGGTTCATCGTGAGCGGCAGGCCCTGCTGGCTCGCGTTCTTGCAATATAAGACCCACTGCGTCGTCGACACGTCGATGGCGCCCGTGGCGAGGCCGATGGCCGTGTTCTCCGCGCTCGTGAGGCGCTGGAGGCGCGGGTCGGACATGGTTGCGAGCTGTGCGTTGTTCTTTGAGCTCTACGAGCGCTTTGGAACGTGCTGGCCAATAGTGGATATCTCTAGGGATAGGTGCGCGTGCTGATGCAAAAGGAAGGCAGCAGCGGTCAGGCTATGTACAGGAGTAGTTGCTGACGGCGCTCGGCAGAGGCAACTAGTATTTATACGCGCAAAAAAAGCTACGGATCAAAGCATTGAGCATGGACAGTCAGCCATCCAGAAAAGCCTGCCGTTCCGGCCGAGTGCTGCTTGCAGGGCTCCAGCACGACTCGTAGGACCCGCGGGCAGGACATGTGTCAGCGAAACGGCTTCGCGCGGGTTTTGCCTCGATTTAGCCATTGCCATTTTTGGCTTTCGGGCTCGCCGTCGCGCAACGCGTGGGCACTCTGGACTGCCCACGTTAGCCTGTGAGCTGCGGAGACCCAGTGCTTCACTGCGCGCAACCCTGAAACCGCGCCTCCAGAGAAGCAGCCACTTGAGCCTCTGCCAGTGATCGCCGCGGGCGGCGCGGACATTCGTCATGGCCTGGCGCGCCCTCGTCTCGAAGCGCCTCCACGAGCTGCGGATCGTGTGCTGCGCCGAGGCGCCGTCGAGCGAGCCCGTGCGCAGCTACCTGCGCAACAACTACGCGACGCTCAAGACGCTGAACCCGAAGTTCCCCTTTCTCGTGCGGGCCGCCGAGGACAAGCCTTATATAGTGGCGACCTACGGCATGGGCCACACGGAGACCAGAGATTTGGATGGGCTCGACGAGGCGGCGGTCGAGAGGACCTTCGAGGAGCTCGTGGCACTAGGAGAAAAACACCCTAGATCCTGGCCGGCCGCCGACGACCTGCCGCCGGACATCGTGGCCGCGCCGGGCGCCGAGTGGGGGGCGGATCCAGCTGAGAAGGCTGCTTAGTAGAAGTAACTGTATATCTATCTTACCCATCTGAATCGGACGACTCGGCCTCATGCCCAGACGCCGACACGACCAGTAGCCCCTCGGCAACAAGCGAGGCAGCAACAGCGATCCGGTCGGCATCAGAGGAATGAGGCAGGTCGCGGACGAGCACGGGCCGCGCCGCGTGCGACGCTAGTAAAGCTTCGAGCGCCGGCGCGTCCTCCTCCTCGAATTCCAAACACGCGACGGGTCTCCCCCGATGGCTCGTCGCGTTGTCGAGCGCGTGGTAGAGGAGCACTCCCGCCTCTCCGGGAACGAGGCGCGCGTCCCTTCGTTCAACACAGTGGACGCGCGTCGTCGCCGTTATTGTGGCGGGGTCGCCCTTTTCCGGTGCCAAAGGCGGCAGGCGCTCGGCCACGAAAGCTACGGATCGGTCGTCGCAGGTCGCGTCGAGGTTCGTAAGCAGCCGCGCCAAGATGTCTTTACAGTGGCCCGCGCAGCGCTCCGCGAAACGTTGTCTACGTTTCTTCTGGAGGCTCCTACTTCTCGGGATTTCCGGGTCGTAGCGCACGGACGCCACTTCGGTCAGCGACGCGTCGTCATCTGACTCGTCGGCGGCTTCGTCGTCGGAACTCTCAAGAGCATGCGCGACGCCCATGTAGTGGAGGCAGTCGCGCGGTAGTGACTCCCGCATTTTTGGGTCACTTGCAATAGCCTCCGATAATGCTGAAGGTAGAGCCGCCTCCAACAAATCGGCCCAGGAGTTGGCGCGATGACACGATAACGTAAGATGGAGGCTATTCTCCAAACCTTCCGTGACGGCGCTATGGATAAAACCTCTAGGAAGATAAAGGACGTCGCCCGGCTCGAGTACGATCTCCGACAGATGCGGACACAGCCTCCTCAAAGCCTCTTCGTCAAAGTCCTCTGAGGACACACGAGGCAACTTATAAACATCATCCGCACAAGCACCGACGCGCCACCGTTTCCGACCCTCGAGTTGTAGGATGAAAACGTCGACGTCGTCCCAATGGGCCGCGAAGCCCTGGGCCCCGTCCTTCGCTGTTAAATAAGCGTTCGCGCCGATCGTGCTTCCGAACTCGCCTTCCAACGCTCGACACAAAGCTTGGACCTTGGTGAGGCGGTCCTGGGGCTGTCTCAGCCTGATGGTGGCACCTTGGTCGAGCTGTTGGCGGGCCCACGTCGCAGATATGATGCCATCGGAGAGCGTCTTCCGTTTTTCGCTGCTAGGGTCATATCTAGTCACGTCCACGTCCACGCCACTCGTAGCTGGTTGTTCCAAGGCTCGGAAGACGTCTTCAGTAGAGCACCACCCTGACAAATAATTTGAACCGCGGCCCCTTACTAATAACCCGCGCCGCTCGAAGGTCTCCTCGTAGAAACACCGGGCGCCGACGGGCGCCAGCAGCGCTCGGAGTAGGCGGCGGCCGTTCGAATCGCCGTCCTCTTGCGTCCTCGATTTCATTGCATTGTTGATAGCGTCCGGCGCGACGTCCTCTCCTTGCACGATTTGGAGGGCGTCGTTCGAGCTTTCGACGGCGGGCGGCGGCGGCGATGGGCCCGGTTGCTGCTTCTGCTTCTTCTTCTTTTTCGTCGACGGCGCGGGCGCGACGAGCGGCTGGTGTTGCTGCTTGCGCTTCTTTTTCTTGAGCTTCTTGCGCTTGAGGGCTGCACGGCTGCTGCCGTTGCCGTCCTCCATCGCTGCGGCCGTTTATCGCCGGTGCAGGGGCTCACTGAGTGCTGAGAGGCTGCAATGCAGGCGCGCACGTCGTCGCCGCAGTGTTGCAAGCTCTTAAGCTTCGTTGGCAGCACACCACTGTTGTGCCGGGTCGCACTCCTTGTTGGCTGGCCAATCGCACCAGTCTGTGTGCAAGCAGGCCCTGCAGGCAGCAGCTTGGCCAGCGGCAGCAAGGCTGTCCTTGCGGCCGACCGACGAGTGTAGTGTTGCAAGCAGCGGCGGCGGCAGCTGTATTGCAAAAGGATCCGTCAGTCTCGATACGGGCTGCCGTGCCGCTCTTCGATTTGTGGCTACCGGATCTCAATCCATTGGGAGAGCTCAGGCGGCCATTTGCGCCAGTCACTGCGCGACGTCCTGCACAATGAGGCGCATAGCACTCCTCTTGATTGCGATCCACGCCGCGGCTCTGGTGCCGCCAAGGTTGCAACGCGTGGCGTCGACGAGCTCCCGTCCGAGGACGCAGACGGTGCGCAGCATGGCGCCGCTCGGCGAGACAGTAAAAAACACCGCCATCGTGACCTGGCTCTTCGGCGGTTTGGTGCCGGCGCTTATCGCGGTGAACAGCTTCGCTTTTACAAAACTCAGCTCGCCCGCACGGTACGAGGGCTTTGTCGAGACCAGCGGCCAAGGCGCGAAGTTGGCGCTCGCGTCGCTCGGCGCGCCGGACGCGGTACTCGAGGAGGACGTCTCTCAGATTCTCGACGCCTTCGCAACGCCGGACGAGTCGCTCTTCGTGCCGCTGGCCGTGGCGATCGGCGCACCCGGCGGCGGCGAGGGCGATTATCTGGGGGCGGAGCGATACGTCGCGCGCGACGCGTTCAAGGCGACGATTCGACGGAAAGCGAGGCAGGCGCCCGACGCGGCGCTCGACGCGGTCTTCGACGCCTGGGCGAAGGGCAGCGGCTGCGCCGCGCGGTCGCAGTGCCTCGGGTCCCTCGAGAGCTGGCGTCGAAGTGACGGCTCCTGGGACCTGGGAGCCGCGGACCGAGACATCCTCCTGGGGAAGGGAGTCGTTCTGGGCGGGTTCGTCGGTCTGGCGGTGATAGACTTCGTCGCCCTGAGCGCCCTGGTCTTTTTCGCACGAACGATCCTCTTCGCGGAGTCATGACGTTGAGCCCCGGGGTCACGCCTGTGAAATCGCCCACGCGCAAGCAGGGCCAGGGGGGGGACAAGGTAGTCATCCTAATTCGTTGTTAAAAGCTCAGCCCTTGGCGTCGAGCGCCGCGAGCAGCCGGTCGAGCTTCGCGTGGAGCGCGTCGGTTTCAGCATCGCGCTTTCGGCTCTCGTCCCGCGCGCGGCCCTCGAGGGCGGCGACGGCGGTCGAGACCTCCCTCACGGAGGCGGCGAGCTCGTCCTGGAGGTCCCCGTCGGACTGGCGCAGGTCGGCCGGATGCTCGTCCGGCGTCGGGGAACCCCTTCCAACCCCACCCTTGAGGCCGGCACTCGAGTCGTCCATGCCGAACTCAGGAGTGGGATCGACAACGCGGGCGCGTCGTCGATGACTGGGCGACGGGTAGGACACGAAGGTCATGGTCCGCGCGAGGGACCGCCTTCTTTTCGCCATGGACTCGCGCAGCTCGCGCGCGGCGCGCGACTCCCTACCTTCCTCGTCGAAGGCCGCGTCGCTGTTCAGGAAGGAGTGCCACATGGACGAGCGCGAACCTGGTGTTGTTAGCCCACCCGGCGTCGTCGCGGCGACGCGCCGTTCTTCCCTTAAACGTTTCTGCAAGGCGTCGGCGCCGATCTCGATGATGCGCGCTCGAATCGTATAAAACACATTAGCCTTCCGCACGATGCGCCGTTCGACCTCGTGCTTCGGGATGGACAGCAATTTGATCATCTTGTCTCGAGGCAAACAGATGACCTCCAGATAAGATAATGCCGCCGTGCAGACCATGTCGATCAAATTCACATTATCTAAAAGAAAGTCCTGGCCCCAGACACCACCTCTGGATATAATTCGACCTTTCCTAGCGCCGAGGCCGTTCATAATCACAAAGCACGATAACCCTAGGTCCACGACTTCCGTGGGCGCGTACACCAACCGCTGGATCGCCTGCGACAGATCGACCACAAACGGCGGCGTCACCTCCCGCAGATACCAGACCTGGCCCACCCACGTGTTGTTCGCGGCGGCCACTTCGTCCCTCAACGACACTGACATGAGCTTTTCGATCTGCTTGTAGTTCACCTGGCGCTGGTGCTCCTTCGAGGCCATGAGGAACATGCGGCACTTCCGCCTTAAATCTTTGCTGAACCGCTTGTCGGCCATCATGAAGTTCATCTCGTCCATGCGCTGCCGGAACGCGTTGCCGTACACGTCGATGTGCGATACTAAGGTAACAAATTGCCCGATCATGTAGGCCCAGAAGACCGCGCCACACAACATAATCGCCGTCGCGACCATGACCTCGAGGTTGCCCGTCGCGCTGATATCCCCCAAACCTATTCCAGTCATCGTGTATACGGCGAAGTAGAGACTTGCGCAGTACTTGTGCAGCACGTTGTTCCTTTGAAACCGATTCCCCTCATAACCCAACTCACACGACGGCGCGTAGTCCGCCCGATACTCGATTTCTCCGCCGCGACACGTCTCGGACTCGCTCCCGACGCAGTAGGGCGCCCAATTCGGTTTGTACGTTCCTACTCCTGCCAATGATGCGGAGTCATCAAAGTTGCTATTCAAATACTGGACCGACGCGTCGATGTCTTTCCCCACTAACGCCGCGTGGTCCTGCGACACGCGGCACCGCATCACGCTGTTCGCGTTCATCGTCTCCTCCAACCGAAACATCCAGTTGTAGTCCGGCTGGATGTCGGGGTGGGCGACCATGCCCCACAGGCACGCGTTCCAGTGCGCGTACATGACCAGCATCACAAAAAACCGCATCATGCTGATCTCCGTGTACGTGAAGACGAAGACCGCCGCCGCCTCCCACCTTTTGAGAATGCGCGAGGCTCGGATGACTCGGAACAACTTCAGCAGGCGCAGCAGTCGAAAGATTTTGACGTAATTTTTCAGCGCCCCCGCGGAGCAGCTCTCCGACGCGACGTTCACGGGCGGATCTCGGTTCGAGCAGTCGTGCCACTGGTATAACAGTAAAAACATCTCCAGAGGACAACTCGACACGAAGTCGATGGGCGCCCAGCTCGTCAGATATTTTTTGGCAATCTTCCACTTGTCCCTGACAATTTTATTGTCGTCCTGGTAGCCCATGAAGAACTGCATGCAGAAGTCGCTGATGAAGACCGCGTCCACAATCCGGTTTAGGATGAAGAGCGGGAGTTCGTGGTAGTCTTTCCCGAACCGTAATGGCTGGGTCCCGGAAAATGCGACTTCTACTGGGGTGACTACTGCGGTGAAGATCAATGAGGAGAATGTTATGCCGTCCCAGTAGCCCATGAACCATCCGGTGGGTTCTATGATGGTCCCGTGGATCTCCTTGAGTCTTTGTCGTGACCTTTCCACCTGGGCGGCAGCAACCGGATCTAACCGCAGACTTCTACGAGAGAACTTCTTCGTCGTCGCGCCCCACAAATTGCGGCCCGCATTCCTTAATTGCGCGGAGGGCGAGACGGCCATCGAGGCGGCGTCGGTGATGTAGGCGCCGCCCTCCTCCAAGCCGCCGGCGGCCTGCTCGCGTTCTTTTCGTCGCAGCGCGAGCTGTTCCGACGCCTCCTCGGCGGCGGCGGACGTGGCCGCGACGGACGTCATGGTCTTCCGCGGCCCTGGCCTTCGCCTACAGGGCTGCCCTCGCTGGGGCTGCCCCGGCGCGCCGCTGCTCTTTGCGCAGTGAGAGGCGGTTATTGCAGTGGGAGGCGGCTACGTGCCGCGCTCGGCCGTCGCCATCGGCCCGCGTCCCGACGTAGGAATTACAGCCCCTCGGCCTGAATAGCGCCGCCCTCCTAGTAGGATCTAGTAGTTTTTTTTGGGCTGTCGGACCAATCCACGACGGCGCTGCTTCTACTCCGATACGCCTACGACCACTGTGGCCCGGCAGAAGCATAAAAGGAGCGATGGGCTAGTGTCTTACATGCCGCTAGCTGCCGCTACGCCGGCTTAGGCAAAGCACTGCCTTTTGGCCGCCACATTCGTGCGCGCGCAAGCTGCACAGTGGCATTCATCGACTAGGTGTCCAACGCAGCGTTTGACGATGCTCAGGCCACGCCTCATAGCCGCCTGGGCACTGGCTGCCTGCAGCGCCTACCACTACGCACCGCATCGACGGCGCCTCGCACCGCGGCGCGCGACAAGCAATGACGACAGAGAGCGGAAAATGAGGGAACGGCAAGAACAGGCCGCCGCGGCGGCCCAAGCGGAAAAGGACGACATGCGCGAAGAGGAGCTCGAGGAGGTCTACGGCTACGACGATGATGATATCAATTACTGGGCCGACGACGACAATGATGAAAATGCATTAACCTTCTCGACGGAGAAGGCCACGCTGAGTGGCGTGGGCGATGCCTTCGGTGACTTAACCGTCGAACAGGTCGCCGTAGACTACCGCTTCCCGGTCGCGTATGTGGCCGATGTTATAACAGGATTCGGCGTGCAGCCTCCTATAAGTGACGCGGCGGTCATACGCGATTTGTTAGATGCGGACCAGGCCTTCGCTCTACTCGAAGCGGTCACGTCGCTCGACGCGAGTGAAGTGGATGATGCGTATGTGTCGTTCGGGCTGGACGGGTGTGCGCGGCGCTTGGAGGCTGATTTAGCAGAAGTCTTCGCGCTTTGTGTCGATAATAATTTCGCATTGCCGCACGGTGTTGAAACTAGATTGAGGAGAGACCAGTTCGATACTATTGCAAGGACGTTAGGATGGCGGTCCGACGAAGCGAGACTGCCGTTCAAGTACGAGGACTTCGGCTACAAGGAGCTCTCGAAAACGGCGGAGCCGCTCGACCCCGACGCGAGGGCGCTGCAGGACTACGTGCAGGCGGCCGACGACCCTTCATACCTAGATAATATGTGATTTTTGTGTGCTTACCACTTCACGGATCTAGCGAGCAACGATAAGGTCGAGAGCAGCGAGATGAAGTGCGCGCAGAGCGTATTTGTCGTCGCCTGGATCACAAAGACATCAATCGTGTTGAAGGCCTGCGAGGGGAAATTGCGCGTGACGACACATCCAACTCCGACGGGACTTGAACCCGCAACCCCCAGATTCGAAGTCTGATACGCTATCCATTGCGCCACGGAGTTTTCGAAGAACGAGAGACGCGGTCCGGCGCACCTGCATGGCCTGGGGCGCCGTGCCGGACCAGACGCCTGCTAAGCTTCCCGGCGCGACGAGCGCCTTCATGATCAGCGTGCCGACGACCTGCTCCGCCGCTAACAGTGTCAGCGCCATGCCCACCAAGTTGAGTTTCGCGCCAAATCTCAAGGCCTTCTGCGTCCGCCTGACGATCTTCTGCACTCCAGAAGCTTCGCTCGACTCCAGTCTCGCTAATCGTACTAATCTCCACGTCCAAAAACTCGACATCAACGAAAACATGGCGCCGGCGCTCGCGAAGAGGAACCCCGACGCCAACGCCGCCTCCGGTTGGGTGGCTGTCGATGGTGCCGAGACTTTGGCGAACGTGAGCACGACGGCGCTGATCGTCGTGAGGATGACCTGGCACCACCAGCTGAGCCAGCCGACGCGCCACAATGCCAACGCCCTCCTATTCCCCGGCAGCGTCGCGCGCGCGATCTGTTTCGATGAGGCCAGTTCGGCGGCGCGCTGGTCGATGGCCGCGTCGACGGACTTGTCCGCGTCGGGCGCGGCGCGCAGTGTTGAGAGGGTTCGTAGCGGTGCGAGGCGCAGCGGCGGACGGAAAGCGCTGGCGGCAATGAGGAGGGTCGCGAGAAGTGTTTTGTGCATTTTGGCTCTGATCAGTGATTTTGGTTTTGGTGGCTGCTGGGGCGCACGACTCGCGGTTTCGCGGGCGCAGCGAGAAGTTAGGTTACAGCGACTAGCCTGTGGTCGGCTAACAGAATTTTAGCGCGCGCGCGGACTGAAACGGCTGGCTGCGGACGATTTCCTAGTGTGTTACAGGACGCTAGCTCCGGAAACGCGCGCTTCAAAGCGCTTTGGTGTTGTGGAGGGCGAATAACTTAAATTAGGTACACATTACAACGGTGCTGCTGCCATCTCGGCGAAGCGCTTCGCGAACCGCACTAAAATACCTTCTGTGCTCACCCTCTCTGCGCCAGCCTGTACGCCATCGACGCGACGCATCGATGCAGGCCCCCCCGGAGGACGCCAACCCCCTCAACCGCGCCTACGAGGCCTGGGCCGCGCGGACGCCCGTCGTCTGTAGAGGACTGTGCGTCGGCCTCGCCGCGTGCTACGGCTTCTCGTGGATTTTGGACCTCCAGCGCGGCCTCGAGACCGTGCCGTTTCGCATTGTAAGACGGTTTGAACTGTGGCGCCTGATCCTGTCGCCCTGCGTCGGCAATTCGTTGCTAGGGACGGTCGTGGCCCTTTTTGTTTTGGGCGACGGCGTCGGCCCGCGCCTCGAGCAGAGCTGGGGATCTATGCGAATGATGATAGCCACCCTTACAGCTTCCATTGTCATCAACCTCTCGTTCTGCGCGCTGTGCTACCTCTTTACGATGATGATCGGCTCCGCGGAGCCGGCGCTCGCCGCGACGAGCGGCGGCTGGCCCTTATTACTCTGCCTTATTACCATAGAGTGCCTCTCCTCGCCCGACGGCACGCGCCCGCTGCCCTGCATTCCCATCCAGGTGCCTAGAGATAGGTACCCCGCGGCCCTTTTGTTATTGTTGCTGATCTTGGGCGCGCCGAAGCTCTCATTATCATTGGGCTGCGCCTACGGCTACGGCTACGCGAAGGGCTACCTGGAGGTGCTCAAACCCAAGCCCGCGCTCGTGAGCCGCTGCGAGGCGGCCTCGGCTCTCGCCTGCGTGACTTCTGATTCGACCTTCGTGAGCGCCGAGCGGAGCCTGGGGGCGTCGGCCTTTACGGTCTCGGGCGGCGACTGGGCGGACCCCGAAAATCCGTCGGCGGTGCAGCGGGGCTTCGGGACGATGCTCGCCGAGGCGCGGCAGGCCGCGTTTCCGCCCGAGCCACCTGGTGGACAGGGGCGCGTGCTGGGCGCCTCCGCGCCGGCGGCCGCGCCCCTCGTGCCGACGCCGACGCCACCTTCACCACAACGCACGGCCCGCGGAAACCGGGACGCGATCCTCGCCGCCGCCGAGCGCCGGTCGCGGCAGCAGAACGCTGGCTCCTAAGAATTTTACTCACTCGCCTTGTCCCACTTCGCCGGGTTCCGGATCCCCTCCTCCGAGGGCTTCGCGTCCGCGGCGTCCTGGTCGCCGACCTGTGCGCAGATCAATCAGTGAGTCGGTTTCTCGAACGCGGCCGTAGAGAGCCACAACACCACGCCATCGAGCCGGCGTCGCGTCGATGGCGTGGAGGCCATGATTGAGCTGTGGCGGAGACGCGTCGCGACAATTTGATTTATGCACTGTCGCCGACGAGCGTCTTGATCTTGCGCATGGCCTCGTCCGCTGCGGCCTTGTTCGTCTTCGCCGCCTCGGCGCGCTCGTAGCGGATGCGCTCGCCCGCCGACATCTTGGTTAACTTTGCCTCGATCGCATTCTAACGTTGAGCCTAGTAGACCTCGGTCTGGCGCGGTTATGCTATCCGGGCGTCCGTGACGAACCATTCCCCATCGTAAAAAATTATCTAAACACAAGACTCTGTGGCGACTAGACGCCTTCGAGCGCCGGTCTCGGCAGCAGAACGCTGGCTCCTAAGAATTTTACTCACTCGCCTTATCCCACTTCGCCGGGTTCCGGATCCCCTCCTCCGAGGGCTTCGCGTCGGCGGCGTCCTGGTCGCCGACGAGCGTCTTGATCTTGCGCATCGCTTCATCCGCCGCGGCCTTGTTCGTCTTCGCGGCCTCGGCGCGCCTGCGACGACGTCTGCTCGATGGCGTGGTGGAACGGGTCTCTCACCGCTCGGACTCACTGGTTGTTTCACACTGGCGCGCGCTCGTAGCGGATGCGCTCGCCCGCCGACATTTTACTCAGCTTCTCCTCGAGCGCGGCGTCGGCCTCCTTCTTGGCTTGCTTGGCCTCCTCGTTCTCGACCACCGCGCCGAGCAGGCCTTTCAAGTCGTCGTCGGCGAAAGCTGGGAGCGCAATCGGCGCGAGCACTACGCTGCGCAGCACCTGTTGCCTGGTGATATGCAGGGCCTGGGCTGCAGACACGAGCAGCAGCGCGCACAGCCGGAGAGCAGCCATCTGATCTGCAGTCTGTGGTGGCTGTAGGATGAGCTGCAGCGAACAGCGAGTCGCGGGCAAGTGAGAGGATGTATGGCTCCTTCGCAAACGCGCCACAACGACGTGTATCGAGCAATATTAGCTCAGCTTGCTAATTGTTAAGATCTCAGAGTGCTTGTGCTAGTGTCTCACACCGCTAGCGAACATTTCCTCGCGACGAGGGGCTCTCGTCGAGTATCGACCCCTGCAAATTCCGACCTTGTGCGCTGTGTGTAGGCTAGTGTTTCGACACACTAGATGGACAGCAGGACTGAAAAAAAAGAGCCCGGAGCGCTGGCCCAAATAGCCCCAGAGGCGCCTCACGCGCAGCCCCACGTGCGACCCCGCACGCGCACAAAGCAGAGCCGTACAGCTTACGCCCCCGCGCCGGCTGCCCCCAGCCGAATGGCAAGGACAATGCAGCGCCACGATAGACGACGATAGCGATGCGCCGACGCCTCCTCCTCCTTGGCTACGTCGCGACGGCCACGGGCGCGATGCGCCGACGCCTCCTTCTCCTTGCTTACGTCACGACGGCCGCGGGCGCCGGGAAGCGCTGCCCCGCGCCGCCGCCCGGTGGCCCCGCGGGATCGTGCCCGGCGCCCGTCGACAATGCAAACAATAAAAACTGCGCGGCCACTTCCTGTCCCGCGCCGCCGCCCGACCGGTTCAAGGGCAAGAAGAAGGTGAAAGTCGGCACCTTCGACCCGACGGACATCCCGGAACCGCCGCGACGGCCGCTGCGCTTTTTGAAATTGGCGGACGAGGACGATGAGGAGCTGGAGCTGCGGCTGGCCGCGGCGGAAGGGAGAGCGGACGCCCAGTACAACTTGGGCACCATGTTCGACGGCCAGGGGGCGACGTCGGATCCCCAGGAAGCCGCGCGGAATTACCGGGAGGCGGCGAACCAGGGCCACGCGTCGGCGCAGTTCAACCTCGGGAACATGTACCGCAAGGGGTTAGGTGTTGAGAAGTCGTACGTCGAGGCCGCGCGCCTCTACAAAGCTGCTGGTGCGTCGAAACATAAGAAGGCCCAGGCGAACCTGGACCATTTGTTACAAAAAGGTTATGTGACCGAAGAAGAGTTGGAAGTGCCTGACGTCGATGAGGAGTCAAAACCCTACGCTTATGTTTATTTGGCGGTCATGGCGCTGCTGCTGCTCGTGATTCCCTCTCGCATTCTCAAAAGGTATAGGGACGCCGTCGCGGCGCTCGAAGCTTTGGAGAAGGAGGAGTCGCCGCCGCCGCCGAAGTCGCCTCCCCGAAAAGCGGCGACGCCTCCGGCCAAGTCGCCCGCGCGGAAGCGCGTCACCTGGAGCGACGTGAAGCAGGGGCGGGGGTAAGTTCCGTTCTCTAGTCGCGTCGACGTCGTCTGCGGGCGGAGCTTCGAGAGGTGTCTTCGTTTATTGTTACGGTGCTAGGACTAGTGGGTGCCAGAGGCGTGTCATCACCGATCGCCCGACTCTAGCTGCTACGATCACCCGAGGCGGGCTCTGGGTCCGCACCCATCCGAACGATAGTTCGCGTTTTCACCCGCGTGCGTCCGAGGTGTAAAAACTAATCAGTGCTAGTGTGTCACAACTAGGTGTTGCCAGATGCAAAAACAAAGCACGGCGGCGGCGCGCGATCGATCGAACTGTTGTAGAACCGGTGGTAGGCCCGCGCGCAGCTGGTATTTCTGTTGCTAAATTCGACAGTCGACGCGCGCGCCGTGCCGAGGGGCAGCCCACAAACCAAGCGCCGGTTTGAGAACTTGCCCACAGCACAAGCGACAGCAAAGATGCCCAAAGACACGAAAAAGAAGAAGGTCAAGGGCGGCATGGACGCCGAGCTCGAAGCTTTATTAGGACAGCTGAGTACGCTCCAGGTACGAGTAGGCGGCGGCAGCGCCGGCACGACAGAAGCCTCTAGAGCAGCATTGGCGCGCGGCGGCGTCGGCGCGGATCCTTTCTTGGATCTGAAGGAGGCCATGCTCGCGCAGTTGTCTGATGTCCGTTCCAAAGTGAGAGAACATCAAGCGAAGCCGGCGAAGACGCCGAGGGACCAAATCGCCCGCGAGGCCGAAGTGAAGAAAGCATTGCGTAAATTAAGACACGACTGGCACGATTTGGATACGATGATCCAGGCGGAGCTAAGACGGAAGAAGCCGCGGTATGAGAAGGACGAACTGCAGATGCGCGAGGAGGTCGTGTTAAGGCTGATGCGGGAGATCGACGCGGCTCGTACAATGTCAAAACAAGCGCGGAATGAAGTCAAGGACATCGAGACGGGCCACTCTCGCACCATAGTGAAGAAGGAGGACCACGAGCTCTTCCAGCGGCGCGACGACGACGATGTTGTCCGCGATGAACCTCGAGAAACAATCTCCGATCACCAGCAGCAGCGGATGCAGCAATTACAGGAAAGGGATAGGCAGTTCGACGACCAGATCGCGGGGATTGGCAGAGGCGTGGAGGAACTGGGTGTCTTGGCGTCGCGCCAGGCCGAAGAGGTAACGAAGCAGAGCATCATGCTCGAGGACCTGAACGAGCGCGTCGAGAACGTCCAGGAGCACGTCAGCCAGGTCAATTCCAAGATGAAGGATACGCTCGACGTCGTGGGGCGGTCGTCGGACAAGCTCTGCGTGGACGTCATGTGTTTGCTCTTCCTGATCGGGCTGTGCATCATCGCGTACCAGCTCCTGACTAAGAAGAACTAGTTTGTGTTATTTGCTTTTATTCGTTGTTAGTGCAGTGCTCAGGGGAAGGGGGTATGCTGTTGCTCGGGCGCGCGTCGCGCTGCCGACTCGGTGTCCTCCATGATGCTTCGCCTCGATGGCGTCGAGGTGGTACAACCGAGACGCTGTCGACGCGCAACGCAGCGGTTCCGTGACGGGCCCATCTACGGTGATCTACCGGCACCGCGAGCCTGAGAGTTCTAGGCCCCGCGGTGCAGAAACGCTCGGAGGAGTACCCGCCCCGGGCTAGGCTCCTGCGGTTGCGTAGGTCATAGGATAGGATAGGCGGCGAGAGTTTATAGTAGACTGTTAGTTAACTTGCGGCACTAAGCCGCGGACTGCGCCATGATGTAGTGGAGCGACTCGACGAAGCGCTGGACGTCGTCGTGCGCGACCTCGACCACGGAGGAATCAAACAAGTCCTGGCGCGACGACGTCTGGATGTGCTCCGCCGCCAACCGGAACGCGTGCGCCAACCGGTTCTTCCGAGCGCCCTCGCGCCCGTCGACGCCCGCCACCAAGAAGCAGTCCCTCCTTTCAGCTAGTAACACGAGGGGCTTCGCCTTGCTATCGACCCATTTGCCGTTTGTGGTGTGTACTCCAACTAAGAAGAGGGCCAGCTTCCTCAGAGCGAGAGGTTTTGAAAAAACATCATTGGAAGCCTGGACGTAGGCGTATCGGAAATGTCTCAAGGTCGTGATTTCCCGCTTCTCGACCATCGAGACCGCTTGGCCCACGACGCCTCGCTGCAGCGCGCAGGCCGCGTGGACGCCTCGCGACAACAGAGCGTCGTCGTCCCCGAGACACGCATCATAAGCGTGCCAGAAGCCCCGCAGGAAAGCGCGCTTCTCGACACTTGCTTCGTCTTCCGTGTCCACAGCTTCTACTCGTCGCTTCTTCGCCGCTCGTACTAAAGCGTGAGACGCGTCCTCCGTGAAGTGGCCCTCGAGCAAAGCCTCGACGCAGGCCGCCACGTCATGTGCGGAGACATTGCGCCCACCACCAGCCACTCGGTGAAAAGTAGCCGTAAACGGATCGTCGAGGTCGTAGGCCGGGCCCTGGACCTTGAGGTTATCTCTCAGTGACGTTCGTTCATCCAGAGAAAGAAAGGCATAGGTCTGCCTGCAAGCCTCCAGACTGAGACCGATCTTCGCCAGCAGTTCTTGTAAACGTCTTTTCCCATCATGCTTCCACACTGATAATCGAGCTGCCACATAGTTCGAGTAGTACATGGCGTCGAAGAGCGACCAGTGCCGATGCAGCATGAACCTAAGTTCATCCCTTTCATATGTGACCGTTCCAGGAGGCGCCTGGTAGCCCTTGCCGCTCTCGGGCATCGGTTCACCCGACGTCTGTTTTCTCGCGTCGATGTGTCTCAGTTGAGCAGCAAAATAATCAGTGAAGTCGTCGTACGCGTCGTCGTCGAGGCGCCACTGCGCGCGCGCGCCCGTCGTGCCCAAGGCTGAGAGCCAGACCTCCGTCGGTTCTGCTGTCGAACAAGCTTCTGTTAAGGCGAAGAGTAGAGCAGCGGACGGCGGCCCATCATAAGTGCCGTCGTAGTACGCGCGTAGCCGCTTACGTCTATCAGACGCCTCGGCCTTCTTCGCTGCTCTAGCTTCCCGCTTCTCTCTTCTCCGCTTCTGCCTTTCTGTTTCTTCGTCGCCTTCTGGCTCGTCATCTGAGGAACTTAATTCCGCGTCGGACTCGAGGTCGGACTCCATGAAGTCCTCGTCGAGATCCTCTCCATCAGAAGGGGCGTCGTCGTCGTCCGGCGCGTCGCCGTCTAGGACCACGACTCTTCCGGGCGAGTGGTAGTTCCGCAGATGGACGGGTCTATGACTATCAACCACAAATATAGTAGCGTTACTTTGATCAAAGAGCTTCTCCAGGTTCACAGTAGCGCCGCAGTTCAGCATGATGATCGTTTTGATATCCGAAAACTGCTGGGACACGTCCTCCGTGGCGGCTCTCACGTCGGCATAGCCACTCACCGGCTTCGTGCAAAACGGGACATTGTCGTCCCGGAGCAATCTACATAAAATCTGGCAGGCGCAGATAGCGTCCGTGTCCGGCGCCACCAAGATGAGGACGGTCTGGCCCGCGCCGCAGGCCGACTGGCGGATCGTCGCGTAGACCTCGTCGAAGCGCTCGCGGCCGACGAGCATCTTTGGCGCGTGCGCGGCGCTTCCGGCGCGCTGGGGCGCTGCGGGAGGCCGGGCGCAGGTCCAGACAAGGGCGCGCGGCAGCTATGAGGGCGCCGCGGCCAGTTTAATTTACAAACAAGGCCGGTGCTCGTTTGAAACGAAACTCGCGTGCACGGGCCTTGTGCCCGACGCCGCGCTGTATTCGTCAACCGAGGGTGTCCCTGTAAATGTTAACCGCTTTGGATGTCAGTGCTATGGCCCGGAAGCGCGCGCTACAGCCTGCGCGGTGCCGGCCAAATCGAATTGCTTGGGCTAGTGTCTTACAGGCCGCTAGTCGAGGACGAAACGGCTTTTTCGCGCGCGACGACGTATTCGGGAGACACACCGACCTCTCCGGCAGCCATAGAAAAGCCACACTCGAGTTCTCTACGCCGCCGCGCCGACGGAGCCCCCGCGAACGACCTCTAATACCTAGCTTAAGCGCCCCCACGCCACGCCCTACGCCGCCGCGGCCGGTGCCGGCGCCGCCGCCGTCCCACCGCCGCTCTGCCAGCCCGTCCCAATATCATCCCCATCGCCCTCGACGTCGCCGAAGATCGCCTCGCTGACCCATGCCACTTGCAAGACGTTGTCCTCGCTCACCGACGCGGCGAGCCACGATTCATTGGGAGAGAGCGAAAAGTCCGAGACCGGGGCCTTGTGGCCGCCGTGGGCGAACACCAGCTCGGGCGGCGCCGGCTCGTCTTCGTCGGAGTCGGGCTCGACCGACGCCCCGATCCGCGACACGTCCCAGAACTTCGGGCCCCGGTCGGCGCCGCAGGTCACGAAGACGTCGGCGTCGTGGGGGCACCACTGGACTTGGACGACATCCCCATCACATGTGAAGGTGTGCACCGGTTTTGACAAGTGCCGCGTGTCCCAGAGTTTGACCGTTCTGTCGGCCGAGGCCGATAGCAATCTAAACTGGTCGTCCTCGCCGAAGTTAGGATAGGCAAGGGCGTTGATGTCCGCATCATGTGCGTTTTCGACCACCTGTGAACACTTGTCGCCTTGGGTCCGCAGATCCCAAAAAACTAAAGCTTTGTCGTCGCCGGCGGCACAAATAGTAAAAGGACATTGGGGAGAGTACTGGACGTCCGCTACGGCCGATTCCCCTCGAGACGCGAAGTAGGTGGGCGTGATGCCGCCACCCTTCGCCGTCGCAATGTCCCACCCACAGATCGTGCCGTCGTTCGCGCAGGTCGTCAGTTGGCCATTTACATGAGGCGACCAGGCGCAGCCGAAGCCCTCGTCGCCGTGGCCCCGCAGCGTGAGCCACGGCGTGCTCGACGGACCTTCTTCTGCTGCTTTCGCAATATCAAAAACATAAGCTACCTTCGAGGCCGGCCGTGTCGCTACCAAGGATGGTTGTTGCGGACAGTGCCTCGCGCGATTGACTTCCCCTCCTGGGTGAGGTAAGGTAAGGGCAATGGCGGAAGTATCCTTCCCGAACTCACCGGCCCTCGTGTCTATTTCTGTTTCCACGTCGGGTAAGTCGACCGCCACAACTAACAACGAGTTCTCTTCCCCATCGGTATGTGTACCCAACAACAGCTGGTGGCGGTTCCAGCCCTCCCGCCCGGCGTCCGTATACCCCGGCAACCACTCCACCGTCAGCGAGGGCCACCGCAAATGCTTCTGCATGCAGACATCATAGAGTTGGGGCGCGGCGACGACCCAGTTCTTGTACTCTTGATCTCTTTTTTCCTTCGCGAGTTGGGCGGCGCCCTTTTTTTCGTGGCTTTCGTTGGGCGCGTCGTCCAAGGTTCTGGGTTTCTTTTTTACTGGGCTGCCGTCGGTCTTGGCAGGGCTGGAGCTCATGTTCTCCTTGGCCGGCGCGGTTTCAGACATGAGTGAGAGCCAATTTCAAATCTGCTGGCGCTGGCGCGGGCGCAGAGCGGCGCGGCTTGCGCTGGCGGCAGCTGGGCACTGCTGGAGAGTCCGACGCAAGCGCGCGCACGTCCCTGGTGCACGTATGGCCAAAATGGGCTGGCGCTCGAGTCGGCCGCAGCTAGCGTACAGTAACATACTAGCGAGCTCAAATCTCAAACTTGGGGCAGCTAGAACGGGAGGGCGAATTCTATATAACGACACGACACGCAGAATGGGTCGCCGCGACCCGTTAGCCGCGAACCGCGCGGCGCCGGCCAGCCGGGCAGCCCCAAAAGCAGACAAAAGCAGCCCCGCCAGCAGCCGCGCCGGCAGCCCCAGAGGCCCGCCGGCCGTCGACCCCGCAAAGCTCAAAATAGAAAACTGCCGCGGCCCGCTCAAGAAGACGTCTAAAAGTAGACTCAGCGGCCGGGCGTGGAAGAAGCGCTGGTTACGGGTGAGACTCGACCTGAAAGATAACGAGAACTACGCCCTGACGTACCACAAGAAGGAGCACGATGATGCGCGGATGACACTAGCGCTCGCGGGCTGCGCCGTGAGGGAATTAGAGGGCGCCGATGGCTGGCGCGACTTCCGGGTCTTCGACGCGCACGAGGCCTTCGAGCTCCGCGCGTCGTCGACGGAGGAACGGCGGGCCTGGATTGATAGTTTGCGGCACGTGATTACGGTGGCGGACGCGCGTGCGCGCTGGATCGAAGCGAACGCGTCGCCACGACCTGACGCTTCCCCGCCCGCCGCGCGCGCCGCCGAGGATTCGGCGGCGCCGCCACCTAAGGCGCCGCCGCCCGCATCACCAGCACCGCCTGTGGCGCCGCCGCCCCCACCCGACGCTCCGCCGCCCGCCGCGCGCGAAGAACAACCCACAACATCGCGCTCTTCGGCGTGGAACGAGGTGCTCGGAGGAGGAGCTGACGGCGCTTCGCCGCCGACTCGGGTCCGCAAGGCTACGCCGCCACGCGAATCTTCACCTGGTGAGCCGTCTGCCGCGCCACCACCCGCACCGCCAGCACCGCCCGTGGCGCGCGCCGCCGAGGACTCAAAGGACCGCGCCGCGCGCCTCGCGGCCGAGCTAGACGGTATGATGCGCAAGCTCGATACGCCCGCGGCCGCGTCGCCAGGACCCGAGGCGCCGCCCGCCGCGCCGCCGCCGCCGCCTGGCGCACCGCCCGCGCCGCCGCCCCCACCTGACGCGCCGCCGCCCGCCGCGCGCGCCGCCGAGGATTCGGACCGCGCCGCGCCGCCACCACGGGAGTTCCAACACGACGATGATCAGATAAAGCGGCTCCTCGGCGAGTACGGGACCGGCCGCGCCGACAACGCGACGTTCGTCGTCGAAGTAAGGTGGGGCGCGCGCCGCGGGGCCCTCGTCGTGGCGGACCCGCAGAAGCTGCGCCGCCCGAAGTGCGCCTGCTGGCCCCACGAGGTCCTGGCTGCTTTGGGGATCGGCGGCGACCACCCGGCGGCGCCGTGGCTGCGCGTCACGGCGCTGCAGCGCGCCGAGGACGCCTTTGTGTTTGGGCCCAGTTTACGAGCGGACCGGTTGACTCCCGATGCGTCGTATGAGGTGGTCATGGCGGACGAGCGCGCGTCGATGCTCGAACGGTTGAGTGAAGGGGATCGCGACAAGGTCGAGGCGGCCGTATCGAGGCACGGCGACCCATTGCGAGCGGATCGGCTCGCTGCCGATTTCAAAGCCCGAGCTCAACGAAGGCTCAAATCTATCGACCGGCAATTCGCCGCGGCCCAATCCAAAAACGCGGCGCTGCGGGACGCGCACGCGGCGCGCGTCGCCGACGATGAAAGGCGGGCCCTCGCAAAAGTAACCGCCGCGACCGTCGACGGCAAAATCGATCATATGGATTCGCTGCTCATCGAGGCATCGTACCTAGAGACGTCGCTCGACACGGAAAGAATACCACTCTTCTAATGTTCTGTGAATTTAGTCCATATCGTCGTAGGTCGGCGGCCCCGGCGGCCCGGCCTCGTCCCTCAAGAGCATGGCCGCGAGGTCGGCGCACGCTTTTGCCACGTTTTTGAGCGTGAGCTCCTCCTCGGTCAACGATTCCGGGGGCGGCTCCGGCGCGTCGTCGGCCGTCACCAGCACTTCTGATGGGCCTCCGTCGCCCTCGTCCCGGTCGTCGCGGCCGGGCGCGAAGTGGTAGTCGCAGTCGCGCACGACGGCGTACGCCTTGAGTCGGCGCAGCTCCGTGCGCCCCCGTCGCGTGCCGCACAGACACAACAACGCCTCGAGCAGGAACAGGGACACGTCAGCTCTAGGCTCCCTTCTCTTGGCATCGCCGTAGACCTCGGAGGCGTCGTCGACGAAGGGCGCGCCGTGCCAGGCCGTCCCGCCCGGCAACTGCAATGCCATGCTATCGTCTGACTCTAGTCGAGCAATGTCGGACGCGTCCGCGAGGGCGAATAGTATGAACTGCGGCGCGCAGCAGTCGTCGAGCAGAACGCCATGTGCCGAGACGTCGTGGCAGCAGTGCCGTAGAGCTGCCGCTACTCCTCGTCGCTTCCCGGGGGACGCGGCGCCGTGCGTTTCTACATGTCCATCAAGCAGTAACGGCAGGAGCGCTGACAGGATGCGCGTCGGCGGTCGCAGGAGTAAAGTTCGGAACGTCGCCGCCGCCGACAGGTTCTGGGCGCACGCCGCGAAGGCGTCGGCCCAGGACGCCTGGGCCGCGGCGGCGCCGCGCCGCGCGAATCTTTTGAGGAGCGCCGTCACGGCCTCCTCGCGCGCGGCCACGGCGGCGGCGCCCGCCGGCCGCACGGTGGCGTTCTGCAGGAAGGCCAGCGCGTTCTCCCGCGACTGTGGATCAAAGGCATCGCTCGCGGCGACGACGCAGGCCGCATCCACCGTTCTCGGCGTCGCGAGCGCGACGGCCAAAGCGTCCGCGGGCCGCTCGCCCTTGGCATTCGCTCGCGCCAATGCGTTCGCCAGCGCCGCGAGCCCGTCGCGCGCGCCCTCGCGCGTGCGGGCGAGCGCCGTGGCCACGGCGTGGGCCTGCGCGCCGCCGTCGACGAGCGCGTCGACCTGCGACGCGTCCTGCGTCAGCGCGAGGAGCGTCTTTGCTGCTTCCGTTCGGAAGGTTTTGCCGTCCTGGCCTTGCATGTTGATGTTCGAGGCTATGACTCCTAGGAGCTCCTCCATGGTGCTGTGCTGCAGCTGCTGCAAACGCGGTACGTGCGCCTCGTTGATGAGTTAGGGCTGTTAATATCGACGTGTCGATGACTCGTGCGGCTGTGCCAGGAACGTGACGTGCTCAGGGAAGCAATGCGGAGAGTTATGCTGGCCAATGTCGCCAGCCTGCAGCAGAGACAAAGGCACAGCCCAGAGGTCGCAAAAACCAACTAGCCCCCCAAAGAACTGCGGCTGCCCCGAGAGACGTCGATATTTGAAGTCCTCTCGGTCGTCAACGCCGTCGCCGCAACTGCCGCGCGGGGTGGGTGTGGCATGCCAGCAAAGTGGACCACCTTGGGATAGTGCATAAGCCGCCTGCGCTACGTTGCGCCACTCATTCATCCGCCCACCCGCCTTTAATACATCGGTGCACTGGCCGCCGGACTGAACTGGACCCGGGCAGGCAGACCGATGGCGCCGCGCCGCCGCAAGGGACGCGTGAATCCGAAAAAGACTACTAAGCCCCCGAAGACCTTCCAAATCATCGTCAAGAGTCTCTCTGGCCAGGTGTGCGAGCTGGAGGTGGTCGCCGAGATGACGGTCTACAAACTCAAGGAAAAGCTGACGGGAACTCTCTTCCCTCCGACCCCAAGGCCTTTCCTCATCTTTGAGCATGTGAAACTAGAGGACAGCCGCAGACTCTCATTCTACAACATCAGGAATGGCTCGGAGCTCTTCTCGGTGAGAGACTTCGAGACGATGGTCCGTCGGGGAGATATTACGGACAACGAAATTCCCCGTAATAATCCCGATAGGCGAGTCGCGAGGCATTTCCTACGGCGTGTTTGTGACAACTGCGGTCGGCAGGGCACGTTCAAAGAACCGCGTTTGAACGTGTGCTATTGTGGCGCGAGGCGCTACTGTAATGAGCGTTGCCAATCCGCCGACTGGAGAAGCGGCCACTCCCGCAGATGCGCCGCAGGCCATACTTTCCCGGAGGATGTTATGGATTGCCTAGATTTCTTGAAGTTTGACCTCGAGGAAGGAACGTGTACCGCCGACGAATTCGAGCGCGCCTTAGGCGAAATTTTTGAGCAGTACCCGCCCCCCGCCGACCGCGAGCGCTAGTGTAATGTGTATGAAGATTTGGTTACCCAAGGGCCCCGCGCCCTAGACGAGGAACTTCAGGGAGCACTTGATCGTCGGCCCCAGCGCCAGGTTGATCGTGCCCGAGACGTCGTCCGCCGACCGGTTCGCCGGCGTGAGCCCGTGCCGGCCCTCGAACTCCTCGAGGCACTGGACGAACTCGACGAAGTTGCGCTTCTCGAGCGGCGTCGCCGACGTGTTCAGCCACTGGCCCACGGAGCCGTGGGACGTGCCGATGGCGCCCACGAGTTCGTCTATCACGTCGTCGTCCTGGTTCACCATGCCGTGCCAGGGCGGTGCCCTAGAGGTCGATGAACGCGTGGCACCGAAGGTCGCGCCGCCCCGTTGGAGCGTCTTGCGGAGCTCGCGGTTTTCCCGCTTCAGACTCTCGATGTCGTCCGGGCTTCGAGATCTCCTCCTGTCATCTGATCTAGACAAAGACCGCGCTCGGTCCGTAGTTATCTTGTCCTCCAGATCCCTGAGCTTCCTTCGTAATTTCCGAGCCTCGTCATCATCCGAATTCGGGGACCTAGAGCGGCCTCGTCGACCCTTCTCTCGGACATGACCTCCCTTGACGTTGCGCTCGCTTTCCCCATCGTCATAGTCAATATCAAAGGTGCCATCGGAGTGCTTCCTCTTGATAGTGCCGGGGTACCACTTGTCCCTACCTCTATACCTCGCCTCGCACGTGTCGCCGCTCCTTAGATCGGGACCGTCGTCGTCCTTCCGGGAGCGGATGTGGTCCTCGCGCACGCGCGTCTCCGTGGCGCCGTCGTCGTAGGACACGTCGTAGGTGCCGTCGCCCCGATCCGTCCGGATGGTCCCGGGGTAGTACTTTTCTCGCCCCCGGAACCGGGCCTCGACGCGGTCGCCTTCCCGGAACGCTCCTGAACCGGACGATCGCCTAGGCGACGGCGACCGCGACCGCCTTCGGGGCGAGGGCGACCTTCGAGACCGCGACCGCTCCCTTGAACGTTCTCTAGACGAGCGCCGCTCGGGCGACCGCGACCGCGCGCGCGGCGAGTCGCCGGCGCCGCGCCGCCGCAGCAACCGCCCCTCGACGCGCGTCTCCTTCTCCCCGTCGTCATAGTCGATATCATAAGTGCCGTCGGCGTGGGCCCTCCCCACCTTGCCGGGGTAGTACTTTTCCCTACCCCTGTATCGCGCGTCGACCTTGTCGCCGAGGTAGAACTTCTCGCCGGACGAGGAAGAAGATGACTCCTTCGCGCGGATGAGGCGGCCCTCGACGCGCGTCTCGCGCTCCCCGTCGTCGTAGGCAATGTCGTAGGTGCCGTCGCGCCGGTCTCGATCGATCTTGCCCGGATAGTACTTCTCGCGGCCTCTGTATCTCGCCTCGATCTTGTCACCCTCGCGGAAGGAGTCGCTTGAGGAGCCACCGCCGTCCTTGGACCTAATGAGCCGCTTCGCCACCCGCGTCTCTCGCTCGCCGTCGTCGTAGGCGATGTCGTACGTATCGTCCCCGCGGTCTCGGCTGATCTTCCCGGGATAGAATTTGCCCCGGCCTCTATAATCAGCCTCGATCTTGTCGCCTTCGCGGAACGAGTCACCTCCAGAGCCGCCGTCGAGCTTGCGGATGAGCCGCTTCGCGACTCTCGTCTCGCGCTCGCCGTCGTCGTAGGCAATATCATACGTATCATCACCGCGGTCCCGCGAGATCTTGCCCTTGTAGAACTTGCCCCGGCCTCTATAATCGGCCTCGACCTTGTCGCCTTCGCGGAACGAGTCGCTCGAGCCGCCGTCGAGCTTGCGGATCAACCTCTTGGCGACGCGCAGCTCGCGCTCGCCGTCGTCGTAGGCGATGTCGTACGTGTCGTCGCCTCTATCTCTAGAGATCTTGCCCTTGTAGAATTTGCCGCGGCCCCGATAATCGGCTTCGACCTTGTCGCCCTCGCTTAAACGATCATCACCGCCGCGCGAGCGGGACCGCGAGCGGTCGCGGTCCTTCTTGCGGATCAGGCGCTCTTCCACGCGCGTCTCGCGCTCCCCATCGTCATAGCTAATGTCGTAGGTCCCGTCGCCGCGGTCCCGAGTGATTTTCCCAGGGTAATACTTCTCGCGGCCGCGATAGCGCGCCTCCACCTTGTCGCCCTCCTCGAGCTTCGAGCTTCCGCCACCGTCCTTGGACCGAATCAGGCGCTTGGAGACGCGCGTTTCCCGCTCGCCGTCGTCGTAGTCAATATCGTAGGTGTCGTCCCCGCGGTCTCTGCTAATTTTGCCCGGATAGAACTTGCCGCGGCCTCTATAATCGGCTTCGATCTTGTCGCCCTCGCGGAAGCTGTCCGAGCCGCCGCCGCCGTCCTTCTTTTTGATCAGGCGCTCTTCGACCCTCGTCTCGCGCTCCCCATCGTCATAGCTAATGTCGTAGGTCCCGTCGCCCCGGTCTCTTGTGATCTTCCCGGGGTAATACTTCTCCCGGCCGCGATATCTCGCCTCGACCTTGTCCCCTTCCTCGAGCTTCGAGCTTCCGCCCGAGCCCTCCTTGGACCGGATGAGCCGCTTCGCGACGCGCGTCTCGCGCTCTCCATCATCATAGTCGATGTCGTACGTGTCGTCCCCGCGGTCCCTACTAATTTTGCCGGGGTAGAACTTGCCCCGGCCGCGATAATCCGCCTCGATCTTGTCGCCCTCGCGGAAGCTGTCCGAGCCCCCTCCAATCTTCCTAATCAATCTCTTGGCGACGCGAATCTCGCGCTCGCCGTCGTCGTAGGAAATGTCGTACGTGTCGTCGCCGCGGTCCCTCGTGATTTTGCCGGGGTAGAATTTGCCCCGGCCCCGATAATCGGCTTCCACCTTGTCGCCCTCGCTGAGACGATCGTCGGCGCCGCGCGACCGCGACCGCGACGAGCCCCGCTCCCGCTTTCTGATCAAACGCTCCTCGACCCTCGTCTCCTTCTCCCCGTCGTCGTAGGCAATATCGTAGGTCCCGTCGCCGCGGTCTCGCGAAATCTTGCCCTTGTAGTACTTCTCCCGGCCTCTGTATCGCGCCTCGACCAAGTCACCCTCGCGCAATTTGTCGTCGCCGCCGCCACCGTCCTTGGACCGGATGAGGCGCTTCGCGACGCGCGTCTCGCGCTCTCCATCATCATAGTCGATGTCGTACGTATCATCACCGCGGTCCCTCGTAATCTTACCGGGATAGAACTTGCCGCGGCCGCGGTAGTCGGCTTCGATGCGATCGCCCTCGCGCAGGCGGCCTCCGGAGCTGCCGCCGTCGAGCTTGCGGATCAGGCGCTTCGCTACGCGCGTCTCACGCTCCCCGTCGTCGTAGGAGATGTCGTAGGTGTCGTCGCCGCGGTCTCGGGTGATTTTCCCGGGGTAGAACTTGCCTCGGCCTCGGTAATCAGCTTCGACCTTGTCCCCTTCCTCCAGACGATCGCTGCCACCACCACCGCCGCCCGTCGACCGGATCAGGCGCTTCGCCACCCGCGTCTCGCGCTCGCCGTCGTCGTAGGCGATGTCGTACGTATCGTCCCCGCGGTCTCGGCTGATCTTCCCGGGGTAGAATTTGCCGCGGCCGCGGTAGTCGGCCTCGATCTTGTCGCCTTCGCGGAACGAGTCACCTCCAGAGCCGCCGTCGAGCTTGCGGATGAGCCGTTTTGAGACGCGCATTTCCCGCTCGCCGTCGTCGTAGGCAATATCATACGTATCGTCGCCGCGGTCTCTGGAGATCTTGCCCTTGTAGAACTTGCCCCGGCCTCTATAATCGGCCTCGACCTTGTCGCCTTCGCGGAACGAGTCGCTCGAGCCGCCGTCGAGCTTGCGGATCAACCTCTTGGCGACGCGCAGCTCGCGCTCGCCGTCGTCGTAGGCGATGTCGTACGTGTCGTCGCCTCTATCTCTAGAGATCTTGCCCTTGTAGAATTTGCCGCGGCCCCGATAATCGGCTTCGACCTTGTCGCCCTCGCTTAAACGATCATCACCGCCGCGCGAGCGGGACCGCGAGCGGTCGCGGTCCTTCTTGCGGATCAGGCGCTCTTCCACGCGCGTCTCGCGCTCCCCATCGTCATAGCTAATGTCGTAGGTCCCGTCGCCGCGGTCCCGAGTGATTTTCCCAGGGTAGTACTTCTCGCGGCCGCGATAGCGCGCCTCCACCTTGTCGCCCTCCTCGAGCTTGTCGCTCGAGCCGGAGCCACCGTCCTTGGACCGAATCAAGCGCTTCGAGACGCGCGTTTCCCGCTCGCCGTCGTCGTAGTCAATATCGTAGGTGTCGTCCCCGCGGTCTCTGCTAATTTTGCCCGGATAGAACTTGCCGCGGCCTCTATAATCGGCTTCGATCTTGTCGCCCTCGCGGAAGCTGTCCGAGCCGCCGCCGCCGTCCTTCTTTTTGATCAGGCGCTCTTCGACCCTCGTCTCGCGCTCCCCATCGTCATAGCTAATGTCGTAGGTCCCGTCGCCCCGGTCTCTTGTGATCTTCCCGGGGTAATACTTCTCCCGGCCGCGATATCTCGCCTCGACCTTGTCCCCTTCCTCGAGCTTCGAGCTTCCGCCCGAGCCCTCCTTGGACCGGATGAGCCGCTTCGCGACGCGCGTCTCGCGCTCTCCATCATCATAGTCGATGTCGTACGTGTCGTCCCCGCGGTCCCTACTAATTTTGCCGGGGTAGAACTTGCCCCGGCCGCGATAATCCGCCTCGATCTTGTCGCCCTCGCGGAAGCTGTCCGAGCCCCCTCCAATCTTCCTAATCAATCTCTTGGCGACGCGAATCTCGCGCTCGCCGTCGTCGTAGGCGATGTCGTACGTGTCGTCGCCGCGGTCCCTCGTGATTTTGCCGGGGTAGAACTTGCCCCGGCCCCGATAATCGGCTTCCACCTTGTCGCCCTCGCTGAGACGATCGTCGGCGCCGCGCGACCGCGACCGCGACGAGCCCCGCTCCCGCTTTCTGATCAAACGCTCCTCGACGCGCGTCTCCTTCTCCCCGTCGTCGTAGGCAATGTCGTAGGTGCCGTCGCCGCGGTCTCTTGATATAGTCCCTTTGTAGTACTTCTCGCGGCCGCGGTAGCGCGCCTCTATTTCATCACCCTCCCTTAACTTATCGGAGGAGCCGCCGCCGTCCTTCGATCTTATCAGTTTGGCCTCGACGCGCGTCTCGCGCTCGCCGTCGTCGTAGGCAATGTCGTAGGTCCCGTCGCCTCTATCTCTTGAAATCTTGCCGGGGTAGTACTTCTCCCTACCTCTATAGCGGGCCTCGACCTTGTCGCCCTCTCGGAAATTGTCGGACGCCGGCCGCGGCGAGATCGAGTCGTCCGACAGCTTCCGGATAAGCCGCTCCTCGACCCGTAACTCCTTCTCGCCGTCGTCATAGTTAATGTCATACGTCCCATCCATGCGATCCCGCGAAATCTTGCCTTTGTAGTACTTTTCCCGGCCCCGGTAGCGCGCCTCGACGGCGTCGCCTTCCCTTAGTTTGGTGGAAGCCGCGGCGCCGGCCTTCCTCCGAATCTTATAGGCCGAGACGTTGCGCTCCTCGTCGCCGTCGTCGTAGCGGATGTCGTAGGTCCCGTTCGAGTTGACGGACACGATATTTCCTTTGTAGTACTGGCTGCCGTTCTTGTAGCGCGCCTCGACGGTCTCGCCCATGCGGTACGTGCCTCGACTGGACGTCGTGGACACGCCCGTCGGCCGCGGGCGGCCCCCGACGCTGCGCCGTTCTCTGGAAGAAGCGCGCGGCCGCTCGCCGGGCTGGCGGTCGCGGAAGCGGCTCGGCACGCGGCTCCGCGCGCCGCTGCTCTTAAAATCGTCGATAATGACCTCCTCGCCTCCTCTCGCGGGCATCGTATCGTTGGTGCTGCGCCGCAGCGCTGGACGTGTGAGGGGCAGCTTGGGCTACGGTCGCAGCCGCTCGTCGCTGCTGCTTCTTTCGTGCGTCGGCCTCGCGCGCGCGACTGGGGCCGCGTTGTTGCGAGGGGACCGGTTGCCTTGCTTGCCTAGGCAGGCGGGCAGCAGTCACACCGGTTTTTGTGCACCGGCAGCCCGACGGTTTGCGCCTGCCCGGTGTGACCCCCCTATTCCGCAGTCGGGACTTGCAAGCTCTTCGACCACGCGTGGGGGCAGCCCCCAGGCGTGGCACGGGCTCGCTGGCTGCCCCGACGCGTTGCCGGCAGTGGGGTGTTTTTGGCCCTGCGCCCGTCTGTGCTGCGGTTTCCTCCCTATCCGTCATCGAGGACCTACTATAGGGCACGAATCCGACCTCTCTACAGCTGCAGCGCCTGCGGCCGCGCCGCCCAGAGGCACACACAGCTCGCATTGCACGTCGTACGTAGACGGTGGTTACGCGGGGTTATTCGTGACCTGCGCATTGTCTCGGATCTCTGTCATACGCTGCGTGGCCGCCACAAGAGTTTTGGCAGTGCTCGTAGCCTCGAAGTCGAGCAGTGCTCTCACTCTGCACAAGTGCTAAAATAAATGAACAGCTGGCACGTCGCGGACCAGGTTTGGCGCGAGCTCGAGTTCGCGTTCGTGTTCGCGTTCGTCGTGTCCTGTGAACTCATCCGGCTCGGCTGGCAAGAGTCCGGCTGCCCGCTGTCGCAGCCGGGGCTGCTCTGCTTCAAAGAGGTGGGCTGTCTGTGATGCGCGTGCTTTATCTCGCCGTCTGCGCGACCGCGCTGCAAGCACCAGTCAGACGAAGACGTCTCACGCGCCGGCAGATCGCGCCGTCCGGCGTCGACGGCCTCCCGGTGCCGCTTCAGGCCGTGGTATTCCTCGGCTGCGCGGGCGGCATCGGTGGAGGCGCCGTCGCGAGCAACGCGGCCCTCGACGCGCTTCGATCGGCGACTCAAAAAACCGGCGCCGGCGCAGAGGCCTGGCGGAAATTTGTGGAAATCGCATTCCTCGGCCTCGGCCTCCTCTACGTCGCCGCCGGCGTCGGGCACTTTGCTGCTGCCGACGCCTTCCGCGCAATCACGCCGCCCTTCGGAACGTGGGGCCTCTGGCCCGTGCCCACGGCGCCGGCATTTCATGTGGCTTGGACGGGCCAGGCGGAACTCGTCGGCGGCGCGACGCTGGTGGCGGGCGGCGCGGCGGCGCTCGCAGGCGTCGAGCTCGAGGCTCCTCTGAAATGGCTCCCGCCGGTAGCGTGTGCTGGTCTCTTGTTATTGACCATCGCGGTGACGCCGGCGAACATCTACATGTACACGCACGGCGCGACGATGGGCACGGGGCCCCTGCCGCTGACGTTCCACTACGTCCGCTTCGCGGTACAGTGCGTCCTGCTGGGGCTCCTCGCGACGCTCGCGAAGGACAGCTTTTTCTACGCGTGGGGGGACGAGATCGAATAATGCTATTGTGAAGACCCTCTAGAGCGACGCTGGCGGCGCGCTGAGGCATAAAAAAGACGAGCCTAAAGCTGTGCGTGCGAGAAAATGACCTATTATTACTCGGCCGGACGCATGCCATTGCTGTGAGCCAGCTCTGAGCAGCTGTACGAGCGCTGCACACTGCAGCTCTCCAATGGCAGCACTGCATGGCGCCGACGAGGCCCATATCAAACGAGAGATGGAAGCAATGGGAGTCGAATGCATCGAACCGGCGAGCGAGCGCGAGGAAGCGACGGCGACGCTGATGGAGGCGTTCGCGACGTTCGTGCTCGAGGAGCAGCCGCGGCAGTCGCTTGCCATTCTTCAAGAAAATCACGACGGCTCCGTAGGCGAGCTGCAGGGCGGCGGCGAGCACGCGATCTATCGCGTGGAGATCACAGACGACGAGGAGAGCGTAGTATCGCGGCTACTTCGCAATTTTGGGGGCGGTCTGACGGTGGGGAGCTGTGTGGAAACCTCTACGCCATCGAGCAGACGCATTTATGGAGGCAACATCGCCTCGATGGCGTGGGGCCCCTGAAATTTAATTTCCACACAGGTCGAGAGGATTCGAAGACACATGCTGAGGTGTCGGGACGTCGAGAAGCTGGACAATTTCATGCTCGTGCTGGCGTTCGGCCCGACGAGCGGCCAAATTAGGCATATAGACGCCATGGTCCCCAACCGGCAGCTGTGCTGCTACATGTCGCGCGACTGTCCGTCCACCGTCGTCTACGCCCCGGACGGGCCGGCCGTGGACAGCGCTGCCGCGCTGGTGGCGCTCTGGGAGGAGGGCGGCCTCGACGTGCCGGCGGCGCTCCGTCGACTGCTTGTGGAGGAGGGCAGGCGGCAACTGGAGGGACGTTTCAAGTTCTGGCGGACTATTGACGACGCGCTCCGGTGCTTCGGCAAGCTCTACCAGCCGGTGGCGCGGCGCCTCGCGTTGACCTGCGCGCCCGGCACGCTCCTCAGCGCGGGCGGCAACGACGTCCACGCCGGGCCGCCCACCAGCTCCCCGCGTATGTTCGCGTTCGCTGTCGGCGTGCCGGAAGACGCCGGCGACGCGCCCTTCACCGACGGCGACGGCGAGGTCCAGTACAACGCGGTCCTCTTCCACCTAGATCTGTGCTGCGTTTTGTTTGGTCGCTGTGACGACGTTTCCAAGCTGTTTTTGTTGCGACGGCTCGTCGAGATGGTGAGCGAGCATCCCGACGCGGAGTCGTACTCGCGCCAGCTCGGCGACTCGAGGGCTGACCTCGCGGGCTGGCTCGCGAGGCTCGTGGAGGCGCTCCCGAACGTCGATGACGTACTGAGGGCCGCGGCCGCGAGCGAGTCGCTCTTCTGCGCGGAGACGAAGAAGTCGCGGCGGCAGAAGCGGCGCGAGAAGCGACGTGTCTAATGTTGTATACTAGTACTTACGCCCACCTACTTCGTGTAGTCCACGTCGATGACCTTGTCGACGATGCCATAGCTGCACGCCTCCTGCGCGCTCATGAAGTTGTCCCGGTCCAAATCCTTGATGATCTGGTCCGTCGTCTGGCCCGTCATCATCGAGTAGAGCTTGACGAGGTTCTCCTTGATGCGCACGATCTGGGCCGCTTCTACTTTGATGTCCTCGGCCTGGCCCTGGGCGCCGCCCATGGGCTGGTGGATCATGACTCGGCTGTTCGGTAGTGCTAAACGAGATCCTTTGGTACCACCACATAAGAGGAAGGAAGCCATCGAGGCGGATAACCCGACGTTGATCGTCACGACCCGCGACTTGATGTGGTTCATCGTATCAAAAATCGCTAACCCAGCGATGACGCTCCCGCCGGGGCAGTTGATGTACAGGTAGATCGGCTTCGTCGAATCTTCGCTGTCGAGGTACAGCATGACCCCAATGATCTGGTTCGCCAGTTCATCATCAATTTCCTGGCCCAGGAAAATGATGCGCTCCCGATACAACCGGTTGTAGATGTCGATCCAGTCGGCCGACGGCGCGCCCGGCACGCGGTACGCGACCTTCGGCACGCCGATGGGCATCATCACGACGGACTGCCTCGGCTTGTCAGCGTGCACGCGCGCCGCCGCGGGGAGGGGCCTGGCCGGCGTGAAGCCCGCGACGGACGCCGCCGCGGCGAGGAGGAGCGCGGCTCGTCGTCTGATCATGCTTGTTGCTCCCAGCACTTTTGCGACAGCTTATTTGGTGCAAACGGATGATATGTGGGCAACAGCGATAGCGGTTGAGTGCACGCGCGGCCACCTGCAGCGGCTAGACGCAGACTGCAGAGGGCAAGCAGGGGCTGAGAGCGGAGGCTGCAAAGCTGCAAAGACGGTGTCTGTTGCGTCGCTAGGAGTCCCTGAAGACAACTAGGAGCTGTTCCAAAATCTCTGCGCTAGCGTCTGTAAGACACTAGCAAAAGCAGCAGCGTGACAAAAACGCGCATGCCGCGTGCCTCTGGGGCGGCACGGGTTACGCGCAGGCTGCGTCATCTTTCCACAGCCCCCTCCGAGCGCTGTGCCAAATCTGACTGACTGGCGGCCGCCCAAACCCCACCTGTGGCCAGCCCACAGCACAGTGCAAATACAAACAATCGAGCGAACAAAGCCAAAGCATGGCGCCCACGCACGACAACACCAACGACGCCACCGCGACCATAATAGAAGAAGAAACGAAGACGGACGGCGACGCCGCGCCGGCGCCCGCCCCGACGCTCGTGCTCCGCCTGAACCCGCGGCCCCACATCTCCTTCGCCGACGACACTGTTGATAATGAACACTTAGGACGGAAGTCGTCGAAGCGCTGCTGCATCTACCACAAAAAAAGGCCCTTCGGTGAGTCGTCGACGGAGTCCAGTGGGTCCGACTGCGATGATCCTGATTGTAGAAAAAACAAATCAATAGCGCACAAGAAGAAGACTCATGAAGATGGCGTCGAGGAGGCCAAGGAGGAGGCCCCGCCGCCGCCGCCTTCACCATCGCCCGCGCCCGCGCTGCCGGGCGCCGGCTGGGGCAAGGTGAAGAAGGACCGCGTGCCCGACTACCAGCGGTTCCACGCCTAGTTTGCTAAGGGGACCTTGTTGTTGTACTTACTTAGGATAGCCTCATCGTCACGACGATCGGCACGTGGTCCGAGCCGCAGAGCGTGCCCTCCTTGTCCACGGAGATGTAGCGCTCTCCCTCGTAGCGCTTGGGTTGGCTCGCCGGCGCCGGGATGTGTCGCACCCACTGCTCGCCGTCCGGCACGACGACGTCCTCGACGCGTGAAGCGCGCCCCTGGGGCACCAAGACGTAGTCAGGCCGCGCGCGCCAGTACACCATTTTCTGCTTCTTGTCGTCAAAGCGCGACTGGAACGCCGTGTACTTGGCCGTGGCGGGCCACCTGTTGCGGACGACGTCGACGAGGTGCAGGTTGTTGATGCAGTTCTCGAGGGTCGTCCTCGAGACGGTGTAGCGCGGGCCGCCGAACCACTTCGTCGAGTCTAGCGTCTTCGATAGCGTGGCGTTCAAATCGCCGCAGAAGCAGAGGAGGCGATGGCCGTGGCTCTTCACGAGGAGCGGATACTCGTCGTCGAGCGCCTCGCGCAGCGCAGCGTCCTGGTTTTTGTTTGTCGGCGTCGGCAGATAGGCGCCCACGATGACGCCGACGTCGCACGAGTACTGGCCGACCATGCCCAGGCGATCCCACGGCGCCGAGGGCAGCAGTCGCCCGTTGCGCGCGAGCACACTGTCACGCCGAATATAGAACGCGACGCCGGCGCCCCTGTGCTCCCGCGGCGTCGTTTCCTGGACGTGCGTGATATAGCAATCGTAGCCGGGCAGCAGCGCGCGCGCGGCGGCCTCCTCGCCCCGCTTCACAGTGCACTCCGCGACGACGATCGCGTCGACCCGTCCGATGCGCTGCACGAGGCGCGCGAGCTTGTCCCGGTTCTTCCCGCTTTTGTGCGTGACGCCGGACGCGTTCCACGCGACGATCTTAATCGGCCCGTCTGCAGCAGTTTCGTCGCGTCTCGCGCGCTTGACTGGCGGCTCATCATCACTGTCCTTGGTGAGGTCTATGGTGGGAGCTGCGCGCTGCGGCTCGTCGTCGCTGTTGATAGCTGTCAGATCTACTACCTCAGCCATCGATATTGCCAATCTCGATCTATGCGACGAGCACGAGGCTGCGAGACTTGAAATTCGAGGGAGCTAGCGGCATGTAACACACTAGTCTCGCGCGATGCATCGGTTCCCCCTAGTCCTAGCACCGTAACAATAGGCATGACTCAAAAAAAGGATCTTATTCGATCTCAATGATCTCCTTGCCCTCTGGAATAGGCCGAGGAGGTGCGCGCCGCGCCGGCGCCGGGATCACCGGCCCCCACTCGATCGACGAGTCGCCGTCGTCGCCGTCCGAGGAGTCCGGCGACGGCGCTCTCCGCCGTCGCGGCGGCGGCCGTCGCGTCTCTTGTACCCACCGTGCCACGACGGGCGCGCGCGGTGGCGCCTCCGGCGGAGACTGTGGCGGCTCGAACGGCACCAGGCGGCGCGCCGCGTCGAGTTGCGCCATGAAGCTCGCGCGGTCGCCTCTCTGCAGCGGCTCGTACAGCTCCACGACGTGCCGGTGTTTATTCTGCCGCGCGCGCCACGCGGGCGAGACGCCGTCCCGCTGCCGCTCCATCGCGAGGTGCATGCCGGTCTCGAAGCCAACGAGGTCGAGGAAGGCGACGACGAACGCGAGGCGCTCTTCGCCCGGACCGGCCGCCAGGTGCAGCGCATTCTGATCGTCGATGGGCGTCTTCTGCATCGCGAAATCGCTTACCGGTGCCCTGACGACGCGGCTGCCGAGTCGCGTTCGAGTCACCTCCCCTCCAACCCTTTCTTCCCGCATCCCGAGGCCAATCACGATCTCGCGCCGCTGGAATAGCAGTGGTAGCGCCGCCACTGCCGCCGTGTCCCCCCGGTAGGCGGCGAGCAGCAGCGTCGGCATGCGCCGGAAGCCGTGGGGCGTGGTGCCCATGGCTTTCGCGTCGCTCTCGAGGCACGCGAAGGCTCGTTGGGCTGGCGTTTGGGCAGGGGGCGGCGGCGGTGGCGGCGGTGGCGGTGGTGGCGCAGGCACGGGCAACGCGGCAGCAGGCGCGTCGTCGCCGTCGTCCGTGTCGTCGTCGGCCGGCCTCGCGGGCGCCTCCTCCTCTTCATCGTCCGAAGTACTGAATCCGGCCGTCGGCGGGGCCCATTTCCGGCGCGGTGGCACCGACTCGTCATCGCTGGAGGAGCCGCCCGCGGTCGGCGGGCCGGGCGGGCTCTGCGTCACGGCCGGCGCATGCCTCATCTCAGGCGTCGCGGGGGCTGGCGGGCGTGGCCGCGGCGCGTGCGGCGGCGTCGCCGGCGGCACGCCCACGCGTTGGCGCTTGGGAGAGCGGTCGAACGTCACGGTCCGCCGGCCTGGTAGGAAGGCCTCGATGTCTTCGCCGTCGGTGTCAGCATCAGCAGTGCCTCTGAGCGCTGCCTCTAGCTCTGTGATGGCCGACATGTGCCCGTGCGGATAAAACCGAATGCGTGCAGTGATGTGATGGTGAACGAAGTTCAGCAGGTACGTCGCGTCGCTTACTAACGCTACTGCGGGCCTCGATATGGCTCGATATGTTGCTGCGCTGCTCTCCATAATCAGCTAAGTGTGACATACTAGGATTTCGACAAAAGCCGGGCACACGCGAAACGCGCTCATTGATCCTAAAATCAGAGCGGCAGTGCAAGTGCGTTGCTCATTTGGATACCGCTGACGCGCTGTCGCATCCATTCCATCGTTAAAGCCCCAGCACACTTTGCCAGCCGAGCTCTCTCCGAAGCCTCTCGAGCTGTCCAAGCACAATGGTCGACTACAGCAAATTCAACACCATCGAAGGAGCCAGCGACAGCGACGACGAGAAGCAAACGGTCGATCCGGACAGAGCCGAGGCCTGGCTGCGCAAGTACGACGAGCTCGCGAAGGACCACGCGTCGAGCGACAGCGACAGCGACAGCGACAGCGACAGCGACGAGCCGACAATCGCCGGCGTCGACTGGGCGAAAGAGGGCGCCACGCGCCTCGGACCCGACAAGTACGACGCCGCGCTGCGCAAGCGCGATGCGAAGCTCAAGAACCCCATCCCCGGCGACGCCACATGGCTGACGCCAACCGAGAGAAGGTGCCTCATGCGCCACGCGTCGCCGGGCCCGACGGGCGCGTTATTCGCGGGCGAGCAGCTGCCCTCAAACCTGAAAGATGCTGAAGCGGTCCCCGCAGCTATACTACACCTGAAAGACCCGTGGCCGTCCGTCGACGCGGCGCAGTTGTACGCCCACGCGCGTGTGGCCAAGAAGCTCGACGCGACGTGTTCCGCGCGGCTGCGGGAGGACCTCGCGTCGCGCACGCACTTGAGGCTGGCCCTCGCGCGGTACTTCGTCTCGAATCAGATAGACGCGACGGGCCCGACGAACCGCCCGGTCTGCGAAAAGGCAGTGGATGCGTGCTGGGAATCCATTAGAGAGGCGGCCGCGGGCGAAGCGGGTGCATGGGACGCGGCCTGGGCCGTGCGCGCACCGTGTGTCTTGGGTGCCTTCAACGCGGCATCAATGGTTTCGGGGTCGCATCGACGGCGTCGAGCGCCACGCCATCGATAGCGGATCGCGTCGACGGCGTCGATCCCACGCGCAGGACGGGCCCCTCGCGTGCGCGTCTCTCGTAGTAGCGGAGCCGGGCATGCGCCCCTTACAGTTAACCGAGGGCATCAAGCGCGTCGGCTGCGAAGTTTTATTCGCCCTGTCTAGACGGGAAGATCGGAAAGATGAGTTAATAGCGGCGTGGCAGCGCGTCGAGCCCGGCGACGCGGACGCCGTCGAGGTCTTCGTCGAGCCGCGCGGCCCGGCGCCCTCGTTCTTATTTCAGCCCCTGCTCCAGGGTCGGGTCGAGGACCACGAGTTGGTGAGTTACGTCGCCTACGCGCGGCACGCCGGCCTGCCGAAATACGGGACGCTGGCGCTTTGTTTGGCCAACGCATTACGAGAAGGCATCCGCAAGCTCAATGGGGCGAGGCGCGCCTCGGCTCTACAAGTGTTAAATCCAGCTTTACAACAAGTCTTGGCGCTCGAGGACGACGATCCAGACGATATCAAGGAGTGGGCCGGCTTCGGGATGGGGCTGCAGACCACGCTGCGCGGGTTCCTACGGGCCTTGACGGCCATCGGTCGCTTCTTCGACGACACCGCTTCTACATCTTCGGAGTTGCTTAACAAAATTCCCGGCAAAGATGATTTAGGGTATGAACCCCTGACGGATCCGATCTTCGGCCATTCCGTGGATGCCTGGTTGCATAGTACGATACCGGTGAAGGACGGCGTCCTCGCGGCGCGCGGCGACCGCCACGGGCGCGTCTTACGAGGCTGGGCGTCCGCGTTACGGGGCGCGGCCGTGGCCGCGGTCGCGGCCGTCGGCGCCGACTACGCGAGTGTGTGTGAGACGCCTCCACCAGATTCGTGGCTGGGCCAGGAGGTCCAGTTGGCTTTAAGCGTGCGCGGCTGGTTGTTTGTGAAGACGCAAGTGAAGGAGGGCCGGTTTACGATCGAATTCGACAAGGGCCAGCAGACGCCGTCGTCGCAGGAGGCGTTACCCTGCTTGCACGCCATGCGCGGCTTGGTGACGGAAGCGAAGAATGGGCCAAAGGGTCTGGGCGAGGTCTCGCTCGTCCAGGCGCGGTTCGTTCTTTCGGAGACGCGCACGGTGACGGCCGTGTCCCTCGCGAAGGGCGAGGACGACGCCGTCGCCACGTTGTCGTCGACGCCGGACGACGCCGTGGTCCTCGTCGACGTCTGCGACGGCGAGCACGCGTGCGCGTGCTGCGGCGCGCGCGCGACCAAACAAGTCCCCGTCAAGGCTTGCACGGGCTGCCACCGCGTCGCCTACTGCTCGCGCAAGTGCCAGGCCTCGCACTGGAAGAAGGGCCACCGCAAGCTGTGCCCGCGGTTGAGGGCGTTAGGGGTGATTTGATCCGCAACGGCCGCCGCGGCTTCGGCCTGCCGGAGGAGAGCTAACTTATCTTGTTTTACTCACACACAGTACTTAGTCGCGTCGTTGGCGTTCAAAACGTGTTCAGCGTGCCCGCGGGCTGGCAGAGCGTGGCCACCACCATTCCATAGGCATGGTCTCGTAGTTCTTGTGACATGCGCTCCACGTCCCAACGAGGAGAATACCTGTATAACGACGGGTCCAGGCGGTGGTCCTTCTTGCCGCCATATTCCCTGAGGTAAAGCGTCGGCGGCCGCGCCGGGAAATCGGCCGAGAACTCTACCCGCAGCAAGCACGAGATGAGCGTCCGATCGACTCTCCGCCTCAGGAGTACGTGGCACCGGGCAAAATCGTCGGTGTCCACCTCGGCGACCACATGCTTGTCAGCGAACGCCCGGCACAACGCCTTGCGCCTCTCCCGCCCGTCGGTCAACGCGTGTCGTGCTTTACTGAGCCACTCGTCGGCGGTGGGCGCTGGCAACCGCGCCGCTTGGAGAGCGCTCTCCCGCGTCAGAGGCAGGCGCCTCGCGTGGTCGAGGTTCTCTAGGGAGCCTCGCCAGTCCTGGCCGTTGAAGGTCAGCGCAGCGATCGGCCGCTCTTCACCGCTCTCCACGTCGCAGACCACCTCGGTCCGGTGGCTGCTGACGACGACGCCGCGCAGCACGCCCCGCCGCTCGAGAGCTTGTATGTCGTCGCCGGCACGCTCGAGCTGTCGCGCGTGAAATGCTCTTACGGCGTCGGCCGCGACGTCGGACAGTGGTGCGCTCCCTGTTTGACCCAATAAGCTCGGGAAGCTCGCCAGCGGGTAGGTCGTGTACGGCGCCTGGTCCCCGTCGGGCAGGCCGTTCCTCGCCGGTAGTAGGTCGGTCACGTTGTTGTTGTCGTCAAGGACACATTTCCAAGCAATGGTCCAGCGGTCCGCGTACTTTATCCTTAAAACTTTGTCTTCGGTCAGCTCGTGGGCTGGCACGTCGGGCGCTGCTGGCATCCTGCTGTGCACAGCGTTTTTAGCGTTGCGGCTTATTTTGAGCGGTCCCTTCGCAACCAATTCTGTGCGCTGGGTATGTAGGCGTGTGCTGCTTGATCGTGAGGCCTGCTGCTGGCTGCTGTGGCGCGGAGGAGGTCGCAAAAAGCTGGGATTGCTTGTGTGCTAGTGTCTTTATGCGCTAACGCCAGCGCACAGCTTTTTGGACGTGCACAAATTACACAGCCCCAGCGTGCCATCAGCGTTTACCGAGACTCACATAGCTGCTCTGGCGACCCCACAAGACCGCTCACTTCAGCTATAGGGCGCCACGACTGCTCACAGCAGCAGATAGCTCTCCCTGCAGTCTCGTGTGCTTTAACGCCGCCGGCGAAACGCTAAATACACGCCACAACAGCTTAAACAATGGAGGGCTTCCTCACAAAATTCATGCGTAAAGCAGAAAGGGACCCTTTGGTCCCGGTCGGCTGCGGCGCGACGCTCGCCTGCCTATTAGCGGGCTTGTATACTTTCCACACGGGCCAGGCCGCGCTCTCCCAAAAGATGATGCGGGCACGCGTCGTCGCCCAGGGCGCGACGATCGTCGTGCTGGCCGTCGGCACCTTCGGTATGTCGATGGCGAAGGACCCGGCGAACGAGCGGCCCAAGGGCATGCACCCGATCGAATATGAAGCGCTCAAGAAGGAAGGTAAACAATAGTAGCGACGATGTTTTTTTTAGGAATTGGGGGAGGAATTCTATATGCTATCACGCGCCGCGCTCGCGCTTCGTGCCCGAGCTCTTCGGCGGCAGCTGCGCCGCCGCCGCCGCCGCCGCCGCCTGCACGGCCGGGCCCTTCTCCGGTTGTTTGGCCTTGCCCTCGGCGTTCTGGAGGATGCCCACGGCGACCCGCTCGGACACCTCGATCTGGACGCCCAGGAAATTGACCACATCCCCCTTGTCGTCCCGCAGCGCGGCGATGAAGAAGTGGTTCCAGAACGTCGTGCTGTCGATCTTGTAGTTCAGCAGCACGATCTGCACGTCCCGTCCCGACTTGATGGCGTCCCGGATTTTGGCTACGGCCCTCGCGTCCGTTCTGGGACCCTGGAGGAACCGACAATTCCTCCCCAAGACCTGCTCGAGCTTGTAGCCCGTGAGCGAGAGGAAGCCGCCTGTGTTTTTTCGTGGTGACGGCGTGTGTTCTCTCGGAGAACGATGGCGTCGGGTGCCACCCATGCGCCGTCGCCGCGACCCCAAGACCGACGCGTGCTCTCCGGGTCGCGGCGACGGCGTGCGCGTGTGGGACCGTCTCGTGGGGCCGAGGCGGCGTCGACGGCGTCTCTCGGGCGTACCGCGCCGCGGCGCCTCTCGCGCTCCGACGGATCGTAAACTCGGCCATGACGCCATCGACGCGTACCGCCGCGCCGCGACGACGCCGCGGCGCCCCTCGCGCGGATCGCAAAACTCGGACGCCGCGCGCGCACCACTCGCGAAGACGATCGGGTTGTCCGGGAGCGTCGGATCGGTGATCACGAAGCTTCTACGAGCATGTTTCAGGGCCTCCAGCAGCCCGTAGTCGTACTTGTTGATCATGCGCGCGTTCGCGCCGCCCGTCAAGTCCGTGTCCGTCGCCTCGCCCTTCGAACGGGCCTCGCACCACTCGAGCCGCGGCGCGGCTTCCGCTTCGCCTAATTTGGCCCTTACAAATTGTCTCAACCGCTCGTTTTCCGCTTGATACGCGGTCAAGGACTGCTGCAAGGACTCGATGATCAGTTTCTTCCGACACCTAGAACGGCGAGCATGCTCTCTGTTCCGTGCTCTCCGCGTCTCGGACAGATCCGCCGCATCCTTCGCCGCACCTCTAGCTGCCGGCTTCGCTGGAGGCGGCGGCGGCGCCGGCGGCGGCGCCGGCGCCTCGTGCGGGAGAGGTAAGGAAGCAATTAATTCTTCGTCCGTGATCGGCGGCTCAGATTTCGGCTGGGCAAACAACGTCTGGTTGTGCGCCGGTTCTACGGGTAAATCAGTCAACTCGTTGAAGAAGAGGCCGTCCATGACGTCCAACTCGGACCCGTCGAGGCCGAACGTCGGCGCCTGGGTCGCCATGCTCATCGCCCTTCGCCCGTTCCGCTACTACACAAACAAATTAAGTTGCTGACGCGTTCCGCCGCGCCGCTCGGCGCGCGCCGCCGGTGACCGGAAACGCTCCGAGCGCGCCTCTTGCACCCACACCGGCCCCGCGCTCTGGCGCCGTCGCCGTTGCTACAGGCCTGACCAGGGCGACCAGTCGGCAGCCGCAGCGCACGCAAGCCAGTCCAACTCGCCGCGGCAGGCGCAGCGTTGGATTTTTATCCCACGAGCACTGAAACTCAATCATGAAGCTAGAGTGTGTATTGCGCTATGTTTTCAGCCGCCACGCTTCGAGCTGGTGCCGGGGGGTGGAGCGAGGCCGGGGACGCGTCGTGAGGCCCCAGCGTTTAGTTACTTTTAGTACGCAGGCTCTAGGCTGGGCTTGAAAGGCAGCAGCTCCCGGCTCTGAGGCTGTGTTAGGCACCGCCCCGGCCCCCCAACCGTCCAAAACACGCGGTAGCTCGAGCTTCTTGCACCCACAACCCACCGCCCGAAGCGCTTGGCGTGGGAAGCCCTAGCACCGCTCTCCAGACCCCTGCAGCGAGGATAGCGGAATCGTCGCGCTAGCCCCCGCGAGGCGCCAAATAGCCTCGCCATACGCCGCCGCCGCGCCGCGCAGCCCATACGGCGCACCAGCTTGCTATATAAGCGTGAAAGACACCCCACCGCGACGCCGCGCCGCCGGCACCGTCGAAACCATGGCGGACATGACCAACATGTCCTTTGGGACGTTTGAGGCGAATTTAAGTGACGCGGGCCTCTGCGACTACCTGCTGCAGGACCTAGATGATGACCCCGGCGCCCTGTACAATACCGTGAGTGCGTCGTCGAGCGACCACGATAGCCAAAGGGGCCACTCGCCGCCGGCGCCGCCCGCGCCGGCGCCGAAGCCGCCGCCGGCGAAGAAGCCGCGGAAGGCGGACTCCGCACCAGCTAGAGCGAAGACCCAGGCCCAGATCGACCGGAGAAGGGATAGGAACCGCATCCTGGCGCGCCGGACGCGACTGCGGAAGAAGTTCTTCTTCGAGAGCTTGCAACAGCAAGTGACCGAAGTGGAACGGGAGAACGCGTTGCTGAAGGAGTTGGTGCGGACGACGCCAGCTCTACAAGCCGACGCCGCGCAAGTGTTGGCTACTTGTACGACTGCTCTGCCCGCCGTCGTCACGGAGAACAGGAGACAGGCCACCGATCTACTGAATGCCTCCGATTTCACGCTCATGCAAACTTTACAATCGGCCCAGCGCTCCTTCTGCATCACGGACCCCTCATTAGAAGACAACCCCATCGTCTACGCCTCGAAAAGCTTCCTAGATACGACGGGCTACACGATCGACGAGGTCATCAGCAAAAACTGTAGATTCCTGCAGGGCCCGGCGACGGACCCGAAAGCCGTGCAGGAACTGAGCAAGGGCATTAAACAAGGCGACGACGTCACGGTGACGATCCTCAACTACCGCAAGGACGGCACGCCCTTCTGGAACCAGCTCTTCGTGGCGGCGCTGCGCGACATCAACAAGCGCGTCGTGAACTACGTCGGCGTCCAGATCCCCGTCGCCGGGCCGCTGCCGAAGCCGGGGCAGACGGAGCCGATGCCCTACCCGGCGAAGGCGGCGCCGGCGCCGGCGCCGGCGGCGTGAAGTTGACGGATGCGCGCGCGGGGCCGGCGCGTCGCCCCCGCCCGCGCGGCGGCGCCCGCTCTCTGGGGAGGGGCGTAAAAGTGAATGGATAAAATTTTTGGAATCGCGCAACCCGGCGTTGACCCCTCGCAGCTCTCCCCTTGCCGTCGCGTCGCCGCCTCCCAGCAAACACTCGGGGCGACGGCGTGTGAGGGGGCCACAACACGGGCGGCTATATAAAACTTTCACAATTTACGGGGACGCGTGCCGGCCGCAGGAGTCGTAGCCGGCGACACGCAAGGCTCACTTCTTCTTCTTGCCGCTCACGTTGAGACCTTCTGAAAGCAGCGCGGACAGGTCCTCCTTCTTCTCCTTCTTCTTCTTCTTGCCCGGGCCGTCGACCGTTCCCGGTTTTGGGGCTCCTTTTTTATCTTTGACCTCGCCGGCCGCTTTCGCGGCCTGCTTCTTGGCCTGCTTCTCGAGCATGGCCGCCTTGTCCCTTTCATTACGCTGCTGGGGCGTGAGGCCGTCGTCCTTCCCGCCGCCGGCGTGCTTCGCGGCCCTGGCTTGGGCTCTTGCTCGGTCTATTTCTCGCTGGTTGCCGCGCGTCATTGTTGCACTCAACCGATGCCGCGGTTATGTCAAGTGTCGCGACGACGGCGTGCTGCGGGCTGAAACTGCTTGGCGATTGCTAACTCCGTGCAGAGGACCTCCGGAGGCTTCGCTGTTGGTATACGAGTCGCTGGCAGCACCCAGCAACAACACCTGCGGTTTATTTTGTATCTGCTATCGCTGAGGCTCGCGTAAAGCGGTACCAAAAAGTCGAGACGTCATCGCTAGTGTCTAACACCGCTAGCTCGAGCCATTTTGGGAGCTGCACAGCTCGCCGCGCGAGAGACTACGTCGTTTAAGATCTCATCGCTGCAGACATTTTACTACCGACTAACGAACCACAGCGTTTACGAGAGCCATGAGCACTCCGGACGCGGCCGCAGGCGCGATGCCGCCACCGCCGCGCCCAGACGCCGCGGACGCCGCAGCGATGCCGCCGCCACCCCCCATACCAACAAACTCGAAGACGAACCCGGACCTGCCCATCGCCGGCGCGCGCGCGGACATCGTGCGATTACTGCGAGAGCACGACTTTTTGGTCGTGGTGGGCGACACTGGTAGTGGTAAAACCACACAATTACCGGCCTACCTGCTGGAGGACGACGAATCAAGGACAGACAACGACACGTTCGCGCCGGTGGCCATCACGCAGCCTCGACGCGTCGCCGCGACGAGTGTTTCGCGACGAGTCGCGGAGGAGCGCGCCGTCACGCTGGGAGGTGAGGAAGTAGGCTACAAGGTGCGGTTTGATAGTGTAGCGCAGCGGGCCACGAAATTGACCTTTATGACGGACGGGGTTTTAGTGCGAGAGTGCGTGGGCGACGGCCGCCTGACAAAGTACAAAACTATTGTCTTAGATGAAGCCCATGAGAGATCTGTGGACACCGACGTGTTGTTCGGGCTGGTCAAGCAAGCTGTTGAATTGAGAAAATCTACAAATGATAAACTGAGATGCGTCGTCGCCTCAGCCACACTAGACGCAGCGAGGTTCAGCCAGTACTTCGACGGCGCTCCGGTATTACGAGTGCCCGGCCGCTCCCACCCGGTAGACATCTACCACAGCAAGCAGCAGCAGCCGATGACGCGCTTCGGCCCCGCCGACAAGAGGTATGTATCGGCAGCCGTCGACGTCGCGGTGCAGATCCACAAGTCGCAGAATGAAGGACATATTTTAATATTCTTAACGGGCCAGGACGAGATCGAGAATGCGTGCCAGGCGCTGAGGAGGGAAGCCGCTAAACTGGAAGATACTATAGTAGTAGGTGAAAGAGGACCGGCGATGCTCGTGCTACCTTTGTACGGTGCCTTGCCGCAGGAGGCCGCAGATAGGGTTTTCGATGCCGTGGATGCGTCGCAAATTAGAAAGGTCGTCGTGGCCACAAATATTGCTGAGACGTCGCTCACCGTACCGGGTGTCAAGTATGTGGTGGACCCCGGTTATGTGAAACAAAAGGGCTACGATCCGGAACGAGCCGTGGCATCATTAGTAGTAGTACCTATTTCCAAAATTGCTGCGGAGCAGCGCGCGGGTCGCGCGGGCCGAACCGAGGCGGGCCAGTGTTATCGATTGTACTCGAAGGCGTGTTTTGATGCGATGGCCCCTGAGACGATCCCGGAAATCCGCCGGTCGTCGATGGCGTCGGTGGCCTTGGCTCTGAAATCGTTGAGAATTGTAGATGTGTTGGGCTTCGATTTCTTGGACGCGCCGGACCAGAAGCAATTAGCGTGTGCTTTGTTAGAGCTTCACGCGCTCGGGGCGCTGGAGTCCCACGGTATCCTGACGCCATTGGGTCATGCGATGGCCTCGTTAGCGTTGGAACCGGATCTCGCACGAGCAGCTCTGGAGAGCGTCCACTTCACGGGCGAAGGGACGACGGACCCTACGGTGCGCAACGCCGTTTTGGCAGTGGTGGCGATGCTCTCGGCCGAGGACGTCTGGTACGTCGGGGGCAAGGCGTCGGACCGGCGGGGCGCGCCGTCCGCGCGGCGCGACGCCGCGGACCAGCTCCGCGACGAGGCGCTGGACGCCCACGCGCGGTTCCGGCACCCTAGAGGTGATCTCATCTCATTACTAGTGGTCTTCTCGGAGTACGAGCGCGCCTGTCGCTCGGGAGGCGAGCGGACCTTCGCTAGAAAGCATTCATTAAGAGATCGAGCTTTACGGTTCGCGCGGAAGGCACGAGATCAGTTAGATGCGGAGCTCGCGCGGTGCGAGCGGCGCGAGAACAAGAGGAGGCGGGAGTCTTCGGATGGAAGAGTGGATTTGGACGAGGTGTGCCGCGCGCTGGCGGCGGGCCTGTGCCTGAACGCGGCCGAACGGACGTTGAACGACGCCTACTTATTGCTACCGTCGGCGTCGGCCCACGTTCAAGAAAACAAACCGGAGAAGTCGCTCGTTCGATTAGACGCCGAGACGGAGGCGCCGATGAGCCGGCCGCCGGACCACATCTGCTTCCACGAGTTACGGGTCAACCGCCACGCGAAGGGCTCCTTCGCGCGGAACGTGGTCGTGGTCGACGGGAAATGGCTGAAGAAGTGTCGGAAGCGCGTGGGGACGGCGGACGTGGGCCTGCTGTGTGGCAAGGAGGCTTCCACGAAGGCCCCGGTGGTGGTGGCTGCGACGGCGGCCGCGGCGCCGGCGGCGTCGTCTGCGACGGCGGCAGCGCCGGTCGTCGACAGCGGCCAGGCGGTCGACGCGGCGCGGGCGCGCTTCCTGGCGCGGAAGAAGCAGTCGAAGACTCGAAAGTAAATTGTGATGTGTTTTTTTAATGGTAGATTCTAAGGAGCGATCGGCTACGGGAAGGAAGTTCAAGGTTCACGCGAGTTCTGTGGTGAATTTGCGAGGCGGATGGTTCGCCTGCGGATTGTCCGCCTAAAAGGCTGGAGGCACGCCCTGGTCGTCGAGGAAGGCCATGGTAACTAAATTCATCGCCGGCCACTTTCTGAACGCGTCGGGAGAAAGGGGAAGAGGTCCGTGCTTAGCGCGCAGCGCGGCGCGCTCAGGCGCGTTGTACCAGGCCGCGAGGGGCGCGTAGATCTTGCCGACACGGCGGGGCGAGCACAACAACTCCTCCCCGACGTCGACGTCCACGCCGCCCAGGGAGATCGGCGGGGCCTTGATCGGCGGCGGCTCCGGGGACTTTTTGTGCTTGGCGAAACAGGCCATCGACAATGCCGCGAGGCAACAGCAGCCGGCGACGGCGCAGACGATGATCACGATCAAGAGGCGGGTGTCCTCTTTCCTCTTTTTCTTGTTGTCCCAGTACGTCGTGGGCGCTACGGTCGGCGCGTCGGTCGCGGCGACGACGTCGTACGTGAGCGACTCGGTGCTGACGCCCGCAAAAACTGCCTCCGCGTTCGCGTCCTTCGCAGCTTCTTCGATCGCAGTATCTACGACCGAGGGGTCGTCGGCCGCGGCCTGGAGCTTGTCGGCGGCGTCCGCCGCCTCGGCGAAATCGTTCGACTCTATCTTGTACGCGACGACGACACCGCCTTCCTGGAGGCGGCGGCGGGCCGACGCCACGCTCAGGATCGTCACGGCCTCCGTGGCCACGCCCGCGACTTGGGCGATGGCGTCCCGGAGAACGGCCTTGGAGCTCTCCGCCTCCGCCACCGTGATCCCCGAGAGCGCGACGGCGCCGGTGACGACCGGAGCTTCTGTCGGCACCGGCGTCGGTTGTGGCGTCGTCGGCCGCGCCGTCGTAGGCGCCAGAGTCGGCGCCAGAGACGGGGCGGGCGTCGGGGCGTAGTTCGTGGTCGGGCCCGGCGTCGGAGCGAAACTTGGCGCCGCGGTCGGCGCGTAAGCCCCCGGACACACGCTCGCCGCGTGCCACACGGCCGGCTCGCCGTAGCTTCCCCCGCCGAAGAACACGTAGAGGGGGCCCGACGCGCCAATGCCGTCCGCGAGGCTCAGCTCGCACGCGCCCGCGGAAAACGTCAGCTCCGAGTCGAGGACTCTGACCTCGACGTCGTTGTGCGACGTGTTCAGCGCACAGTTTGAATCCGCCGTGGCAGACTGGCCGTAGATGAAGATTTTGCCGCAATGGTAAATGAAGCGCACGACCCCCGGGCCGCCGGACCACGCGTTGGCCGCGTCGACCGGCTCCGTCGAGAGCGCGACGTAGTGGTAGCAGCAGGCGGACGCTGCGGAACCCACCCCGCGGAAGCCGAAGGGCGCCGAAAAGGTCCGGACGCTGCGGACGTGGTTGAGACCGGAGAAGCCGCTGAACGTGATCGCGCCGCCACCGACGACGTAGTTGCCGTCGCCGCCGGCGTCGGTGGCCGTCCACTGGTTGCCGAGGCTCGGCCCCTCGAAGTCGTCTGAGACGCAATCGCCCGGCGCCGGCGTCGGCATCGGGCTTGTCGTCGGATTCGGCGTCGGATCTAGGGGCCCGACGTCAGCGGCCGGGCACGCGGCCCCGCCCGGGAGGTCCGCGGTAGCGAACGCATTGGAGAGGAGCTCGTTCGTCAGGTTCGCGAGCGCCTCTGGCTCCAGGACGTTCTCCAAGACCGCGACCGACGTCTCGCCCTGGCCCGTGGCGCCGACCTGGTCGACGACCACGACGTAGAACGTGACGTTGTGCCACCAATCATAATAATCATCCCCGGGCTCGCTCGTCGTCGCCACGGGCACCGAGAGGCGCACGTCCGAGAGCTTCGGGTCGGCCGTCGGCCTCCGGAGGACCGCTTCGCCCGTCTCGTAGCCGTACTTGAGCGGCAGCTCGTCGCCGACCCAGTAGCTCGCGACGAGCTCGAACGGCGTCTCGAGCTCCAAGCCCTTGCGCGGCGACGCCGCGACGACGCCCGCCGACGGCAGCGCCGACACCGCCACGACGACGCTCGCGTAGCCCTCGGTCGTGTCGCCGGTCTCCGGCGTCAGCGTCGCGGTGAGGAGGAACTTGTACGTCCCGCCGGGCACCAGCGCGCCGGGGTCGAGTACGAGGTCGTGATACCGCTGGCCCGAGGCCTGGAGCTCGAGCACGGTCCTGGAGACCTCCTGGAGCGTCTGGTCGGCCGCGAGGTAGCCCTCGGCGAGCGTCCACGTCGTCGTGAGGTCGTCGATCACCACGCCGTCGGGCGGCGTGACGATGCCCAGGATCGTCTGCCGCTCCGCCGAATTTACCTTCCGGGCGAAGTTCGACACGACGACCTTGCTCGGCTCCTCGTTGATGAGTTCGATGTCGACGGAGGTGGTGGAGCTCCTAGCATCGGCCGACGTAGCCGTCACCGTGAAGCGGTAATGGCCCGTGCCGAGCCAAGTGCCCAAGAAAATCAGCCGCTGCTCAACCGACTTCAAGGCCCAGACGCCCGTCGGGAAGGGTTCGGTGTCGGTGGCGCAGCTTCCGTTTACTTGTTTCGTCCCGTCGTCGAGTACCGCGAGCTCCTCGCAGATCCAGGAGAACGACAGGCCCGCGTCGTCGCCCGTGCCGCAGTCGCCCGTGGCGCCCGCCCCGTGCTGATCGTTATGAGCGAGTCTGCGCCGGCCAAAGTTCGCCCGCCAGTCGCCCGCGCCGTCGCCGCAGTCCGCGTTGATGTCCTCGTCGAAGGACGAGGACGCGTCGAGCTGCAGCTCGTCCTGGACGGACACGACGCGGTCGCCGCCCTCGATCGCCGCGACGACGCTGCCGACGCCGACGGCGAGGTAGACGTCCGCCGTGTTGGAGAGGTCATACTTGGTGTCGGTGGCCTCCACGCGCGCGACGTACGTCGTACCGGAGTCGAGCGAAAACGGGTCGAGCTTGAACTCGGGGCCCGCCTCGCCGCACTCCCAGTGGCCCCCGACGGAGGCGCAAGCGGCTTCGCAGCATTGGCAATACGGGTAGGCTGAGCCGGTGAGGCGCCGCCGCGTGCCGTTGCCCGTCGACGCCGCGTCCTCGGGCGTGAGGTAGCCCTCCAGAGCTTCGAGTGCGAATGAATTGAGGGGAGGATAGGACACGCAGCCCGCCGCGGCGCACTCGGCCCCAGAGGTGTCCCAGGGGTCAAAGCCCTGCGTTCCCGTGCACTCGCAATTACCGACGGCGACGAACTCGGCGCCCTCGGCGAGTTGCGTCCAATCCTCCTCCGGGTCGTCGACGCCGTCGAGGCGGTAGAGGCTCCACGCGTAGTCGACCGCGCGCTGCGCCTTGCTGCGCCCGTCGCAGCCCGACGCGAGCCCCGACGCCTCGACGGTCAGCGCGTCGCCGACCCTCGCCACTTGGTTGGCGCCGCCGACGATGAGGACCGACGGGATCGACTTCGTCGAGAGCGCCACTTCCACGGACTCTGTTTTTGTGCTACCCAGGAAGTTCTCGAGTTCCAGGGACAGGACGAGCGTGTCGAAGCCCCCTATGGCGAGCGCTTGCAGCTCGGTCGTCTCTGCGGTGAATTCGGACGAGAGGACGGTCGTTGCTCTATATTGCATATAGAGCAGGGCAAAGGTCGCGTTTGCAGTGCCGTTCACCTTCGGCCCCGGCGGACCCGTCGCGTTCACGGACCACACGAGTCGCGTCCAGTCGCGGCCGCCCGAGCCGATCGACTGCGACGCGTCGACTGCGAGGCCGCCTTCCTCGCAAAGGGCGATCGAGTCGGGCACCTGGAAGACCGGTTCGACGTCGGGCAGCGGGTCCGGGGGGGTCGCCGGCACGCTCGACGCGGTGTTGCCCACGCGACAGTCGCAGCGGTCGTCGTCGCACGCGAGCATCGTAGTTTGGGCTCGGAGCGTCACATTCTCGCCCGGTACGAAATTGAGCGCTTTGTTGACCTCGGCGGAGATCTGCGTCGCGCTGACCCAGACGCACTCCGCCGTGTCGACGTCGGCGAAGTCGAGGAGCGCGGCGCACGGAAAGTACTCGCCCGCGAGCCTGCCCCCCATGTCGGACACCGCGTCGAGGTCGACGAGGATGCTCGCGCCCGTCGACGCGAACCGGGCCGAGTACACGTTCGGCGGCGGGCCCGTGCGCAGTCGGACCATTTCGCACGACTCTATCGTCGGCACCGGCATCGGCGCGGCCGACGGGCGCGGCGTCGGCAGCGGGTAAGGCGCCAGCGTCGGCTTCAGCGTTGGCGCGGGTACCGGCATGGCCGTCGGGTTCCCAGGCGTCACACTCGGCCCCGGCGTCGGCTTGGGCGTCGGCCTTGGCGTCGTCGGCTGCGCCGTCGGCTGAGCTACAGCAGCACCAAGCTGCATGGCAGCCAAGAGCACTGCATGGGGCAGCCTCATTGGTGCGGGAAATGTGGCCGTGGCAGCGTCCAAGCGCCGCGGCTTGCTTTCAGCCCAGCACAAGCCCGCTGCAGAACCCAGCTTGCTCGAAGCTCGCGGCGGCGATCTGGCGTCGCTGCGAATATGAAGCAGGTATCTGTAGAGCTGTTGCCTGAGAGTTGAGAGCCGCCGTGGACGGGTCCTCGGCGCGCCCCTTTTCCCCCCCCCTCCGATTCTGGGAAAATATTTGGTTGGCCGCAGTCTCGATCTCGAAAGCTCTGGTAATTCCTGCAGACCCTTTCAAACACAGGGCAGCAAAGGGCAGCAGCCGCAGCCATGGCCGAGGAAACCAAGGAGGCACCCTCCTTTGTGCCCGCAGCCCCGCCGCCGCCGCGCCGCGTGCGCGACCGCAGCTCCTTCAGCCAGAGCCAGGCGCCGCTGGCCACGGAGGCCCCGGCCGCCACGCGGGGCTCGCTGTTCAGCGTCGCCTCGTCCGGCTCGCGGCCCTCCGAGGCCGACAGCACGATCAGCTTTAATTATGATGACGACGACGCCGAGGCGCCGGCCGCGCCGGCGCCCGCGAGCGAGGGCTTCTTCGCGCGGCTGACGGGCACGGCGAAGTCGACGCCCGAGGACGCGGAAGATGTCTTCGACGAGACCACGGACCTCGCGGCGACCGCCGAGGACGAGCCCCTCATGCGCAAGTCCCTCAGCCAGCGCGAGCGCTACCTGCCGCGGCTCGGGTCGCAGATCTCGGCGGGCCGCCCGTCGCTCCAGGTGGACCGGCCGCGCGCCGGGAGCATCGACGCGCGGACGGCGCTCCTCACGACGGATGACGACGGGGATGATAAATATCGGGGCTCCCTGTGGAACGCGCTCAAGACCATGGGCCTGTCGTCGACGGCGAACAAGAAGAGCAAGGATAAGGTGCTGGGGTTGCGAGCGGTCGAGGCGAAGACGACGATCCACGGCGCGCGGGGCCACGTCGGCTACGGCCGGAATAGAAGAAAGTCCGAGGCCCACTCGTACGTGGCGCCGCGCGTGGACCATCAGGTATCAAAACCTTGGACCGGACGGGTGCTCTATACGCTGGCATTACTAAACATCGTGGTCTGGCTGCCCGTGTGGCTGAAATTGATCTCGATAGAACGACAGTACCTGCCGAACACGCCGGTCTCGGTCTTCAACGGCAACGTCGGTTTAGAACTCAAAGTGCCGTCCTTCGACCCCGATTACGTGGCCAAGGTGCACGCGAAGCGCGATCGCGAGGAGGGCCGCGACGACTCCACTGAAGACGACGCCGCCGCCTACGTCTCGACGGGCGTCAAAGCATCGACGTGGTACGACGGCACGTACACGACGGGCTACTGGGACTGCTGCAAGCCGAGCTGCAGCTGGCCCGGCAAGGGTCTGGTCGATTCGCCGGTGCGCGCGTGCTCGGCCGAGACGGGCAAAGTGACGTTAGACTTCAACGAGGGTTCTGTGTGTGACGGCGGCACGGCGGCCTCGTGCACATCCAACAAACCCTGGACCCACAACGACGGCGTGTCATTAGGTTTCGCGGCGGCGTCGACGGGGGGCCACCCCTACTTAAACGGCGACCAGAACTGCGGCCAGTGCTTCGAGCTCGTCTGGACCGACGGGCAGCATAGTTACGGGGGCGGCGCCCATTCTGATATTGTGGGCAAGTCCCACATCGTCCAGGTGACGAACATCGGGTACGACGTCTCGGGAGACCATTCTTTTGATTTGCAGATCCCGGGCGCCGGGCAAGGAATTTTCGATTCAGGCTGCGCCGCGCAGTTCGCGAACGTCCCGTCCCAAGGCACGTCCTGGGCTACGGAGGACTTCGACTGTGGCAACAACTACGGCGGATGTTATGATATAGCAGATTGCGACGCGCTCCCGGACGACACGGACTTCCCGCCCGGCTCCGGCCCCGATTTGAGAGATGGGTGCAAGTGGCGCTTCGGCGACGCCTACAAGCAGCACGACAATCCCCAGGCCAAGCCGGACCCGACGAACAACCCCTACGTGCGGTTTAGGCGCGTCAAGTGCCCCTCCGCTTTGACCAACATCACGTGGTCCATTCCGTTGGACGACGACGACTACCCGGCCGTCGATCTTGACAGTTACGCGTCCGATTATACGCACCCGCCCACGTTATTGCCGACGCTGACGCCGGCGCCCTCGCCTGCCAGTGCGAACACTTCTTCACCAACGCCGCGGCCAGTCCCGAAACCGACGCCAGCCCCCACGCCCTGGGACGGGCCGTCCGAGCTCTGCGAGGTCTGCCCGAACGGCCAGGACGTCACGTTCCCCGTGGCCGCCGAGGTCACGAACTTTACGCAAGAGAACATTCCAGATGTAAGAAGTGCCTCATACGTCACGCTCTACGCGTCCTTCGATTTTAGTGATTGGTTCCAGGTGTCGCATAGCGGCGTCTTCACGGGACTCAGAGATGCCCTGAACCAGACCGTCGACGTGTGCACGGACCCGCCGCCCGAGCTCGACGACTTCATCATGGGGGCGAGTGCCGGCTCGAAGATCACGTCCTACCAGCAGGCCGTGGAAGCGACGACGGACACGTCGGCCACAACCACAAAAGGCACGCAAACCGAAATGGTCTCCGACATCCAGCCGATCCTGGACGACGAGTTCCAGGCGTTTTTGGACTACGAGCGCGACATCGTCGACGGCCACCTGTCGACGTGCTGCATCGGCATGCCCACCTACACCTACTTGGTGGCATGCTTAACGCCGGAATACCCCCACGACATCACGGAGAACTTCTGGTACTACCAGCCGCAACGAGGGCCGCCTTTCGACGACCGGTGTGTGGCCATCGGGTCGAAGTGCGGCGGCACGTGCGGGAAAGCTGCTCGTAATGTTATTGAGGATGAGGAGTTCTGCGTCGACGGCGAAATCCCCCTGGACAAATTAGTGTCAAAGAGGACGGCCGTCGAGTGGGGCATCACGGAAGGTCCACAGATAAAAAAGCGCCAAAGGAAGCGCTGGGTCGACGGCCATTTTGAGTTGAAAGGGTGGAAGTACGCGTTACACGTGCTCTTTGTATTAATGATGACGATCATGGGCACTTCTGCTTGGGTTACGTTTCTACCCGGCACGGGCGTCAATAAAGATCCGCTACCCCCGACGATGCGGGAAGTGGAAGACCACATGGAGTTGAATGCCGAGACGCAGAACCCCCTTTGTCTCGTGGCGTTCTCCATCTCGGCCTCCGAGCCTAGGATGATGGTGCTACGGAACTTGGTGGGCAAGATGATGGCCTGGGTTGTAAGGAGAAAATTTGTGTTTGAAAGCCAAGCGATGACGCAGAAGGTCCAGTTGTTCGAGGAGGAGTCGTCCCTGAAACATCTACATAGTCCGACGCGAGTTCGGATCAGTGAGGATACAAATATGGCCTATACCGAGCGCTTAAAAGCGTTCTATTCCAAATACGACCCCATGAAAGTAGACGGCGTCTTTGCCTTACTAAAAAAGTACAAAGGTAAAGAGGAGGAGCTGATGACCGAGCTCGTGCACAAATACGGCCCGGAACCGCCGCCCCGAAGCCAAAGGGAACTGAGACGGGCGAGAAAAGAATCAAGTCAAACAATCTCGGCGGAACGGCGCTTAGATGAATATGTGGAGATGATCGACATCTTCCAGGACGAGGGCCATCGGGTTGGGGCCTTTGCTCTCTGGGCGGCGTTTGCCAATGTGGTCGATCATGGTGATTTGCGCTTCCTCGCGAAGATGGCCGAGAAGATGAAGGACATGGATGCGTCGGTAGACACCTTAGATAAGGAATTAGAGTCAGGGGTGCTGCTGGACGATTCGCTCAGGAGTCTGATCGGCGACTACGGCGTTTCCCGCGAGGACGCGCAGCAATTGGAGCTGGCCTTCTACTGCTTCGATTTATTAAATGCGCTGGGCCACCACTGCTTCTGGTACAGCGACCCGCAGGTGAAAGTGGTCGGCATGTGCGACCTCGCGGGCAACGAGGACGCGGAGCGGTGTTTAAGAACCTGGGCGAAGAACTGGAAGACGGCCAGGAAGAAGGGCCTGCACCCCTTCTCGCCGGGCGTCGCGCCCATGGACGACGCCGCTATCAGTAGGAGGGTCTGGGACGCGTGGTACGAGTTGTATAACGAGCAGGGTCGGACGAAGTGGCCGAAGCGGTTCGACTTCACGCAGTTCCGCACGGCCGAGGTCCATTATTACTCGGACGCCGGGGAACGGGGAGACTTGTTCAGGACCGTAGTCATGTGCTATTCGGCGCGGGCCAACCCCGAGGACATCAAGAGGGCCTCGGGATTTAAAGTAAGGGAGGTGCGGGGTGTCAGGGTGGACACGTTCGTGCGCTTGAAAGATGAGACGTCTTCCAGTGCATTAATCTGCAAGACATCTCAAAGAATGCTGACGTACCCGGAAGCGCGGCGGTGCCACGCGCGCGTCGTGGGCTTCGCGTCCATCGACGGCGTCAAACATGTTAAATTGAAGGAGTGCACGCCGGAACTGCTCGCGGCCATGCCCGACGCCGCCTTTCACTGGAGAGGGTCGAGCGGATGTATGGAGACGCTCTGCTGTCTTAGTGAAGAGAAGCGGGACTCGCGCATTATAGAAAGGGGCAAGGCGTCGATCCATGAAGCCAAAAAACGGGACTTCGAGGCCGTGCTGCCGATCGACGTCGTCGAGCCGCTCCGCGAGTGCCGCGGGAAGTCGGGAGGCATGAACCACGCCGTCGCGGTGGTTAATGGGTACCTGCACCACTACTCGCGGACGATGAGGAGAGTAAGGAAGCGGCGGGACTACTCGCGGGACGCGGCCGACGCGAAGCAGGTCGGTCATTTACTATTTGCGATTTTTGACTGTCGGCACATGGCGCTCGAGGGCTTCTGGGATTCGATTGTGCCCCAGTTTTATAGATATACGAATCCGAACAACCCGTGGTCAGCTGAGCTCGAGATCAACCCCAAGGTCGCGTTCGTGCAGCTCCCGCAGACGTTCACGGGTCTGTCGATCCGCGAGGACTTTTTTGACATGAGGAACGAGTATTTATTTAGAATGGCCAACACCGTGCGGACGGGCGTCGGCGCGATCACGAGCTGCGGCACGAACGCCGTCTGGAACTACCCATTGTTGGATGCCACGACGCCATTGGCGCACAAATTTAACGAAGAAACGATGATCGAGGACACGGCGTCGTCGCACGAGGCCATCGTCGCCGGCCGGAAGGGCGTCTACCTGTTCAAGAGATTAGTATTAGGCGCGAGGAAGGGCACGGCGGACTACGTGGCCGCCGTGTTCCGCTGGTCGAAGGGCGCGGTGCAGCTCTCCTGGACGTCGTTCTGGTTCCCCCTGCATCGCTACCTCTACCCGTGGCTGGTCTTGTTTTTCGTCGTCGCGCCCATCATGGCCACGGTCATCTACTTCCAAGCCACGCGGTTAGATAAGTGCCACCGCACGAAGTACTCATCAAAAATGTGGGCGACGCTGGGTGTCGACAAGGACGATCAGTGGTGCCGCCTGGGCCCGACTGCCTGTCTCAGTGCATAAATCAAATTGTCGCGGCGCGTCCGCCACTCAATCATGACATCCACGCCATCGACGCAATCGGCTCGATGGCGTGGCCTTGTGGTCTCCCACTGCTCGATTCAGTCAGCACGGCCGCGTTCTCGCCGAGAAAGGACTTAGTGAAGAATTATCTGAATGCACCCGATTCACTGATTTCCACACAGGTCGGTCTGATCAGCGACCCGATCTTCGTGTGTTACGGTATATATATGGTCCTCATGAGCGTCGCGTCGTTCAACAATCCGCGCATCGGCGCCAACCTCATCATGTTCGAGAACATCACGTACTTCTTCTCGTCCCAGACGGCCTACTTCTGGCTCGCGATCCCCTGCGTCATGACGATGGCGCCGGACCCGTCGGCTTTGACGTACGACGCGGTGACGTTGACGATCGGCGGGCTCTGGGTCGAGGTGCACATGAACTACATATATGGGCACATCGCGGCGTGGGCGCCCCTCGAGAACAACCAGGCGCCCGACAAACTCGGTTTATTGCGGGCTCAGCAGATGTTCTTCGTGACGGCGCCGCTCCATACATTAGCCATCTTCCAGGGCACCCAGGACAGCTGGAAGATTCTGTTCGCGGCCAAGGATGCGAGCAGGTGGGCGTCCTTCGACTCCATCAATGCAATCACGACCGCCAAATTGTGGGTCCTGACCATGATGGTCATGCTGTCGTCGTCGATCGTCGTTGGATTAGTCAGAATCGGCACGGCGAAAAAACCTTTCGACGAGATCGAGCGCTGGCTCGGCGTCGTCATGAGCTTCGTCTTCCTCTCGCTGACGGCCGTGCCGTCGGCAGCCATGTTCTTCCACAAGAGCGTGACCAAAGCTAAGGCCAAGCCGTCGCTGATGGACCGGTGCACCGCGGGCGTCTTCGGCAAGGCCCTCGTGATCACGCCGTCGCTCTTCTACATGTTCCTCTACTCGGCGGCCATCGTCGTGCTGCTCGCGCTGCGCGGGCGGGCGCGGAACGCGGGGTTCTAAGACTTAAGACTGTACTTATCGGGGGCGACGGGCGGACGACTGTGGCGACACAATGTGGCCACTCACCACAAGTTCTCGACTTCGTCCTCGGACTCGGAGAAGCCCTCGACGCTCACCTCGACGACGTCCGGGTCGCCCGCGAGACGTCGGCGCAGGCGGCCAAACCACCCGACCTCGCCGGCGTCGGGCGGAGCCGCCGCCGGTGCGGCGTCGTCGGCGTCGGGCTTCGTCGCGTCCACCGCGACGACCGACGCGTGGGCAGCCGCCTCGTCGGCCGCCCCGGCGGGTGGCGACGGCTCCTCTTTCCGTTTCTTGAAGGAGCGCGACGTCTCCGTCATCGTGAAGGGCCGCCAGAGCCGCTGGAGGATCGGGTCGTGGTAGTACACGAGGCGCGGCGGCTCGTCGCCGCCCGCGGCCGCCCCTGGCCCCGCAAGCGTGGCGATGTCGCCGCCGCGCTCGACGTACTTGACCGCGCGCCCGAAGACGCGGCCCACGGCCACGGACACGGCGTACGCCGCGTACTCCTCGAGCTCCGGGCGCGGGAGCGCGAGGAACGCGGGGTCCTTCTCGGGCAGTTTCTCGCACACGATGGCGGCGACGAAGCTCCCGATGGCCGCCTCGGTGAGGCTCTCGCCCTCCGTGCCGACGACTTCCGGAAATGCTGCATGGAGGGCTATGTCGTGCGCTTCTCGTACGGACGGTCGCGGCTCCGCGTCCCGCGCGTCCTGAAACGCCGTTTTGTACGTCAAAAACGGCTCGAGCATCGCCTCCGCGGCGCAGACCGCGGCCGCGGACGACAGGCGCGCCGCGGCGCCGCCCTTCGCGTGCGCGCCCGAGCCCTCCTCGCACCACAGCGCCACGCTGGCCGCCGCCGTCGCCAGCAGCTGCAGCGCGCACGAGAGGAGCGTCGCGATGACGTGCAGCAGGATGGCGATCTCCGAGGCCTTGTTCAACGACAGCAACTCGGGGTCCGCCATCGCGACGAGGGGCACGGCGAGCGCGACGCATCGGAGCGCGTTGACCACGGTCTCGCGGATGTTCACGAACATGGAATTGAAGGGCAGGAAGAAGAAGATGAAGAGGCCCCGGACGACCATCAAAGTGAGGAGCAGGGCCACCTGCGTCTTGGACGCCTGACCTCTTAGCGCCACGATGAGCACGAGCACCAGAATCTTGTCCACGGTGAACTCGAACAACAGGAACGACACGGCGTGCGTCAGGCGGTCGAAGGCGATCGGGAACGACGCCACGAGCCACGACGCGTAGGCGCCGTCCACGCCCTGCCACTCCCCGAGCGTGTGCTGCGGGTCGCGCCACATCCGCCGCCACCGGTCCCGCCACGTCGCCACCTCCGGGTCGGCGAGCACGAAGACCACGCGTCCGTCGTCGCTCATCCGCGTCGACGACGCCTGCACGTCGCGCCGCACGGACGAGAGCGTCCCATCGGGCAGCTCGGGGTCCGGCGGCGCGCCGCCCGGCGCCGGCCGGCGCGGGCTCTCGAAGAACGCGCCGTGCCCGCCGGACTGCTGGAGCATGGGGGTCCGCGGCGAGACGATGTGCACGATGCGCTGCCGCGCGCGCCACGAGCACAGCTTGTTCTCCTCGACGGGGTTGAGCACTAGGAGCATGATCGGCGCGCCGATGCCCAGGATGACGAGCGCGAGGACGACGGCCAGCGTCTTCCACACGGCCGTCGGGTCCGGCAGCGCCAGGATGAAGAACGACGTCTGGAGCGCGCCGGTCGAATAGACGAAGAACAGCGCGATCTCCGGGGCCGGCGGCCGCAGGTGCCCGGGCAGCTCCTCGCCGTCGTGGCGCCGCGCGTACCAGTCGTTCAGGAGCGTGAGGACCGCGAGGTACAGCATCGCGAAGACGAGGCCGCCGATGATCGTCTGCACGAAGAGCTCCTCCGCGGACCGCCCCGTCGCCGCGAGGTAGGAGCCGACGCCGTCCTCCGCTTCGACCTCGTTTTCTTCGAGCGCCTCCGCGTCCTCGGCCTCATCGAGGCGCCGGCGCTCCGCCGGCGCCTCGACGAAGCGCTTCCCGAACCGGGGGATGATCGGCAGGTTTACCTGGAACAGCGACCAGCGCAGCGAATTGCCGAGGACGCGGACGCCCGACGTGAGCGGCGCCGACAGCGAGGCGGTCAGGACGACGAACTGGACCTGGGCGATGACGCTCAGGAGCTCGCCCGCGGCGCCCGCGGACGTCGTGCCGGCCCCGGCGCCGCCGCCACTGGCGCCGCCCGCGGCGGCGGCCCCGCCGGCGCCCGCGGCGGCCCCTCCGGCGCTGGCGCCCGTGGCGCCCGCCACGGCGGCGGCCGTCGACGTCGCGACCGTCACGACGACGGCGGTGGTCACCGCCGTCGCGCCGTCCTCGGCCAGCTCCTCGTGCGTTTCTTCCTCGACGGGTGCCGTATAATTGGTCGGGACGGCCGTGGGCCGCGACGTCGGCACGCGGCTGGGCGCGGCGGAGGGTTCCGCCGTCGGTCTGGGGGTAGGCCTCGGCGACGGCTCGGGCGTCGGTCTAGGTGTAGGCTGGGGGGCCGGTCCAGAGGTCGGCACCACGCTCGGCGCGGCCGTCGTCGGAGAAGGCGAGGGCTCGCTCGTGGGCGCCTCGGAGGGCGCCGGCGACGGCAATCGCGACGGCGCCGGCGACGGGGCGGCCGTCGAGGGTAGCGGCGACGGCGCCGGCGACGGGGCGGCCGTCGAGGGTAGCGGCGACGGCGCCGGCGACGGGGCGGCCGTCGAGGGTAGCGGCGACGGCGCCGGCGACGGGGCGGCCGTCGAGGGTAGTGGGGTTGGTATCGGCGTGGGCAACGGCGTCGGCAGCGGTGATGGGCTCGGCGTCGCGAAGATGTAGACCGCGCCTGAATCGGTGCCGCCGTCGTCGTCCTCGGCGGCCCCAACGACGACCTTCCCGTCGGCGATGGCCACGGAGCTACCGAAATTTGCGTTCGCCGCGGCGTCGGCGGCCGTTAGGTTGGCGATCTGGTCATAATGAGTGCCGTCGTCGCTGGAGAAGATGTAGGCCGCACCCACATAACTACCCTTCTTGCTTCCCTTGCGGTAGGCTCCGACCGCAATCGTGCCGCCGTCGATCGCCACGGAGCCGCCGAAGTAGTCATTCTCCGCGGCGTTGTGAGCCTTGAGCTTGGCCACCTCGTCGTACGAGGCGCCACCGTCGCTCGTGAGGAAGACGTAGACCGAGCCCGAGCCGGAGCCGTCATCGTCGTCTAAGCGGGCCCCGACCACGACGGTGTTGCCGTCGATCGCCACGGAGAGGCCGAATTGGTCGCCTGAAGCGGCGTCGGAGGCCGTCAGCTTGATCTCTGTGTGCGTGTTCCAGCCGTCGCTCGTGCGGAAGACGTAGATCGCCCCCGTTTGTGTGTTGACGCCGTAGGCGCCAACGACGACAACCCCGCCGGCGATTGCCACCGACCAGCCGAAGTTATCGGACTCCGCGGCGTCTGAGGCCGTCAGCTTGTTCTCCGTGTAGGTGTTCCAACCATCGCTCGTGGTAAAGACGTAGACCGCGCCCGAGGATAGGCCGGCGTCGTCCACGCCTTGGGCCCCGACCACGACCGTATTGCCTTCGATCGCCACGGAGCGGCCGAAATTGTCTTCGGCGGCGCCGTCAGCTGCCGTCAGCTTGGTCTCTGTGTACGTGCCCCAGCCGTTGCTCGTGCGGAAGATGTAGACTGCGCCTTGTTCACAATCTGCGCCTGTTTCCTGATAGCCGTACTGGTAGCACTCGTCGCCGCCGTCCTTGTAGCCGGCCGAGACCACGATGGTGTCCCCATCGATCCCGACGATTTCGCCAAATTTGTCGCCCCCTTCGCTGTCGGAGGGCATCAGCTTGACCACCTGGCCATACGTTTGGCCGCCGTCAGTCGTACGGAAGACATACGCAGAGCCATTCTCGGGATTGAGGCCCCAGTAATGTTCCCTGGCCCCGGCGACGACGAAATCTCCGTCGATCGCCACGAAGTAGCCGAGATTGTCGTCCGCCGCGGCGTCATCTGCCATCAGCTTTGCAATCTGCGAGTAGCCGCCGCTGCCGCCGCCGCCGCCCACCTCCACACCTAGCGCATCGGCGGCGGCGATGCTCAGAAGGAAGGCGAGGAGCATGGGCTGCATTTTGGCAGCTTTGCGTCGCAGAACTACCTTGCACTGGGGCAGCCCTTTCACAGGGAGCAGACTGCACTGGGGCAGCCTCTCGCGTGCACAGCTTAGGGATTGGTGGTGTCGTTTAGTGCAGTTTTGCTGCGCACGCTTCACTCACACGGGCAACCACCTGCAACATGTTAGCAGAGTCGTCCCGTGTTCCGTCTGTTGTTGGTTGTTGGCTGTTGGGGATTGGTTGTTGGGGATCGAGCATCACTTTGACACGACGACGCATAGATACATCCCCCCGGCTGCAGACGAGTCGGTTTCGCGCGAAGAAGCCCGCCTCCGGCGGGAGAAAAAACGGGTTTCGCGGGCCCACGCGCGATTTCACGAGCTTTGCTTGCAGCGTGCTGGCACATTTGTGCAAATAGCTGCCGTGCCCAGCCGTCCAGCACTACTGCTGCCCGCTGCTGCCTTGCGCTCCTCGGAGAGCTGCACAGCAAACCATGGACGACCGCCTCAAACCCGCCGCCATCTACATCCAGGGCCTGCCGACGAGCATCGGCAACATTCAGGTCGAGGACATCTGCAAGAAGGCGGGCAAGATAAAAAAAATCAAGGTTTACAGAGACGCGGGCGGTGTCCCGAAGGGCGACGCGCTCGTGGTCTTCGAGGCCAAGCGCGACCGCGACGTCGCCGCGGACGCCGTCGCTATGCTAGATGATATGGACGTCGACCAGGGCGGCCTCGGCTGCTACACCATCTCCGTGAGCGAGGCGCAGTTCTCGCAGCCGCGGCGCGCGCCCAAGCCCAAGGAGGAGGCGCCGCGGTCGCAGCGCGAGCTCGCCGCGGCGGCGGCCAAGGCCTGGGGCAAGGAGCTGCCGCCCACGGACGTCGTCCAGGCCGGCGACTACAGCGCGCCCGCGGACTGCCCCAAGGCCCTCGTCGCGAACGTCTTCGACGCCACAAAGACGACGGAACGGGACGCGTCCATCGAGACGGAGTTCGGCCGCGAGTGCCAGCGCTTCGGCCGCGTCCTCGACGCGGAGTGTGTGCTGCGCGGCCCGGACGCGGGCGCTTTATTGATCTCGTTCACGGCCGTCGACGCCGCGCGCAAGTGCTGCGTCGCCATGCACGGCCGCACCTTCGACGGCCGCGGCCTGCGCTGCGAGCTCTGGCCCACGGGCGCGCGGCCCGCGCGGCGCGACCCCTCGCCGTCGCCCTCCGTCTCCTCGCGGCGCGTCGACCCGTCGCCGTCGCCCGCGCGCGAGGTCGAGGTCGTCTCGGCGCCGCCGCGGCCGAGCTCCGAGGGCCGGTCGGGCGCCGCGTTCTCCGTCCAGGAGCTCGCCTACATCGACCGCGTCGCGAAGGCGGCGCCGCGGCCGCCGGCGGAGACGCAGGAACGCGGCCGCCGCGCCGGCGTCGGACCGCCGGCGCAGGCGCAGGAGCGCGCCCGCCGCGCCGGCGTCGGGCCGCCGGCGGAGGCGCCGCCGCGGCAGCGCCGCGGCTTCTCGGCGACGCCACCTGCGGCGCCGGCGGGCCGCGGCCGCGGCGTGGACAACCGGCCCGCCTGGATGACCAGCGGCGGCGCCACGCCCGCGCCTGTGGCGCCGCCGCCCGCGCCGCCGCCGGCCGCGGCGCCCTCGGGCCGGGGGCGCGGCGTCGACAACCGCCCCGCGTGGATGACGAGGCCCGACCGCCCGGGCGCGCCGCCGCCGCGCACGGGCGAGCCGCCGAAGGCCTACGTCGAGCCGCCGGCCTCGGCACCGACGCGGCGCGTGCGCGAGGCCGCGCCGGCTCAGACCCGCGGCGGACCGATGAGCATCCAGGGCTTCATCAAGGCCACGGGCCACGCGGCGCCCGGCGACGCCGGTGGCGCGCCGGAGCCGAAGCGCGCGAAACGCAACGGCCGCCGGGGCGCGGCCGACTTTTTCGATTAAGGAACGTTGTTGTTTTAACCATACAAATCTTACCACTTCTCGGGCACGAGCGCGCTGCTCTCGTCCTGCTTCGCCTCGGCCACGCCGAGGTGGGCCAGGTCGTCGAACGTGTCCGAGGCGGCGCTCTCGTAGGCGGAGACGAAGCGTCCCCGGTTGATGCGGAACATCGTCGACCTGTGTGGAAATCAAATTTCGGGCGCCCCAAGCCATCGCCGCGACGTCGTCCCCGTAACTGCATCTGCTCGATGGCTTCAGGTTGACGTAACTCACTTTTTGATTTCCACACGGTCGTCGACGGGTCCAGGACGACGCCCACGAATTTCATGAGGGACATGCTCTGGTGCGACGGCGACTGCTCGGGCGACGCGCCACTACGTCTTGCAAAGGTCCGGAACTTCTCCGGCGGGAGGAGCCGATAAAAAATCGTCGAGAAGGCCGTAAACTCGAGAATCGTCAGTATGACCACCAGCCGCGTCGGCAGCGCGTCCGTCGGCGCCGTGATCGCCTCCTCCTGGATGAGGAAGATGGAGATGACGACGTCCTGGATCGCGAGCACCGACACCATGACCAGTAATAGAACAACAAGTCGTTCGCCCCCCAAGCCCCGGATCCGCGGCAACACGGCATGGTACAACTGCGTGATGCTATTCGCGACGCACCAGAAGCTGACGACGCTCAACAAGCGCGTCGCGTTGCACAATTCTTCATATCCTAGATATTCCAGCGTCAGCATGAGTAGTAACGAGCAGGGCTTGACGATCATGGCCTGGGCCACGCCCCGCTTTAAGAACCTTAATAACTCGCGGCTGCTCCCGAACTTGAGGGGTAGAGCGGCATAATGTATGTTGCCCCAAAACAAGGGAGAGTAGTTGTCGCATCTACAAGAACACCAATTAAAACCAAAAGGGTGGTAGAGGTAGGCCGTCGGCGGGCCCGGGTTCAGGGAACCTAATGCTGTTGCCAATCTGTCCTCGCCATCCGCAAAACACGCGAGCATCGCATAGAAGCCGAAAAACGCGTAACACTCATAAAAACCCAGCGGCACGGCCAGATAGAAATCCAGGGACGGGTACCACAGCGCCACCCACATCAGTACCGAATAGACCGGCCCGACCAACAAAACGCGGATCGTCCACCGCTGCAGTGGCAGGTGGTAGATGCGCCTCGAATACCTGTATGTTGCCAGCGCGCAGACGTACAGCGTCTCGATGGCCGCTAGACAAGCGACGATGGTCAGCCACAAATCTACGGTGTCCATCGCATCACTCTCCAAGATGTGGGCCAGGCGGCCCTCCATCGTGTCGTCGTCGCCGTCGTCGTCGGTCATTTTTTTGGGCTGCCTTCGTTGTTGTTGGGTTGCGGCGGCGGCGTGCTGGGGCTGCCTACGCCGCGCCCTCTTTGCTTGGGAGACGCAAAGCTAGCGTGTCGACACACTCTAGAGCACTGTTTCGTCGGAGTCCTAGCACCGTAACAATAGTATGTCGGAGAATTGATCAATTTGAGCCTTTGTAACAGAAAATATGCACTGCACCAACGCCTCCCACTAGAAAACGGCATTTGCTGATGTGTATCGAGATTAAGGACTAGTGCTTACCCCCCGGCGCCGAAATCTCAAGGCGCGAACTCCGACGCGTCGAAGACGCCGACGTAGGAGTGCGGCGTGATCGCGCGCAGCTCGGCCTTGACGGCCTCGGACACGTCCAAACCGGAAACGAAGTCCGCGATCGCCGACGCGTCGATGGGCTTCCCCGTCCGCGTCAGCTGCTTCAGGGCCTCGTAGGGGTTCGGGTACGCCTCCCTTCGCAAGACCGTCTGGATGCCTTCCGCGACGACGGCCCAGTTGCTCTCGAGGTCGTCGGCGATGCGCGTCGTGTTGAGCTCGAGCTTGCCGAGACCCCTCAAACACGCCCCGATGGCCAGGAAGGAGTGGCCCAGCGGCACGCCCAACGTTCTGAGAACAGTGGAGTCAGATAAATCACGCTGCAGCCTGGAAACGGGCAGCTTGGCCGCCAGATGCAAAAGAGCAGCATTTGCAACGCCCACATTCCCCTCGGAGTTCTCGAAGTCAATGGGGTTCACCTTGTGGGGCATGGCGCTGCTCCCGACCTCGCCGGCCTTCAATTTCTGGGTGAAGTACGCCAAACTAACATACTGCCAGCAGTCCCTACATAGATCCAGCATGACCGTGTTCGCTCTACATAGCGCGTGGCAGAAAGCCGCCAAGCCATCGTAGTGTTCGATTTGCGTCGTGTGCTTTTGTCTGGATAATAGACCCTGCGACACGGACTTCACAAACGCGTCGCCGAAACTCGGCCAGTCCACGCTCGGGAACGCGACACTATGGGCGTTGAAGCCGCCCGTCGCGCCGCCGAACTTCGCCGAATGGGAGCACGCTTGTAATTGGTCCACGCAGGCTTGCAATCGAGAAGCAAATACCGCAAATTCTTTTCCGACCCGTGTCGGCGACGCGCTCTGCCCGTGCGTCCGCGCGAGCATGGCGACGTCGCGCCACCTCCAGGCGCGCTCCTTCAGCGCTGTTATCAAATCCGTGTAGCGCGGGATGAGCACGTCTCGGGCACACTCGGCCAAGAGCAAGGGCTGGGCCGTGTGGTTCACGTCCTGGGACGTCAGCCCGAAGTGGATGTACTCCCTTCCTACGGGAGGGAGCTTGAGGGCGTCCCACTGCTCCTTCAGGTAGTATTCTACGGCCTTGACGTCATGGTTCGTGGTAGCTTCGATCGTCTTCACGCGCTGCGCGTCCTCGGGGCCGAAAGTCGCGGCGACGGCGCGCCACCTTGTAAGATTGTCTCCCTCGAAGACATCCCCCAAAGCTGGTATTACTTGCGACAGACTGGCTAAGTACTCGACCTCGACCCTTACTCTCGCCTTGATGAGGGCTGCTTCGCTGAAGTAGTCCCTTATTTTTGAAACGCGGCCGGCGTAGCGGCCGTCGAGCGGCGTCAAGGCGTAGAGGGCCGCGGTGTCGTCGTCGGCCATGGCTGCAGTTGCTCTCGTGTGCAGTGTTTAAAATCTGTGCAGCTTTGTAGCTTATGGGTTGCAGCTTCGATCAATGCGACTCAGGCGATGTCGAGAACAGCGCCTCGCTGCCAGATGAGTGCGCAGCGGTGGTACGCGCGAACGTCGCCTTTTTGATGTATCAGTACTTATGCAATCACCCCCTATCGATGTATAGTACTTACGATACCTCGCGGGGGCCAGCTCTCCGCGCGCGCGCGCATAGATAGCCGCCAGTGCGCTAGCGATTGAGTGAAAAGCCTGTCGCAACCACTTTCAGCCCGCTGCGAACTCCGCAGCGATCCGGACTTGCAACTCCTTGCATAGCCCACCTGGTGGAAACAGCTCGTGCCCACGCTGTCGCCGCGAGTGTTGGACCGCCGCGCATACCAGCATCCCAAAGCAAAATGTCGACCCTCGCCGAAAATTTGATAGCCGCCGTCAAGGGCGTCGCCGCGCTGGCCGGCGCCGGCTGCGTGGCGCTCCTCGGCGCGCTCTACGCCTTCCAGCGCAAACTTATTTTTGCGGGCCACGCCATGGACATCGGGCCCGCGTTACCGATCCGAAAAGGCCGGAAGATCGAGGTCGACGTCCGCAACGAGCAGCGCCCGCGCGGCGCGCCCGACGTGATTGTGGGCGTCTACTTTCCTCCAACGAAACCGGGCGCCAAGACGCTGGCGTTCTGGCACGGCAACGCCGACCAGCTCGGAAATGTCGCGGACTTTCTCGGCCAAGCGTTGCAGCAGCGTTTAGGAGTTGGTTTTCTCGGTATCGAGTACCCGGGGTACGCTTTGTGTACGTCTGGGGAACCGACAGAAACAACCATACACTGGACCTCGCAGCGGATGCTGCGGCACCTCCGGGAAACCCTAAAAACGCCGGCGCGCGACACGGTAGCCTTCGGCCAGTCGATCGGCGGCGCCGTAGCTCTGAAAGCGGCCCACGACGGGTTGGTCGGGAGCTGCGTCCTCCTGAGCAGCTTCGAGTCGATCCCGGCCATGGCGAAAGCTTTGTTTCCCTTCATCCCGGCGCCGCGGGCCCTCGTGAAGGATCCTTTTGATAATGCGAAACTGGCGCCCTCCGTAAATGTGCCGGTGCTCTGCCTCCACGGCACGCGCGACGAGATCGTGCCCTTCGCCCAGGGGCGGGCCATCTGCGATTTATTACCCTCGTCTGAATTCGTTTCATTACCAAACTGCGGCCACAACGACACGTTCAACGGCGCGGCCTATCGCTTGATCGTCGACTCGCTGGCGGCGTTTCTCGAGGGCGCTGCCCGTTGGGGCGGCGGGCGCGTCCTCGGCGAGGGGTAAGTTGGATACTTAGACGCAGGGGCAGCCGACGAGCGTCGTCATGCAGAGCTGGTAGCAGGACATCTCGCCGCCGCCCTTGAACGCTACCCGGGCCTTGTTGTACTTGCTCTTGTCGCGTTTCTTGACCCTGCGGGGCGTCGACCGGTGACCTTTTGGCGTGGTTGGCATGTCCACACAGAACGCAACAGCTCCTCGCCGACGTCGAGGAACGCCTGGGCGACGGCCTCGTAGAGGAGTGAGGCGCCCACGACGGACTCGTCGATGACGTCCGGCTGCGTGCGGTGGAAGCTGTGCGCGCCCTCGGCCTTTTTAACCATTGTTCCTGGACACACCATGGTCCAGGTAGGAATCGTCGAGGCCTGGAGCGCCGCGAACGTGACGCCGAGGTGCAGGTCCCGCAAATCCTTGGCCCACTGCGCGCCGCCGAAGCACTTGTCGACGCAGGAATTACCCGGTCGTAATATGAGCGCTGGGGCACCGCCTGTCGTTAATAACACAGGCGAGGGCTTGGCCGCGGCGACGGCGCTGATCGTCGTGCGTACGGCGTCCTCCGCTTGCGCCCCGACTGCCAGCGCGACGGCGTCGAAGGTGTCGCCCGCCAACGCAATAGCGACTTGATCGCCGAGACTCCCGCTCGCGGAGACGTACACCTTCGTGAGCTGTTCGCCGTTCCACGGGACTTTCGTACCGTCGCGGACCAGAACCGACACGTCATGGCCGTCCCTCAGAGCCGCGTTGACGATCGCCTTGCCCAAATTTCCTGTCGCCGCTATAACTAGGAGCTTCATCTCTCGACAGAGTCGACACCAACTGGTGGTCCCAAAGTCAAGTTATTGAGAGCAGTTACGCGGTTTTTGAGCGTCGGAGCGGCACGGGCTCTGATCTTCCGAAGAAAACAAAGAAATAGACCGTTCCGACCAAACCTTTAGCGCTTACGGCTGCGAGCACAGGCGCAAAAGTGTTGGTTTTCTAGTGTCTTACAGGTCGCTAGCTCACCAGATTAACTTTTGGCTCTGAGCACCTGGATAGGAGCCTCTATTGCAGCCAAAAGCGCCCATTTTTGCACCACAGGACCTCGCGCATTGCTCAGACAGCAACCAGCACATCAGTCACTGCCTAGGTTACGAGCACTGCAGAGAGAGCCAACACAGCAAAGAGAGCCATGTGCGGCGCACAAGCAGTGCTGCTCGTCGCAGCGTTCGCAGCCGCCCTCCAGCCACCCAAAAAAACACCCACCGTGCGAAGAACGAACCTCAGCGCGAGCGCCCCCGACGCGGTCGCCATCGACGAGCGCAGAGTGGTTGGAGAAGGTTCCTACGGCGTCGTCGTCGCCGCGATCGATGAAAATAATAAGCAGTACGTCGCCAAGCGCGCGCGCAAGGACGACCGCAGCAAGCGCTACTTTGAGGTGGAGAGGACCATCAATGAAAAACTAAGAGGCACGCCGGGCCTCGCACCCTACAGAGGAGTCGTCGAAGGCCCAACCCCAGAAAAGCAGTTCTTCGACCCCCCGTCAACAAAATACCTGCTCTTCGACCGGGTGAAAGGCGGCCGTGACGCGGAGACGTACCTGAACGACGGGTCGTGTGGCGTCGACGGCCTCGCGGCAGCTTTAGGTCTGGACGCGTGCGCTTATGGGGATGAGGTCTGCTTCGTTGATAATGAGGAGGAGTGCACGGCGGACCCGCAGCAAGCTCGCTCAGGGGCGGCGAACGTCGTCGTGGCCTCGGTGGTATTATCGTTTCTGTTGGACGCCTGTGCAGCGTTGGAAGCGAACAAAGTAATACATAGAGACGTCAAGGCTTCGAATATTCTGGTGGAGCCGTCTCAAAAAAGACTAGTACTGATCGACTTCGGGTCCGCGATGGACGTCGACACAAAACAAGGCTACGAAGCCCGAAAGTCGCCGGTCTCACCCAGATACTGCCCGCCGGAGCAGTTCGTCGAGCTCGAGCATTGGAGGTCTTTTGATGCGTACGGCTGCGGGCTCGTGGCGCTGCGGCTGTTACTCTCCCCGGCATTAAGAAGCGCGAACGACGTCGACGCTTTTAACGTCGAGTTCGCCGCGGCGGACCACGACTTGGACCGCTGGCTCTCGACGAAACTCGCGCAGACCGCTTTACCTGAGCGGTTACTCGCGCCGCTGTCGGCGCTACGCTCGTTGAAATCCGGCGCGGCGCTCTGGCGGCTCGTCTCCCGATTATTGGCCGAAGATCCCCGGAAGCGACGGACGGCCAAAGATGCGAAAGTCGAGGCGTCGAAGCTCCAGGCGGCATTGTTGGACGAGGCCTCGAATATGGAGTCCGCGACGGCCGTGCCGCCGCGCGCGCGCGACCCGTCCTTGATCCCGTCCAGACGACGCTACGCGCTGCAGGCCCCGTTGGGCCTCATCGTCGAGGAGGACGGCGGCGTCCGCGTGAGCAGTGTGACACCGGGCAGCAACTCGGACAAGCTGGGCGCGCCGCGCGTCGGCGATTTATTATTGAGCGTCGAGTACGTGCCCAAAGGTGACAACAAAGAACCGGTCTTCGAGGACCTCGAGCTCAAGAAGTCCTTCGAGGCGGCCCTCGCCACCTTAGAAGGCGTGCCCCAGCAGCGCATGATTGAAGTGGTGGTGGAACGAGAAAGTAGCGGCGACGACGACGTCGTGAGCGAGGCGGCGCCGGTGGCCCAGATACGGTTAGGAGCGTACAGGAGGAGGGGCTCGAGCCGCGCCGCCATGGAGGACTGCGTCGCTATTGGTGCTGGTGATGTATCAGAAACCTTGAACGGCCGCGACTGGCCGTCGAGGGAGCCGAGCGAGGAACTCACGGCGGAGCTTTCCGTGGCTCATGGTAGAGCCGTCGCCTGCGCCGTCGACGGCCACGGCGGGCAAGAAGCGTCGCGCCACGCGGCCGACCGGTTGCCCGGTCTCGTGGCTTCTTTCTCGACAAAAAGCCCGGAGTCCGCGCTCAAGGCCGCGTGGGTGCGCTGCGCCGAGGAGCTCGAGTTAGATGGTCCGGGCGGCGCCGTGGCGGCGTGCTGCTGCGTCGACGTCGAGGCGCAGACCATTTCCTTATTGCACTGCGGCGACGCGCGCGCCGTCGTCGTCGGTTTAGACAAGCCGGCGGCGGCCTACGAGACGAGCGACCACACGCTGAAGCTCGCGTCGGAACGAGCCGCACTGGAAAACCGGGGCGGGGCGGCGCGCGGCGGCCGCGTGCTCGCGGATCAGTGGGCCGTGGCCGTGCCGCGCGCGCTCGGCGGTAAGGTGTGGCGCGCGGCGGGCATCTCGCCGGCGCCGGACGTCGCGACTTTGGCTTGCGGCGGCGCGGACGGCCTCGTCCTGGCGTCGGACGGCCTCTGGGACGTGCTCTCGTCCGACGACGCCGCGGCCTTTGTTCGGGCGAACCGCCTCTTCCGGCCGGAGCGGTCCGCGGCGCAAGTCGCGGCGGCGCTCGCGTCGCGCGCGGCGGCTCTTGGCTCGACCGACGACGTTTCCGTCGTCTGCGTGTTCTTCGATCGGTGAGTAATGTCTTTCGTAGTCTTTCGTAGTCTTTCGCGCAACATAACGAACGCGGATTGCCTGGCTTTGTTGATGGGAGATGATTCGCCCCAGGAGATTGAGAATTTGCTCTACCGTTTTTTTACGTCTCTTTTTAGGCGCCGGCTGGGTATCCTAGCCGCGCAGGGAGAAGGCCTCTAGAGGCTTGGTGTATGTCCTTTTCTTTAGGATATTCCTTCCTTAATTATTTATTTATTTATTTATTTATCGCCGCAACTAGTATGTCGATACGCTAGCTCACTAGGTCTTGCGGCTCGCCAAAATACACCAGCGATTGACGCCGCCATCTCCCATCCGATTAGTGCATTATATCAACTCCGGCCCAGTTTTCATACAAGTTCGACGGAACCGGAGCCGACAGCCGGCGCTCGGAGGGCGGGAAAAGAATTCTACTAGACAACTCCCGATTTTATGTTCGTTTCCTTCCGTTTGTTGATGGTAGATTCCATCTAGGCCGCCTGGACGACAGCGAGCACGATTAAGTGCTCCATTGGAGCCTTGCGGTTCGGCGAATCCGCGAGCCTACGTTTATGTCTAGACAAGCTCAGAACTTGGACCCGCGAGTATCAGCGACGACACCATCCAGGTGGACCATAACGCCGTTGTTCTATTCACAATCGATCGACTTGCCCGTTCTCCGCGGACGACGGTACGTTGACGGAGCACCAAAAAGGCCCCAGACCGGTGGTTTGTAAAATAAATTTGCGTTTCAGGCGCTTTAGTAGTGGGACGGGCCAGATAACCGGCCTGAGCGTGTACTACATTGCTCCGAGACCCCAAGATGCTCGGCGCGGGTCCTCGGTCTTGCGGGCCCACGATCTGGCTCATAATGGGCAAACCACTTGAACCTACGACCATCAGCGCGTGTACCATCACCATGGACCATGACGCGATCATTTGTTCCATGATCGACCGACTTGCGCGAGGTCCAGATCAAGATGTTCACGTCCCGAGCGTGAGCAGCCCAAAGTACCCTTCTCGCCGTGTAGAACTCATATACTTGTAATTGACTATCGGTGGGGTAGTATGGGGTCCAACGAGACCGCTATTACGATTCCTGGGGCCCCTCGGGTAATTGACGTTTTTGACGGGAACGCGGCGCCATCGGGCCCAACTTGCACACTTTTTTCGCGGGTAGATCGGCTCGTGGACGCCCTCCGGGATAGATCTAAGGTCGTATGGTCGCCTACACCGCATGCGCCAGTTCTTAGGGCTCGCCAGAGAGCTCTGGATCGAAATCTTTGGCAAATCATGGGCAAGTGATTTGTCTGGCTGGGAGATTTGCCATATGTATATACCGATGGAAGTGGCCACGCATGCGGCGTAGGCGATTGCCCATGTCTAGTTTGGATCCTAGGCGACCTCGGGGAGACCTCAGGACCACGAATCGACAGGATTCAGCCGGCGCGGCCGCCATGGCGGCGTCGTCAATTTCGCGAATTAAAAAAATTAATTTTTTCGGCCCCCAAGAAGTGTCCCATTGCTCTCTTTGGACCATTAGCGAACCGAACGATACTCAAACGGCTGCATGTCGTTCCTGCTTGCCTGCTAGTGTCTTACATGCCGCTAGCTCGGAGGCCTGGGCAAAAAAAAGAGGTACGAGTGTAACTGCGTGTGGCAAAGACTTGAGCCGCTGTGAGCAGCAGCCCAGCAAGTCCATCTGAGCGCTGCAGCGCTGCGGCACCACGGAGATCACGGGCAGCTTTAAATGCTTTTGAAACTCGGCTAACCGGAGAGCTGCTATGGCGCGTAAGAAAGCCGCCAAGAAGTCGACTGCGCGCAAAAAGAAAAAAGCCTCGGATAGGGACGAGGAAGCGGAGGAGGCGACCGCTGATTTCGTCCGCCAGAATAAGGCGCGGCGGCGGAGCCGGCTCGACGACGTGAGCTTCGACGACGACGGCAAGACGCGCGACACGACGGCGGCACACGCACGGGCCATCGCGGCAAAGCCACGCAAGAGCGAAGACAGCCAGGACTTCGAACTCGTAGGCGTCCAAACAGCAGAAGAGCGCGCCGAAGCGAACCGCCAGCGAGCGGAGCAGGAGGGCGACGTGCTAGAGGTCGACGACGACGCCTCGGACGCGCCCCCACCATTGGGATACGTCTGCGTCCTGAAGAGCGACGGCGCCGACGGCGAGCGCGTGCCCCTGCACGAGACGCTGAAATTTGGCCGCGCGCTCGACAACGACGTGCGCGTCCCGGTAGCTCGTTGCTCGCGCCTCCACGCGGAGCTGACGGTGGACGGGCACGCAACACTACAGAACCACGCCCGGGCCGCGAACACCACTGTGTTACGTGGCGAGACGCTCAAGCCGAAGGAGGCGCGTGAGGTGAATAGCGGAGACGTCTTCGAGATCTGCGGCCGGCGATTTCGGTTCGAGGCGGCGGTAGCGCCGGCGCCGGCGCCGGCGCCTTCGCCACAGCAGGCGGTCGACGTCGATCTAACGGGGGCGCCGGACTCCGACGATGAGGAGGAGCCCGAGTTCTCGCCGCCGGAATCGGCCCCACAGGACTCCGACGTCGACTACGAGGACGAGTCCGACGAGTCCGAGGAGGAGGAGGAGTCCGACGACGACTCTCGCGCGAATGATGTTTGCTACCGCTGCGGCGGGCGCGGCCACTGGGCGAGCGACTGCGGCGAGCCGTACAGCTACTACGGCTACGGGAGGTACTAGCCGCGACTAACCAATGTCTGTTGATAGAGTTCAATCGCTTTTATTGCCGCGCTCCCACCCGCCGGCGGCGCTCACAGTGTCTAGCGGTAGAGGCCGTTGTTGACGCGGTCGATGACGTACATCGCCGACGGCTCGAGCGTGATGAGGCGCGACTCGTACTTCTTCGTGGCCGCCTTCTCCTTCTCGTTCATGAACGCGTAGATCTCCGAGACCGACTTGTAGGGGCCGTGCGTGACGATCTTGCCGGCGGCGCCGGGGTACATGCCCGGGAGCTTCGCGTAGACGCGGACGTTCGCGTTGTTGACGTCGATCTTCTCCGAGCCGCCGAGGTACGGCAGGCCCGCGTAGTCCGTGTCCGCGAGCGCGGGCGCGGCCACGGCGGCGCCCGTCGCCGCGCCGGCGACCTTGGAAAGGAACGCGCGCCTCGAGGGCGCGAGGGCCGACGCGCCGGCGAAGAGGAGGGCGACGAGCTTCATCCTCGGGAGTTTTTCTGCGGGGGAAGGGGAGGCGGTGAGCGGTTGTGCGTTGTGTGGGGCGTCGGCGCGGTGTGTGTGAGAGCGTAACGCGACCGGAGTGCCGCGACCGGCGCGCTTGCCTTCCCTGCGGCGGCTGGATGCTGCCGCCTCGAGCCGTCGCCGCAGCCGCCGGAGCGGCCTCGTGCGACTCGGACCGTCGCCGCCAAACGAGGGGTTCTCGGGCTAATCGCTGCGAGATTTTTTGTCTCGGTGCGACCAGCACTGCTTAGAAGCCCTTTGGCGGCTACATCCGAAGCGCGCGAGCCCGTACGACGCCCGCGGCGCGGCTGAAGTAGCAAGCGATCTAAGGGAAGCGGCTGGTCAAGGGCCGGCGGTGTGGCTGCAGATACGTTCTCAGACCATCTCAAGCTCTGGAAATAGCTATCGCAGAGGGTCTGCGGGCGTCTGACACGGGTGCACACTCAGGCAATCGGCTAGCTTGCAGGAGCTTGGGACGTCAAAGCTAGTACCCTCTAGTATCCTCGGCTGCCTTAGAAGCACCAAAGGGAGCTGTCGGAGGGCGTAGGAGACCTCAGGGACCTCCAGGACAGCACCTCAACGATTTTCGGCCCGGCAAAACCCGCGCCATTCTAAATCGCGTCGATTGGCGGCGACGGCATCATCATGCGGCGGATAACGAGTCCTCTGGACGTTTAAGAAGCAGGCAAGGGACCAATTTCATAAATTTACTCCACAACCCGCAGCCACTTCGGCGACGCGGAAAACGCCGCGACGAACGCCTCGTCCTTTCCTAGCGTCGACTTCGCGTGGCCGACAGTGAGGAACAGCGAGGCGAACTGCTGCGCCAGCGGGTACGTAGCGAAGCGGTCCCTCAAATCAGCACCGGAGACGGCGTCGTAGTACACGTCCGCCTCGAAGCGCTCTTCGACCTTCGCGTCCACGCCGCAGCTTGATAAGGCATCGACAAGCGCATCGCCGCCCGCCTCGACAGAAACGACGAGCTGGTCGCGCGCATTCGTCGCGAGGAATAATGCGATGGCCGGAGTGACGTCGTCTAGGGAGGCAGAAGCGGCCAGCCGGAACGCCGTCTTGAGATGCAACGGCGGCCGCTGCCAGCCGTACAGCGTCTCCCGGGCCTTCCCGGGCCCGGGCCGCGGGCCGCAGGCGTCTCGCAGATAGTCGACCAAGATTGAGCAGTAGCCCCTTACAGTAGCATCCTCCACTCTCTCCATCAAGGCCGCGACGCTTGATGGGAACGGCGCGTCGCTCCGCGTCTTCAGATACGAAGCATCGTAGGACGCGTTGTAGGCCGGCGCCGCGCTCGGCACGTAGACGGGGAACCGCGTGTGCTCTCGAAGTTCTTTGCGCGGCGGCACCTCGCCGAAGATCTCGCCGTCCTGCGGTCTAGCTTGGCACGTCGACGCCGGCGGCCGCCCATCACAACCGCCGACCGTCACGACGACCATCGCCGTGCGCTCCCACAGCTTGACAGAGAGCGCGAGGTCGCCGTTCACCGCGAGGGAAATGGGCTGCCTCTGGACAAGCCAGTTTGATACGTCCAACACGTGGGCGTCGCTGCCGAAGTCTTTCGCAATACTCAAGTCGACGACGGGCTGGCGCCAGCCCTCATCTAAGTGCCCGACCGGCATGGCCTCGCTCGTCTTCACGTTGACGCGGTCGCAGTCCACGTAGTCCTCGCCCCACGACGTCGACGGCGCGCCCGGGAAGAGGCCCGCGTAGACGTCCGTGGCCAGCGCGTCGGTCGCCGTCGCCGGCGCCGCGGCGCCGCGCAGCGCCTCATGTACCGCGTCTGGTGCAACGTGGCGCGCGTCCAGCACGGCGACGCGCAGCGCCGTGCACTGGCCCGCGTGCTCGATCGTCGCGCTGTCCCGCAATAACGCGCCCGTCGCGCCGTCGAGCGCTCCGGCGACGACCATCGTGTTCGGGCCGCCCGTCGACGCGATGACGTTATTATGGGAGGCGTTGCAGTTTAGAGCAGTTTGCCTTGAAGACGTGATGTGCAGCGGCGACGCGTCGCCCAGAGCTCGACAGAGCTCGATCTGTTTCTCCAGAGACACGCTGGCGAAGGACGCGTACTTTGTATCCACACCGTGGCGCGCCATCTCCTCTATTAGTAATTGGTACCACCGGTACGGGTATTGGGTGGTCGAGCCCGTCCTTGACAGTACCACAACGGGTATACCACATTCTAAGTTGCGCAGCGTCTTCCGCGACAAATCCAAGAAGTTCGAGAAGTTCGACACGCACGCGACGAGCACCGGTGCTCTTTCAATGCATAGAACGCCCCTCTCCTCGTCATCCAACAGTTGGTCCACCAGCCGCCGCTCGACCTCTGAAGCCTCGAGCGCCTCCTCGATTTCCGTCACGCCGTCCTGCTTCCCAAAGTCCAGCGTCTGGTTCCCGATCAACGCCGCCGCGTGGTCCGTGAAGAGGGCCCGCTCCACACTCCTCACAGAAGTCCGCTGGTCCCTTACCCCATCAAAGTCCCGCAGGTGGTCGAGGAGACCATCGATATCACCATGTAATACAATACCGTTCTCCCTCCCAAAATTGTCGTACGTGGGCCCGCTCTCGCCGCTTTCGACGGGCTTTCCAGCGATGCACGTCGCGACGGGGTCGTCGTACCACTTCTGTGCGTCGAAGCGCTCACAGTAGGCGATCGCGTCTTTCCGCAGCTTGTCGCGGTCGACGGGTGGCAGGTCTCCGAAGGCGGCATTGTACTGGCTGCTCGCGAAGTTGTAGGCTCGCGTGCGTCGCGGCGCCAAGCGTTCTGTGCTGGTGGAGCGCGGCGCCAGGCGGGAGAGGCGGCGCATCATCGTTTGTGGGTCGGCAGCGATGCGGTTTTTCAGCTCGCGCGCTTCGCGTACGTTATGCGTACGTTATGATCGGTTCGCACGGCAGCGCACGCACCGGTAGGCAGTCGTTTTGCGCTGCCGAGCACCGAGGCTAGCGGCCTGTAAGACACTAGCAATTCACCGTCAGACGACTCGCCAGTTCGAAGCCGCCTGCGAGCCGCACGAGCGGATCTTTAATTGATGCGTTTAAAGCCGCGCGTGCGGGCAGCCTCCAAAACTCAAAACCAGTGGCAACTCCAAAGTAGCTGGACGGAAATTATGCAAGCCTAAGACTGCTGCCCCGCGCACGCCAGCCGCCGCAGCACTCGAAACGATGTGGTCGCCCTCGCCGCAAAAGAAGAACAAAGCCACGCCGCCGAGCAGCCCCCAGCCCAAGAAATTCTCATGGAGCCCCCTGCCGCGGCGGCGCAAGCGCACGAACATCGCGAGCCCGACGGTCGCTGCCCTCTCCCCGGCGAAGGTCGTGCAGCTCGTGAGAGATCGGCGCACGGGTCTAGGGGAGGACGAGTTCCGCGCCAAGTACGGGTACGGCTGGGACGCGTGCGTTTGTTTTACTGTTGTCGACAATGCATTGACAGAACAACAACAATCTGTGATAACACGTCTCGAGTCCGGTGGCATCGAGACGAAGCTCGTGGAGTCCTCGGATGGCAAGCGAAGATGGGCGTTGTTAAGGGCGCCGGTCCACCGCTTGGCGCGGGCCGCCGACGCGCTGGACTGGGTCGTGCCCATGAACGAGGAGAAAGTCAAGGAGGCCATTGAACGTGGTGGTCCCGGCATTAAGGGAAGGAAGCTAAGGCACGACCCGAAACTCACAAATAACGTAAGACCCTACGAGTGCATCCACGGCAAGTACGAGACGAACAGTCAGATGCAGGTGCTGTATGAAGTGCCGCGCGGCTATCCCCACCTATTTGCCTGGCCTTTATTGAGATTGAAATTACTCGGTACGATCATCGAGCAGCGACCGAGTCGAGGTGGGTGTGGCGTGAACTTCCATAGACTCCAAAAAAATAACATCATAGAAGCGGCCTATCCTCTACATGATGTGGAGAAGCGGGAGCAGGTCATGGAGGAGTTCCAGCGGTGGGGTTTACGGGGGGACGTGAATAATATAAGGGACTACGTGGGCGATCGCCTAGCGCTCTATTTCGCCTTCGTGCACCACTTCACGGCGGGCTGTGCTCTCAGTGCGTTTGTGGGCGTGGCGACGACGTTCATCATGTACCTCGAGGCGTCCGTGATCGATCGGCCGCGAGCTAAAAGTAGAATGCTGCCCTTCTTTTCAGCCTTCCAGTGCATCTGGGCCATCGGGTTGTTGGAGCACTGGAAAAGGAAAGAAAGTAGATTGGCCATGCGCTGGGGGACACTAGGCTTAGCGGAAACGGTGCCCGACCGGCCCGGGTTCCGGGGTCCGCTCCGGCCGTCACTCGTCGATGGGAGACCGGAAGCCTTCTATCCGGCTGGAAGACGTAGAAGACATGCTTGTATCGCGTTCTTTGTCGTCGCGGCACTCATAATAGTGCTCGTGTGGGTGAACATCGGGATCATCTACATGCGCGTCGTGTTGACGAGGGCCTTCGACAAGACGACGTCGTCGATCATGGCGGCTCGATACGCTTCCGTAGTGGCATCGGTGATAAACACGATAGCGATACAAATCATGAACTACCTGTTCCAGTACGTGGCTCGTTTTTTCAACACGTGGGAGAACCATCGCACGGACGTGGAACACTACAACAACTTGATCCTGAAACTGATCTCGTTCAATTTTTGCAACTACAACATTCCCTTGGTGTACAACGCCTTCTTCCAGAGACATTTGGAGGGCTGCCCGCGTGGTAACGGTGATATAGAACCAGGTAAAGGTACTTGCTACTCTGCTTTGGAGATGAATTTAGGGATCATCTTCCTCACAAAATGGTTCTCGGGGCTGTGCATGGACCTACTCATCCCGTACTTGGAGAAGAAGTACAAACGCCACAAGCACCCCGAACTAACAGATGAGAGAGACGGCAAGCACGAGGCGGAGTTGCAATTTGACTTGGCGCCTACCGACGGGTTTGAAGATCAAATTCAAGACATGTCGAATATTGCCATGCGGTTTGGCTTTATTACGTTGTTCATTACGGCGCTGCCCTGTTTGCCATTAGTGGCCTGGATCGCTAATAAACTAGAAGTAGCGGGTGATCTGAAGAAGTATCTATATTTCAAACGGCGTTTGTGGCCGCGCGTCGCGTGGTCGATTGGCTCCTGGACTCTGGTTTTTCAGTTGATCGCTGCCGCCTCTGTCACGACAAACACGGCGTGTATCTTCTACACCGTAAGATGGCAGCCGCTCCAAGCTACCGGTAGAGATGAGAAACTAAGACCTAATGAGAGGGCCTTTGCGTTCTTCGCGTGCCAGTACTTTGTGTTTGCTCTGATGTTGGGTATCGCTGTTGCGGTGCCAGACACGCCCGAGGATGTCGAGATACAATTGAAACGCAAAGCATTCATCTGTTCGAAGTTGCTAGACAGGACCCCCGACGAGGAGTCGGATGATGAGGACGCGCCCTCGCCTTTGACAGTCCAAGACTCCGACGACGATGAGGGCATGGACCAGGTCGACCAAGAAGAAGATGCGATCTTCGACGCCATCGGGCATGGGACCCAATTGTTTACGCAGCGATTGCAGCAGAAGTCGAAGGAAATACGACAGATGAAGGTCGTGCGAGGCATGGCCAAGGCCGAGACTGGAGTGCTCAAAGGTTTAGCTCAAGCGGATAAAGCCCTGGACCATGTCGTCTCGGATGATTCTGAAAAGGGCCCGACCTGGGGCAATGTCGATGCGCTGGACACGCCCCACCGCCAGGAGGTGCTCGGTTCAGGTGTGGACGCGTTCTTTTCTCCTGTACCAAAGAAGCCGTCACCGAAGAAGCGCTCCACACCAAGAAAGAAGGTGACCTCGCCGCGGACCGAGGACCACCACCTCGGCGCCCTCTTCGATGCGTGTGGCCCTGGGACCTCGCCGCGCGTGTCTCCTAGGGTATCGCCGCGGCCCTCGTTAGATGGCGACGACGACGAGCAGGCGCTCTTCGACGCGATTATTGTCGACGACGAGTCGTCGCCGCGGGCATCACCACGAACATCACCGATGCCCTCTCCAAAATTGCCACCTCCCACCCAATCGACGACGCCGCACCTCGCGTCGTCGGGTTTTAACTTCGACGCGCTGCCCGCGCCCGGCGAGGGCAAGCCTGTTACCGGCGAGGTCGGTCCGCCTCCAGTACCAACGCCGGGCAAGTACGCGGTGGCGCACGCGTCCGTGGACAAGTCGCCGTTCGACGATTCATTGGACGACCCGGGCGAGGCGGTATGAATTAACAGTACTCTTTTGTTTACAATGGTATGCAGACCTCGTTGGTCTTCATGAAGCCGATCGTCCACGGGGGATTGAACCGCCGCCACTCCCATGCGACGCCGGCGAGGTCCTCGGGAATCGCATGGCCCGCGGCGCGCGCGCGGTCCGCGAGCCTGAGCGCGCGCGCCTTGGCGTCCGCCTCGGACCAGCTACCCGTGTAATGCTCGACGACCATGGTCTGCGCCGGCCGCGGTACGAGCCGAACGCCCTCGGCCGTCGGCTCCGGCGCGTCTTTTATGGCCGACGGGAGCACGAACTGCATGCGCATCGCGTCGCCCGCGTCGGGAATGGACACGACGGGCGCGGTCATCGAGATGGCTTCGCCACGCGCGTTCTGCGGCTTGCTCATGACGCCGATATACTTCGCGAGGGCTCCGAACGCCTGGTTATTGGCGTCGCTCGCCTCGACCGCCGTGCCGGCGGCGTACCGTCTTACCTCGAAATTGTCGCCCGTCGCCAGCACCTCGTACGCGGGCGTCTCCTCGGTGATGCGTCCGACGACACTGCCCATGATGCTGCGTCGCGTGACCAGCCTGGCCACCCGGTGCATAGGACGCGGCAGTCGCACTGGCGCACAGAGAGACCACTTTTGCTCTCCGGTGGTGTGTGGCCGTGCAGCGCAAACGATGGTCTGCACCGTGGCCGTGCAGGCAGCGCACAGTGCCACAAAAGTCCAAAAAACTGCCAAACAATGAAAAGCGCACGAATGCGATAACACCGGCCGCGCAAAGTTGCGCGCAACGCGCTGGGTAAGCTCACTAGCTGCATGGACCTCGTCGGACGCCCACTAGTCCTAGCACCGTAACATCGATCCCTCTCGTCGGACGTACAAGTAACAACCAAGTAATTACGGCATCGCCGCGAAGGAATGCATCACCGGCACCGGCACACGTACGACGACGACCGCGTCACGTAGCGCACCCAGCGGTACGGATTATAATTCTGCGACGCCTCCGCGATCCTCAAATACTTCACTTGCAGGTTCGAGACGTTGTACATGGGGATCTCGAAGGTCATTGACACGGGCCCGATCTCCTTGCGCGTCTGCGCCGTGCAGATCGAGGAGAGCGTGATCTTGGCCCGGAAAGCCAATTCTAACCCTCCTTGAAATTTCTTGACGTGGAAAGTTAGTTTTCTTTGTGTCGCATTGTAGTCCGCACTACTTCCGGAAGGCGCTGTTGCGGAGGCCGCGGTGCAGTTTCTTGGGCAGGGTACCGTAATAGTAACATCACTGCCATAATTCGTGTCCGGGATCTCCGAGCGCACGAGCACAATAATTTCGAGCTGGTAGGGCGTGGCCTCCTCGATTTGAGGTAGTACCCGAAACGGCGCGCGGAAGTCGCCCGCCGTTCGATAATTCAAGACCACAAATTCACCTTCCGGCGGCACGAAGCTCAGGAGTCGCTGGGCCTCGAAGTCGTCCAATCTCACGCACTCGTGGAAGTTGCAATCATCTAAGACGACGGTCCCGTAAGGGCCGCCTTTACCGACCACGAGGTCCTCGTTCAGCGCCAGCCGCAGTTCCGGGTTCCCTGCTAAATATGATTTCATCTGGATGCAGCCGTCTATTGTGCTATTCACCACAGAACCGTTCGCCGCGAAGAGCATCGTCAGCCTCTCCAGTATATCCACGAAGATCTCGTTCCGAGCAGCACCACCGCCAATCGTGCCCGTCTTCCGCGATCCTATCGGTTTGTGGACCGCCGACGAAGACACGGTCTTCGTGGACAGGGAGGGCACTCTCAATTTTTGCGCGTCGACGAGCAGAGGCTCGTTATATATGCAGGCCTTCAGATTCTCGGTCGACGTCCCCTGCGGGTAGCCGAAGTCCACGATCTCGTCCAGCAGCTCATAAATCAGAATGAAGTTTTTTCTAATAGCTTCTTCACTTAAAACTCCACAGTAGTCCTTGAAAACTTTCACGAGTCTGTTAAGTAGTTCTATGATCGTGGAAGGAGACGCGTTGAAGCGCGTGTTGCAAACGAACATGAGCCCGTGCTGCTTCACCCACACATACGTCACGTCATTAATTCTAAAACAAGGAGGACAGGACCGCTCCTCCCGACACCGTCGGAAGAAGGCCTCGGCCGCGCCCGGCGGCGAGTCGCCCCTATAGTCCTTGGAGATGATCGTGTCGCCCCTCGGGCTTAGGACGAAGAACTGGGAGAGCATCGTTGCGCGCCGCGACGGCGTGTGGGCGCCAGTGACTAGCGTGCTGTGTGGCGCTTGTGATGGCGTGTACGAGCGGTTACGGTCGACAGCGCTGGCCGGATGAGAGACAAAGTCTCTCCGACGACGCCTCAGCACGAATGTCAGTGTACACGGCCGTGGAGTCCCGCGCCGCAAAACTGGGCTGCTTGCTAGTGTCTTTACGCGCTAGCATCAACCCGAGCGAGTATCTAATCCGCATCTAAGCATCCATACGCGGGCCTGGGTACTCTGTGGCGACGCTAAGAGGCAGCCGAGCCGCCGGCAAAAGCAACAAAGCCGAGCAAAAAGCGACAAATAGAGGGCAATTAACCCGCAGTCCAGCACGTACAGCTGCGCGAAGCCTGCTGTCGCATCGTGACATCTGTGCTTGCAAGCACAAATACTCGAAGGCCGCAGCATTTTAGTTGCTGTGAAGCCGAGCAGCCAAACTGCAAAATAAACTAAGCGGCGCCGGGCAACCATGGGCCTCACGAACGCCGAGCTCGGTTTAGTACTGACCACGGTCGCCGGCTCGGCCACGGCGCTGGGCGCCGCCGTCGTCTTCTCCGAGCGGCTCGTGCAGTTGGCCTCGAAGCCCTTCCTCGCCGGCGCGCTCGGCCTGTCGAGCGGCGTCATGCTCTACGTGTCGTTTGTGGAGATCTTCGTCAAGGCCTTGGACGGCTTCGCGGACAGCAGCGCGTTCGGCGACAGCGACGCTTACTTAATGGCGACCGCGGCTCTTTTTGGGGGCATGGGCTTCATGTCCGGCCTCGACGCGCTCGTGCACTGGCTCGACCCGAACCGCTCGGCGCACCACGCGTCGGACCCGCGCAAGCACATGGCGGACCCCGCCCCCGACCTCGCCCCGTGCTGCGAGCTCGACGACGGCGTCTTCGACGAGATCGAGCGAAGGCGGGCCGCGGCCGCGGCCGGCGCGCCGGCCGCGGCCGACGAGCCCCCCAAGGCTGATGATACGACGAAGGATAAAAGGTTGGAGTCCATGGGCATGATGACGGCCCTAGCCATCGGCATCCACAACTTCCCGGAGGGCCTGGCCACTTTTGTGGCTACGCTCGACGACCCCGCAGTAGGAGCCTCCTTAGCCATCGCCATCGCGATCCACAACATCCCCGAAGGATTATGCGTGTCCATCCCCATCTACTTCGCGACGGGCGACCGCTGGAAGGCCTTCCGCTGGGCGCTGCTGAGTGGTGTCTCGGAGATCGTCGGGGCACTCTTAGGATGGGCTTTACTGAAGGACCACTTCGACAATTTGCTCTATGGCATCGTCTTCGGCATGGTCGCGGGCATGATGATCATGATCTGTCTCAACGAACTGATCCCGACGGCGCACCGGTACGACCCGCGGGACAGGGTCGTGACGAAGTCGATCGTGGCGGGCATGGCGGTCATGGCGGCGTCGCTCTGCCTCTTCGTCTACGGCTGATTATTAGTCCCCCCCTTTGCTGTAAGAGATGAGTCGTGTTTTGGTCGTTCGCCTCGATGGCGTAAAGGCGGCGTTCTGTTACGGTGCTAGGGCTTGTGGGGCGGAGTTCCGGGGGGGGAGGCACCCTGCATCGTCGATTCATGGCTGGTGCCGTCGGCGCGTCGCGCCTGAGTTTCGAGTTTGAAGCCGCCGCTTGCCTTCCGTACACCTGAGGCTCTGCCTCCACTGTTCTACGAGTCGCACGCAGGCCTCTGCCGGCGGCCGCGAATGAGAGTTTGACTCTCAGCCCTCGGCATCATCGAGCTGGCGCAGCAAATAAAAGTTCCGCAGACGCGATCCAAGCAGAGAAAACCACTGTACAGCACGCGTAGACCCTCTACGCACCGCCTCCGTACAGTTTTCCTTGCACCGAACCGAGCTTATCTCGGTCTACGTGGCGTACCAAGCTAGACGACATCCACCAAGATGCTTCTCAGCCGTGCGCGTCCCGCTTTGCGCAATGTCGCCCGCCAGCAGCGCATGCTCAGCGCGGCGCCGCAGCCCGTGTACGAGCCCCACGTCGCATGCACCAGTGTCGAATTCGCGTGTGCGCCGAGACGGAACCGGCCGGATATTTCAAAACCACCCGCCACGCCGTCGACGCGATGCCAGCATAGCCGCGACGCTGCCGCAACGACGCCAGAACAGCGCGACGCCGCCGCCGCGACGCCAGAATAGCTCTGCAGCTCACCCGTCCACGAAAACGCAGGTCCCCCAGCAGAAGATCGACGAGAACGGCGGCCTCATGGAGTACTCCGTGGTTTACACCGACCGCGCTATGAATCATATGTCAGCGCCCTTCCAGGAGATCATGAACGACCTCCACACGTCGCTCACGAACGCCTACAACACGCAGCACGCCGTCATGCTGCCCGGGTCGGGTACCTACGCCATGGAGGCGGCGGCCCGCGCCTTCGGCCACGAGGGCGACGTCGTCGTCGTCCGCAACGGCTACTTCTCCTACCGCTGGTCCCAGCTCTTCGAGTGCATGGGCAAGAGCGACGACCAGGTGCACGTGATGAAAGCGAGACCGGCGAACGGCTGGTCCGACGACGAGGACCGGGGGGTGCAGCCCCCGCCCATCGAGGAGGTCGTGGCCAAAATCCGCGACGTGAAGCCGTCGATGGTCTGCGCGCCGCACGTCGAGACGTCGGCGGGGATCATCCTCAACAAGGAGTACTGCAAGGCCATTGGGGATGCGTGCAAGGAGGTCGGCGCGACGTTCTGCCTCGACGGCGTCGCCTCGGGCACGGCCTGGGTCGACATGGACTACGCGAACATTGGGGCCTACATCACGGCGCCCCAGAAGGGCTGGTCGGGCCCGGCGGCCGTTGGCGTCTGCATGATCGCAGTGCGTAAATCAAAATTCGCGGCGCTTCGACATCCGACTCACTGGTTGATTTGCCCACAGGCATGATGTCTGACGAGGCCGCGGAGAAGGCGTCGCACGCGCCGTCGACGTCCTTCACCGTCGACCTGCACAAATGGAAAACCGTGATGGGAGCTTACCGCGACGGCGGCCACATGTACCACGCTACGATGCCGACGGACGCCATCAAAATTTTCAGAGACGTGGTTCACGAGACCGAGAAGTTCGGATTGAAGGAGGCCGAGAAGGCGACGTGGGATTTGGGAATGGGTGTCCGCAAGGTGCTCAAGGACAAGGGCTACACGTCCGTTGCCGCCGAGGGCTGGGAGGCGCCTGGCGTAGCCGTCGTCTACGCGAACAACGACCCGACGTACGCGGGCCACTTCAAGAACGCGCAGTTCCAGATCGCGGCCGGCGTGCCGCTCGTGCTCGGCGAGCCGGACCACTACAACTCGTTCCGCATCGGCCTGTTCGGCCTGGACAAGCTCATGCACGTCGACAAGACGATCCGCAACTTCGAGGTCGGGCTCGACGCGGTCATGGCGGCGAAGGGCATGTAGGTCCGTTCCCCGTGCGTAATCTAGTAAAAAATCTTGAGTCATCTGTTCTTGCGGCGATGGCGTCTCCGTGGGCCCGGTTCCTGTAAACCTCAGCGTCTCGGGGGCGTCTGTGGCGTCGATGGCGTCTCCGTTCTCGTCGGCGCGCTCTCCGCGGTGCGCGGCCGCCGTCCGGGCCCGACCCAAGCGTCGCGGATCCGTGCGCACACCCCTCTCGATCCTCTCTACCTTCCTTTGGGAGCTTTCCGACGGGCGACATACCCGCGCAGCTTCGCAGAGCTAGCTTGGTGAGTGAGAGCATTGGCGCAATTTTCAGCCGCGCAGGTTGCAGGTGGTGCTCGCGCAGCCGCAGCACAACAATTAGTGAACAAACCACTTGCGCAAGTGAGAATGCAAGATGTCTGCCAGTTGGTGGTGTTTCAAGAGGTGGTGGCTGCATAAGTGGCGCAAGTGTACGAAGTGCTGCCGCAAAAAGCGCTGGTAAAAAATGGTCGTCTGGCCAGCACTCGCGCGGGCAATGTGTGCGCGCTACGGCGTCCGCGCGCCGATCGTCCAGGCGCCGATGGCCGACGCCGTCGACTGGCGCGTCGCTGCGGGCGCGGCGCGGGCGGGCGTTCTCGGTAGCATTCCCTGTGCAACACTCGCGCCTGATGCCATCGCTCCTGCAGCACAGAATTTCCGGGAAACTGCCCTTGGCGCGCCGCTGCATCTCAACTTTTTTACGACGCACGACGCTGCGGCGCCGACGGAAGCGCGACAAGCGCGCTGGATGGAGGAACTGGCGCCTTACTATAAGGAGGCCGGCGCGACGCCGCCGTCGAGCGCCGAACTCGTAGCGACAAACGGTCGCGCTTCTTTTGACGAGGCCGCGTGCGCGGCCGTCGAGGCCGTCAGACCGGATATCGTTTCATTTCACTTTGGGCTGCCGGAGGACGCGCTCCTGGACCGCGTGAGGGCCACCGGCGCGAGCGTGTGGTGCACCGCCACGACCGTCGCCGAAGCTCACGCACTCGCCCGACGCGTCGACGTCATCATTGCCCAGGGCGCCGAGGCGGGCGGCCACCGGGGCTCGTTCCTCGGCAATTGTTACGTGAAACCGCCGCTGGTCGGGACCATGGCCTTGGTGCCACAGATCGTCGACGCCGTCAGCGTGCCGGTGATCGCGGCCGGTGGCTTGGCGGACGGTCGCGGCGTCGTCGCGGCGCTCGCGCTTGGGGCGAGCGGCGTGTCCGTGGGCACGACGTTCCTCCGCGCAAACGATGCATTGATCAACGACGGCCACCGCGCCGCTTTGGAATCGAGCCGCGACGATGCCACGGTTGTCACGAACGTATACTCAGGCCGGCCCGCTCGCGGCTTCGCGAACCGCCTCGTGCGCGAGCTGGGGCCTATTTCTCCAGCAGTGCCCGAATTTCCCTGGGCGTCGACGGCGGCGAAGCCGCTATCTACCGCGAGTGGAGAGTTCCACGGTAGCCGATGGGCGGGGCAGGCCGCGGCGATTGCGTCTCCGCGGGGCGACGGGGAGGCCGTCGCAGCGTGGCTTGTCGCGGACGCGGAGCGGGTGTTGGGTGGGCTCCTGTAGATTGTTAAGCATACCATAAGTATACCATAAGTATACCATAAGTATACCAGACAAGGCTCCCATAGCTTTGCTTTGCAACCCAGAGAGCGACAAGACACGTCTGATTTGAGGCGCGTTAGTTAGCCCTTTGCTGAGAACGATAGAATATCGATCGACCCTGGCAAGCTAAGGTCCTGGCACCACTGAAATCAAGCTCATGGTTGTCCTCGCACCTCCTCCGGCGCCGCGATTGCAGGCTGTCGCCGTCAGTCTATGCATTAATGGCGGCGCGATGATAGCCTGGGCCAGGCACGTCTTCAAGCACAAGGGTATCATCGAGGGGATCGAGGGCCCGCGCGCCATAGAAAAAAAGACAGAACTTGACGCGATGATATGGAAGATCCTATCATTTTGGATGGTGTGCGTCGGCGTAATGTGCATCTTGGTTGCCGACTCGCCACTGGCGCCCCAGGCCGCGATGCTGGTTGCGACGGCGCACTTTGTCGAGATGTATTTCAAGTCCCAAGCAGCCGAAAGGAAAATCAGGCAGGCCGCGCTCGGCAACATGATCCTCGGTACCTTCTTGGTTATGACGCTATTGATGGACTATCGCCGGCCCGAGCGGGTGACCAGCCAGCTGGACGAGACTCACAAGAGCTCCGGACGCCACGCCAGACATCCATTGTTTTGGTTGTTTATTATTTTTGTCGGCTGTTCTGGGATACTTTCACCTGCTCAGCGCACTCCGCCGTCGGCGGAGGCTCCAGATGCCTCGCTCGTAGCCTAAGCATCCCCACACTTCTCATAGAGTCTAGCTGGCGAGTAATAACGATATAGTTTTATGGACAGGAGATAACCCCGGGTAGGGGGAAATCAGGCGGAGCCGTGGAACGACGACCGCGAGTGCTGGCGCGACGGGTAGAGCAGGCCCGGCGCGCGGTAGTAGCCCTGGGCGTCGAGCGCGTCCCGCAGGGCGGCGCAGACCAAAGCCGCGTTCTCGCGGCGCGCGTTGTAGCCCATCAGCCCGATGCGCCAGACCTTGCCCGCCAGCGCGCCGAGCCCGCCGGCGATCTCGATGTTGTAGTTCTCCCTTAAGTAAGTGACCACCTTCCCACCGTCGATGCCCTCCGGGATCTTCACCGTCGTAAGAGTAGGCAACCGGTGCTCCCAGTCGACGTGGCACTCCAACCCAATCTTCTCGAGCTCGTTCCAGAAGAACTCCGCCGCGTCGCGGTGCCGCGACCAGGACGCCTCGAGGCCTTCCTCCGTCAGGATGCCCAGCGCCTCCCGCAACGCATAGGCCATACTGATCGGCGCCGTATGATGATACACGCGCGGCACGCCGAAGTCGTTGACCACGAGGTACTGCTTGATCATGTTCATATCTAAGTACCAGTTCTTCACTTGTTCGCCGGCGGCCGTGCGCTTGTCCATCTTCGTGAGCGCGCGGTCGCCGAAGGTCAGGGGCGCGATGCCGGGGGGGCAGGACAGGGCCTTCTGGCCGCCGGCGTACGCGGCATCCACACCCCACTCGTCCAAGCGCACGGGCAGGCCTCCGATACTTGTGACCGTGTCCGCCGCCAAGAGGCAGTCGTGGTTGCGCGCGATCTCGCCGAGCTGGTCCATGGGCTGGCAGGCGCCCGTCGACGTCTCCGCGTGCGCGACCCAGATCATGTCGGGCTTGTGCTCCGCGCAGGCCGCGTCGACTTCCTCCGGCGTGAAGACCTCGCCCCAGGGCTTTTCTAATTTAATAATCTCGGCGCCGTAGCGCGACGCCATGTCGCAGTGGCGCAACCCAAAATAGCCATTCACCAGAACCAAATGCTTGTCTCCCGGTGACGTGAGATTCGCACAGAGCGCCTCCCACGCCGCAGAACCAGTGCCGCTACACGGAACAGTAAAAGGATTCTTCGTCTGCCAGGCGTAGCGCAGCATCTCCTTGATCTCCTCGGCCATCTGGAGGAATGCACCATCCATGTGCCCAATTTGGGGCAAGGCCATGGCCGCATGGACGCGCGGGTGGGCGTTGCCGGGCCCCGGGCCCATGAGCAGGCGCTTCGGCGGGTTGAATGCGCCGACCTCCGGCTGCTCTACTAACAGCGACACGGGCGGCAGCATATGCGTCGGGGCCGGGTTCACGCCCTGGCCGGCCGTCGGCGCGATGGCGCTTGCTTGTCTTGTGGCGACGCGCTGCGTGAGGCGGTGGGCGGCGCGCATCGTTGTCTTTTGCGTCGATGGCGTGCGGGAGGGGTGCTTGCTGAGCCTCAAGGAGCTGACTGGCGTTTGCGCGCTCCCTAGGCGTTCGCGCTTGCAGTTCGCGGCGCGCACAGCGTAGGTGAAGGAGCGCGGCGAACGCTACGAGGCGTTCAAGTGCAGGCGATTGGCGGGGTCGCCTTACGAAAAGGCACTCAAGTCTGATGTTGTCATGCGTTGCTAGTGTGTCTTACAGGACGCTAGCGGATTAGTGCGCGCAGTGAGACAAGAGAGCAACTTGGCGCGCAAAGGCAAAAGAGCTGCCCATCACGCGTGGAGAGAACCGCATTTGTCGTACAGAACAGCGAAATGCAGCGGCAGCCCCGCAGCGATGGCATGACCCACTGAGACCATGCTGACCGGCCTCGACGGCGACCTGAGAGCCCTCGCCGCCGAGTTAGAACAGGCCCAGGACGCGGTCAAGGGCGAAGTGGCCACACTAACGGAAGAACTCATCGCCGCGAAACTACTCATAGCCGAGAAGGAGGAGATCATAGAAAGGCTGCGACGCGAGGCGCGCGCGCCGAAGATAGAAGAAGACGCGACGGCGGACGAGCTGAGGGCGCTCCTCGCGTCGGAACGGGCCCATCATAAAAAGCAGTTGGACGACGCCCACGCGCGATTAGCGGAGGTCGTCCCTCTACCGATGTCGTCGCCGGACTCGACGCGCGACCTGTCGACGCCGCGCTTTAGTCCGGACAAGCAGAAGGGCAAGATGTTCTCGCGCGCGGTCACGAAGGCGTCGACGCTGAAACAGCGCGCCAGGGACGCCTACAAAGCACGGAGGAAAGTAGTAGAGATGTCTATTGATCAACTCCTCGCGAACGCGCCGCTCTTCGCTTCACTATCAATGGAGGAAAGAACGGACCTCGCCGACCAGTGCATCGCCGCCGAATTCAGGAAAGGTGAAGTTATCAGTCAAATGGGCGACTACTCGGACCAGATGTGTCTGGTAGCGCGAGGCGCGGTACGATTAAGCGTGGAGGGCACCGAGGTCGCGGCGGTCGAGCCGGGCGGGTCCTTTGGGGACGATTCGTTGATGCACGATCTGCGACGGTCGTCGACGGCGACGGCTTCGACTGATATCGTGAAGCTCGTTTGCGTGCCGCGGCGGGCGCTGCGGGAGGTTTTGAGAGGTGAACGAGATACACGGAGTTTGTGGGACGCCTACCGGTCATACGAGGAGTCTCTGTTGAAAAGATTAGTGCAGGACGTCGAAAGCGCCAAGACGCGCCAGGAATACCTCATAGCTCTGGGGAGGCACCGCGCGACGGCGTCGTTGATTCCCTTGGAGCCCACATCAAAGATGCTGCAGCGGGGCGGCAAAGATGCAAGACGCAAGCAGTTCATCGTGGACCTGCGAAGGGAGTCGTCGCTCATCGTCAATAATGAGAGGTACCCGCTGGATGATGAAACGGACTTCGAGGCGTTCATGAGCTTGTTGGAGGGGCTGGCGCATAAGGCGGCTTCCGCACCGGTCTCGAATGATAGGAGCGCCGTGCAGCTGCCCCCGTCGCTCGTCGGGTTCTTGCCGTTGTTGTTTGCCGAGGACGCCGAGCATGTCGAGGATAATGTGCAGGAACGCCGCGAGGCGGACCCCGCCCGCGTCGACTCTATATTGTTACAGTTGCTGGCGTCGTGCTCGCGGACGACGTCAGGTGGCGAGTCCTTCGCGCGCTGCCACGAGCTGTTTGGCTCTGGAGATGTGGTGGTATTGACGCCCTCGCCCGAGCTCACGTCGCCGACGCGAATAAGGGTATTACGCGACGACCTCGTCATGCTCACGTCCACAAATACCTATAGGGTGCAGCACGCCGACGAGCGGAAGATCGTCCGGGGCACGGGCTACTCGACGTGGTGTTTGCTCGTGACGTCCGTCGTGGAGGTCCTGGATTTGAGCGACGAGGATGGGTCCGTGCGCCACATGTCCATCTCGTTCTACCACCCGGGCGCGGAGAACGCGATTCGGATGCAGGCGGAGGACTCGCCTTTGTCGCCGTCGCGGGACCTGTCTGCGGCCGCGTCCCGCGAGGAGGCGGCGCCCCTGTGATTTATATAAGAGAGGATAGTTTTATAGACGTCTTCGCGTCGGGTGGCGTATCGGGGTGCGAGGAGATTAGTTGTTCGCTGTACTTACTGGCCCCCCGGCGACGCCTCGCGGGCGCGGAGCGCCGCTCGCGCGTCTCGCAACTCGAGTTCAATACAGTCTGTGGTCGGGTGTGCACCACCGAACACGCGCCGCGCGATCCGCTCCGAGTCCTCAAGCGTCGTCACGGCCTCGCGGAGATCGTCGAGTGTGGCGGCGTCGTCGGCGTGGTGGAGCGCCATCGCGTAAAGCCACCGCATTTTGAGCGTGATTAGATGGCCCTCGCCAAGAACGCGTTGCGTCACGGGAATCAAGTCGCGCAGCAACGTCTTGGCTTCTCCGTAGCGCCTTAGACAATTAAGGGTCGACGCGTTGTTGTTGGCTGCTGCGAGGCTGTCTATATGTTCCCTCCCGCGGACCATAACTGTCCCGGAGTAAACGTCTTGCCGCATCTGCAGGGCCTGTTCGAGCCGTCCAATCTTTTGATACGTGTTCGCAATATTGCCCTGCACGGCGAGCACGTGTCCTGCTGACGCGCCAAGGCGCCGCTTCATAGCCAGCTCGGCCTCTTGCACAGACAACGCGTCCTCGTTGTAATTTGCAAGTTGTAAACCGTTCCCAAGCTGGTTCATCGCGATTTGCCGAGGAGCGTCCGTCTCTGGCCGCCCCACGTACGTCTTCCAGCAAGCCCACCCGAGCGCGCACCGCACGACGCCGTGGTACTCCTGCTCGCATAAGCTACAGCTGGCCCACCGCCGCCACCGCGCATTAAACGCATCATTGCCCAAATTATTCTCCTCGACCTCCGCGACCAAAATCTTCGCCTGCTCCGCCAAGCACGACACATGCGCAAAGCCCGCCGTCCCGCGGCACGCGCACCCGCGCACGAGGCCCTCCTTTGTTTTCCAGTGGAGAGCCTGGGTGCAGATGAAGCACGTCTGGCCCTTCGTGTCGTCCGCGCACGCCTCGACCGCGACCGCGACGGCCTCCTTGTATTTTTTGTCTGCATTATACTGTTCTGCGTTGCCGCCGCGGTGTATTTTCTTACACATCTGCTTGTGGCCGCGGCGCCAGTGGTCATGCTGGCAAGTGGCGTTACAATAGCGAGTGTGACATCTAACACATCGCGGCGCGTCGTGGGCCAGTGGGGCGGCGCAGGCGGCGCATGTTGTGAGGATCATTTTGCGTTTTGCGGTGAGTTTTTGCGGTTTGCGGCGGCTTTTGCGCATATTTTGACTCGGCTTGGCAAACCCGATTTTTTCAACTCACCAAAACGCGCGACGCGAACGCTCTACAGACGGCCCGCCAACGCAAAATGATCCTCACAAACTGCGCCGCCTGCGCCGCCCCACTGGCCCACGACGCGCCGCGATGCGTACGCTGTAAAACGCGCTATTGTAACGCCACTTGCCAGCATGACCACTGGCGCCGCGGCCACAAGCAGATCTGTAAACGAATACACCGCGGCGGCAACGCAGAACACTATCACGCCGACAAAAAATACAAGGAGGCCGTCGCGGTCGCGGTCGAGGCCTGCGCCGACGACACGAAGGGCCAGACGTGCTTCATCTGCACTCAGGCGCTCCACTGGAAGACGAAGGAGGGTCTCGTGCGCGGGTGTGCATGCCGCGGGACGGCGGGCGTCGCGCATGTTTCGTGTCTGGCGGAGCAGGCGAAGATTTTGGTCGCGGAGGTCGAGGAGAATAATTTGGGATTCGATGCGCTGAATGGGAGGTTTGAGCGGTGGCACACGTGTAGCCTGTGCGAACAATATTACCACGGCGTCGTGCGGTGCGCGCTCGGGTGGGCGTGCTGGAAAACGTACTTGAGTCGGCCGGAGACGGACTCGAGTCGGCACTTGGCGATGCAACAGCTTGGGAACGGTTTACACAATGCAAAACGCCACGAGGAAGCGCTGTCCGTGCAAGAGGCCGAGTTGGCTATGATGCGGCGCCTTGGCGATTCAGAATTCAACATACTCATCGCGCAGAACAATCTTGCGGGCACGTATCAAGTTGTTGGGCGGGCTGAAGAGGCCTCAAACATGTTTCGAGACATTTACTCCGGACGTTCAAAGTTAGTGGGCGAGGACCATCCGAAAACCCTTCTAGCAGCCTGCAACTACGCGGACAACCTTCGCGGTCTAGGGCGCTTCGAAGAAGCCAAGTCACTGCTACGCAAAACGATACCCGTGGCGCGGCGCGTTCTCGGCGAGAATAATGACATCACGCTCTCGATAAGGTCCGTTTACGCGCAAGCGCTCTGCACGGACGACTCCGCCACGCTCGACGATCTCCGCGAAGCCGTGACGACGCTGGAGGAGACGGCACGGACCGCGAGACGCGTGCTTGGTGGCGCGCATCCCCTCACATTGAATATTGAGGGCTGCCTGCGATACACGCGAGCCGCGCTCCGCGCCCGCGAGACGCCGTCGCCGGGGAACGCCTAGGTAAGATATTTCGAGTTACACAAATCTAGCGCGACGACCGCCGCGATTTCCTCTTCTTCGGCACAGGGCTGGCGTCGCTATCGCTGTCCTCCGCCGGCGCCGCGGCGAACAAGTCGTCCGCCGTATAAACGCGCGGCGCCGCCGCGGCGCGCGGCCGCTTCGCCGGAACAGACTCTTCTTCGACCGTCAGACACCGCCTTTCCAGAGCGCCCAACACAGAGTCGACGAGGTAGGTCTGCTGGAGCAGCCCGTCCAAGCGCGCCAAATGCCTTTTGGTATACGCGGCGACGGCGTCGCGGAGCGCCGCGTCTTTTAATAACGTGTCGGCCCCGTGCGCCTTGATCAACGCCCGTAGGGCGCGCTGCGCAATCGGCGCTCTCCTAGCGTTCGCGTTCCAGTCAACGATCGCCGTCAGAAGCTTTTGCGATTGATCTAGTTCTAGATCGGAGAACGCCTCATCAAAAGGATCCAGGGTCGCTTCTCCGGAACTCCGCTCGTGGATAGCTTTCAAACAGCCCCAGGCCGCGTGCGGCCGCTCCAAGGCTAGCGCTTGCTTCAGCGCTGAAACAGGATCACCTGATTGTAGAGCCGTCCGCAGCGCCTGGTCCCGCGCCTCCCGTTCCGCGTCCTTCTCCCTTTCTGATTGTAGATCAGAAGCCGTCACGTCCTCAAAGACGCGCACGGTCCCGTCGCCTCCCCCAGAAACAACCTTCCCGTCATACGTCGCGAGTGCCCAGACTCTACAATCCTCGTAAGCTTCGATGGTGCATTCACACGTCCGCGTCTGCGGCGACCAGACCTTGAGCGTGCCGTCGGCGCCACCTGATACTAATTGATCACCCTTCAGGAACGCTAGACTCAATACGGAGTCCTCGTGGCCCTGCAGGACAGCTAAGCATTGTCTTGTTTTCACGGCCCAGACCCTTACAGTCCTATCAGAAGCACACGTGGCGAGCCACCGCTCTTTCGTACTGAATACGCAGCGCCAGACGCCCCTTTTATGTCCTAAACAGGACCCCTGCGCATTCAATTGAGAATCCCAGAGCTTGGCAGTCCGGTCCGAGGAACAAGAAGCCACGACGACACAGCCCGGACTCAGGGCCACGTCATTAATGTCCTTGTCGTGCGCTATCGTTGAGGCGGTGCACTGCCCATCTTGCCATAATTTCAGCGTCCTATCTTTGGAAGCGGTGGCACAGACCAACTCGTCACCTCGTTTGCCCAGAGCCACGGCGCCGACGCTATCGACGTGGCCCTCTAAGGTACTGATGAGGTCCCATCTTCCTGAAGAAGTCTCGCGCCAGATTTTGGCCGTCCGATCTTTCGAGGCGGACGCGACATACTCGTCACAAGAGGCCACGGCCAGGACCGCGTCGGCGTGGCCACTTAAGAACGTTGTGCGCCAATCATGCGTGTCCACGATCCGGACCGTCTCCGACGGCGTCGCGAGGGCCAACCGCGAACCGTCGCCCAGAAACGCCGCGTCCAACACTTCGTCGTCGCCTCCACACAGAGCATGTCGCGTCTCCTTCAGAGTCACGCAATCGACGAAGCGCACGCTTCTATCATGACCCGTCACGACGAGGTCGTTTTCGAAGCGAGAGAGACTTTCCAAAGGGCCCGTCGTCGCGGACTCTTCGTTGTAGGCTCTGTGTACCTTCCCGTCCGCGTACCTCCAAGCCCGCACGACACCATCCGCACCAGCCGACGCGAACTGCCGCCCTCCGTCGTCGGCCGGCGGCAACAGTGTCAGAGTTTCGAGGTCCTCTTTACTGGAAACGGTGATCTCATTCATTCCATCCCACACGGTCAACGTCGCGTCGCGCGCGGCGAGGGCCAGCGTCCGATCATCCGCATTCCGCGGCCCGGGCAGCCAGCACATGCTTGCTACGGACGCCTTGAGCGACACCGATGCAATCTGAGACGAACTTTTCAAATCCCACACATGCACGTCGAAAGCCCTCGCGGTCGCGAGGATCAACGAGAAGGGGTGGTGTTTTACGGAAGTCAAAACGCCGCCGCCAGCGGGCGCGAAGCGGTGCGTCGGCGTGAGGTTCCGTCTGGAATCAAAAACGCGGCACGTGCCGTCTGCTGATGCTGTGGCGATTAACGCGCCCGTACTGTCCACGTCAATGGCCTTCACGGGCGCCTTGTGGCACTGGCGCGCCGCGTCTCCACTAAGTGTGAGGTCTTCATCGTTCCAAGTCAGGGCGTAGGCCTTGAGGAGCTGCCTTGTTGTGGTCGTGTAGAGCTTCGCGCCGTCCGTCCAAAACGCGCTCGCGTCGTCGTCGCCGCCTAGGTCGCTGAGTTTCCAGACTTGTCCGGTCTCGTGGTCCAGCGCTCGTACGCCACCGTCGTGCAGGCCGAAGATGATGAGCTTGTGGTCGATTTTCACGGCGCGCGGCGCGCCGCGGGTGGAGACCGCTTCACGCGCCGGGGCTTTTGCGGGTGCCAATCGCTTTACACTCAGCGGCGCGGCGTCGTCCATCGCTGGGTCGCTCATGCCGCGTAGACTGCTTGCACTTGCTGCACAGTGCTGCTGCGTATTGTGCACGCACTGGTGGTGCAAGATTGCTGCTCCGGCTGTGCGCGATTGATGGACAGCTCTCAGTGTGTCAACGTCGATCACTGCCACTCACGGAGCCTGTTACAGCCTCGTCGCCGTCGCAGAGCTTGGCTTGCTAGTGTCTTTACAGCCGCTAGCACTTTCACCCCCATAATTACCCCCATGATATCTCTCGGGGTTAGTTCTATCAAGGAATTACTTCCCATCGCGGGCGCGGGAACGGATTTGCTCCGACAATATCTTGTACTCGGGTTCCGATATTTCGCGATGTATAAGGCGAACGTTCAGCTCACGTTGGGCCTAAGGGCACACCCAGAAAGGTTCGGCTCGTCACGGTCGTGTGCGCGACCGCCTTTTGTTTCCCAAATATCTAATAACCAATTTTCCAACGCTGGATCCAGCCATTGGCGCTGTTTTTGCGGTACATTAGTGCTACGCCGCGGGGCGACGCCTGGCAAACGCTTGGCACATCCAAGTCTCGGTACGACTGCATGTAAGAGATTTCAAGCACCTTGCAGCAACACCTCCACCACGCGGACAGGTCGCTCGGTGCGTGAGCAAGATCCACCCCGCGCCAGTGGTCCCGCGCCTCGTACACGTCCCAAGTAACTATCTCTCCTCCAGATGAGGGTAGAACTGACAACAGCCCTCGCGTGCCTGCTCACTTGCCTTGCGCTCACAGTGGGGAAGGTATTATATTTCACCAAGGAAACTTATTATGTAGTCCTGCGGCCCAATTTGATCGAACGGACCTGGCACTGCGACCCGGCCAACGCCCGCTCTGCGCTGTGCGACGGTCACGAGGCGAACCGGTCGTACTTCCGCGGCATGGGCTTCCCGGACCAGTCGTGCGCCGACGCCTACTGGCTAAAGAAATACGCCAAAGATATCGCATACCCCGACGGTCCGAGTACGACAAAAATGACCCTCATGTTCTCCGCGTACTCACTGCCGTGGGTGCCGCCGGTGCCGCCGCCCGCGCCGGTTCCGGGGCGGCCGTCACTGCCGTGGGATCAGCGGGCGTACGAAGAGGCCCTGGAGCGCGGCGGGGAGCTTTTCGAGTACATTACCCTCTTTGACGACCTCTGCGCCGACCGCGGATTTTGCGCGGCGCAGGGCTACGGCCCCGAGGACTCGCTCGGTCGCCATTTCAGAAAAGACAAGGATATTGAGGCGCCCAATCGGTTTCAATATCTCGCTCCGAGGGGGCGGTGCTGGGACGTGCTCGAGGCGCGGGACCACCAGTGGCGTGGGTTGGACCCTGCTCACGCGCCGAGCGACTTGAAAACCTGGTGGAGGTGTTGCTGCAAGGTGCATATGATAACGAAGCGCGACTCGGACGTGCCGACCGTTTGCCAGGCGTCGCCCCGCGGCGTAGCGACGAAGGCCATTGTCGAGGCGGACCTTCGTTTCAACCGTGCCCAGGGGGGAAACAGACGTGGCGCGTGTCGTTTTATTAATTGCTAGCTCGTTTATTTGCAACGCACGGCTCATGAAAAGGTTCCTTACCTAAGACTCACGGGATGATGTTCCCCCGGAATCGCGAACGGGTCCCGCCCGAGGTCGCTGCGCCAGCGCCCCAAATGCCGGACCTTGCCCCCGATGTTCCGCGCGATGAAGCTTCGCATATTTTCTTTTTTGCGTCTCCTGGGCGGCGCTGCAATCGCCATGAGCGTAGCGATCTCGGCGCCCAGCTTATCGTCCGGATGCATCATGCGGTCGACGGAGGCCAGCTGCATGACCCGATCGGGCGACTTCCGCGCGATCGGTTTAGTCGTAGAAACCTCCTCCTCGCTCGTGGGGAACGACTCCTGGGGGCCCGCGGCCAGCACGACGGCTCTTACATCAATAGCCTTCGCCACCACATCCAATTCTCGCCGATAGCCGAGCTGGCCCAATCTATTCCGAGCCTCGGCGACCGACCCTTCCGCATCCGCCAACGCGCAGCAGGCCACATCCGGCGCGACATCTCTATGAGCTTTCCGGACCGCAGCGACATCCACCGCTAATCTTTCGGTAGAACCCCGGGCCGCCTCCCTTAGAGCACTTCGCCACTGCTCCAAATAAGTAGCGTCGAGCTCGCCCGGCGGGACATATCCTAGTTTGCGGTAGCGCGCTATCGCCCTTCTTCGTCCCGTCGTCGTGGCGCCCGCTTGGGAAGGTAACGACGGCAAGGACGGCAAAGCCTCCTCCCGTCTCCGCGACGACGTGCGGACGGGCCGGAACAGCCCCGCCTCGAGCTCCGCGCGTCTCGTGCGCTCTTCAAACGGAGTAGCAATGTAGGGGTTCCGCGTCTTCTGCTCGAGGCGCCTTCTCGCCAACGCGTCCAACCTTTTGATCTCGCGCTGTGCCGCCTTGGCAATTTGCGCCTCCCGGGCCTGGCGCCGTTGTTCCTTCAGGGGGGCTTCTCTCGCTCGCTTCTCCCGGTCTAATCGCTCGCGGTCGTTCTTCCCGCGGATGCGCGACTGCAGCTTCGAGGCCGCGACGTCTTGGGTCTTGGGCGGCGGTTTCGTGGGATTCAACCTCTCGTTCCGTCCCCTAATGCGCGCTTGGAGTTTGGAAGCCGCTTTATCTTCATCTGGTGGTAGCGGGTCGCCCAGTACCAAACTGCCATCTACTACCTGCAATCGAGCCGCGAGCTTCTCGCAGACCATACGTTGCTCCTCTGTATTACTGTTCTCGGGAATGCGGCACAGGACGACGTAACCCGCCGACCCGCCGGAGCAGTCCAACGCCCGAGCCTCCAACCTGCCGTCGCGCGCCGCGAACCGCACGAGTAGCGACTGGCCGTCGCGCGTGCGCACGCCGCACGACAGCACCAAGACGCCCTTGGCGAAGTCCCGTCCTTGCGTCTTCGCAGGGTCCCAGGAACCTTGTGCTAAAGATGGTTCAAAGCTGACCCGTGATCCTACTGATTGCGAGTCGAGGTCACTCCCAGGACTAGGACTCCGAGCCATGGCCCTTGAAATCTCCTCTCGAGCTTCGCGAACCGCGGTCTCGGCCATGTCAGCTCTTGACTCAGCTTGGACCTTCTCCTTGCGTAAGGCGTCCGCTTCGCCCTTGGCCATTTTTAAAGCTTTGGTGAGAAACATTAAATTCTCACGAGTAGCCTTCACCAACTCGCTTGACCGTTGCGCGTCGCGCTTGTGCCGTTCCGCCTCGTCCTCCAAACGTGCATATTTTTCGACCATCTCGGCGCGATGCCGATCCGCGTCTCTGAGGGCTTCCTTCTCGTGCTCCATCTGGGCCACTCTGAGCTCCAGTTCTTCGGCTCGTTTCTGCTCCTTCGCGAGGGCGCTCCTCAAGCCTTTTTCTAGGACCGTGTCGATGTCGGCCGTTTTGGGACGCTCCCCAGGCTGCATCATCTCCTCCAGGGTGACCTGAGACTGTTCATCTTCTTCCTCCTCTTGTAACTTTTGCTGGGCGGCCTTCTCGCGCGCGTAGATCGTTCGCTTTCTTTGGCGCCACATCCTCGCGACCGCGGCGACCGCCGTCGCCGCTATGGCCAAATCATTTCCAACGGGAGGCAATCGAGCCAAGAAAGCATCGATAGTCACCGCGTGTTCGTCGTCGTCGTTCGCCTCGGCGTTGGACCAGGCCGTCTCGACGGCTCGTAATTGCGTCGATTCAGGCGCGCGATCGATCGCGGCTCGTAGCGCACCTAACGCCGCATCGTGCTTGCCGCACCTTCTTTTAGCTTTCGCTAATCGGTACCAATGGGCTCGGCCCGCACCATCCGCATCCCTCCGAGCCCCTTCCTCGTACAGATCCGCGGCATATAAGTCTAAACCAGCAAAGGCGCACTTGTCCGCCAAAGCTCGCCAAGTAGCGGCATCGTGCAACCAGGCGTTCGCATCCGGTGGAGCCCCACCAGCTCTTCTCTTGAACGCGCCCACCTGCAGGTTCGCCGTGTATAACTTTTCAAAAGTAGCTCTGGCAGTGGCAGCATGTTTCTCCGCCTCGGCCTTCTTCTCCGCCGAGCCTCTCCGTTCGGCCAGCGTGCGGCTCCAGTCCTCATACGCCCGTGCGAGTAAGAATAGGAGGTCCGCATTCGAGAACAGCGGCACGCCGCCGTTCTCCGCCAACCGAAAGATCAAAGCTGCCGCTTGCCCATGTTGATCTAACGCGTGCTGGTAGAGCATGGCCACTCGCAACACTACGGATCGTCGCTCGGGCCCGCCGCCCTCGCCAGACGTCGCTTCGACCAACCTACCCAATGTAGTGGCCGCCCCGCCGTAATCGCCCGAAAAAAACTGCACCTCGCCCTGGCCCGCCAAATCATCCGGATTCTCGATGCCGCCCGACTCTCTTGCTTTTCTCCACCCATCCAGTGCGCCTCTTAATAACCCAGGGTGACCACAAGCTCCCAGTTGTTTCCACGCCCCGAACTGAGCTCTAGCGTAGCTCTTGTAGAACTCGGCGTCGGCGCCGCTCCAGCACTCGTCGTCGGCCCTGGCGGCGGCGTGCCTCAATAAACCGGCGGCGACGGTTCTCACGGCCGTCTCGTGGCCTCGGAATTGCCTTCGCGCGGCGCAGGCCTCGAGCGCTCGGCCTAACTGCGCGATCTTGTTCGTTCTTATTTCTGTTTCTTGCGCTGTGCCGTCCCTCAGGAGGAGGAGTTCTCTCCTAAGCTTCATCATGGCTCCTGGCTCTAATGCCATGGTGCTTTAGTGTTGTTGTTGCCTGTGTGCTGTTGCCTGTCTGTGTCCTGTGGGCAGCCGCGTTGGGCAGCCGCGTCGATGCCGTGCGCTCTCTGTGCTGTCCTGGGGCAGCCGCGAAGATGCTGGTCGTCGCAGTGCGGTCCCTCGCACAATGAGATGGGAGGCGCTAAGCTCTGCGAGCTGTGAGCACTTCGGTCGCACGCACGTTCGGACGTGTCTCCACGGGCTTGGTGAGGGCTCTTTGAGCCCTCTTTCCGAGGCGGTGGTGTTTCTGCTTTAAAAGCTAGTGTGTCTATTGTGTTTAGACTTCGGCCATCAATCCACCGCGAAATAGCTGCCTTCCGCCAAGCGATAGTTAGCAGCGATTCGTCAACTCGTAGCGAGCGTATAAACGCTGCCAATCAGCTTTTACCGCGTTCGATAAGCTGCTCTAAGCTCCGATTTCAAGCCCTCAAAAACAAGCTAAGCGAAACCAATCGCCTCGTAAGCGCGTAAGCGTCGCGAAAACAATCGGAAGCGACCAATCATGTTCTTCGGCAGCCACCTGGAAGTAGAAGCGGAAGAAGACGCCGGCGAGGCCTGGGAGCGGCCGGAGCCGGCGCGGCCCCCGACGCCGCCGACGCCAAAAGCCCCAGAGCCGGCACCAGCACCAGCACCGAAGCCGAAACCAAAACCAATGGAGCCGAGCCGCGTACGTCTCGCTGGAATAGTGGAACAGATCAGGGTCGAGGTTGCTGATGATACTTGTATTGGTAAAAGAGAAACCATAACATTACCCGACGGACGAGCCGTCGCGTTTCAAGTACCAAGCAACCTGAAGAAAGGCGACGTCTTTGATGTGGACGTGAAGCGCGTGACTTATGACGAGAAGAACCCCGCGCCGATTCACAAGAGAACAACCATGACCCGAGACGAGCTCGCGGAGTTTTTTAGGGACGGCATCGCCATGATGCGGTCGGACGAGACGCGGCGAGCGCTGCGGGACCGGAACGCGAAGGAGCGGCCCGGGGCGCAGTTGGTCGAGCGGCAACAACTGAAATTTGATGCGATGAACATTGATAGAAAAGCAGGGTGTAAATTGGCCGGTACTTGTCGCAGCGACTACGCCGACGACGAGGAGTTGAAAGGACTGCATGAGGAGTTCATGGCCACGGCCCAGCAGGAGTTCATCGACGCGCTTGAGTCCCTGAAGCCATCGAAGCTCAAAAGGAGTGGTGTCTTCCCCAAGAAGAGTATACTGGAGTTCTTCGACGCGTGCAATACGAAGATGCAGTTACCTAGTACAAGAGAGTTACTCGCGGAGCAGTTCAAACGCACAAAACAGCCTCCCAACGAATTGATCATCAAGCTCCAGAAAGATATGCTCGAGACGCTGGGCTTCGAGCGGGAGTGGGCCTGCGGCAAGCTCAATCGAATTGGGCAAGATTTTGGCGAAGACCGGGAACTAGTGCAAGGCATGCAGGCCTGGGCGGCCATGGCCCAGCAGGCTTGTAGGAGAGCTCAAGCCGACGGCGACCCTTCCTTGCGGCCCGATTCCAAGGAGATGCGGCAGATCGTCGAATTACAAGCGAAAGCGAGGCAGGAGCTGGCGACCCTGTCGTCGAGCGACAAGGCCGCGTTCCTGAAGAAGCTCGGCAAAAAGGTCGAGGTGTTTAATAGATTGAGCGCGCCGGACCGCGTGCGCTACGTCATGAAGCTGAGCGAGGAGGAGCGGCGGGACTTCGTCAAGGCCCAGGTGCTCATGATGGAGCAGGGGTTCGCCCAGTAAGTACTAGTAGGATTTTCTTAGTTCTGTGGGCAGCGGCGCGGCGGCGGCGGCGGCGTGCACACGCCATCGCAGCGACTCGTGGGTCACGGTATGTACATGTGTCAGGCGGCCGAATCAGGCCCGCGATCACCGCGTTGCGGCGTCCGCGCGGCACCGCTCCTGGAGCCGCCGGAACGCGTCGCAGTACGTGAGGTAGGCGGCGCCGCGGTGGGACGTCGCGGGCGCTTCGGCATCCGCGACAAACGGGCCCGCGAGGTTGCAGTACCTGTGCCATATCACGTCGAGCCCCGGGGTCGACTCACTCCTTGATTCCATGGACACTGCGCAGTACGAGTCAAAGAGCTCCCGCATCTCGCACGCGTGGTCGATTCGCGCCCGGCCGCGCTGCCGGAGCCTCAACGAATCATCGAGCGCGTGCGCGATGGTGCCCATTAGAGAAGCGCAGATCGCGGCGAACTGGAGACGGTGGAACTTGGGAGCGTTGCTGAAGGCGTACATGCCAGTCAAAGCAACGAGTGCGGGAGTCAGCGCCGCACAAACGATGCCGACGAAGAAAATGATTGCTCCAAGGTTCGCCCAGCGCGCGCCCTCGTCCGCGTACTGCCTCGTCTTCAGCACGGAGTAGACGACGTACGCGCGTTCGAGCGGCGCGAACTCCGCCTTCGCGTCGAGGTCGTCGACGAGTGCTAGCACGTCTCGCACGGTGCGGCGGCGGAACGCTTGCTCTAAAGGTCCTCTACGCGTCTCATCAGGCAGGGAATTATACGAGCCTGAGGACTCCATATTAAGCGGTGCAGTGTCGGTGCCATTCATTCAACTGAGGCCAATTTCAGGGTAATTAATGAGATCCCACCTCTCGCTGGTAGTGCCGCGACGCCAAACGCGACCGATTGAAATTCTCGGTCGTCTGATGCGCGTAGTCGCGATCTATCCGGCCGGCCGGTCGCGATCTACTGAGCTCGAGGCTAGCGGCCGTAAGACACTAGCAAGCACTAAAATTTAATATCGAGCGCCAACCGGGCAGCGCTGCCACTCTCCGGCGGCTTTCGCGACGTCGTGCCGGTCAAATGCATCCATATCGACTCATATTTCCAGCGCTTATCGCCACCGCGGCATCTTTGGCACCTCTGCAGCAGTGTGCAGCGCCTGCAGCACGCCCGCTCTGGACGCGTCGTGCCCTAGGCGCCGCATGGGTCGCAGCGTACCCGCTGGTGGCCGCAGCGTACCCTTTGGTGGCGCGAGCCGAGGTCTACGAGGGCTCTGCGCCCATCGAGTTGGTCAACGACGTCGTCAAAGCGGTCGGCTCATTGTTCTACGACGAGTCACTGCTTGCGTCGCCGCGGTGGTCCGCCGCTGTGAAGAGGGCGCAAACCGCTGCGCGAAACGCCGACGACGCATCGGCCGCGCCAGCGATCGTGGCAGATCTCTTGCAAAGTCTGAACGACCCCTACACGCGGTTCAAGCCGCCGGCGCTCGCCGAGGCGACGCTCGCGAACGCGGGGGCGAAACCGGCGGGCGTCGGGCTTCGCTTGGCACCGGGTGTCAGTGGCATAGAAATTGTTGAGGTGCTGCCCGGCTCGCCGGCGGCCACGAGCGCGTTGAGGCCCGGCGATGTCCTCGTAGAAATCGATGAATCCGCCGCGGCGTCGGCGTCGGCGTCCGCAGCATCGGAGGCGCTGCGCGGCCGCGCGGGCTCGACGGTCAGCATCAAGGCGTCGCGGGGCGGAAACAAAATAATCGAGCGGCTCGTGCGCGCGCAGTTGGATTCTAGTGCGCCGGAAGTCGAGGCGCGCGGTGTCGCCGAGGGAGTGGGCGTGCTGGCGGTCCGGTCGTTCTCGGGCGCGACGCCAAGTGCGATCGAAGGCGCCGTGGCGACGCTCCGGCGGGATGGCGCCAAATCTTTGGCGCTAGACCTCCGTGGCAACGGCGGCGGCGACCTGGACGCCGCCGTGAAAGCGGTAGACTTATTCTTGGACGGCGGAAAGACGATCGCTAAGATAAGAGCGCGCACGGGCGTCGACGTGCGGCTGGCCTCGGGGCCCGCCCCTATTCGCGAGCCGATGGTCGTGGTTGTGGACGCGGGAACCGCATCGGCCGCCGAATTGTTTAGCGCGGCGTTGGCGTCGAATCGCCGCGCGACGCTCGTCGGCCAGCAGACGTACGGCAAGGCGCGGGTCCAGCGCGCGGCGCCGATACCGGGCGGCGGCGCGGTCCTCGTGTCGCGCGCATACTACGAAACCCCGGCAGGCGTCGACGTGACCGGCGTCGGCCTCACGCCAGACGCGCCGTGCGCGACGGGCGAGGAGGCGATGGCTTGCGCGCGGAAGGCGCTGTTGCCGCCGGACGAGCTGGGGTACGTGAGGACTCCTAACTAGCTGTTGTGTGTATCCCTTCACGCCGTCGAAGGAATTACGGAAGAACGAGCTTATTTGTCTATATTTGTGGTATTGCGAATGGTCGGCGGGTACGTGGTCATCCTCAGCCCCTGGGGACGCTCCCGGAGCGTCTCCAGACGGGCGTCATTGCGCCTTTTCGGTCACGGGAGGGGGCGGCGGTAATGATAACGGTCACTTCTTCGCTTTGGCGGCTTTCTCCGCGCGCGCGGCCGCGCCGGCCGTCGCGTCCCGCGGCATGGAATAGGCCCCGCCGTCGCGCCACCGCGCGACGTGGCGGCGCACGTCGTCGACGTCGTGAATAATGTCCAGGAAGTCCGCGAGAACGGCCAACTCTTCGTCCTGCGGGTCGCCGACAAAGTCCGACACGTCGATGGCGTGCTCCGGGTGCCACAGGTAGGCGTTCGGCGAGTTGTCGACGACTATCGTGCGCTTCAAATCGCGGTTCAATCTCCCAAGGTCTTTGACTAATAAACCAGTAGCCGTCTTCGTGCAGGACTCGCGATAGAATCTAGCTTTAAGCACGCCGTGCTTGTCCAATAAGTCCAGCACGAGCTTCGCGTACGGCTTGACGCCCGCTGTCATCACGACGAGCTCATATTTTTGCGAGACTCTTTTGAGGAACTCGTCGACGAAGGGGCGCTTGCGGACGCGCGCCGTGCATCTAGCACCGTTCAGTGTGAAGGGCGCTTCGAAGTCGGCCGCGAAGGCCGCGTCGAAGGAAGATCGTACTAGCGTCTCGTCCAGGTCCAAGACTAACGTGATCCTAGGATCAGAGGGATCCCGAGGAGCGAGTAGAGCGTCGGCCCGCCTCAAAGCCAAGGGGCCGCGTCTAGGACCAGGAGAACCTTGTCCCGAAGTACTATCGCGAGGCTTCGTCTTCGAACTAAAAAAGCCCATCTTGGGGAACGAGAACTTGCGGCGTGGTTGCGTCGGCGTGTTCTTCGTGGGCTTGGCGCGCTGCGGTCGAGGCGAGGCCGCATCCACGGGCGGTGCCCTCGCTCCGGGCGAGACGGGAATGGGGCTCCCGAAGGCCTTTTCCGCTTCTGATCTGGGAGCGAAGGTCGCGTGCCGCGCCAAGATGCCGCGGTGGCTGAGGGGCGAGGGCGGCTCCTGGTCGACGTCGACCTTGCCCGGTGCGGGTTGCACGGCTAATCGCCTCCTGCCCGTTTTCAGAGTCGGGGTTACTCGTCCGGAGTCCTCACTCGGTGCGAGGACGGTAACAGCCATGGTCGTGGTAGCCTGTTTTTAGATTAGGGTGGAGCAAGAAGGGAGCTCCACCGCGCGTTTGATGGCTTGATGGTCGTGGTTCCCGTCTTCGCTATCGCGTCGACGGTGGCGCGGTCGCCGTTGGATGGGTGTTGGGCCGAATTTCGGGTTGGCGTCAGGCCTGGGGAGTGGGCGCGAGTGGGCGCCGGCACGGGAGATGGCCTAGTGGAGCTTCGCGGGGGATATCCTCGTCTTTTCACGGTCCAGGCGAAAGCCCTAATCGTCCGCCGTAGGCTGTGCGCGGCCCTAAAAATTTGGGAGAGAGCTAGCTAGGGGACCTGTTGACCTACTGGCAGCGTCTGAGATCCAGGCGGGGTGCAAGACCGTCTCTACAGGAGGCCAAAGCGCGTTTGTCTCCAGGCCCACAGCCGGCCCCGCCGTCCCGTCGGCGCTAAAAGCAGGCCTCTCTGGACGCGTCCGGCAGGGGTCCTGGGTCGCCAGACGGCCTCAGGCGCCGTGAAGACGGCAAAAAGTTAGCTCAAAGCGTGTGCGGGGGTCGGGTGTATCCTGATCAGAAATATAGGGTGAAGCGCATCACGTGACGCCCCAAAATGCCGTTTTAATGCGGCAGCTGCAAGAACAGACCCTGCGGGCTGCCTGGCGTCTGGTTATGGGGCTTGCTTCAGCCTTTGCTTGGGCGATAATCGCGTAGCAAGGCCTGGAGAGCACCTCACTGCATGGAACATGGGGAAGATGCACGAAGTGCCCAGCGCGCGGCTGTGAAAGGTCCCACAGTGCGTGCATGCGCGATCGTTCAGTCGGTGCCTTGCCGCGCGGACAACGCGCCGTCCGCGCGCGTCGCGGCACGGTGCTGCACGCGATGCAGGTTTGCTCGCAGGACCCGGGTCCGCTCAAAGTTCCGCAAAGGAGCCGCCTCTGGCGGTGGGAACGCCTTGAAGCGAAGCCAGTGTCTGTTCGGCGGCCGCCGACGGACCGTGACGCCCCGCGAGGCGGCTCTACCACGCTAATATGTTGTTAACTTGTCGCTAAGGCCTATTTTCGGGGCGTGGCGGGTCCCAGCCATCCTGTTATAGCGCGATAAAACCCGTTCAGGCTGAGCACAACTTGCTTGCCTGCGAGCAGAGCGGCGACAAAGCACGTAGACTTTACCTCACACACGTGCAGTGAGGCAGTAGAGCTGTGCCAAACCTCAGATGCAGCTGCGCGCATCCCTGCGCCCGGAGAATCGCTGCAGAGTGCTCTCCAACAAGTGCTCTCAGTGAGAGATGCCATAGCCGGAGGACGGGCGCGGCGCGAACCAGAGATTGGATTATAGCTGGCGATAGGGGTTTACTGGTCCTCCCAAGAAGCTGACCCTAATCCGTTACATAGCCGATGACGACCACAGAGCTACCAGCCGCTCTGCACGCCGACGCCATAGCCGCAGCTTGCGAAGTCCTTAAAGCAGCCGTCGCCCTGCCGGTCGAGCAGTACGAGTCAAATCCCGCACTGCGGCCGCTGCGCCAAGCGATCGGCCCGCTCCTCGCGCGGAGCCTGGGCCGCACGTACGACGGCGCCGGCCCGCAAGGTAAAGACAAGGACGCCGCGCGCAAGGCCCACAAGCGGCAGGCGAACCGCCACCGGCAGCAGGCCGTCGCGGCCGAGCGCGCCGCGGCGGACCGGAGCGCGCTGCGCGCGCAGCGCCTCGCGCGGCTCGCGGCCAGCGCGGCCGAGGGCGACGCCCCGCGCATCGCCGACGGGCCCGCGACGGTGCCGACGCCGGCCCTCGAAGACGAGAGCGACGCAGGAGGCGCGGCGTGGTCGCTCGCCTGCTGCTACGCCTGCCGAACGCGTTTTCCGGCGACGGCGACGCACGCGTTCTACGGCGCGGCGTTCTGTCCCGCGTGCGCTCAACTTAACTTCGAGAAGCGGACGCAGACGGCGGATCTGCGGGGCCGGGGCGCCCTGGTGACGGGCGCGCGCGTCAAGATCGGGTTCCGCGTCGCGCTGAAGTTATTGAGGGCGGGGGCGACGGTCGTCGCAACCTCTAGATTCCCGGCCGACTGCGCGCGGCGCTTCGCGGCGGAGCCGGACGCGGACGACTGGCGAGATAGACTAAGGTGCGTGGGCTGCGATTTTCGGGACCTGGGCGCCGTCGAGGCGTTATGTGCCGCGGTGCCCGAGCTCTTAGGCTGCGGCCTCGACGTCCTGGTGAATAACGCGTGCCAGACGGTGCGGCGGCCGCCGCAGTACTACGCGGAGACCGTGGCCAGGGAGGCTAAATTACGCAAGGCCATCGGCAACGCGTCCTTGCCGCTCCTCGAAGGGGCGTCGGAGGACATTGAGGTCACGGAGGACGTCGCGCTGATGAGGACGTGGACGGCCAAAGCGCCAACGACGTCGGATCCTGCGCTCCGAGCGTTGCTCTGCGTGGCGCCCGGCGACGACGTGAGGAACGACGCCGCCTTCCCGCGCGGTCTTAGAGATGCAAACGCCGATCTCGGCGAGCAGCTCGATCTGCGACGAGCGAACTCGTGGACCTCAAAACTAGAGGACGTGTCGACGCCCGAACTAGCCGAGGTCTTCGCGATCAACGCCCTGGCGCCCTTCGTCATCAACTCCAAATTGATACCGGTGTTGAAGGATGGCGCGTCCGACGAGAGACGCCGGTTTGTGATAAACGTCTCGGCGATGGAGGGCAAATTTTATAGACAAAAACAGCCGACGCACCCACACACGAACATGGCCAAGGCCGCCCTGAACATGATGACGAAGACGTCGGCCGCGGCGCTCGCCGAGTCATATGTATTTATGACGTCCGTCGACACGGGCTGGGTCAACGACGAGAAGCCGAACCACCTCGCGGCGGACCACGCATCAAAACACAACTTCCAGACGCCTATTGACGAGATCGACGCCGCTTCACGAATACTGGACCCGGTCTTCGGGGGCCACGACCCGCCCCTCCACGGCGTCTTCCTCAAGGACTATGAAGAAACGGAATGGTAGTTACCAGTCTAAACATAAATTCATCTCGTCGACGTCTATCTCGAGCTCGCCCATGCCCACATACACGTTCCCCTCGTCCCCGAAATTCTCGACATTCAAATCCGGTTGCGGGAAGGCGACTCGTAATTTGACTTCTAATTTCGCATGGCCGTCCTGGCCATCTAACGGGAGTCTCTTGACTAAATCAACGCCGTCCACAATGTTGATGGCCCCCTGCGACTCCGTCCGAAACCCAAATCTGCATGAAGTCCGCATGTTCCGCAAGTCCAATGCTGCTCGTAAGCGTAATGTCGCTGCTAGATTCGCCGCCGTGCCCAGCGTCAACACCCAGGCTTTATGGAGTTGCAACTCGGTCCCTTTCAGGACCATGCGCCCGCCGATAAAGGTATCTTCCCACGCGTACTGCAGCTTCCAGAGGCCGCGCTGCGTCGAGTAGTCCGCTCCTATGGACAATCGCGTCCGCAGCCATTCAATATTTTTCCGCACTTTTAAGTGCGTCAAAGGTGCGATCCTCACCTGCACGTGCGGCAGCGCATCATTCAACTGCTGGCGCCAGCTCTGCTTCGGCTCGTCGCTTGTCAGTGGTCGCACCGGCGCAGCGCGGCTCGTCGTACCGATCTTGGCGCTTGCGCAGGCGCAGAGCAGGAGCAGCGGCCGCAGCATCGCCGCGGCTGCGCGTCGATGGCGTCAGATGTGCGCTGCGGCGTCGCGTGCGAGTGTGCCAAGTGGCAGACTGCAGCGCTGCAGCCTCCAGGCGCCTCACTGCAAGCTAGCTTTAACGCGCTGCGATAGCGTATCGATGGCGTCGCTCGGAAGCCCCTCTGGACGATTCCTATCGCCCCGTAGGGCACGTCACAGTGAGCTCGGTGCCAAAAGCTGCTGCATGAGGCTAAGTGTAGACATACTAGGTTTTTTCGAGACAGGTAAGAACAGCCCTCTAAGGGGTCCTCGGGCAGCGCCCGGAGACGCGTGAAGCACTGATAGTAGCCCCACTAGCTTAAACGCTGAGGGCTGAAGGAGGCGCTGCTCTCTGAGCAATAGGCCCCGGGCGCGGGGAGGCAGCCCCGAACCGCCGCCGCACGCTTTGGAAGAGACTCCCCCAGACGAGGAGGCAGCCCCACAATGGAAGAAGCGCCCGCCGCGGCCGTCGACGAGAACCCCTTCCCCCTCCCGGACGACACCACGACCATGGACGCGGCCACGAGCCCCATGCCCCCCCTCATCCAGGAGAGTTCGTCGGATTCTGATGATGACGACGAGATGCCGCCGCTGGAAGACGGCGAGATACGGTACGTGAGCCAACGCGACGAGGAGGACGACGGCCTCGTCGTCGATGTCAGACACTCGCTTGGTAGATTGACGCGGCTGTCGGCGCGGATGCGTTCCTTGCGGGACCAGGCCATCTGGCAGCGCGAGGCGACGACTACTGTGACTGAGCTATTGGCGGCGGCGGCGGACCTCGAGTCGCTCGCGGAGGAGCGCATGCGGTTGTTGAGAACAGTAACAGCACTAAGGAGGAAGCCGAAACGACACGTGCCGGAGAACTTCCTCGAGAAACTGCCGGACGTCGTCCTCAATGATCAAAATCGGGAGGAGCCGTGCCCGATCTGTCTTTGTAGACTAGATGGGAAAGATGCGGAGGCGACGCAACCGCACGCGAAAACGCCAGCGGTCTGCCTCGAATGCACATGCCGCAAGAATTTTCATAGAGCTTGTTTGGAGCGGTGGCTGCGAACGAAGAACACGTGCCCGACGTGCCGCTACGAACTACCGTATGAAGAGGAACCCGAATTAACGATAGAAGTGGAAGACGAGGAGAACGAGGCGCAGCGCTTGGCTGATGGGGAAGTGGCCGCCACAGCCGCCGCAAGGGAGGCCGCCGCTTCTCTCGTGGAATTAGCGGCCTACGACGCCATGACGCACGCCGAGGAGGCCACGCCACCGAGGGTACGGACGGCGCGCGCGGCGGCGGCCGCGGCGGCGCTGCGCGAGGTCGCCGCGGAGCCGCCTTTGCAACCGTCCTTCGCCCAGCAGCGGGCGTCCTTGCGACGGCGCGCCACGGCGGAGACCGCAGACATTGTCAGGGAGGCGAACGCTGTTACAGTGGGGAACCACCTCGACACGATCCGGAGTTTGCAACGCGAGGCCGAGGCGGCGCCTTCCCCGGAGGCGGGTTCGGGCCTCGCGGCGGCGCGCGCTCTGCGCGCTGAGAACATCGTCGAGACCGCCTCGCCCGAGCGGCTCCGCGCGCTTGCTGCGGCCGCGCGACCCGTCGTCGAGGCGCCCGCGTCGTAACGTAATCGAAAGAAAGAACTTATTAACATATCCCGTCGTCATCTACGAGGATCTCTACGAGGTGTAGTAGTCCGCGAGCCGCTTCCGCGCGACGGCCTCGCGCGCGTCCCACGTGTTCTGGACGGCGGCTTCGACGCTCTCGCCCGCGTCGATGCGGTCGACGCATTTGTGGAGCTGGTCGAGGACCTGGAGCTGGCCCTCGTTGAGCGCGAGGCATTCGTCGCCCTCGCAGTCGAGCAACTCGAGCGCGCGGTCCAGGGCTTCCCTCGAGCAGCCGGCCTCTTTTGACGTCGCCGGGTTCAGGAATCGCAGACAGAGGGAGTACGCGTCGGCGACGGCGGTGTCGGGCACCGGGAGCTTTCTCCGCGCGATAATGGCCTCCTTGCGACTCGCGCCGCCGTACATCATCTTGATGATCTTCCATAGTTCGTCGATCTTCGCCTCCTGATCGGCGTCGCACTCGCTACGAACTTTTTCGGTGTCCACCTTTCTAAATACGTCCTCGAGGTAGGCGATCGAGCACGACTCGTCGTCGGAGTCGAGCGAGAGGCACTGCAATGCTTCGTCGAACTCCTCCGCCGCCCCGGACGGGAACGCGCCGTTCCAATCTGCTTTGGCTTCGACCGCTGCAGCGCTGACACGCGTCGCGCGGATGATACGCGGCGTTGCAAGGGGTGTGAGGGCTCCAACACAGCTTACCGCAATCAGATGCAAGAAATGCATCACGCAGAGTTATCCTGATATAAATTACCGGCGTCCACCGCTCCAGCAGCCTGTAATGCAATCTGTGCGTCGCGTTCAGCAGCGTGCGCGTGCTGCCCAGCTGGATGTGATCAGCTCCGAGGGTGGGCTACGCCGCGCGACCCGTTACCGAGGAAAGGTCCATCCGACCGATGCGACGAGCAGATGGAAACGAGAAATGCACCTCGACCGCACCCCGCACGACTGCCCAAAGCGCTGAGAGCGCCTGCATTTGTCGGCCGCCCGCGCGGCCCACCGACGGCCTGGACGACCGGGGCAGCCTCGACGCCATCGCCGCGACACCCCCGAACAAGGATGCCGCCCCGCGGGAGAAGAACGGAGCTGGACAAGCAGTACGACTTCCGGCAAGGGAGTGAGTTGACAAGAGAGTTAGGAGAAGAAGCCGCAAAACGTTTAGATGCGGCGTACAAGATCAACAAGCGGGACAAGCTCAGAAATGATTTGAGGAGCGGTTTGAGCTGCTGGCACATGCAAGTGATGGACAATAAAATCATGGACGAGCGCGCCGTCGCCGACAAAGCGCTCGAAGATCAGACGAAGGCAAAAAACGTCACGATCCTCGCCTGCGCTTACGAACGAGGCAAAGGGAGGAGTAGAAATACAAAAAAAGCGCGAAAACTCTATCAAAAAGCCGCGATGATGGGCGACACCGACGCCGCGAAATTCCTGGCGGGCTGCTGTCTGCGGGGCGTCGGCGGCAAGGCCGACCCTGCGGAGGCCTTCCGGTGGTACAAGAAGGCTTATGAGGCCGGGGATTTAGGCGCGCAGGGGGCCTTGGCGGATTTATATGATGCCGGGCTCGGTTGCGAGAGAAACGCGGAGGAGGCGCAGCATTTACTGAAGGGGTGCCGCAACGGTATTGCGTTGGCACCGGGGGCCAAAGCCTTCCCGGCGCGGCTCGATTCGAGTCGAGGGGGCATGACCGCGAAGGAGCGCCAATTAGCTAGGTATAACTGGTAGTTATATAGGGTGCTCGTCGAGCCACTGCTGCTGCTTCTCGTTCAATACAGGAGCGTCGCCGAGGGCCGCGAGCTTGACCTCGAAGTAGAGCGTCGCCCCGCCGGGGATCTTCCCGCCGGCGCCTTTCGACCCGTAACCCAAATCCGCCGGGATGATGAGTTTCCGGGCCTCGCCCTCCTTCATCTCCATGATCATCAAATCCCAGCCCTTGATCACGCCGCCCGTGCCGGCGTAGAACGCGAACGGTCCCTTCATAAAACCTTTGGAAGAATCCACGACGCGGCCGCCGTCCTCGGCGAAGCCGTCCAAAGTTAGCGTATATTCTGCTTTCACGGACTGGCCGCGCTGCGGCGTCGCGCCGGCGCCCGGCTCGGTGACGACGTACTTCAGGCCGCGCGGGCCGTCCTTGTAGTCGTCGTAGCGCGCCCACGCGGGTCGGCTCGCAAGCAAGAAGGCCGGCGGCGCCGCCTTGATGGCGTCGCGCCGCGCGATACGGCTGGGACGGATGGCATGCGCTGCCGGCAGCAGTAGCGCTGCAGCAAGCAGCGTGCTCTGCTTAGCCATAGTGAGCCGTGTCAACGTTCCACGTGCCAGCAAGCGATTCGCACCCTTCGTGGAGGTGCGAACAGCTGTTCCACAAGCCGTGCGACAGTATGCGTCGCAGCGACGGACGTTCAGAGCGCCTCAAGCCAGGCTCTCTTTGGTGAGACCCGCACGCTAATTATACATTAGAGGCGTCTACGCGCGGGAACTGAAGAGCAAGGGTCGCGACCGCCGACAAAATTGATCGGCGGCCGGTCATCGGCGCTCTGCTGCTCCCGGCGCGCGTCGTCTCGAGGCGCCTACTTCATAGCCGCCAGGACGTCCTTCGCCACGTCCTCCATGTCGAGCGCCTTCAGCGCGGGAAACGGGCGCTTCATGTCGAGCAGCTCGAGCACCGTCTTGCCACCGACCGTCACCACAAAGGCGCCCTTGCGGGGCTTCTCCTTGTTCACCTCGACGGTGACGCCGGGCAAGGCTTTGGCCAGCCGGTTCGCCCTGGTTTTGAATGCGCCTCAGCTCTTGCAGGCCTCGACCTCTACGACGGCGCCAGAGGAGCTCGCGCTCGGCTTCTTCGCTTTGGCAGCCGACGGCTTTTTGGCTGGAGCTTTAGCCTTGGTTTTCTTCGCCATCACTCTGTTATCGATGGGTTTTGCACGCGTGCCAGCAGCGTCTGTGTGCCCCTGAAAAACTTGCCAGGCGCGAGACCCGGAGAGCGCGCCTGTGCCGCTCCTCCAGCCTCCAGCTCTGCTAACTCTGAGAGCTAGCGGCCTGTAAAGACACTAGCAAGCAAGCGCAGCAATACAGGACGGTCGCGAGGCCCAAACACCCGTACGAACCGACTCGCGAAGGACTCCAGAGCAAGAACCCACTAGCCGGGCCATGGTTGGCCAAGCACAAAGCTTGTGAGCGTTGTTGCGCACAAGGAGCAGACCAACGACACACGCCCCACGCAAGGCGCACGCACGCCCACGGTACCGACCACGCGACGGACGCAGGGGCGCAGCCGGTAAGCCTTTAGGGCCGCAGGGGCTGCCCACAAGTAGCAGGCTGCCAAAAGGCTGTCCTACGCACGCCTGCGGCGCGATCTAGGGCCGAAGAACGCGGCCACAAAAGGCTGCCCAAACCAGGGTCACGCCGCCGCCGCGAGCAACGAATTGAGCATGGTCAAGGGCCGCGGCCAAGGGGGAGGGCTGCCCGACGTCTTGGCTGGCCAAACCTCAAAGACGAAGCGCTATGGCAAACGCGTTGTCGTCGACGCGCGCGAGACGGCCAAGCAGTACGAGAGGTTCCAGGCGTCGCTGAAGCCCGACATACCAGTCAAGAAGCCGCACAACCCGAACCGCTTTGATCTCATTCTGTTCTTACAAAGATGCTGTAGTAATGAGGAGCTACCTCAACTACCAGAAACGCCGGCGATACGACGGGGTCTGAGAGTACTCATGCTGGAGTTAGATATACCGGAACGGGACCTTAGGAAGATGTACAAGTACTGGCTGGAAGTCGATAGAGACGGGAGCGGCAGTGTAGATCTGTTTGAGCTGTTGATGTGGTTCGATTTTGAGCGCACCGAATTCATGGTCAACACCTGTGTGGGAATCAACCAGTGCGTGCTGCGGCGCTTTTCACGCCGTCGAGCAGGCGTCGCGTCGATGGCGTGAAGGTCGAACACACACAGGTGAACACGTTCAAGCTGCTGGATGCCGACGGGAGCGGCGAGCTCGACTTCGTCGAGTTCTGCGCCACTTTTTACTTATATTGTACCTTCACGTGGGCGGGTCTCGTGAAGTACGCCTTCGACATCACGGACGTGGACAGATCTGGTTTCTTAGACATGGAGGAGGTCGAGTCGTTGTGTCGAAGCGTCTACGGTTTTACCGGCAAGAGGAAAGGTGAAGCCTTCAGAAGGAAGGAGAACAACTTACTTGATTTAGAAGGTACTTTGAGGCAGTTCGACTCGGATTCCGACGGGAAGATTTCATTCCGGGAATTCCTGGAACAGAACAAGAGGCACAAATTGCTCTTGTACCCGGCCTTCGAGCTGCAGCACAACATGCGGAAGGCGGTCATGGGCGACCGGTACTGGAGAAATCGGGAGGGGCCCCATTTTACCGAGAAGGACATCGTGCTTATGCAGTTAAAAAAAGCTATGGCGCCGCACCAGGAGGACCTGTCTGCAGATCACAAAAAACTCAACGAAGACGTGCGACGGAAAGGGGGGCTGCGCGCTTCTCGCGACGAGGAGCCTCAGAGGAAGAAGAAGCATCCCCGGAGGTACGGCGAGAAGGCGTCGAAGTTCGTCAGAACTTTATCAGGCAGGCTCAAACTCGCCGGCAGTGGTCCCACGAAGCTCGTCAAGCAGCTGTCCGCGAAGAGTTTGAAGCTCAAGCGGTCGATGTCCTTCTCGAAGAAGAAGAAGAAGGTCGCGCCTCAAAGGAAGGGCCTGAAGGGGTCGCTCGTCGCCGGCACCCACGGCGTCACGTCGGCGTCGGGGGCCAAGCGGCGGCGATAGTCTTCTACGCGTCGCTTCGACGGCGTTGGAGGTGTAGCTCACCTCCTTCGGTGCCGATCCGGTGCCGAGCGCCAACTCGACGCCGTCGACGCGAGACGCGTGGAGCGCCCACTACTGTGCTGTGTAACAGAGTCATGTGTTCAGACAAATGAATATTAGGTCGTCACGGCAGAAAAACGCCCCCGCTTCGACGCCACGAGGCCGGCGTAGTGCAGGTCGCGCACGGCCTTGGCGAAGGCCAGCGTCCTTTCATTGCCGTCGTCGCGCTCGCCCCGCACGGCGAGGGCCCAGCGCTTCGCGTCGCCCGCAAGGCCGGCGGCCGCCGCGCGCCACGCCGTCGCCGCGGGCACGTCCGCCGTCTGGAGCAAGCGCGTCGTCGCCGTCCACAGGCCCGACGGCGCGTGGCCCGCGCCGTCCACTATTACAAGAGGCGCCAGGGGCAGCTCCGACAGTTGGCGCCCGGCTTTTGAAACGCGTGTCAGTAACGACGCGGCCTCGTGCGCCACAAAACGACAGCGCCGCGAGCGCTCTTTCGAGGGAGGCGCGGAGGCGACGGCGTGCGCGACGGCCGCTAGCTCTGTTGTTCGCGCCGCTACAGCTCGAGGCACGTCGTCGGCGACCGCGCGGCAGCGCCACGCGTCGAGCAAAGTAGCCAAAGTTGCGGGCGACGCCTGTTTGACGGCCGTCGCGGCGGCGTCTTGCGCGTCCAGCGATGGACCGGGCGACAGAGGCAACGCACACGCGGCGGCGGCGCGCCACCGTCGCGGCGCCGTCCCCGACGTTGTCAAAGCCGCCGCGGCCCACGTCGTCGCCACGCGCGCGGCGACGGCGCGGCTCCTCAAGACGCGAGCCAAAGCGTCGACGTCATGCGCATCAAGATCCGGCGCCGCCTCGGCCAGCGCCAAACTTTGAGATGCTGGATCATCCACAAATATGGCCGTCGCGAGGAAGGCCCCGGGCCGCCGGAAGTGTTCTAGGACCGCGAGTTGCGCCCGGCATGCTAATTGCGCGGGATCGCCGTGCTGCTCGTAGCCCTCGAGCCAGCCTACCACGGCGCGCGCGCCCACAGCACATGGTAAATTGCGCAGCGTACTGCTCAGGAACGCGTCCGCGAACGCGTCCGCGTGGGGAAGGCGGAAGGTCTGGGCGCGTAAGGCAGAGGGTAAACCAGTCGGCAGGCGCCACGTCGCGCCGGCGACGACAACCACACCAACAATATGGGGCGGGAGGGCCGCGAGGGCGTCTCTCAAGCCCGCGGCGCCCGTCGCCTCGGCTCTTGCTACCACTACCGCAGCTTCCTCGTCGTTCTCATCATTCAACTGCCACCGGTCTTCCACCCTAACAGCTTTGACGTTCGCCCGGTGCAGCGCGCTCGCTAATGCCGCCGCGGCCACCCCTCTACAGCGGCCGCAGAAGCCCGCGCGGACGACCGCCACCCTCACGTCTCCTTCTCGTCTAGGCGCGCGGATGAACTGCGCCGCCGCGTCGGCCGTATCTTTGCAAAGGGATGCGCAGGCCGCGTCGAAGGCGTCGCGCAGCGCGCGAGCGCACTGCATGCGCGCGTCCCTTCGGAGCGCCGCGCCGGCGCGCGTCTCGCCGGCGGCGCGCGGTAATGCGCGCTCGGAGCGTTGTTCTATGCGCGGCATGGCCGGCTATGCGCTCCGATTTTGGATCTGGCGGGCTGAGGCGCTTTTGCTCTGCTTTTGCTAGCCCGATGCGTCGCAGGACTGCTTAGACCTTCAAAATAGCAAGTTTAACGCCGCTGCCGCGTCGCGACAGAATGTCTGCGCCGCACGCCAGGCGTAAAGCCAAGATGGCGGGCGGGCTAGTGTCTTACAGACCGCTAGCTCGGAAGCGGACTCCGTTTCCCAGTTTTCTTTTTGAGATATAAAACATAGACTTACAACACACACAGAGACTACTTGACATACGATTGGCCCCGGCAGCAGGGACACAGCACGGCCGTGCCACGGGCGCGCGTTCGCGCCGCGCCTTCGGCCCATGCCGTCGCCGCGAGCTCCTGCAGGCAGGCCGCGTGGAACCTATGGTCGCACGCGAGCGCCGGCGACGCGTCGTCGAGCTTCTCCAGGCATATCGGGCACTCGGCGACCTGTGCCCCGGAGGCCTCCTCGTCGACCTGAGGCGACGCGGCGGCCCGCTCCAGCTCCAGGCGCTGCGCTTCGGCCCAGGCTTCAGCGCGGATAACCTCATCCCAGTTAATTTGTTTAAATCTTTTCGTTCGTCGAGGAGGAACAGTCCCCGTCGGGGCCGGGGTCCCGCTGCGTGTCTTCTTTTCTAATTCCTGTCTTCGTCGAGGCATGTCCAGGACCGCTTCTTGCCAGGTGTCGTACTCACCGATGTATGTCTTGTAGTCGTAGCTACCGCCGCGGTGCCAGCCTGAGGCTTCTTTATATACTTTAACTTTGATTGCGTACTTTCCTTCGTAGTAGTGTCCCGGACTGTACTGAAAAACGTACGCCGGCATTTCATCGATTCCGAGGGGGCGTGTGGGCAATGGGTAGAGCAGGGTACTCAGGAACGGGGGCCGAACAGGGTCCGACATGCTGTCCAAGGCAGCAGACAGGACAGAAGCGATGCCAGCTGGGCTCTAAAAAATTATTGCACCATCAGCACACGAGCACGATGCGCAAAGCTGGGAGAGGACAGAGCTAGCGTCCTTAAAGACACTAGCAATCGGTAGGGGTACGGGGAACCCTGCGACGTAACTAGCCTCAGCCTCGAGATCAATATTCAGTCTTAAACAGTTGGACTATCACATCGCCCCGCCCGCCGCAGCGCCGTCACGGCCTCCCGCGAGAAGCCGCGGAGCTTCGCCAGCGGCCAGGTCAGCCGGACGAGTTCGGACGGCGGCGGCTTCATGGTGGAAAACTCGCACGTCCTCCACAGCGTCCCCGGCACGCCGGCGTGGATATAAATAAATGCGTCACCATCATCAACGGAAACGCCGTCGACGGCGTGGTCCACGACCTCGCCCCGGTCGTGCGCCGACCGCCAGACCTCGACGGGCGCCGCGAATAATGGAGCCCGTCGCAGGAGACAGCTATCATGATAGCGGCCCGGTCGCGGCTCGCCGCCGGGAAGAGGCCCAGCAGCGTTCCCGGGAGCGCCGGGTTCGCATTCACAGCGCCGTAGTAGACGTCCGCATCTATATGTTGGAGGCGGTCGAAGGGCGGCCGCGCGCCCTTCTGAAATTCGATGGGCTTCAGGCGGCCCCATCCCTCTGATGTTTTTTGTGCAACGTAGACCGCGCGGCCGCCGCCCTCGGGATTCGTGTTGCCCCGCGCATAGATCCAGGTGCGGTTGTTCATCGACGCGAGGGAGAAGCGCCCGTCGAAGAGGCACTGCCCGTCGTAGCCTTGGCGCCTCTCGACGCAGCCGGGGTGGCCCATCGACAGCGTCGGGCCGTAGGCGTGCTGGAGCCACTTCTTGTCCTCGCGAGTGTGGGCGCGCAGCGTCAGCGTCGCGGGGTGCTTCGCGGACGTCTCGCCCGTCACGCCCCATATAGCATTCTCGGAGAGTAGGGCGTAGTTGTGCAGCTGCCAGGCGCCGCGCGCGACGACGTCGCCATTATGGATGCAGTTTGTGAGGCGCGCGTCGCATCCCCTAAAAACGACGAGCGACGCCGCGCCGTTGGCCGCCGGCCACGACCCGTTCTTGACCACGAGCCAGTGCTCGCCCTCGAACGACGCCCAGCCCGTCGGCACGCGGAGCAGGCTCGCGTAGCGGCTCGCGTCGCCCTCCGCGAAGCGGTGCGCCCGCGTCGACGCGAGGCCGCGGCGCGCGCGCCGGCCGTCGAGCCGCGGCGCGGGCTTGCAGCCCGCCTCGGCGACCGCGGCCATTGTCAAGCCGCAGAGCAGCCTCATCATGGTGTCATTTTTGTGCCGCGACGCGTCGTCGGCGCGCCCGTGGGCAGCCCTGTCAAGCTAGGCTGGATGCCCACCACTGCCTAGCGCAGCGCGAATGGTGCTCGCGAGCGAGCAGCCAAGCCGAATCAATCGCTTTCGTCACAAATTACACCGCTACACGGCGCGAGAGTGCGCTTTGCGTTCGGAGCAAAAAGTCGTGCGGGCCTCTGAGCAAAAAGAGCAGGCCTTACGCGTCACATTCATGGGCATCGATGCGTTCTGGAGCTTATTCGGTGCGCTGTCGCGGCTGCCCATGCGCGGGGCAGCGATTCTCGAGTGAGATGGCAAAATGAGAGCCAGCCTCCTCCCACTGCTGCTGGTGCGCGCCGCCGCCGAGCCGCCCGCGACGCTGACGTACCGATCCGGGTCGACGCCGAAGAAGATCCGTGGCGCGGCGACGCCGCGGTGGCACCATGAATACGGCGCGCCCGCGCGAACCTACGGCGCGGACGCGTTCGCTTGGGCCCGGAATACTACTTGGATGGACTACGGGCCAGGTAGTACTTGGCGACACTACCTGGCACGCGTCTACGGGAGCAGCACGGCAGATTTGAACATAGAGGACGTCGACGTCTTGCTTCCCGATAAAGGCGCGCCGCGCCCGGCGCCACTGCCAGAAGGCAAAAGCTACGCCGCCTGTCCCAAGTCTGATGACGAGCCTTTTGCGCGCCTGAACTGGCACGCCCCCTTGGATTTGGGTTATATGAGACGCTTCACGGCCGCCGATTTACCGATGGGCCCCCACGCCAACAACACATGGGCCGAGGTCTCGCACTGCGGGCACTCGGCCTTCGAAAGCAAGGGCGCCTACTTCTATGGGCTCAAGGGGAGTGGTTTGTGGATCCATATCGGTAAAAGCATAGCCTTCGAGACGCACGAGGACGCTGCTCTGTACTTTCTGAAAAGGCCCTGTAGCAACGGCAACGCCAAGGACGAGGAGCTAGGCATCGTCCAGTGCGACGCGGAACTGGGCGAGATTGTGGTAGAAGCGAAGACGCAGGGCTGGGACTCCATACAGTTCACGCGCCACTGCGACGCGTTCTGTTCTGGTAGAGGCGCCGCGCTGCGCGGCGATAAGCGGAGCCAATTGTGTATAGCGGAGATCGTGTTACTGGGAGTGGACGGTTCGGAAGCGTGCCCTCGGGGCGTCGAGTTTAGGCAGGGCGCCGACGCGTCGCAACCGTGCGTGTGTGAAGCGGGGCCTCTGAAATCGCAGCGCGGACCTTGTGCGTCATGTGCGCCGCCGCCGAAGAAACTTAGTGTGGACGTCTACCTCACCGGTGCGTTACGGGTACGCGATCGTAAACATTATGAGGAAATACGAACGAGTCTCAAAGGCGCGGGCGTCGCCATCGTAACCACAGAACCATACTGGGCGCTCGCCGAACTACTCGCAAATCAAACGGGAGGGAAGGCCTGCGTCGTGGACCCGCTGGACGTGCCCCGTTCTTCCGGCTGGATGAATCAATATAGACAACTAGATGTGGCTCTGAGAAACTTCCACTCAAAGGCTGACACCATAATCCAAGCGCGGACGGACGTGCAGGTCTGGCGGCGGGCGCTCGTCGTCCCTTATGCGAATCTCGTCGCCAATGACAACGCCGTGCACGCGGCGTCGAACCTAGTAGTGCACGCGCGTGCACCCGTATTCAGAGAAACCTTCAAGGACCTCTGGAGAGACGTCAATGGGTTCTACAGTAAACCGCCTCCGCAAGAATCTAGGAAAGGTAGGTCGTGCCCCGACGACTACTACGGCCTGCACAATGAGGGCAAGGTCCGGTCGCAGAACCTGTACAAGCGCTACGCGCAGAAGACGGGCTGCGTCTGCGTCCGCCACGGCATCTACTGGGGCAAGGGCAAGCACCGCAACGGCACGAACTGGAAGGCCTTCGCGCCCGAGGCCGAGCACATCTTCTCGTACCACGTCCAGTTGCGGAAGAAAAAGGCATGCGCGCCGTTGTGTTTGCGACCGATCGCGAAGGACGGGACGTGTCCTCCCGTTGATCGGGTCGAGGCGCGCTTCGAGGGTGGGGCGGACCGCAAAGAAAGGCGGGCGTACGCTTTTCATGAGACGCTGGCGGCGACGTCGCCGCCGAGGCGCTGTAAGGTGGGCGACGCGCCGCGGCGTCTCCGGGCGTACGACCACTGGGAGCTCGACAAGGGCGAAGCTATGATGAGACTCGGGGGTCTCGCAGCGACGCTCGCGGGCCGCAACAAGCCGCCATCCGAGTGGACGGTCCAACGCGGCGACGTCGAGGACTTGCGGTGGCTCGCGAACGGCACGGCGAAGGAGGTCTGGGCCGGCCGGGCTCCAGACGGCCGGAAAGTTATTCTGAAGCGGCTCGTGCGCCAGCATCGCGACGGGAGGGCGACGTCCCCTAGGTCGGACGAGGTGCACCGCGGCGAGCTCCTGGGAGAGCTATATTTTCTCGAGTGGCTGCGAGGCGCCCCAGGCGTTCCTACGTTGCTGGGGGCGTGGACGGAGGCTGGAGGACCAGTGTACGTCGTAAGCGATGGCGGCGAGTCGTATGCAACAAAGTTCCCACGGGATGGCAGGTCCGGATGGCTGGTCCGGACCGAGCCGATAGACGGTCCGACTGCTTTTGCACTAGCCGCGTCATTACTCGACTGCTTCCGGAGCTTCGCAGAAATCGGCGGCTATTTTCTGGATGACCTCAGTCCGCACCAATTCGCCGTCCGGGATGATACAATCTCGCTGATTGACGGACCTCGGCTTCTTTCGAACGCTCCCGTGGCCTCTTACCTCCTCGCCGAGCGTGTCGCGCACTCTATGACCGGCTTCGACGACAGGGCCTGCGCCGACGACAAGGCCTGCCCGGCGACGCGCCACCACCACTCCTGCGTCGGCGGAAACACGCGGTTTGCTAACTTCGCTGGGTCGGCGGCCGTGCCGGTCGCGTGTCGCGACGGATCAATCGCCGCGCCAGAGGCGCGTGGATGGTGTCATAACGGAAGCTGCCTGCCGCTTACGTCGAAGGCCCACGTCTACGACGTGGGGTCGCGGCCCTGGGCCCTGCCCCGCCTCGCGAATGCGACGACGTCGAACCGAGCGCGCAAATTCTTGGGAAATCTTATCGAACGCATGACGGCCGCGGACCCGGACGCGCGCCCCACTCTCACCGAGGCGCTCGACCTCCTCGCGGCGAAGCGGCCGCATATTACGTAACTCTGTGTTTGTACTACTTACTATCATATCATTTCAGCCCCTGCGGTTGTTTTGTCGCGCTCCCGGGTCGCATCCAGAGCGATCGTCTGCCGCGCCGCCTCGCCGAGCATCTGCGGAGACTTCGGCGGTCCTCCGAAGATGTCCTCTTCGTCCGGATCGGCGACCCGCGACGTGAGCTCCGTCTCGATGCCGCGCAGCGACGGCGCCTCGTACTCGCCGCTCGCACCGCGCTCTACCAGTGCGTTCGGGACGACCTCCTGGAAGAGCCGCTCGTAGCGATCTATTTTCCGCCGCCTCCGCTCCGCGACCATGAAGCACGCGCCCGCCGCGCCGAGCAACAAACACGCACAGACCCCAAAGAAGATCGCCGCCCCCGTGCTGGCCATCGCCGCGTCCTTCTTCGAAGACGTGGCCGTGCCGTTGCGGTGTTGACAGGCATCGCCGCTGCGGAACGGGTTGCACTTGCAACTGACCGCTGACCCGTCTTCGGAGACGACGCATTCGCCCTTGCCCGAGCACTCGCCGAAGGAGTTCGAGTCCTCGTCGGCGACGCCCGTGGGACAGGTCAGCTCGCACGCGTCGCCGTGACTATGGGCGTCGCAGACGCAGGACGCCCGCAGCGCCGTGCCGTCGTTCGCGTGTAGCACGACACACTGCCCCCGCCGATTACACGCGTGGCCGAGATGGGAAGGACAGTCGAACTCGCACTCCGCACCCGCGTGGTCCCCGTCGCAGTTGCACCGCGCGCCCGTGTCGTCATCATACACGCAGCCGCCGTGATTGGAGCAGCCGCCGCATTCTAACTCACAAGCTTTGCCGCCCCAACCCTTATCGCAGGCGCAGGAAGCCACGCCGGCGCCCGCGTCGACGCACGTGCCTCGGTTGCTACACGTATCTCCTGATTCATCGGCAGCGCAGCCGTCCTGGCACGCGTCTCCGATGTAGCCCGCGCCGCACACACACGAAGACCCGTCCGCCGAGCAGACGCCTCTGCCACTACAAAAAGTGCCCGAACTTGTGGGAGAATTCGAGTAGACATCAGCCGGGTCCATCCCGGGGCACGGCACGGAGCAATCCGATGAAGCGAAGCCCGGCGCGCAGACTTTACATGTGTCAGAAGCGCCGGGAACGCCCCGCATTTCGACAGATAAGGTATAGTCTTGTATGGATTCGGACGCCTCGTGATCGTTATAAATACCAATGTAGTAGATGCCCGGCTCCGGCGCGCCCGTCGAGAAGGCCGAGCCGGGGTAGGTCGGGTTCATGCAGCACCCCGACCCGGAGCAGCCGAACTGGTCGTCGCCGCAAGCCGTAATCGCGATTGCCTGGGAAGGCGTGTGCTGGTTGTAGTAGTCGAAGTAGTCAAAAGTACCCTGCACCATGAGTGGTAACCGGTCTCGTCTCACTACTAGAGTGGGGAGGGCCCCATCATTCGTCGTCTGGAACGCGACCTCGAGCACGCGATCTTCGCACCCGACCGCAATCGACCAGAAGGCCCATCCATCAATAGAGATGGTCTTGGCGTTGCCCCGTGATGGGCTGGCTGTTAGTTGAGACGGCGTCAACTCAAACACACCGTCGGCGGAGCAGTCGTCCATGACCCTGCCACTCGCGCAGTCGCATCGGCCCAAGTTCCTTTCACAGGTCCCCTGGCCGTCGCACATGCGATCGTCTCTTGCTAGTGGGCAATCTAATGAAGTTTTGAAGCTACTCGTAATAGAAAAGGTCAGGGCCTCAGAATTCTCGACCCCATTGTGCACGGAAACGTACCAGACGCCCGGCCCGGCCGCCGCTAACTCTTCCGCATCCAGCAAAATCTGGTGCTCCGCATCCCTATAAAAGTTAGCTAGCAAATCATGGTCCGTGAACTGCGACGCGTCGGCGGCCCAGGGCATCTCCTCGAACGCCGCGCGCATCGTCGGGTCGGCCACTTTGTCGCCCAGCACTTCTAGGGTCACCACCAAATTCTTTTTGGCTTGGATGTGGTCCACGGTCACTTCAATGGCGTAATACGAATGCCCACCAATTCCTAATGCAGGTGGATTCTTCGTGGCACCGTCCCCCAGCAACGTTTCCGCCGTGAACGAGCAGTCCCGCCATAACCTGTCTGAAGGGCAGGCGCACTCGCCCGTGTTGAAGTCGCACGTGTTGCCGTCGCAGAAGCCTCCATTTTTTGTGGCTGGACAGGGCGTGCCCGAATTGTACAGGGTAGCGGTCAGACTATACTGCAGCGTTTCCTTGGAGGTCATCCCATTCACTCCATTATGGCCCCACAAGTTATAGACCCCGATGTACCACGCCCCCTCGCTCAGGGTAGTCTCATTGACAATGATAGACATGCGCTGGCCTTGTATTAACTCGAAGCCCTCGCCGTCCACCTCGGTATACACAAAGGCGTCCACCGTCGGAACTAACCCATCTTTGAGTCGCGGCGCGTCGTTCCGCCTTACCAACGCGATGGGCCAGGCGTGCGGCGTCGACGAGTAGAACTCGACCGCGAGCTTATTTCTGTGGGCTTGGTCTGCCGTAACATCATACCGGTAGTAGTCCCAGTTGCCGATGCGCACGGTCCCTTCGTTGGACGTATCTAGTGTTAACGCTCGAACTTGAAATTGACACGTGTCCGGCGCGTTCGTCAGGCTGCCCTCCCAGCCGTCGTCGCAGGCGCAGTTGCCGCTTGTGGTATCACAAGTCCCGTGGCCGTTGCAGTCTAAGAGGCATCGTTGCTGGCTGTTTGTGCCTACTCTTAGTGTCACGGAGGCTTCCAGCGTGCCGGTCGCATCACCCCGCAAGGCATCATTCGTCACTCCGATGTAGATCGTCCCCGTTCTCCCGTTGCCTCGGATGAAATGAATATCCGAACAGTCGTAGTACCAGCTGAACCAGTCCGACAACCGATAATGGGAAAGAGTAGGTAACGTGTCGTAGGACACCATCAAGCGCGGGTCGGCCGTCGCGACCGACGCGTCGACGAGTTCGATCAGAAACGTATCACTTTCGTCCACATTAATCTTGAAGTACTCCCACGCGCCGACACTAATGCCGCCGATGTCCGCCTTGACGCCGTCATTCAAGGTCTTGACGGGTATGGAGCAGTCCGTATATTCGTCGGCCCCCCAGCCCTCGTTACACGTACACAGGCCGTCGTCACACGTCCCGTGGTTCGAACAACCATTGAAACATGAGCCGTCGCTGGAATCGAAGTACTTGGCCGTCAAGCCGAGCTGCTGCGTGCGCGCGCCCGAGTGGTAGGTGGCATCGGCCTTAAAATGTAATAAAACTTCTTTATTGTCCGGTCTCAAAACAAAGGGTGACGGCAGCTCGCCCGACACTTGCAACGGGTCGTCGTCATCTTGGCCGTCGTAGACCGTCAGGTAGTCGTGCTGGAACTCGGTCTGAAAAAAATCGAACGCGACGGTCAGGCGGTCGCCGGGCGCCGTCAGGACCCAGCAGGCCTCGGCGCCGTCATCATAAGGATCGTGCTTGCCGCCGATGCCGAAGGCCGTGTCCGGAGCCACATTCACCTGAGTGCAGGACGGCCAGGCGGCCTCCGCGAGTAGTGGCAGGAGGAAGTATGTAAGGCGTGCCATAGCCGTGGACCTCGGGCAGCCCGCTTTGATAACGGTGTGCCGCGCGTTGGGAGGAGGCTGCACTAATCGTCCGCGGCCGTTTCCCCAGCCTCTTCGGCACCACCTCTTTGGGAGAAGCTGTCCAGCTATTCGGGCGCAGCGGCGCGTGCCCGCACGATGGGCGCTTCGACGGCGGAGCGCTCGGTGGCTTCGAGCAGAGGTGTCGTGGGCGCCCTCCGAGTCGAGTACCCGGAAAACCCGTTTTTGGCGCCTATTTTTGAGCATGGACCCAGTAATTGAGTAAAAAGGGCTGCGCAAAGCCGCTGCGCATTTTTTCCACGGTTTCGCATTGGATTGACACTCGCGCATCCGTACACGAACCGTTTATCATGGCCCAGCAGCAACGCTACCAGGTCTTCCACGAGCCCGCCGGCGCATCACAAACGCGCTGGGTCCACGACAGCGCTGCCGGAGATGAGCCATCCCTGGCCGCGGCGCGCGCGGCGGCGGACCGCGCGCGTCAGGGCGGCGGCGCGTGCACGCTGCTCGAGGACGGCCGCGTCGCGCAGACGTGGAACGACCCGCTCAAGCCGGCGCCGCCGCAGCCCGCGGGCTGGCTCGTCAACGCCGGGAGCTACCGCAAGGACGCGCGCCACGAGCTCCACGCGCAAGCGCGGGTTTTGGGAAGGCGGTCCCAGAGCGACGCGAGCGACAAGCTCGACCTCGACATCGCTTCCAGTGAAACGGGCGTGTCGCGGCGCCAGTGCTCCGTGCAAATTGTTGATGGCGCGTGTCGCGCCGCGGGGCTCTCGGCGGCGCAGGCGTCGGGCATCCTGCGAAGGGACGGCGCGCGCGACATCCTGCGGGCCAGCGAGACGAAGGAATTATGTGAGGGCGACATATTGATACTGGACCCGCTCAACGCACCCTACCGCCCGGGCGCGCCGCTGTCGCCGGTCCTGCCGGCGGCCGTGCGCTTCGCGTATAGAGTTGTCGTCGCGCCGGCGCCGGCGGCGCCGCCACAAAGCTTCTTCGGGAAGGTGGCCGCGACGGTGCGGTCGTGGACGGGCCGCGGCGCGGCCGCGCCCGAAGCGACGCCGTCGATCAAGGAGATGAAGGCAGCTATAATAAAAGCGGGCCTGTCCGTGGCGGACCTCGTGGAGAAGGCGGACGTCGTCGAGCGCTACCGCGAGGCGCTTTCCAAGGAGCTCCCGGAGGCGCCGAAGGAGGCGTCGCCGGCGCCGGCGCCCGCGTCCACTACGAAACCGAAGCGCAAGCGCCGCACGATCGCCGAGAGCGACGACGAGGACGAACCGGCACCGATGGACACGACGGACGAGGCGCCGCGTTTTGAGGTAGGCGACACCGTCGAGGTCGCCGCGCGCACGTTCCCGGGCATCAACAAGGCCGGCGGGCCGGGCACGATCACGAAGATAAACGACGAACGGAGTATCGATGGAGGCCCCATGCGCGACGGGTCGGAGAAGAGGACCACGGGTTTTACGTATGCCGTCAAGTATACGATGGGAGGCTCTGAGAAGCGCGTCGACGCGCAGTGGATCACAAAAAGTAAAAATGAGGAGGAGGAGGACGCGGACGCCTTCGCCGTGGGCGACCGCGTCGAGGCGCGCTGGGGCAAGGGCACGACGTGGTACCCCGGGGCCGTCACGAAAGTGCGCCCCCCGAAGACGCGCGGCCGCTCGTCCACCTTCGACGTGCTCTATGATGATGGAGAGACTGAAGAAAACGTGCAGCCCGAGGACATGCGTCAACCGCGGAGCTCGACGCTGAGGAGGCCGTCGCCCAAACGCGTGAAGACGCCCGCCGCCGCGAAGAAGCGCCCCGTGACGACGACGGAGGACCGAGTACCGCGCGACACGCGGAAGCGGTGGCCCGCGAAAGTCGCGAACATCGTCGACGACCTCGTCGTCGACGGCGCGGACCTGCCGCGCGTCCTGGACTTATTTCGGGACCGGTGCGTGGTCCGGGGCGAGGTGCCGTTGGATCGCACTCTCAAAGGTTTGTTGCGGGCCCTCTCCAAAACGGCGGACCCGCGCGCCGCGGACTTGCTGCGGGCGTGCCTCGCCCTTTCTGTTGAAGAGGATCTAGATGATGCGTCGTTAGATGAAGACGCTTTGCTAGAGAGGCTGGAGAACGAGCTGGGCTTCGACGCCGGGGACCGGCGCGACGCGCTGCTGGACAGGCTCGCCCATTCCGACGCGGCCGCGGCGGAGGCCTTGGGTGCGGCGCCGAACGCCGCGGGCGCGGGCCGGCGGACGGCCGCTTTGGCTGGTGGGGCGGGCGTCGCGGCACCAAAAGGCGACGGGCCGCTGGACGTGCTCGTGCGGGGGATCCTGTCGGCGGCTTAGTAATACCACTACTAAATTCTTAACACCGCTCGAACTGCCGATACAGCCGCTCGAGCGTCGTCAGCGTGTCGATGCACGCGTCATCATCTAATCCGGCGGGCGGCAGGAGCAGCTGCTTCAAGGCCGGGAAGATGACTTTCTCGAGCGTCTCCTTCGCGTCGTCCTCCAAAACTAATTCGCGAAAATCATCCTGCACAACTTCGTGGGACGGCAGCTGCGCGTAGCAGACCCCGAGGTGATTAATCACATCTTCGAAACACCTTCGCTCATACCGCCACTCCGTCTCCGTGGCCAGGCGCCACAGAAAACCGGGGATCGCGCCCGGGTACGGCGTGTGCCCCTCGAGCAACACCGGCAAATGCGTGAGCATACCACCATCATCAATACCAATGCCAAAGTACTCCTTGAGCATGCTCGCCTTCGCTCGTAACTTCTCCAAGGCGTCCTGCGAAGCAGCTTTCGCATCGTCAATCGTGTCGGCCTCGCACGCTTCCAGGTGCGCCGCGATCAAGTCCACGACGGGATACGACGGGTCGAATTCGAGGTAGTCCACTTCGCCGAACTGGCGCAGGGCCAACTGCGAGAAGAGTTCTCTTGAAAGCAGCAGGTGGTTCACCATGCTCAGCTTCGTGCCGTGTTGGATGAGTGAACGGTGCGCGTCGACGTTGCCCACGTAGACGTGCGTCCGCAACGCTTCCGCGCTTGCGACGCGCGGCCGCCGCGCCCGCAATTCCTCGAGCATTTCCTTAATGGAGTCATATTCGCATTGCGTGTGTTTGAGTTCGAACTTGCGCGGTCTAGGAGGAGGTGGCAACAACACCGCGTCCGCTTTGACCGACCCGCACTCCGGGCACTTCTTGTCGTCATCAATCAAAGCCTCTCTCGCATCGCGCGACGCGGCAAAGGCGCCCGGCGTTTCGGCCAGTGATTGCGATGCCTTGAGCGAGCCGCAAAGCTTGCAGCGGTCGCCTTGCAGATTTGTTGGTTGTGAGTGAGTGACGTCCTGCTGGGACGGCTGCTTGAGGGCGTTGTGCAGGTTCTGCCGCGCGCGCGCGGTCGGCTCGTCGTCGTCCTGCGACGGCGCCATCGCGCGCGCGGTGGCCTCGTCGTCGTCCGGCGACGGCGCCATCGCGCGCGCGGTGGCCTCGTCGTCGTCCGGCGACGGCGCCATCGCGCGCGCGGTCGGCGCGTCGTCGGCCATGTCCGCGTCGCTCTCATCTTCATTCCACGCGCCGAGCTGCACGTGGCCGCTCGGCACGCGGCCCTCTTCACCACTTCGGGCGTTCCGCGCGAGCCACCACGACTCGTCCGTGACCCAGACCTCGAGGTTGTCGTTCGCCCTTAATTCGAGTTGATGGGCCTTGAGCGGCTCGAAGGCGTAGCGGGCCGTCGCTCGCTCGGGAGGCGGCCGCGCCGGCGCCATGGCGGCGTCGCCGTCTCGAGACGGCGCCGCGGCCTCCTGGGAAGGAGGCGTCTCCGGCGGCGGCGTCGGATCCGGCGGCGGCGGCGGCGGCGGCCCGTCCTGCGTCGCCGAGTCGGCGGGCGCCTCACTATCGTCCTGCGACGCGAACCAGTCCTCGGGTGAATCCTCTCGAGACGCGTCCGTGACGCGATTGGCCTCCCTTACCGCTTTTGGAGGTGGTGCCGGCGTCTTCTGGGAGGCCGGGAAGAAGCTATCTATTTGTTGATCTCTGTAGTCGGCGCGAATCATCTTCTCGGGCCGCTGCGAGGGCTGCGTGTTCGTCGTCCGTTTTTGTGATGGTTGTGATTCCGAGTGGAACGCGCCCCGCGGTTGCTGTGACGAGGGCTGGGACAGCTGCGACTGTGACGATGATTTCCGTCTAGAAGGCTTGTCGCTCAACTGAGCTAGTGTACGGGTGTCGGCGTGCTTCGCCGCTAACGGCTCTAAAGCTCGCTGTAGAGCTTGACACAATTCCGCCTCGTACAAAAAATGTACTTCTTTCTTCGTGGGGTGCACGTTGACGTCCACATGACTACCAGGTACTTTCAGTGATAGGTACGCGAAGGGCTTGCTCGTCGTAGAAGCGACATGGTCGGGTCGGTTCGCATAGACCTCATCCACACATCTTTTTATAGCCGTGGATTCTACTAATCGATCATTAATAAACAACGTGAACCGGTCCTTCTTGTTCTGAGGCGTGCCCCTTGTCGTTTCCACACATCTTTTGGAGACATATCCGGTCAGCGAGAAATGTAACGGTTTCTCGTCCGTGCCTTCTTGTCCACATTTCAACTCACACAGATTTGAGGATGTTGTAGAACCGTGCACCGCCGTTAACGCTTCTAGCGTCGTACCGCCCGTGGTCACCAAGTCACTACCATGGCCGGCCTTGCGACAAGATATCGCTTTCGACGCGTAGTGCACGGCGTAGGCGCCGCACACCCGCACCATCTGGTGGTACTGCTCCGAGACCTGGCCTCTCAAAATTTTCCTTCTGATTTGAAAGTTGTGGAACATGTCTTCTACCGTTATCGTCGTGCCATCAGGGGCGGCGCACGCCTTCGGCTTGCCGAGCGGTGCGCCGTCCCGGAAACTTTGTTTGTATGCGCACTCGTCGCCTCTTACTTTAGTAGTGACGTGGACCTTCGCTACATACGACACGGAAGCTAGAGCTTCTCCTCGGAACCCAAAGGTCTCGATGTCCACCAGATCCTCAAATTTTTGTAGTTTTGACGTGGCATGCCGTTCACATAACAACGGTAGATCGGACTGCTTGATGCCGCACCCGTCGTCGCAAATGCGCAACCGATCCAAGCCGCCGCCCTCGACCTCGACGGAGATAGTAGAAGCCCCGGCGTCCAGGGCGTTCTCCAGGAGCTCCTTCAACGCATTGGGAGGCTTCGTCACGACTTCTCCCGCGGCGATCTGGTTCACTACGAGTGGATCTAAGCGCAGGATGTCCTTCGGCTCCATGCTGGCGTCTTCTTGCGGGACGCCGCACCCGTCGCCCACATCCACATTCGCCCCGCACCGCGCCGCGCCGCCGTCAACAGGTGCTTGCGGCCGCGCCGCGCCGCCATCCATTAAGGGAGGCGCCTGCGGCAATTCCTCGTCGTCTTTGGGCTTCTTCTTGGCCGGAGAACCTTCAAAGTCCGCGTCGCTCGCGTGGTCGCCGTCGTCATATTCCTCCTCCTCGTCGTCGTCGTCGACCATGGCGTCGTCGGTGTTCTCCTTGTCTTGTTCTTTCGCTTTGCGGCGACGGAGCGTCGGCATCTTTTTTGTGTTGTTTTCAGCTCTCCGCAGTCCTGGACAGCCCGCCGTCGCGTGCGCGGCTTTTCCTCTCTCTGCTTGGCAGAGCTTGTTTGAACTCTCTGCGGCCTACCGAGCGAAATCGCTGCCGCGGCGGGTCCAAGGCGTGGAGTACTGCTCCAGAAGCTGGCCGAGTCCGACGAATACCACTGCTGTGCCCTAGATTGGGCTTGGGCGCGCCTCCGGCTTGCTTGCTAGTATCTTACTGGACGCTAGCTTCCTCCCAGCCCCGCGCCGATTTGTCGCGCTACGAATTGCGTGGCGCTGGTAACATTTCTCTGTCATTTCTGCTGCCGTACTTGTCACTCATAGCAGCGCAGAGTAGACAGCGACAGCCCAAAAGCCTCTCACAAACCATGGAGTTTTTCAGCGGCTCTGCGGCCGACATGCTCAAAAAGTACGGCCAGGCCGTCCCGGAGCAGCAGCCCCTGTCTTCCTTAGAAGAGGCGCAAGCCGCCAAGGCCAAATTGGAGGCCGAGAAGGAGCCGGAAGCTCACTTCCACGACGGCCACGCCTGCACCGCGGACCACTCGAGCGAGCACTCGCACGACAAGGCGAGCGCCCACGCCCACGAGCACGACGGCCACGCGTGCACCGAGGACCACGACCACGCGCCGCACGCGCACGAGCACGGCCACAAAAAAAGCGCCTGCTCCGAGGACCATTCGCACGACGGCGGGCACGCACACGACGGCGGCCACTCGCACGACGGCGGCCACGAGGAGAAGCACGCCGCGGCAAAGGACTTCCTGCGGGCGCAGATCGCCAAGTACGAGGCGTCGCAGAAGGGCAAGGACGACCACGACCATGAGTGCTCGCACTCGCACGACGGCCACGAGCACTCCCATTCACATGAAGAGCACCCCGTCGCCACGGCCCTGAAGGCCGGCCTCGACGCGTCGCGCGTCGAGGTCACGGCCGAGGGCTCGGGCTGCGGCCAGAAGCTCCAGATTTTGGTCGTGGCCAAGGACTTCGAGGGCCTGACGATGATCAAGCAGCACCGCCTCGTGAACACGGTCGCGAAGGACGAGCTCGCGAAGGTCCACGCGTTCAACGTGAAGACGTACTCGCCCGCGAAGTGGGCCGCGAGGAGTAAGTAGATGCGGTAGTTCTTAGCTTGCGCGCGTCGCGACGTTGAGCGCACTTTGACTGCGGGGTTTTCGCCCGCTTTTTGTTGCCCGGACGCCGTAGAAGAGAGGCCCTCTACGAAGCGCCGGCACGGATCACGGACAGCGTACACCTAGCTCGAGCGGGTGCCCCGCACGTTGGCATAGCGCGGCTGCCGATTTTGGCAGCTCGTTGGCATAGCGCGCGCCACAAGGGCGCCCGCGGACACACAGACAATACCATGACGCCATCGCATCGGGATACCTCCAAAAAGACGTGAGCCCACCAGGGGCAGCCCCACGAAGCAGCACACAAGCAGCCTGCAGCATGGAGGCCGGCCAGGGCGGCCCCGACGCCATCGTGGGTTTGAGAGATCTGCTGGACAAGTCGAAGCGGCAGAAGGAGGCGGCGGCCGAGCAGGAGAAGGAGGCGCTGCTGAACGGCCTCGCTCAGCTCGCCGCGGCGCAGCATTTGCAGGAAGCGCGCATCGCGGCCCAAGAGGAGCAGATCACGGCGTTGAAAGCGCAGATCTACAAGGGCGTCGACTTTCAAGTGAAGGCCGTAGAGGAGCGCATCAACGCGAAGCTGCCCGAATTAACTCAGAAAATAGAGCAGCGCCTCGACAAGGTCGAGAGCTCGCTCGGCGAGTCATTTCATGCCATCGAAACATTAATTTCGTCGTTGTCCGCCGGTAAAAGAAAAGCTCGCGATCTGCTGGTTGCGCAAGCGGTGACGGCGTTCTCGCACGTTTCGGTACATATGACGGACGAGCAACGCGTCACATTGGTCCAGAAGCGCGTCCGCGGCTTTTTGCGGAGGAGGCGCATCGCCGCGCGCGAGGACGCCACGGCGCGGGCGCTGGCGGAGCTCGCGGCCTTCAAGGAAACTACCAAGAGGGAGCTCGAGGAGGCCGCGCGGGCGCGCGACGCCGAGCGCGACGCCGAATTGTTGAAACGCGACGACGAGCGGGATGCTGCACAACAAGCAAGGGATGCTGAAAGGGACGAGGCTTTGAGAAGGGAGGGCGAGGCCATGGTCCGCGAGCGCGAGGCGCTCGCCGCGGAGCGCGAGGCTTTACAAAGGGAGCGTGACGACGACGCGCGGGCGCGCGACGAGGAGCGCGCCGCGGCGGCGCGCGAGCGTGAGGAGGAGCGCGCCGCGGCCCAGCGCGCGCGCGAGGAAGATATCGCGCGGCTCGAGGCTTTAGCGGAGGAGCGCGAGGCGGCCGCCGCGGGCGGCGCGGCCGAGGCGCGCGCCGAACTCGAGCGCGCGCGGGCGGAGGCGCGCGAAGAGGCCGAGCGCGCCCGGGCCGAAGCCAAAGAGGAGGCCGAGCGCGCCCGGGCCGAGTCGGAGCGCGCGCGCGCCGAAGCCAAGGCGGAAGCAGAGCAAGCGCGCGCCGAGGCGGGCGCCGAGAGCGAGCGCGCGCGCGCGGAAGCCAAGGCCGAGGCCGAGCGTATGAAACTCTTCGCGAGCGCCGAGGCCGGCCGCGCGAAGGCCGAGGCCATTGAAAGAGAAAATGCCTTGAAGCGTTCTGCCGACCTCGCGAAGGCCGAGGCGGCACGAGCGCGCGTGGAGGCCTTGGAGAGGGAAGAGCGGGCGGCGCGCGAGGCCGCGGAAGCTCGAGCCGAGGCCGCGGCGGCGAAGGGCGCGTCCGACGACTTGGTGAACTTCCTGAAGCAGCACCCGGATCTGGAGAAGGAGGTCGCCGACGATGGCTGTGTGGAGCAGCGGTTGATCGACTTTGAGAAGCGGTGCGCCGACGCGTTCTTCCGCCTCGAGCAGATGGTCGAGCTGCGGGCGGCGCAGTCTTTGGAATTGGAGAAGCGGATCCAGGCCATCGCGTCGGGCGAGGAGCGGATTGCTGGAAGGAGCCGCGGGCCTTCTCGCGTGTCTACGGCGAAGAAGAGCGTCATCCCGAAGAAGGCCGCCGAAGCTCGCAAGGCGCGAGCGAAGGCCGCGGCGGAGAAGGAGGTCGCCGCGTTCAAGGAGGAGTTCTTGAGTGCGGCGCGGCAGTGCTTCCGCTTGATCGACAAAGATCAAGGCGGGTCCCTATCAAAGGCCGAGATCGTCGAGGCCGTCAAGTCAGATCAAGTAGTTATAAAATTCTTGACGACGTGCGGCGAGGAGAACCTGCAATTCTTATTGCACCCGCCGCGGCTGCAGAAAGCCTTGGAGATCCTGGACACGGATAAGAGCGGCGAGGTCGACGCCGACGAGTGGCGCGTCGCGCAGTGTCCTCCATCGTTACGCCATCGACGCGTCGTCGCCGCCGCGTAGAGGTATAAAATCAAAACGCGCGCAGGGAGGAAGCTATCAACCGGGGCCTCTCGAAGCGCGTCGAGCAGCTCAAGGTCGAGCAGGAGCGGCGCGAGCGCGCGGCGCAGCGGGCGGACGAGGAGTTCAGCGTCGAGTTCCTGAACGCGGCGCGCGCGGTGTTCCGCATGATCGACGCCGACGGGAGCGGCACGCTGGAGAAGGCCGAAGTGGTTGATGCCGTGAAGAACAACCAAAAGGTCATCAAGTTCCTCGAGACCTGCGGCAACTCGAACCTCCAGTATTTGTTGGTGCCGGCGCGCCTCGAGTCCGCGCTCCAGCAGCTGGATACAGATCGCGATGGCCACATCGATGAGAGTGAATGGGAGGAGTGCATCGAGGTCGCGCTGTCGGCCAAGCTGGAACAGCGCGAGGCCAAGCGCGAATCACAAGCCAAGGCGGCCGCAGCTGAAGTCGCGGCGTTCACGCTCGACTTCAAGAACGCCGCGCGGCGCTGCTTCGAGCTCATCGACAAAGACGAAGGCGGGACCCTGGACAAGGGCGAAATTGTGAGAGCCGTCAAGGAGGACGCTGAAGTGATCTCCTTCCTCGAGACGTGCGGCGAGGAGAACCTGCAGTTTCTGCTCGTGCCGGATCGTTTAGAAGCGAGCCTCGACGCGCTCGACACGAGCAAGGACGGCGAGCTAGACATCGACGAATGCACGGCCCGGTGTCTGAATCATGACCTGCGCGCCATCTCACCGGTAAATTTGCACGCAGGGGAGAGCGCGATCAACAAAGGCCTGGCAAACCGCCTGGCGGAGCTCGAGGTGGCGCGCGAGGAAAGAGATAGAGCCGAGCTCGAGGAGGAGTGTGGAATTGAAGCTGACACGTACGAGGCGCTGCCGGACCCGGCGGAGGACGCGACGGAGGGGCTGCGCCACGACGTCAACAACCTCACGCACTTCGTCGACCGATTGTCGATCAGGTGCGAGGACTTTTTCCGGCGGAACGCGGGCCTCGAGGAGGCGCGGAAGCGCGAGGCGCACGACGAGGAGCGCCGCGCGCGCCTCGCGTGCGTCGACGCGCTGCAGGCGCTGCGGGACGGAGTAGGGGCCGCGCGCGGCGTCGAGGGCGTGACGGGCCACGAGCTCGAGACTTTGGACGGCGTGTGCCGGAGGACGCTCGCGAGCCTGCCTACTAGAGAGAAAATACTGCAGGACCGGGCCCCGGGCGTGCTCAAACCGTCGGCCCTCCTAAGAGTGCGCATGGCCGCCGCGGCGCTCGATAAAGTCATGGACGCGACGCTCGAGGAGCCCTTCGCGCGGCCCGGCGCGCTGAACCACGCGCGCCGCTCCGCGCACCGGTTGGAAGACGCAGACTTCGACGCCTACTCGACGTGGCACGCGCCGCTGGCGAACGCGCTCGACGCGGCGTGTGCTTTGCTGGATCGCCACGCGTCGGCTTCCTCGACGTCGCTGGACGTCGTGCGACTCATGAAGCGGCGGCGGCGCGCGCCCGAGGACGAGCATCCTTGCTCGACGGACGAGGCCCTCGACGAGTGGGGCCGCCGTTTAGACGCTGGCAAGGTGCCGGACGCGCGCCAGTGGCGCGTCGTGGCCACACTCTCAAATGAAGACGCGCCCGAGGAGACGCAAGAAGACAATTGGGGAGGATCGTGGGACGAGCGCCCGTGGACGTCCGACCCCGAGGAGATTGGTCCCGTCAAAAAGGACCTCGACTTGGTGAAGGCCAAGGCCGAGCTCACGCAGCGCACTTGTTTGAGACTGGATGCCGCGCTGGAAGAGGTCGTCGCGCAGATGCGCGGCGGCTTCGCGTCGAAGGCTGATTTACAAGAGGTCGAAGAGCATTTGCGGAGGCTGGCGTCCATCCAGCGCGGCACGGCGAACGAAATCGCCTCGAACAAAGCAGGGTTATCTGATTATGAGCTCCAGCTGAAGAGGGTGGCGGACCAAGTGAGGGCGTCTCAAGCAAAAACGCCGCGGTTCCAGCGGCTCGAGCAGTGCGTTTTGCGGCGTCCTACTTTTTGCACCGTTCGTGATCTCGCGGTGCCTTCGTGATCTCGCGGCGCCGCGACGCCGTCGCCGCGGCCGGAGAGAGTCTACATGAGCATGATGTCACGCCACGGCGACGAGCCAAGCCTCCCGCAACTCCGAGATTCCGACTCCCGTGTTTCGGGGTCTGGAGCTTGACGCGCCCAGCATCACGCCATCGCCGCGACGCAGGCTCATTTCAAGAAAAGCAGACGCCGAGGCCGTCGCGCGCGTCACGACGGAGATTCGGGGACGGGTCGACGGCGTCGAGTCCAAGGCCGCCGAATTCGTCGTTCCGGAACCGATCGGCGCGGCCGCCGATGGCATCTTCTCGACAAAATGTTTAGCGTGCAACCGGCCCTACCAGTATCCTCAGAAACAGGAGATCCCGGAGGTGCCCAGACAGCGGAGTCTGGGGGTGATGCCGCCCTCGTCGACCGCGGACTTGGACGTCGCGGGGACGCGCGCGCCCGTCGATCGGAGGCAGGTCCGCATTGCGACCCCTCCGCGACGGTTGCGCGCCGACGACTTCGCGCTGGCCATGGAGGCGCCCGACGTGTTCCTGGCGATGCAGCAACGGAAACAAAGGACGAAGCAGAAGGTCGTGATCAACGCGCGGGTCGCGCCGCCCGTCGGGCGGCACTCGTTCGATTCGCCGGGTGGGGGGCTGGGGTAATTTAGTTTGATTGATGCGTGGCTTCGCGACGGCCGCGACCTTGCGCGACTGCCACTACGCCGAGTCGTCCGCGGCTTCGTTGTCTTCTCATCCTGCTCTGACGAGTCCTGTGGCTCCGGTAGGCGTGGCAGGAGGCCTCCGAGAGTCGCCAATCGATAGGATGCCTGTGAAAGCGGCAGCAGAGCAGCTTCGCATAGCAGCCATTGATCCTCAAAAATCGACAGGTATTCGCGGCGAAAGTTTCGCAGCGAGTTCACAGCACTCATTCTCAAACAGCTCGACGCCAAGCGCGCACGCCGCCGCAGCGCGTCCACAAGTAAGACCACAGCACAGCATGGGTCTCCTCTCGTTTATTTACTCCGTGTTGGGGTACAACATCTGCGCGACGCTGTTCATCGCGTATCTGATGTTTGATTATGTACTGGGAGCGTTGGCGACGTTCGGCGCCCGCTACGTGATGGAAAGTAAGTCGGGCGGCGCGTACGACTTCTACATCCGCTGGATCCGCGTCGACTACGGCTGGACGGAGCTGACGCTCACGATCGGCCCGATCACGTTCAAAAACCCGAAGAAGTTCAAGATGACGCCGTTCCTCATCAAGATCGACCGCATCTCGTGCCGCGTTAATCCGCGGTCGTTCCTCGATTGGCTGAAAAAAAAGCGCCCCATGGAGGTCGAGAACGTAGAGATCGAGCGCATGCGCTTGCACATGGAAAGAGATGGGAAGGGAGAGATGAACTGCTGGGCCGCGCCTCGCAGTGCATAAAATCAAATTGTCGCGTCTCATCCACCCGACTCACTGGCTGATTACTCACAGGCGCTCGGCATGGACGCGGCGGCCGGCGAAGCGGCGTACGCCGACGCCCAGAAGTCGTCGGACAAGCAGGAGCAGGACCTGGACCCGGAAGCCTTCGAAGACGACGGAAAAGATGAGTACAAGGGCATGGATAAGAAAGAAAAGAAAAAAGTTAAGAAGTCGAAGCGGGAGAAGGAGGAAGCGAAGCATGCTGGCGGTGTCCTCGGCATGTTCGCCGTCAAGCGCGTATGCTTGCGCGGCCACCGCTACGACATTGACGCGTTCATGCGCAAGACCAAGACCACGGCCAAGGACGTTCAGAGCAATATAATCAAAATGCAGATATTAGAAGTCTTCGACGGTCCCGGCCTGTGTGGAACTAAGTGTGTCGGGTGCACCCGATAATTCCTCGCGTCGATGGCGTGGACGAACGCGCCGTAAATTGAATTTCCACCCATTTGATTTCCACACAGGTCGCGGCAAGAAGGACAAGAAAGGCAACTACCCGGGCCTCTACTTAGATGATATCATAAAAATGGTCGTGGTCCGCTGCGTCAAGACTGTTATGTCGACGAATGGTTTCACCAACATTAAGATGGGTCTCGGCGCGGCTGGGAACCAACTCGGCGCGGGCATCGCTGGTGGTGCGAACGCCGTCAACAACACGGCAGCGAGAGGTCTCTTAAATATGGGCCAGACGACCGGCAAGCAAGTCAACGCGCGTCTGAAGGGCAAGGAAGCGGTGGCGGATTCATTAGTTATTGTCTGCCACTCCGCGAAGCACCTACCGGCAGGTGCCAAAGTTGTGTGGAAATCAAGCAATCGAGCAGTTGTCGCGTCGATGGCGTGGATGCGTGATTCAGCCGTACGCACACAGGTCACAAGAAGCGTCCGGCGGCGTACCTAAAAATACAGGTGGGCAAGAAGGGGGTCAAGCAAAAAACGGCCGCCGCGCCGGCCTCCAACAATCCGGATTGGGGGAAAACGATCACGTTATCGCCCATCACTGATTTGGAGGAAGACGTGCGCATTCAGGTCTACGACCGGCGCATCTTCGCCGAAGACGATCAGTTAGGCAAGACTTTGAAGATCCCGCTACGCGAGCTCATAGACAACGCCGCCGTCGAGAAGTGGTACGACATCGAGCCGGCCGATGACAAGCCCCTGAAAGAGGGCGAGAAGTCGGCCCAGGTCAAGCTCTCGCTCGAGCTCCACGGCGTCAAGGCCACCGAAGACTGAGGAAGAAGTGTCCTGTAGTGATCCCCGTTCCCCCCGTGTAACTTTCAATAAATCCAGTACTAGAAGTACTACACAACAACATCACACACCGGCCGTCGCCTCAGGCCACAACCGACGCCGCCGCCGCGCTTCCAACAACACGGAACTCCCCCCACGGCCGCGGCGTCCCGAAGGGCCCGACGCACTGGTCCAGCGGGATGTCGAAGTGGTCCGTCTCGGCGCCGCAGGACCCGTCCTTCGTGTCGTAGAACGCGCGGCGCAGCCGCCTCGTGAGGGGCGTGAGCGAGTCGCGGACGTCGTAGGAACCCCATTGCGAATCGTTCTGGAAGAGCGCCGGCGGGCTGTAACACGTATCTAAGGGCGTCACGTACGACTTCGCATCTTTGCCGCCGCACTTGTCCGTGGAGAGCGTTGCGTTCAGCGCGCGATGCCCGGCGACGCAGGCCAGGTCGATGCACCAGCGCGGGCCCTTGTCGTCGGGCAGATACGTGCCGAGGTGCGTGCCGCACGCCGACGTGACGAGCCCGCCGGCGACGCGCACGTTCTCCGTGAAGACCTCGGCCGCCCGAAACGACGGCCAGCCGTGCTCGTCCGTGTCGGCCTTGAAATCAGATAGTGTTCGATTCACGGGCGCCCGGAAGAGCGGCAAACCACAGACGCTGTCGTAGAAGGTCGTCGTCTTCGTCACGTGGCGAAACAGCCCGACATCCGGCTGTTTGTACAGAAACTGCGGCTCGGCGAACGGCAGCGCCCGCGTGTCGCAGCACACCGCCTCCGCCAGCGACTCGTTTATGTCGATGGGCGCGGGCACACCCCTCGGCGTCGTGCGCCGCGAGATGCCGTAATTGAGCGCCGGCTGGACGGGCCCGGAGCATTCGTCGAGGGCTGAAGGTGGCCGAGCGGCGAACGCGGCGATGGCGTGCGTCGCTACCAGCGCTGTGAGGGCGCAGAGGGTGTTTGGGCGCATCGCTTCGCTTAGGCGGTGTGCTCTCTGTAGTGTGTTGGGAGAGCAGTGACCTGTGCTCTGTCGCTGTGGGCTAAGGCGTGCTCGTTTCTTGTTCGAGAGGACTAGGCTCAATAGCTGGGCCCTGCCACGTGGTTTTTTAGCCCGAGAGGCACCAAGGGCCGATGCGGCCGCGCCAGCCTGCCTGGTGAGCAGTGAGCCCCGCACGCAACTAGCGCAGGAAGCCTACTTGTTCACGCTCACGAACGAACCCTCGCGGGCGCCGCAGAGACATGTACTAAGCAAACGAGAGGCCGGCTGGAGGTGGCAGAGTTGTGATCCAAGGCGGCGGCGGCGGAAGTCGCGGCGTTCACGCTCGACTTCAAGAACGCCGCACGGCGTCGGCGCCACGCGGAGCGTGCATTCAAAAATGTCATTTTTGTGTCTTGTCGTTTCTGTCTTGTCTGTCTTTTGTATAAAGGTGTTCTGTCCGGAGAAACGCTATCGCCGCGTATCGTTAACGAACTTTACTCAATCTAGAACTGGTCGCCGCCACCACCACGGCCTCGGCCGCCTCCACGTCCACGTCCTCGGCCGCGCCCGCGCCCCCGCCCGCCGCCGCCGCGCCCGCCGCCGTCGCCGCCCGATTGCTTACCCGGCCGAACGATGAGGTCGCGGCCGCCGACGTCCGAGCCGTGGAACTCCGAGATCAGCCGCTCGGCGTCGGCCGCGACCTCGATCTCGACCTGTGCACAAATCAAACAGTGAGTCGGGTGCTCGAGCTGGCGTCGCGTCGATGGCGTGGAGGCCGTGAGACGCGCCGCGACAATTTGATTTTTGCACTGACGTCGACGAAGCCGTAGCCCCGCGATCGGCCGTCGTCGTCCATGACGACCTGGGCCGACGTGATCGGCGCGACCTCGGCGAAGAGCGCGACGACGTCGTCATCACTATAACGAAAAGGCAAATTCGCGACGAACAACGTCGCGGCGCCCCGCTTGCGCGGCGGCCGGTCCGCGGCCTCCTTGGCCCGGGCCTTTTGCTTGTCGATGGCCTCTTGGGCCTTCTCGGCGTCGTACTCTTTTAGTTCAAAGCCGTCGAAGAGCGTGTTCACCTGTGTGGAAATCAACCACTGCGTCGGGTGCCAGCCTCGCGTCGATGGCGTGGAGGACGACGCGATGATTCAGCACGAACGCGCCGTAAACTTTTGATTTCCACACAGGTGTTGACGCGCGCCGTCGCCTGGAACCAGACGTTGCCGCAGACTTCACACTGCACCTTCGCGCCGGCACCCTTGCCAAGAATGTCTTTGTCGATGGCGTAGACGGCCTTGCAGGAGCCACACGTGATGATGTGCTGGACGTCTTCGTCGGTGTCGCCGTCCGCCGCGTACCGCAGCAGACTCCGTCGCTGGTGCGCGCAGACCGGCCGCGCGACGGCTGGCCGTCGTCGCGGCGCGTAGCTAGCCACCATCGCGGCGACGCACAGTGTCCTGAGCATGGTTGCAGTGCCTGTGTTCGCTTTCTCAAGCGCTACTTGGCACGAGGACTGGTGCAACTGTTCTTGGCTGGTCTGGTGGGGCTGCGCAGCTGTCTGTTGACAGCGCTTGTTGCTCGACGGGCCTCGTTGCACGACGGTGTTGTTTGCTCTCGCTGTGTGACAGGCCGCGCCTTGGTCCCTCACTTGCCGAGCCGTCGACCGGGGAGCTGTCGACGCACGCCTCTTCTGGAAAGATGGGGGCATTTTAATTCGCTAGCGGAGTGTAAGGCACTAGTCGTTTGCAAACTGCGCCGCGCTCGAAGGACACCTAACTAGTGGGCGCAACGTGCTCGAACCACCGAGGTTTCAACTTTTGCATCGCTGCCGCTGCGCTGCTGCTCGCGCGTGCGTTTGACTGCCTCACAGCCTTTAAAAGCCAAACTGCGCATTTGGACTGCGCAATGGCCGACACGCCGCCCGAGCCCGCGCCGATGGAGGTGGAGACGCCGCCGGAAGAAGAGGAGGAGGAGGAGGTGGAGTGCGACTATCCCGGCCGGTTCAAAAACAAGCACAAGTATCCCGCCACCGGCGAGGCCAAGTCGACCATGCTGGCCATCTTGAGAAAGATGAAGCGCGACAAGCACACGAGAGTCTACGCGAGCCTCACAGGCGGCATAACTCAAAAACAAAATGCGCTCATGGAGCTGCTGAAGAGCGACAAGGCCCTGGAGCGGGACATCTTAGATCACCGCCGAAAAGCCATCAAGCAGTGGAACAAGGAGCGCCGCGCCGAAGATAAGGCCGCCGCCGGAGTCGTCGACGCCGGCCCGGTGCCCTATCGCGAGGCCGGGGAAGGGTTAGATGTTGTCGCGGGCGCCATGCGGGAACGGGCGGACCTCTTAGCCGCGGCGCGCGAGCGATTTGGCGAAGAGCTGAAAGCGAGCGTGTTGGCCCAGAAACTCCTGGCGTCCGAAGCGCAGGAAGACAGAGAGCTCATCGATAAGCTCTTGGCGCACCGCAAAGCGCGCTACGCTGCGTGGCGCGAGACACTGTCCGGCGACCGCCAGCTGCGCAACCTCGGCGACGGCCCGCGCACGGCCGCGAGCGCCGGGCCACAGGTGATTCGCGCCGCACCCGTGAACTGGTCCGACGCCGCCGGCGATAAAGGCACGAAGGCGCTCGAAGAGGCGCTCGACCCCTTAGATGAGACGCCGCCGCTGAGCGACACGGCGACGTGGGACGCCATCGCCAAAACGGTGTCGGCGGCGGCAGGCCGGGATTACACCGGGAAGCAGTGCTACTGTCGCGCGTCTGGCGAAGGCTACCTACACGCCAAACTGCCGGACGCGCACATCTACGACCCCTCCATGAAAAACTGGAGGCCCCGCGCCATGGAGCATTTGCTGCGGGCGGCGGGCCTGGACGAGAGCATCCCGTGCGGCAAGGCAGCGCTCGAAGCCGACGCCTTCAAGGAAGTGTCGACGAAAAAGCTTTACGAACGGTTGGGGGACGCCTACAACCTCGGGGCTCATGCTATAAGGGGTGACCGGGACAAGCTGATCGACGCGCTGGTCGAGGCGGACATGTGTGCCCTGGACCCGTGCGAGAACGGCGCGACGAGCTTCAAGCGTGCCAGCTCGGTGTGGTTTCAGCGGGCCTTGAATTCCGAGATGCTCCCGCGGCGCAAGGTCCTGGCCTCGCTCGAAGCGTCGGAGGCGCGCCTCGAGTCGCCGAGCGACGGGGACGACCTCGTACGTACCGACGCAGCCGTCTACGGGCGCCTCTCCCAAAAGAACCTGATGTGTTTGTGTTTCAGAGAGTTTGCCCTGGAGCCCCACGAGGCGCCGTCGACCCGCATGGCGCCGCTCTTGAACGAATACTTCTTTAGACCGCCGTACGAGCCGCACGTCAAGTACGACGCCGCGCAGGACTGCACGTGCTGCCTCGGCCTGTACGAAGACAACGGTTTTGCTACGTGCCTGGAGCACGCCCACGACGTGCAATTAGGGTGTTGTGCGATTAGGAACAACGGTGCCTGCGAGTTCGCCGCGTCGCCATCATTTGAGCGCCGCCTTCGAAGACGACGTCTACACGCCTCGTCAGTCGCTTGGTCGGTGTTACTGTTTAATTTCCACACAGGCAACAAGTGCAATACATCGTGGATCGAGTTCTTCGACAAGCTCGCGCGGGAGTTCAAGATCGAGACGCTCCGCGAGAAGCGCGACATCGCCGTCGCCGCCAACAAGCGGTGGGGGCACCTGAGTCCTCGCCGGCGCGCGTGGAAGTACGACTGAACTTCTACGCTGTAGTAAGTATTATGTTCAAGATTGTATTCGCAATGGTACTAGTAACCCGAGGGACGGCCCGGCTCCAGACTACCGACGCGGCGAGGCAGTACCACACCGCATCCGTCCGAAACGCGACGGATCCGGCGCCCTCGTGTGATGGACACGCCGTCGTGCTTTGTCGGGTACCCGTGGAAGTGCAGACGCCCGCGCCGGTCGCGCTCTCGACGGCGTATCTGCGTCGTCGACGAGGTCCGCGTGCGCACGGACGGCCTCTGCACACGGTTCCGCGTACGTCGCTTCGTTGAGGCATTGGCACTCGACCAGAAGATCGTCCAGCTGTTCCGCGAGGCGTCCACCGCGCCGTCGGAAGCGCGCAGCTCGTTGTCGGCTTTTGTACTGGGAGAGCGGCGTGGCCGCGGCGACGCCCGTCGAAGTAGTAGACGAAGCCGTCCTATCGGGGAGAACTCCGACTACCAAGTAAGCCCGCCATCGCCGCGACGCGTCAGGGCGCGGCGGATTCTAACGAAGCGCTGCCGCGGCACGGGCGTGTTGGTGCGCACGCCGAGGCGTGGCGGGGCGATGGGGTCGCGTCCGCTTCGTGCAGCGACGGCCGCATCGACGACGCCGCGCTGCTCTCAGAGGCAGGAGAGCAGTTTTTCAAATCGGTGCTCTCCGACGCTCACCGCGTACGCGTACGCGTGTTGTAGCGTGTCAAAAGCTTTGGGGCAGCCCTTCCGGGCATTTGTTTGCGCAGACAGACGTTGGGCACCGAGGTGGTGGAGGTTTGGTGGTGGAGTTTGTTTTTGTCTAGTAGGATTGAGCACCTTTTTGTCTACGGGAATAGGCGGCTTTCGATCCGCTTTCGACCTCTACTTGGAGCTGCGTCGTCAGGGAGGCGTCCCTGGTCATTCCGACATTCCGCCAGCCGAACCGGACGTGGCACGGTCGGACGCCGTCGAGTAAGTGAGTGTGTCTGTGCATTCGACGCTCGTTCCGAGATTGTCCAAAAATTACGGGACGGAACCTCATTGGACCTAGGAGGAGTTGGGGCCCTCTAGTGATCCGCTAACGCCGCGCCCGCGCCGCTCGATCAAACAGAAGAGGCCAGTCAGGTCCTTTAAGCGTCCCGAGGCTGCCGAGTAGCTCGCTCGCGGTCCGCGACTCCACCTGGGGCGAGGTCCGCGTAACCTCCAGTCTCGAGATGCCCTAGTTAGCCTAATTTTGTGCGCCGCGACTGCCGACGCAGTGCGCTGCGTGCAACTGCTCCTACGCGCGCAAAATGCGTCACGGCAGCTCACAAGACGGTCGGGAGGCGGCACGATGCGCCCGGCTGCACCGGGCAGCAGGGCTGCCTGCACGGTTCCTAGTATTTGTGACGCTAGCAGCCTCCTCGCCGCGCGCGCAATTTGCGGCTTCCACACCGATACGCAAGCAGTTGGAGCTTTGTGCAATCAACGAGGCATCGACGAGAAGCCATGGATCCCTCCCACTTGACCCCACGGTCGCTTGCACGAGTGCTGGGTGCTGTAGACCCTACTGTATTAGAGCAGGCGCTTGCACGAGTGCGAGCCGAAGCGCAACAAGTACCACCAGCTCAGGACGTGAACGCGCCGAACGATGGCGGCGACGACGGCGCGCAATCCGCTGCGATGGACCTCGACCTGCACGCGCCGGGCACGCCGCCGCACACGCCCTCGCCGCCCGCGTCGCCGGAGCCGTCGCCCGACCACCACGCCCTGCCGACGGGCCGCGCGCCGCCGCCGGTGCCGTTGCCCGCGGCGCCGCTCGTCTTCGCGGCGACGCCCGCGGCGGACGGCGCGTCCACGCTGGAGACGCTGCGCGACTACAGCAGGACGGTGGTCGAGCCCCGGCACGAGCTCTTCATGACGGCCGTCGCCGACTCTCCTCTCATGTGGTTCGGTATCGACATCGAGAGCTCGAGCACGGACCACCGGTTCGACACGCCGTTGGCGATGTGCGTGTTCCAGGTCGACAAGCCCAAAGTACGCGTGACGCTCTACGTGTTGCCGGAAGACGACGTCCCGATCACCGCCGAGGCCCTCTCGATACACGGTCTCGATTCGGACGTCCTCGAGGCGCGCGGCGCTCAGCCGCTGGGCGTGCAGCTCCGCAAGCTCCTCGAGTTCCTGAACGACTCCGCGGGCGGGGCTCGGATCGTACTGGTCGAGCACGGCGAGATGGACGCGCTCATGCTCAAGAGCTGCCTCGGGAGGCTCGGCATCGCGCCGGGGCCGCTGTTAACAGCAATCGTCATGGACACGCTGCACCTCGCAAAAGAGACGGTGCGCCGCGCCAACGTCGACCAGAAAGACCTGAAGCTCTGCTCGCTCTTCAAGGACGCGACGCGGGGCCAGGATCTCGGCGACGCGCACCAAGCCATGGTCGACGCCGGCGGCGCTGTGGCGGTCGAGGCGTGGCTTTGGGACAACCTCGGCAAACCGTCGCTGTCGCGCTTTGTCGACCTCTACGGGGCGTTCGTCTACGCGACGTGCGAACGGAACGCGGTGCGGGCCCTAGCGCGCGACGCCGGCGCCGCGTCTGCGACGGTACCGCCTTTGACGTCGCTCGAGGCGACGCCCAACGCCGGCGCGGGCGGCTACTTCGGCACCGGGGCGGGCGCGACGGTCGCGACGGGCGCGAGCGACGTCGACGCGCGCGACGTCGACGGCGCGGGCGGCCGCGACGCGGCGCCATCGACGCGCGACGTGGCGACGCGCGACGAGACGCCTGGTGCCGAAGCTCCCGAGGAGGACACCGCCGTCGCGGGCGCGTCGCGCCTCTTGCGGATGCTGAGCGTCACGGACCAGGCCTGGGTCATGGAGCTGCGCCGCGACGGCCAGGGCGTGTCCGTCGTCGAGTTATTGGACCGCGCGATCCAGTTCCACGACCGGCCGGTGCCGAGGACGCTCCCCTTCCTCGCCACGGAGGCGCACGAGCGGATACGCGCGGAGCTGGCGAACCGCGTGACGGCTCGGTCGAGGCGGACCCTGGGCTCTTTTGAGCGGGGGCGGCGGCCCAAGAACATGCCGGAGTTCGGGGAGGAGGTCTTCGACTTCTTGTTGTACTGGGACGCCGACGACGACAACGCGACGCGCGCGCGGAAGATCGAGGCGCAGTTCGACGAGTTCCGCGCCCGGCCGGACAGCTACGACCTGCTCGCCACGCTACCGGCCGAGGTCGACTTCGAGAACCTGGAGCACTGCGTCTTTTTGGAGTCGTGGTATAGGTTCTGGAGCTCGTGCGCGGACGGCCGCGGGCGCCGGCCGTGGTTCATCAACTTCGACCTGTCGTGGAGCACGATGATCGTCGCGCTGCGGGGCCACGTCAGTGAGAGAGACGTGGACGTCGGGTGGTTGGTGGGTTACGACCGCCGGTGCGCGGCGGCCGCGGCCGCGACGAGCGAAAAGCCGGCGGTCTGCGAGTTCTGCGTCTGGCGGGACGGCGTCGTGCCGGAGCTCCGGGGGCGGGACAAGCGCGCGCGCGTCGAGGAGGCGGCGTCGTCGTTCGCGGGCCTCGACGTCGTCGAGGTCGCCTACGACGAGGAGCTCTCGCTCCCCACCATCGGCGCGCGCGTCATCGTCGCCGACCACATCAAGGGCGTCCCCATCCTCCGCTGCTGGGCGTGCGGCGACTGCAACAGCCGCCTCACGCACTACTTCGACACGCCGTCGAACCCCGAGGCGGTCCTCTGCCGCTGCGCCGAAGCGTCGCACATGCGCGCCGACCGCGTGGGCACGACGCCGGGCTGAGAGTCTCCGTGGCTGGTAAGAAAGAGTATGTTACTTCAAGGTAGAACTTCAAGGGACAAGGGGGATGGACGTCGCGTCGATGGCGTGGAGGACTTCGTGGAGGTTTGGGACGTGAGGCGCAGCAAAGTTAAAGCATCTGAGTTCGCTGGAACCGACGACGAGGAGAAGGAACTGGCTCCCGACCAGTCTCGACACGCGGAGCAGCGCGGCCACGCCATCGACAACTTGCGTGGAGACGACATAAAAAGGACGCCGCGAACCTACCCACCCTCGTCCAGCACGGCCAGCGTTTCCACGTGGTCCGCGCCGGGAAACAAGACGTGGCCCTCGACGCGGTCGAGGCGCCAGCGGCCCGCGACGAGCGCCGCGAGGTCGCGCTGCAGCGCGTCGAAGCCGCAGGACACGTAGACGAGTTTCCTTGGCTTCGGCGCGGGCCGCAGGAGGGCCTTGAGCACGTCCGCGCAGAGCCCCTTGCGCGGCGGGTCCACAACGATCACGTCTGCGTGGGCCAAATCGCCGCGCCGCGCGACGACCGCGGCCGGCGCCGTCTCGTAGGAGAGCTTCTCCGCGAGCGCCTCGTCAAGACCTTGCTTCAGCAGGTCGACGCACGCGGCGTTCCAGGGGTTCTCGTCCGAGCACCGCACGCGCGCGGCGCGCTCCAGCAGGTGAGCGCCGATCGTGGCCACGCCGCCGTAGAGCTCGACGACGCGCGCGTTTTTTGGCACGGCCTTCTGGATGGCCCTGACGATCTCCGCGAACTGGGCCAGGTTCGCCTGGCGGAAGCACGCCGGCGCGAAGAAGAGGCCCACGCCGAGCGGCGCCTCCTGCACGCATTGCCCCGCGGTGCATGCGAAGTTCGCGCAAGTTCCCTGGGGCAGGGGGCGCCACGTCTCCGGCCCGCCTGCGTTGCGTGTCGCGTCGATGGCGTACGTTGGGATGAACACCCCCTCCCACGCCGTCGATGCGGCGCCCGTCGAAGCTGAACACCCCCAAAAAAAGGACCCGGAGGCACGCACCGCGCCCGTAGATGGCGTTGTCGTGGCGCGACACGGGGTTCAGGTGCGCGAAGAAGGAGTGGAGCCAGCCGCGGCCCTCGAGGCGCGCCCGCACGCGCCGCGCCGGCGCCGCGTCGTCGCCGTTCACGACGACGACGACCTGGACCCTATCCGTCGTCGACTCGTGGGCCAAACCGACGTAGGATACCGAGCCGTCGCCCTCGGCCGCGCCGTTGGCGTAGATGCGCTCCTCGGCGAGGGCTGCTTCCACTGCTTTGATGGCGGTGTTCAGCGCGGGCGCGTGGGCGGCCGAGGTCGAAGCACTGGTCACGACGTCGTGCGTGCCCGGCGCGAAGAGTCCCAGCAGCACTCTACCGTTCACGCGCCGTGCCGCGAGCTTGGCCACTCCGCGCCAGCCCGTCTTGGGTCCGACAAAAACACGCGGCGGCGTCGCCAGCCGCGACCGGAAGTACGCGTGCCAGCGCTGGACGATCGGCGCCGTCAAGGGATTGGCGAGGTAGCGCGCGCTCGGGTCTGCATCGCTCTTGGAGCGCTTCGCCGTGCTGCTGGCGTCGCCGCCGCCTCGTTTTTTCTTCTTGCCGCTCAGCTTGGCGCTGAGAGCAGCCACTTTGTCGCGCATGGATGACATGGTTCGCGGCGATGGCGTCGCAGCGTCGTGGCGTCGCGGCGTCGGGTGCAGTTGGCAGTGCGCACAGTGTGCAACAAGCACAGAGATTGACAATTCGTCGCACAGGTCAGAATATCTGATGCACTCGCTGTGGCTCGCTCGCAGGTGTCACTGGTGGGCCTATTAGCAGCGATAACACGCACAGACGGCGCCGGCAAAATGCAGGTTGCTAGCGTCCTGTAAGACACTAGAAAACAGCCGAGATCTATCCGCCCACTAGTGACTAGTCCTAGCACCGTAACAACAACATCTATCCCAGCCGTCGGGGTTTTCGCCATTTCGTGCGCGACGAACATATCGGGGCGACGGCGGGCGAGGGCCGGGGGCGGGGCGGGCGTGCGGTCACGCAGCCCCCGCGGCGGGTCGTGGCTAGGCGGCCTAGCTCTAAGCAAAGCAACAGATATGTAGAGTAAAGCTTAGAGAGGATAAAAGCAGGGGGAGAGCGCCTCAGGCCGACACCTCCATGGGCACCGCGGCGGGCGCCACGGGCCGGCCGGGACCGCGGGCCGGCCCCTTGGCGAAGCGCCACGTCGCGGCCTCGCCCATCATCTCGGCCGGCGGCGGGCCGACGCCCCGGAAGGCGTGGTCCTGGAACTTCTGGTCGTGGGTCTGGCCGTCCGTGTAGGCGATCTTGAGCGTGCCGGCCCCCTCGGCGACGATGCGTCCCAAATACCAGGCGCCGGGGCCGGGCCACCAGACCTCGACCCAGCGGCCGACTCTCATATCGTCGACTCTTTGAGGCGGCCGGGGCGCCACTGTCAAGGAGGATCCGTAGGGCGGCGCGCGGCGGCCCGTGACCTGGGCCACGAGCTGCGCGTGGCGCCGCTGCAAGCGGTCGTCCGTTTCAACCACGCCCTTCAGTAATAAAGGCCCGGCGCCGTCGACCGGATCTTCCAACGACCGCTCCGGCGCCGCGAAGACCGGCTCCGCATCACTTTCTTCCTCGTCGGACGTCGCGTCGACGTCCAGGTCGCCCTTGCCGTCGCAGAAGCCGCCGTCGCCCTCGCTGATCGAGGGCGGTGCCTCGTAGTCCGGCTGCTCCGGGGGCGTCACCGAGGGGATGGGCAGCTTCCAGGGCGTCGCTTGGGACGGTAGCGGCCCGGCGCCGGCCTGCAATGCCGCCGCCGCAGCGACGGCGGCCATCATCGGCGGGCCGATGGCGTTTAACATAGGCTGTTGTGTCACGGGCGGCGTCGCCTCGGGCCCGTGGATGTGGCCCATGGGCGGCGCCCAGGGGTTCGTGTTTGCCCCATGGATCAAAGCCGGCGGCGGCGGCGGCGCGACCTCGGGCGGTAAGACGACGGCCGAGCCCTGGACCTGCGCGATGGCTTGGGAGGCGGCCACGACGCGCCGCGCCGCCTCGGCGACCTGGGTCCGGTCCGAATCGCCCTCGGTAGCGGCCTTGTAGTCGGCCCAGGCCGCGCGCCACGTCGCGTGCACGGCCTCGGACTTCCTACGCTTCGTCGGAGGCTCCGCGCCGGCATCCGCGGCCACAGCGGCGGCCGCCGCGTCGCCCGCGGGATCATTGGGAGGCGCCTCGACCTCGTCGTGAGCTAATAACGTCAAGTCCGGTTGTGAACCCGCGGCGCGCTCGGACCACATTTGCGTGTACTCCGACGGCGGTTCAGTCTCGCTAATACCAGGATCCCGCGCCGCCGCCGACCGCAGGAAATCACGGGACGCGTCCCGCGCCGGCAGGAAGTGCTCGAAGTCCCGGATTAACTCGGGGTAGCCCTTTAGTAATGAAGCGACTCTTTCAGCCACGTCCATGGCAGGAAACGTCTTGCGCTTGTAGGCTCTTAACAATTCCACGAAAGTAGCCACGGTGCGCTCCGGCAGGATCTTCCGCATCCTTCCAACATATTCTAAGGCTTGTTCATTGGACGTCGGTCTCGCAGAATTGCGGACGTCGCGCCGCCGCCGTTCCCGCTCGCGCGCGGCCTGGATGTCCCGGCCGCGTCGCCGCGCCCGGGCCGCCGCCGCCGCTTCGCGCGGACTTGTGACGGAGGGCCGCGGCTTCGGTTCGACCTTGACGGCCGAGGCGGTGCCCTCGGAATCGAAGGCGATCCGCAGCGACAGCTGGGGCTCGGGCGGCTCTTGAACATCCGCTTTCTTGGACGCGCCCATCGTGCTTCTATATAATTCCAGTTGGTACTCTTCCTCCTGGACCCTTCTTCTGTACTCTTCTGTTTTGCGTTTATCCAAAGCGCCTCTACTATTCGTGAAGGACACGGCCTCGGGAGCGAGCAATGCCAAAGCATCGTCGGCCGCGTCGACCCGAGCTTGCAAGTGTTCCGGTAATTCGGCGGCGTAAATGACCGCACCGCCTCGTAACTGCGCCGCTTCCCCACCGGGGACGGCCCAGGTCCGGCCATGTGCTGGGGCGGATCTAGCAACGGCCCTCGACCGGGCAGAAGGCAGGTGCTTGTCGTACTGCGTGTTCACGGGCACGCGCGCGCGATCCGTCCGGCGCCTTCTTCGCCGAGGCTCGGCCTCGTCGGGGTGCGGCGCCTCGGGAGGCGGCTCTTGAGCAGGCTCATCTTCCCCAAAGGCCCGGGCCGCGCACTCGGCCGCGTGGGCCTCGATCTCGTCGGCCGGGAAGCAGCGGCCGCAGATCGGGCAGGCCGGCGCCTCGTTGCGCGCGCTCTTGCGGCGCGGGGACTCCATCTTTTTTGTTTTCGTGCTAGGGTGTTGACTATCACCGGCGACGCGTGTTCTGCTTCGCGCGACGGCGTACGGCCTGCGCGCGCCCAGCATATGATAAAAGGGGGTGGGGGGGCGGCGGCGGCGCCGCGCGCATGTCTGGGATATGGGTGCGGACGCGGCGCGGGGGCGGGGGTGGCGCGGGGGCGCGGCGGGGGGCGCGGGACGCTGATATTCGCCTCGCGATTAGGCTGCCGAATTAAGGGATGCCGCTCGCGGGGCGGCGATCTTGGGGTCAGGGTGCGCGCCCAACGTCTGGGTTTGGTACCGGATGGTGTCCCGCCGGTATCCGCGGCCCCGGAAGCTGAGATTCGCTGGCTTGTTATGCCAAGGCCAATCTCTTGCTCGGCTGCCCCCACCCAAACCCCGCACTCTGTGGGTCCCCGCGCCCGCACGGCTCCGGCGACCGCTCCGTGGAGCCGTCGCATGGCTGCAGCACGGAGGGCCCGAACTAGGCATCCGAACTTGAAACAAACTCCACTTTGCCGACCGGGCTCCCGCACCGCTTCCTCGGGTTACGAAACCTCATCTTACGGCCCGACGGATGGGCTCGCCCGGACGAGTCCCGTGGGCGTCGGGCCGTCATGGCTTGCAACAAAGAGCCATACTGCGGTGCAGGCCGCAGTTCACCGCTCCGTGGACATTTCTCCCAAAGACTTGCGTGGCGCAGCATCCTTTTATAAGGCCGCCTTGCCCGCGCGAGATCTTCGGCCGGCGTTGCGCTCTGCAGCAAAAACAGCAAGAGAGCACAGGCTCTCACTGCGGTTGAAACGCCGAAAAAGCGATGAACCGCAACTGGTCCAGCCGCCCGGACTGGCACGGCGCCGAGAAGGCAATGCGGGCGCCCTACGCTACTGTTTCGGCTAGTTGTGTCGATCCATCAAAATGCCCGTTCCGGGACGATGGAGAAGTAAAGTTCCAATTGGCGCGGGGCGAGGTCGTCTGGCTCCAGGGGCCTTCTGGTGTTGGGAAAACTACATTAGCGGCGGAGGTCGCGGGGTTAGGCAGTGCGAGACGGTTGGGCATCCACGTCAGCGTCGACTGGGATGCCAGCATAGACAAGCGGGAGCGCGTCGGTGCTCTATTTCAGCAGACGACGTTAGTCGATGCCTTGAGCGTGGGCGGCAACGTGGCGAACGCGTTGGCCGCGTGCGGCGTCCACTCGGTAGAGGAACCAAAAAGACTCGTCGAGGCGGTGGGCCTTGACTGGGCGAGGGATGGGCGCAAGATGCCCCAGGAGCTGTCCGGTGGGATGGCTCGAAGAGCATCTTTAGCATTGCAACTCGCACAGAGGAAACGCGTTGTGGTCCTAGACGAGCCCTTTACCGGATTGGACGAGCGCGCAGCCAGAGCAGTAGCGAAGGAGTTAGGAGTGTTAAGGCGAGAACACGGCGCTTCTTTATTACTAGTGTCGCACCAGCCTGCTTTAGTGAAGCTTGTCTGCGACGCACCTAGATCAATAGCCTTGGTACCAGCCATCCGGGAAGACACGATAAAACGGAAGGCGCGCTACTGCGCCTGGCTACGCGGAGACGTAAGGAGTAGAAGCGCGTTTCGGGTCTTGTTTCGCATGCGAGCGAAGACCGTGGACTACTTCGCCCTATCCTTACCTTTGATACTTTTGGCGTTCGCGGCCGCCGGCGTCGCCGTCGCCATGCTCACGGCCGACTTACTCGCCAAATTAGATGTGACAGACCAGGTCGACCAGATACTAGAGAAAGAAGTTTTACCGATGGTCGACTTGCTGTCGGGCAAAGAAGCCTCGGACCTACAAAAGATGATGACGCGCATGGCCGTCAAAGGCAAGGCCCAGGGCATGGTTAGGTCTGCGTTACCTAAAGCGAAACGAGTTCTCTATGCGCAGGGCCTGGCGAAGCTCTTTGTTATTGAGTTAGGACCACTGTTAGCAGCTCTGTTGTTGAGTGGAAGATTAGGCGGGAGTTACGCTGGTGAAGTGGCCACGATGCAGGCCACGGCGCAGAACAAGCTCCTCAAGACGCTGGGGCGCTCTCCGAGATCGTGGTCCCTACTGCCTTCACTGGTGGCGGCGTGGGCCGCGGCGCCGGTCTTGACCGCGCTCGGGTCGTTGCTAGCCGTGTGTATAGGCGGGCCGGTCGCGCGGATCTACGGTCTGGGTGACGACATCGACGAGAGCTGGTATTTCGAGGGCGTGAAGGACGCGTTGTTGCCTCCATTACGATGTTCACATGAATGGTCCTTCTACCGTAATTTTGTGGAATTGGCGACGTGGCCGCCCGCGCACAACGTCTTCAAAGCGTTGGTCTACATCACGTTGATCGTCGTCGTGGCGGAAATTATTTCCCGGAGAGCGGACCTAGCCCCTCGGGACGTGCCGCGGGCGATCACGGCGTCCGTCGTCGCCGGTGGTTTAGCAGTGATATTGGGGGACTGGGCCTTCTCCCAGCTCTTATTGAGGAGGGAGTGGTATAAGTAACCTATTCATTCAGACTAGTATTATGGCGGGCGGGCGAAGCGCCACCGCGGGGTTAGACTACCCTTTGTAAGGCAGTCCCGCGGTGAGAGGGAACGATTCTGGATTTCCTCGGCGTCCCGGCACTTTCCCAGAAAGCGCCGGCACGCGTCATATTGGCGTTCCGCAAGCAGGGAAGGGGGGCTCGTCGCGTGCCATCACGCCTTCACGACCGTCAAGGAGACGGGAATCTTGTCGGAAATCGTCGCGCACATCGGGCAATGGGCGTCGACCGCGCCCTTGAGTTTTGTGATCGTCGCTTCATCAGCGTTCGTCGTGAGCGTCACCGTGCCTCTTATGACTTGGAAGCCCTTCCGCACGGCCTCGTCGACACCCAGGAAGCCGCGCAGGTCCAGGTCTCCTTCACAAGCCGTCTCGACCCTTTGCACATCAATGCCTAGCGCCGTCGCGTAGGCCTTGTACGTGATGTCCTGGCACGTCGTCAGCGCGCCCAGCACCAAATCCATGGGGTTCGGGCCCGTGTTCTGGCCGCCGGGCATCGATTGGGGCTCGTCCGTCGCGTAGGGGCCGTGGTGCGGCGTGTTCGGGTAAGTGAGTGAGGACGCGAGGCCCTTCTCGAGTTTCGAGGACGCTTTGTACGTGCACAGGGCGGCCGACGGGTCCGCGCCCAACGCAGCGCCGAGCTCCCCGATGGCTTGCGCGCTTAGTGAACCGTCGTCGCGCGTGGCATCCGTGGGAGCTTGCGTTTTAACGTCTAACGTCAGCGTGCATGTGCCGGATAGGAAATCGCACATGGGGCAGTGGGCGTCCACGGCGCCCTTGAGCTGGTCCAGCTGCTCTTGGGAGGCATCAGGAGCGTCCACGGTCACCGTACCGGTGATCTTCGTGAACCCTTTCGCTACACTCTCGTCCACACCGAGAAAGCCACGCAAGTCGAGCTCGCCCTCCACAGAACAAGCCACGGATTTGACCTCAATCCCCATCACGGTAGCAAAGGCCTTGTACGAGATCTCCTGGCACGTCGCCAGAGCACCAAGACAAACATCCATGGGGTTCGGCCCCGCGTCTTTGCCGCCCGGCATCGTCGGCGGCTCGTCCACGACGGTCTCGCCGTGCTCCGGCGTGTTCGGGAAGCTCAGTTTGGTGCAGAGGCCATCTTGGAGGGTGCTCCTGGCCTTGTACAGGCACATCGCTGCTACCGGGTCGGCGCCGAAGGCCGCCTGGACCTCGCCGATGGCGGCCGCCGTCGGCTCCTGCATCTTCGCTGCAAGTTGCGCTGCCTCGCTCGCCGCTAATAAGCCACTTCGCAGCGAAGGTGAAACTGCTTTGCACTTGCCGGCGCTGTCGCCGACCCCCACGTGCCGGGTCCGAGGACTATTCCATGGGGGCGGAGCCGTCGCGGGGCTGCCCCCTGACGCCTGCGCGCGGACCTGCAAAACCCGAAATCGCCGCGTGAGAGGCCGCAGAGCGCTTGCCTGAAGTGCAGAGCGCTCGAGCGCTCGACAGCCATATGGGCTGCCCATAGCCGAGCCATGCCGTAGTTCATAAAATGGAGGACATCGCCTCCAGCATCACAGATTTAATAGGAAGGACGCCGCTGCTGCGCCTCCAGTCAAACAGCGCCGAACTCCTCGCAAAACTCGAATTCCTCAACCCCGGCGGCTCGGTCAAGGATAGAGCAGCGTTAGCTATCGTGGAGGACGCGGAACGGCGCCAGTTGTTGAGGAAGGGCTCCGTGCTAGTGGATGCCACCTCCGGCAATACTGGTATAGCATTAGCCATGGTCGCCGCCTCCAAAGGTTATGGGTGTGTTGTAAGTATGCCGCGCGTGTGCACGAATGTCGAAAGGTACGCGCTCATCAAAGCGTACGGTGGTGTTGTACTACTAAGTGAGCCGAACGAAGGCGCCGAGGGGATGCTGCGGCTGGCCAAAAAGGCCGCTGAAGCTTTGGGAGACCGGGCCTACTACACGGCTCAGTTCTCGAACCCCTGTAATGCGGAAGCACATTTAAATGGGACGGGACCGGAGCTCTGGCGCCAGTGTGGTGGGAGGCTGGACGCTGTTGTATTGGGCGCGGGCACGGGCGGCACGGCCTCTGGTATTACAAGAGCTCTACGGTCCCTCGCATCGCAGAGTGGTGTACAACCTCCGAAAATTGTGGTAGTGGAGCCCGAGCTCTCCCGAACTTTATCTGGTGGAGTGCACCACAACGGGCATGGAGTCACGGGTATTGGAGCAGGTGTACCTCTCGCGTTCGTGTGCAATAAAGATGAAACAGACGAAGGCCAACGGGTCCAAGTTGATGAATTCCGGAGCTGCTCCCTGGCTGATGCGTTGGACGAGGCGCGCGCCGTATCCATGCGAGATGGGGTATTGGCGGGGCCGTCGTCGGGCGCGGCGCTCAGAGTGGCGCGGGACGTCGCGTCGGAGCTGGGCGAAGGCAAGCGCGTCGTCGTTATCTTACCTTCAGCAGGGGAGCGCTACCTCACGCACCCGCTCTTTGACGCGCACCGGAGACAAGCGGAGGCGGAGCTCGGCCTCACTGATGTTGTGGTGGACGATGGGAGGGAGCTGCGGAAACTCCAAGACCTCTCCCGACCAGAGCCATCAGTGCATTCATCGAATGATCCGGTCGTGGAGACGCGCCGCGCGCTCGAGAATGAGCTCGCGAGGATGGCCGCCGAGCTCCTCAACTGCGAAAACATACCGGTGGAGGCGCGCCTCGAGGACCTCGGGGCCTCGTCGCTCACCGCGGCGCGATTGCTGGGGAAGTTGGCATTAGCGGGCCGCGATTCTCAAATGCCGGGGGCAAAAGTAGCTTTATTGAAGGTGGCGCTGTTGGGGTCGGTGCGCGATTTAGCAAGGGTTCTATTGAGGCTGGATGCGGACGACGCGCCGTTCCACGGCGGTAAGGCGCCTGATGGTTGTGTGATAAGGGTAGCCTACTGCGGCGGCTGAGACCCGCTCTTCGGCGCCCAGTTCGAAGCTCTCAAAGCTTTCCTGGCGTCGCTCTTCGAGGGTTTGGTGGTTGAAGGGTTTGTCGAAAGTGGTATGACTGGCGCGTTCCGCGTGACTCTTGTATGTGGTACCGAGGAGACAGTATTGTCGCCCTACGGCTTCGTGGACACACCTGGTCGTAGGGCGACGCTCGCCGCCGCCATCGCGTCCCATTTTTAGTTCTACGTGACCGGCCCACACTCCTAACATGGTGTGGGCCGCGACTGAAGCTATAAGTATTAATCACAGTTTACTCACATCGATCGGGATGTAGCCCGCCCTATTGTAGGACCGGCACATGTTTCGACGAGCCGGCGTCTTGCCGTGGGCGTACAATTCCGATTGGTAGGCGCCGCGCTCCCGCTCCAGCTCCTCCCTGATCTCGAACCATTTCCTATGAAACTGGTTGCAGATCTTGCAGTAGTAGCACGACGTCGAAGTGCCGTGGCACTCCCAGGGCTTCTGGCAGATCGTAAAATGCACGACCTTCACGTCCTCGACGCGCGACAACCGGCAGTCCTCGCAGTCTCCTTTGTTAATATCGCCGGTGTACGCCCCTGACGCGGGAGGCACGGTCCCGTCCCGGCAGTCGCCCTTGCCGAAGCCTCCGACATTTCTTGGGTTCGAGGCCATGTTGTTGTAGACGCAGCCCCGAACTTCCCGACCAGTCCCGGGTCGGTAGTGCATGAAGTAGTAAGGTAGCAAGCCTTGTATAGTCATGCCGCCGTAGAAGGCGCCGGCCCGCGTCCCGCCCCAGCCACCTTGGAAGTCTCCTTTCCGCACGATAGCAACCATCTCCTCATATACAACTAGAGAGGGCCTCGCAATCACAAAACCGCCCTGGACCGGGGGATTACTACCCCACGGTCTTTGGGCCATGTTCCAGTCCATGGTGTACTGGGCGTAGATACCTTCCAATACTGGTAAGGACGTGTCGCGCTTCTCGAAGTTTTTTTTGGCTGTACTGATAGCTGTAGGTGATAGGACGGCGCCCCCCACCGTGGGGTCATCGTCGAAGAGCTCATCAAAGTTCTGGAGCACCAAGCTATCTACATCTAAGTGGACTACCCTATGATACTCCGTCAGGGTCCACGCGTACAACTTCAGCAGTTCCCACGCGCCGCAGCACCCATTACTGGAAATCTTCTCCCTCAGTAACTTACCTTGTATCTCTTCTACTTCGACCGGCAGCTTCTTCTCCAGGACTCGAAACCCGACCTTCTCCAGCTTATGTCGTCCTGCTTCTGAGACTGAAGGCGACACGAAGGCCACGAGCGCGGCGTCGTACGACGAGTTTCTATGTGCTCGTACGGCAGAATGACCCAACACCGCGGCGCCGTCGATGCCGTTCCAGCCCGGCGAGTCGCCGGTCACGGAGATGGCGTAGGCGATGACTTTCTTCTTTTTTTGTGGTGGTGGTGGTCGTCGCTCTGCTGGCACCTCGGCGCAGATCGCCGAGTCCCAGCACTTGTGCGTTTCCGTGTGGCACTTGACGCCGTCGGACTGGCAGTAGTAGCCCACGTAGCCGGCAGGAGGGGTTTCTCCTCGGTAGAGCTCGATCTCGACGATGTCTTCCGGTTCGGCTGCTTGGTGGTGCGTCTGTGTCACGACGTACAAATGCAGCACGCAGGTCGCGATGAGTCCTATGAGGAGCAGGTCGCGGCCTCGTATGATGCTCTGGGACTTGCGGCGCTGTCGCATGGCCGATGCTGTGCTTGCTCTGCTGCGTTCGCGTGCTGCTGCGTTCGCGTGCTTGCTTCCACCGCAACGCTGCGCGTGCTGCTGTCGCGCCGCGCTCAGCAGCTTGGGTGGGCTGTGCTTGCCTGGGGCTACTGTAGCGGTGCGTCGCAGCTTTTTGACGGGTGCAGCAGCTTTATTGTGATAAATTACTGCAACCAGCTGTGTTCGAAGCGTCAAATGCTGCACAGTGATTGCACAATGGCCCTGTGCCGCCGGCCAAAAAAGCTGAAATTCGAGCGCCGCGACCTGCTGCTGGCCGCAAATCGATTGCATTCATGCCTTCAAATGCCTAGAAAAGAGAGCTCCAAACAGAAAACGAGCCCTCCGAAGGCTAGCGGCAGTAAGACACTAGCAAGCCGGGGCGCAGTCGCGCAAGCTTATTTGCTGCGGCGTAACCCAGCATACCTTTGTTGCGGTCGTTGAGTAGGCGTAGTTGTTGCCATCGCTGCCACTGACCACTACCTAACGCCAACGACGGCCGCCGCGCCGCTGCAGCGCTGTCCAGGGCAAAACTGCTTGCCAGCCACTGCGGCGCAAAGCGCGCGGCGCGAACGAAACACTCATACATAGACAAAGATGTTCGAGAAGTCCCTCCAGGACTTGGTGAAGGGGATAAGAGCACATAAACGGGACCCCGCGGCCTTCGTGTCCACGGCCATCGCGGAATGTAAAAAAGAGTTGAAGAATGTGGACCCCTTCGTCAAGGCCCAAGCGGTCCGGAAACTTACTTATCTGCAGATGTTGGGGTATGACGTGTCGTGGGCGTCGTTTGCGATTGTGGAGACGATGTCGCAACCGCGCTTTGCTCATAAAAGAATAGGATACTTGGCGGCCTGCCAGTGCTTCTGCGAGACGACGGATGTCGTCCTACTTACGACGAACTTACTGAAGAAGGAGTTCCAAAGTACCTCACAGTATGAGGTAGGACTAGCGGTAAATTGTCTGGCCAACATCGTGACCAGAGACCTCGGACGAGATCTGTTACAAGATTGTACCTTGCTGATGGCCCACTCGAAACCCTACGTGAGAAAAAAGGCGACGAGCGCCATGTTCAAGCTTTTTGTAAGGTACCCGCAAGGCCTGCGGTTGACCTTTGACAAGCTCAAGGCTCGCTTAGATGATGCGGAACCGGCCGTGGCGTCGTGCGCCGTGAACGTCGTCTGCGAGCTCGCCAACAAGAACCCGAACAACTACTTGAGTATGGCGCCCCAGTTTTTTCGGTTGCTCACGACGTCATCAAATAACTGGATGCTCATTAAGGTCGTTAAGTTGATGGGTGCTCTGGTGCCTCGCGAGCCTCGGTTAGCTAGGAAGCTACTGGAACCTTTAGCTACGATAGTGCAGAACACGGCCGCCAAGTCGTTACAGTACGAGTGTATCCATACCTTAACGCTAGCATTACCATATACAAAAAAGGCTGATGGTAGTGATTCCCGAAATGCCCCTGGTGTCGTGCGGTTGTGCGCGGACCATCTCAGGCAGTTCGTCGACGACCCGGACCAGAACCTGAAGTATCTGGGGCTGGTCGGGTTTGTTGAGCTCATGAAGTCGCATCCGCGGGCGGTTGTAGAACATAGGGAGTTAGTACTGCTATGTCTGTCGGATGACGACGTTACGATTCGCACGAGGGCTTTAGAATTGTTGACGGGCATGGTCACGCGGAAGACGTTGGAGGATTTAGTTCTGAAATTGTTAGCTCATGTCAGACAGGCCGACGGCGCGTATCGAGACGAACTCGTGTCGAGGATCATTCTGGTGTGTTCAAGAGACAAATATGCCTATCTGTCGGACTTCGTCTGGTATCTTAATGTACTGGTACAGTTAGCTCGCTTACGAGGTGCGCAGAAGCACGGTGCTTTACTAGCTTCGCAACTGGTCGATATCACCATGCGAGTAAGGCCGGTGCGAGCGTTTGCGGCCCGAGACGCTTTACGGTTACTCTTAGACGACAAGTTGGAGGTAGGCCAAGGTCTCGCGGCTGTAGGAGACGTGCTCGCGGCCGCAGCTTGGATCGCGGGCGAGTTTGCAAGTCACTTACTGGAGGAGGAGGATGAATCAGATGATGAATCTGATGACGAGGAGGACGCGTTACCTGCATTCCCGTCGGAACAGCCTAGAGTGACGTTAGTAGATGTGCTCACGAGACCGGGCACCACTCGACTACCGGCACGAGTCCAGGCCGTCTACCTCCAGAACACGCTGAAGGTCATCACGGTGCTCTCGTCGGAGGATTCCGACGAGTTATCTCCAGCATTACAGTTATTGTCCGAGCGATTAGATGTCTTCCTGCGATCAGGACACGTCGAGGTGCAAGAGCGAGCTACGGCATTGAAATCTTTATTAACAACCTTGGGCGCCTGGTCGAACGCCCAACAATGTCGTAATTCGTCAGCAGCTCTCCGAGCGACGGTCTCCGAGCGCATGGTCCCCGTGAATCCCAAGGCGCAAGCGCGAGTGCCCAAACCACAAGGTTTAGATCTATCAAAACCTTTCTCGGAAACAACTCTGACAGCCTTCCTCGAGCAACCGGATCCAGCGACGAAGCCCTGCTCCTTTGGGGAGGCCGACGAGACCTTCGACGCGGGATTTGACGACGACGACGCGTTCGCGGAGACCGGTGGTTTTTATGATATTAAAGGTAGTGATGACGAGTCGAGTGAAGGCGAGAAGAAGAAAAAGAAGAAGAAGGACAAGAAGAAGAAGAAGAAATCCAGTAGTAGGCTCAACCCGGACCACGAGGACCCGTTCTACATCGGCGGCGGGCACGTGCGGCCCGGCGACGTTTCTGTGGACGACGTGCCTGTGGTTAGGTTGTCGAAGAAGGACCTATCATCGAAGAAGGACAAGAAGAGCAAGAAGAAGAAGTCGCGGAAGGTCGGGCGCGCCGACGTCTACGTCGAGGACTCGCTGCCGGACGGCGTGAGCGACGACGAGGGCAAGCGGCGCGTCGCGGCGTCCAGTAGTGTCCGCGGTCGTTGTCCTGGGGTCGGACGCCGTCCGCGCGAGCGCCTCGACCCGCCCGCGCGCCGTCGACGCGACGCCGGTCCCTCGCCACGCAGGAAGAAGAAGGACAAGAAGAAGAAGCTCGCCGCCGTCGCCGAGGACGCGGACCCCGACGCCCTGGACCTGTCGCAGATCGACCTGACGGCTCCTTTAAGAGCGGACGAGGTCATGCCGCAGCGGCAGCACCGCGTCGTCGAGGCGGCGCCGCGCTCCGAGCCCGACTGGGCGGCACCAGCAAAGCCGAAGAAGAAGGAGAAGAAGGAGAAGAAGTCCAAGAAGAGCAAGAAGAAGGAGAAAGCTGCTTCGGAGGAAGATTTACTAGGCTTTGGCACTTCATCGCCGCCGCCGCCTCCACAACCTTCCGGTGATGTCTTCGACCTGCTCGGCACGGGCGACGCGCCGCCGGCGCAAGCACCTCCCGTCGACGTGCGTCGCCCGGCGTCTTAGTTATTTGTGAACGGCCTTTGACGATTACCCACACAATACAAGCTTTTTAACTGCAAGCTGACTTTTTCTGATGACCACTACGGTCCCAATATGCCGAGGCTTCTTTTGTTTTATACATATATACGTGCGTGCGAAAGCCCCGCTCATCATATACACACGCAGGCGCTGCTCGGACCGTCGTTGGACTTGTCGCCGGGGCAGACGTCTCCATCAGATTTCGCGCAGCTGCTCGCGGCGACGGACGGCTGGTGCTCATCATCAGTACGTGTAAAGCGGACGGGCGCCTCTGACGATCCCATCGGCGCCGTCGCATCAAAACTGCGCGCCTCGGTCGTCGAGCGCTCCGCCGGCGCGGCGTCGCTGCACGCCGTGGCGGGAAGCGGCGGCCACGTCGCCCTGCTCGTCAAGGCGAACGACAAGCGGCTCAAGGTCGACGTGAAGGCCTCGGATCAAGGTTTAGTCGACACGGTCGTCGCGGAGCTGAAGGGCTTGGCCGTATAGAGTGGCTCTTCGCGCGTCTAAGTTATGTAGTATGAATCGATGTTGCCCGGTCTTGTGTATCATCTTTGGCTACTAGTCATACTTGGTTTTTACTGCCTAGTCGGTCCCGCGCCAGTAAGTGAGGATGTGCCAGCACACGCCGTTGTCGCCGAGCCGCGCGATGAAGTTCAGTGCGGGATTCTCCCTAGCCGCGCGAGCCGTTATCGCGAGCTGAACCGCTAATTTGCCGCGCTGGGCGAGGCCGCGGACAGCCAGAAATTCCCGGTGCGGCGCGCGCATGTACCGCTTGTACGTGCCGTATTTGCGGACACCGGCGATGAGGGCCTTGATCGCGACGACGGCTTCGTCGTTCTCCTCCTCCTCGTCGTCGTAGCAACCGCTCATAATGTCTTCGGCGGTAATGAACTTGCCACCGCGCTTGTCGCAATCCAATGAGGCGCCGGCACGCAGTAGCATGCGAATTACTGCAAGCGACGTGTCTCTGTCGTAAATTTCCGCTATCGCTATTTTGAGCGAGGTTTCGCCGCTTCGAGTTCTCGCATTTGGGTTAGCTTTTGCATCCATGGGTGTTTTTTACTCGTCGGCCGAACATGGCTTTGGTTCCGCGCCACGCGATTGGGCTATCCCTCCGACGTTCTCGGAGTATTTGAGATATGGCAACACCTCGGGATACACGAGGTATGTCCAGATACGCATGGACCAGTTCGTGCTCATCGACCTGCTCGGCAGGGGCACGGGCCCCCTCACTCTGCCCGCGGTCTTGATCCCCATTATCAAGAGCTACTGGGCTCGTACCAATGAACCGTGGTACCAGCAGAAGCCTTCGTGGAGCCCTTTCTGGGATTCGGTCATTTCACGGTGAATCATGGCGACGCCCGCAGAAAATCCCAACATGCGGGGCCGCCGGGGCGGTCGCTTGCGCACAAGGCGCGCCACCGCCGCTAAGTACAGTTACACAACCCATAATTATTTCATTCACTGCCTAGTCCGTCGCGCGCCAGTAAGTGAGGATGTGCCAGCAGACGCCGTTGTCGCCGAGCCGCGCGATGAAATTCAGGGCGGACCGTATCCGCGTCGTCCCGGAAGTGCCGTAGACCCTAAAATCCTCAATCGATAATTTGCCGCGCTGGGCGAGGCCGCGGACGGCCAGAAATTCTCGGTGCGGCGCGCGCATGTACCTCTTGTACGTGCCGTGCTTTCGCACGCCGTCGACGAGGGCATTGAGCGCGACGACCTTTTCGTCCTCGTTATTGTATCCATAGAGAGTTGTCATAATGTCTTCGGCTGTGATGAGAGTCTTCCATCCATCGGAAGCAGCCTCATCCCGCTCCTTATGATCCAACCAGGCGCCAGCACGTAGTAGCAAGCGAAGAGCTATAAGCGACCTGCTGGCCCGGAGATCCAATGGGGGGTTTGATAGTTCATACTTTTGATCTATCGCGATCGCGTGTTGGAGCGGCGTTTCGTCTTCATTATTTCTGGCGTTTGGGTTCGCTTTTGCTTGTAACAAGAGCTTGAGCATATCTTGCCAAGCCCTACCTCGCCACGCGTTTGCCAGAGCGTTGTGTAACGGGGTGTCCCCAAAAGTGTCAGTGGTGTTGACGTCGGCGCCGAGCGCTATCAGCGTTCGCGCCAGAGAGACGTGTGCGTCGGTGACCTCAGAAGCCCTGTCGCGGGTCCCAATCGCACAACAATGAATCAGCGTGTAGCGGTCCTTATCGACGTCATTTACGTCACCTCCGCTATCGAGCCAAGCTTTCACGCGAGCCGCTTCGGCATCGTTTTCGGCGTCCTGGGCTGCGTCGCCGATATCTTCTGGGACCATCTACCAAGAGCTGGTCCAGCCTGCTGTCTGAGGACACAATTAGCCTCACTGAACCCGCTCAGCCGACTGCTCGCTGCGAGCAATGAACGACGAATTCTCTGTGCCGTCTACGAGCGCGGGTGGGCGTGGTACAGCCCAAAATCGATCAAAAACCAGCGCGCAACGCTAGCTAGCGCACGTAAGACACTAGCAAGCATGCTCCAGGTGGACGGCACGCTGCAACGCAGTTAACTCGTCGTCCGTGGCGCTGCGCGACGCCAAAGACATGGCACAGATGCATCACAGCAGCGCTGCATCGCTACGACGTCGAGCCCTGATCTGTGGCGCCCTTGCTGCTGCAGCAAGTGCCAGCCTGCCGCCTGGCGGCGCACCGATGCCGGGCGCACCGATGGGCGCACCGATGCGACCACACGAAGCACAGCTCCCACCAGGACCGGAGTTCTACGTCCGCGAGGCCAGCGGCCTGCTGCACGGCCCGTACCCGCAGCCGCCCGCCGTGCCGGCCGGCTACGAGGTTGTGGAATTAGCGCCCCACGCGCAGCGCGCCGAAGAGGTCAGGGACGGCGGGCCCTACTTCATCGCGTGCTCCGACGGCCAGACGCGGGGCCCGTTCGGCGGCGCCGACGTTGTGAGGTTGGTGGCGCAGGGCCTCGCAGACAAGAACGCAAAGTGCGCTTTGGGCCGCCACGTCGCCACCGGTGCGTCCTCATCATCGTCCACAAAAAAGACCTGGAAGGACACGAAGCTCAAGCATCTGCGCGTGCACCGGTGGCGCGTCTTACGCTATGCGGGCACGCAAGCGAAGAGGGGCGCCGTCCAGACCATTAATGCAGCGGCCACGGCGGCGCCGCCCCAGCTCTACAAGACCTGGGCCGACGAGGAGGCCGAGTGGGCCAAGGAGGTGGTCAAGCAGCAGTCCATCGTCAAGACGAAGAAGCCGTCGAAGCGGCGCGCGCCGCCGCCGCCGCCGCGACCGGTGCGCCGGGGCCCGCGGCCGCCGCCCCGACGGCCCGACGGCACGGCGCGCGTCGCCGGGAGCTTTGACGTGCGCAAATTCGACGACATCGCGGCGCAGCACGGCTGGAAGGCCGACGACGCCGAGGAAAGGAGGGTGGCGCTGTCCAAGGCCGGCTACCGCGTCGGGGCCGTGGGCGTCGTCGCAGGCGGCGTCGCGGCGGCCGTTCACTTCGAGGTGCTCAAGCCGGCCGACGCGAAGCACTTCGTGACGGCCGCCGTGCATCTCGCGCTGGAGTGGTGCCGGCGGCATCTCGGGTTGATGCGGGGCCGCGTCGTGGACCTCATCCCGGAGCGGTGGCGGCCCGTCGTCGGCGGCGCGGCCGATGCGCTGGCCGACGCCGCCGACGCGAGCACGGTGGCCGATATCGCCGAGGTCAATGCCGAGGCCGCGGCGGCCGCGGCCGAGGCAACCATCAACGCCGCCGTCGGCGCGGCCGCGGAGACAGTCTCCGCTGCAGCCGAATCCGTCGCGGAGACCGTCGCGGAGACGGTAGCAGCCGCCGCCGAGACGGTGGCGAGCGGCGCGGCGGAGACGGTGGTCGAGGCGGTTAAACTAAGATAGCACTACCTTAGCAGAGCGTCGTCCCCGTCGGGCAAACCTCGCCGTCGAGCGCCCAACACAGGCCGTTCGACTGTTGGCACGGGCCTGTTGGAGAAGGCGAACCCTCGAGGCAAGTCGTACAGCCTGAGCCCGTGTAGAATACCTCGCCACAGTCCACGTTCTCCCACTGGCTGATCACCCTCGTCTTCTTTTTCGCCTCGCCGCTCTGCGCGCGGCGCTGTTTGAGGTGGCCCTTCATTTTGACCTTGAGGCGGCCCTTCTCGGCGCACTTCTCCATGAGCTTGGCGTAGTCGTCGGGGTCGAGTTGCATCGACAGCGCGTCGCCCTCGCGGTGCAGGTCCCGCCGTTTACCGGTTTGCGGCTTCACGTTGATCGAGCTGCTCGTCTTGTAGTTCCCGCCGATTCTGATTTTGTTCCCGGCCTTGGCTTCGAGTCTCAAGTCGAATTCGGAGAACTCGGTGGCGTAGAGATTGCGATTATAGATGTTCACCCTGATCTCTCGCAGGTCCACATCGAGCGTTTTGACGTTTACGTTTGGATTATATTCGATCCCCCAAACGCAGGCCCACGTCACGACGCCGGCGAGCAGGATAAACACGGCACAGCAAATGCCGCACGAGCAGGCGCCGCAACAATCTGGACCTCTGCCTTTGCCCATTTGTATTGATCGCACCACTTCGCCGTCGCAACGATTTGTCTTTTGCCTTGATCAGGGGGATATGAAATTTTTTCAACCCCCGGTCGTCAGAGGCTTCGCGGTTGACTTGGCTCGACTCGCCGGCCTCGGGCCGTCTTAATGCGTCGCCTGAGGCCCCGCCGTCGGCCGGTTAGCCTCGCTAAGCAAGCCAAGCAAAGTTGGGCCGGCTAGCGACAGTAAGACACTAGGAAGCCATGCAAGCAAGTTAGGAGTGAACGAGGCAATTGTGGTCACAATTGATCAGTGTGAGCTTCAAAGGGACTCTACGCAGTAGTGCCATCAATTTTGGCCACGCCGCACCACCGCTGGCTCGCCGCAGCGATCACACTACAGCTGCCAAAAAGTGCACCGCCTCAGCGCCGTCGACGCACGGCGCAGTAATCAGGCGTCGCCGCACGGCACCAGCGTCGACCGCAGTAATAAGGCGTCGCAGCGACCGCAACGATGACAAGCCCCGCCACGAGCCCCAAAGACGACCACCACTGTTTTTATGCCACGTTGGATCAACAGAGCGCTCAGACATATGCACGATCAAAAACACCATATTGCGACACGGTACTGCTCACTTCCGTGCGGTCCATCTGGATGCCGAAGATGTCCTGCTGGCTGCTGTGCGTGGCGGTCGGCCTCTGGGCGACGACGTGCCCCGCGCCGACGGTGGTGCAGGCGTTGCTGAGCGCGGGCGGCGCCGTCGGCGGCCTGACCGTCGGCCGGCGCTGCGAGGACGACTGGTACGGCCTGCCCCAGGACGTCGCGAACGATAGGGCCGCGTTCGCCTTCTCGATTAACTTCGTCGGCGCGCTCGTCGCGGTCGGCGCGACGCTCTGCGTCCAGTTTCTCTCGGGCTTCGACTACGGCTAAGGGTCTGTTGTTTGTATTTTTGGTCGCGAACGCCCGGGCGAAACCGCCGCCAGACAAAAGCTCTCCCAAGCGGCAGGGAGGCCCAAGAAATCAACGCAAGGCTGCCCCGGGCGCGCGAACGAGACGCATACGCGACGAACAAAGGCTGCCCAACATAAAAACAAGTGCGCAGCCAACAGAGAAGCCACAGCTGCTGCCCCAGCACAAAAACAAGCACAACCAAGAGAAGCATGCAGCTCGTCGTAAGAGTAGAATCGGGAGACCGCACGAGCACCTTCAAAATACAAGTCGGCGACGGCCGCAAGTCCTTCAAGTGGCTGGCCCTCGCCGCGGCGCAGCGCTTCGGCAGCGAGAGCCCAAAGGGTAAATTGCGGCAAAGGGAGCGCAAGTTCCCCTGCACGAACCCCGCGAACACCAATTTAGTACCTTCACGATGCTACACGGAGGATCAGGACTTCTTCCACCCCGACGCGTTGCTCGTTGAGCAATTACAAGACGGCGATCACCTCACGGTCGAGGTCGCGCCCCGCGTTTACGTCGACGAGGCCGGCTCGCCGGTCAAGTCGAGGTGGCAGACCATCGCCTTCGCCGTGTCGCCGTCGTCTTCGGCAAAGCGCGACGCCGCGATCGCCGAGGAGTACGACGCGCAAAATGCGAAAAAAGTAGCAGCAAAGGCCATCGAGGACGAAGCGGACCGGCTCGAGAACATGCGGAAGGCCGATCATGTGCGCGAGATTATTAAAGATCAATTACCCGACCAGGACGCGGTGGAAGAAGCTCTATCAGAAGATTGGTTCAGCATGAACAAGAAGCGCGTCTTAGATGCGTTGGTGGAAGATCCCGAGGAGCAGGGGCGCGTCAAGGACGTCCTGAAGCAGCACTACGTCCAGTTAGATGAATTGTTCAAGACCTTTGCTGCTTCTGGTAGTTCGATTGCCGATGCCCAAGATTTGGAGCTGTCGGAATTCGAGGATTTTTGTCATCAGGCGTCGCTCGTGGCGACGGGCCCGCATGCTACGTCCGTCATGGTGTCGTGCTTCCAGGAGTGTAATGGGGATTTTTCTCATTCGCACCGGCAACCGGACAAGAGAAGTAGAAGGGGTGGTAGTACCATCCAAACGGCGCACGTCGCGCGGCCCGAGTTCCTCAATTCACTGATCTGGTTTTCGTTGTTTATGGCGTCCACCGATGGTTCTCCGGAGCACGGCGGCGGCGCGCCGGGCTCGCCGGCCTGGGCCGCCGAGTTCGCCACCATAAAAAACAAGGCCGAGAAGCTGGAGATCATGCTGGAGGTGCGGATCGCACCTTTAATAGCCAGGAAGCTGCCTGGCAGTGCGGGAAAAATTGCGCTCAATACAGATTCGGTCTTGGCGCGCGTGTACGACGTCGAGGATGATCTGAGGAGGTTATTTGAGGCGAGAGCCCTCTCGGTAAAGAACGAACTTTCAGTAGTGGAGTTCGTGGGCATCGTCGATGGCGCGGGACTGGTCGGCGACGGCGACGGCAAGACATTAACACTTCGCGACGCGCGGCAGACCTTCGCGGCGGCCCAGTCCGAATCAGCGTTCACGCCCTCGGTAGAAACGGGAAAAACGAATCTGAAGCAGGCCCACGCGCTGATGTCGTTTCCCGAGTTCGTCGAGGCGGCCGTGCGCATCGGCCTGACGAAGTGGCCCGATGCTGATTTGTCGCTCGCGGACCGCGTCGACCGGGCGCTCCAGGCGCTGGTCTGCTGTCCCTTGTAATGGCCCGGTTTTCCGTTACGCCTGTGCTAGGACTCGTGTGGCCGCGTCGATGGCGTACAGGAGACGCTCAGCCAAAATTTCTAGTGTCATTATTCACGCTAGCTTTAACATAGCGCGCGTCCATTTCATCTCGCCGCACAAAAGCTATTGACGACTGCGGCAAGCGGCAGAGCTCCTCACATCTCCTCATCGCTCGGCACGACGCCTGAGCACTCCCTGGACTGGCGCCTCAGCTCCGGCAGCACGCCTGAGCACGATCCCTGGACTGGCCCTCGGCACGCAGTCGACGCGGCACGCAGTCGACGCGCCCTCACGCCATCGACGCTACATAAAACAAGCGGCGCGCGCACCCCAGCATGGCCACCCTCGTCACGCCCGGCGGTGAGGACGCGCCCGCGCGCCTCCCGCCCAAAAAGCGCGAGCCCGACGCGCACCTCGTGACCGTAAGGCAAAAATGCCTCGCGCGGATCCGAGCAGATAGAGAAGCGAAGCATCGAGCCAAACGGACGCAGACGCCGCACAACCGCGCGCAAGCGTTGTTGGACGACGTCCTTGGGCGGCGGAAGCGGGTCCGCGATGAGGATTACGGCGGTGACGAGTTCACGAAGAAACTGCGGGAAGCGGTACCACCTGAACTAGACCCCTACGAACCGGACTTCCACCTCACGCCGGAGGACGAGGCCGCGCTCATGGAGGAATTAGAAAGGGAGATCCGCGCATGGGATAAAGAGATCGAAGCCGAGGAGGCGATCGAAGCATGAACCTGTGTGGAAATCAACCAGTGAGTTAGGTTATCCTGAGAAATATTGGGTGGACCTTCGTGAGCCTCCACGCCATCGCGCAGACGCAGACGCAGCTACGGAATCAAGCGCGTCGATGGCGTGGGGCAAGGGAAATATGATTTCCACGCAGGCATTAACGGCGGAGGCCGCGGGCTTAGCGTTCGAAGCGGAGGAGCTGCGGGACGCCTTCGAGGGCCCCACAGTACCATGCCCTTGTTGTGAGGGAGGGCGGCTGGGGCGGCGCGGCGCGGATCTGGCGATCGCGTGCGACAAGTGTGATTTGGCATTGCCGGACCAGCGCGACGGCCTGAGCCTGGACGACGTGTCTGCTTCCTTAGCTGCGACGTTCAGAGCGCACACGCAGGCCGGGTGCCCGCGCTCCCCCGTCTTTCGCGTGGACGACCGGACGGGCTACCCGCTCCTTTGTGCGACCTGCGATGCGTGCGGGTACTTCGACCTCGTGTGCTGAGTAAATATATGGATTTCTCTTGCACGGCGGCCGTCTGCTCTGCCAGCTTGGCAAGAGTGGCAGTCAGTGCTCTCACACTCACAGCTATGCGCGTTGTTCGCGCTGGGTTGCTGACCGTCGCGTCGGCACTTGTGAAGTCCACTCGCAAGATGAGCGTCCGCGGTGGCGCAAGCCGTGCGTTGCAGCGTCCAGTTTGCAGTGTGCAGTGTGTGCTGGTTGCCTAAACGATCGCATGAATCGAAATTCGACGCGTAGGACTGGTCGATGGCGCGGAGGCTGACGGCGGTCACTGGTAGCAAACGAATTTTTACGCAGGCGCGGCCTTCTACGACCTCGAGGACGTCGCGACGGACGGCAGCGCTGTGCATTCCTGTGCAGCAAACGCCGTCGACGTGTTCTGACAGTCTCGTCGCAGGTCTCGTTCTCGCAGTTCGAGGGCAAAGTCTGCTTCGCGCAAAACGTCGCCTCCGCCTGAGGCCGGACGCGGTCGTCGTACAAAACGATGGCCGCGCTCAGCGCCGAGTTCGGAGACGATTTAGCAATCCTGGCTTTCCCGACGGGCGAGTTCGGCGGGCAGGAACTCCCCACCGACGAGGCAATCCGAGATTTCGCCTACGGACGCGTGAACTTCCCGCAGCCGCCCCGCGGAGTATTGCTGCAGAAGAAAAATCTCGGCGACCGCGAGGCCTGGCAGGCCATGCAGTTCGAAAGCGGCGCGTCGCCGCCGACGTGGAATTTCGGCGGAAGCTTCCTCGTGTCCAAGGACGGTAAGGTGAGTGATGCCTCAGGCGTCGATCTCGCCGCGGCGATCAAGGAGTTACTCTAGGCGATCGACGGCCGGCGCCGAGCGATGACGGTCCGCCGCCCCCACTCCCGGGTGGCGGGCCCGATGATTACTTCGGTCCTGGCTTTCGTAGCCCGTGGCGCTCCCCACGACTAAGCGTTATGTGTGCATTTTACTGTCTATGGCGGCGCCTCGGAGCTGTGGAGCGCGGCTCGCTCGCGCCTCTCGCAGAGAATTCCCAATGTCCCTGTGATCTGGTGGCCGTTTTAATGTTAGGGATATATGTAGTCTTATGACCTGGCGTCGAACAACGCGAGCTTCGATCGCGCTTCTGCGAGGCTCCGCTGTGTAGTATTGGTAAAAGGATTTGAGGCACCGTAGATCTGCAGTACGTTGGCATGTAGCTCCTCCAAGATCGCCAAGGATTTGACAATGTCGTCTCGGGATGCTCCGTCATCTACAAAAAGGGACAATGCGTACATATGACGAAGCTTTAAGGTGATCCGATGTTCTGCTCCGAGACAGCACCGCGCCTGGGGTAGGTGCCGTTTTGTAATCCACGTCGCTTCCTTGTGACGTCCTGTGTCATTCAACGAGGTCGCAAGGTTTTGGGCAAAAATAAAGAAGAGCTCGCCCGATGGTGCCAGTTTCAAGAGCCTCGTGTAGCACTCGCGGAGAATAGATTGTGACTCTTCATGCCTCCCCAATCGGCCGTAACAGATGGCAATATTTCCTTTAGTTGACGAGGTCGGCCGCGCGCGGTCGACGTCGACTCGACGATGGCCGCCCGCCGCGCGATTGCCGTCATATCGTCATGCCGTTGACGTCGATTGAATCAAATGCACCCCCTACTACTATTAGAGGACACAATGATAATCATATCTTGTCCATACTTCCGGAGAGAGAGATGCTTATTGTGCCCACCCCCAGGTAGTACGGACCCCGAACGCTTCGAATAGCTAGCGACCGGTAAGACACTAGCGAGCAAGCAGACGACCAAGTCTGAGCCCAATCTCGCGCGTAGACGTCGTCAATCCCAGCGTGCTGCACGCTGTAGTATCTCTTTCACAGCTGAGACAACGCTTCCGGCCTCCCGGCCACCGCTGTCGCCGCTGCTAGCCGGCAGAGCTACCCGGTTGACAGAGCTTGTTTGAAAACCGAGCGCGTAGCGATGGAATTGCCGCCGGGCTGGCAGACCGATGGCTCCATGTATCATGGTCTCTCCCTCAGCTTGGTGACCGCACGAGGCAGGTCGACGGCGGAGGTCGTGGCGTGGCTGCCGGCGGCGAAAAGCGACCGCACGGATTTCTTCGGCGAGCCCGTGCCCCTCTTCCGCGTCCGCTATGTCGACGGCGCGACGCCGGGCTTCGAGGTGGACCTCGAGTTGTCCGAGGTGCGGGACAGTCTCACGGAAGCGTCGCGCGCGAAACTCGGCATGCCGGCGCTCGCGCCCGCGCCCGCGGCGCCGCCGATCTCGCCCCTGTCCGCGGCGCTCGCGCCCGCCGTCGCGCCGGCCGTGGCGACGCCCGTCGCGCCGCCGCCGCCGCCGCCGCCACCACCGACCACAACAGATGACTGCCGCGCGTGCCGCGGCGCCCACTCGAAGCACACGTGCGGCAAGGCCCGCGGGCCGCCAAGCAGTCCGAGACCGGTGCCACCACCAGACGCCAAGCCGAAGATGAAGAAGCAGTCGGGCTACATCTACCACAACGCCCAGCAGCGGGAGGCGGCGCGGGCGGCCGTCGAGGCCGAGGCGCCCGAGCTCTCGACGCAAGAAAAGAGCCAGGCCGTCATGAAGAAGTTGGCTGATATGTGGAACGCGTTGGACGATGCCGCCAAGCAGAAGTATTCGGAAGACGCGCCGCTCGTCGAGGTCAAAGAAAGGAAGAAGCCCGCCGCCGCCGCGCCCGCGGTGCAAGTGACCGCTGCGCCGGCCGAGGAAGTGGAGCCGCCGGCGACGATGGAGGGCTTGGATCTACCAGCCAAACCCACGGACTGGCCCAAGGAGCTGGGCCAGGCCCTGCGCGCGGCGCGCGTGCCCTGCGCGTTCGTGTCGCCCAATCCAAAAAGAGCGCGCGGGAACACGTCGAACTCTGTGTTGGACTACGACCAGTACATGACGGCCACGACGGTCGACGAGTTCTTCTCCCGAAAAGGCAACTGGGGCCACCTCAAGTACGACGTGCAGTCCGCCGCGGCGTCCTCTCGATCGTCCGCCGCGTCGACGGCGTGGAGGCTGATGCGAGTGTCGTACGCCATCGCGTCGCGTCGACGGCGTCGAGCGTGCCACACGCAGGCGGGGCTACTGCACGCTCGACGCGGCGAAATTAGATGAGTGCTGGCTCAGCGTCCGGGACAAGTGCGTCCCGAAGGCGGCGCGCGCGCCCAAAAAAAAGACAATCGAGGTCGTCGACGCCGACGGCCGCGGCATCGTTGTTGAAAGTAGAACGCGGGGCAAGAAGCGGCGCATCGTCTTCGACCCGTCGCCCGAGTCGCCCGACCAAATACCGCCCCCACCAAAGCCGAAACAACCGCAAAAGCGCGTCGGCAACTTCGCGAATTCTGAAGAGGTCTACGCATTGTTACCAGCAAAACCAATGGAACAGCCTGCCTTTTCCCACAACTTCGACGAGCTCGTCACGAAGCTCGACGCCGCGACGGGCTGCGCGAAGGACGCCTGCGTGGCTCGTTTATCACTGAAAGCGGGCGACGTATTGCGAGATCCGGGCACGTTCGGGTGCGAAGGTGTGGGTGAGGACTTTGAGATTGTCGGAGACGTCTGCTTCTCGGTCAAAGATTCTCGTACTCGGAGATTAGTGCGCCACGACCAGCCCAATGTACGATTGGAGGTCGTCGACGGTCTGGTCGATACGATCGGCTGGCGGCTGTTGGTCGATCTGGAGCCGGGCGCGCCGTTAGTTGCAGCTCTACCAATACGTCGACCGGCGCCGCCGAAGCCTGCTGAACCGTATAAACCTCCAGAAGCTGTCGGGATGGTCATCGATCACGGAGCGGATTCGTCGGACGAAGAACCGGAACCGATCCCCAAGCCCGAGAAGGAGAAGTTTTTGGCGCCTACAATAGAACAGCAGCGCAAGGAGCCGAAGCTGCCGCCGCCTCCGTTGAAGATCGTGGATCCGCGGCCGAAACGGACGTACGCCGACGTCGATCGCGTGAGGTGGATCGCCGGCTTGTATCCAAATGAACCGCCTCCGGAGGACTTTGATCTTGTCGTTAGGGTGCCGTCGCTCTTCTTGCCTTATGGCGGATTGTCGACGCCTTCTGTACAACGCTCGCATCGGCCCTTCTTCCGGCCGCACCAGTTTCTTGCCGAAAGGTACTTCGAGGTGCCCGAGGAGGTGAGACGGCCCGTGATGAATTTAGATTGGCACACGGAGGCGTGGGTCTCAAAAAGGGCCGAGCGCCGCGCCGCGGCGTTGGCTCATAGGTTGGCGACGGGGAGCGAAGCGGATAGCGATTAATGTATGGCGTGTTTTATCGAGTAGTGAGGGCGCATCCGGCTGTTGTCAGACATCCGAGTGGGGGGTTTTGCATTTGCCTCCCGAGTGATTTTTCGCATTGGAATCGCTCACCTAGCTCGGCTGCTACCGTCGCCGTGGCCCTGCGGGCTCGCGCACGTTCGACTAGAGACGTGTGGTGGTGGTGGGCGCGTCGCCGTGACAAATAGACTCAGGGATAGACTCGATTGCTCTGAGCGAGCTGCTCGCGACGGCCTGGCACTTTGACCAGAGCGTCAGATGCACGGCCGGCCACGTCGTCGGCGTGCTGACAAGGCTCGCGAACAACACCGGTCCGGACCCGCTCGCCGACGGCAAGGCGCGGAGCCTGCGCTCGCGCATCTCGGGCGGCACGAAGTGGCTCGGCCTCCGGTCCAAGAGCAAGTCGCCGAAGTTCGGCGCGGACCGCAAGCACTACTACCCCGACGACGACACCGCGTAATCACACACTTTCACTTACTAGTACAACAGTCACCACTTCGTGCGCTCATTCGTCGCGTCGAGGTGCATGTAGCTCTCGAGCTTCGCCGTCGCGATGAGCGCGTTGACGCAGAGGCGCACGTCCCGTTTTTTACGGAGGAACTCGACCAAGGCGTCGACGTCCCAGCTCAGCACCTCGCAGGGCTCCGCCGCGGCGCAGGTCGTCGGGGGCTCCTCGTTGAAGGACGAGAAGGACCGCGACTTGACCAATTGACCCTTGGCGAGGGGCTTCGGCGTCGGGGGCAACGCGTCCAGCTTCTTGGCGACGACGTCGGAATGTAATAAAGCGCCCCTCAGCGCGGTGCGCGACGACCCGTCCTCGGGTCGCGTCACTAGGACCGACCCATTGCATAGCAACGCGGCCCGGTCCACTGGTATATGTTCACCTGGTTCTAGGTAATCCCATACAGGGGGAGGTAGTAATGACCCACCCAACAACAACTGGTGCAGATCTGGTGGAGAGAGGTGCAGGCCGCCCGCGCGCTGCAGCACGCGTGCCACGAAGAGCTGTTTGTCCCCGAAGACATGTGTTGAATCAAGCGGCTTCGTGTACAATCTGTAAATAGCCCAGAAATTCAAGCCTAATTGCGCCACGCTCCAGTAAATCGCCGACCAGATGCGCTCGTCTCTGATGACGAAGAACAATATTTGGAACAAGGAGCCCACGCCGGCTACCACGTTTAATCTAAGAGGGTCTTGGATCGCGAAGGCGCCCGTCACCAACGTCTGCGACGCATTTCCTAAAAAGGAGCCGACGCCGTCGTCGTACGCTAGGAAGATAGAAGCACCCACAACGACGCAGCAGAGCATGCTTCGCAATGAACGAGCGATCTTTTCGCGGTATTGGTACGCCTTTTTGAGCGATAGGTCGTCGCGCGGTCGCGACGTGGCCGCCGCGGACTGCGACGCGTCCTCGTACCTCGTTGGAGGCGACTCGATCGATGAGTACGTCATCGTCTGACGATACAAAGAGGTCCGGGCACCCGTGACAAAATCCGCGACCGCTTTCACGCCGTCGCGGCGTCTTGTGCGTCTAGACGACGCGGACTGCGGCGGCGTGAGCGTCCTCCTCACTACTGGTGGTTTGCGACAGCACGTTGTCTCGGGCGCGCGCGGCGTGCGGCGGATGGACGGTCTTTTGGGGGGGCTCTGGTCGTTCTTGCGCGCGGCGGCCTCCTCTCTTTCTAGCTTGGCCTGTGCGTTTAAATGTCGCCATCGCCGCTACGCTCTCGCCGCGTCGATGGCGTACGAGCTGTACCAGGCCTCGCCGCGACGCCATCGACGCGCGACAAACGGACGCCGGCCGCGCACGTAGAAATCTAGAGCCAGCGCCTCGCGGAAGGCGTCCAAGAGCTCCGCGTCGCGCCGCAACACCCGAGCCAGCCGCCGCACGGGCCACCGCAGCGTCCGCACGTCCCCCAGAGCCACGCAGCGCGCCGCGTCGGGCACGTCCAATGCATCATAATCTGGTAACGTACCGGAGACGGCGTGCGCCAACGACGCCTCGCCCACGAACCCGCCCGTGTCCGCGCGGTAGCAGACGTGGCCGTCGCGCGATACGGCTTCTACCGTACCTTCAACTACAAAGTGCACGTGGTCGCCCTCGCCGTCTTCCAACGTACAGACGGTGTCTCCATTTTTTGTCTGGAGCCACTCCCCGCTTCGCAACACGCGTGCGATCTTGCGACTCGGCACGCTGTCGAAGCAGTGCAGCGTCAAGGCCAGGGCCTGGAGCTCCCGCTCGTCGAACTGGACTTCACTCGTATCGACCGCCAACCGTACGATCTGCACCGTGTTGATGCAGAACTGCAGCACGTTCCAGAACACAAAAATCCACACCGGCGGCCTCTGTAAGAAGTAGAATAAAACTTGCGTCGTCGCCGAGAACAAAGCTACTGCTTGTAAATTCCAGGGATCGATGAAGAAATAGGTCGCTAGCGCCGTGCCCTGGGACACGTTGGCCAAGATGCCGTCGAGGACCCAGGGGAGGACTGGCGCCATCCTGTGCGCACGCGTTCCCTAGGGGTGGCAGTGCTGAGCACACTCGCACGTGGCGAGCAGCGCAAAAGCCGTTGGATCAGAGACCCAGCGTGCCCGGGCTGACGAATAATTATGATCACTTGTTGTTTTCCTCGTTGTGGCGCCAGCACAGCGCATGCAATGGCAGGCTGGCTGGCTGCTTTGCTAGTGTGTTACGAAGACGCTAGCCCGACTTTGCCGCAAGCCCCGCGCCGACGCTACTGGTATCTGAGGCGCGGGGAGGACACCCACGCCATCGACGCGACCGCTCGAAGCGGCCGCGTGGTCCGCCGGCAGGCGTCCCACGCCTGGCTGCACACTGGGCCGCTGTGGACGCACTGACTGCAGTGGTCCGCGCGAGGCCGCGGGAAGCCCAAGGAGTCGGCAAAAACACAAGGCAATGCTCAGAGCTGCAACGCGCGTGGCGGCGCGGCACGCGCGGCGCCCGCCGCCGCGCCGACGAGCGCTCGCAGTGGCCCAGTACCTGCCAGCACAGGCGGCCCCGATGCTGCTGTCGTCGGCGTCACCGCTCGCGCTGGGCGGCCGGCCCCTTCTGGACGGCGCGCTCGCGGCGTCCTCCGCATCATCCGTCATCGCGGTCGTGGGAGACAACAAAGATGACGATGGACGATAATCCGCGCCCGTAGGCGTGTGCGTGGGCGACGCGGCCGTCGCGGTCGTCATTAGCAACGACGACGACGACGGGCGCTGACACCACGCGCCGCGCGTTTATTAACACGCGCGGAGCACGCCTCCGGGGACCCTCTCTTGACATCGACCGTGTATTTAATTTGGAAACTTACCCATCATTATCGTCTCTTCTTCTTCGGGTTCGAGCCTCGCGACGCCGCTTTCTCTGCCGCGGCTTCCTCGGCCGCGGCCGCGCGCTCTGCCCGCTTTTCAGACTCGCGCAAGATGGCACCATTAATTTGGCATACCATGGTCACCGCGAAGCCGTACGCGGCTAGCGGCTTGAAGTCGAAGCGCTGCAAAATCTCCGCGAGGGCCGCGCTAACGCTTAGCAGCACTCCGAGGTGGGCTAATCGGTTGCGCTCGATTACCAGCTTCATCTTTTACCAGGGATACCTGTTTTTGAGCAGCCGTCGCGTCGATGGCGTGCGAGGCGGCACGCTGTGCACGGCTGCCAAGGCTGCAGCGGTGAGTTCAGTGATCAGCGCCGCGTGATGTTGCAATACTCTGCGCCAGCGGTCTTCGGGCGACAGCTGGACGAGTAATATGTGAGACTTGCTGCCGTATCGACGCGAACGCACCAAAAACTAGCCCGGCAGTGCATTATTAGCTAGCGGTATCAACACACTAGAGGCATCAACACACTAGAATCGAGATTGGTCTCTGGCATTGCGGATTGAGTCACAGACAAGCGCCACACACGAGTTGAGGTGCGCAAAAGCAAAAGTGCGCTGTTAACTGGGCGCTGTAGCTTTTCTGGGTCGCCGCCGTCCCCACCGCTGCGCATCAATCAAAACTCTGCCCAGCGCAAAACCGCTCCGTCCGCCGGCGCGCCGCGTAAAAATGGTCCGCGGCCTCACCAGCGACAGCGACGACAGCGACGCGCCGTCGCCGCGCCCGATAGCGAAGAAGAAGCCCAAGCGGCGCTACTCAGCCGCCGACCCGCTCGCGACCTCCGAGTCCGAGGACGAGAGCCCGCCGCCGCGGCCCGTGGCGCGCAAGAAGACGAAGCCAGCGCCCGCGCCCGAAGTCAAACGCGAGGCAGTCAAGGTCGAAAAGAAGCCGGTCGAGCTCGAGCCGCGACCGAAGCCGCAGCCGGCCAAGCGCAAGCCGGCTCCCGCCCCGAAGCCGCCGCCGAAGCGCAAGAAGCCGGCGCCGCCGGCCGCGGACGACGAGGAGAAGGAGCTCCAGACCAAGACCGCGACGGCGGCCGTGGCGCTCTGGTGCCGCGTCAAGGACCTCGAGGAGAAGAAAAAGCGCCTCAAGCGCGTCTTCGACAAGCTCCCGAAGGCCCTGGCCGACGCGGCCAAGGAGGCGCTCAAGCGCAAGGAGACGGCCGAGGAAGCCGATGCCAAGGAGGCCGCCGCGGCCGCGGACGCCGCCATGGCTGCCCTGCGCGCCGCCGACGAGCCCGAGGCGTTCGACGAGCTCGCGGAGCCCGAGAACCCAGTAGCGGGCGACGCCGCGGACGAGCCCGTCGCGACGCTGCGCGGGCCCGTGTCGGCGAGCGTGCTGGCGGCGCTGACGGCTCCGGCGCCGGCGGCCGAGGTGCCGTCCGCGGGGACGGCCAGCGTGCTGCCGAAGAACATCGTCGAGTGCGTGCTCATCAAGCGCAAGGCCGAGTTGCTAGGTGCACTCGATATCAAGTCGCTGAGCGCGGTCTTCCAGACGTCCAGCACGCTCGCGGCGCTCGCCGACGACGCGTCGACCTGGCACCGGGTCTACGCTGCTCGAAGAGCGGCGCCGCGCGCGGCGCCCGACGCCGGCCTCGCGATGCAGACCGAGGAGCAGGATTACGCGCCGCTCATCCCGGCCCCCTTCGGCGGCGGCGGTGGAGGCGGCGGCGCAATGGACGACGACGACGTCCAGCTCATGGCCGCGCCGGCCGCGGCGCCCGTGCACGCGATGATCATCGATGACGACGAAGCCCCCGCCGAACCGGAGCCGGGGGTCACGACCGTCGACGAGGCGCTCGGCGGCCACGAAGCCACGGCCACCGCGAAGAAGGCATTGCTGCGCGCCGAAGACGTGACGGAAGAAGCGCTAGGCGAGGACCCGGGCGACGCGCACGTGATGCTGTCCGTGACGAACGCGTCGGCCGGCCGGCCGCGGGCGCTCGAGGCGGGCGTGTACGGCATTTCCGACGAGGAGCGCGCGGCGCTGGACAAGGTGCTCGAGCCCGCGGGCGTCCGGTCCTCGTTCAAGTCGCCCGGCGCCAGCAGCGGCGGCGGCCCGCAATATCGCCCCGAAGACGCGGAGCAGATCTTTGTCGACGCTGGTGGCGGCATGGCCGGCACCCTCGAGGTCTGCCGGCGGGCCGAGGCGGCGCAAGATGCCAAGGGCGGCGACGATGACGAAGAGGGTCTGCCGCCGCTCATCTTCGAGGATCCGAACGGTCTACTGAAGCCGGAGAAGAAGGCCGTGGTGCGCATCACGTTCCGGGGCCAGCGCGACCGCGACAACGAGGTGCCGCCCGATTTAGATCTAGCCATCGCGATCAAGGAGTGCTCGCTTGAACTGAAGGACCAGGATGCGGCGCTCGAGGCCATCAAGGATGACCTGCGCCAGTGGGAGAACGCGACGTTCAAGGTCGAGAACGGCACGGTCAAGGTCGGCAAGTGGACGCCGCCGCAGCACGGCCCGGTGCTCGAGGTGAACAAGGACCTCTGGTGGGACGCGTTGGACGACGCCCAGCGCGAGGCAGTCATTCGCGCGGGGTTCGTCCGCATGATGCACGCCAAAAAGGAGCACATGCGCCTGACGGTCAAAGAAGCCTCCGCGGCGCCGTACGCCCTCGACAGCGCCCGGAACAACGGCCGCGTCCGCGTCGCGGCGACGATCCAGGGCAAGACCGTGCGTGGCGAAGCTTGCCGCTACGACGCGTACGAGAGCTCCTGAACTGTAAGTGTACTCAATAGACAGTTAGACTTTCCGATTTTGGGCGCACAGAAGTGCCCGCTCGCCGTATCCCCCCTTCGACCGCCGCGCCGGATCCCTGTTCACGCGACCAAGGTTACTTCGACCGCCGCCCGGCCACGAACGCGACCGCCGCGATCGACGCGTAGAAGGCGACGTCGCGCAGCGCAAATAGGGGCGGCCGTGCTAATGACGGCGACGCCTTCGTCGGCCGCGGCACGCGAGCGCCGTCCGTGCCAACAAACTGATAGCTCCCGTCGACGAACCGCACTTTACAGGCGCGCAGCGGCGCCGCCTCCTTCCATGCCACAAAGCGGCGCGCGCACCGCGCCACGGCCGCCGGCGGGCCGCCTGAAACGTTCCGCAGGTCCCTATAAGCGCGCTGCGCCAACAAGTCGCGCACCGCCTGCTGCAGGGCGGGATGGTAGTCGCCCTCCAGGATGTCGAGGGGCCCGACCCAGGCCGCGTCGGCGTACTCCTTCTCATCAAACTTTGAGGGTCCCAACCCGTCGGCCTCCGCTTGTGTAAGGGGCAGCTCGAAGACCGTCGAGGCGTCCGCCGTGCCGTTCGTCGTCGGCGCCTGCTGGCGGTAGTTCCAGACGAAGGAGTAGGTGTTGACGTGGACGAAGCGCCGCGTTTCGATCGCGAGGCCGAGCTCCCGCTTCACGTTCCGCGCCGCGCCCTCGGCCGGCGTGTCGCCGGGCCGCGTCCTGCCACCGACGAACCACCAGTCCGGCTGCGGTTCCACCTTGCGCTTTCCCAGTAAAATGCGCAGCGACGCGCCCTCGCCCCGCGTCAACAGGACATCCGCGCAGCCCTTGACGAGGGCGTCGAGCGCGAGGCCGTACTCCTTGTCCGGCAGGAAGACCTTCTGCGGCGTGAAATCGCCGGTGACGAAGTGGTAGCTCATTTTCGCTTCGACGGCGTGTTTTGGCGCTGTCGAGCTAGCGCTTTTATCCAATTGGCTGTGAGAGGGGTTTTGCTTGCAAAGGCTGCTCGCGCTTCGCACAGCTTCTCGGAACTGCCGGAACGCAACGCGCGCGAGCACAGAGAGAGGTCTTGCTTCCCGTAGCCCAACGTGCGCTGCGCGTAGGGGCCGACGCCTAGGGCTTGGCAAAATAATCCTGTGGACTAGCGGCATGTAAGGCACTAGCAAGCGGCTTGCTCGCATCGTACGTCGTTGCCGCAGCTGGGCGTTGCCCGGAAGACACCAAGGAGTCGCGTTTTTGCAAAAAATACTATCGTTTTATCTTAGAGATCACACAATTCGAGTTCGCGACGTCGCACTCGAGCTCGAGCACGACCTCGAGGGGCGCCGAGTCGTCGAGGGCAACGAGGCCATCGCTCTTCGAACCGTCCGCTGCCATCGTCGTGGAAGGCACGAGGTCCAGCTCGTCTAGGCCGCCTTTGCGGAGAAGGACGAACGCGTCGGCCTCGCGAACGGTGAACGCACGCTTCCTTCCGGACTCGTCGTATGCCTGGCAGGCAGCCGCGCGCCGATCGCTGCAGGTCGTGGCCTCCTTTCGTACGAGCTCTGCGGCCTTCGGGTCGAAGAAGGCTTGCACGCCTCCGGAAGCCTCGCGCGAACCCGTGTCGTCGTCGACCTGTGTGGGAATCAAAATTTTACGGGGCGTTCGTGCTGAATCGTCGCGTCGGCCTCCACACCATCGACGCGACGCCTGCTCGATGGCGTGGCGATGCCGGTTCCTCGCCGCTTGACCGAGCCAGGTGCACCCGACGCACTGTTTGATTTCCACACAGTCGTCCACATAAAACAGGGGAAGGAACCGGTCGCCGAGGTCGCTGATGCCCGTTATTTTTCTCGCGGCCGCGAGCCGCGACTGCTCGACCAACAGCCGGTGGCAGAAATACCCCGGCACGCCTTCGCGCTTCGCGGGTGGCGCCAGGACCAGTGCCGCAGCCTCGCCCAGCGGGACCTTCGCAAGAGCGAGCGGCGCTGCCTTTTTGTCTCTCGCCGACATGACGGCTTTCCGCACGGCGTCGGCCTGCGCCCGCGTCTCGTAGAGGTAGACCGCACTGCGCACTCTCTGAGTGCGATCGAGATCAAGCGTGACGACCTGACCGCCGTCCGCGGCGCGCACGAGCGCGTAAGCGTAGCCTGCGGCATCCAACGCAGATGATCGCTGCGGACTTGGTGCTTTTGCTGCCGCTGCGGCAGCGTGTGGCTGCAATGCGATCAAGCCAGCGGCTGCAGGCGGGCGCAGCAGCAATTCGCGGCGCGAAAGCGCAGCGCACGCATTTAACAGGCACAAATGCCAGCCAAATCCAGCTCGGACGTGCATGTCTGCCGCCTAATGCGGCCGCTGCAAGCTAGCAGCTAGCGTATAGTAACATACTAGATGGCCTCGTGACAAAAGCGAGCCGAACCTCGACTTGGTGAGCCCGCACCGCTTAGTATTTTGCGTCGAAGGCGACTTGAGAGCCGCCCCGGACGGTACCTGGTCTCGGGGTGAGGTGCAGGAGCGTTCAGGCCCGAGGCAGCAGTGAGAGCAAGTCTGCTGGAGAGCAGGCCCGACGCTGCGATATTCGTGAAGAGATTCTTGCGCTAACCACGCCCAAAACACAACCATGGTCGACCGCAGCAATGATTACCTCTACACATGGACCCTGGAGCATGAGGCCATGAAAGCCGCAGGCTGCTGCCTCACGCTCTTCGACCCGGCCAAGGGCGCGCCAGAGATGGAGTTCGAGATGACGCGGTCGGAAATAGAACCGATGGACGTTACCGTCACGCGCGACCGCGGGCTGGGGCAGAGCGACGAGCAGGTGCGGTTCGAGGGCGGGCGCATTCTCACGCTCCGCGAGGCAGAGTCGACGCGCACCTGGCGCCAGGAACAAGAAATACACAGTCTGCCGGCGCCGCCGGGCTCGCTGGGCGGCTTCGCATTCGCCTGGGCCGGCGAGGTACGGCTCACCAATGAAGACGTCGACAACTGGCGCGTCCAGTACCGCGTGGACGCCGACTGCCCCTGGCCCGACCACCGGGCCTGCCTCCAGTGCCCGCGCTGCGCCCAGCCGGCCGCGCCGGGCGGCGACGCCACGTATTTCATGGTCTGGCAGGCGCTTGCGCAGATCACAGAGACGGGCCCCAAAATCCGCATGATGCCTCGCCTGTTTTGCAGGCCGTGCATCGAGCGCATCGTGCAGCTGGCCGATCCCCGATACACTCCACCTGCGCCTCTGCAGCTGGCCGTCGCGGAGCGACCTGAGCTTCCTTCCATGGCGGACCGAATCTCGACGCTCGAGTCGCTCCGCGCGTCCGGGGGGATCACCGAGGCGGAGTACGCGCGCGCCAGGGCGCTAGCGGAGCACGCGTGGGAGGACTTCCTCGACTCGACGGAACCCTTTGGCGTGCGGCATCGGTTCGCAGCTGGTCCATCGACCGCGTACGACCTGCATAAGCGGTGGGTGCGGTCGGGGACCTTCGACGCCCTTGTGCGGCTTCTTCACGCTGACTACACCGGCGTGGTGTCCATCTCGCGGACGGCGATGCCAGGGAGCCCATATAATCTTCGCGACCCCTCCGCGCGCTGTCGCCGCGAGGGCTGCGACCGCGCTAGAGCGCCGGACGGCCTGCCCCTCAAGACCTGCGCGCGGTGCCGGTCCGTCATGTACTGCTCGCCCGTACGTCGCGGCGTCCCCCGAATCTTCGCACCTCACGCGTCGATGGCTTGGAGGCGGCGCCCACGCCATCGCCGCGACGCATCGATACAAAGCCCATCTCCACACAGGACTGCCAGAAGGCGGACTGGAAAAGACATAGGGGGGACTGTCGCCTGCTCAAGGCCGAGCGGCAGATCAACCACTTTGAGAGGAGGCTCCACGCGGCGAAGGCAGGGTTTATGTAATTTTAGTCTATGACTCTTACTCGCGCGGCCCGCCCGCCTTGGCCTCCTCGGCGCCGACGGGCCCCGTCCCCACGTCCTCCATGGACTTGCCTTTGACGTCGTTGAAGGCGAGCTCGCGCGCCTCCTGTTCCGTAAGCGCCGGGTCGACGTCCATGTACGCCTTCCAGTAGGGCAGGTCCGGCGGCCGCGGCTCCTTGATCACAGAAGCGGCGGGCGGCATGGCGGTCTGGGGCACCGCGTTCATGACGTCGGCGTGGGCCTTCTCCAGATCTTGACGCACGGAGGCGAGCATATCATGCAACTTCTGCTGGTCCCTCAACATCCTATCAAAATCGGCTCTCGCCTCCTTCATTACGGTAGGAGACACTTGGGGAGGTGGCATCATCATGTAGGGTTGCGGCGGGTAGCCGTACATGTACGGTTGAGGTGGTGGTGGCGGCGGTTGCTCCAGGAACGACGCCGGATCCAGCGAGTTCATCGCGGCGTCCGTCGCGCGGGTCATGGCCTTGAAGGCCGGGTGCGCGGCGCCCATGGTCTCTGGTACCTGTGTGAAAACTGGATGTCGGCACCCCACGCCATCGACGCGTTTTCTCCGTAGCTGCGTCTGCTCGATGGCGTGGAGGGCGGCGAAGGTCTCTCGCAAGGATCTCCACACGGGCCAAGACGTAGGCCGTCTGAATACTAGCGTCGTTGCCGCAGAATTGGGTGGCGACCTCCCTCGTTCGTACTAAGTGCAAGGCCCCCTCGGCCTCGTCGACGTCCACATCCTCATCTTCATCCTCGTCGTAGACTAGTAAACGGACGGGCTGCGGGCCCGACGCCGGGCCTCTGATTTTCGTCGCCTCGCCGAAGGGGTAGGCCGTGGGCATCGCTTTCGGTGAAGGGTCGTCCCGGACCCGCACTCTGTCTAAATATCTACAAGACGAAAAGTCCGGCGCTTGTCTCTCCAACAAAATGGGCGGCGCGCGCGTCAGCACCTCGCCCAATCTTCTCGCCGAAGCCCCATCTTTAACCTGGATGCGGCATTCTAGCACCGACGCCTGCGGCCCGGCCAGCGACTCCCTCACACTTGTTACCTGCACGACCCGTCGTGGTATACCTAACGCCCTCGACACGTCCTCTTCCACTAGTCGAGTGACGGACCCATCTAATTCTGATAGAGGTACCTTGTCCAGCCGCAGCGTAAAATCTACGCCGCAGGGCAGGTCGTCGGCCACTATTGTAGGTTTCTGAGGCGGCGGCGGCGGCGGCGCAGGTGCCGGCGCGACGGCAGGAATCGGCGGCGCGACGACGGACGCAGGCGGCCCCTGCTGTACGGGAGGCACGAGGGGCGGCCCGGCGGGCGCTCGCGGCGACGCCGTCCGCGACATCGTGCCCTCGTGGAACTCCTCCGAGTACGTCTCATCATCAATAGACTCCCGTAAAAACTCGCCGGAGTTGTCCGACGCGAAGGGTCTCCCCGACAGTGCCGGAGATCTTTCCAGAGACTCGTCGGCCACGCTCTCGTCGAGGGGCTCCTCCTCGTTCGACTCACGCATCTGCACGGCGTCGTCCCTAGACGCGTGCGCCGCGTCGAAGGAGACCTGGCGCCGCATCTTGGGCTTCGGTTGACGTGGAGGTAATTTCTGCGGGGATTGACTCGGTGCCGCGGCCGGCGCGCGAGGTGATTGGAGCACTTCCGCCCCGAACTCGAACTGCGACGAGTCTCTGGTTGGCGGCGCTCCCAATCGAGAAGGCAAGTCCGTGATGCTGCGGACGTTGCCGTGGATCGACGAGGTGAACTGGGCCTTCGCCGTCTCCGTCAACGGTGGATTCTCCTCCTCCTCCTCTTCTGCGACTTCATCTTCTGACACTTCCTCCTCTTGGACGAGCGCGGACGCGTCCCGCACTTGCCCATAGACGGACTGCCGTGCTATTTCCGAATTCAAAATGTTCTCGTCGTCGTCATCATCATTCACGGGGGACGTGGCCTGCTGCGGCTGCAGGTCCACCTCGGCCTCCTCGTCTTCCGCAAATGAACTGTCAGGGTCGAACGACTGCGTGTCGAGCCTCCGCAGCGTCGTCGTCTTCTTCTTCGGGCTGCCGTCTTCTGAGGAGCTCAAGTTGGCCATGATCCCATCGGCGTCCATCGACGGCGACCTTGACCTACGACTTTCCTTCTTTTTTTGGCCGCTTCCGGTGGGCGCCTTACTCAACATAGCCTGGGCCTTCGCGAGGACGTCGCTTGCACTTGCCTTCTTGAAGGTCTTCGTGCCCACATCACTCGAGATGGGCTTGGGCCCGAGGGAGCGGCCGGCTTTACTGGAGGGGCGCTTCGGGGGCGCCTTCTTCGCGGGCCGCTTGGGCGCATCATCAAAGCTGTCCGACTGGCCGAAGCCGCCGAAGTCGTCGCCGCCGCCCATGTCGAAGTTGTAGGGGTCGCCCTCATCGTCGCCGCCGCCGCCCAGGCCGCCCAGCATCCTGTTTGCTGCCCAACTGCTGTTGTTGCGCGTAGCGGCTGCCCCTCACGCCGCGCACCACCGGTCAGCGCACCAAATGGTACCCGTATCTGCGCGCTGTGCCGGTTGGGCTTCCTCCCGGCCGCGTACAGCCTTATAATTCCGCCAACGGTGCCGCGCAGCTTCATCACCCCCGCACGAAACGGACCGATCAATCTAGAAAACAAGGATACTTAGACTAGACACAAACTTGACATGAAACATCAATCGAGGGGCGTGTCGTATTCCGCGCCCATGTACTTGCAGGCGACCAACGCCGTCACGCCTAAAGCCGCTCCAACGCCGCCGAACACGGCCAGCACGCCGACGCCGCCGTTGGGCGCTTTATCGAGGCCGTAGGCGTACATCGACGCGCCCATGGATGGCCCTACCGCCTTGAACGCCGACGCGACGCTCATCGCGAAGCCGTTGACGGCACCGCGCGCATTGGTCGCGCAGGAATTGTTGATCGTGCAGAAGCAAGCTGTGTAAGCGTTGGAGACCGCGCAACGGTACACGATATTGTGAGCGATCAATGCAGCCCACGTCGTCGCCGCGCCGGGCTTCATCCTAGCAATGACGACAGCTACAGGCATCAGTACTGCCGAGAGTCCGGCTGACGTTGGGAACAAAATATGCGACGGCATCCGCTCCGAGATAAAGGGGAATATGAGAAATTGATAAGCCACCGTAAATACCGCGGTAGCGCTCAGAACGGCGCCGATCTCATCCACAGCCATGCCCATGCCTCCCTCGTCGCGAGGTGTCAGCAGCCAGAGCGGGTAGCAGTCCTCGTAGAAGATGCTGAACGTCGACAGGAAACAGTAGACGCCGATGGGCAGCCACGACGTCCGCGGCGCGCGCGCGCACGCTCGGCGCGGCGCCGGCTCCTCCTCGTCCTTATCTTCGTCGCTGATCTTGGCGTACGACGTCTTCCCCGGCAGCCAGGCCTCGATGACACACAGCGCAAGCAGCGCGAGGCCCGCGGCGAAAATATTTGGCAACGCATACGGATATCGCCGGAACAGACTATTGACCGGGCGCTCGGCGAGCACGCCGCCCGCGGCCGGGCCGACGACCATGCCCGCGTTCCACATACCTGCTACGTAGCCCATGGCCGTCTGCTGCTCGGGACCCTTCGGTACAATTTCCGGTATTGCCGCCTTGGCGACTCCCGTGAGGCCGTTGAACAGTCCCATACACAGCCTCATGGATAGCGCGATCGCGAAGGTCGGGGAAAAACCGAATCCTATCGAAAACACGAGACAGCTCCAGAGCCCTATCCGTATGACCGCCTTGCGGCCGATGCGGTCCGACAGCGCGCCGCAGTAGAACGACGACAGCAGCCGCCCGGCCATGAAGGACGTCATCAAGTAACCAGCGTAGAAGCCGACTCGGGTCTCGTCCTCAGTGAGGCCGTAATGAAGAATCATAAAGCCCGCGTACGGAAATACGTTCGTCAATGCCACACTGTTCGCGAACATCGCAAAACACAGTGTCATGATCGGCTTGCGCGAGTACGCTCCCTGCGGCGTGTCGCTCGCGAGCTCGTCCCATTTGTCGTCGTCGACGAGGATCGTCGTGACGTCGTCCTCTTTGTGGACCAGTTCGAGCTCGGCTGGCGTCGCATTACGGCACATCTCGCTTTGGAAGCAGTTATGCGCTACGTCGAGCGATCAGCTGCAGAGTGGTGCAGGCCTGGCAGCACAATCTCGCAAACGCCGGCCTCAGCGCTGCAATTATTCACTTGCAGTTTGAGTATTGGTACCGTAGACTCTCTTGCGACTGCTGCTTAAGCTCTTATGCAGTGCTGCGTCGAGCGTGGAGCAATGCCATCACCGGACTGTGGAGAGTTGCTCTCGACCCGCCGCAGTCCTGGCGGTGATTTTCGCAGCTATCGCTCGCAGCACGCCTCGGAGAACGCCAACAGGCGAACAATCAGTCAGCTGAACTGCTCGACGCTAGTGTAGCTGGACTCTAGACCTGGTGTGATTAAGCACTGAACAGCGGCCCATTTGTCCACCGCGCGGCTATCATCGTAGCTGTTGACAGCGTTTCCTAGCTGCTTGGCAACCACACGTTGCGTGCAGGCGCTTACGCCTTGCGCCGCGCCCGCCTGCAAAGTTGCACCGCCCTGCACTCGAGCGAGGTTGCACTGCCAGCGCCGGGCGAGCATGCGCCGAGGCCTAGCGCTCGCCGCCGTCGCGGCCGCGCTCGTGCCGTCGCCGCGATGCCCCCAGCACCGCACCGCGCTCACACCACAGCGACCAAGCCGGCTCCGCATGCTCGCGACCGAGGAACAGACCGCCCCGAGGACAAGAGAAGAAAAGGACCTAGATGAATGGAACACGCTCATCACGGCCTTAGAAGCTTACAAGCAGGAGCACGGCGATTTACGAGTTCCTACCAGATACACGGTGCCCGAAGATCAGCCCTCGTACCCTCAAGAATGCCGAGGATTGAAACTCGGCCAACGAGTGGCCTCAATAAGAGCAACGGGCCGCTACGTCGACGACGAGACACGTAGAAGGGTTCTGGACGACATGGGCTTTGAATGGCGTTTACGACGACCTTCAGCAAGTCAGCAGGCGAAGCAGCCCGTCGAGCCCTTTGATGTGTTAGTTACTGCCTTGGAAGTCTACCAGCGAGAGAACGGTGAATCAACAGTACCTTCTACCTTCGTCGTGCCGAACGCGGACCCCTGGCCTCCCAGTTGTAGAGGGCTACCTCTAGGCGCTAGAGTCGAGGCTCTCAGGGACCCGGACCACCCCTATTTTGAAGGACCGGAATTAGCGGAGCGCGAAGCGAAGTTGATATCCTTGGGCGCGCTTAAGCCAGCGGGCGAAAGCGGCGGGCGGACCGAGCGCCAATCCACGGCCAAGCGCTTCGAAATCGTCTATAGTGCATTAGAAGCCTTCAAGCGCGTCCACGGGCATTTGAACGTGCAGCAGACGTTCGTCGTGCCCTCTGATGATCAGTGGCCCGAGGACGCGTGGGCGATGAAGCTCGGGAGTCGAGTGAACGCCATTCGTTCTCATGGTACCTTCCTCAAGCGCCATCCGGAGCGACGAGCGCGGTTGCGAGATTTGGGACTGGCATTGAACGACGCGCCGCCGCCGGCCCCGGAAAAGCCGGGGAGCTTGTTAGACGCGGTCTTGAAATCATCACAATCAAGTGGGGAAGCGGTACCCGTGCCGGCCTGGGCCGGCATTAGTGGTGAGGCTTATGAGGAGGACGTCGAAGAGGTCGAGGAGCCGCCGCGGCCTCGCGTTGCGTCGCTCGACGCAGACTTCCTAGATGAGTCGCTCATCGCCCCGGAGGAGTTGCAGCGAAGACAGAGTGAGGGGTGGCGCTTCGACGACTTCGATGGGGGCTTCGACTTTGCAGATGTCGTCGATGCCCTCCGGGAGTACCAGACGAGATTCGGCAATCTAGACGTTCCGGTTGATTTTGTGGTGCCCGAGGATGATGGGGTTGAGGAAGAAGGCGTCGAGGAGGAGGTGGAGGATCTCGATGCGGCTTTAGCGGCGTTTTTGTCGGCGGCGTCACCCTCAGAAGACGAAGACGCCGCTTTGTTGGGTGATTTCCCGTCGCTCGACGAGGAGCCGTCCGAAGCTGATCTCTTAGCTCTCGAGGAGTCGTACGTCGAGCCGTCTGCTGTAGAGAAGGAAACGCCGTGGCCCGAGCACACGCGAGGGTTGTTGTTGGGGAGAGCCGTCGATGCTCTACGAGTGGGAGACGCTAGGGTGGATGATGAGCAACGACAAACCTTAGATGAGCTTGGGTTTGAGTGGGGCGACCGGCGCATCTCCGGTTTGTCCTGGAACGAGTTCTTAGGGTGCCTCTTCTCGTTCAGCAAGATCAAGGGGTCGTTAAATGTCAGGTGGGACTTTGTGGTCCCCAACGAGGACCCCTGGCCGCTACCGTTGAGGAATGCGCCGCTGGGACGGTGGGTGAATGAAGTCCGGGCCCAGCAGCCTGTGTTCGAGCGCCACTTCGCGGAAAGAAAAAGGTTCCTGGATCTCATGGGCTTCAAATGGCTCCCGCCTTTGTTCGAGGGCGACGACGCTACGAGTGATGAGGCGCGAGATCAGCGGCCGCCGCCGTGTCTACGGTTGAACGACGACGAGCTCTTTCCTCTAGGGAAGAAGAAACGTGCGAAAAAGGCACCGAAGGGCCCGAAGCAGCCGCTACCGCTACCTACCGCTGGAGATATTGATGTGGACTACTCCAAGTATACCGTGAAGGTCCTCAAGGATTTACTCAGAGATAGGGGCTTACCCGTCAGTGGTCGGCGGAAGGCGGACTACGTCGAGCGGTTAGCTGCTGATGATATCAGGTTGCAAAAGGAGGCTCCCGTTGCAGAAGAGGAGGAGGAGGAGGACCTAGATGACGAGGAGGAGGAGGACGACGACGACGACGACGAGGACGAGCCGATGGACGAGGAGGAGGAGCTCGACGTCGTCGGCGACCTGTCGGCGGCGCTCGGGGCCGGCGACGAGGAGGAGACGGACCCGGACGACGACCCATAGTCCATTAGCCTAAAATATACGTAGTAGATGCTTGCGTGGCGGCATGGGGGTCGCGGCGACGGCGTGTCCCGCTCGCTAGTTGTTATCGGCCGCTAGCGTCTTGGCCCTCGAGTTTTGCGGGTCAGCGGTGGCCTTACCGGTCCTGTCACAAGCTAGAAATATAGCAGTGAAGTGGAACGAAAGCGATCGAAACGCCTGTGCCTCGGTAGCCCCAGCACTCCATCACACGCCGCGTGCGCCACTTGTTACGGTTTGTGCTCCGCTGTCAATCCACCGCGTAACGTAGCTCACGCTTTGCATCAATGGCACGTACGAACCAAGCCTCTGGCGGTGCTCTGAGCGGTGATCTCTCTGGAATCAGGCTCGACGGCGCCGCGGCGGAACCGGAGGTACTGACGCAAATCATCATATCCAACGCACTGTTTCCGTCTCGGCGAGCGCTGATGCCGCTTCTCGACGGTAGGTCTTTAGCTCGTCTGAATGCGTGCGCACGGGCATTCGGCAAGAGGGACGAGACTGGGCGCTCATTCTGCGAGAACGTGGCGCGAGAGCGGGTCTTACCCTTGATGCGCGCGCATCTCGGGGGGGTGCGCAGTATCGGAGGGAACGCCGAACGGCTCAACCAGAACTTCCTTACGCGGTGTTACGAGTACCTAGCGCAGGAGGGAGAGCTCTTGTTTCCGCCAGAGGGCCGCACGACGCCTCGCTGGCCGCCCCGCTGGCCGCAGCGGCGAGGCTTCGCAACTGCTCTCCACGCCTGCGATGCCTTCGAAGCAGGACCGGCGGCCGCGTGGGCCGCCGCGAGCGCCGTTCTTCAGTTGGCGGTCGAGGCCATGCGAACCTGCCCGCCAGAGAACCGGCCGCGGGGCGATGAGGTTCGTGCCGACGCCCTTCGCGCCCGGCGAGATGCCATCCTCGCGCGGCGGGGCCTTTGCGGTGTCATCATATACACACGAACGAACACTCCTGCAGACGGCGCGGCTCTATCTGCGCTCGTCGAAAGCCAGGGGGGCTCTTCTTGGGCGTGGGACCGGACGTGGGATTCGCAAGCCCCCTCGAGAAGGTACCGCGGGCGCGCGACCTTCCCGAGTCTCAGGCGCGCCTTCGAAGCGCGACTCCTGTCTTGTGAGCTTGTCCAGCAGGTGGAGCTTGCGCTCCCGGGCTCTGTCGGAGAGTCTGTCCAACGCCAACTTGAAGGACTCGATGGAGCATTTTAACTAGACCCTTTTGTATACAACCTCTTACTTACTTAGGCGGCTTGTACTTGATCTCGCTCAGCCAGTCATCCTCCGGGTCGTCCTTCTTCGCCTCCTTCGCGGCGTAGAACTCCGCGTCCGTCCCGCCCTTCCTTCTATTTTCCAGGAAGCGCTCGAACTCGGACAGGTTCTCGTGCGATGGTATTGTTACGGTGCTAGACTCGTGCCAAGTCTCGCTAGTGTCTTACATGCCGCTAGCCCCTCTGCCTTGCAAAGTTTTTGGGCTAAATTGGTGGTTACCGCTCCTCTCACAAGCTAGAAATATAGCAGTGAACTTGTACGACTGCGATCTGCACGCTGTGCATCGGTAGCCGCAGCACTTCATCACACGCCGCCGTGCGCCACCAGGGTCAGTTGTGCTCCGCTGCTCAATCCACCGCAGCGATAGCAACGCGAATGAATGCCGCCTCCAGCGGCGGCGCGTTCCCGTACCTTACCATTGATCTGGACGCGTCCGCGGGTCCTCTGTCCTTCCTGGCCTTGCCTGACCGAGCACGCGCGGAGGCGGTGTCGCGCGGTTTTTTGCACGCGACGCGCGCGCCTTTGCTTTGGAGGGAGTTTGACGCTAGAAAGGATTTCACCCGTCCCTCCCGTGGAGAGGTAATTATCAACGACACATTATTTTTTCGGGCCTTCCTGCGCAAGGCCCCGCGGCTGTCTTGGGTGAAATGTTTGAGCCTGATTCCTAATGATCTCTCGGAGGCGTCGATCAAAATCATCGGTGCCAACTGCCCAAATCTGACGGTGCTGAAGGTGTATGGCCTCACTGACGACAGTCTGCGGGCTATCGGAAACGGCTGCCCAAGGCTCAAGGTGCTCGAGTTTTATACTGACCCGGGGGATGAGTTGACCGAAGACGGGCTCGTGTATGCTCTCGAGCGCTTTCCGGCGCTGTCGACCCTCCGGGTTTCTCCAAGGGGCCCCGGGGGCGGTGACGAAGCGTTGGTGAGGGATAAAACCGTACTGGCCGTCGCCCGTCACTGCAAGTCGTTCAAGAAGCTCGATTTATATGGAGCGGAACTCACGGACGCGTCGATAGTAGCGCTCGCGAACGGCTGTCCTCTGCTCGAGACGCTCGACCTCCACAGTTCCTGCAGCGACTCGGATGCGCCGGCTCCAGCCCTCACGGACGCGTCTCTGATTGCGGTCGGCGAGCGGTGTGGTCTCCTGAAGTCCCTCACACTGTCGAACTGCGAGCGATTTACTGACGCTGGGGTGCTTTCCCTCGCCAGGGGCTGTCCTTTGTTGGAACGCGTCCACGTCGATAATTGTCCCTGGTTTGGCGACGCGGCGGTGGCCGCCCTCGCGGCTCATTGTCCGCTTCTATGGAATTTTTCCGCCGATGTGATGACATACGATGACGACGAATGGGAACGCTACCACCGCCTGACCGATCCGACCAGGTTATGGCTCCGACGCAACCTGCCATGCTGGGGCTCCACCAAACCGCCGCCCGGTAGGCTCAACATGAAGGAGGCCCTCGTCGCGCACCCGCCCCCGTGGTTATAATTACATAGTATACCTCTCACTTAGGCGGCGGCTTGTACTTGATCGCGCCCAACCAGTCGTCGTCGTCCGAGTCTTTCTTCGCCTTCTCTTTCGAGGCGTAGAAGTCCGCGTCCGTCCCGCCCTTCCTCCGGTTCTCCAGGAAGCGCTCGAACTCGGACAGGTTCTCGTCCGTCGGCACCTCCTCGGCGTCGGAAGCGAACAACCTTTCGAGCTTGTCGCGCTTCGTTTCTCCCCCAGCGGCGCGGACCGCGTCGTCGGCCGCCTTCTGGGCACTGACCTGGGCCTCCATGGCCTGCTCGCTCAGCTTCTTCCGGACGGCCTCCGTGTCCTTCCCTAATTCTCTAGCAAACCCGTCCATCTTCTTCTTGAGGTCCTTGATGGGGTCGGGGCCCTCGGGCTTCTTCGGCGGCGGCTTCCTCTGACCATCGTCGCCCTCCACCACCCGCCCGCCCGGCGGTAACGCACCGCCGAGCTGCTTCTCGAGGTCCTGCTGCCTCTTGATCTCGTCGCCCATGCCCGGCGGCGGCGCCTGGCCCATGCCGGCGCCGGGGAAGAAGCGCGCCGTCGTCCGCGGCGGCTTCATGCCCGCCTGCTGGCGCTGCTCCTGCCGGCGGTTCGTCGGCGGCGGCGTCTTCGGTCTAGGTTGATTTCTAGATTCAGCTGAACGCCACCATAAATCATCAGCGAGGTTGAAGAATTGATCCGAGTCGACCGAACCTTGTGACGGCGCCGCGCCTCCACCGGGCTTGTACCCTAGTGATGCTAATGTCGCGATGAGGTCGCCGGCGGCGACGATGCCCTGCGAGACGCCTCCGTCGAAAACCTCGACGCAGGGCAGGGCCTGGCCCTCCGGTAAAGCATCGAACGCGCCCCAGCACTCTTTATCTCTGTCCTGTGACGCCAGCAGAAACTCGCACTGCGGCAGGGCTTGGCCCGCGAACTCGACGGTCGATAACGCCGCGGCGCCGCCCTCGCCCATGGGGTTGAAATACAACACGCAGACGGCTCCTCCAATATGGCGGCTCATCGCGCCGGCCTCGCCGATGTCCGTCGGGCCGTCGACCCAGCGCGGCTCGGCGCGCAGGATGTGTTTTTGGTTTGGAATCGGTGCGAGGAATGCATTCGTCGCGGCGCCGACGACGAGTGCCGCGCGCCACATGGCTGGCAGAAAGGGTGGATCCGCAGCTGTGGGGATTAGCGTGTGAAGGTCCCTTTGCGACCACGGAGAGCAATCGCTTGCGTCGATGCCAGGAAAAGACTTGCGAATGAGTCGGATACGCTATTTTGTTTGCACTCTAAGGCACGGCTGGCCGAGCACGCGCAAGCCAGCTAGGCCGCGGCATAATCAGCTAGCGGACCGTAAGGCACTAGCAAGCGAGCAAAAGTGCAGCGTCCGCGTATCGCGGCGATAACTAGCTTTCTGGACACACTGCTGAGCACATTACTGTTAATTCTTGCTGTCATTGCTGCGACAACAAAAGACTCGCGATCCGGAGACGGCCAAACAGCCGTGCAAGCCCCTCGCCGGCTGCACTGCACTGCAAAACATGGCGGCAGAAGAAGGCTCAATCCAAGTCATCGGCCTCCCCCGCTGCTGCACCGGCGCCGCCGCGCTCGACAAGGGCCGCGTCGCCGTCGGGAGCCTCGGAGCTGGTATATGCAGCGTCGACCTTAGTACTGGACACACGCTATCAAGCTGGCGCGGCGACGACGCGCCGCAGAATACCGTACTTTGTGCCCATGACAATTTAGTTACTGTGGCGCGCGCGGACGGGTTGGTAGCCGATCTAACCTGCGACGAGGGAGCCATCCAGGAACGCAAAATTGACGACGAGAAGTTTTCGGCGTGCTACGGCATCGCCACGGCTCCAAAAGGCGACGGCATCATCCTCGTCGCGCGGCGAAAGAATGATAATGCGCCCGTCGAGGTATTATGGAGAAGCGCGGAGAACAAGTGGACCCACGTCGACGCCAGCGCTCCGAAAGGATCCGACCTATGTGCAGGACTATCATGTTTGGGAGACGTCATCGTCGTGGGAGGGCGGCACATGCTCCGCGCGTACGCCGTCGGCAAGAAGAAAAAGGGAGGCCTCGCGCACTCGCAAAGCGACCAGTCCAAGAACCCGCTGCAGTGTATAGCTTGTGCGAATCGATTGTGTGCGACGGCGCACCGCGACGGCTTGATCAAGGTCTGGCGCGGGTTGGATGACGTGGAACGAGTTGGACAAGGACACGGCTTCCACACGTATTCACAACACCACTGGCACGCGTCGGCCTGTTCTTCCGTTTGTTTGCTCCCGGAGACGATGCTGTCCGGTGGTAGGGAGGCCACGTTGGTCGTGTGGCGTTTAGGCAGGGAGGACGGCGAGCGGCGGCGCGACTTCCTCCCTAGGTTAGGTGGGCCCGTCGCCAGGGTCGTCAGTGCGTCATCAGCAGAAGAGGACCGGTGCCTCGTGAGTTGCGTGGACGGCGCGCTGCATTTGTGTCGCGTGGGCGAAGGTAGGTTAGCGGTGCTGTGGACGTCGTCGTCGCTGCACTGCCCCCTTTCAACAGTACTATTCCCCTCTGGAACAGGAGTCGCCTCGAACGGCTTGCCCGGCTCATTACAAGTATACGATGGGAGTAGAGTATCAGATACCATAAGTGTGGTACCGCACAATAGGACGAATGTCAAGGAGCGCGTCGGCGACGATCCGATCTTGTCGCCCGTCGTGACACTGTGTGCTTTCTCTAGAGATGCACAACACTTGGTCACGTGCGACGAGTGGCGGCCGAAGGCGACGCCGTCCCCTGAACTCAAATTTTGGAGTAGAAAACAATCAGGGTGGACCTGCGCCGCTTTGGTACGACACCCGCACGGCCGCGGTGTTGGTGTGGACTGCGTGGCCTTCCACCCGTCCTTAGTCGTCGCGGCGTCGTCCGGTTCGGAAGGCATCCGCACCTGGGGCATGAGCCAGAAGGGCTGGGTGTGTTTAGGAAGGGCGTCTCATGACTTGGCACCACCGCAACAACTCGCCTTTTCCGAAGACGTCCTCGCGGCGCACCACGCCGGTTGTGTCACGTTGTGGAACGCGTCCTCACTCATATTATTGGAGACGCACGGCGCGTTTGATGAAAAACGGACGCCTCTGGCTGTCGGTTTTGTCGACAATGGTAACGCACTGGGCGCCGTGGACGCGAAGGGGTTGTATGTCGCGGGCCTCTACTCCGAGGCCGCGTGGAGCATCGACGAGAGGTGCACGGCGGGAGCTGTAGTATCGGATTGTATTATTGCGGCGACGCGGCACGCCGTGCAGGTGTTCAGAGCGGACGCCGACGCGTGTGTCTTCGCCTGGGCCGTCGAGGAGGTCACGCTCCTCGCGGCGCCCTCTCCACAAAACGTCTTCGTGCGCACGGCGGGGCGGTACCTCCACCTCTCGCAAGCATCAGCGATTGAGGAACCGGCGGCGCTGGGCGCCGCGCCGCGGGCGGCGCCCCTGGTCGTCGTCCGCGCGCCGTCTTCAGCAAAGCGGAAGCGGCCCTACGCGTTCGGCGACCTGCTGGCCGCGGACCCGCGGCTCGTTGATTTAATTGAGTTGGGGACGGCGGCGGACGTGTGCGACGCGGTGCTGGACGCGGGGCTTAAGTGATTAGTTAGCTACACATTTAGTCAGCGGCGTCGTCGACAAGGACGTCTTCGTCCGCTTCCACCGCGTCCTCGGAGGAGGCGTCGTCGCCGCCGGAGCGCCGCCGTAGAATGAAGGGCGCCCCATTTCGCATCCCACCCGTGGCCGCCATGGATCCGATGCCGAGCAACACTCCGGGCTCGAGCTCACGCAATTCGTCGCGCATGCGTAGGACGGTGCCGAAGAGCCGGTCCGGCGTCGGGGCCGCTGCGTAGTTCAGTACGAGCGCCTCCTCACCGTCGCGCCGCGACGTCGATATCGACCACGAGAAATCGCGGCCGAGGGCCTCGTCGTCGTCGCTGCGGCGAAAGCGATTCGTTCCGACGTCGCCGCGCTGGTCGAAGCGCTTGCCGAGCCACTTGCGCTCCGCACCTTTCACCGGGAATAGGCGGTGCGTGACTATGCTTCCTGCCGGCGCGAGCGCCCCCAGGAAGAGAAGTTCACCGTCCCAGACCGATCCCGGCAGCGTACTCGCCTCGGGCGCTATAGAGGCCCGCCAAGCCGCGTAAAAGTCGGCCTTTGACGCGTAGGGCGGTGCAGTGGCCAGGGGCGGCTTCGAGCCGTCCTGGAGCGCGTTCGCCACCGACAGGCCTCCAACAACCCCCAGGAGGCCGTAGCCGACCGCCCTACCAGGAACAGAGCGGGATGGCGGGCGCCGCGGTGCTGTTGAGCGCGCCGGCGCCGCGATAAAGGCCGCGCTGCTGCGCGGGGCCAAGCCCCGCGGCGCCGGGGCGAACGTCGCCTTTGCCACGACGCGGCCCAATATGTTGGGGCAGGCCTCGGCGCAGAGCGCGTAAGCCTTGTTCGCGAGCCCTGGGACAATTTCCCGTCGCTTCCGAGCCGCCGCGCGGTGCGCGGCGCGCGCGACGGCGTCCGGCGCCGACACGACGCCCAGGGCGCGGCCTCCCGGCACGCTGAAGACCAGGCTTCGTTCCATGTCCGCCGCCCTCGCGAAGGCCGTGTCGACGGCGCCGGGCAGCACGGTAGTCACGGACACCTTCTGCGACTTGAGCTCGTCATGCAGCGCGTTGCCGAAGGACCTTAAATAAGCTTTAGAAGCGGCGTAGGCCGCGGCGCCCGCGCAGCCGTGCGCCGGGACGCCCACGAGCGACGACGTGAGCACGACGCGGCCGCCGCCCGCTTCGGCCATGTCGCGCCCGAAGCGCCGACAAAGATCGGTGGATGCGCGCACGTTCAGAGCGAGCATCTTATCGACGGCGTCATCGCCTATAAACGGCTGAACCCTCGCAACGCCGGCATTGACGAATAGTAGGCGCACGTCGAGGCCCTTGCAGGCCTCGTGGAGCCGCCTCGCTCCTCGCGGCAACGACAAATCCTCGACGACCATCTTCGTGCTGCGTCCTGTTTGTGCTTCGATGGCCTTCTTGAGACGATGCAGCGCTCGTCGGCGGCGGCCGTGCAGCACGACGTCGTAGCCGCGTTGCGCCGCCTGCAGGGCCAGCTGCTCGCCGATGCCCGACGACGCGCCGGTCACGACGGCCCAGTCAGCGCTCGCGCAGCGCACAAGGAGGAGTAGCGTGAGCATCATTATCCTTCGCTGGCAAAGTACTTGAAGAGCGAGAAGGAGCCGTAGACCGAGACGACGCCTCCGAACAGTGGTAACCGAAAGCGCGCCGGGCAGCGCGGCACGACGACGAGCAGCGTCGGGATTACGAACAACGGCGCGAACGCGGTATACGTGATCTTCCCGTTGTAGTCCTGCATGCAGTTTGCGCAGCACGCGCGCGGTGCAGCACTTGGTTTTGTGGCGACGGAGGCGAGTTGGCGCTCCGGAGACTGAAACTCACAACAAAGGGTGGCTATTGTCAAGCGTGAGAGCACGCCGTGAGGATGTCTGCGATAGCTGTGCCCATGCCAAGAGACCGTGCCAAAGCTCGCTAGTGTCTTACATACCGCTAGCTAAAGCCGCGGCCGCAAAAGAGCCTAAAAAGCTCGTACGCGCGGCACATGCATGAATAACTGAGCCCATGCGACCGCTGCTCGCAGCCCTAACAACGCTGGCCGCCAGCGCCCTGCGCGAGCAGTGGGACGACCTCCGCTGGCTCGGCGGCGGCCTCCGCAGCACGAGTTGCGCGACGCAGCCATGGCTTCGAAAGCTAAACGCGACGCAGCACGCCATGCACGACGGAGCGGTGGCGCCGCGCTTCGTCGTCGTCAAGCCGCACGGCCGCGCGGGCCTCGGCAACCGGCTGCGCTCCGTGCGGGCGGGCCTGACGCTCGCCGCGCTGACGAAGCGTTCATTGCTCCTTGATTATGGAGAGAGTCAAGCCGAGCTCGCTTTCTTAAAGCCGGCGTTGATACGGTGGGATCGCCTCGACCTGCTGGAGCGAACGCCTGGAAAGCGCCGCCCCCTCGCGAACAATGCCCGCGGCATGAACCTGCGGAACGTGCTCGACGACGCGAGCGTCGCTCTTGTGGTAAGCGGCTGGAACCACGACCCGTCCGTGCGCTGGCGCGAGAACCCGAAGCTGCGAGACGTCGTGAACGAGGCGGGCCTTGGCAACGACGCGGACGTCGCGTCGTGCGGGCTAAGGGCGCTCTTCGCGCCGTCGGGCCAGCTGAGGGTGGCCCTGGCGGACGCGAGGCGGCGGGCGTTCGACCGTCCGGTGTTTAGTATCGCGAGCGCGAGCCACGGTGCATGAATCAAAAGCTTTCACGGGCACCCGACTCACTGGTTGGTTTGTGCACAGGCGATCCACCTGCGGACGAACATTGAGTACGAGGCGCAGTACCTCCAACGGCACAAGCGCGCTCGGCACTGCACGGATTTAGCATGTTGGGCGCGCGTCTCGGATATTTTTGTGGCGTGCGCGCGCGGGCTGGGCGAGACGAGCTCAATACTCGTCACGGCCGACGATACAACCGTTGTCGAGGCCGCAGCGCGACATGCGAAGATGCACTTCGCGTCGGTCGGATCGCCGCCACAAGACCACCTGCACCACAGCGGTCTTACACGGCCGGCGAAGCAGCTGGAGACGGAGCGAGACAAGGGCGTGAGCTTCGGCCACGGCGGTGCGCTCGGCCCGCTCGTGGACCTCCTGCTGCTGGCTTCTGCGCATACGTTTGTCGGGACGGCCGGCTCGAGCTTTTCCGAGCAAGCTCTAGCGTGGGGCGGCCTCGAACGACCTGTCAAACTCTTCGTGACGCCCTACGCCAAGAGCTTCATCGGGAATCATGTGGGCGGGAGCGGCGACGTGGCGTCGGAGTTGCCTGAAACGGCGGAGGCGGCGTACGCGCTGTGCAGGGGTCGCGTCGACGGCGCAACGGCGTCGCCGGCACGCCGCGACCGTCGCGTCGACGGCGTGGCGGACGGTGCGGAGGATGTGTGTTCCTTGCACGCGGCCACGGGTATGTGCAAGGCACACATGCCGAGCTGGTTCCACAACGCCGTGACGCACCGGTGCGAGGAGTTTATTTATGGTGGGTGTGGCGGCACCGCGAACCGGTTCGCGTCGCGGGCGGCGTGCGAAAGGGCGTGTCCTCCGCCCGCCGGAAGGGACGAGTTCGCCGCGCAGAAGGCGCTGATGCAGGACTTCCTAGCCGGGCGCGTCAAGGAGCTCGTCCTCGCGGAAGACGAGCAGCAACCTCGCCGGAGGCGGCGCCGGGGAGGAAGACGGCCGAATATGATGTGAGTGTGTTCTAAGTTGTGGTGAATTAATACCCGTCGTCCGGCAACCCGCACTCGCGCCGGATCGCGTGCCACGCGCCGTGCGAGAGCGGGTACTCGCCCGCGCCCGGGTCGCCCGGCTCCCAGGGCTTTCCGCCGACGAGGTGCAGGACGAAGACGTCCTGGATGCGGAACGACTTTCCGAGCTTCTTCTCGCGGCGCTTGAGGACGTTGTAGGCGTGCGGGAGCAACAGGAAGCCCTCATTTTCGCGGAAGAACTGCTGGAGGAAGCCCTGGTCGGAGCCGGCCGCGGCGTGGCCGGTCGTGAGCTCGAAGCGCTTCAGGCGCGCGAGGAGCCTGGCGAATCGTTCGGCACTCGGCGCCACGGACAGGACGCCCGTGTTAAACTTCGCGACCGGGTCGTCCCGGAGGCGATTGCCGTGGTCGGGCGCGGCCGCGCACCACCTCGCGCGGTCGAGCAGAAAGAGCGCCGCGACGTCGCGGAGCACGACCGCGTCGGCGTCCACGAAGACGACTCGCTCGTAGGCCGTCAGATTGAAGACGTGGAGCTTCGCGTAGGTGTGCCGGAAGCGCTCCGAGCCCTCGAAGGTCGGGCCCGCGACGTCCGCGACGGGTTTGACGACGACGGCGCCGCCGTACGGTATTCCTTCGATTCGCTTTCGGATCGCTTGGACGTCAAGGTCCCCCGCGACCATCGCGACAAAATCAGGCTCGCCCACGGCCACCGCCCAGGCGTTGTGCATTTTTTCCGCCTTTTTTTGGGCGCGCGTGATCGAGCATAATAAAGTTTTGGCGCGTTTCGCCGTGCTGCCGCTTCTCCTCGGCCGTCGTGACGCGGCGCTTCGGCGTCCAGCCCGGGAAGCTGCGGACGTGCTTCGAGAAGGCCGACCAGCACGGCTGCGTCAGGTGCGTCGACGGCTTCAGGAGCTGGACGACGATGGTGTCCTTCGTGGCGCTCGCTTCTGTCTCGGCGCGGATCTTGTTGAACGCCTCCTTGGCCGCGTCCTCTCGCCGCTGGGCCGCTGCCGACTTCTCCGCAAAGCCACTGCGGTCGATTCTGTCATCGAAGCACCCAAAGCCGTAGCCAAAGCCGCTGTGAAACATGCTGAAACCCACAAATGCCACGGGGGGGCAGCGCCTATGTGAGCAGGCAGAATGAAATCAAATGTGAGCGCGAGACTCCGTGCGGGTCGGATGGTGAGGATAGGGTAAGAGCCTGGAGTGGGGTTTTCAACACACAGTTCATCTTAACACCCCGCGACCCCGCAGTCGCAGCCGCCACAGCCGCCCGCGAACCCATTGCTCCGCGCGGCGTCGACCATGGCCGCGATTTGCTCGGGAGTCATGTTCGAAGTCAGGGCGCGCGACCGGCGGATCGCCTGGCGGTTCGCCTTCGACGCAAATCCGCCCACGATTGCTACGGGCGAATTCGCCGCGGCACTCGTAATGGCCCGGCGATTCTTTTTGGAAGCGAAGCCCCCGACGGTCGCCACGGGCTCCGGCGAGGTGACCACGGCACGCGCGCCCGCTCGCGGCGCTGTCGCCGCGGCGCCAGCGTAAGGCGAGGCCGCGGCTCCGGCGCGCACACCGCCGACCACCGCCGCCGCCGCGCGTAGGTGTGGCACGACCGCGCGTTTCGGCAGCGCCGGCCGCCGCGGCGGCGCCGGCCGCGCCCACGTCGTCTCGCCCGTCGTCGCGTTCTCGTAGTAGGGGAACCCGCTCTCTTCGTCCGTGCTCTCGAGCCAGCCGGCCGGCAGCGGCGGCGGCGGCCGCACGGCCGCCGCGGATACCGCGTCGACGGTGCCATAGCCCATCCACCGCACGCGCACGTCGCTGCCGTTCGTCGCGCTGCCGACGACGACCACAGCATCGTACCACTGGAGTTTGCCGGAGCCGTCGTTGTAGCGCGCCTGGACGCGGGTGCCAGGCTTCAGCCGCGCCTGGAAGAGGGCGGCGGCCGCCCGCGCGTCGGCAGTAGTAGCCATGCTCCGTGAGAGGCAGGGAGGGGGCTCAGTGCGGAGTCCGGTCTCGTCGCCGTTCCGGCGCGAATGCTGGGAAAGGAGTCATGGATTGTATATTGTGATGCGTCACTCCCGGACGATCACAGTCCTCGCTGGGCAGCCGATTGGGAGGCGCTGCCACTCTGCGGCGCTCTGCGGCACAGGCACCCGGGCACCCTCGGAAGCGTCTGCAAGCCTCCGAGCACGGCCGGGAGACGTGTCGATCGCGAGAGGCAGGAGGGCTCTGGGCCCGGAGTCTCCTCGGAACCAACCAGCAGACGAAAAAGTCCATCACCGGCTCCGGAGGCGTCCGCGAACCGCCGTGCGCCCCGGCCGGACGCACACCATCGATCTGATGCCAGAACCTCAAGTTGGGGCTCAAGTTCGCATCAGCCTCGATTTCTACCTACTAGGACCTGGGTGAGCTTTGCGCTTGCGAGCGCCCGCAATCCAGCGTAGGCAGCCCCGTCCCGCCCCGCGGAGCCCCGGCGCCCGCGGAAGCCCCGCTCGCCGCCACCGCGCCCCCGGCGCCCAAAGGCGCGCCGGCCCGCGGCCGTGCGAAGGGCGAGGCAGCCCCGAAGCCGCCGCCGCGTGTTCCCGGCGCCCGAAGGCGCGGTCCGCAGCCGCGCGAAGGGCAAGGCAGCCCCGAAGCCGCCGCCGCGTGTTCCCGGCGCCCGAAGGCGCGCGGGCCCGCAGCCGCGCGAAGGGCGAGGCAGCCCCGAGGCGTCGGTGGTGCCACACCCATACTAATAAACGGCATGTACGCCCGCGAGTTCGTCCCGGGCCAGGGCCTCTGGGGCGACGCGCCCAAGAACGAGGACGCGCCTGCGCCTGCTTTACCGCCGGGCGTGGCGGGCGGCGCCTTCTCGAGCTTCCCCCCGCCCAAGGACGCGCCCGGCCCCGACAAGGAGTGGAAGCCCTCGGCCGACCCGACGCTCGCCGTCGGCGGCCCGCCGCCCATGGGCAGTCAACCGAACCAATGGATCGGCCCCAACCAGGTGCCCGACGCCCAAGCCTTGGGCCCGGGGCCGCCGCCGGGCGGCGCGGGCTGCGTCCTGTTCTGGGATTTAGCTGGGTGCCGGCCGGGCGGCACGGACGCGGGCAAGGGCGTGAAACAATCTGTTAGATCGTTGTACGGCGACGTGAGAAGTGCGCGGGCCTATGGGGACGTTGCGGCGCTGCCGGCCATCACGAGAGCCGGCCTCCAAGCTGCTGGTGTGCTATTGATCGACACGGGCCCGGCGGGCATGACGGACCGCTCGCCTATTATTGTCGACCTCTTCGACTACGCTTTAGATCATGCCACGAACCGCAAGGACGAGAAGGCTCCGATCTTAGTCGTTGCTCTAGGCGGCGCGCCCCGGGAGCAGTTCGGTTTAGCCTTCGCGCGCCTGGCGGAGCGGGGCTTCAAGCTCGCGTTGATAAGACCGCGCGACTCGCCGTGCGCGAGGTACGACGGCGGCTGCATCGGCGTCCACGACTGGGCCTCCGTAAGACCGGGCGACGATAATGATATCGTCGCCATGTGCTTCAAGTGCGGCTGGCGCAACTGCCGGAGGGTCCACCCGCGGCGCTGCTCTGCTTTAGTTTGTTGCGCGTTGTGCGGCCAGACGTCGCACGACACGCGCTACCACACGGAGTTCCAGCAGTACGTCTCTCGAAGAGCGAATGAGACGACGCAGCGCCAGGTCGAGGCCGCCGCGGCCCAAGGTTTGACCATTCCGCACTACAACGCGCCGCGCCTCACGGCCATCCCGCCGGCGTTCCCGAACCAGTACCCCGGGCAGATGCCGTCGCCGGGTCTAGCTGCTTTACAGCACGCCATGCGCCAGCAGGGCGGGCCGCCGCCGCCGCGGCCGCCCTACCCCGGCCAGCCCGGCAGCCCGCCGCGGCCCTTCGCGCCGATGAACGCGATGGGCGCGATGATGGGGACCCTCGACCTCTCGGGCGGCGCGCCGCCCTGGCAGCCCGGCGCGCCGCCGCCCGTGCCGCCGCTGTCGCCGCCGGCCCTGCTGCAGCCCCAGGCCTTCCCGCCGGCGCCCTCGGCGCCGCCGCCGGCCGTGCCGCCGCCCGCGCCGGCGGCCGCGCCGCCGCCCGCGGAGAAGCCGGTCCCCGCGCCCAAGGAGCCGCCCACGACGGTGTCGCCGCCGACGCCGCCGCCGCCGGGCTTGGAACCGCCGCCCGCGGAGCCGGCCGAGGACCCCGTCGACCTGAGCCGCCTCCACTACGGCGTCGAGGACTACGTCAAGATGGGCGTGCCCGAGGAGGACGCGCGCGCCATCCTGCGCGCCGTCAACAAGCTCGCCAAGGACCGCGACGCGGCCCAGGGCCCGCCCGATGCTGCTCCCGCCGCCGACGCCGCGGCGGCCGTCTGAATTTTTCAGAACCAATTCCCTTCCCCTTCGAATGACATCCCCCGCTGAGACCCCAAGCTCTCTACGTGCTGATGCCGCGCCCCCGCCCCGAGCTCACCGACGGGCGGCGGCGCGGCGCCGACCTACCACGGCGCCTTTCGGCAACCATCGCAATCCCCCTTTTTGGAAAAAAACATCCCCGACCAACGACCACCCCGCAACAGCTGCCTATCCAGAGAGTTGTATAGTGCAAATAAGATCATTGTGGTTTTCTAAACTTGAGAGGAATTTACACAGCTAGGCGAGGCCCCGCCGCTCCCACCACCACGACTGGTCTGGTGAGGGCGCCTCGGCGGCGTGGAGCCCGCGCGGCGACGAGGGCGGCCACCACGCCGGCTGCGCGTGCTTTAACTGGGGCGGCGGCGGCGGCTCGTCGAGCTTCTTCGGGGGAAAGAGCCAGCGCCGCGTCCGCGCCGCGCGGTCGCCGACCGCGACGACGGCCTCGTCCAGCGCCTGCGTCGTCGCGGGGAAGAGGGGCGCGTAGTCGTCCTCCTCGACCTCGTCGTCGGCGTGGACCTCGGGCGTCGACTCGTGGCGCCGGTGCGCGGCCGGCGCGAGGTTGATCGACTGGCCCGCGGCGTCGAGGGCGTCGGCGCCGGCGCGGCTCAGGCCCTCGGTCGTCGCCGTGAGCCAGTCCCTCTGCTTGTCCACCCTGTCCTGGGAGACGACGCGTTTTAAGGTGGGGTCGTAGGCGTACTCTTGCGAAGGCATGCTGCGCACAGCCTTGGGGCAGCCTCCGGCAGCCCGGATTGCAACCCAGACGCGCGGAACCCGCGCCGCCGCCCTTCCCGGAGTGACCGAAGCCAAGTCCTTCCTCTCCCGCGCTCCTGGAGATCGCGAGGATGGGGCACGCCTCCTCGACTCGTCGCCCTGGGCCGCCGACCGACTTGTGTAGTGGTGCCAGCGATCCGAAAATCGAGTCTAGTGTCTATCATCTAGGTTCTTCGCCCCGTCGCGCGATTTCGAGCGCGCTATATCGACGCGCGCTGGAATAGCTCGGCGCAAAGGCTAGCTCGTACATCAATCCTGAGTTGCGGACAGCGCGTGCGTGCGCCAGGGTCCAGCAGCTCTCAAGGCGAGGGTTTCTCCAAGACAGGGGCCCCAGGGAGGGCTTCCCAGAGCACATCAGACAAGGATGCAGCAGCCTCCTGGGGGAGGCGGGGCGGGCGGGGCGTCCCAGGGCGGGGCGTCGGGGCAGTACGGACCGGGCGGGGCGCCGGGACAATACGGCCAGGGCGGCGGGGCGCCGCAGTATGGGTACGGGGCGCCCGCGGGGGCTTACGGACAACCGCAGGGATATGGCTACGGCATGCCGCCGATGCAGGTGGGCCAGTACGGCCCGCCGATGGGCTACGGCTACGCGCCCATGGGCTACCCGCCGCCGATGTACGGCATGCAGCCCGCCTGGCCGCGGCCCAACAACCGCTTCAGCGGGCCCTCGACGAACCAGCAGTTCGGCATGCCGACGGGCGTCAACCCCATGCAGGGCGGCGCCGGCGGCAACACGAGCCTCATGCCCGGCGACTGGATCTGCGACGTGTGCGAGAACAACAACTTTGCCAGAAGGCGCGAGTGCCGGCGGTGCGGCACGCCGCGGTCGACGACGTCGACGACGATCGACGAGCGGAGCCAGGGCCAGTGGGTGCCGCGCGGCCGTCAAAGTGCGGGCGCGGCGCCGGCGCTGACGCCCCTGGCGCTGCCGCCGGGCGCCGCGGCGCCGCCGGGCGGGAACCTCGTGATCTCCGCGGCGCCGTCCGGACCTGTTGCTGGAGGCGCCGCGGCGTACGTGCCCGGCGACTGGCTCTGCGCGAGCTGCGGCAACCACAACTTCCAGTGGCGCACGGAGTGCAAGCGCTGCAACGCGCCGCGGACGGCCGACGCCCAGACGATCGGCAAGGACTCGACGATCAGCGCGCCGGCGCCCGCGCCGTCCGCGCCGACGTTCGTGCCCGCGGCGGCTCCGGCGCCCGCGGCGCCGGCGCCGGCCGCCGCGCCCGCGCCGGCGGCCGAGGCCCCGTCCACGAAGGAGGCCCTCCTCGCGGCGCTCGCGGCGAAGAAGCCGGCGCCGCTGGACAGCCTCCAGTCGCTGCCCCCGCCGCCCGGCAAGGAGCCCTCGCTGCTCACGCCGGCCAAGGTCAAGGCCGCGTCCAACGACGACTCGAGCAGCCGCTCGCCGTCGCGCTCTCGTTCTCGTTCGCGGTCGCGGTCGCGCAGCCGCGAGCGCAAGTGAGCTCACTTCTACTAACTATGCTCTTCTTTTCCAAGTTCCTTGTGTCCGAGTCGCCGCGAAGACTACTAGATTTTCGTGTTTCTTATGAACTTGGGGCGGGGCTTCACAAAATCCAGGGAATGGGTCTCTCTCTGGGGACAGGGGACATGGGGTGGCAGCTCCCTAGCCGCCGGCCGTGGACGTGGTCCGGACCAGGTAGGTCAGCTCGCCCATGGCGTGGTCGACGTGGACGACCGAGCCTCTCGGGACGCCTCCGCCGAGGAGCAGGCGCGACAATTCCGTGACCAAAACGGTCTCGACATATCTCTCGACGGGCCGCGCGCCGTAGGCCGGGTCGTAGCTCTCTCTCAGGATGTGGTCCGCCGCAGTATCACTGAGGCGTAGGTCGGCGTCCGCCGCCGCCGCGAGCCGCGCCCGCGTTGCACGTACGGCTTTGTGCACAATGAGCCTCAGGTTCGCCTTCGACAGAGACGTGAACGAACAAACGGAGGACAGCCTATTGATGAATTCCGGCGGGAAGGCAGCTCGCAACGCGTTCTGGAGGTCGCCGGTAGCTCCAACATTACTAGTCATAATAACGACGCACTGGGTGAAGTCCACGACGCGGCCGCGCGAGTCCGTCAGCCTACCGTCGTCGAGCAACTGTAACAACACCCTAATAACGGCAGAGTGGGCCTTCTCGATCTCGTCCAGCAGCACGACGCAGAAGGGCCGCTTGCGCACGGCCTCCGTGAGCTGCCCGCCCTTGTCGTGGCCCACGTATCCGGGAGGAGCCCCGACTAAGCGGCTGACGGAGTGCGCCTCCGAGTACTCGCTCATGTCGAGCCGCACCAAAGCATGCTTCGGGTCATCAAACAGCTCCGACGCCAGGGCCTTGGCCGTTTCCGTTTTTCCTACTCCGGTCGGCCCGCAAAACAGAAACGAGCCCAGCGGAGCGTCGGGCCGTGCTAAACCAGCCCGGGCGCGCACGATCGCCGCGGACACGTCTTCCAATGCTTTGTCCTGGCCCACGACCCGTTCCTTCAGGCGATGCGCCAAAGCGAGTAGCTTGGACCGCTCGCTCTCGGCTAATTTAGAAACGGGCACGCCTGTCCAGCGCGCGACCACGGCCGCGACGTCATCCACAGTAACAACATCTGACACCATCTTGTCCTCGGAGTCGACGTCCATGGCGTTCTCGGCGAGCTGTTGTAATTTTTTCTCGAGCTCGGGGATCGCGCCGTACTCCAAGTCGGCGAGCCGTTCGTAGTCGCCTTGTCTACGCGCCGCCGCGGCCTTCGCCTTGAGGCGCTCGAGCTTTTCTTGCGCGTCCTTGTGTTCATCAGCTTTGGCGCGCTCCGCGTCCCAGCGCGCCTGTAAGGGTGCAATTTCCACGTCTCTCAGATTCTCGAGGAGCTGTTGCACCTCCGACAGGCGCTTCTTCGACGCCTTATCTTTCTCGCGCTTCAGCGACACGGCCTCGACTTCTAAAGCGGCAGCGCGTCTTTCAAGCGCGTCGAGCTCCTCGGGCTTCGAGTCGAGCTGGACGCGCCGCGCGGCCGCGGCCTCGTCGACGACGTCAATTGCCTTATCAGGCAGGAAGCGGCCCGTGATGTAGCGGCCCGCAAGTTGGGCGGCGGACACAAGAGCAGCGTCGTGAATGGACACGCCGTGGTGCGCCTCGTAGCGCTCCCGGAGGCCTCTCAAAATCGACACCGTCGCGTCGACCGACGGTTCGCCGACGGACACCTTCTGGAAGCGCCTTTCAAAGGCCGAGTCCTTCTCGACGTGCTCGCGGTACTCGTCGCAGGTCGTCGCGCCCACGACGCGCAGCTCACCTCTGGCCAAGAGTGGCTTCAATAAGTTCGCGGCGTCCATGGCGCCGTCGGTCTTTCCAGCGCCGAGCACCGTGTGAATTTCATCAATAAACAGAATGACGCCCGGCGCCGGCGCGGCCTTCACTTCCGCGAGCACGGACTTTAACCTCTCTTCGAACTCGCCTCTATATTTAGCTCCAGCCACGAGCGCGCCGAGGTCCAGCGTCCGCAGGCCGACGCCTCTGAGGCTCTCGGGCACGTCGTCCTCGACGATGCGCAAAGCCAGCCCTTCGGCGATGGCCGTCTTGCCGACGCCCGGCTCGCCCACGAGGCATGGGTTATTTTTAGTTCTTCGCGCCAGAATCTGGACCGCGCGGCGGATCTCGTCGTCCCGCCCCACGACGGGATCGATCTTGCCGTCGGCCGCCGCCGCAACGAGGTCGTAGCCGTACTTCTCCAAGGCATCAAACGACGACTCGGCGTGCTCGGAGTCGACCTTGCGGCCGCAGCGCATCGCCTTGATCGCTTCGCGCATCGCGGCGACGTCGCCTACTGCTTGTTTCACTTTTCTGTCGTCGAAGAGCGCCAGCGCGAGCGTGTCTTGCGCAATCAAGGTGTCGCCTTGTTTTTCAGCTATTTTAGCTGCGCTCTCCAGCGCCTTGCGCAAATCGGTGGACGGCGATGCCGAGGGCGGCCGCGGCGACTGCGCCGGCCGCGCGTCGACGGCCGCGGCCAAGCGGTCGCGCAGCGCGGCCGCGTCGACGCCGGCCTTCTTCGCGACGCGGTCGCCCAGCTCGCCGCTGGCGAATAGTTTCGCCGCGACGTGCGCCGGCTCGACGAGGGCGTGGCCTTTGCTCGTCGCGAGCTCTACGGCGGCGTTCAGCGTCTTCGACGTGGCTTCGGTGAAGTTGTTTGCGGCCATTTCTTATCCTCTTGAGTAGTTTTTGTTGTGCTTCTTGCTGTTTGTGGTGCTGCGCGTGTGCTCGCAGCAATGTACTGTTGTGAGAGCTCGCAGCCAAATTTTTTGTCGCGAGCGTACGCGTGGCCCGCAGCGATAGTCCTCGCTGCAATGTTGTTGGTCGTGTAACGCGAAGGCGTGCGACGTTCAAATGCAGCGATGCGATGTGCTTCACTTGTTTGGGTAATGCTCTTGCTTCAGCTAGGTTCGAGCTCTAGAGTTTGGAGAAATCTTATCGAACTCCAAAGAACACCCCTATTTTGAACATGAAACAACTTCCCCAAACGGGCCACAATAGCCCCCTTGTACCGAAACAGGACCCCGTGCCCGCATCCTGGATGCCTGCGGACAGCTGAACGTGGATGGCGGGCACGCGCAGCGACGCGCTAGACCGCGGTAAACCAAAGTGCAACAAACAGCTACTTAAACCGCAACGCCATCGACGCGACGTTGCCCCCGGGCCTGCGCCTGCTCGATGGCGTGGCGGGTGATGCGGGAATCACTCACTCGGCCCGCGCCGCCGCGCCACGAACACCCCCGTCACGCCGAAACTCATCTCCACGAGGATCGGATCCTCCGCCACGCGTTCGAAGGCGTCGTCGTCGCGGAGGAAGTGCTCCGTCATATGGACTACGCGCGCGCCGGGCTTCAAGGAGACGAGCCGCGCGGCGATCGCCCGCAGCGTCCCATCAGAGAGGCAGACGGACGCGATCCACACGATGTCCGCGGCCGCCCAGTCGTCTCTTCGTAGGACGTCGGCGCAGTGCAGCTCGACCGGCGCCATCACCGAACCTGAGAGCTCCCCGTGGCACCGCGCCGCATCAGAATGAAGCGGCGGCGAGACCTCGTAGCCCTTGCACGCGGCGAGCGCGGGCCAACACAACGCAGCGACGAACACCGCCCGCCCCGTGCCCGACCCGAGGTCCACGAAGACCTCGCCCGGCCGCGGCTTCACGACTTCATCCAGCAGGCGGTGGAAGGGCCGGAACAAGACTTCGCCGTACGTCAGCTCCTGGTCCTTTTCCCGTCCCAGGGCGCGCCGGCCCGCGAGCACGAGCGTCGAGGAGACGATCTCTGTCTCAGTCACGGCTTGGTGCCATGCGCGATACGCCTCTCGGAGGTCCGCCGGCATCTGAGACTCCTCCGACTCGTATGCCACGGCCACGGAGAACTGCGTTGCTTCCAACGTCAGTGGTTCAAACTCCACGCCAAGATAGTCCGGCGCGGCCGGGTCGCGGGCATGAGCTGCGCGAAAACTGGCGGTGAGAGTGACGAGTCGCGTCGATGGCGTTTGAAGGGACACCGGCGACGGACCAGCAAACCCGAAGCGCACGAAACAGAAGTCGCTCGCGTGGACCCACCACTGCGGCTCGATCACAACCCGCCAGCCAACAGCTCGTTGACTCGCGGTCCAATCGCATGCATCCGGGCCCGATTTTGACGCGGAGGCGAACAGTCCGCCCGTCGCGACCGCCTCGACGGTCAGCCGGCCGCGGCCGTACCCGCGGACCTTGACGCGCACGACCAGCTCCTTCGTCGCGACCTTGACGCTTTGGCCCGGCGTCAGCTCCACGATCTCTGTCATCACTCGATGGGGCAGCTTGCTGTTCTCCGGCTGGCGGCCATGTCCGACCACGAAAATTTCTGAGGTTGTCGTCAGGGGTATGTACTGGACTTTTGTGGAGTTCTGCTGAACCTAAGCGCTTGGTGGTGTAGCGCTTGGAGCCCAACTCACCGCCTGCCAGACCATCTCCTAGGGGCTTGAGGGCAACGCACTAGCCCCGGTCTTCTCCACAGCCCGTTGCGTACGACTGTAATGCTCCGGGACAGTGTAGACCCCTCGCAGCCCCCGTGCTCCCGTCGCGTTTTTTTTTGCTCTGCATGAGATGGGGAGAGGCTGCCCAAACGCATTGCGGGGCTCGTGCGCGACCGCATCAATTGGGCACGGACTCCAAATGGCTGCAGCGGACGCCGACGACGCGTCCCCTTGTCGCTCGTCGGCAGCCGTAGCGGCAGCACTACGGACGAGAGGCTACTGCTACCTGCAGCTGTCGAGCGCCGAACGACGCGCAACCAAGAAGCTGTTTGATGCCGCCGCCGCGTTCCACGACGCCGACGAAGGCTGGAAGGCCCTCGCCCAGCACCAGCCGACGAAACGCGGCGGCTATTACAAAGCCGGCGAAGAGCCGACCTATGACCAGTCGGACCCAGTCTCGGGCGTGGAAGACTTCTCTGTCGTGTCGACGGGCGACGACCAGATCTGGCCGGAGGGAGAACGAGGCGACGCGCTGCAGGACGCTGCTTTGAGTTACCTGGACGTCGCCGACGCCGCGGGGCAGGTTGTCCGCGATGCGCTCGGCAGCGTCCTGGCGCCGACGAAGAAGCGCCGCCGGCGTGCTGAAGCGCTCGAGGCGACGCCGTCGATGCTGCGACTCCTGCGCTACCCGGTAGCGGGTGGCGACCTCTCTGCGCACAGCGATTTTGAATGTTTCACGTTCGTGCACCAGCGCGTGGCCGGGCTCGAGGTTCAGGTCGACGGCGTCTGGCGGCGTCTGGCGGCTTCGGCCGACGACTCGCATTGTGTCCTTCTCGCGGGCGACGCCGTCGAATATGTGTCGGGCGGTGCCGTGCGCGCGGCGAGGCACCGCGTCCGGTCATCCGCTCCACGCGATTCAATCGTATTGTTCCACGCGGCGGCCGACGACGCCGTCTTGGAGCCGCGCGCCGGCGACCGGTCCGCGTACGACGCCGCGCGTCGAGCGGCGGACGAGCACTTTGGGTCTGCGGCGCCGTTGACGCAGCGGCGGCACGTGCGGTGCCGGGTTGAGAGGGCGGAGAAGAATAAGTGAGGTTGTTGTTGTATTCCTGTACGAATATCTAGCGGTTTGTACCCTACTTTAGGTCATCCTGAATTTATTTTTTTATTATTATTTGCGGGGCAAGCCTCCAAGCGGCGTGATGTGGAGCCCTGCCTCCTCCGTCCTCAATTTCCAAATTTATTATTATTACCAGTAGGGGGGTCGGTAACATAAGTTAGGACCATCGCGTCCCTGGTACCATACTTCAGCTGCGTAGGAGACGTCGCCGCCGCGGCCCCGTAACAACGCGCGGAGTGTGCGAGCCGACGATCGCCGGCCGCCGCACCTCTCCCCTTTAGTCAGCTAACTCCACGCCGCAGCGCAGCCGCCGCCAGCCGGCGCCCGCATAGTTCTAAGGCAATTAGTACAGTCCCCACTGTTTCGCCCCCCGCGGCCATGGGCGACCCCCCAACCACCCCAAGCGGCGAGCGCCCCATCGCCGCCTTCGACCTGGACCACACGATCCTCCACATGCTCGCCGCGAACCATGTGCCCGACGAGGCCAAGGAGCTCAGCGAGGACGTCGTGACGTTCGAAGTCAATGATGTGGAGTATGCGATCTCAGTAAGGGTGGGCACGACGGCGCTCTTCGAGGCACTACGGAAGAAGGGTGTCGATATTGCGGTCGTCACGTGTAATTTGATGGGCGACGAGATCCTGACCGCGTTAGGTGAAAGGTGCGACGTGTTTGAAGATGTGCCCGTGCACGTGATTGAAAGCCGGGAGAAGGGCGCCAAGTGTTTGAAGACGCTAGGTCTCAAAAGAAGTAAAGTGGTGATCTTCGACGACTCGCTGAACGCGTGGGTCCCGGAGGACCAGGAGTTCGTCTTTGAAGCGTTGCGGTATGATGTCCAAGCCCTGGCCGGGTTCCTGAACGAGGACACGGACGAGGGCGACGCCAAGGTCGACACGGAGCTCGGGTACCTTACGTCCATAAGGGAGAGCCTGCTGTCGTTTTTTGATGTGGCCAAGATCGACTTCGACGACGACGCCGCCTCCGACGCGGGGTCCGAGGCCCAGGCGCCGCGGCGGTCCGCGTCGTTCAGCCTGGAGCAGAGCCCCGCGCAGCGGGACCTGAAGCGAGCGCTCTCGGCCGAGGACCCAGGGGGGGCGAAGAAGGCAAAGATACAATCGCTGAGCGACAACAATGTGACGTTAAATAAACCTGTAGCTGTGGGACAGGACTCATCATAGCTGCGGCGCCGCGTCCCCCGGAAGGGGTTCCATCTGTCATGTTGTTGCCACCGCTACGTCATCTTGGTAAAGTAAATGCGTCGCGGGGTATCCTTCACAACCAAGCAAGAGCGCTGGCGTCGTCGGTCCCCCCTCTCGTGCGCGCGCGGCGGCCGGTAACGTGCGCGTACACAACGTGTCCCTCTCCCCCTCTCCTCCCCTTGACTAAGACATTCCCGTACTTCGTGTTGTCTGGGTTTCGCTGCTGCTACGCTAGTCTGCAGGCTCGTTGTGGGGCCCCGGCGACGCCGCGCGACCGGACGCCTGTCGTCGTAGCGGCCTGCGGAGTCGAAGCTGCGCCGCCCGCGGCCTCTTCTGATTCCTCCCTCTCGTCGACGGGCGTTACTGGCTATGTTACTGGCCTCGGCGAGAATTTGCTAAAGTAAATCACGGGTTTTACGCGAGTGGTTAGTCACCCCGCTTTGTCCGCGTTCTCTGCAGCGCGCAGCCACAGAGCTCAGCGCGCATCTATAAAAGGCTCCCTGCAGCCGCCGCTGCAACGCCAGCGCGCCGCCGCAGCGCCACGGCCTAAGGAGGTCCTCCCACCGGGCTCCACGGCCGCGCGCCGCGCGTAACCCGCTCGCGCCCGCGCCGCCGCAAAGATGGTCGCGGGAGAATGTCAAACGAAGAACATGAACGAGTATGATCCGGACGAGCAGGAGGAGACGCCGCCCGAGCTCGACGCCGGCGATATTGAATTGCTGAAGACGTATGGGAATGGCCCTTATACTTTGAAGATTAAGGACTGCGAAGATGAAATAAAAAAGCACGAGAAGAAAGTCAAGGAGTTGATAGGTATCAAAGACAGCGACACGGGCTTATGTATACCGTCGCAGTGGGACTTAGTGGCCGACAAGCAGGCCATCCAGGAAGAACAGCCCTTGCAAGTAGCAAGGTGCACCAAAATAATAGACGAGTCGGGCACGGGCGAGGACTGCAAGTACGTGATCAACGTCAAACAAATTGCCAAATTCGTCGTCGGCTTGGGCGAAAAAGTAGCACCGACGGACGTCGAAGAGGGCATGCGCGTCGGCGTCGACCGCACGAAGTACGCCATCCAGATCCCCTTGCCGCCGAAGATCGATCCCACTGTCAGCTTAATGACCGTCGAAGATAAGCCGGACGTTACTTACGATGAGGTAGGAGGCGCCAAGGACTCGCTGGAGAAGCTCAGGGAAGTGGTAGAATTGCCCCTGTTGCATCCGGAGCGGTTTTTGACGCTGGGGATCGATCCCCCGAAGGGAGTGTTGTTGTACGGCCCGCCGGGCACGGGCAAGACGCTGTCGGCCCGAGCGGTGGCCAACCGGACGGACGCTTGTTTTATCAGAGTTATTGGTTCGGAGCTCGTACAAAAGTACGTCGGCGAAGGCGCGAGGATGGTCCGGGAGCTCTTCACGATGGCGCGGTCGAAGAAGGCCTGCATTATTTTCTTCGACGAGGTCGATGCCATTGGTGGAAGTAGAACGTCGGGCGACGGTGATGGCGGGAGCGACAACGAGGTCCAACGCACGATGTTGCAGATCGTGACGGAGCTGGATGGTTTCGATCCCCGCGGTAATATTAAGGTGCTCATGGCGACCAATAGACCTGATACATTGGACCCAGCTTTATTGCGACCTGGTCGATTAGATCGGAAGGTCGAGTTCGGTTTACCAGATTTAGAGGGCCGGACTCATATATTACGGATCCACGCCAAGACCATGGCGGCGGACCGCGACATCCGCTACGAGCTGCTCGCGCGGCTCTGCCCGAACACGACGGGCGCGGAATTAAGGAGCGTGTGCACGGAGGCGGGCATGTTCGCCATCCGCGGGCGCCGCAAGTCCATCACGGAGAAGGACATGATCGACGCCGTCAACAAGGTCATCAAGGGCTACCAGAAGTTCAGCTCGACGCCCAAGTACCTGACGTACAACTAGTCGTCGCCTTTAACGTTCTGTCTCTTATCTACTCACGGTTTCTAAGGGCGACTCGGACTAGTCCCTGCCCGGCGCGCCGGGCGCGGCGAGTCTTATCTATCACGCTACATATTTCTTAGGGCGACTAGTCCCTGCCCGGCGCGGCGAGCGCGTGCAGGCAGCGCGCCAGCAGCACCCAGCTCTGCGGCGCGTGGATGCCGTCCCCGTCCACGGCCCCGCAGAACGCCTCCGAGATCGCGTCGCCGCGCAGGATGCGGACGCCGGGTAGGCGCCATTTCGGGAACCGCGCGGCGAGGCCGCGCACGTCGGACGGGCACGGGAAGCCGTCCTCGCTCTCGCCGGCGAGGTAGCACGCGTTCAATCGCGTCACGGCCCGAGACGCCACGCCGTTGAGCCAGCGCGTGCCGTAGGCGTCCATGGTGCCGTTCACGCAGAAGTCCTCGACGCCCAGCACGCCCCATTTCTTCGGCGTCACGGACGAAAAGTTGGCCCGGCGCGCTTCGATGCACTCGCGCGCGATCGGCGCGACGGCCAATCGCGGCTCCGCCTCGAGCGAAAGGAGGGCAGCGTTCCAGCGCCCTCGCACGTTCTTCCTACAGACGAAGCTCGTATGTCGCCAGACCAATATGGTGCTCTCCAGCACGCCTCGCTTCAGGGCGTCGCGGAGTATTTTATGGAAGGTGTCAATCAGGTCCCCGACGTAATTCGCATCCTCCGGCTCCAGATCGCGACTCGGCCACGCGTGGAACGCGTGCAACCCGTAGTTGACGACCCAGGCCCGCCGCACGTCCTCCTCGCCGTCCCACACCGGAAAGCCCTGGACGGACTCGTGGTTGAAGGAATCGATCCGGGCGTAGCGGAGCCCTTTGTACGTCGCATCGTCGTAGGCGTTCGACGCCCGGAGCGAACGGAGTATCGAGAGCCGCGGGTTCGGCCCGTTGTGGTACAACGTCGACTTCGGGTCTTCCCACGGCCGCTCGACGACACGTTCCTTCGCCGCCTTCACGAGAGCTTCCAACTCTTTGTTGCGGCCGGTGTCCATCTGACGCAAATGGGTCGCCACCCGGCTGTCGCCCGGGTACATTTGCGCGAGCGCCGCGCGGTTACCGAGCCTCGCGGCGGCGAGGGCGCGCCGGCTCGCCTTCACGACTTGGTCGAGCCAGTATTTTTCTCCTCTCGCGCCAGATGCTGCCAGGATAGCCATGTCCGCGAACGGTTCCTGCATGTTGCGCGTCGTGCTGTCGCCGTGGAAAACGTATGACGTCGCGCTGACCTGGTCTTTCAAAGACCGCGTCGCGGCCGCGGCTTTGCAGGCGCACTTCTTGCCGCGCGGCGGCCGCGCGACGCATCGCACCTCCCCGAATATGTCGCCGAGCGTCTTCAGCCACCCGACGGGCAGCGCCGCCGCCATCAATCCCGAGCACACGACGGCGCTACACGCCGGTAGGTCCGCGGTCTCCTGAGACACGAAGCACTCGCCGCCGCCACTATTTACATATTCTAACTGCTCGTAGAGTTCGCGCCCGGGGCTGCGGGCAGCAGCAGCAGCCACTGCCACTGATGCATACCATAAGAGCTGCCCCAGCATACGATTTATTTTGCGCGGGGGCAGCGTCTTGCAGCTGGTTTGCGCATGCCTAGCCTAGCCTTGCCCCAAAACGCGGATGCGAAAAATGCTTGCTAGTGTCTTTACGCCGCTAGTGCGTAGCTAAACAAGTTGATTGAACGGGCGAACGTTGCACATTGTTCGGGGGGGTTTGCCGAGGCGGTTCTGCTTAGAAGGAGGTACGCTGTTATGAAAGAAGCGGCCCGCGCCCGCCGCCGATGAATCGGCGACGCGCGGTGTCTCCCCCCCAGGGGCTCCGCCCACTAGTCCTAGCACCGTAACATCGATTATAGCTAAAAAACTCTCAGATACAGAAGTTCTCCTCGACGCCGAAGTACCTGACGTACAACTAGCCGCCGTTTAACGTTCTGTCTCTTATCTACTCACGACACATGTTTCTTAGGGCGACTAGTCCCTGCACGACGAGCGCGTGACACAACATGTTAGACAACTAGCTTGCACCTCGGCCGAGGAAGAGCCCTTCCAGGCGCCGGCGGGTCAGCGGCTTATGTTGGAGCGGGCAGCTCAGCTCTTTCTCCTCGGCGCGCTCCCAAAACGCGGGCCAGAAATTCGGGAGAAGGGCCTCCGGCCGGGGGTCCGACGGGAGCGGCGGCCCGTAGCCGATCCGCGTCTCGTCGCGGCGCGCCTCCACCACCAGGCCCCATCCGCTCCGGATTCCGTCAACGGCTTTGATCTTGTGCAAATAGAAGTGCCCGCGGCAGATGGCCTCGTCTGGGGCGTCCTTGGTCCCGAGGTAGTGCTCATTGTCTTCCCTATTGCGCGCGTCCGCCCAGTCGTGAGCTGGTCCGTCCCAGTGTCGCTTCCCCGGGTGGTGCCGCACGGCCTTCCACCAGGGGGCCGCTTCGTCGGCTTTGGTGGGCCGCGGCCACTCCGTGGACACCACGTGGACCGTGCTGTTCTTGAACGCCGGGTCCCGCTCGGTCAGGACAGTGATGAGGCGCGGCAGGAGGGGGCCGAGCATCGGCCAGCCGGATTTGTGTTCCGGATCTTCCGGGTCGCCTCCGGACTCGACCAGCGCCACGCGCCGCAGGAACGGCTTCCAGTTCCGCGCGAGGGACGCGATGACCCTGCGGCTCGCCAGCAAGAACGTGTCGTCGTAGCCGCACTTCCTGGCAAGGCCCAGGGTCCAGACGCCCCCGGGCAGCGCGCGATATATGGTGTCCACGCACAGGAGCGCGTCGAGCTCCGAGCGCACGAGGTACTCGAAGTTCGAGTTCTTCAGACTCCAGCGGAACATCCACAGCACGAAATCGCGCCAGAAGTAGGGGTGTGCCGTCCGGTTCTTGCCCTCCTGCGAGATCGTCGGGTCGTCGAGGTATATGATCGGCGCCAGCTCGCGGGCCCTCCGGGTGCGGTTCGCGCCAAAGGCCGCGTTGGAGGTGAAGAAGCGAAGGTCCGCGACGCCCCGCACCAGCGCCTGCGACGCCGGCAGCATCGTTTCGTCCCACGCCGCCAGAAATTCGTCTTCGTCGTAGCACGCGACGGCGACGAAGAGGCTGCCGTTCAGCGGAGAGGCCGGCTCGTCGTTCACGAAGCCTGGCGCGACGGCCCTCGGCGGCGTGCGCGGCCGCCCGCCTTCGAGGGCTTGGGTCACGACTCTACAAGGGTCACGACGGCTACTACAAGGAGGGGCATCTGAGTCTTTCTCAGGCTCGGCAGCGATTAGCGGCAGTGTCAGCTATAATGTGATTGCAAGGTACATCATAATATTATGGGACTATTCATGGTTTCAAAGCTGCCCGCCGCAGCACCATGAAGAATCGCATCTGTGCGGCAGTGTACACGATTATTTTGCGCGGGGGCAGCGTCTTGCAGCCAGTGTCGAGTGGTTTGCTAGTGTCTTCATGCCGCTAGATGATTATTGACAAAAAAATCAGAACACGCCAAAAACAGCGCATCTGTGCTAATTCGACGCGATCTCGCGTTTTTCTGGCCCTTAGTAACTCCTGTCTCACGCTACGGAGCAATGGCAACTCTCGCACGCGCCGTAAGGGGCCTAGCTCGACCGGCACACAGCCGCCTCTGCACGCGTGCTCTCCCGCTGCGCGTCCAGGCTCTCTCGACGCTATCGCCGCGCACACTGTCGACAGCCGCCGCGGCGATTGACGAGGAAGCCGAGTGGGCGGCCGCCTTCAAAGACGCGACGGACGCGTTCTCGGGCGAAGATGGTCACGAAACTTCGGCTCAGCGCATGCGCGAGCTCGTGAAGAGCGGTTTATTACGCCACACGGATCTAAGAGATCGCCCGGACCGCTTCTTCGAAGCCCATAGATTGCTGGCTCGTAGAGCCGTCTCGGAAGGGCCTGGATTTTGGATTCGTTTTACCGTGCACTACAACCTGTGCTACGGCACGGTCCTCGCCGTAGGGAATGACGACCAGATCGCGGCGTTGGATAATGTTGAGGCAGCCGGTATGCTTGGCTGTTTTGCCCTCACCGAGAAGCGGGCGGGCGTTCAATCAGGCTTAGTTGTCGAGACCACGGCGACCTACGATAACGGAGAGTTCGTGCTCAATTCGCCGAACCAGGGCGCCTTCAAGAACTGGATCTCGCAGGGTCACGTCGCGGACCAGGCGGTCGTGCTGGCCGACTTGACGGTCGGTTCCGAGCGCGTCGGGCCACACGCGTTCCTCGTGGACATGGCCTCGCCTGGCATCAGCACCGGAGACATGGGCGTCAAGACCACGGGTAACGATCTGGACAATGCCTGGATTGCCTTCGACGACGTGCGCGTGCCGCGCTCGGCGCTGCTGGACGCCCACTGCGATGTCTCTGCCGATGGCACCTATGCTCGCACTACCGAAGGCATCGCGCGGTCCGGTGCTGCATTATATCGCTTCGAACACGCCATCGACGCGTCTGCTCGATGGCGTGAGGGTAACACCCGCAGGCGCCTTTCGAGATGATCGGCCAGCGCCTCTACACGGGCCGCGTCGCCGTCGCGCAAGCCGCTCTAGCCTTCCGCCGCCAGGTCTTCGAAGTCACTGAAGCCTACGCTAAGCAAAAGCCGATTCCCGACGTCGCCGGCCGCAAGGGCCGCGTGCTGGCGGACATCCCGCAGCTCCGAGCTTTGTTCGCCGACGCGTCGAAGCGGGCCGACGCGCTCGAGGCGTTCGTGGGGACGTGCGAAGATCGTCTCGCGCCGTTGCTCAAAACGGGCGCGGTGCCCGACGCCGGACTGGCTCTGGCGATCGCCACGGCGAAGGTCCGCGCCGTCGAGGACTCCATCGACGCCTGCTGGCAGCTGAAGCAGGAGGTCGGCTCCTACGCGCTCATGGGCGACTCTGGGTTCAAGCACCTGGACTTCCTGAACTGCTGTAAATTTGCCGAGGGGGACAGCCGCGTGCTCGCCCAGAAGATGGCTCGGGACGTCATGCGCGTCTACGCAAAGACTGGTGACGCGGGTGACGCGGAGTCGACGCGCCTCGCGGCGGACCTCGCCAAGGCGCTCGCGCCGGCCGGCGGCGACAAGGTCGCGACGGCGGATCTCTGGGACGAGAACTTCGAGAAGGTCTACGCGCTCGCGGATGCCGTCATGGACCGCGTCGTCGCCGAGGCGTGAATACATCGCTTCTGTAGGGTTAAGAGGCGCTTGTTTGTACTTCCATGCATACAGACCCATCTGTACGTGCATAAACAGCTCCCCCGATTCAGCAGCTAGCGGTAACACACTAGCAATCATCGGGCCGCTCGCGGGCCGCGCCTTTGTCTTTGTGGGGCAAGCTGCGCCTCAAACGAGCGTCGCTCGTCCATCTGTTTCAAGCGCTGCGAGCGCTGAGCAACGCGCGGGCTCGGCCACGCTCCGCAGCGAGTAGACGACCACTGAGCCTAGCTGAGCTAGCGCGCCGGCGCCGCGTGCCAGCCGCGCCCACAACAGAATGAGCGACGCCGCGGCCCCCGCGCCCGCCGAGGCGCCGTCGACGCCGGCGCCGCCCGACGCCGACGCCGACATGACCGACGCGCCGCCGTCCGAGGCCCCGGCGCCCGCTGCTCCGGAGGAGGAGGTCGACGAGGCCACGCGGGAGCGACTACGAGCCCTCGACGGGTTGAGAGCCAAGATCGCCGAGCACAAGGAGGTCGAAGCCAAGCTCAAGGAGGCGCGCGCTTCCACGAAAGACTTAGTCAAAGAATTTGAAGATACGGAGAACGCCCTCAACGCCCTACAGTCCGTCGGTCAAATTATTGGAGACGTCTTGCGAAGACTCGACGAAGAGCGCTTCATCGTCAAGGCGTCGAGCGGTCCCCGCTACGTGGTAGGCTGTCGGAATAAATTAGACAAAGAGAAGTTGAAGCCTGGTACTCGTGTTACCTTGGACATGACGACGCTCACGATCATGCGCGCTTTACCTCGCGAGGTCGATCCCACGGTCTACCACATGCTCAACGAAGATCCCGGTGGGATAAGTTTCGGGGAGATCGGTGGTCTCGGTGAACAAGTCCGAGAATTGCGGGAAGTCATTGAATTGCCTCTCACAAATCCTGAATTATTTGTTCGAGTCGGCATCAAGCCCCCGAAAGGTGTGTTACTGTATGGCCCGCCCGGCACGGGCAAGACACTACTCGCACGAGCGTTGGCGTCGAACATCAACGCTACTTTCTTGAAGGTGGTAGCTTCCGCGATCGTCGACAAGTACATCGGCGAGTCCGCGAGAGTAGTGAGGGAGATGTTCGGCTTCGCCAAGGACCACCAGCCGTGCGTCATCTTCATGGACGAGGTCGACGCGATCGGTGGCAGTCGTTTTAGTGAAGGTACCTCCGCCGATCGAGAGATCCAGCGGACGTTGATGGAATTGCTCAATCAATTAGATGGGTTTGAGCAGTTGGGCCAGGTGAAAATGGTCATGGCGACGAATCGCCCGGACATCCTGGACCCCGCTTTGCTCAGACCTGGCAGACTAGACCGGAAGATCGAGATCCCGTTGCCGAACGAAGCCGCGCGCTTAGATATCCTCAAGATCCACGCGGGACCCATCACGAAGCGCGGCGAGATCGACTACGAGTCCGTCTGCAAACTGGCCGACGGGTTTAATGGCGCCGACCTCCGAAACGTCTGCACGGAGGCGGGCCTCTTCGCGATTCGGTCCGACCGCGACTATGTCTTGGAGGAGGACTTCATGAAGGCGGCGCGCAAGATCGCCGAGGTGAAGAAGCTCGAGTCCAAGGCGGAGTACGCGAAGCCCTAGGCCCTGGGTAACTTAGACTTATTTGCAGCAGCTGGGGCGCGTCGCGTCGATGGCGTACGGGGGGCACCAGTTGTTCCGGTGGTCGCAGCCGCGGGCGCCGGGCGCTCAAATGCGTCAACTGCGCGACCTTTTCGTCGACGGTGCCGAGGGGCTCGCGGGTAACACAGTGTGGAAGAACACTAGAGTACCTCTCTTAGACCAGAATGACGTACGCGACCATCGTCGCGAGGACGATGCCGCCGACCTTCAGCCCGATCACCAAGTTCCCGCCCATGCTGTCGAGCCGGTCCATCAACTCGCCCTCGGCCGCCTCGACGTCGGCCGCGGCGCTCTCCACATTAATCTCGATGCGCTCGACGGACTCGCCCTGGTCCTTGATGAGGTCCGCGACCCTTCCAAAGATCTGCGACACCTCCTGGACCTGGGCCTCGACGCGCTGCGCCGCGTCGGCGCGCTGCGTCACGTACTGGTCCGGAATTAAAAGATGCTGCTGCCGCGCGCCGGAGACGCCGCCCGAGCCCGGCGTCGTGTCGTCCGGCCGCGGCAGGGCGTCGAAGACGGGCGCGCGGGCGCGCGGCGCCGCCTCGCGGTCGGCGGATTTGCCGAACATCTCGCGCCGCTCGGCGTGCTGCTTCACGGCCTCGGCCCGCGACCGCGTCGCCGCGCGCAGGTCCCGCGAGATTTTGTCGAGGTCCGCCGCGAGCGCCGCCTCGATGGCCGCGCAGTGTTTGTAGGCGAGGGGGCCCTCCCTGCCGGGGCGTGGCCGGTGCGCGTCGAGGTGCCGCCGCCGCGCGTTCGCGAGCGCCGCGGCGGCGCGGCCCAGCCGATCCGACGCCGCGTGCACCAAATGAGCGATCTTCTCGGCGGGGTCCGAAAAGATGGACGCGCCCCGGACCAGCGTCTCGAGCTGCGCGAGGTTCGAGCGCGCCTTCCGCGCGTCGGCCGCGACGTCGGCGCAGGCCGCGGTGAACGCAGCGACGTAGGGCGGCGGCGGCGCCGCTGCCGCGGCGGGCGGCCCGCCGCCGCGCGGCATCGACCGGCAGAGCGCCTTGACGTCGCTTGTGAGGTCGCGCGCCATCGAGGTTTTTAGAGCTATCTAGCCTCTACGCGCGGCGTGGGCCTGCGTTTGTGCGCGGTCGGCGACGCGATCGGAGAGGGGTGCCCCGGCCGCCGCACGGGCGTGCCCCGACCGCTTTATGTCTCCGCCCCGTGAATGCGATCGGCCGCCACGGCAAGTGCCACGGGTGGCGTGCGGCCGTCGAAAGTGAAGATGGGGCGTTGCGTGGTCAGAAGCGACGAGTGGTGTCGTGTATGGCCTCGCGTACGCTGGGGTCGCACGCAAAGCGGCAGCAGCGGTTTTTTGGCTGGGGTGCGATGTGGTGAGCCCTGAGTTTTTAGCGCTGCCAGCGGTGCGTTTGACCGCACTTGTTGCATCAAGTGAGAGATCGATAACTGCGCCCTTGGCTTAGCAGCCGCGTGAAACTGCGCTCGACGAGCTGGCTTGGGCTAGCGTCCAGTAAGACACTAGCAAGCAGAATGGTTTTTGCGGCGGGTCCTTGTGCCGCTGCAGGCAAGTCGTCCTTGGCCCCGCACTCATCAAAATTCGTCGAAAATCATTCCTTTCGTAGCCCCCAGCGAGCGCTGCCGACGCGTGGGCGGTTTTTGCGAGTGCCCGTTCGCGCGACCAAGTTTTGCGTGTTCGGAATTCTTATAATTCCCCCAGCGTCCTCGAAGGACGGGTAAGACGATCAATCGCGCGCAGCGCGAGGCCTCTAGTCGTAGAGGCGGAAGGAGTAGCGCAGGCGCCGGACGTCGCGCTTGACCTCCTCCGAGAAGAGCTGCGGCTTGAGGAGGACCATGTGCTTCATCATGGACGCCCGGACGGCGTCGCTCTGGCCCTGCATGGCGCGGAAGACGAGCGGGCCGTGCTCGCGGTTCTCCCGGCCCTCGAGCGTGACCTTCCAGAGGTTCTCCAGGGCCTCATGCGGTTAGTGGTCGCCTCGCGAGCTTGAGGGATACAGGAGCCGTACGATGCTGCCGCTTTTTGCATCTACCACGCCCGTAGGTGCCGCGGGCGGCTGGCGGCCTCGACCACCACAGATGCAACTGAAATACAATCCACGAACATTAAGGGTGCCCTAGCTGCAAGGCGAACACGTGACCGTTGCACCGGACGTGTCACGGCCGCCGCGTCGTCCCGGCCGAGCGCGGCGCGCTTGTATCGATAGCTGGAAGGCAGTCGGCGCCGCCGCATCACAGTCGCTCCCGCCCACGCCGGCGCCGTCCTACTCTTCCAATACCGTCGGAAGTACCGCTTTTCAGAGTGTTTCCGCGCCAGAACGTCGCGGTCCCTTCGCGTTGGCCTCCCGCGCCATCGACGCGACGTCGTCCCCGTCGCCGCGTCTGGTCGATGGCGTGAGGCAACGCCGTCCCGCACGTCGTCGGCGCGTGCTGAAAAGAGCGTCGCCGGCACGGTAGGTCGCCGAGGGGCTGCTAGGTCGGGAGAACAGATCCCGTACAGTTTCCGCCCCCCGCCGCAGCCAACGTACGTCGCTGACTCCCGCTTTACTGGTCCACGAGGACGCCTTCGACGCGGCAGCGAGTCCCAGAACACGAGTACACGGCGGCGGTCTACAGCTGAGGGCTTCCGGCCCTCGCCTCGATGGTTTCAGTACCGTCCTCTCCTTTAATATCTAGAGATCCACAAGCGTCATGCCCATGGTCTTATAGCTGTTACGAGACGTCGGAGACCCTGCGGGGGAACGTATGTCGGCGACTTTCGCGCGTACTCTATAGGACGCTGCCGTAGTACAAATTCTCGCCGTGCTCGTCTCTCGCGTGGTGATTGCGGGAGGATAAGTCGACGAGATTGACCACATCGCTCACCGTCATGCCACTAGATAAGAGCATGTAGTGTACATCCTCCACGAGCCCGGAGATGTCAGTGAGGGACTGTTCAGCGGCGTCCGCGAGGGGCTGGGGGGCCGCGACGCCCGAACCAGCCCGTCGACGACGCGCGCGCGCGTGACGACGTCGGGCGCGCGCGCCGACGCCGCGGGCTATCGCCGCAATCTTTGTGGCGGCGGCCGCCGCGGCTGCAGCCTCGGCTGGCGTCGCGGTGGCGCTACGGACAGACTCGGGCACAGCGATCGTCGCTTCTTCGACCTGTGAACAAGGGGTTGGTGTTGTACGAGGGACGAGCGCGCGAGACACAGCGTCATGCGGCCACGGCGCCGAAAGGGTGCTGGCCCTCGAGCTCGGGCATGTCCGGGTCTGCTATTCCCATTTTGTGCGGCGCGTCGCTTTGCTCAGCTACTTAGCACGTGACGCGGGGGCGTCGTCGAGCCCGTGCTGCAGGGCTGGTTTTGCTCTCTCTATATCTCGCACTGCTGTCGCCATCAGCAATCGCGCAGAAGCGTTCCAGCAGTAGTTATTCGTGAGATATGCAGCTCGCGGCAGCTCTACCGCGGTGGGAGCACGTCTTTCGATCGTGCGGCTTGCGTTTGTCTGCTGCTCTCCCAGCTTTTTTTCAGCGTGCGGGTCCGCGTCGGACGTCTCCAGCGCTCTCGACCCGTCGCCGCGAAGCCCAAAAACGTCCGCGGCACCAGAGTTGCCTCGTTTTTGTCGGCGCGGCCTCGACGTTCAGCTTTGGCCTCGAGCAATTGCACGTGATTTTATGGGCGCTGGACAATCCTTGAACGACGCGGACGCCGCGGACACCACCACCACCACCGCGCCGCCGCCGCTGCTGCCGCAGGCGGCCAAGAAGACCGCGCCCGAGCCGCAACAGCCGTCGCGCCGCAAGCTGCGCGCCAGCACGCTCGCCGCGCGCTCGGCCGCCTTAGCGAAGTCCCTCGTCAGCCCGCCGCCGCCGCCGCCGCCGCCGCGGCGCGCGCTCAAGAAAAAAGAATCGACGGACGAAACCGTCGAGTCCGCGGCCGATGCCGCCCAGCCCGCGTCGCTGCTGCAGCAGCCGAAGCTCCCGGTGGTGAAGCACCCGCGGCGCACGAAGACCGGATGGAAGCGCGAAACCGGCAAAACGAAGGAGGAGAAGGCGGCGTACCTCTTCTTGAGGGCCTCAGACGACGAGTTCAAGCGCATGTATCGGCTGTACGTCGAGGTCGTCGAGGGCGACCTCACCTTGGACGAGGAGACGAGGCTGCTCGTCGAGGGACTGTTCGGCGCCTTTAAAGAGCTGCACGGGGCGCTGGCCGAGGTCGACGAGGTCCACCCGACGGACGAGCGGCTCGCCAACATCACCAAGTGCGCGTTGCACCTGTCCGAGGCGGCGAAAGCCGTCGCGTCGAACCGCATGACGGGCGGCTACTTCGCGGAGGCCATCTCGGTCCTCTCCGGCGCGTCGCGGCGCGGCTTCTCTCCGAAAGAGGCGCTGGCCGAGTTCGACAAGCACCTCGAGGTGATCACGAAGAAGCGCGAGAATCGCGACGCCTACCTCCTCCAAACGGCGACGGACGGCCGCGGCGGCCGCGACACCAAAGGCAGAGATATTAGGGTGGACGCCGTGACGACTCGAGCGATTCGCGAGGCCGGCGCGGAGCGCCGGCGCGCATTGGCGAACGGGGAGCGCAAGCCGCGGTACGGGTCGTCGGCAACGGAGCCGACGCACACGCGGGCGCACAGGATTGATCTGGCCCATAGGAAAAAGCGGGCGAAGAACCGCAGCCATCGCTTCGCGTGCGCCCAAAACGCCAAGGCCGTCGCCACGCCGCAGTTCTGCAGGCCGCGGGGTGTTCGAGGCGACGGCATGCCGCTCTTCAGTACCGATTCACGTCTCGTGCCGAAGGGGCGTGACAATCGGCCTCTCATCGCCGAGGAGGCGGCGGCGCGCGCCGTGGAGCATCGCGCCGAGAAGGGAAAGAAGACGCTCGCCGAGAAGGCGGCGGACCGACGCGCCGGCGGCTTGCCGGACAACGTCCGTCCTTCGAGGGCGAAGTCGCGAGCGGGCCAGTACTACGTCAGGGTCTCGGTCCTCGTGCGCAAGGGGCGGAAGGCAAAGAAGATGATGAGCGTCGTCAAGCCCGGCACGGACGGCTACTACGCGTCCAAGAAGGCCGCCGCGGACGTCCGCGACGAGTGGATCAAGAAGGGGCGGCCGGAGTCGTGGATGGCGAAGGAAGGGTTCTAGCTCGCCAATTCATAGCTCGCGCCCTTCGTCGGCGCCTGTGTAATATTCAAGAAGGAAGTACTAGTAAGTAGGTATCGACGAGTTACTCCCCCCCTCGGAACGGCGGCGAGCGCGTTATGTTTGACCGTACTTGCGTCAATACAACTGCGGTACGTGCGCTGTTGCTTATCAGCCGCGTGAAACCTGTTCAACAGCGCAGGCCGACGAGCAAGGTCTAGCGTCCCGTACCGTACTAGCAAGCCCCTCGGCTTTTGCGCTCTCAGGCAATGTCCTTGGCCCGCACTCGGCGAAATTCGCTGAAATGCATTCCTTTTGTAACCCGCGGCGAGCGCTGCTAACGCGTGGGCAGGCTAAAGGGCTGCCCCAGGGCTTAAGCCACCATGGTCTCTGATGCCATAAAATGCGCACGGATGGAGTAAGATGACCTCTGATGCCATAAAAATGCGCACGGATAGAGTAAGATGACCTGGCTGCTCCCGGATCCACCGCAACTGCGCAACGCGTCCGCCACACCAATTGCCGGAGCCTGCGTGCGGTTAAGGAACCGACGCGGCCGCTTCTGCCTCCCGTCCGTCGTCGTCATCGGCGCCATGCGCGCCGGCACGTCCGCGTTGACCCACTACCTTTTGCAGCACCCTCATTTAATTCGGAATGCCGATGGCACGGAAGTACATTACTTCAGCGACCCGTTCGAACCGACGCGATCGCTCCTGAAGACCTGGCCGACGTACGCCGCGCGGTTTCCCGTGGCCGCGACGACGGTCCAGACCCTCGACAAGACCGCTCAATACCTCACGGGCAATATGGACGCGCTCAGAACATTATTACCCCGAGCCCACATCGTCGCGGTCCTGCGGGAACCGGGCCAGCGCGCCTACAGCGAGTTCTTCCACCACTGCCGCGCAGGCCGCGTCGTCGAGGTCACCAAAAGAGTCGGCCCGCTCCGCGCCGGCGCGGTGTTGCGGGGCGACGCGCTGCGGGGCGGCCGCTTCGCGGCGGCGGCCATCTGCTACGGCGCGCGCGGGCGGAAGAAGCAGTTAGATGAATTGTACAAACTGAGAGAAGAGGAGAACCCCGCCTGGATCCTTAACAAGGGCACGTACCGCGTCCTCGGGCGCTGCGCCGCGCGGCACTTCGACCGCTTCCTGGCGGCCTCGCCGCCCGAGGGCGAGTGGACGGAACTCGGCGCGGGCCGCTACGCCGACCTCTTACAACCCCTGGGCGGCGCCGTGACCCTCGTCGACGCGGCGGACTTGCGAAGCGACGCGGGCGCCGTCGCGCGGCGGGTCCTCGGAGGGCTGCGCCTCGACGCGGCCCTCTATCCGCGTCATCTCGAACCGTACGTGCCGTCCCACGTCGACGCGCCCGAGCCGCTCCTGCCCGCGACGCGCCGGCGCCTCGACGACGTCTACCGGGGCCCGAACGCGGCGCTGCGCCGGCTCGCGCCGGACCTGAAGCTCGTCGGGTGGAGCTAATGTATAATGTGACGTCCTTACGCGGACGCAGGGGGAAGGGGGGCACAGATGATACGTCGTCTACTTCGCCAAGGCCGCAAGCTCGGCCGCGAGCTTGTCCTTGGCGCGCGCCTTCTCGAGGAGCGCGTCGGCGCGCGGGCAGCCGCCCGGGAGCTCCTTCACGGCGAGCACCGCGCGCAGCGCGCTCCTTACCAAATCCCAGGCGCGGTCGTCCTTGGCCGTGCCCTCCTTGATCTTCTTGTGGACGGCCTTGTCGAGGGGCTCGCAGATCGCGTCGGCCTTGGCCAACACGGAAGCAGCGTCGAGCGCGCAGAGCTTCACGAGGAGCTGGTGCGCCTGGGCCTGGACGTCGGCGTTCTTGTCCGCGAGCGCGCCGGCCACGACGTCGACGCACCCCGCCGTGTCCTGGATCGCTTTCCGGTCGACGAGCGTGGCCAAAGCGGCCAGCGCCGCCTTCCGCAAAGGCAAACCGTCATCGACCTTGTGCTTGAAGGGGCCCAGGTCCACGACGTGCTCGATCTTCAGCGCCGCTAAAGTGGCGAGTCTCGATTCGACAAATCCCGAGTGCGCCTCGAGGAGAGATAAGCGGTTGTGCGCCGCCGCATGTACTAACCCAAGCGACTTCTTCTTGCAGTCCAGATCCTCATCATCTAGTAATTTCAGCAGCGGTTCCAACCGATCGACCAAAGCCGCGGCGACGGACGCATCAGTAGCCAATTTCGCCGACGTCGCCGCCTTGGCGCAGGCCGCCGCCGACGCCTTGTGCTTGACGTCCGACGCATTTAGGAGAGGGTCCAAGAAGTGCTGGGCCACGGCCTCCGGCGCAATCGCGGCAAGCGCCCCGGCGCACTCGGCCGCCGAGTCGGCCACCGCCTCCTGGTTGCCCTGCACCGCTGTCAACAGGCGCTGGACCAGACGCAGCGCGACACTTTTAATCCGATCCGACGGCGCGTGGGCCACGACTTCTCTCAACGCGATCAGTAAGAGGTACTCGCGCGGGCAGGGGTCCTCGTCCAAAGCATCTAATAAACCATCAAGCTCGTGCGGCGCGCCCGCCACACAACTTCCTAAAGCCGCGGCGGCGGCGGTCTTCGCTTCGTCGGCGTCGCCGACGTCGCCCGCGCCTAAACAAGCCGTCAGCGTGCTGATGGCGCCGAGCTTCGACAAGTCGCACCTCCTGCCCAGTTCCCCGAGAGCGGTGACGGCCAGGAGCTTGTTCTCGTCGCCTACTTGGTTCACTAAGTTGGCCACGGCCTTCTTTAACGTGGAAGCGTCCGCCGCGGCGCACAACCGCGCGATCACCACGGCCACATTTTTCCGCGCCTGCCGCGAGCCGCGGACCGGATCCTCCTCCTTGGCGACGCGCGCGGCGTCCGGTAACGCGCTTAACAACGCGTCGAAGCCCAGGGCGCCGCCGCCGCCCTTCAGAGCAATGGCCTCGAAGACGTCCGCCAAACCGTCCAAAGGTGCGCCTTGCAAGAGTGGAGACGCCGCTAAGGTCAACGCCGCCGGCAGGACGTCGTTCTCGCACGCTGTTTTCGCTTTTTTGTCCAACGTACATTGAGATACGGCCGCCGCGATGCTTTTGGTGGCTAAATGGGCCAGGTGCAAATCCGAGTCCTTGGCCAAGGTTGACGCATTCGTCAAGGTACACGCGACGTCGCCGGCTTTTAGTTTCGATTTCGGAGGCAGGGTGCGTAACAAAGCCCCGAGAGCTTCCAAAGTCGCCTGCTGCAGCGGGCGCGCGTGGTGTTCCAAGAAAGATGAGAGCGTACCGAGGCCGCCCTTCTCGAGGACTAGGGTAGCCGTTGCTGAAGATCGGGGCGAGTTCGCAATAACCGCGAGCGCCCGCAATGCGGAACAGCGCGTCGCCTCGCGGTCGAGCTGCTCGACCAAATCAGAAACGGCGCCCTTGAGCAATTCCGAGTCCATGACGTCCGCGAACCGCGCCGTCACGTCCCCCACGCACTCGATGGCCCGCTCTCTTATTTCCAGGTCGACGGCGCCGGCGACGAGTCGAGGCCGCGCCGCCTCCAGTAATTTCGACGCCACGTCCATGCCTTCGCCCTCGGCCATGTCCGCGTCGATGGGCCTCACCAACTCCGCCACGGCCACACATAGTCGCAACCCCTCTTCAATCAACTTGTACCACTCGGCCTTGACGGCGTCGATCGCCCTCGGCACCGCGTCGTCGACGATACACTTCGCCTCCTCGCCGCGAGCCAGGGCGCTCCTCAAGAGTTTAGCGCCTTCCAACTTCAGGGACTGCGACTTCTCGGCCAGGCCCCGCCCCGAAGCCTCGGCCACGAGCCGCACATCTTCCTCGCCCAAGGCACCCGGCGGCGCGCTCACGCACAACTCCCGCAGCAAGCCGAAGCAGGCCGATTTTGTTTTGAGGTTGTCCCCCACCTTGCCCGAGATGGGCTTCTTGCACGCGCGGCAGGCCTGCGGAGCCAATGCAGCGAGGGCGTCCGTCTGCGCCATCGTCTTCACTAATTTGGTAAGCGTCTCGACGACGTCGACGCGCACGTTCTCCTCGCGCTCTTTAAACCGCCCCACCAACGCCGTGGCTAGATCAACCAGCGACGACCTCGGTTTGGCTTCCGCAACGGCCCCACAAACGCGCACCGCCGCCCTTCTCACCTTCCAGGACGTGTCGTCGTCGTCGTCCTCGTCGCCATAATCGTCCTCGTACTCCTCGTCCTCTTCCTCATCATCGGCGTCCATTTCTTCGTCCTCGTCGCCATACGAGTAGTTCGGATCAAAAGCCGCGAAGGCCAAAGCCGTCTCTAACAAAGCGTCGACGTGCGCCTCGGCCTCGGCCGGGCACCGCCTCACGAGCTCCTCGAGGCCGTGGAGGCACGTCTCCCTGAGTTCATTTCTCTCCGGATCATTGGACTCGGCGTCGTCCGCGTCACCTAAAGGCGCGACGAGCGCCGGCACCAACCTATCTAAGTGTGTACCTAGCCGCTGGCCGACGCCGCGCGCCACGGTCCCAATCGCCGCGACGGGCGTCCGCGCCTTGGAAGCGTCGCGGCCCGCCGCGTCGACCCTTCGTAACAAGGTCGTCGTGAGCTTCTCGAGGTGCGGCTCCGAGCACGTCAGGGCCAGCGCCGCGAGGCAGTGCGCCGCGCGCTTCCTTACCACATTTTTCGGGTCGTCCAGGCGCTGCAACGCCGCATCCAACACCGCGCCGTGGTCCTTGGCGACGGCGGCCCCGAAGCGCTTGAGCAAGTCCGTCAGGTTCTCGAGGGCCTCGACCCTACTCTCGGCCTTGGCGTCGTCGCGGACGCCGCCGACGAGCCGCGCCGCCAGTCTGCCGGCGACGGCCTCGCCCGACGCGCGCGGCACGTCCCTCAATAAGGTTTTGAGGCCGATACTATATACGTCCCTCAGCTCGTCCGTGCCGTCCAAGATCAACGAGCAGAGCTTGTCCGAGATCTCGCCGACTTGAGCTTCCCGCACTTTTTTGAGTAATACCCCTAAACACTTCACCGCAATGGACTGGACGTCCGTGCTCTTGTCGTCCAGCTGCCGCAGCACCGCCGCGCAGACCCTCCGCTCCATGGCCGCGTCGAGCTGCGCGTCCTTCTGGAGCTCCTGGATCAAGTCGTTCGTCGCCATGTAGCGCTCATCCTTGTCCCAGTCGCTCGTCTTGTCGAGGAGCGCGTTGAGCGCGGCGGGCGAGGCCATTTTTATTATTGGTCGCTGGCGTGCGCGTCGCTGGCTCTCTCGGGCCACGCTGCGCGCCTTCGCGGCTGCGCGCGCCTTGCGGCTCTCGGGTCACGCTGCGCGCCTTCGCTGGCCCCGGGTCACCGGATCCGGGCGCCGTCAGTCGTGCAGCGAGAACGCTGCTGTTGCCGACCGCGCAGCGGAGAACGCTCGCTGCTGTTGCCCTGGACGTCGCACCGAGGCGCGTCGATATCCAGAGGAGGCGCGAGAGTCGTCGGCCTCGCGCTAGTGTCTTACACCGCTTGCTCGGAGCACACATAACTACACAACGCCGAACTGACGCATCGCCAGGCATACCATGCTAAGCCTTTACCCGTTTTGATTAATAGAACATGACCAAAAATACTTTTAGGGAAGACAATGCCCACCAATGCACTGTCGTCCGGACGTATCCCGGGATATGAAGCTCCGAAGAACCCCCGAACGCTAGATTGACTTCACAACAAACCGTTAGAGTAGAACACTACGCGTCCTCGCCAGCGAGGAGGATGCTGTCGTAGTCCGCCCGGAGCTCGGCTATGGCGCGCTGCTGCGCCATCTGCTCGAGCGCGCTCACGAGGAAGCACGCGAACAGGAGCGACGACAGCGCCAGGAAGGCGCCGCGCGCGACGCGGGCGAGGGCCCGCGGCGGCGCCGGCGCGCCGCCGACGCGGTGCACGGCGAGCGCGACGGCGCACGTCTGGAGCGGCGTCCGGACGAGCGCCTTGGCGGCGAAACATGCGCCGAAATAAGTCCCGAGCGACACGTCGAGCGAGCCGCACACGAGGCCGCACAAATCAAAGAACGGGTTCGGCAGGGCCGCGAGGACGAAGATCTTCCAGAACGCGCCGTCCGCGAGCGCCGCCTCGAGGCGATCACCTGTGTGGAAATCAACCAGTGTCGGGTGCACCCGATAATTCTTCACTAAGTCATTTCTCGGCGATGACGCGGCCGCGCTGGCTCCGTCGAGCGGTGAGGAACCGACATCGCCACGCCATCGAGGTGGCGTCGCGTCGATGGCGTGGAGGTCGACGCGAACGAACGCGCCGTAAATTTGATTTCCACACAGGCGTGCGCGCGTCCGCGCGGCCAGCAGCGGGAGCCGCGGCCGCCGCGCCGGCGCCCCGTCGTCCGCCGCCGCCTCTTCCTCCTCGATCACGGCGAAGGGGTCGGCGCCGGCGCGCCTCGCGGCGCGGGCGAGGAAGAAGGGGACGAGCTCGCCCACCGCCGAGCCCGCACCGGAGAAGAACCCGGGCACCGCCGCTCGCAGGGCCAGCGCCGCGCGGCCGTCGCGCGACCGCGCGCGGAACGAGGCGGCGGCGCGCGCGGCGTCGGCCTCGCCGCCGCGCGCGGCGCCCAGGGAAACGCCGCCGGCGCCGCGCCTCAAGCCCCCCAGGAACGAGGAAGCGGGCGCCGCGCGGGCCGCCGGCGCCTCGCTCGCGCCCGGGCCCGCGTCGCCGCCCGCGGGGCGTCCCGCGTCCTTGGCCGGCGCCCCCTTCGCGAGCCAACGGTCCGCGAGGGCGCGCGTCGTCGCTGACGCAGGCCCGAGGTTGCGCCAGTCCGTGGCGAGGCGCGCGCAGTGGGGGAACAGGAACAGCGCGCCCGTCTGCATGCCCGTGCCCAGGCCCGCGGTGGAGAGGACCTGTGTGGAAATCAACCAGTGTGTCGGGTGCACCCGACAATTCTTCACTAAGTCATTTCTCGGCGATGACGCGGCCGTCCTGGCTCGATCGAGCGGTGAGGAATTCACACCGCCACGCCGTCGAGCAGGCGTCGCGTCGATGGCGTGGAGGACGACGCGACGATTCAGCAGGACGCGACGATTCAGCAGAACGCGCCGTAAAATTTTGATTTCCACACAGGAGAGCACGCCGCAGAGGAACCACCACAAACAGTAGCTCGCCGCGGCCAACGCGCGCGCCGCGTGCCCGGCCGCTCGCGCGCCGACGGCGCCGCGCGCCACGAGCGCGACCGCGTACGCGACGACCAGGACCGCGCCGCCCGCGCACAGCTCGCGCGCGCCGGGCGCCGGCGCGCGCACCGCTCCCACGGCCCTGCGGAAGTAGCGCAGGGTTACCAGCGGCCGCACCGACAGCTTGAGCTCTTTGCGCAGCGTCCAGCGCTGCGCAGTAAACTCTTTATTCAGCAATGCAACTGCCGCGTCCCGAGAGCGGCGCCTGAGCAGCGCCGTCGCCTCGGCGCGCGACTCGAACTTGAAGACCATTATTGATGCGGAGACATGCTCGTGCAGCAAGGTAGCCAATGCGCTGAGCAATAATCAAAAGAGGTAACTAGCTATGATTCCTTGGTAGCTCATGTTTTATCTCATGTTATCTCAGTTTGTTGGTCCGGAAAACCCGTTTTGTCACCTTAGCGCGTCTGGAAAACAAAAGTATACCCACCGCTCTCCCGGCACCGCGTCCCGACGCCCGACGCATGGCTCCGCGGCGGCGTGCTTCCACAAAAAACAGAATAAGTGGTTTTGCGGCAGCGGCCAGTGAGCAGCGCAAGGGCCTCCGACGGCGGGGGAAAGCGACCGAAGCCACCGCCGGGCTGCCGGCCGCCCCGAAACGGCACCCATGCGATGAACCCTATTAAGCTGCGCGCGCCGCGATGATTGTGAGGGCTGCCCTCGCAGCCCTGGCCTGCCTGGCCGCGCGCGTCGCGGGGCAGACCAAGCAGTGCGATCCGGCCCAACCCGAGGTAAAATTTAGGAAGCATAGGATCGATGATGCGGTCTCGAATGGCAAAGCGGTTCTCGCGGCGGACCTAAACGGCGACGGCGACATCGACATCGCCGCGGCCATTCAGGGCGATAACAAGTTCAAGTGGTACAAGAACAAACTCTTCAACGGTACAAATGGCAACATTTCGTTTGCGGCCCGTGACGTCGTGACCACGTCCGCGATCACCTCGCCGAGCGGGGTCCAGGCGGCGGACATCGACGGCGACGGCGACGTGGACCTCCTGCTGTCGTACGGTACAGGCACCAGTAGCTTTCTCCAATGGTACGAGAACGATGAAGCGGCAGGGGGCGTCCCCTACGACGACGGCGCCCTCCTGCACACCATCTCCGATCAAAACGCAGCTTCAGCCGGGATCTGGTGTTTTGACCCAAAAATGGCGCACGGGGTCGACATCGACGGCGACAATTACGTTGACGTGGCGGTGGTGGCCGAAGGCACCCACAATGTGTTGCTTTTCATGAACGACTGCTCCTCATTACCGTGCATGCAACCCTTCCCAGCCAACACGCAGACGGCCACGTACCAAGAACTCCAAGAAGGCAGCATGCATAAACCCCAGTCCGTCTTTGCCGTCGACGTCGACGGCGACAGCGACGTGGACGTGCTCGTGGCGGCCAAGAGCGGCATCACGTTCTACCAGAACGACGGGTCCCAGGACTTCGAGGAGAGGACGGTCACGACGACGCTGACCGATCTCAGGTACGTGTATGCGACCAAGTTAGGTTACGGCGACGACCACCTGGAGCTGCTCGCGGCCTCGAACACGGACGGTTTCGTGGCGCTGTACGAGAACGACGGCCACGAATTCTGGTACAAGCCCCCGCCCGACGGCACGAGCGAAGAGGTCTTACTCACCCAGTCGGAATACAATAACGATGGCGACATCACGAATAACAACGCGAAGGGGGCCTGCTCGGTGCGGGCCGCCGACTTCAACGGCGACGGCGACAAAGACGTGCTCTTCGCCGGCGCGAGTCTGGCCGCGGGCGGTAGGAAGCAGAAGCTCGTCTGGCTGGAGAACCTTGCTACGGGCCAGCGCACCTTCGAGAAACACCAGCTCGGTGATTTGGGGACCTCCTCCTCGCCCGAGTACTACGTCGACATCGCCGACGTCGACGACGACGGCGACGTCGACGCGGTTATCATTTCCTACGAGAACACCTGGCTCGACTACTACCAAAACGACTGCGCGGCGGAGCCGACGCCCGCGCCCACGGCCGACGTCCCGACGTCGGTGCCGACCGGGATCCCTACATCATATCCGTCGGCCGTGCCGATTCCGGAGCCCACCGGGCGCCCGACGGTGCCGCCCACGGCCCTGCCGACGGGCGTCCCGACGACGCTCCCGTCCTCGGTGCCGACGGTGCCGCCCTCGTCCCTACCGACGAGCGCGCCGACGACGCCCCCGTCCCCGGTGCCGACGGTGCCGCCCACGGCCGTGCCGACGGGCGCGCCGACGTCGGAGCCCACGGGGCGCCCGACGGTGCCGCCCACGGCCCTGCCGACGGGCGTCCCGACGACGCTCCCGTCCTCGGTGCCGACGGTGCCGCCGACGCCCATACCCGCCCCGATCCCGACGCCGGCGCCGACGCCGCGGCCCTCCGTCAGGTGCTCCGCCGGCGTGGCCTTCTCGACGGAGCACGTCGTGGCATCGGGGGACTACGTGAACGTCCACGTGGTCGACGGTGCGAAAATCAAAGTCGCGCGGCGCCTTCCACGCCCATCTGCTCGACGGCGCGGCACCGGTTGATTTGCACGCAGGTCGTCGACATCAACAAGGACGGCCACATGGACCTGCTCGTGGCAGCACGGGACGAAACGGACGCCACAGTAGACGGGGTCAAGTGGTACAAGAACAACGGCGCGACGACTCCGGGCTTTGTGGATTCGCTCATCGACGCGTCGCTCGGGGAGACCTCCTGGGCGCCTGGAAGCTCGGGCACCACGCGCGCCGCCTACGCGACCGATTTGGACGCCGACGGCGACATCGATGTCCTCGCGGCGGACTTCCTCGGACATAAAATTTACTGGTACGAGAACGACGGGGACGAGACATTTAGCAGACATGAAGTCGTCCCGGGCCAGGACAAAAAAAGCGCCGCCGCCGTCTACGCGACCGACGTCGACGGCGACGGCGCGGTCGACATCCTCTCGGCCGAACGGGGCGATTGCAGGCAGTATTGGTACCGGAACACTGGCAATTCCTTTGATAGGCAGGAGGTGCACAACGGCGAGGGCTCGCGCGATGATGTTAATGCCATCGCCGTCTACGCTGCGGACGTCGACGGCGACGCCCACATGGATGTCCTGTCGGGCGGCGAGGCCGACGCAAGAGAATTCGACATCGCGTGGTACAGAAACGACGGCGCCGCGACCCCGGCCTTCGAGACTAGAGTGATTCTATGGAAGACGGACGATGGCCGGCAAGACGTCCTCGCGCTCGACCTCGACGGCGATGGCGACGTGGACGTCCTGGACGCGTCCTATCAAGCGGACACGGTCTCGTGGTACGAGAACCGAGAAGAACACAATTGGGGCCGGGAGACTACCTCGGAGGTGACCTTCGAGGCGCACGTCGTCACGGCGTCGGCGGATGGCGCCTTTTCCGTCGAAGCCCGGGACCTGGACGGCGACGGCGACGTGGACGTGCTGGCAACCTCGAGGAAAGACAACACGGTCGCGTGGTACGAGAACCTCGGTCGGGTCGGCTACACGCCGCGCGTGGACTTCGCGCAGCACCTCATTGTCGCGAGGGACATGACCACGTGCGAGGACAAGGAACCAAAAACAAAAGACGACCAAGGGAACAGCTGTTCGTGGTACCTCGTACCCAGTAACTCCGTATATTGCGGGTCCTACGACAACGCGTACTTCACGGCGGGTTCTCTGTGCTGCGAGTGCGGAGGGGGCCGCGCCGCGAGCGGCTTCGAGCGGGGCAAACCCATGGACGTCACCGCGGCCGACCTCGACAACGACGGCGCCATCGACGTCGTAGCGGCCTTTTGGAATGATAATGGCGTCGCCTGGTACGGGAGCGACTGCGTCACCTCGCCGCCGACAAGAGCATCCTTCAACCCCGTGCCGGCGCCGACGCCGCGGCCGACGGAGCGGTGCCAGGAGGTGGCATTCACGGCACGGGAGGTCCAGCCTGACTACACCAATAACAAGCCGCGTTGCGTCTTCGCCGCGGACCTCGACGCGGACGGCGACATGGACGCGCTCGTGGCGGGGCACAACAGCGGCTCCAGCAGCAACTACGTGCTGGACTGGTTCGAGCTCGATTTCGAACATGATGACACTTTTCATGATCACGAGCTCGACGCGGACCTCGACGACGACGCCGAATTCGACGCGGTCTACGCCGTCGACGTCGACGCGGACGGCGACGTCGACGTCGTCGCGGCGTCGTCTACTCCGGGCGCCGTCTACTGGTACAAGCACAACTGGTTCGCCGGCAACGGGACCCACTTTCGCCGGCGGCAGATCACGGCGGCGGCGCCCGCCGCCCGCTCCGTCTACGCGGTCGACCTCGACGACGACGGCGACGTGGACCTGCTCTCGGCGTCCTGCGACGACGACACGGTCGCCTGGTACGAGCAAGACGCGTCGTTCTTCACGAAGCGCGACATTGAGACCGTCGCGGCCTGTGCTTCCGACACTGCTCCGGCCGTCTACGCGGCCGACGTGGACGGCGACGGCCGAATCGACGTGATCTCGGCGTCCAGCGCCAGCACCGGCGACAAGGTCGCCTGGTACCGAAGCGTCTGCAAGAATAAGCTGGACAACACCACGATTAGAACGGCCGTAACTGCTTGGCTCACCAACCAGGCTGCTGCCGAGGTGACGTACGGCCACATTTCTACGTGGGACACGTCGGAGGTGACGGACATGGAGGAGTTGTTTTGCGCACAAAGTGATTGTCCATGTGCTGGTCCCCCGGACGTGTGCACGGCCGCGGCGTCCTTCAACGAGGACATCAGCGCGTGGGACACCTCCGGGGTCACGGCTATGAACCGGATGTTCGAACGCGCCTCGGCGTTCAACCGGCCGATCGGTGACTGGCGGGTCGACAAGGTCACGAGTATGCGCGCGATGTTCTACGCAGCCTCATCGTTCAACCAAGACATCAGCGACTGGCGGATTGACAGCCTCGAGGACGTGGGATACATGTTCGATAGGTTCGACGCTCCGGTTTTGGCCTTCAACCAGGACCTCGGCTGGTGCTTAAACGGCGCCGTCGACCAAGAAAATGCATTCGACGGCACCGCGGATGGGGATTCATCAGCTCCTAGTAACTCATGCGCGTCGCCGTCGTGCGGCGTCGTACAAGGTGTCTGCGTGATGGATGACAGCACGATTGAAGATGCCGTCCTTGCTTGGTTTGACGACCCGACTGCTGCCGAGTCGACATACGGCCACATTTCTATCTGGAACACGTCGGGGGTGACGAACATGGAGGAGTTGTTTTGCGCAAGTTCTTCATGTCCATGTGCTGGTCCCCCGGACAATTGCACGGCCGCGGCGTCCTTCAACGAGGACATCAGCGCGTGGGACACCTCCGGCGTCACGAGCATGAGCTGGATGTTCCACTCCTCGGAGTTCAATCAGAATATCGGCGGCTGGAACGTCGAGAAGGTCACGGATATGGGCGCCATGTTCTACCTCACATTGAATTTCAACCAGAACATTAACGGCTGGGACGTCGGCCAGGTCACGAATATGCGGGAGATGTTCGGCCAGTCCTCGGCGTTCAACCAGGACCTCGGCGGCTGGAACGTCGACAAGGTCACTTCAATGGTATATATGTTCGTCAGCGCCACGTCGTTCAAGCAGGACCTCAGCTGGTGCGTTGACACGAGCGTGGACCTGAACCAAGCCTTCGACAACACCTGGTGCGAGTGGCCGTTGTGCGGCGTCATCCAGAGCAGCGCTTGCCCGCCGCGCCCGGCGCTAAGCCCGACGCCCAGCCCGGTGCCGGTGCGGTGCGTGATTGGCTCCTGGGAGGCCGAAAACGTGATATCCAGCGCGGCAAACGGCGCGACCGCCGTCTACGCCCTCGACGTCGACGGCGACGGCGACGTGGACGTGCTCGCGGGCGGCGACAAGGCATGGTGGTACCGGAATAACGGACAGGATCCTCCCGGCTTCGACGAAACCGAGATCAAGGCCGCCGCCGCGTACGCCGTCTTCGCGGCGGACGTCGACGGCGACGGCGACGTCGACCTGCTCGCGGGCTACGCGGACACCGTCGCGTGGTACGAGAACTCGACGGCGGCGCCCGGTTTCACGGAGCGCGTGATCGAGGATGTGGAGGGGACGGATACAAGCGTCAATTCGATCTACGCCGTCGACATGGACGGCGACGGCGACGTGGACGTGCTCGCGGCAAATGAGGGCGCGGAGTCGCCATCGTTCCCCGTGACGTGGTACGTGAACGACTGCGACATCTGGGGCAAGCCGACCTACGTGCCGACGAGCGCGCCGACGGAGGCACCGACGTCCGTGCCGTCGTCGGCGCCGACGAGCGTGCCTTCGTCGGAGCCGACGCCCCTGCCGACGACGACGCCGACCGCCGCGCCGTCGTCGGAACCGACGACGGACTGCGCCACGATCTCCCTCATGGACTCGATCGAGGGGGCGTTCCTCGTCAACACGGGCGAGACCGTCACGTTCCGGCTCACGGAACCCAGCGACCGCGCGGGCTACAATTTAAATCAGGTGTTTGACTGCGATGAAGTCGTCGTATTACACGACGAGCACGACGACACCATCAGCCACAACAACGGCGAGAGCTGCGAGTTCACCGCGGACGACGTGTTCGTGATGACGGTCATTATGGGGACGTCGCCGTCCAGTTCCGTGGTCCGGTCGGGCACGCGCGCGTACCTGAGGGAGCACGTCCTGCGGCCGCTCGACGTGCGGGACTGCGACATCCCGCGGGGCAACGACGGGCAACCCGGATCGTGGCCATTCAAGGCGAGCGTGTACGAAGCGGGAGCTCCGACCCAAGTGCCGGTCCCCGATCCGACTCCGGCACCCACTTCGGGACCCACCCCGGCACCCACCCCGGCACCCACCCCGGGGCCGACGACGGCCGTGCCGACGACGGCGGCGCCGACGACGGTCTGCGCCACGATCTCCCTCGAATATACCATCTACGGGGCGCGCCTCGACGACACGGGCGCGACCGTCACGTTCCGGCTCTCGGACGCCAGCGACCGCGCGGGCCACGACGACGCCGCGTTTCTGTGCGAGGACGTCGTCGTATTAGAGGACACGAACGGCGCCACCCAAAACGCGGGCGAGAGCTGCCAGTTCACCGCGGACAACGAGTTCGTGATGACGCTCCTCGGGGAGGCGTCCCTGCTCGAGCCGAACACGCGCGCGCAACTGAGGGAGCACGTCGTGCGGCCGCGGGACGTGCGGGACTGCGACATCACGCGGAACGAGGACGGGCAGCCCGGTGCGACGGCCGTGGCGAGCGTCCAGCCGCCGGGTAACCCGGTGGAAGTCGTGCTGGCGCTGCCCGCGTCGCCGCTCGTGGTAAGCTACTGCGCGGGCGACCTGGTGGTGGACGCGGCCGCGTCGACGGGCGGCGGCGGCCGCGCCCTGAGCTTCGAGTGGAACGTCGACGACGACGCCGCCACCCAGGTGGACTCGACGGAGATCATCCTGCGCTACCCGCTCTCGAACCGGCCCGAGTGGAACCTCGACCCCGACGTCGAGATCGAGGACCAGTACATCGACCCGTTCAACGTGCGCGTGACCGCCACGAACTGGCTCGGGTCCAGCAAGTGGAAATTGATCCGCATCGAGCCGACGCAGCTCGCGGTGCCCAACGTGTACATCGAGGCCGGCTACGACCGCACGATGTTCCGCTGGCAGGCGCTCCGGGTCTTCGCCTACGCCGAGGCGGAGCGGTGCGACGGCGCGCGCGTCGAGCTCGAGTACGACTGGTACGTCGTCGGGACGCCCGTCTGGAGCGCGTCGCTCGACCCGCGGTACTTCGAGCTCGCGCCCTACGCCCTCGACGCGGGCGGCGTGTACGAGATCGTGGTCACGGTCACGGACACGCGCTTCGCCACGAACACGGCGCGCACGAGAATGGAGGTCGTGGCGTCGGAGGTCGTCGCCGTCGTCGACGGCGGCGGCCGGTCGGCCGCGGCGGGCTCGACGGTCGTGCTGGACGCGTCGCGGTCCTACGACCCGGACGGGTCCGAGCTGACCTTCGTGTGGAAGCGGGACGGCCTGCCCGTCGGCGCCGGCGCGACCCTGGCCGCGGAGGCGCCGGCCGTCGGCGCCGTGGTCACGTACGAGGTCCGGGCCTCCACGAACGACGCGTCCGCGCGGTCGGCGGAGTACGAGACGACGCTCTACGGCATCGCCGAGCCGGAGTCGGGGCCCGCGGTGACGATCGAGGCGCCGGCCGGCCGCGTCGACTGCACGTCGAGGGTCGTCGTGCCCGCGTCGTCCGCGGCCGCGGCGTCCAACTACTCGCTCGCGTGGGGCCGCGAGGGCGCGTCCGACGACATCTTCGCGCGGGCCCTCGCGCCCACGGCCGCGGCCGTCGCCGCGGGCGCGCGGGGCGCGCTCGCGCTCGTCTTCGGCGCGACGGGCGGCCTCGTGCCGGGCTCGACCTACAACTTCCGCCTCGCGGCGCAGCTGGGCCCGTCCGCGAGCTTCGCCGACGTCGTCGTCGCGTGCAACGCGGCGCCCACGTCGGGCCTCTTCACGGCCGAGCCCGCCGCGGGAATCGTCTTCCTGACGCGCTTCGACCTCTTCGCGACGTCGTGGGTCGACCTCGACCTGCCCCTGACCTACGACTTCTACCAGAAAGACACGCCGCTGACGAGCGGCGCGTCGTCGCCCAGCTTCCGCACGGAGCTGCCCGCGGGCGCGCCGCTCGCGCTCCACGTCGACGTCCGCGACGCCTTCGGCGCCGCGACGCGCGCGTCGGCGGCCGTGGACGTGTCCCCCTCGACGGACGACCCCCCGGCCCTGCGCAACGCGACGGAGCGGCGCCTCGCCGAGGCCCGCGCGACGACGAACGTGCAGCGGACCTTCGCGACGCTCAACGTCGCCGCCGCGAACGAGCTGCTGCTGCGCAACGCCTCGCGGGCCAACGGGACGGCGGCGTTGCGCTGCGAGACCGTCGAGATCGCCGCGACGACCGGCGCGAACGCCACGAACGCGTCTTCGGTGAGGCGCTGCCGGCCGGTCGTCTGCGGCGGCGTCCACTGCGGCGCCGGTGCCCTGGACACGTGCGTCTACCTCGACGGCGCCGGCCGCGAGACCTACGAGCGGGACCGGGCCGTCACGCCCGGGCGGTGCGCGTGCCGGGGCGCGCAGGGGAACAGCTCGGGCTTCGGCGGCGACGCGTGCGAGCTCAGTACGGAGGCAGCGCGCAACGTCAGCGCATATAGGAGGCGGCTGCTGGACGAGCTGGAGTACGTGCGCCGGTTCCAGGCCGTCGACGACGCGAACGTGCGCCAGCAGGCGACGACGCTCGACGCGCTGGCGCGGAGCGCGCTCGCGCCGGAGGACGCGCGCCACGCGCTGGGGCTCGTCGCGGCCGTCGCCGTCGACATGGAGGCGGCGGGCCTCTCGAACGACGCGCGGCGGCTCGACGCGCCCCGGGCGCTCGTGGGCGCCGCGTCGTCGCTCCTGGCCACGCTGCCGAGCGACGCGACGGTCCCGAACGTGACGGACGAGGTCGTCGTGGGCGTCGCGGACGACGTGGCGGCGGCGCTGATGAAGGACCAGGTCCCGGGCCAGGCCGCCGACGCGGTCCGCGGGGCCGGCCTCGCCGTCACGGGCATGCGCCGGCGCGAAATACGGGCGGAGCCCGTGCCGGCGCTGCTGGGCGACCCGCCGAGGGAGTGCGTGCCGCCGCCCAACGCGACGGCCTGCGAGCCGGGCTGGGACGCCGGTCTCGGGCCGGCGGCGACCTTCACGGTCGAGGGCGCGGGCGACTTCGCGGTCGCGCTCGCGACGTTCGCCATGACGCCGCGGCGCAACGCGTCGGCGCCCCTCGGCGCGCGCGTCGTCCGGGCCCGCGTCGAGGACGCCGCGAACATGACGAATGGAAGAAGGCGCCTCGCGCGGCGCCGGAGCTCGGGCGGCGGCGGCTCGGCCGCGGACCACGGCGAGCGCAGCGACTCGCGGTACGACCCCGAGGCCGACGGCCTCGAGGCGATTCTGGTCTTCCCCCTCACGGAGCCGCGGGACAACCTGACGGGGAGCTGCATCTGGTACAACTTCGCGCTCGGCGAGTGGACGGCGCGCGGCTGCCGGACGATCAACCTGACGCGCGTCGCCCACACGTGCGCCTGCCCGCTCGCCGCGGCGGGCGGCCGCGACTTCTCGGAGAGCGCCGTCGATTATTATACGGAGGCGCTCATGGAGCCCATCACGTTCCGGACGCTCGCGCAGAACGTCGTGCTGCTGAGCTTCGTCGCGACGCTGGCGGGGCTCTTCGCGCTGGCGGCGTTGTACGGGTACTACGCGGACAAGCGGGACGCCGCCAAGGCCTTGCTGGAGGAGAAGGACACGGCGACGTCGCCGCTCCGCGTCGAGGACTTTGGGAAGGACGCGCCCTCGGAGGAGGAGTTGGTGCGGGCGTCGCTGCCCGATTTTGTATTGGGCCTGTACAACGCGCCGCGCTTCGGCCTCCAGCTCATCTGGGAGAACCACTCGCTCACGTCGCTCTACAGCGTCTACGACCCCGCGGCGCCGCGGCCGGCGCGGTGCATGGTCTGCTTCTTCAACATTTTGGTGATCATCGCGGCCGAGGCCATGTGCCACTGGCTCAAGTATCCCCTGGGCTACTGCCGGGCGGCCGAGACGCGCGCGTCCTGCCTCGCGAAAACCCTATTGTATGACGAGGTCTGGGTCGCCGTCGTCGGCGGCGAGACGAAGCAGGCCTGCTCCTGGACGCTGGGGCCCCTGGACCCGGACAACAAGCCCTGCGAGCTGGACGTCCAGGAGGCGGGCGCGGTCAACCCGCGGACGCTCTTCCTGGAGCTGGTGGTCGTTTTATTGACGCTGCCGGCGTTGAAGTTCCACAACTGGCTCTTTTTTACGTATGTGAGCGCGCCGCGCAAGTCCACGCGGAAGGTGGCGCCGGCCGGCGCGTGCCAGAGGAGCGCGGCGGCGCGGCGGGCCGTGCGGCGCCTCCGGCGCAATTTGAGGCTCGAGGGCGACGGCACGGACCTCAATGGGTTGGAGGCGAAGCAGGTGGTGTATCGCGGCGCGCGCGACGCCGTCGTGCCGGCGATGCGCGCCATGGTTAGGCGAAAAAGGGAACTAGACCACGCGCTCGCGGACCACGACCACACGCCCCTGGATCGGTCGACGCGCCGGGCCTTGAAGACCATAAGGGAGGAGTTCAGCAACAAGTGGGGCGTGCCGCACACGCCCTGGAAGAACTGGACGACGCCCGATTTGGAGCTCTTCGCGCTGCGGGCGCACCGGCGCCTGAGCGCGAACCTGGACCTGGCGGCGCGCGTCGACTCGAGGATCGCGGAGGCCGACGACGGCACGGCGTGCGGCTTGTACTACTTTTTATTAAGGTGCGACGACCTGACGCTGTTTGAATTGGAGGTGATCCGGCTGGAGATGTTCGGCGAGGACGCGGTGGGGCCCGAGCCCGTCGACGACCTGCCCAAGGCCGTGGGGACGTTCCTGTGGTTGTTTGCGTTACTCTACCCGCTGTGGCTCACGTTGCAGTTCGCGCAGCGCCTCGACCAGGAGGGCGCGACGGGCAAGAAGATGAAGCGGGCCTGGTTCTACAGCACGGTCCAGTTCATCTGCTTCTCGTTTCTGACGATCGAGCCCATGGTCATCCTGATCACGATGATCGTCGTGCCGCTCGCGGTGCGGGACAAGCTCCTGTTCCTGGAGAACCCGCGGAACCGGCACCTGCCGTTCCGGGCGGCCGCGCCCGTGGACCCCTCTGCCTTAGTTTCGTACGAGAAGGTCCTGGCCTTCGACCGGCTGGGCCTGCCGGAGCCGCGGCGCCTCAAGCATATGAGGGATGACGCCGTGAAGGCGGCGGCGCACCGGGCCCACGACGAGGGCGAGACGAAGGAGATCGAGGAGGTGAAGCACAGGATCTTCCACTCGCAAAAGGTCGAGGAGGCCGAGTTCGTGTTACACGCGACCAAGGAGATGAAGGCCTGGCTCGCGACGCTCCACAAGCACGAAGATAACGAGCGCAAAGAAAACGCGAAGTTCCGGGCGAAGGGCGGGTCCTGCACGCTCTGGCGGGGCCAGGCATTGACGCGCGTGGCGTCGACGATCGCCTTCCACCCGGCGTGGTACCAGCTTCCTTTGTCGATCATCGGCGAGTTATTGCTGTGGACGCCGCCCGTGCCGCGGGACACGTTCTTGGAGGAGAACATCATCGCCCTGGTGTTTGCGATTGTGGGCGTCGGTTCGTCCTTCGGCGGAGGCAAAAGACTCATGTTCGAGGCCAATAGATTAGTGCCCGGGCTGGTGGTGGTCCTCGTGTGCTGGGTGGCGATGGTGATCATCGTCATGTTATTGCTCTTCCTGATTGAAGCGGTGGAAAAGTTAAACGCGTTCATCGTCGTGCACAAGGAGCATCTGCGGTTGAAGGACACGGCGCTGGACCTCGAGGAGCGGTTGCACAGGCATGAAGTACGAGAGCGGTGCGTGGCCTTGGAAGCTTTATGGAACGACTACGAGGAGGCCACGATGTTGGAAGATGCGCGGGGCATGGCGCCCTCGGCTACTGATTTGTCCTCACTCTTGGCGCATGTGGAAGACGACCCGAACGCGGCCGTCGCGCGGGAGAACGACCTGTTCGTGAGCGCCCAGGCGCGCATCGAGGAGCAAAGGTTGGGGCTTTCGCGCGGACCCATGACGCACGAAGTTAAGGGGCCGCCGGTCATGGTCGCGTCGCCGCCCCGGCTCAAGCCGCTGCCGCATCGACCCAAGAGACCGCCGCCGCCCATGCCGGACGTAGCGCGCATGATTATGCTACAAAACCGCGTCGTGCGGGCCTTCCAGCACCCCCACGCCGTGGGCAAGGCCGAGCTCGGGCCCAAGGATCTGGGATTGACCGACGCGCAGAAGGCCAAGCTGAAGCTCATGTCGTTAAGGCGCACCGGCGACGCGCCGGTCGTGCCCGAACCGAGCCCGGAGACGAAGCCGGAGCTGCCCCGGACGACGTCGCAGCGAGTGGCGGAGCTGAAGGCCGAGCGCGAGGCCGCGAAGGCCGAGGCCGCGAAGGCGGAGGAGGCGGCGCCCTTGTTAAGCGCCGAGGAGGAGATGGCCCGGGAGATGGAGGCGGCTCGCAGGGAAGCCGAGGCCATGATGGCGTCGTTCCAGGCCGCGCACGAGGAGTCCAAGGAGGACGTCGAGGCGCCGCCCCAACCGTCCGCGACGGGCCCGCGGCGCCTCGCGCCGGCGTTCGAGCAGCACGCCTCGCCCGCGCGGGGCGGGCAGCACCACTCTTCGCGGGGCGGGCAACACGCCTCTTCTTTGCGGGGCGGCGCTCGCAGGAAAAAGAAGGGACCGGCTCGACGCGCGCCGGGCCACTAAATTCATACGCGCGCGGCGACCGGCCGGCGCGGTCCCCCATCGACGGCGCACGGGGAAATTCGTTAAATCTGTTATTACTAAACCTACATGTCTGCGCATGACCAGGCATACCGGTCGTTCCTCAGGCCGACCTGTTGTGCCGCGTGGTTCTGGAGCTTCTGCTCCCAGCCGTTGCCGCGGTCGACGCCGTCCCATCGGTAGCCTGGCCGGATGCCGAACCGGTTCGGCGGCGGGGGCGGGCCCTTATAGACTGGGCGCCTTGATTCCGCCGGCGTCGCCTTCTCCTCTTCCTGTGCTCGGCTTTGCCGGATGTAGTCGGCCATCGGGTCGCCGTCCCGAATCACATCCCTCCGCATCTTCTCCAGCTTGGGATCGTCGGCGCGCCGCGCGAAGGGCTCGTTCGCCACGGCCTTGAGCTCCGCCCTCGCGTCCGCTTCGGCCTCTTTCTGCTTCGTTCCTCGGCCCCACTCGAACTGCTCGCGCGCCTCCTGGGCCTTCTTCTCGCGCTCCGCCTCGATGCGCGCCGCCTCGTCCGCGAGGTTGATGGCCTTGCCCGTGCGCCGGTCGCGGTAGACCGTCGCGGCGTGCGCGCCCGACTCGCTCGGGTCCATGGCCGCGGCCTCGCGCCGCCGCTCCTCCCTCAGTTTGGTCTCGGCGGCCTTGAACTCGGCGCCCGACAGCACGCCGGCCGAATGGCCGTCGGCCATTTTTCGCGCGCCGCGCTGGCTGGCCTTCTTGTCGGCCGGCGCGAAGGCGACGCGCTCCGTCTTCGGCGGGCGGCGCGGCGGGCTCGCGTCGGGGTCGGCTCGTCGCCGGCGCGGGGGGCTCGCGTCGCTGTCGTCTGCGCGCGCGCGCCGGCGCGGCGGGCTGGCGTCGCTGTCGTCTGCGCGTGCTCGTCGCGGCGGAGATGCGTCGGAATCCGAGCCCGCGCGGCCCCGTCGCGGCAGAGACGCGTCGCTGTCGGATCCAGCTCGGCCGCGTCGGGGAGGACTCGCGTCGCTATCGGAGCCCGCGCGGCCCCGCCTTGGCGGAGAGGCGTCGCTGTCAGAGCCCGCGCGACCTCGTCGCGGTGGCGATGCGTCCGAGTCAGAGCCCGCGCGGCCTCGTCGCGGAGGCGACGCGTCCGAATCAGAGCCCGCGCGCCCCCGCCGCGGAGGGCTCGCGTCGCTATCAGATCCGGCCCGCCCCCGCCGCGGTGGGCTCGCGTCACTGTCCGAGCCCGCGCGCCCGCGCCGCGGCGGCGAGGCGTCCGAGTCGGAGCCCGCGCGCCCGCGCCGCGGCGGCGACGCGTCGCTGTCCGACCCGCCGCCGCCGCCGCCTCCGACGGCCGCCCACGCGCCGCGCGTCCGCACGACCTCCTCGGGCTTGACGGCACCCTCGGCGTCGTCGAAGACCACCTGGGGCGCCTCGTCGTCGGCCTCGGCGTCGAAGCCGGCGCCGCCGGGCGCGGGCGCGGCCCACTCGTCGTCCGACTCGACCAGGCGCATGCCCGAGGCCGCCGCCGACGCCTTCTCGCGCTTGCGCTTCTTCTTTTTCTTGTCTTTCTTGCCGCCGCTCGTGTATTTCTTAAGGTAGTCGGCGCGCGACGACATGGCTTCGTTGCGCGCCGCAGCGATTTGTGGTTGCAAGAGCTTCGCTGCGTGCAGTGCGTATGACTGGCTGTCGGAGTTTACGTTTCGCCGCGCGAAGCGAGCAATGCGAGCGACTATGCGGTTGTAAAGCGGCGCCGCCGCGCCGCAGGCTCGCTAGTGTCTTACAACGCTAGGTCAGTGCGGGTGCAAACGCAGCGTGCGACTTGAGGCTGCTTTAGGCGCCAAAATGAGTCACCTCCTGAAGCAAATAGCCCAGCACAACGCGCCGGGGCCGCGGGCCGCAGTGCCAGTGGAGGATCGATCAATAAGGGTGGTGCTCGGCGGCCAACAGGCTGCCCCATCACTTGGGCGGCGCTCGTCGGGCGACGATGATGCTGCGCTCGCGCACGCCGAGGCGCAGCGGATGTTTGGAGCACCACCACCCGTCGACGCTACCGCCGCCCAGCGCGAGGCGCAGCGCTTGTTTGGTGGGTGCGGCCGGGCGCCGCCGCCGCGCCAGAGCTTGCACGGCGAGCCAACCCAGACGGAGCCAGAGGATCGCCGCTTCGAGCCGCTGGATCCGTCGGAGCTCCCGGCGGTGGGCGTGGCGTCGGAGAACGCCCAGACGTTGTACGAAACGGCAGTAGTAGACGAGCCGACGAACCGTCCGCCACGCCGCGCCGCTTCGACGCGGCCACGCCGATACCCCGGCGAGAGCTCGAGCGAGGAAGAGGAGGAGGAGGACGTGAGCGACGCCGACCTGTCTTCGAGAAAATTTGTCGGCGTGACGACCGCGCACGGCCACGCGAGGGCGCGGATCAAGCATGCTGGCGAAGAGCTCGACCTTGGTACATTTGAAACGCCTGAGCTTGCGGCGCGGGCGTATGACGCGAAGGCGCGCGAGTTCGGGCGGCCGGTGAACTTCCCGCGGGCCGGCGAGAAGCAGGCGATACGCCAACGACGAGCGCCCCCGAAGAAACGGGCGCGAGCGACGCCACCGCCGCGCGTCGACCCGCCGGAGACGACTTTCTCGTACGACCAGCTGATGTTCGAACGCGACACCATGCGCGCGGAGAGGGACTCCCTGCTGATCGAACGCGACGCATTGCGGTCGGAAAGAGACACACTCCGGGGGCAACTCTCAGCCACGACGGCCTTCAAGGACCAGCTCCTGGCGGCGTTGCTGAAGCAGCGACCGGCGAGTAGCCCACCAAACGTGACGGCAAGCGTCGCCATCAGCAACAATACGATCGAAATGTCACCGACGATGTCGAACAACCAAACCTCGAACCAGACCAAACCAGGCAAAAATGGGGTTCGCGGGGCGCAATAAGAATGGCTTGTATGAGCTTCTATGTACTACAAGTAATTATTTGCGGCGCGGCCGCGCGGGCCTCGCCCCTGCGGTTGCATAGATCTTAAAAGTACCTTGCGTGTCTTCTTTTTTTTGGAATATACTATGTTATATTTCTTGCTTGGCAGCCTTACAAATTAATTATTTTTTTTAATTAGCGTAGCAGTAGGGGGGTCTCGTAGGTAACCTTTAGGCGAGGTCGTCCCGTCTATATATGTGCGCCGAGCGGCGACATCAGGCGCTAAACGCGCGCGCCGGTCTCGTTTCGATATATACTGTTGGAGCGGCGGCCTGAGACCCGCAACTGGTACCACAAAAACTTACATTTTGCTGCAAGTGGTTTATTATGGTCGCCAAGCGGGACGCGGCGTGAATAGTTAAACGGATAGGCGCTCAATTGCTACGCGTATTCACATGGACCAACCACCGCGCCCGCCTGCTACGTTGCCGCCGCTCGAGGACGTCGACAGCCTCATCGCGAGGAATGCGCCGATCGCGCGCACGCGCAAGCGCCGAAGTGAGAACTTCGAGCGATGTACGACTGCGACCACAACTGGGCAGTATCTCGCGATGGGCGCCGCGCGCAAGGACTTGAAATACGACATTGAGCAAGGCTTCGTCATGGTGCTGGACCGGGCGCCGCCGCTCGCCGGCCACCAGTGGGAGGCAACCGTCCCGCGAAGCCCCCCGGCCTCGCCGCAGTCGCCGCGCAAAAGACCAAAAAAGGTCTCGTCCAAAGCGCTCGCGGTTGCGGCGGTCGCGGCAGCCGAGGCGCGCGAGGCTGCGGCGGCGCCCGCGCCAGCGCCCGCGCCAGCGCCCGCGTCGCCGCCGCCGGTGCGCACCTCGACCTACCTCCCGTCCTCGAGTCTAAGGCCGGAATACGCCGAAACGCCAACTCGGAAGCAGATCACCCAAATGATCGCCGGGAACGAGAGCACCTCGTCCTCCTCGTCGGACTCAGACACGGACGATGACTTCTCTCCGGACGGGGCGCCGGTGCGCCGCGCGAGTCCGCCGAGCACCGTGTCCTCCTCGTCGGACAGCGACACTCCGCCGGCCGAATCTGACACGGACGACGAGGCGCGGCCGCCGGCGCGCGCGCCGCCGCGGGGGCCGCCCGTGTCCGCTGCCGAAATCGCGGCGGCGGCGCGCTCATCGGAGGACGACGCGCGGCCGCCGGCCAACGACGACACGGACGACGACCTGCCTCCGCCGCCTGTGGTGAAGCAAGAGCCCGTGCCGCCGGAGGAGCAATGCTTCGACGGTGTTGAGTTCACGGGGCCGCCGGCTGCGCTGAGTTGCACGCCCCAGACGGTACATAAAAAGTACGTCGGTGTGAGCATTGATGCTCGTCGGGAAAACACGTCGTGGTCCGCGAACATCGGCGTCGACGGCGAGACGGAGTATTTGGGCAACTACTACTCGCCCGTAGAAGCCGCCGCAGCCTACGACAAGCGAGCACGGGAGTTGAATCGGCCGGTGAATTTCCCGCGCGAGGGGGAAGAGCAGGCGGTGCCGAAGACGAGAAGGAGCTCGACGGGACCGCCGCCCGCGAAACGCGCCCGCACGACCAACTCTCCGGCTCCTGCCGCGGCGCCGCCGCGACCTCCAGCGTCTCAGGCGCCCGCGCCGCCGCGACCGCGAGCACCAGTGCCGGAGGCGCCCGCGCTGCCGCGCCCGCGACCGCCGGAGCCTCGAGCGCCCGCGCCGCCACGACCGCGACCGCCGGAGCCTGAGGCGCCCGCGCCGCGGCGGGGGCACTGGCGTTTCCGCGATCGCGATCCCGACGACAACCTCCTGGAGCAGCTGCAGGACGCCGGAGCGCGCCTGCGCCAGAGGGGCCGGGAGCGCGACGCCGCGCGCGCAGAAGTCGCGACGCTCCGACGCGAACGCGACGAGGCGCTCCGGGAGCGGGACGCGGCCCGGAAGCAGTTGGCCGCGCGAAACGACATGCTCGCGCAGGTCCTCAAGGAGCAGCAGTACTAAGTAGCGGTTTTTCAACTGTCTGCCGGTTCCAGGGCTCCGGCGCGAGGGAAATTGCTAGCGGCTGTAAGACACTAGCAAGCTAACCTACGGCAGAGCAGCGCTGAGAAGCGAGCGCATTTCAGCTTTGCACAGCCCCCAGTAAGCTAGTGAAACACGCGTTTTTTCCAACAGGCACAGTGTCAAGCCGCGAGAGCGCAAGTTCTCAAACCCCGGCTCAGGCACCCAGAGCGCCACTGCCGGCGACCACAATCATCACAAAGAATAGCGGCGAACCACAAGAGGAGCCGAAGCCGTCGGAAAACAGCGAAAGAATGGCCGAAGAGGCTCCCAAGGGACTCGGACCCTCCCGACCGGACGCCATGGGCCCGAAGTCGTTGTGGCAGGCTCCGTCCGGGCCCCGCCGCGCCGTCAAGCGCGCCCGCTCCGAAGAAACAAACGCTGCGCCTCCAGCGCCGGCCGAGCCCGCGGCGATGGAGACCGCTGCACCAGCGCCGGCCGAGCCCGCGGCGGTGCCAGCGCCGGCCGAGCCCGCGGCGGCACCGCCGCCGCCCGAGCCCGCGGCGATGGAGACGGAGCCGACGCCGCCGCCGCCGCCGCCCGGGAGCCGCATCACCGTGCGCTTCAGCGACGGCCAGGACTACGGGGGCACCATCACGGGATTGCTGGACAAGCAACGCGCCATGGTGCTCTACGACGACGGCCAGAGCGAGGCCGTGCGCTTCCCGGACCCCGACGTCAAAATCACGAGGGTCGGGCCCGCGCCGTCGCTCGAAGTGACCCTCGCGACGCCCGCCGCGGCGCCGGCGCCGGCGCCGGCGCCCGCACCGGCGCAGTCGTTCGAGGACGGCGACCGCGTCGAGGCGCGCTTCGGCTTCGGCAAGCAGTGGTACGGCGGCCGCATCACGGGCGGGTCGGCGTTGATCGGCTACGACGTGGTTTATGATGACGGCGACCGCGAGTCGGGCGTCGCCGCGGAGCTGATCCGGCCCATCATCCGGGAATTTGTCGAGATGCCGCCCGAGCCGCCGCGGCCGCCGCCGGCCGTGGAAGCTGCAGGCGAGGACGACTTCGTGGGCATCTACCGCAAGAGCAAGACGGCGAACTGGGAGGCCGGCATCAAGGTGAACGGCGAGCGCATGCACCTGGGCACCTACGACTCGCCCGAGGCCGCGGCGCGGGCCTACGACGACAAGGCCCGCGCCCACGGCCGCCCCGTGAACTTCCCGCGCGCCGGCGAGCAGCAGGCCAAGAAGCAGCGGAAGCGCGCGCGGACGGCCCCTCAATCGCCGCCGCAGCACATTCTGTTCGGCTCGCCGCTGCCGGAGGAGGACGACGACGGATTCGTTGGCATCTGGCGGGCGCCGGGCTGTGTGGAAATCAAATTTCGGACGCCCCACGCCATCGACCCGACGTCGCCCCGTAACTGATCTGCTCGATGGCGTGGAGATTCTACGCCATCGACGCGACGTTGTCCCCGCAACTGCTGCAGCTCGATGGCGTGGAGGTTCATGAAGGTCTCCGCAATAATTCTCAGGATAACCTCACTCACTGCTTGATTTCCACACAGGCCCCTGGTGCACGAAAGCCGACGTGGAAGAGCAGCATAACCGTCGCCGGCGAGAAGGTCCATCTCGGGTCCTTCTCCGACCCCATCGCGGCGGCCCAGGCCTACGACGCCAAGGCGCGCGAGCAGGGCCGGCCGGTGAATTTCCCGCGGGACGGCGAGGTCAAGGCCGAGAAGAACCAGCGCCGCGCGCGGCCGGCCGCCGCGCCGGCGCCGCGCGCCCCGGCGCCCTCGCCGCGCGCGCCGCGCGTGGCCCGGGAGGTCGACCGCCTGCGCCTCGAGCGCGACGACGCGCTCGCTCAGTTGGCGCACGTCCGGGGCCAGCTCGAGGAGTCGCGGCGGTACAACGACAAGCTGCTCGCCGTGTTCCTGGCGCGGTCGCTGCCGCCGCCGCCGCCGCCGCCCCTGCCCGTGCCGGAGAAGGACGATAGCGACGAGTCGCGGTAAGATCGGGCTCGGGCTATTTAGGTCGACTCGTTGGGTCCCCTACCCCTCCCGCTCCTCCCGGGCCCACCTGGACTATTCTATACTAGCACCCGCGTGCGGGATTTCTAAAAAAAAGTTCGGGTAGTCTCACCATTTCTAGCCGTTGAGGTCTCTTGAGGGGAATTGGGGAGCACTCCGCACGCGGGTGTCTATATGCTAGTCTTGGGGCGTCTACAAAACGGGTTTTCCAGGTGCGCTACTATGCATAAAGGTTCCCCAAAACCCGAATAACTAGCTACACACATAGCGGTTGCGGTTTACAAGTGCGCTACGCCCTGATGCAACAGATCACGATCTAAAGATGGGCCGTAATAAAGCACATATACCGCTATCTAAACGGGAGAAGAGACTAATAATGGGGCGGCCATGACGCATTCACCAGGGCCGAAAATCAACCAATACGCCATCGCGCAGACGCAGTTACAGAGACATCGACGCGTCGATGGCGTGGGGCTTGACGCGGTGGGTTTCGCACAGGCACCTTATATTCGCAAAACAACGCGCCGTCGCCGTCGAACTCTTCTCCGGGACGCTGATCAGTTTGCGGAAAGGCGGTGGTCTCTGGTTCTTTGCGCGCTATACGAAGGGATACTATGGCAGGATATTCCTCGACCGCGGACCGAGACAACAGCGCTCGACGCTCGACGTTGCGCAGGCCGCCCGGACCGTGCGCTGCGCGAGCGAGGCGTCGGCCGGGCCGCGCGCGAAGAGGCCGTCCTGCGACGGAGTTAAATAAAATAACACACTATTAAACTTGCTCCTTCGCGACGACGCGCCGGCGCGTCCGCCTGGCGCCGCGCGCAGCCATAGCCGCGACTTAGGCCCGCCGCTCGAGCACGACGCCGCTCTCAAGGTGGTCCGTGTACGGGAACTGGTCGAAGGCGGCGACGCGTTTTATGGAATGCGTCGGCGCGAGCAACCGCACGTCGCGCGCGAGCGTCTCGGGGTTGCACGACACGTAGATGATCCGGTCGAAGCCCGCGGCGATCTGCGAGCACGTCTCATCCAAACCAGCGCGCGGCGGATCCACAAATAACGAGCCCCGGCCCATCTGGGAAAGGTCGACGTCGAGGTTCTGCAGCCGCCGCGGCGTCGTGCCCGTCTTGAGCGCGCCCGCGACCTCTTCCGCCGGGACCCTCGCCACGCGCACATTGTTTATGGAATTCGTCGCGAGGTTGCGCTCGGCCAGCGCCACGGACGCCTTGGACAGCTCCGTCGCGACGACTCGCTCGAAGTTCGGCGCCAAAGCGACGGTGAAGGTGCCGCCGCCGCAATACAGCTCGCAGAGGTCGCCCTCACTTCCTAGTGTTGCGTCGTGGGCCCAGGCCAGCATCTTCTCGCAGACGCCGGCGTTCGGCTGCGTGAAGGCCCCCTCCTGCTGCGCGTACGTTAATGCGCGGCCGTTTACCTCCAGTTTCTCCGTCACGGTGTCGTCGTTGCTCCCGACGACGACTTTGAACTTGCGCGACCGCCCCACAATTGTGGCACCCGTTTTTTGGTGCAGGTCCTGGGCCGCCTGTTCCCACTCCTCGGTCGTGAACTCCTTGCAGCCTTTGAGATCTCTATTGTAGGCTAAGGCAATGAGCGCGTCGTCGGTCTGCGTCGTCAGGAACCGCACGTCGATGATCTTCCGTCCCAAGACCGCCGGCTGGATCGCCTCCCGCACCACGGGCATGAGCTCGTTTATCTTTCGCGAGCCCATCGGGAAGCGGTCGATCTCGTGCGGGTCCCTGTTACCATGCTCGTACATCACTAAATGCCGCGAGCAGTCCGGCTCGTCGCCGACGTGCCAGACCTGAAACGCCGCGCGCATACGAAAGTGCTCCCGCTCCGACTCGTGCACCTCGACGGTCGGTAGCGGCGCGTAGCTCGTGGCGCTTCGGAGCGACGCCTCGAGCGTCGCGACCTTCTCTTTGAGCAGTTCGTCGTAGAGCTCGGGGTGGCAGCGCGCGACGGCCGGGACGCCGCCGTCGGGTCGCCGCAGGACCTTGGGCGGCAGCCGCGGGCCGCTCGGCCGGCGCCGCCGGCCGCGGCTCAGCGCCGCCGCGACCTGGAGCAGCGCGACACACCGCGTCGTGCTCCGTCGCAGCGCGAACATCGCTTCCGCGTCACACTGCTGCGCTGCACACTGAGCACAAGAGCTGCTGGCAAACTTATGCTGCGCGCTGCACGACGCACGTTTCGTATTCGACTCTGGTTGCACAGGTGCGACTTCTGCACGGGATAGATTCTTGCGTCGTGCCGTGCACCGCGCGTTTGTTGTCCTGTTCAACTCTCTTGCTCTGCAGCAAAAAGCAGCTCTGGGTGCTGCTCAGGCGTCGCACGGAGGACCTGAAGAAACAAGCAGCGCTGTTTAGCGGCACCACAGCAGCAAATACACCATGGCCTACGTCGCCGGCACGCCGCCGAAGCCACCGGACAAGGCCAAGAAGTCTTTCTTTGATATGCACAGACACGGCTTCGTCCGCGTCGCCACCGCCGTGCCCCGCGTCGCGCTCTGCGACCCGCGCGAGAACGCGGCGCGGATCGAGACGCTCTACAAAGAAGCTTGTGCGCAGCAATCCGCGGTCTGCTGCTTCCCGGAGCTCTGCGTGAGCGGCTACGCATTGGATGACCTGCTCCAGCAGGACGCCTTACAGGACGAATGCCTCGAGGCCCTCGCTTCCCTGAAACGGGCCGCGAAGGACTGTTTATTACTAGTAGGAGCCCCTTTGCGCTTCGACGGACGCTTGTTCAACTGCGCCATCGCGCTACAAGCAGGCCGCTGCCTCGGCATTATCCCGAAGTCGTACCTGCCGAACTTCCGCGAATTCTACGAAGCGCGGCAGTTCGCGCCGGCGCGGCTGCGCGTGTCTTCGGAAGTGTCGTTCCTGGGCGAGACCGTGCCGTTCACGCCCGATCTCATTTTTCGCTGCGCCGAGCAATCGTCGTTGTGTATTGGATGCGAGGTCTGCCAGGACGTCTGGGTGCCCGCGCCGCCGTCGTGTGCGCAATGCTGGCGCGGCGCGACCGTCGTGTGCAACCTCTCCGCGTCCAACATCACGATAGGCAAGGCCGCGTACCGGAGTCAACTCGTCCAGTCCATGGCGGCGAAGAACTACTGCTGTTACGCGTACTGCTCGGCCGGCCAAGGCGAGTCTACCAACGACGTGGCCTGGGACGGCCAGTCTATAATCTATGAGTGCGGCGATTTTCTGGCGCAATCACCTAGGTTTGCGGAGGACGCTACAATAACATATGCGGACGTCGATCTAGATAGAATCGAACAAGATCGAAGTCGGGACGCGACGTGGTCGCAGAACGCCGCGGACTACGCGGACGTCGTTCGTAAAGTGCGCGTCGTGGAGTTCTCTCGTCAATCAGCCCAGACTCCATTGCAGTATCGCGTTGTAGCAAAAAGACCCTACGTGCCCGCGGCCAAGGATGAATTAGATCAGCGCTGCTACGAGTGCTACAATATTCAAGTTTCAGGATTGGTGCAGCGCATGCGTTCTTCTGGTCTTAAGAAGCTGGTGATTGGCGTCTCTGGTGGGCTGGATTCGACGCATGCTCTGTTGGTTTGTGTGCAAGCCCTAGATAAGCTGAAACTCCCTCGCTCAAACTGCCTCGCCTACACGATGCCGGGCTTCGCGACGGGCGAAGCCACAAAGTCCTACGCTACGGAACTGATGCGGCGCTTGGGCGTCACGGCGCACGAACTCGATATAAGACCGTCGTGCGAGGTCATGCTGCGGGACCTGGGCCACCCCTATGCAAAAGGAGAACCGGTCTACGACGTGACCTTTGAGAACGTGCAGGCTGGTGAAAGAACAAACCATTTGTTTCGGTTGGCGAACCACCAAAATGCCTTTGTGGTGGGCACGGGTGATCTGTCGGAACTCGCGTTAGGCTGGTGCACGTATGGGGTCGGCGACCACATGAGTCATTATGGAGTGAACGCGTCCGTGCCGAAGTCCTTAATTCAGTGCGTGATCCAGTGGGTCATCGACTCGGACTTCGTTGGTCCCGAGGCGAACGACGTTTTGTCAAAGATACTGTCGGTGGAGATCTCGCCCGAGTTGATACCGGGCGCCGAGATCCAGTCGACGGAGGCGACGCTGGGACCCTACGACCTGCACGACTTCCAGCTCTACCAAACGACGCGGCGCGGCTTCGCCCCGGCTAAAAGTGCCTTCCTCGCGATGCACGCTTTTCGTGAGGCGACGCCGTCTTCCAATGTCCTCGAGGACCGCGCCTTTGGTTTGGTCGAGATCCTGAAGCACCAGCGGACGTTCTTGAGACGGTTCTTCCTCACCTCCCAATTCAAGCGGACGTGCGTGCCGAACGCGCCGAAAGTCGGCGACGGCGGCTCGCTGAGCCCGCGCGGCGACTGGCGCGCTCCCAGTGATTCGTCGTGGGCCCCCTGGGAGCGGGCCTGGGCGCGGTGCGTCGCGTGGGCGCGGGACACGTGCGACGACGCGGACGTGCGGCGGGGGTTGGGGGCGCTTGCCGGCGCGTGATTTTTCCTCTTCTTTGGAGTAATCTTCGTTTTTCCTGAGATCTTCGCTGGTTCTTCACGATCTATTGTTACGGTGCTAGGACTAGTGCCGGACACCTTGTTTTCTAGTGCCTTACGGGCCGCTAGCTGTCGCGCTCTCGTGCTAAAAACCGCTGTGCTTCAAAAGGACTACCGCAATAGGGCTGTGCCTAAGCAAGGCAGTGCCTACCGTGCCTAGGCAACGTCGCATCGATCAAAAATGCATGTCACCGCCGTGCAAATAGCGGAATTCCTCATCATGGTGGTCATCATCATGTCCCTGCCCAAGCTCGTCACGAGTTGAGATGGACACGCTGGGCACGGCGCTGCAGGCCGCGGACGCCGGCGCGCGCGTCGCAGGAATCGCCGTCGTGCGGTGGGTCGGCCCGCGCAAGGACGTGCGCACATGGACCGGAGCGGTCGTCGCGAAGCGCGAGTGCGAGGTCGTCGACGCGACGCTGCAGCCGACGACGCTGGCCGTCTGGGGCTACGACAAGGTGGTGGAACTCGGAAAATTGCTGAATGAAGTGATAAGCTATACGGGCCGGGCCTCGGACTGGCGCGGCCGGTCGCTCAACGCGGACAAGATTGAGAGGGTCCGATGCGACGAACTGAAGCGGCGCTTCTTCGCGCCGGGTCTTCAAGCGTATTTGTCGACGAAATCCTGCGAAGCGCGGGACGCCTACTCGGTCACCTCCGCATTACCGCGCGATTCTTCCATCGGCGCCGACGCTTTGTACCGGTCGTCCGCCTTCGTCGCGACCTACACCCAAGCCTTGCCCAAGGCGCACGTCCTCTCCCGGAATCCGTCTCCGTTGAAACTCGCCGAGGCGATCTGGGGCGACGTCAGTAAAAGAAGGCGTCTGCGCGTCCGCCTCAAGAAGCACGCCTGGCCCTTATTGGCCAAGCTCGCGCGGAACTACTCGTCCCCGCGCATCGGCGAGATCTATAAGAAGACTATTTCGGCAGAGGAGGTGGTCGACGCGACGTGCGCTGCGCGCTTCGTCGTCGGCGCCTGCCGGCCGATCGTCCCACGCGCGTTCTTCGGCAGCAAGCGCAACGAGCGCCGCTACTACCGCGCCATCGACGCGTTCCTCCGAGCGGGCGACGTCGGCGGCCGGATAAATGGAAGGCGGCTCCGCGAGGTGCTCGCCGAGTCCCACATTACGTGGACCCACGCCGATCGAGCGCGGCGGCCCGCGTCGGATTTGCGGGCGGCGCGCGAGCTCCTCGAGACCTTCTGTCTTTGGGTGCTGACGGACCTCGCGTTACCGCTGCTCAGGGCGCGCCTCGCGGCCTTTCCCTCGGTAGCCGGAGTCCCGGAGTACCGTTCCAGAGTCGCGTGGTACGCCGCCGAAGCGAACGCTCTCGAGGGGTCGGAGCACCTGCAGCGGGTCCCGCGGGAGGCGCCGCGGCCGCCGCGCAGCGCGAAGGTCCGCGGCGTGCCGAAGCCGGCGGGCGGCGTGCGGTTGATCCAGGCGCTCGGGCGGCGCGGTGCCGGGCAGCGAGCGCCGGGAGCGGCGTGCCTGCACGACGCGGTGCTCGCGCTGAGGGTCGAAGGCCTGTGTGGAAATCAAATGTCGCGGCGCTTCTCCGCTTACGGCTGAATCTAAACTTCCACGCCATCGACGCGACGCCTGCTCGATGGCGTGCACGCGACACACTGGTTGATTTCCACACAGGTCGAGGCGCGGCGGCGGCCCGAGCTGTTGGGCTGCGCGGGCGGCGGGGCCGACGCGCTCTGGCGCGCGCTGCGCCAGGCCCGGGATCGGAACTACGAGGGCTTGGCGCTGGACGCGTCCGGTTGCTTCGACCGCATGGACCAGCGGCGCCTTGTCGACATCTGCGCCGCCGCGCTGGCGCACGACTCGTACCGGATCCACGGCGGCCGGCGCGCGTCGATTGATGATAGCAAAGGCGGCCTGCACGCGCGGCGGACGCGTCTGGTGACGCGGGCGACGCTCGTCGGCGCGCTCCAGGCGCACTGTTTAGATCATCACACGGTCGCGAAATGCCGGGGCCGGCCGCGGTTCTACAAGCAGGTCGTCGGCGTGCCGCAGGGGTCGTGCGCGTCTTCACTCCTATGCGACCTGTACTACGGCGCCTTTGAGCGCGACTGCCTCGGGCGGTTCCTGCAGTCGTCGTGCGTCGCGTGCCGCGTGGTCGACGACACGCTCGTGCTGGGCGAGGACGTCGGCGGCTTCCTCGACGCCTACGCCGAGGCGGGCCCGCGGCGCAACATCCTGGTCACGGCGGCCAAGACCCACGCGACCGTGCCGCACCCGCTGCTCGCCGCGGCGCCGGCGCCCAGGTTGCGGTTCCTGGGCCTCGACGTCGACGCGGCGACGGGCCGCGCGCGCCGTGCGCCCAGCGCCCAGCGCCGGCGGAGGCTTGCGGCGCGGCTCGGGCGGCCGTCGCCGAGAGCGGCGAACGTCGCGGGGCGCGTGCGGGCTGCCCTTCGCGCGCGGGCGGCTCCTCTACTTTTGGACGCGGAGCTGCAGACGTTGGACGGCGCGCGCGAGAACCTGCGCGATCTGTTTACGGCCGCGGCGGTCGCCGCCGACTCCGCGGTTCGCGCGCTGCGGCCTTCGTCCGCAGAACGGCTCCGGTCCGACTTGCGCGGCGCCGTCGGCGCGGCCTTTGCTGGGTATCTTAGGGCTCGGCGAAAGGCGAATCTGGTCGCGTCAAAACCGCGGCTGAGCAGGCACGACTTCGTGTCCGCCGCGCGGACGGCGTTTTCTTCTTCGGAGGCGCTGCGGCCGTTCCTTGGTGGGGAGTGGTGGGAGGAGTAAGATAAAAACTTGTGCTTAGTTGTGCGGCGGCGGCGCTCTTCTTGATCGCGCCGTGGTGCTTAGGTGCTCAGGCTTGAGTCAGGGAAACGTCGCGGGGAGCTCCTCCCCCGCGAGCCAAGCTTTGATGATCGGCGCGGCGCCGGCGGCTTGCGACGCTGCGAGCGGCCCGTAGACGTTCGTGAAGAACCAGTTCGCGTTATCAGCCTCGACGACGGTCTTGACGATGTCCGAGGGGTAGTTCGACTGGAGAATCAACACGTCGACCACTGATCCCGCCTGGGTGCCGTACCATTCATTCTCGACGGACGTCACGAGGCCGCGCCAGTAAGTCGAGTTCACGTCTTCGTATTCCGCGGAGGCCACAAACTCCGCGCGCGGCGGCGGTCCTTTGTCGAGGACGCGCTCGAGGTTGGTCGGGAACGGCGCGGTAGCGTACACGGGCCAGCGAGCCTCGCGGCCTTCGCCGCCCGGGTAGGCTTCGGCGAAGATCTGCTGTCCCGGCACATAATAGCCTCCTCCTTCGTTTCGGACGGCAATCGTGTTCGCGGGGATGAACGGCCCGTACTTCTCCGGGCCGCCCGCGAAGAGCGGCGTCGTCGAGTAGTTGCTATTCGTCACGAGCAAAAGCTTCATGATCCCGTTCCAACCGGTACCGGCGAAGCCCTTCTGCATGGAGGCCGGTCGCCGCGCGGGAACCAAACTTGGCGGTGCCAATGTCTTCGATCGCCGGGGCCATCATGTTGCCGACGTACGCCATCCAGCGCACGATCGGCAGGCTCAGTTTGCCGAGCGTGCCGAACAGGAGGCCCATGACGCCGACGAGCGGCTTGCAAACATCCGGGAGCGTCTGATCCCACCCGGGCCACTTGGTCCAGGCGGCGCCGGTCGAAACCGCCGCGAGCTGCACCTGTGCGAAGTCCTCGCCCCAGGCCGCCAGGACGCCGTCGAGGGGCTTGCTCTCGTTGAGGACGTTGTCGTAGAACTCTTTGCTATAAGTGAACTGCGAGGCGAACCAGTAGCCTCCGGATGTGCCGCCCAGATGCGTAACCTTCGGCCAGTTCTCCGCGCCGATGCCTCGCGCGATGCCCATCGCCATCGTCATCTGCCGAAATCCCCCGCCACGACACGCGACGCCGAAGGGCGTGCGACTCGTGTCGTCGTGAGAATCATCTTTCGCTGGAGCCTCCGTCGACCATGCGGGCGCCGCGACGGCCGCCGCGCGCCAGTCCATGCTCATAGTCGATGCCGGGCGCGACGTCGATGAAACCCCCGCGGCGGCCGTAACTTCCTTCTCCTTAAGGGTAGCTTTTCCTTGGAGGTCGCCGCGATTCGTGCTCGGCACGGCTACCCCCACAAACAGTCCCAGGCCGCATAGCAAAACTGCTAGCTTCAGTGCAAAGCTCTGGTGCTTCGGCCGCTTGTTGAGAAGGGTTTGAGTCTCGAGGCTTTCAAGATCCATTCTCAAGTTAAGAAATTACCAGTTAAATGCTTGTCGCGTGCTTTTGTCCTTTTTTTTCAGCCTGCTTTGGCTCCTCTTGTGCAGCTTATGCCTCAATTTCATGCTGCTCCAATGAAGCGTCAGAGCATTCGACCGCGCGCAGGGATGCGTTGTAAGGCTTTAGAACGGGTCTCGACCGACCTGATTCTAGAGCCTTACCGGCTTTAGCTGCAAATTTGGCGTCGGCGTTTGCAGCCACAACTGGCGCACGGCTCAAGAATCGATCAAGAACAGACCAGCAGTGGTGTGCCCTGGTTCGTGCTGCGAGCGCTGACGTGAAAAGAAATGCGCAACTGAACTCCTTGGCAGCTATGCAAAATTCAAGCGGCACAGCTGACGCCCAAAAAAGGCGCAGCAAAACACCGCCGCCCGTGCGCAGCAGCAATGCCGCAATGACACCGCTCCGCCGCGTGGCGGAGGCAGCAACAACAGCAATGACGCCGCCGCCCGCGGTTCGCACACCGTCGACACCGCCCGCGCGCCCATCCAAGACGCCGAAGACGACCGAGACGGCCGCGCCGACGACGCCGTGGCACGAGCGTTTAGCGACCAAGGTGTATGCGGGACGGCTGGAAGTTAGAGCGACGCACGTGCGCGAGCCTATCCTCGAGGCCGACGCGGCGTTGCTGATCATCCGCTGGGCCGCGTTATTATCGCCGCGGACGCCCGTCGTCGAGCTCACGTTGGACGACGCTTCTCTGGATTTAGATGCGGAAATGTCGGCGTCGCCACCGCCGACGACGAAAGCTGACGCCGTCTCGGCGGTGCTGTCGTGGCTCGTCCTGCGCTTACTGGCATTACTCCTCAGCGACGCGCGCATCGTGCTGAGGAGGTGCCGCGTCGCGCGGAAGCAGTACGTCGCGACGGTCGCGAGCGCTACCGTGGACGTCTCGCTCTCGCCGCCGCGCGTCGCCGCCGCGACGCCGCGCGACGCCGTCGCGAGCGCCCTCCGCGCCGCGGCCGCCGGCGCGGCCGGCACGCGCGGATCCGTCGCTCTCGCGGCCGAGGGCGTCGACGCGAAGCGCCGCGCGGGCGAACAAGTACTGGCGGCCGACCGCCTGAGCGGAAGCGGCTGCGTGGGCATCTCACATGCGACGTCACTCGAAATTTCGGGAGAGGCCGACGGCGCCTCCGTACGAGGGCGCGAGCCCCAGGCGTTCCGCGCGACTTTGACCGCGATGTTGCGCGACGGCGCCGTGGAAAGTGGCGACGGCGCCCTCACGGCCGCGACGGCCGCCGAGGACGCTCTTAGTATAGCGCTGTCCATTGAAAATGGCCGGCGCTCCTTGAAGGTCGAAGTTTCAAAGCCGCTCGACGAGGTGCTGCCCCGCGCTTGGATGGACTACTTCGGTAGTGGCGACACCTCAAGTGCGTTAGACATAGAACTCGAGGCGAAGGCGAGGACGCGCGTCGGGTTAGCGAACGACGACGGGTCGGTGGTCGCGTTAGTTGTCGAAGAGGGCGGCCGCCTCGCCACGTCCAATAATACGACGAAGGCCTCAGCTTCGCTCGAAATTGACATAGACGACGACACGGTTTTGAGGGTCGAGGACGCGCGGCTCGACGCGACGCCATCCCAAACCGCGATCCACGCGGCCTCTGCGATAATAAGGTGCACGCCCTCTCAGTCAAAGATCGTCGAGGGCCTCATGCCCACAAACACAACGACGAAGGGCAAATTACGACTCGACGTCAAGCGCCTCGAGTGCACTTTATTTGACGGCGCCGACGCGTCGGACCGAAGGGCCTTCTGCGTCCATCTTTTCCTTATGAATCTGGCGGCCGTCGCCGACAATGATAAGGTCGCGGCGCGCTGCGGACAATGTGAAATATTCTCGAGGGGCCCGCGCGCGACGTCGGACGCCCCAGCCCTCAAGGCATTCAGCGAAGGTGGGGATGCTCTGATCGTGCGGTCGTCTCCGGAAAAATTGGAGGTCGCTTTGGCTGTCGTAAAGGCGGACCTCGACGAGGCGGCGCTAGTTGATATGAGAGGGTGTGCGGACGCGTTTGCATCATCCTCGTCCAGTGTTGGTGACGTCGCCGTGACGGCGACGACCGCGACGGTCGCTTATAGAGTTGCAAATGGCGCCGTGACGTGCGAAGGCGACAATTTACGCTACGCGACGAACGAGGCATCATTGGCTTCACTTAACATAAGGGCGGGTCCGTACGAAAAGGACCTCATAAACGCGTCGACCGTGTCCCTGGAAATTAATGAAGCGTACCGCGTCCAATGCGAGGCCTGCGACGTATGTTATCAGGGCGCGGCCTGGGGTGTTGTGTTAGAGGCGTGGGCCGAGGCGCTGCCTTCGTCATCAACTACTTCTGAGGACACGGTCTTCGCCCTAAAGGCGCAGCGCGCGACGGTCGGCGCGCCTGGTTCCCGCGCGGGGTTGAGAATGGCTCGTTTATCCGCCTCCACCGTCGAGTGCGCCGTCGACGGGTTGGGAAGATGGGCCGTCGCCGCCAAACGGCCGCGGCTCGAGACATTTGACAATTCTTCCGTGAAGCAGCTCGCCGACCTGGGTGGCGAACTTTCATGTACGGTCGATTGGGCGTCGGACGACGGCTTGATTGTTAAAGCAAGGGCGCCGGCCGTCCGCGCGACGGTAGCGTTAACGAGGTACGACCACGATTTAATAAGGACAGTGGTGTGGCGCACGTTGTCTGGCGGCGACGACCCCGTCGTGCCTTCCGACAAGAGTTTGAGGGTCGAAGTCGAGGCGGGCGCCGCCGACTTGAGACTCGAGGACGTCGGGCGGATCGCGTCGACGGGCGTGCGATTGGAAGTGATACGACCCCACGGCGCCTTTACCACATTTGCAGTTAAGTGCGCGGCCGCCACGGTCTACGACCGAGCTAGGAAGACCATCGCGTCGCCCGAGAGCACTGGTGCAGATGCCTTCGAGTTTAGTGTAGGACACGGCGACGCCGACCTGAACGGTATAAGGGCGTCGCTCACGTCGTTGACGGCTAGACATACATCTATAATCTGGCGCGCCGAGGCCTGGTGGGCCTTCCGGGATTTCTTTCGCTACGAGTACGTCCGCGATGCGCGGGACGGCCCTTCCAATGATTTTCCTCCTACCGTGGAAGACGACCGGCCCTATGGCTTTCGCCTAGCGCTGGAGAAGGGCCGCGTCGCCTTACCGCCGTCGCGCAAGAGGACGACTTCATTAGAACTGCGCGGCGCGTCCGTAACCTACGACTACGACTCGCGCGAGGCCTCTCATAGAGGCGCGTGGACCGCGGTTGACGTAAACGCTGTTTGTGGATCGCTGACACTGGAAACCGTGGCCAAGGCGTCGATCCATCTCTCGCCGGACGGGACGCGACGCCATATTATTATAGAGGGCGCCAAGGCCATCAAGGCACCTTCTGATGATGTTTTTGCGGACGGCGTCAGGGACGCCTTCGGGTGTGTGTACCGGGCGCTCGGGTACGACGACGACGTTTCTGATGAGACGCCTTCTTCATTATTACTGCTCGAGGCGCGCGTCGATAGCATCACGGGTATTGTTGGAGACCGCGAGGTATCAATAAAGAGTCTCGCCTACGGCCGCCGGCGCGCTTCCCCTCAAAAGGCGTGGCTCGAGGCCGCGCGCGCCGCGTCCGTCGAGGTCTCTTCCGTACAAAATGACGCGCGCGGCATCCTCGGGCGACTAGCACTGAACGCGGCCCCGAAAAGCGTCGCCGGTTCATTAGAACAGGGCTTCCGGGCCGACGCGCAGGACGACGGCGCCTGGGTGTTGGACGTGCCTCGTGTTTCTGTCCTAGAGCCCGGGGCCATAGCGTCATTAGTGGACGCGATGGCCACGCACGCGCCGTCCTCAAATGAAGCAGGGAGTTTAAGATTGGCCCTCGGGGCGCTGGTCGTGCAGGCGTCCCCCGAGACGATCATACAAACGGGCGCCTGCCGATTGACAAGAGACGCCGACAGCACGTCCGCGAATGTGAAAGATGTGTCCTTGACCGTCGACGATGATAGCGTGATAGCGTGCGCCGCGCTCACGCTGTCGTCGTTCCGCGGGCGCGTGGCCGTGGCCTGCGACGCGTTATGTCGCGTCGACGCCGCGCGATTGAATGATGCGAAGGAGGCGCTAACGAACCTCGCGGCGCTCGCTCCAAAAAGCGGCGACGCGTCGCAGGAACCTTTGACGCTGGCCGTCGGCGACCTCGACGTGGCGCACGGTGCTTCTGTGTTGAAAGGCTCGCTGACCGCGGCCTATTCAGGTACCAAGGTCGACGCACACCTGCAGACGGTCGAGGCGACGCACGGTGCTTTGATACTTGCGGCCCCTTCGTCAATCGACGTCACGTTTGAAACAAACACCGGGGTGTTGACTGCCGAGGCGGCGCCGGTCGACTTGAGAGCGGGCGCGGTCGCCTGCCGCTTCGGTAAGATAAACCTGCGGCGCGACGGCCGGGGCACGGCTTTGATAGGACGCTCCATGAGTGGCGGCACGGCGACGTGCCAAGTTAAACTAGAACCGGACGACGGCAACCCGGCGCGGCCGACGGCGGTGCTCGCCTGGGAATCCGATGCAGGCTGGGACGCCGTGTTGGTCGCGGACGTCCCATTAAAGGCCGACCCCTTGGACGTGCAGTTGCGGACCCTGCCGCGCACCACCGTTTCCATTGATGTCGGCGGGACGGCCGTCGATATTCGAGACGCGTCCCTCGCGTGGGAGGCGGGCGCGCTGAAAATCAACGACGCCGCCGTGTCTGTGGGTGCGACGTCATTTACGACCTCGGTACAAATCGATGCAAGCATACCGCGGATCTCCGTCCACGCGCCTTTACAATACGAGCTGCCGCCCCACTTCGCGAAAGCAATCAAGAGTGTGGTATCCGTTCTCATGGCGGGCGGTGGTTCAGAAGAGTGCCGTGCCGCGTCGCAGTTGAAGGAGGGCGCGTTCCCTATGTTAGACGACGTTCTATCGTTGTACGCCGCCCTCGGTACACGCGACGAAGAGGCAATGCCGCGCGTGCGGACCTTCGCCGGCGCCAAACTAGGCTTAGTGTTGGTGCGGAGGGGGGCCCGAATTATTGTGGAGGAGGTCGGCGGCGACGAGGCCCGGGTCCTGGGCGTGCGCAAAGGTGATACTTTATTGGAGGTCGCTGGCACGAAAATTACCAATCATACGGTAGCGGACGCGGCCCGGTTGATCGGCGCGGCGGAGCGGCCGTTGTCATTGACGTTATTAGCCCCTGTTGTTCCTAAGGAGGCGTCACCGCTATCCATCGAGCTCGCTTTGCATGGCGGCGCTTCTCTCATTTTGACGCGAAATGATTCTACACCATTATTGAAAGTGTCCCTGGATACGATAGCGGTCTCCGCGACGAAGATCGACGTTACTGGCCTAGGAATAGACGGGTTTAGATCGAACGCCTGGGAGCCCGTGCTCGAGCCCTGCGGCGCTACCTTAGTTTTGGCCACAGAGGGCGCCGCCGTGACTTTTACAGAAGAGCTGCGCGTGAACGTCTCGTCGTCCCTGGTGACTACCGCAAGGGAGGCCTGCGCGCCTCTTCGTGGAGAGGGAAACGCAGGAACCCAGAAGCTGGCGCTGTCGTCGCCCTCCACCGCCATATCGTTCATCGAGGGCGGGCCCGAGGAGCCGCAGCGCGAGGCCTTTGTTGTGACGGTGGACGGTTTGTTCGCGACCTACGAGAGCGGTTTGAACCTGAGGCTGGCGTGTACATCGATCCAAGTCGACGCGCACGGCGACGCGGCGTTCCCCGTCGTGTTGCGGCCCACGCCCAAAAGAGACGAGGAGGAGTCGAACGCGCCCTTCGTGGCTTTGTCCATAGATGGCAATGATGATAGTTTGGGCGGTGCGCTGCACGTGACGCGATCTCTAGATTTGAATATCGACGAGGCCACCGTCGTCCGGGCGCTGGCTTTGTTCCAGGCGCTGCAACTATCGTCGTCTTCACAATCGTCACGTCAAATCGGCCGCGTCGCCGCGTCGCGGTTAAAGGCCCGATTGTCCGTAAGGTGGTCGTCGACGGGCGACACCGTCGCGCCCGAGCTCGCCGCCTGTTTGCCGGCTATTGATACATCGTCGACCCTACGAAAGTTACTCGACGTCTTCGCGGCGGTTGAAAGATCTAGAGTGACGCTGCCGCCCTTTGAGGTCGAGGGCTGTCAAGATACCAAGGCGTTGACAACCATAGCCGCCCAGCACTACAAGAAGGCCTTCTCGAAGAACGCGTTGGAAATTGCCGGGAGTCTACGGGCGTTGGGCAACCCGCTGGGCCTCGCCAGAGGTATACAAAGAGGCCTCGAGGACGCGGTGCGCGAACCCATACAAGGCTTGTTGAACGCTCAATCATCGGACGAGCCGCTCGAGGCCTTTGCGGTCGGCTTCGAACGAGGCGCGCGCTCGTTGGCGAAGCACGCGGTGGGCGGCACAGCTGGAAGTCTAGCACAAATCACGGGAAACATTTCGAGGGCCGCCTCCCACCTAGCTTTAGATGATGCCTACCTCGCGGCCCAAAGGGCCAAGGACGATGCCAGAAGAGACGGCGACGCCGCGGGCGTTATTGACACTCGAGAAGAGGACATCGCGGCCGTCGACGGCCTCGCGAGCGGCTTCGATTCGTTTGTCGGCGGGATTGTGGATGGCGTCACCACTCTAGTCCAGGCGCCAGTCCGCGGCGCCGAGGCCGGCGGCGCGGTCGGTGCGGCCAAGGGCGCGGCGAAGGGCGCTATAGGTATGGTCGTCAAACCTGTGGTAGGTGTGGCCGATGCTGCGACCGATGTTCTCAGAGGTATTCGGGATACGACGGACGATGTGGATGAGGACGGCGACGAGGATCGACGGGTGTTGGATTTGTTGCGCGATTCCGTTTCATTGCAAAAACGACCGGCTCGGGCGCTTTATGGAAGGGAGCGCGTGTTGCGGGCGTATTCTTATAATGATGCGCGGGCTTTATCGATGCTCCTCCAGGCGTGCGACGAGCTGCTTGGTGATCTTCCACCCGGCGCGGACGCTTTTTTGGAGAGAGTTTCTCTGGGAAACTCATCGGAGCTCGTCGTGGCCGAGGGCGCCGTGGCCTTGCTCCGCGAGACCGGCGTCGACTTCGTGGCGCCCGCTTCCCTAGTCCTCGGCTGCAAGCGCGAGAAATCAGGTGAGGCGGTCGTGCTCATCGCGGCCGCGGCGCCGACGTCGGGCTCCGTGGCCGAGCCGCCGCGGCGGCACGTCGTGCCGTTCGCGTCCGAGGCGCACGGGGACGCGCTCGCGGACGCGGTCGGGGATATTCTTGCTCGCCGCGCTCTTGAGGCGGTGCCTAGCTTTTAACTTGGTGTTTTGTGGTTTTCTGGCTTCTTGTTACGGTGCTAGGAGCCTCCTAGGAGCCCCTCCAGGGCTACTCGATGTTACGGTGCTAGGACTAGTGGGCGGAGCCCCTGCCAGGGCTGGGGGGGAGACACCGCGCGTCGCCGATTCATCGGCGGCGGGCGCGGGCCGCTTCTTTCATAACAGCGTACCTCCTTCTAAGCAGAACCGCCTCGGCAAACCCCCCCGAACAATGTGCAACGTTCGCCCGTTCAATCAACTCCAGGGCCTGGGAGCTCGCTGCTAGTGTCTTACAGGCCGCTAGCTTTATTGCCATGCGGCAGTGCCATTTTTGGCGTCCGTGCGTGCCTGCTGTATTTGTTACTTGTGTTGCAGCATCGCTACTCCACTCGCAGTTACATCATCACACGCATCGCTGCCGCATTGGTTGCCTAAACACACCAGAGAGCGAGACACTTAGCTGCAAGCGACTCGCTCGCGCAAGCCTTGCATCCTCTTAGAGCGAGTGCAGCGTTTAGCTGCAACTGCACGCCGTCGACGCGTTGCTTTTGAAAGCGAGCGCAGCACCTAGCTGAAACTGCACCGGCGACGCGACGCGATGGTCTTCTTCGTGTGTGAAGATTGCAACGAGACGCTGAAGCGCTTGAAGGTCGCGCAGCACCTGTGCAGATGCAGCTGCTCGGCCATAACATGCGTCGACTGCGGCGCGACGTTCCACGACGACTCCTACTTGCAGCACGCGACGTGCATGAGCGAGGCGGAGCGCTACGAGGGTAACTTGTACAAGGCGCCGAAGAAAAAAACGGCTCAAGACGCGTGGGCGGAGCTCGTGCAGGCGGCCTGCGCCGACCGCAGGGACGCGCCGCCCGCCGCGGCCAAGCTGCTGCCGCGCCTCCAAGGCTTCGAGAACATCCCGCGGAACCAGAAGAAGTTCTGCAACTGGGTGAAGAACTCGCTCAATTTACGAGGCGGCGACGCCGCCGCCGTCGACGCGCTCTGGGCGTATCTGGTCGCGCGGCGCGACGCCGCGCGCGCCGAGGCCGCGCCCGCGCCAGTCGCTCCGGTGCCTGCGCCAGTCGCTGCGCCGCCGGCAGAGAAGAAAAAGAAGAAGAAGAAGCGAGCGCGTGACGACGAGACGCCTGAAGAAAGGAAGGCGCGCAAGCTCCGCAAGAAGGCCAAGAAAGCAAAAAAGAAGGCCGCGTAAGGATGTGTTGTGACTACTACTATGTACATCTTATACCACTAAAACAGCTAGCCGCCCGAGATCGGCGGAATCAAGGCGACCTCGTCCCGGTGTTCGAGGACGGGATCGGCGTCGACGCTCACATACTGCTGGTTGATGGCCAGCGGCAGCTCGAGCGCGTGCTCGCCCAGCAGCTTGAACCGCGCCGCGATGGCCTGCCGCAGCGCCGTCGTCTTGCTGCCCTCGGGCAGCTCCGCCTGCCACTCGTCGACGCCGGCGGCGGCCTTGGCCGACGCGAAGAAGACGACCTTCACTTTTATGGTGCTCGGCATCGGTACGGCTGCGCGCGCTGCGTTACAATCTGTACGGCTCCGCGCGCTGCGACGTCTGCACAAGCCCTTGTTGAGATTGGCCTCTGTGCGCGCGCTGGCGGCGTGCGGCACTAACTGATTAGACAGGGTCGTTGATCTGTCACTGCTGGCGACCTGTTCGCGACGCGTGCGGTGCAGGCGTGCGGTCTACGCCGCTTCGCGCTCGTGCTGCCTTGCGGGGCTATGTTATATACACACTAGGAATTCCAGCAGGCGCGGCCTTCGAGTCTCTGTGCGCCTAGCTTGCCAACGGCACGCCTGCGCAACGCAAAAGGCGTCTCTGCAAGCACTCAACGACGACGGCGAGGTGTGGGCGCGAGCGCCGCCCTTGCCAGCGCGGTACTGAGCAGTAGGCGAGTCGCCGCGCCGCCGCCGCGCGCAGCACGATGGCCGGGAGAGAAGGCGCCATCACGGTCTCGGACAAGGTCGAGTCCGGCGAGACCGACGGGCCCCAGGTGACCGTAGTGGTACATCCGCTCGTGCTACTGTCGACGGTGGACCACTACACGCGAGTAGCAAAAGACACGAAGAAGCGCGTCGTTGGCGTGCTCTTAGGGACGAGGAGTAGAGGTAGCGTGGACGTGACGAACAGCTTCGCGGTACCGTTCGAGGAGGACGCGAAAAATAACTCCATATGGTACCTCGACCACAACTACCTCGAGACCATGTACCGCATGTACAAGAAGGTCAACGCGCGCGAGATCATCGTCGGGTTTTACTCGACAGGTCCAAAGATCAAGGAGAACGACATTAAAATTGACGAATTAGTCCGAGCCTACTGCCCGCAGCCGGTCTTCGTGATCATCGACGTGCGGCCCGAGAACGAGGCCATCCCGACGACGGCTTATGTGAGTGTGGAAGAGGTCGAGAGCGATTCGAAAGCCGCCCGCAAGGAAATTAGGCGGACGTTCAAGCACGTCAGTAGCATGATCGGAGCTTACGAGGCCGAGGAGGTCGGTGTGGAGCATTTGTTGCGAGATGTCAACGACCCCACGGTGTCCACCTTAGCATCGCAGATCAAGCACAAGATGACGGGTCTGACCGCGTTAAGGTCAAGACTGGCCGAGATGAAGGCCTACCTCGAGGCCGTCGTGGCGGAAAAGATCCCGGCGAATAACCAGATCTTGTACAACTGCCAGGCCATATTTAACCTGATGCCGAACTTAAATCAAGATGCATTGGTCGAGTCGATGCTCGTGAAGACCAATGATTATCATTTGGCCGTCTACTGCGCATCTCTGGTCCGATGCATCATCGCGTTGCATGAACTCGTGAACAACAAGATCCAGAATAAGAGATTAGAGGAGGAGGAGGAGGCCAAGGCCGAGGAGTCGAAGAAAGACGACGAGAAAAAAGAGGAGGACAAGAAGGAGGGCTCGGACAAGGACAAGGAGGCCGAGGCGCCGGCCTCGGCGGCGAAGAAGCCCTAGTGGATCCCCCTGTTGTTTTTCTCGGTAACTTAACAAACAGAACACACTAGTTCTTACACAGCACCCTTCGCCGCCAGCACCCCGGCATGAATCGCCCAGTCGAGCGTCACGAACACGTCGTCGCCGAGCGCGAGCTGCCCGAGCGGGATGCCGCACGTAGATTGGAACCCATCATCGCGCACCGCGCGCCACGGCACCGCGAGTGGCCTCATCATGCCCGTGGCGCAGCATTCGACGCGCAGACACAGCGCCGTCGGCGCCGCGGCGACGCGCAGCTGCCGGTCGAATTTCTGCGGCGCGCAGCCGTCCCGTCGTCGGATCCGGCAGTAGCGCGGTGCGCCCAGATCGCTTGCGTCGCCCGGCCACGCGTCGACGCCGTGACTTTCTGCTAGTTCATGCCAGCCCGACCACGCGCCGCGCTTCGTCGTTATCCAGTAGAGCAGTGGCAGCACGACAAATATGACAAAGGCTGGACTGATGAGATGCCACCAGGGAACTACATCATGGAAGAATCGCGTCATCAATGCGACGGGCACTGGCGCGTGGGCAGCCCATTGCCATGCTCCCCATCCTGAGACCCGGCTCTCAAAGTGTAAATGGCACCGCTCTGCGAATCGCGCGCGCGAACTGGTCCACGCGCCGGATACCACCTCTCTACGGCTCCTCGCGAATTAATCTTTTAGTGCGATTTGCCACTCTGCTCTGGCCAACTCTCTGGCCTGGGCAGTCCAAGAGCACAAAGAGGAACGCTGCCCCGCGCCGCTAGGCGACTGCGCAAGGAAGACGAGGCTGCCCGACGGCGTGCGGCGCTCGGATTGTGCTGTGGACGATCGCTGGCGCTGATAGGCGACGGAGGCGGCGGGTGCAGCCCGGAGGATTGCTGGCTCACAAGCACACATTATGTCCGCTAAAGCGCATAATATGTCCGTCCCCTCCCGCAAAAGCGGCAAAAGAGGCGGAATAAAGGGCTTGGCAAAGGGCGGGGCCAGGCGCCACCGGGACCTGCCGCGGGGCGAACCGATCGTCTTTGTTGACTGCCCGGACCCGGACAACTTCGTGCTCGTCGTCGCGGCGAATCTGTTGAGAGGGTGCACGCGCGTCGTGCTGACCGGCCGGCCGGCGAACTTTGGCGTGGCGTCGCGGCCCTTTTCGGTGCGCACGTGCGCCCGGGCGGCCGACGAAGTGGACGTGGCGAGCGATTCCGTCCTGGCGCTGCGCGCCACGGCGGCGCACCTGCGGAGCGTGGCCGCGTCGCAGGGCTGCTCCGACCTAAAAATATACGACGGCGGCGTCGCCCCGGACGCGCCGGTCGCCCACGCCGAGCACGTCCACGAGTTTCTTTTTGGAAGGAGCGACCTCGGCGAGTCTGATCAGGGCGTCCTCACCATCGAGGCGTATCGCAAGGTCGTGGCCGACTTGGACGCGGAGGCCGACCGGGGTCCCGCGCTACGAGCTCTGCTGGAGGCGCGCGTCGACGACCTCCTGCCGCTCTCGAGTCTCGTCGAGGACCTGGATGGTAAGGTCGAGTGCCTCGTCGGGGGCCCGTTCACGGCGCTCGCGGAGCTCTGCGACGACGACGCGTTCCGGGACAAGGTCTTAAACGTGAGGGCCATGGCCTGCGCGTGGGATAGCCGGAACAACCTCTTCGCGAACCAGTTCAACGTCGGAGCCGACCTGCAAGCGGCGACCTTCGTCCTCGGAAAGGATTCGGAGCTCACGTGCACGAGGACGCTGTACACGACGGACTTCTGCAAGGCGGTGCTCACTATATCTATGGAGGAGGTCGCGGCGGCCGCGTCGCCGCGGCTCGCCGCCCTCTACCGCCTCTGGGACGCGCTGACGGGGAACCGCGGGTCCGTGACGATTTTCGACGTCGCGCCGCTCCTCGGCGCGCTGGCGGACGACGGACACATGTCCCTCCTCGTGCCCGCGGAGTGTTCTCTGGAGGACGGCGTCTTCCGCTTGGAGGAGAGCATAGGACGGTGCGGCGTCTGGGCGACGGCGCGTGCGGCCGGGTCCGTGCGGGCCGCGCTGTTGGACATGCTCCGGCGCTGCGCGGCGACGGCGGCGAAGCGTGCGCGCGAGGGAGATGATGGTGCGGGGCCTTCGCCGAAGGCTGCGAGGAGTAATAGTCCTGCTACCTGACTTTTTTTATCCTAGTATCCTACTACCTAGATAAAGACCTTTTTTTTAGTGCCAGTTCGAAGATACGCCTCGTTGGCAAAATGAGCGACCCCCCAAATTCAGAATACATCCTAGTCGTTCGCCGAGACCAAATATTCTACAGTAGCGGCCGGGGAACATACCCTAACTGCTCCCGGAAGACACCGCCCCACCGCGACATTCGCGGATGAATCTTACGCCTCGCCAAATTACACCAGCGATTGACGCCGCCATCTACCGTCCAAATAGTACATCATATCAACTCCAGCCCAGTTTTCATACATAATCGACGGAACTGCAGCCAACGGCCCGCGCTCGGAGGGCGGGAAAAGAATTATACTAGACAACTCCCGAGTTTATGTTCGTTTCCTTCCGTTTGTTAGTGGTAGAGTCCATCTAGGCCGGATGTACGATCAACTAGGTGCCTCGGGTGCTCCGTTAGAGCCGCGCGAAACGACGAATCCGCGACCCCACATTTATGCGAAACGAGCATAAGAACTAGAACTACGGGTATCCGCGACGAAACCATCCAGATGGACCATAATGCCGTTGTTCTATTCACAATCGACCGACTTGCCCGTTCTCCGCGGGCGACGGTACGTTGACGGAGCACCGGAAAGGCCCCAGACCGGTGGTTTATAAAGTAAATTTGCGTTTCAGGCGCTTTAGTTGGGGGACGGGCCATCTAAGCGGGCTGGACATGTACTACATTGCTCCGAGACCCCAAGATGCTCGGCGCGGGTCGTCGGTCTCGCGAGTCCACTATCTTATGAAATCGGGGCACCAGACCCGGATCTGCGACTATCAGCCCGTGTACCATCACCATGGATCATGACGCGATCATTTGTTCCATGACCGACCGACTTGCGCGAGCTCCAGATGCAGATGTTCACGTCCCGAGCGTGGGCAGCCCAAAGTACCCTTCTCGTGGTGTAGATGTCATATACTTGTAGTTGACTATCGGTGGGGTAGTATGGGGTCCGACGAGACCGCTATTACGATTCCTGGGGGGCTTCGGGTAATTGACGTTTTTTACGGGAACGGGGCGCCATCGGGCCCAAATTATTTACTTTTTTCGGATGCAGATCGGCTCCTGGAAGCCTCTCGGGGTGGGTCTGGTAGTGGGTAGTCGCCTAGACCGCATACACCGTCGATGCGGCAGCCTAGTGCTCTCCGAGAGCCCTAGAAGCAAACCATAGCTATAAGTTGCCATTCCTCTGCGGGCTGCTGAGAGAAATCGACCAAAAATGCTTGAAGCGGCGGCGCATGCGGTGTAGGCGTTTGCGCGTGTATAGTACCGACCCTAGGCGACCCCAGGGACACCTCTTGGGCAGGGATTGACAGGATTCCACCTGCGCGGCCGCCATAGACCGTAGGGCGCCCTCGGCCGCGAATTAAAAAATTTAGTTTTTCGGCCCGCAGTACGTGTCCCATTGATCTCTTTGGACCATTAGCGAACGGAAGGCTACTCAAACAACTGCATGCGCGTCCCCGAGTTTTTGCTTGCTAGTGTCTTTACACGCCGCTAGCTGTATGCGCCGCGGCTCTAGCTCGTACTGCAAGTGCTGTTAGCAGGGAGCTGTGCAGATTAGAGCGACGAGCGGTGCGGCCACGCAATGACAAAATTCGTAGCGCTTACAGCTTCGATGGCTGCCAAAGCAGCTTTGGCATTCCTACTGCTGGCCACTGCGGCAGCGTACAGCAGCCAACGCGTCCCGATCGATGCGCAAAGAAGCCAGGTTGTTGCTGCCGAGAGGCGTCGGCGCTTTAACGCTGCCGCTGCATTGATCGGCGTCGCTGCGGCACCGTCGACGGCGCGAGCAATCACCTGGAAGGTGCGAGACCGGCGTCCGCATTCCGACGAGTCGCGGCGATGGCGTGAAGGCGGTAGCGACTCGACTCGGAGAATTCTTGTCGGTCGTCGATGCGCGTCGACGCGACGGCGTCACCCCCCGCGCAGGACGATCGCGAGGACGTCAACGCCGTGTTCATGGACAAGTACCCGAAAGCCATTTTAATCGAGTCCGGAATAGCGCTCGTAATCTTGGCCTTGTCCAAGGCAGGCATCGGACCACTAGCCGAAAAATTTAAGGAGGGGGACTAAGCATCTTTGCAAAGGTCGGGAGCAATGCTGGTGGTCCTTCTGCAGGCGTATGGCGCGGATCGACAAAGTCGTCTTTCTATCATTTCAGCAGACGTATTGCCGCAAGCCGAGGCCGCAATCGAACCGAATTTGCAAGCAGCGCTCGCAGCACTCAGTCAAGTGCTTTGCAACTACAAGAAGCGCACGTACGCGTGACAGCACCGGCTGCTTTTGCGTGCGACGCGCAAAAAAGTCCCCTCGCCTGTGGTCGCCTTTGCAAAGCTAAAGCAGCGACGGCGCGCAGCACCAGTGCCACAGCGCTCGGAAACAGAATACCACAACCATCACGATGAAGTCCTCCGGCCTCCAGCGCACGTCGTCCATGACGGCGATGATCGACCGCAAGAAGCGGCCGATCGAACCCGCGTCGCAGCAGGCGCGCGCGCGCATGCGCGAGTACGTCGAAGCCCACGGCGGTTCAAGTCCCATCCACACCATCCTCATCGCGAACAACGGCATGGCGGCCACGAAGGCCATGCTTTCGCTCCGCGAGTTCGCTTTTGATGTACTAGGAGACGCCAAGGCCCTGACCTTCGTGGCCATGGCTTCGGGTCAAGATTTGGACGCTAATGCGGAATTTGTACGATTAGCTGATAGAGTCGTAGAAGTCCCTTCGGGATCGAACAAGAACAACTACGCGAACGTCGAGCTGATCATCGACGTCGCCGAACGAGAAGCCGTCGACGCGGTCTGGCCCGGCTGGGGCCACGCGTCGGAGTACCCGGAATTGCCCGACGGCTTAGCGAAACGCAACATCACGTTCATCGGCCCCTCGGGCGGTCCGATGCGGGCTCTGGGCGACAAGATCGCCGCGTCCATTCTAGCACAGACGGCGCGCGTGTCGTCGATCCCTTGGTCTGGTGATGGTATTACTTGTGACCCGAAGGTCGTGATTGAGACGGGCGCGATCCCGCCCGAGCTCTTCCGTCGGTGCTCGGAGCAGAAAAGGACCTTTAACGTAACGGTGTCGCCGCGACGGCGTCGACGCGATGCCGCCTCGCCTCGACGGCGTCGACGCGGCCGCATGAGAGTCCACGCGTCTCGCGAACGAACGGACGCGGTTTCGCGACTGTATCGATCCACGCAGGCAAGGCCATGGTCACGACGGAGGAAGAATGCATAGCGGCGGCGGAGCGCATCGGCTACCCCGTCATGTTGAAAGCTTCCGAAGGCGGCGGCGGCAAGGGCATCCGCATGAGCAAAGACGCCGCGGAACTTAGGAACAACTTCGTTCAGGTGACGAACGAAGTGCCGGGTGCGCGGCGGCGTCCCCTTCGACGCCATCGACGCGACGCGGCGCCTGCTCGCAACAACAAACTCACGCTCGAACCACGCGCAGGCTCGCCCATGTTCCTCATGCAGCTCTGTAGTAACGCGCGGCATCTGGAGGTGCAGATCGTCGGCGACAAGCACGGCCAGGCCGTGGCATTGAACGGGAGAGATTGTAGCACACAAAGGCGCTTCCAGAAGATCTTCGAGGAGGCTCCGGCGGCCATCGCCGACCCGGGCGTGTTTCGCGAGATGGAGCTCGCGGCGATGCGCTTGACGCAGTCCATCGGCTATTCAGGTGCCGGTACGGTCGAGTACCTCTACCACGCGGCCACGAAAAAATACTATTTCCTGGAACTGAACCCGAGACTCCAAGTCGAGCACCCCTGCACGGAGGGCATCACGGACATCAACATGCCCGCGACGCAGCTGCAGGTGGCCATGGGCATTCCGTTGCACCGCATTCCGCACATCCGACGGTTTTATGGGTTGGAAGATGTCCATGGAAGTTCAACGATTGATTTCCATGAGGTTAGATATCCTAAAATAACGAAGCACGTCATCGCCGCGCGCATCACGGCGGAAAACCCTGATGAAGGGTTCAAGCCGACGTCCGGGTCCATAGAAAGGGTCAAGTTCCAGTCGACGCGCAACGTCTGGGGCTACTTTTCGGTCGGTGCGAATGGAGGCATCCACGAGTTCGCCGACTCGCAATTCGGGCATATCTTTGCTTCGGGTGCGACGCGCGAGATCGCGCGGCGCCATCTAGTACTGGCGCTGAAGTCTGTGGAGATCCGAGGTAAAATTCGAAACCCCGTCGAGTACCTCGTGGAATTGCTCGAGACGGACGCCTTCAAGGCCAACGATATACATACGGGGTGGCTCGATGGTATATTACGAGCTAAGAGTATAGCGGTGCCGACGAACACGCCTCGCTTAGTACTCGCGGCGGTGTTGTACCGGTCCCACCAGTTCGTCAAGTCGAAACGGGAGGAATTAGAAGCGTCTTTGGCGAAGGGCCAATTATCAACGGTTCTCGTGAAAGATTTGACGGCCTTCTCCCAGACCATTACGTACGAGGGTTTGAAATATGACTTCTTGGTTCAGAAGAGCGGCCCGGAAGTCTTCTCGTTGCGCTTGAATGATCAGAGCATCACGGCGAAGGTCCGGGAGCAGCCCGATGGTTCATTGTTGTGCGCCTTTGGGGGTGCTACTCGCAAGGTCCACGGTCTAGAGGAACCTCTCGGTTTAAGAATCATCTGCGACGGCGTCACGTGTCTCATGCCTACTATTTTTGACCCGTCCGAGCTACGTACTGATGTGACGGGTAAAGTCGTACGCTACCTCCAGGAGGACGGCACTCATTTAGATGCGGGCGCTCCCTACGTCGAAGTGGAAGCCATGAAGATGATCATGGCCCTGAAGACGGGCGAGGCCGGTAAATTTAATCACCTGAAGCCGCCTGGTAGCATTATTTCCGCTGGTGATTTGTTAGCTAAACTGGAACTAAGCGACCCGTCGAAGGTGGCCAAGGTCGAACCGTACCAAGGAGCGTTTGATGACATCCTGGACATCGTCGAGGAGGACGAAACGGCAGCGGACAAATGTGCTTTACTGTTAGATGGCTTCGAGAGAGGCGATCCTACGACCCTAGCGAAGGATTTGACGGACGACAACGTCAACGTTGTTGTGGATGAGGCGGCGCAACTCCTCCAGCGGTATCTAGTGGTAGAGTCGCGGTACGCGGGACGGCCGATGGACGCCGTGGTCCAAGAGCTCGTCGCCGAACACAAGGAGGACCTGACGAAGGCCATCGACGTCGCGAGAGCCCACTCGCAGCTCAAACAGCGCACGGTGCTCTGCCAGCAGATCCTGAAGGAGTTATTGCAGATTTATGCGAACAGGCGGGCGTCTGGTGTCGACCCGGCGCCGATGACTCTGGTGAGTGCTTTAGCGCAGCTCGCCGCTCTTCCCGGAGATGCCTACGGCGACTTAGCTTTGTTGGCTTTGCGGGTCTCGTTAGTTGCGAATGATGAAGCTCCCACGCCTCGCACCTTAGATACGCGGTTGTTCGACAAAGCGTCACTCACGCGGGGCTACGCTCTCATCGAGTTGGAGACGGGTTCGGCAGCAGCTACTGCATTCTTAGGTAACCTATCTGTCGAAACTCCTTCCAAATTGACGAAGCCCGGGAGAGGCGGCGAGCCGCCCGTCGTCTTCGTCTTCTTCTCGGCGGCGTCGGACGCGTTTTTGGGGGGAGCCAAGACCGTGCAGGCCGCGTTAGAGAACGTGCTGGAGGCGCTAGCTTTAGCGAGGAGGGACGCGAAGGTGCCCGTGACGTCCTCTTCCTCGGTTGTTATCCGCTTCCCGGGCGGCTGGGGCCACGTGGAGCCCGAGAACGGTTTGAAAGCTTTAGATGCGGCGGCCTTTGCGGTGGCTGCTCGGTTAGCTTCGTTACATGTTGATGCCTTGTCCGTGCGAGTGGGATCGCAAGATTTAAGCATGGCCGCGCCGACCTCGACGGACTGGCCCACCTTTAAATCGGTCTCCAAGGAGCAGGCCGACGTCTTCTCGCCGTCGCCGTTAGCGAAGAGACGCGCCACCGCTCGTAGGGCCGGCTCGACCTTTTGCTATGATTTTGTTGGTTTATTTGCAAGAGAAGTGACCAAGGAGGGCGGCGACGCCTTCGTCGCCGACGAATTGGTGTTGCAGGGAGATGCCTTAGAGACGCAAGCGCGAGAACCGGGTCAAAATGACTGCGGCATGGTCGCGTGGCGTTGTGCTGCGTCTACCAAGGAGTATCCGGAAGGAAGAGAATTTGTGGTGGTAGCCAACGACGTGACGTACCAGTCCGGTTCGTTTGGTGTCAAGGAGGACGCGTTCTACGCGAAGGTGTCGCAGTACGCCCGGGCCCAGGGCCTACCTCGCATTTACGTCGCGTGCAACTCTGGTGCTCGCATCGGTTTGGCGGATGAACTGAAGCCGAAGTTCCGGGTGGCCTGGGTCGACGAGAAGAACCCCCAGGCCGGCTACCATTACCTGTATTTGACGGCTGCCGACTACCAGGCGCTACCTTCCGGTAGTGTGCAGGGGAAATTGGTCGGCGAGCGCTTCGTGTTAGATGCTGTGGTTGGAGAAAAAGATGGCATCGGCGTCGAGAATTTGAGGGGTAGCGGTACCATAGCTGGAGAAACTTCTCGAGCCTACGCGGACGCCTTCACGCTGTCGTACGTTACCGGAAGAAGCGTTGGTATTGGGGCCTACCTCAATAGGTTGACGCGGCGCGTCATCCAGATGAAACAGGGCCCCATCATTCTGACGGGCTACCAAGCCTTGAACAAGCTTTTGGGGAGGGAGGTGTACACGTCGCAGGATCAATTAGGAGGCCCGCAAGTCATGCACCCGAACGGTGTTTCTCATTTAACGGTGGAGTCCGACGTGGAAGGCGTCGCGGAGATCATGCGCTGGTTGTCCTTTGTCCCGAGAGTCAAGGGCGCGCCGCCCGCAATTCTGAGTTGCGCCGACCCGATTGATCGGCCCGTGGAGTTCGTGCCCACGAAGGCGCCCTACGACCCGCGGCACATGCTGGCCGGTGCCACTACTGATGGAAGATTCTTACCGGGTTTCCTCGACGTGGGCTCGTTCAAGGAGTACCTCGCGGGCTGGGGCAAGTCGGTGGTTGTTGGTAGAGGTAGGTTGGGCGGCGCCCCGGTTGGTGTGGTAGCCGTCGAAACTAGACTATCAGAGCAGCGCGTGCCCGCGGACCCGGCGAACCCCGACTCGACGGAGGTGATCATGCCGCAGGCGGGGCAGGTCTGGTTCCCGGACTCGGCCTACAAGACGGCTACCGCCATCCGCGACTTTTCGGGCGAGAATTTACCGACGATCATCTTCGCGAACTGGCGCGGGTTCAGCGGCGGCACGCGCGACATGTACGGCGAGGTCCTCAAGTTCGGCGCCATGATCGTCGACGCGCTCGTCGATTGCAGCCAGCCGGTGTTCGTCTACGTGCCGCCGCACGGCGAACTTAGAGGAGGGGCCTGGGTCGTCGTGGACCCGACGATCAACGCCGCGAAGATGGAGATGTACGCCGATGTTGATAGTAGAGGCGGCATCCTCGAGCCGCCGGGCATCTGCGAGATCAAGTTCCGGACGGCGGACCGCGTCAAGGCCATGCACCGTTTGGATTCAAAGCTCAAGGCCATGGACATGAACGCCGACGAGAACGCCGAGGCCATCGCGAAGCGCGAGGAGGCCCTCGCGCCGACGTACCTGGGCGTGGCCCACGAGTTCGCCGACTTGCACGACCGGGCGGGCCGCATGAAGGCCAAGGGCGTCATCCGCGACGTCCTGTCGTGGCCGCGGTCACGCGCTTACCTGGCGAAGCGGCTGAAGCGGCGCCTCGCCGAGGACGCGCTGCGGGCGCGCTTCCGCGGCCTCTCCGAGGACGCGGTATCATCAAAGCTCCGGGCGCTGGCCGGGAGCGCCTACGACGACGACACGGCCTTCGTGACGTGGAGCGCGGGCACGGCGGCCCGCGTCGCCGTCGACGCGGCCGTGAACGAGGCCGCGGTCGCGGCCGTCCAGTCCGAGGTGAAGGCGCTGGTCGCGGACCTGGCGCCGTCGGCGCGCGCGCGGGCGCTCGCGTCCGTGGTCATGTGATGAGGCCCCTCCCCGTGCACCCCCCCTCCCCCCGACGAGCACGGCGTCATTTTGTTCCCTCTCCCCTTCCCCGACGTAACAAGTTACGGTAGTACTCTCTCTTCTTGGTGCCTGGCTTGAAATCGGGCGCGCTGGTAGACTCGGCGCCTCTCGATTCCTGGTCTGTGGCGTATTCCACGGCAGCGACGAGGTCCCCGAACAGCACTTGGGTCGTAGTAGTCTCCGTAGTACGTCCGTGGAGAGCCCGAGCTTTGAGAGACGCGCGTAGTTACAGTTGGTAGCGGGTTGCGAGGGGGGTGGCCTATGTCAGTTGCTCCTTCCGCACCGTCGGACGCGAACGCGATCGCGGGAATCGAACTCGTCACCATGGCGACGGTCTTGGGAGTCTGGCTCACTACCTCCTTGCGCACCCGATCAAAGGCCAGATATGCTGCGCCGATGCGCGGCCCGGTCTGCTTGCCCAACCCCTGGGCGAGACGCCTCTGTGGGCTTGCTGCCGGCCGGCGCAGCGCGCGCCCGGTCAGCGAGAGCGCGCGTAGGAGCATCGTCGTATGTCTATTTTATCGACCAGAGCCCCTTGAATGGATTGCGGTCCGCCAATTTGCACAGTGCTCAGGGAGATGGTTTTTGACTCGTCACTGGGAGTCGATGCAAAGGGTTCGGAGCGTTGGAGTGCTGACGCGTGGGCCTTACGAGACTAGTCTCGTGGCTCGGGCGATTGTCAATGCGTGGTCAGGGCGTAAAGGCACAATCGCGCTGGAAAACCCGTTTTGACGAAAAAATAGAGTGATCTATCTGACGCAAAATTCAGCGAAGACGCCTCGTGGATCGAACTCCGCGAGAGGCGTACCGTCTGTTGGTCCGGCTGAAAACGCCTTGGCAAAACAGGTTTTACATGTCAATTTTGCTCCTCGCGAGGCGACGCGCGGTGCATTCGCCGCCGCCCGAGGCCGCGGAAGGGCCTGCGGCCACGGCTCCGCGCCAAGCGCCCGGCCGGGTCGACGTGCCGCCGCCGCCTGTTTCGACGCGCGCGCCGCCGCCGCCTTCGCGAATCGTTCCGCTCCCGCGCGCAGACGCGGACGCGGCGGAGGCGGCGCGTCTCGCGCGGCGGCGCTGCGACGTCTGCGGCCTGCAGGGCGAGCTCTCCGAGCGGCCGTTCCCCGTCTGCAACACGTGTCGCATTCGTCGGTACTGCGGCCCGGAATGTGCGAACGCCGATTATATCACTCACCGGCTCTCGTGCTCCGGGATCACTGGCGGAAAGGGGGCCATCTAGTCCTCCTCCGGAGACAGTAACAAGAACTTATAACAAGCCTACTAGAGAGCGGCTGGCCCGCCCCGCAGAGCGTTGTCAGTCGGTCTTATCTTTGAGCCGAGTGTAGTCCGTCTCGTCGACGAACCGCGTGTAGTCCCGGATCCGGACCGTGCTCTTCAGCTTCCGCGTCACGACGCGACAGCGGCGGCTGAAGGGGTCGAGGTTCCGCTCGGCCAGGGAATACCTCTCGCGACCGAGCGCGGCCCTCCTAACTGCAGCGTGTCCACGAGCCGCATTCTCGGCATTTTGATTTGGGTGTAGTTCATGTCCACGACGGCCTTTCCAAGAACTCCTCATCCTCTCTTGCGCGACTACAAATACCGCCCGCGCTCGCAGATACTCCTCCAATTTACTGTCGTGCTTCAGCGCTTGCAGATGTTCCACGGCGAGTTCCTTTAGCTTATCGGTCGCCGCGTCGGACGCGCGCAGCAACACTTGTTCAGGCTCGAGCGCCACACTCTCAGGAATAGGGCGATTCGTGCACGTGCACGCGAACCTAGCTCTAGAAGCGTGCTCGGGGATGCACGTTCGGCCGCGCCCCAACGCAGCGAGGATATTCTGGCAGCCGTCGCAGTCACCTCCCCGGCCCACCATAGGGTTCTCAGGGGTCGGCGTCGCTAGTTTCGTCGTCGCCACCTTCACCTCGTCGATGGCCTTGCTCCACGTCCCGCGCGTCGCCGCGTCGACGTAGTCCAGCGCCTCGACCTTGCCTTCGAGCCACGCCTTGACATCATCTGCTGTAGGATCGACCCCGTGGTGCTCCTTGAAATCCAGGTTCCACCTTGAGTACAGGCTATTTCCAAAAGGAGCGACAAGCGCCAAGACCTCTCCCCTTTCTTTATCTTCTCTTCCGGTCGACGCAAGTCTACCACCCTCTAGTAGGCGGTCGACGCGATCTGATGATGAACATAACTCTGACAGAAGTTGCTGGGCCGATTTCTCGCGTACCCTAGCAACTGACAGAAGTTGCTGGGCCGATTTCTCGCGTACCCTAGCAAAACGGTCGTCCCCGTCTATGGCACATTCGGAGTCGGCCAGGCGCTGCTGCAGCCGCGCGAGCAGATCGGTCGCCGCTTCCTCGTCGTCGCGCGTGTTCGAAGGCGTACCGATCAACCGCCGCTCTTCGACATCTGGCGCCTGAAATTTGTCCATGGCGTCGTCGTAGGTCTCCCAGAAGGCCTCGACGCAGTCGTTCAGCTTTTTAACTATTTGCGTTTTTGAGAAGCCATCGCAGCTCCGCGCGGCGGGATCCTCGTTTTTGAGTATCTCTAGATACGACTCGGCTCTGTTTCTCCGTGGCTTTTGTTGTGTCGTGCCCTCAATCTCTTCTAGTAAACGGATGACCTGCTGCTTCTCAAGCCCGGGAAAGTCGGTGCCCTCGCGCTCCAGCCAGTCGGGCGGCTCCGCCGGCTTCGGCGCCGCGGGCTTCGGCGCCGCGGGCTTCGGCGCCGCGACTTGATCTTGCGCTTGAAATTTGTCCATGGCGTCGTCGTAGGTCTTCCAGTAGGCTTTGACGCAGTTCGTCAGCTTTTTTTCTATTTCTGTTTTTGATAGACCGTCGCTGCTGCGCGCGTCGGGGTCCGAGCTCTTGAGCGTCTGTGAATACGACGCGGCCGTTTTCTGTTTGTTGGCCTCGTTTGCTAATAAAGTCTGGAAGGCTCTTTGCCCAAGACTGGCGAAGGTGTTGCCCTGCCGCAGCAGCCCTTGCGGCGGGTCCTTGGGTTTCGGCGGCGCGACTTGATCTTGCGCTTGAAATTTGTCCATGGCGTCGTCGTAGGTCTCCCAAAAGGCCTCGACGCAGTCCTCCAGCTTTTTAACTATTTGTGTTTTTGATAAGTTGTCGCAGCTCCGCGCGGCGGGATCCTCGTTTTTTAGTATCTCTAGATACGACTTGGCTCTAGTTCTCCGTGGTGTTTGTTGTGTCTTGCCCTCCATCTCTTCTAGTAATCGGATGACGTGGGCCACAACAAGCCCGGGAAAGTCGGTACCGTTCCTCTTCAGCCATTTCGGCGGATCGTCGGGCGGCGGCGCGGGCTTCGGCGCCGCGCGAGACCTTCTGCGGCTGCTGCCCGTGGCCTCCATCGCTAGTCGTTAGAGGCTGACAGCGCTTGAGGATTGGCCAGGACGAGCAGCACTTGAGCAGCAATCGGCTAGCACTTGCCCGACCGGCGCGACCGTAGCGACCTGGCTTGGACAATACGGGTATGAAGGGCTGTGTCAGCCGCGACGCAGAGTAACCAATTTGGGCGCAGTTATCGGTCGTTTTGGGCCAACTTCGTCTCCTTGGCTGCTTGCTAGTGTCTTACTGGACGCTAGCTGAGTTCCGAAGGCCTCGAGAATAATAATAATACACCAGCGATTGATGCCGCCTTTGATAGGGAGGATCTCATGCTGCCAATGTTGGGCTTGTACGCCGAAATCTACAAGGAACGTAATGGGAAACAACACGCCGACGCATGCGACGGGGGGGGTTTGCCGAGGCGGTTCTGCTTAGAAGGAGGTACGCTGTTATGAAAGAAGCGGCCCGCGCCCGCCGCCGATGAATCGGCGACGCGCGGTGTCTCCCCCCCAGCCCTGGGCAGGGGCTCCGCCCACTAGTCCTAGCACCGTAACATCGGCGGAGACGCATGCGATCATAAAAGTTACTCCTAGTCGTCATGTACGAAGAACATAAGTATCTCGAAGTCATTCCAGCTCTCCGCCACGTCGTCATCTTCCCAATTCTCCTCATTGTCAAGCCCGAATCGAAGCCCATCGACACTATCAAGGGAGCAGATCGGCCCGGTGTAATTGTTTCCGTGGCACTCGACGTCGTCTATGGTCAACCTGAACGCTGCGAGCATCTGTCGGAGCGTGGAACCCGGGCGTAACCCAGCGCGATTGAGCCATGGGCGCGCCGGGTCGAAGAGGGAGCCATGATTGCAATACGCGACGACGGTGTCTATGCGATTGTCTTCGTTTTCTGACAGGTAGACGCCCACGTTGATCTCGTTGGGATCCACAGCACCTCCATCATAGTCTTCAGCATCGTCGTAATGCAAGCAGTACTTGAGGTCGAGCGCGTCGTCGGACGAATCATCGGCGTCCGATGAATCGTCCGAGTCGCGCTCATCTCCCATATTGCGTACGGTGAGGCGGCCTCGCCGATGGAACTCCTCTTCTTCTTCCAACTCAGACATTTCTCCACTGTCCGGATGACCGCGAGGACTGTACGCGGAGAAGTCCGCTCCAATGGCGAGGCCCAGTGCGCCCACGCCCGGTTCGATTCGCAGAGTCCACGCGCTTCGGTACCGTTCGAGCCAACGGTAGCCCTCGAGCCAATCCGGCGCTCCGGCCCACGGGAACGGCCCAAAGTCCGCGAGGTACCACTGCTTCCACACAGCTTCGTTCGACAGATAGGCCTCGCGCCAATGCTTCGCGCAGCGCGCCAGCGGCAGCGTCGGCCGGCCGCACGCAAGACAGCACCGCGCGCACGATCTCGGGCGGCATTCGGTCGAGATATTTGCGCTGAGTGCGGGTCTTCATCTCAGGACGACGATGATTCCGCAGGCGCGGGTTCCGGAGCAGGTGTCTCGATGATCGGCGGCGGCGGCGGCGGCGCCGGCACAGCTGCGGAGAGCGCGGCGACTTGCACAGCGGTCGTCCGCTTGATCTCGTCGTTCAGGAGCTTCCAGGAGGCTACACTGCCTGCAGCAAAACCCAGCGCACAAGCTGAGAGGCGAGCCCCAATGCTGGCCATTATTTTTGTCGTGAGTTTCACCGCTTGCTACAGCAAATTTGGGTGTCGAAAGCACGTCTAGTATTGGCAGGCAGGCACTGGAGGTCCAGCGCCGCGAGCAAGCTGTGCAAAGGCTTTTGGAGAGGGCAAACCCAGCCGAGCTAGGGCATCTAACACACTAGAAACCGCCCTTCTGGCTTGCCATACGTCTAAGCATGGGCACGGGGTCGTAATGGAAGCATCCATGGGGGATTCGAAGCCTCTCACAATTGACGTTGTGAATTTTTTGCTGGATGGCAGCCGAAGTTTTTGGCTGCCCATAGTGCGTCCCGGCTCACGCCATCGAACAGGCGCGGTCACAGGGACGGTGCACGATGGGCGGCGTCTTCAGCAGCAAAGCCAACACGGCTGCCCAACACTCGGGCAGCAAGCGCCCCCGCGACGACGCGCCCGCGCCGCAGAAGCTGCAATCGTTGAGGGCCGAGAAGCGGGCCGAGCGCGGTGCTGTGCTGCTCACGCCCTGGGGCCAGGCGCTGACGAAGGCCGCGGACGCGCTGCGCCGGTGGCACCGCGACGACGACGGCGCCGACCCGTTCGCCCCGCCGCCAAAGGTGGCCCGCCCGACGAAGGAACGTGTTCTCAAGCTGCTGACGGGGGCGACGCGCGAACGCCTCGGCGCGCTGACCGTCTCGCAGCTCAAGGAGCTCTGCCGCTGCGTGGGCACCAGGAACTCGGTGCCGAAGGCCCAGCTGATCGAGAACTTGCTCGACCCGGCCGCGCACCAGAAGCGGATTGCTCCACCGAAGTACGGCGACGTCGACAACCACGCGCCGACGGAGAAACGCGACGGCGTGATGTCGCCGGGCCGATCGCTCCCCACGGGCTGGGAGTCGCGTGTCGAGTCGAAAACGGGCCGGGAGTTCTTCGTCGACCACAACGCGAAGCGCACGACGTGGAGCAACCCGTTGGAGGACCCTACGAAGGTGTCAAGGAAGGTCTATAGAGCTCGATAAGGTCCTGGCGCCCCTCGACGCGGTCGCCGCGGCCGCGAGTAATTAGATCATGATCGAATTCAGATTAAGATACCTAGAGCATGATCGATCCCCGGGACGCGGGTCGGTCGTCCGGATCAATCCCCGGCGCCTCGTCGTCCAAAGTAGCCACGGCGCCGTAGCCGTCCGCCGGCGCGCGCGCGAGGAAGAGCCGGACGTACGCCAGGAGCCAGCAGCAGGGCAGGATGTGCCAGATCACGACGTAGGCGCCCACGTCGACGTGCGACGCCTCGGCCGTGAGCGTCAGGCCCATCTGCCCGCCGAAGAACGCGTAGGCCGCGAAGACGTAGCACGCGCCGGCCTCGCGCGGCGGCCGGTTCCGCTCCCCAAACACGCGCAGCAGCGCGCCCATGGCGATCCAGATCGACGTGCAGGCGTGCATCGCCACGCCGAAGTTGTTCGGCTGCTTGTGCGCCCAGATGAACCAGCCCCACCTGTGTGATACTCGAGTCGCGGCAATGGCGTACTGATAGGACAAGGGACGCCGAAAACCAACGCGCTCGCGAACCACGCGTGCGGCGCGCGGGCCAGCCGCGCTCCCGCCGCGCCCTCGAGCTTGGACGCCTGGAGGAAGGCCAATCCCAAACAAAAAACGAAGAGCGACATCCACGCGTGCAGCCCGTGTCTCAAATAATGTTTGAGAGCACTTTGAGAGTGCACGCCCTCGAGCAATCTATTCACAGCCTCGCCCGCGACGTAGGAGCCGCCGCCCCACATCGAGAGCTTGCCCTCGATCGCGGCCCGCGTCCGCCACGGCCACTCCGCCGTCAGCGCGCTGACGCCGATGGCCGCGATGAAGACGGAAGGCCCCAGGTGGCCCGGGAACTGTTCGGACGTGCGCTTGCTGCGCCAGATGTCCGCGGCCCTACAAATCCAGGTCACGAGCGCGATTTGTAGACATGCTAACATGGCGTGGAGCTTGAAGGCTGGGCTCGTCGCGCGGTGGGCGCTGCCGGCTAATTCCAAGGCGCTCGGCATTTTCTTGTTTTAGCGTCGACGGCGTCTGGGTTTGCTGTAATGCGGTTGGTTTTGCCTTTTGAAGCGCGGCGACGGCGTCGGGGCTGGTGCTGTAATGCTGTTGGTTTTGCCTTTTGAAGCTGAGAGGCGCTACGCAGCTTATGCTTCCACAGCGCTACGCAGGCTTTGAATGGATGCTTAAAATGTATGTCGACGGCGTGAAAGAGCAAACGTGCAGCGCACACAGCATTTGCGGTCGCCTTAGCTAGCGGCCTGTAAGACACTAGCGGTGTCTTCCTCGAAGAAAGAAGAACGCCGCGTGCGGCTTACAGGAGCGGAATCTGAACGCGTGAGGACGTACAGGAGCCCACTATAACTACTCTCAGCCACCGCAGCTTCGCGCGGCGCGTCAAACCGCGCTCGAGACGCCAAAAACAGCTGTCTCCAAGCCAGGCAACAAAAATCGTCTCAGCGCTAAAAAACCGCCGCTGTAACGCGTAAAACGACAGCGAAAACATGTCCATGGGCGGAGCCCTAGGCAAGTTCATCGCCGCCGACGCCGAGGTCGGCCTCGCGGTCAAGGTCTACCACCGCGTGAACCTCGCGCTGCTCGGCGCGACGCCCGTGGCGCTGGCCACAGACAACACGTTCCTGTCCTTCCCCGTGGACATGGGTTTGGCAATCATGTTCCCGCTCCACGGCCACATCGGCATGAATTATGTCATTACGGACTACGTGCCCAAGCTCTTCTCCAAGGCCGCCGTCGGCCCGGCGCGCGCCGTCATGGTCGGCGTCACGGGTTTCACGATGCTCGGCCTGACGAAGCTGAACGTCGAGGGCCCGGGCATCACGGGCACGCTCAAGGCGCTCTGGCGGAAGGAGTAAGCACAACATTGTTACTAGTACACGACGAGGTCTTCGTTTGATGATGGCGCCAACGCCTCCCGGCATGCAATGCGCCAGGCGTCGGATTGGAGGTCCTCAGGGCCAAGGTCTGCGCCCCATCGTAAACAAGCCTGGCCGCGCGCGTTTAGTGAAAGCGCGACGACGGACGCCACTTGGCCATCATCTGCGGCGTCGAGCACGGCCGCCGCGGCCGCCTCAATGGCCGCCTCCGCGTCCGTCGGCGCGAAGGACCGCAGCGCCTCGACGACGGCCGCCGCGCCGGCGCCGACGGCCGCGACGCCGGATTTATGATGACGCGCGTCGCCGCCGGGCCCCACGGACCAGAGGCAGGCCTCGCCGTCCGGATTTAAACCGGCCAGCAGGCACCGGCAGCCGTAGGCCCGGCGCCCGCCCCCTATACATACGGTGTGGCACTCGTCAGCGAGCGCGAGCGCGAGCGCCCGCGTTGCCGGCGCCTCGTCCGGCAGGCGCAGGCGCTCGCGCGCGGCGTGGACTCTTACAAAGTCCACTAATGCATAACCGTCGGCGCGGACGCCGGCAAAAGTCATCGCGTGCCGCGCGTCGACGTCCGCGATCTTGTCGTTGACCGCGGCGAGCACCGCTATGTTATTAGCACAAACACCGACGCAGGGCGCGCCCTTCGCCGCGGCCGCGTCCGCGTAGTCGAGCTGTAGCAGTCTTCCTTTTGGATCGAAGACGAACGGGTCCTGGTCGAACGGTGTATGAGAGTGGCCCCGTCGGACGGCTGTTGTGAGCGGTGCGAGCAGCAGGAGGCAGCCGCAGCGAATGAACATGCTGTCTGTAGTGGTTGGTGAACGCGCGGCGGTGGCGTCAATGGCTCACAAAAGCACCACTGTGCTGCAGTGTTGTTGTTTAGCACAGTTATGATTCGACAGCCTTAGCTGTTGCAGGCTCGAAACGTGCACGTCCCGAACGAATGCGAGCAGGTTCGCCTGTGGCCAAAACGCAGCGCTAACGCCGTTTTTTTTCCTTCGTCCGGCCGGCCAGCTCGTCGAAAAAACGGGTTTTTCGAGCTCAAATCAAGAGCCATCTTGGCCCCCCGGATGCGTCTGAAGGGTGCGAGGCGGCTTGATCGAGAGGCGTTCGACTGGCTCCAATATGCTTCTCGTTCGGGGCAGAGCAAGGGCATTGCCGTCGCAATTCGGCCCCCAAAAGCAGCAAAGGGGCAGCCCAACGGGTCACCGTGGGATAGGCCCCAACCAGGCGACGCAGCCGGCGACGCAGCGCGCCGCCCCCGCCCCTCTAAATGGGTTCCCTCGAGCAAGCCATCGATTCAGACGATGTGCACCGCCACGTCCTCAAGTTTTTGGATGGGAAGGCCTGCCGCACGGCGAGCGAAGCTGTGGTAAGGTGGCGCAAGCTGCAGAACGAGGGCTGGTGGCGCGCCAAGGCCCGGAATGATCTCAGTGTTAGTTTTTGGCCCGCAGAAGACGAGGAGGATTGGTTGGAAGTTTATAAAAGATGCCATCGACCACCATCTCTCCTGAAGTGGGTGGCCGGCCCGCTGCGCTCGCATTGTCTCGGGGACCGCGTCGCGGCGCCGCAGATGTTCGCCTCTGTCAAAGGGGAAAGATTGTACAACTACGGGGGCTGGACGAAGATCGGTCCCATGACCGATTTAAGATGCACGTCCGTGTCGAATTTGAACGATTTGTGTCGAGGTGCGGGTGCGAAGCCCGTTTTCAAGGTCTGCCCCGCGACGGGAAGGCCCGCGCGCCGATCCGGAGCCCAAACGCTCACGCCGCTGTGGCTCACGGGGGGATCCTGCGAGCCGTCGGCGAGCCATGCGGCCAAACTAGCGCCGGAGAACTTCCTCAAAGGAGGACGGGGGCACCTGATCGTGGCCTACGGTGGTGGGGGCGGCGGCTACACGGGCGAGCAGAACGACTGGGCCGTCGGCGTCTTAGATGATGACGATCCAGATGAAGACCCGCGGGTGCACTGGGTCCGGCCCGGGCCGCGCGAGGCGCCCGCCGCGGCCTACACGGCGCGCGCAACCACCACTTACAGCAGCCCAATGCATCGGTGTGCGCATACCGCTACGTATATTCCTGCTAGATGTTTTGGACATGATGATTTTCCGGAAGGTGCTGTCTTGTTTTTCGGGGGGCACGCGGCGGACACGCGCACGACGCTGCACCACCTCCAGCTGTTGGATGTGGCGACGTGGACGTGGCTTACCGATGAAAGGAGCGGCGGCCTGAACTACCGGCTGGAGCCGCGCGAGGCGACGGGCGCGGTGGCGCGGCACGGCCATACCGCTACCCTGGTGGAATACGACAACCAGGCGTACGTCGTCTTTGTCGGTGGCGGGCGGGGCACTATACTCGAAGATCCCAACCAGTGCGAGGAGTTCGGCAACGCCCAGGCCGTCGACGTGCGGTCGCTGTATCGACGGGGTACGTCTCGCGTACGGCCGCGCTACGGCCAGCTCGTCGCGTTGAGTAGTAGTTATGTGCCGGGTAGACACCACACCGCATCACTAGTAGCGCCGCACACGGTGGCGCTGTACGGTGGCGGGCATCGGCCCATGGGCGGACTATGGTTGCTAAACGTGAAGGAGGTCGTGGAAGCGGGCAAACGCGTCGTGGCAGCTAGAGCCGCGCGCGCGCGGGCCCTCCAGCAGTGCAAGGAGGCGGCCGAGAAGAAAGGCGAAAATATACTAGGTCTGATGAACACGCAGATGCAGCTGCTGGCGGAGGTCAAGGGCGCCGTCGTGCCGTTGACGGAGGTGGGGAATCACAGCGGCGCCGCCCCACTCCCGCGCAAGTTCCACGCGGCCTGTTCCTTGTATCCGTGGCGCCCGCTCTTCGTCGTGTTTGGGGGTTGGCGGACCGGGCCGCACTTCGAGGACCTGCACGTCGCGGCGCTCGGCGCGGACGCAAAAGCGCTTGACGTGTATAAACGTAGTCCCGTCGCGGCTGATGTTGACGATCTCGAGGACGGGTTCCTGGAAATTCGCGTCTTCGTGCCCGAGCTGGGCACGACGGAGACGCTGCGCACGTCTCGGAGGCGGCTGCGCTTCCTCGTGGAAACGGGCGTATTCGGTGCGCCGACCACCGCAGGCGGCAACTATAGATTCCTCTCCGCGCCGGTGCCCGCGCGGCCGACGATGCCGCGCGGCGGCCTGCGGGAGATGTGGACGCGCGAGGGGAATCGCGTCCACATCGGCATCCCAGAGGCTGGGGAGGGCGAAGTGCCCACCGTCGACATCTCGCTGCAGCGGAACATGCTCTACGGGTCCTACGCGCCGACGCAGCCGCACGCGCCCCACAACTGAACATATTCCGATCCGCCGCTGACGCGGCCCCAATTCTTGACCCTCCCTCGCGGGACCACGCCAATGTACATCCCCGATGAATCGCTTCGTAACCTTAGAGTCTATATATGTCCATGGCCTTAGTAGCGCCCCCGTGACCGCGACCGCGACTGAGAACGAGTCGCTTTGCGCGCCGCGGACGTCGGCCGCGCCGCGCCAGCGCGCGGCTGGTAACCACTCGACCCGCGCGGCGGCTGATGGCCCCAGATGCTCGGCTGCTGCTGCCCACCGAAATTGCCGTAGGAGCCATAACCATAACCGCCCGACGACGGCCGGAACGAGCCCGCCTGCTGCGCGGCGCGTTCCCTCGCCGACGAGCGCCGGTGCCGCATCAGGCCCGACGCGCCCTGGAGGATGGCGTTCTGCTGGTACAGGGACGAGCCGCGCTGCTGCCGGTAGTCGTAGCCACCAGGATTCGTGTCCATCACATACCCAGAGTACGCAGGTCTCTCAGCAGCAGCTTGCGACCGCGGCCGCTGCCTTTCAGAACGCCACGAGCTCTTCTGGGGCTGGGCCGCGCCGGACGCGGCCCCCCAGAACGCCGCCTGCTTCGCGACGGCGGGCTGATTCGGCGCCGTTTTTGGTCTCGACGACGTCTCGCGCGCGAAGAGCTGCGCGTCGCCGGCCCTCGCACTTCGTTGTCTAGGAGGCTGCTGGTTCTGGACCTGGCGGTTGTAGGTCCTCCGATCCTCCCTACTAGGATTCGAGGGCTGCGATCCAGAACCGCGAATCACGGGTGCCGTCGCTTGGGACGCGGGCGACTGGCCCGTCCGTCCACCGGTGCCATGAGACCCGCCACCCTTCTCCTCCGTCTCAGTCTTGTGCTGCGCGACGGCGCCGGCCGTGCCCGGTCTTTTGGGTTGATCTTTTTGGATCGGCACGGGCTGCGCCGACTGGGGTCTAGGTATGGTAACATGATGCTTCTTCTGGGGCTCCTCGTTCTCCTGGTTTCTTGCGCGGCCGTTGAAGGCCAAGGTGTTCGCCGTGCCAGGTCTTGCCACCGCTCCAGCGGTGCCCGGCCGCACGGCTTGCGAGGTAGACGGCCGGTTGTCGTCCTTCTTCGTGGACAGGGGCCTCGACGGCGCTCGGGCCGTGTCCCAGTCCCACTGCTTCGGGTTCTCGAAGCCGTGCCGCCGGTACAAATCCCGGAACAGATTTCGGACGTACGTCATATTCGGCTTCGCGTCGAATTGGAGCTCCCGGCAGTACTGGATGAACTCCTGGAACTCGACGGGGCAGCCCCGACACAACTCAGGTAGAGGCGTCGTCGTCTTCTTGTCCAGGATCAATCGGTGTTTCTGCGAGGCGGTGCCGGCGACGCCATGTGGGACTTTCAAACCTTGCCAGGGGAGTTTACCAAGCAAGAAGTAGACGAGGATATAGCCGATCGACTCCAAGTCGTCTCTTCGCGAAGTCTCGACGCCCTGGTGGTTCGCTACCGAGGCATATCTAGGCGTCCCCGTCAGCGACCGACCCTCGCGATACGGGATATGTTGTAACGTATGAGGATGTCGATAGCGTTTCGACAGGCCGAAATCGATGCAAAAGACCATGGCCGCCGTATCGCCGGGGCTCACGACGAAATTCGCCGGTTTTATGTCTCTGTGGATCAAGTGATTTTCATGTAAAGTTTCTGCTCTCTCTAAAAGTTGGTCGGCCAATTGTAAAGTTGTCTTGAGAGAAAACCTTCGACCGCATTGGTTGAACAGGTCCTCCAACGAAGGTCCCAGTAACTCCATGACCATCACATTACAATCTCTATAGGTGCCAAAGTACATGACCCTACCAATACCGGTACATCCCTGCAATTCCCGATACACTTTAAACTCGTGGCGCAACTGCGGACACCTGGCGCTTCTCTTCTCGAACTTGATCGCGACTTGCTGGTTGCTGTCCTGGTAGATGACGGTCCCGGAGTAGATCTCTCCAAAGGAGCCGCTGCCGATCTTCCTATTTATGCGGTACTTCTGGCCGATGACCGTATCCGGCGGGATGCCCACGGCGCTCGACATGGCGGTGCTTTACGAGGCGGCGGCGGGGTTGGCCTCCTCGTCGAGGAGTCCCGCGGCGCTTCGTGCCAGGAGCGGCCCGAGGAGCGGGGCTGGCGTGGTTTAAGGCCCGTCCGAGGGTCCCGGGGCGCGCGCGTCGCCGCGCGGGCGTTCTGCCTTCGCCGCTGGAGCCGCTCCAACGACGGCGTTTCTGGGGCGCTTCGGCAGCGGAAAGCGGCCTGGCCGCGGGGTGCGGCTGGAGGGCTTCCCCGTGGGGGTCGTCGAAGGGCGATCCGGGCCGCAGCGGCGCCGATCCTGGCCTCGCGTTAAGGCAGCCCGCACTCGGCTACCGGGATGGGAGCTAGCCGTTGGAATTGGGGGAATTGGTGAGCGCCTTCAGCGGTCATCGAGCGCCCGCCGGGGCCCTGGGGCAGCTGTGGACGGACGGCCTACGACGCCTGGCGCCGCCGCGACGGGTACACTCGGCTGACGCCGTCGCCGCGAGAGAGAACTAAGACACATACAACACTTAGTGGGTCCGGCCCTCGTGGTCGCGCGGCCCGATCTCGTGCGACGTCCCCGGCAACCCCAGATGCACGTAGCCCGGCGGGAAGACCGTGCCCTCGGCGTCGACAAAAACGCCCTCGGGCGGCAGCGACGAGTGCGATCCTGGTAACACGTTGTCCGGCACCTCCTCGCCTCGCTCGAATTTCCCGAACTTCGTCATGTGCAAGGGCGGGTGCGGTGGTAATTGCCCCATGGTCCTAGGGTCTTCGGCGTTCGGGTCCACGGGCGCCTGCGCTTTGAGGACGGGCTCGCCCGCGTAGAGCTTCTGGAAGCGCATCATGGCCTTGAACTTCGACTTCTCGTAGCGCTTCGGTCGCTGTAAATTTTGGGAGTAAAACCCGTCGGCGCCGAACCAGTACTGTAAATGCTCCATATCTTCAAGACCCTGGGGATAGTGGATCATTTCCAGGGCATTGCCCTGGAAGTCGCAGCATCTTAATTCACTAAGTTGGGTGCAGGACTCCGGCAAGAATTTGATGAAGCGGTTGTGCGAGAGATCCAGCTGTTTCAGGTTGATCAGGAGGCCGAGCTTTTCCGGTAAGGCGCCGCCTAGTCTGTTCTCTCTTAAAATGCAAGTTTGTAACGAAGTATGCCTCTCGCAAAACTCATTCGAGAAGGGCCCCTGCAAACCGTTCACGCCGAGATCTAACGTTATCAACGTCTCTGGTAGTATTGGCAAAACACCAGAAAAAAAGTTTCGCGAGCAGTCCAATGATGTTAATTTGACTAACGACGACGCCCAGTCTAGTCCACCGACAAATCTATTTTCAGCTAAATCGAGGTCCTCGAGCTGCGTCAGGGTTGCGTACTCCTCCGGTATAACGCCTTCCAGCGCGTTCGCTCTCAGTTGTAACACCCTTAACTGCGACAGGTTTTGTAGCGAAGCTGGGAGTTGACCGTCTAACCCATTATTTGACAAATCAACCCTCGTCAGTTGGTTGACCTCGCCCAACTCAGAAGGGATTTCGCCCGTAAAGCGGTTCTCGGCGAGGTCGAGGTCTGTCAGCGCCGTCAGCTGACCTAGTCCAGATAAAGTGCCGAAGACGTCGTTGCCCGGCAGTATGAGAGTATCTAACGATATGAGTTTAGTTAACGCGTCCGTAGGTAACTCTCCTTCCAAGTTATTACGAGGTAAGTCCAACCCGCCGACGCGCCGCTCCCACCTTTTTATGGATACGCCCTCCCAGTACTGGCAGTCCAACGCAAAAAAGGGCACGGCCCGCTTCTTCTTCGCTTGCGCCCGACCGATCCAGCCGTCGCGCCGCAACCAGCCGAACCCGTTTACTCCCTCGAAGAACTCCCGCAATGCCGAGGTCTCCTTCTGTTCCTCCACGAGCTCCGACTTCTTCTCGTCCAAACCAGTCGACGCCTTTAACCTATTCAAGTGGTGCACCAGGTCCGCCTCGGCCATCAGAAAATCCTCGTGAGATAACGCGTACTCGGCCTTGGCTCGGGCCTCCTTCCTCGCCTGCCAGATGTCCAGGGCGCAGGTTAACGGAGACTCCGCTATTAATCTAGCGGTCTGCTTCTCCTTGAGCTTCTTCTGCTTGCGTTTGAAGCGCTTCATCTTTTGTTGGCTCTTTGTGGTGTTGTGCTGTCTACTGTTGTTGGCTTTAGGGTGCCGGGCAGCCTTTACACGTACGGGTGGCGGTGCGAATGAGCAGTAGTTGTGCCTCTGTCGGTGTCTCGCTCCGCTCCGGCTCGCGTCGGCAGCGCGCAGCGCGAGGCTGCCTCTGCTTTTATCTGCTTTTTGCCCATCCTCCCCGCACCGATGGAACCCTCGCGAGGTATCTCTGGGCGGCCGACTCTTCTTGTTACGAGTCCCCACCGACGGCTTGAATTTTGCTAGTGTCTTACAGCGCTAGCTGCCACTTTTGCGTGGCGCTACTAGTAATTTGGCAGCTTTGCACCGAGGAGTCTAAAAAACACTGGCAGAGTGCACATGTACAACGCCACGGTGGGCGCGCTGGTCAAGGAGACCACTGAGATCGAGCACACACCTCGCAAAGCCGCCGAGCCCGAGGAGGAAGAGGAGTACCCGACGCGCGCAGCCGTGCGCCGGTTCTTGGCCGCCGACGTCGTCGAGCAGGCGGGCCTCGTGCGGCAGATGCGGAGCGACGGCGAGTCGGAGGCCGCGATCGAGCGCGAGGAGACCCTGCTGCGCGAGCTCCGCGCGAAGTTAAGGGAGGCCGAGCAGGCCATCGCCGACGGGAAACGATGATGATGTTATTGCTCGTGGCGGGCGCCGCCGCGCTGGTGGCGCCGGGCTCTAGGCCATCAGGTGCTGTGGCGTGTAGAGGGGCTGCTTACGATTACTGCGTCCAGGCCCTGGGCTGCACGGCGGCGGAGGCGACCAAGGCCGAGGGAGCGCTGTTGCCGAATATTGCCGAGAGCATGACTCGCACGCAAATCGATTGCGTGTGCGATTGGCTACAGTCCTCGCTCGACCTGAGCGACGCGGAGCTGAAGAAGATGTTTCTGACGTTTCCGCATATTCTGGGCTTGAGCGTCGAAGCGACCTTGGAGCCGAAATTCGATTGGCTGCAGAAGCGCCTCGACCTGGGCGACGCGCAGTTGAGGAAGCTGGTTATGACGCGCCCGCAACTGCTGGGCTTGAGCATCGAGGACAATCTTGCACCGACGCTCGAGTGGTTGCAGACACGTCTCGACCTGGATGAATCGGGGCTAAGGAAGATGGTTCTGGCGGTTCCGTCACTGCTGGGCTACAGCGTCGAGGACAACATGGCGTTGAAGCTGGAGTGGCTGCGGAGGCGCCTCGACCTAGACGACGCGGGGCTGAGGAAGGTGGTTCTGGGGCGTCCGCAACTGCTGGGCTTGAGCGTCGAGGACAACGTGGCGCCGAAGCTTGACTGGCTGCAGACGCGCTTCGACCTGGACGACGTGCAGCTGAGGAAGATGGTTCTGACGCGCCCGCAACTGCTGGGCTTGAGCATCGAGGACAATCTTGCACCGACGCTCGAGTGGTTGCAGACACGTCTCGACCTGGATGAATCGGGGCTAAGGAAGATGGTTCTGGCGGTTCCGTCACTGCTGGGCTACAGCGTCGAGGACAACATGGCGTTGAAGCTGGAGTGGCTGCGGAGGCGCCTCGACCTAGACGACGCGGGGCTGAGGAAGGTGGTTCTGGGGCGTCCGCAACTGCTGGGCTTGAGCGTCGAGGACAACGTGGCGCCGAAGCTTGACTGGCTGCAGACGCGCTTCGACCTGGACGACGTGCAGCTGAGGAAGATGGTTCTGACGCTTCCGTCACTGTTTAACTATAGCGTCGAGGCCAACCTGGAGCCGAAGCTTCATTGGCTCCAAACGCGCCTCGACCTAGATGGCGAGCAGCTGAGGAAGGTGGCAGGATGTGTGTCGGTACTGAGTACGAGCATTGACATTCTAGAGTCAAAGCTCGAGTGGCTGCAGACGCGCCTCGACCTGGACGACGCGGGGCTGAGGAAGGTGGTTGTGGCGTTTCCGCCACTGCTGGGACTGAGCGTCGAGAACAACATGGAGCCAAAGTTGTGCTTCTTCGAGGAGGAACTAGGTCTCTCTCCGTCCGAAGTGCGCGCTTCAATAGTATCCGCTCCATCTCGTCTGGGCCGCAGCCTTAAAACACGGTACCGGCCCCGACTCGAAGTCTGCCGCGCCGCCGGTGTCGATGCCTCCCTTGTCCTCTCCTATGCCACCATAGTGGACGAAAAGTTCTGCAAGCGCGCCCGCATCCCCCTCGAGGCCCTCCGTGCGGCCCAGGAGAAGCGCCCTCCCGGATATCGCCGTCCGCTCTGTTCCAAGGAGGCCGATATCACTGTCGCCGTCGCGCCATGCGCCCCAGCGGCGTTCCTCGTGCCGCCGCGCCCGCGGAGAAGAGCCGCCGCGCCGCCGCGCCGAGCGCTCAAGGGTGACTCGACGATCACGGTGCTGCACCAGTTTGAATCCGTCGTCCTCGACCCCGCGCTCGCCGCCGATGGCAACTTTTGGATCTACGCGTTAGTTGTGGTTGAGCAGGGCGGTTTTCCACTTAACGTCCTCGGCGACCCCGAGGCGTCCGCAACGGACCTGCTGATGGGCGGCGGCGCGGACGAGACGGACGCCTACGACTACGAGGGCGTCGTCTTCGAAGCCACGCCCGTCGACGCGCCGCCCGGGAAGGCGGCCGCGCTCGTCGTCGCCGACGCGACCTTCACGGCGATGCCGGAGGCGGCGTGGCGACGGTTCAGGACCGTCATCGCCGTGGGCGGGGATACGGACTACGGCGACGAGGACGCCGGCCTCATCGCGGTCTCCTCGATGGGCGAGCTCCGCGCGCTCACGATATGCTCGTACGCGAGCCTGAACAAGCGGGCCTAAGAAGCTAGTATGTGAATTTATACGCCATCGCCGCCGGTACCTACTAGTAGAACCACTCCGGATCCTTCGTCTCCGCCTCCCAGCAGGGCATCCGGAAGTGGATGACTGCGATCGCGAGCGAGAGCACGGCGCTGATCGAGATGCATATTGCACTCGTGTACGGGTAGGTCCCCGCAATCCTTTGTTCCTCCGTGAAGTCCTTGACCGGGAAGAACATTCGGTTCCCCGCGTTCGGAAAGTAGGACCAGCACGTCGAGTAGAACTCGATCGTCAACCCGAGCATGGCACAAAAACACGCGAACTCCGTGATGGCGCCGGCCCAGCGCCAGAACGGCGTGTCCGTGATGCGGTTGTTGCCCTGGCGCGTACGTCGTCGCCTTCGCCTTCCACACGGGCTACTATTAAGCACAAATCAACATTAATACCGCCGCCCCGTCACCATCGCCTCGGACGCGTCCGTGAACACGGAGTACCCCTCGAGCGTGAGGGCCCGGACCCGACACTCGTAGGCTTTCTGCGGACGCAAATCAGGCAGCACGACGCGGTCGTCGCGCAGCTCGTCGCGCCCGATTAAAGGAAGCCACTCATGTACAGCCCCGCCGCGCCAGACCGGCGCCGTCGCCTCCCTGTATTGCACTTCGTACTTGACGACCCCGCCGTTCGGCGCCGGGCTCCAGTGCACATCCAGCCACGTCGCGCCCGCCTCCATCAAGGAGGGCACGCCCGGCGGGAGAATGGTCGAGGTCGAGCACGCCTTTGAAATGCGGGACCAGTCCGACCAGCCGTGTTTATTTTTGGCGCGGACCCGAAACACGTACCGCGATAGGGGAGGGCACCCCTCCAATCGGTATGCTTTGTGCACCGCTATTAATTCGACACTTTTAGCTTCGTCAAACGAGTCCTCGCCGTCATCCGTGCAGGGGATGTGTTGTAATTCATACGATGTTATCGGCTGCCCGTTGTCGTGGTTCGGCGCCCACTCCACGTAAACTGTTTTTTCGGTGGCTTTGTGCAGATCACCTACTGGTTGAGAGGGCGCGTCGGGCACATCTTCTAAAAGTCGTACGGTATCTGTGATAATGGCGAAGTCCCAGTCGCGCCAGCCGAACGCATCGAGGGGTCTCACGCGAAACCGGTAGGCGCAGCCCGGTAATAAACCTTCATCAACTTTACGGGAAGTGGTTTCCAGATCATCCGCCACGGTCTCCCAGGGCGGCAATGCACCTGAGGTTTTCTGCAACTGGACCTGGAGCTCCCATTTTATAGCGAGAACGGCGTTGGCGTCCCATCTTACTGTTACAGATCTCGAGTCGACGTCCGAGACATAAATTGAGGAACCAGTCTCGAAGACCGAAGAGATCCGCGACCACTTCGACCACCCTAGATCCGACTGGCACCTTACTCTGAGACAGACCTTCTCGCCCAAGGTCAAGCCAGAAAAAGAAAAAATAGCCCGCTCTCGCAACGAGTATCTACACGAGAGCCACTCTCGTCTCCCAATGGTCCAGTCATTGGGATCATCGCTCGTCTCGCCGTCCGGCCTCCTCTGACTAGTCCACTCCTTGACTAACGCAGCAGCTCTTTTGGGATTGTTGTCGATGGCTAGCGCTCGTCGGAATTTCTCCGCTCTAGTACCACCAATCACATACCTTTGTAATTCATAAGCTTCTACTTCCCTACCGTTGTCGTATCTCGGTGGCAGCCACGCCGCGACCACTGACGACGCAGTTACATGACATAGAAAGGGCGCTCCGGGTTGATCGGGCACGTCCGGCTTCGTGTAGGTAAACGCCATGGGCGAGGGCGGTCCTAGGCCCGCGGCGTTCGACGCTCGAACATAGGCTTGATACCTAGTGGAGGGCCACAACTGCTTTATGATAGAGACGCCCTTCACCTCCTCCTCGAACGTCGTCATGCGCTCCTCCGTGAACTCGTTCTGCACGCGCTCACAACGCTTGACGTGTCTGAGCTTAACACCTTCCTGTTTTTCCGTAAATAAGGCACAACACTCGTCCGGGGGTGCATAGCAGGCGACTACGTTGCCGTATTCTTCCGTCTCCTTCCGCTCGACGGGCTGCTCCCAGTTCACGCGGAAGAACCTCGTCGAGGCTGCGGTGGACGCGATCGAATCCCCGAGGATGTCCCAGTGCACCTCGAAGGACCTTTGTGAAGTCTGTCGGAGTTGGACCGACTCTACTCGATCCGGGCCATCTTTCAGGGACTCCATCATGACACTTATGAGCGGATCTGACGACGAGCGCTCCTCCGGTACCAACTCGTAGGCTCGCTTGAATTGTTCGTCAATAAGCATGTGGTCCGCGCCCTCGTCCTTCAACAATTGTACGAGTGGAGGGTTGCACTGCAATGCTGCTATGTGTAGTGGTGTTCGTTTCATTGGAGATAACGGTGAATTGATGTCGGCGCCATGCTTCAACATCGCTCTCACACATGTAGTTCTATTGAACTCCACGGCGGCGTGCAAGGCGGCATAGCCCGTCTGCGGGTGCAAGGTGTTAAATAATTCATCTAGCGACGGCGCGCCCGGCGTCCCATCGGCCGATTTCTTAATTATAGCTAACACTTTCTTCGTCTTGTTGCTGCAGGCCGCGTCGATGAGTTCCTTCGCTTCCAGGGCGTCGAGCTCCATCAAGAAAGCGCTTTCCTTCGCTATATGTTTAGATAATTTCTTCTTGCGAGGCCCTTCGCGTTTCCGCCGCTCCTTGATCGTCTCCCTTCGTTCGACGTGCTTGAAGGGCGAATCAGACAACTCGTCGTCCTCGTCCACTCTTATACTATCGAGTTGGGCGCTCTTCTGTCTGATCGCGATGTCGGAATCCTGGATCTGCTCGTCCTCCTCGAGCATGCTGCCCCGCTGCTTGCGCAGGTACGCCTCCCTGCGTGGGGTAACTCTCGTGGCTCGATCGATTGGGTCCACCTCACGCCGTCGACGCGACGCGCCGCCGCCATCACGCCATCGACGCGCCGACGCCATCGCGCCAGCGACACGCTGACGCCATCACGCCAGCGACGCGCTAATGCCATCCCGCCATCGACGCGACGTGCCGACGCCGTCGACGCTAGTTGGAAGGCACCTCGCGACACTGCACACGCACCGTTTCCGGAAGATGCGCTCGGAGTCGAAACATCTCGAGTCCAAGCGTTCCCGCGACTGGCGGTCCGGCGACGGGCACGGCGTCTCTTCAATGGAAGCGCGCGGCGTGCCTTCATCCGAAAAGTCGTTTAACAATCTTGAAGCCTGGTACAGCAATGAGTCTAAAGCAGCCTCCGGATTATCCAAGTGCTCCACTTCTTTGCCGATCAAGCGAATGAGCGTCACGGGTCGTAAAGTCCGGCGGTGCGGCACGAACGGCTTTTGTGGTAAACGCTCGTAGGAGTCCGCGGAGCGCACGAAGGACTCGTCCAGCCCGCCCTGTTCGCTCAGCTCTTCTTCGTACAGCAGCTCGTCCTTCATGAACTCCGTCGCCGCGCGCAGCGCGCGTCCGAGGACTTTGCGGTCTCCCGCTATTTGTTGGGCCGCCTTTATCAATCTCGAACTCGCGTCGCGCGACAGTGCGTCTCCTCGATAATCGCAGACGCCGACCCGCAGGTAGATGGCTATCCTCCGCGCGAGCTTTCGTCTCCTCTCCATCTCGCGCTGGCGCTTGGCCTCGCGTTTCGCCTCTTGCGCCTTGTGCTCCCCGAGGACGCTAAGCATGGTGTTGCGGCCGCGGAACTTTTCTAGCAGAGTTGGTGTCGCTGCTTCTTCTTCCGGTGGGTCTGCGGCGGGGGGCTCCATGTTGTGTTGCACAGCAATGCGCTCTGTGCAACACCCTGTGGGCTACCCGAGGAGACGGCTTCGCTGCCCGCGCTGCAGAGGGTCCCAGAGCGATGCGGTGCGGATCGCTGGTGGCGCCTGGGCGCGTTTGTGCCTCTTCTGCAGCCTGCTATTTTGCGGAGCCTGGCGCTGGAGGGGCAGCCACTGCGGAGCGCGCCGCGGCCACCTTTCTTTGGCGCAGGGGTGCTTTGCGTAGCGCTCCGGACGCCCTGAGACGAAGGAAATGATGGTTTTGGATCCTGATTATGCTAGTATGATTTTGCTCTCTCGATTTCGACATCTCTATCGCGCACTCGCCTTTGTAGCCAGTGGTACGCCCGCAGAGTCCATCTCCAACGTAACCAAGCCTGCAGCACTTCGCCCGCACCCGTGCGGCGCCGCCGCGGCAAATTCCGCGATCCGCGCGGCCTCGGGGGACCCGTTTCACCACCATCTGCTGTGGCGCCAAACAAATCCCGCCGCTCGACGCTGCGATTCAAAGTTAAGGCACCTCTAAGAGCCGCAGCCGTTTCACAAAGGCGGCGCGGGCTCGCTGCGTGCACGCTGTGACAAACACACAACATCGCGTCGCGCCCAGCTAACCGCCGACCGACTCACCCCACCCCCCCCCGCAGACAAAAAAACTTACAAAAATGGCCGCCGAGGTCGAGACCTTCGCCTTCTCGGCCGACATCAACCAGCTCCTCTCGCTGATCATCAACACGTTCTACTCGAACAAGGAGATCTTCCTCCGCGAGCTCATCTCGAACGCCTCCGATGCGCTCGACAAGATCCGCTACCAGTCGCTCACGGACGCGTCGGTCCTCGACGCCGAGCCGAACCTCGAGATCCACATCGTGCCCGACAAGGCCAACAACACCTTGACCATCGTCGACACGGGCATCGGCATGACCAAGGCCGACCTCATCAACAACCTCGGCACGATCGCCAAGTCCGGCACGAAGGCCTTCATGGAGGCGCTCCAGGCCGGCGCGGACATCTCCATGATCGGCCAGTTCGGCGTCGGCTTCTACTCCGCGTACCTCGTCGCGGAGAAGGTCGTCGTCACGTCCAAGTCGAACGACGACGAGCAGTACACGTGGGAGTCCGCGGCCGGCGGCTCGTTCACGGTGTCGCCGGACGCGCCCGAGGCCAAGCGCATCGGCCGCGGCACGCGCATCGTCCTCACGATGAAGGAGGACATGGCCGAGTACCTCGAGGAGCGCCGCCTCAAGGACCTCGTGAAGAAGCACTCGGAGTTCGTCGGCTTCCCGATCAAGCTCTACGTCGAGAAGACGCAGGAGAAGGAGGTCACGGACGACGACGATGACGACGAGGAGGAGGGCGACGAGGACGACGACGCCCCGAAGGTCGAGGACGTCGACGAGGCCGAGACGAAGAAGGAGAAGAAGACGAAGAAGATCAAGGAGGTGACGCACGAGTGGGACCACCTCAACGGCCAGAAGCCCATCTGGATGCGCAAGCCCGACGAGGTGACGCAGGAGGAGTACGCCGCCTTCTACAAGTCGCTCACGAACGACTGGGAGGACCACGCCGCGGTCAAGCACTTCTCGGTCGAGGGCCAGCTCGAGTTCCGCTCGGTGCTCTTCGTGCCGCGCCGCGCGCCCTTCGACATGTTCGAGGGCGGCAACAAGAAGAAGTTCAACAACATCAAGCTGTACGTGCGCCGCGTCTTCATCATGGACAACTGCGAGGACCTCATGCCCGAGTTCCTGACGTTTGTCAAGGGTATTGTTGATTCCGAGGACCTCCCGCTCAACATCTCGCGCGAGACGCTGCAGCAGAACAAGATCCTCAAGGTCATCAAGAAGAATTTGGTCAAGAAGTCCATCGAGCTCTTCAACGAGATCGCGGAGGACGAGGACAAGTACAAGAAGTTCTACGAGGCCTTCAACAAGAATTTGAAGCTCGGCGTCCACGAGGACTCGACGAACCGCGCGAAGATCGCCAAGTTGTTGAGATACCACACGACGAAGTCGGGCGAGGAGCAGACGTCGCTCGACGACTACGTCGCGCGCATGTCGGACAACCAGCCGGGCATCTACTACGTGACCGGCGAGTCGAAGCGCGCCGTCGAGACGTCGCCCTTCCTCGAGAAGCTCAAGAAGAAGGGCTACGAGGTCGTCTTCATGACCGACCCCATGGACGAGTACTGCGTCCAGCAGCTCAAGGAGTACGAGGGCAAGAAGCTCCTCTCGGCCACGAAGGAGGGCCTCAAGATGGAGGAGACCGAGGAGGAGAAGAAGGAGCTCGAGGAGGCCAAGGCCGCCACCGAGGGCCTCTGCAAGCTCATGAAGGAGGTCCTCGACGACAAGGTCGACAAGGTCGTCGTCTCGACGCGCCTCGCCGACTCGCCGTGCGTCCTCGTCACGGGCGAGTACGGCTGGTCCGCGAACATGGAGCGCATCATGAAGGCCCAGGCCCTGCGCGACTCGTCGTCGTCGGCCTACATGTCGTCGAAGAAGACCATGGAGATCAACCCCCTGAACCCCATCGTCAAGTCGCTCCGCGACAAGGCCGAGGCCGACCAGTCGGACAAGACGGTCAAGGACCTCATCTGGCTGCTCTACGACACGTCGCTCTTGACGTCGGGCTTCTCGCTCGACGAGCCGTCGACCTTCGCGTCGCGTATCCACCGCCTCATCAAGCTCGGTCTCTCGATCGACGACGACGAGGACGACCTCGACGCGGACATGGACGACCTCCCGCCCCTCGAGGAGGACGGCCTCGACGAGGAGTCGACCATGGAGCAGGTCGATTAAAAGCCGACGCGCCGCCCGTCTCCCCTCTTTGTTTTCCCCGGGGCGTATAAGTCTCGCCTCAACGTAGTTTTAACTCCGCCGACCCGGCGCAGCGTGCCGGGCGATTCTGGAGCATGGTCAAAAAATTCCTCGGTCCGCGGTTACTAGTTAGTACTAGGGCAGGGGATTTTAAACTGGCACTAGAATAAAGCAAAAAAATATCAGCGACCGCACGATCGAGGTGAAGTATAGTGGCCGTATTAAAAAAATTCCCGAGCCCCGTTTTACATATCTTTTGCTACTACTGACTGCCTAGTCACGGTAGTACTAAAAGGTATCTAAAACGGGCACTAGATATAATAAAAAAATTTCAGCGACCGCACGGATCGAGGTGAAGTATAATGCCGGTATTAAAAGTATGATCGACTTACTCCGTCGCGGCGAGGGCGTGGTAAAAGTCATCGAGCACGGACGAACGCGGTTGGAAACACAAAGCACACGCGCGAAAGCCGACGCTATCGCTCCTGCGACGGCGCGCCGCTTACAATGCGGCGCAAGCCGCCGTACCACTCCTTGCAGTGGCGGCACTTGCCGCCGGACGCGAGCTTCATCGCGCACTTGTCGCACGCCAATCGGCAGCCGCAGGGCACGGCTTCGAACGTCACGGGCTTGCCGCATTTGCAGGTTGTGATCTCTGCCTGCTCTGCTTTGACCACTGCTGTCGCCATGCCGCCTCCTCGGCTCGAGCAAATGCACCACCCCCAGCAGAACCAAGCTGTAACTCGTACGACAGCTCCACAGATCTGCCTCCGACGAGAGCAGGTATCGCGGGGGGCACAACCGTCGTCGCTGGGCAGCCCTTAGGGCGAGGACGCCGTCGATGGGTTGCTTGGCCAGTTGGGCCAGGTTCTCAAAGGAGAGCGCAGACGGGTTTTTGGCGTCTGCCAAGGACAGAGTATTCCTGCCGGGCTTCCCCGACGAGAGTTTCGCGCACGCCTCCCGGCCCGAATATGGTGAAAATGGGCCCGAGCAGCGGCTCCGCAGCGGGAAATCCACTCAGCGCGACGCCCGAGAGACGGCGGACTCGCCTGATCAGTAATAATAATTTCTGGAATGACGAGGATACGGCCACCACGAAGTCACGGCGCCGCTCGACTCGCGAGCTTTGTTTTAGCCACTTCTCAGCTGACCTTGGCTCAACAGCCGACGCCACGACCAACATATAAGCCGCGAGACAGCAGTTGGGATTACGACGACGATGGCGGGCCGACGACGGGCGATTACGTCGTCACGTTCATCGCAATAGCCGTCGGCATGCTCGTCGTCGCTTGTTTATTCCGGGCGCTCGGCCACTTCATCCTCCAGAGCGCCGTGCGCGCGCGGACGCAGGCCTGGCACGCGCACAGCCCGCACTCGCCGCATTCGCTCCGAAGGGCGAGCATGCGCGGCCACCGCGGCCTCGACGAGCAGATCACCGGCGGCTCCGTCGGGACGCCGAAGACGCCGAAGACCAAGGTCATTCCCGTGAGGGATCCGGACACAATCGTAGTCGTGCCCGAGGACAACGTCTGAGCCATGACGCACCTTCGGACCTGAGGCTTCGGTACCGACCACGACCCCGCCCACGAATCGAATCGTCCTTACTAGTAACACTACTCTACTACTGCACCGTGAGGGGCAACGTTTGAGCCATCACGTACCGGTTGAGCACGAATTATCGTTCTTAATACTACTACTACTGCGCCGTGTAGCCCCCATCCACAGAAATCATCGACCCGACACAGAAGGGGATCTTGGCCACGCACGCGACGAGCGCGGCGACCTCCTCGGGCCGGCCCAGCCGCGGCAGCGGCTGCGCCGTCTCGAGCCACGTGTATAATTCCTGGGCGTTCGCGCCCTTCTGCTTCACGAAGTCCTGGACCGCGCCGTGCATGAGCGGCGTGTCGATCGTGCCGGGGCAGATGCAGTTGAAGCGGACGCCTTTCGGCGCGTAGTGCGCCGCGAGCGACTTGGACAGCTGCGCGATGGCGCCCTTCGTGCACCCGTACAAATGCTGCTCCGGCTTCCCTATCAACGACTGGTCGCTGCCGATGATCACGATGGAGCCGCCGTGGTCGAGCATGGCGGGCACCGCGGCCTGGATACCAAAGAACGTACCCTTCAGGTTCACGCCAATCACCTTATCGAAGTCCCGTTCCGACGTCTTCTCGAAGTCGCCGCCGTGCCAGACGCCCGCGTTCGACACCAGGACGTCGACGCGCCCGTGCGCCTTTACGACGGCCCCGACCGCGCGTTTCACTTGCGCCACATCACTGACATCGCATTGCAGGTGCGTGACGCCCGCCACGTCTGATGCAGGCTTTTTGAAATCAATGTTGTAGACGACGCCGCCCGCCTTCGCGAGGTGCGCGCAGCAGGCCGCGCCGATGCCCGTCGTGCCGCCCGTCACGATGACCACATCGCCTTTAAAAGACGGCGAGCCGAATCCTTTTTCGTCGAAACGCGTCTTCGCGGCGGCGGCGGACTCGCACGTCGCCGTGCTTTGCGCGGTCGCGTAGCAGGCCGCAGCGCCGGTGGCGAGTCCTGCGCCCGCCAGAAGGCGTTTTGCCGCGGATGCTTGTTGTCCATGAGCCAAGGGTGTGTGATGCCTGGCACCTCTGAGGGCACGAGTTGCACGTAATGTTGCGCGCATCATGTTGGAGGTTCAGTTGTACGAATTGTGCAGTCCGTTGCTTGCTCTCGTGCGCAAAACAATGCTAATCCGGCTCCCCAAAGTTGAGAGTGCGTGCTAGTGTCTTACAGGCCGCTAGCATCGCTTTGCCTCTCGGCACTTGAAGTCAATTAACCACACTCTGCGACCGCGGGGCGCCCGAGGTGTCTTGCGGGCAAGCCACCAGTGAAAGGGTTACGCGAGCGGTCGGCGCGGCGCCGCCAAGACGCGCCAGAATCGCGGCGGCCAGATTAGCTAAAATCAGCTCATACAGGTGACCCTCCGGTGATTAACAGGTAATTCCACACCGGAAAGTACCGACGCGACGCCGCCGACGCGCCAAAACAATCAGGTAATTCCACACCGGAAAGTACACCGACGCGCCGCCGCCGACGCGCCAGAACAATAAATAACCGTGTGGCAAAAACAATGAGCGACCCGCCCGCCTTCGACGACGCGCAGATCGTCTACTTGGACGAACACTACGGCGGCGCCAGTTCTCAAAATGTCCACTGGATGATCTTCAACGGCGTCCTCGTCTTCCTCATGCAGTGCGGCTTCGCCATGTTGTGTGCTGGCTCCGTAAGAGCCAAGAACGCGCAGAACATCCTGCTGAAGAATTTAGTAGATACGTGCGTCGGCGCCATGGGCTTCTGGGCGACGGGCTACGCGTTTGCGTACGGGGACCCGTCCCGACGGTCGCGGGGCAACGCCTTCATCGGGACGAAGTATTTTTTTCTGTCGGGCGGCGTCGAAAATACCACAGGCTACGAGAACTGGTTCTTCCAGTTCGCCTTCGCCGCGACCGCCGCGACCATCGTCTCCGGTGCTGTCGCGGAACGATGCCACCTGCGAGCCTACGCGGGTTATAGCGCCGCTCTGACAGCGTTCGTCTACCCCGTCGTGGCCCACTGGTCCTGGAGCCGGGACGGCTGGCTCTCGAACGATTTGCACGACCCGTTGATCGGGATAGGTGTCGTCGACTTCGCGGGGAGCGGGGTCGTGCACATGGTCGGAGTACCGAAGCCGTCCGACGGACCTAAGGAGGCGACGTCCAAGTTTTGGGGCGTGTGCTGGAATAAGCATGCGGGGAAGTGGGAGGCGGGCTATCAGGACGCGAACGGCAATAAATGCTACCTCGGCCTCTTCGACGACCAGGAGTTGGCGGCGCTTGCAGTCAACGCGGCGATCCAGGCTCTTCCTCCGGCCGTCCAACGTCAGCGCCGCGCGAACCCGGTTGTCGACGGCAAGTTAGTTCCGAAGAAGAGGGCGCCGCGCAAGCGCCGCCGCGAAGAGGACGCGGGCGTCCCCTGCGCGATCTGCTTCGACTCCACGACGGTGACGCTCGTCTGCGGCCACGCGATGTGCGAGGAGTGCATGGGGCGACTGGCCGTTTTCCAGGGCCAGACCCTGACGCGGTCGCGGCGCCGCGTCGTCATCCAGTGCCCGCTGCGGTGCAAGGCGTTGACCGAGCGGGTCCTCGCGTGAAGCGGCACCTCCCTTCGTCCCCGTCGCCCCATCGTTCCTAAGACAAATAATTAAATCATATCCGTCACGCACCCGTGCTTCGGCGACGCGACGGACTTGTAGTAGTTCGCCAGCACGCCGCGCGTCACGCGCGGCGGCGGCGGCGCCCACCCCTCCTTCCGCCGCGCGAGCTCGGCGTCGGAGATGTCGTGGTCGATGCGCCGGTTCGCCGCGTCTATTATTAAACGGTCGCCCGTCTTCACGAAGGCGATGGGTCCTCCTTCCACCGCTTCTGGTGCGACATGACCAATACAGAAACCGTGCGTGCCGCCCGAGAACCGTCCATCCGTCAGCAGCGCCACAGAGGTAGATAAACCAGCCCCCACCAAAGCGGAGGTAGGTGTAAGCATCTCGGGCATGCCCGGCCCGCCCTTCGGACCGCTATACCTTATGACAATCACGACGCCGGGCGTGATCTCGCCCGCGTCGAGTCCATCCAACATCTCCGGCTCGGAGTCGTAGACCAGTGCGGGGCCCTCGAAGACCATGCCCTCCTTGCCCGTTATTTTCCCCACGGCGCCGTCTGGAGCTAGAGAACCATGCAACACCGTCAAGTGGCCCTCGGCCTTGATCGGATCGTTTAAAGCCCTCATGATATTTTGATCTGCGTGCAGCGGCGCACACTGGTCCAAGACATCACCTAGTGACTGGCCCGACACCGTCAAGGCTTCGGGATGCGGCAGAATCCCGTCGCTCAGCATGCGTTTCAACACCCCGGGCACCCCACCCACATCGTGCAAGTCTTCCATGAGATTGGCCCCCCAGGGCTTCATGTCGCACAGGACTGGGGCTTTTCGTCTTACTGTCTCGAAATCTTCATACCCGAAATCGTCGACGCCGAACGCCCTAGCTATAGCTAGTAAGTGGAGTACCGCGTTCGTCGAGCCACCCACACAGGAAGCGACGGCGATGGCGTTGTGCAACGATTTTTTCGTGAGGATGTCTCTCGGTTTGAGATCGATCTCGACCATATGCTTGATCACAGCACCGACGGCGGCACATTCTGCGGCCTTCGCGTCGGCCGGCGTACACGCGGAGTAAGGTAACGACAGCCCCATGGCCTCCGTGAGTGTCCCCATGGTGTTCGCCGTGTACATGCCGCCACACGCACCGGCCCCGGGACAGGCGCATTGAATAGTTTCGGCGCGTTCCTGCGGTGTGATCGTACCAGCCACAAGCTTACCATAACCTTCGAACGCGTCGACGATGTTGATCTTCCGCCCGTCCGAGGGTAACTTACCCCTCCTGATACTCCCGCCATAAATCATCAGTGAGGGCCTATTCAACCTACCCATGCCCATCACACAACCCGGCATATTTTTATCACAGCCCGCGATCGTGACGACACCATCATAAAATTGTGCGGCGGCGACGGTCTCCACACTGTCCGCTATGAGGTCCCTGGACTGCAACGAGTAGCGCATCCCCCCCGTGCCCATGGAGATCGCGTCGGAGACGCCCACCGCGTTGTACCGTAGCGCTACGAGATCCTGCTGCTCCAGGGAAGTCTTCACAAGTTCTGACAGATCCAACAAGTGCATATTACAAGGATTGCCCTCCCACCATATAGATGCCACACCAATCTGCGGCTGCGCGAGCTTCTCGCTGTCGACGCCGCACGGCACGAGCATGGCCTGGGCGCCGCCCCTTCTCGCGTGGGCCGTCAGCGTCGCACTATACCGGTTCGGCTTGCTCGCATCGACGGCCTGGGGCTGGACGTAGGCGTCGACGCCCGCGCCGTCTCTGAAGCGCCTCCTCACATGTGGTGCTCTGGCGCGTCGGAGGCGTGCGACGCTGCGCATTTCGACGCGTACACCGAATTGTGGTATAAAATGCAGCCGTTCAAACCCACTAATCCGCAGCCAGTGCACTCGTGCGCGGTAACAAAGCTGCTTGCACTTTGACGGCAAAGTTTAGGTAGCGGCACTAAGACACTAGAAAAAAAAGACAAATCAACTACCCCCATTTACCCCGCGCCACGTCATCTTCAAGCCTCAAATACCGCGCCACGACGTCGGGCGTGTATAGCTCCGCGTGGCGCGGCCGCGCGACGACGTCGAGGGACGACGCGCCGGCGCCGTGCGACGACAGGAACGCATCGAAAGACGCGCCCGCGCCCGCGGCGCCGTGGGCCGCGCGGAACGCCGCCCCGAGCGCGGCCGCGTCGGGCACGTCCGCGGCGTAGACCGGCGCGCCCAGCACGTCGGCGGCGACCTGGACGATCTCCGGCGACTTCGCGGCGCCGCCGGCCGCCAGGACGCGGCCTTCACTAGCATCCACGCCCAACGCCGCGCCGCGCCCGCGCATCGAGAGGAACCTCCCTTCCACGACCGCGCGGCAGGCGATCGACGAGGGGTCGGCCTGACCGTCGCCTAATCTCAAAACGCGATCGCCTTGATCCACGAAGAACCGGCCCGTCCGGGATATGACGGGCGTGATCTCCGCGTTGGCCAGCTCGAGGCCGAGGATACCGCCGTTCCCGGGCGGGGCCCGTTTCAAAGCTCTCCCAAATTCATCCCACGAGGCCTTGGGGCCCAGCAGGTCCCTCTTGATACGTTCTCGACTCGGACCGCCGTTCGCGTAGCACAGTAGGGCCAGGAACTCGCCCGGTTGAGTGCAGCTCGCAAACACGTGGCCCTCTAAGCGCGGGCTGGCTTCCCGAGACACGGCCATGAAGGTATCAGACGTACCTAAAGACAAAGCGACGTCGCCCGGCGCCGCGAGACCTAAACCGGCCGCCGTCGACGGGTTGTCGCCGGCTCCGACAAACACAGAGGGTGGTGGTTGCGATATGGTCCGGCCCGAGCCTCGAAATCCGAACCGCCGGCAGACCCAGGGCGCGACCCTGCCCACCTCCGTGCCGGGGGCGACGGGCGCCGCGCCCAGCCTTTTTCTAAACTCTTCGGCGCCGCCGACGCCCGGCATCGCCCCATAGGCCTCCGTGCATCGCGTGCCCCACTTGCGGTCGTGCAACATGCCCACGTTCGTGCCCGTCGAGTCCGACGCGTCCACGGGCGTGACGTGACCGCACAGCACCGACGGCCCGAAGGCCGACACCAATGAAACTTCCGCCGTCCGCGCCCAGGCCTCTTGATCTCGATACGCCACCGCGGCCATCTGGTTCGCTGTAAACCGCGCGTACGCGCGCGACCCCGTCCTTTTGGCAACTTCATCGGGCCCGCCGAGCGCGTCCTCGAGCGCGTCGCACTGCTCCTGCGTAGAAGCGTCGGCCCAGATCGGCGCATCTGCCAGGGCGAAGGCACCGGGCACTAAGCGCTCCCGCAGGCCGCCGCGCAGGCCCCTCACCGATTTCATGCGGTGCTTCGTCGTGAGCTCACTCTCGACGAACTCGATATCTTCGCCCTTCTGAGGGCCCTTCAGTAATCGTGCCGCCTCGGAAGACCAATACACGGCGCCGTGCTGCTGGCCGCTGAAGGAAATGGCGTCGACCTGCTGCAGGAGCGATTCGGGCAGCTCGTCGAGCACGCAATCGAGGCCGTCGAGCCACATGGCCACCGGCGACGTCGCCGTGCCTTCGTCCCCGGCGTGGTAGCCGCTCTCCGTGCCGTATTCCGGAAAGCGCTCGTCGAAGTTGACGCTGTGGCGGTGCACGACGTCGAGGCGGCCGTCGACGACGACGGCCGTGCAGGACTGCGTGCTCAGGTCGATGCCTAGGAACAAGGCGCCGGGGGGCGCGAGGCCTGTGGCGAGGCCTGCGCCTCCGGCGGCAGCGACCAGCCAGAGCAGCTTCATGCTGCTCTGGCTTCTTAATGCTAGCTGCTACGCGGCGCGTCAGCGTGGCGAGGCGTTCGCGTTTGTGCGAGTACTCGACGACCACTACTGCGTGCGCACTGTTCGAGATTGCCCACGAGCCGCACAGCGGTCGCACCTCCTTGCCTCTGCCAAAAGAGAGCCTGCCGTGCTGGCTGCCAAAACGCGTCGAGATGGCATCCATCTCATTCGAAGACCTAGGATTCGGCCGAGGCCTGGCCGCGACGACGGCTGCTGCGCCGTCCTGGCGGCCGCCGCCGCCGCGCACCGCGCAAAGAGTGCTGGGTGAAAGAGATCGAGAGGACTCCTCTGACGACGACGACGCGTCCGTCCCGTTCGCCACCTGGTTCTGCCCATCGTGCACTTTCGAGAATGCGAAAGCAAATACCGCGTGTGAGGCGTGCGGCGCGGTGCGCGCGCCGACGCCGCGAGAAAGACGGATGTCGCGGGAGCGCGCCGCCGAGGCCGAGGCGCGACGAAATTCAGAAGCTCTGCGCGACGAGGCCGCGGCCGACCTGTCGGATCTGAGCGACGGCGACGATGCCCCCGTCGTCGAGGCGCGGCCGACGGCGCGGCGGCGCGTGCGCGCGCCCGGTCGGCGGCCGTTGCTGCTGGCTCTACCTCCTGAGCTCGCGAGACGCACATTGGAGTTTCTGGCCTACGAGCTGCTCGACCGCACCGCGCGCAACGCGTCGTTCTTGCACTCCATCGGCATCGGCGGCGTTGCTGGCGCGGCGGCGGCGCTGACGCAGGGTACATACCGCATGCGACTCCGTGCCGTCTGCTTTGCGTGTCTGGAGCTCGGCGAGGAGAGAAGACAACGCTACATCCCGTGGGACGCTGCGCGCCTGCTTGGCGTGCGCGACTCGCGCGACCGCGACTGGGGTCATATGTCCAGGGGCTGGCGCTGGACTTTTAATGAGGCGACGACGACCCTGTTGGACGCCGCACGTGCGCCGCCCCAGCCAGGCCCGATCGATCCCGCGCTCCTTGCCGCCGCAAACTCGCTGTCACCGCGTGACCGACGCCGCGCGCTCCGAGCCGCGGCGCCGACGGCGTTCGAGTCGCTCTGCCCGACGTGGCGCCTGCGGTGGCAGAAGGCCATGCGGGCGCTCTGCCGCGCGAAATCCGCCGCCTTCTTCGCCGACTGTCTGCGCGACCCTGCCACCATAGTCGCTGAGACCTTGTCGCGCGACGCGACCCTCTCTATGCTTCAGCGGTACGCTATTTTTGACCGATGGTCCGCGGCTCTGGAGCGCGCTTGTGAGGAGGTCGAGGCGAACCTAGAGGACTGGCGTCAGAACCAGCCGCTACATTACGCGGTCGCCGAGCGCGCCTGTCCCACGATTCGATCGCGCGCGCTCGCTGCGTTCCGAGCGTCGTGCCTCGTGGCGCCGCGAACTGGCCTGCCGAGGCCGATGGAATCGCTGACGCGCGACGCAGCCGCGCTCGTGCCGGCGGACGCGTTTGCCGTCGCCGAGACTGCTCTGGCTGGGCGCCCCTCCGACGATAATCTCTTCGACCGCGTGGCGCGTCGACTCTCGCGCGACGCCAGGCCGCTGCCTCCGTCGCTCGCGGGCGTTGCCGACGCGCTCGAGGAGATAGACGGGGCACTGGGGCCCCGGCGGGCCGGGCCGGGCCGGAACGGCGGCCACCTGGACGAGTCGCTGCGGCTGGCCTTGCGCCTGCGCGTGCTTCTACCGCTGCGGGCCGCGCGCCTCAGCAGGTAAAACTAAGAAAAATTTAACACAATACATCAAACGCAGACGCAGAGCCGCTGCGTCGCCGGGTGCTTCGCGTCGCACGTCGGCGTGAAGCCCCCGCTCGCCACCAGGCACTGGCCCGACGTGTCCCGGCCCGGCCGCGCGACGAAGGCCGGCAGTTCGGGACCGAGCTGGTGGCCGCACCCCGCCTCGCAGGGGAAGTGCTTCCTCAACAAATCGCACCGGTCCGCGAAGACCAGGAGCTTGGGGTCGCAGGTCTTCTGCGCCGCGCGGCAGACCGACGTACAGGCGACGCCCGGTTGAGAGGCTTTGATGACGACGGAACCGGCGTCGGAGATGCGCTCCTGGATCCAGGGACAGCGTCTCATATCAAGCAAATATACAGTGGCGCCGCCTTTTCTTCGTAAAGCAAGCACCCCTTGTCTGTTATATCCCCTCAACTCCGTGTGCCACAAATCGAAAAGCTTGGCCAGCTTCTGGTGCTCTTCGACGAACTTGACGACGACACTCACATCTGTTTGAGTCCCCTTGGCGGCCTCCACGGATACGCGTTTCGCGGAAAGCACCGCTTCTTTGAGCTCGGCCTCGTCAAAACCCGCTAACTCAAAGGTCTCGACGGTGCTCGCCCCCGCGAAGGCCCGCCGCTCGAACGCCGCCGCCTCGCCGCCTCTGACATTGGTAGAACCGCCGGTCGCGACGTGCTTCACCCTTGGAATTTCGGGGAAGACGCACTCCCTCCCTGATAGCGAATCCTGGGCCCGGAGCCAGTGGTCCCAGCCCGTTGTGGGTGCTGCCGGCCAGCTCGGTTGCAGCACCGAATCCCAGGTCTGTTTGGAGGTCAGCCAGCCGAGGCCCGGGAAGTAGGAGGTCCTTCGCAACGAATCGGGGCGCCAGCCGTGCATGCCGGCGATACCGGCGTTGTCGTTCCACGCCGACACGCACCACAGCGATTCATCATGCTCGAGGAGTTGCACGCCGACGCTAAAGACGGAAAAGAAATCTGATGCAGCTCGCAAATCATCCTCCAACAAAATGACGTACCGCGCGCCGTCCACCCGGAACCCCTCGACCAACGCTTTGTAGACGTGCTCCGAGATTTTCGATTCCGGCGAGCCCGCGAAGACCCGCGGCGTTTTGGGCCTTGCGGCATAGGCGTGCTCCCAGCAATCGATGCGCACGTCATACGCTTTGGCCGCGTTCTGCGCCTCGGCGCGCAAAGCGGCATAGGCGTAGGGCGCGTCCATGGAGACGCCGACCCGCAAGAGCTGCGTCGCGCCGCTCGACGTGAGAACCGCTCTCAAACAGTCCCTCAGGCTCGCCTCGCGGTCGTGCGCCATGACGGCGAGGACGACGGTGTGCAGCTTCGACGTGTCGGCTCGCATACGTTTCACTGAAGGTGGTGGTCGTCGCGGCAGGGCTACGGGCGCGGGCGTCGCTTCCACAACGGCGTGTCGGCGCATCGCGGCGATGAGCTGCCGCGTCTCGTCCGCCTGCGCTCTTAGCGAATCGATGCGCGCCCTTAGCTGCTTGCTGTCGAGGTCCTCCCGCTCCGGCGACATCTCGAAGCTGAGGAGGTGGACGCCCACGATCAATAGGGCCGCCGTGGCTGCGAGGTTGGCGGCTGTGTTGAGGCGCATGGCTCTGCCAGCGATGCTCAGCGGTGCTCAGCGGTGCTCAGCTCTGCCAGCGGTGCTCAGCGGACCTCGTTTGAGCCGTTCGTCATGAATGCGAGCCAAACGCGGGCAGCACGCAAACCTTAGCAGCTTGCTAGTGTCTTACAGCCGCTAGCTCGCCATGTCCGAAAGATCGCCGCGTTCGTCTATACGATTCTTGCGAAGGGGAAGCTTCGCGTCGGCAGAAGAGTTGTGTCGGCGATGTGTCGGCTTAGCAAACTTTACAGACTTGGAGTGAGTCGGCTCCTCTCGGCCGCAGGGAGCAACACATCTTATCAGAGCGGTATCGAAATCAACTCGTTTCAGTCCGGCCAAGCCACCGCAAGTTAATTCGGGGCTTCAGTAGCAGGCGTAGCGGTGAAATCCGACAGGCCTAATTCACTCAGAGGTGAAACCGCTGTCGCGCCGGCCCGCGCGAGCCACCAGAGCGACGCCTATCTCGGCGGCCTGCGCTCGACGTGGTGCGAAGCGCTATAATCAGTCGCAATAGGTACCTCGCGGCGGCGCCCGAGCGGGCCCTCGACGGTCGGCGCCAAACTTTTCCATTTCTTGTCACACGGAGCGGGATTCATGGGCTGCACCCCGTCCACGCAACTCCACGACGACGACTACAGCGTCGACAGCTCCTCCGACGGAGAGGACACGGCCGGCTCGACGGCGCGGTCGCCGCGGAGCTCTCAAAGAGACGTCAGGCATTGGCGCAAGGTCGACCTGGAGTGCCGGGCGCTCTCGCGGCCGCCGGGCCCGCCCGACTTAGATGAAGAAGAGACGACGCGGCCGGGCGACCGGCGCGTCAGCTTCCGGGAGAACCTCGAGGACGTCGTCCAGATCCCGCCGCTCTCCGAGATCTCGCGGTCGCTGCGCCTCGACGTCTACTGGTCGGGCCAGGAGTTCGACAACCTCCACCGGCAGCGGCAGCGGCTGAGCGTCGAGGTCGCGCGGCAGGTATTGGCCGCCGCGAAGCAGGGCACGACGGCGACGATCTCGACGGAGTTCGGGGGCGAGAGCCTGCGCGGGCTCGGGTTGGTGGATGAGCGGTCGCTCGGCACGATCGCCCAGCGCCAGATGCGCATAAGGGACCGGGCGCGGCGCGTCGTCGCGGCGCAGCTCGACGCGACGCGGTCGGCGCAGGATGTGGCGAACCTCGCCGAGCGGTTGGCGAGGAACGACATGGCGGCGGCCGCCGCGATCGCGAACCGGGACCACCAAGTCGCCATCGGGGAGACGCCGCAGCTAGCGACGCCGCCGTCGCCCGCCATCAAGCTCGCGCCCGCCGTCAACGGCGCGAAAAAGCCGAAGAGCCCGGCGCACGCGGCGAGACGAGCGAGTGGCCTCGCGCGGGAGAATTCCCTCGACGACTCGCAGCTGCGCCGGCCGCCGATGATCCGAGTCGACTCGCTGACGTCAGTCCGGACCGATGGACCGTCACCTTAGTTTTCACTACCACTCGCGCCGAAAAATAACTGTGTTATCTAATTCCTACGCTTACGCCGTCGCCGGGACATCAACTCTTACACCGCGGAAACGCCTCGACGTGCGCGTCGAGCAGCTCCAGCGCCTCGGCATAGAGCTGGTCGTCCTGCGCGACGTACGCGGCGAAGGCCTCGCGAAAGTCCTCGGGGACGTTCCCCTTCGTATGCGTCGTCGGGCCCTTCAGCCGGTCCCCCGAAGCCTTCGGTGTGGCGACGCCCAAGAGCGCCGAGAGAACGCAGAGCGACTCGCGCTGGCGCTCGAGCGCCCCGACGAACGCGTACTGCGTCCGCAGATTTTGCCGAGCCGTCGTCAGCGCGCCGCCGTCGACGGGCACGGGCGCGTCGTGGTACGCGCCGCCCGCGACCATTCTCGAAGCGTAGTTGTCATCTAAAGCATACTCCAACCTGTGTGGAAATCAAAATTTTACGGCGCGTTCGTCCTGAATCGCCGCGTCGACCTCCACGCCGTCGACGCGATGCCTGCTCGATGGCGTGGCAATGCCGGTTCCTCACCGCTCGACCGAGCCAGGACGGCCGCGTCATCGCCGGGAAATGATTTCCACGCAGACTCCAACCAATTTGGGTGGAAGGTCTGGGCGTTGATGACCGGCGCATTGCGCGCGGTATCCAGTTTGGACGGTTCTATGGAATCGTACTTGCGCTTTCTAGCTTGGTAGAAGTTGAGGATTTTGCTCCCACCGTGGACCTGGTAGGGTGCCGTGTGGCACTTGTCCCGCGAGTACTTGTCGCAGTAGGCGAACCACGACGCCATGCGTGAGAACGGCTTCCTTAACATAGTGATGTAGACGTAGGGCCGCTCGTCGCTCAGTAACTCGTGCGCGCCGAAGGGGCAGTGCCTCCACACTAACGGTGCCTCCTCGAGCTGCCGCTTGAACTGCCTCCTTAGAGGATGCGCTAAACGCTGGAGCCGTGCGAGTGCCCCCTCCTTGCACAACAAGGGCTTGCTGCCCAGCCGCTTCGCGTGCGGTTTTAGGAGCGCCTCCTCGACGAACGAGCCGCCGCACCGCCTTAAATGGGTGAAGAGCACGATGGCCTTGGGCGCCGGTCCCAATGGGGCGGTACGTGTTGGTCGATTCGTGAGCCGGCGGTGGGGCGTCGTCGTCGCGTTGAGCGCTGCCCATAAGAGGAGGCTGCCCATCGCTTCGGCGGCGGCGCGAGGGTAAGCCCTCGCCTCTTGCGTGCCTGCCTGGGATCTTATGCAATCTATGCGACCCCACCCGAGTGTGCCCAGGCCGCGCCGCGCGCCGCGCTCGCGTTTAGGAAATCGCGCTAGCGGCCTGTAAGGCACTAGGCATCCCTAGCTGGAAGATCGCAACGCTGTAGCTGCGCCGCTGGCTGGATTCTGTTTGAGTCTTGCTACGATATAGATCTTCTTTTACGCTTTTTGACGACTGCGGACTACAAACAGCTCACGTAATGCTGTCTGTGATGAGAAAAGCTGCATTCCTTATTGCAGCCGCTACAGGGCTAACGCCACCGAGTAACGAGCTCGTGGCTGGCACATCATTGGCGGGCAAGAACCTCGAGTGCGCCTACCTCGCGAGCCGAGACGGCTGGGGCGCGTCGGACTTTCATCGATGCGTCGACGACTGCGGGAGCACGCTGGTCGTCTGCGAGACGCAGCGCGGCCTCACGTTCGGCGGGTTCAATCCCTTGGGCTATCGGTCAACGGACGACTACGGTGCGACGGCGAACGCCTTCATATTCTACGAAGACGCCGATGGCGTGGCCAAGAAATCCCGCGTTCTTGGCTCAGGCGACGGGTGCATCTACGACCTCGCCAAGGGCGGCCCGCAGTTCGGCGCGTCCGACTTGATCGTCGGCAGGCCAAAGGCGGCGACCATGGGAGGCTTCACGGGCCCTGACACGGAGGACACGATCTCGGCCCAGGGCGATCTACGGACGGCAACATCATCACCTGGCTCTTCGTACGAGCGCGACCCGTCGTGGCCGGCGTCCGCGATAGCCAGTGGCAAGCTCCGCAAGCGTCCTGCTGGGTCAACGCGGACCTCGCGCGGTCCACGGCGCCGGCCGATTTCTCGCTGCCGAAGCCGCCGAGTTGGTGGCCGTTTTGAGATTTCGGGTAAAATGTAACTGTGGACACACAACAGCTCTCTTAGTATGGCGCTATGGACATTTGGGAAATTTCGCCCACGTAATCGTTGTCCCGTGGTACGGGCGTGGCCTCCGGCTCCGGCGAGGGCACGTGTGTCCGGGGCGTGGCCACGCGCTCCGGCGACGACGCGCCCTCCTGCGGGGGCGTGACCGGCGCGGCGACCACGTCGCCGGCACCCCCGGACGCCGCCCGTTTCCTTAGGACCGGTGCGGTTTTGCTTCGCTGCAAGGAAGCGACCGCTCGCCCGCTCCCTCTCGGCAGCTGATCAGCCGACGCGCCCGCGATCATCCGCTCGAGCTCCGCCATGCGCGCTTCCACGAGCCCTTTCTCGTGCTCGCGCGCGGCGGCCAGCTCCAGCTCGAGGCGCTCGACGCGCGCCGAGGCGGCCGCGATGTCTTTTTCGTCCTCGGCCGGCGCGAGCGTGTCCGCGTCCACGAATATGGGGTTCTCGATGAGGAACGAGCGCGGGTCCTCCGCACGCATCACGTCGTAATACGTGTGCATGAGATTCTTGATCGTCAGGTAGTCGTTGAGCGTGAGCTGGACCTCGACGCTCGCGCAGGGCTTGCCCGCGAACTTCGCATCCCACTTGCCCCGTATGCCCGATTTCTTGAAGGCCTTCGCGTCGGCCGGATAGAGCAGCAGCAGGTTGATCAACGCGTTCGTCCGGATAAGGTTCGGGTACCGTTCGTCGAAGAACTTATTCTTGACCCGCTGGATGTGGAAACGCGCGCCGATGCCGCGGTCCTCCTCCGACCGCAGCAACAGGTAGAACACATATAGATTGTACGGGTCCTCGCTCACCACGGTGCCGCGCAGCCAGTCTAGCACATAATCACATCCCAAGAGTCGGCGGCCATCCTCGCCCACGTGCGCCTTCTTTGAGTCGTGAATCTCATCCTCGTATTCCTCGGCCTTGACCGCGCCGCGCGCGAGGGATTTGAGCGGGCCGCAGATGAAGCGGAGCCGCGCCTTCTCGAGCCTCGACGTCTCGCCGGCCAGCAACCGCCGCTGGTCGAAGTCCATGCGGTGCGAGCTCTCCTCCAACTTCTTCCAATTGATACGCAACCCCTCGACGGTCTCGCAGTCGTTGACCCTCTCGACGAGGTCCTCCAGCGTCGAGCGGAAGTACGCCATCAATTCCCGCGCGTGGTCCCGGGCCAGGCGCAAGTAGCGCGTGCGTCGATCGCCCAGAAACGTCGCGGCTTCCGACGACCGGCCGCCCCAGCCGAGCGGCTGCACGGCCCTCTGCGTCGTCCGGAACTCGATCCGTCGGAGCAGCTCCCAGCGCGCCGACGCAGCGCTGTAGTAACTTCGCCGCGCCTGCGTCAGCGACTCGATCCGCTCATTTTCCTGGCTTATTTCCTTGATGGCCGCCGCGAGGAGCTCGTCCACCCGGATCTTCGCCGCGTCCACCCGGATCTTCGCCGCGTCGGCCGCGTAGTCGATGTCGTAGGTGCCGTCGCCGTGGTCTCGGGAAATGGTGCCTTTATAGTACTTCTCGCGGCCGTGGTAGCGCGCCTCGACCTGATCGCCCTTGCGCAATTTGTCGGACAAACCGCCTCCGTCCTTGGACCTAATAAGCTTCGCCTCGACCCGCATCTCGCGCTCGTCGGCCGCGTAGGTCCCGCGCGTGCAGCCCGCCATGATCTCCGCGACGTCGTGCTGGATGCCGACGATCCGCTTCTTGGCGTCGGGGTTGTACAAATCGTCTTTGTCGAGGCTCTGCTGGTCCTTGTACTCAGCCTCGTCCTTCTCCTTCCGGTACTCGGCGGCGTACTTGCGTTTCGCCCGGTACGCCTTCGTGAGGCCGCCCGTCGTCAGCTCCAGCGTCCCCAGTATGCCGGGTCCGTCCCGTCGACTCACGACGATCTCGAGGAACGTCCCGGCGAGCTGCACGCGCGCGAGCTGGAGGCCCGCGCGTTCAAAGGCCTTCGCCCCGAGGCTGTCCGCGCCCGCGGCTTGGTCGATTTCGCCGCGGCCGCTCACGAGGTCGAGCAGGAGGCGCGGTGCGCCGTTGCACTCGGAACGTGCGCGCGACCGGCTCTTCATAGATTGGGAGACGCCCCCGTCCTGGGTCTTTATGAACGACTTCGAGCTTGTCAAGTCCGGATCCTTGAGCGAGAAGGGTTCATGAAGGCGCGGCGCGATCGACAGCTTTCCCCCGGCGCCTTGCACGAGAGTCCGCATCGCCTGCAGGAGCGCCGGCGCCTCGCGCGTCGCCGCTTCGTACAGTTCGTCAAAATCTTCCGGTAGCGACTCGGGCTGCATCAGCGGCGCATCAAAATCTTCCGGGAGCTCCTCGCCGCCGCGAAGGGCCCACATGAATTTCAACCGATCGGACGCGGCCGTCCCGACAACTGCGTTCCACTTTTCCCCGAAGACGCCCAAGCGCTCCCTCGCGTCCACGTCCCTCAAGCTTTCGGCGATGTCTTCCACCTGATCCACCAAGATGGGACCGAACCGGCCTCTCAGGTCTTCCTCGTAGCGCCTTATGGCGCCTTTGATCGCCTCTCCCTCGTCCGGGCACTGCCTGAAGAGGTCGCGCAGCATCGCCTGCTGCAGAATCAGGACGCCCATCTTTCCTGACTCCAGCTTGGCCCGCCAATCCGATACGCGTTCCGCCAAGCCGACAGCTTCGCCCGCGCGCCTCGGGAGCGCGACGACCTCGCCGGTCGCCAGGATCATCTTCCCGCATTTCCGCGTCCTCGCCCGGAGGTCGATTCCAATCTTCTCCTCGGCCGCAGCGAGTGCTTCTAGCGCTTTCACTTTTTGGGTGAGTTCTTCTATCTCCATGTCCTTCCCGAGGCCGAGCGCGCAAACGCCTTCTAGGTGCCGTGCGAAGCTCGCCCCCGCTTCGTCCTCGGGTGCTGCCCATGATGTCAATGCTTCTACCATGATTGGAAGATGATGTGGCTGCCCCAGTGGTTGCACGCGCGACGCGCTCCCTTCCTTTGCGGGTGTTTAGTACTGGGAGGTCAGTGGCAGCCTGGCATCGATCGGCAGTGGGGAGGCCGCGCAGCGCAGCGCTGCAGCGCTGCAAGAGGTACTAGAATTCCTAGTGTCTTTCAGAACGCTAGCGTCTCTGCTTTTTGGCTCCGGTCGTCTGCAGCATTGCCTGTGGCTCAGCATTCTCGCAGGATCGCAGGCATCGCTGCGGCATTGGTTGCCTCAAATAGAGTCCCGCTTCTTGTCCACTGGGACCCAATCATACTTATTGATCAGTGCCGCCAGCAGCGCGCAAAAGCCGGGAGGCAATAACTCTCTAAAAAATGGACGCCGACGCCCCCTGCTGCACGAAATCACTGTTCGGGGACCGCGAGGTCTGCCAGCCGCGGTTTCAAGTAGGCGACGTCGCCGTGTGCGAGGCCTGCGCCACGTTCGCCGTGCCGGAGGGGCTGGGCGAGCCCGTCGTGACCACACCTCTAAAACCGTTCGCCTGCGGCATCGCGACGCTCGCGGCGAGCGGCCTCTGCGCCGACGTCTTTCACGCGACGGCGCCGGACGGATGCGCGCCAATTGACGGAGAGGCGGCGCTGCAGAAAGCGATCGACCAGCAGCGCGCGGCGCCGGCGCCGAACGCGCCCAAAGTCGCCAGGGTCCTGCAGCGGTGTCGCGCGACGAGGGCCGCGCACGAGGACGCGGCGTTGTTAAATGACGTGCGCGGCCTGCTGCCCCTCGACTTACTACGGGCGCGGGCGCGGGCGAGGAGCGAACCCGTGCCCGACGGCGACGACAAGGCCGCGGCCTTCGCGGCGGCGACGGCGAGGCACTACGGGTCCGCGAGCCCGGAGCCGTCCGACGCGTTACTCAGAGAGCTCGCGAACTACTTCAAGGGCCCCCAGTTCTTCACGTGGGTCAAGGCGCCGCCGTGCCCGCGCTGCGGCGGGAAGACGGAGGGCGCCGGCCCGGGCACGCCGACCGAGGAGGAACAGCGCAAACTCGCGAATCGAGTGGAGCTCTACCGCTGCCCCTGCGGCGGCGAGGCGCGGTTTCCCCGCTACAACTGCGCCCGGACTCTATTGTTCGAGTCGCGGACGGGCCGCTGCGGCGAGTTCGCCAACGCTTTCGTGCCCTGCCTCCGGGCCTGCGGCTTCGAGGCGCGCTACGTCTGGGACTCGACGGACCACGTCTGGGCCGAGGCCTGGTCTGTTGAACAAAAACGCTGGCTCCACGTCGACCCCTGCGAGAAGGCGGTGGACCGACCGCGCATGTACGAGCGGGGCTGGGGCAAGAAGCTCGCCTGTATATTGGCGTTCGGGCGGGACGAGGTTGTCGACGTGACGCGGCGGTACACGCGCGACGTCGGCGCGTGCCTCGCTCGCCGCGACGAGAGCCACGGCTGGCACGCGGCGCCGGAGTCCTGCGTCGCGTCGGCGGTGGCGGCCGCCGACGCGCTCGCGCGGAGCCTCGCCGCCGACGACGCGTGGGCGCGGTCCCGCGACGAGCGGCGTGCCGCCGAGGCGCGCGAGCTCGTCGAGGCCTGCTGGGCGACGGACGCCGGCGAGGCGACCGTGGGTCGGACGTCGGGCGACGCGAAGTGGATTCGAAGTAGGGGCGAGGGCGGCGGTCTGTTGCCCGGCGGCTCGTGGGCGAACAGCGCCGAGGACCCGCGCGCGACGGAGGAGGGCGGCGTCATACGGCTCGAGGCGAAGCTGCGCGCGTGCGACGGAAGTCTGAAGGACGCCTCCGTGACGTTCGCGCCGGGCGAGCGCTTCTCGAATTGTGATGGAAGGTTCGAGCGGGAAGAGGGCTGTGATGTTGTCGGGGCGCTGAACGCGCTGCGGCGGCGGTCGGCAACTCCACCTCTCACGGAACTCGCGGCGGCGTTGCGCAGCGACGCGATGGCGTGTCTTTCGGCCGACGATGTAGCCGAGTGCCGCCGGCGCCACCTGCGCATCTTGGAGAATTTACGGGATCGCGGGTCGGACGAGCGCGTGCGCCGGCTGAAGGTGGACAACGCCGTCGTCTCGAAATACATCCTCGCGCCGGTCCACGCGTCCGCGCCGTGGCTCCACGCCGCCGCCGGCTTTGACGCCGCGGAGATCGACGGCGAGTCGGGCGCGGCGGCGTGTTTGGTGGCGCCTGAGGCTTCCGACGTGCTTGCCGCGCTGGCGGCGTTGGAGAAGGGGTGGCCTAAATAGTTTGTGTAGTTATATACCTGTATTTACCCGACCTCCGGTTCAATTCAAGAGAGGGGTGGAGGCGGATGTCGCGGCGGCGGAGGAGGACTCGCACCCGTCGCGACGGCCGCGTTCGGCGCCGCCGGCCGGTCTGGCTCGACGGAGACGCCGTCGGAGCCGCGGCAGCGCGTCGGCAGCCGGTGGAGGTAGCCGTGCGCGACGTCCGCGCCCAAACACCCGTCGCCGCCCCACTGGTACGTCGGCACGACGACGGCGACGCGCACCTCGTCGCTGTCGACGTTGTAGACATAAACCTCGATCGCCGCATCCAAGTGCAACTGGCACTCGTCCAACAACGCGTCCGCGTCCGAAAAAACACGCTCGGCCGTGCCCAGCAAATAATCGGCGCCCGCGATGAAGCCCGCCGCCTGCGCCGGCGACCCGTCCGCCACGGACAGCACCCGCACGAGGCACTCGTCGGCCTTGTAGTACGTGTCGAAGCGTATGGTCACGCCCAGCATGCCTTGCCCGCCCCAGTTCCGCGTCGGCGTGATCGAGACGTCGCGCGTCCGTCGGCTCTTGAGATTGTAGACCGAACAAGGCAAGGGCACGTCCTCGCTGCCCTTTATTTTATCTATAAAGGTACTGTCGAGCTCTCGCAACTCGACGCCGTCGCACGCCACGACAAAGTCAAAAAAGGAAACCAGTCCCACGGCCGACGCGGGGCTCCCGGGCTGGACGCCCAAGACTCGATAGCCCGTCGCGTCGGCCTCTTCCTGCGAGGCGCCCTGGCCCATGGCTGCGGTTGCCTAGCTGTTTAAGGCTTTTTTGGCACGGCGGCGCTGCTTCGGCTTGGAGCCTCCTCAGCCGTGCGCAGCGGGCGAAATACTATACAGCGTACAGTCTTGCGAGTGCGGATGGCTGTGCGCGCACCAATGCCGCAAATTGCCGCAAAAAATGAATTAACTAGCGGTGTAAGACACTAGAATCGCGGCACCCTTTGAAAACGCTGCATGCGAGCTTAGGGGTGACTAATTGCTCGGATCTGGCATTGCTTCGAGCTCAAAATCAACAGCTGCAGACGTTCCTGAATAATGTCGCGCTGGGTCCGCGCTGGAGGCGAGCAGTACAACCAAGCACCAAGGCAGCCGCCGTCCGCCGCGCACCAGGCGACGCGCGACCGCGCCGCGTACCTCGCGCAAGCTAGGCAGCGGTCGAAGCAGCAGCGCGACTACTTTGATGATGATGATGACGACGATGAGGACGAGTTGCTCCGAGAGACGGCGGCGCCAGCTGCTGATGACGACGAGGTGGACCCGCTCGACGCGTTCATGGCTGGCATGGCAGCCGAGGAGCCACAAAGAAAAAAACCGCGGCCGGCGCGCCTCGACGAGGCCGCGCGCGACGCCGTCGACGACGACCAGTACGCTACCAATAGAAGGGAGCAACTGAAGAAGGCGCCCGCCGAGAACAAGGCTGACGACGGCGAGGGCGTCGCGTACATCGACGGCCGCGCGGTCGTCGACCGGTCCCAGAAGAAGCGCATCGCGAAGCTGGCGCCGGCGGACCACCGGCGGAGTTATGATGAGGTGGAGTCCTGTTTCATTCCCGGCGGCCTGGAGGCCTGGAACGCGTCCCATGGAGACGGGTCTGTTGCCGGCTCGGCGACGGCGCCGAGCGGCGGTTCGATAAAGCCGGCGCCGTCCTTCGCGGCCATGTTCGGTGCCGCTCCTAAAGCCAGTTGGTTGTTAAAGGGCGCGGCGCGGGCGGGCCTGGAGCGGCCGACGGCCGTGCAAGCATTGACGGTGCCCGCGGCGCTGTGCGGCTGCGACGTGCTCGCCGTGGCCGAGACGGGCTCCGGAAAAACACTAGCCTTCGGCTGGCCCCTGTTGGCCCACGTCGCCGCGCAGGAGGCGTCGCGCGGGTCGGAGCCGGTGGCCTTGGTCGTGGTCCCGACGCGGGAGCTCTGCGAGCAGGTCTACCGCGAATTAACAAGGCATGCCAAGTACGCCCCCCGGACCGTCGGCACGGTCGCGGTTTTTGGGGGCGCCGGGAAGTGGGAGATGGCCCGCGAACTCAAGAAGGCTGGGAGCGACGTCGTCGTCGCGACGCCGGGCCGGATGATGGAGTTCATCCAGGAGCAGGTCGTGGATCTCCAGGAGCGGTGTACGTTTCTCGTGGTCGACGAGGCCGATCGCATGTTCGAGCTCGGCTTCCAGGACCAGCTGACGTCGCTCGCGCAGCGCATCCGGCCCTCTAGACAGGCCATCTTTACAACAGCAACCCTACCGCCGAAGGTCGACGGGTTGGTGCGGTCCGCTCTGTGCAAGGAGCGCCTCGCGCGCGTCGTCGTCGGCGCCTACGCGTCTTCATCATCTCCGGCCGCCACGGAGAACGTCTTGCAGAAGACACACGTCCTCCCAAGCCGGGACGCGCGCCTCCAGTGGCTGCTCTACGCCCTGCCTTCCTTGATCCAGAAGGGTCGCGTCGTCGTGTTCTGTGGAAGACGGACGGAATGTGAAGTAGTCACGGGCGCGCTGCGGCAGCGACGCGTCGCGCCGTGGACGGCGTGTTTGCACGGCGACGTTGATGGTGTAAGACGGTCGTCGGTGTTAACCGATTTCCGGAACGCGCACGGCGGCGTGCTGGTCGCCACGGACGTCGCGGCGCGCGGTGTTGATGTGAAGGGCGTCGCGTGCGTCGTGAACTACGACGTGCCGTCGTCCATGGCCCAGTACGTGCACCGCGTGGGCCGGACGGCGCGCGCGGTCGCGGGCGACGCCGACGTGTCCTACGGCGAAGCTCATACACTGCTCTGCCGCGGGTCGCGCGACGACGAGGCCTTTTCCAAACAACTCGTCAACAGCCTGCGCGGCTCCGCGCGCTCGCCGCCCGACGCCGACTTGTACAAATTCGCGAAGATGAAGCCGATCGGCGCGGGTGGTTCCGTCGCGGCGGCGCCGGCGGCTTTCTCCCGTCCGCAGAGTGCGGCGCCGGTCGCGCGCAATCCACTCTTTGCGCCGCCGCCACCGACGGCCGCGTTCGCGCCGCCGCCGACGTACGCCGCTCCGCCTCCGCCGACATATGCAGCTCCGCCGCCACCGCCGCCGCCCGCACACGCTGACGCGGACCGCGCGGCCGCCGTCGAGGCGGCGCGGCGGATCGCGGCGCGGCTTGCTGGGGGTGGGTATAAGTAGTTGGAGTGTAAGACTTCGAGGCGGTCGTGTAGCATCATCAAACTAATGTAACCTTACGAAACCCCGCCCGCCGCCGCGAACGGGGAGAAACAGACAAGAACCGGGCGCCTAGTTCTTGAGCGAGCGCTGCTGCTGCACGAGTGCGCAGATCGCGAGCACGGGGTACGCCTTCAGCGCGAAGGGCGAGGTGAGCTGGGGGATGACCGAGCCCATGATGTCGACGTCGCTCGTCGGCATGTCGATGTTGAGGATTTTGTACTGCGGGTTCGAGCCGGGGACGGCGGACTCCGCGAGGACGCTGAAAAGACCGATCATGGCCATGCGGCCGTTGTTGATCTCGGCGAAGAGGCCCTTCTTCTTGTCCGCGGCAGACATGTCGCGGAAGCCGAAGCCGAGCGGGTCGTAGAGGTCGAGCAAAATCTGCTTGAACGGGCCGCCCTTGCCCTTGATCGGGGGGTAGTAGCCCGGCTGGCCGCCCTTGGTGTAGTGCGTGTACGACTCCGGGAAGCCGGCGCCCTCGCCGTACGACTCGAGCATGCCCACCGCCGTGAGGATCTGGAGCTTGCCGATCATGGGGATGTTCGCCCACTGCTCCTGGGGCGTGCAGCCCGCGACGTAGCCCCGGTAGGGCAGGATCGCGTGGTCGCCGGACACGATGTCGCCGATGAAGTTGCCCGGCGACTGCACGAAGAAGCCGAGGAAGCCGGCCATGGCGATGCGGCCGTGCTTGATCTCGGCGTGGCGCAGGTAGCCGATCGTCGCCTCGTTGCCGAGGCCCCAGAAGTTGAAGTCGGCGCAGCCGAGCGGGTCCCAGATGCCCTCGAAGGGCAGGGCCGTCGGGTTCTCGGCGCAGAGGCGCTCGAGGTCCGCCTTGGTCTCCTGGACCTTGACCGTCGCGCGCGGCGCGGCCGGCGCGACGAGCGCCGAGGCGCCGCTGAGGGCGAGGGCGGCGACGATCTTCTGCCTGCGTTTTTGGGGCGTGCGGTGAGCGCGGCGGTCCGGCGGAGCTCGCGCGCGGGCGCTCTGGTCTGGAGCGTGGCGCGTCGACGGCGTCGAGGCGGCGCCACGGCCCTACGTCCAACGAGAGGCGCGCCACCTCCGCACCCGAGAGATGGCGGCGCGCGCGGCCGCCGCCGAAACGGGCGCCCGGCCACAAGTCTCTCTTTTTGCGCTCCTTTGGTGCCCGAACCCGTCCAGGCAGCACGAGTGATCGCAGCGACAAGTTGGTGCCACCGCTTTCGCTCGGCGCGCCTTCAAACGACGGGACCGAGCAGATATCCAGGAGGTGCTACATCTCAGCGTACGAGCGCTGTGACGCAAATTTCGAGATACGAGCGCTTCGTGGCGCATCATAGGCGACCGTAGACGACTGCTGAAGGTCAAGTTTGCTGTTTGAACGCTGTAAAGCCACATCTTGCTGCTGTTTTTTGCCAAAGCCAAATAGCTCGACGAGGCGGACGGGCTCGCGGATCCACACTGAAACGCTCGAGAGGCGTGCCAGAGAGCCTGCTTAGAGATATGCGGGCGTCTGTCTGGTCCAGCGTGGGTTTGGCACGATGCAAGCTTAGCGGACAAGCTGAGAGCCACGAGCCGTCTTATTGGTCCGATTGGACCGAGTGGAGCAATGATTTGGACGCCTTCCGATCGCGCGCATACCAAAGCAAGCAGCCCAGCATGTGCTAAAGCAAAGGGGTGCGCACGCGAATGCACCCAACGCCTCCGTAGCAGCAACGGCACAAAAGAAATAGTTCTATAATCCACTGTCGAAAATGCCATCCATCGGTGCCGCCAAACAGGCGCTGCTCCTAGCGCAGATCATGCACACTGCTGCCTACTCGGCGCTCAACGTCGCGCGCCCGCTCCGGCCGGTACAGTTGCCCTCGCTGCGACCACGGCAACTCCACGCCATCGATGCGACGGCAACACGGTCGTCCCACAAAGTCGTGCTACGCGCCGCCGCCGAGGCCGGCGACGACGTCGACGACGCGCCGGCGCCGACGGGCCTGCGCGCGAAACTGAAAAAGGCGGCGTCCTTCAAGAAGGGCGACCTGGCGAAGTATGGGGTCTCGGCCTTCTTCGCTTATGGTTTTGTGAGCAACGTGAACAGCTGCCTCCTCCTCAGCTTCACCTGGGCCACTTTTCGGAGAGCCAACCCGGCGCTCTCGCCCCTCGCGGACGCGGCGGTCCTCGCGAACCCGCTGACCTGGCTGCCCCTCAAGAAGAAGTTCCTCGCGTACTACATGGGCTACTACCTCTCGATCGGGTCGATCCTGAGACCTTTTCGGTTTGCCATCGCATTAGGATTAGCACCGACGTTCGAGAAGACCTACGTCAAGATCTCGGACCGGCTGAAGGTGCCGCGGGCCGTGTCGATCTTCATCGTCACGATCCTCACGAACGTGGTCTTCACGGTCGGGTTATTGCTGTTCGCGGTGAACCTCTTCTGCGCGGCGCTGCGTGTGGCGCCCGTGCCGTTGTAGTAGGCGTCGTAAATTATCGTACAAATAACAGGAGCTTAGTCAGAAGCCGACCATGCGCAGCAGGACGGAGAACGCCGTCACGCCGAGCGAGACGCCGATGCCGAGCGTGAAGTACGTCTTCATCGTCGAACCGAAGGTTTGTGGGGGTTCCTCGTACATCTGCTGCTGCTGCTGCTGTGGCCGCAACGGCGGCGGCGGTGCGGCGTATTTCGCGGGCGGCGGCGGCGGCGGTGCCGGCGGCGCGGGCGCGGGCGGGCGCGGTGGCTGGCCGCCAGCTAAAGTCCGCCAGGCCGTCCGGCGCGCGGCCGTCGTGCGCGCGGCCGGTGTCGCCCGAAGCGTACGTGCTGCCGTCGTGCGCGCAGCCGCCGCGGATGGCGCTGAGCCGCGCGCGGCTCGCCCGTGCCGGAGTAGTGTTCGACCGCTTCGGGCTAGCATTTTTGTCGCGTGCTTTGATCGATGTGCTAGATATGTACTGTTCTTGATCGCTAAGCGGTACAGCGCAAAAAGACCTCAGCCTTGTCTGCTGGTTTGAGTCCTCTACGCCCTCACGCGTGCGGTTTTGCCAGCACGACTCGGCAGCGGCTTACTGGAAAGCCACAGAAGGCCACCAGACAGCGCCTACGACCACCGCTTGCTACAAAGCGGCTGCAAAGAGCCGCGACGAGCTAACGTGTGTTGACACACTAGTCAGCTCCTAGCCCGCACCGCAAAGCAGCCTCAAAGCAACGTTAGCCTGCTCAAAAATCACTCACAGCAAAAGCAGGAAGCATTACTGTCCAGCTAGGCCAGCACTGGTGCAAAAAGAAGCGCAACAAGCGACCACTTGCTTCGCTTGACGCCCGTCGCCGCGATGCAGCTCTCACAAAAGAACCAAAAGCTCGCCCTGGCCGCCGCCGCCGGAGTAGCAGCCATGCTCGTGATCCGGAGAAAATTGCGAACAAAAATCCGCGCGGCCTTCGACATCGGCAGCGGCGAGCACAAATTAGTTGTGGCGGCGGTCCACGGCACCAGCGTAAAAGTGCTCCACAGCGAGGTCTCGACGGTGCTCCTGGCGCAGGATTTGACGCGGCCCGGCGGCGACGGCGCGCTGAGCGCCGGCGCGCTCCGCGCGTCGAAGGAGGCTCTCAATGATTTAGCCGAGCGCGCGGCGGCCCAGGGCGCGCAGGCCAAGGCCGGCGTCGCGACGGCGGTGTTCCGGCGCGCCCGGAACGGCGAGCAGCACCTGAAAAAATGCAGCGACGCCCTCGCGCTCAACCTGAGGATCGTGCCGCAGTCGACGGAGGGCGAATTGGGCTTCCTGACGGCCTGCGCGGCGGCCGGGCGGGAGGTCGCGTGTGCGTGGGACTCGGGCGGCGGCTCGTTCCAGCTGTCGGCGCGCGTCGGCGGCGGCGGCGTCCGCGTCTACGCGGGACCGCTCGGCAACGCCGACGCCTTCGCGCGGTTGCGGGATATGGGCGGCGCCACGTCGCAGAACGTGAAGGCTGTTATTGCTGCGCTGACTGACGAATTACCACCGGCGCCCGCGTGGCTCGCCGCCGCGCTGCAGGAGGGGCCCGCCGTGGCGTTCGGGCATCGCTCGTCGTGCTTCCGCGTGGCCTGCGACGCCATCGGCGCGTCGGGCTTCGCGCCGGAGGACGTGAAGCGCGCCACCGCAAAATTAGTGTCGCTGGGCGACGACGGCGCGCGCGCCGACTGGCTCCAGTACGTGGCCCAGGGCCACGCGCACGTCGTCGCGCCTCTATCGGATAGGGCGGCCCTCGACGAGCCCTACCCCGAGCCGCATCTCGCTCTAGCGAAGCTCGTGCTCGTCGCGGCCGTGATGGCGAAACTGAACGTGGAGCGCGTCGAGTACCACGAGACGAACGGGTCGTGTTTGGGGGTGTTGCTGCACGAGCCGTTTTGGGACTAAGTTGAGGGGTATTTTAGGCAGGTGTCCCGAGAGACACGGTGGGATCGATGCGTTGCCAAACGGCCGCTTAGGGGCAGAAGAGTCTGCGGTGCTCCTGTTCCTCCGCGGTGAGGGCCGTCGTCTCCTCCGCGGTGAGGCGGCGGCGGCCTGTGTGGAAATCAACCAGTGTGTCGGGTGCTCCACGCCATCGAGCAGGCGTCGCGTCGATGGCGTGGAGGACGACGCGATGATTCAGCACGAACGCGCCTTAAAATTTTGATTTCCACCCAGGCGGCGGCATTCGTACGCGCAACAACCCGTCGCCACGGCGCCGAAGCGCAAATTACGGCGACCGCACTGCTCATACCACACGCACCCACTACAGGTGTTGGTGCATTGATCTTCGTCCTCGATCAAGGGGCAGGAGCAACCGGCGGACGCGCCGGCGGCGAGCGCGAGGATGACGTCCGCGGCCGTGGTAGAGGCGAAGGAAGACGAGAACGCCGAGGAAATCACATCAGGAAACGTTTCTCTTGTTGAAGTTCAAGTTGGATCTTAGTAGGTTTTCGCGTCCCAAGGCCAAAAACAGGCAGCCCTTGGGCAGCCCTTGTTTGCGTCGCGCAGCGTACCTCTAACATACGCGGCGGCTGCGCAGGGCCCAGCAGCGGCCAGATGGCGACTCAATCGAGTCCGAGCGGCTCGGACGGCGTGTCCGCGGAGCCCACAACAAAAAAAAAGAAACGCAAAAAACGCAAAAAAAAAAAAAAAAGCTAGCGGTCTTAAGACACTAGCAACCACAGCTGAGCGGTGGCCTTCTGTGCCTTCGCACATTTTACGCCGACGGGAGCCCAGCGCTCGACGCGAGCGAGCCACAGACACTACGCGACGCCGCAAAGTGCCTGCTGCCCTCAAAAGTAGCTGCACGTCGGCTGGTGGGCAGCAGCAGCCCCTCAAAGGCCAGCGCCTCCGCGGCGCACGCGACGAACGATAATGGGCAGCGGTGCTTCAGCGTGCACGGGAACTGATGGGAGCGGAGCCGACGAGCTCAGAAAGGCGCTCGACAAGGCCTTGCAGCTCCGCGACGGCCTCGAACGTTCGCCGACGGTGGGTTTATCGGGCGGGCTCGAGTCGCTCTTGTTGAATAGAACCGTGTCACGCGCCGCTCACACGCGTATGGACTCGGGAAGCGCCTACTCGCTGCTGAAGAGACGCCAAAAGTCCTCTAGATTGAGGTCGTCTCGTGTCTTGGCGAGGGCACTTAGCGAGAAACGCGCCGGACGAGCGCTCCGTGGGACCGAGGAGGCGCTGTTCAAGCGGATGCGCGGGCTGAGCGACGGCGCGTCGAACGGGCTCGCGCCACGCGTCTACGACACGTCGGCCGTGGACGGCGACGACGACATCCCCTACCTCGCCTCTCCTTCTGTGTCTTCTGAAGGCGCCGAAGAACAGGAAGATATTGATTTAGATGATTGGGAGGACGTCGAGGGTGCTGAGAATGCCGGGCTATCAGACAACTGTCGCGTCGATGGCGTCGTCGGCGAGCAGGCCGCCGCGCCGGCCGACGAAGCGCGCGCCGGAGGAGCGCCGCGTGAGGGCGAGGCGACGAGCATGCAGATCTTCGTCGGCGACGAGGGCAAGACCATCACCTTAGATGTGGAGCCGACGGACACCGTCGACGCCGTCCAGCAGAAGGTCCACGGCAAGACTGGCGTCTTACCCGACGAGCAGCGCCTCATCTTCGCCGACCAGGAGCTCAGGGACGGCCACCGAACGCTCATCGACCACAAGATCCAGCACGAGTCGACGGGCACGTTGTTGCAGCGCGTGCGCGGGGGTGCCCCCAAGAAGAAGCCCGCAGCGGCCCCTTCGTCGAAAAAGGCGGCGGAAGAAGGCCCTCAAAAAGTGATCTTCATGGCGACGAAGAAGAATCAGTTCGAATCGTGCACCGTGAAAGAGCTGCGCGGGCTCCATGCCACGCTGTACGAGGACGAGCCGGACAAGGACGACGCCATCGTCATGCTGCCCGTCGAGGGCCACGTCCTCTCTGAAGCTAGCGTGCGCGTCGAGGCAGTGGTCGTGAATGGAAGGCGGCGCCGACTCGGAACGGAGCTGTTGACGAAGACGAAGGACGGCGTGCACTATGTGGACGCGAAGGACGTGGATTTGCGCCGTACTGGACAGTACGCGAAGTACCGGAACGACAAAGACGGTGCTATCAAGTTTCTAGTTGAAGGGTCGAACATGAGCTACCCATCTATTCCTATCGTGGACTGGGTATGGGGCGACGGACGTCCAGGTCACTGGGACGCTGCGTCAAAAGCTCTGAAGGAGCGCCGGGGCCAGTCGGCGGCTCAGCGGAAGACGTCGGACCGAAAGCGGTCTGCACCCGATAGACCACTAGACACTGGAAACGCCGATTCCGACGACGAGGGGAGAACGACGCTCTATCTCGCGAGGGAGGAAGACGAGGAGAATATGAAGGCGATCAGGGAGAAGCTCGAGGAGTATTTGAAGGCGGCGGGCGACATCGGCGAGGTGCTGTCCGTGCAGCGCCTGCGGGAGACGTTCTTCGACGACGCGACGCTTGATATTCAAATTGGTGCTACTGGTAGAAGTGGGATTGGTCGGGACCGGCGCGTGAACCTGCTCATCGCGGGCTTCAAGGAGGAGTGGTCCGAGCTCGACTCCTCTGAACAGGAGAAGTCGCCCTGGCGACATCTGGACGATAGTGAGTATGCCAGACGCGACTGGGCTAGTCAAGATGTTGTCGACCAGAAGGATGCGGCCCAGAAACGCTTCGCGGAGGCGGTAGCCGTGTTGGATGAGGCGGACGCGCACCGCTTGTTGCAGCGCGTGGGCGGCAAGAAGATCCAAGTGAAGAACCTAGGCGGCGACAATGAGGACGAGTTGTGTGTCGTGGTGAAGCGCTACACTGCTGGTGAGGTGGCCGAAGAAGGGGCGTCGGACTGGTTCTCAGACGAAGAGGCGAAGCTTGTCTACAAGTACTGCAAGAAGCTAGACAAGGGCAAGCCCGTCATGGAGGTCTGGCATCAGTCCGGGCAGAGCGCGATCGACATCCTAGTAGCAGTCCATGACTCGCTGCGACGCCATCTAATAAAGCACGACGAGTTCGAGCACCTCAAAGAGTGCCAGTACTTTGTCGGTGTTCACGTTAGGAGTGGAACTGCTTCGTTCGGGACATTGGGTGGAACTGGTAAAAAGAAACAGACTGTCTTTACTAGATACGCCCAGTACTTTTCGGGCAATCAGTCAGCTTTGACTACGAGGCCCAAGCAACGCGTCGATGTTAGGGGAAGTACACCCGGTGTATGTGAGGACACGCGCGAGCGCTGGGTCTTAGTAAATGACGACGGCGCAGCCGAACCAGCGCCGTGCTCTGGGGTCCGCGTGGACGTTGCGTTGGGCTACGGTTTGAAGAAAGGTGAGGTCACGACCCAGTTCCTCCGCGTGGAGCCGACCTGTGAAGAGGGAGCGAACGCCTCGACCCGCGCTGCCACGACTACGGTGGTATCGCCGACGGCGTATGCCCAATTTAAGGCTACGAGGACGGGCACGGAGAAGGTTAAATCCTGGGGCGTATCTGGCGTTGATCTGCGCACCGATTCCGTCGGGCAAGCGCTGCTGGCGGTCGCGTGCGGTGCGCGGGGCCTCCACAAGCTCTGCCGATGCTACCCGCTAGCAGCGTTGGAGGTCGTGCCCTGGCCGCTGGCCAACGAGTTCTACGGTACTGGTAGCATTACTGAGTTCGATTATATGTGGTTGATCAAGTGGTACTTCTTCGCGAAGCTGGGCGAGATCGTGGAGTTCTCCGGGGCGAACCGCGAGGGCACCCGGAAGGACGCGTTCGACTGCTCGATCAAGAAGCGGAGCGGGAGCCTCATCACTTTACTGAAGAAACGAGACGTGGTCTGCGAGGGCAAGAAGTTGTATACTAAGCGCCTCGACGAGGACCAGAGACAGCAGCACCAGGAGACGGGCTACTCTGCGACGGTTGAGACGTCGGTGATTCGCGCCGACCCGACGCGCGTCGACGTCACAATTGGCGTGCAGCAGTCGGTGAAGGTCGGCTCGACATCTACGTGGGTGTTTGATGGCAAAGATTCGTCGCAACGGGCCGCGAAGTACCGTTGGGACATCGTCCAATTAGTGAGGCGCTACAGAACCACGGGGAAGTATAGCAAGCAGAAGTGCTGGGAGAAGGCGTTCGACAAGATCCACGCGAGCGCAAAGCACAACAGCTGCAACAGTCGCTTTGTGGTGACTGCTACGGCGAGGTGCGAGGACTCGTCGACGTCTGAAGCTTACTTTGACACGCACCCGAGCTGGAAGCCGGGCAAATTGAAGGATGAGATGGTCAATGCGATCAACAAGGAGCTCGCCTACAACGAGAAGTATGTGAAGGACAAGAAGAAGAAGCACGTGGGCGACGAGCAGTTCAAGTTCAAGAAGTTGGATGAGGAGGAGTTGAAGCGGCTGCGCAAGTACGAGAAAGATCTGAAGAAGGCGATGCCGGACGAGGTGCCGCAACCCGAGGGCACACCGTGGGACGACGCGGTCGCTGCTCACGAAAAGGAAGCTCAGGCTGGGCTGCGCAAGATGGCCAAGAAGGCCGTGTCCGGCATTCCGCTGATGGATGCGTACATGGCCTTCCGGCCGCGCCTCGTGGGCGCCGACGTTGCTCTACTCGATCTCATGGAGGAAGACCTCGTCAACGCGCGGGCAGGGCGCGCCTTGAAAGTCATAGAGAGTTCGGATGATGATGATGACGACGATGATGATAGTAACGATGGCGACGGTCCCGGTGCGGGCGGCGGCGCGGGCAAGCAGAAGAGGAAGAAGGCCGAGGCGTCGTCGTCCGACGAGGACGAGGAGGAGGAGGTTGCGCCAGCGCCGAAGAAGCGCGCATCGACGAAGAAGAAGGGTATCTCGACGACCATAGATAGCTCGGATGATGATGAGGACGACGAAGATGATGATGTGCCTGAGGCGGGCGACGGCGCGGCCGAGGAGGAGCAGCAGCTGACGCCCGAGCATTCGTCGTCCGAGGAGGATGTGGTAGTGGAGGCGCCACCGCCGAAGAAGAAAGCGGCGTCCAAGAAGCGGAAATCGACGGCCGACGCGGAGGCGCCGGCGCGGGCGCCGGCGCGCAAGAAGTTGAAGGAGCTGTCGCCGGGCAAGAGAAAGAAGGCGGCCAAGCGGGGCCAAAAGCGATTCGCGGAGATCGCGGCGAAGCGCGGGAAGAAGTAGTCTCGGGCCGACGTATGCCTCACCCGTCCAGATCGTGGTCGCGGTACTCACCGTCCTCCGGGAACTCACAACGACCTGTACCCGCTTCCCCGTCCCTGGATTCCGAGCGGTCCCCGTCCCAACGAAATGACAACCCTAGGGCCCCCGTGGCTCCCGCTTGAGGGGCGCGTAAACTTTACTCGGTAGTCTGGCGTGCGGATTATGAGATGTTCTGGCGTGCGGGTCCGCGTACCGTCAATCCGACGGTTAAGACGAAGCGTAAGCTGTGAAACACGATGGAACAACGCATAGAAAGGCTTTCGGATCACGGGTTGCCAGCTAGTGTCTTACAGGCCGCTAGCTAGCTCTTGCCTGCGCCGGCGATTTTTGCACCACGAGCGGGCTCTGCAGTGCGTCTGTTCCTTCAAGGCCGCAGCGCTGCGGATGCTAGGCACTTAAATTGCACAGGTGCAAACGAGTGCACAGCATCATCGCCACCAGCCCTGCAGCATGAATGCACTGGTAGAGAGCCTCTTGGCACCCGCACCCGAAGTCGACCCCGAGGACGCGACGAACTTCGACGACGGCACCGCTGCGCGGACGTCAACGGGTTTCAAGGCGGGCGAGGACCTGGCCGTGATCCCCAAGCGGCGCCTCGTTGATGATGGAGAGGCCCCCGTGGGCCTGGCGAAGTCGTCGCGCGCGGAGTTGTTTGACGACGGACTCGATAGTGGCGACGACGACGTGGTCGCTGAGGACGACGACGACATCGACGAAGCGATTTACGGTGACGACGACAACGACGAGAGCGACGAGAGCGATGAGCCGCAAGCGACCCGGCAGATGAGCGTCTTCAGCAAGACGGACGACGGCGTCGACGATCTGCTGGACTCCTTCGACGCCGAGGACCAGGCGGGCGCCGCGAAGGCCGCGGAGAAGGCACCCGCGAAGACCCGAGCGGCGCGCTGCGCTCGCGCTCACGCCGACTTGGAAGCGGACGTCTTGGAGTTCCGGGTGTTGCTGGAAGGGGCGCTAAGGGCGGCAGCAAAAGTAGAACCGGGCCAATGCGACCCCGACGCGGCGGCGGCGTGCCAGCAGCTCTGCGCCGCGTTCTTGGAGCTGCGCGACGCGGCGTCGGGCGTCGAAGAGCGCGAGCGGGACATCGCCGACGCCGACGCGTTGTGGGAGGAATTAGAAGAGGGTCACCGGCAGAAGCGGCCGAAGTGGGAGGCCGCGGCCGAGGCGTGGCGAAGGAAGACGCATCTCGGGGCGGCGCAGGCTTCCATGGGGCTGAAAGCGACCAATTTGGGCCCCTTCGAACAGGCGCGCCTCGCCGCGACGCAGGACGAGGAGCGCGCGCGGAAGAAGATGCACCCGAAGAGGCCCGACGGCTCGCCGAACGTCGAGTTCTACGACGACGCCGGCTTATACAAGGCGTGGCTCCGCGACTACGCGTCCCGGAGCGGTTCGCGCAAAGGCGGCAGCGCCGTGCCAATGCAGCAGCGCTCCTCGGGCGGCGGCGTGTCTCGAGGCTCGAAGGGCCGCGGCCTGCGCTTCGAGGCCCACGAGAAGCTGAAGAACTTCATGTTCCCCGTGCCGCGCGCGCCGCCGCCGGTGGACGTTGATATGCTGGTGGCGAGTCTGTTTAAGTAAGGATATTGTCGTTAGTTCCCTTATCGCGGACGTGCGCGGTAACCAAAGAAACGCCAAAACGCGGCAAAAACACGACGCCAACCGCGTACGGGCATCGTTGCCTCGTCATCTTGTGCGTTTTTGCGGCCTTCGACAAACCTCCAAAACCCGATTTTTGAGCTCGAGCTCTGGCTCTCGATTGCCAGCGCGCGATTAGTGGTCTCGGTGCGCGTCGTTCAGTGGTCGTCGCATTCGTTCTGACAGTCTATAGCACGACTGAAACGGCTGCGGCTCAACGAGCGCGCCCCGTGGCTCCGCAGCAGCAGAAAACAAAGCAGGCTCAGGCTCAGGCTAATTACGTCGCGGGCCCGCCCAACCCCTCCCGCAAAACATGGGTAAGAGGCCGCGAGGTGCCGCATCAAGTGCAAGTGGACCAGCGACAGCGAAATGCTTCCTCGGCGGATTATCACAGATGACGGACTCCGATAAGCTCGTCAAATACTTCGAGACGAAGTACGCGCCCTACAAAGTAGAGATGTGCGAGGTTATGTATGATCGCCACACAACTAGAAGCCGCGGATTTGGTTTCGTGACCATGGATGTGAGAGCCGTCGCCGCAGCCGTTGATGATCAAGCGAGGGATAAATTTTGCCACCAGCTCGACGGGAAGCACTTTGAGGTGCGACCCGCGACGCCCGTCGGTGCATCGCCGCCGCCCGCGCCGCCCGGCGTCGGCATCGTAAATCGGCCGGCCGGCGACCTCGACGCGCTGCTGACCGGCGCACCAGCGCGCGCGCCGGCCTTCCAACCTTCCGCCCCGCGTCCCGGCGGCTACCAAATGCCGCCACCAAACGGGGCGATGTACGCGCCGCCGCCGCCGAATTTCGGCCTGAAGGACGTGTGCCGCGACTTCCAGAACGGACGATGCACGCGCGGCGACAGCTGCAAGTACGTCCACGCGGCTCCAGGCGCGCCGCCGCCCGCGGCGACCTGGATGCCTCCTGCCGCCGACGTGAACGGCATCTGCCGCGATTTCCAGAATGGACGATGCACGCGCGGCGACAGCTGTAAGTACGTCCACGCGGCTCCCGGCGCGCCGCCGTCGTCGGGCTGGATGCCTCCCGCTGCTCCTAGCGCGCCGCCGCCCGCGACAATGGGCCCGCCGACGAACGGGTGGCGGCCGCCAGACGTGGGACCGCCCCTCGGCGGCTCGCCGCGGAGTAGCGGTTTTGCCGCGGCGCCCAGCAGCGGTGCTTCGGGTTGGCGACCACCCGATGTCGGGCCGCCCCTGGGCGGCGGCTTCGGCGGAGGCTCGCCGCGGAATCAGACGTACGCGCCGCCACCATCAAGTGGCGGCCCGAGCGACGCCGTAAGCGCCGCGCTCCAGGCGATGCGCGCCATCGAGGGAAACCTCAAACGACAACGCGTGGCCCCCGCGGCGCCGGCGGCACCAGCGATGCCGTATATGCCAGGGATACCTTCGTACGACGTGTCGCCGGCGCAGCGCTGTAGCGATTGGATCGCGGCGGCCGGCGTCGACGGCGCCGCCTCGTCACTTTTCAACGAGTCGCCGCTGGCCGTGAAGCTCGCTGCGATGGACGCGGGGCCCGTCACGGGCTCGAACCCTTCTGCGTGCCTCGTCGCCCGCGTGATACGACTGAAGAAAGCCCATCGGGACGGAGGGCTGCCTAATCGAGAATTTTAGTGTAATTTTAAGCTCCGGCCCACCGTCTCTTCGCGCGCCGGAAGTCCCCATCCACTTGCGAACACAGGTGCACACGCGTCGCCGCGCCGTATCGCGCGTCGATCTCTTTCAGGAACTTCGTGTACAGCGTGTCCACGGCGGAGTGCGTCTGGTACGAGTTGAGCCACTCCTTTTTGGAACCACTTCGCGGGTGCGGCACGTGAATCAAGAAATGCCGCGGCAGTACCGCAAACAAGTAACCCATCCGCCGCAAATGCGAGACGTGCTGGATTTTATTTTTTCCGTAGCCCGCAAAACGCTCGTCATAGAGCGGCATCTGCGCCATCGAGACCACAACGTAGGGCTCGTAGCGGTTCGAGCGGAAGCATTCGATCGGTCGCACGGTCTCGTCGCCCTCGAGCCACCTACTGCTATCGGTCGTGCCGTGCGACTGGGGGCTGTTGTCGCCCTGGAACACAAGACAGTCCTTTTCTCGCAAACAACGCGCCAGCTGGCCGAATCGGCCCGGCACAGTCGTGGGAAGCGGCTCGAGGCGCTCGCGACAGCTCTCCAGCGTCTTGCATCGTCCGCCCTTGCGCTGGAACGCGGGCACGACCAATGCTAATTTTTCGTTCGCGAGCCAGTGGGCCTTGGCGCGAATCGCGTCCCGCAGCCCGCGACTGGGTAGAAAGTCCGCGTCGCTCACTAACACGTGCGACGTGTTCACGCTCCGCAACCCAATATTGCGTAATCTATTGACAGGGTACGCTTCGTTGGAGCGCTGGACTTCCACGTGTATAGAGACGCTGCCGCCGTCGGTCGCGTCGGCGCAGCTTCGCGCCGCTTGCGACGCGGTGGCATATGCTTGCTCGACGACTGCTGTGTCCGGCACCCACAGCGACAGCGCCAGCGGCCCACGCCAGCGCTCGCAGAGCTCCGGGAATAACCAGAGCTTCTCGACCGTCGCTTGCGTGACGAGCGTGACGTCGTGGCTCTGGGCGGCGGCGGCCGCGGCGGCGAGCGCGGCGAGCCAATTTCGCGGCGGCATCGCTGCGTTGCGCGCGCGCCGCTCACGCGCTGCGTCGCTGCTCTTTTTTGTACGGCGCCCAGTCCGCAGCTATGCGTCGCTAGCGATGCGCGTGCCCGCTCGCAGCCGAAAGTGCGCTATAATTCTGCTACTTGATGCAGTTTTTTCGCCTTGCGGGCGCGATTACGAGCTGGTTTGCATGGGGGTGTGATGCTAGTGTCTTACAGCCGCTAGCTGCCTGGTCCGGAAACTTCTGAAAATCAAGGGCACCAGTATCCAAAACAGAGCGACGAACGTAGCGCACACGTCAGAACACACTAAGGCAGCCCCTACCGAGCTACCAGCCAAGCGGCAGCTCCGCGGGCAGCCGGACGGCTGGGTTTACAGAGCAAAAGGGAAGCACCTCTCCAGCGTGACAAAAAGCAGAGCAGTCACCGATGACCGACTTTACCAGCAGCTCGAAGGACGCAATCATCGCCTATGCTGCCGAGCACGCCAATCTGAACCGCAAAATTCCGCGGGCCAAAGGCGCGTGGCGCGTCATCCCCAACCTGTATCTCGGCAACGCGGCAGCCGCCGGCGACGCCGCTACCCTGAGGCAGCTGAAAGTAACCGCAGTGCAGTCCGTCGGGCCCCGCTCCGAAAAAGTCTGCCGTGAGGTGGCCGACACGCTAACGCTCATGCGCGTCGCCATTCAGGATGACGACGAAGCGCACATCCTGCCTTTTCTGGAGGAAGCTTGCGCCTGGATCAACGCGGAACTCGCCAAGGAGGACGGCGTGGTGCTGGTCCACTGCCGGGGCGGTATGAACCGCTCGGCGACCATGGTGGCGGCTTTTCTCGTGTGGAAGTTTCCGGGGATGACTGCCGCTGAAGCCATAGCCGTGGTGCGGCAAGCGCGCCCGGCGGCTAGGTTTGGGCGAGGAGAGGAAGGGGTCCTGCAGCGGGACCTGAGGCAGTGGGAGCTGGACTGCGCGGTGGCGAGGGAGAGGTAGGGAACAGGATGGGCAAGGCTGTGTGGACTAATGTTCTGTACTTCTGTAACGAAGAAAAACCAGAGAACAACAACCTACAACAGGGGGGACTCACTCGTCGTCGTCGCCCCAAGCGTGCCGCTCGCGCCACGTAGAAAACGCCTCGCCGCCGTCCGACAGGTAAACGCCGCGGCTCATGCCGCGCCAGAGGCGGTCGAGCTGGCGGCGCTCGAGGTCCGCCGACAGCGTCGCGGGCCAGGCCGGGTACCGGTACGCGTAGTCCGGTGACGCCGCGCAGGAGGCGACGTGAATGTCGGTCAACGCCGCGGGCCGCTCGAGGTACAGCTGCGCCGCGTTTAACGAAGATAGTGAGTGCGGGGCGCCGCCGTCGATGGCAACCGTAGAAAGAGAACCGCACGCGACGCGCAGGAGCTTGCTCCGCGCGCGATTCGCGGCGCCCTGCCACGCGTAGGCCGCGGCGGTCTCGACGAATGAAGCGTTCGCGTAGGCCGAACAGTTTCTCCCACTCGCTACAGTCGCCGCGACGCAGTTCGGCGGGCGCCAGAACTGGTGCGTATTCGCGCCGTCGACGAAGACGTCCACGATCAACGTCGCCGTCGCCTCCAGTCTACCGTATGAGTCGGGAGCCATCTCCACGGCGAGCGTCACGTCGCCGGCGCCCTCGATGCGCAACGAAGCGAAGCCGTGCCGCTGCAGCAACGACGCGGCGTCGAGCGCCGACGAGTATTGCGCCGCTTTTGAGGATTCCACCGTGACGTCGGGGCAGCTCCCGGCACAATCACCGACGACCGCGGCCAGAGTCAACGACGACGGCACGCGGCCGTCGTCGCCGGCGACGCCCCAGCTCAGCAGAGCCACGAGGCCCTCCTTCTTGGCGGGAGGCAAAGGAATCACGACGTCCGCGACGACGGGCGTCTTCGTCACGCGGAAGTTTTCTCTATCGTCGAGTCGCGCGACGAGCGTGTAGTACACGCCCGTAAGAACCTCCTCGAACTCGAAGAGGCCCTCTTCATCGGTTGTTGCTTCGAAGAGCATCCCTTCAAACGAAAAGTAGCCGTAGTGCAACTCTACGGTGGCGTTCGGGATTGCTACGCCAGCCGCGTCGCAGACGACGCCCCTTAACCAGCGCGCCATCGTCGGCTTGAGCGTCGGCGTCGGTGTCGGGAGCATCGTGATCGTGGGCGGCGCCGTCGTCGTCGTTGGGGGTGCTGTGGTCGGCGCGACGGCCGGTTGGTTGCCTTTTTTGCCTGCCGTCGTCGCCGTGTACATCGCGCCGCCCGCGAGCGCGATGGAGACGCCCGCGACCAATGCGGAGAACGCGCGCCGTTTACTCGTCGGCGACGTGAGCCGCGGCGAGTCGGGCGGCGTCTGCGGCGCCTTGCGCAGCGTGTACTCGGGCGGCACCCCGTTGCGCGGCGTCTCGACCGGCGGCGGCGCGGGCGCGACGCGCGCGCCCGCCGGGCGGCGGTCAAATTCGCGCGCGCGCTCCGGCGACCAGGGCTCCGCCGGGTGGATGCGGTCCGCGCCGTCGTACAACGGAGGATGACCACCAAATTGCTGCTCGTCGTCCTCGAACGCCCGGGCTTGCTGTTGCAAGCGCGCTACGGCCGCGGCGACCTTGCTGCCGCGGCGACCACGTCCAAGAGGCTGCATGTTTACTCCATGAGACGCATTACAGTGTTTATGTTTAATTTTGGCAGAGCATAATTAACTGAATTGACCCACTAGCTTGTATCCGTCTGATGGTGGCGAACGAACGAACTGTCCGTGGAGTAGCACGCCTCCAGGTTTCCTGTGTAAAGTTCAAAAGGTGAAGAGCTAGCGTGTACAGATACTAGCTCTCACCAGCTCGTTGCTCACAGCTGGCAAAAAGTGCACAAGCGCTGCACAAACCCAACCGGTAGCTGCGTGGAGGGCCGCATCGGTGCCGGAACAGAGCGGTGCAAGTCCAAGAGCAAGCGGAGAGCAAGCGTTGCAGCCCAAGCGCTGCACCACTGCGCTGGGCTGCATTATGAAGCGACTGATCACAGCTGCGCACTGCATTGCTGCGGCACAAGCCCTCTCAGCCACTACTACAGCACCAGTGGCATCGCGCGCTGCCTTTGCAGAGTGGCTGGTGCCGCTCTGCCCTGGGCTCGACGGCTCGCGCGCGACGCTTGCTGATGACTTTGTGGTTACGGCAGCGCGAGCGTACAACGCCGACCAAGTGATCTACGAGATTGGTAATGATGCTCTGCTTTCTCCCGTCGCTGCATACGCCGACAAGGACGTCGGCCCGCCGCTGCGCGACATAGCACAAAAAGCGGGCCCTGGCTTCGGCGTCGTCGCGGTGGCGGGCCTCCTCGCGGCGGAGAAAATCCGGGGCTTCCGGTCGCGGCGGGGCCAGGGCGACGCTGCGGCGGCGGCGGGCATCGTCGTGCCGAGCCGCTGGGGCCCGTACGCGCGCCTCCTCTGGGACGAGCCGGTGTCTGTGGAAGCTGATGAACAATTAGTGGACCAAGCAGTCGCGTTGTTGCTGCCTATATTAGAAACGACGGCGCGGCGAGCGTGGACAGCGCCCGATCCCGAGGAGGAAAAGCCGGCGTTTCTCTCCGAAAAATGGGCTTGGCAGGCGATGTACGAGGACGGCGGCTCGCGGTCGTGGAGCCGCGGCGAGCTCACGGACCTCGCGCGCGGCGCCCTCGGCGTCGCCATCGCGTCGCAGCGGCCGCCGCTCGCCGGCGACGTCTGGCGCATCACGGGCCAGGCCGTGCGGTCCTTCAATTTCCGGGCCGAGGCCGGCGAGAGCGCGGAGCCCACGGCGCTCGTGCCCCTAGTCGCGAGCGACGGCGACGCGAACGCAGCGTTCCGGGCGTTCACGGGGCGCGTGCCGTCGGGCGACGTCGCGCCGGCGCTCGTCTGCGTCGCGACGCGCGACATCTCCACGGGCGACGCCGTCGTCGCGCCGGATCCTTGGTCTTGACTTAACTGGGTGTTTACGAAAGCGCCTAGCGCAATGAGGCACTAGCGAGCAGCTCGCGTGGCAAGTGCGTTGTGCCTTGTTTTGCTCGCGAGGGCATCAATTTGTGCCGCGCAGCCAGCAACAGCAGTATCCCAGTCCTCCTCCCTGGTTCATCTAGAGCTGCCGCACCGATGGCCGAGGTCGACGAGGCGACGGTGGACGAGCTCCCCTGTGCATATGCATGGCAATTGGAAGCTGAGATCCGTGCGGGCACGCTAACTAGCACAAAGCTCAGCCAATGCCTCTCCAATGGCCTTGACCTCAACGCACCGATGCCACCTAGGTCCATAGTTCCGATCCACCTCGCGGCTCACCAGGACAAGCCGGACTGCGTCCGCCTACTAATTGCGGCGGGCGCGGAGCCGAATCTGCGTGCGAAAGATTCCGTTAGCGGAGAGACTGCGTTGCTATTCGCGGCGCGGAAAGGAAGAACGCAAAATGTCATTGCTCTGCTCCGGGCCGGCGCCGACCCCAACCTCGCGTCGCTGAGCTCGGGGCTGACGGCGTTGGTGTATATGGCGGCACGGGGCAGCGTGCAAGGTGTCGCCGCGCTCCTTGCCGCTGGCGCCGACGCCGATGTGGTCGACACGGCTTCGGCGGGGGAGCTCACCGCATCCATGACGCCCATGCGTGCCGCCATCATGACAGGAAATCCGAATGTATTGCCAACCCTGCTGCGCGGCGGCGCCGGAAATTGCATCGGGCACTATGAGGGCGCCCTACAAAAAATACTCAACCGCAACGAGTCCGACGACGATTCCGACGACGATTCGCGCACGGCGCGCGAGGGGCATAGAGCCGCCCTTATCTACTTACACCGGGTCGCCAAGGCCGGCGGTTACCGGAAATACGAGCGAATGCGGCGCGCGGCGGTCATGGCGATGGTCGTCCGCAACAGCAAGCTGCCCGATGCGCTCCGGATCTGGGTCGAGCACGTGGCGGACAGCTTCCCGGATCCGCTGGAAGAGAGGAGGCCAAGTGGAGCGCGAGTGCGACTCAGCCCCTGATGCCCGACGTCTGTGCTAAGTGACTTGTACTCTACTACTTAGTAGTATCACCTTAGTTTCACCGCCTCGACCACCGTCTCCGCCGCGCCGCTCGCGACGGTTTCCGCGGCGGATTCGGCTGCGGCGGAGACTGTCTCGGAAACGGTCTCGGCGGCCGCGTCGACGGCGGCGTTGATGGTTGCCTCGGCCGCGGCGGCGGCGGCCTCGGCATGACCTCAAACGCTGTCGACGTAGAAACCCGCGAGCACAGGAGGCCCGGGGCTCGATCGCCAGTGATTTATCTATAGCATGACCTCGGCGATCCCGCGCGTAGCTAGCGGCTGCAAGACACTAGCAAGCTGCTCGTTATTGCACGCAGAGAGCGGGTGCTATTACGCCCGGGGAAGCCGCCCACGGGCACAAAGCGGCAGCTGGTCCCATCTCCCGCAAGCCTGGGGCAGCCGTCGCGCCGTACGGTACGGATCAAAGCGCCCACCGGGCAGCACACCAACAATGGCCGACGACGCCATCCCGACGACGCCGGTAACAAAACCCAAGGACCGCTGGAAGCAGCGCGACAACCCCGACTGGGTGAGCGGCTGGAAGGACGAGGAAAAGAAGGATTTAGATGAATACTGCGCGATGCTCCGGGCGGACCCTAGAGCGCGGACTCCGGGAAGAACAGAAGACGGCGGCGTGAAGCTCCAGAAGGGCACGACGATGGCCGTTCCGCGGCGCGGCGGCAGCGGGAGGTTTATTGAAGCGCGGCAGAGCGACACGACGCTGCTGACGATCGCGAAGGGTCGCTCCGTGCGGTCTGCCATGGAAACCATCAGAGTGAAATCGAGACAGCGGTCTAGAAATGGGTCGAGAGCAAGAAGGCGGACCTTTTCTGGGGTGCCGTCCGAAGTGTTGACCGTCACCAAGCCCACAGTAGGTGGCGAGCCCACGCCGGCGGCGAACGCATTTAGAGAGAAGACGGGGCTTACCTCCACCGAAAAAGCGAAGGCCGGCGAGGAGCAATTGACACCCGACGAGAAGCGGTTACAACGAATAGCGCGGATGGAAGAAAAGGCCGCGAAAGCTCTGGAGAAGAAGCCGCGGCGGCCGGCCGGCGAGCCCCCGCCGAAGAAGCAGAAGAAGCCGTCGCCGCCGAAGCCGAGCAAGATCAAGGCCCTCGCGAACTTCTTCACTCCCAAAAAAGAGGAAGAAGTTGTGGTAGCTAGGCCGACCACGGCGGAATCCTCGAAACGAGTTTCATTTACGCCGGACACCAAGACGCGCGAGTCTTCTCGGGCGCCGTCTCGAGCGGAGAAGAAGGTGGTGCCGCCGGGTTCGAATACGCAGGGCGGGTCCTGGAAGTTCTCAGATGTCCCTACGATCGAACACAAGCAGATCAGTCCGTCTCCGGAAAAGCCGATGCCGCGGATTATTATGCCGGACGTTGGAGTAAGATGCCGCACGATCAACTATGACGAAGTGTTAGATGTCCAGGAAGCGCTGGATCAGCGGCGCAATCTCTCCGTGCGGGAGCAGTTGCAGAATAGAATAATCCGCGACCATGACCCGCGTTTGGCGGAAAAGAAACGCCTGACCGTCGCGAAGCCGCCGCCGGTGACCAACAACGACTTCACGGAGGCACTGCGTGCGTTTTCGGCGTCCTCGCGTCGCGTCGATGGCGTGGCGGTTGACACGCTATCACGCTGCGTCACGCAGGCAAGGAGGTCGTGCGCACGCGCATGGAGCAGCTCCAGGCCCTCGAGGACGCGCAGGACGCGGCCGCATCGGCGAAGAAGCCGGTGCCCGAAGAAGTCACGAAGAAGGACGAGGACGAGGGCCCGCGGCGGATCAAGGCGCGCGACCGCGACCAGCGGTGCGCGGCGTGCCGCTGCGAGGCGCGCGGTTTGTTTGCGGCGTCCTTTTTTTTATGCGTTGCCCCGTACGCCGTCGACGACACGACGACGCAGGCATGGAGCCGACGTACGCGCACACGTGCGTCAAGGGGATTAAATTAGCGGCCGGCGAGCTCAGCGACTCTACTGAAGAGGAGGAGGTCGAGGCCATGGAGATGTACGCGCGGCTGGCCGAGGCCGAGGACCCGCGCGACTTCGAGCAGACCTTGCAGGAGGCGCGAAAGCGAGCTTTACAAGAGGAGAACGAGATACAGCAAAGCATCGAGACGCTCGAAGAATTGGCGCGGGAGCACGTGAACGATTCATTAGCTGTGATGGAGTATCGGTACGAGCTGCGACAGATGTCGAAGTTCGGGTTCCTCTCGGGTTTGATTTCCGCGCCGCGGGCTCACGTCGAGCGGAACGTCGCGAAGGCGGTGCTCCAGGGCTCGCCCAAGAACCTTCGGACGGCCCTGATGGTCCTGTCGACGTTCCCGCCCGTTCGTTATTCGGTGTCCCCTTTACGCTATCGACGCCACGCGTCTGCTGACACGAGTCGCTGCGACGACGCGCCTGTTGGGGATCGAGCCTCGCAATTCGTAGATCGAGACGACGCGCGCAGGTCGCAGACAAGGAGTCGAAGCTCGCGGCCGCGGCGACGACGCTCTACAACCTCGCGCGCGCCGTGGCGCCCAAGTTCACCGACGACACGCCCGAGTGGTCTTGACTCCGCGTTGACACCATCGAAGCGTGACGCCATCGACGCGATGCCCGACGCAGGCTCTCGGACAAATTGGGCGAGATTCGCGCGTCGGCGGACGAGAGCGAGCCCCTCGTCGTGACCTGCGTCAAGATGTGCATGGTCCAGCGGAAGATGGAGCTGCGGGACCGCGTCAAGGACGGTCAGAATGATGACAAGGGCGACCTCAAGCTTGTACCGTGCTCGAAGAAGTCGAGGGCCGAGGACGGGTCGTCGCGGGCCCACGCCGCGTGCTTCGAGGCCCTGATCAACGCGGGCGCCGATGTGGACCAGTGGGACGGCGAGGGCCTCGCGCCGATCCACCACGCCGCTAAAAGTGGAGACGCGGGCTGCGTGCGGTTCTTGTGCGGTTCGTGTTCCGTGTCCTTGTTTTTCCTTCTTCGCGTCCCGTGTGAGCCGGCCGATCGGCGGCGCCTCGCCCCCGCTCTCGTCCGTCTGGCTCCAGCCGCGGCGCTGGCCTGCGTCGGGTCGCGTCGATGGCGTACTGGCGGGTACCGATGACGTACTCCACCGCATCAGTACAACAACAGTACGCCATCGACGCGCATCGGTATGGGAATCAACCTCCACGCCATCGAGCAGACGCACTTACATGGTCCACGCAGGTCTGGACGCGGACGCCGACCAGTTCGTCTGTAATGAAGAAAGAGTACGGCCTTTACATCTCGCCGCCGCCGTTTCCGATCGGAGGCGCTCTTTACGGACCTGCATCGCGCTGCTCGAGAGCGGCTGCGACGCGGCGTGTGCCGACTACGAGGGGCGGACCTGCCTGCACGTCGTTGCCGAGCGGGGACCGCGCGGCTTGGTCGAGCTGCTGATGGACGCCGGCTGCTCGAAGGAAGCCGAGGACGTCCATGGAAGGAAGCCGGCGGACGCGGCTGGGAGTGCGGGCCAAGCGAAAATCGCGGAGATCATCCGAGGTTATAAAGATCCTGTCTTGAAGGTCGGTGGAAGTGTAGGCATTTCGAAGCGGATGGAGTTCCTCGAGACGGGGCAGCTGAAGCTGGACGGCGTCGGCGCGGATAGGGGTGGCGGCGGCTCGTTACGCGCGTCCGCCAAAAAATTAAGGAAGGACCTCTTCGCGAAGCTCAAGGGCAAGAAGAAGTACAAGGCGGGCATGACGAAGCCCAAAAAGCCGCCGGTGCTGCCCGAGATAAGGTTCCCGTCGGACGCGGAAACCTACAAACCGTGGGTGCGCTACGTGAGCGAGGCGGGCGAGCCGTACTGGTCTTGCTCCAGTGTCCTTTTTGTGTGGTTTCCCCGGCAGCACGCTGTCGCCGCGACCACGTCCGCGAGGCTACCCCGCCGGCACGCCGTCGCCGCGAGGCTACCCCGCCGCCACGCCGTCGCCGCGACGCGTACTCACCCGTCGACGGCACCGCAGGCACAACCCCGAGACGGACGCGTCGACGTGGGACGAGCCGCCTAAATATATTCCCGCGCCCAAGGGCGAGGCGCGCGTCACGTCGGCCGAGAAGCGGGCTCGCGCTCAAGCGAAGAAAGCCAAGCGCCAGGCGCACCGGCGCCGGCTCGCCGCGGCGCCGGTCGTCGGCGACGAGCCGGCGCTCATGGACGCGCCGTCGCCCATCGCGACCACGCCCGAGGCGCGGTCGCGCCAGCTCCGGGCTCTGAAGCGGGCGGACTCCGCCCGGCGCGCGGCGACGCCCGCCGCCGGGTCCCGCTGCGCGACGCCCCAGCAGTTCAGCCCCACGAACGCCGTCGGCATGGGCGCGCTCTTCGCCCCCTCGGGAGACGTGACGCCCGTCCGCCGGTCGGCCCGCTCTAGTCCCGACTCCGTGTTGAATTTGGCTTGCCTTCTCCTCCGTGGCTCGTAGCCCATCGACCTGATGCTGTCACTGTCGTCTTCTTGACTGCATGGGATTCCACCACTGTGACGCAATCGACGCGACGTCCAACGCAGGTCGCGCGTCGTCGACGCCGATGGGAGAGGACCTGCCGCCCGAGGCGGCGCGCTTCGTCGCCCAGGTCATGTCGCCGGAGCAGTCCCGATCCAGTGTCCACCATGTTGACGCCATCGACGCGCCGCCCCAAACGCAGGCCGCCGCTGCCGCCCATCGTCGCGGACCCTGCGGCCGAGGCCCGGAAGAAGCGCGCCCTCCGCAAGGCGCGCAAGGCCGCGGCCGCCGTCGCGCGGCTCAACAAGCGCCGGGCGGAGAAGCTCGGCAAGGAGCCGGCCTCGCGCAAGGGCACTGCCGCGTCGGGCCGCGCCAACTTCTCGCGCAACTTGTCCCGGAAGCTCGCGCTGAACCTCTCGAAGCTGCCGGCGCCGGCGGCCCGGGTCAGCGAGCAGCCGCTCAAGCGCGTGACCTGGTCGCCCGCGGCGCCTGGCGTGCGCCAGTCTACTGCCGGACTTGGACCTCCTCCTGGGTCGCGGCCGGGGTCGAAGGTGCGGTTCGAGGTGCGGGCTTGGACGCCGTCGGGGGGGTCGCGCTAGGTGTTGTAACGTTGTTTGGTCTTTACGCGGCGCAAACCTGGTCACGGAAGGGAAGACCGCCTTGCAGTCGAGGGTTAAGGAGAGCGTCGTCGTGTCGGGCCCGTGATCGGGTGACCTCCCGAGGCCGAGCCGCGCTCTAGGGCGGCTTGACCAGCTTGACGAAGCTCCCCTTGACGTCGTCGATGATGTCGTCCTTGCTCGCCCCGAATTTCAACATCTCCTCGACGGTCTTGGCCTTCTTGTAGTTCTCGTACCGCTTCCACACCAGGGCAGTACGAGTCTTCGGGTTCAACTGCTGGATCTGGACGAGGTACTTGCGCGCCACGAGCTCATTGACGTCCGTCGCCGTCAGCTTGGGCCGCTCCATCTCGAAGAGCGTCGTGTAGCCGATGGGGAACTTTCCGGGCTCGAGCGGAGTAGCGTTCGGGATCCACCTGAGCGCGTCCTTGCGGTCTGGGAACATCCTCACATACTCAGCTACGAGCTTCGACCACCCGTGCGGGTCGATGAAATTTGTTGATACACCCCGGGCCTTCATTCTGCGGCCGCTGGCCGTCGCCGCGCGCTCACGTTTCCGCGTACAGATCGTCAGGTACTTCCTCCGGCTGTCCAGGGCAGCCGCGGGGCGCCACGGGCATGGACTTCGACGCGGTCGCCTCGCTAACAAATGAGTCGACCGCCTTGTTCAGGCGCTTCGTGGACTCCGCGCGCTGCGCGACCTTGCGCGCCGCGGATATCTCTTTCGTCGTGGGGTCATTGCCCTGGACGGCAACAATCACACCATCGACTATGCGTACCTTCACGCCTTTTGGCAGAACCTGCAATGCACTTTTCTCCGTGCATTCCTTTCCGTTTGGGTGTCGGGACGAAAAGTGGGGAGAACCTGACTCGGTGCACTTCTCGTCGTTTGGTTTCGGGGTGTGCGCGGAGAGAGTTGTTTTGGGCGGCGGCGCCGCGCGGGCCGACGTGGGGCAGCACGTCACTGCATGCTTGAAGCGGCACCTCATGCCCCACTTGCAGCCACGTGGTGTCTGGTAGAAGCGACAGGTCCGCGGTGGCGCCGGCAGTGTAGGCGGCGCCATCGGCCGCGTCTGGGGCGATGCGTGGTTGTTCATCATTTCGTTGTCCGTGGCGCGTCGTCCTTTTCGAACTGGAAGGACGACGCGCGGCGTCGTCGCGTCGCCTAGCTAGTCTTGTGGTTGCTGTGTTGCTTTGGTAGCAACTCGCGCAATTGAGCTGTAATTTCGTCGAGAGTGCGCCAGTGAGTGTGTGGCGCGCGGTGTGACGTACCAGCGCTGCGGCGACTTGTTAGTGTTAGTCCGGCGTACAAAGTCAGGACGCCAAGATACGTAGCCGAGTGCCGAGCTGGTCGCTCGAGGTTCCTGGCCTCCTACTCTGTGCATCGATGCCTGCCCAACCACGCGAGCGATGGCCAACTGGTCGTCGTCTTGACTCCAGGCCGAGCTAAACTACGAGAAGAGCATTACACTCGAGTGCACCGCGGCCAAACAGCACCTCGCTCGCGCCAGCAACGTTCGCACCCGCTGTTTTAATTGCTTCGACATTTTACTCGCTCCTCAGGGCTCTGCGAGAGCAGCGGGCACATTGCCTTGCAGTGCTGTTAGTGCTTGATAAATCCACTCACGACGCGACGCACGACGCGTTGCGGCGCGGCAGAACGGAGCTACAGCTGCCGCGGTGCCGTCATTCATTCCGACAAAATCGAAAAGCACGCACGAAGATCCTCGGCCTGCACCGGCCGAGTTGCCCGCCGCGAGACGTGCTGTGCCGTGACAGTGCTCCCGCCGAAGACGCGGACGTCGGCTGATCTCTTCCCCTTTTGGAAAAAAAACAGAAAAGATCCTACGGACTGTGATTGCTCTCGAGCGCTCGAGGAAAGGGGTCCATCGCGGAACCGTGGGGTACCTCCACCCCGTAACGTCGCGCGACGGATCATTGCTGCAGAAACGGTGTCTTGACGACTGCATCACGTAGATGAGCATCATTCGGGACGCGCGCTGCGCTCTTCCAGGATCTGTCCTCAATCCGAGGACTAGCTCCGCCGCGCCAGATGACACCGCGCACGCGATGCGGGACGCCCACCAGCGCGGCCTCGACGACCTCCGGCGGAGACGCGACCCACCGCGCCCACGCTGCCCTCCGATACGGGAACTGCCGCCTCGCCCTTGGTGTCCTACGTTAGCGTGACGAAGGCTACAATGCCGAGCCCGGGTCGCGGTGGGCATGCCCACTGGCTTGACGACCTGCGTGAAGAAGGGCGCGGCGGGGGCGTTGCGACCCACGCACTGTATGGGGTAGGCTATGCCACGAAGCGCACCGGTCCATCGCAGCGTCGGTATGAAGACGAATGGGGAGAAGTGCACTTAGGCAGGGGTGGCGCAGGCACTAGGGGGGGGGGGTGTAATTTTTGTTTGGTTTTTCTTTTTTGGCACTGCGCCACCCAGATGTGCAGCCAATTAATTGGCTGTCGAGTCGTCGCCGTGAAATACCGTCTTCGACCTGGGTGCACACGAGCAAACGTTTTAATATTGTGACGATTTATGACGATGTGGCGCCTGACGATGTGGCGTGACATGGCCGCATGCCGCATATTAATCGGCGTAGGTGTCCGTAGAATTAGCTGTTCCGATCGGTAGGCGTAGTGCGAGGCGTCGCGGTGTCGGCCAATGTCACATATGGAGAACTTGGCAATCGCTCGGTCGCGGACAAACGATAGCGCCCCAACCAAGGTGCGGTGACAAGCTGTATACAGTTACACAGTTCCTGACGGCGGTGGCAGCGTCCTTTTTGCGGGTGTGGAGTGCTGCATGCGGCCGCGCAATCCCTTCCTCGGTCAGGACAGGGAGTGGGTGCGTGCCACCGAAGACGCTCCGTTTGGTCCGTTCCACCTCCTTGAGAGACGTCACGACCTCCTCATCGAGCGCGTCGTGATCTGAGGATGAATCTATCAATCTCGCCAGCAACATGTCGCGCCGCGAGTGCCTGAGCTTCTGCGTGCCGCTCTGGAGTGAGGTAGGCTAAGGAGTTGTTGATTGCTGCTACCAGACTTTCTCTACGTTCCCCGCCCTTGAGTTTCAACCATCCAGAGTATGCGTACTGCCGCTATCCGTAAGTCCTGGTCGTTCCGCCAGAGCAACCCACGAGCGAGCGCAAGATTGTTCCGACGGTTGGGATCAGTTCGGTGTGAAGATGGCCGAGGGCCACTTGCCGTGCGTAGGAGACGAAGCCGCGGGCCACGTCCACGGCGGGGACGTAGACGCGTGCAGCGTCTTCGATCTTGTATGGCGTTCGCTCGGCGCCGCGGTAGCGGTGAGCCGGGGCTTGGGCCTGAAGCAGTAGATCGGCCGTCCCCTACCGGGACCGGCACGTGCGTGGCCCCCCCACTCCGCGCGGAGCGACGGCTGCACGCCCGCCTGGAGAACGTGGCGACCACGTCCGGGTAACCAAGGCACCGGCGCGAACCCGAGTTCCGTCAGGTCGGTGACCACCGTCGGCAAAGTCACGTCGGCGCCCGCGTGGATCAGGGCGTTGCGGTCCTACGCGCTCCGCAAGCGGGCGTGGTCCACGGAGAAGAAGCCGTCAAAGAAGGTCCAGATGCGTATCCGCCCCTTCCGGGCGTAGTACCAGGACGTCGGCGCGACGACGACCGACGTCGCGCCGCCGTACCGCGTTTCTGCGCCTTGGTACAACCATCGGTCCCGACGGGGAAGACGGGGTCGCCGGCCTCGGCGCCGTAGACCACGTCCCGGTCGCCGTAGCCTTGGTGTATACAGTAGATGTCGTGCGGGTCGTAGTACGTCGAATCTGACCCGCCGGACTCGTAGCCGTCCGACTCGGCGTCCGACGACGACGAGCCAGCGGTGTCGTCCGTCGAGAGGGAATCGGATGCCACAGTTCTTGTCGACGTCGGCGCGGGTGCCGTGCGACACTTACCTGCAGCATGAGGCGAACCACAACCGCTTGTGGCGCAGCGCAGAGCTCCGGTCCCTGGACGGCGGCAAGCGCCGACTTGTTGAGAAAGCGTTCCTCTGCGAGCCGTTTTTTTTTGTCGGAGGTGGCGGGCTTGACCTAGGTATAGGTACTAGAACCCTGGGCGGCCGCGCGGGCCCGGAGCCGCGGCCGAACCCAGGGGTAATCGTACGCGGTCCCAAACATGAACGTGAGCACGCGCCAGAAGACGACGTCGGGAATATCCGGCATGTCGGGATCATTATTGCGCAATAAACGTAAGGGCTGCTTTTGCTCACGCCAAAGCGCGTAGCCGTGTGAGGGCGGGGCGCCGAACAAACAGACGAGCACGGTGGGCGTCCTGTGGTCAAACATAGCTCGCCCGCGTTGGCACAGGGCGCGAAAGACCACACACCTCATGTGCGGCCGGAGAAAGTAGCGCGGCCAGCTGCCTGCTATGCGCACCCCGGCGAGGAGATCGGCGGCCTGACCACACTGGCCCGCCTTCTCTTCAAGTTCAGCAGTGCCAATTTCAGCGGCGCGCCTCCGGAAAAGATCTCTGCTTCTACGAGCGTGTCCTTCCGCCGTGATGCGTCCTTGCGGCCAGTACGGATTTAGATGATCGTCCTCCGGATCTGCACCGGAACGAAGAAGCATCCGAACGATTGGAACCAAGTCCGTTCTGTGGTCATCAAATTCTGCGCCATACCACAAATTCGTCCAAAATAGCAGTTGGCATAGAGGAGTAGGAGGAGTCCCGCCCTGGTAGTACGTAGCGTGCAAATTGGGGTCGGCGCCGTACGAGAGGATGACTCGTACGGTGGCGAGCGTATCTTGAACTGGGACGTCGCCACATAAACGCACTGCGTGCCACAATGGAGTGGCCCGTATGGGGCATCTCTCCGAGGCGTCCGTGGTGTCTACGCGCGCGCCTCGCGATAAAAGATATTCGCAAATCTCCGCCCACTTAAAGTCCGCGGCTACATGGAGGAGAGTCTCGTACCTGCTGCCGGGTGGCAGCGGCTGGTTCCACCGGTCGCGGTCGACGAAGCCCAGTTCGTCGACGAAGCGCAATTCGTTGCTGCAGTCCCTCTTAGCATTTGGGTCGCCGCCCGCTGCCACCCAGGCCTTAATCGCTTCGAGATCGCCTTGACGGATCGCGTCGATTATCTCTTGCGGCGCGATGACTTGCTCCATGACGCGCAGCCCGCGGCTCGACGGCTCAGAGAGCGCAGAGGCTCAGGGGGCTCTCCTACAATCGATGCGTTTCGCTGCAGACTGCGAGCGCGCAGCAAATATAGATGTCTCTCAAAGCAATCACTAGGAGCAGCAGTTAGCTGTGCGGCTGAAACACGCGCCCGGCTTGTTTTTTTTTCTCTCTAGTGCCTCACTGCCGCTAGCGCGATCTACGGCGCCAGGGGCTCCGCCCACTAGTACTAGCACCGTCACATCGACATCTACAGCGTCAGTCGTAGGAAGGTAGGTACCGGCACGTTAAAAAGTTATGTATACCCGAAGACTCCGAGGAGACAAACCACACTAGACGAACTCCGACCCCCGTGGACACGTGTTTAGGCTCCCGTTGGTAAGGGTTTATTTTTAGGGGGGCTGGGGGGGTGAGGCTTGCGACCGAGGTTATAGAAACATATGAGTCCAGTGGCCGCTTCCGGACGTCTCGACGTCTCGATGAAGCAGATTGTCTCGATTCGATTCGATTTGGGCCCTCTGGCGGCCTGGGGCCCGCCGGACGTCTCGATGTCTCGATTGTCTCGACTCGATTGGATTTGGGGCCTCTGGCGGCCTGGGCTGCTGCACGACGTTCGCAAACGTCCCGACGGCGACGGCCGAGCGTCGGTCGTGGTACGTCCACGAGTCCGAGCCATCCCTCGCGCGCACGAACGCCGTGTAGTGTGCGTTCTGGAACACCGCCACCGCGAACAGGTCCACCTCGAACTTGACCTTGCCGATCGACGAGAACACGCGTTTTGCCGGGAGCTGCGCGTCGCGCCACACGAGCTCGAGCAGCGCCGCCACGTCGTCGCCCTCCTGGTCCGTCGAGTACCACGCGAGGCTCAGCACGAGCGCCTTCGCGGCACGCTCGAGGACCACGTTGACTTCGCACGCCCGCGGCGCGTGTATCCTCGAGCGTCGCCACGGCCTCGCGGGGATCATCAAGTGTCGGCTTTGTAGAGCGCCCTCGCGTAAACATCTTTCATCAGGACCGAGCGTGTCCTCATGGTCACCACCGAGAACGCGCTGCGCCGCAGGAAATGTCTTTCGTAGCACACCCTTGGCTTCTTCGAAGGGCTCTAGCTCGAACAGAGGCGTTGCGTAGCTGCTACGAGGGTCATTTCATGTTCCTCGCCATGGAGTCTGACAACTCTGGACTGAACGTCTCGTTTAGGAATGCTTCAAACCATCCTTCCATTTTCGTGTGCTTGTTTACTCAGTAATCCCCAACGTGAAAGGCGTACTCGACGACGCGGCGGACCATCTCCGGCGGGAGGAGGTGGGCGAACTTCGGTACGAAGATCGCTCCGAGGTCGTTGAGGTGGATGCGCTCGTAGCGGCCGATGTTGCCCGCCGCGATCACTTTCCGGATGTACGCGTCGTCCGATTCTGCGGGGAGGGCGGCGCCGGCGCGGAGGAGGATCGGGAGGATGTGGCGGCGGCGCCTGGACTTGACCTGTAGATGTCGAATAGCGTAGTCGAGGGGCGCTTGGCCCCACCTGTCTCGCGCGTCGACCGTGGCACCATTTCTGATGAGCACTTTTGCAGGCGCGACGTCAGAATCAAAATGACGTTCACATGCGTGGTGAAGAGGCGTAACATTGTATTCACCGCCTCTGTTTACGTCGGCACCGGCTTCGAGTAGAGCGGCGACCACGTTCACGTGGCAAGACTCGGCAGCGTGGTCGAGCGGTGTCATGTCGTCCACGTCCGGCGCATCAATATCTGCTCCCGCTTCAAGGAGAATAAGTAAGCAGGTGAGCCGAGCTTCCATTTTGTCGCCCTCGCGTAACAGATAGTGGAGGGGCCGCCAATCCTTGACTGGACCTACTACGTTCGGCGAGTCGCCAAGCTCCAGTCTCTCTCGCAACGTGCCTGGGATGGCATCCAGCGCGGCATCGTGTATTTGCCCGCCCGGTGGCCGCGGCGACGTATAGGTGTGGTTGTTTATGGTGCTTATCCGCAGCATCGTGGTGGCTAGGCGGCTTAGCTCTAAGCTGTGCGCAAAGCACGTGCGTTATAGAGGTCTGCGCCGTCTAGCCTAGCCGCTAGGCTCCGACGCCGTGTCCAGTGGCACGACGCAGAGGATGCAAGTGTGGGCGGCTGTAGTGGCGGGCGGCTGCTGTGCGCACCCAAACGCTGTCGACCCGGGGCAGGAGACTCGGGGCTCGATCGCCAGTGATTTTTAACCTCGCCTGTCCTGTCATAGCTAGCGGCCTGTAAGACACTAGCAAGACACAGGAGCGACGAAGCAGCGGGATTATGCAGAGCACACTAGAGCTAACCTGGCCACCCGTCTGGCGAAAGCCGCCCGACCTCGCCGCCGCGAAGGACGAAAACGAAGAAGCGGTGCTAGACCGGTTCGCGCGCGACGAGGGCCCGCGGGAGGAAGTGAACCGCAGCGACATCTGCGCCGTCTGTGGCGGTGGTCAGGACGCCGGCCCGTTCGTCGACTGCGTCGGGTGCCGGGTTAGAGTCCACCGGGGTTGCTACGGCGTCGTCGGCGCGCCGCCGCCGCGGTGGCGCTGCGACCCCTGCCGCGCTGACACTAATCCGCTGTGTGGTCTCTGCGGCGCGCACGGCGGCGGCCTGAAGCGCGTCGGCCGCACGGGTGGCTGGACCCACGTGTGCTGCCATCTCTGGACGCCCGAGCTCGATGCTGACGACGACATGTGCGCCGTCGACCTCGACGTCGGCCCCGAGCGCGCGGAGACGAGGTGCGACGTCTGCGGCCGCGGCAACGCCGTCCGGTGCGGCCACGCGGGCTGCCGCGCCGCGGTCCACGCGAGCTGCGCCCTCAAGGCGTCGGCACCTTTCGCCCTGTCTACCGTGATCAACGGTGAGAGCGAGAGCGAGAGCGAGAGCGAGAGCGACGCCTCCTGCATGCCCTTTGTTGTTTTGTGCTATCAGCACCGTGGCGACTGCTGTATTGTTTGTGGCGGCAGCGACGTCGGTCCCCAGGACCTTATATCTTGGTCGGACGGCCGCGCCTACGTTCACGTGAATTGCCGCAGCAGTCATCTAGCACTACAACAGCTCGCTGGAGAGCCCCTCGTCTCTGCGCTGACGGTGCTCGTCCGCCGTGTGGGTATTGGCTTGGACTTGGATTATCACGGCCAGGCAGAGAGCCCGCTTTACCTAGCCGTCCAGGATGGCAGGCTTGACGCGGTTGTAGCGTTACTCCGGCTCGGACACCCAGACGAGGTAGAGGAGCACGACCCTCGCGAGGGAGACCAGGTTACACCTCTCTTTTTGGCATACTACCTTTTTTGCGACGACGGCGACCCACGACGGGGGCAAATCTTTGAGCTTCTCGTAAGCTGCATTTACCATAGGGAAGAAGGGTTTCAGGATGGATACCGTGCGTACTTGACTCAGGAAGTCGGGGATGACGGCGACTACATCACCGTACTTCATTTGGCCGCTGCGAATTTCGACTACTATAGTGTCAACCTCCTCCTGCAGCTCGATGAAATGGTGCAGGTGCGCTCCCCATGCTCGGGTGCGCAACAATTCCCTCTTGATGAGATGTTGAGGATCTACGACAACCTGGGTGCGCGGGAGAAAGATGAACACTTGGTTTCTGCTGCGAAGACGGCGCTCTTGCTCATTTGTGACGGTGGGGAATGCAGCCGGCGCTCACTTCCCCTGTTTAAGCGACTATGGGGCGCTTGGGAGAAGCGCTATCTCGCGTATTGGGGGAGGATTGTTTCGCAATTGTCGCGAGGGAGTGGAACCCAGTTACCCCCCGAGTTGGTGGCTATCATTGCGCAATTTATAAACATACGACCTCACGCCATTGGCGAGCACCAGGTCGACTGGTGAAGTACTGTCAGATAGCAGCTCCGCCCTTGACAAGTGCTCTTGAGCGCGGTGCCGCCGTCCAGTCGAACCGCGCTTCGATGCCTCGTCGACGCAACAGGGGGCACAGGTCTTTGCGTCGTGTCCGGGTTGGGGGGCCGTACGCCCATGTGTGGCAATTGCGGTATTCGCTCGCTTAAGCAAAACTGCGGTTGCCTCCTTCCACCAACCGCGCAAACTACGATGCACGTTCCGCGTGAAGTGCATCGGGTTAAGACCGAAATCCTCCGGCGGATTCTGCAAGATCGCTGCGGAAAAGGCTCCAGCCCCGTGAGCGGCGTAATAAACAATTTCCCAAATTCACAATTCATCGTAGTCGCTCGGCGAGACCAAAAATTTTACAGTAGCGGCCGCGGAACATACCCTTGCGGCCCACGGAACCACGGTCCACATCGACATTTTTGACCCACGAAATAGTACTTTACATCCCCCGAGACGACTCCTCCTCCTCGCGCGACGGCGCCGGCGCGCCGCCACCGAGCAGCGTCCCCGCGAAGCCCGTCTCGGCCTCGCGCTCCGTCTTGGCCCGCTTGCCCTGATGGGGCGGCGCCTTGGCGTCCGCGGCGTAAAAGAGGAGCTCGTCGAGCGTCGCCGCGCCGGGCATCTCGTCGGCGACATCCACAATACGCGCGTAGAGCGCGTCCCGCGCGCGCACGCCCGACTGTCGTAACGTTAACGCCGCGTCGAGCTCGCCGCCGCCCCGCGCCAACAAAATAATAGCCTTGGCCGCGGCGTTCTTGCGCTTTTTGCTTAAAGGTTTTGTTAAATCGCGCAGCGCCGGACGGCTCGAGTCGATCGAGTCCTCGTCGCCCGAGCTCCCGTACTAGAGGATTAGGTACGTAGATCACTGCTGAGATTGTACTTGTTGTTTGGAAAAATAGGGCCCGGGCCGCCCGGCCCGTGCTAGCGGGCTGTAAGACACTAGCAAAAGCTTACCTGTGGCAAAAGCTGCCACTGGTGCTTGCCCCACCGGGTTAAATTCCACGTTTCGCCCTGCTAGGGACCATTGCCGCAGAGTTTCCCGAGAGCAATACTCGCTGCAATCCCAGCAATGCTGGCTGGTGTTAGGCCTACTCATAAAAGCCGCCAGCGGATCTGCCAGCGATGGTTCTCCGGTCGCCGCGCCGGTCGCCGCACCAGCGCAAGAACAGCTAGCACTGGCCACCACGGCGAGCGCTTACGCCCACGCCTGGACGGCGAGCGACTCGCTGCGAGAAGGTAGAGGTATAGGCTACTGCCTCGCGGCGCGGCGGCCGACGCGCGCGCGCGTCAGCATCAAGCGACGCGGCCAGAAGGGTGACTGGCTCGGCGGGCCGCGCGACCACTGCTACGTGCTAGCGTTTGCTCTAGACGAAAATAGAGCGTTCAAGCGAGACGGTGCGCCGTGCATCGCGTCCATCCGGAAGCTTCGCCTCGATTCGAGCGACGAAGAATTGGTTTTGGACGACGTCTCCCTCAAGGCGGGCTCGACTGTGCAAGTCTACGTGGCCTCGAACCGCTTGAGTGGCTCCTGCGCCTACGACGTCCGCGCGGAGTCCGACGCCGAGCTAGAAGAGTTACCAGAGCCGACCGGTGGCTACCGCGGCGTACGCGATCAACCAGAGGACGTCGGGCGAGCACGTGCTGTGCGTGGACGGCGGCGGCGCGTGCGGCGTGGTACCTCTCGCCGTGCTGGCGGAGTGCGAGCTGGAGACAAGGACCTCTATTAGAGATCAGTTCGATTTATTTGCGGACACGTCCACGGGTGCCATCGTGGCCTTTGGTCTTGCGATCGCGGAGCTGCCCGTGGCCGTCTTGCAGAGATTGTATGATGATCTCGTGAGGCTGATCTTCGGGTCGAAGAACTTAAATGCGCAGCAGCGGCGGTGGCGGTTACAAGCTGTGTGGAAATCAACCAGTGCGTCGGGTGCACCCGACAATTCTTCGCTAAGTCATTTCTCGGCGACGGCGCGGCCGTCCTGGCTCGGTCGAGCGGTGAGGAACAAGCACTACCACGCCATCGAGCAGGCGTCGCAACGCGCCGTAAAATTTTGATTTCCACACAGGTCGCGGGCGCGTCCGTCGAGGACAACGTCTTCTCCGTCTTGATCCACTGGCGCGGCGTCGCCGAGGCCGACCGGCCGCGCGTCGCGGGGGTCGTGGACGCCGCTCGTGCTGGCCAGTGCACAAGTCAATTTCGCAACCCTTTCTCCGCTGAATCATGACCTCCACGCCATCGACGTGACGCCTGCTCGACGGCGTTGCGGCACAGTTCTCGGACGGCGGGAATGACCAGCGCGGCGGCGTCGTCGACTGGTTGATTTGCGCGCAGGCGCTGGCGCCCTTTAGGACGCTACGGAAGTTCAGCTGCAAGTGCGTCTTCGAGCTGCGGCCGTCGGCGGCCTGGGCGAAGCGGCGCTTTACTTATTAGATATGGTGCGCGAGGCCGAGGGTGGCGCGCGCGCACGACTGGTTCGACGGCGTTCAGCCCATCTACGTCGGCGACGACGTGACGGACGCAGCGCTCAACAAGTTCGTCGGGCCGGCCTGGAGGTATTATGTACTATTCTGGCCGCCTCGACGCAGCGCGAGAGTGCCTGGCGTCCTCGCACGAGGCGTCTTAGGCTTACTCACCCCAACGTTTGATTTCCACACGGGTGACGCGTTCAAGGCCCTCGCGCCCTTCGGCCCAGTCGGCGAGCTCGTGGCGCCCGCGGACGAGTCCGAGCGTCCGGCGCGGACGCGCGCGACGCACCGCCTCCGCGTCGTCGACGACGTACGCGCGTTCCTGGACGCGCTCCCGGCCTCGATCTCTGATAAGGAAGGCGTTTTAGTCGCGGGCGTGGAAACGGACGGAAACGATCTCGTAATCGAAGGCACCGGCCTCACCGGACACCCGGACGCGAGGGCGCGGACTGTGGGTTATCCCAAGAGTCAGGTCAAGGTCCTGACAGAAAAGGATGTTGACCTTTTGGAACCGTTCCTGATCCAGCCGCCCGCCTGTGGAAAGAAGCTGACGGTGCACGCCTACGCCGCGTCCGGAGACGAGATGGCCATTGTAATCTTCGCGCCCTCCGACGGCGGAACAGTAGCGTCGTCGCAGTTACGGGCCTTAACTAACGCGGCGTTTAAAAAGGTCGATGCGGCGCTGCGCCAGAAAGGGCTCACGAATGACGAGAAGACGGGCGGTTCCTACTGGCCCGCCGGAGTTGCAGGCAGCTTTGTTTCAAGTCCGGCCACGCGCACCATCGACATCGGAAAGGGCACTGTTGTCGTTCCCTGGATACGCGAGGACACGCACAAGCCGGCCGTGGAGTCGGTCATGGCGGCCGTGGCTCCGGTAATCGGACAGTGCGCCGAGATTATACACCATGGAGTTCCCGACGTACTCGAGGCTATGTCCCAGGTCGCAAATCACCCGGTCATGTGCGACACGCTCATGTTACCAACCGACGACATGCAGCACCCGGACGACGACGGGCGCTCGAAGCACTCCCTATCTGTGAACCAGGTCGTAGTCCGCGTGGCGGGCAAGCCTCTCGGTCTGGACGCCGGCTCCCGTCATGTGAAGGAGAGGTCATTTCAGCCCTGCGGGCTGCACGTCGACGCCGGGGACGTACGTCACCCTAGGGGCTCGCCCCTCATCTATTCGTATGTTCAGCAGAAAGGCGCGGCGCAAGTCGACGGGCGGCCGCTCAAAAAGAATGATCTTATGATCTTCGAAGAAACGTCTGGAGGTCGATGCATTCGTATTCAGACCGCGTGCCCAGACCACGTGCGCATTGCTATCTTCTCGGGCGCCACGCGTCTCCACTGCAATGTTTTACCGAACTAGCCCGAGCCGAGGACGCCCGGCCACACCCTCCTACGCATCGTCCCCTACACGCTCAGTGGAGTCAAAAAGTTCGCCGACGCGGTCGAGAATGACCCGGAACTGTGGCAGGAGGTACTCAACGGCGACTTCGACGAGGACCTGAGGGGCCGCTTCGCCCGCTTCCAGTCAGGGTAAGGCACATTCTCTCCCATGGCGGCGGTACGGGCCCGGGGATCGAGACACTCCTCAAACCACCCAACCCCCCCAAAACCCAAACCCCCGCACCCTCCCTGACTTCCCTGGCGGCCGGTCCCCCACCCGCTTCGACCCCCCCCCTTCACGTTTTTTTTGTGATCACAGCACTGTTGCTATGTTCATGCCGATTACGTGCCCCAGCGCCGGCGGTGGCGTTTCTTCGCAGGCGGCACGTGGCTGACGAACTCTACGGCGCGGGCAGCCTAGCCTCGACGCAGCGGCGGATGGCTTTGAGCTCAAGGACCCCGGCGCCACGCTCGACGATATCCGCAAGGCCGTGACGACGCTCGAGGAGATGACACGGACCGCGCGGCGCGTGCTCGGGGGTGCGCACCCGGACACGGTGGGGATTGAGAACAACTTGCAAAACGCGCGGGCCGCGCTCAGCGCCCGCGAGACGCCGCCGCCGGGGAGCGTGTCGTCGTCGTAAACAGAGTATATCATACTTAAGAGTCAGCGAGGGGATGGGAAGCGAGCAGCACACACTACCTGCGCTTCTTCGCCGCCGGCTTGGAAGAGGAGGACCCCTCCGCCGACCGCTTCTTCTCGAGCGCTCGAGCCGCGGCCTCGTGCGCCTGCTTGAGCGAGACGAAGCCCTCGTCGCCGTCCGCAAAGCACACCTCGTAGCCGAACTGCTCGACGGACCGAACCACGCCGTCGTGGAAGCCGTCCATGCACGAAACGCGGACGAGGCGCGCCCCAACGGCGAGCCGCCCGACGCGGCGGCGCAACTGGCGACCCTCGTCCAGGTTCATCGGCACGAGCTCCGAGGGCTTGACCGACTTGGTCATGCCCTCGTGCCAGTTCACGAACGTCACGTCGACCTTGCGCCGACCGACCGACACGACCTTAACAATAACCTTGTCGTCGGCTTTCAGCGTGCAGAGGTCGCCGCGGCGGAGCAGGCCCAGAATGCGCGGGCCGTCGGGATCGACGTCGTCGTCGTCGTCGCTCGAGTCGTCCTGGCCCCAGAGGAAGACCTCGACTAAATCGGCCGCTTTCCAGCCGTGCTCCTTGGCCGCCTCGACGGCCTTGTCGGGCGACGGCGTCAGCCGCGGCGAGTCCGAGAGCGCGGCCGCGACCTTCTCCTGGATGCTGATTCGGAGCTTGCCTGCGCGGGGTGTCGCGTCGATGGCGTGAACGCAGAAGCTTTCAGACACGGCCAACTCGCGCTGGAAGCGGCGCACCATGAGCTTCGCGAGGCTCCGCTGCTTCGACTCCGACGACAACGTCTCGAGCTCGGCGCGGCGCGCGGACTCCAATCGAATCGTGCCGCCGCTGCGCGCCAGCGCGAGCGCGCCCTCGAGGTACTTCGTGAGTTGCACGGTGGACCGCACGAAGTCCTGGTGCTGCGAGTAGTTCTTGCCGACCAGGTCGTAATAACAGGGGAAGATGATGGGGACGCTGACGTCGTAGTACGTCTTTCCAGGATAGGTCGGGCCGCACTTGAACCCGTAGCGCGTCAACGGCCCGCGGAGCTCCATGAGCGACTTGCCCCGGATCGCCGCGAGCAGCTCGCGGAAGTCGCCCTGCCACGTGGGCGCCGCCGGCGCCGCCGGCTGCGCGGCCGGCTGGCGCGCGCGCGGCGACCGCGAGCGGCGCGGCGCCGGAGCGGCCGGCGACTGGCGCGCGCGCGGCGACCGCGAGCGGCGCGGCGCCGGCGCGGCGGGCTGGCGCGGCCGGGGCGACCGCGACCGGCGCGGCGACCGGCGCGGCGCGTCCTCGTCGTCGTCGTCGGAGGCCGCCGGCGGCGGCGGCGGCGCGGCGTTGTCGTCGTCCGAAGCTTGCGGCGGCGGGGCGTCCGGCAGCTCCTCCTCGTCGGCGGGCGCGGCCACGGCCGCGGCGACGGGCGTCGCCGGGGCGACAGGCGTCACGGGCGCGGCGTTGTTCGCTGGCAGCGCGGGCGCTGCGTTGGCGGCCGCGGCGCGGGCGGCCTTCTCCTTGACGAAGGCCTTGCGGAAGCGGCTCCACGAGAGCGGCTTGAGCGTGCTGGCGCTGCACTCGCGCTCGAGGTCCTCGACCGACGTTGCGAAGAGCTCGGGCACGTCGTTGGCGATGGCGAGTACGCGCTCCCGGACGGGGCCCTGGCACTGGACCTCGTCGAGCCACGCCGTCAGCAGCGCCGAGGGCCGCGGGCCCGCCGCTGGTGGTGGCGGCAGGAGGGCGGGCAGGGCACCCGCCGGCGGCGGCAGCAGCGCGGGCAGGGCGCGCGGCGGCGCCGCGAGGGGCGGCGGCGGCGGCAGGAGCGCGAGGTGCCGCGGCGCCGCGTTGGCGCGCTTGGATATGACCGCCGACTCGATGTTGTTCAGGTGGCCGCGCTTGGCGCCGGCGTTCTCGAGCGCGGCCCGCAGGTCCCGCGCGAGGTCGTCGCGCAGGTTTTTAACGTCCTCCTCGTCGTCGACGCCGAGGTCTTCGAAGATCGAGGCGTACTTCTCCCCGTAGCCCGGCTTGACCTCGTCGAGCCACGTGGAGATGTCTTTCGGCGCGGCCCGAGGCGCAGCCGGCGGCGGCGGAGCTAGCTGTTGCGCCGGCGCCGCGGCGAGCATGCCTTGTTGCGCCGGCGGCGCCATGAGCATGGGGTAGGCGCGCGGCGCCATGGGAGGATAGGCGCCGTAGGCGGCGTAGGGCCCGAGCGCGGGCCACTGGACGCCCTGTTGCTGCGGCGCGCCCCAGTTCTGCTCCATTTAAGTTTAAGGCTTTGGGAGAGCGCTTTTTTGTAGAGCGCTTCTGCGAGGCTGTAGTGCAAGAATGCGGATGGTAGGGCTGCGCCCAGCGAAAACAGCTTCGTATCGCTTGCTGTGAAGCACTGTAGCACGATCAGCGCGCGCGCGGGCGTCGAGTAGGCTTGCTAGTGTCTTACGGGACGCTAGCGCGAGAGAGACGAGTAATAGCGCGACGAAGGCATACCTGCAAGACTGTAAGACACTAGCAGTAGCCGACGCGCGGCGCTAGCCTGCGCGTCAGCGGCCGTCGGTAGTCAGCGTCCTGGCTAAGCCGACGCGTCGCTTGCCAGCGCCTCGGGCCAGTACTCTTCGAGAGCACGCCGCGGCCTTCGAGAGCACGCCGCGGCCTTGGTAGACTTGGTTTTACTTTGGCAGTCCGTATACGCCGCTGACATAGCGACGCAATATCAACCAGCGCTGCGAGCTGTAAGATACTCGCTGGGCTTTACGTATACCCGGGTCCTCCACTGGCCTTGAGCACCGTGACATACAAGCAGTAGCAAGGAGCGTCGACATGTTGTGGCCGACGATACACAAGGCCGCCTTCCGCGGTGACGAAGCCAGCATGCGAGCCGAGCTCGACAAGGGCGTCTCGCCAGATCTTGCATACAGCGCAGAATGGTCAAACTCAAACGGATCGGGCGCGTTTACCATGACGCCGCTCCACCGTCTCCTCGACGGCTGGGTCAACTACGGCATAGCACCCCGGAATGCTTTGTCTTGCTTGAACTTACTTCTGGCCGCCGGGGCGAATCCGAACCTCGAACAAGTCGGGGGAGCTTGGATAGAATTCGGGGTCAACAACATACCCAGGGGGTTCTTGAGGACTCCTCTTCAGCTCGCGATTCTCAAAATATCCAGCGGGTCGGCTGAGTTGTTCGTGGCCCGGCTCCTCGATGCCGGCGCCGACGTAAATGCCCGAGGGTCCCAGAATTTGACCGCGTTACACACGGCGGCACGATATGGCTCGGTTGAGTGCGCCGCCCTGCTCATTGACGCAGGGGCCAATACCAACGCGTTGTCCTTAAATGGGTCTACGTATACGCCGCTGGACATAGCGTTGGCTCAGGCAGATGTATTGATGTACAGGGCCCGGACAACCATGCATCTGCCGTTTAAGGAATCTCTCGAATTCGAGGCGAGGAGGTGCCATCGCGTGGCCCTTGATCTCCTTCGCGCCGACGCCATGTGCGTCGTCTACGACTATGACAACACAAGCGACCCGTACGTCCGCCGCGTGCTCGGAGCCGGCGGCTTTAGGAGATACGAACGCGCGCACCTCGCGGCGCTCACCGCCACGTTCGAGCCGAAGTTCCCCGCGCTGACGACGGACGCCGTCCGCGTCGTCGTCGCATTTTCGACGTAGAAACCCGCGAGCTCAGGAGGCCCGGCAAGGAGCTCTATTGTACTTAGTACCTCTTGGGCCCGGGGCTCGATCGCCAGTGATTTATCTTTAGCTTTGTCTTAGACTCCCCAGCCTTAGTGCTCGTCAGGTTGCTCCAAACAGCGCCACCTCGTCGGCGTTTCGCCCACAGCAACGACGCACGACTCGCTTTTCGTTTGGTAGGGCGATGCGAGCCCAAGCGGTAATCTTTTATTAGCGTCGAGACACTCTAGGAAGCGGAGCGCTCGTCGGCCTGTGTGTCCTACTGTGAGCATACTGTGGTCAAATTAAGGCTGTAGGAGCGTTTCCGAACAAGAACAGGTACGTTTGGGGTCGCGCGCGTAAGTGACAAGAGCGGTCCGCGCGCGACCGCATACGGCTCACACAGAGCTGCAAATGGACCAAAAGCGCCCGCGCGAGGACGCCGCGCCCGCGTCCGCGCCGAAGCGCAAGAAGCACTCGTTCCCCCTATTTCTCGGCGGCGTGCAGCCCTACTGGTACAAGGACAATCGGGCCCGCGCCGAGAGCGCCGCCGCCGCGTACCTCCGCGACCGAACGAACCACAACGATGTGACCGTCGAACTCGACGTACCGCCCTACGGCCAGGGCAAGCCCAAGGGCACGGCGTGGTTCCACGGCTCCGGCGACGCGCCGCTCCGCGCGGCACGGCGCGCCATCGGGAAGTACGACGCGATCGACCCTCACTCGCGCAACCACACGAAGACCGTCATGTTCAGGGAAGTCAAGGAGCGCCACGACCTCGAGAGCGCGGAACAGGAACTCATGGACGAGATCTGCGCCGAGGCCGAGGCCAAAGCCGCCGACGCCGCGCCGCGGCCAGCGCAGACGCCGGTCGCGCGCACGCCCGCGCCGGCCGCCGTGCCGCCGGCGCCGGCCGCGCTCGTGCCCGCGAGCGTGACATGGCCCGAGGAGGTCTGGAGCCGCGCTCTCCCGGCGCCGAGCGTGTTCAACAGCCTCCTCGCGTTCGGGCGGCCGCTGATCCACCGGGTACTGGCCGCGGCGCGGGAGCAGGTCACCGGCGACAAGGACGACCGGCGCATCTGGGCCTTCGACTTGCCACCGCGTGCCGGTTCGGGCGGCGCACCGAAGCGGTGGCTCGTGGCGACGCCGGCCGAGTTCGACGCAGCGTACGCGTGCGTGCCGGCGGGCCGCCGCCACGCGTACGAGGTCATCGACGCGCGGCGGCCCTGCTGGGCCTACTTCGACCTCGAGTTCACGCGAAAGGACGGCCTCAACGCGGCCGTCGACGGCGACGCGCTCACGAAGCGCGTCGTGTCCGCAGCGTGCCACGCGTTGGTGGCCGCCGCCGGCGACCGGCCGCTGGAGATCGAGGTGATCGTGCTCGCGTCGGCGCGGCCGACGAAGTTCTCGCGCCACGTCGTCCTCCGGTCGCACTGGACGGACGGCGCGCGGCGCGCGGCGCCGCTCGCCGGCTCGCAGCACGCCGGCCATCTCGCGCGGCGCGTGGTCGCGGCGCTCGGCGACGCGCTGACCGTGCAGAGCGGCGACGCGCGGACGACGACGAGCTTCGTCGACACCGGCGTCTACACGCGCGACCGCTGCTTCCGCGTCTGGGGGTCGACGAAGCACGGCGACACCGCGGGCGCGGCGTTCGCCGTGACGGAGCAGAGGCTGTTTCCCGGCTCCCGGCCCGTCGCGTTTACGCGGTCGGAGCTCCGCGAGACGCTGGTCGTACCGGAACTACAACCAGGAGAAATTGACTGCCTCGAGATCGAAGCGCCCGTCGAGCCGCCGCCGCCGCCGCCGTCTCCGGGCGCCGCCGAGGAGGCCGCGGCGCCCGCGGCGCCCGCGGCGCCCGCGGCGGCCGTGGACGCGGACTCCTGGGAGAGTTCGTGGGACGGCGCCACCGCGACGCCGCTGCTCGACGCGACGGCGCTCCCCCACAAGTTCATCATCGCGCGAGCGGGCGACCGAGGCCAGCCACCGGCGCTGTTCGCCGCTGCTGCGACCGTGGCGCTCGCGGCGCTCCGGCGCGACCATCGCGACAACGGCGACCCCGCGCTGATGTCCTGGCGCTACGTCGCCGCGGAATTCCCGTCGGAACGGTACCTCCACCTCAACGTCAAGGGCCAGGGCGTCTTCTGTCGAAGCCGCGGCCGGCCGCACCAGAATCAGAACCTCGTCGTGACCGTCGACCCGGTCAACGGCCGCTGCTGGCAGCGCTGCTACGACGGTGCCGACTGCGCGCGCGACGTGCCCACGACGAGCGGCGGCGTCTGCCGCCTCGCGAACCGCCACGAGCTCGCCGCGCCGGCGGACGACCTCAAGGTCGACCGCGCCGCGCTATGCAGTTTCGAGCAATCCGCGCGGCGTTTATAGGACTTTCGCTTGTATGCAGAAATGAGCTAAAATAAGTATGACTATTCTTATTATCATCAAGGACAGATGTCGGGGCCGCCGACACTGAAATGGAAATCGGGCCGCGGCACGTCAGAGGATTACCTGCTACGCCCAGGCGCCCGGTCCTCAGAGACAAAATTGCCTTGGCGGGGCCGGAAACAGGGCCTGCCATACGTACGTATGTCCAAACTCGTACCCCTACATGCGTACTTATGGGATCGCTCCCGCGTGCGTGTATGCATACGTAGGGCTTAGTAGGGGGGTAGACGCCTAGCGGTCTTTTAGCCACTAGGAACCATGTTTGCCAGACCCCGTGCCACTAAGATACCCAGACATGCGAAGCAGAAAAGGGATGTTGCCCTCCACGGCGCCTGCATCGCATGCGACGGCTGCTACTTACATCCACGACAATTGCATCGATGCGTCGTCCGCTGCTCTCTCTGTCAGATAATTCTGAAAAAAACAAAAAAAAAAAATCGGAACCAGAAAAATTATCGAACCTCTCTCGATTTGTGCGTGGGACGGGTCCGATCAAGGAGCAGTCATCCTTGCGCAGGGGCCATGAATATCTCCGCTTTTCGCAGACCTAATCTTAGACATACGAAGGCCTCCTGCACCTTTCGTTCTCTGTGTCGTTCCAATTTTGATTAGTGGCAAGGGATTTCTCCCCGCCGAAAGACGACTCCTCGGTTTTGTCCCTTATATACCGGCCAACCAGATTGGTGCCCCCTGCAAAATGCTAAAGCGACGAGAGGCCCACGAGGCGGCACGCCAAACAAGTCAGTAGTGACTGATACGACGTATAACGACTCACAAAAACGACGCATCGATGGAACCGGCGCGATCTCCGCAAGAGCCGCCAGTCTATGTGAGCCCCCAGTCGCGCGAGGAGCAGCAGCTCGTCAAAGAGCTGCAAAACATTACGGGGCTCGAAGCGCACGTCGCCCAGAGACAGCTGCGCTACCACGAGTGGGAGCTGCAACCGGCGCTGGCGCACTACCTCGACAAGGGCGCCGTCACCGCCGCGACGAGCGGCGCGCACCGCCTCCTCCAGCGCCTCCACCCGAACCGCGACGCGCGGCCGCGTGCCGGCGAGGCCGTCGTCCGCGTCACGGCGGCGACGCCGTCGCGGATCGCGCCGGACCTCGCGCGCGCCGCGGCGTTCGCGCGCGCGGCGCTCGGCGACGCCTCGCTTGATATCGTGGCGGGCTGTGTGGAAAGCGACCAGTGGAGCATCGCGTCGATGGCGTGGGGCGTCGAAAGTTTGATTCCACGCAGGTGTCGGGCGCGAGCCAGGCCGCGCGCCTCCTCTTCTCGGAGACGGGCCTCGCGCCCTACGGCTCGCCGCTCGCGCTGGAGCTGCGGCGCGGCGGCGCGTTCGTCGCCGCGGCGCGCGTCGGGACGGCCGCGGTCAGTGGTCCGTGCGGAAATCATTTTTGGTCGTGGGGTCGCGTCGATGGCGTGGGCGCTGACGCGAGTTTTCACTGGACGCGTCGACGGCGTGGGGATGGGGCCATACGCCATCGAGCAGACACAACACGCAACACACACACAGGTCGCGGTCCACGGCGGCCGCGTCCACGACGTCTTCGAGATCGAGGCCTTCGCCGTCGCGGCGGGCGAGCGCGGCCGCGGCTACGGCCAGGCGCTCCTCGCGGCGCTGCTGCTGGCGCTCGCGGCGGCGGCGCCGCGGCCCGTCGTCGTCGTCACGCTGCCGCGGCCGCAGACGGAGGGCTTCTGGAAGACCACGCTGCTCGAGTGGTCCCGGGGTTCGGAAGGCGAGCGCGGCGTCTGGCGCGCGCTCGTCGCCGAGGACGGCGCCGTGGAGTTCGCCTACCCCCAGGACGCGGCGACGACGCTGTTCTGGTCCGAGACCGCCGACCGGGCCCTGCGCGCCGTGTCGCCGTGGTTCGTGCGGCTCGCGGCGCGCAAAGCCGAGGTCACGCCGGACCAGCGCGTCGCGGACCTCGAGGCGGCGCTCGCGACGGTCGAGGCCGAGCGCGAGCGCCTCGCGAAGCGCATCCGCGTCCTCGAGGCGCGGCGGCCGCCCGCGGCGTCGCCGGTGCCGCCGTCGGACGAGGACGAGGCCGGCGCCGGCCCGGCCGCAATCGCGCGCCATCTGCCGCCGGTGGCCGCGTGGCCCGCGAACTCGCCGCGGGCGGAGGCGGACGACGACGACGCTGCTCCTGCCGCGGCGGCGTCGTCTCCGGCGGAGGACGCCGCCGCCGCGACCGCGCCGGCGCCTGCGCCCGCACCAGCGCCGGCGCCCCCGGACACGGCGGACGACGAGGCCATCGCGCGGCTGCTCGCGGCGGAGTACGCGTCGCCGCCGGTGCACGCGCCGCCGCCGCCGGTGCGGGCGGCGGCGAAGCGTGCCGCGGCGAAGGTGGCTCGCTGATGTTCTGTTCGCCAACCCCGCGTTGGCGCTAATTTTATGATGTTTTGGTATTTAGTCGTTTGCGTATTGGCTAGCTATCGCCACGGCGTCTGCATTGGCGGGGCGTCTGTAGAGCGTTCGCGTCGCGGCGTGTTTTTTGTGAGTTGAAATAATCGGGTTTTTCAAGCCGAGTCAAAGCCGCCGCGCAAACCCAATAACTCACCGCAAAACGCAAAATGATCCTCACAACATGCGCCGCCTGCGCCTCCCCACTGGCCCACAACGCGCCGCGTTGTGTTAGATGCAAAACGCGCTACTTAGAGTTTTAATAGCCAGTTTCTTAAAACGCGCTACTGCAACTCCGCTTGCCAGCATGACCACTGGCGCCGCGGCCACAAGCAGATTTGTAAACAGATTCACCGCGGCGGTAACGCAGAACAATACTACGCCGACAAAAAATACAAGGAGGCCGTCGCGGAGGCCGTCGAGGCGTGCGCGGACGACACGAAGGGCCAGACGTGCTACATCTGCACGCAGGCCCTCCACTTGTTAACGAAGGAAGGCCTCGTGCGCGGGTGCGCGTGTGGAGATCGCGAATCTGTTGCTTCGGGAAATACAGGAATCGCGCACGTGTCGTGTTTGGCGGAGCAGGCAAAGATTTTGGTCGCGGAGGCGGAGGAGAAGAATTTGGACTACAACGCGATTCATTCGAAGTTCCGGCGGTGGGACACGTGCAGTCTGTGCGAGCAAGAATATCACGGCGCCGTGCGGTGCGCGCTCGGTTGGGCGTGCTGGAAGACGTACCTGGGGCGGCCTGAGACGGACTGGGTTCGGGGAAGTGCGATGAGGTTTCTTGGGAACGGTTTATACGATGCAAAACACCACGAGGACGCGTTGTCCGTGATGGAGGCCGAGGTTTCTATGCTGCGGCGCATTGGCGATTCAGGAGAAAACGTGCTCATCGCGCAGGGCAATCTTTCGTGTACATATGAAAAACTTGGACGGAAAAACAGACCCTGTCGATGCGGCACGACGTATACTCCGGAAACTTGAGGCTCCATGGCGGATCACATGAGAGCACCCTCATAGCGGCCAGCAACTACGCGGGGTCCCTCATTATTCTCCAACGCTTCAAAGAAGCGAGGTCACTGCTACGCCGAACGATTACCGTGGCACAACGCGCCCTCGGAGATAGAAATGACACCACGCTCAAGATGAGGAAAATTTACGCGATTGCGCTCTTCGAGGACCCCGCAGCCACGCTCGACGATCTCAGCGTTGCCGTTGGAACGCTCGAGTTGACGGCACGGACTGGACGGCGCGTGTTCGGGGGCGCGCACCCGCTCACAGTAGACATTGAGCGCGAACTGCGAAAGGCGCGAGCCGCGCTCCGCGCCCGCGAAATGCAGCCTTCGTCGGAGAGCGTGTAATGGTAGCAACATAACGACCCTTGGTAGGAGGTTCAGATCTCACAATTCGTCCTTAGCCGCACTACTACTAGAATCAGGCAGGGGCGCGTAGTCCGTCGACCGCGAGTAGCCCGTCAGGTCGGGCAGCGTCGTCAGCCGGTCCGCGGGCACGCCGTAGTATCTGTTTTTGGAGTCGGCGCCGCGCGGCCCGTCCCAGTCGAGCGGGCTGAAGTGGCTGAACAGGTTCGCGAACTCGTCGCCCCGAAACCGCATCGGTCGGCCGTGCCGGAGCCACGCGCCCTCGTACAGGATGACCTCGCCGGGCTGCGTGTAGACCTCGGCGACCGTGCCATTTGATAAGAGAAGCTCGAGGGGCCAGCCCCCGTTTTCGTCGACCTTTTGATCCACCTGGATCACCGCGCTTGCCAGGTGCGTGTCCATCCTATCGACGTGGTCGATGAGCATGCTGCCTCGTCGGTAGACGCGGATGCCGAACGTCGACGTGTGCTTCAGCCGCAAGCCCGTCCACCACTGGAGGATCTCCCGCAGCTCCCTGACGATCGCGCGATGCGTCGCGGGGAACTCGTCGAGGTTGACCTTATCAATAAGTACCTTGTCGTTGTTCGTGTAGCCGCCCGGGATCACGCCGTGGGGTTTCTGCGCGGGGCGTCGCGTCGATGGCGTAAAGCTCGCGTAGGAAGGACGCCGCGACGAACCATCGAGTCGTTCCGTCTCTCTTGGTACCAGTCCGTTAAAGCATCATGTAGCGGCTGCGTGAACGACATCTTCGCGTAGCCCGGCCCGTCGGTGACACGCGGGATCTGGGGGATCTGCGAGACGTAGGACTCGTCGACGGTCTTGAACTCGCGGTGCTTGCTCACCTCGCCGGGCTGTAACCCGTAGTCGCGCGGGTCCCTTTTCCTCAAGTCCTCCTCGTGCAGATAGCGCACGCAGGACCACTCGTGCGAGGGCCCCTCGCATTTCTTGTCCGGCGCATGTAATAGTTCTTCGAACTCGGCCGCTCGTGGTGACAGGGGCGCCTCGCTCTGCGCGGCGAGCGCGGCGCCGCACGCCTCGATCAGTACGCGCTGCCTTGTTGTTCTACCTAACAGGGTCTCGGCGACGACCTCCTTCTCCCCCAGCGTCCGACGGACGCGGAAGGCGTGGCCCTCGAACGACTGGTGCATAACTTCGCCCAGCGGCTCGAGGATGCCGACATCGTGCTGCTCCCCGTCTCGCGTCATCCAGTAGACCTGCAGCTCCTCGTCGATTTGGGACCGGAAGGTCACCGAGACCTTGCCGTCGCCCCTGTTGAGGGATTTGAGGTTCGCGTCGGCCGCCGGGCACGGTTTCGCTAGCGTTACGGCGAGGAGCGCGAGGAGCGAGAGTGCCGCCGTCGTTTTAGACGAGAACTGCATCGTGGCGGTACCCGTCGCGTCGAGAGCGCGCGGACGAGGCTGCCAACACAAAAAACCTCCACTAAGCCGACAGCTGATGTGACACGTGCGCGTCGAGTGCGGCCTCTGCAGCTCGATCTCACTAATGCGCTCCGCGAGGAGTCACCTGCAAGCGTCAGTGGGCGAACTTACTGCGTCTCACTGCCGATAGGCTGGAGGTATCGATTTTTTTGGGCTGCCCAGGCAGTCTAGTGTCTTACAGTCGCTAGGGCGGCGCGGCAACGACGAATATCGCGCGCGACGTTGGTCCTGTCAAGCGACGAGTCCGCTCGATCACGTGCAACCAACAAGCTCAATCGGGTCCACGACTCACGGTCGACGGACGCGCGGGCCGAAGGAACAGTTCAAGAACCAAAGATTACACGACGACGTTCTCGACGGACGCCGTCTTGTCGATGCGCTTGAAGATGCCCGCGATGACCTTGCCCGGGCCGAGCTCGTAGCCCTGCGAAAAGCCCGCGCCCAGCAGGTTCGCGACGGAGTCCTCGAAGAGGACCGGCGACGTGACCTGCTTGGCCAGCAAGTCCTTGATGACCGCCGGGTCGGCGTGGGCCGCCGCGTCGACGTTGGACACGACGGGGATCCGCGGCGCCTGGACGTCCGTGTCCGCGAGCGCCGCCGATAAAGCAGAGACGGCCGGCGCCATGAAGTCCGTGTGGAAGGCGCCGGCGACGGCCAGCTTCACGGCCATGCGCGCCTTGAACTCGGGCTTGGCGAGCTCCGCGACCTTGTCGACCGCGGCCATGCTGCCGGAGCACGCGTAGTTGCCGTTGCAGAGGAAGTTGGCGATGGCGATGGGCTCGCCCGTCGCGTCCGCCGCCGCTTTACATAAGTCCGCGACCTTGCCCTTGTCCAGACCAATAACGGACACCATACCCGAGGGCTGCGCGTCCGACGCGGCCTGCATGGCTTCTCCCCTAAGTTTCGTGAGCTTGACGCCGTCCGCAAACGAAATCGCCCCGGCGAAGCAGAGGGCCGAGTACTCGCCTAATGATAAACCCATGGCGCAGGTCGCGCTGTCGACGACGTCCGGCGACTCGGCGCGCAGCTTCTCGACGGCCGCCATGGACGAAACAAAAATGGCCGGCTGGCTCACGGCCGTCGAGTCGAGCTCGGCCTTGGGGCCCTCGGCGCACTTGGCTAATAAATCGTAGCCGAGGATCTCGCTCGCCTCGTCGAAGAGGGCCTTCGCCGCCGGCACGCTTTCACAGGTCTCGACGGCCATGCCGACGCTCTGGGCGCCCTGGCCCGGGAACAGGAAGGTCGTCGCCGCGTCGACGGCCATGGCGTCGCCTGCTGAAAGGCTGGTAGCCATCCTGCGCACACCAGGCGCCACGAATGCCCGCGCGCATTGCACCGCGAGCAGCATGATAGTGCTGCGCATCGTTGCGAGCACTGGGTTTGCTAGGCTTGCAATGAATGCGGCGTCTAGCACCAATTTATCCAAGCGGTCGCAGCAGACGCATGCGCGGCTCGCGGTGGATTTTTGCGTGCCGCCACGCGTCGTCGTGCTTAATGAGCCGTCGGTAGTCGTCCGTTGACGACTTTCTGCGCCTTTGCGCTACCGGAAAAACCCGCAATCGAGCTTCTCTCTCCGCGGTCCAGCCGATTTACACGGGGTTGCAAGCCATACCTGCAAGTCTACGCCTCGGAAATGATGCATTCCTTCGCCGCGCGCGCCGCGCGCGCTGCTGCGAGCACCAAAACCGTGCGCAAGGCCTCCAATGTCGCTGTACAGGGCAGTGCGGAGACCCAAGGTTTTGCGAGAGATGGCGTTTCGAGCTGCAAGCCGTCGGCGCGACGTCGTCCGGGGCCGGCGCGACGCCGCGGAGGCCGGCGGCTGGGATTCAATGCAACGCGGTCGTCCGTCGAGGCGCGACGGTGGGGTTTCCGCGCAGGTGCTGGGCGCCGCGGGCGGCATCGGCCAGCCGCTCTCGCTCCTCCTCAAGGCGGACCCGCTCGTGAGCGGCCTCTCGCTCTACGACGTCGTGAACACGCCGGGCGTCGCCGCGGACCTGAGCCACTGCAACACGCCCGCGACGGTGACGGGCGTCACGGGCGTCGGCAACGCCGAGGAGGCGCTGAAAGGTGCTGATGTTGTTGTCATTCCGGCCGGTTCGTAGTTCAGGGTCCTTTTTTTTTACTTCCGTGGCGCCGGCGTGTCGACGGCTGCCTATGTGACAGAGCGGTGCGCCACGCCATCGCCGCGACCCATAAACAACGCAGGCGTCCCGCGCAAGCCGGGCATGACGCGCGACGACCTCTTCAACACGAACGCGTCCATCGTCGCGTCCTTAGCCGAGGCGTGCGCGAAGGCCTGCCCCAACGCGTGCTACCTCATCATCTCCAACCCGGTCGGCGACGCGGCGCGGAAAGGAACTTGACGTGGTCGCGTCGATGGCGTCTTCATGAGACCACAGTGACGCCGTCGACCGTCGCGACGCCATCGACGCGACGCCGGAGGTCACGGGACAAAACGCAGGTCAACAGCACCGTGCCCATCTTCGCGGAAACACTCAAAAAGCACGGCGTCTACGACAAGAACAAGCTCATCGGGGTCACGACGCTCGACGTCGTCCGTGCCAATACCTTCGTCGCGGAGAACCAGGGCAAGGACGTGCGCGACGTGAAGGTCGACGTGATTGGGGGCCACGCGGGCACGACGATCATCCCCCTCCTCTCGCAAGTGCCCTCCACATCATTCTCCGACGCGGACATCGAAGCATTGACGCAGCGCATCATGTTCGGCGGCGACGAGGTCGTCAAGGCCAAGGACGGCGCCGGCTCGGCGACGCTCTCCATGGCTTATGCGGGTGCCCACTTCACGTCGCAGCTCCTCAAGGCGCTGGACGGGCAGAGCGGCATCCAGGAGTGCGCGTTCGTCGAGTCCTCCGTGACCGACGCGCCCTACTTCTCGACGCCCGTGACGCTCGGCCCCGGCGGCGTCTCGGAAGTGCACGGCTACGGTACCTTATCGGCCTACGAGCAAGACGTCCTCGACAAGGCCGTGCCCGACCTCATCGCGCAGGCCGAGAAGGGGATCGCCTTCGCGGCCAAGTGATTGGGGTCCCGTCGTACTAAGTGAGACTATATGAATCTACTACGGTGCGGCGATGGCGTCGGTGGTTGGCCGCGTCGCGCGGCCGCGCGTCCGCGTTCGGCCGCGTTCTCATCCTGATGAGCCTGAGACCTCGAAGTCGTAATCTGGCGGCACAAGCGCGTCGTCAGTCGTGTTTATTCGCGTGCGTTCTTCTTATGGCGCGCAGTGGGTCCCATGTGCCACCAAGACAGCAACGTGACCAAACAGACCCAATCAGAAGTAAAAAAAAGAGGAAGAACAGGAGGAAAATTATCGATAGGCTCCGAGCCGGCTAGGGCTTTCCTTTCTCGATTTGTGCGTGTCATCCTTGCGCAGGGGCCATGCTAATCTTCTCTGTATCCTATAGGGGGAAAACGTTAGGGTTGAGGTGGAGCATAAATCTCGACACCGGAGCAGTACGTTCCAATTTTAATTAGTGCCACTAGCTTTCGCTAGGGCGAGAGAAAGCTCTTCTTTTTTTCGTTAAATACCCCCTCAGCACAAAGACCCGGGGCCAAATGCGCTAATTGCCCCATCTGACCCGAGTAAAAAGCGGGAATCACCCGGGGCATCATAGAAGGGCTGCCCCGGGGGCGCCGAGCAAGCCTGGGGCTGCCTCGGCCCCATCCCAGCGAAGAGAACAAGCGGCGAAGCGCTGGCACACCCAGGAACCAAACCAAGTGCTACGCGCTGGTGACCCGGCGGCGGCGGCGCGCAGAAAAGAACCATGCCCCGCCAAACCCTCCGCATCCGCGACGACAACGACCTGCGCACGGTCTTCGAGTGCTTCGACCTGGACGAGAGCGGCACGATCGACGTACACGTAATCCCGGAGATGATCCGGACGCTCATGTACGAGGTGCCTGCGCCACAGCAGGTGCAGGCTTTGCTTGCCAAGTACGACGCCGACGGCAGCGGGAGCCTGGACTTCTCCGAGTTCCAGGCCTTGTTGCAGGACTACGAGTCGCCGTACGACATCTGGATCGAGCAGACGCAGGAGGAACTCGGTCTAGTATTGCGAAACAGAAAAGACGGCCACGTTTGCATAGTGAGCGTGTGCCCCGAATTGTGCCCGGCGCTGTACGAGGCCGCGCGGCGGGGCTTCATGGTGCCCGGCCACCGCATCGCGTCCATCGACGGTCAGCGATATAAGGACGCGCGCGAAGCGGCGGACTACCTGCGGAAGACGATCCGGGAGCAGCGCGTGCTCATCACGCTCGAGGCGCCCGAGCCGATTTCGAGCCGGGGCCACCACGTCCCGATGCCCTGGTGGCAGCACTCCGTGCTCGTGAACACGGCCCTCGTCGAGGACGGGGAGACGCGCCTACGGCGAGACAGGATGCGCGCGTCGTCCTCGAATACGACGGCCGATAGCTACTGGCACGGGCACCTGCATTCGGCATATGTGTAAGTTTTCATAAGATTTAGTCGTCTGATTGCGCGTCGCCCGCGCCACCGAGTGCGCCTAGCAACTCTTTCCCGTCTTTTTGGGCCGGCAGATCAATTCGGCGTCCTCCTCCGGGTCCACGGCCTTCGCCTTCTTCGCCTTCCTTGCGATCGCCTGCTTCTGTTGTTCAAAAAGTTGGTTCTTCATCGAGAGGGCCTCTTTTAACTCGTCAATCTTCTGCTCGCTTAACGGTTGAACAGCGCATGAGCGGATAAACGCCGCGCTGTTCGCGCCGCCGGGGCGCTGCTCCATAATGTTCGCCATGCCACCCATCATCCGGGCCCACATGGGGTCCGCGTGTGCGGCCTTCGCCTTCTTCGCGGGCGACGGCTTCTCGTCCTCGTCTTCGCTGCTCGACGCCTTCTCGTCGGACGAGTCCTGTATCTTGATGACCTCGGGGCTCTTCCGCTTGGTCGTTTTCTTCGGTTTGGCTCTAAGGGCCGCGGGCTCGACTACGGTCCCGCCCAACTTTCGGATCTCCGCTTCGAGGGTTTTTGCGTCCATGGGCTCGTCCCGGCGCCGCATTTCTGCTAATAATTTCTGCATCTGCTCCTGACTTAACCGGGAGCGAGCGATCACCACACCCGCCGCGTCGCCCCGGCGCTCGCACTGGCCCGCGAGGTCTTCCTCAAACAAACTCAAACGATCATGCGCGAGGTCGCTCTCAGAAGACATGACGAGGTCCCGGGCTGTCTGACGCGCGAGCGGATTATCGTATGCGCTCGACGCGCTTTGTTGGTGCTGGTGCAGGACAGAGGAGAGAGTGATGCAGGCGCGGCGAGGCTGCGCGCCGATTGCACCAGGGGCTGCCTGAGTAACTAAGCGTACCCGGCGGGCACTGCGGGCTGCAAGTGACGAGCACGTAATGCGATGGCGAAAAAAAACGCTGGCAGAGCCTGAAGGCTCATAAAAACCTGCTAGCCCCACGTAAATAAACTGGAGAGAATTATCCCCCCCCAACGCGGGGAAGGGGGAACGGGAAGCGCAACGCCTAGATGACGCCGGACGCCGAAACGGGCGACGGCGCGTGGAACGACTGGTCCGCGGCGTGCGAGTAGTCGAAGCCCGACTCGGGCGTCGCCTCGAGGCCGATCTGGGCCGCGCGCCCGGGGCCGAGGCTGTCGGAGACGCTTCGGATCGAGTCCTGCGTGACGAGGTCCGGCCGCGCGGGCGCCGCGCGGCCGAGGCACCGATCCACCAAACCGTGCAGCGAGTACCGCGACCGCAGCGGCACGAACGTGTTATCTTTGCGCGAGTGCTCCAAGCTTTCGCCATCCACGTGGCCATGATCCAACTCCCGCCCGATGTCGTTGACGTTCGGGAAGAACTCCAAGTGGACACCTACTACAAGTAGCTGTAAAGCAGCGCAGGCCACGGGCACCAAGATAAACGTAAGTAACCAATAAACGCCAAGTTCAAAGGAGTGGAACGCGACGCCGTAGTAGTCATAATCCAGGAACCAGTCCACACTGCTGGTTGGCCAGACCTCGGACATAAAAATGACGAACGCGTAGAGGGCCAGGAACTGCATAAAGAAAAAGTAGATGTGGTACTTGTTCCACGAGTCCACCAGGAGAGCGGCCCGCAATAACATGGCGTTGACCATGCCGACGAAAACGGCGGTGCCGAAGACCCACAGGTCCCCGTCTTTCCCTCGGTGCGTCCAGACGTTCTGCGGGCGCCAGTAGACCTGTCTTGTAATAAAGTAGATGAGTAGCGACGCGCCGACGGCCTCCAAAGTGGCGTAGGCCATGTTCGTGACCTGCGAGGCGGACCCGTGAGTCGCGGCGGTGGAACGACGCGTCTCTCTCACGGATCGCGCCGATGGCGTGGCGGTGGCGTAGCTCTCGCCGGCACGCCATCGCCGCGACGGCGCCGAGGCGGCGCGACAGCGCGTCGATGCCATGGCCGCGAGAGCAATGAGCGTCGATGAGCGACGACGGCGCGTCGATGTCGTGGAGAGGGGCAGCGCCGTAGTGGTGGCGTAGAAGTACTCTCGACGACGACGTCGCCGCGACGGAGGAACTAAAAGAGACGCCGCGACGCGCGTTCAGGTCCATCCTATGTAAGCCCGCGGCATACAACCGGGGGTACTTCCGCACCGTCTCCGCACTGGTATCGACGTCGAACCAGCCGAACGCTAAAGGCGTAAATGCTAAAAAGAAGTTGAAGCCACTGTAGACCCAGGCCTCGTAGAACGACGTCCCGCTCCAGCCGCAGTCCGCTTGATAGTAGAAGAGCACGAAAGTCAAGACAATATTCTTGAAGAAGGAGTAGACGATGACTTTGGACATTCTCCGGTAGTTCCTGCGGCCGTGTTTTAGTAATAAAGGTTTCAAGAACCGGAATTGGCCGATGGCAAAGTCCGAGTTGTTCACGGCCTGGCGACCCTCCTTGCCGCTAATACCGACGCCGATGTGGGCCTCCTGGATCATGCCGACGTCGTTGGCGCCGTCGCCTATAGCTAAAGTGACGGGTCTCGTCGTATCCTTCCTCCGCACCAAGCCGACGATCAACCGTTTTTGCGCCGGCGACACGCGACACGCGACGACGGCCTTGCAGACGTTCGCTAATTTCAAAAAGCGCTGCTCGAGCTCCTCGTTTCCCAGGATCGTCTCCATCGCGGTCGCACCTTCGACGACTAAGGCTAAGTGATCGGAAGCTAGCGAAGCCGGGGTTCGCTGGGGGTCATCATCCAGAGGTTCTCTGAGTGTCGACTCCTGCAGCGACGACCAAGAAACAGTAGCTGCCGGGTCCGGCGTCGCCGCGCGCTGGACGACGGCCTCGAGCGCGGTCAGCTGCGCCCCTAAACCCCAGTCGCCCTCGGGGCCCTTCGTCGCGCCCTCGGCCTGCGCGAATACAAGAGTAACGCGCTCTCTCTCGACATGGTGCGTCACGCGGCGCGTCGATGGCGTGATGGACAGCGAAGGCACGAACAAGGACGCGGCGCCCAAACCGGCAGCTTGACGAGGAACATGTCGTCGGTGAGCAGCTTGGCGGATTTGGCGATATTAATGGCCGTCTCGACCTTGTCGCCCGTCAGCACCCAGAGCTTGATCTCGGCCTTGGCGAGCTCATGGATCGTCTCGGGCACGCCGTCCTGCAATCGATCCTCGATGGCCGTCGCGCCGACGATCTCGAAGTCCCTCTCGATCAGCGCCGCGGCCTCGGCTAATTTGCCCTTCCTATCTTCCGTGGCCGTCTCGGCCGCGCGCCACGCTTTCAAAAACTTGTCCTTCTCCGATCTCGAGACGTCGCGGCGCCCGAGCACCAAGGTTCTCAAACCCACTCGACTGAACTGCTGCAGGCAGTCATCTAAGGCAGGTCGCCCACCCGCGAAGCGTTTGAAGCTATCTTTGCCCGTGAGGCCGAACATGATGTTGTCCGCGCCCTTGCACAGGATTCGAGCTTTGCCGTCCGGGCCTTGTACTAAAGCGGACATGCGCTTCCGCGTCGAATTGAACGGGATCGTCGCTAGAACTAAATAACGCTTCCCGTCCACTTCCACACCTTCCGTCGACCGCGCCGTGAATTTCATGCCCAGTTCCGCCGCACCTTTGACCAAAGCTTCTTCGTCGGGCGACTCGGCCTGGTAGCCGTCCTCGTCGGGAACGACGGTGTGACACACCGCCATGATTTCGACCAAGTCCCTTTCCACCGATGGCTGTGATACCTTACCGCGCAACGTAGCACCCTTCTCATATATTTTACCGGCGCAGGCGCACTTCTTGAACTCCATGATGTTACGCGTGAGCGTCCCGGTCTTATCCGAGAAGATATGAGCAATCATACCTAAATCAGCGTTCATGTTCGACGTGCGAGCGAGCGCGGGCACGTCGTCCTCGTCGTCGTACATTTCTAAATCATTATCTATATACGACGCCTGGACGTAGTTGATCATTTCGATAGTGACGTACAACGAGATCGGTACGAAGTTATTGTATAAGATGAAGAAGGTCGGCCACGTCGAACCAGGCGCGTAGTTATCTGAGGATTCACAGTTTTCTCGGAATAAGGCAGGGACATCCGCGTTATTATAGCGGTAGCACATGTACCAGAGATGCGCTTTATGTCCAGAAAACCAGACCACATACGCGATCATACTTATTGTGGTAATGATGATCATGGCGAACAGGATGAAGTAGACCATCATGTTCACTACTCGTTCTAGCTCTGATAGCTTCGAGGGCACGTCGCGCGAGTTTCTGACCAAACGCGTGTCCCTGCCGGTGTAGGCCACAACACCTAAAGCTTTCTTCGTGTTTCGTAGCGTAGAACCACGTAACAGAAATTGAGTGGCATCCAGGGGAATGGACTGCTCTTTGGCCCTTAAAGTGCCTTCGAACGTATGTACCCTACCACAGGGCGGCTCGAAGGTACTGCTGAGCTGCGTGTTCTTCGCCGTCTCCGGGCTTTGGATGATGGGCTCGTCGTCTATTAGTGCCGGTTTCTTTATTTTTAAGTTCGTTTCCCCATCAATGTTCGAGGTCTCGACGTAGGCTTGCGGACCCTCGGACGACCACAACAGTATCAAATCCGCCGGTATTTCTTCTCTGTCTCCGATCACGACGACGTGGCCCGGCCTCAGGTCCTTTCTCCTCAATGTTTGGGTTATACCGGGCGCATCGCCCGGATCCGTACTAAGAATAGTGGCGGGCGTGTTGTTCACGCGCTTATCACTTTGATGACGTTTCACATCTTCGAAGCCTTCCTTGGCCATTGTTACAAGTAAAATAATCATCAAGGGTAGGAATGTGGACCACGGTGTTAATGGAGAATAAAACCACGTCGTATAAGTACCAAGAAACATCATGATACATATAAGCAAGAAATATTGGTTGGCCGTGCGCCGCATCTGCTCGAACATGCTCTTGGGGAAGAAATTGAGTAGGTTGTACTTGTACGTCCGGACCCCGTTGTCGCAGAAATGACTGGCGTCGACGGGGCCGCCCACCGTCACGTCCAGGCTGCGCCACTCCTCGGGCACCTCCTCGATGGTCATGAACTTGTCGAGCGTGGCGCCCATTTTGGCGGAAACAGCCTGTTGGGCTCGTTTCTATTTGCTGTTGCTGCGGCGGTGCAACTGCTGAGTGGTATTGCTTTTTGCGTGTATGTGGGCCCTGTCCAATGGGCTTGCGTCACGTGGCGCGCCGGCGGGCAGCTCTTGCGGCGAGCTCGTGGCGGCGCCTGGCTCGATTTGGTCCCCGCTGCTCGGGTTCGGTATTTGTGGGAGAGACGTCGTTTTGCGGGGAGGATGCGGTCGTCGACGTGTGGGCGAGGCGGCGGCGCGGATGGGTACGGTCGATTTTTAAGGCTAGAGTGTCTACCATCATCGGCGAGGCTCGACAAAAGCTAGTCTAAAATAGCCGTGCTAAGTAGCCCCTGCCCTTCACCGCTGACGCTCACGCGCGCGGGAGGTCGCAGCAGCCATGGCTATCGGCAAGAATAAACGATTAACTAAGTGCGTCGCCGCGTCTGAAGGCGACAGCGAGGACTGCAGCTAATTTGGTGATAGCGCCCAAGCGAGCCGCGCGGCGGCGCGCAGCGCTGACCGCCCGCCGCCGCGGCGTCGCCGGCAGCAACGGCAGCTCTCAGGGCGCCGGCGCGCCGCGGGAGGCGAGGCGCGGCCCGGCCGCCGCCGCCCGACGCGCGGACCGCACGCCACCGCCGCGCCGGCAGCGCGCGAGGCCGCGGCCGCCCGGCGAGAGCCAAGACGAGAGAGACCACCAGAGAGACCAGAGACCACTCACCCTCCAATCCCCACAGGTCCAAAAAGGGCGGCAAGAAGAAGGCCGTCGACCCCTTCCTCAAGAAGGAATGGTACGAGATCAAGGCGCCGTCCATGTTTTCCGTGCGGAACTGCGGCAAGACCTTGGTGACGAGGACCCAGGGTACCAAGATCGCCTCGGACGCGCTCAAGGGCCGCGTCTTCGAGATCTCGTTGGGAGATCTCAACAACGACGAGGACCAGACCTACCGCAAAATTAAATTGATCTGCGAGGACGTCCAGGGCTACAATTGTTTGACGAACTTCCACGGCATGGGCATGACCCGCGACAAGCTCGCGTCGCTCATCAAGAAGTGGCAGACCTTGGTCGAGGGTAATGTGGACGTCAAGACGACGGACGGCTACACCTTGCGCATGTTCGCCATCGGCTTCACCACCAAAATGCCGAACCAGGTCAGCAAGATGTGCTACGCGAACAGCGCACAGGTCCGCCAGATCCGGAAGAAGATGGTGGATGTGATGCGGGAAGAGGCGTCGAAGTGCGACCTCAAGGATTTGGTGCTGAAACTCATCCCGGAGTACATGGGCGGCGAGATCGAGAAGGCGTGCGCGGGCATCTTTCCGATGCAGAACGTCTTCGTCCGCAAGGTCAAGGTCCTCAAGAAGCCGAAGTTCGATCTGGTCAAGCTCATGGAGCTGCACTCGGGCGAAGGCGCCGAGGATTCCGGCGACAAGGCCGAGGGCGACGCCGAGGAGGTCGTCGCGGCCGAGAAGGACATCACGCAGGCGGCGTCGGGCGGGCGGCTCTGAGCGTCGGTGAAAGGCGGTATTTTGTGTAATGCTGCTATAGTTTAGTCTTTGGGCGGTGGCGTCGCTCGTGCGTGCTCGATGCATCGATGCGTCGCTCGTGCGTGCGCGGTCTGTGCGGGTGCTCTTGATCTCACCCGAGCACGGCAAGTTTTGCCCTCCCGTATTCCATCTGGGCTGCCGCAGCAGCGCCCGGGCAGCGTGATGGCGCCGCGCAAGAAAGACAAAGCCAAGGTAGCCGCGCGCAAGCACAAGCGAGCAGGAAAGGATGTACTCAGGGAGATCTATGACATGTGCCCCGGGGAAGCAGGGGTAACTCAGAACGGGAAGGAATTTAAAGTACTTAGTCGAAAACTGATCTTGCTGCCGGAGTCCCTCGGCACGCTCGAGGGGCTGGAGGCAGTCAACTTATCGTGCCCGCAACTGCTCGAGCTACCGGACACAATCGGCGGGCTCAAAGCGCTGACCTTTCTCGACTTGAGTGGATGCGAGAGCCTCACCAAATTGCCGGCCGCGATAGGCGAGCTCGGCGCGCTGACGGGGCTCTACTTGGAAGGGTGTTCGAGCCTCGCCGCGCTGCCGGACTCCATCGGTAAGCTCGGCGCGCTGACGACGCTCACCTTGTACGGGTGCTCAAAACTCGCCGCGCTGCCGGCCGCGATCGGAGGGCTCGGCGCACTGACGGGGCTCAGTCTGCAATCGTGCTCGAGCCTTACCGCGCTACCGGACGCGATCGGTGAGCTCAAAGCGCTGACGGAGCTCTACTTGGCCGGGTGTTCAAGCCTCGCCGCGCTTCCAGAATCGATCGGCAGGATGTCATCACGATTGACGCTCACACTGACCGACTGCACGAGCCTTGTGGCTCTGCCGGACACTCTTGTTGAACCCGGGACAAATAGACCTTTGGTTCTTGGCTGGAACGAAACGACGGTGACTCTTGACGAAGGGACACGTGCGTCGGTCATTACGGTCCCCGGCGTCACACCGGCCACCGACGCCGACGAGGCCGAAAAATGGGAGGACCTGCACTTAATGCGGCGCAAGCGGGATGAGTGGGCCAGGGACCAACCTGAAGAGGAGCACGAGGCTGAGGTCGAACGGAAAGCTCTGGAATCTTGGGAGGATGAGGGTTCATTATCCGACACCCAGAGGCCACTTCTGAGACGACTCCGGCGGCGCGTATGCGACACCTGCGGACGGCAGGGCACGCTAGAGGTGGAGCGGTTTCCCGTCTGTTACTGCGGCGCTCGGCGGTACTGCGACGAAGAATGCCAGCGGGTCGATTGGCTAACTGGCCACTCGAAAACGTGCGCGTCCGGTCATACCTTTCCTCCCGGTCCTTTGGGTGGGCTGCGGGAGTCCAAGAAAAGGGCGTCCGACTCCAAGGAAGCCAAGGAGTGCTACGAGAGATTTCGAGACCTGATATTTTCGCAGTACCCGCCCCCCGCCGATCGACCGCGCTAGCTAATTGCGTAGTAGTTCCTTATTCAAGTTTCTCCGAGTCCGCCGGCGCCGAGTCCGAGTCTCAGGCTACTACCTTATTTCGAGCTTAGGCGAACGGGGTCCGGGTCCGACAGCGGTGCGGGCGATTCCTCCATCGACGGCCGCCGGTCCGCCGGCCACGGGTCCACCGTCGGCGAGTGCTCGGCCGTCACGCGGAGGTCGACGACCTTCGGCGGAGACTTCGGAGGCGCGGCCGAGGCGAGCTTGGCCTTGGCCCGCCGCGCGGCGCCGAGGAGCTTGCCGGCGAGCTTGGCCTGGGTCTGCATCGAGATCGAGACGGATGGTTTGTGGTCGCCCGGGAAACGAGGCGGCGCGCCCACGTCCGCATTTTGTTTCGCCCAGCCTATAGAGGCCAAGACGACGAGGCGGTCGCCGGGGCCGATCGGCTCGGTGTCCAGCGGGCCCATGAGCACGGAACACGACACGGGACCCTCCTGGTCGGGGTCCTCTTCACTAGGCGCGCGGACGGTGCCGAGCGGCACGGCGCCGCGCTCGATGGCCAGCGCCGCGACCTCGGCGTAGGGCTTGCCCACGTGCTCCGGTCTTAATAAAATATCCAGCAGGCACACCTTCTGGTCCGTCGCGAAGGGTTGTATGAGAGAATCGACGACTTCCAACGCCCCGGGCGTCGAGTAGGCAATGGCATACGATCCGAGCACCTCGTTCCGCGGCAGGACCTCGCCGGCGACATATCTCAAATTGGCCCGCACGCCGACGTCCGGCGCGTCCTCGACCTTGACGCGCCGCGGCAGTTGGTCCAGATTTTTTGACGAGAAGAAGTCGTACACTAACGGCAAGTCGCGCGCCCGGCCCCACCGTCCCAATTGGCTCTCGACGATGGCCGCCAATAAATCGTGCGGTAAATCGATCATCATTTCATCGGTATTGTCCGCGGCGAGGACGCCGAGGGCCACGAACGACTCCGCTCTCGGTAGACCCGCATCTTCCAGAAAGGACACGGACTGCAGGTTGCCCCGCACGAAGAATAAATCCGAGGTCTGGACCGCGCGGCCGTCGCCGTCGAACATGACTGATGGAGCCTCGACGTCGCCGATCGCTAAAATAGGGGTCTTCGTGCGGCTCCGTAGAGCGGAGCAGAGCGACGTGAGCTGGGCCCAGAGGAAGTCGCCCTGCAGCGCGACGACGATGTGGCCGCCGGCTTCTACTACTTCTAACGGCGTTAAGTAGGAGTGCTCGGCCTCTATTACATGTCCGCCGATGCTCGACGTGGCCTTGAACTGCTTCGCCTGCTTCGCCAGCGACGCCAGGCCCGACGCTTGCTCTTGTGGTGAGGTAGAGCGGGGCAGGTCGCGCCGCCCCTCGATGTCCGCCCGGCGCTTCCGGTCCGCTGATGGATCGGCCTCCATGAGCGACGACAGCGCGCCGATGACCGGCAAGGAAGACGCCTGCCGCGTCTCTTCCGTTGGTAAGCCAGACGCCTGCCGCTGGAAGACGGCGTTGGCCTGCTTCGCCGGCGTGTGCTGCTCGACTCTATGAATCCTCTTGGCGGCGGTGCGCCGCCTACATTCCCGCAGGGCCTCGACCCAGACCTCGGGACCGTCGGCGCACCTCGGGTCCGCGATCTCCAGATAGTCGTCGTCGCCATCATCGATCCCAAAGGCCACTGTATCGCGTCCAAGTTTCATCCGCGACGGGTTGAGGACGATCTGCCCCGTTTCTTGGGATTGCACCGCTAATAGCAACACGCCGACCTTGGCGCACTCTAGAGCCGCCTCCCTGAACGTCTTGCCCGCGAAGGACGGGTCCAACATCAATCCTCTCATGGCATAACAGGTCGACGCCATGTACCTCGCGAGCCAGGGCGGCACGTCCGTCGCTCGTATATGTGGGGGCCGTGCCACATTCCTCAACACCAAATTGAGTACCAATGTAGACACGCCGGGGCACAATGAGTTAGTTGCGGCGAGCGACGTCTTGAGAGAATTCAGCGCAAAGCACCAGGACCGGGGCAAGCCCAGATTCGACGCCACTTTCAACTTGTTCACGCGCAGAACGACTAATCTTAAAGGAGCCCGCGGGCACTGGCGCGTGAAGGTGGCTGCTCTGAGTATATTCGCGTCGTCGTCATCGTCGGGCTTGCTCGAGTTGATGTTGCAGAGCACGAAGGTCATCTTCGATTTCGTCGCGCAGACTCTCTCCAAGTCATCGGAGTTTAGTAAGGATCCGATGAAGTAGAACACATGTCTCGCCCAGGGCTCCCTCAACATCGATTGGACCTCCTCGGAGCACGGCGTCCGCGCCAGTATCACGACCTCCGGCGCGCTCTCGTGGTCCGCCACGAGATTTCTGAGGAATGCCTCAATGGCGAAGCGCTGGCCGCACTGCGCGGCGCTCCCTGCCACAATGACGTGGCCGTTCCTCCGAGCTCTTGCGGACGATAGCCGATACCGCCCCTTGCCCGACGCCTGTAATCCTTGTAATTCTACTAATTGCACCGTAGCGTAGGAGAAGAACGTGACACCAACCAGTATGAGAACGAACACGAACGCTCTTCCTAGTACAGTTACTGGTGAGTAGTCGCCATAACCCACGGTAGACATGGTGATGAACGTGAAGTAGACCATCTGATAAAAACTAATGTCGCCCATGTCCGCCGCGAAGTAGACGTCGTCGAAGGACGTCTCGCCTAAGAGTTCTAGCGTCCACATCGTCCCTGCTAATAGTACTATGAGTCCCAGAAACTCGACGGCGGTCTGGGCGCCCTTGACCGCTATTTCTGGTAGCCACTCTAGGTTAGATGACCCAGCTAACGTGGACGTGCCACTCATGACGAAATAGACCCTCAGATACCCCGGCGAGAGCCAGCTGCTCCCCCGTATTGATGGTGTTTTTTGTAAGCATAACCATGGTATGGTTAAACAGTCCACCAGGACATGTGCACTTAGTACAGTAGCCGTGGCGCCCTTCCGCAGAATCACGAAGACCGTATGAGCAAAAAACAGAAAGCAGCAAATGCAGTCGAGGACGTGCACACAATACGGCACCTCCATCCGATACGCCTTGACGACCCAGCAGGCCACACAAAGTAATGAACCTATTAACTGCCCACAAGCCAGAAAGTCCTGGAGCAGCTCCTTCTGCGGCAGGTCGCCCGTGTCATCATCCCCGACCCACACCGCAATAAAGTGTTTATACGCTTCATCCACAGCAAAGGTCTCGGGGTGGGCCTTGCTCGGTTTTTTTCGTGGTATTACTCGCTCCTTGATCTTCACGAGGACGATCAATATCGCGTAGAGGACCAGGGAGAAGAGGAGCTGCCACCAGGTGCGCGCCCAGGACGCGCCGGTGAGCTCAGTGATGACGCGGGGGCCGTCATCGTCTTCGTCCATGTCGAAAGGCGGCAACGCCAACCAAGGCCCGCGCCGGGGGAGGCTGCTGGAGCTGCTGTGCTAGGGACTGTCTTGGAGCCCCCCGAGGAGGCTGCCCCACGGGTCCTGCGGTGTGGGGGACCTCGAGCGCTGTTTGCGGGCCACGTCTGGCAGCCTCTCCTTTGGAGCGCCGGATGCGCAGAGCTGAACAGGGGAGCTGAAAACAAAGAGTCTGGGAGCACCCCGCACGCCGTCGACGCGAGGCCCGGACTCTACCGGAGGACGAGTCGAGAAAAAAATAACATACTACTTAGTCGTCGAGCGACACGGCGGAGTAGTTCGTCGCGTCGGTGAACCACGAGCGCGCGTACGTGAAGTACAGTAAGGGCCGCTGTCTCGTACTGGAATTGGCGCCGCCTCTATGCAAAACGCGGTAGTCGAACATGACCGCGTCGCCCGCTTTCGCGGAAGTGAACGCCACGCCCTCACAATCCCCGGTCTCGCAGGCCCGGTATTCTTGGGGAGGGCAGTCGCGTCGATGAGTGCCGGGGTAAAACTCCGTCGGTCCCAGATCGCCGGACATATCCACCAAAGGCACGAAGACCGTAATGCAGTGCGGCGGTAAATGGTCTCCTTCGTCAAACAGGTGCTTGCCGTCGGGATGGACAGGTTGGCGCGGACACCCGGGCATGGCCACCACACACCCCGACTTTATTAACTTCATGTCCACGCCGAGCGCTTGTCTTACTGTAGAACACCAGGGCCCGCCCTTGGCTAACGCAGAGAAGGGTTCGGTGTCGGCTATGCCCCGCACGAGGTCGAACCTCAGCGCCTGCCGCGAGACGATTTCCTTGGTCTTGAGGCCCGTTCGGTCTAGGCCTCTTTCATCAGCATCTTTCAGCGTGGTTTCTAGAGCTTCTTCGCATAGCACGCGGCAGCGCTCGATCTTGGCGCTGTCCAAGCTTGTCTGCAAACAGGCGCAGCCGTGCCGTCGTAACACGTCGGCGCACGCCCTTGCGGATTCGCGCGTCCCGTCTCCACGAATTGTGAGCTCCTCCTGGCTGTGCTGTGACTGCTGCGGTGTGGTGGCGGGCGCCTCCGTCTTTGTCGATTCGCGGCCCTTGGCCTTGAGCTTGGTCTTTAGGCCCTCGAGGTACAACTTGAGCATGAGCTTCTTCCGGAGGGCTTCTTGATCTTCTTTCCGCTTCGCGGAGCGAGCTTGGAGCTTCTGCAGCGCGGCGGTGCGCGCCGCGGCGGCGTCGGCGGCGGCCGTCGTGGCGGCCATCGTTGTCTGGCTGCTTGTGGGCTCTTGTGGGCTGCCCTTCTCGATCGCTGCCGTCGGGCGCAGTCGCTGTTGCGCCGCTTGGGGCTGCCCGATCGCAGCGCCGGCGTCGAGCCCCGCGCGGCCGATGGTTTTCTTGATAATCACCGTTGCACAGCCTCCTGGACGCGCCGGGAGGCGAAAGAGGGTTGACCGAGCTAGCGTTTTACAAACTCTAGGAAAGCGAGGCGCGGGGCCCCAGTCTGAAATTGGGCCATCGCTAGCGCCCTCTGCGGCCTAGAAGTGCGCTGAAAGCGTGCCCACATCACAGCGCTCAACAGTACCGCCTGCACGCGCGTGGGCTCCTTCGCGCAGCCCTCAGCGGCCCCCTGAAGGCAGGCCTTCAGACAGCACGCGCAGGAGGCCGCGCGCGCGCACACCCGACGCGCGCGCCACAGCGCCCGCACGCGCCACAGCAGCCATGAGCTTCCTGCGCAACATTCCTATTGTAAGAAACTTCCTGGGCGCCGGCGAGGAGGAGCGGCCGGCGGCGCCGCCCGCGCGGTCGTCGCCGCTCGCCGCGGCGAGCCCGTTCGTCGGCGTCGGCTTCGGGAGCCCCGCCGCGGCGGCGGCCCCTTCACAACCGGCGCCGTTCGCGGGCTTCGGGAGCCCGTCCCCCGCGGACCGCGCGCTGAGCGGGCCGTCCCTCACGGACCGCGAGCGCTACCTCGCGTCGCGCGCGCCGGCGCCGCCGGAGCCGCCTCGAGTCCAGGCGCCGCCGCCACCCGTGGTGCAGCACGTGTCGCCGCCCGCGCCGCCGCCGCCGCCTCCAGCTTCAAGAGGAGAGGACTTTGTGGGAGGCTACAGCCGGCCCTACGGGCGACGCGGCTACTACGACGAGCCCCCGCCGCGCCGCTACGACGCCTACGCGTCGCCGCGCTACGGCGGCCCGGCCTACTACGACGAGCGGCCGCGCTACGAGCGGCCGCCGCCTCCCCCGAGGCGGTACGACGCCTACGACGACGCCTATTATGACGACTACGACATGCCCCCGCGGCGGCCGCCGCCGCGGCGTTATTCGGTAGAGGGTCGAAGGCGTTCTCTTCCACCGCCGGAGCCGCGGCAGCCGGCCTGGAAGCGCGACCGCGACGACGAGGCGCCGGGCTCGCCTTTTGATCCGTCGCTGGAAGCGGTCGCGGCGCGCGCGGCGAAGCGGCGCCGGTCCATCGAAGCGCCGCCCCGGGCGCCGCCGCCGCCGACCTTCGCGGCCGACGCGGCGGAGCGCTCGCTCGCGCCGGACGCGTTGGCCGCGGCTCGTGCTTTGGGCCGGTCGTCGCGGCGCGAGTCGTCGGCCGTCGCGCGCAAGATCCTCGAGGCGCTGGCGCAGATCTCGGCGCCGCTCGACGAGGCGCGCGAGGCGCCGGTCGCGGCGCTCGCGCCGCTCACGGCGGCGCCCGCGGCGCCGCCGCCGCCGTCGCAGTCGCTGCCGCTGTCTCCCTCATCGCAGCCCTTCGGCGCCGCGCCTGCGAAACCGTTCGCGTCGCCCGAGGCCCCGAAGGCGCTGTCGCCGGCGCCGGCACCCGCCGCGGCGAGCCCGTTCAGCTTCTCGGCGCCTCCCGCACCGGCACCCGCCGCGGCGAGCCCGTTCAGCTTCGGCGCGCCGGCGCCGGCGCCGGCGTCGCCGTTCTCGCCGCCGGCCGCGGCGCCCTTCTCGCCGCCGGCGCCGGCGCCGGCCCCGGCCGACGACGACGACGACGACGACGACGAGTTCGCGTTCACGGCGCCCGACGACGACGGCGCGCCCGTCGCGCCGGCGAAACCGCCGTCGATCTTCGGCCGGGCCGCGGCGGCGGCGCCCGTGGCGCCCGAGTTCGTCTTCTCGCCGCCGCCTTCCCGAAAGCCGAAGCGCCGCGCTCCGACGTCGCCCGACGCCCCCGCCTCGTCGGCGAAGAAGCCCTTCGCGTTCATGCCCGAGAAGGCGCCCGAGAAGGCGCCGGCGACGCCGTCCTTCCAGGCTTCCGAGGAGAAGTCCAAGCTGCCGTCATCGTTCGATGCGGCGACGAAGGATACAACAAAGCCTTTACCTAGTACGGGCTGGGGCGACATGTTCAAGCGCCCCCCCGGCCAGTGGAAGTGCGACGCGTGCTACGTCTGGAACGACAAGGACAAGACGGCCTGCGCGTCCTGCGAGACGCCCAAACCTGGAGGTGGCGGTGCTCCTACGCCGGCGGCGAAGCCCTCGCCGGCCGCGGCGTCGCCCTTCACGTTCGGCTCGCCGGCGGCGCCGCCGCCGGCGCCAACACCGGCCGCCAAGCTGTCGTTCGGCGCGACGCCGGCCCCGGACAAGCCGCCCGCCAAGAAATCCGTGTCCTTCGCGACGTCGACGCCGGCCTTCGGGCTGAGCGGCGACAAGGGGGTAGCCCCGAAGACCCCCTTCGTGTTTGGGGGTGGTGCGGACGCGCCGGCGCCGGCGCCGGCCGCCGCCGCGTTTAGCTTCGGCTCGGCGCCCGCCCCGGCGCCGGCGGCAGCCGACAAGCCGGCCGCTGCGAGTCCGTTCACGTTCGGCGCGCCGGCGCCTGCGGCGGCAGCGCCTGCGCCAGCACCGGCGGCTCCGGCCGCTCCGGCGTTCACGTTCGGCGCGGCGGCTCCGGCGCCCGCGCCAGCGGCGGCCGCGACGCCGGCGTTCACGTTCGGCGGCGGTGCCGCCCCAGCACCTGCTGCTCCTGCACCGGCGCCAGCGGCTCCGGCAGCCCCGGCGTTTACCTTCGGGGCGTCGGCGCCGGCGCCGGCACCCGCGGCGGCCAAGCCAGCTTTCACCTTCGGAGCGACGCCGGCCGCGACGCCTGCTGCTCCCGCACCCGCGCCTGCAGCGGCCACGCCGGCGTTCACGTTCGGTGCGGCCGCTCCGACGCCCGCCCCAGCACCCGCGGCCGCCAAACCCGCGTTTACGTTTGGCGCCGGCGCGCCCGCGCCCGCCCCGGCGGCTGGCGGTGCCACGCCGGCCTTTTCCTTTGGATCGAGCTCGCCTGCACCGCCAGCTCCGGCACCTGCGGGCGGCCCGGCGTTCACGTTCGGCGCCGCGCCGCCGGCGGCCGCGCCGCCAGCACCTTCTTTCGGCGCGCCGCCGCCGCCGCCCGCCGGCGGCAACTCGATGCAAGAGTCGCCGGCGCAGCGCGAGCACAAGCAGTTCGGTGCAACGCCGGCGGCGGCGCCGATGCCGTCGTTCGGAGCGGCCGCGCCGGCACCCTCCGCATCGACGCCCTTTACGTTCGGAGCGGCTGCGCCGCCCGCGGCGACGCCGTTCGGCGGTGGGGCGCCGGCGAGCACGCCGTTTAGCTTTGGCGGCGGCGCCGCGCCTGCGCCCGCGCCGAGTGCTCCCGGCTTCACGTTCGGCGCACAGCCGCCTGCCGCGGCGCCCTCGCCTTTCGGCGGTGGAGCACCTGCCGCGCCGCCGGCGACGCCTTTTGCCTTTGGCGCGCAACCGCCCGCGGCGGCGCCGACGCCCTTCGGAGGTGGCGGCGGAGGCGCGTTCGGCGCCTCGCCGCAGCCGACGCCATTTGGAGGAGGTGCACCCGCCGCCACGCCTTTCGGAGGTGGTGCTGCGACGCCTTTTGGTGGCGGCGCGCCCGCGGCGCCCGCCTTTGGCCAGACGCCGGCCTTCGGCGCGGCGCCGGCGCAACAGCCGGCGTTTGGCGCCGCCGCACCACCTGCGACGCCTGGCTTCGCGTTCAACGCCCAGGCGCCGCCTGCGCCGGCGGGCGGCGGCTTCTCCATCGGGACGTCGTCGGCGCCGAAGCGCGGCAAGGCGGGCCGGCGCATCATCAAGGCGAAACGGCCGCCGCGCATGAACTAGTCTATCCTCCCCACCCGTGCGTAACGAGGTCGTACACTTACGAGATATCCGACGAAACCCGATTTGCATGGCCGGCGTCGAGCGCTCTCAACTCAGCTACCTAGGTACAGTGCTACGCGTAGTGCCGACAGCGCATGCAGCGACAGCCGCAGCGCTCCTCACAGCGGTGAACTGCATGAATATTCACGTCCCGGGCCAAGGTGCCAAGGTGCAGGGTCAATTCCAGACCGATTGCAAGAAAGCGCAAGAGGCGGCGCTGCTCTGCGCGACGACGCATCCCGAAGAGCGGCAGCGCTGCGACAAGTTCTTCGCGGCGTACCGCGAGTGTCGGAAACAGGAGCACTCACGCATTCTCGAGGCGCGCGGTCAGGGACGATGAGCGGCTACGACGAGGCGCTGCTGAAGCGCGCGCGCGCGCTGCACGACGCGCCGAACGTGACGATGGACGGCCACAACGATTTACCGTGGGCCTTGCACGACGCCTACGACCATCGTTTGTCCAAATTTGATTTGAGAGAGCCCCAGGGACACATTAAAATCCCGAAGCTGCGCCACCAGTACCTGCACACTGATTTCCCGCGCTGCAGGAAGGGCGGCCTCACAGCCCAATTCTGGAGCGTCTACGTGCCGACGACGATCCGCGGCGGCGAGGCGGTGGGCCGCGGCGTCCTTGAGTCGCGTCGACGTCGTCCGGGCGCGACACGAGAGGACCACATCACGCCATCGATGCGACGCGTGTCACGATGCAGGTTCAGAAAACGTTGGAGCAGATCGACTGCGTCCATAGATTATGCGAGAAGTACCCCGACGAACTCGAGTTCGCGTACACGGCGGCGGACGTGCGGCGCATCGTCAAGGACGGCAAGCTCGCGTCGATGGCGGGATTGGAAGGCGGCCACCAGATCAACGGGTCGTTAGCTACGCTCCGCATGTACTACCGGCTCGGCTGCCGCTACCTCACGCTGACGCATAACGGCGGCCCGGGCTGGGCCGACGCCGCTCTGGACGAGAATTCGAAGTGGAACGAGCACGCCACGGCCGGCGGGCTGAGTGCATTTGGAGTAGAAGTAGTGAAGGAGATGAACCGGCTGGGCATGGCGGTTGATTTGTCCCATGTCCATCCCGATACCATGAAAAAAGCCATCGACGTGTCCGAGGCGCCTGTCTTGTTCTCCCACTCGAACACGCGGGCCGTGTGCAACCATCCTAGGAATGTCCCGGACGACGTGTTGCGGTCTTTGTCTGAAAAAGATGGTGTTGTGATGATTAACGTGAACGCGCCGTTCGTGGCGGGGGATTTTTTTGTGAAGGACGGCGCGGTCGGAGCCTGTGTGGAAATGAACCGTGCGTCGGGTGCGCGACAATTCTCCACTGAGTCGTTTCTCGGCGATGACGCGGTCGTCCTGGCTCGGTCGAGCTGCGAGGAACCGGCATCGCCACGCCATCGAGCAGCCGTCGCGTCGATGGCGTAGATGACGACGCGATGATTCAGCACGAACGCCGTAAAAACTTTGATTTCCACACAGGTCGGAGCAAGCGTAACCGAAGTCGCCGACCACATCGATTATGCGAAGAAGGTTTGCGGAAACGTGCTGCATCTGGGATTGGGCGCCGACTACGACGGCATCAAGGCGCCGGCGCGCGGCATGGAGGACGTGTCGACGTACCCGGTCTTGACGGCGGAGCTGTTGAAGCGCGGCTATACTGATGATGAAATTATAGCGATCAACGGCGGCAACGTGTTGCGCTGCCTCGAGAAGATCGAAGCCGTCGCCGCGCGCTTACAGGCGTCGGGGCTCTCCAGTGAGGCGAAGCCCGAGGACTTCGGGGAGGTGGCGGGGTAGCAGTCTAGGCCCTTATCTGTTATTGGAGCGGTTTTAGTTTTTTGCTAGTGTCTTACATGCGCTAGCCACGCGTGCTCTCACAAAGTGGCTCTGCTAGCCGTGTTCGACATAGTTCCGGGTGACCGTATATACCCATTCAAGTTAGCCCTCCTAGCAGTCGGCTTCACGCCAACCTCAAGTTGTCGGGCCGCGGCTTGTTGACCTCGGCGCGCATCGCGTCGCGCGCCCGCAGCCCCGGCCAGCGGTCCCGCGGCACGAGGCCGTTCAGCGACGCGTCGTCGTCGCCGCCGTCCGCGCCCGGCCGAAAGTACAGCGAGTTCGCGACGATGTCCGCCGCGACCGCGTCCATCGAGAGGCCGTCGGCCTCGAGGCGCGCGATCGAGTCCTCGAGCGCGGGGAACGAGCCGCCGATCGACTGGAACTTCGACGACGGCGTAAATACGAAAGCGAAGCCGTCGTCCAACGCGACGACGCGGATGCTAGACGATATTAAGGCCGCCGCCAGCTAGCGGCCTGTAAACACACTAGCTGCCCGTTCAGCTGCGCGAAGAAGCCTGCGTTTGACGCCCACCGCGCGCGCCTGACCCCAGCGCTCTCAAAGCAGCGCTAGCTGAACCGCAGGACCGCGCCTGGCCACTCAAAGAAGCGACAGCGCGCGCGCCCTCGCGCTGCAAGCGCTTAAACGTCCGGCTGCTCCGCACCGCTTGTTTGCGCTACGCGGAACCTAAAAGCATCACACGACGCTCGCAAGAAGGCGATCGAGCACCCAGTTCTCCACTCGCAAAGCATAGGACGCCGCGCGAAACAACGTCGAAGATGGCGAAAGTGAACGACGTCGACATGTCCGCGTCGCAGCCCGAGAACGTGAAGCGCCTGCGCGACGCGACCAACGTCCATAGCGACGACGCCACCGATGGCGAGAGCCCGCTGAAAAAGCTCTGCGACGATAGCGCGAAGGCCGCGCCCACGCTCAAAGCGGCCCAGCCGGACCTCGCCGCGCGGGCGCTGGCTTCGGTCGCGGCGGCGGGCGCGTCTCCGGGCGCGTCGACGATGTGCTGCGCCTTGGGCCCCTGTGGGGCCCGATACGTACCGAAGATGGGCTACTCGTGGAAGACCGTCACGGCGACGGACGGCACGGTTCAGAGCGTCGAGTACGTACCGAACGAGGAACCTGTCGTCGTCTTGCCCTACGAGCCGCTGAGCCTGGAGACGGCCGACGACGGCACACTGGCGGCGGCGGCGATGGAGGCGTATCTAGATGGAATCCACCAAGGCAATCGAATCACCACTATAGGGAAGATCCTGGCGGCGTGCCACCCGAAAGGGGACATTGGTGGCAAACCCAAAGTAAACACGCCGGCTTCGAGAAAGAAGATGGCCGACCGACTAACCCGCTTCGCCGAGCTCAAGGAGACGCTGACGCTGCACGAGCTGCGCACCAAGATGCCCGGCCGCTTCAAAGACGACTCGTCAAATAGTACTCAAAATAAGTACGGCAGCCCCGACGGCGTCGAGGTCGCCTGGATGCCGGACGAGACCGCTTGGCCGATCGGCACTCAAACGATCGAAGGGGTAGAGGTGGACGTGGCGGGTCCGCCGGTCCTGAGCTACGCGCGCTTCGGGTCGGAGCAGGACGCCGGGAAGGATGTTCGGTTCCCCATTTCTCAGCAGGACATCTCGAGAATGTTTAAAGGGAAACGGACGAACCTGAGCGGCACGATCGTCGTGAGAAAGGTAGGGCCTCCGGATAGATACGACGCGGCGTCGCTGAGGCTGGGCGTGGACACGGGCCACGTGGAGGTCGTCCACGTCGCGCACGAGCAGCGCGTCATGACGACGAAGGATCAGCGCGCGAAAAAAGACGTGACGAAGAAGAAGAAGCGGGCCGAGGAGCGGAAGGAGGAATTGGCGGCCGACGCGGCGCACCGGGCGCGCGTCGCGGCCGCGGTCGCCAAGGAGCACCGCATCGCTTCGCCGACCGTCGCGCGCGCGGCGACCGTGAAGCAGCCGTTATCAGACGAGCAGCTCAAGATGTGGAACGACGACATGTGGGCGGCAGTCGAGAGCCCCCAGGACGACATGGTCTTGTGAGCGCCGAGCGCGAGGAGATGCGTAAGTGATTTGTGACAACTTGCTACGAGTCGATGTTACGGTGCTAGGACTAGTGGGCGGAGCCCCTGGGGGAGACACCGCGCGTCGCCGATTCATCGGCGGCGGGCGCGGGCCGCTTCAGACGGCGCTTCTTTCAAGCGACAGGTACTGCTAAAATTGCTAGTGTCTTACGGACCGCTAGCTGGATTATAGGTTTTTGCTCTCACTGCACAAAAAGTGAGGCTGCTACGCGTGTCGGTCCGGAACTAAATTTGCTCCTCTCTTGAACTGTGCGTCGCAGCCACAGCGCTCAGAGTCGACGAAACGCATCCCTGTACGCCAAAAGACTAGCACTGCCCACTGCAGCCGCAGAGCACTCGAGAATAAGCGATGCGCGCTTTCATCCTATCATTGATCGCGGCCAGCACGGCGGTGGCCTTTTCGCCCCCGCAAGGAATGCTCACCCCCGCAACGAAAATGACCAGCCCGGCCGCGGCCGCGCCCGTCGCCGCGTCGTCGCGCGCTGTGCATCAATCAAATTGTCGCGGCGGGTCTTCGCCACTGCTGAATCATGGCCTCCACGCCATCGACGCGAGGTCTGCACGACGGCGTGGCGGTGTGGTCTCTCACCGATGCACGACGGCGTGGCGGTGTGGTCTCTCACCGATCGATTCAGCCCGTGCACGCACAGGTCGCGCGCGTCGACGGCGCTGGCGGCCGCAAGGAAAAAGACCGAGGACATGACTGAAGAAGAAAAAGCCGCCGAGAAGGCGCTGAACCAGCAGCTCCTCGTCGCCAAAGGAGTTCTCTTCGCGGCTGTGATCGGCTACTTCGCGTTTACCTCACTATGATATAAGACCTTATAAGGAGTACGCGCTAGTCGCGGCGGCGCGACCGCGATCTAGAGGGAGACCGGTCGCGACGCCGGCGCCGGCGCGACCGCGACCGCGACCGCGACCGGTCGCGCCGAGAGCGCCTCGGCGACCGGCCGCGCGGGCCGCCACCACCACCATAACCACCACCATAGCCATAACCGGGCGGCGGCGGCCCGCGCGGCGGCCCGCGGTACGCGCCGCGCGCTGTTCTAGGATCTAAGGTCTGCATCTGGTCCGGCCGTTTCCGCTTCTGTGTCGCAAACAGCACCTTGACGGCGCGGTTGTCGATGACCTTCCCGTCCAGCCCGTCGATGGCCGCGGCCGCGGACCGCCGGTCGCCCATTTCCACGAAGGCGAAGCCGCGCGGCTGCTTCGTCATGTAATCCAGAGGCAGGTAGACGTCCACGACCCTTCCAAATTCCTTGAAGGCGTTCCGCACGACCTCCTTGTCCGTGTTGTAGCCCAGATTTCTGCATAATAATGACACTCCTTCACCGGCGTCGGGGTCGTCTCTCCTGGCGTCGACGGCTTTGCGGTCGCGGCTGCGGCTGCGGCGCCGCGGACTTCTGGACCGGGACCGCGACCGCCGCTTGGACTTGCGCTCGCTGCGGCTGCGGCTGCGAGAACGGCTGGTGCTGGCCATCGCGTCGCTTACCAACTCGACTGCGGCGCAAGTGATGCGGCGCGCAGGCTGCTGGGTGGGCTTAACTCTGGCGACAGGGCGCCACAGATGCTATAACTCGCAGGGGCGAAAGTATGGCAGCACTAACGACCCGTTCGATTGCTGATTTGTGTAGCAATTTTGTAGTGAAGGCGCAGGCAGGGCAGCGATATTTAGCCTGCTTTTGTGCCAAGGGCTCGACTGGGCTCGACTTAAAATCGCTGGCGACTCGTGTTCCTGATCTCAGAGCCATACAGGCGGCGGCTAAGAGAGGTCCGGACCATTCCGTTTGCTAGCGTCCTGCAAGACACTAGGCCAACAAAGTAGGCGAGCCTCTCTTTAGCGTGCTTAAAAGCGGCGATACTGAGCTCAGTGCTCGATACAAAGCATCGTCGCAGCGCTTCACGCCCAGCGCTGCAAGAGCACGCGTCGCGAGCACCTCGCCTGACGCCGTCGCCGAGCAACCCAAGGAGACCATGGCCGCACAAGCCCAAAGCTTCGACACGCCCGACGTCCACTTCAATCCCGGTGGCTGGGGTCCCACCGAAGACGACCTGCCGAAGCAGTTTTTGGACGTGCCCTACGCGCCCTTCGGGAAAGGCGACCGATTGGGAAGAGCCGCGGACTTCACTGCCTCTGCCTACTATCAACAAAAACAAAAATACAGAAGAGAACGGGACGCGCGGGACCGCGACGGCGACTTCAAGAACGAGACCTTCCAGTTCAAGCACGACGCGGCGGAAGACGCGTCGTTCCGACTGGTCGACACTGCCAAAAAACAGACCGGTAGCCGCTTCGACCAGGGTTTCAAGAAGCCCTGGCAGATGCGTGGAAGAGGCCGGGGGGCGGGCGGGCGCGGTCGCGGGTTCGGCGGCGTGACGTACAGCAAAGGCAAGGGCCAGGGCCAGGGCAAGGGCAAGGGCAAAGGTACGGGCACGGGCGGGAAGCGCTGGGGCCGCGGCCGGGGCTGGGGGAATAGAAGACCTCATGTCCAGAAAGTTGATAGAGGTTCTTCGGTCAACGTGCGCGGTTCTTGGGTTTGTGTCGAGGAGTTTGATTTAGGACAGCTCAACAAACTGTCGACGGCGGCGCCCGAGGCGTCTGACTTGTTGTGGGCCGGTGAACTTGCGCTGTACGACGATTCCTACGATCGCGTCAGTACGAGGACGCAGAAACCGCTGCAACGAGCGGAGAACCGGGAGTTCTACTACGTATCCACCACAGATGACCCGGCCATCGAGAAACTAGCGGAGGAACAGGCCGGTACGGTCTACGGTACGGACGCTATCTTTTCGTTACTGATGGCGGCTCCTAGATCTGTTTATCCTTGGGATGTGGTCGTGCAAAAATTAGATGGCGTCCTAGTCTTCGACAAGCGCGACACGGCGAACTTCGATTACTTGACGGTGTCGGAAACGTCTCACGACCCCCCGAAGTCCCTCGAGGAGATCGAAGAGGCCAAACGCTTCGACCGGCGAAGGAACAAGAAGGAGGACGACGAGCCTACGTCAGATATCAACACGCCCGACAAGTTGTCCATCGAAGCGACCATGATCAACCAGAACTTCTCGCAGCAAATTCTCTCTGACAAAGCTCCGGAGAAGATGTCCCTGCCGAACCCGTTCGCGGACACGGAAAACGCGGAGGCGAAGCCCGCTTCACTCGCGTATCGCTACCGCAAATTCCAGCTGGGGGAACATGCGCTCGTGGCTCGTACGGAAGTCCACGCTGTTGTGGACAAGCGCGGCGACCTCCAGAAGATGACCGCGTTCGCGCTCAACGAGTGGGATAGTAAGTTGAGCGGAGGCGTCGAGTGGCGCCAGAAGATCGACGCTCAAAGAGGCGCCGTGCTTGCGACGGAGCTCAAGAACAATAGCTGTAAGCTAGCAAGGTGGACGGCGCAATCCATACTGGCGGGCGCGGAGCAGATGAAGCTCGGCTATGTCTCTCGCGTCGCTCGGACCAATCCTTATGATCATGTGGTGCTCGCGACGCAGTTCTACAAGCCCAAGGAGTTCGCGACGCAAATCACGCTCAACGTGAACAACATGTGGGGCATCATCAAAATGCTCGTGGACTTGTTGTTGGACAAGGACGACGGCAAGTACGTCATCGCGCGCGACGGGCTGAAGCCTCTGGTTCGGATCTACGCCGTGCCTCCCAATACGTTCGAGGGCGACGATAGCGAGGACGACGATGAGGTGGTGCAGGAGGAGGAGAGCGAGTCGGACTAGGTCTCCCTTCGCCTAAGGTTGGGTTTATTCGTATTTTCGTCGATGGCGTCGGGGCGGCGCCGTCGATTGGTGACTAGCGCTCGACGGCGTCGACGCGTCCGTCAGAGGGAAGACGTTTCTGGCGCCCTGCGATAATAGGGCGAAATACCCCCCCTCTATCCTATACCCTTCCTATACACTTGTACTCCTTTGGTCTTGCATTATTCGCACGCCCGGCGGGGAAAGCTCGACATCGAAGGCGCGCCGGCCGCGAAATCGACGCTTCCAGCCTAGCCTAGCCTCAATTTAACCGACGGGTTTTGCGCGGTTTTCGCGGGACCCCTCCCCGCCCCAGGGGACTCGTCCAGAACTGATTTCTAGTGTCTTACTGAGCGCTAGCGTCATTATTGCAGCAGCAGCAAAGTGCACGAGCGAGCGTGCCGGAGCGCCTGGAGCCGCGCAGAAGGCTCGCGCAAAAAATGTGCGCTGACAGCAGACCGCTTTGATTTCGCCAGCACGTAGCGAGAAACTCAGAGCGACTGCAACCAGACCTGACCGAGAGCAAAGCAAGACCGAGAGCAAAGCAAGCAAAGGAGACGATGTACGGAGTCGACCCGCCCCTTACCATGAAGCGCGTCCGTAGCCAGAACTCCCAAAAAAATCCACGCAACAAAGTAGTAGTGCGTGTCCCCGCAACCTCAGCGAACATGGGCCCGGGCTTCGACGCACTCGGTTTGGGCCTAGATATTTGGAACGAGATTAGTGTGGAGCGCGCGGCAAAGTTCAAGATCACGACGGAGGGCGAGGGCGCCGGCGCCATCCCGGAGACGGTGGACGACAACGGCGAGTCGAACCACATGGTCATCAAGGCCCTTAAAAGAGCCTTTGAATACGCGGGCGAACCCATGCCCCGGGTCAAGGTCCACTGCCGGAACCGGATCCCGGTTTGTTCCGGGTTCGGGTCGTCGTCGGCGGCTATTGTGGGAGGTTTAGTTGCTGGTCTAGCCTTGGCTGGCCTCGAGTTGCGAGCGGGCTACGACCCGGGCCACCCCCAGTGGCTGCCCGAAGAACTTTTACAATTAGCGACGGAGATGGAGGGCCACCCCGATAACGTGGCGCCGTCCATCTATGGGGGCATCCAGTTGTCCGTGCAGCTCTCACCGGTCGACATGGGCGGCGGGCCTCGACTGAATGCTCAGCTAGCCCTCTCTCGTAGAGTCCCCATCCCCGAGGGTCTACGCTTAGTAGCCTACGTGCCGTCCGAAGCGACGAGGTTCTCCTTCGCCTCTGCGGACAAGACGAATGAAATGAGAGCTCTGTTGCCTCCGGATGTCCCCAGAGAACAAGCCGTCTTCAACATCCAGCGCACGGCGTTGTTGATCGATTGCCTTCATCGCGGGGACCTTAGTCTCTTAAGATTCGCGACGGAGGACGTCCTGCACCAGCCGGCGCGCGCGACGATCTATCCTCATTTGAAACCGATGTGCCAGGCGGCGATCAACGCCGGCGCCCACGGCGCCTTCCTGAGTGGGGCGGGACCGACCATCTTAGCGATCTGCTCGGGCGCGACGGGCGGCGACATCTTCACGCAGACGAGGGAAGAAAGACAGGAGAACGGCGTCGCGAATGCGATGAGAAGAGCGGTCGATTCATTAAGCACGAAGCACGACCAGTGGAAGGGGGGCAAGTTCTACATCTGCTCGCCGTGCTACCAGGGCTGCCACGTCGTCTCGGCCGACCCGCCCATGTCCGACGCGATGGCGACGTTCGGCACGCTCGACGGGGACCTCTAGCTTCGGCGCGGCGGCGGCGTGCGCGTGCGACGCGACGGCGTTCGGCACGCTCTTCGGGGGCCTCTAGCTTCGGCGGCGCGCGCGCCCCCAGCTCTAACGACACTTCCTGTGTGCTCGGCTGGCGTCAGGGCTGGTACTGTAAATGAGGATACTTACACCCCAGGCATGCGCTTCAGTACCTCTCTTGCGGAATTAACTAGATATTTCTTATTCCTCTAGCGCGTTCGCCTACCCGTCCAGCTCGCGAAGCCATGCCGCCGCGTCGGCTCTACCGGCTTCGTTCAGGTGCTTGTGCTTGCACTCGCCGTCGACGATTTTCTTCAGCCAGAACCGCGCCCGAGCAGGGTCCTTCGGCAGGCCGCAATCGCCGTTGAAGAACGCTTCGCCAAGCGTATACGCAGCAAAATCCGAACCCAGACCCGCCGCCTCGGTCAGGTTCACGAGCCCGAATGCAATGTCCTCGGGCCCACCGATGCCACACAGGAGATAGAAACCAAACATTGCCATCCCTTGTGGTGTTCTGGTCGCCGCGCTGCGCTCGTACCACGCGCGAGATTGGACTAAGTCTTTCGCGAGGCCCTTCATGCCAGATCCGTACCACGCACCGAGCAGACACATAGCGCCGCCGTCGCCAACTTCCGCCTTCGCGCGCGTCTCCTTCACCCACGTCTCGTCCTTGAGCTTCTGCCGCCACGCCGTGGCCAGCTCGCTGTCGACTGCGCCGGACTTGACGAGCGCCTCGATCGTATTGCGAACCTGGTGCGCTTCCAGCAACCGCGTGCCCATGCGGGCGCCAGTTATCGGGCTGGTCGGGTCTCCATCTTTCGCCCGGAACCAACTCTCGATTGCTCCGCGCTCGTATATGTGTCCGTCTTCGGCCGTCACAGGGTCGGTCGGGAGGGCTTGTGCTATGGGACAGACCAAATTGGCCGCGGCCGCAGAGATAGCTTCGACACACTTGGCCTCCTTTGTAGGGTTCGCGTCCTCGTCATTCACGGGCGCGGGCGCGCGCGCCGTCTCATTATCCTCGAGGACCGTTTCCGGCTCCTCCGGTGCCATGTCTGCTCTTGCGGCGGGCGCTATCGTACCGCGGTCATCTTCGAGGGACGGCATCTCGTCGTTATCATCAGAATCACTGCTCTCGGTGCACCGAGCCTGGCTCGGTGGGGCGGCTTCTGACGAGGAGTCGCTCTCGGCTTCTGACGAGGAGTCGGTCGGCAACTCCAAGTCCGTCGCCGCGGGTTCATCCTCTTGGTCGGCCATCATCGCTCTCTAAGTGATGCTTAATGGCCCAGGCCCCACTGCCGCCCCAGGGGTCACTGGTGCTAATATTTTATGCCCAATACCTTGGCGCAGTGCAGCGGTTCAAGAGATGCTTTTTTTGGGCCCGCCGACGACCGCAATAACTAGTTGACCGACTTGCAGTCCAGGATAGTAAACCCGATTTTTTTAACTAAAAAACGCGCCACGCGAACGCTCTACAAACGCCGGTCCAAAGATTCGTCTGTGATAAACTTACTCCCTCAAAAACTAAGCCGCCGAGAGCCCCGCGCGGTGCACGTACGTCCCCACGAGCCGCACCTGGTCCTCCCGCAAAAACTGCTTGAACTTCGGCACGACGCCGTCGCCCAATGCGCGATACACGTCCACCAACCCGTCGACGGCGGCCTTGCGGACGTCGGCGCCGGGAGCACTACAAGCCGCCCCGAGCGCCGGCAACAGCGTCGGGAGCGCGTTCCGCACGCTCTGCGCCGGCGCCCGCGCGCAGCAGAGCCCCGCCAATCTACATAGAGGCGCGCGGCTCGCGGCGGCGTCCAAGGCCTCCAAAAAGGCCGCGTCCGCCGTTTTGGGGGGCGTCGCGTCGAAGACATCCGGCAAGAGCAATTCGAGACACCGCGCGGCGTCGCCGCGATCGGCGACCGCCGCGACGACGCGTTCCGCCGCCCAGGCGAGCTCCAAGGGTGCTGTCGTGCTCCGCGCGAGCTGCAAGAGTCGCGGGACGCAGGAGTCGACCGAGCCGCGGAAGGCCTTCGGTCTTCGTCTAGCCAGCGTCCGCAGCGCCGCGAGCGACTCGTGCCGCGCCGCCAGATCAGATAAAGACGTCGTCGGTTGTTTGGCGACGCCCCGCCGCGTGTGGAACCTCCCATCATTTGAATCGTCCGAGTCGTCGACAGTCAGGTAGCGCTCCGCGCTCGTGGCGGCGCCGCCGCAGGCTCTTTCCACGAGCAAGTGGGCCACGGCGTCGCACTTGTCGCTCCAGCACGCGCTCAACAGGTCCTTGCGGGCGATGCGCGCGATGTCCGCGCGCGCGGCCGACGCGTCCCGTCGGGCGTCGGCGCCGCCCCGCACTTCCCGCGCTAAGGCTGCCACCGCCGCACTTAATGTACTTCGAGCGGCGCGCTCCGTCTCCTCGCTCACGATGTTGGAGGGCGCCGCGGTCTCCTCCTTCCTTGATGCAGATACAGCACTCTTGAAATCGGGGGCGGCATCTCTGAGAGCGTGCTCGCAGGCCTGCTTTTCGTTGAGTGACAGCTTCGCGACCCTCGATGCGACCCTATTCCTGTCTGCCCGGAACAACGCAACTAACAATCGAGTGGCCGCGGCGTGGCACGGGGCCGCACCATCATTGGCCGCCGTTTCCCGTTGTGTCGAGGCGGATCTTGTTGATGCTAGAGTGGCGGCGACTCGACTGACAAGCGTATGTAAGTGCGTATCGTCGGCGAGATAGGACGCCCCCTGCGCCTCGCCGTCGACGCGCGCGACGGCCGCGAGGAACTCATGTAAAGCGGCTCGCGCCCTCAGAGGTGTCAGGGCGTTCGTCGCCGGCGCCGCCGCGTGTAACAAAGCTCCTGGCGCGAAGGCTCGGCGAGCACCGTCCAAGCAGTTGCCCGCCGCTCTTCGTAAAGGTGCTCTTCCGTCAGCTAACCGAGAACAGCACCTTGTGACCAGTAAACCTAATGATGACGCGACGCCGAACGGTCTATCGGGAATCGAGGCCAACAAGCCCTCGACATCTTCCCTACCGGCGTCCAAGCCCGCACAACACGCCTCCAAGGCGGCCAAGGCTACTTTATGGTGCGCGTCGCCGACGGCCACGACCAGCGCCCGCCAGGCGGACTTGCGGTCATCTCCCGTTACGCCGTCGCGCTGGGCCTCCCTTAAGGCAGCCACGGCGTCCCTCCTCACGTCCCAGTGCGGCGACGCGCACTGCTGGGCGAGCGCGTCGATCAGAGCCGGCGTGGGCTTCGTCCTCGGTCGTTCGGGCGACGGCGGCGGCGGCGGTTCAACAGCGACGGGCTTCTTCTTCTGAACCGGCTTGGGCTTGGGCTTGGGCTTGGGTGCTGCTGGTGGCGGTAGATCCGTGAGCGGCGGGCCGGGCGGCGGCGCGGAGGCCGCGGCTTTTTGAAAGGCCTTGCGCGCCGACGCGTCCAGCGCATCGAGGCAGTCCTGGGCCTGCCGCGCGAAGCCCGCGTGGCGCAGCGCGAGCCAGAGGCCCCGCGCGGCCGCTCTGGCGCTCCCGTCGGCGTCGCGCGCCCTTTTCTCCACAACACTTGCGGCCTGGGCCCAATTAGAATCGGGTCGCCACCTCCCCAACGCGCGCGCCGCGAGGTCCATGGCGTGCTTGCGCGCCGGCGGCGCCTTGGCCGTTTCTGCCGTCTGGCACAATCTAGAGAAGAGCGCGGCGTTGCCGATTGGTGCTGCGGCATCCACAATAGCACTCAACGCCTGCGTCGCGGCCTCCTGCACGACCTTCGGCGCGCCGCCGGACGCCACGCCCAGTAACGTGGCCGTCCAGTGCTCATCCGCTAAACCGCGGCCGTCGCTGCCAAGCCCGGTGGCCAGCGCCGTGGCGCAGCGGCAGGCCGCCGCCGCGACGACGCTTCTCAAGTTGCGCAGCTGGTCCGTCACGAGCTTGCCGATGCCCTCCTGCTTGAGGAGCTTCGCGAGCTGCTGGCGTTGATCGGGCGTCCGCGCCTCCTCGCCGAGCTTTGTCAAGGCCTTGAGGCCGTCGACGCGCAGCTCCCACTCGTCGGATTTGAGCTCTTGCTGGACCTTTTGGAGGGTGGCTTCCATTTTTTGTTAAACGCGTCCGGCTTTTAAATGAATTCGGAGCTCCAAACTGTGTACAGCTTTTCTCGCTCTATACGTAATGGACGCGCGTCAGCGTTGGTCGTGTGGCTGCGCAGTGTCTTTGAGCTTCACAACACTAGGCTAACGGCACCACTGCTTCCGTATTGGCCGCGTTTATGGCATCCGCGGCTTGCAAAACAAAACCTGTTTTGAGGGCCTGCGATGTATTTTGGAATCCTTTTTGCTTCTGAACTATCTTTAGAAGGTCGTCTGCGAGCGATGACAGGTGGTACGGCTCTCGCGTTAGAAATGTCGAGGCATCAAGCTCTGCCACCTCCATCCTTTGCGCAGGCCCTCACGAGCCGCATTTATCATCCTGTAGTCTCCAAATTTCAATTTGCAGTGCCTGAGTACACCGCATCGAGCGTGCAACGTCTCACGAGCAACCGCAATCCACGTGTCGCGAACGCCGAGTTGCCAGCTAGCAAGCCCAGTCATCATGCATCGCTGCGTCCTCGTACTGGCGCTCTCTGCCTCGCACGCATTCGTCGCAACCACCCACAAGCAATGCCGGCCCGCGCTCCGGTCCTCAATTTTATCGGACGACGTCTTCCCGAGCACCGCGACCGACGTCTTCGTTGGCAACATGCCTTATGGGATGAGCGACGACTACGTCAAAGATCTGGTGTACACGGTGCGCAAGGACGACGGCAGCCCCGTGAACCCCGAGGTGTTGCGGGTGACCGTGCCGCGCGACGAGGAGACTGGTAAAGATAGAGGCCTGGCCTTCGTGAAGGTCCTGGACGCGACGCAAGCAGCGGACCTCTCGGCGGCTCTTGATGGGTTTGAGTACCGGGGGCGTGTTTTAAATTCGAACGTCAAAGAATCACGAAAGAAGAAGTGGGTCGAGCGCCCGGCGGTCGATCCCGCGACCCTCGACGACGGCGGCCTCTTCGAAGCTCTAGACACGCTGCCGGACAAGTTCGCCATCCAGGAGTACGGCCTCGAGAAGATCCGCAACGCGTGCAAGAAGGCTAGAATAAAAGCGGGCGGCGACCTCGAGCAGTGCACGGCGCGGCTCCTGAAAATCCAGGGATTGAAGTCCGAGGTCTACCTCGACCCCGCCTTCGGCCTCATCCCGACGCGGAACAACCGGCGGAACGCCCGGTGGAATTAGTGTAAGAATATATGTGACTAAGTTATGCGCTTACCAGCACATCGACGTCCGCCTCGCGAACCATGACCCCATGCTTCGGCGCGCACTCGAAATACTGCTGTCCCTTGATCGTGCCGTCATTCTTGCCGTCTGCATCATCCAGCGCCACGCCGACCCAGTCGTCGCCCTTGGCGTAGTGTACGGCCCCTAGAAATTTGACGACGCCCTCGCCCCAGTCGCATTCCACGCGGTCGCCGAGCTTCGGCGGCCGCGCCTCGGCGGGCGCCTCGGGTGCGGCCGCCGGCGCCGAGGCGGGCGCGTTGCCGCGGGACACGGGGCGCTTCTTTTTCTTGCCGCCGCGCCTGGTTTTCTTGCTCTTGGAGGGAGGCCGCGCCGGCCCACCGAGGCCCATCATCTGAGCCAGAGCTTCGTCGTCCATGTCCTCGCCGCCCATCGCAGCCATCATTGCGGCCATGTCGCCTCCGCCCCCGCCGCCCCCCATCATCATCTGAGCCATCATCGCAGCCATTTGATCCTCCTCGCCGTCGCCACCGTCGTCGTCGCTATCGTCGCCCATACCACCCATGCCGCCCATCATGGCTGCTAACATTGCTGCCTCTGAATCGCCTCCACCGTCGCCGCCCATCGCCCCTCCCATCATACCCATCATCATTTCCATCATGTCCTCCTCTGAACCGCCGGCACCGCCAGGACCGCCGCCGCCTCCCATCATGGCTGAAAACATTTCCTCCATGCCCTCGGGCTCGTCGTCACTATCCATCTCGGCGAACATCGCCTGCTTCATCATTTCGTCGAGCCCCTCGGCGTCGCCGCCGAAGTCCTTCATTACATTTTCCATTTGCTCCTTGACTTGCGGGTCGACGTCGTCCGAATCGCCCATGGCGTCTTTCACGCTCCCAGCCATCATGGCCTTCATGAGCTCCGGGGGCGGCGCCGGGATGCCGCTCATCTTGCACATCATCTTGAATTGCGCATACATGACCTCGTACATGACCTCCATCTCCTTCTTAAGTTCTTCTTCGCTCATTCCCGTCTCGTCCGCTACATAATTCGGATCAGTGAGGCACTTGTGGGCCTCGGCGATGCGCTGGAACTTTTGCGTCGCCTCGGGGTCATCCCTATTTTTGTCGGGGTGCAGCTTGAGCGCCAACTTCCGGTACTTTTTTTTAATGGCGTCGGCGTCGTCGTCGACGGCGCAGTCCAATATCTTGGCCGCCTCCTCCTTGGTGAGGCCCATCTTGGTGGTAGAGGCGCTGGCCGCTCGAACGAGTGGACGCGCGCGTAGCAGCGGGCTGTCACGCGTCGGCTACGAGCCGTGTGTGCCTCACGCTGCCTGGGCAAGCGAATGGGCAGCCTTTTGGTTCGTATTTGGATGCGCTGGACCACCGTCGAAGTCTGATCCCGCACGGGATGGCGCCCGGCCGAAGGATAAATGGGGCTTCGATGAAAGAGCCCCACGAAGGCGCGTCGTCCGCAACCGACGAGAAGACAACTAGCGAGAAGGGGGTTAGTTACACATCCGAGGGTGAGGACGCGAGGAGGCCGCGCGGAGGAAGGGGGTTGTTGATACGCGACACGAGTAGTGTGGCGCATCACCAGGCCGAGTTGTCCCGCGCCGGCGGCCCGCGCGAGCCGCCGCCGCCACCAAACCCGCCGCCGCCGTGGGCCGCGTTGCCCATGCGCTTCGTCATGCCCTGGCGCGCGTCCTTGCCGCCGTAGCCGCCGCCGCCGCCGCCGCCGCGGCGCCCGCCGCCCCCAAAGCCGCCGCTGTACGCGCACATGTTCTCCATCCAAGACGGCACGTCCTGGCCGTTCTCGACGAGCAGGTCGATGAGCTCCCTCACGATGTTGCGGTTCTTGTCGCAGAGGAACGACATGGCGAAGCCCGTATTGCCCGCGCGGCCGGTCCGGCCGATGCGGTGGACGTAGTCCGAGATCTGGCGCGGCAGGTCGAAGTTGATGACGTGCAGCACGTTCGGAATATCTAAACCTCTGGCAGCTACATCAGTACCGACCAAAATCGGCGTGCGGCCGCTCTTGAAGTCGCGGAGCGCCATTTCTCGATCTCTCTGCGTCTTGTCGCCGTGAATCGACGACGCGGGGAAGCCCTCCCTGCATAAGACGTCCTCCAGGAAGTCCGCATCCCTCTTCGTCTCGACGAAGACCAGCGTGAGGCCGTGCTGGTCGACGTTCGACAGATAACGCATGAGCGCCTCGGGCTTATCCCGTCCGTCGACGAACTGGAAGGACTGCGTCACGTCCTTACAGGCAGCTCCCACTCTCCCAACGGTCAAGAACACGTAATCGTTCAGGAAGTCGCCGGCCATCATCTGCATCTCCCTGGGAAACGTCGCCGAAAACATGAACGTCTGGCGCTGGCCGGTCTGGGGCATGTCCTCCTGCTCGACGATGCGTCTAATCTGGGGCTCGAAGCCCATATCAAGCATGCGGTCGGCCTCGTCCAGCACGAGGAACTTGCACGCCGCCAAGGTCACTCTACCACGTTCGAGGAAGTCGACCAAGCGGCCAGGCGTAGCCACGAGCAAATCGCAACCTCTTTCGAGCTCCTGCAACTGCCCGCGCGTCTCCGCCCCGCCGTAGCACACGACCGGCCGGACACCCGTCAAGTAGCAGAACTTTTGCGCTTCATCAAAGATCTGCGAGACGAGCTCGCGAGTAGGCGCCAAGACCAGAGCGTTCGGCTGGGCCCGCGAGCGACGCGAGCCTCGACCGTTGTCCTCGGCGATCTGCGCCGCGCCGTCTCTACATAATGCGACGAGCACAGGGAAGATAAAACCACCGGTCTTGCCCGACCCCGTCTGCGCGCAGGCCATCATGTCGCGACCGGCCAACCCAACAGGTAAGGCGTACTTCTGGACCGGCGTCGGCTTCGTGTAGTGGCACCGTTGTAAGTTCGTGGCTAGCGCGTCACCGAACACCTCGAGGGGAAAGCCCTCGATGGGCTCGGGGCAGTCCTCGCCCGACATCTCCACGGGGATCTTGTCGTAGTTGTTGAAGTTGATGCCGCCGCCGCCCTGCGTCTGGTCCTTCGCCGGGAACAAGTTCTTCTCGAGCCGCTCGTTCGGGCGCATGTCGCCGTAGAAGCCCAACTCGTTCTTGCGGCCGCCGCGGCCGCCGCCGCCGAAGTCCCTACCTCCTCCTCGACCGAAGTCGCGGCCGCCGCCGCCGTAGCCGCCGCCTCCATATCCACCGCCGCCGCCGCGGTAGTCGCCTCCGCCCCTAACGTCGCCGCCGGCCCAGCGCGAGTTCTGCTGGAACTGCGCCGGCTCGCGGCGCTGCTGGTCGCGCTCGAAGAAGGAGCCGCCGCCGCCGCCGCCTCGCTGGGGCGGCCCGTTGTTCTGCTGCTGCTGCTGTTGTTGTTGGGGCTCGCCGCCGCCCGCGCCGTAGTTGCCATAGTTTCCGCGTCCCTGTGCGCCGTTGTTCGGAGCACCGCCCTGACCCCCCTCGGCGGGGGGACCAGAGTCTGCGCGTCTTAAATGAGGAGGCACATATGCCATACACCTGCGTTGTGAATATTGTTATGTTGGTGTCGCGGCGGTGGCGTCGCGGGGGTGCTCTCGTTGAGGGCGGGCGCGCGCCGTCGGCCACAAGGGCGCGACGGCGGGTCGACCCGGGGAACGCGCGGCGGCGGCCAGCCAGCTGGCGCCGTCGGCGCGCGCGCGCGCGTGGCGGCGCAGCGCTGATTTTGTGAGCGCTGCAGCGTGGCTCACTTGCGTGTGCCAGCCGCGCGCGGCAACAAAAGGCGCAAACCACGTGTGCCAATTTGTCGCCCAATTTTGCTTTCGGCCGCAGTTTCTCCTCTCGTTGCTCGAAGGGATTCAAAATGGGCGCGCGCGCTTGACGACAGACGCTGCTGCACGCTGAATAGGTCACTGGTTATCTCGTCTTTTGTCTTTCGTCCTCCGCCAAAATTGGCTGACCCCCTCCCAGACCCGCACGAAAATGAGTTGTCGGAGGACGACAGGCCGGCACAAGAAAGGCTAGAACCAGCCCTCATTCGCAGCGCACACAGGAACAACCATCTAGAGGCAGCCCCGGCCATCGAGCCGCATAGCGCCCCATTAGGCAGCCGAGGCCGGCCCCACGAGGCTGCCCGCGAGCTAGGAACGGGCCAGAACACGCACCTCGAGCCAGACACAAGATGTCCGACGCCGAGGGCTCCGAGGAAGAAGAGGAGGAGAGGCTCGATCCCTGTGTCTTGGTGAGTGACTTCTACGCGGCCTGCAAGGCCGGCGATTCGAAACAAGCGAAGGAGCTCCAAGACTACGACGTGCCGCCCTTCTATAGTGATGGGAACTGGACGCCGCTGCACTGGGCCTGTCGCCACGGCATGGTCGAGATAGTGGAACGTTTGTTGGAGGACGGGGCCCATCAACCGTACTTGGACGCCGTCGAGGAGTCGCTGCGACCGCCGCCGGCGCCCGTCGTCAAGGTGTCCTCCGATGAAGAGGAGGACGAAGAAAAGGCTCCGGCGCCGGCCGAGCCTCAGATCAAGTTCGGCACGGTGAACAGTATACCATCTGCGAAGTTGCTAAAGAATACACCTTTACATTGGGCGGCCTTCGGCGGCCATTTGAGGATTGTTTGGTTGCTGATGAAGGCCGGGTATCGGCCTTCGGACGTTGATGACGTGGGCAATTCACCATTGCATCTAGCGGCGGCCGGCGACAAGCATCTCATTGTAAGAGCTCTTGTGGCGGGCGGTGCCGACGCTCTCGCGAGAAACGACTTCAACAATGCCCCTGGTCATCTAGCTACCAGTGAAAGGGTCAAGAAAGAGTTGTTTGAAGCGGAAACCGACCCGCCCCATCCTTCTACCCGACAAGACTTACATGAGGCTAATTTATCGAGGTACGACGGCGTGAAAGCCACGCTGGAAGCGGAGATGCAAGTCATACCACCGGCCGACGCCGACTTCGCTACACTTGAGGCGCAACGAAAGACGCTCGCCGAAGCCCTACAAACGGCTCGAGACGCCTGCATCGTTAATGAAGTCATCGTGAAGGGTGCTGCGGCTTTGAGGAGGTCGGAAGCTAGATGTGCACTCAGAGAACAAGTAGACGTTGTGGAGGGCGGCGGTCCCACCGTCACGCAACGCGCTTATGCGAGAGACGTGAACAAGCTTGAAAGACTAAGGAGGGAAGCCATCAAGGCGGCGGAGGAAGGGGCTGAGTTGATCGAGGGTGGGGATCCCACAGGCGGTTTAGGGGCACTGATGGAGGAGGCCGACGCGCTTGGTTATCGCAGTCGTTCGGAGTATTGGTTGTACCAGTGCTGCACGCCGTTGGATGCGATCGATTGTGCCGACGAGTCGTCTGTCAGATCCCTGGAGAGGTTAGAAAAGGCCATAGCAGAGGCGGTCCTGCGGAAGGCCCAACCGGAATTGTTAGCGAGGGGCCAGAAGTTGTTTGCTTGTCGATCAGCAGAATTAGAATTGAAGAGGAGTATGAGAGAACTACCCTCACCGAAGCTTCCGATCGATGACCCCCCGGCGGACTACTGGTCCGAGGAGGACCAGGGGCATATCGACGAGACCGAGGAGTACCCGTTACCTCCCGAAGGTGGTGATTATGTCTGGATACCGTCGGAGATCCTGGGGACGTATCGAGAAGCCGCGTTGCGCGTCGAACGAGCCTTGGACGAGGCCAAGACCTGCGAGGGCAACGCTATTTTGGTCGAAGAAGGGCAACTGTCCCACGAGGCCGCCGCCGAGGTCATGAAGCAGTTGGAAAGAAAAGACGAAGAGGACAAGGCCACGGCATTGGCCGCCGTCGAGAAGGTGGCCAAGAAGTACAAGAAGGCCATGAAAAAGAAGTAGCTTTCGCGGCGGGTAAGCCTTGCCTAGTAGCGTGTCGTCGGCGGCGTCGGGGCCTCCGGTACTCCTGAAGTCGATGTTACGGTGCTAGGACTAGTGGGCGGAGCCCCTGGGGGGGAGACACCGCGCGTCGCCGATTCATCGGCGGCGGGCGCGGGCCGCTCCTGAAGGCGGCGGCCGCGGCGGCCGACGGTGATCAAATGCAGCCTGGTGCTAGTGTGGCTAGCCTACGGTGCTCAAACTGACTAGTGAATCGCAGTAGGCTTCGCAGGGCCCGCTGACGGCTCTGCAATTTTAGCATTTTTAGTACCCTTCGATTTACCGATTTTAGTCAAGCAGCCCAGCGAGCGGGCACCGAGTGAGCGCGCAAGCTGCTCCCAGTCCACCATTACTACCCAGAGATAAGCATCTTACCTCCAAGGCTATAACAAATCGCTTTGTTGCAAGCAACAGGCTGACGGGGGCCCGGTTAGTGCAAAGAGCTTGTCCTGCAAGCAAGCTGTGAACAGCAACTAGCGGCTACGACACCGAAACTCGCCACCACGGCGCCGTCATAATACTACATGCACCTAGTGGCGCCAATGGTTCGGCCAAAATCGCTCCCCGCCATGCTCGCGCGCCCCGCCGGCCGCGCAGCGGCACGCGCGAGCGTGAGCATGAGCATGAGCATGCCACGGGCCTCGCGCGTATTGGGCCTCGTCGCGCGGGGCGGCGCCGCGGCCGCGGCGCCGCCGGAGGCCGGCGCGCTCGGCTTCAAGATCGGATTGGCGGTGCTCCTGTGTGCGTTCAACGCCATGTGCTGGGCCGCGCCGCTGCGCTTCAAGCGCTTCACGGGCTCGTCCCAGAAATTAGGTGTAGCAAGCACCTTCTCGGGCGGCGTCTTCCTCGCTTTAGCTTTTGGACATATGGTGCCGGAAGCCGCGGAAGCCTTCGGCGAGGGCGGCGCGGCGGCGGCCTGCCGCTGGACGCTGGGCGGCTATTTGCTGATCTGGGCCGTCGAGCGCCTCGCGAACGGCGCCGAGGCGCCGTCTTCCGATCTGTCGGCGTCGGACGCGGCGGCCGGCGCCGCCGTCGGCGCCGCGCCGCCCGCCGAAGCGCAGACGAGCGGCAGCGCGGCGATGCTGTTAGGTGCTTTATCGGTGCACTCCATGCTCGAGACGATGGCTTTGGCAGTGGCGCGGTCGAAGTCCGCCGCGGCGTTGTTAGCTGGTTCTATCGCTTTACACCAGCCCGCCGAGTCGCTCGCATTAGTGGTTGCTCTACTACGAGCGGGCCTGCGGGGGCCGAAGCTCCTTCGCTTGTTATTGCTCTTCACGGCGATGGGCCCGCTCGGCTGCGTCGCCGGCTTAGGTTTACACGCGCGCTTCGGCAAACTGTTTGGCGGCGCCTTGGACGGTGCATTGATCGCGCTGACGGCGGGCACTTTTGTGTACGTGGGCGCGACGGAGGTCGTGCCCGAGGAGTTCGAGGACGGCGGCGCATCGAAAGCCAAGGTCCTCGCGCTGCTGCTCGGCGTGGCGACGATCCTCGGGCTGGCGCGCGTCGCGGACCTGCTCGAGGCCCGCGCGGGCTGAAGTCTATCGATTCATCTTACTTGGTCTAACTATCCGAGAAACGTGTCGTAGGCCGCGTTCGCCTGGTACGTCTTGGCGCCCGTCTTCTTCGTCGACATGGCGAACTTCTTCCGCCGTTGCTGGGGGGCGCGACTGGAAGCACCGTAGTCCTCGTCGATGTTCTTGCCGTCGGCGAGCGCCGGGCGGCGCACGGTCGCGCGCGCGGTCGACGCGTAGCCGCTCCGCTGCGCGAGGGCCGACGCGCGCTGCGACGCCGGCACGCCCGAGTTGCGTTTCAGATACGTACCGTCCGGAGCGCTTCCGGTAGGCTTGAGGACGCCGGCGCCGGCCTTGTAGATGGCCTCGCTCGCGGCCTCGTCCTCCTCCTTGCGCGGGGCCAGGCCCATCTTGCGTCTTAATGAGGGCGGCAGCGCCGTCTTGGGCTGCTTGGGCCGGGCGATGCGCGTGTCGAGGTCGCTGCCGTGGCTGCAGCGCAGGCCTGACCCCGAGGCGCCGAAGTGCTTCAGGGGGCGGGACATGCTGCCCGAGCGCGCGTGCGGCGCTTGTTAACGGTTCGTGGGGTGTCCGGTGGGCGCGCGGCGGCGATGGGCTGCCCCGGCTTGCAATTTTTGGCACCTGAAAAGGGGGCGCTGGACAGAGATCTCGGTGCTTGCTTAACGGTTTCGCGAGCTAGTGCGCGGGCATCTTCAGGCACGCATGCGCTCGCACGTCGTCGAGGGAGCAGTGGGCAGCGATGGGTCTCGACGGAGCTAGCTCGTAGAGACACTAGCAAGAGCAGCAAGGCTGAGCAAGCTCGAGTGCTCGAGTGCGGACGCTGCATAAGCTGCATACGGCGGAGAATTTACCGCGACACATCCAGTCAATGATGCGCACCGCCATGCGATCGGTGCTGCTGCTCTGCATTGCTGCGCACAAGTCTGCCACTGCTCTCACACCGGGCAAGGTCATCGTCGTCGGCTCGCACAACCAGGACCTCATCACGAGCGGCGCGCGCATCCCGCGGCCGGGCGAGACGGTGCTGCACGACACCTTCTCGCAGGCGTTCGGCGGGAAAGGCGCGAACCAGGCGGTGCAGGCGGCACTGCTGGGCGCGGAGACGCATTTCGTCGGCAAAGTCGGGGATGATGCGTACGGTGCTGCCGCTTTAGAAAACTTGCGGGACCGCGGCGTTATCATAGACAACGTGCGCACGACAATAACAGCACCGACGGGAGTCGCGTTCGTGGCGGTGGGCGCCGAGGACGAGACGAACTCCATTGTGGTCGTGCCGGGGGCCAACTTCGAGCTCGCGCCGGACGACGTCGACGCCGCCATCTTCGACGGCGCGGGAGTGCTCCTCTGCCAGCTCGAAATACCACAAGCGACGACGCTGCGCGCGCTCGAGGTCGCCGCGGCCGCGGGCTGCGTCTCCGTGCTGAACGCGGCGCCCGTGCCGCCGGGCGGCGTCGACGACGCTTTACTTAGAGCGGCGAGCATCGTGTGCCCGAACGAGGTCGAACTGGCCCTGCTTGCTGGTGCCAATGAAAAGGCGACGGCGGCTACGGTGGCTGGCGCTGTTTGTGCGGCCAAGGATCTGCAGCGGCGCGGAGCCAAGTGCGTGCTCGCGACGCTCGGAGGCAACGGGTCGCTGCTCGTCGAGGGCGACCTCGCGATCCACGTGCCCGTCGTCGCGGGCGTCACGCCCGTCGACACGACGGGCGCCGGCGACAGCTTCCTCGGAGCGTTCGCCGCCGCGAAGTCCGCGGGCCTCTCGACGCTCGCCGCGGTGCGCGCGGCGAGCGTCGTGGCCGCGCGGTCGGTCCAGGGCCGCGGCGCCCAGCCGTCCTACGCGTCAGCGGCGGACCTCGACCTCGACGCGCTCCCGGTCGTCGAGGCGCTGCCCGAGGGTGCGGGGCTGTTCACCCTCCGCGCGGACGGGACGATCGCAGGGCGATAACTAGTGTGATGTTATCTGTGCCTTACACCATCCAGCGGCCGCGATCGCGGGGCACTACTTTTGTGATTTGGATTCTTGAACTTGCCATGCGGAAGACTCACTTAGCCTAAAGCTAGTGCTCAGAGCCGCAATGACCCCCCCTCCCCAGCGGAACTTGGCAGAGCGCCGCCACAGCGCCGCTCTGTTGAGTCGTGACGGCAAAGGCTAAATCGGCTGCCCCACGCCGTCGACGCGCAGCACCACACGACAGACGGCAGCATGCGCGACACCATCAAGATCGCCGCCGCCGAGGCCGCGCGGCTCGGCATTACCCAAAGGCTGGGCGAGTTTGACACCACCGCCACCCACGAACCCCGGGCGACGCCGTCCCTGATCTTCAAGGAGGCGTCGGTCGTGTACGGCAAGGACGACGAGCGCGTCGGCGGCGCGCTGCCCCACTCCTTCCGAGCTTTACGCAAGCGCTACCCGGCGACGTGCGAGTTCTACCTCGCGGATGCGAGTAAAGAAGGCCAGGCCCAGTCGCGGGGCATGAAGATCCGGGGCGAGAGCGACTTTCAACTCATCCGAGACAGCGACGTCATCATCGTGCGCGACGCGGCGGCGAAGCGGCGAGCCCAGAGCAATGAGATGGAGCCGACGACCTATAAAGCCGAGTACGAGGCCGTGAAACCAAAAAGGCCCCTCGCCAAGGTTCGAGGGGAGACGGACGTGCCCAAGGCGCCCCACTCGCTCTCTACAAAACACCGCGACGACTTTAAGCCGTTCAAGTTCGGGCCGTTTCCCAAATACGACGAGGCCCCGCACATCGGCCCGAACCCGAACAAGACCGGTCCTACCACTTATTCGGAGGAGTTCGTCGAGCACCAGCGGTCGCTGAAGCAGCCCTCGGTGTATGAAGACGACGTCGAAATACCAGAACCGTACGAGGCGCCCTACGTGTCGAGTTATGGACGGGCCTTCGTCAAGCCGAAAAAGCAGGCCCCGCGCGGCGAGTTCAAGGGCGACTTTCCCTCCAAGCCTTCAGGGGCCTCCGCCTTCACTTCGGAATACCGCGGCGCCTACGAGCCGGTCAAGGGTGTGAAAGCGGCGCCGGCGCCCATCGTCTCGGCCAAGGAGGACGTGCCCCAGTACGGCGACTACCACTCGACGGCGCGCGACGAGATGCGGCGGACGTTCAAGCTTCCGGGCGCGAAGAAGGTATTCCTCGAACCCGAGGGGAGTCTGCAGGCGTGACCCCCGTCTAAGACTAAAGCCTCTTAACGAGTCCGCGCGGCGCTACGCTCTTTTTGTCGAGAAATTCTACACCACGCAGCTAGCGGCCTTGAGGCACTAGCCAGCAGGCAGCAAGACCGGCGCCCGCGAGGCTGTTCAGGCGACAAACAGCACCAGGGCTTGCACCAAGCATTGCAGCACTCATAGGCGACCGTGCACTGACAAGCGCACAACTTCTAGCATCGCTTCGGCGCCACAGGCAGCGACCACAACACTTGCAGTGGACAGCGTCAGTGCAGTGCAGTCAACGCATAAGTGCGTTGCGCATCGCTGGCACAATACATACGCTGCACTACATCGCTGCTCCGCGACGGCAAAGTAAAAAAAGACCATGCGCGTCGGCATAATAGGAGGCGGCGTCAGCGGCCTAGCAGCCGCACGCCACTTCCTGCAGTGCGGCATCGCGTGCGTCGTGTTCGACACGGGCAAGCGCGGCGTCGGCGGCCGCTGCAGCAGCCGCACGAACACAAACTTTCCCGGCGCCGTGGACCACGCGGCGCAATTTGTGGAGAGCAGCGGCCGCAGCGACGCCTTCGACGCGTTTATTCAAGACTGCGTCTCGACCGGCGTCCTGCGCCCGTGGGACGGCAAGTTCGTCGGGTCCGAAAATGATGGCCTCGGCGCGCTACCTGATTTCATGGCCGAGGGCGTGGAAGTGCGCCAGGACCGCTGGGTCGCCCCCAATGGCGGCGTCTTCAAGAAACCGGACGGCACGTGGTCGGCCGACAAAGAACAGTTCGATGCTGTTGTCATTGCCCACAACGGCAAGTGCGCCGAGCGCCTCACGTCGAAGATCCGCTCGCCGGTCTCCAAGCTCTGCAAGGCGGCCTTCGGCACGAAGCCCTCGCCGTCGCGCATGACGCTGAATTCAGTGTACAGCCTGGTCTTCGAGGTGCCGGCGGGCTCGCTCTCGTACGACGGCGTCGCGCGCGTCTTTGAGGACGATGACGTGCTCGCCTTCGCGGCGAACCAGGGCAAGAAATTAGGGTGGGCGCGCGACGGCGACGCGACGGAGACCTGGACCGCGCTGTCGACGGGCGCCTTCGGCTCGAAGAATAAGCACCCCCAAGAGCAGCTGCGGGGCACGGACGTCGAGGAGCGCGTCAGGAACGAAATGCTATCGGCGCTCGGCGCGGCGCTCGGTGCGTCGGCACCGCTGGCGCCGCTGCGATGGCGGCTCCAGCTCTGGGGCGCGGCGCTGCCGCTCAACGCCCACGTCGCAGACGTGCCGTTCGCCTGGGACGCCGACAATAAAATTGGCATCGTGGGCGACTGGCTGTCTGTCGAGGGCGGGCCGGTGGCGTCGATCGAGGCGGCGTTCTGCTCGGGAGACGCGCTCGCGAAGCACCTCGCGGCGGCGCCGTCGGAGTCCGCGGGCCTCGAGGGCTCGTATCAAGCCTTCGAGACCGTGTTCAGCCGGCGGCCGCCGGCCGCCGCGGCGCCTCCTCCTACGTCGAAGCGGAGCGACGCCGAAAAGCAGGAAAAAAAGCTCCGAAAAGCTCTGAAGCGCATCGGCGAACTCCGGCTTATGGACTACATGTCCCTGACGACTGACCAGCGCGTCAAGATCCACGGGGAGCACGCAGTGCTCGAGAAGCTCGGGCGGCTTGGCGTCAAAGACGTCGAGGCACTGCGGCGGAAGCTCCAACCGGGGCGCGCCGTCCGAGTCCGGAGACTTCGATGCGCCAACGTCCACGCCATCGATGCGACCGAAACTCACGGGTGAATGTCCACGCAGGCTCGAGACGCCGATGCCGCGATCCAAAAAGTGGAGCGCCGAGCGCGACGACCAGCGCGAGGAGGACAAGAAACGGCGGGCCTGGGAGGAGCGGCAGAACGCCAAGGGCCAGACGCGGAGGAAGGGTGACTGGGACTGCGAGGAGTGCGGCAACATGAACTTCGCGAAGCGGACGCAGTGCAACAAGTGCTCGGCGCCGCGGCCCGTCGCCGTCTAATTGTGTTACACTTAATTCTTTACCCGTCGCAGCGGCGGCGCCCACACCACGCCATCGCCGCCACGCGCTACCACCCGACAAACTTTTTGGGGGCGGCGGCGGGGTTCGTCGTGACCGCCGCCGCCGTCGCGCCGCCCGGCGACGCGTGGAACGCCGGCACGGCCTTGGCCGGCGCGGGCGGCGGCGTCCTCGGTCGCCCAGTGCCCTTTGGCCGCGCGTAGAGCTCGCGCAATAGACCCGCGCCCTCGGTGGCCCAGCGCGCCTCGGCCGAGAAGCCCGCGTCGTCCTCGGCGACGCAGGCGTCGTCGGCCACGATCCAATCATCTAAGGAACCCGTGGACCGCGCGTCTTCGTCGTCGGAATTCTCGCCCTTCTTCGAGCCCACGCTCTCGTCGTCCGTCGCGTAGACGACTCGACCAGAAAGCGCCTCGACCTTCTCGACGACGAGGTCGGGCTTCGGCGGCCGCTTTTTCGGCACGCGCGGCCCGGGCGGCTGCGTGCACCGCTTCGTATCCAAGAAAGGCCGCGGCTTGACGCGTTGGGGCGCTTTTTTCGTGCCCGGCGGCGGCAGTGAGGACAACGAATCTAATGGAGGGCCGCGGCGCTTTTCCTTTTTTCGTTTGGGCGGCTTCGGCGGCTGAAATCTGTTCGTGATGGCCGCGACTTCCGAATCCTCGCTGTCGTCGTCGGCGTGGAACCGCCGCGCCACCGGGCCCGCGGCCACGTCCTCGCCGTCCTCGTCGGGAACAAAGGGCCGCGCCGCCGCGCCGCCCGCGGCTTTCCGAGGCGGCTTCAACGCCTTGGGTCTTATTCTCCGCTTCTTCTTGGGCGACTTCTCGGGCGTCGGGGCCTCGGATAACGCGTTCTTCTTCGGTTTCGCGTAGGTCTTGCCCGCGTCGACCAAATCTGACAAACGTTGCGTCTTCTGGCGCGCGCGCGGCGCGCTGGTCGCGTTCTTGAGCGCAGGTTTCGTGCCGCCGACCCACTCGCCCTTGTCGTAGTCCCAGGTCGCGCCGAGGGGCGCGCGGCCCCGGGGCTTCGGGACGCCGTCCGGCTTGGTTTTTTTCACGACACCCGTCCACTCGCCTTTCACGGGCGCCGCCTCGGCCTGAATCGCCCGGCGGATCTGCTCGGCGGAGGCCATCTCTATCAGTGCAGAGGCGCCGCGACGGCACTGCAGCTGTTCAGGGAGTTGCGATCACGGACGTGCGAACCGGTGCGCGCGCGCCGCGGCGGCGTATTTACCAGAGAGGTAGTGCCTGTTCCAGAGAGGTGTGCGCCTCCCGAGCGCTGACGCGTCGAACGGATGAAAAATCGCAGCGCGCGCGAGCAATGGGCGACACCGCAGTGTTCAAACGAGCTTGCGCGTGTCGGCGCGGCTCAAAGACCAGCGCTGGGGCGCCTCTGCCAAGCTCCGAGAGCCTCGGCGTTTTGCAATGCCGTGCAGCTGTCGACGGGTACGAGACGTGCCGACGCGACGCCACACCCCGGAAAGGCTCCTTGGACGCGTCCAGCACGCTAGGAAGCCGCACTAGGAACATGCAAAGCTGCTTTCCAGCCAAGCCCAGCCACAGCCAAGCCGATCGATTACATCGACCACACGCACGCGCAGCAGCAGAACAGCTCGCAACGCCCTCGCAGCGATGCGCCCGCCAGCGCTCCTCCTCGCCGCCCTGGCGTGGAACGCGCAAGCAGCCATCCCCACGGCCACCTTAAAATTAGAAGGCGGCGCGACGCTCGCGGTAGCCCCGGCCGCGCTCGGCTCCCTCTTGCCCCCGTCAAAAGCGCAAGCCTTGCATGTAACCTTAAGATGGGCCGGCGGCCTAGCGGATGGCTGCGACCCGGGGGTCGCGAAGTGGCCGAGCGCGTCTGTACGAAGGGACGGCGTCGCCGTGTTGGCCGCGCGATCGCCGAACTGCACCTTTAGCGATCGGGTCCAGGCCGCCGCGCGAGCTGGACTGAGAGCGGTCGTCGTCTACAATACGATCGAAGGTATATATAGGAATAGAACTTATGCCACGGACAAGTACGACTACGACTGTTCTCGCGGTTCAGGTGTCGTGTCAAAATTCACGAAGGACGAGAAGATGGACGGCTTCCGTAGCTCCCCTTGTGCTTCGGAGTGCGATTCCGGGAGGTGCTTGCTCACGGGCAAGAAGATCGGGAGTACGAACGAGATCTGCTGCGCCTGGGACACGTACACGACCATGTCCGGCGATCCGACTTTGAACGTGGACGCGGTCTTCATTAGTATGAGAGACGCTGATGTTTTAAGAGCATCACCTTTGTTACAGATGCCGGCGCCGAACGCCCTACCTTCACAGTTATGGGACGACAACCAGGAGGGCTTCCTGTCCTGGTCCGGCGTCCTGATCTGGTTACTTGGGGTGTGTACGTGTGCCTACGCTTCCCATAAATCTTGCGATGACGTGAGAAAAAAACGGCGGCTGCCGACGCACCAACCCGCTGCGATCGAGGAGACCGACGACGAAGACGAGCCCTCCTTCGACCTGACACCTTTGCATGCGGTGGGTTTCATCGTCATCGCGTCGATGGCGCTGGTCGTGTTGTTCTTCTTCGACCTGCACATGATCGTGGTCTTCATGTATGCGGTCTCGGCGGCGTCGACGTCAGCCGCGGTCGTCTGGCGGCCCTTGCTGAAGAAGTGCCTCTCTTCTAGATATACGGTGGATTTACCTAGAATAGGTGAGGTAGCTCTGTTGGATCTCATCTCCGGCATTTGCGGCGTGACCATAGCGGTCTGGTGGTTGTGTGTCCAGAATGCTTCATATGCCTGGTTATTTCAAGATTTATTTGGGATTTGTCTGTGCGTCCTCTTTTTGAGTGTCATCAAGCTGTCTTCACTGAGAGTAGCGTCCTTATTATTGTGTATGGCTTTCTGCTACGACATCTTCTTCGTCTTCATATCTCCGCACCTGTTCGGGGAAAGCGTCATGGTGCGAGTGGCCACAGGAAAAGCCCCTACGAAAGACGCGGACTACTGCGAGAAGTACCCCGACGACAAAGATTGCCAGTCCCAGTCGTTGCCCATGTTATTACTACTCCCTCGATTCGATGGTCTTAGTGGATACACGATGCTAGGCTTGGGCGACATCGTTCTGCCTGGGTTGTTGGTAGCCTTCGCGGCGCGCTGCGACGCCTGCGCGCTACAGAGAAGATACTTCCCGCTCATGGTCTGCGGCTACGCCGTCGGGCTGGCCATGGCGAACGTCGCCGTGGCCTACTTCGCCCAGGGCCAGCCCGCTTTGCTCTATTTGGTGCCCTGCACGCTGGGGCCCTTCCTGCACGCGGCGCAGCGGGATGGTACCTTGCAGACGCTCTGGCAGGGGCCGCCCTCGCTGCTCGATCCGACGCCGGTCCGGGCGACGCGCGTCGTCGCTTCCGAGCCTTACCAGGCGTCTACGACCGATGATCAGAAACCGCTGATGATGTCGATTTAGATCGATCGGTGGCGTACATAAGTGATGTGTTACACAGTTAGAATATCTTGCAGACCCGCCACTCGGGCTCGTCGAGGGGCGACAGGAAGCGCCACGTCGAGAGCTGCTTCTTCTCGACCACGAGGCTCTGGCCCGCGATGTCGATCGCCATCTTCTCGTGGCTCTCGAACAATACGTCGAACTCCGCCGACACGACCTCCTCCTCCGAGCTTGGACTCTCCTCGCGCGCTTTGCGCAGCTCGAAGAGCTCGGTGGCGATGTCGCCGATCCGCTTCTCCCGCTCCGTCGCGTCGAGGGCGTGGAGCTCGTCGTCGTAGCCTCGTAGCGTGTGCTCCAAGTCGCGCTCCCTCTCTGACGCAAAAACGTCCGCAACACAAGCGTGGAGACTCCTCCGTGCGAGGGTCGAGGCCTCGAGCGTCATCGGCGCGTCGCCAGCGTGGAGCTCGTTCGCCGTATGCGCGAGCACGCGCGCTATTTGAGGCGTGCACGTCTTCGAGAGCAGTTCGGCGTCGTCCTCAGTCTGCTTCCGATAGACGACCTCGTTCAAAACGGCATAGGCGTGCGCGGCACCTTCGACAAATTCGGCGTAGTCAAAGTCTTTGAACCGTGGCGCGTCGAGCGGCGGGATCGAGCACTGCAGCGCCAGCGCAAGTCTTGGTATTTGCCACATCAGTTTCGTGTCGACGGCGCCGGACGCGACGAGCGAGTCATTCATGGCGCACGCACGGCTCACGCGTGCCGCGACGCGCGCGAACATGGTTGTTCGAGGATGACTGCGGGCGTGCGCGCGCGTACTGCGTAGAGATGCTGTGCAGTGGATGTCCAGTGAGTGGCAGGCCCACAGCAGTGTGCGAGGCAAGTAGCGCGCGGCGCAAGGACGCTCGCAGCGCGCAGTCGTTGCGTTTGCGAGTACGCGTGTAGGCCGCGCACCTGTCGTACTCGCTGCTTCGCGCTGGCTGAGCAGCACAATAATCTGGGCTGCAGAGCCAAGGCCTGCATGCACAACACGCCGCTGTGTGCTGGTCGCAACGCAAATCAGTATTCCTGCGTGCGGCTCGGTATTTATCAGAATTAATCGCGGGAGAACCGGCCACCGGTCGCGCCGCCCGACTCATAAAGACAGCAGCATGGCAGCCATGGAAGCACCAGCAATGATCGCGCCCTTCAAACCAGCAGCTGAGTGCGACGACAGGGACGTCATACACCTCAAGGGCTTTGCGGCCCGGCTGGATTTCGCCGACGCCGCGACGGCGCGGCAGGCGGACGCGTTGATCGACGCCGTCGCGGCGCACAAAAGAAGCAGACCCTCTCTCTGCGTCGCGTGGGACGGCGACGCGCCCGCGGACGAGAGCTTCACGCGGCTGCTACGGCGCTGCGCGTCTCTAGGCTGTGGCTTGATCGCGTTCTGCTACGCGGCCGACGAGGCGGCCTTCCGTAAAGCGTGGGGCCCGGAGAACCTGGCGATCCGCGGCTACGTCGTGGAGGAGCCGCCGGACGACGTGGCGTGCCGCTGGGCCTTCCTTGGCGTGTCGGCGTTGCGCGCGACGCGCGCGACGGAGTGCCTCTGCCTCGGGGGTGGGCCAGTGGCGCTGCGCGAGTTCGAGGCCTCGGCTGCGGCGTTCGTGCTGTACGAGGTGAGTCGGCGGCCACGCGACGGCGCGGGCGCGCCGGAGCGGTCGGCGCTCCTCGCGCGCGCATCGCACGAACGGCTGCGGGTGGTTTCGACGAGCGAGGCGACTGGCGGCGGCGACGAGCCGGCGACACCGCCCCCGCCACGCCCGCCGCCGCCGCCCAACGCCGACGTTGTTGTACAGACGTCGCGCCTGCCGGGCGCGGGCCTCGGCCTCTTTGCCGTGCGCGCGTTCGCAGTAGGGGAGCTCGTGTGCGAGTACACGGGCACCGTGCTCGACAGTGCGGCGCGGAGCCTGGAGGACAAGTCCTACCTCATGCGCCTCGGCGCGGGCGTGTTCGTAGACGCGCGGACGCACTACGAAGTCCACGCGCGCTACATCAACGACTGTCGCGACAAGCGCGTCCACAACGTGTCGTTCGACAAGCGGCCCAGCGAGCGGCGGGCCCTCGTCGTCGCCTCGCGGCCGATCGCCGCGGGTGATGAATTATATGCGTCCTACGGGCCGCTCTACTGGCTCGGCGCCGACATGCGCGGCGAACCGTCCGCGCGTTTGCCCGAGAGTGCCGTCGAGGCGCTCATGGCGCGCGAGCGCGAGTACTGGGACGGCGAGCGGTAGCGCCCATGTGTGTTGTTTGTAAGTGTACCATAAACAATCAGTTAGAAAAGGTCAGAGGGGATAGAGGGGACGGAGTCGAAATTCGTGGCTCTCGGCTGCTCCGTGGTCGGACTGTCCGGCTCGCGCTCATTGTCCATGGACGGCGTATTATTCGTGGAGAGCGACCCGGTGAGGAACGACGGCGTCGACGCCCACCGCGCGAGGGGCGTGTCCCTGTTCCGTCCCCGGCAGCAGCAACAGCAAAGACCAATAATGCGGGACCGGAGAGGAACCTCGCCCCGCTTGTGCCTGTGTGCCCGTCAATAAGTGATCTCGCGTTTGCGTGAAATGTGATTCGCGCACTGATGCGCGCAGAGCCGTGAACCGCAATAATGCGAGGGCGAGCAACCGCGCCATGAGCCCGAAGCAAAATAGGATCGGGAGGTTGAATACTTCCACGATTTGGTACTGCGGCTTAATTTGACAAATACCCTGCTCGCGGTCGACCTCCCGGACCTCCTGTGGCTTTTGCCGCAAGTCTCGCGGTTACGATTGCTCGGTGGCGTTATCCCTGGCACGTAGGGGTTGTCCGCTAAGAACCAAGAGGGATAGAAGGGCTTAACTGAGTCCTCAGGGTTGTGGCTCCGGCAAGCTTGCTGGGATGGCTAGTGTCTTACAGGCCGCTAGCTTACTGGAAGCCGCGCTTGGCTTTGTGCCAACCCGTCTGGAGAGCAACAGCAAGAACGTTATTCACACGAATATTTACAAAATTTCGAACGCGCGACGGGCCGACGTCGGGCGGGGAGTTCACGGCGCGTGCCCATTGTTCGGACTGACCGGGCGAAACGACTTGCCCATGGACCGCGTCGGGCTCTTCGGGATGGTCTCGCGGAAGTGATCCGTGAAATCAGGCACGAAAGGCATGAGCTCGAGCGCCTCGACGACGTGGAGGGCGCCGTCGCCGTCGTGGCACAGCACGTCCGTGGCGCCGTAGCCGTGCTCGGCGAGGAACGCGCGCCCCGAGGCGAACGGCGCGTGCGCCACGCCGAGGTCGTCGACGAGCGCGACGACGATGGGCCGCACGCCGTCGCGGCGTTTCTTGGCGAGCTCCGGGGCGAGCTGGCCGACCGGGTCCAGCGAGCAGCCGTACTCCAGGGCCTTGCGCTGGACGGCCGTCGCCACCGTGCCGTCGTCGAACGCGCACGCAACCCCATACCTCGTCGGGTGGAGGTCGTCGCGGTCGTCGCCCGAAGACGCGCGTTTTGCTGCCGCGTAGGCCATCGCCGCGGCGCTCCCGGACGGCAGCGTCTGCAGCGTCGTCGCCTTGGCCCACTTGCGCTGATCAGCGGCGCCCAACCTACAATAGGGCGACGCGCGCGGCAAAAGCTCCGCGAGCGTCACGTCGAGGCGCTGGCCGAGGTCCGGCGTCGCGGAGAGGACGCGCGTCGCCGGCGTGCAGAACGGGCTCGAGTACATGAACTCGCGGCAGAGCGCCCCGGGTGATATTGGTTGGGGCGCGTCCGTGACGATGTAGATGCAGCGCACCGCCCCCGGCCGCCGGACGCCGTAGAGCTGCAGCGCGCCGAACGCCACGCGCTCGGCGCAGACGCTGTTGTGCAGATTGCCCGCCTCGATATTAGTGCCCACAACGTATTCCCCTCGCAGCCGCGACCCCAGCGCCACCACGGCGACGACGCGGAAGGACGACTGCGGCGGCGGCGGCAGCGAGCGGCGGATGCGGTCTGCTAGAGCTAACCAGCATTCGTCGCGGTCGCACCATCTTTCCAATTGTCGGATGGCGAGCACCGCGGCGCCGGCGCCGGCACCGGCGGCTAGGACTGTTGTGGGTTTCATGAGTAGTGGCACGGTGTCTCTGGGTTGTGTGGGCACCAGTAGCGTCTCGGAATTGTGTGGGCACCAGTAGTCGGCGGTCACGAACACGGGCAGCAGTAGTACGTATGTGTTCGTGTCTTGTGCAGCTTTCAGCCGAGTCTTCTTGGGCAGGACCCGGCAGCTGTGGTAGTAGTGGATAGTTTGTAACTTCGACTGTGCTCTGGCGTCTCTCGGGTGGGCAGAACCAGGCGAAGAGCAAAAGTTGCGTCGAATGCTAGCAAGCTTATACGCTAGCTAGCAACGCCGCAGCTAGCTTTGCGAGACCTTCGCGGTTACAGTTCTGCGGGATTCATAGGAGATCGCCGAGCACAGCTACAGCCTGCTGATCTGCTTGGAGCGCCCGGCGTTGTGCCGTAAAGGGCCAAAATTGGCCATCGCTGCCTCCTGAGTGCTTTTGCGGCGGCGCGCAGCGCGATAGAGCAAAGGGAAGCAGCGCGCTAGAACGAAGGAACACAAAAAATGAACCCCTTCCCCGGCGACGACATGCGGCGCCCCGCGGAGGTCGCCGCGGCCGCCGCCGCCGCGGGCCAGCCCTGGGGCCTCGCCGTCGCCGTGCCGGGCCTCTACGCGAGCCCGCCCCTGTCGCCCGCGAACCTGCCGCCCGCGGCGCCCGCGGTGCCCGCACCACCGGCCGCGCCGCCGGCCGCGCCGCCGGCCGCGCCGCCGGCACCACCACCAGAACCGCCCAAGCCCGTGCTCACGGAAGCCCAACAAGCCGCCGTCGACGCGCAGCTCTGCGTCGCTTGTCGAGGAGGCGACCTCCCAAAGGTACGCGACGCCCTGAAGAAGGGCGCCTCGACGTCGTGTCAGAACGCGCACGGCTGGCGGCCGCTGCACAACGCGGCCGCGAACGGCCGCGCGGACGCGATCCGCGTTTTGGTGGCCGCTGGTGCGGATATACATGCGCGAGATTCATATGGATGGACCGCATTACACGACGCCGCGGCGCGGGGCCACGCGGACTGCGTCCGAGAACTGCTAAAAGCAGGGGCCGATAAACATGGCAAGGACAAGGCGGAGCTCACGCCGATCCATCTGGCGAAGCAGAATAGTCATCACGCGGCCCACGACGCCATGCTCAACCCCAATGCCGGGCAGAAGGCGGCGGTCAACGGCCCGGCGCCGGCGAAGCGCAAGCGGCCGCCCAAAAAGAAGAAGGGTGAGGCCGCGTCGCCGTCAGGTAGCGCATCCAAAAAGAAGAAGGGTGCCGCCGCCGCCGCGCCCTTCACGGCGCCGCCGAAGCCTGAGCCGGTGGCCGCGCCGCCGGCGTCGCCTTTCCAGATGCCTAAAGAAAATAGCTAGTTTATTTCTAAAGCGTCGCCCGCGTCCGGAGCTAAAAGCGTCGCCCGCGTCCGGAGCGGGAATTAAGCTCTGAACTTCACTATTCGGGGGTCAGTCGGAGAGGTCTGTTTTCAATAGCCATCCGCCTAGGCCTGTATACATTTATACTATATGTATGTATTTATACATATATATATATATATATACACGGATTCCTAGCAAGAGTATGTCGTAGCGTTATGTAAGTAGCAAGGTCCTGGCTAACCAGCTTAGAGCTGATAGGCCTGACTGCGAGAGTGTTTTATAGTGAACTGTTGTTACACCGTAGTGCTTTTGACACTCGATGTATAGACTCAAATATTAGAGAGTGGGAGATACATATCTAGGGTACCCACAGTGGTAGCGCCGATGAAACATTCTTGCCTTGTGTCCTTGTTTAGTGTTACAGGCAAGGCAGACATGTTGACGATTGGTTTTTCTCCAGGAAGAGGATCAGGTATGTCTCTGGAGAGGAGCCCCATTGCGTTTTGTACGAGCCGGTTAAGTTCTTCTTGATCCATCGCTGGATATTCACTTTCTCCGCTCTTTTGGGGTGTTTTCTCTTTAGATTTCTTTTTGGGTGTTTTTCCTTGTTTAGGCATTCACTGTAAAACACTCTACGTCAATAGGCAGAACCCTGTGGGCCCATAACCTAGCAAGAGTATGTCGTAGCGTTATGTAAGTAGCAGGGTCCAAATTACACACTTTTTGTGGTGGTAGATCGGCTCCTGGAGGCCTCTCGAGGTAGGTCTGGTAGTGGGTAGTCGCCTGTACCGCATACGCCGTCGATGCGGCGGCCTAGTGGTCCCCGAGAGCTCTGGAACCAATTGCCACGCCATTCATGCTTTTGTTGGCCGACTTGTTGAGAGAATTCGGCCAAAAATGCTCGAAGCGGCGGCGTATGCGACGTAGGCGCTTGCACGTGTATAGTACCGACCCTAGGCGACCCCAGGGGCACCTCTTCGGCGGGGATTGACAGGATTACACCGGTGCGGCCGCCCTGTGGCCTCGTCCGCCTCCGCACCGCGAAACTATTTTTGGCCCCCAGTACGTGTCCCATTGATCTCCTTGGACTAGTAGCGAACGGAACGGTACTCAAACAGCTGCATGCGCGTTCCGAGTTTGCTGGCTAGTGTCTTACAGAGGCGCTAGCTGATTTTGTTTTTCAGCGGTTTTGGCTGCCGTACGCGCAGCATCGATACACTTTCGCTACAGCCGTTACGCAGTAGTCGCGCGTTAGCCACGCCGAGCTGCTGAAAGAAAAAAAAACGCATCTGTACGGCGTCTTTGGCTTGCATTAAGGAGGCAGTGTGGCAGTGTGCTGTACAGAACTGCAGGAAAAAAAGCAATGGTCTACGTGGACGGCCAAGGCAACATCGTGCGTCCGCGCCGCGGCATTCCTCGAATATGGATGCTCTGTGCACTAGTCGCAACGGCAGCGGTCATGGTGCAATGTGTGCCGTCGCTGGCGGAGCTCAAGGACCACCGAGCCCGCGCCGACGGCCTCTGGCTGTCGCCGACAGTCGAGTGGCACGCGTCTCTGGGTATCGCGTCGGTAGCGAAGTGCGACGTAGTTCACGTCGGTGCCTTCGGGCGCTGGATTGCTCCTGCCGATCTCGTGCCGAAGCAGCTCAGGCCGCGGCTCGAGGCAATCGCGGCCGACGACGCGCAGCTCCTGCTCGCGATCGTCGCCGCAGTTTTCATTGCGCACGTCCTGAGGCCGGGGTGGCTGTTCCTACGCCACTTCGCTGCTTCCGCGGAGGCGCTGCGCGCGGGCCGCTACTGGTCCCTCGTCCTCGCGGCGTTTGCGCACGACGACCTCATGCACGTCGGCTTTAATTTTATGGCGCTCTCGCGTGCGGCGCCCGCGCTCCAGGGTCGCCTAAAGCACGACCGGACGACGTTCTGGTGTTTCGTGCTGCTCGCCGCGGTCGCGTCCTCGCTCGCGTCAGTCTTCGGCCGGAGCACGACGGGCTACACGGAGACGAAAGGTGCGAGCGGCATCGTGTTTGCGATGATGGCCCACGCCGCGGCGACGAACCCCGCCGCGCCGATGTTTGTATATGGAATGGAAATGCCGGCGGCCACCGCGCTCGTGGCGATGCTCGCCATCGACGTGCTAGTCAGAAGCTCACGAGGCATCGACTACGCGTGCCACGCGGGCGGGGCGCTCTTCGGCCTCGCGTTTTATGAGTACTATAAGTTGTATTGAATGTTGGAAACGAATTAACTTAGTACCCCAGCACGAGCTCCTCGCAGCCCAAGATGGACGGGTGCGCCGTCTTCTCGAAGACGGACGGCCGCGTCCCGGCCGGGTCGACCTTCTTTTTCGTGGCAGGAGCCAGCGTCCCGTAGACCCTGGTGTACGTCTGCAGATCTAAGAATGAGGACGAGTAGAGCATCTTGATGCCCGCGTGCCGCCGGACGCACAAGTCGTCGATGCGCCGCGTCTCGGCTAAAGCCTCATCAAAAGGTACGTCGATCTCGGTGTAGGTCCCGAGGTTCAGGTATCTCCCTTCTCGTTCACAAGGGTAGTGCGTCGCTTTATTGGATGAGGTACCGACCGGTAGCAGCATGTAGGGCACGCCCTTCCGGTGGGGTCGCGTCTTCGTCGCCTCTCGGACGAACTCGTCCGCCCGGGACCAGGGCACGGCCCAGTCCTGCACAAAGGGCTGGCCCTGGGGCTTCCACAACGTTTCCAGACGGTGCCAGGCCTTCACTAGTCTCAAGGAGCGGAGCCACTTGTATGTTGACGAGGTTCGTAATTTACGAGGCGTCACAAGGCGCACGAGCCATCCGCCGGCGTCGGTGGGAATGTTCCAGAACCAGTCGGCGTCCCAGCGGAAATAGTAATTCGGGGACGTCATGTACATCGTCCCTGGCTTGCCGACGGCCTTGTAATATATCGAAAGGCCGTCGAAGCGTTTTAGTTTTTTACCTTTCGGGACTTCGTCCACATAGTTCGTCAGCGTCACGCTCACTTTATCCGGCGCCCACCAGAGGCCCTCGACGAACTCGCTCGTCGCTTCCGCCTGCTCCATCGCTGTCATCGCTTCCTTGAACGACTTGTGGATGGTTGTTGTGACTGCGACATAAGGCCTTGATGCCACCAAGCGTAAAGTAGCCCGCAATACATACCCCAACGTCCCATATGAATTAGGTAGCGCGTGGAAGACATCCGCGTGCTCGTTCGACGCGCTACACCTTAGAATTTCGCCGCCGGGCGTCAACAAATCGCATTCCACCATGGCCTGGTGGAACCAGCCGTAGCGAAACGAGCCTGACTCAATACCGATGCCCGCGATCGCGCCGCCGACCGTAATGTGCTTGAGCTCCGGCACGATGGGTATCCGGTAGCCGCGCCAGTCCAGCGCTCTTACTACCGTCTCCATCGTGGCGAGGCCCTCGACCTGCACGAGCCTCGCTTCATCATCAATATGGACCACGTTGTTAAATGCTGATAAATCTACTCGACCTCCAGTCCGTTTGGCGCCCTTGGCCTTGTGGTAGGCGAACTGGTTGCCGGTGGTGGCCTTGGCGACGGACGCGAAGCCCTTGATCGAGCCGCTCGCTATCAAATCCTCGACCTTGTCGTCGTAGTGCTTCTGCGGCTTCGGGGCTGTGCGCCCGCAGCACAGCATGGTGAGGCCGACTATGGTGAATGCGACGGCGGCGGGCAGCAGGTCTATCAATTCGGGTTGGAAGTGGAGCATCAATGCTGCGCTGCCTTCGTTGCGGCGGGCAGCAATGCGTTGCGGCGGGCAGCAATGCGGCCACGCGGCGACGGCGCGCGATTCGGCACGATCAAAACCGAACCCGCACGTTTGCTAGCCTATGGGATACCTCACGAGACTTATTTATGTCCGGGCATTGAGTAGATATCGCGCGGGTAAGTTAGACGCGCGAGCGCCCTCGATCCGCATGCGGTACATTAGTAGCGCGGGAGATTGATGAGCTTCGGGCAGCGCTTGGTAACGTCCTCGATCATGCTCTTGGGTAGGTTAGAGTGAATACCGAGGTATGTCAGCTCGGGCAAAGACGGTAGAAACGTGAGGTCCGCGTCGGTTAAGAGCGCGTATCCCAGGTCTAACTTGCGCAGCGTCGGGTGGCCGGCGAGGTGATAAAATCTCTGGAAGCCGCGGTTCTCTCTCCCAGTACCGTGGATCTCAAGCGACTCTAATTTAAGTAATCCGCGAAGGACCGCCAAAGCATCCGCGTCGACGTGCTCGCCGAGGTAGTTCAAATTCAGCCTATAGGTAGTATACTTATACATACTTTTATACAAGGCGTGGGGTACTTAATTCGGGTTTTGGCACCCGGCTATCGTCTGCGCGCGTGAACGTAGGCCTATCTACATACGCATACGGCGGGATCAAAATGGGGTTTCGCCGAGTATTGTAAACCCCGCGTTCGCCCCGGCTAGGCGGCCTAGCAAGGCAAAGCAACACTAACCACAAATTACCCAATCACCCCTCAAACGGGTGGGGGCGCTTGATGTACTTGTCCCGCAAGAGCGCTGGCATGGGCTCCGGCTCCCAGAAGTCGTCCTCCTCCTCCACGTGTGACGCCGCGGCGGCGACGAGATTTCGGTCGGCGAGGGATAAATCAACACCTGAGAGCAGCTTCGCGGTCCGCGCCGCGGCGCGCCGCTTTAATCGACCCGGCGACGAAGGCCCTTCACTAGCGTGGCGGCCCCAGTAGCGCCGCTGCTCCAGCAGAATCTTCGACTCGCCCTTGTTCGATGATAAACCGAGGCGCCGCCGCCGTCGTTTTGAGCCCATGGTCGCCGCCTTCTCCAGGGCGTCTAATAGTGAATCCATCGCATAGGCGTCCTCCGCCAATTCCAGGACGTGGCTCGTCCAGATCTGCCGCGGGACACAAGTCCCGCCGAGATGCTGGATGTCCTCGAGCTTCTTCTTTTGGTTGCCGTGTCTCACTGATTCCTCACTGGCACGGTGCTCGTGGCACCTCACTGAAAGTTCCTCCAGTCGTAATTGTCCAGGGACATTAATCCCCGCGACCGCCGCGAGGTCCTCCAGGACACTTAACCGTACTCGTTTCGGCTGGTTCTTCACTTTTGTTGTTGCCGTCGTGGAGGATGATACTACGGTCGCGTCTTCTGTCATATCATCTAGTACGACGGGGAGCTTGGCCGTGACGTCTCCGAGGCGATCATAAAGCGCATCAATCCGCCTAGCAGCCACGCCGCCGATGTGGTCCTTCAAAGACAATTCTTTTTCGCTCATTTCCTTCTTGACGTAGCGCGGCGTCGTAGTACTGCGGGTGCTCCTTTCTCGTTTCAGAGGCGCCGGAGCAGCAGGAGCAGGTGCAGGAGCCTCCTCGTCTTGATCCTCCTCCATCAAAGCCGCCAATTCGGCGTCGTCCTGCTGCGCCGCCAGCAGCGCCGTGCGCCGCAGTTCCTCGGCCTCGTCGCGGCGCTGGTCGGCGATGTCCGCTATACTACCACGCCAGCGCGCCGCCGCGTCGGCGTAGGCGCGGTTCTTTTTGCGCCGGCGCCGCGGCGGCGGCGCCCGCGCCTCCTCCGCGGGCGCGGGCGCGGGCGCGGGCGCGGGCGCCGCCGCGCGCCGCGCGGCGGCGCGGCGCCGCGCGCGCCGGCGCCATCTTACCGCTAACATGATGACCGCCGCGGACGCCTGGAACGGCGCGTTCAGCTCGGCGTCGCGCATGTACTTGGCGAAGCTCGTACACGCGTCCAGCAACTCATTGGTCGCGTCTGACACGGCCGCCGCTTTCTTGGACCATGCTTCGCCCGTTTGTATGGTTGAAGCGGTCTCCTCCCCCTCCATCATGGTTTGTTGCGTCTCACTGATATGCTGTAAAACCGCATCACATAAAGGCCCGAAGTTCGAGGATAATCGAGTCGCCATGCCCAGAGCATCATTCACGTCCTCGGCGGGCAGGCGCGCCGGCGGCTCCTCATTTAACAAGAGGGCGTCCCGCACCGCAGCACAAGAGTCCTGCAAGTCATCGGCTTTGTCCAGGGCCTCGTCCGTGCCCGCTCTTTTTTCGTCGACACTTCTCGCAGCGTCGAGCAATGCGTGCTCGATGTCGATGACCGACGACGTCTGGAAGCGCCTTAAGATGTTCGAGGCGTCTCTTAATAACTGCAGGTCCCTTCTTTGGGGTTTTAAAGCTGCCTTGCGAGCGGCGGCCACGGCCAGCGCTAAAGTGTTGATTGGAGGAGGCGCGTCGCTATCCACACTTTCTAAGGCAGCGGCCTTCTTCGCCGCCATGCGGAACCTCGACTTCCACTTCGAGGTTGTGGAGGACGCCTCCGACTGAAATGAGGACAAGGAGGCCCTTGTTTCAGTCTCTTTACCTTCTGTTATCGTCGAGACCTCGGGTTTTATCGGAGAGGGCGGCGCGGTCGAGGCCTCGTCGCCCTCCTCCGTCAGTGTTAAATCGCCACCTAGAGTGCGCCGGTAGAAGGCCGGCCTCAGAGCTCGGAGCTCGGGCGGTCGTTCGACGCCCAATTCCGCCGCGGAAGCGATGCGCGGGCCGCTCGTCACCGACGTCGTTCCCGTCTGCCTTGTGGTCAGACCGCTCCTCGAATCTCGAGACCCGCGCGACGCCCTCGACTTTTTCGTAGAGAACGAGCCCTCTTCGTCCGGTCTTTCCAGTCGTCGCGTCTCGGCGAGCTCCTGCCGTTCGCCAGCCTTCTTCCGTCGTAATCGAGATGCCCGACCTTTCCCGTAGACGTGCGTGACGCGCCAGTGCTCCGCATCATCAGCAGACCACACATCCAGTACTTTCTGCGTCTCGTTCCGCAATTGGGCCGCCGAGAGCCGATCCCCTCGCGACAAAATAGCCACCTCCGCCTGGTTCCGCTCGGAACTGCGGTATTCCGGAGCCGCTGGCACGAAGCCCTGGTCCTCGAGGCCCTGCAAGCGCTGGTGCAGGCGCTGCGTCGTGCTCAGTGCAGATTCGGCCGCGCGGTCGGCATCTTCAATGGTCTTGCGCATCGCTTCTCGCTCGTCATTCGAGAGGAGCTCGCGCGGCTCTCTCACTGTATTTTGCGGCGCGGGCCACTGAGTGCCTTCAATGGACCATCGCGGCCGCGTCGTCGGCATGCCGGGGCTGCCCCGTCGGGCGTGTTGTGTTGTAGTGATGAGGCAGCAGGAGTATGATGGTACGATGCGCGTCTGGCGCCAGGAACAGCCTGAACGCCGCGGCGGAGCGCGGGGGGCAGCCGCGGGGCGCCAGCAAGCCGAGGCCATTGTTTGCCTTTTCAAACAACGGTAGCGCGGAGATTTGCCTCGGGGCGTCCAGGGCGTCGGGGACGCCACCTCGGAGGCTCCCGGGGAGCGGCTGCGTGGTCGTTAGGGCTTTGGGGCACGCACCCCTCCGTGGCAGAAAATGGCCCTTCTAGGACGTGTTGGACTCCGTTTCGCTGCCCGGGCGGGCGCGTTTGGGGGGAGGGGGGTGGCTGGCGTGTATATGGGGGGCAGGGCGTGGGCTTGTGGCGCGTTGGAGGGCTGGAAAGTGCTAGCGTCTCGAGACACACTAGCCTCTACCTCGATCGAGCTCGTGAGCTTAAAAACCGTACACCGCCGTGCCCCAAATTACCCCCCAGCCTGCGCACGTTTCTAGGGTCTCTGAAAAGTCGCCAAAAAGCTCTGGGCACCGCCTCGCCGCCGCCTGGCACGCCGGGCGCGCGAAACGGGCGCGCCGCCGATTCTGGGGCGCGAACCAGGAGGGGCGGCGGGCGTGCCTAAAGAGGCTGCGCCAGCTCACCGGAAGCCCACACACACACCCCGGACGGCCTACAAGTAACCGCCGCCCCCCTCTCCCCGCGCGCGCGCCGAGGCATGCGCTTCGGCGGCGCGCGGAAACGGGTCCTAATGCCCACTTGACGCGCCGCCGCGCATCGGCAGAGCGCACGCCCCGGCACGCGCGCGGAACCGGGCCCTCAGACACCCTCGGCCCACCGCCCTGCCGCGGCAGAACGCTCACGGCGCGCGTGCGGAAACGGGCCCTCCACACACCGAGACCACGCCGCCACGCCGCGGCAGAATTCTCACCGGGACCCGCTCGCAGAATTTCCAACCATGCCTGACTACGACATCTCCGCCTCCCTCGACCTGCTGCTCTCGAAGCCGTGGGACGACGTCCTCGCCGAGAACCCCAAGTTCAAGCAGGCGACGGAGAACTGGGGCGCGCAGACGGCGGCCAACTACAAGTCGGTCTGGAAGGCCGAGTCGAAGCCCTCGCTCTCGTCGCACCTCACGGGCTACATCAACGACGGCAAGTTCGAGCCCTCGAGCCTCGTCGTCAAGGGCGCTTAGATAGACTGGGACCCCGGCCGCGGCCGGGGGCCTCCGTCCGGCGGCGTCTTTCTGAAACGCGGCCGCCCCTCTGCCGTCACTGGCGGCGGGGCGGTCGGCGGCTATGCGTCCACAGGCACGCGGCCGCTCTCGCGTTTCCGGTAAAGCGTCGGCGGGCGGGGGTTCCCTGACCGCGCCGTCCTCCCTTCCCCTCCCTGAGTACGGGCCTCCGGGCTCTTTCCCTAAAATTTAGCAAAAAAATATCGTCTTTGGGAGAATCACGGTGCGGGGAATTGCGCGTCGATGGCGTAATGAGGCGCTCAACGATTCCTAGTGTCTTACAACACGCTAGCGCGGTTTTGCACCGCGAGTGACAACTTGGCCCGTACACGTTGTTCAGTGGGCCATCGAGCTATAGATACGCTGCGCTGGACTCGCTGTCCAGCTGTGCTGGTCTAACGTGTACGAGCTCGATCGCAGTGCAGCACACTGAGATCTCACTGAGCAGACACAATTTGTGCGGCAGCGATCTCGCAATCGCTACCATTAGCACAAAATGCCGAACAACACCACGCTCCTCGCGGCCGCCGCGTGTATCGCAGCGATAGCCCTCGTCATAAGACGAAGACAAAAACCGCAAGACGACGACGACGCGACGAGACATGTTTATAGGATAGTGCTCACGGGCGGTCCCTGCGCTGGAAAAACCACAGCCATGGCGAGATTATCAGGATTCCTCCAGGAGCGAGGCTTCCGCGTCTACACGGTACCCGAGATGGCCACTTTGCTGTTCACGAACGGCGTGGCCTTTAGCGATCTGGATAAGGGCGCCCTGGCGATGCAGCAAGCTGTGTTGAAAGGTCAAACTACCCTAGAAGATGGGTTTCGCAAAGTTGCGGCAGCTACGAGAGCGCCGGCGGTTGTTTTATGCGATCGGGGCGCGCTCGACGGGAAGGCCTACATTTCCGATGATTTGTGGCGGGAAGTAGCCTACAACACGCCCTCGCATAGTATCAACGAGCGGCTGCTTTGTGAGCGGTACGACGCGGTGTTGCATCTGGTCACGGCGGCGGCCGGTGCGGAACGATTTTATACCTTGGAGAATAACTTGGCACGGACGGAGTCCGTGGAAGAAGCGAGGAAGCAGGACATTCAGACGCAAAAAGCTTGGGCGCCCCATCCTAGGTTGTATGTTGTGGATAATGCTGGGAACGGAGGCTTCGAGGGAAAATTAGAAAGAGTCGTCGAGGCCTGCGCGGCCGTCGTCGGGTTACCTGTACTACCGAAACACACGCGCAAGTTCCTGCTCAAGAGCGACCCGCTGGCTTCGGTGTTCTCACAAAATGGCGTGCGAACCTCGACGTTCCGCGCGACGAAGACGTTTCTCAAGCACGCGCCTCAACGCGACACGTCCATGAGTTACGCGCTACCACAGAGTCCCTCTTCGTATTCAAATCATGCTTATGTGCGAAAACGCATTTCCGAGGAGGGCTCCGATAGTTATCAATACTCGGAAGTTATCTTCGACGGGAACGAAAGGCATGAAAGGAAAAGGCGGATCTCGAAGCGCGAGTACGAGTTGTACCTAAGAGACGCGGATCCCGAGAGGTCGCCCGTCGAGCAATCTAGACTGCACTTCCTCTACGAGAATCAAAGTTTTGTGGTGCATTGCTACCTGGACCGCAACCTGGCGGTACTGCACTGCCAGGCGGCGCGGCCCGACGGCGTCGCGCTCCCTCCGTTTTTGGACGTCGGCGCGGAGATCGCGCACGCGGACCGGGAGCGCTTCTCGGCCTATGGGTTGGCCGCGCTGCCTGTGCCTAGAGCTGCCTCGCCGGAAGGAGGGCGGCGGCGGTTCCTGCCTCCGTCGAAGAGCGACGAGTCGGAGAAGTAAATTACCTGTTACGAAGTGCCTCGAGCGTCCCCGGCGGGCACCCCGTCTCGCCAATGATAGGCCGCGCATGGACCCAGATGCGCCCGATCCACTTCTCGGCGCCCGGCGCTTCACCCTCGTGCTCGAGTCGCTCGTCGAACTGCCCCGAGGCGTCCGCGGGGAAGAAGAGGCACGCGTCGCCCTTCCGGGGCGCGACCGTTATACCAAGTTTGTTGAAGCGCGTGCGGCCACCATCATCAACGTCGTTGAGATACACGAGCAACGTCGCGAGGGTCTGGCCGCCCCGGGCCACGTCCTCGGCGTCGGCCGCGCGATTCGCGTCGTAGTGCGGCGCCAGCGCGTCGCCCGGGTCGTATTTTATGAGGGTCAGGGCCTCGCAGCTCTCTGGGGTTATTGATGGTAATAACTCCAGCAATCGTTCATAGCAGGCGACCTCACCTTGTGCTGGTGTCGACCCGCGCAGCGCCACGGACTTGCTGGTCCGCAAAGCCTGGAGCTTCTCCTTGCGCTGGTCCAGGAAGCCGAAGATCGCCACAGCGGCCAGCCCGAGATTCACAACATAGACCCCGAGCCCCGTTTCCGCCAGTTGGATCCGATCCTCGACGCCGAAGATATTCACTGAGATGAGAACGGCCGCGAGGGCGATCCAGGCCGCCGGGCCCGACGCCCACGTCTGCAGCAATTCCGCAGCGTCTTCGGTCCAGCCGGCGTATTCGACGGGCGACTTCTCCAGGGACGCGGCGCGGCCTGCCGCGAGCAACCCGTCGCAGTCCTCCTTCTTGATGAAGTTGCGCAATATGAGGACGTCCGGGTCTCTGTGAACGTACGTTGTTTGTGCGTCGTCGGCGAGTGGGAGGTGGGCGCCGACGGCCTTCACGAATTCGAGGGGCGGGGCGGCGTGGTGCCGTGTCCTGATCGGCCGGCGCGGTGCGGGGAGTATCAATGCTGCACAGCTGCTAAATGTCAGCCACAGCGTAATGCAGTGTTTGGAGCGCATTCTCGCGCTCTCGGCTACGTAACGACGCAAGCAAAAGGGCTGTGAGTGCAGTGCTGTTGCCTCTGTGCGGCCCGCAGTCTAGTGCTGGCTCTAAAAGCCGGCGTGATCAGTGTTTGTGACCTCTGTGGCCACGTTGGCCACTCGTGCCGGCCGGAGACGGCGCTAGGCGCTCGTTCAAGGCTCGACTCTGAGCATCAAGGGGGAGCAGCAAAACTTGCTGTGCAAAAAGAGCTGTGCCAAAGCGCTGCCAAGCTGAACACAGCCTCAAATTCTTGAGCTGGCACGGCTGCGAGTCGAGCGAACAACAATGCGTGCGCAACGACTCGCAGCGCTCTGCCTCCCTGGCCTGGTCTGCGGCTTCATCACGCCAACGCGGCACGCCGTCAAGCCGACCTTCGATCCCTTGCGCCTGTCAAAAAAGGAGTCGACCTGGGACCGCCTGACCGGGCCCAAGCTCTTCAAGACCGTGAAAAGGACCGAAGGCATCCACGCGGTGCCGCTCGTCCCGCTAAGGGTGATCGCAGGCATACTGATGATCCACCACGGCAGCGAGGGCGGCTTCTGGCCCGCGAACTACGGGACGCCCGGGTTCGACGGGTTCGTGACTTACGTGCTGCAGCCCTACTTTTCATTTTTACCTGGAAGCTTGGAGACGTGGAGCGCGATCCATGATTATGCGGAGTTCTGGGGCGGCGCGCTCCTCGCGGTCGGTTTCCTGACGCGGCCCGCGGCGCTGTCGCTACTGGTCACGATGGCCGCGGCCGTCTATTTTCACGTGGCGTCGACGGGCCTGCAAGGCGCGCCGTTCGGGCACGTCGAGAACTACTCGTACAACTTCGAGGAGCCCGCGTTGTATGGCCTGATCTTCCTGCTCTTCTTCTTCAACGGGCCGGGGCCGCTGTCGGTCGACAGCGCGATCTATAGCGCGTTGGCGCCGGACGACGACGACTAGGCCTCTTAAATGCGGATGTGATGAGTTTGTTCTTCGGGGCGCGTCGGTGGCGTACAGAGGCGTCTCCAACACGTCGCGCGTGGTACGTGGCTAGCTGCAAGACACTAGCAAGCAGGCAGGCTCGAGCAACCTGCGCGCGGCGCGTCCTTACGCGCTTGTGGCTGCCGCTTGCAACTCATTTTGATGCCCCACAGCAGTCTCGGTCGCTGCATCCATCCGTAAGGCCGCGCGCTGCACATACAGCCAGCCAAGCGAGCGAGCAGCCCTAGCACGCCGTCGCGGCGCCTCGCGCGGGCGCACCGATTATAGACGATGGCCTCCGCCGAGCAAATCCGCCGCGCCATGGAGGCGGAGGCGCCGCCGGACGACGTCGAGTACCGCGCGCCGCCGGTCGTCGACGTGGCTGACGACGAGAGCGAGGCGCCGGCCGGCGTCGCGCCGCGCGCGGACGCGGACGACGACGCGGAGGCGCCGCCCGTCGGCTGGGCGGAGGAGCGACTGCGAGCCGTCATGGGCGCCGCCGTCGACGAGTGGCTCTCGATCGCGGACTGGGACTACCAGCGGTGGAAGGAGTTCTACTCCTCCCGAACTATATTGCATCAAATCCCGCGCACGCCACTGCTGTTCGAGGTCTGCATCGAGCTCGTCTGCTCGCCCGGGAACGACCAAAAAACCTTACAGAGGGGAGCTGCGGGGTTGTTCGCCCTCTACACCTTCTACAAGACGCAGACCGGTCGTCAACAAAAAGCTGTCATGGATATTGATCAATTTGAGTGGTTCTTCGCGCTGCAGGACGCCGCGCGTGGCGCCCCCGGCCACCGGGGCGCCCACGACGTCCAGGTGATCTTCAAGATGTTGTTCGACGACCAAGGCGCGGACGTCGCGCTGCGCCGCCGCGCGCCGCAGATGCCGCCGCCCGAGGAGGCGTGGCCCGGCGGCCTGGACCTGCGCGACGTCGCGGAGGCGAGTCGCAATTACGACGCGGTGCGGCCGGGCGGTGCGGGCTCCCTCGTCGCCGACCTCAAGCGGCTCTGCGCGCGCTACAACGGCGCCGCGCCCGCCGCGGCGGTCATTGAGGCGCCGGCGCCCGCTCCCGCGCCCGCGGCGGCGCCGGCGCCGCCCCCGGGCCGCTACGACCGTTTGATGGCGCTCGACGACCTCGGCGAGGCCAGCGACGAGGACATGGCACCGCCGCCGCCGCCACGACGGCCGCCGCCGCCGATCCGCGCGCCGCCGCCCAAGCGCCACGCGCCGGCAGACGAGGCGCGCGTCGTCGCCGCCGTGCGGGCGGCCCTCAACGGCGGCGGCGACGCGACGGCCGCCGCGCGGGCGGTCCTCGAGGCGGCCCGGCCGCGACCGCCTCCGCCGACCGCCCCCGCCAACGGGCTCCAGCAGCTGCGGGACATGATGAACGAGTCCGACGACGACGCGGTCCTCGACGCGGCCCGGCCGCGCCCGCCTCCGCCGATCGCCCCCGCCAACGGGCTCCAGCAGCTGCGGGACATGATGAACCAGCCGCGGCCTCCGATGATGGCACCACCTCCGCCGCAGTGCGCGCCGATGCCCATGGCCCCGCCGCAACCGACGTACGCGCCGGCACCGATTGCGCCGCCTCGGAGAACGACCGGCCCCGACAATGGGCTCCAGCAGCTGCGGGACCTGCTCGCCCGGTCCGACGACGACGACAGCGTGCCGGAGATCCCGGGGACGACGATCTGAGACATGTGACGTATGTACTAATCCTTGTTAAACTTCGACACCACGACGTCGGGCGGCGCCACGGGCCGCCCCCGGATCACGTCGACACACACACACGAGATCCGCGCGAAGGCCGCCGGCGCGCCGTTCACTGCCACGTACTGGTCGAAGACGATGCGGGTCTTCACCTGACTGACGTCGGCGATGACCTCCACGGCGTCGCCGATGTTTGCGGGGACCGTCGCATGCCTCAGGCCGTCGACGCCCGCGACGACCACCGAAATGCCGTCCGCGAGGAGCGCCGCGAGGTCGTCCGGTCCGCCCAAGAATGTGGAACGCGACCGCTCGAAGGCCCTCAAACAGGAATCGAGCGACAACCCGCCGTCGCGCCCGTCCAAGTCGTCGTGGCGGCACGTGTGCTGCATTGACAACCTAACTTTCCCGAAGATGGGGGCCGGCGCGGCGCTCGGGGTGACCTCCTCGTCACTTGTTCTTCGCACCGTCATCAGCTGCACGCCGTCCCGCTCGATAGTCTGGGCGTGGTTGCTCGAGCCGTCCTCGAAGGGCGTCGTGTGCACCGTGAGTTGGTCGCCGAGGACCGCTGGTCTCCTATAAGCCATGCCGTCGACGGCTCGGAGGCGTTTGCCCAGGCCGTACTCGAGCCACTTGAAGTAGTTCGCGTAGAAGGTCACCTTGAAGCAGTCCGTGGATTCTATGTATACTTTCACGTCCGTCGTCGTTGTTGCGTGTCGCGGTGGTGCCCGTCGTAGCAAGCGCTGCGGCGGGCGGAAGGCAACGATGTGGTTGCTCAGCAAGAGCAGGGTGTAGAGCATCATCATCTAGCGCGCGTCGGCGGCGTCAAGCGTGTTTGAGGCGCCTCGCAGCTGAGGGCTGTTGCTGCTCTGTTATTGCTCGAAAGTTGATTCTGGAAAGTGCTCTGCGGCAGCGCAGCAACAAAGAGCCGTAACCTGTCGCGTGGTGACTGCAACGAAGCGCGAGCGGCGTGTAGTCCAGTCCAGTCGGGTACGTCATAAAACCTACTAGTGTTATACGCTAGCCCAAAAAATACTTCGACGGCAGCCCAGTTTTGCGTGCGCGGCATTCGGTACGCACGCACAGCAACATTCAAGCTAGAACGCTGCCAAATGTGGGCCGCTCTGAAGGGAGATGCAGCCAGCAGTGGTCCAGACAGCACTGCTGGACCACCGCCGCCACCAGCCCTGGCCGCACCGCCACCCTCCCCAGCAGCCACAGCCGTGAGGGAAGCGGAGCGGCGCGCCAGCGACCTGGAGAAAGAAATGGCGGACGCCGAGGCCGAGATATTCGGAGGCGCCGACACGCCACTCAATCTCGGAGAGGGCGGAGCCGTCCTGCCTCCGGCAGACACGCCCGCAGAAGAGCCGAAGCCGAAAATTTCGTCTCAGGAGGCGCTGGCGAAGGCGCGAACCGAGACCGAACGCAAGGAGCGGCAAATCAAGCAGAACCTCTCGTCGCAGCGGGAACGCGTGAAGAAGGAGGCTGCTCGGTTAGCCTTGTTCGAGGGCGAGCTCGCGAAACTGAAGGAAAAGGAAGCCGCGGACGTGGCTGATCTGCGGTATCAACTCGAGGAAGCGGACCGAGATTTGGTATGGCTTGAGCGAGACTTCAAGACCAAGGAAGCGGCGTACGTCAAGGCTAAGGAGGCGTTCGAGACGGCGGCAGGCCGTAAGAGAGAGATAAAAGAATCGATGACGCTGCTCGTGCTCAGCTCGGAGCGGCGCAAAGAAGAAAAACTGAATGAGCTCATGGCGAAGATGTCAAGCGACGACGCGTGAGGAGCGAGGGTGGGTAAGTGTGTGTGTGACTGTGTCTTGTGACCCATGCTTGCTTGCTAGTGTACTTTTTGCGTTGCTAGGACTAGTGTGCGGCTGGGGCCAGGCGGGGAGACTTCCTAGTGTGTTAAGGCCGCTAGCTGATTATCCTGGCAGCGCCTCTGCTTTGGTGCAGGGGCCTCGCCGGGTCCGAAGGCTAGGAGGACCGGCTGACGTGCGAGGCACGCTGCGGAGTATCACTGTTCTATAGAGACAGCATCACAAAAGAGGGAGATCCTGCACTGCGCCCCCTAAGGACTTGACTCAGCCTCTCGGGTGACACGAAATTAGAAACAGCGCGGCCGCTGGACGTCCTCGACGCACGCCCGTCGCCCAAAAGCAACCAGAACCATGCGCCGCGCGCTCCTCCTGCTGGCCGCCGCAACGGCGACGACCAACGACGGCGTCTCGTACGAAGCCAGGATTGTATTAAGGGACCGCGTCCGCGACATGCACGCCCACGCGCTACAAAGTTATATGGACCACGGCTACCCCCACGACGAGCTCCTGCCCCTGTCCTGCGAGGGCCGGCGCTGGGACGCGCGGAAACGAGGAACCCTCGACGATAGTTTAGGAGGCTACATGATGACCTTGGTGGATGGCGTGGACACGCAACTGGTCGTGGGCGACCACGAGGCCTTCGCACGATCGCTCGACATCATCACATCGGAAGTCTCATTTGATAGAGATGTGTCCGTGTCGACGTTCGAGGCGACGATTAGGGTACTGGGAGGTTTGTTGTCCGCCCACTACCTCGTGACGGAGCCTGTTTTGAGGCCGGCTATCTTGCGGGCGGCCGCCAATTCCACATTAGACGCCTCGCCGGTCGACACGCGACGGCGGTGGGCTAGGGAGCTGAAGGGCCTGGCCGCCGATTTGGGGGCTCGGTTACTACCGGCGTTCAGAACACCAACGGGCATCCCAGCTCATAGAGTCAACCTGAGACGAGGACTACTGAACGACGAGTCGCGCGAGACGTGCGCGGCCGCGGCCGGGACGATGCTGCTGGAGTTCGCACGATTGTCGCGATTGACGGGCGACCGGCGCTACGCGCAAAAGGCGCGCGAGGCCGTCGACGCGCTCTGGCGGCGAAGATCCGCGCGCACCGATCTTGTTGGTTCGACGATCTGCGCGAAAACCGGGAGGTGGCTGAGCCCGGGCACGGGCATCGGGGCCGGCGTCGACTCGTTCTACGAGTACCTGGTCAAGGCGGCGCTGTACGAAGATGATCCTGTCCTACTGGAAAGGGGCTTAGCGGGCGTCGCCGCGGCGCATCAAACGACGGCGGTCCGCGACGCTTCCAATAATCTCACCTGGAATCTAGATGTTCGTAGAGACGACGGGCGGCGCATTTCTAGTAGAGTGTCGTCGCTGGCGGCGTTCTGGCCGTCACTACTCCTATTAGCTGGTAGCGACGTCGGCGAGGCGCAGATGACCTTTCGAGGGTACTGGGAGATCTTCCGGCGGTTTGGGGCTTTACCGGAGTTGTTTGATCTGGATTCGGAGACGGCGGTGCACTTCGGGAAAGATGCCCCATTAAGGCCGGAGCTCGCCGAGTCGGCGCTGCACTTGTACCTGCGGACGAACGACGGCCACTACCTGGTTGTTGGCAGGGAATTGATAAATGCTTTAAATGACGATTCTAGGGTGGCCTGCGGCTTCGCGGCCGTCGCCGACGTGGATTCGAAGCGCCTGGACGACCGCATGGATTCGTATTTTTTTGCGGAGACGTTGAAATATTTATTTCTATTATTTGACCTGTCGCTCGAGCCGCAGGACCGCCAGTCGTTCTTCTGCTGCGACGAGCGGTCTGTTCATAGACTGAATAGTACGCGGGGCTGCGCCGTCGACGGGCGGCCCTGCTTGTCATTGTCAGCCACACTACTGTCGACGGAGGGCCACTTCTTCCAGATGCCGGCCGGGGCCGTGAGCGGCGCCTTCGGCGCGCGGATGCCCGCCGACGCCGTCGCGGGGCCGTTCGAGTGCGAGGCGTCGACGACGACGACGACCTCTCGGGCGGCGTAAGTTATGAAGTTCTAAAAAACAGTACAGTTACGGAGGCTTCCCGTCACACGCTGCGAGCGCCACCAGCTTGAATTTATTGACGGCTGCGTGCTCCCTATGCATCGCATCGAGTGCGTCGAGGCGCACGTTCACAATTCCCTCACCGGCGGGAAGGTCGAGATATCGAAACGCGGTGCCCTGCTGGCAGGTCTTGGCCGAGAGGTATCCTTTCGAGCCGGTGCTGCGGGGCTTTTTCGACTTGATCTTGGCGCCGTCCGCGAACCACGTAGTGAAGGTCCCGTCCTCGTCGGTCCTGGTCATCGTCACATTACAGGCGCCACCCTCGAACTGGGCGTTCTTTCCGTGCCGGAAGCTTGCAGAGCCGATGGTGGAAAAGCGGTCGCGCGCGTCGAGGGCGTCGATCCTCTGGGTCGCGGGGTGGTCCCCGACCCACACCGTCGCCGTTCCCACGTTCTCATACGTCTGCAGGAATTCGACGCGCAACGTATTGGTGGCTTGCCTATCAGAAAACTTGAGCCGTACCCGCAGGGTCGCCGCGGCCGCGTCGAACGCGGCCCCAGGGGTCGTCTTTATAACAAAGCCGGGCCTTCCCTTAACATCTTCTTCGTACCGCCACAGCGACTTGGAGGCGTCGTCGACGCGCCGGAACGACTTTTCGCCCTTCTCGACGTTCGCGAGCTCCGTCGTCACCGAACAGCTGTCGAGTTCGGCACTCGCATTCCACACGCGTTGCGGCAGCGTCCACGGTCCTTTCCCGAACCCCTTCGCTTTGGCCCGGCGCGCCGCGTCGATGGCGTTCCAGGCCGTCGCGATTTGTTCTGCGAGGCGCTGGTGCTCGGCCGGCGGCGGGTGCGGCTCGAACCACCCCGTCTTCTGATAGCACGTGCCGGCGATGAACGAAATTACAATTCCGCCGTAGCGGGCCGCGACCGCGCGCTGCGCGTCGGCGAGCCTCGGCACCGTCGGCTCCCGCGTCTTTTCGCCATGGTTCCAGGCGCCCTCGATGTGGACGAGGGCCGCGGCGGGGCACCGGCGCTTCGCCTCGCGGCTCAAGGCCTCGATCGCCGGCCCGGTGCCGGCGCTGCCCGGCACGAAGGCATTGTATATCGCGGCCGCGTCGTTGACGCCATAATCCATGAACAAAACGTCCGGGCACACGGGCAGCAGCCTCGCGAGGTTCCCGAGGGCCCAGGCCGACGACGTCGACCGGGTGGCGCGGACGTCCACGTTCAGGTTCGGGAGCAGCGCCTGGAGCCGCGCGGGCCACGGTGCGATGCCCGGCCGCAACCCTTGGCCGAGCGGCATGCTTCCCCCCAAAACCACCGCATCCGCCGTGCCATTGTGCGCCGCCATTTTCTTCTGCGCCGCCCAGACGTCCGCGAGGCGCGGCGTCTCCATCGGGTGCGCCTCCGGTCGCGTGATGTTCTTGGGCAGGAACCGTCTCAGGCTCGGATAGGGCAGCGGGCTGCAGCCCTGCAGCTTCGGCGCCGTCGGACCGTAGGCGGCCTCCCGGCGCGCCGCCATGCATTTGTCGCCGCACCGCGGCGCGCTCGGCTTCGCATGCACTGCTGGCTGCTTGATGTGAATGGCCTTGTGCTTTTTGCTCCCTGCATGCTGGTGCAGCAGCAGGAAGAGGAAGATGGAACGCTTCATGGCAGCATGAGAGGCTGCCCCATGTCCAGCTGGCCACGAATCAAGGGCGTAAATCTCGTCTCTGCGGAGCAAAATTTGTAAACAAGAGGTACTATACTTATGTAGGGTACCGTAGGTAAGGTACCGATCATTACGCCATCGCGCGGATTTGTTCGGCCCAGAACGTGCTGTTCAAAACAGTCCTCCGCGCGGTCCGCGTCGCGGCGTCGAGGTCCCCGAACCGCTCGGTCAAGTTCTGACGCCAGGCGACGAGATCGGCCGGAGTGATGGGTCGCCAGTCGTCGACGAGGACGCAGGGCACCTTGGAGTAGAGCCCGTCGAGCGGTCCCCGCAGCGTGACGGGCACGGCGCCGAGCGCGACGGCCTCCCAGAAGGGGTACGTGTCCTGGCCGTGCGAGCCGGGCGCCGCCACGAATTGGAACTGGGTGAACTGACGGTAGAATTCGTCTTGGTCCAAGTGGCCCTCGACGACGTGGGCGACATCCGGTCGCCCCGAGAGCAGTTTGACGACCTCCGCCCGACGGTCCCTGTTAGGGCCGGCGGTGCCCAGCGCCACCAAGATTCGTGGCGAACGCCGGGCGAAGGGAGGCCTAGACATGCGCAGCGCGTCGAGCGTCCTCGCGGCCGCGCAGCCATCGCCCGTCCGACCGGTGAGAATCTTAATCCCGATCGGCACAAAATGGAGCTTCGCTCGCAGCGTGGCGTCGAGATCCGCGTCGTACTTCGGCCACGACCTCATGAGCCCGTCGGCGCACTTCGAGTGGCCCCGTCGTTTATTGCGGCTCCGCGCCGCGTCCAGGTTCTGCGTGAACCAGCCACGGAGCTGCGGCGCGCCGAGGAACGCCCGCAACCGGTCGGTTCCGAGTCCGTGGCATTGAAAGAACTCCCAGGGCATGTTGTCGTCGTTCCCGAACGTGTAGAGCACGAAATTCTGGTTGCGTTGTTCGAGGGCCGGCCAGGCGCGCGCGAAGAACGCCGCGAACTGCTTGAAATGAACGGCGACGAACGCGACGTCGCCCTTGACCCGCTCGGCCCGCGCGCCCGTCTGGCCGGGATAAACTGAACAACATTTGGCCGCGAGCGCCGTCACGCTTTCCCGTTCCTTGTGGTGCGGGCCCGTGCGCAGCTTATCGACGGCCAAAACGTGCTCCGGGACCGTGCGGAGCAGCTTGTACAGCGTTTCGGGGCGCGGCGAGTGGAAGTCCTTGCAGAACCGACCGGCGGCCGCCGCGGCCGCGAGCAGTACGAGTCTCGTCATCTCTAGTAGCCGAGCGCCCACGAGATTACTATCACGAGTAAGACGCAGAAGAGGATCGCGTGGAGAATTGAGGAGTCCGATTTGGCGGGGCCGCGGCGCGTGTCGAGCGCGGTCCGGTTTTTACTGGCGATTCCCACGGTGTGTGTGTACGGCGAAGCACTCCCTGTTGAATAATAGGCGCCAACTGATTGAAGGCGGCCAGTCCTGTTATCTGGGAGTCCAAGCTCCTTGTTTTTTTTATCCCTCTTAATCTCTCCGCGATCGGTGGAACGCTTGAACTTATTACGGCCCATTTCGCCCGATAAAACTGGCGCTCGGGCCCGTTACGGCCACTCCACACACGGCTAATACGCCCAGCGCTTGACCTTGCTAGCTAGCGGCCGGTAAGACACTAGAAAAATAATTCACATCTAAATTACGCCATCGAGCGACCCCAAGACAGCTCGCCCGGGCGGCTCCCGCGCATCCTCGTCCTCGTCCGGCGGCGGCACCTCGCACCGCGGAGGCGACGGCGGCGTTTCGAGGAACCGCGGCGGCGGGGGAAAGAACTCCGGCGCGTCTATATAAGGATCCGGCGGCTCCGGAAAGTCCGGTTGTGATGGAGAGAACGTCGTCTCGTCGTCGCCCGACGACGCGCAGCGCGCCTGCGCCGACGCCCGCGCGGCCGTCGCGCGCGCGACGCGGTGCCGCGCCAGTTGCGTCACCTGGGCGGCTCTCGCTTTCCACTCCCTCAACCTATTCTCCGCGTCGCCGCGCCGCCGCCGCTCCTCGGCGAGCGCCTCCGCGTCCGCGCGCCGCCGACTGTCCGCCTCGTGCCGCAGCTGCGCCTCGCGGTCGTGGAGCCGCTGCGCCGCCTGGAGCGCGTCGTCGGCGCGCGCGGCGCGCTCGGCGTCGAGCTCCCGCCGCGCCGCGACCTCGCGCGCCGCCGCGTCCTTCGCGCCGGCGTTTGCGATGGCGGCGGCTTCCAGTTGCGCTTGCTGCTTTAAGATGGTGAGCTGCGCATCAATCAAGTCCGCCTCGAGGACGCGCTGCTGCCTCAGTAATTTAGCATTCGCGCGCGCCAGCTTCCTCACAGCTTTGAAGCAGTCGGCGTCCGTCATCGCAGCAGCTTAGTTTTTAGCAGCTATGCGGTGTGTGGAGCACGCCTCGATGGCGTGTGAGTGGGCTGCTTCTCCGCCGAGCGCGTAGCGACCAAAACTGTTTCAGAGAGCAAAGCTTGGCAGCGCCAATTACGCGTCCTTGCGCGCTCTGATTTGCTCGGGCTGCCAAGGTGACGTAGCTGGGCTTCAGATGAGTAGCCTGCGTATGGCTGTTTGCACCTGTAACGCCGATTTAAGCGCTGCGTGCAATGCTAACAGCTAGCGGCCTATAAAGACACTAGCATTTGTAGCAAGCGCAAAAAACGGATGCAAACGCCTCAATCACAGCACGTACGAGTCAAGTTCTAACCCCATAACCCTGTCGCAGCCGCCCACAACAATGCGGCTCAGGTGCTGCCTACTGCTAGCCACCGCAACACACGCATTCCTCGCGCGCCGCCTGGCCCTGCTGCGGCGGCGCACGGCGTGCAGCGCAGCCACAACCACCACAGAAACAGCAAATGCGACGCTCTTGGCCTGCGCTCAGGCGCCCGACCTCTTCTATTTGGGCGACAACGAGACGCTGTACCTGCGCTACCTGAATTCGACGCGACAATTACAAAATGCCAAGGTCGAGCCCAAAACTATAAAAGCGGAGAATAAAGAGTTGATAACTCAGCTCTGGCGCGACCGGCGCATGATCGTCCACGACAAGGCCGCCTACCGCAAGCTCGTCGACGGCGGCGACACGGCGACAACGCAGCTCTCGGGCGGATGTAGAAGAGCGGCGGCGATCTGGGACGACAACCGGGGCCCGGACGAGGCCTCCGCTGTAGACTACATCAAACTCGTCAAGCCGGAACTACTCCTCAATGACCGGCGGCCGACAAGGGACGACTTACTGGTGTTGTTAAGGGACTTCAAGGAGCGCTATCCGTATTACCGAGGCGCGTGTGCGGTCTGTGGTTCTGAGACGGAGTTTGTGGGAGAGATCAAGGCGTCTCAGTCTGAAGAAACGGCGGCCAAAGCGGGACGAGTGGAATTGCGGAGCTGCGACTGCGGCCACGTGACGCGGTTTGTGCGAGCCAACGACGTGGGCTACGCCCTGCATGCTAGTAGAAGGGGCCGGTGCGGCGAGTACTCGGCGTGTTTTTTATCAGTACTGACCGCGCTGAAATTGGAAGCGCGCTGGGTCTTCGACACGACGGACCACGTCTGGTGCGAAGCTAAACTCGGAGGGGAATGGGTCCATCTGGATCCGTGCGAGGCGTCGCTCGACGAGCCGGAGATCTACCAGGGCTGGGGCAAGAACGGCACCCTTGTTGTTGCCTTTTCGGAAAGGCACGCCGAGGATGTCACGGCGTACTACTACCCGGACCAATCAAAGGACGTGGCGACGCGGCGATTGAAGGATGGTTTGACGGACGGGGCGTTGCGCGCGGCGCTCGCGGCGTACGAGACGCGGGGAGCGGGGTACGATCCGTAACTTGGCTTGTTTGTCTTGTTCTCGCGGCGACGGCGTGGGGGGAGGCGTTCGACCTCTGCGAAAGCCGCCTATGAGATGAGGTGCACCGAGCGCAGCATCTTGTCATCGTGGGATCTGCTTTTTGAGCGCGCGGCTCGGCGGGCAGACCCAGGCAGCGCTCGGAATCCGCGTTGCACTGCACGTGAAGGCCAGTCGTGCAACGAAACCGAGCTCGCACCGCTCGCCGCGACACTGCATCCTCAGAGCATAAGTAGCTGCAACAAGCCAGTGTCGCGCGCCGGCGGCAGCACGACCGTAGTAACGCGCCGACGAGAGACGTCACAACATCGAGTGCAAGCCCTGTGGCAACGAAACGCCATGACGACGCCGCGCCACCGCCACCGCGGCGCGTCGTACGTCGCCTCGGCCAGCGACGGCATCATAAAAACGTCCCACAAGGTCTACGCGTCGAGCTCGGACGACGACAGCCCCGCGGGCTTCCTGCAGAGCGCGTACAACTCGCCGCCGGCGAGCCCGCGGTGCGCGCCGCGGCGCCAGGTGACGTATAGTGTTACGGAGTCGGAGGAGGACGTAAGCGAGTCGCCGGACGCCTTCGTGGTCGAGTTAACGCGGTCCGAGAACTTCTGGACGCAGCGCGTGCGCTGGTACCCCGATAACTGCTTTGGGCCGTACCGCGCCGAGCGCCTCGGCTACTCCCGGCGGGAGCTCTGCGCCGACGCTGTGGTTCACCTGGTGGGCATTGTCGCGTTCTCGGCCGGCGCCGGCGCTTTATTACATGCCTGCTGCGTCCACGAGCCGCCGGTCGAGACGACGGTCAGCTTGCTGCTCTACGTGTGCTCGCTGTTGACGATGCTGGGCTGCTCGTTCCTGTGTGGAAATCAAACTCCAGGTGCCCCACGCCATCGACGCGACGTCGTCCCCGTATAACCTAACTCACTGGTTGATTTCCACACAGGTTCGTTCGTCTTCAACGGCGCGGCGTGGTCGCGGCGGCACCTCTGGGCGCTGCAGCTCGCGGACCACCTGGGCATCCACTCCCTCATCACGGGCACGGCGACGGCGTTATTAGTCCACGCCGACTCTTCTTATGCATTGTTAGCCGTGTGGATTTTAGCACTCTCATCGGTGCTGATCAAGGCGCTCCGCTGGTCCTGGGACGTCCTCGAGCTCCACATCCCGGTCTTCCTGCTGCAGGGCTGCGTCGTCGTATTGGGTTGCGTGGCGTCGGACGTCGCGCTGTCGCCCTGGGCGCTGCGGCGCGTCGTCGCCGGCGGCCTCTGCTACGCCTGCGGGTTGATCCCCTGGGCGGCCTCATGGAAGGAGTTCCACAACGCGGCCTGGCACGCGTTCGTACTGCTCGGCTCGGCGTGCATGTTCCAGACGATCTTCTACGAGGTCGTGCCACGCGTCTGATCCCCATTCCTCCTGTCCGGTACCGCGAAGCTACTGAGACAACCCCCACCATTACTGGCTGTGTGACTAAAACGAAGAAGTTAAAAACGACCTAGACCTCCTCGTCGACCTTCGTGGGCGACGAGAAGATCGACACGACCTTCTTCACCGCGCGGCGGCCCGGCGAGTCGCCCGGCGAGTCGCGCGGCGGCGTCGGGGGAGGCGGCCGCGGCAGGTCCCCACCAAAGGCAACGGAGGACGGGCGGATGCCCTGGGAGTGCTCTTCCACGGCGAGCGCGACCGCGGGCCGCAGGTTCCGACGATCGAGCTTGTTGTACCATAATCGGATACGGTCGCCCTGCCGCCCCCGATTGACCGTCTCGACGGAGGCCAACACCACGCCGGAATGCTCGCACCAGGCGCTCGCGGCGGCTTTTGAGGAGTCAAACGTTTTTTCGTCGAAGAAGTCGACAGAGTCCAAGAGCACGGGCGTGACCGCCGGCGTCACGAACCGCAGCGCGAAGGCCGTTCCTGTCAATTTGCCGAAGACCATGCGAGCTTCCCGCGCGTCCAGACCCGTCAAGTCCACGCCGTCCACCGATACTATTCTAGAACCGGGCGCCACCCGTCCCAACAGTGTTCCGGGCGGCACCGTTTCCAGCGTCGGCGGTTTGACATCGGGTGCTAACGCAGCTCCTACATCTTGCAAAGCATTTTTCTCAAGAGCTATTTCCCGCACCTCGTCGACCCCGCGCGGCGCCTCGAAGATCAACCGCCGCGCTTGGTCGCCCCGCTTCTCGACCACAGCCTCAGCCGCAGCAGCCCCAACACCCGTGACGTCGACGCCGTTCACACTCGTAATAATCCAGCCGGCGTCGACGATTCCTTGCAGAGGCGACTCTCTTGTAACAACGGCCACCCTCGCCCCGACGCCCCGCGCCACGTCCTCAAAAATGACGCCAATCCTTCCAGGCCCCACGCGCACGTCCCTCCGCAACGGGTCCGCGTCATCGTTTTCATCGACCGGCGGGAGCGCGTCGTCCTGGCTCGGCCGCCGCTTTCGGGTGGACGACGGCCCGGGGCTGAACATGTCGTGCCCTCCTGGTGAGGAAGGAGGCGGGCTCGCCTTCTTGCGCTCGGCCCGCGGCGGGCTCTTCATGAAGCTGCTTAAGCTGGGCATTTTGGCTGTGTTTGTTTTTTTTTCTGGCTGGGGCAGGCAGCTCCCTCGAGCGTCGGGCGCTCGGCTTCTTTGCTGCGGACGATGCGGGCTGCCGGCAGCCCGATAAGCACTGGTGCGATCGCGAGCGCCCGCGGCGCGCACAAGCTGGGCACCCTTTTTGCTTTTTGAACTAATTTCCGCTCCTGCTTTCAATCAAAGAACCTTGTCAAGGGCAGGCCTCCGACCACCCGCGGACGGATTTCTCCGTCCGCGCCAAAACTTGCCTCAGAGCGCCGTCAACTCGCCGCAAGCTTGCAAGGAGTCTGCCGTCGGTCACCCATCGCGACGGCTGCCCGGACCCCACGAGGCTGCCGCAACCATGCGCCTCGCGCTGCTTCTGGCGCTGGCGGCGCCGGGCGCTGCCATCACTGCACCCAAACAAGCACTGCCCCCAACCAGTGAGAAGCTTTTGAAGAAGCGAGGCGGCGCCGTCAAGCAACTGCCGATCACGACCTGGCTCCCCGCACTTCGTAAAGAAGATATATTGAATGACGCTTTAGCTGGATTAACGGTAGCAGCCATGCTCATTCCGCAGGGCATGAGCTACGCGTCGATAGCAGGCTTGAATCCCATCGTAGGACTCTATTGCTACGTGCCCATGTTGGTCTACGCTTGTTTGGCCGCGTCATCATTTGTCGTGATCGGCCCGGTAGCACTAGTCTCAACAACTCTAGCCCCGATGATCGCTGGGGAAGAGTCAGAAGCCGCCAAACTCATGGCAGCATCATCATTGATGTTCTGGTCCGGCATCTCCACCTGCGTCTTAGGATTGAGCGGCCTCGGCGGCCTTGTGGAACGCGTGCCGAAGGATATTTTGAGTGCCTTCGTCACGTGCTGCGCGTTTAATATCGCGGGGACACAAATACCGTCCGTGCTCAAAGTCGCCAAGCCGCACGGGCATACCCCTCTACAGATATTGGTAGGCGCTCTGCAGAACGCGCCGGATTTTCACTCATTCACAGCTGCGTTCTCAGCCTTGACCTTTGCATTTCTCGTTGCGCTGAAACGACTACCTTTACATACCATGCTCAATCTACCAAAATCTGTACCATCTTCCATATTTGGCTCGCTGGGCCCCTTCCTCGCGATGGTGTTAGGTATTGTCGCGAACCAAAAATTCGACTTGTCGGGAAGAGGTCTAGCCGAGGTCGGCGTCGTGCCGTCGGGATTACCTTCTATCGTTTCTCCGCTATCAAGGCCGCCACCAAACGTCAAGGACGCTTTGGTACTGTCATTTGTCGCGCTCACAGAAACGCTCGCCATGGGCAAGGCACTGGCCGAACGCGCTTCTCAAAAGCTCGACACGTCGCAGGAAATTCTGGCCGTGGGCGCCGCGAACGTGGCAGGATCAGCCTTCCAATCGTACACCGTGGCCGGGTCGTTCTCCCGAAGTGCGGTCAACGTCGTGACGGGCGGTTCCTCGCAGCTGTCGTCGATCGTGACGGCCGGGGCCGTTGTTTTGACGTTACTGTTCTTCACGGGATGTTTTGAGAGGGTCCCGAAGGCGGTCTTGGGTTCGATCTTGATCTACGCCGTGTCCGGTTTAGTTGACGTGAAGCGGGTGAAGGCGCTGGCGTCGTCCGATACAAAAGGATTGGCGAAGTGGCTCGTCTTCTTCGGTTTGATGATGGCGCTCGGGCCGGCGGAGGGGCTCGTCGCGTCGGTCGCGGTGGACGCGGCGCTCGGGCTGGTCGGCTGATTTTCGTCGCGCGTAACGTCTTTAACTTTATATGGCAGGGCTCGCTTTCGTGTCGAGACGTCTGTTGGGCATGCACATCGGGGGTTTCACGAGACAATCTGGCGGATGGTCCTCGGCATTTTAGACGGGCAGCGCGGCTCGAATTTGACCGCTACAACCCCGTAACGCTGCGTTTCACGTCTCAGAGACTGTAGCTACCTACACAGCAACGCGCGCGCGTAACGGCGCAGCACACAGTTTGCATTCAAACACACCCTGGCAGCCTCATGAGCAACTCCGCGGCGCCGGGCGAGCTGAGAAAGTTAGCCACGGAGGCCGTCGCGCTGAAGGCGCGTGTCGATGAAGGGCAAAGGAAAAAAAAATTGCTGCGAGACTTGCTGATCGCGCTGCAGGAGGCGCTCGAGCGCCGCCGCGCCGAGGAGGAACGGCTACGCCGCGAGGCCGAGGAGGAGGAAAGACGCGCGGCCGCCGCGGAGGCCGCGCGCCTGCGCGCCGAGGAGGCGGCGAGACTGGCCACCGCAGCGGCGCGGCAGAAGCTTGCACTCGTCGCCGCCGGCGGTCTCTTTCTGGGCGCCACAACCGCCGTGTTGGTGCGGTCGACGCGGCACCACCCGTTCCTCGACCTCGCGCTCGACGCGGCGCGGCGGCCTCTCCAGCACCTCTGGAAGGCCGCGGCCCAGGGCCGCGCGGGCCGCGCCGCGCTGGTGGCAGCGCGGCGAGGCCTCAACTGCGTCTCGCGCGGCGCCGCTGCTCTCGGTCGCGGTCTCGGGGGCGTGTTGTTACAGGCGCAAAGCGTCGGGGCCCTCGATAGCGATGTGCGCTGCGTCCGCGCGACGCGGCTTCTGGAAGAAGCCGGTCGCCGCGCCGCACCTCAGGCGCAGCGCTCCATGTTTTCCTGCTCCACGATCGGCTGCGCGGCGCTGCAAGGCGCGGTCGGCGGGACGGCGCTCGGCGGCTTGATTGGCTTTGCCGCCAAGTCCCTGAGCAAGTCGGCCAAACCGAAGGCCGTGGAGTCGGAGGAGAGCAAGGGCGAGCCCGAGGAAGTGCGGGCGCCCGAACCCGAGGAGGAGGACGCCGACGAGCTCATGCCGGACCCCACATTACGTGGCGTGGTCTCGCCCCCCATGGCGCCCTTCATGGCGAGGACGGAAACGCGCCCGCTGCCGCCGGCGCCGCGCCGAATGGCGCTACCGCCGCCGCCCGTCTTCGCGCCGGTGACGCCCGCTCTACCGCCGCCGCCGCCGCCCGTCACCGTGGTGACGCCTGAATCGCAGGAGGAGCCCCAGGCGGCCGAGGCGTCCGAGTGCGACGAGGAGCCCGCGGAGGAGCCCGACGCGGCCGTGGAAGTGGTCCTGCGGCCCGCGCGCCGCGGCTACCCGGAACCGGCGTTCGAGGGCCTCGAGGCGCTGCGCGCGAGGCCGACGGAGTACCACGAGCTCGCCGCGGCGCTGGCTTCGTCGGGGGCATCAATCGAAGGCGGGGAACGGCCGCTGCTCGTCTTCCGCCACGACCGCATCTCGAGCGCGCGCGTCGCATCGGTGACCATCACGGCGAACCGCAACCGCAACATCGAGATCGACAAAGACGGAGACATCGCCGCACAGACGGCGGCCGCCGTGCGCGAAATTAAAGCCGCGACGCAAGCGCTCAACCCGATCAAGGCGCGCCTCCGCGCCTTCGAAGGGCAGCGGGTGAGCGTTCCGGGCGGCCGCGTGTCTATTGGCTTCTCCAAGGAGGCCGTCTATGGCTACGCCCTCTTCGTGGACCGCGGCGTCTGGAACCGGCTCGACGAGGAGGCCCAGGACGCGTGCGTCGACGCGGGCATTATCGTGTTGAAGGGCGCGGCGGCGCCGTCGGTGGCGCTCACGGTGCGAGACATCGGCGAGGCGCCACCGGTGCCGCGCAAGAAAAAGGGGGCTGCACCGGCGCCCGGCAAGCTCTCGGCCGTCGTGCGGGCCAAGCGCGGCGTCACGTACTACAAGTGAGGCGCGCATCCCTTCCCCTCGTGTATACATCTAGTAGGGTGCTCGCGCGTCCGCGGCGGGCCGAGCGCCCTAAGCCCCATGCGTTCCTGGAAGAATACAGCCATGCGACGACAGGGCTGTGTGGCCTGTCGAGACTTCTGTTGGGACTACGAGCAGGGCTGCGGGAGTTTCATGCGAGATCAGCTGCCAGACTGGTCCCGGTCCGTGATTGCGAGGCTGCATACAGCTTGCAAACGCAATTCCACACATAATCACAGTACGCACGGCTGCAGCACCACCTGCGCTATGGCCAAGAAAGCAAACGCCAAGCAAAACGACTCCGCGCCGGCCGAATTGCGCAAATTAGCTGTGCAGGCTGTCAAGCACAAAGCCACGATCGACGATGCTAATTTCAAAAAGCGCGAGCTGCGCGAGACGTTGGTGCGCCTGCAGGAGGCGCTGGAGGAGCGCCGCGCCGAAGAACGGCGCATTGCCGAGGAGGCGCGGCGCCGCGAGGAGGAGGAGGCGGCGCGCTTGGCGGCCGAAGAAGAAGCGCGCCGCCGCGCCGAGGAGGAGAGACTGGCCGCCGAGGCGGAGGCTGAGGAGTCGGAAGAGAGCGAGGAGGAGGAGGAGCCCGAGCCCGAGGAGGTGCCCGAGGCCGACGAAGAGGAATCCTCCGAGGAGGAAGAAGACGCGGACGAGCTCATGCCGGAGCCGACGCTGCGCGGCCGCGTCGCGCCCGGCATGGTGCCCTTCATGGCGCGGGCCGCTGCGCGCCCGATGCCGCCGGCGCCGCGCCGCAAAGCGCTACCGCCGCCGCCGCCGGTCGTCGCGGTGACGCCCGAGAGCGAGTCCGAGTCCGAGGAGGAGGAACCCGTCAAGGTTGAGTGCGACGAGGCGTCCGCGGAGGAGATCGAGTCGGAAGACGAGGAGGAGCCCGAGGACGAAGTCGAAGAGGAGGACGCGATCGTGGAGGTGACGCGGCGCCCGGCGCGCCGCGGCTACCCGGAGCCGTCCTTCGAGGGCCTCGAGGCGCTGCGCGCGGCCCCGAAGGACTACCACGAGCTACAAGCGGCGCTCGCGTCGGCCGGGGCGTCGATCGAGGGCGGCGACCGGCCGTTATTGGACTTCCGCCGCGATTTGATCACCAGCGCTCGCGTCGCGGCGGTCACGGTCACTGTCCATCACGCGAAGCGCGACCGCGACATCGAGATCGACGAGGAGGGAGACATCGCCGCGCAGACGGCCGCGTGCGTGCGAGAGATCCGCGAGGCGACGAAAGCGCTCAACCCGATCAAGACCAAGCTGAGAGCTTTCGAAGGCATGAAGGTGAGCGTCCCCGGCGGCCGCGTCGCCATCGGCCTCTCCAAGGAGGCCGTCTACGGCTACGCCATCTTCGTCGACCGCGGGGTCTGGCACAAGCTCGACGAGGAGGTCCAGGACGCGTGCGTCGACGCGGGCCTCATCACGTTGAAGGGCGCTGCGGCGGCCTCAGTGGCGCTCACGGTGCGCGACATCGGCGAGGCGCCGCCCGTGCCGCGCAAGCGGGCCGCGCCCAAGAAGTCGCGGAAGCCGGCCAAGAAGGGCAAGCTCTCGGCCGTCGTGCGGGCCAAGCGCGGCGTCACGTACTACAAATGAGGCGCTCGTCCTCCCCTCTCGTGTATAGATATATACTTATCGGGAAACTTGTACTCAGATCTCGAACGGCGCGCCCATCTTGCGCAGCGCGTCCTTGAAGCCGAAGACGAGGACCAAACTCCCAACGGCCGCCGCCTGGCCGAAGACGCGCGTGTGGATGAGGGCGTGGCTCAGGCGCCAGCCCTCGTAGCGCGGCTTCGAGAGCTCGTTCGCGAGGATGGCTCCGTACATAGGTGTAATCACGACCGCGAACGAGAGAAGCGTGTGCTCGCAGAAGAGGTTCGCGGCCCTCAGATGCCACGTCATGCCCGTCCGCTTCGACGGCGCCGCCACGGCCTCGCCGTCCGCGTCCGCCCGCAGAGACCGGAGCACCGACGCCTCGCCGGCTAAATTGTAGGCGACGATCGGCGGCATTATCACCAGTGATGTTTTGCCGGAGGCGCCGAAGGACTTGCGGAACGCGGGCCAGTACGAATTCGCGGCGTAGACCGCGGCCGACGATATGGCCAACCACGGCGCCGCGGTCGTCAGCGCGTTCGAGAGCGCGTCGTTCATCGCGCCTTGAGCTTTTTTGCTCTCCATCGAGTAGGCTTCCGTCGCGTCCGGTTGCGGCGACGCGGCCATGACGATTTTTCGTGCTTCTGAGATTAGCTCAGTTTTACCACTTTGCTGGGAGTTAACTTCAGTAGTCCAGGAGCCCTACGTATTGCCGCAACTACGCGTGCGTCCTGATCAAATTGATTGGCCTGGACAGGGTTTTGCTTTGCAGATTACGAGGAGCGTTGTGAGCTAGAATTTATAACGACGGTGCTTTTCAGGAAGGAAATACGTCTAGAACCGTGGAGTATCACCCCCGACGGGCCACAGATGGCCAACAAAAACGACTGGCCAGGAGTTATCTAGTGGCTCGTAAGACACTAGCCCCAAATCACGGTTTGGCTCCGGAGCCCCGAGCACGCCGTCGTGCTGCCCGCGGAACTATGTCAGAAAACGTCGCAATGTCCGCGAACGTCCAAGGACCCACGCGCAAGTACATATGCTGCGTGCCCGTCGAGGCCAAGGAGAACACGGTCACGCTGGGCAGCGTCTACGGCGCGGTCGTCAAACTCCTCAAGGCGCGCGGCTGGCGACGCTTAAAGAGTTCCACGCAGCGGCCGGGATCTGCCGATTTGATCCTCGGCGGGCCCTGCGCGGCGGGCATCCCCTGGAAGGCTCTAAGGGTGCACCGCACCGCGGGAACCCCGCCTCTGACGAGCTTCTACCGCTCCTTCGAGCAGATCTGCCGCAAGGGCTTGTTGGCGCGGACGCTACGTAAAAACGGCGGGCCCGAGAACACACCAAATTGGTTCCCGACCTCCTACATCGTCGCGCCGGGCCGCGAGGAGGCTGAAGAAGAAAGAGCCTTATTACGGGCCGCCCACGTTCAGCGAGGCGGCGACGGCGTTTCAGTGTGGATCCTCAAGCCGAGCGACGGCGGCAAGGGCGCCAACATAAAAGTGATGGACACTCTCTCGCAAATAGAGGCCCACTTCGACGCGCTCGAGGACGGCTCCATCGCCTGGGTGGCCTCGGAGTACATTAAGACGCCTTTATTGCTACAACCTGGTAGCAGAAAATTCGACGTGCGCATCTGGGCTTTGTTAGATGCGAATTACGACGTCCACGTCTGGAACAATGGGGTGCTGCGGACGTGCAGCGTCCCCTTCACGCTCGACGCATCAAAGTTAAATGATCCGTTCGTGCATCTCTCGAACCACTGCATCCAGACCCGATCAGAGACTTATGGGAAACACGAGTCGGCGACGAACGAGGTCTGGCTGAAGGATTTTGATGTGTACCTCAAACAGCATCACAATTCGTCGGTCGAGGCGCTGGCGGCGCAGTGGCGTAGTATAATCAAGGAGACGCTCGACGCGGCGCGCGAGTTCATGGAGGTGGACAAGTTCGAGCCGCCCTACAACTGCTTCCAGGTCTTTGGCTTCGACTTCATGGTCGACAGCGCGCTCAAGGTCTGGCTCGTCGAGGTGAACTCGTCGCCGGCCATCGCCGAGGCGCTGGCGGACGAGTTCGCGAAGGACGTGGTATCTGTCGCGGTGGACTCGTATCTCGGGGAGGAGTGCGGGGAGACGGCGTTCGTGCGGGTCGAGTCTTAGTGTCTAGTAAGATGCTTACAAGTGATTGTACATCCCGTCGTCCACGATGTGCGGAGCCTCCGCGTCCGCCGTCGCGATGTCTGCGTCCTCTTGAGCCTGGCGTTCCACGAACGGAGCCACGAAGCGGGCCCGCTTCCCGCTGTCCGCCCAGTTCACGGACATGCTGCGCGCGAGGTCGTCGTACCGAGGGTGCCAGTCATCGACGTAATCCTCAATCAGTACATCGACGACTTTTACCGCCAAGGCCGGGTCCGTCCAGTGGCCGAGCGCGTCGCCCAGCCACTCCGGGTTCGCAAGTGTTCCCCCCGGAATCAACAACGTGGTGCCATTGGGCAAGGAGCCCGGCATTGCCCGGCGAATCCAATCGACTAGCAGATATAAAACAGCCCCTACATTGCCTGAAGTGCTAGTTCGACTCCACCGAAGTTGCAACATTTTTTCAAACGCGGCAACGATCGAACCAAAGCCCTGCTTTGTTGGTTCAACAACTAACGCGAGATAATTGTTGGAGACCAGGGCGTTCCAACTGATGAGCAATAGCAACACTTCTCCCGGATAGAGCGCCCACGCTTCCCGAGCGTCCCGGTCGAATGCGCTATGCGCCGCGGGGTCATTCAGACGGAAGGTCTCACCTAGATCAGGCCCCCAGTCTGTCAACCACTGCTCGCGCTTGCCGCGGTCCTCGAGGGTGCGCAGCGGTTTCCAGCGCCCGCGGGTGAGCGCGCGTCGCGCCGCGGTCTTCCAGGCGCGTGATATCGCTTTCACGGTGTGAGACTTTTCCTTGTACAACTGCTCGATGGGCAGGAACTCGCGACGTGCTGCAGGATGCTCAAATCTCCTTCTAGGTCTCGCATCGTGACTGACCTCACATCGCTCGCGATGGGTGTCGCGCGCGCTGCAGCGCTCGCGTTGGGTGTCATGCGCGCTGCCATTGATGGTTGCGACCGCGAATCAATGTGCTTACCGCCAGAGGAGGCCACGCGCACGCGTTAGTTTTTCGACCTAGCGGCTCTGTAAGACACTAGTAATTGATCCGCGCGGCTTCTGACGGGACAGCGCTCTCGTGAGGGTCGAACAAGCCGCTCGTGTTACTACTAGGGGTGCGGGTCCCAGATGAACTACTCAGAGGCCGAAGAGCTTGCGGAGCCCGTCGAGCGGTCCACCGCCGCCGCCAGCGTTCTGCTTCGTGCCGAGCGCTAAGAGCTTTCCGAAGGCGCGCGAGAAGTCCTTGAAGAACTGCTCCTCGTCCTTGGAGTAGAGGATGACGTAGGCGCGGAAGGTCTTGTCCCACAGGAGTGCCACGTCACTCGGAAGCATCATGAGCTTGCCCGACGAGTCCTCGAACCTGCGTGGACGACGCGTCAATGGCGTGGGCGCCTGGAGTTCGATCGCCACGCGGCCACGCACTGGTCGGGCCCCTTCCACTTGCGGCCGTTGTGAGTCGTCTTGAGCGTCCAGGTCTCCGCCAGCAAAAGGCGGAAGTACTCGTTCGAGAACGTCGTCTCAGCGAAGGTCCAGGGACCCCAATAACCTGAAGCCTCCTCGTGGCACCGACCGAGCGCGTGCGCGCCGGACAGCGCGACGATGTCGCGGTCGTCAAACCCCATGCGGTAGAAGATCGCGCGGAGGTGCGCTACCGTGCCGCCGAGCGAGCCCTTGTCCGCGTCGGGAAGGCGGCCATCAGGAGGGCTCGTCGAGCCGTCGGCCGCGTCGGAGCGGCCCGCGGCCCACGGCACTTCCGGGCCGCCCATGTGCGCCACCGCGACCACGCCTGCCAGAGTGTACGCGTCCGCGCGCGAGAGGCCGTGGTCCTGGGCGACCTTCTCGACGACCGCGCGGACGTCGGCGAGGCCCGCGTTCGCGCCCCACGCGCTCTCGGGGCAGTACTTCATGCGGCCGCCGTCGCTGCCGCCCGTTCCCGATTTGGCGCAGAAAGTGCCCGCGCTGTGCCAGGCGAGGCGCACCATCGTCGGGCCGAGGGACGTGCCGTCGCCGCGCCTCGCCTCGGACTTGTCGATGAGGTCCGCCAGGGCGCCGCGCGCGGACTTCTCGTCGCAGAGCGCCACGGCCGGGGCAGCCAGCGCCGCCGGCGTCAGGCGCGCTAAGGTCGAGAGGCCGCGGAACATGGTCGGGGCAGCCCTTGGCTCACCTGACGGCAGATTTGCTTCTGTGTCTTGAGCTCTCAATACCCGCGCGGGGAGCACGGCCGCCGCGCAGGGTCTTGCACTCTATTTGAGTGTCACTTACCGCTCTGAGGGCCGATGGCGGAGCCAAGTCGGGGAATTCGAAGGGCCACCGCGGACGGCAATGGGTCACTTACAACATGCTTACTTCTCGAGCACCACGCCCTCGGCCCGCGCCGCGCCGCCTGCTTTCAACGCGAGCGCGTCCAGGTCGCGGACCATCTGCTCCGCCTCCTCCAAGGAATTCTTCGTCGCGGAGCCGCCCGTGAAGAAGGGCCCCGCGAGGTGCTTGCGCTGCGGCGCCCGGTCCAGATAGAAGCCCCCGTTCTCCAAACGATCTCGATCAACAATACAGAGCCAGCACTGGCCCTCGGCGCCCTGCCACGCCGTGCGCATCGGCTCCAAATATTTGGCGGAAGAGCCGTAGGCCGCCTCGACGGCCGCCGTGCGCGTCCAGCCCGGATGCGACGAGACGAAGGCCACGCGCGGCTCTTGGGCGGCCAATCTTTCCGCTAAGAGTACCTGGCCGCGTTTCGCGTAGACGTAGGCGAACTGGCCGTCGTACTTTTGCGGGTCTACACAATTGTCGACGCCGGGGAACTTGCTGTTGTACATCCCTCCGCTGGACGTGTAGACTACACGCGAGCCGGGGGTCGCCCGTAGTAATGGCAGCAGCTCCTTGGTGAGTAAACAGCTGCCGAAGGCCAGGTGCGACGCGAAGGTCGCCTCGACGCCCTCGCTCGTCATCGTCTTCTCATTCAGTAGGACACCAGCGCAACAAACCAAGCCGTCCAACTTTGACGTCGTTGCTCTCACTTGCTCCGCGGCGGCCTTCACGGACGACACCAGAGACACATCAGCAACAATAACCTCCAGCGAGCCGCCGTTGTCGGGCTTCATCTCGTTCTTGGCTTTTTCCGCCCTTTCTTTACTGCGGCACAACATCAGCACGCGCGCCCCCCGGCTCGCTAAAAAACCGGCCGTCTCGCGGCCGATGCCCGAATTGGCGCCCGTGACGGCGTAGCATTTCCCCTGCAGCTTACACTCCTCGAGCTCGCCTTGGACGTACTTCTTCGCTGCTTTTTGCCAGCCCGTCTGCGTGAAGCGGCTGCGGCCGAACAGGTAGAACTGGGTGCTCGTGATGAACTGTGTTAGCATGCCCATTGTGATGCTCTCCGTAGCGTCTTAGTCGCTGCGGCGGCGTGCGGGCAGAGAGATAGCTGCTGTGGCTTCTCTCCGCTATTCGGCGCACACGTGCGTGTGTTGTGCGCTGCAGCGGTGGGTCTAACTCTGCCTGTGCCACACTCAGCTCAGCACTCACACCTGGCAGAGCTAGAGCTCGAGCACGCTAGCTAGCTGCCCGCGATCTCTCTTGAAACGTCGCGAAAGAGGTCGCAAAGGCGGCCTCGGCCCCGCGGCCCGGCGCGGGAGCGGAGTTGTCGGCGACCGCGACGGCCGCGCGGGACGGCAACAGCACGCCATCGCGCAGACGAGCTAGATACATAGTTCTTAAGTCGTAGTACTTTTTGCCGCGGCACCTCAAAAAAGAGGGGGGCAAGCTCAGAGGCGCTTGAGGCCCTTCTTCTTCTTCGCCTTCGCCTTGGCCCTCAGCACCTCGAGCTTCTGCTTCTCCAAAGCCGCGGCGTCGGGGCCCGGTTGGCTCTCGCCGTTGTTGTCTCCCAATGCGGTCGGCGTCGCGGCGCGCGCCGGCGGTTGTACTTTAGGGGCATGTAAATCAGTCATCAGCCGCGCGCGCTGCGCGTACTGCTCATAGCTCGTCATGAAGAGCTTGCCCGCCTCGTCGTTCAATGACGACTCCGGGAAGGGCACGATCAACAGACACCGGATGACCTGTAGGATGTGAGACAGCGTCGTCTCGGGCTTCCAATCTCTTTTAAGCGTGTTCACACAAATATCACCGTTCGTCGCCACGTTCGGGTGGAAGATTTTCGTCAGGAAGAATCCTCGCGGCGGTGCCGAGGGGAACTCGCTGCCGATCACGAGCTTGAGCCTGAAGACGGCCCCGGAATACGGCGTGCCCTCGGGGCCCGTGAGATCCGCGTGGACCTCGGTTAAGGCGTCGGCGTCGGTCTCGACGTATTTGACGCCTTCCGGCGGGGTCTGGGCGAGCTGGCGGACCTCGCGGGCCATCCTCGACTTGAGGTCGCTGCCGAGCATCGCGGCCATGGTGGTTAATTGACGCGTTTAGCGCTCTGGCGTCTGGAAACGGCGCGGCGGTGTCGCGCGCGGCTTAACTGGGTGGCGCGGTGCGGTAGCGCGGCGAGCAAGCGCTGCGCCGAAGGTAATGCAACGTCGCTGTTGCTCCGAGGGAACGGGCGCGCTGAGCAAATGGCTCGGGAACCCGAGTATATATACAAGCGCGAGTGTGGCGCGAGAGTTTGGCTGGCGTTACTGCGCCGCGCGAGGTGCTGGCGTCCTGCAAAATAACGATGCCGCTGTGGCTGGAGCGCCGACGAAGGCGCTGGATCCCCACGCGTCAGCGAACGCGCGCATGACTCTCCCCGCCGCTGCTACTCGTGGCGTTGTCGACTTCGCGAGGAGGGGCGCATTGCGCCTCCGCGCGCGCCGAGCAGGCGCCGAGCCGTACCACCTCACCCCTCCCACGGACCACGCCGGCCCCAGGAGCGACTGGCCGCCGCGACGAGAGCTCCAACGGCCTACGAAGCTAGAGCTACTAGCCTACAAATAAAACGACTTTTGCTCAGCCTGGCAAAGTGCGCCGCGTAGGCAGGCGTGCGCGGCTCGAAACCGCTCGGCGCGCCTCGCGCAGCGCTCACCGTTCCAAGGGCAGCCCCCTGTCGCGCGCAGAGCGCGCTTGAAGGGCGCCGGGGACGCCAAGGCCCCTGAAGGCCCGCCGGCGCTGCGCGCCGCGCGTTCCATAAGCGGGCTAAAAACTGAAGCGCGACCATGCGCGAGAAGGCCAAGCCCTTCAATGTCAAAGTGGCGGTGCGCGTGCGCCCCATCCTTCCTCATGATCGCGACCCGCGGCCGGTTGTACGAGTCGACAGAGAGTCAGCCAAGCCGTCCGTCACGGTAGTGGACCCGGACAAGGAGTTCCCTGGCCTGAAGCAGAACATCGATTATTTGAGGGTCGACTACATCCGAGAGAGGAGCTACGAGTTCGACCACGTCTATGGGCCGACGCAGCCGACCGACACGGTGTTCCAGGAGGCCGTGGAGCCCTTAATTGGACCTGTATTAGATGGTCAAAATGTGACGATCTTCGCCTACGGCCAAACTGGTAGTGGTAAAACACATACGATGCTCGGCCATCGCGGGGACCGAGGTGTGATCCAGATGGCTCTGGCCAAGTTGTTCAACGAGCAGAAGGAGCATACCCGTGTTACTGTGTCCTTCGTCGAGTTGTACAATGAAGAAATTCATGATTTACTCATCGATGAGGAACGGCGATACGGCAACCACAACGGTGTGGGCGGATTGGATCTCAGAGAGGACCCGATCAAGGGGCCGTGCATTGCTGGGGTTACTGAAATGCCGGCATCCGACGTCGAGACGGTCATGGCTCTGCTGCGAGCGGGCAACGAGCGACGGACCCAGGAACCTACGTCGGCCAATGATACATCTTCTCGGTCTCATGCTGTCTTGCAGTTAGCTATCGAAAGTTCGGAAAAACCAGAAACGCAACACAGAGGGCGTAGAGTGAAGATAAAACGAAGTTCAAAGCTGTCGATGATCGATCTAGCAGGATCAGAAAGAGCCGCGGAAACGAAGAACTCGGGAGCGCGCCTCCAAGAGGGCGCTAGAATTAATCGGAGCTTATTAGCTCTCGGCAACGTCATCAACGCGTTAAGAAGAGGCGCACAGAAGGGCGGCAAGTCCTATGTTAATTTCAGAGATAGCAAACTTACACGATTGTTGAAAGATTCGCTCGGCGGGAACTGTCGCACGCTCATGCTCGCCCACTGCTCGCCCACAACCTTATCTTTCGAGGAGACGCTCAACACATTAAAATATGCCAATAGAGCCAGGGCGATCAAGAACGCGGTCAAGGAGAACCTGCGCAAGGTCGAGAAGCCCGCTCGTAGACTGAGGCCGGCGGCCGTCCACCCCGAGGGCGTGCCGCAGAACAACCACGTGCGACCGGCGCCTCGGAGACGAAGACGGTATCGCGAGATGGAGGAGCGGCCGCAATGGGGCGTGAATAAACCGAAGACGCCGCCGAGGCCTACCAAGGAGAACGAGGATCCCCAGCCGAGGTCTAACGATGGTTCGGAGCGGAAGAAGCGGCGGCACTCGGCCCACGACATGCGGGCGAAACTCCGAGCCCGGAAGTCGGTGGAGAAGCCTCCTGTTGTGGACGAAGAAGCGGAAAGAGCGCGCTTGGTCGAACAGTTACACAAAACGCGGAAGGAAGTAGTGGGACAAGTTAGGTTGGCCGTCGAGCTGAGAAAGACCGTAGAGTCGCTCACAGCTACGAAGGTCAACAAGGGCGCGACGCTCTTTGCGCCCAAGGATACTGTGCATCGGTCTCCCGATAGGCAGCGCTTCCCGCCGATCAAGCCCGAGGAGCGGCGGGCCATGGAGGTGGCGGCCAGAGCTTATGCGGAGGCCGTCGGCGTCGAGGGCCAGTCGGCCGATTTGTTAAGAAGGGACCCTCTGGCCTTTTTGAGCGATGTTTTACTCAAACAGAAGCACGGCTCCGAGCCCAAGGATTCGTCGCCGGCCGGGGTGGAACTGACTCCTACTGGTAGAAGCCCGGACAAAGAGCAATTGCTCAAGACGGCTTCTCGCGTGAAAGCGCGGGCCGCGCGGGAATGCGAGGGTTTACGAAGGGCTGTTAAAAGAGGCTTAGATAAATCTGCAAGGAAACTACCAGCGGTCGACGGTTCCTTAGCCGCCGTTTATGGAATACGGGACGCGGCGTTGAGACATGCGGTGTCGCCAGGGCAACCAGAACTCATATCGAAGGACGAGCTGTCGTCTTCCGCTCTGCTCGACGCGGAGATGCGCATCGTCGGTGCTGAGTTAGAAAAGCTCGAGATTGCTGAGGCTCGGACGCAACGACCGGAGACGCAGATCCATGAACGGGAGGTCCACGAAGCTGCGTTGAAGAAATTAGAGCAGCAGGTCCGTGTGCGGAACGGCGTCATCCGCAAGCTCGTCGGCCAGCTCAAGAAGGATGGCATCGGGGCTCGCACCATTGTTCGCAATAGCTATGCAGGACGAGCATCACCTAGCTACGCCAAGAAGAACTCTCCTAGACGGGAAAGTTATGCGTCGCCGCAAGCGAAGTCGTCAGGGATCATGGCCGACTTGCTGGGCGCCGCGTCGCCCTCGTTTGAGCCGCATCCTGCGACGTTCTCGGCGAGCCAGCGCAAGGTGCCACGACGGCCCGACGACGCGAAGGACGCGTCAGGACGACGACGGCGGCCGCGCGTCGCCGCGTGATCCGTCCCCGCTCGCTCGCTTTCAAGAAAAGATTCCCTTCCCCGTTGGTAACAAGACTACTATCACATATTAACATATAACTAGGCGCAGAAGGAGCGCTGGTTCGCGTGTGCGGCGAAGACGGAGCCCTGCTCCGCACGGCTGACGACGTCCGGCGCCGCCCCGGACCGCTCGAACGCCTTGTAGACCGCCGCCGCGAGCTTCGGCGCGACGCCTTGGGCGTGCACGCCCAGGGCGACCGACAGCGCCGCGCGGAAGCCGTCTATCTTATACGCGTGGCAGAACGCGAGGAGCGCCTCGCACAGCTTCCGCTGGGACTGCAACCGCTCCACGTCTTTCGTCGACACGAGTCCTAGAATAACTTCTTCGCCGAACGCCGCGACCAGCGAATCCAAAGCATGCGCGACCACATGTTTGAGAACAGACCCCTGCTGGTACCGAAATTTCACGACGCAACGTCTCACTGCAATCGCGTCGGGCCAGCCCTCTTCACAGTTTTGTAATGAAACGCAGCACTCCGCCGCCCGTCTTATTGAGGAAGGTGTAGCACAAGCTAGATGGCGGGCTATAGCTCTACAAGCCACCTCGTCCGTCGTCGCAGTACGAGCGTCCCAGTCCGCGTCGTCCCAGTCGCAGAAGGTGACGTCGATTCTCGAGTAGGAATTGTCTCCCGTCGAGCCTTCGCACCGCCGGGCGAAGCGCCAGACCGGTTCCAATTGGGCATGATCATCTCTACCGCCGAGCGTGCGCCATAATAACTCGCGCGACGCCCCGAGCATCTCCATTCTAGCTTTCACGGCATCGTCGTCATCATATAAACCAGCAGACACCAATGGTAGCAACTCTGCCGCGGTACTTAACTCTCCGAGGTGGAGGCATCTCGTAAAAAGACCGCGCGGCGCATCCAAGCGCGCGTAGGCGTCCAAAGCGCTGGATGAAGGCGCCAGGGCCCTCCCATGAAAGAATAATGCTTCGAGCTCGTCCGGCTCGAGCGGCCGCGCGGCGCGGCACGCCACTCTCAGTAAGCCGCCCTCCTTCAGGACATGCCTAGCGAGCCACAGTAACGCTCGAGAGGCGAAGGCCGCCTCGGCGTCGCCACGTGAAGCGAGCGCGGCGCTCTCGGCGACGTGGTTCGCCAGCGCGTTCGTCACGTCCTCCTCCGACGCCTCAGCCAACGCTATTGATGCCTCCCTTATATCTCCATCCACCAACGGATTTTCAGCCGCCGCGAAGTGGTCGAAGGCAATGCCGACGTCCGCTTGTTGTACGGAAGCCGCGAAGCGCGCCGAGCACCTTGAGACACAAGCTCGCACGACGGCGCCCAACAAATCGGCGCAGGACATGTGGGCGATGGGCTCGTATGTGTCATTCTGCCGGAGCGCCTGGACCACGACGCGCGCGTCGCCGGCGAAGCCGCAGTGCGCCCGGAACGGATCGAGGTCTTCCAGAGCCACCGCTTCGACGTCGTCATGGACCTCCTCTTCCTCCATAAAAACATCACCGGGGAACCAGGCCCACGTCCGCTGCTCACTGAACAGTACCACGCCTTTCGACGCGGAGGCTATTGCTTCCACACCCCTCGCGATGATGCCCTCGTTGGTCCTCACGATACCGTGATCCAAGATAATCAATTGATCCGAGGCCCAAGCTGCCCGTCCTCTAGGCCCTATTACTAACTCATCTGGTAGCGTCTCACAAACAAAAAACTTGTCCTCGCCCTGGACGACCTTGCCCGGTCTTAACATAAAGGCCTTGGCCGTATCTTGTGTTGATGAATACGCTACATGATACGTGTCGCCATCTTTACGCGCGCAGAGGCACCGCGCGACGTCTGTCAGCGAAGCGCCGTCGACGGCCATGTGGACGCCGTCGCAAAAGCATTGGACCTGATTTTTGGAAGTAACAGCTAATAAAAGGGGAAAGCACCACATCACATCCATGATGTGATCACTAGGGAAGCACGCCGTTACGACGCCACTCGTCAAATCCGCAATCGCGGCGCCCTTACTACTTCCGGCGACCGCCACTCTATTACTAGAGACGGCGCAACACCTCGCTGGCGGCGCCAAGCCTAACGCCTCTAACGAACAGCGCGGCCACGCGTCACTTCCCTTGACACACACGACGTGGTCCCGCCCTCGCAGGATGGGCGTTCTGCCATCGTTAAAGGCGAGGGGTATGCGCGTGACACCATCTTCACCAGAAACCCAGACTTGGGTCGCGCCGCAGGCTAGAGTTTTTATCTTCTCAAGGGAACCGCGCGCGATCGTACCGTTCGCCGTTGATACTAAGTGCCACTCGTTCTGTGAAGCTAGTGCAAAGGCGTCGCCATGGGGCACCCACCGCACGTGACACCGCTCGACAACTCGTGCGAGTAACGGCTCGCCTCCATCAAAATTGTGGACGGTCACACCATGCTCCCACGCGACGACGACTCGTTCCCCGCTCCGCTCGATGTCGCAGCCTCGAGGTTCGCCGAAACTTAGCGAAGTCATCTCGCAGACGCGCCTTCGTCGATTCTTGTCCTGCGTTGGTATTCATGTGAGATTTCATCAGCCGGTCGTGCTGAATCGTCGCGTCGACCTCTACGCCATCGACGCGACGCCTGCTCGATGGCGTGCCGATGCCGGTTTCTAACCGCTCGACGGAGCCAGCACGGCCGCGTCATCACCGAGAAGAAATGACTTAGTGAAGAATTATCGAAGGACACGGGACGCACGTACCGGCTCGAGCAGCGCCACGAAGGCCCCGGCATTCCTATGCATTTCTGAGCGTTGCCGCACGACCGCCGCGACCCTGCCAGAGTCGGACGACCGCGCGTCAAAGACTTGCAAGTCCGTGCCTACCGCCGCGGGCACGACCCGCATGTCTTTCGCCTTCTCCCCGGATTTGCCGCGCCAGGATAATTGCACTAACGCGCCGCAGCGCGTGATCGCGGAGAGGTGGCCCTTGGCACCTTTCGCCGCCAATAACCAACGGGGGACCCGTCCCGACGTTTTGCGGCCCGACGCCGTTCGTCTCAGTAATCTTTCTTGCACTTCAAAAAAGGCCGCCTCGGGCTTCGTCCCTTCCTCATCACCTCGCCACAGTAACGCCGCGATCCTTTCGCCTTTTCTGGCGACGCAGGCTCTCGGTGGCCCTTCGCCCGTCGCTCTGTCCGCAAAATCACAACTGAGCTGCGCGTCGTCTGCGATGACAATGACTCTTCTAGACGTCACCAGTACTAACTCGTCGTTCGTGTCGGCAGTGGCCGCGAGGACCTCCTCATCATCATTGAGTGTGATGGGTGTGGTGGTGGCGGTGCCGAGGGCGAAGACGTGGTCCGTCATGTCGGCAGCGGCTCGCGCGTTGCGAACGCGCTGCAAATGCGCTACAAAATGCGCTGCAGTCGTTGCTGCGGTTTTTTCGACAGCAGCGTCTCAACGCGAGAAAACGAGTAGCTCGAAGCGTGGAGCACCAATGGGAGGACTGCTCGCCCGCTTCCACTGCAATCTAAAGCGACGCACCGTCGAGTAATCGTCCCACAAAGCCGGCAAAATCGTCAAAAACCCGAATTGAAAATGGAAAAAAATTTCGGTCTCAAAACTCGACCAGCAGCGGCGCGCGGACGCTGGACGCGCCAGGGTCCATTTTAGGAGTCCCAAAAATTACTACGTCATTCAAATTCAATTAAGGAATGCGCTGGGAAGGGGACCAAAGAACTGGCTGTTTGCGGCCGCCAGGAAATTCCGTAACACGCGGGGCAGGCAGCAAACAACGCCGCAGCCCCTCTGAAGCTGCCCAGCCCAAAAAACGCCGCGACGTACAAGATGGAGGTCGCAAAAAGCGTTCCAGCCCCATCACCCAATTTATTCGCGCGCGCCCTGGGCCCGACGGCGTTCGAGGGCCTCGCCGTCGACGTGTCCATGGAGCCGCTGCCGCGCCGCGCGCCGGCCTCGCCCGACCGCGTCGCGCGCGTGTCGCACGACGTGAGCCCGGCGAACAAGCCGAAGAAGGCAAATGCTGAGCCGTCACCGAAGAGAAGAAGACCCAACCTCGTCGTCGACGTGGAGCTGGCGAACCGCGAAGCTTTGAGGAGGAAGTCCGTGGAGACCGTGGCCCAGGCCTACGCCTGTGAAGCTGGACTCGAGGTCGACGTGGACAGGGCCAACGCGGTGGCCGCCCAGGCGTCGAAGGACGCGTGCATCGTCGCGGCGTCTCTACTGAAAAGCGCGCGCCAGATGCGCTCGAAATCAGAGGCCGAGGCCTGCGCGCGAAGGGCGGCCAAGCTGCTCGAGGAGGTGCCCAGTCCGCCGCGCCTCCAGGCCGACGCCGAGACGGCTCTCGGGGAGTTGTTGGCGACGTCGGGCCGCTTCGCCGAGGCTACCGTTCGCTACACGACAGCATTGGCGTTGCGGGAGGCTTGTGCTAGAGATCTGGGTTCCGACGAGGCGCGCCTCGCCGTCGCGACGGCTCTGACGAACCTCGCGACCACATTGCATGCGGTCGGCGACGACAAGGCCGTCCAACTTTTGAGAAGATCGTGCGCCATCAAGTTCGAGGTCCTCGGTGGAGACGACCCGCGCGTCGCCAAGGCGCTGCTGCGCCTGGCCACGGCCGTGGCGTCGGACGGCCCCGTCGCCGTCTTCAGTAAGAAGCGCAGCCCCAAGTCGAAGCGCCCCGTCGCCGTCGCTGAAGCTAGGAAACTCCGCGAGCGCGCCGTGGCCATCCTGACGCAGCGCCTCGGCGCCGACCACGCCGACGTCAGAAAGGCCCGCGCCAAGCTCGCGTCCACCTGAAGTTCTCTCCGCCGCGGGACTCTCTTACGTCAGAGAGTTTAACCCCGCGGCGCCAAGACCAAGCCTGTTGAACCCTGCCCCTGTCTACCTACCCCCGGCGCTGCGCCTCTGTGGTCCGTGTAAGAAGGCGCCGCCTACTACTCTTGACTTCTTACCACTGGCGGTGACATATCATCCGCGGGCTTAGGGCCCCCGGGGGATTCCGGGGGGCGCCCCCGGGGTACCTATCGAACACACAGTAGACTTAGTCGGGCCTGCGCCTCGCCCGCTCCCGGACGGCCTCGAGGTCCCACGGATCGCCCTTGAAGCACGCGCGGCACACGACCTGCCCCGAGCCCCGGCAGGCCTTGCACTCGGTTTCAGTCCCGTAGGTCACGTAGCGGCCCATTCCATCACAATTCGGACAATCGACGACCTCGGTCCCGTTGCAGACCTCACAGGGCCCGTCTCGGAGCGCGCGGTCGACCTCACGCCGCACGACGCCGCCCAAGTCGCGCAGGCGCCACCCTAAATCGTTGAGCGCGTCGTTCGCGAGCGGTCGCAGCTCGGCGGTGGGCGGCGTCCTTCGGTCGAGTAAGAATTCTAACTCGCCAAAGTACGTCTTGGCGTTCGCAGCAGTGGGCGCGAGCGTAGGCCGCGCACCCCAGAAGCCTTCGAATTTCGACACGACAACATCACCATGCACAGTACACTGGCAAGCAAGGCGCAAGTTAGCTCGTAGCTCATGAGGGGGGAAGGAAAGGCGTAGTCTCTCGCGCGCCGACGCTTCTGCGGGCTCGACAGCGCCTCGCACCTCAACCGCGCACGTGCCGCACGTCCCGAGCCCTCGGCAATTGATCAATTGCGAGTTATTATTGTGCGGGCTGAAACCGCGTCGTAGTAACGCTGTGCGGAGCAATTCGCCGCGTTGTACGCCATCGATGACGCGTGAGCCGTCCGCAGTGGTCCAGGTGATGCTGTGGTGTGGTCGCTTCGATGGCGTCAGGCAGCGCACGAATGCAAGAAAGGATATGTAACGCCACCGCATGACTCGATGGAGAGTCGTTTGCACTACTGCACACCCGCCAACGCCTGCCGTGGCTTGTGCCACCGGTGCGCCCGCAGCTTGAGCTAGCGTGCTTGCATACTAGCACTCCCGAGCAAATAAAGTGCCCGAGCAGCGCTAAGCAGCGCGAGCTCGTTGGCATCCTCTTAACGTGTGAGATCTGCTGAGTACACACGTGCAAAACCAGAAGTTCTGTCTTCGAAGTGCTAGCACAGCGGAGACACAAAACCCAAGGAGTGCTCTTCCGCGCGGCGCACGCGCGAGGAGCGGCGCGGCGCGTGGAAGACCTCGCTGAAACGACATAAATGGAGGCCCTCAACAAGCTCGCCAGCAAGATCACTGGAGGCAAAAAAGACAAGAGCGCGCCCGAGCAAGAACGAGCAGAGGCCGAGGGCGCCTTCGACGCGACGGGCGTTCATGATGATGCGCCCGCTTCACTAAGATCGAGCGCCTGGCGTGCTTTAGTAGAGGGCGCGCCGGCCTGGCCGGGCGTCAGGGAATTTGAGGCGCCCGCCGGTAGTAGATCTCTACCTTGGCACGACCTCGCGAACGCACTGCGAGGCGCGGCGCGACTCGCGGCACGAGCGTCGCAAACCAAAGAGCAGGCGTTCGGTGATGCCGGGAATAAATTAGCGCCGCCTTTAGATGCTTCCAGGAGAGCTCTAGCCGCGGCCGCCGCGCGAGTCGATGCTCTGAGAGATGTCATTGATGGCCACGCTTCTGCGACGAGAAAGGCGGAAAAGGACGCGGCCGATGATCAAGCGGCGTTATTATTAGCGAACCTAGCTAGAGATTGTGAAGCTTTACAACCAGGGCAATCACTGATCGCGCCGGTGGGCTGGTCGGATAAAGAGAGGAAGGGCCACTTACTATTAGCTGTCGTCGCGCGAGGCGGCGTACCGGGCGGCTGGGCCGGCGACGACCAGAATGCGTGTAGTGTAGCTATTATCAATGGCGGCGGCGACGCGGACGGGCTGTTGTTCCACGCGTCGCGCCTAGACACGACGACGGGATCCTTCATGCGACGAACGGCGTTGACCCTCCAAAAGGTACCGAGACATCGCGTCAGTCATGCGGCGTGCTGGTTCGTGCTGTTACGGCCTCTGTTATTACACGAGAACGACGGTCCGCGGTGCGGCACGGCCTGCACGTCCGTCGTAGCGGAAAATAACGAGTGTTTAGATAAGGCGCGCCACTTTTACGGTGAATGCGTGCCTGTGCTGGACGACGACGACCAAGCTAGAGACTCTACAGCGTTAGATCTGTATGTCGATGTCGCCGCCACGCAAGGTGGTTCAGGATTGTTAGCGTCGCACGCTTTGGTGTATGCGGCGCGCGGCGCCTGCGCCTACCTAGCCAAGGGCGCGGATGACGAGACCGCGATGGCCTGCTCGTTAGCTATTAGGGGAGCGGGTCTGGATGTGTTGGCGGACCAATTGGACGAAGTTAAGCGACGATCATGTCGGCTAGGCGACGCTGATGCAGCTCAATGTAAAGCATGCGTTCAGAGTGTCTGTAGAGACGCTTCTTCCATGGACAGTAGAGACGTCAGTACAAAAGCGGTACTAAGCTACGCCAAGAGAGCATCCCAACGAGTCCTCGACGCCTTATCCGTAGCAACATCAGAGGAAGTATCAACAACACAACTACGGTCCGACGACCTGAAATGTGCGGTCTCGCGGGACTTTGGAGCTCCGGGCATACTCTTCGCGCCCTTCGCGACGCATCTACACAGCGAACTCCCGAAGAAAATCGGAGAACTCGCACATATGGACCAGGAGCGGCAGGCCCACTTGGATTTTTTGGCAGGTGATGCGGATGCTGATGCCTTAGTGCTACCGTCTGACTTAGCTAGAGTGACGTGGCCCTTAGAACCGCAATGGCAAGGTCCTTATCCTCGGGACTCGCTAGCCGCAGCTTGCACGGCGTTGCGACGGTGCGACCGAGCCTGTGTCACTCTTGAACACATGCGCGATCGGGTACCTAGAGCCGACGCTAGACGTTTCGCGCTCGTGTCGCATTTATTTCTTAGATGCTTACCAGCGCCGGAAATTAATGGCGGGTTCTGGCGGTCGGAGTGCACGCGTTCCCTTCAAGCCGATCTATTATTCCTCTTGAGGAGGAACGCTTTGCATGCGTCAGCCGCGGCGGCGTCGTGCGCCCAGACGCGAGCCTTAGATGGTGAAAGGGTACTCGTAGTAGCAGCAGTAGCAGCCGTCGCTGATGCGGTTGTGAGGAACGTCGCCGTCGACGCTCCTTGTATCTTGTCATTATTTTATGAAGCTACGACGAACGAAGTCGTACCGTCTAATTCAAAGCCGTTCGGCTTTGCGGTCCGAGACTTTGCCGCTGATACGGGACGAGCCTTACTCCCGGATCCCGCACTCGTAGCGGCTCGAACCAGTCTATTGGACTACTTCCGAGCACTGAGGAAGCGAACGCCGCATAGAAATCGAGTGTTCGGCTGGGAAAGGACCGCCGTAGAACAGCCCGGTCTCGTGTCATCATTCTTGGGAGGTGATGCTGGGAGTCGAGGACCGGCCCTAGGTACGGGCGATGCGAGACTACTAGATCGATTGTGCACGGCCCTAGGCTACAAGAGAGAACCGCGCGGCGCCTCGTTAGCGGGTTACTTGGTCCAGGACTCGCCTTTGCTAAGAGATGTACCGGAGTTAGAGTATCTCAGAGATATCGTCCTGGTGCTGAAAGTCGCATTGGCACCGACGTCGAATGTAGAAAGGCAGAATTGGTCGGTAGATGATGCGACACCGAGGTGGTGTCTTGAGGAGCGAGCTCGTGGCGGCGACGAGCGCGTGAGACAGAAAAAACATGAGAGGACGCACGGCTCGCGCCTGGCGGATGCCGTCGGCGCGCCTCTAGCCGTGACGATGTACGGCGAGAGAGTCGATGTTGTTGGGGGTGATGCGCAAGATGAAGATAGTGATGACGACTCCGAGGACACGGGGGCGCTTCGGACTGCCTTGGCTAAAGTGAGAGCGGCCATCGAAGGAGCACAACTCCCACGAGCACCTCCTTCGGGAGGCGACCCCTCTCACTTAGCAGGTGATGTGGTAATAACGGAGGACGACGTCTTGCATCTGAAGAGTTTACCTGGTGATCTTGGGTCGGCACCTCGAGAGTCGCCTCGCGTGAAAAACGCTCCGGCCGATCGGAAAGCCAAGCTCAAGGCGCTGGAGGTGCGCGTGGCGGCTCTAGCTGGTGGCAAAGGCACATTGCCGCCTCGAGATGTCGAAAGGTTACTTTGTGCGCTAACGGCGCCTTATTTGAGATTGCCATTAGTATTGAGATTCTTCGCGGACGCGCGACGGTCGAGAAGCTTGAGGGATGCGCGTCTACGAAGCTGCGTCGAAGCGTGTTTGTTCGAACCGGGGCCCTGGCTGCCGGATCGGCCTTGTAGACGGGTGGATTCTATACCAGCAACCCACAGAGATCATTTGAGGACGCCTTGTGGTGCCTTGTTCAATGAATTGGCGCTGGCGCCGATACCTTGTGTTGATGCGATTCATGAAATCCTAGCGAGGGCACTAGAGGGCGACGTGGGCGCGTGGGCGCCCCGCGGCGCGGCCGAGGCCTTCCTGTTTGCGGCGAGAACAGCTTCTAGAGCAGTTACGTTTCTCAGAGCCGTTGCTGGTGGTTCAGCAACTCCAAAACCCAACAGTGCGCCGGGTGCCTCGACGCCGCGAGGGCTAGACGAGGCCGACGCTAGTCGTAGGGCGGTCTGTAACAGTGCAGCAAAAGCGTTAACATCTACATTGAGAGAAAAGGTCGCACCCGCATTGAAAGCCTGGTTACCCGCACTCACACGGGACGGCTCGAGAACATCATTAAGAAGAGCGTGTGCTGTGCACGCGCACATCGCGTATGCGGCGGCCAAATGCGTCGAAGGAGATGTCTTAGATGCGGCGACGGCCACAGCCTTGCTCGAAGCGCAGTGCTTCCTCGCGGCGTATGACGACGACGACGAAAGCCATTCACTGGTCGACGCGGACGTCGACCCTCATGACCCTCAAGCGAAATCGATACTGGCGGAAGGCACGCTCGGGTTGAGCGATTCCGAACTGTGCAGTGTGTGGCAGCGGCATCGGGGGCCTCTCTTGACTTTCCTGCGAGGGAGTGACGGTGCGTGTGCCCTGGAGGCGGCCGTCGACGCGGTGGCGTCGGCCGCCGAGTCGGCCTTCGAAGAGGTAGGCCAGAGGAATAATGTAGAGAGAACATGGCAGGAAGACAAGGCCTGTCCTGGTAGGTTTTCTCCCGTGTCTCCGGATGACCAGAAGAGGCCACCCTCACCTAGAGCTTCCGACCAAGGTCTCGAGGACGACGACTACGAGACGTGGCTGCGAGGTGTGTTGGAACCGAAGAACGCGGAAATTGTCGACGCGCAGCTCGGTGAGTTCACGTTGCGAACGAGACGGCTCGAAGCCTTGCCGAGGGAGGTTGCTGATCATCTCGACCTGCAAAGGGCCCTAGACAACACTTCTGGTGGCGACGACCTGCGGGCCGCCGAAGTCAGTCATAGGGCGTTTAGACGTCATTGGAGATTAGTATCAAGACGGGTCGACGTGGTCAAGTGGTCCAAGCCGCCCCAAGAGAACACGCCGCTAGCGCCGCGACCGCCCTTTGCGGTTAATGCATTGAGACCACTGGAGGCTTCCGGCAGCTGGGTCACTGAGTTGTTAGAAAGGTTAAGAACAACTGGACCGCTCCAATCATGCCAACTCTTCGCCTTGTCCGGTGGAGGTATGAGGGATACGCATACGGTATGCGTCGGGTACGTCGAGGTTGATACGGTAAAGTACTGGCGCGAGGTGCATTGTAGGAGAAAGGAGGCGCTAGTTGAAGTGTATGAATTAGTAGAACACGGCCGCCAGTGGTGGCGCGCGCTCATCTATACGTCGGACGCGTCGTTGTCTCTCGGTGTGCCGCCGCCGCCGGCACCCGGTGCCGTGCGAGCCGACGCCTTCGACGATCATGGTGTGGACGGCGAACCGCTGGAGCGAGGAAGGCCTGACTGTTCCACGGAACGAGGTTCTTCTCTTGAGATTTCTAGGACAGCTAAAAGGAGGGAACAGCACGTGCGGCAGACGTACGTACCGGCTAGGTGCTTACGGGGGCTCTTGCCGGACGCGTTATTGGAAACTTTTGTCTTCTGGCGGAACCATGATGATGCGTCCTTGTCGGGGTACGAAGAAGGATCCATCACAGATCGCGTCGAGACGCTACGAGTACGGTTAAGCGGGCATATACAACAGCCGAGGTGTGATGTTGTGAGATTGGTCTTACGACGAGGAAGCTCATCGTTGAATGACGATCTCGTACTCCCGGACAATCTGGAGGGCTTCGGCATCGACACTCATACGAAACCTCTAGCATTACTGAGATTGGGCGGCTGCGGTGCCCAACCGTCGCCCCTCGCCTCGAAGCTACGAAAACTCGACGCCTTGGGGCATGCGTTGGCCTGGGTCGACGGCGACGCGCCCGTCTCGGAGAAGTCGATGTGGGCCGGTCAACAAGACGACCCCGAGGCGCAAGTCTCGATCATCGAACTGCCTCGCTTGCGCATCACACTACGTTTGAATGAAGGTCGCTACTATTGCGACGAGTACGACGGGTATGCGCTGATCGATGCTACGGCGCTGCGCGGTGAGGACGACGACCTGGATCGACGCGGCGATGCGTTGAATTTGGTCGCGCCGCTGGGCGCTTGCGTGGTGTTGCGAGATCCGGACACCTTTGACTTGAAAGTACTCACGTCCGCGGGTTCTAGACCGTTCCGGACACCGACCGGCAAGAGAGTTGTGTTCGATCACGACGATAGTCGGTGGCGCAAGCACGACGCGGGCCACCATTTATATGGTGTGGATCGTCTACAAGGTCAATTGGTGCCGGACGATGCGTGTGCCGCCGTTGCTCAGGTTTTGAGGTTATGCTTGGCAAGGAGGTACGACGCCGCTGCTGCCGTAGCCCCAGCGTGCGCCTCGGACGAGGCAAGACCACCGCTCGTCGATTGTTTGATATCCGCGCTGTCAGCCTGCCAGAATGATATTGAAGCGGACGCGAGAGCGTGTCGGTTGAAATTATCCCTGGCGACCCTCGACTGCGGCTGCGACGCTTTCATCAGTGTGGATGATTGGCCCTGGGCCTTCGCCGAGGAGGCGGCCATGGTTGTGCACCACGCTCGTCGCATAAATGCGCAATGTGCTTTTAGTGAAGCGGAGGAGGCTAGAGCGCTTGCAGAGGTGGAACGACGAAGAGCTCCTTTGGGTTTTCGGGACGATGCCTGTGACGCGCCTCTTAGAAGGGCGGTGGCCAACCGCTCTTTATGTGTGCAGTCTCATAGCCAACCTACCTTGCAAGATTACGCCATCGCGCCTTCATTAGTGGTATCAGAAGCGCGCGTTTGCGTCGACATCGCGTGGGCGGCCTGCCGCTGGCCCGATGAAAGATGTAGAAGAGCAAAACCGACGGCCTGGGCCGCGCCCTACATGAGGCCTTGTGGGTTCGAGGTGCCCGCGACTGATTCCCAAACGGGCTTGCCCGTCCAGGGGCCTCCTAGGTCGGCATCCGTGCTTGGCGGAAGAGCCATAGCCTGGTTGCGGAAATCCGTGGCCTTCTCAGGAGGTACGGTCGGAGAGTCCCTGGAGGGCGCCAAAGCCGATGCAACGAGAGACGGGTGTTTTGGTGCTACGCCATTTGGCGTTTGTTACGAGTTGTTGACCAATACCCTACCATTACGGGTAGGAGACCGCGACGGCGCTTTTGGGTGGGGCGTAGCTCTACTCCATTTGTACGAGCGGGCCTTTGATGCTGCTGGAGGGAGGGGTGGCTTGGACGATGGCGGTGTGCTCTGTTATTCTACTCTGGCTATACTTGCGCGTAGAGCAGCATTAGCGCAATCACTCTCAAGATCGGGCAAGGCTCCTAGGTACTTACCTCCAGAAAAACCGAGCGGATACATGGAGTCCATCATCAGTTCGGGCGACGCCACCCAGCCTTTAAAGAAGGCCTGGGTCGGCCTGGCGACGGCGCTGCGAGCGGCGCACAAGGCCGGCGAATTACTCCCGGACGCGAATCGACCACCCCTGTCTTCTACCAGACCACCATCGGTCATGGCATCCATCAGTACGAAAGAAACGTATACCGAGGTCGCCGCCGATAGCGTACCTTTTGATCCTGACGAGGCGCGACGCGCTCTGGGCCACGCCACCACGGGACCGCCGTCCTTCGACGCGGCGTTGGTGGAAGATGCCATCGCCCACGGCGCTCCTGACGGTCTTGTGATCACGTCGATACGGTCGCGGAACGTCTCGTCCACGCCGCCCTACGACCTGTCAACGACTGCCGTGGCCGGCGAACCTACCGCCTCAGCCTATGTACAACGATTACACCATGCGGCAAGGGAAGATGGCGCCCTAGAGAGGGAGCGGGAAGTTCCTTCATTGTTAGGCTTTGATGAGAAAGGAGACAGGGCCAAAGCGAAACAGACGGCGAAAACGTTAGCTGATTCATTATCAAGTGCCGTGCAACGCGACGCGGCGAAGGCTAGAGTCGCCAGAAGACGACTCTCATCGCTCTTGGACGGTTCTGATGAGGATGAGAGAAGGTGGCACGCGTCCGTCGGTTGTGCTCGCAGGAAACGAACGTTGGGCGACGTGCTACGAGCGCTCGCGCAGGGCCGTGCCGAAAGGCCTGATATTAGTGCACTGGCTTGTGGTGTCGCTCTGTTAGAAGGGAGGTGTGCCGCAGCTCGACGGGGGTGTCGGGCCGCTCGTAGATTGGAAGAGCGCGTCAGTACAAAAGACGACTGGCGCGAACTAGTTTTGGAGGCCGAGGCGCTCGCGGCGACGTTGTGCGAGACGAGGAAGCACTTCCGCAATGCGGATGGGTCGACATTAGTACCTCAACATAAAGCGCAACCCTCACAACGAAACTCTTCATATGTGTACGACGCTCGGCTCTTCCTCATGGAGCGCGCCTGGGACATCATTTTGAGGGAGGCGCAAGTCCACACGGCGCGAACCCTATGTGATGATGCCTCTGCAAAGAAATCTTCACTAAGGCAGATGATCATGGGTAGCGGTAAAACCACGGTCTTAACACCGTCGTTAGTCGCTTCCCTAGCTGATGGCAAGACACTAGTGGTCGTCGTGGTCCCCCACGCTCTCGTAGTATTCACGCGGAATGTCCTCCAGAAGGCCTTGTCACGACCGTCGCTCGGGAGACGACCGGTACGAAGGTTGAGGTTCGGGAGGCGAACCTTCATGGGGATATCACTCCTGAAGAAATTACGAGCGATCACGCGGGATGGTGGCGTGTTACTGTCGGATCCTACGGCCATGAAGGCCCTGTTTCTCAAGTCCGTCGAAGTTTTACATCACCTGGACGAGGCCTCGCGCTTTACGCAAGATTCCCATAGGACATCGAAGGAGAGGAATTTGGCGAAGCGGAAGCAGTCGACCTTTTCCTCACTGTTCAAGTCAGCGAAATCGAAAGCGAACGACAAGGCGCGAGCGGCAGCATTAGGTCTCGACGCGAAGCCGGAAGCCCAGTCATCAGAGCTCGAAAGGAAGATTGCTGGGGCTGCGGAGCGGACGGAGCGAGAAGCCGAACTGAGGTCATTGAGAGCCCAGGCCCAAGTCGCGTCCTCCATACTAGAAATGCTCAAGAGCAACAGTGTGGCCATCGTCGACGAAGTGGACGTCATCCTGGATCCGCTCAAGTCGGAGCTCAATTGGCCCTTGGGTGCGCGGGCGCCTCTCGATTTCACGGCGGCGACGAATCCGACGGGTCTTCGATGGAGGGTACCTTATCTTTTACTTGATGCGGTTATTGGCGCGGCATTAGGTCGACAACTACTCCCGTCTATTGTCGTAGATAGCGACGACGACAGTGATGAGGAGGGCGAGGACGAGGACCAGGCTCTTGAGAGTGATGACGACTGTCTGGAGGCCGACGGGGACGAGGTCCGAGAAGCTTCTCGCGAGAAGGCGTCGGTCGACGACGCGTTTTTCGGGGGCGACGACGAAGGAGTAGCTACTAGAAGGCAGCTCGCGGCCGCTCGGCAGGAGATCGATGACATCGTCCAGGATGGGTTGGAGAAGGGCCACCTGCAAGCGCGGCCGCACCCTACTCTCGTTTCCGAGAAGTGGTATGTCGCTTCACTAAAACCCGTGCTCGCACGGTGGGTTTTACTTTTATTAAGATCACCGACAAGAGCCGCAGCTGCTCTAGCGGGTGCCGCGTATGCGGGCAACCTTGGTGACCTAGACGACTCATTAGTGCTTCATTACTTGATAGGCGAAGGCGAGGATCGGAAGCGAGCGGCTCAAGCCGTTGATAGTTGCTGTTCCGACGACCAGGCCAAACTCTTGAATTTATATCATTCGTGGCTCACGCATATGCTGCCCTTTGCCCTTAGTCGTGTAGATAGGGTCGCGTACGGGCTGCTGTCGCCAGCTGATTTGGAGCGAGCAGCTAGAAGACACGCCGACGCGGAAGGGTCTGTAGTCACAGAGAAACATTTGGAAGCCGTGCCTCTAGCACGAAGATTACTTGCAGTGCCCTTTGTTGGGAAAGATAGACCTTCAGACGCGTCTGAATTTTCTCACCCAGATGTCTTAATTGGACTCACGACGCTAGCCGTATTCCATGAAGGGTTGAGGTACGGTGATGTCTTGTGGTTGTTACATGACCTCCAGAGAGATTTTAGGAGGGAAACGGGCCCCATAAAAAAACGAAAATCTTTTAAAAGATATGCGAGATATGTGCAACTCGCTGGTGGCAGGATGCGGGGCCTCAAAACCTCGAAAAGTAGATTGTTAGACATCGAGGATAGCCGTCCCGAGGTCTGGCCGGTCCACTTCCTAGATTTACAGGACGACAGTCAAGTGAGACCCGTGTATGAGCTACTCAGAAGTTCAAAGGCTGCGGGGAGGGACTATCTGTGGAGGAGAAGCTTCCCGGAGACGCTGGCACTGAGACCCTCAAAGCTCGCGGCCTCGGGCCAGGAACTAGGCGGCGAGGCAATTTTCGACGTCCGTATTGGCTTTTCGGGGACGCCGAACGACCTCGTACCCGCCGAGTTGGGCGTGTGTGTCTACGAGAAGGCTACGGATGGAAGGATTAATAGGGTACTGGCCGATTCAGATGTTGTTTCTAAATATTTAGTGCAGCCGGGATGGACGCCCAAGAAGTTACTGGAGATCATCGCTACCTCTGACGAGTTCCTAGCATTGATCGACTGCGGTGCTTTAGTCACAGGATTGTCGAACAGAGAAGTCGCGGAGTACCTCATCACGACGGGACTCCGACACGTCGACGGCGTCCTCTTCTACGATGAGGAGGATGTGGCCTGCATCTGTTCCCGTTCTGACGGAGGCGGTACTAAAGTAACAGATGCGTTAACGGCCAATCTCAAGCCTGGGAGACGCTTCACCTTTTACGATCACGCCCACTGTACGGGTTTAGATGTCAAGCAGCGCGTCGACTGCGTCGCGGCTTTAACTGTTTCGAAAGACACAACATTGAGAGATGCGGCCCAAGCAGCATTTAGATTGAGGAGACTCGGCGCCGGGCAAAGATGCAGACTGTTCTTGATCCCGCAGATCGCCAATTGCGTTTCTGAAGCTACTAAAGCACCCTTGTCAGATGTTCGCAAGGATATCGATGAAGGCTGGTCCCAGAAAGGCTTGGTGCGAGTTCTGTCGTGGTTGGCGGTCAATCAGATCCGGAGAGAACGCGTGAACTTTTTTGTTCTTGCTGAGCAAAATGTGCAGAACGTCGCTCGCAAGGTGGCCCACGCTACCCTTATTTCTTCAAGTAATAATGTGGGCGTGGCCGGTGAGCAGGAATCAAGATTGAGAGGGTGCTTAGATGTCTTCCGGACTCGAGTCGACTTCACGGTCGAGAATGCAGTACCAACCCCTAGACCCACATCGGAGAGAATAGCGCAGACGATCGAAGACCACGCGGACCTGATGAATTCCGCTTCTGACTTCGGCACCGCACAACGTATGTTGCAGCAAGTAGCCGCGGCCGAAAGTGCCTCGCGAGCCAAGAACCAGCAGGCCTGGGCCTTCGAGGCCGTGCAAGAAGAGGAGGCCGAAGAGGAGGAGGAGCAGGAACAGGAGCAGGAGCAGGAGCAGGAGCGTAGGCAGGAGGAGGAGGTGATAGTTGATGAATTAGCTAAGAGAGATGCTCCGGAGCCCCAAAGATACGTGAGGGACGACGAGGCGCCTATTCCGTGGTCGTTGGATACTTTGAGGAGACCGGTGGATCCGCGGCATCCGTTCTACGCCCTGTCGGAGTTTGGTGTTTATAGGAGATCTTATTTGCAGTCAAAGCCGCCTCGGGTCAACTTCACACCTGATTTACGCGTCTCTCCCAATTATTTTAGACCGGCATGGAGGCAGTCGGCACCTCGTAGATTAAAGAACGTCACGGTCGTGTTGGAGTGGGATCCCAACGACCAGGGTACAATTGTTGATGAAGCCGCGGCCGACCTCGCGTTGGCCAATGGGCAGTCTGTGCGATCCTTGTCGGATACGGCTCGTGGGTCTCTGAGGAGAGCCTTTGACTATGTTTCTGAAGCCACAACTTTCAGAGAGGAAGGCAGTGCTCGTAGAGCGAAGCAGGCTCAGGAAGCACGAGCGGCAGAAAATGCGTTCGCGGCGGAGACCGGTGGTAGTCAAGTGTTAGCATTTACTTCTTCAGAAACTGATCTGAAGAAGCTGGATCAAATAGATCAGGAGCGGTCGCAACATTTGTTGGCTTGTGCGAACGTCCGCGAGACGAGTGACAGGGACGCGTCGTCGCCGGAGCTCTTTGCGGATGCGTTTCAGCGGTTGGCTCTACGGAGAGCGGACCAAGGTGGCGGGGCTTCGTATGTCGTGTTGTCTTTGGCCGAAGCCGAGCACATGCGAGGCGCGCTCCATGCGTCGTTTCGAGGCAACGCGTCATTACCAGCTCGCACAGCTCTGAGGATTGTTGGTTCGTGGGACGGGAGCACTCCTTCAGAAGGTACTACTCGTTTAGACGACCCGCTGGCACCCGGTGTTGGGTTAGTATTAGATGCGACGAAGGCACGCCCGCGGCCCGATCTAGAGAGAGATTCAACGGCTTTAGCTCAATTGCAATTCTTTGACAACGCCGACGACGTGTCGCCGAAGCACGGCGCTTTGCTGCTGAGAGCGTTACAAGCGACGCCGCCCGCGGAACGGGTGAGGTTCAGGGACGACATCCGTAAATCTCGAAGGAGGCCGCAAGTGGCATTATTTGGAGCTGCTGGTTGGTTAGGAGCAGCGTTCGGCAAAAGACCCACCGTCGAAGGGTCTGTCGTGGATGAGGACGAAAGAATTGACCCGATAAACGCTCCCATGAGGCATGGTGTGGCGGCGTTAGTTGTTGATGAAGAAGCCGCGGTCGTCGAGTACCGAGCGGCCCATCGAGCCGTGAGATTAGCTTTACAACGAAGAGGTATTCCGGCAGCAGCACTGCTAAGGAGGTGCGCGCGAGCGTCGAAGGCCATGCGGCACCAGCAGACCTATGATCCCGGGAGATTGGCACCTGTTGCCGCGGTGGCTTCTGCGGTGCACTGGTTGGGTCTAGGTGCCTTTGGTTTAGCAGCACATGTTGATTTTAGACAAAGGAAAGCGCTCGACGACGCTCGAAATGATTTATGTGACAACCTGGCGGACGCCATGGATTTGAATGGGGATGGGTGGATTGCGCTAGATGAACTTAGGGCTGGACTTAGAGATGCGGCTCCCAGAGACCTGTTAAAGTCTCCGTTCCTCTCATTACCTCGCTTAAGACCGGCCGTACCAAGCCCAGCGCCGAGGATGGATCGCAACGCTCTCCTGAAGGCCGTCGATGCCTTGAACCCGTGGCGGAAACCGGACCCCAGAGAAGCCGAAGCTCGCGCGAAAGCCGCGAGACGGAAGCTCCACGAAAAAGCTTTGGATGCGGACGGCGCCCAGAAGCCGTCGAAGGAGAACTTGCATAGCGAGGCTCGGCGCGCTACCGATGACAATGACGTTTTGGACGATGAGACTTTAGCTTATGCTAAACGATTGGCCTCCGAAGATTTGAAAGGTCTACATATTAAGCTCCAGCCTCCGAAGAAATTGGAGCCGGTCTGGTCCTCTCTCGGAACGGCTTCCGGTAAACCTATCTCATTATGGCGGCTGTCGGGCACGCGAGCGACGTCCTCTAAACTACGGTTGTCGCTGGGAGACTACCTGACGGAGGGCGTCGCGGATCCGTTGCTTAATTCAAACTTCGACGAGAATCAACTGGAGATGGCCTGGGACTCGAACCAGAACGAGGTTTCAGGTGTTCTATGCCTAGAACTGTCCGATCAGTACACCTTTAGAAGAAACAGAACAAGATGGCTCAAGGCCTGTGCGGAACGACTCTTTCCACCCCCTATTCGCTATAGACAGGTCTGGCACCTGCCGCAGGGCGATCGAAGCGTGTACGGCTGGGCGCCCGTGCCGCCGGATGGGAATTACGTCGCCTTGGGCCATGTCGCTACGCGTACGGATGCCCCACCGCCACCTAGAGCGGTTAGGTGTGTCCCCATCGCCATGGTCGACGCCTTAGCTGCGATCCAAATTCTGGGTTCCAAGCCGGCCTGGACGAATTCATCATTAGGCGGCCGGAAGGGGTCGTTGTGGCGCCACGCGCATGGTGGCTTGTTGGTCGTGGCTCGGGGCCACGCCATCGACCAGAAGCAGCCGTTGCACCGTCTCAGGAGGCCGTCGATGCTCGCGTTCGACTATCGGGCGTGTCTGCGCGCTAGGCCGGCGGCGCCTCCCAAACCCGTCGTGCCGCCGCCGCCTCCAAAGCCCAAGACGCCGCCGCCGCAAGTAGCTGCTGCTGCGTTTGATCCGTTGCGGAAGACGCCGCCGAAACCACCGCCGCGCCCGAAGACGCCGCCGCGGCCGCCGACGATGCCCGCGCGCACGACGCCGCCGCGGCCGGCGCCCTTCGGCCAATTCTCGCCGCCCAAGCCGCAGCCGCCGCCCAAGCAGCAGCCGCCAGACTTGCTCGCGGACCCCTTCGCCGGTGGCGATCTGTTGGCGCCAACGCCAACGCCGGCGCCGGCGCCGCCTCTCCTAGACCCGATCTTCTCGGGCATGACCAATGCGCCAGCAGCGGTACCCGACCCCTTCGCGCCGGCGCCTCCAAAAAAGGGCGCCGACCTGCTCGGCGATCTCCTGGCCCCCACCGAAACGAAGGCCGACCCCTTCGCGGACCCCTTCGCGAGTCCGCCCCAGAAAGCAGAAGGAGGGGGCACGTTCAAGATTGATGTTATGGCCGCGGCCTTTGGCAGCTGCGTCTGCGGCCGGCCGAAGGGCGACCATATTGGGGCGGAGCTGAGGTGTCCGCCGGTGAAGGAGGATCCGTTTGACGGGCTCTGACGCGGCGCAGTCCACCCGTTTCCGTACGCGGCGTCGAGACGGCCGCTCGGCGTCGGGCTAGGCGCGACGGCCCTCCCAGTACGCCATCGACGCGACGTGGAAACTAACTACTCTGTTGTTTATGAATCTCACTTCTTCTTATGTCTTCTTTTCATTCGTATGTGCACTCGTGCGCGCCGTGTGGTCACGACGTCAGCACCGTCTTCGGGTCCTCGATATATGTGCGACAATTCAACGTCCGGCACAACCGTGATAGTTCTTGGTAGTAGTGCCGCCGGCCCGCGTAATCGTACTCAGACACGAGCTCCCACATGTCGTGCGCGAGTTCGCGCTCGAGCCAGAACAATCGTTTAGTTAACAAGGGCATGGCCAGCTCCTTGTAGCGCGCGTTTACATTTTTGACAACGTTGGTCAGCTGCCGCGACGGCAGGTAGCTCAGCGCGTTGGAGATGACGTCGAGCGGGAGCCGCGCGAGCGTGCTCGTGTCTGTTGTGTTGGCGTCGACGCGTTCTCTTCGTCGGTAGGCGGCGAAGAGGCGGTTGTCGCGGAGGGTGGCTGTTATTGTTGTTGCGGCGGGCATTGTGCGGCGTGAGCGCTGACCAAAAGCAGTCAGTGACGTTGGGCTGTCTATGCTCCTCCCCTAGGTCGATTGGAAGCGTGTCACTTCGCAGATGTGAATGGCAGTATACTAGCTACCAAACGAAAGCGTCACAACAATTATATGAGCGCCACAGCAATTGTACGAAGGCCGTTTGCATCGGCAAGGACAAGGCCAAGCCCGTTTTGCTCTGAGGCCATGACCCGCCGAAACCCCCATCTAGGTCTCTCATTTTGAGCCGGAGGGGTTACTCTTTGCCCAAGACGCCTAAAACTGCCTCGCACGCTAGCTAGGCATGCTAGGCTGTGCTTTGCGGCTGTGTTAAAACTGCCGTCGATTGCGGGCCTTACGCCCACTTTTGAACGTGCAGCGGCGCGTCACACCGCCCCGCAGACCCACGCAGCGCTAAGCAAACGCGCAGCGGCGTCGCGTGGTCCAGTAGAGACGTACAAACAGTAAAAACGCAAAAAGCACTGTTAGATGCCCGCCCGCCGCAACCGCCGCCTCAGCGGCGCTTCCGCGCTCGCGGACGCGTCCAGCGACGAGGAAGAAGAAAGAGAAGAGGTCCCGAAGCCCAAGCCCAAGGGCCGCCGCCGCCTCTCGAGCGGCGCCGCTTTGATGGCGTCCGATAGCGACGAGGAAGAAGCCAAACCTAAGAAGAAGACCAACCGCCGCCGCTCAGGAGTAGCGAGCCGCCGTAGTTTCGGCAAGGCGGCGCTCGCCAGGACCGCCGCAGTAGACATGTCCGCGGACGAGGTCGCGGCCATGTACTCGAAGACCATCAAGATGGCCACGGAAGGCAAGATCAACGCCAAGAACGCCTGGAACCTGCCGCTCATCGACCACATGCGCGACGTCGTCAAGGGCGAGGATTCCACAGATAAGAAGCGGCCGCAGCGCGCCGTGAACTTCCAGAAGGCGTCGTGCACGATCGAGGCCGGCATGAAGATCTATTGTTCCCGCGTCGATGATACACTCACCACATCTTATAGGGTGCTCGAGTCGTTGCATAGGGGCAAGGACGAGAACAATGACGAGGAGGAGGACAACGAGCCGAACGAGAACGACGACGAAGCGACGCAGGCGAAGAAAGCGAGGAAGAAGAAGGAGAAGAGAAGAGGAGACGCCGCCTCGACATTGGCTTCACTAGATCAGATCGACGCCGTTGATGTGGACGAGGCCGCGACGGACGTGCTGTTCTCGCGCCTGTCTCGTTCTGGAGGTAGTGGATTGACGGACGGCACGTCGGCGCGAGCCATGCTTTTGTTGAGGCTCGCGGCGGAGGGCGCCTGCGTGTCGTTCGGGGATTCGGGTGTTCTGGACGATGGGCAGGAGGACGCCGTCGTGCACGTGCAGCCGTTGAGGGATTTGTTGCCTACCGTTCCGACGGAGTTCTGCCCCGCTTTATCACAATTACGAAGAGAGGTCGAGGACGGCGTCGTGGCCGAGGAGGTTGTTCCGGAGGACGAGGGCGGCTTCCTCGCGGGCGCCGACGATGACGATGACGGTTGTCGCTTCGACGATGGCGATGACGTCGGTGGTGATCTGGAGGGGGCGCTCGACGCGGCGTTGAACGACACGGCCGGTGGGTTGGGCGCGCCGGCGGCGGTGGACGGGGAACTGGACGCGACGGCGGCCTTCGCGCTCGTGAGCGGCGCTTTGGCTCGCGCCGGCGACGCGAACTTCTTCGACGCGGCGCGGCTGGCGGTTTTTATGCGGCGTCCTTTTTTTGCCATTGACGCGTCTCTGATCATCAACCTACACAGGCGCGGAACGCCTGGGCCGGCGCGGCGCACTGGAAGGCCGCGGCGCGACCGAAAGCCGCCCCGAAGGACGGTCCCGCCAAGAAGAAGAAGCGCGCGGCCACCAAACGCGAGTCCGACCTCGACTTCGGCGGGCCGCCTCCTTCACCAGATGCGCTCGCGCCGCCGCCGCCGAAGCGGGGCGGCGCGGACCCGCTCGCGCTGGGCCCGGCGGCGCTGCAGCGGTTGCATGCCGGCGCGCGCGACCTGGTGCTGCCGCCGGACTTGCGGGTCACGCCGGGCCAGCTGCGGAGGCTGTTTTTGCTGGAGGACGTGGCCGTCGCGGCCGCGGCGCGGGGCGACGAGGCCGCGCTCGAGGGGTTGGGCGAGGGGTATGGACAAGCGGAGTCCGACGACGACGATTATGGCGGGTTTGGTGGCGATGAGGAGAATGAGGACCGGTTCGCGATTCCTGATGATCCTATGACCCCCGGCTTCCAGAAGGGGCGGCCGTCGGTGCTGCCGACGCCGGGGCGGGCGTCCTTCTCGGGCGCGGACGGCCCCGATCTATTAGCGTGCGGGAGGAAAGTGGACAAGGTGCAGATCGCCTACGCGACGCGGGCCAAGAAGGTCGACGTCCGCAAGCTCAAGGCGCAGATGTGGCGCGACGTCGAGGCGACGCCGGAGTCGGACTTCGCGGCCGTGGTCAACCGCGTGGGGGCGCAGCAGCGCCAGAGCGACGTGACGATGCCCTTCTACTTCATCTGCCTGCTCCACCTGTGCAACGAGAAGACGCTGGCGCTGAACGCGGACGGGCTCAAGAACTTCGCGGTGTCGACGGAGGGGTAGGCGGCGCGTTTCCCTTCTTCCCGCGTAAGACAAGTACACAATTATATGCATAGTTTACGGCGCGCTCGCCGATGGCGTCTCGCGGGCGCGGAGCACGGCTCGAGACTCTTGCAAGGAAAGTGTCATCCCGGATAGGAGAGGGTGTGAGCCTCCCAACACGCGCCGCGCGCTCGGTTCTATATCCTCGAGCGTACTCACGGCCTCGCGGACATCGTCGAGCGTGGCACCAGGGTCCGAGTAGAGCCCAATCGCGAGACACCACCGTATCTTGAGCGTGACTGCGTCACTCTCGCCAAGAACACGTCGCGCCACGGGTACCGTTTTGAGCAGCACCGACTTGGCTTCTTCGAACAAATCTGCTCTAAGAAGGGTCAACGCAAAGTTCTCGGCTACCAGGAATGTTTGTCTATCTTCTTCGCCTCTTATCCTCATGCATCCGGAGTATACATCTCGCTGCATCCGTGCGGCCTCTTCGCGCCGTCCTAGCCTTTCGTATGTATTCGCCAGATTGGTCTGCATAACAAGTATCTGTTCTGGAAGTGCGCCAAGGCGCTGCCGCATAGACAACTCGGCCCCTTGCACGGACAACGCGTCCTCGTGGTGGTTTGCTTCGGATAAACCGTTCCCAAGCTGGTTAATCGCCATGCCCCAAACCTGGTCCGTCTCTGCCCGCCCCACGTATCTGCTCGATGGCGTGACGGGAACGCACTGGTTGATTTCCACGCAGGTGATCAGGAACCACGACAGCCTCGGGGAGCACTATCTCTCCCTGGGGGAGCATGGCGACGAGGAGCGGTGCTTTCTCGAGGTCGGGAACGAGGCCCGCTTCCGGGCCGCGACGCTCTCGTAAGGGAGCCAAGCGCGTCGAGTACGCTTTTACCACGCCCGAGTCGCTGGCTGATTACTTTATTGAGGTGTTGCGCAGAGCTGGCGCACGGTTCTTCTCCGACGTGCTAGATGACGCATGCACGGCGCGCGACTTCTTTGCCACGCGCGTCGATTGCAAGAGGCTAGGGTTCCTCGCGGAGTTCGACCTCGCGAAAGTCATGAAGCGGGGGACGCGAGCCAGGTCTTACGGCCCCGGCTGCCGATTAATTCTCGAGCACCTGTCGGAGCGGTGCGCCACGAACTGTTTGACGGGTAAAACGTCGAACGCGAGTCGCTGCTCGGCCTACAACGACCCGAGCTTCGACTGCGGGTCGCGGCGCTGCGCCGACGCGTGCCTTCGGCGGGACGACGGGACGGGGCGCATCGAGTGTTTGAATGAGATGCATGTGAAGAATAACTCGGCCGCGAAGTGTCTGCTGCCGCGGGAGGGCGTCGCGACGCGATGGTGCGGAGTCGCCACGCCGGAGCCGTCGCCGCGGCCTCACCCGAGTCGGTCGACGAAGAAGCACTCGCTGTGGCATTCGCTGTTCGGGTAACTGAGATCGATTAGCTAGCGGCCTGTAAGACACTAGAAGCAGATGATCGTCATTTCACTTTGCAGCGCTGCAAGCCTCGTTGCAAGCAAGTGAACCGTCAGTCTTGCGTAATCGTGCTGCAAATTAACAGATCGTACCCCTAGCGACCGCTTTTGCAGCTTGGAGTCGAAGCCTAGGCTGTGCTCTCTCCTTCAAGCAGTGCACAGCAGCTCGTCAACAATGCGCCGCACCTTGCACCTCCTGGTCGCAGGGCTCGCCGTCGACGCCTTCGCGCCGACGCCGGCCTCGGTGCGACGACGGCAACCGCTTTACAGCAAACTGCCGAAGCGCCTGCGCACGTCCGACTTGGACGATGAAGGACGCTGCGAGGAGGCCGGTATCATTGTTAAAAGTAGCCCGGGCAAGGGCTTCGGCGCCTTTGCAGCTAAAGCGTTCGACGAAGACATCACGATCGCGGACTACGTGGGCGAGCAGCTCACGCAGGCCGAGGTCGACGTACGGTACAAAAAGTCGAAAATGGACTGGAAGGACAAGTTGTGGCGGAAGTCGCGGCAACTCAAGGGCATTACCGTGTCCGGGGATTATATATTTAGGGTGGAGGACGACCTTTATGTGGACGCGGAGGACCCGGCGTTCGCGAACTGGTGCCGCTTCATCAACCACTCTTCTGATGCGAATCTGAGAGTGAAAAGCTTGGCCTACTCGGGCTACACGCAGGGCCCGCGGGTCTGGTTCGTCTCGACGCGACCCATCAAGGAGGGCGAGGAGTTGTGTTTTGACTACGGCGAGGAGTACTGGTTCGAGGAGGACAAGCCGGTCGCGTAAGTTTACGGAATAGTCCTGACCTCCCCCTCGCCGTTCAAGTTGTCCGACTAACACTCGGGGCGACGGCGTACTAGGGTGCGATTTACGCACGGCGTTCTTTACGTGAGCACTGGACTCGAGGAGACCCCCCCCCGGGCTAGGTTCCTGCGGTTGCGTAGGTCAGTAGGTAGGTACGTGAGAAACGGTCCAACGTAAATACGCCGTGTTTTACGTGTCATTTGCGCGTTTTCCCAAGCGCACTCTAGGGACGGCGTATGAGGGAAGCAAGAGCACTCAAGGTCGAGTAAATACGCTATTAATACCAGGATGGGAAACACCTAGGACGCCATCTCCTCGTCGCCGTCGTCGTCCTCGTCGTCGCTCTCGAGCTCCTTCTTCGCCCACGCGTCCGCCTCGTCGATAAGATCCTGGGGCACGAGGCCGTACTTCCACTCCGTCTCCTCGCAGAGCCAGGCGAACTCCAGAATGAAGGGCTTGTCCTTGGCGTCGTCGTGCGTCGTATGAATCATCTTGGCGATCTCCTTCAGGGCTTCTCTGCACGTGAGCTTCGTCAGGTCGAGCTTCTCGATCTCGCTCTTGGCCGACTGGCGGCCCTTGCCGAGGGCGGCCCCAAAATAGCGCAGACACACTCCGGTAGGCTCCAGGACATACAACTCGTGGGTCTTCTTCCGCGCGTCGTAGGCGGCGATCATCGTCGACGCGCCGAAGGGTCTCAATGCTCCATGGATCGTGAAATAGTGCACGTACTCCGCGAGCCGCTGCGCTAATACGGAAGGCGGGATCTCAATACCATAAGTGTCATCATACGAGTCGCACTCGTCCCTCGCGCGCGCGACGACCTGGCGGCCGTCCGCCGTACTTCCGGCCTGGGCCACGCCGGCATGTGGGGCTACGGCGGCCACTCTTCTATTTGATGACGGTAGGAGCATCTTGCTCAACATGACCTTCTCCACTCCTAAAACTACACCATCAGCACACCTAATACCAACGACGGTGCCCGAGTTCTCCACCGCTTTTGTGGCATATTCTACTTGAAATATTCTACCGTCCGGCGAGAAGGTCGTCGGGCTCAGGTCGTAGCCGGCGCCCGTCGAGGCCATTTTGTACTAGGCGCGCGCTGCGCGGCGAGGACCCTCTGGTCGTCCAAATTGGTGGCGGCTCGCGGAGGCACTGCGAGACAGCGCTGAGCGGCGCGGGCGGATCTGTGGCTACACGAAGGACGTGTGGGCACAGCGGCGCGTGCACAGAAGCTGTGTACGACGAGCGCGGCGGCTGGTAGGCGCGCGGCGAGTTAAGCTAGCGGCGAGAGACACTAGAAATCTTTTGGTGGGCCCGGGGGGAGCGGGAGGGGTACGGGGGACCCCGCGACGTAACTAGCCTGAGCCTTTTGTGGGTCGCACTAGTCCTAGCACCGTAACAATTACTCCGTGTCGGGGCACCGTAACATGAAAGTCCCTACGAGCGCCCCCCACTCTCCCGAAACCCCAAGATGCCCTCCAGGCTCACTCCCGGCGCCGCCGGCGCGATGATATAGGCTACTTCTTCTTCTTACCCTTTTTCCCCTTCTTGCCCTTTTTGCCCTTCTTGCCCGAAGCGGCCTCCTTTAAACGCTGCTTCTCGCGCGCCTCGCGCTCCAGCAGAGCCTGGGCCTCGGCCTCGGCCTTCTCCTTCGCCTCCTGCTCCCGTTTTTCGGCGCGCTCCTGCTTGCGCCGCGCCAGGAACTCCTCGACGTCGCGTTGCTTTGCGGCCAACGCATCGGCGGCAGCTTTGGCTTTTTGCTCTTTCCGCGTCCGCCGTCGCAGCAGCCGCGCTTCTTCCGCTTTCTGATCTCTATCATTACGGTTCGCCCGCAGTCGATCCTCGATGTCATCTAAATCTCTCTCAAGAAATAGATTCCCTCCAGTCTCGAGGAGAAAGAGTGAAGGACCGACGCCCTCGGCCAGCGATGGGCCGCATGATTGAGGCAGGTTACACCGCCACAGCGACAGCCGCGTTAATGACGAGGAGCGTAGCCCTCTACACAGTTCCTTGAAACCGTCTTCACCACCTTGCGTTAGATTATTGCCCTCGAGGCTCAGCGCCTTCAACGAAGTTTGAGCAATGGTCTCCGCTAACTGTTCACAGGCTTTAGGACCGGCCTCATTCCCCTCGAGATCCAAGGAAGCTAGGACCGAGCCCGGCGCCCTACAAGCTCGCGCCACATACGCGCAAGCCGTATCATCCAAGCGAGCACGACTGAGATCCAACGATATTATGGAAGTAACACGACTATAAAGCACCTTGGCCAGGCACCGACCCGCCGCGGATGGATTTGGTGACGCTCTGAGCACATCGGCAATACTCAACACTTGAGGCGCCTGCTCATGGAGCTCCATCAATCGCTGCGTCAAATCCCCGTCCTCGCCCGCATCTACAATGACGTCGGCCTCCTCCCTTATACCTTTGACGACTTGCAGCCGGTGCTTGTGCCTGAACTCCGTTTGTCTCTTTTTCGCGACTCTCGCGTTGAACTCGGCCCGCAGCTCGGCTATTCTTGTCGCATGCTCGTCGTCCAAGAGCTTTTGTAAGGTCCGAGCGTCGTCATTGAAGAAGCCCTTGGGAGCTACGCCTCTTTCGTCAAGCATAAGCTTCAGGTCGCCGCTCGTGAAATTGAAGGCGTTCAAGGGTTCCACTTGGTCAGGGTCGAACTGCTCTTCGTTCGGATCAACCTTGGCCTCCTCCGGTGGCGGTAGGGCGAAGAACTCGAAGAACGGAGATCGTTGTAGGACCGCACAGACGGCCGCGTCGGTTCGTACGCCGTGCTGCGCGAGCTCTTGCTTCGTGAAGACATCTCCTAAAACCCACTTATGTGCTGCCGCTAGCTCCTCGACGGCGGCGAGCTCCTCCTCACTGATCTTGGACTCGGCTGGGGGGGCTGCCCCCTCATCTTCCTTGGCTTCGGCCATGCTGCCCGTTGGCCGCGGCGGCGGCGTGCGGTCAGTCTCGCGTCGTGCAGGAGATGTGCCCGGAAGCTGCCCTCGCGCCGATGGCGTGCGCGGCGGCTCCAATTGTCGGCGCTCTCGTTGCGTTAGGCCAGCCGTCGTCGTCGAGCTGCGAGGCGAAAGTCTCGGGGAGGCGGCAGCCTGCGAGGAGCTCTCCGGGAGTGTGGAGGACTATTGCTAGCGTGGAGGACACACACTAGCACAGCAACAATCGCCTCCCAGGCTGCAAGAGTGACGCCTCTGTCCGCAGGGTTGCGCCGCTCGCGGCACCAGAGAGGCAGTTTGGCACTGCAGAGAGGCAGTTTGGCACTGCACCAATCGCACACATGTCCGTTTTCCCCACGCGCATACGCTGGCGGTCCGTCTGGGCCGCCGCGCGACGGAGAGCGGCGGCGGCGCGCTGCCTCCAGACGCGCCGCGCGACGGCACCGGCACGGACCTTCGCGACGACGCCGCCGCAGCACGGCCTCGACGACGTCGGCGCCGCGAGCCTCGACTGGCCGCGTTTAGGGTTTGACTTCCAGAAGACGAATGGGTTTGTGAAGCACACGTGGGTCAACGGCAAGTGGGACGACGGCGAGTGGGAGCCCGAGCCCTTCCTCAAACTACATGTGATGAGCGCGGCGATCCACTACGGCCAGGGCGTCTACGAAGGCGCGAAGGCCCACCACTGCAAAGACGGCTCCGTGCGGCTGTGGAACATCCAGGCGAACGCCCATCGGATGTTGGAGGGTTGTGAAAGGATGATGATGCCCGCCGTGCCGCCGGAGATGTTTATCCGGGCGTGCGAGTGGTGCGTCGCCGCGAATCGGGCGTATATCCCGCCCTACGGCACGGGCGGGGCTTTGTACCTGCGGCCCTACATTTTTGGGCATGGGCCGCAGTTAGGCTTGTCGGCGGCGCCGCAATTCCACTTTTGTGTCCTCGCGATGCCCGTGTCCTCATACTACGCGGGCGGCCTCCAGCCGATTGATGTGCTAGTCGCACACGACGCGGATCGAGCCGCCCCGCAGGGCGTGGGCCACGTCAAGGCCTCGGGCAACTACGGCTCGGATATCCGCGTGTCCATCGACGCGAGAGCGGAGGGCTACCCTACGGTGCTATACCTCGACCCCAAAGAAAAACGATATATCGAAGAGTTCAGCGTGTCGAACTTCATCGGCATCAAGGATAACACGTACGTGACGCCCGACTCGCCTACCATTCTTAGGAGTGCGACAAATGACATGCTCATGGACCTCGCGGCGTCGGACGCGTTCGGCATGAAGGTCGAGCGACGGCCGGTGGACGTGGCCGAACTAGGAGACTTCCGCGAGGTGGCCGGGTGTGGGACCGCGGTGGTGATGATGGGCGTGAAAAGCATCACTAATCAAAACACCGTGCACCGGTACGAGAGCATAGAGCGCGTCGAGGCGCTCTACAACCACTACCGAGCGATTCAATTCGGCGAAAAGCCGGACCCCTTCGGCTGGGGGACGGTGTGCCCGCCGCTAGCCGACGTCGCCGCCGCGTGAGCAACGCGAGAGCGTCTCGAACGCTCTATCGCTTCCCCTCTCTCTTGCGCAAAGCTCCTGTTAATATGAACAAACTATAGAAGAGTCCTAGGAGATGGCTGGGAAGGCGATTTCAATCTCGAGCCCGAACTGCGAGATATCGCGCCAGTACACCGTCAGCTTGCCGGAGTTCAGATACGAATCGCGATTATGCGAGAACCAAGGATGTTCGCCAATATGAAAATTGGACATAGCCTCGGGATGCATCACCGGACCTTGACCACCGAGGCACCGGACGTCCGAGAAAAGTATGCATCGACGTCTATCTCTGGCATTTTCTTCAGCCGGCATTTGCAGAGTGTGAACTGTCGCAACGATCTTTGCCACTGGCAGCTTAGGATTTCGTGATCGATCGCGCGTGAGGGCTAGCTCGGTTCCATCATCCCGGAGCGACCTGGATCGAACCATCGTAAAGACGTCTTGCCATCGGGTGAGGGGCGGCCGGTCCGCGTCGTGGTAGTCGTCGAGCTCGCCCTTGTACTCCGGGTCATCCTCGTACCCCTCCCAGTACTCGCATTCGTCCTCGTACTGTTCCCAGGTCATCTCTTCGTCGTTGTGCACCTTGTTAGTCCATTGCTGTATCCATGATTGCTGAGCCATGGTCGTCGTGCCGAAGAAGGCGGCGACGCGGCGGCCGACCTCGTCGATGACGTCTGGAGTCGGTTCCGGCACGCTTTCACCGTCGCTTGTTCTGTTCTGGTACGTGAGCGTGACAGACTCCGCATATCCCGTCCATGTCTGCTGCCGGAGTGAACTCAAGAATGACTCGTACGCCGAGGCCTCCAGCGAGCTTAGGAGCGACGCGTCGATGGGGGCGACGGCGTGACGCTCCTCGTGGGTACGAACCTTGGTAAGAGCCCACGAGGAGTGGGTGCGAAATGAGTTGAACTTTGCGTTGCGTGCGAGCTCGAGCGCAGCTTCTTTTCGTTTTTTGCTCCACGAGGCAGGGCATTTCGCGACAAGCTCGTAGGAATTGCGCGGTCGATCTGCATTCCTTTTTCCGGAAGCCATTTTCGCGCGTTCCATCTGCGATCCATTTACGTCAACGAGCTTGTCTTGACGCCATTGCATTTCGGCGACAAGGTTTGCGCGCCGACCGGCAAGCGAGCGCTTGCGGAGCTCTCGTAGCACTTGCTGGCCACTCATGTCTCGCACCGCCGCGGATGGTACCTCGTACAGGTGCGAGAGCCACACGCGGGGCGTCGCGAGCGGAGACCGCGGCGCCTCCAGCGCCTCTATATCACCTCGGATCGCCGAGCAGACCGTGCGCGTCGTGCGGGTGTGGTGCATGACGGTCGTCAGGCACGAACTTGTGCTCCAGTGCGTGCACGTAGCGCTTCCCGCGCGGAGGTGGTCCATGCCCTCGAGGGGGCGATGATATGTATCGATCAGGTCGCGTGGGTGTTCTTCACGCGCCTGCCGCACAAAGAACCGCGCGCCATGATTCGGCGACACGCTCACGACGAATTTGAGCACCTCGCGCCGCATCTCCGGCAGCAGGCGCAGGAAGGGGAAGGGAGGGCACACCTCGGCGGGTGGCCTGTCGTCCCAGCGGCGCCTGGACATGACTGATTGATTGGCTAAGGCTGGCGACCTCGGAGAGTGGTGTTGAGACTCGTGAGGGTCCTGGGGCAGCCTGTGCGCGCTCTTGGTGAACTCGGAGCAAGCAAGCCCGCGCCGAGCTAGCGGCCTGTAAAGACACTAGCAAGCAAAGCAGGACGGTGCAGGAGCTGTAAGCATCGTCGTAGAGCTCATCCGGTCGCGTCCGCTTTTTGTTTCCGGAACACTAAAGTTGCCGCGCAGCGAGTACAAGCGATTTCGACCAAGCCGAGCCGACTTTGGCACATATTAGCTCTCACACAAGACACAAGGGCCACTGCAAAAATGCCGCCGCGCACCCGCCGCTCCACCGATGGCCGGCCGCCGACGCGCCGCACCACGTCGAGCCCGCGGAGCCCGAGCCAGCGGGGCCGCGCGAGCCACCCGCGGCTCGCGAGCCCGCCGACGGCCGAGGAGCGAGTGAGGAGGACGAACGAGTACCGGGCGTCGCGGAGCCGCGCGCGCGCCTACCGCGACGGCCTGCGGGCCGCCGCCGCTGCGGCGCCGGCGCCGGCGCCCGCCCAGCCGGCGCCGGCCGAGTCGCCGCGGTCGCGCGCGCGCAATTTCGCCCAGAGCCAGGGCTGGCTCACTGGTTCACTGGACGACGTGGACAATGTAGACGACGTGGACGACGTGGACGATGTCGTGGAGGACGCCGACGCGGCGGCCGCGGCGCGCGCGCGGCGGCGCGAGTCCGAGGGCCTCGCGGACGAGCTCGTCTACCCCGGGGGCCTGACGACCTTCGAGGACTCGGACGACGACGCGCGCGCGGCGCAGCGGGGCGACGCGAAGGCGCCGCGCGACAACCAGGCGGCGCTTTTTGGAATCATGGCGGCGCTCGCTATATCGCTGCTCGCGATCGTCGCGCGCATCGTCAGCGACGCGGCGGCGGCCGCGCTGGAGGGCGTCGCCGAGGTCCGCTCTACATTAGCGCAGCCGCGCGTTTACATAGCGATCGTCGGCTTCGGCGTCGCCGCGGCGTCTATTTATAAGCGCGTCCAGACGCTTATTGAAAGGCGCGCTTTAGCCGAGGACCTGCTGGAGGCGGCGGTCGCGGCGCTGGAGGACGCGCGGCGGCTGCCCGGGTCGCGCGCGCGCGTCCCGTGCGACCATTTGCGAGATGCTCTCATTCGCGCGCGCTGGCCGCTCGCGGGCGCCAAGCGGCGCGCTGCTTTAAAAGCGTGGGCGATCGTGATCCGGGAGCTCGACAGCGACGCGCGCATCCGCGCCGTGAACGTGCAGGTCGCGGGGCGCCGCATGAAGCACTTCGAGTACGTCGCGCGCGTGCGGACGGCTACGCCCAGATAAGTATGCCTGGCTTGTAGTCCTGTTTCGTGGTCCTCGAGACGTATCGGCCAAAACCCGTGCGTTTTTTTTCATTTTTGCAGCGCTCGGCAGCGCTCGGCGCTCCAGCCAGCCACGAGAGGCAGCCCGATGGTGTGATAAAAGGGCGGGAGGCAGCACCGATGCTGCCGTAGTCCAGGCCTGCGGGAACAGAGCTCCTCGGAGCGGAGCTGGAGGCCATGCCGTCGCGGCCAGGCTCCCGCGCGTCGCGCGCGTCGACGCCGCAGAAAAGGCCGGGCTCCCGCGCCTCGCGCGCCTCGACGCCGCAGAAAGGAGCGGAGACCATGTCGCGCACGTCGACGCGGAGCCGCGCCTCGCGCGAAGAGGACGAGAGCGACCTCTCGGACACGGCCTCCGAGGCCGAGGCCGAAAACGCACAGGACACGGCCGACCGCATCGCGGAACTTGATGAATTAGGCCTGGCGCGGTGGGGCCCGGAGCTCCTCGAGAAGATTGATAGGAGATGCGTCGGTGCCCTAGCTCTGCTGCGGGGCAAGTCCTTCGCGGGTTGCCTACGACGGGAATTGCAACAAAAGCAAAGCGACCGCCGCTTATTATGCCGCTACCCGCTCGGTCCCGACGAGTTAAGGACGGTCTTCGCGTACAACCGCCACAAGGCCGTCCTGGAGAGGCCAAAAACAGCTCCTGGCGAGGAGCCCGTGCCGCGGCACAAGCGGCGCGACGCGGAGGCAGCGAAGCGCGCCGCGGAGGCCGCCGCGCCCGAAGTTATTACGGTAGTCTTCTTCGAGGACGTCGACGCGTTGATGCGGACGGCGCTGCCGCACTGCGCCGCGTTAAGGTTGGGCGAGCCGCCCGTGCCGCTGCGGCCGTGCACTTCATTAGATTTTCTGAACGAGGTCTGCCTCCTCGAACACGGCGGGCTGTTTAAGCTGCGGGGCTACGTGCCGTCGAAGGCCGGGCCGTTGGCGCCGTTCGACTACGCCGCCGCGCCGGCCCCGGCCCCGGCGCCGGCGCCCGCGCCCGCACCAGGGCCATCATCAGCACCAGCACCAGCCCCGCCCGAGGCCGCCGCGCCGCCGGAGCCGGCCATGGACTGCGCCTTGGTGCGGGAGTGGGTCGAGGGCGGTTTACTCTCGACGCGTTTACAACACAAGCGCCGTATTCAAGAAAGGGAGGTCCACCTCTGGGCCACTTCATTAGCAGCAGCACTAGTCTCAATACATAGAGGAGGCCACGTCTTCAACGGGCCCACGCCAAACATGGTCCAGCTCTCGAAGCGCGGTCCGTGGCCGGCCGACGAAAGACGCTATAAAAAGCTGATGAAGGAGTACGAGGAGGATCTGGAACTACGCAGGAAATACGAACAGAAGCAGCGCGAGGAACGTATTCGACAATCAAAGGAACCCGTCAAAGAAAAAGTGATCGGGACCTCATTGCAAGAGCGGGCGGCGTCCGGAGGATTTGCTGCGAAGTTCAAGGCGAGGGAGGAAGCGAGGAATAACCCTATCATCGAAGTTGAAGAAGAGGAGGCGCCCCTGGAAATGCCCCTCAAGCCGGAGACCTGCTATGATGCGTACCTCAAGGACCTCGAAAGGTGCACGCCGCGCCACGAGAAGGATCCGTTGCTCTCCTTCGCCGAAAATCAATTAGAGAAAGTACGACTGGCGCAGGAAGCTTTGAGCAAGGGCGAGGACTCATTTCTCGAATACGAATCTGACGGCGATAGTACAGTCACTTGTAGCAAGACCGTCGGTAGCATACAAACGCGGGCGTCCTTCGATAGTCAACCGTCTCTGATGTCCAAGGCGTCCTCGAAAAAGCCGCTGGAACGCATAGCTAGACCTGACTGGTGCCCCGAGGGCTACGAGCCCCCCGAGGGCTTCACGCTGCTTGGTTCTAGATCAGATGCTTGGTTACTGGGTTGTTTACTGTTTGAATTATCAACACGTATCAAGTTATCGTTGCAGGAAGACGTTGTATTGCCTCGACTGACGCCAACCCAGGAAGAAAGTATCTTCGTAAGGTACTGTATCGAGCAGGGTTGTGCTTATGAGGCAGGTGATATCCTTTGTGAGGTAGAGACGGAGGAGAAAATAGTACCTTTCAAGGCGGATAGAGACGGCGTATGTGCTACTTATTTACTAGAGGAAGGTTCTACTATATATATAGGAGACGCCTTATTCGTGAGAAATGATTGTCTAGCGCTGAAGGACGTCCCCCTAGACAAGACCATCAAACAAATACCGGCACGCTTCGGAATAGAGTTGAAGAACTGTCTGAGATGCGCTCTGGAGAAGGACCCGCGGGACCGCGCGACGTGCGAAGAAATGTTTTACTTGTTAGAACCAAGCAGAGCCCAGCGGCGCCACAACGTCGTGGAACTGCGACCGAAGATCGCGCAGTTATTAGATTTGGGTACGGGAGGCTACGAGGAGGAAGCTTTACCGCTCGCCGGGCGCATCGACAGGGAGGAGGCCGAGAAGGAAAGGTTGCGTGTGGCGGAGGAGGAGGCCCAGAAACGGCGCGAGGAGGAGGAACTCCGGAAACAAGATCCGGAGAACACGCCCGAAGTCGTGCAGAAGCCGAAGGTCAAGCTCATCTCGGCTCTGCTGGCGGCGCGCTTCACTTCGAGAGCTACTGGTGAGGATGACGGCGGCGACCTAGAGGAGTCGGAATTGACCGAAGCGCAACGCATGAAGCGTAGAAGAGCGGAGTTCGAAGCATCATTGTCACCGGAGGCATTACAAGGCTGGAAGCGGGCGCTGGCCCGCGTGGAAAAAGCGAATCGTAAAAAGTGGTACGACAACCTACCTGGGGTTCGAAGAAGAAGAATAGATAGACGTCGAGAACGGAGGCTGCGGGTGCGAGAATATAGAAGGAAGATCAAGATTGCGCGGCGAGCAGCGCTGATGAATTTTTGGCCTGTTGATGATGTCGTCAAGTGGGCGAAATTGGCCTGTCGACGGGCCGTGGACTGCGAGGCCTTGTCACTTGTTAATCGAGACGGGTGGTACCAGCTCAAGCTGCAACGGGACAAGGAACGGGCGGCGGCGGAAAGGGCTCGCAATAGGCGAGCTAGGCACCGTAAATTAGCTGCTGCCAAGGCCGGGGAAGCCGTTGAAGAGGAGGAGGAGGAAGAAGAGGTGGAGGAGGAGGTTGTGGATAATAAAAAAGACGACCGGAAGTCGATAATGGGCCGCCAGGTGATCCCGCCCTCGGAAACGCTGCGGTTGACTCAACAAATTGAGGAGGCGCGACGGACACGGGACGACCGTCGACGGCGTTTGAGGAAGGCCATCACCGACAACTACGCCGAACGGAAATTAGAAAATTACGCCTTAGCGGCCGCGGCGGCCGTCGACCTCGTCTGGTTGGATCATGCGGCCCTGAGGTACTGCGAGCCGCTGGGCCAGTGTCTCGTGGACAAGAATGTATCAGGTAAGAAGCTGCACTTTGCGATGCAACGCGCAGCGGAAAATGCTGAGAGAGGTATCAAGAGATTAAGTGCCAAGGGCACGTTGGACGACGAGGCGTCTTGTAGACAAGCGTTGGGCGTGGCGGCGGTCACGCGCAGCGAGGCTCTGAAAGATGTACTCACGGAGACCGTGATCTTGGCGGAGAAGATGCGTCCACCACCCAAGCAGAAGAAGGAGGATTCCTCGTCGTCAGATTCCGATAGTGATGATGATGCGAACAAGGTCCACCCCGAGGCCCACGAGGAACGAGATCGGCAGGCCTTTATACTAGCGGTCGTGTTGTACGCGGCGTTCCACGAAACAAAAACGAAAGCGTTGCCAGCCCGCGTGGACGCCTCGACGAAAATCGCGAGCGTCGCGCGCGGGCGCCAGACGCGCGCCGTCATCAAGGAGATCTGGCGCCAGGCCGACGTCTTAGCCGATGATGAACTCAGAGCGGACGCCGCGGCGAAGGCTGCCTTGGCTGCGGAGGAGGCGAGACGACCCAAGCCCCTGCCGCCGCCTCCGCCGCCGTTAGAAACGATGCAGTTTGGGGCGCGGTATGCGGTGCTTGGCTTAGGACATGTGCTGCGAAAGGTCGGCGAGAGAGCTGCGCAAGCCACAAAAGGGCGAAGCGACGACCCTTTATCACAAACGAAGGCCGAGCCCATGTCCATCATGGGGTGGAAGGGCTCCGACCCGCCCGTCGACGACTCGACGTGCCCCCACGTGCTGTACTTCGAACTCGGTCCTTTGGAGGACGACGAGCCGGGCGTAGAGTATCCTATTATCGAAGACAAGGAGGATCCTCTCGCGGCGCGCATCGATGATTTGAAACCAGCGACGACGTACCTGGCTATCCTCAAGATGACACCTCGGACGCGACGACGGATGGTCCGGGCCTGCGGCCGCGGCGTAGCTGGCTGTGTAGAAATCAAATTTCTCGACGTGACGCCTGCGCGATGGCGTGCATCCGACTCACTGGTTGATTTCCACACACAGGAGGGCGCGACGCGCTGCTTGCCGCCGGAGGAGGACGACGAAAATTTACAGACCCGCTGCGTGTCGTTTAGAACATTACCGGACGTACCGGAGCCGCCACGACCGCCGAAGGTGCGAGCGTCGCGGTTCCGGGGCGCTGCGGACCTCGCGAATCTCATCGCTCCGTACGGGACGGCGAAGGACCCACTCGGTGCGATGGGCGCGGCCGTGCGGCCACCCCAAGAAAATACGGTTGCCGTCAAAATTGTGTGGGTACCGCCCCACGACAACGGCGCCCCTATCAAGGGGTATAGGGTGGAGCGCGCCAAGGTGTTCCGTAAAAATAATCGGGCGCCGATTGCCGAGGCGAACTGGACGCAAGTGCGAGCTCTTAAACACGACGAGCGCGATATTACTGATGTGCCTCCCACGAATCACCGCTTGTATTGGTACCGCATCGTCTGCCACAACAAGGTCGGCGTCTCAGATCCGGGGGTTGCGTCGAAGATCGACCTCACGGACGAGGCCACGGAGGTCCATCCGAACTTGCGACCGTTGTCGTTGGTCGAGGCGCCGGCCCCGGCGCCGTCGCTGCTGGAGGCGCCGTCGACCCTGCTGGAGGCGTCCGTCGCGTCGCGACCGTCAAAACTGCTTGCGGTCGAGGCCGTCGCGTCGCTCTTGGAGGCGCCCGAGGCCGCCGCGCCGCCAACGCCGGCGCCCGAGGCGCCGGATGTTATTCCGTCGCCGCGGCCGCTGCCAAAGCTCAAACGGCCGAAGAAGCGGTCGGAGCCCACCGGCGGCGTACTCGACGGCGGCGTCTTCTTTACGCCTCTCAAGACGGCAAAACCGCTGCCGCGGTCGAAGGTTAAGAGTACATTTAGGTAGTAGTGCTTTTCCGCTGCTGGCGGCCCGGGTACATTAGTCCCTGTCGTGCGAAGGGCTGATTTATCCAGTATTACTCTAAACCACGCCTCCGGAAGGCAGATCTCCCGGCCGCGCGAACCCCCGAGGTGCCGGTGCTTGCGCCGCCTCGTACATGACGTTGTTCCAGTGGTCCTGGGTCACCACGACGAAGACCGTCAGGAAGGCCATGCCGAACGAATCGAAGTTGAACCGTCCGCGGCAGTTCATGGGCGGGTCGCACGTCTTGCTCCATTCGTACGGGAAAAAGTCAGGCGCGATGGTCCCGCCGTCGGTGTCGTCGACGACCGTGCGGTACGCGCGGTTGCGAGAGTACCAGAAGAGCTGCGCCTCGCCCCGCAAGGAGTAGACCCGCCCGCGGAAGAGGGTCATGCCGAGGACGGCGAAAAAGTACATGAGGAACACGAGGAGGAAGAGCGCGTTGTAGAGCCAGCGCCACGACGTCGTGACGATGGCGACGATGCGCGGCAGGTCCATCTGCGGCGTCGTGAGGCGTCTTAACCTACCGACCCGCGCGAAGTTGACCAGGCGCAGCACGATCGTGATGGTGATGACCTCGTACCAGGCGGCCGAGCGGTTGTCGCCCGCCCCCAGGCGCGCGAAGTCGCCCGCGAGCAGCAGCGTGAACAGGACGAGGTCGTAGGTGTTGAAGGGGTCCCGGAAGAACTTGAGGCCGTAGGCGAACAGGCGCAGCGCGAGCTCGCCGGCCCAGAGGATCTGGAAGAAGATCGTGAAGCCGTCGAGGAGCCCCCGCCGCCACGGGGCCATGTTCGGCGTCTCGCACGCGAGGAGGATGACCTGGCAGACGATGACGAGGTAGGACGCGAGCTGGAACCAGCCCAGCGGCGGGTCGCAGATGCGCTGCCACATGGCGCGGTAGTAGCCGTCCGGGTGGGCGTCTCCACTTTCACTTGAGACGCCCCCGTTGAGCGTCCTATCTATTTCAGCCACGTCGTCGCGCTGCGCGGCCAGGACGTCGACGACCGTGTCCTCGAGCTGCGTCAGGCCCAGCTCCTCGCGGCTCGCCTCGCGCCGCTTCTTGACCGCGCCGGCGCGTCTTTTTTCATCCTCGCGGATGCCCTTGCGCAGCTCGAACGAGACGATCGCCGGGAAGATGTTCAGCGCCATGAAGGCTAGCACGCCAACTAACAAATAGTAGTAGATCCAGACCGACGCGCCGGCCCCGTCCTGCGAGGACCAGAGCGGGTCGTCCCAGCCGTAGAGCTGCATCAGGTCGAAGACCGCGAGCGTCGCCCACCCCACGGTGTTGAACTTGAACTTGTTGCCGTCGATCGAGTAGCCGACGTCGATGCAGTACTCCGTCACCTTGTAGGGCGTCCCGGGGGGCCCCAGATTCGATTTTTGTGTGGTGTTCGCCATATACGAGCCCCGGCACGACCGGCACGTGTCGCAACTTCCGCAGATATCCCGGTTCGTGATCTTCCAGGCCTCGGGAAACCCCCGCCACGCTTCCCGCAGGGCGCGGCGGGACGTGTCGGTGTTGTACGTGACGCCTTGACCGAAGTTGTTCAAGTCATTTCCCTTGAACGCGCTCTCCAGGAAGGGCGACTGCACGCAGCGCTTGTCGAGCTTCTCGGCCAGGTACCTGCGCCCGAATCGAGAATCGACCGGTGGAGAGACGTCGCGACGACAGAGTGACTGGTACGCCGCCACGCGCGCGTTGCCGACGACGGCGAAGAAGTAGATGAACATGGAGATAACGACGCACCCGATCACGACCTTCCGGGCCGAGTCGAGCAGCGCCGAGACCAGGAGGCGCGTCTCCCGCAGGTACGGAATCTTCCGCAGCGGCTTGAGGATCCGGAGGAGGCGCAGCACCGCCAGGACCTGGACGAGGTTTTTGCCGCAACCGAAGGCCAGCCGCGCGATGATGTACGTGTAGATGCCCTCGCACACGACCTGTGTCGAAAATTGACCGGTGAGCATCTCCGCGCCATCGCGAGAGCTTTGATTTCTGCACGGCGAACGACGAGGAAGTCCAGCCGGTTCCAGCCGTCCGCGAAGTAGTCGATGCCGTAGGCGCCGAGCTTCACGACCAGCTCGAGGAAGCAGAGCCCCTGGCGTTACACCTAACGCTCGCGAGTTCGTCTCGAGTTCAGCGCTTCAAGGTGGCCAACTGGGCGTTACAACCACGGCGCCTGAAGGTCTGATTTTGCCCTCGCGCGTTAATGCTTGTTGCACTCACACACCAAAAAGCAAGCACCCTCACGGCCGCGCATCTCCCGCAATGCGTCCTGCGAGACTTCCTCACGCTCGTAAACGGCACCACGGGACCTTTCCTTAAAAAAGCCTAAACATTTAGCAATTTTAGCGGCGGCGCCTCGCGGATTGAGGTCGCCGCAGTGCGCGACTGCCGCACCAACGAAGCTCACGAGCCCTGGTCGTGTCTCGCTGCAAGCATAATAAACGATGCTGCGATGCCTCGCCGTCCTGGCGCTGGCCAATGCCATTAACACTGCAAGCCGGTCTGCTCCGCTGAGAGTACGGGGCGGCGCCGACGACGCGAGGGCAACGCACGCCTGCGCGGCCGCGCTGGCCGCGGCCAAGGGCAAGGCGGCCCCCAAAATCGCGCGGTGGCGGCTAGATGTGGACGACGGCCGCCTCTGCCCGAAGGGCTGGTCCGCCGAGGCGTCTTCGCTAGTAGAAGATGCTTTGAGGGAGTTCGACGCCGCAACTAGAACACACTGGCAGTCTGAGGATAGAGTAAAAAGCCGGGCCGCGCTAGCCGCCTACCTCCAGAGCGAGGTCGGTTCTGCCCACTTAGATCAACTGCAGGGCGCGGCGGAACGAAGGTTGCGCCAGCTGAAAGCTGCTCTTGGTAGGGTCTACGCCAAAGCCGGCTCCGCGGACGCCGACGCCTTCGACGCGGAGCTGAGGAAAGCCGAGCACGACTTCGATGGCGACGCGGCGCGGTGCCGCGTCGACGCCTTGAAGCTGGAAGGCGTCGACGAGCGCACCGCCTTCCTGGACGCCGCTCGGCAATTGGCCTCGGATTTCGAGGCGTCGCCGGCTGCGCAGTTAGTGGCAACTCGGGGCGAGCGCAAACGGGCCGAGAAAGCAGCGAAAGCAGCACAACGGGCCGCGCGCCAGGACGCCGCGAAGGGCAAGGCGCCTTCGCTCGTGCCGAAGGCCGTGAACGTGGCGGTGCAGCTGGTCGGTATGTTGCGACCGGTGGGCCTGGGCAATTTGCAGGGCTACTGCTCGTATGCCATGGGGCCGCACTCGCTACTTTTCGGCTACGCGGACGACCGGGACCCGAACGGCGGCGGGATGGACGGCGACGAGATCCCCCTGTTCCGGCTGCAGCCGAAGTTCACGGTCGACGTGGACTTGTGAGCTAGTCGCTGCCTAAGAAGTTCACAACATTACACTCGCGTTGACGCTCGGAGAATCGCGTCGACGGCGTCCTTCCCGTCCACGCCATCGACGAGATGTAGGCGCTACAGACCTAGCTTGTCGAATTCCTCGCCGTCGATGTCCACGAACTCCTCCTCCTCGCCCTCCTCAGCCAGTGCCAACAACCGCTCGAACTCCTCATCGTCGACCTCGTCCAGGTCCTCGAGGTAGGCCTCGAAATCATCGTCCTCGTCCTCGAGGGCCCCGAGGTCCTCGTCATCAACAGAATTGGCCTGGGCGAAGTGCCTTAATACTTCAGCCTGGAACGCGCCGACGACCACGAAGTCGTCCTCGGCCGCAACTTCACCGTCGTTCGCTCTAGCTTGCAGCGCGGCGCCGAACGCCACCGCTCTATCGGGATCGACCGCTTTCCGATAAGGCACGCCCGTCAATTTCGACAAACACTTCTGGACGCAGGGCATCTTGGTGGCGGCCCCCACCAGCACCAAATCGTCGACGGTGCGCGACCCCTGCTGCGGGACGATCTTGATGTTCGGCGCCGCCTTTCGGAGGTCGTCCAGAGCCCGCTGCGACTGCTTCGCCTGCTTGCGGCGCTTCGCCCGCGTACTTGCGGGAGGCGCCTCGTCGGAAAGCTCGTCTCCTTCCAAACGCGCGTCGCCCAGCACGCACGCCTCGCGCGCCGCATCACAGCATCTTTCTAAGAGTATGGAGGAGGCCTTTTCTAGGTCCGAGCGAGTCACAGTATCCGTATTTTTCTGCGTAGTGAGCTCGATCTTCACGCGCTCGGCCTCAGATATAGTCAAAGACGGGTCCACATCGATAACCGCCCTCGTAAAGTCATCGCCCCCGAGGTTCAAATCACCAGCAGTGGAAATGACTTCTGCGGTGCGCCCGCCCACATCAACTAAAGACACGTCGAGCGTGCCCCCGCCCAGATCGAAGACCATGGCCAGCCTCTCATCATTTTTTTGGGATGTGCCGTGCGCGCGCGCCGCTAATTCGGGTTCATTCGCAATTTGTACCTTTTGTAAACCAGCTTTGTATGCTGCCGCCTCCGTCGCTCTTCTCTGTGAAGGTAAAAAACACGCGGGCACACCTATCACAGCGTTCTTCGGGCGTTCTCCTAGGAAAGTCTCGCAGTCCGTTAGCAATGAATCCAGGACACATGATGACAAGTCGACGGGCTTGACGCGTCCGACTGTTGTCATGACGCCGACGTAGCTATCTTCGTCTGTTGAACCATCATCTAATCGTAGTCGCTTTTTCGTGGGCTCTTCGACGCGCCATGCTGCTGTGGCCTTATCCAATCCAATGGCGCGCTTCCAGCTCGTTACTAAAACTTCGTTGTCATTTAGTGTAGTGAGCGGTTCTGCGAGCCTTATAGAATCAGAAGAGACGACGCAGACCGACGGCGTCAGGAGCTTGCCGTCGACGCGTCTCGGCACGAGCTCGGGCGCGCCGTTGCGGTAGACGGCGCAGCAGCTCGTGCTCGTTCCCAAATCGATGCCGATGGATAATGCCTTTGCACTTGCGATGATGGCGAGTAGGTTGCGCATTGTTGTTAATTCTGCACTGCACTTGCGGCAAGCACTGCTTTCTCTGTACAGTGAATGAATGCGGTCCAAAATCGCTGGAGTTGCAGGTGTTATCCGTGCGTCGCAAACGCGCAAGGATGCAGCTTTTACGCACCGCTTTGATGCCCAAATTTGCGATGCACTCTGCTTGCCTGCTATTGCTAGTATCTTACTTTACGCTAACGCTGGGACTCTTTGCTCCGCCAACCAGGCCTCCAGGAACCCCTTTTGTCGCGCACGGACGGATCGATTTCGCGGCTCGTCGTGGAGCTCCTCCGCGCCTCGTGTCGCCGCTGCCTGGTTATACGAGCGCTCTCGCACGCAGGGACGTGTGGAGACAGCGAAGGACACGCACGAGTCGGATTGAGCCAGCTGTGCGAAGGCTGCGCCCGCAGGTAGCTCTGCCTGGGCCAAACAAGGCTCTCACAGCCCAACCTGCTGCTCTCCGGTCTCCGCGACCCGCAGGCGCGAAGCGCTGTCGCTGAGCTCAAGGCGCCGTCGCGCGGCGAGCGCGGCGAGCGCACAGCGAAAACAAACGTCAAAGAAAAGCCCCGGGAGCGCTCGCGCCCGCAGGCGGCGCCGCGCGACGAGGAAACATGGCGGCCTCGCGCTACCCCCTCGTCCTGACGGACCAAGAGCGCGCCATGCTCGAGGACACGTGGCCCCTGGACCTCATCACCTCCAATGAGAGGCAGCCTCTGGAAGTCTTCACGCCGACGGCCTTCGCGGCGCAGGTTTTATTAGCTGATCACTTGGAAGACGTCGTCGTGTTCCGGAACGGGGAGCAGGCCCTGGGTATAGCAAGGGAGGACTGTTTACCGGAATGGGTCTCTGACTGCCTCGAGCACGCGAAGGATCCGAGTGGTGCTTCCGTTTTGAAATTTCTGAGGAGGGCCGTCGAGCATCCCGAATCCAAACTACTCAAGGCCAACGTGGAGTTCACGACGTCCTCGGGCATCCAGAAGGAGGCCAAGGTCCCGCGGCGGTCGCGGTCGCGGTCGCGGTCGCGTTCTGTGGGCGACCGCGCGCAGGTGACGACGTCGCGATCTCGTAGTAGATCTAGATCTAGATCGCGATCGCGCTCGAGGTCCCCCGTGCAGGGCTTCGTCCAAGACGACGAGGACCCGCGGTGTTTAGCGCCGCGATTACGAGCCGTCGAGGCCAAACTTGAGGCAGGAGACGCCAAGGAAGCCGATTTGTACGTGTGCGAACTCCGCCGCATCAAATCCATCAAGCAGCCGCCGCCCTTCCCCGTGCCACACCCCTGTGCATTGCTCGGTGCGCGGAAGACGAAAACCCTGCGGAAGAAACAAGTAGCTGATGCACTTGGGGATTTGGCAAGGTGGACGCTGTCCTGGGACACGCAGGACGATGGGGTGTTTGTCGGGGGGCGCGGCGCGGGCAAAGGGTTGCACGTCGACCAAGTGCTCTGGAGCAACGTCGGGCACAACTACACGGGGTACAAGTTATTGGCGACCTGGGCTCCTGGACAAATATCCACAAAGCTGCACGACACGATGCTCGATTCGGTGTTCACGCCGCCCCTCAAGCAGGATCAGTTGGATGCGTTACGGCAGGCGTCGAGAATTGTACTCTTGCGACCGGGCGACGTGTTCCTCATGAGCGGCGGCGTCGCGCACGCGACTTTGACGGTTGGGAGTGAAGAACTGAACCTGACGGCTTATGAATCCGTCGTAACTCTAAACCCGCGCCACGCGCGGCACTTCCTGCGGAGCGGCGACCGCAAGGGTGAATACGCGACGGAGCGCGGCGGCATGCCGCGGCGCGAGCTCGAGGACTTCAAGGACTCGACGATCGACGCGTTGGAAGCTTTAGCGATCGCGCCGCAGCCCGACTTCCGGACCGCGCGCTTTCCCGTGACGGACGCGGACGCCGCGGCCTTCCGGAGCGTGTTGCGCGACCACCTCGCGGCGACCATTGAACTGCTCGACGGCGAGGACCGCTTCTACCGGAAGCATCTGCCGCCGCGGCTGCTCGCGTACCTCCGGGCGCCGGCGCCCGAGCCGCTCTCGGGGCCCTCGGAGATTGTGGAGTTGCCGCGCTACCGGCCGCCGCCGCGCCAGACTTGGCGCCGCTATTAGTCAAGATTAAATTTAAACAAGCTAGAACAGAAGAGGATTGGTCTCCTCAGCGGATGATTTGCCGCGGCAGCTCCCCTCGTCCATGGCCGCCGGATACGCGTTGCAGAGCCACGTGCACGGTCTCCGGCCGCCGAGCCACTCCTCTCTCAATAAAATATCGAGGACTCCGGGCGTGATGCCGACGTGATAGAGGGCGCTTCGCGTCGTCGCGACGCCGGGATCTATCCGCGGATCGTCCCCAAGGGGCCGAAACCGTTTGCACATATCATAAAAAAAGCGATAGGGCGCCACGTCGAGCGGTTGCCGGAGGGCCGCGACGAGCGTGGCGTTCATGCGACGCTGCACGAACACGGACTTCCAGAGCTGTCCATCGACGGAGACGTCCTCCTTCGCCCGCGTGGCAGCATCGCACGGGCGCTTCCCGACCTTGAAGGCGCAGCGGTCCGCGGACGTGACGCAACCAATCTCGCACCCGTAAGACGTCTCCGCGACGTGGTACATCTCGCTAAATCTACGGGCGTTGTCCCGCGCCATCAGGAAGAAGTTGTCGCCGAAGCCCGGCGACGGCATGAGCACGGCGCCCTCCGGGACGCGCGCCGCGGCCAGGCTCTTGTGCATGTAGATGTCCGGGCGGCCGAAGTAGACCGCCTCGTATTCGAGGCCGCCGCGGCGCGCCTCGTGCTCCGTGATCAGGCGATGCGCCTCGCGCACGGCGTAGGCCCACGACGCCGACGCGGCGTGCATGTGGCCGACGGCGTGGGCCCGCGTCGCGTCGCTCCGGGAGTAGTGCATGCCTCGCGGGTGGCACGCCTCCTGCGCTTTTGGCATCGTCCTCTTCTTCGGGCGGGGTTTCACGCGCTTCTCCGGCCTCGTCAAGCGCCTCGATACCAAAGTCGAGTCACACTCTTTTGGTAGCGTTCCCTTCAGCTGTGGCAGTTGCGCGAGGACTGGGGCATTGTCCGCGTACTCCGCGGCCACCGGTTCGTAGCGCTCGGCGAAATCGGACTCCAGCGGCCGGTCCCAGGAATACACGAAGACGTCGGCGGCGCTCGCGTAGGCCTCGGCGAGCGGCTCTCTGACATGTTTCCGCAGCGACTTGCTCGTCACCCGGACCCAGGCCCGCGTGAGCGGGTGCGACGCGTTGATCGCGCTTGCGCTGCTGAATTTCGCGTGGTGGCCGCCGCGCGTGATGTCGCTGAAGCCGCCCACGAGGGCGATCGCAACCCTGCCACAACCTGGTCGCAGGCGGTCGTCACAGCCATTATTGATGGCGGCGGCTGCGGCAGCCGTAAGCAGGAGGCCGTTGCGCATCGTTACGCGTCGAAGGCGTCCAAGGGCAGCATTGCTGGGCGCGGGGGCAGCCTCTTTTGCGAGCAAAAAAAAATTAATATTATGTACTATAGTGGGGAATGCTAGTGTCTTACAAGCCGCTAGCTGCGCTCGCGGGCCGACTCGCGGCTGCCTACAGCATCACCTGCGCTACAGCCAAAAAATACTGCCTAATTCCATACCGAAGAGCCCCGCTTTCCACACGTGCAGCCCGGCAGCTCAACGAGATGATCATGGGCCCCAAGCTTTGGTGCCTGCTCTCCTGCATCGCTGCCGTGGAATCGGGCGGCTATGTCATGACCAACAGCAACATAAAAACTGCAGTCGCTGCGTGGCTCTCGGACGCGACGGCTGCCGAGGCGACGTACGGCCACATCTCGACGTGGGAGACCGGGGGGGTGACTGACATGTCGTACTTGTTTTGTGCGTATTCAGGATTGAGTTCTTGCAACACTGCCGCGGCGTCCTTCAACGAGGACATCGGCGCGTGGGACACCTCTGGCGTCACGACGATGTACGATATGTTCTACCACGCCTCGGCCTTTAACCAGGACATCAGTGGTTGGGCGGTTCACAGCGTCACGGACATGCGCTGGATGTTCGCCGGCGCTTCGGCCTTCGACCAGGACCTCGGCTGGTGCGTGGACGACGGCGTTTTTGACCCCTACGGGTGGGGATACACCATCCAAGACGCATTCTCTGGCACCTGGTGCGCGTCGACGTCGTGCGGCGTCTATTCCTCGGCAGAGCTAAGGTGCGGCGGTGTGATGAGCAATACCGGCATCCGCAATGCCGTCGCGGCGTGGGTATCGAACTCTACGGCCGCCGAGGCGACGTACGGCCACATCTCGACGTGGAAGACCGGGGGGGTGACGGACATGTCGTCTTTGTTCCTCTATAGGTATTACTTCAACGACGACATAGGCGCGTGGGATACCTCTGGCGTCAGGAGCATGAATCGGATGTTCCGTGTGGCCGAGTCGTTCAACCAGGATATCAGTGGTTGGGCGGTCGACAGCGTCACGGATATGGCCAGAATATTCGACTGTGCCAGGGCCTTCAACCAGGACATGGGCGATTGGGCGGTCGACAGTGTTACGGACATGGACCGGATGTTCGAAGGCGCCTCGGCGTTCGACCAGGACCTCGGCTGGTGCTTGGGCGATGACGTGAAATTAAACGGTGCCTTTGATGAAACAAAGTGCGAGTCGACCTCGTGCGGCGTCTCTCACAATGACGTGATTGGCATATGCGAACCATGGGCCCGTCCGTGTCTCATTCGCGTGGGAGGGCAATGTTACATATCCTCACCAACACTCATCATCATCGTGCTTGTCCTTCTCGCTGGCTTCGGCGCATGCGTCTGCTGTCGGAAGAAGAAGGACGAAACTTACGCCGCCGCCGCCCGCCGCCTCCTTTGCAGCTGCCTCTGCTGCTGCTGCTTCTGCTGCCGGAAAAAGAAGGAATCGAGTAGTGTTGACTCCCAACCGAATTCTCCGGCAGAGTCGCCACCGGAGGATGCCACGCCCTCCAAGGAAGAAGAGGCTACCGCCGTCGCCCCGGAAGCCGAGGAGGAGACCCTCGTCGAGGAGAGCCCTCAAGAGACCGCCGTCGACGAGCCGCCGCCGCCGCCCGCGAAGAAAAGCTGGTGGTACGGGCGCGCAGAGCCCGAACCCGAGGAGGCCGAACAGCCGCCTCCGCTAAGCCCCTTCTCCGCGTTACGCGCCGAGCTCTAGCGCCGAGCGCGAACGAGAACTCAAGACGCTCGCAAGTCCCTAGGACACAAGTAAAAATCTTACACATCACAAGCTCAGCGAGTCCTCCCCATCGCTCGAGGAAGCAGAAGACGCCTCGTCGTCCTTCGCCCGCGCGCGCTCGACGCGCTCGTCGAGCTTCGCCTTCGCCTTGCGCAGGAGCACGACCCCGACGACGCCACTCACAAAAGCGGCCGGCAAGAGCACCCAGGCGCCGCGCGTGAGCTCCGTGGACACGTCGAAGCACTTGTCGTCGCCGCCGAGCGCGCGGTCGAGGTGCTTGCCCAGGAATCTATTCAGAGCGTCGCAGCGGTGGCCGACCATGAACTGCGCGAACTTTGAGATCTCTAACAAAGCGGCCACGACGCCAACGGCGAAGACGTCGAGCGCGGCCCACGACGTGCTCACCTCGCAGGCCACGTACAGTCGTTGCTGCAGCTTTAATGAGAGCGGTACCACCCAAAGCACCGCTAATAATACCAGCTGTACTAATGGCAGCGCGAAGCCGAAGAAGAAGTAGACGACCTCTAGACTCACAGCCCCTCTTGCATCCTTGCTGCTGCCGGGGATTGCCTCACCTAGAGAGATCAAAGAATACCTTCGCTTCGCCTTGTCGCCCAAAACTAATCCGGCCAGCCCCTGAATGTGGAAGTCGAAGGACGCCAGGCAGCAGCCCACTATCACCAAAACAAGCATCGCCGCGAAACCTAAAATGTACCTCATCGAACATAGTGCCAACGGCGCATCGTCTACCACGTCAAACGACCGGTGCCGGGCGACTGTCACATGCCCAAGCACCAACGACAGACACGAGGCTAAAACATAGACGAAGAACGACGGTAGGGCTTCGACGAAGACGCGCACGGTCACCGCGTCGACCAGTGACGCTGCTTTTATGTCACCAGTCGTATCCCCAACAGTAACATCGAAATGAAAAGCCACCAACATCAGCGTCATGACGAAGGTGTCGACTAGCGCCCACTTACCTAATACATCAATCCACTCTAGTATTTGGCCACGCTTGGGTGGGGTGTAGAACCAACAAACCCCCAACAGTATTATTTTGGTATAGGGCCAGACGCCCGAACACAAAGCCACCAACACAGCCAACACGTAGACGTGGGCCTGCCACATGTCCTTGACACTACTCGTGAGGGAAAATCTGAAGAGGTCGCCCAGGTGGAGCACTTCCGCGCCGCCCGCCAGGCCGGCATGTGGTAATAGGCGTACCTCGAGCTTGACCGTTGCGGCGTAGGCGACGTGGGACCAGATGAAGAGGGCTGTGGTCAGTACTAAGCCCATGGGTAGGAGTATTTTCATGTAAGGAGGTGCGTTCGTCGCTAGAGATTGTGGTGAGGTGAGGAGCTCGAGGTCCTCCTCTATAGAAGGTTGTTCAGGGAGCAACGGGGCCTCGAGTTCATTTGGGGCCAGGGCGTCGTCGACTTTCAGACCGATGAACACGATGGCGACGACGGCCACAAGCACAACACAAATGACCAGGGCCCAGGGCGCCTTGCTCTGTTTCTTGTGCTTGTCGCCAGAACACCGCTTCGACGCCGCGTCGAGCTGCGCCGCCCAGCGCGCATTCAATGCTACACGACCATTGTCATTCCAGACGTCGCCGACCTCGTAGGCCAAGGCGCTTCCCACATTCGACAGCGCTTCATTCGTCTGACCGTCGAAACCGTTTACAGCCAAGGACGACTGCGCTTGAATTGACAGCGTGTCCACGGCCGGCGGGCCAAGGCTGGTGATGAAGGCACAACCGCCGTCATCCAACGTGGCGTCCTCAATCGTCGAAACAAGCGGCACGGTCACCGAGGCATCAATGGATAAATCGCTGATATGCAAGGACGCGTTTTTGCCGTCCACCTTTACAACAACGGACGCAGGGCCATCAATGCCGAGCGCCGCGTCGATCTCGGAACCGCGTCCGCTCAGGTCGAGCTTTGACAGAGTGTCCACGCCATTGACGGTGACGGCCGCTTCCCCTATAGCTGTCGTGCGGCCCTCGACGAGACACTGCAGTCCGAAATTCGCCGTCTCCACCGAAAGGCCGTCCAGAGCATCCAACAAAGGTGAGGCGGCCCAGTCTACCGTACCTTTGGTAGATGGTGGCGCGCAGGGCGCGCGCCGCGCCGTTGCGATGCGTCTCTGTACATCGTCGTTCGCATTTTCTCGTGCCGCGTCCATTGAACACGCGATCGCGTCATCTATGAAGCCGGGGAAGCTTCTCACGATCAGATCGAAGAGCACGTTTAGTGTAGCGTCGACGCCTGCCGCGAGTGGCGACGGCGTTCCTTGCGGCGCGAGCTCGGCCCGCGCGTAGGCCGCCGCGGCTATATCTATGTCTGTGATGGAGACCGTATCGAGGCTCCGGGCGAGGCATTGTAAAGGCGTCCGGACCAACGCGCCAAAAGGCTGGCTCTTCGTCGGGGCGAGTGCCACGCGGAGCGCGCCGTCGATTGAAGCCTTTCGCGCGGAGACCGACGCCGCGAAGGTCTCTGTTAATGAAGATGGGCTCAGCGGCGACGTCACCTCCAGGTTTATCGTTGATTTGATGGCGACGTCGCCCGTTGCCCTCGCTACGAACGAATTGTTGCGCGCCGGTGCTATCGACAATTCGGAGACGCCTCGGACGTTCAGATACGTCACGCCTACCTTGATATCGCCCAGGGGCGTCCGGAAGGTTTTGGAGACGTTCAGGTTCATATTCACACCTTGCCGTGCCGCGCAGTTGCCGAGCCGCCCCGCGATCTTGGTAAGAGCCGTCACGCGGGGCGTCCGCCAATCCAGGAGATCCGATCGGGACGCGGCGCCGGCTTGTTGTAAGTCGCGTTCATTGCGGCGCCGCGCTTTCATGGCGCACGTGCTCGCGAGGGCGGTCGTCGTTCGGATCAAGCGAGTCAGATTCGCGTCGACGAGCGGCTTCAAGGTGCCACAGAGCGCGGGTCCCACTTCCCCAGATAATTTGCGCTCGATCCAGGGCGCCAGCAATTCCAAGAGTGCTCCGGTGAGCCCGCCTTTCACCTTCAGAGCCGTGACCTTCGCGGCGGCGGAGCAGTTCCGCAGCGATGATGATATGGGGCGCGGTCTCGTTTCCTGAGACGCATTGAGAATAATGGAGGCCGCCGCCTTCTTCACTAACAGCGACGCCGACGCGCGGCCGTTGCCTTTCAGATGTTGTGTTTGGTAGGCCCACGAAAACGCGCAGTCGAGGGCCGCGTCTTTTGTATTGATGCTGATCGTTGTTTGATAACCGGTCGCTTCCAGTGATTTTATTTGTGCATGAGTACAGGTCGCTTGCGTCAATGACACGTCGACGCCGTCGACTACTCCGTGCGCGTCGGGCAGGGGAAATTCCAGGTTGTAGAGCCAGGCTGATAGCGGGTCTGATTTTGGAGCGGCCGCTGCGGCGCCAGCAATCGCGGCGCCAGCAATGAGGAGTGTAATTCGCATTGGCGCTTAGGGTCTGCTAGGCTTGTCGCGAAGCGGTTTTTTTGCGCCGTGGCTGGAGCAGCGATGAATAGGCACCGCCGCGGCTGTCTGTAGCTTACGTAAGCTATCTCTGGAGGGCTAAAAACAGCCCAGAGTCAAAATACCGGCCGGACCTAGCGGCCTGTAAGACACTAGCAAACTCGATTGCACTCGCCGCCGTGCTGGCTGTGCGGGGGCATTGATACGCGCAAGCGAGGCAGACGTCGCGTGCGACATAGCTGACCTGTCACAGCCGCTTAGCGAGCGGCTGCGGCAGCCGCGACATAAAATTGCCCCAGAGCAGCTCCCCTGAAGAGCAGGGCAGGGCAGCGCGACGCGACGCCGTCGACGCGCGCAAAGTACTGCCGGGACGCAAAGCAGCGTTCCAGGAGGCTGAGCGTAAACGCCGTCGACGCGCGCCAAACAATCATGTCGAGCTACCCGCCCGACCCCGCCTGCGCCGCGGAACTAGAGCAAGCCACGACGCCGGACGCGAAACGAGCCATCCTCGAGAAGCACGGCTGGGCCTGCGACAAAAAAGGTGATAGGTGGACCTACCGGAAAGGCGATGGACGGGTCATCAAATCCCTCACTACTTTGGTGAAAGAGCTGTCGAATAACGACCCCTTCGCGTCTGGTTCTGATGATGATGACGCCAAGGACGCGAACGCTCCGATCGACGCGTTTTTCGGCACGTTGGGGCCGCATGTCGATCTGGACGCGGCATCCTTGGAAGAAGCGCGGAAATTACTGATAAGATTACCGGTGAAAGTCGCTTCATTGGTTGGTGAAGAGACCGCCGTAGCGTTAAGAAGAGCGCCCGGCGTTCCCGCAAGCCCAGTCGTCCTGGACGTCCTGCGGACGAATGTGAGGGATTACGAGAACGTAAGACAGCAGACCATACCCGACGACTTACAACAAACAATAAATAAATTCAACGAGGCCAAGAAAGTCATTTTGTTCGATGAGGTGCTCCCGAAAGTCTCATTAGATCTACTCAACCTCCCGTCGCCGAAAGCCATCGACGCGTTGCAGCAGTTCCAGGCTGCGTATAGTACAGTAAGGACACCCTCCCCGTGGCTGAAAAAGAAGATCATCGAGCTGATGCCTATTGCTTCCACTCCAGCACCGGCACCTTTGTCAGGTGTCGACAATGCGAAAGGTATGCTCGTGCAAGTCATGGGCGGCATCGGGAGGCAAGATGTGTTAGATGCTAATTTGGAGAAACAGTTAGGTTTGTTGACTGATGATGCCGCTCTGGCGTATGCCCAGTACGTGCGTGGGCAAGATCCACGAGTCTTGTGGGGCCTGGGCCCTGGTCTCCAGGCCTGGCTGCTCGAAGGTATTAGTAATGGCGCGAAGCGCGAAGTCAAGGCCTCTTCCCCAAAAAAGAAGAAGAAGTCGCGGCGGCGGTCCAGATCTCGCTCTAGATCTTCCTCGCGGAGCCGGTCTCGATCTCGATCCCGTTCTAGATCGCGATCACGAAGTAGGGATGATGGCATCCGGCCCGTCTATGACGACCCGAGGGTCGCGAAGCGCGCTCGGCAGATCCTGCGGAAGTGCAAGGACAACGGGACGCTCGGGCAATGGGAACTCGACGGGCATACCGTGGCCGCGCTCTGCGCCCTGAAGAAGGAGCACCAAATTGAAATCTGCGAACATTTACGGAGCTTTCCTCGAGATAAGATTAAGAATTTGAATGGGTGGATGATGGGTGGTATCCGGCGGTGCATCAGCCAGAACGAGCGGAGACGATCTAGAAGTAGGGGAAGACGAAGACGTTCTAGGTCGCGCTCGAGGAGTCCCGAGAAGCACAAGCCCGGCGGCGCGAAAGCCAACGAAGCGTTTTTTGCGAGACTCGAGGGCCACGTGAGCGTCGGAGACGGCGGGATTGATCAAAAAACCTTCCAGACGCTCGCCGTCGCCGTCGAAAAGATGGATGCTAAATTAGCGGAGAAGTGCGGCAAGTCCTGCGCGCGGCGGCTCAAAAGGGGTAGCATACCGGCCTACGGCGACTGGCTCGTCGAGTGCGCGGGACGGGCGCTCAAGGATCGGGACGCGAAGCCCATGGGTGCTTTACTGAAACGGTTGGATGATCTACGATTTGATTTTGATTTGAATGAGGACGCGTTCGCGTCCGGGACACTGCGGGATCTAGGATGGTTGCTACCGCGGAATGCGGCTCTTTGTGTCGTCGACGCGTTACGGTCATCGTTGGATCGGCGGCCGTCGCGCGACGCGGACGAAGCGTTGGACGATGCTATATCTGATAGGTTGCAAGATAAAGGTGGTGCGGATGAACGGTCACCACCAGCTCTTCCACCTAGGCGCGTGAAGCCCGTTGATAGTCTAGGAGTGCAGCTGCCCGATGTCGTACAGAAAGCTTTTATACCGTTGCAGAGGGATTTTGGGGTTGCGCCGCGCGATATCGGGAGGCCTAATTTAATACAGATGCGCGATGCCCTGACCGAGGCGGAGGCCGCCCAGGTGCTCGAGTTACTCCATGTCGCCTTATCAAAGAAACGCAACGCGCCGCATAGCATCCAAGCATGGGTGAGGGAATCAATTCAAAAACATATTGCGAAACGATCATTGATCAAGGGCGGGTCGTCGCCGCGCGCGCCGTCGTCGGCCGAAGCGCGGCCCTTCGGCCGGTCGCCGCGCGACAAGCCGTCGGGCGAGATGCGGTTGCCTGATTCGGTCGCCGACGAGTGGGCGCGGATTGATCGCAAGTATAGATGCGGGCCCTGCCCACGAAAAATTGTAGGAGACCTCGCGAAACTGTTGAAGGAGGACGAGGCCGTGCAATGCGTGAAAAACTTCGGCGCCGAGCTCAAGAAAAATGGTAGTACAGACCCGGTCAAATTCATTTTTAACGATAGCCGGCGCATATATTACGCGCGGACGGATCGGTCGTCGTCGCGATCACCGGGCGCGCCGCGGCGGAAGAAGGCGAAGACGGCGCCCGCGCCCGCGCCTGCGCCGGAGGACACGGCGAAGCTTGAGGAGTTGCTGGACGGGTAGATTGGGTAACGAGGCTTTTTATTATATGATCTCCTAGTGTACGTTGGCGGACGACGAGTGTACAATGCTCGCGTCGTTGGTGTCCGTAGCATTTCAGTTACCAACGTGCTCGCTGTGGAAACGAGCGAGCGCATGGTGCATCGCGCCCTGATGACTGGAAGGCCCGAGGCTCTTGAGGCGACGCTTCATCCGGACGCCACATGCGCCGTTACCGAATTGCTTCTTCATAATGTGGTGGGTACACGCGAGGCAGGGAGAGTCATGCCACAGTGTGTTATGCCATTTACAGGTGCATCGCCTCCAATCACCGGCGTAGCACATCGGATGGAGGCACTCCCGCGCATCGCGATATCCCTTCGTGTAGAAGTAGGCCGCAATAGATCGTCGCGCGCGCCCTTCTGGGGCAAGCAGTGGCACGGGATGACCGTGATAGCTAAAATCGTCGGTCTTGAAGGCCACGAACCGGTTCATAATAGGGCTGATCTCCCGCGCGCAGGTGCTCATGTTGCGGCTCCAGAGCTGCAGGTGGCCCTGGTAGGCGTCCGACCAGTCCGGATTCAGGTAGAGGAACGTGTTCACGCGACGCGCGAGGCCGCCACCAAAATCTCCGTTGAAATCTGCATGAACCTTCAGATATCCACCGGGCAAGGTGACGTGTGTGCCCGTACTCATCGCGCTTAACAATCTTGCGACCTCGTATGCACATGCTGGACGGTTAGAAGATGCCTCGCGGATGCAACGAGACGTATACTCCGGACGCTTGAAGCTGTTGGGCGAGGAACATATAGGTACCTTGTCGGCAGCCTGGAGCTGCGACTGCGTCGCGTTCACCACCAAGAACGGCAAGTGCTCTAAGCGCCGCGGCTGCGACCCGGCGAAGTTCGACGGCTCGAAGAAGACCGACGTCTACGTGCGGCCCGGGGCTACCCGCGAGGGCTATGCGCCGTCGTACGCCCCCACGTACAGACCGACGAGCAACGACTGAGTATATATACGACCACGCCCGAAGTCTAACTACGATGTTTATCTACTTACTTCGCCGCACCCGCATCGCTCAGACGTAGTCGACGAGCTCCTTCACGGCAATCACCAGGTCCGACCCGCGCTTGACGACGGCCTGCTCCATCGACGACGCGTAGGGCACGGGCGCGTCGTCCATGCAGAGGCGCTTCACCGGCGCGTCGAGCTCGTCGAACAGCTCCTCACCAACTAAAGCGCTGATGGACGCCCCGACGCCGCCGGATTGAGTGGACTCATCTAAAATACACAACTTGTGTGTTCTAGACAAAGACTCGCGGATCGTGTCCAAATCTAACGGCTTCAAGGACCGCAACTCAATCAAATCAATATCGTGGCCGTTTCCTTGAATCTCGGCGATCGCGTTGACCGCCTCGCGCACGCCGTGCAAGTACGTGAGCACCGTCACCGCCTTACTTGACGAAACGGAAGCGTCCGACGCCTTGGACATGAGGTGGGCCTTGTTCAGCGGTAGACACGTACCGACGTCGACAGGTACTTTTTCGTCCTTCATCAGCTTGACGGGCGTGAAGAGCATGCCCGGCCCATCATCCCTGATCATGGCCTTACATAAGCCATAGGCACCCTCCGGCGTCGCCGCCGTGCAGATCTTCAACCCGGGAATGCCCATGACGTACGCGTGGAAGGGCTGACTGTGCTCCGCGCCCAGAGCCTGATTGGGAGCCGTGCCGCCCGCACCGACCACCGTCAGGGGCATCTTGAACTGCCCGCCCGTCGTCGCGTACGTATTACCCGCACTTGATAGCTCGGCCATGCCGTAGATGCCGAAGTTGGCATTCATAAGCTCCACAATAGGCCTATACCCGTTCATGCCCTCCCCAATGGCCTTGCCGATGAAGTGGCCCTCGTCGATAATTTCGTCGGCCGCTCTGAGTTCTCCAAAAGTTTGTTGGGTCTGGCGCGGGATATCATAACTACTCCCTGCTTGTAAATCTTCGGCGTGGATCGTGGTCCTCGGATCCCGCACCATCTCCTCGAGGATGGCGAGGTTTAATGCATCACCAACATTCAAACCAGGATCCTTCGCCTGCTGCTGGAGCATGGCGATGCGCTCCTGGCATTCCGCGAGCTTCGCGGCATCTACTGAACGTTGCGTGATGACCTCACTGTCGCTGGCGACCTCGCGCGTGTTGTAGTCCGTGTCCGCCGGATCAGGAAACTCCAATTCCTTCGCCAGCTCCCGCGGCGGCGGCGGGCTCTCCTTCGCGAAGGCGACAGCGTCCTTCACTACTGCGGAAGCCTTCTTCTTGCGCTCGTCGAGGACGTCCTGCGGGAGCGCGCCCGTCGCCTCGAAGATCTTGAGCGGATCGGCCTCCGCGCGCGCCCACTTCTTCTCCGCTTTTCTTCCTCGCTCGTGCTCGGGATCTGCGGGTGAATGGCCCTGCAGTCTGTAGGTATGTACTTGCAAAATAGCAGGTGAAGACGTCTCGCGCACGTAGTCGACCACAGCACGACCCGTGCGCAACACATCTTGCAGATTAGTACCATCAACTTTCGCCCCGGGCACGCCGTAGTGCGCGCCGGCCTTCCAGACCTCACTGTTCTGGGCGACGTCAGGGGTAAACGTATTGATCGCTCTCCCGTTATCAATACACAAGATAAGTAGAGGCAGCTTCTCCTTGGCCGCGCAGTTCATGACCTCGGCCAACCGGCCATTTTGCGACCCGCCTTCGCCGCAAAACACAATAGCCAACCGATCATCATCTTCCGGGGCCAGTCCTAAATGCCGGTCCAACATAATCGAACGAGCCGCACCCGCGGCGTAGGGGAACTGCTCGGCCACGAGAGCCCAGCCGCCCTGGAAATGGGTCTCGACGTCGAAGATGTGCATGGAACCGCCCGTACCTCTACAGGTACCTCCGTCCTTGGCGAACAACTCGGCCATGATTTTATTGGGCGAGACGCCGGAAGCGAGAGCGTGCGTATGTTCTCTATAATAAGAATACTTGATATCTTTTTTGGTAAGGGTATCAGCTACAAGGGCGGGAATCGTCTCCTGCCCATTATCTAAATGCATGAAGCCGCGAATCGACCCCTGCATGTAGCTCTGCGCGCAGGCGTTCTCGAACTGGCGGCAGAGCTGCATCATTTCATACGCGTCACTCAGGTCGTCGGTTGTGACGTCGTCGTACGTCGCGAGCCTCTCGGCCGAGAAGCCGAGCTGCTCCTCCAGTATCAGTTTGTTCTCGTCCCAGGGCGTCAGGATGGGCGGGCGCATCGGGCTCCCATCTTCCGGGACGACGACGCGCTCCGTCGGGGCCTCGAGCGTGCTCACGTCGACCTTCGTGCTTGGCCTTTTGTTCAGCGGCGCCTGCAGCGCGGCGGCCGTCGCGGCGACGCAGAGTACTCGCCGCATCGCTGCTGCGCGTCTAGTGCTGGCAGCGGCGGCGTATCACTGGGTTGATGCGAGAGCAGCTATGCTAAACGTCGTCGTGGACGACAGCGAAGGAGCTCTGGCTTTCGCAACGATGCCTTCAGCTCTCTGAGGCGTAGTGCGCGTGCTGCTGCTGCCTGGCTGCACCGGTTAGGCTCGCGAATGGCTCGTCTATAGCAGTCTGCGCATGCGTCTGCAAAAATGGGGTCGAGCGATGCGAAAGCGCCGCTGATAGCTGTACAGGCTTCCGAAGACACGCATCCGAGGGATAGAACGCCTTCTACGTGTTCAGTCGTTGCGCGCGGGTTTTGACAGCCGGGGACCGGACCGACCGGTCCGTACGGATCCGTCCTACCCGGGGTTGGACACAAAGTGACTCCTCCCCGGCGGATGCCGGCGAGTGTCCAGTCGAAGCGAAACTACGCGAGAAACAAGGTTACTACACCATCTGCAAGTCCGCCGCGATCATGCAGTGGTCCGACGGTTGAGTGGAAGTAGGGTACGGCTTCGACCGGTCGATCGCCGAAGCAGGAACAGTATCCAAAACCGAGTTCACGGCCCAGCCCGGCCCCAGAAACACATAGTCGAGCGTCTCGACGAAGGCGTCCATGGCGTCGCCCATCGGTTTCGTGTAAGCAAAGTTCGTAAAATCTGGTTCTTTCCCGTTGGCCAGCACGTAGGCCGACTTCAACGGAGGATCTACGGAAGACGAGAAGTTGCCTGCGACAACGTCCCCGTCCGGCTTCGTCGGCGTTCGATCGGCAAATTCCCCAGACAAGGACCCTTGCGTCAATAACTGGTAGCAGGCATCATACGGTTTTATATTGAAATCACCACAGAGTACATATCTTTTACCAGCCGCGACCTTCTTGACCCGTGCTGCAGCTAGGGAAGCGTGGATGACCATGACGCGCTCTTTATCCACCGAGCCGAACAAGCACGGCATATGATAAGTACCGACACAAAACGCGTCGCCGCCCTTCTTCGGTTGCAGTGTGGCCGTCACGAGGACGTTGTGCTTCTTGCGCGCCTCCTTCCAGCCGTCGAAGGGCGGGCGCTCGTATTCTAACGAGGACGTTAACGCGGAGACGACGTTTTTTAGTCGTATTTTCAGGTTCGAGGCGAGTTTTCGGATGCCCGTAATTTCTTCGCGCTTCTCCCACTTTTGTCTGGCCTCCTGGACGTCGTCGGACAGCCGCGCGCAGTCGATCGTGACGAGGTCGTACTTGTCCTGGGGCCAGGCTAATGCAACACCCTGTGCATAAATCAACCAGTGAGTCGGGCGGATCGCCACGCTATCGAGCAGGCGTCGCGTCGATGGCGTGGAGGTCGACGTGACGATTCAGCACGACCGCGCCGTGAAATTTTGATTTATGCACTGCCGCGCACCATGTATCCATTAAAAGGGTTCCCGTACAACCCCGTCGTGAACTGGTAGCCCTGCCGCGCGAAGAACGCGTGGAGGTCGCCGGACCACTCCCTCGAGACTTCTTGCAGGCAGACGACGGCGTTCTTTTTAGTTTCTGTTTCTAAGAGAGCCTGGACGCGCTTCAGGCGCGTGGGCGGGTCCAAATTCTCCTTGGCGCACTTTATGAAGTAGCCCGGCTCGCAGAGCTTCGAACTCAGGACGTTGTACGACGCGACCCTCAGGTTTTGGCCCGCGGCGCAGTCGGCCTCCTTCTGCTGCGTCGCCATGAGCGCCGCGCCGCCGAGCGCCACAGCTTTCACGCGCCTCGCCCCCACTGGGCCGACGCGCAGCGCCGCGAGGCCGCGCGCCCGGCCGGCGAGCAGCAGCATTGCAAGGAGCGGTCGCGGCGACGTCGTGCCGCGTGCAGGTTGCAGCGCTGCCGCCTGTCAGCGATCTGGCTTGCACGCCTGATGCCTACGCAACGAGGATGCTGCGCAAGGACGGCAAACGGCAAAGGAGCCAGCTAGCGTATCGAGACATACTAGGGATACAGGCATCGGAGCACACAACAAAGATCACGAAAAACAAGCGTCTTACACCGAACGGGGGAGGGGTCGGTCGAGGTGGAAAACATCATGGGGACAGGGGTTCGTCGTCCACGACGTCCAGAAGAGGAGCCGACGCCAGGCGCACGACGGCGGAGCGCTTCGACCGGCGCTCCGCGAGGCCGGCGACCTGCTCCGGCGGCGAGGCCGGCGTCCGCTCCGGCGTCGTCGTGCCGGCGTCGGTGACGACGCGCCCCGACGAGGCCCGCGTCGACGAGGCGAACGAGGTGACCGTCGTCATGGCGTCGACGTCGTCCGGCGCGCTCTTGGACGTCCGCTGGCGGAAGAGCCGCGGTCTTCCTAATTTGCGCGGGTTCGACAGCTGCTCGTCGAGGGGCGCCGTGAAGCGCGCGTCCGCGCCGGGCGTGAGGTACTTCGAGGTGTCGATCTCCGTGCCGTGCTCCCGGTCCACGCGGTCCATGATCGCCCGCGGCAGGTCCCCGAACAACGGCTTGCGCACGACCTGGCCAAAGGGCGTCTCGTAGTCGAAGTGCGACGGGAAGTAGTCGTCCACGCTCGAGCCGTCGGCGAACATCGCCTCGTACAAATCCCGCGTCTCGCCGTGGCGGTCGCGGTAAATCTCCGCGAACAGGCCCATGATCGGCAGCACCAATTCTTCTCTATCACAAGGTTGGCCCGATGCATGGCGGCAGGCGCAGCACGTCAGGTTGCCGTGGACGACGTCGAGGCATTCTCTAAACTGTCTAGCCTGGTCCGCGGCGGGCCCCTCGGTCTCGTGGGGAATTCGGGGTTTAGGCGTCTCGGCGCCGTCGCCGCCGACCATGATGCTGGACCCGTCCGACAGGGCCGCCGACGGCCGCGTGACGCTCCGCGTGGACGCGTCGGACGTCGACGAGTAGCGGTCCCGCGTCAGGCCGCGGCCCGGAGTTGTAGGTTCGCGCGGCATTTCGTGGCCTTCCGGCACCAAGAGACTTCGTTGCGGCGGTCGAGGCGTCGTCGCTAATCGTAATTTCGGGAACATGGGCTTGATGCCTCGCTCCGTCGCGTAGAACATGACGTCGACACCTCGACGAGCGCAATGCGCGAAGACCTCGGCCCGGCACCACGTCCGCGACCGATAAGAGCGAGAAGAGCACTTTTCCCGCGTCACTAGATGTTTCGCATGAGGCGCCGCCACCAAAAACACGTCGACGGCGGACGCAATGCAAGGTAAAGAGTAAACAAGTAACCGCTGGACCGGCTTGCACTTTTGCGGGATCGACGCGAAGTCGACCCACACATAAATCTCGTCCATCGGTAACTTGCACGGTGTCCTAAGCCCAGGAAAAATCAGGTTTTCCCTCGAGGTCTAGACGCACCCGACGCACCCTTGCTAACCCTTTCGCCCACTCCTCTATGCCTCTGGAAGGCGAGCGCGCCCGCCCGCGCGAGATCGGGGACGCGCGGTCCCCGACGCGCCCACTAGTCGCACTGGCACAGAAGAAACACAACACAAGCTTACGAGCCACGCGTCGCCGGTCGAGAGTTCGGCGCGCTCCCCCCACCGAGCTTGTCCTTCTGCGCCTCCTCGCGCCGGATGATCTTCTGGCGCGCCGCCTCGAGCGACGCTTTGAGGTTGACCGTACGCCTCCTCTCTTCCAACTCCTCGAAGTCCGACCGCACGGCTTTCGACAAAGGATTCTCCGCGACCCACTCCTCGTGTGGTAGAGCCGCCTCATTAACACTGAGAGCAGCCGCCCCGAGTCGGTTCGTCGTAGCCACGGCCGTCGCGTGGGCCGGCGTAATCTTCGACTTGGCCACCAAATTCTCCAACCTCATGCGTCGTAAGGTCTGACGAGCCTCGATGGCCGCGTCCGTGAAGGGCTCAAAATGATCCGACTTGAGCGCATGCCGCGCGTGCCGCCGTTGTTGTCTAAAAACTTTTTCCTTCTTGCGGATGATCTCCTCCCGGAAGGCTCTATCGAGATCGATGTGCTTCTGTCTCAGTCGCGCGTCTTTCGCGCGCTTGCGCTCTTGCCGCGGCTGCAACGACGTCAGAAAGGGATAATATGCTTTGCCCCTATCCGCGTCCATCGTATAATAGTAGTTGCCACTCCTCGCAAAGTAGTGCGAACCCATCATCCTGTGATAGCCAGCCAGCCACTGGCCCTCGTATCTATGTTCGAAATCAGATAAAGCAACTTTGTCGCTAATACGCGCATTTTTCACATCCTCCTCGGCTTGTACTCGAGCTTCTTCCTCTTCCCGATCTAACCGCTCCGTCGTTCGTGGCGACAGATCGGCCCTTCGTTTCCTAGGTTTGACATACCCTACTTTCCCGTACTTGAGCACGCCGTGTCCACTCCGCTTATCCAAAAAAAAGTAGCCGTCGTACTCCGAGCCGTCCGCGAAGGTCTCCGTGCCTCTTCCCGACCTCTGGCCCCGTCGCCAGGCCCCTTTATACGTTTCACCTCGCTTTTCGTTCGTATAGGTACCTAACCCGTGATACTCGCCGTCCACGAAATCTCCGGTATAAGTCTCGCCCGTGATCGTCTTGATGTACCCTTTTCCCTGGAGCATGCCTTCGCGAAAGTGCCCCTCCATGACCTCGCCCAATGCCGACTCATACCTCCCTTGTCCGGTAATCCTACCTTCCTTAAATTGCCCCTCGTACACGCTCCCGTCCGCGAAGACGCGTCGCCCCTGGCCGTGCGGCACGCCGGACTCGTAGGCGTTGCCCTCCGGTAATATCGACTTCCGCAGATTAATTTCCGCGCCGAAATCCCCGTCATAGGCATCGCCTCCACAGTAGTCCATCCTCCCTTTGCCCCAGCGCATACCTTTTCTATACAGTCCTGAAAATACTGTAGTATCAGTGTACTCGACGCCTCGCCCGTGGATCTGGCCCGCGTGGAACTGGCCGTGGTAATAGCGGAAAGGCCCTTCAAACGGTAGTTCGGGACCAGGCGCGCTTTTCAGCACGCCAAACCCATGTTCGACCCGTCTCACATACACGGCCGCCATGTTGACCACATAAGGTTGGTAGTCCGGCAAGTAGGGTTTAGAACCATCCGGCACCATGCCGCGACCCGCCCAGGGCGGCAGCGTCTCCTTGTAGTTGCCCTCCTCGGAATCCACGGCATGGGCCAACGCCAGCTTGACGCCGTCCCAGTCCTGCTTGCCACTAATCCACTCCTCGAGCTGCCACGCTTCATCTGTCTGGAACGAGACGTACCAGGCCTTCGTGCCATTATTGTGGCCCGTCCATGCTTTATCTTCTTCCGTACTCGTAAGTACGATAGGTGTTTTATCTCGCTCCATGATCACTTCTTGCGCATGTAATTTGGCCTGCTCCAGCTTCTTCTCGAACTGCTCCTTCTGTTCCGAGCATTCCTGATATTTGACGGCTCTTTCATCGTCGGCCTCCTCGTCTTTGAGAGGTTTCCCGTGGGCGTCGAACATTTCTAGGAATGGGACATCTCTCATCGCCCGTTTCACCTCCTCGATTTCCGCCTGGACGACTTCCACCCTACCTACGGCTGCCCGTACATCAGGATCCTCCTCCTGGATGCCGAACATGAGCCATTCTCGGATATCCTCGGCGCGGACGTCGTGGCCCGTAGCATCATTTTGGACGGGCACGTTTTCTAATACAAGAGCTAGACTCCCTTCGTAGCCTTCTTTATCTGCTGCATCATCAACTTCTCGCACGGGCTTGGGTATCACTTTGTACTCCGCCGGTCGTACTCGACACTTCGCAAGAGCCTCGCCAGGATATATAATTTCTCCACTAGAAGCTTCCTGCAGGTAGTCTATGAGAAAGGGCTGCTTCGTCCGAAATATAAATTGCTGCAAGGACCGCTCGTCGCACTTCTGGCGCGGCAATCTAAACTTCTCGGTATCGCCGTTCGGGAACTGCGCCTCGAACCTGATCAACTCATTATGCCACTTTCTCTTCGCGACCTCCTTTCTGCGGGCGGCTTTGCTCCCTCCTTTAATGGCGTCGGGATCGATGGTCTTGGCCACGAAGGGGATCTCGACGCCGGCCATGGTTGCTGTGCGCCGCGCGCCGGGCGCCTACCTCGCGCTTTGGATTGGGTCGTGGGCCGCTTCCTTAGGCTGCCGTCAGGTCTTGCCTTGTAGGGCAGCCGTGCGGTCGGCCGGGCAGCCGGCGCTGCGCTGAAAGCTAGCGTCCAGTAAGACACTAGGATTATTCCTGAGGATCTTGGAGAGTGTGCATCGCGCGCGTTGGGGCAGCCTGGCACGTCAGCTTGTGCAGAGCAAAGCACAAAACGCAGCCATGGGTAAGGACAGGAAGAGCAAAGGCAAGGCAAGCAGCGGGGCCGACGCAGGCACCCCGCCGTCGGCGGAGGAGGCGGTGCAGCACGTCGCGAAGCACAAGTTGCTGGGCGGACGAAAAGGGAAGGCCGTGACCTACCGCGACCCACTGGGGCAGCTGCCCGTGGAGGCGCGGGGCTCCGCGGACTGCCCGGTGGAGGTCGTGAGTCTCGGCGCGTTCGAGGCCTTGGTGCAGGCCGGGGCAGCCGGCGGGTGCGTGCTCGACTTCGCGTCGGATTCGAACCCCGGCGGGTCGTGGCGGTCGAAGCAGCAAGGGACCCAAGAGGAGGCGCTATGCCGCACGTCGACGCTGGGGCTGAAGCTAGAGGCACATTTTGCTGATGTGGGCGGCGGCGGCTACATGCCGGGCAAGGAGAGCTGCGTGTACGTCCCCGACGTTGCTGTTTTCTGGGCGAAAGACCTTAACTGGTTGGTGCCCGCGATCCCGTGCGCCGTCGTCGCCGCCGCCCTCCGCGACGTCGGCGGCGACGTCGGCGCGCTGCGGCGAAAGGTACGCAGCGTGCTGGTCACGGCCGCGGCTCATGGGCACCGAAGACTCGTGCTGGGGGCGTGGGGGTGCGGCGCGTTCGGGAACGACGCGGCCCTCGTCGCGGCGGCGTTCCGCGACGAGGTGCGAGCGGCGGCGGCGCGCGGCGACGTGGAACACGTCGTCTTCGCGATGGGGGACTCGGGGGCGGGGCGGCGCAACGCGGCGCTGTTCAGAGAAGTCTTCGGCCTCCCGGCGCACGGGTAATGGTATTGTGATAGGACTATTGCCATCTACTCTCCTGATCGCGCCCCGACGCCAGTCGACGCGACCCACAAAAGAGAAATCGGGTAAGATAAGTTACGCCAGGTACCCCCTCCGCGCCTGACCTACTTCCTGGTAAACGTGCGCCCCGAGATCGTCTTCTTCTCCCTGGGCGCCTCGGACGCGAGCGCCGCGCGGTTCAGCACCTGGAGCCAGCCGCGCACCTTGCGGCGCATGCGCATGTGGAGGTTCGTCTTGGCGGCCTTGATGTGGTAGTGCAGGTAGTGGCGGAAGGCGAGGCACAGGTCGACCTTCTTGGCGAGTTTTTCCGTAGAGTCAACGTGGCGCGCGAAGACCGTCAGCGACACGTAGCCGACGAAGCCCTCCTGCTTCGCTCCCACCAGCGGTCTAATCTCCAGGGGCGGGTTCTTCGCCTCCGAGAACGTGACGGGCGGCGCGGCGCCTATTTTGCGGTGCTGCTCCGCGAACTGCTGCAGCAAGATGCGGCACATGGCCCGGTCGGTCTCGTCGGGGAAGTCCACCGAATAGACGACGCAGACCCTATCGTAGTTCTGAGGTTGAGCGGGGTCGTTCTGCGTCAGCACCTGCGTGGACATCCAAATTTACGCCATCGACGCGACGCCTGCTCGACGGCGTGGCGATGCCGGGTCCTCGCCACTCGACGGCGCGCTCACTGGTTGCTTTCCACACGGGCCAGCACGTAAACGGCCTCGCCCGAGTCGCGCCACGGTATCGTAACGACCGGGCCCTGTTGCGCTGCGCCTTGGGCCAGAGCTTCGAACTTCTGCGTGAAAGGAGCGCCCACTAAGTGGCGCTTGAGCAAAATCATCTTCTCGAGGGTCGCTTCTTTCTCTTGGCACGCGTCGCAGTCCACCGAGACCGCGACCTTGTAGGTAGGAGCCGGCTCGACGACCATGCCCGCGTACAGACTTTCTAGTACGGCTCTCCCGCCTACTTTTTCGATCTCGGCCCACCCGCCCACATCCAAATGGACCGTGGCGATGTTCGGTTGGTCCGGCGTGCAGACGAGCTTCCACCTACTACCGTCGAAGTCCGCCACACTTAACTCCGCGGCCTCGCGCTTGCCGCCTACGAGCCGGTCGCCCAAGGCTTCCTCTATTATAGGATTCTTCGGGCCGATGAGCATGCCGTCGGGGACCTGCTGCTTCGAGCCCATCTCTAGTCTGTATTACGGGGCGCGCGGCGCGTCTGTGTGGCTCTCGAGTCTCCGGCGACTTTGGGCCGGTTTCACGCGTCGCGGGGGCGCGGCGCGGCGAGGCGTCGGCGTCAGGCGGAGGCCGAGTAAGCCTGGGCGTGTCTCGAGATGCCCGCGAGGCGACTATTCCCCGGCGCCGTGAAAAATTGCGACGATAATCGTTGTAGCTAGCGGCCTGTAAGGCACTAGCCTTCGCAGAGCAAGATTTGTCCGCTTGTTTGTGAAGCCCACGCAACCAAACATAGCAACCCGCTAGCATAGAATCCCCCAAATACTGCCCTATTCATCGATAAGGTGAAAAAAATCCAGGTCTCGAGCGCCCCTGGCTGCCAAGCCCTCATAGCCTGGGCAGAACACCTCCACAGCAGACCGTAACGCAGCACGAATTCGACAAGAGAGATGGCCGACACCGACGCCACCGCCGCGCCCGCCGCGCAGACGAAGAGCCCGAGCAAGGCCATGGTCTCTGGCGGCGCCGCGGCGACGCGCGAGCCCCGGAAGCGCACACGCAGCCCACCGCCCGCTTCACCGAAAGGACGAAGCCGTAGGGAATTACCAACACATGCCGTCGAGATCCTCAAGGCCTGGCTCACGAGCCCGCAGCACTTCCACCACCCCTACCCGACGCAGATCTCGGCGTCCCGTTGTGTAGAGGCGCCTTCACGCCATCGACGCGCGTCGTCTCTAGGAATGATGGAAGTGGGTGATTTCTTTTTCGTTATTGAGGCCGTTCGGACCGAGTCGCGAGACCGCGATGCTCCGCGCAGGCCGGAGGACCAGCAGTCGCTCATGGCCCAGACCGGTATTGATAAAAAACAACTGAAGAACTGGTTCACGAACGCAAGGCGCCGCATCTGGAAGCCCATGCAGCGGAGCGCGGCGTCGCACGACTACGACGAAGACGGTGGATACTACGAGGAAGATGAGAGTAGGGCGGCGCACGACGTCCTGGCCTTCGCCTCGGCGGCGGACCGCGCGCGCGCCGTCACCGTCGACTCGGCGGGCTCGTCCCCGTCGTCGCACCCCGCGGAGGGTGGGTTGTTCGACGACTTCGTCCTCGACGCGCCGGCGCCTTCGTTACGTCCGCCGAAGCGCGCGCGCACGGAGTCTTCAGTATCAAGTGCGCGGTGCCCCTTCTGCCGCCGCGGTCGGGTGGACACGCAGCTCATGCCCTGCGCGCACCTCTTCCACGGGCAGTGCCTGAGACCCTGGCTCGAGGCGACGGTCACGACGCCCGTCTGCCCGCTGTGTTCGGTGGCCATCTCGAACTGCGTCCTCGCGACGGCCGGCCGCGACGAGCCCGCGGCGGCGCAGTACTGACTTCGCGAGTAAGCGGCGAACACATACTTAGTCTCTGAATTTTCACGCAGCGCTGCGACGCCGTCGAGGCGCGAGCGGGGCGCAGCCAGAAAAGCCAGTAGAAAAAGACAGCTAAAAGAGACCGAACCAGGACGACGACGCCTCCTCGGACCAGGACTTCACGCCCCTGGCTTCGAACCACGCCTTGCAGTCCAACGCGTCGGGGACGACGGCCTTGAAGGCAGCGATGTCCGAGTCGTAGCCCGTCGTCTCGAAGAACTCGATCATGGCATTGAGATCCTTCATCACGCACCTCATGATAAATCTCGGCACGGCGACCCCGTACGTGCACTCGACGCCAGAGACTTCGGTAAGCGCCGCGGCGACGTCTTCACCCGTTAAATCGTCGCTCGCGCAGTCGAGCGTTTTGCCCCTCCACTTCGCCGGGTTCGCCAGCATTACGGCAGCGGCTTTACCGATATCGCGGCACGCGACGTGCTTGACCTTCAGGTCGGCCTGCCAGAGGCCCTTCACGGAGCCCTTTTTTAGGGCGTTGAAATTGGCCGGATCATCATAGTTCTCGAAGAAGGCCACGGGGCGGAGAATCGAGTAGCCCAGTCCCGAGGCCTTCAGATGGTCTTCAACGTCGAGCTTGCTCTTGAAGTGCCCCACGGCGTCCGGAGCCACATCCGCGTTCGCCACCGACGAGTAGACGACGTGCTGCACTCCCCCATAGGCCTTGATCGCATCCACAATTATTTTGCCCGACGAGCCTTCTACTTCGCGCGAGCCCATCAGCGTCGTGAAGAAGACGAGTGAAGGCTCGGCGGCGTCCAGGGCAGCTTTGGCGGACGCGGCGTCGCCGCACGTGAACGGGCCGCACTTAACACCGCGGGCCTTGAGGGCCTCGGCGCTCTTCGTGCTGCGCGTCGTGGCGAAGACCTCGAACTTGCCACTTGCGAGGAGCGCGTCGACGACTGCCGATCCCTGGCGGCTCGTGCCGAGGAAAACCAGCACTTTGGGCTTTGCCATTGCTCTGTTTTTGCGCGAGCTGCGCGCGCAGTCGTTCGCGATCACCTTGGCAGCGATGCGTCGTCAGTCGTCACTTTAGCGCAGTTCTCGTGCTCTTCTTTTTTGTGAGCAAAGAGCAGCCAAGCTAGCGGCCTGTAAGACACTAGCAAAAGCAGCAGTCGTCTAAACAGATAGTCAGGACGCAGGATAACGACACAGAACACACTACTTACCCCCCTTCTTCCGACGGCCCGAAGACGGAGGCGCCGGCAGCGTCGCGCGCAAGTGGCCCAGCACCGCGCCCAATGGGTCCGCGCGAAACCGTTCATCCTTCAGCACGGCCCCGAACCGCTCCGTCTCCTGCGCCGCAATCACGCGCCGGCCGCGGTTGTTCGCCGCGTTCGGCCGGTTCTTGTCCCGGCGCGCCGGCGCGGCCGCGACCTCGGCGAGCGCGTCGTCCAGGTCCAGGCCCAGGGTGCCACCGAGGAGTGGCCCGCGCGCCGCCGCCGCGTCCGCCTGTTTCCGCGTCTCGAGCTGCGAGAGCAGCGCGCCCTTGCGCTCGCGCGCGGCCGCCTTGCGCACCTGCGACTTCTTCTCCTGGCGCTTCGACAGCGTCGAGGTCGCTTTGGACGCGACCTTGGTGGCATCTTTGCCGCCCTTGCGCCGCGCGGAGCCCTTGGTCTTCCCCATCGCTCTGCAGTGTGCAGCGTGCAGCGTGCGCAGCAGTGCAAGCAAAGGCAAGCGAGCGGTCGCAGCACTGCAGAGGAATCGAGGTCTGCACGCGCAACGCCACGGGCACCGCTAGCTCCTTATAGAGTTAGCCAGGAGAGGCTGGAGAGCTGCGTCTGCACGCTAGCTAGCAGCTCTAGCGCGCGTTTCGTGGCAAGACTCGTCTCGCGCCGCGGCTTCCGACCTGGAAGAGTCCTCCCTGGCCGACAGAGAAACGACCGCAGGCCCAAACACAAATACCTGTCAACTGTGATAAAAGCACCAACCGAAACGCGGTTTTGGAGACGCTGCGGCGGTTCTTGCGGCACAGCGCCGACCGCCAACGCACCGTCGTCGACGCCACCGACGTACACGCACGGCGGCAACCATGGATGGGGCCACGGTGGCAATCAGCAGCAGAGAGGGGCTGCCGGACGATGTGATCGAGCGGCTCCAGCGCAAGGTCATGGAGCAGGCCCGCGAGCTCAGCGCCCTGCGCAAGAGCGAGGCCGCCGCGCAAGCGGAGCTCGACCGCGCGCTCCTGGGCTCGCCGGGCCGCGCGCGAAGCCCGTCGCCGGACCGCGCGCTGCGGCGCCGCCTCGCCGACGTCGAGTCGCGCCTCGACGCGGAGAAGCGCGCGGCCGCCGACGCGCGGGCGCGGGCGACGCGCGCCGAGGCGCAGCTTGCGCGAAAGACGCCCACGGACCTCCGGAAGAAGCTCGCCGACGCCGAGGCGGCGCTGAAGAGCGCCGCGGCCGCCTCGAAGGCTCGAGACGCCGACCGTGCCGAGGCGTGCGCGCAGGCGGCCGCCGACGCGAAGCGGGCCTGCCACGGGCGCCTCGACGCGCTCGAGGGCCGCGTACAGCAGGCCATCGCCGCCGGCGCGGCTAAGGAGCGCGCTGCCGCCGAAGCGGGCGCCTCATCGGCTGCGGCTGCGGCCGCGGCGTTCGGGGCGCTCAGGGCGGAAGGCGACGCGGCGCTGCGGGACCTGCGGGCGGCGGCCGAGGAAGCGGTCGCCCGCGCCGTCGCGGGCCGCGCCGAGGACCGGGCCGAGGTCCAGCGCGCGACCGACCGCGCGGAGGCCGCGTCAGCGGCGGCGTCTGCGATAAATGCGAACGCTGCGCGGCTCCAGATGGCCGCGGACCAGGTCGACCGGGCCTGTCTCAACCCCCTGCGCTCGCTCGAGGAGGCTGCTAGGCGGGAGGATGGCACCGGAACCCCGGACGCCTACGCCAAGGTCCTAGAGGTCGCGGGCCTGCGCGCCGTCGGCGCGCGCATGCGCTCATTAGGCCAGGAACGCGACGCGGCGGCCAAGGCCACTATCGCCGCGACCGAGGCGGCTGAAGCCGCGCGCACGGAGGCCGACGCAGCGCGCGCCGAAGTAGAAGCCGCGCGCGCGGCGACGACGGCCGCCGCCCAGCGTGCGGACGAGGGTCGCGCGACGCACGATGCGGTCGCACGCGCGCTCGCGAACGTCATCGCGACGCGCGACGCTCCGCCGCCGCCGCCGCCGCCCGCAGCGCCTGCCCTCGGCGCCGAGGCGAGCGCGGCCATCGCCGCGCGCGCCGTGCTGGTCGCAGCGCTCGATCACGCGCTGCCCGCCGTGACGCGCGCCTCCGCCGGCGAGTTCGACGCGGCGCCGGCGATAGGCGACGAGCCCCTCGACGCGCTCGCGCGGCGCGCGTCGGCCTGCCTCCACGCGGCCGCCGTAGCGCTCGCGCCGGCGCCGGCGCCCGTCCGGGCGCTCGCGCCGGCGCCGGCGCGACGGGGCACGCCAGTGTCGCACGAGCTCGACGACGCCTCGCTCGACGACGGCGCGGACGCGGAGGACGACGCCCTGGCGGAGCTCGGGCTCGGCGCGCGGTACCTGGTCTGGGCGAATTCGCGACGTGGCGACGCCGGTCTCGTTTACCCGGCGGCGTATGCGCCACCCTCGCCGCAGCGGTCGGCGCGGCCGTCGTCAGGGCGCCTCGCGCGGGCGCGCGCGCATCTCGCACGGCTCCGGACGAGGTAATTCTTGGATTGTTACGCCGACCCGATCGCGTCCACGGCCGCGAGGGCCTCGGCGAGCCGCGCCGCCGTCGTCTCGAGAGCCGTCTGCTCGGGCGGCGCTTCGAGCGGTTTGCTCTCGACCGTGAAGCGCCGCAGGTCGTCGGCGGCGCGCGTCGGCGGTGAGCCGTGCATGAGCTCGGAGACGACACCACATAGACCCCTAACTCCTCTAGCGATGTGGTCCTGCTGGACCCGGAGGTGCGTCGTGTCGTCATGCACTTCTTTCAATTCCGCCTTCACCTCGCCCACCTCGACGCCCACCTCATCAACCTTCTCGCCGACCTCGTCGACGCGCTTGGACAGCGTCTCGCGCACCACTTCGAGCCTCGCGCCGACGGCCTTGACGGCGCCGTTCAACGTCTGGGCGGCGGCGCGCAGCGCGGCCGCGGACGCCGGCCACCCCCGCAAGCGCACCGCGAGGCCGGCGACAGCCGCACTAGCTAGCACGAGGCGGCTCGCGCCGCCGCCCTCGCGGACGACGACGGTCTGTGGCCGCTGATCGATGCGCTCGAGGACCTTCTGTAGCACCGCGTTCGCGTTGTCGTTTGGTTGCGCGAAGAGACGCTGTAGCGCGGCCGTGATGCGGTCGCCGTTCTGGACAAGCACCGCACTCCCGGTGGCGGAGGCGAAGATCGCCGAGAGGAGGCGGGGCGTAGTGGACATTGCTCAGTGCTCAGCGCAGTGCCTCGGTCCAAGTTCGATTTGTGGCGTGACAGCAGAGCTCGCGTTATGAGGGCAGCGTTATTATCGAACTGAGCGTGTATGCCGCACCACGAACCGAGCTGTAGCTTTCGTTAACGCCCGTACAGCCGCCAAGCCCCCCCAAAAAATCACTAGCGGCCTGTAAGACACTAGCAACAAAGTAATCCCCCCAGGGACTCCGCCCACTAGTCCTAGCACCGTAACACTATCCCCAGATCGCGCGAAGAAAATAACCAGTACCATCTTACTCATATATATACACATAGGGTCCTAAGTAGAAGCGAGGGCGGTGGGCCGCGGCGGCCGGCCGCCCGAGAGGCGCCGCATCAAACTCATTGTCGAGACGGCGACGGACGCGCGACGCTTCAAACGAGGCGGAGCCGCCAACGTTGTAGGAGCCCGCACCAAGGGCGGCGGCGACCGGTTCCCCCCATTACTATCCTTTTCACGCGCGTCTTTTTGATTTAGCCACCTCCAGAAGTTGTCCCGACAGTTTATGGCCGGCGCCATGTCCGGATTTACCAAGTCAAAGACGGGCTTGTAGAAGGGCAGACACACGAACTTGAAGAAGCCGATTTGGCTGCGAGCAATGTCCGTGTCCTTGTCTCGGTCGCATAAGGGTGAGACGGACATACCTAGAGCCTTCTCCTTGTCGCCGAGCCGCCAGAACTCCTCCGTCGCGCGCTGCGTCCACTGGCGATGCAGCTCGAAGGGCTTGGTGACATGTCCTATATCTGCGAACTTGACTGCGACAGTTAACAAAAAAGGCGGATCTTGGTCGTGGAAGGGGCTCTGCCAGTCTTGTGATTCTTTGTTGGCCTTGAAGCCGCGCGGGAGTAGAGGTTTCAGGCGCCTTGCGATGAATTCGCCGTGCCTCGCGAGGTCGGTCATGAGGATCAGTTCGATCACGAGCGCTCTAGCTTGCTTCCTCTCATCTGTCGTCAAATGACTGAACACGTCGAAGCGCGGCTCCCGTAATACGGAAAAGGCGGCGGCGCAGTGGTGCCTCTCGAGGATCGTGTCGTCCGAGTACCTTATAGCGAGCTCGGAGGACGCCACGCGCTCGTGCGCGTTGTTCGTCCCGGGGTGCGCATAATCGTGGACCGCGGCCGCGACGTAGCCAGCTAGTAAATCGACCGTTGTCAAGTGCCTCAGCAGGTTTTGAGTCGCGAGGAAGTTGTGCGTCGTCAGCAGCACGTCCGCGCCGTGGAACGAGCCGTGGTACGGGTTATCCCCGTAGTCGCCTTCGATCCTTAGTAAAAAGTTCCGCAGATTCGTCGTGTCGACATTTGAATCTCTTCCAATAATAGCCTCGCCCAGTATTAGTAACGAGTGGCCCTCCGAGGCTTTCTCCAGCGCTAGTACATCGGTATCGTCCCAGGAGCCCACCATCCTCTCACAACGCTTCCTAGCTTTGTCCACACTCTTAGATAAGGACGGCACTTTCCATTCATTCAGGGAACCCCGCAATCGAGCGCCTCGTTTTTCGAGGAACTCCGCGCATTCTCTCTGAGAGAACCGCACGGCGTCGTCCAGCGCAGAATTGCCCCACCGGTCTTGCGTCGCGGCGTCCGCGCCGGCGGAATCCACCAACCACGTCACCACATCTAAATGGCCGTGCTTCGCCGCGAGGTGTAGGGCCGTTCGTTTGTCGCAGTCGCCCAGGTCGCATCTCACCCCAGCGGCAACCAACGTCCGACAATCCGCCAAACTTCCAGAAGCCGCGGCCACGAGGAGCTGCTGGTGCCTTTGTGACGACTGCGGCGTATTCAATTGCGTGTCGCCCACCTTCGCGCCATGTTTTCGTAATACCGCAACGACGTCATCCCGCTGGTTCCGTAAAGCGACGCCGAGCGGCGTATTTCCATACCGATCCAAGGGTGAACTCTCCGCGCCCTTCCTCAACAGATGTTCGCACACGTCCGCGTAGCCTTCCGCGGCCGCGTAGTGCAAAGCCGTTCGTGTATCATAGTCCGGCGCGTCCACCGTCAAGTGCTTCAAGGCTTGATCCACGAGATCGATCCTCCCGAGCGCGGCGGCGTCCCACAATGATGCATTAAATTCATCTTCCTCTTCACCAACCGACCGGCGCGGCTTCAGTGGAAGGTGGTCGCCCGGCTCCCGCTCGGCCGTCGACGGCCGCGAGCCCATGGACGACCCCAAATCGGACCGCGAGGCGCGCGACCGCCTCCTTGCATCTTTGGCCCTTGAGGCCGAGGACCGCGCCAGGGCCTCGATGGGATCCACGATCGTCTCGGGGGCCGGCGCCGGCGGCCTCGACAGAGGCGAGACGCGTCGAGGCCGTATCAGATGCTTCACGCGCGCCGCGTCGAGGTCCTCGAAAGAAGCCCTTCGTTCGAACGACGACGTGCGCGACGTTGATGCCGAGTCGTCATCCAAGGGCGCTGTGGGCGACGTGGCCATGTCTCGCGACGGCGGCGCCCGCTCCGCCAGGACCGACCGCCGTTCGTGGTCCAGGTCCATGCCCTCGATGTTCGACTCCCATCCCACGACGTCCTCGCCGCTCGCGCCCAGGGCGTCGAGCTTGATGATCACTTCCAGGAGCTTCTCATCTAAAACTTTCTGGGACAGCTTCTGGCCCCGGAGCTTCCGCAACAGGTCCGCGGGCGCCTCCTGGCCCATCGTGGCGAGGAGGTTCGTCTCCGAGGTGCGCTTTGTCCGCCGCTCGTTGACGGGGACGACGCGCTGCTCTTCCTCGCCCATGAGGCGCTTCGCGACGGTCTTGAGGCTCCACGGCGCCATGATGCGGCAGCGCTGCGTGCGCCTTTTGGGGCTGCTGGGCCTTGTGTCTACCGCGCGCGCGCCGGCGAAAGCGTGCTCCACCGCCGGCCGGCGGTGCCTGCCTATCGTTTCGCGGCGTACGGTGGGCAGCCGGTCCGCACAGCACCGTAGCAAAGTGGGTGTACGCAATGCCGCTGCGCCTCCTTGCTGAGACGCGCTGCGTGGCGGGGCGGGCTTGAAAGCGGAGCCGTTCATAGCGCTCTACGCGGTGGTTGCCGCGGCAGGAGCTCTGGCGAGTTGTGATTTTAGCAACTTTAGCAATTGCTCTCTTTTAAGCCATTTGAGTGCCGCCGGCGAGGCAGTGCAAACGCCCCACGCGTTGCCTGCAACAACACGCGAAACCAATACGGTCTGCAAACATTGCTGCAAAAGTAGCAGATTCGCAAGGAAGCACAAAGAGTAGTTAGGGAGAGCAAGTACAACAAGATGCTGGCCCGCCTCGCGAGGAGAACAAGACGCACCGTACGCTTGTTAAGTGATGACGCCACACCGTCAGTGCCGCCGCAACGCATTGTTGTGGCAGTAGGAGGCAACGCCCTGCAGCGGCGAGGCGACCGGCTGACCATCGAAAACATGTTAAAAGCCGCAAAACAAATGGTGCCCTCCATCCTAGCATTGCGCCAGGCGGGCCATCAAGTGTTACTCACGCATGGGAATGGGCCGCAAGTTGGTGAGTTAGCTTTAGAGAGATCTGCAGCCACGTTTGATGTCTTGGGCGCCGAGTCTCAAGGTCAAATTGGATACGTCCTAGCCCAGGCGTTCCAGAGTGCGGGTGTCGATGCGGCGTGCATCGTCACCCAAACGGCTGTGGATGCCGGCGACAAGGCCTTCGATAACCCTACCAAGTATGTGGGACCCGTCTACGGCTTCAAGGAGGCCGAAGCTCTGGCCAATCAGTTAGATTGGACCATCAAGCAGGACGGCGAATATTATAGGAGGGTTGTGGCGTCTCCCAAGCCCATTGCGGTGTTGCAGCTGGATGCGGCTCGGACGTTGCTCGAGAACAACTATCCAGGACTGGTCGTCGCGGGCGGCGGCGGCGGCGCTCCGGTCTCTCGTGTGTTCGGGGACGTCGTCGGCGTCGAAGCTGTGGTGGACAAGGACGCTACAGGCGCATTGATGGCGCGCGAACTCGAGGCTGATGGGTTTATTATTTTGACGGATGGCGGAGGTATCTGGCACAACTTCGGCAAGCCTGATGGAAGAGAAATGAAGGCCGTCACGCCGAAGTACCTCAAAGCGAGGAAGACGGGCCAGAAGTTCCCGGGCAGCATGGGCCCCAAGATCAGCGCCGCCATTTCTTTCGTCGAAGGCAGTTCGAAGCCGGGCGCGTGGGCCATCATCGGGGATTTGAACGACGCCGCCGAGCTGATGAGTGGAGCGAAAGGAACCAAAGTTTGCCGCGACGTGCCCGACGACGTCACGTGGCACACGTCGCCGCCCGAGGAGTCGTCGCCGTCCTAGGTGTCGGTTTTAACAATACAAATTAGCCAGCATCCGCCCGCCGCCTTTGTCTAAATATCTCGCCGCGCGCCGCGGCTGCCGTTCGTCGTCGCAGGCGCCGCTGCGGCTCGTGCCAGGATGAGTGTTGCTCCAAAAGGTCCTCCGCGAGGTTTTTTTGTGGTGGTATTTGTGAGGGCCCGGCGAGCCGGCACGTCTCGGCGACGATTATGGCCGCGGCAGCGGCGAGGTTAAACGACTCCACTTGTCCCACCATCGGGATGAGCACCTTGCGGTCGGCGCCGCTCACGGCGGCGGGCGAGAGACCCCGACTCTCCGTGCCAAACCAGAGCGCGAGCGGACCGCCGCCGAGTAAATCGCGGCGCGCGAGGTCGTCGTCCGTCGCCGGCAGCAACACCGCATCCTCGTCCATGACGCACGCCGCACTTGCGAAGCCGTCGCGCCGGAGGCGGTCGTAGCACGCGTCGACCTGTGCGCAAATAAAGCAGTGATTCGGATGCACTGTGCTGGCTGAATTGAGCTGATGCGCCGCGACGGTTTGATTTATGCACTGGCGTCGACCGACGAATAGGACGTGAGCTTGACCCACTGCGTCGCCGACGCGCTGAGCCGCCGCAGCCCCTCGCCGCGGGGGTCGAACTTCGGCGCCGGCGCGCGCGACGTCACGAACAGCAGCTCCGGCACGCCGAAGCCGTCGCAGACTCGTGCGATGCTCGCAGCGTTCGCTGGGTCGGTGCAGTCCTCGAGAACAACCAACAGGTCGCCGCGCCGTCGGGCCACGAGGCCGTCGACCTTGCTGCGGAAGCGCGCGTCGTAGGCGAGGGCGCTCGCTTGCCTCGTGAAAATCGCCGCGGCCGCGAGGGCGCGGCGAGCCATGCTGCACTGTGCAGCAGTGTGCAGTGCGCCTTTGGCGGCGCCTGGACTGGCAGCGATTGACGTCGGACCAGTAGAGAGACTAAAAATCGTTGTTATCACGGCTGCACCGAGTTGATTGCAATAAATGCGCTGATCTGCGGCGCTGCACTCGCAATCAGCTAGCGGCCTGTAAGATACTAGTGAATTGGGAGCTCGTGGATTACGCCATCGAGGCACCCTACCCAAATAAATAAATACACGGATCACTTAGCCTCATATCAGAGGTCGTCGGAGATGTACGAGATGTCGTCCCACGGGTGCCGATACAACGGCTGCTTCAGGCGCTTCTGATCTAAATGATGCCCAATGAACCCGATCGACCGACCTAAGACAAAGAGCCCGTTCAGACACCCATCTCCAATAAGTTCGTCGGCCTCCTCCACGCTCATCGCCCCACAATGTCTAAGAAGATCGACAAAACAAACGGCGATGCAGCCATCGACATTCAGTATGAGGTTCGATCTTTTTTGAGTTGTTATCTGTTCCACTTGTAGAGCGAAGTTGAGGGTAGGCGTCTTCGGGAAATGTTGTAGAGCATACTCTTTAATAATCGAAACTCGTTTATCAGGGTTCTCCAGCGATTTTATTCTATGACCAATACCCATGATCAACTTGTTCTTCTTCTTGCACTCGGTCACGAAATCTAATGGAGAGATGCCCCGATCCAGGGCGTCGGTCATCATGCGAGCCGCTCCATCGAGGGCGCCGCCGAAGCGAGGTCCTACCGTGAGTAACCCGGACGCTAATGACGACACCAAGTCCTTGCCGGCTCGTGCCGCCACAATAGTGTTGTGGGCACCTGCTACTGCTGGGCCGTGGTCCGCGGTCACCATGAGCACCATTTCTACAAATTTAGTAGCATAAGCTGGTAGTCGCTTCTTGAACCATAGTAAGCATAGCACGCCGCCCACACCTAAGTTCTCGGCAAAGACTTCAGAGATGGGAACGCCAGCGTACTTGAGCTCTTCCCCTCGATCATCTGATATGGTAGAGATAAAATTGGCCGGCTTCCTAACCATTCCTAACCTCTTAGCCCACGTGTAGTCGAGGGGTACCCTCGGGATGTCCGGTTCGGGCTTAGGTATGATAGTACCTTTTGTTACCAATCCCTCGTAGACCTTCTTGATAGCATCGCCGAACTCCGCAAATGACCGAGGGACGACGGCGCCCGCTTGTAGTAAAGCTTGATTCTTAGAACGAGCATCTTCCCCGCGGCCGCGGGCACAAGCGCCCGCATGGCCGAATTGCACCTCAAAACTAAAAGCCGAAGCACACGTCCCGATGCACCACGCTATCAATGGTTTCGTGATGCGACCGGACGTAATCGCTTCGCAGACGTCGTACTCGTCCGCACCACCTACTTCACCTAATAAAACTAAAATCTTGCAGTCTTCATTGTTTTCGTATCGTAGTAAGTGGTCGACAAAGCGACTCCCGGGATAGGCGTCGCCGCCGATGGCCACACCTTCACAGACGCCGTCCGAATTCTTGCAGATAATATTGTTGAGTTCGTTCGACATGCCACCGCTCTTAGAAACATAACCGACAGACCCAGGTCTATATAATTTCGACAGCACGATGTTGTCGAGCATGCCGCCCGTGTTCCCGATCCGGAAACAGCCTGGCTTGATGCCGCCTACCGTTGCTGGGCCTATTAACGCCACCTGCTTTTCTGCGGCTCTCGCGATGATCTCCCTGGTCTGCCTCTCCGGCACGCCTTCGGCGATGATAGCTAATGTTCGTAACTGGGGATGGTCAAACGCATCGATACACGTATCGTACACGCTTCGGTACGACGCGAAGTTAACCAACACCGACGCGTCCTGATGTTTACTACAAGCTTGTTGTAAGGAAGGATACACGGGCACCAACGTCTCCTCCGTGCCCCAGTAGAACTTGGAATAATGAGCCCCTTGGAACGGGTAGACCATCGCCGCGACCGACGGCTTCTTCCGCTTACACATGAAGTCGAAGTCCAGCATGCCCTGCACCGCCCTAGCTTGCAGCCCGTACACAATACATCTAGTTTTATCAGAGAACTGCGTCTGGCTCATGGCGTCCAGTGATAAAGACGACAGCGAGCCGGCCGAGAAGGTCCGTTGCGGCGAGCGCGGCACCGGTGAACCAGGTACTGGAGGAGGTTGTACTTTGGCCTTTTCGTCGACCTTCACTTCTCTCCTATCAGGATCGAAGTCCTGCAACGAGTCCTCCGGGACGAGACCGAGGGCCAAGGGGCAGACGCTCACGGCGTCCTGCTCCGGCCCAAACACCCGTATAAATAGCCCGGACTCCTGCCTCAATTTCAACATCATCTTGAGGCCCTCCTGGTAGTTCGGGCCCGCCCTTCTGATATATATCTTGATATTTCCAGCTAACAACTCATCACGGTACATTTTGAGAGCTTTGACCAACCCACGAAAAGTAGCGGCCACATCCGTAAAGTTCGCGATGCCGCCGCCTACTATGAGTACTTTGCCGTCGTCCCTGCGCGTACGCGTCATCAAGCCTAGCACGGTTCTGGCATAATTGAAGGTCTGTTCATCTGTTGGTGCACCGGAATATTCCCCGTAGTTCGCCAATTCATGCGCAAAACCCAGGTCACATATCGTATCGGCGTAGACCACAGAAGCCCCACCACCCGCGACGAGCGTCCACACTCGACCAGTCACATTTAAGATTGTTAGTTTTAATGAAGCACCGGTCTTGGCATCCAACGAGCGAATATAGGCCTCTTCCGGGAACTCGGGCCTACCAAACGGCGCGGGTAAATCGGTCGGGCCCCACTTGCTCTGGCAGAGGAAGTGCGCGGTTTCGTCGATCTTCGCGGCCAGATCTAGCGGTGTTACCTTCTCGTCGTCGACGACCAAGGGGTTAATTTCTAACAGAGTGAAGTGGAGGTCCCTGTAGCACTTTAACAAAGCGCCATAGAATTGGGCGAGTTGCTTCCGTCGAGTTACCGGTGCGTCTTGCACAAATAGTTCTAGTTCTTGTAGGGTAGGCGTGTTGTCCAAACCGCACTTTAATCGAGACGCCTTGGCGTCGACGTCGCCGACGTCCACGCCGCCGTCCCGGCAAAACAGCAACGTCTCACCTTCTCTATCTGAAGTGATAGCCACATAAAACTCGTCTTCTTGTTGATGAGGAACGAAGGGCTCCACCAGAAACGTGTGCAAGATGCCCTCGACGTTATCTACTGTGACAGTTTGGCCTAACTTGCTGTCCACCCAGCCTTGCACTTCACTTATCGTCTTGTTGACATATACTAAACCGGCCTTGCCCCTCCTCTTGATCAACTGGTCGGGCTTCGCGACGAGTTTCGTGGTCTTGGCCCAGGGGTTCTCGTCTAATAAATTAGTCCAGGTGTGCTCGCTCGACGCTTCTTTTACGTCGGTCCGCACGAGGAAGCCGCGGGCGTCCACATTGACGCCGTGCTCACTTAAATGACGAGCCAGTAAGGTCTTGCCGTAGTGTTCTCTTACTGCTTTCGCTGACATTTTTTTTGTGCAGCCTTGATTGCTTAGGGCGCGCCGAGGGCACGCGTGCTGTGAGTGGTCTTGAGCTTTGCAGTCGCTAGCTAAGGCGCGGCGGTGGGCGCGCGCGTGCTGACTGTTGTGAATTGGTTGCGGTTTGCTTGCTGCGCGCGCACTGCGATATCGATCAGTGCACAAATTCACAGCTCTATGCCAGGCAATGTCCAGGAGAGCCGAGAGGCTGGCTCCCTAGTGTCTTACAGGCCGCTAGCGTCGGGCCGAGTCCAGGAGTCATTAGGAGCGTACCGGCCGCACAGAGAACCCTCGATTTCCCCAATAGCGGTGGTGCACGCAGGCCATTTCTGGCATCTCTGGCATCTCTGGCACTGGCCTGGTTTGGCTGGATTTTTGTATGCCTTGGTCGCGCCGGCTCCGCTCTCGGCTCACTCAGTAGTTGGGACCATCTCGACGTTCCTGCGGAGCATAGCTCAGTATTGTATGAGCTGTTGCGGAGGCTGCCCAAAGTCCTGGCAAAGCCTGCCCCTACGCATTCGTCGCTGCGCACGCGTACACGCTACGACCAGGCTCGCCCGCGGTGCCAGCACAACCACGAGTACCAGCACCACCACGAGTAGCTCGTAGAGGGGCTACGATGTTCGGCTCCCGCAAGGGCTTCCAAGCGCGACCACCGCCGCCGCCCAAGCAGCGCAAGAAGCCAGCACCGCCACCGCGGAAGCAGCTCTTCGCCTTCGATCCGGTCGCGGCCCACTACAACGCGCTGAATCACGAAAGGCGTTTTGGTGTGACGCAGCCCGTCGTTTGTGTCGACTTGAACGCGGCGAGTGAAAGGAGGCGGTGGCGCGAGACCGGAGATCTTACTGAAGCATCAAACACAATCAAGGCCCTCGTGCCAGAAGCCGCGAACGAGGGCGAATTGCTGGAGCGGGCGCTCGCCGCGCACCTGCGGCGCCGCGCGACGCCGTCCATAAGATGCTGGGACCTCGTCAAGGCGCGCCTCGCCTTCCAGCGTATTGATTGTTGTGTGTATTGCGGCGAATCGACGCGGACCGAGGACGAGGCCGTGCCGTGCCGGAGCTTCAAGCGGCCCGGGGGCTGCGCAGCCGAAGCCCACCGGCGGTGCCTGGCGCGGGCGGGCGTCGGGCTCCTGTCCACGAGATGGACCTGCGGCGTGTGCGTCGAGGTCGCGCGGAGGCGGTCCGTGCGGACGCCGGCCGACAAATTGATCGCTGACGCCCAGGAGGCGGAGGCCGCGGCGGCCGCGGCGCTGCGTGCGTCGGGAACGACGCCGTCGACGGCGCCGGGCTGGGTCGCGCAGCTTGCACAACGGGGCGGCCAGAAGAGTCGGCGCGTCGCGCAGCAGCGGCGTAAGGTCGATGGCCGGCGCAGAGACGCGGAGGCCGCGCGCGACGCGTTACGGGAGGCCCAGGCGACGGCGGCCCAGGCAAGGCAGCTCGAGGCCGGCGTGCTCAATTTAGCCGCATATCTCGCGGCTTTGGACGCCGACGACAGTGCCCCCGCCGCGCAAGCCCTCATAACAAAAATGGTCGCAGCCAAAGACGACTGGCGCCGCGATGTCGACGCGATGCTCAGTGGCGAGGCGCCGGCGGAGGCGAACGCGCGGGAAGCTGATGACCTCCTGAAACAGGACGAGCTCTATCTGGAGGACCTGGAACGAGCGCCGGACGACGCGGCTGGCTGGGCGCGGCGGTTCATCGAGGAGCCGGATTTGGATGCGTGGCCCTGGGGCGGCAACTCGACGACCGAGAAGATGCGCATGTTCTCGCGCTTGCAGCGCCAGCTGCGCGACACGCTCGACGCGTCGCTTCTGGGCGGGCCGGGGGCTATAGCGTCAGGGGTGACGTGTGTTGCCCCCAAAAACACGTCGGACAAGTTCGCGTACGAGGCGTGTCTCTGGACGCGCGACCCGGCACTGGCCAAAATAGCAGTCAACATGGATCGGGAGCTGCTGCCGGGGCGCGTCGAGCGCGCGAACCTCTCGACGTTCGGCGAATTCACTGTGGACGAGAAGCCGCCGGGGCTGCCTGACTTTTCGTCCGCGCGGCCCGGCGCGTGCTTCGTCCTGTTCCGGCGACGGAGGCTTCCGTCGAATCCGTCGTCGCCGCGAGTGTCTGCATCATAACTATATACTGTTTTTACTCAGTTGCCCGATTTCAGTTCTACCACGGTGCCCTCGGGGTCCTTGAGGTAGATCGAGTAGCCGTCGCCGTCCGCGCCGTAGCGTCGGCCCTGCGCGTAGGGCGCGTGGCCGGCAGCGGTGAGGTACTCTGTTACCGCCTCCGCATCGTATGGCGCCAGGTTGATGGCGAAATGGTCCAGCGTTCCTTTCGTGGGATCGATCTCCGGCTCGGGCGCGTCGGCGGGGAGGCCCTGGCCGCCGGCGTGCAATTTTCGGCCGCCCGGCGACTCGTAACCTTGGAGGTCGATTAGGCTCGATCCGATGCGCAAGTGACTCAAGCACCCGTCCATCCGGCCGACCCATTCCGGCTCCGCACCAAGTACTCCGACGTAAAAATCCAGCATCTTTTGCGTGTCGCGACAACGCAGGACGATGTGATCGATGCGCTGGAACGTGAATGGTGTATCGGCCTGCTTCGGCGCGGCGAGGCTCGAGGCCGCGTTTGCGGACAGGGCGGACGCGCCGACGAGGCCGGCGGCGCCGAGTCGCGCGAAGGCGCGCGACAGCATTGGTCGGACAATTTCTAGCGCCTGCGCGTGGGCGACGAATAAGAGCCTCCCAATCGTGCCCTTGCGTGGGCCAAGGCGCTCTTTCCCTCCTCGTAACCGCTCGCAAGCTGCTCTGAATGATCCTTTGGCCTCAGCCTAAGGCGTGATTCGCTGCAAGCGACGTCGTTAGTTGTCAGTCGCGTTCGGACTCTGGTGTGTGCGAGCGGTTTTGGCACTTGGGCGTGTCGTATGCGCCCCTGAGATCCCAAGGAAATGCTCTCCTGACCAAGAGACAAATCGAGGCTCCTAGCGCGTCCGTCGCATGCGTGTGCGCTTGACTCTCGCCGTCGCGATGGCCTCGTCCGTCACAGCTCTCGTGAAACCGCTCGCGACCCGCGCCGCGGTCCTCGCACAAGTCCCCAAGCTTGTGGATTTGGCAGCAGCATGTGGCTGGGATTTCTACGGACCGGACGAGTGGACGTTCCTCGCCGACGCCGCGTGCGATTCGGGCTGGGTCGTCGAGGGCGACGACGGCAAGTTACTCGGCTGCCTTTTCCGAGCGGACTACGAGCGAGCGAACGGCCTCGGAATGATGCTCGTGAGTCCGGCGGCGCGCGGCCAGGGCCTCGGCAAGAAGCTAATGAACGCGGGTCTCGGGGCGGTGCCGGCCGACCGCAAGGCGTGTCCCGTCATCCTCGGGGTCGCGACCGACATGGGCCGCCCCATGTACGAGAAGATGGGCTACGGCGTCACGAATCAGATCACGTCCTTACGCGTCGCCGATGCGAGCAAACTCAAGGGGACTATGAGCGCCGACGTCGAAGTCGATGGCTGCTGCGCCAGCGTCGACGCGATCGCCGCGATCGACCAGACGGCTACGGGGTTGGACCGGAAACGGGCCTTGCAGACGCTCCTGGATAAAGATGGCGCCCTCTCCGCGATTGCGCGCGACAAGGCGTCGGGCGAAGTAGTTGGCGCCGCGATCTCTATTGTCGGGCGCGACGGCGGTCGCGTCATTGGCCCCCTGCTCGGCTCTCACGAGGCAGCTCTGCCGCTCGTCCACGCGGTCGCACCGGAGGGAACCGCCACGCTGAAGGCCATCGGGGCGCCGGCCGACATCCTCGTGGAAACGCTCACGTCGGCCGGCTTCGAAGTCGCAGTGGAGTGTCCTTCGGCGGCCACCCGCTGCCCGGAAAACGCGAGCTCTACCTCGCGCTCATGCACCCGACGCTCGGCTAGGCGCCTAAGAAGAATCCAACAACAATTACGCTAGAAGAAGTCCGTCGCCGCAGCCCGCGGAGGCGCTGCAACTTCAGGAGCTGGAGGAGGAGCATCGCTCGCGTACACCGCAAAAAAGTCGGGCGGCGCCGCGCCATCATCAGACGCCGCCGTCGCGACGACGGACGCCGCCTCGGCCAACGCGGCCCGTAACCGCGCCAGGCCCATGTCGTCGGGCGCCGCGCCGCAGGCGGCCTCGGCCTCCTCGACGACGCGTTTGGCTTTGTCGAGGTCGGCGATGGCTTTAGAAGCGGCCGCCTCGTCGGCCGCCGCCGCTGATACGCTGCCCTCCCAGGCCTGCAGGGCCGCGCGCCGCGCCTCGACCTGGCGTTCCGCCTGCGCGGCCTCGGCCCTCGCGTGGTCGCAGGCCTCTTTCAGTCTCCGCCGCGGCTCCCACTCGCCTTCACCAATCTCGAGCTCGTCGGCGCGCGTCGCCACCGTCGCGTAGACGTCTTGATACGTCGTCGGCCGCCGCCGCGGCGCCGCTTCTGGAAGAACCGCCCCCGCGACGGCCTTGGTGGACGCGCCGCGCCGCGCGACCTCGGCCTCGTGCGCTTCCAATTCATCGTCGTCCTCGTGTAAACCCCCCGCCTTCCGCAGCGCCGCGTCCATGGCCCCGCCCGGCGCCGCCGGCGCATCCACATCTCCCGCGTCGGCGCCGGCCTGGAGCCAGCGCCGCCGCTCTTCGTCCTGGAGCCGCGCCGCGATGCTATGGTTCGCCCGGCCCGGCACGGGCACGAAATCTTGAGCAGTAGCGCGGCCGCCCAACCCATCGTCGGACGCGTCGTCATCCGAAAGATTTCGCGCGTCGAAGTCCTCTACATTAACGGTGCGGTCGAGCTCCTCCGTCGCCGCGCGCGACGAGGCCCGCGCGACGCGCGCCTTGCGCGCGCGCGCGGCGGTGTCCTCGGCGGGCTCCTCCGCTGCTTCATGCTGGGCGGCCTCTTCCGCCGCGCGCTTTGACGACTCCGCGAGGAGCTCCGCGGGCAGGGCCGTCTGCGCGCCGCGGAGCGCCGCGAGGCCCGCCGCGCTGTAGTCTGCCGAGGGTTGCGGCGCGGGCGCGGGCGCTGGGTCCTCCTTCCTTTTCTTTTTTTGTTTGAGCTTGCGCTTTTTCACCTCGAAGGTCGGGCCCTCGTCGTCGTCGGCGCCGAACGAGAGGAGCGAGGGGGCACTCGTCGCGTTGCTAGCTTGGACTTTGGGCGTCGTCTTGCGCGCGCCGCCGGCTCGGGCGCTGCGCTTTTTGAACATCGCTTGTCAAGCTGCAGCGCACGGCGGCGGCGTCAGGCACCTCTGTGGTTTTGGCTGTTGTGTACGTGCGGCCTTGCGTGTCCCAGCAGCCCTGCGAGGCGGACACTGGAGGCCCACTTAATCACCTCGCGCACTGTCAGCGATGTTAAAATCGATGCTTTTTGGCTTTGAGGTCCCGGCTTGCTAGTGTCTTACAGCCGCTAGCTTTCAGGCTGCCTTGAAAAAAAAGCCGCAAATTCGATCGAACGGATCGAAGCCCAGGCAATAGACTGCAGCATGCTTCGATAATGGCAGCCCTAGACGCCTGGCAGGCCTCCGTAGCAGCCGTGCGCGCCTACGTCGGCGAGGAGAGATGGCCCCAGGACTACGATGCTGAACGCTGGGCGCGAGTCGCCGCAGCGCTGGACTTGGACAAGCCGCGGCACAGCATCGTGGTCCTCCGCGCCGGCGACGGCTGCTTCGCGGCGTGCCTCGCCCACCGCTGCGCCGCGGATACTGTAGTCGCGCTCCTGGACGACCGCTACTTCGGCGGCGCCGGCCGCGGCTCGATCGAGGCGCCCGGACACCTCGACGGGTTCTCGGCGAAGCTCGTCGCCCGCCGCGACGGCGCGGGCTCGACGGCGCGCCGCGCGCTGCGCGGCCTGCTCGCGCCCGGCGCGGCGGTCGTCGCCGTCGACGCGCTCGAGGGCCTCGCCGCCGTGCGAGCGGCGCGGCTCTTCTGCGCGGCGCCGGTGGAACGCGTGGTCGTGGCAAGCGTCGCGCCCGCCGCGGCGGCGAAGCAGCACGGGCGAGGCAAGATGGCGTACGCTCCGGACCCACACGCCTTCGGCATCGCCGCCAAGGTCCTGGGCGAGGATTCCACCAAATGGCGCGACGCGCTACGGGGCGTCTGCGCGACGCGCGGCGCGGAGATAACGGAGGGCCTCGCCCTCGCCCACGCGAAATCCGTCTCCGCGGGCGCCGTGGATCTCGACGCGCCGCTGCTGCGGACCGTCGCGGACGAGCTCGCCGCGCTGAAGCGGCGCGTCGACCGGCGTGTCACAGAACTACCGCCAACGCCCCTCGCCGACGGCGCGTCAGCACGGTTACAACCGTCGACGGCCGCGCGCTTCGTCGACGGCGGCTACGCTACCAAACACTACGTCGCGACGCCGCCGGACCGGAACGAGGCCTGCTTCGAGCTGCTGATCGACGGCGTGCCGCTCGGCTTCGTGTCCATCGGGGCGACGTCGTTCGGCGGTCCATGTGCGTGTGACGGCGGCTGGCCGTGGGCGGGCGACGCGCGGATCTTCGACTGCGCGACGGTGTCGCGGCTCGTGCTGCTCGAGGCGGCGCGGGGCCGCGGCGCGCTCGCGGCCCTCTTGCGCGCCTGTGACGCGTTCCACGCGCTAGGTTTGCCTTGCAGGGTCACAACACGGAAGCGGGCCGTCGCGGAACGCGCGCTGGGCGTCAGCCCGGTCCTCGCGGCCGACGAGGGCGCACGGGCGCAGCGGCGCGCCGCGGCGGCCACAAATCTTGACGCGGCCCAGCGGGCCCTCGTCCCCTTCGACTTCGATTCGTTCAAAGCGTCGACGCCGGCGGCGCCGCGCGAGCGCGGCCGCAACGGCTCCTGGACCTTCTGGTACCGGGGCGCGCCCGTCGTCCGGCCGACCGGCGGGCGCTACGCGTATGTGGGCGGGGACGAGCGCTTTGCTTTGTGTGTGTAAGGATTTTGTTGTGCTTTCTTAGACTTCCCTTCGTCCACGCGGGCGCTAGTATCTTACTGGCCGCTAGCTTTTCCAATTTTTGCAGGTCGCGCCGGCACGCCCAGCGGTGGCTAGCCCGGCGACGACGACGAGCCGGGTCCATATTTTGCCTCGCAAGCGCTGCCCCGAGCCCCGGCGCGCCGGTGAGCACCGTCCTACAACTCGTACTCCTCAGGGGGTCACGTGACAAGCTCGTCGGCTGCGCGCAGTACGCGAGGTCAAGGCAGCGAAACATGGAGCAATGCTGCGGGCGCGCCGCCGCCGCCACCCCGACAAACGCCGACCTCCACTCGGGCCGCTACAACGTGGCCCGGGCGGCGACGTGGAAGCTCTTTAAACGGTTGGGCCTGACCTGGCTCTGCTGCGGCATTTGTGTAGGGTCCTACGCCGCGGCGCTCGCGATCGCGCGCACGGGCGCCGACGAGCAGGACTGCTCGCACACCTGTAAGGCACCCTTCCGCACGGACAACGGGACCGTACTACTCGTGGGCGACTCGATCACGGCGGGCTATTTTCCGGACGTGGCCGGCATTCTGGACGGCCGCGCGCCGGCGGCGTCGTGCTACGACGCGGGGCATACCGGTGGATTATCATCGATCGCGGGCGTGATTTTGGGGCGCTTCGGGAGCGGCGACGGCTGGTGCGGCACGAGTCATGGTGTACTACAGTGCGTCGACGGCTACCTGAATGAACTGAATGCGAACCTGTCGGTGATCCATTTTAATTGGGGTTTGCACGACATCGACCCGCATATATATAGGACGCACATATCTCACTCCCAATATTATGCGAATATGGAGAAGCTCTATCTGACTTTCAAGCGGGCCGCACCAGCCGCTACGGTGGTTTTCCAGACCACCACGCCCGTACCGCCCTCCTACACGAGAGGCAGAGACAACAAGGACGTCATAGCTATCAACGACGTCGCAAAGACACTATTCGGGCCCACGGGGAAGTATACGGACGTTATTATCAACGACTTGTATCAGCACATCGTCGACGTGTGCCACAACGATCCTGAGTCGACGTGCTACCCCGACAGTTGTGATTGTCCCCACGTCCAAGACGACGGCGTCCACTTCTCGCCGGCGGGCCGCCGGTTTAATGCGCTCATGGTCGCTTCCACGATTGCGCCCCTATCAACGGGCCCGACTTTATTGGCTGCGGGCCAGACGCCTCCCGAAAAACGCGACGTCGCCGAGTGGCGGCCGTGGGAGCTGGCTTTTTTCATCCAGCTCGGGTTCCTCGGCGGGCTACTCGTGCTCGTCGGCGGGGCGGTCCTGCTGCGGCGGAAGTTTGCACACGTGCCGGCTTCCGAGGACGGCGGCGAGACCAAAGACCCCGCATGACTCTTTCTGTGTGTCCCCTTTTCTTCCTGTTACTTCTCACGTGTCTAATTCAACGCGTATTTACTATTGGTGGCTCCTAGTCCTCCTCCTCTATTTTTGTGGGGAATGCTTATGCTACGGACTACGGGCATATAGCCGTCGGGGATCGTTGCCTCCTCTAGACGCCGTTCTTCAGCAGCGGGGCCGCGGCCCCCGCCGGTTCCGCGAGGGGGTACTTCTTTGCCGCGAAAGCAGTGAGTAGAACCCCCGCGGTGAGTGCGAGGACTCCGAGGAGCTTGGCGAAGGAGGTGGCCGGGCCCGGGTCGACGTCCTCGACGGCGAAGAGGTTCATGCGCCTATCGATCCACTGTTCGCAGGTGCCGCAGGCAACAGGACACGCGTCCTTCGCCTTGACGCCGTTGTCGCTCTCGCGCTCGCAACGCTTCTCCTTCTCCTTGTCCGTGCCCCCCGCGACGTGCGGGCAGCCGACGTAGTCCTTGTCTCCCGCATAGTAGCGGAAGTCCGCGTCATCAGCGCAGACGATGTCCCCCTTGCAAAGGCCGCAAGCCTTCGGGCAAGCCTCCGCGCCCGTGGCGCCGTTCTTCCCGACGCGGGCACATCGCTTGTCGCGGACCTTCTTGTCCTCGCTGTTTCTGATGTGCGCGCAGCCGAGCTGGCCCTTCCAACCGCCGTCATAGGTCCATTTGTCCTCCGGCGCGTCGACACAGGCGGGCGAGATGCCGCAGCAGGACTCGGCGCGCGCTTCCGCGCAGAAGCAGTACTTGTCGCGGTATTCGCGACAGTCTAAGCTACAGTCGCAGAACTGGTTCGTCCCCGGTTTCACCCCGGGGCAGAGCACGGCGTCGTCAGGCTTGTCGTCGTCGCCGCCGCCGGAGAGATCCTCGCACTCGCCGGGCCTCGCGGTCTCGAAGACGTAGCCCCCATTGAGGCAGCAGATGTTCTTGCTGTAGAAGGGGGGCACGTCGTCCCGGCAGACGGTGGCCGCGTCGTTGCAGTACTCGCACTGGTCGCAGGAGCACGAGCAGTAGGCGTCCGTGCCCGGGTAGCAGTCGTCGCCCGACGCGAGCCGCCGGCGCTCGATCTGCTCGGGGCTGATGCGATGGATCGTGAGGTGGACCGATCCGGCAGCCGTCGCGCGGGCCGCGTGCGTCACGCCGGACGGGACCGAGAGGGCGTCGCCGGGCCCGAGCGCGAACGTGTCACCTCCGACCGTCCACACCTTCTCTCCGATTAGCTGGAGGACGAGGACGTCGCCGACGTCTTCGTGCGACGGCAGCGCGGCGGCGCCCGGGGACGAGATGTACAGGTGGACGAGCAATCCGCCGTCGACTTCGGCGCGCGTACTCGTCTCCCCAAACGGAGCGACGAGCTCAGAAATGGCGGCGGGCCAGGCCTCCGCGTCCAGGTGCTCGAACTGCAGCGTGATCGAGAGGGGCACCGTCGAATCGACGAGGGCCGCGGCCTCGGCCGGATCCGGCGGCAACCCTTCCTGGCGGAGCGCCGCGACGACGGCTTCCGCGACTCCTTCATGGGTCTTGTCGTCGTTGTCGTGGTGGACGCGCACGGCGATCGTCGGGCGGCCGGCGAACGGCGCGACGAGGTCCTGGAGCTTCACGTCCGCTTCCGCGAGGCCGCGATGGTACTCCGCCGCGCCGCCGAGGAGATGCGGACCGAGGGTGCCGCTCGCCGTCCCCAGGAGGGCCAAGGCTAAGAACTTCATCCTTGCCAGGAATCTGCCTGAGGCTGAAACTCAAGCTTGAGGCGATTCGCGATCGTCCAATTCGTCGCGCCTGTTACGGAGGCGTCAATTTTTGTGAAACTAAAAGCGCGCTGGTTCCTAGACGCGATTTCACCCCGTTTAGCCACCCAAAGCTAGCGGTCGTAAGACACTAGCAAGCAGCGCATGATCATCAGCTGAGAGCCGTAGACGTGTTAGACGTGGCTTTGCGACGTTGTTCGCAGCCTTTGGAGTAGTTCTTCACTCGTAGAACAGCTGGAGAGCACCGCTATTGCCAGCGAGCCCGGCAACCCACCGCAAGCAAAACGCTGTCAGCATCACCATGGCTCGAGTCCTGCTGCTCGCAGCCGGCGTCAACGCCCTCGTGGCCCCACCAACGCAACAAAGGCCACGATCAGCCCTGCGCGCCGCCGTCTCGAAGGCCGACGTCATGAAGTGCCTCGGCCGCGAGTACCGGAGCTTCTTCGCGCCTCTAGAGGACGAGTACTACTCGTCCAGCGTGACCTTCGACGACCCCCTGAACAGCCTGAGCGGCCTCAAGGCCTACCGGAACAACGTGGACATGCTCGCGGGCCGCACGTTGTTTGGAGGTCTTTTATTTAGCGACGCGGCGATCAACCTGCACGACGTCCGCGAGTTGGACGACGGCCGATTACAAACGAGATGGACGCTGCGCGTGTGCTTCTCCGCGCTGCCGTGGGCCCCTACCGCTAGGTTTACAGGCATTTCGGTATATGACCTCGATGCGGAGAATAAAATTAAGGGCCAGACGGACTACTGGGACTCTATTGATCTGAAACAGGGGTCCTACAGCCGCTCGTCGAAACCCGACGCCGTCCAGGACTTCGCAAATCAGCTCTTCGGGGGCGACAAAACGTCCGATGGCGAGCTGCCCTACGAGCTCTTGAGAAGAGCGGACTATTCTGTGAGAAGGTACCCCGCCGTGTCGGTGGCCGAGGTGGCCTACGACGTGCGGCCCGAGGGCTACGACATGCTCGGGTCGTATACCGGTGGGTTTAACGAAAACGACGCGAAGATGACGCCCTTCCTGCCGTCGATCATCACGGTGCCGCGGTCCGGCGGCGGCGCGAAGACGATGACCTGGCCCGTGAGCCTGGCGGAAGACGACCTGCCCGGGAGCCGCGTCGTCAAGACGCGGCGCGCGCGCGAGCTGACGGTCGCGTGCCTCGTCTTCCCCCAGGCCGCGACGGAGGACGCGGTGCAGTACTGGGCACGCGAATTGGAAAAAAAGCTCGCGGCGGACGGCCTCTCGGGCGCCCCCGGCCACGAGACCAACTACGTCGTCGCGCAGTACGACGCGATCTTCAGCGTCGGGGACCGGCGCAACGAGGTCTGGATACCGCTCGCGCCGGGCCACCCCTGGGATAATTAATCTTGAGCTTAGGTCTTCTTCTTGGGTCTTGGGTCTTGGAGTGCTAGGCCGTCGCCGCAGCGACGTCGTCGGCGGCGCTCGAGAGGCTCCCGTCGTCGAGGTCGTCGTCCGAGCCGCCGACCGCCGCCGCGCTGAGGACCGCGGTGAGCTCCGCAATACTCCCGTCGTCGTCGTCCGGATCCTCCTCGTCGTCGGACCCGACGTCGTTCGGCCGGAAGGCCGAGTAGGACCGGGAGGACGCGCCGCGCTGGAGCGTGATTGCGAACGGCAGGATCTTTGACACGACGACGTCGAAGGGGACGGCGACGGCGCCGCGCGCCGTCGCGAGCAGGACCGTCCTGACGATCGCGCGCGGGCCCCGCGGGAAGAGCGAGTGCACGGCCGGCGACCACGGGATCGCGCGCAGGACGAGCGACGAGACGTTGTTGGCCGCCTTCTGCGCGAGGAGGTGGCACACGGGGTCGTACCAGTAGCGCAGCGTCGTCTCGGCGACGGCCACCATGCCGTTGAGGTCCTTCGCGGAGGCGATGGTGACCGCGTCGGCGGCGCGCTCGATATAAAATCTCCGCGCGACGGGAACGCTCCACAGACGCCCCTCCAACGCAAAATGATCCTCACAAATTGCGCCGCCTGCGCCGCCCCACTGGCCCACACCGCGCCGCGATGCGTTAGATGTTGGACGAGATATTGTGACTCAACCTGCCAGCATGACCACTGGCGCCGCGGCCACAAGCAGATCTGCAAGAAAATACACCGCGGTGGCAACGCGGAACAGTATAATGCAGACAAAAAATACAAGGAGGCCGTCGCAGAGGCCGTCGAGGCGTGCGCGGCCGACACGAAGGGCCAGACGTGTTACATCTGCACGCAGGCCCTCCACTGGAAGACGAAGGAGGGCCTCGTGCGCGGGTGTGCGTGCCGCGGGACGGCCGGTTTTGCTCATGTGTCGTGTTTGGCGGAGCAGGCGAAGATATTGGTGGCGGAGGGCGAGGAAAACAATTTGAGTGACAAGGTGATGAATGAGAGGTGGTTGCGGTGGTCCGACTGTAGCCTCTGCAAGCAAAGGCACCACGGCGTCGTGGCGTGCGCGCTCGCCTGGGCGTGTTGGAAAACGTACGTGGGGCGGCCGGAGACGGATGAGGCTCGGAAATTGGCGATGGGGCTGCTTGGGAACGGTCTATTCGATGGAAAACACTACGAGGACGCGTTGTCCGTGCGAGAGGCCGGGTTGTCTATGCTGCGGCGCGTTGGCGTATCAGAAGAGAGAATTCTCGTAACGAAGAGCTGCCTTGCGATTACGTATGCAGAGCTTGGACACCTTGAGAAGGCCCTAAGCATGGAACGAGACATATACTTCGGGCGTTTGAAGCTCGATGGACGAGATAATCAAGAAACCCTCCGAGCAGCCAACAACTACGCGTTGTCCCTTGTTCGTCTCCAACGCTTCGAAGAAGCTAGGTCTCTGCTGCCCAAAACGATACCTGTGGCGCGGCGCGTTCTCGGAGAAGGACATAGACTCACTCTCAAGATGAGGTGGAATTACGCGCAAGCTCTCTACAAGGACGTCGACGCCACGCTCGACGATCTCCGCGAGGCCGTGGCCACGCTCACGGACACGGAACGGATCTCGCGGCGCGTGCTTGGCGGCGCGCATCCGCTCACAGTTGGGATTGAGGACGCCCTAGAAGTGTTGCGAGCAGCCTTCCACGCCCCGTGAGACGTCGCAGCCGATAAGTACCAAATCTGCGGGAAGCGCAAGCAGCCCTCGCTCCTGCACCGAGTAAGTACCAACGTAGATGACTTCCCACCGATGAAATAGATAGTACCGACTTAACTTCGCGCCGGCGATACACTAGGCCCGGAGCTGCCGGATGATCTTGCGCCGCCCGACCCACTGGTCCCAGTCCGACCCGACGGTCAGGTAGTGGAGCCGCACCGCGGCCGACGAATGCAAAGCGACGACCTCGGCGTCGTATTCGTCTGACGAGTCGCCCCAGGGCACCTTGCACTTGGCGCCTACTTTAACAACCAGCTTGGCGCCGTCCGTGCGCGGTCTCAAAGAAGAACACTCGACCAATTCGTCGTACTTGCTGCCGTAGGTGGCGTAGTGGACGCGGCAGAAGCGCGGCGGCTTCGACGGGGAGGCGACGTCGACGACGCGCGCGCGCACTTGCTTCGCGTGGAAGCGCACGGCGACGACGTCGCCGACCGACGGTTCGTAGAGCGAGTCCCTAGGCGATGCGCCGACGTCGCCCTCGACCTTCTGCGATTTTTGCGCTGGAGATGGAACGTTCTTGCGCTGGCCGCCGCCGCCGGCCCACAAACCTAGAGCATCATCTGCATCCGCTAGCAACGCCCTCCAGTCGAACGAATTCACGCTGTCGCCCCGCTGACCCAGGCCTCGCTGGTCGCTCTCCGAGAACTCGCGCACGATGGCTCCTACTAAGTGGCGTAGTTTCAGTAAGCACTCGGCCCGATCGACCGCATCCTCGCGATCCCCAATATCCACGGCATTGTCCAGCGCCGTCATCGCCCCGTGCGCGCCGTTCCAGAGGATCTCCGCCGGTCGGATGCCGGGGCAGTCGCCATCCACCAGAGCGCGCCAGAAGCCCGCCGGGTTCGTCGTGTCGAGGTGGAACCGGTGGTAGCTCAACGCCGGCGTCACATTTCTGACAGCGTGTAAGGTCCCTTCCGGCATGATGAGCACTTCGCCCGGCTTCAGGACGTGGCGCCAGCACCGCACCAACGACAAGATAGGCTCCTCTTCCAATGATGGAGGCGTCTCGTTCGCGAGGAGTTCATCTAACGGAGTCCGCTTACCCCTTTCGACTTCTTGAGCCGAGTCCGAGCACATAGCTCCGACGAGCTCCGCGTCGTCTCTGTGTACGAGAGTTACCTCCTTCCAGCCGACCAACGGCGCTATAATCAAATCAAGACCGCCCGGGTCTACATGTAAACGAGATCTCGTACCGACACCGCCCATAAATAAGTATTGCAAAGCGGAACGGCCCCGGCACCTTTCCAGCCAGTGGTCCAATAGATCGTCGTCCAATCCAGGTAGGTTCTCTGATGGACTTTCAGAGAGCAGCTTGCGGAAGGCCTCGGGCGAAGAAAGGGGAAACTGCCACTGGTGGAGATAGGCCGAGGAATCTTGCGCGCGCCAATGTTTCTCCACAAATTCTGACACGCGCATCGCTTCCCGAATAGGTGCTTGATCCGTGTACGTGGCGTCGTACCTCAAGATGGGCGCCCGCTCGTTCCCGACGTCTCGGACGAACGCGTTGTCATCTAAAGAGCCATCTTCCCGCAGCCACCTTCCAGCGAAGGGCGCGACGTCCCTCGCCTCGACACCAGTCAAGACACAAGGAGTCCCCGCCCGCCGTAACTCCTTGGCCCTTAACGAAGTAGTATCCTTCGTCGCGTCGAGTTGCACGACTTCGCCGAACACGAGAGGTTTCCTTAAACCAAAGTCGCCGCGCGGCGCCGCCGCCGCGGCCGCGCCCGGATCTGCTGAAGGTAAATCGGACATGGCCCCCGTCGGCAATCTACTACGTTTGTGCGAGGGCGTGCCGAACTTGGGCGAGTGGCTCCGCTTCTTCGGTTGTTGTTGTGGTTTTTTCTTTCGTTGGACCGGTACCGCCTCCAAATCGGCCCACGCTCTTACTTCCTCGGGCTTCGCGTCCTCCGTGAAGAAGGCGTCGGCGCCGGGCGCGTCCCAGTTCGGCGCCACATGCCCGAGAATCTCGCGGCAGTGGTACGCGTCGTCAACATGGCCTCTTACCGGAGCGCGCTTGCAAGCGACGCAGACCTTGACGGCGCACCTGTGTGTTCATATGAGTGGGTTTTGGCGCGCTCGACGGCGTATTTGCGCGGGCGAGTTATTCCCTCTCGAGGCCGTCGCGGGATTATTTTTTTTTTTGGCACCGGTTGCGCACGCCTGCGCTATCTCGGCGCACCGGCGCGAGGGTCGCTTCATGGGTGCTACTTGGGCCATGGCGTCGGCGCGCGCGCTTTAGTGGTTCCCGCGCAAGAATGAAACAGTGCCTGGCACTGTGGGCACTGTGGAAGGCAAAACTGGTGCGGCGGCCCTGGAGCGTCGGCGATTGCACGATGAATCGTTGCTGGCCAAATACGAATACGGGAAATGCAAAACTTGCTGCCGCGGGCACGCTATGGCATGTAACCCACGCTCTATTAGTGAGAGCCTGCCATTGCTCTTTGTGAGCTCTAGCGGTTTTTCCGAACCCCAAGCAGTCTCCCGATCCGTCGTGCACGAGCGCGGTCGCGAGCTTGAAAGGGCGAGGCGTCTTTCTGCGGCCCGATTCGCTAGCGGCCTAAGACACTAGCAAGCAGACAGAGGCGGCTTTGTGAGCTGTCTGTACCGCGCGCGGGGCTCTTCTGTCTGCTGATAGGGTCAAATTTAACGGCATCGATCGCTGCTGCAGCGACGCTGCCGACGCGACGCGAAAAGCTGCGGTACACCCTGCTCACAGCATTGATCACTGCTGAGCACGCCGCCGCGCCGACGATAGGGCGACGCGCACAGTTACATACAACAAGCGATGGGCGCGGGAAGCTCCCACCCGTCCTGGGCGCCCGACAGCTTACCAAAAAAGATCCGCAAGCTGCCCGACGAGTACCTGGAGCTGCGGCACCCGAACGGGTCGGTGGTCCACGTCGTCGGCGTGCGCGCCTTCGAGGCAGCAGGGCCGGACATAGTCCGAAAGGTGATTCGTGCGGCGACGCCCGATTCCGTCTTATTACAGCTCTGCGACGAGCGCGTGCCGCCGGTCTGGGAGCTGATTGAGCGAGGCACGAAGCGCGCCGACGGAAGTCTGCGGGACCCGCTCCCCGCGAACCCCTTCGACTGGAATACGGCATCGAGCGATGCAAGATTGCGGAGCTTCCAGTGGTGGTTCGGCGGCGGGCTCGACCTCGAAGGGTTAGCCGCCTTGAACGGCACTTGTTTGGGGGCGGCGCAGGCGTCCGCGGCGCACGAGGCCGCGCGGCTCCAGGCCTCGACGCATTTGATCGACCGCCAGGTGAGCAGCACGCTCCACCGGGTCTATTGCCGGGCTTGGAGGGAGTACGCGTTCTTTTCCGGGAGCAGCTGTGCTGATGAACTCGCGGACGCTTTATCAGTCGTCCTGGCGCCGGTCGACGCCGACAATCTCGACCCGCGGCGCGGCGCCATCGACACGGTTTGTAGGGAGCTGGCCTCAGATGATGATGGAGCACCCTCGGCGACGGCGGCCGCCGCCGCGTTCCGCGCCGCGCGAGAGACGATCGGCGCCGAGCGGTCCGAGATCCTCGCGCACAAGTGCCACGAAGCTTTAAAAACGCTCGGCCCCGGCGGCGTCGCCGTGGCCGTCGTCGGGTCCGAGCACGTCGCGTCCATCGGGCGGCAATTTGGAAAGACGGACCCGAAAAAAATCGAGGAGCTCCTCGCGGGGCCGCCTGTGTCCGATTCATTGATAGCGGTGGCAGCACCTACAATAGCCGTGGGCGCGCCGCTCGCGCTCGGGCAGCGGTTCCTGCCGCCCGTGCCGAAGCGGGCCATGTGGCTGGCCTGGGCCGTGCTGCCGGCGGTCTACGAGATGTACATCGTGCGGCAGCGCTACGACACGTACCGGGGCGTCGCGGCGGTCCAGGAGGCCCTCGAGGGCACGGTCTAAGTCTATCATAGATTCCTACTCGGGCGCGTCGTCCGCGAACGCACGATCGATGTCCTCCTCCTCCGCCTTCGACACCCAGCGTTTCTCAAAAGCAGTATCCAGGTCGTCGTCCTCACCAGAAGTAAAGCCCGGCGGGTCCCGCGTCGCGTAGCTCTGAGTCCCGGCGAGGCGCCCGACCGTCCGCGCGACCCAGCGCGACAGGAGCTCGCCCTCGAAGCCGTACTCGGCGTCGGGGTACGCGAGGGTCCTATCTGACGCCGCCAGCACCAAGGTCCCACTCGCATCGGCCGATACAACACCCTCGGAGACGTAGCGGAACAGCCGAGATAAGTTGGTCGGCGCGCACGGGTATTCGAAAGAGACGTTCTGCGTGTATAACAATCCAGCGCCCTCGTTGGCGAAGACCTGGTGCGCCATCTTCCAGCACCACACTTTGACGTCGTCCTCGCAGCGAAACCGCAGGACCAGCCGATCGCCCGATGACGTCGCCTTTATGATTGGATCCTGTCCTAGTGAAACAGGCCAGCGCTTCCTCTGCTCAGGTGACGAGCGCGGGCCGCTCACTATAGATGAGAGCGCTCTCAGTGTCGCCTCGTCGACGGCTTTACTACGGCCGACCACGGCGATCGGGTCGGACGCGTCCACCTCCAGCATATCTCTCAAAGGCTTCGGCCGGAGCCGCTCGAGCGCTTGCGCCGAGAAGGCCTCCCTGTCCAGCGCGCCCGCGCGGTGCGCCGCTCTTAAATCACTAAGTTGCGCGTTGATCCGCGCGTCGTCCCGCATCAAACGCTCGTAGAGGCCGCCGTCGTCGTCCTCATTTGATTCCATCGGTTCGTCTTTTTGTTTCATCGATGCGACGGCCCGGCGCCAGCCCTCGTCGTTGTCCATCGGGACCGACTGGCCGCAGATGTCGACGCCGTCGTCCCATGGTTGTTGGTCGACGTTGCTGGCCATGTTTTATCGCTTCTCGTCTGCGCGCGCCGGCCGCGTCCCAGCCAAATCGCAATGTGTATGGTGAGAAGGTGGTCTCGCACCCCGCGGCGCAGCAGTTTTCGATCCGCGTCGACAGACAATAATGAGAAGACTATTTCTATGATCTCTGAGCTGCTGACTTGCTCTCCTGTCACGTCGGCGCGTCCGCCTGGCTGCTTGCTAGTGTCTTACCGCCGCTAGCGAGCCTGGCCGGTCTTATTTTGGAGCCTCCACGTCCCGCATTCGTCGGTTTCGTTAACACCGCTTCGACAGGGCCATCGCTGCGCTGTGGGGTAGCTCGCTGGGCAAAAAGTCGGTGCGCGCACGCGTTTTCGCACGCCTTAGAGTGATTCCTTCCTCCTGCGGTTTTTGTCGCGATGTTACGGCTCACAGCGCTGGTTCTAGTCCTGCGCGGCGCGACCGCAAGTGACTGCGACACAGCCACTTATTATGCCTACGTCGACCTGACGCTGACGGGCAGTGCTCTACGCGCTGCGCTGCACGCGCGAATCAAGTCGCCGCACGACGTCATTCCCTACACGTCGTCCGCCACCGACGTCTGGGACGCCCTGAAGGTCATCGACGCAGATCCTGCTAACACGGACAACGTGCTCGGCATTTATTCGCGGCGGTCGATGCCGGACTCGCTGAGCGGCGACAGCGACGGCTGGAACCGCGAGCACTCGTGGCCGAAGTCGTGTGGCGTGGGCTACGAGGGGCCCGACTTCAGCGACCTCCACCACCTGTTCCCGGCCGACTGGTCCGTCAACTCTGCCAGGGGAAACAAAAATTTCGGCGACTGTCTCTCCGACGGCACGCCGACCTGCGAGGCGCCGGCCCATACGGAGGCGCCGGACACGGCGGACGACGTCGATTCGTTCCTGCCGCCGCCGTCGACCAGAGGCGACATCGCCCGCGCCGCGTTCTACATGGTGACGCGCTACGACGGCGGCGAAAAGGACACGGAGGCGCTGCAGCTCGTGGACGGCTGCGGCTGCGCCGAGAGCGGCCGCCTCGCGAGCTACGCCTGGCTGCGCCAGTGGCACATCGATGACCCGGTCGATGACGCTGAGCGTCTACGCAACGCTCAGATCTGCACCGACTACCAAGGGAACCGGAATCCCTACGTAGATTACCCCGAGCTCGTCGCAGCGGTCTTTGACGATGAGGCCGAAGCGCAGATCCGGGCCGACGCGTGCAACGACGATCCGCCCGCGGCGGACGATTTTGATGGCTCCGGCGCCGACCGCGTCGGTGCGGGCGACGTGCTGATCGCTGGGGCCCGCTTCGACAACCCGGACGACCTGGTGATCGTGTTTCTGAAGACATTTCCGAACGGGATCGCGCTGACGATCACGGACAACGGCTGGCTCGAGAGCGGTAACTGGCGCGACAACGAGGGCACGCTGTCCCTGAGCCTTCCAAGCGTCGCTGCGGGCCAGACGGTGACGCTGGCGGACATGGACTCCGTCTCGGGAAGCTTTGCCCTCTCGGCGAGCGGAGATCAGATATTTGTCGTCGACAACGGCGAGGCCGTGGCGGGCTTGCACACCGGCGGCGGCTGGTCGGACGCCACCGATTCGTCGACTTCGGCATTACCTCCTGGCCTCGAGGACGCCTCGATCACGTTCGAGGAGACCCCGGACGCCTATTGCTACGACGGGCTGCGGTCGGGGACCCAAAAAGAGCTACGCGACGCGCTCACGGACGCTTCCCAGTGGACGGAGTGCTCCGCCCTGGACGCCTCGCCGTTCTTCGTCAGCGATGCGGCAGGCGGCCTCAACGGGACATCTACGGGCGCGTTGACGTCCGCTGCGGCCGCGGGATTCGTCGGGGCCGCGGCGGTCGTGGCTTTGTGGTGAGTGCTCTTGTGTAAGTGATCTGTTCAAGCATTCGCTAGTGCCTCGCTCCGCTAAGGATTAGACCGCAGTTTATTTTTTGCCGTCGGCGTTTTGCGGCCCCCGCTGCGCGCGCGGCCTTACCAAGCCTCTCAGCAGTGACAAACATCACAGCCACCGCGGCCAGCCACAGAGAGCCGGGACTAATGGCGTCCCTCGTCAGCTCTGCCCCTGAAACCGATAAGCCGTCTCCGGCGCCCGCGAAGCCGTCGCCGCGCCGCACGAGCAACATGAGCCAAGCCTCCGCGGTGTCGTCGCGCCAGTCCTTCGCCAGCGAGTATTCCTATCACGAGAGCGAGGGCGAAACGCCGCTCAAACCGTGCTATGACGAAGCTGATGCATTAGCCGCGGCGCTGAAGGAGTCCGAGCAGGAGGAGGCGTTCGACCGCATCGCGAAGCAGCTCGAGCAGTCGAAGATCGAGGAAGAAGGCGAGGCCGAGGAAGCGCCGGCGGACGACGTCGCGTCCGAGGCCGGCAGCGACGCCGCCGAGCCGATCCCGTCGCGGGCGGCGCTCGCCGCGGTCCAGAACCTGTCGGCGCCCACACCGACCAAGAAACAGGGCAAGACGGCCACCTGCCTCCACGGCAACGGCCCCGAGTGCGGGAGCTGCGCGGAGATCTTCGCGGCGCCGCCGTCACCGCTCAACTGAGCGAGTCCACAAGGGATTAATTCAAAAACTCACTTACTAACTTTCGCCCCAGACCTCCTCGGGCGGGTCCGCCGGAGGTTGTACCGGCGGCGGAACGGGCCGCTCCGTGAAGGGCTCGCCCTTGAGCAGCGCCTGGATGTCCGGGTCGCTCGCGTAGTTCTCAAACCGACTTCTGTGAGACGGGTCCAGTTCCAATTCCCGTCTAAATAGTTCGAGCGCCCGCGGCCGGTTCTCCCGGCCGAGCTCCAAATTGCCCCAGTTTTGGTAGGCCTCGACGCATGCCGGATCTAATTCAACAGCCCGTTCATACGCTTCCACAGCAGGCGCCAGTTTCCCCGCTCCCCTCCGCGCGAGGCCGAACTGGACCCAAAGCTCGGGATCCCGAGGTAGTGCTTTTTTAACTCTCAGCAAATTCCGCGTCGCCTTCTTGAAGTCGCCTCCTCTCGTATGCCATTTGGCGGCTTCAAAGAGTTGTAAAACACCATCATGAGACCCCCGCCCAAAAACGTCCGCGCGCTGCTCGTAGCAGCCCGCTATACTAGAAGGTACGGGCCGCGGCCGCAGCGCCAACAGCCCGCAGGGCTCCGGTTCCAAACCGGCGTCGACGGCGGCCTCATAGGCCTTCGTCGCGTCCGTCTCGCGGAACCAGGGCTCATCCGTTGGAGCCGTCCGGAGCGCGTCGCCCAACTGGGCCCAACTCACGGCGTCGTCGGGCGATGATCTAGTCGCCGCGCGTAATAACGCGAGCTCATTTGAATAAGGTTGGGCACGCACATGGTTCCGTAGCGCTTGGAGGCCCGCGCAGCAGACCGACAGCGCGACGCAGCAGTCTCCAGCCAATTTCGCGAGGCCGCTCGGTTTTTGATGGATACCGTTCTTGCGCTTCTTGGACGGTGTCGCGTGGTCGTCGCTCGAGGACGACGAATAATCCTCGTCGAGCTCCTGGTGGGGTGCAATCGCGGGCCCGCGGCCTCTGCAAAAAGCGACGCCGATCGACAGGAGGCAGGCCGCCACGATGGATGGCAGGTAGGCGACTCTATCGGAAACCACTGAAGACGCGCAGGCCGTTGAACATACGGCGATGGACAGCGAGAACGCCATCATGAAGCGCAGGGCAATTTTTATGGTATGATGCTTCCGCAAGAGCACAAAAAGAGTAACCAAACAGGAAAAGGCCAGGGCATACACCGTCCTTTCCAAAGCTAATGACGGATGCGCCAGCTGCGCGCGGTCGAAGAGCGCGGGGCGTAAAGCAATGGGATTTTCGGGCGGGATCACGAAGGAAGATGCGTACCATGCTAGGGACGCGAGGCCGTCCCGGACCGAAGCGTACCACTCGCGGGGCGGCAAGGATACGGGTAGCGGCGCTCGGGCCTGCGCGTCGTAGACGCGCGACCCGTCGATGCCCAGAAACAGCCACGCGCCCAGACAGGCCGCCAGCATTGAGGGGGCGAGGTCATTACTGTGAATTGCCATCATTAGAAATGGTGAGGCCGCCGCTGCGGCGTGCGCGGCGCACGCGACGAGTGTGAACAACGCGCCTCCAACAGAATCCCCGTCGATATGCCTCTTGACGGCCTCGAGCACGAAGACCGTCGCTAGTAACAACGATCTAGCCCCCGTCCAGCTCACGGCCTCGGCATGTAAAGGGTGCGCGCAGATCGTCAGGCCAACACCAGCTAAAGAAGCCGCGTGGTCTTGCGTAATAGCAAGCGCCACGTCAAAGGCGCGCCAGGCGACGCGGCCGTGGAGCAGCACATTGATCAGACGTTTTGTGATGGTGGACGAGCCCTTTAACAACAGTGAAAGGACACAGCTCGCCGGTCTTCTGCAACCACCACCGTCCACACCAAAAGCGCAGGTCCTCAATGCTTCAATCAAACTCTCCTCGGAGTCGTAGTCCGGGTCCAGCACGTCTCGTAGATCTCCATCTAACAAAGAAGGCAGGTGCGCGACTAACGCTAATGAAACGGCCGCCGCCCGGCACAGCGTCGCCTGATCCAACCCCTCGAGGAGCTTCTTCTTTGATTGGGGCTTGGGCGTTGAAGCGGGCGCCCGGCCGTTCTTCGGCGGCGTGCGCATGGCTTCAGCTATAGGCTGCTGGCAATGGCAGGCTGCCCTTGTCACTTTTTTGTGGCAGGCTGCCCTTCTCAACGACTTCGTCGGGAGCCGACGCAGTCCTTTCTTCTTCGCGTTCGTCGAGGCTTCCGCGATCAAGATTCCCTTGTGCTATGTGCGGCGTGCAGCCCTCGACAAAAAAATTGGACAGAGGGGGGTCGAGGAGCTTGGGGGGCTGGGGCCGTGTCTGCGGGTCAGGGCATGCTCTCTGGCTCACGATACTACGTCGTGGCACGTTCTGGGACTCCCGCGCACTAGGTAAGGTACTAGGCCTATGGGCGCCTGGGCTTGGGGCTGGGGCAAAAAGCAGGCTGGATTGGGCCGGGGTGGCGCTCCTGTGTAGATTCCTGAATACCACTGCTATATTTTTCGACTGTGGTTCGCGAGTTACGATCGGTTTCGCTGCGGACGCTCGAAAACTGCTCTCTAAACAGCACGCTCTCCCTGACTGCAGCGGTACGCCGCCGCCGCGAAAAAAAAACCGATGGCCGACGACGCCACGCGCACCTCGACCACCTCGCTCGAGGACGACGACGACCAGCGCTACTTGGATGACGCCGCCTGGGCGCGCCGCGAGGAGGGCTACCGCCAGCAGATCAAGGCGCTGGAAGAACAGCACAAGACGCTGAAGAACGCCTGGTCCGACATCGTGCGCACGAACCTGCTCAAGGTCGACGAGCTCAAGAAGGAGCTCGAGACGAAGCGCGCAAAGCGCGACAGCGTGCGCGACGCGCTCGCGGCGGCGCGGTCGACGGGCGCGGCGACGCACGATCGATTGGTTGCGGAGCTGTGCTCCGCGAAGGTCGAGGTCGCGGAGCTGAACGAGCGGCGGGACCGGGCGCGGAAGAAACTCGGCGAGGAGGCAAGGACTCTTGTGGGATTGTAAGTATGCCAGTGTTGTCACATTTACACATCAGCTCCCTGAGGAGTCGTACTCCTCGACCTCCTCGTCGTCAGCCACAATAAAATCGTCAAGGTCGTCCGCAGCGGCGGCAGCGCGGCGGCGCTTCTTCTTCGGAGGCCTCGCGGCGCGCCGCCGCCGCACCTCGCCCGCGTCCCAGACGTGCCTTGCGACGCAGTGCGCCACGAGGAGCTCGCGCGTCGTGGCCGTCGCGCCGCACACTGGACACGACGACGCGTCCCCCAGCAGCTTCTCCGCCGCCGCGAGATCCGCGTCAGACTCGGAGCCGGCGCCGTCCTCGGACGCGTCTTCGTCGGCGACGCGCCCCGCCGCCGGCTCGCCGGGCTCGGGGTCGGCGACGCGCCCGACGGGCCGCGCCGCCGGCGGCTGCTCGCCGCAGGCCCGCGCCACGAAGCGCGCCGGCTCGTCGACGATGCGCTCCAGGGCGTCCAGGGGCATGGCCGCGAGCGCGCGCTCGACGCGGCGCGGCCGGTAGTCCTTGTTCGCGACGTCGTCCGGCGTGATCGGCGCCGGTGGTGCCGCGTCCGCCACTGGTGCCGCCTCATCGTCCGGGTAGTTACAAACGTCGCAGCACGCGACGGCCGCGGGCACGCAGCGCGTGCACCGCGGGCACCACCACGCGCCGCACGCGACGCAGGCGCTCGCGTCGGCCGCGTTCTCGAGCGTGCAGTGGGCGCAGGCCTTGACGGCGGCGTCGGTGGGCGGTGCGTTGCGCGTTCCGAGCTGCGCGCCGCACATCTCGCACGCGGTCGCGTCGTCGGCGTTGATAAAGGTACATGCTGGGCAGGCGGCCATTTCTTCTACTGACGATCGCTAGCCGCCGCGCCGCAAATCAGCAGAGAGACTGTCTCAGGCTCTGGCGTCTCTGGCGTCGCGTGCGAGCTACTATTTATGCGCGGGCCGTCTCCAGCGCTTCATTGCATCCCAATTGATCGCACCAGGCCAGTTTTGTACATCTGTGCGGGCCTGAGCCGACATCGGTTTTTGGCTTTAGGCCCGTTGCTGCTAGCGTCGTATAGGTGCTAGCGCAGATTGGCTCTCAGGCGCTAACTTTTGGGCAGGCGTCACGCGGGACCTAGGCTGCCGCTGATGGTATAAAGTCGTAGTTGTGCATAAAAAAGGCTGTGAGAACGATGCAGGAGTCGAGCAGCGCCACACGAGGCGCCGGCTCTCCCTCCAAGGTCGGCCAACACCCCCGCAGCAGAGTCAAACAATTTGCGCCGCACACGATACACGACGTCGGTCGCGGCTACGCGGAGGACGTCGAGCTCTTCGTCGACGCGCTGCTCGCGAACGTCACGTTCCGCCAGGTGCTGCTGAACAACTACGACGTCAATAGCACCGTGCTCGACGTCGCGGGCGGCGACGGCGCGCTCTCGCGCGAACTCGCGAAGCGCGGCGTGAAGGGATTAATTGTTGTCGACCCACTCGGCCTGACGGCGACGGGCGACGACGATGCTGCCTTCGACGTCGCCGTGGCAAGATTCCGCCTGCCGCAGCACGCGCACGACGGCGACGCGTGGCTCCAGGCGACGACGACGACGACAATACAGGGTCGAGATCTGAACACCGTCATTGGTAGGGCGCGGTGCGTTTTGGGATATCGGCCCTGCGGCGCGACGAAGGACGTCGTCGAGTTCGCCAGAAGGCGGCGGCTGCCTTTTGCGGTGGTGCCGTGCTGCAAGATCGCGCCGTGGAAGAGCCTCCCTTCCACATTGGCGGGCCTGCGGAACAATCACCGCTCGATCACGCTCGGACGCCTCGCGACCGACACGCGGTGGCTGTACTGCGCGCGCTGGGAGGGCGCCCAGGACGCGACGTCCTGGGTCGGCGCGTCGCCGGCGTATCTTGGGAGGCAGGTCGAGTCGCCGGGGAGGAAAGCAAGACCGTTCCATTTCGACCCGTTCCTCGACACCATGCGGCGGGAGCTGCCGGCCTCCCCCGAGCGGAGCGTCTCGGAGGCCGCCTCGCCCGAGCGCAGCAGCTTCGAGACGACCAATAGGGAAGTGGAGGCCGCGGAGGCGGAGTTCATCGGATCCCCCGTCGTGAAGTTTAAGTAGGGATAGATTTTACCCACCCGGCCCGTCCCTAAACGTAAAAGACATGCTGCAGTTGCGCGGGTCGTTCTGCTTGTCCCAGACGCCGCTCCGGTCGATGTTCGGTGGGGGCTCCTTGCGCTCCGAACGGAACCGGGCCTTTCCCTCCCGGAGGGGGCGGGGACCCGTCGTCGCCCAGGCCGTCGCCAGTAGAACTCCTGCCGTTCCGGGCCGGGCCGCGGCGCGCGCTTTCTGCGACGCGTAAAAATGTCCGTGCGGCGGCGCGCGAAGGAACGGGTCCTTCGCATAAGTCTCCGTGAAGCCGTCGCCGGAGGTCCGCGGCGCGCGCGGCCCGCGGCCGCGCGGCGGCTTCCACGCGGGCACGGCCCCCCGCTGTGTAGCCAACGCCTGGCGGCGTTTCGTGTGGACGCGCTCGACCAGCACGCCGGCCTGCAGGCGCCGCGTCGCCGCGTCGCGCGCGCGGTCCACGAGGCGCCGCGTCCGCGCCGGCCAGCTGCCCTTGGATAAGCCCGGCCGCCGCCACCAGTCGAGCGCCCGGCCGCCCCCGCCCGTCGGTCGCCCGCCGCCCATCCCCGCCTCAGCGTCCTCGGCCTCCTCCTCGGCGGCCTCGGGCCACAGGCGCTCGTCGGCGACGGCGTCCTCCGTCATGCTCCGTTTCAGCCTCAACCGGTTCTGGGTCGGCGTCGTCGGCCGTCGAGCGCACGCGTCCCCGGCGCCACACTCGCGCGACGGCGGGCGCGACGTGATTTCAGGGCGGTCTACGGATGGCCAGTTCGCGAGCGCCGGCACGGGCTTCCCTTTTTCAATCGCCGCGAGCTCGTGCGCGAGTTCCGCCTGGATCCTATCTTCAATCGCCATGGTCGCGGGCAGCTCCAAAGGTGGAGGCGGCGGCCGCTCTTCCAAGGTTGCGTCGATCGTGCGTCTTCTATAGTGCGCCTGCGCCCACAATGCCACTGTCATTGTAGGGTCGCCCGCCGCCGCGAAGAAGTCCTTGTCTCCATCAAAATACAACATGCGGAACATGTCCCGATCCAACGCCGGCTCCGGGTCCCAGATGTCCAAAGAATGTTGGCCGTCGTGCGGCCCCCGCCAGTCCGACTGCTGCTTCGAGCCGTCGTCGCCGCGCCGGACGATCGTTTTCACGATGTGCTCGAGCTTCTCGTCGTCGACCTCTAGACCGCAGCAGTGGGCCAGCGAGTCCCGTATTGACTCAAAGGACGCCGTGGTTCTTCCAGAATCGCACAATGCATCGAAAAACCGGTCGCACTCTCTTAGTGATGCCGCGTCGACAAAGTCCGTGTCGACGCGGTCGACCGAACGACCTCCATTAGACAACCACTTGCGCACGATCTTGTTCCTTATCCGAAGGCGCTGGTTTGATGAAGGCCCGTCCTTCGGAGTGACGACGCGCGCTCGTAATGTAGTTGCTTTGTGGAACCCGTACGTGAGAGCGCCGCGGTTGCGCGTCTCGCCCGTCGCATGCAAGGCGACGGCGCCGGTCGGTCCGATCCACGTCTGTTGGGCACGTTTGCGTATTTCGTAGGACAAACCCGTCGTCGGCCGGGCGTGGGGCTGGGCCGGCACCTTAGGTGCGATGTAGATGTGGGAGGGGCGGCGCTTGATGTTGTCTGTGGGGAGCTGGACGGTGTGACTGCCGACCCTTTGGGCTCCCATGATGCTGCTGTTGGTGTGCAGCCCCTCGTGGATCGTTGTGCAGGGGCTGCGTTGCGAGAGAGCAAGGGATCTAGCAAGAGACACTAGCTTTTGTGCGGCTCTCGCGCGGAGCCCTGAGTAGGCCTCGCAGAGTGGTGCTCACGCGTGGAAAATCGGACGAAATCAGTTCGCGCCCTGCTCACCACGAAAATTTTGAACTCGACCTCGCGCGGGACGCCGCCCACTAGTCCTAGCCCCGTAACAGTAGAGTACTGTCCTCCCCCCTCACGCCGTCGACGCGAATGCACCATAACTGGACGAGAACGGCTTACCCCGGCGGGCGACCTACGCGTCTAGAAGAGGAACCGCACGGCCACGGCCGTGAAGGCCGTAGCTAAAATAGCGGGCTTGGCCACGCCCGCGAAGTAGATCAAAGCGGACGCCTCGCCCAGCGAGTCGACCGTGTACGGCGCCCGCCACAGCCCGCCGTGCACGCTTTCGGAAGAGAACAGCTTCAGGGCGTTGTCGACGCCGAACTTGCGACGATTCGTCGGATTCTTCGGGCCCTTGCCGTTCATGACGTCGTGGACGAGCACCGCGCTCATCACGGCGTTCGTCGTCTCCTGCTTGAAGATCTCGAAGCCGAACGAAGGCATGCCGCCGTAGGCCCACGCAAACGTCTTGTTGTGGATGACGGAGATCGTGGCCGTCGACGGCGCGACCATCGTCGACGCGACGTGTCCGCTTTCATACGCGCTTACCGCGCGCCAGTGCTGCATGCGCTTCGCTAACGCATAGTTCGGGCCCTGGGCTACGGATAAGCCGTCGACCATGTGACACTCTCCATTCTCCGTCTCGACGGGTTTTTCCACGTTGGGTCTTAGCTTGCTTCCCATCGTTAATAAGTTGAAGAGCTTCTCCAATCCGAAAGATTTCAACAATCTAGAATCGAAGCTGTCGGAAGCCGCTTGAGCCACTTCTTCCGGAACTAAGTGGGCGTCCGTAGGGGTGCACAAGAAAGCACAAGCGGCCGGCTTGTCTAAGCGGGAGGAAGCATCGAGCACCGTCTGGATGAGGTAGTCGGCACATAACGCGAGCTTCACGTGTAGAGCCCCATCCAAGTACGTGTAATTGCCAATACAAACGCGCGCCTTCTTCGGCAACGTTTGCACCCAGTCTTTTAACCAATCACCAATCTCGCGCGGCTCCATCATGAGGTCGCAGCCCGCGACCTCCGCTAGGGCGTCCCTATCTCTGGCTGTGGCCCTTGAACTAGCGTCGACGGGGACCGTTAATGAGCCGCCACCTTTGTCGGCCAGCGCGAACAGCCGCTTCCACAAACCAGACGCCGGGCGCTTGCCCCCTTTGCCCCAGGAGCCAGGAATGTCAATCGCAACCACGTTGGCCCCCAACTCGAGTAGCTTGGCGCAGGGGCCCATCGCCGAACCAGCTCCAATGAGCACAAAATGAGCGTCGGCCAGGGACTCTTTCTGCACGTAATCGGCCGTCCACTGCACGGCGTCGGCGGCGTCGCGCTCGATGATGCCCGTCGAGGCCCACTTGTCGAGCTGCTTCGTGAGTGCCGCGCCTTTCAATGAAGACGTAGGCGGCTTCGGCGCCGACGGGTGCCAGCCGCCGTCATAAGGTACTTCATACGAAGAAGAAGATTTACCGTTACCTTGGACCTTGACCGACTTCAAGCTTCTACCAGTGACCGTGGACGTACCGTTCATGGCATCACCAAACGGTGTGAAAACACCATCTTTATCGACGAACTCGAAGTTCGCATACATGTAGTCGAGACCTTTTTGGGCCGATCCTATAGCTGCTTGGGGAGAATAAGCGCCCTGCCTGACGAGCTCCTTCACATGTCTAGCGTAACCGAAGCGATAACTTTTTTCGGTCGCACAAGCTTTCGCTGCTTTGGCAGCTCTAGGACCACATCCCTCAATAGCCGCGGCGATGGCCGCGCGGTTCGGCGCCGTCGTAGATCTAGTGCCCTTCTTGTCCTGGGGGAAGGCGCAGCCGCGCTCGGGCTTGGGCGGCGGCGCGAAGCGCTTCTTGAAGGCGTTCTTCCTATTGCCGACCATGTTCATATACATAAAAGGGCCGCCCGGCACGTACAAGTACATGATGAAGCGGATGATGGCGTGGTAGGCTGTTAATGAAGGTTGTTGCAAGGCGACGTAGGCCGTGCCTAATTCTCCAGCAATACCAGTAGGATATAGGATCGCAAAGGCCGAGTACCGCGCGTAGAAGATCGGGTACGGGATGACCTTCATCAACAAAGCAGCGAGGTAGAAGGAGTACCTTATTACTTCAACTGCGGCCCAGGAGATGACCATCATCCCTGTCCACGAAGAAGTGCCATCACCAAAAGCGGGGCAGAGCATGACCCACAGCCGCGACGTGACCTGCATCGCCGTCACGAAGACCGGTGAACGCACAAATCCTAAACCGGCGTGGAAGATCTCCAGCGTCATCGCCGACTGCACGATCAGTACCGTGGGGCCGGCGACGGCCCAGACGCCTTCTAATGAGGGCCAGACGTCACCGCTCAGCACCGTGAGTCCTTGGTACAAGGCGTAGGCCCAGCCGACGAGGCACGACGCGTTGTAGAGGACGAGGTAGGCCTGGATCGCCTTCGCCATGGTCGTGTCGCTTTGTCACTTTCAGAGAGCTGCTTGGATCGTGCCTCTGGTCTTGGCGAGATCCGCGCAAGGGCTTGCAAGGCGCTTCCTGTAGTGCTGCGTACGATCAATGAGATCGCTTTGCGCACGTCGTCTGCAGTACCGGGTGCAACTGGCTGGTGTTTGCAGCCACAATCGCACACGCATCAATCGACTTTATTTTTTTTGGCTAGCGGCCGGTAAAGATACTAGCAATCAAAAAACTTACACAGAACACAGCTAATAGGCGTAGCTCGCCGCCACCGCACTTCTCGGCGCCCCACGCGCTACAGCGAGCTTCTCCCGCGTCTCCTTCAGGCAGTTCTGGCGCTTCACGACGACGGGGTGCTCCTCGCCGAAGACGCGCCGCGACACGACGCACAGCTCGTCGAACGTCGCCTCGGCCTCCAGTAGATCTAACAGAGACGCTCCAGGGTTCTTGTAGAGGCCGTAGGCGAGCGTGCTTCGGAACGAGAGGAAGATGCCGCCCTCCCGCGGCAGCACTCGCGCAGCGATGGCCAACGTCGCACGCATGATTTTTGAGGCCTCCTCGTAGCCGCCGAGGCCCTCGATCAGCGTCCACGCGACTTTCGTGTGGCACATGAGCGTCCGTTCGTGCGACGCGCCGCGGAGCTGCATCTGCCGCGCGTAGAGGTCGCGCCAGATCTCGAGCGCGTCCGCGAAGCGATCGACCTCCTCGTAGGACTGCGCCAAGTCGCCGCGGACCACGATGCGGCTCGACTCGTCCTCCCAGTGCCGGACGATCTCCCACGCGCCTTCCCTAATCGCCAGCGCCTCGTCGTGCCGCTTGTCCAGATCCAGGAACCGCGCCAAGAGACCCATCGCACTGAGAAGTACGCCGTCGTGGCGCGCGCGCGACGAGTACGACGCCAAACAAGCCCACGCGATCGCCGTGCCGACGGGCCCGTAGAAGGACTGGTCGCACAGCCGGCAGTTATTCCACCTGACAAACACGTTGTCGTTCTCTGTTGATTGCATGCCCTTGGCGAGGTTGTCCCCGAAATGTAAATGTGCTTGCCGCGCGAGACACGACACGTGCACGAAGCCGTTGTCTCCCCTACAGGCGCAGCCCCTTACTAAGCCCTCCGCACTTTCATCATCTAGACAAATGTAGCACACCTGGCCCTCCGTTTGTTTCAGGCATTTTTCCACCGCGAACGCCGCCGCTTCCACCATTCTCCGGTCCGTGTCCTCGATCTTATCTTCATCAGCGTACGTCGCCAGCTCCTTGACGCGCGCGTCGAGCAGGTGCCGCCGCAACGGTCGCGGCATGGCCCTGATATCGTCGAAATCCAGCGTACTATTCCTTCTCACAAAATCCTCGATGGCCTCGGCCGGATTCGCACCGTCGACAGACGGCGCCGCCGCCATGGCCAGGGCTCGTTCCTCGGGCGTGAGCGCCACCACCGCCCGCCACTTGAGGACGCACTCCATGCCGGCCGCAATTTCTAAGTCGTCGTCGCGGTTCGCCTTGACGGTTTTCAGGAGCTCGGCGAACTGTTTCGCGTTGGCATTTCGTTGTGCGAGGGCGGCGGCGTCCGCGGCCGCGGCGGCGGCGGCGACGTCCGATGCGTCCGGCGTCGCGCCGTTCCGGACCGACACCAATACCGCTTGGATGACAGTTTGCGCCGCAGCCTTGGCCGCTTCTGTAGCGTGGCATGCGCCGGCGGGCAGGAACTCGGAGCTGCCCTGCAGCTCGTCCTCAGCGGCTGCAGCCAAGTCTGCGCTACCATCTGATGCGGCAGATGTCGTCGCGTCGCCCGACGCCATAGAAGCGCGCCGCAGGCCCTTAAATTCCATCGATACGATGCCAAGGGCTTGGTATTCGACCAATTTGCCTAGCACAACAAGCGCAGCAATTCAGACTAATTCGCTAGCGTGATCGACATACTAGCTGTGCAGCTCTCAGCAGGAAACGAATAGGACGCACGACGCCGCCGCTGCGTGGCACCAGAAAATACAGGGTCAAACTTATAGGGGTGGGCGGGGAAGGGGTCTCCTACGCCGACGTCTTCTGCTTCTTGGCCGCGCTCCCCTCGACGCGGCACGCCTCGAAGCCCCGCTCCAGCTCCTCCTTGTCGAGGTTCTTGCCGATGAACATGAGCTTGCAGCACCTTTCTTCATCCCCCCAGGGGTCCGTGTAGGCGCCGCTAAAGATCATGTGCACCGCATGATAAACGTACTTGTTCGGGTCCCCGTAGATGGCGATGACGCCCTTCATTCGATATATATCGACTCCTTTCTCCGTGACGATGGGCTCGAGCCAGGCGTTGAACTTGCCGAGGTCGACCTCGCCGTCGACTGTAATTCCCACCGAAGTTACTGTCGCGTCGTGCTCGTGCTCGCCCTCGGTGTTGAGGAACTCGGGGTCCATCTCTAGGGTCTTTTCGAGGTCGAAGGCCTTGATGTTCAGGACTTGGTCTGCCGAAACTTTCGCTTGCGTAGAACGAACAATCGGCGCGAACTTGTTGATGGCCCTTAATCTATCTTCGACCTTCTTGAGTTCCGCTTCTTCAGGTACTAAATCACATTTATTGAGGATCAACCGATCGGCGAAGGCTACTTGTTCCACCGCTTCGTTCTCGGCACCCTCGGGCTTCTCATCGTCGAGGTGCTGCACGACGTGCTTCGCGTCGACCAACGTGATGATGCCATCGAGCGTGCAGAACTCCTTGACGTCGTCGTCCACAAAAAACGTCTGCGCGACGGGCGCCGGATCGGCTAATCCAGTGGTCTCAATCACGATGGCATCTAACTTGAGGCCCTTCTCGCTTCGTTTAGCCAGCTTCTTCAACACTTCCACCAGATCCTGGCGCACGGTGCAGCAGATGCAGCCGTTCATCATCTCGATGACGTCTTCTTCAGTATCCGTCTTGAGCTTCGGTTTTATGAGGGCGTCATCAATACCAACTTCGCCGAACTCGTTCTCAATCACCGCAATCTTCTTGCCATGTTGGGCGGTCAAGATGTGGTTCAGCAGCGTCGTCTTGCCCGAGCCGAGGAAGCCGGTCAAGATTGTTACTGGTACTTTGTCTTTCGCCATTTTGCTGTTCGTTTCGATGCTGTCGTCGACTCTGAGGAGTGCTTTGGTCTAGCTCGTCGCGTACGACGAGGATGGCTGTATGTGTATGGATTACACAGCACTTGCTGGACGCGTTTCCCGGCGTTCCTGGCTCGCTGAGTTGCGGTGAGGCGTGCTGACGAACGGCTGAGCGTTGCCAACTGTGTGTGCGTGCACTAGGTGGCGCGTATAGTTGCAATAATCGCGGCGAGCGCCAAGGCCTTGACAGGCCTCTAAGGAACTGGTCACACGTGGATCGTCAAACAGAAGCAGGAAGCACGACAGTGCCTCACTCTGCTGCCAAAAAGGCCACAAAAGGCGATATTGGTGCCGCGGCGTCGGAGCGCGACGCAAAATTAGCACAGCCAGCACTGCTCTGCAGGCCAGCACCGCGCGCGCACGCCGTCAAGACGCTAGAAAATGGCCAGCCAACCCCAGCGCAGCCGCAGCCGCAGCCGGGACGACTCCGACGCCGACCCGCCGAGACGAGACCCCGAGCGCGAGCAGCTCGAGCGGGACTTGGACGATCTCGAGCGGTGGAAGGAGACGGGCGAGCTGCCGCCGGGCTATGATTCGCGGGAACAGCTCGAGAGGGACCTCGCGGATTTATCGAGATTGAACGACCAGCGGGAGCTGCCGCCCGGGTATAGCTACCTGCCGCCGCGGCCGCCGCCCCCCCCCAGACGGTTTCAAAGATCAGACAGGGTCGTGTGCTCGCTCGGAGGCGGCTTCGGGTGGCTGCCGGGCGCCGTCCAAAGTGTGAATGAGCCGAACCCGCAGGATCCTACCGAACTCTTTCCGTACGTCGTCAAGCTCGACCCGCCACTGGGCAAGTTGATATCGGTGCCGGAAGACCGGAAGAACTTTTGTAGAAGCGAAATCTGCTTCGACGGCGACGTGCCGGGCGGGGCGCAGTTCTCGATCGCGTGCCTTACCCGTGTGGCAATCAAATTTACGCGACGCCTGCTCGATGGCATTGATTTCCACACAGGTGCCTACCTCTCAACCCCACGAAGAAGCGGCGCTTCGCCGTCGGCGATAAGGTGTGCGTTGCGGTGGAGGACCCTGAAGATGTCCACACGGACTGGGCCGCCGGTGAGGTCGTACAGGTGGATGTTGATGTCGGCGCCGCGTCGAAGATGCCGTACCGCGTCCGGCTCGACGACACCGGTGGGAGGTCGGTCCTCGTGCATCGGGAGGAGCACCGCTTCATCCGCTCGCGCGACCTCCAGGCCCCGGGCCCGCGCACCGGCGCGACGCGCGTCCTCGACAAGTTCGTAACGAGGCAGAAGAAAGACGGCTCCTGGGAGAAGGTCGACCACGAAACGTTGAAAGTCCGCGCCTGCGCTGACCCCAACGCCGACGAGGGCGACTACTGAGCTCTGGCTAAGAATATACATATTACGTGAACCCGTCGTTGGGCGCCTGGAGCGGCTCGTACTCCTCGGGCACGGTCGCGACCTCCTTGCCGAGGAGGTGCCAGACGCCTGAGAGCCGGTCGAAGTCGCTTTCATGCGTGCGCTTTAGAGCGTTGGGGTCCTCGAGGTATAAGACGAGCGCGGCCTTTCCCGCGGCCTCGACCTGTGTGGATCAAATTTCAGGCGCCCCACGCCATCGACGCGACGGTGTCCCCGGAACTGCATCTGCTCGATGGCGTGGAGGTCGACGAAGATAGCCTACTCACTGGTTGATTTCCACACAGGCCTCGACGATCGCGAAGGCCGTCGCCGCGACGCAGTAGCCGCCGGCGCCCGCGAGGACGGCGATGACGGCCGACGTCGAGGAGATGCCTTCCTCCAGCTCCGTACTGTCGTCCCCCAGTCCGACGGCGAAGGCCGCCGTGACGGCGCCGACGCTGATGCTCGACAAGGCTACCACAGATTCTGAATAGAAGTCGGCGCCAGCCGCAATACATCCTTGACTCCCAAAGACCGCCACGATCTGCCGGCTCGCGTACGCATATGAGGCGCCGCGCATGCCGACGAGGACCTGCGCGTGGGACGCGTCGCGTCGATGGCGTGGAGGTGGCGTGAGGACGCCGGGGAAGCACAAACGCAAATTTGTTAAAGTAGTCGAGTATACTTTCGCAGCACTGTAAGACTGTCGTCACGCAACACAAGCAACCAGAGAGTACGGAGCTCACCGCGCCGCTCTCGGCCCGCGCACTCATTCGCTTCATCGAATTGATCGACGTCGCGATCGATTCGATCGGCGCGACCACTAACGCCCCGAAGCAGATCGCGCCGTAGTGATACGTCACGGCCCGACAAAACGCGGAAAGCGGCGCCACGTCCTTCCCGAACCACCAGCTGTTCGCCGTCGACGCGGTCGCGGCCGTTATGACATACTTGAGCACCTGAGAAGCCCAAAAGAAGCACGCCGCGAACGCGAGGCAGACGAGGAACAGCGCCGTGTCCCAATCATCGTCGTCGCTCTTCTGGACCTCGAAGGCGTAGTAGCCGAAGGCCGCCACCGAAAAAGTACCGAAGAGCAGCGTAGCCACGACCGTCAGAAAAAACGCGCCACCCTCGAGGCCGACGGCCGCCTCACAGCCCATTTCGGGATATTCCAAGGCCGCGTCGCAGCCGACCGCCACGGTTGCCGCCGCAAACTCCGAGCGATCGCTCCGGCCGAACACCTGGAACGCGCCCCCCACGAGGAACACTGCTAATAAACCGCAGCCCGTCCAAGGCCCGACGAAGATAAACGCGAGCACCGAGCCCGCCAGCGTGAGGGCGTTGGACGCGCCGAGCAGCACGTCCAGTGCGCTAGTTCCGGACCGCAGCGCGATCGACGCTACGAGCTGGCTCACGACGGCCGCGGACGCGTAGCACGCGATCAGCAACGAGAACAGATTTCCGGCGGCATCCTCGCTTGCCAAATCATCGAAATCTACCCGCCCTGCATACTGGTAGTAGAAGGCCGCGTAGATCATGGCAACGACCATCGCGGAGAAGGCGATAGCAAACAGTAGATCGGGGAACTTGCAGGGATTGCGATCGATGCCGTCGTCGTCCGAGGCGTCGTCGCTGGCGGCCGCCTGCGACTCCTTGTCCTTGTCAGGGTCGGTCCATGTCGGCCGGCGCATTGTCAGCTGTTATTACGAGCTATGCTGCTCGGAGCTGGAGGATGCGATTGTTTGTGCTTGCTATGAAGGCAGATGCTGGAGCGTCTAGCCTTTGGCTGCCTGCAGCGCTGCCCAGCCGCTTTCAGAGCTTTGCACGGTGGCCAGCGGTCGCGCGATCGCTGCCCGCTTGTGCTCACAAAGTGAGAGATGCGCGCGGAGAGATTTTGCGTTTTCGAAGTGCGGGTTTGGACCGGGGGCCATCGCTCGCACGGGTGTTAAAGGACCAGGCACCCCTCCTCGGCCGCTGCCGATCGCTCCCCGGCGCGGCGAGGCTAGTACGAGAGGCGAAGCGGTTCCCGTTTCACCTGTCCATCACGAAGGGCTGCCCCAGCGCGCACACGGCTGCTCCGGCGCGTCACTATGGACCCGCAAGAGGAAGTGCGAGCGGCCCAGGACGAAGTGAAGCAACTGAAAGCGCAGCTCGCGGCCCTCCAGCAGCTCCAGGCCTCGCCCCCCAAACTAAGACAAGGGTTAAAGATCCCGGGCCTCAAGAACACGGACACGACCTTGAATTATATTGCGGACGGCGCCGGGATTCGCGATAATGATCCGCTCAACCGGCCCCGTAGAAGTCCTCCGCGGCGGCCGCAGCGCGGCGGCCCGTCTGAGGAGTGGTGGAATTGGGAATTAGTTGATGCGCCGAAGCCCAAGGCGAATCTGAGAAGAGGCGTCCAGGCCACGAATCTATTGCAGCCGCAGTGGCCCCAGCCGCGCGTGGCCCCTGCCATCTCGCGCGACGCGACGCCGCCCCTCTTGCCAGGCTGGAAGGAGCCGTCCTACAAGTCGCCGCTCGCGAAGACCGAACCCAAGCTCCGGGTGGGGCTCCAGATTCCCTCGTTGGACGAAGCTAGACGAAAGCCGGAAGCGCACCATACTGTGGCGGCAAAGAAGTTCTCGGTATCACTCCCGGCGCCGTCGCCCGAGGAAGATAGAGTTCACAAGGAATTTAGGACGACGCCGCGCTTCTCGCCCGACGAAAAGCCGAAGAAACGGCGGTCCCCTGAGGAGAAGCCGCGGCGACGGCGTTTTCCCGTGGTTCCGGCTGGTCCGCGCATTGTGGATATTGAGCCGGACTACAAGCCCGGCCCGCGGACGGCGGCGCGACGTAGAGTGCATGCGCGGCGGTCCGACGTGCAGTTACCCGCTCTTCAGCGAAAGACGCGGCGGCGGAAGAAGTGGTACACGCCACCGCCCGCGCCGTCGCCGCGACGCTACCTCGGCCCGGTCATGGGCGGCCGCAAGGAGGAGATTCGCAAGCTGCGCGCGCACGAGCGGCGGGCCCTGGAGTCGCGGGCGATCAACCCGCGGCTGGCGGGGTCGTTGCAACACGGCGACGACTCGGGCGCGTCACGCTTCATCCGCGAGCGCAACCGGCGGACGGTGCTGAACAACATCCTCATGGGGCGGTTGTAACTTAGGCTACTCGTAGTTTCTTGCTTTCGAGGCCCAGGTTCCTGGGCGCTCCGAGAGCTCCACTCCGTGCGCACTGGCACCGGCAGCGACCGCGGATCCCCCTATCGGAGAACCACTAGACAGACTTTTGTCCAATCGTCAGGGGCGGACCGCCGAAGCTCAAATCCGTCGAGTCTGCCCTTCAGAAGTCCCGGAAGCGCCAGGGGATAAAACCCGTACGCTAGCAAAAAAATCGAGATCTCAAAAGCAGCACAGCGCCAATAGCTGCCCGAAGCGGACAGCAAAGGTTGATTCCGAATCCAAAGGCAGCCTCTGCTTGCCAGCCGGCGCTCCAAGGAGTACTCCGAGCACGCCATCGACGCGAGGGCAGCACCATGAGCGCCCTCGAGCACTACGCGGCGCCATCACATGTCGCGCCGAGCGGCGGCTTCGCTACTGAAGACGCTTCGAAAGAGGACACGGGTAAGGAGAACAGAGATAGGTACCACTGGAACGAGTGGGACCTGACGCAGAACGGGGGGTGGCTCAAGGACTGGCTCGAGCTGAACATGGACCAGAAGACTGTGTATGATTCTGACGAGTATCTCATACGACTAAGGAACTGCTACCGCGACACGGGCGAAGCTGTGATCAACCAGCGGAAGGGCAAGATGTTTGCTACATATAACTTAGATCTCATGGTCAAGTGGTACGCGTGCCATCGTATTGATGGCAAAATTATTGGGGAGTGTCGCGGGCGGTTCAAGGTCACGGATTTCAGTTCGGAGCACTGCCTACCAACGGGTTTGTGTAAGGAAGGGGCTGAGGATGAATACGTCGGGACGCATGAGAATCAAGGCGAGTGGGAGTTCAAGAAGTCCAATGCGCCGCAAGGACCGGGTGCGGACCAGGTGGACCCCAAACTAAAAGCTCCGGAGGTTGATATTTCTGATGCGGAGGCTCATCTCAAAAAAATTGTTGGGGAGCGGGGCTGGTTGCCCGTTCGGGAGCGGTTGACGCACCTACATAAACATCTGGCGAAAGTCGCCGACGCGAAGAGAGATGGGGTGACCTTGATGCCTGAGTTGTTACCTGAATTAGAATGCGATATCGCTTTACGAGAAAAGCAGACGACCGATCGGTATGTGAAAGGCGTCAAAGCGGGTCTGAGGAACACGGATAAATTTGCCCCGATGATCGCATCCGTTTCTGATCGGACATGTATCAAGTGTGACTTGAGATGTTTATCCTTGTCTGATAACGATATGGGAGCTATTGTCGAGGCCCTGCCTCCCAAAAATTATGAGGTAAGTGAGGGCGAAGTCGGTCTCGAGAGCATCGACCTGTCCTACAACGAAATTACGGATAGTGGCGTCCAGAAATTGATGTTCGCGCTCGCCGCGGGGGCCGCGCCGCACCTGAAGCAAATCAATGTGCACAAGACGTCGATCACCGAGGTGTCGCGGCGGCAGCTCGCGGGCCTGAAGCTATTGCGGAAGGGCCTGTCGGTGCTCGTCGACGACGAGGACAAGAACTGCCTGCTGTCGCGGGAGCTCTAATCTTTTCTCTTGTACGTCTCGTTTCCCGGTTGCGGTGCTAGGACTCGTGGGCGGAGCCCCTGGCGGTGCTAGGACTAGGTGGGCGGAATCGTGGCTCAGGCCCAGGCTAGTTACGTCGCGGAATCCCCCGTACCCCTCCCGCTCCCCCCGGGCCCACCCGTCCGGCTGGCCCCGGTCGCTAGTGTCTTTACAGGCCGCTAGCTCGGTTTGCTTGCGGCGCACCTCGGATCGGCCACTGCGGGCGAACTCGTTCCCGTGGGACACCTGGCATCTGTGGACCCCGCGTGCTGCGCAAGCCTACCGAGAGCATCTGCACTGATTATGAATGCGCTGCCTTCAGCCAACCCGCAGCCGTCTGCGTTTGGCACAAGTGAGCTCACCACCCAGCTGGTGTTGCGACTCGTCGACGACGACGAGCTGCTCGCGTGCGGATGCGTGTGCAAATTGCTGGAGCGTAGCGTGGACGACGCGCGCGAGGGCAACATCTTGCGCGCGCGGCGGCATCGCCGGGCCAAATCGCCATGGCACGTCGACCTGGCCAACGGCGACGACGCCGCCGATGGCACGCGACGGCGGCCGCTGTGCTCTCTTGGTGAAGCTTTACAACTTGCAATTATGTTTGGCATTGGTAATCCCTTCGGCGAGGTGGTCGTCCACTGCGCCTCGTCGGGCTGCCCGATGCGCGGCTGTGCGGCGGACGGATGCGGCGACCCGGTGTGCGCATATCATGGGAGTGGCGTTGGCGAAATTATCGCCACCGAGGCCATGCCAATACCCCACCTAAAGTTCGAGCCAAGCAGGTGCAGGCACTTGGGCTGTCAGAATGTCTACTGCACGGTCCATCACAATGCTCGATTGGGTAGATGCGACATATGCCAGCGCAATCTTGGGGTTGATCTCCGCTCATATTGCCCCGCCCACCGGACGCGCTGTCGCGGCGCGCGGTGGCGTCACGACACCGGGCGGATCCCGCGCATGAAACGCTGGTGGACGCAGCGGGGCTCGGCCGCCGGCGAGGACCCGGAATTCGGGGCGCTGCACGAGTGTGCCTACACGTTGTGTGAAACGTGTATGCGCGACCACAAGTGTGGCGATATGGCCGACCTTGAGGCCGAGGCCGAAGACGACTACTAAGAGTTTTGTATACACGACTTTTTAGAACGGGGACTACTGCTCGCGCATGGACCGCCGGATGGCCTCCTGGATGGCCTCCTCCTCGGACATGGCGTCGCCGTTCTCGTTCACGTTGTTCGCCTGCGGCGCTGGCGCCGCGCCGCCGGTCCCGTTGTTCAGGCCCGCGAGCGCCGCGGCGAGCGCGCCGGGGTCGGGCCCGGCGCCGCCGCCCATGCCCCCCATGGGAGGAGGCATGCCCATACCACCACCCAACGACGCCTGGAGCTGCCGCATCTGCGCCTGCACGGCGGGATCCTGCATCATGCGCGCCATCGTTTGTGGATCAGGCATGCCGCCGCCGCCCTGCATGCGCTGCGCCATCATCTGCGCCAGCTGCGGGTTCCGCTGGATGGTCTCCATGGCCCGCTGCATCGCCGCGGGGTCGCTCATCAAGCGTTGCACCTGCTGCATCAGCACCGGGTTCCGCTGGAGCTCCTGCATGACGTTGCCCATGCCCGCGCCGCCCATCATACCTGGCATACCACCGCCGCCCATGAGCGCCGAGAGGTCCGGCATACCAGGAGCGGCCGGGGGCCCCCGCGCCGCCGCCTCGATCGCGTCCAATCTTGCTGATAACGCCCGCTCCGCGGCCGTCAAGATGGGGTAGGCCTGGGCCGACGGCGTCATCGTCAACACACCGTCATTTTCCACGAAGCCCGCCGCAATTAACACGTCCCGGGCGCCGTCGTGGTTGAGGCACTTGCGCTGGAACGCCGCGTTCGTCGTCTTGAGTTGTCTGTATTTGGCCTCGGTCGGGTGCTGGACGATGTTCGAGAGGATGCGGTGGAGCGTCCTTAGGACGTCGGCGCCGCCGCTCGCCTCGGCGCGCGCGATGGACGCGGCCAGCGGCGTCGTCGCCGTCGTAGGCGCCGCCGCCGCGGCGGGCGCAGGCGACGTTACTGGAGATCCGCGGCCCGCCACTTGTAATATGGTGAGGCCGTCGGCGACGCCGTACGACGCTAATGTTTTGGAGTCGTCCGCGAGGAGTTTGCCCATAAAAACAAAGCGCGGCGCCGAGTCGACGCCGAGGGCCTTTCGTAAATCGCCGACCGTCGCCGTCTTCGACATGGCCAGCGTCCGGGGGGCCGCGGAGCCCGTGGCCGGCTTGACCGTGACCGCCATGGCGTCCCCGGGCGCCGGCGGCGCCGGCGCCGGCGCGGACGCCGCCGTAGCGGGAGCCACGTAGCCCGACGTGCCCAACTGCCCATTCAGGGCGTCCTGCGACGTGCCCAGCATCGGCGCGAGCATCTGGCCGAGCGGCGTGCTTCTCATGTCCCGCGGGAAGTCCAGAATCCATTTGGGGATCGAACTACCTACCAAAAATTGGGCGACGCGCTCCGAGAAGTTGTTGCAGTTGTGCTCCCACAAATCGTAGTTCTGGGCCGTCCACTCGTGGGAGATGCTCCGCAAAAAAGTTTGGACCTCGGCCTCGGTTTTTGTTGTAGTGCCTAATCTTTCGACCGTATTGGGCTTGCGGCCCATGCCCGCCTCGACCGTGGCGATCGGCTGCGAGAGCACGCCGCCGGCGTACACGATCTCCCTCCCGAAGACTCGCACGCCCGTGTGCGGGACCATCTCGACGCTCTTGCCATCTAGTAAACCGGCGAGGGGCGCGGCCATCTGCTTGGCCATGCCCATCGTTAAATCGTAGATGGCGAGTTCTACCGTGGCCATCGTTGTCTGCGTGTTAGTCTCAACTTTTTGGACCAGATGTGCGGTGGGTCGGCTGAGACGGCTCCTGCTGAGCGGTCTCGCTGGGCGCTTGTGCTTCTGGGCTCCGAGACACGGCTCTTAGACCACGTCGGCTCGCGCGTTCGTGCACTGCGCGCAGAGACTCTGCCCTCTGTGAGATGTCTCAGGAGCTTGAGATGGCTCCAGAGATGGAGCTGAAACACGTCGATAGGACCCGTTTGTGGCCGAGCGACCTCCTCTCGGAGCCCTGGAAGGATGCACGGGACATTTCAAAATCCTAGTGTGTCTATAGGCTAGGGTGCGCTTGAGCAAAGCTAGAGCGCCACGCCTGTCCTTCTCCACGGCAAGCAGGCAGATATTAACCCAGTACAGCGACTCTTGGACACATCCTCATCGTCGTCCAGCCTCGCTGTCGCCGCGCCATGGAGCGACGACGGAGGCCATGGGCCCTCCTGCTGGCGCTTCTCCAGTCCACCGCGCTGCTGGCGCCGCGTCCCGTTCTCCGCGGCCCGAGGCCCCTCCGCTCGACGCCGGCCGATTTCCGCTCGACGCCAGCGGACATCCAGCCGCGCACGGAGAACAGCGGAAGCGGCAACAAGCCGCCCAAGTTCACGCCGCGCGCGTTTGGCAAAGACAAAAAGTACTCCAACCCGCGCGAAGCGCATCGAGCCGCGGCGAAGATGCGCAAGGACGCCGAGGCCGCGTTTTTGGATAGACCACGGGACGCCCTTGAACTCTACCGGCGGGCGACCGCGTTGGCGCCCTCGCATTCCGCTCTAGCGTGGCTCAGACTCGCGCGCTTACATAGACAGTTCAAGGACCCGTCATCGGCGCGAGCGGCACTAAGAAGAGGCACGCGGCACCTCCCCAAAGATGCTAGATTATGGAGGGCTCTAGCGCAGGCCTGCAAGGCCGCGGGCGACATCGAAGGCGCCCGGAATCACTACGGAGTCGTCACGAAGCTCGACCCGGACTTTGTGGCGGGCTGGGACGCCTGGTCCCGTCTAGAACTCAGGGAGGGTTTTCCAGTGAAAGCCGCGCAACTCGCCAAGAAGGGTTTATCAAAAGTAGGCGCTCTCGATGCTGAGGTTCCGCCCCAGCAATCGGAGCGACTGTGGCACGCCTACGCTCTGGCACTGGCGGCGGGCGGCGGCGGTTCGAGCATCGATCCTGACCAGGCCGCGGAAGCTATTTTAAGGAAGGCGGTCGGTATCCACCCGGACCATTCTCACCTCAGACACGCGTTAGGTGTCCAGCTCTACAAGAAAGGTGCTACTGATGCTGCTCGTAAAGAATTACGAAGAGCCGCGATCAAGGGCCACGACGAGGCTTTACTATCGATCGCGCGGCTCGAGGAGGAGGCCGGGCGAGTCGAGGAAGCTCGAACAGCTTATAAGCGCGCCTGCGGTCTCATCAAGCGGTCACCAGGGACGCACGAAATGGCTCCGGACGGCGTCACCGCCGCGCCGTGGGTCGCGTGGGCCCGGTTCGAGGAGGATTGTGGCAATATCGAAGCCGCGGCGGCGTTGTGTCGCCGGGCGTCGGTCCGGTTTCCTCGCGATGCCGATGTCCATGCGCAATGGGCTAGACTAGAAGTGGACCAAGATCGAGCGCGGGAGATCATCTTCGCGGGTCTCGAAGGGGGTGTGAAAAACCCGGCCAAGCTCTACAAGGCCCTGGGCGAGCTCGAGGCGACGTGGGCGGCGCAGTATTTAGTACGGGACTGCGCCGTGCAGGGCCTGCACAGCGCGCGGCGGGCGTTCTACGACGGCGCGCGCGCGTCGGGCGGCGACGACCTCGTGCAGCTCGTGTTTGCGTGGGCGCACGCCGAGTGGGCCCTGGGGCAAGCGCTCAATGGTGTTTCTGAAACCGGTGCATCGAGGGCTCGGAAGCTTTTCGTCTGGGCGGCTCGATTAGCGCGACGGAAAGCTCCAAGAGCGGCGCCCTGGGTCTCATTGGGCCGCGCCAAGTTCGAGCTGTCGCTTGAGAGGCATGACGTCGCGCGGCGGGCCGCGGCGCGCGCGGTGCGGTTTGCGCGACGAGAGCGCGACCTCCGGACCGAGGCGGACGCGTGGCGGGTCTTGGCGAGGATAGAGCGCGGCTCTTCTCGCGCGGCGGTCTTCGTGGACCGCGCGCGCAAGGCGGATGCGCGGGACGCGGCTGCTGCGAAGCCGGACCACCCGCTCGCGCGGCAGTGGCGGCACCGCGCCGTGCCGCTCGACGAGACCTTTGGGTGTTATGCGGCGCGGTGGGAGTTCGAGGAGTACGAGGAGGACTCTTGGTGACTCTTTGCCCTTTTGTTGATTACGTATGCCGCGTCGTCGCGCGCGCGAAACCAGGACTGTAATATATTGCTTACATGATCAATAGCTAAACACCACGACGAAGCGACTGGATGAGGACCCTCGGCCTTGTCGACGCCAAAATACTAGCGCACATCGATACTAGCACGCGCTTTCCAGCTGGAACGCATACGCACGTGACAAGAGAAGTAAGGCCCCAGCGCGGTTAAGTAGACTCCCAGACCACCCCTCGGCCCAATTTTGAGCTCTCGCCGCCATTTTAAGCCTTGCCGCTGGCTCGAAATCTGCAATTGAAGCCGAGCAAAAGAGCGGCCACGCCGCCACGTCGCGCGCACCCCGATGTTTCGCACGTGGTAACGACGAATTGACGCCGCGCAGGCAAACAAAATGACGCTCAAAGCTATCCTCTGCCTCGCGCTCGGCGCGTCGACGGCCTCGGCCGCTGATAAAATCTGCATGGCACAAGACGGGCGAGACGGCTTCGGAGAAGGGCTGCGAGTGGGTGGCGATGTTCCCGGAGAAGCGCTGCCTCGTCAAGGGCTGCATGGACATGGGCCAGGAGGGCGCCGAGGGCACGGACTGTCCCGCCGAGAAGTACACGGCCTGCGACGGGTGCATGACGACGTGCGCGAACCAGATGGTCTGCGGCGGCACCGGCGACGACGGCAAGAAGCCGTCGGGCGACGACCGCAAGTAGACGCGGTCCCCTCTCCCCCGCCGGCGGCCGGCGCCGCGCGATCGTCGACTACGACTCCCCTCTCCCACGTCTTTCCCCTAGCCCGTACGTAAGTATGGCGCGCATCGACTCCCCATCACTCGCGCCGGCCATGACCCTTGTGTTGAGATCCGAGTCGAGCGGAGTAGTCGTGAATACTGTTAGATCCCTAGGCCTTCGGCAACTTCGACGGGTCGCCACCCATCTGTAAGTAGAAGCCGACCGGGCCCGAGAAGCCCTTGCCGCCCTTGATCGCGGCGACCGAGAGCTTGGTCATCTGGCCCGCCTCGTTGAGAGTCACCGTGATGGCCTCCGGATCGTTCTGGAGCTTTGCGGGGGCCTTCTTGTTCGGCTTGGCCGGCGGTACGCCCTTGAGCGGCGAGTAGGGCTTGCCTGTGTGCGTGCCCTTGACCACGGCCGTCCACGTGACCTGGTTCTTGCCCTTCTTCTTGAAGTCGTGCTTCGGCGACGTGTAGGTAAAATCCGGCACGGACGCGAGGATGTCCTTCGTCAGACCGATGTACTGCTTGCGGTCGAAGACGATCTTGCCGCCGGCGAAATCCGCGGTAAAGTCCTTGGCGAGATTCTTCTCGTACCACGCGACGATGCCACCCGCGGGCACGCTGCCGTCCTGCGCGGGAAGGCGACGTTTGCTCGATGGCGTACTGCTGGTCCCTCCAGCACTCGTATGACATTGCGTCGGAGCGACGCAAAGCCGCGCATCGCCCAGACGGGCGAGTTGCGATGATTTTCTCAGACGCCGCCGCGCACGAAGAGGGTCTTCATCAATGCGACGCCATCCGGTGCTGCAGTTTTTGCCTCAGCCTTCTTGCTCTCCTTTTTGGCCGCTTTCGGCGGCGGCATCGCTTTGCCCTTGGCATTGGCAACCTGGGGAGCAACCAAGGCAGCCACACCGGCTCCCGCAGCCTTCGCAATGCCGCGACGGCTCAAAATTTGTGCAGGTGCCAGTGCATTACAGCCGACGGCAAGTGCAAGTAACAGTTTCATCATAACTGCATTCATTGTGCTGTGGGATCCGCGGCGACGTCGAGCTGCCACAGGCCTCGTGCCATGACCGGGAGTCGAGGTCCGAACTGATTGGTCCGTCGCTTCGCGGACGGCTGGACCTTCGCTTTAAGCCCGTAGCATGCGTCCTTCACGGTTAAAATACGGGGGGGAGTTTCGGGTTTCGCGCCCGCGTTCGTGGACGTTCGTGTCAACGGCCAACTAGTCGAGGTAGATAGTCGTGGCACCCGGAGAGGAAGACCAGTAATCGCTACCTTACACGCGGAAGAGGGGGGAAAAGGAACACCGCTGTAAGCTCACCTCCTACCGCGCGACCGCGACCGACTGCGCCGCTCGCGCGTCCGCGACGGGTTCCGCTCGTCCGAGGAAGAGTCGTCCCGCGCCCATGATACGAAGTCGCGCCACCGTATCCGCCCGTCGCCGCGCTTGTCCCATTTTTGAGCACATGCCTCGAACGCCTTTTTGTCATCATCTAACTCGACGCCGAGCTTCTGTAATGCTTTCCGGAAGTCGCGCTCGGAGACGTAGTCCTTGCCCTCGCTATCGTAGGCCTCGAAGTACTTGTCGAACTTCAGCCTCCGACCTTTTTTATCTTCGAGCTTCGCCAGCTCCTTCTTGAGCTTCTTCAGATGAGAACGAGACTTCGACGGCGACCGGCCCCGCTCGCTTTCATCATCGGAGTCAGACGAGGCTCTACGCTTCTTTTTGGAACCCAGCAACTCCCCAACCAAGTCCTCGTAGTTGACGTCCTCCTTCTTCCCGGGGAACCGCTCCTGGCACTTTTTGAGCTCGAAGGCCGTGGGCGTGTAGCCGAGTTTTTTCAGAGCTCGCTTGACGTCGTCCGCCTCTAATTCACCGGCGGAATCTCGGTCGAGTTTCTCGAAGACCTTCAGCGGAGATTCACCTTCGTCCTTGGCCTCCTTCAAGGCGCTTTTTATGGCACCAAAAACATCGTCGTCGTCGTCGTCGTCGTCGTCCGCAGCAATAGATTTCAAGAACTTCCCGTAGTCCACTTTATCACGTTTCTCGAACTTGTCCATTACTCGCTCAAGATCCCGCGACGTCAGATCCACACCGACATCCTCGAGAACCCGAGAAAACTTCTTCCGCGACACGCGACCTTCCTCGTCCTCATCAACTCGTTCAAAGGCCTTCTTGAGCTTCTTCTCCTTGCCTTTGCAAGCCCGCGTGACCTTGTCGTCGTCGTCCGACTCGCGGTCCTCCTCAATGGCCTCGAGGAATTTCCGCGACTTCACGACACCTCTCCTGCCAAATTTCTCAACTAATTCCTCAACATCGTCATCGTCGAACTCCATACCAAGTCGCTCCAGGGCCTTCCGGAAATCTTTCTTCGACAGTTCACCCTCATCGCGCTCAAAATCTCTCAAAACCCGCTCGTAGTCGGGGTCCTTCCTGTTCAATCGCTTGACCTCCTTGGACAGCTTCCGTAGTATTTTGTCGTCGTCGTCGTCGCTGGCGTCGCCCTTGGACAGGGCCCGCTGCAGCTTGTCGCCGTCGATGTCGTCGCGGCGGCCCTCGAACGACTTCGTGAGCGTCTTGAGGTCCTGCGTCGACAGCCGCACGCCGGCGTCGTCCGCCGCGTTGCGCAGGCGGCGCTCGGAGATGTCGCCCTCCAGCGACCGGCGCAGAGCTCTCGACTCTTTGCGCAGCTTCTTGAGGACGCCGTCGACGTCGTCGTCGTCGTCCTCGTCTTCACCCTCAATGAGCTTCACGAATTTCAGATACTTGCCGTCGAACGCTTCAATAATATCCTTGTCGAGGTCGAAGCCCAGGCGCTCCAACGCGCGCTCGAAGTTGCGCGACGACACCTCGCCCTCATTATCCTCGTCGTAGCGCAGGAACGCCTTCTTCACATCACGTGAAGAGAGCTTAAGCTTCTTCGCCGCCTTTCTGATCATATCATCATTATCTCCAGACGACTCGTCCTCGGCGAACTTCCGGAATTTTTTCAGGGACACCAGACCGTCGTCGCCCAACGCTTCCGCACAGGCCTTGACATCCGACGCGTCCAGCTCTACGCCAAGCGCCTCCAGGAACCGCCGGAAGTCCCGCAACCCCAAAACACCTCTATCTTCATCGTCGAACTCCCTAAAACATCGGCCAATGTCTTTTTTACTGTTTCGCAGCTCCCGTTTCAACGAAGCTAGAGATGGATTACCTTGCTCACCACTCTCGACGTCGCCCTTCAGGAACGCCAGGAACGCTGAGGAAGACACGTTGCCCGATTCATCCCCATCGAACCGCTGCGCCAGGCGTTTTCTCTCGGAAGACGTCAGCTCGACACCCAATCGCTCCAGCACCACTCCAAAGTCCCGCAGACCGACCAAACCTGATCTATTATCGTCCACATCCCGCAACGCGTCCTCCGCATCGGACGGTCGTAATTTCGCTCGGTGCGTCGCATACCGTACTTTTTGCTCGAGGAAGGGGTGGCAGGGGTCCCGCACAAAGACGATGAACTCCGTGTATGATATCGTACCATCTTTATCTAAATCCATGCCGTCGAAGAGATCCTGTTCCTGCTGTGCACTTAACTTAACTTTGAGAGCTCTCAGACCGTCCGCCAGATCCGCAGGCAGTAACTTGTTCTTCCTTTTGGTATCAAAGTGCTTGTAGGCCCGCCGCAGCGCCCCGGGCTGCCACCACTCGAAGCGGCGCTTGATCATGGCCCGCAGCTTCTCCTCCACCCTCCAATTGTCTCCTACTGTAGGTCGTGTAGGTAATACCGCGTTAAGTAACTCAACGTAGTGGATACCGCCACTCGTAGCGGCTCGGAACTTCCTCTCGAGATCGTCGAGTTGCTTCCCTTCCAAGTTAATGTCTAACTGCCTCAGGACCCTTTCTTTCCTATCTAGCGTGCCCGCGTACGAGCCGTCTTCCCGCTCAAAGGCCGCTCGGTAATCAATACCTTCTCGCACCTTGACTTTGAGCGCATCCCGCAGCACGTCGGCGGCGTCCGCCGTGACGACCAGCACGCTTTCTACGTTGTCACCCTCGACTGCCTTCACGAAGGACTTGTAGTCGATGCCCTCGTCATTAGCATACTGGTGACATAAAGCTTTCAGCTCCTTCCCCTCCAAGTCGCAGTTGAAGTCCTCCAAGATGCGCTCGAAGTCCCTTCTGTCGACAGTACCTCTTTCATCGCGATCGTATCGTTCAAAAGCGCGGACGCCCCACCTCCTCGCTTCCCTTAACGAGGGTGCGATCCGCTCCAGCGCTTCCTTGGCCCTTCGAGCGTGCTTCTCCTCCTTTCTTGTCGAAGGTGCATCGGCTTCGAGGGCCCAGGTCAGGAACCGACTGTAGGCTGTGTTACTTCCAGTCTCGAACCTCTCTGCCAAACCTCTTAGATCCGAGGCACCCAGTAAAATCCCCGCATTTCTACACGATTGGGCGAAGAGTTCGGAAGAAAGAACATCAGCGCCCTTCCAGTCGTAGCGCTTGAAGCAAGATTTGATCGCAGCGTCGCCCCGTTCATTACCGAGTCGATCGTACGACTCAACGAGACACGCCTTCACGCGCACCTTCAGGTGGGCCCAGTCCTGCGTTTCTGTGGAGTAGGGCTTTACCACTTCTTCTTCCTTGGCGAACTTTATCAAGGCATCATACGTCACACCATCGCCAACCGAGTCCAATCGCGCTAGGACGGCTCGCGCTTCGTCCCGGGAGCACGCCGGCGACCCCAACAACGTGTCTAACAACGCTTCCGCATCAGTACGATCGAGCGACGAGCGGCCCTGGCGGTCTGCTCTACGGAACTCCTCCCTCAGTGCTTCCGGACCACCCTTCGCAAGTATGTCAAGGACGGCCTTTTTTAGGCGACTATCGACATCCTTCAAAGATAACGAAGCCTTCCGATCGGCACAGGCCTCGTAAAACGCTTCGTAATCGACGTGCTGCTCGACACCCTTCGGCGCCCGTCTCGGAGGGAAGAGCTGCGTGATGTTGCGTAACTCATTACCGTCCAGGTCGTGGCCTAATGATCTGAGAACCGTACCGAAGGTGTCGGCTGGTAAACTACCCGTCATCGATGAATCCGCGGACTGTAATCGCTGTAGGGTACCAGCATGGACGGCGATGCGATCCAGAGCCTTGGCGGCAGCCGAGAGAGGCACCTTCTGGTCTTCGGCGAATCGTAGGAAAGCTTTGTAGTCCACGCCGCTTGATGTAGAAAAGTGGTCCATGAGTGATCCCACATCAGCACTGGTAAGTTGTATTTTCTTGCCCAGCGCGTAGGCGAACTCTTTTCTGGCTAGAACACCGCTGCTGGAGGAATCTACTTTTCTGAATTGTTTCCCTAAGTCAGAGGACTTCTTCGCTAATGCAGCTAATAACGCTGTCTCAGCGTCTAAGAGTGAAGAGGTCTCGACCTCCCTCGAATCCTGGACAGGTAGTGTCGCAGCGACCGACACGTTCAGATCCTCGTAGTCTCTGACCGGCCTGACGGCCTCGACCGACGCCCTATGCGCGGGAGGTGATGAGGGCACGGGCGCCTCCGCTCGCAAGCCCCGAATGGGGTCCTGCTCCACGAAGACCGGCGCCGGCGCCGGCGCACTCAACGCACGTTGATTATCTTCTTCCATGCGACGCATCTTCTCCTCAAAGGCCTTTTGCTGATCTTCTTCGACCTCGAACGCCGCGAGCCGGGCCTTCGTGTGTCGATCGATCAAATCATCCTCAGACTCGGCATCGGACACGAACTCCGCGCCGAGCAGTTGCGCGACGTCATGTTTTCTCTTGTCCTCAAACATATCTTCTACTTGCTGAGAGGGCTCATCGACAAGATCAAAACCGAGGCCTCGTAGCCCTTGCCGGAAGTGGGGCCGAGGTAATCTCCCAGAGCGAGCCGGATCCAAGTCCTCGAAGGGACCGGCCAGCTCCCTTCCCAAACGTCTCAATCTTTCGGCCTGGGCCTTCATCTTGATTCGCACCGACGCTTCCGCGGGCGGCGCTCGTCTGCATTCCTGTAGCAGTTCCTCAAGTCCAAACCTTCCGGAGTGGGCCTTGCGAGCATGTCGTAAAAACGCACACAACTCGTCGGCCGACGATTGGCAGCCCATGGCCTTTAATGAATCGGCGAACTCGTCTTCAGACAGAGCCTCCACATCGATACTCTCGAGAATGTCTCTGCCACTCGCACCGGTCTCCAAGCGCCGTTTCTCAACAAATTGGACCAATTCCTGACGAGCCGCGTCGACGCGAGGTGGCGCATCGACCGCGTGGAGGAACGACAAGTAGTCGACCTGGCCGTCCTTGCGCGGCGAGAACCGCTCCAAGCACCAGTTCACCTCCTTCTCGTCCAGAGCCGAGCCGTCCGGCGTCCGCGCTTGCTTGAACGCGTGCTTCCACCTCACACAAACTCGTAGCGTGCCGACCTCTCGGCCCGTATCATTAAGTAACGTAGCCGTCGAGAACACGGACTCGCCGTCCGACAACAATGATAGAGGCACTTCACACGTACCAATTAACGCGTCATCCGCGTCGCCAATGGACGCGTTTTCCTCCTGAAAGTCGAGGACCGTGAACGTTAATCGCTCCGTCCTCAATAAAGCGCAGGCTTGCGTCGTGGTCGCCATCGGGTACGACAGGACATGTTCGAAGGTCGGGTCGCAGGAAGATCTCGTTACTGGAGTGAAGGCGTCCTGGAACTGCAGGAACTGGTAGTGCACGTACGGCGACGGCTTGCTTCGCCCTTCTCTGGTAGGTAGGTCTACTGCCGAGTGGACCACGACTTCTATTTCATTCTCGAGTCTCGCACTATCATCCGACTCACCGACGACCATGGGCTGGTTGAGCGTCTCCATCATGGCCTTCTCGATGGTCGCCCTTTGATCGGGATGTCTATCTAAGAACATTTGATATAATTCTGTCACTGGCAAAGCTAAGCGGATCTCCACATGTACATAACCAGCCTGTCTGCCTGTTCGAGCCGCTATCAGGGGTTGCTTGTCTAGTATCAAAGTAGGCTTGCTATCCAGCAAAGGTGCTAAGGGGATCGAAGCCTTCGCTAATAACTCATAATCAGCTTGTTGCGCCTCGCAGATCTCCAAGGATAATGATTCCGTAGCCAGATAACGCAAAAACAAGTCATCCACTGACACCTTGTAAGAGGTAGCAAAGTCGAACTCCGGCTTGCTCCCGGGCAACCACTGCGTCGCCTGGCTTTCATAGGTCAAGAAGTCGACGACGGCGAACGTCGAGGCGTTCGGGGAGACGACGCCTTCGTCCAGCGAAGCACTTACGACCCACACTTCGACCAAATTTTCATCTGGTTGTAGATCGCCATCCTGCAACTCCGCCAACAACAAGTTCGTCGATTCAGTGGTCTCCGACCGGTCATCTTCATCAATGCTCCGGAGCTTTGACTTACCAGTACTATACCTCGCTTGTTTCAGCTGAGCCTCCAATGTATGAATCCGCTGCAACCGCTTCACGTTCAACGCTTCATAATCCTCGACCTTCTGCAAGAGCTCCGCATGCTTGGCCGACTTTTTCGAGGACGCGTCCTCGAGCTCGAGGTGCAAATCTCGGTTAATCGACATCTGGACCTTGAGCATCTTCTCGGCTCGCTCGAGCTCGTACTGGGTCTGTAAATGGCGCTCCCTTAGTTCTTCGAGCTTCTTCTTGAAGTCCGCTTGCCTGAGGTCATTGCCAATTTCCGGGTCGATCTTTTCCAGGAAATCAAAATCATCGGGGTTCTTCATGTGTTCTCGTTTTTTGACGATGGTCAACGCTCGTTCGAGCTCCTCCATGTCCACACCATCCAAGCCTCCGAACAACTTTGCTTTGTCCTCCGTGACTGTCGATTGGACCTGTTCGGTCGAACTGCGAAGCTTGAGCTGCTGCAGTTCATGTTCAGCTCTCTGCTTAGCAGCTCGTAGGTCATCCACCTGCTGTTGGAGCTGCACGAAGGCCTCCTGCGTGCCCTCCGCGCTTTTACGCAGGTTGTCGAACTCGGCCCGCGCCCGAGCGTCGTTCCTCTCCAGTTGCGCGACGCGCTCCTTCTCTCTATCACGTCCAGAAAAGTCCTGGTTCAACGCAACGTCGGACAAGTTCAGCAGCTCGTCTTCGAGGCGTCGGTTCGCCGTCTGTAATTCAGTAACGCGCTCCTGCAACTCATCGACGCGATCCGCGTCCAGCCGCAACTTGTCCTTGTCCGTTTCGGAATCCTGCAACGCCCGCCGCAGATCCCTGATACGTCTATTGTATTCGTCTAATTGGTCGAACTGCGCCTTTTGCACGTCGCGCTGCGCGCGCGTATTTTCTTCGAGTTGTTTATAGCGCATCTCCAGGAGCTGCGCTTCCGCTTTGGCCTCTCTCAATTCACTATTATCATCTGAGAAACCTCTATTCTTGTCGGCCATCGGCGATCTTACTTCTTTCACACTGTTCACGACTAACGGCCTACCTTGCCTTTGGAGCTTCGATCGCAACTCCTTGTTGTCCTCCTTGACGCGTTGCAACTGGTCCTCGGCCTCTTCGACGCGGCGCTTGAATTTTTCCACGAGCGCATCGACGTTCTTCCGTCGGCCCGTCGTTTCACCACTGGACGAGAACGACACTCGAGAAGCACCCAAGTCCACGTGCTCCGGCGCCGTCGTGGGCCTATCTAAACGTCGAGGCCCGGTCCTCGCGGCTCGTTTCAACACGGCAACTTCCCGTTTCTTCTTCTCGAGGCTATCGACCAACGCTCGGCACTTCCGGTCCAATTCACCATTTCTACGTTCTAGCCGAGCTTTATCTTGATACAAGCCCTTGATGATGGCCTCGTTCTCCTCGCGCATGGCCAGAGTCGTCGGCGGGCCGCCCTCCATGCGTTCCTTGGCCCGCATCAGGTTCTCGATCTTCGACAGCTGGACATTCGTGCGCTTCAGCTCCTCGGCTCTATCATGATACTTGCGCTGGAGGTCCGAATGTTGCGAGCGCAGGGCGTGGTAGGCGTCCTTGTAGTCCATGGTCGTGGCACGCTGCTGCTCCCGCCCTGCTGTGCTGCTACCGGCTTACCGCCAACGGTCGGTCGCGCAGCCGCTGTTTTGTATGCGCAGCGCACTCGCGACGCCGCGTCCGCGGCTTGGGCAGCCTTTTCGCTGGTCGCACGGCTTGTGTCGTGCACCGGGCAGCCAAAACTGGCAAATTGGTTTGTCGTGCACCGGTCTCTAGTAGGTTTGTCCATGGGGGCCTTCGACGGCTCCGCCGCACGTCCTGGGCCGGGCGGCGGCGGTCGCCACGGCTCGGCGACGCATCGGTCTTGGACGCATGGTGCTAGAGACTTACGCGACGCTAACATTATGCCCGAGCCACGACATTTTGCTCTGCACTCCATGTGTCCGGTGCAAAAGACGTGTTGTATTAGCTAGGATTGATCTTTGGTGCTGCGATGCCGATGGTGGCAATTCAAGCTACAACAGCTGCGCTACTATTCTTCAATGGCACGATAAGAACAAACACGCGCTCCCTCGACGCCGTCGTCGCGCCGGCGCTATGCTTCGACAGTGTCGTCAGAGCGACCGGCAGCCTAGAAGCCGTCGCCGCCGCGTGCCCGGGCGCCCGCCGCGTGGACCTCGGCGGCGCGACGGCCGTGCCGGGTCTCACGGACTCGCACGCGCACATCATGCTCGAGGCGGCGAGACGACGGAAAGCTGATCTGTCGAGCTGCGAGGACGCTACCGCGTGCGCATCCGTGCTTGCGAAGTGGGGCGCCGCGCACCCGCTGCAAAACTGGGTGCAAGGCTTCGGCTTTGATCAGACATCCTGGGCCGGCGGCAAGTGGCCGACGCGGCACGACCTAGACGTGATCCGCCGACCGGCGCGCGCCGACCACATCTCCGGCCACGCCGTATGGGTTAACAGCGCCGCGCTGAGAGCTGCGAACGTCACGCGCGCGACGAAGTCTCCGCCCGGTGGCACGATCGTGCGCGACGCGCTGGGCCGCCCCACGGGCATCCTGACGGACGACGCGATGGACCTCATTGATGCGGTCGTGCCGCCGCCGCGCGCGTCGGCCGTCGACGCTTCCTTCCAGGCGGTCCTTGAGGCATGTGCGGCCGCAGGCCTGACGGGCGTCCACGACCTGGCAGCCTTACCGGGGGACATCGACTACTACTCATCTCGTGCGGACCAGCTCACGCTGCGCCTCAACGTTTATAGAGATGCCGCGAGCCACGATCAAATCCCGCCGGTCGCGAGCGGCGAGTCGCGACTCGTGCGCGTGCGCGGCGCCAAGTTCTTCTGCGACGGGGCCATGGGCTCCTGGACGGCCGCCATGCTAGCTCCCTACTCAGATCGGCCTTCGACAAAGGGAACGCTGATCTACAACGCGAGCGAGCTGCTCGCCGGCGTCAAAAAGTGGAACAATGCGGGCTACCAGGTCTCCGCCCACGCCATCGGCGACGCCGCGAACCGTCAGGTCCTTGACGTCTACGAGCAGGCGGGCGTCGCACCCTCCGACCGCTTCCGCGTCGAGCACGTTCAAATACTATCAGAACAGGACCTGCCGCGGTTCGCGCGGCTCGGCGTCATTCCGAGCATGCAGACGACGCATTGCGCGTCGGATCTAGGCTACGCGGATGCGAGGCTGGGGGCCAGAGCGAACCTGTCCTACGCCTGGCGCGCCCTGAAGGATAGTGGCGTCGCTGTTCTACCGCTTGGGAGCGACTTTCCGACAGGAGGAACTATTCCTCCCTTGCTGGGCCTTCACGCCGGTATTACCAGGGAGCGGCCTGACGGTACGCCAAGCGGTGGTTGGCATCCGGAGGAACGATTGACGCCCCTGGAGACCCTCAGAGGCTACACCGCAGACGCGGCCTTCGCTGGATTCAGCGAGAACGAGCTGGGCGCTCTCGAGCCTGGCTATAAAGCAGACATTACTGTTTTAGCAGCCGACCCCGTGACGTGCGATCCGGCGCGGCTTCCCGGACTCGCGGTCCTGGGAACTGTCGTCGGCGGCGACGTCGTCTACGCGGCGCCGCGCGGCCCGCTCGCCGGCCTCGCGCGACCAAAGCGAGCGTTTGCCGGGCCCCGGCTCTCGGAGCGAGCGCTGAGCGCGGCGGCGGCGTGGGAGCGGCGGCTCGTCGACGATACCGCTGAAGATAGGGCGTGGGCGCGACCCTGGGAAGAGGCTATGTGAATAATAAATGTACAACATACTTATCCTACTTATCGTCGTCGTCCACAACGTCCTCCTCCTTCTTCTTTTTACCGGAAGCTTTCTTCGGCGCGTCGTCGTCAATGGCATCATCATCAGCAACGTCGTCGTTATGCGTGTGGTGGTGGTGGTGGTGCGCCACCGTCAGGTCGTCGTCGACGTCAATGGGTAGCGATTTATTCGTGTCCGGGTACACACTGTGTACGGGCGACGTCCCGTTCAAGTGCGCCAATTTGTCCGAATCGTGCGCGAGGATCGTCATGCGCGACACGAGGGCAATGACGAGAGCGGCAATGAAGCCCGTCTCGACGACCGACAAGACGCGTTTCGGCGCTTTCCGAGGCCGTAAGGTCCGCAGATGCGACGGCACGAACTGCCCCTCCCTCCGATGCTGAAACGCGTTCGATAGATGTTCGTGCTCCAGCCGAAAGAAGCCCCAGACGCATCTACGAGCTAGTTCCGCCAACGCCAAGATTGGTGTGAGATAGTCGGGGATGTAGGACGTCAAATGCGAACCAAACGCGTTCGGAGGGACCACAGTAGCTAACCAGACGAACCGCCCGAACAAATCTAGGACAGCAGCACCTGTGTGGGAATCAAATTTACGGCGCGTTCGTCCTGAATCGCCGCGTCGACCTCCACGCCATCAACGCGACGCCTGCTCGATGGCGTGGCCGTGTCGGTTCCTCACCGCTCGACGGAGCCAGCTCGGCCGCATCATCGCCGAGCAATGACTTAGTGAAGCACCCGACGCACTCGTTGATTTCCACACAGGGCCGCACCCCTGTACCACCACACCTTCGGATACATCCGCGTCTGCCTCGAGAGGATATGCCACCTCTTTTTCCGAGGCGCATCGTCGAAGGACGACGGCCGCCGAAACGACGTGTCCTCCGACGACTCTACCTTGCAGAAGTTTAGCCCCCAGTCGACGTGCACGTCCCAGACCCATGAGAATATTGAAGAACCGAAAAACAGTATACTCCACCGCGACTTGAACTTCTCCGTGCCTCTTACCACGGTAGTAATCGTAACAATCAAGCTAAACGCATATTTGGCGGCGTTCCACAAATGGACCCATCTTCTGTGGCCGTCGCCCACATCCACATACTTCCGTAAACATTGGGCGAACCGGAACCAAATCGGAAAAAAACATACGGCTGGAGCCAGTACTTGTTTATACCAAAAAGCATGGGTCGTCTTTTGCAACTCGTCGAGGTTCTTCCTGTCCGATTCCGATCGTAAAAATGCGCCAGACAAGAAAAAATAGCAGCACCATAAGGCATCCAGCAAAACTTTGACCATACTTGTCAGTACATCCGCGACATACGTATCCACGAACCGCACTTCGCAGAACGGCGCCCGTATCACCCGTGAGATGATGGACCAGAGTTGTTTACGTCTACTCCAAGGATGCACCAAGCACTTGAAGAGGAAGAGCACTAGCATGAGAGGTAGAGCTTGGGGTAATGTCGTAGCGATGTACCCATCTTTTTCGATGAATTTCGGCATGCCGCCCCGGTAGGTACTCTTGTAGTAGCATAGCAGTAACGATAACAGGACGTTGGTCTCCAAAATACATTCATCAAAGACGTCCGCGGGCGAGGCGGCCGGCGTCTGCGCCGTGTCGACCTGTGTGGAAATCAACCAGTGAGTTAGGATATACGACGCGGCCACGGGGACAACGTCGCGTCGATGGCGTAGAATCGCCACGCCATCGCGCAGACGCAGCTACGGAAGCACGTCGCGTCGATGGCGTGGGGCGCCCGAAATTTGATTTCCACTCAGGTGTCGACCACGTCGAACAGAAACGGCGCGTTCACCCTAAATCTATTCCAGACCCACAGACTCAACCCCCAGAGCCAGTGCCACGCCAATAATACCCCACAGGCTCGGAACAACGGCCACGCGGCCTTCGCGGCTACCGAATCATGACTCACTTTTTTGTGCACACTGTTCACGACCTCCACACAGTCCCACATGACCCAGACCGCTAGGGTGGCGGCGACGCCCGCCCGATAGCCAAACCTTAAAGTTGCGATCGTGTTCTGCCCTCCATACAACGATTGCGCGCTTTCATTTGCGGCTCGAGCCGCTTCCCGCAACTCAAGTTCCGCTTCGGTAGTACTCCCGCCACAAAACAGGTCCGCATACCTCCGGTGGACGTCCTTGATCAACTTCCTTGCAGAAGTAGCAGCACAGCAATCCCGATTCTTGACCAAAGTCGTAAATCGCTCCCTAATAGCGGGCTCCCTTTTCAACCGCTTGTCCCTTTTTTTAGTTATCTTAGTAAACGCGGTAAAGTTCCAGACCGTGAAATCGATGAGTTCTCGAGCATCGGCGTCGAGTTGCGCCAACGATCGTTTCAGAGAAGCTCTTGTAGCCGCGTCGGCCACATCTAGTGAACGTTTTCTTCGACGGGGCGACGCGTGCGGCGTCCGTTGATCCTCGACGTCCAGCGCGGAATAGGCGCTACTAAGTGTGGATGTTTTTTGTCTTAATTTCGACTTTTCCGTGGCTATTGATGAACCTTCATCTTCCGTGTCTATCGCTTCTTCAAAATCATCTTGTAACGCATCTTGCCACCTACTCTTCAGTACGCGTAATTCTCGCGCATACAAAGCGTCGACCTTGTCTAATTCAGCAACTAACGCGACGTCGAAACCATGCGCGAGTAGAGCATAAGATCTAGGTAATCGAGACGAAAACAACCACCGCGTCCAGTGCCACGCGTCGTCGTCGGCGTCACTCGTGGGCGAGCCGGGGCTCGCGAAGGCGAAGCGCTCCATGTTGCTTAATGAAGTGGATTTTGCCAAAGGGCCGCGCTTGCGGTTCTTCCGCCAGAGCGTTTCCAGAGCTTGCTTTTCCAGGGCCTCTAGGCCCGAATCGAAGACGCCCGGCGCTAGGACCACGTCGGATTCTAGGAGACCAGCATTATCTCTATCCCCGAAGTTGTTCAATCCAATGGTCTTCTCGGCCGGCTCGCGCTCTCGCGCCGCGCCGGCCAAGTTCAGTAAGAGTTTCAGTCGTTCGTAGTCCGCGTTGTGCCGCAACCAGCGTCTGGTTTGCGACGTCTCGAAGCGCTTGCCGAACTGCACCATGGCTGACCGCTATGTGCCAATAGCTCTGCCGCTCTGCTGTGTCCTTCGCGGCGCGCTGCGGCTGCCTGCAAGCCCTGCTCTCAATGTGGAATCTTGCTCCTGCGCTACACCGTCGCGCTGTTTGCGTTGCTGGCGCCTAGCCCGGACCTCGCAGAGGTCGGCTTGCGTTTCTGCGTTGCAAACTCGCGGTAGCGGCAGAGATACAGCCAAAAAGCTGCTCTGCCGCGCTTGCAGCGAGCTAGCGTGCTTGTAAGGCACTAGCAAGCATAGCTGTGGGCGGAGAACCAGAGGCAGGCACACCGGTCAGTGCAAAAGCATCCGTTCGAAACCCGTTGACGTTAAATTTTAGAGGTGGCTATTACTCGGTTACGTGGGGGTCTGTCGTCGCTCCTCGCGCGGGTCTAGGAGATGGAGTGCTTGGTCTCGTGGCGCCAGTACTCCTCCTCCTCCGGATCCGGGTCCCGGTCGGGGCTGTACGACTTGAAATGCTTGAGCTCCCGCTGGTAATGCGCCTCGTCGATCTCGTCAATGATGTCGTGGAGGTAGTAGGAGCTGGGGAGAGCTCCGACGAGGCGCGGGAGCGACTCGAGCGCGGCGGGCTCGAGCGCCTCCGACAGTTTCTTCTTGAGCCGCTTCAGGACGCCGCGGGGAGACTCGCCGCAGCTTCTCATCGCGTCGCGCGCAAACCGAGGCTCTTTGCGCTCCGCGTCGGCCGGGCCGATGCGTGGGAACGTAACGACGGCGCCGGCGCCGCAGACCCCGCGGATGCGATAGTCGTCGGGCCGCGGGTTGTCGGGCCAGGTCTCCACGTTGTAGCCGCAGTCACTATCGTAATCAAACCGCTTGGGGTCGACGTGCGCCTGCTCTAACTTGCCCCACTGCTTGCGGCCCGCGCCCTTGACGTTCGCCGCGAGCACGACGAGGCGCACGGCAGTACCGAGGTCCGACGCATCGACACCGAGGCGCGCGACGAGGCGCGCCGCGTCGCCCTCGGTGGCCGTGTACAGGCCGGCGCCGTGGATGCCGCCCGCATTGCCCGTGGAGAAGTCGTAGGCCAGCACGCGCACCCAGCCAAGCCCCGTCTCCTCCTTGTCCTCCTTGTCATCCTCAGGCGCCGCCCGCTTCGTCAGTACTTGCTGATCCGTACCGAAAGCCCGCGTCTTCCCGCCTTCGGGAGGCGCGTCGTCGGCGGCGGCGCCTTCGAGCAACGCGTGCACGGAGTACATCTCGTGCCCCGCGCACCAGCACCCGGCATCGCAGATGTTGCCTTCCGCCGCGCTGCACACGAACAGCGTCCGCCGGCCGGCCGGCGCGCCGAGAGAAACGACCACGGAGGTCTCCTTGGAGTTGCCCCAGTCTCGGTATTCGCCGCCGTTGTCCATGTCCGCGGGCACGTGGATGGCGCCGTGGCAGTAGACGGTGGCCTCGAGGCGCGAGAGCAACGCGGCGCGGCGCGGATCCGCGGGCGCGGTCTCAAAGCCCCGCTCCCGGATGAGCTTGATTTCAGCTTCGTTCTCGGCGATCCTCTTCTCGTACCCGGGCCGAGGGTCGGGCCGGTCCCGATAATACGGCGACGGATCGTCGGGGTTGTAGCTCTTGATCCAGTTCTGGTTATTTTTAATCGAGCTCAGTAGCCGGCTAATGTCCTCCTGGACCCACCTCTCGGCGCTGAGGCCGCGGCCGTCCTCCTCGAAGGCGATCCACTCGCGCACCGCGGCGAGGTGCTGCGCCACGGTGAGTGCGAACGGCTGGTCGTTCTCGGCCCAGCCGCGGCCCTGCTCGATGACCAGCTCGCGGTTCTCGCGCAGGAGGAGCCGCGGGACCGTCTCGGTCGTGAGCTGAGAGCAGTGCACCGGGCCGACGGCGACGCAGGCGTCCGCGAAGTCGACCTTGTCGGTGCACTCGACGACCGTTTCCGCGCAGGTCGTGAGGACCCAGGCGAGCGACGCCGCCGGGGCCTGCTCGCCATTGACCGTCCCCGCCTCGTCCGGAATCTCGGGACCTCTCTTGCACGGCGAGGTCTGCGGCTTGCCGGTGCCAGACGTCGCGTCCGGGCGGCCGCCTCTGGTCGTGAAGTCGGTCTCGGACGCTTCCTGCGTCCGCTTCTGGTCCATTGGATCGATCCTTCTAAGCCCTCTTGCTTCTCAGGCCTGGCGTGCGCAGGGCGCGACCAGCAGGTCGATAGCTCGCGATAGGTATTTTGGCCTCGGTTCCCCGCGGCGCGCCACCGATAGGCGCGGCGGTCGCAAACAAGCGGCGCAAAAGCGAACCCCCCCCCTCCAAGCTCTAGCCCTCTAGCCTCCCGTGCGGAAGCCTGCCGTACGCCTAGACGCCATCGCCGCGAACACTACACACAAAATTACCCGGCATTCACGTCGTCCCAGCCGCCCCCATTCACAACAGGCACGGCAAAGTCCGCCGCGACCTTGCGCGCCGTGAGCCGCGCGAGGTCTTCCACGAAGTGCAGCCAGGCGTCTAATTCATTCCTCCGCGCGTAGAGTAAATCAGGAACCAACCCGGCGCCGGGCTTCGCTTCATCTTCCCTTAACGCGGCACACACGGCTTCGCCCAGCACGACTAAGTGGGCGTCGCGCGAGTTCTTCGGTCGCTCGAGACCGGTTAACGTAGAGCGGATCCTTGATAATAAACCGCCCTCTGTACTATTGTCGCGGAACAGGAGCCTTTCTAGTCGTTTCGCGGCGTGCGCGTGCAGAGGCTTTCTATCAATGATTGCTAGTAGAACGTCAGCGCTGTGGACGTGTAACACATCGGCGTGCGGATGCGTGAATAACGAATCCGCGCAGGCATCTAAACAAGCATCGCACAACGCGCTGTTCGCGTCGGGGCACCGCGCGAGTCCTCTCAACAATTGTGCCGCGGCAACTTTCTCGAGGCGCGCGCCTTGTGATAACTGCTTTGCTATCCGTGTTGAATGAGGCGCGAGCGCCTTGGCTAGAGCTGGCCTGTTCTCGAAGTCGCCCGATGCGGCCTCTGATAAAATCTCCGCCATGACGAGCAGCGCCTTCGTGGACCTCGCTCGCGCGACGCTCGCGAGGCACCGCTGGTCGTCCACTATTTTTGAGGCGCAGCCCGGTAAAGCATTCAACAGTAATTGGGCCGACGCACCGACATCCAACGCCGCGCAGATTGATCTCAAATCATTCCACGCGACCTTGACGGCGCGGTCCCTTCGACACGCGTCCTTCAGTAACGCGCCGGCCACGTCCGCCGCGCTCGTCGAATTCTTTGAGACGGCGGCGGCGAACCTTGATAATGGTGGAGCGTGTTTTATAGTATCATACCTCGCTACTTCTAACAGCCGCAGCCAGATGCGCGCCCAGCGCGCGTCGCGCATCGTTGATACCGGAGACGGGTCCTCCAGCAAGGCCCAGCACTCTTCACTATCAGCACAGGCTTTGAGGATGGCGACGCAGGCGACGTCGGGGCCGCACAGGACCTCAGACGCGACGTAGGCCCTCCGATCCGCCGGCGTGTACCGCTGTTTCTGATCAACAGTGTCGTCGTCGTCGTCGACCTCTCCGTCCTTCGTGAGGGCGGCTTGCAGGACTAATGATGCATTTGTTTTGAGGAATTCGGCTATGGACGGCGTCGCGCGCAGCTCCTGGAGTAATTCCCGGTTGTCGAGTAGTTTGGTTATGGATTGATGGGGGCTGTCGCTCTCATTGATTTCGGTTTCTTCTTCGTAGTCGAGGAAGTCCATCGCTGCTGTCGGCGCTCGGCGCGCGCTGTGCTGTGCTGTTTTGGCTTTTGGGGGTTTTTTGCAGTGGCCGCGCAGCGATTATTCGTCGCTGACGCTGCGAATCGATCAAAATGACGCACAACAACCAACCAGTCAGCTCTGATCGCGCACGCCCTGCCTTTTTTGCAAACCATAGCTAGCGGTCCGTAACACACTAGAAGAGGCCCGGCATTTTTAAGCAAGGAGGTCGCGTTTGAGCGCTTCAGCAGACTGCACAATGTACAGACCTCTCCGACTACTTGCGTTTGTCGCGCTGGCCGCGCCGGCTTCGGCGTTCTTCAGGAAGATAGGCGGTAACACCCCAGCGCATCAAAAATCTTGGCCGAAGAATCGACCAGCCGCCGCCGGCACGCGTCGATATGTGTCTTGTCGTGAGTACTGTGGACAGTCCCTGCGCGCTGCTCGTCGATATCGCTGCCTTGGTCCGCGGTTCGGCCGAAACGGCCGCGCGCTGGCCGAGAACTCCAGCCGAGAGAGACACACACGGCCTCCACGCCAGCGACGCGCCGGCCGAACTCGAGAGAGACGCCGAGCTCGAGACAGACGCCCTCCACGCCCTCGAGGCGTCTGCTCAAAGACCACACTTCTCGCGTCGCGCAGGCGGCGGCGGCCCGCCCGGCGGCTTCGGCGGCGGCTTCGGCGGCAACGTCTTCCCCACGCCCGGCGAGGAGACGGGCTTCTTCTTCATGCTCCCCAAAAAAAAGAACTCGGCGACGCAGAACGAGAAGACGACGCTCAAGACCAAGAAGAACCGCAAAGCGGAAAAGCACCTCAAGCTCGGCCTGCCCGCCCTGAAGCTCGCCATCGCCCAGAACCCGATCAAGGGCTTCTTCAAGGCCTTCTTCGACTTCTCGCCCGCCGAGGGCTCCGTCACCTACGCCGAGAATACCGTCTCGACGAGGAAGTAAAGACCGTTGTTTCGTTTATCTTCTACCGCCCATCCATCACGCCCGCTCTTCTTAGTAGCACGGAGCCCTAGCGCGTCATTTTAGCGCGTCGCGCGCGCAGAATACCCGCCAGTTAGCCGGAGAGCGCGAGGATCGAGGCGACGGCGGCAGCCTACTAATTGCACGGGCAGCCTAACTAATTGCACGGGCAGCCGGGCAGCATATCTCCAGCCATGCCAAAGAAGAAGAGCCGCAATCGGCGGCCCAACAAATCCACAGCGTCGACAGCGTCGACGGCGGATGGCAAGCTCAGCGTGGGGTGGCTCGAGGACAGCTGCGGCTTCGAGGTCAAGCGCAAGTACAAGCAGGGCGACGCCCTCGTGCAGAAGGCGCTCCGGCATCACGTCGGCTGCATTGTCTGCGGGTCCAACGAGGCCGTGTTCCAATATCGCGCGTGCGGGCGCTGCCGCACGCGGAGCTACTGCTCGCAGCGGTGCCAGAAGACGGACTGGCACAACTTCGGTCACAAGCAGGAATGTGGCATGCGGAAGAAGATGATCGAAGCGGGCCAGCTCCCCAAGGTAAAACGCCTCCAGGGGGAAGACCGCAGCAGCCTGAGGACGGACGTCGCGCGGGCGATCTGCGAGGACGCGGAGGCGTCCAAGGTCAGCGGCAACGCGGGGCTCAAGGAGGGCCGCCACAATGACGCGCTCGGGGATTACAACTGGGGGCTGCGGGCGGGCATCGCCTCGTTCCGCCGCGCGGCCGCCGACGGCGATTCGGAGCTCGAGCGGCGCGCGCGCCGGGTCACCGCTATCCTGGCCGTGAACATGTCGATTCTGCTCCGGCGGGTCGCGGAGGCGGCGCTCACCGGGAAACCGCCGCCGCAGCCTGTCGAGGGCGTCGGGGGCAGGGACTACGCGGACATCGCGCTGGGTCTCTCCCTCTCGATGGCGCGCGAATCGCGGGAGTTTGACGACACGTACGCTCTCAAGTCGCTGGAGGCGGAGTGGCGCGCGAGCAAGACCATCGCGGCGCATTTCGAGGAGGCCGACCGTGAGCGCTACAGCGCGGAGGGACGGGCTCTGAGCGTGATGCCGCAGCTGGCGGCGGAGAGGGCCGAGTACTTCAAGGCGTTGCTCGCGAACCTTCGCCTGAGTGCGAAGAACCAGGGCCCGGGGAGCGAATGCGTCGGCCTCCTCACGTGCGAGTTCATGTCCGTGTCGTCCTACTATAGGCTGGAAGCGGAGCGGTTCGACACGGTACTCGCGCGGGGCGAGGCGTCGCCGTTCTGGACCGAGAAGCCGCCCCCGGCATCGGACGGCCTCGTCGACGGCTTTGGCGTCGCCACGGTCGTCGCGTCGCTCGTGCCTATTCGCGACGGCCAGTGGATCGCAATATCGCTCAACGACATCCAGGGGCGGGACATTGCCATGTCGATCCGTTGTCGTTGCTGCGACAAGCACGGCGACTGCGACGAAATCTCGTCCGACCCGAAAAGGGGCGAGACATGGCTAGAGGGTCAATTCGGGATAGGGCAGACGCGGTCAATCTCGCACGCCGGCTCCGACAAAGCCCACCGGAACGCGGCTGTGTTCCTTGCTGAATTCTTCAAAGACGTCCGCGCAAAGGGCATCGAGCTGTTGAATCTGGTTTTGGGAGCCGGGCTCTTCGATATCCATCCCGAGCGGCCTGGGAACGAAGAATTCGCTGCCGCGCTGCCGCCCATGATGGAAGTCCACTACGCGATCAACCATGTCATGGCGGACGCTCGGCTCGGCGCCGCGGAGGCACTGGAAGGGATGTCTCGACTGAAGTTAGATTTTTAGTTTTGTGTAGTTTCATCTTATCACATGACTGCGACGCCGCCCCCGCGCCCCAGCGTCCCACCTCGCGCGACACGTGCGTAAACCCCGAGGTAGGGCCCGACGGCGGGGAAGTTGTCCGCGATCTCCTGGACGAGGTCCCGGTTGTCCGGCCATCGCTTGCCGGTCGTCGGATGAAAGTTGATCGCGTCGCATCTGACGGTACGCGCGATGACCTCCAGCAGCACGCCACCGATCTCTAGAGTTTTGCCCACCCAGCCCTCCTCCACCCACGCCTCCAAGCCCTCCAACACAACGTTCGGCCGAAAAACAGCCGCGTCAACGTCCAGCCCCGTCGCCCGCCGCACCGCCGCCACGGACGCCGCGTTGACGACGTGGACCGTGCGCGTGTCGCCGTGGTGCCGCACGCCCGACCGCGTGTTCCCGAATTGATGCGCCTCGCCGCCCGTCACGAGCTTCGTCGCCGCGCCGACGCGGCGCCGGATGATGTCCTCGATCGTCCCACGGCCCTTTTTAGTAGAGGGGTCCACCGTCACGGCGTCGGCGCCGTAGAACGTCAATCGACCATTGGCGAACGAGGTATTCAGCGACGCCAGCCGGTCCCGGCTCCGGAAGGCGCCGAAGAAGTGCTGCTTGTGGACCCACTGCGGCGCCGCCGCGTCGAAGCCGCCGTCGTCAGCCGCGTCCGCGACGGCCCAGAGGCGATCCTGCGGGAACGTGCCGTTCTCGACTAGCGTCACTTGGGGCAGGGAGTCCGGCGGGAAGCCCTTGATCGGGTAGCGCCACAGAGTGCTGACGGTCGCTGGCACGTCTCCCGCTGCCGCGGTTGCGCGCAGAGGCGGGGCGCGCCGTTTGATGGCGGGACATGTGCGAGGCGGCGCTTGGTAGGCGGTTGCGAGCGCCGCGAGGGTTGCGAAACGCATCTTTTGCAGCTGTTTGCCAGCAGTTACTCTCCCGAGCAGCGGTGGCAGCTGGAGCAGCAGCAACAATGAGCTGTGCACTTGTGCAAGAGTGCTATTGCGCGGCGTCAGCGTTGCGCAGCGCTGGCGCAGCAGCAATGCGGTACGCACAGAAGCGTCAGGCGGTGCCGAACTTGGCCAGTCAGCTCGAGAGCCTCACGTCATTGCATCATCTAATGGATTCCTAGTGTCTTACAGACCGCTAGCTCATTATTTTTGCTGTTTTTTTGCCAGCCTTGGCAGCTTTTACGACGCACGCGCGCACAGTTGGATAGGAGCTGACGCTCCAGTCCCTCGCTGTCGACGCGGCCTGTCGAGAATCACAGCCGCAGCGGTCGCCAGCCACATACAGACAGACATACAGCGCAGAGCCGACAGCGTAGGATGCGGCGCGCGCTCGCGACGCTAGCGCTCGTAGCGCTCGAAGCAACCGCCGAGCCCTGGCTCGACGCCGCGGTCAGCAAAAGCCACAAGAAGCGCGACCCTATAGCGAAAAAGTACGGTCAGTGGATCCCCGAGACGCACATGTGGCGCAAGAGATTAGATTACAGATTAGCACAAGTGAGGAGGATCGAAAGCTCCCAGGAGCGCTGGGACGCGGCGATGAATCTAGCTGTGAGTGGTCTGTTGGTGAAGAACTTTACGAGTGTGGGCTATGAGGTCGTGAAGACCCCAAGACACGTCCACGAGAAGCTGAACGCGACGCTCGTTGCGGGCTTCGATCAACAGAGGACAGAACATAAGGTGGACCAGATCTCGGGGGAGGTTGCCGGTTTTGTGGATCTCGGGAGATTGGCGAATGAGATCATGGAGGACCTGCGGCCGATGCACGAAGAGTGGTCCCAAACGAAGCTGCGGGCGTCGAACGCGTATGGATTGAGGATATATCGACCGGGCAACACGCTGACCATGCACACGGACAAGCTCGAGACGCATGTTATCAGTGCCATAGTCCATGTTGATAGGGATGCGGAGCCGTGGCCGATCGTGATCGAAGGCTATGATGGGAGGAGTGTGGAGGTCGACCTGCAGCCGGGCGAGATGCTCTTTTACGAGAGCGCGAAGTGCATCCACGGGCGGCCGCGGCCGTTGGAAGGAAAATGGTACACGTCGCTCTTCGTCCATTATAGACCTATTGATTGGAGCCTGCGCATGGAGGACGCGCGGGCGTTGGCCGAAAAGTGGTGGGGCTCGGAAGGGTTCCACGTCCCGGACGACGGCGCCTATGATAGGCTGCAGCTCACGGGGACGGGCTACTACGAGCCCGACTGCGAGCACCGGTGGTGCGACCTGCCCGGCGTCGACCATGGCGATGCTGAGAGGCGGGCGGCGGCGCGGGGCGAGCTGTGAGGGCGCGGCGATGGCGTCGGGGGGTCGCTATCGATTGAATAAGTCATTGTGTATGGTGCTTAGGCCCTAATAGCTCCGCAGAGATTTCGTAGCAAATTGCCCCGGTTGGTCCGGGGATTCGTCTCCGCGGCCAGCACGGCGACGGCTGCCACCGAACCGTAGAAGCCCGTGTGGGCCCAGAACGCGACGACGCGCGGGAATACTTCCTCGGGGATGTGCGCGGGGAACTTCTTCGCGAGCGTCGCCGCGAGCGCCTTCGCGTGCGCCTTCTCGTAGGCCTGGAAGCCGCCGGCCGCCTCGACCATGCGCAGATACTCGTAGCGCTGCGCCTTCTCGGGGCAGCGTGAAGTTTCCATGAACCCTCTCCAGAAGTTCGGAACATCAGCACCGGCTCGGAGGAAAAGGGGCCACAGGCGGTGATACCCGAAGGTGACCGCTATCCCAAAAGGAGTTTCAAAAATAAGTGCCCTGATCTGGCCGTGCAGCGGATTGATCCGTGCCGTGTAATCGGCGCCGGCCGCCAGTAGCAGTCGAACAATTTCGTACGTTGCACGGTTCCCCCCCAATCTACAAGCGTGATGCAGTATCGTGTTTCCTTTGGGGTCCGCCGGCGCATTCGGGTCGGCTCCGGCCGAGAGGAAAAGCCGTACAAACTCGGGCCGGCCCTGTTCTACCGCTAAACCAAGCGGTGTATTTTCCCATCTCTCTCTCGTAGGACCGTCGGGGAGGGCGCCGGCGTCGAGACAAAGTTCGATGCAAGCGAAGATATTTCGCACAGCGTCGGCGTCCTCCGGTCGCCTCCTGTGGTTGAGCATGGCCATGGCGCATTCGATCGCGTCTAAGCCGCCAGCCAGCTCGATCCCGTCGCCTATCACGCGCGCCGCCGGAGCGTCTAGCTCGTTTGGGTCCTCGCCGCGGGCGAGCATTTCGCGGACTAGTTCGACGTCGCCGCCGGCGACTGCCCGCTGAAAGGGCCCCGGCGTGAGGAAAGAGAGATATTTAGCATGCGCTTCCTCCCAATCATAATCACCCGCTTCTCCCGAGACCCAAGCCTTAAGTTTATCCAGGCCCGTCCTGACAAGTCCAAACATGTTGTTACAGTGATCTCTCTCCAGTAGATGCTGGGCACCGATCGCTCTGTGTGAAACCGGTTGGTATCAGTAACGTGGGTAATGATGACGAAATCTAAATGCGCCGAACGCCGCGAGCGCCCGCTATAGCTTGCAAATTAATTTGCAAATTAGCCGAGCTAGCGGTATGCAAGACACTAGAAAAGAGCAAGAGCTGTTTTGCGGCAGTAAAGGCTGTTTAGAGCTGGCTTCCAAGGCCTGGCGCTAACGCAGTGTGCTCCCTGTTCAGCAAACTCGCTGCGCGCAAAGCCTGGCGACGCCTGGCGACGCCGATCAACAGCAAACAGATAAACTAGGAGGCAGAGCAGACAGGGCAAAGATGCTCGTCGGCCCAAGACTAGAACACAAAGGTGGAGGCAGATTAGAGCTGCGGCACGTCAAAGTGCGCCCCACAGTAATATGCGCATTCATCGCACTCATCGCGGCTCTCACCGCCGACTCGAAGCATCATAGAGATGTGCTGCGCTGCGCGACGCACGAGCGACACAACAAACGAGAGGACAACGACTGCGTCGTCACGAGCAGCCCGCGCGGCGTCGACCGCCTCTGGGAGAAGCGGCTGCGGAGCACGTTTGAGGTGGCGTCGGCAGATATCGTTCTCGAGGTCTCGAACGCGTTAAGGACGCGCCAGAAGAGCGGCACCACGGCGAACGCGACGCGGTTACGACTCCTCGCGGAGGCGCTCCACGCGGACCTGGACGCGGACCACCCTCCAAGACGACAGGCCCTCAAGAAGCGGCCGGGGCATGTATCATCTACCTTGGTGGTCACGGACGAGGCCGGCATGAGACGTAAAGTACACGTGTTTGACGACATCGAGCGCGCGTCCCACGCGCTCCGCCAGATCCAAACTTACCTCGATGAGGCGTCGATAGGACCCGCAGCGTTATCGCTCAAGTACGACGACTCGGGCACGGATGAATTACTTGTACTAGTCTGCCTGATCATCCTCGTCTACGCTATGTGCCAGCCAGCTTATGAAGTGGTGACCATCGACGCGCACGCGGAAGTTGTCAGAGTGAGACGAAGGAATTTGCTAGGCTACGCGTGTTTGGATCTGGCCGTCGCCGTCGAGAATGTGGATCAACTCACAGTAACCGAACACGCCTTGGTTCACGATTTGCTCACCTATGAAAACCGCACAGAACTACTAACGCGTGTCGAGCCGCAGCCGGCTTCTCGGCTAGCCGCGGATGCCGCTTTACGACGACTAGCTCGACTCACACCCTCAACCACCGAATACGGGCTACGGTTGGCATTGCACGCGCCCCCAGAGGACAATCGGAGGTTCGTGCGGCGCTGCGTCGACGTGGATCTGGCGTTTGGCTGCAAGTTTGGGGATTCTGCCGCTCTGAAGAAGGCCGTGGAAGAGGCGAATGCGGCCTTACTCAAGTGCGGGCCGCCAGACATTGAAAACAATGAGGGTTCTACGACGGACTGCGCCGTCTGCTTAGTAAGGAGGCGCGACGCCGTGCTGGCGCCGTGCGGGCACATGTGCGCCTGCTACCGATGTGCTTCTAGATTAGAAAGGAGGGGCGAGCGGTGTCCCATTTGCCGCGCCCCGATTGCCTCTGTCGTGAAGGTGTTCGCCTGATGTGATGTGTGTGTAACAGTAATACTTAACCACAACCGGGCGCCCGCCTTGAACCAGCAGCTCGTTTCGTGCGCTCCCGGTCCCGCACACACAACGCGTGGGACTCCGAGAGCGAGTCCTTGCACGCGAGGTAGCCCCCGCCGTTGTGCTCTCCTAACTGAGTGCCGTCGCTTCCTATCAAGTCACAAGGTGCCGCCGTACCCTTCAAAGGGTCGACGCGCCCGAACTTGTGAGTAGCGCGCCAGTGCTCTAATACATCTTGACGCGACGGCGCCGCCCGACCGTCATCAAAAGGCGCCAGACATTCGGAGAGAGGATTCAGCGACTTCCCGTCGTCGATCGTCGCCCACGCGCCAGGAACATCATAATCGATGAGCTCCTCGTGGAACAATCCGTTGTCGTTGGGCGACGCATCCAGAATAAGTGTTTTCGAGCCGATCGCGCAACTCAAAACCATGAGCAGGTTGTCCCAGGCGAGCCAGCGTCTCTTACAAGCTTCTCCGTCATTACCTCTACGTCTTTCCGCCGCGCACCTTTTATTGGCCGGCCCGGAATAGTATGGGCTTTTGGAGCAGAGCCCGTAGATCCAGTGTAAAGCAGCTAGAGACGCGTTGCCAGGCGCCTCCTTTCTTAAGGCTAGCTCGTCGAAGAGTTCCGAGACGGGCCGCTTCGCGCGCCATCGGCCAGAGGGCGGCGCGAACGCCGCTTCCGTGGCATCGACGGCGGACTCGCGCCAGCGGCGCCACCTCGCATCGATCGCGTCCCAGCTCGTCGCGCAGGGTATTGGGAGTGCTAAAAAACCGACGGCGAGGTGCACGGCTCTGTCTTCGTGCGACCGCGGTGTCTTCTGCTGCTTAAAGAGGCTCTTCACCCAATGGCCGACGCCCAACGTCCGTTGGTCGTCGAGGCGCCTCCTTTCTATGTCTGGAGAACCAACACCAGACAAGGCAGCCAGCGCACTCACGTAGTCCTCGCCACCAGTTAAATCCTGCCGCCGGCCCACCTCCCTCAACAGATCGGCGACCGCCGCACCCTTGCTCCGGGAAACAAAAGGAGCGACCACTTTAAGGCCTAGACCGGTGCCCTTCCAGACGTTGCAGAAGAGGCCGGCGATGCCCCGCGAGGTGATCGGGAATTCACTGAGGACCCAGTCCGGGCCTCCGTACTGCTCTATCTCGACGTATTCTCCCGTTTTGAGGTGTGTGAATTTCTTCCTTCTCGTAGGGACGTCCCACCTTCCATCAAGAGGGTTGTCCGGCCTACCTAGCACGGCACCTTGTGTTGTAGATAACCCGAGCGGATACAAGGGGTACTTCACCGCGGCACTAGCGTGGGTCCACGACGGCGCCGGGCCCAATCGAGCTCCCCATGAAGACTTGAGGTCCTCCTCCTTTTGTGAGACGCGCCTTAACATGGCCTTCCACCGGATATATGATCCATATAACACGCCGTGCTCCTCGCCTTGTTGAGCACGTTCAATCGCTTTTTGTGTAGGTACGATATCCGTGGTGGCGTCGTTCGCCGAGTAGTAGACGCCTTTTGGTATATAAGGTAACGCCGGGCCTCGATAAAAGTAGTCGAGCGACTCGTAGAGGTTTACGAGTTTTGTATTATCTTGTTCAATCATAGCTGGGTAGACCGCCTTGAGGTATTGGGCGATTGTAGACTTGCCACCGTACTTCAAACGGCGTGAATCCTTGAATAGCGTCGACGTGTTCAGGACTAAAGAGTAGGCCGAGTGCTTGCGCGTGAAGGCCAGCCGCAGCCCGTCGTCCACCACTATCAACGAAAAGGGCGTCTGCACGCCCTCGCGATGCTTCCCCGGGTCGCTCCTTCTTGGAATCAACGCGTCGAAGGCTTCTGAGGAAGATGCATGCGGCACGGGCGCGTGGAACTCCGGCGACGTTTTTGTGATACAGAAGGGCGGCTTTGGAGAGAAGGCGTAGGCGAACAGCGCTTTGAGCTGCACCTCGTGGCCTAAATGCCTGACGGTTTTGCCGATTGCGACGTACTCGTTGTTTACTAATATAGCGTTCGAGCCCGGTTCGATGCGCACGGAGTCAAATAAAGGCGTGGCTCCGCCCAAGGCCTTGCGCAGGGCTTTCCCAGCGCCGGGGCAGTTGTATGAGTGGAGGTCGCCAAGTCTCGACGTCACCGCGTCGCCGAGGTAATCTAGGTAAGTGTGCGCATATAAAACATCGTCATACAAAAAGGGCGCCCAGTCGCCGTAGGGCGCATCCACGATGGAAGGTGTACTAAGGGAGGGCCCGTCCCCGTTGATGGTCCCGTGCGCGATGAATTTTGATCTTTCATAAGTCCCGTTCCTTTCGGACCAGTCGGTGTAGAGGACGACGAAGCCGTCGACATGAGTTGTGGGGAGTACTCTGGGATTCTCGGGCCCGTTCGCGCCCCTTCTTCTACCTCGCTGGCCTTCGCGCGGGCACTGTCGCTCCGGCGCGTGGGCCTTGATTGAGGTGGAGGCGCCGCCGCAGACCTTGACCTCGAGGTCATACAAGGCGTGGCACAGCAATTCGCCGTCCCGTCCGATCGGCGGGCGCCGCTTCTTGTACGCTGTTACCACTTTCGAGCCGACCCGCGCTTCCGCGCGGTCCGCGACGCGGCCGTGGCGCACCGCTCGGATGGCTGCTGCGCCGCGCCGCTGTTCCACCGCGCAGGCGTCGTCCGTATCAGACGCCGCGGCCAGGGCCGCAGCAAGCAGGATTGACCAGCCGATCATTGTGGCTAGCTACCCTTAGGCGTCAAAATCGAGCCCGGCTCGCTGCAGCGCACCATCAATGTCTTCGAATGAGCTACTCGCGACTGCAACGCAGCGACTGGAGCTGCTCAAAAAAATTGCGAGGCGAGCCTGGCCAGGCTAGCGTCGTGTAAGACACTAGCTTCACTCGAAAGAGGCCGATGTTAAGCGGTGACGGCAAAAGGGGATCAAAACGAGATTGGAGGATTCTCCGGGAGATCTGACTACGATGACGACGAAGGTTCGAAACAAAGGCGCCCAAAGAGCCATTTTGAAACGACTCCTGCAGCTGCATGTCGATCACAGCACGATCGTGGACGGCTTGTCTTTAGCGGATGTGAGCACGACCCTAAACTTGAGTCGTGCTGAAACCGAAGCCCACGTCGAAACGCATATCTCGGAGGGTTATCTCTACTCGACGATCGACACCGACCACTATAAGACCACGTGCGATGAAATGCCCTCGGACGAACAATTATCGTCGTTGGCGGCGGCCCAAGGGCCGCAGCGGTCGGCTCCGTCGGCCACCGCGCCGTCCAGGCAGCAGCCCGCTCCGTGGCTCCGCCGCGAGCTCGCGCAGTCTGCGGCGCAGATGAGGCGGATCCGAATTATGCGGTCGCGTGCTTGCAGTGGAAGCTCGAGGAGACCACGCGCAAGCTCCGGGAGACCACGCTCAAGCTCGAGGAGACCACGCGCGAACGCGACGACCACGAGCAGGAACGCAAGATAGCCTACAAATTTATCGAGATGCAGAGGGACAAACTCGCGCAGCAGAGACGCGACATATGACCTCCAACTCGTATAAAACGCGGCAGTTCTGGCCTTTCGGGGGGCGGCGGACCTTTGAGACACTTGCGACGAAGGCGCCGCCCGTCGCGTGCGCCAGGTTCACGAAGTTGCCCGCCCGAATCGTGCGCACTCTATCAATTCCATCTCTATCTGGTCGCCACGACGCGCACGCCCTACTTAAATCGGTCGGCGGCGGCTCGTAGGCGTCGAGCTGGCGCGTGGCGTTCTGTGTTGTTGGTGCCGCCGCGGCGGCGAGCAGGCACAGGTGGCGGATCATCGCGCGGCGTCGCGCTGGCTGACCTCACACAGGTCCTTGAAAAATTAAAAATTTGCCTCTCGTGATTGCCGCGGCGCTACCGTCTCCTCACGATCTCGCCACAATTGGTCCGCCGTCGCGGTAACCCCGTGCGGCCGCGTAGACCGTGAGTCTGAATCGCTGGCTATTTTTTTGGTGCGTTTTGGCTTGCTAGTGTCTTACAGGACGCTAGCTTAATGCGGCGCGTAGTTTTTTGCTTCCTACTATCGCTGCGTGGCATCAACAGCTCATCATACGCACGCCTCACATCGCTGCTGCTGGCCCAGCGCTGCTTGTGCAAGCTCCGCTCTTCAAAGCCAGTAGTACGCGAGCCCAGCTTTCCAGCAGCGAGTGCGCAGCCGCCGCGCGCAGCCGCAGCGCGCCGCAGCGCTGACACCACAAAGCCAGTAGTCGCAGCCGCCGCAGCGCGGCGCACTGCTCGAACACCAATCCAGCGCACGGCACCGAAGCGATGGCCGACGCGACGCCGCCGCCGTGGATGCAGCCCGGCGCGCCGCCGACGCACGCCAAGAAAGAAGCTGTACCACCGCCACAACCAATGGAGCAAGACGACGACGAGGACTTGTACGGCAACGAAACCCAAGAAGAAGCTGATGCCAAATTCATGGCCGCGCTCGACGCGAACGAGGCAAGAAAGGCCGCGAAGCAGGCCGCCTTGGATCTCCAGGCGAAGGAGGGCGACGCCGAGTACGAAAAAATGAAGCCGCCGCCGCCGCCGAATGGTGGGTACGAGGAGCCCTCCGAGGAGGTCCTCAAGATGCGCGCAACGATGGAGAAGGTCTTCATGGCGACGCTGACGGACCCCCACTACCAGAAACATCCCGTGCCCATGGTCCGGTCCCAACACTCGCACGACACGTGCAAGGAGTTACTCGATTTATGCAAATTGCCTGAAGAAGAATTACCGCAGCCGCACATCATCAAGCGCAAAATCGAGCAAGCTCGGGTGGATCCGGACGCGTGGGTCCGCGCGACGGCCGGAAGTGCGGCCAAGGCCTTTGGCATCAAGGAAGTCGCGGACGACTTTGATGAAGAGCTGCGGCGGAAATTTGGGCATTTGTTGTCGGATGAGGACCGGGCGGGGCCTCGGCGGTGGGACCCGGTTGGATTGTTTGACGATAGATGGAAGTCGGAGTTGGTCTTACCACCTCTACCCGAATTCGAGAAGCACTGCAACTTTCGCACCGATGAAGAAGTAAGGGAATTGATGGCGCAGCGGTCCGCGCCGCGACAGGCGCCTCGGAGCGCTCCACAACAGGCGCGGGGCCGCGGTGGTGTCCAGGGCCGCCTGGGCCGCGGCCGCGGTCGCTCGGGCGACAAGCCGCGCTTCAAGCCGACGCAGAAGCGGCGCGCCGTCGTCATGTTGGATGATGCCCCCGAGATCAAGCCCGTCGGGAACTGTGTGGAAATCAAATTTCGGGCGCCCCACTAACCTAACTCACTGGTTGATTTCCTCACAGGTCGGCAAAGACGGGCGCGTCAAGGAGCCCCCGAAGCCGAAGCCGGAGAAACCGGCGCCCGCACCCGCGGGCCCCGACCCCGACGACGAGACGCTCGACGATTTGTCGAAGAAGGCGATCACGGACGTGTTCGGCGAGAATTTGAATTTACTGGATGATGCAGGTCGGAAGTTGCTCGGGCTGTTTTTGAGGAAGGCCCCCAAGCCGCCGGGCGCGGGCGACAAGGTCAAGGTCCACCAGGAGACGGACAATGAGGCCATACGCACGGACTACCTCAAGCTGAACTGGGACGACTACACTTATACCCGCACTAGGAAGCGGAAGGCCGTGCAGGCGCCCGCGGCGACGTAATAATTATTGTGGTTTAGTTGACTACCCCAGGAGCTTGGCCTTGGCCGCGGCGAACTCGCTGTCGGTCAGCGCGCCCTTCTGGTGCAGCGCGACCAGGGCCTCGAGCTCGGACGCGATGCCCGCGCGCTCGATCGGCTGCTGCAGTGCCGGTGCCTCCACGACCACGCCGTCGACCGGATCGGAGGTCTCGAACTTGAGGCCCACGTTGACCTCGCGCGTCCTGACCCTGGTGTCATCGCCACCGCTCACGCGCGTCTCGGTCGCCAGAGCGACGTGGACACCGTAGGGCGCGTATTTCGCCTGCTCGCCCTGGACGAGCGCCAGCCACGCTTGGTCGGCCCGCTGTTGCTCCTCCTGGATCTTTCCAACTGACGCAAAGGCCGTGCACACGCGGCAGCAAACGCAGCATGGAATCATCGGCCCGCCCAACGTGTTGAGGGCCCGACGCCGCATCTCGTTATCCTCGGCGACTCGCTGCGCGACGGCGTCGAAGGTGGCCGTCCATATGGCGTCGGGCACGCGGCCCGCGAGTTGTGGCGGGAGCGGCGCGCGCTGGCAAGTCCAGACGATCTCCTCCGGCCGCGGGATCGTGGATGCGATCGCGCCTCCGCCTTTCATGAAAATCGCACCATGGCCCACGCGTTTGTCGTTCGTCGAACCCATCGGCTTCAGCTCAAAGGCAGGCATGGTCTCGTCGTTTCTAACTCCCGTCGCGAGGCTAGGGCGATCCCGAGGAGGATTTGTGGAAAAATACAAGAGGAGAGGGAGAGGGAGAGGTGGAGGTTTCGTCGCAAGCCGCCGCGAGCCGCCGCAACTTAGGATTACCAGCTATTTTTGCGCTTGCTCGCCAGCGTATGCGTTCTCCGCGCGGGTTGACAATTTTTGCTTGCTAGTGTGTTACACGACGCTAGCCCTCGCGCGCTCGACTCGGGTCCCTGCTGGACTGAGAGTGCCTTGCCAATCCGCTGCGCACCGGAGCTTCGGAATAGATTCATCTGCCTGCCGCCAGACAAACTCTACCGCCTCCAGCATTCATTGGCGCTCAGATTTCAAGCAGTGGCTGGGAGAGCTTACTATACGAATACTCCATACGGTCGCATTGATCCGTTTGGCAGCTCAACAACGCCTCAGCAGCGAAGATTTTACACTACTGTAAGCGCTGAAAAAGCGGTGGCCGAAGCGCGCGACTCTTTGGCAAGGTCGTCTCGTCACGCAACCATGGCCGAGAAGCAACCGCTCACCAACGGGTCGTCCTACGGCGCGACGACGAAGCCGCCGACGCCGACGGGAGCGCACAGCATGGACCTCCTGCGCACGTCGAGCAGCAAAAATCCGATCAACACGTCGTCGAACGTATTGCTCTTGTACCGGATGAACGAACTGCAGCACCTTGGCCGGGTCAACTTCGGGCTGGCCGTCGGGACGCTTTTATATCTCGCGACGAACGTCGTGTTGTTCACGTTCAACGCGATGGACCGCAACGACGACGCGTGCGGCGACCCGGAAGGCATCAAGTACGCGCGCTGCGGGTCGCCCGTGTCACCGCTCCAGTTCCACATCTACGAGTTCTGGGCCGGGTTCTTATTTGCGTGCATCGAGGCGACGTCGTTGATCTTCACGCCTCGCGCATTAGCTACAGTGAGCAAGAGGCCTGGTTTGTTACGGACAGTTTTGATGTTCGACATCATGTCGACGTTCATCGCCGCTATTTTAGTGACGTTCAATTTGGACGTCTTTGAAGTCCCAGCTCATGAAATCGAGTTCTCCAACGAGCTCACTTTAGCCCTAGTGAATATCATCTTCCTGCGGTCGCTCGCGCGAGGAAGGGGAGAAAAGGGCGTCCTCGTCGCCTCGATGGTAGCCATATGCGCGCCGCTCTTCCAGCTCGCCGTCTACAACTCTCCCTTGAAATACGGCGAGCAGTACGCGCACGCCGTCGAGTTCACGTTCGGCGCCGCGAATTGTTTTGTCACGTTCTGGTTCTGCCTCGACAACTGGTTCGTCGCCGAGGAGGAGCTGCGCTGCATCAAGTACGGCGACCCCGTGTCCTGCCGGCACTGCATCGTGAGCCACTCCCTGAAGAAGGCCGAGCTCGCGACGCACCGCGTCAACTCCCTCGTCTAAGCTGTGTATATCCTGTGACACAACATCTTTTACTCCGCCTCGACGGCGCGGTAGACGAGCTCGGGGCCGGCTCCCAGCGCCGCCGCGAGGGCGTCGTCGTCGGCGTGACCGAGCGGCTCGACGGCGACGAGGTGCGCGACCGGCGCCTCCCGCGTGCCCGACATGGCGTCGTCGACCCAGGCGTGGACCCGCGCCGCGCTCGTGTCGACGCCGCAGCGGCCCAGCGCGTCGACGCAGCGGCAGAGCGCCAATAAGTGCCGGCTGGCGTCCGGTCTCGCGAGCGCGCCGGAGCTCGTCTGCGTCGCGCGGACGACGACGCCGCGGCGCACGGCCAGCACGTAGCGCCGCGCGCGCGCGGGCCGCTCGCTCGCGGGCCACGGCCGGCCGACGAGGCACGCCCACGTCGCGCCCGCGTCGACCGGCGGCGGCGGCGCGTCATTCAAGTCGTCGAGCGCCGTGAAGCGCGCGCCCCGCGCGACGCACAGCGTCGCGCTCGGGCCCTCGGCCAGCACGTCCTCGCGCGAGGCCTCGCCCTCGAACGCGCCGGCGGCGCCCGGGATTTGGGCTAAAAAGGAGCCAGCGGCGGCGCAGGCTAATCGGGCAGTCTCGCGCTCCGGGCGCGTCTTCGCCTCGGCGAGGACCTCTCCGATGAGCTTCGCGAGCAGCGCCGACGCCTCGCTCTCGATGGCGAGCCGTGGCGCCGGTGGCGCTTCCTCCTCGTCACTACTCTCGTCGTCTTCCGTGCTGCTCTCGGCCGGACCGAAGAAGCGCTGGTAGCGCTGCTCCTCGGTTTCTTCTTCCTCGTCTAGGACCGCTGACATTATTTTGCAACCGAGCAGTGATTTCTGTGCAGCGGGCAGGGTGCAGCTCGCTGTGAGAGGCTGTGAGAGGTTGTGAGAGGAGAGGCTGTAAAAGGGCTTTGGAGCCTGATACGTGCACGGCTTTTAATGCTGGCCGCTTGCACGATCGATGTGATGTACGGAAGCGCCCTGACACGCCTGCAAGCGCACCAAAGCGTCCCAAGCTCGAGGGCCGCGCCGCCGAGCTAGCTAGCGTCGTGTATAGACACTAGGAACACATTTTGGAGACCTCGCACCATTGCAGTGGCAGCCCATGCTCGATGGGCAGCCCTTTGGGATGCATATTCCTCGATCGCCGACTGTTTAAGCTACTAGGCTCTCAGTAGTTTAACTGGCCGAGGTCATCTCAGAAATTTCCCGCCGTCGACCTCCCGTCGTCGCACAAGCAAGCGCAGCCGCACAACAAGCACCAACACAACAAGCACCATGGCCGCTATCGCCGCGCCCGTTCTAATCGACCTGACCGACCGCGCCGACGCGCTGCCGCCGGCCCACAAGTTCCGCCAGCCCCCCACCAAGCCCACAGCGTGGGAGCTGCGCGTGGAGGCGGCCAACAAGGCCCGCGACGCCATCCTCGCGCGCAAGATCAGCAAGGCCGAGGCCATGCGCACGCTCAAGCACGAGCCGCCGGCGCCGCCGGCCGCCGCGCTCCTCCAGAAGCTCCTCGACCGGCTCCAGTCGGCCGAGGTCCGCCGCGACGTGGAGTTGGAGTCCATCAAGTACAAGGCCAAGGCCATGGCCGCGCCCCGCAAGCCCGTCGCCGTCGACGCGGCCAAGCTCGCCGCCGAGCTCCAGGCCAAGCTCGAGGCCGCGGACCAGCGCCGCCGCGCCTGTTTAGCGGAGAAGGTCGAGAAGGCCACCTCCACGTCGCCGCCCAAGACGCCGCCCAAGCCCAAGGCGCCCTGCCTCCAGGAGAAGCTCGACGCCGCGTCGGCGCGCCGCCAGCTCTTCCTCGACGAGCGCGTCACGAAAGCGTCGGACATGGCCTCGCCGTCCAAGGCGCCGAAGCCGGCGCCCGAGGCCCTCAAGGCCGCCCACGACGCGACGCTCGCCGACGCCGGCGCGCGCCACGATCATGAAATCGAGCAGCGCGTCGCCAAGGCGCACGTCGCGTCGGCGAAGGTCGCGCGCGCGGAGCAGAAGCGCGAGGCGCTCGTCGAGCGCGCGAAGGTCGAGCTGCGCGAGAAGATGGCCGCCGCGGCGGAGCGCCGCGCCGCCGCGCTGCGCGTTGTTCAGGGCAAGGCCGCGACGGAGGAGAAGCTCCAGGCGGCCAAGGCGCGCAAGGCCGCGCTGGCCCAGGACGCGTCGGCCGCCGAGTGATCGCGCGGCACTCCAAGACTTAAGCTCCCCCGCCCCCCGTCCCTGACGTGAGCGTGGCGTAACCTTTCTTATTTTGAGGTCGTTTTGGCCCGGGTAGCGTTATGTGCAATATTTACATTTCCTCCTCGTCGGGCAGGAGCACCGCGTCGCCGAGAGCCCTACGCTGACACGGCGCCGCCAGCACCACCACCAATACCAGTAGCGCCAAGCTCCATGGCGAAGAAAATGAAGCAACTCTCATAGCAGCCGGCAACTACGCGTCGTCACTTAATCATCTGCGGCGCTTCAAAGAAGCCAAAGCACTTTTTCTAAAAATTATGCCCGTGGCACAACGCATTCTCGGAGAGAGTTCTGATGTCACGCTCAGGTCGCGGTTTCTTTACGCGTTGGCGCTCTACAGGGACCCCGGCGCCACGCTCGACGACCTCCGCGAGGCCGTGACGACGCTCGAGGAGACGGCACGGACCGCGCGGCGCGTGCTTGGAGGGTCGCACCCGCTCACAGAGGTGGTCGAGTTCCGCCTGCGAGAGGCGCGAGCCGCGCTCGCCGCCCGCGAGACGCCATCGGCGAGTGCGTAATTATAAGGATACAAACAACATCCGCCTGTGGGGGGCGCGACCCGTGCGCAGCGGCAGATATGCCATTAAACGAGAAAGTAACAAACAATACAACCTTACGCCGTCTCCCGCGCCGCCTCCAGAAAATCCAAAGCCACGCCCTGCGCCCAGCCCGGCGGGCCGCAGGGGTCCGCCGCGTCGCACCAGCCGAGGTGTCCCCCCGTCGCCGTCACGGCCACGACCAGATTCGGGTTCGCGGCCAGCGTCTCCGCGTCGAAGACTCCTGGTTTATTATTGTACTGCGCGATGGGGTCGTCCGCCGCGTTCAGCACTAACAGAGGCACGCCGATATCTTTGATACGCTGGTCGGCCGACGCGTCCTTATAATAAGCGTCCACAGAAGGAAAGCCGAAGCAGGGCGCCGTCAGCGCCTCGTCGACGGCTCTAATCGTACAAGCGGTAGAAGCCTTCTCGACATCAGCAATAAACTCACCGCCAAAGTAGGCCGGGACTGGCTTCGGGCCGGCGGCACCCACAAACAAATGCTGGGCCGTCCGGAACTTCTCGGCCAGCGAACCGCCGATGGCGCGGTCGTAGACGTTCCGGTGGAACGGGCGCTCGAAATTGGCGGACGACGAAGGCATATCTAAAGGTGCAGCTAAACAGCACGCCGCGTCGATCAATGAGTCTGGCTCGGAGAGAGCGTTGCAGACGATCGTGCCGCTGTTGGACCAGCCGATCGCCGCCAGTGCTTGCGGTCGTATGTGAGCGCGGATCCACGCCGTCGCGGTTCGCACGTCCTCGACGGAACCATGTCGCGCGGAGAAGAAGCGCGGCGACGTGACCGGCGACCCTCCACAGCTTCTCATGTTCAGGACGCCAACTTTCCAGCCTCTATTTACAGCCGCGGCGGCCTGGGCCCGCACGTACGTGTCCTGCGACCCGCCGCCCAAGCCGCTCAGGAGGAGTAGAAACGGGCTCGCATCTTCCTCGACGGCGCCGTCGACGTACGTCGCTCCTGTCGAATCCTTGCTCGTCTCGTCGCTTACTTTGTCGACGATATCCAGCGCGAGCGAGCCGCCGTCCGGCGTGGTCAGGAGGTGGCGCCGGTAAACGACAGAGGCGGTCCAGCGGAACTTAGCCGCAAAAATGGTATGTGCGTGGCCGTTCTTGAGGTATGCTGGGGATTTAAACCAGCCCGCCCAGCTCCGCAGGCCTGGGGTTCGTGCCACGAAGCGCGCAACGGCCGCGTCGCCGGCGTAGACGCCCGCGTCGCGGCGCGCGAATGATTCCGCCGTGTTGCGCGTCTCGACATTGATTAATTTGCGCTCGGTCCGCGCCGGCGGGTTGATGACGATGGCGGCGGCCACCGCGCATCGCGCGAGGTGCAGGAGTGGGGGGCGGATCATCGGCGACAATCACAAACTACTGGCAGTAGCCCGAGGCCTTGTTGCGTCCTCGAAACGCCGCAGCGGCACCGCGCGCACGTGAGGTGGGTCTGGCTGCCAAGTCCCGGTCGTGTGGCGCACCAGAGGTCGTGCGCGCTTCAGCTGTTGCAATTTGTCGATAGCACTATCGGATTAGCGATGCTACCGCGACGATTTGATTGCTTTAACTGCACTCGCGTCGCACACGCGCACGATGACCTGTCAAGACAGCCACAGCCTGCTCCAACCAGACATCTGCACTCTCCGACGGACAAGGGCTCAAGCAGGCCATGCAAGGCTCCGTTTGTCCAGCCCAGCGACCTTGTTTGTTTGGCGCGCCGAACCCGCACGCAGCGATTGCTGTCGTCGAGGAGCCAAGCGCGCTGGTTCAACGAGGTCCCGGTGGAGCTTAGAGTTCATTAGCTTGCTACCTGAATTACCTCTTGGTGCCATTGATCGCTGTGCAAGGGAACGGCTCCGACAGTGTAGCCCTTTGCACTTATCCAATATCTAGCCAGCCCCAGCGCTAGCCGAGCGCGCACAGCAACGATGGCGCCGACCTTCAGGAGGCACGGCGCCGTCGCGCTCCTCGCGAGCGCCTCCGCGCTAGTCGCGCCGCGACCGCTCGCGTCCAAACCGCGACGGCCGACGCTAAAGGCCACGCCGACGATGGGCCTCAAGGACACCATCGGCAACATCTTCGTGCCGCCGCCGCCGCCGCCGCCCGTGACGGTGGTCGAGGGCGCCGAGAACTTCCGGCTGCTCGGCGTGCCGCCGAACGCCGAGTACGACGAAGTCCAGCAGGCCGTCAAGGCCCTCAAAGAAAAATATGCGGGCGACACGAAGCGCCTCCTCAAGATCGACGTGGCCAAGGACAAGATCGCCGAGCTGCGACTCAGACAACGTGTGAGCGGCACTTTTGGGGTGACTGCCGAAGTGGCCGCTAGAGATAAAACCATCGGCGACTTCGAGTCGCAGGCCATGAACCGCGCCATCGCCAAGAACACCCCCAAATGGATCCGGAAGATCCCCTACATGTACAAGCCGTTCTGGAAGATTGATGAATTGTACTCGAACCGGAAAGATAGGGAGCTGCAGCGCGCCCACACGAAGACCGCGGGGTTGTATTGGTGCGGCTTCGCGGCGGCGGCGACCTTCTTCCCGGGAGCGCTGACATACATCAAGTTCGGCGCGCCCCTCATCCTCGTGTCGCACTTGGCGCAACGGGGGCAGCCGCCCGTCCCCAAGGACGAACGGGGCATGGCCGGCGCCGTCCGCGACCCGAACTACGGCGACTACCTGTGGAGCGCGGCGCTATTGACGGCGCACTCGGTTATTGGAAATTTCATCGCCGGGTTCGCCGTGCCGTTCCTGACGCTGCTGCGCCCGCAGCAGATCCGCTTCGTCATCGGGACGGGCTGCATGGCGCTCGGCGACGCCATCTGGCAGCCGCACATGGAGAAGTAGATACAAGTCGAAACTGAAGAGTAATACCTAGTTCTTATCTTCCTTCGTGCAGGCGCCTGCGTCGACGGCGTCTACGACGAAGTAGATGACTAAAACGTAACAATTAATCGACGGCGTGTGCGCGGGGGCGCCACGACCTCACTCCGTATGCAAATACCCCTTCGCCCGGGACAGAAACGCGCCACAAGCGTCGCGGAACCGCTTCCGCGCGTCTCGATGTCTCAAAGCTCTAGGCACCGTCGGCGCGCTACTCAAAGCCGCGCGGCCGGCCGAGTCTAGTTGCTCGAGGTCGAAAATAAGATCCGCCGGCGCGTTCTCCGTAATTGATCTAGAGACGGCCTGCGCCGCCTCCGTGGATATTGTGCGAGAAGCGCAGCCCGACGCCGCCAGACACGCGAGGACCGCGTCGGCCGCGTCGTCCACCCGATCCCAGACTGCAGATCTGTGCTCCAATAACGGCCTTAACACGCCGCCCGCCGCCGCGAGCCAGGCGGACGCGTCGTGATAATTCGCATCCGCCGCCGCGCGCGCTGCTAATCCTCTTGTAGCGTGCAGCGCGGCGCGCGCGGCGTCCGCGTCGGCGCGCGCGGCTCCAAATCGCAAAGCCTGGGCCATGCCCGTCGCGAGGTCCCTTCGTTCTAATAACCTATCGGGCGCCACGTCGACGACCGCCGCGACCGCGCGAAAGAAGCGCGCGCCCGCCGCGGACCGGCCTTCGAGTAACGCCTCGTCCAAGTTGGGCACGATCAGACTGAGACATTCTAGGCCAGCACCGACGCCGTCGGGCGACTCGCTCTCCTCTTCCTCTTCGTCCACAACCAACACATCGTAGGACACGAGTCGATCCACCAACTCCAAAGCAGAACCAAGATCAGAAAAGCGATCGTCCTCGTCCTCCCTTCCAAAAGCGCCCCGAGCGCATAATGCCACGCACTTCGGCGCCGCCTGGAGCAACAGGGCCTTCGCCGGTCGCGACGCGTAGGGTAGTTGCGCCGAGGCCGCGTCCTTCGCCACACTCAAACAAGATGAGGCGCATCTTTGGAAGAGCGTCGCATCTTGCAATGTGGAGACGGCATCGACCAAAGGTCCTAAAGCGCGTGCCACGGCGTCGGCGGGCCGCCGCCGCGCGAGGGTCGCGCCCGGCCCGTCCAATGCCTGTGCCGCCGCGGCCGTCGCGACGCCCCTATATAAAGCCAGCACGAGCTCCAAGTCGGCTTGTTGAGTACATGCTTGCTGGGCCACACTCTCGATGGGCGCGATGATGGACTGGAAGGCATTTGATGAAGATGACGCGTCGACGGCCAGAGCGCAATCAGCTAGGGCCGTTGCTAGATCAGTACGTCTTTCGGGTGCCAATCTCGAGACAGCTCTCGTCAAGGAATCGTCTCCCGTCGTCAGGGACTGGGCGTGCGCTTGCACGAGGGGCTGGACCTCGGCCCACGCGTCTCCGGCCAACGCGCCCCGTCTCGCGGAAGCCAGCGATCCCAAGAGTAGGCATGCCCCGCGCGCGGTCTGGGGCTCGGAGGGCCAGGCCTCGAGCCAGGCGACGGCGGCTCTAGCTGCCCCTCGTGCCAGTTGGGACGGAGACGGGCAGCCCGCGAAGGCATTTGACACGCCCGGCGCGGCGTAGGCCGCCGCGACCCTCCTTAAAAACCAGGCTAGCGTCGTTGCGAGTGCCGGAGAGGCCGCGTGCGTCGCCTCCACCAATTGGAGAGACGCACCTACCACAGAACCGACGGCGGCGCCCGCCTGTGGATCTAAGCGCGCCGCGGCCAAGACAGCTAACGGCACTTCCGGCGTCTCGCCGGCGTCGTCGTCGTCCGCCACCAATGCCCCGGCGATGGCTACGAGTACCCTAGCTTCTTCCAATGTGGCATCGACAACAACAGGATCATTTTCATTTTGTAACGCAAGTAACTTCGGCGCGCAATCTTGCAAGGCGGAAGCGACCCAGCCACAAGCGGCCGAGACGCCCCGTCTCCCGACCGCGCAGGCCGTCTGCAGCCGTTCCCTCCTGTCAGTATCTTCCACATCATCAGCGGACGCGTCCTCGTCGGCCTCGGTCAACAGGGCGCAGGCGGCCTGCGCCCGCGCGGCCTCGACGCGACACGACGCGTACCTCGCAAAGACCGCGGCGCCCACATCAGAAACGGCGGCGTGGAGCCACCCGTTGGACGGTGTCGACGCGTGGCACGCGGCCGCGTCGGCGTCGACCAGCGACGCGTCCGTCGAGGCGTGGGCCCAGGCTTCCAATACTGGTGCTAAACCTTCATCTAAGGAAGCGTCGGCGTCGTCCGCGGCCTGTTGGGCTTTGGACGCTTGAGTCGCGTCGCCTCGGTTCATACAGGCCTGTTGGGTCTCTCTCGTAGCTTTCGAAGCAGCAGCAACGCAAGCTCTGGACGCCCAGTCCGCAGCCAAGGCGGCGGCCTCTAATAAAGGCCGCGCCGCGTCGACGCGCAAGGCGCCGTAGCCGCCGGCCGCGGCCGCCGCCGCCGCCGCAACATCAGAAGCTTGGCCGACGTCCGCGAAGGCTTCTGAGGCATCCTCAGCGTCGGGCGGGCCCGCTTGTGTAATAGAGGCGTGCAACAATCGAGCTGCGGCCCGAGCCGCCGCGGCGCGATACCCTGGTTCATCAGATGTAATCGCGGGGCCGGCCGCTGCCGCCAACAACCGAACCGAAGCGACGACGGGCCTCGCACAGGCGTCGTCCCGCGCACAGACCTCTCGTAATGAGGCGCAGTCGTCCAAACACGCGTCGAGGCGGCCGCGCCAGACGGCGGGATAGCTCTGGCGCGCGTGCGCGGGCGCGTCGCCCGCGTCCCAGGACAGGGCGCTCTCGCAGAGCAGGGCGGCGTTCGTCGCCTCCGGGGGAATTGTACGGGTCGCCTTCGCGTGCTGCGCGGCCTGCGAGACGAGGCCGAAGGCGACGGCGCCTGCGTGAGTCACCGTGACGCCGTCGACGCGTCACGTTTCGGACGCCGCCTACGCACCGCACGCGACCGCGCCGCCTCCTCCGAACCGGTGCCGCGCCGCCGCCCGCCGCGCGCGCGCAACCCCCAAGTGCGTCCTCCCAACGCCCGACAGCTCCGCCAGCAGACAAGATAAAGTCGTGGCCACGATCGCCGCGCCGCCCGCGGCCGCCACGGCGACCACGGCGTCTCTACCTCTACGGACCGCGGCGTCGTGCGCGTCCGCAGCACATGCATCCACATAACCGCGCGCCCAGAGCGTCGCGAAGCACTCGGCCGCCGCGGCGGTCACGTAGGGCGGGGCGTTGCGCGCCGCCTCGCCCCGCGCGAAGTCCAAAGCAGCGCCGGCCATCGCGTCGCGCTCATTCGATGGCCGCGCGTCCCAGGATTTCAAGGCGCCGTCCCGGAACAAGGCGAGGGCATGGAAGAGGGCGTCGCCGTCCGTGGATCTCGCGAGGACCGCTCGCGCAATATCAACACACTGCGGGTTGTCCCGCAGTCCTAATAAGGCTGTAGTGGCGCCGGCCGGGTCGCCGCCTCTTAACAGAGCGACGCAGCGCTCGAAGTCCGCGACGGCCTCCATTTCTATTAAAACATCGTGTGCCTGCGTTGTTGTCGCGCTGATTCCGGAGCCGCGATGGCGGCGCGTCCCCCGGCGCCCAGCATATGGACGGTTTCTCTCCGCTGAATGTGTTAAGGAAGGCCCGCTCGAATCATGAATGGAAAAGGTGGCGGCAAATTACAGCGTTTTGATTGCTTTTGCCGGCGCTGGCGGGTTGCCTTTTTTGCTGTGATTAGCTGCAAGTGTGCTGCCGAGAGTGCGGTTGCTTGCAATTTGTACCAGCGTCTTGCCTCGAGCGCTTCGTTGCAGACCCTTTGCAGTGGCCAACCGCTAACAACAATTACGCTGCGTAATCACCGCCGCACATCGATGCACGGCAAGTTAGCTAGCGGCCACTGTAAGGCACTAGCCATAACTCGGAGCGCGCATGCAGCCGTTTGAGTATCCTTCCGTTCGCTAATGGTCCAAAGAGATCAATGGGACACGTACTGGGGGCCGAAACAGGCATTTTTTTAATTCGCGGCCGAGGGCGCCCTACGGTCTATGGCGGCCGCGCCAGTGGAATCCTGTCAATCCGTGGTCCTGAGGTCTCCCTGGGGTCCCTTAGGGTCGGTGCTATACATGGTTAGTCGCCTACACCGCATGCGCCGCCGCTTCGAGGTATTATCGGCCAATTCTCTCAACAGTCCAAGCTATTTGAGCATGAATTACTTGGCAATGGCTTCCAGAGCCCTGGGAGGCCACAAGCGCCGGCGTATGCGGTGCAGGCGCTTACCCACTACCAGACCTACCCCGAGAGGCCACCTGGAGCCGATCTATCCCCGAAAAAAGCGTGTAATTTGGGCCCGATGGCGCCCCGTTCCCGTCAAAAACGATAATTACCCGAGGCCCCCCAGGAATCGTAATAGCGATCTCGTCGGGTCCCATACTACCCCACCGATAGTCAATTACAAGTATATGACATCTACACTGCAAGAAGGGTACTTTGGGCTGCCCACACTCGGGACGTGAACATCTTGATCTGGACCTCGCGCAAGGCGGTCGATCATGGAACAAATGATCGCGTCATGGTCCATGGTGATGGTACACGGGCTGATGGTCGCAGGTCCGGGTTTAAAGCCCATCTAAGCAAGATCGTGGGCCCGCGAAGACCGACGACCCGCGCCGAGCATCTTGGGGTCTCAGAGCAATGTAGTGGGCAGTCAGGCCGGTTAGTTGGCCCGTCCCGTAACCGAAGCGCCTGAAACGCAAATTTATTTTATAAAACACCGGTCTGGGGCCAATTCAGTGCCCCGCGTACGCGCCGTCGTCCGCGGAGAACGGGCAAGTCGGTCGATTGTGAATAGAACAACGGCGTTATGGTCCGTCTGGATGGTGGCGTCGCTGATACTCGCGGGTCCTACTTATTTACCCGTCTATACATAAACGCGCGGTACCGAAGTCGTCGTTTCGCGCGGCTCTAACGGAATATCTAAAGTAGCTCAGTGGGCGCTGATGCGGGTTAGATGGCCTCTACCATCAACAAACGGATGAAAACGAACATAAACTCGGGAGTTGTCTAGTAGAATTCTTCTCCCGCCCTCCGAGCGCGGGCCGTCGGCTCCGGTTCCGTCGAACTTGTATGAAAACTGGGCTGGAGTTGATATGATGTATTAATTGGATGGTAGATGGCGGCGTCAATCGCTGGTGTATTTTTGGCGAGCGCAAGACCTGGTGAGCTAGCGTATCGACATACTAGGCACGCAGTTTTTCGCGCGGAGCTCTCAGCGGACGGATCTTTTGACAGACCGACATTTGCGTGGAGCCCTGGGCAGGGGCCAAAAGAGACTTGCGCGCATTTGTCTTGTGCGGCCTGGTAGGCCAACGTCCTACGTGAGGGCGTATAATTACCAAAACGCCCCGGCGGAGAGGCGTGCTGGACCAGACGTCACGCGCGGACGCGAAAGAACGCAAGTGAAGCGCGTCGGCCCTCGCAAAAGCCAAATAACCGCCTGGCAGATTTATCAAAAATTGAAGCCGCGCCGACGATACTGGCGCGTCGGCGTCGCCATGGGCGAGAGCATGCTGGAGCTCACCTCCAGACGCGAGGACTAGTAATTTTTGATAGCACCGTTAGCCAGGGTTCCTCAGCGGGAAAACAGCGCCTCGACCCGCTCCGACGTCAGCGCCAGCCGCTCCAGCGTGCGCTGCACGAGTGGCCCGCCGCGACCGCGTCCGTCGAAGCCCCGCAACGCCGCCGCGAGCGCGTCGGGGTCGGCCCCGTGGCGCAGGCCCGCCGCCAGAGCCGCTCTAGCTCGCGCATCATCCCTAGCCTTCAGGGCCCAAGCATCCAAAACGTCCGCCGCGTTCGCGAGACCATGCAATCTTTCAAGGGGCGCAGTCCCCGCGTCAGCTAGTGCAAGACACAGCGCGAGGCGCGGCGCGCCGGCGTCCAGTAAACAATCCGCGGGCCACTTCGGTGCTGCTGAATCGGCGTCCGACGCGGGATCAGCGTCGGCCGCGCGCGTCGCCAGTCTTTGTAAAAGCGCCGCCACGGCCTTCAGGGGAAAGGCCGGCCCCGTCCAGGGCGCGTCGTCGCCCCTGGACACGCCCGGCGCGCCCAATTCATCAGCACCCAACTCCCTCCCTAGGGCCGAGACCGCATCTCTCAAAGGCCGCCGCCAGGCGCCATCTTCAAAACATTGTCCTTGATCATCATCGTAGTCGTCCTCCCAAAAAGGCTCCTGTGCGTCCGTGCAGCCCGGCGCGACCCAGAAGGGCGCGCTTGTTAACTCCCGCCGCAACTCGGGGTCTCTCGCATTGTTAGGAACCAACCTCTTGATGAGACTCGTCCAGAGCTTGACAGCTAACGGTTCATCGTCGTGGCCGCAGACCTTCAACGTCGCGAGGCAGACGTCCCACATGCCGTAGCGCGACGCGACGTCGTTGTAGAGCTCGGACACGCCGACCAGCCGCGACTCGAGCGTCTGGCAGACCCTTTCCAAGTCGCGCGCGCGCTCGTCCGGCACCGGGAGCCGCCGCGCGTCATGTAGTAAATCGCGGGCGCGCCGCAGGCACCTCTGCTGCAACCGCGCCACGGCCAGCAACTCATCTAAATCGCGCACGCGCGCCGCGTCGCAAAGGGGAGCTTGATCATCAACAATCTGCGGCGCGCTGCAGGCGCGCCGCGCCGCGTCCGCCGCTCGCACCAAGCACCCGACGCGGTCGTCGAGCTTGGCGCCCGAGGCCGTCGCCAGGTCCTCCATCAAAGCCGCCGCAGCCGCGTGGCGGCCGCGGCCCGCGTGGTGGCGCCACAGCAAGGCGGGGTCCCGCTTCCGCAGGAAGGGCTCCACCGCCGGCAAGGGCAAGGACAATAAGCGCGCCGGGTCCGCCTCCCTGGCTGCTTCTAGGACGCGATCCAGGAAGTCCGGCGCGTTTCTTATCGATATGGATGCGGCACAGCAAGCGGCTAAGGCGTCGTCCGCCGAGTCGCGTTCCGTGTGCTCTCTCACGGAAACGCACCGCCGCAATTCGCCGCCCACGGCGTCGACGGCCGCATCCAAGCAAGCCTTCAAAGCCGCCGCCGAATCCGAAGATGTGGGCGCCGTGCCCCGGTACAACGCGCTCTCCCAGTCGCCGCCCACCGACTCCTCGGCGGCGTCTCCCGTGAAGTTCGCGGCACAAGCTAACGCGCAGCGCACGGCGGCGGCGCCCTGGTTCCTCGCTCGGAGCGCGTTACAAGCCGCAGCTAGTGCGGGAGTCTGGCCGTTCGCCGCGGGCAGCACGTCGGCAGGAGATCTCCAAGCCCTAGCGGCTAAAACATAGCCCTCGGACGCCGCTTTGGTCTCCTGGTCGGCCTCGGCGTGGCGAGCCGAGAGCGCGAGCTTCTCGGCTCGGGCTAACTTCAGAGAGGCCGCATGGGCCAAGGCGTCACCCCCGCGAAAGAACAAGCCACACGACGCGCCCAGTTCCCGCGCCAAGTCGTGGGGCCACGCGTAGGGCTTGACCTTGTCTGATGAAGACGGCGCGACCAGAGCTCGTAAACAACCTCTCACTAATTCATGAGCCTTCCGCGAGCAGACGAGCTCCCTCAACGTCAAGCCGGCCAGCGGTTTCAAATGCGCGTCGACGGCCGTGCACGGCTTTTGTTCGAGTTTCTTTTGGGTGGTTGAGCCGATCACCACAAGAGCCAAAGAAGGGATCTTCGGCGGCTGGGGCGGCGGCGCGTCCTTGGCCGCGGCCCAATTTGTGCGATCCTCGGCGTCTCTCGCTCGTAGTAGCACATCGAGCAACGCCAGGGCCTCGCCCGCGCGCGCGACGAGGCGGTAGACTCTGTGTAACGCCAACGCTTCTACCCTAGCAGCGTCCGCGTCTCGAGCCTGAGCATCCCGGAGATGCGACTCGTCGCCGCCTCGCAGGCCCCTTCTCGCCCTATCGGCGGCTAACAAATCATGTCTTGTAGCCACAGCGAGTGCGGGCTCATCTCGTAATGCGGCCCTTAGTTCAGTGAGAGGCCCCCGTAATGCCGTCAAATCTCTCCTATCAAGCAGGAACTTGGCCCTCGCTTGTAAAGGCCCCGTCTCCCGCTCGTCGAACCACACAACAGCCTTGAACCACGCCGGTCTTAAAAGTCGAGACGCGACCAACACTAGGGCGTCATGCCGCGGCGAGTGGTGGAACTGGAGCTGCGGTCGAGGCGGCGGCACATACGTCTGGACGATAGAAGGCGCCGGCGCCGGCGCCGAAGCGCCGAACGGGGACCGAACGCTCGAGGAGGCCGGCGCGGGCGCGGGCGCGGGCGCCGGCACCGGCGGCGGCAGCGCCTGCTGGCCCTCTCGATATGAAGGCCTTCCGCCCAGATCGAGGTAGGCGGCTAATGCAGCTCTCCTCAGAGTAGCGTTGTCCGGCGCCGCGCCGGACGCACAATCGGCGCCCACCGCGACAGATAAAGCCATGGCGCACGTCTCGACGGGGCCGTAGGCATCCCTAAAAGCTCGGGCCGCCGCGCCGCCTCGACCACCACTAGCGAGTGAGGACGCGAGCAGCGCGCGAAACCTATCGGACGGCCGGCACCGCCCCAACTCTTCCACTCCTAAACGCGTCAGAGCCACCAACCTCCTTTCGCCGACGATATGTTGCGTCGCTAGTTCAGATAACGGCGCCACCTTGCACGCGTAGGCTCGAGGCCTCGGTACGTGCAAACCGGGATCCGGCAGATCCACGCGCACATGCCTACCGCCGTGCAGCGGCCTCTGTGACGAGACCTCGCCTCGGTATTCCGGCGTCTCACTCCAGACGTCGGCCGGGCTCTTGGACTTCGTACTCTTGCGGTATCTACTTTCGACGGCGGCCCCGTACCGCCTTCGGTTCTCTGTGGCCACGAAGGCGTCCGACTCTTTGGCTGCCAAAGGCCGTACTAATGAATCGATCTTCGAGGGAGTGTTGTCGACGGGGTCCGGCCGTTGCGGTGTTTTTGAGAGCGCGTGCAGAGCTCTGAGTTTGGCCGCCGCATCATCTCTAGGACAGGCCTCCGCCAAAGCCCACACTCTCGGAACTAATCGAGGGGGCGGCGGCGTCGCCGCGGCCTCGTCGGCCAGCTCCGCGACACTCTCTCTTAATGTCGGTGCCTGCGGCTGCGGTTGTTGCTGTTGAGGCTTCGGTTGCTGCTGCTGAGGCTGTTGGGTCGGACTCAAACCCCCGAAGAAGCCACCCGTCGACGGCGGTCTGGATTGAGGCGTCACGGTCGCAGCTCGGCCTCGGCGAGCGTCGACCGAAGAAGACAACAACCGGTCGGCGTCGGCGCCGGCGTTCCGCGCCAACGCTAAAACACCACTCGAGTAGAACGTGGCGCCGCACGTCGTCGAATAGATTTCCGTCGCGTCTCGCGAGGGTTCTGCGCGAGCCTCGGGCGCCTCAGTTGCCAAAGAGGGAGCCAATAGCCTCTTACGGGCCTCGTCCCAGAGGCTATTGGGCGGCGGCGCCCGCACATGCACCAATACCAAGGCCCGCGGTCGCAACGAGTCCTCCGACGTTGTACTGGAGGACGATGTCATGCTCGAACGCGACTGGGTCGAGAAGTAGAACCGGAAGCCCGCGTCGTCCACACACACGGCATGCACCGTCGCCGACTCCAGCGCCGAGACGACGTGGACGTCCACAATCTTCCTATTCTTCCGTTGCTTGTCGTCGAACAAGTGGGGAGAGGGCGCCGTCGTGTCCCGTGCCGAATGCGCCGTGGCCCAGACCTTGGCGGCTCTTGAAACGTCAGCTCTACCAACATGGGAGAGCTGCTGGCCTTCTCGGCCTAGATCGTAGACATCTAAGGCGCCCCTCGACGATAGCGCATATAGAGCGCCCCTCGCATCATCAACGGCAATTTTTGTGATAGGATCGGCCTTCGAGCCCTCCAATCCCAGGAACCGCAAAGGGTGCAGCAACCAATCTGGTCTCGCGAAAGGAGGTAGTACACTTGTTGCTACTCGTCGCGCGATCGACGGGTCTCGTCGCAGGCACTTCGCGCGAGCAAACCCGTCCGAGGGCGGCGGCGCCTTCCGCTTCTCGCCGGACGCCGGTAATTGTTCCAAAGGAGGCGGCGCGCCTAACCGCAGAATTTTCGACACGACCGATTCGCGCGACGCGTACTGCAGCTCATGAACAAATCCATCTGACCCGGCGAAGAACAACCTACCGTCCCGCGTCGAGGCTGATGCGGTGAAAGTCGTCTCGTTCGAAGCCGAGAACTCGGTCGGGACTACTCGTAACCTGCCTCGCGGTTCTGATTGTGACTTTTCAAAAACTAATGCAACTAAAGCCACATCTCTGGCAGTAGCGATGGCCAGGACGTATCTCACCGCGTCCACGAACACCCTAGGTTTGGGAGGCGCCAAGCAGACGCACGTAACGCGATCCGACAAGCCTTCATAGACCGACACGTCGTCCCCTCGTCTATAGTCCCAGACCACCAGCGTCTTGCCGAGTGCCGCCCAGGCGCACTCTATTTCTGGTAAGAGACCCGCCGCTTGACTCGTGCCCGCCGCCGCCAGTCTTCGAGATTCTCTCGTGACGAATTCGGGCCATCGGGCAAACCCCCGCGCAACCAAAGATTGGGAGCCGGGGTCCTCGGCGAAGTACTCGTGGGCGCCCTTCGTCGAACTCGTTGTGGTTGTACTCGAAGACGAGCGCCAGGTCCAGTTTCTCGAGAGCTGATCTCCCAAATCACTACCGGAGTTCTCGTCTCTTCTTAGTTTTTCACATAACGCGGCCTCGACCCGCTGGAGGGTCTCGAAGTCGTCGTCGTCGTTTGTTGTGTTCGCGTTGTTTGCTATTACGAGGGCCATGGTGCTCGCGCGCGCCGCGGCGAGCCCAGCTGGGTTTTGCTTGTGGTGGGTGCGCGCGCTTGCCCTCCGCTGCTCCTGGGCTGCTGCGGAAGGGCCTGGCAAACACTCTCGCTTGTCCCACGGCTCACCAAGGCTTCAGCACGCTGAGCAATGACAAAAGCGAGTTGGCGCCGGGAGAACCCTAGTGTCTTACAGACGCTAGCTAATTAAATGCACGGGTTTAGCAGCTGTCGTTTTTGGTGGCGTCTGGGCTGTTGCGGGCCTGTGCGACCAAGCTGAGCGATTGTAATAGCCTTCATTGACTGCTCAGCCGGCTGAGTGGCGGAAACGGCACACCTCGGCGCACACAATACGAATAGTTGGGCAAACGTCTATCAGGTTAAAACAGCGCTGGGCCGTACGCAAAGCAAAAGCTCAGTACCGCTGGCCGCACGCAAAGCTAGAATACAGCACAGCTCGCCGTCCGCAAAGTTAGCATGGAGCCGAGGCCTCCCGCCGCCTCGCCGCCGCCGCTGCCGGCCGAGCTCCCCTCGGAGCTCGAGGATATCACAAAGGAGCTCGCTGCATTACGAGGCGGCGTCGACGCGGCCATCTGGGAACAACCGGAAGAGGCCCCGCCGCCGCCGCCGCCGCCGCCGCCGAAGCGTATCGAAAGCAACCTCGCGTCGACGGAACATTTAGTAAACGTGCTCGCCGGTCTGTCTGACGCGCGCGACTCCTTCGCGGCCGCTTGGGATGCTGAAGATGAAGAGCCGGAAGCGCCGCCGCCGCCGCCGCCGCGCGCGACGAAGCCGCCGCGCCCTGCACCACAACCGCGCCGCGTGCCGACCAATAAAGCCGCCGAGCAAAGGAAAGCCGCCGCCGCGGCTTCTAGAGCAAGACGAGAACAGGCCGCGCGCGAGGTCGAGGAGCGGCGCTTGCGAGACGAGGCCAATCGTAGGATCTCATCGCCCGCGACGCAACGTCGAAGGGCAGCCGAGCTCGCCTCGACGCGTCGAAGGGAGGCGTCGACGGAACGGCGACGAGCCTTGCAAGAGGCCCAGCTCCGAGCGGAATGCAGTTTCAAGCCGCGGACGAATCTGGGACCGGCCCGGGTGACGGCCGCCGACGGCCGAAGAGCGTCGAAACGCCTCCACCAGGAGGCCCAATTGAGACGGGAAACTCAAATGCGGAAGCGGAAAGAGGCCCAGCAGCTGAGCGAGGAGCACACGTTCCAGCCCCAGCTCATTGCTTCGAAGACCGATACGCTCGTCGAGGACCCGTCCTTACGACGACCTCTACATGAGCGCGTCGCGGCCGTCGAACGCGCGCGGCAGCTCCGGAGGGATGCTCTTGAAAAAAGAGTAAGGGCGGAGAAGCGGAGCACGTTTCAACCTGATGTCAATGACGATCAACGTTCGACAAGGATGGCGCGGAAAGCCGCTCAAAAAATGCTCGCCGAGGCGGCCGACGCCGGTGCCCAACTCTTGGAGGACGATTCGGTGCCACCGGACGTGGCCGCGAGGCTGGCGGCCGACGCGTGGCGGCGGTCGATGAAGCGCGCCGAGGACATTAAAAAGGCCGATGAAAAGCGCATTGAAACTCAGAAGCGGTTACTGTCCGAGTCGAAGCTGTCCGAAGGTTCACAAAGAATTGCCAAGAAATTCTCGTCCTTCGAGGAGCGCGAACAGATGAGGAAGAAGGCGGCCGAACAACGCAAGCAGGCCCTCGAGGCTCAAAGAGCGAGACAGCGGCGCGAGCAGTTTAAATTCACGGCTAATGAGAGATCGCAAAAGCTCGACAAGGAAAACGAAGGAACGCGCGCCGCGAAGCTTTATAGGGATGCGGCCGAGGCTGAACGGAGGAAGGAGGAGGCGCGTAAACAAAGGGACGCGCAACTCACCTTCGCGCCCTCGCTGTCGGAGGGCACGCGGCGGATGGCGCACGTCGCGCCCTCGAATCTCGCGGACGCGTCGTTTGCTGGAAGGAAGGAGGCCGCGGCCAAGGCCTCTCTGAAGTTTCAAAAGCAGTGCACCTTCAAGCCGGCGATCAACACTTATAAGCCGCCCCGCGTGCAGAAGACGGACGCGGAACGAAAACGGGAGCGGGAGGCCCGCATCGCGGAGGAGCGGCAGCGACGGGAGCTCGAAGAGCTAAATGAGTGTAGCTTCCAACCTAGGACGAACCACGATGTTCCTCGCGAGGCGCGGCCCATGGCGAGGACCGGCCGTAGTACCGCCGTCAAGCCTGTCGTCGTGCGGGGTTTGGCGCGGCATTTGGAATTGAAACGGCACGCGAACAAGTTGGCCGAGGAGCACCGGACGCGCGTCCACAACGCGTTCCACGTTGCCAAAGCCGACGAGTGGCGCGACGGCCGGCGCCTGACGCAGTGCGCGCCGTTCGAGCTGTCGACTTCGGAGCGCGGTTAAGATTTTACACTAGACACTTACAAGAGATCTTCCACTGGCTCCAACGTCGCTGCCGCCCACGTCTCCAGCGCATCCGGGGCCTTACATGATATGTGGTGCTCCAGTCTGAGGAGGAGCGCGCGCGCCTCGAGCGCGTCGTAGTCGTGCTCGTCGAGCGCCGCGACGAATTCCGCGCGGCGCGCGCCTAGCGCTGCGTGGTGGTCCTGCCTGCGCTGCCGCCGCCGCCGCTTGCGCTCGATGGCCTCGGGCGTCGGCTTGCACCTCTGGCGCTGCTTTTTCCCACCGCCTTTGGGCGGCTTCTCCGCGGCGTCGGCGGCCGCGTCGTCCGCGTCGGCGGCAGCGTAGGCTGCGTTGGCGTCGGCCTCGGCTTGCGCCAACCGCCGGAGCCCCGCTGTCGCCGCCTCGCTCAGCGGACCGGATGGATACGCGACGGAGAACGCGGCGGCCACGGGCAAGTGGTCGGAGGGCCAGCTCGCGTTCGGCAGGCCCGAGGCAAGCGACGCGGCGTCGGCCTCGAGCGTCGCCCAGCGAGCCACCGGCGCGAGCGTCGCCGGCGAATAGAGTAGGTGGTCGAGGCTCCAGGCGCGCATCGCCGTGGAACCCGCGACCTCGTGGTCATAGCCGCACCGCGTCGCGCCCGTGGGCACGCGGCCCAGCAGGCCGCTCCGCAGCGTCTTTTGAATGTCGAAGCGCGCAATCCGGCGCAGCTCCGCCCAAGCCTCGAGCTCGGACGCATCCGGACTATGTCGTAGCGCCACGGTGCACTCGCGTATCGCGTCCGCCGCGTCGCCGTCCTCCGGCGACACGACGGCACCTAGAGCTGAACCGACTTTGAACTCGGCGTTCATGTCTCCGGCGACGATGACGCGCAGATTGCGGCCGCCGCCCATTCGGGCCCGCGCGGCGGCCAAGGTCGCGCCGAGCAGCTGCACACGCTTGTCCTCCGAGCCGGCGTCGAGATGGACCGACGCAACCGCCACGTGGCCGACGCCGTCTTTCTCGACACCGACAAGCACCTCCGTAGTGCCATTGTGCTCGCCGGTCCACGCGACGCTCCAGCCGCGGCCGACAGCCACCGCCACCGCGCTAGCCACGGCCACGTCCTTGCCAACCACTCTCAAGTTTCGCTTGGCGTTCCTTTCGAGGATGCTGGCTTTGCACGCGATAATTTCAAAACCCGCCAGCGCGTCGGTGAGCCACGCCGGCGGGACGCGTTTGTCGCCTTCCTTCTCAAACTCGACCTCTTGCAGGCAGATGACGTCGCAGTCCTGCGGTATCTGGCGCAGCGTCTGCGCGAGCGCGTCGCGGCGACGCGGCCATTCGAGTACGGCGTCGTCGCACCACTTAAACGCGGCGAACTCTTGGATGGTTCCCGTGCGCGCGTCGACGGGGCGCACGAAGCAGGGTGCTAGGAGATTGTAGGAGGCCACCACTAAATCGCCTCGCAAGTTGCTGAGTGGTGCGGCTGTCCGGAGTTGTGCTGCTTGCGCAAGTGCTGCCATTTTGAGCAGGACTGGCACGCGTAGCAAAGCTTTTTTAAGCCCTGCACCAGAGCTAGCGGCGTAAGACACTAGCAAGCGAGCAGGTCAAGTCGTGCTGTGCCTTGTACGCGCCTGATACGGTGACATTTATACCGGAATGACGGTCAGTAAAGCCTTCAACCTGCTGCGACCGGAGCTGATCCTGCGGATCGCGCAATATGCCGATTGGAGGACTGTCACCAGACTGCAGAGCGTCTGCTGCCGCTGCCGCTCGGCGCTTGCCGACGACGGCAATCATCACCAACGAATTGTCTGGCGCCAGTGCGTGTGCGAGCGCTGGCCCTGGGTCCAGTACGAGGACATCGATGCATCATGGTTGGCTACATTTCGAACGTGGCGCCGCGTGTATGCCTATCTGCGAAGCGTCAGATTCGTCCCGTCCGCGGCACAGGTTACTGGGTTTTACAGCTCGCCCGAATTCTATCGTCGCTTACACATTATACCGAAGGAGAGGGCAAGATTCATTAAGCAACCTGTCGTGACCCGGACGCCAGCGCTGCGAGCTTGGAGGCATGGTGGCGATATTACGGGTGGGCCGATGGCACTGGTCGAGGAATGCGCGCTGGCGGACGAGCCCCTGGCGGAACCGCGCCCCGGTGATTTGAGCGAGTGCCCCGTCACGTTGGCGTCCTTACGGCCTGGTATTGTTGCGGGTCCAGCGGTCTGGGAGGCGATGGTTACGGTGTACACACGAAACGACGAAAATGGGTACGGCGCACTCATACAGGGGGGAGTAGGGGGATTTCTTCTCGGTGTTGAGACGTTAGCTGGAGACCGATGGTTTTTTGACGTCGGCGCGGGCGATGGTCTTGCCGATGAGTCCGCTTACGGCTATGGTCAAACTTTGAGTGCTCGACGAAAATGGGTCAACCCTGAGGCCGTATACGAGTGGAATAATTACAGTCCCTTTACGGGACCAGAATGGGCGCCAAATCAACTACATCTCACTCTCAACTTGGGCGCAGGAGAGCTTGTCCTAAGTCATAAATCCCAATTTAAAACGCTGTTGGAAAGGGTCGCCACGCTGCACGATCCGGATCTCGCGGTCGCAGCTGCGGCCGGCCCGCTGTGTCTATTCGTGGGCTTATCGGGCGGGACGCGCGAGGAGGAATGGTCCCCGGAAGAAAACTTCGGCGAGGAACCTACACCACTCGGCAGAGCCTGGAAAAATTGGTCCGGTGAACAGCCGCAGACCTACGGCGATCTTGCGTATGCCACCTTGGATTGGCTGTCCCTTCGCGATCCAGGGAAGCCCCTCCGACGCACGCCGTTGGGACGGCCGTCACTGCCGTATGGCACCATATCGCGTCGAAGGATCCCGTCCCCCTTCCCGCTCTTCCCGCAGTTTCTACCGAAATTGACATAAGTAATGACAAAAAGGACCCACTTAAAAACTCAGGACGCGTCCTCCGACGCCCTCCGCAGGTCGTTGTAGTTTCGCGGCGGCGGCGCCTGAGGCGCCCGCGCCTTCCGCGCCCGGGCCCCGCGCACCTTCGACGCGGCACCCGGCGGCGGCGATAAATACCGATCCGGCGGCGGCGGCGGGTTCGCGGCCCGTTTGGCATCGCGCGCCGCGAGCTGCGCCTTCAGGGACCGGAGCTCCTTCGACGCACTTAAAGGAGGCTCCTCCGTCTGCAATCTCGCGAGTTCCGCCCTAGCGTCGTCCCGCTGCCGCCTTAATTCATCATTTTTGCGGGTCAACTCGCGAATTGCTTTTGTTAATTGCTTGACCCGTTCCCCGTCGTCGGACGGCGCCCGCGCCCGCAAGGCCCGCAGCTCCGCGTCTCGAGCCTCCACATCTTTCTCCAGGGACTCGACGCGCTTCGCCACGACGCGGGCCGCCTCGGCGCGCCGTTCGTCGCTCTCGTTCGCGCGGTCCCGCAACCGCTTCACCTCCCTTTGCCGTTCCTGCTTGTCGCTCGCCGCGTTCTCCCTCAACAACTCCAAATCCCTACGCATGGCCGCGATGACCTCGCGCTGCCTCGCCTCGACGGCCGACGGTCGAGCTTCCGAGTCCAGTGAAGCGGGAATATCTAACCTCAAGGGAGACACGGCGCCGTTGTCGTCCGAGAATAAGGGCGAGGCCGGTCCTTGTGAAGCGACGGCGTCGTCGATGGCACTCGACTTAGTTGGAGTTGTAGGCTTGACGGGCGACGACGGAGCCACGACGCGCCGCTTCCGCTCTCTCGAAAGCTCCGCTCGAGCCTCGGCCAAATCGCTCTTCGCCACGACCAGCGCCGCCTCCAACCGCTCCGTCTCCGGGTTTCTCGCCAGCTTCAGTTCGTCAAGCTGTTTTCGTAAATCGCTTTCGACGGACGCGTCCCGATACCCCTCGGGCAGCTCCGCGCGCGCGGCCTCGACCTCTCTCCTTCTTCTTCTCTCCAAATCGCCGTACCTCGCCGACGCTTCACTTCGTTCCGTGTCGAGCGCAATTCGGAGCTCGGCCGTCTCCTGGGCCAATCGCGAACGCTCTTTTTGCGCATTCTCGAGCGCACCCTCGATCTGCTCCGACCTTTGTGCCAGTTGCGTGACGTCGCGCCGCGTCGCCGCTCGTAACTCGTCCAGCGCCTTGGCGCCCTCCCTTTGACTTTCGCGCCGCGCCGTCTCCACCGCCTCGCTCGCCACTTTCGCAGCACGCTCCCTCAATACCTCATTTTGTTGCCTTTCGGCTCGTAGAGCCTCGCGCACGCACGCATCCCTCAAAGCTGCTTGCTCGGCGAGCGTCTTTTCTAGGGAAGCCTGGTGGGCATCTCGCAACTCACTTAACTCCGTCGCGCGCCGGTCCGATTCCTTCCTTAGAGATTCGGCGGCCGCATCTAATCGTCGTTCCAGCTCCGTACGCCGCTCCGAAGCCTCGTCCCGCGACCGCTCGAAGGCGTGCTTCGAAGCTGAAAGTCGTTCCTCGAGCTCCGAGACGCGCTGACTGCCTCTTCGGTTATCATCATCCCGTTCCCACCGTTCTCTTTGGAGCTGCTGTTCGAGCTCCGCACATCTCCGCGACGAGGCCTCCGCTGATCGCTCGGCCTCGACTCGCAGGTCCTCGGCCTTCCTCACCAGCACCTTCGACTCCTGCAGCTTGGATTCGGCGTCCCGCCGCGCCTCGAGCAAGGCCTCGTCGGCAACTCGCCGATCCGCGTCCCGCTTCGCTTGGGCCTCCTCGAAGGCTCTTTCTAAATCCGCCCGGCTCCGAGCCGCGTCGTCAGCCGCGTCTTTCAGCTTGGAGGCATAGTCTAGTCGTAACTTCGCGTCGACCTCCCTACTCTTACGGGCGCCGTCCTGCGCCTGCCATCGAGCTTGATCGAGCTCCTCTTTTTGCTCGTCGAAGCGTTGGCGCCACGTCGCCTCGCGCTCGGCCAAGGCTCGTGCCGCTCGGTCCAATTTTTCATTTCGATCGGCGACGTCCTTCGTGAGTTCGCGCTTCCGCAGATCCGAATCCCTCAGTCGATCCTCCAGACATCTAACAGCCTCCTCCGCTGCGGCTAATTCCACATCTCTCTCTTCAACTAGTTTGAGGTTGTAGCCGAAATCATCTCTCAGTCGCCCAATTGTCGCCTGTAGTCTTCTCAACTTCTCGTCGCGTTCTTTGACCGCGGCTTCTAAGCTTGAAACTCGATAGTCGCCGAGCTCGCTCAGTTCCCGTTCTTTGGCCTCGATCAAGTCTTTCAACGAGCGCGCGTCGGCGCCGAAGGCCTGTTGTGGGGTTTCGACGGCGGTGCTCATCGTCGCGCGCACCCGAACGTCGAGCACGGCTTCAGGCGCGCTTGCTGCCGCTACAGCGGGTCCCGCAGCCGGTTCGAAACGAGCAGGTCAAAAGTGAGGTGCACGGCTGTCTTGCGAGCGAGTGCTTTCGTCCCTACAGCCCGCAGACAAGCCCGGCGCTTTAAAAATGGGCGCACCGGCTGGCTTTCTAGTATGTTACAGACCGCTAGCTAGTTATATTTTCACCTTTATTTTTTTTTGCGACGCTTCGGTAGGCGCTTGCGGAGGTCGCCTGGAGTCACCGCTGGTAACATCCGCGCGAACTCGACCTCCACGTCTCGCCTCGCGCAAGGCAAGAAACCGACAGCCTTCAGGAGCTTTTTTGCAACATTTCCTGAAAGCATGACGCGGCGCGACTTTCTGAGCACTTGAACGCACATATCTATGGTACGGATGTACAAATTGTAGCCGACGCTCTGACTCAAGACTCGTACCTGCGCAAGGTCGCCGCGGTCGGCTTCCCGGCGTACGAAAAGGCTCATCGGCAGACGCTCGTGGCGTTGGCCGCGAAGGCTTTCCCGCGCCTCCCGACCGACGTCGCCGCGCAAGTCGTCGCCTTCGCGTTCCACGTCGGCTACTACTAGTAAGAAGGAGTATGTATTACGCGCAAAAAAGTCAAGCGGCGTCGACCTGCTGCAGCCCCCGGATCTGCTCCTCGGCGCGCGCGCGCCACTCGAGGACGAAGCCGTGCTCCCGCGTCAAATCGTCGAGCGCGTTCGTCGTCCGCGTTTGGGTCGCCTCCGTGCTCAGCTCCAAAGCCGAGACGCGCTCGTCGAGGCGCGCGCGCAGTTCCCGCTCGTCCGCTCTTTCCCGATCCGCGTCGTCGCACCGCGCCTTTAGATCGGAAGAAGACGCGTCGGCGCCCGCTTTCAGGTTGGAGAGGGCCTCCTCCGCGCGCGCGAGCCGCTCCCGCAGTCCTTCGATCGTAGAAACGGCCTCGTCGGCGCGAGCTTCGGCCCGCCGACACCGTTCCCTCAAATCGTCGTTGTTCGGCTGCGCGGGCGCCTCGAAGGACTTCCGCAAGTCCGTCAAATCATCGAGCGTGACCTTGCCCGTGTCATTCAGCCGGCTCTCCGCGTTCAATGCCCGCTTCTCGGCAGCGTCGCGCGATTGTTCCAGAGAGGCTACGCGAGCCTTCAGCTCCCCAACAGCAGTCAGACAGGAATCAAAGGACGCGACGAGCTGCTTCTGCAAAGCGCCGCCGGGCGCGCCGAAGATCGCCGCGTTGAGCGACGTCGCGGCGGTCACTTCGTGGAAGTGGCGCACGGCCGCATCTCTCTCAAAGCCCTTCGCGGGCAGCTTCTCCTTGAGGAGGTCTAGCGCCGGCGTCGCGGACCGCATTTGTGGTCGCTTGTTGGTGGGGCCGGGCGGCGGCGCGGGCGGCGGGACGGCGTCCGGCGCCGAGGCAGGCTCGGCGGCGTCGAGAGAGGCCGCCAGCTTGATGGCTGCCCTCGCTCCTGGTCGAGGACACTGTCTGCGAAGCGCTGTGTGCAGCGCCAACGCCCTTGCGCCCCGGCCGGCCACGGGCGCGGCGTGAGATCGATGGATTCCCTACGAGAACGGCCAACGATAGATGCTGATACGCGTGGCCAGGAAAACCCGTGCTAGTGTGTTAATGCCTAGCCCATCCAGATTGCAAAAAACCCGGCCCCAGCGCAAAAACTTGCTAATACATACGATATAAGTCGTGTCTGGACCTGGCCACACCGTCGGGACTTCAATTCCAGCCCAGTTTTGCCCGAGCAGGCCTGCACAGCAAGCTAGTTGGAGAGTGCTCTCATACTCAAGCGCAGCGATGACGCCGTCGTAGGACAACACGCACAAAGGACAACAATCACAGAAAATGGACGACGTCGACGCGTTACTGGAGGCAGCACAAGGCCAGCTCAACAGCTCGCTCTCCAACCGGGACTACGGCGCGGCGCTGCGGAGCTTGGAACGGCTCAAGGCCGCGATTTTGGGCGCCGAGGACGTCTCGGCGAGCGAGGCCGAGGCCGACGACGCTTCGGTGCCGTCGACGAGCGACTGGTCCGAGACCGACGACCAGGCGCGCCAGAGCGTGGCGCTGCGGCCCGTCGCGTCTCTATCTGTCCAACCGGACACTTCCGTATCAACGGAGACGGCGCTCGTCGTGTCGTCGGAGCACTCAGAAGACGTCGACTTCGTCTCGGACGCGGCGTCGCTGCGCAAGGTGCTGGGCCTCGCGAGCGGCTCGAATCAATCGATCGCGCTGCACCGCCTCGGCGGTGCTTTGGTGCTCGACGCGGGCGTCGACGACGCCTGGGGCGACGTGGACCCCGAGACGGGGGAAGTCATCGTCTGCGCCCGGCCCCGGGCTCTACAACAAGGTTCGACGACGACGAAGGGCCCTTTGTTACTGGAGGACGGCGTCCACCTGGTCGAAGAAGAGCGGGATGAGGACTATACGCGCGTGCGGCGCTACGCCATGGACGGCCTCGAATTACTACTAGGATCGGATACTGTGGTTTATGGCCGCGCGGACTCGTCGACGAAGATCGGCGTCCACGATTTTGAAGAGGGGACGACCATAACGGAAGCGCGGTCACTGGACATGTGGCTCGAGAACACGATCGGGGGCTGCGACGAGTGCGCCATCTGTTATCATAGAGATGGCGAGGTGTCGGGCTATCAGTTGCTCAAGACCGAGGCGCTGCCCTCGTTCTGCGGCGGCGATTCCGGTGTTGCTTTAGCGACGATGGCTAGGGCACGCTCTATCTTGGAGTTTGTGAAGAGAAATTGCACGGACGACGCCGCGACGTACTGTCTGACGAGGGGCGAGGGCGCCACGCTACAATTGTGGCGCGTCGAGTCGCAGCGAGCGACGACGCCGTTCGGGCGCGCGTGTGCGTTGCTGTGCCTGAGGATCGCGCGGCGGTGTACTGATGATTTGGAACGGCGGCGGCGATTATTGGATAGGTGCGTCGCGCTCGCGGATGCCAAGCGGGACGCCGCCGTCGTCGCCGAGGCGCACCTGCTCGTGGCGAGAACATACTCTATTGAAGACGATTTTGTCATTGAGAAGGCGGCGTGGCGCGTCGCCTCCCCTTCATCAAAACCCTGCCGCCTGGACACCTTCGACGACGAGGAGGATGATGATGCGGCGCTCAAGCGCGTGTCCGCGGGCCTCTCCGTTTTGAGAAGAGCGCAGCGGCGGAAGGCGTCTTCAGAAAATAAGGCGCTGGAGAAGAACTTGAGGGTGTGCGGCGCCGCGGCGCGCCTGGCGCTCGCGTCGCGGGCCTCCCGGCGGCACCGGCCGGGTTTGGTGTTGCGGCACCTCGCGCTGGCCGGGCAGCTGGACCCGGCGACGGCCGCTTCGGCGGTGTTCCGTTTGAGGTTAGCGATGGCCTACGCGCTCTGTGCGGCCGTCGTGACGGCCGATAATTTAGCAAAGCACCGCGCCGATCTCAATCCCACATCAAAAGTGAAAGCGCGGGCCGACGACTCGTCCGACGAGGACCAGCGGCGGCGGCGGCCGGTCAAGGGCCCGCCGGCGAAGTTGCGGGGCGACCTGCCGGTCGACGTCGGCGCCGACGTCGAGACGAACCTGAGCCGCGCCGTCAAGGCGCTGCTCGCGGCGCTGCGCGGCGACGACGGGCGGTGCGACGAGAGCGAGGCCGTCGCGCTGGCGTCGTGCCTGCGCATCGCTTATACGGCTCTCGGCGAGCACTATTTGACGGTTGCGCGGGTCACGAAGGCGGCGAGGCATTTCTCGGAGGGCGTGCAGTTGTTTCGTGGATTAGGAGATGCCCAAACCGCCGCGTGGCTGCGGGGCCGCCTCGCCTTCGCCCAGGCCACGGTCGCGGCGCGCGACGGCGGCCCGTCGCCGCGGAAGCACCTCAAGGCGCGCGCGGCGGTCGGGTCGCTGGTCGAGGCTTTGCAGACCTTCGCAGACATGGTGTCTGATGAAGACTCTGGTGCCGCGACGCCCTTTCCCGGCGTCGCGACCATCAGCGCGAAGCACGCGCTCGGCGAGGCCAAGCGCGGCGCGGCGCGGGCCTCCCTGGCTTTGGCGGTCATGGCGCCGCCGCAGGACGCGCCGGCTGCATTAATGACCGCGGCAGAGCTCGCCGCCGACGCGGACGATAGTGAGACGGCGGCCGACGCGCACTACCGCTTGGCCTCGGGCGGGAGCGGCGATGCATTAATGCACCTCCAACAGGCCACGGCCTTCGCCGACAAAGCTGCTCAGGAGTCGCAGAGTCGCGCCCGGGCCGTCGACGCTTTATCGACGCGCTGCGACCTCGCCACCGTGCTTCTGAGAGATACCAATCCGGAGGCGGCAGCAAAGGCCGTCCAGGCCGTGCTCGGCGCGGAGAAGACGCTCGCGCTCGCTCTGTCGTTGCCCGAGTCCGTGGGCCGCGACCGCGCGACGGCCGGAGCCTTACCTCTCGTCGCGCGGTCCCTGCTCGCGAAGCTCGCCGAGTCCCTGAAGCGATGCTGTAGGGCGTCGAGCGACGGCGCGGCCCTGAAGAAGGCCTACGGCGCGGCGCTGCGGTTAGGCGCTGACCTCGCGGCCGGCGACGAGCCGCGGCTGTGTGGGCTGCTCCACGACCTATCTTCGGAGCTAGCCACATGTGATGTAACAACAGATTCAACATTAGGCAGACCACACCGACGCGGTCCCGTCGTGGGACGCGACTAAAACAGAAGCGCACTTCGGGTGCCAGCTCACGGAGCACGCCGCACTGTTAGCGGCCTTGAAGTCGGCGATGACCGTCGCCTCGACGAGCCGCCAGACGACGACGCGGCCGTCCTCCGAGCCCGAGCACAAATACGCGTCGTCGTGGGAAAAGCACGATTCCAGCGCGTACGTCTCGTGTTTATGCCCCTTGTAGAGATTCAGTTGCGTGCCCGTCGCCACCTCGATCAAACGGCAAGACCGGTCCAAGCACGACGCCGCGGCGACGTGGCCGTCGCGCGACACTTTCACCGAAGTGACGGGCACCTTGAAGTTGTCCGCGTGCATCCTGCCCTTCCTCAGGTCATAGGTCCGCACCTTCCCGTCGACGCAGCCCACGACCACGGACGTCTCCGTGACGACCGGCCTTTTTCGTGACGCGGGCTCAACACCATGCTTGCCGAATTTGGCGGGCTGATCAAACCCGCCCGTCTCCTTCGCCAGGGCCACGGACGTGACGGAATCCCCAAAATCGTCCAGAGTTTGTAACGGGTGCCTGTTGTTACTGCGAAGGTCCCAAAATTTGAGCGTGCGGTCGTAACTTCCGGTAGCGAGTAATTGGTCGCCCGGCGCGCAGAAGGCGCAGCAGTTGACACGTGCAGCGTGGTCCTCCCATCTACGTGCCACGGCGCCCGTCGCCACGTCCCATAGAAAACAACTTTTGTCGCCCCCTACGCTACAAAAGCGCGCGCAGTCGTCGGCGACGCAGATTTGCGAGATCTCCCGGGCGTGGGGGCCCGTGTAGTTCTTTATGAGCAGCGCTCCGGTGTCCGGCGCCGCCCGCGCGGGGTTCCATAATTTTATAGATCGGTCGGCGCCGCACGTCAGCGCGTAGGCGCCGTCTTTCGTGTAGCGCGCGCAGAGGACGGCGCCGACGTGGCCGCGCAGGCGTCGCGTTTCCTTGAAGTCCATACGTGCGATCGCTGCGCACGTGCGCCGGCGGCGGCGAGGTACAGGGTGGTGCGGCTACAGCCGTAGACAGGACCTCTTCTTGCTATCAGCAATTTCACGCGCCTCGACGAAATTTGGTTGGATAGCACTTTGGAGCAGCGATGCGAGCGAGTTATATTGTTGCGTCTCCTCGCAACGCTGCAAAATGAGCAAAGCCGCGGGCAAGGCAGCTAGCGTCCAGTAACACACTAGCGCCGCGCGCTTTGAGATCCGTTTTGGCTGGCCACGGGCCTGGCATTGACTCTAGCGACTGGCCGGCCACAGCACGAAGCTGCCAGCGGCACCCAGGACCACTGTGATGCGGTAAAAGTGATCTATAGGCTGCCCCAGTAAAACATGGTGGGCTACGGCTTGACGCGCCGCCGCCGCAGAGCGCACCAGGCCAAACAACAAATCGCATCGGCACGCGAGAAGCGCCTCACGGACGCCTTTGGTGAGGACGGCAAGGTTCTAGCAAGGGCGCTCAGCAACGAAAAACCGTCCGTCTTCGAGTCCACAAGGCCCATAAACCAGGCGCCCCCGCGCAAGTTGAATGAAAATGATAGAAAGAGCGTCTCGAACGACGAGTTGATGAAGAGACTGTCCGTGCCGCCGCCGCCGTCCATCAACGAGAGAGTAGGGAAAGCTTCACAAAGTCTCGCGGACATGTCCGGTCCTAGATTATTGTTCAAGATCTTCTCCATAGTACTGACGGCACATATCGTCATGTCGACGTACCTCCACTTCACGAGGGAGGACCACTTGGACGACCAGGCCTACGACGAGTTTGGCGTCCACTTGTCAGCACATGACTTGGAGAGAGTGCGGAGAGATAGGGAGACGGAGGCCATGCCCACGTTACTCATGGTCTGTGGCTTGGAGAAGTCCGGCGCGACTTACATAAGACAGCTGCTGCTGGATAACCTCGAGATCGCCCCCTTGGACACGCATGACAACGACCACCACAACGAGCCCGCGATGATGCTGTTGCGGGAGGCGGCCGGCATCTCTTCATCAAATGATATCCCGCGGAACGACCCCGCCTATTTAATGAGAGAAACCCTAAAACCGGGCAGCGCCGCGGCCAAAACCACACTTGTTGTGCTGGTAGCAAAAGCCCCGGAGGCCTGGGTCGCCTCGTCCATATTACGGCCGCACCCGCACTACAAGCCCATGGCAGGTCGTCGTCTCTCAGAGGACGACATCGACACTTTATTGGAGCGGCGCGCGAAATCCCACAGGGACGCCTTCCGACTCCAGAGGTCCCTGAAGATGGACGGCGGCGGCTTGGATGCCGTGGCCTACGAGGACGTTTTGAGAGATCCCGAGGCGTTCGTCGATAATATAGCAAGGGCCCACGGCTTGCATCGGAGGAGAGGCGGGCATTTACTGGACACGCACCATATTACGTCGGACGCTATATTAAATACGTTGACCGAAAAGCGCTGGATCCACGCCGAGGAGAACGCTACTTCTCATTCGCACATGCGGTCGCATGTCCAGGCCGACGCCGGCCACGGCGCCGCGCGTCGGGCGAGGTACGCCCAGCAGGGGCATTTTTCTAGAAAGGCCTGGTATTTGGAGCGAAAGTATCTCTCGGACATGCCCCGGTCCGCCGTGCAATTGACGAGACGCCATTATGATCATGAGGCCGACGCGCTGCTCGGGTTCTCCTACGAGAGGAGAGCTTCTCGTAGGAGTGCGAGGAAGCAGCACCGGAGGCGGAAGCACCTTCGCAAGGTGCTCAAATTTATCGACCACCTACTGTACAAGTTCATGAAGTGGTCGTTGCTTCTTTTGTTGGCGGTCGGCGCCTTCGTGTACTACCGCCTCGAGATAAACCCCCTACCTGAAGAAGAGGAGGAGGCGATGCGGCCCGCGGCGCCGCCGCCGCGCCCAGCGCCGGCGCGGCCGCCGCCCACGCCATCTGACTTGGAACGCATGAGACGCAACGAAGCAGAACTGCAAGCCGCGCTCGACGAGGCGCGCTTCCACTCGCGGCGGCCGGCCGCGCGGCCGGCGCGGTCTGAACCGGCGGAGCCGGCGGCCTACGAGGCCATGTGGGGCGCGCCCCAGTTCTCGGACGACTCGTCGGACTCGTCGAGCAGCGACTCCGAGGACGACGTGCCCTTCGACTTCTCGACGGACAGCGACTCCGAGGACGGCGCCTAGTAGTGATATAATCAAGCGATGTGTGCAGTTACTACTAACAGGAGGCGTGGGGCCTGGCGTTGGAGTCGGCGTTGGCTATGCACGGGAGACTAAGGTATGTACAGGAGGCGTCTCCGAATCAGGGGTCGATCCAGGCCGAGCCCTGCGCGAAGGTCACGTTCTGGACGGACTGGAAGGCGCAGAAGCCGAGGCCCGTCGACGAGCCGGCCTTGACGATGCCGAGGACGTCCGAGTCGAAGTCCTCGACACCCACCAAGGGTCGCAGGAAGTTGCCGTCGCCGCCCAGGTAGGCGACGTCCGTCCCCACAAAGAAGCCCGAGGCCCCGCCGATGGCCATCGACAAGTAGGCGTCCGTGCTGAAGTTGCCGTTGTCGCAGCCCGGCATCCAGGGGAAGACGAAGCGGCCCACCCGCAGGCCCGTCAGGAAGGCGCCTCCACACCCGACCATCGTCGCGCCCATGACGGCGTTGAAGGGGAGCTTCTCCGAGGCCTGCAGCGCGTTGACCAGCGGCTGCCACAGCGCGCCCGAGCAGACCGCGGCGGACCCGAGCCACACACCGAGCCCGGCCTGCTCGCCTATATTGATGTTCGGGTCGACGATGGCCTTCTTCGCCGCATAATAACTCGTGTGGCCCGCCGCGACGGCGATGCCGTCGCCGACGCCCGTGTACGCCGCGAACGCCAACGAATCCGCCTGGTGGCCCGCCGCGTCGGCCACGATGGAGGCCGCCTGCCAGCCCGCGCCGGCGGGGAAGATTTTGGAGACCGTCACCTGTGCCATTTGATGTTGAGTGTTGACATGGGGGTGTGTAGAGACGTACCTCGGCCATGGTGGCGAAGCGGGAGAGCATGGTCACCGAGCCGTCGCCTCGCCGGCAGCGGCAGCCCGGTCTGCGGATCCTCTTTGATGCGCTCGGCGGGCGCTCGAATTTACGATGTGGCACAACAAGCTCCTCGTGTGCGGGGTGCGCATGTTGACGCGCGGCGTTATTGCTCTTTGATGTCGTCTCAGTTCTTGTGAGGCGTCCCGGGACCGGGTGGACGCGTCGTTTCTCGCAGCATCTCCCGGAGCGCCATCTCTGGAGCGCCCCATTGCATCGCGCGCAGCGTCGACCAGCGCCCCACCGGGCTGCCCTCGGACCCACACCGCACCCAGTAGACGCCGCCAAGGCGAGCGAGAGCTTGTGCTCGCAGGTGGACGCTAGGGCAGCCGCACTCCCCACAGCCAGCCACCATGTCGACGCGCGAGCGCTCCACCTCAACAGCGTCGGAAGGGGCAGCCGCGCCGCCGCCGCCCGCACCCCCGGGCCGCTTCCAGCTGAAGGAGGCCAAGGAGGCCCTCGCGGCGTCGCGGAAGCGCGAGGCCGACCTCAAGCGAGCCAATGAAGAACTGAGAGCCAAGGTCGAGTCCTTCCACGGCTTGCGGGCATTGACGGAAGCCACGGAGGAGACCAATGCGAACCTGAGGGCCGAGGCCCAGGACCAAGCGAGGCGCTGCAGAGAAGATCGGGAAGCTCTGGACATCACGAAGGGTGCACTTGAGAAAGCGAGAGCCGACTGCGCGAGGACCATCGCGGACCTCGCGACAGCACACTCACAACTAAGGGAGGCCGAGCGGCTCAAGAAGGACGCCGAGGCCCAGACGCGGCGCGCGTTGGACGAGGCGGCGCGTTCTGCGCAAAAGCAGCAGGACACAGCGGCTCGATTATCTCATGTGGGTAGGGAAAGAGACTTGGCGGCCGAGGCTCTGCGCGTGTCGGAACGGGACCAAGCTTCTTCTGAAGAAACCATCGAGTCCTTATCAGCAAAGCTCCAAGACGCGGAGGCGCGCGCTATTGCTGCAGAAGATGCGGCGTCGGACGCGCGCGACCGCGCCTGGCGCCACCACCGGTCCGCCGCGGAGACCAAGTCATTGGCGGTCGACGTGCGGCGGTTGGTGAAGTTGTTAGCGTCGACGGAGGAGTACCGGCGGTTCGGGGCGTTGTGGCGCGACGGCGGCGGAGACTGGGACACGGAGCGCGGTATGAGCTACGTCGGCCCCGAGGCCTCGGCGCCCTTCGACGATGCTGCTGATTTAGCCCCTCAACCGACGACCGAGGACTGGGCCGCCTTCGCCGAGTTAGAGGCGCAGACGACGCACTCTCCGGAAGTTTTGTTGAATGCCAAAGAAGAACCGGCGTTGTGGGCCCCAACGGAAGCTCTGAAGAATGCGATCGAGTTCCACCAGGACAAAATACCGCACGTGCCTTTTGATTGTATTCGCGAGTTTTTGCATAAGATGAACGGCGCGTGGCTCGACCGGGAGCAGCGGCACTGTGAGCGGTTGGAGGCGTCGTATCGACGACGTTTGGATGAATTTCAACGAGTGACGCAGCACGGCATACCGTATGAGAAGATCGCCGCCGACAAAGAGATTGCGAAATTAAAGGCGGAGCTCAAAAAAGCGAGGCGGAGCCGCCTCAAGGGCCGGCCGTCGTCCAGAGTTGAGCGGTCGTCCGTCAAGTCCATGCGATTCCAGGCGCGCGACGAACTGTTGGCCGCGTCGCTGTCGGCGATGGAGTGCATGTCCGTCGCGTCCGGGTCACCCACCAAACGGCGGACGTCTACGTCGTCCAAGGGGACGCCGTCGCCGCTGACGATGCGGAGCGCGAGCCGTAGTAGCCGGCGGGGTAGCTACGAATAGGATTGTGAACTTTGCTTTGCTTCGGGCTAGGCCACCTAGCCGACGCCTCCCCAGTTGCCTCCCCGCGTCACGGTGGCCCGGGCCGTATTGTGGTCATGTTTAGAACTTGGGGGAGGGAGGTGGCGATGATAGCAGCAACACACAGAAAAAGGAATGGTGGTGCTCAGAGCTCGGCCTTCTTGAGCTCGTCCGCGTAGACCGTGTCCTTGAACGGGCCCGCGCCCTTGAGGAAGGTCTCTATATTCACACCTTCGGCGATGAGGTGGACGTACAATAAGTTCAAGCCAGTCATCTGGCCGACGGCGAAGGTGACTTCGACGAGCTCCTCGGCCGAGAAGCCCATGGAAGAGAGGTGCAATTTCTCGCGCTCCAAGAGGATGCCCTTGTGCGCGAGCACGTACTTCGCGGCGATGACGAGGCGCGCCATCTTCGGGTCCTTGGGCACGCCGCCGGCGGCCATGGTCGCGACCTCGTCGGCCGGCTTCTCGGCGCCGAGCAGGGCTCCGGCGTGGAACGACAGGCAGATCTCGCAGTTGTTCGCGGCGCTCGTCGCCGTCCAGATGACCTCCAAGTCGAGGGGCGTCAAAAACTCCAACGCATCCGGCGACACGAGATTGAGGTAGTTCGTCATGACGGTCTTGAGCATCTTCGGCGTCATCTTGTCGAAGGCCGCGAGGTGCGGGAACCCCTTTTCTTCCGTGATCCACTTGATGGCGTCCTCGCGGTCCTTTTTTGTGTATGCCGTCGCGCCGGCGAGCGAGAGGGCGAGGATGAGGGACTTGGAGAACATGGTGCGGTCCGTCGGCCTGTGTGGTGCTTTCTTCCTAGATGCGACCCCACTCTTTGTGCAGTGTGCACCGGTTATATCGCGCGCCGCTGCTGCTGGTCCGTGCGCCCGTGACTCAAGGAATGATGCGGCGGACGCGGGCTGCACTTTTTTGCAACACTGCGAGAGCGCGTGTCTGTTCAGACACCGAAGGCCGAGGTAGCTAGTAAGACAGATACTAGCACTAGCAGTGCGCGCATGCCGTGCCAAGGTTGCTGAGCTGTAGTCTAAGTCTGCTCGCTGCACCGATGGCTATGTTTCCAAAATTTCAAAAAAGCTGGGCTCTCGCAAAGGCGCGCTCAGAGGCTGGTCCCTTACACGCCCCAATCTTCTTGAATACCGCACCAATCCGCGCGAGAAAAAAACGATAGCACGTTCGCAGCCCATGCTCGCCCGCGCCGTCGAAAACCGGGCGGGCAACGGCCATGTGTGCGCGCTGGGGCAGCCTCAGCGAGAAACAGTGCTCTCTATGCGGAGCGCCAGACCCGCTGCAGCCACGACGCGCCGCAAGGACATCAAGACACCCAGACGGTCGCGCCGCATTACGCCGGCGGCGATTTCCTGCCCACAAATTCAAATCATATACAGGGCGGGAACCCGCGACGTCTCACCGCTACAGGATAACCCCCACGCTCACCGCAGGCCATCGCAACCATGGCCCCCACCAAGAAATCCTCCTCCGCCAAGGCGCCCGCCAAGAAGCCCATGGTGCGCGCCAAGCCATGGGCGCCCGCCAAGAAGAGCCAGTACGAGGCTACGAGCTCGAGCGCGACGCGCGCATCAAGCGCAATGAGGAATGGATGATAGCACACGGCTTCAACCCCTACGGCAGCGGCCCATTGAAGGAGATCAAGAAGAAAGCGCCGCCGAGGCCGCGCGCGCCCAAGAAGTACGTGCCCGAGTCCAAGCGCCGCCGCTCGGCGCGCCTCGCGGGCGAGACGGCCGGACCCGAGCGCCTGACGTACGACGGGTCGGACGACGAGCGCCCGAAGCGCCGCTCCCAGAGCTCGCGCCGCTGGAGGGTCCGGCGTGGTCGACGACCTCTCCGACGAACGGCGCGCGGGCCTCGAAAAATTCACCCTCAACCTGGACGCCTTCCTGGACGGTTTTGAGGCGTGGATGGGGCCGGACGGCGAGCACCCGGTCTCCGAACAAAACCGCCGCTCGGTCATCCGCCAGGTGAGAAAGCTCGTGTCGGGGGAGGGCGTGACCTACTCCTACTGGCCGGAAGGCAGGGTCTTCCGGAAAGACGAGCCCGTCACGATGCAGAGCGACATCTCGGCGATCATCGAGGACGCCAGGGACTACGAGGACCAGTATGGAGAGGACCGGGGCCACGGTTGGCTCCTCAACCACCCGCTCCGCAAGCTCCTCTTCTACCAGCACTACCTCGACACGAAGGCGCGGCTCGCGCCCGCGGCGACGACGCCGACGAAGAAGGCGAAGCGCGCCAAGGCCAACTATTGCACCGCTGCCTGAAGGGCCTGAACGCACACGCGCTCAGGAAAGGGGCCTAAGTAGCAACACCTCGAGACCGACTCCTTACGCCCCTCAGCGGCGGCGCGACTTCTTGCCGCCCTTCTTCTTCGCGCGCCGCTCGCCCCTGTTGCCCGCGACCTCTCCAGTTTGATCATTGGCGTTCAGCGACGCCGCCCCTCTAGCTTGCGCCGCGGCTACTGGGTTGGAGACATCATCATCATCAGAAACCACAGGCGACGCCGGCGCGACGGGCGCCGCCGGCCGCGCGACGATGCCCGACGCGTCCAGCGACAGCCACGAGATGGCCGAGTTCCGGTAGACCTTCGCTGATAATTTCGTGAACAGTTCGTTCGACTGGATCGTCCACTCCTGGAAGGGGTCCTTCTGCGAGTACGACTGGAAGCCGACGTTTTCCCGGAGGAACTCCAAATCCCGCAAATGCTGCTGCCAGGCCTGGTCGAATTCCCTCAAAATGTAGAACCGCATGAGTATGGCGGGTAGATCATCTTCGCCCTCGCCCTTCTGATCTACTAATGCTACTTGTAAGTCGAAGCCTTTTTGTGTTCCAGAAACTAATGAGTCCTCGACGGTGAAGATATCTGGCGCTTGTGTGGGAGGTAAATCCTCCAGAGCTAAGCGACACGCCGTGTCTATTTCTACCGCGCACGCGGGATACATGCGCTGCAGCATCTCGGCGCCGAACTCGTAGGCTTGATTTTTTTCGTCATCTGAGGCATCTTTAGGTAGTAATCTAGTGGCATTGGCCAAAGTGTCTCTTGCCGTGTCCGCGGCGTACTGTCCTAACAATTTGGATAGGAACTGTCTATCTCCCGTAAGTACCTCCTGCCGCCGTTCATAAAAAATCCGCCTTTGCGCGTCCACAATCCTATCGTACCTGACTAAATTCGTGCGCATCTCCCGGTAGTACGACTCGACCTTCTCCTGGATCGTCGATAATGATTTGGTCAACATATCTGATTGCAAGGGTTCGCCGTCGTCGCCCGCAATTTCGAAGGCAAAAGACAATTGCCCCATCTTGTCCGAGCCGAAGACGTTGAACATCTTGTCCTCCAGCGAGATGGCATACACGGAAGCGCCGGCGTCGCCTTGCCTACCGGATCTCCCCCTAAGCTGGTTGTCGATTCGGACACTTTCGTGTCTCTCGGTCCCGAGCACGGCGAGACCGCCCTGCTCCCGTACTTGCTGCCGTTCCACGTCGACGACCTCGCTGAATTTACTTTTGACGGCGTTGTAGGCTTGGCGACACGCATCGACGCCGGGCTGGCCCTCCGTGCGCTCCGACGGCGGCGCCACGGCCACAGCGCAAAACTCGTCGATCTTGTCGAGAGCCGCCGACGCTTTCACCTCCGTGGCGTTGTCTTGGTCAGCGAAGATCGCTTGTCTCAATCCTGGAGCTGCCTCCTGGGCAGCGGCTTGCAGCTGCTGCTCGATGGCACCCAAATCATCGACAGGATATAAGGAGCGCTCCACCCTTACCAACGGTTCCAGCATCTCGTCGACGGCCGGCGCTAGAGCTTCGCGCAACCGCAAGCGAGCCGTCAAGGCCGCATTGCCGCCTAACAGGATATCCGTGCCTCGCCCGGCCATATTCGTCGCGATCGTGACAGCACCCAAGCGCCCCGCTTGACTGACGATCTCCGACTCCTTCCTCGCTAATTTAGGATTGGCGTTTAGGACGCGATGGGGCACGCCGTCGTTCGAGAGCAGCTCCGAGATCAGTGTCGCGTCTTCTATAGAGGTAGTACCACATAGCACGGGCTGTCCTCTCGAGTTCTTCTCGCGGATATCTCTCAGAACGTATCGGAACTTATCCAGTTTCGACTTGAATACTAAGTCTCCTGCATCCGCTCGCAGTAGAGGCTTTGCGGTGGGTACTCGTAACACATCTAGTTTATACGTATCCGATAACTCCTTCGCTTCACTGAAGGCGGTACCCGTCATGCCCGACAGCGTAGGATACAATAAGAATAGTGACTGGTAGGTGATGGACGCGACGGTCACCTGCTCGGGTTTCACGTCGACTCGTTCTTTGGCCTCCACCGCTTGGTGCAAGCCCCCGTTCCACCTTCGACCTTCCATGACCCTCCCCGTGAACTCGTCCACAATCTTCACTTCGCCCTGGTCCACTAAGTAGTCGCGTTCCCGGAAATACAGCTCCTTCGCATTCAGCGCGGGAAACAGATACGCGGCCCACTTCGTGTCCGTGCCGAACAATCCTAATGGATCGTCCGCGACACCTAACAAGTCGGCGGCCGTCGCGAAGCCGTTGTCTGTTAACGTGACCCGTCGACCCTTGTAATCGACCTCGTAGTCTCTGCCTTTCTCGAGGTACGAGGCAGCTAGCGTCGCGGCGTCGTACTTTTGAGGGGCGTCGTCGTCGCCCTCGCCCGAGATGATCAAAGGCGTCCGCGCCTCATCTACTAAAATTGAGTCGGCCTCATCAACAATGGCGAAATTCAAAGGCCTCGTCGTCAACGTGAGTTCTTCCGTCTCGTAGGCGAGGTGGTCCCGCAGGTAATCGAAGCCCAGCTCGTTGTTCGTAACGTAAGTTACGTCACACGCATAAGCCGCCCTTCGCTGGTCTGATGTACTTTCAGACTGGACGACGCCGACCGTCAACCCAAGAGCGTCAAATAGAGGCTGCAAGGTCTCCGCGTCTCTCCTTGCTAGATAGTCATTTACCGTGATCACGTGGGCGCCTTTTTCGTCGAGGGATCGGAGGTACAGGGGACACGTCGCCACCAGTGTTTTCCCTTCGCCCGTGGCCATCTCCGCCAATTTACCTTCGTGGAGGGCCATGCCGCCCACGAGTTGCACGTCATAATGCCGCAGTCCTAAGCTTCGTGTAGAGGCCTCTCGGCACGCGGCAAAGGCCTCCGGCAGCAAATCATCGAGCGACTCGCCTGCTTGGCGGCGTTGCCTCAACGTCGTCGTTAGACTACGCAGCTCCTCGTCTGATTTAGCAGCCATCGTATCAGCTAAAGCTTCGATCTCCGCGACCCTATCAGCGTAGCCGCTCACCTCGCGCGCCTCCTTGAGCCAGCCCGGCTCGCGCGACGTGATGGTCTTGGCGTCCTTCTTAAACAAGGAGTCGAGGGTCGGCATCTGGAAGCCTCCGAGCATCGAGACCTCGGTGCGCCGGCCGGCGCGCTGCGGCGTCGTCCTGAGGGTCGGTTGCAAAGCGCAGGCCGTGGCGAGGAGGGCCAGGAGCTGCATGGTGCTCGGCGCCGCCATGGCTGCTGTTGCGCGTCGCGGTCTGGTGCTGCTCTCACCACAGCTGTGCGTGATCTTGCTCGCTGTGGTGCGCGTAGCAAAAGTCGTTGCCTCGCGTGAAGGCAGGGCACCAACTAATCAGAAATGCTTGTCTGCGCGACGCGAATGAGCGCAGGTGCGGAGCACAGCCGGTCTTTGGCCACCTCAATCTCTGCAGCTTGATGCAGCTTGTCGACCCGCACGATAGGGCCCGGCCTTTGTTTGCTTTTTCTGGTCTGATCGCTCCGCGAGACGACGGGAAACGGACGAGTGCGGCGCAACGCGGCAGTCGACCGAGGCCTGCTGAGTGCGGCAGCACAGCGCATTTGTCGCCCGCGGGAGCACAGGACAAGGCGTTTCACCCCTTGTCGGTCGTTTTACAACTCCTCTCAACAACCGGCAACGAGCCAACAACGTTCGCGGAACCACAGAGCCACAGCCTCCCACACAAAAAAAGCTCTCCACAGCACCAGTCGCCGCCGCCGCCGCGACGACAGAACAACGATGCTCTCCGTCCTCTCGGGAACAGCAAGACAGCCCTTCGCGCAGCCGCCGCGCCCGCCCGTCCAAGGCCACGCCTGGCACGTCGTGTCGGAACGATTGGAAGTGCGAGCCTCGAAGGAGGAGGACAGCCGCGTGCTCTGCACGCTGCGAAGAGGTGATTCGATAGAGGTCGACCAGGCCTCGTCGTTGCCGGACGAGTCGCTCAGGCACGACTCGTCACCTAGAGCTAGACTAGCCAGAAAACAATCATTAGGACTCAAGGCGTTGCGCGTATTGACGCCGACGCCGGGCTGGTGTTCAGCAAGCCAGTGCTGCGTCGGGCGAGCTCGAGATGTAGGACATGCGTGGAGATATGTTGTCGTGTGTCGGGATGGGGCCTACGTGAGAAGAGGCTTGGAGTTAGCGTCCACCCATGCCTTTACCTTACCGAAGGACGCCGTGTTTGAGGTGAGAGAGAGACGAGTCAATGAACAAGGTCTAGCAAGGCTCCGGACGGACGACGGCTGGATCTCGGAGGATCTGAACCCGCTGAGCGGGCAGAGAGGACCGGTAGCGGAGCCCTTGCCTGTTGCTGCTCCATTAACCTTTCGAGTTGTTTTGAGGGACGGCGCCGTCGTCCGAGAGACGGTGGAGCTGTCTTCGGCCATCGTCTCGGTGATCCCCTGTGGACGGACCGTCGAGGTCACTGCCAAGCAGTATTCCGATCATCCCGCTTTACATTGCGTACCTAGATTGCGAGTGGAAGGTCCAGCAAGGGGCTGGATCTCGCAACGACTCAATAGGGAACCGCCGCGGGACCTCGAAGTTGTGGAACTCGTGGGCGTGTCGGAGCCGCGCGTCGCGCCGCCGCTGCCGCCACCGGCACCACCAGCACCGCCGCGGCGACCGCCACGGCCGGCGCTGACGGGCCCCGAGGTCGACCTGGCGGTGGGCAACGAGTCGTTGTGCGTCGTCTGTTTAACAGATGCGCGGAATGCCACCTTCGTCCACGGCGAGACGGGCCACATCGCGTGCTGTTTGCTCTGTGCGCGGGCGCTGCAAGCTAGAGGTGATTCGTGTCCGGTCTGCCGGTTGCCGGTGGACGTCGTCATCCAGCACTTCTTCGCGTAATTCGTAAGTTTGTTTTTAGAAAAAGAGAAGGGACTAGTCGTGGTCCAGGACGAGGTTGCGCCGCGCCTTCTCAGGGTCGTCCTCGCGGGAGCACGTCGCCGCCCGCTTGGCGGCGTAGGTCTTCCAGAGCGAGAGGTTCTGCACGGAACAGTCGATGTTACGGTGCTAGGACTAGTGGGCGGAGCCCCTGGGGGGGAGACACCGCGCGTCGCCGATTCATCGGCGGCGGGCGCGGGCCGCTTCTTTCATAACAGCGTACCTCCTTCTAAGCTGAACCGCCTCGGCAAACCCCCCCGAACAATGTGCAACGTTCGCCCGTTCAATCAACTTGTCCCGCGACTTCCCGCAGGCGACCTTGGACCGCGGCGACGCGTTCGGTACCGTACATTCCAACAAAGCCAGTAGACACTCGGCCCGACCCTTGACAATCGCCACGCCCCACTCCCGGTAGATCTGGGCCTGAATCATGGCCGCCGCGTCCTCGACCGAATCAGCGTCGATCAGGCCCTTTCGGAACTGCTTGCCGGCGATCTCGTCGGCGCAGACGCGTGCGAGGCGATGGACGTCCGCGGACGCCTCGCCGGCGCTGCCGAACGCGAGACCACAAACCTCGCCGCGGCTCCTAATGGTGTTCTCCATCGGACCACACTCGACGCCCCCGACCGAGTTGTACTTCACATCCAGGTTGTGGGCCTTTTTCAGGTACTGCCCGTTCACGAGACGGGCGCGCCTATCAACCGGCGCGTTACCGCGCTCGGCCCTCGTCGCCACGGCGGCTCTGGCGCGCTCCACGGCATATTCCGCGGCTATCCGCGCCTCATCCCACGGCGCCGCCTCGGCCACCCGGCGAGCGACGGGGGCATTATCCCACTCCTCGTCGTCCGTGTCGACGGGCACCTCTTCCTGCGACGCGGCGTCGCGGAAGGTCGCAACCTTCCTCGACGCGACCTCCGGCGCGCATCCGAGGCCGGCGCCCCACGTCGGACTATAAACCTCGCACTTCCTTCGTTGGGGGACTTCGCCGTCGACCAGGATCGCGTTCTCGTACTTCGCGAGGATGTCAAAGGCGACTTCGGCCGGCGCGTGGATATAACCATCGTCGAAGAAAAAGCGTGCCATGCCGCCCTCGGCGGCGGCGTCCGCATCGAGCGCCTTGCAGGACGCGTACGAGCCCACCGAGTACGCCAACGGGAAGACGCCGTCGCCTTGTTGGCCGCCCTCCTCCGAGGCAAAATCGGCTATCTCCCCCTGTCCGATCACGATGGGCGACTTCGGCGCGAGGTGCAAGTACGCGTAGCGCGCGATACCCTTGAAGCCAGGCGTCGCCGCCAACGCGCGGATGCACGCCGCTCGATGGATCTCGTTGAACGCGTTCTTCTTATCTACTAAAATTAACACCCAGTCGGGGTGGAGCTCGAGGCTCGCGCGCAGAGAGAAGGTGAGCTTCGCGGCGCCGTCCTTCACTCCCACGCCCATCTGCACGGGGGCCAACGCCTCCGCCGCGGCTTCCTTAACCTCCGCGACGATGGCCTTGGCGACAGCGCGTCGGTCGCTATTTCCCACGCAAATCGGCCGCGGGTCGCCGTTTCCTTTGTTCAGCGCGACGAGGCGGACGGCCGTCTGCCCGTAGTACCACCAGGCCGGGAAAAGGCCGTTCGACTCGAGCCGCGCGAACTCCTTCCACAATTCCATAACCGGCTTCGCGTCAGGATCGTCGTGCGCGCGGTCGAGCACGCTCAGGTACTCGTTCTTCCAACCGTCTGGCCCGACGCCGGCCTTGCGCCGCAGCTTCGCGAACTTCACATCGGGTCGCAGCTCGTCGGCGAGCCGGAAGTCCTTCTCGAGGTCGAAGTCGACGTCCGCCTTCCTCGTCGGGTGCTTTTCCTTAAGTTTCCTATAAACCGCAGGGTTTCTCGGGTCCAGCGTCCCCTCGCTCAACAGCGCGCTGTTCGCCTTCGATAGTTCGCCGGCCCGCACGAGCTCTTCGGCCCGTTTGACCTTCGCCGCGTCGTCCTGGACCCTGTGCGACCCCGGGCCGCGCCGCTTGGCGGCCTCGAGGTCCGAGGCCCACGACGCGAGTAGCGCCGCGTAGGCCCCGTTCTCGAACATCAAAAAACGGCGGTGGAACACGGCGTGGCGGCGATTCCGCTTGCGCGCCCCACCCCCTTTAACGCGCCGTAGCAGGAATTGAGCGAGACCCTTACGCCAGAGCAAAGCGCGCCTGAGCCGGTCGTCGTCGCCGGCGTCCTCCGCGTCGATCACCCAGCGAAGCGTCTTCGCCATCGCGCGAGCCCACCGGCTAACCAGAGACCTCGGCACGCTCGCGATGCCGTGAAGCTTACAGACGAAGATGTCCATCGAGTCGACGCCGTCGATGGCCGTGAATTGTTCGCTCGCCGCCGGCACCCTAATGGCCGGCAATTTCGGGAGCGCCCTCGCCTCCAAACGCTCGGCCTTCGACATCTCCAGAGCCGCCCGCCGCGCGTCTTCTCTCCGGACGCGCGTCGTGTTTCGTACCAAGCCCCGCACCTCGGACGCGGCGGAGGATTCGCACACGCCATCGGCGGGTACCTCGTCGAGCGTCGCGCGGTAGTAGAGCGCCACTGGAACCTCGAATTCCGCGTCGAACATGACCCGTTTCACGCGCCACGATCCGTCTTCGTCGTCGAACTCCTGGCCCGCTAAGAGCCGGTCCAGGCGGTCGACGGCGTGCGCGTTGTACTCGACCGAACCCACCGACCTGCCCGCGTCGCTCGCGTCGTCGCCGTCGACCTCGTGGACCCCGTTGTCCGCGCCGGCCGCGCGTCTCGGCGAGCGCGACCGACGGGCGGCCGCGGCACGCTCCTCGGGCGTCTCGAGTAAGAGACCCGCCCGCCGCGCCCGCTCATCGGCGTCGTCGGGGGGATCGTCTGCCGCGCCCACGACCGGCGGGGGCGCCGTCTCCGTCGCGTCAGCGGCCGGCGGCGGCGCGGCCGCGGCGTCGCCCGCGGCGGGCTCGGGGTCACCCTCTCGAGGCTCGAGGCACCGCAGACTATTCCCTTGGACAAAAGCGGCCATCAATCCCCTACCAGTCGGCGATGGAGCCGCCGATCGACGGGATCGCGCCCGACTGCGCGTACGCTCCGGCCCCGTGTTCTCCGCGCTCCGCTTCTTCTTCCGCGGCGCCGCGGGCGGCGAGCTGGGATGTCCGCGAGGCGAGCGCCTCGGCGACGCCCTGCTGAAACGTTTAGGGTGTTGGGGTACCCAACTCGCGGCGGCGGCGTTCTGCTCCGGGACGCGGAACTCGGCAATACCACCACTCGGGAGAGCGCGAGGCGTCGGATCCCGGCCCCGCGCCGGATCTGATGGCGGCCGTACAGCTCCCACGTCTTCGGCCGCTCGTCTTGTATCTAGAGGCGCCGGTCTGGGCGGCGCCGTGGCCGGCGTCGACGCCTGACCCGAGTCGACGGGCCGCTCGCGACGCGCCCGCCGCGGCGGCGGCGACTGCGACCGTCCACTTCGGCTCCGACTCGCCGGTGGCGGCGGCGGTGCTCGTGTGGAGCGGGCCTCACGGCAGAGGGCCCGCAAGGCATCTGCCTTCGGCTGCCTCGGAGCATCGCACTCCGTGCCGTCCGGGTCCTCCATCACACCTTCCTTGTCTCGCCTCGCGCGTTGACGCGGACGCCCTCGCGCCGGCGGCTTCTTCGCCCCCGCCGTCCTCGCGTCCGGCACCCCGTCTACGCTCGGCGCCCGCGGGGCAGCCACCGCTGCCCCCGGTTCCTCGTCTGCCGCAGGCGACGAGTCCGACGCGTCGGAGTCGACCGCGACCGCACCGCGCTTCATTTTGCACGCGGAGCACAGATCAGCAGAATCCAGCTACAGGCATCTCGATCACAAAAACGCGTTGCAGCGCAAGCGACGTCATCTCTTCTGAACTGGATTGCTGCCCGACTTAGCTCACAAGAAGGCCAAGGGCAGCGTGTGCGCGCGGAGCGCGGGAGAGTTATTTGCACGGAACTAGCTAGCGTTAAGGCACTAGCAAGCTAAAAAGAAAAAAAAAACAGCAGCCGAGGCGGCTGATCGGCGTTGTTTGCGCGCTGGATCAGCACCAGCTTTGAATACAATAGTTACACACGGAGCGCTGAGCCCTGCGCCCCGGAAACCCTTAGATCGAGCTCTGCCAAGGCCTGGGGAGATAGCCTTGGACAGCGGCAAAGCGGCAGCAGCCGATAAGCGGCAGCCATGGTCAACAACAAAAAGCTAAAAGGCAAGCACCGCCAACAAAAAACGACGAACCTCTTCGTGCCGCCGGCCGCGCCGAAGCAGCCCGTGCCCAAAAAGTACGGCCTCGACTACTCGCGCTTCGACGTCGACAGCGACGACTCCGACGTTGAGCGCCAGGCGCTCGCCGCGCCCGAAACATTGAGGAGGGGCCGCGCGCCGCCGCCGGACCCGAAGGCCGTCCGCGATTTGGAACGCGAGCTCGGCGCCCACGTGTCGTCGCTCTCCGCGGCCGAGGCGTTGAGTGCTGCCCGAGCCGCGGAGAAGGAGATGGACAAGCTCCGGCGCCAGCTCCAAATGACGGCCAAGGTGTCGACGAAGAAGGCGTCGCAGCGCGAGACCGCCGCGCGCCGCGCCATCGCCGAGGCCCGGGCCGAGCTCGAGGCGGCGCAGCGCGAGGCGGCCGACGCGCGGGCCAAAGCTATGGAAGCGGCCGAGAGCGTCTCGAAACGCAGTAGTGACGTCGAGGCGGCCCAGCGCCGAGCTAAAGAACTGGGCGAGAAGTGCAAGGCGGCGACGGCGGCCATCGACCCCGAGCAGCTGCAGGCGGGGCTCGCCCCGGACGCGCCTTCCGTGCAACCTGAAAAGGAGGTTTCGTATGACGGCACGATCGACGTCACCTCAACAAGGTTCGCGGGCCGCGAGGTCGCTCTGACCATATCGCTCGACCCGCTCCCGGACGAGGACGCGGGGTTCGTGGTCACGCTGCGGGACGCGGCGTTTCTGGACGAGGAGCCGCTCGCGTCGGAGTACGTGGAAGAGGACCTCAAAATATCGCTCTCCGAGGCCACGGCTGCCTGCGCGCACTACAGGCGCCAGGGCGACAAGCGCGCGGCGACGCGGTCGACGTGTCCCTCCCCGACGGTCCTGAGCTGCCGCCTCGAGACGCGGGCCGGTACGATGCTCTGCGAGGCGCCGCGCGTCGTCCGCGTCGACTGGGCCGCGAAGGAAGCGGCCGTCTGGGCCGCGCCGTCCATTTCCGCCGCGCCGCCGCCGCCCGCGGCCCCGAAGGCGCCTCCAGCTGCCGCGTCGGCCACCGTCGCGCCGCCGCCTCCCCCGAAGGCCGCGGCGGCCGTCGGCGGCTTCGCTTCCAAAGCGACCCGCCAGGCCCTGGCCCGCGCCGCGCCGCCCGCGGCGCCGCCTGTCGCCGCGCCTGTGCCTCCGCCAACGCCGCCGAAGCCGGCCGACCCACCGACGCCGCCCGCGCCGGCCGCCGCGCCGACAACAACAAAAACCAAAGAGCCCTATACCTTCGCCGGCGGCCGCGTCGAGCACCTGCCCGGCATCCGGACCTTCGTGCTCACGCTGCCCGACGGCCGCGGCGAGCTGAGCGTGGACGGCGACCGCGTCGAGCTCGCCTCGCCGACCACGCGCGAGACGCTGCGCCTGCCCGCGCAGTTGGAACCAAACAAATGTCAGGCGTCCAAGGTCAAACAGGACGGCGCGAAATTCCTACGCGTGCGCCTGCCGTATTCTAGATTGAGACGGCTCGCCCCCGGCGCGCGCGACGCCGAGGCCGCCACGGTTATTTTTGAGGACCACGGCACAATTACAGAACCGCCGGCGGCACCGGCCTGTAGGGCCTGCTCCGCGCCACTAGCCCCGCGCCGCGAGGCGACCGCGCGCGTCCGCGACGGCGACCTCGAGCCCGACGAGGTCGCCGCGGCGCTGTCCTGCGACACGGCCCAGCCCGTCCTGCAGAGCGCGGCGACCGTACCTATTGATGGAGAACGCTTCGTCGGGCGCTGCTCGATCCGGCTCTGCGGCGCGGACACGTCGCTCCTAAAAATCGGCGCGAAGACGCTCGAGGCGCCGCGGGGCTGCCACCAGCAGTGCGGCGGGCGGCTGGCGCGGCGGCTGGCGTGCCAGGCGTGTGGTACTCATGTTGGGTATGTTTTCGGCGGCGCCGACGCGGCGTTGTACCGCCACCGGCTTTTGGATGATGATGCGTCAGCTACTGCGTTCGTCGCGTCCCTGCTCGCGCGGGAGGCCTCGGCGTCGAACGCGACGGCGTTTCGGTTAGTTTCCGGTCCTCAGTCGCTCGGCGTGCGCGTGCTGGCGACGGGCGGCCACGCGGCGGCGCTGGGCGCCGCGGCACCAGGTTCCGTCGTCGCGCTCGCGTCCACGCTCTCGTGCTCCTTCCGCCGGGACGTGGCGCCCGCGAGCACGTTGCTCGACGTGGCGCTGGAGGCCGACGAGCTCGAGGCCGTGGCCGCCGAGCTCGAGGCGGCGAAGAGCGGCGCGGCCGACGGCGCCTGGGCCCTGGCGACGTGGGCGCCGGCCGGCTTCGCGGACGCGGTCGGGGGGTTTTAACTTCTTGTGGAATTTTGACGCCTGTTGTTTTGTCGACGTGGCTTTATGCGCTCCGGTGAGCTGCCACACCTCCGTCCTCCGCGCGTTGAACCCTGGCGCGCTGCCGATTTGCTAGCGGTCTGTAAGTCACTAGAAGCGCGTGAAGCGTGTGCCTCAAAACGCCTCCGCGTTGCAGCTACACGCCAGGAAATTAGGCCAGAGACTGCTTTTTGATGCCACGACGCGTGCTTTGAAGCATGTGCACGAAACTCTAATCGTCGTGCACCTGAACCTCACTGCACCTTGGGGCCTGACTGCATCGCTTAGCATCAACGCCGCCGACGCGCACCGGCATGGCGAAAAACGTACAACAAAGCAGTGCTGGACCGATAATCAGCTCGGGCGAAGAATCGAAGTCCGACAGCGACGCGACGGACGGCGAGCTCCACCGCACCTGCCGCATCTGCTACAGCGCGGAGTTCCAGGACGGCATGGGTGCATTCCTGAGACCGACGCCGTGCAACTGCGCGGGCAATCGGAGTGCGGTGCACGAGACGTGCCTGAGGAGGTGGCAGACGATCGCGCGCCGGAATAGGCAATGGGCGGCCGGCGCGGTCTGTCATGCTTGTGATTCCCCTTACACCGTCAATCTCGTGGAAGCGGGCGAGAAGCAGCCCGTCGGCATTTTGGGGGGCACGGGTTTAGTCGGACGAGCCTTAGCGGCGGCTCTGACGGCCCACCCGATCTACTCGCTCGGGCCCGTCCTCGGCTCGCCTCAAACTGTCGGGTCGAAGCTCGCTGATGTGTGGAGGAAGAAGGAGCAAGCGTTGGAGGACCACTACGGGAGTGCGATCTGGCAGGCTAAACCTTGCCCCACTAGCTTAGAGGGAGTCAAGGTCTCGAGCGTGGAAGACTTGCTGCGATCGAACGTGAAGTACGTCATTAGCGCCATCGCGCCGTCATTGGGCCACATCGAGGACGCCTTGCAAGAGGCGGGCATTGCGGTGTTCTCCATCAGCCCGCACGCGCGGCAAGTACAAAGGAACCCGTTAGTCGTGCCCGAGGTGAACGGTGATGCGCTGTTGCATGCTCTCTCAAAAAGTGTGGAAGATGATGACGAGACGATACCGCTCGTGAAGAGCCCGAATTGTGTGAGTTGCGGTGTTTCCGTCGTCCTCAAAGCGCTAGATGACGCGTATGGCGTCGTCGGCGTCTCGATCACCACCTTTCAAGCGCTGAGTGGACGGGGCGACGCGAAGTACGATCCTGAATTAGTGGTAGGTAATGTCTATCCTCTGAGGAACACGGTAGAAAGGACGGACGAGTATCAAAGAAAAGAGCTCATGCGCATCTTTCCTCTCCTCAAACGGTGCGCGGTCTCGGCTCATAGGGTCCCGGTCCAGAACGGCCACTTTGTTGATTTAAAACTACAAACAAAGCGTCCCGTAACTACAAAGGACGAGGTCAAGAAAATACTGAGGGACTTTGCGCCGTTAGCTGGCTTGGGACTGCCGTCGATGCCGGACCGGCCCATCGTCGTGCTGGATGAAGTGGGCCGGCCGCGGCCGAAGCTCGACAGCGACTACGAAGGGGGCATGGCGGTGTGCGTCGGAAATGTTCACACCAATGATGGGTTCTTCGACGTGACTCTCAGTTTGTGCGTCAACAATGTGGTCCGGGGCGCCTGGGGCGCGGCGTTGCTGAATCTGGAGTTGTATGATCTCCACGTGCGGCCTCTAATCGCGCGCGCAGCCGCGAAGCAGCGCGCGGCCGGCGGCACGGCGCGCGACGCCGTGCGCGAGGCCTCGGCGTTCCTCGAGGAGAAGGTGCGCAAGAAGCCGTCGCCGCACTGGGACGTACTACTAAGGTGGGCGTCGAGCATCGACTCCGCGTCGTCGCTGCGGGAGCGGTCGGACTCGGAGATCCAGCGGTTCGGGGTGGGGCCCTGGGAGGACGAGTCGCCCACGTGCATCGACACGGCGATCAAGCGGCCGCCGGCGCCGCCCGACGTGTCGTCCTGACGGCGCGGTGCCGTGCCTTAAGTCTATTTTGTTACATCGGTTAGACAGGGGCTCGGGGTCAACAACACTGGGGGAGGGGATGTGAGGGGTCGCCTACGCCGCGGGTTGAATAGAGAACGCGTGGAGCATGCCCAGGTCCGCGTGCGAGAAGATGTGGCAGTGCGCCAATGAAGGCCCGTCGAAGTCGCTCGCGCGGAAGCGGATCGTGACGTTGCCCGGCGTCGGCAGCGTGATCGTGTCGCGCCAGTCGCCCACACTATAATCGACGCCGTCGCCGTGGGACGTCGCCACGACCTGGAAGTGGTTCGTGTGGAGGTGGAACGGGTGCGTCGTGTCCTGCGGGACGACCTCGCCCGGCGCCCCTTTGTGCATGTTAACAATGGTCCACTCGACGACGTCCCCCACTTTTACAGAACCGTCGCCCTGGACCACATCCAACGCATAGTCCGTGTAGCCGTTCCCGTCCTTGACGATGGAACCGCGCTGGACCATCTCGAGGGTGGCCCTTCGGTCCGGGGTCGCCGCGAGTAAGGAAGGTATGTCTGGTGTGGAAGGGAAACGCGGGTCCTCTCCTGAAACATCATCAGTATCCTTCGTGACCACCTGAGACGCCGTCGGTCTTATTTTGATGATCGAACCGCTGTACACGTCCGAGCCGGAGCCCAGATAGGCTTTTAACTCATCAGAAAACGCGGACTTGAGCGACGTTTTACGCGAGCACCGCACGTAGACGTCCGCTCTAGATCCGGGTGCCAGCACTAATGGTGATTCACGAGTTAACTGGTCGCCGCGCGGGTCCTGCAGCGTGTAGCCGTCCCGAGCAACCACAAAGGTCTCGCAGGCGTGCTCGTCCTGCAAGTGCAAAGCCAGCACGTCGTTCGTCCCGGCCTGGATTAACCTAAACCTAACCCAGGCCTTCGCCGGCGGTCTCAAAGTAGGAATCCGTAATCCATTGACCGCGAAAAAACTAGCATTGAGCGGTGCCTTGAGTTTGTTGGCCAATGCGAGGGCCATGCCGTCCGTCGACCCCGCGCTCACCTCCTTTCCCCTCACAACTGGTAGCTTCGAGCCGGACGCGTAGGACGCCCAGGCGTAGTTCCGGGCCTTGCCCGCGACGAGGTTGACCTGTGTGTTTTTTCTTTCGTCGCGCGGCGGCAGCGGCGATGGCGTCGACGGCGCGTCGAGGGCGCGAGGGCGTCGTACGGGTGCCGCGTCGACCGCGCGGCCAGACGTTACGGCTCGGAGCGTGTTTGTGTGTGTTTCGACGGCGCATGATAGTCGCCGCAACAAAATGAGGACGCCGGCGCGGACCTGCGTCATGAGCAGCACGACGTCCGGCGGGAGGCGCCGGTGGTCCTTGTCGTGGACGATCAGCGCCCCGGCCATCCAGCCCGCCTGGAGCGACGAGCTCCCGTGGCCGTGGGCGTGGTACCAGAACGTGCCCGCCGGGTGTGTTTGGGGCAGGTGGTACACATACTTTTTGCTAGAGCCGGGCGCTATGAGTGTAAAAACGTCGTCCTCCCTCGGCGACACGTGCCAGCCGTGCACGTGCAAGGACGTCGTATTGGGTCGATGCAGGCCGGTCATGAGCGCGTCGCCCGGGGCCTCGGGGCCGAGCTTGTTTTGTAAATCCACGGTCAACGTGTCGCCCGGCTCGACGAGTAACGTCGGCGCCGGGGCTGTAGCACCGTAGCGCCGTGCAACAACTCCAAAGTTGTCCGTGCCGACATCAACAACTAAGCGCTGCCTCAGTCTCCCCGCAACAGATCTTTTCGCCTGCGGCTGGGGCAGGCCGAAGCGCACCGTGCCGACGGGCGGTGGCGCCGTGGCCACCATCGCCGCGCTCGCCACCAATGAAATGACAATCCCCAGCAGGATGGCGGCGCCGCCGCAGGTTCTTAACAATGCTGCTCTTTGCGCCGGCGACGAGTAGAGCGTCTCCGGTTGTTGGCTCGGGTGGCGGTCGACGGACTCTCGGCCCAGGTTGAGCGAGGTGTAGGTGGTGCGGTCCGGGGTCGTGGTTTTTTGCTCGTCGGCCATGGTGCTCTCGTCGTTGGCGGTTGAGCGAGGCTTCTCGTCTCTATTTGTATGCGCCAAGTCAGTGTCTGAAACCAGTGGCGCTGAGGGCGCTTCGGTGGCGGCGTATGAGGTCTCGCTGTAGTTGTGCGGTTATCAGTGGTGCCGTTGACTGCAGAGCTTCAGCGCTGCTTGCTCTGACTAAAGTGCAAGCAGTGAACCTCGACGTTCAGAGCTGAAAACGAATATTGCCCTAGCCCTAGCCTCTGCTTAACCGACGGGTTTTTGCGCGCGGTCCTGCGGGACCCCTCCCCGCCCCAGGGGACTCGTCGCAGAGGTCGTGCAGCGATGTGCGGGAAAAAAAAGGGAACCGCCGCCGCACAACCTTGAGTCTGCTGAACGCGGACGCGAAGGCGCTTTGCTTGAGACCCGACCAAGAGCTAGTCAAGGTATTTGGGATCCCGCCGCACCGCCGCTCCGTGGAGTCGTGCCCGAGTGCCGCCGCCAAGGCCGCCCCCGAAGTCTAGGTATCCTCGTCGCCGCGCGCACGGGGACCTGATGGGGAGTCACGAAAGACACACCCACCAAATATCCCGCACGACACGGCAACGGACCCGGGCGGGCCGACACAAGGAAGCAGCTTGAATTGCTGGGGTGAGTCAACATCGCCAATGAAGGCCCGTCGACCCGTTGAATTGCGAGGTAGCCGAGGATGAATCGCCTACTTGCCCAACATGTCATAGTCGCGGTCCGCGGCGGCGTTGCCGGGGCGGCGGGCGCCTGCGCGGCCGACGCCGACTCCGGTGCCGCGCGCTCGTGCTGCGCCGCGGCAGCGGCTCGTCTCTGCGCGGCCCGGATCGCGGCCATTTTCTTTCTAGTGTGTCGTTACGCTAGCTTTCTCAAATCCCGACCAGGCTACTTTGTCACCAGGACGGCCAGCGGTCAGTTGAGAATCGCATAACTCCGCCTCGCGCTGCGTGCATCGCTCCGAAGCGCTCGCGCATCACTGCTTGTGGAAAAATAGCCTCAAACGAGAGATGGTGCAAACGCGCCGGCGCGCGCGACAGCGCGGCGCGGCGCTGCTGCGGTTGCCGACCGACGTCTTGCATAAAATAGCCACGCATACCGCGGCGCCGGGGCTCGTCGTCGCCGCGGGGACGAATTTGGAAGCGCGGACCGCGCTACGCAAAGGCACGGACGAGGCCGAGCGCTCTCGGTTCGGAGGCATCGGGATGACGGTCCGCGAAGCAGAACGGGTGCTCCGGACTCGCTATCCGCACATCTTGGGCGAGAGCGACTTGGCGTCTCGAAGGGCGGCCGGTCTGGCGCTCACGACGAGGTCCAATGTAAATGTAGTGGATGGGCCCCTACTGGGAGGAGAGCCGGCAGGAGGAGAGCCGCGCATTTACCAGGGAATGGTCGAAGCTTTGCTCGCGTATGGCGCAGAGCCCAGCGTGCCGGAGGACTCAGACTTTGGGAACACCCTCCTGCATCTTGCGTATGTAGCGGACGACCCGGTCGCGCTCGCGCGGCTGCTAATCGCAGCCGGCGCAAATATCAACGCCCGCACTCTTGCTCCAAATGGCGCAGGCTTGACGCCGTTGACCTGGAGCATAGAATGCGGGGAGGGACACCAACCATGTTACGACGTGGCGGTCTTCTTAATCGAGCAAGGCTGCGACGTCGTCCAGGCCGAGGCCGATTACGCGTGTCAGTACAGCAATGGAAGTCTCGTCGACCTGTTGAATGGCTTCGACAGAACGGTAGAAAACAGGCACCTCGTGGATCTGATCACCACGGCGCTCGAAGCGGCAGGACCGGAGCGCCGCCGAGCGGCGGATGAAGCGGCGCGTCAGTATTCCGCTGCGCACAACACGGAAGACTCGGAATATTATTGACTCGGATGGCGAGCTGATACGATAGGCGGTGGCGTAACAACTGCATGTGTATTATGTAAGTACACTAGACACGACACACAACAATATTACCCGTTCCGCTCCTTGTTCAGGTCGACGAACGGCGCGTCGACGTCGTCGGGCGCGACGAGGCCCGACCGCGCGGCCGACCGCCGGATCGCCTCCTTGACGCCCTCGCTGACTTCCGCGCCCGTGTCGAGCGCGCGCAGGCGCTTCTGCTCCTCGACGCCGTCTAATAGATTGGCGTAGTCGCGCGCGCGCCGCCGCAGCGCTTCTAACGATGCCGCGTCGGCGGCGCTGCGCCGGTACTCCTCGCGCAGGTAGGTTTTCCAGATTGAGTCGCGCGGCCGCGTCGACGGCCACTTGTTCAGGATCCTTAGGATGGTCCTGAACTCGGAGAGGGGTGAGCTCATTTTGCTTGTGTAGCGCAACGGCCAGCAGATGGCTTGCGCAGCCGCGGCGACGACGTTTCTTAGGAGCGATGCGCACAAAATTGGCGCGCGTACCGCAGCGATGCGAGAGCCGTGTCGTTTTTGGGGCGCTCGACGCAGCTAGCGTTTGTAAAGGCACTAGGCAATCTAAAAAAAATTAATTGCTCAAGAGTCAAGATTTGCTCAGATATTCTCGTCCGCGTGCGCTGTACCGCCAGCTGGTGCAAAACAGAGAAAAGCAGTGCACAGCGACTCATTCGTGCGGCTGCCCCCAGGGCTGCCACGAAGACAACATCATGCGTCGATGAAGCCCCTCGTCCTGCTGCTGCTCGCGGCAGCCACCGCCGACGACGACGTTTCTGGTTCCTCGCGACTTGGCGGTACGGCGGCGATCGGCGGTGGTACGACGTTTCCGGTGACGAGACCTGCACAAAATGTGTCGGCCGCCACGGCGGCGATCGACCGCTGGTTCCAGTTCCACACGAACAACGAGAGCTACGCGCCCAAAGCCTGGACCGTCACCAAGCCCGACGACGTGCCGCGGCCGTGGCACGAGATCGGGGCGTCGAGCAAGTCCAAGACCGTGTATCGAGCCACCGTGAAAGGTAAATCAGTGATAGTGAAGGGCCGGAAGATGCGAAAGAATGGATGGACGGGCGACGCGAGACACGACCAGGGGGGCGGCGTGCTGTACCTGGAGATGGTGTACCTCGAGGCGCTCCGCGGCCGACCGGGCATCCCCGAGCTGCTGGGCGCGTGGTGGGACGGGCCGCACGTCGTGCTCGTCGTCGCTGACGGCGGCGAGGCCATTGGCGAGGGCCCCCCGGGCGTCGGCACGGCCCCCAACGTCATGACGGCTGCCTTCGACGCGCGCGCGCGAAACCAGCCGCTGGCGCTGGCGAGGTCCATCCTGGAGTGCTTCGGCTCTTGGGCTTTGGATTTCTTGCAGGACGACCTCAAAGCCCAACAGTTCACGATGGATGCACATGGCACGGTCTTCATGGTCGACGGCCCGAAGGTCGCGCCGGACCGGCCGCTCGGGCGGGCCATCTGGCGCGCCTGGGGTCCGCCCGACGTGAGGGAGAGCAAGTATCCATTCGTTGCGCACTCGTGCACGAGAGACGCGGACTGTCCCTTCACGAAGGAGAGCCACTCGTGCCGCGGCGCCGGCACGTGCGAGCCCGGGGCGCGCGGCGCGCCGGAGGCGCGCGGGGAATGCCGCGAGGATGTCTGCGTGCGGCTCTCGGAGAAGACGCACGTCTACGACGTCGCCAATCGACCTTGGTTGTTGCCTTACATAGCGGCCAAGGCCGCGGACCCGGCCGCGGGGGAGTTCCTGCGGAGTTTGATTCGCCTCGCGGGGCGCGGCCGGCCGGACGACCGACCGTCGTTCCGGGAGCTCGTGGACCGCATCGACGCGTTCGCGAAGGCGCCCGTGCCGTTCAAGCCGGGCCCGAAGGCGCGCTTATACGAGTCGGCTCTTATTCAAAGCAACGACCGGCGCCGCAAGGCGTTCTGGGACTACGCGTCGGTGTCCTTCACGGACCTCGGCCACGCCGGCGGCGTCCTCGTGGACGGCGTGGTCCAGCGGCTCTGCGACGACCGGGGCCTGGCGTGCTGGCAGTCCCAGGTCGACGGCCACGGCAAGGACGTGCCCGTACCCGCGCACCTCGGCGAAGAGGTCGTGGATCGCACGAAGAACAAGTACGGGCCGCTCACGGCAGAGGACGCGGAGGACTCCGGGTCCCTCGATATTCTGGATGGCGAATTTCCCTTCAACGTCACGCGCGTGCACCAGGCGTTGCCGCCGAAGGTCTTCGCGTTCACGGTCGTCGAGGACGCGTGGCGCGTCGTGGAGTCCTTGTACGTCGACGGCGGCCGCGCGGACGACCCCGACGCGTTCGTCAACGCGTCGTTCCCGCACGGCGTCCAGCGCCACGTGCAGCGGCTCGCCGGGCTGCAGTTCGTCCCCGGCTCCGCGATCACGCGGAGCCAGTGCGACCGCGCGCTCCGCAACCTCGACGAGTTCGATTTAATCGTAGACGCGGCGTCCCTGGCGACGGGCGGCCTGCGCGACCTCGCGGCGGTGTTGCACGGCCTCTACGACGTCGAGGCGCCGCGAGTCGCCACCGTGAAGCCCGTCGGCGACCTGTCCGTGGCGCCATCACTACGAGCGCGCGTCCTCGAGGACAGCTGGTGCCACGCCGAGGTCTACGCCGCCGCCCGGTCGAAGCCCGCGTTTCGTCAGGGCGGCTTCTTCCGGGCGCGCGATGTGTGAACAGTTCACACTCCCAATCTTGTAATTGGGTGTGTGAACTAATAAATACTTAACAATATAACAATCACCGATCGTCGTCGCGCTGGCACAATAATGGCGCCGTCCGCTGCCGTTCGCCATCTCGTTCGCCGCGGGGCCAAAACCCGTGCGAAGCGAGAAACATGGCTTCACAACCTGGAACGCGTCCGTAACGACTTTGCAACGGATGCATCCATACGCCGCGAGCGAGGCTGAGGCACCGGTGTTGGGCAAAGGCCTGCAGCTGAAGCCAAGACAGCGACGCTGCAACTGCATCGCAAACGCTCGCACTGCTCCTCGGTTGCAGCAGCGAGTCGCATTCGTGCAACAGCGCGCCAGGCGAGCAGGACACGCCTGCAACCAACGCATTGCAAGGACTGCACATTGCAAGCCAGGCGCTGCATTGCAGCACGCCATCGACGCACGATGATGCAACGAACAGTAGCGTTGCTCCTCTGCGCCTGCAGCGTCGCGCAAGAGACGGCGACGAAGGAGCCGCGCAAGGTCGAGTTCGAGGCCGTCGTGAACGAGGAGGGCGGCCGCGCGGCGTTCTCCTGGACCGAGGGCGAGGACGTCACCGAGAAAGCTACCCAGTACTGCAAGGAAAACACGAAGGAGGAGCTCTGGGAGCGCTGCATTAGTGCGGTCAAGCAGCAGGTCGCGGCGTCGCTCATGGAGGCCGAATTGCCCGCCCTCGATTTGGAGGTCCAGGTCGCGGAGGACAAGACCGCGACGTTCTCCCACGTTGAGGGCGGCGATCTGCGGCTGGAGGCCCACACGTTCTGCAGCGAGTATGTCGCTGAAGATAAGGTGCCGGTGTGCGCCCATCACTTGGTCCAGGGCGCGGTGCAAAAGGCCCAGCAGCTCGCGGCCGCCGAGGAAGGCGGCGCGTCGGCGGCGGACGCGTCGGCGGGCGCGGGCGGCGCGTCGCAGGACGCGGCACCGGCCAAGACCGCACCAAAGCAGGACGCGGCGCCGGCCAAGACCGCGCCGCCGCCGCAGAAGCAGACCAAGTCCGCACCGGCCAAGACGCCGTCGGACTGGGCTCGGTTAGTAGGCCCGGCGCTCGTGGCGCGGGGCGGCGCCTCGCTGAGCGCCGATGCTCTCGAAAAGAAGAAGAACGTCGCGTTCTTGTTTGCCGCGGACTGGTGCAAACCTTGTAGAGATTTCGTGCCCAAGCTCGTCAAATACTACGAGCTGGCCAAGCGCAAGGGCGACGACAAGCTCGAGATTTTGTGGGTCTCGGCGTCGCGGTCGCAGGAGGCCTTCGACGCGTACCTGAAGGAGATGCCCTGGCCCGCGGCGCCGTTCCCGCTCGCGGGGCGCCTGGTCCAGGCCTTCCAACAAAAAGGCCACGCGAAGGGCTTCCCGACGCTGTGTTTCATGGACACGAATGAAATAGGGAGCGTGATCACCTGCGACGGGGTCCAGAAGGTCATGGCCGACGAGTACGGGCTGACGATGCCCTACCGGTCGCCGATCCAGAATGTGAAAAGGATGGTGCAGGCCGTCGCGGGCGTCGTGAAGGCGCTGCTCCGGGCGTTGGGTGTGGGGGCGGCAAAGACTAAGTAGTGTCGAATCGTGTTATTACCTCCTGAGGTAGCGGCGGCCGGCGAGGAACGCCACCGCGGCGACGAAGGCGAGGGCCGCGAGCGCCAATTGCTCGGACGACGCGCGGGCGTCGGCGAGGCGCTCTCGCGCTTTCGCGTGTTCGCGCAGCGACGACAGCGCCACGCTCGACGATCTCCGCGAGGCCGTGACGACGCTCGAGGACACGGAACGGATCGTGCGGCGCGTGTTCGGCGGCGCGCACCCGACCACAAAGGTGGCTGAGAAGTCCCTGCAAAACGCGCGAGCCGCGCTCCGCGCCCGCGAAACGCCGTCGTCGCCGGGGAGTTCCTAAGTTCAGATAAAACTAAATAATACACAGTCAATAAACTTACCCCGGCACCGGCGCCTCCGGCACGCCCCCGGGCGCCGGCGCCGGCGCACCAGAAGCGGGAACGACCTTGGGCGCCCGCAGCGCCTGCTTCACGCGGCGCAGCATCTGCCTGTGGTTCAGTTTGCACACCTTCTCGCCCCTCAGCGACCGGGACAACCTATCATGAAGCCTCGCCTCCATCGCCGCGACGGTGTCCTCGATCTCGCGCGCGGCCACGACGGCCTCGGACGGCGGGCCCGCGAGTTCCCGAGCTTCGGCCTCTTTTCGCTCCTCCTCCAGACGCGCGGCCTCCTTCGCTGCTGCTATAGAAGTGCGCGACATCGTCAGTCGGCGCGACAGCACGCCGACCATCTTCGAACTCATAACAGCGCTCTTCTTTTTCGGTGGCACGTATCTGGGCGGCGCGTTCACCTCGCAGAGCCATTCGACGAACTGCCGGTCTTCGAACGCGGAGTTGGCCCTATTATGAATCGAGTCCTGGCCTGGGGGTGGATGCCAGACTTCGTACTTCTCGGGCTCGGGTTCCGGCTCCGGCTCCTCCTCTTCTTCTGATTCCTCCGTGAATTCGACGGGAAGCAACCGCCCCGTCGCCGGCGACGTCGGCGCCGGCGGCTGGAGATGTCTAGCTTTAACAGCGAGGAGCGACACGCCCCGGCAGCACAACAAGTAACATTCCTCGTCGGCACCAAATAGAAAGTCGCAGGTTATTGATGTAACTCGTCTTTTCGTGTGGCGCTGCAGCACCCTTACGACACTATCGATCGCGTCGCCCAATCGACGGCGGAACTCGCCCCCAACAGGGACAGCTAAACCCGCGTCTCGCAGTTGCGACGCCGTGCCGCTCGCCACGCTACCAATAACGGGCGGCGCCTCCTCTTGTAACAGGGACTCGTTCTCGAGGTGCTCTTTCTGGGGGGCGCCCCACGGCATCCTTGCCGCAGCTTCGTCCTTCGCGTCGAGCACGGGGCCTGGTAATAGCGATTCGGGGCAGTCCTCGCACGTCGGCGTTTTCAGTTTTGTTCGTAGTTCGACGGACGTCAGAATCGGTCGAGGCCGTCCCCGCTCGTAGGACTGCGTGAAGACGCCGGCGCCCTTGCAACATGTTGGTGGTGGTTCATACCGTTGCAGCGCCACGACCATGCGCCTTGCACTGATAGCTCGCTCGGAGTCGACGGCCCAACTCCCCAAATGTTTGTTGTCGTTCGCGCGCTGGTGCTCGAAGCAGCATAATATTTCAAGTTCTTGGGTCGTGAGGCCGTAGCGTTTCAAAGAACCGCTGCCGTCGTCGCACCAGACAATGGCCACTTTCTTCTTCCGCGCTAACTCCGACGCTCTCCGAGCCCGCGTCGCGTTCCTTATTTCCAGGTCGCGCTTCGGGCCGAGCGCCCGGAAGACGGCCGGCCAGGCGTCCTTTCTTGAAGGCGTGGGCCTCCTCTTGAGTATGCCCTGCGGCGTACACCCCAACCAATCCGTGACCACCCCGTCACTGATAAAAATCGTCTCGACCACGCGCAGCGCTTCATTCGCATCGGCCGCTGATGATAAACCGTCGCGGAGCCATTTTGATGCGGGGCCCGCATCAATCGAGGTGTCGCGGCGGACGCCGTGCAACGAGCCGGGCGGTAAGCGTGAAACGATGCTCGGCGTCGCGCTCGCCGTGAGTTCCGAATAGGTCGCCTTGCGCGCGAAGGACACGCGGCCGCGGTCCGTCTTCGTGGGGGAGGGGGGCGCGAGCATGGTGCACTGTGTGTGCCAGGGGGCAGCCAAAGCTGCTACCGATGCTACAAATGCGAGTGGTGGATGGCGCTTGACCAAGTATTGCTGCCCGCCGCGTCGATGGCGTGCGGCGCCCGCTCGTCCCAAGGGCAGCGCCGGGAGATGGCGCGTCCCGAGAGCCCGTACGTCCTCTCGACGGCGGCACTTTTGCCGCCCGACGAGGAGTACGGACGGGGCGGGAGGACTCGCTGCGCCGCGGATACGTAGCGCAATATACATACTAGCTAGGCGATGTGATCATCCGGTGTTTCAAACGGAAACGAGCGCACTTTTACGCGCCGGGCAGCTTGTGGACGCGCCTTCGGTGATTGCGAGACGCGTACCGCGCCGCGTGAGCTGCTGTGCGGTGACGCCGCCGCCAGAGCCACAACTAGCTCCCCACACAAAAAGAGCCAAGCAGCACAAGTTTGCTCAGGGACGCTAGACGACCCCGTGCGCCGGCGAAGTAATACAAGAAAGAAGAACGACCCAAGCAGCGCCGCGGCGCCGCCGAGTCCAGGAAAGATGGACCCATCACAATTGGGCCCCGACCACGACCCGAGCAAGAAGGGCGAGCACCTCGAGGACCCCATGATGGTGACCATGGACGCGAAGGCCCGCGCCGCGCAGGAGGCCGAGCTCAAAGCCATGTTCGCCGGTGTAAAATCAGCGCGGAGCGAGGCGACGGAGGCGACGCCCGAGGCCAAGGACGAGGGCGCCGCCGAGGCCAAGGAGTAACTAGTGTGTATTTTCAGAGAGCTTAGGAGGGGGGAAGGGTCTACTGCGCCGCAACAGCAGTGTTCGTCGCGTCGCCGAGCGCGTTCGAGGGCGGCGCCGGCAACCCCGACAGCGTCGCCGCGAAGGCCGCCGGCGAGATCGTGATCGTCTTCGTCACGTTGTGCGTCTTGTAGACGCCCGTTAATCGGTCCGCGAGCTCGAACATGTTGTTTCTCAAAGAAATGATCACGAACTGCGCCGACGTGCACCGGTCCTTGATGTAGTTCGCAATAATGGACACGTTCTTGTAGTCCAACGCCGCGTCGATCTCGTCCATGACGTAGAGCGGCGTGGGCTTGTAGTGGTGCAGCGCGAAGACTAGAGCTAAGGACGACAGCGTCTTCTCGCCACCGCTCAAGTTCGCGATGTGCTTCCAGGACTTCTTCGGCGGTCGTACGCTGAACACGACGCCCTCCGAGAACGGATCTAAGGAGTCGACTAACTCTAGTTCCGCGTCGCCGCCCAACGTGATCATCTGGTACATCTCCTTGAGCTTTAATGTGATTCTGGCAAATCCCGCCATGAACTCATCTAATCTTTTCTTCCGCAAGTCCTCGAGCTTCTCCCGACAGGTGTTCCTCACGTCCGTCGCCTTCTCTAGCTCCGTGAGTCGCTCCTGGTACTCGGACTCCTTCTCGCGGTACTGGCGGATCGTGTCCAGATTACAAATCTTCTTGAGGCGGTCGCGCTCTTCTTCCAGGACCGCTATATCATATTTAATTTGCTCCTTGTCGGCGCTCTTCAAGGTTTCCGTATCTAGTGAAGGCAGCGTCTCCCAGGGCCGCTCGTCGGTCTCGGGCGCGGGCGGAGGGGCGGCAGCCGCCTCCGGCTCGGCCGGTGCGGCGCCGTCGCCCTCCTCGGGTACGGGCGGAGGCGCATCAGCGTCGGCGTCGGCCGGTGCCGCGTCCTCGTCCATGGCGCCCTCCTCCGGCACCGGCGGCGGAGCGTCCTCGTCCATCGGCGCGGCGCCACCGACTAACGCCGCCTCGCGCGCCTCCTCCCGCTTCCGAGCATCCATCTCCTGGAACACTTGGGCGAAGTCCCGCACTTCCGCCGCGTGCTCCGCTCGCAATTCCTTGAGCAACGCGTCGCACTGCTTCTGTTTTTTGCCGTTGTCCTTCAAGGCGCGCGCGTAGTCATCCACTTGATTCTGGATGTCCACTTCCACGGCCTTGATGGCGTCGGCGTCCTGGGATAAGGTTTCTAATTCAGCCTTCTTCACGGACAGGGCGTTCGCCGCGCTATCACAAGCTTGCTGGGCTTGTACCTTAGCTTGTAAGACCTCATCCTTCTCCGCGGCGATTCGCTCGAGCTCCTCCTGCGAGCCATCGACATCCTCCTTTAATCGCGTAGCATCCGCGTCGGCCTTGTCGTAGGCTTTTTTGGCCTTCTTGAGGGCCTTCTCCGCGGCCTTCACCTGCACGGCAATGCTTTCCACTTCGTTGGACGCGTCGTCGGCTAATTGTCTGCAAATTTCCGCCTTGGCCAGAGCTTTTCTGAGAGGGTCGCCGCCCGCGTCGACGACCGCGGCTCGCAGTTCCTGCACCTCGGCGTCGACGACGTCGAAGGCCTTCTTGGCCTTGTCTCTGGACGCTTCCAAGGTTCCAAGCTTCTTCTCTAAGGCAGCACACTTCTTTTTCGTCGCGGCATCGACGACGGTAGCCTTCCGCAACGTCTCGAGCCGCGGCTGGAGCTGCTTGCACGTCGCTTCGACCGCGCCGATCTCCGCTTCCAAGGTCGGCATCACGAGATCTTCTAAACGACGGATCTGCCGTTCCAGGTCAGCCAACGCCTCCTCCGCTACTCTCACTTGTTCAGAGGCCTTTTCCGCGTCTTTCGTAGCCTTAACACAAGCCTTCTCCAAGGGAGGTAAATCTTTTTCCTTGACCTCGTCCTCCTGCGCGGCACATTGGGCGATGGCAACAGTAGCTTCGCCGTCCAACAGCATCCTCCCTTGCCGCGGTTTGCCCCCACCTCCTGACATGGTACCAGAGGTATCAATAAGTTGACCCTTCGTCGTGACGACTCTCCACCGCGAATTGTCGGGCCGATAGGCGAGCTTCACGGCCTCGTCGAGCGACTCCGCAACTAGTGTATCCCGCAGCGTCATCGCGAAGGCATCGGCGTACTTCGGGTCCGAGATCTCGATCAAGTCAAGTAGTCTCGGAGCGTTATCCGGCGTCGTCGGCTTTCCTTTGGCCTTCTTCACCTGATCTAACACTATAAAGTTCGCCCGGCCCAAGTTTTTGGCCCGTAAAAACTCAATGCACTTCTGACCCCCGGCAGCGGTCTCGACGACCACATGATCGAGCATGTCCGCCGCCGTCGACACGGCGACGTCGTACTTGGGGTCTATCGAGCCTAGGTCGCCGAGTCGGCCGCACACTCCACATGACGAGAGAGACCCTTTCCTCGCGGCCTTGAGGACCTCGCCGACCACACTATTGCTGGCCTTGTTGTTGCTCTCCTTCTGGCGCTGTAGAAGTGCTTTCGCATCTTCTAACCGCTGGAGGGCCGCATCCCGCGCACTTTCGGCCTGGCGCCGCTTCTTCACGAGGGACCCGTCCTCGCCGAGCTGCTTCTCGTAGGTCGACGCCTTCTTCCGCAGGTCAGCCACGTCCTTCTTCGCTGTTCGAAGCTTCTCTTCCTTACCGGCGCGTTCCTCGTCGGCCGACGCGAGCTTGGCCTCCACGGCTTCTAGTTCGGTCTGCGCGGCCCGGGGGCCGTCCAGGACCACGTCCAACTCATCTTGCACTTCGCGCACCGCCGCTTCCGCCTCGGAGAGCTTCTCCGTCAACGGCGCCAAATCACTGGAAGTTTTATCGTCAAGAGCTTTTTGCGCCGAGGCCGTCTCGGCCGCGCAGGCCTCCCGCACCCCATCCAAAGCCGCCTCGGCCTCGTCGGCCTTGCGGGACATGACCTCAGCCTTCTTGGCGCACCTAGGTTGCTCCTCTTCCAACTGCTCGCGAATGAACTCCTCCTTCTCCTGAATCACGGCCTGCTCCTTCTTCCTCGCGGCCTCGGCCTTCCGTAGAGCTACGACTCTATGTTTCCGCCCTTCCGTGAGTTCGGCGGCGCGCTTCTCGGCCTCCGTCGCTCGACTCGACGCCTCGTCCAGCGCCTTCGAGGCCTCCGCATAGCTCGTCTCCAGCGCTTTGGCCTCGGCGACGTCTCCTTGTAAAGACTTTTCTACGGCTTTGCGCTTCTCGCCTTCCTCCTTCAATCGCTGCGAGAGCTCGGCGTGCCGACCCTCAACAAGAGCAACGTTCGACGCGGCCTCGTGCCGCGACACCTGATATAACAAGTTCCGCTGCCGCCTCAACGCGTCCTCGGCACCAACAAAGGCCTCGGCCTCATCACGAGCAGCTGAAAGGGACTCGCGCTCCTTCTCCGTAACTTTGAGACGATTCAGCTTCTCCGTTCGAGCTTCGCAGGCCTCGTCGACTTTTTGAGAGGCCGCCTCGATGGGCTCGACGTAGTTGTTCGACCCAATAATGTCCTCCAAATATTCCAACAAACCTTCTTCATGAGGCGAGGGGGCCTTGGGCTTCATCATGGCGATCTGCTCGACCTCGCCCTGGAGGATGAGGAAGCGGTTGTTGTCCAGGTCGATGCCCTTCCTTCGGAGCAACGCGCCGACTTCCTTGAACGTGGCAGCCTTACCATCGACATCATACTTCGACTGGTTCGAGCTGAAGGCCGTCCTCGAGACGACTAACTCACTCCCTTCGACGATGGTAAATGAGTCCGGGTCGGCGCCGTCCTCGTCGAGCACGTCGGCGAAGTGCACGGATACTCTAGCACTATCTAGGTTCGGGTACTGTTCCGAGCGGTGGATGAGTTCCGAGACTTTGTTCAATCGCAGCTTCTTGGCGCGCTTGCCGAAGACGAAGAGCATCGCGTCGATGACGTTGGACTTGCCGGACCCATTGGGCCCGACGACACTTGAGAAGCGCTTGTGGAAGGGCCCGATCTCCCTCACGCCTCCATAAGATTTGAAGTTCTCGAGGACCATCTTCGTGATCATCAGGCGAGAAGCCGGCGCGTCGCCCATGGTGGCGTCGGCGTCCGCCATTGGTTGTTACGTTCGTGGTTTGCGTCCGCGGTTCTTGCGCGGTGGCGGCAAATGTGACTGTCGGCTTCCGCTACCGGTTTCTTTAGCGCGGCGACGGCGACAGGGGCTGTGGTCGTCCGCTACGGGTCGCTGTTACGCTCGTTACGTCGCGCGACGGCTTTTAGGGCGTCTGCGCGCTCGAGCTAAAAAAGCCGGTATAGACGCTACCGGCGTAACAAGCTGCGGCTGCGTCCCAGGAACAGGTCTCCAAGTCTTCCGAGCGCTGCACGAGAGGAGTGATTACGCTCGATGCGGCTCAGCGGCCCAGCGCGGAGCTCAAACTGCCTGCACTTCGGACGAGCTAGCGCGCGCAAACACACTAGGATGACAAACAGCCGGCCGGTTTCGACTCTTAGAGGGGGCTCCTCGCCGCCCGAAGACTCCTCTGTTTCTCGGAACGCGTCCCGCTCAAGGCAACCAAGTCACCTTTGTCTGTAGATGTCTGTGGGCAGCACCGAGCTAAAATCAGGCTGCGTTCGGCGCACCGGTGGCCTTAGATACGTTTGAACAATGCCAGACGTCTGCCACGATCCAACCATCCAGCTCTGAAACTCCGGTGAGCCGTGGCACCTTGACTGCAGAGGCAGCAAAGGCTGCAGGAGCAAGAGGCTGCCAATCAGCAGCCATGCCACCGAGACGCCGCCGCGCGCAGCAACCGTGCGTCGTTTGCGCACAATTCCTGCGCCCAGTGACGTTCGAGGAACCGGACGTGTCCTGCGACGGGTGCTCGAACGACGCCAGGATTGGGCACAAGCGCGCGCCCGTCGCGCACATCGCTTGCATCTTGCCTGGAGGCACGGACGACGACGACGACGAAAAAAAGGGCATGATCCTAGATCAAGACGGCGACGGCGTGACGACGTGGCTGTGCCAAGGATGTCGCCGGCGGACGATGGATCCCGAGGGCGCTCCGGCGCCCGCCGTCGCCGCCCCGCCTTCACCGGCTCCCGCTCCGCCGGCGGCCGCGCCTCCGCCGCCGCCGGAGAGCGCGCCCGAGCCGTCGCTCCCGCCGCCGGTCGCCGCCTCTCCGCCGTCGGGCGAGCCGGCCGCCGAAGACGCGTCGTTACCCCAGGACTTCATATGTCCGATTACCCAGGCGCCCATGGTCGACCCCTGCGTGTGCGCGGACGGTCGCTCGTACGAGCGCGCCGCGATCGAGGCGTGGCTCAAAGGGCACGACACGTCGCCGCACTCGAACGAGCCGCTCGCTGACAAGCAGCTGAGACCAAATATCACGCTGCGAAACGCGATCATCGCGTTTCAGAGCCGAGCCGAGGTGCCGGCCCCAGCCGCCGCCGAGCCGGCCGTCCCGCGGTCGCGGTCACGCTCGTGCGGACGGCGGCGGCGGTCACGGTCGCGCTCACGCGGGCGGCGGCGGTCGCGCGGGAGGCGTCGGAGGAGCCGGTCGCGCTCGCGGCGACGACGGTCGCGACGGCGCCGCTCTCGATCGCGCTCGCGCGAGATGCCGTGGGGCTCGCAACTCGCCAACCCCGCGCTCCAGCGCAAGGCGCCGCGGCGGCACCGGTCGCGGTCGAGGGGATAATTGTTCTGTCTGTTTTAAAGCACAAATTACACAAGCCTCTTGGGGGAGAGGCGCGGCGGACCGAGCTGCCGCCGGGCCGCCGCGTCGGCGACGGCCTGGTAGTCCGCCAGGACCGGCGCCGACGACACACCGAGCGCCCCGAGGAAGTGGCGCGTCGCCGCGAGCGTCCCGACCTCGCGCCAGGCCGTCGGGTGGGAGCGCAGCTGGCGGCCCTCACCCTTTGACAGCTCGTCAACAATATCATCGTCGAGTTTCGCGCGACGGCCGGGCAGGCGCGCGTTCAGTTTTTGCGCCTGCTCCCACGTGCCGTCAATGACGACGACGTCGACGGGTCCGGCGAGCGCCGACGCCGGCGCCGCGTCGTCGGACGGAAATAGCACGACGGCGTCTCCAGCTTCCAGCGCCGCGCGCATCTCGGCCTCCGTGGGCTGCCCTTTGAGACCCGCTACCACTAGGTGCGCCTCGGGATACGCCGCAAGGATTATTTTCGCCGTGTCGACGGCCAGTAAAACCTCCTTGTGGTGCATGTACACGTATATCCGTCGGACCGCGGGTCCCAGATCATCGAGCGGCCTACAGCTGTCGCAGACGCAGTGTGCGCGCTGCAGCCAGCAGCGCCTGCGGTAATGATAAAGTAAGGCGCACGCCGGCGGGACAAGCGATTGCCGATATCGAAGCGACGGTGCGCTCGAGTTCAAGGAGTCTAAATTTTTGTCGACAGGCTTGCAATTCCGGTGAATCATCAAAAAAGGGGTTCCGCATCGCGCACTTACGAAGCGAGTTTCGAGACGCGGGCCACGCGCCGACAGTCGCCGTTGCGCGCAAAGGAGTCGAGCCGCCGCCGCAGCCGCCGTGCAATCGCCACGGACTCGCGCTCGGCGGGCGGCAGCGCCTCGATCGGTTGCGACGTGCTCGCGACCGCTGCGTCTATTGCGCGCTCGACGGCATCGAGGGCTGCTGAGTGCTGCTGCTGCGGTGCGAGGGCTGCCGCAGCGGCGGCGTAGAGCAGGAAACGCATTCAGCACAGGCTCACAGCAGCCACGAAGCCCTCGCAAATCAATCTTCACTGCTCATATCGGCCCGTCACTGCTTCAATATAAAGGACTCAAAGAGGCTCGGTGCTTGCTAGTGTGTCTTACAACACGCTAGCACCGGCTCCAGCTCGGACCTGAGCGCAGTCGGTTTTGGTGGACCAGGATCACAGCGGCTGTCTCTGTGTTCATTTTAACCATCGCAGCCCAGCAATTCGGTCATCAGCACGCCAACATTAGCTCAAAAGCTAAAACCGCTTCCACAGCGCATTTGACCACCCACCATGTCCCAAAGCGATGGCGGCGAACCGCCGCCCCCACCCTCATCAGAAGATTCCGCCGTCCTCGACGCCTGCGCACGCGCTGCGGAGCAGTATTACTCGCCGCGGCGCGGGCGGGCGAAGACCATCGATGGCGAGCTGCTCCAGGCGATGCGGAAGGCCATCTCGACGCTGCCAGAGACCGCGACGCGTGCCGCGCGACGCAGCATCACGGGCGACCCCGAAATGCGCATCAGAGACCGCGCGCGCGAGGCGTTCGTGCGGCCGAAGCGACCGAGCGTGGTCAGGGCGGTCGATAAGGCGCTCTTCACGGGCGCGGTGGGCTGGATTTTGCTGACCGAGTACGTCGTCTTGTGCTACCCGAAGCTCCTAGGGCTATTGTACGTCTGCACGATGACGCCGCTGCTCATCTATCGTGCGATGGACTACTACTTCGTGCGCCACTGGACGTACTTCATGTTTGACTTTTGCTACGCTCTAAACGGCCTGGTCTTCTCGCTGATCCTGCTGCCACTTGACGCGAGGAACTGGGGCTCGTGGCAGCTCTTCTGCGACCAGCGGCCGGCGGCGTGGGGATTCCCCTGCGCGTTCGCGCTGTGTAACGGGCCGCTGCTCGCGGCGGTGCTCGCGTGGCGGAACTCGTTCGTCTTTCACAACCTCGACAAAGTGACGTCGACGGCGTTGCACGCCGGGCCCCCGCTGTGGACGTTCGTCGAACGGTGGTGCACGGACTCGCAGTACCCCGCGGATGTCGACCTTGTTAGCTGATACGCGATACCGATACTCTTCTACGGCGTCTGGCAGGTGCTCTACATCGTAAAAACGGAGTTCATCGACGCGGCCTACCTCGAGACGGCCCCGGAGGAGGTCACGTCGCTGCGCTGGCTGAGTCGCGACGAAAGCAACGGGATGAACCGGCTCTGCAAGTATGTTTGTGTGAAACTCGGGCAAATGGCGCCGGACGAGTCCTTCGACGACGCCTCGCGGAAGACCAAGCTCACGTTCTGGGCGGGCCAGCTCGTGTATACGGTCGTGACGCTCGTCGCCACGCCGTTGCTCTGGCGGTACAAAGCCCTCCACGCCCTGTGCCTGTTCTCCATGTTCGCAACCGCCATCTACAGCGGCGCCTCATACTACATCGAGGTGTTCTCGCGGCGCTACAACGACCAGTTCAAGGTGTCGTGACTGTGTAAAAATGTAATAGTATGAGGGTCAGGCGGGGGGTGTGCGGTCGCGCAGGGAGGCGGCTAGGCGGCCTAGCTCTAAGCAAAAAAATAGCACACACACATTAGTTCAAAACGTTTCATCCTCCGGCGATGCCAAACCCTTCATCTTCACGAGCTCCCGCTCCCGCGCTGCCAATATAGTCGACACGCGCGCGAGCTTGGCCTTGAGAACTTTGTTCTCGGCTTCCGACTTGTCGAGGCGCTCCAGGACCTCTGCGGCGGCAAAGAGGTTCTCGTCCGGCTCGGACCGGGCGAGCGCGTCCTGGAGCTTCCGTTGCACCTCGCGGAGCGCGGCCGTATCAGTAGGCGCGGATGGCGTCGACGGCGGGATTTCGGGTGACCTGGGGTCCGCGGCGGCCGTGTGCGACCTGCCGCCGGTGGCGGGGAAGGACCTCGACGGCGGCGAGCACGGCGACTCGGCGCGCGGCGGCAGGCGCTCCGGCGACGCGGCGCCGTCGTCATCGTCGTCGATCGGCTCAAAGAAGAGCGTCCGCGCGGGGGGCAGCGACTTCCCGCGGCGGCGGGCGGGCGTCGCCGAGACCACTACCGGCGCCACGATGAGCCGCTCGAGGTCCGCGATGGCCTCGCGGACGCCCTCGCGCGCGGGCGGCTCCGGCGGCAACACTTCGTGTGGCGCCTGTAGCTCCGTCTGCAAAGCGTCCATTTGCTGCCGATACCGCGCGACCAGCGGCGACGCGCGCGGCACCGGCGCCTGGACGACACGCGTCGCCCGCCGTGCGAAGTGCAAGGTGTTCGTCGTCTCCTCGCCCGCGTCCGGCGCCACGGTGCAAACGAGCGTAACGCGGCCGGATAGCGCCGGCCGCAGCAGCCGCGTCAGCTTCGAGTCGCGGTACGGCACATATCCATGACCGTCGGCCAGCTTGGCAATCACGAGCGCCAGCGCGTGGAGCGACCGGTTGATGCAGTGGCCCTCGGCCGAGGCCGTCGCTTCTGAGCCAGCGAGGTCCACGAACGTAAGGATCGCATTGTTCGCTAACGTGAGTGTGAGGATCGCGTGCGACCGCGACGACCTGTCGTTGTACGCCGTCTCCCCGACGCTGCGCCGCCGCTCGCCCCGCGTGATCGCGGCGAAGACGGCGTCGACCGACGCGACGTCCACTTCGCGGCGGCCCACCGGGCCCCCGTCCAGAACCCTCAAATCGTCGGCGTCGCCGAGCAGGTCGCGCACGCGCTCGTTGTAGCTCTCGACGTAGGACACGCGGCACCTTTGATGGGTCTTGAAGACGTCCACGACGGCGCGGGGAATCAGACCGGGCGACTCGGGCGTTCCCTGCATCGTGTGCGTCTTGCCGGACGCCGTCTGGCCGTAGGCGATGAGAGCGCCGCTGTTGCCGCGCAGCGCGTCGTCGACGAAGTCCTTCGCGACTTGCTCGTAGACGGCGGCGTTGTCCGCGCGCACATCAAAGACGTCGTCGAAGCGGAAGACACGCGGCGCGCGCTGCTGCGAGGCGTACGCGTCCGCGCGCGGGCACTCGACGACGGCGGCGCCGTCGACGCGCCAGGCGGCCACACCGTCGGCCGGCCGCAGGCGCACGCCGACGCGGATGCTGCGGCGGCGGCTGGCCATCTATGCGTCCCGCATGATTGCACAAGCGCACTGGCCCTGTTCCAGCTGTCTCCAATTGGACACAGCACGCCCCCCGTGTTCAGGCTGCCCGAAACGCGTCGCCGCGCGACGAAGGCCGCCCTGCGTCTGCGTACGCCGTCGACGCAGCGCTGGTGATGCGTGCGGCTGCCAGCAGTGGCCCAAGCTTAAGCGCTTGCGCTGCAGAGGCGGCTCGGGTTTTGCGGCGCGCGCGCATGGAATGAGCGACTCTCTCTGCGGATCCCCACGCCGTCGAGATAAAAAAGGGGGCTACGTTCGTCTTAGGGGGGGTGCCCGGCTCAAATCTACTCCGCGGCGACGGCCTCCGTGTTGCCGATGACGCTCATGAACATGTTGAAGAAGATCTGGATCGTGTTGATGTACAGCAGGCGCATGTCCGAGGGCACGAAGGCGAAGTTGATCGTGTGGGCCGGGATCCACGTCATCCACGACCCCTTCACGGCCGTGAAGACGTCCTGGCGGATCTTGGCCTCGATGAGGTCCGGCGTGCCCTCGAAGACCATCATGTAGGAGAAGAACATGACCATGAAGACGGGCGCCCAGCACGTCTGGTCGATCGCCACCTTCGCGGCCACGGTTAGCGGGTCCGTTCCCTTCAATTTCCCGTCCAGAAAGTTGTAGAAGAAGTGGCCCGTCGTGCCGTGCAGCAGGAAGCCAAAACTGGCCATCTTCACCAAACGCTTCAAATCGAAGTCCATTTTCTCGATGAACAGCTGCGTGAGGACGTCGCTCACCGCAAATCCAATACCCGACGTGCAGGCCTTCGTGAAGATGGGCTTGTCGTCCAGGGCCTTCTGGTAGGAGTCGAGGACGGCGTCTCCCTTCGGGACTTCGACGGCTTTCACGGCCTTGACCTTGCTCTTCGGGGCCGTGATGGCCGCGGCGGGCGCCTGCGGTTTGACGAGGGTGAGATGCGATTGCAGGCGGGCGTGATTGCGCGCGTGTGACTGCAGACGAGCGCGGCGTGTGCGTGCAACGGCCCAAACCATGCAAACCAGTGCAAGCGCTTGCGCGCGTCGCGTGCGCGGTGCCGCCCGCACTCCTCGCGTGTGGCGGCAATTGTCATGCGACGCGCGCGCCGTCCGTGCAGCGCGTGTACATTGGAGGTGTGTGTAAACAGGCAAGGATATTGCCCCTGTTGCGGAGCAGACGCTGCAGCACGCCAGCAGCAGTGCGACGAACAGTGCTCGCATCATTCTTGTTGCACAGCTGGTTATTGGTGGGGAATATGGAGGCCTATATGGTTCAGAGTGCAGACATGCGCGAGCGGCAAGCTTTTCAGCCACAGCCCGAAGCGATCATTGACCAGCCCGAAGCATCGTGTGGGTCCCAACAACAGCAATAACAGGCGCGTTTCGTGAACGCTCGGGCGTGCTAGTGCCTTACAGGACGCTAGCTTTTTTGCTGATTCGAAACCGCTGTTTTTGCAGCCATTTCTCACGTAAACTTGTAATTTGCGCGTCGAACCCACCAAGAGTCTTGCTCAGCCAATCTTAAAGTTTAAAAAAACGCCGCTTCCTACGCATAGGAGGCCAAATACTGAGGCACTCAGAAGCTGCAGCCAAGAACGAGCGGCGCCGGAGACCGGAACGATGCTCCAAACCAAGCGCCAGGCCCTCGTCGCCGCCGGCGCGATATCCACGCTTTTAGTAGCGCGCGAGATCCTGCGGCGCGTCGGCCGGCGCCTCGTCGAGGCCGTCGACCCCGTCGCGCCGGCGGCGGCCGAGGCGCGGGCGCTGCTCGAGCCGCCGTTGACGTGCGAGGACGTCGAGGCCTTCGTCCGCGAGACGAAGCCGACGACGGAGGGCGCGGCGAAGAGCGTGACCTGGGCGACGCGGGGCCTCCGGCGGCCGACGGAGTTCGCGGTCGTGTACATCCACGGCTGGGCCGCGTGCCGCCAGGAGATCGCGCCGACGCCGCAGCTGCTCGCGCGGGCGCTGGGCGCGAACCTGTACTGCCACCGCCTCTCGGGCCACGGCCGGCGGCGGGAGGAGAGCGCGCCGGCGTCGTCGCCGGACGGCGACATTTTATTAAGGGAGGCGACGCCCGGGCGCCTGTTCCGGGACGCGCTCGAGGCGCTGCGCGTCGGGCGGGCCCTCGGCGACCGCGTCATTTTGGTGGGCGTGTCCACGGGCGCGGCGCTCTGCACGTGGCTCGCGGCGACGCAGGCCGGCGACGACGTCGCCGCGCTGGTCCTCGTGAGCCCGTGCTTCGGTCTGGGCCATCCGCTCTACCCGCTCCTGAAAATTCCCTTCGCGGCGCTGCGGCTGCTGCCCGCGGTTCTATGTAGGCCGCTCCGGGCCGCGGCGATCGCGCTGCTGCTGGGGCGGACGAAGCGCGTCTTCCAGCGCGGCGCCGAGCACGCGCGCTTCAACGCGCTCGTCTACCCGCAAGCGGCGCTGCTCCACCTGCTGGACGTGCTGTTCTCGCTCGAGCGCGTCGACGTCGCGCGCGTCGCCGCGCCGACGTTCGTGGCGCTCAACGAGCGCGACCCCGTCATCGACGTGGCGCGGGCCGCGGCGCTCTTCCACCGCCTCGGCTGCGGCAGCAAGCAGTTCTTCTGCTGCCCCGTCGACGAGCCCGACGGCGGCGACCCGCACGTGCTCGCGTCGCAGATGCTCTCGCCGGCGTCCGTCGACGCGATCGCGGACGCGGCCATCCTCTTCGTCCGCGCGCACCTGGGCCGGGGCCACGGCCTCGAGCGGCGCCGGAGCGGCGCCGAGCTGCGGCGCGGCGCGTCGTACGGGCCCTTTGGGAGCTTCACGGGGCTCGACGGCCTGACGCGGCCGTTTCCGTTCTAGTAGTTTACGTGATTGTGCATAAGGTTACTAAAGTTAGTTGTCCTATCTATGGCATACTCGCCCCTCGATAGCGTGCAATAAAGGAACCCACAAATATAGGCGTCCACTGAGATCGACTGTTCACTCCTGAAGTTCCGCGCGGCCGCCGGCACAGCGGGTATTAAGCTCTGAACTTCACTATTCGGGGGTCAGTCGGAGAGGTCTGTTCTCAAAAGCCATCTGCCTAGGCCTGTATACATGTATACTATATGTATGTATATATATATACACATATATATAATATACGGATTCCTAGTGTGTCGATACGCTAGATCACCAGGTCTTGCGGCTCGCCAAAATACACCAGCGATTGACGGTGCCTTCTACCGTCCAAATGGTACATCATATCAACTCCAGCCCAGTTTTCATACACAATCGACGGAACCGGAGCCGACGGCCCGCGCTCGGAGGGCGGGAAAAGAATTTTACCAGACAACTCCCGAGTTTATGTTCGTTTCCTTCCGTTTGTTAGTGGTAGAGTCCATTTAGGCCGAATCAGCGGCCACTGAGCTATTTTAGATATTCCATTAGAGCCGCGGGATTCGACGACTTCGGTACCGCGCATTTATATGAAGGCGAGCGAAACACCTGCATCCGCGAGTATCAGCGACGTCACTATCACAATGGACCAAAACGCCGTTGTTCTATTCACGATCGACCGACTTGCCCGTTCTCCGCGGACGACGGTGCGTACGCGGGGCACTGTATTGGCCCCAGACCGGTGGTTTATAAAATAAATTTGCGTTTGAGGCACTTCGGTTACCGGACGGGCCATCCAATTGGCCTGAATGCGTCGCACATTTGATTTTTGTTACCAGAGGCTCATCGCGCCTCGTCGGTCTCGAGACCCCAAGATCTCGCTAATTTCGATTACCTGACTGGAACTGCGACCATCAGCCCGTGTACCATCACCATGGACCATGGCGCGATCATTTGTTTCATAAACGATTGACTTGCGCGGGGTCCAGATCAAGATGTTCACGTCTCGAGCGTGGACAGTCCAAAGTACCCTTCTCGTGGTGTAGATGCCATATACTTGTAGTTGACTATCGGTGGGGTAGCATGGGGCCCAGCGAGACCGCTATTACGATTCCTGGGGGGCCTCGGGTGATTGACGTTTTTGACGGGAACGGGCCGCCATCGGGCCCAAATTGCACACTGTTTGTGGGGGCAGATCGGCTCTCGGGCACGCTCTGGCTTAGATATGGTAGTGGGTAGTCGCCTGTACCGCATACGCGATCGATGAAGCAGCCTAGTGCTCCCCGAGAGCCCTGGAAGCAAACCTTGGCCTATTATTGCTAAAACAGCGCGGGCTGCTGAGAGAATTCGGCCAAGAATGATTGAAGCGGCGGCGCATGCGGCGTAGCCGCTTGCACGTGTATAGTACCGACCCTAGGCGACCCCGGGGAGACCTGTTTGACAGGGATTGACAGGATTCAGCCGGCAGGGCTGGCCTGTGGCCTCGTCCGCCTCCGCACCGCGAAACAAGAAGGCCCCCAATACGTGTCCCATTGATCTCTTCGGACCATTAGCGAATTGAAGGATACTCAAACGGCTGTGTGGAGCGTTGCCCTTGGCATCCTAGTGTCTTACAGGCCACGCTAGGCCGGCGCAAACTCCAACGACGGCGCAGTGCGCGCTGACGGGGGCTCGCAGAGAGCTCAGTTTGGCTGCTAAGCGCCGCCACTGCTCCCCGCGCGCTGCGTCGAGACAGCGGCGCGAAACGGCTAATAACAGACGACAACAGACAACAACAGCGCGAGCAAGGATGCCGCGCCAAAAAGCCGAGGCCCTGGCCGTGGGCGACACCGTGCGCCTCCTCAAAGGCGCGCACGAGGGCGCCGTCGGCGTGGTGCTGGAGAAGACGGGCGGCGGGTGGATGAAGATCCTGACGCCGCTGGGCACGGTCAAGGTGCAGGGCCGGGCGTCGGTGGACAAGGTCGACCAGGTGGCCGCCGGCAAGGAGAACGCGGGCACCGCGGCGGCCGCGTCGCCGGCCGCGCCGGCAGCGGTGTCGGCACAAACCGCGGCTCTGCTGCAGCAGACCATACCGCCACCGCCCCCGGCCGTGGCCACGCCGCCGACCCCACCGCCGCCGCCGCCGCCGGCCGCGACGCCCCCGCAGCCCGCGCGCCCGCCGCCGACGCCGCCGACGCGCGACCTCGAGGTCGCGGCGGAGAAGGAGCTGGAGCGCCAGCGCCAGGAGCAGCTCGCGCTCGAGGCGGCACGCGCCCGCAGGGCGCGGGAGGAGGCACGCGCCCGCGCCGACGAGGCGCGGCGGCGGCAGGCGGCCGAGGAAAGCCGGGCGCGCGACGCGGCAGAAGCGGCGCGGCGGCGGGCGGCCGTCGCGGCCGCGGCGCGGCCGCCCCCGCCGCCGCCGCCGCCGCCCGGACCCTCCCTGGCGACCGGCGCCGGCGCCACGCCGAGCGGCTTCCCCGCGTTCCGCACGACGACGCCGTCGCCGACGCCCCAGAAGGCGGCGCCGCCGCAGCACCGGCAGCCCCAGATGCGCAAGCGCGAGTCCTTCGCCGAGCGCTTCAAGCAGGCCCAGCGCAAGGGCGAGGAGCAGGCGCGCCGGTCGTCGTTCGAGTTCAAGCGGAGCTCCGTCGGCGGCCGCGAGTCGTGCGGCGGCCGCGAGTCCTGCGACGCCGACGACGCCTACTACGCGCGCGCGGCGCAGCGCGCGGCCGCCGGCGTCTTCGCGCCGGCGAGTTCCGCCGCGTTACGCCTCGGCAAGGCGCGGCACTACGTCGCGCTCGGCCTGCCGGCGACGGCGGCGACGCCGGAGATCAAGCGGAGCTTCCGCGACCTCGCGCGCGCGCATCATCCCGACCGGCACGTCGGCTCGGCGACGGCGGACGCGTCGGCGGAGCTCTTCAAGCGCATCTCCGCGGCCTACGAGGCGCTCCGCGACGGCGACTCGCGGAAGGCGTACCAGCGCGCGGTGCTCGCCGGGCGCGCGGACTAAGTCTAAGGTATATATATATATCATCAGTTCGCATTATTGTCGTTCGCGCGCGCCCCCCTGAGCAGGACGCGCAGCTCGGGCACCTTGAGGCCCTCGAAGGCCAGCCCGCGCGCCTCGCACTCGAGGATGAGGTCGGCCTTGCGCATGCGCGACAGCGCCGGCTTCTTCCCAGACGCGGACGCCTTGGCGGCGACCTCGGCGACGGCCGCCGTCGCGTCGGCGACGACCTCCGCGACGGCCGCGTCGTCGACGCTGTCGGCGAGGTCCGCGAGCTGTTTTTTAAGTTGCGCCTCGGACGCCTCGGCCCGCGCCAGCGCCTCGGCCGACGCCCGCGCGGCGGCGTCCGCCGACTCCTCCGCCGCCTCGGCGCGCCGCTTCATCGCATCTAGTACGGCCTCGGTCGCCTCCTGCGCGCCGGCCGCCGACGCGGCCTGGCGCTCGGCCGCGGCCGCGCGCCGCGCCACGGCCTGGGCCTCGTCCGCGAGCGCGCGCGCGCGGCTCTCCGCGTCGACGAGGCGCGTCTCGAGCTCGACGGCCGCCGCGCGCGCGGCCTGGACGTCCTGCTCGTTCGACGACGCCTCGCCCTCGACGCGGGCCAGCGCCGCCGCCTTGGCCTCGGCGGCCTCCTCGGCCTCGGCCGCCTCGGCCTCGGCCTTGCGCTTCGCGGCCTCGGCCTGCGCGGCGAGCTCACGCGCCTCGCGCGCGCGCGCCGCCTCGGCCTCGGCGACGCTCACCTTCTCCTCGACGGACTTCTCCGCGTCGGCGAGCTGGCTCCGCAGCAGCACCGCGCCCTCGTCGGCCGCGGCGAGCTCGGCCTCGAGGTCGTCGACGTAGCGCGCGAGCGCGCGCGCCGCCGCGCCGAGCTCCCGCGTGAGCTCCGTCGCGAAGGCCGCGACCGTCGCGCCCAGCTGGCCCTCGTCGCGGAAGACGATGGCGCCCTCGGCCGTGCGCTCGTAGCGGTCCGCGATCTCGGGCCGCTGCAGGAACGCCGAGAAGTCGCCGGCGACGGCGAGCTCCTTGCTGCCGTCGCTCGAGTCCGGCGCCGACAGCGCCTTGGCGCCATTGCTCGTCGTCGCTAGCCACGCGTCGCGGCCCGCGGCGGCCGTCGTCGTGATCTCCTGCGTCGCCGCCTCGGTCCGGACCTCGACCTGCTGCGCCTCGTCGGCCGCCCAGCCCTGGGGGCCGGGCTGCGGCACGATCTCGGGGAAGAGCGCGCCCTTGCGCTTGCGCACCTGCCAGCCGCCGTCGCGCCAGCTCTGCGTGAGGGCCTCGAGCTTGCCGAGCGGGTCGAAGGGCTCGAGCGGCGCCATGCGCAGCCGCGTTTTGGGGGGGGCGCGCCGGCGGTGGGGCAGCCGCGGCGCGAGGGCCGCCGCGCAGCCGGCGACGGCGAGGCAGCGCAGCATGGCGAAGCTAAGGGCGCGGGCGGAGAGGCGGCGAAGAGTGGCTCTCCCGCGAGGGTGTGATTTCCAGGCTTGCGCTCGCTGCGGTCTCGTCGCAGGCGAGGCTGTGAGGAAAGTTTTGGCCACTTCAGACGCGAGAGCCGAGGGTGTGGACACTCTTTTTTGGCGCGTTTTTGGCGGCCACTTTTTAGGCTGGGATTTCTAGTGCCTTACAACCGCTAGCCTTGTCGAGCGCGCAGAGGTAAAAAAAAGGCAGCAGACGAAAGCTCGTAGCCACAGACTGCCGAGAAATCGCCCTTGACACCCGCGCGCAGCGTAGCGAAGAGGCCGACAGTGAGGGAGTTGCATAACCAGCTCTACACAGCACACCTCTCCATATAAGAGGACAAAGTTCTGCTTAAGCGATCAGCAGATTAGCACACAGATGGCCGACGAGGCGAGCGCCGCGGCAGCCGCCCCCGCAAAAGAGGAGAAGGACTCGAAGAAGCGCGCGCGCGACGAGGCCGACGAGGCCGACGACGAAATGCCAGAGATGCCGGAGAAGTGGGCGAAGAAGGACATCGGGCGGGCCATGCTCTGGTACTACCGCGACAAACAGGGCAAGCGCCAGGGCCCCTTCTACCCCGGCCAGATGCGCCACTGGTGGACGGCCGGCTTCTTCCAACCCACACAGCTCGTGGCGCCGTCGTTCCGGGGCGAGGTGCCGCGGGCCTTCGTCAGGGTGGACCAGTTCTTCACCGACGCGCCCGCGCGCGAGGCGGCCTTCGTCGCCGCCGAGGGCGTCGCGCTCTGGCCCGCCGCGCGCGCGGCGGCCCCGGGCCCGGGCGGCGACGGCGACGACGTCTACGCGGAGACCGTCGCGCGGGCCGACGCGGCTAAACGGCCGGCCTGGCTCGAGGACTCGATCAAGCGCCAGCGCGCGGGCATCCACCACACGATCCACCAGCCCGTCGAGCGGGAGAACTACAACTAACTTGACCCGCCTGTATGTCGTAGTACTAGGCCGTTTTTTTTTGTGCGCGAGTAAAAAAAAAACCCGCCGGCGCGTCCGTTTTTGTTGCACCGTCCGCGGGCTGCCCCCAGGCGCCGCCGCCCGTCCCGGTCGCGGCCCAAACGATGGCGCAGCGCCGCGCGGACGAGCGGATGGCCGGCATCACCGCTGCGCACCGCTTCCGGCTCGGCGAGCAGCGGCCCGGCTGGCTGGCCAAGAGCAAGGCCTTCTCCAGCGTGATGCGCCAGGAGCGGAACCTGGAGATCATCAAGAAGAAGAGCGACGCGCGCCGCGCGGCGTCGGAGAAGGAGAACGCGGCCGCCCCCGACGCGGCGGCGGAGGCGCCGCCGCCGACGCCCGTCGCGGCGCCGCGGCTCGCGTCGCCGCCGCCGCCCCCGCCGCTCATGGCGCCGCAGCAGTGGGCGCCCTGGGCCGCGCCGAAGCCGACCGCCGAAGACGAGCCGGACGCCGCGGCCGACCCGTCGGCGTTCGAGCCGTTGCCGGCCGCCGCCGACGACCCGTCGGCCTTCGAGCCGCCGGTGGACGCCGAGTCGGCCTTCGAGCCGCCGGTGGACGCCGAGTCGGCCTTCGAGCCGCCGGTGGACGAACCGTCGGCGTTCGCGGCGCCGTCGCCCCTCGCGCTCGAGCCGCCGTCGCCGGCGGCGCGGCGCCGGCCCCGCGGCTCGGCGGCGACGGCCGTTCGCGCCGCGCACCGGCGCATGGAGTCGGCGCAGGAGGCCGCGAAAAAACGCAAGGACGCCCTCCTGGAGGCCGAGCGGACGCGCATCGCGGAGAAGGTGAAGGCGCGCGAGGCGCGGCGCGCCGCCCTGAGGCGCGGCCGCGACATGCTCGCGACGGTCGCGGCGGCGCGGGCCGCGGCGCGCCTGGCGGAGGGCCTCCGCGCCGCGCGCGAGCGCCGCCGGCGCGCGCGCGCGGCGACGACGCTCGCGGCGTGGCGGCGGCGAACCGTCGTGGTCCGGCGGCTCGCGGCGCTCGCCGCGGTCGGCCGGTGCGTGGGCGGGTCGCTGCGCTACGCCGTGACGCAGCGCGCGCGGCGGCGGCGGCTCGCGGCGCGGCGGCTCCGGTTCGTCCTCGAGGCGAGCGCCGGCGCCGCGGGCAAGTTCCGGCACGCGGTGCGCGAGCTGGCCCGGCGCGTCCGCGTGGTCCAGCGCGCGGCGCGCGACTACCGCGTCTGCACCGCCGCGCGCCTCGCCGCGCTGCGGCTGGTCTGGCAGCGGTCGGTCGAGGCCGAGGTCGCGCGCGAGCGGCGCGTCTGCGACGCGCTCGACGCGCGCGAGCGCCGGGAGCGGTCGGCGCTCTCGGCCGACGCCGAGCAGGCGCGCCGCGTCCAGGACCTGCGCACGGCGCGGCGGCGCGCGGCCGCGCACGACGCCGAGCGCGACCACAAGTTCCGCACCATCAAGCAGCGCATCGGGGACATGCGGACGCGGCTCCGAAAGGCGCTTGCCTGCGTGGAAATCGAAGTTTTACGGCGCGTTCGTGCTGAATCGTCGCGTCGTCCTCCACTCCACCGACGCGGCGCCTGCTCGATAGCGTGAGAGTGCCGGTTCCTCGCCGCTCGACGGAGCCAGCCCGAGAATAGCACCCGACGCAATGGTTGATTTCCACACAGGCGGACGCGCTCGTCGAGATGGGGAACGCCGCGGCTTCGGAAGGCGGCTTCTCCGGGAGGCGGCGCCGGACGACGGGCACGGACGCCGTCGTCGCGGCCGTGAAGCACGCGGTGCCGCCCCGCCGGCGCGACGCCGTCCTGAAGCGGCTGCTGGCCGACGCGCGGCGCGCCTTCGCGGCGCGCAGCGGCGGCGTCGCGCTCGAACGGGCCAAGGCGGAGCTGCACGGCGTCGGCGAGGCGCGGAGCGTCGTCAGGGGCAGCGGCCGGGGCGCGATCCCCCGGTCGAAGCTCGTGCCCGTGCTCCCGCTCTACTCGCAGGCGTGGCGGGTCCACGCGCCGCGGAGCCCGAAGAAGCCGTGGGCCGCGCCGTCGCCGCTCCCCTCGCCCGCCTGGACGGCGGTTTCCGCGGCGGGCCGCGCGGCGGACGGGCCCCTGACGCCGTCCGGCCAGCGCGTCTGGACCATGGTCGCGGGCAAGCAGTCCCGGCGGGCGGCCGCCGCGGGCCGTCGCGCGTCGCTGGCCGAGCGCGTCCAGGCGCTCTACCGGCGCGAGGTCGACCGCGCGCAGCGGCGCAAGACGGCGGCGCGCGACGCGCGTCTCGTGCGGCGCGGCGTCCTCTCGCCCTCGGCGGCCGCGAAGCCGCCGCCGTCGACGTGTCGGACGCGGCGGTCCGTGTCGTTCTCCCGCGACCTGCTTGTCGAGGAGGGGTAAGTAGCTCGCCCGGTGAAGAAACAAATAGCCGAAGGCGGCGGATATTAAAATTTACAAAAGAAGGGAAAGGTCAGGTTCGGCGCGGACGGGTCCAGAGAAGAAGGAGAGATCGACCCCTGATCATTTCCTCTTGCAGTAACACGTCAGGCCGTGCACCTGCTTGAGCGCCAGCTTCCCAGCAGCGGACGCCGCTTCGCAGAACTTGCGGCACACCTTGCGCGGCGACGCGTCGCGCACAGTCTTCTTGGACGAGTACGTGTGGGCGCCGATCGTGCACAGGTTCGGGGTGATGTAGTACGGGTGCGTCGTGCCGGCCTCGAAGATGATCGTGGGACCCAGGGCGCACTGTTCCTGGGCCAGATTGACAAGCGTCGCAATCGTGATGCCGGTGAACGTTATGCCGATCGCCGCGAGGCCCATGGGCGCCAGGGACATGACCTCCCTTAGGCCGCCGTCGAGGAGGTCGTCGTCGTCGTCGTCGTCGTCGTCGGTAGGGCCGGGGTCACCGCAGGGCATAGTGCCCGCGTAAGCGCCGACGTCGGCGCACGTGATGCCCAGGCACGGGTATGTCGACTCGATCGCCGCCTTGACGCTGTAGAAGCCCCCTTGCACCGGCGTCGCCGCTTCGATGTCTAAGCTATACCTGATCTTCTCGGCGACCCCCCAGTCGCACTCGGCGATCTGTGGGAGCACGGCCGCGGCGAAGGCCCAGGCCTCGGCCCACGACTTGACGCAACCGTCGCTGGCGGTCATGGCATTCATTCCCGCGTCGGCGACGCATTCGCCACCGGCGTTGGCCGGGTCCGCCTTGTACGCGTACTTGAGCGTGCCCTGGACGAGCGGCACGGTCATCAGCTTGCGAATGTCCTCGACGAGGGGCTCGGCGCCGGCGCAGTCAGCGGCGATGATTTTGTCGCGGCCCTCAATGAATTTGGCGAGGAGCTGGACGTTCACCGAGGCGGGGCCGGTAGAGTGTGTGGTGCCGAAATCCTGGCCACGCTTCTCCGCGAGCTCCCAGATCAGCGTACCGCGGACCGTGACGGCGTCGTGCGCCGTCTCTGCGACCAGCGACCCGGCGTAAAACGCCCAGCCCTCGTCCCACGCGTGCGGCGCGCCGCCGGTCGGGGTCCCGTCGTTGGCGTAGATGTCGCCATCATAGCAGTCGCCGATGGCGTCCTCGAGCTCGTGGAGCACGTACATCCAGACCGCCTGGTAGTTGGCGCCCTTCTTGATGAGCTGGTTCCACCCAGAGGGTTTGACTGTCGCGGAGTAGTCCTTCGTGATGAACGTGTCTGCCCACGCCCAGTCGTTCCAGTAGCCGGCGTAGATCGGGGGCATCCGCTCGCCGTAATTCCCACCATCCGCGCCGGTGAGTTTGTCCGAAGCGTAGTTCTTCGTCGCGAAGCCCTTGAGCGTGCGGATCGAGGTGAACTTCTGGGAGTTGCCGAGGGCCTGAGTCGTGTCCGTGCACCAGGGCGTCGTGTCCGAGGTCATCGCCGCGTCGACGTCGGCCTGCGAACACAAGCCGCCGCCGCCGTTCTCGTAGATGAACATGGCCTCGGTGATCCAGTTTGGGTTGATGTCGTACTCGCCCACCCTGATTTCAAGCTCCTCCATATCGAGGTCGATCTTCGCGTGCGGCCCGACGTCCGTGGCCGTCTGGTAGCCGGCGAGCGTCTGCCAACCCCAGGGATTGGGGTCGTCAGCATCGCCCTCATCGTCGTAGTATGAGCAGTCCGTACTTGTTTCCGCGGAATGGTCGCAGCCGGCCTCGCACAGGCAGCAGCCACCGTATGTGTATCCCGGAGCCAAGTAATCCCCCGTGCAGTCCGCCTCAGCGACGTTACACGTGATGCCATGCGTGCCGTCGGCGTTATAGCAGGCGCCCCCGTCAGCTGGGCCATACTCGGCACCGTGACCCCCTCCTGAGCCTTGCGTGCCGTCGGCACCGTAGTAATTACTGCTACAGTCCGAGCCCGTCTCAAGCGTGTGGTCGCACGACGCGTCGCAGTGGCAACAGCCACTGGAACCGCTAATGTAGCCCGGTGAATACCAGTAGGCGCCCATGGCGTCGCAAGCCGCGTGCCCGACGTCGCACGTGACCTGGTGCGTCGTAAAATCGTAGCACGAGCCGTCGCTCTGCGATTCATCGGCGTAGTCTTTCAAGTAACAGTCCGTCCCCGTTTTGGCCGAATGGTCGCACGTCTCGTCGCAGAAGCAGCAGCCGTCCGAGTCGAGCGCGCCGGCTTCGGACCAGACGTTCGGGGAAGCGCATTGGCCCGCCGTCACGTCACACGTCACTTGACCCGTTGCGGCGTTTTGGCAGCTCCCCGCGTTCCTGTCGGGGTAGTTGCAGGTTCCAGCAGCCGCCGTCTCCAGCGAGTGGTCGCAGTTCGAGTCACACAGGCAGCAGCCGTCGGAGCCGATGTGGCCTTTTGCGTACCACGTATTGCCAACTGCCTCGCACTCTGATTGAGACAGTCGTTCGGCTTGAGTCAAATTGGAAGACCAATCGTATGCCCAGGGACGGAAGCAAACGGTGATTTGCGTGGTCGGGTCATAGCAGGCGCCCTGGCTCGCATACTGGCGGGTGCCATCCCCGACGATGTCGAGCCGCCGCGCGCCCGCGCAGGCCGCCACGAGAACGAGGAACCGCATGGGCAGCCGGCTAGCCGAGACCGCGTGAGAGCAAGGGCAGCTCAGCGCCCACACCGCGGGCGTGGAGGCGACGGGCAAACAGGTGCGAGGCCGCCCTTTGGAGCAGCTGGCAAGGATTGGCGCTGCCAAAAACAAGGCCCGGCGGCAGGAGCGCACGTGCGGCTAGCAGAGGCCGGCCCGGTTTCGCACGCATCAGCGCGACCCCCGCATGTTGTGGTCCCCGCGCCGGGACGGCTCCGGCCGCGCTCGCGTCCCGGAAGCGGCGCGCGGCGTCGGGCGGCGGCGTCTCCTCCGCCCGAGAGGAGTCTCCGGGCCGCGCTGCGCGGCCCGGCGGAGGCCCCCCGGACGAGTTCCGAGGCACCCCCCCCCTGCGCTGCGCGTAGTACGCGAGGCGTCCGTCACGCCGCGCGACCAGCTTCGCGTTCGTCTCGGGGAGCCCGGGGCCCGGTATGGACTCGCGCGGCCCCGAGAGGGACAGGATCCCCGGGAGCACATGCGGTAGTACTTGCGCGCCGCGCGCGCGCCAGGGGCGCGGGGCCGAGGTCTCGGGTTGTTGCGAGCGTAAAGCCGGCGGACATCTCGCCGGACGCGCCCGCGGGGCCGGGCGGCTCCTGAGAACCGTGGGTGCGCGCTTCGAAAAGACGCTAGCATATCTGTACATACTAGTTCCAAGCCAGCAGGAGATGTGGTATAAGTTCGGCGCTAGAGGGCAGTAGCCCCAGCCGATCGCTGCCATGAGCTCTAGACCATCATGAGAGTGCTCGCGCCCTGGCGGCAGCGGGCTGCCGTCGCGCCCGGCGGGGCGGCGGCCGAGGAGGGGCAGCCCCTCGAGGTCGCGCGCAAGTCGGCCGCGGCGGGCGCCGTCGACCCCGGCGAGGCGGCGCAGCCCCTCGAGGTCGCGCGGAAGTCGGGCCGGTCCGGCGACCTGATCGAGGAGGCCGGCCTCGTCGCCGCGCGGCCGCCGCCGCCGCGGTCGCGCGCGCGCCGGGCGCTGAGGGCGGCGCGCCGGCGCCCCCTGACCATCGCGACGGCGGCGGTCGTCGTCGCGGCGCTGGCGTCGCTCGTGCCCGTGATCTGGCTCGCGGCGCTCGCGGCGCGCGGCCTCGGCGCGGCCGGCGCCGTCGCGCGCGTGACCCTCGAGGGGCGCGACGTCGTCGTCGCCGTCGACGCGAAGCCGCAGTTCCTCCGGTCCACGCTCCACGAGGTCGTCGTGACCGCCGCCGACTGCGCCGTCGATCTGCGCTTCGCCGGCGAGGACTTCGCGCGCGCCGGGCGCCTCTCGGCCCAGCCGGGCCGCGCGTGGCCGCTGGTGTCCGCGCGCGAGCGCACGCGCCGGCGCGTCGACCTGCGCCTCCACCGCATCGACTTCGACCAGCTGCGGCGCCTGCACCGCCCCGAGGACCTCGCCGGCGCGCGCCTGGTCTGCGACGTGCGGACGCGAACGCGGCTCTGGCATGCGCTGCCCGTCGAGGTGCTGCTCCGCGGCGTCCGCGCGTCCTGGCGCGGCGCCGGCGCCGGCGCCAAGGGCGCTGCCGACAGCGCCGGCGCCGACAGCGCCGCCGCCGCCCCCGGTGCCGCCGCCGCCCCCGGTGCCGCCGCCGCCCCCGGTGCCGACGCCGACGCCGGCGTCGTCGCCGCCCCCGAGACCATCGACGCGACCGACCCGATCCGGCGCGTCGCGCGGACGCTGCGCGAGGTCGTGCGGGAGCTCGCGCGCGTCGAGCCCGAGTGGCGCGAGGACAGCGCGGCGCTCGCGTACGCGCCGCCCGCGTTCGCCGTGGCGCTGCCTCCAGCGGTCGACCGCGTCGTCCTCGCGGTGCCGGCGGTCGCGGTCGACGCGCTGCTGCCGGCGCTCAACGAGACGGACGCCGCGGCGGCGGCGGCGCGCGTCGAGCTCGCCGCCTTCGAGGTCGACCTGCGCCGCGGCGCGCTGGGAACCGCGTGCGCGAGCCCGCGCGCCGCCGCGTGCGGGCCGCTCGTCCTGCGCGCCACCGACGACGACGGCCGGGCGAAGCGCGCGCTCAAGCACCAGCTCCTGCGGCGCGAGCTCCGGGTCCGCACGCGCATGGACGCCGCGACGTTCCTCGGCGCGCTCGCCGGCGACCACGCGCTCGACGTCGCGACGCCCGAGGCGCGGGCGCGCGTCCTGCCGCGCGGGGCGCCGCGCGGGCGCCGGCGCCTCCGCACCGCCGCCGCCCCCGGCCTCTTCGAGCGGAGCTGCCCGCGCGACGCCGGCTGCCAGCCGATGATCTGGGACGACTCGCTCGACTGCAAGTTGTGCATCTCGGCCAAGGGCGCGTTCTGCGCCCACCTCGAGGTCGTGGACCCCACGGCGAACAGGACGAAGGTGGACTGGCGCGCCGTCTTCGACACGGCGGACGGCAACGCGGTCCTGGGGCGGCTCGAGGACGCCAAGTCGGCCAGGCCCCGCTTCGTCGCCGTCGAGGCCCGCGGTTTCGTCGGCGAGCCCGGGCGCCCAGCCCTCGAATCCTACTTGAACATCAGCGACAAGGGGGGAGAGCTGCTCCGCGCCGATTTCGTCGCGGATGGCGCGGCGAGCGGAAAAAGAGCCTCGGGCCTAACGTCCCTAACCGTGCGCGTCGACGCAAAGGAGGAGCTTGATGCGACGGTCTCGGGCGCCGTCGACTGGAGCGGCACGGAGGACGCGGATCAGACGGACCTCCAGGCCAGCATGACGGTCATCAACAAGGACCAAGAACGGCTACACATGGCGATGACCGCCGACGGCGACTCGCAGGACGAGGCCATGGCTGGCTCGCTTGGGCTACTCGTGCGAACGGACGCTGACGACAAGCTTGATGGCCATCTGTCGGGCGCCGTCGACTGGAGCGGCATGACCGACGCGAATCAGACGGACCTATGGGCCAGCATGACGGTCAGCAACAAGCAGCGGGAACGGCTACACATGGCGATGACCGCCGACGGGGACTCGCAGGACGAGGCTATGGCTGGCTCCATGGGGCTGCTCGTGCGCGTCGATAACGAGAACGAGGTCGACGGCCTTGTGTCAGGCAGCTTCGACTGGAGCGGCACGGAGGACGCGGATCAGACGGACCTACGGGCCAGCATGACGGTCAGCAACAAGCAGCGGGAACGGCTGCACATGGCAATGACCGCCGACGGCGACTCGCGAAACAAGGCTAGGGAGGGCTCGCTCGGGCTCGCGCTGCGCGTCAACGCTGACGAGAAGTTCGACGGCCTTGTGTCGGGCGGCCTCGACTGGAGCGACGCCCTGGAGGCCCGCATGACGGTCAGCAACGAGGGTAGAGAGAAGGTCCACATGGCGATGACCGCGGACGGCAACTCGCGATTCCGCGAGAGGGACGGCTCCCTCGGGCTGCTCGTGCGCGTCGATAACGAGAACGAGGTCGACGGCCTTGTGTCAGGCAGCTTCGACTGGAGCGGCACGGAGGACGCGGATCAGACGGACCTACGGGCCAGCATGACGGTCAGCAACAAGCAGCGGGAACGGCTGCACATGGCAATGACTGCCGACGGCGACTCGCGAAACAAGGCTAGGGGCTCGCTCGGGCTCGCGCTGCGCGTCGACGCTGACGAGAAGTTCGACGGCCGCGTCTCGGGCGGCCTCGACTGGAGCGACGCCCTGGAGGCCCGCATGACGGTCAGCAACGAGGGTAGAGAGAAGGTCCACATGGCGATGACCGCGGACGGCAACTCGCGATTCCGCGAGAGGGACGGCTCCCTCGGGCTGCTCGTGCGCGTCGATAACGAGAACGAGGTCGACGGCCTTGTGTCAGGCAGCTTCGACTGGAGCGGCACGGAGGACGCGGATCAGACGGACCTACGGGCCAGCATGACGGTCAGCAACAAGCAGCGGGAACGGCTGCACATGGCAATGACCGCCGACGGCGACTCGCGAAACAAGGCTAGGGAGGGCTCGCTCGGGCTCGCGCTGCGCGTCGACGCTGACGAGAAGTTCGACGGCCTTGTGTCGGGCGGCCTCGACTGGAGCGACGCCCTGGAGGCCCGCATGACGGTCAGCAACGAGGGTAGAGAGAAGGTCCACATGGCGATGACCGCGGACGGCAACTCGCGATTCCGCGAGAGGGACGGCTCCCTCGGGCTGCTCGTGCGCGTCGATAACGAGAACGAGGTCGACGGCCTTGTGTCAGGCAGCTTCGACTGGAGCGGCACGGAGGACGCGGATCAGACGGACCTACGGGCCAGCATGACGGTCAGCAACAAGCAGCGGGAACGGCTGCACATGGCAATGACTGCCGACGGCGACTCGCGAAACAAGGCTAGGGAGGGCTCGCTCGGGCTCGCGCTGCGCGTCGACGCTGACGAGAAGTTCGACGGCCGCGTCTCGGGCGGCCTCGACTGGAGCGACGCCCTGGAGGCCCGCATGACGGTCAGCAACGAGGGTAGAGAGAAGGTCCACATGGCGATGACCGCGGACGGCAACTCGCGATTCCGCGAGAGGGACGGCTCCCTCGGGCTGCTCGTGCGCGTCGATAACGAGAACGAGGTCGACGGCCTTGTGTCAGGCAGCTTCGACTGGAGCGGCACGGAGGACGCGGATCAGACGGACCTACGGGCCAGCATGACGGTCAGCAACAAGCAGCGGGAACGGCTGCACATGGCAATGACCGCCGACGGCGACTCGCGAAACAAGGCTAGGGAGGGCTCGCTCGGGCTCGCGCTGCGCGTCGACGCTGACGAGAAGTTCGACGGCCTTGTGTCGGGCGGCCTCGACTGGAGCGACGCCCTGGAGGCCCGCATGACGGTCAGCAACGAGGGTAGAGAGAAGGTCCACATGGCGATGACCGCGGACGGCAACTCGCGATTCCGCGAGAGGGACGGCTCCCTCGGGCTGCTCGTGCGCGTCGATAACGAGAACGAGGTCGACGGCCTTGTGTCAGGCAGCTTCGACTGGAGCGGCACGGAGGACGCGGATCAGACGGACCTACGGGCCAGCATGACGGTCAGCAACAAGCAGCGGGAACGGCTGCACATGGCAATGACCGCCGACGGCGACTCGCGAAACAAGGCTAGGGAGGCTCGCTCAGGCTCGCGCTGCGCGTCGACGCTGACGAAGTTCGACGGCCTTGTGTCGGGCGGCCTCGACTGGAGCGACGCCCTGGAGGCCCGCATGACGGTCAGCAACGAGGGTAGAGAGAAGGTCCACATGGCGATGACCGCGGACGGCAACTCGCGATTCCGCGAGAGGGACGGCTCCCTCGGGCTGCTCGTGCGCTTGCCGTCGATAACGAACGAGGTCGACGGCCTTGTGTCAGGCAGCTTCGACTGGAGCGGCACGGAGGACGCGGATCAGACGGACCTACGGGCCAGCATGACGGTCAGCAACAAGCAGCGGGAACGGCTGCACATGGCAATGACCGCCGACGGCGACTCGCGAAACAAGGCTAGGGAGGGCTCGCTCGGGCTCGCGCTGCGCGTCGACGCTGACGAGAAGTTCGACGGCCTTGTGTCGGGCGGCCTCGACTGGAGCGACGCCCTGGAGGCCCGCATGACGGTCAGCAACGAGGGTAGAGAGAAGGTCCACATGGCGATGACCGCGGACGGCAACTCGCGATTCCGCGAGAGGGACGGCTCCCTCGGGCTGCTCGTGCGCGTCGATAACGAGAACGAGGTCGACGGCCTTGTGTCAGGCAGCTTCGACTGGAGCGGCACGGAGGACGCGGATCAGACGGACCTACGGGCCAGCATGACGGTCAGCAACAAGCAGCGGGAACGGCTGCACATGGCAATGACGGCCGACGGCGACTCGCGAAACAAGGCTAGGGAGGGCTCGCTCGGGCTCGCGCTGCGCGTCGACGCTGACGAGAAGTTCGACGGCCGCGTCTCGGGCGGCCTCGACTGGAGCGACGCCCTGGAGGCCCGCATGACGGTCAGCAACGAGGGTAGAGAGAAGGTCCACATGGCGATGACCGCGGACGGCAACTCGCGATTCCGCGAGAGGGACGGCTCCCTCGGGCTGCTCGTGCGCGTCGATAACGAGAACGAGGTCGACGGCCTTGTGTCAGGCAGCTTCGACTGGAGCGGCACGGAGGACGCGGATCAGACGGACCTACGGGCCAGCATGACGGTCAGCAACAAGCAGCGGGAACGGCTGCACATGGCAATGACCGCCGACGGCGACTCGCGAAACAAGGCTAGGAGGGGCTCGCTCGGGCTCGCGCTGCGCGTCGACGCTGACGAGAAGTTCGACGGCCTTGTGTCGGGCGGCCTCGACTGGAGCGACGCCCTGGAGGCCCGCATGACGGTCAGCAACGAGGGTAGAGAGAAGGTCCACATGGCGATGACCGCGGACGGCAACTCGCGATTCCGCGAGAGGGACGGCTCCCTCGGGCTGCTCGTGCGCGTCGATAACGAGAACGAGGTCGACGGCCTTGTGTCAGGCAGCTTCGACTGGAGCGGCACGGAGGACGCGGATCAGACGGACCTACGGGCCAGCATGACGGTCAGCAACAAGCAGCGGGAACGGCTGCACATGGCAATGACCGCCGACGGCGACTCGCGAAACAAGGCTAGGGAGGGCTCGCTCAGGCTCGCGCTGCGCGTCGACGCTGACGAGAAGTTCGACGGCCTTGTGTCGGGCGGCCTCGACTGGAGCGACGCCCTGGAGGCCCGCATGACGGTCAGCAACGAGGGTAGAGAGAAGGTCCACATGGCGATGACCGCGGACGGCAACTCGCGATTCCGCGAGAGGGACGGCTCCCTCGGGCTGCTCGTGCGCGTCGATAACGAGAACGAGGTCGACGGCCTTGTGTCAGGCAGCTTCGACTGGAGCGGCACGGAGGACGCGGATCAGACGGACCTACGGGCCAGCATGACGGTCAGCAACAAGGACCAAGAACGGCTGCACATGGCAATGACCGCCGACGGCGACTCGCGAAACAAGGCTAGGGAGGGCTCGCTCGGGCTCGCGCTGCGCGTCGACGCTGACGAGAAGTTCGACGGCCTTGTGTCGGGCGGCCTCGACTGGAGCGACGCCCTGGAGGCCCGCATGACGGTCAGCAACGAGGGTAGAGAGAAGGTCCACATGGCGATGACCGCGGACGGCAACTCGCGATTCCGCGAGAGGGACGGCTCCCTCGGGCTGCTCGTGCGCGTCGATAACGAGAACGAGGTCGACGGCCTTGTGTCAGGCAGCTTCGACTGGAGCGGCACGGAGGACGCGGATCAGACGGACCTACGGGCCAGCATGACGGTCAGCAACAAGCAGCGGGAACGGCTGCACATGGCAATGACCGCCGACGGCGACTCGCGAAACAAGGCTAGGGAGGGCTCGCTCAGGCTCGCGCTGCGCGTCGACGCTGACGAGAAGTTCGACGGCCTTGTGTCGGGCGGCCTCGACTGGAGCGACGCCCTGGAGGCCCGCATGACGGTCAGCAACGAGGGTAGAGAGAAGGTCCACATGGCGATGACCGCGGACGGCAACTCGCGATTCCGCGAGAGGGACGGCTCCCTCGGGCTGCTCGTGCGCGTCGATAACGAGAACGAGGTCGACGGCCTTGTGTCAGGCAGCTTCGACTGGAGCGGCACGGAGGACGCGGATCAGACGGACCTACGGGCCAGCATGACGGTCATCAACAAGCAGCGAGAACGGCTACACATGGCGATGACCGCCGACGGCGACTCGCAGGACGAGGCCATGGCTGGCTCGCTTGGGCTACTCGTGCGAACGGACGCTGACGACAAGCTTGATGGCCATCTGTCGGGCGCCGTCGACTGGAGCGGCATGACCGACGCGAATCGAGACGACCTGCAGGCCAGCATGACGGTCATCAACCGGAACCGCGAGAAGCTGCATATGGCCATGACCGCCGACGGCGACTCGCAGGACGAGGCCATGGCTGGCTCGCTCGGGCTCGCGCTGCGCGTCGACGCAAAGGAGCAGCTCGATGCGACGGTCTCGGGCACCGCCGACTGGAGCGGCACGGAGGAGGACCTACGGGCCAGCATGACGGTCATCAACAAGCAGCGAGAACGGCTACACATGGCGATGACCGCCGACGGCGACTCGCAGGACGAGGCCATGGCTGGCTCGCTTGGGCTACTCGTGCGAACGGACGCTGACGACAAGCTTGATGGCCATCTGTCGGGCGCCGTCGACTGGAGCGGCATGACCGACGCGAATCGAGACGACCTGCAGGCCAGCATGACGGTCATCAACCGGAACCGCGAGAAGCTGCATATGGCCATGACCGCCGACGGCGACTCGCAGGACGAGGCCATGGCTGGCTCGCTCGGGCTCGCGCTGCGCGTCGACGCAAAGGAGCAGCTCGATGCGACGGTCTCGGGCACCGCCGACTGGAGCGGCACGGAGGAGGACCTACGGGCCAGCATGACGGTCAGCAACAAGGACCAAGAACGGCTGCACATGGCAATGACCGCCGACGGCGACTCGCAGGACGAGGCCATGGCTGGCTCGCTTGGGCTACTCGTGCGAACGGACGCTGACGACAAGCTTGATGGCCATCTGTCGGGCGCCGTCGACTGGAGCGGCATGACCGACGCCTTGAATCGAGACGACCTGCAGGCCAGCATGACGGTCATCAACCGGAACCGCGAGAAGCTGCATATGGCCATGACCGCCGACGGCGACTCGCAGGACGAGGCCATGGCTGGCTCGCTCGGGCTCGCTGCTGCGCGTCGACGCAAAGGAGCAGCTCGATGCGACGGTCTCGGGCACCGCCGACTGGAGCGGCACGGAGGAGGACCTACGGGCCAGCATGACGGTCAGCAACAAGGACCAAGAACGGCTGCACATGGCAATGACCGCCGACGGCGACTCGCAGGACGAGGCCATGGCTGGCTCGCTTGGGCTACTCGTGCGAACGGACGCTGACGACAAGCTTGATGGCCATCTGTCGGGCGCCGTCGACTGGAGCGGCATGACCGACGCGAATCGAGACGACCTGCAGGCCAGCATGACGGTCATCAACCGGAACCGCGAGAAGCTGCATATGGCCATGACCGCCGACGGCGACTCGCAGGACGAGGCCATGGCTGGCTCGCTCGGGCTCGCGCTGCGCGTCGACGCAAAGGAGCAGCTCGATGCGACGGTCTCGGGCACCGCCGACTGGAGCGGCACGGAGGAGGACCTACGGGCCAGCATGACGGTCATCAACAAGCAGCGAGAACGGCTACACATGGCGATGACCGCCGACGGCGACTCGCAGGACGAGGCCATGGCTGGCTCGCTTGGGCTACTCGTGCGAACGGACGCTGACGACAAGCTTGATGGCCATCTGTCGGGCGCCGTCGACTGGAGCGGCATGACCGACGCGAATCGAGACGACCTGCAGGCCAGCATGACGGTCATCAACCGGAACCGCGAGAAGCTGCATATGGCCATGACCGCCGACGGCGACTCGCAGGACGAGGCCATGGCTGGCTCGCTCGGGCTCGCGCTGCGCGTCGACGCAAAGGAGCAGCTCGATGCGACGGTCTCGGGCACCGCCGACTGGAGCGGCACGGAGGAGGACCTACGGGCCAGCATGACGGTCATCAACAAGCAGCGGGAACGGCTGCACATGGCAATGACCGCCGACGGCGACTCGCGAAACAAGGCTAGGGAGGGCTCGCTCAGGCTCGCGCTGCGCGTCGACGCTGACGAGAAGTTCGACGGCCTTGTGTCGGGCGGCCTCGACTGGAGCGACGCCCTGGAGGCCCGCATGACGGTCAGCAACGAGGGTAGAGAGAAGGTCCACATGGCGATGACCGCGGACGGCAACTCGCGATTCCGCGAGAGGGACGGCTCCCTCGGGCTGCTCGTGCGCGTCGATAACGAGAACGAGGTCGACGGCCTTGTGTCAGGCAGCTTCGACTGGAGCGGCACGGAGGACGCGGATCAGACGGACCTACGGGCCAGCATGACGGTCAGCAACAAGGACCAAGAACGGCTGCACATGGCAATGACCGCCGACGGCGACTCGCAGGACGAGGCCATGGCTGGCTCGCTTGGGCTACTCGTGCGAACGGACGCTGACGACAAGCTTGATGGCCATCTGTCGGGCGCCGTCGACTGGAGCGGCATGACCGACGCGAATCGAGACGACCTGCAGGCCAGCATGACGGTCATCAACCGGAACCGCGAGAAGCTGCATATGGCCATGACCGCCGACGGCGACTCGCAGGACGAGGCCATGGCTGGCTCGCTCGGGCTCGCGCTGCGCGTCGACGCAAAGGAGCAGCTCGATGCGACGGTCTCGGGCACCGCCGACTGGAGCGGCACGGAGGAGGACCTACGGGCCAGCATGACGGTCATCAACAAGCAGCGAGAACGGCTACACATGGCGATGACCGCCGACGGCGACTCGCAGGACGAGGCCATGGCTGGCTCGCTTGGGCTACTCGTGCGAACGGACGCTGACGACAAGCTTGATGGCCATCTGTCGGGCGCCGTCGACTGGAGCGGCATGACCGACGCGAATCGAGACGACCTGCAGGCCAGCATGACGGTCATCAACCGGAACCGCGAGAAGCTGCATATGGCCATGACCGCCGACGGCGACTCGCAGGACGAGGCCATGGCTGGCTCGCTCGGGCTACTCGTGCGAACGGACGCTGACGACAAGCTTGATGGCCATCTGTCGGGCGCCGTCGACTGGAGCGGCATGACCGACGCGAATCGAGACGACCTGCAGGCCAGCATGACGGTCATCAACCGGAACCGCGAGAAGCTGCATATGGCCATGACCGCCGACGGCGACTCGCAGGACGAGGCCATGGCTGGCTCGCTCGGGCTCGCGCTGCGCGTCGACGCAAAGGAGCAGCTCGATGCGACGGTCTCGGGCACCGCCGACTGGAGCGGCACGGAGGAGGACCTACGGGCCAGCATGACGGTCATCAACAAGCAGCGAGAACGGCTACACATGGCGATGACCGCCGACGGCGACTCGCAGGACGAGGCCATGGCTGGCTCGCTTGGGCTACTCGTGCGAACGGACGCTGACGACAAGCTTGATGGCCATCTGTCGGGCGCCGTCGACTGGAGCGGCATGACCGACGCGAATCGAGACGACCTGCAGGCCAGCATGACGGTCATCAACCGGAACCGCGAGAAGCTGCATATGGCCATGACCGCGGACGGCAACTCGCGATTCCGCGAGAGGGACGGCTCCCTCGGGCTGCTCGTGCGCCTCGATAACGAGGAGGAGATCGACGGCCTTGTGTCCGGCGGCTTCGACTGGAGCGGCACGACGCACCCGAGCCGAGACGACATACGGGTCCGCATGGCGGTCAGCAACAAGGACCGAGAACGGTTCCGCATGGCGATGACCGCGGACGGCGACTCGCAGGACGAGGCCGTGTCAGGCTCGCTGGGGCTCGCTCTGTTCGCTGAGGCGGACGAGAAGTTCGACGGCCGCGTCTCGGGCGGCCTCGACTGGGCGACGCCCCTCGAGGCCAGCATGACGGTCAGCAACCGGAACCGCGAGAAGCTGCACATGGCCATGACCGCGGACGGCAACTCGCGATTCCGCGAGAGGACGGCCCTCGGGCTGCTCGTGCGCCTCGATGACGAGGAGGAGATCGACGGCCTTGTGTCCGGCGGCTTCGACTGGAGCGGCACGACGCACCCGAGCCGAGACGACATACGGGTCCGCATGGCGGTCAGCAACAAGGACCGAGAACGGTTCCGCATGGCGATGACCGCGGACGGCGACTCGCAGGACGAGGCCGTGTCAGGCTCGCTGGGGCTCGCTCTGTTCGCTGAGGCGGACGAGAAGTTCGACGGCCGCGTCTCGGGCGGCCTCGACTGGAGCGACGCCCTCGAGGCCAGCATGACGGTCAGCAACCGGAACCGCGAGAAGCTGCACATGGCCATGACCGCGGACGGCAACTCGCGATTCCGCGAGAGGACGGCCCTCGGGCTGCTCGTGCGCCTCGATGACGAGGAGGAGATCGACGGCCTTGTGTCGGGCGGCCTCGACTGGAGCGGCACGACGCACCCGAGCCGAGACGACATACGGGTCCGCATGGCGGTCAGCAACAAGGACCGAGAACGGTTCCGCATGGCGATGACCGCGGACGGCGACTTCGCAGGACGAGGCCGTGTCAGGCTCGCTGGGGCTCGCTCTGTTCGCTGAGGCGGACGAGAAGTTCGACGGCCGCGTCTCGGGCGGCCTCGACTGGAGCGACGCCCTCGAGGCCAGCATGACGGTCAGCAACCGGAACCGCGAGAAGCTGCACATGGCCATGACCGCGGACGGCAACTCGCGATTCCGCGAGAGGGACGGCTCCCTCGGGCTGCTCGTGCGCCTCGATGACGAGGAGGAGATCGACGGCCTTGTGTCCGGCGGCTTGGACTGGAGCGGCACGACGCACCCGAGCCGAGACGACATACGGGTCCGCATGGCGGTCAGCAACAAGGACCGAGAACGGTTCCGCATGGCGATGACCGCGGACGGCGACTCGCAGGACGAGGCCGTGTCAGGCTCGCTGGGGCTCGCTCTGTTCGCTGAGGCGGACGAGAAGTTCGACGGCCGCGTCTCGGGCGGCCTCGACTGGAGCGACGCCCTCGAGGCCACTATGACGGTCAGCAACCGGAACCGCGAGAAGCTGCACATGGCCATGACCGCGGACGGCAACTCGCGATTCCGCGAGAGGGACGGCTCCCTCGGGCTGCTCGTGCGCCTCGATGACGAGGAGGAGATCGACGGCCTTGTGTCCGGCGGCCTCGACTGGAGCGGCACGACGCACCCGAGCCGAGACGACATACGGGTCCGCATGGCGGTCAGCAACAAGGACCGAGAACGGTTCCGCATGGCGATGACCGCGGACGGCGACTCGCAGGACGAGGCCGTGTCAGGCTCGCTGGGGCTCGCTCTGTTCGCTGAGGCGGACGAGAAGTTCGACGGCCGCGTCTCGGGCGGCCTCGACTGGAGCGACGCCCTCGAGGCCAGCATGACGGTCAGCAACCGGAACCGCGAGAAGCTGCACATGGCCATGACCGCGGACGGCAACTCGCGATTCCGCGAGAGGACGGCCCTCGGGCTGCTCGTGCGCCTCGATGACGAGGAGGAGATCGACGGCCTTGTGTCCGGCGGCCTCGACTGGAGCGGCACGACGCACCCGAGCCGAGACGACATACGGGTCCGCATGGCGGTCAGCAACAAGGACCGAGAACGGTTCCGCATGGCGATGACCGCGGACGGCGACTCGCAGGACGAGGCCGTGTCAGGCTCGCTGGGGCTCGCTCTGTTCGCTGAGGCGGACGAGAAGTTCGACGGCCGCGTCTCGGGCGGCCTCGACTGGAGCGACGCCCTCGAGGCCAGCATGACGGTCAGCAACCGGAACCGCGAGAAGCTGCACATGGCCATGACCGCGGACGGCAACTCGCGATTCCGCGAGAGGGACGGCTCCCTCGGGCTGCTCGTGCGCCTCGATGACGAGGAGGAGATCGACGGCCTTGTGTCCGGCGGCTTGGACTGGAGCGGCACGACGCACCCGAGCCGAGACGACATACGGGTCCGCATGGCGGTCAGCAACAAGGACCGAGAACGGTTCCGCATGGCGATGACCGCGGACGGCGACTCGCAGGACGAGGCCGTGTCAGGCTCGCTGGGGCTCGCTCTGTTCGCTGAGGCGGACGAGAAGTTCGACGGCCGCGTCTCGGGCGGCCTCGACTGGAGCGACGCCCTCGAGGCCAGCATGACGGTCAGCAACCGGAACCGCGAGAAGCTGCACATGGCCATGACCGCGACGGCAACTCGCGATTCCGCGAGAGGACGGCCCCTCGGGCTGCTCGTGCGCCTCGATGACGAGGAGGAGATCGACGGCCTTGTGTCCGGCGGCTTGGACTGGAGCGGCACGACGCACCCGAGCCGAGACGACATACGGGTCCGCATGGCGGTCAGCAACAAGGACCGAGAACGGTTCCGCATGGCGATGACCGCGGACGGCGACTCGCAGGACGAGGCCGTGTCAGGCTCGCTGGGGCTCGCTCTGTTCGCTGAGGCGGACGAGAAGCTCGACGGCCGCGTCTCGGGCGGCCTCGACTGGAGCGACGCCCTCGAGGCCAGCATGACGGTCAGCAACCGGAACCGCGAGAAGCTGCACATGGCGATGACCGCGGACGGCAACTCGCGATTCCGCGAGAGGGACGGCTCCCTCGGGCTGCTCGTGCGCCTCGATGACGAGGAGGAGATCGACGGCCTTGTGTCCGGCGGCTTGGACTGGAGCGGCACGGAGGTCGCGAATCAGACGGACCTACGGGCCAGCATGACGGTCAGCAACAACCAGCGGGAACGGCTGCACATGGCGATGACCGCCGACGGCGACTCGCGATTCCGCGAGAGGGACGGCTCCCTCGGGCTGCTCGTGCGCGTCGATAACGAGAACGAAGTCGACGGCCTTGTGTCCGGCAACCTCGACTGGAGCGGCACGGAGGTCGCGGATCAGACGGACCTACGGGCCAGCATGACGGTCAGCAACAAACAGCGGGAACGGCTGCACATGGCGATGACCGCCGACGGCGACTCTCGAAACAAGGCTAGAGACGGCTCGCTCGGGCTCGCTCTGCGCGTCGACGCTGACGAGAAGTTCGACGGCCTTGTGTCGGGCGGCCTCGACTGGAGCGACGCCCTGGAGGCCACTATGACGGTCAGCAACGAGGGTAGAGAGAAGGTCCACATGTCGATGACCGCCGATGGCGACTCGCAGGACGAGGCCATGGCTGGCTCGCTTGGGCTACTCGTGCGAACGGACGCTGACGACAAGCTTGATGGCCATCTGTCGGGCGCCGTCGACTGGAGCGGCATGACCGACGCGAATCGAGACGACCTGCAGGCCAGCATGACGGTCATCAACCGGAACCGCGAGAAGCTGCACATGGCGATGACCGCCGACGGCGACTCGCAGGACGAGGCCATGGCTGGCTCGCTCGGGCTCGCTCTGCGCGTCGACGCTGACGAGAAGTTTGACGGCCGCGTCTCGGGCGGCCTCGACTGGAGCGACGCCCTGGAGGCCACTATGACGGTCAGCAACAAGCAGCGAGAACGGCTACACATGGCGATGACCGCCGACGGCGACTCGCAGGACGAGGCCATGGCTGGCTCGCTCGGGCTCGCGCTGCGCGTCGACGCAAAGGAGGAGCTCGATGCGACGGTCTCGGGCACCGCCGACTGGAGCGGCACCGAGGAGGACCTACGGGCCAGCATGACGGTCATCAACAAGCAGCGAGAACGGCTACACATGGCGATGACCGCCGACGGCGACTCGCAGGACGAGGCCATGGCTGGCTCGCTTGGGCTACTCGTGCGAACGGACGCTGACGACAAGCTTGATGGCCATCTGTCGGGCGCCGTCGACTGGAGCGGCATGACCGACGCGAATCGAGACGACCTGCAGGCCAGCATGACGGTCATCAACCGGAACCGCGAGAAGCTGCACATGGCGATGACCGCCGACGGCGACTCGCAGGACGAGGCCATGGCTGGCTCGCTTGGGCTCGCGCTGCGCGTTGACGGCGACGAGAAGCTCAACGAGACGGTCACGGGCACAGTAAAATGGAGCGACCACAACGAATCGGGCGTGGCCTACGTCCTCGGCATGAAGGTGACCGACCTGGAAGCCGCGCGGGAGCGCTTCCTCGTCCACGTCGACCACGACTGGGTCAAGGACGACGCCACGGACCGCTTCGCTCTTGGCTACGGGGGACACGTCGACGTCGACGGGAGGACGGTGCTGCAGCAGCGCTTCCTGCTCCAGAGGGAAGGGGACCTGCGCCAGCCGGCGACTGAGTCCACAGCGCTTCCAACGTCCCCGCCAACGGCCGCGACGACGGCCGCGCCGTCGTCGTCGACGCCGTTTGCGACCCCGACGCCGACGGGTTCGACCTCCGGCGGGCGGCGCCTGGCGACCGTGGCGGAGCTCAAGGCGGAACAGGAGGTCCACGAGCGCACGTCGTGCGTCTACGGCGCGGTGGACATGAACAGCACCGACCTGATGGGGTTCGACAGCCTGACGATGGACATGGACGGCGGCGCCGCGATCGAGGGCCTCCGCGAGGGCTTCGCGGGCGTCTGGCGCGACGCGAAGGTCGTCTCGAGCTCGATGGCCGTCGCGATGCGGATGGACGGCGAGCCCTGGAGCTACGAGGCCAAGCCGAACCGCGCGTTTGCGTGCGATGCGGTCGTGACCGCGACCCTGGTCACGTACGTGGCCTCGCGCGCGGGCGCGGTCGCGCGCGACTGGGACGACGACGGCCGCGTCGAGCTCGGGACCTTCGGCCCGACGGCGGCGCCGACGACAGCGGAGTCGCCCGCTCCGACGACGGCCAGCCCGACGCAGCCGCCGACCCTGCTTCCTTCGCCGCTGCCGTCGTCGACGCCCACGTCGACGCCAACATACACACCGACGGCTGCGCCGTCGATCGTGCCAACGGCCACGCCCACCGCCCTTCCGACGTCCGCACCGACGATCGTGCCGACGGTCGTGCCGACGGCCAAGCCTACGGCGCCGCCGACGTCCATACCGACGATCGTGCCGTCGATCGTGCCAACGGCCACGCCCACCGCCCTTCCGACGTCCGCACCGACGATCGTGCCGACGGTCGTGCCGACGGCCAAGCCTACGGCGCCGCCGACGCCTACGCCGACGATCGTGCCGACGGTCGTGCCGACGGCCAAGCCTACGGCGCCGCCGACGTCCATACCGACGGATGCGCCGACGACGGCCATGCCATCGTCAACGCCGACATCCGATCCAACGTGGACGCCGACGTCTATGCCGACGTCAGCTCCGACGGCTAGGCCGACGGCCACGCCCACGGCCCGCCCGACGTCCACGCCGACAGCCGCGCCGACGGCCACGCCCACGTCCCTTCCGACGTCGTCCCCGATATCTGCGCCGACCGCGATTCCGTCAACTGTCCCGACCGTGCGACCTTCCGGGACCCCGACGTCGTCGCCATCGCACAGACCAACTCCGCGGCCGACGCCGCGGCCGACGGCCCGACCGACGCCTGCACCGTCGGCCCGGCCGACTCCCCGGCCGTCGGCCCGACCGACGCCGGCGCCCTCGTTTGCGCCGACGCCAGGACCCTCGCCGGAGCCCTCGCCGGCGCCGTCCTCGCGCCCGACACCTAAGCCCACGCCACGGCCCACGCCAGCGCCCTCATTTGTGCCCACGGCGCGGCCCACGCCCGAACCGTCGCCGGCGCCGTCGTCGCGCCCTACGCCTGCGCCGACGCCCCGGCCCTCGCCCGCGCCGACCGCGGCCCCGTCGCGCAAGCCGACCCCAATGCCCACGCCGCGGCCTACGCCCGCACCAACAACGGCGCCGAGCCCGGGGCCGACCACACGACCTACGCCCGCGCCGTCGGTCACACTGGGCAGCCCGACGGCGTCTCCCGTCTTCGCGCCGACGGCAAGACCCACGCCGGCGCCGAGCCCCAAGCCCACGCCTCTGCCGTCGCCTGCGCCGACGCCGGGCCCGACGCCGGGCCCCTCGTCGCGACCGACGCCGGCGCCCTCGTTTGCGCCGACGCCACGACCCTCGCCGGAGCCCTCGCCGGCGCCGTCCTCGCGCCCGACACCTACGCCCACGCCACGGCCCACGCCAGCGCCCTCATTTGTGCCCACGGCGCGGCCCACGCCCAAACCGTCGCCGGCGCCGTCGTCGCGCCCTACGCCTGCGCCGACGCCCTGGCCCTCGCCCGCGCCGACCGCGGACCCGTCGCAAAAGCCGACGCCGCGGCCGTCGCCGCGACCGACGCTTAATCCCTCTCCGGAGCCGTCGCACAAGCCGACGCCCAATCCGACGACGGCGACGCCGTCGGCTTTGCCCTCGCCGTTGCCGACGTCGTCCCCGACGCCTGTCCCCTCGACGGCCGAGCCGTCGCCCGCGCCGTCGTCCGCGCCGACGCCGTCACCAAGCCCGTCGCCGACGATGACGATGCTTCCGTCGGCCGCACCGTCGGCCGCGCCGTCGGCCGCGCCGACGGCCGCGCCCACGGCCGAGCCCACGCCCGCGCCCACGAGCCTGCCCACGATCTCTTCGCCGCCGTCGGCAGTACCTACAACCGCCCCGACGACCATAAACTACCGCCTCGCGGACTTCTCGGTGGCGGCGCCGCCGGAGCTGGCCGAGGCGGCCTTCACGGGGACGGGTCTCAAAGTAGAGCATCTGGTCGTCAACCTCACGGTCCCGGCGACCAAGCCCGTGAGGTTGACGCTGCGCGGCGGCGGTCGGACCGGCAGTGCCCTCCGCTTCTACGACGAGGACCCAGATAACCCGGGCTACGCGCTCACGTCGGACGCCGGAAGCACCTCCGTCGCGAGGTGGATCCCCGCCGGCGACACCATTCTTACCCTCGCCGCCGGCGCGCTCCGGGACCGCGTCGACAACGGGGACAGCGTCGCCCAGAGCGTCACGGTCTTCCTCTCGTCGACGGACCCGATCTACGGCCGCGCGCGCGGCTTCGAGAAGACGGTTTCCGTAAATGTGCTGGACGTCGACGTGTCGCTGATCGCGGTGAACAAATTCCTGGCGACGACGGACCCCGTCACCTCCGACGCGGCGGCCCTCACGGCGAAAGCAAAGGAGAACGCCGCGACCTTCGTCTTCACGGCGGCGCTGACGAGCCTACCGTTTTCCGCCGTGCGCCTCGAGGTCGAGGGCGACGTCGACGCGTTCGAGAGCATCTCCGTCGACGGTGCCGATGGAATGAACCGGACCGTCGAGCCCGCCGACTGGGCCTCGCTCGCGACGTACACTCTCCGCGTTGCTGACGACGCTGTATTATCCGGCGACCGCAACTACTCCGTCTGGTTCGTGGCGCGCTCTGCCGACGCCAACTACGACGGCGTTCGTTCGCCCAATATGACGTGCCAAGTCATCGAGGACGACGTCGCCTTCGCCACCGTGAGCGGCAAGGCGCTGACGGTCGGGGCCGGCGTCGACGGTCCGACGTTCAGCGACGGCTACTGGATCACGCTCTCCGCGCCGCCGACGGCCAACGTCGTCGTGTCGCTCGACTGCGCCGACACGAATGTGTTCTACACGAAGCGGCTCGTGTTCACGCCGGACGACTGGGCTCGGAAGTACGTGGCCGTCAACGCCTCTCTCGCAGACCCAGACGTCTTGGAGGGCAGGACGGCCAGACTCACGCATTACGTCGAATCCGCCGACGCCTTCTTCGACGACCTCGCCGTCTCAGACGTCGAGATTGCTGTCGAATTCTCTGTAGATAGTGTGCCACCGCCCAAGCTTGAACTTGTGCGGTTCCTGGACGGCGGCAACGGCCTCGACGTGCTCTTCGACAGCCCGACGAACATGATCGACGGCGAGTGGGATATTGATTGCGCCACGCTCTTTGAGTACGCGGCGCAGCAATTCGGCGCGGACGGTACGTGCGCCTGGACGAATTCGAGCGCGCTGCGCGTAACGTTCGGCGCGGGCGCCCAGATCGTGCCATTTGACTACGTGGCCGCGACGACCCTCAACAGCGCGCATCTCAAGGGCGGCCTGCTGAAGAACGACCTCGACGGCGCGACGCTCACGAGCGCCGCCCAGTACGCCGAGGCCCAAAAGCCGCTGGACCCCATCTTGCCGGCGATCTCCATCACGGCGCCGGAGAGCGTCGGCAAATGCGACGGCGTCGTCCTCGACGCGCGCGGCGCCACGGGTGGTGGCTCGCGAGCTCTGACGTACAACTGGGGCGTGCTGACGACCTGGGACGCCGAGACGGACGCCGACATGGCCAGCGTGGCGGCGCTCGAGGCCAAGCTTCAACAGGCCGACGCCGCCGGCGCCGTGACCTTGGACCTCGGCTTCGACGACCTCCTCGAAGGTCGGGCCTACGACTTCCTCATCGCCGCGACGAATTTTCTCGGTGGGACGACGACCGTGTCCGCGACCGTCCACAAGCTGGCCTCGCCGGCGCCCGGCGTCCAGTTCCAGGGCGCCGCGACGCAAAACATGGTCCGGTCCGATAAAAAGTCGCTCAAGCTCGACGTGGCCCTGCCCAACCTGACCTGCGCGGACGCGAACATGTCGTCCACGGCGCTGGGCTACGTGTGGCGCGCGTGGCGGCTGGAGGGAGAGACGTACGTCCGAGACCTCGTCCCGAAACTGGCGGAATACACCGCCAACCCCGTGACGTGTCGCCTCCCGGCGGACGCCCTGGACGCGCAGACGACCTACAAGTTCCAGGTGACCGTCGGCTTCGCGGACAGCATGACGATCAACAACTCCGCTACTACGACGGTCGTCGTCGGGTCTCAGGACTTGATGGCCTCGATATCGGGCGGCGTCGAGCAGACCGTGGCGATCGGCGCCGACGCCGAGCTGGACGGGTCCGAGTCGTACGACCCCGACGACAACGACGCCGAGGGCGCGATGGCATACACGTGGACCGTGGCGCACGTGCTGGACGACGGGAGTAGGGAAGACGCGAACTCGTTACTCGCTTCCGTAAACGCGACGCAACCCGTCCTCGCGTTCACGCCGACGACGGCCGCGGGCTGGACGAGCGGCGCGACCTACGAATTCACGCTGACCGTCTCGCGCGGCACGCGGCGCGCGGCCTACAGCGTGCTGGTGTCAATCTCGTCGGACGAGTACATGCCCCGCGCGACGATCACGGACTTCGACGAGAGCGTCAAGTACAAACCCATGGACGGCGCGTTCACGGCGATCTACTTCAAGGCGACGTCCCCCGATTCTGCTAGAACGATCGAGCAAACCGCCTGGTCCGTCGGCGACGGGCAGTCGGCGGGCCTCCTCGGCAAGCCCAGCGGGGCACCGTCTCCCATGCTCATCGACCTCGGCAAGACGCGGCCCAACGCCGTGTATCGGCTGAGACTTACGGTCACGGACAGCATCGGGTCGACGTCCTCGACCGTCGTCTCCCTGACGACGAACGGCCCGCCCACCTCGGGCACGTTCGCCGTCTCGCCGTACCGGGGCACCGCGCTGACGACGGAGTTTGAATTCCTGCTCGACGGCTGGTCCGACGACGTCGACGACTACCCGCTCACGTACACGTACAGCTACCGCCAGCGGGTAAGCAGGCGCGGCAGCAGTCGTGGCGGCGGGGGCGGGACAAGCTTCGCGGACCGTCGGGCCGCGAACTCGGCCTTGACGCCGCTCGTCGCGGACCAGTACGCGAGCTCGTGGTTCGTCACGACGCTGCCGCAGGCGAACAACGTTAATCTCACCTGCGTCGGCCGCGTCTTCGACCGCTACCTGTCCTACGCGCAAGCCTTCACGCCCGTGCGGGTGGATCCGCTCGAGATCTCGGGCGAGGACCTCTCGGCGCTCGCCGGCGATTTATTATCAGAGTCGGCGAACACGGGCGACGGCGAGGCGTCGCTGTCTCTGGTCTCGAACGTGGCGAGCGTCATAGGCGGGACCGACATGAGTCGGCGGAGACTTTCCTCCGAGCAGGAGCTGATCGACGACCTGATGGGTCACACGATCAGCGCGGCGAGCCTGGTGGGCACGGGCTCGTCCGCGGCGGCGGCGACTCAAGTCTTGTTCACTGTCTCGACGCTCACCGGGGACCCCGACTCTCTCTCTGAGAGCTCGCAGACGGGCGCGATCGGGCTGCTCGGCGAGGTCGTCGGCGACGCCGCGAAACATGGGATCGACGACGACACGGCGGCGTCGGCGGCGGATACCGTCTCGAGCCTCCTGGATGCGAGCCTGTTCGCGTCGGGCGCGTCGAACACCTCCCTAGACGGGCAGATGGCCGGCACGGTGGGGGCCCTCGCCACCGGCATGATCGCGGGCGCCTACGGCGGCCAGAACAAGAGCGTCGTCACGGACAACCTGGAGCTGCGCGCCTTCCGGACCGACTGCGGGACGCGGGACGCGGCGTTTCGACTGTCCTCCGGGGCCGGCGTGACGGACCTGCCCGCCTCGGCCCTCGACGAGGCCGGGGGCGGCAGCTGCGACGCCGACGCGAGGCGGCGCGGGCGTTCGAGGCGACGGCTCCTGGACGGCGAGCCGGCCGACGTGGACGTGAAAGTGGCCCAATTGAAGAACGTCCACGCTTCTGAGGGCGACGGCGCCGTCTCGGATCTGCTGCAGATCGAACTCGGCGGCGAAGGCGCCACGGTCAAGGTTGACAATCTCGCCGAACCCATCGTGTTCGACATCCCGTTCGACTACGACCCGACGCTCGAGGCCGACTACGACCCGGGCACGGACACGGAGACGTGCTTTAATCAGTCCCAGGTCCTGACCTTCAACTGCGACGTGCCCACGACCTTTGACTGCGGGGAGTCTCGCGAAGTGACGCTCCCCGACGGGTCGACGATGACCTTCGAGGCGCCCGTTTACTCGGGAGACGGCGTCCCGCTCGACGTCACCGTGACCTGCCCCGCCAAGACGGCCGCGTGCTCGTTCTGGGATAATGTGACGAGAAGCTGGTCCTCCGACGGCTGTTCTGTCGTCGCGAACACGGCGTCCGGCGTGACGTGCGCGTGTACGCATCTGACCGACTTCGCCGCCTCGACGATCGCGGCCGACGCGGACGTCGTCGTAGGCTTTCCGCCCTCGCCGGCGCCGTCTACGGCGCCGACTCCCGGACCGACTCCGAAGCCGACGCCTCGGCCTACGACGTCGGCGCCGTCGCCGGCGCCCACGACGGCGCAGCCGACCACGCCGGGGCCGTCGCCGTCGCCGACGCACCGGCCGACGCCGGCCCCCACGCCGGCGCCGACGCCCCTACCCGGCAATCCCACGGCGGCGCCGGTCTTTGCTCCGACGCCGCGGCCCACGCCAACGCCCACGCCGCGACCGACGCGAGCGCCGTCTCCCATTCCCACGCCAATGCCGACGACCGAGCCGCCGTCGCCGTCGCCGACGCACCGGCCGACGCGCATCCCCACCCCCGCGCCGTCGCAAGCTCAGACGCTGGTCCAGGTCGCTTCGTCGGTGACGCTCGAGGGCGTCAACCCCGTCCTGTTTAACGCCGACAAGACCGGCAGGCAGGCGGCGTTCGCGCAGTCGATCATGGACAGCACCGGCGGTCTCTTCGAAGAGATCATAGACATTGTGGCCGCGGGGCGGCGGCGCCTCGACGACGGCGGCGCGGGCGTCGCGATCTCGTACACGGGCATCGCCCGCATCGACGGCACGGATAACGGCGAACAAGTCTCGGCGGAAAGGCTGGAGCAGTCCATGGACGCTCTGACGCTGGCGATTGACGACGGGAGCTTCTTGACCACGCTGCAGGCCGCGGATTCCGCGTTCGCCGCCGTGACCGTGGACGTGACGGCGACGTACGCGGCGATTGCGGCGGCCACGGTCGTCTTCGTCGTCACCACGCCGGCGCCGTCCCCGCGGCCGACGTCCAGGCCCTCGCCGGCGCCGTCCCCGCGGCCGACGACAAAACCGTCCCCGCGGCCGACGGCCACAACTTCGAGCGGGGCACCTGGCGGCGCTGTCGGCGACGACGACGGCACCGCCGACGACGCCGCCCCCGCCCCCGCCCCCGCCCCCGCCTCTGGCGGCGGCGGCTCCGACTCGGGCGGTGGCACTCTTATCATCATCATTGTGGTGTTGGTAGTTGTTATTTTGATGCTCCTGTCAGGCATCGGCGGCTACCTCGTGAGCACGCGGCGAGGAAAGGTTTCTGCCGTGGCCGTCGCCGAGGCCGCGCAGGGCGGAGGTTTGACGACGGAGCGCTGGGCCTCGCGCCGCGCCACGCCGCGTATCGAACCAGCGGCGGCGCCGCTCGAGTCCCCACGGCGCGCCTACGACGCGGAATCGCCGCGCGCCCCGCCCGTCCGCCAGGGCCGGTTGCCGCCGCTCAACCGCGGTCCGCCGCGCCGGGCGGCACCAGACTACGGCTCCGGCTCCGCCAACCGCGGCCCACCGAGCCGGGCGGCACCGGACGACGGCTTCGGCTCCCCCAACCGCGGCCCACCGAGCCGGGCGGCACCGGACGACGGATTCCGCGGCCCGCGCCGGGCGGCGCCGGGCGACTTTTGATGTATATGCTTCGTTTCCCCACCCCCCTCGTGTCCGCTGCAGTAATTTGCTACTTACTATTTCGGACTCGGTGGTATCCATCTTCCTCCGAAGTTTCAATATTGATGCCGCTTCGGATCCACGACAGGCACCGCTGGCCTTTTGTAGTCGTATCCCGTCGGTTTCCCCAGACGCCGGCCGCCCTCTAGGTGTATTCACGACTCGTAGGGATCCTGGTTCGGGTCGGCGCGATGAATCGGCGACGCGCGGTGTCTTTCCCCCAGCGGAACAGACTAGGCGGGCTAGCTCTAAGCAAAGCAACAGAATATGCACCTCGTGTTTCGAAGCTCCGCTGGCCCATAGTTATTGATGCAGCGGAGTACTAGGAGTGGTCATGAAATCTGCAGTTACGAATGGTTGGATGAAGGTAGGGCGGGGAAGCTTCTTTCGGAACGGGCGGCGTCTAGGGCGGCGCTGCCGATGCAAACTGTCAAACAGTCAAGAAGAGGGAGGGGGGAGAACAGGGGTCGCTTACTTCCTTTTGCAGTAGCAAGTGAGGCCCTGCACGTGCTTCAGTGCAAGTTTCCCCTTCTCTGAAGCTGCCTCGCAAAACTTGCGGCAGACCTTGCGCGGCGACGCGTCGCGGACAGTCGTCTTCGAAGCGTAGGTCTTGGTCCCGATGGAGCATAGATTTGGGGAGATGTAGTAGGGGTGAGTCGTGCCAGCTTCGTAGACGATCGTCGGTCCCAAGGCGCATTGTTCCTGGACCGCATTTGCGATCGCAGCGATGCTGATTCCGGTAAACGTGAGGCCAATCGCGACGAGGCCGCCGGACATGACGAGCTCCGAGCCGCCGCCTAACCCGTCGTCGTCGTCGTCGTCTTCGTCGTAGTAGTGCCACCAGTGGTCCGTGTCGTCGGCCTCGCACCAGCACAGCGCGTGCTCCGGATCGAAGTCCTCGACCCATGCCCCCATTCCGTTGACGTGGTCCCAGCACGAGAATTCCCACTGCTCGGTCACGTCCGACCCGCAGTGGTTGTTGCTCATGTACGCCGCGCGGTTGCACCGCCCGCCGATTTCCCCGCACAGCTGGTCGCAGGACCAGAGGTCGGACTCCCACCGGTGCCGCGGCACGTTCGCGACCGGGCAGCCGTGCGTCTCCCCGTGCGCCCAGCTGCAAGCCTCACCGGTCCAGCCCGCCATGGGGTGGAGGCCGTCGCAGGCGCTGCCATGGTCGTGGCCGGCGTGATCGCAGTCGACGCCTCTCGCGCGGAAGACCGGCGCGCACATCTGAGCAGGATCGGCCTCTCTCGCGGCCTCGCAACCGAGCGCCATCGCGGAGTCCATGAGGACTAGGTTGTTCGGTTGCGGGTCCATGTACCCAGTCGCGGACTCCCAGCACGAGGCCGTGGTGAAGTCGCCCCAGACGAGCACGAGGTGCGGGGCATCATGCGGCGAAATTGTCCCGTCACCGTTGACGACCCAGCTCCCGGCGGAGCCCGCGTTCCCGATCGCTATCGCCTTGACCCCCGACGCGTACTCTTGGCAGTGAACGTGCAGACCGACGTTGATGAGGAAGTCCTCGTCGATGGACGGCGGCCGCGTCGCGTCCGTCGTCCACTCGTCCGGCATATCCGGGAAAGTTATGCCGCCGTTCGCGTGGCCGAGCGAGCAGCAGAGCACGCCGCCCATGGTCGCCGCGTATTCGGCACCGTCGTTCGAGCAGTAGTAGTCTGCGCCGCAGCAGTAGTCGTCGTCGCCGTCCTCGCAGTCTCCATCGACGTCGCAGCACGTCGCGGCGCTGCCGTCGGAGCACGTCGGGTTCGAACAGACCTGAAGCATCTTCGTGCCCTCCGTCGTTTGCGTGCTGACAAATGTGTTGCTGTGGACGTTTGGAGTCTCGTCGGCGATGTAGTTTTTGTCCGCATCATTCAGGCCCACCGAGAACTCCCCGTCTGCCAGGCCCAACATTGCCTGGGTGGCTGGATCGGGCTCAAACGCCACGAGGACGAACGGCTGGCCGGCGACGTACTCGCAGCTGGTCGCGCTCGGGCAGCACGTGTACTCGGGGTCGTCCATAGTCGGGTTCGGCGGCGACGGAGTGTAGCCGTTTGAGCAGGTCGCCGGCTCGCCCCAGTCCATCGAGGCGTAGCAGTCGTCGCCCGTGGACGTGCAGTAGTCCTGGCGACAGCCGTTCGCCGACCTCCAGTCCTCGCCCGGGCAGCACGTCTCCGCGTCGTCCCCCATCGCGTGGAGGGCGGCGTCGCCCTCGGGATAGGGCTCTCTACCCAGCCAGGCGCACTTGGAGTATCCGTCGCGATCGGCGCCCCAGGCGTGGTCCCCGCACGAACCGGAGGGATACTCCGGGCAGCACAACCCGGCGTCGTCCCCCATCGCGTGGAGGGCGGCGTCGCCCTCGGGATAGGGCTCTCTACCCAGCCAGGCGCACTTGGAGTATCCGTCGCGATCGGCGCCCCAGGCGTGGTGCCCGCACGAACCGGAGGGATACGAGTAGCCGTCGCGGACCCAATCCGCGCACTGGCCGCCGGTGGCCCCCTCCGCGTTCATGGCGTCGACCACCCAGTCGGGGCACGCTTCGTAGCCGACGTTCGCCCAGTAGTCGTGATCCCAACAACCCTCGCACGATTGGCCCCAGTTCCCCGAGTCAGTGTCGCCGCAGTTCCCCGAGTCAATCGCCTCCTGCCTGCAATCGCGGAAGGGCGGCGCCGCCGCGCCGTACTCCGAATAGCCCGCCGTACACAGCTCGGTCATGGTGGCGGCGTCCCACGGCGAGCGGCCGCCGCTACACGTCGTGCCTTCCACCTCCCCGGTTTCGGTAAATTGGTGCTCGACGCAGCACGCCGGCGTGAACGTGGGCACGGGCGAAGGTTGGGACGTCGGCACGGATGTCGGGTGGTGCGAGAACGACGGCTCGGCCGAAGGGGGCGTCGTCGGGACGCCGGTCGGCTTGCGGGAAAACGCCGTCGGCGTCGGCTCCGCCGTCGGCGTCGATGTCGGGACGGGCGTCGGGACGAGAGTCGGATTGCTCGTCGGCGACGTCGGCACCGCGCTTGGCGGTGACGTCGGCGCGGGCGTCGGGTCCTGCTCCGTCGGAACGCCCGTCGGGACCTTCGACGGCTCGGGCGTCGGCTCCGACGTCGGCCTGGCCGTCGGCACGGCCGTCGGCGCCGCCGTCGGCGACGTCGGCACCGAGGTCGGCGCCGCCGTCGGCACGTGCGTGGCAAACGACGGCGAGAGTGTCGGCTTCGACGTCGGCACGGTCGTGTCCTCGAGCCGGCGCGCGCCGTCGCGCCGCCCCTTGGACCGCCGCGCCTTCGGCCCGCTGCGGGGGGGGCGCTGCCCCCCGACCACCGCGCTGAGGAACAAGCACCGCCACCGCCAGGCGATCATGAGAACGACGGCAGCCCCCTCCTCCACGATTTGGGATGAACTACGGCACTTCCCTCCTCCACGATGTGCTTTGCTCGGTCCGCAGGATTTCAGAGCAGAGTCCAGCGACGGGAAGGCCAGTACCACGCGTATCGCTCGTCCGACGACGGGCTCCGAGAGGTCCACCCGAGCTTTCTTATCGTGCGGGCATAGAAACCCGTTATAAGAGTACTATACTTAACTTATACAGTACCTTACTGTCGCCTAGCTTCCTGCGCGGAGGGCTCGACGACACAGCTTTTACGGCTCGACAGCGTGCAGCAGACGACACAGCTTTTTGGCTCGACAGCGTGCAGCCAAAGCAATCCACTGCGGGGCATGGCCCGCGAGCCGTGGGCCTGGTGGCGGTCCCTCGGGAGCCCGGCCACCGTCTGCGCGCCGATGGTCGACCAGTCGGAGCGCGCCTTCCGGCTGCTGGTCAGGCGGCACGGCTGCGACCTGTGCTACACGCCCATGCTCCACGCGGACCTCGTCGTCCGCGACGCGGCGTACCGCCGGGACCACGTGCCGGACGACGCGTGCGCCGAGGACCGGCCGCTGATCGCGCAGCTGGGCGGCGGCGACCCCGCCACGCTGGCGGCGGCGGCCCGGGAGATAGCGGCGCGGGGCGGCTGCGACGCCATCGACGTGAACCTGGGCTGCCCGCAGGCCTGCGCGCGGCGCGGGGGCTACGGCGCGTTCCTGGACGACGACGGGGCCGCGCGCGCCGTGCGCGCCGTCGCCGAGGCCTCGCCCCTGCCGGCGACGGCGAAGATCCGGTGCCGCGCGGCCGGCGACGCCGAGGGCCTCGACGTCGACGTCGCGGCGACGGTCGCGCTCGCGGAGCGGCTCGTGGCCGCCGGCGCGGCCGCCGTCTGCGTGCACGCGCGGACGCGCGCGGGCAAGACGTTCGCGGAGGCCTGCTGGCCCGCCGTGCGGGCGGTCGTCGCCGCGGTCGGCGCGGCCGTGCCGGTCGTGGCGAACGGCGGCGTGCGGCGCGCCGCGGACGCCGCGGCGCTGCGGCGCGCGACGGGCTGCGCGGCCGTCATGTCGGCCGAGGCGCTGCTCGCGGACCCCTGGCTCTTCTCCGCGGCGCCGGCGCCGCGGCCCGCGGCGGCCGCGGCGTGCCGCGCGTACCTCGCGCTCGCGGCGGCCGCGCCCGTCTCGTGGGCGCGCGCGCACGTCGTCGCCATGCTCCACGCCGCGCTGGCGCGCGACGCCGACCTGCGCGAGGCGGTCGCGGCCGCGCGGACCGTGGCCGAGCTCGCGGCGGCCCTGCCGGACGACGCCGGCCCGCTGCGGGCGCGCGACCGCGCCGCGCCGGACGCGCCGGCCTACGCGGCGCTCCTGGCGCGGGGCCGGGCCGAGCGCCGCCGGGCGAAGGACGCGGCCATGCGCGCGAACGCGCCGGCGGCGCCGCGGCGCCGCGAGCCGCGGCCGCCGTCGGAGAGGCAGCGCCGCGCCGTCGCGGGGGCGAACCTGCGGCTCTGCGGCTGCGGCGAGCCGGCGAAGCACGCCTGCGTCCGGTCGTGCTGCCAGGTGTGCTGCGCCGCGGCGAACGGCGGCGCCGACTGCGGGAACCACGCGTCGCGGAAGAAGCGGCGGAAAAGAAGTAACTGGCCTGTTTTCGTGTGAACACTGGGTCCGTCCTTGAGAGGTGGCATTTCGCCTGGCGACGACGCGACCTTGTAGCGATGCTTTGCTTAGAGCTGCCTGGGCCACGGGACGCGTGACAGTACGCCCTCATAATTTCTCTAGAGAGGATTGAAAAACCACGTGTGTGGGAATCGCCGCCGTCGGTGTATGGAGGCATGGGGGGGGACACCAGACTAGGATTGCTCCATAGCGAATATAAACGCAGTCCTATGCGCCGGATTTTCTAAAACGAAGGTTAACCAGGTCGATTCCCGTCCCCTAACAAAGTTTGGGATGGGGTCGTCGGGATTTGGCGTTTTGGCAGACCGATGACTGCAAAAAATACCCGCACGATGTGATTCGGCTCGCTCCTAAGCTGCCTTCATCGGCCCGAACGGCGTCCAGAGCCGCCACTAAGTCATCACCTTTGCTGCAGCACCCTAAAAGACCGTTGTATCCGCCGCGCTGAACGCATGCAGCTGCAGCCGGCACGCCGCTAAACCTACTAAACGGGTTTTTGACGACTTTGGAGCTCTCCCTCTCATCGTCATCGACCTCCGTGCAGACCCCTGACCTAGGGCGGGGCTACCGACCCCTCTCGGAGGCTCCATGCGAAAAAGCACGTAATTTTGGATCGATTAAGACTCGCTCAGGACCTGGCGTCCCCCCCCCTATGGAGGCAGACCCCGCGCCGTCGACGCGACTCGTCACGGACGGCTCGGTGGGGCTAGGCGCCCTAGCTCTAAGCAAAGCAAAGGCAATTTATTGCCGGGGATCGGGGGGACAGTGTAACGAACCAACCGCTACTCCAGGGCGCATCGCTGCCGTCGCCGCAGCTCGCGTCGTAGAAGAGGTAATGCGTGCTGCTGGCGGAGGCGTAGATCGGCCGCCCGTCGCTCGTCATCGCGACGTACTCGTAGTGGCCGTTCAAATCCCCGCCTTCCGAATCGGGGCACGAAAATCCGCTCACCCGGTAGTCTCTGCAGAGTTCGGTCGGCGCGTTGCTTGGGGCATGTGTCATGGTCGGGGCTGGGCTCGGCACCGGCGTCGGCGCAGCGGACGGCGCGACCGTCGGCGGACTGAGGATGCCGTGGAGCACCTCGACCTGCCAGGCCTCCAGAGCCTTGTCGTAGACGTACACCTCGTCCACGGCGCCCTCTAGCGTTCCGGAGCCGTGGATGTCCGCGCCGATGTAGAGCGGCGAGCCGAGGCTCGTGTTGACGGTCGCGTTCTTCCAGAACCCCTCCTTGCGGCCGTCCACGTAGAGGGTCACGTTCCCTGGGAGGTACCGATCTTTCTCCTTCGGGTGCGGCTCCGCGGCGTACGTCATGCAGTAGTGGTGCCACGTCTTCACCCACGGGCTCTGCGGCGTGGGGGCCGCCGTAGGGAACGACGTCTCGCCGGCGGCGCCGTCAAGTCGGCGGCTCTCAAATGGCATCGGCGTCGGCGCCGGCACCATGCTGACGTTCGTGCTCAGGACGACGTGTCGATTGTCCCAATGGTTCCGAACGTTCCATGACATTTCGACCGCAAACTCGCCCGGGACGTTCCAGGTGCGCAGGCCGAACAGCTCTCCCTGGGGCGCCTTCCTGCCGTACTCGAAGATCCGGGCTTTGTTCTTCCACTTGTCGATCCGCGCCCAGAGACAGACCGTCCTCGGCCGGTCCCCGGAGATGGACCTCGTCACGTTGTCCGGCAGCTCGATGTGCTTGCTGTTGTTGAGCGCCACCGCGTCGCCCTCGGGACCGTCGCGCGCCTCGGTCTGCCGCAGATCCGCGGCAACCATAATGTCGCTCTCAGGGTACTCGGGTTTCTTGGCTTTGCCGTGGAATCCCGACGCGTGGGCGTCGTCCAGCTTGCCGCGCGTCATCGGGTAGTAGGCCACGAGGTTGTCCTGGTACTCGTGCGCCGTCGGCTTCGACGTGAGCGTCGGCGCGGTCGTCGGCCATTCCGTCGGCCTGAACGGGTCGTATTCCGTCGGCCAGGGCGTCGGCACGTCCGGTGCCTGCAGGCGCCGCCCGGTCGGCAGCTCGCGCGCGCCGCCGCCCGCGGCGGCCGCGGCGGCCGCGGCGCCGCTCGGGGCCGACGTCGGCGAGGAGCTCGGCGAGGAGCTCGGTGAAGAGGTAGGCGTGCCGGCCGCCTGGTGGCACCAGCACCCCACGGCCAGGATTGCCGCCGCTGCGCCCCGCCGCCGGGGGGCCCGCATCTCGAAGCTGTTGTTGGCCCTGAACCTCAAAGCGCCTCCCGGGGCTGCTAAAGATGGCTATGTTGGAATCGATCAAAGCTAAGATAAACCAGCTCTAAAGCTACTAGCCGAAGCCTGGCCGCGAGATAGCTTCGTGCGCGGGGCGACGGCCCAACCCAACGTTCGCGGTATTCGGTGGCGGGCGCCCCACCGCCGCACGGGGGCCCCACGCGCCAGCATAGTGCCTATATCCCGTCGACTAGGGAACGCACGGGTCACACAAGGCCCCCCTTAAAAATCTAGTGCTCCACGAGCCCGAAGCGGCCCGGGGGCCAGTAGCGCAGGATGACGTGCCCGACGACGTTCTCGCGCGGCAGCGCGCCCCAGACGTGCGAGTCGAAGCTCCGGTTGCGGTTGTCGCCCAGGACGAAGAGGCTGCCCGGCGGCACGCGCCGGGGCTCGAGCGTGTACGCCGGCGCCGTCGCGGCCGCGGCGCCGGCCGCCGCCGCGCCGTTGACGTAGACGACGCGGTCGCGGACCTCGACGACGTCGCCGGGGCCCGCGACGACGCGCTTCACGAAGACGTCGCGCCGCCGCTGCTGGGTGCGGTCGCGCGGCGGCGGCGCGCCGCGGCGCGCCGCGCGGTCGAGCTCCGACTGGCGCTCGGCGTCGAGCGCGCTCCGGGGCGGCCGGAAGAGGACGACCTCGCCGGGCGCGGGCAGGCGCGCGAGCGTCGACACCTTCTCGACGGCGATCTGGTCGCCCGGTAAGAAGGTCGGCGCCATGCTCGACGACTCGATGTAGCGCGGCTCGGCGACGAACCACCTCACCAAAAAGGACACGGCGACGATGCGCAGGTAGAAGCGCAGGCTGCGCCCGACGGCGCGCGCGTCGACGTCCTCGGGCAGCCACGTCTTCAACAGGTCCGTCGCGTCGCGGTCGAAGCGGCGGCTCATGGCCTCGAGGCGGCCGCGGACGTCGGCCGCCGCGAGGTTCGGCTTCTCCGCGCCCGCGGCCCGGGGCGCGGCGCGCGGCCCTGGGCGGGGCCGCGGCGGCCGCGGCGCGCGCGGCGTCGGGCGGATCGCGCGCGCGGCCGCCGCGGCCAGCGCGAGCGCGACGCGGCGGTTTCGTCGCATGGCTTTTGGTTTTCTTTTGTTTGCGCTCTACCGCGGCACTCGGCGCGCGCGTGGGCCAGCAGGTGTCCAGGCAGAGCACTGAGAGTTGGCTGGTGAGCGCGGTGCGGCACGGTTTGGCTTGCCGGTGGGCTTGGGTGATGAATGAAGAACTCACGAGCTTGCGGGTGCGTCTCTAACCGCTGCCGATTGGGTTTTAATCCGCCTGTGTTTTGCAGGATGCGGGGCCTCCTCTCCGCGCCTCCGCCGCCCGCGTCCCAACCAACTCCTCAGCTCGCGCTACGATGTTTCCGAACCCCGGGGCTGCTGTTTCTTTTCGAGCGGCTTCACTCGCATACGAGCTTGTATCAGAGAAGCCCACCCAAGACAAACCGCGACGGGAGCGGAGCCGTTTCGGGCTCTCTGGTGGACGGGCGGCGGATTTGCAACTTTGACGTAAGTCGGGCGCATGCCACGTTGCACGAAACCGTACGGGGTCAAAATCAGGATATCTGCGACAAGCCGCAAAATTGGCCCAAACACGCCATCTACGCATCTCCTTGCAAGCAGAGCTCGTTAAGCTTCAAAGCTCAGCCCAGCAACGTCCCACAGCGCGCGTCGTGCTCGCACGCGCCCCAGCGGCCCCAAACAAGGCTCTCGACGGCAACCAGTCCGGCTTGGATGGCGCGCCTGCTCCTGCTCCTCGCGGCGACGAGCCACGGCCTCCGCGGCCCCGCTCAGGTCAAGCCCGCGATCAAGCCCGCCGCGGCGCCCTGGGCGGGCCTCGCGCGCGCGGCGGCCGCGGCCGCGGCCGCGGCCGCGCTCTGCGCGGCCGGGCCGGCCCTCGCGGATAATGAATTAGCGGCGAAGTACGGCGGCGGCCTCGACGCGTCGCTCATCGACACGTCGTGCTTCAAGCCCGACGGCGCGTGCGGCGCCGCCGCGCAGTCGTGTTTGCGCACCGACGACTGCCGGCGGGGCATGACCTGCACGGCGAAGTGTCTGGGGGACAACGCCTGCATCACGGGCTGCTTCGCGAAGTACGGGAACGCGCCCATGGACGACTTGCTCGAGTGCTCGATCGAAAGGCACGAGTGCATCAAAGTGGCCATACTCCCGCCGGGGCCGGACAAGGCCGCCGACGCGCCGATGCCCCCCTTGACTCCCGTATCGAACTTCGACACGAAGTCCCTGGAAGGGAGCTGGTACAAGGTCATGGGCTACAACAACCGGTACGACTGCTTCGACTGCCAAAAGAACTCCTTCAAGCAAGCGGGCAAGGACAAGCTGGACGTCGACGTCGAGTTCCAGATGCCCCGGCCCGGCCGTAATGGCGAGGCGTCGGCCTACCCTTTACGTTTGTCTGAGAAGCTTGTGTTCGACTCCAAGCAAGCTCCTGATAGTGTCCTATCGCAGAAGAGAAGGCACGCGAGAACGGAAGGCCACATGTTCGGCCTGACCTTCTGGGAGAACTGGTCTGTTATTGGAGAGAATAGTAAAGACGAGCCGGAATTCAAGTTCGTGCACTACAGCGGCAAGACGTCCCAAAATACGTACGAGGGCGCGTTCGTCTACGCGCGCGAGCCGTCGCTGCCGGCTGGGGCCAAGCAACATGTCTATGCACTCGCAAAACAGGCGGGCTGGTCTCCCAGTGAATTCTGCGCCGTGCGCAACGGCGCGGACGTCTGCGACGCGCCGCCCGCCGTCGACGCGACCTTGACGGCGCAGCAGCGCGGCCTGTTCGTGGGCGGCGCGGCGGCCGCCGAGGTCGACGAGGCGGGCTTCTCGAGCGACCGACAAAAGGGGTCCTTGTTACCGAAGTGGCTGGGCACGGCGGTCGACGAGGTCGCCTCGTACGCGGAGGACCCGCACGTGACGGAGCGCTGGGTCTTCTCGCAGCAGAAGAAGATGGGCGACTGAGCCCATACCCTCCCCTTATCGCTCGCTCGTTGTAATGCCGGTTTTTCAAGAACTTGGTTTGTCCTAGCTCGCCGCGGCGTCGTCGATGGCGTGGAGGGGGTGCTCGTCATGACTTCAAGGATAAATTAATAGAGCGGCACCTGCGCGAGCCCCACGAGGCCCCCTAACAAACAACCCACGGCGATGAGCGTCGCCTCGTCCTGCTCGAAGACGGGGTGGAGCACGCGCTCGAAGCGCGCCCCGGGCAGCGCCTCGAGCGCGGCGCCGACGGCGCCCGCGACGTCGAGCGCGCCCGCCACGTAGTCGGCCGACGGGTCCGTGTAGGCCGCGGGGTCCGCCGCGACCGCCGCGACGCCCCGCGCCGCCGCGGCCTCGAGCGCGCCGCGCAGCGGGCCGCCGACCGCCCCCAGCCCACCCGGCAGCTCCTCGGCGAACGCGTCCGCGAGGGCCTCCACGAAACGTGATGAACGGGGCCCCTCCAACAATGCGCGCCAGAGGTGCCGCGGCGCGACCAACTCGGCGGCCACGAACGCCGCGAAGTCGCGGCTCACCTCGGCCTGCCGCCGCAGGAAGAACCCGTGCCACATCACTCCCAAAAACCGCCGCGGCTCCACGGGTCTAAAAAGTAATTGTAGTGCGACCCAGTCCGTCACGAGGCCCACGAGAGCCCCCCCCGCGGCCAGCGTCCACGAGAAGGGGAACGCCGCCCAGGCGCCCATCTGGGCCAGGCCCAGCCCCAAGCCGCCCCAGCCGCCGACGCTCACGACGAGGTCGAGCTCCCGTTTGCCGCACGTCTTGAAGAGGCGCACTAATCGATATGGATCTTTTGTAAGTCGCTCGACGCAGAGGTGGCGCACGTCCACGAACGAGTCGACGTCGCCCTGGACGCGCGCGACGCACCTCTGTATAACGCGCCGGACCAGCGCCGGCGTCACCAGCGGCGACGCTAGTTCGACCTCGTCCTTCACGAGCCGTTTGCCGAGTTCCACGAGCGCCGGCGTGCATAATCTCTGGCTAAGTGTCTCTGGGTCGACCCGCCGCAAGACCTCGGTCACGTTCAGCAGGTCCTTGGTGAGCAGGTCGGAGACGTCGCCGCCCATGCGCCGCGCGGCTTTGGGCACGACGCCCTGCCAGCCCAGCAAGCCAAAACCGCGCCGCCGGATCGGGAAGAACATCATCGTCACCGCCAGCTTGTTCGTGAGCGCGTTGAAGAGGCCCGCGCACATTGGTATGGTTGCGTAGAGCGGCCACTGCGCCGCGAAGCGCGCGCGCGCCGCGGCGAGGCCCACGCGTTGCACCGGTAGCGCCTGGAGTGCCGTCTGTGATGGGTTGATGCATCGCTTGCGCGGCGGCGGGCGGAGCGCGCTTGCTATTGATAGGAGCAGGGTGCAGGCGAGGGCTGCTCGCATCGTGGCGCGGTTTCCGCCGCAGTTCTCAAGTATTCGGAATGATATATGGCGGGCTCACTTTTGCTGTGTAGGTGTCTGCCGCGCAAGCGATCTGTGTGATCATGTGGTTTGCAAGCTGGCTGGCTCATCATCATCTCTGAGAAAGCTTGTCCAATACCGCGGCACAAGCCCGCTGTGTTGAGCAGTGATAGTTCTGTGCGGTTACGGACGGCTGCACATGCGGCTGACGACGCTGGCAGTCATGGCCCAAACCGCGGCAGCAGTCGCCATCCCGCGCCTGGGTCTCGGCAGCGCCGAGGGCCCGCCGCACGAGGCGATGGCGAGCGCGGTCGACGCGGCCGTGCGCAGCGGCGTGCTCATGATCGACACGGCGCAGAACTACGGCAGCGAGGCGGCCATCGGCGACGGCCTGCGCCGGAGCGGCCGCGACGACGTTTTTGTGTTGTGTGAGGCAGTGCATGAATCACGACCTCCACGGCCGAGCCCCCGACTCACTGGTTGATTTTCGCACAGATGCAAAGTCGACCTCTGCACGCGGAGCCGGGAGGACCCGCGGCGGCGCATGCGGCGCCAGGTGACGGAATCGAAGCGAAAGCTTGGGCGCCTCGACGCTGTCGCCCTGCATTGGCCACTCCTCCTAGATGCGCCGGCTTCTGAAGACGACGCGCGGTCAGTGCGCGCCGACGCGTGGCGCGAGCTCGAGGCCATGGTCGACGAGGGTCTTGTCGGCTGCCTCGGGCTGTCGAATTTTGACGTGGAGCTCATGGATGAGATCATCGCGCTCGCCCGGCACCGGCCTGTCCTCAACGAGGTCGAAGTATCTCCCCGGTGCTACCAGGAGGAGCTAATGGCGGCGTGCGAGGCGCGGGGCGTGCGCGTCGTGGGATATTCTCCATATGGGACCTGTTGGCTGGCAAAGTACTTTCCGTCCTTCGTGCCCTGGCCCGCAGCAAGCGTCCTCGACGACGCGACGGTCGCGGCCGTCGCGGCCGAGGCCGGGTGCACGCCGGCGCAGGCCTGCGTGGCCTGGGCCATGGCCAAGGGCGCCGCGCCGATCCCGAAGAGCCTCGACCCGGAGCGCGTCCGCGCGACGGCGCGCTGCCTGGACGACGTCGCGCTCACGGCCGACCAGGTCGCGCGGCTCGACGCGCTCCGCGACCCGCGCCGCGGCGTCGAGGCGTCCCTGGCGGCCCACGCGCGCATCATCGCGTCGCCGGACTACGCCTGGGACCCGACATAAGTGGGCTGTTTGTTTATCTCGTGTCGGAGCGTCGCGGGCGGATTTACCGCGCCTCCAGGATCGCACACTCTGGCCATTCCATAGAGTCTATTTTTCCCAAGAGCCCCTAGGGCGGCGTCCGGACAACTCGCGGACCACCGTCTTCGGCCGGCCGGGGGCAGCTTTTGGTGGCAGCGCCGCTGGACACAAACCGGCCGTGCTGCCCCGAATCGCACGGCTCCTGGTAAGCACGCATCATCCGTGCGACGAGAAGAATAAATACGGCTGCCTCGACGGCGCACCACGCCTAGCAGGCGCCCGAGCCATGCCCCGGATGGGGCGGCTCGCGCTGGCCGCGCTGTGGGCCTACGCGGCGGAGGCGCAGTCGCCGACGCAGGCGCCCACGTTCACGACGTGGCGGCCGACGGTGGCCGGCGCGTCGTCGCCCGCGACGACGCCCGCACCGTCGCTGCGACCGACGCCCGCGCCGACGACGGCCAGGCCGACCAATACGGCCGCGCCGACGTGCGTCGCGCTCGCGAGCACGGCCGCCGCCGACGCGATCGACTGCCTCCTGCAGGCGTGCCGCGACTGCCTCGGGCCCTCGACGGCCGAGGGGGGCATGGCCGGCGCGCGCTGCACGAACCTCGCCGAGCCGAGTTGTAAAACAGCGTGCGTCTGGGCCATCAAGGAGGACCTGGGCAACTGGGACTCGTTCGGCGTCCGGGACGGCGCCGACCAGACGCAGCTCGACGGCTTCCTCGCGAAAGACTGCGAGCTCGCCAATTCCGGCACGGAGATGACCGCGAGCAACTGGTTCCGAGGGGAGAACGTGCTCAACGGCGAGCCGTTCGGCCGCCTGGGGCTGCAGATGGGCGCGCCCTCGCCGCGGCCGACGATGGCCGACGATTTTCTGGACACCCCGCAGTGCCTCTGCTGCTACGACGCCGCGCTCGACACGGGCTGCTTCGGCCAGAGCGCGTGCGCCTGCTGCTGCGGCTCATCCGACGAGCTGAACCCCGAGACGTCTTGGCCGGGAGACGCCGAGATGGAGGCCAGGCACCACGTCGACGGCGGCTACCCCGCGAAAGATTGCAAGAAGGACTGCGAGAAGGATTTCCCGGGGTGGACGTGCGTCTACGCGAAGGAGGGCAAGACGGACGTGCAGGAGCCAAAGAAATACCTCGACGACGACACGACCAAAAAGATCGACAAGGATTCGACGGCGAAGGACGGTGGGTACTGCAACGTGAACGGCGCGGCCACAAGGAGGCCGTGGTGGCTGCTGCTCGCCGCGCTGGTAATACTAAGGTAACACACATCTAGCTTAGCTCCGGTACCGCGCGTGCGCCTGCCCATCAAGAAAATCTCGGAACTCGTACGCCGGGTCGCAGGCGAACCAGAAGCTCAGCGTGAGCCGTTGGCCCGCCGTCACTTGCGTCACGCGATGCTTGTTTTCGGCGCCCGACGCGAACATGTTCAGGCGCCCCCGCCGCGGTTCGACGACCGACCCGTCGTCGTACGTGAAGAGCCCACCCTCGAAGTCCTCGTCGTAGTCCGACAGGTAGAGCAGCCCCGAGAACTCGTAGTGCGGCGTGTTCTCGCGGTCGACGTGCCACTGATAATACTCGTCGTGCGGCTCCGACGCCTCCCACGTCGCGTTCTCGCCGCTCAGCCGAGTCAAGAATGTCGGCGCCGTGAAGTAGAGCGCCGACGCGCGCGGGAACGCGGCCTCGACCTCGGCCTTGAGGCGCCTTATCACAGACCGGTAGAGCTCGTAGTCCTCGCCACCGAAGGGCTTCCGCTTGGACTTGGCCTGGTAGAGGTTCACGAGGCGCGCGCCGGGCGCCATCACGAAGCCAGAGTTGATATCGATGATAGTCGGACCGCCTGCAGCCGCGGCCGCGTCCGCCGCGGCTGCGCCGCGCCGCGCGATGTCCCGCAGCGCGTCGATTTCCGCGGGCGGCAGCCAGTCGTCAATGACGACGCGGTCGCAGGGCCGCGCGCCGCAAACCGACGTCGTGGCGCACGGCACCGTGCGCCGCGCGTGCCGCACGCGCATCGTCCGCGTGAGCCGCTGCGGCATAACCTCTGGTCGCGCGAGGCGCGCGCTGCGCAGCACGACCGCCGCCACCGCGCAGACGGCTGCAGCCAAGAGCGCTGGGCGCGACATGCTGGTGCCCGGCGTCGCATCGCTGCTTTGGGCTCTCTTCTTCGCATCACTGCTGCTTTGCGCTCTCTTGTGCTTTTGCTTTTTTGGCATGGTCGGCGGCTTAGAGGTGCAACCTTTTTGTTCCCGCTGGTACTTGTGTAGCAGCTGGTGCTTGTGTCCAGCCGTGCAGCGCCACGAGCCCGTGTGTGGCTCGCAAGGGCTCACAAGTTTGGGCAATGGGCTTGCTAGTGAGTGTCTTAGTGTCTTACAGTCCATCAAACGAGTCAAAGCACATGATTTTTACAGGATTGGGGCCGGGAGAGACGAAGCGACGACCCCTCAGACGACTTGGAGCGGCTCCTCCGTTTCCTCGCCGGGCGCCGCCGCCGCGGCCTTGGAGTCCGAGGGGTCCACGCGGGCGCCGCGCGCCCAGAGCGAGCACCCGATGCCGAGGATCATCAGGAACGTGAGCGCCAGCACGACGCCAACGACAACGGGCCATTCACTGCCTTTGCTCTGCTTCTTTTTCGATCCGCCGTGGTCACCGGCGGTCGCGTCGTCCGCGGGGGCCGGCTTGGCAGGGGGGACGTACTGGGTCGCGTCCTCCTCAGATTCCGTGTCTGGGTCGTCCGCGGGCGTCTCAATCAACGCTTCATCGATATGACAGCACCGGTAGTTCTCGGGATCCGACGTCTGGCACGGCCCTTGCGCCGCGGTCGCCTTTGCATCGACAACACTAGCTTCGTGGAGCTCACACTCGCGGTCGTCCGCCGCATAGTTCTCGTACTCCCAGGCCCCGCACGTCGTGTCGGCGTCGCACAGCGCCTGACAGGCGGCCGCGTCCTCAACCTTAGTCGTCACGTAGCCATCGTCGTTCTTCGGGCGGCACACGCGGCCGACCTCGGCGTATGACTTCGTCCACGCCGACCCGGCGGCCTCGGTCTGGGCGATATCGAGACCGACACGTAAAGCCCCTATGCGTCCTTCCTCGCTGGTCGCCACGATGGCGGAGGCTTCGGCCAGAGCGGCGCCGAGGGCCTCTTGGGCACGAGCAGTACCAGGAACGCCGTCGAGGGTCGTAGCGACGGCGCGCGCAGTGGATGCGAGGACGGCTGCGGCTTGGGCGGCGTAGCCCTTGCCCACGAGGTAGTCCGCGCGGCGCGTCGCGGCGTCGATGGCGTCGCGGACGGCAGACGGCGTAGCGTCCATCCCCGGCGCCGGATCAGCGGGGGGCGCGATGCTATCCACCAGCGATATCTCCCGGAGGCGCAGAGTAAAGGGGCCGTCCTGGAACAAAAGTTGGAAGCCCACTTCGTTGAGGGCAGTCAGATCAAGCGTCCCGGTGCGGTCATTGCCGCGCCAGCGCGGCAGGAACTCCTCGAACGGCAGCGACGCCGAGCCGACGCCGTTGTTGTTCGATGAAGGTGGCACGGCAAAACTCGCCCCAAAGTCGATGTAGCGACTCGAGTCGCCGCGCCCCTTGAGCCGAACCTCCCACGCGAGCGGCGTCTGGCCGGCGGGCAGCGCCTCGTACGTAACGCGGAGGCCCGCGAAATTCGACGCGTCGACGTCGTCGAGGCGAGTGTACATGCCGGCGAAGCCGCCGCCCGCGGTGACAATCTCGCCCGATGCCTCCAGGACGTTGCCGTCTCTTTGCACGCTTATCGACGAGCGGCCGCCCATGACGCCGTCGACGGAGCGGTACCATTGCGACCAGCCGTTGTCGCCGCCATCGAGGATTAATTCTGCATTGCACGCTATTGCCAGCGTCAGCGGCAAGAGCTTGGCCATGCCTTTAAGTTGGGTTAAGTTCTGGCAAAATTGGCTCTGAAGATAACACCAAACTAACGAGTTGATGAAGTGAGGTGGTTTGCAATAATGACAGCTAGCGGCATGTAACACACTAGCAAGCACTGACACTAGCAAGCAAGTGAGCGCGCGGCGGGTGCTGGGAGGCTGAGCAGCGCTAGGTCACAATTTGGATCGAACAGGTCGCCGCTTCGCCTAATATTCGCTGCGGACGATCGATTCGATTGTATAATTGCTGAATCAAGGCACTGTCCTCTCTGTGCTGAATCACAGACCTGCTCGAGGCGGCCCCGCGTGCGCATACTCGTACTCGTACGCGTGTAATTTCGGCCAGCCATGAGGCGGTCTGCGTTCCCGTCACAAAACCGGCGGCGCCAGCAAATCGCCTGGCCGCCGAAGCGGCGCTTCGGCTGCGGCGTCGGCAGCGTGGGCCTGAAAGCGCCATCGTTCAAGGAGGACACGGCGCAGAAGCGCTGGAACCGCGAGGCCAAGGCGGCGGACCGCGCCGACCACCGCTGGCGGCACGAGGAGGCGGCGGCCGAACGAAAGCGCCAGGACCAGGCAGCGGCTGCGGCCTTCGAAGCCGAGGAGGAGGACGCGGCGCGGCGCTGGGAGGAGGAGATGGCGGCGGCGCTACCGGTGGCGCCCCCGCGGCCGCCAGCCGCCCCTGCGTCGTCGACGACGACGCTCTCCCCCGAGGCAAAGCGGCGCATCGAACGAAATCGAGCCGCTGCGTTGGCGAAGCGCCGGAAGCTCTCCGAGTCGAGGAGGCAAGACACACCACCGGCATAAGTTGTAGTATTCATGTATTACATCTCTAGTACTCCACCGCGCGCCCGACCGGGCTCTCGTAGAGCGTCGCGCCAGCTGCCGGGTCGTCGTCGAAGTGAACGGCTGCGCGGCCGTCGGCGTCGACGCGTCTCTAGTACTCCACCGCGCGCCCGACCGGGCTCTCGTAGAGCGTCGCGCCAGCTGCCGGATCGTCGTCGAAGTACGGCTGCGCGGCCGTCGGCGTCGACGCGTAGGATGGACCGGAAGAGAACAATCCAGAAGGCGGCGGCGGCGGCGTGAGCGTCACGTCCTCGTCGGAGTCGTCGCAGGGCGGAGGCGGCACGGCGAAGCCCGCGACGAAGTCCGCGCCGACGGCCGGCAGCGACGCCGAGTAGGCGTGCCAGCGGCCGAAGGCCCGAAAACAGTTCGTCGCGTGCTTGCGCGTCGAGAGCGTCTTGAGCGTGCGGCGCACGCGGCGGTGGCTCTCGACGTAGCGGCCCCAGGCGTGGTACGCCTTGATCATCGTCGCGCGGGCCAGCGCGACCCCCACGAAGGACGTCAGGCGCCCGCTCCGCTTCCGGTGGAGGAAGACGTCGGTCCACGCCACGAAGACCTTCCTTACCAACTGATACTGCGTGTATTCGATGGCCACCAATGCCTTGTCGAGGCGCTGCAGCCGCGACGCGCCCTGCGCCGCTTTTCTCGCCTCCTCCAATTTCGCCACGTCCACGCCGTGCAACCAGATGGAAAAGCCCCTCCTTAATTGCCGCGCGCACTCGTCGTGCGCCACCCTCAAGGCCGCCCTTAACTTCCCCGGCACCTGCAGCATCCTTAGTTTACCGTACCTTCTCCAGTTCTCGAAGACGCCCCGCGTCCGCCGCCTCTTCAACGCCCGCGCCCACCGCGCGGCTCTCAATCGATTCTGCGCGCGCCGCCTCCTCAGCTGCTTGAACGCCCCAAACGCGTTCCGCCGCAACACGTGCTCGCTCCTTAATTCGGCCGCGTCGAACCAGTAGCGCGCCGCCGTCTTTGCTGATGCTGCCGCGTCCCTCACTAAAGTCGTGCGGCCCGCTTCGACGATGCGCGCCCACGTCCGGAAGCCTCTACCTAACTTCGACGCCCGCATGCGGTAGAAGGCCTTCTTCACGAGGTTCCGCAGCCGCTGGCGCTCCGAGACCATGAAGCACCACGCCGTGAGAGCTTTGGCTTGCGCGTGGTAGAGCCACTTCCTTCTGGATCTATCGATTATGGTCTCGTAGCGGACCGCCCTTCGTACGGTCGTGGTCCAGGTCCTCCAGCTCGTACTCGTGAGCCGGTGCTGCAGCTGCCCGATTACTTTATGCATGAGCCGTTCTAAGGACCGCTGCCGCACGACAAAGGCCTTCCACGTGTTCAGGGCCGGCCAGGTCTCGTTGTTGTAGAACTGTTTTACTATCCTCCGCGCCAGCGTCCGGAGGCGCTTCCGGTCCCGCTTGTAGAAGACCCACTGGTTGTACGACCTTCCGAGCAGCGAGTGGCGCAGGCGCCTTCTACATCTGTCCAGGATGACGTCCTGCCTTACCTGTTTCTCCTCGGCCTCCCTCCTCAAGAAAGTGAACCGCTTCCAGCCGTTGAGCCCTTCGTTCAATCGCGTGTGCTCGAAGACGGCGACGACGCGCCGCAGTAACCTATCTGTGCGCTCCCGCGCGAGCGCGCGCCTATCGTAATCCAAGGCCCAAGCCACGAGCTTCCGGAAGCCCGGCGCCAGCTTCGCATGTAGTAATTTCATCACAATGTGCGTCAGGAGGTCGGTCCGCCTCTTCGATTCCTCCCAGCGGTGCACCCACCCCACGAAAGCTCTAGCTGCGCAGGCGTGGCGCATGCGCGCCAAGGCACTTCCGACCAGGTGGTCGCAATGGGCCAAACGCCGCGTCTGGTCGCGCCACTGAATAAACGCCGGCGCCGCGTTGCTGTGCGCGAGGCGCTGGAGGACGTGGAGCGCCACGGTCTTCACGTGCTTCCTCACTAAAACGTACTCGCGCCACCGCTCAAAGGACTTCGTGGCCGTCCGGTGGAGCCACCGCCTTCTGGTTCTATCCAACACGGCCTCGTGCCGCCGCATATCAAAGGCCTGGTCCCGCCAGATATCTATTGCTGCTCTTGTGGTACCATCAACAGCGACGTGGATCATCCTACTCAGCACGGACCGCGCGAGCCGCCGGTCCCGTCGCATGCGATCCCACTTCGTGAAGATGTCGAGGCGGACGCGCTTGTTCACTCTTAGTGAGTGGCGGTAGAGGGCCACGCGCTCCCTCTTCTCCGTCCGGATTACCTCCCTCCAAGTATCGAAGCACCGCCCCGCGACGTTGTCCGTCCACATTTGTAGAGCTCGCTTCTCGCGCCAGTGCTCGTCCCTCATTTTGTAGTCCTCGTAAGCGTGCGAGACGAGCAACGTGCTGCCCCGCCGCCACGTGGAAAAGCTCACGACTAGAGAATGGCGCACAAACCTACAAACGCGCATGAGCGCCAGGCGCCGCGCGCCGACGTCGCCCAGGAGTCGACCTTGGACCACAACCTCGCGCCAGCACCGCCAACCCAAACCCAGCTTGCCCTGGCGCATCTGGCGCACGGCTCTCTTCACAATTTCCCTCAACCTCCTCCTTTCATCGCGCTCCGCCTGCAAGGCGTGGAAGCACCTTAAAAGGCAGCCGCGCGTCAGCATGACGAGGACCCGCTTTCCCACATTCTCGAGCCGCCGCTCCTCATGTTCGTAGGCGAGCCAGGTCCCGAAGGCCTTGTGCGCTAAGGCATGCTTGAGCGTGACCAGGATGTGCGTCATGAGCGCGCGCACGCGTTTCCGCTCTCTTCTATAAAGAATCCACGTCGTTAATGCTTTGGAGACACAAGCGAACCGCAGCCGCCTTCCGAACCTCTCGAGAATGATCCCGCAGCGCCGTTCCTCCCTCCAGGTGAATAGCGCCGCCGCGACCTTGCCGTCGATAAATCTGTGAGTGAGCGCCCGCAGCGTCCGCCGCTGCCAGACGAACTCCTCCCAGGCGCCCCAGACCTTGACGAAGCCCGCGTTTTTTAGACGGAGCGCGACGCGCCGCATCAACTTTTCGACTCGGTCGTGTTTCAGCTCGTTTTGCTTCTCCTCTCGTAAAACCGCGCGCCACCTATCTACAGCCAAAACGACCTTGCCCCGCGACAAGCGGTTCAGGACGTGCAGCGCGAGGGCCCTTAATCTTTTCCGCTCGCCCACGAAGTGGTCCCAGGCGAGGAGCGCCGAGAAGATGCACTTGTGTTGCATGCGCCGGCGCATGCGGTCGAGGAGCTTTTGTTGCCGTTCCTTCTCGCGCGCCTCCAATCGCAGCGCCGTCGCGGCGGCGCGCCACTGACTTAGTGAGGGCACGAGCCTGCCTTTCATCAATCGCGTCAGGACGTGCTGCATGAGGCGCCTTAATCTTTTCCGCTCGTGCGCGTTCTCGCGCCAGGAATTTAAGGCTTTCGAGGCGGAGACGAGGCGCATGCGCGCGACGAACTTGGCGCAGATCGCGTCGTGCCGCGCCGCTTCCTGTTCTGCTCGCTCCTGCTCTTCGACGAACGCAAACCACGACCGGAAGGCAACACCAGTCAACCCGTGTAGCAATTGACCGACGACCTTCCTCATCAATTTACGGTCGTAGACGAGCTCCTCCCAGCGCGCCCATACTTTCAGTAAGCCGCCGTTCTTTAGGCGTAGAGCGACGCGGCTCATCAAACTTTGGATCCTCGCCTGCTCGATGGCCTGCATTTCGTCCTCTTTCTCTTGGAGTTGGGCTTCGAGCCGGCGACACTTCTCAAGCTGCGCCTCGTGTTCCTCTTGCTTCATTTGAGTAATGACGCCACACCACGACCGGAACCCGGACCCGGTCAGCCCATGTAATAACTGCCCCATCACCTTGCGCATCAGATAATCCGCCCGCTTAAACAATTCGACCTTATTGACCCACTCTTTAAATGCTGGCAGCACGCGATTATTCAACATCTGCTGGATCGTTTTTGTGGCCAGTTTGCGCAGTTGCCGCCGCTCGCCCCGATACTCGTTCCACCGCCGGAACGCGCTGTTCACGCCGGCCATCAGCCAGTTCCGCCGGACCTTGTCCAGGATCCGCTGCATGCGCTGCTCCTCCTCTTTTGCTTCGTCCATGGCCTTCATGTTCTCCAACCAAGCTCGGAACGCGGAACTTTCCAAACCGTGCATGAGCTGCCCTACCACCTTGTTCACGAGACCTCGGATGCGCTTCCTTTCATACACGAACTCGAGCCAGGACCGGTAGGCCGCGCCCGTCGTCTGGTTGAGCCACCTCTTGCGTATCCTCTCAAAAATGACGGCCTGGCGCTTGGCCTCCTCCTCCTGGGCCTTCATTTCCGTCACGTTGCACGTCCACGTCCGGAAGGCACTCCCGCTCAACCCGTTCATGAGCTGGCCGATGACCTTCTTCACGAGTCGACGCATGTGCTTCCTTTCGGAGACCATCTCGCACCACCGGTTCATGACTCTTGATAACGAGCCAAGGAGCCACTTCGCCCTTACTCTTTGGAGGATGACCTCCTGGCGCTTCTTCTCCGATTCCTCCTCCTTGCACACCTGCACCATCCTCACCCACGACGCTAGTGCTGAGGCCACTTTCCCGTGCATCATCCGCCCCAGAACTCTTTTAGCCAGCTGCCTCACGTAGACTCGTTCCCGGCGCCACTCGTTCCACCGGTCAAAGATGCCGTGCTTCTCCATGTTCAGCCACCGACTCGCGACGCGCTTCAAAAGTTTTTCGCGCGCTTCCTGCTCCCGCAGCGCGGCCTCCTCGGACTGGCCCGCGGCGAACCTCAATGCCGTCTCTAAAGCAGCGCACCGTGACGCGCTGATGCTTTGTGCGGTATACAAGCGCCACTTGCTCCAGGCCCGGCGCGTCGGCCTTTCTTCCAACGCGACGCGCGTCAACGCCGTGAGGAGCGCCGCGCCGGCGTTCAGGCGCCGCTGGAGCCCCTGCGACAGTTCGGACGATGCTCTAGCCGCCAGCCGGCCCTCGCGCCGCTTGACCGTCTCCCTTAATGAAGACATCGAGAATAAAAATGAAGACCGCTCGTGTTCCACTAAAGAAAAGAGGATGGAGACGATGTGCTGCACGTCGCGCGACCGCGCGGCGTCCGCCGGCGTGCTGTCCTCCCTACTATCGAGGACCCGCTCGAGCTCCGCCTGGAGGCGGTCGTAGACCGCGCCGAATTTTTGAGGTTCCGCTAATGTTAAGGAAGACACGCTCAGGGCGTTGCCCCGCGTTAATTGCTCAATCACTTGATCGACAATGATGGCGTGGTCCTTCTGCAGCGCGTCGACGTCGAAGGTCAGGGGCCGTCCCTCAGTTCTAGATGGCGCGGGCGGCAGCGTCCTCTGGGAAGCGTGGGCGGCGCCGGGCGGCCGCCACGTCTTGCTGTGTGCTTTATGTGGCTCCCTCAGGACGTTGGGCGACTGCGTGGCCGACGACCTCCTTCGTCGACTGAGGGACCGGCGCGGCGTGCGCGACCGCGACGCCGACCGCGACGCGTCGCTCCGCCTTCGTGTACTCTCGTAGAAGGCGTCTTCGTCGTGGTCGTCGTCCCAGTCGTCATCAACAGGAGGAGCCTGGTGCCGCGGCTGCGAGGCGTCCAGACCAAAGAGGCGGCCGACGGCGCGCGACGGCGTGCGCGACGCGCTCATGCTCGGCGACGGCATCCGGTCGTTGTTGTGCGTGCCCGGCGTTGGCTCCTTCCTTATGCCCGCGGACGCTCAGTACTTTGCTGTTACTATGCCACCAGGCTGTTCATGGTTTGGGCTCGGTACCAATGTGTCGGCGGGCCGCAATCGTGGCGTAACAATGGGCCGCGGTGCTGTCCGAGGCGTGTGACAGCGCACACGGCAGCCCTTTGCCGCTGAAATAACAGATCGGCGGCCGCAAAAAGCACGGCGCCTCGCGCCGCACCCGCGCGAAGCGAAATCGGCGCGCGGCTCCCGGGACTGCCCTCGAAGCTGCGAATGGAGCGCGTCGAGCGGACGTCTGGGAGCGGCGATGATCGGGGCGACCGAAGGGGAGTGTCGCGTGGACCGCGCGACGCGCGGTCTCTCCCCTCCAGGGATCGGCGACGTGCGGTGTCTTTGCCCCAGTGGCCCCGCCCACTAGTCCTAGCACCGTAACAAATCGCCCCCAGGGAGGCCTCCACCGTAACAGGAAACTCGCGTGGACGGGACGAATCCACCAGGAGTCCACCAGGCGGCACGTAGAGGCGGCACCCGGGTCTCAAAACCACACGTTAGTCCGCGAACGCCCCGCCGTCGTCCGCGAGCGCCCCGAGCGCCGGGTTGAACGCGCCCTCTCCATCCAAGTCGGGCGGCAGCTCGTTCACCAGGGCGGCGCCGGCGGTGCCCGCGACGTCCGCGTCGGCCAGGGGCGCACCCACGCGCAGCCGCGCGAGGCACGCGTCGAGGTTCTCCGCCACGTTCTTACTGTCGTCCCAGGCCGGGAACGGCGACGGCCGCGGCTCCGCGGTTGTAGACGCGCCGCCGTGGTCGAAGGCGCCCGGCGGGATGGGCTCGCGCAAGGCGCCGTCGTCATCCTCAGACGACGACGTGTCCGCCTCGTCCTCGCCGAGCACGCGGCCGCGCATCGCACGCGTCCGACGTCGCTGTTCTTTAGCCTCCTTGCGCTCCATCTGCGCCCGGTAATGCTTCGCGATGGCCTCGCCCCGCTTTGTAGCTTCCTCATCCTTCATGCGGTTAGGATTTCTGGGGTAGACGATTTCCTTTTCGCAGGCCTCCTCGAGTTTTGTGATATCCAACGTCTCGCCCGATTGCAAATCGGCGAAGTCCGCGACGCACGTCGGCGAGGCCTTGGGTTTGAGCTTGCCTTTGCCCCTCGCCACGACTGGAGGCGCCTCTCCCAATCTCCGGTTCCGGAAGGCCTCGGCCTCTTCTCTTTCTTGCTCGAGGACCTCGTCGATCTCCGGCGGCGCGTCGTCCTCCGACGACTCGTCGTCCGACGATTCTAGTAGAGGCTCCTGGTCGCGGTAGGGCCCCGCATCATTTTCGAGGGACGCCTCCGGCAGCAGCGAGACGCCAAATTCGAGCTTCTCGACGGCCAGCTCCGCGAAGCTCGTCGCTCCGGCGCTCCAGTCGTACTCGTCGTCGTCAGCAATCTTCGCCGCCGCGTCGAACGCGGCACACAAGTCCTCATCCAACGTGACGCCGTCGAGCGCGTCGGCCTCGTCCGCCTCGTTGAGCTTGTCCAGCGAGGCCCAGACGTCATTCAGATCATTCGTCGCGCGCCCCCGGGGCTTCCTTCTCCTTGGCCGCTCCGCGCTCCCGAGCGCGAAGCTATTTGTGGGCGCCGCGAAGCGGTTCTCCGAACTTTTTGGAGGGAGCGGGTCCGCGGCCGGCGCGTAGGGCCGCTTCGTCATGGTTTTTACGTCTTTGACGCGCTGCGCGACGCGCTCCTCGAGGCTGAGCTTCATGATGTCCGCGTGATCCGCGGCGTCTAGCGCCATGGTCACTGCTGCTGTCTTGGCCTACCGCTGATGGCCGCTCGCCGCTGCTTTTGCGGAGCTCTTTTTGCGTGTTATGGCTGCTTCTTATTTCTCGTCTATCCGTGCCGTGCGAGGTCCCCTGTGACCTACGGCAGCGCTTTTTGGCAATAATAATACCCTAGCGGTGTATAGAGGCACTAGCTTGCTAGAGAGACTCGATTTGCGAGGCTCCCTTGGCGAAGCACTGCGTGCATCAAACTGCTCGGAAGTTGAGTTTAAGATCGATCTGAGTTGGCTGAGACGCACTCTATAGTCGCTCGACGTCGACATTGCAACCTCCAAGGGGCAGCTGTAGTAGTGTCACTGCACGACCCAGACTCACTGCAAACCAGTCTCCAAAACTATGGTGGCCATCGATCTCACGCCACTCTCCGTAGCCGACGCGCCGCCAGTCACAAAACGTCCAGAACTGCACTTGGACTCGCAGACGCTGGACGAGCTCTTCGCGCCCGAGCTGTGGTCGGCGCTGGCGCCGGGTCTGGACGGCGCCGACGCCGACGCGGCACCGTTCGAGGTCGCGGCGGGCGATGGTGAAAAACTCCGTGCTGCACTCGCGGCTGACGGCTTCGTCGCCGTCGAGCGACCGCCGCCGTGGTGCGTCGACGTGTCGCGGCTAGCGCGAGCCGCAGCTTCCTTGGCGGCGCACGGCTTCCCGCCAGGCTTCCTATTGGCCTACGAGGCGTCGTGGCGGCTCCAGGCGCAACTCGCGACGGTAATCTCCACGGCGACGGGCGGCAACGTCGCGACCGGCGACGCCATCGCGTTCCGCGTCGAGCCCGGCGCGAGCGGCTTCGGGCCACACCGCGACCGGCAACCCGAGGACGCAGCGACGACGTTTCGGGAGGACGACGCGCCACGGTCGAACGTCGCCTGGGTCGCTTTGTCGCGAGCGACGCCGGCGAACGGCTGCATGTACGTCGTTCCACGGCGCGGCGACAGGGCGTATGCCGAGGGCGGCGACGGTGCAGTGGCGGACCCGGTCGCCGCGGCGCTCGGCGCCGACGAGGCGTCGGGCGCGAAAGCGTGCTATCAGAGGGTGCGCGCGTTGCCACTCGACGCGGGTGGGTTCCTGCTCCTCTCTCATCGAGTCGTGCACTGGGGCGCGGCGGCGGCGCCGGACCACCGCGAGCCGCCGCGCGTCGCGCTGTCCTTCGGGTTCGCGGATCCCGCGCTCGAGCCGTGCCTCTTCGTCGACGCGGCGATGGCGCGCCGGCCGCCGCTCGACGCAAGAGTCGCACTGGCCGCGGCGCAGCAGGTAGTCTACGCGCGGAACGACAGCAAGCGGCGCAAGCACGACCTGGCGCTCTTCCATCGAGTCTTCAAGGCGCGCCAGCACTACTTCACGGAGGCGTTCCGGCGCAAGGTGTCGGACCGATACCAGTGGCTGACGTTCCTGCGGAAGGCGGGGGGGGGCTAAATGTTGTCGATAAAATATTACGCCGCCTCGAGCCGCGCCCGCGTCGCGCGGAGCGCGTCCGTGACCTTGAACGACCGCGCGGCGAGCTTGGCCTTGTCTGCCGCCGACCGGCGGCAGAGCGACCAGTAGCACGTGACGAAGGCCACAGCGTCGACGGCCGCGTGCGCCACCGCCGCGACGAGCAGGTTCCCCGTGCACGCGTAGACGACGCCAAAGTACGCGCCCGCGAGCGCCGCCAGCAGCGCGTAGCCCCGGCAGTAGTCGTGCAGCGCGCCGAAGCCGCCCGCGACGACGCCGACGGCCACGGCCGTCGCGACGCGGTCGACGGGGCCGGCCGTTGCCGCGCGGCCAAGGCGCAGCAGCCACGCGACGGCCGCGGCGACGCCCCGCTGCGCCACTCCTCTAAAGGCGGCTTCCTCGAGCGCTCCGGCCGACGCCGAGACCAGAGCCGTCGCGCCGGCGACCTGGCCCCACCGCCGGTAGCCGCCGAACTCGACGCCCAGGGCCGTCGCCGTGAGGAGTTCGGTATGAGCAGTCACATCAGCCATGGCCGGCACCCACTTGTCCAGCGGCGCGAAGGACAGCGCGATCCACGGGAGCGCGAAGAGGACGCCCTGGCGCGCGGCCTTCGCGGACCAGGCCCAGTTCGGCCCGAGCACGTTCGCGCCCATGGCCGCGCCCGCCAAAGCTACCGGTGCTAATAACAACGTATTGGCCCAGAGGAAGGCCACGAGTTTAAAGGACGGCGTCGCGGGCAGCCCGTCGGGCACCGCGGCCTCGAGGTCCGGCGCGGGCTCCGCCTGCGGCGGCAGGGCGCGCGCGGGCGCCCGCTGCGCGTGCACATGCTTGCCCGGGGCGGCGAGCGGGCGGTTCGCCGGCGCGAGGGCGGCGCACTGCCAGGCGGCTATTAGGGAGATCAATGCGGTGCGACGCATGGTGGCCGATTTATAGCTTGCGAGCTCGACGTGCCGGTGGAATGAATGATGAGGACGTTTACGCAGCGATTGCACAGGGCGCGTATGATTTGTGCCCTGCAAAAGCTCCCTGATTGCTAGTGTCTTACACCGCTAGCTGCGGTCTATCGTAGTAGCTCTATAGAAAGACCAGAGAGAGAAAAAATCACAAAAACTACTCACGGGGACACAGGACGCCGTCGCCCGAGCCGACGGCCGAGCAGTGCGTGTCGACGACGTCGGCGCAGCGGCAGACGAAGCCCGCCGCGGCGTCGCGGCAGCGCGCGAAGGACGTGTCGTTCGCGCGCCGGCCGTGGCGGCCCCAGGAGTGGCCGCCGAGGCGCCTCCTTGTGCTACGGCCGCACTTCTTGTGGCAGAACCAGGGCCGCGCGTGGACGTGGTCCGCCTGGAGCGGCGGTAAAGCACCAATAGCAAACCGCGCCGGCAGCAGCAGCACCCGACCCACTTGCAGGGGCGCCGCGAGGCAGCCCGTCCGTTCCAAGATGTTTTGGCACGTTTCCGACGCCGCACAGGGGCCTCCCAACCGTTGCTGCAGGAGCCTTAGTAGCGCCTCGCGGTGGCCCGCGGCGTAGTTCGCGAAGGTGTACGCGTCGCCCCAGCCCTCGAAGAGCGCCTCCCAGAGCGACAGCTGGTCGGGCGTCTGCGCGCGGCGCCGCCACCAGGCCTCCAGTAGGACCGAGCGGCTCCAGGCCGTGTTCCGCACGATGAGCAAACCGGAGTTCATCAGGATCGGCATGCCCGCGGCGTTCGCGCTGCCGATCAAGTCCGCGGACGACGCCATGGCGAGGTAGTGCGCCGGTGTCACTGTGAAATCTACAGGTACGGTGTCCAGGTCGGCGTAGGTCACGCTCTCGAATTTCTGGCCCTCTGGTCCCCGTCGATCCAGCAACGCCGCGAGGCCGGCCACCCTTAACATCTGGTGGCAGAAGTTTTGGGACAACGGGCAGGTCTTCTCCTCGTTAAAGCGGCCCAGCAGCGCGAAGAGGCGCAGCTTTTTTTTTGTGCAGTAGCGGAGCTTCTTGCTGAAGGCATAGCGTAAACTAAGAGCACGGTGCGCCTTCGTCTGCACGCCGTCCAGGTACCTTTGGTCGGTCGCGTAGACGAGCAGCGCGTGGCCGCCCGGCGTCTTTTGCTGCCTTCCCCGCTTCCGCAGGACCTCGCAGAGCGTGAGCCGTTTCCAGTCGAACGGGAAGTGGCCGCTCGCGTTCGCGCGGACAGTCGTTGAGGCGATCGCCGCGGGGATGGCGTCTTTGACGGGCTCCCTGTGCCTCCGGAAGTATTGGAACAGGCTCGCGTTGGCTGCTGCTAGCAGCCCAAGCCAGCACCTCATCGGTGGGGCTGCCTCAGACTCTCAGAAGCCACACCGTCAGCACTACAGCCACCGGAACGAGCGCCAAGGCGGCAACACCGCCCACCCTTAGGGCCGTGGACATGCCGCAGCAGCAAAATTGCACATGCTCGCTGCTAGTGCCTTACGGGCCGCTAGCTTCTTGCGCAAAACCTCTACGCCATCGACGCGAGAGGAGTCCGACAAAAGCGATGCACACACACACACGCTCCTTACCGCAGCCCCGGCATGGCGTCCGCCGGATCGATATCCTTCTTCTTCTTGCGCCCCGCCGGCTTGCCGCGGTGGTCGTGGAAGTCGACGAACTCCGTCAGCCGCCGCAACAGGTCCGGGTTGTCGCGCGCCACGAGCAGCACGTCCTCGGCGCCCGCCACGGACCGCTTCCCGTGCTTCGCGAAGGCGGGAAGGTCCGTCGCGAGGCGCTTCGCGTACTTCTCGACCACATAAGCCAGCGTCGAGACGAACTCCGGGTCCGCCTCGAGGCCGTGGCGCCCCTTGCCCGCGTCGCAGATCGTCCCGACGGCGTGGCGCAGCGCGGAGCGCAGCGCGTCGTCCTGGTCGCCGTCCTCGCCGTCGAACATGGTGCTGGGCGGCCGGCCGGCGCTGCTGTCTACGGCCGGCGGCGTGCGTTTGGTTTGGCAGGTGTTAAGGAGCACACGCAAGCTGGGTGTCCTTCTCAACCAGTGGATTCTCGATTCTGCGGCCTAGCGCTCGCTTCTGCGGCCAGCGCTCGCTGTTTGCGGCACTTCTATAGACTCTCAGCCGCTGAAGAGTGATAATAGGATCAATATGCCCCGTGAAAGGTCTCGGCGCCGATCCTAGCGTATAGTGACATACTAGCTCCAACAAACCGTTCGGGCGCCGGGGCTCGAGCAACCGGCGCGCCTACAAATATTGGCGTTCGGACGACGCACGCATAAGCCAAGCGGCCACAGGGCACGCACCTCCACCGGACGCCGTCGTCGCGGCTGCCCCCTGCGGCTTCCCTGCAAAACGAAGGCAAACGATGGTCCGCCCAGATCGAGACGAGCACGCCTGGGAGCGGCTCTGCGCAAGAAAGCGAGACGAGATCGAGCGGGACACGCGGCTCCTCTCTACACAACAGCAGCAGCGCTGCGAGCGCGCCGAGCGCCTCTACGCGGAACTGGAAAGCGCGCACGCCCACACAGTAACGGAGGAAAACGACGTTTGCGAGGACGGCGTGCTCGACCTGCGGGGCAAAGAACTGAAAGTATTCACGGTACCAGCGGCCGTGGAAAGGACCCTCGCAACACGGACCATCCACACCCTTGTGCTGAGAAACAACCGCCTGCAGCACCTCGACGCGCGGACGCTCGCGCCACTCATCGCGCTGGTCAAGCTCGACGTCTCCAGAAATGAGCTCGAGCGCCTCGGCCCGACGGGCGCCGTTACCATACCAGGCGACCACGCGAAGGTGCTCGCCGCTCACCCGGGCGCGCGCGCGGCTGGTGTGAAGGGGGGCTTCCCGCCGCGCCTCGAGGTGCTGCTCGCGGCCTTCAACCGCGTGCAAAAACTCAGTCTGGGCGCGGCGGGCGCGCCGTGCCTCAAGCGGCTGGTCGTGGCGCACAACGTCGTGCGCTTCGTCGCTCCCGACATCGCCAAGGCGCCGAACCTCGAGGAGCTCGATCTGCGGGGCAACCGCCTCGCGGCGGACCAGTTTGTGTCGGTGTCGAAATCGCGCCTGCTCGACGGCGCGGAGCTTCTACGCCGTCGACGCGACGTTGTGTCCACGCAGGTTGAAGCACCTCGCGCCGCTGAAAAAGCTCGCGAAGGTCAAGGTCGGCCGCAACCCGCTCTGCGCCGACCGGCGCCACGGCCACGCCGTGCCCTCGCACGTGCGCAACGCGCTCTCGACGACGAAGGCGCCGCCCGCCGCGCCGCGGCGGGCCTGGGCGGCGCCCGCCGCCGCCGCGGCGCGCCGCCGCGGCGACGCGAGCGGCGCGCGGCCGGCGCCGGCGCCCGCGCCGCCCTCGCTGCTGCCGCGCGACGCGACGCCGGCGTCGGCCTTCGCGGCGTCGGCCTTCGGCGCGTCGGCCTTCGGCGCGCCCGCGGCCCCCGCGGCGCGCGCGCCCGCGCCCGCGCCCGCGGCGGCGGACCCGTTCTCGTCCGCGGCGTCGGCCTTCGGCGCGCCGGTGGACCCGGCCGCGTCGGCCTTCGGCGCGCCGACGCCGCCGGCCGCGTCATCCGCGTTCGGCGCGCCGACGCCGCCGGCCGCCGCGGACCCCTTCGCCGCGACCGCGTCGTCCTTCGGCGCGGCGGACCCCTTCGCCGCCGCCGCGTCGACCTTCGCGGACCCCTTCGCGGCGAGCGCCTTCGCCGCGCCCGCGCCCGCGCCGGCGGCCGCCCAGTCGCTCCGCGACCGCCTCATCGCCAAGGGCGCCGTCGACACGCTGCCCCGCAAACCGCAAACGCCCGCGTCGGAATCGAGCGAGGAGGAGTCGTCGGACGAGTCGGGCAGCGAGTACTCCGAGGACGGGCCGGACTGGATCGAGGGCTGGGATCCGAACCACAAGCACGTCTACTACTTCAACCACGTCACCGAGGTGACGACGTGGGCGCGGCCGCGCGACGCCGAGGTCCGGCCCATGTCCGCCAAGGACGCCGCGCGGCGGCGCGAGGACCTCCTTAACAAATAGAGTTTAATTATTCTCGTCGACGGCCGACCGGCGGCGGGCTCGTCGACGGCGACGGCGACGCGTCGAGGGGCCGCAGCGACGGCGGCGTCGCGGGCGTGGTCGCCGCGAACCGCGCCTGGGCGTCGAAGGCCTCGAAGGCCGCGTCGCGCGCGAAGGGCGCGCACTGACGCGCGTTCGCGGACCGCCGCGCCTGGGCGACCTGCGCCGCCTGGCGGGCGTCGTCGTCGTCGCGGCGCCGCCGCTGCCGCGGGCTCTCGGGCGGCGGCGCGCAGATGAGGCTCCAGGCGAGGCAGGGCTGCTCGCAGGCGGCCATATTCTTGAGGCGGGTGCTACCGGTTAGCTGGCTCTGCCAGAGAAAGGTGGTGTGGGTGCTGCCGGTTGTGGCTGGGGTCTGCCACAGAGAGTGTCTTCCGGTTACACGTGAAACCCTGGGCTGCTGTCTGTGGCGACTGGCGCGACGAATTATCTCGCTTTTCGGCTGCCCAGCATGCGCGCTGTCACTGCGCAGCCACGGAGAGACACGTCGAGTGCGAACTTTGAGTCTCGAACTTAGCTTCAGCCGCGAGCCGACCTAGCGCCGAAGAAGAGGGCTCCTGCTAAACAAGATGCCTGGGAGGGAATGCACACCTGCTCCAAGCAAAGGTGATTTAGCACCCGCGCCAGCTGCGGCTGAGGCAGAGAGCTGCTCTCTGTACTGAGCTAGTGGTGTGACTGTGCATCTATCTGTGCTTACGTCGTCATACTGCCATCCACAAGCGCTCGATTGATTTAGATGGCTTCGAGCAGCGATGCGGAGCTGACGCTGCCAGACGGCTTCCCCCTGGCCCCCAAGGGCTGCGAGAAGCCCTCGCAGAAGTTCTTTGACTGTTTTACGGCAGCAGGCATGCAAAAGGACGTCGCAGTGCGGTCGCAGCGTCCAAAAACATAAGGCGTGTGAACGCGTCACGCTTTTCGCGCGACGCAGGACGCCGCCGCCGGCGCGCGAGGCCTCGCGGATTGCGCGGCGCCGCTCGCCGCGTACCGCAAGTGCCTGGCGTGGCACGAGCGCGCGCGCCCGCAGCCGGCCGCGTACCGCGTGCCCGAGGCGTACCGGCCCGGCGGCGACGCGTACGGCGTGCACGAGTGACCCTCGGGGACTGGTGGCGAGTGAGTGAGAGTAAGGTGACGTGTTTGTGAAATTGCGACAGACCACTCGGGTAGCGACGCTTGGTTATTCTAGCGTAGCTTAGACACTAGCCATGTCAAGCTCTGATGCAGAGCCAAGCCACCGCACGAGCCCCTTCACGACCATCCTCCTACAGCTGAGACTGAGTGAACGTGACCAGGGTGAACGCTCTGCACATAACTTGGTTCAACCGCATCGCTCGTCGCTCCTGCCGCGAAGCCAAGCGCTTTGCAAGCACATAAAGCCAAGCACAAAAATGCGTGTCCTCCTCGCCCTGGCCCTGCCGGGTGCGCTGGCCCTCGTGCCGCCGACCGCGACCCAACCAAGGACAGCCCTACACAGCTGGCAGCCGAACACGAATTTCAACGGCGAGCAGGAGAACCGGCTCACGGACTTTGAGCGGGCCGCGCGCGACGCCGGCGCGGGCGAGCGCAAGGTCACGATCCGGAAACCGCTCGGTCTCGTCTTGGACGCGCGGCCCGGCGGCGACGTCTACGTCAAGGAGGTGACGCCCGGCGGTAATGCGGAAGCGGTGGGCAACGTTAAAGTGGGCGACACGATCCAGATGTGCTCGGCGACCTTCGGGAACCAGATGTGGTCGACGCGGGGCGCGGGTCTCGATCGGGTCATGCGCGCGATCGAGGTCCGGGCGGGCCCGACGTGCAGTCTCGTGCTCCAATCCAAAGCCGAACAAAAAAATTTCTTGGCGGACATGTTCGGCCAGCAGAAGAAGGTCCAGCAGCAGCGCATCGTCGACGCGCAGACGAAGCGCGAGGTCCTCGAGGCCGAGGTCAAGGCCGAGCGCAAGGAGGCGGCCAAGGGCTGGTTCGGGATCTTCTAGGCTCCTATGCTCCCCGTCCTAAGAGGTCCTGTCTCGTACGTCCGGACCGATCGAGTTGCCACACGACTTCCCCGCAAGCGACGCTACAGCGTGCGGTTTTTGCAAATGCTAGTGTCTTACAGCCGCTAGCTAGCGCTGCTGCCGCGGAGACTGAGTTTGCAGGCTGGGAGGCAAGGTAAGACCTCGCAGTCCCGCATTGATTCGCTTAATACGCCAGCAAATCCATCGCTGTCGCCTTCTAGCCCTAGACTCACGCCGGCCACAGCATCACCTCTGCTCGCGGTCTCCGTGTGCAGTTGTGTGCATCTGCGTGCCTCTATTAAGCAGCGGGCACGGCCATCGATTCATGCGCCGGCGCCTCGCACTGATGGCTGCTCTCTCGACGCGCAGCGCCGGCGCGCTCGCGCCGCCGCCGGAGATCACGCTGGACGCGGCGCGCAAATGCGCCGCACCCATGCCAGCGGACACGCCGCGCATAATCGTGGGCTCGAAGTCCGCGTCGCGCCGCGCGCTGCTCGAGGCCATGGGCGGCGCGGGCTTCGAGACGCGCGTCGCGGACGTCGACGAGGACGCGATCGGCGACCGCGCCGGCGACCCCGGGACCCTCGTGCGCGCGATCGCCGGAGCCAAGTGCGACGCGCTGCTCGAGCGGCACTTCGCGACCGAGGGCGACGACGACGCCGTGCTCGTCTGCGGCGACCAGGTCGTGACGTTCGAGGGGCGGGTGCGCGAGAAGCCGGCGGATTTGGATGAGGCGCGGCGCTTCGCCCGGAGCTATTCAGGTAGTAGCTGCAGCACCGTGGGGTGCGTCATCACGCACGACATCCTCCACGGCACGCGCCGCGTCGACGTGCACGAGGCGACGGTGGCCTTCGGCGAGTTCCCCCCGACGCTCGTCGACGACATCCTGGCGTCGGACGACGGTCCCGTGGTGTTGCAGTGCGCCGGCGGGCTCATGGTCGAGCACCCGCTCCTGCAGCCCCACGTGCGCGGCTGCGTGGAAACCGAACCAGTGAGTTAGGTTCAAATCTCCACACCATTGAGCAGACGCACTCACGGGGACGCGTCAATGGCGTAGAATCTCCACACCATTGAGCAGATGCAGTCACAAGGACAAAGTCGCGTCGATGGCGTGGGGCGCCCGAAATTTGATTTCCACACAGGTGCGCGGCGTGGAGGGCGGCGTCGACAGCATCATGGGGCTTTCGACGACGACGCTGGCGGCGCAGCTGCGCGACGTCGTCGAGGCGCGGCGCGCGTTTGCTGAACGCTATCCGCTGGTCTACCCCCGACTCGGGCCCGTGCTGGGGCGGCCGGCCGTGGCGCGCGGTAGGTGGGCCGTCGTCGGCGACGTCTTCAACGCCGCCAAGCCCGCGAGTCGCGTCCTCGCGAGGGTCTCGGCTGAGGCGGCGTCCTGCGCGGGCGTTTCGCCGTACGTCAAGGACGGCCTCACGACGGTCGCCGACGTGCGCGGCGCCCTCGACGCCGTCGACCTGTGCGTGTCGCCCCGCATCGGGGCGCGCGAGGTGGACGTGCTGGCCGACCGGGGCGTCCGCTTCATCTTCGCGCAGCCGGGCGCGGACGGGGAGGCCGTGCTCGCGGCGTGCCGGCGCCGCGGCGTCGTCGTCCAGCGGGGGTGCGTGCTGGTGGACGAGTGGCCGCCGAGGAGCTAATGGTGGACGATTATTATTATTTTTTTTTTTACAGTCAGGGGGGAGCGACTCGCCCGGACGCCGCGGGATGACAAAGGGATATGTAGCACCACGGCAAGCGCGGTGACGGTTCGCGCGCCCTTCCGGACGGGACCGTGGTCAGCGTCTCCCGGCGGCACCGCCGCGCCGGGCTCTTAATCCACCACGCCGGCGGCCGCGCGAAGCGACCGCCGACGGCGTGGTTGCCTCGTCGAGAACGTCGACGGGCAAGGGTCTTGGGCGTCTCCCGGCGGCACCGCCGCGCCGGGCTCTTTAATCCACCACGCCGGCGTCCTCAACGCCGACCGGGTCTTGGCGCCGCCGCCGGCCGCACGGAGCGGCCGGCGGCGGCGGTCTTGCATACTCTAATGGCATTTCTTCTGGCAGACACACTCGAAGTCCACACAATCGCCCTTGATGTCGGCCATCCCACCGTTATGCTCCCAGTCGTGGCCAGATGCGAACGACTTCCGGACGTACCCGCCCGAAGTGTTAGGCTCACCGGGCTCCCAGCGGAAGTACGGTGGGCCTTCCCCGTGGCTGTTTTCCTTAGGCACGCACTCATGCACGTGGCTTCCTTCTTTCACGCAGTACGCGTGTCCGTGCATATCTTTGCAACCTTCCCACTTCCACTTCGTTTTTGTAATCCACTTGTGCTTGTGATACGACCAGTACTTATTATAATAATATCGAGTGAAAGGGAGCCAGACGCCCTTCAACTCCCTCGACTCTGTGTGGTACATCGACTAGTGAGTGAGAATTGTGGCCTTGAAAATGATTCCGCACGGGTAGGCGCTCATCTCAGCTTCGAGCGCCAGGTCCACGTGCTCGTCGTAGAGGCACGGGAGCTGCCAGTCCCCAATTGGATGTTTATGCTCGCAATAATTCCGGCACGCATGGTAGTCCTTGTGTTCGCCAGAAAAGTGGAAGTGCGTCTCGCACTTCGTCGACGTCGTAGTCGTAATCGTGGGAGAGACCGTCGGAGAGGGCGACGGCGCCGGCGTCGGCTCCGGCGTCGGGTCGCACTCGCACTCGTACTTGAAAGAGTAGTGCAGCTCAGCCAGCGCGCGATGTTCTTGAGGGGGCGCGCCGTCGCACGCGTTCAGGTTCCGCCGCGCAACCTCGGCCATCACCTGCGCGTCGTCGAGCCCACGAAGGACGGCGAACTTGTCGTCGCTCGGAGGCGAACTCAGGGCCGACGCGTGCTTGTCGTCGTTCGGAGGCGAAGTCAGGGCCGACGCGTGCTTGTCGTCGCTCGGAGGCGAACTGAGCAGGGCCGAGGCCTGCCCGAGGGCGAGCGCCAGAAGGGCGGCGCGCATGTACATGATGCCTGCGTCGCAAAACATGAGCCCCTGGGGCGCGTCCGCGGCGCGGAAGCGTGCTTGCGGCGACTGCGTGCCGGTGGGAGGTGTGTGTTCGCGAAGGCGTCGCCGCGGGCTCGCTCGCGGCGACGGCGCGGAGCGCGCGCGGACCGCGGGGGCGCGAGGAGACCAGTGCTTTCTTCGCGGCGACGCGCTGTGGCTGGCGGGGGTCGAGCGCTTGGTCTTCTTCGTCTTCAGGTCGCGAGCACCTGCGTTCGAGCGACAACTTGGACGAGAGCGGTAATTTTCAGTTGCGACGCGAACCCTTGACGGCGATGGCGAACTCTGGGGCGGTTTCGCCGCGGCCGGATATTGAAGGCGGGCGAACCGCGAGCTCCACCGGGCGGGGGAACGAGGAGTGCGTGGCGCGGCCGACGAGGCCTTCAGAGAGCCGCGTGTGGGTAGCTTGGACCCGGCGCGTCCGCGCGGCGCGCGGCCAAGGCAAAAAATCAACTTGGCTTCATATCTCTGACCAGTGTAGCGCGCGCGCGGCCGCGCGCGCGCTCGCAATAGCAAGAAGTACTACTGAAGATATGATAACGACGCGGGGGTGGACCTGGGCTAATCTAGGGGGGTTATATAGGCTGAATTCGACGTGTTTCCACAGCCACAGCTCGGCCTTGCCCTCGGCCTCTTGCCCTCGATAGCTGGCGCGCCCAGGAACGCTACACATTGGGCCGCGACCAGGAGAAGGAGAAAGAACTACACACAAGACGACTTAGCCCCGCAGAGCGTAAGACGGCATCCCCACGGGCCGCGCCTCGCTCGGCCGCCGCCGCTCCGCGGCCGCTTGTTTGAAGTCCCGACCCTGCGCGATGCCCAGGCTAAAGTCGGCGATGGCCGGCCGCTTGTCCGCCGCCTGCTTCCAGTGGCGGTAGCGGCACTCGGGCCCGTGGTAGCAGAACCCCTGTTGATAAAACACGCACTGCGGCTTGTCGGCCTCGGCCTCGTGCTTGTAGGGGCAGTCCTTGATGCGACAGTTCTCGCCCCACCGACACACCGGCATGCGGTCCATGTCCATCTGGTGCAAAAATTCGCAATTGTCTCCTTTCATACACAAACCCCGGAGCCAGTGGCGGCAGACGACGGTGCGGTACTTTTCCGCCAGTTTCTGGTGCGACATGCCCGCCGGGGCCGAGACCGCGGCGCGCTCGATCGCTTCGCGTCGGGCTTTTTCCGACTGGTGATGCCCCGTGATCGACATCGGCGGCAGGATGTCGGCGATAAACGGCTCGAAGTCGAACACTAATTCATCAAAGTCATCAACAGAAGGTGGGCCCGCGCCCCAGCGCTTTGACGTGGCGGCCATGGGTGCGGTATGTGCAGCGAGCGCCGGCGGAGGCGGTTGGTGCACGCGAGCGCGGCAGTATGCGCACGTGCAATTGCTGGCGGCAGCGAGTGCGGCTTTTGTGCGAGCGCCTCGCGGCGGAGGTCGCTGGCGCGGTGGTCGCGCGCGGCGGCAGCAGCGAGTGCTGCTTTGGCTGGCCCGCGGCGGCGGCGCTCGCGCAGCAGTCGTGCCAGGTGGCTGAAGCGGAGCACAGAGACGATTCCTGTGCTACTACGGGCAGCGATGGGAGCTGTATGAGCTCTACAGCGCCGCGAGTCCGCAACCACTCTGAACCCGTTTTTCAACCCATTTCCGGTTTCGCCCGCGAGAGCTCCGGATCCGTCTTCGCCAGCGCGTCGGCCGGCCTGGCCGAGAGCGCTGATTTAATTTCGATTGCTTTCGAGGCAGCAAAGAGAGTTTTTGGCAGGCACCGGCAAAGCCGCAGCCGCGAGGCGTGTTGCGCTGCTCCTGCGAGCCCAAAAATGGATTCATAATTTAGCGCTCGGAAAAAGAAGCCAGGCTTGGTTCGCTGCCTAGGTCCGCGGCCCTTGGAGAGGTCAATTGTCTTCGCCTCTGGCGTGAGGACGAGGCGATGGCGAGGGCGCGCCAGCTGGCGCTGGTCGCCCTGGTCGGCCTAGCCGTCGCCCAAGATCCGACGCCGCGGCCCACGCCGGCGCCGACGACCGCGCGGCCGACGACGGCCGCGCCGTCGACGGCGCGGCCCACGACTCCACAACCCACGACGGCGGCGCCTTCGACGGCGCGGCCCACGACGGCCGCGCCGACTACAGCAAAGCCGACGACGGCCAGGCCCACGACCGCGGAACCCACCGCAGCGCCGAGCGAGGTGCCCACGAACGTACCGACAGGCATGCCCACACCAAAGCCGACGACGGCCGTGCCGACGACGGCCGCGCCTACATTATATTGTAGAGTCGCCGATCTAGAAGCGCAGTGGCCCCTCGCCGTGAGCTTCGAGGTGAGCGACGGCGGTGAAGGGTGGGGAGATTGGAAGGGCGGCGAGTTCTACGATATTGTGGAGGACGACTTCGTGTGCCTCGGCGGCTTTGAGCGGTGCTGGTCGCGGTCGGACACGTCGAAGGCCGATGGTCTTGAAACGGGCGCGCTCGAGAGTTCAGAGGGCCCCGACCAGCCGTGGGCGTTCGTGCGGTGCGACAATTCGGGGACGTTCCGCTCGAATCAGATGGCGGACAACGCCTATCCCTCGAAAGTGTTCCGGCTGGACTCGCCGACGTACCCTTCTAGTCTGGGTGATTGGCTCTGGCCGCCGTCGTGCGAAGTGGCCCTGGGCTTCGCCTACATGATGTACGGCGCCGACCTAGGTACCTTACAGGTCACGGTCACGGGGTGCTGGACCTACGACTGCGTCGATGAGAACGACTACACTGAAGTTGAATTATGGTCCGTCTCCGGAGATAATCCTGCCAGAGTCTGGGAGGAGGCCGTCGTCCACCTGCCTCCCGGTACGTCATACGTCTCCTTCGTCGCGACGACCGGCTCCGGCGCCCTCTCGGACTTCGCGCTCGACTCCATACGGATGTTCGACTTCCACCCGACGGCCGCGCCGACGGTGACACCAAAACCCTCGTCAAACCCGACGGAGTTCCCGTCCGTGCCGCCCACGTTCGCGCCGACGACCTTCATCCCGCCGTCGCCGGCGCCGTCCATAAGCCCCGAGCCGACGACGCCGATGCCGTCGACGGCCTCGCCGACGACGTCGCCAGCGCCTTCACCAAAACCTTCGCCAGCGCCGACGGCGGCGCCGACGTCGCTGAAGAGCAGCAAGAAGTCCTCCTCGAACAACAGCTTGCTGTACATCATCATCATCGTGTGCGTCGCCGCCGCGGCGCTGATCTGCTGCTGCGTCGCATTTATGTGGAGACGGCCACGGACACAAGTGAAGCGCGCCAATTTAGATTCAGAGGACACGAAGGAGGCCGACGTCGAGTTAGGCAGGTTAGATACGGCCTGGGGCGTCGACGGCGACGCTGAATTACTACTGGACGACCCCCAGGATTCGTTGGGCGGCGTCTTGGACGACGCGAGCGGCTGGCCGGCCGATGTTTTAGCATTTGCGCGGCGCGGGTCCGAGATTGATCAGATCCGGAAGGACGCGCAGTCGCAGAGCGATAGGGGACGACTGCGGACCCCGCCGAAGTCTCCCGACGACTGGGAGGTGTATGATAATCAACTACGGGGCGCGCGGGCGACGCCGCGCGGCCCGCCGCCGCCGCCGCCGCCGCCGCCGCCCGGCCCGCCGCCGGACACGCCCTCCTCGACCAATAGTCGGCCGCCCTCGACGGCTAAAAGGCGAGCTTCTACCAAAGTCGGGGACTTCGAAGTCACTCACGTCATCGGCAAGGGGGCTTTCGGTCGAGTTTTACTGGCGACGAAGACCGCGGGAACGGAGCACGGGCGGGCCTTCGCCGTGAAAGTGTTGGATAAGGAGGTCGTGCGGAACACGGGACAGGCGGCCCATACCAGAGCCGAGCGACAAACTCTCGCCTCACTAAGGCATCCATTTGTCGTGCGACTGCGCTACGCGTTCCAGTCTCGAGCTCGATTGTACTTGGTTACTGATTTCTACGCCGGTGGCTCCCTAGAGCGGCACCTGGACGACGCCCATCCTACCGGATTAGGAGATCCAAGAACGCTATACTACGGCGCAGAATTAGTGTGCGCTCTACGCCACTGCCACGCCGCCGGTGTCGTCCACCGCGACTTAAAACCGGGCAACGTCTTGCTCGACTCCAGAGGCGACGTCGCCCTGACGGATTTTGGTTTGTGCGCCTTGGGTGTCCACGAGGACGGCGCGCCCCTCCGATCGTTTTGTGGCACGGTGACGTACATGGCTCCCGAATTACTCGTAGGCCACGCCTACGGCACGTCGGTGGACTGGTGGGCGCTCGGCGCACTCATCTTCGAGATGGCTTCCGGCCGACCTCCGTTCGAGGACCAGAATCGACGGCGCATGTTCTACGCGATATTACATCTGCCGCCGCCGTTTCCGTTGGACTTTTCGAACGAGTTGATTGAGTTGCTGACGAACCTGCTGGAGAAGCGGCCGGAGCGAAGGTTCGGCGTCAAACGACTGACGACGGTCGAAGAGCCGCCTTCCGACGAAACACCTCCACAGCGAACTGGACTACTAGGCAGGATGATGGGCAAGACTAATTCCGATACGACGACCGTCGGCGTGGACCGCGATTCTTCAGATATGCATCGGGGCGAAGATGAGATCAAGCACCAAAAGTACTTCGAAGCTATCGATTGGGAAGCTCTGGAGCAGCGGCGCCTGCCGCCGCCCTGGGTGCCCGCGCTCGAGCATGCGGCGGATATCGCTTATGTACCTCGGCGGGTCACGGATCGCCGGGCCGCGTCCATCGCCGACGAGTTCCACGATTCGGACGCGGCCGCGCAGCCGCAGACCTCTCGTGAGGCTCGGATATCAAGGCAAACGGCGTCCTTGGCGGGCGACGACGAGGAAATCAGGAGACTGCGGTCGAACAACGCGTGGAAGGACTTCTCGTTTTCAGCGCCGCCTAGGGGAGAAACAGTGGCCGAGACGAAGCGGCCGGACCCCGTGCCGACGCCGCGCGCGCCGTCCGGCGACGTCGTTAAAAAAAGTGAAGCGCCGCTTGTGCCGCGGCCGCCGTCGCCGCCGCCGCCCGACCTCGTGTCGGAGGAGCTCTGATTGTCGGGGCTCGCAATTATTAGTATCATCGTGTAAATGACTTTTTCAGTATTTTTTTCGACGCGATCCTGCGTACGGGTTTCCCCGTCCATCCAAGCGCCGAGATACCGTCCCCGGGGCGCGGTTTCTAGGGCTCCCACGCGTGGATCTTCGCTAGCGCATGTAAGACACTAGCAAGCAGGCAAGTACCAAGCCAGCTTATTGCCTGCAACCGGGCTAGTTGACGGTTGATCGCCAGCAGAAGCGTCCACAGGCACCGTCTAGTATCATTATTCATTCCTGCGGCACAGCTGGTGCCAAAAAAAGCGCTCCAAGCACAGCACTTGCGCACCTGGGCTGCTCTCAACCAACACAGCACGACGATGAGCCTCGACGACGACTTCTGCGTCGCCATCGCGCACAACGGCACGATCGAAGGGACGACAGAACACCTCGACTTAAAAACGCGGTGCTACGACGAAGCGCTGCAGTGCGAGCGCCTGGAGGAGCTGAAACGTGATCTAGAGTTCGTCGCGAGCCCGCTTGTCCCGCAGGACACCTTCTGGCTCGGCGCGGGCGAGAGCCCGCGCTGCGCGCTCGAAGCCGTGGCCCTGGAGATTTTTAGAAAGCACGCCGCAGCGTCGCCGCATGCCGCGGACCCCAAGTCCGGCGTCGAGTGGTGGGCCCAGGTCAAGGACCCGACGGCAAACCAAGAAGCGGCACGGGAGGTTTGCTTCCACTGGGACAAGGACGAGCAGGCGCACACGCTGCACGGCATGTACGTCTTCCCGCAGCTCGCGACGGTGACGTACCTTTCTGAGGGGGGCGCGCCGACGGTGGTCCTCGACAAGCGACCGGACTCGTTCACGGGCGCCATCGCCGACGGCCCCGTCGACGCCGCGGCGGCGTGCGCGCCGCGCGTCGGCCGCCACCTCGTCTTCGACGGGCGTTGTTTGCACGCGGCGCCGCGGGCTCTCACTACGAGCGGAGGAGGCAAGCGCTACACGTTCCTCGTCAACGTGTGGCTGGGCCACCGGCCGAGCGGCATCCGGCCCTTCCCGGCGGCGGCGCTCGACAAGCTCACGCGCGACGGCGCCTCGATGCGCTTCGGCGCCGCGACGACGCCGACGCCGGACGAATGTTCGCGGGTAGCTACCTTGTCGTTCCCGCTGGCGCGCTCCGGCACGCGACACGTCGTGCGGATGCGAAGCCCTATGAGCGGTCACGACTTCGTGGACCTTGGCTCGTCGGCCGTGGCATACGTGGAGGTCCGCGTCGACGAAACACCCGCCGTCGACGGCGCTCGTAGTACTAGAGCCGCCGCCGACGCCCTCGACGCGTGGCACGCGGCCTGCGCGCGCGGCGACGGCGACGCGCTCGAGGCCCTCGCGGCGGACGCGTTCGTCTTCTTCGGCACGGCGGCCGAGGAGCGGTGGGCGCGCGACGCCTTCCTCCAGTACGCGCGTCAGAGATTCGCCACGGGGAACACGTGGGCCTACACCGTCGTCGCGCGGCGCTGCGACGAAGTGAGCGACGGCGTGGTCGCGTTCGACGAGGTGCTGAACAACGCGAATCTCGGCCGGTGCCGGAGCACGGGCGTCATAATTGGCGGGAAGCTGGCTCAATACAATCTGTCGCTGCCGGTGCCGAACGAGCTGATTCTCGGCGTGGTGGAGAAGATAAGGCACACGATCGAGCTGCTCCACGTCGACGCGTCGCTCGTCGTCGTGAATAAGCCGCGGGACCTCTTGTCCGTGCCGGGCCGCCACCCCGACGCGCCGGCGCCGACGAAAAAGCGGAAGCGCGCCGGCGAGTACTGGGAGGAGGCGCTGGCGCGGGCGCGCGACGAAGCTTCTGCCGAGTCGCTCGCGGGCCGCCTCTTGAACGGCGTGGGCTCGCTGGCGTCGATCCCGCGGCGCGAGGACAAGTTCCGGGCCCACGTGCAGCGGGCGCGGGGCCGCGTCGGCGCCGTCGACGACGCGGCCGTCGGGACGCTGTGGCGCGAGCTCGACGACGCGGCCAAGGCGCTGGCGGCGCCCGACAACGATGAAGAGGCGCCGAACGCGCTGGCCCTCGCGCGCGCCGCGGCGGGCGACCGCGACCTGCGGCCCGTTCATCGTCTTGATTATGAGACTAGCGGCGTCCTGGTCTTCGCGCGCACCACCGCCGCCGCATCAGCGCTGTGCGCCGCCTTCCGCAAGTCGACGGACGGCGACGCCGGCGACACGCGGAAGACGTACGTCGCGCGCGTGGCCGGGCGGCTAAGTGGCAGCGGCGAGTGGACGGCCGCCATCACGGCGGACGCTGTAGCACGGCAAAAGGACGGCAAGCCGCGGTACCGCGCGGCGGAAGAAAGTGAAGAGGGCGCGAAGGGCGCCCGCACGCGCTGGGAGGCCCTGGAGAGCGGCGACGAGACGTCGCTGCTCCGGCTCGAGCCGCTCACGGGCCGGTCACACCAGCTCCGCGTCCACTGCCTCGCGGCGGGGCACGCCATCGTCGGCGACCCGCTCTACGCGACACCGGGCGGCGGTTTATGTCTGCACGCGGCGTCGCTCGCGCTGCCGCATCCGGAGACTAGCGAGCGCGTGACGTTCGAGGCGGGGCGGCCGTTTGTTTAACTTGTCATACTTATAAACCAAACCGCAGCTTCGCCACCACCCCAAGCGCCCCCACTAATAAAGGAGACACGCCGAAGCGCCGGCGCGGCGGTTTCGATGGATCATAATACGGCGCCCAGGTAACGTCTCTATCCGCCGTCACGGCCTTGGCCTTCTGCACTCGCCGCCTCGCGCATTCGGCGAACACGAGATCGGCGGCCCTGTCGTCGGCCCCGGCCTCGAGCGCGGCCTCGCGCGCCTCCTGCGGGTCGCATTCAAACAAGAGCAGGAAGTGGTTGCCCTGCTCGAGCTGCTGCTCCGGCTGGAGGTGGGGAAAGCGGGAATCACAAGAAAGCACGTGGATGGGCGGGTAGCGCCGGCTCCATTTTGGGGTTCCAAACTCCGCAATGCACTGGACGCACCACCGCGGCGCGTTCGGCGCGCTGTCTGCGGCGCCTCCTCTAAGGTTCTTGCGCGCGCAGGGCGCGTCGGCCGAGGCCCAGACGAGCTCGTAGATGTGGATCGGCCGGGACAACGCGTTCGACAAGGCCACAATCTCGGGCCCGCCGCCCCAGGCGCGCGGGTCGCGCAGCTTGGCGCAGTACTCGTCCTTGGCGCAGGCGGCCTGCTCCGCCGCCATCTCGAGTAATTGCGAGGCCTTCATGTACTCGTTGTCGCCCATGTAGAGCTTCGGGTCTCTCCTATCTTCGAGCACGTCGATGGCCCGCGCGCGCAGGCGCAGGGACTGGCTCCTCAGGACCTTGCGGTCCATCGGGTGGTGCGTGCCGTTCACCGACTCCCACAAGCCCGCGCTTAGCGTGTGGAAGAGGCACGCGCCGTCGCCGGGCACCTGGCGCGCGCGCAGGTAGCCCCGCGCGCGGCCGCGCGTCGGCGTCTTCGTCGTCACGTTCTCCTGCGACTCGTCGTAGTCCAGCACTGGGAGCAGATCTCTAAGGAAGCCGTCGCCATCGATGAGCGGCCCGCCGCCGGTGAGGTCGATTCCGCCCCGGCTTTGGTGGCGCAGCGGTCGCGCGCGCCCGTTGCTTTTGTGGCGCAGCGGATGCGCTCCGCCGCGGCGCCGCGCGGGCCCGCCGCCTGTGAGGCCGGTACCCTTGTTTTTGTGGCGCAGCGGTGGCGGGCCGCCGCGGCGGCGCGCAGCGGTGCCCGCGAGCAGTAGGAGGACTGCGCGCATTGCTCCTTACTGCAATCAAGCGCGCAGCACGGCCAAAATCAGCAAAAACCGCGGCAAGGACGAGATGCTAGTGGCCTTGTACGCTAGCTCGCTCCGCAGCGCTTCGCTTGCACTTCAGAGTGTCCCGGCGAACCACTGTCCCAAAAGACCACAGTGACACACGCAGCAGAGCGTGCGTTTGTGGCATCAGCGACACGCAGCACAGCCCCGGCGAATTGGGAAGGGAGCGATGGCGCGCCCCCTGACGGCGATGCTGGCCCTCACCCGCGCGGCGGCCTTCTTAGGGCCCTCGCCCCACAAAAAGCCCACCGTGGCAACCCCCATGCTAGCAGAAAGGGAAGAAAAGTGGGAGCCGCCCGAGTTCGAGGAGAACCGGATTAAGGCGAGGAAGCGCCAGGAGCGCTTCAGCCCGCTCGACAAGGCCGGCGCGGCGCGGCGCTTGATGCTGGACGCGCAGCGGCAGATGAAGGAGCGCCAGCGCCAGCGGCCGGCCTACCTCCCGCTCAAGCCCGAGGCGTCTCTGGAAAACGCGACGGCGGGCCAGTGGTTCAGCGGCGTCGTGCGCAACCTCAAGCCCCACGGCGCCTGGGTGTCGATCGGCGCCGAGGTCGACGGGTTCGTGCACTGCCGGGACATGTCCGACACGGACTTTGTATCTGATTCGCGCGAGGTTTTGCGATTGGGCGACGAGATTGATGTGTGCGTCAAGGGCGCCGACGCGGCGAAGCGCGTGCTGTCTCTATCAATGTTGCAGGTCGAGCCCGTCGACGAAAGTAGGAGAGCCGTATCAACTTACAGCGTCGACGAGCGTTTAGAAGATGTGGCCGTGACGCGCGTGACGCCGCACGCGGCCTTCGTGGACGTCGGCGCCCGCGTGCCCGCCTATTTGCACGTCGCGGACATCGGGCTCCTGCCGCGGCGCAAGGTCGGCGCCGCGCGCGTGCCGCGGCTCAAGCTCGAGGCGCCGGGGCAGAGTATTCAGGAGTGCTGGGTCAAGGCCGTCGACGTGGGACGCGACCGGCTGCGGCTGACGCTCGTGCCGCCGGGGCCCGAACGCGACGATCCTACACTATACGGGCGGAGAACCTCTCCGCTGGACGACGCCGAGGACGACGGGGCGGCGCCGGCGCGGTGGACGGACTGATCATGAGGAGGGGTGTTCATAAGTTTCGAGCTGTAACAAAATACATTCTCACAACATCCCCATGCTAGACGCGGGCCTCGCACGCTCTGCGCGCCGCGTCGGCGAGGTCCGCTGGACCGTCGTCCTCATGCCACGCGATCTCGGCACCGCCTTTGTCGCGAAGCGCGGTCGATATAGTAAGGTGGATGACGCGGGCCGCGAGGTACGTCCCCGCGGGCGACGGGTGGTACCCGTCACGGGCGAACAAGGACCGCCATCGCGCCTCGTCTGCCTCGCGCACGAGCTCGAAAGCGGCGCCCACGGGCGCGATCGCTATAGTTTCAACCCCGGCGGCTTGCAACGCCCTCGCGTACTCCTCGTAGCCCTCTTGTAACCCCCGCGCCATCGCCGTCGTGTCGCGTAGGTCGTCGTCGGCGCGCGTCAAGGCGTTGTCGTACGCCCACGTCGAATACAATACCACGACGCGCGCCTCGCGCAGCAGCGGCGCCAGCGTTCGGAGCGCTGAGACGCCCTCGTCGCGATTCTTGATCGGTCCGCGCGAAAAGTCCTGGACCACGACCACGTCTCGCTGGACGTCTCCCAGGAACGCCCTGAGATCCCGCGCGGCGGCCGGCACGTCCACTTTGTTGGTGGCGTCCGCGATGCGCTGTGCCTCGGTGGCCTCCGCCTCCGCCGCTCGCTTCTTCGAGGCGTCCGCGCCACGGGCCCGCGCGAGGGCGGCCTTGGCGAAGCGCACGGCCGCGAGACCGGTGCCGTCGCCGCCATCGCGAAGCAGGGATGCGAGACTTGCCCCGCCGCGCGTGCAGGCGTCGACGGCGACGCCGGTCGCGCGCGAGAGTACGCCCGGCAGGTCGTTGTAGTAGGTGAAGGAATTCCCGACGAAGCCGACGCGTATCGGTGGCGCGCGGCGCGGCGGCCCCGCGCTGAGCCGACGCTGGCGGAGAGCGCTGACAATCAACGAGACGGCGAGGAGCGAGGCCAAAAGTGCTAGCGCGTTATGCGTGGAGTGCTTCATTTTGCGTGCACAGTGAGAGTCGTCCTTAGATGCTTCTCTACCAGCAATTTGGGAATCCGTTCGCGGTCGCGCGCCGATTTAGGGCCTCGCGCAGAGCAGCAGCTTTTGGGCACTCGCAGACCGCCGAGCCGGCTAGCTTTCGACGCTAGCTCTTTACGCCAGGCGCGGACGATGTCCCAGGACCTCCAAACGCGCTGGCGGCACAGATGCTCCCCGCAGGCCGTAGCTAGGGCTAGACGACGGGAATGCCTAGTGTCTTACAGCCGCTAGCCCGATTTTTGGCCTTGGTCTGTCGCTGGTCGTGAAGCGCCTTAAGCTGAGCAACGGATCCCATACTGCAAGCGCATAGCTCGACACAGTCGCTGTGGCACGCATTTACGCAAGGCAGAAAGCCGCACGACAAGCAAGGAGAGCCATCGCTACCCAGTAGCCGACGCCATCGCTTGCGGCGCGCACCCAACAAAGAGCTGCGAACAGGCCACAGAGAGCCATCGCTGTCGCTGCGACACGCCACATAGCTGCAGAGAGCATAAACCATGCCCACGACCGAGGACAAGATCAAGGAGCTCGAGGCGGAGTACGCGCGCACGCAAAAAAACAAGCAGACGGAAGGCCATCTCGGTTTGATCAAGGCCAAGCTCGCGAAGTTGAGGAGAGAACTCGAGGACCAAGGTTCGAAATCGGGCGGCGGCGGCGGCGAGCGCGGTTTTGATGTGAAGAAGGTCGGCGACACGCGCGTCGGGTTGGTGGGCTTCCCCTCGGTCGGCAAGTCTACTTTATTAACAACGCTGACGGGGACCAAGAGTGAAGCGGCGGCCTACGAGTTCACGACGTTGACCGCCATACCCGGTACGATGAAGTACCGCGGCGCGCGAATTCAAATTTTGGACCTACCAGGGATCATCGAAGGGGCGGCCACGGGCAAGGGGCGCGGAAGGCAAGTAATATCGGCGGCTCGCACCTGCGACATGATCATGATCGTGCTGGATGCCGGGAAGCCCGTTACTCATAAATTCTTGATTGAAAGGGAGCTGGACAATTTCGGGATCCGGTTGAACCAGAAGCCGCCGGACGTGAAGATCAAGAAGAAGGAGCGGGGCGGCATTGATTTTCAGTGGCTGTGTCCCCAGACTAAAGGTATGAATCAAGACATCGCGACTCGTATTCTCAAGGAGTATCGCATCAACTGCGCGACCGTCACGTTTCGAGAAGATGTGACACATGACCAGTTCATCGACGTGTGTGATGGGAAACGGACTTATATTCCAGGCTTATATGTGATGAACAAAATTGATCAGTTAACAATAGAAGAATTAGATATTATCGACGAGATTCCAAATTATGTCCCTATCAGTTCGAGGGACGAGTGGAACATCGACGAGCTCATGGAGACGATCTGGCAGAAGTGCAACATGTTACGGGTCTACACGAAACCGAAGGGCCAGGTCCCCGACTACGACGAGCCCGTCGTGCTCCATGCGGATGGCCCCACAGTCGAGCAGTTCTGCAACCGCATCCACAAGAGCATCATGGAGCAGTTCAAGTACGCCTGGGTCTGGGGGTCGTCGTGTCGCCACCAGCCGCAGAAGGTCGGCAAGGACCACGTCCTCGCGGACGAGGACGTGATCCAGGTCGTTAAGAAGGTTTAGTGTGAACTCCTTATCTCCCTGGTCGCCTCGACGGCGTCGGGCTTGCCCAGCCTCCACGCGACGAGCGCCGTCCCGGGGCAATCGTCGCCGGCCATCGCCCCGGGCACGTGCCGCTCGGCGCCCTCACAGACGCGCGTCTCGACGGCCTCGAAGCCCTCCGGCTTCAATAATTCCGTCACGAGCGGCACCGAGAGCGCGTAGGGCGGCCCGCCGACCTTCTCGCAAATGGGGAAAATACAGGAAAGCAGCGTGCCGTTCTCGTCGAGGAGCGCCTTCTGCTTCGTTGCCCACTTCTCCCGTAGCGACGGGTCGAGCGCGCAGAGGAACGTGCAGTCCCAGATGAAGTCGAACTTATCTGGAACGTCGAAGAAGTCGACCTCGTACACCTCGATCTTCGTGAAGCGCGTCCCCTTGATCTGTATGTAATAAATGCCCAGGTCCTCGTCGTAGCCGTCGGCCTCGTCCTCGAGGAAGCTCATGGCCGCCCGCACGGCCGTCGGCGCGATGTCCACGGCCACTACGCGGTCGAAGCCGTGCCGCGCCAGGGCCAGCGCGTCGTAGGCGCGGCCGCAGCCCGGCACGAGGGCCGCGCTGCCCTCCGGCGGCCGCGGGGCGCGCTTGAGGTAGGACGCGAGCGCGCCGGACACGCCGCCAACATCAAACGCGTCGCCCGGCTCCAGGCCGCGCTTCCACATGGCCTCCCAGCGGCACGCGGGCTCGGGCTCGGGCGGCGGCGGCGTCGGCGGGCGCGGCTCCACGGTCATCGTGATCTCGGCGCCGGCCCTCAGAGCGTCGCCGAGGCTGATCGTTGCCATCGTCGCGAGGAGGCGTAGCGGTGCAATGGTTGTCAGTTTCGATACCCTCCACGCAGTACGAGCTATGGCCGACTTGCGTCAGTGCTTAGTTGTCAGTCTCGATGCCCTCCGCAGAGTTGTCGAGGTATGCGAGGATAAGGCCGATTGAGTCAGTAGCGAAGCCTGACTTCGAACGCGCAAGAAATGCTGCCAAGACTCGGCGCACTATGCGTGGTGTTCCTTGGCGCGGTTTTACGATCACCGAAGGATCGATGCCAGCGTCTACGGGCGGCTGGGCAAAACACCGAGATTGCTAGTGTCTTACAAGACGCTAGCTCGGTCCAATCGGCCAAAACCGGCCAGCAGCGCTTCGCAAGCGTCGAGAGGCCATTACTACGGCCTGCGTATAGAACGCAGTCGTCAGACCCAGCCGAAGCGCTCACGACCTTCACGACAGAGCCCTAAGACACATTGCAGCTGCAGCGCTTCATTCGCACGACGCTGCAACGCGACGCAAGAGCTAAAAGAAATGGCCGACTTCACCACCCCCCAGCCCCTGCAAGCGCTGCTCATCGACGCCACCCAACCACCCTGGCTTAAGGAAAAGGATGAAGCCGCGGCGTCGTGGGACGACGCAAGTTTACCGGACCGGCAAAGTGTAGCGGCCTGGGTGCGGACGTGGTCCGAGGGCGACGAGATCGCGAGGGTCAAGGAGGTCATGGTCGGCGTCGATGCCCGCATCGAGGCGGCCTTTTCCGTGGAAGCGGCCGCGAAGTTCCGAAGGTGGGCCGCCGGCGTGCTGCTCGACGTCTTCGGGTCGAGCGACGACCTCGCGGACACAATTGCACTGGCACAGCGGCCCAAGTTCCGGGACGCGTCGCCGTCACTGACCCAGTTCGAGCGCTTCGAGCACTACGACGATTTATGGGAGGGCGAGGATTCAAGAGCTGACGAGTTAAGTGAGTGGATCGAGAAGGCGGCGACGCTCGGCGACGTTGCAATCGACGACGCGCCCGCGGTATTAACGAGGTGGGTCGTCTCCATATCTATCGCCGAGCTCGTTCATATGAGAACGAGCGCGAAGCGGGAGAAGCGCGCCGAAGCCCAAAAGGCGCGGCGCACGCTGCTCGACAAGGCGGCGGAGCTGCGCACGGCCGTCGGCCGGCCGCCCGACGATGATGAGGATGACGAGGAGGAGGATGGAGAATGGGACGACGACGACGCGGCGACGACGCCGCCGGTCGCCGCGCCCGCGGTCGCCGCGGCGCCGTCCCCGGAGCCACCAAAGCCGGAGGAGACGAAGGAGCCGCCCGCCAAGGCCAATCCCGTAGGAAGGAAGCCCCTGCCCAAGGCCGACGCCGCGCGCCACGCGACGCACGTCGGCGAGTTCTACGAGAACGACGAAAACGACGCGCGGACGCGGCACGCGCGCGGCTACGATCCATTGGATAAGCACGCGCAGCGCGTCGAGGCCGAGGTCGACGACGCGAAGGAGCGGCGCGACGCGCTGTATTTTTTGCTGCGTCTTTGTTTTTTTTTCCCCTGTGTCGACACTTGTCCGCCGTCGTCGCGTCGACTGCGTGGTGACTGTGCGTGTCCGCCGTCGTCGCTTCGACGGCGTGCTGACTGTACATGTCTGCCTCGACAGCGTGCCGATGGGACGCGTCCGCCTCGACGCCGTCGTCGCGTCGACGGCGTACCAACGCAGGCGGGCCGCGGTCCAGGACCACGTCGCGGCGATGCGGAGCCGGGGTCTGGTGTTTGACGTCGAGTTTCCGGAGCGGAGCCTCGGGTTGAGGGTGGCGCTCGCGAAATATGGCGAGAGCGGGCGGCGCTTCGTGGTGGTAGACTCGACGGAGCGGGGCTCGGCGTGCTTCGAGAGCGTCAAGCCCGGCGACGAGTTGTGTGCTGTGAACGGCGCCGCCGTCGTGGACCCCGACGAGGAGAGCATCGAGACGCTCAAGTCGGCGATCGCGAACGCGCCGCGGCCGCTCGTCATCACGTTTATTGAAGGCGAGGACCGCGACACGTTGTTCGCGGCGCAGGAGGCGCAGCGCAGTGGTTCAGCACGACCACGGAAAGCGCCGCCCGCCACGAAGAAGCGCGCCGACATCTACTCGGCTCCGAAAGATGCACAGTTAGTGATAGTGGATCGGGACGCGCAGTACCGCGGCCACATCTGCGAGGACGGGGCGACGCTCAAGGATGCCAAGGGCGCGCGGCTGCTCGTCGTCGACGCGGCGTTGGGCGTGGCGACGGACGACGGCGGCGTGCTCGTCGGGAAGGTTTCTGTGAATGAAACGGACGCGGCGCTCGTCGGCATCGAAGACTCAAAAGGCCGTCTACTGGGCTACGCGGACCAGGGGCGGTCGTCTGTGTTGGACGCTCAGAAATCAACCATCCTAGAAATCGACTCGGCGGGCGAGTGCCGGGGCCACGACGGCCTGCACGTCGGCAGCCTGGTGGGCTTCACGTACCACCACACGAAGCTCGTCGCCTTCGTGTTTTTACTGAGGCCGCACCTCTTCCGGGACAAGCCGAAGTCGTTCTTGAGGGCCATGCGGAAGAGCGCGTCGCGGGCGTCGGGGGCGCACGGGTTCTTCGCGAAGGCGGCGTAAATCAGTTTTCTTGTCTCTTGGACTCGTCGACGACCTCGGGGAGTCCTCTTCGTTCCGCCTTTTGCGTTAGGGAAAATTCTGCTAGCGTCCTTTAAAGACACTAGGAAGTCGTAGGCGGCTTTGCAGTCGCGCACCGTCCTAGCCCACCGCGCGGCTGCGCGAGACCCAGCCGAGGCCTCCTCGCTCTACAAAGGCCCAGCGCCGCCCAGTCCCGCCCGCGCCGCCCCCCACGGCCGCGCGGCGAGGAGAAACTGAGGAGAGGTCAAGGACGCGAATATTCGCAGCGCGCGGCCCCGCGCGGCCCCGCCCGCCTCTTGCGAGGCCTAAATAGCACCGCGGTACACGAGCCGGTTCGCGGACGGCGCGGGACGTAGATGGCGTCCCTGGTCGCCCCGAGCCCACAGTCCACCGTCTCACGAAAACGCGGTTTTTGTGCCGACATCTCGCCGATCGCGGCGCCGACGACGAAACGAACTCGATTCGACGGCTACGCCCGACTCCGCGGCCTATTTCCCATGGTAGACGATCAAACTATCCGTACGGTCTTCGACGCCTGCAAGGGCGACATTGACAGCGCGGTCGCCAGACTAAGCGCGCTCGCGCTCGCCTCCACGGCGGCGCGCACGGCCCCGCCCTCACCGCCCAAAGCTCCCGAGCCGGAGCCCGCGGCCACGATCGAGACCGCGCGATCACCCGACGACTGGGTCGGCGCCTTCGTGGCGGAGATGGCTCGGTCGAGCGACATTCCCGACGCGCGCCAGCGGGCCGCGCGAGCCCTGCGCGCCTTCGAGTCCTTTGTGAGCGCGCGCTCCGCACGCCAAGCCGACCAGCGGGCGGACCGCCTCGAACGCGAGAATCAAGTTCTGAAGCGGGCCGTGGCCGTACAGGCTAGGCGACTCGAGGCGACGGACTGCGAGAAGGCAGCGCTGGAGCGCACGGTGTCCGCCCAGGCCGAGCGCCTGCGCCGCGCCGAGCGGACGAATTACGCGCTCTCCGTGCACCTCCACCGTGCGTCGCCGGGTGGCATCCCGGACAACCGTCCGCCCGACGTGTACTGACCGAATTCGCCCCCACAAATCCCCAATGTTATTTAACGCTGCACTTATAGTATCTAGAGCCCCTTTGGCCGTCGTCAAGCGCGGTCGCGCGTCGCGTCCAATTCGGCTCCCAGTACCTTTATCCGACCAAATCTTGACCGGACGGGTCCGTGTGGCGAATGTATTCATGATGCGCGCGCGGCGGTTTCATACGAGCCCGAATTGCAAAAGAGGAATGAGTGGCTGTGAAAAGGCTCTGGCTCCCCTACAGATGGACGGCCTCTACAGTGCCATAGCGAGCGCTGCAGCGGGAGCCAGTGACCTCGCGAGCAGCGCTGCGACAGCTGCGTCGCAGACAGCAGCGCAAGCAACCGCTAGCACTCCTACAGCCATGGAGAGCATCATTCAGACTGGAGCAGCTTCCGCAGCCGCAACGTTATTTGGCAGCACGGATGCGGTTACGCCTCCCAAAACCCTCGCGCTCGGCTCAGCATGGCGCGACGCGTTGTGCCCGGCGCACAGAGAACGCACAGATCTACCCGGCGGCGCGCGGTCCGAAGGGCTCGCGATGGTCGTCGCGGCGTGCGCTCGAATTGAGTCCACGTCTGCGCCAAGGCGCGCCGCGCTGCAGCGACTCGTCCGTTTGGCAGCGTCTGAATAAAAACAGCTCGCACGCGCTCTCAATCAATAATTCACAGGTCGCACCTCTGGCCGGTTGGCGCCGCCCGAGCGGCGCGCTGGGCGCCTCGCTGGCCTCCAAGGCGAGAGACCTCAAGCCTGGCGACGGCTTCGTCGCGCCGGTCGCGGCGGGCTACTGCGCAGCCCGCCGCAAGTCGGACGGCTCCTACGACGTCGCAGTGAGTGGCGTCGGCGCCGAAGCGCTCGCGTGGCACGAATACCGCGTGGGCCAAGACGGGGCGGTCGAGCGGGCCGCGCTGGCCGTAGTCGAGAACTGCGACGCCGAGCGGATCGTTTCTCCGGCGGCCTGGGCCAACCTCGCGGCCGCACCTGCCGGCGCGAAACGCGGCCAGAGCGATAACGTCGCTGCGGCGAGGGCGTGCTACGCCGCGGCTTTACCGTTCTTCGCATCAAGCCGGCGGCCTACCCACGGCGGCGGCTTCGCGCCGGTGCTGGCTCCGGCGCGCCAGGAACGAGCCAACAAGGCCGCCGTGAAGCAAGCTTCCCCTCCAAACACCGTCGACGCCGCGGCGGCCGCGCTCCAGAATGCTGCGGCCGGCGCGCTGTCGTCGGCCGGCGCCGCGGGCGCCCTACTCCAGGCGCAGTTCGGCGGCTCTACTAGCGCAGACAAAGAGGACGACGACGCCGTCGCGGACGACGACGACGATGATGATGAGGACAGCTCCGGCGCCGCGGCGTTGTTAGCCGCGATGCGCTTCGCGTTGGAGGCGAAGAGCGAGGCAGAAGCCTTCGCCGCAGTCGTCGAGACGCGCGTGACCATCGCTCGCTGGGGTCTGGCTGAGGCCCAGAAGGAAAATATGGACGACCGCGCCCTGAAAAGAGCCCTGCACGCGGCGTCGCGGGGCCTCGCAGCGTTCGCGACGTCCGAAGCCCTCGCCGACGAAGTTTTGGCGAGCGTTGAGAAGGCGTCCGTCGCGTTGAGGGACGCGGCCGACCCACCACCAGCGCTAGCCGCTGTTACCGGAGACGCGCCCGTGCCCACGGCCTTCCCGCTCTTCGACAAATTCAACGAAATCGTGGACGAGGACGCGCTCGCCGGCGGTGCCGCGGCCGTGTCCATTGTGCGGCCGGCGGATTTAGGCGCACCATCGCCCGCCAAGACCGTGCGCGAAGTCTTGACGTGCTTGCGAGCCGTGGTCGATGCCGGCACTTTATTAGCCAACGACCGCAACGACGAGAAGGGCCGCTGGCTGCGAATCAGTCTCGTCGAGCACGCGGCGTTCCGGTGCCTGCCCGCCCCAGCTCCCGTCGACGTGCCGCACGAGGCCTGCGCGTGGGCGAGCGGCGACGCCACAGACGCTGATAGGGTGGAGGTTTTGCGCCTGGCGGGCCTCGTGGCGCGGCAGTACGCCTCGGCGTGCCTCTCTCCCCGGGCGGCGCCGACGAGAGAAGGTGACGCGAATAGAGTGTGCTGCGCTGGTGCTATGTTGTGCCTCATCGACGCCGCAGCACGGATGTCTACAATCGAAAGCGGCAGTGGGCAGGACGACGCGTTCTGCCGACGGTATGCTGGCAAGGCGGATCGGCCTTCGGCGGGCTACGCCGCGGGGGCCGCAAGCGCGGGCGGCGTCCTCGAGGCGATCACGGCGACGTCTCTGCTATTGGACCCGGCGGCCTGCGCGGCGCGAGCGGCATCGTTAGACTACCTGAGGTCGCTCAAGGCCAAGCCGCAGATCTTCGCCTGGAGCGAGGCCGAGCCGCTCTCGGCCCTCGGCGCGACTGATAAGCTTCTCGTCGGAGAGGTGGCGCATGAACTAGGCTTCGCCGCGGACGACGAAGTATTGGCCGCGTACCTCGCGGGCACGGAGACGGAAATCGTCGACGCGGCGCCGGCGCTGGAGGCATTCCGCGACGCCCACCTGGCGTGGAGACTGATGCTTGCGCCGCACCTGGGCGACGCCGTCAAGCCCCCGTCGAAGAAGAAACTGTGGCGGCCGGCGCAGCTCGGCCAAGTTTGGACTGCGAAGAAGGTATAGGGCCTGTGTAGAAAACCAACCAATGGCTCATTAATTTTTTGGGACGATGTGTCGCTTCGATGGCGTGTGGCGCCTGAAATTATTTGATTTCCACACAGGGTGCGCTCTCGGTGAAGCTGAGAAACGGCCAGGACGTCGATCCCGCGCACCTGTCGCCGTCGGCGGGCTTCTTCGGTTCGGCGGCCAACATGTTCCGCAGGAAGCCCTCGGAGCTCGAGGCGCCGCCGTCCGCGGCCAATCCGTCCGTACTATGTGGGGAGCAAATCGAGACGGAGACGGACGTGCTCTACGTGCAAAAGATGCCGACGTTCGACGGCTCGCTGGGCGCCGCGGACGCGGAGCTCGTCTGTAGTTACTTGACGGCGCCGTATCTACGAATTCCTCTGCTCCTGCAGTTCTTCTCGGCGCCGGCGCGCTTCGCGGCACTAGGGTGCATCGAGATGCAAAGAGTTTTAGATGCGGCGTTATTCGAGCCGGGCGCCTACGCGTCGCCTGACCCCGCCGACGCCTGGTTCGCGCCGGCACCGGAGAAGCGCCACAACGCCCCGTCGACGGCGCCGGCGCCCAAGGAGAAGCTATCGACGACGCTCGGTCTCCTCGTGAACGAGCTCCACCGGTCGCCGGACATGTTGGTTGCCGCTGCAAAGGGCTTCCGGACGCGAATTAGCGAGCTCGACCCGGGGACGTCTCGAGGCGTCGCCGAGGGCGGCCACGCGGCGGCCATTCTCTACGCGCTGCGTTTACTGAGCCGCCTGGACGGCTACGCTGCCCTCGTACAGGACAAGGAAACGCGCGTCCGCGGCTCGCGCGTACCTGAGGTGAGCGCCGCCGGCGTGGCCGAGCTCCGCGGCGTGCTAGGTGGGATCCTGCGCGACGACGCGCCGCCCATGTTAGATAGGTGGCTCCGGCGTTCGGCCGCGGAGTCTCGGGACTCATTAGCCGAGTCCTGCGCCGTGCGCGCGGTCTTGGCCTGCATCGCGCGGCCGCCGTGCCTCGAGGACGATGCGCGATGCGCCTCCGTTGTCGGCGCGCAATTGTTCCTCTCTCAAAATTGGAATTTTGCGCCGCCGTCCAAAAACCCGAAGAAGAAGACGGTCGTGAAGGAGCGGGCTTCACTAGGGACGACGCACAGCGAGCTCTTCGGCTGCTTCGCGACGCTCCGGCCCTTTGTCCTCGCGCTCGCGCGCGACGGCAAGGCCGACGCCTGCTTCGAGGACGCCGTCGCGGCGTTGACTAATGTGAAGCCGCCCGCCGAGGCCCGAAAGTGGGTCGAGCTCGAAGGTGCGCACAAGGGCTGGGCCACAACGAAGCGGTGCGCCGGCCGGTTCACGCCCAAGCTCCCGCCGCCGAGCGAGGCCAAGGCCGACGACGCCAAGCTCAGCTACGCGGCATGGCTCGCCGGGTGCATTGATGGCCTGGCGGCCGCGAGCGACGTCGAGATCAACCTCATGACTTGTGAGTTCGTGGTGCGCTCGAGGAAGCTGAAGATCCTCGAGGACGACTTCACGGCGCGGTCCGACTTCGCCGAGTGCTTTGGCGCCGAGGCGTCGCGCGAGGTCCAGTGCGCCGAAATTCAAACCTCGGAAATGCGGAAACTCCGTCGGTGCGTGGGCTTGAGATGTGACGTCGCGCTGTGGGCCGCGCCGCCGCCGATCTCCAAGTCCGAGCGCGCCTCACTCATGGCGTCGACGTCGGGCGCCGCCGGATTACTTAGTTCGTCGTGGGTGTCCGCCGCGCTCAAACGCGACGGCTCGGGCGCGTCCTGGGGACGCGTGTTGCAAGAAGACGCGGGCACCGCCGTCGTGTCTGGGCGCATTGATAGTCGGGAGTGCCGCGGTCTAGTACTGAGGGAGCCTTTGTCGGTGCAAGTCTTTGCTCGATGCGTTCACGGTCGTAGAGAGGGCTGGACGTCGGTCTTCGCGAGCGACGCCGAGGTGTCATTAGATGACGGTCTTCCCATCTCGGACGACGTCGATGGTGACGACGACGAGGAAGACGAGGACCCTTCCGCTCCGCCAGTTGTCGCCGAGGCTGGTGAGCTCGACCGGCGCTCGGGCTTTGCTGGCTTGACTGGGCCGTCTCTCGTTGTCACGCGGTCGACTCCTGAGGGCGTCGAGCGGCTGGCGCCGTCCTATGCGCTACGCGGTCTGTTGCCCGCGGCGCTGTTAGCATCGCACCGCTTCTGGTACCGCGCGAAGACGGGAGCTGCCGAAAGTGTGGTCCTCGAGGGCGCGGCGCGCCAGAATGGTCCATCGATTACTGTAAGCATCGATGCCAACGGCGCGGCGACCGTCAAACGAGGCGATCTGCGGCTCGTTGATTTGCGCGCGGGCAAACCAGGCTCGCCGACGGCCGCGCTCGCCTGCCGGCTGATAAAGCTCGACTCCCTCGCGCACGTGCTCGCCTGGGCCGACGGCTCCGGTACTATCACGCGCATCGAGCTGCCTCGACTGGAGCTGTCCTTCGACGCGAGCGGGCCGCAGCGCTGGGCAAGCAGCGACTTCCACGGCTACGATCTGACACTCGACGCCACTCCGACGCAAGTCGCGAAGCTCGCGGCGCCCCTGCCTGGCGTGGCGCTCGCGGCCGAGTCGGCGTTCGAGCGGTCCGAGTTCGTCATTGTGTCGTCGGCGCTCGCGAAACCAGGTCTCAACGGCGGGCGCCTCGTCGCCGAAAGGAACGATGCGAAGTGGCTCTCACGAGTCGCGGGTGGAAAAGTCCACGCGTACCCGGTACACCTATCGCAGTCATGGGTCACGTCGCCCTCGCTCGCGGCCACGTTAGCTCTGGTCGGCTGGCGCGCCGCGCGGGGCCTCGACTCGTTAGCCGGCGCCTGCGAGGCCTGTCCAGCGATGGCGTCCGACGCCGCGCTCCTGCCCGACGAGGCCCAGTGGATTGGCGCGCTCGAGGACGTTTTGGCCGACGACCGCACGGTCGACGCGGATGTACTGAGATTAAGAGTAGCCCTCGCCACGAGGGCTTCGCACTCTGACGCCGCTGCCCTGTCGTTCACGCCGACGCGCCGCGCTAACGCGTCGCTGACGCGCGCCTGGCGCTCGTACGCGCTGCGGACCTCCGCCGCGGACGCGAGACTCGTATTGTCGCCTGGCGAAGAGGCGTCCGTTGCAGCGTTTTGTGACGTTGTCACGGATGCTGTTCTCGTAAATCGTGCGGCCTTAGCAAACGCCGCCGCGTTGGGCACGGCCGTCTCGTCGTGGCGCTTAGATCTCTGGCCCCTGAAGGCGTCGCCGGCGACCGTGGACACGTTCTACGATTTCCCGCTCGACGTGACCGCTCTGTCGCAGCCACGCGGCCCGAAGGACAAGCCGACGGTCATCAGAGACTGGTCAACGGAAGCTCTAGGCGTCGCCGACGGCCACCACTGGCTCGCGGACTTAGGCCCATCAGTACCAGGCGCCGGTAACGCGCCGGTGTCCATCGCGTTCGTGCTGAAACGCTTCGCGGCGAAGGCTCCGTGCGTGAAGATCAAGGGCGACTTCATACTCCTACTCGAGTTATTAATCGGCCACCGAGGCGCTGATGGCTGCGAGCCGCGTCATCTGGCGCTACTTTTACTGGCCAACTCGGACTATCTCATCCCAACCGATAAGGGTCTGTTGTCGATCCTCCAGCTGTTGGCACGAAACCCTGAAAAAGCAGCGGCCCTCGGGAAGACGCTACCCACCTACGAGATGGCGCTCCAGGAGGCCGTGGCGACGCGGGAACAGGGCAAGGGCTTCTTCGGAAAATTATCGGGTGCCGCACGTACGGCTATGAAGCAGGGCCAGGCCGTCGCTGAAGGGACGAAACAGTCCAAAAGAGACGCCCCCGATGTCGTCGCCGCGGCGAACGCTCTAGTGCTACAACGAGTCCACGACTTCCTCAAAGCCAATGTGACGGCTCCGCCTCCGCTGCCGCCGCGCGCGGCCGACACGGCTGCGCCGTTCCGCGCGCCGACGACTATCACCGCCCGGGCGGCGCCCGCGGCGGCGACGTCGGCCGACCGGCAAAAGTTCGCCTTCGGCGACGGCTTCGCGGACGTGCTCAACGAGGTCGCCGTCGGTCAGGCCCTCAAGGACTCGCACGTCGCCGACGTCAAGGCGCCGACCTACGTCGCCAAGCCGGCGCCCTTCGACCTGGCGCGGCCCGACTTGACCTCGAAGCTCACCGCGCGCAAGACGCTTGAGCGCCTCGCGCGAGACATCAAGTACGCGGCCGACGAACGAGCCGCGACGAAGACGAAGCCGACGCTGCCGTCGCTCGACGCCGCGTCCACGCGGCAGCTCGTCAACGACCTGTCCGCGGCGGCCGCGGCCGATGTCAAGGAGGTCACGACGGCGATTCAAAGCGTCGAGGCGCTCGCCAATGCCGGCGAGCGGCGCGATGCCGTGCGGCGGTCGCTGGCGCGAACGGCGCCGTCCATCGACTTCGCTCGCTGCGCGCGGGCGTTGCTATCGACGAGCGGCGAGGCGGACCTGTCCTCATTTAATGCCTCGTGCGACTCGCCGGCGGTGCTCGACGCCACAGCGAGCTGCGCCGTACTCTTTGGACGGCTCGTCGCGAGACGCTTTGCAGCCGCCAAGGCCTCGGCGCTGGCCAAGGCCGTCGAGCGCGGCGCGCCGCCGTCGGAGATCGCGCTCGCGGCCGAGGCCTGTGTCGCAGCGCTCGTATCTAAGCGCGTGACTCTAGAGCGGTCGCCATCCGCGGTTTCAGTCGACCCGCGCTACTTGGTCTTCGAGCTTACGGCGTCGGTCGTGCTGCGCGACCAACAATTAGAGCTCGTGCGGACGTTCCGACAGGCCCTCACCGACAAGAGCGGCCTCGTGCACCAAATGGTAATGGGCGCCGGCAAGACTACAGTAGTTGCTCCCTTGCTCGCGCTTTGCTTAGCCAACGGCGATTCGTTAGTTACGGCAGTGGCGCCGCGCGCCTTGGTGGAGATGACGCGCGACGTCTACCGGTCGACATTTAGCTCTCCGGTGTGTCTGAAGCCGGTGTTTACGTTCTCTTTCGCGCGCACGTCGACCGTCGACGACGCGCTGGTGCGGCGGCTCCGCTTTTGTCGCGACGCGGGAGGAGTTGTGGTTGCCGCGCCCTCGGACGTCAAGGCTTTTGTTTTAAAGTTCGCCGAACTCAACCACGAGACCTACCTCGCGGCGAAGAAGCAGACCGTCGCCGGAAAAGAAAAGAAGTCCATCGTGGGCCAAATCTCGGGCGCGCTCACGGGCGCCGAAGGTAAGCGGGCCAAGCGCCTCGCGCTCCAGGCTCAAGCCAGGGAGGTCGAGGCCAAGCGCTTCGTCGAGGCTTATGGCGTGCTAAGGAAGGGGTGTGCTTTACTAGACGAGGTTGATATGTTATTGCATCCGCTGAAGAGCGAGCTGAATTGGCCGCTAGGAGGAGAAGAACCCTTAGATATGACGACGTCCTCTCCAGGTTGTCAGATAAGTACGACCGGTGCGCGTTGGCGCCTTCCGTGGTTCCTCATCGACGCGTGCCTGCGAGCTTCCGGCGCGCCGGCCGGCGTCATTGATGCTGATGACGACGACGCCGCGGCGCGCACGCGTCTAGAAGCCGCGGTCCAGAAGGGCTCGGCGGCCAAGGCCCTCCAGCGGACGCCTCATTTAGTAGTGGTTGATAGGCACTTCTACGCTTCTGAGATGCTCGAGCCGTTGACGGCTCTGGCGGCCGCATTTCTGCGGACCGAAGGAGTGGTGGGCTCGTCGCTCTCAGCCCAGGACGCGGCGTCTTACGTATCGGCCTCGCCCTCGCCGCAAGCGTGCTCCGCGGTCGGGCGCCTGGGCGACATCGAGTGCAAGTATCTGAACCTCGCGCAGCAGTGGCTCCAGACCTATTTGCCGTGGGTTTTGTCGAAGGTCAACCGCGTCTCGTACGGTACGCTAGCGCCCGAGGAGCTCCGGGCTCGCGAGTCGCGCGGCCGGAAGCTGCTCGCCGTACCCTTCATCGGCAAGGACGTGCCCTCCGAAGCGTCCGAGTACTCGCAACCAGAGGTAGCGATCGGTCTAACGATCCTCGCACTCCGCCACGAAGGCATGCGACGCGACGCGGTTGCGGCGATGCTGCGCGGTCTGCGGGACGACTTTGCTCAGCAGCACGGCGTTTCGTCGAAACGGCCGGCCGCGCTCGCGTACAAAGAATTAGTAGAGTCGGCGGGCGGCCGCGTCCGCGGAGACGTCAACTCGCTGTCGCGCCGCGACAGCGACGCCAGCCCGGCGTCGCCGCTCCTCGCGGAACCTATAAATGACGACGAGCGCGACATCTGGCAGCGGCTCTGGCCGCTGAACTCTCTCGACGTGAGAGACCCGGCTCAAGTGGATGCACTCGCTCGCCTCCTGCACAAGGCCCCGCGGGCCGCGTTCCGTTATTTAGACCAGCACGCGTTCCCGACGGCTCTCGTGGTCCGCGCGTCGAAGCTGTCGGCGTCGGGACAAGCGCTCGGAGGGTCGCTGTTATTCGAGAAGCGACTCGGCTTTAGCGGGACGCCAAACGATTTGTTACCGGAAGAGCTCGGCGAAGCGGCGTTCGCCGCGGGTGACGACGCGCGAATTTTGGAGACGCTGACCGATCCGACGGTGGCCGAGGTGTGGCCGCTCGACGACAACTGGTCTCCCAATTCGTTTCTCGAGCAGGTGGCCAAATCTGGTGCACATGCATTGATCGACGCCGGCGCGCTGATCACGGGTCTAAATAACCTGGGGGTCGCGACGGAGCTCCTCAAGCTGCTGCCCGAGACGTACCAGGCCGTCGTCTACCTCGACGGCGCGGGCAAGAAGATGGTCCTGAAGCGAGGCGTGGACCGCCCCTTACCGTTGGCATCGGCTGGCGTCGACATGGCCCGGCGCTTTACTTTCTATGACCAGGCCCACTGCACGGGGATGGACATCAAACAGACGTCCGTGTGCGTCGCTATAGTGTCCGTCTCGAAGGATATGTCATTTCGGGACCTCGCCCAGGCGGCATATCGAATGAGAGGCGTCGGTCGCGGACAAACGCTCCGCTACGCGTTGATTCCGGAGGTCCGCGCCCAGATCAAGACGGCGGGCAGCGAACTAGCGTTGGGCGACATCGCCGCTTATCTCTACGCCCAAGGATTCAGTACGGAGATCGCCCAGGGCCGACTGCTCACCATACAGACGTGCAACTCGGTGTGGCGCAAGCAGGCCTTTGCGAAACTTCTGGCCGAGGCCGGCTCGCCGCCGGACCCGGCCTGCGTCGAGATCTTCTCCGAGGCGGTCGACACGTCGGTGCCGAATTCGTTGGAGGGTCCGCCGGACCAGCTTGACGAATTAAAGAGGCTGGTCGAGTCGCGGCGCCCGCGCTGGCTCCAGGACGAGCGGTCCGCCCAAGTCGTGGCTTTATCCATCGCCCGAGCCGAGGCCGACGGCGGCGGCGGCGCCGACGACGCTGCGGCCGCGCTCGAAGACGAGAAAGAGGAAGAAGCGGAGCAAGAACAAGAGCAGGAACAAGAGCAGGAGCAGGAGCAAGAGCAGGAGCAAGAGCAGGAACAGGAGGTCGAGGAACCGCTACCTGGAGATTACGACCGCGATCATGAGGGGGAGACGCCCTGGGAGGTCTCGCTCCTCGACGCTCCGGCCTGGAAAGGCGGCGTTTTTCGACCCTGGACGGAAGTCCGCCCCGTCGCCGCGACCCGCAAGAAGGGCGTCGTCGACGCGCCCGGCGGCCTACCAAAGGACTTGTATCTTACCGCGAATTACCTGCCTCCCACGACAACACGCCGCCGCATCAAGAACATTGTGGTGGTCTTGGAATGTGATGGTGGTGCTGCGGCTGGCGTCTGCGCGCCGTCGCCGGCCGACAAGGCCTCAGTAGACAGAGCTTTAGTCGAGGCTGACGGGGACGAGAAGGACCTGGCACGTATCTTAGACGTCGACGCCTCCGTGCTCGCGGGCGGTGACAAGACGACGCTGCGCCAGCGCGCCGAGCGGGCTGTGGCCTGCTCTTCTGCGGAGAGCCGCCGTTTCGTTGTCGTCTCATTGGCCGAGGCCGAGGCGCTGCGGGCGCTGTGCCACTCGGGCGGCGGCGCGGCTTTACGCCTGCGGGGACTTTCGGCCACGAACGCCGCCTTCGACGGAGATTCCTCCGTGGAAGCGAGCATTCTGGGCACGACGACTACTATTACCACGGTCGACGGCCAGTTGGACCGGCGCACCGCGCGCGTCCTATCTTTTTGCGACGTTGACCTCGACCCGTCCCATGGCGCGGTGGAGCAGCTGCGGAGATGTCTCGGCAATGAGGAGAAGGCCGCCGTCGCCACGCGCTGTGATTGGTGGGAGGCGCTCCGCGGGTGCAAGCGCCGGTCGAGACGCGCCTGGGTCTCCACGCCACTCGCTCCATTGTTCGGCAAGGCGACGTCCACGGAAGCGGGCGATCGCGGCGACGACGCGCGCGCTACCCTGGTTCGTTGCGCCGCGGAGCTCGACCGCCGGTCGATGTCTCCCGCCGACTGTTTCGAAGCGTTCGACGCCGACGGCGACGGCATTTTAACTCGAGGGGAGTTGGCCGTCGGGCTTCGCTGGCTTCTATCTCGCGCCAGGCCCGCGACCTGTCTGGCGGTGGCCGTGTTCATGGACGCCGACGAGGACGGCATGATCAGTAGGGACGAGTTCGTCAAGGCCTTCGACGCGAAGGATCCGGCACCGACGGCGCCGCCAGCCGCCGCGGTGTCCGCTCAGGACGTGCTCAAGTGTTGCTCGTTCTCCATTGATAGTATTACGACGAAAGCGGTCGCGTTGTGGGACGCCCGCGGCTGCCTCGCGAACGCGCGCGGCTCGCGGTCCGAAGCGAGCATCTGGACCGCGGATCTGGCCGACCCGCACTGGAAGCGGGGCATGTTGGGGACGGCGACGCTGAGCGTGCCTCTCGGGGTGTTTGGTCACGGCTCGCGCAAGAACCCGACCAACGCGAAACTATTGACGATCTCGGCGCGCCGCTTCAAGAGAGTGGATGTCACTGCTGTCCGGGACCGCTGGCTCCCGACGGCCGTCGCGTTCCGTCGGCTTTGGGAGATCACGACGGGTCGTACTTCTTTATACGTGTGGACTCCGGTCGCGCCCGAGGGTTTCACAGCTATCGGCCTCGGCGTCTCTACGACTCCAGAGCCACCCGCTCTAGATTCGGTCCGTTGCCTGCCTCAAGCGTGGGTAGTGCCCGCGACGGCCAAGCCGCGGCTCCTGTTCGACAATGTTGGCATGCAGAGCCGCAAACCGGGAGGCCTCTGGCGCATCGGGTCCATGGGCCTGCTCGCGTTAGGCCGCGACCGCGACCCGCCGGAGCTCGCGCTGGACCTCAACCCGGCGTTCACGTCCATCGCGCCGGACGCGGCCGCGCCGCCGCTCCCGCGCAACATGCCTGTCGCCTACGCGCACGCGGCGCCGGCGTCGGCGGCGGGAACTCTGCCGGTCGCCACCGCGTTCTGAAGGACGTCTCCCCCTCCCCCTCTCCGTCTGAAGCCAAGAGTAAGACGTGGTCGTGTTGATTTACTTCGTCCGGGCCAAAAAAACGGGTTTTGCCCCCTCAATTTGCGCTCTAGCGCTCTCATAGCCCCTCAGCCCCCCCTACACAGCACGCCAGGAATCGCGCGCAGGAGGTCTGGGCCCGGTAGCGCACCGGAACTCATACAAAGCAAGAGGGGTTTTGCCAGTGGTTTTTTGCGGCCCTCGGATAGGCACGAGACTACGATCCACTCACGATGGTGTTGCCGCCGCTCGTTGCCGCTTGGGCACACGCCGCGCACAGCAATCCCAGCTGGTTACGCGGACCACTAGCAGATTACCTAGCCTCTGGCGGCGATCCCGACGACGTCGACGAGAACGGGAAGCCCCTACTCCACATCGCAGTGGGTACTCATAGCGGATCTCACGAGGTATACCACATGGTCCGCGCGGTCCTCGCCGCGGGACCGCGAAACGTCGACATCCGCTGGGAGGGCCTCACGCCCCTCCACATCGCAATTACGAACTATGCGGCGAAGGTTAATGTCGTCACCGCACTCCTGGAGGCGGGAGCTTCTGTCGATGCGCGGTCATCCGTGACAGCAGGTTTACCACATTTCGGCTACCATACTCCGGTCGGGTCCACTCCACTGATGCTCGCCGTCACGGTCACGCCCGTTGTTGGAACAATGGACCATTGTGTTCGGATATTATTGAGTCACGGAGCCCGCCTCGACCTTCGCCGCAATGGTGAAGACCTGGAATCGATCGCGCGGCGGGCGCATGACGACCGGGTTTCGCAGATGGCATCAACCAGTCAAGGACATGAAAACTGGGATTTATGGTTGCGCAACAAGCGCTTGCGCTTCGCCACTAGCATGGCGCTCCTGGCCGACGTTCGCGCGGCGGGCGGCACATGGGCAGGCTATCGGCACGCGCCGCGGCTCCAGCTGGACGTGCTCCGGGAACTCTGCGCCCGGGATCGCGCGGTGCCGCCGTCGACACTGGCTCGCACTCGTCGGCGCCGCCCGGGACAGCTCCTCGCGCGCCTCTTTGGTGACCTCCCCACGGACGGACGGGCAGGCGTGATTCTGGAGGGTGGTCGCGAGGAGGGCGCCTCGTGGTTAATGTCACCACCATCGCCGGTCCTGCTGTGCCTTAGTGCTAGTTGAGGCAAAAAAACCTTTTTTTCGCCATTACAGGCGCACACGCGCTCTAGGCCGCCCGCCGGAGCCGCAGGATGACGTCGTCGCACTCCGGCGGCTCGTTCGACCCGATCGCCTCCACGACCTGGTCAAAATTCATCTCGTGTGCCGGGAAGATGTCGCGTTCCGGCTTCGCCGCGCCGAGGTACGCGCTGCCCGGGTAGCGGACGCCGGTGACGCCCACGAGGACGTCGCCGACGGCGACGCAGCCCGCCTTCTCCGCGTTGGAGCCCTCCGACACCTCGATGACCTTGACGCCCGCGGGCGCCGCGCCAAGCGGCGCAATCTCCTCGAAGACGATTCCCAGGGGCCGCGCGAGCGCGACCTCGTACACATCAGATTGCTCGTGAATCTGCTTCCAGAAATTGAAAAGCGCGGGTTCGTGGTCCCCGAGCGTAGCGCTCGTGCTCTCGGGTGGCGCGTCTGGCATGTCTTTCGCGCCGTTCGGGTACGCCGTCTGGTAGCCCGTGTACCAGCGAGCGCCCAGTTTTTTTGGCATCATGTCGCGGGCAGACACGGAGGGGGCCAGCGGGCCCAAGGCGCTGCTGACGGATGCGGTGGCGGCTAGGACGACGATGGTTTTCATACTGCTGGTGTTTTGACTGCACGAGCGGTGTCAGAAGTCCCGTTTGAAGCACGGAGAGAGACTCGTTAGAGAACACTGATGCGTTGTGCACTGCCTGAGCACCGGGCACGGTTCTCGTGCACGAATGTGGCAGTTTTGGTCGCTGACGCAGTGGTCTGATCAGCCGATAATCCTAGCGTCACGTAAGACACTAGCAAGCGCCCATGAGGCAACTTTTTTGCGCTGACCACGGCTGAGATCGGGCCCTGCGCCTGGAAGTTATCGTAATTCGTACCTCGCAGCCATGTTAATCATGCCTCGACCAGACTGAGCTCTCATCATGCCAGCAGCGCACATGCCAGCGGCCAGCACCGCCGTGCGCTACGAGCGCCCACCACCCAAGGAGCAAATCCTGGTAGTAGACGCCTGGGGCTTCGCACCGCCGCCGCCGCCGGACCCCGCAGAAGAAGCGGCCGACGAATTAATAAGGGAAGCCGTGGCCCTCGCCGCGCGGGACGCGAGCATCGACGCGCTCGCCGCGCCGCAAAGTCACCCACAACGGATAAGACGGCCGCCGCCCACGGCCTTCGTCGACCCGCTCGCGGCGGCGAAGGCGGCCGCGGCCGACGCCGCGGCCGCGGAGGACGAGCGCCTCGACCACCTGGACGGCTTCTCGGACGAGGGCGGCGACGACGACGACGTTACTGTGGAGGAGGAGGAGGACGACGAGCCCGAGGACTTCGCCGCGGAGGCGGCCGCCGCGGACGCCGTGGCGGCGGACGCGCGGCACGCGGCGACGCCGACGGAGCCCAAGACGCCGCGGGAGCTGCGCCGCGAGCGGCGCGCGCGGCGACCGCCGGGTGCGCCGGTGAGGCTCGAGCGCCCGCCGCCGCGCGCGGCGCCGCGGGTTGAATCGCCGCGGCGCCGCACGTCGAGCGTCGGCTCCGCCGGAGGTTTTTCGGAAGACGAGGCCGACGCGGCGCCGCCGGAGGTGCCGCCGCCTTTTGATGATGAGGCCGCTCTGTCTAAAAACGCGGCGGTCGTGTGTGAGGGCGCCTCCCTTGAGACGGCGCGCATGTGCCTGCTGCCGTCGCACCGGATCTTGGTGAGACAGCGGCCGTTCGTCGCGAGGGACGAAACGCCGGTCACCGTCGAGGCGGCGCGGGCGCTGGAGGCGCAGCGTCGCCTGGAACGCCGGCCGGCGCCGCAAGCGGCGCGGACGGGCGCGGCCCCGGGCGACTGCGCGGGCCACGTCCAGGAGCTGATCCTCGAGTCGCGGGGCGACGACGTCGAGGCGGCGTTGGATTTATTGATCGAACGCGGGTCGGACGACGCGCGTTCGATTAACGCGCTGGTCTGCTGCGCCCTACGGGCGGGCGCGCTCACGCAAAGTCTCGTGGCGCGCCTCGAGGCGTGGCTGCGGCTCCCCGGGTGTCAGAGCGGCGCCGTCGCGACGGCCGTGCTGCAGGCGCGGTGCGTCGGAGCCAAGGCGCTGGGCGGCGCGCGGCTTCTTTACGAAGACGACACGGAGTCGTCGGACGGCGACGAGCCGCTCGGCGCTTTGGATGAGGCGTGCGACTGGGCCGCGTTCGAGGAGGCGGGCGGTTGTTTTGAGCTCGCGTTCCCCGTCGCTTTTGACGAGGACGGTGACGACGGCTGGCGCTGGGACGAGGCGGCCGCTTTATGTTTTGTCTCGAAGCACGCCACGACCCTGCGCTACGACGCATCTCTAGAAGCCGTCGCGCGGCGCGACTTCCGGCGCGCCGCTGCTGCTATTTTGCGGGCGGCGCACCGCGACGGCGTCGTGGCGGCCTCGTGCCGGGCGCTCGACGCGCTCTTGGAGTCGGGCGCGGCGCCCGCGCGCGCGCTCGCGCCGCGGACGCGTGGCGACCTCGCGTCGCCGCGCGCGCCGCTAGTCCTCGCGTTCCTCCGGGCGGACGCGCTGGCGCGGCGCGGCGCGCTCGTCGACGGCGTGCCGGGCTCGCTGCGCGCGGTCGTGCCCGTCGCCGCCGTGCGCGCGCGCGACGACGTCCTCGAGCGGCCGCGGTGGAGGCCCTGGGACGACGGCGTGGAGGCCTGGTTGTTGGCCTCGTCTTCTTCTGCTGCCGAGTTTTAATTGTTGTGGTTGTTTTATAGTGGGAGGGAGCGTGGTGGGGGGTGGAGCGTGGGAGATGGTTCCTGACGTGGTAGGGTTCCTAATTGGGGGGGAGGAGTAGGACGGGCCGCGGGCTCACGCGCAGGCGCACGCGCACGCCTTCGACGCCTTCGTGCCGCCCTTGTTCTTCTTCTTGCAGCGCTTCTTCGGGGACTTCGCGACCCAGTCGCAGTCGAGGGTCTTGCCCTTCTTCGCCGGGTGCTTCTCCCAGCCGCCGTCGTCCTTGCACGCGCCGTCGCCGCCGTCCCGATCGGCGACCTCGTCCGGCTTCTTGTAGCACTTGTAGGCCTTGTCGGCGGGGCATGAGGCCTCGCACGTCCCGCGCCCGTTGTTGTTCTTCTTCGTGAAGCATCCGTTGGGCGGCGCGTCGCAGCAGTCGCCTTCGACCTTGCACGCCTCGCCGATGCCCGCGCAGCCCCTGGACTCTTCCTCGTCGGCGTCCTCTCCGGAGTCCTCCTCCGAGTCCTCCTCCTCGTCGCCACCCTCGGCATTGTCCTCCTCCTCGTCGCCACCCTCGGAATTGTCCTCTTCCTCGTCGCCACCCTCGGAATTGTCCTCTTCCTCGTCGCCACCCTCGGAATTGTCCTCTTCCTCGTCGGCGCCCTCGGAGTTGTCCTCTTCTTCGTCGCCACCCTCGGAATTGTCCTCTTCCTCGTCGGCGCCCTCGGAGTTGTCCTCTTCCTCGTCGGCGCCCTCGGAGTTGTCCTCTTCCTCGTCGCCACCCTCGGAGGAGTCCTCTTCCTCGTCGCTGGCGTCCTGGTCCTCTTCCTCGTCGCCTTCCTCCGAGTCCTCCTCCTGCTCGTCGGACTCCTGCTCGTCTTCTTCCGAGTCCTCATCTTCATCCTTGTTGCCCTTACCCTGGAGGCCGCGGCGGTTCTCGGCCTCCGTGAGGTCCGAGAGCACCCGCGTCGCCGAGACGGTGCCGCGGAGGTTGGGTAGCGAGACTCTGAGCTCTTCTAGCTCCTTGTCGTCGGACTTGGCCACCAAATTGGCGGCGGCGCGATCGTGATTCTTTACATCACGCGACGGCGGCGACGCGGCCGACGCGGTCGCGGCGGAGGCCGCGAGTAACCCAACGACGATGAGCTTGTACATGGTTGTTGATCTGCGCGCGTGAGGGGACTGAATGATAAGCGCGACGGGCGGCGGCGCGCAATTTGTGCAGGCGGGCGATTTCGAAGGCAGTGCTGAGTGCTCATTGGCAAAAAAGGCAGGAATAACGACTCGTTCACTAACGTTAATAGCTGTTTACGTAATTTCGTTTCTAAACGAGTGCTGAAATGCACGAGCGCAATTGGTGTAGCGTCTGCGAGCCAAAAAATCAGAGCCCAAAAATCCGGCAGACTCCCGCAAGCTGGCCCTCGCCTCGCGGTTTCGAGCACGCATCCGAAGGACCGGTCCGGTGCTACTTCATAAGGTGATACTGCACTTAAGCGCAGCAACACGATCACTTACCCCCGGGCGCCCGCCCGCGAATCGCGATGAGCACGCCCGCCTCGCGCCGACTGACCGAGGATTTATTGGGTCCAGCGCTCGCCCAGGGCTGCCGTCCGTCGTCGAAGGCGTAACTTTCCAACTTCCTTCACAGCGTGTAAGACACTAGAACCACAGCGCGGCCGCTGTGTCGTCACGCGCCTCCTGCAGCCCACGGAAGCCCGCGTCCGCCGCGAGAAGTCGCTCACACACTCATAACAAAGGGGGCAGCCCGCTACGCCATCGCTGCGGGCGATGGCGCCGCCCCCCGGCCAGACGAACCGGGACACTTCTGCCGCGGACCACACGACCTGCTTCTACTGCCACCAGCAGCTGATCCTCGTGAGTCATAAAGTTATTGTCTCCCGCGACGCCCATGGTTGTTCCATACGCATCTGCGAGCCCTGCGAGAAGGAGGCGCGGCGCCGGCGTCCCGGCCGTCCCTTCTTTTTGCGGTCGCGGCGGCGGCGCACGGGGACGCGGTCGCTTCCACCACATAGGTCAAGGTCGAGAAGAAAGATGAGGGTATTGAGGCCATGCGCAAGCTCATGGGCGGCGCCGCGGACGAGGAGGAGGAAGAGGGTAACTAATCAATTGTGTCTAAACCTTACGCGCTCACTTGCGGACGAAGTTGCAGATTCTGGCAAACTTTTCCGCGACTAAGGAAGCGCCTCCAACCAAGCAGCCGTCGATGTCCGGCTGCGCCATGAGCTCGTCGACGGACTCGGGCGTCACGGAGCCGCCGTACTGGATGCGCACGGCGTCCGCCGTCGACCGATCATACAACTCGGCTAAGTAGTCGCGGATCGTCTTGTGGACCGTCTGCGCCACGTCGCAGGGGCAGACCTTGCCCGTGCCGATGGCCCAGACGGGCTCGTACGCGATCACGACGTCCTTCATGGCCGCCGCCGACACGCCCGCGAGGTCCTTGGCGAGCTGCAGCTTGCAGACGTCGGCACACAGGCCCGCGTCGTACTCCTCCTCCGTCTCGCCGATACACAACACGGGCCGCATGCCGTCCTCGATGACCTTCAGGACCTTCTTGTTGATGGCCTCGTCGTCGTCCTTGAAGACCGTGCGCCGTTCCGAGTGGCCGCAGAGCACGTACTGGCAGCCTAAGCTCGTCACCATCGACGCGCTCACGGCGCCCGTGTACGCGCCGGATTCCGCCGTGTGAAATATAGACTGGGCGCCGACGCCGACCCCCACACCCGCGAGGTCGTCCACCACAGACGAGATGAAGGGGAACGGGGGGAACACGACGACCTCCGTGCAGTCCGCGGCCGACGACGACGCGCACGTCTCGTCTCCTAACAAGGAAGCGACGCCCTTCGCGAGGCCGTCGGCCTCCTGGATCGACGACGGGTTCAGCTTCCAGTTGCCCGCTATGATCGGCTGGCGCGCGTGGAGCTGCGTGGTGGTTCGGGGCGCGGCCGTCGGGGCGAACGCCGCGGCCGGCGCGAGCGCGAGCGCGAGCACGAGCTTGGCCATGATTGATGCACCTGCGACGCGACGACGGCGTGATGATGGCTGGGGTGCAATGCGCGCGTGTATCTCTGCTGCGCGTGTATCTCTGCTGAGTGATGTGGATGAGTTGCCACCGGCCCAGCATGCTCGCTTGCGCTTGCGCAGCGATTTGAGGACGGCGTCAGCGATTTTTGTTAGCAGAGTAAGCACTTTGGCACTGAGACGCGCGAGAGAGCTGGCAGCGAGGTCCAAGGCGTGGGATGATGGTGACAGACCTAAGTGAGACACACTAGGAATATTTACCAGTCGGTCCCTTGACTCCGATGTGATCCGTCCGTGTGAGGGGCCACCCTTCCACGGCGTACGGTACGGCGCGCCGCGCTGAATCCGCAGTCACCGTGATCAGTACAACACCGGCGACGGCGACGGCGCCTCCCCAGGCACCATCTTCTACACGAGCTACAACAACATTAACCCGCCTCCCGGATCTTCTTCCAGACGTCCCGCCACTTCCCGTGGTCGAACGCCGACAGGCCCTTCGACGCGCGGGCCACGTGCGCGAGATACGCCGCGAGCGCGGGCAGCTCCGCGTCCCGGGCCGCGTTCGGCTTGTCGCGGTGGTAGGCCTTGCACTTGACGCCCGACCGAGGATTGAGAGCGAAATTGCGGGACAAATCGTCCAAATGCAAGGTGTTCGCCGCGTTCCAGCCGTCGACCTTGTCCCAAATTAAGCGCAGGGGCTTGACCGCGTGCTTGAACTCGCTGCCGTCCTTGCGCCGCGACACGATGCGGAACATCGACGTCTTGTCGAGCACGAAGCAGATTTTGAATTTTGAGGACGAGAGCATGCCCAGCGCGGTGAGCTTGAGTTCCAACCACCTCCAGTGCGTCTGCGACCACACAACGAGGTCGTAGTCCTCGTAGACGGCCTCCAAAAACGCGTCCATGCCCGGCCGCTTCGAGTTCGCGGAGACCTGGGTGGGGGGGTCGTGGCGGTTGAAGTCGAGCAACGTGTGGTCGAGGTCGAGCACGAGGAGCTTCTTGCCCTTTCTTCTTGGCGTGAGCCAGTTGATTTCCGTCTTGGCCACGAACTTTTCGAGGGTCGCCGCGTGCCTCCGGCTCCGGTGCCACTCGTCGGACAGCGCCTGGTAGTCAAAGTCCTGTGTGGAGATCAACCAGTGAGTTAGATGCAGCTACGGAGACAACATCACGTCGATGGCGTGGGGCGCCCGAAATGTGGTTTCCACACAGTTGCCGACCGGGTCCAGATCGTCGATAATTTCAGGCAGGTCGTCGCGGTCCTTCGGGTCGATAAATAACTTGTCGTCGGGCGTGCCCATCAGTAGGAACTTCGTCGGCGGCTTCTCTCCCCTAGGACCGACCAACTCGGCGAGCTTCGACTCGTCCGGCGGCAGCGCGCCTTTGACGAGGCCTATCAATTTCTGGCGCTTCGCGGGCACCTGGGTTTCGTCGGTGATCGCTGCTTTCAGGTCTGCCACTACTCCATCTCTTTTGACGCGCAGCACGAGCTTCTGGCCTTGGAACGTCGTGTTGAATTCGAGGGGCGGCTCGGCGCCGGCGTCCGGCGCCGGTGTGGGCGCTCCGGAGGTTGCGGAGTCGAGGATTTCGGCCATGTCTTAGCTGGCGGCGCGCTGTTCTCTGCTCTGGTAGCTCTGGGCTCAATTGCTCTCAGTTGGGCTTCTATAAATGCTGCCGCGGGCCCACAGCTGGACGCGGCAAATAAATCACTGCGTAGTACAATTTTTTTGGGTAATATTTTGAGCTGTATGCTTTTGTATAGGGGCGGCTCGCGGCTCTTGCTAGTGTCTTACAGACGCTAGCCTCAGTATCTGCCCCACCAAAACGTGAGCGCCGCCGAGGGCCTTGAGCCCACCAAGCTGTAGAGAGAGGACATCTACCATAGATAAAGCGGCCGGCCGGATAGCGCTCAGATAGATCGGAGGGGCGCGTAGAAAAAGAGTGAAACTCACTGTACACATACACAGCAATCTGCGCGAGACGACGCGATGGGTCTCGGCGAAACGCAAGTCTTTCAGGATGAAAAATCGCGCCTGGCGAACACGACCGTCGCGCGGATAGTAGCCGCCAAGGGCTCGTTAAACGACCCCGAAACCAAAAAGGAGTGCTGTCGCAAACTGCAGAAGCTCAACGCGACGCTCAAGGACCGCGTCGCCGCCGTGGATGCCGCCATGGCCCGGGACGCCATGAAAGGCGGCGTCACGGGTCTCGGTTGCGACAACCGCAAGCTCATAGCGGTGCTCTGTACGCGCACGAAGGCGTCCCTCGAGCGCACGAAGAAGGCCTACCGCGAGAAATTCGACGCCGACCTCGCGAAGGACGTGCGCGAAAAGACGGGCTCGGACTACGGCCGCATGATGGCCTACGCGCTCGCCGCGCCCGACGCCTACGTCGCGGATATTATTCACGCGGCGTGTCGGGCGTCGGTGCCGACGCAGCGTCCTGACACAACCCCATACGCCATCGCCGCGACATTCCGGACGCAGGTCCCGGCGGCCAGTTCGTCGTGCCGCTCCCGGCGCCGCCGCCGCCGCGCGGGCCGCTCTACCCATACATGGCGCCCGGCCACGGCGGTTGAACGCGTGGCACTAGGACGACCGATGAATCGGCGACGCGCGGTGTCTCTCCCCAGGGGCTCCGCCCACTAGTCCTAGCCGCAACAATATCCTCCCCGCACTATAGGACTACTAAAGAAGAGCAATTACACAGGAAGCCTGATTGGAGAGGCCACAAAAAAACTACACCATCTCCGTCTCCGCCTCGACGTCCTTGGCGTCCAATAACAAAGGCAGGTCGTCGAACTCGTCCGGAGACTCGACGGAAGGCAGGAGCGCCGCCAAGAGTGAATCGAAGGGCGTCGGCGGGTAGAGGTCGTGCGCCGCGTGCTGGCTGCCAAAGCCCCTTAACGAAAGCGACGCGCCGCGCGGCCACTTCCGGTCGCACGCTAAAGCCAGCTCGCGCGCGACGAAGACCAGAAATGCCGAGGCCGCAACAGACAAGCAGGGGCCCTTTGAGGCGGACCGCACGCCTAGCCAAAGAGCGACGACATGTATCGTGAAGAGCACGCCGACGCTGCGCCATTCTCCTAATGCACATAATCGCGTTATTGTTGCGGAGGGCACGGCTATCGCGTGCGCATGTGCTGCTAGTACCGCTACCAATGCAACGCGTTCGTCTAGTAAAGATGGTGCAAAGACGAAGAACATGGAGAACGCGAGGGAGACTCGCAAGCGTCTCCAGAACAACGCGCTCTGGCGCGGCGAGCAGATGATCAGAAAGACGCCGCACAGGCTGTAGAGCGCCACGACCACCAGCGCCGGCTCCGGCGCCGGCTGCATCGCGCCGCAGCTCACGGCGCAGAACGCCAAGATAACACTTGTTTCCAAAGTGTGCACCCACTCTAGTAATAACGGATGGAGCGACGAGAAGTCGTAGCGGACGTTGAAGGCGTGGAGCAGGCAGCGCGTCTGCGCGTCGTACACCTCCGTGCAGGCGACATGTGTTAAGTAGGCGGCGTGGATTATGGCCGCGTACCACGCTAGGACGCAGTTCTCGGGGAGCCAGGACGGCATTGTTTTTTTGCGGTGTTGCTTCCCTTGCGAGCAAACAAGGAGGCTGGGCTCTCCCTTGTGCTGTTTTTTGGCGGACGCGAGCGCAGAAAACGATGCGGCAGCCCTTCAGGCAAACTTAGTAGTGTTCCCAGCGAGCAAGAGGCTGCTGATTTGAGCTTTGGTGTGCGTGATAGAGCCCTGGTTTGCCGGGGCCGCCTGCTCGCTAGTATGTTAAACGCTAGCGCACAAAAACGAAACACGCAATACAGGGGTCCTCGGCCCGGGAGCAAGCCCTCGAAAACTCCCGGAGGTCGATTTCTCCAGGCCCTCCAAGCAGGCCTCGCTGCCCTCGTGCTTTTCAGCCAGCCGCTAAAAGGAGGTACGTAGCCGCGTCGGTGCAGCGGGCGATTCATCGGGGAGGAGCTTGCAGCCGCGCTAAAGACGCAGCGAGAAAGCGAGGCGCGAAACGCTGCCGCCGCGGCTCCAAAAGGCTTATTGACCGAGGGCCGCACCCCCCGCAGGTTGGACGTAAAGATGCTGTCCGCAGCGGCGCGGAGTGCGCGGCGGGTGTCGCAGGTCGCGGCGCGACATGCCTCGTCCCAGGGCAAGATCGTCTCCGTCATCGGCGCGGTCGTCGACGTGCAATTCACCGGCGCCCTGCCCCCCATCCTCAACGCGCTCGACGCGAAGATGCCCGGCGGCGAACGACTCGTGCTGGAGGTCGCCCAGCACCTCGGCGAGAACACGGTGCGGACCATTGCCATGGACGCTACTGAGGGATTAGTTAGAGGCCAGGACATCGTGGACACGGGCGCTCCCATTTCGATTCCGGTCGGTCCTGAGTGCTTAGGAAGAATTGTCAACGTCATCGGCGACGCCGTCGACGACGCGGGCCCGGTGAAGACGAAGCAGCAGTTCCCCATCCATAGAGCGCCTCCGACGTTCGTCGAGCAGGGCAAGACGCAAGAAATCCTGACCACGGGCATCAAGGTTGTGGACCTGTTAGCCCCCTACGCGAAGGGCGGCAAGATCGGGTTGTTTGGAGGCGCCGGCGTCGGCAAGACGGTCGTGATCATGGAGCTCATCAACAACATTGCCACCAATCATGGAGGGTATTCCGTCTTTGCTGGAGTGGGAGAACGTACGAGAGAAGGTAATGACCTCTACCACGAGATGATCGAGGGCGGCGTCATCAAGATTGGGGAAGGCCACGACACGACGGGCAGCAAGGCCGCTCTCGTGTACGGTCAGATGAACGAGCCCCCGGGTGCTCGCGCGCGCGTCGCGCTGACGGGTTTGACGATCGCCGAGTACTTCCGCGACGAGGAGGGCCAGGACGTGCTCTTCTTCGTGGACAACATCTTCCGCTTCACGCAGGCCGGCGCGGAAGTGTCGGCGCTCTTAGGTCGCATCCCGTCCGCGGTCGGCTACCAGCCCACGTTAGCTACGGACATGGGCGGCTTGCAGGAGCGCATCACGTCGACCACGAAAGGTAGTATTACGTCGGTGCAGGCCGTCTACGTCCCGGCGGACGACCTGACGGATCCCGCCCCCGCGACGACCTTCGCGCACTTGGACGCGCAGACCGTGCTCTCGCGCGACATCGCTTCCCTGGGCATCTACCCCGCCGTCGACCCCCTCGACTCCTCAAGCAGAATGATGGACCCGCGCATCGTCGGCGACGAGCACTACTCGGTCGCCCGTAGTGTCCAGAAGCTGCTCCAGGACTACAAGTCGCTGCAGGACATCATCGCCATCCTCGGCATGGACGAGCTGTCCGAGGACGACAAGCTGACGGTCGCGCGCGCCCGAAAGGTGTCCAAGTTCCTCTCGCAGCCGTTCTCCGTCGCGGAGATCTTCACGGGCTTCGCCGGCAAGTTCGTGCCCCTCGAGACGGCCATCAAGGACTTCGGCGAGGTCCTCAACGGCGACTACGACGACCTCCCCGAGGCCGCCTTCTACATGGTCGGCGGCATCGACGACGTCGTCGAGAAGGCGAAGACCCTCTAGAAAGGCGCCCCCGTCCCCCCTATCGCCGTCTTTCCCGAGACCACCTAATATATATATATTCCAGACGCGGTTTCCCGTCGCTTCGTCGTCGATGGCGTGGACGGCAGCGAATAAGTCGCTCAGCCTCAGGCTATTTACGTCGCGGGGTCCCCCGTACCCCTCCCGCTCCCCCCGGGCCCACCCGTCAGGCTGGACTAGGACGCAATTGCCGAGTCGCAGGGACTCGCACGCCCCCCCCCCTTTCCCCGTCAGGATTTGCTTCCTAGTGTCTTACTGTACGCTAGCCCCGTGCGAGACGCCGGCCAATTTCACGCTCCGGGGAGCTGCACCAGAGGTCTCAGTGCAACGAAACGTTTCAGATTCAAGAGTCATCAGCGTTTGCAAACGCTGCCGGAGAGCGAAGCAATCCCACACACCAGAAGCGATATAAAAAGCGCAGAAGCGATCAAAACATGCAAGACAGAGCCGTCAAAGAGGGCTTCCAGCCTTTGAAGAAGGCGTCAACCATGCCGACGTCGCCGCGCGCGCCGCCCGCGCCGCCATCGGTGGATGAATTACGAATTGGAGACCTGGCGGACCTGCGCGCGCAAGACCTGAGCAAGCTCTACACCTTCGCCGAAGACAGAGAAGAGATCTACATATCTCGGCTGCGAGAAGCGGTCGCGATCAAAGGCGTGAGCGCATGGGTCGAGAACAGACCCAAGATCGTCGAGATGCTCGAGTGGGCCAAGGCCTGGGCCGAGCGCCTTGGCGCCGCGGAGGCGCGCTTCGTCGAGAACCCGAAGAAGGGAGAGGACGCGACGCTGCCGCCTCTACTACTGATAACGTTCGCGGCGGAGACGAACCTGCCGCACGACAAAGTGCGGACTGTGTGTGCCTACGGCCATTTGGACGTCCAACCGGCGAAAAAAGACGATGGCTGGGACACGGAGCCATTTGAATTGACTGAGACGAAGGACGGCCGCCTCGTGGGCCGCGGCGCGAGCGACGACAAGGGCCCCGCGCTCAGTTGGCTGTGGGTCGTGGAAGCGCACCGCAAGCTCAACATGAAGCTCCCGGTCCGCCTCAAATTACTATACGAGGGCATGGAGGAGTTCGGGAGCGAGGGCCTGCCCGAGTTCGTCGCAAGGGAGGCCGTGCCGCCGCAACCTAGGTTCAACGACGCGAAGCGCGAGATCACGCTGGACTTCAAGAACGCGGGCTGGCTGTCCGACGTGGACCACTTCGTCATTTCGGACAACCAGTGGCTGGCCAAGAAGACGCCGTGCCTGACCTACGGTCTTCGCGGCGTGGCGTACTTCGAAGTCATCGTGTCGGGGCCGGCGCAGGACCTGCACTCTGGTGTTTATGGCGGTTCCGTCCATGAGCCGCTGAACGACCTGATCCACTTGTTGGCTTCATTAAGACACGCGCCGGCGCTCGGCGGCATGCACCACGAGCGAATCCGCGTGCCTGGTTTATTGGACGACGTGCCCCCGGTCACGGACGAGGAGCGAGCAAAGTACGCGACGCTCGACTTCGACGTGGAGCAGTACAACCGCGAAGACGTGACCGGCGCGCAACTGGAAAATGCGACGAACGAGAAGACGCTGATGGCGCGCTGGCGCTTTCCCACGCTGTCGATTCATGGCATCGAGGGCGCGTTCAGCGACCCGGGCGCGAAGACGGTGCTGCCGCGACGCGTCTCGGGCAAGTTTTCCATCCGCCAAGTGCCGAACATGACGTCGGCACGGACCGAAGCGCTTGTGACGAGCTATCTTGAATCGCAGTGGGCGGCGCTGGGGTCCAAGTATGCCCTCGAGGTCAAGATGGTCCACGGCGGGCCGGCGTGGGTGTCCCGCACCGATCATCCCAATTACGTCGCGCGCGGTGTCATCGAGGCGTCGCGGCGATGGCGTTACGCTCGATTTACACACAGGTTGCCGCGTCGCGCGCAGTGACGAAGGTCTTCGGCAAGCCGCCCGACCTGACGCGCGAGGGTGGGAGTATACCTGTAGCAAACTGGCTCGCCGACGCCACTGGCATGAATGTGTTGCTCCTGCCGACGAGTGCGTCGAACGACGGCGCCCACGCGCAGAATGAGAAGTGGGACAAAGTAAACGTCACGAACGCGGTGAAAGTCCTAGGTACGTATCTCCACGAGATTTCGAAGTTGGTCGGGCCGCGGCCCGCACTCTGCAAATGCGCGCCGCCCACTGCTGAAGATCTCGCGAAGCCTGGGTTCTTTGCCTTCGCGAAGGGATTCCGTTGCAAGTGCGAGCTTTAAATTAACAAGTTAGTACTACTATCGATCGAATTCGCCCGCTTCCGCCGCCCGGACGCCGTGTCGTCGAAGGTTCGGTGGAACTCTCGGAAGACGTAGAGCAAGCCCCCAACCCCCACCGCAGCGACGACGAGGCCCAAAATATCCAGGCACATCATCAAGACACGCACCCACTTGTTGCGGAAGACGGCCGCGCGCGCGACGGCGTAGGTGCCCCGCCCGCCGTCCAACAAGCGGCGACCGTCGTGGTTGTGGTGCTGCGGAATTCTCGTAAGGCGCTCGTAGCCGCGCGACGCCCGCTTGCAGAAGTCCAGCGTTTTCACAGAACAGTGCTTCTTAGCACAGGCCGTGCAGACCTCTCGAATTTTCATTCGATGCGCCGCGTGCTCGGCTTCGAGGTCGAGCAGGCGCTCCTTCGCGTCTCCCGCAGAGGAATGCGTGAGGTTGTACCTCAAATCCCTATCGTTCTTCAGGTCCCGCTTGATCTCGTCGAGCCAGTCCTTGTCGTTCACGCTCTGAGCCCATCGCGTGACGTTGACGAATTTTTGGCAGTCCGTCACCTTGCGGTGGCCCACCTCGACGTAGCGCCGCTGCTGGGAATGCTCGTGGATCACGAAGGTCTCCATGAGTCCTAGTTTCGCACAGTCCAAGCCTTCAAATACCGAAGCGACGTCCTCGGGCGCGTCCAGTATGAGATGTTGTGATTGGGCCTTCCTCAGTTCTTGTACCACAATCCTCATATACCTATCTAGACCTTCCGGCGACACCAGCTCCCGCTGGACGCGTTGGGCGCCTTCCACAAGTCTTTTGTACTTCATCGGGTTAGCCTGTAAGTCGTCCACAACACTCTTAGCGGAAGAACGAGACACGGACGCGTGCGTCTCGCCGTGCTTGAGGGCCGGATACAGCCACTCCACGACCGGCCCGTCCCACAATAGCACCGCACTCCCGACGGCCCACAGGTGGTTTAGATTCCTAGAGTAGCTCCCGTCGGTCTTGCCCGGCAGATTCAGCACGTATTTATAATTCGCGTAGTCGCGCTCGCCGTACATGACGTCATCCCGCACCCTCGACATGTTATTTTTGATCATGGCTGTCATGGAAGCGTCATAAGGTAAGTCGTCGCACGGATGCGCCGCCTCGTCTCTAGGGGCACAAAGCGTGTTGCACTTCGAATCAAATAAATCCGGGTGCTCGCGCGTCAACGCTAGGGACTCCAACCGCGCGTAGTTGCCCCATTCCCGTTCACACGGATACCGCCCGCTCGGACTGGGCTCGTGGTTGTCGACGGCGCCGCGCCAAAAAACGCGCGGGATGCGCTCCTTCACGGCGTTCGCGGCGTCCTGGAGTTCAGCGATCGTCGCCGCCCAGCTCGTGCCGACGTCGCCCCGCCCGAAGTACGGGTTCGGGACCAGGAGGCCGCAGTCGTCGTAGCCGCCCCTTTTTGCGATGACTGTGGTTGGTATCATTTGCAGGCGTTTATCATAGTAACAAACACCAGCGCTCGACGTCTCGTGGATCATGAAGACATTCGGTAATCTACCAAATCGTCTCTGGATGGCCGCGAGTAACAACAGATGCTTCTTGGCCTTGTCCGCATGTAAGTATTGTTGTGTTGAATATAACCTACCGCCCAGGACCAAGATCAAACTGTCCCGCAATTTCTCCTTCGTCAAGATGTGTCGCAACAGATTGCGGGCCTTCATCGCGTCGTGGGGCATCGCCCGCTTGCCGAAGCGCGTGTCGTTCAACGATTTACGGAGTTCGCCGGCCATGGCCGCGAACCAGTCCCCGTCGTCGCGCGCCACGCCGCGGCGCGCCTGCTGCGCGCTGGGCTGCCATGGTGATCCGTCGACGGCGTCGACTTGTGCGCCGCTGCCGGGGCTGCCCTTGCGGATCCGGAGATGCGTCTTCTCATTTGCTTGCGCGACGGCTGCGAGCAGCACAACTAATGCCCGCATCCCCATCAGAATGGGGTCATCGTGCCATCATCTATGCGCAAAGCAACGCAACCGGGGCGGGACCGACGTTCGGGCACGCAGGGAGGCGTCGGCCGGATGGCTAGGCAGCCTTGCTCAAAGCAAGGCAGCCAAAATGACACATCGGCCAATTTTTTCATCCGCCGCAGCCCCGCACGATCGAGCTCGCCAGCCTGGTCGTATCAGCGAAGGCGTCGCCCAGCAATCCCACTAGAGGTCAAACGACTCATTGCAAGAAAGCGCGACGGCGCGGACCGCGCCAGGGAGATGCGCGGAATCGCGACGCGCGGCAGGGCTCCGCCCACGAGTCCTAACACCGTACCAGCTAGAGGTCACTCTTACTCCAGGTACAGGTTCCAAACTAAAATCGCGCCGTCCTCGCCCACCGTCACGAGCTGCTTGTCGTCCGGGCTAAACACGAGGTCGTTGATCGCGCCCGAGTGGCCGACGACCTCCGCGACCCGCGTTAACCCCTCACCACTATCAAAGAGCTTCAGCATCTTCTTCGAGCCGCCCGTGGCCACCACTTGACCATTATGAGACACGGCCACGCACGTCGCCTCGTCCGTATTATCTGAAGAGAGCGGGACGCACTCCAGGTAGTTCGGGTCCCTCAAGTCCCACTTCGTCAGGCGCTTCTCCTGGCCCACCGAGAACACTCTCGTTTGATCTCGGCTCAGCGCGACGGCGTTGATGCCGCCCATCCGTTGGGTATGACTTGTGACGCGTTTCTCTTCCCGCAGCTCCCAGCATAGAAAGCTCCGATCTCTCGAGCAACTGAGAGCGTGCATGTCGTCCGCATATAGTGTCAAACCGGTAACCTTGGCGCGGTGCTCCTTCAAGTGAGAGACCAGTTCTCTGCTCCTAAGTTCCCACACTCTCACGTCGCCCTCGCCGCCGCCGGTCATGACGAAGCGCTGGTTGGACGCTAGTTGTAGGGCCGTGACGCCGCCCCGATGCGCGTGGTCGATCAACCACAACGGCCCGCCCTTCTCGGCGTCATGTGCTCTTATTCGACCGTCGGTCCATCCTGAGATCAGGAAATCTAGAGTGTAGACGATGCACGTCGGCTCACCAGCATCTCGTACTAAAACAGTAGCCGAGGCCTTGTAGTCGTTGGCGTCCCAAACCCTTAATGTTTTATCCGTGGAGGCCGTCGCGAACCTATCGGAAGACTCACGAGCGTAGGAGCAGGCTCTTACGGGGTGCGCGTGGTTCTCGCAGACCAACAACGCTCGTGAGAGATCACCTCGTAATCGATAGATGGCACCATTCCTAATAGCGGCGACGATCTCCGAGCCATCCGGCGCAAAAGATAAAGCAACCACACCCGCGGGCAGTTTTAGTTTAGCTAACTCTTCCAATCGAGCATCGAAGGCGGTGACAGTCCCGTCGCCGCCGCCCGTGACCACGCCGCCTTTCTGCGTCGTCAACAAAGCTTCGACGCCGCCGCCGTTCGCGTAGATCGGCTTGAAGGCCATCTTGTTCTGCCGTACGTTGATCGTCGTAAAGTCGCCGGACGTCGTCCCACAGTAGATGGTCGTATAATCCTCCGAGAAGACCATGGTCGTGATAGAGCGTACGGTCGCGCCTTCTGTCGTGATTCTTTCACTCTCTAGACTACCCTCGTAGGGATCGAGGGACCACATCGTGGCCTTGGTGCCTCCCGCCGTGGCGAACAAGTACTTGTCCGTGTCCCTCCGCTTCACATCCCTTACAAATCCACCCCAACATACAATCGAGGCGCAATTCGGGTTCGCTACCACTGTAACAATATATCCGTTGCTCATGTCCCAGACAATAAGTTTGCCGTCGTCTCTCCCGCCCAACGTACATAGTAATAATTCGTCATGGGAGAAGGCCACCGCTTCGACAGCGTGGTCGTGCTCCGCCAACCGGAACTTGAGGGATTTTGTATTGTAATCCCATACGATCGCGTCGGCGTTCTCTCCGGATTGGCCCGAGGCCACATAAGTACCGCGCGGGGACAATGCGACACAAACCACACTGTCATCATGCCCTCGCAGAAAGGACTGGTCGTGGGGGTCGTCGAAATTGCAGACTATTATGCTTGCGCCCGCGGCATACATGTACTCGCGGCCATTGGGGTGGTAATGTAAACCACCTCGTATGGTCGATATACCAATAGCATGCTCGAGCTCGATGGGGGCGTCCTCGACGGGCGGCATCCTTTTGATGGGCTGCCTTTCTCTCCTGGGGTGGTCTGGTGCTAGCTAGCTATGCCGCTTGGCTGCCTTTCCGCCACTGCGGTCCGTGGGCTGGCACGCGCTTGCGATGCGTGGCTGCCTCCCACCGTCGCTCCGGCCGACGTGAGCCCGCGGTCGAGCCGTTTTGCCAAGTCGTGCGCTGCGCTATCCGCCGGTCCTGGGCCGCGACGGGCGGGGAAAAGCGAATCCCCCAGGCTTGTGGAGGGCTCGAGAGCGCTCCGAGGAGTCCTCGCGAGGGAATTTGTTTCCAGCCCAGCGCCAAATGCTGCCGCAGAGCGCCGGCGCTCGACCACCACAGCACTTCCCTCGCGGTGCTGTTGGTCGCGCGCGGGTGCCACGGGTAGCCGTCAGGACGCGGCCGAAGCGATTCGGGCAGCTGTTCTCGGTGCGCGGTGCTACAGATAGCGGCATCAACAAGGCTGCCCAAAAAGGCACAAAAGCAGCACGCCGACGGCGCTTCGCAGCACGGTATACAGGGTCGCACCACCGCGCAGGACCACGATGCGCCGCTACTCCGGCTTCGAGCATGAGCGCGTTTTGTTGTATCACAGCCGCATGCAGCACATCGTCGGGCACTGCGACCCGACGCCCGAAATCAAGTCGACGCGCCAGAGCGGCGACCCGCTGGCTGCGCTGGACGGCCAGAAGCCAAAGCCCCCGGTCTGGACGCTCTGCTCGCCCAAGTACAAGTTCAAACGGGCAGCTTCATTAGTTGCCGCGCAGCAACGACAGCGGCCGTCGAGCGCGCCAGCAAGACGGACGACGGCCTTCGGCACGCTCGTCGCACCATCATCGCCAGCCAGAAGGCCGGGCTTGCAGATGGCGGACGTCGCCCAGCACGCGCAGCTGCGCAAAGAGCAGCGCAAGGAGCAGATGGCGCGGCAGTTCGCCCAGGCCGTCTCGAAGAAGTCGGTGCACGCAGTGGCCAAGCGCCTGGCCTTTGCGCAGGTGCAGAAGGTCGAGCGGCAGAAGGCGTTCACGCACAAGTTCGTGCAGAAGCAACATCGGAAGATGGAGGCTGCGAAGCCGCCGCAGTGGGTGCGCAAATTTCAATGTGGCGTCTGGTTTTGGGTCGACCAGAATACGGGCGAGGCACGCGCGGCGCCGCCGCCTGAAATCAAAGAAGACGAAGCGTCGAGCGTCGGCCTGTGCAAGAAATGGCACGCGGAGGAGCGTCATCGTAACTCTACACGCCGCAGAATCCGCAAGTACTTCGACGACGAGACGCTGGGCGGCCTGGACGATGACGCGTCGGTGGACTCGACGATCCCGCTGGGCACGGGCTACGTGGCCTACGAGCCGTCGCCCTACGAGGAGCTGTGCGCGTTGCTCGACCAGGGCAAGCTGCCGCGGCCGAAGAGCGCTCCGGCGGGCGGTCGCCGGCCGGCGGTCGCAGACGCTACGGCCAAGACACGGGGCGAGACCCGGACCAAGGCGCGGAGCGAGAGCCGGACGAAGGCGCGGGCCGAGAGTCGGACCAAGGCGCGGGCCGAGACCCGGACGGTGCTGGGGGTCACTCCGCGGAGGCAGCGCTTACTCGAGGATGCGGCCGCGTCCGGCCGCCTCTCGCCATCGCGGTGATGTGCTAAGTTTGTTGACTTTATTACCTCCTAGCGGGCGCCGACTGCGGCCGTCGCCTCGACTTCGCGTCGCGGTCGAGGAGTGCCTCGAATTCCCGGAACGCGTCGGAGCCGCCGTCGCGGTCGTAGACCGTCATCCCTACCGGCACATACGATAGCGGTGGCGGCGGTTTGCGTGGCGTCGGAGGCTTGTTCGGATCCGTGTGATGCTTGTGGAATTCCCCCCTCGTTATCCCAGGCTTCGTGCCCGGCGGGAGCACTTCCTCGACGGCGTTCGCCATGCCGGACTTATAATCCATCCAAATCCAGCAGCCCGCGCATTTCTCCAGGACGTGGTTCTTCCAATCTAACCCTGCGAGAGCCTTAGCGCGCGCTTTCGCTTCTTGCGCCTTGCGAAACATTTGTGTTTCGAGAGCCTTCCGCTCGAACAGCGACAGGTCGTTGCTGTGGCCCAGACTGCTCCCCTTCAAGGTCATGAACTTGTGCGAGTGCTCTTTTTTCATCATTGAAGCCCTTGTGGCGCCGAAGAGGCACGTCGGCCGGCGCGCGCCGGCCGTGCTCGGCCGCGTCGAGGCGGTGACGACCGTGGCATTCGTCTCGAGGCTGGCGCGGCCGCCCGCCGGCGCCGTTGACGGCCTTCTTCTTGTACTGGGCGTGCAGTACCTCGTCCGCGCCGCGTTGCCGCGTCGCCGCGGCTTGATGTGCTCCGGCCGTTTCGAGATGGACCAGCATTTATGCTGCCCGTGGTGGCCCATGTTCAGGTTTGGGGCGCGCTCCACATACTGCCTTCGCGAGCCATAGAGGATTTGTTTGGTGCTCAGCTCTTTGTCCATTGGCACTACTGTCCCAGGGCTGCCCCAGAGGGAGTCAGACTAATGCAACGAAGGGTCCGATCAGAAGCCGCTCCCTTTGCGACGCGTCCCCTCGCGGTTCCAAAACCGGGCTGCAGACCTTTGCCAGAGATGCTCTCTGTGCAACGCGCCACCACAGAGCGCCGGAGTGACAGCTCGCGCTACAGATGTGCACAGCGCGGGAGGCCTCGCCTATCGTGCTACGAGTGCTCACCGTCTAAATTCTTTCGTGCGGGGCTCTTGCCGAGTTTGCTTGCGCTCCGGCCCTGGAATTGCACGTACGAATGGAATAAAGGCGAGGAATATATGCGCATGGCTGCCTTCACGACCCACAAGAGGGAAGAGGTCAGTGTGGAGGAGTTAAGAGCCCATGCGATAATGCAAGCACACAGCAGTCATAGCTCATGAGGGCTGCCCTACTGCTAGCCCTCGCCGCGGCGGACACCTGCGACCTCCCTTTGTTACCATCATTCGCGGCGCGACCGGCGCGCATCGACAGCGACTGCCCGCGCGTCTACGTCTATGATATTCCGCAACTCTACGACTACGAGATACCGTGGCCGGAGCTCCACAAGGCGAACGTCACGCAGATCTTCGGCGCGCCCTGTCATGACGGCATATTAGACGAGTTCGACACGAACCAGTACTCATTGGCTATAATGATACTGTGGCGGCTGGCCACGTCCGAAAGGTGCGGCGCCGTCGACGACCCGAAAGACGCTGATTTATACTTCGTGCCGACGTGGCCGGCAGCCAAAGGTTTGCCGGCCTGGGACCGAGCCTGCGGTCATCCCGCGAACGCCAAGGTGAAGCACCTCCCCTACCTAAACGAAAGGACGGCGCACCGGCACTTCTTTATCGTTGGCAAGGGCCACGTCGTGCCCAAGCACGACTGCAAGTACCTGTGTGGAAATCAAATTTTAGATGCTCCACGCCATCGACGCGACGTCGTCCCCGTAACTGCATCTGTTCGATGGCGTGGAGCTTCCACGCCATCGACACGAGGATGCCTCCATTCCTGCGTCTGCTCGACGGTGTTCAGGTTGATAACCTGACTCACTGCTTGATTTCCACACAGGCAAGTACTGGTGGCTGCGGCCGGAGGGGTTGCTGGCTCGCGCTTCGCGTTGGGCCTACAGCGACCAGTACGGGCGGTCCCACACGCTGGCGTCGTATGGTCCGGCCCCCTTTGACGACGCGCGCCTCGCGAAGCAATTGGTCGGCGACCGCATCTCCTCAGATCAAGGTATCGCGCCGCACTTATTTAGCGTGCCGTACCCGGCGGCGGTCCACGCCTGGGGCGCTCATTCTAGACCGTGGGGCGCTCATTCTAGACCGATTTTAGCTGCATACGTCGGCGGTGACCGCAACGGCACGTTCTCGTACCTCCGGCCGAAGATCGCCGCCCTTTGTGAAGCGTCGGACGCTTGTGAAACTCATGTGCCGCACGAGGGACATCGGGTCTGCGGCGTGCGCTGCGTGCCCGGCCTGCGCCGGACGATGATGCGCGCGACGTTCTGCCTGCAGCCAGGGGGCGACTCGCCCTACAGAAAGAGCGTCTTCGACGCCGCCCTTGCGGGATGCATCCCCGTCGTGTTTTCTCAGCAGCTCGCCCGCGTCGCGCCCTGGCAACGGGGAAACTTCCCCGAGCACTTTGTCGTTCTGAACGGCGCCGCCGTGCAGCGCGGCGAGATTGATGTCATCAAGCATCTCGCCGGAATTCCGCAGGCGAAAATCGCCGAGCTGCGACGGAACCTCGCGGGCGTCGCACCGGCTCTGCAGTACTCGATCGACGACTCGATACGAAACGACGCCTTCGAGGCGCTCCTCCGGGGCGCGCTCGCGGTTGCTACCGAGCGCGAGCGCCTCCGGGACCGCCACGCGCGCCATGAGAGTGTAGTGGTCCTAAATACGTTGTTGTAACCGACACCGCGAAGACAACGCCCGGGCCCGCCTACTAGTAGACAACTTCAAGTTGAACGCCTAAGATTAACACATTGTTACTCCGGCCTACTTCGTGTAGAAGGACAGCCGGTCCGCGAAGACATCCAAAGACAGCGACAGGTCTTCCGGCGCGACCTGCAGCTTGTCGCGGAAGAAGTCGAAGAGGATCAACTGGACGGCGATGATGACCGCGAAGAGCAGACAGCGCTGCGCCGCGCCGGCGAACAACCTAGGCGCGCCCTGGATCGTCTCCTTAACAGTATCACCACCGACGACCGTCGCCAACGCCTTCTTCCAGTCGGGACCGTACTTGCCGGTCGCGAGCTCCGTGACGACGGCGTCGGCCGGCGCGGACGTGAAGGCGCCGACGGCGCCGGCCAACGCGCCACAAAATACCGTAACTAGAAAGGAGGCTACCGGCCGTTCCCGAGCCGCAGGCAGTAATTGGAATAACGTCGACTGCGCCGCCGTGTACACCGTCAGTTTGAATACAGTGAAGGGCAGCTCCCGCGCCAGCAAAGGCCCGAAGCCGTCCCACAGTCTAGCTGGTTGACTTTCCCCATCCACCGTAGCGACGGCGTCCAAGGCACCCTTCAGACCCGCCGCTTTGCCCGTCATGAGGCGCACTTTTGCGGCTTCCAAGGGGGCAGATAACGCCGCAGCGACAATGACAGCTCCCACAGAAGACATCAACGTCAGGGCTAGTTCTTGCTCTGTCGCGAAAGCCGGCCCGAATGCTCTAGTTGCTAATGAAGGCAGGCCCCTTTGCAGGGTCTCGTAGACCCCGAACGTGGAAGTACCCAAGGCAGCCCCACAGGCCGCCGTCGCCTCGACGCCCAAGAAAGGGGAGACGTCGTCGTCGTGGAGCTCAATACCGGACGCGGCCGCGGCCTGGGCCCGCGTTTTCGACAGTTCTAGGGGGTTCAGGGCGGCTCGCGTCGCGGCGTTCGCGACGGCACCGGCGGCACCTAGTCTCACTAATTGACCGGAAGTCAACTGTAACGGCTTCCGCACGGGAGCCAAGGCCGCCCGCATACTTCGAGAAGCCTCTTCGATGCGACCAAAAGCCACTTGCGGAAAGGAGTGGCGCTCGCCGTCCCACCTCGGAATAGGCCCTGGACCTAGTAGTGCCGTGAGCTCCTTGGCTGAGGCGTCCCTCGGCGCCCACCTCGCTGCGGACGGTGGTCCTTCATACTCCTTGTCGGGTGCTGGTACCGTACGAGCAACGGCAATCGGTGGTCTTAAAATTTCAATAGACTTGTCATAGAAAGGAAACTGCAGGTCCAAAGGCTGGGCCGTCGTATACCCGTAGTTCGTATTCTGGTTCGGTAGGATCGCTACCGATTCTACTCGATATTCTAGGATCGGTACTACCTTGGCTAAAGTGCCACAAGCGCTGTTATCTTTCGGGTCCGCAACGTTCAAAATCAAGTCATTCACCGCATCGGCAAAATCCAACGCTTCGGGCGGCACGTCGGCCTCGACACTATCTAAACCTCCATCTTTCCCTATGCGACCCTTAGCTACTTCTTTACTTTGTATCGAACCACCAATACTCGCTACCGTAATTTCTGGGGGGGTCGTGTGGCCGCAGCCCCGCTCCACGACCTTGAAGCCTAGCACTTTTCCGGTCGGTACGAGTTTGGGCGGCGCCAAGCGCGCGCCGACTCGTAACCGATTCCTCCCGTAAAACACGGCAGGAGCCGGTAAGGTCGCTCGTTCTAACCTCCCAACGGCCTCCACGTCACCAGCCGCTAATGAGCCTCCATCGAGCACTTCTATCGAGACCACAGACGCGTTTTCGTGAGTAGCGGACAGGATCGCTATTTCTTCCGTCGGCTGCAATTGCGGTTCTAACAGAGAAAAGCATAGAGCTAATTGCCTTGGAGCGTCCGTTTGGCGGCCGTACCTCGATCTTAACAACGAAAGTAGTTGTCGGACACCTAGCTGGGGCGTAGTATTCAACTGCCCGTCTTCCGTTGTACTTTTTTCGGCGTAGCTACACAGACCTCGTTCCACGGACGACGCGAAGGCCGCGAGTTGCGTCGCGCGCTTCCGTCGCACCTTACCCTCGTTCCAAGACAAAGGTATTTCGGCACTTTCCGCCCGCCACAGCGCTCTCGAACCATCATCGTAAGCCAACAAAAACCTCGACAAGTAGTTCACGAAGGGCCCCGGGAAGACGCGGCGCACCCTCGCTAAACTGCAGGTCTTGGCCGCGTCCCCCACCTTCCACACTAGCGCGGGGTTCGCGAGGATGTCTATGTTACTAGGCTCCTGGATGACCTCGTTGACGATCTCCCGGGCTTCCGTCTCGGCGTAGGCCGGTGCTGCTAGAACACACGCGGCGGCGGCGAGGGCCTTGCGGCGGTCGATCTCTGGCCTCCCATCGCTGTGGCGTGGCGCCAGCGCGGCGGCCTCGTCGCGGCGCGGCCTCCGCGGCTGGCATTCCGGCGGCGCATCGCTGCGGTGCGGTGCGGCTTCTTTAGTGACCAACCGTCGCGGTTGGCGCTGCCGCGGCGCCGTACTCAGCTGAAAGCCTGCAGCAAGGCTGATGGTGGCAAGTAGCACACGCATCGTAGATGTCTAAGCTGTCATATCCTGGTTATACGTATGCCATGCATCACTGCAATGTCTTTTGTTGACTAATACCTGCGGCGAGACGCCACCTGCATGGCCATCAATGGCACTGCGGTCATCGAGCTGGCTGCGGCCCCCCGCGAGTCTACCCCGCGCAGCTATCCATGCACTTAGCTATGTCCAGAAGACGTCTCTAGTTTGCAAGCTGGCGCTTCCTAGCAACACGGGGCCGACACCCCCACACGGCCAAACGCCCAGAAGGATAGGTAAGGGGAAACCTCGACTTACGACGCCGAGGGGGTAACTATGCCGCAGCAGCAGGCGGCGCGTCCGTCATCTCGACGTCCTCCTTCACTGGTGCCGGCGCCGGCGCCTCCGCGGCGGGCGCCTCCTCAGCAGCAGCAGGAGCAGGAGCCGGCAGTGGTGCCTCCGCCGCCTTTTTCGCCGCCTCCTTTTCAGCTGCGGCTTTTTCGGCGGCGTCGACGGCGGCCTGGGCCTCTTGCGCCGCCTTGGCCTTCGCTTCTGCGCGTTTACCAGGACCGGGCGGCAACGAGTCCTCTTCCGGCTCGGGGCCGGCGCAGTCCTCGGCGGTCCTCGCCTCTTCCCGCTTCCGCGCGAGCTTGATCGGCGGAATCGTGGAGTCGCGGCCGCATTCGAACGGCGAGGGCTTTGGTAATCTACTAACAGTGTTCTGCACCACGGGCTGTTCCTCCTCGACGGCGGCCTTCTTCCGCTTCTTGGACGCCGGCTTTTTCTTCACTTCGACTTTAGAAGGAGCGCAGAAGACGGGCGACGCCGGACACGCGGAGTTCCAGCAGGCCCCGTGCGGATCCTTCGCGACTCTGCATAAAACGCAGCCCGGCGGCCCCAAGGCCAATCGCTGCGACCGATCCCTCCGCGCGGCTCTCCGGCACCATCTAGGACCCATCAACGGTGCTTCATCATCGGAGTCATCTGAACCAGATAGATAAGCGTCCCGGTAAGCGCCGCCATTGCTTTCGTTCGCGTCCCAGGGCCCGCCCTGGAGCGCCTCGAGCCACTCGGCTAGATGGGGTCTATCGCGATACCGGTCTCGGGCCCGCTCGACGTGCTTCCGAACTCCTTCCCTATAAGCAGCTTGCTTCGCGGACGAAGAGACGCCTCGAGCCACTCGCGCGAGTAACTGGGGCTGCCGGTTCGCACCACCGACGGCCGCCGTCGCGCCTCGCGTCGTAGGAGGCGGCGGCGGCGGCGGCGGCGGCTTGCGGGGATTCGGCTTTCTTTTAGGTTCCTCCTCATCATCATCATCCTTCGAGGCACCGCGCGTCGCCGCTCTCTCAGCTTTCGCTTGTTGTTCTTTCCTTTTGGCCGCCGCGGCTTGCCTCGCGGCGGTCGCGGACTCCGTCCGCTTACTGCTCTCTTCGATGTCGTCATTAGCTCTCTCCGCGTCCTTCTCGTCGACGAGCTCGAGTTCATAAGCCCGTTTGGCGATCTCGCCGCGCGCCGTCCGTAGCTGGACCCAGCCGTTGCCACTCCTCAGAATTCTACCGACTTGACCGCCCAATCGACCAACTCGCACGCGAACATGCGTGCCCACCCACCTTTCAGCGTCGACGGCTCTACCCGTCAAGACCGATGACAATAATCTAGCGCCTCTACCTCGAGGCTTCTGCTGAGGCTCGTCGTCATCCGAACCTTTCCTCGAGCGTTGGGCGCCGCTCGCCACTCTTCTCAAAGCAGACGGTCTAAAAGTACACACGCGCCGGTCCGCAAATTGGACCTTGAACCACGTGTTCGGGTGCTGCGGCACTTCCTTGATTGTGCCGATGCGGCCGATGAGGTGCGGTGCTCTTTGCTGGACGTTCTCCGTCCTATGAATAGCGACCTGCGTGCCTCGCTTCAGCGACTGCGCATGGCTCTGCTTGTCGGCCTGGACCTCCTCCTCGGACTCCTCGCCGTCGCCTTCGCGATATTGAGCCGCGGTCGCGGCTCTTGACGACGTCGCGGCGTGTAAGGCACTCGCCTGGAACTGGATGGTCCGGCCATCGGTCACGAGGACGTCGTACCACTTGGACGGCGGCTCGGGGACCTTGGTGACCTCGCCTGCGTGGACGCGGGGGTTTGAACTGGCTTTCTCGAACGGGCGGGCGCGGGTCGCCCAGGGGCAGGGGGGCGCGTTATGGCTCTCGCTCGCTAGGACGGCGTCGCGGTGGCCGACCCGCGGACGGCTCGACCGCCGTCGCCGCGCCAAGTTGCGCTCAAGGACGTTGATATGTAGGTTTGAACCGGCGGCCGCCGAAACGCGCGAAGGGGGCGCCCCGCGCGTCTCCGGCGTCGTTGCGTTACGGACGCGGCTCCGCACCGACGCTGCCGACGAGCTCCGGGCACCGGGCGAGGACGTTCGCGGTGTCAACTATGATCACCCGAGAACCGACGCGGAATGACATGGTTCAGCGGGGCGCAGCTCGTCGAGGGGCTTCCAAGGGCTATGTTGAGGCTGCGCCAGGCTCTCGCAGTCCGTCTGCACGCCGACGCGCCGCGCGTTGCGAAACACTTGATTTGTGCCGCCTGACCGTCGAGTTGCTCCGCGGACTCGAGACGGCGCCAAATTGCGCGTGCCAATTGGATTTGCGGTCCTCTTCAATTTGCACAGGTCGGGGTTGCTTCGGAGTCCAGTTGCACGCTTGCTGCGGACTGGGTATTGGCGGCGCCTGAGCGGCAGACGAAGCTCAGGCCCGACACCGGAGTGATCCTTACAACCTCCCACCCGTCCTAGGTCTACCCAGGGACGTCTCCGGTCAAAATCAGCGTGACTCGGCGTGACTCTGAGGACAGAACCGGAGCCACAAAAAAAACTAAAACGCGGACCGCGTCCAAGCCGGGACCGTCCACGCGTCCAGGGAGCACCTCCCACGCGCCCGACGCACCGAAAGGCCGCGAACCCGCGCGCCTCGCAATTCTCAGACGGTCTCATTTATTCTCAAACGCGGCGCTGAAATAGCCGCGGGACGCCCCGCCGGCGCGCCCCGACACAAGCGGGAACCCGCAGCGGACCCCAGCGACGCCCCGCAGCCCCCCCGGGTGAAAGCGGCCGCGGCGCAGCCCCCCCCGAGGAGCCCCATCAAGATGCGCTTTGTAATAAACGGCGCCGACGCCTTCGACGTGCCCGAGACCTGTTTGCGGAAGCGCGCGTCTTCACTATTGACGGCGGTCACGGCCTGTAGTTCGGGTGACGTGCGCCAGCTCGATCCTTCCGCGGCTCGTCTAGCCGGCTGGGGCCCGGGCCTGGGCGAGGCCATTGAACGGTTCTTCGAGGACCCCGACGACTTTTCGTTGCCGCCGAACGTCGAGCTGGCGGCGTTCGGTGGCGTGGCGGACTGGCTACGCTTAGAATTAGACCTAGGTGCATTGGCGGCTCTAGCAAAGAGGACCTCTCGTAATAGGCGAGACTTCGCCTGGGCCCTGCGAGCCAAGACCTTCCTGCGGAGGCGGGAAGCGTTGGGACGGGGCCTGTCGTGCATGCGTCAACTGATGTGGTCGGAACCGAACTCGATGTACGCCTTTGTCTTTTTGCGCTTCACGGACGATTTGTATTCAGTGAACGAGAAGTCCGGAAGCCCGTTCCTAGCGGTCGGTGGTGGCGATCGCGAGAAGTTCGGTTCGTGTGAGGACAACGCGCTCTGGGCGGACGACGGGAGCTGTCGCGACGCGTGCGATTCTATACTAGCAAGGTGGGGCCTCGGGACGACCTGGGAGCGGCCCCATTTGGAGCTGCGCGGCGAGGCGCCTCACACTGTATTTGGAGACCGCTGGGTCCTGAAAGTCACGGTACCGCAGCCGGCGGCCCCGGAGGTGACGACGCCTGTTTGTCAGAAGCGGAGCGTCTGACTTATACGTCGCCGAGCGGGACTTCGGTTGAAGTCTAACCCCGCCGCGACGATCCCCTTCCCCCGTTACAGCTGAGCGGGACACCCCTACCAGGGTGTCTAACCCCGCCGCGTTCAAAAAAGTCCTGAACACACGTCCTCCCCCAAGTATAAGATGATTTGATCATACGACGCCGCCCCGGCCCGCGTCGCCGCATGCAGCCTCGTCGCGCCCACGGCGTCATCGCCCGCGTCGGCGCCGCCGCCGGCGACCACGGCCGCCAGGCAGGACGTCGCCCCGGCCGATGGGGAGCGCCGGGACCGCGGCGCTTTTTGGTAGGACCGGCGGGCAGCGCCTGGCGACCGCGCTTATCCCACCCGGCAGGAGATAGAGGTCCGCGTACAGAGAGCCGCCGCCGCCCGGGAATGCGCCGCCGTCGTGCGCCCGCGCGCGCGCGAGCGCCGCGGCGCAGCTTTCGAGGGAGGTTGTTGCGTCGGCGGCGAAGACGCCGTAGCCCGCGGTCCGCGCGGCCTCCCAAACTTTCTCCGTCTCGCGCGTGCAACCCCGTTTCCGATCTCCGCCGAACCACTCGGCCTTGATCACCGGGCGTTCGTCCGCCGCCTCGAGGTCTTCCAGCAACTCCACGGCGGTCAACGCTGAAAGCGCGTCCACATCAATTTTGACGAAGGACACGTGCTTTCGTAGGTGGGGCAGCGCTTGCGAAAACCACCGCCACACGCGCACGGCGCGCACCGTCTTCGGCAGTTTACCGGCGCCGGGCCCGCGGACCGCGACGTTCACCGGTATCAGACGAGACAAATTGCGGTTCGCGAGCGCGTTGACGACGTTGTGGTGGTGCAGCGCCGGAATAAGCTCGAGCGCGAAGACCGCGCCGCGCGGGCCGGCCGCGAGCGCCATCGACGTCGCAGTGTCGCCCCACGCCGCGCCCACGTCGATGGCGACCGTGCCGTCGCAGACCCACGGCCGCCACGCGGCCGGCGGCGTGACCGCCGCGCGCCGCCGCTTCGACGCTTCGCCGAAATACACGAAGCGGCCGGGCTCGGGCCACGGACGGTCGTCGATGAAGAACGGGCAATTGCCCGCGTAGACGCGCGCCGCCGCCACGATATCTGGTGCAGACACAGCGTCGGCCTCGGCCAGGTGCCGGACGACGTGGCCGCAGTCGTATTTATGCAGCCAATCACGTTTGATCGCCCGGAAGCCGCAGCCCGTCACGACACCGGGCAGCTCTCGGTACTTCCTTTCGCACCACGCAACCGCACGAGGGTCGTAATAGGACGCGAGCAGGTTCTCCTCCGCTCGCGGCGACGGCGTAAAAAGGCGGTGGGCGGTGGCGTTCCCACCGGCCCACCATCGCCGCAGCAGCGAGCTCGACGCGGGCGCAAGGCCGAGGAGGAGGAGTGCCCTCATGGCCGGCGCGCCGCCGCGCTGGCTTTCTTCGCGCGGAGCGTCCGCGCTCGACGCTGCTGCGCCGACGTTTGGTAGAGCGCTTTGCTGCCCCCGAGGTAGCAATTCTTGGTCTGCGACTTAGCAGCGCAGCGCAGCTCGTGTTTCGTCGGGCCCAGCGGGTCGCGCGTGCGTTTGGCTGGAGCCTTGGCAGCCGCTTTCTTGCTTTTGGCCATGCTCAGCGTTTCGTTTTCAATCTCATGGGCAGCGGCCCGGCAGCCATCCAAGTTCGACCCTGAATTCTTTTTTAGCATCGAAGGCGAAGCGCGAACTTGTTTTAGAGAATCACCCGGCGGCGGCGCGGCCGACGCATCCGTCCCGGACGCATAGATTGATTTTTTCCGATGTGTTTTGGCAGCTGCTGAATTTTGCCATTCGCACTGCCGCAGGTCGCCAGAGCTGCCCCACGCGGGTCCACACCGCGCGCGCGGAGCAGCGTTGGACCGACGGACGAGCGGTGGCAGCAACAAGATGGCCGAGCGCCCCCTGACCGCGCGCATGGTCCAGAAGCGAGACGACTCCACAATAACTCTAAATGTCTACGACGTCGTCGACCACCCCTTCCACTACGCTCTGGGGAAGTGGCTCTCCTGCGGCATCCACCATTCCGGGATTCAAGTGGATGAACGCGAGTTCGCCTTCACGCTGGAAGGTATTGTTGTGACGGAGCCGCACAAAATACCGCGTTGTCGTTTGACTCATCAAATATTGTTGACACGAACTGCGTCTGATGGTCAGGTAAGGGACGCTTTATCAGTGTTGCAACGTAAGTTCACGGCGCACAACTACGATCCCCTGACGAACAACTGCAACCATTTTAGCGACGCTTTTTGTGAATTACTTAACGTAAGGAAGGTCCCGGGCTGGGTCAATCGAGCCCCTTCTCTCGCGGCGGCCGCGGGCACGCGGTTTCGACTGAAACCACCGCGCGTGACGGCGCCGTCCGTCGAGTGGTCGCTTGCTTTGGCGGAGGCGTCTCCAGACAAGACGCCGACGGTTTTACTGACACGCATCAACGACGACGCGCCCGCCGTGACGTCGGGCGGCCCCGAGACGACGCCCGAGGAGGACGATGATCGGTGTAGGAGCCCGAACGAGCCGCGCGTGCCCTCGCCGCGGTCCTTCGCCGCGATGCCTGCGCCGCCTGCCTGGGCCGCCGCGCTCGCTTCCGACGACGACGACGAGCTTCGCGAGGCGTCGACGATCACCGCGCCGTGGCGAGACGCTAGTTAATAAGAGTGTGTGATTAATTACGACCTAGGCGACCTGCGAGGGATGACCGCGCTCGAGCCAAGCGCGCCCCGCGATAAACACGCGGGCCGCGTAGGATAGCTCCGTCGCTCGCTCTCCGGCAGGTAGTCCCTGCGCGCCGAGGCCATGACATGGGCCCCTTTTGGGCCGGCCTGGCCGCCTATCATTTTCTGCCGTTTTTGTAACGTCGAGGCGAAGGCACCCCGGAGCTTCGACGCCGCGTCGCACCGTCACCGCTTCGCCCCCTGCTTCTTGAGGTAGCTCTGCCAGTTCGCCGTCGGCGCGTTTTTCAGCAAAGGCGCCGTGGCCTTCCGTTTCTTCGACTTTGCCTTCAAGGCTGCTCGGTATTTCTCCACCGCGGAATCAGACGGAGGCCCCGTCGGGAACCTCGACTGCTTGAAGCCCGTCGCGGCGTGGACGTAGCTCACCTCGCCCTTCCGCGAGGCCGACGGCACCGACCGCCAGCCCTCGGGCAGTTCTCGTGTTGTTGCCCTTGTCACGCTCTCGAGGTCGTCCCCTTTCAGGAACTGCGATTGCAAACCGCCGGCGCTCACGGGCGGCATGCCCTCCTCGACCCTTACCAACGTCTGGAGCGCCTCGAGCGTTGTTGAGACGTCCGCGCCGAGCGCCGCGCGCGTCGGCGGCGGCGGCGGCGCAAGCCCAAACTCGCCGATGGTGTAGTCGCTCGTGGCCGTCTTGGCTACCGGTGGCGGCGGCGGCATTTCTCCGGCGTCTGCCTCGTCCAAGGCTGCAGCCATGTCCTTTGCTGCTGGTGAGCACATGTGCTGCCGCGCCGAGCGCGCGTCCGAGGTCTCCGAAACGTCTTTGCGGGAGTCGTGTGCAGCCACGGAAGGCCAGCTGCGTTGAAAGAGTGAGCGGTCGCGGCGCTTGCCAAGCCTGCTCTCCGCTGTGCTGCCTCGCCGCCTCGAGCTCTGCCCAGTCTTACGCAGCCGCTGCCGACTCAGAGTTCAACAGCGATCATCACAGCTTTCAACGGAGCCACGCGAGCCCAGAACTGCTCGTAACGCACCGCTCCGCCGGCACGATGGCGCTCAGATGCCTCGCGGTGCTGATCACGAGTGCTGCCCTCACGCCACCGACGCGCACCAGAATAATACGCAGAGCGTCGGACGACTTTGATGTGGACGCCTACAAGAGCGATCCCAACAACAAAGATCCAACAGATGAATTACCAGGAGCGCCGAACCTGTCGTACGACGACATGCCGGCGGGCCCCGGCTTCGACGAATTGATGGCGCAGTTGGGGGGCGGCGACGACGCACTCACATCGCCGTACGATGCCTACGGCGGGAGCGAAGTGGGCAAGAGGGAGGGCGGCGGCAAGACGTACGTCTGGCAGCAGACCGAGAGTTCTATCACCGTGGCGGCGCCCGTCGCCGAAGGGACATCTACGAAACAAATCAAAGTAGACTACCCGTCGCGAAGCTCGATACTAGCGACGGTCTCCGGAGATATAGTATTGGAGGGCGACCTCGGGGGCGACATTGATAGAGACGACTCGTTCTGGTCGCTCGAAGAGAATCAACTCGTGTTGGATGTGCAGAAGGCTTCGGGGTCAAGGGAGTACTGGGACGGCTTTTTGCGGGACGAGGGTGATGCTGCCAAAGCCACAGTAACAGATAGGGTGTTCTTCGATATAGATATAGAGGGAGAATTTAAAGGAAGGGTCGAGTTCGGCCTGTTCGGCGACGACGTGCCTTTGACAGTGAAGAACTTCGTGAGCTTGTGCGAGGGTTTTGAAGGGATGAGTTACAAGGGCTCGCCGTTCCACCGCATCATCCCGGGCTTCTGCTGCCAGGGCGGGGACGTTACTAGTGGAGACGGCACGGGCGGCGTGTCCATCTATGGTGGGGCTTTCGCGGATGAGGCGTTCCCCTTCTCCCACGCTGATAGGGGGTTGCTGTCGATGGCGAACAGCGGTCCCGACTCGAACAAGTCGCAGTTTTTTGTTACCTTGGGTGATTGTACGTGGCTCGACGGGAAGCACGTCGTCTTTGGGAGGGTGCTGAAGGGTGGCGACGTCTTCGAGGAGCTGGAGCAGCTGGGGGACTCGTCGGGCGCGGTTTCATCTGAAGCGGTCGTGTCCGCGTGTGGGGTCTGTGAGAGCTGACCCTTGCCTCTAAAATTGTTGATTTGATCTCTGAGTCGGTGACGAGTCGGTTCGGCAATGAGCCAGCTTGAGCGAGTACCGCCCAGCGTTCGCGTTTCGCAGCTAGAGGGCTTGTGACACTAGGATCATTCTGTGATTATTTTTTTGGCGTGTCATTGGCGTGGAAACGAGCACATTGATCACAACTACAGTGGTGTCGCAGCGAGAAGAAGTCGCAGCCGACGAGCGCTTTGCTGCAGCCCAGAAACAATGGGCAAAAAGCAGCGAACGGGAACCGCGCCCCCGCGGTCGGGCGCCTGGCTGGCCAACGCGCCGCCGAAGCCGGTCAAGCTGCCCGCTTTTTTACCCATCCTGCCGCCGACGGACGAGTACTTCCCGATTTCCGAACAAGCAGAGCAGCCGCCGTCCACGCTCGACGCCACGGGCGCCGTGCGCGTCCACGACGCCGTCGGCCCCTGCGTCGTCACGGCCTCTAATGCGCTGACGGCCGAGGAGTGCTACGCCTGGATCGCCTTCGGCGAGATGGCTACTATGCCGCCGAAGCCGGGGCCGGACGGCCGATGGGCCCCGGGGGACGAGCCGCCCCAGCGACCCGGGTTCAAGGATATACAGAGCAAGCGGACGGCGGGCACGGCCGAGCGCTTCCATGGAAGGTTGTCATTACGGGACGACGCCGCCGCGGAGGCGATTTTTAGGCGGATCCGGCCCTTGCTGCCGGATACGTTATATGGGAAGAAGCCCGTGGCCTGCAATCCAAATTTGAGGCTCTACCGTTATAGTGAGGGCCAGCGCTTCGGCCGCCACGTCGACGGCGCGGAGATTCTTCCGCGGGGCCGCACGGAGTTTACCGTGTTATTATACCTGAGCGCGTGCGAGGGCGGCGCGACGACGTTCTTCCGGGACCACGAAAAGCCAGACGTGCTCTTCGCGTTTCCGCCGACGGACGGCGCGGTGCTGCTCCACGCGCACGGCCAGCGGTGCCTGACGCACGCGGGCGCGCCGGTCACGGGCGGCGTCAAGTACCTGTTGCGCACGGACGTCGTGTACCAGTGAGTGAGTAAGGGGATGTTGTTATCTATTTTTTTGTCGTCATTGTTACGGTGCTAGGACTAGTGGGCGGAGCGCGGAATTTGTGAAGTCGATGTTACGGTGCTAGGACTAGTGGGCGTAGCCCCTGGGGGGGAGACACCGCGCGTCGCCGATTCATCGGCGGCGGGCGCGGGCCGCTTCTTTCATAACAGAATACCTCCTTCTAAGCAGAACCGCCTCGGCACCCCCCCCCCCCCCCCCCCCCCGAACAATGTACAACGTTCGCCCGTTCAATCAACTTGTCCCCGCGACTTCCCGCGGCGACCTTAATTGCTAGCGGCCAGTAACACACTAGCAAACCTGGAGGGCGTCGCGAGGTCGCACCCCGCTGGGCGTGATTAGGGCAACACAAGTTATTGCGCGCTCATCACAACGCGCCAGTGCTCAACAAAGCACAGATCAGCTCGCCGGTTCGCTCCCTCGGCTCCTGCTCGCGGAGATAGCAAGGGAGAGGTCACTAGATAGATCCAGCCAAAATGTCCGCGCCGCCCGCCCCGGGCGCCGCAAACGGCTCCACTACAGCCGCGGACCTCCCCTACGGCGGCGACGTCCAGGCCGCGGCCAAGGCCCAGGACCGCGAGGCGATCCGGACGATCATGGCGTGGCGCACCGCGAAGGAGCGGGGCGAGGCGCCCCCGGCGGCGCCCGCGCCCGCGCCCCCGGCGCCGGCGCCCGCGGCAGCGCCCGCGCCCGCGCCCCCGGCGCCGGCGCCCGAGCCCGCCGAGGCCCTCGCGGCGGCGGCCGCGGCGGCGCCGACGCGCCGGTCGCTGTCGGACCTCGTCGCCGAGCAGGACAAGCGGGCGCCTCCTCCGCCGGCGCCGGCGCCGGCGGGGCCGCCGCCGAGCATCCTCGGAGTGCCGGCGGGCCCGGCGCCCAGCATCCTAGGAAACAGCACCAAGGAAGACGGCTGGGCCGCGTCCGAGCCGGCGCCGCCGGCGACGATTGATAAACTCAAGGCGACCCTCGCGGCCGAGGTCGCCAAAGCCGACGAGTCTACGAAGATGGCGACCGAGGACGCTCCTCAGGACGGCATGGCGGCGCACGACAAGGCCGCGGCGGCGGCCGTCGCGGCCATGGCCGCGGGCCGCGCGCCGCCGCCGCCGCCGCCCCAAGAGTCAAGTGGAGACGCCTCCGAGCCGCGCGCCGCCGACGTCACGTGCAAGCCCTGCAAGTCCCCTTTACTAGAAGGAGTCGCTGATGACAATAACGAAGAGGACGCGGCCGAAGCCTACGCGAAAGCAAAGGCCAAGGGCGACGCCGCTTCTGAAGCGGCCAACGCCGCCAATAAGGCCAAAAAGGCCCTCGAAGACAAGCCCAAACCATTGACGGGCGCCGCGGCCAAGGCGGCCTATAGAGCCGCAATAGAAGCGCGCCAGAAGGCCGCCCAGGCCCAGAAGCCTGACAAGAAGAAGAAGGAGAAGAAGGCGCGGCCCCGGCGTCCCGACGCGGTCGCCGCGATGGCGTCTTCATGAGACCACGTCGCCTCAACCCCGTCGACGCGGCCGTCAGGGAGTCTACGCGCGACGGCGTCGGTCCCCGCGCAGGAGAAGAAGGACAAGAAGGACGCCAAGGCCCCGGAGATACCCGAAGAGGACATCCAATTCATGGATACCGTTAGGAAACACATCCAGGCCACCGGTCCCTTGCGTTCCAACCACTTGAACGCCTTCTACAAGGCCCATCCCGACATCCCGAGGAAGGGCTCCGGCGCGGGCCAGTGGATCGCTACTAGAGCCGAGAAGTACGGCATCGTCGTGAAAAAGCCGGCCAAGTACGGCGGGCCCCTCGAATTTCAGTTGGCACCGTCTAACTCGCGGAAGCTGAATATCGTCGCGGATCGGCAAGACGACCGGCCGCCCACCCAATTACCAAAGAAGGACAAGGAGACTAAGAGGAGGGAGAAGCTCGAACAGAAGAAGGTGAATGAGAGAGCAGATGAGCGCATCAAGAAGGAGAAGGCCAAGAGTTTGCCTTACGGCGGCGACGTCCAGGAGGCGATCCGGAAAAAAGATAGAAAAGCGATCCGCTTACTCATGAAGCAACAGCACGGCAACAAGATGCCTTCCGTCGATTCATTTTTGAGAGATTCGGGCTTGTACCAGGACTACGCGTGGCTCGTGCCGCTCCTCCAAGAAAACGAGATCGACATGGAGGCTCTAGCACTGCTCGACGACGCGGACTACGAGGAGATGGCCGTCGACAAGAAGACTAGGAGGGTCGTGCGCAACGCCCTCAAGAAATGGGGGACTCAACCGTCATCAGAGAAGAAGAAGGGCCGGACCGTCGAAGTACCTGTGAAAGCTGAAAAGCAGCGCGTCTGCAAGGTCTATAGGGACACGGGCCAGTGTAGATTCGGGGCGAAGTGTCGAGATAGACATGATGTACCCTACAGCTCGGAGCCGCCGAAGAAGAGTCCGCGGGCGCAACGCAACGTGGCCACGCAGGGCGACAAGGACGGCGCCGGGCTCTGTAGAAGGTGGAAGCAGGAAGGGTCGTGCGTCTTCGGGGCGAAGTGTCGGTTCGCCCACGGCGCACCTCTGGCAAGGGAGGCGCCGTCACGAGTAGCTTCACCGAGGGAGCCCCGCGTCGACTCAAGAGTCGTAGAAGCGCGCAAAAACGTCGAAGCGGAGCACCAGAAGCTCGCGGCCGAGGCCAAAGCAGTAAGTGAAGCTCGGGACGCGTTAGCGGCCGAAAGAAAAGCCTTGGCCGAAGAACAAGCAAAAGCTCTGGACGAGCGCCGGCGCGTGGCGAAGATGCGGCGGGAACGAGAAGAGGTTGTAAAGAGAGAAGACGCGGCCAAGGCCCAGCGCGAGCGGGAACGGGACGAACTGATGAAGCAGCGCGAGAAGATCGACGCTCAAAGAGCGAGAGCTGAGGCGGACTTTGCGGCGTTACAGCGGTTGGAGTTGGGTAGGAGAGGCCCGCCGCCGCCGCGACCTCGAGCGGAACGGTCGAACTCGTTCAACGCGACGGCGCAGCCGTACCAGCCGGGCCCGCCGCCGGACTTCGCCGGTGCTGTGGATAGGAGCTACCCACCTCGTCAAAATACGCTCCAGCCGCCCGTGCGCTCCTACAGTGCGATGCGCGGCGGCGGCTACATGCAGGGCGCGGCGCCGGCCGACGGGCGCTTCGCCGCCGAGTACAACAACCAGGGCGGCTTCTACGGCCAGGGGCCGCCGCCTTCGTCGTACGGCGCGCCTGTAGGTTATCCACCGCCGCAGCAGTTTGCGCCGCCGCCGATGCCACCCGTGCCGCCGCAGCAAATGCAGCCGCCGCCGCAGAACTTCTACTGAGCTATACGACTAAGCATGTGACTCGTTTATACACTCGCGCCGCGTCTCGCCCGCGCGGGGCCGCGTCCCCCCTGAATGTCCTGCGGCTAGCCTCCTGCTGATTATGTTACGGTGCTAGGACTAGCCTCCTGCTGCAGGCCGCGGTGACCGCGCGTCTCGCGCGCGTCTCGCGGCCGCGCCCCCCGGCCGAGGATGCATCTCCCGCTCCGAGGAGCCGTGCTTTAGCAGTTTCCCGCGGACTGGCAACCGAGGAAAATGCCGGGCGCGCGACCCGCGCCAACTTTTTAGCTCGAGCTCTCCGGCTCGAAATCCCGAGGAGTTGGGCCACGGACGGGGCGTAAAGCTGCCCCCCGCGCACGCCAAGCTCGCCACGCCATAACAAACACACCGCGCAGCCAGGGCGCGAAGCGCGCGCTCCGCCACGCACCGGAGCAGCTGAACAGGCATCCCAAGCTCACCATGGCCGCCATGTCCCAGGTCATGCTCGACGAGAAGACGCGGCTGCGCAACACGACGGTCGCGAAGATCGTCGCCGCGCGGGGCTCGCTCGACGACCCCGAGACCAAGAAGGAGTGCTGCCGCCGATTGCAGAAGATAAATAACATGTTGAAAGATCGCATCGCCGAGATGGACGCGACCATGGCTAGGGATGCGATGCACGCGGGCATCCTGAAGGGTGGCTTTTCGGGGTGCGACAACTCGAAGCTGATCGCGGTACTCTGTACGAGAACGAAGGCATCGTTAAACAGAACGAAGCAACAGTACAGAGCGAAATTTGATAGGGACCTCTGCAAAGACGTCAAAAGTAAAACGGGTAGCGACTACGGGCGGATGATGGGCCACGCTCTCTCAGATCCGGATGAATATGTGGCAGATGTCATCCACGCGGCGTGCCACGGCATGGGCTGCGACGAAAACGCCCTCATTGAATTATGTATGACTAGAAGCCCAGAACAACTAGAGGCAGGAAAGAAGTGCTGGGAAGGGCGCCGAGACAAGGCCCTCTTCGACTACATCGGAAAGGAACTAGGCATGCTGTTCAAGGATTTGAAACACCTGATCCTGGAGATCCTCAAAGGCAAGAGGAACTGGACGGGCCCGGTGGACAAGAAGCGCGCGGCGCACCACGCCGAGAGGTTACATCATGAATGCACGAAGAACATGTTCCAGAATTTTCACGAAGTGAGTGACTCAGCGTCCGTTTCTGAACGTTTCCGAACTTCAAGTTCGCGTCGACGGCGCCGACGCGATGCCTCGTCGCGTCGATGGCGTCTTCGTGATCACCAGAGAGTCCACGCGCCTCACGGTATCGATCCGCGCAGGACCGGATTGTGGATTGGTTACTTACTTCTCCACCAGATGAAGTGAAACTCATCCAGGAGATCTACGAGAGTACATATAATAAATCATTAAAGAAAGCGCTGGAGGCCAAGTGCGGCAAGAAGTTCTTTTTGGCATTATCTGCTTTATTGGTGCCGCCGGAGGAGTTCTTGGCCATGCGCCTCGAAAAGGCCATGAAGGGCTGGGGCGCCGACGATAAAGTTTTAATCAGAATATTGGGTGGGTTGGACCACGCCTCGAAGCCGTCGATGCTCCAAGTGGCCGACGCGTACCAGCGGAAGTATACGCGTACTCTCAAAGACGCCCTACGAGCCAACATCAAGGGCAACTTCCTGAAAGCGGCCACGGCCTGGATCTCGGCTTTGGAAGATCCGGCGCAACATCTTGAGGTTAAGACAAATGTCGACGTAGACACTTGCACTGATTTAGATGCTCTACTAGATGACTTACTAGTGGAACACAACTCCGTGGAGTGCATGATGGCCGATGTGGACGCCCAGGAGATCTACAACTGCTGCCATGGGTGGGGCACGTCCGACGGGAAATTGATCGCGTTGTTGTGTTCTCGCTCGAAACCGCATTTACAGAAAGTAGCGGCAGCCTACTACGAACAACGGGACAAACCACTACTAAAGAGATTGAGATCGGAGACCACAGGCTGGTATAGGCTCTTCATGACGTATCTGGTCGAATCGCCGGAAGATGCCGACGTGCGAGCCTTGGATTCAGCCATGGATGGGCTCGGCGCCGACGCCGTCGCTATTATTGAGTTTCTTGTAGGAAGATCCCAAGCTCGCGTTCGAGCAGCTAAAGCTAGATGGGAGGGCAAGCACGACAAGCCGCTCGTCGATCGGTTACGTTCTGAATTACATGGCTCCAACCGCACTTTAGCTTTAGAATTACTCAAAGGAGAACGCAATGAGACAGCACCAGTGAACGAAAAGCTAGCAAAAGAACAGGCCGACGAGCTCCACAAAGGGGTCAGTCGGTGGGGTTCTACTGATGACGAAAAGTTCATCTCCATCCTAGCGAAGAACTCGCCGAACCAGAACGCGGCGCTACGTTCTGCCTATGAAAAGAAATATAATAGATCTCTAGAAAGTCAGATCGCGAAGGTCGGCCAAAAAAATTTGAAGAAGTGTCTCCAGGCGTTACTGCTGCCGCCCGCGGACTACTACGCGATGCGCATTCGCAAGGCCTTCGTTGGTTTAGGTACTTCGGATAAGGTCGTGTGTCGCGTGTTGGGTGGCTCGGACAAATGTGACGCTCTGGCGATTGCGGCGGCCTACCAGAGGAAGTATACTACTGTATTGAAGGACGGCATCAAGAAGGAGTGCTCCGGGAATTATAAGAGACTAGCTCAGGCGTGGGTGACGCTCCCAGATGCGTTGGAGGACCCGGAGGCGCCCATCGACGTGATAGCGGACACTCAATCGGAGCCCGACGGCGACGGGGTCGTGGACGACCCCGACCCTCCCACGCCGCCTGCGTCGCCGAAGGCGCCTTCACCTCCTCCGCCGCCTCCGGTTCCCGTGCCGCAGCCCACGGCCGTGGCCGCTCCCGTCCAACAATGCGCTATTTATGAGCACCAAGATAGTCGGGGTGTGTGGACGGCCTACGACAATGCCACGGCGTCGATCCTGGAAGCGGCCGTGAGATCGAACCCGAACGCTGTTGTGCGGTTGCCGGGCATTCCTTTTGAGGTGAGGTTTGGGGCCGCGGCTCGCTCAGCTCGCATCCAGCAGCCGCCGCCGACCGGGGCTTTGCAGGTCAATATCCACAACGAGAACAGTCGAGTCGTGCGACGGCGCCCGGCTGGAAGTGTAGCGCCCCCTCCTGCTCCTCCGGCCTACCAGCAACCTCAACAGTACCAGGCGCCGCCTCCGCCGGTACCGCAACGGCCGGTGCAGATGGCCATGCCGGCCGGCACCTTTCCGGTGTTAGTGCCGGCCGGCCATGGCCCGGGCATGCAGCTCATGGTCCGCGCGCCGAACACGGGCCAGATGATGACGGTCATCATCCCGCAGGGCGTCGGCCCGGGGGGGCAGTTCGCCGTGCCCCTGCCGCAACCGCCGCGCGTGCAATACGGCGCGCCGCAGCAGAACTGGCGCACGGCCATGTACTGAGTTCGCGCCTCGCCCTACGCCGGCGCGCCAATTCCCCCCGCCCCCCTCGCCGCCCGAGCTCTGTCCAGCCCCTCCCTCCCCCATCCTTCGGCTAACTTGCTGGGTGTTTTCGACTTTCTGTTGTTGTTTGTCCGTCCGCCGCGCCGGCGCGGCGGAGACTGCCCTTTCGGCGCTGCCGGATGGACGCATCTCTTTTTGGAACCCTCTTGAGAATGCTGGAAAATGGTGCTGGGCGTGCAATGGAGTCGATGCTGTTTTGTCAACCCCGTACCATTTGATGCGATTTTGAGGACCTGACTGGATGCCATTTTACCGAGCTCGTGCTGCTGCTAGCCGCAAGCGATTGCAAAAACAATGGTGCAGCGGTGCTTAGTGGTACTGGCGCTATGCCTCGGCAATTCGGCGGGCCTCAATCCGATCGCTAGGCAGCAGGCGAGGCCCAAAATGGCTGCACCCCTGCAAAAAGCTGCGCAAACCAATGCAGCGATTGCGCGCGCGGCCGGCACTGTCGCCGCATCGCTCGCCCTCGCATGGCCGACGACCTCGTTTGCTGCGATCTGCGACTACGCGCCGACGAGCGACCTCTGCGCCCAGGAGCGGCAGCGCGAGGCGCTCAAGCCCAAGGCCAAGGGCGACAAGGGCAAGGGCCCCGCGATGGCGATCGCGAAGCCCGTCGCGAAGCCTCCGGCGCCGCCGGCTTCGAAGCTGACGAAGGAGGCCCAGGCCGTCGCCGACGCCGAGGCGACGATCGCGAAGATGGAGAAGCAGAAGAAGGACATGACGGCGCAGTTCGAGGCGCAGAAGAAGAAGGTCGACGCCATGCCGGAGGTTCAAGAAATGATGAAAATGAAGGGCCAGATGGAGAGCGCCGTGAAGGACTACGACTCGAGCGTGCCGCGCATGAAGGCCCAGCTGCCGAAAATGAAAGAAGTCCGCGACAAAAAGGCGAAGAAGGACAAGTTCGTCGCCCAGAACAAGGCGCGGCGCGAGAAGAAGGAGAGGGATGCTAAGGCCGCGCAAAAAAAGGCCGAGGACAAGAAACGCGCCGACGAGAAGGCGCGAAAAGAAAAAAAGGCCATCCAGGAGAAGGCCGACGCGGAGAAGAAAAAGATCGCGGGCGGCGGCGCGAGCTGGTCGCCGCTCACGGGTCTGTTCTAATTACACACTGTTTAACAAAACTAATACGCGTCGGACGCCGCCCGCCCGACCGCGCGCCTTCCAGCAAGCGACGCCACGACGGTGCGCTCTAGAGCGTTTTTCCGGGGCGGCTTTGCAACCGGATTCTCGGGCACGGCCTTGATCTTCCCCCGGAACAGGTCCCTTTCCGCGTCGCGGTGCGCCTTGAGCATCTTCCTCGCGTTCACCAAACCCGCGCGCGCCTCGCGTTGCAACGAGGGGACCTCCATCAGTGCCTTAAAAACATCGCAAGCCTGTTCAATGCTGCCCAATTCCACCAGAGCCTGGGCCCGCCGGAATTTGCACTTCACGTGACTCTCGTCTTCTTCGAGCACCGCCTCGCAGTCGAGCTTCGCCTGCAGGGCGTCTCCATTCTTCAGGTGGGCCAGGGCCCGGTTCGCGCGCGCCGCGAGACTGCGACGCTTCACGGCCTCTTTGCCGGCTTCATACGCGGCTTTCGACGCTTGTTGTGCGTCCTCGGACTCCTCCATCAGGTAGTTGTCTCCATCATCCCCACCTCCATCATCAGCCACCTCCAAGGCCCGGTCGTAGCGCCGTATGGCTTTTTGCAAATCGCCCTTCTTTAGGTGAGTGTTGCCCATTGCCCTTAGCGCGTCGACGGCCTTCGATCGTCTTTCTGCGTCGCCGGGCTCGGCCCAGGCGCCCCTATGCGAGATCAACGCTTGGTCCGGATCTTCGAGTAGTTGGGCTAATTCAATGGTGCCTCTGTCCTCGCCTATCACGACCTCGCACACCTCGCCGACGCGCATCGTCTTGACGCACTCCTCCAGCCCCGCACTGATGGGCCGCCCTTCGCCATTTTCAGTATCTTCGTCGAGGCGCCATTGGCCTTTTATCGGTGGTGCTGTCAATGAGGGGTCCGGCCAGTCTTCCGACAGCGGCCCGTAGTCCACGTTTCCGAGAAAGCCCCTCACGACGACCCGGTCCAGCGCCCGCGGCTCGCGCCACGCCTGGATGGGCGGTCGTTTCACGATGCGCTTCGTAACACTATTCATCACGAGGGCCTCGTCCCAAGTCACAACCTCGACGTCAAAGGTCGTTCGCACCGATGGCGTCTGGTCAAAGTCGACGTGTGTTATTCGCGCCACTTCGCCGAGCCGCATCGTCTCGACGCCGACGCGTAATTGTGGAGGCAGACCTGGTGGTTGCTCAGCGCCGTGGTGCTGCCGCGGCCATACCACAGTCGTCTGCGTTGCGGCGTTTTCTTCTCGCACGCGCATCGTAATTTCGCAGAGCGGCGACGGCGTCGTTAATGCTTGCGGGCCTCGTTCCTTGCCTTGTTTTAGTATTGTTTTTAGCAGGGAGCCGTCGCCGCCTGGGGAGACGTCCTCCTCGGCCTCGCTTGCATCTGACGCTTGCGGCGTGGCCATGGTTGGTCTGCAGATACCTGCAGGCTTATTTGCACTATCCGTTTCCAGCGCTAAGGCAAGTTAGCTGCTTTTTGCGGACCTAGCGTGCATATTGACACACTAGCGCCGCAAGAGAGCACCCTGGGATCGCGGCCTCGCAGGCAGCCCAGAGCGGGAATCTGGGCGCCAGCAGTCGCATAGGTGCAAGGCATAGTGTGCCACACACGCTGCCCCGTCCTTTGCATCGCTGCGCTTCAGGCTGCCCAGTATGGCTACCTTTGACAAGCAGCAACTCCGGAGCCCCGCCACGCCGGCCAAGGAGAGGATCCCGATCTACAAGCAGCAACTCCGGAGCCCGGCGACGACGCCGGGCAAGGACATGATCCCTACCACGCCGACCAGGGAGATCACGTGGCAATCTCAAGCAATGGCAGCAATGGTCGCCCGCACACCAACGAACGCGACGCCGCCGCGGAGCCGCAGCGCGCGCCAACGCCACGAGGCGAAAAGCGAGGACGTGGTGGCGCGGACGACGCGGGAACTCGAGCACGCTTCCGGCGAGGTAGCTAGGGCGCTGCGCACGGAACGGGCCGCCGCCTATGCTTCGACGGGCAATTTTGAGGAGGCGCTGGCCGACCTCGCCGCGGCGCTCGCGCTCTCCAAGAATGGCGTCCGGGCGTCTATTCATTTCCAGCGAGCTGAGGTCCTCGCAAAGCAAGAGCGTCCAGAGGAAGCGATACAAGCCTACAGCGCGTGTCTGGCGGAGAATCCGGCCCACGCGAGGGCGGCATATCGTAGGGCTGCCTGTCGGAACCCGCTCGACGCGAGGGCGGCCGATGACTACGAGGCGGCGCTGGCTCTGGACGCGACTCCCGATACTGGGGCGCCGTCACCCTCTCTCCAACGACGGCTGTCGTTGCGCTTGGGCGTCGACGCCTATGCTGCGAAACTCGAAGAGAACGCTGCCAAGGGGCAATTCCGCGCTCACTTTGACCGGGCATATGCGTACGATGCTGCAAACGACTTGCCGAATGCGATCTCGGAATATACCGCGGCGATTGACGTGTTGCCGAGGCATGCGCTAGCCTGGTACAATCGAGGTATCTGCCGCCAGCGGCAAGGCGACGCCGCGGCGGCCCTCGACGACTTCACGCATGCCATACAGAGGGCCGAGGCGAGCAAGAACTACCCCATCGCGGACTTCTACCACAATAGGGCATTTTGCAAGCGCAAGCTTGCTGATTTCAGTGGTGCGATCGACGACTACTCGTCGGCACTCACACGGGACCCGAGTCACTTCAAGGCTTTGTATAATCGGGCGTTCTGCCTGGACGCATTGGGCCAACGTGAGGCTGCCCTTTGTGACTACGAAGCTGCCCTCGTCGTCGAGCCGGGACACGCGTCGGCGCTCCACAACAAAGGTGTTGTGTTGGAGAAATTAGGGCGACTCGAGGACGCCGTCGAAGCGTTCGACGCGGCTGTCGACTGCGGTCTGGTGCCGGGCGCAGATTATCACCACGCGCGCGGCACGAACGCACGTCACCGCGGCGACCACGCGGCGGCGGTCGCGGCGTTTTCGGCGGCGCTCAAGCTGGACCCGCACCACCGGACCGCCCGAGCGAACCGCGCCTACGCCCGCCGCAAAATCGGGGATTTCGTGGGCGCGCGACGGGACTACGGAAAGGCTCTTGCCGACGCGCCGACGGCCAAGTTGTACAACGCCCGCGCCTACTGCTCCGCGAAGCTGGAGAAATTCGACGCGGCGGTCGCGGATTATACGGAAGCGCTCCGGCTTGATCCGGCGAACGCCCACGCGCTGCACAACCGCGGCATCTCGTATGATCGCCTGGGCCGCGACGACGAGGCCGCGCGCGACTTCGAGCGGGCGCTCGAGATCGAGGGTCAATGATGTTGCTTTGCTTAGAGCTAGGCCGCAGCTACCAAGCCGCCGGCCGCCTCCCAAGCTGGATGTTAAGTTAATCTGTTGGTTAGGACTAGTGCGCGGCTACGGACGCGGGTGGATGGAGCGGCGGCGTTGTTCTCACTTCTTTTTGTTTCCTTTCTTCTTCTTTTTGTTGCTCTTCTTGCGGCCGCCGGGCATCACGGGCTTGATCGACGGCTTCTTTGTCGGCGACGGCTTGGGGGGCGCCGCGGCCTCCGCCGTCGCAGGCGCTGAGACTTCCGCAGTTGCGGTCGGCTTGGCGGCCGGGCCGTAGACGGCCAGCTGCTGCGCGCGCCACGCGTCTCCAACTAGCTCGGCGCCGCGCGAGCCCGGCGTCATGTCGCGCTTCGAGCCCGGCAGCACGCAGGACCCGTCGGCGCGGTCGAGGCACCGGAGTTCGTCCTCGCGCACGTCGGGCTGGACGTGGCCGTCGTCGTAGTGGACCGCGAAGGTGCCGTCGGCGTTCTCCTTGGCCACGAGCCCGTAGTAGGCGCTGCCGGTGTGCCAGTCCTGGTCGCGGATGGCGATGCACCAGTCGCCCGCGCGCCACGCCTCGCGCTGGAGCTCGGGCCGCCACGGCATGGCCTTGGGTGGAGAGGGAGCCGGCGCCGGCGTCTCCTTGACCACCGGCGTCGGCGGCGCGCCGAACGCGGCCGTAAAGGCCTCGGGGATCGCGGCGACGGGGCTCGTGGGCGGATCGGCGACGGCCTCGGCGAGCGAGAAGCCCCCCGCATTCTTGATCGTCACGCCCTGGCGCGGGTCCGTGGCCGTCGTCGCGTGGGTCAGCGCGCCGCCGCCGACGACCCAGGCCGTCACTCGCGGCTGGGGCATCGTCGGCTGCGCCAGCGTCGGCGTTGCGGCGAGCGCGGCCACGACCGCGGCTGTTGGCGAGAGCGGCTTCGGCGGCGGCGAGATGGCCGCGCCCGGCGGGACCTTGTTGATAGTCATAGCCCGGGCGCTGTCTTCCGAGTCTCGCGGCGCATCCGTGGCGGTCACGAGAACCGGCGCCTTTGGCGCGCCGAAGGCGTCGGCGGGGACGAGGACTGGTGTTTTCGGTTCGCCAAAGGCGTCGGATAGGTCTTTCGCGGGCGACGACGCAGCGGCGGCGGTTTCCGGGTTCGTGAGGTCGACGGTCTGGAACGGGTCCGCGGCGGCCTTTAACGGCGTGGCCTCGCGCGACGCTCTTTGCTCCCCGTTTGCGGCCCAGAAGCCATCGCCGTCGGAGACAACGTTTTGCAGTTGGGCGTCGGGAGGCGGCGTCCGCGGGCGCTCTTTGCTATTCGTACAGCCCATCGTTCTCACGCGCGACTACTCAATTTTTACGTCTGGAGAGGGTAGTCAAGCGGGCACGGTAAATAGACGTCTGGCCGCTGTGGAAAGGAAAGCAGGAGAGGAAACAATTTGAATATGGATCGATCAGCGTCGCCCGCGGGCTCCGTGCTACGTTTGCGCTTGACAATTGTGTTAAGCGACGCCACGTGGGCTCGATTTTCACCAATTCCCTTGCACTGGCGCCTGCAAAAAAAGTACCGAGCTAGCGTCCTGTAAGGCACTAGCCAGCTCGACGCTTGAGTCTCTGGTCTGTAGCGCTGCAACTACATTTCAATTCACGCAAACAACTGGTCGCATCGCTACTCACAAACCGCAGTACGAGTGCTTCACGATGGCAACTGCACCGCAGCAAAAATGCAGGACGCTGCGCGCCTACTGCGTAGACACGATCCTGAAACGCGTCGCGACCTACGACGTCAGCGAGCAGCAGCGGCAGAAAGGCGACGCGGCGCTGATGGAGGGTTCCGGCGACGGCCAGCTGCACCGCGTCACGCTGCTGAAGGCGTTGGGCCGCTGCGAGCTCTCGCGTGCCTTCCGAGGGCTCCCGTTCACGTACGCCGCGACGCGCCGGTTCCTCGTGGCCAGCGGCCCGGCCAAGGGCGCGAAGGTCTTCGACGCGCTGCGCGAGAGCGCCGACGCGTCGTCCGACTTACTCGCCGTCGAGTCGGCGGAGTGGCTCGTCGACGAGCTCATGGAAGCGGGCAAACTCAAACGCGACCGGGGCCCGGAACTCGTGGGCGCCGCGAAGAATGCGGCGAAACGGGCGGCGAAGGCGTGCCGGGCGCGGAGACAGGTCCTCATGCGTCCGGCGCCGCGGGAGCCGGCGGCGCCGGCGTTCGCCGCGCGCGACATCCGCCTCGACGGCGTCCCACAACCACCGCCGACGACCGAAGTCGACCTGGCCGCCTTCGCCGAGAAGTGCGCCCTGCGCGTGCATCCCGACCGGCGGGGAGCGCTCGGCGACCGCGCGGCGCCAGGACGTTGATGAGGACGTGAGACGTTCGAGGAAAGGGTAGTAATGTGCTAGTTTGTTACACCAGGCGGCACAGACACGTCGAGCGGCTCGTGCTCTCTCCGCTTCGAGGTGTCTCGCCTCGGCGGCGGAAACGCGCGCGCGCCCGTCGGCTCAGGACACGCGCGCAGCGCCGCGAGGACGGCGTCCCTATCAAAGTGGGGCCCCTCGACGGCCAGCTCCCCATCCACAATAAGGGCGGGCAGCCTGTCTCGGGCAATGCTCCGGTCGACCGCGTCCGCCATCTGGGCAACCTCCTTCTCCAACTCGCGCGTCTGCAGGAAGCGCCTTACAACAAATTTGGAAGTGCCGCCGGCGACCGCCGCCGCGTCCAACAAGGCTGGATCAGAAGGAGCTTTACCATCGGCGAAGTGCGCCGTCTGCAGCGCGTCCACGCATTTCTCCGCGGCCGCCGCGCCGCGCAGCGCCCCGACGAAGGCAATCAACCGGTGCGCCTTCGTCGCGTTGCCATGTGTACGTTTTGCGAGCGCGTCCTTCGTCCAGCCCTCTCTCAGCAACCCCACCTTGTGCGCGCGCTCGAGCACATCACTTTCGTCGTCGCGCGCGCCGGGCCGTGCAATGTACGACGCGTGCGTCTCGGTCCAGTCGTCGGGCATGCTGCAGTAGCCCGGGATTAAAAAGCTCGACACGCGGTGCGTCTCGACCTTCAGGAGCGGCTCGTTGGATGCGGCGCGTTCCGCCGCGTAGGCGCGCACGGCCGCCCGTATGTGTCTGATGTTCACGGCAGTCAATGGATCGAAGGGGTCTCCACAAAACTCGAGGTGCAGCGTCCTGCTTGGTTTTGGTGTTTTGTCCTCGGCCAGTTTGACTTTTAATTGCTGCGTGAAGGCGTCGTAGTCGAACTCCGACATGGCGTCGAATTATTGTGGTGCTGCGATGTGCCGAAGCGTTTCGTACAAGCGCGCCCGAGCGGTGCCAAAGACAGTGCACTGACCGATGGAGCAAAGCTGCCCGGCGTGGGCGGCGAGCGGTGTGGCTGCCCCGCGGCTATAGATGATTGATGCGTTAGATTCCCTTGGCTGGGCAAGAGTCGCAGTTTCGTAGCGGGTGGCGCGGACACAAATTGGCAGGCAGCTAAGTGAAGGCGCACTAGTACCGTAAAGAGCCCTCGCGTCACTCGTACTAGATGCTTCTGGGACTCACGGATGTGTATGCTTTTGATTCGGAGCCGTGAGGTGCCTCGCCGAGCGTTCGGGAACCAGGAGCAAGCTCAGAGAGGCTGCCCAAAATTGGCTGGTGAGAACTTGCCTCGAGAGTGGAGTAGGACTCAAAGGCAGCACACAAAAGCAGCCAGAACCCGCAGCACTAACGCAGCGACGGCAGAACTTGCAACCGCAGCAACAACAACAACAACAAACAAAACAGCACAGATTATGAGCTCGATGATGGACAACCTGCAACTGTCGCAACGCGTGGGCCCGAGCGACTATGGCTGTGATCCATATCAAGTCGTGGTGTCCACGGCGAACGGCGACGAGCTCGTTCACGAGTACTGCCTCTACTCCTCCGCCTACGGCGGGCCCGTGCGACCGGACGCCGTGACCGGCTTGCGCGCCGAGCCGACCGGCGGCGGCCGCGCCACCATCAAGTGGGAGTGGTCGGGAAATTCCTTCGACCTCGCGAGTCCGGGGGCTTACTTCGAGCGCGACGTGATCGTAGAAGAAGGTCGCCTCGCTTGGGCGGGGCCCGTGCGCAAGACGCCGAAGACGAAGGCCGTCGCGCCAGCGCCGAAGGTCGAGATCGGCGCCCCACTGCGGGCGGCGGACGTGGCGGTGAAGAGCGAATGGCGCATGAACGGTTGCGACGACGAGTGGGAGATCCACGTGAGCCACGCCCCGACCGGCACGAAGCTCGTGTGGAAGGGAACGTCAACAGCTGAAAACCAAGATATCAAGAAGCTCCGCCACGCCGACGTCGACGGCGTGGTGCGCATCGACTTTTTGTACTACGTCGGCGAGAACGGGAACAACTCCGCGTCCGACCGGAGCCTGCTCGTGAAGCTCGGAGCGAAGGGCCTCGAGTGGGTCCCCAAGCATGTGTGTAGTGGCAGGTTGTATGATGGCCCTTGCAGTGGTTGTGAGTAAGAACTAAGCCTTAGTAGTCTTCCGCGCCGCCCGCGCCTTCCGCCAGTCGTCGTCGTCGTCGGATCCGTCGGAGTCCGCGCGCACGCCGTAGTCGCGACTCCGCGCTGACGGGCCGCCGGGCGTCCCGCGGCTCGCCGGGCCGCGCTTCGCCGGCGGCGGCTTGCGCTCGGGCGACGATAAAGCAGAGAAGCGGTTGTTCCGGTCGGGGGGCCGCGGCGGCGCCGCGGCCTTCTTCTTGGATTTGGGCGCCGCGTCCATGAGCGCGAAGAGCTCGCTCAGCTCGGCCGAGATGGGCCCGTCTTCTATATTTCCGTGCTCGCGTTCGATGCCGTCGAGGATTTTGTCGAGCCCGGCCGGGTCGTAGTTGATGCTGCCTCCTCTCCTAGGCATCATGGCCGCCGCGGCCTTGGCCAGCTCCTCGCGCGTCTCCGTGGCTTCCTTCGGCTTCTTGACGGCGAGCGGATCCAGGCCGACGGCGTCCGGCGAGCCCTTCTCAAAACGCCGCCGCAACGTCTCGCGCTGGGCCTGGAGACGCCGCGCCTCGGCCCTCTCCCTAATGGCTTCCTCCTGCTCGAACAACCGATCTTCTTCCTTCTCCCTAGACCTTTTAAACGCCTCGAGCACGTCGCGCGGCACGTTCTCGGTCCCCTGATTGCCGCCGAGCGTCGCCAGGACCCGATCGAACACCTTCTGCTTCCTTTCAAAATTCTCGCGGTCGCGCCGCTGCTCCTCCCTAAAAAAGCTCTCGGCGTCCCACGACGCCTGCGGTTTTACGAGAGCGTCCGGCTTGGGAGCGGGCTGAAGGCCGCGGCGCGTCCGCAGCGCGTCGATGTCGATGGGCCCGACGTCGTCGTCGCTGTCCAGGACGGGCTCCGGGGGCGGTTGCATTTGTGGCGCGGGCTTCGGTGCTTTTGGCGGCAGCGGCGGCGGCGGCGGCGCCGCTACGCCGAACTCCTGCCGCGACAGCTCCATCCGGAGCTCCTTGGCCGTGGCGCCGACCTCGGCCGCCGCGGCCGCGAAGTCGTAGCGGTGCCGGCGCACGAGGGCCTTGAGGCCCGGGGCCCAGCTCGGTTCCATGCTGCTGGTGAGTTTTGCTTCGCAGTTGCGCCGAACGGCGGGAGAGGGCTGCCCGACGGAACGGTGGCGGCCAACTTGCCGATGTCGCGAGGCACAATGAGCCGACGCCGCCGCGTATAGCGACGAGAGCGTGTGCACGACGGAGGAGAGACGGCCTCTCAACCGGCAGCGCTTGATCGTGCGACGGTTAGCCGGATGGCTGCCCTGATCGGATCGAAATCCCAGCTAGTGTGTGGCTACACTAGCAATCGCGTTACGCTGAGACTGCCGAGCCTGGCCCAGAGAGGCAGCCTCCGGGCCTCACGCGTCGACACGAGGTGCCCAGGACGCCTAGTGGTCGCCCGCGAGCGCACGCCGCCGGGAGAGATCGTACCTTGGGTGCTTGGGCAGCCCCTGGCCGAGGAGCAGCACCGACGCCGCGGCGGGCGAGGGGCGCCACCGCGACGACGACGATGCGGACGATGCGCGTCGCATGGCTCCTCCTCCTCACAACGACACAAACGACCGCCCAGTTCGTCGAGACGTCCGAACAATATAAAGAAGCCATGGAGCTGTCCGAGGCGACTTTGCAAGATGAAATCCGGAACACGAAGGACACGCAGGACCACTTCTATCCCGCGCGCTTGTTCTTTGACCGGGACCAATATGTTTTTAGACCGCCGCATCCGCAGTTGTATGCGATCGGCATGATCGTCGACCCGTGCGGCTGCATGGACGCGCCGGATACGTGTGTGCCCGATTGCTGCGTGCATCGCTTTGGCTCGGCGGTGTATCCTTGGGTGAAGCGCGAGCTCGTGGATTATTACCCGCGCGTGCCGACCTCGAAATTTGATCATATGTTACTGGCGCCTCCTGGTGAAATTTTAGCGAATGTGAACTTGGTGGATGTCTACGGCGGCGAGATCGAAGAGGGAGAACTGAGACGAGCGGACGACGAGGTTTTTTTAGATGAAGGGTGTGACGGCATCGCTTCCGAACAGGGCGAATACTTGTATAGATTGGGCGAGGATGGGTTACTACGACCATTATCAGATAAGACACATTGCCAGGGCATGCGGTTGGGTAATAGGCCCTTCCCCATCAAGCCCAATTGTAGTGATAACAACGCGACGGTCGATGCCCGACAGCCGTGCACGGACATCGAGACAGGTATCACTCGACCAAATTGCGTGCAAGTGGGCATCGCCCAGACCGCAGTGGTTATTAATTGTGGCACATCCCCGAACCCCGACGATCCCGACTTTAGCGAGCATCAGCACTGCGGCACGTTCCTCGAGATTCATCGGGAGAACGGCTCGCCGTACCACCCCGATGAGGAGTTTATCATCAATGAACAGCGCATCACCTCCACAAACATCAGCGGATATACCACACAAACGATAAACATGACGTATGGGATTGGTGTCACAGACAAAATACTGTGCAACTATGCGGAATCTACGATGCGAGTAGGCAGCATGGTCTTCGTGAAGGAACAGTCGCCCTGGTGCTGCTGCCCGCCGGCGTTTAATAACGAGGACAAGACGGGCTATAGCTACTGCCCCAAAAACGCGTACGAAAACACGGTGGGACCCTGGGCCGCGAAGCTCACGAGCCTAGACCACTTCAAGCAGAACGACGTCGCCGTCAACTCGTATCCCTACTGCCCGGTCATGGACGAAAACGAGGACAAAATCATGTGCGCCGACTACACGTACGACTGGGGCCAGCGGCGGAATTACAACCAGGAGTGCCCCAAGACCGAGAACATGACGGATATATATGTGGAGGAGCAGGACGACATCCAGGAGTGCGCCGAGTACGACGAGGACAACCCGAACGAGTGCATCAAGCCCATCGCGCACGGCGGCGACGAGGGCTGGGTCCGTTTGACGTTGATGGACTGCCCCGGGACCATCGATCGGGAGGGCAAGTACCCGTCGGGGCCCGGCACGGACGCGCCGAACGCGAGAAGGCCGCAGCACAACGAGTCCTGGATTTTTCGGTTCGGCGCGGGCGGCGCCGAGGCGCCCGGCGGAGCGTGCTTCAAAGCGATGGTGCCGGGCGACCTGACGGCGACGCCGCCGATCTTTCCGCAAGATCGGTCGGACTTGTTTCCTACACGCTACGCTTCGCATTATTTGAAAGGGAAGAGATATAAAGGAAGATGCTTCTTCTTCCCGGGGTGCGCGGCGCACCCCGACCGGCAGGGCTTATTTGCGGACGGCGCCACGGGCAATTATCAAAGGGAACGACGCTGGGACGAAGAGAGAAAACGGTGGGACAAGGAGGACGGGCCTCTCGGGAACGACGGTTGTCTGGCGGACTGGGACGCCTGTTCCGAAGGCGGCGACTGCACCTTCAATGACCGGGACACGAAGTTTTCGTTCGTGGGCATGATGGGTCAAGTTTCGTGTATGCCGACGGCTCGGACGACGTGCGTGGACATGATGGAGGTGCAGTATGATAATGACGAGGATTATATCCTCGTGACGTTCAATGGAGGCAGGACGCACTACCCGTTCCGAACCAGTGATGTGGAGCTCCACCAGCCGCGCCACAACTACCAGATCTGGTGGGTGCAGCGCACGAGGTACAACTTCGTCGTGCAGCAGAAGAAGGCGTTTAGGGTCACGGAGCCGACGTGCACGTTCGACTCGGTGAACGACCGCTACTTCCCCTACACGATGGTGCGCGAGGACGGGAGCTACGTGGATACATTCTAGTTGTTTATTCTGGTGGGGGGCTCCGGGGCGCCAACTCCTGTACCCACTGCCGCATCGTCCGCGCGGGCAGGGGCTGCGCCTCCGGCGACGTCTCAAAACACAACTCGCCGGCGTTCCAGAGCTCGAAGTTTTTGACTACATCTTCCGCGAGCCACGCGGGGATGTGACGAGAGGCGGCCGCGACCCACTTCTCGACGGAGACGCGCTCGAAGCGGATCGGTCGCCCCAGGGCCTCTGAATACATGGCAGCGAGCTCGCCCATGTTTATTTCCTCGGGGCCGCTCACGTCGAGCTTCCTGCCGTGGAGCGCATCATAATTCTCGGGCCGCGTGAGCATCGCCGCCGCCAGCTCGCCGACGTCCCGCGGGTCCACGAGCCGCGCTCCTGCGTCAGCGTCGAGCGGGTACGCGATCGTCGACGTCGCCGGCAGCGCGCCGAAGACGTCGGCCAGATGATTGCTCATGAAGCAGTTTGGGCTCAGCACCGCCCACTTCATGTGGCATTTTGGGGGTGTCTTCTCCAGGTGCGCCTCTATTGCCGCATGGCGCCGTGCGTACGCCACGTCCGACGTGGGCGAGGTGTACTGGCGGATCGTGCCCAGCTTGACAAGGAACTCCACACCTGCGCTGCGTGCGGCATCCACGAACGCGATCTCGTTCTCCGCCTGTTCCTCGCAGTTCGCGCACGCGAGGAAGGCCGCGTCGCATTTGATACATGCCGTACACAGCGCGCCTGCGTCGTCGCCCTCGCCCTCGACCAAGCGGAGGCGCGCGTGCCGGCCCAGCACCTCCTCGCCTTTGCGGTGGTCGCGCGTGAGCGCGCGCACCTCGTGGCCCGCATCCAGCAAAGCGCGCACGACATGTTGTCCAACGTTGCCCGTGGCGCCGGCGACGGCGACTCGCATCTTCTTTTTGCACATCGATGCCATCAGTGTATGGCAGCAGCGTGTGATATGGCTGCCCTTCGCGCGAAGTTGAGCGCAGAGCTCTTGCCGATCGACAAGTAATGGTTGTTATCTTGCGCTGCGGGAGCGTTGGCTATCTCTAGCGCCTTTGTGGTCCGCGAGAAGGCATGCGAGAGCAAACATCAGCTTCGCTAGTGCCTTACAGGACGCTAGCTGGCTGCCGCGCCCGACTTTTGTTGCGCGTTGGCGCGAAGCGCTCATAACTGCTGTGGCATGAGTGGAGTTGGCTTTGCTGCTCCGGACAGGAATATCTTTGGATACGAAGAGCTTGGCATTTATCCGCCTTTTTGCGTGTCTACCAATCAGCTGTGGCGGTGTGGTAAAAACACTCATTTCGAGCTAGAGCTAAGGGGTTATCACCCCAGAAATTATTGCGACGCTTGCAAAGCTGCCCGCCGTTTAGAGATCGGTAGTCAGATAGCCCGGGACCTAAAGGCGCGGCAGGCACGGCGCCGCGCACTCAAGCCCTTGCTCGCCGACCTCCTCTGTAAGCACAAGGCGAATCGCACTGAAATTAATGCGGCGGTCCTGAAATTCGTCGGCTTTGACCTACCGCAGTAGATATGGTGCAGCAACAACAGCCGAACCCAGCCCACCAACGCCTCGGCCTGGCCGCGCTCGTGGCCGCCTTCGCGGCGCTCGTCGCGCTGGGCATCAGCGCCGAGCGACGGATCGACGTGGCCGAGGTCGCGCGCGAGACGCCGCGGCCGGACGACGTGTTGCTCGCGAGCTTCCCGAAGAGCGGGTCGCACTGGGCGCGCTTTCTGATCCTGCGCCTGCTCGACGAGAAACTCGACGCCCTCACGTTCGCCGAGGCGGAGCGGCGTATGCCGGACCTCGAGCTGGGCCCGGCGCGCCAGGCGTTCAACCGCGGCCCACGCGGGCGCGTGTTCAAGAGCCACCAGCCCTGGCGCGCCGGCGCGATCGGCACGGCCGAGCACCGATCCGTCGGCGGCGAGCCCTGTGCAGCAGAGCTTAAAAATATGGACTGGTCGCAGTGCCTCTGCCCGAACTGCCCTGAGCGGTGGCGGCGCATCATCTACATGGTCCGGGACCCGCGCGCCACCCTTTGCTCCTTTTACAAGTTTCAGACGCAGCTCGGGAACGTTGCGAACACGTCGTCCTACGCGGACTTTTTGCGGATGGACGAGAGTCGGTACGGCTTCGACTGGCCAAAGCACGTGACGAGCTACCTCGACGCCGCCGCCGACGCCGACGTTTTTTTCCTCAAGTACGAGGACCTCCATAGTAAGCCGGAGGCAACGCTGAGCGAGTTGGCGACGTGGCTCGGCACCGATGTGACGCAGGAGCGCCTCGCGGACGTCATACGCATGAGCGACAGAAAAGCGATGCAACGCGCCGAGGAGGCCACGGGCACGCCTCTCTTCGACCAGCTCTACCCCGATGCGCGCCGGAACGGCTTCCGGCTCGTCCGGGAAGGCTCGACGACGGCGTGGCGCGACGAGTGCGGGGAAGCCGATTTCGACGCGCTGCTACCGGGCTGGCGGGAGGCCATGGGGCGGCTGGGGTACGCCTTGTAGTTGTATATATGTTGTACATACTTATATCTACGACACCTCGGCGGCGCGCCGCACGCGGCGCAGTCCCGCGAGAGTCACAGTCTTCCGACAGAGTGGGCATGTGCCCGAGGTATTGGGCGGCGTCATGTTGCAAACGGAGACGACGCATCGCGCGCAAAACGAATGGCCGCACTCGGTCTGCGTCTGCACGAGGCCGTCGGCGTCCCAATTGCCAAGACATATGGGGCATGTGGCCTCCGGGTCGGAAGAGACCGAGCGCACGAGTTGCGGCATGCGTGCCATGCGATCGTTGAGCGACTCCTTGCGCTCGCCCTTGGTGGGGAGGATGCCCTCGCCCTGCCGGCGGAAGTCTCCTCGGAAGGTGGTAGTCCTACCAAGAATGTCAGAGGACATGAAGACAATGTCGAAGGACTCGATGACGCCCACCAGCGGGCCACCGCCCGCGCCGCGCAGCCAGTCCGTCGACTGGTTCGGGCAGAAGACGGTGAAACACAGGCGCAACCAGCCGTTCTCCAGATAGTCAAGGAGCACTTCCCTCGCGGCCACATGCGCGCCCTTCCACGAGAGCCTCTCTTTTTCGATGACGAGGTCGTCTTTGCCATTATACACCGTGCGCACTTCATACCTGCCGACGAGCGCGAGCGGCAGCGCTTTTTCCGCCAAATCCTCGTCACGACGGCCGAAGCCGCGGAAGCTGTCGGCGCGAATATCTTGTGGAGGCGAGATCGGTCTGGGCGCGGGTTGCTCTGTCCGCGAGGCCGGTGGAGACTCAGTGTCGAGCTGGACAACGGCTCCCTTGATGGAGAGCGAGTGACCGCCGCCGCCGCCCACGCGGTAGCCGAATTGAACGCGACGACCACGGAGCGACGGCGGCAGTTGGACCGTCAGGCGTGCGGTCGCATGCGGGGCAACGCTCCGAGAGAGGGGATGCCACGCGCCGCCAGCGGTGCGCGCGAACACCATGCCCTTCCGATTGCCCCAGCCTTGGTCGTGCCAGTGGCATTTGAGACCGGTCGCGCCTTCAATTTCACCGTCCCACGGAGTTATACAGTCGGAAATCACGAATGAATGCACGTTGCTCAGACGGATGACGTTGCCGCGCAGCGTGCCGCGCTGGGCGCTCGCGCTGTTGCCGCGCTGGGAGCTCGCGCTGCTGCCCAAGCTAGAAGCCATGCACCCCACGCAGAGAGGCAGCCTGAGATCGAGAGCATCCCGGCAAATTTCCTTGATGCCGCACTTAACTTGAGCGCGCGCCGTTGTGCCAGAGTCGCCTACCATGCCTGGACGTGTGAAATATCCTTTTGGCAGCCGTCGGTGGTCTTTTGTTCCAGGTGCGGGGTGGCGGCGGGGCAGCCCTCGACGCGCTAAATCAGCCGCTCCGTGCGCGGACGACACGAAGGGCAGCGTGCTACATCTGTAGGACATCTGTAGGAACTCGTGCGCGGGTGTTCGCGCCGTCACATCTTCTGCCTGGCACTGTCTGGCTGCCCCTGAACACAAAAACACAAAACACAAATACAAAGGAAACACAACAACAATGGGTGCCGCCGACGCGGAGGAGGAGGAGGAGTCCTACCAGCCCATGGCGGCGGAGTCGCTGGTGCGCGACCCGGGCCTCATCCTCGACCCGGACGAGCCGCTGACGGGCGACTTTTTGCGGAGCCTCTCGAAGCCGCATTTGGCCATGGCGCGCCTCGAGATGACCTGGGGCCAGCGGGCCAACGTCGAGAAGTGGCAGAAGTACGCCACCGACGTGCAGCGCTGCTGGCGCGGCTTTCGACAAAGGTGGTACGGCGAAGTTAGGAAAGACGCGCGGGATCAAAGGAGAGAGGCCCTCAAGTTCATGACGCAGGCGCGCGTCATTCTGGAGCGAAGGGACCCCGCCGAATTGAAAGAATGTCTGGAACTTTTAAAATTTGCGGGGCGCAAGGATCATAGGTGTGGCGAGATCTGGAGCCTGCGGGGCGAGGCGAGGTATGCATTGGGCGAGTTCCGGAAGGCGAGGGAGGCCTTCGCGACGGCCTTTGACTTGTTGCCGGAACGACGACGGCCCGTGTGCCAGCTGGGCGAGGCCCGCTGCGCGGCGGCCATGGGCGATTATAGTGGAGCGAACGACATTTTGGGCCTCATGCTCGAGAAGGAGCACACGCACCGCAAGCCCGCGGACCTCGACGCGGCCGAGCGGCGGTTTCGCGCGAGCCTGACGGGCGAGGAGGCCGAGGCCGAGATGGCCTTGCCCGAGGACGCGCCGGCGCCGCCCGCGACGGCCGCGAGTCGACACAAGTCGACGCGCGGCAGCAAGCGGCGCGCGCTCACGGCCTCGACGACGGCGCACGGCGACGCCGCCGACGACGCGCCGCGCCGGCGGGACGACGGCGGGCGCAGGACGCAGGACGCGGCGCGCGCGCTCCGCGAGACGCGGCGGAGGAGAGCAGTCGCCGGCGCGGACGCGCCCTTCGCGCACGCGCGCTTCCTGCGGGGCTGCGTGCGCGCGAAGCTGAGCGACTGGAGGGGTGCGGAGGTCGACTTCGAGAAGTACCTGGAATATGCGCCTCCGGAATTACCGCCGCCGTCCAAGATGCGGGCGCACTCGCGCGAGGAGGCGGACCTGGCGAACCAGCGCGCCCGGGCGTTAACGCTGTTGGGTGCGGCCCGCGGCTGCAACCGGAACTGGTCGGCGGCCGTCGCGCGGCTCACGGAAGGCGCGCAGATCGAGCCCAACGCGACGCGCTGCGCTCTGCTGGGGCGGGTCCACGCGTGCGAGCGCCAGTGGTTGTTAGCGATGGACCGGTATCGCGACGCGCTCGACCTGGATTCGACGTTGGAGCAGGCGCGCGTCGGCTTGGACCAGGTGCGCATCAAGCACGAGCCGATGCCGCTCGTCACCGGACTGATTTGAATCGTCGCGTGGACCTCAACGCCATCGACGCGACGCCTGCTCGATGGCGTACCCGGCGCACTGGTTGATTTCCACACGGCTGCGCACTGAAATGATTAAAACTTGTTATTATTCGGTGGGACTGAACGCGAGCGCTGGATTCGCGAGCCGGAGCGCGCCGTCGCCGTCGCGGCCCACATCAATCGAAAGCACGGAGCAGTTCGGGATCAATCCGCGCGCGAGGTCCCCGTCGTCGGGGCAGTGCCGCCTTAAAATAGATCGGATCAGGAGCGAGTGGCAGACCACGGCCGCCGGCCCGTCGCCGCCGTCGGCCAGCTCGCCGAGGAACCGGTCCACGCGGCGCCGCGCGCGGACGTGCGGCTCCCACCGCGACCACCATCGCGCCTCGCACCGCGCCGCATCGACTCGCTCGATTGCCAGGGGCCGCGCCGACTCGTCGCTCACGCGGTCCAAGATCTCCAACACACCCACCGCAGCGCCTAACGAGTCGCGCCCGGCGATCGGCCCAGCGCCCAGTTCGCGCGCGTCGGGCAGCAGCACGAGCGGTTTGTCGATTCCGTCAGTAGCGATCAACGCGGTTTGGATCGCGCGCGTGAGCGGCGAGGCGTAGAGCTCCAGCCTCGCGTCGGCCCAAGGCGACGCCGCGTCCGCGCGCTGCTCGGCGACGTACGCCTGCAGCGCGTCGCATTGGGCGTAGCCTGCAGTCGTTATGCCGTGGTCGCGCTTCAGTAAAAGCCCTCGCAGGTCCCAGTTGCGTTCCGCCTCGTTGTGCTCGCTCTCGGCGTGGCGTATTAGCATGACCTTGCGTGCAGCAGGTTTGAGGCCGTCGACTGCGCATGCTGCGATGAGGAGCAAAATGCGCACGGCTCGCATTGGTCGCATCGCTGCCATTTTTCGTTGCCGCCGCTACCTCCGCGCTTCAACACGTCGATCAGCTTGCAAGACAAACAAAAAAAGCGCAACTACTGCCCCAACAGAGCGCACCCTGCAAAACGCCAAGCTAGCGCACCAAGACATACTAGCATGTATCCCGCTTTTCGTCTGCGCGCCTGTTCCTCGGCTGCTGGAGACATACCAGATCCTAGGCTGTACGCAACACCGCAACCTCCACAGCGCGTCTCGAAGCACGGGTCACGCGGACGCCGAGGCGCCACTTTCGGCGTCTACGCAAAGCTGGAGGACTCCCAAAGCGCCCCCTACGCGGCCTTCGAGCCCGACGCGCCTCCTAGTACAACGCTCCCGTCGCGGAACTACGACGACAACTTCTACAGCCAGCCCTCACCTGGGTTGAGGATGGACGCCGTCACGGGCGGGCTGGACGTCCCCGCCTTGGCCAAGGGCCTCAATTTACTGGTGAGCATTTTGTGCGTGGCCTGCGCCATCGCTTTCATGAGTGAAGAAGGCTCGTATTTGAGCGTCATTATTGGGTTGGAGACGGCGTTTTTTGCGGCAGCTCTAGCGTGCGTCGAGTTACAATTAGATCCGCCCCTGTCCATTTTAAGGAGCGTCGTGCCCTTTGTCACGACCCTGCGAGGCGAGGCTTTTGTGGCCGTGCTGGGCGTGCTCTTCCTCTTCGCGATGGGCACTTTTGGCGTCGTGATGGCCATCATATTACTCTGCACGCTCGCGCTGAACGGCTACGTGGCCGTGACGTCTCCTGAAAGTATGCAGCGCGACGGCGGCGGCGACGCGGGGCCGCAGTTCGCCGCGGCGGGGTATGATGTGGACGACGCGGCGTTCTCGCCGGCGGCGCAGCCGTCGACGGCGGACCTCTAGTTGGTTCGTCGTTCTCTTCCTTCGCGGAGGTCAATAAGTATTCCATTTGAGCAGGAGGAACTAGTCGGTGGCGACGACGTAGAGCGACGACGGGAGCGTGGGTTGTGGTTACAAGCTCGCACGGTGCTAGGACGAGTGGCGCGCGTCGCGTCGCCAATTCGTCCGGCGGCTGGCGCGGGCCGATAGTGCCGATACTATCGTAACACCTAGAGTACCAGCTAGTATGTATACGCTAGCTGGCTCGGATTTATCGAAGTCTTTTTGGCGCTACGCCGCAAACCCTGCCACTCGCCCCCAAAATTTCTGCACGAAGCCGTCGACAGCCATCTAGCAGCGAGCGCAAGACTTGCGACGCGTAGACGCTGTCGACGCGCCCCAGCTAAAGCCGTGAAACAGCCGTAGCGCCGCAAAGCCAAAGAAGATGGTCGTCATCCACGTCAAGTTCCAGGGCGGCGAGGACCAGTTCTTGTACGAGACGACGGGTGATACAAGCAATGACACTTTGCTGAGAGAACTCGTCGACATAAACAACACGCGCGTCCGCATCGCGTACCTGTGTGGGGCCATGTCTGAATTAGCAGAACATGGTCCGAGTAAACCACATGGGGAAGAAGGCATCGACCACATCCAACAGTTGAACGGTGGTACGTTCGTCGAGAAGGCTGATAACTATAAGGAGGATCCGAGCGGTAGCAGGACGGGCAATGGCATCGGCGAGCAGATGACGAACGTGTTCAACGACGTCTGTCGGGACGCCGAGGCCTACATCTCGAAGGATCGCGCATTAGCGAGGAAAGCGTTGACCAAGGAAGGTATGATGGAGAAACTAACTACAATGAAAGGAGCCGTGACCATGGCCTTCCCCATGGGCCTGCCGAAGCACGATCCCGTGTATAGTGCGTTGGAGGGTGAAGAGGGCTTGGATGGGACGCAGGCCCAGCAGGGGTTGCTTGACCCGGCCACGGCTCAGTTGTGGTGCGCCGGGAAGGAATTTGTCCGGGAGGAGCTCGTGCGCGATCGTGTAGGCAAAAATGAAAAGACCAAAGTCGTCGCCAAGCTCCAGAAGCCGGGCCACGGCGCGCCCGCGCGCGAGCCGTGCGTCTCCGAGGGCGAGCGCAAGGCGATGATGGCCCACTATTTCAAAAGACAGGAGGAGCTGAAGGCTTTGGCGGAAGCGGATGATGATGATTATCTACACAGCGCGTGGGCGGACACGAAGGCCCTCAAGAACTCGCTCCAGGGCATCTCGGGGGGCATGCGGGCGCCGGGGATCCGTTAGTTTGGTCGCGGCGACTGGCGTAAGGGAGATTTTGGTACTTCTCTGGGCTGCTCCAGAGGCTAAGGGAGTTTTTGGTACTTCTGTGGGCTCCTCCGAGGCACGTGACCTAGCGGCGTAAGACACTAGCAAACATCGATGCATTTGTTGGCGTGCTTGTCCGCGCTGTTGCGGTTACAAATTGACGCCGCGCAGCCGCTCTACCCATAAAATTGGTTGGGGACTTCTAGACCAAAAAAGCGCGCGTCCAGGCGCCTCCGGTGCTGCATTGTCACTTCAGGCAATTTACGTCACAGCGACAAACGCGCCGACGCGCCGGCGTAACAGATGGCCGCCCGCGCTGCCCGACTAGCGAGGACAGCAGCGCGCACCACACGAATAGCGAGACCGGACATCCCGCCGGCCGCGGTCGAAGCCCACGCCGCCGCCGTGGCACGAGGCCTCCAGACCTACGACGACCCGACCACGGGCTACACGGTCTTCACGGAGCTGGCCCATCGAGCGCGCGGCGGCTGCTGCGGTAGGATGTGCCGGCACTGCTGCTACGGCTGGCGCAACGTCCGCGGCTTCTCCACAGAGAAGACGACGGACAATGTCCGCGCCTTTGCCACCGAGAAGCCGACGAGAGCGTCGCGCGTCTACACGCGCAAGGGCGACGGCGGCCGCGCGCGGTTGGTCGGGTCGCGAGACGCGGAGACCCCAAAGTTCGCCACGGTCTACGAGGCCGTCGGCGACGTCGATGAGTTGGGCGTCAAATTGGGTATCGCGGCCTTCCACACGACTGTTGAAGAGGGCGGTGTGGATGTGCGGTCGCGTCTCCTAAAAACGCAGGCGCTGTTGTTGGATGCCGGCGCGACTTTAACAGTCGTGGACCGGAGCGGCGACGGCGCGTACGCGAGCGCGGCGCGGGACGCGTTTGATGATGCCGAGATCGCGGCCCTCGAGGAGGAGGTCGACGCCCTGGACGCGGCGCTGCCGCCCCTCAAGAATTTTGTCGTGGCCACGGGTCCTTTAGCTTGTCTTGCGTTGCACGACGCGCGCGTGGTCTGTAGAAGGGCCGAGCGCCACGTCTGGCGGCGGGCCGAGGAATTGAGGAAGGAGCAGTTGGCGGACGACGCCGCGCGCGTGGCGGCGGTGGCCAAGTTCCTGAACCGGCTCTCGGATTATCTGTTCGTGGCGGCGCGCGGCGCGGCGGCGACGGACGTGGTCTACGACGTGTCGGCGAACGTGCGGCGGAGAAGGCGGGAGAAGGAGGATGAGAAGTAATCTGTTGTTAAACATTATCACACTTAGTCATACGTACGTCGTAATCAGCTATCGACACGGCCTTCCGCCGCGCGTCGAAGTAGAGCGGGTCTTGCGGGTTCATATAGTCTACGAGGCGCAAGCGACCGACGACCGCGTCTCCGGTCGTCCTCCGGAGCTCCGTGAGGATCTCCGAGTCCGTCGTGATGGGTGGGGCGGCGTTGGTGTTCGTTAACGCGAAAATACTTCGGGTCGCCTCGCTGCCGCGCCACAGGTCGTCAGACGCCTCCGTCGTCCGCGCGACCGAGAACACTTTTTGAGCTGCAGGCCCCTTGTAGTAGGTCACGGTGGTGATCAGTGGATCGTCGGCCGAGCCGCCGAGGACGACGTTGCCCCTGCGATTGTTGCCGCCCGTTTCCGCGTATTCGACCGACGAGACCACGGCCTTCCCGGCGAACGCGTCCAGCCGCGACCGAGTATTGTACAAGCGGTCCTCCACAACGCCGAACTTCGTCCGGACGAACCGTAATTTGAGCTTCTGTGGCTGGCCGATGCGCGACCGCTGCTCGTCGAGGCTCTTCTGGGCGATCGCGAGGTCTCCGCGCGGCCCGCCGATGAATTTCAGACCGAGCGGCGCCTCCGCCCGTTTCAAAGTTTGTTCCACGTCCCACGTGCCCGCCATCCAGTCCGGATAATACAAATTGGCCACGCCGGAGAACTCGGACCGGCCCTGGTCCACGGCCGGCTGGACCAAGGCGTCGGACTCAAAACGAGATGCCACGCCGTTCGGCACGGACGCGACGGCGACCGCCGGCAGCGCCGCGACCAGCCCACCCAAAGACCGCCGCGCGAGCCAGCACGCGCCGTTCCGCCGGACGTAGCCGTCCGCGCAGTTCGCCGCCGACGCGCCGGCCAGATCTAAATCAAGACGCGCCGTCGTCTTCCTCAATTCCAAGGTGCTGACGGGCTCGGCCGTGCTCCCGCCCGTCGCCAGCGTGGTGATCGAAAAGAACTCGCCCAGCCGTTTTATCGTAGCGTCGTCGGCGGGCTGCCTCCGTTTATGCGCGAGGAGGATCTTCGTCGAAGGCGACGCGTGGGCCACTAAAGCGTTCGCGAGAGCGTCGGCGTTCGCAGGATTGTAGGTGACGTCGGCGCCGAGCACCACATCAAACGAACCGAGGGCCTTGGCGCTCGCGGCCGAGGCCGCCTCCCAGCGCAGGGGCGGCGGCACCGCCACCGTTTCTCGTAGACCGTTCGTGGCTAGAATGTCCTCGAGATGGGCGCACGACCCCTCGTCGCCGTCCGAGGCGACGACGCGCGTCGCGCCGCATAGAGCAGCCGTCATCGCCACCAAGCCACATCCTGCACCGAGCTCGAGCACCGTCTTGCCCTTGCAGAGACCGGGCTCCGCCGCGAGCTTTGCTGACAAAAGCTCACCGCATTCCCAGACGCCCGCGCCGGTGCTCCGCTGCTTCGCGGTGCTGAACTCCTGGTCGACGACGAGCGTCCGCCCGGCGCGCTCGAAGGTGCGCCGCTTCTGCATGAGGCATTCGTCGCCCTTGCACGCCGCTGCCGATGCGAACGGCGTTACTGTGGTCGTGCAGCCGATGCGCAGCAGCGATCGGCGCGATTGCACGGCGGCGGGCGTCACCGCGGTCGTGCAACCGACGCGTGGCAACGATCTTTGCGGATGCACGGCTGCGGTGGCTTGTGCCAGCAGGGCTGCAACTAGGGTGGCTTGCATTTTTGAGCTCTTGGGCACGCCAGCGATCAATTTTCCGCTTTGAAGCGGGAGGTGCACTGTGCCGCACTGCTGTGATCGAGCCTGCGCTGCCTGAACGTTGCCAGTGCGCTCGCAATCGGTCCTGAAATGTTGGCACAGCCTGCAAGCAACCCGCACGCAGTCCCAGCAGCGGAGGGTTCCTCCAGGACATCATTCGAGCGTTCTTCGACTTGTCACGGGCGTGCTGCGGTGCCATGGCTAGAGCCGCGTGCTTGGGATAGGCAATGGCGTAGCCTCCGCAAATCAACTCGTGTGACCGCATAAATCGTTAAGCGTTGCTATTGACTGGCGCAGCAGTATATTTTTTGAACCTGTGCTGCGTTGGGACTGATTCGTTGCAATAACCGCATCGCTCAGCCATATTTGGCTGCATCCACAGCCAAGATGAGACTCACCGCGGGCCTGCTGCTCGCACAATGTGCAACCGGTTTCCTCGCACCGACGAAACAGACGAGGCCACCCACGGCAAGATCATTAGACGTCCTCTCGGGGGACCACACGTTCCTCGAGGGCGTCGGCCTCGCAATAGCCACGAAAATCGCCATCAACGAGGTGCGACGAAGAGTAGAAAAACCGGTCATGGACGAATTCGGGCGACGCGTCGCTTCCGGCCTCAAACCGGAGCCCGCCGACGTGACGGCGGAAGGCTGGGCCAAGCTCGTCGGGTGTTTACTTCTCGACCTCGCGGGTGACGCTTCCGAATTGATACCGGGGCTCGGTGAATTGACGGATGTGGTGTATGCGCCCGTCGAGGCGGGGCTCCTCAAAGCATTATTTGCCTCGAACGCGATCGCGGCTTTTGGGTTTGCGGAGGAGTTATTACCCTTCACGGACATCATTCCCACGTTCACGTTGTCGTGGTGCTTGGCCAACCTGTGGCCGACGACGGGCCTGGCCAAGCAATTGGTCCCAGAACTCGCGAAGAAGAACACGCTCCTCCCCGCGGGGCAGAAGTAATACACTTAGGGGGGAAGGGAGGGGGAGGGGGTTCGTCTACTCCTTGTCGTCGGCGTCGCACGGCGCGATCGCGACCTCGCCGGGCAGCGTCCCCGGCGCGTTGACGACCTCGCCCGTCGTCGGGTCGACCTCGCCGTCCGGGAAGTAGTCCCGGTACCAGGGCTGTTGGGCCGCCTCGGCGACGCGCGCCCGCAGCGCCGTCGCGCGTTCTTCGTGTAATTGCTCCTGTTGGAGCTCGAGCTTTTTCAGACGAGCAGCTCTAAGTAGCGCCTCGGGGCCGCCGCGCGGGTCGCCGGCCTCACCTTCCAGAGCTAAACCCTCGACGAAGGGCGGCAGGCGGTAGTGCCACGTGTAGTAGGTCGGGCCCTGCTGTTTGATGGAGACGGCGCCGCCGTCGCCGGCGTAATGCTTAGACGGTGAGGTAGAAATACCCTCGCCCCAGAACCGCGGGACCTCCTCTCCGGTCTGATCTTGATCGACGGGCGTATAGGAGACATATCCTAGACCCATGAGCATGTAGTGCACGTCTTGTATGTTTTCTTTGTGTGATAAATGCAACTCGGACAGGCCCGCGACGATCGTGACGGAAGAGCACTCGTTGTGGACCTCGCCGTAGCGCAGTTCAATTAACGGAGGCACGTTGACGGCTTCGGCCATGCGGAAGCCGAAGGACTCCTTTTCTAAGCACTCCTTGGCCTCGTCGACTTTAAGGGTGCCGACGCGGCCGACGCGCTTCCGTGTCACTAAACCAAAGCGCTTGCCCCAGACCGGGAACGCCCGCTTCGTATCTAACAACACCGCATCTTCTAAGGAACCGCGGACCTCGACCTTCGCATGGCGCTGGCCGCGACCGTCGATGAACGCCCGGCCTTGGCCATCGCACTCCTCGACGACGTCCCAGTCCGGGACCGGTAAGCCTTCCGCGTCGTAGGCCACGCCGAGCGGCGCATCTCCAGGTAACTTGAGGTTCCCCTCGACGTCGTAGAGCGGCATGACGTCCGGCGCCCGGGCGACGCGCGCGAGCGGCGGCACGTCGATGGCGCTGACCACCTTGCCCCGGAGCGGGCCGGCCTCGAGCTTGCGGCCGCCGAGGTCGGCGCCGTACTGGACGTAGGGCGCGCCGTCGATCACGACCTCCTCGGCGCCGGCCGGCAGCTCCTCGGCGGCCTCGCGGCGCAGCTTCTCTTCTAGATCGTCCTTCGCGGGCTCGACGTAGGCCTTCGGGCTCTGGATCTGCAGCGAGGGCGCGGCCTTGGTCGAGGCGGCCCACTTCGCGCGCCAGTCGAGGCGCGCGCACTGGCTGCGGAAGACGACGCGCCGCGCCGCGCGCGGGTGCCGCGGCGGCGGCGCCGCGGCCGTGGGCCAGAGCTTCACGGGCACGGAGGTGGGCGTTACTTTGGCGGGCGGCGGGCCGGGGAGCCACTCGCTGCCCGTATAGTACATCCCAACCGGGTCCGAGGGCGGCGCTTTACTGAGCTGCTCTGCTAAGATGGTCTGCGTGGCCATATTTGGTGCGGCGGCGGCGCTTTTTTAGGCAGCCCGGAGGTAGCGGTAGTGGAACGCGTCCCGAGTCTCGCTCGTGACAGCGAACGCGTTGCGTGGCGTCGAATGCAGCTCCAAAAAGGAAGTGGCCTCCGAGGCAAAAACCCATCGAACCCGCACGGACAGGCTTCGCGCGACGCAAGACTCGCGAGGGAGCCCTTAGACGCCCCCGACGACGCCTCCGTGCAAAATGGCAGAATCCGGGCGCGTCGCGGTCGCGGTGGGCGTCTCCTCCCCCAGGAGAAAAAAAAAGCAGCAGGGATTTTGATACAATTATTTTACTCATATATAAAATCCGTCAGTCCCACCGGTGCTCCGCGTCGTAGTCGATGTGCTCCTCGGCGTGCAGCTCGCTCACGGCCGCCTGCGCGAGCTCCTCGAACTCGGCGAGCGACACGGAGCAGTTCGGCGTCACGGACTCGCGCGCGATCTTCTTCGCGACGCCGACGACGACGCAGTCAACGTGCTCCGCGTCGGCCATCAGCGTCTTGATGCCGGCGTCGAACTCCGCCGCCGTCAGCCGGCCCTTCCGCTCGACGTCGATCGACTCGAACAGCGCCCGCGTGAGCATGCCGCCACTTTGCAGCGCCTCCTGGACCTGGGCGTGATTTGAGGGGGACAGGAGCCACCGCGCGTGCGAGCCGCCGCTCTGCGTGTCCAGCTTGCGCGAGAGCGGCTTCCTTGTCCTAGGATCGAAGCGGTAGATGATGGGCACGGCGTTCGGCACGTAGAGCTCCGGCACCTTCTCGTCGGCGACCTCGTCGAAGTAGGCCATGAGCATCCTTAGAGTATTGGAGTGGGCCGCCACCAAAATCGTGCGGTTCTCGATCTCCGTCGGTAAGTTTTCCTCCTCGAATAATGCAGGCGCGATCGTCGTCTCCCAGCACGCGACGACGCGCTTCTGGCAGTCTCGCAGAGTCTCCGTGCGCGGCGCATCTGGATCGTAGTGGTGGTGCTCCTTCGTCATGGGCGGCGGCTTGGCGTCCATCGTCCTTCTCCAACTCAGGAGCATGTCAGACCCAAAACCCTGGACCAGCTCCGGGTCGGCCTTGCGCCAGCCCTGCAAGCTCCCATAATGCCTTTCGTTAAGGCGCGCGTCCCTTCTAATACGATCGGAGTGCCACGTGTCCTGCTGCGCGCCGGCCATCGACGCCAGGGCCAGCTCGCACGTCTCGTGCGCTCTTTGTAGATTGGACGTGAAGGCGACGTCCACCCTTTTCGCGGGGAAGCCTCTTTCTCTCAACAACTGGCCCGCTCCCACGGCCTCGACCCTTCCTTTCACCGTCAGGGGCACGTCGACCCAGCCCGAGAAGATGGCGTCCGCGCCGTTCCACTTCGACTGGCCGTGGCGCAGGAGGATGAGCGTGGAGACGGAGCGCTGGTTTTCTCGTCGTCGCGCGGCGCGCGCGGCGGCGCGCAGCATTCTCTGCATGGCTGCCGCGGATGCGCGACGGCGTGGGCAGGATGCGAGTACGTATGACCGACTGCAAAGGCTGCTGGATGTGCGATACGCCTCGATTGATGTCCGCAGAAGATGCAGGATGGTTGCTGGGCAGCGAATACACGGGAAATTAAAGCGTTTGTGCAGCACACCTGCGTATGAAGCTCCACTCGCCCGCAAGTCCATGCTGGCTAGTGTCTTAGGACGCTAGCTCACTTTTTTAACTCGCGGCGTTTCATGCGTGCCCCGTAAGTTAACGGTACGGGGCACGAGGCACGTCAGAATTAACAAAGAAATCATCAACAAAAGACCGTGCGCTCAACCCAGCCACGCATAACAAGTCTGAGAATCAATTGGCTCTCTCAAACTAATAATAGCATAAAGGACAGTGATCGATGACTCGGGCGGACGAATGGTCACGCGTCGACTACCGGTCGCGCGCCGCCGCCGCGATCTGCGCAATTGCGACGACGCTTGTGGCGGCCGTAACTCTTACGGCGTACGTCGGGACTCGGATTGGTTTCGCAGAAGGCGCGCTTCTACCGACGCCGCCGCGGGAGGCGGCGTTTGTCGCACCGCAATGCCCGCCGCGGTACGTCCACCAAATTTTCGGACTCAAGGACGACGACGAAGAAATGCCGTCGCCGTGGCGCCGCGCGCAGGCGACGTGGCTGAACCGCCACCGCGCCGTCGAGGTGGAGGACCCAATCATATTGGCACCCGGCGCGCTCGCGAACGAGTGGAAGTACGTGCTCTGGTCAAAGGACGCGGTCGACTGGTTGATTCTTACCGAGTATCCGCACCTCTGGGCGACGTACAAGAGCTACCCGCGCTGGGTCCAGCGCGCGGACATGGCGCGCTACGCGATTCTGCACAAGTACGGCGGCATCTACCTGTGTGGAAATCAACAAGTGTGTCGCGTGCACGCAGGCGTCGCGTCGATGGCGTGGAGGTCGCCGCGACATTTGATTTCCACGCAGGCCTCTACGCCGACCTCGACGTGATGGCGCGGCGGTCCTGGGAGCCCGTCCGCGCGCTCTGCCCGGAGCTCGTAGTGGCGCGCGCGGACCAGTTCGGACCTTTTCTGTCGCCGGACACGATGCTGGCGAGCGCGGGGTCGCCGTTCCTCAAACACGTCCTGGAGACGATGCCGGCGAAGGCGACGAGCCTCCCGCGGCGGCTCCTCGGGCCCTTCCTCTCCGTGCTGACGACGACAGGACCGGTCCACCTCACGGAGAGCTTCCTCGAGTACCGGTCCGCGCACGCCTTCGCCGCGGGAAATGTCATCATCATCGGCGACGGCTACTACACCGGAAAAGTGACGCCGCTCAAGCTCGTGGGTCATCTGAGAGGTCGGTCGTGGCACGAGCGCGACGCCTTCGCGGGGCGGCCCAAGAAGAACGTCCTCGTCGTGCCGGTGGTCTCGTCGTTCGTCTGGATCGCGGCCGCGTGTTGTTGCGCCCTACGGCGTCGGCGGCAGCGACGACTCTCTACTAAGGGTATCTAGCATTCTCGACTACCTCTGCTAAGGGTATCTTCCATCTCGACTACATCTGCTAGTATCTTACAGAACGCTAGCTATTTTCGACGCGAGATTTGACAAAAATCGGTGCGAAACGGCTCTGCCCACGCAACATAACGCACGTTTACTGCAGCTGCAACGCCTCGTTGCGCTGCACGCCATCGCTGCGCCAGCAAAAATGGCCTGGCGCCGCGGCACCCAAAACCAGCAAGCCGGCGCCATACGCAAGGGCCACGTGAAGGAGTTCCTCGTGCCGTCGTCGAAAAAACTCGCCACCGAGGAGGAGCAGTGCGCGCTCAAAGTAGTAGACGCACCAACACAATCCGCCTGCGCCTATGCGCGCTACCGGGACCTACCACCGGCCTTCCGGGACGCGGTCGACGCGCACGGTTGTGTGCATGTGCACTTCCATGAGCACCCGGCGCACGTGCAACGCCTGGTCATTGACGACAGCATACCCGAAGGCTGCATCTCTCTAAATGACGTCCAGCGCCTGAATAACCGCGTGTGCGTCCACGACGCGCCGTCGATGACGCTCTATCGCGGGCGGCACGAGGCGCTGGACGCGCGCGAGGCCGCCATCGGCGCCACGGACGTTGTGGTCAAGCCCGACTCGGAGCTCGCGGCGGTGGTCTTCGAGGTGCGGCGCCGCGACGCGTCAAAGGACGTTTCAATAGATGCGGTCAAGTTGAGTGCGTCGCTCGGGAAGCACTGCTTCGGGTGCGTCGTGACGGTGCCCGAGGTCCACGTCCTGACGATTGATGATGTCGTTGTCGTGGCGCGCGTCGTGGAAGTGCGGGCGGACCGGGAGGACGATGACGACGAGGATAATGATGACGACGACGAGTATCGGGGCGTGGTCACGGCCTCGACGGCCGCCTACGTGATTACCGACGGCGCGGCGCCGCCCGGGACGCGCATTTTACTGGAGAATGGAGTCGAGGTGCCCCCGAAAAATCAGCAGGTCGACTGCGTGGACGTGACCTGTTCTGATGACGAGGTCTTCCCCGTGAAGCGCGCGTTGCTACGACCGTGCCTCGCCCTGACCAAGGCCGCGCAGGCCGGCAGGGGCAAGTACACGAGTGCGGAGGAAATACGAGTGCCGCTCGACTGCTGCACTTTTGATCGGGTGTTACTGTATCTGCAGCACGAGAGGCGGGGGGCGCCGTTCCGCTTCGACCCGACGCTCGCCCCGGAATTGTTAGAAGCGGCCCTCGCTCTCAAAATACGGGGCCTCGAGGAAGATTGCAGGAAGGTGCTCGGGAGCTTCGAGGAGAGGGTGAGAAAGTCCCCCATTCGTTTGGATGAGGTGCGGCGACGGAACGCGAAGGGTTCCCAGACGACGCCGCGCGGCGAGACCTGGCTGCTGCTCGACGGCATGGTCCTCGATATTAGTAGATGGCTGTCGGAGCATCCTGGTGGGGACTCGATTATTCCGCAACAAGCCTTGAATTGTGATAGTACCGTGATGTTCGAGCTGTACCACGTCTCGCGCCAGTCCTTTTTATATTTGCGCGAGTTTTACGTGGGCGAGCTGCACCCCGACGACCTGGCCGACGTGCCTTTGCCAAATAAATTGCCACCAGGAGGCGACGGCGGCGCGTCGCCGGCGTTCCTGGCGGAACTGAGGCGCCACACGCGGTGGCGCCTGACGAAGGAGGAGCTCGTGTTTCCGGCGTGGAAGAGCTTCTAGTATTTGTCTGTCTTTACATGTTTGCTTGTTCTATCGTGTCTATTGTTGCGGTGTAGGACTGGTATCAACGCGGGCTATATTGATACGGTGCGTGTCACGCGGACAAACTTCTAGTGCCTCATTGACACTAGGTCGTGAGAGCCTTCGGCTTTGTGGCGTCTTGTGGCGTCTTGCACCCGTCGCAGGAGGCCGCACGAGCGTATTGTTGTACGTTACGTGATAGCCATTGACCGTCACCATTGACGCAAGCGACCGTTTGTGCTCCTCGTGCTGCAGCCATTGCAAACAAACACAAGGCTGTCAATACTCTCAGTGCAAACGCAGCGTACGCGCAATTGCTGACGATGAGCCGCCGCGGAACCGTCGTCCGCGCATCACCGGCAACATTCGCGGGCCTCGAGAAAGCCGCCCGCCGTCAAAACGCCAAGGGTGTCTACATCGAACGCGGACCGCACACCAAGGCGGCGCAGATCGCGACGTGGCTGAATGGCCAGGAGGAAGAAGACTTGATGTTCGGCGAGTTCGCGTCTGCACAATTACTCGTCGCGCCGCCGCCCTGTGAAGACAGCGATTGCGACGACGACCACGAGCTCGCGACGGAGGAGGACGTCGAGGCCGCGCTGGACCAGCTAGTGTCCGAACTCCCAGACTCGTTCCGCGCGGCCGTCCGCGACGACGCGGCGGCGCTCGTGCGCCTGTCGCGGCGGCTCTCGCCGGCCACGCCGTGGCTCACGCTGCGCATCGAGATCCTGCACGAGGAAGCGTGTTGGCGCTGGCACCAGGACGGCTACTGCGGGCGGACCCTCGTGTGCTACGTCGGGCCCGGGACCTTGGCCGCGGACGACGCACAGGTCGATTGGGACGCATTCGAGGCGTCCATGGGCGAGGAGGACAACGAGCACGTCGTCTCGTCATGCCATGAAATTCCCACGAACGCTGTTCTATTGATGAAGGGCGACGCGTGGCCCGGGATCAAAGGCAGCGGACTCACGCACAAATCCCCCCGCGGCCAGCCGCCGCTCCCGAAGCGCGTGCTCCTGAAGTGCGACCTGACCGACTTCCGGCCCATGCTCGCGTACGAGGACGACCCCCTGCTGGACGACGTGGCTTCCCGGTCCCGGTCGCGGTCCCGCTCCCGGTCGCCGAAGCCTCCGCCGACGCCGCGCCGCAAGGGCCTGGCGCGGCGCGGCCGGTCCCCCTCCAGTGGTAGTAGCTAACTTGTACCCCACACTTAGGCCGGCGCCGCCGCTGCTTCCTCAGATTTCTCCGCGGCGTCTGCCTCCTCGGACGCCGCGTGCACGGACTTGAGCTCGTCCCAGAGCTTCTGGCGCTCCTCCCCGTCGCAGGCGCCCTCGAGCATGGCCGAGACCTCCCGGTTGTCGCTCATGAACCACAACTTGCAGACGTGGGTCTCGCCCTCCTCGAGCGGGCACGCGTGCTTGTCCGTGACCCAGACCGGCGGCCCGCTCTCCATGAGGCGCTTCATCTCGGCCTTGCAGTCCGATTTCTGGATGCGCTCCATGTAGTTCTTGTACTGCGACGTCCGCAACCCCTCGATCATCTCCGCCCCGTACAAACAGGGCCGCCACTTGCCCGTCGGCGCGGCCTGGTACTCGACGTAATTCGTCTCGTCGATGGGCTCGAACATGGCGAGGCACTCCATGCCCTCGGCCGGCTTGCCGTGCACGTCGTCGGCCATCCTCTGCTTCTTCGCTGGGTTCTCCTCTTCGGTCGCCAGCGTGCTCGGCCGCGGAGTGTGCTGTGGTCAAAAGGCGCTTCCTTTTGACAGCTGTCTGTGGCTGCGCAAGGCCTCTCCGTTCCACAGCGATCAAGCAGCGGTCTCGGCGGTTGAATTGCGAGGCAGCGTGAGCGGAAAAACGCGCCGCGCAAAAAAATGGCGTCGAGCTCCACAAGCTAGCGGCATGTAACACACTAGCAAGCAACCGGGAGGGGTACGGGGAACCCTGCGACGTAACTAGCCTCAGCCTCAGCAACCGGGGGGAGCGGGAGGGGTACGGGGAACCCTGCGACGTAACTAGCCTCAGCCTCAGCAACACGGACGCGTGAAGCCACACGCCGCCGCCGCGGCGGCCGCAAAGGACCTGGTGAAGTCGAGACAACTTACTCCGGAGCGTCGCGCGGCACGCCTCCTTCCTCCGCGAGCCGGTTCATCGCCTTGAGCTCCGCGATCTGCGCCCGGAGCTGCTCGTTCTCCACGCCCAGCGACGCGTAGCGCATCTTGTTCATGACGAGCTCCATGTGGCCGGCCTCCAGTGCATTGTTAGGTGTCGCGTCGTCAATAAGTTGCCGGTGCGCGGGATCTAAGTCATCTGCCTTCTCGGATTTCGACTCCTCATGCCCATATTTCTTCTCCTGCATCCTTCTTAACTCTTTCTCGACCTCGGACTCGCCTTCGCTGCCACCGGTGCAGAGCTCGAACGCGTCTCGCAGCTCCTGTAATTCTTTGGCCGCCTGTTCGAGGTCCTTGTGCGCCTCGATGCCTTCGAGTTGCAGCTTCCGTTGTTGTTTCTCCAAGGCTTGGGCTTCCTGCAGCGTATCTCCCGCGGCCTTTGTCGCGCGCGAAGCTCTAGATTGCAGTTCACCAAAGGCCTCGGCCGGGTCCCTCCGGATGTTTTCGTTCTCCTCCTCCTCAACTTTTAATTCCGCGGCGTCGAACTGCGCCTTCACGTCCGCCGGCAGGTCCCTCTCGAGCTCGGCTAAAAACGAGTCGAGCTCCGCGGACATCTCTTCCAGCTTGGCGCTCGCCGCGTCCAGGTCCAAATTATCTTCCGTACATTCCCCCGCAATGGCCTCGAAGCGCGCCTTGAGGGCCTCGGACTTGCCGAGGGCTGCCGCGTCGGCGTCGGTGGGTTCGAAGGAGGCCATAGCTCTGTGTCCGTGGGGCGGGGCTGCCTTCGTCACGACGGGAGCAGTCTCTGCCTTTTGCGGCGTGGTCCGGGGGCAGCCGTTGGCCGTGTTTCGTCCGTGCAGCGCTTGGATTAGTTTGTCTACTTGCTAGTGTCTCACTGCCGCTAGCTGGATTTTTGGTTCTTAGAGTACTCAGAAGCAAGTATGCTATCATAAAAGACGCATGGCAATGACCCTCAGAACTTTACGCTAGCTTGCAAGCGGGGGGGGAAGGAGGGCGTGAGTCGCGTGACCGCGGGGAGATCAGACTTTCTCCTGGAGGGGCGTCTTGGTCGTCACCTCCATGAAGAGGGGCTCGCCGGCCTTCTCCTTCATCACGACGTAGCCGACGAACGCGACGACGAGGGCGAGGACGACCACGAGGATCACGATGAGCGCGACGATGCCGCCGCTCAGGCCGTCGTCGCCCTTCTTCTTGCTGTCGGCGGGGCAGAGGAGGTCGATGTCGATGACCCGCTTGGCCTTCTCGAGGTCGTAGTCGACCTCGGCCAGCGTCACGTCGCAGTACGGCAGCGTCGCCGGGAACAGCCGGCCCGTGGGCTGGTACGCGTCGTTCAGCTCGCTGGCGATGATCGGGTCGCTGTCGATGGCCTGGACCACCGCCTGCCGCATGTCCGCGTCGGCGATGTTCATGATGATCACCGAGTTCTGCGACAGCTCGCCGTACGCGAGGTCGAAGCCGGCCTGGGCCCCGAGCGCCTCCTCGTCCGCGGGCGCGAGCACCCCGGCGCCGACCACGGCGTCGAGGGTCCCGGCTTCGAGCGCGGCCTTGACGGCCGCCGAGTCGGCGTACTTCACGACGTGCAGCTTCTCGATGTCCCCCGTGGTCCCCCAGTAGTCCGCGTTCGCCGCGAAGACGACCAGATCATCTTGTACGTCGTCGTCGGTGCTGTCGGCGCTCGCCGTGCGCGACTCGAACTTCCACGGGCCCGTGCCGGCGATGGCCGTCGTGCCGGCGCACGTGATCGTCGAAAGGTCGGCGTCCCAGCCCGTCGGGCACGAGTTCTGCGTCACGGGGTCACTGGCGGCGCCTCCGACGAACGCCGTCGGCGAGAGCATGCGCAGCGGGCGGATGTACGAGAGCTCCTGCAGGAGCGGGTAGTAGGCCTTCTTCGTGTTCAGCACAAACGTCTCGCCGTCGCACGAACAGTCCTTGTACACTTCCGGCAGGCCGTACCACCCGTGCCAGTCACCGGTCGTGAGCTCCTCCGCGAAGACGTGGTCGAAGTTGAGCTTCACGGCCGCGCAGTCGAAGTCCGCGCCGTCGTGGAACTTGACGCCCGTGCGAAGCGTGAAGCGGACCGTCTCGCCGCCGTCGGAGTTCACCGTCGACGTCCACGCCGTCGCGAGCGCCGGCTCCAGCGTACCGCCTACGCCGTAGGCGATGAGGCCCTCGTAGACCCAGTTGTTCGCGAAGAACTCGTTCGGCCGGTAGCTGTGCGGGTCGAGGCGGCCGACGGACGCGAACAGGCCCGTCTGGGCGCCCGGCGCCACCTTCACGGTCTTGTCGGCGTCGAGGACGGTCACCTTGTGGAGCGGGTAGTCGTACTGCTGCGCGCCGGGCACGTAGCCCGAGAGGCGCGCGTTGTTGACCAGGGAGGGAATGCGCTTGCCCCAGAGGGGTAAATGCAGGACGTCGTAGTGGATCTCCGAGAGGAGCGCCGTCCACTTGCTCTGGCGCTCCGTCTCGTCCATCTCCGAGAGCACGGCGTCGACCTGGGCCTCGAAGGCGACCCGGTCGATGCCCGCGGTCGGCAGCGCGCTGTAGTGCGCCTCGTCGGGGGAGGCCCACGATTTGACGTACGAGTGCGGGTCGTAGGGCGCGCCCCACGTCTCCGAGAAGACGAGGTCGTAGTCGCCGTTGACCATGGCCGCGTTCTTCGCGTCTTTGTCGAGGGGCCTCATGTTGACCGCCAGGCCGAGCTTGGTGAGTTCGGCGGCGATGTCCGCGGCGTAGGCCTCGTGGGCCGCGTCGCCCTCGTTGATGACGAAGTCCAGCGTGGCCGCCGGGCAGGCGGCCCGCGCTGTCGCCGCGGACAGCGCGAGCGCGAGGAGCCGCAGCGTGCCTGCGCGGTGGGGCGTTCACAGGGCAGCCCCAATTGCAGGGCCTCGCGCGCCGTCCCGATGCAACGCGCATGCGCTGCCGCTGCTGCACGAGTGCAAGGTGGATATAGGGACGCCGCGCCGCGCTGCTAGATGCTGCCATGTGCCAAATCTGCTGCAAAAACAGCAATCTTCCGATTGCCTCGAAGTGTCTGAAAACAGTCGAGATCGCCGCGGCCCGGGCCCGGGGCCCGGGATCAACTTACGGACAGGTCCTGAAACCGACACGTAGAGGTGCTTCGATGGCTCGCAGGGCTGCGCGGAGGTTTCTGCGATTTGACTTCCTGGCAGAGAGCCCAGCAGCAGAGGCATGGCAGGCTGCCCAACTCGGCGTAGCGATGCGACGACGGCGGATATGGGCTGCCAAAGCCACGCCCGTAGTGATGCGATGACGGTGTGATGCGCTGTACTCTCGTCTGTACCGTCGCGGCGGCCGCCCCCTGGACCGCGCCGCAGCCCGGCCGCCCGCCGCACCGCATCGATGCGCTCACGGCCAACGGCCTGATCCGCCGGCGCCTCGCCGAGGTATTTAATGGAAGACGGCGGCCGTTCCTCGTGGCGCGGCTGTCGCTCGGAGCCGAACTCTCCGTGGCAGCGGAGTACGCAGACGGACGTCGTGAAGACTTCGCGGCGCGACCACTGCTCGCGAGCCACGCGGGCGTGCACGGTCCTGACGAGGAGGCCTTGGTCTTCGCGGACGAGTACGCCTCGGCCCTCAACGCGTCCGCCGTCGTCGCCGGGTTTGGGGGAGAGGCCGAGGCCCGCGTGGCCAGAACGCTGGCGCCGCGGGCGGCCTTCGTCGAGCACCGCGCCGTGGAGCCGTTCTACTTTGGGGAACACGCGTGGACGGCCGCGCTGCGCGGGCGGCGCGTCTTGATCGTCCACCCCTTCGCGGCTACCATAAGAGACCAGTACGCGAAGCATGCGCGCGGCGACCTGCTCTGGCCCGAGGCCGTGCTCCCGCGCGACCTGGATTTGGTCGTAGTCAAGGCGCCGTCATCATTAGGAAGGGACGCGAACGGCACGTGGTCGCAAGCGCTGCTTGATACTAAAGCCGCGATCGACGGCGCCTTTCCAGTTGATGCCGCGTTGCTGGGCTGCGGCGCGTACGGCCTGCCCCTCGCCGCGCACGTCGTGAGTAGGGGAGCATCCGCGATCTACGTCGGCGGCGGCCTGCAGCTCCTCTTCGGAATTATGGGAAAGCGCTGGGCCGACCGCGCCGAAATTATGAAGGTGGCGCGGGAGTCGTGGGTCTGGCCGTCGCCCGCGGAGACGCCGCCGCGCGCGGAGGTCGTCGAGGGCGGGGCGTACTGGGGCTTTTGACTTCTTTGTGGTGCGTTTGCTCGACGGCGTGTTGGTGGAGCTTGCCTCGATACGACTCTATTATGACCTAAGTTATTTGTTCTGTCACTCGTATGCAGTCTAGCGCCTCGGCGGCGGCCAGTGACTCAGCACGTTCCAGACGACGCCGTTGTCGCCAAGTCTTACGAGGAAATTCATGACGGGCTCGGCCGTCGCCGCGCGACCGCGATTGGCGAGGCTCCGCAGACTCAGCACCTGTTTGCGCTGCTCGTGGAGGTACGCGCCATAGCTACCGGCGGCGAGCACGTTCGCGGTGATGCTCTTGATTTCCTGGAAACTGGCATCGGTTGCCAAAGCCTCAAACGCGGATTCGCTACTCGCGCTGATTGATCCAAGTGAATCATTAGGCCATTCCGAGATATTGTCTAGCTCCGACCCAGCACGCAGTAAGCGCTCGAAGATTACCAAGAGAGTCTCTGTCGACAATCGCGAGAGATATCGCATTTGTGCACTTAAGGACCACGTATCCACAGTGTAAGCGATTGGGATTGTTCTGGTGTGTTTCGTTCGAGCGTGGACGTCGGCCCCAGCGCTCAGCAACAACGATACCAACGCTGGGGAAGCGTCGCCTACTCCGCGACAGGCCCAGTGCAAAGCGGTTCGGTCGACGTAGTCGGTCTTGTCGACTTCCGCGCCGCGCGCCAGGAGTTCGCGCGCTAGCTCCACCTTTTCGGGAGTGGTAATTCCGCATGCCACCGTCCATATAAGGAGCGGATAATCTTCCTGTCCTGGCAAATTGCTGGGGTCATTTATCACATATCTATTAACGTCGTCTTTGACCGTGTTCAGCCACGTGCGAACCGCGCTGATATCACCGGACTTTGCGTCCTCCGCGACGGCCTCTGGGACCCGTTCCATACTCGCGTGAAGTTTGACCAAGGCTTCCTAGTATCTTACATGCCGCTAGCTAGAGTGGCCGCGACGCGCGCGCATTGTCCGCCGCAGCAACGCAGTGCTGCGACCAGGCCACACTCACATAAGTGCCGCACCAGTCAGTAGTGCAAGCTCTCCATCTATAAGACTGCGCCGCGCGCGCCCGGAGCAAAGATGAACGACGAGGCCTGGCTCCTCGACGTCGTAAAGCGGTGCGGCGTCCACGAGGCCCGGGCGTCGGCGCTCGCGCGGGCCGGCGCGCAGATGCTGCGGCGGCTCGCGATCAAGTGCCCGCCGGGCGTCTTCGGCAAGGGCGAGTGCTGCCGGCGCGCCGTGGCGCTCGAGCTTGCTGCTAGAGAAGCGGGCGGCGCCAACTTAAGACGAGAAGCGCTGCTGACGGCGTGCTCGTCGCGGCCGGCGGCCTACGACCGAGTCCTGCGGCACGCCGAGTCGGCGCTCGGCGCGCGGACCATGAGTTCCGGGGGCTCGGCGGCAGTCGTCGACACGATCGAGCAGCTGGCGCGGGCCGTCGTGGCGGACGAGGCGTCGGCCGCGGCCGTCGCCGACGCGGCGCGGGGCCTGCAGACGATGTTGCGGCGGGGCGCGCACCCCGACGGCGCGCAGCGCGCCGCCTGCGTCGCGGCCGCGGGGCAGATCCTGGATCTGGACGCGCAGCGGCTGTGCGCCGCGGCGGGCTGCTCGTCGAATGATTTCGCGACGGCGTGTCGCGATCTGGAAACGGCTCGACGGCGCCAGCGCGACGAGAGCCAGCTGGCCTTCTTCGACGCGCCGCAGGGCGTGGCGGCGCGGGGCGCGGGGACGCGCGGCGCGCGCGCGCGCGAGGCCGTCCTGGCGCAGCAGCCGGCGCGTCCCCGGTCGCCGTCGCCGGAGCCGGTCCCAGAGGAGCCCGAGGGCGATTTGTGCTACGAGGACTTTGCGCTGCAACTGCTGCGCGAGGAGTGCGGCCGGCGGTCCGTGCCGTGCCCCGCGACGCTCGTGCCGGCGGAGGCGGTGGACGAGGTCTACGCGGCGGACCTGGAGACCGAGGAAATCAGGCGCGTGCGCGAGGCCTTTCCCACGGCGGACCAGTGGGCGCCGCCGGCCGAGGATGAGCTAATAGACGGCGACTCGTCCGACGGCGACGCGCCGGCGGCCGCCCGGGACTTCGTGTGCCAGAAGGGCTGCGGCCGGGCCTTCGCGACGGCGCGCGGCCGCGGCGTGCACGAGCGGACCTGTGTTGGTGCACAGGACGGCGCGGGCGACGACGGTGAGGACGACGACGACGCGGAAATCACACCGCCGGAAAACGCGCCGCCGCCGCCGCCGCCCAAGAAGAACCGGCGCGCGTCGCTCGAGCCCCACCCGGATTTGCAGCGGGAGACGCGGCCGCTGCCGCGCGCGCGGCCCTGGCGGCTCCAGAACGGCGCGGCGTCGGACGATGAGGTGGACGAGACGGGCCCGCCGGACGCGCCGCGGAAGCGGCGGTCGTCGCTCGGCGCGGCGCGCAGCGCGTCCCAGGGCAAGCCCCGCGTCGTCGTGTCCTGCGCGAGTGGAGATCGGGACCTCGAGCAAATTCAGAAATTGAGCCAGTTGTGCGACGCGGCCGGCTGCCAGTTGGTACGGGAGGCGGCGGACGCGAACGTCCTGGTCGTGGGCCCGCAGATCGAGCCGAAGACGTCGCTGGCCCTCGCGCGCGCGGCGGGGCTGCCCATCGTGTCGGCGGACTGGTTGCGGGCGCGGTCGCGGGGCTTCGCGTCGCAGCTCGACGACTTCGACGCGGCGACGCTCGCGCGCGATGCTGTATTCGAGAAGACGTTCGGCGTCGATTTGGGGGACGTGCTGCGGCCGCGGAAGCCCGGCGTGCTGGCGGGGTTTGCCGTTTTACCTAGACCCGGCGCGGAGGCGGCGTACGGGTCGGACCGGCACCGCTACGAGGCCGCGGTCGAGGCGGGCGGGGCGCTCTGGTTGAGGAAAAGAGAGCACCTGCCGGCGGACCGGCGGCTGATCAATCTGGATCGGCACTCGCTGCCCGTGGCCGACGGCGAGCTCACAATGGACGAGCGGGACCTGCTCCTGTGCCTGATCCGGGACGAGCGGCCGCCGGACCGGCTGCGGACGCGCGCGGCGCTGACGGCGGCGAAGCGGTGAGCTGTCGAGGGGAGTTGTGTAATTGTTTGACGTACTACCTTTGACTTGCTAGCGTCTGTAAAGACACTAGGATGTCTAGCCGACGAACTGCACGTGTCGCAGCGATCCTATCGCCCTGCTGTGCTATCTGTGTTATAGCACATCCTGGTGAGCAGTGCGCAGTGGTTACACGTGACCAGCCCAGCTCTCGGCGAGCAAAATCAGCGCTGCCAGCTGCTGCACTGCAACTCATGCAGCGCTGCGCGCTGTGCGCGCGCGGACTAGGGCTCACAAGCGCTGCGGATGGCAGTATGCGGATGCTGCGTTGATTTCTGATTGAAAAATGTATTCCCTGCGCGTCTCGTTGGTCTTGGCGTGCATGGTCATCACCGGCGCCAGCCGCAGTGTAGCCGTGAAGCTGTTCTATGATCTGGGCTTCCGGAATCCGCTGTTCGTCACGCTACTCTACTTGACGGGTCAGGGTCTGTCCCTGGTCGTGTACCTGGTCTCTCGACGGTCGTCGCCGCCGCCCGCGCGACGACGGCCGCGCTACAAAAAAGTCTCGATCGAGCTCCCGACGCGAAACGTGGTCCCGAATCCTATGCACGCGGACGACGAGTGCCCCGGCGCCATGGAGGACGAGGTGAAGGCGCCTGTAGTAGAAGCCAAGGACGAAGAGAAAACACCAGAGAGACGTCGAAGCGGGTCGCCCACGGGTCTGACCACCGAGTCGCACAACGCGGCGACGGTGACGTGGGTCCACGCGATACCCTGGTACCTCAAACCCGTCGTTCCGGGCTTCTTCAACCTCTGCAATTCGGCCATGCGCTGGGGCTCGCTCATCTACGTCGCCGCATCGATGGCCGAGATGCTCATCAGCGGTCTCGAACTGCTCCTGAGCGTCGTCGCGGCGCGCTGCATCCGCAAGCGGCGCATTTCCTGGTCGCGCTGGGTCGGTGTAGTTGTGGTGGCTCTTGGCTTGGTCCTGGTGCGGCTCGCGAATCGTAATTCTGCTAAAGAAGAAAAGGGTCGCCACGCGTGGATCGGCGACGTCCTTATCGTCGGCCAATGCGTCATGTCGGTGATTCAGGACATGTCAGAGGCAGTGTGGAAATCAATCTCCTCGTCATCGAGCAGACGCAGTCACGGGAACGACATTGCGTCGATGGCGTGGCGCCTGAAATTTAATTTCCACACAGGACCGAGGAGCTCTTCATGCACGAGGCCGCGTTCCCCGCGACGCTGCTGTTGGGCATGGAAGGTTTGTTCGGGCTCCTCTTCGGCGTGCCGCTGTACTTGCTTTTCGCGCGTCGCTTCGGCGAGTCGCCGTCCGCCACGAGGGACGCGATCGCGGCGTCGCCGTCGAAGGCGGGAGCCATGGTCGGGCTCACGTTGCTGTTCACGCTCACGGGCGTCTTCAACATCATGGCGACGAGCGTCACCTCGTCCATGACGCGCAACGTCTGGAAGAACTTTCGAACGGTGTTGGTCTGGGCCTTCGGTCTGATATTGTTCTACGCGACCCGGGACGACGACCTCGGCGAGAAGTGGATCTTCCCGAATTCCGTCTTCGTACTGTGTGCGTTCTGTGTTATGCTGTCGGGCGCGTATGTCTATTATACGCGGACATAAGTGGCCGTGGCGGCTCTGACGAGTGGCCGCCGGGCTGGCTGCGGACGCGCGCGGCGACGGCGGCGGCGAAGAGATGAGCTGCGGTGGGAATGTAGATGTGTTGATAACTATTTTTTACGTAATTACGGCACGATTATTAGTCGATGTTACGGTACTAGGACTAGTGGGCGGAGCCCCTGGGGGGGAGACACCGCGCGTCGCCGATTCATCGGCGGCGGGCGCGGGCCGCTTCTTTCATAACAGCGTACCTCCTTCTAAGCAGAACCGCCTCGGCAAACCCCCCCGAACAATGTGCAACGTTCGCCCGTTCAATCAACTTGTCCCGCGACTTCCCGCAGGCGACCGAGAGCGGCCTAGACACACTAGGACAAGCGGGTGCGGCGCCGCTTTTTTGGACTGTGTGCGGAGCCACATAGCTGTGCAAGTCAAGTTACAAGTCGTCCAACTACAACTCGCAGCGATAACCGAAACGCTGGCGCAGCGCGTGCGGCTGAGGCGCCGGAACAACGTAGTAACCCCCACACCCACATTATGGACCCTGGTGACGACGACTTCTTTGAGGCACAGATGATGCGGGAGGACATCAACTCCTGGCGCAGCGACGCCCGCGAGCGCTCCGCGATGGTCGAGGCCCTCGAGGAGATTAACGACGCGCTCGACCGCGAAGACTGGGTCACCGCCGAGTCGCAGTGCCAGGCGGCGATTGGCAATTGGCCGGACTGGCACGGCGCGCGCGAAACCGCCAGGGCGCTCAAGACTTACCTCGAGGCCTACGCGGGCGCCAAGAGCGCGCGCCGCCGCCCGCCGCCGCCCGACGCTCGTACGCTGCACGTCGCCGTCGACGACGCGGCGCTGCCGTCCGCGCGCGCCGCCCGGCTGCACCATCACGCGTCGGCGGACATCCTTAGACTGATCTTCGGTTTCCTCCTCGAGGGCTGGGACGGGAGGACGGCGTACCACATCAACCACGAAGGTCTTTCCATCGAGCAGGACGCCGCGCTCGTGGCGCAGCCGCGGCGATTCGCTGACTGCGGCGCGGGATGGACGCGGGACCGCCTCGAGACGCTCGCGCTGGTCCGCCAGGTCTCGTCGGCGTGGCGCGACGCCGCCCCCTACAGCTCCCTGAAGTGCATCACCGTGCGAACGGACTGGGACTTGCCGGCCGACTTCGGCCAGCGCTTCTGCGGCGTCGAGCGGCTGAACGTCACGTCCGAAAAGTTTAGGCTCGACGACGAGGGCGAGCACCATTGAGACAGTCGCGGGCGCCGACACGCTGCACCGAGCGATCGCGTCCATGCCGCGGCTGCGCGTGCTAAGTCTCGACGAGTGCGACATCAAGCACATGCCCGACTGGCTGCGGTCCCTGCCTCTAGAAGAGCTACAAGTCTCGACCACAGACTTCCAAGCGAACGCGTATCCATGGGATCGGGACGAGGACTGCCTCCCGCGCTCGCTGAGGATATTTCGCCACGACGATAGAAACTGCAACGCCTCGCTCGCGTGCCTGCGGCAGCTGACGCAATTGGAGGAAGTGCATCTGGGGTCCGCGCACTGCCCGAGCTGGCTTGGACAGCTCCCGAATCTGAAGCGCGTGCACGGTTACTTAGCGCCCATCCACTCCTACGCGGACGCGTTACAGGGCGTCGCACTCGAGGTCTTCACCCTGCAAATTCCCTTCGAGCACGAGGACTTCGTGGCCTCGCACGAGGAGTACGAGTTCGCAGACCCGTTAGAACGATTGCTCTCGTCGGCGAGCGCGACGCTCCAGTCCCTCGATCTCCACGGCCACCACTTGTTGGGCATCGACGCGTTCCCGCGGGCCCTCCGCGACTGCCGTCTGCTACGAAAGCTAGATTTGGACAAATGCGAGATCCAGGTGCTACCCGAGTGGATCGGGGAGTTGCCGCTCGTCGTGTTGGACCTGACGGCGAACTACGGGCTCGAGGACTTGCCTCTGTCGATGCAGTCGTGTCGCACGCTGCGCCTCATAAAGCTCCGGCTCACGTGCCTCTCCGGTCCGTACGCCCCCAGTTTCGAGGCGGACGACGAGGACGAGAACTCGTTGGAAGGCAGGGTCTGCCTGTTGACGCAGGAGGGGACTATGCCGCTCGAAGAAGTGTCGACGGAAGAGCTAAACCGCCGTCGCGCGGCGCTGATGGCGATCTCGCGAGCGCTCCCTGACCTACGCTTGGAACTGCACCACGCCGTGAGAGGGGGGCGTTGCGTCTGTTGGTGCGTGGGCGACAAGGGCGACGCTGGAGGAGACCCGCAGTACGCGGGCCAGACGATCGACCCTCTCGATCCGCACTGGGCGATGGAGCTGGCCAGCGACTCGGAGTCGGATTCGGACGCCGAGTCGGAGCACGAGATGGCCTGCGGGCCGCTGCTGGCGGCCGCCTTCGAGCCGCTCGAGCAGACGTTTCATTATAACCGTAACGAGCTGGCCGACGACGTTAAGCAGTCCCTCTTAGATTTGGACGACGAGACGGCCGCGGCGTGCGTTCAGGCATTCTTCGATGCATTACAACAGGGGCCAATTACAATGGAAACGGGGCTGTCGCCGGTCGACTGGCTCAGGGCGCGCATCGCCGAGGCCAACGCGCCGGAGACCCCGGCCCCGGCGCCGGCCAGTGCCCCCTCCCTCTGCTCGGTGGCGTAAGTGTATGTTGCATTATCACAGTTACTTCTTGCCTAATTTCTTCTTGAGGGCATCGAGCTCGTCGTCGACGCGGCGCTCCTTCGACGGCGACGGCGGTGGTCGCCGCCGCTTGTGCGGCGGCACCTTTTTTAGTTCCTCAAGTTCGTCATCGAGCCGGCGTTGCTTGTCAGCGCTTGACGGCGGCGGCGGCGCCGTCGCGCGCGGCCGCGGCGCCGAGCGGTACGTCGACGAGGACGACGGCCGCGAAGAGCGATACGTCGACGACGAAGACGACGATGAGCGGTACGAAGACGACGAGCCCGTGGGCGGCCCGGCGCGCCGCAGCGCCTCGACCTCGCGACGAGCATTGCGTATCTGCTTTTCGCACGCGCGCTTCTTCGCGTCGAGACCCGCGGCCTCAGCCGTCTTCTCAAGCAGAAAATCAATATCTGCCGACTTGTCGACGCGCGCCGCCTTTTCTTCGGCCTTGGCCGCCGCTAAATTCGGAATGAGGTCGTCGCGGAGCATCTTCTCCAGCCTATCCCCGAGCTTCTCGGCGTCGGCGACGGCGGCGGCCCACTCCTTCTCCGTAGCAAACTCCGTGTTTATTGATGAATCCGCGGTAGCCTCCAGCACATCCAACAGATCGCTCACCGCGCCTCGGATCGTACCCTTCGGGTTCGAGGCCACGCCCCTTAGTAAATCACCGAAAATAGAGCCCCAGGAGTCGCCGCCCGCGTCGTCGTAGCCGTACGGCGTCTGCGAGTAGCCCGGCGGCGGACCCGACCAGTACGAATCCTTCGACCGCTCCGATCGAGGCTTGTAGCCCGGCGGGGGCCGGCGACCACTACTCCGGGGCGGCGGCGCGCCCGACCGCTTGGCCCGCTCCCAGGCGCGGCGCCGGTCGGGATCGCTCAGCGTGTCGTAGGCGCCCTGGATCTTGGCGAACTCCGCGGCGGCCTCCGGCGAGTCGTTCACGTCCGGGTGCGTCTTCAGCGCCTTCTTGCGGAACGCTTTCCTGAGTTCCGTTTTTGTCGCGTCCGGGCCGACGCCCAGGATCTCGAAGGGGTCGCCCTCGAAGCTGCGGCGCGGCATCAGGGATGGAGCGGCGGCGCAGCGGCGGCGTGGTGGCGCGACGAAGCCTGCCGCGCCGGCCACGAGCAGCGCAAAGAGGCTGCTAGCCATCTGCCTTTTGGGTGCTGCCCACGCGTGCCGCTGTCCGCTCCACACACCAGTGGCGTATAGCTGTAGGATGCTTCTTAAAACTATCCGCAGGCCGCAAGCGTGCTCGCGCGCCAAGGCCTGGGTGGTTTTGGCTGCTTGCTTGGCTTGCTAGTGTCTTACAGGACGCTAGCAAGCCGCGCCAAGGACGATCCCGAGACCGCGCCGAGCCGCGCACCTGAGGTCGCGCCAGCGAAGCGGACTCACAGCAGAACTCGCAGCGACGGCAGAGCTCCAGCGCTGCGGCCCGCGGCGCCGCGAGACCACATAGATTTCAAATTCGGGAGCCACAGAGCCAGCGCAAAAAGAAGATGGCCAACGTCTATGCCGTCATCGAGGACCTGGAAAATAGCAAAGCGAACGCAAGAAAGAAGGCCGTCGACGCGCTCCCGACTTTGTTGGACGAGCCCGCGAAGCGCAATCAACTCTCCGACGCGAGCTGGGTCGGGTTAGTGAAGAAGAGCATCGAAAGCGCCAAGCTCGATTTGCTCGCCGCGAAGAAGACGCGGCGCGCGCCGAGACGAGAAGTAGGCGATCTGGTGGAGCGCATCACGTCGTGGTGCGCGGACGGACCTTCCGGGCGAAGGTTGGCGGGCTGTGCAGAGGACCTGCTCAACTTTTCATCAGCGGCTTATGGCGAGGCCGGCGAGGTCTGGTGCATCTCCTACGGCCGCGTCCTCGAAAGATTATTAGGAGAGCCGGAGGCCATTGAAGCGGCGGCCGTGGCCTTGGCCGGGCGGAACCTCGATGGGCGCCAGGCCGCGCGCCGGATCTGCGCGCCGGCGGCGCGCATCGCCCGAGGTAGATTTCCGGACCCGGCGCCGCCGCCGCACGAGCGCGCGGGCGCGCGGAAGGCCGCCGCCGCGGCGTTACGTAGATTAGCGGAGCGGGGCGCGGACTTGGCGGACGACCGCTACGCGCGCGAGGCGCTCGCGCGGGCCTGCGCTGGGTGTTTGCGGAACCTCTACGTCGAGGAGAAATTAGATGATGAGGCGCCGGCCGTAGAGGTCTTCCAGGCGCTCGCCGCGCTCCATTCGAGGGCCCCGGCGGACGCGGCGCGCCTCGCGGCGCGGGGCTGCCACGGTCTCGGCCACGTCGCCGCGGCCTGCGTCGCGCGCCTCACGGATCCCAGTAGAGGCGAGGCGGGCATTCGGTCCGTGCAGAGCGCGGTCTTCGACTACGTCGCCGCGGCCGCTTCAAGGGCCGGCCCCGAGCTCAAGAAGCTGCTGCCGCGCCTCGCTCGTTTAGCGGCGAGCAACGCCAAAGCTAGGGCCGCCGCGAACCTCGGCGCGGAGCCGCAGATTGACCGGAGGTGGCCCGAGGCGCCCCCTCTCCGACCTGTGATGAGGTCCCACGTCGCCCTCTTCGGGTCGTTGTGTGCAGCAAGGGCCCCGCCGGGCTGGCCCGTCGACGGCGCTGCTCTCACATCGTTGGCGGCGGAGATCACTTCGGCCGCCAGAAGGGACGACGCCTCACAAAAGCCGGGCCCCGAACGCGCCCTGAAGGCGTCGCTGACGTCGACGGCGCCGCCCCTGCAACTGTTAGCTGCGGCTCTGGAGGCGTCGGCCGCCACGAATGATGATGAACGTGTGCCGTGGGATTGTGATGTAGCCGTCGTGTCCGCATCACAAAACGTATCGACGGACGACGTGCTGCAAGCGCGTGTGGAGTGGTGCCGCGTTTTAGCTGATTGTGTCCAAGCGGCGTCATCGGCTCTGGACGCGTCGTCGGCCGGCACGCAGCGGTCCGACGAACGGGCCTGGTCTTTAGTTGCTTTACGACGACTCGCAGAAGCGTCGCGGCAAGCGTTAGATGTGGCCGAGTCGTCTCCACTGATAGAAGCGTGGCGGTCGGCCTGGAAAAGCGTCGCGCGAGCGTTAGGTGAAAAACGGCGGTCGCGCTTTTCTCAAAGGGATTTAGCGGCGGCGACGTCGGCCGCGGCGGGCTGCCTGGGCCTGGGTTTAGTGGATGCCCAGGGTCTAAGTGATCAGCAAGCGGCATCATCGCTGTGGAGCTCTCCACTTTTTACTGAGACGGGCGACGCTCGTACAACAGCGTGTGCGTGTTCCATTGTGAACGGCTTCGCGGCGAAGACGCGCTTAGATGTGTCGTTAGTTGGTGGGAGTGATGATGTGGAGGAGGAGGACGACGATGCGATGGAGGACGACGAGGAGCGCGAGGCGCCGCCGCGGAACCGGCGCCAGCGCCTAGTCCGGTTCCTATGTCGGGTCATCGAGCGGTGCTACGGCGACGACGCGTTATCGTCTGTAGCATTATCCCGGGCCGTCGACACCGTCGCGTCGCTGATTGCACCGAGACAACCTCTGACAAAGCCGCCGCGGGCGCCCGAGCTCTTGAGAGGGTCTGACGAGCATGAAGAAGACGCCTGGGCCCTGCCTACCATTGAAGAAGTCACTCCGGGCCAAGGCGAGCCGCCGCACGCCCCCGGCGCGCGCGAGGCCGGCCTGTTGGTCGACGAGGTCCTGACCAAGCTCAAATCTGCAAAAGCGGCGCATTCCATGCGGGGCGCGCAGGTGCCCCGCGATAGAGGGAAGCGTCGAGCCATGGCCGCGGCCAAGGCTTCTAGTAGGCACCGGAACGCGTTCGCGCTGGCTCGGTTGCGAAAACTAAGAGTGTGTGGCGGCGACGCTCAGAGGGCGCGGAATCTGGATCTGGACGTCGGACGAGCGTTACAGGATCTAGAAAAGGCCTGGGATTATGGTGATGAAGATTCACTGCTAGAATTGGACACGTACGCTGATTCAGCGAGAGTATTAGCGAGCGTCGCGTCTACAATAAGAGAGACGGCCCCTTCCCAATTATTGAAGACGAACCTGAGCAACTTAGGAGACAAGGTCACAGACCAGGTCGACAACTACGGGGCAGCTAGGGCGTCGCGGGATGCTCCGGTGCAACAAACGAGAGAGAAGGACGATTTGATGGATTCCGACAGCGACGACGGCTTCCTCCCGCAGCCCGTGAAGACGGTCGAGCGCGACTCCGAGGCGCGGATTCCGTCGCGTTCTCGAGCTTGTGCCGTGTGGCTTAGTAGGGCGGCGTTGGACCTGGCGTCCGATTCGGAAGTCGGTTCGACGGCCGAAGCGCTGGCCCAGGCCTATCGACGAGTGAGAACGAGAAGAGGTGCTAGAGCGTGCATGCGGGATAGAAGAGATGCGGGCCGCGTGGCGAGGGCTATCCTAGAAAGGTGCGGCCAGGCCAAGGCGCCGCGCGCGCGCGCGTGTGCTTTAGGTCTCTTGTCCAAGGGCTGGCTCGCGCCGAACCAAGCGTTAGTCGTGGAGTCCGTTGATGACGATGACGTTAAAAGTTCGAACGCCGCGGCCCCGGAGGCCTTTGAGGCACTGGGGGTTTTGTTGGGGCAGCTCGCGACGTCGAGGTGCGCGCAAGACGAGGTCGACGAGGTCGTCGCGCCCTGTACCGATCTCTTATTAGTCGCCAAGGACCCTAATAGTACATCCCCATTGGCCGTGGCCCTATCAAGAAAAGGTACAGCAAGGGCGGCGCAGGTCCGGGCCGCCGCGACCGCATTTAGTACATGGGGCGACAAGTCCGGAGACGCTGCGAAAAGACTCAAGCAGTCGTGTGTTCGCACCGTGGTCGACGCTCTTGTCGATGACGCGCAAGTTTGCCGGCAGGCGGCGGCGGACGGCGTCGCGGCGCTCTTCGAAGCCTACCCCGCGAAGAACCACGCCAAGGTCTGGCAGACGCTCTGTTCTCATTTACCGTCCTTAGATCAAGATCGGGAGCACGACGCCGCCGTCTGTGCCAAGAAATCATTACTAGTGATGGGTCCCAACAACGAAGTCAACCTGCCATCTGATGAGAATAACGATCCTGATCGAGGCATCGGCGTGGATTCGGACGACGACGACGATCAATCGATCTCGGCGAACGCTGCTCATTGGAGGGCATTAGAAGCGACGTGCGCGAGGTGCGTCGGTGTCGTCGCCGGGGTCGTGAATGGTGGGGCTACTGACAGAGCTTTGGGAGCGTTAGTGCGTGCGGCGACGCGCGACACCATGGTGAGCGTCGCCGGCGCGGCCTGCGCGAGAGCTGCGAAAGCGCAAGGCCTCGCGAGTGCGGCTGAGTTACTACATAGAAGATTGGGCGCTGTCGTCGCCGAGTGGTGCGGCATCGACGCGACGACGGGTGCTTCTACGGGTAAACAAGCCCACACGTTGGCCGAATTTCCCTATGCATTCTGTGGACTCGCCCCCACAAAGCGAGCCTTCGCGGTGATGGCGTCGCGGCAAGCCGCGGCACCGCTCGCGGCCGCGCAGGACGCGTCCTTGCGATTTGCCGCGTTCAGCACCCTGGCCGATCTGAGTGGGTTAGGTGGAGACGACGCCGGGCGCCGACACTTAGTGGGCAACGTGGCGCCCCAAGTTGTCGCCGGCGTTTTATTACGTAGAGCGGCATCGAGGGAAGACGAGAAGGAGTCCATAAAATTGGCGAGGAAGAACGCCTCCCAACGCATGCGCGAATTTTTGGATAGAGAGTTAGGTGGTTCGGAGCGGTGCAACCAGTTCATCGGGTCACGAGTTCACTTCGTCGCTTCAGCTATACTGGAAGATACTCATAGTGAGCGGGTGTCCGAAGCTCTGGCGGAGTTAGCTTCATCAGACCACAGCACTACAGTCAAGATGCTTTTACAGAGGTGCAACGCGACCGAATTGGTGCTGAGGAGCACTTCGCTCCAATCCGTGGGAGCGATCCTCCGCGGCGCGTGTTTGTTAGAAGGTACTAATGATGATACTGAAGATACGGTAGCGATCGCGGGCGTCGTCACGGCGGCTTTGAGTCATTTCGTGAGAAGTGTCGCGACGGAACCTGAAGAAGTGAGTGATTTACTAAATAAGGTCGTCCTGCGGTGCCTAAGTACGGACGCGGGCCGTCGAGCGCTCCAACCATTAGTAGCTACCATTGCGGTTCTAGCCGGGTCGATAGCGCGCTCTGACAATGAAGAGGACGGCGGCTGGATGTCCATCAAAAGGTGCAGTGTATCTGGAAGGGACAAGGCCCGGAAGGTTGTGGAAGCATTAGTAATGAGGCCGCACCCCGACCTCGCGCGAGCATCAGCGTTATTACCGTCCCAGCGCTTCGCGAGCGCGGGCCATCACAACGACTGGGACTGGCTCGCTTTATTTGGGGACATACACCGGACAGACCCCGGACCGTTAGAGAGACCTAGAAGAGCCTTCGCGTTGGCATCGCTACTTAAACAACTAAGACTGGAAGGAGGACATGTCTCGACGGCATCCCTAGCGACGATCTGCGCCTCTACTACAAACGAGCGGGAACGATCATTAGCAGCGGACTGTTTAGGAGAATTGGGCGGTGCGCAGAGTACTATGAATGACGAGCCCCCGCTGCAAGAAGAAGATTCAAGATTCCCTCAGTCACTAGCGACGCTAAGATTGAGGAGCTGCCGCGCCGTCGCGCGCGCGCTGGTGGATGACGACCCAACGATCGCGAAGGCCGCCTTAGAAACGATGCGCCATCTATCGGCGGCGAGCGACGAAGACGTGAGAAGGAGCTGCGGCGACGACGCCCACTCCGCACTAGTATTGCCCTTCCTCAGCGACGCATCTATTAGAGCAGCAGCTTTGATGGACGAAGACCGACATCAGGACCGCCAGAGACGTCAGGACGATATGGACATGGACGCGGGGCCCTTCGATGGAGAGATTTGGAATCAAAAAGATGAAAAGTGGAGTTGTCGAGTGGCCGGTGCGTTACTGAGGGGATGCTACCCGTCTACCGGTAATGACGCGCTGTGGGGGGCCTGTGCTTCACTCGCTTCAGAATCGGTACCGTTCGCCGCGCTCATATTGCCTGGTGTGGTGTACGATGTCGTGTGCGCAAGGGCGGGCGACTCGGCGAAAGGCAGGAAAGCCGCGAGGGATCTAGCTCGAGACGCTCTTAGTGATCACCTGTCGGACGCGCTCGAGAGCGGTTGTCAGAGGAAGCTCGCCTGTGATATTGCGTCGTTTACACGAAGATGCGAATTAGAATTGTTTGTCAGAAGCACTTCTGAAGAGAGACCTAGAAAAAAAGCCAAGCTCGACCCTCTAACTATTGTACAATCCTCGAATGGTCGTGGAAATCTACCCTACGGTGCCCCTCTCAATATTGCGGCGTCATTGATAGCGCAGGCGGCGTCGCAAACGGACGCGCCCTGGACAGCTGTGTTACATGGAGAACTGGCGATCGATGAAAATACTAGGTGCGACCAAGCGCTGGTCAAGGCCCACGCGTTGTTAGGCGACGCCGACGCGTTGGATGCGGCGCAAGAAAATGTCGAGGATGATGACGATGAGGACGCCACGCTAGCGAGAGGTCGAGCGCGAGGCACGTGGCGCGACGTCCTCACAGACTTAGATGCGTCCCTCGGCAGTCAACACAAGCCCGCAGTCGCTTCAGCCCTGAGAAGACTGGGCCTGCACCACGTCGCCGACGGCTACATCGACGCCACGACGACGTTAGGAGCGGAAGCCGCCTGGCGCAGTGCGGACTGGGCGTGGGCGCCCGCCGATGGGGCGACTGACGTCGATTACGATGGCGCTTTACATGGGGCGCTCGCTGCGGTAGCTTCGAGGGACCAGGCTGCGGCTCTTAAGCGGCTGGAGAACGCCCGTCGCTTGGCGTTGGCGCCTCTGCATAGAGTCGCGGTGCAACCAATCATAGACGACGCGCGTTCGAAGTTGGTCAGTATTTGTGAAGTTCGAGAAGCGGCCCAGGTGTCTCACGATGGCGGTGGTCTGGACGACATGCTCCAGAGGTGGTCCCAACGGGACGCGTCGGCGCTGGGGTGCTCTCAAGGTGCCTTTTCGTCGAACGCGGAACCTGCTTTAGCCGCGCGCGAGGCTTCTTTGAGGGCTCTCTCGGTAGCTTTGGGCGATGATGAGCGGACGTCATGCGATCTAGATGCGGCTTTATTGGACCACTTGGCGTCGGTCGTGTCGCTCGCTTCATCTAGAAACAGCGTCGGCACGGCCGTCGCCGCGACAGCTAGAGCAAAAGTCGTCTGCAAGAGCCTCCAACGCATTGGAAAGGCACAACATGCGAGCGCGCCGGGCCGCATCAAGCTACTGAAAGCTAGGGTCGCCTGGAGTAGAGGGGAGTCTCATGCGGCTCTCGCCGTCGCGCGTCGGGCCGTCGAGACCATACCACCCTCAGACAAGCGCATGGCTTCTGTTAGAAAGGACGCTTTGTCATTATGTTCTGATTGGGCGACGCAGAACGCGTCCGAATCTTCATCACGAGTCCTAGAAGCCTACCTGAGACCGGCCGTCAAGGAAGCATCTGAGAGGAGGAAAGCACTCCTAGCGTTAGGCGAGTACGTCGCGGACATGCATGCGTCGCTAGTGACTCGAAGTAAAACGCCGGAGTGGCGCCAGGCTCGCAAAGTCGCCTCGGAGCGGAAAAGAGAACTCGAAAGACTAGAGCGTTTGTATGCTGCTGTTGATTCTGTTGGTAGAAAAACACCTAGAGGTAGTGGTCATTTGTCATTGGCGGACACGGCGGAAGCGAAAAAGATCGCGTCGGAGGCGGGCGGGCGCGACCATTTGTGGCGGCAAGTCACAATACTGAAGAGGGAGTGCAAGATGGACTCGGATCAACTAGATGCGTTGACGGGCCGGACGGAAGCGGCCCTCGTCGAAAGTATCGAGGCTCTTTGTGGCGTTTTGATGGGCGAGGGCGCCTGCGACGATTTAGCTAGACGAGCGGCGTCCACGTTAGTGAGTTTGTGGCTCGGCAACCCTGATGTGGACGCTTCGAATGAACAACTCATGAAAGTGGTGAGAAAAGCACCGTTGTCGAGGTTATTAGCTTTTGCGCCGCTACTCTACCAGCTGTCTTCTAGACTAGCCTCACACGGCAACAATTTCCAGAAAACGCTGGAAGCCTTACTCCTACAACTCGCAAAAGCCGCACCGGCCAAGACCATCTTACAGTTGATAGCTCTTGCGAACGGTTCGCGAGTCGACGCCGGCAAGGGCTCGACAGCTTTCGCTAAAAATGTTGAGGGTAGCGAGAGGGTTCGAGTCGCAAGGAAACTATTGGATGGATTACTACGAAGCGAACAGGGCGCCGTTGCGAACTCCCTAGACTTGTTAGCGCAGTGCTACGTGGACCTCGCCATGGCCGACACCAAGAAGATCCAGCAGACGTATCAGACAAATCCTATACCCTTCAGTGTTTTTAAGGCGAATTGTGCTCTCGACACCGTAGCTAAGAAATTACAAAGATCTGAACCTCCTCCAGTAATTACGGCATTAGGGTCGTCTACGTCTTCCGGTAGTGATGCTCCCTCTCTCTCGAGTGTCGTGCAGACCTTCAAGCTGACCGATTCGGGTATTCATCGACCGAAGATCGTGTCCTGTGTTGGGAGTGACGGTCTGAAGAGAAGGCAGTTAGTCAAGGGCAACGATGACGTGCGGCAGGATGCCGTGATGCAGCAGGTCTTCGACGCCGTGAATAACCTACTAGAGAGGAAACGGAGACCGCACGGTCTGCGAGTGAGGACCTACGCCATCGTACCGTTAGCTCCTCAAGCGGGTGTGATAGAATGGGTCGAGCACACCTTGCCCTTTGGCATGTACCTCGTACCTCGCAACGAGCCGAAAGGCGCGCACGAGAGGTACTTTCCCGAGGATTTAAAACACACGCAGTGTCGACAACGGTTAGATGCCATCAAGCACACGTCGCAATCTGCGTCTTCTACCCAACGGAAACCTGTGAATACCACCCAAGCTAGAAAACGAAAAGCGTTTGACGAAGTTTGTAGTAGATTCCGGCCGGCCTTTAGATTTTTCTTTTTAGAAACGTGTGCGGACGCCAAAACATGGTTAAGGCATAGAGATGCGTATACGCGATCCGTGGCAGCCAATGCGATGGTGGGACATGTCCTCGGGATCGGCGACCGACACGTCCAGAATATACTTATTGATAGTAAAACGGGAGAACAGGTCCACATTGATTTCGGCATCGCCTTCGACCAGGGCAAGACATTGACGATGCCCGAGGTCATTCCCTTTCGGCTGTCGCGGGATGTCATCGACGGGATGGGCTGTGCTGGTACGCGCGGCGCGTTCTTTTCTTCATCTGTCGACTGCATGAGCGAGTTGCGGCAGAACTACCAGGCCCTCACGACTATTTTGGATGTGTTAATACATGATCCTCTCTACCGGTGGATGTTGACCCCAGGCGACGCGTCTCGGTTCCAACGCGAGGGCGACTCGCAGGCGGACCGGGAGTCCGCGGCGCCGCCGGACAACCAGGCGGCCGAACGAGCATTATTTAGAGTGAAGCAGAAGCTCCAGGGGTATTCCGATACGACTCATGATGCATTGAGCGTCGAGGGCCAAGTGACGCATTTGATAGCGGAGGCGACGGACCGGGACAACCTGTGCGTGCTGTTCCCGGGGTGGTCGCCGTGGTGCTAGTTCCTGATATTTGTGCGTAAGAAAGAAGATTGTGTCCGTCCTGTCTGTTAGGTGCTAAGTGCGGACTCACTGCGGAGCTAGTGTCTTACTGGCCGCTAGCTCCGCTTGCTCGTCGCCTTGACCCTCCTTTTGCTCTCTGGCGCACGACGCACACGTGACTGCGAGGCACGCCAGGGCAGGCGCCAGTTGCCCACCGTCTATATCACAGCGCTGCGCTCTCGATCATCAATAATGGGTAAGAAAAGCCGGAGGGTGCGAGGTGCTGGTGCTACGCCTGCGAGCAAACCGAAATATGTGCAAGTGAACACACTCGTTGCATGGATGGACGGAGACACAAAAAAACAAACTCTAGGTCTGGATATGGCACGTGGCAAGACTATCAGAGACGTGAAGGTCAAGCTCGAGGCATCGACGGGCGTGCCCGTCGCTAGGCAGGCCCTCACTCGACAGGACAAACTGTTGGGTGGTGAGATAGAGGTGCCTGATCACGTGACTGTCGACGAGTACATTGAATCAGGCGCAAACAAGGAACCATTCATAATGCGCGAGCGAGAGAAGAAGCGGGCGGGCCGCCAGCTGCCCATGCACGACGTGCCACCCCCAAAGCCGCTCTCCGCCTACGAGCTCTTCACGACGGCTATACGGGCGCAAACATCGCGCGCGGCCGTGAAATATGACGCGGCAACTCTCGCCGCCCAATTTGAAGCTATGCCCGACGCCTTCAAGATCCGCTGGCACGACGGTGCTACGAAGGAGCAGGCCTTGTACGCGTGCCACCGCCGCATCTGTTCGATGTCCGGAGAATTATTAGTAGGCCAGTTCTTCCGCGACGCCCGCGAGGGCGGCCGCGGCCTCGGGCGCGTCCTGTCCATACTCGAAATGAACCCAGAGCTTGATGTGGACGCGCTGGCGTACCACGTCGTCTTCGACGACATGAAGCTGGGCGGCGAAACGCTGTCGCTCCGCGAGCTCCGCTGGCGGATCTGCGGTGATGCCCGCGCAGCGAGGCGCGCGGCAAAGCGGAGCTACGTCGTGGCTGATGCGGAGAACTGGAGGACCCGCCACGAGGATATGTCTCGGGACGAGCGGGAAATTCCCCGTATGTCGTCCGTCGCCGGCGGGAGGCCTATATCACCGGCTGATATGGATAGGCTTAACGAGGCGACGGCGTCGATCCGACAGGAGTTAGAAATTACATACCCCGATGTCAGAAAGGCTTTTCAAGAGTATTCGAACATGATAATACTCCCGCGCTTTAGGGCCGCGGGCCTTCTGGGTGCGTTAAAGGCCATCGAAAATTGGCCCCGCTTCCGGCCTTACTGGCATAGGGTCCGACGACGCGTCTGTGCCCACTGTTTCAAGCGAGCCGACCTTTCGGAGCCGCGCTACCTCGTCTGTAGCGGGTGTGGCGAGGCGCGTTACTGTTCTGAGGCGTGCCAGCGCGCGCATTGGGCCGAGCACCAGAAGAAGTGCCCCGCGGGGCGCCACGTTTTGTACACATTTCACTAAGACTATCACAATGTTACTATAAAACCTAAACCACCGCCTCGGGCAGCATCATGTCCGCGATGCCCTCGGCGATTTGAAATATCTGGCCCGACTCCGCACAACAGAGCGAGCCCTCGAGGACCTGGACGTCGAAGAGGACGTGGTGCAGCGCGCGGAGGAAGGCGTCGTCGCCGCGCAGCGTCTCGTTTAATTCCGCGGGCAGCGTCACGCCAACCACCAACGCCATGGCGACGAGCTGGTCCCACTCGAGCGACGGGAGCAGGTGCTGCAGGAAGGCCGCGTCGTAGTCGCTCGTCGGCCGGACCTCTACCCTTGATGTTGTCAGAGTGAGGCGGCCCTCGGTGACGTCCTTGCGGCTGCAGCGCAGCGTGTTTAATGTGAGGAGGTTCACCATTGCTGGCGTCGCGTCGCCGGCGTGTTGCACTGCTGCAGAGGTGCTGGGTTAGGAGCCAGCTGAGCCAGCAGCGATGCCAACGACTGCGGCCGCAGATCTTGGCGAGTCGTAGTGTTGAAACGTGAGCGTTTGTTGCGATTTCTTGTATCAGTCTAAGTCGCCGCTGCGTTTTTGCCGCTATAGCAAGCTAGCGTCGTGCAAGCCACTAGGAAGCGACTGAGGTTGCGGTGCAAACTCGCAGCCGTGCCGTCCAGAGACGCTCCACAGCTTCGCTGGCTGCGGTACAGACACACAGCACGGCCAGACGCCATCGACGCGCCGCATCGCTAAAGCACACGAGGCTGTCTGTCGCCAGGGCTGCTGACAGCGCTGGTCTGCACGCCAGCATCGATGCCACGACGAAGCGCTCTCATGTTAGCGGTTGCAGCGCGCTGCAGTGCGCTCGTCCCCCGGGCGCGGCCGCTGCGGCCACTCACGACACTGGCTGAGAGTGCAGCACCCGCCGAGGAGCGGCGCGAGCGCGTCCTCAGTGGCGTGCAGCCGACGGGCACGCTGCACTTGGGCAACTACTTGGGCGCGATCCGGCAATGGGTGCAGTTCCAGGACGACTACGACAGCTTTTTCTGTGTCGTCGATTTGCACGCGATCACGGCGCCGCACAATCCGAAATTACTGCAGCAGGAAACGCTGGACGCCGCGGCTTTGTATATTGCGGCGGGTATTGATCCGGAGAAGTCGCCGATCTTCGTCCAGTCCCACGTGACGGCGCACGCGGAATTATGTTGGTTATTGAATTGCATGACGCCGATCAATTGGCTCGAGCGGATGATCCAGTACAAGGAAAAAAAACAGAAGCAGGGCGAGAACGTGGGTGTGGGGTTGTTCGATTATCCCGTATTGATGGCCGCCGACATTTTATTATATCAAGCTGGTTTAGTTCCTGTGGGAGAAGATCAGCGGCAGCACCTAGAACTCACGAGAGACATAGCCAGGCGGTTCCACGACTTGTACTGCAAAAGAAAAAAGCGTGTTTTCAGGGAGCCGAAGGCGCTGATCGTGAAGGAGGGTGCTCGCGTGATGTCTCTCACGGACGGTCGCGCGAAGATGAGCAAATCCGCGGAGCTCGACAACTCGCGCATCAACTTAAATGATGACCCCGCTACAATTGCTCGTAAAATAAAAAAGTGCAAGTCCGACGAGTTCACGGGACTCGAGTGGGACAACCCCGAGCGGCCGGAAGCCACGAACCTGCTGAATATTTACCAAGCGGTGACCGGCATGGAGCGCGACGCTATCTTAGCCGAAGTGGGTGATTTGTCCTGGGGCGGCTTCAAGCCGCGCCTGGCTGATGCTGTTGTGGCGCACTTGGAGCCGATCCAGCTCAAGTACGCCGAAGTGTCTGCGGACAAGGCGTACCTGAGTGGCGTGCTGAAGAGCGGTGCCGAGCGGGCGGACGAGACCGCTACTCGAACCTTAGACGCGGCCAAGGCGGCGATGGGGTTCGCGCCGCGGTTCTAATCTTAAATACGAGAGGTTAACTAGGGGGACAGGGTTCTCGCCCGCGTAGGGCGACCGCGTGGGATGTCGCGGGATCGGGGGGCTTGGCCTAGGCCGTCGTGGCGAGGAGCGGCTCCGACTCGGCGGCGCGCGTGGCCTTTCGGCCGACGATGAACCCAGCGATCAGGAGCAATGCGCCGACGAGGAGGAGCGTCGAGAACGCCGAGGCGCCGCGGGCGTCCGCCGCGGTGACGTCGAGGCGGGTCCCCCCTGTTCTGCACTCGGACCATTCGTAGTCAATCCAAACGCAAGTCTTGGCTGCGGTCCAACGGCAGCAGCTCTGGGCCCTGCGACGTGCTCCGGCGTGATTCCGTGAATAGTTACGTGACCAGAGAGCGTCGACTGCGCGACCGCCGAGTGCGAGACGCCCTGCGGAATCCAGAGCGCGTCGCCCGGCTTGAGCGTGACGTCGTCGTCGCGGCCGTCGATGGACCACGTCTTTTCGCCGAGCAGCTGCAGGACGAGAACGTCTCCGATGGTCGACTGGGAATGCCTGGTCACACTTCCTGAGACGAGATTTGCCGCGCCGTCCTGAGCGTAGGACAGGATAGGTCACGACAAACTCCTGACGAGGTTGATATGTCACGTATTGGCGTGTGAGCGCCGCGCGGCGGTCCACAAAGAGCATGCAAAGCAAGGTCCTCGGCTCGTCCTCCGGCGGCACTAGGTCCCACGACTCGTCTCCACAAACGTACTAGCCCTCCAAACTCCGGGCAACGAAAGGAGCGCCGCAGGCGTCGGACACCGGCGCGTGCCCAAGCGGCTACGCTCCACCGCGCACGCACATGAAAACAACACAAGCTTAGATCGGCACGGGGAGCCTATCGGCGAGCCCATCGGCGAGCCCCGTGACCGCCGCGACCACACCCTCCACATCAAACGCGTCGCCCGACGCCGCCATCCCGGCGAGCGCAACGACAATCGGCAGCCCGATCACGAATGAAACCACCAGCGGCGGCGGCCGCCAGGGCAGCGGCTTGGAGAGGACCGCCAGCGTCCCTCGGCGTTCGCCCGTGCTCTCGAAGCCCAAACCTTCGAAGAAGTTTCTGCCCCGGCCATTTTGCGGCTCGACCTCGACCAGCAACTCGTCATTGCCACCGGAGCTCGCCAACGCCCCCGCGGCGTCGACGAGCTGCGCGCCGACGCCCCGCCCGCGCTCGTCGACCGCCACCGCGACCGTCTCCAGGACATCGTCGTTCACGAGCGCGAAACCCACTAATTGCTTGTTTTTCTGGGCGACGATGACGCTTCCGTCGCACTTCTTGCGCTTCGCGATGAGTTCATCAGTAGCCGCTTGCAGCGCCGACGCCTCGGCCACGTTTAACGTAGACACGCCGCTGCCCCGGCCCCTTTGCCCGACCGAGAAGGCGCGCACGAGGGGGCCCACCTCGGCGCTCCGTCGCAAGATCTCGCCGTCGGACATGACGCGCGTGCGGACCCTCGTCTGGGTGAGGGCCGCGTCACGCGTGCGGACGCCCGACGGCGTGAGTGCAGCTGCAGTTGTGCATGCGAGTAATGTGATGATGCGATGCATGATGGGCCGCGTCGTTGGCGTGGAGGGTGCACGCTAATCACCAGGCTGCACGCTGAGGTGGGCTGCAACAATCAGCCTGGGGTGCCAGACAATGCAAGTGTTGCTGTCTATGCGCACTCGTTATAGTGTATGAGTGCTTACAACTCCTGGAATCAACGAATAGCTCCCAAACCAGCCTATGCAGTGGTTCTGACTCGTTGCTACCACAACACGAGCTTAGCTAGCGGCATGTAAAGACACTAGAAAGCAGCAATTGCGAGAAAAGAACGCGCAGGCCGCCTCGACGACGTCTCGTGCGGGGAAAAGCAGATAGCTAGGGAACACTAGCATGAGCCTGGGGCTGGGCCAACCGACACGGCGCTGCGCAAAGCGCTGCAGCGGCGCGCGAAAGACAGTCGTTCCAGCACCCGCGCGCACGCACGGCAGCGCACAAAAAGGCAGCCGCGAACCGCTGCCCCATCGACCGCTGCGCTCACATCCACACAAGGGAGCAACGATGCCGGCCACCGGCGACGCCGTCAACGTGAAAGTAGCCCTAAGATGTAGACCGTTATCAAAGAAAGAACTGAGCGAAGGTGACCGGTCGATCTTCACGAAGGACGGCAATGTTGCCAGACTCCAAGATCCCGACGGCCGCCAGAACGGCGGCAATCCCATTGAATTCGGTTTTGATCACGTCTATGATGCGGACTCTACCCAGTTACAAGTCTATGAGGACGTCGGTAAACCGGTCGTCGATGCGGCCTTCGCTGGGTTTAACACGACGGTCTTCGCATATGGCCAGACTGGTAGTGGCAAGTCCTGGTCCATGACTGGTGCGTCTGGCGATAACAGAGGATTGATCCCGCGCATCAACGCGGAGATCTTCGAGAGGATCGAAAATTCGTCGGAGGAAAAACTATACTTAGTACAGTGTTCGTACTTTGAGATCTATAACGAGATCGTGTATGACTTATTGGACCCGCGGCCGCGCAAGGATAAAGAAAGATCGGGCGGCCTGCAGATCAAGGAGCACCCGGTATTGGGCATCCACGTGCAGGGCCTGCAGCAGATCGTGGCCAACGACGCGGCCAAAGTCCAAGAACTCATGGACCTCGGTCAGAAGAATAGGAGTGTTGGTAGCACGGACATGAACGCCGAATCCTCGAGGTCGCACTCTGTTTGTTTAGTTACTGTACATCAAAAAGATACGGAAAATGAATCGAAGTCGTGTTACGCGAAATTGAATCTCGTGGATTTGGCCGGCTCCGAGAGGGCGGACCGGACCGGCGCGTCCGGCAAGCGCCTCAAGGAGGGCGCGAACATCAACAAGTCGCTGACGACGCTTGGTTCAGTTATTAATGCGTTGGTGGAACAAGCCCGGGGCAAGAAGGGCGTCTTCATTCAATATCGCAACAGTAAATTAACGCGAGTTTTACAAGAGTCGCTGGGCGGTAATGCGTTGTGCACCATGCTGGCTACGCTCAGTCCCGCCTTGTTGAATGGCAAGGAAACGCTGTCGACATTGAGATACGCCGCGCGCGCGAAGACGATCAAGAAGACGGTCACCAAGAACGAGGAGTCCGGCCAGATCGATAAATTAAATGAGGAGGTCGCCCGCCTCAAGAAGATGCTCGCCGAGAAAGCTGCGCCATCAGGTGTCGTCCAAGACGATGAGGCTTTGTCCAAAGCCCAAACTCAGATCCAGGACCAAATACGAGAGATGGAAATGTTGACAAAACAAACCTGGGCCGAGAAGCAGGAGCAGTCCAAGAAACACGAAAGCGAGATGCAGCGGTTACGGAAGGCTACTCGAGATGCGGCCAAGAGGGCCGAATCGGAGCGGAGGAAGCGCTTTCAGTTGTTGAGGGAGAAGGGCGACGTCGAGTTGAGTGTGCGGGAGCTCAATCTACCTTCTTCTTGGGCCGACCAGGCTCGACGGTTGGACGGGCTGAAGGCTCGGGTCGGTGATAGGAGAGCGCACTTGAACGTGTTGCGGGACGCTTTATTAGCTGATTTAGGGTCTTCTTATGACGACGAGGACCCCGTCGAGCGAGCGCGGTCGGCCAAGGCCGCCGCTGATTCTGCGCAGGGCCGGCTGTGCGGCGCGGCGTCCTTTTTTTTGCGGGGCGTCGCGGCGATGGCGTAAGTGATCCACACGCCGCGCGCCGGCGACGAGGGGGAAGGGCCAAACAAAACGCGCGAACACCACGCAGGCAACAACTCAGCGGCGAGCTCGACAAGATGCGCGAGGGGGAAACGTCGCTACTCAAGGGCGCCGACGCGTTGATAGCGGACGTCGAGGCATCGTTAAGTGATTTCGTGACGCAGCAGGACCGGACGAAGAAAGCAAGGGTCGAACTTGTCTTAGATCAGTGCAAGGCGCGGCGCGGCGCTCTGAGAGCATCGCTCGCTTCCGAACGAGCGGCTCTGGTGTCTTCTGATGACGGCGGGTCGGACCTGGTGAAGGCGGCGCAACAATTGGTCCAGGAGGCCGAGCGCGCGTCGGAAAATGCTGACGATGCTGAAGCGTTGCGAGCCGCAAGCGATGCGTTGCAGGAGGCCTCTTCACGAGCATCGGCGTCCGCCCATAATGTACGACATGCATTGGAAGCCGTCGCGTCCAGGGCCGAGTCCGACGCGCCCGCAAGGCCGCCCGCGAGACCCGTCGCCGTCTCGTCCGGAGACGTCAAGACTGCTTGTTTAGGACGGGGCGACGGTTGGATGAACACACCTTCTGAGTATGCTGAGTTCGATGTGGGAGACGCCCACGTTTCCAGCGTGAAAATAGCGCCCGGCACCGTCACTCCTCAAATCGACGGCGCCGACGCCAAAATCACGATCGCACGCCTCTCCTCTGCATTAGACTGGAAGACCCTGCGATTAACGCCAGAGAAGGCCCTGAAATTACTCCAGAGGCCGCCGGTGCGCTTCGTCGCCGATGCTTTGCAAGCCATCTCCACGAAAGCCGGGTGGACCGATGCACCTCAACCATTAGATCCGAAGGCTCCTAATGATGTGAAACAAAGCCACTTTGACGCGTGGCTCAAAATTATCGATTGTCCGTCGTGTTCGAGCGACAACATATTAGCTGGCAGTGGTGTGGACGGGACCAATGCTTTACTGCAATTAGCGGCGGCGAAAGCCGTACCGACGTCCAACGTGGCGTCGACGCCTCATACATTGAAAGTGGAGGCGCTTCGTCAGAATACTTGGGAGGCCACGGAGGTGCGAGTTACTGATGGTCGCGCTCCTGTTAATCAGAAAGCGGAAAGATGGCGCGTCTCCATTGTAAAATGGGAGACTGGTAATAGTGGAGCGTGCAAATTAGGGTTAGAAACAGGAACGAGCGGCCCTTCATTATCGGAATCCGCCATGAACGCGGGAGAAGCCGCGTCCGCCCTAGACGCGGACGCCGACAAGCTCGCGCGATGCATGCGAGCGACGGCCGAGGTCGTGGCAAGGGCGGCGCAAAGTGCAGCTCGCAAAGCGACGCGGGGCGAGGCCCAGCGGCGCGCCAGCGAGTCCCAGCGACTCGCGGATTTGGAGGCCGAGGTGTCCAGACTGAGGGCCGCCGAGAAGAAGCATTTGTCAATACAAAGCGAGGCCGTCGAGCGGGAGAAACTGTTAAGGGAGGAGGCCTCGAAGGCGACGGAGAAATTACGAGATAGCGAAGGCAGACAGCGCGAGCTGGAAACGCAAGCTAAGTTAGCTCAAACGAAGTCCGACGATCTAACGCGCAAGCTCGAGGGCGCGTCCACGGAGCTAGCCACGGTCCAGCAGAAGGTTGATCAAGTGACTTCGGAATTGAATGACGCGAAGAAGGCTTTATCTTCCACAGAAGCATCTCTGAGAGAGGTCCGCGAGAAGCTCCAGGAGGCCCAGGGCAAGGTGACCCAGGCCCAGGCGCACGAAATTGAACTACAAACGAAGACACGGGCGGCCGAAGATTCATTAAGGGAGGCGGAGGCTCAGGTAAGGGACCGGGACGCGCGTTTGGAGTCGCTGCGGACAAACGACGGGCAGCAGTCCGGCGAGATCGCCGAGCTGACGGCTGCCCTCGAGAGTGCAAGGGAGGCTCAGGAGAAGATGCGCGAGGCCGACGCTGCACGATTGAAGGAGGCCGACACGGTCGCGGACGACCTCCGGACACAACTCGACGCGGCGCGGAGCGAGGTCGTGGCGGCCCAAGAATCACTGAGAGTGGCGAAGACGGAAAGTGACGACAAGGAGAAAGGGTTGTGGGAGGCTCGTACAAAAGCTTTACAGGACGTGCAGCGCCTGTCGACGGAGCTGGACGACGCGCGGACGGAGCTCCAGAGCGCCAAGGAGGCGTTGATCGCCGCGGAGTCGGAGAGAGACGCCTTCAAGTCCTCCCAGAAGCAGGCCGAGCTCGAGCTCCTCAAATTGCAAGGCGCGTACGACGCCGCGCAGATGGCTTCAGATGAGGCCTCGAAGGAGGTTGAGGAATCGAGACGCCAGAGTGATGAAGTGCAGAACGAGTTAAGGCGTCTTAAAGTAGACGCGGCCGCGGCCGAAGATTTGGTCAAGGAGGCGGAGGGCCGCGCCGCTCAAGTTGATTCGGAACTGGCCGCCGCGCGCGATTCAGAAAGACAATTACGATCGGAGCTCGAGGCCGTGCGCTCTCGATTAGAGGAGGGCGACGATGAACTCGCGAAACGCGACGACCAGTGCGTGCAGCTCGCCCAGGAATTAGATGATGCGCGCGCCGAGGGCGAGGCCGCGGCCGACGTCGCCGAGCAAACTAGATTAGCGCTGGCCGTGGCCGAGGAGGAGCGCGACGCCGCGCGTGGTGCCGAGGAGCGCTTGACTTATGAACTTGAGAGAGTTGTGGAAGAACGAGACGACGGCATGGACGGCTACGTCCGGCTGACGGAGCAGCTGAACGATGCGAGGGATGAGTTAACAGATGCGCAAGAACAAGTCGAGGCGTATAAAGAGAGGGAAGCAAACAACATGCGCGGGGTTTTGACGGAAAGGCAGGACGTCGAGGCGCGCGTCGCGGAGGTGCGGCGGGAGATGAGTGAAGAACACGCGCATGTGATGAGTGGCCTCGAGAAACTCAAAAGAAGGTTGGAGCGGCACCTGAAGAAGATCGACGAGTCGCCCCTGAAGCGGCCTCCCAATATAGTGGATGCCGTCGCTGCTTTACTAGATTGCGCGCTCGACAAGTACGACGAGCTGCTCGAGCAGCGGCCGCACACGCCGGACGTCGAGTTCGACGATGGGGCCATGGACGCCTTCGACGCGGCGCTGAAGCGGGCCGCGGAGCCGCACCGGCCTTCTCCTGCCGATACGTCGACGCAACCACTGGAGAACGATGACTCGGACGACGATGGGTACGGGGATGACGATTTTGAGGACTAAGTAGAACTAATGTTTACGCGATGCCGCGGCTTTTGAGGAACGCCTCCTGCGACGGCGGCCGGCCGAGGAACGTGGTGAGGTGGTCGAGGATCTTTCCGACGCCGCCCGGCGCAAGGACGAGGTCCCGGTAGCGCCGGCCCGCCTTCGCGTCGAAGGGGTCCTTCTCGAAACACTGGCTAAACATATCCGCCGAGAGCACTTCCGCCCACAGATAGCCATAATACGCGGCACCTGTGTCGAAATCGGCGCGTCGATGGCATGGAGTCGACGCGAACGCGCCGTAAAATTTTGATTTCCACACAGCGCGGCGCTGTATTGATTCATGAGGTGACCGAACGAGCGTAGCATGTTCGCGCCCGGCGGGTTCTCGATGAGCGAGATCTCCGGCCGCAACCGATCGACGAGCGCCTGCAGACCTTCCGCCGTCGTCGGCGGATCGGTGCCGTGGATCTCCAAATCCAAAGTAGACAGATAGATCTGCCGCGCCATGTTCAACCCGACGTTGACATTTTTAGCGTCGAGCATTTTATCCAGCAAATCGCGCGGCAGCGTCGCCCCGGTCTCGTGGTGCTTCGACAGGCGCTTCAACCCTTCGACGGTCCAGCACCAGTTCTCGAGCATCTGCGACGGCGCCTCGACGAAGTCGCGCGGGCATTTCGCCAGCGTCGTCGAGTTGCCATCACCGGAAGCACATAAACCGTGCATAATATGTCCGAACTCGTGGAAGAACGTGACGCAGTTCGAGTGCCGTAACAACGCCGGCTTGCCGTCGGCCGAGGGAGCTGGTAAGTTGCAAAGCATGCAGTCCACCGGCACCTGGTCGCCCCATCTTTTTAGGAGGTGGAAGATGGCCGCGTGGCCGTACTTGCCGTCGCGGGGATGTAAGTCGAGGTAGAAGAACCCCTGCTTCTGCTTCGTCGCCACATCAATGACGCGGAAGAGGCGCACCGCGGGGTGCCACGTGTCGAACCTGCGACGGCGTGACGGCGTGATCCCCTCCACGCCATCGACGCGACGATCGGAAGACGCTTCGCGACGCCGCGTCCACACTTCTCGATCTCGATGAACTCTAAGCCTAGCAGCTCCTGGTAGATCTCGAGCGTCGTCGCCACCACATGATCGAGAGGAAAGTAGGCGCGTACCGCCTCGTGATCTACACCATACTGTTCCTTCAATAATTTAGCGGAGTAGAAGCTGACGTCGGAGGCCTCGAGGGCCCCACCCTTCAGAGATTTCAAGCGTTCGAGGTCCCGCGCCGCGCCCTCCTTGACCTTGGCCAGCAGCGGGTCCATGAAGGCCGTGACGGCCTCGGGCGAGCCGCTCATCCTCGTCTCGGTACTGAGATGCGCCCAGCTCTTGTAGCCCAGCAGGTCGGCGATTTGCTTCCGGATCGCGACGCCTTCCGCCACGTAGTCCAAATTCGCGCCGTACGCCTCGCATTCCCGCGCCCGCGAGACGCGCCGCCGCGTCGCAGCGACGGAGCACTGCTGCAGCACAGGGATCAAATCGGGGTATTTGAGCGTAACGACGACTTTCCCGTCCCTCGTCCGCTCCGCGATCCAGGCATCAGAACACCCTTCGAGTTCATTCTTGTCGAACAGGAGCTCGGTTTTGTCCTCGGCGAGGTTCTTCTTGAAGAGGCCGCAGACCTTGGCGTCGGCGTCGCGCAGTTCCTGCAACTTCTTCTGGTCGGCCGGCGACAAGTTGAGGCCGCTGCGCTCGAAGCCAGCTTTCAATGCTTGCACGAAGTGCGCGTCGCGACCGGAGACGGTGTTCTTCGCCGCCAGCGCGCAGACGCGGCCGTAGATGCGCGGGTCCGTTCGGCCCTTCGCCTTGAGCGCCGCGAATCGCGCGCCGGCCTTGTCCGCGGCCTCTCTCACGGCAGAATCCGTCGAGCAGTGCTGGAGGAACTTTGCTTCGACGACGGCCTTGTTCGTCTTGTAGTGCGGCGCGCCCATGAGCGGTCTTAACACCGTCTCCACGGACGCGTCCGCGTCCGAGACGGCGGCGACGCGGTCCATCGTCGACGTGAAGTCTATTTCCACTCCTTGGGCGAGCCCTTCGATCTCCGCCGCCGTGCGCGGCCAGACGAAGGGCGGCAGGTAGTCACTTAGCGGCGGCGGCGGCGGCAGCACGCACTGCTGGCAGGCGCCTTTTGGCGCCATGTTCGGCGGTAGGAATTGCCAGCTCGAGGCCTGGCGTGCTCTCAATTCGCAGCAAGGGCATGCTTCATCGGTCTTTTGGCGCTTGGACATGGCGGATAAGGATCTTGAAGGTCCTTTTCTGCAACAATCAGCTATGGCGGTGCACCAATTGGAGCACAAGGCGACTCGTAAGCTAAAACAAGAAACCACAGCTAGCGGGCTGTAAGATACTAGCAAGCGCTACGTTTCACGCGAGAACTATAGTTGCGGCGGCGACTGGTCGCATACCTCGTCGGCGCCGCCCAGCCACCGCCATCGGGGATTGGAACCCGAACTCTAACGCGGGGAGCACAGGCCATTTACGCGGGGAGCAAGCGGCGCACAAAGCCCCATTGCACGCGAGGCACTCGGAACCCATCATCTAGACGCCCGGCAACCAGCAGCCCAGAAGACGCTGCAGCGGACGCACCGGGGGCAGCCCTGCAGCAACTACAGCCATGGGCGCCGACCCCGCTAGAAAGAAGCACCCCTTCCTCAAGGCCCGCTTCCAGATCGGCTCCTGCAAGGGCCCTATTAATTATGCTGCGTCTGAACCCACCTTCCACCCCGATGATATACCAGCCTCGAAGAAAGCAAGCAAGGCCGCCTCGTTAAAGTGGGCTAGAGGTGGTACCTTTCCTGGCGAGAAATCATTATGGAACGCGTCTTCCGCCGGTCATTTGTATTCCAAGAAATTTGGGCTGCGGACTCGGATCAACGCTGATCATGATAGGGCGAGATACGCCTACAATTTCCGAGCCGAAGAACTGCCCCCAAAGAACTTCGAACCTCTACCGAAAACCCACAAGTTCAAGATCGACGTCATGCCCGAATCGAGAAAACAAACGATAAGGCAAGCGGCCATCGACGATCCGTCCTACAACTTCAAGACTTGTAACCTCGAGATGCCGGTGTCTACCAAGTTACGAGGCAAAGCTAGGTGGAACATCGAGCAGTTCTGTTCCGGATTGGCCGAGCATGAAAAAATAAGAGAGGATAGGCAGAACCTGTTGCTTACGAGGGCTCGCGCGAACACCGCAAAAGTCTCGCAGCGCTTAGATAACTACACAAAGATCCACAAGCTGCCTCTGCGTCGATTACCGCCTACGTATAAACGGCGGTTTGACGACTGGACGCCCGAGATGGCGGCCGCGCGCGAGGCCGCGCTCGAGCCCCTGCCCTCGACGAAGAACCGCTGCGCGACCAGCAAAAAGCCGTCGCGGCGGCGGAGCTTCGGCCACTCGGGCGTCTTCGAGTACAACGGCCAGGAGGGCGCCTGGATGTGGAGCGACACCGGTAGTTTCGTGCAGAACGACCCGTACGGCGACCGGAACAAGGTCTTCGATACGAATCGCGGCAACTACGCGGCGCCGACGTCGAGCCTCTAGCTAACTGGTTTTTTAGGCATAGATATGTGCACGCGAATGTACGGAGAGGGCGCGTCGTTCAGCACGGACATGTGCGGAGCGAGCGCGTGAGCCAGCCTTGAGAGCGAATTGAGCGAAGGGTGGAGCGACGGGAGGCGTCGTGCGCGCCCGAGCGACGGCGCGCGCGACGCAAAGCGGTGGAGGAGCTTGCTGCAGTATGTACATCAGCTGGTCCAATTGCACGGGCTTCTTCTAGCCGGCCAAACGCACCGGCGGGCTCCAGGCCGCGCCGTCGCGCACGTAGAGGAAGCGGTCCACAATAAAGTCCTCGCGCAGCGACTGGTAGAACTCGAGGGTCGAGGCCGTGATGCGGTACGCCGTGAACGTGGCGGGCGGCGTCTGCGGATCTAAGGAAGACGCCTCGACATCGGCGAGGAGCTCCTGATGTTTTGCCTCGGACACGTCGTTCCCCTGACCGATGGGGTGGAGGAGCTCCAGCGAGACCCTGGCCGGCCGGGGCAGCGTCCGGAACATCTCCTCTGTATTGTCATTGTCGACGGCACACGTGCCTCTCAACCGAACCTGCCGCGTGCCCCACCGGAACACGGCCTCGCAGCGCGGCTCGTCCCGTAAACTCCGGCCCTTGAGAGAGTTAGGGTTGGTACCAAACGTGATCGACCCGTCCTCGCAGACGTCGCGGCAGACCACGGTCCGCGCCGTCGGGCCCTCTTCAGCAGAAGACGTCGCCAGCACAAAACCGCGCTCGATGATGTGGCCATCCTGCAGGGCCGCGGCCAGCCACTCGTCGAGTAACAGCATGGGGTTCGCCGGCAGCTCGGCCTCCACCAAACCACCGGCCCGCTGCGTCCAGTTGCGGCGGTGCGTCCGCACCGAGAAGAGGCTCGACGTCCGCGAGAGCCAGCGCTGCATGGTCCCTGTAACTGTGCGTTGGTGCCTTCCGCTGGTCCGGGCAGCCTCGAGGTGCGAGTCGTGGCTCCCACTTCCCCCACGACACACCGGAATCGGCTCTTCACCCTACAGCCTGATTTGCGAGATGGAGTCTAGTATGTTACTCTACGCTAGCCAGGGCGAGTTTGCTAGAGCTCATACGGAGCCAAAACAGCACCAAAATAGCGGTGCCTGCCCTCGTTGCCATTGATTCGGTTCGTCATTACCCGGCAGCAGCGTCCGAAGTTGCCCAGACTCTGGCAGAGGGTGCTGACCTAAGCACAGCTCCTGACAGCACAGCGATCACGCCGTCGCTGCGGCGCATTCTCTAAAATTGCTGACCAGCACAGTCTCCTGACGTGCAGCACCGCGATCAGGCTTCGCTGCGCGCAATTGCTCGAAATAACCAGCTCGAAGCGATGCTCCCGCCAGCCCAGGTCCTCGCCCACCCGAGCGTCTACCTCTGCGGCGGCGGCTGGCTCTTCTTCGTCGCCGAGAACGCGGTCCTGTCCGAGAACCGGCAGGTCTTCATCGACCGCCTGGGCGACCGCGGCTACAAGTCCTGCTACGGCCTGCTGTCGACCTGCTCCCTGGCGTCGGTGGCGTACGGCCTGTGGCGCCACGGGCCGGGGCCGCGGGTGCGGACCGTCGGCCCGCCGTCTTTAGCATTAGGATCGGCGCTTACTTGTGTAGGACTGGTCGGCGCGTTCAACCTGGCCCCGGCGCTCGCGAACCCCATGTCCGACGACTTCACGGGCTGCCCGCTGGACTTGAAGGCGGCGCGCGCGGAAAAGCCGACGGACGTCGTGGGACTGGAGCGCGTCACGCGGCACCCGCAGTTCTGGAGTTTGGGCTTTCTGGGCTTGGGCTGCGCGGCGATGACGCCCTTCGCCGGCACGGCGGCGGCGGCCCTCGGCTTCCCGCTCGTGGCGCTCGTCAACGGCACGCACCTCGACTCGCGGCACCGGCGCGGCATGGGCGGGTCGCTCTCCGTGGAGCGCGAGGCGAAGACCTCGGGCGTGCCCTTCGTCGCGCTGCTGCGGGGGCGGCAGGCCTGGGCGCCGCTCCTCGACGAGCTCAAGCCCGTGAACTCGGTGCTGGCCCTGGGCGCGTCGGCGGCGGTCTTTGTGGCGTTCGTCGCGACGTGATGCCGATGCGCTCGTCGTCGTGTGTTCGTAAGTTTATCGGTTGTGACTTCCTGTTTCGGCCGTTGGCGGTTGTGATCTTTCTGTGTCGCCACGGCGCAGGTCGCGTAAACGTCGAGAAGCTGCGATTGCTAGTGTCTTACAGGCCTCTAGCCACGCCGGGATTAGTGGCGGCGAGAGAGTCCTAAACAGCTCTGCAATCATGGCGGTCACACAGCTATGGGGCTGTGAAATCCACAGTGGTCCGCGCCGCAGCGTCCTGCATCAGTACGATCCGTTTCATGGCTCTTGACGCGCTGCGACGCCGCCTCGCTGACACTTTCTCCCGCTGCACCTAATGGCAAGGAGGCGCGCGTCGGGCGCGCAAGAGCCGGCGAGCGTGCGCGCCGCATGCGCGCCGCTGCGGCGCCGCCGCCCGCACTGCCGCTTTACGCATGAAACCCTCGCGCGCGCCGTCGACCCGCCGCCGCGCCCGTGGGCAACACACAAGCCCTGACGCCGCCGCCGCGACCGCAGGCGAGACCCACACCTACGAGGCGGACCAGGACGGCGACCTCAACCTCCAGCTCACGATGGTCTCCTTCGCGGACGCCAAGGCCAAGAAGGGCGAGACCTATGTGGTGTACGCGGCGGCCGACGACGGTGCCGCGCCCCGCGTCCAAACTCCGTGGCGCAATGGATAGCGTATCAGACTTCGAATCTGGGGGTTGCGGGTTCGAGTCCCGTCGGAGTTGTGGGTTGACGGTACAACGCACAGGCCCGAAGTTCGCGCTCTGCGTCTTGCGACCGGGCGTCACGGACCACGCGCAGATCGACTTGTTGATCGGCACGGGCAACGAGACCGTCAAATTCAGTGTTACCGGAGGCAGCGCGAAGGTGCACATCACGGGCTACGAGGTCCTCGAGGAGACGTACGACGGGTTCGGCGACGACGACGATTCGGATGATGACGAGGACGACGACGAGTTCGGGGAGGTTCCGGGCGGCGACGACGATGACGATTCGGACGACGATGATGATGACGAGGACATGGGCGGTGGCCAGCCGTCGTTCTTCAACTTCGGCGGCGCGGCCGACGACGACGACAGCGACGACGACTCGAGCGAGGACGAGGCGCCGCCGCCGCCGCCGCCGCCGCCGAAGTCGAGCGAGAAGAAGCGGAAGGGGTCCCAGGACTCGGGCTCGGGCAAGAAGAAGAAGAAGGGCAAGAAGGGCAAGAAGTAGAGCTCCTTCCTTTACGCGCCGGCGCCTCCCACATCTGTGTGGTGGGTTTGGTACCAAGGTCTAAGGCCGGCGTAGATTTATCCGTTTACTAGTCCCCCCGGTATCCTCGGGCTCCTTGCGCGTCGATAGCGTCGATACTACGATAGAGATCTCGTAAAACCCGATTTGGCACTCGAGTCGAGCCCTGCTCGGACTCTCGCGCAACGCGCTAATTTGTTGCTCACGGGGCGATTCAACCCAAATTCATAGCGGTCTAATGCCATCTAGGAAAGCGGGCGGCCTCAAGTTCAAGCAAGACCCACCGGTGGCAGTAGTAACAGGGACGGTACCAAGCCGCTTAACTACACTCTCCAGCAGGGGATCTAGGGGAGGGCGAGCTCAGCAGCCGTCGCCCTCGCTTAACGTAGACGTAGCGGGCGTATTTTTTGTCGCCCTCGTCGTCGTTTTCGTGGCGTGGCCCATGGCGCAATTCGCTCTTGAATTTTTTTCGCGCGACGCGTGATGCCGCGGGCGAGATGCTGCCTGCTCCTCGTGGCGACGCTGGCCGCCGCGAGCTTCCCCGAGCTCACGCGCGACGGCACCATAAAACAACACACGGACGCGACGCCGCGCTACGACGCCGACAAGTGCTTCAAGCGAGCGGGCGTCTCGTCTTTCATCTCGAGTAATCGGAGATACTGGATCCATCCCAAGCGCCGCCCGGACACGAGCTACTCCTGGACGCCGACGGGAGGAACGAGGATCGAGGTGCCGACGGCCGCCGCGGCGCGGCGCGCTCTGCAAAACCATACCATTGTTGTGATTGGGGACTCGCTCAGTATTCAGTCGTACGTGTCGCTCGCGGCGCTGCTCGTCTGCGGTGACGGAGACGCCGCGCGCAAGGGCGGGGGCGCGTCGATCAGGCTGCCCGAGTATAGCATCGAGCTGAGGCACGTCGACGCACGCTTCGGCGTCGCCAGCAGCCAGACCAAGGCGACGGGCGGCAGCGCATGGTTCGTCGACAAGGGCAAGAAAAAACATATGAGGAGCCGGGGCGTGAAGAGCGTCGTGAGGCCCTGGGGCGAACCGGGCAAGCCGCCGCAGGCTATCGAGGGCGTGGTCGAGGCGCTCCGCGATTTCAAAGGGCGCGAAGATGTAACGTACGTCGTGATTTACGGCCACTGGTTCAGCTCTCGGCGCTCGGACGTTTCGTTTTACTCCAAAGCCGGCAAGCCCATCGCACCTGGTCCCAAGCTCTACGAGCAGACGACGCGCGTGCTGTCGCGGGAGCTCGCCAACGGGATGACTGGTACCAAACAACGCGCGGTGTTCCTTGGCTTCCCGCCGATCAAAAACGCGAAGACCAGCGACGTCTGCTCCCACGACTCGAAGTGGAGCCGGGCCGTGCAGACGGCCTTAGCTGGGTTCGACGCGGAACGGCATGGCGTCTTTTTCCTCGACCTCGAGTGTCCGCTCGCGCGCCTGCCGCACTCGTCTTATGCTTACCGCAGCCCGGGCCACCGACATCTGCCAGGCGCGCCCGACCTCGCGAACGCGATACTGATGCGGTTCCTCGCACACGTAGATAGATGAATACGCAAACCCTGCGTCGACTCCGCGGCTAAGTGGCATAGCTCTAAGTCAAAACACAAACACAAACTTACGCACCACGCCGCAGCGCCTGCCGCGCGCACGCGCTCACCGCGGCCTCCTGCGCGCGCGCCAACACACCCACCAGCTGCTCCCGATCGCGCTTGGCCCGCTCCGTCTTGGGCCCGGCCCCGCCGGGCGGCGACGGCGGCGCGCGCACGCGCTTCGCGACGCGCGCCGCGTCGTCGATGCCCGAGAGCACGCTGAGCCGCTCCAGCGTTTCCGCGTCGCCGGCTTGCAGTTTACCGAAGCGCACGTGCTCGCAGATTACTGAAGGGGGGGGCGGCAGCGCCTCGAGTTGCGTTGATAAGATACCAGCACCCAGTGATAAAATTTGCACCTCCGCGGCGCAACCACCGACGCTCTTCGCGAAGTTCCGCTTGTCGCAGACGCTTCGCACGATTTGTGACGCCTCGCGCGTGAGTAGGACAATGCGCAGTTGGGCGCCCTGGACGCCTCGCAACGCATCCGCCATATAAGTAAGATCGGGCATTTGCAACGCTTTGTGGTCCGGCGTCGGCGTGCCCCACCAGTTTGGATACGAACCCATGCCCTCGCCCTCGCCCCAGGGGAGTTGTTGGCCAGGGGCTGATGCCTTGAGGAGGCGCATGGCCTCGTCGTTGCGGCCTCCTAGGGTATTCAGGGCGTAGACAGTTCCGCCAGTGTTGGTCTCGGCCCGCGCGGCCTCCGTCATTAACTTGGAGGCGGGCAGGTCCAGGGCCATCTTCGCGTTGAAAACGGCAGCTGCCCTTTGCCAGGCCAGCGGTCCTAGTAGTGAAGGCCGCGCCTTACTACCGCACTGTTCCCAAAAGGCCTTCCACCAGTGGTGCCCCGTGCCCTCCAGACCGGCGACAAACACGAAAGGTATATGACCGTTGTGCTTCTGCAAGATGTACGGATCTTCATGGTGCTCCTGGTGCGCCTCGGCGTGGAGGTCGGCCTCTCGCTGAATCGCGGCCAGGCGCGCCGCGACGGCCTCCTCAATTCTAGAGGTGGTGGGGTTCGCCTGCGCCTTCATGGCGTCCTGGGCGGCGAGTGTCGTCGCTTTGTACGACGCGAGCGTTTTTTCCTGCATTGACGTCTTCTCGGCGAGCGCCTGGTGCAGCTTTTCCAAGCGCGCTATTGTGTCGTCCTCATGTGCAGTTGGTTGTAGGGTGGGATGCAGGTAAACGTGGGCCGCGCCCAGCAGGAGCAGGAGCCCGGCGGCTACTGCTAATATGGTGCGGCGGGCCATGCCTGGTGCGGCCGTCACCGGTCGCTTTTTCGCGGGCAGCGATCGCAGTGGGGTGTAGCGCGTTGCCTGGGCAGCGTGTATTGCGCTGCGCGGCGGCGCGTGCCCGGGGGCAGCGTCGAGCCGAACACCAGTCTCCAAGTCTTGCCCTGCCTGATTTCGGGGCGGGCCGGCCAGCCTGACGGCTCTCCGGGCGCTCCGGACGGCTCGCGCGCCGGCGCCTCCCGGGTGCGGGCCGGAAGGCAGGTGGTGGAGGCCGGGACGAGGCGTTTCCGGCGGTTTCTGGGGCAGGCTTGCTCGGTTGCACTGAGGCGTCCGGTTCGTGGGGCCAGTCTCCGACCGGACTCCAAGTCCGCCCCGCCTTGACATGCCCATTGATCGAGAGCATGTTGATTTTGCCCAACGTGTACGAACGTGCCGAGTGCGCGGCGGTGAGCATGATACAGGACTCTGAACCTTGCCGCGCCTCATAAGTAATCACCAAACTCACCAAATCCCAGCCGCCTCGCCTGCGGCACGCGAAGAGCGCCAGCAGTAGCCGTTCAAAAGAGCAGCACCCGCTCAGTGCAGCGCAGCGGCCCGCGTGCCCATAAACCATGCTCCGCCTCCTCGTGGTAGCAACCGCCGCCGCGGCGCCCGCGAGCCTCTTCTCGGAGCCCGTCTCCGTCCACTTCCAGGGCGAGCCGGTGCCCCCGGCCCGCGCGCGGCCCGCGAAGGTCCCGCGCGACGATTCATTAAGAGGGAAGCTCGCCCGGACGGCCCTGAAGGCCGTGACCTACGCGTCGCGACGGACGAGCGAGGGTTTACAAAGAGCCTCGAACTACCTCGATGGCACCGCGACGCGCGCGGAGGGCGCCCGGCAATTACTCAAGACGCTGAAGAAGAAGGACACCCTGTCTACAACGCGGCGGAAGCGCTTCTGGCCGTCGCCGCGGCCGACGCCGAGCTACAACGCTACGACGCGGCATAGGAAGCGCGACGTCCTGCGCCAATCGACCCAAAGCCTCGTCTTCCGATGTCTGGGCGTCGCGGCGGAGCTCTGGCGGCGCTTCAATCTGTTGCGGGAGCGGAGCCTGCTGGGCATGCTCGTCTTAGCTTTTGCGCTTGGGAGGGCGACGCTCTCGCCGACAAAGCGGGACCCGTTTCACAAAAAGCGCCGCTGGTCGGCGCTGTTATACCTACTATTGAAGTGGCTCTGCGTCGTGTTTTCGTTAAGAGCCGTGTTGCGGGACCCGTCCCTCAACCGGACGCGCGTCGAAGTTAATGCAGAACCGGCGCTGCCCGGTCTGAGTTCGCACGCCAAGACCGCCGACTTGATAGAGTACAACATGGCGGCCGTCTGGCGCTCTGGATTGGGCGCCTACTTCAGTCGGAGGGCTACTGGTGAATTGCGACGAGCGCTGAAAACGCTCGACGCTTCTTTTGAAGTCAAGGAAGCGGTCGTGGACTTCGGGCTCAGGCCGCCTCGTATCAAGGAGATGCGTCGACTCGTCGAGACGCCTTCCTTTTTAGTAGAAGCTCTGGAACAGCGAAGTGGTACTCAGAAACCGACGCTAGCCTTCGCCGTGGACCTGGAAGCGTGGTCCATCGACACGCAAGCCTTCCTGACTTTAGATCTAGAACTGAGGGGTCGGTTCGCGAAGTTCGGCCTTCCAAGAATAGGCGCTGTGTTCGAGGACGCGCAACTGTCTCCGTCTACTCTATTAGTGGCCGTGGAGCTGTCGGAGGACTATCCCTTTCTCGAGCATCTGGCCGCGGCCTTTGACGGGAGTCTGCCGCGATTAACAAGTACGGCACTCGTCGGCGAGGACGCGGACGCGGCCTCGGTCCCATTTCCCGTGTTTTCTGATTCGATGGACGATGAAGTGAGAAAAGCCCTACCGACGGCGCCCGAGTCCCTGGCCTTTGACTTGGGGCGGTGGCTCGTCGAGTGCTCACCTCCCGAGGCGCCGCTCGTTGTACAAGAGGCGTCCGAGGTGAAGGAGGAATTCGACTGCGACGGGCCTTCGAAGGGCTGGCGTCGTCTGGCACGCTACGCGCGGTGCCGGCTGCCGCGGCCTTCAACGGAGAAGGCCGCGACGACGGCGCCCGCGGCGGACGTTACAGAAAGGCGGAAAAGATTGTTGGACGCGGCCGCTTCATTAGGTGCGGAGCACGACTCGCTCGTCCAGGAGGCGCGGGGGCGGCTGCGTCGCCAGCTCGCGCGGGAGCTCCAGTCGCTCGCGCCGTTCCGCTTCAACCGGCGGAAATTGCAAGCTCATCTGAGGGACGAGCCGATGCGCGCGTACGTGCACTACAGCCAGCCGGCCGCCTGATGTATAAGATCCCTTGTTTGTATACTACACACTTACTACAATACACACATTCCTAGCCGATGCGGACCGCGTGGAAGTGAGGCAACGGTATTGCGTTGTCGACCACGGCGGGGATGTCCCACTCGGCCCAGTTTCTGCTGCCCGGACGCAGCACGAAGATGTGCTCCCCGGCAGAATCATAACCGTAAGCAACAACATGACCGTCCACCTGGCTAACGCTCCTGTATTCGGGCACGACCGGCGGCGTAGGAAACGCGTCCCAAGTCTCTCTCGTCGGGTCCCACACGAAAGCCAAGAAAAGAGAGGGACTAAAGGGGCCGTCATTCAGACTAAAGGTGCCCATGATACAGAGACGCTTTGATCGCTCGAAGGCTGAAATGTATTTAAGACCATATTCATTGACCAGTGGCTCGTGTGGAAGCCGCGGCCCGTCCGTCCAGGCGCGGGTCGCTGGATCATAGACAAACGTCCGCCGTGCATCTTCGTGCTGACTTCCGGGCCCTTGATGCCCTTGATAGCCACCAAAGCAATACAACTTCCCGCCGACTTCAACCAAGCCGTTCATGTCGCTAGTAAATGGCACATCCGGCAGCCTCGACCACGTGTCCTCAGCTGGATCGTACGCATCCATGCGCCTCATCAAAGGCTCGCGGCTTTCATCAATCCCGCCACCGAGGACCACAAGATGGCCGCCAACGCAGCCTAATGAAGCTTGATAGTCAAGAGAATCGTAATTCCTGCCGCCATACATTCGCACCAGCGGTGCGATGTCCCGCCATGTATTCTCGCTGGGGTTATAGGCGCGAGCGCGCATAGGCTCCAGGCCACTCATGACGATGACCTCGTTTTGAGGGCGCTCGACATAGTAGCCTGATTGGTATGGTGGACGTGGCGCCGTACGGCGTGTGCCCGATTCGGTGATCAGAAAACAGGCGTCAGTCGAAGCCCCTCGTGCCGTCGCGAAGACGCCCCACTCCACCCAACCCGACGCCTCTCGCGTCTTCCGGAACGCCGACGACGCGACGGCATCACGCAATTGCTTGCATGTCGAGGGGACAGCATTGCGCAGGTCGGCGTACGGGCACCTCGCGAGACACGCGAGCAAGCAGTCGTTTGGTAGATCAGTGATGCGCAGCATTGCGATTTCTAGCGAAATTTGGCCTCGACGGCGGAGTTTAAGACAGGTCACTTGCGCTGCTCTCGGGCGACATTGCCGTCTCCGGGCCGCAGCAGTTCGCACAGATCCTCACTGAGCCATGTCGGCCGACGCCACAGCGACCGACGGCATGACTGCCAAGCAGCGACGGCTGGCGAAACGCGCGGCCGCGCGGGCGGCTGCAAGCAATGGCACCCCTGCTGCTGCAGCAGTGCCAGCGCCCGCGAGCGCGGCCCCGTCAAGCGACGCAAGCGACAGCATGACTGCGAAGGCCCCGTCGAGCGACGCAAGCGACGGCATGACTGCGAAACAGCGCCGCCTAGCGAAACGAGCCGCAGCGCGCGCGGCCGAGGCGCCGGCACCGGCGCCGGTGCCGCGCGGCGCGGCGACGTCGTCGGCGCCGGCGCCGGCCGGCCGCACGACGGCCAAGGAGCGGCGACTAGCAAAACGCGCCGCCGCGCGCGGAGAGGCGGCGCCCGCGGCGGCGCAGGCGCCGCAGGCGCCGGCGGCGGCGCCGACGACGGCCAAGGAGCGCCGCCTCGCGAAGCGCGCCGCCGCGCGCGGCGAGGGCCCCGCCGCGCCGCCGCCGAAGCGGGCCTCACAACCACCGAAGCGCGCGCCGCTCGTGGCCTTCGTCGGCCAGCTCCACTACTCCACCACCAAGGAGCGCATCGAGCAGTTCTTCCGGAGCCAGGGCGTCGAGGGGACCCTGAAGGTGCGACTGTTAACGGACGCGAAGACGAAAAGAAGTAGAGGTATGGCGTTCGTGGAGTGCGAGACGGCGGAAGCGCTGTATGCGTGCGTCGCGTGCCACCACGCCCATTTGGACGGGAGAAGAGTTAATGTGGAAAAGAGTGCTGGTGGGGGCAAGGCCACCAAAAAGGACAAGCTCAAGAGGCATCGCGAGCGGCAGGACCAAAAAATCGAGGAGAGCGTCGATAGAGTTATAGGCGAGTTCGTGTCGCAAGGTCGGATTGAAGAGAGGGTGTTTGATGAAGGGGTGCGGAAATTGCTGCAAAGGCGCTCTGGAAGAGTGGCCAATATGGCCCTGGAAGAGTTCGCGTCACTCGAGGGGAGGGAAAGTTTTGATAATCCCGCGGCCTACCTGACGAAGATCGTTTGTAGGATTTCCGCGGAAGAGAACCCCTTCGAGAAGTTCTCTGGGAAATTGTCAGAGCCCGAGATTTTGGCGCCGCGGCGGCTCGAGGACATGAAGCGGGAGCGGTCGCCCTCCGTCGAGGCCGTGCCCGAGTCAGCGGAGGTCGCGCTCAACGCGAAGGAGCGGCGGCGCCTGAAGCGCGCGAAGCTTCAGAAAGATCAGGAGGGCGTCGACGCGATCTTCGCGGGGCTGGCGTAAGTATGTGTAGTGGAACATTCTTATACAACTAACCGAGGCGAATCGCGGCGATGCGCGTCGCTCGCTCGACACCGTCGGGGAGGCGCCACTCGGCCCATTCCGTGCTACCCGGGCTCAGCACGAAGAGGCGTGAATCATCATCGGACGCGCCCAACTGCATGGTATCCGGGCCCAGGTCCGAAGGAAGGTGGCCGCTAACAATGAGATGGCCGTCAATGTGGCTACACTCGAAGCCGACGACCGGCGGCACGGGAAATGGCGCTTCGTCCCAACTTTCTCTGGCCGGGTCCCACACGAAAGCCGAGTAGCTCGCTGTTTCAGGAATCAACTCGAAATAGGCCATGATGCAGAACTTACCATGCACTTCTAACGCATTGGTGTGCCAATGAACGCCTGTGCCGCCCTGAAAAAGTGCAAACGGGAGGCGCGGTCCGGCTGTCCAAAGGCGCGTCTCAGGATCATATATATGCGTTTCCTGGAGATGATCATTAGATGCGTAACACCAGAGCCTCCCGGCGACCTCTACGAATTGCGAATATGAGCTATTGAATGGCAGTGGGAGCTGCCGCGACCATGTATTTTGGGAAGTGTCGTACAGGTCGAAGTTCCTATCAGAAGCACCGCCAAGAGCCATGATGGAACTACCAAGTGCTGTCCCAGTCGCACCCTCGGTGGAAATATTGCCCTGGAGTTGACTGCCAACGTTCTGCACTAGAAAGAGCGGAGAGATATAGTGCCAGCAATCCTGGCGCGGGTCAAACACACAAGCACGCATTGACCTGTTTTCGTTCTCCATGACGATTACCGCATCTTGGCCACTCGACAGCGAGAAGCGCGTTACAAATTCGCCGTGAACGTGTGGACGACGCGCCGTGCGGCGCGCGCCCAACGCCGTAATGATAAAACACTGTGACCCAACGGCGTATCGACCCGCGAACACAGCCCACTCCGTCCATCCAGCCGCTTCTCGCGTTTTGCGCAACGCCGCCGACGTCACGGCGTCGCGCAGGCTCTTGCAAGTGCTGGGGATGACATTGCGCAGGTCGGCGTAGGGCACGCGTGCCAAGCAGGCAAGCAGGCAGTCACTCGGGAGCGCCGTGAGAGCCATGGGTCAGCAAATGTGAGTGTGCAGATGGGACTGTGCCGCTGCACGACGGCGACGAGTCCACGCGTTCGGATGACGACAAGGGCTCTCTGAGCGAGCCACAGCGCGCTTCCTTGGCACAAATGCGGCAAAAATGAGCCGCGGGTCCGGCCAGCTAGCGTAATGTAAGACACTAGCAATCACCAAGCACCGACAGCGGCGGTTCCCTTTTTTTTTCCCGCACATCGCTGCACGACCTCTGCGACGAGTCCCCTGGGGCGGGGAGGGGTCCCGCAAGACCGCGTGCAAAAACCCGTCGGTTAAGCTGAGGCTAGGCTAGGCTAGGACCGACGCGTTGGGGGGCTGCCCGGACCACGATGGACTCCCCGCAAGTGCTGCGCAAGGGCACGACTCTGACAACAGAGGACCTCGAAGGCGTGCGGACACCGCGACGCGTCCTCGTCACCGGCGCCAACCGGGGCCTGGGCTTGGAAATAGTGAAAGCATTACTGGAACGCGACGACGTCGACAAGGTCTACCTCGGCTGCCGCGACTTCGAAGCGGGCACGGCGTTGTGCTGCGGGGAATTGTGGGACCTTGGCGGCGACCGGAGCGAGGCCGTCGAGTTAGATGTGAGCGACGGCGAGTCGATCAAGCGAGCCGTCGACTACGTCAGCAAGACGCTCGCCGCGCGCGACGACGGCCACGTGCAGAAGTCGCGAGAGTACCTCGATGCTATAGTCAACAACGCGGGCATCTTCCTGGACGCCGAGGCCGACATCTACCGCAAGTCCGCGGCGGCACGGGCGTCCCTCGCGGTGAATTTTGAAGGGGCTATGAATGTGACAACAGCGTTCCTGCCGCTCCTCGCCGACGACGCGACGGTCGTCAACGTGTCGTCGCGCCAGGCCGCGCGGACGCTGGGGTTCTTGGAGCCGAGACATAGGGACGCCTTCGAAGCCAATGATATAGAGGCCGTTCGGCGCGCGGCCTACGAGGTCGCGGACCTGCTAGACGACGACTACGGCCCCTACACGACCTTGGCGACGCCGGCCCACGGCCTCTCGAAGTGCGCGCTGAACGCGTGGACGCGCATCATGGCGCAGCAGCGGCCCGAGATGCGTTTTCTTGCGGTGGCGCCGGGGCAGCTCCGGACGCGGCACAACCCCGTGGTCTGGGAAGGCGGCCTGCGGCCGCGGCCGCCGCGGCTCGGCGCGCGCGTCGTGGTGGACGCGTTGTACGGCGCGCACGCGAGCGGGTCGTTCCTCGCGCAGACGTGCGCGTCGGACGGCACGCGCTTCCTGCGGGGCGAGTACGAGACGCACGACGACTCCTGGGAGAGCTCCGCGACGCAAGTCGTCGACTGGGTCGTTGAGCCGCCGGCGGCGATCGGTCCCGGGACGTCGGCGCCCGTCGACTCGCACGGCCGGACGGGATCGCTGCGGCGGTCGCAGGAGCTGCTGCCGCGCGAGTATTAAAGGATGTGATTTGTAGAAATATATAGAGCGAACAAGTTTAGACGAAAGAACCCCTTTGCTCATTTACTTGAGCTTCTTCTTCGGTCGCAGCTGGTTCGTGTGCCCGCACTTCTTCTTCCGGCAGTTTTTGGCGCGCGGCGGCAGGCGCGCGTAGCACTTGCGGCAGATCATCTTGTCGCAGTTGTACGTCTTGGCCAGCGCGGCCAGCGACGGGTCGTAGACCATCTTTGTGGTCTCCCTCTGGGCGGCCTGTGTTGGATCGAGCGGTGAGTCAAGGCGTGGCGCGTCGGCGGCGTGCGCGCGGCGGCGGCGTGCTATTCAGACGTTTTGAACGTCGAGGTGGTGCCGCGCTTGCCGCCGCACGGCCCAGCGAACGCCACACCGCTGCGCAGACGCCACCGCTGCTCATTACAGCTCTCGGCACGACCAGTGATCGCGCCGGGAGCGCTTGAGCGGCCGAGACGTGCAGTGCAGCGGGCATTGGGCCATACTCGGCGAGGCGTCATCGTTTCGCGCAGCGGCTTCGACAGCGATTCATTCGAAGCTCAAACTACGTCGTAGGCAGCTCGTATTTCGATCTCGGACGCAGACTGGCACGCTTTTGCAGTCCGCTTTGTCTCCAGCCTGGCGAGGTCGCTCCCTACTAGTAATTGGGTGCCGGAGGGAGGTCTAAAAAAAAACCACACAGGACAACCCCACGACTCCCTCCGGGCCGGTCCAGGACCCCGTCGGCCAATTTTTGCACACTAGCCGGCGCTCACTTTTTTAGGCTTGGCAAACCAGCGCAAAACGGCCGCGACGGTGCTGGCATTGCGCGTGGCGGCGCATGCACGGGCAGCCCTGGTGTGATTCGCCGTTTCGACGCGACGCGGCACGCGCAGCGCTGGTGACGTGCCGAGCCGGGCAGCCAGACAACCAAATTTCTCGGTCATGAGGCTCCTATCAATACTGGCGCTCGCCGTGTCAGTAAGAGCGGAGGACTGCCCCGTCACCGAGCTCTGCTGGGACGACGAGAAGTTTGGTGTGTGGGACTGCGACGAGGAGCCGGCGCCCATCCAAGTTTATAAGAATGACGACGACATCTACGTCGTTGAGAAGCTGGACGTGGCCACGGGCACCTACGAGAACATCTTCAGCCTCGAGCTGGAGGACGTGAAGAAGATCAACGCCGCGGCGATCTACCACCATACCAGTGAAGACGGCGACGACGAGTTCTTCTCGTTCGCGGCCGTCCAAATGGACGGCGACGACGAGGCTCCCCACCTGTGTCGCATCGACGCGGGCGAGGCCGACCACAAGGAGTGTTTTGAGAGTCCGCTCCAGGGAAATAGCAACCCGAACGCGGGCGTCATCCTCGACAACACGTATTATTATTCTCGTAATCTGGGCGACAACGACGACGGAACGTTCATCTACCGCGTCTCGGGCATCAACGGCAACACGCCGGACTTTCATTATGATGAAGACAACTTGGCCTTCCAGGGCACGGGAGACGACGACACCGACGTGTGGAAGGGGCAGGTCCTGGACCTCGTCGCGGTCAAGGAGCGCGCGACGTTGATCGACGACGGCGAGGACGAGCAGTCCTACCTCATCGGCCTGGGCGAGGGCTTCGAGGTGCTCATCGTGCACCTCGATGATAGTGGCGCGCCCGACAAGTACGCGGTCGTCGACTCGAGTGTCAATTGGAACGGAGCCGACGAGTCTGACCGGATCGCGTTCGGCGCGGCCTTCGCCTACGACACGGCTGATGGTGAATCCGCGACGCTCTATTTCGCCGGCAATGACGGCGAAGGGTTGTTCCAGATCGGTTTGCCGATTACCGTCGACGAGGACTGCTGGAACAGCGGCGACGACCCGACCGACCACGCCAAATGCGATTCCTCGACAGCCACGCTCACGCGCGTCGCGGACGCGGCGAAAGCTGAAAGTAATGACGGCATGAACTGCCCCGTGGTCTGGACTATATCAGAAACGTACGCGCCGACACCCGAGCCCGTCACGTGCCCGGACGACGAGGTCTGCTGGACCGACATGAGCGTAGCCGCGTGGGACTGCGCCGGCTTCTTCTCGCCGGTGCAGGTCATGAAGGACGGCGACGACCCCTACAAGGCCATGACTCTTGACTTAGAAACTGGCGAGTACGAGGAAATGTTTGAATTGGAGTTTGCCCTCGACGACGAGGGCGAGTCGCAACATGTGAACGCCGTCGGGTTACTAGGTTCTCCTGTTGATGATCCGACGACGTATTATGCGATCGGCAAGTTCGACAAGCGGCTCTGTCGGTTCGATTCCGAGTCCAAGGTTTGTTTTGACACAGAACTCGAAGTGAAGGCCAATGCCGGCGCCGTCGGTGGGGTGAACTACTACTACTCGTCGAATCTGGGCCAAAAGGATACCAGAATACATGTCGTCGAGGGCATCAACAGTGACACGCCGACGTTCCACGGTTCGGATACAAATAAATTTGCTGTTAGCTCATCATTGTTCGACGACGAGATTTTAGATTACGCCTACGTCTCGGAAGCTGATGGGACGACGCGTATCGACGACGACGAGAACAAGGGGTTGTACCTCATTGGTTTGTCGAAGGATCTGAAAGTGTTTATTGCGAAGATCAAGGACGGCCTCCCCGACTCGTATGCGGTCGTCCCGGGCACGGCCGACTGGTCGGGCTGGGCCGCGCTGCAGGCGGGGGACGAGGACGAGGCGTCTGAAGAGGAAGAGTCTGACGAAGCGGAAGAGTCTGACGAGACTGAGGAGTCTGACGAGGCCGAGGCGTCTGACGAGGCCGAGGAGGAAGAAGAAGACTCCGAGGAAGGGGAAGAGGAGGACTCTGAGGAAGGCGAAGAGGAGGACTCCGAGGAGGGCGAGGAGGAAGAGGACTCCGAGGAGGACGCCGGCGACGCGCCGACGTACCAGCCTACCGAAAACCCGGAGCGGCGGCTCGCGGGCGCGCCGACGGACGAGCGCCGGCTCCAGGACGCGCCCGACGACCCGGGCACCTACGGCGCGGCCTTCGCCTACGAGCCGAGCGACGGGAGCATGACGAAGGTTTATTTCGCGTCGAACGAGGGCACGGGCCTTTTACAACTAGAACTGCCGCTTACCATCGACGACGACTGCTGGAATAGTGGTTTGGATGCGTCTGAACATACTGAATGCGACGCGTCGGCGCAGCTGACGTGGATTTCCGCCTCGGACGAGGCCGACAGTAATGATGGGCTGAACTGCCCCAAGGGCGACATCTTCGAGACCGTGGCGCCGTCGGTGACGCCGTCCTACAAGCCGACAAAGGCGCCGACCGGCCCTTCGACGAAGGAGCCCACGACCGCGGTACCGACGACGGCCACGCCTTCCTATAGTCCTGTACCCTTCCCCACCCCCAAGCCGACGCCGGAGCAGCCGGCGCCGACTTCAGTACCGACGTACGCCCCGCAAGTCATGCCCACGTCGCCGGAACCGTCGCCCCAACCGACTCTGTACATGCCGTCGCCGGCGCCGAACTACGGGCCATCAGCAAAGCCCACTATGTTAACATGTGAGCCCTTCGACTGCGCCGCGTACTCCGAACCCATCCAGATCCTCCAAAGGGACAAAGATGAAGACATGTATTCCGTGTGTGAGCTCAACACCGTTACCGGAGAATATGACGTGTTGTATGACATCGACTGGTTCGACGGCCATATTAATGCCGCTGGTATGTTCGTGGGTGTGGATGGTTCTAGATACGCTTATGCATCATTTGGGGGCTATCTGTGCGCCTTCGACGCTCACAAGAAGTGTTGCCTGGACACGCCTTTGGCAGAACCGAAGCCGAACGCTGGTACTCTGGTGCATACGGATTATTATTACTCAAAAGACCCGGGAGGCGGGACGGAGCGAGGCTTCCACTGGGTCCAGAACGTGACGGGCACGCCGATCTTCCACGATGACGTTTTGTTCAAGATTTCCGCGAGTGTCTACGAGGGCACGGTGCTGGATGTGGCTACTGTGGACGAGTTCTTCGTCGGCGAAGAGTTGATTGATGACGGCGTGACGAATGGCAGGTACCTAGTCGGCATGGCTGAAGGATTTGAAGTGCTGGTGGTGCGGTGCGACGAGACGGGCTACCCGTCGGCCTACGCCGTCCTACCGTCTGTCATAGATTGGAGTTTTGGGGAGGTGCAGGACGAAGGTAGCTTCGGCGCCGCCTACACGTTTATGAGTGAGAAGGGCATCCATGTATTATTCTCGGACAATAAAGGCCACGGCCTGTTCGAGGTGGGCTTCCCCATGACTATTCCGGACGAGTGCTGGAATACTGGTACTGATACATCTTCTCATGTCGCCTGCAGCAATACCGTGAATGTCCAGTGGTTGCTGAACACCGCTGATGCTTCTTCCAATGATGGTTTAAACTGCCCCGACTCGCTGCAATTGTTCCCTCCTACCTTGCAACCGACCTCGGCCCAACCGACGCCGGACTTGTACTCTCCGACACAACCGCCATCCATAGAGCCGGTTGGTTCGGTAGATTGCGCGGCAGCAGGAAATCCTTTACAAGTTATGAAGTACGACGACGACGACGAGTACTCCGTGAGGATGCTCGATTATGCCACAGGTAAGTACGAAGTACTTTATTCGTTGGACTGGTTCGACGGGCACATCAACGCTGTCGGTATGGTCTACGATTCGACCAAGAATGCCTATTATAACGTGGCGGGCATCACCGAAGATGGCGTTTCGCAGCTATGTAGATTCGGGGGCAATGTGGAAAGGATCGAGTGTTACGGCGAACTGGAGGTCACGAAGCCGAACGCCGGCGCTGTTTTAGTAGATAGATACTACTACGCCAAGGACCCCGGGAACAAGGACGAGAAGGGCATCTACTGGGTCGATCATGTTGACTCTACGTCTCCGGAATTTCACAATGACGTCAAGTTCGTCATCAAGACGGACCTGTACGAAGACGGTGTCTTGGACTTTGCTCCTCTACGCGAAGAGCTCGACGACAGTGGCGTCGGAAGGACGGGTCTGACGGTGACCTCGAACTTCATCGATGACGGTGTTACTGGAGACTATCTCATAGGATTGGGAGAACACTTGGAGGTACTTGTGGTATATATCGATAGTGAGGGCTACCCGTCCAAATACGCTGTATTACCATCAACACTCGACGGCGACGCGAACCCGTCCTCCCAAGAAATTGGGGCAGCGTGGACCTATTTGACGGTCGAGTCGAGCGGTGCCTACAATGCGGAATTACTGTTCTCCTCCAATGAAGACAAGGGCGTCTTCACGACTACGTTACCGATCACGGTGCCGTCAGCATGCTGGAACGAGGGCCTCGACACCTCTACTCACACGTTCTGTGATGCAGCGACATCGGTACCACTCGTCACAAAGTACAAGGGCCCCGGCGACGACGTAAAATCAAATGACGGCATGAACTGCCCCTTCGCCGTCAACAAGGACCCGACGCCATCGCCTGTTATTGCCCCGAAGGACCCGACGCCGGCGCCCGTTGCGACGCCGGCGACGCCGGCACCCGTCGCGACGCCCGCGACGCCCGCACCCGTGCCGGCGCCGACTGTTGCGGTTCCGGCACCGACGGCGACGCCCTCCATCTTGGTGTCGTCGCAATTAGTTATTGATGATGTCCCGAGCGACATGGACGACGACGCTTTGACAGATATTGTGAGTGCGGCGCTCGTGGACACGTTGAGTGGCGTCCGCGAGGCGGACGACGTCTTAGCCTGCGACGTCACCGCCACAACGACGGTGACGACGACGGCCGCGCCGACCGCCATGGCCGTCGAGGCGGCCGAACAGGCTTCGGTCATCTCCGGCAGCGTCGCGTTCGCGGGCCTTTCGCAACCCGACGCGGAGGCGAACAAGGCCGTGATCGAGGACGGCCTCGCGCGCGTCGCCGGCGTCGACGCGGACGCTTGCAGTGTCACGAGCATATCGGCGGCGCGCCGGCGCCGGCTCGACGACGGCGCCGGTGTTACTGTGGACTACGAGATCTACGTTTCGCTGGAGACGGCGCAGGACGTCGCCATGGCCCTCGCCGACGCGGCCGCCGACCCGACGTTGGTGGATACCGCGATCGCGGAGGCCGCGGCCGCGGCCGGCGCCTCGTCGACTTTCGCGGCGTGCACGACGGCGAGCCTCACGAGTGAGGTTGTCACGGCCGCGAGCGACGCCTACTCGTTCTCGTTCACGTACAATGTCCCTTACTCGTACTCGTACGCGTCGCCGGACCTGGCGGGCCTCGAGTGCTTCAACGAGACGCTGACCGCGTTCTCATGTTACCTGGACCTGTACCCCGACGACGACGCCGCGATGCTGGAGGCGCTCCAGGACCCGACGCTCATGGGCGACGACGACCGCTGGAACGCGTCCGGGACTGATGATGATGTGAGCCTGTCGGATGACGTGACGTCGTGCATCGACGTCCAGGCGGACGCGGGCTTCGCCGAGGCTTGTGATGCGCAGCCGAAGATTGTGCAAGAGGCCTGCGGCGACAAATTCGACGCCCAGGCGGAGTGCATCTTCAATTCGTGGACGACTGCCATGGGTTTAGAGTGCGACCTCGACTGCGCCCTGACGCGGGAGTTCCGACGGAAGCTGGGCGTGCTCGACTGGGCGCGGCGCCTCTTCTCGCCGTCGACGACGCGTCCGGCAACGACCTCGCCCGCTGCCATACGGCGCCGCGCGCAAGACGCGGCGCTGGACGTGCTCGCGAGGCCGTCGCCGACAACGAAACGGCGGCTCGACGTGTCCCCCTCGAAGACCAAGCGCGCGCCCTTCGCGTCGCTGCGCCATCGACACAAGGGCCGCCGCGGCCTCCAGACCGAGGTCTCCCAGCCGAAGACGGTGTCCTTCACCGTGCGCCTCTGGGGGGTTGGCCAGTCCGGGGACACCGCCGCGTCAGAGCTCGCGACGGCCGCCGCGGACGGCTCCTTGACGACGTCCCTGGCGACCGCGGCCACGGACGCGGGCTACGACGACGGGCCCGCGTGCTCGGGCGAGGCGAACTCGCTCGAGGCGCTGCAGGCCGTCACGATCGCCGAGGGCGCGCCGAGCGCGGCGCCAGTGATTGCTCCTACGCCGGCGCCGTCGGCGAAGCCCACCTGGACCCTAAAACCGACGCTCGACGCGTACGAGCAATGTTTGGAACCGGCGTGCTCGTGCGACGCCACGCTCGCGGCGTGCACCGGGGATGATGAAGACGACGACCCGGACGAGTACTGCGACAACGGGGGCTCCGATTTAAGTTCAGACATCGCCGGCACGACGAACCACGGTTCTGGAGTGGGCTGGTGCATGTCGACGCTCGACGAGAAGGTGGGCTGCACGGCGTCGCCCGCCGAATGCTGGGCGGCGTGCGAGAGTTCACATGGTGATCGATTGGTGGCCATCGACTGGTACGCCGACGGCAGCTGCTGGTGCCAGGACTCGTGCCCGTGCATGGACTTTGATGTGAGTCCTGTTGTGATCACGCGCGCCGACATGACTCTACCTCAAGAGTGCACGCTCTGCGACTACTACGAACACGCGCTCTACGGCGACTGTGCCGGAAGTGACGCGTCGGATGCCTGCCAGAGCGACTATTATTCTGCGATCGAGTGCCACTACGAGGCCCAGCTCGCGGAGTTGGGTGAAACTTGTCCTACGCAGACGTGCGTCGAAGCATTGGCGACGCCGGCACCGACACCGCAGCCGTCGACCGCCTCGCCAGTCCCGGCGCCCACGATCCCGGTCACACAAGCACCCACGGTCAAGGGCTCCTTAGATCCCCTGTTAGCCCAGGCCTCCTCGAATAATAATGGAGGCCAGAACGGTTTTGAGGACGAGGTCCAATCTGCAGGTTCACCAACGATGATCGCCCTCACCTGTATTGGGGGCATTGTGGTGGTGGGCGCCGCCGGCGTCTTCCTGACACGCAGCAGAGAAGGCGCCAAGGAGAAGGCTAGAAAAGCAAGGTTCGACGCCATCAACTCCGAGAGCAACCAGTACGCGACGCGTTATGATGCGGAGGAGGGCGACGCCGCCGAGGACTTCGGCGAGGCCGACTGGGCGAAGATCGCCTCGAAGGAGGACAAAGTACACATCGAAGATAGCGCAACGAAGCCTCTGTACGACGATGGCGCGCCGAACGCTCCTTTTCCTCCTCCCCCTCCAGACGAGGAGGCGCCCATGTCGCCCGGCGACATCGACCGCTTCCTGGGAGGTGATGATGATCAATGGCCCGAGGACGAGGGGAAAGCCCAGTGGCCCAAGGAGAAGATGTCTGCTGGTGATGTTGATGCTTTTTTGGGACCGGACTCTCCAGGAAATGATTCCGACTCGTCGGACGGCGCCGAGGCGCCGCCGCCGCCGTCGTCGTCGGCGTCCTCTGTTGCGCCGCCCTTGGACGCCGACGACGCGGCCGAGATCGCGGCCATGGCATCGTCATCGGACCCCTTCGGCGCGCCGGCGAACCCCTTCGCTGCCCCCGCGGCGCCCGCCGTCGCCGACGACGGCGCCACGTCGCCCGCCGCGGACTTCGCCGCTGACGCGTTCGGCGCGGACCCGTTTGGCGCGCCGCCGGAGCCCACGGCGACGGCCGGCGCCGCCGACGCGCCCGCGGCCGACCCCTTCGCCGCCGACCCGTTCGGCGCGCCTCCGCCGGACCCGGCGGTGTCCTGAACACGTGTTCCCCCCCCAGCCCCTGTCCCCCGCGCCGTGTAACGGGATAAATTAGTCCAGCTACTCGGTCCGACTCGTCAGCACTGGCTGGTTAGTACTGGTTAGTAATGATCGGTTGATTTGGCGATTCTCCAGAATCGCCCGGCACGTCGCGCGGGCCGAGGGCAAGGGGCAAGGTATGTAAACCGGGCTCAATTTTTTCTGCGCCTCAGGCTAGTGTTTTCACTGGTAAGTGTGTTTTCCCCCGCGGCCCCGCCCCCTTTCCCCCGCACGTGTAACGGGATAAATTAGTCCAGCGCCGCCTCCGCCACCGGCGTCGCCTTCGCAGCCTCTGTTCGCAGCTTCTCCAAGTCACTCTTGAGTTTTGCGTCGTCAGGGGCGATAGCCACAGCCGCCTCGTAGTCCGCGACGGCGTCGTCCAAGCGCCCGCATCGCGATAAAGCGGCCCCCCGCCGCGCCAGGGTCCGCAGCACCCACGTCCGCCGCTGCGCCGAGCCGGCGGGCGGCACAGGGCCCGCGACGACGTCGTCCGACTCGAAGATATCGAGCGCCGCGCCGCAGTCGTCGACGGCCCCCGCCGCGTCGCCCGACGCTAGGCGGGCCGCGGCCCGGTTCGCCAGCGCGGACACAAAGGACGGCTCGTGCCCCAAGGCTTCGCCGTACGCGTCGACGGCGGCTTTCGCGTCGCCGGACGACAGCAAGGAGTCGCCGGCGGCCTTACACCGCGCCGCTTCCGCCAACACGTCCGCGCGCACCGCGTCGGCGAACAAGCGTTTCTGGTCGTCCGAGTCGCGGTCGGCGAGCGACGCCGCCTGCCGGAAGTCCTCGGCCGCTTCGGAATATTTGCCGGCGCCACATCTAGCGGCCGCCCGTCTGCATGCAAATTTGACCTTCAGCGCGTCGGACGCATCTGAGAGCTTCAGCCCGAGGTCGCAGTCCCGTTCACACTCCTCGAATTTATTTAATTTCAGGTAACATGCTGCCCTATTGGCTCGGCACGCCGGGTGGTCGGCGTCCAACTCGAGAGCGGCACCATAAGCAGAGGCCGCACTCATGATGTCGCCGGACGCGAAGAACTTGTCCGCCCTGCTTTTCAACCACGTAGGATCCGCCTCCTCGATGGTCCTTCCATCTTTGCCCACCAAATTCTGGCCGAAGAGCATTTTATTTTTGTGGAGGTGCTGCCGATGTTTTTGCACCCATGCGTTCTCCTCTTTCAGTTTGCTTTCGCGCATGGGCGTGGGGAACACTCGGGGGGTGTGGTTCACATTGACCACTCTTTTCGTCGGTCGCACGGTTGGTATCTGCGGCGGTGGAGGTGGCACGTTCTCCTCGTCCTCTTCCTCGATGTCGTCGTTCGCCATCATGTCGTCTAAGTCAAATCCGGCCTCCGTTACCTCATGCACACCTGTCGCTGCCGCCTGCTTCAGCGCAGCTTTCTCGCGCCGCCGCTTCTCCCTGTCCGCCTCGTCCTTCAACTGCGCCTCCTTGATCTGCACCTCGCGGAACTTGGCGTACATGTCCTCCTCCGCGAGCTTCTTCTCGGAGTCTTTTCTGTCGTCTACCGTAGTTCTTTCCGTTTCATCTAAAGCCATTTGTTTTCTCAATGCATCTCTATCCATTTCCTGCTTCCGGTCTTTGGCGCGCTCCGCGAGCGCTTGTTCCTTCTTCGTGCGTCGGTCGCGCGCGTCCGCTCGCCGCTTTAGCACCTCGGGCTTCGACAGCGACCCTTTCTCTATTACCAGAGCCCCCCACAACCCCGTCGTTTTCTTCGGCAGCGTCAGCGTCAGCGCGTTGTCCTTGACGCGCGCCTTCACGCCGTCATCATCAATCTCCTGTACCAAGTCAAGCTCGATGAGCCGCGGCGCGTACGAGATCTTCACGTAGGTATCGGACGCGTAGACGTCGACGGCTTTGGGGTTCGCGCCCCGCAGCAACACGCGCACGTGGCAGTGCGTCGACGTCTCCTTCCAGGAGTACTCGCCGGCTATCGGCATGGTGCGTGCTGGCTTTTGTGGTGCTTGCTTGGCTGCTCCTGTGCTTTGCTAGCTGGCACTGGCTTTTGGCTTTTGTGGTGCTTGCTGGCACTGGCGGCGACCGGGGCAGCGCGAGCGTGCCGCGGCCGAGTCGTGCGCGAGTCCTGCGCGGTGGATCGGCAGCCTGCACGGCGGTGTGCTGCTTGGAAAGCCGCGCAGCGCTTGGATGTCTGCTTTGGAGCTCCTCGACGCGCGCGATTTTTTGCACTGCTCCAGTCGAGCCTTCTCGGTTGTTGCGCGCGTTGGATAGCTCTTTTTCGATGGCTACGTCTGCTTGCTAGTGTCTTACAGGCCGCTAGCTATGCAGAAGCGCGCGCCAGAGCCTGGCCATACGCCGCCATAAATACCGTATTTGCACGTTGAGCCAGTGATTTTGGCCGCTATACTCTCACTGCCAATGCCTGCCTAGAGAAATCAGCGTGGTGATAGGCAAACATGCGCCTGCTGGCCGCCGCGCTGGTCAGCACATCCGCGCTCCTGGCGCCGCGCGCGCCGTCGCCGCGCAAGACCATCACGAGGACGACGCGCCGCCACGCTCACGTCGACGACGAGGCCTGCCGCACGCAGCTGAAGCGCCGCGCGGCCATCGCGGCGTTCACGTTGTCACTCACACGAACAGCGAACGCCGTCGAATTAGTACAACCGGCAACCGCCGACGACCGCGCCCCGACGCTGAACTGGGCCGGCGGCACGCCCTTCTCGGCGACGGCGAAGCAGATCGTCGACGGCTATTATGGCCCAGAATTCGTGACCTACTTGTCTCGTTTCCTGCTCAACTTCGACGGCGACTGTTCAAATTGGTGGGCCCAGCAGGAGCGGGCCGTGCCCGCGTCCTACGACAAGAAGCGGCGTACTGCCTTTCTGGCGGCGAAATTCGGGACGTTTACGAGTTCTGTCGAATACGGTCTGAGGAGGTATCCCGGTAGTAGTGGTAGGAAAGCGTTGCTAGATAAACTCACGCAGCAGCACGGCTTCGATCCGGAGCGACGGCGGCACTTAGCTTTGGCATTTACGTTACTGGCGCCCGACAGGCAACCAGTGCGAGGCATCAAGGATCTACTGGTAGGCGTTCCGGTCTACGGGAAGAGGGGAGGCGGCGTCGGGGCGTTGCTGCCGCCGGCCTTTTCGCCCGGTTTGGCTGATTATCTATATGCGGATCCACTGGCGTTACTACCTCGCACGCAACTCCCAGTCCTGGATTCCACGAAAAAGGCCTTTGAGATCCGCGGTTTAGCCCCGGTACTAGCGTCCCAATCCTCGGTCTTCGGCGACAAGGGCAAGAAGGCCGTGACTATAGAAAGGCCTTTAGAGCTAGGAACGTACGCGTCGTTCGCGGTCGCCGGCTTACTAGGCTGCTCGGCGACGCACGCTGTTTTAGTGCCGATTGATGTGGTCAAGACGAGGCAGCAGACGGAAGCAGAACCGGACTCCATTGGGAGTGCTGCTATCAGAATATACGAGAATGAAGGCTTGTCGGCGCTGTTTCTCGGCGCCGCGCCCACGTTAGCTGGCTACTGTTATTATGGACTGACGGTCTATCCTGGATATGAATATTTCTCGAGGACGTTGAGTACGCTAGTGGCGCCCTCGCAAGCCATTGAATTTCGCGCCGCCATCGTGTTACTGGCCGGTGCCCTAGCTACACTAGTAGCGTGTGTTGGGGTGTGTCCAGCCGAAGCCCTACGAATCCGAGTCGTAGCGGATCCGCAACGCTTCGAGGGAGACAACCTGTTCGGCATGGCGGCACGGGTATCAAGGGAAGAGGGCAACGTGCTATACAACGGGTTTAGACCGTTAGTGGTCCGCCAGGTCATCTTCGGCATGGTCAAGTTCTTCTTTTTTGATAGCTTGGCCGACGCGATCTTCCAAGCGGCGCCCTCGCTCGAGGCGACGGCTGGGAGTCGTCTATTCGTCTCGTTCCTCGCGGGCCTCGCGGCGGGCACGGCGTCCTCATTAGTCTCGCAGCCCGCGGACGCGGTGTTGTCGCGCGTGAATGCGAGAGGAGGCCAGTACCCCGTGGTCCAGGCCTTCGCAGACATCCTCGAGGAGGAGTCCTTCGCGGGGTTCTACCGCGGGGCGCTGGCGCGGTGCGCGTGGAGTGGCCTGGTGATCTCGGGGCAGTTCGCGATCTACGACGTGCTCAAGTCGCTGTTCGCCGTCGCGGGGCCGGACCTGACGCTGCACCTGGATTTGGCGCTCTGATCCTTGGCGCGGAGCCGGCGCCTCCCTGCCACTGGCGTGACCGCGCGTGCGCCCCAAGTGTCTGCTTAACCACAAGTTTAGTTAACACACCCCCTGGCCACGCCATCGAGCAAGCGCCGCGTCGATTGCGTGGAGGTCAGCTGCCGCGTGCCGACTAGTAGACCCGCTTGTATTTCTCCTCCCGCCGAGGCCGCCGGGCCGGTCCCGGCGGCACATAGGTCAACTGCCCCGCGGCGTCGAAGAAGGCGCCCTTGTCGTGGAGGTGCGCCGCCGCCCGCGCGAGGGCCGCGTCGTCGACGTCTCGATGGGCCTTCGTGCGCGTCACCCGCGCCCGCGCGCGCGCGTGCCGCGCCGCCGCGAGGCGCGCCCACGCGGGGATCGTGTTCTCAAGACACAAATCGAGCCAGAGCGTGCCGTTGAAGCGCCGGGCGACTTCGGGCCAATTAGATACGCGCTCCGAACAGGGCACCCATTCGGGTGGAGAGGCGCCGGGCGCGCACGCGACGGACTCGCCAAAAATCGCGAGGCGCAGCTCCGCGAAGGCCCAGATGGCATTTTTTGACGAAAGGCGCTCGTACGTTACGGTGAGGCAGGTCCCGCCGAACTTTTCGCAATATCTATCGAAGAAGAGCTGGAGGTGCTCGTTCTGCTCGGCCTGCTTCGTGGCCCACGCATATGCTTTTGATGGATCAATGTAGAGCGGGGCGGGTCGCGACCGCGAATGCGACGACGGCAAGTCCCCATCATGGTACTGTATCTGACCCTGGCGGATGCTCTCGAGACTCATGAAGCGCTCGAGCTGCGACAGGCGCACGAGGTGGACGAGCGTGACGCGCGACGCCGCGGCGTACTTGAGAAACCCCTTGAGCGCCGACTGCGAGTCGACGCCGAAGCCCCGCTTCGGCAGCTGGGGGTAGAGGACCTTGAAGCCCGCGCCCCTTGGGCTTGTCATGAGGGGCCGGGAGGACTCGTTCCAGCCACCGGCTTCCAGCTTCTCGAAGACGCCTCGGACGTAGGCCGTGTAGTCGGGCAGCGGTAATGGCGCCGCCGATTCGTGCCCCAAGAGCTGCGGCGCGAGGCGTTCCACCGTAAGCGGGTGGAGGGCCTCGCCCGTCGAGACGACGCCCGGGCATCGCGCGAGCAGCGGCGAGTACTTCGTGAGCCACGTCGAGCCGGCGCGCGGCTGGCCGACGACGAGGAAGCGCTTCGCTCCCGTTGGCAGCGGTGCGACCTTGGCGGCCCTCGCGGTGGTGAGCAGCAGCAGCAATCGGATGACATGCATTCTTTTCCCCGCTCAGTCGGTTAGGATGACCAGTGCGGCACAGCCTCGAGGCTGAATGAGGTGACAACACGTGCACAAGATTACGATCGCGCGCTATCGATGCATCATCGGGGCTGCCCGGTCGTAGTTGCTCGTTGCGCGGCTACCAATGCATGGATTTGGTGCCAACGCTGCCCCAAGGAGGGCAGAGGACACAGTATTTAATTAATTTTTTGTCTCTCTCAAGGCTATATATTGCTAGTGTCTTACAAGCCGCTAGAATCACTAGAGGATTTTTTACGAGTGTCTGGAGTCCGCTCCGAGGTAACAAGTACGACGGCGCGGCGGAAGGGCATGTGTCCACGGCCGCGGGTGCTTAGAGGGCGCGTGGTCGACGCGCGTGGCGTCTAGAACGCGAGGCCCGCGAGGACGGCCGTCGCCGCAGCGATCGATAACTTGCACCAATGGTGGGCAAATTGTGGTCGAAGGCGTCAGTTATGTTTTAGTGATCTACCTACCTGTCTGTTTTAGGATTGTCAATCCGCGTGGGAAGTTGGGGGCTCCGTGTTGCCTCGGTGCCTGCACTAAAATCAAGGCCACAAGAGAAGCCTCAGTCCAGGAAAGCAATCATCTTGACTCCCAATACTAGTAATTGGACTCGTCCGGAGGCCTCAGAAAAGGCAAAGATGGTTTTTCGTGCGGGTTGAGGCGTTTTGAGCCAAGGGTTTTTGAGGCGTTGGGGCAGCTTTTGTTGCTCGTACGAGGCGTTTAGTACCTTCCCGGCGTGTCCGTAGTCTCTTCTGGTGGGCGCTGCTGCAGCCCCGTGGGAGCGCATCACCTCCGCCTGAACTTTTTGGCCCACCTGCAGCTGCTCTTGTTGCCCACCCCGCCATGGCGCGAGCAGTGCTCTTATTAGTGTTCGCCGCCCTCGCCTCCCTGGGGGCAGCCCTCGGCGACGGCTGCTGGCTGGATTGCGATCAGGCCGACGCCGACGGCGCGGCGGCGATCTGCGCGTCGGAAGGCGGCGCGCTGTGCTCGCCGTACGAGATGCTCGCGGACGAGGCGACGCGCTCGACGAGCGAGTGCGACATGTTCGATTACGCGTGGACTGACGACGACTCCTTCACGTGGTCGTCGGAGTCGCTCTCATGGAGCTGCGGCGCGGGCGAGCGGCTTGCGTGCGTCTCGAACGGCCACCCGGCGTCGACCGATTGCGCGTGCTACGACGAGAGCACGCAGCTCGACGTGCGCTGCTGCAACTGTGACGGGAACGACGACGCCATGGCGGCGTGCCTCAGGTGCGTGAACGAAGAATGCGAAGGCAACGAGCCGCACTCGGAGATTTGTAGCGATTGCTTCGGGGAGGATTGCGACGAGTGCGGCGACGCCGTCGGGGAGAGCGAGCGCGAGTCCTTCGTCCGCGGGGGCTGCGACTTCGACGACGGCTCGGAGGTAGGTAACTGGTTCCGGGACGAGGCCTGCGGGTCCCTGCGCGGCTGCGAAGACGAAGAGGAGCGCCGCTACGAGCCCTGCGACTCGAACGACGACTGCGAGGGCGAGTGCAAGTTCTGCTACGTCGACGAGGACGGCGAGGGGCATTGCGAGCTGTGCTACTACCTCTGGCGGTGCAACATGATCCCCTGGGACGACGATTGCGACGAGTTCCACGAGGGCACGTGCGCCTATCATAACGATCAGAACGAAGAACTCGAGGCCCGGCAGAACTGCGAGGCCGTCTGCGAGACCGGGGGCGAGAAGACGTGCACGACGAGCTACTACCGCTCCGACGACGAGGTCGCCAGCAAGGAGGTCGCGCGCGAGTACTGCGGCGCCGACGGCCTCGCGCGCATCGATTCGTTTGAACAGAACGTCAACGCGCTGAGCCAGTGCGACATGGCCGTGTGTTGGCTCGACCTGCAGGAGGTCAACCACGGGGGTCGAGCAACTGTCACGCACAACGGGACCTGGGTCTGGTCCGACGGCTCGACGCCCGCATATCTGAACTGGGACAGTCAGTCTGGCGAGCCCCACGACTGGGAACACGACAAGGCCGACGCGGTCATGAATTCCGGCGACGTCCGGGGCGGGGTTTACGAAGGGACCTGGTTCGACGCCCCAAACTACGCGCAGTCCGCCTGGTTCGACGCCTGGGACCTGGACTGGCCCCACGCGCTCTGCAACAACAACAACAACAACAACAACAAACCAGGCGACTGCGCCGACGACATCTACCTAGCGCCGTACATGACGGGCTGCCCGGAGGGCTACGATTTCCCGGCGACCGAGGGAGCCTGCCAACGAGCCGCGGACCTGAGCTCGGGCTACGAGTACGGCGGCGCCGAAGGGCCTTACGCGGAAGATCACCCGCCCTGCTTCTGGGATGGAGATGAGGAAGAGCTTTGCTGGACGCGGCCCGCGCGGGGCTACTGCCCCCAGGTTAGCGAGGAGTGGGGCGACCTCGGCGCCGTCTGCGTCCGCGTGGGCGGCTGTTTTGAGACGATGGGGTGCCAGGGCGGCACGCCGCGGCCCACCATCACGCCAGCCCCGACGCCCTCGCCGGCGTCGTGCACGGTGCGCGCCTACGAGATCGCCGGCTGCACCTGCAACCCCAAGAGCACGTGCGAGGGAGGCATGCACGACGGCTCCGATGAACCCTGCTGTGGCACGAACGGCGGATACTGCGGCGTCGAGTGGCGCGGCACGGACGGCGCAGAGTGGATCGACATCCACGACGACGCCTGCAGCGGCACTGACTTCTTCCGCGTCTCGCCGGGCTGCGGCATCGAGGTGAAAACCGACTCGGGCGACCAAAACGGTGACATGCGGGCTTACACTTACAACGAAGGGTCCGTGCTCGTGTGTGGCTACGAGTGCGAGTGTCGTGCCACGCCGGGCTGCGATACCGTGCGCTACTTGCGGATTTTCGCGACCGGGCCGGCGGCCTACGACCAGGGCGACGAGGACGAGTGCGAGGGGGACGAGGACGACGACGACGACTGGGACGAGGACGAGGACGAGGACTGCGACATCGAGACGTCCGACGACCGCAGCTCCTCGCCAAGCGGCACGACGAATCACGGCGCCGGGAATGGGTGGTGCTACAGCGACCTGGACGAACACGTGGGCTGCGCGGCGTCGCCAGGTGACTGCTGGGCGATGTGCCTAGGCTACTACGGCGACGGCCTGGTGGCCATCGACTGGGGGGACGGCGGCGACTGCTACTGCCAACACGACTGCGAGTGCATGGAGGACGTCGGCGACATCGGAACCTACCTCATCACGCGCGACTCGAGGGTCGGCGCGCTGCCGCACGAATGTGGCCCCGACGAGGGCGAGGGCGACGAGGACGAGGACGAGGACTGGATGTGGGAGAACGGCTGCCGCCCGGACTACTGCACATCCTGGGCCGAAGACTGCTGTGCCTCGATGAACTGGGGCGAGCCGGCCACCTGCGCGAACGGCTACTCGCCATGGCCGCCGAGTCCGGGCGACGACTGCCAATACACGTGCTGCCCGGCGTCTAATGGATTTGCCAGCGGCGGCGGATACGAGGTCAGCGGCGGTCCAATGACGTTTGGTTCCTGCGAGAATCACTGCGCGAGTCTGGGCGGCACTGTGGCCTGCGTGACGTCGGACGCCGACGAGACCGCGCTCGATGCGCTCCGGGCCGAGGCCACGTGCGGCGAAGTCTGGGTCGGATTCAACGACGCCGACGGCGACGGGGCGTGGGGTTGGCCTGCCGGCTGTTCGTCGGCGCGCGAGTACGGAGAGTGCGACGGCGGGCTGTGCGAGTACCACCGGGGCCACTGCGTCACCCTCAACAGGGATGTGGCAGAATGCTCCGAAGACCACCAATGTTGTGCCTGCTCGATATCTGGGCAGGCCAAAAGTAAAGACGACGGGCCGGACGCTGCGTCTACGTCCACGATCATAGCGTCCGTCGCCGCGGCGGTGTGCCTTGTGCTGATTGTCGGCCTCGGTATCCTGTATTTAAAGATTCAGCGGCTCCAGCGTCCGGATGCGCCCCTGGACGCGCCCGTCGTGGAAATGGCCACGTACGGACAGACGATGGCCGCCCCCAGCTACGTCCTCAAGGCGGCGTCGGCGCCGCCGGGCCGGAACTTTTGCATCGACTGCGGCGCGGCCCTCCGCGGCCCGTTCTGCGGCGAGTGCGGGCGGCGGCAACCGTCGGCGCTCCCGGCGGAGGAGGCGCTCCCGGCGGAGGAAACCCTCGCGGCGCTCCCGGCGGAGGAAACCAGCGAGGGTTGGCAACCGTCGGCGCTCCCGGCGGAGGAAACCAGCGAGGGTTACCAACCGCCAGCGCTCCCGGCGGAGGAAACCAGCGAGGGCACCCACGTGTAGCCGACTCCGCATGCACATCCCGGGCCCTTTTTTTGTTCCATTAATGTAAACTTGAATTACTAGCTAGGCGCGACGCGGTCGTTCGCGACGCGCAGCAGCGCCGCCATGGCCTCGAGCCGCGGCGTCGCCACGCCGTTCGCCAGAGCGCGCCTCAACGGCTCCCCGAATATGGCCTCGACCTCCATGCGCCGGCCCTCGCGGAAGTCCTTTGTAGTGGACGGCACGTAATCCACTTGAGCCATGTCGTCCGTGACGGCCGACAGCCGCGCGACGACGGCCTCCTCGTCCAGAGAGGCTGCACTACCGCGCGCCGCGAGGTCCGCGTTCGCCGCGCGGCAGACCTCGCGCATGACCGCGACGGCCGCCTCCCTACCCGCGGCGTCCCTCCACAACGCGCCGACGTCGGCGCCGGCCGCGAGCACCGTGCAGCCGTTAAAGGGCACGTTCCACGCGAGCTTGGACCACTGCGCCAGGAGTAAACAGGGCTGGGGCACGTAGGCCACGGCGCCCGCCGGTTTTTCTCGATCGACCGGCGTCCAGAGCCGCTCCGCGGCCGCGAGCTCCGCTTCGTCATCCACAAACGAGCCGCCGTGGATGGCGCAGGGCACGCCAGCATGATTAACATCAAAGCCCCGCCGCGACAGACCGCCATAGACGAGGCCGCCGTGGACGCGTCTGGCATCCACAATCTCGGCGGCCTTCTCCTCGGCGCCCAAACCGTTCATCAGGAGCTGGACCCGCGTATTCGGGGCGACGCAGGGCTCGAGCAGGTCCCGTAATACATTTTCCTGTTCCAACGCCGTGGACTTGAGGCCGACGAGCACCCAATCTAAATCGTCGCCGAGCTCCGACGCTTCCCGCACGATCGTCGGGCCCTCCAGCACGAAGTCGCCCTGCCAGCTCGTGACGCCCAGTTTTTTGGGAGCGTCGTGGCGCTTCCGCACCAAGAAGCGCACGTCGTGGCCGAGCTCCGCGAGCCGCACCCCAAAGTACGTGCCCACGGCGCCGGCGCCGACGACGCCCACCCGGAGCGGGCGCATGGCTGTGGATGATGATGACGCCAGGCGGCGCGCGGCGTGCCACAATGTCATGCAGGCTGCTGGGCGAGCAGAGGCTGCAGAGGCTGGTAGCGGTCTCGAGATGCAGCAGACAGCGTGCAGCCGTGTGCGGATGCAGTATGTTTGCCAAATGAAATACACTGGTCTTTACGCAAGGATGCAGCTATGCGGCAAGCAAAACGCTGCGCAAAGACAAGGCCTGATCCCGCAGAGCTAGCGGCCTGTAAGACACTAGCAAGCAAGCAAGCTTTCCAGAAGACGTTTTAGCCGTCGCGCACACTGTCTCCGGACGCGCGACGGGGAGACATCCGGTCGCTTCCATCTTCGAGCCCGCGCCGCCGCTGTCCATTGGACGGCAATTGCTCGGCACAGAGCTCGTACCGTAAGGGAACCACACGCTCGTACGACGCCCAGGACACCCACCTAGTCCTTCGCGTTGTGCCACGCTCGCCGCCCGCACCGCTAGCTAAAAAACTGCTGCCTCTCTGCCTCACTGTTTCTTGTTGCACGCGCCAGCCGCGTAAACGAAACGATGACCTCCTTCGCCGCGCCACCGGTCAACCCGCCGACGCGCACCTTCGGCGGCAGCGTCGACATGGAGGTCCTGAACGACCGCCTCTGGCCCGTCTTCGTCAGAGGCGCATTAAGAGGAGCGCACCACGCGCGGAGCGATCCCGTGGCGACGATGAAGAAGCGCGAGTTTTTAAGGTTGCTGGAAGGATGCGCTCCCCCGGAACAACTGACCGTCGTCTACCACGCCGAGGCGGGCCGGACCGCGAAAAGGACGTTCCCCTTCTCGGCCTTTAAAAGAGCTTTGTGCGTCGTCGCAGCTAGGTTGCAGCCGGAGCTGCGGCCGGCGCGAGCATTAGCGGCATTGGTCGACGCGAAGTGCGGCGGCTGGCCCAAACGAGATAAACGGGACATCGAGCCGGCCCGCGACGCCTGCGCGTCGGTTTTGAAAGCGTTCGCGCCGTGCCTCGCCAAGGTTTTTGCGTACTACGGCCAGACGCCGACGGACTTCGAGATTAAAGTCCTGCAGCGCCACGCGCCGCGCGCCGACGTCGACCGCATGCAGCAGTCCCTGCCCTTTTCGGGATGGGCGACGTTCTGCTCGACCTTCAATATTACTGATAGACTAGGAAGTGACGCCGTCGGCCAGCTCTTCGTGGACTCGTCGTCGGTGACGAACGCGGACACGCTCGGCGGGTTGGAGCTCGAGGAGTTTTTTGATGCTGTATTAAGGGCGTCTCTATTGGTAAGCGTGTCGCCCGGCGGCGGCGCAATCAAAATTCCCGGCGCGGCGGCGGCCAAGTCCGCCGCGGAAGCCGATAGGATTGCCCTCAAAGCCGACTCCGCGCCGCAGCGCTGCCTCGCGGGCTTCCGCGTCATGCGCGCGAAGCTGGAGAGGACTGTTCCTAGGCAGGCGAACGCGGGTCATGGCACGTCGCGGCACTACTCCGGCGAGGCGCACTTCGCCGGCGGGCGCCAGCACGGCTCGTCGAACTACCACCTGCTCCTCGAGGGCGCCAAGGAGTTCCAGTCGCTCGCCGACGCGTGCTGGCGCGACCTCCAGAAGCACGCCGCGACGCTGCTGGCCGACGCGCCGCGCGCGAAGCCGGCGAGCCGCGCGGAGGAGCTCGACGACCTCCTCGAGGACCTCGCGGTCACGCGGCCCGTGCCGCCCTCGCCCTCGCGCCGCGGCGGCGGCGTGCGGACGCCGCAGGCCTCGCCGCGCGCCGTGACGGCGTCCCTGCTCCGCTAGCCACACGCGTCCTCCCGAGCGATTTTTGACCTAAGTACTGCTAAAATTCATCCACTTTGCACACGGCTACCCAAGGCGAGTGAACAAAGTTCAAATATACAGAAGTTAATAAGCTATAAGACAGATTCTTCTTCAGCCGGGGCCCGGAAAGGACAGGCAAAGGATTGGGAATGGCCCTCAAGCTTTCGGGAAGCCGTTGCACCGCGGCATCGCCGGCGACGTGAAGTTCTTCGAGTCGACCATGTATTGATGAACGAGGTCGTCGATTTTCACGAGAGGCCGAGCTCGGCGGTCGCGACCTGCGGGCGGCGCGCTCGTGGGCGGTCGGCGCGCGGTCGGGCGGTCGTCGGTGTTCTCGGGTGTCGTCCGCGACGCTCGCCGTGAGTTGCCGGCGGATCGGGCCGCCGTCGGCGTTTTTTTATGAAATGCACACTGCAGCTTTGGCAGTGTTTTTCGGCTTGTCGTCGCGCCGGAAACGTCGGAAACGCGTGGGAAATGACTCTGGTGAGCAACGATTGCACGACGATTGCCAGAAAACCGACGCGGCCGACGCGGCGTCGGCTCAAATTGCAGCTCAAAATTGCTTGCCGACCATCGAGGCGAGAGTGCTGGAATGGGCCTCGGCGCGAAAGATCCGACGACCCCCCATACCTCTCTTTCACAAGCGAGAGGCGTGGCGCCCTTTCCCCGGGGCGGCCCGACGCGCCGCCTCCACTCCGCCGCCGCGGCCCAGTGACAAGTGCCCTACTCTACCTCCTCCGCCGAAGCTACTTGAATGGGAATGGGAAATTACAAGGGGATGGTGAGAGCTACAAGTCGGGCAACAACAACTTGGACTGCGCCGCCGCGGTGTCGCGGCGCCGGTTACCCGTCCAGCAGCGCCGCGTCATGAACTGCTAGCGCCGGCACGCGAGACGGCTCGACCAGGGTCCGCGGCGCCGCGCCGAACAGCGTCGAGGCTACCAGCAGCGACGACCGTTCCGCCTTGAGGATCGGGTTCACGTTGTCGCGGATCACCGTCTCCGCCACGTCGTGGTCGAACGCGTGCGTCGCCGCGACGACGACGTGGAGCTGCGTCGACAGCAGGGGGATGGCGCCGCTCCGCGTCAAAGCGTCGAGCAACTCGAAGGCTTTTCTTTTCTCGGTGGCGAGGCGGTCGGCGTCGTAGGTCGTTTGCTTCGTGGCGGAGAGGAGGCCCTTCTGGCTCGACACGCGCCAAGGGGTAGATGGCTTGATCGTGGTGGGACGCAGGCAGGCGTCCCCGTCGAGCTTGTCGAAGGCGGCGTCGAGGCGCCGCGGCAGCGCCGTGACGTCGAAGCCGGCGACGGGCTCGTCGTCCGTCTGCTGCGGGCGCGGCGGCGCCGGCGTTGGCGTCGGCGGCTGGACCGCGCCGTTGCTCGCGGGCGCTGCGGCGCAGGGTCGCGGCGGCGGCGGCGGCGCGCCGAAGTCCTGCTCGTAGCGTCCCCCGCCCGTGGACCGCAGCGCGCCCGCCCTCTTCGACCGCATCTTCATGGGCCGGCCGCCCTTCCCACCATAAGAACCACCGCCGCCGCCGCGGCTCCGGCCCGGCGGCGCGGCGCCCATCATCGGCGCGGCGCAATCGAAAGTCATAACGGCGCCCACGCACTCGGCCTCCTCCTCGCACTCAGGTAGAGAGAAGCCCTCGTCCGCGATGGAATCCAAAACAGCCGCCTGGGCCTCGGCCTTCTTCGCCGCGAGGTCGCGCTCGCGCGCGTCCGCCACCATCTTGCTGATCGTCGACGCGTGCGCCCTCACCGCCGCGACCTTATCTGATGATGAGAGCGCCGCGTCGCCGTCGAAGGAGAGGACGTCGGTCGGCACGGAGTAGGTCTGCAGGAAATCCATGAGCTGCGACGAGAGCTCGATCTCCTTCGTCAGGGCGCCCGCCGGAAGGTTCAGCACCGCCTCGAGCTGCGGCTTCACTTGCACCACCAGAATACCGAAGAGCGACGAGGCTAGTTGCATCGCGCGGAAGGCCCTGCAGAAGTCCTGCTGCTCGGGCGACAGCGACTCGATCGCGTCGCGGAACGCTTTGGGGGCCGGCAGCGGATCAAGCAAGAGCGGTATGATGACTTCATCCTTGTTCGAGACCACGATCGCGTGCGCGGGCGTGAATTCGTCGACTGCGGTCACCGTGCCGAGCACGAGGATCCAGGACGAGAACTGCCGCGCCGACGCGACGAGCTGGAGCGGCGCGGGCCGCGCGCCGGCGAAGGTCCGCGCCGTGTACGCGTGCGCGTACGTCTCGCCCTGGCACTCGACGATCGTCGCGGCGCCGAGCGGGAGTCGGACCGCGCGCGGCTCGTCTCCCGGCACGTCGACGCGCCGCGACAGCGCCGCGACCGGCGCCCGGTCTGAATCCTCGAGGCTCAAGGATCCGTCGGGAAACGCCGTCGCCGATCTTCTCACGGCATAAGTGAGCGGCGCCGGCCGGTAGCACGGTTTGAACAGTTTGCGTTCATGCGAGACCATGTAGCTCTCGAAATCCTGCGGCGTGAGCTCCTTGCCGACGGCGTCGCGCAGCTGCGCGTAGAGCATTTTTTCCAAGTGGTCGAGGGCGCCCGCGAGGTTCGTGGCCGCGGCCTGGACGAGGCCGCTGCCAAGTAAAACCTGGGCCGCGGTCGCGTCCAGCAGGCACGCGGGCGCCTCCGAATCCTTCTCTACCGCATTCTCGCGGGCCTTGGTCGCCGCCGCCGCCAGGTTCTGCGCGGCGGTCGCGGCCGTCGCGCGGCTGTGCGCGAGAAGCTCGGCCTCGTTCGACGAGTCGAGCGGTGTTGCGCCATCGTCAGGACCCTCGACGAGCGCCACGCAGGCCGCCGGCTGGAAGACCGCGTCGCGCTGGGCCCCGAGGCCTGCGGCGGCCACCGCCCGCGACACGTCGACGGGGAACGCCTTGGCCTCGATGGCGCGCGCGAATTGGGCGAGCTCCCGGAGGCGCTTCAGCGCCGCCTCGACGTCATCGTTGCGCCGCGGCGTCTTCGTGTCCTCGTGCGCACGGTCGATGGAGAACGACGACGGATCCAGGCTCACGAGCCAGTCCGCGTCGGCGAGCGTGACGCTCTTGCGCGCCTGCTCGGGGCGATTCTCCTTCGCGCGCGTCGCCTCCGTCGTGGTCAGCGCGTGGTCCAGCAGCACGATCTCCGTCGCGCCTTTTTTCGCGATCAAACGGAGCGACCACGTGCGCGTCCAGAGGTGCTCGGTGATTTTCGTAGTGACTTTGGTAGATGTCTCTTTTGTTGTCGAGGAGCCGCCGAAGAAGCCCCCCTTGGTGTCCTTCTTCTGCTCGACGACGACCGTCGGGCCTTCCACCTCGCGCTCGCGTTCCCTCAGGTACGTGGTCGTGCCTCCGAAGTCGCACACGAGTTGGAGTTTGCCGTCGCCCTTGGCGTCACGGATCTGCGACGCTTTCGTGGCGCCGAGGCCGAGCAGCTCGGCGAACGCCAGAGATGAGGACGTCGCGAGGCGGACGGCCACTTCGGCAGCCGCGAACTTGTCGCCGTAGGCGTGGGCCTCGTCCGTCAATTTGACGCACTTGGCGGACTTGAGTGCGAGTCGAGCTGCTTCCAGGGCTTTGTCTAGGCTGCGCTCGAAGCGCAGATCGTAGTAATGCGACATGATGCTGTGGGCTGCTGGGCTGTAGCAGAGTAACGCGTTGCGAGTCGACGTGTGCTGGAAGATTAGTGTGTTGTAGCTACTCGTAGCGCAGCGGTTGGCTTTCGTAATGTCTTTTAGGCAGCGTGCGCGGCCGTCAAAGAGCACGATGCGCACCCCAAAAATCTGCAGAGCATTCCTATAAAGCTAGCGGTATGTAAGACACTAGCAAGCTTGCGGGAACGTTTTGGGAGCAAATTTTACGCGGAGGTGTCCAGGGGAGAAAGGTGGGATGGACTAGACGCGAGCGCAACCGCGCAGGCCGCCGCCGCGAAGCCCGCGCGCCGGCCGCTGGCGCCGTCCGTGAGGAAGCTTGCCGTTCGACGCCCGGGTGGTGAAGATAGACCAAATCTACCACTAAGAATTACAAACCCCCAAAGGAAGGAAAGGAAGGATCACTCGTCGGGCAGCACCACGAGCCGCCGTTTCCGGCAGTCCACCGCCAGGTTCAGCGCCGCCAGCGCCGTGTGCCCGAGCATACCCTCGTCCGAGACCCTATCGAACCCAAACCGCTGGTCCAACTCCTCGTCCGACTCGTCCGACTCGTCGTCGGACTCGTCGCCGTCGGCCGGCGACAGCACGACCCGCGCCTCGCGGCCGAGCACGCGGATCACGGCCTCGTAGATGGGCTGCTCCGTGACGCGGCCCACGGCCGTCTCGAAGTGGGCGGTTTCACCAGTAGCCGGCAGGCCCAGCTTTCGGATGACGTCCGCCTTGAGTTCGCAGTCCGTGCTGCCCGTGTCGACGAGCGTGCGAACCCTGACAAAGTCTGCTTTGTCAGGATGGCGCACGTCCACCCACGCGTAGGTCATGCCGTCCAGCGCGTCGGCCGCGCCGCACTCGCCGTGGAGTCCGAGGTCGATGCTCGAGAGGGCATCAGCCACCGCCGCCGCGGGCGGGGCGTCCCGTGATGGCGCGGCCAACCGCAGGGCCTCGCAGGCGCGGAACCGCGCGCGGAACCCGCCGCACTTCGCCACGGCGGATGCCACGGCCTCCGCTCCCTCCTTCGTCCGGCGCTCGGCGACGCACGCGATGCGCCACGGCGCCGCGACGGCGAGCGGCCCGTCCGCGTCACTCGCGTCCAGCCGTGATGGCTGCTTGTCGACGTCGTCGCTCTTACATACAGCCACGTACGACGACCGCGTCGCGCTGTACAGCAGCACGGCGGCCCACATGGTGACTACCGGCGCGGGCGCTTCGGTCGCCGCTCGCGCGGCTTGTACTCCTCGTCAGGGTCGCGCGGCTCGCGCGGCGGCCGGTCCTCGCGGCGCTCGCGCGGCGGCCGCTCCTTCTCGTGGGCAAACAAGTGCCGGCTCGAGAAGACGTGGCGCTCGAGCGTCTTGCCCAGCTCCGCCTCGACGATGTGCGAGAAGGAGGAGTCGATGAGCAGCGTCGTCTCGTCGAGGCGCTCCAACAAAAAGTTGTGCGTCTCGTTGAGGTGCAAAATGAGCTCGCGCGTCGGCACGTCGCAGGTGATGAGCGTGCCTTCGCGAACGGAGGCCGCGTCCATGTATCACCGCTTGCGGACGCGGCGGCGGCGTCTGCGCGGTGACCTGCTGCAGGCCCTGGAGAGGGGTGCTCTCTTGGAGGTAGTCAAGCGAGGCACGGCTGCGCGCTGCGTCTACGGTTGGAGTTGAGACGCGCGACGACTGCTGCGGACCACAAGGCGGCCGCCGCGGTCTCGGCTTGCCAAGCTTGCTAGTGTCTTACAGGACGCTAGCCAAAAGTCGATTCGCTATCCCGATAGATCGGGGCCTTAAATGCAGTGAATGTATCAGTAAGCGCTACAAAATTAATCCCACAGCACCATTAGTGACGCCTGCGGCGCCTCGACATCAACCATGCCTAAGCTGCCAGCCCTCTTATGCTGCACATGCACAGCCCTCACACTTGCCCTCGCGCCGCCATCGGTGCTCATTGTAGGAGGGACTGGTCGCATAGGCACCGCAGTAGCAATCCATCTGCTGCAGCGTCGGCCGGAATTGCAAATCACGTTGGCCGGACGAAGTGCCGAGCGTGGCCGCGCCGCCGCTGTCGAGGTGGCAGCCGAGGTGGCAGCCGAGGCAGCCGACTGCGGCTTTCTAGAGCTCGACTACCGCGACGCCGCCGCGATGCGCGCGGCTTGTGAGGGTCAGGATGCGGTCGTGCACGTCGCGGGCCCCTTCGTCGGCCAAAACAAGCTGGAGCCCCTGAAAGCTGCCATCGCGAGCGAAACGCCCGTGTATGTGGACGTGAGCGACCCGTTGGAGTACATCGATGAAGCGAAGGCGCTGGACGCGCGAAAGACGTCTGCCTTATTATGTGCTGGCGCCTTCCCCGGTTTCAGCAACGTGCTGGCCGTGGAGGCCGCGCATTTATTGGGAGAACCTGTGAAGGACCTCAACTTCAGCTATTTCACGGCTGGCCTGGGGGGCAGTGGGGCAATAAACCTCGACATCACCAATTATGGTTTTGGGCCGCCCGTGCCTCGCATCGTGGCCGGCGAAGCCACGCGTACTGAGAACTACGCGGGGACGGACTTCGGGACCATTGCGTATGATGGCCTCAACGCCGAGTGCTGGGCGTGGCCGTTCCCCGAGGCGGCGACGACGGGCGAGTTCCTCAAAATCACCGGCTCGTCGCGCGCCGGCATGGGGACGGCGCCGGCCATCTGGAACACTGTCCTCAGACTCATGGTCGCCGTCGTGCCGCGCAAATGGTGGTCCTCCAAGCGCTTCTCCGAGGGCCTCGCGCGCTTCTCGGAGCCGCTCGTCCGCGTCACCGACGCGTTCGTCGGCGAGGCGCACGCGATGCGCGTCGACGTCTCGTCGGCGACGTCGGAGCGGTCCGTCGCCGCGGTCCAGCGCCACGACTCCTTCCGACGGTGCGTCGGCCAGAGCTGCGCCGAGTTCGTCCTGGACGCGCTCGACCAAGCGACGCCGGGCGTCGCGCTGCCCGAGGAGCGGTATGCCGATCGAGCACCGCGCGAGCGGATCCTGGCGCGGCTCTCGACTACTCCCGGGACGACGGGGTACCGCGTGGGGTAATGTTGTGACTTGTTTCTTCCAAATTTAGGGTGACACACTATCGACAGGAGAGGGACGACTGGGGAGGACGGCCTCACTCGCCGCCGCCGGAGAGTGGCGACTCCGTTGACCGCATTGACATGGCGCGGCGGAACTTCGAGAACGACCCCGCCGACGTTCTAGCGGCCGTGCCGAGGGAGCTGAGCCCGGAGCTCGCGCGCCGCACCATCTGCTGCGCGGGCGACTTCGGCGACACGGCCTCCTCGCCGGGGCGGAAGCGGGTGTCCACGCTGTCCCGGTTTTGAGGCTTCCGTCTGAAAAAAGACGGCCACGAGAGCCGAAACCTAGATTTCCGTGTCTTGATCGTGCCGGGCGTCCTTGGCGTTTCCGGCGGCGTACATGCCTTCAGCCTAGTTTGACGTAAATGAACTAATTGCGCCGTCATTTTCGGCGGCGCCCCCAGGAAGGGCGCCGCGTCCCAGACCCTTAATTTAACTTTCAGCGTCCAGTCCGTCATTGATTCGGGCGAGTCGGGCGGCGGCTCCGTCCGCTGCCGGAACCGCGCCGTGCAGGCGTAGGCGCCATCAGCAGCAGGTTCCACGTCAACATCAATTTTACCTAGCTGGGTTGCCCAGTCGCAGTGTTCGGCTCGTTCTATCTCTTCCGCGTACTGTAAAGCGTCGAGCGTCTCCAGGGGCTTGTGGGCCTCGTCCCGCCTCAAACACTGAAAACCAACAGCTAGGAAGGCCCGAAACGCCTCCAAGACTCGAGCTCGCTCCTCCCGATCCCGAAAGTGCGACGCGTGCCACCGGTAGTTTTCGCGCCCGCTCGGCCTTCGCGACGCAGATCTCTCGGGCCCTCGGTATTTATGTGGTCGATGCGTGTCTAAAACAGAGACAACGCGTCTCGGCTTAGCGTATCGGAGAGAGCCGGCTAACCGGGTTATCCCTGCTTTGCCTGCACACGACGAGCCTCATTATTCCAAACCCACCCGTCGCATCGTGTGTTCGTGAATCCACTGCCTTTCTGGACGCTTTGATTCCTCTTCGCGTTCCCTAGTATGTTACAGGACGCTAGCTCGTTGTTTAACGCGAGCAGTGGTTGAGCTCCGTTAGCCCTTATGCGTACGTTCAGGATGCATAGAAATGCGCTAATAATAGCGTTTGCAGCGATGCTGGCCTCGGAAGTCGCAGCTTTTTCCCTGGTGCAGCCGTGCAGCAGGCTGCATTGCAGCAGGCTGGCCGCGACCGATGAAGAGATCGCATGGATGCTCGACGACAGCGCCTGGGACGAGGACGACGACGAAGACGACGAAGCGTTCGACGAGCAAATGCGCATCCGTGCAGCGGCGGAGCACGAGAGCTACGCGTCGCGCACCACGCCGCTCGCACCGGCGACAGACGCCGTCGACGCGGTGCGAACGCGCGGCGTGGCCCTCGTCGAGGACGCCCTGCCGGACGCGTCGTTGCGCGAAGCGTTGCGAAGCCGCATCCTCGAGCGACGCGACGCCGGCGCCGGGCTCTCGGCAGTGCTCGGCGAGCGATGCGACGGCGGCGCGACGACGCGCTTTGACATAAGGCTCCCCTACGACGACGTCGTGTCTGAGGCGACCACGACGCTCCTACGTGGACCGCTCGCGGCCGCCCTCGACGCGCTCGTGGGACCCGAAGCGCAGCTCTGGGAGTGCGCGGCATTAGTCAGCGAGGCCGGGGCGCCGGCTCAGACTGTGCATGGAGACACGTTCTGGGATTCTGAACCCTGCTTGTATACGGCGTTCGTCGCGCTGCAGGATATAGACCTCGAGCGGGGCCCGACGCTCTTCTTCCCCGGCAGCCACCTCTCGCCGGACGCGCAGGACGACCTCGAGGACGACGGGCCCTCGGTCTTGGACGCGTTCGGCGCTGAGCTCGGGGCCATGCGCGCGGGCGCCTGCACATTATATGATGGGCGGCTCCTCCACGCGGGCCAGCCGAACAGCAAGGGGACGCGCGTGCTCTTCTACGTGTCGTTCAAGGCGCCGGGCGCCGACGGCGGCCTCGGCAACGAGGCCGCGCATTCCATCGACGCTGAGTTGTTCGGCCGCGGCCTGACGCTCGGCGACCTCATTTTGTCTGTGTAATTGTGATAGTCTAGGACTCTTAACAAGGGATGGGATGGGGGAACTCAGAAGTTCAGCTCTTCGGGCGGTGAGCCAGAGTCCGCCGTGTCCTGCGACGCGCGCGCCCGCTTCGGCGGCGGCAAGTCCGACGTCTCCTCGGACCCGCGCTTCTTCGGCGACGGCGAGAGCGGGTCCTGGGTCTCGTCGCCCGCGTCGGCGGCCGCCGAGGCGTCGTCGGCCGGCGCCGGCTCGCCGAGCTGCGTCTCGTCTCCTGCATTATCCGCGGCGTAGTCGAGCTCGCGCGCGTCCTCGTCGTCGACGCTCGGTAATGAAGGAGGCGGCGGCAGGGCGTCCTGCATCGCGTCCGCGTCGAGCGTCTGCGAGCCGCCGGGCGGCGTGTCGCTCGCCGCGATCGAGGCGTCGGCCAGCGCCGACCGCGCCTGGCGCAGGCCCGGCACGATCTGGTTGAGGATCTCGCCCGTCAGGCGCTCCACGTCCCTACCAACGGCCGCCGCGGAACGCGACGCCGCCGCGGCGACCTCGCGCGACCGCGACGCCGCCGCCTGGAGCGCCTCCTGGCCCCGCTCGAGCTGCTCGACGCGCCACTGCGTGCTCGACGCGAGCGCGACGGCGGCGCTGCACGCCGCCACCGCCGCGTCCCGGGCCATGCAATTCTCCTCGCACTCCTCCCGCGCCGCGGCCTGGTCCGCGCGCAGCTGGTCCGTCGACGCCTCGGCGGTGCGCGACTTGGCCTCGGCCGCGTCGGCGCGCTGCTTCTGCTCGTCGGCTCGGCTTTCCGCCTTCTTTGCCTTGCGCTCCAGCACCTGTATGGAGATCAAAGTTTACGGCGCATTCACGCCATCGACGCGACGCCCTGGTTGATTTCCACGCAGTCCGGCACCTGGCGGACCTCGTCGAAGCTCCGCTCCTTCTCGCGGAAGCGCCTGTCCTGGTCCTCGACGCCCTGGTCCGCCTCGCGCTTCGCCGCGTCCGCCGCGGCGCGGAACGCGGTCTGGTCCGCCGCGATCCCGTCGGACGTGATGGCTCGAGCTTCCGCCGCGTCCCTTTCTCGCTCCGCGCCCTGCCTCGCCCTCATCTCCGCGTCCCTCTCTTGCACGGCTTGCGCCCGCTGCGCCTCGGCTTCGTCAGCGCGCTTGTCCGACGCGTCGCGCGCGCGCTCGGCCTCGGCGCGCGCCCGCTCGGACGCGGTCAGCGCCTCCTGTTGCTCCGCGGAACTGGTGGACGATTTAGCTTGTTGCGTCTCGATCTCCTTCGACCGCGCCTCGAGCTCCGTGAACCGCTCGGCCTGCTGGGCACACCTAGCTTCGGCTTCTTCCAGAGCTGTCTCGGAGTCCGCCGCCCTCTTCTCCAGGGAGGCGACTCTACCTTCAGCGTCGGCCGCGACGCGCTGCGCCAGATCGCGCGCACACGCCACGGCCTTGAGGCAGGCCTGGTCCGCCTGCCGCGCGTCTCTTAGTAAGTCGGCCGCCGCGATCGCCTCGGCCGCGTCTCGTGTCAGCGTGGCTTTTGATGTTGATGCTTCCCGTAATTGCCCGAGCAACTTATCCACTTCCTCTCGAGCTTTCCTCAGGTCGGCTTCTAATTGTGAATTCTGCCTCTCGAGGGCCTGGGCCACGGCGCGAGTTTCGGGCTTGTCGTCCCTTCTTCTGAACACATACTCGATGACAGCACCAGGTCCATTTTGATCTTGGGACGCCGTTTTTTGTCTTTGGAAGACCGTGATGTGCTCGCCGTCGTTTAGTATTTTGGAGTTGCCCTTCCCTAGTGTTTCTTTCTCGACCGACGTCCCGTTCGACGAGTGGTCCGTGATCCTAATGGTGCCGTTGTCGTCTCTTTCTATCAAACAGTGCTTGCCCGAGATGACGGCGAAGGGCAGTTCTAAGGTAGGGAGGCCCTGGCGGTCCTTCGCGCGGCCGATGGCGTGGCGCGGAGCACTTAACGCGTAGGACTGCGGGACCGGGTGCGTCCGCCCTTCGAAGGGCTTGAGGTCGTAGACGGGCGACTCGGAGACGAGTTCTAGGACGCCCCACGGGTGCGCCATCGTCGTCTTTGTTGACTTTGTAAGGCGCGTCGGCCCGTTCGCGTGTTTCGAGCTTGTGCGCGCCGCGCGTCTACCCGTTCGCGTGGGTTATTTGGCTGTAACCTTTTTGCTGTTTAGCTCTTTTACAGCGGCAAATCGCGCGCCGCCGCGAACGTGGCGCTGTGAACAGGGGCTGCTTGGTTCGTACAACTAGTCTGTTGGCACCGTGGCACTCCAGCGGCGCCAGACAGCGTGCGCGCGGCTCGAGACGCAGATGAATCCCAGGGTGCGGGTTTTTCAGTCTCGTCTCTCTGACCGCTGGAGATGCCGTTTCCACCACCACGGAGGACGCCTCCATTGGTAATGCCTGCAAAACCCGCCTCAAGCCTCGACGCAAAGTTCGAGCCTGGTTGGAGGGCTTGGCATACGCCGTGCAAGGCCGCACGTGTGCTCGCGAGTAACGTTTCGCTGCGCATCGGTCCTTGGCAACGCTCTGCTGCAGCTTTTTTAAGCAACGGCACCCTGAGAGCGCAAAAAAGCTACGGAGAGCCTGGTGACCCGACTAAGCTTTGCGGGCCACAGAGACGCCGCGGCGAGGCGAGACTCACGAAAGCACCAAGAATGTCGCGCACGATCCGCCCTAGCAGCGGCGGCCGAGGCGACCTCAAGATTTGCAAGCCGCCGTGCCCGCGCAAGAGCGTCCGGTACCGCAAAAGTAAAAAGGAGGCCGACAAGGACGTGGTGTGGTGCAACGACTGCGACGGCTTTGTGGATAAGGTAAGGCGCGGCACCGGCGGTCGGGCGGCAGGCGGCCGGGGACGCGGCGGCGGCCAGGACCCGTCCGACGGCCAGCGCCTCGGGAGCGGTTCGGTCAACCCGCGCGACGCCGCACGCAACGCGGCGATCGCCCGCCTGGAGGGCGTCGACAACCCGCCGCCGAAGCGACCCAGGGTTGCCGGTCCCGCGTTCCACGGCAACAACGAGGGCGCCGGGCTGCGTGTCGGCGGCGCACCGCTCGCGCCCGACCGCGAGCGCGAGCGCGCGCGCCAGGATGCCATTCGGCGAGACCTCGCGCGGCTCCACGCGGCCGCGACGCCGTACGCTGCGGACGACGCGACGCGCATCCAGCGTATGCCCGCGCCGTCGCGCCGATACTTCCCGCGCGACGGCCCGGACGACGACGCGACGGCGGTGGCCGCCGACGGTGCGACTCTAGGACCGAAGCCCTTGGCCGACGGTTCCGTCGTCGTCGACTACGCGTTCCAAGTGCCAACGCTCGGTCCGGGCCTGTCCCAGGGCACGCCGGCCGTCGTGAACGTGTCCGGCGGCCGCGCCCAGGTCGAGAGCTTCGCGCGGTATGTCGCGAACCGCGACGCCGGCAAGGACCGCCACGTCGTCTTCTGCCCGACGCGCGGGCGCGCGGCGCCCGGGAAGCTCCTGGACTTCCGCGGTTTTGCAGAAGAATCCGCGGCCGACGCAGCGACGCTGTTCTGCTACGTCGTCGACCCGGCGGAGGCGGACGCGTACCGCGACGTCGTGGGCTTCGGGGACGACCCTCGCACGACGCCGTTGCTCTTCGCGCTGCCGGAGGCGGGCCGCCGCGTGGGCTTCGCGCGCTTCTGCGTCCTCGAGTTCTGCCGCGGCGCCGTGCTACTGAGTCGCGCGCCGGGCGTCGCGCACCGGGCGCCGTGCTGCGTGCCGCGCTGCTGGATGGTCGACGACAACGTCCGGAGCGTCAAGCAGTGGGGCCCCTCGGGCCTTCAGGCCGACGACGTGGCGGCGTCGTTCCTTGATGTGCTCCGGACTGTCGGGCGCCTCAAGGTCGCGCGCGACTACGCGGCCGTCGGCATCGCGTCGTCGGGCAAGGGCACCGTGTCGCGCGGCGAGCGCTTCGCCGTGGACGCGAAGGCGACGTCCATCTTCAAGTTCTGCCGCTTCGAGCTCGCGCAGTGCGCCGGCCTGAGCTTCGAGCCGCGGCTCCGGTGGGCCGAGGACGTTGCCTTCTCCCAGGCCGCGCTCGCGTCGGGCAAGAAGCTCCTCAAGGTCAACTCGTGTGTCTTCTGGCAGGGGCGCCTGCGCGACGGCGGCTGCGGCGCCGAGCGCGCGCTCGCGGCGCGCCCGGGCGGCGCGCCGCTCCTCGAGGACGGCGAGCACGCAAAGACCGCGACGGTACGACTCCTCGAGGCGTGGATCGCGGCGTGGCGGCGCGCGCCGCCGGGCCGGGAGAGGCTCCGGGTCGCGGACGTCCCGCAGCAGCAGGACGACGACGGCGACGACGTGATCGTCATTGATGATTGACCTCTCCCCTTGTACTAAGACATGTTCAAGTTGTCCCAGAAACACATTAGTCCGGCGCCCGAGGTCTCACCGGCGTCGCCGCCAACGGGGCGCCGGCGCGCGGAGGCGTCGTGACGCGAGCTCCTGGAGAGAAATCGCCGGGAGGGTACTTCGGCTTCGGCGGCGTCGCCGTGACCTTCTTGCCGAAGGTCTTGTCCTTCTTCAGCTTCTTGCGCATGAGGCGTGCCGCTAGTATCGCGTCGTTATCTCGGTGTTTCTCCGCGAGGCCGTCGCGCCAGGCCTTCCGCGGCGGCGCGTCCCGCAGCTTGACCATCTCGATGCCAAACTCCTCCGCGGACACGACGCAGGCTTCCGTTTCAAGGTCCGTCGGGGCGACGACGCGCCTGATGCCCGCCGCCGCGATCAAGCAGTGGCACCGCGGGCACGGCGCGCGCGTGACATACAACGTGCAGCCCTCGAGCTTTTCTCCGCGCCGCGCGCAGTCCGACACCGCGGCCGCCTCCGCGTGCAGGTCCGAGCGGTACCTCCCATAGATGCCGCAGTTGATCGTCGTCGATATCAAGGACGGCTCGCGGCCGTGCGGGTCGCGCACGATGCAGCAACCCATGTGGCCGTCCTTCGCCTCGGACGCCCGCGCGACGAGATATGCGAGGTCCAGCCAGTTCTCGTCCGCGGTCTTCCAGCGCTCCCAGCGCCAGCCGACGCGCGGTAACGTGGCGAAGTCGGGCAGCGGCCTGATGTGCTGCGGCGGCGTCGATGTTGTTCGGCGGCGCCGGTGCAGGAGCATCGCGACCAAGAGCGCTGCCGTCGCGGCGGCGGCCAACTGCTGCGGGGCTGGGGGTGGCATCTCGCGTTGTAATCACACAAATGATGCCGCGCGCGGGCAACGGCTGCTCTGGAGGTTGGTGCAGCAGTTTGGCACTTGGGCTTAAAAGGTCGGCGCCCAATCGCTGGTCTCGCCCTTGCAACTGTGGCAGCGCACAAATTCGGCAACGCTAAACGCAATCGCTCCTCTAGCACTGCGCTACGAGCAAAAAGCCGGGACGACGGAGCAGCTAGCGCCAGTGAGACACTAGCAGCGAAGTGATGGGGTAGCCTGATGCGCGGTCTCCCACCAGGAGCTCCGATGGACGTCGGGGCTTGCGCCTCCCCCTTGTGCTAGATAGATAAAATATACAATAGGCAGGGGCGGGAACACGCGTCGCGCGACGCAACAGCTTTCCGAATTTCGGGTCAGGACCGCACGCGCGACGCCAGCGACGGCGTGTGGTCGAGCGTCCGCACGGCCGGTGACGCGTCGAAGGGCGGCGACGGGTCGGGCAATCCTAAACGCACGGCCGACTCGCCGCTCGAGTCCGGCTCCGCTCTTTTGCATTCGCGGTTGTGGTCGTCCTCGTCGGAGGCGGCGTCGCGGTCGTGCTTTTTGGACTGAGCGCCGGACGTCTCGCGCAGCCGCGTCGCCGGCGACGTCCGGAGCGGCGGCGGCGACGCGGCCCTACCTTTGGCGTGCTTGCCGATGCTATCAATGGCGCGCGCCGCGGCGCCGCTGTCGATTTGTAGGGCCTTCTGCGGCTTTTGGTCAGGTTCGCCGACCGTCGCGCGGCTGTCGACGCGGGGCATAGAGGCTATCAGAGGAGACACGTCCGCGAGGCCCGGCGACTTGTCCCCGTGCGAGGAGGGCATGAGGCGCATGATGGCCTCGCCGCTCGTCATCGGCGTCTTTTTGGGGAGGGCCGGCGCGGGCGGCGGCGCGACCGTCGACAGCGGCGGCGGGCTCGCGACGCGCGGCGGCACGAGCCGCGGCTCTGGTGAGGCTAAACCGCGCAGGGCCCGCCGATTCGCGTAGATGAACTCGCACCAGGCCCTTCGATTCTGGTCGGGCACGCTGCTCAGAGCTCGCTTCCCGCGCGCGTCGAAGGCGTGCGCCTGGCGCGGCTCCCTCGCTAGGATTTGGAGAGCTATTTCAAAACAGGGCGTTCTAGCAGAACAAGCATAATGTAACGGCGTCCGCCCCGTCGCGTCGCAGCCCTTGAGCGAGCCGCCATGTCTCAGCACATACGCCAGCGCCCGCGGTGCGCTCCCATAACACGCCGCATGCACTAACGACTCTCCATATTTATTGCGCGCGTCGAGGCACCGTCCACTACTCACAGCTTTTTCGAGGGCGGAAACGTCGTCCGACCGAGCCGCGGCCGCCAGCTCCGTGTCGTAGTCTGCCAATTGTCGCGGCGTCGGGTCCGTCCACCAGAAGTGGGTCGCCTGAAATCTAGTAGTAGCATTGCTGGTCCCGTGGGGCGAGTCCTTGAGGATGGCCTCGAAGTAGTCGAGCGGCGCCGCGTCGAGCGGCGGTCCGGCGGTGGGCGTGGACTTGGCTTTTACTGGGGGGCTCGGCTTGCTGGAGGCTTCATCACGCTCGGCTGGGGGTTCCATCCGGTCCGCTGGCGTTTTTATGCCGCTCCGCGCGCAGGGCTTCCGGTATGGCTCCAGTCTGGTCTCGCTTTTTTTACTTCAGCGCACGCCTAAAACGAACCACTTCTATCTCACGACTTTGAGTGGTCACTGTAGATCATTCACACCGCTGCAGCTTCTTCGGAGCCGCTTAGCCCGCGCGCGGCGAGCGCAGCGGCTGACTGCCTTCCGCCACCCAACTTGAAGGCCTTTTTTTAGACGCGTTGTTGTACGCTTCGCAGTACCAATCCCGCCTTCAGAGACCCCTCCGCTCGCTCTCCAATCGAGCGCAAACGAAACGCACGTGCGCCCACATTGGCGGGTCCGCGTCTGGTTGCTTGGTCTCAGCTCCCATTGGCAGCATCGGCAGCATCGGTGACGCAACCCCCATCCTACATGTTCGTTCTGCACCTCCCACCACGCTGGGGGCAGCCCTTTTGCCGCAGCGGCGACGCGCCAACCCCAACTCTGTCGACGCGACTCTCGAGGCAGCCCTCTGCTCCTGGGGAGACAAGGTCCGGCGCCAACCCCACGCCATCGACGCGACGTACAAGGACATAAGTGACTACGTGCTTAAGAACGGCGGGGAAGACGCGCGCCGAATCAATTCGTGCCAAGCCCCACCTAGAGCTTGAAGAGGCCCTTGCCACCATTGATGCTCTCGAAGTACTGCGCGAAGACAAGGGACAGGATGGCCATGAGCTTCATGAGGATGTTGAGCGCCGGCCCCGACGTGTCCTTGAAGGGGTCGCCGACCGTGTCGCCCGTGACGGCCGCGTCGTGCGCGGGCGTCGAGTTGCCGTTGCCGTCCTTCTTGCGCAGCGCCGGGTCGGGGTCGAAGCCGCCGGAGATGTACTTCTTCGCGTTGTCCCAGGCGCCTCCACTATTGGACATGGAGATGGCGAGCTGGACGCCCGAGACGAGGCCGCCGGTCAGGATGCCAAACACGGCCTCGACGCCGAAGAACGTGCCCGCGACGAGCGGCGTGAGCATGACCAACGCGGCGGGCGCGATCATCTCTCTCAGCGAGGCTTTCGTCGAGATCTCGACGCAGGCGTCGTAGTCCGGGGTGCTCGTGGAGTTGGGATCGAGCAGCGAGGGGTCGGCCTTGAACTGGCGCTCGACCTCCTGGACCATCTCCGCGGCCGCTAAACCAACCGACTTCATGGTCATGGCGCTGAACCAGTAGGGTAAATTGGCGCCGACGAGTAAGGCAGCAAACGTCAGGGGCGTGAGCACATTCACACCCGTCGTGATGCCCAGGCGGACGACGAAGGCGCCGTAGAGAGCTAACGAAACTAAGGCAGCCGAGCCGATGGCGAAGCCCTTGCCGATCGCGGCGGTCGTGTTGCCGGCCCTGCGTGGGTAGGTATGTCATGCCTCGGCGTTGGTGACGAGGCGTCGCGGCGACGGCGTCGAGGCCACGCCGTCGAGCAGGCGAAGAAAGGGGGACGCCGCAACCGCACGCGTCGAGGCAGTCCGTCTTCTCGCGGCAGGCCGCCGGCAGCTGGGCCATCTCCGCGATGCCGCCCGCGTTGTCGGTCACGGGGCCATATCCATCAATCGTCAGGCCCGTCGCGAGCGTCGAGAGCATGCCTAAGGCGGCTAAAGCGACGCCATAGAGATCAGCCAGCGAGAAGGCGAAGTAGACGATGGCCGCCAGCGTGTACACGGGCACGATGGCCGAGCGGTAGCCAAGGGCCAGACCGTAGATCAGATTCACGGCCGCGCCCTGCTTGCAGACGTGCGCGCACTCCCGGACCGGTTCGTAGGAGTGCGAAGTGTAGTACTCCGTCACGAGGCCGATGAGCAGACCACCGAGGGCGCCCACGGACACACAAATAGCGGCGCCCGTCGAGGACGCCTTGATCGTACCGCTCACCACGGAAGGCAGCTCGAACTTGTCCGGCAATAAGGCATGCGCTAAGTAGACCACCACCGGCACGACGAGGAAGGTCGTGGAGATGAGCTGCAGTTTCAGAGCGGATTCGACGTCCGCCTCCCGCACAGCGGGCTTCAGATCCGTCGCGATGAAGGAGCAGGCCATGCACACGAGAATGCCCGCCGCGGAGATCGTGAGGGGGAACAATAGAGCGGCCCAGCCCGCATCTAACAAATCAGAAGACGTCGAGGCGATGACGAGGGCGGCACACGTCGACTCCGCGAGGGAACCAAAGAGGTCCGAGCCCATGCCCGCGACGTCTCCGACATTATCGCCCACGTTATCGGCGATGGTCGCCGGGTTCTTCGGGTCGTCCTCTTCGAGGCCGTGCACGACCTTCCCGACCAGATCGGCGCCGACGTCCGCGGCCTTCGTGTAGATGCCGCCGCCGACGCGCCCGAACATGGCCACGGAGGACCCGCCCAGCCCGAAGCCCGCGACGCAGTCCATCATCGTCGCCCACTCGCTCACGTCGCTGAAGTGCACGCGGTAGGCTAACAATAATGCTAGTAAAACGCCCAAACCCAGCGCACATAGAGCGAAGCCCATGACCGCGCCCGCTCGGAAGGCGACGTTGAACGCCGCCGTCAATCGCGACGGGGGCTCCGACGCGGCCGCGACCGTCGTGCGCGCATTCGCGTCGACCGCAACGAGCATGCCACATAACCCCGACGCGATCGAGGTGAACCCACCCACCAGGAAGGCCACCGTCGTGAAGAGGCCTTCAGCAAATGAGCTTCCGACGGTCGTCAGGATGAGTAAGAGTACGGAGAACGCCAATAAGAACTGCACGCAGATCGTGTACTCCGCTCTTAGGAATGCTTTCGCGCCCGTATCAATCGTCGCGTGGATCTGCTCGACCTTGGCGAGCTCGGCCTGGACGGCGATTAAGGGCGAATTCGCCGGCTGATAGGTTCTGCCCGGGTTGACCTTCGTTCTTTGGATGACGGCGAAATTATACGCGGCGAAGCAAATGCCGACGCCGACGGCGGCGAAGATGAAGACGTCGACGCCCGTCATCCTCCTTTTGTCTACGGCCTGCGGGGCGGTCGGGTCAATTGTTTGCGTGGGCGCGAGAGCTGCGGGCGGTGGCGCGCGGCGCCGCGCGGCGTCCGCGTGGAGTCTAAACTCCTCTTGCGCGCGTGCGCGCGCCGCGGCTAGGCCGATATCCAATTGGGTGGTCCCAGCTGAGCACGCGTCGCTGAGTTTTTGCAGCAACGCGCGCAGCGCCGCGGTCGTTCTTTCAAAAATGTGTACGGGCGCTGTCGCGCGCCCCAAGTATCCTCCCTCTTGCACGCCAACGCACGCGGGCGACTCGACCAATTTTTGTGACCAGCCTCCGACCGCTTGTCTCCGGATGTCTCTGAGAGTGGCCATGGGGGAAATAGAGGGCTCCAAAGGATTGAAATAGCCTCATGACGGGTGACGGAAGTTTCGTGCGGGTTTGTCGGCTTCCCCAAACTCTTCTAAAAAGCACGCGTTGGCTCTTGACGCATCCCTCCCAGGCTACCGACTCTTCTCTTGGCCTTGATTTTGATGGTTTTGCCCTGCTTGTTTTGCTGCCTTGCCTCTGCCAACTCTGGAGCTGCAGGCTGGTGTCTGACAATAATAATCATTTCAGACGTTACCATTCGTGCAATTGCGAGCTGCGATTGAATCTCTCACGAAACCAGAGAGACCAGACCACACAGCTGCACACTGCTGCCTCTGCACTGTGCACACTCGGCCTGCGCGTCGCTGGATCCGGCATCGCTGGGGCAGATTCGCTGCGTCGCTGCACCACTGCTCGCGCACCACTGCCAGCTGCACTGCCACTGCTCACTGCTGCTCTACTGCTAGCTGCATCGTGATCGCTGCATCGTGATCGCTGCATCGCCGCTGCACGAAAGTCGCACAAAGAAATGGCCGCACAAACCACCGCCGAAGCGCTCGCCGCCGACTTCGCCGCCGCGATCGCCCGTGGCGAGCCCTGCTACGCCGCCGGCGCGGCCGCTGGCCGCTTCGAGCTGTCGTCGTTCCTAGAAATAGCGCAAACTGACGACGGATGCATGTGCAGCGCGACCATCCCGGCGGAGGGAGGCGTCTACGCCGGCGGCGCGGCGCGGCGCGACGTGCAGCTCCCGCTCGCCGCGATCCTTGCCGCCGCCGCGTCGCGCGAGGCCACGCACGGCGATTTGTACGCGATGCAAGTCCCGCTCGACGGCTCGGGCCCGCTGCGGCGGGCGATGGCCCGCGCGGCCGCGGCCGCCGTGCCTTTTTGGGCCGTGGCGGCGAAGGCCGCCGCGACCGCGGCCGCCGACGGCGGCGGCGACGCGTCGCTCCAGGTCTGGATCGGCGGCCGGGCGCCGACCACCACGACGGCGCACTACGACGGCCTCGAGAACTTCATGGTCGTCACGCGCGGCCGCAAGACCGTCGACCTCTGGCCGCCGGGCTGCCCGAAGCTCGCGCGCTCGGCGCCGGCCTGGGCGTATCGAGCGGCCGCGGCGCCGCCGCGGCCGGCGGTCTCCTTCACGCTCGAAGCGGGCGACTGCGCGTACTGGCCCGAGGGCTGGTGGCACCGCGTGCGCTCCGACGCGTGGACTATCGCCGTCAACGTGTGGTGGCCGGGCGTGCGGCCGCAGCTCGTCGCGCTGCCGGCGCCGCGCGCCGCGTTCGCTCTGCGGACGCTCGCGCACCGCGTCGTCGAGCTGCGGCTCGCGGCGGTCGTTGCCGACGCCGCCACGTACGTCGTCGACGACGAGTCGACGCGCGCCGAAGCACTTCGGCGCGGCGCGCTGCCGCCGCGGCTCTTCCGCGGGCCGGCCGTCGACGCGCTGTCCGTCTCATCGCTCGCGGACCGCTACGGCGCGGACGCGTGGAGTCGGGCGCTGGAGGCCGTCGACGGCCGCGGCGCGCACGTCCTCGAGGCCGTTCAGGGCGCCGCCGTCCTCGACGCGCTCTTTACGGGCGACGACGCCGCGCGAGCCCGCTTCGACGCGAAGCGCGAGGAGTTTTGCGCTGGCGAGCTGCGGCGGGCGGTTTGTGATGCTTGTGGGGTGGGGAGGTAAATGTGCCCTTTGTAAAACGGGTTTAGGTGCTCGGAATAGGGTTGTTGTTATGGTGCTAGGAGCGGCTTTCGCTAGCGGCGTGTACATACTAGCAAGCAAGCAAGCAAGCCTGGGCCGCGCCAAGCCGCGCCGCCATCCGCACGTGCGGATTATTTGCACACGGCAAGAGGCGTAAAGCGCCGCCTGCATCGCCCCACTGGCCCACGACGCCTTGCGAGTCGTGGCAAATCATTTATCATTTGAAAAAGTGAGCCTTCCACGGTCTGCACGCGCGCCGTAAGCGCCGAGCCGCCGCAAGTCCACAATGCCGCAAGGCGACGGCGAACAGTACCTTGAGCCGGAGCATCATCAGGCGCTGCAGGATCTCCGCAAGGGCGGCCTCACGTACCGCCTCGACCCGGGCGTCACGTTTTTCTCGATCGACGAGATCGAGCGGCGCGTGAAGGCGATGTGCGCGGCGCGCGCGCGGCGCCTCGGCTCGGACGTCTTTGTTCCGGCCGGCGCGAAGCGGGGCTGGGAGGTGCGCGCCGTTGCTACGATGGCGTCGGACGCGCGCGCGGTCGCGGCGTGGCGGCGCGATCGCGGCGAGGCCGTCGAGGACGAGGACGAGGAAGAAGCGGCGGTCGACGAGCACGACCGCCAGACCGCGGCGCGCGAGCGGGCGGCGCGCTGTGTGGAAATCAAATGGAAGGCGTCCCGCGCCATCGACGCGACGCGTCGTCGTAGACTGCTCGATGGCGTGGCGGATAACACGTATTCACACAGGCGGAGCGGCGGGCGAAGAAACGCGCCGAGCGCGCGGAGGAGGCACGCGTCGCGGACCTGCGCGAACGGTCCGAGCGCCGCGCGCGGCGCGTGATGCCGGCGGCGCCGACGCGGCGGCGGCGGCCTCGCGTCGGCACGCGCGTCAGCGCGTTTTACTGGGCGTGGCGGTGTCCCATCCCGGCGACGGTCGTCGAAGTGCGCGACGACGTGGTCGTCGTCGAGTACTACGACGGCGACCGCGGCGAGGTGTCGGCGGACCTGGTGCGCTCGCTGGAGCGCGCCGAGAGTTATTCGCGGGGCGAGCGCGTCTCTGCGTTTTACGGGCCGGATCAGTGCTACTATCCCGCCGTCGTCGCGTCTTCGCGGCTCGACGACGGCCGCTACAAGGTCGACTACGTCGGCGAGAACTATAGTGACGTGCTGCCGCCGCAGCTTCTCCGCGCGGCTCCGCGGCCGCGGCCGCCTCCTCCGCCGCGCCGGCCATCGCCAGCGCCTCCGCCGCCGCGCCGGCGGCCGCCGCGGCGGACGGCTCCTCCGGCGCCTCCGCCTCCACGGCGGCGGCCGCCGCGACGGACGGCTGCTCCGGCGCCTCCGCCTCCTCCGCGGCGCACGCGGCGCAAGCGGGATTGAACGTAAGCTTTTGGTTTTTTAACAAAGACTGGGCATTCAACATCAAGATTTTACAGGCACTATGTACAAAGCGGAACGAGTCTTCGTGTCGGCGGCCCCCACGCCGTCGACGCGAGGCGACCGAGGAACATACCTCGAGGCTCCCGGAAGACACTGCCCCGCGCCGACATTCACAGATGAATCTTGCGGCTCGCCAAAAATACACCAGCGATTGACACCGCCATCTACCATCCAAATGGTACATCATATCAACTCCAGCCCAGTTTTCATACACACTCGACGGAACTGGAGCCGACGGCCCGCGCTCGGAGGGCGGGAAAAGAATTCTACTAGACAACTCCCGAGTTTATGTTCGTTTCCTTCCGTTTGTTAGTGGTAGAGTCCATCTAGGCCGATTGAACAATCACTGAGCAGAATGAGATGCTCCGTTAGAGCCGCGCGAAACGTCGACTCCACGCCCCTGCCTTTTTGCAAAGGCGGACTCGGAGCCTAAATCTGCGAGTATCAGCGACGCCACTACCCAGATGGACTATAACGCCGTCGTTCTATTCACAATCGACCGACTTGCCCGTTCTCCGCGGACGACGGTGCGTACGCGGGGCACTGAATTGGCCCCAGACCGGTGGTTTATAAAATAAATTTGCGTTTCAGGCGTTTCTGTTATGGGACGGGCCAGATAACCGGCCTGACTGCCTACTACATTGCTCCGAGACCCAAAGATGCTCGGCGCGGGTCGTCGGTCTCGCGAGCCCAGGATCTCACCAATTATGGCGCAACACCCGGACCTGCGACCATCAGCCCGTGTACCTTCACCATGGACCCTAACGCGATCATTTGTTCCATGATCGACTGACTTGCGCGAGGTCCAGATCAAGATGTTCACGTCCCGAGCGTGGTCGGCCCAAAGTACCCTTCTCGTGGTGTAGATGTCATATACTTGTAATTGACTATCGGTGGGGTAGTATGGGGTCCGACGAGACCGCTATTACGATTCCTGGGGGCCCTCGGGTAATTGACGTTTTTTATCGTGGCGGGGCGCCATCGGGTCCAAATTATTTACTTTTTTCGGATGTAGATCGGCTCGCGGACTCCCTCCGGGGTAGGTCTGGGGTCGGGTAGTCGCCTACGCCGCATGCGCCCGTGCTTGGAGCTCCCCAGAGAGCTCTGGATCGAAATCTTTGGCAAATCATGGCCAACAGAGGTATAGCGCAAAGGACCATGGGAGATGTATCTTACTCTGGAAGCGGCGGTGCATGCGGCGTAGGCGACTACCCATGTCTTGTTCCGACCCTAGGCGGCCTCGGGGAGACTTCAGGACCACGAATCGACAGGATTCCAGCTACGCGCCCGCCATGGCGGGACCGTCAATATCGCGAATTAAAAAATTAATTTTTTCACCCCCCAGGAAGTGTCCCATTGGTCTCTTTGGACCATTAGCGAACCGAGCGATACTCAAATAGCTGCGTGCACGTTTCCTCACGGAGCTAGTGTGTCACCGCACGCTAGAAACGCCATCGAGCTCTCAAAACTCGACTGCAGCAAGGTGCGCCTGTGGGTCGTCGCTGAGGAATTGAACGAACGCACACTGCCACACACGCACTGGAGAGCAGCACAGTTGGCGAAACGCGCATCAATACGCGTCTGCAGAGCATACGCGAGGCAACCACTGTCGAGCTGACAGCAGCACCGGAGGCGTAGAGGGGTCTTAAGGAAGCAGCACACGACCACGATGGCGGACCCCACGAGCGACGACTACTACCGCGTGCTCGGCGTGCCAAGAGACGCCACTGAAGCGCAATTAAAGAAAGCCTACCGCAAGCTCGCGATAAAGTACCACCCGGACAAGAACCCCGACGACAAGCGGGCGGAGGAGCACTTCAAGGCCGTGTCCGAGGCCTACGACTGCTTGCAGGATAAACAGCGGCGCGCGGCCTACGACAATTATGGCAAGGACGGCGCGAAGGCCGCGGAGCAGGGCCAGAGCGTGCCCGGCGGCTTTCCCGGGGGCGGCTTCCCGGGCGGCGGCGTGCGCATGGACGCGCGGCGCGCGGAAGAAATGTTTTCCATGTTTTTTGGCGGGGGCGGCATGGGCGGCGGCGACGACCCCTTCGAGTCCATGTTCGGCGGCTCCGGGTTCGGCGGCATGCCGGGAGGCATCCGCATCCAGATGGGCGGTGGTCCGGGTGGCCCGCAGGTCTTCTCGTCGTTCGGAGGGGGTCCTTCGAGAAGGCGCGCGCCGCCGCCCCCGAAACGCTACGACGTGCTACAGCCTAATACTAAGGTCGTGCTGAAGGATTTGGTGTCCAAACCGGAATTAAATAATGAGATGGCTTCCGTACAATCATATGATGATAGTAAGGGGCGGTATAACGTCAAGCTCGACGACGACGGCGACGTCTTGTCGTTGAAACCGCAGAACCTCCAGCAGATCTTGCGGGGAGTGCGATTAACGGATATCAAGTCGTCTCCGGAACTAGACGGCAAGTCGGGCAATCTGTTGGGAGCGCGGCGGAGTCCAACGGGAGACGAGCGCTACGTCGTGGCGCTGTCCTCCGTCAGGCAGACTGTGGCAGTCAAGAGCGAGAACCTGATCCTGCCGGCCGGCGCGCTCGTAAGGGTGGTGGGCACGTCGCGGGCCGAGCTGAACGGGAGGCAGGGCACGGTGCAGTCCTGGGACGGCGGCGCGGGGCGGTACGTCGTCCAGACGTCGGCGAGCGACCAGCTCAAGCTGAGGCTTTGCAATGTCGAGCTAGTTTGAATTTTGTATTAAGTACGCTTCGCGGCGATGGCGTACGTCGTCTCCAAACTTACGCAGGGGGAACACCGGTCAGCGCCGCCCGCGCCCGCGCCCGCCGCGTGGCCGCGTTTGTCGGGTCGGCGCCGGCGCCGGCGCGCGCCCGCCGCGCCGCGCGGGCGGCGCGTCATCGCCGCCGCGGCCCCGCTTCCGCGCGGGCTCGTCCTTCTCCGGCGAGCGGCCGCGCTTCTTCTCGGGGCTCCGGCCCCGCTTTTTGTCCTCCTTCTCCGGCGAGCGCCCCCGCTTCTTGTCCTCGGCCGCGCCGCGGCCGCGCGCCTTGGGCTTGGCCTCGTCGTCGTCCTTCTTGGCCCGCCGCCGGTCGCGCGGCGACGCCTTGTCGTCGTCCTTGGCGTCGCGGCGCCGGTCGCGCGACGACGAGTCCTTCTTCTCGTCGCGCGCCTCGGCCTTCTTGGCGCCCGCCTTGGCGTCCTTGTCCTTGTCCTTGTCGTCGCGCTTGGAGCGCTCCCGCGACTCGTCGGCGCCGCGGCCGCGCGCAGGCTTGTCGTCGTCGGCCTTGCGCCCGCGCGCCGGCTTGTCGTCGTCAGCCTTCTTGTCGTCGCGCTTGGAGTCCTTGTCGTCGCGCTTGGAGCGCTCCCGCGACTCGTCGGCGCCGCGGCCGCGAGGCTTGTCGTCGCTGCGCCCGCGCGCCGGCGCCGGCGCCTCGGCCTTCTTGTCGTCGCGCTTGGAGTCCTTTTCGTCGCGCTTGGACCGCTCGCGCGACTCGTCGGCACCCCGGCCCCGGGGCTTGTCGTCGCTGCGCCCGCGCGCCGGCGCTGGTGCCTCAGCCTTCTTGTCGTCGCGCTTGGAGTCCTTGTCGGCGCCGCGGCCCCGCGCAGGCTTGTCGTCGCGGCCGCGCGCCGGCTTGTCGTCGTCAGCCTTCTTGGAGCGCTCCCGCGACTCGTCGGCGCCGCGCCCCCGGGGCTTGTCGTCATTATCCTTGCGTCCGCGCGCCGGCTTGTCGTCGTCGGCCTTCTTGGACCGCTCGCGCGACTCGTCGGCGCCGCGGCCGCGCGGCGCCCGGGCCTTGGCGTCGTCGTCGCGGCCCCGAGGCTTGTCGTCGGCGGCCCGGGCGCCGCGGCCGCGCGGCTTGTCGTCGTCGCGCTCCTTCCGGTCGCGCGCGTCCCGCTTGTCCGAGAAGCCGCCCTTCTTGGACTCGTCGGGCGACTTGCGGCCGCCGCGCGCCGTCTCCGCGCCGCGGCCGCGCGGCTCCGGGCGGTCGCGCGCCGACCGCTCCCGCCGGCTCCGCGGCGACTCGTCGCGGTCGTCCTTACGACGTTTCGCATCTTCCTCCTTAGGAGGAGATTCCTCGCGCACCCGCTTCTTCTTCACCACGGGTTTAGGGGGCGGCGGCGGCGGCGCCGGCCGGTCGGTCCGCTTCGGCCGGTCGGGAAACATCTTGTCGACGGCGACCTCGATGTTCGCGTCGTGCATGTCCGCGAACCAGGGCAGCTTCTCCTTCATGACCAAGCGTAAAGCGCGGAACTTCCAGACCGGGTCGTGCCTCGGGTGATATTCATCATCAATATCCTCGGCGGGGTCGTCGGCGTCGCGCCACTCCTGGAGGTGTTCCTTGAGCGTGGGGATCTGCGAGGCTAATCTACGGCACTTCTCCTCCAAGGGAGGCTCCTCGTCTTTCCGCTTCTTTTCTAGAGCGTCCCTTCTAGCTTGTTTCCTCTTGAGGACTTCTGGCAGTGGAGGCGCGTAGTAGGGCCGCTTCTGCTTGGGCTTCTCGGGTAGCGGCTCCTTCTCGAAGGGCGGGCAGCCCTTCTTCTTCCAGGCGGCCCACTGGACCTCGTGCTCTAAGAGTAAGTCTAGACTCCCGGCCGCCTCCGGGCCGGTCGGCGGCGTCCCGGCCAGGATCTTTCGCACTCTTGCTTTCGGCTCCGAGGCCCAATCTCTAGCGTTCATGGACTCTAGTTCTCTCCTCAGATAATCCAAGACCATGTAGAGCTGCGAACAGACCTGGGTCCGTAGCTGCGGATCTCGTAACTGGATCCTGAGTAACCGAGAATTCGTTAAATATTTCTGGGAGCCGAGCATTTGCTGCGTATCGTCCTCGGGCTCCACATTCATAGGTTGAGCCTGCCTTTCGACCATCGCGGCCCGCTCCCGCTCGAATTCATCAGGCGTACATGCTGTTCTCTCAAGAGCACTACAAGTGACATCAACAGCTGCAAGAAAGCCTTTGACGTCCTTGAAGCAGGACGGGGGATTAGACAGGTACTTCTGCACGGACCAGAAGCCCGAATACGTGTCGTAGTCCTCCTTGGGCGCGCCGTCGCCGGCGTCGTCGAAGTCGTCGTCGGCGTTCTGGGCGTCGAACTGGTCTGCACTCTCGAACTCCGTCACATTATCCGTGTGGCAGAGGCCCTTCATGTTCAGGGCCGACTTCTCGGACAGAGGCCACGCGGCCGCCATGAACATTAAAATTCGTCCGCACAACGTCGCTTGCCTCGTTCTGGATAATCGTTTCAGGAGGGAGTTGCATAACCGTAACAAGATGAACTTGCCGGCCTTGAAAATAGCTGGGTTCTCGGTCAATGCTCCTTTGTGAGACTCAACAAGATCCCACCAACCATCAGCGTTCGTCGACGGTGCGGCATCAATACAGTCCTCGAGGAGTTTATGGGCCACGTTCAGGACCGGACCTCTATCACCACATTGTTCGCAATGGACCGTGTGGTCGACGAGTACGGCGACGATTTTTTTTGCCGTTGTTTGATCTTCTTTATCTAGAGCTTCGTAGAGGAGTTGCCTAGCGGCTAATTCTACACAGTCCGCCACGTCGTCCGGCGCCTCGGCCCAGGCCGCGTTGCGGATGCGCTCTCCCGCATTATCGGGCGCGTCGAGAGTGGCTTTGACGGCGGCCTCGCAGGTCTCGTCTTGCGACGGGCCGGCGGGCGTGACCTCGATGACGGGCGCTGCCGGCGCGGGTGCTGGGGCCTCCGCGGCGGCTGCGGGCGCCTCCTCCGCGGCGGCTGGCGCGGGTGCTGGTGCCTCGGCTGCCTCTGCTGCCTCTGTGGCCTCGGCGGCGGGCGCCGGCGCCTCAGCGTCGACCTCCATCGCGTCGCCGTCGCCAGCCATGCTTAGAAGATCTTCCCAGCTATAGCTATGTGCGCGTTCACGCAAACAAGCGCAGGCGAGCCCAAAATCGGCTGCTAGCGTTTGTAAAGACACTAGAAATGTCTCGGGTCCTTTGAGCAGGCGCTTTCATGGCGGCCTAGGCAGGCAGGGCTGCCCCAACACGCAGCCCCAACACGCACTGCTGTTGGCAGCCATGCCGCGCTTCGACTGCACCACAGCTGCAGGAATGCGAGACGCCCTCGCGCAGACGTATCAGTCCGACAGACTCCTGCGCCTGCCCGAGACTTTGCTGAACGAAATACTGCGGCAGCTCGGCATCAAATATTTGCGGCGCTTCAGTTTTGTCAATCGGTATGCGTTGACGCGGGTGCGGGCACGGATCGCGCGGCTGCCAGATCCCGACTGGCGCCTCGGGTTCGGCGACAGGCGGTCGCAAGCGACCGTGTATTACCGGCGCGAAGAGCAGACCGGTGCGGCGTGGCTCAAGCGATACGAGGAAAGCATCGTGCTCTGGGACGCGGCCGGCGGCGCGTGCTGTTTTCCACGAACCGCGGCGGCTGCCCGGGCCAAGTGGCGTTGCCAGGTTTGCATCGGCCCCATGCCAGCCATAGGCCACTTAGACCACGCTACGGTGATGTGTTGTGGTAGTGTGATGTGCGGTAAATGTAGGAGGGGCAGCGCAAATTGCCCGGTCTGTGGATCGAATCTACCCCGCCGGCGGGGTCATCCGACTGCTACGGAGAGTCAATTACTACGAGAGCAACTACACGAACATGCGACGAAAGGAAGCGCAAGTGCGCAGTACCAGCTGGGTGGCGATTACGCCTTCGGGATTGGCGGCGACAGAGATATCCCGGCGGCACTGCTCTGGAACGAACGTGCCGCCCGCCAGGGGCACGCGGGAGCCCAATTCTCCATGGCGAGGTATCTCGACGGATTGAGGCCTGCATTCAAGGACCTCCCTCGCAGAGCCGAGTACTTGGCGATGGCTACCGCACAGCATATCAGTCATTTCGCAGCGATTGAGGAACTTGGCACAATGTACTTTGATGGTGAGATCCCCACTCCAGACGCCGAGACCAGGTACAAAGAGGCCGTGCGCCTGTTCAAATTCGATATTGAAACCCGGAGCGCCCTGTACTCATACACCCAGCTCGGGCGCTGTTACCTGCGTGGCCTGGGGGTGCCCGCCGACCGGGGCGAAGCCGAGCGCTTGTGGCGACACGCGGTTATTAAGAACGATGATGAGGAGGCGGCCGAGGAACTGCAGAGCAATGGAATGGAGGTGCCGGAATATGTCGGCGATTGATGTTGCTGTGCAAGTAAGTATAGTACCAGATGACTTACACCCCGGGTCTCTTACGTCGGGGGGCGCGGGAACAGCAGGCTCAGTCGTCGAGGACCGCGTCCTCGCCGGCCGACAGCGTCTCCGCGCCGTCGCCCGCGAGCTCCTGGAGGAAGGCCTCGTCGAGCGCGTCATCGTCGGCCTCCTCCGCCGTTTCGGCGGGCGCCGCCGCCGCGGCCTGCAGCGCCGCGTCGACGTCCGCCGGTGCCGCGAGGTCGCGGGCCGCCTCCTCGCCGTCGGCCGGAGGCATCGGCTTCTCGCCCTTGGCGTTGACCGGCCCGTAGTCGCCGACCCACGACGAGTAGTCGGGCCGCTCGCCCTCCTTGCGCCGGGGCGGCTGGTAATCGGGCACCGGCTGGTCGTCCGCCGGCAAACCATAATCATCTAAGGCAGCATCATCAATGGTCGAGTCCCACTGCGGCGCCTCGCTCCGCAGGAACGCGTCCGCGATGTCCACGGCTCGAGGAGTATTGGACGAGTCGCCGAGCGCGTCCCGACCCGCGGCCCGCTCCCGCTTCAGGCGCGCTCTATGAGCGTTCAGCTGGTCCTTGATCTTCGATTCGACGTTCACTAGATAGCGCGGCGTTTTTCTCGACACGTTCCTCTTCGCTTCAGACACCCAGGCCTGGCGCGTGGGGTTCGGCCTTCGGCGAGCGAGAGGTCTCTGTTTCGCCGCGGTGGACACCGTGGGCGCATCTAGAGGCAGCGCCCAGGCTCTAGGCGCCTTCCTTCTCGGTGCTTCCTCGATGGCGGGTTGAAACGAAGGCTGCGCAAAGGCCGCGACGGCCGACGTCGGTGCCACGTAAGCCGGTTCGTCGGTCAACTCGCCCCTTAAGGAATCCTCCCACCGCTCCTCGGGCACGTCATACCCGCCTTGAGCTACTCGTCGGACCGCCTTGAGGAACTGGAGCTCCGAGACGTCGTCCCAGTGGTCTCCCAGTAGTAGTCTAACTTCGGCCGGCGGGAAGGGCCGGCCCGCCACCTCTTCTAAGGCGGGACCAGCAGCGCTCCTCAGTAGTCTATTAGGCTGCGTCCGTAAAGCAGCGAAGACGCCCCTCGCCCGCCGCGCTTGCTCGGCCGGCGGGGCTTCGAGGAACTTGGACGCATCCCTAGAAGCTTCTCCGCTCAGCACGGCGGCCACGCCCTGCTGCTCGTCGTCCACGAAAGGGTACTGCCTGCCGGAATCCTTGCGCACCCTTCTGTGCGCTCTTCTTGCGATGGCGACTCTCGAAGGGGGCTCGGGCTTCACATCACCTCGGCCACCCCTAGGTCTCGGCTTCAGCATGGCCGGCAGCTCGCTAATGGCGTCCTCGCACGCTTCCGCGAGGCGCGCGGGGCTCAGCTGCTCGAGCGCCACCTCATTCAAAATACAGCGGACGCCGTACGCGGAGACGATGTCGACCACTTGTCCTCTCTGTTCTTTAGGGTAGAGCCGCGCGAACTGGGCGAGGGCCTTGCGCGCTTCGGCTCTTACGCTGACGTCGGCCATTATGTAGCGCGCGTCGGCGGCGTGTGTACAACAGTGCCCTGGCTGCGGTCTGTTTTTTTGTCCGCTAGACGAGCGCGGCCTCGTGCGCTCGATAGCGTAGGTGCTGGGCTTGTCGCTGGCTCCCGCGAGTGTGTTTTGCTGAGCCACCTGTACGCAGACGGCCGCACTCTCCGTGCTTTTTTGAAATCCGAATGCTAGAACAGTAACACACTAATCTTTCAACTCACCAAAGCCAAAAAATAAAAGCACAGTCTCTACGGCATAAAACGCGGCCGCGGGCGCCGCATAGCATCAATTCTGATCGGTGCTTCCCGACGCCGATCGCTGCGGGGGCTCGCACGATGCTACAGCGAGTTATCACTGCCAGGCTGCAGGCAGTGCTCAGGACACGCCGCGCGAGCAGCGGCTTCCGCCCCGTAATAGGAATAGAGTGCCACGTCCAGCTCAACACCCCAACCAAGGCCTTCTGCCGCTGCGCGCCGTCGACGACGGCGCCCCCGAACACGCGCGTCTGCGGCGTTTGTCTAGGCGAGCCGGGGTCCCTGCCCGTGGCGTCCACAGACGCACCTCTACTTGGATTAAAGGCAGCAGTGGCCTTGGACTGCGACGAACTAGCAGAAACGCTCGAGTGGGACCGCAAAAATTATCAATATCCGGACCTCCCGAAGGGCTACCAGATCACGCAGGCGAGGACGCCGCTCGCGCGATCCGGTAAAGTCCAGATTGACGATCGAACCATCCGCATCACTTCCCTACACTTGGAGGAGGACAGCGCCAAGACTACCGATGTTTTGGATCACAACCGGGCTGGAATAGCTCTGGCTGAAATCGTGACGGAGCCCGATTTGAGGAGTGGGACGGAGGCCGCGGCCTTTGTGCGCGAGCTCCAGCAGGTCGTCAAGAGGTGCGGCGCGTCTCGAGCTCGCCTGGAGCACGGCGAGCTGCGGGTCGATGTCAATGTGTCAGTAACGCAAGAAGGTGAAGTGAGGGAACGCGTCGAGCTCAAGAATTTGAACTCGTTGCGAGCCGTGCGTTTAGCTTGTGATTTTGAGCTACGGAGGCAAGCTTTATTGTATGAAAGTGGTGATACTGTTCAGCGGGAGACACTGGGATGGAATGGGTCCGAGACGTATGTTATGAGAGACAAGGGCGGCGCGGCCGAGTACCGCTTCTCGCCGGAGCCGGACCTGCCGCCTCTTCCATTAACAGAGGCGCTCGCGCAGTTGGATCGCGTTCAAATAGAAGAGACGACGCCGCGCGCGGCTCGACGACGGTGCGTCGCGGCCGGGCTCGATAGCGAAACCGCGAGTCTTTTGGTAGACCGCGACCTCGACGCGTTCTTGCTGGAGGCTGTTGATAGCGGCGCCGACGCAATGACAAGTGCCCGGTGGCTGCTCGGCGAGGTCGCCGCTTTGAGTACGGAGCTGCCTTCGTCATTCACGCCGCGGGACCTGGCCGATCTCGTGGGCGCCGTCGCGGCGGGGACATTGTCAAGACGGTCGGCGAAGGAGCTCCTGCCCGTGTTGTTTCAAGAACATCTTGGCGTCGCCGCGGAGATTGAGAAACGGGGCCTGGCGCGCGTCGACGACGCCGATTTTATGAGTGGCATCGTGGCCGAGATTATTGATGAGAGTCCGGACGAAGTCGCGCTGTTCCGGGCCGGCAAGACGAAGCTGCGCAAGGTGTTGATGGGGAGGTGCATGAAGCGGGCCCGGGGCCGCGCGGACCCGAAGAAGCTTGGGGAGGCGCTCGACGAGGCGCTTCTCTAGTTGTTGTTTGTTGTGTGTGTAAAGTTTACAATCGTCACATGGAGCGTCGCGACGCCAGGGGCGTTTTTTTTAACAAGTCAGTCACATTATTTCTACCTCTCGTCGTCGACGAGTCGCCGCAGCGACGCCGGGATGCGCGCCTCGACGACGGCGAAGCGGTCGGGCAGGTGCTTTCGCAGCGAGAAGGGCCCGAACGCGACACGGCGCAACCGTGACACGCGCAATCGGAGGTGGTCGCAGATCCTGCGAATCATGCGGTTCTTGCCCTCGCGGCACTGGAGTTCCAACGTCGCTCTATTGTCTCGCGCGTCCGACACCAGAACGCGCATCGGCGCGTACTTGACGCCGGCGACGCGGACGCCGCGGCGCATCGCCGCCAGTTTCGACGCGGTGACGCGGCCGTGCACGATCACCTCGTAGGTCCGCCGCAGTTCGTTCGAGGGCAGCTCCATGGCCCGCGCTAGTTCGCCGCACGACGTCAGCACGAGCAAACCCTCGGACTGCACGTCGAGGCGGCCGACCGCACACACGTGCGGCTGGAGGCGCACGCGGCTGAACACGCTCGGGATCTTCTCGCCCCGCTCTGATTTTGCCACCTGCTCGCCTTTATGCTTGTAGGCGAGCCAGACGCGCGGCGCCGTCGGTGCAGCCTTCAAAGCGCGGCCGTCGAGCTTCAGCCGCGCGTCGGGCGGCGCCTTGTCGCCCAGCGACGCGACCGCATTGTTTACAGTGATGCGACCGGCATCCAAGGCGGCGTCGGCTTCTCGTCGCGACATGGCGCCGGTCCTCGCGATCAGTTTGGCGACGCGTTGGTGGTTTTGGGCTGTTGTGGCGAGGCATCGTCTTGCTGCGTACAGGTGGCGGAGCATTGTTAACTGTCGAAATTGGTGGTGTATCGCGATGACTACTCGATTTAGCGATGTTGCACTGCTGGTGCTGCTGCGTGTACCTACCGCGTGCTGGCTCACCGCACATCGACCTAGCGGCCTGTAAGACACTAGCAAGCGCTGCAGTCCGGCTCATTGCGCATTGACGCCGACTTGGTGGTTAATAATCGAAAGTGCTCGCGACCTGAACCACCTGACACTCTGCGCCCAGATCTCAGCCTGGGCAAAGCTGACCATGGCCGAGGACTCAGAGGAGGACCGGCCTGACCTGAGGATGGTCAAGGACGTGGTTACGGGATACACCGTCCGCTGGCATGAACACGTAAGCCCGACGAATCATCTCGTAAATGCCGCAAGCTTTAAAGACCCCGCTCTACTGCGCAAGGCGCTCGCGGCCGGCGCGGATCCCAACCATGTGACGGGCTACCACCAAGCTACACCGTTACACGAGTTGGCCCGTGTATCGCCTCCGACGTTTGGGAAGCGCACAAGCGCTGAGTGCATCGCCATCCTGGTCGAGGCGGGCGCGGATCCCAACTCGCGCGATCGGTATGATGAAACTCCTCTCCAAAAATATTTGAGGCTCCATGGGCAATTTCCACGGTGGTATGAGAATTCTCTGGAAATCGTGCAAGCGTTCATTCTGGGCGGTGCTGACGTTAATGCGCCGTGCGGGAATACGTCGATTCTACATTTGGCCGTAATAGCTGATCATGCCGGTTGTGTTGCCCTGCTTTTGGCGGCCGGGGCCACGGTAGACATCGAGGGGCGTTACGAAGGGTATTCACGGCCCACTCACCTCGGCCCGGGACAAAACTATGCCGAGTGCCGGACGCCGCTGGATTTTGCCATATTGCATGGTCAGAACGGCACACGCCGGACCTGGCCGATCTTGCTCTGCGCTGGCGCGCGGGTACCGGACCTCATGACCACACCCTTAGGTGCTCGATGCTTTGGTGATTTCCCGCGGCCATTTCCCTTTTTACAACGAGTCGTCGCAGCTGGCGGGTACAAGGCCTACGCGAAGGCGGTCAACGCGTCGCTCGCGAAGCTCTTCGCTCCGAAGTTACCCGTCCTTCCCGAAGAAATTTTCCCACGAATCGCGTCGTTCTGGGCGCACGCGCCCAGAACAGCGTGATCAAGCTCGAGCAAGAACTCAAAGCGGCCAAGGAGGAGCGCGACGCCGCGACGAAGGCGGCAGGAGTCATCCAGGCCAAGCTTGACGCGGCGAACGAGGAGATCGAGAAGAACGCCGTCCGCGCCCGGTGTCCACGCTTTGGCCCTCGCGTCGATGGCGTCCTTCGAGTGCCCTTCCTCGCCTCGACGGCGTCGATGGCGTTGACACAATCACACGCAGGTCATCCTCGAAGAAAAGGACGTCTTCATCAAGACGCTCATCCAGACGCCCAAGGGCAAGCAGTAGCTAGGTCAAAATTTAAGAGTTACTAGAGAGGGGCTCCTTCTTCTTGCGCCGCGGCCGGAACTTGGCCTTGATGCGCCGCTCCTTCAAACGCTGCGCCTCGAGCCAGTTGCGACACTCGTCCAGCGTCCGCGTCGTCCGCACGTCGTCCAGGCCCCGCGCCGCGTCGTCCGCCGCCAGGTCCAACAACGCCATCGCTAGGGCACGTCCCACATCCCTCCAAGCCCCCGGATCGTACGGCGCCGCTAATAAAGGCGACAAATAGCTACACTTCGCCCAGGCCGCTCTCACGGAACCGGGCGGGTCGTCAGTAACCACGGAAGTGGTCGCCGTCGTCCCCTTGTTGTAGTTGCACTCCAACGTGTACGCGTGCGCCGGCGGCTCCGCTCCTCGAGGTCTTCCATCTGCAATACCAGCATGATGTAAAGCTACCCTACAAGACCCGGAGTTGCCCATTTTTCTTCGACTGAAATCACAGGCCTGCCACTCGGCATGTCTAGAATGCGCGGACAGTCTACAAGCCAACAACTCCGGCGCGTCCGGCCCGCCGAGCGGGTTGTGGTTTCCAAAGAGAAAACAGCCCCGCTTATTAGCATGGGCATGCACGTCGACCAAACAGCGCAGCCGGTCGCCGCTACTCCGCGCTAGAGCCTGCAAGGCCGCTTGCGCTGGATGTTGTGATGGTTTGGGTGACGGCGGCGGCCAGTACTGGCGGTTCTGGTCGTCGCCTCTGGCATCCTTGCGGTAGTGACCCCGCGCGACGCCGTCGGGATTCAAACAAGGCACGACGCGCCACACGTAGGCCTCCCTTAAGGCTTGGCCGACGGGACCGTCCGCTAGCACAGCTGCTAGCAACCCATCAATCACAAATTGGGCCGGCGTTTCTCCGGGGTGCACTCTCGCGCTGATGACGACCTCCCGCTTACTGCAAGCACGCACCTCCGTGTCCTTCCGATGTGGAGTGAGGAGAGGAGGTTTGGGAAGAGACGGCTTGTTCGTGCCCTCGGGGCCCGAGTCCTCGCCGTCGTCGCTCGAATCGTCGCCGCCTTCACTGGAAATGTTGAACGCGAGGCCTCCCCTCGAGCTCTTCTCTGACGTATCATGGTGCGTACGCCAGTCGAGGGGCTCGTCGCCAAAATACGTGTCGTCGTTGGCCGTGATTGTTAATAATTCCACAGGTCTCCCTTCCAGCGACGTCGTCAGCGTCTCCCTCCTTAAATAGACGTCATCACCCAAATTCGCGCGCGCCAACGCATCCACCGTAGCACAGACCGACTCGTACGAATACGGGTAGCAGAAGGCGAACTCCAAGACACCGGAAGGGGGAAATTCCGCGTCCCATTCAAGTAAAGCTTTCGGCGTGTCTAAGTCGCTCCGTTTCTGGGCGTAGCGCGACTTGCGCTTCGACGGCGTGTCCGGCGGCACGACGTCGGGGCACTCGTTCCATCTAAATGAATGCTGCGCTATTCTTTTCCAGCCGGCGTCTCCGGATAACGAGGCCCAATCAGAACCATCACTTCTGCGACAACTCCCGTCTCTTTCCACGGGTCGGTAGCCCGCTCGGTACAACGCCGCTTGCCTCGAGGCGCTGCGCACTCGTAAAGTAACACTTTCTTTTTTCCGTCGTTTGTCCTCAACACGGAAATACAACCAGGCACAATGCCGCGATTCAAAGGGCGTGCCCTGGTTGTCCCTTCGTGCTGCGAGTTCGAGGACGCCGTCGTGGCCTTTTCTGACACACTGTAAGTTGCCAGAGCAGAAGTCGCTCGTAAAACGCAGACCATCAATTTCCAGCACACCGTCTTCTAATTCCAACCAAGGACCCGCCGGATCTTCCATGGGCGGCGGCGGCGGCGGCTGACTGTCCTCGTCCATGGGTTTCAAGACCCACTTCGAGACCCATCCCCCTTCCAAATCGTCCGCTCGACTGTCGAGTCGCGCTCTTGCTACTCCATCTTCGGTAGTGCGCTCTTCACTGATGCCTACTATACTCTTTCCGGCTAGTCGTCCGACCTTCGTCGACGAGAGCTCGACGCCTTCCCGGACCGTCGCGCCGGCCTTGGAGCAGCGGTAGAGGGGGCGGTCCTCCCCGGGCATGGCTAGGCGGGCCGGCTCGCTGTGTTTTTGAGGATCGTGCGCGGCGTCCGCCAGCGCCAACGGGTGCACGGGATGGCTCCAATGGCAGCCGGAGCGGGGGCGGTTGATTTAAGTAAGGGGGGTCCCGGGTTTTAACTCCGGCTCTAGCGGCGCCGCATCGAAAATTATATGGACGAAAACCGGTCATGGGACGTATCTATGCCTAATCTTAATTCACACAAAGTTTGAGAAAAAATCTTGAGGTTTGACAGATGTTAGGCACAAATCACATACTAGAAAATTCACAAAAATTGCCTCCGCGCGTAGTCCGGCCGTTGGGGGCCTCCATGCTGACCCATGGGTGGGTCCGAACCGTTCGGACCGCTCAAAACCTCCACAACGCCGACATTCAGTGGGCCGAACGTGACGTCGAGGCCGACTTCGTGGAGCCCAAATGGTGCCTTCCGGGCCGATTGAACCAAAACTGTGGCCACGGAGCATCTATAAGGATCGGATGCGATGGCCCACGCACGTCAACGGGCTCGCCGCGGCGATTCGATGACATCGCGCCAGCCCATCGGCGCACCCCGAAATGCGCCATCGGATGCCGCAGCCGAACGGGCCTTATTGTTCGCTCCGGCCGTTCGACATCGTTCGGTAGGTCCCCACGCTTGGTCCCGCGCTCGGGTAGACCGTCTCGCGCCGCGGAAGGAGCCAAAGCCGTCGGGGAGAGGGCAGCCCTTTCACACTGTACTGCGCGCCGGCGTCGCCCTTTTCCAGCCCAAAAAGCTGGTATGTTGGGGTCCGGGGGATGCTCTGGCCGTACGCCGGTTTTCGTACATACAAGTTTTCAAGGGGCCGCGAACGAGCGCCCTCAATTCACGCCACTGGGACCCCGGGCCCCCGCTTTTAAGTGCCTTACTGCCGCTAGCTATCTAAAAATGCCCGGTCAACTTTTGCGCACCCCCCGCGCACAGTCGCATTGATTGGCGTTAAGAACGGTCTGCGTGCGCTGCGGCTGCGACCGCTGCTCGCGCGCTCGGCCCGGCGATGGCTGGACTCCAAACTTTGTTGCCCCCTGAGGTGCTGGCGCACGTCGCGCTTTACGTCGGGAAAAAATATCACCCAGTTCGCCCATACCTAACCGACCTGCTCGCCCTGCGGTGCGCGTGCAAGGCGGGCAAAAAAGCGGTTGAGCGAGCCGCCCGGGAGCATAAAGCGGTCGAGGTAATCGGATTCAGAGATGGCGCAAGCGCCCAGGCCATCCAGACGTTCGGTCGCTATTTTGGAAGCGGCTGTCGAACTTTAGATTTAGGGTTCGGCTCAAAACATATGCTTGCAATTCGGGATTTCGTCGTGAGCGACACAAGAGGACAGCTGCGAGAACTGCGCATCAAGTTCTCTGGTTCTACTCTTTCTAGGGATGTTCTCATGGAGATGTGTCGCGGATGTCGACAACTACGCGTTTTTGATGCGTCGAGCGATGCGCCGTGCCTTAATGGTCCCACAAAAGGGGCAAACCTCGCGGACTTCGCGTCTGAGTTGAGTCGAGCGTGCCCGCTGCTCGAAGATGTACGTCTTAGAAGCAATCTGCTATCCGCGGCCGAGACCTACGCGATGCATTTTCCCCGACTTAAATGTCTCTCATTCCGGGCGCAAGACCCGGAAGGCTATGAACCGACTTGTTACGACCAAATCGAAGTGACTTTGAGGACATGTGCACATGTGGACCATGTGTGGCTTACCGACTGCATTGTGTCGCCAGCGCTGGTGGATCTGCTTCTGCGGTCGCCCATACGAGGGCGTCTGAGGAAGCTAGTCGTCCGTGGTTACGCCGAGATTTCACCTGAACTGATCCTACAGTGTGCTAGGGGCTTTAAAACGATGACGGTATTGTACCTGCCGGATGGTGAAGTGTTTTCTGCGGAGCCCGAGTTCTACCACGATCTAGCGCAGGCGCGGCCCACGATAAAGGCGTTTGATCCGGGATGGGGAAGCGAGATCGACGACGCGGGCCTGCGATTCATATGCGAGGGCTGTCGTCTGGAGGAGCTGGTTCTCTCGTCGACGGAGAATTTAAGTTCGGACGCTATTGAAGCTATTTTGCAGACTCCGACCGCGCAGACGCTCCGCAAGCTTTATTTCTACGGGAACCACCAATTCACATCCGCTGCCATGTTGCGGCTATTCCGCGGCTGCCCTCAGCTCGCGGACTTCGTATGGGAGACGGACGACGATGACTCTTGTCCAATCGAAGATGGCCCCCACGACGAGATCCTGCGACTTATCAAGAGCCGCGGCGGGAAGAGGCGCAAGTGGTTCAAGCCTTGGGTAGAGTAAGTATGTACAACTGTAGTATATCAACAAAGCTTAAGAACACTGCACACAGATCACGCCGCGACGACGACGGGCACCTCCTCGAGCGACGCCACGCGCTCCGGTTTAGCAGCCTCGTAGGCCGCCCGATCGTCGGCTAGATACGCCTCGGCGTCGTAGACGTAGTCCGACGCGCCGCCGACGGCTTTTTCGAGCTGATCAAGCTCGTAGTGCTCCAACAGCACGGCAGCTCTTTTTTCGGCCGAGCCCTTGACGAAGACTATTTTCTTTCGGGTGACTGGATCAATGAACGGAGAAATAAGCTTGAACGCGCCCAGGAACAGCCACGGCGCGTCCACTAGAAACGCCTTATTTAACCGCTCCGGGTAATGATCTTGCATCGTCGAAAGGACGGCCTTCGACGTTTTTAACGGAGTGTTCTTCGCGTAGCCATTAAAGTCGATGACGATGTTCCACTTTTCTTCCGCGTCGCAAGCCTTCACGGCGCGCTCCATCTGGTACACTAAATGCAACACGTTGCCGTCGTGGTCATTCGTGTTCTCGTGCTTGGAGCGCATGATGATCGTCGCTCTTCCATCTTTATCGCGGCCCGGCGCGACGTACGTCTTGCCCGTCGCCGCCTCCTTTTCGATGATGGGAAATTTGTCCCTTACGATATTCGCCGTACCATACGCCGCGCGCCATCTTAAAGTAGCGCGCAGCATATTTGTAGCCTTCGTCAGGTCGTGGTTGCGTGCGCGGAGGTAGCGCTTGCAGCAGGCGTCATCTACAACAAAGCTGGAATCCTGGGGCTCGTCCTTGACGGCGTCCTTCAGACTACTGATGAGTGTGGCCTCGTCGGGCTTTGGCGCTTTGCTGCGGCCCCAGGCCATCGTATACCAGGAGCTATTGTGGACTGGTCGTGCGACGGTCGGTGTTGCGCCGTGGAATGCGGCTGCGGTGTGGGCGGTGGCGAGGAGGAGGACAAGTGGGCGCGCCACGATGCCTCCTGCAAGTGGGTGCTGCAAAACTCGCCTCGGTAGCGTCGGGGAGCCGGGAGCTGGGGTCACAGGTGCTGCAAACTCGCCTCGATGGCGTCTGATGCAGCTTTTTTTGCACGAGCGTGGAGAGGGCGACTTGTACGACTCGTAAGCAGCCTACGCTGCCTGAACGTGCGCGTCGCGAAGAATCCACCCAGCTTTTGTTTGGTGATGTGGACGCCAGACCCCGCACGTTTTGTCTTTTGTGCCTGCGAGCAGTGTAGCAACTTGCACACGCCTCTAATTCGCGTAAGAACGGGTCCCTGCCCGCCGAACGCATCCCCTCTCGCAGCCATCATCTCCGGCACGTGTGCCATCGCCGCTCGCGCATAGATCAACGAGCAGCACCATAACTGCGCCGAGACACGCCATTTGTACGGCTGTGACGGGTGCCGAGGCCAATCGTCTCAACGCAAGGCATAGCTGAAGTTTGCAGCAACTGCTACACCAGCAGTCACCATGCGAGCCGCAGCGCTCGTTGTCCTGGCGCTCGTCGATGCCTTCGCGCCGCCGCAGCGCGCGGTCGGCCCGTCCACCATTTTGCACGGGTCGAAGGTCGGCGTTTACTACGGCACCGAGGGCCAAAACACGGAGGCCGCGGCGGATTTACTTGTAGAATTACTGAATGCCAAGTTCGACGGCATCGCCGGCGAAACCTCCTTTCCCGTGGACGAGATCGACGGAGTCGAAGATTTGATGGACCACGAACTGCTGCTGGTGGGCTGCCCGACGTGGAACACGGGCGCGGATACCGAGCGGTCGGGCACGGACTGGGACGATTTGTACTATGAAGATGATGGTTTACCTTCATTGGACTTCGCGGGCAAAAAAGTGGCCGTCTTCGGCTGCGGCGACTCCGTCGGGTACGGCGGCAACTTCTGCGACGCGATTGACGAGCTGGAGAGCGTCTTCGCGTCGCGGAACGCGCAGACGGGCTTCGGCTACATGCCGGCGTCGGGCTACGGCCACGAGGACTCGAAAGCGCTGCGAGGGGATAAATTCTGCGGCTGTCCCTTAGATCAGGTCAACGAGGGCGACAAGACCGAGGCGCGCCTGTCGGAGTGGCTCGACATTTTGGCGGGCGAGGGCTTCTTCGGCGGCGACGCCACGGCGGCCCCAGCACCCGCGCCCGCCGCCGCCGCGCCGGCACCCGCGCCGGCCCCGGCGCCGGCGCCGGCATCGGCGCCGGCACCCGCGGCCGCGGCGGTCGGCGCCGCGCCCGAGCCGGCCGTCGTCGACGCCGTGCGCGGATTACTGCCAGATGTAGGAGCCGACCCGGCGAAGCCCTACATCCTCACGAACGAGAACCTCGTGCAATTACTGATGGTCCAACATTCGCGGCTGCAGCGCGCCTTGCGGAAGATTCAAGAGCTCGAGGGCGGCGTGTTAGTCGTGCCCGCCGCCGCGCCGGTGGAAGCCGTTCAGGACGACGGCGAGCCGCCCGCGAAGCTCGACGGCGGCGCCCTCGCGACGGTGCGGTCCGTCGAGGTGATTGTCAAGGATACGCCCGAGGGCTCCGCGCCGATCGCGCACGTCGAGCTCGAGACGTCCTTACCGTTTGTGGAGGGCCAGTGCGTCTCTGTGCTCCCGCCGGGCAATGACGAAAAAGGCAACCCGCACAAGAAGCGCCGGCTCTACACGGTCGCCTCCGAGCGGGGGTCCCAACTCGCGCTGTGCGTTCGCGAAGTCGGCGTGACCTCGAACTTTTTGCATACTATTCCCAAGGGCTCGCAATTACATCTGGAAGGACCGATGGGCAAGTCGATGGTCCTTCCCGCGGACCCTAAGGCTGGCCTGGTCTTGATCGGCACCTCGACGGGCGCCGCGACGTTCCGCGGGTTCTTGCGGCGACTCTACCCCGCGAACGCGGCGCCGACGGCTGGCCGAGGACCCATCGTCGTCATCCTCGGCGGCGCGACGCGCGAGGCCATCCCCTACGTCGAAGAATTTGAGCAGGCGCAGGAGCGATTGGGTCCCGGGCGGTTCCGCCTCGAGTTGGCGTTGGGCGGCGCGCGCGTCGACGACGGCTCGGAGACGACGCTCCCGGACAAGATCAAGGGCCTGTCCCTGATTGCCAAGGAGATCATGGACCGCGGCGGCCACACGTACGTTTCGGGGTTGCGAGGGATGCTGAAGCCGTGCGCGGCGGCGCTCGACGAGTTCATCGACACGAAGGCGCTCAAGAAGGAGGGCCGCTACCACGCGGAAGTTTATTAAGTTCTTACATGTTACACACACACTTAACGGCGGCGCATCACCGCGATCGCCGCAACGGCTGCGACCGCAACGGCGTAGCGGAGGTACGACCGGCCCGCAGGGATGCCGCGTCGGAGCCGCTCCAAATCATCTCCGCGAACCATCACGGTGACGGCGTCGGCCGCGCCGCGCCACAGGGTAATCGAGGACCCGCCGTGGCGCGCGACCGCCGTGCCGGGACTCATCTCCATCATTTCGGCGGGCAAGTCGCGCAGTGGAATGCGTCCGCCTTTCAACAGCACGCGCCACGCCGTCGCGTCGACGTCGACGACGCGTTTTGCGCCGAGCGCCCCGCGCCGCAGCAACGCGTCGGCGCCGTCGTAGGTCAGCCGGCCGTCGAACAAGTCGGTGCCCAGCTGCCGCGCCGCCTCGCCACCGCCGCGTTTCTCGACGATTTTGACCCCGGCACCCTCGACGGCCACGCCCGCGGCCAGGAGGCGGCTGAGGACGATGGCCGCAGTTCTATCGAGTAACCACGCGCCTGCGCCGCGCGCGCCGCCGCCCGACCTCGCAAATAGCGCATTCCCGAAAGGGAGTCCCGCTTTGACGTCCAACTCCAACACCAACCGCCTCCAGGCATCTTCGTCAATGAGGCGGAGCGGGTGCGCGTCGGTCGACGGCCTCGATTGGGGACGCGCCAGGCGGAGCGTCGCCGTCGGCAACTCTACCCCGCCGCGCGCGGCGCACGCTTGCGGCGGCGAGGGCCCGTCCTCCACAGGAACAAATCCGAGCTTCCGTAGCACGGCGCCGCTCGCCGGGTTTTCCAGGAAGTGCGTCCCTTCAATATTCTCGAGCTTAAGGACATCAAAGCCGTGGGCGATGATAGCTCGGGCCGCCTCTGTCGCGTAGCCGCGGCGCCAGAACGCGCGCCCGAGCCAGTAGCCGATGCGCGGCGTCTCGTTAAAGTTGTCGCGGTCGAGGCTAACGCAGCCGATCAGTTCGTCGCCGTCGCGCTTGACGACCGCCAGCGTCAGGCTCGGGCCCGCGCCGCGCTTCATCTGAATAATCCTGTCACGTAATGTCAACCCTTGCGTGGAGCTAGCCCCGCCGTCGCACACCTTATCCAGAAAGAAGCGGGCCTCCGTGATACCGTAGGGGTGCGGCACGCGCATGCACGTCCGGCTCACCTCGAGGTCGCCGCAGAGAGCCGGGAGCCGCGCCGCGTCCGCGGCCGCGAACGGTCGCAGGCGCAGGCGCGGCGTCGTTAATGAAAACGTCTTTTTGACGAACACCGCGAGGAAGAACCCTCCACGGTCGCCGTCGTGCGGGTAGAGCCGCGCGCATCGGCGGAGGCCAATATCCATGGAAGGCGGACGGAGGTGCGCGTAGGCGTCCGAGGCGACGGCGACGCCGTCGCCGCGGTGGTCGTCGACGAGCAACCGCCACGTCGCCAGCCCGGGCCGCGCGCGCCACGCCGTTCCGAGGCCGTGGTCCACGAGCGCCAAATCGGGCCGCGCCTCCAACAAACGAAAAACGACGGCCTCGTTCTCGACGGGGTTGAGGGAACACGTGCTGTAGACGAGGCGCCCGCCGACCTTGAGTAAATCAGCGCCCTTCAATGCAATTCTGAGCTGGAGGTCGTGGAGAGCCAACGCGTCGGCGCAGCGCCACCTACGATAAGCTCGCATCCCGGTCTTGCGCAGCGCGCCGTCGCCCGAGCACGGCACGTCGCAGAGGACCCGATCAAAACGTTGCGACGACGGCAGTTTGGTCGCGTCGCCCTTGCAGACGACGAGCCGCGCCGCGCGGTCGCCGCCGCAGACGTGCAGCGAGCGCGCGACCAAAGCTCGTGCTCGCTTCGCGTCGTACTCGACGGCGACGACGCACCCGCCCTCGCAGCGTTCTACTAATTGCGTCGTCTTGGACCCGGGCGCCGCGCAGCAATCTAACACAACGTCATTTGGTCGCGGGTCCAAGGCCTCCACGGACGCCATGGACACCTCCTCCTGCCGTCTTAGGCAGCGGAAGCGGTCGCCCCGTACCAGGAAGTCCCTGAGAGCGCCGTCTCGCGTCTTATCTCCCTGCGCCCGCAGCTCCCTCCTCGCTTCGCCGGCGAATGTCCACGCGCCTTTCGCCTGAAGTCGCGTGGCGCCCAGTGCTCGCGCCTCGGCTTCGAGTCGCGCGCACGTGCCGTCGCGCGTCGCGTCGAAGATGCGGAACGTGATGGGTAGTGGCTTGCGCAGCGCCTCGAGCAGTTTCGCGAATTCTGGCGCTGGCACGAGATGCTGTTGCGCGTAGTAGGCCTCGAAGCGCTGTTCCCCTGCCGTCGGTTTCTCTTTTGGTGCGTTGGATGAGGCATGCGCTTCGCCCGCCGTGGTTGCGGCCTTGGCTGCACGCTGCAGCGCGGGCTGTGCTGGCTTTGCCATCGTCACGCGCAGCGCGCGATGGTTGCAGCCTTGCCGCACTGATTGATGGTGAGCGATGCTGCTTCGTTAGCCAATTCTGCTTGCTGTAATATTGATAAAACTACGGCTGCCGCCGCACCTGCTGGCTAGCGGCATGTAAGACACTAGCAAGCAGCAAGCCCGCCAAAACTTAAAGAACGCGATATGAGCCTTCAAGGACCTCTTTGAGCCTTCTTTTGCGCAATATTGACTGAAGAAATGTCGAGGCTCATGCCGCTGGCAGCTTGGTAACAGCGGAACTGTGGAGCCACACGAGTGGACTTCACGGCTGCAAACGCATCTGTCTAACTCGCTGACTGCCGTGATACATCGTTGTTAAGCCAGCGCTAAGCTGCGATATAGCCTGCAGCACACCCAGCACTATGTTCCAAGAGCTCCTCTCCACCGATGGGTTAGCGGAGCTCCAAGACACCTGGAGGCGCTTCGACCTCCACTACGCTGGAGCTAGACCGTGGGGCGAGTTCTTCGAGCAGTTCAAGCCGACGGCGCGCGACCTCGACACGCGCATGGCGACGAACTGGCTGCATTATAAAGCGAACTACGCGCAGCTGACGACGCTCGTCGTCGCGCTGGGGTTGCTGTGGTGGCCCACATCTCTTTTTGCTCTGTGCGTGGCAGCAATAGCGTCGACGGCGTCCGTGACGGCCTGCCCCGGCCGCCGCATCCTTATGATCGGCAGCTATAGCGTCAAGCTCACGACCAAGAACCGCGCGCTCGCCGCCGCCGTGGCCGCGCCGCTCACTTTGATTTTCTTCGGCGTGCTGACGTGGATCGCGCTCGTGTTTTCCTTCGCGCTGGTCCTGCCCGTGGCGCACATGGCGCTGCGGCCGCGGTCGCTGTCGGCGCGGTACAACGCGGCCTCGGACGAAGTGAGAGCGCTCTTCTCGGCGGCGCCGGCGGCGAGTCACGAGGAAGACGCCGAGGCGGGCGTCGTGCGGGATGACGTGCCCGTGCGGGCAAGGGCGCCGCGGGGCGTCGCGGAGAGCAAGGGATAAGTACATTACATATATCAGGCCTTCGCCGCGAGAATTTCGCGCGCCTTCTCCTCCTCGCGCCGTTTGCGCCGGTGCTCGTCCATGGACTCGATGGCCATGGCTCGCGCGACGCGACCGCTCTCGTAGCCCTTGCCGCTCTCGGAAAAGTGGCGGTCCGCCGCCTTCTCGCAAGCCTGCTCCGCCATGATGACGTCGGTCAGGCACTGGTTGTCCGCATCAAACAAGTGAGAGTGGGCGCGGTACTGCCTTTCTAGTTCTTCGAGGACTAGGACATACATCCTGCGACGGGGCGCCTCGTCGATGGCGTCACGAAGTAATGAGACGCGGAGCACGCACGGGCAATACGCGCGATCTTTGCCCGTCCGCGCGAGGATCTCCTGGTACGGCGCGTAGTCGTGAAGTTTATGGACGGGCGACAGCTTCTTGTCGAGCTGCATGAACGCGACGTGCGTCGCCCACTTGTCCGCTTGATCGAAGATGTGGGTCGCGTAGACCACGGCCGCGCCGCGCAGCTCGCACTCCTTCGAGAGGTACTCGAAGAACCTAGCTCTCGAGAAGATGTCGAGGTCGGCCGCGAACTCGTCGATGACCTGCGCACGGGAAACAAATGTGAGGCTAGCACGCCGTCGCCGCGAGGTGGGTTCCGCGCTGTCGCCGACGCAGAGCTTGAAGGGCCGCAGCAGCTTGAGCATGATGCGCACCTTCTTTCTTTGTCCATCTGAACATTCATGCATCCGCCAGTCGAGGTTGATGCCCAGCACGCGCACTAATTCATCTCGTCTCTCCAAATTTTCATCCTGCCACTTCTTCATCATGTCGCGCGCGGCGATATCCATCGAGTACGGCTCGATGCCTTCGAAGCCCGTCCGGCGGCGCTTCCAGACGCCTCCTAGGTACGCGACGCCCATGGCTTGGTCGTGCGGCGTGGCTGTGCCCGCGATGTCAAATTCATCGCTTTCTAAGCCCAAATAGATCACACCCGTCAGGATGCGCAGCAGCGTCGACTTGCCGGCGCCGTTGGCACCGACGAGGATGACCTTGCTATTGGCCGGGATGACGCAGTCGAGGCCGTTGATGTTCAGCGGCGCACCCGTGTCATAGCGGAAGTTCAAATTCTTGATGGTTACCACGTTTTGCTCCTCGTTTGCGGCCGACAGTGATGACATGGCTGGAGTGCGTGGTCTGAAACGCTGCTTATGCCTGTCTGTTTACAATAAGCTGTTGGAACCCGTGTCGCGTGCGTCTCGACTGATCAATGCAACGTCGCCTGGTCAATGGCAGTGATTTATGTCGTCGAACGCAGCGGCTGCTTTGCGACACAGTCAGCTTGCTTGCTAGTGTCTTACAAACGCTAGAGCGGCTAGGCGATCTCAACGGCTGCTTTCAATTGATTGAACCTTGCTTTGAGACATTCGCAACACTGGGAAAATCGAGCGCAAGCCCAGGAACTCAGCTGAGTCGGACTTGAGATTAGAGTTAACGTTGTAAGCGTACCTAGCTGTGGACGCGGGTCACGCCAGTCCGTGGTCGTCGATATCCTGAATCACTGGAGCTTGATAGCTCTGGTCGACAAGAGCGCTGTGTGTTTTCTTTTGCTCATATTCCCGTCTCGCCGCGTTATCATCACCATGAGCGGCCGCGAGCCGGACCCGCGCCTGCGACAGCTGCGAATGGAGTCGCTCCAGGCCATGTCGGACGCCGCGCGTCGTGCTGACAACGCCGCCGGCGCGTCGCGCCCGCCGCGCGGCCCGCGCCCTCCTCTATCGCGCGTACACGGCGACGTATCCACGGCGACTCATAGCCGCGGCGCGTACGACAGCGGCGACGGCGACAGCACCGTTGGCGACGGCGACTCAAGCCCGCGCAGTCCGTTCACGCCCACCCGCCCGACGACCCTCTCCGTGATTTCCGAACTCGACACGATCCAGTCCGAGGTTTGGTCGCCCTCGGAGGAGCCGGCGAGCCCCCACTCGCCGTCGCCGATTTCCGTGACAAACTTGCTCGACGACTCGGCGCCGCGCGCGCCGCGGAAGCTCGACCACTACTACGCCGCGCCGACGCGATCCACATCCTGCTGCGTCGTCGCGTAGACCCATTATCCGCTCCACGTCCTCCTCCCATCGCCTACCACACGACTCCCAATCACCATTATGTTTGGCGCCAAGTATGATTAGGACGACGGGGTAGGGGAGGGGAGGGGCTTGTGGTCTAGGCCGCGCGCGCGATCGGGTCCGCGTCGTCGATGAACACGCTGTCGTTCCTCAGGGAGTCGATGATCGCGTTCAGCGTCTGCGACGGGCGCATGACCTCGTCCGCCTTGGCCGCGTCGACCTTGTAATAGCCGCCGATGTCCGCGGGCGCGTGACTTCCGACGGCGAGCTCCTCGAGGATGCGCTCCTCGTTCGCGGCGAGTAGAGCCGCCGCCGGCGCGAACTTCGCGGCGAGCTCGGGCGCTTTCACCTGGTTCGCCATGGCGTCGGCCCAGTACAACGCGAGGTAGAAGTGCGACCCGCGGTTATCTAACAAGCCAGGTTTTCTTTTGGGCGACTTGTTCTCCGCGAGTAACTTACCAATCCCATCGTTCAAGGCGTCCGCCACGACGGCCGCCTTGGCGTTGCTCGTCTTCTCGGCAAGATCTTCAATCGACACAGCTAAAGCCAGGAACTCACCCAACGAGTCCCAGCGCAGATGATTCGACGCTTGGAGCTGCTGCACGTGCTTCGGGGCGGAGCCGCCCGCGCCGGTCTCGAAGAGGCCGCCGCCCGCCAGCAAAGGTACTATCGACAGCATCTTCGCCGACGTGCCCAGCTCGAGGATGGGGAATAAATCTGTCAAGTAGTCTCTGAGAACGTTGCCCGTCACGCTCACCGTGTCCAGGCCCTTTCTGGACCGCATGAGCGTCTCCTCCATCGCGTGTTCAGGCGCCATGATGCGGATGTCTAGGCCCGTCGTGTCGTGGTCCTTGAGGTACGTCTCCACTTTCTGGATGAGGTTGGCGTCGTGCGCTCGCGTGGCATCGAGCCAGAAGATGGCCGGGCTTTCCGTCGCGCGCGCTCTCGCGACGGCGAGGCGCACCCAGTCCTGGATCGGCGAGTCCTTGGTCTGGCACATGCGCCAGATGTCGCCCTGCTTTACGTTGTGTTCCATGAGGACCTGCGTGTGGGATCAATCGCGTCGACGGCGTGGCGACGATCGCGTTCACCGACGCGTTCCCGAGACGCCATCGACGCGACCACAGAAGACGCCGCAGCACACCTCGCCCGTGTCCCGAGCAACGACGCGGATCGAACCTTGAGCGGGTGCCTCGAACGTCTTGTCGTGCGACCCGTACTCCTGCGCCTTTTGGGCCATCAGGCCCACGTTCGAGACCGCGCCCATGGTCGACGGGTCGAACGCGCCGTGCTCGATGCAGTGCTCCACCACCTTCTTGTAGGACGTCGCATACGACCGGTCGGGGATCACGTACTTCGTGTCAGCGAGCTCCCCGTCGGGGCCCCACATCTTCCCCGACTCGCGCAAGGCCGCCGGCATGGACGCGTCAATAATGATGTCGGAAGGCACGTGCAAGTTCGTGACGCCTCTGTCACTATCCACCATGGCCAGGGGCGGTCGCACGTGATCACAGTTCTTCAAGCACTCCTCGAGCTCATTACTGATCTGTTCTTTGAGCTGAGCATCACCACACGCTTCTAACTTGGCGTAGAAGTCCCCGAGACCCTTCGTGGCGTCTACTTGGTGCTCTTTCACAAACTCGGCATGCTTCGCAAACGTGTCCCGATAGAACACCTCCACGCAGTGGCCGAACATGATCGGGTCCGACACCTTCATCATCGTCGCCTTCAGGTGTAACGAGAACAGGACGCCCTTGTCCTTGGCATCGTCAATTTCCTGCTTGTAGAAGTCGCGTAACGCCGCGACGTCCATTTTGGAAGCATCAATAACCTCGCCAGGCTGCAGGGGCGTCTTATTTTTCAGTATTTTCGTAGAGCCGTCTTCGCTGACAAATTCGATTCTTACGACACCAGCGTCTTTGTGGGTGCTCGACTCTTTGATATCGAACGGGACGACGTGCGACTGCTCGCTGCCGTAGAAGTCGTCTCCGTCCATGTGGGCGACGTGGGACTTCGAGTCGGGGGACCAGGCGCCCATGGGGTGCCTGTGTGATGCCATCGTCTCGCGTCGACGGCGTACGAGCTCTCATGCGGCATCGCCTCGACGCCGTCGCGGCGACGACGGCGTGCGTGACGCCATCGACGCGCCTGACACGCCGCGACGGCCCCGACGCCGTCCGAATCGGCTCAAAATCTCGTCTGATGGAGCCGACGCGCGACGATGGCGTAAGAATGGGACACGGTACAGTACGGGTTCGCCTTCGCGAATTCTTTCACCGCTTTGGCAACTCTCCGGTCCGAGTTGCCCTCTCTGAGGACCGGATTGACCGCAGACCCAAGCACCTTGGCGTAGCGCTTCTGGATCTCCTCGCTACTGGTCGCGAAGGGCGGCACGTCGTAGCCCTTTTCGCGCAATTCCGCGACGCATTCCTCGAGCTGAGGAATCGAGGCGGAGATGTTCGGGAGCTTGATGACGTTGGCCGCCGGCGTCTTGCACAATTCTCCTAACTTGCTCAACTCATCATCGACGCGTTGCGTGCTATCGAGGTTGTCGGGGAAATTCGCGAGAACGCGTCCCGCCAACGAGATGTCCCGCAGTTCGCACTGCACTCCTGCTGACTCCGTGAAGGCCCGCACGATCGGTAGTAAGGAGTGCGTCGCCAGCATCGGGGCTTCATCAGTATACGTATACACGATGGAAGCCGTCGGCACCGTAAATCTGATAGCACGGTACTCGTCCAGAGCAGAACCAGGAGCGAACTTCTCGGCGACCTTCAGCCGAGTCCCTCTCGGTAAGTGATCGAGCCACTCCCGCAGCTCCACGGTCCCATCTTTATTTTTGTCCAGCGCCTTAAAGAGGTCGTCCACAAAGACCTCGTCGTGGGGGATTTTTAAATCTTCTAAGGCTCGTTCGATCTCGTACCTATCTAAGGCGCCGCTCGCGTCGCCTGCGTGGGAGGTTCCGTCTTTTTTCGGCTCTCGTGTGTCTCAATAAAATGCGCAACAATCCGAGGTTACGGACGCTGCGCGCGACCGTCGTAGCGCTGGAAGGCTTCGGCTAAGACAGCCAGCTCGCGTTTTGCCGCAGTAGCACGCGTCTCGTCTGTAGTCGCCAGGGAGCGCACGCCCGTGGCTCGCGCCGCGGCGCGGCCGTCCACGAGGACGCGTCGCAGCGCTTGCGTTCTCATTTTTGCTTATAGGCTTGTAGTCCCCGCGTAATTACGGATTCTGTGCTGCGCTTTCTATCACGATAGTCCTAGATTAACACACTAGAAATTTCGCCCGATTTCAAAACTCTGCTGATCCGTCCGAAAGCGCGTGCCAGAGAGGCGTCGGAGGCGTCGGAGGTCTGGTTTAGTTTTTCGGCAGCAGACTTAGCAACAAACTCTGTGTGCCAAACCAGGGCATAAAAAACTCGCTGACACCGCAAAGCAGCAGCAGCGCGAGGCCTGAACGACCGCATCCGAAGGTCGCTGCAGCGCTGCGGCACCGACGTCGCCTGCCGAGCCGTGCCGGAGCCGAAAGCACTCGCAAGCCAGGCAGCCGAATCCGCCGAAAGCATTGCGCCGCTGGCCGCATCGCTTGCGGAAAGCTTCGCAACACATAAGCAACACCACCGCGCCAGCGCATAGGCCGCGCGCCGGACCAAAAACCCAAAGCGCTGCGAAAAACGATGGGCATCGACCTGCGACGAGACATGCACGTGCGCGCAAGACGATCGGGAGCGCGCGGCGTGGTCCTGAGGCACTGGCGCCACACGAACGGCCACATCTGGGCCGAGGTGCGGTTCGTCAATGGGGACACCGCGACCGTCCGAAGTACCCATCTGGAAAGGATCACGCTAACAGAGGAAGAACAGCGCGAGTTGAGTTCCCAGAGCGCCGGTAGTCTCACGGACCCGTTAGAACTCATGCAGCGCACGATCGACCGATCCATAAAGGTCACCGGCGATTGCGGGACCGAGATCACGAACGCCTTCGACGAGATTCTGAGGCCCGACGGCACGCCTCTGACCGAGGTCGAGTTGCGGACGGAGCGGGGCAAGGCTATACCGGAAGAACCGTTGGACGAGGAGAAAGCTAAAAGAAAAGCGCAGGCCGCGCGCGAAGGGCGAGCCACGACGCGGTCAAGGCAGCTCGAGGTGCGCTACGCCGGCGAGCACGAGCCTGGTATTGTCATTATATCATGTAATGTGTGTAGACGAAGAGGAGCGTCGCGGCACGAGTGGCGCGTGGCCCTTGATAGTAATGGTGTCATGGACGGCACCGCCCTACATAAAATACGGAGCCACTGCGGCCAGTTCGCTTCGGTGCGCCACGCGTCTACTTTGGAGCACTGCGTTGCGCTTGGGAGACTTACTGGACGAGTGTTTTCTCAGAGGGCTTCCGATGCTTCTCGATTACCGGCGAAGCGATCCTACAAAGCGGCCGTGCCCATCGTGCGCAAGCAAGCCACCACTCCCCAATCGTCAAGACCCGCGAAGCGTTCTCGGCCGTCGAAACGCGCCTTAGCCGCGGAGGAGGCGGCCAAGAACGCTCCTCGCCTCCAGATCCACGACGGCCGGAAATTCGTTGACCTCAAGAAGGACGCGGGGCGGTCCGTGCGGTACCACCGGCTCGCGCGACGGCTGCAGTCTTTACTAAAGGAGGGCAACCACGCTGTTGGTGTTACTTACCCAGTACAATTCAGAGCGCCGCGGTCGACGTCGGACCGATGTTTGGAACTCGCAAGGTTACTCCTCACGAAGGGCTTGGTGGCCAAGGTGCCCGTGGCGAAAGCGGCCGACGTCCAAGCCTTGCGGCAGGCGCGTTTAGCCTTGGAGCAGCACCCGCAGCTCTGTGATATTGAAATCACTTCATCGATGGACACCGAAGCGCATGCTTTGGCCCTGGACGAGACGCGAGTGCGAAGGATCGAGCGCATGGCCTTGTTGTTCGTGGCGCACCAGCTCTGGACGCCGGCGCGCGTGCGGAGGTTCGCTTCGGCTGTTAACGAAGACGATGAAGACGACGCGTTGCGGGACGTCGACTGTGCGAAAGCCGCTTGTAAAGATGCCGACGCCTTGTTAGCCTGGCTCGCGTCCGACGAAGCCCTCCGGAGCGAAGATTCAAGTAGGCTAGAAGCGTGGCGCGCTTCCTTAGATAATTGTCCCCTGCGCTGTGACTTAGATACACCTACACCAAGACCATCAAGGACTCTAGACCCGGCCTGGGACGCTCCCTCTGCAAGCGCCAACAGATGCAGAAGAGCGCTACGGGAAGCGGAGGTCGGCAGGGACGAAGCCCGACACAGGGAAGCCGCGCTCGAGAACGACGTCTTTACGGGACGACATAAAACAAAAACCACACCAGCCGCCGTCCTGCAGGCGGGCTGGACTCGCAAATGGAGGGACGCCCAGAAGGTCGCCGAGGTGTTTGTGGAGGTCTTTGATAATGCCACAGCAAATGACAATACGATCAACGACTCTGCTTGCATGTTGCTTGTTCGTGCTGCTAGAGCGTTGCCCGACGTCGGGGCTTATATTGGGGCGCATCTAGTCCGTTCTCTGTTGGCCGTTCATGATTTGACGTTACCGCTCGACGCGTGGGGACCGTTCACGATGAGTGATGATTCGGTAGGACAGATGCGCGAGCTGCTCGGGGACGCCGTGTGTAGTACGCCGATGCAGTTGAGAGTTGCTTTAGCGCAGGAGCTCGGGTCGCTGGAAGTGGACGCGGGCGACTTGGCGCTGATCCTGTGCGAGACGCACTCGTGCTGGGCGTTGGCGTGTCGCCACGCGCAGCACCATGCATCTTGGGCCCATGATGCTTTGTTGCAGGCTTTGCGGGATACACCACAAGATTGGGCGGTGAAGATGCGGGAGGTGCTGTTGGACGAATACCATTTGCCCTTTGATCCACAAGTAGTATACCATCCGGCCCATAAATTGCTACTCGTGACGATGGTCGCCAAGGGTTTACATGACGTCAATGTGTTACGGATGGCGCCGCCTTCGTCATTGGCGCTGCCGCGGCCGGTCTACCGCGTCTGGGCGCCCGGGGACTCGCCATCAGTTGAACCGGTGGAACCGGCGGAACCTGAGGAGGAACCGGCGCCGCCGGCGCCGGCGCCCTCGGCCTTCTCAACAATGGAGGACCTCGCGCCTATGCCGCCCGTGCCGACGTTGGCGCCGACGCTTGGAGCGCCGTACGGCTCCGAGGTCTACGCCGCGGGGGTTGCCGGTGGACCGGCCCCGGCGGCTTTTGCCATCTAGTCCCACCCATCGTCATTCCTAATGTGTGATTACCGAACTTAACTGGGGTTGGCAGTAGTCGGCGGGCGCGATGAGAAAGAGTCATACTTACAACGTTTACATACATAATCAAGAGGGGATATTCGCTGCGGCGGGCCGCGGCGACGACGACTTTCGCCGCGGCCGCCGCTTCTTCGCCTCGGGCGGCGGCGCGAAGCCTTCCTCGGGCGGCCGTAGTTCGTGCTCGCCGTGCGCGAACTTGCACGGCAGGCCGCGAGCCGTCATGGGGCAGTGCATGCCGCCCGACGCGAGCCAGTGCTTGCAGAGCCGCGTCCGGTAGCCCTTCGGAAGCGGCGCCGTCGAGTCCGTCGGGAGCGGCGCGGTCGAGTCGAGGCTCTGGATGCCGCGCGGGCTGCCGCCTTTTTGCGCGGCCGGCGGCGAGTCAGCGACCGCCAGCGTCCCGAGGCGCGCGTTCAGGTCGTCCTCGTCCGACGCGGGACTCCCGCGCCGCGAGGGCGCCGCCGTCGGCGCCTCGTCTGGCACAAGCAGGGCGGGCGCCTCGGTGCGCTCAGTCGGCGCCTCAGCCGCCGCCGCGACCAGCGCCGGCGCCACCGGGGCGCCCGCGAGCGCCGGCGACCCAAAGTAGCCCAGATACGCCCGCAGGTCCGCTGCCGCCGGCAGCGCCGCGTGGCACGCCTCAAAGACGCGCAGCAGCAGCGACGGGAACCGAGTCAAGACGAACGCGAGCAGGCCCTCGCGCGTGCGCAGTTCTGAGAAGGGCGACGTGTGGATGTGGTGGCTCTGGTTCCGCAGCATCCGCAGCAGCGCTCTAACTGAATGACCGTCGTACGTCCGCCGCGCCTCGGCGTGCCGCAGGAAATCACTAGAGAACGCCGCCCGCCAGTCGTCAAAACCCTGAGAGGCGTCGATCGCCGCCCGCAAGGCGTCCGCCTCCGACGTCTCCTCGGCGTAGTCGCTCGCGTCCAATAAAAACGCGACCCGCCTACTTTCATCCCAGAGCGCCGGGTGCCGCGCCCACGCCAGCGGCGTCGCGCATGATACTAGCTCCCGCATCTCCAGGCACCGCGCGTCGTCACTCTCACCGGCACACTGTAGTGTAAGCGTCCTCAAGTCAGAGACGTCGTCGCCCTTGTTATCGCCGTCGCGCGGCACCAGTTTCAATTCATGAGCCGCCCACAAACTACCACTTGTACTACGGGGCACGAGCACGATCCGGTCCGGCGTGGCGCGCCACCGCCGTTTCGAATCGGGCAGAGCGTCTCGCAGCCATGACAAAGCCTCCGCTATTGATCTCAAGGACAGTTGGAGTTCGGATGGCAGGCCTTGGCATTTATGTGATGAGAGTGCCTCTTGTAGAGTACACAGGGACGCCTCGACGGCGATCTGCGCGACACCGCACGGCAGGACGTCGCACGCGTAAAATCTCAAAACCGCGGCGTGGTCCGCTCTTTGTAACGCGGCTATCTCCTGCGCAAGCTGTAAACGGTCCTCCGCGGGCTTTTGGTGAACATCTACTCTTTTAGTGCCGAAGAAGCCGCTGCCTCGCTTGTCGGCGACGATGCGCGGCACGCGTTGCACAGTGTTCTTGCGCGCATAGCTCAAACCATAAGACATGGCGACGGCCGCACTCAGGAGCATGAGTACCGCCGTCAGCGAGAAGAATCTAGATGGTGGCGGGCAGAAGATGGCCGGTTGCGCGTTTAACGGTACCAACGCCGTCGCATCGTTGGACATGGCCGCGAGCGTGCAGGCGGCCACCGCCGCAGCCGTCTCGGTGACCGTCGCAAAGAACTGTTTGCGTGGTTTCGTGACCGCTGCACTCGTGTTCGTGCCCACCTGGTCGCCCAATCGCGACGCCGTGGCCCGCCAGAGCAGCTCCCCTGATGCTCGGTCTAACGCTTCCAAAGTCCAGGTCCGCCGCTCAATGAGTGCCTTCGAGTTATCATCTTGAGCCGCGCAGATGATGCCCTGCGGGCAATTGGTCTCGTCGCTGACCACATCAGATAAGAGTTTACCGGTGAAGACCACCGTGCCCTCCGAGGATAGAAACGGCGTCCTTGTAACTAATTCCTCGAGGGCGTCGACGGTCCAATTTGTAGGGACTTGCGCGTCCTTCCGCGGCCGGTAGATCGTCACGGACTTATCATCATCACTCGTCTCCGCGAAGGGTAGGGCCGGGTACAAGCCTCTGCCCATATCGTCGATGTCGACGCTGTCGAAGACCTCCACTTCATCACTGTCTTGTAGCACCGTCAGGTCCGCGGTGTCCGATTTGACGTTTGGCGGCTGGTCCTTCGGCAGCGGCGGTAATGATGCCGTCGCTGCGGTGGCCAGGGCGAGGAGGGCCCATTGTCTTCTTCGTCTTGGGCGCGGCATCGCCTTCTTCGGATCGTGCGACGCGGGGTGAGCCGAAACAGCGCTGTGACCTAGGCCTTGTTGTGCAGCCCTGTTGGTGTTCCCCGCGCCCGCTGTTCGCTGTGAAGCTGCGAGAGGTGGAGTGCACTAGTCGACCACTTCTGCTGAGCTACTGGGACCCTGTAGGCTGAGATAAGAGCCTTAGCCAAAAGCAGTCCTGAAGCCAGCTAGTGTCTTACAGCACGCTAGCGCAAAATTATGCAGCAGCTCAGCTTGAGCGCCCACGCGTGGACGGGGGCGCTCTCGTGACTGTCATTGATCAATTCAAGCATGGCGCGTTCGCGCTCGCGCTCCTATTCGGCCACCGGAAGCAGTTCTGGCTCCTACAGCAGTAGCCCCAGCAGAGAGCGTTCGCATTCTCCTCGGCGGCGGTCGCGCAGCCAGCGTTCGCGCTCGCCCCGGGGGCGCTCGCCGTCGCCCAGAGGTCGCCGCCGGTCGCCATCACCGCGCGGCCGCCGGCGCTCGCCACCGCGCGGGCGGCGCCGCTCTCCCTCACCTCGCGGGCGGCGGCACTCACCCTCGCCGCGAAGGCGCCGGCGCTCTCCCTCGCCGCGAAGGCGTCGCTCGCGCTCTCCGCGACGCCGCTCGCCGTCGCCGCGACGAGACCGCCGCGATCGCCGCGCGCCGCCGCCGCGCAGCCGGAGCGCCGACCGGCCAGCGGCGAAGCCCAAGCCGCGGCGCATCTACCCCGGCGGCGCGCCTCCGAGCGACGCGCCCGCCGTCGGGCCCGCGCCGCGGCCGGTGGCGGCGCCTCCGAGCGACGCGCCCGCCGTCGGGCCCGCGCCGCGACCGGTGGAAGGCCCCGCGCCGCGGCCAACGGGACCGGCCGGCCGCGGCCGCGGCGCGACGACGCCGGCGTGGATGACGGGATCCGAGCCCGCCGTCGGCCCCGCGCCGCGGCCTCATCCGGGCGCGCCTACGAAGCACCGCCAGAACCCGTCGGGCATCTTTGGGTACGTCCAGGCGGCCGTCGGCGTCAGAAATGGCGGGTTGCAGGACGATGTGTTAGATGCGCGGCGCCAGGGCATTGCAAAAGACGATGAAGCAATTTTCGGCCGTAACAACCGGCTGCAGACGGCGAACGGCGCGACGCTCAACGACCAGTTCTCGCGCGGCGTCACGCGCGACCGCGCGGCCGAGCGCGAGTTCCCCTACGAGTGCAAGCGCGACGGGCGGCGCTTCCTGACGGCGACGGCGTTGTCGGAGCACCTCCTCGAGGCCTACGGCGAGCGGCTCCACCCGTCGCTGATCCGGCCCGCGAAGGCGAAGAAGATCACGGACGATCTGTCAGATGACGAGTAAGTCTGGGGCGATGTGTTTTCTTTGTCCATCGTTGAGCTCGCGCCGCGCTTGCGAATAATAGGAACTCTCAGGCATGCTCCAGAGAGATAAATATATCTTGCCGACCGCAACGCGCCTGCGTCATATAGTTACGTCACACCTTCAGTATATCAACGGTACCGCAACGACGCGAGAAAAACGGCCGCCGCGCGCCGAGCGGCGCTTTTTTTAAACCTTTGCAGCAGCTGTCTTGCGAAACCGAGGGACAGCGGGCGTCAGCGAGCTTCGTGAGACTCTCGTCGCGTCGTCGACGCCGCCAATCGACGCGAGAGACCGCCAGGCTTTCAATTGTTTCGTTTTACACAATCGTCTTCGACGCGACGCCGCCGCAAGGCGTAAGCCGCGTAACACCACATAACGCAGGACCCGTAATACACGAAGACCACAAAAGACCATGGCCTCTTTCAGCACGATCCCCGAACAGACCCCTCTCCTTGACGAGGCGCGCCCGAAGCAGCGCAAGTTCGCCGCGACGACCGTCGCCGTCCTCTGCCTCGCGTCGGCAGCAGTCGCCGCCTCCGTCCCGGCCGTTCGCCGCGCCATGACGCTCGACTCGTCGGATAACACGTGGGGAAACGAGAAGGCCTACTTCCAGATGAAGGGTACGAATTCGTGCCTGGGCGTGAAGAACCACAACAAGGCGACCGTCGGCTCGCCGCTCGTGATTTACACCTGCGACGACTCGAAGCACATCGGCCAGGAGTTCCTCTACGAGCAGACGAACGACATGGGCCACATCAAGTACCAGACCACCGCCGGCGACTGGCTCTGCGTCACGACCTGTGTGGAAATAACGTCGCGTCGATGGCGTGGGGCGTCCGAAATTTGATTTCCACACAGGTCACGGCCTGGGGCACGGACGACGACACGGCGCCCACCCCGCCCGCGGCCACCGCCGGCAAGCGCTTCGTCCTCAAGACGTGTGGCTCGCCGACCTGGGACTCGCAGAACATCCTCTACATGCACGCGCCCGAGTACAACGCCAACCTCAAGATGGCCCAGGACAACTTCGAGGGCAACCTCTGCCTCGCGGCGACGGGCTCGGTGAACGAAGATGTCATCGAGACGGCTATTTGTGACGGCAACGACAAGTACCAGGCCTGGCAGCTCAAGGTGATCGAGGAGTTGCCGCAGCACCTCGACGACGAGTACGGCGGCCACTAGAGGGGCTTCGCCCGCGGGCCCCGGCACCATATACTCCCCCAAAAACAAAACAACAAAATCGCTCCTCTGCGCCGGGGCCTCTCTGACATAAGTCTACATCACGTTCTCTCTCTCACAGCTCACTCAACCCTGCACGCCACCCGTTCTATCTAGCGGCTGTAAGACACTAGCAAACAAGCCACCAAACCAAAAGAGCAGTAGTGTACGGCGCCATCGAGCGAGCAAAAGTTCTCCGTCGCAGCAGCAGAGCTGCTCCTAAGCTGCTACGGCCGCAGCGCTGCAAGAACGAGCGCAAGATCGAGCGCTGTGTCATTGCTTGGGAGAGCCTGCAAGGAGAGCAGCCATGGCTCGGCGGCTCCTACTGCTGTATCCGGCGCTCGCCACCGCCGTAGTCCTCCGTAGGACTCCACTGACACCCTTGAAGGTGACCGGCAAGGACGCCGGCGCCTTCCTGCACGCGATGTTGAGCGCGGACGTGAGCACGCTACGACCGAACAGACACGTCGACGCCTGCCTCCTGACGGGCCAGTCGACGCTGACGGACCTGATAACAATAGCACGTTGCCAGGAAGAGTGGCTCCTGCTCTGCGAGGACGTATCGACCGTCGTCCGCGAGCTCGAGAAGCGGAGGGTCATCGAGGATGTAACATTCACAGAGAAAGACGCGGCGGTCTTCGACGTGTTGCATGGTGACGCCGTCGCCGACGCGCTCGCCGACACGGCGCTATCATTGGAACCGACCGCAGTGTACCACAACGACGACGTATGGGCGTTGGGCGGCACGTCGCTGCGAGAAGCCGGCGGCCGCATCATTACAAATGCCGACGATGGTACAATTGACGCCTGGGAGCGGGCTAGAGTCGAGAAGGGCCGGCCGCGGTCCGGCTTCGAGTTCAGTACATCGTACGACAGCAAATTACTGGAGAGTTGTGGTCCCCTCGAGAGCGGCCTCGCCTTCGCGTGCGCCGAGGGCAAGTGCTACCTGGGCGCGGAGCTCGTCGGTAAAAGACGGAAGGCGCCGTCCTTAAGGTGCCGGCTGCGCGGTTTACGTTTTGAGGAAGAAGTCGATCTCAGACCCGGCACGGCTTTCGGGGAGGGCGTCCTGACTTCTGTGAATGGTAAAAACGGCCTCGCGTTTATTGAACGGAAGGCAAATCTGAAGATAGGCGACGCCGTGACCGTCTCCGGTGTTCCCGCGACGCTCGCCGCGCTCGAGTTTAGCGACTGCGAGGAGGACGCGGAGGAGGAGGTCGTCGTCGCGGAACCGTCGGAGAAGGAACGCAAGGCAGCGAAGCTGGCCGCCATGCAGGCGAAATTGGCGGCCGCCGGCCTCGCGAAGCCCGACGAGGCCGACGCCGCGGCTGCAGAGGCGGCCAGAAAGGCCGCGAAATTGAAAGCGATGCAGGAAAAGCTCGCCGCCGCAGGCCTCGCGAAGGCCGACGAGGCCGACTCAGAAGCTGCGGAGGCTGCCAGGAAGGCTGCGAAGTTACAGGCCATGCGGGAAAAGCTCGCCGCGGCGGGGCTCCCGACGCCCGACTAAGACTAGTGATGTGATTTTGCCTCGCGTCGACGGCGTTTGGTGGAATAGGGGTCCTCGCCATGCCTCGCCGCGACGGGCCAAGTCACGTGAACAGCGGGTGGTAGAGACCCCCCACGCCGTCGCCGCGACGAGAGTCAGATGAACAAAGAAGGGTCCTTAGAGGTCCGCGTGCACGCACCACCGCAGCCCGACCTCGACGAAGGAGACAGGCACGAGAAGGAGATTCGCGGGAAACGGAAGGTTGAACCCGTGCTTGATCTGCGTCGCCAAACCAAAGAAGGCGAGCAAGTAGCCGACGACCTCGTCCGCGAAGGAGTCGTGGGGCCCGTGCTTGAGAATACCGGCGTTCTTCAGCATCACGACCAGCGCGTCGCCCGCGATCTGGCCGCCTCTCACGGCCGAGTGGAAGGCGCTGATGATGCGCTGCAGCGTCCACGCGATAGAAACGGCCACGAGCTTGCACGCGTAGTTCAGGCCCGGCCGGATCCACTTGTGGTAGTCCTCCGTGAGAGCTTTTTTGAGGAATGGTTCCATGGCTCTTCTTACTGGAGGTCTCAGCACGTCGCCGATGGCCCCACCGACCACAATAGCCTGGGCGAACTTGATCTTGAGGGAGGCTAACACCGCGAGAAAGCCCGACGTGATCGCGGACATGGCTCTCGATGTCTGCTCGGGGTCGCTCGTACGTAGGAACAGCAAAACTTTGCGCTCCACGAGTTCTCCAGCTGTCAGTGAGTCGACGTCGGCCTTGCCGTCCCTATTGGAATCGTCCTGGTCGTCTTTTTTGTGCGCCTCTTGCACCTTCTTGAAGTCGTCGAAGAGCACTTTCAGGGCTCGCTTCGTCGGCTCGAAGCCGATCTGTCTGTACGCCTCGACGGCGGTGATGACGGCCGGAAACGCACCCCCACAGAAGCACATGAACAGCCCCACACATATCTTGATGGGCTGGCCGCCGTGCTTGTCGGCCCACTGCCAGCACGCCACTCCAAAGTAGTAGAGCATGATGAGGTACGGGGCTGCGAATTCCGAGATCACCACTACGCCTGCTATTACGGGTGCGAACGTCTTTATGAGCGTGCCGGCCATGCCCGGCGTGCGGTCGGCGGCTTCTTTGAGGACGTCGACCTTCTTCTTGAAGGGTGAGGGGCCGGCCGGAGACTTGTGGAGGCCGCCGGACATTCTACGTGGATTGGGTGTGCGCTGCGTCGTCATCTTTTTTGTAATGCTACTCGAAGCTTCCTTGGCTCTCCGCTGGTTTGGGGCGCGTCGACAGCGTCGAGTTGCCTAGATCTCGATTCTGGTGAGCCCTGGCGGGCTGCTGGCTGGCTCTCGTGTACGAAGGACGCTGTAAGGCGCCTTTTCGTGTGAATCCTTCGAGGCGCCCGCTTTATATTTTCCAGCTAGCGGTATGTAAGACACTAGCAAGTACAAACTACTCGTATGCCGCTGAAGCGCTCTGTGTACGGCCACTCGCGGGCGCCAGTTTACGTTTCGCACTTATCTGGGTAAGAGAGCACCCTCCCGAGAACCCGACGCCGGGCGGTCAACTTGGCACTCTGAGATTGGAAATTCGAGATACGACGCCGCGGCGCGCACGCGATACCGCACGAAAGGCGGGGCCACACAATAACCGCAAAACGCTAGCAATGGCGGCAATAAGACGCAGCTTCTCGGGCGCCCTCCAGCGCCGCCGCTCCGCGTCGATGGAGTATCACCAGCGTCGAGAGCCATTTCAACCTCCGAGAGGGCCCCACTTACGACGGCCGCCATGAGATCATCAAGATCGGGCATCGTCAACACAAGCAGAACACGCCGAGACTCCACTCAAAGCCTGAGCGATTCGTCTTGAGCTTGCTGTAGGCTGTAATGCTAGTGTCTTACACGCCGCTAGCATGGATACGGTGGCGAAGCGTTCGGGGTCCGTACTACCGGGGTGTGGGTTCAATAAGTGACTCTCTCTCTCTCGGATAGATAGATTCATTGAATTAGTGCACCGCCTCGAACGACCGCCTCCTTTTAATGACGCGCACGCGCCGGACGCGCTTCCCACCACTACTCGGGGCGTCGCCGACGCGCCGGACCACGCGCCGCATGCGCTTGCCGTCGACGATCACGACCTCGACGCCGTCCTTCGACGCCGAGACCACGCGTCGCACGAGCCGCCGGACGATCTTGCGGTTGGGCGAGGGCGTCTGCCCCGGAAACGGCGCGACGAAGGGCGGCGTTTCCGGCGTCGGATCCGGCGACGCCTTCACTTTCATGGCCACGGGCGTCGTCGCGGGCGCCTGCAGCGCAAACACATCATCCTCGTCCGTCGAGTCCCAGCGCGGCGGGCGGAGCCGCGCCCAGCCCTGTTTGAGCTTGTGCCGCCGTCTCAATCGTCTCAATGCCTTCGTGCCGGCGCTAACATCCTTCGCGGCGGCCTTTGTACGGATCCGCGCGACCGTCGCCTGGACTCTGGGATCCGGGGACCCTCCCCCAAAAGCCTGTAAAGCCTTGTCGACCTTGGCGCCCATCGCCGTCGTCGTGATCACGTCGATCGACGCCTCGAGCTTCTGCAGGGCCTTCAGCCGCACCTCGACGTCGTCCGCGGCGGCCGTCTTACCGATGGGTTCGCGCGCCACGGGTGACGGCGCCTTGTCGAGCGCGCCGGCCAGGAAGGCGGCGGCGTCGGGCGCCGCGGCCGGGGCGGGCGCGGGCGCCGGCGTTCGTTTACGAGCCTCCCAGAACGAGCTCTTCGCTGGGGCGGGCGCCGGCGCCGGCGCGGGCTTGGGCTTCGCCTTGCTCCCAAACCAGCTATTGCGCTTCTTCGCCGCGGGCGCGGGTGCCGGCGCCGGGGCCGCCGGCGGCGGCTTGGCCGCGGGCGCGGGCGCGGGCGCCGGGGCCGGGGCCGGGGCCGGCGGCGGCGCCGCGTCGCGCCCGATCTCGTGATGCTCGATCCCGCGGTCCCTAAAAATCTCGTCGACGACGTCGGCCGCGGCGGGCGTCGCAGGCGTCGCCGGCGCGGAGTGCGCCGACTCTATGGAGGGCGACGGCGCGCGGATGCGGACCATGGGCGTCGTCGGCGTTGATACATTTGATTTGAGCGTGGGCTGCATGGCCGCCGTGTCGTCGGCCGCGCCCTTGCGCCGGAACACCTCTAGCTCTTTGATGTCCGGGCTGCCGTTGGCGTGGCCGATGGCCACGATCAATATGGCCGCCATGTCCACCAACGCCGCGGCTTTCTTGTGGTACTTGGAGCCGTGGGGCGGCGGCCTCAATGTAATGCGCCGGTTGCCTCTTCTGACTTCGACGCGCGCATTTCTCTCCAGATCTGATGGTTTAGGCTCCACTACGGCCCCATGCAATTTTAGGGATGCTAATTTCTTGCGAGGCGCCGCTTCCCGATCGAACAAGGCCAAAGAACCGTAAGCCAAGACGCAATATCGGACCCCGTCGATCAACAAACCTTGGGCCTCGACCCAGCCTGAGTAGAAAGGCGCCATGCGAAAGGTAATCGGTTTTCTTTTCCGAAAGGCGACGTCTACCGCTTTTTCCGTCGCTTCAAAAGTAGCCAGCAACGTATCATGTCCATCAACTGCAGAAATAGCACTCCCAGCAGAAGCGGCCTTCTGGTTCGCCACCAAGAACGCTTTCCGCTTCTCAGCCCGCGTCTGCACGGCCTTCTTGACCTTCTCCTCGAGTTGATGCTCTAATTTCTCGGCGGCGTTGACACTTTTATGTTCTTCTTTTTTTTCGTGGTCGGCCTTCGTGACGACGACCCACTGGCCCCGCCTTTCCAATGTTGCATTTGTGAGCGCTGCCCTCGCGTCCGGGGCTCTTCTCTCAAGCCGACTGAGCATGCTTACCACAATGCCGGCGCGATGCCTCAACGCATCCGCGCCTTTCAGCTTGCGTTCGTGCAACTTGCATTTTTTTGCGGCGGCGCGGAGTTGTGCTGTTGTTCGTAGTTTATTCACGTTTCTTTCACCAATGTATTCTTTGAGTAAATGTCGTAAAGTTGCGGCACCACAATCTTTAATGACGGGGCAGCAGGCGTACTCCTCGTCCTCGTCCCAGGACGCGTGGAGGAAGACGCTCGTCATGCGCCGGACGGGCGCGGCCATCGCTTGCTGCCTTTGAGCGTGGCACAGCTGGTTGCAATACTTTTTGTGCAGTGCGCCGGGGCTGCCCTGCGATGGTCCAGGCACCGCGGCTGCTCGATGGCGTCGAGATGACGACGCCGCCGCGTTCGAAAGCACAGGTATCGCCGCCACGGCGCCTCACAAGCGATCAAAGCGCTCTGCTGCGCAACAGGTGGCCACCGTGCGGGCTGGCGCCCGGTCGGACGAAGCAGACGTCTTTACACAACAACCAACAAAATTAGGCGCTATTCAGCGTCGCCGCCGCGACGCCAAGCAACACGACCGGCGCGATCGCGCCGTTGCTCCGGAACCGCGCGCCGAGGTTCGCCGGGTTATCCAATTCAGCCGTCTCGACCTGCCAGGCGAGGTGGGCCGCGAAGGTTGCGAGCGACGCGTAGAAGGGCCACGCCGTCGCATCATTGAAACCCGCAGTGTAGCCCGCGAGGCCGAGGCCGCTTACCGTCGCGACACCACAAACACGAAGAAACATAGGCGTATTTTGATCACCTATTGTTAATGCCGACGACCGCAGTTTCAGTTTGGCGTCGTCCGTTTTATCCTGGTGCGCGTACAGGGTATCATACAATAGAGTCCAAGCGACGCACCCACCATACAAGGGCAGGCACACGCCGTAATCCACCGTGCCTCCCGTGGCCGCAGAGTAGCCCAGCAACGCGCCCCAGTTGAAGGTCAAGCCCAACACTAATTGAGGCATCGCGAAGAACCTCTTGGCCAATGGATACGTTAATACCAGAGGCACGGAGCACGCCCCCAGAGCTATGGAAGACAAGTCGAGCTGCGTCAGCACACCCAAGCCGCAGGTCAGTTGCACCGCGAGGAACGCCGTCGCCTCTTGCACGCTTAGTTCGTTCGCGGCGAGCGGTCTGGTTTTTGTCCTCTCGACGGCGCCGTCGACGTCTCTGTCTAGGATATCGTTGATGGTGCAGCCGGCGCCCCGCATGATTACGGAGCCGGCGCCAAATAGAGCCAGGAGTTTCATATCAGGTAGGGCGCCGGGCGGCGCCGCGAGCGCGATGGACCACGCGCCCGGCCAGTAGAGCAGCAGCGTGCCGGCCGGCGCGTCGACGCGCGCCAGTGCTAAGAGCGCTTCGGGCTTGCTTCGCTTCGGCTGCGGCGGCGTCGGCGGCGTCGTGGCGAGGCAGCGGCAGGCCTGGCCTTGGCGTGGCGGGCCCGCACGGGTCGCAGCGATGGCATGGCTCGCACGGCGTCTTACCGCAGTCGCGACGGCATGTCGGAACATGCTTTCAGCGGCTATTTGCAGCAATGCGGACACTGAACACGATTGCTCGACGCCGCTTGTTTGCTAGTGTGTTACAGCCGCTAGTTAAAGTCGCAGCGCCCCGAGAGCAGCTTGCTGTCACGGACCAACCGGGGCTCCACGACGCTGCCTGCGACACGCGGGAGCACTGCTCTATTACCGTCACCCAGCCACGCACCGCCTGGGCAAAGAGGGCTGCCCCTCGGAGACGCTACCACCTGGGGCTCTCCGGGAACCTGGGCAACCATGCGCGAGGACGCCCGCTTCCTCAGCCACACGGCCAACTCCGTCACAAACCACCAGATCACCAAACGTCGTTACCGCAGCGCCGCCGCGAACCTGACGGACGCGGACACCCACGGCCGCGCCGCCGTCGCGAGCTTCTCGCACGTTCCCGAGGTGCGGACCTCGGTGCTCGCGCCCGTGGGCACCTTCCGGGCCAACAAAGACCTCGTCACACCACCCTCGACGCCGCCGGCGAGCCCGACGCCCCACGATTTTGATAGATACGACCGGGGCCCCGGCCCCTACCCCACCGTTTCTGATGATGTGCGCATCTCCGAGGCTTACAAGCTCGCGCCCCAAACGTTGTTCAAGGGTCCGGCGGGGCGGGAGCTGCGGCGGCAGATGAACCGGGCGAATCCGAGGGGGCGGCGGGGACCTTCTCTCAGACCGTTCGATCGCGATACGAAGCCGGGCGGGTGCCGGTCGGTGGAAGGACAACAGAAGACGCAGGAGCGGCTGACCTGGCTGGCGCCGCCCGTTTCTGAAAGTTCCGCGGACGCGTCCGTCATCTGGGCCGCCGCGGACGCGCGATTGCCAAAGGAGGAGCCCCCGCGCCTCGAGGCGAAGGCCCCCGCGGCGCCCGTGGGAGACCGGCCCATGGTCAAGGCCACTCAATCGGTATCCCTCGACGACGCCGCGTCGTGGCTGTCCGACGCCGTGCCCAAGGATTTCGACGGGCTCTTCGCCGGTCAAGCGCCGGCGCCGGCGCCGGGCGAGGAGCTCCTCGATCCACCACAATGCGACTACAAGGACATCGAGGGCACCCTGACTACGTTCGTCGAAGCCATTCCGCGGGGCGCCTACGACGACCACGAGCGGGCGACGTTGGAAAAGGTGCTCGGCACGCAAGCTTCTGCAAGACTTATCGGATTGAGCGTCCACTTGGTGTATTGGAGCGTCATCTATCCAGCGTTTAGGGGCTCTGGAAGTGGTTATTTGCGCCACGGCGCCCACGACGAAGAGAATCATGACCAACTCTACGCCGAATGTCTGGCGGCCTTCGGGCACGTCAAGACGGACCTGGTTACGACGGCGCGCAGGAAGCGCGTCAAAGATATTCGTGTCAATGGCGCTCTACTACCAGTCGTGGTTTTAGCTGTAAAAAGATCCGTAGATGATATTTTGTCAAGGACCTACGCCTACCTCATATTGGAGGAGGGTAGAGCTCTATTACAGCAAGGCCTAGCAACCTTGAGCGAGATTATCGATGCGGGCGAGTTCAACGCGCCGGTCTTCGTCGGCCACCACCGCTATCATACTTTCGAGGGGACCATTATACATGTCCGGGAGGATCAAGAATATGATGTCACATATGATGAGGGCGGGACGGAGACGCGCGTGCCCGCGCGGTTCCTGAGGCGGCGGACGGGGGCTTCGGTGGATAAGGTGCCCCTCGTCGTCGGCGAGGCCGTGGAGGTCCACTCGGACCGCCACCGCGTGCCCGAGATTTCGTACCATCGCGCGGCGCTGGTTGGTAATAGGCACCGGGCGACGTCGGCCGCGGCGACGGCTCTGTACGCCGACTCGCTCGACCCAAAAATACGTATGCTGGCGCGGCCCGAGAGCCGGCTTCGCGGCGCGGTTCCCAAAACGCCGGGCAGCGTGCCCACAACTGCTCAATCTGCCGTCTACCGCGACCTCGCTTCCTCCGTGGGCTACTCCGCCCAACGGCCTCATGTGAGCCCCTTCCCCCGAAAAGATAACGGGCGAATTCTCGCACGCATGAAGCACAAGTACCGCGACTTGTTATCTCAGAAGCCGGACTACACGCCGCACACGCGGGGCCCGGGCCGCGAGCAGCCGGCCTTCTGGGCCGTCGATAACCACGCGTACCAGGAGCGGCGGCACGCCACGCCGTTCAACGGTGATAGTCATTTTAAGTAACTTCTGCTTTGCTTAGAGCTGGGCCGCCTAGCTATCTGACCGACTCTTTATTCAAATATTACCTCTCTCCCCGATTCGCGGGCGTCGCGTACGGCGCGCGCCTTTCGTAAGTCGTACTCAATCCCCATTGTGTCCGGATGCGCGCCGCCGAGGACGCGCCGCGCGGTTCGTTCCGTCTCTGCGAGCGTCGTCACGGCCTCGCGGAGATCGTCGAGCGTGGCGCTGGCGTCGCAGTAGATCGCCGCTGCGTAAACCATCCGCATCACGAGCGTGAGTCTATCATTATCTCTAAGAACACGTCGCGCCACGGGTATCGTCTTGCGCAAGAGTGACCTGGCTTCTTCGAAGCGCTTCAGCAAACGAAGGGACTCCGCGTAGTGCGAATACTGGCGCGGGGTCCGCGACTACGGATCCGCGTGGCCTGAGAACGTGGGGTCTCCCTCGGGGCCGGACATCCCAGGGAGACGCGAGCAGCGCGAGAACAGGGAGCGGCGAAGAGAGCGGGCCCGGCAACGCAGTCGTCGGTGGGGGTTGTCTAGTACGTGAAGTTAAGTACTGGGTATAAACTTAGAAAAACAAAACAACACAAATCACGCCGCGCTGTCCTCGAGCCCCGCCAACACGGGCTCCGAGTCGCGCTTGCCGAGCTTCGCGTCCCAGGCGTCCTGGCCCTCGTCGAAGCCTATCTCTTTCCGCCGCGTCATTTCTATGGTGGCCAGTTCATCATCCAACGACTTCTCGACGGACTCGGGCAGTTTTCTCGCCACAGCGACCGCTAGTAGTAAAGATGAGGCGAGGCACCAGAAGGCCGCGAAGCCGCCGTGGTGTCGCGAGAACCCCGTCGCGAGGACCACAGCCCCGAAGGTCGGCCCCGCCGCCTTGCCCACGGCCTCCACGGTGGCAGCAACACCATTGGCGTAGCCCCGTTCCGCGCTCCGCACCACGTTATTCACTATTGCTTGCGCAGCGGAAAAAGCTGTGGTCGCCGCGGCGTAGAATACTGTGACCGGTACTGCTAAAAATAACAGTTTGACGCCGAAGGGCGACTCCAACCCGCCAAGTATGGGAATGAACATTAACGTTGAAGCGCCTGCACAAGCCGCGGTCACGAGCGACCCCCTCAGGCCCCGTCCTTCCATGAAGGATGCCATGAACCGAAAAGAATAAACGACCTGGACGCCCGACGCTACAGTGAGTGTGATTGCTAGATCTGCTCGAGTCAAATCCAGCCCACCGGCTTTCAGGGACGCGATGGCCCAGAGCGGTATGGTATCAAAAGCTGCGAAAGTCGCGAAACCCAGCGCGAAGCGCAGGAAGACGCCTTTCGCGAACAAAACCGAGTGGACGTCGGACGACACGCTTACATCGGGCTCCTCAGCATCACCGACGCGGGCGTAGCCGGGCTGCTTCGTCTCCGTGAGCCACACGCTTCCTAGTAAAATGGCGACCAGAGCTAAGCATGCGCCGAGTAAGGACGGCGCTAACGCAGGATACCGCGGTATCTTGTTGTACAAGAGCGCGGCGACGGCGGGGCCGCTCAATTGGCAAAACGTGCCGCCCGTCAGCGTGTAGCCGTTGACGCGGTTCTGCCTAGACGCGCCGCCCACTTCCCCCACGTAGACGCCCATGAGCGACACCCAGCCGTTGCACGCTCCTAGGAATATCGCTCGCACGATCAATGCCGCATGTAACGTTTTTGTGATACCAAAAGCCAGGTTCCCGACCAGTATGCCCGCCATCGACAGTAAAATGGCCGGTTTTCTTCCGAAAGCATCCGCCAGGCGCCCCCACAGGACCGACGTGAAGAGCCGTCCCACGACCAGAGCGCTGCCGAGGTAACCGGCGACGTAGCCCGCCTCGTCCACGTTTGGTGACCATCCTAAATCCACGACGAGGAACCCCGCATAACTAAAAAGGGAGCAGATGGTGTAGAAGTGGGCCGCGTTGCACAGCGCCAGTACTACACACTGGCGCCAGGGGAAGGGCGCCTCCTCTTTGGAGGAGCGGCGTTGCATGGCTCCCTCGCTGGGTTTGGCACAAGCTGGCTGTCTCCAAGGGTTAGACGCAGTTATGCCTGGACAGACGAGAAATGCATGCGAGCTGATGCGGCCACAATATATATTGCTTCTGTGCTTGCGCTGGTGTGTGGACCCAGCACGGGAGGCTCGCTTTGCGAGGCTGGCCTTGCGTTTTTGGGCTTGCTAGTGCCTTAGGCCGCTAGCTACGCGCGGTTTTCTTGCCTTCCGGACTCGTTCGTCCCTCGCCCCGTGGCCATGGATGGTCAGGGAATCGTCCCTCTCGTAAAGCCGGAGAGGCAAAACCCGGAGAGCGGCGCTGCACCACATCTCCTTTACAGGGAGCGCGCTCGTCGCGGAGGGGCTGCCCCAGCGATCCCGAGCCAAAGGACTCCTCGGCCCCGCCACGCCCTCGCCGCGGCGCCCCCATTGGCTCCCGGCAAGGCTCGCAGCAGTGGAGAGCAGTCATGGGCCGCCACCTCCTCTGCGACTACTGCCGCCTCCAGGGGTTAAGGCCGTCGCCCTTCTTCTCGACGCGCGCCGGGTGTGATGCGTGTGGCACGACGCACATGAAGACGGCCGGCTACGCCGAGGCCTGCGCGCTACCGTCCTTGGCCGCCTCGTCGATTTTAGATAAGAACAAGGAGTGGCACGCGAACGTGCCCACGAAGTGGGTCAAGCGACGGAGCGAGGCGTCGCAACATTCATTATCATTCATTGATCCCCTTCGTAAACAACGAGACGCGGACGAGCAGGGCCTGGCTTGTAAACGACTACTCCGACGAAATAAATTGGAGTGCTGCGTCTACCACCCGGCGCCGTACAGGTTATGCTTATTTGATTGTAGGGACGGCCCGTCACGCGGCGACGTCGTGGCCACGGTCCACTACGACATTCTGAAGAGGTACGTGAACGCCGTGGTCGTGGAAGATCGGTGGCGCCGCCGGGGCCTGTCGCGCTTGTTGCTCGAAAGCGCGCTGGAGCACATGGATAGAGCGGCACCAGAAAAAAGGAGCAAGCCCGTCACGCTGTACGTCACGCAAGACAACCACCACGAGCACCCTTTTTTGATCGGCTTCTACGAAAGGCAAGGCTTTAAGCTCGTCGACGGGAGCTTCGGCGAGATGGTGAAAAGCGAATCCGTCGACGCTGCTCCCGTCGTAGCAAAGCCCGCGCCGCCGCCGCCCGCAGAAAAGGTACCTATCTCGGAGGAGCTACGGCGCGAGGAGGAGGCCTTCTCCTCCGCGCGCCGCCAGCAGGAAAGGTACGGCGACGGCGCCTTCTTCACGGCGCCTCTCCCCGTCGAGAGGTTATTGGCAAGGCCGCGGACCTCGCAGCGCCCGCGGCGGCCCGTCGAGCCGCGCCTTGCTTGGCCCGCGCGACCCGCTACGGCGCCGGCGTCGATGTTTCCGCAGCCATCGGCGCCGGACGAATACTTAGCGACGGACGGCTTCCTGGCGGGCCGCTCCGGCGGCCGCGCCGCGACGGCCTTCCGCGCGCGCGTCGACGCGGCCGCCGCCGACCGCGACGCGCGCGTGGCGGAAATGCAATCACGAAGACGGTCCGCGACGCGTCCCGCGACGGTCGGCTCGCCGACGCGCCCGCCGACGCGCGTCCGAGCGGCGACGGGCGGCGGCCCGACGCACATATCGCGACCGTGCTCTGCGCAACGGTCAAGACCGTCTGAGGGCGTGACGCTGGACGAGTACCTCGCGGCGTCCGGCGTGGCCGTCCCGCGGCCGCACGATCTTGTTAATTCGGGCACCAGACCCGGACCTGCGACCATCAGCGCGTCGCCGCCGCGGCGCTCGCCGCCGCGGACTCCTAGTCCGCCGGAGCGCAAGGCCCAGCGACGGCATTCGCCGATCCCGGCGGACGCCTCAGCCGGTCAAATCCGCGCCTACCACCGCCGCCAGGCGCTGTCGCCAGCGCGCCAGCGGACGGTGCGGACCCAGTCGTTCCGCGCGTTGCCAAATTGCCCCTACAAGTCGTCGGATCGACGCAAGGAGCACCTCCGGCGCATCATGCTCGGCGCCTAATTGTAAACATGTCTTTCACTTAACACAATGGCTCACTCGTCCGCCGTCAGGTCCACGACCTCCCTCGCCGCGGCCGGCGGCTCGTCCTCGTCGGAGGACGTGTCGAGGAGGCACTTCTTCCGCTTCCGTTCGGGCGGCGCCGCCGCCGGCGCTTGCGAGACCGGTGGTGGCGCCCGCTCCTCGCGCGTTTGCGGCGGCGCCGTGGACTCGAATGTCACAGGCGGCGCCGGCGCGGGAGCAACAGGCACCGGAGGCGGCGGCGCGGGAGTCGCCGCCGCGGCCCGCTCGCGCTCCGCAGCTTCGGCAGCGTCCAAGGCCGCTGCGGCCGCTTCAAACATTGCGTCCTCATCAAAAGGCTGCGGCGCGAGCAGCTCCCTCGGCGCCTCGTCCTCGGAGTCCTCAATATCGGAAACGTCCGACGCCTCGTCTTGGAGCACGTCGTACGAGCGCTCGCCCAGCCTCATGGCCATGCGCGGCGGCGCATCTAATATGCGGCGGTCGAACGTCTTGAGCTTCAGCGACGCCCGCACGTCGTAGTACTTAGGCCGGCGCGCCGGCTTGAACGAAGGCGGCGTCGGCCGCCTGTTCGCAACCAGTATAGCCCTTCCAGTCAGGGAGGCGACGTACTGTAACGGATATATAGCGTCGTTCTCCCGGCCAGGTACATATACTCTAGCTGATAATAATTCGGCATCCGACAGCGTGCGCCACGCCTCGGACAAATCTTCAATGCTCTGAAAATCAGAAGCGCCATTAAATTGCACGAAGGTCGCGAAGGCGTCGGGGCCCATCTTGGAATTCATAACAGTAGCATCAGGGTCCACTTCATGTCCGTTGGAGTCGACCCAACGTCCATGAGAGTCGCGCTTGGCGCTGCCGCCGCGGCAGATGCGCCGGACCGCGTGCACATCACTCACACCAGCGTCGGACTTATGTGTTGCTGCGGGATCCGTCGTTCCGCCTCGCAGCGCGATCTCGAGCGTCGAGAGGCACTTTCTCAAATCACCGCGCGCGGCCACCGCCAGCGCGTCGAGCGTATCACTGGAAATGGTCGGGCGCCTAGGCCAGGCCGCGCCCTCGCTCACTTCGTCGAGGAGCTTCCTTAACTTTTTTTCGGTAACTGGGAGGAACTCTATCAGTTCCGAATGAGGGGACATCATCACAGACTCGCCCACGAGTCGCTCGGCGACGATCGACGTGTCCGACTTCTCGCTGATCTCGCCCGTCACGATCAGCACGCACGGCGCGCGGTCTCTCGACCTACATACTTCTTCTAGTATTGATCTGAACGCTTTCCTGGACGACGACGTGCCGTCGTCGTACCCCTCCGTCGTCGGGAAGTCGTCTAAGACAAAGACCGCCGGCCGGTCGTCGGACAGGGGCTTGTACCTTGCTGATCTCACGAACCGCGCCCACGCGTCCAGCTGCGACTCATACCTAGGCTCATTAAAGTCCGACGGTCGCCGCTCGAAGCCGAAGCCGTCTCCACCCAAGCCGTACGAGTCTCGGTAGGTCACTGGCGTCAGTTGCTCCTCTCTGCAGAGGACATCTAGCGTCGCCGATTTCCCGACGCCCGCCGGGCCGGCGAGAATCAATAATCTAGGTGATGAATATCCTCCCGGGTCCGGCGAGCGGCCCGTCGCCCTTCTAAGCCATGCTCTTACCCGTTCGACGGTCTTCGGGTAAACCCTCAAATCCTTGGCGGTCCGCGGCGCGAAGCGCTCGTGGAGCGGCGCCGCGTCGCGGCCGGGCCACGCTATGAGGCGCGTCGCCTTCTGGCGCTTCCTGGGCGGCATTTTTTCGCAGCGCTGTCAATCCCGCGACGTAATTAGCCTGAGCCTGAGTCAATTTGGCACCGATGCCAACGCGGCGCACAGCGGCTCAAAGCGCTTTCTTCAAGCGTCAGCGCTCGAAGAGCTGAAAATCCGCAGCGCTCGCGCACGCCGGTCTATACAAACGATGCCTGTGCCCAACGCGCGGCGTGAATCGATTTCGCGGCTGTTCTCGCTAGTGTCTAACACCGCTAGCTAAAGATAATACCTGTACTTACTCGGCGTCCGATTCCAAGTCGTCCCGTGCCGCTTGCAACCGCTCGATCTCTCGTTCGATGGTCGCGCCGTTGCCGCTTCTTGGTCGCCAGGTCGGTGTCGGCCAGCGCCGCGGCGGCGCGCAAGGCGGCCGCCTTGGCCTTCGCTGCGTCGAGCTCCTGCTCCGAGACATCCACGGGCGGGCCCGCATAATCCTCCGTGCGGTCGTCGTCGTCGACCGGTTCTGGTTCTGTCCTCCGCCGCTTCGACGGCGTGACCCGGGGCGGTGGACTGTTGCGCAGCCGCTTGTCCGGGATTCGGTGCTGCCCGACGGCGACAATCGTCTGATGGTTGAGGTGCGTCGCCATGACCGTCACATCTCGCATGGTTCCTCCGAGCTTCGCGACGGTTTCCATCAACCGCGCGTACGTGAATGTCGATTCTATCGGCAGCGCGCGCAAGATTTTGGCGCGCATGCTGGGTGGCCTGTACACACAGTCTGTGGATGGAAACTGCAGCAGCCGCGTCGCATCGGTCCAGCTTTCGAAGGATAGCCTCAGCTCTTCCGACACCTCCCCTGCAACGCGATCCAACGCCATTGCTCCTGGCGTGTGCGCGGGCTGCCCGCGAACACCCGACGATCTCGTTTCGGCCCGTCGTGCGACCGGCGCGCCCACTCAGCTGCCCGCCAAATCACACTGCTCTCAAACCATCGTGCGGGGAGATCGGTGCTGCCCGTCGTTTGTCTGCGAGGTGCTACGAAGCGCCCATACGCGTCCGACTATCGCTCGGAAGTTCGAGAAGCCTCCGGCCACAGGACCACAGTTCGGGGCAGCCATCAACCGTTCCATCATTGCGGAGCGCACCAGCGCGCACCATGGCAGCCTACGCAACCATGGACAAGGCGCCCGTCTGCACAGCAGAATTAATCATGCTCGCCCACGCCCGCCTTCCATCAAATCAACGACCGCCCTGCGGTGACATGCACCTTGTTTGGTTGCTGATCGGCAAGGAGCTCGGCGACCAGCTCTCGAAGCGACGGGGCGTCCGTTTGGAGGGCCTCGGGGACATCATTTTGACCGTTGATGGTATAAGACTGGTGAAAGGAGGGAATTTACGAGGCGCGCGGCCCGCGCATCCTCTCAATCTCGCAGCCATAGCCAAGGCGGCCCAAGCGCGAAACGTGTGCTCGTCGGCGGCGTCTAGAGATGGTGTCGCAAGGACGGCAAGGGCTGTCATCAATGAATTGATGCGCCTCGCGAATAGAAGGAGGCAGGCGTCGCTCTCACTAAGGCCCGTGGGACATGTCGCGTCGCGCAAAGCTAGATCCGAGACGGAAGAAGGAGTGGACTTGATCGTTGAGGATGAGTTTCAATGCAGAACGGCTTTAGCTTGGGACAAGAATTTACAAAGCACGGGCCAGCCCTTCGGTTCTCGCGTGCGCGGCTTCCGGCAGGACGACCGCGCGCGGAGTCGCGCTACGGTGGCGCCTCCCGTTTATCGAGGAAGGGGCAAGGCCGTGCTTCGCGAGGAGATGACTTCCAGTAAGGCAGCTTCATTGATAAGAAAGCGAGCTCATGACAGGCACGGTCCTGATGGTTTGGCAATCATAGCGCGTTGTTTAAAAGCATGTTCCGGCGGTAGTGTAGATGCCACCATTCTAAAGAATGCGCTGGAGGACGCCGGCGTCGCGTCGACGCCCGAAGAACGCAACGCGCTGATTGAGAACGATTCGTCCGTACGGACCGTCGAGAAGAGTTTAGCGTTCCCGAACGCCCTGTCTACCGAGAGACGCATGATCATCGACGAGGCCTGGGCCGAGCTGCAGCAGCGCCACTTCGAACGGGAGAAGGCGAGACAAAAGGGTGCGCGGAAAGACGGTTCTGGTATCGAGCCAGGTATCGTGTCGTTAGCTGTTCTAAAGCAAAGAATCGACGGCGACTGGCACCCCGCCGTGCAGAGTGGGAGGGCCGACGAGGAAGCCGTCGTGACGCGGTTGCTCGCGTTTCTAGACATCGACGAGACCTCGTGTAGCGAATGTACGCGACAACAATTCCGGGCCTCGTTGGCGCGCCTCTCGGCGTCCTATGCGGATGATGACGCCTTCGACAAGGCCGTCAAGGGCTGCTGGAAGCTCGAGGCTGCCACTAAACCATATGTTGCTCCTCCTCGGAAAGAAAGACCTCCTCCCGTCATCAAGGTGGCCTGGCCTCCTACAGTTCCCGATGAGGAAGAAGAGGTCTCTACTACCATGCCGGTCGGCCGGTGGAACGACGAGGACGACGTCTACGAGGGGCTGGAGTCGCGGACGACGATGGCTATGCTCGAGGAACTTAGAATGTTAACGTATGAGCCGGTCTGCGACGCCACGGAGTTTCGGAGGAGGCTGGGCGGGCCGCCGGACGTTATAGGTCTGGAAGACCTCGCGCGGCGGCTGCGAAGGAGGGCGGCCTCATGCGATCTTGCGGTCTCGGCTCGGAAGGCGGCTCGGTTTTCCGTGGTGGCCGTGGAGTTCGCGGGCGGCGACACGTCCATGCAATGCGACGATTTCCATCGAGAACTGGCGGTGCTGTTCGGTCGCGACCGCGACACTATATTACAAACAAGAAGGCCGCTCGCGACCGCCCCGTCATCGACGCTGCGGAAGGCGCTGGAGGGCGTCGATCAAAACGCGTTGATGGAGGCGGACCAGTTCATCGAGTTGTTCGACAAAGCCCACATCGGGTGCCAGGCGCGCCACGTGCGGGCCGCCGTCGCGAGGGCGTGCCGGGCCGCGGGTCTACCGCAGCCGCGGGGCGCCTTGGGCGAGCGCGACTGGGCCTCGCCAGCTGCTTTGTTGGAATTGTGTCGCGGCGGCCCCCTCAACGCCAGAAGGTCAAAACTTGTGAGCCGCGCCTTCGACCTGCTGACGAAGCGCCTCGGCGAACCTGTCATAGCGTCGAAGCTGGCCGCGTTGCTGCCGGGCGCGCCCATCGCCGCCAAGCCGGCGCCGCCGGCGCGCCAGGCCTTCCTCGAGGCCGTCGGCGGCGCCCGGGCGCGCGTGTCCATGGATACGTTCCGGGCCGTCTTCGAGGACCTTAGTTCGGGCATCGAGGGCGACTTTGCTTTCGCGAAGCTCCTGGCGAACTGCTGGGACGTGGCGCCCTGGCCCGCGGCCGCTGAGGAAGTGGAGGAGGAGGCGTTTCCCGAGTTTGATGAAGACGACGACGGCCAGCGCGGGCTGCCCGAGGACCGCTATTTTACTACTACGGGGGGCCGGCAGTAAGTTTTCCTTTCTGAATCATCTTCCGGCATCCGATCTGCATCGATCTCGCGAAAAGCCGTCCACGGTGAATTCCTAATGTCTTTAAAATGTCGCTAGCTGGATTATTTTGCGGGTCAGGTCGTCTTGCCAGTTTTGCTGCCATTTGCCATCGCTGCGCAAATTTAGCAGCCGCAACGGCGATTTGGCAGTAGCGCACCACCCCAGGCAGCTGTTTCTGCGGCGCAGTGGCTTCCAGAGGGTCACACTTTTGAATAATCAAACCCATCACGGCTGGGGAGCGGTTGCGCCGCGCACACAGCACTTCGCCGCCGCATCACTCCGTAGCGCTTACTCCGTAGGGCGCACTTCACTGCGCAATGGTGACGACGCGCCGCACCGTGCACGCGACGCCGCCCTCGCCCGAGGCGGCATTCACGACGCCGCCCAAGGCGCCGAAGCGGACGCCCGACTCCTTCGACAGCCAGGAGCACCGGAACGCCTTCGCTTATGTTATGGTTGTTAAAAATGCGACCTCCCACGACACGTACCGGGCCTTCCTGGAAGCATTACATACGTACCAGAAGAACGGCCGCGAGGACCTCGCGGGCCTGGTGCGCCGCGTCGCGGATTTGTTTAGAGACCATGCGGATTTATTAAGGGACTTCGAGCACTTCCTGCCGTTCGACGAGGAGGATCGCGACGGCGCGGCGAAGGAGGCGCTGCGGGGCGCGGTCGCGGCCGCGGAGGAGTCCGCGGTGGGCCGGAGCGGCAAGAAGAAGCGGCGACGGCGGTGACTTCGTCGTTCAGCATGGACATACTAGCTATTAATCTTATTTTGTATCCTCGAGCGGTCCCTCGGCGAAAAACACGCCGACGAGTCGGCGCTCCTTGCGGATGCCGAACCGATACGCTATGATGGACAGAAGGCCTTCCTTCTTTGAAACGGTGCTCGGGGGAAAGAACGGGATCGAGAGGTAGAGGTCGCCCGACTCGAGTACACAGTCGGACACAGAGAGTCCGCCGTGCGTCAACAAGCATCTCAGCGTCGAGCCGCCCTTGTCCGTGTCTACACGCCACGAGGCCTGCTCGATGGGAAATTTCGCTCCTGTCGCGAGCGCGAGGCCGCGCAGGGGCCGAGGCGTCGAACAGCTTGCGAGTCCGGCGTCCTCGAAGGTCAAATCGAGGGTAAATTCCGTGCGTCCCGCGTTGACCGCCCAACGCGGCGGCATCCAGGTGCCAGTCTCGCGGCCGAAGTCGAGGTTGACGCGGTATGTGCTGCCGACGAGGGACATCCGCACTGGCGCCCGCATGCGCCGCGCCGCGGCAGGCGCGCGCAAAGTGTCTCCGCCCCATAGAAGCAGTGCGACGCTTATGATACGAAGAAGCGACATGGTCTGCCTGTGCGAGGACTGTGGGCTGACCAGGAGGCAACGCGGCGTGTTCCAGGCGTCGCGCGGCACTATGGGGCCGCCCCGTCGGTATTGCCGCGTCTCCGCTGGAGCCGGGCGCGCGGCGTGGAGAACCCACGAACCGCACGCCTGGTGCATCACATCAATAGTGATGGGCCCCTGGGCGCGGAGCCGCGGCGTCATTTGTTGACCATTGACGCCGGCGCGCGCCTCAGTTCAGTGCTGCTTCATGCCCCGGATGCGCGTGCGCATGTCGAGCTGCGAGCGCTTGCACTCGAAGTACGTGTTGCGGTAGACGCGGCACTCGTCGGTCAGCTTCATGCACTCCTTGGCTCCTTTGCCGCTCTTCATGCACTCCGTCTCGCGCAGGCAGTCGAGCAAGGTCTCAGCTATGTCCTTGCAATCCACCATGAGTCGTCGTCTGCAGCGCGAGCTTGAGGCTTTTGACCGTGGCCGTCGGCACCCCTTTCCAGTTCGACAGGCTCACTCTGCTGCAGGACTGCCGTCTACTCGGCTGCTACGCCCTTATTAATCGCGCTAGCGTCCTGTAACGCACTAGCAAGCGGGCAGCCTTCGAACTCGGCGCTGCGACGCTGGATACGGCAGGCAGAAGCTCCATAGAGCACCAGCCGACTGAGCAGCGCACCGGTGCGACCATACACGATGGGGCTGCCCGACGTCAAGGCGCCCAAGGACATCAAGGGCAGCGTGTCCGAAGCCTACGCCGACACCGGTAAACTCAAAGTGACCCTGCGCATGAATGATGGTTCTGATGAATCCTGGCACATGTGCGTGAAATTGACGATTCCCAAGAAGTGGAAGCCCGGACCTGTTAGTAAGCTTTTGCACTTCGCGGTCGACACCTGGAACGCCAAGCATTCGCAACTACCGGCATTGTCAGCCGAGAGCTGGCATCTCCAGGTGAACGGCCAGCCGCTCGGCACCGACGACGTCATCCGAGACGTCCTGCGGCCTTCTGATGAAGTACTACTGAAGCCCGGCAAATCACCGTCCCACGGAAAAGTGGCGAAGCGCTCCTACGCCAACGTGCAACAAATGGAGGAGGCCCTGAAGCACACGCCGTCGGCGCGACACAATAGGCACCAGGTCGAGTGCTACGACGCGGCCAGTACGTTATATAGTAGGCCCCAGTGCGAGCTGCGGCCGGACGTCGCCGAGACCCTTGATCGACTAGCGGAGCGCATTGTGGAAAGGGCCGCCCAGAATAGAGCTGATGATGGGTTTGCTCTACGGGTGTTTGATGCGGGGTGCGGCGCCGGCCACCTCACGAAGAAAATAGCTGCTCTCAGTACAGAAAAAAGGAAGGTGGAGGTCATCGCCGTCGACATCTCGCCGAGGACCATCGAATACTGCAACCAGAATAAACCTGCAAATGTGAAATACGAGTGCGGCGACGTGGGAGATTATCCACATCCCTCGAGAATTGGCGAGGGCGTCACGTTCGACGTTGTTGTGTTCCATGCTTGCTTACAACACGTCTTTTCTCCTTTGAAGGCTTTGCAAGCGGCTTCGAGATTACTAAGGGGCGGCGGCGCCGTGATCATCGCACAAGCCCAGGGTCGGAAACACGCCGACGAACTTAGGGTGAAGGACCCGGTCTTGCAGCCGCGCGGGTTGCCGTCTTCCCCAGAAGACGTCGAAGAATTGATACCCGAAGGATGTCCGCTGGAGCTCGCGTCGTTCAAGGATGAAGTACCATACGTCGTCAAGCTCAAGTGCACCAAAAAATTCGAGGAGGCTATTGGATTCAAGGACATGATGGCGGACGAGGACCCTTTAGGATCTTTCTTGCGGAAGAAGACGGGGAAGGAGCCCTCGGACTGGCGCGAGAAGCTGAAGGACAACGCGGAGGGAGTGGTGTTCGGGCCGGCGCGGCCGCCGAAGCCGCCGGCGAGTAAGGAGTAGTAGCTTCCCCGGCGCGTCGGCGGCGTGGGACCGGTATTCTGTTGCCGTGCCAAGGCTAGTGGGCGGGCGAAAAGTGCCGGGTGCTAGTGCCTTACATGCCGCTAGATAATCGCAGTGCAGGGCCGTGGAACGGCGCGCTGCACTCCTAGTACGTGTGGCATTGGTGCACGTGCCCTCGACGCGGTGACCACAACACGCCATCAACTGCTGCTGCGAAAAACGATCGTTTACAGCTCGTGCAGCTTGACTGCCAGCTGGTGCAGCACTGCACTTAACGCCAGCCGAGCGCGCGCTCAAACCTTTCGTGTAAAACAACACACGCACCGCTCCGGGAAGTTTAACGGGCGCAGAACGCCAGCCGACGATGCGCGGTCCACTAGCGTTAGCATTGGTCGGCGTGCGCCACGCGACGCGGACGCGCCTCCGCGCCGCCTCGAGTGCCGCATTGGAGTGGGCCAGCCCCGAGCACCGCCGCAAGCACGCGTCGCGGAAGTGGGGCCGCTTCGACGAAAACTTGATACCGCTCTGGGTCGCCGACGGCGACGCGCTCGCGCCGTTGCCCGTGCGCGAAGCCGTCGCCGCGGCGTCGAAAGCTGGCATCTACGGCTACGTCGATCCCAGTGCGTCTCTACTACAAGCTGTGACAGCAGGCATGGGTCGCAGTTGGGGCCGGCCCGTCTCTACTGATTGGGTGCGCTGGCACCCGGGGCTCATCCCGGCGCTCTACCACTGCGCGCGCCTCGCCGGACCCAAAGGATGCGTCGTGGTGCCGACGCCGGTCTACCCGCCGTTCCTGAACGCGGCGAAGGACGCCTCGCAGTGTATTGAATTGGACCTCGGTAATGAAGGAGGGCCCCTCGACGAGTCGTTACTGAGAGAGACGCTTGATAAAGCCGTCGCCACAGCTGATGGCGAGGACGTGGTCCTGCTCTGGTGCAACCCGCACAACCCTACTGGAAGAGTGTGGCGTCGGCATGAGATGGAGGCCGTGGCCCGAGAATGCGCTTCCCGTAATGTGATCCTGGCGTCGGACGAGGTCTGGAGCGGTTTGATTTTGGACGACGTGCCCTTCACGCCCGCGGGGTTGCTCGACACAGACGTCAGGTTAATCTCGATCACGTCCGCCTCAAAAACGTACAACGTGGCGGGTTTGGACGTGGCCTTCGCCGTCGTCGAGGACGATGTGCTAAGGAGGCGCTACTTCCGCGCGGGCCGCGACCAGGCCGAGCCGTCGCACGCCGGTCTTGAAGCATTAGGGGCGATCCTCGACGCCGACGGTGGCGGGCCGTGTGTGCTGACGCCCCCGCGCGGCGCCTGCGAGGCCTGGCGCCGCGCCATGGTCGACCATTTAAGGGCGAACCGCGACACGGCCGTCGCTTTTTTGGAGCGCGAGTGCGGCGACCTTCTCACGGTCGCGGCGCCGGCCGAGAGCACCTATTTACTATGGCTGGACGCGCGCAAATTGGGCGCGTCGCCGGGCCTCTTCTTGTCTCAGCGAGGCGTCTACCTGACCGACGGCGCGGCGTTCGGCGCGCGGGGCTTCGTGCGCCTCAACTTCTGCTGCTCGCGCGCCGTGCTCGACGAGGGGCTCGAGCGGATCAAGGGGGCGTGTGTCGAGGCGAGGAGTAATTTGTGACTAATTACTCGTCGACGGCGTCTCGCGGGCGCGGAGCGCGGCCCGCGCGTTTCGCAAGTAGCGCTCAATAAAATGTAGGTGTGGGTGCGTGCTGCCGAATACGCGCCGCGCGATCCGTCTCGTCTCCTCGAGCGTTGTCACGGCCTCGCGCACATCGCCGAGCGTGGCGCTGTGCGGAGTCCCCCGACAGAGATGCCCGCCGGCCGCCGCGGGTCTTCACCACGCATTAGACGCCCAGCTTCATTCATTCATGGGGTATATCTCACCTTATTGTCGTTACATTGCCCCTTTGTACTAGCCTGCCAAGTGATGAGTCAAAAAGAGGCAAAAAGAAAAGGAATATACCTGGATGGTACCCGAGGTTGCCCTAATACCATTTTCAAGATATGGTCCCCGCTGATTGTTTTGACATCATAGAAGCCCTTTGAGGTCATAGAGGATATGTTCGAACTCGGATAACGTGCAAACTAAGCTTTCTGCGCCACGTGAGAATGGGATGGAGCCGCTCCAAGCCTCCAACAATGATTACATAGATATGCGAAGTTCCCTAATGAGTAATCAGTTTGGTTTGAGAGCTTACGCTTGGAGAACAACCCTTCCTAGGCGTCCGCGGCGACGATCTCGAGCGCCTCGACGAGCCGGCACTCCACGTCCCTCCGGATGTCGACGTCGTGCGTCACGGTCGACAGCACCTGCGTCGCCAGCAGCGCCTTCAGGTGCCTCTTCGGTTGCACATGAGTCAACCGCCGCGCGGCGTCCTCAGTCAGGACCATATGAGTAATGTATATCAACACGCCATTACACAGGAGTCCGAAGGAGAGGAGTGAACCAAGGTCGGCTCCGTGCGTGCGAGTGGGGAGGGGAAAGGGGAAGGGGTAAGATGAGGTCGTCAATTCGTCGCCCGAATCACGACCAGAGCTAGGCGCCGAGGTCGTCTCCCATCAAGTTGTTCACGGCCGCGTCGGCGTCGCCTTGGACCGCTTCGACCGCCGCGAGCACCGTTTCAAACGATCGGTCTCCGAGCACGGAGGAGCACAGGTACCTCGCGGTCTTTTTGTAGGTATCGCGTTTCTCGCGATCTTTCTTGAGCTTGCGCATGCGTTTGCGATGGTCCCGCGCGGACTCGCCCGGCAGCTGCCGGTCGTCGCCTACAGACGACTCACTCGCGCCGTCCTCATCCAAAGCCGCATTTGAAGCCGCACCGCGGTTATCTACTAATGAAGGAGAGGCGCCGCCCGCGCCGCCAGATTCCAAAGAGATGTCGTCCGACGGCCCGTTACGCTTCTCTTCGCCGCCCGCGTCGCCTAACAATAAACTGGCCGTGTCGCACCCCGCTTGTTCAATCGCGCCAGAACCTTCTTCGGTGGGCGAGTAGGGAGACAAGGGCTTATACTTCGTCGGGACCGCCGCGCCGTCGTTGTTGGACTTCTTCGTCGGCGCTTGTGATGGAGAGGCTAAGGTCCCTGACGTATTGATGGGGCGGCGCGGCCGATTTCTAGGAATAGATCGTAAGTTGACGGACCGGGCGAAGACCGATCTGCCGCCTACCAGGTTTACTTTCAATAAACCGCTTGTCTCGAAGCCCACCACAACCCCGCGCCGATCGTTGTGCTCGCTTTGGGCGCCGGAGGGGCAGCAGAGCTCAACCTCGGCTCCTTCACCGAAGATAGGACAAGCTTCTACTCTTTCGACACGGAAACTAAGCGTCCTATCGTCGCCCAGGTCGACGTACACTCGACTATCCGCAGCGACGTCCTGCGGCGTCGCCGCGATGATCCCGTACTGACCGTTCCAGTGGGTCTTCTTAAGGAAGCCTCCCAACCGGATGCGGCATCCCACGTCGAAGGGTCGGTCTAGAGTCGGCGCCAACACCGGCGCCGCAAATTGCATAGACGGGGCCGGGAGCTCTAAGTTGGCTCCGTAGCCAAAGCGTGATGCCGGCGGCGGCTCGGCGCGCGGCTGCGGCGGCGCCGGCGCAGTGCGCGCGAGCGACGCCGGTTGCGGCGTGGCGCGCGTAGACAGGGCCGAGACCTCGGCGTTGACGTCGACCTCCGAGGGCGGCGATGGCGTGGCGCGAGACGCCAGCGCCGAAACCGGCTCGTTGGACATGATGGCCTCGAGCTCTGTCAGCGGCGTCGCTAGCAGCAACGGAACTTCATCGTCGACACCGTAGTGCTGCACGTATATTGTGCCGCCCCAGGATCTCACGTAGCGGATACAATGCTGGCGGCCCTTGAATAGAAAGGTCCCGCCGACGACGAGGAGGCCGTCGCCGCGGCCGTCCAGCACGTCCCTACACCACTCAGGATCCACGACGCGCGCCGCGACGTCCGTCTCCTCGGAAGCTGGCAATTTCGCGAGGGCGCCCTCGAGGTACTTCACGAGCTCTGTCACACGTCTCATCTTTGAAGTCCTCGGCCAGTTCCCTGGCGCGCAGATGCCGCGAGTTATGTTGTTCCACGACCCCGGCGGCCCGCTGAACCCGTACCGCTCGAGCATCAGCCGCACGTCCTCCAGGTTCAGGCTGCCCCGGCCCCGCCCAACATTCCCCATCCCGCGGATCTTTCCTAATACTGACCGGGCCTTCGTCGGCCAGTTGGGGTCAAACACGCGCGGCGGCGGCTGGACCAATGCGGCGAGGTAGCCCCCCTGGCGGAGCTGCGCCGTCGTCTGGATCGGCATGGTCCGCGGCCGCGGGGTGCCCTGGCGCCGCGCCGGCGGCGCGCCCCGAGCAACACCGCCCGGCGCCGTGCGCGACGCCGGCGCCACGTCTGGGATCCGCCCCACGATGCGCCGCAGGACCGTGAGGTCGGCCCCCCGCGGATTCGAGACGGCGGCGCGGAGCGTCTTCAAGGGCTCCGGCGCCGCGGCGTCGAGCACGGCCTTCGGCAGCTGCCCGCAGACGTCGGCGAGCCGCTGGGCGAACCGCGGGTCCAACGCGAGGACGCAGGTAAGCAGCGGGACGATCTTCTGCAGGATGCGGTGCTCCAGGTCGGCGTCACCGCGCGCTCTGTGGGGGAAGCCCACTCCTAAAATCAACATCACGATGCACGGCGCACTCGTCGGGCAGCCAAAGTCCGTCATCTCTCCTCGTCCAGTGGTCCTAAATAAAATCTTGAAGAAGTCCCAGATGTCAAGCACGCCCTCGAAGAGCTGACCCACGAGGAACTCGATCATCTTCCCCTCGGGCCCGTGCTGTTTCGCTACGAACCTCACGCCCATCCGGTGAACCTCCTCAAGGAAATCCTTCTGATTGGGGAGGGGCACCGCCTCGCCGACCAGGCGCCTGACGTCGTCCGCGTCCCGCTCCCAGCGCACGTTTTGGCTCGTCTCGCCGACGTGCCGTAGCGTGACACCCTCCAGCATCTTACCGACGGAGACGCACGTGTCCCACGTCCTCAAGGCGTCGGCCTCGCCCATTCTACCGTCATCTACTAAACTTCTATCGTAGAGCCCTGTCCACAACCGCTCCACGTCATAAACGCCGAACTCCTCCTGCGTAATGAACAAGCTGCAGAACCGAATCACCGTGTTCTGGCAGTCCTGTAAATGAGGGCTCCCGGCCGGGCCGAGGACCGACTGCGCGACCCGCGCCGCGCCTCCGAGTTCGCCAAAAAGTCGATAAGCGCGTGGCGAGATACCAAAATCGTCGCAGAGCGTGATAGATTTCGCGTGGACCCGCTCTCTCAAATCGTCGTCGATGTCTTTCAGGCCGTATCTCTTGCCGCCTCCGCCTGCCCCGCCCTCGGCGTGGCGCCGCGAGAAGCCGTCGTCTTCGTGCTTGTCGCGTCGCGCGGTCTTAAGACTATTCATACGACCCCAACCAACTTCCACGGTCGAGGCCGAAAATGTGTCTCGATTTTCGAGGCCCTGTGCACCAATGTTCGGGCAATTGGGGTGTAATTTTCTATTCGTCAACGCATTGCGCGTCCTAACCTTCAGCTGGCATTTATTCGGCGTACCGCGGCAGGGGCACGCTACAAAAAGCCTAGGCATACTTCTGCACGTACCAACACGTCGTTGCCGGGCGCGACGCGCCGATGAAGTAGGAGGGCTTGGACGACGGCTCGCGCCTGCGGAGGGACCGACCGATGAGAGACGCGTCGACGGCGTACAACATCAATGAAAAAGGCAGCTTCGAGGACACCGCGTCGCGCGGGCTCGATCTAGCTCGGCGGCGCGCCGCGGCAGTCCCTGGATCAGGCCGCGCGAGTTGAAGTGTCGGCGCCGCTTTTTGGTCGTCGAGCAGCGCGGCGCTCCAGCACTCGTCGGCGGGTGCTTGTCAAAGGGCGCTGCTGCGACCGATGACGCGTTCGCGATTTCACAATCGCGGAAGGCCATAAGCCTAGAGTACAAGAACGCTAGCATTATTATGGCAGCCATGGCGTTCTTCTGAGTAGTCGTTCTCCGCCGCTGGTGCGGCAATTGAACTGGTTTTTTGACGTGCTTGCAGGTCGGAGTCCAGCTCGTGTTTGCGCAACCCGAACCTCAAACTCGGTTGCCCCACGTCGCCATCGCGAGCGTGGGCCGCGCCAGGCTCGTGGTAGTGGTACTCTTTGAACCTCTAGCGCTGCAGAGCGGGCGCTAGCAGCCACTAGCATCTCCGGTTTTGCCAGGGAGATGCTCTCAAAAGGGCAGCGTCGCCCAGCGACTGCGCGTGGTCCAGGCCCACACAAGACCACGAGGACAATCTCTCGCGTTGATACGCGCGCGCGCACTGGCTTCGTCCACGCCTAACCGCAGCTTGCAGGGCAAATCACCTCCACTGGGCGCATCGGAGCGCGGCGTCGACGGCGGCGCGCGGCGTTCGAGAAATCGCGCAGAGACGCCAAAGCACTCGAACTCGTCGCCTTCGTGCAATCAGGCGTCCACGTCGTTGGATCGGAGGCTGCCCCCTGCTTGGTACCAGGGGCGCGACGTTCGCGCCCTGCGCGGTGCCCTCGACGCCGTCGACGTGTGCGTGTCGCCCCGCATCGGCGCGCGCCAGGTCGACGTCCTGGCCGACCGGGGCGTCCGCTTCGTCTTCGCGCAGCCGGGCGCCGACGGGGAGGCCGTCCTCGCGGCCTGCCGGCGCCGCGGCGTCGTCGTCCAGCGGGGGTGCGTGCTGGTGGACGAGTGGCCGCCTAGGAACTAATTGTGGACGACTATGGATTTTTTTTTGTTACAGTCAGGGGGGGGGAGCAGCGATTCACCCGAACGCCGCGGGATGAGAGGGATATGTAGCACCACGGCGAGCGCGGTGACGGTTCGCGCGCCCTTCCGGACTCCGGGACGGGACCGTTGTCAGCGTCTCCCGGCGGCACCGCCGCGCCGGGCTCTTAATCCACCACGCCGGCGTCCTCGACGCCGGCCGGGTCTTGGCGCCGCCGGCGGCCGCACGAAGCGACCGCCGACGGCGTGTGGTCGCCTCGTCGAGAACTCGACGGGCTATGTCTTGGGCGTCTCCCGGCGGCACCGCCGCGCCGGGCTCTTGATCCACCACGCCGGCGTCCTCGAGGGCACGGAGCACGGGGACGACTGCCCCTTGGCACAGTAGTAAGTCACGGTAACACTTTTACATTCCTAGCCGCCCCGGGTTCATGAACATGGGCAGCATCATGGCAGCCATGAAGTTCAGCCCCATGGCGGGGCCGCCCTCGAACGCCTCGAACGGGTCCATCGTCATGCTGTTTCTGGGCCGGCGGCGGAATTGCTTGTAGGACCGTTCGTCGCGCTTGTCCGCCGCCGTCGGCTTATATAAATACTCGAGGATACAACCAGTCACGTCGTCGGGCAGTTCTTCCAGCAGCCCCTCGTCGTGGATCATGGCCTCGACCGTGGCGCGATGTTGCCGCTTCAGGCTCTTGCCGTGCTCGAGGCGCACGGCGCGCTTGTAGCGCTTCCAGAAGGCCAGCCGCTCGCGCCGCTTCGCCGGCGACCTGTGTGGAAATCAAATGTCGGACGCCCCACGCCATCGACGCGACGTCCCCGTAACTGATTTCCACACAGACGGCGACTCGAAGCGAAGGCCCAGGTGGTCCGTGCGGTTCGCCCAGGCGCTGCGCACTCTTGGGCCGTAGATCCACCAGAGCAGGCCCGGGTTATCGCCCCAGTACAGCTCCAGCGGACGGCTCCTCGTCAGGAGCCACGGGCACGTGCCGATGAGCTCCGTTGTTCGTAGTAATAGGTGCACGGCGAGCCCGATCCACGGCGACGCGCGCGACGCGAGCCACGACGGGCCGAGCGTACAGAGGAGGCATATCAACGGTGGATTGGCGGGCACGAGCGTCGTCGCGACCGTGACGAACGTCATTATGCACAGGACTGGAAACGTCGGCGAGATGTTGTTCATAAGCAGCATCATGGGGTCGCGCCCGCCCGTCGCCCAGCGCACCAGGGACTCTCTCCAGATGTCTGCTGCGGAGGCCATGATTATGATCAAGCTGATGCCAAGGCCCCAGTAGCTCTCCGTGACCCAGGCAGTCGCGAGATCTGTTTCGCCGAAGAGGTAGGGCGTTACCAAGTAGCGGGCCTCATACAGAAGGGCCGCGACGCGTAAACCAAGAGGGGCGTCGCAGCAGATGCACAGCGACGACACGGCGTTCCAGACCGCGAAGCGGCGCGTCGTCCCGAAGGCGCGCAGGGAGTAGCACCACGCGATCGCAAAAGCTTGCAAAAAGCGCCGCGGCGTGAGGAAGTGGACGAGCAGCCACCCTACTAATCCCCAAAGGCGGTCGAACGCCGCGCCGAGCAGCACGCCGGCCGACGTCGCAAAGCCGAGCGCTCTGAGTCCGCTATAATCGTCTTTGACTCGTTTCGCGGTATCTAGCACTTCGAAGGTCGGCCGCGTGTGCTGGAGCCCGCCGGGCGCGAGGTGGACGCCGGCGAAGAGGCCGACGGCGAAATTGGTGCCCGTGCGCTTGGCGACCTTGTCGACTTGCCAGTCGAGGCCCTCGTCGGCGGGAATATCTACAGGGGGCGGTCCCGGCCCGAAAACCGGGAAGGGTACGCCGTCGCCGCCGGGCAACCCGAGTTCGTCGTGCTCCGGGTGTCCCACCTCGGCGTCGCTGCCTCTTTCTTCGAATGCATCGGCATGGGCGTTGAGCTCGACCGCGGCGGCGTCGCGCTCCTCGCGCGCGTCGTTGGCGCGCTCGGCGGCCACGAAGGAAGACCAAGCTGCCGGCGCCGTGGCGCGGCGGCGGCGGCGGAGCCCGGGCGCCTCGAGCACGGGCGTGCTGATGTCGGTGGCTTCGGCCTCGTCGACGTCGATCACGTCGGCCATGCTACTCCTCGCTGAGGCCGTGGACTTAGAAATCCGAAGCTCGGCCGCGCGCTGCTTGCTCAGCGACCACGGGTGCGCCCTCGATTTAGGGATTGCGGATCGCTGCCACAAGGCCCAGGCAGCCTCGCAGACAAAGAGGCCGTAGGGATGGCCGGCGCGCGAAGTTTCTGCTAAATCTTCTACCGCGACGACAGCGATACGTGGACGCTGCGCCTAGCGTATTGGTGCGCGCGACAGCCTCTGCGAGCACGGTAATTGCCAGGCTCTCCCAGCATGGTCGAGGCGCTGAGGCCGCGCGCGGAAGCCAGAGCGTTCCTCGGCCACCAGCGAGGGCTCCCTGGCGGCCCAGAAAACTGGAGGGCGAACGGAGCTTCGCGCGGCGGCCCGCGAGACGCCCGCGCGCGGAACAACGAGAGTAAAGAGTAGTAAAGAATTAATGTCCATGTCCATACACACGGCCCCACCACCATATCAAGCCATCACCGCCGCCCCGACGAAGCGCCCCCGCACTTTGAGAGTTTTGCAGCCCGCCGTCGTCACCGTCACGGAAGGATCGGCCTGCACGCCCGTCGCCACGCTATTATATTTCAGGAAGGGGCAGACGTGGTTCGCCTTGATCTGGCCGCAGCGCGAGCAGCGGTACTTTTTCGTTTCCCCTCCGGTACTTTTGGACTTGCGCGAGGGTGCCGGAGAGACGGAATTGACAGAATCAGGATCGACGAAGTCCGGGTCCGCGGCCTTCGTCGGTTTCCGTCGTCGCCCCGTACTACGAGCCGCTCGCGAGGGCTTCGGCTTTGGGGCTGGTGCCGGTGGCGGTGGGGGCATCTGTGGTATGGCTCGTTCATCAAGCTCCAGGTCGAAGGAGTCCAGCCTCAAACCATCGCCCAGGATCAGGGGGTGCGTCGCATCATCAATATAACCCTCGTCGGAGACGCCTCTCCTGACGGGTGGCGGCGCGGGCGCGGAGTGCACGTCGTTTTTGACAAACTGAAAATTCAGAGCTGGTTCAGAGATGGTCCTCCGATGCTTCCGCCCAGGTGTTCTAGGCGACGGCCAGGCCGGCATTTGTGGCCCGCTCGGCGTCGGGAGTAGGAGATCCCCGATGTCCCCGAGATCGGCGTCGTCGAACGAGAGGAGGGACCCGGGCATGAGCGCGTCCTCGTCGCCCTCCGCCGCCAGGAAGGCGGCCATGTCGCTGTCGGACATGGGCGCCAATGAACTCCCGAACGGGTCCGACTGGTGGCGCCGGTGCCTCGACCCGCCTGTGCCCGTGCTCGAGCCGAGCGACTGGTTCAGCGAGCTGAGCTTGAGGGAGTTTAAGGTGTCTTGACGCTGCATCGTTGATTGGTTACGGCTCTTTGGACACGTTTGATTAGCTTCTATTATTGGCGTAACTAGCGCGTTCCCGTTCGCCGCTGCGGCGGCGTATGGCGTAGAAGTATCGTGCCGTTGCCACCGTCGATCACTGTTTGCGCTGCGCGGGCTGGACCCGACGATACGAGGCGGAGAGCGCTATTCCTGGCAAAAGCGAGCAGCTCATTCACTTCCAAAACGGGTTCCATCCCACATCTATCCGTCCTGTCATCTGAAGGGCTTGGCGCGCCGCCGACGAGTCGGCGAAGCGCCGTAAACAACGCGTCGGCCTTACGCCGCCGAGGCGGGCCAGCAGCCGGCCATCGGCGAGCCGCGCGACGGAGACTACCCTATCTATCATGGAGGATGCCGCCGCGTCGGGCGGACCGCCGGGGAGAGCAAGCAGGGGGCACGAACTATCATCAAACCACAAGTTAGTGTGTCCCCGCGCAAGCGCCGGCGCGGGTCGGTGTCATCTACGCGGCGATGCGCATGAGGATCGACATGCGCCGCTTGTCGACGCCGTTGATCGCGTGCTGGATGTCATTGGCAGAAACGCCGTCCAGCACCAGCGTGCTACGAGGCGGCAGCCGGATCTGCTTCGTACCAGCACCGTTCTTCCCGAAGAAGCGACTGCCGTTCTTCTCCTGGTCCCGCGCGAGCTTCTTGCCGAAGACCATGGTCCCCGACGATAACAGAGATGTGACGATCAAGGGTCGCTTGATGTACTTCGCGTCGATGTGGTTCAAGGTGAACTGCCCTCTCTCATAAACATTCGCTAGGAAGATGTCCGCGAAGGGCGCGTCCTCTGATAGGACACCTCGTCTGATGAGAGCATCGTGCAATTCTCGAGCCACAGCGGGCATGGGCTCGGGAGCAAATAGTGACCCGTCGGCCAGCGTGTCGCCCTCGGTCAGGATCTGCTGGTGCTTGTAGTCGTCGAACTTCGGGCCCGCTTGCACATCTGTCCTACTTTGTCCTTGTTTCATCTTTCTGGCTCGGCCGCCTTGGAAGGGCTGGCCGCCCAAGGTGCCCCGCGCGTCCCTCGCGAGCATGTCGTCCACCGTATCGACTAAACGCTGTTCTAAGTCTTCATCTATACTATCTTTGTACAGCCGACACCCCTCCAACGCATTGGAACCATTAATCTCGAGCGTAAACGTCTCGTACGGCTTCTTTCCATTTAACAATGGCTTCTCGCGCGCGGCGCGCCGGCCCTTGCGGTCCTTCTTGACCACGCTGCTCCAGGAACTCTCCTGGGTCTCCTGGGACGCCTTCACGGCCTCATCGATATCTCTTTGGAGTTGAATCTCCTCTGGTGACAACTCGGGCACCGGCTCCGGCTCCGGAGCGACGGGCTCGGGCGCGGGCTCCGGCTTCTTCTTGGCGGGCCGCTTCTTCCGCTTCTCGGGCGGCGAGGGCGCCGGCGCCGGCGCCGGCGCCTCAATGATGACAGGGGGTTCCTCGGGGAGCGCCTCCGGTACTACGGCCTCCGGAACGACCGGCTTCGCGACCTGCGACCAGCCCGCCTCCTCCTTGACCGGCGGAGCCGCCTTGCCGTTTGATAATGGAGGGAAGCTGTGTTCCAGAGACTTTGACGGTGCTTTGAGCTGTTCTAAACGAGCAATCACCCTCCGCGCGTCGAGCGACGGCAGGCCCGCGGCCTGGAGGTCCTCGAACGTAATCGTGTCAAATAAAATATCATCGTCGATCTGGGCCTTCTCGAGTAAAGCGGCATGCGCACCGCAGCCGCACGCATCAAGTAACAACGGTGCAAAAGCTCCGGGAGGCAGTAGTGTACCTTTGACCTTGTCGGGCTGCGACTGCGGAGGAGACACTCTACTAAGTCGCCGCGGCCGCTGCTCGGGGATCGGCGTCACTCTTTGAATGCAGACGACGTCCGTGGCCTTCCACTGCTTCGCGCCCGTCCGTCGGTTGTTCGTCCTCGCGTCGACAATGCGAAACTCGCAGCGGTCTCCTTGCGACAAGTAACCGTCCGGGGCGTCCTGTTCCGACACGAAGACCTCGTTGTGCGTGTGGTCGACCTTGATGAAGCCGTAGCAGTGCCTCGAGGCCGTGCCGTCCTTCGGGAAGTGCCCGAAGTTCGTGACGGTGCCCTGGAAGATCGTGTCGGGGGGCGGCGGATTAGTTACCAAGCTGGCAGGCATCGCCGCGAAGGGAGGGTACGGGCCGGGGACGCCGTAGTGCGGCGGGTAAGGGGCCAAACCGCCCGCGAGGAACATGGGCGGCGGCACGGGCATGCCCATGGCGCCGATCGGCATGGGAATCAAGCCCTCGCGCGGCGGCGACGGCACCAATTCCGGCGACGGCTGGACGGGTTCGAGGACGGGCGGCGCCGGCGGATTTTCGACCGCTGCCATCGTAGGCGAGGAGCGCGGCGGGCTCAGCGGCGGCCTCGTCGCTTGCCTTTGGTGTTCTTTCCGTGGGCCGCGCGGCGGGGCCATGCGCGGGGGGTGTATAATTTCGTATATGCGGCAGGGGCGTCTTGTGTGGGTGTTTTTTCCCGGCCCTTAGAGCTGAATTTCTGTGGGCGCGCTCGTTCTGCGCGCAGCTTTGAGGCTACTGAGCAGCGCTTAGCAGCGCTGGGTCCAAATTGAGCGCACTGCGTGGCCCGGCCAGCAAGCTCGACGAGCCCTCTCGAGCCGCTTTTCGTGCATCATCGCCACACCCCTCAGGAAGTAGTTCTCTTCCCGGCCCGTCGCCAAGAGACGCTAGGTTGGATACACGCAAGTAAAAAAACGGGATTCCAGCGAACTCCAGTCGCGCCCGTCGGCGCCGCGGGGCAACTTCCTTAGGACCTACGCAAGCGCCGGAGCGCCTCCGCGGCCGCCCGCTGGCCCCCTGAGGGTTCCCGGCACGGCACCCCTCCGCGCCTGGCGTCGGGCTGGGCGCCAGAACCCGGGGGGCGCGGGGTAGACGCCACTGGCAGCATCTACGCCAGCCAGTAAGTCCGCCAGTACGCCCGCCGACGCGTACAAGAAAGAAGAAGACAACTTAGGCCTTCCCCGACCCCCCGGAAGGGAACAGCGCCCGCTCCTTCGCCTCCTTCGCCTTCTGGAGCATGTACCACGGCCGGCCCGCCGCTTTCGCCTTGTCGATCTCGCGCTGCGCTTCTTGTCTGAACTCGAGATCTTCCTGCAATATACGGTTGGCTTCGCCCGTATCGCCCGACAAGCGATCGGCCCGTTCCTGGCGCACGCGCGCTCGGTACTGCTCCCTCTGCTCATATTGCGTTTTCTTCAGATCCATGAGCTCGTCATGGCGCCGTTTCTCGTCGGCCTCGGCCTCGTCATCTATTTCTTTATTCTTGGCCCGCCAGGCCTTGACCATTTCGGCAGTCTGTCTTTCATCTTCCTCCCGTTCTCTAGCACGGCGAGCCATCGCCGACTTACACGCCTGGTCAATGGCCAACTTCTGCTCCTTGATGTTCCGCTGCTTCAAAGCCTCCAAGTCGTCCTCCTTCTTCCTCATCGCTTCCACTTGCTCCTCCAGGGCCGATTCATCCGCCGCCATCTGGTTCATGAGGTTACGCGTCGCGTTGTCGATCAATCGCTGCTTGATGCGCTGCTTCTCGGCGAACATCCTCGCTTTCTGCTTCTTGATCTCCGCGTCGTAGTATTCCTTGCGCTTCACTTCTTTTTTTACGCGCGCGTCGATGATCTGATCTTCAACAGCTGCCTCGAGCCTCAGCTTCTTGAGCTCCTCGTTCGCGAGCTTGTTTTCATTGCGTTTGAGCTGCTGCTTGATGGCCTCTTCCTCTCGGGCGCGCACGTCCTCCTTGAGGTTGCTCGCCACTTTCTTCTGGATGAGCTCGCCGTCGCGCTTTTCAATCCTCAGTCGCTCGAGATAATTCTCGCGGAACTCCGCTAATTGCGCCTGCTGCTGCTTGCAGATGACGGCGTTTTTCAGTTTTCTTGCCTCTAACTCCGCGGCCTCTCGCCGGTCGCCCTCGGCGACGTGGCGCATGACGTCCTCATGATACGCCTTCTCCTTCTCCTTCTCCCAGAGCTTCATGACCTCCTTCTCCCTAATTTGTTCTTGTCTTTCGTAGACACAATCAGAATACAACTGCTGGGCGCGCAAAAACTTCGTTTTATCTTGGTTCTCGAACTTGAGGTACTTCGCCTTCGCGTAGGCCTTCGCGGCGGCGGCCTCGCGCAGTTCGCGCTCCTCGTTGTCGACCTTGACGCGGTAGGCCTCCTCTTCCGCAGCTCTAATTTCCTTCCACTGCTCCTTTTTTTTCCGCTGCGCGGCTAACGTGTTCGGCCAGTTTTTGACGCGCTCCTCACTGAGTTTTTTCAAGTGCTCGTTCCTTAAATCTTCTTCTTTCTTGGGGGGCGGCCGCGTGAAGCTTCGAAGGCGCTCCATCTCGTTGCCCGAGATGCATAGTGGCGCGGCGGCCTTTCTACGTGTCGTGCGCATCGTGGCGCGGCTCCGGCGGCGCGGGCAGCCTCTTGGGAATTATTGATGTCCTCGTGGAGGTCGGGCGGCGGCGCGGGCAGCTGCTCGGCTCCCGGGGCGGCCGCAAAAGCACCTCGGCGGCCTGCAGCGCCTCGAACTAGCAGGGCCCCACTAGCCTCCGCCGGTGGAACGTGGAAGGCCCTTCCCGTCCCGGTGACGGGTCGGGTACGGCCTCGGGGCGGGAGGGATGCTTGGCCGGGCGCGGCCATTTTTGCGAGAGAATGAGAGATGGCAGCAGAGCAATTGCAATAAACAGAGCTACCCGACGCCGTCGGGCTGCCCAACTTGCGGGATGATCCTCACAAAATGCGCCGTCTGCGCCACCGAGCTTGGCTTAACCTTGGGCAAGAAATGCGGCCGCTGCAGCACGCGCTACTGCGGCGCCGAGTGCCAGAAACAACACTGGGAGCAAAGAGGCCATGACAAGCTCTGCAAATTGATAAAAAAAGCAGGCGGCGCCGAGCAATATCATGCCGATACGAAGTATACGGAGACCGTAGCGGTCGCGGCGGCGGCGTGCGCGGAGGACACGAAGGGCCAGACGTGCTACATCTGCACGCAGGCGCTCCACTGGAAAACGAAGGAGGGCCTCGTGCGCATGTGTGCGTGCCGCGGGACGGCGGGCTTCGCGCATGTGTCGTGTCTGGCGGAGCAGGCGAAGATTTTGGTCGCGGAGGCCGAGGAGAACAATTTGGGCAACGAGGCGTTGTCCGAGAGGTTTGCGCGGTGGTATACGTGTAGCCTGTGCGAGCAAGGCCACCACGGCGTCGTTGCGTGCGCACTTGGGTGGGCATGCTGGAAGACGTTCGTGGGGCGGCCGGAGGCGGACATGCTTCGGAGCTGGGCGATGACTGTACTTGGGGGCGGTTTATCCGATGGAAAGCATGACGAGGACGCGTTGTCCGTGTATGAGGCTCAGTTGTCCATGATGCGGCGGCTTGGCGCACAAGAAGGGATCATTCTCGTCGTGCAGGCAACCTTGCCTGCTCATATGAGAAATTCGGACAACACGATCAAGCTCTGCGGATGCGGCTTGGTGTATACTCCGGACGTTTGAGGCTCCACGGCGAGCAACATCAAAAGACTCTCTTAGCAGCCAGCAACTACGCGGCGACCCTTCTTCATCTAAAGCGCTTCGAAGAAGGCAGGACACTGCTGCGCAAAACGATCCCCGTGGCGGAAAAAGTGCTCGGAGAAAGTAATGACACCACGCTCAGGATGAAGTCGAATTACGCGGTAGCGCTCTACAGGGACGCTGGCGCCGCGCTCGACGATCTCCGCGAGGCCGTGACGATGCTCGAGGAGACGGAACCGACCGCGAGACGCGTGTTCGGTGGCGCGCATCCGACCACAACGGAGATTGAGCAGTGCCTGCGAGAGTCGCGCGCCGCGATCCGTGCCCGCGAAGGAACGCCGCCGGGGAACGCGAGGCCCTAGTAGTAGATGCAATAACGACACTTACGATAAACAACACAACAAAAGATCACCGCGGCTTCGTGACCCAGTCCGGCGGCGGCGGCGGCGGCGGCTGAGGCCGCCACGGCGCCGCCGCGGGCGCCGGTTGCGCCGGTTTCCGCGGCAGCATTAAATTGTGCCGCGGCGCGCCGAAGGGTACGGGACGAGGCGCCTCGGTCGTCGGTGGCGGCGGCGCCGCGAAGGGCGGCGGTTTTCTAGGTGCGCCGAGCGGCCGCTGCATCACTTTCGCGGACACGTTCCGTTTTACCGAAGGCCGTCCATCGAGTGACGGCGCCGTGCAGTGCTGCGCGTAGGGTTTGAGCTTCGGTAGAGGCGGCCGGCACGCCAGACAGCTAAACGCGGGGAAGCGCTCGTCGACCTCCTCGTCACTTGAATCAGATTCGATGCACGCGTGCTTCGAGCGCTTCGGGTAGCCTAACGGACGGTGCAAACGTAAATCCCACTTTTGGTGCAACGCGGCACACCTCCCATGGTAACTATGCGGGCACTCCGCCGAGATACAACCCAAAGTCGCGCCCTTCTGGCCACAAGCTGCACAAGCGATGCGCCTACCACGAGAAATGGCCGCGTGGACGTGGAACCAGGCGTCATCCAATACCCTAACTTCGGACGACGCCGCCGCACAACCATCATGGACCCACACAATTCTCGACCCTTGCTCGAACGCTAGTAAAGGACCCGCCATGAAGCCCTCGACGTCGGCGTCCTCGCCGCTCTTCAAACCGCACAAGGCGCAGACATCCTCCGACGTGTCCCTCCTGACGAAGCTTCGCACACATAACGCGGATCTCGCGTCCCTCATCGCTTCCCGCGACGGTCGTTTCGGCTTGGCCACGTGGGGCCAGCTCTCTTCGTCCTCGTCGTCGGATAGTGACAACAATCCTGTCTCTCTCGCTATTCGTCTAGCTTCCGCACGGCCCGATTCCAGAGCGCCGGCCGCCGTCGCGAGGTGCTCCCTCGAAGTATGCTCGCCGGCCCACCTGAGGACCCCGCCCCAGCATGGCGCCGCCAACGCGTCGACGTCTTCCGGTATGCACCCCGGCGCTAAGAAGGAATACGACCCGAGAGCTCGTCGGTCGTCGCGCCACGCCGTCGCCGTCGCGCTCAACACCTTCCACTCATTTTTCTCATCAGACGAAGCCCCGAGCAACTTCCTCAACGCTTCCAAGCACTTCTCCACGACCTTCGACGGCGCCTTCCGCACGGCCTCGCCGCCCGTGGTAAAACCCGCATCGACCTCAAATCTTTCAGCGTTGAGCGCGGGACATAAGGCTACCAGTACATGTTCATTGGTGACACCCTCGAGGTCGACCCAGAGGAAGAACTCGCCCCCATATTCCGACACATCTAGCACGCGTCCCAGATTGCCTATTCTCTTCTCGGACCCGTTCCAGTATTCCGCATTCCTCCAAAAGGGCCTCTCAAATTTCAGAGCTACTTTATCTAAAACGCCGAAGCCTAGCCTGGCGATAGCCTGCGTCTTCCAGTTTGGTAAGGGCGGTTCAAAGGCCAATCCTCGCTTCAACACACCTAATGGTACGGTGACAACGACGACCTCCGCAACGAGCGTCTCCGTCGAATTCTCCTTGGTCACGACGATCAAGTTGTTCACTCGTTCGATCTTCGCGACGGGCCACTGCAATCTAACATCTCGTAAGGGTCGAGCCAAACCCGCACACAACGCCCCCAGGCCCTCCCGCACGGCGCAGTGCGCCCCTTCATACGCGTGCTCGTCGTCCTGGTCCCAGAATCGTAGCGATAACGAATCCATGGGGCAGGCGTTGGCGTACTCCATGTTCGCCCGGTGCCACTGGACTAATTTCAACGTATCTGTAGATAGAGACTGCGCGTCGAGTAGTGAAGAAACGGCCGGTCCTAGGGCCTGGTCGACGCCGTGTCTAGGCATGGCTCGCGCTTTGACGTGGCCCTCCTGCTGACTCTCGGCCAGGGCTTTCTCTTCGCCGTCCTTCCTTGCAGATGCTAAAGCTGCATTGAACGCCTCGAAGGCGCGTTTGTCCTCGGCCGAGTCGCGTTCGATGGAAACGCCCGTTTCTCCATCTCTCAAAGCCACATCATCCCCGGTGTCGACGCAGTGCAAGCCCAGCTGGCACGCCGCCGTATAGAGTGGGTTCTTCCGGATGCCGTGGATCCAAGAAGCACCTAAGTCGACGGCCGCACCCTCGTCGTTGATCTTTGTTGAGGCGCAGCGGCCCCCTACTCTCGGTTTGGCTTCGACTACTGTCACTACCGCGCCGAGCTGTTCTAGTGTTCGTGCGCAGCCGATGCCCGCGACGCCAGCGCCAATGACCACGACGCGAGGCGGCTCCAAAGGTGGCTGCGCGACTTTTCTTCTCTTCCTCGTCTTGCCACACGTATGCGCGCTGTGGGCGCCCTGGCAGGCCCTGCATGTAGAAGGTGGTGGTGCGAGCGTGGCCGCTCGGGGGGGCGGCCCGCCCATGGCTAATCTTTTTGGGGGTGCGGACGTGGCTTTGCCTGAGGTCAAGCCCTTCTTCTGGCGGCCGCCCTGTTTTTTTGCTGGCGCGGCGCCGTTCGACCCGTTCGGCGCCGCGGGCGCGGCGCCAGTACTTGGCGGGATTGGTCCCTGTTGTGGCTCCATCGTGTCTTGGGCTTGCAGCGCTGGTTCTGCTGTTGTTATTGATCAAACAGATCAACTCAGACGCGTTCCTGCTGTGTATTGCGGCCGAGCGCGCTCGTTTTCGATTCGCCCCTCGGGAGGCCAAAATAGTGTATAGACACACTAGCCGCGTTTTGATCTACCCGTCCTGACACCTTCGTGCGGGCCCCTCGCCCGCGCGCGACGCCTTAGAGATGTATCTGTGTTGCGCGGCGCGATGCCGAGCTCTCACACAGCCTGCCTCTGTTAAAGCCATTGCTGCTGTGTACGCGGCCGCGGGACTCGGCGCACAACTGAACAGCGTATCGAAAGGTCCATCATAATTTACGCCAGCTGCCGCGGATAACTCCGACATTCCTAGCCTCCCCCAGCCTCCCAGCCCCTGCAAGCTGGATCCTAGGACCGTCCTCTGGTGCGACGACGCGACCAGAGCCATGGACCCGAGCCAGCGGCCCACGAGCAACGCCCCGCCGAACCCCTACGGCCAGCCGCAGGCGCCCGCGTACGGCTACCCGTACGGGCAAGCCCCGCCGGCACAGGCCTACCAGGCGCCGCAGCAGGCATACTACCAGACGCCATCCACTCAAGCGGACGTCTTCGCGGCCCTCGCGCAGGCGCCGCCCGTCTACGCGCCGCCGCCGCCGCCCGTCTACGTCGCGCCGCCGGCGCCGCCCACAACCCTCGCATCCGCGAAATTTGGGGACGAGACGTGGCGCATCTCGGGGTCGGACTACCTGGGTTTGGATTTGTTCCGGTCGCTGACGGACGACAAGGGGTTGGTCATCTCGCACGTGCCGGCGAAGTGCGTCGCTTGGCTGCCGGCATCAGAGTCGGACTTCTTCGACGACGCCGGGAGACCTGCCGCTTTGTACAAGATCCGCTACACGGGCGGCGAGTTGATTGGCGACCACGAGGACCTCGAGGCGCACGAGATCGAGCAGTCGAAGCCGATGAGCGCAAAAGAGCTCAAAGCAGCTGAGGACGATGACTCGGTCAAGTCCAAGGCCTCGAAGTTCGACCCTAATGAGGAGGTCCAACGCCGTGTCTAACACTCTCGCGTCGCGTCGATGGCGTACGATCTGTCCCCCACGCCTACCCCTCCGGCACATCGCCGCGACGCAGGTCGATTCGCCCGACGAGGACTCGGACGACGACTGGGGAGGTCGGCCGGCGGCCGGGCCGCCTTCCGCATCGAAGAAGCGCACCAGGAACAACGACATTCCGAGTGATGATGGTGAGGATGACGACGGCGCCGTCGCGCCGCCGTCCGAGAAGAAGCAGCTGCGCAGCGACCCGGCCCCGGTCGCGGTCGCGGCCGCGGCCGTGCCGCCGGCGGACGCGCTGTCGAACGACATCGTCGCCGCGCTCGCGGCCGACGAGCCGACGCCGGCGGCGCCCGCGGCGCCCGCGGTTCCGGCGGTGGCCGTGGCTCCGCCGGCCCCCGTGCCTTCCCCGTTCGCCTTGCCTCCGGCGGCGCCCGCGGCTCCCGTGGCCCCAGCGGCGGAGCCGGCGGCCGCCGCGCCCCCGGCTGGCGAGACGGCGCCGGGGGCGGTGTAGGAGGTCGCTCCTACCCCGTCGTCGCGATTGAGGCTGAAGTAAGAACGCCCGTTAAGTCGAGTAGTCCCGGAAAACCCCGAAAGGGAGAGAGTCGGGCCGCCGTTTACTAGCGGCCTGTAAGACACTAGCAAGCAAGCAAAGACGGCGCTATCGGGGCGTCGACCGTCCCGCGTAGATTGACGTGAGAAAGGGCAGAACTGCAACAGGTTTATCGACCTGGCGCAGAAGGGGCGAAGTCCTGGACCCTAGCAGGCTTTCAATCTTTGGGCCATTTTTTCCCAGCACAGTCCTGAACGAGAACAGCGGCACGAGGGATGGCGCGCGCCCTCAGGAGCCTCACACTGGTGTTCCTCGCGGCCCGCGCCGGCGCCCAGAAGGATTCCTGCGCCACCGGCGCCGAGGGCCGCTGGGCGGGCACGCACGCCCGGCTCCTAGCGCTCGACGAGAGCAAGCTCCCGAACCTCTACCAGAGGAAATTGGAGTTCGAGAACATCACGGGCGCGAGCATCGACATTGAACAAAAGTCGATCAAGGACTGGGCCGGGGCGGTATTTTCGGACGCGAAGACGGCCCGCCTAGAGATACGCGAGCATGTTCGCGGACCCGGACGCGAATCTGTGGCGAACGACGCCGCCGACCGCGCCACTCGTAATAGAGCGAGCCCGTTTCTACGACAACGCGACGTTCGCGTCGCTCGCCTCGTGCGCGGTGGACAATCCGTTGCTCGCGCGCAACCCGCTCGGGGGCACGTTCAACAAGACGACGGGGCTGCTGGTCCGCTTCACAGACTCAGGCTACGCCACGGTCGTCGCCGATGGGAACCTCAGCTGTTTCGCGCCCTTCGTCGACACCGCGCGGCGGAAATACCCCAAGGCGAACGCGTTCGTCCTCAACGTCCGCGGCCCGCGTCTCCGCCGCCAATGAAGGCGGCGCAGCGCAGCGAAGTGATAGAGCTGAATACGTGTTTCTGTATTCCTTCTGGACGTGTTGATTTGGTCGCACAGTGTACAAAAAACGCGTACGAGGGCGGCGAGACACCCGCCGTCGACTACGGCATCCGGAACGAGTCGTCGCGAGCGTTGTCCGCGGTCAAGATCAAAATCAAGCGCCAGATCTGGTTCAAGGCCCGCGGTCACCAGAAACGGTTCAAGAACACGATCGTTTGTCGTTCGTTTGCCGGCGTCGAGGCCGGAGGTGTTTTCGGGTTCGACGGTCTGCCGATGCGGCGCGGCGAGCTCCCGCTGCCGGCGGTCGTGCGGGGACCGCGGGGCTTCCAGCTGTTCTCCATCGACAGCCCGACGATCAAGGTGCGCTACTGGCTCAAGATTGAGGCGACGACGACGGCGGTGGCCGTGCGGAGCGCCCGGCTACGGCTTATGGACGTCCAGATCTACCGCACGGCGCCGTGGCGGGCCACGGCGGTGTTCGCGGGCGCCGAGCGCGACGACGACGACGACGACGACGGTCTGGCCTGGGGCGAGGTCATCTCCTACGAGCCGAGCCCCGATCTCGGCGACGTTCCCGTCGCGGTGCCCATCCCGTCCGCGCCGCCGGCGGAGGCGATACGCGCTTAACGATTAATCGCATGATTCAAATCTATACACTCAAACGCGGGGGAGAGGAAGTCACGCGACGGCCTTCGCGGCGGCGACCTCCTCGGTCGCCGGCTTCTGCGACGCCTCGACGGCCTTATCGAGCTTCTTCGCATCTTTTTCATCATCAATAGCGTTGGTGGGCGGCGTGCAGGACGACCCATACATCATGCCTCCTCCAAAACGCTTCGCTAACACCTTCTCGGTCTCCTCGTTTTCCGTCCGGCACGCGTCTCCAATCAATCGTACCCGCACCACGTCGCCGGGCCGGTACTCCTGCGGTAATGTTATAGACACGGCCTCGCCGCCGTCCGGCCCTGTGACCGTGACGCGCTGGCCCGCTTCGACGTGAGCTGAGCGTAACTCGATAGCCTCCAACTCAATCGCGCCGCAGGGCCGCCACTTGCCCTTGAGGACGGGGCCGCCACTCGTCAAGTTCGTCTCGCCGACGACGTATCTAGGTGCTTTGGCAGGTTCCCCTACCACATATCTTGTGGCTCGGTCGGCGTCGTTCTGCCTCAGGGCCACTAATCTCGGATCATGAGAATTAGAAAACAGTTCAAAACCTGGTGCGAGGTCCCACGAATCATCATCATCATCTCTCTGTAGGGCCGTAACCGCAGTATAATGTAAGGGCGGCCCGTCGTACTTGCCCGCCTTGATGCGCTCGTAGGAAGGTAGAGCGATGCCGTTCGGCGCCGGCTGTAAGGAGCGGATTAAGTCAGCTGACGGTTTCCCGTGCGTGACGGCGATGGCCGTCCCACCGGCCGCCACCAAAGGATGCTGCGCGATCTCGTGCGCGATCGTGTTCAGTCGGTGGACGGGGTCGCCCACTTCCACACAGGGGCCGGGGTACGTCGGGCCCCGCTGGAACTGGACGTCGCGCAGCGGCTGGTACGTCAGATCGACTCGAGGCGAGATGCAGATCAGATCCGCCGCCTTGAGGTACCAGGGCTCCCGGTGCTTGAGACCGCCCATGTACCGCATGTCCTCCACGAGTCCCGGCTCGACGCAGATTTTTATGGAGTGGTTGTCCTTGCCGAAGACGCCCGCCCGCTGCAGACCTTCCAGCTCGACGGCGATGGCGTCGGCAGTCTGGATGCAGCGGATGAAGGGAGACGCGAAAATGGCCAAAGGTCGGTGGATCGGCAGCTTGCCGTAGAACCACTTGCCTAATCTACGACTTTGCCGCAAACCGCGCTGCGAGAGTGGCGTGTCCTGGGGTCTCAATGCCAGCTCCGACCACCCGTCGGGCGTCGACCGGTCGTGGCGCTCGGCGTGCCTCACGACGAACATCATCTTCGCGCCGTTCATCTTGTAGTTGCCGTCCTTGTGCGGGCGGCTCGTCCAGGATCCTAACGGTCTTGCGGCGGCGGCGCGCGGCGCTCTTGTCGCGAGGTGGCGGAGCAGCATGGCGGCGATATCTCCAGTGCTAGGGCACGGTCGCGGCTGCCACTTGGCGAGCAGTTGCACAGGGCTGTCGGGCGAGTGATGCGCTAGTCTCTACGTCCAGCGCGGCTTGCGCGGCGCTTTAGAAGACGCTCTGCCGGCGTTTCAACTTTCCAGAGCGCTGTGCGGGTATGCTGGCTTTCGCAGAAGTCGATCGACGGTGCCGTGTCTCTTCCTTAGCCCTCTCTGAGCAACGAGGGCTCTCTTGCGTGCTCGAATGTGACGGGTTTACAGGCAACGCAATCGTCATCGGGTCGAGCTAACGCCGACCATCGGACGAGTGAAGAGACGTTAAGGGAGGTGCAAATCAAAGGTTGATACGGCCGGCGAGGCCGAATCGCGGCGAGCGCGAGCGAAACCGCAATCTGAAAAATCTGGTCAACACAAAGGAGTAGCCAACGGACGCTCGACCCCTTGCGGGCGGGCGAAGTGGTGCGATAAAATATCGAAATGCCTCTCCTCAAATATTTCACCCTGGCGGTCGCGCTCTCGCGCGTGGCGGCGGAGGGCCCGTGCGTCGACGAACCCGACGCAACTCTACCCGGCGGCTACGGCGCCCAGGGCGACGACGGCTACGAGTACGGTTCACAGGACGACAATTACTACGAGTACGGTGCCCAGGACGACGACGCCGACGCCGACGCGGCGACCGGCGACGGGTCCAACTTCTACGACGACGCAGCCGCCGAAGCGGAGGAGGAGCCCGCCGCGCAGCCCGCGGCGGCCGCGCCCGAGCCCACGGAAGCGGAGGAGCCCGCCGAGCAGCCCGCGGCGGGCGCGCTCGAGCCCGAGTCTACGCTTGAGGATTCCAAACCGGCAGTGATCGCGGAGGCGGTCGCCATCGACGTCACCGAGGACATCAATTACGAGGCGAAGTGGGCGCCGACGGAGGTCGTCGTCGCGCTCTTCATCTTCGTGACCTGCGCCTTCTCGATGACGCGGCTCTGCCGCGCGAAGGAGGACCAGTACGCGCCCGTCACGCGCGCGATCTCGGAGGAGGACCTCGTCGCGCCCGACGTCGAGACGGGGCCCACGCTGGAGGACAAGCGGCGGATGCTAGACTAGAGCTCTCGCGGCGACGGCATCGTGTATAAATCCCATCGTTTCGAGTCTTCTAGTCGCCGTCGCCGCGCGGCCCGACGTCGACGAGCCACAAGAGAACAAATTTTTCTAGCTCTCGAAAGCGCGTCCATATTGGCTGGGGAAACGTCACGCACCCTTGTGGTAGTCCGGAGCGGCGCCGAGTAGGGGGTCGGCCAGCATCTCCATGGCAGTCCGCAGCGCGCGTCGTGCAGCCCTTTGCAGCAGCGCTCGCCCCGGGCCGAGGCGGCCCGACGGCGTCGGTGCATCATCCGGCTGCCGTGAAGGGCTTGCTGCCGCCGGCCGACGGCTCAAGGAGGCCAGGGGCAGCCTTTTGTCCTGAGCCTCAGGGCCTGGCACGCCAGCTTGCCCGGCGCACGCTGTTTGGATAAGACGCCTCCGACGCCAGAGACAGGACAAAATGCCCGGCGCCCAGGAGGCGGCGGAGAAGCGCTGGAGCGGCTACGGCCGCCCGCCGCAGAACATCAAGCGGGACCCGCGGAGCTACCCGCACAACGGCCAGCTCTGGCGACTGCTAAAGAAAGCGAGTGATCGCAAAACCCAAGTCAGCAAGCACCAGCGCCTCTACACGGTCAACGAGAGAATATGGAGAAAGAGCCACAAAGGCGACGCCCCGCGCGATTCCGGTCTGAGCGCGTCCGAGGCGACGCAGAAGGCTCGAGACTTTGACCTGGAAGCTCGAGAGCGACGGAAGGCGAGAGACAAGCCCCTGCCCTTACCTCCTGGGTATTATGGCTCTAGGAAAAGAAAGGGGCCCAAGACCAAAGCCGCGAGTCGTTTCGAAGGTTCTCTCGCGACGGACAACAACACGCGCTTGCACTTTGGGGCCGCGATCGCCTTGCAAGCTCATGTGAACAACGACGCGTTTTGCGTCAAGAGTCAAGAAGATGGGAGAATCGTCGCTACCAGTCATATAGGACCCAAGGACGTGGTGCTGTTCAAGTTGTTAGAACTAGAAGAGCCAGGATCACATAAAGCTTGTAGATTTGGGGACGCGGTGTGGCTGCAAATCTGTGGCGGCCCCGGCGAGCCGTCCTGGAGACATGGGAGTGTGGTGGGTGCCAAGGTTGTCGGTGCTTGTAATCTGCCGACAGTACCTATAGACCCGAATGTGGCTGAGTATATTGGAGGCGACCAAGTCGAGACGGGTCTCGGCGCGCCGGCGCCCGTGAGGGCCATGCTCCCGACGGGAAAAGAGGCCATGTCGTTCCACGAGATGCGTCATAGAAACAAGGCCGCTCTGACGCTAGGTAGATGGAGATTATTACCAGCAAATGACGAAACCGCAGAAAAGGCTGCCGAGCGGGGCGGATTTGTATGTAACGGTGACCTTGTGTATTTGGAGCAGGACTTTTTCCACGTGACCATGGATCGGAACGGTAATACGTCGTTGGAGCGAGTCCCGAAAGTAACAGAATATCCTGGCTACCGAGTAGAAAGAACTGGTTGTTGGGTCTTGCGGATTGCGACACTCACAAATGAAAATATGAATGATTTGTCCTATAAAGAACAAAGGGGCGAGTTATTGATGCAGAAGGCTATTAAGAGCATGCGTCGTTCACATGCGAACAGGATGGGTCGCCGCGGCTACGACCGCGACGCCGACGAACCGATATTACTTAAGAAAGGCGACGACGCGCCCCGGCTGCCCGGTGGCAAGTTGTTTTGTACCTTACTAAGGCATGTGGTCATGGAGCGCGAAGCTTTGGATGAACAGAAAGTCCTAGCACCACACACCGAGAAGGAACGGTACCCGCACAACTACTTCGCGTCGCGCTTTCCCACGTGTGGGCCACCGGTGATCGCGCCCGACGAGAAAACAATTGTGAAGTTAAGACCGTCCGAAATGCGGGAACGGGCCCCACAAGTGCAAAGAGCGCCGCCGACGCACACCTTCCTGACACAGGATAGTCAGGAGGCCTCGTCACCCATCAACAAACAAATATCGGTCATCACCGAAGGCACGGTATTGACCAATAAAACGGATTGCCCTTCATTGGTGTACGGGCCCGAGTGGCACATTCCGAACCGAGATCTACTTATTAACAGACACACCACCAAGTCCTCGATATGCCCCTACCAGTTCGGCACGGAGGATGAAGAGGACGACTTCTCCGAAGTCACGGAAGTTGCAGAGCTCATATCATTAGATCAAGTCTCGAAAATTCAAAAACGGAAGGCTAGATTGTTAGGTAAAGCAAAATCCTGGGCCTACGATTTAGGGAGCGAGGACCAGTTCGTCACGGACATCAAACGAGACGAATCGCTCACGGCGAAGATGCGCCAGCAGATTCTGCGGGACCCCGACGGCGAGTCCGAGAAGGACTCGTTTTTGTCGGATGACGTGTCGGTAGCGTCCGGCAGTCGCAGAAGGTCGCGGTCCATGGATTCTTATAGTATAGAAATCCCGCAGACCATCGATGAGAGCGGATCTGATTCGGAGGATAGCGGGCCCGTCTACGACCCCGACGCGACCGATGGAGACCGGGACGTCGAGAAGGAGGCCATGGACGCTATTGATAACTATTTCAAAGTCTGGCAGGAACAACTGAAGAATCAAGAAAAACGGGATGTTTCTACTAGACTTGTGTCGGAGGACAAATTCTTAGCGCACAATATCGACTTTTTGAAGCGGCGGGAGCGGTTCAAGACCATGTTTGCGCAATTGAAGATTGATAACGCTCGGGTCGAGGAGACTTCTTCATTAATGCAAGATCTAGCAGATGAAAGCGAGGCTCCACTCGTCCATAACTTGGAGGACTTAGCAACTTTCGACGAAGCCGAGTGCAAGAAGCACTTCGACGAGTCGATGGATCTATTGCGAGACATGGTCGAAGCCACGCGGGAAGCCTTCCAGAAGTTCGTGCTGCCGCAGCTCGCGGGCGGCATGAAGGACGGCTCGACGGCGAAGATGGCCGAGTGCGCTTGTGAGGCATCTCTGATTGTTGGTGCGTTTAGTGAGCGAGTGGTGGCTCCTCGATGCTCCGCATTTGCTAAAGCGCTGAAGGAGTATTTGGTGACGGCGGCGCAACTCACTTACAACGTGAAGGACGAAGATTTGCCCCAGGTGATTGCCGATTTAGCTGCTCCTTCATTAGATCCCGATGTTCTCAGAAGACATGCGAAGAAGTTCTATTCGGAAGTGGATTTGTTCTGCACGCACGTCGGGGAGGCCTATCCTAAAAGACGGAGGCGGTCAACTAGGCGGAAACGGCGATCAACTAGGCGGCGGTCTTCCCTACTGGCGCCGGTGGGGGCGCCGGCGCCGGCGCCGGCTCCTGCGGCCGCTCAAAGGGCGAAGACGCCCGAGGCCAAGGCCGCGGGCGCGCTGTAAGTATCGTTATCTACTGCTTCTCGGTGGGTGTCGCGGATGTGATGTGTCGTTGCGTCGATTTCTGTTGCGGTGCTAGGACTAGTTTGCGGGCCCCCTGGGCCGGCGGCGGACCGCCGCCGATACGTATGAGTTGTTACGGTGCTAGGACTGTGGGCGGAGATACGTATCCAGCTTGCTAGTGTCTTGCAGCTAGCTGATTATGTGCCGGCGCTCCGAGCTCGACGTTGCGCTATTATTTCAGACGCGCTGTGCCAGTATTACATACAAAAACCGATTTAAAATTTATACATCATCCTTGGCTTCGGTTTGATGACGGCTGGAGCGCCTGATAGGCCCGCAGCAGCCCTGGCAAGCGCTACCGGTGATGACAGCGCTACGGCCGCGGCGAGCGCCGCGACAGGTCGAGGCGGCCTACTAGCGCAAGTGCGCGCCGCTGGCCGAGCCTCGCCGGTACGAGCGCCCTCAACAGCGGCAGCGCGTGCGGGAGCGCACGCCGCCGCCGCTGAGGCCGCCGCGGCGCGAGCAGCCGCTGAGGCACCAGCGCGCGCGCCCGCCGCAGCCGACGCAGCGCCCGCGCGGACGCCGAAGGCAAGCGCGACGCCCGCGCTGCGCACGCCAAAAAACACGCCGCGCGCGCCCGTCGCGCTGGCCATCACGGGCCGCCGCCGCGGCTCCGGGAGCCGGACGCCGCGCCAGGTCCTCGCGGACGCGCTTCAGGTACGAAGCGCGAAGAAGGGCTTCTCCGGCGCGCTCTTGAGGCTCGTGAGCGACGTCGTCCAGGGCCAGAAGCTCCGGAAAGGAGCTAGAGTCTGGCTCGACCGCGGCGGCGGCGCCTTCGCTGCCGGAGAACTCCTCTCCGCACCACAAAAAGAGTCGGGCCGCTGCGTCGTGAAGATTGATGGAGAGGAGAGACCAATCCAGTGCCACGCGTCGCAGCTCTGTCCTTCCGATAGATATGGTGCCGATAATGAGTGCCTGGTTGATGTAGATGATCGATGCTTACTCAGGACGCCGTCGTCGCCGTCACCAAAGGAGTGCGTCGCGGTGACGCGGCCGAACCACGATGGCCGTCTCGTCGTGCGCGTCGACGGCGGCTACCAAGGAGGCGGGAAACGCGCGTGTCGACTGGTGCACGTGGGCCAGCTCGAAGTTTTAGATGAAGGCTGGTGGGCGTCGTCACCGCAGGAACCACCTCCTGTTCAAGAGGAGGTCAAGGAGGAAGTGTGGGCTCCGGTGGATGACCCGGTCTACGCTCCTTATTACAGGATGCTGCGCGTCGGCGCGCCGGCGGCCGCCGTGGCCCAGAAGATGGCTCGAGATGGCAATGATCCCCTGAAAATAGAAGCCACCTCTGTGCATGCCGCGGGCCTGGTCGTGTCCTCGTCCAAAGTCGAGCCGGGCGGTTCTGTGGCCGCTTTGTTCGGGAATAAGACAGGACCCGTCCTACCTCAAAAAAAACGGAGATCGCGGACCGTCAAGGAGCTGCCCCTCGACTACCACGATAACGACGTCGAGGGGTCGATATGGGGTGATGTTACACAATTAAACGGCATCGAGGTGCACAATACACAGCTAGAGAAGCTCTTTGTTCGAACGACGACGCCCGACGCCAAGAAGGTCATTCAAAGGAGACCGTCTCCGACGGAGCAGAAGGAGGTGGTGTTGGCTCCGAAAAGAAGTACGAACGTCGCGATCGGTCTGGCGGGTGCTAGACTTGATGCTTTATCTGTAGAAGACATAAGAAGATCGGTAGCGAGGTGCGACGCCGGTGCGTTTAGTAAAGATCAACTGGAAGCCCTGCGGATGGCGACGCCTTCGCAAGACGAGGCGCTGCGGCTGAAAACATGCGATGCTAGCAATAACTACGAAAAGTACGCCGAGGCGGAACGCTTCATGTGTCGCGTCGTCTTAGTGCTGGGACGGGACGCCTTCGAAACGCGTGTGACAGCATTAAGATTCAGGGCCCAGTTCGGCGAGCGGGCGGCGCACGTCGCCGCGCAAGCGAATGATCTAAGAAGAGCCTGCGCGGGCGTGACGTCGTCCGAAGCTTTGAAGAAGCTCCTGACCTATGTGTTGAGGCTGTCGAAGGAGCTCGACGATCGCCGGAGCACGCCTCGCAAGAACACGGGCGGCTTCCGGCTCCACTCTCTACTCAAGCTGGCGGACACCAAAGCCTTCGATCGGGAGACGTCGGCCTTGGATTACGTCGTGAGCATGATGGTGGCGAATGATGATGAGGCGACGCTGCATGTGTTTGACGAGCTGCCTGGTTTGAAAGCAGCCCAACGGGCGTCGATGGCGCACTGCCAGAGGGAAGTGAAGAACCTGCAGCACGGGTTGTCTCGCATATCGTCGTTGATCGAATCATCAGGAGACGACGAGGACGGCGTCGCTTGTGCCGATGCTTGTTCCGCTTTCAGGGATCTGGCGAGTGGCGCCCTGAAGGGTCTGGAGGCCGACGTCGATGCGGCCTCAGACGCCTTCCGCGAGACGCTGTCGTACCTACGGGAAGCAGAGCAGACGCCCGAGGAGTTCTTTTCTACATTAACTTCTTTTGAGGCGAAATTCGCGGAATCGAGGAAGCGGTGCGCCCATAGAGCAAGGGCGGAGCAGCGCCGGCGCGACGAGGAACGGCGGCGGCCGTCCGCCGAACGGCGCATCGAGGCGAAGCTGTCTAGGAGGGAGAGTGCACCGGTGCTGCACTCTCCCAAACAACGAACAAAGCACCGGCGGAACTCCTCCACCGGCGCGTTGCCGCAGAACGCCGCGCTCGAGGCCATGCTGCAGCGGCGGCAGCCGCGGTCGCGGTCGTCGCCGGCGGACTCGCCGCCGCCGCCGCCTTCACTAACTCCGCTCTCGCCGGTCGTGTCCGAGACCGCGGCGTCGCCCGTCGCCGCGTCGCCGCCGCGGGTTCCATCGGAGCCCGAGCCGCCGGCCACGCCGCCCTGCCCGCCGCCGCCTTCTTTAACACGCCGCGCGACGACGCCGCGGAGCGACGACTCGGACTACTCCTGCGACGAGGACGACCTCGCGGCCGTCGCGGATCTGGATTTGGGGCATTAAGTACTGTGTGATTGTGTCTTATTGAAGTCTAGCCGATGCGGACTGCCGCGTAGCGGGGTCCAATAAACCTGAACCCGGCGGGAATATCCCACTCTGTCCAGTGCCTACTGCCCGGACCAAACACAAATAGGCGTGTCGAATTAAAGTCGTGATCCTCGTCATCTGAAGCTTGCCAGCCACTGACAACGATATGACCGTCCACCTGACCCACGTATGAACCGATGATGGCAGTCGCCAAGATCGTCTTGGGCGTTCTGGGCGTCGCGTCGTATTATCGCGGCTCGGAAACGCGGGCCCGCATCGGGACCGCGATTGCGGTCCTGCTCGTCGCTTCCATCTACGCCGACGTCGCGATCCCGCTCGAGTTCGAGCTCGACAAGCGGGGCCGCGTGACGGACGTGCCCGTCCCGCTCGACCTGACGAGCCTCAAGTTCCTCGGCAAGATGGTCCTGGTCGTGCCACTACTCGCCGCGCTCGCCGCGCACCTCGCCGAGCCGGGCCTCCTCACGAAGGACAAGTCCAAGGACCAGTAGGAGACATTCTTAATTCTTAAAACTTGTTCGCCTGGCTGCGGATGATGTCCGGGAGCCGCTCGAGGCGCCGCGCCCGGCGCCGCGCGGTCTTGGACCGCTTCGGCCGGTCGTTCTTCCAGACGAGCGGCGGCTCCGGCGGCGGGTCAGGCGCGCGGCGTCGTCGTGGCCGCTCGTCGTCGAAGGCGGCCTGGCGCGGCGTCGAGGGCTGCGCGGCGTCCCAGATCGTGACGAAGTCCTCCGGCGAGGGGCTCGCGGCGCGCCGCGCCGGCGAGCCGGCGGCCACGAGCGGCGCGCCGGGCGTCTGCGGCCGCCGGGGCCGGTCGGCGGCCATGAGCGGCTGCGGCGGCGGGCTGTCGCCGCGGACGCGGCGGTCGTCGTCGGAAGACTCAAAGGTGAGAGGTCTGTCCTGCATGCTGTCGCCGCGGGGCCGGCGGCCGTCGTCGGCCATCAGGGGCCGCGGCGGTCCCGAAGCGCCCGGGATGCGCAGGTCGTCGTCGGCGATCAGTGGCCGCGGTTTTGGTGTGTTACCGGGCACGCGCAGGTCGTCGTCCGCGACCGAGGGCATTGACGGCGCGCCGTCGGCGGCGTCCAGTCGTTGATCCAAAACCAAAGGCATCGGCGGACCGCCGTCCACAACCCGTCCCAAGAGCGGCTGCGGCGGCGGACTCGCCCCGGGCACGCGCAGGTCGTCGTCGTCCCGCGCGAGGAGCGGCTTCGGTTTCGGACTCGCGCCCGGCACTCGTAGGTCGTCATCCGGCTTCCTCGGCGACGGCGTCCGCGGCGCCTCGGGGGCGACTTCGACGAGAGATTGATCATGACGCGCGTCGACAACCAAAGCGCCCGGCGGCACGCGGACGCGGACCTTGCGCCCGTCGGGCAGCGTCGCCTCCATGACCTCTCCTTCAGGTTCCCGTCGGTCGAGGACGTCGTAGATGGAGCCCGTACCTACCTTGGGCTTGCCGGGCGAGTGCTGGGGCGACTTGGACTTGGACGACGAGGACTTGGCCGGCGAGGCCGCCCGCCGGTTCCGCAGGAGCTCCTCGCGCATAATCTGGCGCGCCATGAGCGACATGGGCGCGATCCTAACTTCGGATTCGCCGACGTGCTCGTTGTAGCGCGTGGGCATTTTTGCGGGGCCATAGTCCTCCCAGTTCGACCTCAGAGGAGGGAAGACGGTTTTTGACTTGGGCGGGAAGTTCACCGGCCGCTTGCCGATCATCACGCGCTCCGGCTTGCAGCCGCGCAGCAGCGGTCTTAACCGCTTTTGGATGGGCTTCTTCGGTTGAGCCTCGCGTTCCTTCCTTCTGGCGAGCGCCTCGTAGCGAGCTTGTTCTCTCGCTTCAATAGCTCGTAGATCCGTCTGGTCCCGGCGTCGCCCGTAGCCCGCCCGGCAGTCGAAGCCCATGTTCAGCTTCTTTTGCGCTGCTATTTGTCGCTCCTTGTCCGTGCTGTCCGGCGGGCGCACCCAGCCACTCACCGGTCTTTCTTCTTCCTTGGGCTGCTTCGCGCGGCGGTCGCGGCGCTCGCGGCGGCTGGGCCTCATCGTCTTGTTTGCTGTGTTGATACCATGCTGGTCAGGCTGCCCAGCTTTGTCGTTTGCATGCGGCGCTCCAGCGTAGCGCTAACCCGTCCCTTGGCCCTAGACGGCTGAGGGCTCCTTTGTAGTGTCATACGGGCTGGTCCGACGGTTCGGCGTCGTGCTTGGGAGCCTGAGGCCAAACTGGGGCGGTTCGTGCCCAGTCGCACGAAGCGTCGACGGCAGGCGGTGCGGCGCGTCGGCGGACGGTTGCGAGGGGTCGGACCGTTCATTTGAGACGGCGAAGGACCCGACCGAAGGCTGAATCAGCGTGACATCACATCTAAAAATCGTACGCAACCGCGTCGCAATTGCAACCAGTAACCGCACCGCTTGCTCCGCAGCGCACCTGTACCCTCCGCAACCCACTGCAATATTTGTGCGCGCTGAAAAGCGCCGCGGACGCGCAGTTTGGTGCACAAAACCACTGTCGCCCGAATTCGTGCTGCCAACCGCGCGCACCAACACACAGAGACACCCGCGCTTGCCGCGCACCACGCGCACCGCCCTCACGCAACTCTTTCCGCGCAGTCACTTACAAAAATGGCCAAGCTCGCGCTCGCCCTCGCCCTCGCCCCGGCCGTCACGGCCTTCGCGCCCGTCGCGGCCCCCAAGGCCTCGACGCAGCTCCAGGCCTCGATCCAGGACACCCTCGCCACCATGGAGGGCCCGGAGATCTTCTGGGGCTCGGACGGCGTGCTCCTCGGCCACGACGAGGCCGACATCAAGGGCTACGACAACTTCGACCAGCTCGCGGCCGCGCTCTCCAAGGAGGGCGTCGACCTCTCGGGCGGCGAGTACACGCTCCTTGCGCCGGCCAACTCGGCCTTCGACAAGCACAACAACGAGGTCGGCACGCCGATCCGCGACGACGTGCTCAAGTACCACGTGATCGAGGGCAAGAAGACGATGGACGCCCTCAACACGGACCAGAAGACGCTCAACGGCGGCACCCTCACGGCGTACCGCAAGTTCCGCAAGAACTGGCTCGACGGCGCCATCATCGGCCTCAAGTCCGAGGGCCCGTCCAAGTCCTCCAACTGGCCGTCGGACGTCGAGTGCGACAACGGCATCATCCAGGCCATCGACACGGTCCTCGTGCCGGGCGCCTACGAGGGCCCGCGGTAAGCGCGAGCCGCCGCTCTGTATTATACGAGCGCTCGAGCTCCCCTCGTGTGTAAATTCAAGTCTAATGCCGAAACAAGATACTTCTGTGCGTTTCCCTCCTCCGACTCTCGACGACGTGCGTGCGACCTGGGAGTGATTTCTGTGCCGGAGCGAGGTCTAGCCGGCAGAGCCGCCCAAGTGGTGTGGTAGAGCACGTTCGCCCCGACGCCATCGATGCGTCGTCCCTGTGACGGGGTCTGCTCGGTGGCGTGGAGGGGGAAGCAGCTGCCTGGTCTTCTCGCGTCGGCCGCGGCGCCGCGAGGCGCAGATCTGGTCCGATGCGCGGCGACGAGCGTTGTGCGCGTATTGAGCGCCCCGGGTCCTGCGCGCCGCTGACGGACCGACCGCCCCGAGACTCGAGACTGTGTGATGCGGCCGCCGCCGCCGCTCGCGGGAGCGGGACCCGCTTCCGCGCCAAGAGCCGTCTGTGGAAGGCTCGCGGGCCACCGAAAGAGGCCCTCCGCCCCGGCTCCCGCCCAGAAAACGGGCCTTCCGAAACGGAAACCGACCCTACCCCTTACGCCTCGAGAGGTCAGCCTCTCACACGCACATCTCTGCCGTCGCAAAACAGGTGCGCAAACGCGTCGCCATCGCAACGCCTGACCGTAGCACTCGCTCCCCAGCCCCCACGCACCCTCTGCACCCCCCTGCACAGCTTTGCGCGTTGAAAAGCGCGTCGGACGCGCAGTTTGGTGCACAAACACCACTGTCGCCCGAATTCGCTGCCAAAGGGGGGCGCACGGCGCGCCGCCGCCACCGAGAGACCGCCACGCGCGCCGCGCACCATGCGCACCGCTCTCACGCAACCTCTCCGCGCAGTCAATCACAAAAATGGCCAAGCTCGCTCTCGCCCTCGCCCTCGCCCCGGCCGTCACGGCCTTCGCGCCCGTCGCGGCCCCCAAGGCCTCGACGCAGCTCCAGGCCTCGATCCAGGACACCCTCGCCACCATGGAGGGCCCGGAGATCTTCTGGGGCTCGGACGGCGTGCTCCTCGGCCACGACGAGGCCGACATCAAGGGCTACGACAACTTCGACCAGCTCGCGGCCGCGCTCTCCAAGGAGGGCGTCGACCTCTCGGGCGGCGAGTACACGCTCCTTGCGCCGGCCAACTCGGCCTTCGACAAGCACAACAACGAGGTCGGCACGCCGATCACGGCTGACGTGCTCAAGTACCACGTGATCGAGGGCAAGAAGACGATGGACGCCCTCAACACGGACCAGAAGACGCTCAACGGCGGCACCCTCACGGCGTACCGCAAGTTCCGCAAGAACTGGCTCGACGGCGCCATCATCGGCCTCAAGTCCGAGGGCCCGTCCAAGTCCTCCAACTGGCCGTCGGACGTCGAGTGCGACAACGGCATCATCCAGGCCATCGACACGGTCCTCGTGCCGGGCGCCTACGAGGGCCCGCGGTAAGCGCGCAGTGCGGCTCTGGCATTTGCCGGATTGACTCGCGCTCGATGTACCATTAAGTTTGTGCTCTCTATTCTACTCATCTTCGGACTGCGGAAGTAGGATCGGCGCCAGCCCTCTCCGACTCGGCGACTGCGTCGACTCAGGCGTCGCCGCTGCCCGCTCGTAGGGCGTGCTGCCCCCCGACGGCGATGCCATCGACGCGAGGCCACCACGTCGCTGGCACCGTCCCATTGGATATTCTTCTGGACGGTGGACTTGGTACCGAGTCAGCTGCGGCCGGCTCCTGCCTGCGGCCTGGAGTAGACTCCCAGGTAGAGCCATAGACGGAATATAGTAGGAGTACGGCTGGCAGCACGCCCCAGCCAGAGAGTACATATACTTGTAATTAAAAACAACGAGACGGATCGCGAGCGACCGATCCGCAAACGCCAGAGCAACCGCTTACCGCGGGCCCTCGTAGGCGCCCGGCACGAGGACCGTGTCGATGGCCTGGATGATGCCGTTGTCGCACTCGACGTCCGACGGCCAGTTGGAGGACTTGGACGGGCCCTCGGACTTGAGGCCGATGATGGCGCCGTCGAGCCAGTTCTTGCGGAACTTGCGGTACGCCGTGAGGGTGCCGCCGTTGAGCGTCTTCTGGTCCGTGTTGAGGGCGTCCATCGTCTTCTTGCCCTCGATCACGTGGTACTTGAGCACGTCAGCCGTGATCGGCGTGCCGACCTCGTTGTTGTGCTTGTCGAAGGCCGAGTTGGCCGGCGCAAGGAGCGTGTACTCGCCGCCCGAGAGGTCGACGCCCTCCTTGGAGAGCGCGGCCGCGAGCTGGTCGAAGTTGTCGTAGCCCTTGATGTCGGCCTCGTCGTGGCCGAGGAGCACGCCGTCCGAGCCCCAGAAGATCTCCGGGCCCTCCATGGTGGCGAGGGTGTCCTGGATCGAGGCCTGGAGCTGCGTCGAGGCCTTGGGGGCCGCGACGGGCGCGAAGGCCGTGACGGCCGGGGCGAGGGCGAGGGCGAGAGCGAGCTTGGCCATTTTTGTGATTGACTGCGCGGAGAGGTTGCGTGAGAGCGGTGCGCATGGTGCGCGGCGCGCGTGGCGGTCTCTCGGTGGCGGCGGCGCGCCGTGCGCCCCCCTTTGGCAGCGAATTCGGGCGACAGTGGTGTTTGTGCACCAAACTGCGCGTCCCGGCGCTTTTGAACGCGCAAAGCTGTGCAGGGGGGTGCAGAGGGTGCGTGGGGGCTGGGGAGCGAGTGCTGCGGTCAGGCGTTGCGATGGCGACGTTTGCGCACCTGTTTTGCGACGGCAGAGATGTGCGTGTGAGAGGCTGACCTCTCGAGGCGTAAGGGGTAGGGTCGGTTTCCGTTTCGGAAGGTCCGTTTTCTGGGCGGGAGCCGGGGCGGAGGGCCTCCGGCGGTGGCCGGCGAGCCTTCTGCAGACCGCTCTTGGCGCGGAAGCGGGTCCGGCTCCCGCGAGCGGCGGCGCGGCGGCAGCTCATAGGGCGTGCTACTCGACGCCATCAACGCGAGGCCCCGACATCGTCCTCTCCGGCAGATTTGATCTCTCTCTGGGCTTTAGGAGCGAGTCGGTACCGCGCCGCCGCGGCCGGCTGTGCCGGCGGCCCGGAACTCTCCGAGCACCAAAGAGAGCAGTACATACGGCGCCGCCTTGTGAAAATATTCACTTCCTCGACCGGGGCCTGGGGCGTGCGGCCGCGGCCCGACGGCGCCGCCCCCGGCGTCCGCGCCACCGCGGCGCTCGTCGGGAGCCGGACCGCTTCCGCGCCAAGAGCGGTCTGCAGAAGGCTCGCCGGCCACCGATGGAGGCCCTCCGCCCCGGCTCCCGCCCAGAAAACGGGCCTTCCGAAACGGAAACCGACCCTACCCCTTACGCCTCGAGAGGTCAGCCTCTCACACGCACATCTCTGCCGTCGCAAAACAGGTGCGCAAACGCGTCGCCATCGCAACGCCTGACCGCAGCACTCGCTCCCCAGCCCCCACGCACCCTCTGCACCCCCCTGCACAGCTTTGCGCGTTCAAAAGTGCCGCGGACGCGCAGAGTTTGGTGCACAAGCACCATCCCTCGAAAAAAAGGCAGCCAACCGCGCGCACCAACACACAGAGACACCCGCGCTTGCAACGCACGACGCGCACTGCTCTCACGCAACTCTCTCCGCGCAGTCACTCACAAAAATGGCCAAGCTCGCTCTCGCCCTCGCCCTCGCCCCGGCCGTCACGGCCTTCGCGCCCGTCGCGGCCCCCAAGGCCGCCACGAAGGTCGAGGCGTCCATCGCCGACACCCTCGCCACCATGGAGGGCCCGGAGATCTTCTGGGGCTCGGACGGCGTGCTCCTCGGCCACGACGAGGCCGACATCAAGGGCTACGACAACTTCGACCAGCTCGCCTCGGCCCTCTCGTCGAACGGCGTCGACCTCTCGGGCGGCGAGTACACGCTCCTTGCGCCGGCCAACTCGGCCTTCGACAAGCACAACGCCGAGGTCGGCACGCCGATCGACGCCGACGTGCTCAAGTACCACGTCATCGAGGGCAAGAAGACGATGGACGCCCTCAACTCGGACCAGAAGACGCTCAACGGCGGCACGCTGACCTACTACCGCAAGTTCCGCAAGAACTGGCTCGACTACGCCATCATCGGCCTCAAGTCGGAGGGCCCGTCCAAGTCCTCCAACTGGCCGTCGGACGTCGAGTGCGACAACGGCATCATCCACGCCATCGACACGGTCCTCGTGCCGGGCGCCTACGCCGGCGAGCGGTAAATGTATAACATGTTTGCTGTTACTCTTGTTATCTCATCGCACATCCATCTCGCGTTGAGGCCCGACGACGATTCCTAGTCGCGGCGCCGTCTACGCGTCGCGTCGTCATCGCGTCAGCTCCGCGCGCAGTGCCGCCCGCGCCGCGCGCCACCGCGCCTGGCCGTCGCGCAGGACCCGCAGCGCGCGGCGCTCAGCCGCCGTCAGGTCCGGGTGGAAGAAGTCGACGTGCAGGTAGTCGGCCGGCGCGTCGCCGTCGTTGTAGGCGCTGTGGACGAAGGACGTGTCGAAGACGAGGGGCTCCGTCCATGGCCTCGCCTCGCCCGCGACGATCATGCCAGTGGCACCACTACCAACGCGCTCGCCCGCGCCCCAGAGCTTGGCCGCGTAGGCGGCGCGGTCGGCGTCCCGCGTCGCTGCGCGCGCGAGGGCGCGCCGCGGCGCGAGGGCTTTTTGGGAAGCGAGGGACGGCGGCGGCGCCCGCGGCCCGGGGCGCGGCGCGGCCGGCGTCGCCAGCGGCACGTGCGCCGTCAGGACCCAGTTCCGCAGATCCGAATGCGCCGGCAGCACGCTCCGGGGCCGCTGCCGCGAGAGGCCCACGAGGCGCGGCGACCCGTAGACGCGCCGCTGCCACTGCATCACATCAAACAAGCCCGCGTCGAGCGCGGCCCGCCACGCCGCCCGCGTCCTCGCGAAGCGCGACGGCTCCGCCGCGGCCAGCGCCGTCGCCACGCTCACGTGCTCGAAGCCGCACGCCTCGAGGAGCGGCGGCGGCGCGCTGCGCGCCTGGACCCGGCGGAGCCACGGCGTCGCTTTTCCGTAAATGCAGCTCCTCTGGACGATCTCCTCTTCGCCGTCGTCGTAGCGCACGACGAACGCGTCGTCCTCGACGCGCTCCACGATCGTCGCCGCGTAGCGCCCGGCGTCGCCCGGGAACTTGACCTCCACCCCGACGCCGGGTTCCACGATCGCGTCGACGCCGCGCGCATTCGCGAGTTCATTTGATATGTCTGGTGCGGCCTTTACGAGAGGATCGAGCCACGCGAAATCGGACGGGTCCCACCACGGCGTCGTTCTTAACCCGGGAAAGAGCCCGCCGTGGCGCGCGACGTACTGGTCGTCGATGAGTAAAGGCCTAGCTTTGTCGTCGTCGAGTTCCGTGTCCTCCGGGCCCATTGTTCTTACGTCATCGTTCCAGGTGTCGCGGAACTGGCGGCAGAACTGGGCGAAGCGCGGCGGTGGGTCGGGACCGACCTGCGTGTCGACGTCGCGCCAGAAGGCGGCGTCGAGGGCCGCGTAGCGTTGTGTCGTTGATGCGGGCGCGAACGTGACGGCCTCGGCCGCGACGGCGACGGCGAAGAAGCGCATCATCACGCCGCCTGCAGTAGACTGCCAGCAGTGCCACAGTGCTCTGGGCCCAGAAATGTGCCTCGGACCACAAATTGATGTATTTCTCCGCTGCAGAGCTTCCGTGCACGCGTTTTAAGGTACTTCCAGCCAGCGCACTGATGTCTGCTTACTGCTACGAGCTTGTATGCCTGCCCCTCCTGAAGCCCCTCCCTCACAAAGGGCACGACTTGTTGATCGCCTTTGCTTAGAGCTATGCACCGATCAAATCAGTAAAATAGTGATGCGAGGCGTACAGCACAAAAACCGTGCAGCAAAACAAAACAGGTTTTGCTCCGCATTGGTCTGTCCAAGGTTTGAATTTGGGGCCGCGTACCGCTCGCCTGGACAGCGAACAGTGCGCTCCGGCAGCATGCGGTGGCTGCTGGCCCTCGCCGCTTTGAGCAGCGCGCTCGTGCCGCCCCACCGGCCCCGGCCGGTCCGCACGCGCGTCTACAAGCTGCCGCAGGAGACCGTAGACTTGAAATTTCGCGCCAAGGGGCTGCTGGACGACGTCAAGAGAAATCTGGAAGAGGGCGCGGAGATGCCGGACTCGGCGGAGAAGCTGCGCAAAGCGTACGTTACTGATGTTAGTAGCCGGCGTCCCCCTGCTTCTTCGGCGTGCGTGCATCGCGTGGTGGCGGCGCGCCGTCGTTGCCTGCGCACCAGCGCGTCGATGGCGTCGAGGTGGCACCGCCTCGACGCCGTCGACGCGACGCACCCACAGCGCATAGAGAGAGAGCATTCGCCCATGTGTGCCGCGCGGCGACGTCGTCGCCGCGACGCCGGCCTACATAGACCCGCGCCGCGATACACCGACGCAATCGACGAGAGACGCGCCGCCGCGACACAACCTGTCTACGAACGCAGGAGCACAACGACATTTATGTGGCTTTCCTCGAGTTCTTCATGGACCTCAAGCTCAACTACGACGTGTCGTACGAGACGGACAAGATCGGGCCGACGACGAACCCGCTCACGGATATTGAGGACGAAATGACGCGGGAGAAGCTGCCCTTCTTGTATGATGTGGCGATGACGATGCGCGACGGCGCCAAGCCCGAGGTCCAGTTAGGTATTTGGCGGCTCGTCGTGGACAAGCTGATCGACCGGACGGGCATGTCGAACAAGGAGTTCTCGGTCTGGGCGTCCCGCATCCTGGCCGAGGGTGGTAGCGCATAACATCTTTCGTGTGTTATTTGTAGTAGGGAGGGGGGAGGTCGTCGTACCTCGGAGTCGTGGGCCGGACGCGCGTCGACGCCGCGACGGTTGACGCCTCCCCGGTTTCGTCCGCAGCCGTCCATACTGTGTCCGGGCAAGCCTCTTCGTGGTGGGATGGCTCCGTTCGGCCGAGTTGAGCCGGCCACCACAAAAGTGCTTACGCAGTCCCTCATATTTATATATATATACGGATTCCTAGTATGTCGATACGCTAGATCACTAGGTCTTGCGGCTCGCCAAAATACACCAGCGATTGACGCCGCCTTCTACCGTCCGATTGCTACATTATATCAACTCCAGCCCAGTTTTCATACACAATCGACGGAACCGGAGCCGACGGCACGCGCTCGGAGGGCGGGAGAAGTATTCTACTAGACAACTCCCGAGTTTATGTTCGTTTCCTTCCGTTTGTTAGTGGTAGAGGCCATCTAGGCCGTTTGAACAACTACTCATCTATTTTAGGTTCTCCGTTAGAGCCGCGCGATTCGACGACTTCGCTGCCACGCGTTTATGTGTTAACGAGCAGAAGAACTAGATATGCGACTATCAGCGACGCCACTATCCAGATGGACCATAACGCCGTTGTTCTATTCACAATCGACCGACTTGCCCGTTCTCCGCGGACGACGGTGTGTTGACGGAGCACCAGAAAGGCCCCAGACCGGTGGTTTGTGAAATAAATTTGCGTTTCAGGCGCTTCGGTTACCAGACGAGCCATCCAACCGGGCTGAACGTCTACTACATTTAATTTCTTGTCCAGAAATCACCGGGCGGCTCGGCCAACTCGCGAGCGCAAGATCGATCGAATACGAGGCACAGAAACCGGACCTGCGACCATCAGCGCGTGTACCATCACCATGGACCATGACGCGATCATTTGTTTCATGATCGACCGACTTGCGCGAGGTCCAGATAAAGATGTTCACGTCCCGAGCGTGGGCAGCCAAAAGTACTCTTCTTATAATGTAGATGTCATATACTTGTAGTTGACTATCGTTGGGGTAGTATAGGGTCCGACGAGACCGCTATTACGATTCCTGGGGGGATCGGGTAATTGACGTTTTTTACGGGAACGAGGCGCCATCGGGCCCAAATTACACACTTTTTTCGGGGGCAGATCGGCTCCTGGAGGTCTCTCGGGGTAGGTCCGGTGGTGGGTAGTCGCCTGTACCGCATGCGCCGATTCTTGGGGGCTCCGAGAGCTCTGGAAGCCATGCCAAGCTATTCATGGTTTTGTGGGCGGCACTGATGAGAGAATTGGCCGAAATATGCTGGAAGCGGCGGCGTGTGCGGTGTGGGCGACTATCCATGTATAGAACCGACCCGAACCGACCCCAGGGAGACCTCAGGGCCACGGATTGACAGGATTCCACTGGCGCGCCCGCCTTGTGGCGTCCTCAGCCTGAGCGCCGCGAATTCAAAACTGTTCTTTTTCGGCCCCCGGTACGTGTCCCATTGGTCTCTTTGGACCATTAGCCAGCCGAACGATACTCGAACGGCTGCATGAGCGTTCCGAGTTTGCTGGCTAGTGTCTTTACATGCCGCTAGCCAGCTGCTCCGCGCTCGGACGAGCCTCTGCGTATGAGTCAATAGTTTGCCACAGGCGAGTCTCTGTGTGTGTCTTGCACCACACGACAGTAATTAGTGCGCAGACGAGCTGTGCATTGCAGTCTGTTGCAAACCAGCCCTCGGTGCAGACTGCACCTAGTTGCACGCCAAGCAGTGAGAGCGCAGACGTAACAAGCATGCACGGCACGGCCCTCCTCGCGCTGCTCGCAGCCGTGCCGCAAAGCTGCGCGCTTTCCCTCGCGCGCCCGCGGGCCACAGTAAAACGCACCGTGCTGCGCGGCGGCGGCGCCGTCGACACCGCTCCCGTGAAACGCATCACGGCCTTCGTCGACCGCAACTTTTTTGTGTGCGGCATGGTCGCGTCCGTCGCCGTCGCCGGTTTAAGTCCCGGGCCGGGCCAGGCCTGCGAGAAATTCGTCGGCAAATACGCGGTGGCCACGATTTTCGTATTGAGCGGCTTAGGATTAAAACTGTCGGAACTCAAGAAAGCAGCCACGAACACGAAGCTCAACGGCTTGACGCAAGGGGCCAATTTGATAGCGTTCCCCGCGCTGATGCTGCCGGTCATCTCCGTACTGCGCAAGACGTCTCTAGATGGAAGGCTACTGGACGGTTTGCTCGTGACGAGCTGCTTACCCACAACGGTGAATATGTGTGTCGCATTAACACAGGCGTCGGACGGCGACGTCGCCGCCGCGCTGACGAACGCCGTAATTGGCAATTTGTTAGGAGTGGTGGTGACGCCGGCTCTGGTCTTCGCGCTGATGCAGAAGTCGGTGCAGTTGCCGCCCGCATCCATTGTAGCCAAGTCCCTGGGCGCGAAGGTCGCTTTACCTGTATTCGTCGGCCAATTGTTGAGACGGTCACAATGGATAAGATCTATGCTGGAGAAGCGCAAGACCCTCGCGAAGCGGGCCCAAGAATTAGCTCTACTCAGCGTGGTGTGGTGCGCCTTCTCGGCGGCGTTCGGGAAAGGTTTAGGAGTATCAGGCTCGGATTTAGTCGCGCTCTTGGTCGGACTGCCCCTGTTGCACGTTATGATCCTACGCCTCTGTCTGAAGATAGGCCGGACCCAGTTTGACAACAGGGAGGCGACGGCCTTCGCGTTCTGCGCCTCGCACAAGACGCTGGCCTTCGGCCTGCCGCTCATCCGGACGCTCTTCGAGGGCTCGCCGGACCTGGCCTACTACTGCGCGCCGATCATGGTGCTGCACCCCGCCCAACTATTTATTGGGAGCCTCTTCGCGCCGGGGTTGAAAGAACGTAATTACTCTTGAGATAGCGCCCGCGCGTCAGTAATCATAGCCTCGAGGTGGCCGACCCACTTGTCCCGGTCACTTTCACCGTCGCACGCGAACTGCCTGTGTAGACCGCCACAGGTGAGTCGCGCGTGCCTCAAGACGAGCGCCAGCCGCCACAAGACACTCAGTGGACAGTGTCGCGTCGATGGCGTCGAGGCGGCACGCCATCGCCGCGACGCGTCAGTTCGAAGGCACCACAGGACGCCGCGAACTGCATCGTGTACGTCGCGTCGCTCCCCTCGTCCACTTTCACTTCGAAGCCCGGCCGGCCGCCCGACGTCCGCGCCACGCTGCACAATTGGAGCGGCACGCGCTTCCGCGCGATGGCCCCATTGCTCGGTTTTAGCTTTCGTAATTCATCATCATCACTCCGCTCGTTCCGGAAGTAGCGCAGCGTCGTCCCGTCGGCCACGACCCAGTAGCGCTTCCAGCGCGCGTCCTTGAGGGGCCACTTCTTGCTCTTGCGCTTCAGGAGGGCGCCCTCGATGACCCCAATTTGTTGTGGTGGGGGTTTGTACTCGTAGTCTGGGAGCTTGTTCTTGGAGAAGACCCTGTCGTAGGTGGGCCGGAACTGGCTCATCGTGTTTCGGCTGCCCCCCGTCCGGCGGTGTCCAGGGTTGCGCGGCGGCTGCCCCCAACAATGCCAAGTGCCAAGCTTTGCAAACTGGAAAGCTCCGCGGGTGGGTCGCGGGGGGCGTAGGACTCCTCTTCCGCGTGTCTCGTATCGGTTCCTGCGACAGAGAGTGGGTGTCGGACGGGTGACCGAGCTAGAGATAGAGATGCTAGAGATGTGTGCTCGACGCACTGCCTTGAGTGCCAGGTGAGAATCCTATCATAAATCTGTCGCCCGGATCTCGCGCAGCTCGCTCCGGTACAGGTCATACTACCAGGCACTGCACAAAAAAATTCAAACCAAAAGGCGCTCCAGGAGAGAGGCTCTCACGGAGTGAACAAATCAAGAGCACTTCAGCCTTAGCACACGCTCTCGGCCCTCAAGCAGCTCGGCTTCGACAAGGAGAAAAGAAATATGGTCCGCACGCGCGCCGGCGCGACGACGCGCGCCCGACCGCCCGCGAAGCGCAAGGCGCCCGCCGCGCGGCGCCCGGCGAAGCGGGCCAAGACCCCGCCGACGCCGCCGCCGACGCGATTGAGGACCGCGACGTGCGCGGCCTGCCTCGACGCCGCGGGGCCGCGGAGCGTCGTCTGCGGCGCGCGCGCGCACCGCCTCTGCGTGGCCTGCGCCGAACGCCACATCAATTCTCTGCCACTAAGGGGGCCGCACGGCCTGCCCGGCAGCCCCGACGCCGAGGCCTGGGCCACGCGGCAGTGGGCGCCCTTCTGCGCTTTTTGTGGAGACGGCAAGCACCGCCTCGAGCGCTTCTCCACCAAAGCCGCCGAGGCGCAACTCAAGAAGCACGCGCTCGCCCACGTTTCCGAGAGAGCCGCCAAGGCCAAGGCCGCGGAAGCCAAAAAGGCGACGACGCGGAGCCTCAACGCTTTATTAAGGCTCGGCCAGCCCGTCTACCGGTGCCCGCGGCCGCGCTGCGGCGCGTATTGTGTCCACACGGCCTGCGACGACCTAAGGGCGCACCATTTGCAACTCCTGTCGACGGAGCGCCTCGTGGACTACGCGCCGACGTTCCGCGAGAAGGTGCTGGACGAGCGCGCCCTGAACCGCCTCGAGGAGCTCTATGCTTTATGCTGCTCGCCCCAGCTCAAGGCCGAGCTGCCGTACCTGAAACACCCCTCAAATATTGACGCAAACGGCAAACCGCTGCGGGGCCCGCCCGTGAACTCGAACGCGTGCGCGGCCTGCGGGTTTCTAGGAGACGAGATCGGCGAGTGGCACCGCGTCTGCCCCGACTGCAAGCGCCACGGCCACCCGACGCAGCGCGAGGCGGGCGACGGCTGGCCGACGCCCGTCTGCGCGCACTGCGGCTGCCAGTTCCACTGAAGGAAGAATCCCCCCTGACCCCATAAGCATGCTGTGTTTCCGTTACGCTGCTAGAGCGAGTGCGGCGCGGGACTTCTTCCAACGGCCCTGGCACCGCTGGAAGATGGAGAGGGCGCGCCGCTCGTCGGCGGTGAGCTCGGGGTGGTAGAAGTCGATATGCAGGTAGTCGGCCGGCGCGTCGCCGTCGTTGTAGGCGCTGTGGACGAAGGACGTGTCGAAGACGAGGGGCTCCGTCCAGGGCCTAGCCTCGCCCGCGACGATCATGCCAGCGGCACCACTACCCACGCGCTCGCCTTCCTCTCCCCAGAGGGCCTCGGCGTACGTCGCGCGGTCCATGGCTGCAACGGCGCCACCCGAGCGCGTGTGCCGCGGCGCGACGGCGGCCTGCGCTTCTAGTGAAGGCGGGTCGACGCGCGTGCCGGGCCGCGGCGTCGACGGCATCTGGAGGGGCACGTGGGCCGTCAGGCACCAGTTCCAGAGGTCCGAGTGCGCGGCCAGCACGGACCGCGGCCGATGACGCGAGTAGCCCACGAAGCGCGGGCTCCCGTACTGGTGGAAGCGGCCTCCGCGGGAGGCGGCGGGCGCCCGGTCGCGGCAGGTGCGCAGCGCGGCGCGCGTGGCGGTGAACGCGCCCTTCTCGGCACCTATGTGGAAATCAAATTTTGGCGCCCCGCGCCGACGCTGTCTCCGTACTGGTTGATTTCCACACAGCTCGGCGCTGGCGAGAGCGCGCGCCACCGAAAAGTGCTCAAAGCCAGTCGCCTCGAGGGCCCGGGGCCAGGGGTACCGCTTCCGCAATTTACGCAGCCAGGCCGAGCCGCGCGGCGCCACGTGCGAGCGGTCGAGACGCTCGACCTCGCCGTCGGCGTACCGCACGTCGTAGGTAGATGCGTCGACGCCGTCGATCGTGCCGGCATCGCTCGTGCCGTCCTCGCAAGAGCTTTCGACGCGGCGGTCGATCGTGCCAGTATCGCTTGTGCCGTCCTCAAAGAAGACGTCCACGGCCCGACCCGGCGCCATCGCCACATCGTAGGCGTCGCCCCGCGCGCTCGCAAGCTCCGCCGCCATCGCCGGCGCGGCCGCGACCAGCGGCTCGAGCCATGGAAATTCTCGCGCGTCCCAGAACGGTCGCGCGGTCAGGCCCGGGAACGCTCCGGCGTGGCGCGCCACAAACTGGCCCGTGTCCAGCAACGACGGTCGCGCTACCTCGTCGTCCAGCGCGGACGCGGCCGGGTCCGGCGCCGCCTCCGCAGCCCACGCGTCGCGGAAATTCGCACAATATTGCCGGAACCGCGGCGTGGCCGCGGCACCGACTCGACTGTCCACGTCGGCCCAAAATGCGGCATCGATGGCCGCGTACGAGCTCAGAAGCGCTGCCGTGAGCATCCTGGCCCCCTGTGAGCTATGCAGTCGAATTCATAACTCCTAGGCACCGAGGCACTGGCACGTAAGCTTCGAATATTTGCGAGGAATGCGAAATGCAGCGCTTTTTGGCCTTGCTATTCGATTCTCAGACCAGAGCGCTGCGAGTTAGCTAGCGACCTATAAGGCACTAGAAACCTACAAAATTTCATGAATGCAGCTGGCCTCGCGGCGCACGGCCGTTAGAACTTGCTGTAGCACCGCATGCGTCGTCGCCGCGGCCGCAGCGGTCGCATGCGGGCAGCCCTTTGCATCGTGCTAGCCGCCGCGCAACCTCCCGAGAGCGTCCTGCGCAAGCGCGTCGCGGCGGAGTACGTCTACGTCTACGAGAATGGGGGTGGGCAACGGACGAATGGACCCCCTGATAAGTGGCCCGGCCAGTGCAAGGCGCCGTGGCTCATGACGGAAGAGCTCGCCGTCTGCTGTGCGGGGCGATGTGCCGAGTTCTGCCACGAGCCATGTACGGGGATAGGCGGGTTCCACGTCTCGAACCCTCCCTCGTTGTTCGACGGGTGCTGCGCGAATCATGTGGTGGAGAGTGGAAGAGTGTGTGGCGAGTCGGAGCCGCCGTGTTACACGACCGCGCCCCTCACCAAAGAGGCTAAAACTTCTACGATTGCGCACGTGGCCATCGCCGCGGGGCGGACCCACGCCCTTGGATTGGTCGCCGCTGCTAGATCGGTGGTCGACGCTTCTGCGGAACCGAAGAACCTCCGCCTCTACCTCGCCACCGATTTAGTAGAAGGTTCTAGAGCGCGCAGCGTCCTGGAGCAGTCCTTGAAATGCGCTCTACCGAATGTACGCTACGAACTCGCGCTGGTCGATGCCTCTATCCTCGCGAGACATAGTGATGTGGTCGCGAAAGTGCTCGGCCACGACCGCAAGGAGCCCATGAGCGAGACCTCTCGACGGTTAAGATCATCACCGGTGAACTACGCGCGCTTCTTCCTCGAGGAGCTCTTTCCCTCGCTGAGTGGGAAGAAGGTCGCGTACCTCGACCCTGATGTTTCTGTGTTTGGTGATGTTGCTCATTTGATCGACGAAGCCTTCACGGGCGAAGCTGTGTTGTCTGAGCACGACCGGAAGGCTCGTAGAACAGAGAAACGGCCACGACCCGCCCTAGCGGCCACCACAAAAACGAAGCACAATCGTATTTTATCAGCCTTTTATCAATCGAGGCACAATGAGGAGAGAAAAATCGCGGAGTTCAACGCCGGCGTTGCGGTCTATGATCTTGCCGAGTGGAAGCGCCAGAAACTGACGAGGGAGGTGGAGGCGTGGATTAGGGCCTCCTTCGAAGGGAACAGTACCTTGAGCGACCATCCCACACAAACACCTTTAACATTAGCGGTGGCGTCGAACTACTATCCCATTGACGTCAGCTGGAATTGCCCGATCCACGGCGGCCGGAGCGGGACCGCCATGCACGCGGATCCGGTATGCCTTTCTCGACCGAAGATCCGCCACTTTACCGGTACTAGAAAACCGTGGTACCCGCTGGGGCGGCTGCGGTTCCTGTGGCTGCCCCACGTGAGGCCTCTTCGGTCTTGTCTTGTGGATTTGTCGAATCTGACGGGGGGAGGACCGATCCTGTAATTGTTACAACACTTATCACCACACACAGTCCCCCTCGTCGTCCGACGATATATTCGAGAGGAGGACGATCGGCGGCGCCGGGACCGTCCGCTCGACGTGGCGCTCGTCGCCGCCGGCCTGAGCCTCCACGAGCGCCTTGTACGCGCCCTTCTTCTTCATCAGCTGGGCGTGCGTGCCGCGCTCGATCACTCGGCCAGCGTCCAGCACGACGATCGCATCCGCGCGGCGTATTGTCGCCAATCGGTGCGCCACGACAAGAGTGGTTCGCCCCGCCGCGGCGGCTTCCAACGCCGCCTGGACGCGGCGCTCCGTCGCCGCGTCCAGGGCCGACGTGGCCTCATCTAACAGCAGAATCCGCGGGTCTCGCACCAGCGCCCGCGCCAGGGCCACGCGCTGCTTCTCGCCGCCGCTCAGCCGCGTCTCCCTTTCACCGCATTTTGTAGAGTAGCCCTCCGGCAGCTTGCTGATTACAGTATCGACGCCCGCTTTGACACAAGCAGCTTCGATGAGCTCTATGGGAGGCGCCGGCTCCATGCCGTAGGCCACGTTCTCGGCGACGCTTCGGTTGAACAACTGCGGTTCCTGGGGCACAACCCCAATCCGCCGGCGGTGCGCGAGCGCGTCGAGGTCTCTCACGTCGACGCCGTCGACCAGAACGCGGCCTCCCGCCGGGTCGCGCAGCCTCAATAACAACCGCGCCACCGTCGACTTCCCGGAGCCCGACGGCCCCACGAGCGCCGTCGTTGCGCCCGGCTCCATTAATAATTTGAGACCCCGGAGCACGGGCCGCGGCGCCTTCGCGTCGTAGGCGAAGACGACGTCCTCGAATTCTATAGAAGGCGCCACTTCTGAACTCGGTTCGCGGCCCACGCCGTCGAGGATCACTGACGATCCGTGGACGAGGGCGACGTAGCGCTCCGCGGCGCCGACGCCGCGCGCGGCCTTGTTCGCCGCCTTCGTCGTCTCGCGCAGCCCGCGCTGGTACTGGAGTAGGGCGGCGCGGAAGGCCGCGTAGGCGCCCAATCCTAACCCGCCACTGGCCCGCCGTTTCGCTGCCGCCATGAGTAGCGCGAGCTCTCCCGCCGCGACAACGATCTCCGCGCCGGCTGACAGGCGCACGTCCTTTTTGAGGGTTTTCGTGTGCTGCTTTATTACTTTATCGACGGCGCCCTGGAACTGGCGCGCCTCGAGGGGCTCGGCGCCTGTGTGGAAATCAAACTTCAGGCGCCCCACCCATCGTCGCGAGGTTGTCTCCGTAGCTGCGTCTGCTCGATGGCGTGGAGATTTTACGCCATCGACGCGACGTTGTCCTCGTAACAGCCTCTGCTCGATGGCGTGGAGAGTCACAAAGGTCCGCGCAATATTCTCAGGATAACCTAACTCACTGCTTGATTTCCACACAGCTCGGCGCCATGAGCTCTCACCGTGGACCGCAGCCCCAGGGCCTCGGACACGCGAGCTAGCGCGTCCGCTTCCAGGGCCTGGGTCTTGCGCGTCGCGCGCCGCGCCAGCTTCGACCGAGCCTTCTGCACGAGAAACAACAAGGGTGCAGAAGCCAGACCGACGGCGGCGAGGTGCGCGTCCGCCCGCCGCATGGCCCACGCGCCACCGACTAACTTGACCAGGGCGTTCAGCGCCGCCGCGGGGAACTCGCAGGCGAGCCAGGCCGCGCCCGGATCTCTTAACGTTTGGACGAGCTCGCCGACCTTCGCATCATCTAGTTCGCTATCGTCCAATCGCAGCACGCGCTCGTAGCCCTGGGCTTGCAGTCGGCTGCGCTGGGCGTGCGCTCTGCCTTCTGATAAGCGCCGTTGGAGGGCGTTGCATGCGACCGCCAGTAATTGATAGGCGGCGAGGTACTTGATTCGTTCCGTGAGGTCGTCTCCAGCGTCGTCGAGGATTTTTGCGGAGCCTATTGGTATCATGAAACTCTGCAAAGTTAACGCGACGAGCATGACTGCCAGGTGGGGGATGGATGCGAGGAATTGGCCCTTGATCTCTTGGAGGATGAAGGCTGCGACTGGCTGCATAGCTGCAAAATGCTGCTCCTTAAAATCTTGAGCGCAGAATCGATGCGTAAGCCTTCGTTTGCGGTGGTAAAAGCCAAGGCCCGCAAACCTAGCGGCCTGTAAGACACTAGGGATGAGCAAGCAGGCCCAGGGGCGCCGAAAGCAACTGTCACGGGGATGGGATGTCTCCTGAAGCACGCAAACGGGTTCCGACGGCTCAAGGAGGGCTCGCGAAAACCTCATAGTCAGCCAAGAATAGCGAACAAAAGCGACGGCAATTCCCACCAAGTTCGCGGGCTCGCGGGCTTCGCACTTGCGGAGTAGCGACAGTATACTAGCGAGATCAAGACGTGCAATCGCCGTGTCCTGAGACGACCGCAATTAGCGAAAACTGCGCGCTGGATCCGGCACCTTTGCATCAGATATTTTGATAGCCGACGCCGCGAGCTCGCAAGCCCTAAAAACACGCGCTTCACCCGCCGCAGGCCCCACGCCGTCAACGAGGCGCGCGACAACATGGCTTCCAGCAACGCGGGCGGCCGCGGCCGCAAGTCGACGTCGTCCACTGTGCATAAATCAAAGTTTGCGCGTTGGTGCGGACTCGTCGCGTGGACCACGCCATCGACGCAACCCTGCTCGATGGCGTGGCGAGGCCAGTTCCTCGCCGCTCGATTCAGTTATCACGGCCGCGGGCGTCGCCGCCGAGCACCCGACTCACTGGTTGATTTATGCACAGGTCGTTCATGCGCCAGCTCGTCCAGCTCATCAGCGACCACCCCGACGTCATCAGCTTCGACGAAAATGGCATCCTCTGCATCCCGTCGCCGCCGGACCTCGAGAAGCTCCTCCCGAACTACTACCGCACGGCGAAGCTCGCGTCCTTCCAGCGGCAGCTCAACAACTTCGGCTACCACCGCGTCGGCTGGACGCCGGCCCGCGGCGCACAACAACCGCAGGGCCTCAAGTACCACAAGGTCGTCGGCGAGGCGACGACGCGGACCGAGAGCCTCCTCGAGCTGCGCCCGCTCTCGCGCCGCAAGCGCGAGCGCGCGCCGGCGCCGGCGCCCCGGCGGCGCCACGCGCGCGCGGAGCCCCTCCAAAAACGCGCGCGGACCGAGTCCGACGCGAACGCGGCGATGCTCCTGCTGTCGTGCATGCGGCGCGAGGACTCGCTCCCCGCGCCGATCGCCGCGTGACCTAACCACACTTGTTACTGATTACTCCTTCCAGTCGACCCCTTCAATAAACGTGCCGTACACGTCGGGCCGCCGCTGGTCCAGCAGCTTCATGGAGTTTCGGACTTCCGCCACCCTCGTTAGATCCAGGTCCGCAAACAAAATCTCCTCGCCGTGGCCCGCGCACCTTTCCAGAGGCGCGCCCCACGGGTCGACGACGACGGAGTGGCCGTACGCCTGGTACGCGGAATCCGGGTTCCGCGCCGGCGACGCACACACAACAAAGGCCTGCGCGTCCAGAGCCCTCGCGCGAGCTAACAACTCCCAGTGCGGCGGGCCCGTGACGGTGTTGAACGCACCGGGATACACTAATATGGAAGCGCCCTTCTTGCGCATCGTGATGGCCAACTCGGGAAAGCGCACGTCGTAGCAGATGGCCACGCCCAGCGCATGCTCCTCAGTTAATGGTGTTACTGTGGCACTATCTCCGCCCGTCAACGTCTCGGACTCGAAGAATCGGATCTTTCCGGGGACATCGATATCGAACAAGTGCACCTTGCGGTGCTTCTCCACGAGAACACCGTCCGAATTAATAATGGGAGAGGTGTTGTACACCTTATCATCAGAAAGCTCGGGCACGCTCCCACCAACGATCCAGACGTTCCGCTCCTTCGCGAGCGTCTTTAACAATGAAACGGACGGGCCGCATTCATGACCAATGGGCTCCGCGTGTTTTCGAAACTGGTCGACGGCGTAGGGCGAGTTCCAGATCTCTGGGAGGACGACGACGTCCGCGTTGCCGTCGCAGGCTTGATTGACTAGCCGTTCGGCGTTCTTGAGGTTTGTTGCTTTGTCGCTGCCCACGAGCATCTGCACGACGGCCACGCGCAGCGTTTTTTGCGTTGCGGTGGACTGGCTCCTGGCCGGCGTCTTGGTGGCGAGGCCTCCTGCCAGCAGCGGCGAGGTTGCCAGTGCGACGCGCGGGAGGAGCCGGTGCAGGCGATGCATGGCTGTCTTTTTGACGATTTCTCTGGCTTTGGCTCGCCGACGGCGTTGAGTTAGCCGCGCCACTGGAGCTAGCGTCCTGTAAGATACTAGCAATGTCGCCTAGGCACAGCTAAACCACCCTCACGCGACCTCGCAAACACCTAACCGCCAGGCCAAGATGATCCTCACAAACTGCGCCGCCTGCGCCGCCCCGCTGGGCCTAGCCTTGGGGAAGAAATGCGGCCGCTGTAGCACACGCTACTGCGGGCCTGCATGCCAAAAGCAGCATTGGGACGGCGGGCACAAAGAGCTCTGCAAAAAAATCAAAAAAACAGGCGGCGCGGAGCAATACAACGCAAATAGGAAGTACTCGGAGGCCGTCGCCGTCGCGGCGGAGGCGTGCGCCGAAGACACCAAGGGTCAGACGTGTTACATCTGCACGCAGGCCCTCCATTGGAAGACGAAGGAGGGCCTCGTGCGCATGTGTGCGTGCCGCGGGACGGCGGGGTTCGCGCACGTGTCGTGTTTGGCGGAGCAGGCGAAGCTTTTGTACGCGGAGGCCGAGGAAAACAATTTGGACTGGAAGGCGAAGAATGCGAGGTATAATCGTTGGCACACGTGTAGTTTGTGCGAGCAAATGTACCATGGCGTCGTACGATGCGCGCTCGGGTGGGCGTGCTGGAAGACGTACTTGGGGCGGCCGGAGGCGGATGAGATCCGGTGCAACGCAATGAACCAGCTTGGGCTCGGTTTAACCGCTGCGAACCACCACGATGCCGCGCTGTCCGTGAAACAAGCCGAATTGTCTATGCTGCGGCGCGTTGGCGCACCAGTAGAAAACATTCTCGGCGCGCAGAGCAATCTTGCGATGACGTATCGGGCGTTCGGACAGCATGAACAGGCACTGGACCTGCAGCGAGAGGTCTACTCCGTATGTTTAAGGCTCTTCGGAGAACATCAACACACTCTCTTAGCAGCCAACAACTACGCGTCGACCCTTGTAAAGCTACAACGCTACCAAGAAGCCAGGTCGCTGCTGCGCAAAATGATACCCGTGGCGCGGCGCGTTCTTGGAGAGAGTGAGGAGCTCACGCTCAAGATGAGGTGGATTTACGCGCGGGCGCTCTTCGAGGACCCCGGCGCCACGCTCGACGATCTTCGCGAGGCCGTGACGACGCTCGAGAACACGGCACGGACCGTGCGGCGCGTGTTCGGCGGCGCGCACCCGGACACTGTGGAGATCGAGGGCAGATTGCTACTCGCGCGAGCCGCGCTCCGCGCCCGCGAGACGCCGTCGTCGGAGGCCGACGACCTCGCCGCTCGATTCGGTAGCTTGTAACGACCTAATAAAACCAAGTAAAGCCCACCTTATATATGGCGGGAAAAGCCCCCCAGGAGACTACTTCTTCTTCCCCCCGCCCTTGCCCTTGGCCGGCTCAGGAATATCGGGAGGCGGCGGGTCCTTCGCCTTCGTGTCCCGCAGCTCGACGCACCGCGCGATAAAGTCCGAAACCGGCATCGTGCCCTCGACGGTGTTCGCGCGCGTGCGCACCGCGACCGCGTTCTCGGCTATTTCATTGTCTCCAACCACCAGTATAAAGTTGTACTGCGCCAATTGCGCATTTCTGATTTTCTTCGGTAGGGTATGGCCACTATCATCGCAATCGACGTAGAACCGAGCCGCGCGAATCTGCGCCCGCACTTTTTTGGCATACTCGATATGACTGGGACCGACGGGCACGACGATACATTGTCTAGGCGAGATCCAGAAGGGCCACTTGCCGCCCCAGTGCTCCGTGAGCACGGCCATCATTCTCTCAACAGAACCGAGCATGGCCCGATGTATAATAATGGGTCTTTTTTCCTCTGTCGTTTCGTCACCGCCTCGGTACTTCAGATCGAATCTAATAGGCAACTGAAAGTCGAGCTGGATCGTGGCGCATTGATGGACCCGATCGAGAGCATCAGTAACTTTAATATCGATCTTCGGTCCATAAAACGCGCCGTCGCCCGGGTTCACGCGCCACCCGCCCTTGCCCGCGAAATCATCCATGGCTGAAGCTAATGCTGCTTCGGCCCGGTTCCACAAAGATATATCCCCCAGAGCCTTCTTCGGTCGCGTACTCAACTCCAACTTGTAGCCCATGCCAAAGATACCGTACACATACTTCATGAACTCGAGGGCACCCTTGACCTCTTCCTCTATTTGATCATCTCTACAAAAGATGTGCCCGTCGTCCTGCTGGAACCGTCGGACTCTCGTGAGGCCTGTTAATGCTCCAGATAACTCGTTTCTGTGTAACACGCCAAAGTCAGCGTATCTCATCGGCAGGTCGCGCCAGCTCCTCACGTCGTGCTTGAACATGAGGCAGTGCCCCGGGCAGTTCATGGGCTTCATGCCGAACTCCTGGCCTTCCACCTCGAAGCAGAACATGTCATCTTTATAGTGGAGCGCGTGGCCGGACGTGTGCCATAGATCGAAGTTGTAGACGTTCGGTGTGACGACCTCCGTGTACTCCCGCAACCAATATTGATCTCTGATGAAAGCTATCAGACCAGTGTATATTCTAGCACCATGGGGCTCCATGAAGGCCGAGCCAGGACTAAGCGCGTCAAAAAAGAACAGTTTCTGCGCAGCACCGACTTTCCGATGATCTCGTTTCGCCGCCTCCTGCTGGAACTTCTTCCACTTCGTCATTTCTTTTTTATCCGGAAATGCTACACCATATACCCTTTGTAAGGCGTCATTCTCGGCCTTGCCTAACCAATAAGCGCTAGAAGCTCGCAACACCTCGAAAGCCTTGACTCGCCCCGAATCGGGGACGTGGGGACCCATGCACAGGTCGATGATCGGCCCCGACCGATAGGCCGTCGTCATGCTCCCATCCGGTACCTTACTTTGTATGATAGCCGTCTTAAAAGGATTATAGGCAAACATCTCCAGGAGCTCTTCCTTCGTCAGCGCGAGGCGCTCGAACTTGTGCTTGGCGTTGCACATCTTCGTGACCATCTGCTGGAGCTCCTTGAACTCCTTATCTGATACCGACGACGTACCCATGTAGGCATCATAATAAAAACCTCCTTCGACGGGTGGTCCTATGCTTAGTTTCGCGCCGTACTTCTGTTCTAGGGCCGCGCCGAGCAAGTGGGCCGCCGAGTGCCAGAAGACCATTTTACCTTCTGGACTGTCGAAGCCTAGGAGCTCGAGCGTGCAATCGCCCTCCAAAGGCCTTGCCAAATCCCAGAGCAAGGCCTTGTCGACATCTGATTGCACGTCGTCGTCCTCATCAAATTGGTTGATGGCCACCGACGTAATTTTAACATTTGAGGCGTAGGTGACTCGTGCGCAGCACATCCGCCCGGCCAGCTGCTTGGAAATACCCAACGCTATCGTCAAAGGCGAGGTCTCGAACGCCACACCCTCCTTCGTGTTCCCGTCCGGCAAGGTGATCGTGATGGGCTTTTTTTCTGGGGCGGGCTGCGCCGCTCGTCTGGCGGCGGCTTGATCCCACACACTTTCGCGGTGCGCCGTGAAGGCGGGTTTGGGCTCCGGCGTGAACGCGCCGCCGATGTGAACGCCCTCCGTCTGCTCGATCTTGCCCGCCGACGCCGTCGTCAACCTTCCTCCCGTCGTGCGCGCGTGTTGTTTCACGCCTGGTCTATCAAAGACGGAGAACTTGCCCGTCTGCTGGATTTGCGGGGCGGACGGCATCTTGGCTTTGTTTTAGCTCTTGTCTCTGTGGTTGCGCGCCGCGAGCGCTGTCGGCGAGATTTCGCTGTGTTGGCTCTGCCGCCGCAACTGGGCACCCACACGCGTACTCAGTGCACAAGGTGCTGGTCGAGCTTGTAAACTAGCTCTCCACGCACTGGTCAAGCCGTACGTTGCTCGTGCGACGAGGTACGGCCGGTGCAAGTCGAGAGTTTTGCTGATCGGCTAGTGGTCTTATACGCTAGCTGCAAAATTTTTGCGAGCACACACAGACTGTGCAAGCGCAGCCCGGACGACAGCAGGGCGCGAATCGGGGCGCCAACAAACACAACACTCATCGCTGCCGAAGCTGCACCCAGAATTGCAACTAGTTTGGTAGGCTGCCCCAAAGTTCAGAGGCAGAGACGATGATGATAATGCGGCTTGCGCTCCTCCTCCTATTGGCATATGCCGCGGAAGACCACATCAAGCCCGCAGAATTTCTAAGTAAATGGGGCACCGACGAGCTCCCCCCCGACGCGTCGATCTCGACGCCATCGTTAGCGGAGGCCTGGATGAAGCGCGGGTTGAAAGCGCGTGACGCCGGCGCCCTGGAAGCCGCAGTAAGAGCCCAGTGGCGCGGCGCCTTCCACGCGCCGTTCTTTGCGCACTCCTGGCGGCACCTCGGGAACGCGCTGCTCCGGTCGGCGGCCTACGACCTCAGTTGCGAGTACGCCGTCGAGGCGCGCCACGCGCTCTCGCTCGCGTACTTTCATCTGAGGGATGCGCACGCGGGCAAGGGGCTGCAAGCCCTGGACGCCATCGGCGAGCTGGGGGACTGCTATGTTGACGATCTGGAGCTGGACAAAGCCGAAGGCGCGGCGCTGCGCGCGCTCGCCGCTTTGGATGCGGACCGGGGCCAGGCGCCGGCCGCGGCGGACGCCGTCGCTACGTACTGTGACGACTTGCAAGGCGTCCGCGTCGAGGGTGTGCGAATGTTCTCACCACGCATCGCGCGGCGCTTCTACGCGGCGCTTCGGATCTGCGGCGTCGTATCCCTGGGCGAGCTAATTGACGAAGACACGCTCCAAGCAGTTGCACAGCTAGAAGCTGCTACCCGATCATCCTTCGAGGCCGGTCAGGGCGGGAAAGGCCTCGCTGCCGCGGCTTTGAGCGATCCTCGCGTCCGAGGCCGGGGCCAGAACCGCTTCGAGGTCGAGTTGCCGGCATTGGCGCTGAACGCGAGCGTCGTCGCGCACCCCGTGCTCCACCCTCTGATAGGCCTGGCGCTCGGCACGGCCGGTGTGGAATTAGATGCGATTTCCTCGGTCGTGGCCTACCCCGGCGCGGCCCTGCAGGACCACCACGCGGACACGTCGGAGATTGTGGACGTATTAAGGCGGCAAGGGGAGCTGCCTCAGCTTCCAGCCCATGGGGCCATAGCAATTGTACCCTTGGTACCACTGGACCCCAAAAAGAACGGCGGTACGCAATTCGAGCTCGGGTCTCATATTTCGAGACTACGCGACACGGAACTCCGGACGCGGCCCGCCATCTCCAATTCTGGCGACGCATATATCTATGATCTGCGCACGCGCCACGGCGGCCTGCCTCATGCCGGGTCCGCCCCGCGGCCGCTGTTATCGTTACCCTACGTGAAGGACTGGTACGTGGACGCCGTGAACCACCCGACGCGCCACACCGAGGCCTTCGACGCGGTCAACGACACGACGCTGAAGAAGCTCCTGGTGCGCGTCGACGCGCGGCGCCACCACGAGGACCTCTTCGCGGCGCGTGGTGGGGTTTGTGATAATGTTTAGTACGTACACGTCAACTTAAACACTAGAGGAGAAGTCACACGAGCCCCTGGCTCGGCCGCGACTGCTCCGGCGTCGCGACCTCCGCGATAATGGACGGCGAACCAGGAGGAGAAGGACACTCATCCGTATCCTCCGTCGCCGACACGCTGTAGCGGATGCTCACATCTTCAGAAGCGCAGCGCCGCGCGCAGTCCGCGAGGACGTAGCCGCCGAGCGTCGACCCGCCCAGGGCGAAGAACGACATCGTGAGCCCGTCGCCAACGCACGGCGCATCAAACAAACGCGCAGCGACATACGTCATGCACAGCAACGCCATCACCACAGAGACGGGCCGCGGCCGCGCCTCCGCGGCGTCTCGGAGCGAGGCGGTGTTCGCGAAGCATCTCGAGGCCGCAAGCATCCACAGACACGCACATAGAATTAAATTCGAGACGGGCCAGTTGACATTTGGTATCAACCATAAGACGCGGCCGGCGCTCCGGTTCATCAGTAGGTGGAACTGGAGCAAATAAAGCTCCAACGATCTTGCTCCCAACCATTCTAAAGGTACGGAGACTCTGCTTCTAAGATAAGGAGTAGCATTCCGCAGAACGGCATACAAGGGCACCCAGAGCGTGCCGACGTAGGGCGCGATCTCTCTATATTTTATGGAGGTAGGGTGCGACGCCCAGGCCCATACACCTAACCCAAATAGGATAAAACTGATACATAGGATCAACCCTTTGTAAGTAGATTGCCAGCCCTTCACCGTGAGCGGCATCAACACGGCAGCTAGAGCCCCGAACCACGACGACAGGTAGTCCATCCTTGTCCTAAACCAGAAGTACTCCTCGAAGCCCTCTCCCAATAAGTATAACAGTACGGGTTTGATCGTGACGTGGTACAGCCCGAACTCCCACACTACTGTGACTACTATCAGGTAGTATACTAATGCGAAGACTATTCTCAGTATAGAACCAGGTTCCTCATTTCGCAGCATGAGTTTCGAAAACCCAAAACTAACAAAGCATAACACAAAATGAACGGTATGTAAGGCCACGACGTAGTACGCGATCCACTTCGTACCCGTGGCCAGCGACAGGAACACGACGAAAAAGTTGATGCGCCAGATCATTTTGAGGAATCTTGACAAAGAAAAGTCGTCTTTGTTGAGGAAATAAGTCGCATTCCCAAACCCCGTCAGCCACACGTAAGCCGACACGAACCACCTGATAGAAACGTAGAAATCCTGCGCGTTCGCGTAGTGGTAAGCGACAAATGCAATTTGCATCCAGCCCTTCCACTCGTTGCACTGGTGGCGGGAGAAGAAGGTGTTGTCTGTTGTTCTTGTGAGTCTAGGTGAATAGGATATGAGTAAGAGTAAGGCCATGGCGCCGACCCACAGGTCGGGGTTCTCCGATAAGTATAGGGTACCGGCCGGTAGTAGCCCAGTTGGTGCTAATTGATCGCAGTAAGCCGCTATGAATAACCACATAGCTAGTTCCAGGGCGTTGAGTAGGGGCGAGCCTTCCTCTACTGCTATGCGGTTTGTCGGTGACGCCGGTCTGTTGCTCATGGGCGTGAGCTCGATGGAGGACCGTCGTGGTGAAGTCGGGCGTCGTCGCGTAAACGACGCCCGTACGGCCGCACCAAGAATCCCAAAGAGCAGGAACAATAAAACGCGCGGGCCCGGACCCAAGGCGCACGCGCCTTTTTTGGACATCTTCTTCAGGCCTTTCCGCGTCCTTTTCCAGGCCTGGCGCCAGGACGCATCTTCATCATCTTCTGGGACGGCACACGAACCGGGACCGCCCTCCCGGATGGCCTTGTCGCCCAGGATATCCGAGGTCGCCGAGGACGTGCCATACCCGACTATGTCATCGTCTTCGATCCAAGCCGGTTTCTCATCTTCGGCGTCGTCGTCGTTATGAGTCACGGGCGCGCGCGTGGGCACGGCGTCGCAGGTGCACAGGCCGCTCTCGCGCGCGCTCGGCGCATCTTCACACTTCTCTGATTCATAAGAGCAGCTGCTCACACAATCAGAATCAAGATAACACCGCTGGCCGGCGCTACAAGCCGGGCAGACGCCGCCGCAGTCGACGTCGCTCTCGTTTTTTGATAGCATCCCATCGGCACACGACGCCGGCAGCACCTCCGAGAGCACCTTGTACGCGTCCGAAGTACGTACGCCATCAACCACGGGAAAGATCCTCCCATCTCCCTTGATACTACTTAACAAATACTGGTTCCACAGATGATAGAGAGGTTGGACTGGATGAGAACCATCAATAGTACGGTCGTAGATGTTCTGTAAGTTAGCGAAGGGGTGTGGATCAAAATGCCTATACTTTTTCTCAATGGCAAAATCCAACAGCACCTCGTTGAAAGCTAGGACCCCCTTGTTGCTCTCATGCTTATATATATCCATTAAACCGTCAGGCCACATCGATCTATCCTCATAGACGGGGTCGCCGTCGCAGTGCTGCTCCGTATATTCGCCACAACATGAAGATAGTCTTATATATGGATATGGTACCTTATCTAGTAACGAAGTAGCATACTGCTCTAATACTCCTCTATACTCTTTCCGACAGGTATCATCACGACCATAGGCATGGTCGCAGCTACATCGTTTGAGCTCCCACCAGCCTGAATTTACGATCACCATCGACGCCCACGGTGCAATAGTATCTTCGAATAATGGTATCGCATCGATTTCAACGTGGTGCCAGTCCGCCAGGAACCAGTATTCTGTTTCTATTTCTGTCACACCGAGGTCGTCGCCACACATGGCTTGGGCTCTACTGGTAAGTGGTATCGTCTTCTTAAAGTGCTGGGCATGTTTACTAGACGAGGTATGCGTCCATCTATCACTTGTGTCGTAGTGGATTGAACCATCACCGTTGCCCCACTTCGAGTAGAGGTGCGTTTGCAGTTTTCCGGTGGAGAGCCACTCGTTTAAGGTAAAGAAATGAAATCGCGTGAGCGAGTCCCCGAGGAACGCGATGCGCGGCGCATGTGCTAATAGGCAGAATGCTTCATCTCTTGATATCGGTCTCGATGAAAACGGGTCGATTTTTGTCGTAACATCATAACCTAGCAGTAGTGCTAGTGAACGACCGGGCGTATCTTGTACATCTTTCAGGGGGTCCTCGTAGTAGTCGTCGAACCAGTCGCCGCTCCCATGCTCGTGTAATCGCCTTTGTTGGCTGCGGGGTTCGGGCTTCCTGTAGGGCAGTTCCTTGTCTTCGTCAACGGGCATCGGCGCGACGCGACACTTGACGTTTGTTAGTATTTCATTGATAGTCTCTCCGGAAGCTCTCCTCGCTTCCCGGTTTGACAGTACAATACCGTTCGCTTTCCGAGCCGTGCCGACTCGTTCTACGTCGTCCGGTAATAATGCCGCGCACGCCTTCGCGGTTTTGATTGTTGTATTCCAATCAAGGGTGTGCTGCAGCGGCGCGTGGCGGGCGTCGTACAAAATGATCGTGTCCGCGGTCGTTGCGGCTGCTCGCGCCGCCGCGCCGACGTCGCCGCCGCGGTGGACGACGGTGACGGCGTGCTCTTTTAGCGCGGCGAGCGACGGTTGCGCGCGTTTCGCGTCGGGGGCGTGCAGGACGACATGCGTTTCAGCGGCTGCGGCCGCATATGCGCAGATGCACAAAAATTGCCGCATTGCAGCGCAGACGTTGACCCTGCCACTCCAAACTTTGCCCGTCGGTCGCAGCTTATCGCTCAAGAATATCGTTCAATGTATATTTTTATGCAGCTGCGCAAGCGTGCCAGTCCTGAATGCACTCGTGCGTATCGGGTCAATTGTGTGCGCTGAAATTTATTGACCTGGGCATAATCATAGTGTCCGTAAGACACTAGCACGAACAAATCGGCGTCGCACGCGTACACGAGGGCTATCCGGCCGTACGTACGCCCCCCGTACAACTTTGCTCGTAGGGGCACGGCGAGGCCTCGCGGCGTCCGTCAGCCGCGTTCGCGTCGATCACTAGAGTCGACGATGTCCAACGCCCCCCGACGCCATCGACGCGACTCTAGTAAAAACGCTCCTTACGCTCAGAGGGCGAACTCATCTCTCTCTTCCGCAGAAACGGCGCCCTTGGGCATGAAGCCCCGTAACGCGTCGGCGTGCTCCGCCAATAAGCGACGTCTAGCTTCACGAACCACCTGCAACCGGTACTGCTCGCCCGAGTCGTCGTCCTGCTTGAGATTCTCCTCATCCGCGAGGTGTTTCAAATATCTCTCATGTTTGGCATCGGCATCGTCAGAAATCATGCCCTTGTAGCGGTCCTTCGCGTCCCTAATAGCCTGTTGTTTGAGCCTTTCCTCTTCGTCATCTCTCTTAAATTTGTCGATCATGACCTGCACCAGGCGCTCCTCCTCGGCCTGTTCGACGGCCTGCTGCTTCTTCTTGTTCGCCAACACAATATCATTCTGGCGCTTCATCTCCGCGATGTTCGCTAGTCTCTTCGCTTCGCGCTCCTCCTCGAGAATGCGAGACTTCTTGAGCAGCTCCTCCTCCCACAGTAAGTCTCGCAAGCGAGCGATCTCGTCATCAGCCGATCGCACGAGCTCCGTCTGCTGGACGATCTTATCAAAGGCCTTCTTCGCCGCGAGGGCCTTCTCCTTCTTCATCTGCTCGAGCTGCTCTTCTCTGGCAGCCAACGCTCGGGAGTAGGCGATGATCTCCGCCTCCTCCTCGGCGGCTTGTTGTCTAGCCTCAATAACATCCCTTTTACGTTGTTCCGCGTACTGCTTGATCAACACGCGAGTCTCGGCCTTGTGCTTCTCCCTGGCTTCGTACTCGGCCCGATCTTCCGCCTCAATTTTGGCAACGATCGCCTCGACCATGGCCTTGTCCTCCTTGGCCTGCTCCGCGGCCTCGACCTTGAGGTACTCGCGTTCCTTCATCTGCTTCTCGAGGCCGGCCTTCTGTCTAGCTGTTACATTTTTCTTGCTGCCACCTTTTTCTTGATCAGCTATTTCGGCCGCAATGCGGTCGGCCTCCATGGCATCATCAATAGCCTTCTCCCGCAGAATATCTCGGCGCTGCCTCAGCATGCGTTCCTCGTGCTGCGCGGCGCGCTCCTTGTTCATATAGGCGGTCTTCAACTTCTTCTCGAGGTCCTTCAGCTCTTCGCTTTCATTACAGATCCTCACTATTTCTCTCTCTTTGGTATCTTGCACGGTCTTTCTCCGTTCCAGCTCCTTCGCGATGGCCGCGCCTTGATGGACTTCATACTCCTTCCGTCGCTTCGCCGCTTCTCTACGCGCTGCCTCCTCCGCAATGCGACTCTCCATCTCCAGTCGCAACGTCTGGGCGGCCCGGCGGCGCTGGGGCACGGCCGTCTCCATCTCAGCGGCCATAGTTAGCCGCGTCTGCCCGCCCACATAGTCGTTCAGGACCTTGAGCTTGATCTCCTCCCTCCTTTTATTGGCCATAATCAAGTCCATGTTCGCGCCCGTGGCGCGGAGCGAGCCCGTGGCCATGGTCTTGCCTCGGCGCGCTGGGCGTTTTGCTGAATGGGGGTTGCTTCGTTCCGCGCGCCTCGCGCTGGACGGGGTGGGCGTCGCTTGCCTTCAACCAACCTTAGGATGGTCCCGCGCGCTGCCCTTGGCGTCGGCGTGCCTCCCGCCGCGGCCAAACAAACCGAGCGCTGCGTTTTTGCTTGCCGCCCTCTAGTATGTTTTGGGCGGCTTGCGCGGCGAGACGGCTCCGAAGGACTCCCGGGCCGAGTGCTGTTTCGTTCCTTCGTACAACTTGTAGAGGATGAGAAACCCGCCAGACCTTGGCGCGGCCGCGCCGGCCGGCGCCGCGGCGCGGACCACGACACTCGCACTGAGAGGCTGCCCGCGGGCCACAACACTCGCCTACGATCGCGCGCTGATCTCAAAAGGCTGCCGCACGCGTGGTCTGCGCGCCCTGCTTTAGGTAAGACCAGCTGCAATAACCTGTTTGGCTGGTGCGGCCGCTGGGCAGACGCATTCGACGTGAACGCGGCGCTATCACGTCGACTACAAATCGAGTATTGACGTTCTCGTCGGGTCGAGTCCGACGCCGTCGATGCGACATGCTCGATGGCGATGAGGTCGACGCCAGCACTGGCGTCTTCTGAGCGGCGCTCGAGAAGTATGACGACGGCGGGTCGTTTGTGGGCGAGTTTGGCGAGGCAGTGGATGGATAAATCACACCGACGCGCAATAGATACTACGAGTATTGATGGGAGCTACTTATGCGTTTGTGGGCTAGAGAGGTGGGAGAAGGGCTAGCCCGGCACCGTCGCAACGACGTCATCTAGGCGGGTTGCACTCTGGCCCAATACACGGTGTTGCCGTAGCGAGCTTTTTGGTAGGGACCATTTGTCAGCACTTCACTTAATCGCTTGTGGATCTGGTGCTGGGACAATCGTTTCAAACTACCAAAGTACGTCTGCCAGTTGTTGCTGATCCACTGCACGATGTCGGTTTTTTTGGACTGGCTGCCACCTTGATTACTGAGGTTTGTGAAGTAAAACTGCACCAAATGCTCGAATGATTGCACATGTCCGCCGGCGTCCTTGATGGAGAGCGCCTCCCAGGCTCGGGGCGTGTTCAGAGACTTGAGGCGTGCCAAATCTTCGGGCAAGATAGACTGCACGGACGTGGACGTGTACTTCGAGACTAATGTACCGCATGCGGTACATTAGTGAAACTGAAGTGCAACTTTGACTTCAAGTTCAAAAACCCGCCTCGCGTTCTAAGTTGAATTTTTGGATTTGAGGTGTGTTTTTTAAACTCGAGTTTAAACCCGGGGTAGGGGGTGGATTTTTGAGGGCCTTCGCGTCCCAGAAAGGACCCGGAAAGGGCCTCCCCGCGTCCGGATTCGCCCCGGAAAGGCGAGAAAGCCCCGAATTCCCCCGAGCCCCTCGGTCCTCCCGGCCCTCGGTTTTAACTCAACCTTAACTCCACCCTCCCTTCCCCAAGCCTCTCGGATCCTCTCGGATCCGCCCTCCCCACGTCCCAGACCAGCCTCGACATTCCTCATCCCAGCCCGGGCCGGACACGACCCCTCATCCCAGCCCGGGCCGACCTCGACCTCCCCTCATCCCAGCCCAGGCCAGACCAGACCCGTATCCAGACCCATTCCTCGCCTAGACACGCCAAGATTCCCCTATAAGGCTCAGAAGCAGTTACAGGCTCATATCAAGCCCAATCCACCCGCTACCAAAAAAAATTAAATTGAACCCCTTTTTTTAATTAAACGAAAGCCCAAAAAACTAAGAATTAATAATTTTGTAATCTCCTCCCCAGACACCAGCATCTTTGGTTAGAGGTTGCAGAGGTCAATAACCTCTCCATTCTTCTCGGCGCGTTTCATTGACTGCGCAGCACGTTCTTCCGGCGTCAGGGTGCCCATCAGTTGAAAGTCGGCGTCTGGGTTTCCAATGTTTACAAGCGTGAGTTTCGCATAAAACGTGACTTTAGACAAGCCTAAGTTTCGCATATCTTCTATAGCAATCTGTTGTAATTTCCCAGAAAGTAAAAGACAATCTTCTATGAGATCATCGATTTGTGTTTTTGTTAGAGTAGACAGATCACGGCGGACTCGCGCTTCTGGGTCGTCTTGTCCGCGCTTTCACTGAGGACGTCGGGGTCCTGCTCGATCGACGCCTCAGCGAGAGGCCGCCCCCGGTTGCACCCTCTGATCCATCGGGTTGGGTTTGGTGTCACTGTCGGGTACGGCAGTGACGTCGGCGACGGCGTCGAAGGAGCATCCGACTGCACATCGCCGTCCTTCACCGCTTTCGGCGCGATCTTGGTGTCCACGCCCGTCTGCGTGTTGATGCCGCGCGGATGCGTCTCGGCGACAGCATCGGGCGCCTGGCGCAGCTTCTTCTTGCGTGCGCCGTCCGCCTCGGACTGCGAGACCGTCGAGACGTTCTTGACCTGTGAGGTCATGCCGACGCTGCCCGCCGTGGGGATGGCGACATAGCCATAGCTTCTGCCCACCGTGATGGTGGCCGCCGCGAGAGCGACGACGGTGAGCGCGCACGCCAGCTTTGTTGTCACTGAGACGTGGTGCGAGCGCTTCGCGCACGCGTGACCGTTCTCGGCGTCCCGCAGCTCGATCTCGCCACGCCAGCCCATTTTGGCAGAGCACAAGCGGCGCAGCGTCTGCACGGTGCCAGCGGCGAGCTTTTGCCAGAAGGGGCAGCCAGCAAGACCCGCACGCTGTATTGGGGCTCATCGACGCCGACACAGCCGTGGATGATTCGCACACCCCGCCGGAAAGTTCCATTTGGTCAGGATCTCGGGCGCATTCTTGCCTTCGCGGCCGTGCGGGCCGCGCGGCCCGGCGCCGGCGCAGTGGTGCAAGGTCTCGACGACGGCGCGCCGCCAGCACGCCGGTTTCGGACCGACCCCCTCCCGGCGGCATCGCGGCGATCGCTGCAGGGCGCACGGTTGCTTGCTAGTGTCTTACGGCGCTAGCCACGCTTTTGGCTGCTCCTAAAAACGCGGCGCGGACGCCGCGGAAGCGCGTTTCACAGCTCTTACACAAGCCGACTATCGAGTGCGTGCTGCCAGGCGACGCCTTACTAGCGTCGACGCCGTCCAACACAGCTGCCACACACCCACACTGTTACAGCGCTACACGGCGCGGGACGACCGCCACGCCGCCGCAGCCATGGACGACGCCAAGAGGATAGCCGAAAGCGCTCTCAAAACAGCCAAAAAGTACGCCGACGAGTCGCCGCTCCAAACGCTACGAATGATCGAATGGGGCTGCTGCTTTTTGGCGTGGACTCTATTAGCATCCGCCCACCGGTCGAAGTTCGACGGGCTCTACGAATACCAGAACTACACGCCGTTGACCTTTTTGTTGAGCGGGTTAGTGATGGACTTCCTCAAACTACCAGCACTTTACGTGGCCGAGCACGGGTTCCGTATTGATCAGCAATTATTGAGGAAGGTGGAACTATATGGCTCCATGTACATGACAGCGTGGCTGGGTATTGGCTTCGTCGCCGCGGCATCTGCTTCCAGTGTCTTACATGACGAATTTGGCGGGGCCTCTACTTGTGGACCTTCCAATGGTACCCATCAACAGAAGCGCAAGGCGTCCTACTTCTGTGCTAGGGTGGACGCCGCTATTAGCTTTGCGTTCTTCGCGTTTCTCGCGTCGGCGGCGTCTTTGTTTCTCGTGGTGCGGAACCGGAGTCGTCGTAGTGAAGAGGAGGACGACGAGGAGGCGAACCCCCTCCATAATGGCGACGCGTCGCCGGTCAAGGACGCGGACGGCCGGACCTTCGAGCCGTCGGCGTTCGGCCGCATGGACGCGCTCTCCGGGAATGGAGACGGGATGGGGGCCGTGGACCTGTAAGTGTGTTAAAGAGCTTCGCGTCGACGGCGTCTGCGGCTTGGCGTCTGGAGCCCGAGCGTCTGAGATGCGCACGGGTTTTGCGGGCTCGATTTTTGCGCTCTTTGCCCTGATCGGTGCTGACGGCGCGAGAAAGTGCTTTACAATCGATTTGGAGCGCTGCCGACCGACGAAGCCGTTCCAACGCATCGATAACGCAGAGTGCAGCGTTGAGCAGCGCCCGCCCCCTTCGACGACACAGACAGATCGATATATATATGGCGCAATGGCAGCAGGAGCACGAGGCCAAGCGCAGAATTGAAGCCCTCGTCTTCGAGCACCGCTGCGAGCTCGAGGACGATGGTTTGGATCCGGACGAGATCGACCGGCGCTGTGTAGAGTTTCGATCTCAACTAAACACCACGGCTGCAGCGCCGCCCGCGGTCGTTGATGAGGTATCACAACCGCTGCCGCGACTACTCGAGCAACTCCTCAGCCCGGACGACCGCGCTGCCGTCGAGCGGGCCGCGGTTGTGTGTCGGCGGCGCTACCCGCGCCTGAACGGGGAGGGCGACGTGACCGGCTCTGTAGCACATGCGATCACGTACTTGCACCGCGACGGCTATTTTGGGAGGGACCACGGTCCATTACTAAAAAAGATCACGGACGCGATGGCCCGCGACTGGCGCGGGCCGCCGTTAACTGTGCGCTGCGTCGAGCACCACGTCTATACGGAAGGAGGCGGCTTGATACTGGAGGACCACCGCGATATAGGCTCTTCTCTCTCTCTGTCGGTGCTGCTGTCCGACGAGTACGCGGGCGGCGCCTTCACGACGACCAGTGAAGCCGGCGTCGTGTTGACACACGCCCCGAGGGTGGGCGACGGCGTGCTCTTCGCGTCGGAGACGGTCCACAACGTCTCTACCATAGAGAGCGGCGAAAGACGAGCACTGGTAATTGAGCTCTGGACGGGGCCGGCGACGACGCACGATCGATCGAGATAATTTTATGTATGTTATGTCGGTGGCGGCTTCCCTTTCAGGGCATAATCGAGGGAAATCGAGTGCGCGGTGCGGTAGAGCTCACCCACTAAATTCGCGGCGGCGCCGGACGCCGCGATGGGGCGCGTGGCGCCGTCCACGAACTCCGCTTCCATGGCCGGCGCGACGCCGCGCGCGGATATCACGTCCACTTTACATTTCGGGTTCGCGGCTTGGAGCGTCGGCGACGTCAGTTGGCGCCAGGCCTCGCGGACCGCCGTGCTTTCGGTACTGAAGGGGTCGAAGGAGAACTGTAGCCGTTTGATGAAGGCGAAGAGGCGGGGGGCCTCGCTCTTGGCGACTTTGTAGGCCATCTCTGAGCAGCCTCTCCCTGAGAGGGCTCTGCGTGCGCCTCGTACGACGGCGCCGTGCGTGTTGCTGGCAGCAGCAGTTGTTGGCTTGCAAAATGGCTGCTTGACGTGTTCAGCGCGCACGTATGGCGTTTGTATGGCACTCGTTTTGCCAATGCAGGCTGGGCTGTGTGCGGCCTGCGTTTTGTACAGACGGCTAGGAAGTACGCGTGTTCTCGGTTCAGCAGCCCCTCGGCGAGTGTCGGATGAAATCCAAGGACGCTTAACTTCTTCCTAGCGTCGGTAAGATACTAGCCTTGGGTGTGCGTCAATCGGAGGAAGAGGCCATTTTCTCGCCATGAAGGGCGCCGTAGTGGCCCTCGCGCTAGGTACGTGACCCAAACGATGCGATCCGTGGTCTGTGAAAGTAGCGTGCAATTTGGTGCGCGTCCGGCCGAGTTAATTGCCCTCCATTGAGGTCGAGCCCTTTAGCGCTGCGTTGGCCCGCGGCCGCAGCCCGCTGGGCAGCAAAGCTGCGGCGAGGGACGCGACACGCCTGCGTGCCGTCGTGCCGCGCTTAAAAGGCTCGCATCGCACTGGAGAACATTTACTCGACATCGGACGCCGCCCGAAGACACAAGGCTGCGCCGCACGCCGCCGTCGCGCGACGCCCCTCCCCTCGAAAAGACCGCGCCGGCACGACGCCGTCGCGCGAAGCCCCACGCCGTCGCGCGACCCCCTCGCACAAAACAATCACCCTCTGATCCGTAGGCGCGACCGCCCTCACGACCTCCAGCAACCGATTACCCTCCGCGCCGCGACGGACGCCGACCACCGCCTCCCTGAAGATGGAGGACTTCGGCCTGCTCAAGGGCACGCCCTTCGACTTCGGCCGGGAGTGGACGAAGGACGGCATGACGGAGCAGCAGAAGGGGAGCATCGAGGAGTGCATGTCCGAGGCGACGATGGAGAAGTACATGAACGACAACGGGCTGCGGTTCAAGATGAACAAGACGGCGAAGGAGCGAGAGGGCCTCAAGTTGTTCGGTGGTCTTTTACCAGAATTCGAGGTCAACATCCCCATCCTCAACGTCGACCTGAAAGTCGCGGCCCCGGAGGTCGAGTCCATCTGGGAGGCCATCGGCTTCACGGCCACCTCGAACAACGCCGCGAGAGTGGCCGAAAAACAAAAAGCCGTGGCCAAGGAGAAGAAGAACGCCGAGAAGTTCGGCGACATCCTCGCCTACTGGAAGGAGAAGTACGGCTACTCGAAGTACTATCCGGGGAGCTGGTTCTACTACGACCAGCTGTCCACGGACCCGGACGAGAACGGGCGCGGCCAGATCAACACGCCCGCGAACCGGCAGATGAGCGGCTTCCGCATGCGCAAGGGCGGCTTCTACCTCGACGGCACGAAGGACACGCGCACGTAGGTCGTGTCCCCCTCTTTGTGTAATCCCGGTTCGATCTATTGCCTTCCGGCGCCGTCCGCGCCGACGCGCCGCGATGGCGTGCCCGTGGTTTAACATATCCCGTCGACGGAATATGTTGGGTTCCGAGACGTGCGGTTGTTGCTTCGGGGCGACCGCGCGCCTCGTTCTCGCGGCGCGGTCGCAGCGATCCGCGGACGCGCACGATAGATCCGAGGGCGTATACGACGTGCGCGAGGGGTACTTCTTGGCCCCAGTTGCCGGGACAAAGTGTGATGGAGCGTTGCTCAGAGTCGCCATTGGAACGCTTCGAACACATCACATTTGCAAAACCGACGCAAGGAGCGGCGTCCGTGGGTCTTCAATTAAGTCAATCAACGCGCGGCGACACAGTTCTTGAAGCGTGAGAGCGTGCGTCCGCCAATAAACGACTCAGCTGTGACACTGCTATCAATGGCAAAGTCGAGCACGCCGCCCGCATCCGTCCTGCGCGCCCGCCAGAGGGCCTTGACGGCATGGTCTTAACATGCCATCGACGCGAAACCGCCATTGACGCGCGCGCCGCTACGCACGAGCTCGCGAGCGACACCGCTCGTCTCGCAGGCTCCGTAAAAATGGCTACCTACGCAACGCTCCCTGAAACCACCGCGGCCGAGGACCAGCAGCCTCGCCGCTTCAAGGTCCTCGTCGGTGGCGCCGCCATCGCTGCATTCGTGCTCGGCGCTCTCGCCGCGACGGCTACGTCGGTGGCCGCGCCGCCGAGCGCGACGAACCTCCGATCGTCGGCCATTGACCAGATCCGCCTGAAAGAGGACCCGAACTGGTGCCTCGCGGTCGAGAACCACCGCACTGTTTCTCAGTACTCGCGCCTCGAGATCTACGAGTGTAAGCCGAAACGCGATGCGGCCCAGTACGGCCAAAGCTTCAAGCCTTTCACGAACTCCGACGGCAAGATGCAGATCCGCTACGTGGGCGCACAGATTGACAACTCTGTACTGTGTGTCTCGGCTCCCATGAAGGGGTACGAGTACCAGAAAAAAGATTCTTTCTATCTCGACGACTGCGGTTCTCCGGCCGCCGGGACGGCTGCCGGTGAGCAGTTTTCGTACTACCACTCGAACGGCGGCATTGGTACGTTTAAGCTGAACAGCCGCGCCCTCGAGTCCCAGGACATCTGTATGAAGGTCAAGGACGGGAAGCTTAAGGATCGCCAGGCCATCGTGGGCGCGAAGTGCACGGGCAACGGCGGCGTCTTCGACACGGCTCAGCTCTGGACGATCGGCGGCTCGGCGCCTCGCCCGCCGACCCCGGCGCCGCGCCCCGGCGGCCAGAAGTGCGGCGACATTTGTTTCCGCGACAGCGACTGCCTCACGTCCGGTGGCTTCGGTTGCACGCGTTGCTCGTCCTACGACGTGGGCGCCCACGGAACGTGCTACTAAGGACGCCCCCGCAGCAGAGGACTTGAAAGGTGTCCCCCAGCTCTTGAGAAAACTGGTTGAGCGCTGCTTCTCCCCCACGACTCCCCCTCCCCTCCCCATGACGTAAAGTAAAAAACATCACTCACTGGACGGGCGCGACGGCGTCCCGGGGGACGTCGCCGACGCGATATTACGAACACTTGTTAATCATCACGCATGCGTGCCGCCTCCTTTTCCGCCTGCTCCCTTTGCAACCGAGGAATCAGCTCCCGCAAATTGGCCATCCAGTCCTCCTCCGGGACATGCGTGGTACAGACGAGTTTCGTCGCGACGTCGCCGATCACACAAAGTTGCCCCTCCGAAGGATCCACGGAACAGATCTGCTGGGCTTGGGTTTGCAATAAACCGCGGTCCACGTCGAACGTCTCGCCCCCCATCTTCAGGCGGACGTCTCCCGATTGTAACAATTGCAGGGTCCCGATCTTGCCCGGTTTCAGGCGCTGGACCTCGTCGAACGCGTCATCGTCATTGTTAATTGATGCATTGGAATCAGAGCGCGGGCGCTTCGTCGGTCGCCGCGGCAGAGCCGCCGGCAAGGACGTGGGAAACTGGATCACGAGCAACTTGTCGGAGTCCTTGGACGGGTCACGGGCGAAGAGCGGGTCCGCACGACTTCGCGCGATCTCCGCGTCGAGCGTGTCTGGAGGTGATGGTAGAGGTCCATCTTTTGTGACCTGGATGGGTCTGAGCGAGTCGTCGGAGTCACTGCTTTCGTCGCTGGACGAGGCATAAGTAGTAGGCTCTTCTTTCTTCGTTTTCGCGGCGGGCTTCTTCGTCGACGGTTTTTTTGCTGGCTTCTTGTCGGGGACCTTGTACTCGACATCATCCGGTTCTTCAGCTTGCGCGTGGCGCCGGAGCCGTCCTGTTCCTTTGACTTCCGGTGCGGGCTCGGTCTTGACCTTCGCGGCGGGCGGCGCGCCGCGCGTGCGCTTGCGCCGGATGGGCGGCTCGGGCGGGTCGTCGGCCATCTTTGTGCGGCGACGGCGCGCGGTGGAACGATCGCTGCCGCGTGCGCGAGGGCAGCTCACAAGGTCCTGAGGGTGGTCGCTTTTCGCAGCGGTGCCGCGCGGCCGTCGATCGCCGTGCACACGCAGCGATGGCGTACTCGGCGTAGTCCTGCGCGTGTGTGAAGCTCACGTCGGCGATTGCAAGCCGCTAAAAATGGCTGTGGCTAATCCCGCGTGGGCTAGCGGCCTGTAAGACACTAGCAACGCCTGAGCTGACGCGTGCGCGCGCGCGAGCGGGGACGACGATGGGATCGTCGGAGCTAGTTGCAACCTGGCCACTCTAGTCCCGATCGAGGGCTAGCGTGGCTCACTGTCCGGGGGGCTTTGCCCGGGCCGAGGCGGTTCATGTAGTATGAAGGACGCGGCCTGCGCCGAGGCCCTCCAAGACCGCCAAACGCCGTCGCCGCGCCCCCCAAAGAAAGAAAGTCAAGCAAGCAAAGATCAATTAGGCCGCGGCGCCGTCGGGCGCCGCGGAGCAAAGGGATATATTCAAACCAAAACTCGGGACGCGGCCTTGAGGCACGTGAACGACACCAAACAGCGCGCCGCGTCATTCAGGTTCTCGAGGGACTCCGCGCGCGGCCGCTTGGGCGGGGGCCTCAGGAAGTGCGAGCTATTGATCAGCGACCGTCGTTGGCCGATCACCGGTTCCGCGGGGCGCTTCTTGCGCCGCACCAACGGTCTCAGTGATAACAACCCCGCAATATCACGGCAAGCGGGCGCGCCTGCCACCTTTCGGTAACACACGCCTCGCGCCTTCGACCGATCGACGGGTCTTGCCGACCCGTTATCGTAGGACCGATGATACCCAAAGTTGTTCAATTGCCTTTGGAAAGAAGAGAACTTGGACGTTTTGTAGTACATGGGTAGTATACGTTCCAACGCCGCGGGGTCCGGGATGATAATGGTCCCGTCCTCCCAGCGGATTTCATTCTGTTGCTCCTCGAACATGCGCGTCAGCTGGCGCATGAAGGCCGTCGTGGCCCTACCTCTTCCCTCGACCATCGTCGCGGTAGGTTCTGGGCAACCCAAGCTTGATTGGGGCAGCCCTTCCGTCCCCGCCGGCGCCGCCCTTGCGCCCTTATCAAGGCGACAGCCCCTACAGCAACCTGGGCGTGCGCCCCGCGCAGCCCCGCGCCGCTCCCGGCTCTTGCGGCGGCGGACCCGAAGCGATTTGGATCACTGTTCTCGCCTCTTCGGTTGTTCGGCGACCTCAACTTTAGTTTACGTTCGGTCTTGGACCCGCCGAGGGACGCCTCGGCGTCGTAAAGAGCGGTCCCGGAGGGGTCGGCGACGTTTTTTTTCTTTCTGGGCCGCGGCGGCGCGGCGCACGGACGCACACCAGGGCGCTTCGGGCGAGGTAACGCGGCGGTTTTGGGACCGGCGGGTCCCGCCCGATCGATAGGACCCAAGGTACCCTGCTAAAGAACCCAAGCTCGCGCAGACTCACAAGGACGGTACGCGCGGCGGCGCGGGTCCGCCGAGCGTTCGACGCGCGCGACGAGTCGCGCCGACGGCGTAAGGGCTGTACCGAACTCCCCAAACGCCATCGCCGCGACGCCATGGTGCCCTACTCGGCCGACACGAAAATCGACGTGTACGCGCCGGCTACTGGCGGCTAGAACTATCGGCACGAGTGCACGCCGCCGCCGCGAGCCCATAATGAGAAACATACTTAGCCCATCAGCCAACTCTAGTAGCGCTTCACGAAGATGGGCGCGGGCTTCTCGAGCTTGGCGATGTCGCTCTCGAGCTGCTTGAGCGTGTCCTCGAGGCCGCGCTTCCGGGCCTTGTCGCCGAAGGACGGGAAGTCGACCTTGTGCGTGCAGAGCTGGTACTGGCGGTTCGTGTGGTCCCACTTCTTTTTGAGAGCTAAGATTATTTCCGTGCGCTCTTCCGGATCCATCTCGACGCCCGGATCCTCGACGGCGTGGCCGGCCAGGCCCATCTGTTCTTGCACGTACTGGTCGATCATCTCGTTTTCTCTCTTGATCTCCTCCTTGACCTGGGATAAGTATGCCGGCACTTTACCATAGTCTTGCTTGGCCATGTAATCTGGTTCCTCTGAATATCTAACAGCGGGGACCTGGAGGATGGCCTCGACGGCGTTCGCCGTGACGAAGTTCTTGGCCGTGTGGAGGCCTAGGACCGGTCGCTCGTGCGGTCGCGGCACGGGTTCCTTGCGTGTACCAATGGGTCGATCAAATTTCTGGACGTCCACTCGTGACGATACTTTCTTGCACTTCGTCTGGCCCTTCAGATAGTCATTCGGGTCCGGTCGTTCCGTCCTTCGGCCCATCGTGCCTGAAGCCTTCCTCACGGCTTCGCCGGCGCCCAACACCTTCGTAGAACCATGCGTGTTGAACGTAGAGCCAGTCACGCCGGCCTTGGGATCATAGCGACTACGGTACATGGGCCCCTTGTCCCCGAATTTTACCGGGTCGTACTCCTCGGGGACGAGGTTGTATATGGACTCCATCGTTGCGTCGGTGGGCTGCCCTTCGCGGGAGCTGCTCTCGGCGCGTGCTACGGTGGGCGTACGTGGTGCGTGCGCGCTGCCCGGCGGCCTCGGCGGGCGTGTTTGTGGCGCTAATTGCGAGGCCCAGCCGCTCGCGCTGTGCCGGGACTAGGGATACAGGCTACAGCTAGCGTACCTAGGTCCTCGCTTCCGAGCCGTGCTCCTCCGAGCGCGGGCGTCGGAACGGTGGGTGGGAGGCGCTGGCTCCATACGCGCCTCGGCGGCGGCGGTGGGGCTGCCCCATGAATTTACCGCGTCGCGCTGTACTACGCAGGCTACAGCTAGTCTAGGCCAAACCCGTATCTTCGACGTCCTCGCTTCCGAGGCGTGCTCCTCGCGAGCGCGTGCGGCGGAGTTCGGGCCGACCAGAAATCAAATCAGGTTTTGGGGGCTGTGCCGGCAATACGCAGGCTTGCTGCAAGTAAGTAACGATCGAATTTGCCAGCGCTACGCATCACTGCATTCCTACGAAACCAGCCTGCACGCCGTCGAGCAGCCATGTGGTGCTACTACCCCGGAGCCTGGGACATGGCTCTCATTGCGACAGCAATAGCGGCCGCAGGCGTCGGCCTGGGCCTGCGCGAGCGCTGGCAGAAGCAACCGAAGCACAATGCGAAGGAGAAGCGGCGCCCACCTACAAGGCTGCGCGGCCGCGTCGCGGCGCTCGGCGCCGCGCTCCTCGTAATCTTCCTCTACGCCAGCTACGAGGACAGCCGCTTCACCGCCATGGAGGATACGTACGAGCAAAAGCCGCACAAGGCCGAGAAGGAAGCTTGTAGATGCACCACCACATCTTGTTTGCGGAATGCGCTCGAACACCAACATACATTATTCCGGCCGCCCCATTTCTGGCTCGGCGGCTGCCAGAAGTGCGGCACGACGTCGATGTACGACTTGTTATCAAAGCATCCCCAGATCATTGCGCCGACGCCCAAGGAACCTGGTTATTTTGCCTTACCATCACCACTACGATCACTACGAGCAAGGTGGTACGTCCGCGACGTGCTGCAACTTTCCACAATATGTGACAAAGGCATGAAGCGTGTCGCGACCTTTGATGGGACGGCCTATTACTTGCAATGGGATTATTCAGCGGCATTGGCCTTACGACAGGCCGCACCTTGGGCCAAGCTCGTGATTATCCTGCGGGAACCGATCACGCGGGCCATGTCCTGGCTCCAGCACATGAACATGAAGTTTCCTTTGGTGCCGAATTGTCTGAGGTCGCGGTCGATGGACTGCTGTGTGAGGCAAAGGTGGTTTTTGAGGGGGAACCACCATCTAGGCGGGTCGTTGTATGATGCCCATCTCCAAAAGTGGCTCGCGGCGGGCTGGCCCTTGGAGCAGTTCCTCATTATAAAATTCGAGGACTTATTTGAGGACGATGGTGCCTCACATGTCTATGGGCGCATCCTGGACTTTGTAGGGTTGCAAGCACATAACCTGTCTTCTACCACACCGTCGAATCGAAGAAGTACTGTACCTTACGAGGTGCTGCCCGACGCTTATGATGATATGGTCGATATTGTCAAAGATGACGTCGCGTCGCTCGAAAGACGGTTGGGTCGGAGCTTCGGCTGGGCCGACATTTGGAAGACGCAGCGCTCGCAATGTAAGCGCGACGGCGTCTGCCGCGTCGACCTGATCCCTCGGGCGCCGGCGTCGTCGCGGCCGCCGGGGTCGCGGCGGTTCCCGGGGTCGCGTCCGCCGGGCTAAGGGCTGTTGTTCTGTATTAGTCGAGAGTCGGGCCCGCGGCCCGCCCAATCGCCCGAATACGTCTTTCCTGCGTGCGGGTCCACTAGCAATCAACCAAGCCCATCCGGTGCTGCAGGTCACGGCGTTGCGAGCCGGGCCACTCCGGGGAGCCCGAACGGTGGGGGCTGCGCGCGGAGCGACCAGCGGACGCCGACGATGCGCCAGGCGCACCGACGGATGCGGGGCGCCGCCAAGGGTCTGGCAAACATGCTGGGCCTGCGGACCCCCTCCCGCTACCGCAACGAGCGCACGCGCACGAATCGGGGCGGCGGCGCCGCGGCATCGGCGGAGCAGGCCCTCGCGGCGGAGCAGGCCATCGAACGGAGGAGAGTAAGGCGGCCCGGCGCCGCCGGGAACCCGACGAAGCCGGCACCGCCAACTAACCCATATCAGCGGAAGCCGCCGGCGGGTTCCCAACCGCGGCGCCAGCGGCGGCCCCGGCCTCGTGAAACGGAGAGAACGGAGACGCAGAAGGCCGCCCTGGCGGCTTTTGATGATAGACTGAGGCGAGACGGAAGCTACGGCGACGGCCCGACGGCGCGACTGCGGCGCCGGTCGGAGCCCTCCCTGAAGCCGTCTCCTAGAGTGAAGCTGGCGGAGCCCTCTGGTATGCCGGACGACGATAAAAAGTCGAGGAGGATGCCGTCGCAACTGAATCGGAGGCCGCCGCCGCCGTCGGTGAGACGGCGGAGCGAAAATGATAAGCCGGCGAAGCTGTGCTGCGACCGCTGCGACGGGGACCACATGACCGAGAAGTGCCCCCACTTCAAGAAGGACCGGGGGACGCACCCTGATGCTACAAGGATGCTAGGGAAGAAGGGCAAGGTTTTAGGTGGGAATGCGCCGCCCCTGATCACGACGCGAGGTAGGGTCGTACCACAACCTCCCGACGGGTCGTGCTTGTTCCATTCCTTGTCCTATGGTTTGCGAGAAGGCAACGCGTCTGGATTAAGGAGGGAGCTCATGCAATTTATAAGGAAGCATCCCGATTTGGAAATTGCCGGCGATCCTCTGAGAGATTGGATCCGCTGGGACGCGCTGGTCTCGGTCCAGAAGTACGCGGACAAGATGTCGCGCGGCGGCTGGGGCGGTGGCATCGAGATGGCCGCCTTTTCCGAATTGAAGGGCTGCAACGTTGAAGTGTATGAGCAGTGCTCTGCCGGCTTCAAGCGCATCTCGCTGTTCGAGAAGAGCGGCGCCTCCAGAACCGTGCGCGTCTGTTATAGAGGCGGCGTGCACTACGACGCGCTCGAGCTGAGGTAAATTCATTATTGTTCTACTTCCCGCACGCGGTTTGTACAACTATTCTAGTGTTAGACTTATACGCTCAGCCCGCACGCGGTCAGGTACGCGTTGAACAAGAACGCGAGCGGCGCGACGGCCGCCGCGTAGACGACGAGCAGCGTCCGGGCCTGGCGCTTCGCTCCTTTTGGGTTATCTCGGAGCTGGAACATCACTACAGTGTTCTGTGCCGGGGGCATGGCGAATTGCGTGAGAAGGAAAAACCAAACGAGCGGCGACGCGCGCGGCGCCGGGAACCTGTGCGAAAAACCATCGGCGTCGCGTCGATGACGTGCAGAGACGCCCGCGTAATTGATTTGTGCACCGCCGGGAACAGGCCGACCTTCGCGAGGCCAAATAAAGCACCGGCGCCGAGCGCGGGGAGGAGACAAAACCGATGCAAGCAGAGCGCGACGATACGTCTCAGACCCGGCGGCGCGTCGTCGTCGTCTCCGCCGCCGCCGGCAATGAGCGACCCGGCCAGTACCAACGACGCCGACGGGAGGTAGGCCCCCGAGAAACGTGTCAGAGCGGCGAAGACGTTTGCGAGGCGCGCGTTCGGGCCGACGAGGGCATCCCTCAGCGGAGTACATGCCGCCACGGCTAAACCTCCCAGCGCGGCACGGACCGGCGGCGGCTTCAGCAGAGCAGTTAGCGCCTTCTTCGCCCGATCCACTCGTGTCTCCGCCTCGCACTCGTCGGGGCTTACGACCAAGCACGCCGCATCTGGATCATCGTCGGCGAGGATCGCGTTACCGAGCGCCCAGAACGCGGGCGTAAAGCCGATCAGATAAAACGACGTCAGCGCGACGAGCCGCGGCAGGAGCGACGCGTCGCGCGCGCCGGCGAACAACGCGTCAAAGAAGAGCAACGGGAGAACGCCGGGGTTGCCGAAGCTCCCGGACAGGGTCAGTTCTCTTGCCGCGGCCGACCGCGGCTTCACGCCGACAAGCGGCACCAGTAGGAATCGGGAGACGAGGAATGCGATCGCAATTTGCGCGCAGGCCGCGAAGGGCATCAGCAGCAGTAACTCGGGTGATAGACCGTAGGTAGCCACCGTGCGAATCAACGTGGTAAAGAGAAAGCAGGGCAGGAAGAAGTTGTAGACGACCTTCGCGAGGCCGTTGATCTGTTCCGGAGTGACGATGTTCGCTTTCACCGTCGCGGCACCGAGTGCCGTCGTGACGACCAGTCGTGACACTGCACCCGTCGCGGCGGCAAAGACCTTCGAGGACGCACCTGCCACCGGTGCCGCGGCGAGCGCCGACCCGCGACGACGAGTGAAACGCGGCGGCGGCGCCAGCAGTGCGTCCGCAAGCGGTGCAAGCAGTGCCAGTCGTACTACGCATTGCAACGCCCGCATAGCTTGCAGAGTGCTTCACTGGTGCGCTGCAGCGTGCAGAGTGCTTCAATCTGGTGCGCTGCAGCGTGCGACGCTACGCAGCGGCGAGCAATAGTCCCCTGGTGCAGCCTGCAGGCGCACGTTGATCTATCTGGTCAAAACGCGACAACTCGTCCGGAGATGGCTGCAAGCCAAGTGAGAGCATTTTGGCACTTGACACCTAGAACGACCAAATGAATCGTCTATTGCTCATTCTGACGGTTGCACTGCAGTACGTGAGTGCTCTGCAGCTCACCCGACGAGCGCTGCCTGGCGCCGCCGCGGCAGCCACAGCTATTGGCACCCAAAATGCACTTGCTGCTGCAAAGCCTGTCCTGGTCCTCGGCGCGAACGGCGGGACGGGCCTCGAGCTCGATTCGGCGTCCTCGAGTCGTCATTGAGCATACGATCCGCGCACGCAGGTGCGTCAAGTACCTGCAGAAGAAGGGCCGGCCCTGCGTCGCCGCGACGCGCACCGGAGAATTTGTCGGCGACGCGTCGAAGCTCGTCACCGTCGCCAAGGGGGACGTCACGGACGCCGCGAGCTTGGCGAGCCTCATCACGGAGCAGACGGGCGCCGTGATCTTCGCCGCGAGTGCGTCGCGCCAGGCCGACGCCAAAAAGACGTCGAACGCGAAGGCCGTCGACAATGTCGGATTAGTGAACTGCGCGAAATTGTGTATTGAGAAATCCGTGCCCAGGCTTGTCGTCGTGTCGTCGGGCGGCGTCTCGAAGCCGTCGAGCGCCGTGTACATCTTCCTGAATCTGGCCGCGAACGGCATCATGGACGCGAAGATCGCGGGCGAAGACGCCGTGCGGAAATTGTACGCGGCGCCGGGTCTGGCGGAGAAGAATGTCGGGTACACTGTGGTCCGACCGGGCGGTCTGTTGCGCGACCCGGGGCTCGGCGTCAGCGCCGTCGAACTCAATCAGGGCGACACGAAGTCCGGCCGCATCAACCGCGCGGACGTCGCGGCCATCTGCATCGAGTCGCTGGACTCCAAGGCGGCGTTCGACACGACCTTCGAGTGCTACTACGCGGACACGGCGAAGGGCTTGGACGACGTGATGAAGTCCAACGCGGCGGCTGTGGGCGCGGGCGTGAAAACCACACCTACGGAAACGTCGACGGGCCGCGAGCGCCGCGGGGACACGTGGCCGAAGCTCTTCGAGGGGCTCGAGCGGGACCGCGTTGCTTAACACAATGTCATGCGACCTACCTCTTGTTACGGTGCTAGGACTAGTGGGCGATGTCGACGAAATCGCTAGTGTCTTATCAGACGCTAGCCGACCAAAATCGCGATTCGCCGCGTTTACGAAGCACAGCGATTGTTTGCAAGTCGGAGGTGCTTAGATCGCATCTCGTTTAAGCCAACAACCGCTGCGCGAGCTATAATTTAAATCCGCGCAGTGCCGCGCGAGCTAGAGGACAGCGAGCCACAGCCTCGCCTCACAGCCAGCGCGAAACGCAAGCACCAGCGAGCCACAGCCTCGCTTCACAGCCAGCGCGAAACGCAAGCACCATGGCCGACGAGGCGAAGAACATGGTCAAGGACGACGTCACGGGCGAGATGATGTCGAAAAACGCCCTGAAAAAACTCCAGAAGAAGCGCGCCGCCGACGCCAAGAAGGCCGAGAAGAAGGCCGCCGCCGAGGCCAAGGCCGCCGCCGAGGGCCCCAAAAAAAAATCGTCGATGGCCTCGGCCGAGGCCGACGACCAGTTGGAGCCGCACCAGTACTTTGCCAATAGGTGCGCCGCCATGCAGCGCCAGCAACTACAAAGTGAGGCGGGCAAGGGTGTCAGTCCGTGGCCCCACAAGTTCCAGACCACGCACACCTTACCGGAATATGTTGCGGCATTCAGCGGTTTGGCGGATGGCGCTAGAGACGATGCTACCACCGTCAGTATTGCGGGAAGAGCCATGCGCAAGGCCGGCCAGGGCAAATTGATTTTCTACGACCTCCATGGCGGCGGCGCGAAGGTCCAGATCATGTCCGATCCTCGATCTTACGAGGAAGGTTCCGACGCGTGGGAGGTGATCAATGACCAGTTGAGGCGAGGCGACGTCGTCGGTGTCGTGGGCAAGCCGGGCAAGTCGAAGCGAGGCGAGCTATCCATCTTCCCGACAAAATTACAGCTCCTATCCCCGTGCCTGCATATGCTACCGAAGGGCCAAGGCTCGATGGTCCTGAAAGACCCGGACACTCGCTTCAGAAAGAGGTACCTCGACCTGATGGTCAACGAAGGCGGTGCCCAAGTGTTTGAGGTTCGCAGTAAACTAGTGAGAGGTGTTCGGAAGTACCTCGACGATCGAGGCTTCCTGGAGGTCGAGACGCCGATGATGAACATGGTGGCCGGTGGCGCTACTGCCAAACCGTTTGTGACGCATTTTAATGAGTTGGGCATCAATGTCTTCATGCGCGTCGCGCCGGAGTTGTATTTGAAACAGTGCGTCGTGGGTGGGTTGGATAGGGTCTATGAGATCGGACGCCAGTTCCGGAACGAGGGCATGGATCTGACGCATAATCCCGAGTTCACGACCTGTGAGTTCTATATGGCCTATGCTGATTATCACGACCTCATGGACATGACCGAGGAAATGATTAGCGGGTTGGTCAAGGAGGTGCATGGCACCTATAAAGTCAAGTACAAGCCCATGCACGGCGACGAGCTGGAGATCGACTTTTCGCCGCCCTGGCCGCGGATTCCCATGCTCGATGGTCTGGTCGAGAAGCTGGGGGCGATTGGTGTGGACGCGAAGTGGTTGTCGGCGAAGGGTGCTTTGGCTCTACCGGACGCTATTGATAAGTTGAAAGCGGCCCATAAAGCTGCGAATATAGAGTTTTGTGCGCCGCCGCACACTGTTGCTCGCTTGGTAGATAACTTAGTGGGAGAACTGCTCGAGGACAACTGCGTGAACCCGGCCTTCATCACGGAGCATCCCGCCGAGATGTCGCCCTTGGCCAAATATCATCGGGACAAGCCTGGGCTCACGGAGCGCTTTGAATTATTCGTGGCCGGCAAGGAGCTCTGCAACGCTTATACCGAGTTGAATAATCCTTTCGTGCAGCGGGAACGCTTCGCGGAGCAGAGCAAGGACGTCGAGGCCGGCGACGACGAGGCCATGAACAAGGACGAGGACTTCTGCGTGGCCCTCGAGCACGGCCTCGCGCCGACCGGCGGCTGGGGCTGCGGCATCGATAGATTGACCATGTTCCTGACGAACAAGAATTCCATCCGCGAAGTGTTATTATTTCCGGCCATGAAGCCGGAAGCTTCGCCGCCGCCGCCGCCGCCGCCCGGGGACGACGCGGACGCCAAGATCCGCGCGCTCTGCGCCCAGGTCGCGCAGTTCGGCGTTAAACCGTGCTGCGGGCCGTGAGTTCGAGGGGTGGGTAAGGCTTTCTCTAGTTCTCTGGTCTAGGACTAGTTCAGGCTCAGGCTGACTGAGTCGCGGGGTCCCCCGTACTTGCAGGCCCACCCGGTTAGCCTCGGGTTTTTTCGAGCGTAAATTGCATTAGCTCCCTATAGGCCCGACTTAACGACGCATACAGACCAAAATGATCCTCACAAATTGCGCCGCCTGCGCGGCCCCGCTCGAACGCCTGGCCAAACAATGCTCTAGGTGTAAAACCAGGTACTGCAAGGCAGAGTGCCAGCGGGAGCACTGGAACGTGGGCGGGCACAAAGACTTATGCAAGAAGATAAAAAAAGGCGGCGGCGCGGAACAATACCACGCCGACAAAAAATACAAGGAGGCCGTCGCGGAGGCGGTCGAGGCGTGCGCGGACGACACGAAAGGGCAGAAATGCTACATCTGTCTCGATCGATAAGGCTGCGTTCGACGCTGTCGTAGCCGACGGCGGTGCCGATAGGTGGACGCCGACGGACGAAGCTCGCGACGCGGCGGCGGCGCTTTCGCGGAGCGTCGGCCACGTGCTACGGGACGGCGGTCGTTTTCTCCAAATCACCTTCGCGCAGCCCCATTTCCGACGGCCACTGCTGCTCGACCCGCACCTCGCGCGCATGTTCGACGCCGCCATCGGGCGGCGCCAGTCGGCGCGCCTCCGGCGCCAGGACTCGCAGCGGCGCGCCGAGGCCGTGCCCGCGTCCGACGCGGCGCCCGAGACCGAGTGGTCCAGCGGCGCGCCGTCGCAGCGCGACTTCGCGAGCCCGCCGGCGCCGGCGCCGGCGCCGTCACCCAAGCCGCCGCCGCGCCGCCGCCGCGCGCCGCCGCCGTCGTCACCACCTGACTCGCCGGAGGCCGCCGCCTGGCCGGAGGAAAGCGCGTCGCCGGACGCCGCGGCCATGCCGCCGCCGCCTCCATTACCACCGGCGCCGCGCGGCGCGCGGGGCAGCCCCTGGCTCAAGCGCGCCGCGGCCGACGACGAGACGCCGGCGAAGCCGCCGTCGCAGGCCGCGCCCGTGACGACGGAGCCGCCTTCCCCAAAACGCGCGCGCACCGGCCCCGACCTTTCGGCCTCGCGCCACTTCCTCGCTCTCGGAGCGGGCGCTTCCCAAGACCTCGGCGCCGTCGTCGCCGAGACCTGTGACGCGTGGCTCCGCGATCCTGGATCGCGCCGCGACGTCGAGGCCTACTGGGCGACGTTAAGAGACGCGTCGGCCCACGGCCACGCCGCGGGCAACGCCGCGGCGCGCGACGTCCACGGCAAGGCCGGCTTCGTCCTCGCGCTCTGCGACGCTTTCCGGCGCGTCGACGAAAGTCGGGAGTGAGCGGTGCACACGGCGTCCCCTCCTCCGCCCACAAGATTCAAGAAGAAGTTTTCCATCCGAGTCGTTCCCCTTTTCTACGTACTAAGACGTACTTTCTCGAGACACACGAATGAGAATTAAAAGGGACCATCTAGTCCATCGTGAAGCCCGTCGCCTCCATGGCCAGCACCACCCTCAACCCCGCGGCTAATTCAGCATAAGACGCGTACAGCGGCAGGTCGACCCTATTGAAGCACGTGTGCGCGCGCGGGAAGCGCGGCGCCGTTCGCGGTAGCGACTGCACGCAGAACCGCTGGAAGCGCCCGTCGTTCCGCTGCAACGCCCGGAAGCCGAACGACGGCACGCGCGCGGACCCCGTGCAGAACTGGAGCAATTTGGCGCGGTCCTGGGGCTCCAACGCTCGTACCGCTCTCCACCACCACTTTACCACAGGATGGTTCGCGCCGCGCCTCCTATATTCACCGGCGTACTCCGTATGTTTTTCCCAGTCGTCCACATCAACCTCCTCCGCTCCACATAATAGTAGTTCTAATTCATAAGCGTCGAAGACTGATAGTAAATCAGGAGGCAGCACGGCGTACAACCCTCTAGCTAAGTGCCACGCAGCGTCATTCGCACAGGCGTGGTGCCGCCACAACAACCGCACGTAGTCCTGGACGTTGTCGTTCGTCACTGGCGTGTCGCGGCCATTTTCAATCAGCTCCCTGACCACCACATCTTGTGAAGCGGCGACGAACTCGTCGTTTGATGAAGTACCGTGACCGAAGGGGCACCGCCTCGCGATCGAGACGGAGAAGTCGAGGCCTAGTTCACTGACGTCCTTCTGGTCGAGCAGCCACCGCAGGTTCTTCGCTAGATCATCATCTAAACATTGTAGGTCCTCGAACGCGACGACTCTGCCGAGCAGCTGCGCGTAGATGGGCGAGGCCAACCGAGCGTCCAAGGGTACCCTTTCTAGTAAAGCCTTGCCGATGAACCGCCCGAAGAACTCGTAGAGCTCTCGGGACCGCGGGTGGCCCCCGAGGTCTGGAGGCAAAGACGCACTAGGATCGAACCTCAAGCCACCATCGGAAGCGCCGCTAAACACGCCCACGTCCTGGTCCAGAATCGCACCACACGCCAACGAGAACCACTCCCGTTCCAAGCCGCCCACGTCAATACCGGGCTCGTCGCTAAATTGGACCCGCATCCACCTTCTTAAATGTTTGGGCTCCAGCGCCAAGAGCTGCTGGACGCTGTCCTCCAATAAGCGATCCCTTCTCACGTCGAGCCGCGCATAACCATCGCCCGGCGCGCTTCTTATAGAATCCAATTCCCGCTCGAACCAGAGGTACTTCTCGCGGAAGGGTAATCCTGAAGCCCGTTCCAATTCGTCGGGCTTAGTTCGAGACGCGTATTCGTGGCCGAGCGACCCCTCGCCTACTAAATCTGCAGTGGCGCCGGCCGCCTCCACAATCACCGCGTTGTCCTCCCTTAGTTCAAGCACGACCGATGCAGGTGAACTGTCGTCGCCGCGCCACACGATACCATCATTCTCAACCGCTCGACGCCAGCGGTGCCGTCTAGCCGCTCGTTGTTGCAACGGTGTTAACCTGATAGGAGCCTCTTCCTCATCGGTAGAACGAGAAAAGAAGTTCGCGAGAGAAGGCGAGGCGGGCTCCTTCCTCGCCTCCAACCCATTAACCCTCCGGGCCTCGTTTTCGTACGCGTCCTTTCGCGACAGCGCGTCCTTCCTCGACAAGCGGCAGACGTCGCAGCACGCTCTGGATGGAGGATTCGCGTGGCGGCAGACGGGGCAGGGCCAGTCCTCGCCACTAGAACCGAGCGCCACTTCGGCGTCCGTGTCGTCGAGGAGCGGCCTTCGCAACTCCCGCCCGTGGGGGTAGTTCCGCCTTGCTAAACGCCGCGCGGCGCAGCTCCCGCAGCAGCAGCACACGAAGCAGGCCACGACGACGAAGAAAATAAACGCCTCGCGCGCGTCCTCGACGGTATCTTCATATCGGAAATCGTCGTCGTGGTAATACTCGTCGTCTTCGGGGTCCGGCTCCTGGAGGCGTCTCTGTTCTTTCTTCTGGGCCCGCAGGTGCTGCCTCGCGCGCCTCCGCGCGCGCGCGTTTTTGTTGTCGGGGCCGACGCCGTCGCGCTGGCCGCGCGGGCCGGCGACGCGCTCGTTGAGGAAGATGCGCAGGTTGCGGCCTTCTTCCGGCGCGGCGCCGCGGAGGTGGCCGCAGGCGCCCCCCGCGAGGAGCAGCGTCAGGAGCAGCTTTTGCATTCTTTTGCCTCAAATCTAATTCGGGCCTCAGCCGTTCCGCCTCCGATTTCGCAGGCGTGCCGCTGCCGGTGCCCAGCTACCCGTGCAACCCCTTCGCCTCCGTCTGGCTTGTTTGACACGGCCAACACCTCGACTTTTGCCGGCACTATATTGCTGCACCTAAAAGTTAGCGTGACACACTAGCTTTTCACCGCAGTAGGCGGAGTTTGCTGCCCTGTAGGCACGGCTCCCAGGGCTCCGCCACAGTTTGGTTTGCCCTTACCTGTTTACTTGAAGCGGCACTTCTAGCCGCGGACTCGGAGCCGACGCGGGGGCTGAGACCGTACGCCATTTCCGTAAACTTTCTGTTCCCAACATACTACGTCTCGAAACTTTTTACGGGGACCCCGCTCAGTAGCCCCGCGGCGGGAACCCCCCCGGCGGCGGCGGCGGCGGCGGCGGGAAGCCAGGCATCCCCGGCGGCGGCACGGGCGCGCCGCGGCCGAAGGCCTGGGGCGGCGCCTGCATGACGCCGGACCCCGGCCCGCCGACGCCGCGCACCGGGCCGCCCAGTCCCAGCGGCGGCGCGCCCAGCGGCGCCGTCGGCAGGCCGCGGCCCGCGGCCCGTCCCAGCCCCGGCCCGCCGAGCACGGTCCGCAGATCGTCTTCCGGCGGCGGCGGCCCGTCGACGCTCAGCGACACGACGAGCTCGCCCCGCAGCAGCACGAGCCCCAGCGTCCGCTTCTCCTCGCGCTCCTCGCTCATGCCCACGCCGCCGCCCTTCTTCGTCTTCACCTTGCGGTACTCCTCCGTGTCCGCCAACACCAAATTCATGTGCTTGTCGAAGGCCAGGAACGTGCCGACCAACGTTCTACCGTCGGCGATGGTCACCCTCATGCGGTAATTGATGTACGTGAGCATCTTCGAGCTCTTGGCCATGGCCATGGCGCTCGCGGCGGCCGCGCGCTTTTGCGCTGGCCGGCCGCGCGCTGCGCTGTGTCGCCGCGCGCCCGCTTGCTAAACTGGGCTAAGCTGGCGGCAGGGTACGCCAGCGGCCGCGTATTTGGATTGTGCGAGAGCGGCCCGTCGACTGCGTTTCGCACGCAGCAGCACGTCGGTTGCGGCCGTAGTTAGCCACAGCACGAGGCGCGACGGCGACCGCGATTGTCGAGGGCTAGCGTGCTGTAAGATACTAGCATCAAAGCCAAACGTCCTCCCCGCTTGACAGGGCGTCCAGAGCAGTGTTTTGAACGGCGGGACGGCTCCGTAGGACGGCTTCTCAGCTCTTTGTGCGGCCACTTGGCGTAGCCTGACGAAGAGCTGCAAATCGGTAGGCTCCCCGCTCCACTGCTCGCGCATCGCATCGGCGTGGGCTTCGGGTGTTCTCTGACACTGTTCGTACTCGAAACTGCGAGCGTGCAACAGCTGTCAGCGCGTTTCTAGCACCGGAGAGCCAAGCCAGACAAGCAACCAAAATCATGCGCGTCGCCGCGCTGCGCCGGTCTCTGGCGGCCGCGCCGAAGCCGCGCGAGGCCTGCGCGCCCTGCGCCACGCAATCGCAGCGGGCCAAGTCGACGGCCGTCAAGCGCATGCCCGCGGCGAGCACCGGTAGGGCTCCATTAGTAGAGAATGTGAGAGGCAGCATCTATGGCGAGCCCCAGCCCGTTCCGACGGAATTCAGGAATGTCGACGGCGAACGACTGGAGGACGGCCGCTACGCCGCGTTCCGGGAAGAAGCCACGCTGAGCGGCGCCGTGAAACCCGAGAACGTCTTCACGGACCCCGTGCGCACCTTCGCCTACGGCACGGACGCGTCCTTCTACCGGTTGATCCCGAAGATGGTCCTCAAGGTCGAAACGGAACGCGAGATCCAGTCTCTGCTCAAACTCGCGAGAAAACACCGCACGCCGGTCACGTTCCGCGCCGCGGGCACGTCGCTGTCCGGCCAGGCCGTCACGGACTCTATCCTACTCAAGTTGTCGCATACGGGCAAGAACTGGCGGAGGCACGCCATCGGCGACGAAGGGAAAACGATCACCGTCGAACCCGGCCTCATCGGCGGCGAGGTCAATCGTTTATTAGGATCCTACGCGAAGCGCCACGAGAAGGACACGACGTATCGGTTGGGCCCCGACCCCGCTTCTATCGATTCGTGCATGATCGGTGCGTCGCGGCGTCCTTGACTTCTGGCGTCGCGTCGACGGCGCCGTCGGGCTCGCATAGAGGCGCCACGCGACGCCGTCGCCGCATCACACGTTGCGTATGGTGTCGCCTCGAGACGCGACTCGCCGCGATCAACGTCTCACACACAACGCACGCAGGCGGCATCGTCAACAACAACTCGTCGGGCATGTGCTGCGGCGTGGCCCAGAACACGTACCATACGCTGAAGGATCTGAGGGTTGTGTTTGGGGATGCCGACGCTACTGTGTTGGACACGTCCGATCCTGAGTCTAGAAGAGTCTTCCAGCACGAGTCGCCTTTCGGGAAATCATTGTGTGAAGGCGTCTCGGCGCTAGCTAGAGAAGTGCAAGCCGATGAGGAACTCACGGCCTTGATCAATCGCAAGTTCTCGATCAAGTGCACGACGGGCTATGCGATTAACGCTCTGGTAGATATCTCCCCGGACGAGCCCGTGGAGATGATCAAGAAGCTCATGGTCGGAAGCGAGGGTACCTTTGGTTTCGTGTCGCGGGCTACGTACAATACCGTCGAAGACTACCCCTACAAGGCGTCGACGTTCATCCTGTACCCGTCGTTCCACGAGGCTGGGCGCGCTACGGCGGCTCTGAAGAAGTCCGGGGCGTGTGACGCTATCGAAGTGTTCGATAGAGCTGCATTACATGAAGCGGAGAAGGACGAAAAGATGGTTAACTTGGTACCGGGCCTTACTGGGTGTGATAAGCCCTGTGCTGGGTTACTTGTTGAATGCAGAGGGGCTTCCCAGCAAATCTTGGACGAGCGCATCGCCAAGGCTATTGCTACCTTGAACGAGAGCGGTGTCCCGGTGACCGGTGCCGACGGCCCTTGTCCTGAGCCTTCTTCATTAGCTAGATTCCCCTTCCGACACAAACCGGAAGAAGCGCAAGTGTTCTGGGACATGCGCAAGGGCTTGATTCCGAAAGTAGGCGCCCAACGTACCAGAGGCACGTCGATGCTCATCGAGGACGTCGCGTGCGAGGTCGACAAGCTCGCGGACATGTCCGTCGACCTCATAGACATGTTCGAGCGCCACGGGTATGGGGATGCCTCGGTCTTTGGGCACGCCATGGAGGGCAACATGCACCTCGTCTTCTCGCAGGGGTTCCGGAACGCGTCGGATATCGATCAATTCGCGAAGATGATGCAGGAGATGTGCGAGATCGTGGCTGTGAAGTACAAGGGTTCTCTCAAAGGAGAGCACGGCACGGGAAGAAATGTCAGTGCCTTCGTCGAGATGGAGTGGGGCGCCAAGGCCTACGCGCTCATGTGGCGCCTCAAGGCCTTATTTGATCCGGATTTCTTACTCAATCCGGGAGTCTTGTTAAATGAAGACCCCCACGTCCACAAGAAGAACCTGAAGCCGTCTCCCCTAGCTCATGATCTCGTTGATGCCTGCATCGAGTGCGGCTTCTGCGAGTCGAACTGCCCGTCTCGCGACGCTGCTTTGACGCCTAGGCAGCGCATTACTACTTGGCGGGAGATCAACCGGTTAGCTAGACTAGATCTCGAGCTCAAGCTCGACGAGCCCGGTAAAGAGAGGTTAGCGGCGATGCGCGCGGAATACGAGTACGCCGGCCTCGACATGTGCGCGGCCGACGGCATGTGCCAGGAGAAGTGCCCCGTGTCCATCAACACCGGGGAGTTGGTGAAGACCATCCGGGAGGAGAAGCTACGTACGGCTTCTCCTTTGGCCAATAAGGTCTCGCTAGCTGTCGTGGACCACTTCCAGTACTTCGACAAGGTCGTGCCGCCCGTTTTGAATTTGGTGTCCACTGCTCACTCTATCTTGGGCACTTCTACGGTCGAAACGATTGCTGGTACCTTACATAAGGTCGGTATGAACCTGATACCGCTCTGGAACCCCTACTTGCCCGCGGGTGCGAAGCCATTGCCTCCTCTCAACCCAGCACCGGAACAACCTCAAGTAGAAAAGGGCCACTTCGCCGGGAAAGTGGTGTATATGCCTTCTTGCGTGACCCGTGTTATGGGCGCCGCGCCCAGCGACCCGGAACAAGCAAGTGTCCCGGAACGATTCCTCAGCTTGATGGACAAGGCCGGCGTCGAAGTTATTTATCCGGAACAAGCCACGGAGCAGTGCTGCGGCATCATGTTCCACTCGCGCGGGTGTGTCGACGCGTCCGACGCGGCGATGGTCAAACTCGAGGAAAAGCTCCTGAAAGCCTCAGAGAACGGCAAGTATCCTATTGTGTGCGACACGTCGCCGTGCCTCAAGCACGTGAAAGATCATGTCAGAGATCCGCTGCTGAAATTTGCCCTTTACGAGCCCGTCGAATTTGTCGCCACGTTCCTAGGTAATAGGCTGGACTTCGAGAAGAAGAAGGAGTCCGTGGCCATCCACGTGCCCTGCTCGTCCAAGAAGATGAAGCTCGAGGCGCAGTTCCAGGCTCTTGTGGGCAAGTGCGCGGACGAGGTCCACCCTTCTGGGGTTCCTTGTTGTGGGATGGCCGGGGATCGTGGTTTACGTTTACCGGAATTAACGGGTGCGGCTCTACAACATTTGGATCTGCCCGACACGGTTACTGATGCTTATTCTACGTCGCGGACGTGCGAGTGCTCCTTGTCGAATCAGTCGGACGTGCACTTCCGGTCGGTCTTGCATTTGTTGGACGAGTGCGCCGTGCCGAAGGCGAAGGCGTCGGAGTGAGGGGTCTAACCTTATATGACTAGTATTACCGTGACCCACGGTCCGGATTTTCCAAAGTTCGAGTAGGTGTCGCGTCGATGGCGTGCGGGTGGCGTAGGCGTACCCTCACTGAGGCTCACTCGGCGACGTCGATGCGATGGCGTACTGTGTCGCACTGGTAGGCATAGGTCGATGTGAGCGGGTGCTCGCCACCGAACACGCGCCACGCTGCCGAGCAGAAGGTCACAAAAAACACAACCTTACGAGTCATCAAAGACGGACACGCGGTCGTCCCAGTTCTTCGGGTCGCGGAACCAGTACTCCGTGTGGTTGCAGTAGACGATCGCGCGTCTCTTGGAAGACCGGTTCGGCAGGCCAAAATGTAAAATGCGCGCGTCGAAGATCAGGGCGTCGCCCGACGCCAGCCGCGGCCGCACGATCCCGGCAGCGACGTTACGCGGCGCGTCCTTCACGAGCGCCGCGCACGCCTCGCAGAAATGACTTCCGGGGACGAAGCCCGTCTGCCCCGCTTTTGGTTCGTTCGAAGCCTCCCCACCATACAAAAAACAGTTGTAGTAGTGGCCCGGCAGGTGCACTCCATCATAGATATGAGGCGCGTCCGCGTGCAGCGCCTGCTCGGCGCAGCCCGGCAGCGCTATTACAGAACCGATGGCTCCTGCATCCAAGGCCTTCTTGGGCGCTCCCGGACCGCCCAAGTCAAAGTTCCACAGCCCGTAGTTGCCCTCCCTATGTTGTGATGGGGGCGCCGTCGCCGCCCTCCGACAGATCTCGCGGATCGCTTCATTTTGGCGCAAGCGGTTTCGACGCTCGACACCCTCTTCACTGGTTAGTGATGGAGTGCCCCTCAGATCACACCTCAGATCCTCGCGCATCGCCAGCTCGCGGTAGTTGTGCTGCTGTTGGGCCGCCGCGAGGTCGCCCTTCCCTTTCTTCACCAGTTCCTGGCGGCACCTTTCAAAGTCGTCCAACGCATCCTGGCACAGGGCGTCGGCGTCGGCCGCGTCCAAAAGACCAGGTAAAATAACGACGCCCTCCTTCCGCAGGATGCGCGCCGCGCGGTCCACGTAGGCCTCGGCGGGCAGTCGACCGGCCGCGCGCCGCGTCTCTACCACAAGTCGGGCGCATCGACAGGCCTCATTCATATCAGCGGGCGGCCGCGGCGGGCATCCTACCCTATCGACGGCGGGGAGCTTGCGGTAGACCGCGGCCCCGTCGCCGGCCCACGCAGTCTCCCAGCCCGGTATCTCACCGGTTTGCCCGAGCGCGGCGACGACGCCGCATGGTAAGCGTGAAAAGTCATACACGCTGGCGATCAGCACCACGTCGCAGTCACCGTCGACAACATCAAAACCCGCCGCGGCCGCCTGCGTTGCGAAGCGCCCCGCGTGGTCCATGAGGCGCAGCGCCGGCCGCCTGCCGGCCAGGGGCGGCACGATGCGCATGCATGCCGCCAGGAGCTCTTGGAGCGGGTCGATGCCGTCGTCGTCGCTATCGCTGCCGAAGAACTCCATAGCTCTCGACGCTAGCACAGCGATGTGTTAGCCTGCACCCAAAGCAGTGCTCTCCTAGCTCAGGTGGAATCGTGCAGCGGGACGCAGTACTGGCAGCAGGGATGAAGGAGATAACGAACGACTACCGCAGTCTCATAAATAGCTCCACCCGCTCGCAAAGCAGAGCTGCAAGTACTAGTGCGCAACCAAGCTTGCAAGTCGATCGAGCTAGCGTATCGACACATACTAGGCTTCACCGGAGAGCGCTGCAAGGGACGACGCCAGTGGCGCGGCGCGAGGCCTAGCACGAGCGCAAGGAGCCCCTTCGGACCGCCACAGGAGCCGGCGACCACCAGACGCCGGCCGCCGCGGCGCCAGTGAGGGGCTGCCCCTCTTGCTCTTGCGAGACAGCGCGGGCAGCGGGAGAGCGCCGACGACGAGCAGGATGGGCCTCTTCAAGGGCAAGCAGAGGGAGAAGACCGAGGCCGAGCAGGTCGCCGAGGACTACAATATCATCGGGAAAGATAAACGTATCCATCCCGAGGAGGAAGAGGAGGACGACGAGGAGGAATCTGTTCAAGAGCCGGAGCCCGAGCCCGAGCCGGAGCTGCGGGATTTAGATGTCAGCTCATTGAAAATGAAGTGCGCTTCGTTGGGCCTGAAGCAGTCCGGTAGTAGGGAAGAATTAATTATGAGGATAGAGGAAGCCACTCATGAATCTGAGGAAGAACCAGACGTCATCGCGGAAGATGCCGAGAAGGCCGTGCATCGGACCTTCGAGGGCAAGAAGGCGAGGAAGAAGCAGTGGAGCGGCGGTCGGGACAGTAGGACCATCCGGGCGGAGAAGGAATTTGCCCAAAAAGAGAAGGAACGGTTGGCGCGGGACGCGGAACGCTTGGCGCGCGAAGCCGCCAAGCCCAAGCTGCTCGAGGCGCTCGCTCCCGTAAAACGGAAAGGCGGCTGTTTCAACGCATGTTATGACAGATATGTCCTTGGACTTGGGAAATATAAACACGTCGATTATAGCGAGTTCACGCCGTACTTGGGTGATTTCGCGCACTTAGGACTCAAGGAGCCGGACGTGTGTCGCCTGCTGAACATCTTCCTGAAGATCGATTCCGATCGCAGTGGCTACATGGACTCGTTCGAGTTCCTCATGTGACGGGCAGTGTGAGGCAATGCCTTCAATTTGAGGCGTGTCGTGGCGTATCGCTCGGAGGTCGTGTTCGAGTTTGACCGCTCTCACGCGGCGAGAACGGAGGAACGCGCCGCGTCGATGGCGTGATCGAGCGGCTGGCGCGGCCTCCGCTCCGAGCCGCCGTTCTCCGCCGCGGCCCCTCCGGGCCCCGCGGGACCCCGAATCGGGTCCGAATCGCCTCAAAGTCGAATAAAAAAACACCCACCGCCGTTATTCCTGGAGGAGCACATCGTAGGACGCCGTCGACGCGAAGATACCTTGACTCACGCAGGTGGGCCGACATCGAGCGGTCGCCGTTCGCCGAGAAGATCTTCAAGATTTTCGATCATGACTTGAGTGGCGAGCTCGACTTCGTGGAATTTGTTTGTGCGATCTGGAACTTCTGCACCATGGACGACGCCGACGTCGTGAGTTTTGCCTTCGAGTGCTTCGGGGACCGGAATCCCGTGACCAAGGAGTGGTGGCTCCAGCAGGAGGGCGTGGACTTGTTGACGCAGTCGATCTTCGACGTGGAGACGCAGGCCTACAAGACGTGCAAGGTCTTTTTTGATGATATCATCATGCGGAACGGGAAAGTCACGGAGCGCGACTGGACGAAGTGGACGCAACATAATAGGAGGGCTCTCAGACCGTTGATTGACCTGCGGAACAAGATGCGGCGCCAGATTGTCGGGAGGAAGTGGTGGAAGAAATTGATGAAGTTCCGCAAGAAGCAGTTCTTCCGGATGCGGTTCCACGACATCGAGAAGGCGCGCTCGCGGCGTCCCGCGCGTCGTCTCCAGGAATGATGGAAGTTGCTCCGCGCAGGCCATCGATAGTAAACGGCGCCAGATGAACCGGAAGCCGCTCGCGCAGCAGAAGGAGGAGGCGACCGTCGAGAAAGTATTCGCCTCTCGTCGTACCAGAGAATCGCGCGGCTCGTTCGACAACGCGAACGAGCACGCGCGCCAGCGCGAAGAGGAGCGGTTAGCTAAGCGCCAAAAACCGAAGCGCAAGAAGTTTAAGATCGTGATGATGCACGGCTACGAGCAGTCCGTGCCCTGGACCGACGACGACGATAACGCGTCTCCGAAAAAACAGCCTTCCGTCGAGCGACCCATCGAGATCAAGCGCAAGGCCGCCAAACTCAAGAAGAGGAACCACGACGAGAAGATAGCTCTCCTCAAGTCCTTACGGTCGGGCAGCGCGGCGCACGACTTTAACCGGAGAAGGTCGCCCTCCAAACGCCTCCAGGCGGGCTCGGCGTTTCTGGACGCGGCGAAGATGAACGGTTCGGCGGCGCGCGCCGCGGCTCGCTTAATCTCCAAGACCGGCCGGCCGAAATATGAGACGAACTCCTACTCCATCCTGTCGGAGCCGTCGGAGCTGGAGCGGGCGTCGGGCATCTACACGCTCTCCGGCATGATTCCTACAGGGGATGTGGTCGAGCAAGCGCGAGCGCTCGGCCAGGACCGGGAGCAGGAGGTCCTCCGGCTGGAGTACCGCGGGTAAGATGTTAGTGTGTGCAGTCGACTGTGCCCCGTACCGTATACGGTACGGGGCATGCCCCGTACCGTATACGGTACGGGGCAACTGGTGATTTTCAAGTTTACTGTGATAAATAAATAAATTACTAGTAATCGAGGATGGAGGGGGTAACGACGGAGGTGTGCGTGATGTCCTACGAACCGTAAACTTTGATTCTCGAACGTTTCGACTGCTTCTCGACGACGGCGGAAGAGTAAACACGGGGGTAACGACCCTTTCAATGCAGTCCCAAGAGAACGGCGAAAACGGACACCGCGCCGACCGCCGAAGCGACGCGGCCGCCCAATGTGGCGGAGTCGACAACATCGGAATAGATGTCGGAGCAGACGGAGTCGCCGGAGGAGCAGCACTTCAAATCGACCCCAACGTGATGGACCATCGCCCATCTAGGGTCTTTTCCTGGCGCTGGACTTTTGGTGCAGGACTCCCTCGCAGTTGAGGCGCTCGAAAAGTCGTCGCCTTCCAAGCCTTCTCCGGGTTCTTGGGTGAGGTAATTCATGAGCTGAATGCAGGTCGTCCCAGCTTGTTGGTCGGACACGGTGGACGGCGCCCAGGTCGAAGGGTCCGCGCAGAGGTAGCTGTGGTCGACCCAGCACGCGCTGCGCTGCGAAGCGGCGTCGCCGGTGCCGCAGCAATATTTTGCTATATCGTCGACAGTGACCCTGACCATGTGCGTTTCGCCCGAGCACGAGAAGGCGGACGAAAAGTCCTTACCCGCCAGGGTCTGGCCGCTGCTCGTGTATTGGGCCATCATTACATCACACGTCACGCTGCTACAGGTAGGACAAGCGTACATTGCGCTCCCCTGGTAGTTTGCGGGCGTCGCGCAGACGTGGCTGTACTGAGCCACCGCGGGAGCGGCCAGGAGCGCGAGGCATAGAGCAGCGCACCTCATGCTACTCGGTGCGTCTTGTGAATGGTTGGCGCCGCGCGGGCAGCAATCAGCAATTCAGCAATCAGAGCCCGCAGCGCAGAGAGCTTGTTCAACGTCGGCCTTTGGGCTGCCGGGAGATGCTTCCGGGCGCGCTCGGTCTCTATCCAGTCCTAGCTTGCGTCGACGACCGCTGCAACGCAATGTGGCGAGATGATGTCGGGTCGGCACACGGTGTGCACATCAGGCGGCGCCACTGCGTGGCCCGGGCGTCCACGGCGCGCGTCGACGCGGGGCTTCGGCCCCAGTAACGCGTCTTGCCGAAGCCAATCGTCTTGACGTCGCCCAGGACGAACTCGCCATCCTCGGCGCGCCAGCGGCACAGAGGCTGCCCTTGATGAAGCAATGCCGTAGTGATGCTGTGGCGAATGGCATGGCTAGCCTGTGCGTGTGTCGGCACCACGGTGGTCGACCTGTCCCAGGACTGGGTCGTTGATACCAACGCAGAGGCCGAGGCGAGGCTCGACGCAGCGGTCGCCAGCGACATCCTATCGTACGCGTTGGTGCATGGCGGCCGCTTTGTCAGTGAATACTATCGAGCCGGCCGCGATGAGTCCTCGACGGCAGCGCTCTGGTCCGTCACCAAATCTTGGATGAGCCTCATCATTGGCACGCTGGAGAAGGACGGCCTCCTCACGCGGCAGTCGACGCTGGGCGAGCTCTTCGACGCCGTCGACTGGACGCAGGTCTCCGACGCCGCGGCGAAGAAGCTCGTCACCGTCGAGGACATTCTACAGATGGAGAGCGGCTTCGAGGAGGACGGCTGGCTGTTTGAGCACTACTTGGGCGGCCTCGTCGGCGCGCTCAATTTTGGTACTTTTGTCGCATCCGAGACCGGGCGGTTCAATTACCAGAATCACCACTTGTTGTCGTACGTGGTCTATGAGTTGACCGGCCTGACACCGCTCGCCTATGCATCGCAGAACGTCTTCCCCGCGCTGGGCGTAGACCCCTCGGAGTTGGCCTGGGACGCGAACAGCGAAGGCGTGTCGTACGGCGCGTTCGGTCTGTACATGTGCGCGAGGCAGATGCTCAAGCTCGGCCAGCTCATGCTCCAGGGCGGCGACGACCTCGTGACGCCGGCCTGGGCCGCCGACACGTTCACCGATTCCACGAGCGGCGACCCGGGCTGGGCCGGCTACGGGTATCTCTGGTGGCTCCCGCGGGACGAGGCGTCATACTTGGCAATCGGTTATAATGGGCAGTTCGTCGCGATCTACCCTGACCACGACGCCGTGTTCGTGATCCAGTCGGACGATACGACGAGCGACGCGTCCTCCTGGGACCTCCTCGGCGAAGTACCTAGTGTCATCGCGGGTCTACCGCCGGCACCGACGCCAGCGCCCAGCACCCCGACGCTGCGGCCGACGAGCGCGCCTGCGGGTGGCTCCAGCGGCAGTTCCAGCGGCGGTTCGGACGAGGTCCTCGACGGCGCTTCGATCGGCCTTCTCGTCGGCGTCGTTTTCCTGGCGGCGGTGGTCGCCGGCGGCGCGTTCTACTACCGTCTTTCGAAAAGAGCGACGTGGCTAGCACCTGTGGTGGAACTCGCCCGTCGCGAGACCGCAGCGTTCTGCACCCAGTGCGGAGCAGCGCGCGCCTGCGGCGCGGACTTCTGCACTTCGTGCGGGACGCCCTTCGTCGACGAGAGGCTCCCGCCATGACTCGTCGAGAAGCCCTGACTCCATTCCCCCGCGCGCGTCGTCATTCGTCATTCCGTTTGTATATACGACCTCGGCGGCTCGTTACTAATCTGCCGCTCGCTAGCAGACTCCCATTTAACCGAACATTTCATTAGACAAAAAGCCTTGTACTTAGACATTGGACATGGTGCGGAGTAGTATGCTCCACATGGGTGACTCGCGAGATATGTACGATGGGGCGGAAAGCCGGGGCTCGATGGGGACGGCTCACGGCCCGAGCGCGACGGCGCCGACGAGAGCGAGGACCGCCGAGATCGCGGGGCCGGTCGCGGCCGCGGCCGCGGCCGCGACCGGCCCGGTCGCGGTCGCGGCCGCGGCCGAGATGGGCTTAGCAGCGCATTGTTTCGGGTTCGCCTTGTAGTCTACCAGATCTGCTTCAGAGATCGAGGCCTGTGTCTGGTAGCACGTCGCGGAGGCATCCTGGACTACCGTTGTGGCCCCCGTGGAGTCCAGACACGCGTCACCCGACCACGTCGAGTCGAACTGCGTCCCGGTGCCGTATTCATCGGTGCACCCGGAGACCGTGTCCCACTTGACGTCGGAGCCGGCACAAACGGAGTTGGCGGGCGCGTACTGTTGGGCGACATGGATACAGGAGGTCGGCGTGCACTGCGCCGAGATGTCGCGGCGAAGGAAGTCCGCGCAGTCGCAGCCACAGCCGGGGTAGTTCGCGGGGGTGGGCGGGGTGTACTCGGTGTAGGGCCCCTCATCGTCGTCCCACGTCGGCGGGTCTTCCGAGTTGCACGGGCCATCCCACAGGCCTTTGAGCACGTCCTCCTTTGCCTCGGCCAAGGACGAGCACTCGTTGCAGAGCGGAGCGTCCGGGAGGTAGCCGTAGTAGGGGTACCGGCAGCCCTCGGGGCCCCAGAGATTCATCGTGTCGAACAGCCCGCTGTCCCCGTACGGAGCCTGGAGCTTCTTTTCCGCCGGAACATCGGCGAGGTCTAGGTCACTGTATGTTCGATTATTTCCATCCTCGTCAGTCGCTTGGCCCGCGAGCTGGGGATACGCGGCGGTGTCGATTTTTTCGTCGCAAACAACGTCCACGACAGCGCAGTCCGAGCACGAGGCGATGAGGCAGTCGATGTCCCTCTGGCACGAGCTCGGGCACTTCCCCGCATTCTCGGCCTTCTCCTTGTCGTCTGCGCAGTCCGAATCCTCGCTGCCCCAGACCTGTGTGGACGTCGAGTCGTGAACCTTCACGCCATCGTTGTATTGAATGAACATCGAACCCTGAGTCGCCGACGGCTCGGTCCATGAAGAGTTCTTCGGCCTCGTCGCAGGGCGTCGTTCCGGAGAGGCGCCGGCGCGACGCGCCCGCCCGCTTAGTGAGCGCGTTTCGGAGCGCGAGGTGCTGCGGCGCCGAGGACGGGTCCACGAAACCGAAGACCGTCGGATGTCTGTACAACGTGACGAAGGCCTCGCCGAACTGGACGTTGGAAAGCGCGTGTCTTACGACGCGCGACCGGTCGAGCCAAGCTCCGGCGCCCGGCGCCGCGTCTTTCAACAGAACCGCCAGTTTTGCATCCGTCTCGGCGTTCGAGTCGATGCCGCCATCCTGGGGCTTCAGCTTGAGGCCCGACTTCGAGAGCGGCGCGGCGACGAGCGGCGTCGCGTCTCCGACGTATTGAAACGGCGCCGTCACGGCGATGTCCTCGCTCTGCTTGACCCCGAACGTGCCGTCGAGTGCCGCCACGAGCTCGTCGCCGGCGAAGCGCTCGTCCTGCGTGTGGCGCGCCACCGCTACGTCGTCCGCAGAGGCCTCGACGGCGTACTGGCGCATCTGTTGAGTTTTCATGTCGCCGAACTTCCACTCGACCGAGACCAGCACCGACGACGCGCGGTCTGGCTTGCGCGCGGTCTGCGGTAACGAATCGAGGAGCGGCAGCGGCGGGAGTTCGTTGCCGCCATAGTTCAGGACGTAGAGCTTGCACGCGCCATCCTCGGCCGACACGCCGAAGCCGACGCTCGGCAGCTTTCCCGTGTCGTCGGCCGCGATGGAATCGAGCCAGGCTTCGACGAGCGGCGGCGCTTTCAGGGATTCGGCGACGCTTTTCGCCTGCTCGACGACCGCCTCGCGCCCGAAGGTCCAGCAGTCGCATGGCGGAGAAAGCGCGACGTGGTAGCGCTTTGTTAGAGCAGTTCCGTCCTCGAAGAACTTGGCCGAAACGCCGAGCGCCTCCATGGGCGCGTGGCCCTCGCCGAACAGCGCTTCGAGCGCGCGGAACGGCGCGCCCCAGACTGGTTCCTCGGCGTCGAGGCCCGTCGCCGCTCGGAGCACGTCGCGCGTCGCGCGGAGCTTTCTGCGCTCTTCGTCTTTCGGCAGCTGTTTCGCCTTCGTCGCCGCTCTCTCCCCGCCGAGCTTCTGGAAGGCCTTGAGGTACCCTGATTCCTTCTTCTGGATAGCCGCGAGCGCCGGGCCCGGCCTCGCGCTGTCGAGCGCCGCGTGCACGCGGAAGTCGTGCTCATTCAAGAGGTCGTGGGCCTTCTCGCGCAGGTCGGGGGGAAGCAAATGACCGTGATCCGCGACGAGCCGCGACGCTTTGGCTGCCCTCTCCGCGCTGCGCTTGACGGCGGGAGCATGCTCCTCCGGGGCGAACGGGGCGAGGGCGGCGAGGTCCGCCGCAGCTCCCGCGTCCCAAAGCGCGAGGACGACGAGGACGGAACGCATCGTCCGGCGGGCTGCCTGTCTTCTGTCTCCCAGAGCCTCTCGTAATCTGATGGGCCAGTGATGGCTGCTCATCTATCACTAGAGTCTATCGATATCTCTGATGATAGGGGGGGTTTCGAAACCGAACGTACCGTACGATACTGATACGAGTTTGATACCGACTTTTACTTTCAGGCGGCCTAGCTCCACGGCGCGTGCTTATTAATCTGAGAATCAGTGAGATCCCGGCAGTTTCCCGGAGGGACCCAGCGATGGACACGGGCGCAGGCGCGGCTGGTAAAAGCAGTTACGCCACCGGAGGGGAGGGGGTGGGAAATCAAGAATGGGAATGAGGCGACGTCGAACCGTGTCTGGGTGACTCGAAGGATTCGGTGCCCCGTCGGCCGCCGCTCGCGAGGGGGGGTGGGGTTTTGCGAGAGTGAAGATTCTTACGAGAGGGGCTTAGGGAAATCTCGGATCAGAGCGGGGACGGGGCAATAGTAGCAAGTAAGGGCAGGGGGTAGCTGGAGCATCGAAGTCACTGCTCCTCGGCCGCCGCGGGCTCCTCGGCCACCGCAGGCTCCGCAGCCTCTAGGTCAACCTCCGCCACCGGCGGCGCGCCGCCCTCAGCAACCTTTGCACCTCCTCCGTCGTCCTCCCGCGCGATGTCGTTCGCGCACATGCAACCCATGCAGGCGCCCCCGCCGCTGAACAACATGCACGCGAGCGCGCCGATCACGCCCATAATTGTCCAGATGACAGGCCCGCCGCGCCACATAACGCCCATAAGCGCCGCGATAATGAACCCGAGAATCCACATGATGCTGATAAGGGCCACATGACAGCCCCGCTTCTTCCTAAACCATTCGGAGCAGGACTTGGTGTCCCCGCAGCAGCCGCATTTGCCGGCGGAACAACAACAGTTGACCATTTTCGTTCTGGTGCCGCTCTGCCGCTGTCCTTGTGAACCTTGTGCACTGTTAACAGCGCAACGCCCGATACTGCGATACTACTTGTACACGAGATACTTGTACCGATACCGAGCCAGGTATTTGACAAGGCACGACTAACATATCCCGTCGACGGGATATGTTATACGGGAAATGTGGTGCTTGTAAATGGAAGTTCGCTTCTCTCGGCCCCGCGTTTCGGAACCGATGCTGGCGCTAGGAGGAAAGGAATCGATCATGCCTGATGAGCCAGTTTGAGGAGATCCCGTCCCGGGGCGCGGCTTCCAGGGCTCCCGCGTGAGGAAATCGCGCGCTAGCGGCCTGTACTTACAGGTAAGACACTAGGCATCCCTGTGCCTGGGTTAACGCTTGCGCAGCGTCTGCCTCGCGTTTACGAGCTGTTTTACGAAAGGGTAAAGGCTGGGGGGGGGTTGCTGCCCTCGTAAGGCAGCCCGGGCACTCCAAACGCGAATTTAACATGGGGGACGCCGATGCCGAAGGCTGCTGTACCCTCAAGCGCGGCTTCGGGATCTTCATCCTCGTGCTCTCCATCATCTCCCTCGTCGGCAGTATCATCTGCGCGGTCATCGCGTCCGCGACGGAGATGGGCCTCTACGCGGCCTTCAACTGGATCCACTTCGTCCTCCTCATTTACCTCATCTCGGCCGCCTCGGCCTACGTGTGCTGCCGCGCATGCGGCAGCAAGATCACGGGGGGGCTCGCCGTCGGCTACTGCGTCCTCGCCTTCGTGACCTTCATCGTCCTCGCGACGGGCCAGCGGTCCGCCATCAAGCACAATTGCGAAGGTACCGTGGAGTGCGCCTCCATCTCAGACTGGGGAGATCATGATCCCGAGTGTGGGCGCAAGACGTCGTCCTTCTCGCTGTGCTACCTTCCGGAGACGGACGAGCGCCGCCGCCGTCTCGCGTCTTCGTACGCGCCGGAGACGGACGAGCGCCGCCGCCGTCTCGCCACTGGGTGCCGAAGCGACATCTGCACCGACATAGGTAACGATTGTTGTGCGCCGGGCGGCGAGGCCCGCGGGTGCAGCCTGGCGGGCTACGAGGTGCAAGCTGACTGGGTGGGCTCGTCGGGTTGGGGCGATTGCGTCGGCACGTACGGCCAGGAGTCAGTGTATCAGTGCTGCTCGAACACCTGCGACTACGTCGCCGTCTCCGGCCGCGGCTGCGAGTCCTACATCCACATGGACGACGGCTGGTATGGGGACCGATGGCTCTCGGGCGGGTCGACGTCGCTCGAGGACTGCGCCGCCGCCGTCCGCGCGTACGACGGCCAGGATGGGTGCCGCGGCGCCTATTTCTTCTACGAGACCGGTGGATACTGCAACTGCCCGACGGACGATTGCGAGCTCGGCTACGAGAATGGGAACGCTGGCGGGCCGGGCCAGTTGTACCAGTACGGCTGCGGTGTTGACGTTGACGTTGCCCCGACGTGGTACTACTCGAAGTGGGGCGACGACTGCCAGCACGACGGCGGCGACGACGACCACTGCCGCGCGTTCAGGACACAAGACGACTGCATCAACTATTGCAATCCGTGGGACGACGACGCCGACGAGCAGTGCGAGGACGCGGACGACCCGGAAGACTGCAACTCGATCGTTACGCACGTCAACACGGTGGCCGGCTGGTCGACGTTTTTTGCAGGGCTGGTGCTCTTCCCGACTCTCGTGTGGGTCGCGCTCCTCTGCGCCGTCCCGGACCCGCAAGCTGCTGCGCCCGTGACCGCGGTGGAGTTGCCACGAATGCAACCCCAAGTGATGATGGTATCGCCCGTATCGCCCGGGGGCGGGCAACCTCAGGTGATCATGGGCCAGCCCCAGGTTGTCCAGGGCGGGCAACCTCAGGTGATCATGGGCCAGCCCCAGGTTGTCCAGGGCGGGCAACCTCAGGTGATCATGGGCCAGCCCCAGATTGTCCAGGCGGGGCAAGCTCCGGTGATCATGGGCCAGCCCCAGGTTGTCCAGGGTGCCCCGTCGAAGCTCGCCGAGTTCTAGGCCACTTCCTCGAGTTGAGATTCCTCAGAGCCCCGGCTTCTTCCCGAAGCGGCTCCCTCTCTCCCTCCCCCTTGTCCACATGTCCAGACGGTTATCCACGTGGAGACTATTCGCACGTCCGAGTCCGAGTCATTGGTCTAAGTACACTGGCATAACATTTAATAGGCGGTTAGAAAGTGCCGCGGCGTAGAAGCTCCTGAGGCTGCTCAGCCGAGGCGACGCCGAAGACGAGAGACACAGAACACGAATATCACGTCCGGGGCGCCACCTCGACGAGCGCCGGCGCGCCGGGCGCCTCCTGGAAGAGCACGACCGCGTCGGGCGCGTCGACGAGCGCGCCGGGCAGCCGCATGATGATACGTGTCCTGTGGGCGCCGGCCCGGAAGGACCACGCGCGCGGCTTGGAACATCGCTCCGTCGGCACGGGCAGCGCCACGACGCGCCGCTCGGCCGAGAAATCCAAGGGAGAAGGGGGTCTCAGCAGCGGCCGCACGCCGAAGTCGTCGGCGGGCATTATTGACGAGCGCACGGCGCTCGGTAACGGGTCCGCGTCGCCCGGCCGCCAGTCGAGCCAGACATTCACTAAAAGCGTGACGCGCCTCTCGTCGGACTCCTTCCTATAAATGGCCTCCGGCGCGGCGTGGAGGTAGCGCCCGTCGAAGGACATGTGCTTGCCCGCGACGGGGAGCGAGGCGAACACTTCCCCGCCCGCGCCCCGGGGCTTCACGGCAGAGTCCGACGGCGCGACGAGCGGCACGACGACGGTGGGCGCGCCGGCCGACGTCAGGTACGTGACGGTCGCGACGTGCGGCCCGAGGTTCACGTCGTCTTCGACGGCGTAGTCGCGGTCGAAGTGCCACGCCACGCTTCCATTTCCATCTTCAAGATCCAAGGTCCACCACTCGGCGCCCGATTTTGAGGGGATATAGCTCGCGCCTTTACTGTGCAAGTCAAAAATGTCGAGCGCGGCGCGCTCAACGATGGATAGGGAAGCGCGGTCCGCGTCCGCGGGCACCCAGTACGTCGACCCGCGGCTGTAGGCGCTATCCCGTTCCTTCTCTCGCGCCGTGAAGCACGCGCCGCACGCCTCCCGTAACGCATCGAGCGCCGCGCCCTTTATGATGTTATCGAAGACGCGGTAGCCGTAGTCCAATTTGTGCGCGTCGGCGACGGCGACGCGGCCGTGCGCGTCGAGCGTGAGCTCGCCCGGTTGGGCGTCCTCGGTTCGTGGCGCGTCGAGGTCCGGTCGCTCGGAAGCGTCCCACTGCGCCTGCAGCCGCGCGGCACTGTCGGTCCGGTCGCGACCGTCAACTTCCGTGTCCTCGAAGGTGCGCAGGTCGTCTGCGCTCAGCTGTGGGCCGCGCAGGCGCCTCAGCAGTGACTGCCAGAGCCGCTTGGACCTCGCGCTGCGGCGGCGGCGGCGGCGCGTGGCGTAGGCCATTCGTGCGATCGTTTACGTGTTTTTTGCACGTATCGAGGTGCAATTTTGCGCCGGTTTTGGGGCTTTTTGCAATGGCCCAGCTTTAGCTAGCGTCCTGTAAAGACACTAGCCGAGTCGCGGTATTGCAAGCGGTCTCAGCGGGAGGGGTTGGAGCGGTGCATCAAGCGGAGGAGAAGATGGTGAGGTTTAGAGCTAGCGGCTGTAAGACACTAGTTCCAGCGAGTATGTCTCTCTTGCTTGCTAGTGTCTTACAAACCGCTAGCTATTAAAGTCCCAACGTCTGCGGTGGACGCCGTGAGGCGCTGCTGCGCTGCTACGCGCGTTTCTACGCGCTTGCGCAGCGCCGCAGCAACCGCTGAGCACAGCTATACCAGCCTGCGCGGCCGTCGCGCGCCGCTTCGCCATAGAGCTTTGGAGCAAATTTATAAGCTTACTTCATCCCGCCTGGCGAGTTTAGCGCCGAGCCACCACCAAAGCATGCCGACTCAAGGCCCGTCGCCGCCGCAAGGACATACCTTCCTCAGCGAAATCGACGTGCCTGGAACGGAGTGGATGGTGGATTCGGCAGACTTCATGGAGAAGGAGGGTGGCATCGAAACCGTCGGCGACCTCGCGCTGTTGGATGTGGACAACAAGGAACTCGTGCTGAAGTTGACGCGAGCTAGTGATTATGGCGCTGCGCGAAGGATGGTCTGGCGCTGGAAGGGCGCTGCCGCAGACCTTTTAGAAGTGGAGCTCGCCGACAAGCCGCCGCCGATGCAAACGATGCAGAAGGACTCGATTGCTGCGGCGGAGGCGCGGGCCGCAGCGGCGGCTTTCGAGGAAAAGATCGCAGCGAGCGCGCACGATCCTCGGACGCGGCCCTGGTATTTTACGGAACTCAGCAAGGTGTCTGGTGCGGAGTGGTCTTTAGCGAAGGCACTCGCCTTCGAGAAACGAGGCATCAAAACCGTCGGCGACCTCGCGCGAGCGTCCGTCGACGAGGAAAAGTACGTCCGGGTCGTGTCGGCAGCCAAGGACTTCAGCAAAGCGCAAGCGTCTTTCTGGAAGTTGAAACGCGCGGCCGCGGCCCGTTTAGATGTGGAGATCGGCGCGGTGCCACCGAAACAAAGTGTAGCGAAGCCGCGGCCAGCGAAGCACCAGCACGTGCCCGACGGCGTCGCGAATCGTTTCGTACCCTGGCTCATCGGTTGATTTTCACACAGGTCCTCGATACGGTTGATCGCTGGGTGAAACACGTGTCCAAGGAGGCGACGTTCCCCGCGGACTACGTGAACGCGCTGGTGGTCATCGCGCGGCGACGGAAAGCTTAGGGGGGCGACTAAAACAAAACCCACGACGAACCGAGAAATCCGGCGTATGCTGGCGACGGCTAGTGTCTCTGTGGCCATTGGTGATTTTCGCTAGCGTCCTTTTGACACACTAGCATCAGCGATTTTGCGACAAACAAAGCAGGCTTATTGGCTTGCTGCGCGCTATTGACGGGCGCCGCCGGACTCTTAGGTCCCAGTCCGGCCTTACGGAGGTCTGCAGCAGCGCCTGTGCACCAACTTCACGCTAGCGTGGCGCTCATCGCTCACTTGGCCAACCCTACAGCGAGGCCGCCAAGCCGGCGCGCGGGACGCCAGATCGACGGCGAGAGCCGCGCACATGTTCGCTTGCGCGCCCCAGACCGCCGTCGAGGCAGCAAAACGCACATGCACGTGAGCATGAGCGCGCCCGCCCGCCGCTCGCGTCGACGGCGCGCGAGACTCCACGCCGTCGCGCCGGCGCAGCAGCGAAACTCACGAACCCACCCCGCACAGGTCTCACCGGTTCGTTGAGCGCGAGAGACGCTCCGAGCCACCCTTTGACGATGTTCATCTCGAAGAAGAACCGCATCGAGGTCTACTCGTACCTCTTCAAGGAGGGCGTCCTCGTGGCGAAGAAGGACAACTTCAAGCCCAAGCACGACGAGATCGACGTGCCGAACCTCGAGGTCCTCAACCTCATGAAGTCGCTCAAATCGCGCGGCTTCGTGCGCGAGACCTTCAACTGGCAGTACTTCTACTGGTACCTCGAGAACGAGGGCGTCGAGTACCTCCGTGAGTACCTCCACCTGCCGGCGGAGATCGTTCCGGCGACGCTCAAAAAAGCGACGGCGCGACCGGTTACCGCTGGTGGCCGCGCGCCCCCGCCGGGCGCCGAGAGATTGGAGGGCGAGGGTCCTGGCTTCGGTCGCGGCTTCGGACGCGGTGCCGGAGGCTTTGGCCGGGGCGCGGCGACGGCTGCCGCCTAGACGTGTTGCCTAGACGTTGGTCGAGGTAGCTGTTTTAACAACTGGTTGGACTAAATCCGTCCGCTGCTAGATTGGTTGCTCCTCTCGACGGCGCGTCGATGCGGCCTCCTCGACGGCGTGGAGTGGGGATCGGAGCTGGAGATCTGAGCCACTAGAGGCCTGGCGGCGCTCGGCGCGACGGTGCGACCTGCCAGGCTGGTGGACTTCCTGGTGGCCAGCTAAGTGGCCAGCTGCTCAGGCTAGGTGGCTTAGCTACGGTCCACTATGGCGCATCTCGGCGACAGGCTATCGGCGTATCACACCCCCACGCCGTCGCCGCGACGAGAGACGACAAACTGAAAGTTACGGGCGAGGAGACTATTCGAGGTCGGCGATGTCGTCGGCGGCGGCGGCGGGCGCGCTCGCCGGCGCCACGACGTGCTCTTTCTTGGCGAGGCAGACGCAGCATCTTTTGGAGGACACCAGCGCCTTGAGTCGTTCCGACGACTCCTCGCCCGTCTGCGAGATCATCGCCATGACGTTTTTCCGGTTGAAGCAGTGCACTTTTTCGTGCGTGAACACCAGGTACCAGAAGGTCAAGATCGCGAAGATCGGGATGAGGCACATGACGTACAAGAGCCACGCGCCGTCCGCGACATAGATATATTCGTCTCGTTCACCGGTAGTATAGGTCCCGGTAAACGACCCCGTCTCTACTAAAACAACATGGGCCCGCTCATCGACGTCGTCGCCATTCCGATACCAGGCGTCATCATCCAAAGAATGGCCCTCGGGCCACGTTTGTCCGAGCGGGTCGTACCACGCGGCCGACTGGTTCCGCGCCGCCATGAAATCATGGTCATATAAGGATATCAGGGGATTGTCCGTGAACCACCAGCACCGCTTCGCCGCGGCGTCGCCGGCCCGGCGCTCCTGCACCTTTTTTGGCCTTGTGAGCGTGTAGATATTGTGCGTCTTCGATTCCCAGAGCTGCGCGTAATCACAAGGTCGGAAAGGTAAAGTAGTCATGAACCAGTAGCCCCAATCGAAGCCCATGCCCATCAGGACACCCAAGTAATTAACCCACTTGCCCGACACGTAGATAGGTGGTAAGTGTTTTCGTAACCATTCAAAACAGTGCTCAAATTTGAGGGCCTTGATGTCCAGCGCCGAGATCTTGATCTCGCCCTCGGAGAAGTCGGGGAAGTCCCAGTCCTGCATCACGATCAGGACGTTGAGGAAGGCGACCTGCGCGTGATGGCGTTTCGAGGTCTACCCCACCGGCACGCCATCGATGCGAACCCCGTCGCATCGATAGCGTCCGGGTAACGCAAAACGGACGCGGCATACGCACCACACAAGCGACGAAGTGCCGCGTGAACTCCGTGTTCCCCTCCTTGGTCCAGAACGGCGACCGCCCGACCTCGTGCTTCGTGCCACTCGTATCATACAATACCTCTTTTGTGACTTCATACCTCCAAATCATGATCCCGCCGCCGATGCACCAACCACTGATTAACCCAACACGTGTTAAAGTGAGACGATGCTTGACGAACCACGCCGCGCACCGTTCGAGACGACTCCCCTTCGGGGCGTACAGCATACCAACGGCTTCTGCAGACACCCCGGACGTCTCGTGCTCGATCGACTGCGCCATCTGGTCTACTACGGTCACGACGTTCCAGACGTCCGACGAGAAGGTAAATAATCCAGCCAACATCAAATTGAAAAACGCATAATCCCACTTGTGCATCCCTGAGCCTACTTTATGATTTGGGGGCATGCACCGGTTGTAAATCTTCAGGCCGATCCACCAGGCCATGCACGTCGAGCAGATGACTAGAAATAGAGCCCCATCTTGCGAGGCCAGCGGTTCCCTGTTTTCATGTTCTCCCGAATCGTAGCCAAATAGCGCGAGGTGCCACGTATCCCTCAACCAGTGCTGTAGCTTGATACCAACGAATAACCCAAGCAATCCAAGACAAATCATCGCGAGCCACCGCAGCAGAAACCAGCCTATTTCTTCCGGCTCGAACCAGCCGTGCCAGATGTCGCCGATCATCGTGCCATACGATTCGCTGTTCGAGAAGGTCGCGGGATCGCCGTAGTACACGAACAGGTTCAGGAGGAGTACGACAATAGTAGTAAGCGATCTTGTCAAAGGATGCTTCAGGAGGTACCATAGCGACGACGTCATCGGTGACGAGGCCTTCAGGTTCTCCTTGAGCAGGGCGTCGTAGGTCTTCTTGACGCCGCGCTCCATGGTGGACAGCACGGTCCTGCCCGCGTCCACCGTCGCCCTCACGCCACTCGTCACCTGCTTGCCGAGGGACGGCTTCTTCTTCTTGGGCGCAGGCGCCGGCGCGTCTGCGTCGGCCATGGTCGCCTCCCGCAAGTCGATGGGGGACTGCGGCGCGTCGGTCGAGTCCGAGCCGCAGGCGCCCAGGCCGCAGGTCAGACCACACAGGGGCGGGTCGGCGTCCTCGCTCCCCGCGGGCCTGTCGCGGGGCTCAATCGTGCTGAGCGGCGTCTGGGGCCGCGTTGGAATAGCTTTTGGGCTGCCCCAGCAACGCCAAAATCTGAACCTCGGCCTTATCTCGCGGGTTTTAATCCCTCACACGAACGGCGTCGAACGCGTCGAATCTAGGGATCTATGGCATAAAACTTAGCTCCTACTCGGGCCTCGCCCACTGCGTCGCGCCCGTCTTCGTGTTGCCGTAGTAGACCTTGCCGGTCTTCTCGTCCGTGACCTCGACCCACGGCTCGGGGAGGCCCTGGGCCTTGGACGTCGCCTCCACGGGCGGCGGCTTGGGCGCGTCCGGCGCCGCGTCGCCGAGGCTGCCGCCCGCCTTCTCGATCTGCAGCTGCGCCCGCCTTCTCGTAAATTTGTTCGCGAGCTGGTCCTCGGTCTCCTTGTTGCCCCGCGCCGCGGGGCTCTGCGCCGCCTGGTCGGGGCACTGGCGCCATGCCGACGGCGTGCACTTCATGTTTTTGAACCTGCGTCGCGACGATTGCGCACGGCGGCGCCGCGAAATTGAGTCCCGCACGGGCCGACGACGGCTTGTCCGACAGGATGGCGGGCAGCTCGACCTTCTTGCCGTCGACGATGCCCAGCTCCTTGCCGATCGCCTCGCCGAAGCTCAAGCCCTTCTCCTGTGCTACTGCGGCCATTGGTAGTGTTGTTATTAAAGCGGCGGCGGCGCCATGCATGATACGTCGCCGCGCGAGCCTGGTGGGTTTCAGGGCCCCAGCAGAGGCTGCCAGGATCAGCAATGCGTTGCGCGCCATCGCTCTGAAAGTAAGTGCTTCGTTAGCAGTACCAACGAAATCAATAACGCACGAGCCTTTTTGGCTGCAGTTCGTTAGCTCTGCAGAGCACGTGCCGCGACCTCGTTTGGAGTAGCTAGCGGCTGTAACACACTAGCCAACGAGCGGAACAGTAGCTAGCCAAGAAGCAGCCACGCGCACACATTTCATCATTTACGATACGTAAACCGCGCCACGACCCCCGCCGGTCGCTCCTCCATCGGCCCGTCGTCGTCCTGAAAGCCCCCCACCAGGTCCAGGTGGTCCGTGGACGGAGCGACTGCGGTCGTCCGGCCGAAGGCCCGCGGGTCGCGCTCGTACTCGCTCATCGCCGCCTCGACGCCGGCGACGCTACGGCTCACAAACCCGCCGCCGTAGCCGACGTACTTGTAGTGCGGGACGCGGCGCGGTGGCCCCAGTCCCACGAAAAACTCCGCAGCACCTTCGAGCCGGAGCCGGTCCCCGCCGGGCGGGAGCAGCCCGAGCCCTCGCTCGCCGTAGGTCAGCGTCGCGCCGCCGGCCGTGAGCGCGCCGTCGAGCACCCAGATGAATCCGTTATGCCCAGGAGGCAGCGAGGCCAGCGTCGCCGCGCCGTCGACGCGCCCGTGGAGGATGACGAGTGGTAGCGCCGCCGTCACGGGTCCCGTCACGCCACCATAGTTACCGACAAGTACTCGCACGGCGAGCCCTTCGTCGCGCACGACTGGCACGTCTTCCGGCCGCCCCACGGCCGAAGACACGGGTCGCGGCGGCGCGTTCTCATCCTCGGGCAGCGCATCGTACCACAACTGCGCCAGCCAACTCGCATCGCCGTCCGCCGGTACGGGCGGGCCCTGCTGGTCGAACCGTCCTCCGAACGTCTCCCCGCTCGATAGCGGGTCGAAGGGCTCGTCGTGCACACAGCCCGCACCGGTGTCGACGTGATAGATGCCGCCCGCGCGCAACGCTTCCGCCTCGGCGCCCTGCACGTTGTCCCACGGCCGCACGGTGCAGGCCGCGCGGAACAGCAGAGAGATGACGCCGGCGCCGCTATGCGGATGAGCACAGAACGGGGGCTTCGCATGGCGTGGCAGCCGTACGGCGTCGCACAGGAAGAACGGGTCGGCGTGGGCACAACCGGGCACGTCGGATCCTCGTCCCCGGATATCGTGCGCGCCGAACAATTTGTGCAGAAAGCCCTGCGTGCAGAGGCACACGTCGCGGCGATGGCGTAACTCGATGATTCAGGACTCGGTAACGCGCCATCTTGAGCGGCACCGGCTCGCTCGGCGGCACGCAGCGGCGGCCGCCCGTGGCCGCCGCCGGCGCGTCGTCTTGCAGGCAGAGCCGCGCCGGCGGCGCGACCGAGTACTCCGGTCGCTGCACGTGTTCCGCCATGGTTCGTGTGGTTCGTGTGCGGTCAAAGCTGCCCAGGTGTGCCTCCAGCCGCTGCAGGCTTACGATTAGTGCCGTCGCAAGCGTCGGTCGCATAGACAGCTGGCTCGCGACGTTTGTATTGGCACAGCTTCGATTCACAGCACTTCGAAGGGGCTAGGCAGCGCTGGCAGAGAGATGGCAGAGCTTGTCTTTAGCCTGGGTCTGACCTCAAACGGGGCCAGCAATCGCCAGGGGGGCAGCCGGAGGTACAGCACTACCACGCGTGCATAGATCACACATAAGCACTGCAAAACGTTTCCGCGCGCGTAACGGCGACCTAAGGCACTCAAAGAGGCAGTACAACAAGAGGTGCTCCCGGTGCTGCTGAGCCGCCACAACCGAACCGACGCGACCACGACCGACGCGACCACGACCTGCTACAAACCGCTTTCGATCCTACGTACAGCATGTCTTGCTGGCGGAAGGACAGCGACGAGTGCTGGGGCACCGACGGAGACGACGATGGCGAGCGCACGGTCGACTCCAATGACGCCCCGAGGATGCGCAAGACCAGTTCCCAGGTCGACTACTATTCCCAGGATACGGTCGATACGACGCATCTCCAGCACGTCGCGGCTGTGGCGGCGCGGCGAGCCTTAACGCAGGACGGCGATTACTTGGTGCTAGCATTGGTCGGCCTCCCGGCGCGCGGAAAGTCATTCATTGGAGCCAAGCTCCGCTCGTTCTTAGCGTGGCGCGGCCTGGAGTGCCAGGTCTTTAATGCGGGTCAAAGACGTCGAGCGGCGAGCGACGATTCATTGGAGAAGAACTTGCGATCACCACATTCTCACGCGGCCTTCTTTGATAATGCCAACAAGGACGCGGCGGCGCGGCGGGAGTCCATAGCCATGGACACGCTCGATTCGTTATTTGACTACTTGGAGAGCGGCGAGGGCGAGGTGGGGATCTTCGACGCGACGAACTCGACAAGGCAGCGCCGGAAAGCTATTTTGGATAGGGTGAAAAGGCGCTTCGAGGGCACGGGCAAGGCCTGCGGCGTCGTCTTCATCGAGACGATCTGCACCGATCCTTATGTGTTACATAGTAATATGCTGGTCAAGGTCCGGAACTCGCCGGACTTCGCCGGGCTCGACGAGGCCACGGCTCTAGCTGACTTACGACGTAGGAACGCGCACTACGAGTCGGCCTACGAACCGTTGTCCGACAGCGAAGGCGCCTCGTATATAACGATCTACAACTTTAGCTCAAAGGTTACTTGTTCATTATGTTTCGGCCGGATCACTCGAGTGGTCTTACCGTTCCTACTCGCGATCCATGTGGATGAAAGACCCATCTACTTAGTAGCCCTGGCGCCGCGCGGCATCTCCACTTCCGGTAGAACTACGCGCGAGGCCGAGTACCGTAAGGCCGTCGCTGCAGCCGAGGACGCCGAGAAGGATCTGGCGCTGCGATTGAGGGCCTGGTGCGCTTCAGCCAAGGAGCCGCCTCTCCACGTTTTTTGCTCGGCGTCGATCCGAGCGCGCGCGGTCGCCGGGGCGTTGGACGTGGAGGCTTCGTATACTGCTGCCCTCGACCCGTTCGTGAAGGAGGGCCGGCGGGACGCGCACCGCGACCTCGCCGACCGCCTCGAGCCTGTGATTATCGACATCGAGGGGTCCGTGGCGCCGACGCTGGTGATCACGCACGCCACGCCGGCGCGAGCTTTACTAGCATACATGCACAACCGGCCGCGCGTGCGCGTCGTCGACGAGACGGCGACGACCGAGGCGCCGCGGACGCTGGCCGGCGCCGACGCCGCCGTCATCGAGGTGCGCGCTACGGTTGCCGGCGGCTACAGCGAGACGGTCCACCTGCTGCCCGGCGCGGACGGCTCGCCGCCGCCGTCGCCCTCAATTTTCGCGCGCGCGCCGTCCTTGCCCTGGGACGAGCGGCGGCGCGGGTCGATCGGCTTCTCGGAGCGCGGGTCGAAGAGTCTCGAGTAGCCCCGGAGTGTTCATTTTGTTGTCCAGAGTAATCACATACTTATACAACAGGGCTCTTCGGCCGCGGCTTCGCCACCGCTCGGGGTTTCGGATCACCATCTAACCCAGGCGTCGGCGCGTGCTTCCGGAAGAACGCGAGCGCCTCCCGCCGCAACACCTCCAAATCTTCTTGCCGTCGAAAATAGTGGCCTAATGTACTATCGAGCGTCGGGCAGGCCACATGATACACAGGCACCGGCATGGACTTCACGACTTCGTCCGTAGCTTTCTTACCAGCGAACACGTCGACGTCGCCGCTCAGGAAGAGTTTGGGTTTCGGCGTTCTCGCATATTGCAAAAACGTGTCGCCCTGCAGGTTGCAGCAGTACCACAGGTACGACGCCGGGTAGGACACGGCTACATACCCACTAAATTCGTCATACAGCCCCGCCGCGGCGGACCCTATACATGATCCATACGACACACCAGCAACCCAAACCGACTGCAGGGGTTCCTCCCCGAGGTGCTTGCGGTAGGCGTGGAGCCACCGACAGATATCCCTCACATCCTCACATTCGCGCTGCGGGCTCCGGAAGTACGTCGACCCCGTGCTCTTGCCGACTCCCCTAAAATTAAACCGCACCGTGCAGTAGCCGTCCAGCGCCAGCGCTGCCTGCAGGCACCCGACCTCGGGCGCATAACAATTACCGTTCGGCGGCAGCGGCGGGCATAATAGTATGGCTACTTTTGCCCGCCTTAGGTTCGCGGTTCTCGCTTCTAATTTGGTGCCGTCCGGTAGGGGTACTCTTCTCTCGGTTTCTTTGCCGGCCATCTTGCAGAGGAGGTCGACGTTTAGTTTGCGGTCCTTCTTGGGCTTGGGTGCCTTCGGGGGCTTGGGCATGGCTGCTTTTTTTGGCTGCGTAGGCTGGGTAGGCTTTTGTAGCGTATACTCGACCGTTTCGGTCACGGCCTTCGGCTCACAGCTTCTCCAGGGTGTCGGTCGTCTCTTGCGCTGGCGCGAGCGCGCCGGCGGCGTCTTGCGACGGAGTAATCGATCGTCAAAGCAAGCACGGATTCTTGCTAGTGTCTTACACGACGCTAGCTCGGTTTTTGCACGAGTTAGGTTTACGAGCAGTTACGGCTGCATCTCGGGCTCCTGGGCTGTGCGAAGTTGTGGTCTTTACCGCAGCCCTCCGCCACACAATGCATCGCTGTCAGAAGTCCGTGCTTTGGCTCCTTCTCACCGCACTGTTCCCAGCCCTATCTTTGGTATGGTCCGGACTCCCGCAGCCGTCGACGACCCGCACATCTCGGCTCTCGCACCGTCCGAGGCCAGCGACCCGCACATCTCGGCCGCAGCGCCCGAGGCCGTCGACGACGCGCATCTATAGTGACGAGGTCGAGGACGTCGAGTGCGCACCGAACGACGACGAGTGCGTCGCGAACTTGAGCGACGACGACTATTCCGACGACGCGGGCGCGCTCGAGGTGATCGACGACGACGCGCCGGATCTCACGAAGCTCGCGCAAAAGAACAAGCTCACGAAGGCCTCCTGGAAGCTTAGTCTATCGATAGGTAGAGAAACCGGGACGTGGATGCCGGAAGAGTGGGCGGCGAGCGGCGCGCGACTCCTACTCCCTATTACGGTAGAGTTCGACAGTGAACCGTACCCCGGCGAGCCCGAGGCGCTGGTGGGGCAGACCTGCTTTCGCGTGAGACCTCAGGGAGAGGCGAGCTTTGTGGGCGTTGGAGGGAAGGTCACGGTGCCCGTCAGAGGAGGGGCCTGGGCGATCCAGCCGCCGAAGCCGCCGCAGAAGCCCGCGCTGTTGCGGTTCTGGCTCGAGTTTCCCGAGGAGGCGAAGCGGAACGACGTCACCTTACCTCCTGGTAGGGTCTTTTTCACTGCGCCGGTCTGGCAAGAAATCGAGCTGGAGCGAGGCGCGGAGGCGCGGAAGGAAGCGAGGGAACGGTATGAGGAAGCTGAAACGCGTTCTGCGGAGCTGGCGGACGAGGCCGTGAAGGCGAACCCGCTCGCGAAAATATTTGGGCTGCGGAAGCAAGTGCTGGCACTGGACGAGAAGAACGCTGCGATGCGGCGGCTCGAGCGGGTTGAGCGGTATCTGGGCGGCTCGAGGGATGGGGGCGCGGGGCCGTTCCCGGGCCTGGCGGCCGGGGCTTCGTTGACGCTCGGGACGACGGGCGGCCTGGTCGTGAAGCGGACGCCGCGCATCGGCGTCGGGACGGAGTACCACATCCTCGGGAAGTTCCAGGCCCAGGCGGCGGCTGGCGACGGGTAAATTTAGTTAACAAATCGCGCGAAACCCGTGCGCGTTTGATTTGCATGCGCAATTGCGCGCTCCGGTCGGCACAAAGGGCTGCCCCTGCCTATATATACAAGGCTTCCATCGATAGCTTGCAACCATGATCCCCTTGCGCCCGGAGCTGATTGAATTCCTGACTGCAGAGTCCTTGGGCCGGTTATCCTGCAGCAAAGCCCTGCGCACCGAGGTGCGCGAAACGAATGCCTGGAGGCTGCTGGCGGCCGTGCAGTGCCCGCCGCGCACCACCCGCGACGTCTTGGAGCAGGACGCCATCTCGCGGGTGCGGTCGCAAGCGCTCCGCCGGCGGCTCGCGGCCGACCTCTCGCGCTCTGCGCCAAATCCGCCTCGCCCGGAGGAACCAGACCAGAGAAATAACAAGTTTACGGACTTTACTTACTTCATACGAATCGAAGAGGACGACGAGTTAATTTGGGAGGGCGACCTAAGCGCCATGCCGTCGTGCTGCGTGTCTAACCCTTCTTTAGGGGATGAGTCCTTAGTATTATTACCGTCTCGACTCTTGGATGCAAGAATGCGCTCCTGGGAAGGCATGGTCAACCACCTGGCACACGTTCCTACTCGAGATGAGTATGACGACAGCTTGATGGAGAGCCTCAAGATATCCGTCGTCGCGGTTCGTGAGGCTGATTCGGTTATGATCGCCCTCGGGTGTTTTAGTTTCGCGCAACCCATAGGAGATTTTGGTGTTAATTGGCAACCTTACCTTTATGAGGCTCGAAGTCGACTGTATAATCAGTGGTCTTCGAACATGAAGCCTTATCATTTTAAGCCTTCCTTGTCGTTTGAACTGTTTCATGATTCGAATGGCAACGGTGATTTGTTTCGGATCAAGCTGTATATGGGGCTACATGATCAAGCAGATCATTTGGTCGACGTGAGCCGGAGTGAGTTTCAATTACTGCTCACCCATCTCGCTGGGGTTGATCACCGGAATCGTGAGGCGGTGCGCTGTGCGCTGGTTGCGGCTCTGGACAAAAATGTTGATGAGGATTACATGTAAATAGGAGTCCCTGCCGCACATTGTCAGTAAGACTAGTAGTACTACTAGTACATATGAATTAAAAGTCCTCCCCAATCTCTCCGTCCGAGTTCTCCAGGCGCAGCGCTCTTGATGACGGCGATTTAATGGATATGGCGTCGATCCGCGACGGGTCCAGCGCCTGGCCCGCTTCCAACGGCCGCCCCGTGCAGAGCATCGTCAGCAGATCCACCAACGGGTCCCGGAAGAAGACTCCCACGTCGAATTGTAAGGGAGCCGTCGACGCGCGGTGGACCAGCAATACCGACGGCGCGGTCATCGAGGCCACTACTCTTTTAACGTCGTCCGCGCTCTTCGTCTCGCCTTTGACCGTCGTCCAGACCAATTTGTGAATACGGTACCCGTCGACCTTCTTGTTACTCGCTTGCACATTCAAGGAAGTGGTATGAGACGCCGTCATGGGAAAGTGGGCTTCGTACGACGGTCTCTTACTACAATGGAGCCCGCCCTCGGCCGTCAGTTGCCTTCTCAACTCATCCTGCGTCAGCACGTCGACACAACCGGACTTCTGCACGATGCTCTCAAACTCCGTGCGGTCGATCTGGCCGTCCCCGTTGACATCAAACTTCTGCACGAGCCGTTCGACGGCCAGCTTCGCCGTCGCCGCGTCGCCTCCTAATTTAGCAACGGCCCGAGGCGTGGCCCGCGGCAAGGCCTCCTCCACGAAGCTGATGAGCTCGCGGCCGTCGACGCTGCCAGACGCGTCGTCGTCGAGCCGGGAGAAGATGCCTCGCACCACGCTTTTGACGAGTTGCCGGTTGTGCCCTCTACCAAAGGATGGCAAATGACTTTTCTTGTGCTGCGGCACGGGCCGCGCCGTCGGCAACCTTAGTAATGGAGAAGTAGGCTCGGCGTAGCCCTTCTTCAGCCGTCGGAGATGCACGTACCGTTTTCTAGCAGAGAAGGCGTGCGACGCTATTCTTTCGATAGCCTTGGACTTCTCCGACAGCACGAAGAACATGCCCACGACCACGGGCATCGCAAAGTACCGTATTGGTAAATAGAAATGTAAAACCGCCGCTACCAGATTCACGAGCAAGAACCCCAGGGTCTTGGTCGCGTCCTCCCAGTTGAATAAATCGCGCAATTTCCTCACGTCGGACGCCGTCGCGCCTAATTTCAACATCAATTTGGCCGGTGCCTTCCCCGCTTTATTGGCGGCCAGGTTCACGACCTTCTTCGTCATCCCATGAAAGGGGCCCTTCTTCTTGTCATGGGCTACTTCTTCCTCTTCTTGACTGGAGCTGGAACGGAACGAGGGCAGCTTCACGAGGGCCTTCTTCTTGGGACTGCCTCGCAGTAGTCTCTCCGTTTCCGCGTCGCCGACGACCTGTGTGAAGATCAAAGTTTTACGGCACGTCCATCACCGCTGGACGGAGCCAGCACGGTCGCGTCAGAGCACCCGACGCACTGGTTGATTCCACACAGCCGACGACCTCCTCCTCCTCTTCCTCCGTAACGTCTAGCCCCATGAGCGACGGCGAGTCCAGGCAGAGCTGCGCGAACTCGTTTAAGTCCAATGACCCGCCTTTATCGACGTCTGCTTTTGCAAAGAGTTTGTCGACCTCAGCATCGGGCGGCGGAGTCGTCTTTCTTTTCATGGCGAGCTGCGCGATCGCGAGACCAATCTCCGCCCGATCCAACGTGCCGCCGCCATCGTTGTCGACCTTCGCGAAGCAGTGTTTGGCTTCTGTGCGTATGTGTTCGCGGAATCGTTTTCTCTGCAAATTCCTCACCAACAATAAGATAATCGAGAGATGTATCAACTCCCAGACGTACTCCGCGAAGTAGGCCGCGATTAACGCGAGTAAAAACCAGCGTTTTGTGGAGGGGCTCTTCCACGCTAATACTTTTTCTAGGGATGAAGCAAATGCCAAATAGGGTTCTAGTTCCTTCTGCAATTCAATGGCGTTCGCGTAGAAGCGGTTCGCGTCAAACGGAGTTTTGTTCGTTGATTTGGGCTGCTCGGCCCAGACCATTGATAAAGCTTCGCCCAATGCGGAGACGTCGTAATGTAAATACAAGTGGATAGCTGCGGCCGTCTCGGAGTGACCGGGTACTGATAAGGGGAACCACCGCTTCACCGCCCCGACATGACTTAGATCCTTCAATTGTATCTCCACACTACCTAACAAGTCATCAGTGGACTGGTTGTCCTTGTCAAACACTTCTACGCGCAGCCAGGCGTCGTGGCGAGGTACGGCGAAGTACTTATCTTCATACCATCTAGGTGATAGAGTCTTGGGCTTGACCTGTGACGTTTGCGCGTCGCGCCAGCCGTACATGGACCACTCGTCGCCATACTTATTCCATCCTGTTAATGTCGCCACAACATAGGGGTCCGACGTTCCACCCAGATCAGCTGCCGGTAGGTTCGCCGCCTCAATCAATCGGACATGTAACCTTCCTATTCGTAGCTGTCTCTGATATTTCGGCCCGAGCCAAGTAGCGAGCAAATATCGCACCCTTCGTTCATCTCCGACGTAGTCGTGGTAGACATCCTCATGCGTCTTCCATAACTCTCTAAGAGCGAAGCCAATCTCTTGCGTGCGGGACATGCGCGGGCCCCTTTTTCTTACTTGTATGACGGGCGAGGGCGGCGGCGAGATTGTTTTGGTTCTGTGAAAGAGCCCTTTGTGCTTCGTTGGCGTGACCGGTGGTGGTCGATACGATAAAGGCGTCTCGAAGGCTGGTGGTGGTGTGGGGCGTGTCGGCGTGGACTCCATGCTTGCGTGTCGCGGCGCTAGTTATGGGGCAGCGCACCGCGGCGGCGCGCGGTGAGCGGTTCCGCCCCCACGCGTTGGACTTGCTGCGGCGTCAAGATGGCAGCTCCTCTGCTGCACTTGCTTGGGGACCGAATCGCGGCCGCGTCCGTTGCAGCCCCGCGAGCGCGGAATGCAAAATGACTCTCTCTGTAAACAGCGGGCAGCCACAAAACGGCGGCGCGCGTGCTTGCGCCCACCAATTTATGCAAATTGCAATCTCCCTCTGTGGGAGAGCAGAGCCCCAGACCCGCACTCGCTATCGTCAAAACAAATCCTCTTATTTACCCGCGAGCACTCCTAATCAGATTCCTCCTCGTCCTCCTCCTCGTCGCTCCCGGGCTCCGCCGGCGGCGCGAGCGCGCGTCGTCGCTCCTCCTCGATGTCCCGCAGCCGCGCCGCCTCGGCGCGCAGGCCCTCGACCTCGTCCCGCAAGACGCTGTTCTCGGCCTCGTACGTCTGGCGCGCCAGATCCGTCGCGAGCCACGCTCTCGGGTCCGCGGGCCGCCGGATCGTCCCGTCGGGCACAAATTCGACGGCCTCCTCGAGCCGCGTCAGCAGATCCACGACCTGGGGACCGAGCGTGCTCTTCAGGTAAGCTTCATAATCATTTCCCTTCTGGCGCAGGTCCTGGGGCCGCTCGTGGAAGGGCAGCTCGGGCTCGGGCTCCGCCGGCGCGGCGTCGTCCGCCATGCGGTCCGTGCGTCTCCCTACGGTGCTCGTCTCGGTCGTCTGGCTTCTCTTCGGCCACTGGGGCAGCCCACTTGGGGCACTGGCCGAGCAGCGCTGTAGCGCCTGCCTAGTGTCTTACAGGACGCTAGCTGCACGCGCGAGTGAAAGCGCTTGCAGCGCCTCAAAACGCCACCTTATTGCACGTAAGAGGCGTCATTCAATAGCTTTGGTACGCAACTTTCAGTAGATCAACCGCTCGCACCTTCAAAACGCGCACCCGCATCGCTGTTGACAACGCCTGCAAATCACAGCGATGCGCCGGTGTGTCGCCATGCGCCGGCTACTTTATGCCGCACGCACGCCGCCGCGGCAGCCGCCGGTGCTGCAGCGCAATGCGGAACGACGACCACTCCACACCTACACCGTCGACCCCTTCGTGCGATCTAGAAGGAAGAACTATAGACGGAGGCCCTGGACGGGACTAGAATTGACCTGCTTAGGAACGGGCGCGGGAGGACCATCAGTAGATAGAAATGCGGCCTGCGTCGCGTTGCGGCTGGACGCCCACGGCGAGCAGTCGACGACGTGGCTCTTTGATTGCGGCGAGGGCACGACGCGGCAAGTCATGTCCTCGCCCATCTCCCACGCGGACATCGACCGCATCTTCATCACGCACCTCCACGGCGACCACCTCTGGGGGTTACCTGGGTTCCTAGCTACTTGGTCTGATATGAAAACGAATGAGAACAAGATAAAACATATAAGGTACGGGCGGAACCAGGGGCCCCGCGAATTAACTGTATACGGTCCGGAAGGTCTCTATGATTACCTCTGTTCCACATTAACGTATTCCCAAGTGCCTCCTCGCTCAAACGCGGCCGTGAAGGTCGTCGAGATCGCTTCGTCAGAGAGCGCGAACCGTAATCCCAAACAGAAGCCCCACGGCAGTTTGGTGCATTCAGGAATTGTGGAGGAGGGTACCATTGTGGAAACGAGCACACACGTCGTGTCTTGTGCGCGGATCGTGCATAGGCCTGGGTTGGACGCCTATGGGTTTGTGGTCGAGGAGGTGGCGCTACCTCGAAAAGTTTTAGTAGAGGAAGCTCGAAGAGCGGGTTTAACACCAGGGCCGTTGTATCAGCATTTGCAGGCCGGTCAAGATGTGGTGTTGCAAGATGGCACTGTTGTTAAGGCTGACGACGTGACACAGGAGAACGTGCGGCCTCGGAAAGTTGTTATTGTAGGGGATACTTGTGATGCCTCAGCGTTAGTCCCGCTGGCGGAAAACGCGGATATTGTCGTGCACGAGGCGACGCTCGAGGACGAGCAGTGGATTCTGGCCCGAAGACATGGGCATAGCACAGCGGGCGGCGCGGGGCGCTTCGCCGCGAAAGCCAAGGCGAAAGCTTTGATTTTGACGCACATGTCGTCGCGGCACCACTCCGTGAAGCACCTTGAGAGATTAAGGGAGCAGGCTCGGAAGAGTTTCGGGCGGCAAGAAGTCGTGTTAGGGAGGGACTTCATGGCCGTGCCCGTGCCTCGAGGGGGGTTTACAACTTAGTTAGAACTATTGCCGAGGCCCCGCCCCCGCCGTTGCAGATCGACGCGACGCCCACAGCCTCAAGTTGCATCGCCAAACTCCCGACGATGCGCGCGCCGCTCATGCCGATGGGGTGGCCCAAGGACACGGCGCCGCCTCTCTGGTTGACCTTGTCGACGTCCACATTTAGGATCTGGGCGTTCGCCAGGGCCACGACGGCAAAGGCCTCGTTCACCTCATGGATCGAAACGTCGCTCATGTCGAGTTCGGCGTGTGCTAAAGCAGCGGGCACGGCTAAGGACGGCGCGATCGTGAAGTCGATCGGTGTTCTTTGCGCGTCCCCGAAACCTTGGATCGCACAGAGCGGCTCCAAGTTTCGTTTTTCGCACTCTTCGAGCGACATCACAACCAACGAAGCCGCGCCGTCGTTGAGCTTGGACGCGTTGGCAGCTGTCACCGTGCCGTCCTTGAGGAAGGCCGGTCGTAACGAACGCAATCTACTTGTATCTTTTGAGGGTTCCTCGTCCTCGTCCACAGTGATGGTCTTCTTCCTCTGTTTCACTTCGACCGGCTCGATCTCTTGGGCATGAAAGCTCTTGGCCGCGCGACTCCGTTCGTACGAAAGCTCCGCGTAGGCGTCCTGGTCGTCCCTCGAGATGCCATGGTCCGCGGCGCACTTCTCGGCACAGCTGCCCATGTGCTGGTCGCCGTAGGGGTCCCAGAGCCCGTCAAAGATGACGCCGTCGACCAATTTGCCATCACCTAACCGCAATCCAGATCTTAGGTGCGCGTAGTGCGGCACGTTGGACATCGACTCCATCCCACCACAGACCACAACATCTCGCAGTCCCAGCGCGATCTGCGTCGCCGCCACCATGATACTTTTCATGCCGCTCGCGCAGACCTTGTTTATTGTGGTTGATGGTATATCTTCCCCCAATCCCGCAAAGATGGCGGCTTGGGTCGCTGGAGCTTGGCCGACGCCGGCACTCACGACGTTGCCCATGAGGACTTCTTCTACATCTTTGCCCGTGATGCCGGCGCGCGCGCAGGCGCCTTTGATCGCGATGGCGCCGAGCTCCGGCGCCTTCAATGACGCTAATGCTCCGTTGAAAGCGCCGATCGGGGTCCTTGCATAGCTAGCTATCACGGGCGTGCGCTTGCCGAGCTTGAGGAGGCCGCGCTGCGCCATACTTTGCTATTTCGGACTGATGACAGTCGTTGTCGTCTACTCGGTCACTGCTAGCCTCTCTATAGGGCTTTTTTGGGCGTGCACATCGTTAGCTAGCATACAGTAAGACACTAGCCTTTCTCGCCTCGTGAGGCTTTTTGGCATCGTAGGGCTGCCCCCGTGCGATTTGACCACATACGAGATGATCCTCACGCAGTGCGCCGTCTGCGCCACCGACCTTGGCTTATCCTTGGGCAAGAAATGCGGCCGCTGCAGCACACGCTACTGTGGGGCAGCCTGCCAGGTGCAGCACTGGAAAGAGGGCGGCCACGACACGCTCTGTAAGAAGATTAAAAAGGCTGGTGGCGCAGAGCAATACAATGCAAATGAGAAGTACACGGAGGCAGTATCGGTCGCGGTCGAGAAATGCGCGGAGGACACGAAGGGCCAGACGTGCTACATCTGCACGCAGGCCCTCCACTGGAAGACGAAGGAGGGCCTCGTACGTGGGTGCTCGTGCCGCGGGACGGCGGGCTTCGCGCATGTTTCGTGCTTGGCGGAGCAGGCGAAGATTTTGGTCGCGGAGGCCGAGGAGAATAATTTGGGTAACAAGGTGCTGGATGAGAGGTTAAACCGGTGGTACTCGTGCAGCTTATGCGAGCAGCACTACCACGGCCTCGTGCGGTGCGCGCTCGGGTGGGCGTGCTGGAAGACGTACGTGGGGCGGCCGGAGACGGACCAGGTTCGGGGCATGGCGATGAACCTGCTTGGACTCGGTTTATCCGAAGCAGGACACAACGAGGATGCGTTGTCCGTCCAACAGGCCGATTTGGCTACGCTGCGGCGCATTGGCGCAACAGAACCAAGCCTACTTGACGTTCAATGCAATCTTGCGATAACGTATGAAGCGCTCGGACGGTTCGAAGCTGCCCTACGGTTGAAGCAAGACGTATACTCCGGGCGTTTGAGGCTCAACGGCGAAGAACATAGACTAACCTTCCTACCAGCCAACAATTACGCAGCGTCCCTTCAGGGTCTGTCGCGCTTCGAGGAAGCCAAGACATTGCTGCGCCGAACGTTGCCCGCGGCGCAACGCGTTCTCGGTATGAGCCATGAAATCACGCTCAGGGTGAGACTGACTTACGCGCGGGCGCTCTACAAAGACCCCGCCGCCACGCTCGACGAGCTCCGCGAGTCCGTGACGACGTTTGAGGACGTGGGACGGATCGCGCGGCGCGTTTTGGGAAGTTCTCACCCGGTCGTAGTGAACATTGAGCAGAATCTAGGATGCGCGCGAGAAACGCTCCGCGCCCGCGAAGAATTTCCCTCCCTACGCGAGGCCATGGCGCTGCCGGAGAAATAAAAAGAAACTAAGGTACTGGCATTACCCCTCTGCGCCGCCGGCCACTACCCGACCCGCTCCGGCGCCGCGCGCTTGTAGATGGCCGCCGTCGTCAGCCGCGCCGTGCGCCGCCGCTTCCACGCGCGGACGTCGCGCGCGGCGCGGTAGCCGGCGTCGAAGAGCTCCTGCTCCTCGCGCGCCAGCGTCTCGCGCAGCTCCGACACGTCCCTATCTAAAGACACCTGGGACCAGTCGAACGCCTTCTCGAAGCGGTCGCCGGAAATCGCGGCCCGGAGCTCCTTGCGGAGCGAGTCCTCGCCGGTAGCGTCCGCGAGCTTGTGCCCGACCGTGTAGTAGTACGGCGCTATACCTGAGCACAAATCAATCAGTGAGTCGGATGCCCGAGACGCGCCGCGACAATTTGATTTATGCACGGCGCTGTACTGTGAAGGTCGACGACGGTCGGGCCGGCCTCGAGGTCCGCTCTTACGGAAGGACCATACCGGTTCGGCAGGGAGATGCGCACCATGTTCTTCTTCGCGAGAACCAAAGCGAGCCAGAGCGCTAGTTTCAATTGCGCACCTTTGGCGAGGTCGCCGGCCTTGTCGTCTCCCAGCAGGTGGCCCATGCCCTCGCCGTCGATGAGTAAAGTGCAGTCTACCAGTTCCTCGTCGGCGAGGAGCGCGTGGACGCTGTCGTCGGCCATCGTCCGCTCGGCGCAGCGCAAAAAGACGACTGCAGCGCTTTGGTGGGCTCAAACTCGACGCAGCGTTATCGCGGTGCGCTGAGTTTGAAACCCCAGCTAGCCGGTAGATAGATGTGACTGCTGAACGTGTTGCGCGCGTGCCTAAGTGCCGCTGCCGCGCTTACGAGCCAAAACTGCGGCCAAGCGAGCTAGCGCGTGTAACACACTAGAGCTCGGCCCACGGGCGCGGCGGGTGGCTTTGCTGCTCGCGCTATAGCTCCTTTGTTTGAGCGCAAGGGCACATACGTTGCCGCTGAAACGCCGCCAACAGCGCTGGGCCAAATTCCGCGCGCGCCGCCGCCGCCAGCTCAAAAGCCTCAAAGGAGGTCGGAGCGACTCGCGAGACAAACCAAATGGCCGCCGCCGCCGTCGAATCCACCATGGACACGTCCGACGGCGACGCCGCGGCGACGTCCGGCCTCACGTCCTACTTCACATCTAAAATCGGCGGCCTCGAGCGCGACGTCCGGGAGAAGACGTTAAATTTACAAAGACTCACGGCCCAGCGAAATTCCTTGAACGCGCGCGTCCGCGCTTTGCGGGAGGAGCTCCACGAGTTGCAAGAACCCGGCTCCTACGTCGGCGAGGTCGTGAAAGCCATGAGCCAGACCAAAATTCTCGTGAAAGTCAATCCCGAGGGGAAGTATGTGGTGGATCTGGGCAAGGGCATCGATATAAATGACGTGAAGCCCAATATCCGGGTGGCCCTGCGGAACGACTCTTATGAGTTACATAAGATACTACCGACAAAAGTGGACCCGCTCGTGTCACTGATGAAGGTCGAGAAAGTACCCGATTCGACGTACGACATGGTCGGCGGCCTGGAGAAGCAGATTCGGGAGATCAAGGAGGTCATCGAGTTGCCGATCAAGCATCCTGAGCTCTTTGATGCCCTGGGCGTGAGTCAACCGAAGGGCGTTTTGTTATATGGCCCGCCGGGCACGGGCAAGACACTGCTCGCGCGAGCCGTGGCGCACCATACTGATTGTACTTTTGTACGAGTATCAGGCGCAGAATTAGTACAAAAATACATCGGGGAAGGGTCGCGCATGGTCCGCGAGTTGTTTGTGATGGCGCGGGAGGCGGCGCCGTCCATCATCTTCATGGACGAGGTCGATTCCATTGGCTCGTCTAGAGGCGAAGGGGGGGAAGGCGGCGATTCGGAAGTTGGGAGGACGATGCTCGAGCTCCTGAATCAGCTTGATGGGTTCGAGCCGACCCAGAACATCAAGGTCATCATGGCCACGAACCGGATTGACATTCTAGATAGCGCACTATTGAGACCGGGCCGCATCGACCGCAAGATCGAGTTCCCGAACCCGACGGCCGCGTCGCGCGTCGACATCATGTCGATTCATAGTAGGAAGATGAATTTATTGAGGGGCATCGACCTGCACAAGATCGCCGAGAAGATGACGGACGCCTCGGGCGCGGAGTGCAAGGGCGTCTGTTCGGAAGCCGGGATGTTCGCGTTGCGCGAGCGCCGCATCCACGTGACGCAGGAGGACTTCGAGATGGCGGTCGCCAAGGTCATGAAGAAGGACGTCGACTCGAACCTGGCGATCAAGAAGCTGTGGAAGTAGGAGTCCTCGCTTAACACAACTATACTTACTGGTTCGTCTCGCGCCGTCGTAAAGCCGAGACAGCTGTTTGGACCCAGGGCAGCCGGAACACGACCGGGTCCGCAACGAGCTTCCGCGTCTCGATGAGGCTGAAGGACGGCAGCTGCGCGCCGCCGGACGGGAACTGGGGCGGCGGCTCGTTCTTTTTCGCGGCGTCCGCATAAATGCTTCGCCCGTGGTACGCCGTGTACGTGTCGTAGGCCGTCTTCTCCATCGCGAGCGTGCAGAAGGGGATGCCTAGCAAGCCGAGCGGGCCGACGCGCTTGTAGATCGTGCTCACAAGATAAACAAGGTCGCGGTTGTAGCGGTTCGGCAGCATGGGGGCCACACCAAAAATGACGCCGAAGGCCAAGTAGAGCGGGAGCTTCGGGATGTCGACTTCTGTCAGCCGCTCGGGCTCGGGATTCGCCATTGCCGCGGCGTTTTGCTGCGCTATGATCTCTGTGATCTAGCTCTCCGAGTGCTCGCGTCGACAGGCCTTCGGATTGCAGCAGCAGTGCACCAGGGCCCGGTTACGAGAGTCTGCCGAAATTCCCTAGCTTCTGGAGTGCAGAGGTAGCGCGTGTGTGGGAGGAAAAAGTCGTCTCACGTAGGCACAAACGAGTCGAAACCCGCACGGTAACCACACACAGCCGAGGCATACCTCCAGAGCAGCGAGGACTCGCAAACGACCACGGACGCGCACCTTTGCACTCGCGACGGCGGCCGCCGAGCTACCCTAGTAGGTTGCATAACGCCTGGACGGCCTCCTCGCGCTCAACGCGGCCGGCTGTGCACGCCAGGTTCGACCCTTGGTCGTGCTTGCAAGGGTGCGGAAGGGCGGCGGACGCCAAACGGTTGCACGCTGCGCAGCTTTCAGCGGCAACGAAGGGCTGCCCAGACCCAGCGGCACTCTCTAGGGGCAGCCCCCGCAGCGCCGCGCGCGCCGGTCCCGCAGCAGTAGTTACTAGGAACGGCCCGCCGCCGGCGGCGCGGCGGCCACTCGCAACACCATGAACATCGAACCCATGCCCGCGGAGACGGTCCGCGCGGCCGAGAGGTCGTGCAAAGGAGCGGACGGCAAGGCGTTGTGCGACGCGGCGAACTCCTTACTGCAGTGCAAGGATACACCTGTGCAAGCGGGTGTGGAGACGGTCAACGGCGCGCCGGTCCTGAACCGGATCCTGAAAAAATTGCAAGAGGACCCGTACCGCTGTCTGGGCGTCGCGAAGACGTGTGATTCGTCAGAAGTTAAAAAAGCTTATAGGAAGCTCGCCTTGCAGTACCATCCCGATAAAAATGCGGATCGGACGACCGCCTTGTTCACGGAGATCCAGCGGGCCTATACTCTGTTGAGCGACGACAAGAAACGGAAATCTTATGACCTGCGACGAGCACGGAAGGAGGCGCAGAACGAGAAACTGCGGAAGCGCAAGGCCGACGAGGAAAAGCTCAAAAGGGAGGGGAGTCCGTCCATGGGCATGCGCCGGCCACCCTCGACCAATTCGTTCCACATGCCGCCCCAAACGGAAGAGGAGAAGACGCAGCGCGACTTCAATCGGAAATTCTATTCCGAGTATAAACAGCACATGAAGCCGGCGCCGTCCACTGGGGCTGGCACGTCGCGGCCACCACCTCCGTCGGGAGCGCCTCCCTCAGAGGGTGTATCAGCGCACGCTAGGGGTTCTGCTGGGGCTTCGACGTCGAAGAATGGAGCGGCGCCGCCACCGCCAAAACCAACCCATCTAAGGGTGGCGAACAAGACTGATTCTACAGTTACGCTCGAGTGGCGCGCGGGCGAGCTGCGGGGCGCCGCCGTCTCCAAGGCCTACGAATTGCAGTGGCGCAAGCGCCAGGGCAAGGACCAGGGCTGGCAGTCCGCGTCTCAACTCATACTGCATACTACCTGTCGGAAACGAAACCTGGACAAACAGACTCGATACGAGTTCCGGGTGCGTGCTGCCAGTGTGGCAGGATGGTCGCCCCACTCCGACGTGTGTGATGTTACGACGTTGAACGGGCCCGGCGCACCTGCACCTAAACCACCATCAGACTTACCGAGCATAAACCCCACGGACTGGACTTGTAGCGTGTGCAAGCGGCCGAACCCCGCGAGACAGTCGAAGTGCGGGGTCTGCGGCACGAAGAAGGGGTATGATGGGCCTTCTTCGCAGAAACAACCATCACCACTACGAGGGGATGATGAAAGTGTCAGTTCAAAAGCCTCGAGAGCATCACGAGCAAGGTCGAAGAAGGGCGCTACTTCGGATGACGACGACGACTGGGGTCTAGGGGACGGCGAAGAGACGTGGGCCTTCACGGACAAGGACGTGCCTGCTCGTAAAGTGCCAAATAACCCGGTGTTTGACTACGGCGATCGGCCACCGAGGCAACCCTTGCCGAACAAGCCGAAGCCTACTTATTGGCTCAATACGGCGGCGACATGTCTGCACAATGTGAGACAAGAACCGGTCAAGGGTTCAGCGATTGTTGGGCACTTGGTGCAAGATACGGAGATTGAGGTGATAGCCGAAGCCGGGAACTGGATCAAGTGTAGGTATCACCGAGCGTACAAGCCTGCCCAAGGGCAACCGCAACCGCCGAAGCCGCCGAACCGCGAGGGCTGGTGTTTAAGGTGGGGAGACGAAGGGACGCAGTACGTCGTCGACGACGGCCACGCGTACCCGAAGCAACCCGACGCGCCGGACGAGGAGGAGGTCATCTACGAGCTGCGGGATGACGACGACCGGTTGTACTACTTCAACAGCTATACCGGTGTCAGCATGTGGGAACCGCTTGAGTGGACGGATAGCGTCGATCCCGCGTCGGGTGCGGTGTATTATACTCACTCTGTAACAGGAGAAACGCAGTGGGAGCGGCCGTTTGACTTCGTGCCGATTGTGCGGGAGGAATTGTATACGACGCCGCAAGCCCGCTTCATCAAGTCGATCTTGAGTCCCAAAAGAAGTCATGCCAATATGAACCATGTGATGTCTGGTGGGGTCTCTCTGCCGAACGTCGGGCCGCCGCGCGCGGCCTAACTTATCTACTAGTAGTATTCTCGAGCCCCGGCGGACTTATGAAGGACGACGCCCCCCAGGGGATAGATAGGAACCTACCAGTTCGCCGTGCCCTCGAACTGGTTCGAGTTCTCCGGCGTGATGCCCTTCGTGGCGAGGAGCTTGCCCAGCGGCGAGTCGACCTTGATCTTGCCCGACATGAACGGGTAGAAGCGGCCCGGCGGGCCCGGGTTCTTCGTGAGCTCCTCCTTGACGATCTCCTCGATCACTTCTCTCCCGTGGGCGATGGAGTAGACCATCTCGGCCTTGGCCGCCGGCACCACCACCACACCGTCCTGGTCGCCCACAATGCAGTCGCCGGGCCGCACGGCGACGCCCCCACAATTAATAACACCGTTGCACTCCCAGGGCTGCATCACCGCGGGACCCTGTCTAGGAGTCGTGGAATACGAGAAGCAGGGGAAGCCGTAACTGATGATCTCGTCCGTGTCTCTTACAGAACCGTCGGTGACGAGGCCGCCCAGACCTAACTGCTTCAGTCTGAGGAATTTGATGTCACCACCAACGCTCTCCCAGGGGCCCACGCTCGACATCACTAACACCTCCTTCGGGCCGCAGAGCTCGAAGGCCTCGTACTCCGGGGACTCTCCCCCGGGAGGCTTGTCGGCCTGGATGTCCGGCCGCTGGGGCACAAAGTTCAGCGTGACGGCGCGGCCGGCGCACTTCTGGCCCGGGGCCAACGAGCGGGCGCCCTCGATGTGCGCACCGGGCCAGCCCATGACCCACAAGCCGTCGATCAAGGCTTGGGTGGAGAGCGAGCCGAGCTTCTCGATCATCTCGTCGCTGACCGACCCGCCGCTCGCCGGGCCCGTGGCGAGCGTGCGGCGCGTCAACCCGCCGAACGCCGCGGGCAGTCTCGTCGAGGCCAAGCGCAGCATGATTGTAGTTCGCTGCTAGCTTGTGCTTTTTGTTGCTGTCGTGCGATGCGTTGCTGCTTGCGCTGCTAGCAGTGTTGGCACAGCCCGATTGACGATTGTGCGGTGCACAATCCCGATTGACGGCTGCCGTGGATGTGTTTTTACGGAGCGTATCGCGCTTTTGTGAGAGGATGATGCATCGCAGAGGTGTCGCGTATTAGCGCGAGTAACGTAGCACGCGTGGAACAGTACTCCGGAGCCATCGCAGACGCCGCCAGTGTGCCGAGAAAACCGCAAATTCGCACGTTGGCCGCGCGGCGCTCCGCCCACTAGTCCTAGCACCGCAAGCGAAGCTCACGCCATCAAATTATTACCTCAGACCCCGTAGTGCCCCGGCGCGCCACCGCCCCCCGGCGTGTAGTCCACGACGAAGCCCGCCCCGTCGCCCGGCGTGAAGGTCGGCATGAGTCGTTGCTGGGCGTACCGCTGCAGTTGAACAAAATCCGCCGACGACTCGGCCTCGGGCAATGCTCTCGTGAGATGCGCGTCCCGCTGCGCGACCTGAGGATCCACCCCATGCTTCGCGAACGCCTTGAAGACGCAGTCGACCTTATCTGTTGCGCTATCCCAGTCTCTATAATCAATATAGACGACCTCCCAACCTGTTAGATCTAATAGCCGTCGTTTCAGTTTCGATCGACCCGTGAGCATCCAGGGCTCATTGGCAAAGTAGTGCACGGGGCCGTCGAACTCGACGGCGGTCTTCGTCGGGATCTGGGCCATGTCCAACGATAACCCTGACTCGGAGTCGTAGTGTTCCGTAGAATGGGACCACCCGATCTCATTCAACACGAACGACACCTGGTCTTGAGTACGAGAACCTAACGACTTCTCCGTGATCTTGAACGACTCCGCGAAGTCGCGGCGCCAGGCTTCCGGTAAGGGTGGGACTTCGCCCGTAATCCTAGAGTCGCGCGTCAGTCGCAACCAAGCTTGTTGTAACTGCGATTTGGCCACTTCATCCAACTGATTCGGGTCCCACGGGGGGCCTTCGAACATGAAGCACCACATGCGCCGGCACGCTTCCGGATCATCTAAACCCGCGTAGGACCAAACGACGTTGGCTAACTCCTGCGGCGCGAACACTGCGCCTAGTACTCGGGCTCGTTCGAACAACGCCTCATACAAGTCACTTCGATCAGTTTCTCCAGCAGCAGCGAAGGCCCAGGCCACATTTGAGACATCTACCGCCAGAAAGTCATCCAATATAGCTAACGCCGCATCCGCCAAAGCTTGAAACAAGTCCGGAGCATACACGGCGGCTCGCGCATACGACCAAGCTACTGTTGCTACTCTTTGAGGTGTTCTCCAGTCCATTTTTTGATTCCGCATATTTCTCGCTACTATCGGTGCACAGGCCACAAACAGATCCGTGCCCAACGGCGCGTCCGAGGCCGCAAAGGCCCAGAGCGTGTTGCTGACGTCTTGCGGGCCGAACTCTTCTACTCTACGAGTAACTTGTTTGGCTATCGACGCGAATAGAAACTCCGAACCTCGCGCCGATTGCGTCTTCGCGAAGGCGTAGGTCATATTGCTAATTTCTTGAGGTTTAAATGAATCCAGAATGGGCTCGGCGGCGCGCGCGATGTGCTCCATGAGCTGCGGGTCTCGTTTGTTAAGCTTGGCGTAGGCCCTGCGCGGGATACGCGTCGTCGATGGCGCGTCGTACGAGTATGGCGTCGCGTCGACGGCGTGCAGATCAGACACGGGGAGCGCGCCAGGCCGTGTTCGCGAGGTGCTGCGGGTTGAACTTTCGACAGCTGCGCTGGGCGCCTCGCGACAACGCCTCCAACGTCGGTCCCAACCACGGAGCGGTAGTGACGTTATTTGTAACACCTCCTCGCTTCTGCAACGTGCCCCGTCCCCCGTCATCCTCGGGCATCACGAACCCAAGCGTAGCCAAGGCCCAGGACATGTTCGCGAGGTCTTGGCTGCCTAGGTCAGTTTCCGCGCGCTGTAGGATCTCCCGAGACACGGCCTCGAAGAGGGCGTGGTGGTCTTTTCTCTGTGCGACGGCGAAGGCGTATAAGGTATTGGAGCAGTTCTGGGCCTTGAACTGCGACATGCGTCGCGTAGCCGCATCGGCGAGTAAAGCCCAGAGACCATCACTACCTTGGCCGGCCTTCGCGAAGGCCCAGGCGGTATTACTGATGTTTTGCGGGTTTTCTAAGCGGGCAGCACCTCTTCTCAGGACCTCTTCCTCGACGATGAAGAAGGTCCTCGCTCCCGTCTGATCAGAGTTCCCACCGCCGACCTTGGCCGTGGCCCAGACCGCGTTCGACAGATCCTGGGCGTTGGCTCTACCACAAACTTTCGCCAAGCGTTCCGGTAGTGCTCTGAAGAGGAAATCCGGCGCCTCGAAGTTCGAAATAACAATAGCGTAGCCCAACGATACTAAGTTTTGGGCCTCCATCTCGTCTAGTCTTCGATGAGCCTCCTGCACGATGAGCGTGAGTGCTCGGTGGTAGACGGCCTTCTCCGCGGGATGCTTCACCTCGGGACCTTCGCTCACTCGTCGCCCGATGGCCCAGGCCGTGTTCGACAAATTTTGGCAATTAAACTCGTGGAGCTTGGACGCCTGCGGGGCGCATGTCCGTTTCCGTCAAAAACGGCCTCGTCCTCAAAAAAGAAACGGGACGCCGCGAGCGCGCCGTCCGCGCGGCGATGGCCGCGATCAGGTTGGGGGAGTAGAACTCGCTCCGCGCGTAGGCCCAGATCGTATTGCTGAGGTTCTGGGCGTTGAAGCCGTCCAACGCTCGTAGGGAGCAGGCCACCGTCGCCGCGAAGCAGCGCTCGTGCCGCAGGCCCACCGTCGCGTAGGCCCAGACCTGCGTGAATCAATCATGACCTCCACGCCATCGACGCGACGCCGGCTCGACGGCGTGGCGATGTGGGTCTTACACCACTCGATTCAGACATGAGTGCACCCGACCACTGGTTGATTTCCACACAGCCGGCGGACGACGTTCGTCAGGTTCTGCGCATTAAACAGCTCCATCTTGCGCACGCACATGTCGCCCAGCAAATCGAAGAAGCGCTCGTCGGGGATCTGCAGCCGCGCGAAGGCCCACATGGCATTTGACAATTCCTATACAGTACGAATGACATCAACAAGAAAAAAAGACGTACCTGGGGCTTGAACTCGTCCGCTCTAGCTTCTATCTCTCTAGCGAAGGGCGTCAAGTCCTCCGCGGAGCCGACGCCGAGCGTCGCGAGGGCCCAGCACGTGTTCGCCAGGCCCTGCGACGTAAACGTGGATAATTTGGCGTGGGCGTGCTTCGGGAGCTGGGCGACGACCTGTATTATGTCGGGATCGCGCGCGTCGGCGGTGGCAAAGGCCCAGCCTGCGCGCGGGGAGCTAGTTACGCCATCGACGCGACTCGCCTCCGATTTCGAGCGCGTTTCGGGCGAGACTCGCGGACACTGTTACGGACTCAAATTCGAGATGTCCTGGGCGTTGAAGTGCTGCAGCCGCTGGGAGGAAGCTTGCGCGAAGGCATTGTAAGCTCGAGTGTCCTGGGGCGTCACTCTCAGCTTGGCCACGGCGTACGCCGCGTTCACGAGATGCCTCGACGACCACTGGTCCGCGTTCGATAATTGCGCCTCTGTCGAATCTAATAAACCCTTGAAGACCGGATCTAATCGACCTCGAGCCTGAAAACCCATCTTCGACAGGCGATGCAAGGCACCCGCCAGCACCACGGGGTTCGCTTTCCTCAGGTCGCCGGCCTGGCTCAGTAACCGGAGTAAGCCCTGGGGCCCCTGGCCCTTGGGCATCCTTGTAATTTCGCTGTTCAGGCGCGCGTCCTCGGGGGTCATCGGCGCCCCCACGCCGCCCTTGCTGCCGCCGCCGCCCGCGCGGAAGCCGCCACCTTTGCCCTTGCCCGCGTTGGGCGACCGCGGGTCGTAGGGGCCCTTGCCGGGCGCGTAGCCGCCGCCCCGCCCGTACGGCTGGCCGCCGCCGCGGCCGTAGCCCTTGCCGCCTCCGTCCTTGCCTCCACCGTAGTTCCCTTGGCCGTAGCCGCCCTTGCCTCCTCCATAGTTATCCCGAGGCGGGCCCCCGTAGCCCTTGCCGTGGCCGCCCTGCGGGGAGCCGTAGCCACCGCCGCCTTTGCCGTAATTGCCGCCACCGTAGGAGCCGCCACCACCGTAGGGGCCGCCCATGGCTGGCCTTGCGCGACTCGCTGCTCGTCACTGCGTGCGCGGTCGCTGCCGACTGGCTCGACCGCTCTCTGAAGCCCGCTCTGCGAAACCGCTCTCGTGGCTCAGTTCAGCAATGCAAGCGGAGGGAGTGCGCGCAAGTTGCTGCGACAATCACTTGCAACTTTTTATAATCCGCAACGTCAAGCAACCCTTCCGGGACTGCGATCCGCGCCCTCTTTTCTCCTCGGGCGAGACTACCGTTGTAGACACACTAGCACCAGTTCAGCACCGTAGATGGTAGACGTACGCTCCGCCCACTAGTCCTAGCACCGTAACATTACTTAGCAAATCTCTCAAAACAGGGCACGCGCGACGCCGATGAATCGGCGACGCGCGGTTTCCGCCCACTAGTCTAGCACCGTAACAATAGAGATTGATCAGGAATTAAGTTTACTATGTGCACATCAAGCAGGTGGGGGAAGGGGGCGTCGCCGCCGCGGGGTTAAACTACCGAGAGGCAGTCCTGCGGGGGCGGCGTCGCTGGCGGGGGAGTCGGGAGACGGGCCGTGGCACGTGGCGCCCACGGCCTAAGTCTCCTTCATGAAATCAGGGCGCGTCGATGAGCGCGACATGAAAATAAATGTCCGGCACCCGTTGCATCGCGTTCGCACGCGATGCAACGGGTGCTCAGGAGACGGGCCGTTGCAGCGGGCCCTGCAGCTGGGCGGTGGCGAGCCACCGCTCCGCGTTCTTCTTGTTCTGCCAGTACCTCAAATTCTGGCGCAGCCGCGCCAGCAGCTGCCAGTCCGGGTCGACCAAGTCGGCCACCACCGCAAAAAAGGGCAAACAAATGAACGAGAAGAAGCCGACCTGGCTCTTGGCCACGTCGATGTCCTTCTCCCGATCGCATAAGGGCGAGACGGCCACGCCCAAGTGTCGTTCCCTTTCACCGAGCGTCCAGAACTCGTTCGTGATCCGCGCCGTCCATTCCTCGTGGAGATTTCTCCGCTTGCAGGCGTGGCCGAGATCAGCAAACTTCAGCGCCACGGCCGCTACTAAATCTCTTCCACATTTTTCAGGATCTAGCAACGGCGAGGTCCACGTCTGCTCCTTCGACGAATTGACCCGGTTCGAGTGCGACCGCGAGCCCTCGACCAGGGCCATCTCATTTAATCGTTCCACATAAGCCATGTGCCGTCCCAGGTCCGTCGCCAGGATGGCCTTGACCATCGTCCGCCTCGCTCGTGCGTAGCCCGCGTGATCCAACGGCGCCAAGATATTGAGCCGGGCATCGCGCATGAGCGCGAAGGCCGCCCGCACGTGAAACTTCTCGAGCACGCCGGAGTCGCCGAAAGCTTTATGTCGTTTCGTGGCGGCCTTGACCTCGTGGGGATTGGTGGTGCCGGGGTGCGCGAAGTCGTGCACGACGCCCGCCAATATAACAGCTAGACAAGCCACGGGATCGGAAAACCGCGTCTCCATCAACCCGTGCTCCGTCAAAAATAAGTGGACGCCAACACTTACATCGGCCGCGTGCTGCGAGTTGTGGTACGGGTTTCCGCCGTAGTTCGCCTCGACGGCCGCGAAGAAGTTTTGTACTACCTTGGTATCTAGTGAACATCGCTCAATGAGGGAGTGCCTTTGTAACAAACGCGCCCCGACGACCGCCAACGAGTGGCCATTTGTCTGCTCATGGAGCTTAATCACGTCGTACTCCCAGCTGTCCACGTCAAACTCGACGGACTCCGCAATCACGGAACCGGGCTTAAACAAAGGCATCGCCGCGTCGCTCGCGTCGTCTTCCGCGTCGGCGTCGAACTTCTCGACGTACTTGCGTTCCCGCAGCGCGGCGAGCCACGCCTCCGTCACTCGCACCTGCACGTCGACGTCATCGAGTTCCTCGACATCATCTAGTTCCTCGGGCAGGTCCGTCAGCGAGCCGCGCGACCGCCGCGCCAAGCTGCTGCCCCTTGCGCGGAAGCCGCGCGGCGCGCCCCTTGCGAGGAGGTACGCCGCCACGTGCTCCTGGCCCTCGCGCTCCGCATCGTCCAACGGCGTGCCCTTCCACCGATCTGAGACATCTAAAGCAGCCCCGAGCTCCTCAACCAGCAATTTGACGACGTCGAGCCGCCCGGCACAGGCCGCTAGGTGTAAGGCACATCTCCCGTCGTAGTCCGCCTGGTTGCTGCCCTTTTGCTTTTGTTGAGCTAACCGCCTCAATCTACTCGTGTCGCCCTTGACGGCCGCGTCACATAAGTCAGCGCCCTCGTCCCACTCGCCCGGCTGCGACACGCCCCGCACCGCGCCGCGCCCCTCCAGGAACTCCTTGACCTCCGCATGCGAATGGCGGACGGCGTCGTCGAGCGGCGTGCCGCCCCACCTATCAACGACGTTGGTCGCGGCGCCGAGCTCGTCCACCAGACACGCGACGACGTCCAATCTACCATTCGACGCCGCGAGGTGTAAACAGGTCCTCCCATCAAAATTTCCCTCATCAACGCCCGACGGAGACGCCCGCCGCAGCGCCTCGAGGTCGCCCGCGGCGGCCGCCGCGATGAGGTCCCCGCCTGTTACTGAAGCCCGCGCCGCCGGCTGGACCGGCTCCTCCGTGCGCAGCGTCGACCGCAGCCAGCCGTCCACGCGCTCGTCGCGGCTCGGCGGCAGTTCGCGCGACCCTGGATGGGGGGAGATGATGTGCGACTCGCTCGACGCGCAGCTGCCATCCAGCGACTCGAAGCTCGCCTTGTCGTAGGACACGACGGACGCGTTCTTGTTCCCATTCGATTTGGGTTTCGAGCCGTGGGCCCGCGCCGCCATTTCGCCGCTTATTCAGCTGGGAGTAGCGAAAAAAGGCCAAGGCCGGCCCGGCGCGCGCGCGGCGGCTTTCGGGTTGCCGGCGCCGTCGCCGGCCGGTGCGCAGGGCAGCCCGGCTCCTATCAAATCGCTCCGCCCCCGCCGCGGGCTCGCCTGACGAAGGTGCACCCTGAAGAGCAGCAGTTGTTTAGCGAGTCACGTGATGAGGGGGAAAGGCCGTGCACGCCTCGCGGGGCCCCGCGCGGCCCGGAGAGATCTCTGCGGCGGCCCCCGCCGTCCCCGTCTTTTTTTGGTCTCGCGCCGCGCCGACGCCCGCGCCGCGCCGTATACAAGTGATATATACAAAGAACGTTTAGAAAACCAAGGAAAAACCAAGCAAGCGAAGAAAAGAAGTCAGGGCGCGACGGCGAAGGACGTCCGCGCCCAGTCCTTCGGAGGCACGCCCTCGGCCAGCGGCGGCGTCACCTTGCGCGGCGGGAACGGCCCGGTCGGCGCCGGGCGGGCCCCGGCCGGCGCCGGCGCCCTGGCCGCCACCGGCGCCGCGAACGACGCGCGGAGCGTCCGCCCGGCGCTCCGCGGCCGTCGCTTCGCCGGCTTGGCGTCGCTAGGCTTGCCGTTTGCCTGGTCGAAGGTCAGACTCAGCAGCGACGAGTCCTCGGGGCCGCCCCGCATGAGCTCGAAATATGGCTCCTCGCAGAGCTCCGCTACGGTGCTTCGACGTTCGGGCACGACCTCCAGCAACCCATTCAACAACGCTTGGACGGGCGGCGCGGCCGGCGGCCGGTCCGCCGGACCGCACCTGACACGCACGAGGGCCTCCGCGAGGGCCGCCGCGAAGCTATCCACCTGGAGGAAGCTCTCGTAGGCCGGGTACCACACGGCTCCAAAAAAGTCGTGGCCAAAGATCAACTCCACCATGACCGCGCCCAAGCTGAACAAGTCCGCCCGGGCGCCGTCGTAGGCCGGTCGCTGCAACAGCTCGGGCGCGAAGAAGCCCGGACTTCCAACAAAGTCCGACAGGAGCCCCCCGTCCTCGGGAATGTCCGCACACAGCCCAAAGTCGCATAATTTAACAATGCCGGCGTCGGGGTTCTGGTGCCAAGTTTGCGGGTCGCCACACACTAATATATTCTCGGGCTTGATATCCCTATGCGCGATCTTCGCGTTGTGGCAATGTCTCAAAGCTAAAACTAGAACCCTCGTGGCGCTCTTCACGACGGTCTCCGGGCAGCCGCCCGGGTAGTCGTCGATGAGCGCGTATAAATCCCTATCTCCTTTCTCCAAAACGAGATAGATATGAGACGGCGTCTGCATCACGTCGAACAACCGACAGATCCCCGCGTGGTTCGCCGCGCGCATGGCCTTGACCTCGCGGTTCACGCGGCCGATGTTTCGAATCGACTTGACGATCGATGACGGCCGCAGGACCTTCGCCTTCCCAATCACCTTGAGCGCGTACGTCTCGGGCGCCGCGCCCGCGCGGCACTCGACGACCGTCGAGAACTCGCCGTCGCCCAGCCGCCTCAGCACCTCGTACGGCCCCACGCGCGTCTCCGTCAGCAAGGAATCAGCGGGTACGCAGGGCGGAAGCGCGTCCTGCTGGGCCCAGGTCGAGCTGAGGTCCGTGTGGCTGCCAGTGCCCTGGAGGTACTTGGGCAGGAGCTTCCTGAGGGCCGACGACATGGCCGGTTCACGCGATCCTGGCCATTATCAAGACAGCGGCTGCCCAATCCAGCCAGATGCAAAGACAATTACCAAGGGGCAAACCTTGTCACCTGACAAAACAGGCGGTGGGCTCGCTGCGCAGTGCTCGCCAGGCCTCGCTATAGGAGTGCTGGTAATTGCGGCAGTCGTCTTGGTCCGGGTTGTGCTTTAACACGCGGGTTTTTTTGGAGGAGCTACAGAAGCGGATACATTGGTCTCTAGTCCGGTGGGCCCGCTCGGAGACCTCTCCGAGACGCGCGGGGAGGCCTGCGACGCGTCGCAAATTCTAAGTGATCGAGCCGAAAATCACAAGAGAGTGCTCTTCACTAAGCTCGTGGACGCGTAGGACACCCGCGTCGCTGCCCCGGCCCGCGCCCGCGAGCGCGCGAGCGAGCGCCCACCGACGCAGGCACCGCCGACCAGGGCTTGCCCAGTAGATTGAGCACTGGGCACCCCTGCACCAGAAACACACGAAACACGAAAGTCCCCGGCCTCCGCGACCCCATATGGACGCCGCGGCCCACCCCACAAAGCCTTCTACGCCGCCGTACGGTAGCCCGGGCGCCCGCCAGTGCATCAGTCAATCATGTCGCGCGCGGCGCTTCGACGGCCGCGCGGCTGTGATGGTCGCCTCCGCGCCATCGACGCGCCGTCTGGCACCCACTCGTGAACCGGTCGACGCGCACGCAGGCGGCCGCGTCAAGAAGCGCCCGCGCCTCGGCGTGACGCGGCCCACGACGGCGTTGCCCTTCGCCGCGTCGTCGCTCCTCGCCGCGCGCCGCCGCCCGCCCGCGGCTGCGGCCGCGCCGCGCGTCCGCCGCGAGCGCTGGGCGTGCACCGCCTGCACCTTCGCGAACGGCGCCGCGCGCACGCGGTGCGAGATGTGCGGCACCGCGCGGGCGCGGAGAACGGCACCTTTCATGGTGCCCGCGGAGCCGCCGGCCGAGCCCGAGCTCCTCGACGACCAGTGCCTCGTGTGCAACCGGTCGACGCAGGGAACTAGTGAGGTGCTGCTCTGCGACGGCTGCGACGGCGAGGTGCACCTGCGCTGCGCGGGCTTGGAACGTGTCCCGGAGGGCGACTGGCTCTGCGCCGCCTGCGCGCCCGAGACGAGCGAGGAGGAGTCCGTTCCAGAGAGCGCGCCGAGCGTCCCGGAGCACGAGCTCTTCGAGGCGCCGCGGCCGGATGTGGGGGATCGCGTCGACCTCGTCGGGGGCGGCGAGGGCGTCATCGTGCGCGTGACGCGGCCCGGCTCGTGGTACGACGTCCGCGTCGGCGCTGTCAATGGTACGGGGCAGACGGGCGAGGTCATCAAGGTGCGCCGCACGCACGGCGAGTTCCGCGCGTTCCGCGGCGGCCGGGCCGCGACCGTCGCTCGTCCGAGCGCCACGACGGCGCCATCGAGCGGACGATCATTCCGCTGGTGGAGGAGGACGACGACGTGCCAGACGTGTCGCCGGCGCCCGTCGCCGCGCCTGCAGACGCTCCGCCGCCGCCGGTGTCGCCAGCCGCCGCGCCCGCGCCGGCGCCCGCCGCTGTCGAGGCGCCGTCGGCTTCCCGCCCGAAGGACATCTCGGCGTTCCTGGCGGCGCTGGAGCTCCCGCAGTACGCCGGCGGGTTCGTGGCGAACGGCGTCGACTTCCTGGCGATCCCGGCGCTCGAGCGGGACGACTGGGTCGAGCTGGGCGTCCCAATCGGCCACCGCGCGCGCATCATCAAGGAACATAAGTCGCTCCACCCCGAGATGTGGTGAGTAAGACATGCAATTACACAACAGAAACATCACGCGAAGCAGAGAGCTCCGTCGCGGCCTCGCGGCTCCCGCAGAGCCACTCGCCCATCACCCTCCTCGCTCGCTCGCGTTGTGACGCGTAGCGGTCGACGTCGACGCCGCGCGCCGCGCCGACGGCGCGCAGCATGCCCGCGACATACACGGCATGGCCCGCGGCCGCGCGTGCGCCAACGACGGCCGTGGGCGAACCGAAGCTCAGCATCTGCTCCAAAAACACGATGGGATTCGGGTCCGGCGGGCAGGGCGCGTAGCCGCCGTGGAGCTGGAACTTGAGGAGAAACGCGCCTCCGACGCACGCGAGTTCCTCCTGCGGAAGGTCGTCGTAGAGTTCGTACGTGCCATCCGCATAGGCGCCGAGCGCCCCGATCGGCGCGAGGATGAACGGCGCGTCGAAGGCCCGGAAGAGCGCCTGGGTCCTTTTCAGCGATCCGTAGCTATGAACCGCCACGAGGGCCGTGGCCGCGACGAAGGCGAGGCGCCTCATTACAAGAACTGATAAAACGAGGCGCCAGCTTGTGCAAGCTCCGAAGAGCGAGACGTAGCACTCCAGCACCTGGTACGCGAGCCAGACGAGGGTCCAGCGCCGCGCGTCCGTCGCGTGGGCCATGGGCCCCATCGCAAGCAGGTTGCACGAGCTGCCCGACGCGAGCATGACGGCCCAGTTCGAGATCACTCTTTGAGGGTCGCCGCCCATGCATATCCGCGCCGCCGCGTCCGCCGCCACGACGGCGCCCAGCACTAGCGTGAAGGCCAAATGCGGCGCAGCCCCTTTGATGTAGAGGCCGGCGCCAGACCGTTGCGCCGCCAGACCCAGCAGGCCCAGCGCGCACGCGGCGAGCTCGACGTACACGGAGCCGTCGTCCCATGGGCTGTTGAGCGCCACGACACCCACCATCACACATACGATCAATGCGTCCGCCGCGACGGCGCTTCTTCCCAGTAGAAAGGCCCGGTGGTAGTCGGCGTCCACGAGAGAGGTGCGCTCCATTTTAAGGCTGCCCGGGCTGCCCAGTCCGATGGAGCGTCGAGTCGTGAACCCGGGCGCCCAAGACCCGAGCCACAATCTGTGTGGCAGGCCAGGCCGCGAATGCCTCAAAATTCGATTAATGCGGCAGCTAGCTGCGCCCAAAGCCAAGCTTGCTTTGTTCGCTAGTGTCTACACGACGCTAGCTAGCTGAAGCCGGCCCTCCGCGCAGAGCTCTTGTAAAACCTCTCAGGCTGGTGCAAAAGAGCGCAGTAACCGCAGTGACCCCAAAACCTCGCACCTTACCGCCACGACCGTTGCGCAAGTGCTAGCACAACCACAATGCGAGCCCTCCGCAGCCTCCTAGCGCTGGGCGCGAAGGGCGCCCTCGGCCTCGCCACAAAGCCCTCGACGCCGGCCGCCGCACAATTAAGACTCGCGTCGGAGATCCAGATGGAACGCTTGGGCGGCATTTTTGGAGCGACGGCCGCGAACGGTGACACGGTCTGCCTCTCGGGCGACCTCGGCGCGGGCAAGACCGTCTTCTCGCGCGGCTTTTTGAGAAGTGCGAGCGGCGATGCGCGCATGCGCGTCACGTCGCCGACCTATTTGCTGGACAACGCCTACGACGGCCGGGACGGCCTGCCGGGCGACCTCGTCGTGCACCACATGGATCTCTATAGGCTCGCGGGCGACGTGGGCGACGCGTACGTGCTGGATCTGGATCGGACGCTCGCGGAGTGTTGTTGTTTGGTCGAGTGGCCGGACCGGCTGGAGAAGGAACCCACGGCTGCTTTGGGGGTCGAGATCCGCTTGGACGGCGCATGTCGGCGCGTGACGGTCGACGCTTCTGCTTTGGATGGCGACCACCCGTGGCGCGCGGCGACGGAGGAGCTGCTGCGCGGGGGCGAGGCGTTGTTGGGTGAGGAGGACGATGAGGAGTGACGGCGTCCGCTCCTCCGCCTCGATGGCGTTGTTGAGGCTCCTCGTTTTGTAATGATGTCTGTGTGATCTTCGGCAGTCTTTGCTTTTTCCCACGGGGAGCGAGGATCTCTTTTCTCACGGGTTTTTCCGAGTCCGGAGCGATTTTTTTCATCCCGCAAGTACGCAACTGTACAAGTTATTAGCGAATAAGCTAGCTGTTACCTCACACTCAGTGGCGAGGCCACCAATTTCCATCGCTACGGGCCGCTGCAGTATCACCCAAGACCATCCCATCGGCCACTCTTTGCTGTGCCGTCGCTTCGTAGTCTATTACTGATTGCAGTGCATACGGACAACCTTATGATGCTCCAGCTCCTGCCACTCGTAGCGCTGCTGCGCACCGCAACCGCAGCCGTGCCCGCCGACGAGGTCGACGGGCCGTCGCTCCCAGGCTACAAGCGCGCGTTCCCACAAGACACGCGCCACTACTCGGGCTACATCCGCACCTATTATCCGGGCCGCAGCGTGAAGGTCTACACGCATTATCACTTAGCGCTTCACGAGGATCCCACAGCTCCTGTCCTGCAATGGCAGCAGGGTGGTCCCGGTGGGAGCTCGCTCCTCGGCCTTTTCACGGAGAATGGACCACTCACGCTCAACGACGCCAGCTGGAAAAACGACGGGCTAGAGGTCTTCGACAACCCTCACACGTGGCAAAACGCGGCCGGCGGCGTCAGCCTGCTGTACCTCGAGCACCCGGCACCCACAGGGTTCAGCTACTGCGAGCCGGCTTGTGTTCACGACGACGACAGCCAGGCAGACCTACACCTCGCGATTCTAGACGAGTTCTTCGGAAAGATGTATCCGGAATTGCGCAGGAATCGCTACATCATCTCAGGAGAGTCCTACGCAGGAGTTTTGGTGCCGACGCTGGCGGAGCGGATCCTGAAGCGCCGAAGCCCTGGCGCTAATGTCGCGCCGGACAGCCTCGAGGGCTTCGCCCTGGGCAACGACTGCCCGGGCAACAAGGTGTTCACGTGCACGCCTTACAGCGGCTGGGCCGGCACGAAGGTCTCGCTAGACTTCCTCTACGGACACGGCATGGTTCCAGACATAGTGAAAGAAAGGGTCGACAAAGTATGCGCCGATTGGTACGTCTCCGAGCCGCCCGGGCCCCAGACGCCGCCGCCGACGCAATGCGCAGATGCGCTCGAGGACCCGATTCGGCCCCTGAAGTCCACCGCCGGAGACACGTACGACATGGGCGGCGGGTATTTCCTATACGACACGTGCGGAGCCGACCTGCTGGCGCTGAGCGCCGACGGCGCGGCGCGACACCTGCCCACTACGCAGCGGCGTTCGAGCGCGTCGACGCGGGGGCGAGCTCCCACGCGGCCTACTAACGAACGCATCGCGAACGCCTATGCGTTGGATAGCGGCGAGTACGCCTGTGGCCAGGAGAACGCGGCGACGGCGTGGCTCCGGCGCGCGGACGTGCAGGACGCCCTCCACGTGCGAAGCACTCCTGACTTTTCGCTGTCGACGAGTCTCGAGTACAACTTCACCGCGGCGAGTCTGCTCGAGGCTTACAAGGAGCGCCTCGCGCCGAATTTCCGGATTTTACAGTACTCTGGTGATGCCGACCCGTGCGTTCCGATGCCCGGCACTCAAAAGTGGATCCGGTCCCTGGCTCTGCCGGAGAAGCAGCCGTGGCACCCCTGGACGGCCCCCGGCACCGCTGCGATCACGGGCTACGCGACGGTTTACGCGCCGGACTTTACCTTCGCATCGATCCGGGACGCCGGCCACATGTCGCCGCGCTACAAGCCCCGCGAGCTGTTCTACATGATCGACGCGTGGCTCAGAAAGGAGCCCCTGTGATGGTCGTCGTGGTGCTCGGTGACTGCTCTGTGTAAGTGAAATGTCCAAGTTACGCGCGGGGTCGGGAGGAACAAAGACTGGCCGGGCCCGATGTATGGCACGGCAAAACGACCGCCTAGTAGTAGCGGATCTGCGGCGGCGGCGGCGCCGGGATCGGCACCTTGAAGACTCCTCCCGGCCCGACGCCCTGGGGCACGATGACCGCGAGCCGCTGGCCGGTGGGCGCCTGCACTACAACCGTCATCCCGGGGAACACGCCCATGGGTACAGGAACGGTCATGAACGTTGGCGGCGGCGGCGCCACGGGCTGCGCGACGGCCGTGGGCTGGTACACCGGTGCCGGCGGCGGCTTGTAGGCCGCCGGCGGCGGCGGCGGCGGCGTCGCGGGCTCGGGCTCCTCGGGCTCGGGGGGCGGCGGCGCCTCCTCCTTCTCCTGCGTCTCCTCGGGGATCTCGATGGGCGCGTCGGGGTCCGCCAGGGCGTCGGGAACGCTCACCCAGGCCATGGCCAGCCGCTTGTAGTTGCCCGAGCACTCCTTTTTTATTGAATCTTTGAGGTGCGACGTGTACTTTCTTTGGTAGGCCGCGGCGATGGCTAGTATATCCGCCTTGTCGTGGCCGCCCAAAACGCGCACCACTACTTTATCAGAAGTGCCGAGGCCGACAAACGCCTTGCGCAGGCGCATCGCGTAGTAGTCCGCCGGCGGCAGTAGCAACGCTTGCAGGCACTTCGCCAGATTACCGGACATCTCCTTCGTAATCAGGTTGTCGAGGGACCGGCCGTACTTGTTCTCGTAGGCCGTCCGCGTGGCCACGTTCTGCGCGGGCGAATTCTTGGCCAGCACCAAAATAAAGGAGTCCTCGTCGGTGCCCATGCCGCGCGCCGCCTTGTGCAGGGTCTCGGCCTGCTGCTGGGCTAGAGTGGGATTGGGCGCGCCCTGCTCGTCGCGCTCGCCCTTCAAGAGCTGTAAGGCTAAGGTTTTGTTCGAGCCGTGGAGTTCCGAACGAATTCTATCCACCAGCGACTTGTCATGTTTACCTTCCCACTTGGCCTTGGCGGCGCGCACTCTAGCTTGCGAGTGGCCCACGAGGAAATCTACGATAGCCATCCCATCAGCGCCAAGCCCGTCCATCGCGGAGTCCAGGGCTCGCACGTCCGCGTCCTCCGGGCTTTCTACTAAGTACGTCAGCAGCTTCTTGTACCAGCCGCTCGTCTCCTTTCGTAACCGGTGCAGCATGGGCTTGTCCCTTTGCGCGTAGTAGGCCGCCGCGACTTTTTGCAAGTGCGGCTTCGAGCGCGCAGAGACGATCTTGATGAGCTTCGAGTCGGACGTGCCGAACCCATGACACGCTTCGTAAATCGCGCGCGCGTCGAGCGACGCCATCATGCCCCCCAGGGACTCATTTTCCATGAGCAGCGCGTCTAGTAATTCATCTGTATCTTCCACTTCGTCAAACTTTTTCGTCGTTAATGCTTCGTTGGCCTGCGCCGGGTCCTCCAACGCACTGATCCAGGCCAGGGAGGCCTTGAGGAAGTTGCCGCTGATTTCGGAGCGTAGAGCATCCCGCAACGTCCTGCCGTACTTCTTCTCGTAGGCCTGGAGGACCGCGGGCATCGACGGTCTACTAGAATGATCCAGACCACCGAGCAGCCGCACCAACTTCTTCTCATTGGTCCCGAAGCCCTTCATCGCCCCTTGGAGCCGCATGGCCACGAATTCTTCTGGAGTGACGAGCAGCGCCGTCGCGGCCTTGGCCCAGACCTTGGGGCCCTTCTTCTCGAGCTTGGCCTTTAGGGACTTGCCGTACTTCTTTTCATATAGTTCTGCCAGTAGTCTCGTCTCGGAAGGAGGACCAGCAAGTAAGCAATCGGCGACCTTGTTGAAGTCCATGCTCGAGAACATGCCCCGACCCTCCTGCTTGATAATGTCCGCGTTCTTGGCGGCGCGCGCCTCGTCTACGGGGGCATCCCACTGCTTTTTGCCCTTCAAAATTTCGAGCAGTAGATATTTCAAATTTTTGTAGGTCAGGTCGGGGAGCTCCTTGCCGAGGTAGTCGAATAGAGCCTTATCTTTCCGCCCCTCCCAGCATTTCTTTCCTGCTGCTAGTTGTTCCGGGGATCTCGTTAAACATAACTCAATGAGAGCTCCCTCGTCGCAGCCCATGCCGTGGCACGCCGCATGTATCAAGTCCGCGACGTACTCCTCAGGTCCATCTAACGCATACGACATCATCTTGCCGTAGTTGCTCCCTAGCACGCCGGACGTCTCCGAGGCGACTTCTTTCGCTAAATCCTTGTCGTAGGCCTTGCGGTAGGCCTGTCTTGTACGTTGTAAGGCCGCCTTCGTGCGCGTGCACAACACAGATATTAATTTGGTATGATCACAGCCTAAAGCACCGGTGATCCCGCTCTTCATGGCCTCGTGGGCGGCCAACGCGTCGGCGTCCGCAATTCTGCCTTTCAATTCCCCATTGATCTTCTGGAGCTTCTCGACGCACTGCTTTTTTATGGTTGGGTCGCTGAGGGAGCCGCCCTTGCTCGCCTTGACGATGCGCGCGACGGTGCTGTTCGCGAGGCGCGTGGACTCGTCGACGAGGACCTGGGGGGCCGCGGCGACGACTGGGGCCATCTCTGCTGTAGGATGGATGTTCAGGTGGTGTCTGCGGCGAGCGAAGCGCTAGCGGTTGCGGTGCTGCAGGTGTCCTTCTGGGGCGTGCAGTGGAAGCCGAAGGGCTATGAGAGCAAGCTCTGGGGACTTCTGTGGCTCAAACGAGCAAATCCAAAAAGTCTCCGTAAAACCTGTTAAGCAGCTAAAGAGAATTCTTTGGAATTAAGCAAGAAAATCGGCTAGCGTGAGGCAAATGGCGGGAACACGCACCTCTACACACGTCGGGAACCCATCACATCCACAAAAACTCCTCGGATCTATCCTCTCGCCATTTCCACCACTCAAGACGGCCCGCCACCCGCGTCCGCAGCAACCAGGATAAATACAAGAACGGCCAGAGCGATCATAGTTAAACACAAGATAGAGATAAATCACAGCCCGCGCGCGCGTGCCTCGTCGTCGGCGTCGCCGCGCGCGCCGACGGCCCGCACCAGATAAGCATCATAATCCCGGACGGAGCGGCGCATGGTTTTGGTGGGCGGCTGATTTTCGACGCCGGGCCGGCAGCCGCAGGGCGCCGTCCCATTTACCACGTAGAGCGCCGCCACGGCGAACGCCTGAGGCACGACGGCGAACGCGTCCGCGTGTTGGGTGGCCAAAGCTCGCGCCAGTAGCCCGTCGTAGCAGCCGGGGCCCCGGTGCTCCTCGACCTCCCTCACCAAGCGCCGGTCGCCCCGCGCGTCGACACTGTCCAGGACGACGAGCGCTCCTGAGGCTTGCCACGCCAGAGCCCTCTCTGAACCTTCAAAGGTATTCTGATAGGTGTCGACGACGCCTTCGACGCCGCCCCACCAATTTTCATATTTCTTCGTGGCGAGGGCCGGCGTCGTTTCGGGACAGCGGTTCGCCGGCGCCGCTTGCGCGCGTCCCGACCGTACCAACGACCGTAATTCGTCCATTGTAGTCGGCACACTTTCAGATCTAAACTCCGGAATTATGAGGGTAGTGCCCATAGCCACTTCCATATGAGAGATGGCCTCGTACGTATTGGAAGACAAGTGCTCGTCGCCTCGGAGTACTAAGCACCTCCTACACGGGCACGACTCCAGCCCTAGATTCGCCAGGGCCTTCTCTAGACTTTCGCCGTCGTCGTCTCCAATCCTTCCTAGTAGGACCGTCCGAGGACAAGCTCTAAATGCTTCCACGCTCACGTCCCATCCACCTTCATCCGCCGCTAAGACAACAATCGACGGGCCCGGCCACCCGCAGGCGTTCTCCTTCACTCTTAGTAATTTCGCATCGAGGTCTTTCCTCAGTAAAGACGCCACGACCACCAAACCGACGCCCTCCTCACCCGAGTTGCGGAACGGGCCAACTCCAACACTACCGGAGCGGGCCCACCGCAGGTCGTCGCGCTGGAACGCCCGGGGTATGCCCTCGCAGGCCTTGAAGGCGCAGTATTCCACCGATCTCGCGTCGCGCAGCCTTTGAGCGATGGCCTTGTCCACGCCTAGAGGCGTCAGGGGCGGCACGGGCACGAGTCCGAAGCGCGTGCCCAGAATCGTATCGGACGTAGCGACCCACGACACGGAGAAGCTCCGCCACTTCTTCTTCCACTCCTGGACGTGGAAGAAGGCCGCTACGGAGAACGAAGTCCCGGGCACGCGCAGCGCGTCGACCGGCCCCCGTTTTCGTTTGTACGCGCCGTCCGCATCTAGGACCACGGTGTCGCCCGCATCATAATCGCCACCCTCTAAACAAGTCTGGTAGGCCGGATTCACCCAGTTCATGCATCGTTTCGCACCGACCGGCAATCGTCGAACCCGCTCCCAGCGGTTCTGGTTCGACCGCTTCTCTCTAGGTGTGCGAGGTGCAAGAGGCCTACAATGCCGGCCCTCGTCGTCCTCGTCGCCCGCACACCGTCGTATCTCACTCTCAGCTAACCAGGCGGCGTCTTTGTCGCCTTTTTGCGTGGCATCGGTGAAGTGTTTTGTCGTGATCTTGAACCTCAACGACGCCTGTGCTAATGCCGTAGAATAACAACCTTCGGCGCTCTCGTAGTGGGCGCCTCGCAGCAACCGATCTTCCAAGCGCGCCGCGCCCAAGAACGAACAGTAACTATAAGCAGCGTTCACATGCGGTAGATTCTTGTGGTGCGTCCACTGGCCCCGCGCGTAGGCCCGCCAGCTATCGCCAAAACCAAAAGACACCACATCGAACGCTCGCAACTCGTCCTCGTCCAGGAAAGCGTTCATGTCGCCCATTAGGATATCAAAGTCCCCGAACGCCCAATGACTATAGTTCCTCAGATACTCCTGGAAGACGACGCCGATGGCCGGCTTGAACTCGACGAGTTGTCTTGGATTCCGGATGAAGGCATCTCGTAAGGCAGCTGCTAAAGGCTCCCTTCTTTCATCGATATCTTCGTCTCCGGGATAGATCTGCCTTGCGCGCGGATACGGAATTCTCGCATGTAACCGAGCGAATCTATTTGCACCGACCTTCACGAAGTGCACGTTGTCGGGCAGCCACGGCGGTCGCGACTCTCGGGCTTCGACCGGGACAGCACTAGGATCGCTCAACAGCAGCAGCACGTCGACAGCCCCGATGGCGTTGCCACACGACCGCGCGAAGGCCTTGAAGAAGGGAGGAAGGCGCGGCCCGACGAACGGCAGCGCCAGGGCGACGCGCGCGCGTCTCGGTGGTGGTGGCTTTTTTGTGCCTCGGAGCTGCGGTCCCTCTTGATGGTGATGCGTCGCGCGGTAGTAGAACAAGGAGGCGACGAGCGCGTACGCGCCCACTATAAACGCGGCGCACTTCGCGAGGCGGTTCGACCGGCGCTTGCGCCGGCGGCCGCTGCCGCCGCGGTACGTCGACGGCGACGCGCTTCCGCGCGATGAATTGCGGCGCATCTGTGCGTCCGACGACGGCTGCGCTCGCTTGACTGTGCGGCGTCGCGACGGCCCAGTCGCTGGGTCAACCACCCACCACGTCGCTATGCCCAGCGGTACGTTACGCTTGGCGCGTTTTGCTGATGCGATGCATGGCAGCCACGGCTGCTCCTCAGTATGCACTGCTGACCTGCTTGCGCGTGTTGCAGGTTTGTGTGTGGCGTGGGGGGTCTAGTCCCCCTAGCGGCCATAACACACTAGCAACTGAGCCTCAGCCTCAGCCTGAGCCTGAGATGTCTCTGTGCCCACTAGTCCTAGGCTCGAAAGTTCCGACGCGCAATGGAGCCCGTTGGACGCGTCCGGCGGCGCGACTGGCGCCCGCGGACGCTCGCCTGGATGCGGGACGCCCCCGCGAAGCCGAAATTCCGAAGGATGACTCCGGGAGCTATAAACATTACACACACAAGGAAGGGCGGATCTAGACTACCGCCCGAGCCCCTCGAAGCGCCGGAGCCGCTCGGCGATGGACGTGAACATCGTGTCCCGCGCCGCCGGCGGCACGGGCGCCGGCGCGCCGGCGCGGCGGCCGAAGACGCCCACCGTCGCGGGTTCCGGCGAGGACTCCGGGGCCGCGGGGCGCTCCGGCGGGGCCGGCGCCGGCGCACACGCCACGAAGCAGCTGGCGGAATCCGTCGTGAGCGGTGGCTGGTCCGGCGGGGCCGGCGGCGATGGAGGGACCGGCGGCGGCTCGACCACAACGGACGAGGATCGGGGCGGCAGAGGCGGCGGGCGCGACGCCGACGCCGAGCGCGCGGCGGCCAGCAGCGACCGCGGGCGGGGCGGCGGCGGCGGCGAGGCGGGCGCCCACGACGGCGCGTCGTCGTCGGATCCGAGGTCGTAGGAGCCGCGCGGCGACAGCGCCGAGGCCTCGGATCCGCGCGGCGAGAAGTCGTAGACGTCCGGCCTCGAGCGCCGCGGCGAGAGCCAGCCGCGCTTCCGCGGCGCGTCCGTCGCCACGGGGGCGAAATCCAAGGACGGCGGCGTCTTCTGATGCGCCGCGACATCATCTAACCAGCCCCGGGCCTCGTCTTCGGAAGCCAGCTCGACGTAGAACGACTTCCGCGGCGACCGCACGACCAAACACCGCGTCCCCGCGCGCTCGGCGCGCAGCGCGTCCTGGATCCGGGCGAGGCGCGGGTCCTCGGCCGCGGCGAGCTCGAGCTGCTCGGACGCGGCGCGGTCGCACCGATTGGATAGGGTCGCGAAGGGCGCCGCCTCGACGACGCAGCGCGTCAGCGGCGCGTAGAAGCGCAGGCGGTACATGTTCGTCGCGGGCGGCCGGTCGCAACTAAAGAGGGCCCGGTCCGTGAGCCAGAAGGTGAGCGTTTCGATCTTCGACGTGGAGAGCTTCCGCGCGTCGCCCGTCCGGACCAATCTGTGGGCTACTAAGGAAGAGAGCTGGTTCGCGGGGTCGTGGATCTGACTCTTCAAAAGCTGCATCTCGTTGCGCACCGCGTGCTCGCCCAGGATCGCGTCGATCTTGGCGCAGGCGTCGCGCACCAGCGTTAACGCTTCGTCGAGATCGTTCCTGTCCGCGTGGTCCTCGTTCGTTCGCAGGACGAGCGCCTCCAATAGTAACCGGTAGCGCGGGACTCGTTGCACCGGCGCGACTAAGAACTGGGCGAGGTCCCTGCCCTTACACCGCTCATCAAACGCCTGGCGCGCGAGCACCAGCATCACGTCCTTGACGGGGCTGCCCCGGTTGTTGCCGTCGCTCGCGGCGCGGCGCGACCAGGCCCCGTAGGCCTCGGCGTAGGTCGCCGTCATCTTGAAGAAGGGCGCGAACCTGCGAAAGACGGCTCCGAAGCACTCGTCCCTCGCCCTTTCTGAGCGCAGCTCGCCCAGAAACGTCGCCTGGAACTTTTCTAACATCTCAAGCTCGTTCAGCACCCTCCCAAGCACCTCGTCCCTCCCCAAAAGGTCCCGGAGCGGGTCCCGGAAGACCTCCAGACAAATACGCATATTCGCGACGTACGTCTCCTCCGAGGCCACGATTTCGTCCAACGCATGACCTCTCGCCGTCTCGAGCGCGTCGGCGCCGCGCAACTGGTCCGTGGCCAGCGCCGCTCTCAAGCAGGCCGCCTCGACGGCGTCCTCCTTCATGGTGGTAGTGGGGGCAGCCCCTCCCCGTGTCCTTTTGGTCACAGCTGGCCGACTATGGCCGAAACAGCGCCGCGAAGCTGGACAACAGGCCGACTGCACTCTGCCAATCTGCCTGCATGCTAGTGTCTTACCGGCGCTAGCTCAGCCCGCGCGACCGAGACCCCCAACGCCGCCGCCGAGCAGACAACAGACAAGTTACAACCGGTCGCAGGCGCCCCAGAACCCGCCGCGCGTCGGCAGCGCGCGCACGTGCCGGAAGACCGACGAGTTGAGCCCCTCGCGCCGCGCCGCCTCGATGAGCCCGAGCTTGTGCTTCGCGTGCTGGCAGTAGTGGTCAATCACGCAGAAGTGGCGCGGCAGGCCCGACAGGCAGGGCCAGGGCGGCCGGTACTTGCGCGAGATTGAGGCCTTGTATGTCGCGTAGTCGGCCGCGTATTTCCGGTTCATGGGCACGACGGCGACGTCATCAATAAACTCGCGGGAGTTCGCCACCATATTCAACCCGTACTGGTCCTGGGGCCACGCCCGCGTGAAGTCGATGCCCAGTGCGTTGCGGCCCCGCGCTTCCTCGGACGAAGCCGTCCGCCAGAAGGCCTCGACGAAGGCCCTACCCCTATCTCCTTTCCACGCCAGCGTCCCCGAGTTGAGGAGGTAGCGCCACCGGGTCACGTTCTGCGGCGCCCGCCGCAGCCAGTACGTGCGATCGGCCTGGTTCACCAGTACATCCGACCGGGCATTGGGCCAGCCCGCGGCCGCCGTCAATAGTTGTTCTAGTGGGCGGTCGCTCCACCGATCTCCCGTTTTTGATGGAGTCGTAGACACGGCGGCGTCGCTATCCAACAGGAGGAAGAACGACGAGGATGGAAAGTCTATACACGCCTGCACGGCGGCCGCCGCCTTGCCCCAGTAGGGACCTAACCTTGACCCGTCGCAGGCGTCGAGGCGCGCCGTGCCCTCCGGCAGCGTGTAGAGCACGAAGTTGTGGCCGTGTTTTGACGCGTAGCTTGCCGCCAACTCGTAGCTCGCGCGCCAGTACGTATCGCCGTCCAGGCGCCGCGTCTCGTACACGACGACCGTCGGCGCTGTCGACGCGTACGCTGCCGCGACGGTGACCATTGCTCGGAGGCTGCCCATTGCTAGGCGTGCATTATGCTGTTACGCGTGCAGGAAGTCGTCTGCACTGCACGAGCGATGGAAAATAGTGCAGTTGTGGGCTGCCCCGAGGCTATATGCGGTAGTCACATGGCATTGGCATGGCTCTGCGAGACGGCTGTGATTTGAGTGCGCGCGCCGAGAGGTATGCCTCGGCGGACGGCGCACGCCCTCCTCGGCGTGCACAGAGCTAACCAAAAAAGTGCTAGTGTGTCGATACGCTAGTTAAGCCACTTTATTTTCGGCATCTTTTGCTAACCAACGACAGCCCCCGCTTGCAAAGTTTTGCGCACACGCTGCCAAAACACACCCCTGCCAGCGCCTGAAGCGGGTGCAAAGCTGCCGCGTGCCCGCAGCTCTCCGTTCAGCCAGCGAGAGCACCAGACATCTGTAAACCATGGACGTCGAAGGCCTCGACACTTTTTCGGCTTATGATGCGGCCCCGGCCTTAGATGACGGCGAGCCCCTCGGTTTAGGTATGTCGCTCGACGAGGCCATCGCCGAGCGGTCGGCGGCCAAGAAGCCCGCACCCAGACAGCCGAAGAAGCAAGGTGGCAATGCGAGCGCGCGCGTCTTCGTGGGGAACATGAAGTACGAGACGACCTGGCAGCAGCTCAAGGACCACTTCGCGAGTGCCGGTAGCGTCGTCCACGCGCGCGTCATGGAGAACCGCACGGGCCGAAGCCAGGGCTGCGGCGTGGTCGAATTCCAATCAATCCAAGATGCCCGAAACGCCATCGCTACTTTGCACGATTCGGAACTAGACGGCCGCAAACTACTCGTGAGGGAAGATAGGGAAGATGGCCAGAAGCCCCAGCAAGCACCTCAGAAGAAGAAGCGCGACCGCGGAAGTGATGACGTCGTCGTCGTGGGCAAGAAGCTGTACGTGGGCAACCTGAACTACCAGACGACGTGGCAGCAGCTCAAGGACCACTTCAAGGACTGCGGGCGGGTCGTGAGGGCCGACGTGAATCGAGGTTACGGGACCGTCGAGTTCGAAAAAGCTGCGGATGCCGCTGCCGCAATCTCGCGGAAGTCCAACACCGAATTGGATGGCAGAAAGATCAACGTCCGAGAAGATAGAGAAGCCTCGAAACCGTCCCAAGCGAGGAAGCGCGCCAAGTCGAACGAGGGCGGCGTGACGCGCGTCGGGAAAAGAGTGTACGTGGGCAACCTCAAGTTCACGACGTCGTGGCAGACGCTCAAAGACCACTTCAAGCCCGTCGGCGACGTCGTCCACGCGAAGCTCATCGCGAGAGGCTGTGGCATCGTCGAGTTCGAGACGCCCGAGGACGCGCGGAGAGCTATTCTGGAGCTGAACGACAGTGAGTTGGAGGGCCGTCCTCTCCAAGTCCGGGAAGATCGGGAGGACCGCGACCTGAAATGATCTAATTTACTTTTGGGGCCCCTTCATGGGGTCCTCGGATCCAATCCCAATCTCGCTCGACGCGTGGGGGTGGGCCTGCAAGTCCGGATTCAGGGAGTAGCCCTTCGGCAGCGGGAACGCGTCCGTGCTCTCGCCGAAGCCTGCGTTTCGCGTCGTGAATCGCGTCGATGGCGTGTTATGTGCGCCGGCGCGCGCGGACGACGACTTTGTCCGGCGTCGTCTCCGAGGCCGTCACGCCGCAGATGGCTTTGATCACGGCCTCTGCGACTTGCTGCCTTACTGCGGCGTTGCGGCAAGCCTTGGGTAGCCAGGTGATCCTACAAATGATGATGTTATATAGATAGGATCGCATAGGTGCGCATGCGTGTGTGTGCGAACTCAAGCGAATCATCGCTCGGCACCGCTCGCAGATCTGCAGTCGTATGGCAGCATCAGTGTGGCACGCGTTGGTGCAGCAAATTTTGCAAGTACGAGGGTTTAGAGGGCGCTGCATGCATGCTGGATGAACGGCATGATTGCTGCGTTAATTGTCTTGCTGTAAGGCTGCAATTGCTGGCTGCAAAGTGCACTGCAAACCTCGGCCTCGGCTTGCTAGTGTCTTACATGCCGCTAGCTCCGCGATTGTTGGGTGTCGCGCGAGCGCCGTCGGGCCGACGATTGAGCGTTAAAAAAAAAGGTTGCCCATCAACAATCAATTGAGGTCTAGCGGCGTCGCCGCGGCGGGGGAGCTAAGCGCAGGACTCAACACTAGATCAAGAATGGGCTGCGCGGCGTCGACGGGCCCCTTGTATCGCGACGAGCACGACTTCGCGACGACCGCGGCCTACTACGACAAGGATGAGGATGTCAAAAAGGACTGGGTTGAAAATGAACAATTGGGAGAAGGCATGTTCGCGCGCGTCGTGAAAGTAACGCGCAAGTCCACGAATCAACAATACGCCTGTAAAGTACTCAGAAAGACCACTGTCATCGAGGACAACGAGATCAAGCTCGCCCCGAAGGCGTCGGACTTATTGAGAGAGATCGATTGTTTGCGGCGCGTCGGCGGGGCCAAGGGCTGCCTGAAGCTTTGTGGGGTGGTAGAATCCCCATCAGAATTGAGATTAGTGATGGAGCTCTGCGCCGGTAGTTTGTTAGATTACGTCCACGACCTAGACCAATTCGACGAGCGCTTCGCCGCCTTATATGCGTCGCAGCTACTCGAAGCGGTCGCCTATCATCTGGTGCGACTCGGCGAACGCGTGCACCTTCCCGACGTCGGGCGCCGGCGGCTGCCCGGAGTTCGGCTCGCAGTACAACGACGATTCGGCCGGCGACGACCACTCGGGCCACGACCACGACGAGGGCCACAGCTCGGACGGCGCGACCGCCACCGCGCCGGCCGTCCTCGTCGCGGCGCTCGCGGCGCTCGCCTACGCCTAGTCGTCGCGGCGCCCAAGGTTCCTCATGTCCATCCCCACCTCCATAGATCCGCGTAGGCCCTACGCCTAACGACAGGGAGACACCATGTAGTCCCGTGACGCGACCGCCTTGTGACGCCATCGCCGCGACACCTCTCCAAGATAGAATCACACAACAAAGTTACTAGAGAAAGCTCCGGATCAGGTCCACGTCCACCTTCTTCCGGTCCTTGGGCTTGCGGCGGAAGGGCCGGAAGGCCGTCGGCACGGACGCCGGCGTCTTCGCCAGCCTCGCCTTGCGCGCGCGCTCCGACCCGCGCGACGACTGCGACCCGCGCGACGTCGGCCGCGACACGGTCCGGCTCGAGATGCGGCTCGAAGGTCTTGAAGAGGGCGGGCTCGGCAGGTCGCCGTCCAGCGACGACTGCCGCGACCGTCTTTCGGGAGGAACCTCGACTTCATGAGGAGAGGACGCCTGCGAGTCCGGCAGGGACTCCGCATCCTCGTCCCAGGGCGTCGGGATCGGCTGCGAGGTCTTGGTCAGGAAGCGGATGCGGTTCGCGTACGGCGGCTCCGTCGCGTCCACAACATCGCCCTCTCGCAGATCGCCTCTTTCAATCCTCTCCGCGACTTCCGTGTTGTACGTACTGTCGTCGTTGTCCTCGTATTTTGATAGGGAGACACCTAAAGTTTTGCCCGACACTCGCACGGTTGACGGCTCGCCCGTGTAGGTCTCATCCATGACATTATCGTCCTCGCCCTCGTAGTGCACGTCGTACGTGCCGTCGCCCCGGTCATTTACCACCGTGGCCGCGTACTTCCTAGGTAAATCATTCCTAGGAGTCGGGGCGTCGGCCGGGTGGATCAGCTGCCTATCCTTGAATTGATCCGGGTCCTTCTTGGGCGGGAACCAGTACTCGAGCTTCTTCCACGCATCCGGGTCTTCATCTGGTTCCACAAAACCATCCAGGCCCGCGTTGACCTGTCGGATGTAAGATACCTTCTTGGGCTTCGGCTTCTTGTTCCGTTCTCCGACTTTTTTATCTTTGCCGACGAGCGAGAAGCCGCCATAGGCCCTTTTCGTTTCAATACTTAAATAGGAGTGCGGCGGCGCGCGCGGCGGCGAGATCAACGAAGACAGCTTTTTGGGCGGCGAGCCCATCGTGCCTTTCAGAGCTTTGTGACGATCCTTGTCCAATTTATATTGGCCGGGGCCCGGGTCCGGCAGGATAGGCAATAAAAACTTGTTGCTTTGGGCCTGCTGGAGCTCCTTCCAGAGCTTCTGGGGCACGGGCTTCTCCCGTATTTGTAACTGTTGGATCTTTTTTAGTGCGGAGGACACGCCCTCGGCGTACAGCAGCTTGCGGCGGTTCTCGGCGCGCTCGCGAGCTTCCTTCGCGCCGTCGGCCGGCGGCTTCGGGAGCGCCTTGGGACGCCCGCGCGCGAACTTGCCCAAGTGTAAGGTCGAGGCGGGCTCGGCCCGGTTCTTCCGCTTCAAGTACCCGAGCTGCTCCATGATCAACAACCGCTCCCTCCTGACATCCTTCCGTCTCCCGTCGGCCTCGGAGCAGAGGACCCGGTAGAGGGAGCCCAGCGTCTCGCCTCGTACCCGTTCGCGCTTGGGCGGCATATGGCTGCGTTGTGACGCGTCGATGGCGTCTAGGCTCACTCACAGTAGATGCCGGTACCTGGGGCAGCTCTCGGCACAAGATGGCGTATAGCCGGTACCTTGGGGCAGCTATCGGCCCACCGCTGCCCTTGCCTCGCCTGCGGCTGTCCTGCCCACCAGCGTGCTCTCTGCTGCGCGTCTTGCGTTAACGCCGGCCCATAGCGTGTAAGACACTAGCAAGCAGGTACGCGCAGACTTCGGGGGACTTCTGGCCGGGTGACTCGACGGTTCTGGGACGGACGGGTCCCGCCCGGTCGATAGGGCCGAAGTCACCCCGCTAAAAAAGCCGCAGCCTGAGGGACGGACGCGCGCCATCTAGCCAAGGACTCGGAATGGACAATCGTTTCATGGTTACAAACAAGGGCGCCGTGTTCAGGCTCGCCGCCGCGCCGCCGCCTGGAGCCCCGCGAGGAGGTCCCCGGCCATCGCGGGCCGAGGTCGCGGCGGCGGCGCGCGGCTCAGCGCAGCACCGACCATTCGCGAGCGTGGATCGTCGGCGTCGAGCCGCGAAGGGCGAGGCCGCCGCGGCGCGACGCCCGGAGCCGGTGGCGCGGCGTCAATCCGTTGTCGCGCTTGGCGCACGGCGGCCAGCTCGGCCTCAAGATTAGTCGTCGAGGGCGCCGCCACCGCGGCGAGCGCCTCTGAGTCCGGATCGAAGGGCCCGCCGACCGCATCTAGAGCGTCGTAGACCGGGTGCCGCACCTCGCGCCGCAGCAGCTTGTCTTCCGCCTCGCGGAGCGCGAGTGCGGAGAGGCGTCGCCGCGCGTCCTCTCTCCACATCGCCTTCGCGCCGTCGCCGTCGGCGTCGAATTCCGATGGTAACGCCGCGTAGACCGCCCGCAGCTCCACGACGTCGAGGCGGCCGAGATCCAACCTCCGCAGGTCGGCGAGCGCCATCTTCCGGATGCGACTGGCGGGCATCCGCGTCAGCCAGAGCGCGCGTTCGCGAAACACGCGGCGCGCCACGGCCCGCGGCAGGCCCGCCTGTTCCAGCGTGTCGACGCTCGCGCCTCGCGTCGCGAGCCACGGCGGCAGCACCCTTCGCATGCGCCGCAGCGCCGAGGCGCAGCGCGGGCGCTCCTCCCTTTCCCAGGCCGCCCGTTGGTCTGCGTCCCGCTTAATTTTCTCGGGGTGGGCGTCGAGCGCCCGCGACAGGTGCTCGCATTCCTTTTCCGCCGCGGCGTCGCCGTTCAAGCAGCGCGCCGCCGCGGCCCGCAAGTCGCGCTCGAGGTCCTCGAGTGAGACCTCGTCTCGATCGACCTTGTCCGACGCGCTTCGCCGGAGCTGCGCGTTCTGCGTCTCGAGGGCTTGAATTTGCGCCGTGGCGGCCGCAAGCTTTGCCTCGAGAGTCGCGGCGTCGACGCGCCCGTCCGAGCGGCATTGCGGCGAGGCATCGTCTGCGTCCGAGGCGCCGTCGATCTCGTCCGCCCGCAGGTAGCACCAGTCGTTGTTCTCGTCGGCGGCGGTGACGTCTACCCACGAGCCGTCGTCGCTGGTGTTCTCCGGGGCGTCGTCGGCGGCGCCGCTCGTCCAGCGCTTCAGGAGGAGGGCCGCGAGATCGTCGCCCGCGGGCAGCTGGGTGATCGACTCGGAGAGCTCAGCCATCCAACCAGGTTCAGGGTTTGGAGGGTGCCAGCGTCGGCAGGGATCGTCGCGCGCCGTCCAGCATCGATGCGTCTTGATGTGAAGTGCTGTTCAGGCTGGACGGTCCACCGATGTGCCCGCTCCCGACGCCTGGAGCCCAGACACCACTGGGCATTTTGGGCTGCCGCGTCTCATGTGCCGCGGAGGCCTTCTATCGCGACTACGTACGGATCGAAAGGCCCTGACGAGTAGTGGTACGAAGACTCACCTTTTTTGCTAGTGTCTTAGTGACGCTAGCCTACTCGGGCACATTCAGGTGCAGTTTTGGCCGTACCGGTTACCAGGTGCCGCGCCGTTCAAATTAACACGTGCCGGAAGCCTGACACTTGTCGCAGAAGAGCGCTGCGCCCGCCGAAGCCGGTGGTTAGCTCAGCGTACGATCTGTGACCAAACGTCACCACGGGCAACTTCCTGGGCGGCGAAGGCGGCGAAGCCAACGCCACAACGGGTAACCTACTTGGTTGCAGCGACGACAAGATGCCCGTGCCCGTGCAAATCCAGTACTGCGGCGGCTGAGGGTATAAGCGCTACTCAGTAGCGCTAGCTCAGACGATCGAGCAGGAATTCGGGGACGATGTCGCAGTAGAGCAGGTCGGCGACCCGGGCACGACGGGTAACTTCGAGGTCACGTGCGCGGGCCAGCTCATCCATTCCAAGACGACGCGCGGGCAGGGCAAGTGCCAGACCGGCGAGGAGACGCAGCGCGTGATCGACGCGATCCAGGAGGCCGTCGACGACGCGGCCTAGGCGGCTTTTTCTACCCGAGGCGTCCCCGCGCGTGCCCGGTCGACTCGTATATGACGGCCCGCGGCACCCTGATTTGCCGCGGGCCCGACGACGAGTCGCCCGCTCGTGCGCGCGGACGCCTCCCACCCTATTGTAACTACCACTCTATGTACTCTTCTTACTTGACTTCTTCTTTTTCTTCTTCGGCTGTGCCACGTCGCTCTCGGCAGCCTTCCGTGCCCTCTTGGCCTCTTTCCGTGCTTTCTTCGCGGCCGCCTCGTCGGAAGAGAGCTCCTCGCGGTCGCCCTTCTTCTTCTTCGACTTCTTCGGCGCCGCGGCGGCGGCCTCGGCTGCCAGGCGCTTCTGCATCTTCAGCACGAACGCGTCGTCGAGCCGGTCCTCCTCGCTGTCGTCGTCATCGCTGCTGCTCGAGGCGTCGTCGTCGTCGTCGTCTGCCGCTGCGGCGTCGTCGTCATCGTCGAGGCGCCGCTTCGTGCCGACGGCCGGCGCGGCTGCGGGCTGCTTCGGCGCCTTGACGTACCACTCGCGCGACTCGTCGTGGTACGCGACGTTGCGCTGCTGCAGCTGCATGGCGATGTTGTCGGCCGTCGCGTAGTCCTTCTTCGCCTTCGCGGCCGACCGCTTCGCGAGGAGCCGCTCGATGCCGGGGATGTCGACGGTGTCGACGGGCTCGCCGCGGCCGACGCGGTGCCAGGGTTCTTGCGGCGGCTCCGGCGCTTTCGGCGCCTTCGGCGTTTTGTTTTTCTTGGATTTGGACTTTTTGAGGAGTTTGGACATGGCTTGCGCGCGTTTCGCGCTGCGTTGCGAGCGATGCTAGGGCTGCTCTTTGCTTGTGGAGTCTCAGCACAGCGCGGAGCTTGTGCAGCCTGTCTGGCTCAATAGGACCCTAGAATCGATGCTGCACAGAACGACGATGCTCACTTAGGCGGCTACAGGCCGATTAATGCAATCCAGCGCGACCAAAACCCGCGCAATGCGCTCGGGGCGGCCGGATAGCGCTAGGCTTTGGCATGCCTGGCGCGTTCATGCTCGCGGTGCAGCTATAACTGATCCAAGAAGCCACCTCTATCAATTTTCGCAGCGCTGCGCGTCGCAGAGGTCTATCACAGCAAGAGCAGTGTGCACACAAGCTGTAGCGCGCCGCATTGGTGCGCAGCGATCGCGAGCGGTGCGCCACAGTGTGCGGCAGTGCCCCTAGCTAGCACTAGACGCAAAGCGGTGCGCACAAATGGCGTCGTCGTCGTCGAGCTCGTCGTCGAGCTCGAGCAGCAGCTCGAGCAGCAGCAGCGAGGACCGCAAGCGCAAGCGGCGGCGCAAGAAAGAGAAGAAGCGGAAGCGCGAGCGCAAGGAAGAAAAGAAACGGAAGCGCCGGAAGAAGGAACGGAAGAAGGAGAAAAAACGTCGCCGCGCCGTCGCCGCGGAGAACGATGCCGAGCTCGCGGCCGCGGACAGCGACCAGCTCGAGGCGTTCCGCGCGGCGGTGCAGGGCCCCCGTGCACCACCGCCACCGCCGACGACGAATTTACTAAACCTGCCGCCCGCGGAACGCGCCGCGGCCCTGGGCCTGCCGGCCGGTCTGGTACGCACGACGGCGCGGACGGCGTCGATCACGGACGCCGCGTCCCGTGAATTGTTCGGTAGGTCCTCGGGCATGAACCCGGCGACGGCGCAGCGCATGAAGCGGGAGCGATCGGCGCAAAAAGCTTTAGCGAAGGCGCAGCGCGTCATCGCCGCGCGACGAGATAAACCTCCATAGTCAAAATTTCATGAACAATTTTACCGTGAGCCCGAGGTCGCCTACACCCAGTCTCTATCAGGAAAGATCAGCGGCGCCACGAGCGTCCACTCGTATAGGAGGAACATGGCCCACTGCGCGACGATCTGCATCCACATGCTCGCGCGGCCGGCGAGCGGCTTGGACATGGTGTCTCCTTGATTTGTCGAGGCGCCCCAGTTCGCGATCGTACAAGCCACGTAGCACGCCGCCAGCGCCATGATCAAATTGAACGTCGCGCCAGCGCGATCGCCGCCGTCGAGGCAGTCGATGGGCGCCGGCGGTGGGCTTTCACTCTTATCTTCATTTTTCTCCTCGTCATCTGAGGGCACGAGCTCCACGCCCAGCTCGGGGTCGATGGTATTGCCGACGTCTTCCGCCGTCTTCGACATCCAGATGAGTGATATGAAAGCTAGAATGAGGGATACCCAGGTCATCCAATCGTGCTTGTGTTCCCAAAACGGGTTGCATTCCGAGGAAGGCTGCTTTCTGATGGCGGTATAAGCCAAGTACGTGCCGTACGCGCAGACCGCGGAAGACGTCAGCAGGTTGCCGCTCTCGGAGAACACCAGCTGCGTAGCCGTACACGCGACGCAAAATACCAAAGTCATCGATATGAATGCCGTGATCGCCTGGCCCGCCTCGCACGCGTCCGGGTCCTTCGGGAAGAAGACGAAGAGGCAGACGATGCCCGCGAGCGTCGCGGCGAACAAAACGAACGAGATGCATAGTAACACTATAAGGTTGTCATCTAAGCCACAGGTGGTAGGTGCGCCCCAGTCGCCGCTCTGGTCGACCATCCAGTCGTTCACCTCATACGCGAACTCGATGATGAAAACCATGAGTGCCACGGCATATAACGCGGCCATCACTCGACTAGCCCAGACGTAGTCGTCGACGAAGGGAGACGGGATCCAGAATAGCGTAATAGCACAATATCCAAGAAAGAAGACCATCTTCACGATCCAGAGCGCGTTGTGCCATTGTTTGCTCAACTTGCACCCTAACCAATTCGAGGCGAAGAACGCGACCACGGCTAAATTGATCCGAAAAACGCCCTCCTGGCCTAGACACTCGGCGTCGTAATCGTCGCCTAGTTTGCATGATGTATTTTCCCAGGCCTTGGCATGTTCGGCTAGATGGTGGAGTTGATCTTCTAACCCGTAGAGGAACAGGAAGGACATGGCGACGGCGTAGACCACAACCAGCATGCTCCCGACCTTGCCCGCGCCCCAGGCGTCCTTGCCGTTGCCCGCGCAGGCGCCTCCACTACAACAGCGGGCCCCGGTGAAGCAGGCGACGAGGGCCGAGAACGCGCAGCTGATGGCTGAGCAGATGCCGCTCAGCATGCCGCAGAGGCCCAACGAGTAGCCCGTGCCGGCCGCGGCGGCCGCGCCGGCGGCGGGGGCGATCATGCTGTTTTGCTTCTTCTGGGCTCAACCGCTGTTTAACGCCGCGCGGCGCCCGGCAGGTGTGCTGGTCTTATGGCAGGGCGTGTCTGCGCGCCCTCCGGCACCTCACTGACTCGCGCGGCGCTCACAATCGACGCCCTGACCGATTTTTGCCCGGCTTTGCTTCTTGCTAGTGTCTTACTCACGCTAGCGACGCGTCCCCTGCGGCCGGAGACACAGGAAGCGTGAACGACGACTCTCAGCCTCGCGCGAGCCCAACCGGGGGTCAGCTGGGGGGCCGGGGGTCGACCGAGTTGTTTCCACGAACAAAGCCATTTGGCACCTCTCCCGAGCCCCCAAGGCAACGCCAGGACACCAGACGCCGCGAGGCCGCTCTCGAGGCTGGCCGCGCAGCATCCGAGGCAGCCCCGTCGCCCCCCGCCGGCTTGCACTGAGGTTCTGCGTTAGATTATTGGCACCAAAGTCGAAGATGTCGATCGCGCGTCTCCTGCTCCTTGCCAGCGCCGCAACAGCGCTGCAGCTCACGCCGCGGCGCGACTACATCCGCGGGTTTAACAGCGCGGCGCCGCGCGCCGCGCCTTGCGCCGACCCGAAGGGCCCGGTTCGCGGACCCGAGGTCCGCGCCGCGCCGCTCGCTGTGGAGTTCTGTCCGCGCCGAGCCGTCATCGCCGCCAGCTTTGCCTTCGGCGCGAGCCAGCTGCTGCCCGCCAAGCGGGCGGTGGCCTTGCGGCCGAAGCGGCGCGTCGCGGCCGCGCCGCCGCCCGAGCCGGCGCCGATGCCATTGCCGACGGCGGAACTCGCCTACGGCTTCCCGAAGCGCAAGCGCCGGTAGACAATTCGAAGGCCCCGGGCTGGGGGCTAGTACATAGTAAGATAAGATACTAGACGCGTCCGAGTCACCCCAGCACGCCATCGCCGCGACGCGCGACACTATGGAAGCTACTTACCCCTCGGCGGACGTCTGCGCCGCCTGCTGGTTCATCGCGATCGTCGCGGCCGGCGGCACGATGAGCTCGTCGTTGACCTTGGCGTTGAGGTACTGGTTGATGAGGGCCTTGAGCTGGGCGTTCTGCTCCTGGAGCGACGTCACTCTAGCGATTTCTTGAGATCTTTGTTTCAGTACTGTGTTGTACTTTTCTAATTGTTTCTCGAGCTCTTGCCAGACCTCGAACGTGTCGTCACTCACGACGTTGGCCATCTTCGTCCAGTACTCCCGCTGTTTCGCATGTCGCTCCTTTTCTCTCTCTGCCGCGAGACCGACCGGTTCCGCACCGATCACGGTATCGGCAGCAGGGGGCTTCAGCGCCGCGTTCCGCCTCCGTTCTTCCACGAAGGACTGGGCCGCACCCACAACATCCTCCGGCTTGATCCTAGTTGCTAGAGCTCTGGCCGCAGCATCGCCCTCGCCTTCCGTGTCGGCCGGCCCGTCCGAGAAGAACTTGGAGACTAACAGCAAGATGTCGGCGTCGTCGCGCGCGCCCAAGGCTCGCAACAGACTCTCGGCCTGGGCGAGTTCCGCCTCGTCCTCCGGTAACTCATCTAGAGCGTCTCGCACTTTCTTCTCGACGAGGAAGCCGGCCTCCGCGCTCAGGAGTTCTAGACAAGCCTTGAGCTTCGCACCGGAGACCTTCGGCCGCGCCGCCTCCTCCTCCTCGAGGCGCTTCCGCTCCAGCGCTTCCTCGCGGGCCTGCGTCGCCGCGTCCGGCCTTGCCAGAGCTCGTAGAGCTTCGAGGTCCGGCGGCTTCCAGTCCCAGCCGAGCTGCTGCTTGTGGATAAGCTCGTCGGCCTGCAGGACCTTGCCTACTAGTTCGTTGACCTCGGCCTCGTGCCTGCGTGTTACGACGTGAGCCACGCGTCTTTATGCGGTGTTCTCTCGCCGTGCTCTCCCCGCCGCGTCGACGGCTTATGACGAGTCGCACCTCGAGGGTGCATCAACCCCACCGGCACGCCGTCGACGCGACGCTCTCGACGGTGACACGCTCTCTCGTCGACGCCGTCGCCGCGACCGCGCGCTCTCTGACACGCCGCGACGGCGCAAGGAAGGCCAATAACGGACGCCGCCCCCGCACATCTGCCACACTCGATCGAATTTCTGCCGGTCCGTGACCTCGAAGTGGCGGAATTTCAGTTGTAGATCCCGGTAGGCCTTGGTCATCCTCTTATACTCCTCCGTGAGCCGTTCGTTCTCGTTCTTGTCGCGCTCGTCGGTCTCCTGGTACTTGGCCATGACTCGACTGAGGACGTCCTTGAGCTTATTTTGTTTTCTTTTGAGCTGCTGCAGCGTCGTAGAATTCTCGCTATCCCTCTCAGTCAACACTCTATAGTTATAATCTAATTTTTCAGTGTTCAATTGATAAGTAGCGCGCATCTCCTCGAGCTGCCTCTCCAGAGTCTGGACGTCGTTCTCCAACTTAATCTTGAGCTTGTTGTACTCCTCGCCGTCCTTGACGAGCATGTCCTCGATTTCTTGTCTGTGCTTCTCCTCCCGCGCTCGTCGGTTCTCGAGGAACTTGAGCTCCGCCTCCTTTCTTTTTTCGTACAACGCGTCGATCTCCTCCCGGTTCTTGTTGAGCAGTTCATCTCGTTCCGCCAAGAACGCATCTTCTATGGCTTCTAATTCAACCTCGTACTCGCCCTGGAGCTCCTTGAACTCCTGGCGCATCCTCTCCAACAGCTGATTGATGTCCTCCTTCTGCTGCTTGAGGGCCTTGACGTACTCCTCGTCCTTCTTCTTCAGTTCCTGTCTGAATTCTTTTATTAATTCATCCTTAGATCTTAAGATCTCGGCGCAGGCCTCCTTCTGGACCTCGATCGCGTCATGCAATTCCCTCGGAATATTCTGCTCGACTAACTCGGCCCATCTAGCTTCTATAATCGCGTTCTGCTTGCCCGAACTTACGGCTTCTTCTTGTAACCGCTGTAGGCGATCCTGGCGCTTCTTTTCTTCGGCCACTCGTCTTTGTGCTTCCCTCCAATCGGCAGCCACTCGCACGTCCGTGACTTTCTCGATACCCGAGGACTTTTTCTTATCTAAATGAGACAAACTCTCGGCGATCTGCTGCTTGCCTTGACTTCGTTCGGCTGCCTTGCGCTCCTCGTTCGCTTTATCGAGCGCGCCCTTCTCGGCGTCCCGCCGCGCCTCGATGCGTTGGGCCCTAATACGCTTGCGCTCGTCGGCGTCGGCGACGTTCGTGTCGAACTCCTTGGGTTCGGCGTCGGCCATGGCGGCTCTCGGCGCTGCCCGGCCTAGTCGCTGGCTCGCGGCGGCTGGCGTCCGGCCCGGTCGAGGGCTGCCCGCCTAGGTGAGAGAGGGCTGCCTCCGGGCCGAGGGCTGCCGCGCCACAGCCTGGCTGCCTATAATCGGGCGAGCGCTCTAAGTGCTCTGCCTTCGTGTGCGCGCCTGGACTTGCCTCGACGGCGTGCGGCGGGCGGCGCTTTGCGCTATGCCGGATGCCGGGGCTAGTGCGGGGGCACTAGAGCCGTTGAGGGGAATATGCTGGGGTAGGACTCCGGCGGACGTGCTGCGCACTAGGCCCAGCTGTCGAGTTGCTGGCGGCGTGTCGCAGTCCACCATTACGACATCGCGGCGGAAAAATGGGGCGCGCGCCGGAGCAGGCAGTACCTCACTTAAGACTTGAACTTTAAGTTACCACTAAGTTAGACACACCTATTCACAACTACCACACACATCTCAGAACGACGCCCCACCGGGAGGAGGAGGAGGAGCAACGACGTCATCAACCGTGAGCACGACTCTTCGCTCAACCCCAGCTAGCGACGCCGCGCGCGCCGAGAGCTCGGCCGGAGGAACATGAGCCACGTCCTCGCCGTTCAGCGTTAACAACCGTGCGCCGGGCCCGACGCCGCGCACGGCGAGCGGCGACGCGTCGCGCACCGAGATGACGACGAGCCTGCCGCCCGTCGACGTGACCGAGAAGCCTAGCTTTTCATGAGAGGCCGGCACGACGACCTCGACCTCGACGCGGCGCCGCGGTGGCGGCCGCGCGGCCGCGCCGCCGTTCAGAGACAGACTCGTCGCGATCGACCACCAAGACTGCTTGAGTTGCTCTCCATAGAGTAATGCGACCTCGCCGAGCACGCCATCGGCCGTCAGACGACGCGTCGTCGGCCTGATGTCGGCTCCGGTGAAGTCGAGCTCCGCATCTACCACCGCCAGCCTCGGAAAAGACGATAATAATGACACTGCCCAGCCCAAAACGCCGCCCTCATCCTCCAGCGCGTGCGCCAGTTCGACGCGGGCCGCTGCGTCGGGTACGAGCGACAGTGGCGCCACCGCGAACCGCCCGCAGCGTATCAGGTCGACGACGTACGAGTCGGGCGCCGAGGTTTCTATCAACTGCTCGCTCGCCCAGGCGCGGCGCATCGCTTGGAGTACGCCGACGCATCGCCGCGCGCACCGCTCCCGCAAGGCAACCCGCAAATCGCCTGGCAGAAAACGCGCCGCGAGCTTCCGGTCGATCCGCGCCGCTGCCCGCAGGAAGAACTCCGAAGTCGAGGTGAGCGTCGTATGAGGACCATCTAGAATCGTAAGAGCCCTCACGTCCAGCGCCCACTTGTCACCTGTCTTCGAGAGGCTCCAGCCGCGCGGGACCTTGATGTCGAGGTCGGCGACGCGGACGGCCGTAGAGGCGCAGTCTACATAAATATCAATCGAAACGTCGCCTTCGGCGCGGCACAATCGTAATAAAAGGCTGTGGCCGGCGTCTGTAGCGCGCGGCCCGACCACGAGCTCGACGTTTTCAAATCGCCTCACAACGTTCCCCGGCTGCAGCGCCGTCACATTGACGGAGAACCACCCGCTCGAGGCGTCAGCTCCGTCGATTGACACGTCAAAGGTGGACGCGTGCACGGGGAGTGGCTCGTCTTGAGTAGAGACGCCCGCGTGGCGCACCGTGACATGGTGCGAGGGCACGGAGCAGCTTAGTACAACGAGCGGCACGACCGCTAATGTACGATCCTCGAGGAGTATCCCGACAGGCCGCTCTCCTATCCTCGTGGCGCCCCGTCCGTCGACGAGTTGTCCCGGCACGATAAAAGGCGAGACACCGTCGCCGCTTTGCAACTGAATCGCTGAATGCTTAGAGCCGTCGACCATGACCCGCGCATTAGTCGTCACGTGGCCAACGACGCCCACACCAAGACCGGCTCTATCCTCGATCACCAGACCGCACCGCAGCACCAACAACAAAGAAGGCGTCCTAGTCAATCTGTTCAGCGTCACGCGCAAACGCTGCCGCCCGTCGTCGACGACGAACGCGGCCTCCTCGCCTCGGGCAGCGACGCCCGTGATATCGACCCAAGCCGATTGCGCCTCAATACCATCCACCCGCAGACACCAGTGCGTCGCGGACACGTCGTACAACGCGGAAAGATCGGCCTCGTTCGGTGGTATCACGCACGTTTCGGCATAGTCGTCGCGCGACTGAGGAAGGCGGCGGGCCGTCGCAACGCGCGCTCGCAATGTGAGTGAGGATTTCAGTGCGACGGGCGGGCAGACGACCACGGTGTTGGCCGCGGTCGATGCGAGCACATAACATCTCGCCGGTGCGTCGACCCAGTGGACCCTTTCCGAGCCGCTTCTACCAAAAGCACGGAGCTTTTCGAAATTCGCCACGGGCCTCCAGCGATCATCAGCCTGGACGCACACCACGGCGTCGTGAGGCGCCTCCCGGACAATTGACAAGGGCAGGTCGAACGTCGTGTGGGGCGCGACGGCCGGCAGGTCGCGCTGGTAGGCACTCCCGGCGACCTGGAGCGCCATCTCGCGGTCGCACCGGTTCTCGACGCGGATCCTCGTCCGCAACCGCAGCGTCGGTGCACTGCCTTGATATGTGTACTCTCCAACCACAAAGTCGCTCGACGCGACGACGCCCGAGGGCCGCAGCCCGTCGCCCGGTCCGTAAAGGGAGCGCCGGTCCAGCGGCAGCGCCGCGGCGTAGGCGTCGGCCAAGACTTCGAGCGGCGCGAGGGGCGCGCCGTCGCGCGCGCGCCCGAGGCGGTCCGCGCGCGGCTTTGTATCAACACTTAGCGTCGCCGCGGCGTTTGCTTCAACAGAAACGCCATCGACGAGGAGCGGTGCGCCCGTCTCGTTGACCACTTGGAGCGGCGGCGCCTCGGTCGCCTCGCGCGCCGCGAGGAGGCGAGAAATGGAAGCAACCGTCGCCTCGTCGACGCTGAGACCGAGATCGCCGAGCGCCACCCTCAGAGTACCGTCCGTCACTTGCGCGCAAACGTTTACCGGCTTCTGGAGCACGCATCGATACGTCTGTGCGTCGTAGGCGTCGAGGCGCGTCAGCGAGCACGTGAGTGCCGTCGTTCCCTGGCGCCCGTCGAGACACACGTCGCTCGCCGCTAAAAGAAATGCGGGCAAGCGCGTGCCCGTCGCGTAGAGGCGGATGGCCGCCGCGCGCAATGCAAAGGCCCCACTGCCGTCCAACGCAAGCTCCTCCGCTGCGTCCATTATAGATCGGATGTCGGATGGTGCCGCGTAGACGTCGAGGGGCGCGTCGGCGTCGGTGGCGTTGGTCAGCGAGACGCCATCGGCCGTAATTTGTACCAGCGTGGGCTCCAGGAGCTGTGCGCCGTTTCGGGCCGCCTCGAGCACTGCGGTGCACGAAGAGCCGTCGCTAGAGACGTGGCCTCGAAATTTCACGCCGTCCCATGTGCCGGAAACGGCGTCGACACTAATTGCGGTGGTCCGCTCGGTCTCGACCGCGAAGAAGTCCACGGCCTCGCCTTCGACGTCCGCGCGAGCGACCCCGAGGTAGTCCCACGCGCGGCAGGCGAAGCCGGTTTGAATCGAAGTCGTAACTTCTATGATAGACGCGAGCGCGCGGCCGTCTACATCCGCGTCCGCGCGGACCGCGCGCACGACCACATTATCGTCCGACGCTTGCACTGCCAAATCGCTGACGACCGCGCCACCGACCGTTGTTGTTTTTGCTGTGGCGGCGACGGCAAGCGTGTCCGTCGAGCTCGTCACGCTTACTTCGACAGCCTCCACGACCACGACCAGCGGTTCGGCGACTGCCACTGCTTCGTCGTCGAGTCTCACATCGGCGAGGCCGGTCCACGACCGCCGGTCCGGGGCCGTCTCCACGGTCACCTTCGGCGCAAACGCTCTTAATTTAATGCAGGCGCGCGCCGGCGCAGCGAGGGTGTCGAGGCCGCAGACACATCGAATGAGAGCGGCGGTCTCGGCGGGCCTCGCTTGAAGCGCGATTGGGCCGAAGTTAAGCTGGATCGCGTCGGCTACGGTCAGGGAGCACGTCGTCGGCGTCAGCCGCACAGGTGCGTCGTTATTCACGGACAAGGCCGCGGCCCGGCAGCCGAGGACCCAGGCCGTGGAAGCTCCGGTCGCCGTCGCGCCTTGGACCATGACTTGCGCCACGCCGCCGGGGATCTCCCAGGCCACGGAGGCCTCGTCGACTTTTATTTTCCACTCGGTCTTGTCGAGCCGCCGAGCGGCCGTTTGCTCAGCGAAGGCCGTCCATTGGGCGCGCATCGCCTCCAATGAATCCTCGCGTCGTTTGGCCGAGGCTTCTACGGCCGTAGAATTGGTGTCATCGTCGCGTGTCGCCCTTAGTCGCAGGGACAACGCGCCTATCTCCACTTTCGCGGGTTTCGAGCCAGCGAGCTGCGCCCAGGGAAGCACGATTTTCGCGTGGTCCACGCTACCGGAAACAAGATACAAACCGGGCGCGCCGACGGCGTCGAGGCTGCGCGCCTTGAGCTGGACGCGTCGTAACTTGATCTCGCCCTTCCGCAGCGAGACCGCGATGGAGGCGCCGGTAGTAGGCTTCGCTTCGGCGGCGCTCTCATCATCCTCGTCAATCCAGTCGATGTCGCCTGTGTGGAAATCGATGAGTTATGCGGGCCAGAACGCTACCAGAGTACCGTAATTTCCGCACAGAATGTCGCCGTCGAGCCAATCCTTTAAGACTCCACCCAGTAACCGCTTGGCGGCGTTCCGGTCGATGCGTTTTTGCGCCTCTTTGGCCGCCGCACGCGTTTTGCGCGCGGCGTCCTCGAGGTGCGGCTTCGCTTTGGCTGCGGCTTCCTCGATGTGCGCCGCTGCTTTCGCGGCCGCCTCCTCGATGTGTGGCGCGGCCTTGCGCGCGGCATCCTCGATCGAGGCTGCTGCTCTTTTTGCAGCCTTACCCAGCTGCTTCCAATCCATGATCTAGGGTTGTGCAGTGCTGCTAGGCATCGTACTAGGCATCACGCTGCGCAGTAATATTTGCGAGTAGCGTTTAGCAGTGGTGCAAACGCGACCGAAAGCACTTTATGGAATTTGTGCTAGCGTCCTGTAAGATACTAGCAGCTCTGCGAAGCCAGGTGGTTTAGCAGCTGCATCCGGGCCACTCGAGAGGCCGAAGACCCCAGGCAATTTTCAGCGCAGCTCCTCATAGCATCCACCCGCAGCCGCCAAGCTCGGCGAAACCCCCGAGCCGACCAGGGGCCCAAAAAGCCTCCAGCGTCAGTGGCTTCTCCGGCAGCCATATCAGTAGATTGGGACGACTCCTCTCTCGCGTAAGTAGGACTCTAAAGCCATGTCCGCCCTCCTCCTCAAGAAACAAGCTGATTACCTCGTGCATGACAGCTACACCGTCGAGACGGAAGACCACGAGGACCACACCTTCAACGGCGTCATGTTCGATGTGGAAGTACTGGACAGGCGCCCGGTGCAGGCCTTGGTCGTGGATTCGATTCATGTAAGAGGCGGGCTCGGCCAGATGAGCGTCTGGTGCGTCGAGGGCGGCAGGAGAGGCGTCGAAGAGAAGCCCGCGGCGTGGACGCAAGCCTTCTCGCGGCACGTGAACGCGTCGTGGCGCGACTTTACGTCGCTCAAGCTCGAGCCGCCCCTCGTACTGCTCCCGGGCAAGACGTATGGCTTGTACGTCCACTCGGCGGACCAGGGCGACGACGGCGTCGTCTACGATAATCAGAGGGATGAGATCTGCCACGAGGATGACTATATAAGAGTCTTTCCCGGGTTAGCTCATCTCTCACCGGACCCCTTCGGCGCCGACGGGCCGTGGTGGGGCTCGCCCTGGCGGCGGCGGCGGGCCTTTGTGGGCAAGCTGTCCTACGGGGCGCGCTACGTGCTGTGGCGGCCGGTGCCCGCGGCGCACACGCGCTTCGACCCGACGTTTCGCAGAGGCGTCGTCGCGGCCTTTTACGCGCTGACGATGGGCTGGGGCGGTTTGCCCACTGATTGTGTCCTCTACATCCTCCACCTCGCGCGCTACGACTGGTTTGAGCCGCCGGAATCTGAAACGCAAGAGACGCTCCCGCCGCCGCCGCCGTCACCCGCCACGGCCCACCGGCTCCTGGCGTCGCAGCAGCAGCGCTACGCGAACGACTACTCGCGCTTCGACAACATCCGCGACTCGGACGACTCCTCGGACTCGTCTGATGACGACTTTCACCTGGCCACAATGACGTAACACGCGCGAAAAAAAAAATGACATAAGAACTTGCTTGAATTAACACTAATGCACCGTCAGCGCCTCCGATAGCTGACTACAGGGGAAACCCCGAGAGTAGCCCCTCGTCGGCCTCGTAGATGTGTGGCGCGGCGTTGACCTTCATGAACGCCACCTCGCCGGTAGCCTGTTCTATGTCTACCACAGTGACTGCAGTGTTGTGGTGCCGCCACCGCGCGAACTCGCCCGTCGTCCCGGGGACCAGGACCGCGTCGAGGAACGCGGAGATGAAGTCGTAATGCGCGACCACCAGGACATTGCGGCTGTCCTTGAGTCCCGACGCCGTCGCCCGGACGCGTTCCAGGACGCGCTTCGCGCGCGCGCGGCACTCGTCGTCGCTCTCCTTGCCCGGGCCGCGGTACCAGCCCGTCGCGTCGACGGCGTCGGGCAGCACGTAGGTGGGATGGGCCGCTTGCATCTCCGCCCGCGTCATGCCGCCTCGTGCGACGAAGGCGTCGTACGCATCATTCGCGTCGTAGATGCCACCGGCCTCGAAGATGTCGGTATAGACGCGCGGCGCGAGGCCCGTCGCCTTCGCCGCCGGCGCCGCCGTGTCGAGCGTGCGGCGATGGGGAGAGACCCAGATCTCGTCAATTTTGCCCAGGCCAAAGTATTCAGCTTTCGACGTGTTACCTAGAAACGCACCGAGGACTTCCGCCTGCCGTCGTCCGCGGGGCGAGAGCTCCGGGTCTGCGACGCGTCCGGTCTTGTACGTTCCCTGCGCCTCGTGCACGTTGTTCATGCTCTCGCCATGCCGCACGAGGCCTAGCCGAAGCCGTGAACCGCGCTGATAAGTACCGTCCGCATAGCACTCGCCCGCGCAGCCGCTCGAGTCAATCGCGGCCATGGCGCGGATGGTGGTGGTGGCGAGGCGCGTGAGGAGGAGCGCGCTCGTGCTGCGCAGCATCGACGCGTGCGCGGTTACAATTCTGCACTGACACAGGCGCAGCGCGGACACACGAGAATTGTACAGGACAGGCAATTTGCGAGCACCGGCGGCTCTCGGAGGCCGGGAGGGCCTCTCAGGCCCCGTAACCGCTCGTAAGAAAGGGCAAACCGCAGTCGCTGGTGTGCGCGAGATACGTGCTAGCCTTAAAAGACTGGGTCTGCACGCCTGCGGCGCGTATGAGCTGCACAAGTTAGCTGCCTGTAGGCTAGTGTGTTACAGGTCGCTAGCTAATCGACGCGGTAATTGGCTGGGCGCCAGGGGCGCCACACTGGCGGACAAGATAATACTCGTGGACCACTGACAATCGCCCTGTTGTCTGTAGTACGAGCGCGAACCGGTTTCGCCCTGCGACAGTCTGAGACTGGTATAGTCAGACTTTTTTTCACAGCAAGACAATTCCACACCGCGGCGCGACGCCAACGAAATACTCGGCGAAAATGCCCCAGTTCTACGGCTCCCAGCGCCTCTTCTGGTACCTCATCGTCGCCGTGACGCTCAACAGCGCGTCGCTAGGCGTCCTAACGTACTTCCTCTACATGCGGGCGAAGGCCGGTAGCACGGCCGTGTGGCACTTTTTTGCTGTGTTCGAGCGCTGTCTGCCGGCGTGGTGGAAGGAAAAACGGCTCGAGGCGGAAAGAGAATCCGTGGCGCAACTCGTGACGTCGGCAATCGCCCTGGGCTACCTGCTCCATTCCCTCACGTTGATCAGCGGTCCCGCCCTGTTTGACGACGGCGATCCGAGCGTGAGGAAGGGCGGCATACATACCACATGGCCGTGCTCCGTCGTCGGCGCGTTCGAGCAGTATTTTTCATTGCTGAGCGTCGGATGTGCGGGCTTTCTCGCGCCCTACATGAGCCACAAGCTTGTTGTCCAGCACAAGCGGCCGGAGACTGTAGCGCGGACGCTCGGGAGCCGCATCACGCTCATCAGCACGGTGGCGTTCGCCGTGACGGCCTGCGTCCTCTTCGGGACGCAGTGGTCCCATCACGGGCAGGTCTTCGGTCCCTCGGGTTGTTGGTGCTGGGTCGATAGCGGCAACAGGCGGTGGACGCGAATACGCGCGCTCGTGGTCGCGCTGGTTTCCTTCTACCTCTTTGTCCTCATCGGCATCATCTACTCGGCCTGGGTCTTGCTCGAGATGCGGAAAGAGGTGTCCGGGCTGCGGGCGCCGGCGGCCGAAGACAAGCCGCGGCTCGAGCGCATCGGGAGCCTGTACCTGTCGGCGGAGACCGCTCGGGAGAACGTCGCGCGGCGCCTGACGATGTCGAACGTCGACGCGGCGGGCGCGCTCGCGCGGGCCCTCCTCTTCGGCCACGTCTGGCTGCTGCACCCCGTCGGGCGCCTCTCCATGAAGCAGTCGCTCTTCTGGCCGTACATGGTCGAAGGCTTTGCCGTCCTCGCGTACTTCGGCCACGTCGCGACGCCGACGCCGGTCGCGTTCTTGCCCGTCGTCGTCCAGTTCGTCGGGCGCTGGGGCCTCTACCGTTTCGTGACGCACAAGTTCAACATCGTGCCGGGCCACGCGTACTACGACGCCTTCGAGGACCGGAAGCAGCCGCTCGAGCTCGCCGCGGTGCTCGGGGGCGTGGCCGTGGCCTGTTTAGCATGATTAAATATCATTAGTCCACTTTGCCCCGCCGCCACGGCTTCAATTCATGCAAAGCCACCATGATATAAGCGAGGCCGAAGCCGGCCGCGCCCAACAGCGCGACGAGCGCCGGATACAAGTCCGGGTAGCGCGCCGGCGGCGGGACCACGAGGGGCACAAAATGGAGCGGCACGAGACCCGCGAAGGCCGCGAACGCCCTTCTTGGTTTATGATCGTACCAAGCCAGGACGTATAAAGCGACAGAAGCGCCGTAGGCAAGCGCCAAACCCTCGTACTGTAACAAGGGCAGCAGCGTGAACGCCGATAGCAGCGAAAACGCCGCGGCGTAGTCCCGCTCCGCCAAACTCAATGGTAATAAAGGGTAGAGCGGCACGAGGATCCCCTTCTCGTGGACGTGGTACGAGAAGAGGAAGAAGGCCAATGCGGAGACGTGCAGCGACCGCAAGATATTCGCTAGGGATCGGTCCTGGCCCCGCGCGACGCGGCGGCACCTTAATAAACACGGCGCGAAGGAACCCAACGCCGTCAAGACTGCCGCGACTTTTATGAGTGACGATTGGTCGAGCCGGTCGCGCGCCCGCAGAAACACTTGCGCGGCGTACCACGCGTTGCCGACCTTGTCCTCGAAGACGCCGCGCGCGACGGGGAAGCAGCGCCGCAAGGCTTGGAACGCGACGCCCTCTTTGATCAGCGGGAGCCACAGTAGGAGTGATGTCATGAGCACGACCACGCCTAAACAGACGATCTTCTTGACCTCCAAGTTTCGTCCTAGCAATTCGCAGAAGACGGCCGGCGCGTAGTAGAGCGCCGTCTGCTTCGAGTGGAGCGCGAGCGTGAATAAGAATGACGCGAGGCAGGGCCGGTCGTCGATGAATAAAGCACTCCACAACGTCAGCCCGAGCGGGAGGCAGTTGTACTGGAAGTGGCCGTGGTCCACCAGGATCGGCGCCGGCGCGAGGACGCAGAGCGCTATCAGTAATGAGCGTCTTTTAGTCGTGGCCTCCAGCTTGCACGCGAGGGCGACGAAGGCCGACACGGCCACCAACGCGTCAACAACTAAAACCGTAAAACGCATGAACGCGCGGTGATGGATCTCTTCGTAGCCTCTCGACGAATCGAGCGCCACGCTCGCCGGGTCGTAGGCATGCGATAGAAAACCAAGTATTTTTTCAATGTAGGCCATCAGCGGCGGATAATCCAAGCCCCAGTACTCCGTGTCGTACGCGTACCACTGGTTCAAGGGGAGGTGGTGCGTGATCTCCATCCAGTGGCGGTGGGCCTCGTAGTCGCCGTAGCGCGGCGGGTCGCCCTCACCGCTGTAGGGATGCAGCGAACACGCGTGCCGCACGAGTAAACCAAGCGCGACGGCGGCCCAAATTAAAGACGGCGACTGGCGTTGTTGTGAAGGAGGGCTCGGGTTGCGGCTCCGCGGCGGCGACGGCGTCAGGCCCAGCGCGCGCGCGGCGACCAATCGCTCGCCGCTCGTCGGCGTCACTTGCGGCGAGGCCCACTCCGTCGAGTCGTAGCGGCGGATGCGGCTCACGAAGGCGGCGTCCTTTTCGGGCGTGTGGGGCGTCTGGAGCATCGTTGCGTTTGTGTTCTCAAGGTGTGTGGGCGGATTGTGGCCCAGCGCGGCGTTGCGGCACCGCGTTCTTGCACTGTTTGAGGATGTGGCAGTGACGGCGGCGTACAAGCGTCGCGCTGCGTATTCTGATGCTTTGTGCCGTGTGCTGCGGCTTGCAAAGCGCCAGAGCAAACAATAATCCTAGCGGCCTGTAAGGCACTAGGAATCCGAGGGCAAAGCACCTTGCTCCGCGTCGTCTGGGCTTGTAGAGCGCGCGCTGACGCAAATTACGATTCACTTGTACGCCGTCATCGCTAAGGATTAGCCAGCGAAGCCGCCGGGACGCCCGCCGCGCTCCCTGACACGCCTGACGCCAAAGAGAGCAAACCATGCTCCGCTGTGCAGCGCGCCCCCTCGCGCGCGTCGCCACGCGTTTCGTTCTGAGACCCTACCACCAGGAGGTCATCGACCACTTCGAGAAGCCCCTCAACGTCGGGAGCCTCGACAAGGACGCCAAAGATGTTGGTACTGGCTTAGTGGGCGCCCCCGCCTGCGGCGACGTCATGAAGCTGCAGATTAAAGTGGACGACGACGGGAACATTGTGGATGCGAAGTTCAAGACCTTTGGGTGCGGGAGCGCCATCGCGTCGTCGTCCGTCGCGTCGGAATGGGTCAAGGGCCGGAACATCGGCGACGAGTCCATCATCACCAATAAAGAAATTGCGGCGCACTTGAATTTGCCTCCCGTAAAACTGCACTGCTCCATGCTCGCCGAGGACGCGATCAACGCCGCCATCGCCGACTACAAGGCGAAGCAGGAGTCCAAGAAGGAAGCTGAAGCAAGCGGCTAGTAACTACCCTTTTGTGTGAATTATTTTACGTCCTCCCGTGGCTTGTCGAGGAGCCGGCCGGGGAAGAGCGCCACGCCGAGCCGCAGCTTCGTCTCCTGCGCGGATCGATGCCGTATGAGCCGTCGGCGCGATGCCACGCGTATGAAAAAGGGACGCCGCCCACCAACATTGAAGATGAAAAAACAGCAGCAGATCATGGCCGCGCGCGCCGGGTAGCCGCGGAAGAAGCCCTGTATCCCGTTCTCCGCGTACAATGCTCGCGCCGTCGCCGAGAGGCCGCCGCACTCGAGGTCGCCCTGGATGATGCTCTTACAAGTATCAAAAGGATGCGTCAGCGCGGCACATAATACACCAGAAGCAATAGAACCGGCCGCGACGCCCGCCGTCGGCGACATCTCCAGCGAGTCGCAGACCCGTTCGACGCGCGGCGACAGGCCGAGATAACCCACCGCGAAGAACGCTTCGCGCTGCGACGCAGGAATAAAACCTCGGAACAAGCCTGACAATCCATTCCGCTCGTAAAGCCGTCGCAACGTGCCCGGCAGCGTCCCCCCGAACCGCTGCTGCTGGATCATCGTCAGTTCCAGGACCGTACAAGGCACGCCACTCGCGAAACCAGCGAGATAGGCCGACCCGACCTCCTCCGCGAACGTCAAATCGCGGGGATTGCCCTTCACTATCAATTTTTGCAGGAACCCGCAGACCCAGAACTGGGCGCCGATCAGCGTGCCATCCGCCAGCATCGACGCCGGCGTGCCGCGGTACATGATGCGCGGGTCTAGGGACACTCGGACCTTCTGCTGGATGCAGTTCTTCGTGTACGTCAGCGGCTGCGTGGACGCCGCCTCGATCGCGCCGGCGGCTACTCCTAATAGAGCGTTCTGCGCATCTGTTAAACGCTGGAGCACGGCGTAGCGGTCCATGGTTTTCCGAGTGCTATCGCGTCGCTGTGGTGCGCTGCGATCGCTTTGGTGCAGCACTGCTATATGCAATGGCAGTGCAGGCACGAAGGACTGCGGCAACGCTCGCGGAAACGAATGCAGCGATGAATGATGGTTCCAGAGGTCGCAGCGAAGGCGTAATCTGCTGCAATTTTGCAGCACTCGGGAGGTGTTTTTAGCACCCAAAAATGGCATCAGCCATCACCTGATGTGCGCGGAGCTTGTGAAGGCAGCTGCGTCGAGACACGTGCCTGGAGAGGTCTCCCTGGGACGTCTCGTTAGCGCAACGGCCGGCGGCTTTTTGTCACGCGCGCCGCGCGCGGTGTTCCAGTACAAGCGCAGATGCCCGAAACCGCCAACGGGAGCCGTCCGGAGACTTACCTGGACGCGTTGCAAGGGTGTTCTTGCGGACCGGAAAACGCGCGCTGCCCGGCCGCAAATTTAAGCTCTGGACCTAAATCGCGCCTGAGGCAGCACCCATTCACAAGAATCCACGTGTGCGCACCGGCAAAATCTCAACCACACTCATACTCGTCGATTCGCAACGCGCGGCGAGCCATTCCGACGCACGGACACGCTGCGAACTTTAGCTGGCCGCAGAAAGCCCAGACGACGCGCGCGCTACATAACGCACACCGCCGCAACCATGCCGCTTACATACAAATCCCTCCTCCTCGCGCTAGCCGCGACGCACGCGCTCGTGCCACGTGCCAATCCGAAGAACAGCCGGCTCCAACGGACGCGGCTACACGAAAAGCCCATCGACAGCGACGAGATGGCGTCGCTCTATCAGGAGCTACGAGCGAGGCAGTCCGACGTCGAGGCCGATAGAGCGCAGACCTTAGAAAGGTGGCGCACTGGGGGATGTTCCTCCACAGTCGCGGTGGCAGCGTCGGACTGGGTGCGGCGCATGGCCTTTGATGGAGGCACCGTGGCTTTTGGGACGGCGTCCGGGGGCGTGGGGTGCTGCCGGGTCGGGCAAGGACCGTCGAGAGCGGACGTCGTCAAAGCGCATCCTCGCGCGGTCGAAGGCCAGGACCTCTCAAAGCTCCACGGCGCCTACGACGGCGGCGGCGTCACGGCCATCGACATGGCCGGGCGCGTTGTGGTCAGTGGTGGGCGCGGCGGCCAGGTCCAGGTGCACCAAGCTATTCCGAAGGGCGATTCGCTGACCCTCGAAGCTGTTACTACACTAGATGTATCGGTAGGATCGACGGTGTCCTCGGTAGCCGTAGCGGACGACGGCAAGACGCTGGTGGCGTGCGCGTTAGATGGCTCGATCCAAGGCTTCGCTTGTGTGGACGAAGAGTGGAAAGCGACCTGGTCCTCGAAAAACGATGCGGCGGCGCTCACCGTCATCCTGGACGAAGAAAGAGACGCTTGTGTGGTTGGCTTTTCGGATGGCGAGGTCTACGCCCTGGACGTGAATAGTGGAGAGGAACTGTGCGAGCCGTTCACCACGGCGACGGGGGCGGGGTGTCGAAGCTTATTGGTGAGCGACGGCCACCTCTTCGTGGGCGGCGCCGACGGGTCTGTTGTCAGACGCAAGCTTTGTGTGGACACGTTCGCGATTCACCCGTCGCAATTGATCCTGGAGACGAAGGCCGATCGGTTGCTCCCGCCGCACGGCGACGCCGTCGTGGCCATGTGCGCGCCACCGTGTGGCGGCATCGTGTGCACGGCGTCGCGCGACGGCTCGATCCGGGTCTGGGATTCAGCGGCGAGGGAGCCGCGCGCGCTCTACGGCTTCCAGGGCTTCAAGGTCTGGATCGGGTCGCTCTGCGCGTCCGCGGACACGTTAATTTCTGATGGTTCCGACAACGCCATCATCCAGCACACGTTCGACCGCGACGCGGAGGCGCGCGCGCCCGTGGACCCGTCGCTCGAGCGCCGCGGGTGACTCGAATCCCCCTTTGCCCCCGACGTGTTGCATATAGAGGATGCTACTTGTATTCGGAGTAGCGTCGGGGCCCCCGTCGACGGTGGCGGGAATTTCCTACCTGCGTGACCGCACGCCCGCACGTACTCCCGCCCCGCCCCCGGCCCTCATACGCCGTCGCCTCGAGTGTTAGCTCGGAGGCGACGACGGCGAGGGAATCCCAGGGCCGCGACGGTTCAGAAGTCAAGAGCAGTTATGTTAAAAGTCAATAGCAGGTGGTGAGCAGCGCCGACGTCCGGTGCCTCAGCTGGTATCTAGCCGCGACGGCGCGGTCGGTGACCGCGAGCGGTCGCGGGACGGGTCGCGGTCGCGGTCCCGCCGGTCCGTCTGGGTTGCCTCCGGAGGTCCGTCCGGCGCCGTTGCGGGCGCCGATGCAGGCGTCGCTTGCGTGCGCCTCTTGTACTCCTCCCTCGCTTCCTGCAACGCGACCTCGGTGTCCGCGAGAAGCTGGGCGGTCTCCTGCAGAGCCGGGCCGTCCTCGGCGTTCGCCTCGACGAGCGTGTCGAGGATGGCCCGCTGCTCCGCGAGCCGGTCCCGCAGCACGTCGAGCTGCACGCGGATGTTATTGTGGTCGTTGGGCCGGCGCTCGGCCATCCCAATTGGTGCGGTCGACTACGGAGACGACTCGTGCGGTGCCAGCGCGGCGGGCGCGCAGGGGCCGGCGCCGGCCGCGGCCTTTTTCGGGCACCGTGCGGCGCGCGCCGGTGGCGGTGCGGCGCGCGCCAGCGCCGGGCTGCCCCGGCGGGCGGTTGCAACGGAATTTCGAGCCGCGCCGGGGCGGGGGCGGCGGGCCTTTCTTTGGACGAAGCCCCAAGCCTTAAAAATCGGCACGATGGCTGCTTGTGTTGCATGAGCGCGTGCCCGGTCTAGAAGCGCCTGACTGCGCGTGCCCGACAAACAACCACGGACCATGTCAATAACGACACTGCTACATGGGTCGGGGTGGACGTGGAGACACCTCCCGCCCGGTTCTACCGAGACGCGCGCGCGGCCTGTCGCGACGACGACCCGCCGCCGTCGCCTGCGGGCCAGCTAACATATCCCGTCGACGGGATGTGTTATACGGCACTTTCGCTTAGGGAGACCTCAACCCGGGGCGGGTTAGGGGCTTGGGGGCGTCTGGGGGCTCGGGCGTGGCGAGCACTCTACCTAGGCACTCTACCGTAGAACTCTACCGTACAAATTAAATCTTGGCCGCTCCTCCAGCGAATCAGAAACCTCGACGCGCACCTTCTGCATCACCGTCGCGGGCGGCGCGGGCGGCACGGGTATCTAGCCGCGCCGGCGCGGTCGGCCCAGGCGCTCGCGGGATCGCGAGCGGTCGCGGGACGGGTCGCGGTCGCGGTCCCGCCGGTCCGTCTGGGTCGCCTCCGGAGTTCCCGCGGCAGCAGCGTCCGGCGCCGTTGCGGGCGCCGTTGCGGGCGCCGGCGCCGGCGCCGGCGCCGTCGCAGGCGCCGTTTCGGGCGAAATGGGGGGCGCGGGTGCAGGCGCCACGCGCTCGTAATTCTCTCTCGCTTCCTGCAACACGACCTCGGTGTCCGCGAGAAGCTGGGCGGTCTCCTGCAGCGCCGGGCCGTCCTGCGCGATGCGGGCCTGGTCCTCCGCGTTCGCCTCGGCGAGCGACTGGAGGATGGCTCTTTGCTCGTCGAGCCTGTCCTGCCTGCGTGGACGCCAATAGCCTGAGACGTGTGTGGGGCCTGAACTTTGAGTTCCGCGCCGTCGCCCGCAGGACGTCGAGCTGCACGCGGATGTTATCGCGTTCGTCGGGCCCGAGGGCCGTCCCGCGCCCGCGGCCGGCCATCCCGCGCCCGCGGCCGGCCATCCCGCAGTTGTTCTTGCCGCGTTTGGGCTGCGGACAGCACTCACCTACCGTGCGGCGCGCGCCGGCGGCGGTGCGGCGCGCGCCAGCGCCGGGCTGCCCCAGCGGGCGGTTGCGATGGGATTCGGGCCGGCGGGACCGGCGGGCGCTTTTTACGGGGCGGATAGTCAAAGATGTGCAGCCTCTTAATAACGATGCCCTTCGCTTGAACTTTTCGCCCTTCGTTGACTTTTCGGAGCCCCCCAGCCTCTTAATAACGGCACGGCTCGACGGCTCCCGGGGAGGACGCGGGGACGTCTGCCCCGCCCGGTTGGTTTCCCCGCGGCGGCGCGAACGCGGACCGTCGCGCATGGGGGCCGGGGCGTGGGCTACCTCCAAGCAAAGCAGGCCTACAAAAACTAAACCTTAAGCCGCTCCTCGAGCACATCGTTCACCTCGACGCGCACCTTCGCCATGACGCGCTTCACGAAGGACCGGCCCAGCTCCGAGTCGACGATCGCGATGGACGGCATGCGCATGGCGTGTTCGAATTTATGAGAAGTGTCCTGGCACGTCGCCTCGATCTCGACCATGTCCTTGTTCCTCAAAATCTTGATGTGCATCCGCTTTTGCAGTTGTTCGAAGTCCGCGGCCATCGCGCGGTTCTGGGGCATGACCTTGTGATTAATATCGATCTCCTCATCATTAGTGTTGACGCAGGCCACGTCGCGCTCCTCCTCGGCCAGAACGCACTCTTCCGACCGCCCCCAGGGGTCGTCGGCCAGGACGTCGACCTCGGGCTCCTTGCCTTGGGGAGAAGCTAAAGCGGCCATCATGCCGGCCTTGCCTCCCTGTAAGAGTTCCGGTACTTTTAATTCTTCGAAATTGATGATGAAGGCGTCTGGATCATTCGGATCAATTGCCAAAGATGCGGCCTCGGCCAAAGCTCGTCCCAAGGCCACGACTTGGTCCTCGTCGAGAGGCTGGACGTCCCCGTGGGGGTCGAAGTGCGCGTCGTGCATGGATAAAGCCTTTTCGTGGCGCTCTTTGGCTATGAGCGCGAAGATGTCCCGAGCTTGCGTCAGGAACTCGTTCCAGACGACATGACCCTCCTTGTCGCGAGGCGCATTTGTGAGAATAGCCGCGATCTCTCCTCTAGTAAAATCTAGGATGGTGATCGACTGGATCACTTGTCTGAAATCATCTAGACTGATATGACCCCGGCCCTGTAAATCCTTCCGCTGGAACGCTGAAGTTAATTTAGCTTCGAGATCATCGGCCCGCCTCCCACCTAACAATTCGTCGGCGTTCGTCCGCGCTGAATTCGCGAGCTGCGCTCTTCTTTTAGTATGGCCAACATCAAAAAAGTCCGCGATCATCTTGGCTGCTTTGGCACAGAACGGTACGATGTCGACGGGTTTACTATCTGACACTTCGTCGTCGTCAATGGAGCATTCGGCCTGCAGGGACATGACCGCTAAGAGCTGCTGCCGCGTCAGGGGCAGCTCCTTCGCTTCCGAAATCAGCTCGTGCACTTTTTTGGCCGGTAAGATTTTTGAGCGAGATTCGTCCGTCCTGCCTTGCTCCTGAGCGTGCTTCTTCTCGGCATTACCCAACATATGTCTCAGATGTTCCTCCATCGACGACCCAGTAATCTGCTCCAGGACTTGTCTTTTACAGTTCTCGAGGTGGCACGTAAAGACCGCGTCCTTGACGCCCTTTGTCGGGGTCTTCCCGTCCTTGTCCTTGATGCGCGCGGCGATCATGTTGATCATGTGGCGATCGAGGTTCGCCTTTGGCGAGGCCAGGCACTTCAAAAAATTATCCCTTTTCAGGGAAGGATAGGCATGTGGTGAGGTGCCATCACCGAGTTCGGCGGCTTCGACCTTGGCCGCCTCGCGGAACGCGCCCTCCAGCACGTGGATCGTCTCTTCCAATTGCTGCCTCAACACACTTTGCGCAGATTCGGCCTGGGCCTCGGCCTTCTCCATGCGCTCCTTCCACTCCTTGCCGGCGGACTGCTTACTTCTATAAGTCTCGAGGTTCTTGAGCATGACAGGTACGAATTCCGAATACGAGATACAGCCGTCGTCGTTCTCGTCGGCTTCCGCCATCAAGCGGGCCATCTGGTATTGGGTCAAACCCAGATCCAACGCTTCTAACAAACGATGGAACTCGTTCGCCGACAACGAACCGTTCTTATCCGTATCCGCCCTCCTAAACATTTCCAAGAGCTGCTGCATCTCGGCTTGTTGATCCGGTGATAAATCGCGATCCACCAACTGGTCGAAGGACGAGGCATTGACACCCATGTCGACGTCTTCGCGGAGCTCCCGATGCGACGCCGTTTGATCTAAGTCCTGGTGGAGGTTCTTCTGGTGCTTCGCTTTTACTAAGTCTAATAACTCGCCCATGGTGAACTGCATGAACTCCTTGCGGTCGATGGTACCTTTCGCGTCCGCATCGGCCCTTAGTAACAAGTAGTCGATGTCGCCTTGATCTAAGCCTAGGTTAAGGGACTGCATGGCCATGCCGAACTCGTGCCCATCCAAGCAGCCGCTGCCGTCCACGTCAAAAGAAGCAAATAGAGCGTTCAGTTCCCTGGCTAAATCAGCTTCTGACTTGCCGCCGAACGCCTTCTCCTGCGATAAGTGACTAGAGAGAACATCTACTTTGGCGGCCATGGCCGCGGGGTCGAGCATGTGGTCGATGGCTCGCGCGCAGCGAGGCGCATACAGGACATAATCTAGCTGAGAATCCTCGAACGGCGCGTCGGCCAACAAAGACATGACCTGCAAGCCAGTAAGTCCCAGTTTTTCATTTCGCAACACCAACTCGAACTGCTTTGACGATAACAGAAAAGTATAGGCCGGGTCGTGGGGGTCGAACTCCTCCGAAGCGTTGGGGTCCTCGGCCTCGGTTTTTAGGATTTCGCATTCGCTATGGCGGCAGAGCTCCATGATGTCTCCCGTCGTCGTGCCCTTGCCTCGCTTCATGATCAAGTCGCACTTGTACGCATCGAACTTGACCTGCTTCACGGTCTTCCGGAATTTTGAGTAAACGAACTTGCCGAACGCGTCGAGGGGCATCTTTTTCAACAGAGCAGCAAATTCTGATTTATTCAACGGAACAGGAGTCTTCTTGACGTGCTTCCGGAACTCCGGTCGAGTCATGGAACCGGTGCCTCTTTTATCAGCTTCGCCTAACATCCGCTCTGCCTCCGCGATCTGTTTTTCTAGTTCTGGCGCTTCTAGCTTCTTATTTACCGTAGCGTCTAGCTCTCGAGACTCAGCTGACGACGCTCGCTTCGCGACTTTCCGCGCCTTGAACGACGCCACCAAGTCGATGGCAATGGGCATAAATTCTTCATATGAAATAGTGCCGTCGCCATCTTCGTCGGCTTCTTGCATCAGGAGCTGCAGTTCCGCCCGGTTCAAGCCCAAGTCCGCTTCTTCCATCAACCCGAAGAACTCCTCGTGCGACAACTCGCCACTGTCATCTTCATCCGCTTCTTTGAACCTGCGCGGAGCATCGCGGTCCGAACGGCCTCAAAACCAACAAAGAAACCACCCACGTCGATGGCGTGAAGGCGCCTCAACACTTCAAAACGCGGAGATCGAACATCTTGGCCAGCATCTCGGCCATCGCGCGCGCGTCGATGTCGTGCGACTCGACCATCTTCGCGCCGCCGTACTTCACGGTCCAATCCGAAATACATCTAGCTTGTTCGGTAATCACATCACCGGACGTCGACTTCATGATGACCTCGACCTCCGTCAATATGGTGTAGGGCTCGGCCGCCCAGACCTCGGTCGTGCAGGGCACCTCTCCTACCGAGTCGACCACGAACGTTTGCCGTTGCTGGTGCATGCATTTAGCATCCGGCAGGTCGATGTGGATCTCTTCCTCTTTTTCTTCCATGAGCTTGAGGAGAGGTATCTCATCGGGAACGAACTTTTTCTTCTTCTGAGGTGATTTCTTTTTCTTCTTCGGCGAGGGTCGAGGCGGCGACTTTTGCGGGCTTTCGAGGGGTGGCAGGAGGTTCTTCTGCAAAGCTTGTGTAGAGGTCCGGTCCGTGACCGACGCTCGTCTCATGGCGTCCGTGTCGGGCAAATTGATATCCGTATCCAGCGATTGGTCGAAGCCCTGCTTCTCGCCGAAGGTCTCGAACTGCGCTCTTTCGTTCGTTTTCGGCGCTTTGAGTAGGTGGCCAGACGTGCAGTCGGTTTGTCGCAGCCATAGGACCTTTTCTTCTCTCACTCTAGCCTTGGCGAGCTTCCTCGTACTAATCGTAGGCTTCAGCAGCTTCAGTTTCTGCAGTTGCTTGTCGTTAGCTCTCGATATTTGCGTGTTCCGGATGCCGCGCATGCGTTCCCGCATCCGCGTTCTAGTTTGGGACGGGCCTTTGGCTCTGAGAGCCTCCTGTCTAGCTAACCTTCTCCTCACAGGCTCGTCCTGAATGGCGGATAATTTTGCGAGGAGCGACTGGTTCGCCTTCGCAATTTTCTGCGTTTCGAACTGCGCCCAGAAATTCTTCGAGATTTTGCCTTCGAGAAATTCTGGTTTATAAGGTTCATCGCTGAAATCAATACTACCCTGGATGGAGTCGACTCTACTGCGATGCGTCTTGTAGGTGGCTTTGCTCGTCTCGGCCGTCACTAAACGACTGCCGTACGCGGGCTCGGCGTTCACTCGTGTTATAGAAGGTTGTTTTCTTGCCACACTACTGTTCTCGAAGGGCAGCTCCTGCCTCGTGCTGAACGACTTCTGGTCGAGGGACATCTTGGCTGTGCTCGCCTCGGCGGCCGGCGGCGTGCAGGTGCTGCTAGGCTGTTCCTTTACTGCTCAGCTGGGCAGCGTCTCGATGCAGCCCCAGCGAGCGAGGCAGCCTCTTTTTGATGCCTGGAGTCGTTTAGAAGCGCCGGATGCTGCGAACGACGGAGTGCAGCTCCTTTTGCGCCCCGCTCTCCGCGCTAAAGCCGTCCCTGAACTTGGACTATCTAGGGCTACACGCTACATGAGCGCCGTCCCATTGGCCGCCCAAGCGTTTTGCGTATGCCCGGTCATTGTCACGGACAGGCTACGGGCGCCGCCGCAGGCCTGTCGCAAGATCCATGACTGCGACGCCGCGGCGGAATCTCGCGGCGGACGCGAGCCTGGAGCTCCTACAGGCTCGTAGGTAGGAGCCTGAATAGAACCACGACTTGGAACACGACTCATATATTAAACAAATTTAGGCTATAAAACAAACAACGAACAGACACTAGGGGTTGGGCGCGTTGTGGCGGTACAGCTTCTTCGAGCCGCTGTTCTTGCCCGAGAGCGTCCGCGCGAGGAGGTGGTGGAGGTACAGCGCCGCGCGCGGCGATTCTGTATCAAGCTCCCGGACGGCGTCGTGCGGCAGGCGCAGGATCGTCGACGCCGTCGACGCGACCAAGGTGTCGGACCGCGGCCCGTCTTCCCCCTTCCCATAGAACTCGCCGACGCCCACGGCGTTGCCTCTCCCCAATTTTCTCACGCACCGCTGCGGGTTGCCGCTCATGAGCCGCAGGCGCCCGGCACATACGAGATAGAACGCGGCGTCGCGCGGGTCGCCTTTGCTATACACAATTTCGCCCGCATGATAACGCCGCGAGCCGACGCTCGGCGCCAGGGCCGCCACGACGACCGGTATCGACGCGTCGCCGTGCGCCTCGTCGGCGTCGTTCGCCCGGAGCCAGTCCTGCAACAAAATATGAGGAGGCGCGCCCGGCCCGACCTTCGGGGACGTCATCGACGACTGCGAGCTGTCGCCCGACGCGGCCCGGAAGAGGTCCGACCGGACGTCTGCGTCGAGGACGGCGTCTTCGCAGCTCTCCAGCGCGTCGTCGGCCCTGTGTGGATATCAAATTTCAGGCGCCCACGCCACTCGCTGGTTGATTTTCACACGGACTGATACGTGTCGAAGAACGTGGCCGACGGTAAGGACGCCACCAAGAGATCGAGCGCGGGCGCCACGCACAGCCGGAAGCCCAAGGCGTCGCCGAGCGACGCGAGTCGCTGGAACGTCTCCACGGCCGTCAGGTCGAGCGCTCGTGTTTGGCAGTCCTCCAAGTCGACGACGAGGTGCTCCAATGGTCGAGCGACGGGGTCGTCGAGGCGTTGTGTGGCCGCTGATAAAACTTCAGGCGCGGACCCAAAAAAGACGTGACCGCGCAATCTCAACACTCGGATCGCGTCGCCCAGCGCATCTAAGCGCCGCTGCGCTCTAGATGAACGTTCCACCGCCGACCGCGCGTCGACGCCAGACAAAGTGGCAGCGACGACCGATTCCCGCGCGAGGCGCGACGCCGTGCCCGCGAGGCACAGCACGACGCCGACCGCGACCGCCTCCAACAGAGAAGCGGCTATGGCGGTGGCCACGACGGCGAAGACCGCCAAGACGTCAACATCCGTCCACACCACACCGCGACTGATCTGTCCCACCAAGTAGGTGTCGACGTAGTCCCATCCTAAATCCAATAGGAGAGCCCCGCAGGCGAAGCGCGGCACGTGCCGCAAGAACGCATATCCCAGGGCCCAGCACAGTAAACATAAAAGAGGCAAACATAAACCGACGCCTCGTCTAGACGCGCCGACCTGCTCCGCGAGTTTGAGGGAAGAAAAAGAGTAGGCCACGCCCTGCACGCCCAGGAAACCCAGGCACACGTTACTGAAGCCGACCATCGCTACTTCCTGATCGGCGCAGATGGCCTCGTTCGGGAAGAGGGCCGGGAAGGCTCCCGTTTTGAGGCCGATTTTTATAGATCCCAGCGTCGCCGCGGCGAGGATGACGCCCCGGCACTGGAAGACGACGGCCCAACGCACGTGGGTAAAGAACGTCGCCACACCGCCCACCGCGCGATGCGAGAGGTGCTTGAGCGAGCACTCGCCACCGGATCCAATCAGGCAAGACACGAGCACCACGCAGAAGGGCGCCTCAGTGACGGCCGCTCCTACTTCGGCATCATCATCCACATTTTCCACTTGGATCGGCCCGCCCAGCGCGTCGATGTCCAACAAAGGCGCCCAGCCGCGCGCCGTGGCGAGCATGGCCGGGTCCCAGTCGAACAGACCGCCGGCCTCGGCCGCCTCGGATGCGTCAACATCATAAATAAGAATACCGAGGTACATGGCTACGGACGAGACGAGGACGACGGCCACGGGCGGGAGCCACGTCGGCACGCGGCCGCTCCGCCTTGCTAACCGCATGAACAGGGCCAGCACCAAAGCGCAGGAGAGCCACAGTATCCCGAGCTCATGCGATACTCTAAAACCGGGAGCGGCCGCGACGCGGGCGCCCGACTTGCACAATGACACACCAATGGAAGCCAGCATGCCCGAGATGACAGGATACGGCATGAAGTTGACCACCCTTGTAAGTTTGAACGCCCCCAACGCCCACAAGACGCCTCCACAGAGCAAGAAGATCAACGAAGAGGCAGCAACCCACGTCGCCACGAAGTCGCGCCGCGTGTCCGCCGGCACCGCGGCATACGACAGAGCGCCGTCTTCTTCAAAGGACCACACCTCAAATGTGTGTTTTTTCGTCGGCGCGATGTTCTTCCAGCACTGGTCCGCGAGCTGCGCGAGCAAGGGCGCGAAACCGACGTCCGTCGACGCGATGCACCAGGGCACCTGGCTTCGTAAAGCGAAGACGATGCCGGTGAGGGCGGTGCCTAGCAATGCGCCGTCGACGCCGACGAAAACCAACCGCGGATCGAGCTTCCCAAAAATGGCTTGCGCCGTCGACGCATATATAACACACGTCACGACAAAGGCAACACAAGTAGCCATGACGTCGGTCCTGAACTGGGGGTAGTCGAACGACGGCGCGGCGCGGCTGCGTCGAGGCGGACTGCGCGCCTCGACGTCGTCGTGGGCCAGCATGGGCGGCGGAGAGACTTCGGCCCTGCCGCTCCGCAGGAACTCGAGCCTCAGATACGCCGAGAGGGCTTGCTTGTGGCCCGGGGGCTTGGCCAGCGCGCCGTAGCTCGGGCCGGCCCTGATGTTCGCCTCGGACGACGACCTTCTTGGACCCCGCGGCGATTGGAGGAGCACGGCGGCGAGCGGATCGATGAGGTCGCCGTGGCCGACGCTGCGCAGGTGCTGGCGCATCGTCGCGATCGTTGGCGTCGGCGGCTGCCGGGCCGCGCGTGGCGGGCCGCTGCCGCCGGAGAAGGTGTTGGAGCGCGGGCGCGTCGTCGGCGGCGGCGGTGGGGGCGGGGGAGAGTCCATAGTAGCGACGTGCACAGCTCTGCGCTTCTGACAGCTTCGGTTTACGCGCAGAAGAAGGTGCGTAGAGCTCTGCTCTCCGGCTCTCTGGGCCACTAGCGGCTCTTCTCGCTGGCTAAAAGTTAGCGTGTCGCTGCGGCGTGAGGGCTGAGGACCAGACGCAGGATCAACGCGTGCTGATGGCAGCTGTGCCACATGAGCAGCGTTTTCAATCGAAGGTCTAGGGGTGGCGGGTTTTTCGCGCGAGCTCGAAACGACGTACCTCTCCCGCGAGCGTACCCCGAGGGGTATGCGGGAGCTCTGGCTTGTCCGCAAGCTGGATCTGGCACCCTGGCGCGCTAACCCCTACAGCGCGGCGGCCGCTGGCAAATTGTGTGTCCTAGAACCACCCGAAGGGCCCACTGACTGAGGAAGCAGCGCAGGAGTCGGTCTGCGATGGCTTCGCAAGGAGCCACTCTTCAGAACTACAACAACGAGCTCGTGAAATGTACGCAGCTGTGTCTATGAGGAAACATGCCGGTAAAAAAGGTTGCGACGCGCCGGCGGGACGGGCCGCGCCCATGACCATCCTGCGGCGCCGCGCCGCAGCCCCGCCGCGGTACGCGCGTCGCGACTAGCCGTCAGTTCGCGCGCCGGCCGCCGCCGTCGTTAACGTTGGCGGCGAAAGGCTGCCAAGCGGACGACGCGGCGCGGGCGGCGCGCGCGAGGCGGTGACGGCGCGCGCGCCGAGGTGTGACACGCCGCGCCGCGCCGCCGCGACACACACACACGAGTGGAACGCAGGGACGCAGGGACGGGCGGCTCACCGTCCCCGAACGCGCAGGCATCGAGGACCTCCGGGAAAAGCGCGAGGCCGTGAACACGGCCATCCTCAAGGAGGAGGAGGAGAAGGCGAAGATCCAGAAGGACCTGTCCATCCTCACCGATAGGCTCAGCAAAATCAACGAGGCGCTCGCGCGACGAGTCATGGCGCGGAACGAGTACGACAAGACGATTCAGGAGACGGAGGCGGCCTACATGAAGATCCTGGAGTCGTCGCAGACGCTGCTGCACGTGCTGAAGCGCGAGACGGTGAACCTGACGAAGAAGAAGCAGTACTCGTCCTAGCTTTTTTTCCCGTCCCGCTTTGAGTAAAATACACGTTCAAAACACGCTTCTCTTATGCTAGCCCTAGGGAGCGCTATTACGTGCGGGTTTGCGGCCGAGCCGATTTGGATTTGGAGCCAAAGAGAGCGCGCGCTTGCAAGGCTCGCGAAGCTACACTGCTCGCAGGCGTATTTTGGACCAGTGCTTGGCCTCGGCAGCAATTCGCTTGAGCACGAACCGCACTGGTGCCATAAAAAAGCACAAGCCACACAAGCCATACAGCTGTAAAGCAGCAGACGAACCGCACTGGTGCCGGAGCCAAGCACCTCTGAGAGCCAGCAGAAATGATGGCACGCGTGCATGTGATGGCGCTCTGCGCCGCGGCGTCGGCGCTGCGGCCCACCGCCCGCCGCACGGCTTTGCGGCTAGGCACCGCCTCCATCATACAAATCGCGCTGCCGGCACTCGCGGACACCGAAATCGACATGGACAAGATCCGCGCCCTCGCCGCGAAGAAGGGCTCCATGGACATGAGCCTCCCGGGGCTCGGGAAGGACCCTTCGAAGGAAAAAGCTTTGGTCGACGTCGTGCTCGGCGCGAACGGCGCCGTCGTCAAGTTGGACCCGGACGAGGTGCGGGAGATGGAGCGCATTGGATTTTTAGTGAAGGACTCGTTCCGGGGGAGGGCCCCGGACTTCTGGAGTCTGCGCGATTTCCAGCCCCCGAAATGGTACTCGGAGCCCGTGGACCGGTTTTATGGGATGAGTGTGGCGGGCTTCACGGTACCCGCGGCCGAGCGGTCCGCGGCGAACGAGCAGTACGCCGCGTCCCTGCGGCGTAGCGTCGCCGAGAAGGTCGCTTCTGTCGCTTCTCAAACACCTCCCTCAAACTGGGAGGTGCCGGTCCAAGACGACGGCAAGTATTGTGGGTATGGCGACTACCGGTCGCTCTGTAGTGAAAAGACGAAGGGCCAGAAATTTATTGAGGAGTACTTGAATCCGACGCCCAAAAACGCGCCGCCGCCGGTCAAGCTCCAGGTCGAGAACCCCATCGAGAAATTCAGCAAGGGCTTCTCGTCCGGTGAAAGGGGGCTGCCGTCCTTGCCCCGGCTGCAGATCATGTCGGAGTAAGGAGCTGATATATATTGCAGGTTTTTTGCTATCGTCGGCTGTTTCTACGTGTGCTTGCTTCGGGGATGGAGCGCTCAGGTGCGGCGCGTCGATGGCGTGCTGCCCTCCGGAGTCCTATCCGCAAATGCCATGTGGCTTGGACCCGTTCGGGGCGCCTGGTTTTTAGCACAAGTACCTATACCATACCATACTTGTACCGTACCTCGTGGCGCTCGTCCTGGCTTACCACTCTTAGCGGCGCCTAAGAGGCGTCCGCGGCCACCGCTTCGAAGCTACACTAGTGCGCCCGCCATCGCTGCGCCGCGCGTGAGGCTGTAAAAGTAGCGCACAGCATCAGCACAGCATCACAGCCTCTGCACAGCATCCGCATGGCCTCGAAAAAGCAGCTCTCCGCCGACGCGCCGGCGTTCGCGCCAGTCTCGACGCCTCCAAACAATGACGAGACGATCCCCGTCGCACCAGCAGCGGTAGAGGACCAGCGCGCCGTCGTCGCGGACAAGCTGCGGCGCCTGCAGCACGCGCAGCGCGCGCAACTCAAGGCCATGCTGCCGAAGCTGCCCGAGGGCCCGGCGAAGCTCCAGCTCAAGAAGAAGATCTGGGCGATCGAGAAGGAGCTCTTCCCGAAAGAAGCCGCAGCGCCGCCGCCGCGGCGCGCGATCGAGGCCGTCGCCGCTGAGGCGCTGCCCGCGCCGAGCTCGCGCGCGACGGCGCTCCTGGGCAAGTACAGCGCCACGGCGGCCGCGCGGCGCGCGTCGTCCGACGTCGACATCGTCGTGCCCGCGCGGCGCGCGCCGGCGGCGCCGCCCGCGAGCGCCGGCACTGTAAAAGCGTCGGCGTCCGACATCCTGCGGCGCTACTCGTCGTCGGCGGCGGCCCAGCGGAAGGACGAGGCGTCACAGTACGCGGCGCACGGCTACTGCCTCCTCAAGGGCTGGCTCGCCGCCGATGCTGTGGAAGCGCTGCGCGATGATTTGAAGAGCAGCCGGCGGGCGCACGGCCTCGACGATGATGCATTAGAAGCGAGGGACCTGAACGTCGACTTTATTGGATTATCTGTCAAGGACCGGCTCGGGGCCGATAGCACGGCCCGCACCGAGGCGTGGGCCTACCGGCGGCTGAGGAGGGCCGCGACGTCTAGAGAAGACGGTTTTGTGAGTGAACGCTGTGTTTTAGGAGCGCTCGCGGCGGCCGCGCAGCAGGCAGCTGGTTTCGAACGCCCGCATCTACTGTCGGAGGTCTTCGTCGTGAAGCCCGCTCTTAGTAAAACGAGTTTTGATTGGCACCGCGACGACGCCAAGCAATTGGAGAAGGTCGGTGGTATTGAGAGTGCTGAGGCCTTTTGCTCGACCTGGGCGCCGCTAGATGACTGCACCGCCGCTTCCGGAACCCTGGAGCTCCGATCAAAAAAAACGGGCGCGTCTCAAGTCATCGAATGCGAACCCGGCGACGTCGTCGTCTTCGCCAAGGACGCCTGGCACCGTAGTTCTGCGAATGCCTCCGATGGCGACCGTTCGGTGCACTACGCCCAGTTCTCTCCGACACCGTTGCTACTTGATGGGAGGCCGCTCTGGTTCGCCGTGCCGTGCGAACCGACAAGAGAATCGGTCGACGAGACGCGGAGCAGAGCCGACGCTTGTACCGTAATGCCGCGCGTCGTGCGCAACGCTCTCTCGAAACCGTGGGCGCTGCCTGATGACGCACTTTCCATAAAGTGCACGGTGTTCCGGTCGCCGCAAGGAAAATTCTGCCTCGACGGCACGCGCCACCCCGATGCCTTATTGACGCAGTCCATGGCGTCCCGAGGAGTCGTTGGAGACGTCCTCTCGTCGGAGGTGGCGGCCTACGCCGTCCTCGACGACCTCGGTGATGGTAAGGCGCTCGCGCTGCCGGCGTGCCCTTTGCCAGATCTGAGTGGTACAAGGCCGCCGCAGTTCTTTATTGCGCACGGAAAATGTGAGACGCAATTACATCGCGACGCCTTCGCGAACTGCTACGTGTGTTTACATGGAGAGCGGACGTGGACGATCGCCCACGCGGCCCACGGTTATCTGGAGCGGGCGCCGGGCGCCGTCTCGGGCGACGACGACGGCCGCGTCCGGAAGGTCTCCGTGACGCTGCGCGCCGGCGACGCGCTCGTCCTGCCGAAGGACTGGTGGCACGCCGTCGCGGCGGCCGACGGCGCGGGGGGCTACTCGGCGGCGGCGAACTTCTATTTCGACCATGAGGTCGAAGGGGCGCCGGCGGCGAAGCGGCGTAAATTGTGAGTTGTTGAAAATTCGGCTGCGGTCTAGGCTAGCGGCAGTAAGACACTAGCAAGCGCATAGCAAGCGTCTGCTCCTAGCACTGCTAGCAATCGTGCTGGCTAACGACTTGCATTACATCTGTGTTGGAAGCGTAGGCCGTACCTAATCGGCGCGCCCGTTGCGAGCCTCCTGAAAGCTCCCTCTGAGGAGCACTGCTGTCAAGGCGCTCCCACGCGCGCGCGCGGCGCCGCGGCGACGTCGCGCTTGCGCCAGCGGAACGGGACGCGCGCGGCGCAGCAAAAAAAAACATGGTCGACTACAGCAAGTGGGACAAGTTTGAAGACAGCGACGACGAACGAATAGCCGAGGACTTGCGAAGGGTCTCCAAGCAGCCGGAGACGCTCGAGCAGCGCCAGCAGGCCAAGGAGTCGGCGCGCCGCATCGCCCGGGCCTTCATGTCCCAAGAAGACGAGACCACGGGCCCGAATGAAGGAGACGACCCAGCAAATCTGAGTGAAGCGAAACGGAGGAATGATGCCTGGTGCAAGTGGGTCGCGGACCACAAGGATGCGAACGACGCGGCCTACGCGGCCTTCGAGGCGAAGGACCCCGACGCCTGGAAGCGCGTGCCCTATACGACGTTGATGAAGAACGGCGTGGGCACGGGCGTCGCGTACCCCTTCGACGCCGAGTGGTTCAAGAGCGAACCGACGGCCGATGAAAAGCCGCCGGACATCGATCCCGGGTTTCTGGATGGATGTTTCGACGAAATCGACCCTTCTTCCGTAGAAAGAATAGTATACAGCGGCCCCGGCGAGTGGCACGGCAAGTTGGTGACACCAGCCGAAGCTCGACTGTTGGATTGCTTCGCGATCGACAAGGCCGAGGCCGCCGAGAAGGAGCGGCAAGCGAGGGAGAAGAAGGGCACGAGCAAAGATGAGCGAGAACGGCAGCAGGCCGCGCTCCAGGCCGCGAAGCGGAAGGCCGACTTGCGGGAGCGGGAGAAGCCCAAGGAGCTCAAGGTGCTGGATAAAAAGCCGGTCGCGCCGCCGCCTCCTCAAACGTTCGACGGCGGCGCGGCCGTCGTCGCGGCGGCGGCCGAGGCCGCGCGGAACGCCGACGAGCCGAACCGGCCCGTCGGTACGCAGCGCGCGACGGCGTCGGCCGCAGTGCCGAAGCGGGCGAAGCGGTCAAGGGAAGATAATGTGGTGCAGGACCCGCGCTTCGTGGTGGACGAAGACGCCTGGGAGACGCGGGACGTCGCGAAACTCATAAAGAGCGAGGCGCTGCCCTTTGATGCTGCGACGTCGGACGAAGAATATCTGGAGGTCCCGCTGCCGAACTTTCCGGAGAACGACACGTTAATACTGCACGTGTCCGTCGCGGCGGACGTCGACATCTGGGCCATGAATTTGTGTCCGGGCGACCATGATGATGGTGCGACCATCCTCTACCACTTCAATCCTCGGAGGAGGGAGCGCGGCGGGCGCCTCGTCGAGAACGATAAAAATGAGGACGACTGGGGCCGCGCCGTCAAAACACAACTTCCACCGAAGCCGGCGCTCTTCGGGCTCGCGAAGGCCGAGGTGGCCCTGCGGGTCGTCCGGCGGGCGGGCCACGTCGACGTCCACGTGACCGTGAACCGGCAGCAGGCGACGGCGTGGCGGCTGCGGACCGAAGTGAGCGAGGGCGCGCTGGCCCTCCTCGTGCCCACGCGGGACGACTTCGGGAACCGCCAGGGCGTCGTCGTCCACGACGCCTGGTGGGGGGCCCTGCCCCTGCTGCCGGCGCACCGGCCGTACCGCGAGCGCGGGCCGGCCTACTAACCTATGTTTTTCCGTACCGCGTGCCTTCCGCCGCCGCGCGGGGAAGAGTTGGGCTTATTTTCTTCCGAGCCGCACTTGACGCGCGACGGACGCCCGGTTCGCGACACGCGTGCGACCCCCGGCAGTGACACCGTCGACGCCGCCCACCGCCTCTCAGGCGTCAGCGCCGCGCTCCTCGTGCTCGCGCTCCGCGTGATCCGGTGATCCGCGTGCTCTGCACGAAAGACCCCCCCAGAAGTAGGTAGAAAGAATCCTAAGTCACCACACAGTGTAGTTACGCCCCCCGGCTCAGGCGCATCTCCGCGAACCGTATCGCGTCCGCGACCTGCGCGTTCTTCGGTTCGAGGTCGCGGGCCTTCCCGAGCTCGGGCAGCGCCTCGCGATACCTCCCCAGCGCGTGCAGCGCCAGGCCGCGCCGGAAGTGGGCCTTGGCATACGTATCGTCGAAGCCGGCCGCCGCCGCCGCGTCCTCCAACGCGCGGCCGTGGTCGCCCAGCTTCAGGAAGCACGCCGACCGGTTCGCGAGCACCACGGCCCGCGGTCTTCCAGAAGCGAAGGCCGGCCGCTCGAGCGCGACCGTGTAGTGCACCGCGGCCTGCCCATATTCCCTCTTCTGGAACGCCTGGTTGCCCGCGAGCTTCTCGCGCTCCGCGTCGGCGGCCTGCTCCTCGGCGACCGTTGTTGCTGACGCCCCCTCCCGCTCCAGCTCCCTCAAAGTAGTCCCGACCAATCGCTTGGACGTCCCTTGCACGATGCGTTCCGTGAGTAACTTCCCGTCGACCAGCTGCGTGACGAACTGCTGCTCCTTGATCGGCGTGTCTTTGTCGCAAAGAGAGCGGTCGAAGTTGTCCACCTCGACGCGAAGCGAGTCCTGGCGCCCGCCAACAGCGACACCGAGCCGCCGGCACGCCGCGGAGTAGACCCGCGACCCGGGATCCTGCGCTTCGTTGAAACACTCGATAGTGGCCCATATGATAGAACAGTCGTCACATAAGTCGCACTGCACCGTGTGTAACACTTTGGAGGTGATGAGCGTCGTCTTCGTGCACCGACTGACTTCCACAAATGACGTGATGAGGGGGCACCGCACCTCCACCACCACGTCCTCGCACTGGCTCACGAAGACCTTGGCGACTTTCAAGCCTGGAATTAACGTGACGACCGCTTTCTTGCATTCTTGGATGTCGACGACCAACGCATCGCCGAGTAGCTTCGGGTCCACTACGACCGTCTTCGTCTCGCCCTTAATGATGAGCTTCTGCTTCGTCTCCTCGTCCCGCCGCTTCTCCCAGAGGGCCTTCGCTTCTCTTAATGCCTTGTTGGTTGCCTTGTCCTGCGCCTCGGCCTCGGACTTCGGGCCGCTGTCGGTGCCCAGAGAGAGGGAGGACGCCTGCTTGTCCAGGGCGTCCTCGTCCTCGACCCGTTGGACTTCTTCCTTCGCGATGGCGTCCCATTTCGCGTGGTAGTCCTTGCGGGCTTTGGTCTGCTCGACGAGGGTGGACATGGCTGCGTTTAGCGGTCTCAGGAGGAGCGGATGCGCAGCTGTCTACCGCTGCGTATACCTCCAAAATTCGTAGCGCACTGTTGCAAACGGTGATGGCTGACAGCGGCGACGGCGTCGGATCCAGCCGTTTGCTGCGTGCGAGCTCGCTTGGCGCCCGCAAATTGTCGAGATGTCGAGCTCTTGGCCTCTGTGGGCCTCGCAATTTTTCGAGCTGCGACCAGTCCCATCTTTCCAGGACCGGTCGTCGACGGCGTCGTGCGCGGAGGCTTCGGCTCTCGAGCGCCTCGCCGGCGCCTCCTCTCACAAAAAGCTTGTAGTCGCAGTCGAGGGCCCGGCGAGCACGTCGAGCGCTGCAGCAAGGCAGTTTTGCGCTCGCAGCCATGCCGCTCAAAGCCGTCAAGACGGCGAAGTTCGCTGTCTTAGATGCCGGCGGCCTCAAGCCGGCTAAGCCAGCAGCCGCACCAAGGCAAGCTCCAGCAGCCGCCGCCGCGCCGCCCGCCGGCGTGACAGTCATAGACGACGACGCGGCGAACGTTGTATTGGCGAAGCTCAATGAACTAAATATCGCGCACCGGACCTACGCGCACGTCGCCGTGCCGACGGTCGACGAGCAAAGAGCCGCATTGGGTTCATTGCCCGGTGTATTAACGAAGAACCTGTTACTGAAAGACAAGAAGGCGGGCACCTTCCTCGTGACGGTCGCCGCGGACCGGCACGTGGACATGAAGAAGCTGCCTACCTTATTAGGTATCAAGGCCAATGCGAACCTGCGACTGACCGATCCCAGTATTCTGGGCGTGGAGAAAGGAGCTGTCTCTCCCTATGCCGCTATAAATGATACCAAAGGTGTTGTCACCGTCGCGTTGGACTCGGAGCTCGTGAATTCCACAGCGAACATCAACACGCACCCTCTGCGGTCGGATCGGACCGTCTCCGCCTCCCCACAAGACGTAGTAGCTTTCCTGGAGGCCGTGCAGCACGCGCCGAAGATCCTGGATTTCGGCGGCACGAGCTCTGCACCACCGCCGCCGAAAGCAAAGGCCGTCGCGGCGAAGCCCTACAAAAAGCAGGAGAAACCCGTCAAGCCCCAGCAACAAACAAAGTCGAGGAACAAGAAGGGCAGCAAGGAAACCTTGGATAGGATAGTGGCCTCCAAAACGGGCGACTTCGCGGCCTGGTACGGCGAAGTAATTACGAAGTCCGAGATGATCGAGTACGGGAAAATCTCGGGCTGCTACATCTTGAGACCCTGGTCCTTTGGGGTGTGGGAGCAGATCCAGAAGGCGCTGGACGGGTGGATCAAGGAGGAGCCCCTCGAGGTGCAGAACTGCTACTTTCCGCTCTTCGTGACCAAGGGAGCACTCGAGGCCGAGGAGGACCACGTCGAGGGCTTCGCGCCGGAGGTCGCCTGGGTGACGAAGAGCGGTGAGACCGATCTAGCCGAACCGATCGCCATAAGACCGACCAGTGAAACGATCATGTACCCGGAGTTCGCCAAGTGGTTACGATCGCACCGCGACCTGCCTCTCAAGCTCAACCAGTGGTGTTCGGTGGTAAGGTGGGAGTTCAAGTACCCCACTCCGTTCCTTAGATCGAGAGAGTTCCTGTGGCAGGAGGGCCACACGGCGCACTACACGCTCGAGGAAGCCGACGAGATGGTCTACGCTATCCTAGAGTTGTATCGGAGGGTCTACGAGGAGATTCTGGCCGTGCCCGTGATCCCAGGAACGAAGACCGAGGCCGAGAAGTTCGCTGGTGGTCTGAGGACGACGACGGTGGAAGCTTATATTGCTGGGTCGGGTAGAGCCATCCAAGGTGCTACCAGTCACAACCTAGGCCAGAACTTCGGCAAGATCTACAATATCGCCGTCGAAGGCGAAGGCGGCAAAAAGACGATCCCCTGGCAGACGTCCTGGGGGCTCACGACGCGGTCGATCGGTGTGATGGTCATGGTCCATTCGGATGACCAGGGGTTAGTACTACCCCCAAAAGTGGCTCCGGTGCAAGTCGTGGTCGTCCCGATCGTCTCGAAGACGTGTCCTCTGTCGCAGTTGCAATCATTTATCGATCAAGTCAAAAAGGAGCTCAAAAATGCTTCCATAAGATGTAAAGTGGATGACAGAGGAAACCAGTCGCCGGGCTGGAAGTACAACCACTGGGAGCAGAAGGGCGTGCCGCTGCGATTGGAGGTCGGGCCGCGAGATGCCGCGGCAAACACGGTCATGGTCGTGCGAAGGGTCGACGGTGTGAAAGCCTCAAAGCCCGTCAATGGTCTGGGTAGCGCTATTCGGGCCGAGTTGGATGATATCCACCAGGTCATGTTCGCCAAGGCATCTGCAGCAAGGGATTCGAAGGTCGTGCAGGTCACGTCCTGGAGCGACTTCGTCCCTGCGTTAAATGACGACTGTTTAGTATTAACGCCGTGGTGCTCGCCTAAGAATCAGGAGGCGGAGGACCAGGTCAAGGAGCGGTCGCGGGAAGAGTCGCTGGCTCTGTTGGGCCTCGAGGCGGAGGATGAACGGACGGCGACCTCATTGGCCGCGAAAACTTTATGCGTGCCGCACGATCAACCTCCGCTCCCGGCGGGTACCAAGTGCTTCTTTACCGGTGAAGAAGCGACGTGCTGGTGCCTCTGGGGGCGTTCTTACTAAGAGAGTGGTTAGTCTTTACTTTCTGGCTCGTCGCGCCGGTGGCGCCGGCCGCCGCGCCGCCGTCGCGCTGGTGGTGGCGCAGGCGATTCGGGTGTTGGAGCGGGTTCACGCCCGCGCCGCCGCGCCATGTCCTCGACGATCTGCTTCTTGGGGACCACTCCTAGCTGCGAGACGTCGTAGCGCGCCTCGAGCGCGTGCTTGCGCAGGATGGACGGCTTGTCCGCGTCGTCGCCGTCGCGGGCGGGCGTCGCGTGCGCGTGGTCGCGCTCGAGCGCCTGGAAGAGGGCCGACGGGGCGACGGCGCCCAGGCCCGCGGCGGCGTCCTGCACCGCCGGCCCGGCCACATGTTCCACGTCAGCGCCGGACAGTTCATCAGGCGGCACCGTCGGCCTAGGCCACTCGACGAGGGGACCGCCCTCCCATTCCCCTGGCAAGAGGGCCACGAGCGACGGACCGCGGAAGCACAGGTCCGACGGCGGCGCGCCGTCGTCGGGACACTGGTCCAGCATAAACGGTTCCTCTGCTAGAACGCCCTCTACAAATGGATAGACGTGCACATTCAGGCAGTATTGCGTAGCGACGGCGACGGCGGCCGTCGACACGGCGAGGCAGGTGCACACGCCGCCGACGCGCCGCTCGGCGACGCAGTCGCCCGTCGCCGCGTCCCAGACCCGCAGATAGCCGTCGCCGCCGCAGGACACGAGCCGCGTCCCGGACAAGAACTCGACGCCGGAGACGAAGTCCGTGTGGCCCAGACAGAAGCTCTCGATCTCCTCGCAGCGGGGGAACTGGGATATCCGCACCTTCTCGTTGCGGTCGGCGGTCGCGACGAGGCCATTCGCATAACTGACGCCCGTCAGGACGCTCGACGTGTGCGCGAGGAGCCGCCGCGGCGGCTTGTCCAGCGCCGGGAGCGGGAACGCGTACAACTCGCCGGCGCAGCACGCCAGCAGGACCTGGCCGGCGCCGTAGGGCGCGATGCACAAGCCACTCACGCGCCGCGGCGCCTCCGCCTCGCTGAGGCCGTCGCCGTGCCAGCAGCGCAGGCGCTTCGTGTCGGACGCCGTCGCGACCGTGGCGCCGTCTCCACTTATTGCCACGGCGACGCAGCGCTCGTCGTCGGCACCGCGCAGCGTCGTCGCCGTTCCCACGCGCCAGAGCACGGCGCCGCTGCCAATGCCGACGACGAGCGCGCCGCCTGAGTCCGAGGCGGCGAGGAGACCCATGTGGCAGCAAACGAGTGGCACGAGCGCCCGTGAGCAGTAAAAAGCGCTTGCCGATCTATGCGCGGCCCTGAGAACGCGTTGCAAAAGTCTGCGGTTCCAGTTATTCGTACCCGCGCGGCGCTTCAAATCTGTCGCTCGACAAGCAGCTCTCGATGGCACCGGAGAGCTATGAGCTGTGTCGACGCTCGTGCACCGAAAAAACAAACGCGCAGCAGTGCGGCACAATTCTCACGCACCACAGGCGCTGCGCGCACCGCAGTGCCAGAGCTGCCAGTGCTGCAGCACACTGAGCAGCAATCATGATGCGTCTCCTCCTCTACGCCGCAGTAACGCACGCTTCCTCAAACCTGCAGACCACGACCAGCAGACCGCCGCCGGGCCCGCCGAAACCGCCGCCGCCGCCGCGCCGGTCGCCCTGGCCGAGCGACCCCGCGGCGCTCGTCATGGAACGCGCCACGCCGAAGCATTGGAAGGCCTGCTTCTTCTCCGCGTTACTAATTGGTTCGGTCCGGTCGGCGGTTGTAGGGTGCCCCTGCGGCCTCTCTAAATGGCTAAGTTATATCAGCGTCGACTGCGAGAGCCGGCGGGCGCGCTGGGTCTCCGTGGGCATCGTCGCGTGCTTCTACGTTTTAGAGTGTGGCCGCTCAAGCACTTTAAGATATGTCCGGGACGTCCGCGCCGCCGAGGCCGTCGACGGCTTTTTGAAGAATGCGTTAGATGCTCCACCGGTAATCACGTGGGCGGCGTCGTCGTACCACTACGAGCGCAGTCGGCGCACGACGGATGCTTCATCCAGGCGCGTCGTCACGTCGGTCAATAGGGACGCGTGGAGCTTCGGCGCGTGGCGCGACGCGTCCGGCGGCCTCGATGCTTTAGCCAGCAGGTGGCGCGACGCCTGCTTTACGGGTCGAGCAGCGCGACCGTCCCTCGTGAAAATACGGTTAAGGAAAGCATTGGTCTTCGACGACCGCGCGACGGAGCGGGACTACCACGGCCAGCTCGCGGCCTTCGCGCGGGCGCATCGGCACCGCGACGTGCACCTGTCGGTCGAACAGTCTTACAGGTTAAAGGACTGGGATCTAGACGAGCGCATGTTGGGTGTCAGGCGGCCGCTCGGCGCGCCGGGCGCGCTCTGGACGCCGGGCGGCTTCTGGCTGTTTGCGGGTCTGGGGCTGACCGTGCCCTACCGCGCGCTGCTGGAGCGGCGCTGCGCCGTCGCCACGCTGGAGGTCGTGAAGCGCGTGCGGAGCCGGCGGCCGGAGGCGCCTGCTGGTTCTGACTAATGTGCTGTTCGTTGTCCCGGTCGCGTCGAGTCGTCGACGGCGCAACGCTCCCCGCAGGCGGGAGATGTATGTTCACAGCACATAACGAGCCTGAGTCGGAGAGCCGAGTGCGACCGTGACTCGGAAAATACTAGTACCCGCACGACGCCGCCGACTAATGTGTTGTGAATATTTATATGCTCGTATGCCTGGGTCACGGGCGTCAACGCGATCTACCCGTCCGTGCACTGCGAGGTGGAGTTCACCGGGCCGTCCGTCGCGGGCCCCCAGTACCTCCTCGAGGTCGAGGCCGACAAGTGCGACTCCGGCTGCACGCCCCAGCTGTCGAACCCGGTCCGGCTCAAGTCCGCCCTCGTGGCCTCGACGGCTGCTGGTGCTGCTACGGCCTTCGTGGGCGGGTCCGCGGCTGGCGCCATCGAGTCGACGACCGGCGGGTCGGGTGCTGCTGGTTCGACGACGATTAATTTAGTGACCGGTGACGGCGTTAAGCTTGGTGACGGATCGACCGAGCCCACCGCTCCCTTCTACATCCTGATCAACAACGAGGTGATCAAGGTCACCGCCACTGCCACCAATGGTGATGCGCTGACCGTCGTGCGTGGCCAGGCAGGCACGACCGATGTTACGCACAACGACGGGGACACGGTCGAATTCCTGACCGCGGGCGTTTTCGGCGGCGGCGCGCACCCAGACATCCTCTCTAACGTCAAGCAGACGGTCCCGGCCGACCACAATTCCTACGAGTGCGGCCGCCGCGGCAAGTGCGACTACTCCTCCGGCGAGTGCGAGTGCTTCGAGGGCTACATGGGCGACCACTGCCAGACGCAGACCGCGCTCATCTAGAGCATGCGGTACATGAGTCCTGTCTTTTAACTTTGTGAATAAGACTCGGAGATGTAACTAGTGTCAGGTACTTACGGGCGGCGCCTTCGCGGACGCGCGCTTGTGCGGCGGGCTGCCGAAGGACGCTCTTTCTTTCCTACGGGTCCCGACGGTGCGCGCCGCGGCGATGGCCTTCTCGTAGTGGGACCGGCGCTTGCCCGAGATGACGTAGTCCGACGGCGTTCTTACGGAAGGCGTCCGTCGGGCTCTCGGTGAGGCTTTAAAGTCCTCGAAGATGCCCGCCGACCTAGAGGCAGGTGGTGGTGATGTTGATTTCACACCTGCCAATTCCTTGAGCTGCCATCGTAGGGACGCGCGGATCGACGCGTGGTCCTCACCGAGACCCTCCAATTCACCTAGTAATTTCTTCGCCAGGCGTCGCGCCTCCGACGCGTTGTCCCGCGAGTAGCGTTGTGGGCTTCTAGATCGCACGGGAGACTTGGACCGCGTCGGTGGCGTCCCTGCGCCTTTCTTAAAGCCTTTCCACTTCGTCGCGGCCTGGAAAGCTAGCGACTGCTCCTTCGCCGAGCCCCACAATTTAGATTCCGCATCTAAAGCTCGCTTGCGCCACTTCTGCATCTCCTCCAGATTGGCTTCAAAGGCCTTGACGACTGGCGACTGCGCGGCCGGTGTGGGTGAGGTGATGCCCTTCTTGCGCATACTTGGTGATGGGGGTAGTTCGTCCAACGCAAACCGGTACTTGCGCGGTGTCGTGGGCTGTTGAGCCGGCGACTTGGCGTCGAAGAATTGCTCCTCGCCCTCGGCCGGGTCGGCGATCGGCGGGACCGGCGGCTTCGATTCCGCGGGCGCGGGCGGCGTGGGCGTGGGCTCAGTGATCCCGCGCTCCTGGAAGACCTCGTCGATGACGTCGGCCCGGGCGGGCGTCGCCGCCTGGGCCGCCATTCCCTGTTGCGGCGCTTTGTCCGTCGTGGCGCTGCGGCGCACGGGGCTCGGGCCGGAGTGTTGAGGTGCTGAGGTGCTGTGCGGGCTGCCCCGCGGCCGGCGCTGAACTTGAACGGCCGGAGCGGTGGGTGGGGATGTGAGGCGAGGGTTGGGCCGCTGCGTCGCGGTGGGGGCGGCGGCTCGCGCTGGGAAACAGAGAGAGCAGGAGTCGTGTCGTCGCCACAGCGCTCAGAAGCGCTAGAGCCCGGCGCCCGTGCGCCTCTCCGCGGCACCACTCTCCGGCCGAGGGAGGCCCTGTGGAGCTACTGGCTCGACGCCCGGGCAAGCTTCCTGATCACAAGAACAACACCTTAGACACCACAGTCAGCTCAGCGAGGCCCGAGCCCCTCCCCCACTACAAGCCCCGCGAGGTGCTCCGGCGCGAAGCCCTCGGCGCTCCGCCGCGCGTCGTGGCGGAAGACGAGCGCCGGCGCGAACCGGAGCCGCGCGCGGCGCGCGACCTCCGCTCTCAGACCACCGGCGACGCGGGCGAGGGCCGCCTCCGCCGCCTCGAGGCGGTCCGGGTTTTGGAGAGGAGGCGCCGCGTCGGCGAAGAAGCGGCTCCGCGGCGGTCGCAGGCTCTCAGCGAGGCGCCACGTCACGGTCGCCTCGCGAAAGTCCGGGCTGAGGCGCACCGCGGACACCTCCACCTCCGTCAGTGGGGGGCGCCAGGCGTCGCGGCGGCGCCGCTCGGCGACGGCCGCGGCGAGCGCGTGCTCGACGCGCGCCTCGGCCTTGCGCTGGACGATTGATGCAGCGCGTTTGTGGGTGGCCTCCGGCCGTTTTGGTGTCGCGTCCCTATTTTGTTTTGTGGCGCCCCGCGCCTCCCTATTTGCTTTCGTGGCGCCTCGCACGAGGCGTGCGGCGGCCTCAGTGAAGGATGGTGTTGATAGGGGTCTCCGCAGCAGGCGATGCATGCCAGACTCTTATGGGCCGATGAATGCGGCAAGTCAGCGACTGTAAAATGCGACCAGAAGTGTATAACGAGGTTGCGGCAGCTGACGTGAACACTTTATTTTTTTTCGCTAGCGTTCAAAGACACTAGACCTAGTCAGAGTGCAAGGTCTAGCTTTTATCATCACCTAGACGTGCTAGGGGTCGTCCAGACATGGCCCGTTACTCCTTCCTCGTTGCTGCGGCGGCTGTCGTCGGCTGTGCCGCGTTCGCGCCTGCCAGATCACCGCTGGCGCTGTCCACAAGACGGACGGCACCCAAGGCCGGCCCCTTCGACGACCCCGACGCCTACGTCGCGCCGAGCCCGCCGCCCAAGGGCCGCCTCGGCTCGAGCGTCGACCAGGACGGCAAGAGCAACATCTGGGCCGTCGAGCCGAAGATGGCGGTCGATCAGGACGCGGGCGCGTCTGGCGGCGGCCTGATCGCCATCGGGGCGGGGGCCGTGCTTGCTTTGGGTTTGATCGCGGGCGCCTTCCTCTTCATCAACGTCGAGCAGTAGGGAGTTCGGCGGTGGTGGCGTCGCGGCACGCGGTTCCGTCCCGCGTTCCAGTAAGCTCGTTTCGCCTACTCTCTTGCCGCGAGTGGTCCCGCCGGGACCCTGTCGTCCTCGAGACGTCCGTAGAACGCTTTCTAGTGTCTTACCGCTAGCTCAACCAGATTATTGCTCTCTCGCGGTCGCGGCCGCTGGCAGGCTGCGCAGGCCGTAACGCGGTGCCACTGTTTTGACAGCTCTCCGTAGTGCGCAAACGACGCCGCCACTTTCGGGCAACCGCTGGGGACCGCGACGTAGATAGCCTGGGCCTGAGCCTGGGCGCGCCGCGGTCTACGCGTAGACACTCATAGCACAAACGCGGCGGCGCGCTACACAAGGCCAAGATGTCCGTCGCCATGGGCGGCGACGAGACGGGCGGCTTCGTGGGGGATGTTGGTACTGCGGTGTCCAAATTCGGCTTCGGCGGCGAGGATGCCCCAAAAGGAGTGTTGTCGTCGAGACTGGGCTGCGTGTTCGATCAAAATCAAGCCTACGTCAAAGGCAGTAACGGTGTACCTTTGTTGAGGGAGCTGACGGCGGAGGACTACAAAGTCCCGGACGACTATCCGGCTCGATTGCATACGCGGTCTCCCTTCGTCGCACCCCCACAAAACCAGCAGTGCGTCGCCAAGTGGCTGCACGGCGACGTCTCAAGTTTGGGTGCTGCTCGGTTCGACAAGGGCGAGAGTTGTGTTGTTAGGTCACCACTCGTCGATGGCGAATTAGATGACTGGGACACCATCGAGGAACTGTGGCGCGAAGCCTTCGAACGGGCCAAGACAAGTGGTGCGGAGCAACCGGTGTTAGCCGCAACCCCATCAGACGCGACTCCCAAGCATCGGGCGCAGTATCTGGAGTTGCTGTTCGAGACCTTTGGGTGTCGCGCGGCGTATCTGGCGAGGAACGCGACGTTGGCGGCCTTTGCGGCTGGTAGGGCGTCGGCGTTAGTGGTAGACTGCGGCGCGGGGACGACCTCTGTAGTTCCGGTCGTGGACGGTTATGTATTGATGAAGGGTATTCGTACAAGTAAGAGAGGAGGCGATCATGTGGATGCGCACGCCCACGAGCTACTCACGAAGTTGTGCGGCGGCACGGAACCGGTTCCTAGAGCAGCAGTACGTAGGGAAGGGAGAAAAACATATGAGAGCTGGCCGGAAGCCTTCCGGAAATTCACGCAACGGGAGACGGTGAGAGATCTGAAGGAGTCCTACGGCGTCATCCCGAAGAAGTGGGGCCTCGCGGTAGGCCTCAAAGAGGACAAGCGCCAGTTCTTCCTACCCGATGGCACGATCGTCGACGTGACGACGGATCTCGTAAGGGCGCCGGAGCAGCTGTTTGAAGGCGTTGAGGAGGAAGAGGTCGTGAAGAAGGAGGAGGAGGAGCCTTCCATCAAAGTTGTGAGAGATGCTCGAGTCGGTCAAAGAGCGCTTCAGCCGCCCCAGATACAGCCACCGATAAACGATCCGGTCGTGGCGGCTCTCCCGGAGATGGTCAAGGGTTCTCTCGAAAGAGTCGACGTGGACGTCCGAAAAGATCTACTGCTCAACATTGTCCTAAGCGGTGGGGGCTCGTGCGCGCCGGGCACGGCGGAACGCTTGCATTCTGATGTTGCGCTGTCATTGTGCGCGCCCTTCAAGGCGAAGATCGTCGCGCCGGCGGCCTTTGAGAGGAAATTTGGGGTGTGGATCGGCGGCTCCATTCTTAGTTCATTAGGGTCGTTCCAGCAGATGTGGCTGTCGAAGAAGGAGTACGACGACGACGGGCCGACGAGGTTGGTCGAGGGGCGCTGGGACTAATAATGAATGCACGTTAGTGTAGTCTACTCCTCGTCAGCAGCCTGCTTGGCCTTGTACGCCTCCATCTCCGTCTTGTAGCGCTCCGCGTCCTTGGCCGCGAGATCATGATAAGGTTTCTTGTCATCTTCAGTCAACTCCTTCCAGCGCTTGCCGAGCTCGCGGCCGACGTCGCCCAAGGACCAGTCCGGGTGCGCGGCCTTGATCTCCGCGCGAGTAGCGCTCCCGAAGAAGATGAACGCCGAGCTCTTGCCCTTCGGCGCGTTCGGATCCTTCTTCTTCTTGGCCTTCTTCGCGGGCTTCTTGGTGGACTCCTCTTCATCAGCTTTGCGCTTCTTCTGCGAGGGGGGTCGCATGGCGTACCGGTGGGGCAGATACCACGTGCGATACATGTAACGGACGCCGCGCAAGTACCTTCTTCTTCTTCTTTTCCGGCGAGGGGCTCTTGGCCTTCTTCTGCGAGGGGGGGGGTACTCGTGAGATACGATACATATATGTATAACGTACCTTCTTCTTCTTCGGCTTCTCTTCTTCCTCATCACTCCCGGAACCATCTTCATCATCGTCATCATCATCATCGTCGTCATCATCCGAGGCGTCCTTGGGCGCGACGAAGTCCTCGTCCGGCGAGTCCTCGTCGTTACTGTCGGCGGGCCCGCGCTGCGGCATGTCCTCGTCGCTGGAGGAGCCGTCGAGGCCCATGGCGCGTTTTCTAGCTTCGTTCTCGGCCGCGGCCGTCTCCACCAGGTTCCGGATCTTCAGGCCCTTGGCCGTGAGGAACTCGAGGAGCCCCTTGTACTCGTTGCGGTCGATCGACGTGAACGTGTGCTCCTTGCCGTCGCCTGCGCGCGCGGCGGGGGTCGCTCGCCGCCGGGACGCGCGCGCGGGGCGGAAACGGTCGCGTCGAGGGCGTCGTCACGAACCCGCGCCGCCTCGACGCCGCCGACGTGGCCGTCGCGTTGCGGCGATGGCGTGGAGCAAGTTCGGACGTCCACCTCCACGCCATCGACGCGACGGGTCCCCGCGGCGCGGCGGCATCGCGCCACGCAGGGTCGAAATCAAAGAGGACGCCGCGACAGACCGCGAGTAGAAATCTTGAGGTCGAAGTTTTTGGTCGCGGACGACTGCCCGTAGCCCGTAAATCTTTCAAACTCCACGGCACTAATGTCCTCGAACTTTATGATGAGTGTCGGCTTGTGGATGAAGGCTAAGGAGCGCTCCAGAGGGTATAGTTGGCCCGTCGACGCTTTTACGGAACACGACACCGCGTGTCTACCATCAGAACTTCTGAATTTACCAGTGGTGAAGACCTTCTTGCCCGACAGCACCTTGAAGACCCTCGCAACTAATTGATAGAGAGCACCGCTCAATTCAGGTTTGAGGCCGCAGTTCGCACCGTACTTACTCGTGATCTGCTCTTCAGTCAACTTGACCATGATCTCGGCCTCGGTCTTCTTCAGTTGCCAGACTAAGTGAGGATAGCGTTGTTGCCCTTGTCTTATGGGTCGGTCTAGAGCTACGATGAACGCGTAATGGACGTCATCCGTTCTAGGCAACAAAATAAATCGCTCCACATCGCTATACGCAATCTTGTAGTCGTACATGTTGCCGTGCATCCGGAAGAAGTCGGCGTACATTTCTACCGCATACCTACCTCTAGGTAGGACGAAAACGCCCTCTGACGGCGCAAACTCCGCCAACAAAGAGCCAGTAACACTTTTGAGGTTGGCCGCCTGCGTGATCTGCTGCTGGATCCGCAAGGCGTCGGACTCGTCCTCGTTCTCCTCGTCGCCGTCCCGGCCAGAACCGGGCGGGACGTACAATCGCAATTCGACCAACTGGTGCTCGGCGGCGCCCTCCCTTCGGTCCTCGTTGAATTGTATGGAGACTTCCTTGGGCACGGCGCCGGCCCTCGTATTGGTCGGTACGACACATTGCGACACTCTAGATAAATCCAGATCAAACAATCGCTTCGTTTTTGGCTCTTTACCCTCGGTCTCAGGCTCCGTCTGCTCGACCACAAATCTTTTCCCTTGCGCCTCGAAGAAGTGCTTGCCTCTATTGGCTCCTGAGGAACAAAATTCCAGATCTTCTAATTTGACGCCGATCGATTGGAGGTCGGTCCGCAAAGCTTCTTTGTTCTTCGCCGTGAAGCCGTCGAGCCGCATCAACACGCCGTCGTCCCCATCTAAGAGCACCACATTCGCGTACTTGCCGAAGACCGTCCACGTCGCCCGCTTGACGCCCTTCACCGCCGTGACCTTCCCGTCGGACCGGCCGGATCTACAGGTGTAGGCGGCGCCGTCGCCTGCTATCTGTAAAGAGCCCTGGCGGCCCGCGCCTTCTAACCTTAAATTGTTGAAGACCGAGGGCATCGTCTACGGCGCGGTTTTTTATATCTGCCTTGTGGTGGCGAGGGCTTGGTTTGCCGCCGCGGCGCAGCGACGAGCAACGCGCTTCGGCTGGCGTGTGTAGCCGGCTGAACTGTGCACGTGTGTAGCCTGTTGAGCTGTGCAAGGCACCAGCGCGCAAGAATAGCCGCGATTCGATCGAGGGCGCGGGGTGGTCTGCTAGTGCCTTACAGGACGCTAGCTCGCCCGCCCGCTAATTGCTTCAGCTTGAAGCTGCAAGGCATACGACACCAGAGCCGCGTACAGCTCATAATCGTGACTATTCGGACGCCCACCCATCGCTGCAGCACTGAAACGGCGAGCTGGGGGAACAGCAGCACATGCGCCTCGCCGCAGCCATGCTCTGGCTCGCCGCGGCGCGCGCGCTCGTGCCACGGGCGCCACGAGCGACGCGCCGCGTCGCTTTACAAGCCGTACCGATCAACAAGGGCGGCAAGCGCGGCAGCCGCCGCCAGCGCCACGAGCTCCGCACGCTCGACTTCTCCGAGGTTTCAAAACCCAAGCCGAAGGCACGATCTAAAGCCCACCCCGGGCTCGAGAAGCTGGGAGCGCCGACGACACCGGAGGCGACGCTCGCCGCATTGCAATCAAATGAAATAGACGCGCCGACGTTGGCTGCTGGCGTCGCTTCATTATGCGCGTCTCAGAGGCGAGATCTGGCCATCGAGGCTATTCAATTACGGAGCCTGGCGCGGGACCCGCGGTCGCTCACGACCGCCGTGACCGCGTTGTGCCGAGCCGCAGCACCGAAAGCGTGCGTGCCTCTTATCGAAGACGTTTTGGGGGAAGGTGTTGCAAGGCCGGGGCGCATCTACGGTCCCATCGTCGCGGGCTTGCTTGACAAAAGAAGAAGGCCCTACGATCTGTTGAGGGACTGGGTACAAGCTGAGAGTGATACATCTGAAAACTGCGAACCCCCATCACATATCCCCTTCGCCAAAGCTCTAGAAGCTTGTCGACGAAGCAAGGACCTGGACGCGGCTTATTTGGTCCTAGACGCGTTCGACGCTTCTTCGTGTGAGGACCACGCCGATTTGTCGAGGGAGATCTCGTCGATCTTCGCACGAAGTGTCCGATTCATCGTGGGAGCCGTGTCGTCCAAACAACTCCCCTCCACAGAAGTCAAGGAGGTCGCCTTTGTCGGTAGAAGCAACGTCGGCAAAAGTTCTTTGGTGAACATGTTCCTGGGACGCACGAAGGCGGCCTACGTATCGAAAAAACCGGGCAAGACGCGGCAGTTCAATGTTTTTGACGTGAATAGCGCGTCTGTCGACTCGCGACGGGCGTCGTCGGTCGTTGAGGAGTCTTCACCGTGGAGTCCGTCGGGCCGCTTTAGGCTAGTAGACGTGCCCGGTTCGGGCTACGCCAAGGTCTCGGAATCGTATCGGGACGAGTGGAAGGTCTTTCTGAGGGAGTATCTTGGTACTAGAGATAATTTGGAAGCGGTCTGCCACCTCGTCGACTCTAGAGTGGGTCTGCAGAAGACGGACCTGGAGTTGTTTGAGTTGATAGGGGAGTCGGGCTTCGCGGGGGACGTGATCATCGTGCTGACGAAGGTCGACAAGAAGAGCGCGCGGGCCGCCGAGGTCCTCGCCGCTGTACGTCAAGCGGCGCCGGCGGCGCGCGTCGTTTCTACTTCCTCTAAAGAAGGTATCGGTCGCGCAGCGCTCTGGCGGGCGCTCAAGGGTGTTGTCGTGCCGGAGTCCTCGTGACTGCGTCCGGCGGCTCGATGATTCTGGGAACGCGTCGATGGCGTCCGTCGTGGCCCCCACGCCATCGCCCCGACGCCTGCTCGACGGCGTGCAGCACGGTCGCGTCGTCGTCGAGAAATGAACTACTACTAAGGACAATGTTGTGTATTACTGTTGCCTTTCTTCCCTCCCCGCTAATTTAATAGCCTCGTCGCGCGACACCCAGACTTTTGCCGTGGCCTCGTCCGGCGCGAGGTTCAAATGAGATAAATCACCTTCCAGCCCTCGCGAGTCCTCCCAATAATTCACAGGCTCCTTGAGGAGCTTGGGCCAGCACGGGTGGTCCGTCTCCTTCTCCAGGTTTATTACTAACTCATTGCCGTCCAGAGTCCAAGCACACGCGTCGACCTCGACGTTCCCCGACAGATACCCATATAACACATGGGGTTGTTTTTTATGTCCTCTGACATGGACCGACAGGAAGTCGCGCTTTATAACCACTTTAACATCCTCCGTAGAAGTAGTAGCAGGTACCTCTAACACCATGGTACAATCGGTGCTATGCGGCTCCTGATCAAACCGCCCCACCTCGTCCTCCGACTGTTCAACAGGCTCGGTCTCGACCTTGGCGTCGTTAGCAGGCAGCTCCCGTAATACCTCATCTATCGCATGCTGCTGCTGGCCGAACTTCGTGAGGAAGGCCTCGTCTTCAAAGCACTTCTTCGCGAGTAACAACGAGCCCCGGGCCTTCACGTAGGCGCCCATGTGCACGAAGGCCACAGCCTCGTCGATGCACCTCGACGCCTCCTTGCCCTCCTGCGTTACTATCAAAGCGTCGCTCGCGGTCGTGAGCCTTCGTTTGATGTCTTCCCGTCCTTTGTCGTCGAGCTTGTCTCTTGCCAGGCCTTCCTTCACCGGCTCCTCGGTCGCTACATGTTGGCGCTTCTTCTGGGGCTTGGGCATCGCTTGTGATGGATGCTCTCCGTAGCTGCTATTGCTAATCTGCGGCGCAGGGCTGCTCTGGCGCAGCGCTGCGCAGCGATGCTGACGTCTTAGCTTCGTGCGATGTGCCAGCGGCCGATTTCTAGCGCTAGCAGGTCCAAAAACTCGCGCAATGCGCCTAGCGTCTCAGACATACTAGGCATAGGAAGGAATCGCAGCGGCCGCAGCGCTGCGCGCGTGCAGCTCTCTGGCCAGTTAAGAGGGAGCCATGGCGCTCCTCCGAACCACAGCGCTAGCGCTGGCGCTGGGCACCACAAATGCCGGTGGCGCCTACCCAGACCTCAGCAACGGCGCCCAGTACGTGAAGCTCACAGATGCTACGTTTGACTCCTTCATCAATGACGCTCTGAGTGCGGGTAAGACGGCGATGGTCCGCTGGATCGCGTCGGAGGGCTGAGGCTGATGAGTCAAGCAGTCGTCGGGTTGGGGTGCGGCCCTCTCGGCGTTCAAGGATAATAAGGATGTGGTGTTCGGGGACGTCAATCTGTCAGAGAACCCGATCAGGGAGCGGCACGGCGTTCAATTTAACCCGGGCGCGGGCGGCTGGCCGACCATACGATATTTCAACTCTGATACCGGTCCAGGGGGCGCCCCTTATGAAAAGGTAACAGATAAGGCCATGTGCGAGGAGCTCAAAGATGAGGATAACATGTTCGCCTACGTCGAGAAGGCGGCCTCCACTTCCCTCTGTTCGTTAGACGGCCAAGGGTGCTCCGACAAGCAGAAGACCTACATCGCAAAGTGGACCGGAAAGACGCGGGAGGACTACGCGTCGCAGATGGCTCGCATCGACAAGATGCTGGCCGGCGACCAATCCAAGCTCAGCTCCGACGTACTATCGTGGATGAAGGCGCGGCGGAAGCTACTCGATCAGATGCATTGGGCCGCCGTCACGGACGAACTCTAAGTGCGCTACTCGAGGCGCTCGTCGTTGTTTTTGTGTTCATGGGCCCCGCACGGCCCCTGGCCCCTGTCGGCCGTCGATGACGCGCCGCGGCGGGACTTCGTTTCCGCCGCGGCGTTGAAATACGGCCGCGACGACGCATGCGCTCGGGTTGTGTTTTACGCACGCATATAAGTACTGTTAAAAATTTTCTAGTGGTCTTTAACGCTAGGTGTGTTGTCGAGCGATTTGATTGGAGCCACCTCACGTCGACTCCAGGCACCGCTGCAAGAAGCGATCGGCAAGCTGTCGTCGTCACGCTCGCAGTACATCACGACGACGCCGCGCAGCGAGCACCGCAGCCGGCGACGGAGACGCTGCATGCAGGTGGCATTGCAGCCGCAGCAATTACGAATTAGCCATGGGTAAAGCGAAGAAGAAGGGCGGCAAGGCCGCCGCGGCAGATGACGACGACTGGGACGCCTTGCTGGACGCCGAACAAGCCAATCAAGCCCCGCAACCGCCGCCGCCACCGAAGGCCGAGGCGCCTGCACCCGCAGAACCAGCGAAAGCGGACGGCTCCGACGCCGCCGCCGCATTTTTAGCATCGATGGGTGGCGACGCCCCAGCACCAAAAAAGGACGACAAGAAGAAGAAGAAAAAAGGCAAGAAGCCGCCGCCGAAGAAAAGCGATGATGCTCCAGAAGAAAAGAAGCAATCTAAGAGAGGCGCCGAGATCGCCGCGCGCTTGGCCGAACAAAAAGCCGCCGAGGAGAAGCTCGCGGCCGAGAAGAAGGCGGCCGAGGACAAGATCCGCGCCGAGGAAGAAGCCGAGCAGCGCAAGTTGGACGAGGAAAAAAGGAAGCGCGAGGAGAAGCTCGCGCGCAAGGCCGCGGCGCGCGAGGAGGCCCGGAAGAACGGCACTTATGAAACCAAAAAACAGCGCGAGGCTCGACTCGCTGCCGAACGTAGAAGGGCCTCCATGCTCGCGTCGGGCATGATCAGTGCGGACACGAAGCCGTCGAAGCCCAAGTTCGAACGGAAGAAGAAGAAGGTCGTGGAGAAGGCGCCTGAACCGGAGCCCGAGCCCGAGCCCGAGCCCGAGCCGGAGCCGGAGCCCGCGGCCGAGGAGCCCGTCGACGACTGGGAGGCGGTGGACGACTGGGAGTCCGGCGACGTCGGCGCGAACCTCGAGAAGCTCGCGAACGAGAGCAAGGCCATCGACGAAGAAGTGGAAGACGAGGCCGAGCTCGAGGCGAAGGCCGAGGCCGAGAAGCTCAAAGAAGCCGGCCGCAAGCTCAAGGAGCGGGAACGCAAGGCCCGGGAGGAGGAGGAGGCCCGCGCGAAGCTCGAGGCCGAGGCCGCCGCGGAGGCGGATCGCGCGAAGCGGGAGGCCGAGCTGAAGAAGCTCGAGTGCCGCCAGAAGCGGCTGGCGCGGGAGAAGCGTAGGGATGATGATCGAAGCGAGAGTCGTTTGAGGTCTCCGATCTGTTGTATCATGGGTCACGTTGATACGGGAAAGACGAAGCTGTTGGATAAGATAAGGCAGACGAACGTCCAGGACGGCGAGGCCGGCGGCATCACGCAGCAGATCGGCGCGACGTTTTTTGATGATGCAACTCTGAAGGAGAAGATACGACCCGTGGCCGCTCATCTCGCTTCGATCAAGGATCAGTCGTCGTCGTATGTGGACGCTATTCTCGGGCCGGACCCGGATGCTCCTCGTTTAACTCTACCTGGGTTGTTAGTGATCGATACCCCAGGCCACGAGTCGTTCAGTAACTTGAGAAGTCGAGGCTCGTCGCTCTGTGACATGGCTATACTGGTCGTGGATTTGATGCACGGTTTAGAGCCGCAGACGCTTGAATCGATTAGCATGCTCAAGAGGAAGCGCACGCCCTTCGTCGTAGCTCTCAATAAAGTAGACAGGTGCTACGACTGGTCCCCGACCGAAGGGGCTTCTATTCGCGAAGCTCTCGCCAAACAAGCCCAAAACACTCTAGACGAGTTCGAGCAGAAGAAGGCGAACGCCTTCACGGAGCTCAATGAACAGAGCTTGAACGTAGCTTTGTATTGGGACAACGACGACCCCGGGAGCACCGTGAGCGTGGTCCCTACGTCCGCCATCACGGGGGAAGGTGTCCCTGATCTATTGAGAGTTGTGTTATCTTTGACACAACAACGACTAGCGGCCAAGCTCATGTTCGGGTACAACCTACAGTGTACTGTGCTCGAGGTCAAGGTCGTAGAAGGTCTCGGCGCTACTCTAGATGTCATCCTCGTGAATGGGTGCTTGCACGCTGGTGATACGATGGTCCTGTGCACGCAGGACGGTCCCATCGTTACTACTGCGCGAGCGTTGTTGACACCGCCACCTTCTCGCGAGACAAGGGTCAAGTCTGAGTTAATAAAACACGAGTCGCTGGAAGGTGCTATTGGATTGAAGATCACGGGCGATCCGGAACTCACGAAAGTCGTACCAGGCACGGGTATACTAGTGATGCACCAGGACGACGACGTCGAGGACCTCAAGGTCCGTCACACAGCGTGGATATCCTTACGCCATCGACGCGCGTCGTCTGGGGGTCGCCGCGATGGCGTGAGGTCGCTCGCACCGACGCCGTCGCCGCGACGCCGCCGACGCGATGCCGTGAGAGCCTACGCGTCTCGCGAACGAACATTGTATATGTGCCACGCAGGAGGAGTGCATGAAGGACATCGCCAATCTCTCAGATACGTTAGCGACGGAAGCGAAGGGCGTTACCGTGCAGGCTTCCACGCTAGGTGCGCTAGAAGCCTTGCTCGAGTTCCTGCGAAACCCCGGGAAAGATAGACAGGGCAAAGAACGCCCACCAATACCCGTGTCCGGCGCCACGGTCGGTCCCATCCACAAGAAGGACGTCATCAAGGCGGCGATCATGGCCCAGAAGGGTTCGGAGGAGTACTCGTGCATTTTGGGCTTTGACGTCCCGGTGGACCCCGAAGCGCAGGCCTACGCGGACAAGAACCAGGTCAAGATCTTCACGGCGGACATCATTTACCATCTCGAGGGTCATTTCACGAGACATCTAGATGAAATCATGGAACGCAAGCGGAACGAGGCGCGGGACGTCGCGGTCTTTCCCTCCTTGTTCAAGATCTCGAAGAATCATGTGTTTAACATGAAGGACCCCATCATCCTCGGGGGGGAGGTCGTCGATGGTATTCTGAAGGTTGGTACTCCATTATGTATCCCTCATCTCGGGTTCTTGGATGTCGGCGTCGTGCAGTCGATCGAGTGCAATCATAAAGATGTGCAGACGGCTCGCAAGGGCCAGGAGTGCGCCATCAAAATCGTGAACCACGGCAACCCGAACATGACGTACGGGCGGCAGTTCGACCACAACCACCAGCTGTTCTCGAAGGTGAACCGGGCGTCGATCGACGCCCTCAAGAAGTACTTCAAGGACGACATGCAGGACGCGGACTGGCGGCTGGTGATCAAGCTGAAGAAGGTGTTCTCGGTGATCTAGTCTAGGTGGGTAAGGGTAGTACTTATCCGCTCGTGAACACTCAGGGCGACGGCGCGGACACGAGAGCTAACACTCGACGCAGATCTTCCGGGCCTTCCTACTACCTCGACCTCGACGCCGTCATCCGCTTCCCGTGGGACGCACAACGGCGAGCCCGGCATTACGGGGAAGCTCCTCCAGGAGCACCGGAACGGCTACTCGGCCGTCGCGTTCTCGCGCGGCTCGAACAAACCGTTTCCATGCGTCGGTGCCCTTTTTTGGACCTCGCCCGCCGCCGATGAATCAGCGAACGCGTCTCCCCAGGGGCTCCACCCTCAGTCCTAGCACCATATACTTATCACAGGGCCTCGAGGGGGGGGGAGCCACGCCCTGCCACGCCATCACGCGCAGGCGTCTTTGATCTTCGTCAGCTCCTTCGCAAAGTGTTCCGCGAGCTCGAGGCCTTTCTTCCTCCCGTAACCTTCGCCCCCGGCAGCTACTATCAATGGATTGAGCGAGGATGACACATGTTTGACATTGCCGCCCGGCCAATTGAAACTATGAGAAGAATCGGCTTTTTTAGCCGTGATCTCATCATCTAATTTGCTCAAAAGGTCCTCCAACGCCGCCCGGTCCCACGTGTCGTTCGGTTTGAGCACGGCAGCAAAGTCGATGTTCGTCTTCTTCGCGCGCGCGCCGCTCGAAGGGCCCTTCCTCGAGTGCACGTCCGGCTCTCCCGCCGCTCTAGCCGCCTCCTGCCGCGCGGCCTCGGCCTCGCGCTCCGCCCTCCGCTTCTCTTGCAGCTCCCGCGCGTAGCCCTCGACCGTTCTAATTCTGGGGCTTTCGTTACATACAACGGTGGGCATATTTTGGGGCCTCACACCCCGTGCCCTGAGCTCTTGTACTTTCTCTTGGGGGAGATCAACGTAGGCTCTATATGGGTCCAACCGATGATCACCTAAATCCACGCCCGGATTCGCCACGATAGCATCGACGACGCCGGCCACAAACACCAGCTTCCTGCGAGCAGCATCGTAAAGCGGCGTGCCTTGAAGACTCTGTATATTTGGTTCAAATGCATAACCGTCCGCTACAACAAAAATAATGTCGCTTCCGGCCTCTGCGTCGTTTTCCCGCAGCCGCTCGACCAACAGACCCGCCCGCTCGCCTATGCGACGCGCCACTTGATGGCTACCGACTCGTGCGTCGAGGCAGGCCACGGCCTCACCCGACAAAGCCATCAATAATGCTTCGTAAGTAGTGTCTCCAAAGGTCCGCCGCTCGACCTCTTCAGGATCATTTAACGCGGCGAGACTCATGTGCGACGGTTCGTAGAGCACCGCGGAATAAGTAGAGATCTTGCCCACCGCGCGCGCCTCGTCGAGCGCCACGACGGCGCGCGAGTTCAGAGCGTCGGCTTCGGCCAACTCGGCGGCGAATGCTTCGCGTCGCGACTGCGTGGACTCGTGCACGTACGCGTGCAGCGCCACGACGGAGCCCAGCTCCCAGCCATTGGTCGCTCTGTCGTACAACGACCGCACGGAATCGGGGACGTTCAACCCGTGCTGGCCCTCCCGCACCCACGAGGCCACATCTCCGAAGACTAGCTCGCCCCGATCCGTCACCGGAACAACGTGCACGTCCTCCAAGGCCCCAGCAACAAGTGGTAAATTACCTTTCAAGATGCTCCTGGTCAGGGAGTAAAGCTCCGCAGGCGTATCGGTCTCGGGTAACGAGTCGATGTCGCCGTCGGTAGCAGCTAGGGTCGCGCACACGAGTGCAGCTGGTGCTCGCGAAAGAAAGGCGGCGATGCGGTCTGGATCTCCTCGTGATCGGAAACTCGCGAAGTCGTCGCCCTGGCACTCATCGAACTTCAACACGTGCGGCGGCAGCGGCGGCGCGCCCGGATCCTGCTCCGTCGGCCCGATCACGACGATCATCGAACACCGCCCCATGGCCCGCACCCGCGCCAGCCACGCCGGCTTGTTGGCGACGTGCGCGTGTAAATCGACTGCGACCTGTGTGGAAATCGAATTGTGAAGTTATCTCGTCACGACGCCATCGACGCGACGCGATGCCGTCGATGCGACGCCATCGACGCGACGCGACGCCATCGACGCGACGCCGTCGACGCGACGCCATCGACGCGACGCCATCGCCATCGACGCGACGCCATCAACGCGACGCCATCGACGCGACGCCATCGACGCGACGCCGTCGACGCGACGCGCGACGCCATCGACGCGACGCCATCGACGCGACGCGACGCCGTCGACGCGACGCCATCGACGCGACGCCATCGACGCGACGCCGTCGACGCGACGCCATCGACGTGCCTCCGGGGCCACGCGCTCCGGCACGAGTGGCGCCGCCCGCCGAGCTCCGATCCAGGCTCGGCTCAGTACCAATAGATCAAATAACGCCACGAGTCGAAGGCCTCTTCGATGCGACTCTGCATGATACCTCGCCCAGCAGGTTCTGCTGCTTGTGATTGTTGTAGACCTCCATGACGAGCCCCGCGCGGTCCACGCAGTTGTCCTTGATGACGAGGGCGAGGCGGCAGACCTCCGCGACTTTCTTCGGGACGGCGGCCTGGCAGAGCGAGTCGACGCTTGCCGGGTCGATGCCCGGCTCCAAGCCCTCGGGGAACGCCTCAGCTAACGCCTCGAAGAACTGCTCGACGTCGGCTTCTAGCTCCTCGGCGATGGCCAGTAAAACTACTAAAAGATCTTCAGAGAGCAACGGAGCTTTGTTGCCCACGTCGCCCCAGTAGCACCAGGGCTTGATGATCCTTAGAATCAAGCGCTTGGCGAAGGTGTCGCCCATGGACAGGTGGAAGCACATGAGCACGACCGCGGAGTGGGTGGTGAAGTGCTTCTGCTCTATGCCCATGGCGCCTAGTAATATGTTGACGTTGTCGACGAAGTCCCCGCTCTTGTAGCCCGCCTCGACATGTCGAGCCAATTTGATGAGGCCCCAGTGCAGCAACATCGTCCCGTAGACAGCAGCATCAGGAAAAGCTACTAACGAACCGCCTCTTTGTAAATTGATGAGGACACCCATGACGAAAGTGTGGAGCACATCAATGGCCATGTCGCCGAGCCTGTGTGAGTGAGCGTTTTGAGGTCAGATACGAAAGTGTCGAGGAAAGAGACGCGGCGCCCGACGAGTTCCGCCGCTGCGGCGTTCGAATTTTCCACTTGCCCCGCTTCTTGCGGAGCTCCGGGTCGTAGTGTATGTTGGTGATGGTTACGACGCGCGCCACGCGCTCGGCCGTAGTTTTGCCCAGCAGCGTGACGACGAGAATCGCCATGATGCAGCCGCCTACTGTGGCGAAGATATCGCCGCGACACTTGTGCCATTTCTTCAGGAGTATTCCGGCCCAGATGAGTAGAATGAGTATTAAGTGCGCCTTCCACCAGGCGAGGACGGCTAACCACGCGGCGGCCGCGGCGGCGCCGCTGGCGATCACGAGGAGGATGGTGGCCATTACAGGTAGAGGCATGGCTGCGGCGCAGCGCTCGGACGGCTGCGATCTCGCGAGTTTGACGGCTTGGCCGGCTTGGAAGAGGTGCGGCTTTGTTTTGTTACTGGACGCGCCACGGGCGCAGCGGTGCGTTGGCGACCGGCAGGAATCGCTCGGACGCGTTGCGCGTGCTATAGCGCAGGTCGCTTGCAGCGCTTATCCAAGCCTCGGCCCAAGAGCTCGAGCTAGCGGCAAGTAAGACACTAGGAAGCCGACCGAGACATATCTAAGTAGATTTTATCTCAGTAATTTACGGCGTTGCTCCTACGGAGGCCACCCAGCGTTCCCCCTAGACGGCTAGGAAGTGCGGCTTCTACTCTCGTTTGAATTATACCTTGGGTCCTTGGCACCGCACGTGGGAGATATTTATATCTATATATTGGTATTTATAGATTTAGCCTCACCCGCCGGCAGGGGCTTCCCACTGTTTCCCTCGCGGCGGCTAGGAAATGCCGCTTACTCTCGTTTGAATAATTACAGGTCTAGGCACCAAGTGCTGCACCGGTCGTAGTCTCGTAGAGCTCCTCGACTCCTCGAAGGGCGACAGACCCTCGCGTCGCTACGGGCGCGAGGCGCCGGGAAGCAAATCTCATGAACGAACTACTGGCAGCGGCGTGAGCTACAGAGACGCCACGAAGGGTCTGCGTCCCGGAGACGCCCGCGGGGCCGGTCTGAGTGGTCGAGTTCACGGCTGTTCGGGAGTGGCTGGACGGGGCGGGGGTACTTCCTGGGACTATCGGGCGTAGATCTCCGCACAGGGTCGCCACGGCCGATGGAGAGGCACAAAGTTAGGTACCCTCAGAGCTACTAGAGAGAAAGGTATAGATATTGATTTTAGCTATATGCTGCACTAGCTATGGAGGCCTACCAGTGTTTCCCCAAGGACATGTTCGTCTTATATATATACATATATGTACGGCCGTATACGACGTCAGAAAAAAAACGGGTTTTGCAGCAATATCGGCCGGCGCGGCGCCTGCGCGTACTAAAGATGATTGACCAGTCGCGGGACGATAATATGCCGCCGGCGCCGCCTCTTTTGAGCCGCGCCGCGGGCGGGCGCGACTCTCTGGACGGTTTGACCGCCTCATCACTGGAAGTCCCGACCTCGCCGCCGCCAGTAAGCCGCGCGCAGGACGATACGGTCGCACGCGTCCGCAAATCACAACAAGACGCCCGGACCGCCCTCAAAAACGGCGACGCCAAGGGCGCGATAACCGCGGAGACGGCGACGGCGGAAGCGCTCGAGGGATCAGCCCCGCTAGAAAACCGGATGCAGCGCGGCCGTGCATTGCTCGCCGCCTTCAAGGCGAGGAAACAAGGCGCGCGGACGAGCGATTCGCCCCACGCACCGGCGCCAGCGGCGTCGCACTCTCCGTCGCGGGCCGCGCGGCCGGCTTCGTCGAAGCCACCTGGGGGGACTCCGGTGAAGGTGCATCAGGGCGGCGACGGAGAGCTTCGCGCAAAACGAGGTGCGAAGACTTCGCCTGCGCGCGACGGTGGCCCCGTGCATCTCGAGTAAGTAGGGATCTTCTCTCGGATTGGTGCTTCAAAAGAAAGGGGACGCCCCAGCGAGAGACGGCGGCCCTCAGCAATCGCGCGACTCGGACCCCAAGCCAAGGAGACGGAGGGCTTCTCCGGCGCGGACCTCATGCGCGTCTACACGGCCATGGAGCGCGCCGTCCGCGAGAGAGTGAAGCCCCGACGATCGGCCACCTGCTCGTCGCCGTCGAGGAGGCGTCGCCCCGCTCAGTAGTCTGTCTAAGGAAGATATCCGTCACTAATCACATGCACCTCGCGGGCGCCACGGTGCTACTACTTGTCTGAAAAACAACATTAGGTGAGCAACTCCGCAATGTCCGAGTATCCTTCGCATCGCGCGACGTCGGCCAGCTGCTGAAGAAGGTGTCTCACACCCGGGGCGACGGCATACGAGGGCCGCTCGCGGGACGGGTGCGGGTTATCTAGACTACTAGTAAGTTACCTCTCTAGCCCCGCGTTCTGCGCCACGACCCGCGCGTCGGCCAACGACGCGCGACACAAGTGAGTAAGCTCGTGGCCGTCGCCGTAGCGACGCAACGCGGCCTCGTGAGTGGAATGTGCTAAATCAACGGCAGCTTTCAACTGGTCCGCCGTCGCGTTCAGGTCCATGCACATGGCCCGGACGAAATTCGAGTTGAGTTCCAACGTCACGCCGTGGTCGCCGCCTAGTGATGTCATCGCGACCGGCACGACCTCGCGCAACAATGCTCTAGCTTCAGAAAAAGACGACAACGCTCTTAATGACTTGGCCAGCGTTAACGCAGCCACCAACGTATCGATGTCCTCGAGACCGCTCGCTTTTCGTATCTGCGCGTACAACTCCCGATTAATCACGACCGCCTCGGCGTCTCGCCCCAAGTTGGACAGGCACATGGCGCAGTTCCCCTTGGCCGCCGTGATCGACTCCTCGTCCTGTTCCTTGTAGGCATGTTTTAATTGCGCTTGAAAAACGGTCAGCGCTTCTCCAGCCCGGTCGCCGTCCATCAGTCCAGATCCTAATGTTGTGAGAGCCGCGCGCTTCGCCGGCGCCTCCATGGGTCTTTGGACGTAGGTCCGCCAGCAGGCCCATCCTAGAGCGCATGATACAAGACTACGGTAGTTCTGCTCGCATATCCCACACCGAGTCCACTTGCTCCACCTTGCAGACATGTCGTCGGCATTCATAGTTTCGCCCTCCTCGACGGATAATTGCGCTTGTTTCGCTAAGCACGTGACATGGGCATGGCCTTGCGATCCCTTGCAGCCGCAGCCCCTCACTACTCCTTCCTTCGTCTCACTATGTATTGAATCCAAACAAATATAACAAGTGACCTCGTCTTCCTCGATCTCGGCGTCCTCCGCACTTAACTCCAGGAAGCGCTTCCTCTCTTCCATGTCACAAAAGGATAAATCACCTAACTGCTTGGCCGCGTTAAGTAGAGCTTGCGACCGGGCGTCCTTTGCGCATTTTTCTACGGCTAGCTTGATTGATGCTTTATATTGTTTATCAGCATAGAGCTGCTCGGCGCCGCCTTTTTTCTTGATCATTTTGCAGAGCTTGTCGTGGCCGCTCTCCCAGTGCGTCTTCTGGCATTGTACCGAACAGTAGACCGTCTGGCACCTGCTGCACGCTTTTACTGTCGTGCAGTCGGCGGCGCAGGCGGCGCATTTCGTGAGGAACATGGCTCTCCCTTCACTAATCTGGGGTGGCTGGATAAGTGTCCCTACGGTCCACCACTTCTCCTGAAACGTGGACGGGCGCCGGGGGGCGGGTGCCTGTCTTGATTGGGGCTGCCCCGACGTGGTCGGGCACACCGCGGTGCGGAGTTGCGCTTGGCTTGCTTGGTGGCTTGGAAATTGCTAGTGTCTTACGGGACGCTAGCGCCTTATCGTTGGCGCTTCACAAAAATCGGGCGCTGATACGCCACCAACGCGTCGCCCGTCGCAAGGGCGAGCTCGCCCAGCCATAGACGCATCGCCGCGCGCGCGCGGGCAGCCCGCCCACCCATGGCGGCCCAGCAGGAAGCTCTACAAGGGGAGGTCCTCTCTGAATTACTAATCACGGACAACGACGAGGTCAAGGCCCAATATCCTGATGACATCGATGATACGGGCATACGGAAGGGCGCCATCATTCATTACGGTTCTAGAAGAGGCGTCGTGGCGCACGACCCGCAGGACGAGAGTGTAGCGGTGCGCTTTCCCGGTCATGAGGAGGCCGAGGTGCTGCCGTTGCATGAAGTGTTATTGGCGCGGCCCGCCCGTAAAGAAGCAAAGAAGCTGGAAAAGGCGGCCAAGGACCTGCACGATGTTATTTGCCAGTCCGAACCTTACAAGGATTATGGCGACGCGAACAAAGCTACGCTGCAACAAATCCGCAACGGCGACGCGCCGCCGGTCTGGTCCGTCAACGACGCGAGACATCGAAGCGATTTGGAATGGATCGCTCATATCTGCATGAAGGCTTGTGCGTATCGCAACTTAGTGTCCTCCCTAGAACTGCATAAGCAGTGCTGGACGTCGTTGGAAATTTGTGTGGAGCCCGCCATCACACTGTTTGGACGCCAGGCTCCTGAGGTCGTGTCTTTGCTGTTGTTGCAATTGTACGCGTTTGAGGACTTGTACGACCTACCGAACTACAAGGGCCTGGCGCGGCACGCGCGGCGGAAGTGCGAGGACCTGATGGATGTGAAGCTCGAGGGGGAAGTATCATTACCTTGGCTCAGTGCGCGGGACCCGTCCATGCGATATACTTCACAATTACTACAAGCGGAGGCGACGCAGCATTTAGCATCGGCAACAGCTGCCATGGGCGACCCCGAGGGCGCCATTGACATTTATGAAAGGGCCATCGGGCAGTTAACGACTCTAGGTGATCTTGGTAGATTGGCGACGTGCCACCACGACTGCGCCGGTTTATTAGCGGTGGCGGCCTTAGGCGAACCCGGGTCGCAGTATAGGGAGTTGCGGGAGTGCGCCAATCACGCACTTCTCCCAAAACAAGCTAAGAAACTCGTGCAAGCCTTGAGACACGCTTGCGAAGCGTTAAGAGCGGCCGAGTTGAAGTACGGGCGGATCTCGACGGCGACGGCGCAGATGCACTACGCGGTTGGGCGTATTTGTCGGGACGGTCGGTTGTTCTCGCCGGCCATTCACCATTTAGGCCAAGCTTCGTTGATTTACTACGAGGTCTGGTGCGGCTACGCTCGATGTAAAACTCATCCAGACGTCACGACCGCGGTCGAATCTTTGCAAGAAGCCATCGACAATTATAAGGTGAGGGGCCCGAAGTGCATCGACCTACCACGAGAACTGCGAGACGCTATTGATCCGGAAGCGTCGCGATGTAAGTGCGCGCAATGTCCAAACGTAGAAACGGACGACGTAAGGTTTGATAGGTGCTCGAGATGTAAAGTGGCCAAATACTGCTCGCGGGAGTGCCAACGTCAGCATTTCAGGGAGCACAAGCACGCTTGTAAAGTGTGCGAGCCCATGGCCCTCAAAATCCAGGAGATGCGCGAAAAAGAACCAGATCCGTCTTCTTACGTGCCCGACGGGTATGCTCCCAAACTGCAGCACAAGGCGGAGCTGGCGCGCGAGGCGCAGCGGCGGAGCGAGATGGTCACTCCTAGACGGGCCGAGGGCGAACTTCCGACGCCCGATGCCGAGGCGGCGCCGATGGACGTTGGGTAATCATTTCTCGGATATGTCGCGTCGGGGGCGTATGGGGGGCTGCCCCAAACTACGACGCCCGTCGTCTGTAGGGCTGTGTCGACACACTAGATCTCAAGAGAGGCTCAGGCTCTGACCCCTACCACCGAGGTATAAGGTACCATACCGATACCATACCTACGGGGCGGCCGAGCTGGAGACGCAAGGCGCAAAAGAGAGGCCATCACTGGTCGTTTCATTGACGGCAGCACCGTCGGCATACTAGGTCAACGGCCAGGTCGCGACTGGTGGCCGCGTTTCCGACGCAGCGTCGCGTGGTGGCTATAAGGTCGAGTCCACGCCATCGAGCTGACGAACCGGTGCGCGCGACAGCGAGAAGAGCCAACTCATCATGCCACCGACGCACCTGCTCCGCTACGCGTCAGCGGCGGCAGCCGCCGCGACGACCGCTGCCGCGCGCGTCAAAGCCGACGGCTGCCCGATCAAATCACGCAACAAATCGGAGCAAGGCGGCTGTCCCATCAAGGGTTCCAACAACATGCCCGCGACGCCGCAACAGACGAAAGCCCCCGGCCAGACCACAAATCTAGACACGAAGAGGGAAGCCTCCACAATACCACAGAAAGGAGGAGCAAGTACGTGGCAGTACCCCTCCCCGCAAATGTTCTGGAACGCGTTAGTAAGAAAGGACAAGGCCGACGGCGCGGACGAAACCGACATGGACACGGTCGTCGCGGTACACAACGCGATGAACGAAGCGACCTGGTCGAAGATTCTCGAGTGGGAGAAGTTGCGACAGGGGCCGCCGCCCGAGCTTGTTAGATTTACTGGAAGGCCCCACGACCTGTCCCCGAAGGCATTGCTGAAGATCTACGTGTTTGGGTGTCCAAAGCCGTTTGATCGACACGACTGGGTCGTTAGTAGGGGTGATGAAGAGCGAAGGTATGTCATCGACTACTACTCTGATGAAGGGTTGAGTGACAAGGACGAGAAGCCGAAGACGATGCACGACTACGCGGCTCTGAAGAGCATCGCGGTCGACGCGCGGCCCGCGCTTGATAGTGTAGGTGCCGTGCTGGATCGAGTCGTACACATGCCGTCGCTGCGTTCGTCCGGTGAGGCGTCGCCGGCATTGCCATTAAGGCCGCCTTCTTCGATGAGCGAGGACCCTAGAGCGATGATTCGGGAGAAGTGCTCACAGAGGGCCAAGGCTCTATCAAAATGTGGTGAGGATGAAAAAAAATGCGCCGACGCCGCCATCGCGCTCCAGCACTGCGTCGCGTCCGTGGTCTGTCCTGTAGAAGCTGAGGCCTTCCGGGAAGCGGCCGTCGCGAACAAAAACGCGGAGCAGGCCTATCAAGCCATGGACGCGGCGTTGGACGCCTGGTCCGCGCAGAACGGGTCCGTGCTGTCCGAGAGACCTGACTAATTCACATTACACAACACTAGAAGCTAGCATGATCGGGCAGCGGCTCGCGGGAGCTCGCGCAGTAGTTGCCCCGTCGGTCGCAGGGACCTTTGAAGAGGGGACTCACCAGATTCTCGGGGCAGTTCTCGTGCGTCCCTTTGCAGTCGTAGATGCTCGAGACTGCTCCGGGCTTCGCAGGGGGGTCGGGCCGCATCAGCGCGCTCCACTTCATACCTAACGTAGCGTTCCAGCGCTCCTCCTTCTGTCTAATTTGAGCCGCCGCCTCGTGAGTATGTCTGAGGGTCGTGGACCGCACCTTCCGGTCCGAGCATCCCAATGAAAACGCCACGATGAGATCAGCAGGTAACGCCACAATCCCCGAATCGCAGTCATTAATGCCGAAGCTAATGAGGACATCATCGCCATCACCTCGTGTCAACGAAGTAACAAATTGGACCAAGTCGCAGCGCCTCATGTCCAGTCGAGCTGAGGGAAAGCAGAACGGTGATGAAGTAGCGACATGGTCCAGAGTAGTGGCATTGTACAAGATAAAATAATGTAAATAGGTGTTCCAGGACGTGGTTTTGGTGATGTTCTTATACCCGTTGACCGGGAGTTCGTCGTGCGTGATCCATCTACTCTTGAAGGGTCGGTCGTGTCCAACAGCTAGCAGCAAGCCGTGCCTTCTCAGTAGTAACGGATTGACGTTGTTGTGGAGCCAGTGGTACCTGCCCGCAGCGAGTTGTTTCGTTTTCTTGCCCGTGACTTCGCCGCACTTCGTCCAGGGCGGCTTACAGGCTGAATGAGCCGTGGCCTCCCGCAGGCTTTCTCTGAGAATTAGTTTTGACTTTCCTAGATAAGCCAAAAACTCGAGCTTCTTGTGGCGTACGACCAATCCGACATTCCTCAACCTTGATTCTACTACTAGATGCTTCTCGGAGAAAAATAAGGGCGGCGCCCGCTCGAACGCCGCGACCAGTTCATTCCCTGACACACCTAGCACGAGTTCGTAGACCCCGAACTTCTGCGGTATAATATCTCTGTCTTCGAACTTTGGTGTGAGTACTACAGTGGCCACCAATCTACCTCTATGGGTCATGAGCCGCACGTCCTCGCCCCATTGCTCGGCGTCTCCGGTTTTCGCCCACCTGGCTGTTTGTATGGTACATAATTGATCATCCAATATCAACACGGACGAGTGTCTTCCTAAATTATCACCAGAGTCTCTTCTTTGCGTATCTTCCCATCCCAAGATAGAGCATTGCGCATACGAATGCCTCACAGTGAGCACATACGTAGCCTTTGACCAGATACCGCCCTTCTTCTGTAGCGCGTTCATGAGCCGTTTCGGCAGTCTAGCTAGTCCCGGATTGCAGGCCGCGTGCTTCTCGAAGACCGGGGCGTCCTGGGCCAGTCGTCTTACGTCGACCGGCAAGGATACAGCGTCGTATTTGGAGGCCGTGAAGCGCGCATTCCTATACTCGGAGATGGATTGGGTCGCTCGTCTAGTGCCAAACCTATTGTAGTAGTGCCAATTGCCCGCGTAGCACGCGTTTCTCGTGCGCGATTCCGTCAAGGCGTTCCATAACTCCGAGCGGCACTGGTTTGCCGGTTCTTGGTCCGCGAGTCGCATCGCACGTTCGTGTCGGGACGTGGGTGCCGGTACCGGTACATTTGTAGGCGCGAAGGACGGTACTGATGTGGACGGCACCAAGGTTGGTTCCGACGAAGGCTTCGGCGTAGGCTTGCGCGTCGGGTCCGGTTTGGGCGTCGGCGCGGGCGTTGGGTATTTCGTGGGTTTCGCGGTGCTTGGGGCGGGCGTCGGCTTCAGGGAGGGCCGGGGCGTCGGTTTCTTCGTAAACAAGTACGGCTTCGTTCGCATCAGTTGTTCCATGCGCTCCCTACCCCGTCGTTGCTGCATGCGCCAGCGAGCTCTACGGGCCGCCTCGTCGGCGCTGGCGCACGCGACGAGCACGACTGCCAGCGCCAGGCGCATGGCAGCAGAGCTTGCGGCTGCCCCGGCCGCTCGCCACGGCGCAGCGCGACGGCGCGGCGTGAGTACTGATCGAAAAAGGCTGCCCGGCGTTCTCTAGAGCCCGAGCGGGCGCGGCGTAGCAGCCATCATTTCGTTTCACACCATGAGACTGCCAACCACTCGATTCGAGCGTGGCAATCACCTTGACACGTCTTATCCGTGTCTGAGCTGTCCCGAGCGATGGTCTGTGGCCGTCGGACGACTTTTAAAATCGCTGTAAAACCCGACACCGTCCGCGATAGCTTTAGCATCGCTGCGCTTTTAAGGCCGTCTTAGGACTGCTTGTAGGCCCCCGCTCGCTCCACAGAGCCAGCGAAGGACCACCGCTGCGCCGCACGAGCCAGCACAGGACAGCGCGGCTGCGGTACTCGCCGAGAGCGCCATGTCGTCGCTGAGGTTACAAAAGCGCCTCGCGGCGTCCGTCCTCAAGACGGGCAAGAACCGCGTCTGGCTCGACCCGAACGAGGCGAACGAGATCTCCATGGCGAACTCGCGCCAGAACATTAGGAAGCTGATCAAGGACGGCTTCGTGATCCGCAAGCCGGTCGTCGTCCATTCTAGGAGCCGCGTCACGCGCCACCTCGAGGCGAAGCGCAAGGGCCGGCACACGGGCCTCGGCAAGCGCAAGGGCTCGGCCAACGCGCGCATGCCCGTCAAGGTGCTCTGGATGCGGCGGCAGCGCGTCCTCCGGAGATTGTTGCGGAAGTACCGCGACGCGAAGAAGATCGACCACCACTTGTACCACGATCTGTACATCGCGGCGAAGGGCAACCAGTACAAGAACAAGCGCGTGCTCATGGAGGCGATCCACAAGCTCAAGGGCGAGAAGGCGCGCGAGAAGGCGCTCACCGAGCAGGCCGAGGCGCGCAAGTCCAAGGCGCGCGCCAAGGCGAAGCGCAAGGCCGACGCCAAGGCGGCGGCGGCGCCGGAGGCCTCGGCGTAAATTGGTGGGGTTTATGATCCTTTGCGCTGGGGGTATTATCTTATGGGAGTAGAGTATTGAGTGCGTCGTCGTCGGCGGCGTTGCGCGTGTGGTGAGCAGTGCGAGTTGTCCGCGGCCCGCCGGCGGCGCAGAGCCTGCCAGAGGCCCTTGTCACCGGAAGCTAATTCGTGTTCGGACGGGTCCAATCGCAGCGCAGATCGCAAGGTGGGACGCCGGACGCTGCCCTTCGTGCTGCCCCTTGAGCGTCTGCGCCGCCTGAGCCTGAGCAAGCATGGCTGCAGCACTCCAGAGAGACCAGGACCCAGCCAATGGGTGGCAACTATTACAGACTTACGAGAGCCAGCGTGTCGATGACTGGATCAAGTGGCACAGCGAGCCGCAATTTAAAACCGATCTGTGGTTCCTCGTCACTGATGAGAACGGCAAGGAGACCCGCGTCCCGGCGTGCCGCACCGTCCTCAGCATCAACTCCGTCTTCATACAAAATCTTCCAGCTGGTGATGAAGAAATTGAGGTCAAAATAGACCGAACAATATGTACCGATGCAATTACGGTCGTCTACTTCCTGTGGCTAAACTATCCGTGCTTTACGAAGAAGGTCGATGCATCAAAGGGCCAAATTGTAGAATTTATTGCGCACAGCCCCTTTGATGGATTGGTTGATGAAGTATTGGACAAGAGTATTGGTTACGACGAAAGGCAAACGGCGGGATTGTGCCTGGCCATAGCCAAGATTGCCAAGCTAGCAGATTTTATGTGTGCCGCCGGGACCATCGAGCGTCTCAAGGACATCTTCAATAGGATTTATACCCGCGTGCCGGATGGTAAGAAGACGAAATATCTATACATGGCCTCGTTCGCGCTGGATGATGTTGACAGCGGAGATAGAAGAACTACGGGGGTTCGACCGGGCTCGAGTTTCGTCGAGGAGTTCCCGGCATGCTTCCTCAGCATGAATGAGGCCGAGCAAGAGCGGATCGCCGGCCACGTAGTGCCCATGTTCGATGCGTTCCTAAAGGGCTGTCCGCGTCAGCTCCCTCGGAACACACACACTGGCCATTATGATACCCATGTCAACATCCCCGACAATGTCCGTCGCCCTGCTGAGCGAAGTCTATCGCGGCTAGCCGATGTCACGACGTTCCTGCTCGACTTTTACGAGAAGGCGCGCTCGGGTCCTGCGTAGAGCGCGTGCAGAGCTCCCTTCACTAAGATATCTAGAAGCGACTAGCGGGGAGTCTCGCGCGCTGCAGCGGGGTCCGAAGATGGGTACGGAAAGATGCAAACTAAAAATCCTTAGCCGTGCCGGAACTTGACCGCACGCGAGAGCCCGACCTTGGCCAGCCCGTTCGACGTCTCCATGCAGTCCAGGACGCGCGCGACGGCGACGGACGGCGGCTCGCCCGCCTTGCCCGCCGCCTCCAAGGCTAATTGGGCCAGGGCCCGCCCGAACTGCTCGCGAGATAAAGCAGAATCCCCGCGCAACACATCACGAGCCAGATGCATGAGATACGCGTACGACGCAAAGGCCGGCGCGAGGTGGAAGTCCCTTGCCAACGCCCAGAACCGTTCTAACGAAAGCTCCCTTCGCAAACCACCTTTTACGAGCTTGGACGCGGAGTAGTGGGCGTGCACGCCGTCCAGCACCGCACCTGCCCTACTTTCTAAGGCCAAGCGTGCCGCTCTCACTCGTTTCTGCTTCGTCGACGGCTGCGTGTTCTGGGAGAAGACGTACCACGCCGCGAACGCCTTCTGCGCCCCCGTCCGCGCATCGAGCACATGCATCTTCCGCCACAACAGCACGGCAGCAATGCGCCGCCCGCGCTTCGCCGTGCGCCGCTGGTGTCGCTTCAACTGCTTGTTCTCTAAAGACAATTCCCGGAGATGGTGCTCGGCCGACGCCGCGACGGCGTCCGCCCACTCGTTGGGCTCCACTTTTACCGGTGGTGCCGTGCACAATTGACGTTCCTTCTCCCGCAAGATGCGTTCTCTTTCATCAAGATCGGCGCCGGCCATCGCTTGATCGGCGGCCGCACTTGCAACCGCCTCTTCTCGCCGCCTCACGGCTTCCTCGCGCTCCTGCAAATCCGCCTCCGCCTTGACCAGACGCTCCATCCTTTCAACCGCATCCGCCTCGACGGCCGCGCACCGCTCCTCGCGCTGCACCACATCAGCCTCGGCCGCCGCGACGGCTCTCGCTCTCGTCAGGACGGCACGCTTCGCCTCGGACAGGTCCTCGTTCACAGGTGACGTAGGATAAGTGGGCGCGAGGGGCGGCCGGCCCTCGAACTTCGAGGGCGACGCGGGCGGCGTCGAGGCCTGCGCGGCGTCACCAGCGAACTCCAGCCATTTTATAAAGGTCTCCATGAGGATGGACTGCTCCTTGCGCCACGCGAGGCCGGCCACGATTGAGGCTAGTAGCTCGTAGGCGAAGTCCGGCACTGCTGCTGGCTCGTCGTCGCTATCGAACGTCTCGGACTGGCGCGCCCTCGGCGACTCCGCGAAGCACGACTCCCTTTCATCATCGTCGTCGTCCTCTACCTTATCACCGAAGCCTACTAAGGCCGCGGCCGCCTGGACCACCCCATCATCATCGTCGTCCTCGATCTCGCCCGCCGATTCTAGCGATGCTGGGGCTGGTAAGGGGCTCGTCTGCTCTACGTTTATTGTGTCGGGCTCGTCTTCTCTCCAGCCGTCGTGCCTTACTCCATCATCGTCGCTAAAATCGTCGACGCCGTCGAAGAAGTCGTCATCACCATCAATGGCCTCGGCGTCGTCGCCGAAGTCGCGCATTGCTGGGTCGCGGCCCTCTCGGGTGCAAGAAAAAGGGCGGCAGCCGCGTAGCACTCGTAGCCGCGCGACGAGTGTAAACGAGCGCGTGCGCCTTGTGGGGCGGTTTTGGCTGCAGACGCGTGCCGAGAGTGCCTGCAGCTCACTCGACGCGATGAGTGACAACTTCTAAGTGGCAGCAATGCCTTGCGCGACCAGAATTTGGTAGCCGGCACCCTTACGAGCTCAAAAACCGTGAATCCGCCTCAAAATTGCGTGCTAGCGTCGATGGACACTAGCAGCAGCCGACTCTTGGCAATAATATTGCTACCGTACGCCGAGCCGCGTATAGCTGCACGCTGTAGCTCGTTCACAGCCACCGCTGCAGACGCGCTACCGCCGCAGCGCCTCGCCGCGCTCCGCCGGGGCCCGAAACAAAGCCAAGCAGCACAGCAACAGCATGGGCGGCCCCACCGCGAACACGACCGACGTCACGTCCGAGAACGTCCACGGCACGAACCCGCAGAGAATAGTTGAGAAAATTTTGAGGACGAAAGTCTACGCGACGCAGTACTGGAAGGAAAGTTGTTTTGGCCTGACCGCGGAGACGTTGGTGGATCGAGCTATTGAGTTATCCCATGTGGGAGGCACGTACGGCGGCACGAGAAAACCGACCAAATTCATGTGCTTACTCCTGAAGATGCTGCAGATCCAGCCCGATTTGGAGATCGTCGTCGAGTTTGTGACCAATGAGGACTACAAATATGTACGAGCATTGGGTGCGTTGTACCTGCGCTGCGTCGGCCGGCCGGCGGACATTTATCGCTATTTGGAACCGTTGTATACGGACTACTCGAAGCTGCGAGTGCGGACGTTCGAAGGGTGGCACATCACTCATTTAGATCAATTTATTGATGAATTGCTGACCGAGGACTACGCGTGCGACATTGCGTTACCACACTTGCCGAAACGATGGCATTTGGAGAAAGCAGGGCAGCTCGGTCCTCGGGTGAACTCTGCCGCGGGCTTGGACGGTGACGAGGAAGTTTCTGAAGAGGAGGAAGAAGTGGTCCAAGAGGAGGCGATCGTCGGGCGGCTGAAAATGAAGGGTGGTTCTTCTAAGAAAAGGCGGCGCGAGGAGGAAGCAGCACCGGCGCAGGACGAGGATCGGGTCGCGGACGGCCACGACCTGGACATCGAGGCGACGAATGCTCTGAGAGCCAAATTAGGCCTGAAGCCCCTAAGAACATAGCATTAACAGTACCCCGACTGCTACTACCACAATGGTAATAGTGGTACAGGACGACGACTCCTTCGGAACATCGGAAGACGAGGGAAAGAGGTCCCTCCGCGAGGGCATGGGCTTCGACGCGTGCTCCGCGACCATGCGCCTCGCAATACGCGCGAAGCCGTCGACGTCGCCGGCCCTCAGCAGATTGCCGGCGTCGCAATTGAGCGGTGAGTCGGCGTTCGGCGCCGCCAGCAACGCGCGCACGGCCCGCACCACGCTCACTAAAGTCCAGGCCGGGCTCCAGGCCTCCTTCAGAATGTCCAAACAGACCTCGCCCGTCCTATCGTGAATATTCGGGTGGAAGAGCGGCGTCGTCACTCTTACGACAGGCGGCGCGAGCGGGTAGCGCACACCTATATTTAATTCGAGCTCGAAGACGCCTCCTTCAAAAGGCGTATCCGTGGGGCCGGCGACCCACGCCCTCCAAGACTGTAAGTTGTCCTGCTGCGGTGCCAGCACTAAGTCCGGCTCCGTCGAGCGCTGGGCGTCGGCGGCCTCCTTGCGCAGGCGCTTGAACATCTTCTTCTCGTCGGCTGCGTCGATGGCGTGGGAGGCCGTGTAGTATTGCGCAGAGCTGTGAAAAATGCCGCAGCGACCCCGCGCCGTCGGCCGGGGATCCCTAGCTCGACGACGTCAAAAATGCCGCACCCAGCGTGTGCTAGCGTCGTAAGACACTAGCAGAAACCGACGCGATGCGCCATCGACGCGGCCTCGACGTCAAACGTAGGGGACGTTTACTCAAGCGTCGCGTCCCAACCCAGTTCCAGCCGATCCCACCGCCTCCCTTCAAATTTCCGCTCGGCCGCGCGGCGCCGCCGCGACTCCACAGGAGAGCCCCCGAGGCCCTCCACGCGGTTCACGTGGCGCCAGGACAGCTCGCGCCACCGGCGCTGCGCCCGCGCAGCCCGCGCCTGGCGCTTCGCGTCCTCGTCGAAGCGGCTCGCCTCCGCGGCCCGCTCTTTTAAAACCTCGCGCTCCTCCTTCTTCAGGCGGCGCCACTTGCGCCGCGCCACGTAATTAAGAATGCGATCCAGGTACCATCGGAGAAGGAAGTGGCCGCGGACCGCATCTATCGAAACGGGCGGTCTACGCGGCGCGTCCTTGCGCATCGCCGCCTCGGCGGCGCGCCGCGCCTTCGTTTGTATACCTTTCTCGCGGCGCCAGTGGCGGCTGTTCAGGCCCTCGGTCTTGGCCGCGCCGCGCCGCCGCGCCCAGCGCGGGCTCGCCTCGTCGGGCCAGCACCGGTCCGCGTCCCTGGGCGGCGCCTCGACGTCAATGATGGGCTTCGTCGACCGTCTCCTACGTCTCTTCGCGGGCGCCTTTTTGGCGGGCTCCTCCACCTTAACCGGCGACCGCCTTCTCCTCCTCTTCTCGACGTGGCGCCAGCTCGCGTGCGAGAGCCAGTGGCGGATCGGCGGGTTGCGTCTTGCTCTAAAGATGGCCCGGGCGTCGAGCGCACAGGGCTTCTCGTCCTCCTCCGGGGCTGGCTTCGTAGGTTTTTCTGGGCGCTCGCCGCGGCCGTGCCAGCCGTAGCAGCGCCGCAGGTGCGTGGCTGGCATCGTGTCTGATGGGTCGTGTGCGACGCAGGCTGCCCCTCGCGCGTCGCCGGCGTCTAGCGCGCAAGCTTCGCAGCCAAACGGAGTCTCAACGGGCGGGCTGGGGGGGTGAAGCGCGAGCTCTCGGAGCGTAGTCCAGGACGACTCGGGGGTCTACCGCAGGCCTGGTCGCGGGCGAGAAGGGGAGTGACGTATGAAACTGGAATTGCCCGACCGCCGGGCCGCGGGGCCATGACGAGCCCGCCGCCGAAGCCACGCGCACGTGATCGACTCCGGCCGCCCCTGTGTTATATATATGTTTGCCCATAGCTTCCGGGCGCACGTGCGGGTGCCACTGAGATGCCTCTGTTCCACTGAGAGACAGCTTGGAGAGAGGCCGCCCCAGAGAGGCTGCCCCTTCATCCTGAGCTGGACGCCAGAAACAACTAACACCGCCACACGCCGCCGCTGCACCAAAGGAAGCGCAACGATGGGTAGAACTATTAGTTGTGCAAAAAAGTCCAAGAAGCTCCGCGACGCGAGGCAAGCGACGGAGGGCCGGGGCGACATGCTGGCTAAGCTGCGTCCGCGCAAGCCGGCCTCGCACCACGACCTGCGTCCACGCCGAAAGGTCGTCTACGTTTACTCGGACGAGGACGCGGACGAGACAACTGATGACTCTGATGAACCTTACGTTCCACAGACGAAGACGAAGACGAAGCCGAGGACGCCACGCTGGAAGAAGAAGACGACGCCGACGAAGCGGACCCGCCGGTCGCGACGCCCCATAGAAGTGGAGCTTACCTACTACGAATGCCCGTCCGACCGCACGCGCGCCATCAAGGTGTGGGGCTGTAAGATGCCGGCTCCGGACCGAAGGCAAGCGACCCAACGCCGCGTGTACAAGGACAAGCTCGTCGACGGTTTCGAGGTTATCGGCACCTATTCCGATTATAGGATTAAGGCCATGCGCACGCTGGACCAACCGGCGACGGCGTACAGAAGTAACGGAAGGCCGTACGTCGCGCGCCGCGGCGCCAAGCGCAAGAACACCGGGACCCTCCTGGACATAGGCCTGGGCCTCATGTCTTTCGACGAGAAAGACAATCTCGAGGCCTTTGAGGTCATCCGAAAGGGAGGGGCCTTTAAGCGTCGCAAAAAAGACACGCGGCCCTGCCGCTTCATCAACCGGGCCTTTCCCTTTCGGTCGGCGTGCCGGTTCCTGCGGGCGGCCATGAAGGAGCACCGCGCCGAGGGCAAGTGGGTCGTCGAATTCTCCATCTGCGGCGCGGCGCTCAACGCCGGCGCCGAAGCCGCGCGCGCCGTGGCCGGTCCGATGTTGCTCAAGGCAAAAACCTACGAGGCGTGCCGGACCTGCGAGGCGTTCCATAACGCGCGGACGGAGCTGCGCGGTGAGGGCGAGGTCCAGGAATTCAAGGCCGTCGTCCTGGGCGAGGCGGGCGACGGCTACGTCATGGACATCGGCGACGACCAGGGCGAGGTCTGGCACGCCGTCGACTGCACGTGGGCGGAGCTGGCCGCCGATATGAAGAAGACCCTGGAGGACGCTTTGGAAAGCCGTGGCCTGGAGCGCGAGGACGTCTTCGTGTACTGCGACGCGACGCCCCCGTGTTCCGGCGTGTCCAACATGCGCCACCCGTCGCCCGAGGTGCGGGAGTCGTGCTTGAAGTTCATGAAGCAGACCGACGCGTTCGTCCAGAAGATGCACGCCGAGGGCTTGTTCGACGCGGCCTTGTTCGAGAACATCAAGGAGTGCATCGATCTTTGGTAGTGGTCGACGGCGCGGGAACGGGCGAGGGAGAGCAGAGGAAACACAAAGGGAAGTGCGGCGGCACTTTCGCTGGGTGTAATGCGAGCAGGCGGGTGGCAACCCCCGCGGGCGCCGCGAGGCGCGACGCAGAGCTATTTGTAAGCATTATTATTTATTTACTAAGGGGCGACGCAGAGCCGGCGACGACACGGATAAGTAGCGGAGCCTTAACCTAGCCACGGGGGCGGAGGACGCGAAAGCACTACCGTGACGCCGTCGCGTGCGCGCCCCTGGCCTCTCAGCTGGCCGGGCTAACATATCCCGTCGAGACTCGGCGAGAGAAAGTTTTTCTATAGAATCTACTTACCCGTCCTCCTCGTCGACGACCTCCTCCTCCATGAGCTCCTCGCCGAGCTCCTCCTCGGCCGGCTCGTCGGCGTCGCTGGCGACGGCCTCCTCGTCGCCGTCGCTGGCGACGGCGTCGTCGTCGGGCTCGTAGACCGACTCGCCGGCGAGCGGCTCGTCCTCAAACGCCAACTCCTCCTCCTCGGAGTAGGCCTCGGCCTCGGCCTCGAAAGGCGCCGGCGCGGGCGCCGCGTACGGCGCCGGCGCCGGCGCGCACCAGCATTCGTAGGGCCGCGCCGGCGATTGCGGCACTTCCGCCTCTCTTGCCAAACGCTCGGCCTCCTCGGCTTCCGCGATTGCGCGAGCCTCCGCGCGCGCCGCGCCCGCCTTGCGGAAACTGCCAGAAGTGCCGGCCTGCGCCAGGAGCTTCTTCTTCGAGGCGCTCTTGCGGGCATTCGATTCCGCGATGGCCCGCTTCTCCGCCCGCTCCGCACCCGCAGCCCCGAAGGCCGACGCGACGCCCGCTCCAAATTTCACGGCTCGCTTGCTACCTTCCTTCCGAGCTAACGCGAGAGCCGCGGCCCGTTTCTGCGCCTCCTCCAGCCTTTTAGCTTTCAATGCCAGTATTCTATTCCTTCCACCAGTGACAGATAACGGCATGGGGATGTTCGCGCCCGGCTTGAGTAAGTGCGGGATAATATCTTCACACCCAGCGAGTAGTGGAGATTTCGACAGTTTGGTCAACTGCCCGACCTGCCTCTTACGTCGTTTCTTGTAGGCCGGGGAGTTCTTTTCTCGAAAATCGAGTTCCCGCAACTTTTTTAACTTTGCGACGTTTTCCAGATGTTTCTCTTCCCGCTTCTTGCGGCGCCGTTCCGCGCTCATGAGCCGCTTCCTAGCTTCTCTGAGCTCCTTCTCCTCCTGGGACTTGCGCATTTCAGACGTCTTGCGCATGAACTCCTCATGAGAGATATTTTTCTGTGCGATGAACTGCCCATCGAATCGCGGCCCGTGGACCTTCATGAAGTGCATGAACTCGTCGACCGTGACGTCCCCGGACGAGTCTTCGTCGATGGCTCGCCACAAACCTTTGAGCTCGTCTTGCGACATGTCCTTCTCCTTGAGATTGAGCCCGGGATCCCTCATCCTCGTGACACCCTCGAGCTCCTCAAAGCCCAGTCTACCCGACTCGTCCGTGTCGAATTTGTTGAAGATCGCGAACCAGTTGCCTTCTGTAATACCAGAACCGTCTTTACTAAATTCATGTACTGCGGCATCGTTAATCTTCGTACATAACCGCTTCATATGTTTCTTTTTCAGGATGGGCCATCCGGACAATACCAAAATATATAACCTCGACTGAAATTCTTTGATAGTGACCTCACCGGACTCATCAGTATCGATAAAGCACCACAAGCCATACAACTGTACATCATCAAAAGGGCACTTCAGGACGTCATTAACAGCAGCAGCAAACTCGTCGAAGTCCAATCGGCCCGAACCGTCCAGATCCAGCCGCTCAAACAGCATCGCCCAATTTTTATTCATCGCGTTCCGCAGGTCCCAGGCAAAACAGATCCGGTCGAATTGGTCGTGCATTTCTAGTACTAATGGCCTTAATTGTTCCTCGGTCATGGCTTTGCCTGTCGCTTTTTGCTCGTCATCGAGTTCCCGGTGTCGAGGACCCGTATACGCTAACATAGGATCATAGAATTTTTTCATAAAGTGCATGAACTCGTCGACCGTGATATTTCCATCAGAATCGGCGTCCATGGCCTTCCAGAGGCCCTTCAGGTCATGTGTACTGAGATCTTCTTCTCTCAGATTTAATCCAGGGTCCCGCATGCGCGTGACGCCTTCTAGTTCTTCCCATCCGAGTCTACCGGACTCATCGGTATCAAATTTATTAAAGATCTGGAACCAGTTGCCACTAGATACGGCTATAGATTCTTTGCTGAATTCATGCACCGCCGCGTCGTTAATTATTTCACATAACCTATTCAAGTGTTCCGTCTCTAGTGAAGGCCACGCATCCAGTAACAAGAGATAGAGTGCGGACTGGAACTCGCCGATCGTGACTTGTGTCGAGCGATCTTTGTCGACGTAGCACCAGAGGCCCCACACTTTATCCTCGGCCACGTCTAGGGACAGTACTTCCCGAATGGCGTCCTGGAACTCGCCGTAGTGGAGCATGCCGCTCCCATCCGTGTCTAACCTCTCGAACAACATCTGCCAGTTGCCCCGCATACTATTGCGCACGTTCCAGGCCAGGCAAATTTTGGGGAAGGCCTCGTGCATCTGTAAGACCACTTCCCTGAGTGCCGAGACAGGTAAAGCTTCGGCGGCCTCCCTTGCTTCGTCATCTAAATCCGGCAATACTTTAATTTCATTACCTAGTGATAACCCACGCATCTTCTTCGAGTAGTCGGTAAGCTCGTGCATCTGCGGTCCTCTAGCTCTCATGAAATGCATGTATTCATCTACTGTCACATCTCCACTACAGTCTTTATCTATCGCTTTCCAGAGGCCTTTCAGGTCGTGGGTTGATAAGTCTGATTCTCTTAGGTTCAAACCCGGATCCCGCATGCGCGTCACGCCCTCGAGCTCCTCGAAGCCCAACCTCCCACTCTCATCCGTGTCAAATTTATTAAAAATCTGGAACCAGTTGCCCGACGTCACGCCGGACCCTTCTTTCGAGAATTCGTGGACCGCCGCATCATTGATAATGATACATATTTGTTCGAGTCTTTCTTCACTTAGTATAGGCCAGTCCTCTAATAGCAAAAGATAGCAGGCGTGCTGGAACTCCTCTATGCTTACAAGTTCGCTCTTATCGTGGTCGACGTAGGCCCACAGCGCTTTGAGATGGTCCTCCGGTACGTCTATTTTAAGAACATCGGCCAAGGCTCCGGTGAATTCGTTGTAGTCCAAGCGACCACTCCCGTCCGTGTCCAGCCTTTCGAAGAGCATCTTCCAGTTCTTGTTCATGCTCCCCTTGACGTTCCAGGCTATACAAATCTTCGGGAAGGCCTCGTGCATCTGCAATACGACGCTCCGCAGGATTTTGGTGTCTAGTTGCTTTTCATGGCTGTCGTGGGTCGTGGGCTTTTTGCTCTCGGAGACCATGGTGGCCGCAGTCGCCGCGCGCTCCCGCTCTGGTTCTAGCTGGCTCCCAGAGGGTGCAGCCCCTCCGCAGCGTTAGGTCAAGGGCTGCCCTTCACGACGACGTGCGGTCTCGGCGGGGACCCGTGCCTCCCTACGGCGCGTCCCCGACCCCCTTAGGCTCGCGCGGCGTGCCAGGGCGCGCTTTGCAGAGTAGCGCCGAGAGGCGGGAGAGCAAAAAGTGGCTGTCTAGCGCCGGGCGGCGCGGGGCGAGGAGCGCGTCCACGTATACTTGCGAGGCGGCGACGCGTCCCGAAAAACCCGGTAGTACCATATAGTACCATATAGTACCATGTAGTACCATAAGCAGAGGCTCATTCAGCCGCGGCCGACGCGCGGCGCATACGCCCCCGTGACCCAGCTACGTGCTGAGAGCTCTGCTGGCATACGCTGGCTCGCGCAGTAACGGGACGCCGCGTGACGCACGCGTCAGAGAGACACCACCCGACTCCTACCCTGAGGGCAAAGCAACATACGTTTACAGCCGAGCGCGTCACCCGTGGACAAGCTAAGGCACCATGTCCACCCTCTCGGCCGCCCGCGCGGACAATTTTTATTATCCCCCCGGCTGGGACCCTTCAAAAGAATCACTCAATCAACACACCGGGCACACGAAGGGCCGCAACCAGTACGAGCAGAAGGGTCTGATCCGCTTCGAGCTGCCCTTCGACGGCTGGTGCACGAAGTGTGGTCGGCATGTGGCGAAGGGCGTCCGATTTAATGCCAGTAAGAAAGCTGATGGCAAGTACCACTCAACAACAATATGGAAGTTCGGGATGGGCTGCCCCGGTTTATGTGGCGGGGCGTTCGTCGTGAGGACGGATCCCAAGAATTCCGATTATGTGTTCGAAGGTGATTTGCGGCGGAAGGTCGAGGAGTATTCTAGTGATGAGGAGCAAGGTCATAAAGCGCTGGGGGAACTGGACCACCGCGACCAGGCGAAAGAGCTTTCTAGGAGGCGGGACCCGATGCAATCTCTAGAAAGGAAGCAGGACGACCGGGAGCGAGCTAGGGAGCGCGCGGCGGCGTTGCAGCGGGTGCGCGACCGTTCTGATAGAGCGGACGACGACTACGGAGCCAATGCGTTGTTACGAAGGCGCCACCGCTCCAAAAGAAAGGAGGCTTCAGTAGATGAGGCGAAGGCGCGGGGTCTAGGCTTGGCGGTCGAGCTGGTACAACCTTCTGAGGAGGACGCCGCCGAGGCCCGGGCGCAGCACTTTCAAAGAGCTAGGAGGGAGCCGGCGCGCGTGCCGCTGCACGCTCAAAGCATCTTTGGAGGTGACCGTAGAGCGCGGACGGCGGCGACGCTACGGCGGGACCGCAACCTCTCTTCATTGAGACTGCGGCCGCGGACCGGGACAAGACAAAGGGAGCCGACGCCTTTGGTAAGGGCGAAGCGTCGGCGTAAGTAATGTGTGAATGTTATCTTAGGGCCCCGTCGTCCCGATGCGCCTTCGCTCTCCTCGTCTTCTCGCGGTGCTTTTCGCGCGTCTCGCCGCGCTTCCGTCGAATGTGGGCCGCGCGCGATTTTAAGGGCCGGCCCGGGTGGTCGTCGCGCCGCGGCATGGTCGGGTGGTCGACGGGCCAGCCGTGCTTCGAGGGCGGGTTGAGGCCCTTGGTCATCGAGACGCCGCGCATGCGCTCGCCCTTCGCTCGTCTCACGCCCGGCGTGCGTCGTATCCTCAACCAGTCCCGTTTCTCGTCGTCGGCCAGGGCCGTGGTCATGATTATGAAGATGCGTACGAGGCGCATGGCTGCCTTGTGTTGGGGGCAGCCCCAGAGTCCTTGGTCGGCTTGGCTGAGCGGTACTGGGCGCAGCGCTTTGCAAATGCTGTCGGCTTCGAAACGCGCGAGCTCTAGGGGCCCGGGGCTCTCAGGCGATTGATGCTGGGCAGCGCTCGGGTGTTTTTTGGGCCGCGAAACCCGTTTTCTGACGATTAGAGCTCGGCCCGATATATATTGCGCGTGGGGGTAGGGTGGTTCGTGCACTGAAGATAGGACTTACGCGCTCCTCGGCGGCGTTTCGCGGGCGCGGAGCGCGGCTCGCGCGTTTCGCAAGTCGCCCTCAATCCTCGCTGTCAGCGGGTGCGCGCCACCGTACACGCGCCGTGCGATTATAACCAGCTCCTCTAGCGTCGTCACGGCCTCGCGGAGATCGTCGAGGGTGGCGCCGGCGTCGAAATAGATCGCCGCCGCGTAACCCAATCTCATCTTGAGCGTGTTCTCATGACTCTCCCCGAGAACGCGCCGCGCCACGGGGATCGTCTTTCGAAACAGTGGCTTGGCTTCTGCGAAGCGTCGTAGAGCGATAAAGGACGCCGCGTAGTTGCTGGCTTGTGTGAGCGTGTGGATGCTTTCTTCGCCATATAGCTTCAAGGTTCCAGAGTGTACGTCTCGCTTCATCTGTAAGGCTGTCTCGAACCGCCCGAGCGCGTCATACGTGACCGCAAGATTGCTCTGCACGGCGAGAATGATTTCTTCTGCCGCGCCAATGCGCCGCCGCATAGCCAACTCGGCCTCTTGCACGGACAACGCGTCCTCGCGGTGTCTTGCGGCGTATAAACCGCCCCCAAGCAGGTTCATCGCCGTGCCATGGAGCCGATCCGTCTCCGGCCGGCCCACGTTCGTCTTCCAGCACGCCCAACCGAGCGCGCATCGCACGATGCCGTGATACTCTTGCTCGCACAGGCTACACGTGTGCCACCGATCCCACCTCGCCTGCAAAACCTTGACGTCCAAATTGTTCTCCTCCGCCTCCGCGACCAAGATCTTCACCTGCTCCGCCAGGCACGACACGTGCGCGACGCCCGAAGTCCCGCGGCACGCGCAACCGCGCACGAGGCCCTCCTTCGTTTTCCAATGGAGGGCTTGCGTGCAGATGTAGCACGTCTGGCCCTTCGTGTCGTCCGCGCATGCCTCGACCGCGACCGCGACGGCCTCCTTGTATTTTTTGTCGGCATTATACTGTTCTGCGTTGCCGCCGCGGTGTATTTTCTTACACATCTGCTTGTGGCCGCGGCGCCAGTGGTCATGCTGGCAAGTCTTGTTACAATATCTCGTGTGACATCTAACGCATCGCGGCGCGTTGTGGGCCAGTGGGGCGGCGCAGGCGGCGCAGTTTGTGAGGATCATCTTGCGTTGGCGGGGTCTGTGAGGGTCGCGGCGTCCGCGTTGAAAGGGTGAAAAAAAACAGGTTTCAGCCCGGCTTACCGCAACTGAGCGACGCCTTCTGAGTGTTAATTTATCATGTTTGCGATATGTCTGTACCTAACTGACCCGTGGGTAACGCGTGAGCCACTCGTGAAAGTCATGTAAACACATTGGAAATGCCCAACACAAATGCCCTCGAGGCCATGCTCGCCGCCCGCGCCGGGCCGCCGGCCGCGCCGCCGGCCGAAGAAGCCAAAGAACCCGACGACAAGCACGCGGCACTAAGTAACCTCTTCGCCGGCCGCGCGGCCGCCGCCGCGAAGCCGGCCGCGCCGGCCGCGCCGAAAAAGACGAGCGCCCTCGAGGCCATGCTGGCGAAGCGGGCTGGGCCGACGGCCCCCTCGCTCTCGATCTCCTTCTCCGGCGACGAAGCTGTGGATCAGATCCAATTCGACTACGAGGACGCGCCTCCACCACCGGCGATGACGCCGCCGCGGACACCCCCGCGGACACCACCTAGAACGCCGCGCACGCCCGGCCGGCCGCCGCTCTCTCCAGTACCAACGTCGCCGTCCGAGTTCTCGCGGCGGCGGCGGCGCTCGTCCGCGGCGTTCGACGACGTCCACACGCCTCTGTCCGTCGCGGCGGAGCGGCGCCGCTCGCGCCTCAGCGAGGACGGCCGCGCGAGTGTCGATAGCGCGGACACACCCGACAGCCTCCCGAGCCCGCCCGCCTCGGAGCTGTCGGAGCCGGACTTCTCCTGCGAGCTCGAGGAGGAGGTCGAGGCGGGCGACGCGAGAGTGTTCCTGGAGTTCGCTCAGGATCCGCTGCCGCGGCGGCTGGGCGGCGCGCCGTACGCGCCCGGGCCGCTCATGGCGGCGCTGAACGAGGCCGACGACCGCACGGAACTCCTCCTGGCGCGCCTCGCCGATGGGACCATAACGGAGGCCGACGCGCCCGATGCACCTCGTTTGCCATTGGAGCGGCCCGCGCTCCAAGCTGCGAAGGCGCTCGTGCCGGTGCACGGGTGCTGCCAGCTCTGCGAGCGGGCCGCCGCCGCGGCCGCGGCGGCGCGCGCCGCCGCCGCGGAAGCCGCGGCGGCGCCCGACTTTGAAACTGCGGAAAAGGCGCACGACGCGTTGCGGGCCGCGGACTACTTCCACGGCGAGTTTCGGAGGCGGCGCGGTTTGCTCGACGCGACGTTCGTGGAGCGCGTCTGTGCTCTGTTGAAGGCGGACGACTTCGCGCGGGCCCTCGACGACCAGCGGCTGGGTTTATTTGCCCGCGTGATGGGTCGCTCGAGCGCGCTCCCGGCCGCGGCGGCCGCCGCGGCCGAGGCGACGTCTCGGCGCGCCGCCTTGTGCCGGGGCCTGGCGGCGACGATCGACGGGGACCTGGCCGCGGCGCACCACGACGCAGATTTACCAAGCGTCGTCGAGGAACTGCCCTTCGACCGCCAGGAGGCCCTCGCCTGGCGCGCCGAGATCAAGGAACAGCAAAAGGAGAACCTGCGCGAGATCCAGAGGATGTGCGGCATGGACCGGCCGCCGCGCGCGGCGGAGACGTGGATGCTGCTTTCCACGGCGCTCCGGAAGGAGCCGCCCGCGAAGCCGCCGCGGCCCTGGGGCGGGTTCAAGGACGATGACGCCGACGACGACGAGTCGCAGACGAGTAGTACGCTCCCGGAGCAGCCGACGGCGGCGCTCGCGAGCGACGTGGCAAAACTCGCGCGCGAGCGGGCCCTGCGGAATCCAGGGCTCTTCTCGGCCGACGGACTCTTCGCCCCGACAGAGGAGCCCGACTTTGAATTCGACGGCGATGACGGCTTCGCCGACGGTGCGCCGCTGCCCGACTTCGACGAAGACGATGGCGAAGGCGAACTGGACGAGCTCACCTCGGCCGACTTCGGCGAGGACCCCTATCTGCACGTAGACACATGAGTAATGAACAACAAAACTATGACTTTACATTTGAGGGAAGGTCCGACGCCCGCGTCCCGAGAAAACCAACAGCCCCGGCAGTAGCCAGCGAGCAGACCGCAAAAGGCGCCGCCGTCGAGCCCGCGAGGTCCGCCAACAACCCCAGCGCGACCGGTGCCACGCAGAGCGCGCCGTCCGCCGCCGTCCGCGACAGCGCGAGCGACTCGCCCCGTCTACTTGGTGGAGCGACGTCGTTCGTCAGCGCCGTGAGCGCCGGCCCGGCCACGGACACGCCGAACCCCCATGCGAAAAAGGCCGCGGTAAAGGGCTCGACCGCGTCCGCCAGGGCTAACCCGCCGCCGCCTAACGCCGCCAGCCCGAGGCCCGCACACACGACCGGCGCGCGGCCGTGCCGGTCCGACATCTTACCGGCCAACGGCCCGCCGAAGACGCCGACCGCCGACACCGCCGAGAAGAGCGCCCCGATCTCGAGCGGCCCCGCGGTCACCCAGACGTCCGCGCAGCGCAGCGGCATGATCGCGAGGATCGCCGCGTAGTTCGCGTGGAGCACCGCATTTAGAGCTAAACAGGTCCGCTGCGCGGGCTCGTGTAGTAACGACGACGATGATGATGAAGGCTCATCCGCCTTTGTAGCAAGTGAGAGCGTCTCCGGCACCAGAGCGTAGTATCCTCCAGCACAAGCCATCGCCAGGCCGCCCATCGCCGCGAAGCTCCCCGGCGCGCCCCAAAGTCCAGCGAGCACTCCACCACATGCGGGCCCGAGCACCCACGCGCCGGCCGTCGCCGCGGACTGGACCCCCAGTATCAACCCTCGGTGCCTTTGGACCTTGGGCAATCCAGTAACGTCTCCCACATAAGCCGTGCTGCCAGCATTGGCCGCCGAGCCGCCCGCGCCGACCAACAGCCGCGCGGCGACCATAGTTGTTGCGGTGGGCGCCATACCGGTCAAGGCCACGCCGCAGGCCGCCGCGGCCTCGCCGAAGATCATCAGCGGCCGTCGTCCTCTGCTATCAGCCAATCGACCAAAGGGCGAGTTGAGGCAGACGCGCGCGAACGCCGGCGCCGCCAACACGAGCCCGACGCCGCTCGACCCTAGACCCAGACCGAGCGCGTACTGCGGCAGCACGGGCACGATAGCACCAAAACTAAAATTCAGCGCTGCTGTGGCTGCGGTGACTACACCTAAACCGGCGCGGTGCTCCTGGGGCAGCGCGGCCCAGGCGGCGGCGAGGCTGCTTCCGTCCTTGTCGTCGTCTTTCGTGTCGTTGCTGCTCTGCGCCGCGTCGGCTCGCGTCTGGGCACTCAGTTGCGGCGCCGCGTCGTCGGCGTGCGCACTGGCACTCGATGCACTGGCCAGTATGGTCTTTTTTGTTTGTGCAGTTGTGACGCGCCGGGAGCGGGCAGCGACCAGCAGGCGTCGTGGGTGAGGGCCCACGGCGCGTCGGGCGCAGCGGAGAAGCATTTTTGCGCCTCTCTCGCGTTGTATGGGCGCGTTTACCACAAACGAATGCGGCAACATAATCAGCTAGCGGCTGTAAGATACTAGCATTAAGAAAAGCAACATTACAACACACACAAACACAAAGCTAGCGCCCGCCCCGCTTCTGGAACACGCGCACGGAGTCCACTTTGAAACACGCCGGGAAGGCCCGGTCATCGATTCCCTTCATGCCGCCCCACCCGCCGACCGCCAGGTTCAGTAATAAATGAAAACGCTGGTCGTAGGGCCACGACTGAGCCCCGAAGCCCTTGTCGTCTACTTTTAAGACGAGCTCGTTGTCCACGAAAATCGAGATGCGCGTCGGCTGCCAGTCGACGGCGTAGACGTGGAACTTCCGATGGGCTGTTGAAATTAATTTGGCTTTCGACCGCTGGCGACCCACGGTCGGGTTGTGGCGCGTCGAATGGCAGGCCGAGTGGATCAAACCGTTCTTCTCCCAGCCCACGTGCTCCATGACGTCGATCTCGCCGGAATGCGGCCAGCCCCCATACACTTCATCCGTAGGTAATAACCAGATCGCCGGCCACAAACCTCTTTTCGAGGGCGGCAGCCTCGCGCGCACTTCGACCCGGCCGTACAACCAGTCTCCTCTATATTTCGTGCGCAATCGCGCCGACGTGTACTTGCACGAGTTCGACCGCTCGCGCCGCGCGATGATCCGCAATTTCCCGTTCCGCACGTGGCAGTTCCGTACCGAGTCCGTGTACCACTGGCGCTCGCCGTGCTGCGCGTCGTGGACCCAGTCGTTGGCTTCGCACTGGAATTGCCACCGCGCCGGATGCGGCGCCCCTTCGTAATCAAAAGTATCCTGCCAGACTAATTGCAAATCCGTGGGCATGGGCTTCTGCGGCTTCTCGGGACTGAAGATCGCCTTCGCGAGCTCGCCGGTGAGCTTCTTCGACTTTTCTCGTCTTAGTGAATTCGCGTGCTGGAGTCTCCTTAAAGACCGCGTGCCGCGCGGCGGCGCCGCGGGGCGCTTCGGCGTGCACATGAGCGTCGCGCTCCGTTCTAGCGTGTCCGGGCCAACCAATGAGTCCTTGGCCGGCGGCTCGAAGCCCTCCAGGCCCATGGCCGGCGGCCGCTCCTCCGCGTCGGGCCGCCTGAACGCAGTATCGGCCTCGGAGAAGCGCAGCCTCTCCGCCTCGGGCGGTTCGAACCCATCCAAACCCATGGCTGGTGGCCGCTCCTCCGCATCAGGTCGAGGCACGTCGCCCTCGAGCCGCCGCAGGGCCGCCTCGATGCGCGGGTCGTCCATATCGGTGACCGGCTTGCGCGCGGCGCGGGGCGCGTCGAGGGGGTCGACGGCCGGCAGCGCGCCGCGCGCGAGGTCGAAGGCGCTCTCGCTGGCGCGCAGCGTCCCGCGCGGCGGCGGCGACGCGGCCGGCAGCGGCCGCCGCAGCTTCGCCGCGCGGCGGCGCTTCGTGCTGCGCTGCGCGCCGGCGAGCGCCGGCAGCGCCGGCAGCGCCGCGAGCCGCTGCGGCTCGGCGGGCGGCTCGGCGCCGCCCTCGGCGTCCGGCCGTTCGAAGCCGTCGAGGCCCATCGCCGGGGGGCGCTCCTGCGCGTCGGGCCGCCGCCGGCTCTCCGCCAGCGGGTCGAGGGGCTGGCGCCGGCCGCGGGCCGGCGCCGCGCCGCGCCGGCGCTGGAACTCGGCTTCGCGCTGCATCAGCTCCTGGCGCGACCGACCCTTCTTCAGCGGCGGCGGGCCCAGCGCGGGCAGCCCCGCGCGGGCCCAGGACATGCCTACCGGAGGCAGCTCTACGGCCTCCATTGGCCTTCAGCTCCTGGCGGGCTGGCGGGAACAGGCTCCTGGAGGCAGCCCACAGGGGGCAGCTCCTGGCGCGAGCGCTCGCAGAGCGCGAGACCACTCGCGTGCGGAGTCCCTGCGTCCAACGAGGTGACGATTGGTGCACCGTGGGTCTCGGACCCCAGCCAACGCCGCAGAGCCACCAGGCCATCCAAATTCCAGCCTGAAAATGGGTCGATGCGAGCGGGGCGCCCAAGGCTCCCAGGAGCCCTAGGGCGGCTCCGCGAGCCGTCGGCGGGGCTGCGATTTGACACGCTAGCGGCGCCTGCGCCTCTCAGCGCCTGCTCTCCGTACAGCGCGCGCGCGCCTGAAAGCCATCGTCGCGTCGACGGGCTGCCCGGACGCCATCGCGGAGCAATAGGTCCAGCGCTCATCAGCCTCCGACACCAGTAGCACGCAGTGACGCCATCGCGGGGCAATAGCCCATAAGAGCAGTGGCAAGCATGACCGTCGGCGGCGCCATCTACAACACCCTGCACCACTACTCAACCAGCAAACACGGAGACGCCGAGCCCAAGGTGAATGGGTTTAAGTTCGACCCGCGGCGAGGCAAGAACCGCAGTCTGCGCGGGCCCGTGCAGACGCCGTTGATCGTGCGGGCTCAAGTGGATGGCGTCGTGACGAAGCTGCGCGTGCCCAAAGGTACGACGATGGAGCAGATCGGGGGTTTGGTCGTCGGCGGCTGCAAGGTTCGGAGAGAGAGCGACATCCAGCTACGGGTCGAGCAGGTCTGCTGGACGGAGGGGCGGTCCTCCCAGAAGATCGCTCATAGGGACTACTCAAGGGCTTTGTTGAGAGTCGTGCAGGTGGTGCAAGCTAGACTCCCTTCAACATCATCAAAGACGATCGGTAAGAGACGCATGCGCACTCTCAACAATAGTGTATATGTCCCCGTCCCCGTGGCCGGCGTCTCTAAACAATGGCCCTGCGGCGCGCTCTACCCGCGGCTAGATAGAGTGGAGGGCGTCTCGCCGCAGCGCACTGTATTGGAACCGACGCCGGAATTGTCGCCCCGCACACTAGAAAGGCTGGGAACATCATATAGAGCCAACAACGTATATACGTGCGACCCGAATAAACAGCGGAGCCTCCTCGAGTCCGGACCTTTAGAGCTCGCCGCGAAAGCGATGAATTTGCGGGATAAGAACGCCGTCTGGGACGCGCAAAAGCCGCTGGTCAAGGACCACGCGCGGCCCCTGCCCGATTCGAGACCGGTCTATCCCGCGCAATTAGAGGCTGCTCGTAGTTTACATGCCGGCATCCGACGAACGTCACCACATCGAGGGGCGCAGTTCGACGTTGCGCGGGCGATCCGCGTGCACCACAAGGCCGACCTGCGGCAGGACTGTCCCTGGAGACGGTTAGAGGGCGTGGACCAGAAACCGTTCGACTACGCGGACGCTTATAGACCATTGAGCGACGAGGTCAAGCGTGTTGCCTTCGCCGACACGGAGCACGAGGCGGCGTCGTTCGCGGACGCGGGCTCGCAGGCGACGCTTACTGATGATGGTTCGCTGAATTCCGTGCCGCGCGGCGGTTTTATAAGCGCGACGCCGATCGGCCGCGGGAAGCGGGAGGTGCGGATACCTACGGACGGCGCGTCCGTGACAAGCTTCGACACGGCGCTCTCTCCCGATAGACAGACGTCCCTGGTGTCGGGGCTGGAGACACTGTCCCTCGAGGCGCCGTCCGTGACCTTCGTCGGCACGAAGCGGCGCCACGTCGCCGGCGCGATGACGAACACGCACGCCGTGCGCATGCCAATGGGCGTTACGTCGCCGGCGCGGTCCTTGGGGGCGTCCGACGGCCTCGGGCCCGAGCTGTCCATCGACCGGTTCTCGCATACGGGCTCGGACATCCTCTCCCAGGAGGAGGGCCTTGGCAACCTGCACAACCCGTCGTACTCCGAGACGGGCGACCTCTTCGTGGGCAACCGCTGGTCCGGGCAGGGCCACGACGGCGGCGCGTGCGGGACGTTGGTTGGGGGTGGTGGGTATCCGACCGACGTGTATAGGGTATGATCTCTAGAGAAATTTTTCACTCGCCGCCGTGCGACTAGGAGCCATCGACGAGCAGGCGGCCCCTTTCCACGGTGGGCGCCACTGTGGAAGCCTTCCTCCGCGGACGCGCGACTGCCCGTCGCGCGCCCCGCGACGCGCGACAGCGAGCCCGGGATCCTTGCGACCCGTCGTATAGAGTCCGACACCGCCCCGCACGCCTGCGACGCGCGTCACGCGGCGCGCGAATAGGGGGTGTCCTGCAACGCCTCTGAGCCACAGCGAGATCACAGCGCCAGCTCTCGCGCCGCGTGGGCAGCACTACACGCCAGCCGTGGTCCGTACGCCCGCCGCCGCCGCCGGGCTGCCCCTCGAGCGCCGGCGATGCAGGCCCACCACCGCCGCAGCCTCTGGCCCGGCGCACACACAACATCGATGCTGCCCGGCTTCGTCCCCGACGAGACGACGACGATAGGGGAGGCGCCGCTCACGAAACCCAAGGTCTGGTTCGACGCGCGCGCCAACAAGGCGAGGATCACCTACCCGCCCGGCGGCGGGCCCCTGTCGGTGCCGCCGCCGCGGCGCCAGAACCAAGAGCTCGACTCCCTGGTGTTCTATACGCAGCCGGCCGAACCGGATATACCAGCGCGCTTCCCGGAGATGACGCCGATCAAAAAGCTTCTGAGGAGAGACGACAATGTGGATGGGGTGTCCGATTGGCCGCCGAAGCCACGTAGACGGGGCACGGCGCGGCCGACGGGCGACGGGTTGATTCCCGACGGCCACGGCGGGTTAATAGCACGCAAAGGCGACGAAGACAAGTGCATTGTGTACTACGGGGCCACGAACGGCCGAGCACAAGCCCAGCTCGACGCGACGATGACACCAATACAAAACGAACAGCAGACGTCGCGGCGCCACTTCGAGGCCCACGCCTCTCCATTGTTGCAGGAGCGTTTTGGAAGGACGCCGGCGCCGAAGTGGGTCGACCACTTTGGTGAAGACGGCGTGCCGACGGTCGGGCCCCAGCCCGCGCGCGTCCACCGCAAGCCGCCGTCCTCGTCCTTCCAGCGGGGGCAGTTGATCATGCCGAGTGAAGGCGCGTCTGTGTCGCCTTCATCAAAAGGCGGCATGAATCCCCAAGCGCGGGCCTCGCATTTCGAAGAAGATTTTGTACCCGGGGAAGTCGACGAGTTCCTCGTGCGCGCCGACAAGATGCGGGGCCACCAGTTCCCGCAGCGCACGCGGACGTCGTTCAAGGACGAGGCGCTCGTCGTGCCCCAGGACTTCCCCTACCGCGAGCCCGTCGAGCCGCATCCCACCGTCCGCGATTCCTTGTATGGAGCCAAAGAAGGGCTCGTGTCGACGGTGGAGCCCGCGGGGCGCGGCCGGCGCCAGGTCCCGCGGTCCCAGCGCGTGGCGCTCGAGGGGGCGTTCGACGGGGCGTGGGGGTAAGTTTTCATCGCGATCATACCTATGAGCGTGTGGCGATCGAACAGTGGCTCGCGACGGGCCGCGGGACCTCGCCCGCGACGAACGAGCTGCTCGAGAGCACGTCTCTCGTGACGAATCACACGGTCAAGAAGCTCATCGCGGCGCTCCTCGAGGAACACTTAACACCGCGGCGCGTCCAGAGGGTAGGAGTAGTAAACACAGAGAAAGCTTAAACGAAGAAGACCACAAAAACACTAGCTAGAGCCCGCGCCGGAGCCGCGCCGCGAGGAGCCGCCGCGCGTCGCGCGGCACGCCCGCGCAGTCCAACGAAAGCGCGACGGCGTCGCCCGGCGGCGGCGATAGTGGTGAAGGCGCCGCGGCGCCGCGCAGCGCCTCAAGCCACATGGACGCGTCCGATCCACTTTCAAACAGCAGGCAGACCTGCTCGAGTTTCTCGTCATCCAAAACGTTCGTGAGGTACGCGCCCGACGCCGCGCGCACGCGCACGGCTCTGAGTTTCGGCGCCTCCGTCGGTAATAAGAGTAACGCGCGGTCGCGCTCGTCCGGGCGTAGCGCAGCGGGCGGATTTGCGCGCCGGGAGACGGGCTCGACGAAGGTGTCCCGCAAGATCAAAGCTCGCGACAGCTCTGGAGTGTCCCTGCCGGCGAGACTCTTATTGACGTCTCGATACGCGTAGAGGCAGCCGCCCCTCAATACTAATCTCCTCTTGGATCTTTTTGCACCTTTCTGCGGATTTGAGATATAGGTCGCGCCGTCAGAAACCAAAGCTTTGTTGGGAGCGGCCCTTCTCGGTAGAGAAGCAGACCCATCTCTCAGTAAGCAGGCCACCTCCAGACCCACCACACATGACACCCTGCTCTTCTGGTCGGGGATGTGGCGCTTGCACCATTTCCTGGGTGTTTCGTCGACGGGCACACCGAACACGACTCTCACATCGTCGTCGTCGTCCGATCCACTTTCGACACCAACAATATCTGACAAAGGCGCCTCCCAGACGATTCTACATCTACGATCATCATCAGCTGCAAGGTCCTGGACGTACTGTAAACTGGTAGAGGACGCGAGGACCCACCTTCGGGTGACACGCGTGCGGGCCTTCCTTCGTTGGTTGCCAGAAGTGTCCTCATCACCGTCGTCATCGGAACAGTACTCGATGCTATGCGTCCGTTGCCCGAACCAGCGGACGTCCCCAAAGTTGTCCAACGCCGCGCCGTATTTCAGTGCTAAAGCGTGGCGCTCGTCGCTATCCGACGTCAGCCGCAAACACTGCTGGGCCTCGGCCGCTTCGCTATCGAGCATGCGGAACGAACTACCACTCAAAACCATGCGCGAATGCGACAACCGAGACCAGGGGCAGTGCGGATCTAGACGAGCTTTTCTACGCCACGGCGCCTCCGATAGAGATGATCTCCTTTTCAACTTCTTCGCCGCTAACGACGCGGACACCGCCGATTGGAAGGAGTCGTTCGCGTATTTCCCGGCGGTCCGGACGCCCTCGACCGCTCGCGTCGTCATATCCACCACACCGACGGCTGGTTTTATCGCTACTCCTACTAATCCGCGCGCGGTGGCTTTGGCAACATCAATAGCGTCATCTCCGCGCGAGATCGATTTGTACGGCTCCACCACAATACCCGTCACGCCCTCGAAGATGCCTCCACCTAAGTCCTGGGCACCCCTAACAACCTCCGCGGCGACCTTGGAATGTTTTTGGACGCTATCGGCTAAGGTAGTGGAGCTTCCTGAAGCTCCGCGGGCCTTGTTCGCCTCCTGGGCTCGTCTTGTCGCTCTGCTCGTCTGGTAGGACGAGTCCATCGTCAGGGCAGCCAACGCGGAACCGGTAGAGGCCGTGACCGACGACACAACTCCGGTCGCGGCGTCGAACGCGCCGCCGACGGCCGAAGCACTTCCGCGCGCAACACCGGAAGCCAGACCCGAGGCGCCGCCCGTCGACGCTCCTTGTACTGGTTGATATACTAAATCCATGACGCCGCCGCCTAGCGACGACGCCGCGGACATCGGCGCTCGTACAATATCGAGACTTCCACAAACCCGATGCGCCTGCTTGAGTAACGTTTGGAGGTAGTGCCTCGCGACCCGCCTACCCAATCCTTCCGCCGTCCGCGCTAATGCATCGTCGAGGTACAGAGCGTCGACTTTCAATTGCGCGGTGTCGAGCTGGCCGACGGCCGCTGATACGGCATCTACTGAAGTGTTCCCGCAAGCTCTTGCTACTTCTTTCCTCGTTAAAGGTGTCAGGCCACCTTTCAGCGTGACGCGGGCGTCGACGGGGTGCAATCTCACTTGAGCACAAAACACGGCCGGCCGTTTTCGCTGTTGTACCAACCGCGAAACCTCGCGTCTGCGCCGTTGTGTAGTAGTTGTTTTCACAAGTGTGGATTGGAGTTCAATATCGTCGTCCGTGCTCCGCGAACAGTCCGCATATAAAGCTACTAAGAGAGCCGCTACTTCATGGTCCAAGTGGACATCGAGAGGCCTAGCACGCACCACAAAGCGATCCAGATACGTGACGGCGTGTTGTATGGTAGTGAGATCCGTGTCGGTCCTTCTTCTGACAGATGCGGCTAGACAAGGCGAGTCGTCCTCGCCTAATCGCGGCCTTAGAGCCGCCGCGTACAGCGGTCTCGGGCTCAGCAAGTTGTCCACCTGCACGTGGTGGATCGAGAACTCGGCGTTGACGCCGCCCTGCTCGAGGCAGGTCCAGGCGGCCCGCGCGTCGCAGAGCGTTATTTTCACGAGTTCCCTCGGTTTATCGTCGAGGCCTCTGATCAAAATAGACGCCCCGAGCTCCGCCGCGTGCGCGACTAACCGGTCGCCGCCGTCCTCCGTCGCCGAGAGGTCGGGTCTGATTATATCCGTTGCTTTAGTACCGAACTCTAGCACTCGAGTGGGACCGTCCGCCTTCACGACACAAGGTAGGTCGCCTTTGAGCTCTCCTTGTGCTTCATCTAAAGCCACCTGCACCCTCTGCGTCCAGCCCTTATCGGTGTAGCCTTCCACAATTAACACTCGTCGCTGACTCCGAGTAGACGACCCGACGGCATCCAAGGGCCGCTCCCACGCGTACGATGCACTGTCACCAGGTTCCAGCTGCCGCCAGGGCCCGATGCGCTGTTCCGCGCGTTTCGCTTCCAATAGACCGACTTTCCGCGCACCGGATCGCGCTTTTTTGCCCAAGTACTTAACACCTCGTTCCAAGGCATCAGAAGCCGACGTAGGAGGCTTCGACGTACTCCCAAACACGGCGGAAGACATACTGGACGCGGCCCGCTCCAGCTCCGTACTCATGGACGACTGCTTGACGAATTTCTGCGCGTTTCCGATCTCGTCGTCGGGGGCCTCGTCGTCGTTACCTGTCACCTTCAAGCCCTGCTTCTTCTGGTCGTTGCGCGGCTGCACGATGAGTGGACGCGGTCCTCTCGGTTTGGAGGCATGATTCAGGGAAGCTAACGTAAATGTAGTGTCTTTTACTGTTGAAAGTTCACCGTCAAAGTCCGCAACCTCTTTCGGGAAGTTCTGCTTGGCCAATCGTTGGCGGTACCTCAGCTTAATGTCGGTCTTGTTCACCAACCGGTAGGGCGGCCACCTTGCATCACTCTCTTCCACGATACATAAAGTTTCTATACTTGTATCAGAGAGTTCATTGCCGTCGTCATCGGTAAATGACCTCGCTTCTCGTCGTAACCGCAGGTGGACTTCATGGTCATTATTGAACGCGGCAAAGACCGTCTCGCCCCGGCCCACCAAACAATCAGCTCTCAGAGCACCGCTCTTCAGTATAGCATCCTCACTATTCCGTAGACGTAATTGTACCAATCGAGGGCCCTGCTCGTCGCTCCACGCGATCACCTGGCCCGTTTCCGTCGGTTGCAACTCCAGCAAGGGTCTATCCACATCAACGCCCGCCTGCCTTACCTCTAACACGCCGTCCGTATGGTTGCGGAACGACAGCTTCGGTGTTAACACCACGCCAACGTAGTCGCTACAAGCTTCTACTCGTAAACTCAAATCATAGACCGGTCTCCTCTGGGAACGCTCCGGCGCCCGTAACTGTAAACGAGTAGAAGCGCCGTCGGCCGCCTCCGCATCGTCGTCGTCGTACCTTAATGCCGTGCCCTCCAACTTGTTATCGTACCTTGTAGGTAGTACGAGTGGAGCGGACCATTCCGAGCACCCGTCGACGCGAATCCTCGCAGTAGCTTCACCTCTAGAAGGCGCCGGGCCGTGCACGAGAACCGCTCTCACTGCTAACTGGGGCCCGTGCCTTCGAGGCCCGCCCGCGACGGGGTCCCAGGGCATCGCACCACTCCAGGGCACGGCCACGGCCGCCGCCGCCGCCGCCTCGCTCGGGTAGAGCTGGTCTAGATCCAAAGCATCCTGCTGCGCGAGGGCCCTCTCCAATCGATGTCTCAAGTATAAAGTACGAGGTTCGAGGAGGGGCGCGTCCAGATCCATGGGATGCGTGTCCTCGCCGACCACGTCGTACTCGTCGCTATAATCAGGTATGACCTTGCGGACGGCCTCGCGCGCCGTCTTCGCTTGTATATGTATAAATCGTTCGTGGTGCGCCGCTCTCCTCAAAGTTACCTCGATGCGGGGCGTGTCCGGCTCCTTGTCCTCGATTTTCGAGACGCTGCGCACGCTGCTCAGCATGCGGCGCCGCCCGGACGACCTCCTACTAAGAGACGGCCGTCGCGATAAGCCCGTCGCCACGCCTAATTGCTGCACCGCGAGCACTCTTTGATTTTCGTCGGGGATCTCGGCGGGCGCGTAGCTACACGGCGCCTCGAGCAAATTCTCCAGAGCGTATCTACATTGCAATGTGACGAGCCCAGCCGCATCCACAGAAACAGTAACTCGTAGCGACGGCGCGACGCGGACCCAGCGCTCGCCATCATCGCTCTCTACCCTAGCATCGAGGGCGTCCAGAATCAGATCGGTGCGCGACACGACTCCCTCAGAAGAGGAGGAGGCCTCGATGAGCGCGTTCGTGTCGAAGGCGACGCCGCGCGACCACTGGTAGTTGGCCACCCGCAATCTGAGAGTGGCTTTCTCCGCGGTTGTGTAGAGTGATACCTGTTCTGCTGAGTGTAAACACCCCCGGCGGACACCGTTAACTGCTGCCTCCCACGCCATAGCACACGGTAAAGCATTTTTAAGGGTCAGCGCCGGTCTTAGAATGATATGTTGGTCGGCGCCGCCGCGACATAACCCGCCTTCTAATCTTTTAAGAGTGTTAGATGCACCGACGCGGCCGCAGGCGATCCAATCTTTTGTGAGGCGCGCCTCTAGATTTGCTGTCTCAGGGATCAAAGGGAGCTGTATTGTACTATCAGGTCCGACCGTGGCCTCGAAGCCACCGCATCGTATGTCAAGTGCTTCGTCTCCCCTATTAGTGATGGCGAAGCGCGACGCTAGAGTTAAGATGAGCCGTGGGCCCACGCGTTCGCACGTCGCAGAACACAAAGCGACCTCTTCATTACGTCTCAATCGAAGTGGCGTGGACCCTTCGAGGAGTACGGGCGCGGCCCCTCCATAATCATCCGCGCACAGGACCCACTTACCATGTTCCGTTTCTACTGAGAGCGCGTCCACTACTATGGAAGGCGTATCATCATCCTCATCCTCGTCACCCGAGTCCTCGCCATGGGCTATGGCTTGCGACTGGTCGGCCTCGACATGTATTGTACCACCGAAGTCCTCAGAAGAGCCACTCAGCCGCAAGAACGCGTCCAATGAACTACTGGAATTGATGCGGTGCCGACACACAATGGAGCAGCACCGTTCCGGTCTATCATCATTCTCCCGCAGGGCCTCGACGAGTTTCACGTCCAAGGACATATGTAAAGGCTCCGCTGATACTATTCTACAAGACCGCGCGCGGCCGCCGTGCCTACTCTCCAATGCTATAACAAGACCGTGGCGATCCAGCACCGGCGCCCAGCTCTTCTCGGGCCGCGCGGAGGCCTCGACTTTGACATCCACATTACACGCGACGCGATCCGTCTCGGCCGCGCCCTGAGCTTTCCAATTCAATAAACCGCGCGCCACGCGTCGTCTACCACCCGCTCGCAACGCGTGGAGGATCATAGAGCCTTCACCCGTGAAGGTCGTTCGTCCCGGCAAATTAGGTGCGTCCGCTTCATTCACCAGTAAAGCCCAGGCGTGAGCGTCTCCCTTAATTGGTGGACGGGGCCGCTTGAGTAACGCTACGACATCTCTACACCGTCTCAGGTCGTGGCGGTCTCCATACATATCGATATGATCTACTTTGAGCGACGCCTCCGCTTGACACACGTCGCCCTCGTACGTGGCCTTGCGTTTCCACCCTACATCAAATGACTTGGAGAGGGTCCGGTCGTCCGCTATTATGGAATCGATCCTCCCTTCGAGGGACGCCTCGCCACTTGTTAACGACGCATCTCTCACAAACTTGACTCTGTCAAGTGCACAAACGAGCTCGCCGATGGTATAGGACGCATTCACAACATCCACGACCAATGAAGCGGCATGCGCCTCGCGTCGAGGACTCACGGCGTCCGGCCTTTTGATGGGAGCTAATCTAGAAGCTCGCTTGAAGCCCCCCCATAAGAAAGCACACAACGACGAGATGTCCGACGGCACGGCTCGCAAATCCAGCCTCCCAAGGAAGACGCCCGCCCAGGTGAATTTGACGTTCGTGCGGTGCTCGTATCTCAACGCTGCGTTTCCTCGCTTCTGAACGGCGAGCCACACGTCGTCGTTGTTTATGACGCGTAACGTCTCAAGAACTAAGGCCGAGGCGCAGCCGCCGCCTTTTGCGACGCGGTCCACGTCTAGTCGTAGCTTAACCGTTTCCAGGGCGCAGCCACAATCCACCAATGCAATTGACAAATTGGGGCAGGCGACGCGGACGCGCCAGGCGAAGCCCAGCGTCTTCGCGAGGGCGTGGGGCGCCGTGCCGCTTTCGTACCAATCCTGCGGAAACTGTGTTTCTGTAGAATCCGTCTCGGGCCACCATTTTTCGGACGCGCCGTCGCCGTGGTCGTCCCCCACGTTCCCAAAAAACAAGCCTACTAAGCAAGCGTACTGCGCGCGCGTCAGTCGCAGAGCTAGAGCGTCCCGCGCCAGCGCCACGTCGACGCGATTTTTCACAATTCGCACGTTTAGATCAGGTAAATGAGCGCACTCGTCGTCTAGACATTTCAAGCGACAGTCCGCCTCTACGTGAATATCTTTGTCGCCGCGCCGCGCCTTTAGAGTTTGTATTGAGAAGGTGGCCGCGCCCCGCCGTTCCATCGACTCCGGTACCACTAAATCGACGTCGCTACAGTCCACTTTTAACGAAGGCGCGGGGTCATTGGACACAGTGCGGGCCGCGTGGAACCACCGCAGCACGTCGGCGACAAAGCGGTGCTCGTAGGCGACGTTTCCGCCGTTTAGTTGCACTGCTATCTCAGCCTTTCGTCGTCGGAACGCTATTGAACTTCCCCGTACCTGGTTGCGGCCGTCGCCGTCATTCACACACAGCGCGGCCAGATTCAATTGTATCGAACCCGGTTCGACGAGCGCCGAGCTGGTTGCTGCTGTTAACAATGCGCGGCGCACGACGGTGCCACTGCAATCGGCCTTGACAAAGACCGTCTCCACACTCTTCTTTACAGCGAGCTCAACCCTCCAAGCGCCCTGTCGTTGGGCGTCGTCTCTCGGAAATGCGCGCGGGTCCAGGGTCGCGTTCAGCGCCTCGCACTCAATACTCAAACCCTCGGCTCGGACGTCCATCGCCCGCACGCAAAGGACCTCGTCGCCATCCGATTGTAGCATAACCGTCGCGGCGTCGGCCCGCACTTTGTGACCGGACACGCGCAGCTTCGTGGCCGTCGCTGATAGATGACCCAGAGTGACAGCGACGCGCGCGGCGCCTAATTCATACGGCTTTTTTGACGAGGGTTGTTCCTCCATATATACTGAAAGCGCCCAGAGCGCCGCGACCACCACACCCATCAAAGGCCGCCACGCTAATAGAGCAGCCACGAGCGCGAGCGAGGCCCAGGGCAGTTGTTGTCCCGGCGGCGCGGCTCTGGTGGAGACGAGCGCCTTGGCGCGCTCGACACCTGCCGCGGACGCCGTCGCCGTCAGCTCGGAGGCGCTCGCGCCGTCCGCCGAGACGGTGAGCTCCCTCAGCGACGCCTCGGCGCCCTCGAAACTAATGGAGACGGCGGGCGCGCGCAGGGTCTGGTGTTCTATCCGACAATTGATTGCTTTCGCTGTGATCTCGCCGTCTTTTGCGGTGATGGTCACCTCGATTGGGCCCTCGACGGACACCTGTACCAATCGCGCGGCGAGCCGTCGCAACGGTTTCGCGAGGCCATTGCTTTTCGTCGCGTTCGGGAGCGCTGTTTTCAGGCGCACGCCCCGGACGTGCACGCTTAGCAAGCCGACTCGCAGCGTTTCTATCCTCAGGCTGCCTCCCTTTAATGGCAGGGCTAGGCCTTCCAGCTCCAGCCCACCGTTCGCGAGGCGCATGATGGATGAATGTCGTTTGTTAGTTATGCTGCATCGTGCATTGCCCACCCGTGGGCACGTCGAAAAGCAAAGCTTGTCAGTTCATCCTAGTGTGTCTCTCGACGCTAGCCCGCTCCTGTGGCGCATTGGTGCTCCACGAGCGCTATTGGGCCACCATAGGCATCAGTACAATCGCTCAGAAGCTCTCGGGACGCGTGCGAGAGCGATGCGCCTCCGCCTGCTCCTCACCGGTTGCTGCCTTCATGCTGTGACGGCGCGCCGCCCGCCGGCCGACGCCGTGGCGCAGAAACACATAAATGAAGGCGCGCTGAACGCGTACGCCATCGGCGAGGGCTTCGAGGGCAGCGCGAGCGACTGGACGGAGTACGTCGTCTGGTCCGTCGGCGTCGCGGCTCTAATTTTTTACCTGAGCGGCACCGTGAAGATCAACGTGTATAACATTGACGAGGAGCCCATCAAGCGGGAGCCACATCAGATAGAGGTGCGCGTCCTGGAGAGTTTAGATGATACTGCACTGGTCGCATCGATCAAGGAGGTGATCACGACAACGGTACGCGAATCTAACGAGAAGAACGAGCTGTCGCGGCATTATGCAGCGGAGGAGCTAGAGATTATTTTGGGGCGCTTCTGCGATTTGGAGAAGCACCTCGCGACGCGCCTTATCTATATCGCGTCGATCGACGATGAAGTCGCGGGCTGCGGCATGCTGACGCGCGCCACGGGCGAGGTCCGCCAGATGACCGTCTCGCCCGCGTTTCAGGGGAGAGGCGTCGGCTCGGCGATCCTGCGGGAGATTTTAGCTGAGGCGCGCTCGTCGAGCCTGGAGCGATTGTATCTAGAGTGCCCGCCGGTCAAGCGGGACTGGTACGCGCGCTTCGGCTTCGTCGATTGCGCGCGGCGGCCGAGCGACACGGCCGCCGAGTTCCCGGGGGTCAACGCGCGGGCGCCCATGGAGCTCGTGCTGTGATAAGGAGACTTGTTGTGACTTACTGTCTCTTGCGCTAGTAAATCCAGAAAAAAACCGCGGCCCTGTGCTAGTAAATCATTATAGAAATCATTAGTGAACTTGACATCATAATTACATCACTGGCATTAGCGCTGGGCATGGAAGGCGTCTTCCAGGAGCTTGCGGAATCTATGGGGGCCCACGTCAGAAAAATCGAAGAAACTGGGCTCCTGAGGTCCGGGCACGTGTGCTGGAAACTGGCTCTGGTAAGGCGCCTGTTCGTCTCCGTTCAAAAGCCGTGCGTTGGCACCGGCTTCGATCAGCCGCGCGGCACAATAGTATCGCGCGGATAGACGTGCCCTCGTCGAATTCGCGGCGACGTGGAGCGGCGTGCCCCCGCCAGCAGCCGTTCGCAGTATCCGGTTGTGTGCGTTCAGATCGGCGCCGGCGGCAATTAATGCGTTTAGAGCACTCAAATTTTCCCGCAATGCCGCGTAGTGGAGAGCCGTCAGGCCGGCAGGAGTCGCATGGTTTACATTTACACCTTCGGAAATAAGTCTTTGGATGGCCGGGACGTCGTCGCGCCTTGCCGCCGTGTGTAAACGCAGAGGGGTGGGATGACCGGTAAGTACAAATGAAAAGTCCCCCAAAGAGGACCTATACTGCCGCACCGTCTCTCTCCACGAAGCGTCCACGAGCCGGAGCCCATGGCGGCCCGCGATCGCTTTGAAGATCGGTTCTGGGGAACCGCGCCAATCCTTCGACACGCGCAGCGCGGAGGCAACATCGCGGGTCGGTAGCCAAGCAATTATGAGCTGCGGCGGCAGGCGGGATGGCATTGCCTGTCGCATAGCAGCGCCACGGGTTTCGGTCATTACTGGGCCGATTCGCGCTGGCAGCGGCGCAGCTCAAAAGCTGACCTCTGGCTTGGCGCACGGAGCTGGTGTAAGAATTGCGCGCACCAGAGGAGCTTCGCACGATCGTGTGCCGAATGCTGCGTCCCTTTTACAGCTAGTCACTGGTGCGCAACGCACGCGGCCCAAATTGGCAAGTTGCGAGCTAGCGATGTAAGACACCAGCAGAGCCAATTTTTTGGGTGAGCATCACCGAGCCTGGACGCGGTGGCTGCCCATCGCGGCAGCGACCCGCCATCGCATCGATGCGGCCATGCATCATCCTCGCGGCGGTCGGCGCCATCGCTGCGGCCCAAGAAAAGGAAGCCAGGCCCTGGCTCGCCGGCTTCGGGCGGACCTTCCCCTGCGACGTGCTGTTCGTCAAGGGCAAGAAGGTCGCGGGCACGACGCTGGGCGGCGTCGTGCGGAGGATCGGCAAAAGACACGGCGTCGACTTCTTCGCGCCGACGATGCCGTCGCAAGTGCCGCGCGACTGGCGGAGTGGCGGTAGGGAAAGATGGGTCCTCGAGGAATTCGGGAGGTTCTTGACGCGCTCCAAGGGTCTGGTCGGGTGGGGCCAGGAGCAGACGCTGTCGCCCCGCAAAAAGGGGCTGGCGGAGTCGTCAGGGCCCCTGCAAGCATTGGCAGCAAAGGCATTACGGCTGACGGCCGTGCGCGACCCCGTCAAGCACGCCATCTCGGCCTGCACGCACTTCGGGCCCTGCGGCAAGCGGAGTAGCGGTGGGTCCGCCTACAACGCGACGTCCGAAGCTCGGCTCAGTTGGGTTTCAAATGATATGGGCACGGGCCAGATGAGCCGCTTCGTGGCGCACGAGCCCGATTCTTCACAATCGCCGGCGGACTTCTACCATGCCATCTTCGTCACGGACCGCCTGGACGAGTCGCTCGTGGCTCTGGCGCTTTCATTGAAACTGGACCTCGAGGACGTGCTCTACGTCTCCGCGAAGACGTCGCACACGCAGCGCCGGCCGAAGACGGAGGCTCTTGATCGGGATTTTAAGCAGGGCCTCCGGCGCGCGTTCTACGGCGATCAATACACGAATTCGGAACCGCCGCTGCCGCTGCCGCGCTCGAAGCGGCCCGCGGACTTTAGCCCCGACGCGGCGCTCTACCACGACGCCGTCGCGCGCCTCGACGCGACCATCGCCTCGTTACCGACCTTCGAGGTCCATTTGCGGCGCTTCCGGAAGATGCAGGGTCGCTTGGTCGAGGCCTGCGCGCGCGGCGGGGCGCGGCGGGCGCGGCTCGGCCGCGACGCGGGCGCCTGCTTGTACGGCGACCAGGGCTGCGGCTACCGGTGCATCGACGAGTGGGCCGCCGAACGAGCCAAGCGCCTCGCGGAGCGGCGGGACCGCGGGAACAGCCCCTTCGTCGACCGCGCGCGGGAAATGGCGCGGGAGGCGGCCGCGCCGGCGCCGGACAGCCCCTTCGTCGACCGCGCGCGGGAAATGGCGCGAGAGGCGGCCGCGCCGGCGCCGGACAGCCCGTTCATCGACCGGGCGCGCGAGATGGCGCGCGGCGAGAAACGCGTCGGCACCGTCGTCACATCGCTCCTCGAGCGCTTCCGCCGCGGCGGCGCAACCGCGGCCTCGCCTGTTGCCACGAGCGAGTCCGCCTCCCCTCGCGTGGAGGCATCCCGGCCTGTTGCCGCCCCGGCGGCGCCGGCGGCGGGCGCCGGGAGCGTCCAGCAGAGCCTGCTCGACAAGTTCCGGCGGTCGGCGTCGTAGTTCAGTAATCTTTGTAACTTTACGCGAGGAGGGGGAGCGGAGGGGCGTCGTCGATAGTTTTTGGTTATGGGTTCCTGGTGTGGGCACCTACATCGTCGTGACAAAGAGAAACAATAGCCTTCGGCCCTCACTGGCACCGCACGTGGACGGTCGAGCGCTGCGTACTCGCTGCGTGGACCCTGCTTCTCTGGAATGGCGTTGCGTCGCAAAAAGAAATGCAATCACAACAGCAAAATCACAGACATATGTGGTGGTGCCCCCCGGACCCTCAGCCCGAACCCTTCCGTCTTCTCCCGCGGTTCTTGCGGCCACCTCTCTTGCGGCGCTTTTTCTCCCGGCCTTGCGTGACGTCGACCTCGACGGTGCCGCCGCCGGCCGACTTGGCGGCCGCGGCCGCCTGGGCCGCGAGGCCGCCGCCGGGCTTGCGGTCGCGCGAGCGCGAGCGCGAGCCGTCGGACGACGACGACGAGTCGCGCCGGCGGCGGCGCCGCTGGCGGTCGCGCGACCGCGACCGGCCCTTCGAAGGAGCCGGCGCCGGCGCCGCGGCGGGTACCGCGGCCCCGGGGAAGCCCCGCGGAGGGAACGCGCCGGGCGGCGGCGCGCCCCAGGGCTGGCCGTACATCGGGCGCGGCGCGCCGTACTGGCCGTAGCCCATGGGCGGCTGGCCGTAGGGCATGCCCCCCGGCGGGCCCCAGGGCGCCTGGCCGTAGCCCATGGGCGGGCCCCGCGGCGGGCCCCAGGCCTGGGGCGGCGGCGCGCCGCGCGGCGGCCAGCCGTTGGGCGGGTAGCCGTAGGGCGCGCCGCCGTACTGCGGCACCGCGGGCGGCGACGCGCGCGCCGGCGCCGGCGCCGGCGCCGCGGCCGGCGGCGGCGCGGCCGCGGCCGCGGCCGGCGCCGCGGCCGCCGGCGCCGCGGCCGGCGCTTGCACGGGCGCCTCGGGCGCCGGCGTCGGCGCCGCCGGGTTGAAGACGTCGCCGCCGAAGTCGTCGTCGTCGTCGGCCGCCGGGGCCGCCGCCGGCGGCGCCGCCGCCGCACCACCTAAATCCAACTCGGCGTCGACGCCCGAGACCTGGCGCGGCGCCAGCGCGTCGCTCTGCGTCTGCTGCTGGATGAGGGCCAGGTCGCGCTGCTGCGCGAGGTTGTCCCGCTCTCGTTTGCCCCATTCCGCCTGATACGTCGCGACGGCCGCTCTCAGAGATCGGTTCGCCACCAACCTATCGGCGGGCGACGCCGCCCGACAGAGCGGGCACCGCCCGCCGCTCTCGGCGATGTGCCGCCGCGCGCACCCGTCGCACGCGGATTCTCCACAGCACGGTAACAGTACGGCATCTCGCAACAATCCTCTACAGCACCGACAGACGTAATGACTCGGCGCCTCGGAGACCATGCGCCTTTTATCGTCCTCCGACAGCTGTGCCGCCGTGTTGCCGCCCATCCGGCCCTGCAGTCGTCTAAACTGCTCCTCCTGAGGAACGATAGCGACGACTGTCCCTTCCGGTGTGCGAGCTAATGTCGACCCGCCATCATCAATCGCATCTTCCGCAACAGCTTTCCAGAACGTGCGGGGCATGCCCGGGACCCCATGTCTCACGCGCGGCGCGTTGTCGAAGGCCGCGTTGCCGTTCTCGGGGCATTCTCTGATGAAGTGGCCCGGTTTTCCACACCGATGACACACATACGAACCGGGCGGATGCGTCGCGAGGAAGCCGCCGGGCCCGCCGGGACCGCCTCGACCCCTTCCTCGCCCCTGCGGCACGGCCGGCGTGAACTCCTTCAGCGTGTCGCCCACAGAATTCAAGACAGCTGCCGTCTCGACCTTTTGCGGGCGCGCTTGCACTTCAATGGCCCGCGCCGCTCTTGTACTAATACGAGCGCCGCCCTCGAGCTTCGCTAATAAACCGGTCTCGGCCGTGCACGGGACGCGCCGTACCACGACAGACGTATTTTTTGGGACCATCACATCATCGGACTCATACACTTCGTCGGTTTGGGCGTTGCTTATTCTCAGGTCAAAATCACTAGTGCCCTTGTCCAAGTTGCGCTTCTCGACGATGGCTCGTTTCAGCTCCAGCAGCTTGATCATCAAGCCCGAAAAGGTGACCGCTTCGTACGTCTTCGACGAACTGAAGCGGAACTGGATCGACGAGGACATGGTGTGTTTTTTGTGACAAATACACTTAGGACACTACTCGAATGCTCGCCGGCGTCCTCTTACAGCAGCGCGGCCGGCGGGGAGCGCGCGCGGCGGCCTCCCGGGCTCTCGGCGACGATGGGCCTCTGTTAGCCTCTTTCTGCCGCGGCGGCGACTAGCCTCAGCGAGGCCGGCCCGACGCGTTGGTCGCGTGCCCAGCTGCGTCCAGCGGTGCTCCTGGCAAGCACTGGCGAGCGTAGCGGAGCCGCGGCTTGCTTAGCACGCTAGTGTGTGTATGCCGCTGGTATGCTCCGCGAGCTGTATTGTGGGTTGCTGGGGCTTATTTTTCGGTTAGCCGGCGTTCTGGTACTGCTCCAGTATTTAGGCGACATCACGTCTCGAATTTGTGCACGTACTGCCGGACTAAGCACCCACAGCCAGGCAGCACGCTGCAAGACGCCACAGACGATCGAAATGCGTCTCCTCCCAGCCGGCGCGCCGCGGCTCGGCCTGGGCCTGGCAGCACTTGGGAGGCCTGGCTACATCACGCTCAACAGAGGCGCGGATCTCGCCGACCGCAGCGTCGAGGCGATGCGGGCGCGCGCGGAGGAGGTGCTTGACGCCGCGTACGCGGGCGGCGTCCGATGGTTCGATTGTGCGCGCTCGTATGGCCTCTCCGAGGACTTCGTCGGGAAGTGGCTCGAGAAACGCGGGCACACCTGCGACGCCGTAGCCGTCTCATCCAAATGGGGCTACCGCTATACCGCCGGCTGGCGCGTCGACACAGCTGGGGAGCCCCACGAGGTCAAGGACCACTCCGCGGCGCACCTGCGGCAGCAGTGGCCCGAGAGCGACGATCTTGTTGGGTCCCACCTGCGCCTGTATCAGGTTCATTCAGCGACCTTTGACAGTGGCATCCTCGACAACGTTGAAACGCATGAAGCGCTCGCGGCGCTCAAGCGCGACAGGGGCTGGGCGCTCGGGCTGTCGGTGTCGTCGCCGGCCCAGGGAGACGTCGTCGACGCGGCCCTCAAAATCGAGGTCGACGGCGAGCGCCTCTTCGACGCCGTCCAGGCGACGTACAACATCTTCGAGCAGGCGCCCGGACCGTCGTTGACGGCCGCGCATGCGCAAGGCTGCACTATCATCGTCAAGGAGGCGATGGCGAACGGCCGAGTGCTATCCAACGCTGCACTTCTGAAGCACGCGGCGGAACTCGATTGCTCGCCGGACGCGCTGGCGTTGGCGTGTGTGTTGGCGCAGCCCTTCGAGCCGCACGTATTGAGTGGTGCGGTGACGACCGACCAGATCGCGTCAAACCTGGGAGCGCTGCCCGTCGCCGAGCGCTTACGCGGGGACCCGGAGCTCCTGGGGCGCATCATGGGCGAGACGCGGCAGGACTCCGAGGCGTACTGGGCGGAGCGCGCGGCGCTCGCGTGGAACTAAGGTGGAGTGTTGTATATGTCGTCCGAGTCGCCCAGGCTAGCAGAGCGGAGATTACCGGTTGAACTTCACTATTCAGGGGTCAGTCGGACAGGTCTGTTTTCAAAAGCCATCCGCCTAGGCCTGTATACATGTACTCATGTATGTCTATACATACATACACACACACACACATATATATGGATTCCTAGTGTGTCGATACGCTAGATCACCAGGTCTTGCGGCTCGCCAAAATACACCAGCGATTGACGGTGCCTTCTACCGTCCAAATGGTACATCATATCAACTCCAGCCCAGTTTTCATCCACACTCGACGGAACCGGAGCCGACGGCCCGCGCTCGGAGGGCGGGAGAAGAATTCTACTAGACAACTCCCGAGTTTATGTTCGTTTTTATCCGTTTGTTAGTGGTAGAGGCCATCTAATCCGCATCAGCGCCCACTGAGCTATTTTAGATATTCCGTTAGAGCCTCGCGATTCGTCATCTTCGCGACCCCACGTTTACTTTTAAAAAGGCGCAATACCTAGACCCGCGAGTATCAGCGACGCCACTACCCAGATGGACCATAACGCCGTTGTTCTATTCACGATCGACCGACTTGCCCGTTCTCCGCGGACGACGCTACGTTGACGGAGCACCGGAAAGGCCCCAGACCGGTGGTTTATAAAATAAATTTGCGTTTCAGGCGCTTCGGGTACCAGATGAGCCATCCAACCGGGGTGAACGTCTACTACATTTAATCACTTGTCCAAGAATCACCGGGCGGCTCTGCCACCTTGCGAGCCCAGGATCGCTCGAATACAGGGCACCAGACCCGGACCTGCGACCATCAGCCCGTGTAACATCACCATGGACCATAATGCGATCATTTGTTTCATGACGGACGGACTTACGCGAGGTCCAGATAAAGATGTTCACGTCCCGAGTGTGGGCAGCCAAAAGTACCTTTCTCGTGGTGTAGATGTCATATACTCGTAATTGACTATCGTTGGGGTAGTATAGGGTCCAACGATACCGCTACGGCGACTACTGGGGGGCCTAAGATAATTAACGTTTTTACCGGGAACCGGGCGCCATCGGGCCCATCTTGCACACTTTTTTTGGATGCAGATCGGCTCCTGGAGGCCTCTCGGGGTAGGTCTGATAGTGGGTAAGCGCCCGTACCGCGTACGCCGTCGATGCGGCGGCCTAGTGCTCTCGGAGAGCCCTGGAAGCCATTGCCAGGTTATTCACGGTCCAGTGGGCCGACTTGTTGAGAGAACTCGACCAAAAATGATTGAAGCGGCGGCGCATGCGACGTAGGCGCTTGCACGTGTATAGTAGCGACCCTAGGCGACCCCAGGGAGACCTTTTGGGCAGGGATTGACAGGATTAAACTGGCGCGGCCCCCATGGCCCATTGCGTCGTCCGCGGGCGCGAATTAAAAAATTTAGTTTTTCGGCCCCCGGTACGTGTCCCATTGGTCCCTTTGGACCAGTAGCGAACCGGACGGTACTCAAACGGCTGCATGCGTTCCGAGTTGCTTGCTAGTGTCTTTACAGGCCGCTAGCTGGCTGGCTCGACTACTTCGCTCGACTTCGCGAGGCATCCGCTCGACGCCGCGTTTCCTTGCAGTCCAGTGGGAGTAACGGTTGGAGCACTCGCGGCCGGAGAGCACAGCACGTACAGCACAGCACAGCACAGCACAAGCACAGAGGCTGCACAGCATAAACGCCGCCGTGCAAAGCGGCGCACAAAACACGACAAGGATGACGAAGAGAGAAAGAGAAGACACCCCCACACACAAGCTCCTCTACTTCGACTTCCCGGGCAAGGCGGAAGCCATCCGCCTGGCGCTGACGCACGCCGACGTCGCCTTCGAGGACCACCGCTTCGCGGACCGCGCGGAGTTCCAAGCATTGAAGGCGTCGGGCCGGCTGCAGTTCGGCCAGGTGCCAGCGCTGGAGGTCGAGAGCAATGGCAAGACGGTGGTCCTGACGCAGTCGGCGGCGATCCTGCGCTACGTCGCGAAGCTCAACGACAGCGCAAACCTCTACCCGGCCGACCCGCTGCTCGCGGCGCGCGTCGACGCGGTCTGCGACCTGGAGGCGGACGCGTTCGTCGGCGTGCGCGTGTCGAAGTACAAGGAGCGCTTCGGCTTCGGCTTCCTCAACGAGGACAAGTACGCGGGCGAGCTGGCGGGCGTCGCCGAGGCGTTGAACAAGGACGTCGTGCCGCGGCATCTGACGAACCTGGCGAAGGTGCTCGAGGCCGGCAAAACGGGCTGGCTGGCGGGGACGCCGGAGCCGTCCATCGCCGACTTCGTCTGGGGCCCGGTGCTGGATTCCATCAACAACGGGTGGACGGGCGATGCCAACGCGTTGACGGCCTTTCCTTCCTTGCGGACGTTTCACGCGCGGTTCAGGGAGATCCCCTCGGTCAAGGCGTACTACTACGCGTAATTTGTTATCATCTAGAACATAGCCTCGGTCAAGGCGTACTACGCCACGTCCAAGCGGAAGCGCGAGCAGTAGCGCACTTACATAGTACTACGCGTAAGTTGTTATCATCTAGGAAAGAGGGCCGCCCGCCGCGCCGCGAGCGCCGCCTCGACGTCCGCGCCCCAGGGCTCGAGTTTTTTCGTAGCGCCCGCGTCCCGGACCATGGCCGCGCGGACGGCGTCGTGGGCGGACGCGAAGCCGGGCCCCGTCGCGACGGCGCCGAGCGCGTTCAGGTAGCCCACGCCCGCCGGGTCCGCCGGCTCCGGCACGTGCGCTATGTTTTCACCGAAGATGTCCGTCAGGCGCCCGCCGGCCGCGCGCAGGACCGCCTCGGGCGCGCACGTGTCCCAGGACGAACTCTTGAAGTTCATGACGGCCACGTCGGCAAAGCCGTCGACGACCGCGAGGATTTTGGTGCCCGTGCCGCCCACCAACACGTTCTCTCCAGTTGTACCGCGGGCCGCGGCGTACGCCGAACGCAGCGTCGCGTCGTCCGTGTCGCCGGCCGCGACAAGCGGCCGCATGGCACTCGTTCGCGTGGCCACGGATCGCGGACCGGTCGTCGCGACGCCGGCGCCTACGAGGCCGTAGACCACCACACTAGCCCCGGCCTCGCCGCCGAACGGCAGACCCACCGCACCGGCGACGGCGCGCCCGTCGACGGCCACCCCCACTAAACACTGGACGTTCTCCAGGCGCCCCTCGACGAACTCGCGCGTCCCGTCGAGTGGATCCACAAAAACCGTCACTCTCTCCAGAGACGCCTCGACGATGTCGCGCCGTTCCTCCTGCGCTATCGAGGCGTATTTCCTCAAACCGTCGCAGCGATCGCGCCGCAGGACTGGTACTGGCTGGACCTCGATGAGGGGCGAGGCGCAGACCGCGCCGTCGGCGGCCGCACCCACGTCGCAGGCGAGGTCCTCCTCTCCCACAATCCGCAGCCCGGGCCACGCCGTCGCGAGGGGCTCCACCACCGCAAGCTGCGCCGCGAGGTCCGCCGCCGTCAGCGCGGACCGCGGGTCGCCCGCGATCTTGTAGTCGACTTGTCGGACGCCGCCTTCATTATTACGGTCGAGCTGGGCCGCGACCCTTCGGATCTCGGCGCAGCCGCGCTCGCAGGCGTCGACGCAGGTGCTGAGGAGGTCCGTGAGGTCCACCGTCGCTACCTTTTGCGCTGTAGGTTGTCGTATCGATGGTTGTTGCAGTAGTGCCGTGCAGCATGCGGCGAGCTGGAGTCCTCTCAGCATAGTTACGAGTCCCTAAGGCAGTAATGCGCCGCCACAGTCGATGATGCTTGCCCTACTACACTTGTGTTTGCAGCTATTTTGACTCGTTGTTCGCGGATACGTTGGCAACGTGGCGAGGCGATGTATAAGTCAAGGTTGCGATGCTGTTTGCGGTGTGATCTGCAAATTTCAGCCCGATATCAACGCGAGCACGCGCTCATGGCTGGCTGGCTTGCTAGTGTCTTACAGGCCGCTAGCACGCATTCTCAATACACGTTTAATACAGTAGGAGGGCTTCTCTTGTTCCTTTCCTATACGCTCACACGACGGCTCTATTTTGAAAAGCCAAGTCCGCCAGCCATCGAGCCTTGGCGCGTGCCATACTGACAACGTTGGCGCGCGAGGCCGCATACAAGATGATGATGCGGCGAGGTACGCTATTTTTCATTGCGTGCACGACTGCCACCTTTGGGTTTGTGCCACACTTGAAGCTAGCAGCCTCAAAAATCAGGCTGCTTGCTGCGGACGGCGGAGATGCGCCCGCGGTGGAGGCGCCGCAAGCGAAAGCTGTCGAGGCCGAGGCACCAAAGGTGGCGCCGAGCCCGGCGGAAGATCCGTTTGATCAGCCGAAAGCCGAGGCGAAGGCGGCGCCCGCCGCCGCCGCCGCCGACAAGCCCAAGCCGGTGCCCAAGAAGGCGCCTCCCGCGGCGAAGGCCGAGGCCGGCGACGCGCCGGCGAAGAAGCCAGTGCCCAAGAAGGCGCCCCTCAAGGCCAAGGAAGGAGGGGACGCCCCGGCGGCCATGAAGCCGCCCGCGGCCGCCGGCGACGCGCCGGCGAAGAAGGCGATACCGAAAAAGGCGCCGCCCCCCAAAAAGGAGGAGAAGCATCCCTACTACGCCTGGGCCAACGCGCCCGAGGCGGGCTACAACACGAAGGGACCGAGCGCGTACTACAAGGAGAAGTCGCAGTACGACCTGGGCTGGTTCGGGAAATACGACGACGCCAAGACAGAGGCCGAGCGGTCGGAGAAGTTCCTCGCGCGCCACGACGGCGTCGGCGGCGAGTCGTACCAGACGCGGACGAAGGAGCGCGTCTACGCGGAGATCGCCGCGCTGAAGGAGGAGCGGACGGCGCGCGCGCGGCGGGCGCGCGAGCGGCGCGGGTGGTGAGTAATGCGTCGCGGTGTTTATAGCTTTGTATGGGAGATATTGTTATGTTGGTGGCGGCCTGGGCTTACGTAAAAGTATAGCTCTCGTGGGTTTGTCGGACGGGTCTCGACGGGCGTTTAGGCTTCGTTCGCGCGTTCGGATTTTTCGCGTGGGGGCCTATTTGATTTAGGCACGCTCCAATTAAAGAGGCCCTGCCACGGCAGTGGAAATAGACTCGTCATACGTACATCACCCTGAGTGATAGCACAACATCATGCCGTCTAAACTCGTGATTGCCCTAGCGCTGAGCCCGGCTGCGGCTCTGCAGCTCCCGGGCGTGGGCGAGGTGGCACTCAAGCTGCCGCATAGATCCAGCGTCCTGCGAGACGCGATTTCGCAATTTGCTGCAGCGCAAGCGCACTCGAAGCAGTGTTTCGACCGCCGCCGCCGCGCGCGGCAACGCACAGCATCTCAGATGTAAGAAAAAGGGAGATCCAAGAGGGACGCGCGCGGCCGCGGCGGGCGCTCGCGCGAACAAAAATCCCAGCAGCACAAAGGGACACACGCCCGCGCGCGCGCGGTCGCCGCGGCTCGCACTAACTTACTACGCGCAGGTCCGCGCCCGCGCTGCCGTCGACCAAGGACCTGAAGGTCGCGGCCATCGACTTTGTGGCGGAGGCGCGACAGAACCCGCTCTCGGCGCTCCCGGCCGCCGGCGCCGCCGGCGTCGCGGGCCTCGCGCTCTTCGCCGCGGCGTCGTCGCTGTCCCCGACCGTCGTCCCCGAGGGCGGCGAGTACAGGGGCCTGGGCATCGGCCAGGACGGCATCGTCAGGGTCGGCTTCCCCGCGGGCGGCGAGCAGTGCACAAATCAAATTTCGCGGCGCTTCTCAATCACGACCTGCACGCCATCGACGCGACGCCTGCTCGACGGCGTGGCGGTGCGGTTCTCTGACCGCGCCCCACCCGACACACTGATTGATTTGCGCACAGGCGGCGAGGTCTTGGTCCCCGGCGCGCCGTTCCAGCCCGAGAACGGCTACCTCGGCATGTGGAACTGGGAGAAGCAGGTCAAGCCCGTGCCCAAGGATCAAACTCCCGAGGCGCAAAAGGCCCTCCGCGCGGCCTTCGACGCCGAGCGCAAGAAATTTGATGTGGAGGCCCAGCAGCAGGGCTTCAAGTCGGCCGAGGCCCGCGGCCGGCGTCTTTCCTTTTACGAGGCATCGCCGGCGTCACCCCCATCATACGCAGGCCCGCGGCATCGCCGAGAAGGAGAAAATCCTCGCCGAGAAGGCTGCGGCGAAAGCGGCGAAGGAAGCGGCCAAGGCCGCGAAGGCGGCCGAGGGCGAGAAGGCGGCGGCGGCGGCCAAGTCCGCGACGCCGGCGAAGCCGGTCTACTACGGCAACATCAAGGGCATCGCGCAGCCGTCGACGTACGGCGTCGGCGCGCCGAAGAAGTAGACCCCCCCCAAAAGTTGTATAATGCCTCGTAGAACGTCTCAATTTGTCGCGTCGACGTCTCGCGTCGACGTCGTGCGCGTCGGCGTCCGAGTCTCATGAGCTCCTTTGGTGCTCTCGCGTCATCCGCGCGACCGCCATAAGCTTCTTCACGAGAGAGAGATACGCTTATTGTGTCTGGGATCACTAGTGTGGACCCCGGACGCTTCGCCACGGCGTCTGCAGGGTTAATGAGCTAGCGATGTAAGACACTAGCAAGCTCTCCGCATGCGCATCTCCGCGATCCACGGCGGTTGCAGCTGAGATTGCTGCATTTGTGCGGCTGCAAGTAGCCACCAGAACAATGCGCACCACCCTTGCCCTCGTCGCAGGGGCCACGGCCTTCCAGCGCCCGCAGCTGAGGACTAGGGCCCCGGCCCTGCAAGCGAGGGCTGGCGCCTACCTCGAGAAGGACGCCGGCGGCTTGTATTATGTGGACCTGCAGCACGAGTCCGGCGCGTCCGCGAAAGTCTTCGTCTTCGGCGCCGACGTGACGTCCTACAAGGACGCCGGCGGCACGGAGTTCATCGCCGTGCGCCCCGACGCCAAGATGGACGGGAGCAAGCCGATCTCGGGCGGCCTGAGCCACTGCTTCCCGCAGTTCGGCCCCGGCGCCATCCAGCAGCACGGCTTCGCGCGCAACGTCGACTGGGACGTCGTGGCCACGTCCGGGTCGAGCGCGACGTTCCGGCTCACTCCCTCCGATTACACGAAGGACATGTGGGATAATGATTTTTGCGTCGACTTTACCGTGTCCCTGACGGCGGCGTCGCTCGACACGAAGATGGAGGTGAGAAACACCGGCACTAGCTCGTGGGACTTCCAGGCCGCCTTGCACTCGTACTTCGACGTGTCCTCACTAGAAAACATCGAAGTGGCCGGCTCCTTCGCGGGCGCCACGTACCTCGACAAATTGCTGGACCCGCCGTCGGACCAGACGGAGGCGCGCAAGGCGCTGACCATCTCCGAGGAGTACGACCGCGTCTACAAGGGCGTCAACGACTGCACCTTGAAGGACTCGGGCAAGGGCAAGGCCCTCGCGATCAACAACAACGCGGGCTGGAAGGACACGGTCGTGTGGAGCCCCTACGGCGACGAGGGCATGGGCTTCGACTCGTTCCTCTGCGTCGAGAGCGCCGCGTTCGACGCGCAGACGCTGGAGGGCGGCGCGTCGTGGGTCGGCGAGCTGTCGCTCGTACCCGGGGGCCTCTAAATTTAATCGTTCGCTACTGGGTCGCGTCGATGGCGTATACGAAACAAAAACAAAGTTAGTCCTCCTCTGACTCGCTCCCCTCGCCGATCTCCTCGAGCGCCGGCCCGCGCCCGAGCGCCTCGTCCGCGAGGCGCCCCGCCCGGATGACGGCGGACTCGCGCCGCGCGCGCGGCGCGACCTGAGCACCCGTGCGCGCCACGGGCGCATTCGCCACGGCGAGGCGCCCCTGCTGGACGCCTCTTCGCAGCACCGAGGGCCGGCCGGGCTTGATCGACCGCCGCGTCGCGCGGGCCCGCGCGATGGACGCGAAGTCCGCCTGGCGCGTCTCGCGCCGCTTCTCCGAGAAGCGCATGAGCGAGCTGAGGTTGCTGTTGACTTTCGGCGGCGACGCGTCGCCTTCGTTCACGTCGTCGTGCGAGCTCGGCTCCTCGAGCTCCTCCCACGCGACCTGGCGGCCGGACAGGCGCCCGCGCACCATCATCGACGACCGGCGCCTCTGGAGCACCGCCTCGTCCACCGGTAAACCGTCATCTAACACCTCGCCGACGTCGATGCGGTGCAGCCAGCCCCGTCGCGTCACGACGTACAATTTCGACTGAAGCACGTAGGCGTGCTGGATCCGCGTCCTTGCATCAAAGTCCGCGACGAGGCGCAGTCTATATTTAATTCGCTGCGTCGTCGCCCGGTCCTTATCTTTTCTATCATCATCAAACCACACGCCGACGCGCCGCTGCGACCAGCCCAGCACGCAGTGCCTCGCGTGGTGCACAAAACTGGAAACACCGATCAAATCCACGCGCCGCCGGGGCTTCCGCTTCTCGGCCGCCCGCTCCATGCGCTGCACGTGCGCGCGGTGCACGCCCTGCCGCCGATCCTTCACGGCATCTATCACTCGCTGCACGGCGCGGTCCGCGGCGTGGCCCGAGTGGTCCGAGATTCCTGAACCATCGTGCACCCCGGGCGGCAGCGCGAGCTCGACGAGGCCGCCCCGCGTCTTCAGGCCATCGACCTCGGCCGTGGGCGCCCAGGCGAAGGCCACGCCGCCGCTCCCCAAGGCCACTACCCTCAACTGCTTCTCTTCGAAAAAGGACACCGAGGGCACGCCGCAGCAGTCCACCTTTTGTATGGTCCCGCAGTGGCCCGGCAGCTCCACGAGATCATAAGCCTCGTTCTCCTCCGGGTCGAAGGCCACGAGTCGCGTCCCTCTATGAGAGCAGAGGCACCAGCTCCGTTCATCGTCAATACCCCCTAAATCAGCGTAGGCCCAGCCGCCGTCATTACTCTCAAACCCATCAAAGTCGTTCAGCAAGCCTCCCGTCGATGGATCGACAACTATCAATTTGCCGGCGACGTCGCACGAGCAGACCGGACCGTTGGTCCACGTCGCGCACACACTCCGCGGCCTCAGGTCGCCGTGGTAGGCCCAGGACCTTGTCAGCGTGAAGTCGTCCTCGACCGTCCACGTGCTGCACCGCCCCTCTTCGCAGATCGTGACGAGCGTCTCGTTATTCGACGCTATCACTTCAAATCTTGATGGCGGTCTCGTTGAACCCGTCTTCTCGTTCGTACATGTTTTGCCAGAACGGCCGTCCCCATCGAACACACGCAGCCTTAATTTCGCGCGGTCCGTCGTCACGAGCTTGCTACCGACGACACACACGTCGTCGACCTCGGCCTCGGGGTCGTCCCTCCACGCGTGACCACTCAACCCCATCAAGACGCATTCGCCGCACAAGGCTTCTTGGTCCATGCGCCAGAGCAGCGTCCGCCGGTCGCCGCCGAGCGTCGCTACTTGAAACCCTTCGCCCTCCTTATCGAAGGCCACGGCCGTTTTGATAATCTGCAGCTCGTGCGCCTTGAACGACTGGCGGCACGTGAATGACAGAAGGTCCCAGACCTTTACCATAGAATCGCCGCCCGTGATCAGCCATTTCTCGCTCAAGTGTACGGACGCGCCCGTCGCGCCGACACATAACTGCTTCGTCTGTACAAAATCCTTCCACAGGATGAGCAACCCGGCGACGTCGAGCGAGGCCAGCGTTTCATTATTGTAAGATATGGACACGACCCACTGGTCGTGGCCCTTTAACTGTTTGGAGGGTTCTGGTGGTGTCGCGGCCCACTCGCCCGTGCTCACCCACACATGCAACTCGTCGCGCTCGCCTCCTACCACTAAAGAATTATCGCCGCAGAAGCAGGCGCAGATGTACCCGGCCGGCGCGGGGGCCGGTTTCAGCATCGTCCGCATCTCGGGCGAGAGCCAGCCGAGCACCCTTCGATCTCTCGCCTTGTCCGCCTCGCTCCTCTCGTCGTCGTCCGGGTCGTCTAGAAGCTCGGCGTACAGCTCCCGCTGCCGCGTCCCGCATGCTAATCTCCAGAGCGACACGCCGCCGTCGGCGCCGCACGTCGCGAGCGTATCGCTCGAAAAGGCCAATCCATTCACGGCGAGCTCCATCAGCGCCAAATCGTCGTCGCTCTTGTTCAGGAGCCGCTCCGGCCGCACGTGGGGAAAGACATTTACTGAATTGCCGTGGTGCCCGTGGAAGACGTGGCACCGCCCGAAGGCGTCGCCCGCCGCAATTATCGAATCGTCGGCGCTGAAGGCCACGCAGTGGAGCTTGTCGGGGAGGTCTTTTCGGAATAACTCTTTCGCTTGCGACGCGCTTTTGTCTTCCTTCGTGAGGTCGAGCACATATAGTGAACTCCCGACGCCGACCGCGGCGCGCGTGCCGTCTCCACTCAGCGCGACGCAGGTCGGCGGCGGCGCGAGTCGCGAACTCGTCTGGGGCGGCAGGAGCGTGACGGGCTCGGGCAGCGCGCGGTAGCGGACGGGCGCCATCCCCTACGCTGCGCTATAGCTCGACGAGTCGGCAGGGCTGGGGCTGCCCCAAGCGGTTTGATCCAAGCTGGGCCCCAGGTGCGGTAGCGTACGGCTGTCCGTGGCTGCCCTGCCGCGCCCGGGACGGCTCGCACCGACAACGCCTGGTTTGGGCAGCTCGAGTTAGCAGCGGCCGGTAAGACACTAGGGATCTGCAGCGCTCACTAGTCCTAGCACCGTAACAATACTGATCAAGCGCGGGGTCTCGCCCCAAGGGTCTTAGCACCGTTATCACAATAGACCGAAACGCTGGCCGTCCGCCGAGGCCCCGTGTCGCGGGCCCACGCCCGGGGGTCGCGCGCTCAAGACTACATGCAAGCCGACTTTACGCTAGACGTCGATGACCTCGTCGGACTCGACGTCGATGACGCCGTTGTCGACCTTGCCGTACTTCGACCCGCCGGCCTGCGGGCCGTCCTCGTACTTGGACCGGAGGCGCCACTCGTCGCCGCGCAGGCTCAGCTGCGAGCCGCAGACGAAGCACTGCGTGAAGCCCTGGCCCTTGAGGCCGGCGGCGAGCTGGCCGCACTGCGGACACGGCGCTTCGATCACATTTCGTTCCTTCCAGAAGTTGAAGCCGAACGAGAGCAAGGGCGGCAGAATAAGGGCCGCTAGAAAGAACGTGTTGAACAGTCCGAAGAAGAAGCCCGGGAACGCGATGATCAGCGCGATCGGCAGGAGCGCGCCGAGGTTAAACCCGCCGCCCGGCGGCCGCGGCGGCGGGAAGCCGCCACGGCCGCCGCCGCCCCACGCGTGCCGCGCGACGTCTCGCGATACGCCGGCGCGCTGACCGAGGTGCAGTGGTCGCGCCGGTGTACACTGCGCGCAGCGTCTCTGGAATGGCCGCCTCGGGATCTGCAGCGCCGTCGCGCAGGCTGCAAGCAAGAGCACTGGCAGGTGCATGGATGAACGCGCGGCGGGCGCCCAGCCAACGCCAGCGGTGTTGGGTGTATAGTACTGACTCCGACCCGAGCCCAGGGCGCGGTGCACCACGAATGCGGCTAATACGAGCAGCGCGCGCGGCAGCTTGACGGGTTTTCAGCCTCGATTGCTCTTGCAAGCGGGGCTATATAGGCACAGCCGGCCCTCGCCTGCAAGCTTTGAGCGCTTAAAGCAAGCAGCAACACAGGGCGCAGGCATAACTCGGCTTCGCGGCAACCTGCAAGCAGCACAAGGAGCAACCAGCAAGCGTCACGCCAGCCGAAGCACAAGACGCCGTCGCCGCAACACGATGGTCCTCACGACGCTCGTGCGCCGGTCCGCCGCCTGCGTTTCGTTGGCCGTCGCGCAAGCTTTACACACGCGCTGCGACCGCGGCGTGCGGTTCGGCGTCGTCGCCGACGTGCAGTATTGCGACATCGACGACGCGCGGAACTTCGCGGGCACGGAGGTGAGGTTCTATCGAGGCTCGCTCGACGGCGCACGTAGAGCAGCCCGAGGTTTTGAAGAGGCGCGCTTGGGGCGCGGCCTCGACTTCGTCGCGCAGCTCGGGGACCTCATTGACGGCCAGAACGCGGGCGGCTACGGCGCCCTCAAAGGTAAAAAACCACGTTCTAAAAAAGCACTCGATGAAGTCCTGGAGGCGCTCGGCGCGTGTCCCGTGACGCACTACCACTGCGTCGGCAATCACGAACTCTACAACTTCGAGCCCGATCAGCTTGTGGAGGGTCCTCTCAACGCCAACAACCATGTCATCGCTTCGGGTAAGCTGTACCACGCCTTCGTGCATGATGGCTGGACTTTTATCGTGCTAAATCCGTACGAGGCGTCGTCGTCATTGCCGAAGCACACGCACGGCTATAAAGCGGCGGCGAAAGTACTAACAGAGAAGAACCCGAACCCCGTGTTATCAGATGAACCCTGCAACTTTTTTGAAGGGTTGGCGGGCGAGGGGATGCGGTTCGTGCCGTTCAACGGCGCCGTCGGTGAAACGCAGAGGAAGTGGCTGGCGGAGGTGCTGTCGAAGGCACCGGGCCCCTGCGTCGTCTTCTCGCACCTGCCGCTCTTCCACGAGAGCTGCTCGTGGCGGAACGTGGCCTGGGACAGCCCCGAGGTGCTCGAGGTGCTGCGGGAGGCGGGCAACGTCGTCGCCGTTGTTGCCGGGCATTCGCATTCGGGGGGCTATGCCCTCGATGATCATGGGATCCACCATGTGGTGGTGGAGGCGACGCTGACGCACGAGACGGCGTTTGGGATCTGCGAGTGCCTCGGTGACGGGTCCATCACCATCGCGGGGGAGGGGTCCGTGCCGTCGCGCGTGCTCGCGCCGCCGCCGTCGCTCGCGCGGCGGCTCGCCTAATGTTGTGTGTAATGTGCTTCTTCGCGGCGGGCCGGCGCGGCCGTCCGGAATCCCGGGGGAATCGCGGCGGAGCCGTCCGGCGCGTCTTTGGTAGCCATAGCCCCACGGAGTCCTGCAGGTTCACATTTTCTATACCTGGGGCCAGCTCGCTCTGGAGAGATTGGATTTTGAGGCGCGACGGAGCACGCGCGCGCGGCCGCCGACAGAGGTATAGACAGACGGCGCGAGAAGAACCCCTTTAGAGCCGTCCTCGCCCTGACAACGGCGCCGCGAGCTAGCGCCCCCGCGCGGCAAAAGCCATATCCATTTCAAAGTGCAGCCTAAGGAAATTGATGGCGAGCCCCGAGACGGTACCGCGAGACCTCGACGAGACGACCGTGACAATCATCCAAGACACGCCCGAGCGCCGCCTGGCCGTGCTAGGCGAGATAGACGAAGCCTACGGCCGCGACGTCCGCGCCGGCGCCAGGAATCACCTTTCACCGTGGCCGCGTCACGCCTCCGCCGCGCGGGCGCGACCACACAACGAAAGAGGCCCGCGCCGGCCCGCGCCGCCGCCGCGCGAGTTTTTAAAAGGCATTTTCCCACGCCCGGCCTCCGACGCAGGTCGCGCCCGACTACGCCCTCACGGTCCAGCGCCACGGCTTCACGCCGGCCTGGCGCGAGAAGATGGTCGGCTGGTTCGAGGGCCTCCAGCAGGCTTTTAAGTTGGAGCGCTGCACCGTCGCCGCCGCGACGGACTACCTCGACCGCTACCTCTCGCAAAAATCCTGCACGCCCCTCAATTTCCAGCTCGTGAGCGTGGGCTGCCTCTTCCTCGCGACGAAGGTCGAGGAGCAGCGGCCGCTCACGACGTCGGACCTGTGCCAATTAACAGAAGGCGTCTTCACGCGCGAGGACATAAGACTCGTCGAGCTCGAGCTGCTCTGCGTCCTGCGGTGGCGCCTCCACCCGCCCGCCATTGAAACGTTCGTGGGGCTCTTCGTCGAGTTGTACGAGGGCGCGGCCAAAAGTAAAGTGGAGGCGAGCGCGCTCGCGTACGCGCGCGCGGCGCGCCGCGATTTGGGCTTCGTGGGCGCGCGCGCGGCCGTCGCCGGCGCCGCCGTCCTCGCGGCGCTGCGCGAGCACGACGCGCCGCGCGCCGCCGCTATCCAATGGTCGGAAAAATTGCAGGCGGCGGGGCTCTTCGGGCCCCGGCCCCTCGACGCGCTCGCGGACTGCTGCCTGCGTCTGTTGGAGAAGGTCGCGCCGCACGTGCCGCGCGGCGACCGGTCCGCGGCGACGCCGCCGGCGCCGAAGCGCGGCCTCGACGATCATGATAGCGAGGTCGCGCGCGCGCTCCTGCGCGGCAAGCATGGCGTCGAGGACGACCCGCACCGCACGGTCTCGCCGACGGACGTCACGGCCGACGTCTACGCGGCGGCGTGAAGCGCGCCGTCGCCCCATCCGCGCGGGCTCTCGGCGCGCGCCATCCGCGCCGGGCCCTCGCATTCGGAGGAAATCATTATCGTCCCCATCGTCCCTCCCCCTACGCTGACGTCGAAGCTCACCAGTCACCACGACCATACCGCCCGCGCCTGCACAAAGCGCGGAAAGTACACCCCCCCGCCCGGGCCGGACGCCCGGAGCCTATTTGGCCGGTCGCCATAAACTAAACTGTCGTTATCTATGGCGTCCCGGAGGGCGCATCGCTAGCGGCCGTAAGACACTAGCAAGACATTTTGAGCTCGAGAGCCCGCAGCCCAGTTCGCGCTGGTTTGCAAAAAGGCAATTCGGAATCCACCCCTGCGCCTGGTGCATCGCACCACAACAGGAGGCAGCCACGCACCGGGCAGCCCATCTCCACCCCTGGTGCATCGCGCCACAACCAGGGGCAGCACACCATAATATATAGATGGCCCTCGACCGCCAGTGCAAGATCGTCTTGATCGGCGACGGCAGCGTGGGCAAGAGCTCGCTGATCGCCCGCTTCCGCACCGAGGGCTTCGCGCCGCGCTACCACCAGACCGTCGGCGTCGACTTCTTCGAGAAGCGGCTGCGGCTGCGCGGCGCCCAGGGCGTGCGGCTGCAGATCTGGGACATCGGCGGCCAGTCCATCAGCTCGCTCATGCTGCCCAAGTATTTATATAGGAGCCAGGTCGTGCTCGTCGTCTACGACCTCACGTCGTACACCAGCCTCGAGAACTGCGACGACTGGCTCGCCGCCGTCAAGCGCGCGTTCACGGACCGGCACACGGCGCAAGTCGGGAAGCTGCCGGACACGTACCTCGTGGGCAACAAGTGCGACTTGTTGAGTCTGCGCCAGGTGACGGACGAGCGCCATACCGAATTCTGGCGGGGCCGCGGGCTGAGCGGCGGCTACCTGACGTCGGCGCGGTCCGGCGAGAACGTGGCCCGCGCCGTCTTCCAGGCCTGCGCCCACGCGATGGGCGTCGACCTCACGGCGCACGAGCTCGCGTTCCACGACAAGGTCCTCGGCGGCGTCGTCGTCGACGACGACGAGGGCCCGGGCCGGACGGCGGACGCGGACCGCATCGAGGCCGAGGACCTCGCGCTCGAGGCCGCGAAGCACCGGAGGGGGTGCGCGTGCGCCGTGAGTTAGTAGATGTGTATAAACTTGAAGAAAACACCAAATTAAAACCTACTCCACGTCCCGCAGGAAGTCCACCGCCGCCGCGAGGTCGTCCCGCACGGCGACCGACTCGCACTCCACGTCGAGCGTGCGGAATCGCGTCACGATCGACAGGTAGCGGTCCGCGCGCTCGGGCACGCCGTGGCGCGCCAGCACCGCCGTCGCGAGGCCCACGGTCACGTCGGAGATCTCCGCGATGGGCACGCTGCCCTGCTGCGACTGCGCGCGCTTCTTCGTCCAGGCGAGGTGCGCGCCGTGCACGTCGACCATGACGAAGCAGGCGTGGGGCTTCGCGTGGCGGCAGTGCTTCAGGACGCGCACGCCCGGCGGCGCGAGCAGGGCCAGGCCCCGCACCTCGCGGCTCGACTGGCGCCGGTTCGGGGGCGGCGCGGCGGGCTTCGGCGCGGCGGGCTTCGGCGCGGCGGGCTTCGGCGCGGCGGGCTTCGGCGCGGCGGGCGCGGCCGTGGCCGGCGCCCGGGCCGCCGCCGCGACGGCCCAGGCGTCCAGGGCGCTTTGCATGGCGTTCACCCAGACGTCACGCTCGACGACCGAGGCGCACGCGAGCTCGCGCCTCGCGCCGCCGGCGTCCGTGACCGCCAGGAAGAAGCGGCCCGGCGTCGCCCCCAGGTCCGTGCGCTGCGACGCGGCAACGGCGCACCCGTCCAACAAAACGAGCGGCCGGTCCCCGTCCAAGAGGCCCGGGCCCGCTCCGTCGACGTCGGCGACGAGGCGCGCGGCGACGCGGCACCAGTGGCCGGCGTGCTTCGTGAAGAGCTCGCCCGCGTAGGCCGTCGCCGGCCCGTCCGGCGTCGGGGCGGCCGGCGGCGCGGCTTCGCTCGTCTCGTCCGGCGGGGGGGCCGCCTCGCTCGCCGTCGACGCGGTGCCGTCGTCCGAGTCGCCGGCGGCGCCCGCGTCGTCCTCGGAGCCGTCCGCGTCGTCCCCGGAGTCAAAGGCCGCGGCCGGCGCGGCGGCGTCGACGCTGTCGCCGGAGTCCTCGCCGCCGCTGAACTCGACGTACGCGAGGGCGGCGTCGTCCGCCTCGCCGTCGCTCTCGTCGCCGTAGCCGCCCGCGCGCTCGGAGTAGCTCCGCGTGAGGGCGAGCGGGTCGAAGCCGGCGTCGTCGTCCTCCTCGTCCGCGGTGTCGTCGTCGTCTGCCGGCGTCGCGTCGCCGCGCTCCGTGAAGGTCGCGTAGGCGGCCGCGGGCGGCCGCGGCGGCGTCGCCGCGGGCGCCGCCGCGGCGGGCGCGGGCGCGGCTGCGCCGGCGTCGACGTCGCGCCACGGCCGCCGCAGCATGTCCTCGAAGTAGCGCCGCTGCTCGTCGGGCCGCAGGTCGCCGAGCGACCGGCGCCGCGGCGCCGCGGCCCAGGCCTCGGTCGGCCGCGCGTAGCGCGGCGCGGCCCGCGCCGCCGCGGGCGCGCCTTGAGACCGCGCGGTCGCGAGCGCCGCCGCGGGCGCGCCGCCGCGAGACGCCGTGGTCGCCGCCGCGAGGGCCGCGGCCGCGGCGCGCACCGCCGCGCGGCGCCGCCGCGCCTCGGCCCAGGCGTGCGCGACGCGCCGCGCCTGGGCCTCGGCGTCCGCGGTGTCCGCGGCATCGGCGGCGCCCTCGTCGCCCGCGGCGCCGACGACGAGGTCGCCGGCCGGCCCGTCGTCGGCCGCGTCGCCCAGGGCCCGCAGCTCCGCGCGCGTGGCGCACCAGTGCCCCTCGAGCGCCGGCGGCGCCGGCGGCGCCGCCAGCGCCCGCCGCCGCGCGTCGAGCGCCTCGCCCGTGAAGCGCCCCGCGTCCAGGGCCCGCCACGCGCGGCAGGCGTCGAGGAACCGGGCCAGGTCGCCCTGGAGGGCCGCGACGCGCCGCGCCGCCGCGCGCCGGTCGGGCCGGCTCCGCGCGAAGCGGTCGGCGGCGTCCGCCGACGCCCACGCGAGCGCCAGCGGCGCCGCCCGCGGCGGCGCGGCCGCGCCGAGGTCGGCGCCGACCGCGGCCGGCCGCGCCGCCGCGGCGAAGGCCGGCGCGAGCGCGCGCTCCCCGAAGAAACGCCGGTCGCGGGCCACCGCGGCCTCGGCCACGAGCCACTCCGGGCACGCCAATAAGGATGCCTCGGCGACGGCCGCCCGCAGGAACGCCGCCGGCCCCCGCGGCGCGCCGAGCGTCCGGGCCCAGGCCGCGGCGTCGCTCCGCGCGCCGAGCGCGGCGAGCAGGGGGCCGTGCGCCGGCCGGCCCCGGGCGCCCGCGAGCGCGCGCAGCACGAGCCGGCCGTCGCACGACCACGGCGCGAACGCCACGTACGCGACGGCGCGCGCGGCCGCGTCCGGGTCGGCCGACGCCTCGATGACCTCCGCGGCGCTCTCCGGCCGCGCTCGAAGCCGTGCGATGGCTGGACTCGGGGCGCCCGGCGCGGCGCTGACGCGCGCGTGCGTCGCCTCGCCGCGAAGGCGCGCGACGACGTTGGTCGTCTTCAACGACGCGGCGCGCAGCGGCTCCGCGTGTTCTTGAGGAAGCGGCGCGACGTTTGGTGGTGTTTGCGCCATCCTACGGCTGCCAGTTGGTTGCTAGGCGTGAAGTACCGCTCGGTTTGGCCCAGATCGATGCAGTCAGCTTTCGCAGTAGCCTAGACCGACTTCAAAAAATATACTGCGAGCTGCTCACGAACGCCGATCGGACGGCTATATCGGCAATTAAAAAAAAGGCCTGAAAAACCCGGCTATCCAGGAGAGAACTGGCGCGCGGCGCCGAACCCATCCGGGTTCGACTCATAGATGTAGTTTAAATTGTCGGCGCGCGCCCCAACATGAACTCACTTCGCGCGCGACTGCTGGTGCGCCGGCAGCGCGGCGTTCACGGCCGCCTGGCACTCGGCCATGACGTCGTCGGGCGCCTTCCCGGCCGTGGGGATCGTGGGCAGGACCTTGAGCTCGACGCCGCGGGGCACGGCCAGGGGCATGAGCGCCGACGGCGGGTGCCACTTGTGCAGGTCGCAGAGCGCGACCGGGACGACGTCCACCTCCGCGGTCGTCGCCATCTTGAAGGGGCCCCGCTTGAACTTTTGTAAAGTGCCGTCCGCGGACCTAGTGCCTTCAGCAAAGGCCACGACCGAGTTGCCGTTCTTTAAGGATTCGACCGTGTCCTTGAACGTCTCGAGCTGCGACCGGCGGTCCGCCCGCCGCAGGGCGATGTGGCCGGCGAAGCCCATGGCCCATCCGATGAAGGGAATGCGCAGGATCTCGATCTTCGAGATGTACTTGAAGGGCCGCGGCATGAACGCCGACAGCGTCAAGATATCTAGATAAGAACAGTGGTTCGGCACGATGAGCACCGGCACGCCCTTCTCCGGCAGGTTCTCCTTGCCCGTCACCTTCGGTCTATACAAGCAAGTGAGCATGCTACAGCGCGCCCAGAGCCAGACCATGAAGTCCATCGGCCGGCGCTTTTTCGGATCGAATAATCTCGAGGTGATCGCGCAGGTCAGGACGAGCGGGTACAGGGCGATGACCCAGATCGTCATGCTCGCGCCGAACCAGAGGCCCGTCAAGTTGATGGATTTGCCGCCGAGTTTCAGCGCGAGCGGGCCCGGTTTCGGGGGGTCCGGCACGGCGACGGCGGCGGCGGCTATTTTCAGGGTGCGCGTGTGCAGCGCATGGCTGCGCCGCGGCAGCTGGAAGCCCTCCACGCACGCCAATAACGCTAGGAATGCGCACCGCATGGCGCCTCAGAGCACTGCCTTGACAGGGGGCAGGGCGCGAGGCGCGAGGCAAGTGACGCTTTATGCCTCTCTTCTGGCAGTCGCGTAGGTGTCCCGCACGCTTGCCGAGGCTGAGCAGCCCGTTTGGCCCGCTTTGGGGCTCGTCCCTGGACGTCCCGAGAGTGCACCTAGCTAGCGTCCAGTAAGACACTAGCAAGCAGACGACATCGCCGTGACTCGTTGATGACGTCTTGATATTTACACAAGGCGCGCGCGGCGGCAGCGCTCACTCCTTCTTCTCCGCGACAGTCTCGGGCGCGTCGCGGTTCCCCAGGAACGAGAGGAAGATGTTGTACATGATCTGCATGCAGTTGATGTAGAGGAGCCGCTGCTCGCCGGGAATGAAACGGAAGTTCACGAAGTGCGCCGGTACCCAGTAGGCCCACGAGCCCGTGACCGCCGTGGGCAGGTCGTTCTTGATCTTGGTCTGGATCTCGTCCGTCGACTTGCCCTCCATCAGGCCCAGCGACGTGAAGAAGACGATGCCGAAGATGGGGTTCCAGGCGATCTGGTCGATGCCGACCTTGCTGAAGACCGTCTTCATCGCCGTGCCCGGCATCATCCGATCCAGGAAGCCGTAGAAGTAGTGACCGCTCGGGCCGTGCCAGAGCGCGCCGAAGGTCGCCATGCGCGCCGTGCGCGCGACGTCCCACTCCTCCTTGCCCTCGACGGCCTTCTGCGCGAGCACGTCGCCGGCCGTGAAGCCGATGAGCGACGTCATCGCCTTGACGACGAGCGGCTGCGCGGCCAGCGCCTGGTTGTATTTGGCCCAGAGCATCGACATGGTGCTCGCTCCTTGCTGTATTGCTGCAAGAAAAGCTGGGCCGGCGCGTATAATTGTGTCGTCTTGCAGTGCCTAAACGCGCAGTGGTTATGCTGCGTTGCGGCTCGGAGATATCCGCCAAAGTTGGGAGAGGCAGAGGTCAATGTCACAAGGACGATTTTGGGCCCGGATGCGTGCGAACTCACAGACGTCCATCACAGGAGTCGCACACGTATAGCAGAAATCAGTTGACGCTTCCTCTGAGATCAGCAAACAACGTGGCCGCGGGCCCGCCCGCCGGGCCGCCTAGATGATACAACATACCAACAACATTAGGAGGTCAGCCGCGCCGCCGCGCCGCCGGCGACGGCTCGGCCGCCGCGAGCGGCCGCCGCAGGAACGAAAAGAGCCGCCCCGCGTCGCGCCGCCCGAGCAGCGGCGCGAGGTCCTCGAGGGACGCGTCCGCGAGCGCGGCCAGCGAGGCGACCCCGTTCAACAAAGCGCGCAGGTTGTGGTCGCCGACGCCCGGCAGGCGGCGGACGAGCGCCACGGCGGCCTCGTTGCGGTCGACGCCGTCGTCCGGCGCGGCGCCGGCGGCCCGCGCCTTGTCGAGCGACGGCTCGGGCTTGTTCCGGCCGATGGCGGCGAATAAATTTGCAGAGGAGGCATCATCAGCAGCCCAGCAGAAGCGGAGGCGCGGCTGGGCCATGGCGAGCATCGCTAGTCGAGCTTCGACGGCGCGCGTCGACGGGAGGTCGTCCTTCGGCGCCCACTTTTTATCAGGCTGCTCCTGGGTGTCTGCCACGTAACTCGCGGTACCTTTGAGGGACGACGTCGTCTCGATCAATAATAAAGGCGTCCGGTAGAAGCGCGCCATCGCGTCGGCCTGGCCAGCTAATCTACCGCCCTGCAGCGACCCGTGCAGATCACTCACGCTCTTCCTTTCTACGACGACGTCCGGCGCCAGGACGTAGTCGCCCACGACTAAAGTCGAGGGCACGACCGTCAGGCCGCGGCCGTACAACGCCAAGGGCAGCGAGGACCGGAACTCGCGCGCGTCGCAGATGATCGCTCGAGCCTTCTTCGGGCGCGTCGACTGGCGCCGCTCCATGTCCGACGTCGCCGCGAGGAGCCGCCGCTCATCGATGAGCCGCACGAACGCGTCGCGCTCCTTCGCGATCAGAGAAGATAATCTAGCTTCGTCCGCGGCGCCTTCCAATTTGAGCGCGTAGACGTCTACCTTATATAAAGTGGCGTGGGCCTCGATGCGCCGCACGGCCTCGAAGCACACGTCCACGAGCACGATCCGGTCCGGCCTCGCGTCGCCCAGCACGTCCCTCGCCTCGAGGAGCTGCGCGTGCGTCACTATTCTGATGCAGGCCCAATTTTGTGGGGAGGGCGCCCCGCGCTTCTTCCGTTTCCTCCGGCGGTCCTCCTCGTCCAGCAGCGCTTTCCTCAAAACAGTCCGCCGCTTCTGCGCGTCGCGCCGCCACGGCGCGTTGTCCCTTCTTAAAAAGTCCAGCAGGCGTCTGTTGGAGAAGGCCTCGTCCCCGTCACCCAAATGTTGCGCGACGTGCGCGGCCCGCGCCGCGTCGGTCACCACCATAACACAGGACGACCCGCCTCCTTTCAACGCCTCGGCCAGCAGACCAAGCTTCGGCGCCGCCGACGCCTTCAGGGCGAGGGGCTTCTCCTTCACGACGACGCGCCGTTTGGCAGCATCCAACAACGCGTCGGCGCTCGTCGACTGCGACCACGTCGACGGCTTCGGCCGGTCGCGCGCGGCTCGGACGCACGCCCGCGTCCTTTCTAAACACGCGACGCCGTCGTCGGACGCGACGGCGTCCAGCAAATCGCCGAGCGCCCTCAACTCGGCGCAGAGCTGCCTCCCCGCCTGCGGGAAGGCGCGCCAGGCCGCGCCGCGCTTGACGCGGTTCAGCGCCTGGTCGAGCTCCCCAAAAAACGCGTCGGCCTTTTGAGCGCCCTTCGTCAGGGCCTCGTCTAACATTGAAACGTCGGCGCCCCGCAATCCGGCGCACCTTCCTTTCAGTTCGCGGGCGCAGGCAGCTATCGCAGCCACGACGCGCCGTTGGAGTAGGGAAGCGCCTTCGTCGAGGTTGGTCGAGACCTCGGTTATCGATGGAGGGCTCTTTTCCAGGCAGTCGGCGATACCGTTCTCGAAGCGCGGCCAGAGCGCGACACTTGACACGGACAGCGTCTTGACGACCTTGGCCAGGCGCGCGAAGCCGCCGCCTAACCGCTCTGGCGCCTCGGAGATGGCTCGCACCCACCCCTGGGTACTGCGGTCCCGGAACAGCCTCACGACGAAGGCCTCCGGCGAGCTCTCCGCGCAGCGCTCCGCGTCCAGGACGAGAATGCCTTTTATGTTAGAAGCGTCGAGCGTCCCGTCGAGCAAATCGACGCACGCCGCGCGCGCGCCGCACAGTACGACGCCGCCCGTCGCGTACAAGGCCCGCCGTTCCGTCCGGCTCGTCTCCGCCGCGCGGTGCCGCGCCATCACTTTATCCACGTCGACGCCACATCTCCATAATTCCTCGCGCAGCGCCCCTTCCCTTTGCTGCGCGTTGAGCACTATTATAGGCTGCGCGTCCTCCCTCGTTTCGAGCGCCCTTCTGATTACGTCGGCCGCGAGGTGGACCGTCCCGCCCAGCCCCCGCGCGACGACGGCCAGGGCGTCTCCCTTGTTTAGCGCGTCGGCGGCCGGGGCGAGGTACGGTGGCAGGGCGCTCGTCATGGCTGCATTTTCAGGCTTAGCGGTGGATTTTTGGAGTCGCTGGGAGGCATGCGCTGGCTTTTCGATGCGCTCCGCACGTGTAAGGCTGCGTGTGCTCTCCAAAAAGTGGCACCAAAAAAAAAAACCCGAATACTTGCCCAAAAAGTGGGACGCATCGTCGCGCGCAAGCTCTCTCGCCGCGAGGCCTCGCGTGACCAGGCGTCGGGACGCGTCGGCTTCCGGTTGGCCTTCAAAAACGCAATTCTCCAGGCCCGGCGTGAGAGCGGCTCACTTCGACACGCGAGCGCCTGCACGAGAGATGCCGTCCGTCAAGGAGCTGGCCGCACGGATCGAGCGCAGCAGCCAGCAGCGCGAGGCGGCGGCAGCAGCCTCTCTGTCGCCGCCGCGACGCCGACGGAGCCTCGGCAGCCCCAGGACGCCGGCGGAGGTCCTCGCCGCGGCAGCCCCTCGGTCGCCGACGGCACCCGTGTCGCCGCCTCGACGGCGCCTCGGCAGCCCCCGGCCAGCGGCAGCCTCGCCGCCGCCGAGCATAGGCAGCCCTGGGCGCGCGCCGCCGTCGCCGCCACGGCGACCGAGCGTCGGCGCCGCGCCAATATCGCCGCCACGGCGGCCGAGCGTCGACGCCGCGCCGTCGCCGCCGCCGCCCGCGGACCGGGCCGTCGGCGGCGCGCCGGCGGACCTCGACGCGCGCATCACCCGGCGCCTGGGCGAGCTCGCCGCGGCGCGGTCACCGTCGACATCACCGCAGCACAAAAGGCGGCCGGCGGCGCCGCCGTCGCCAACGGCGAAGGACCTCGTCGCGCGCATCGAGCGCGCCACGCGGGCGCGCGCGGCCGCGGCGGCCGCGGCGTCGCCGCCGCGCCGCCGGCGGAGCCTCGACGCGCCGCCGCCGTCGCCCCCGCGGCCGCCGCCGCCCGCGGCGCCGCCCGCGCCCGCACCCGCGCCCGCGCGGGACCCGACGGCCATCGCCCGGCCGCTGCTCGACGCGCTCTCGCACCTGGAGGCGGCGAAGCCCGCCTCGCCGTCGCTGCTGGGGGCGCTCTGGAGCGGCTTCGACGCGGCGGCGCCGCCGCCCGCGCCGCCCGACCCGCGCGCGCCGAGCCCGCCCAAGTCGCTCGCGAGCGGCGGCCGCGTCGGCGCGCTCGAGGCGCCCGAGTCGCTCCTGCAGTTCGACGCGCACCGCGGCCGCCGCACGTCGCGCCGGCGGCGGAGTTCGACGCGCGACGCGGCGGCCGCGGCGCCCGTCGCGACGCTGCCGGAGCCCGTCGGCGGTTTAGATGATGACGCGTCCGACGTGGAACGGGCCGCGGCCGAGGACGAGCTGCGCCTCCTCCGGCATCCCTCAGCCTCAGCCTCAGCCTGAGGCTTGTGTAGTACTAAGTAAAAGTCGACCTCCGACATCGGCGTCACATCGCAGCGAGTGGCGTCACGGAAGAACTAAATAATTCCCAATTAAACGTCCCCCGCCAAACTCCGCGACGTGTCCAGCGACGGCTGCGACCCGGGCGCGTATTTGCCGAGATTTGCCTCGCCGTTCGCGCGGCACCGCGCGACGAGCGCCGCTTGGGCCGCGCCGAGGTTGTCGCTCGAGCCGGCCCACGTCCGCACGGCCGACGTCTGCAGCGACGACGAGAACCCGAAGGTCACGCTCCAGGGCCCCTTCCGCTCGATGCGATTCATCGCGTCCAGACACAGCGACGCCTCCTCCTCGCCGAGCGTGCCGGAGTTGAAGCAGACGCCCGGCACGGCCGACGGCACGGTCCGTTCCAGCGTCCGCACGGAGTACGCGGCGACGAGCTCGGGCGTCGCGGCCTCGGGGCACGACGTCCCGGGCGTCGACATCATCGGCTTCAGGAGACACCCCTCGAGGAAGACGCCGTTCTCCGCCAGGGCCCGGAAGACGTCGACGTAGACGCGCTCCTGCACCTCGGCCGCCCGCTCGATGGTGTGGTCGCCGTCCGCGAGGACGGCCGGCTCCAATAAAGGCACGAGTCCCTTCTCCTGGAGCGTGCGCGCCGTGCGCGCCATGGTCCAGCACGTCTCCTTTAATGCTAGAAAGGACGGCGCCCCCCGACTGTCGTCTATTCTGATTCTGCCGCGCCACTTGGCGAACCGCGCGCCCTGCTCCCTATACAATGCCGCGCGCTCCTCGAGCCCGTCCAACCCGCGCGAGCAGGTCTCTCCTTCCACAGCGCCGGGCAGCGGCACGTCGCCGCAGTCGACGCGCACGCCCGGGACGATGTTCTGCGCCGCCAGCAGGTCGACGAACGGCGTGCCCCCTTCGGTCTCCTCGAAGAGCGCGTCCGCCGTGAGCACGCAGCCCGACGCGTAGGTCCCCAAATCCGGCGCGGTCACGACGAGTTCTCTATATTGCGTCGCGTCGCCGTCGTCCGCCAGCTCGATGCCCGCGCGTTCGAACCGCTCCTTGAGCGTCGGCGGCGACTCGTCGATGGATAAAACGCCCTTGCCCGGCGCGACGAGGGCCAATGCGGTGGCGGCGAGCTCGGCCGCGTATTCCAGCGGCACGGGCACGGTCACGTGCCGTCTTAATGTAGTCCGGGCGTAGTGCTTCGGTCGCGGCGGCTGCAGCGCATGTGCGATGGCTGCTATGAGGACGAACACCGTGGGTCGCCGCGGCGGGGCCATCGCAGGCTGGTTGCAGTGTCCTCGTGGAACTGCGAGTTTGCGCAGTCTAGTTGCAGTGTTGTACTCCTGGAGCTACGAGTTTGCAGCCCGTCGACGGTTCTTGTCGCCACTGTCTCGAGAGCTGCAATGAGGTTCGAGGTTCAAGGGCTTGCACCTTGCGGCTCTTGCTACGTTAGCCGTTTCGCGTGCTCAGGCGCGACTATGAGATAGTTAAAAGCTGCTCCGAAGCGTCGATCGGATGCCACTCGGCTCACTCCCAGCAAGCCCGTGCTCGGAGACGAGCTCGGGCTAGCGGCGTTAGACACTAGCGGCCGGGAAGTGACCGGTGGCGACGCACGCGCATGACGACAGATAACTAGAGTAAGCGTTAAGGAGCACCACTACCGTGACACCGTCAGGGCAGCGCGGCGTCGGCCGGCGGGTCGACGCCGCCGAGGCTCCGGCCGTAGTGGTAGAGGATCGACGCCGCGCCCACCGATAGGCCGGCCACGACGCCGCCGTCGACGACGGCCCGCCAGGGGTAGTCGAGCGTCTTGACCAGCTTTACCAGAGCCGCAATGCCGACGACGAAGCCCCACGACGTCGCCAGCCGCTTTTTCGACGCGTGGAAGAGGCCCATCGCGTAGAGCGGGGCCAAGGCGACGTGATGCAACGGCGCGTCCCGCAACGTCAAGGCGCGGGCCACGACCATCGGCGAGAACTTGCGGTGGAACGCCTTGTAGCCCTCGACGTAGGTCATGAACACCACGAACGCCGCGTAGGCGGCCCACGTTGGTGGAGCGAGGGCCGCCGCCCCACTGGAAAAGGGCTCCAGGGCCACGGGCAGCACGCGGCGGATCGCGTTCCCAAGGATCGCGGTCATGCCGAGGGCGCCCCACGCCGGCGCTATACCCAAGCCGCCGCCGCCGCGCGCGACGCTCAGCACCGGCGCCGCCGCGCGCCTTTGGCAGTCCGCGCGCGGCGCGGCCGGCGCGAGGCCGCGGCGCGGCACGAAGCCGCGCGCCGTGGCGGAGTGCGAGGCGACCACCGTGAGCGCCGCGAGGGACACGCGCATGGTTTTCGAGTCGTCTGTCGCGCTTAAACTGATGCAATTGCAGGGCAGTGCAGGGCAGCAGGCGAGTGCTGAGCGCTCTAGCGTCGCGGTTTCTCGTCAGCGCAAGGGCCGCTGCCGATCAATGACTACCTTAAGACGTCCAGTCGAGTACGTGTAGGTCCTAAGCGCGCGCGCGCACCCTTGCTGCTCGTTGGCCCAGGAAGGGGCTAGCGCCAGTAAGACACTAGGAAGCAGTACGACTCCACCCAGGCCTCCACCTCTCGGGAGGGCTCCATCGACCGGCCCTGGACGAGTCGAGGGCTGCGCACCAGGCGGTCCGGCGCCGTTTCGTTCTGCAAGGGCAAGGCGCTCGGGCCATTGCGCCGGCCGGTCGCCGCCGTTCCGCTGCCCAACCCGCGCCGCTGCGCCGCCGCGACCCGCGCGGGTGCGCCGACGCCGCAGCTCGCGCCGCAGCTCGCGCCAGAGGCTGCCCATAGAGAGCGGAGGGCTCCCTCGCGACGCCGGCGCCGCGGGACTGCCCCGAGGCAGGCTAACCCCGCGGCGAGCAGCAAAGATGGGCGCCGTGAACGGGAAACAAACTAGAAAACGGCGCGACGCCCTGAGGGAAGGCAACGCCTGCGCGAAGAGCTGCCCCGGCCTCAAGCCGAAGCACGTCAAGACGTTGTATAAGTTGTTTCGCAAGGCGGACAAGGACCAGTCGGGCGAGATCTCGGTCCTGGAATTCCTCATGTTCTTCGATATCGACCGGACGGTCTTCGCGGTCAAAGCGTTTACGCACATGGACGACGACAAGAGCGGCGAGATCGACTTTCCGGAATTTGTGAAGGCGGCCTGGGCCTTCGTAAGTCTGTCGAAGGAAGGGTTGAGGAATTTTGCGTTTTCGATCTATGACCTGGACGATTCGGGGTCCATAGATCGGTTTGAAGTGGAGGCCATGGTCCACGAGCTCTACGGAAGCCAGTGGCGCCGGTCGCGTCTGGCCCGCCAAACCCTAAAAGAACTGGCCGCGCGCAAACAGCTGTCCCGTGCTGAATTCGTCGACTTCGCGCGGACGCACCCCGCTTTGCTATTCCCGGCCTTCCAGCTCCAGGGGTCGTTAAGGACGGCGTTAGGCGGGGCGCGCATGTGGGCGTCCATCGCCGAGACGCGCGCGCGCGCCGCGGACGTGCCGCCGCCGCCGCCGCCGCCCCTGACGGCGACCGGTAGAGGTAGGCGCATGGCGCAGCAGGCGACGGCCGACGTCGTCTCCGTCGATCCGCCGGACGCCGCGCCGCGCCGCTTCTCGCGGCAGATGGCGCCGTCCGCGTCGCGCCTGCGGCTCGACGAGCTGCGACGGGCGGAGACGCCGCGGCCGCCACTCCAGCGGGAGAAGGCGAAACGAGTCTTAGACGAGGCGGACATCCGCAACTGGCGCGACGGCGCGCCCCACCTCGACCTCGCGCGGAACTCGCAGCTCATCAAGCAGAAGGTCGAGGTCGTGCGGCCGCGGCCGCCGCGGCCCGACTTCGGCGGCGACAAGGAGAACTTCTACCGGCCGAAGGCGTCGCAGTTCGAGGCGCGCCGCGGCCACGGCGACCAGTTCGGGCCGCGCACGTCCGCCGTCGAGCGGACGCGGAAGCGGCGGCCGCTCGGCCCGCGCGCGTGACTCTTGACCAAGACCGAAGACCCAACCCCCCGGGGCCCAAGACCTAAGATACACGTTCCGGGATTATTGCTATCTGTTACAGTGGGCGCGGGCCGCGGCTTTGGGAACAGCATACGTCCTCCTACGTAGAGTATAATCGTGCGGGCTTGCAGCCTTGCTTGCCAGGATGATTGTTACGGTGCTGGGCCAGGTTCGGCTGAGGCTGAGGCTAGTTACGTCGCAGGGTTCCCCGTACCCCTCCCGCTCCCCCCGGGCCCACCCGTCCGGCTGGACTAGGACGCAAGGGCTGAGTCGCATGGACTCGCACGCCCCCCCCTTTTTTTTGGGACGCCCCCCATCAGGTTCCAGCTAGTGCTCTTGTTGCGCTAGCTAGGCTTGCTCTCAAACCCAAACAAAGCTGCAGCTCTGCAGCCAACAGAGGGCAGTTAAGCATCGCTCGGAGACGTACACGCCAGCACCCATCGCCGTGCTTCCGCAATTTGTCTGCGTTGCATCAGTAAGCCTTGCACTCACTGCAACCTCAGAGCAGCCTCTCAGAGATGCCTCGCCTCGCCCACCTCGCCCTCGCGACGACCGCCGCGGCGCTGCGCCCGGTAACCCGCAGAAACTTGGGCCCGGCGGGCCTCGGCCTCGCGACGGGCCTCGCCTACCGCCAGCACGCGGTCGCGGCCGATTTCCAGAAGACCGGCAGCGGCCTGCAGTACCTCGACCTCAAGGAGGGCACGGGCGCGACGCCGGAGCCCGGCCAGACCGTGCAGGTCCATTATAATGGATGGCTCGACGACTTCGGCGACGCGGGCCGCAAGTTCGACTCGTCGCTCGACCGCGGGCGGCCCCTGAGTTTTGCGGTGGGCACGGGGCGGGTGATCAAGGGCTGGGACGAGGCGCTCCTGACGATGAAGGTCGGCGGCAAGCGCCGCGTGATCATCCCGCCCGAGCTCGGCTACGGCTCCAAGGGCATCGGGCCCATCCCCGGCGGCGCGACGTTGTACTTCGAGATGAACCTCATGGCCGTGAAGTAGGCGCTTTCGCGAATAATCTTACAGGCTAATGGAAGAGGGTTCTTGGGGACAGAGGGGTGGGCGGGGGATTGGTGGGCTCATCAGGCCGCGCCGAGGACCCAGTCGACGACGTGCTCCGACTCCTCCCAGTCCACCTTGGACCCGGACTCGTCGGTGCGCGCCGTGTCGGGCTCTTCAGCGGTTTTCGGGGGCGACAGCGCCTCGAGCGCCTCGTCGCTCAGCGGCGACAGAGCGGCCGACCGCCGGCTCGAGCCGCTGCTCGACGCCGCGGACAGCGCCGAGCGCGCCGAGTCGACGGACAGAGACGGCGCGCGCGGCTCGACGCGCTTGCGCAGCGGCGACCGCGAGCTCAGCGGCGTCGCCGGCGGCGTCAGGCCGCGCAGGGCCGCGTCGATGGCCGCGGCCTCGTCGTCGACGGAGCCGCGGTGCTTGCCCCGCGGCGCCGGCGGGCTCAGACCGCGCAGCGCGGCGTCGATGGCCGCCGCCGTCGCGGACTCGTCCTCGACGGACTTGCGCGAGATCTTGGGGGACGGCCGCGGCGGCGTTAAGGGGGGCGGTGGCGGCGCGCCCGGCGGCGGCGCGAACGACGCCGCGTCGGGGTCGAGGCCGCACTGGCCCGCCAGCAGGTCCCCGAAGGCCGAGCCGTAGGACGACGACCGCCGGACGTGCGTCTTGCGCAACCCGTGGTCCGGCGGCGCGTCGGGGATGCCGCCGTCGTCCGGCGGCGGCGGCGGCGGCGCCTCGGCGGCGCCGGCGAGCTTCTTGGCCAGCGCCGGCGGCGGCGGCGAGTTCGGCGGCAGGGGCCCGAGCACGACGCCGCGCGGCACGGGCGCGTTCGGCGGCAGCGGCTGCAGGACGGGCGACAGGAGGGGCGGCCGCGGCGGCAGCGCGCCGCTCGCGTCCGGCGGCAGCGGCGCGAGGACCGGCGGCGCCAACACTCTCGGCGTGAGCACGGGGATGCGCAGCGTCTTGGGCGGCGGCGGCGACCCCGGCGCGAGCGGCCGTAAGACGGGCGGCGGGAGCCCGGCGGGCGGCGGTGGCGCGGGCTGGAGCACGATGGGCCGCGGCGGCGGCGCCGCGGCGGGCACGGGCCGCAGCACGGGCGGCCCCAAGCTCGCGCCGGGCCCCGCGCCGCCGAGCGCGACGGCGTAGGGGCCCGGCTGCAGCGGCCGCGCGACGAGCGTCGGCGGCGCGGGCACGGCGACGAGCGTCGGGGGCGCGGCCGCGGCGGCGAGCGCTGGGGCCGCGGCCGCGGCGACGAGCGTCGGGGCCGCGGGCACGGGCACGGCGCCGGGCTGGGCCTGGGCCTGCGCCATGCGTGCGCGCGGGGCGCTTTTGCAGGCGCTCGCCGCGGCTAAGGGGCGGGGCAAGCGCCGGGCGACCTGGCGCCAGGGGGCCTTGTCACCGCACCCGAATATGAAGGGGCGCCGACGCCGGCGCAGGACTGCCGACGCTAGAGCAGGGGGCGCGTTCCTCACGCGCGGACCCCGACTGGCCGTCTCTGGGGAGCCATGTGGCACACGTTTGGCAAGCTCAATCGTGATGAGCCGCCAGGAACCCGTTTTGTTCGATTTTTTTTTCTTCCTCCGAGCGCTCCCCGCCGACGCGTGCCGCCAGCCATCGCCACCCGACACCCACCCACGCTACGCGAGGCGCCCCGTCCCATTTCGAACAGCGGGCTGCCGGCCGTCGGCGCTGCCCCCCACACGCATAGAAGGGAAGAGCGGGAGGCAGCCTTACACAAAGAGGATGAGGCAGCTCTTCCGCCTCGACGCCGGCCGCGGGTCTCGGGACGCGGCGGCTTTTGCTTGGGAGCCGCGGGGCAATTACTTAGCGGCGGGCGGCGAGCCGGGCCTGGTGCACATTTATGACCGCCACGGCGACCATGTGGCGGAGATCACGGGCGAGACGACGGCTCCTGTGAAAGCTTTGGCGTGGGACCGGGACGGCGACTGCTTGGCGATCATGCAGGATCGAGAACCCACCATCAGTCTGTGGGATTCACAAATGAAGACCGTGACGAAGCTGGACACGGCTCTCAAAGATCCCTCGTTCTTCTGTTGGTCGAAGACGTCTTCCCAACTCGTTGTTGGTAATAAGAACGGGAACATATTAGTGTATGATCGAAGAACGAGGAAGAAGGTCTCCGTGCTAGGCAAGCATCCGAAAAAAATCACGTGCGGCTGCTGGTCAGCTCAAACAAATAAATTGGCGCTTGGGTCCGACGATCGCACTTTGACGCTGTCCAACGAGTCGGGCGATACCCTAGAACAGACGGAACTCAAACACGCCCCCATCGACATGCAGTTCGCAACCCAAAAACGCGACGCGGCTTCCGATGACTCGGAGACGCATCTGTCCATCAACATGGGCGGCAAAAGTTTACTGTTATACGACCTCAAGGAGCCCGACAACCCGTTGGAACTAGCTTTTTCCTCAAAATATGGCTCGATCATCGCGCACACGTGGTTCGGCGACGGCTTGATGTTGCTCGGTTTTTCGGACGGGTATGTCGTGGTCATCTCGACGTCGATGCGGGAAATCGGCCAAGAACAATACAGCGGACAGTTCCACAAGAAGCGGTTGGATTCCATCGCCTATTCGCCGGCACTCAATTACGCTGCTGTCGCTGGTGACGGCGGCATCAAGCTCGTGGACCTGTCGACGTTCAAGGATTTGAAAAAGGAAACTGTTTCCGATTTAGACGGTTCGATTGCGAAGGTCGAGTGGTCGCCTGATGGTCATGTCTTATGTGCCTCGACGAAGCGTGGACAAGTGGCTACGTATCTCGCAAGGATGCCTTTGGTTCATGGCGCTTGCGGCGATACGGTCGCTTACTTGTCTTCTTTGAGGGAGATCACGCTGGTGAAGTCTGGAACACCAGAAGACGACCAGAATGTCATCATACCCGTGGGGCTGGAGCCGTCCTACCTCGCCGTGGGGCCGAAGCACGTCGGAGTCGGGATGAACAATGCCGCTTTGTTCTACGACATTTCCACGAAGGAAGAGGTGCACAAGGAGGAATACAACGGACGCGTCTCGCAGATGTCGATCTCGGAGTCTCATTGCGCAGTATTGAGTGGAGGCCGGGTCACGCTGCACGCCATTGATGGGTCTCGGCGTCGAACGTTCCCAGATAGGGATTCGGGCGACGACATGGGGGATAAAGTGACGGCATTAGCGTTGACGAAGGACGTGTTGGTCTACGGCACGAAGTCGGGAATGGTGCACTTCTTCGCGATCAACCCCGAGGGACCCTTACCCGGCGTCGAGCTCCGACACGAGAGGGCCATCCTGAAGATCGTCCCCAATGTCAAAGGTACACGATTTATAGTAGTGGACACGTCCAAGAATGCCTATGTCTATGCGCCGACGACTTCAGACTTGACACCCATACCTTCTTTTCCAAGGGACTTTACGTCCGTGATCTGGGAGGTGATTGATCGGCACGTGTTTATTGTATCAAGCCCGTCGGAGTTGCATACGTATGCCTATGCACCACAGACAGTAAGAGGCGCCGTCGTCGCTAAGTTGGGAGCCGTTGATGTCTCTGAAACGGGCGGCGTGACGATGCGACCGAAAGCTTCGCCGCTCCACCCGCAAGGCTTGGTGCCCGTGTGTTCCCACGACGGCACGATCACGTGCCAGACGTCCGGAGGTACGCTCACGAAGATCCAGTGCCCTCTCTACGAACATAGGGATGACGACGATGCCACTCCAGAATTACATTTTTGCCAGAACCTAGCTCTGTTGCGGTTGAAGGACGCCTGGAACGCGGCCATCGACATCAACAAGCGGCCCTACTGGCTGGCCCTGTCGGGCAAGGCCATGGATGTGCTGGACGTCAACATGGCGATACGAGTCTACCGGCAGCTCGGCGACGCGGGCATGGTCCTCGGGTTGGAAAGAATTAAACCTTTTGAGGATACCAACCTACTAGCAGGACACATCTTGTTATTATTCCAGGACTACGACGCGGCGCAGGATTTATTTTTAGCGAGTACGCAACCTCTCCACGCGTTGGATATGAGAAGAGACCTCTTACATTGGGAGCAGGCCCTGAAACTAGCTCATTCGTTAGACCCGGCCCAGGTCCCGGCCATTTCCTGTTCCTACGCCCAACAGTTAGAGTTCAAGGGCGAGTACGACCCCGCTCTAAGGGCATTTGAGTCCGCGAAAAAGGCTATTGATAGGGCGTATCAACGGCGGGTCGAGGAGAAGGAGGAGGATCTGGAGGGCGATATGATGAGGAAGAAATGTTTATGTGGCGTGGCGCGGTGTACGCTGCATCTCGGTGATCTACGGAAGGGTATGACTTACCTCCGAGAAGCCGACGACAAGATACTGTATCGGGATTGTGCGAAGATATTGGAGGATATGAACCAACATTCCGAAGCCGCGGGTCTCTATGAAGATGCGGAGCACTGGGAGAAGGCCGCGGCCATCTATATTAAGAAGCTCGACTTTTCGCGGTGTGCTTCGGTTATGCCGAAAGTGACCCTACCGAAGCTGCACGCCCAGTACGCCAAGGCCTGCGAAGCTTCCGAGAGGTTCCAGGAAGCGGTACAAGCCTACGAGAACGCGCACGACCTGGATTCTGTTGTGAGGTTGCATTTGAACCAGCTGAACACGCCGGAGCGAGGCTTCGATATTGTGCGACGAACGCAATCCTCGGACGGCGCGCGACTCGTCGCCAAGTTCTGCCAGGACCATGGGGATTTCAAGGGCGCCATCGAGTTTTTGCTCATGGCTAAGGGCACGGAGGAGGCCTTCGAGCTCGCGAAGCTGCACAACCAGGTCGAGAAGTACACGGAGGTCCTCGGTGATTCGATCAGAGCGGACGACGCTCTGAATGTCGCCCAGCACTACGAGAAGATCAACGAGCCCGGTCTGGCCGGCAAGTACTATGCGTTGTGCAACGACTATGGAAGAGCGTTGAAACTCTTCATCAAGTGCGGCGAGAAGGAGGTGCACGCGGCCATCGATATTGTGGGCAAAGCGAGGAACGACGCCCTGACGCACACTTTAATAGACTTCCTCATGGGCGAACCGGACGGCGTCCCGAAGGACCCGAATTATATTTATCGGTTGTACATTGCCCTTGGTAACTATCCGCAAGCCGCGAAGACGGCGGTCATCATCGCCAAGCAGGAACAGGAGTTGGGGAACTATGCGCAGGCCCACGCTATTCTGCATGAGACCATCGTTAAGTTACGGGAACAAAAAGTGCACGTGCCGCAGGCCTTGAGGCACCCCTTCGTGTTGCTGCACTCTTATGTCCTTGCGGGTAAGTTAGCTAGACGAGGCGAGCAGGATTTAGCAGCAAGGATGTTGCTACGAGTAGCCAAGTCCATTTCCAAATTCCCGGCGCACGTCGTGCCCATCCTCACTTCTGTTGTAGTAGCCTGCACGAAGGCCGGCCTGAAACAGTCGGCCCACGAGTACGCTTTGCAGTTGATGAAGCCCGAGTACCGGTCGAAAATAGACGCGAAGTTCAAGCGCAAGATCGAAGCCATCATCCGAAAGGCCCAAGATTTGGATGAAATCGCGGAACCCACGTCGAAGTGCCCCGTCTCGTCGCAGCAGATCCCGATCACCTCGTTAGAATGCCCGACGACGCAGGAGGAGCTGCCCATGTGCGTCGTGACGGGGCGGCACGTCGAGAAGGAGGACTTCTGCGTCTGCCCCAATTCGAGGATGCCGGCTCTACGGTCGCACTATCTACAATATATCAAGACCGAAGGCGCCGCGGCTCGCACAAGAGCGATCGCCAACGAGGCCAAGGGCGGCGAGCCCGTCAAGGGCCAGCTCGAGGTGCTCGATCCCGTCTGCGGCAAGCCCGTGATGGCGTCCGAATTAACACTGATGGCGCCGGAGGAGGTCGACGCGTTCCTGAAGGAGTGGGCCAAGTAAGTAGACTTGATGGGTAGTGATCGGGGGGCAGCACGCCTCAAAGATCGGGGGGCAGCACGCCTCAAACAGCATGCTCGATTTGTAGGAACGGAGCCCCGATGCCTCAGGGAGGCTCCCCGAGCCGGCTGGACGCCGTAAGTACCCTAGTTCGGCCTCCCGGGGCTTCCCGGTACATAATGGAGTAGTGTGGTTAGTCACAGACTACCCGTGACGAGCCGCCGCGCCGTCCCGTCCCGCCGCGACATCAAAATTCAGGCCGTGCCGTCGTGCTCGCGCAGTCGATCGACCAATGCCTGCTTCAAGCCGTCCGAATCGAGCCCTCGACGGACCAGGAACTCCCGCAGCTCGCTAACCTTGTACTTGGAATAGTCATCACCACCGTCGCCGCCGTCTCCAGCAGCATCTCCATCCTCTAAAAATTTGGCCACGGCGCTGCCCTTGAGCGCCGCCGCCCGACGCGAGAAGTAGCCTCGGATCTGGGACTGCTTGAGGACGAGGGACTTATCGTTTTCGCCAACGCGCCGCCCGAACTCAGCTTTCATGAGCTTCCACACCTTCTTGTCCCGCATGCGCTCGCCGCCCTTCAATCCAGATTCGAAGTGCTTGTCCAGGAAGGCCTTCTGCTCGACCGTGTACCGTGGTCTACTCGTTGTTCGGAGCGCCTTCCGCGCCCAGCCGTGAGGCGGTAGCGGTGGCGCCGGCCGTTCCAGTACGTATGTGATCGTGTCTCCTCGGGCAGCTGCGCACGCGGTGGCGACGGCCTGCCCGGCGTCGTTGCCCACGTCCGTCGAGCCGACCCTCCGGAGGACGTAGCCCTTGCCCACCTTCAGCGACGCGGCGGCCGCGCCGCTCACCTCGGACACCACATCTTCCGTAAACGAAAGGCCGCTTGTCTCAACGGGCAGGTCGACCTCGACACGCGCCAGCTCGCGCCGCTCGCGCTCCAGGTCCGCGTCCTGCTCGACAGCTAGGTCTGACATGAGCTCGTGCACTCCGCGACGACTCGAGCGCCTCTTTCCAGCACATGTCGCCGCGTGCTTCAGAAGACCACCCGACGTCATGAACCGCCGCTTGCACGCGCCACACTCGTGCGTTACGTCCTCGCCTTGCTCCAGAGCTACAGCCGCCGCGTCAGCGGCACGCCGCGCGTCCGCGTGGTCGAGTCGCGCCGACTTCTTCCGCCTCTTCGCCGCACGTTCCTCGCTTTTTTGCGCATGTGACAGCTGGGTCTTCGGGACGACCGCGTCGGACTCCATCGTTGCAGTGGCGATTGCATCTTCGACCTTGTGCTGGTCGTGTATCGCGAGCTGCGCCTCGGTGTACGTGAGGCCTCGGCCCAAACCGAAGCATTCACGACAGGTGATGCTCCCATCGACGTTGAAGGTGCAGTGCGCGTAGTTATGGACGCGTGGAAGAGGTGGAGCTTTCTTCTCTTGCTCCTTCGTCCGGTCGATGGCCATCACGACGTTGACATCGCCAGCGCGCGGGCCTGCGAGGAAATCCGTCGGAGATCCGTCGATGCGACTCACTAGTTGATTTCCACACAGGTTCGAGCGGCGCTCGAGCCCAGAAAAGATCTCGTCGGCACACTCATGGTCATGTCCCTGGTCGCGATCTCGACTCAAGTCCTGCTTCGACTGGCCACAATTCATATCCACGACGCACTTTCCTTCGCCGGCCTCCGTGTGGCCGTGCTCTAAGATCCGGAGCTCGTCCGCGTCGCCCATGGTGGCACGGATCTGGGAGAAGGCAATCACTGCCTCGTCGTCTTTCGACCAATCATTTGTAGTACACCCTATGCACTGCTTGCACGCCACAAGATTACAGTCGTTGCAGAGCATGACTTGCCCTGCCTCCCTCCTGCAATTTGAGTGAACGCCCAGGCAGCAGTCGTCGTTCCAGTTGGACATTTTCGGCGGCCCGCCGCAAACGGCAGAGAAGTCCGCCGGCATCTCGCCGACGGTATCGTCACTCCGGCCGTGTGTACACTCCTTGGAGAAGCTTTTATCATTAGCTGTAGTGAGGGCAAAGGTAATACAAAGCCGTGGATTGGGGGAAGCCGTTTTCAGCTTCCGGGCGAAGTCGTACTTCATGAATCGTTCCAGCGCTTTCGAACGCTCTGTAAGCACGTCGAGAAGGCCGTGAGGCAGGCGAGGAACGCTCGTGTCGCTGACGTGTGCGCGCGTGTGCGCGTCGTCCAGATCTTGGACGATTTCCCTCAGCTCGTCGAAGGCTTGGAAGCCCAGGTCTCGGCAGTACGTACAGCAACAGTTCTCCGCCTGCGTGTCAATTTTTACGCCGCCTTCGGTCGACCCGCGCGGACGCGTGGCGGTGCTGGTACGAGACGACGCCACAGCGCTTTTCGTGTGTCGGTACGGAGGTATTTGACGCCCCTCGCGGCGTTCCTGTTCGAGGCGTCGGCGAGGACTATCTCCCCACCACCTGGTCGAAGAGCACGTGCGAGCATTTCCGCACGCTTCCCATAGAGACGCGTTCGCGTCCACGTCTCGTTGACAGGTAAAGCACCAGGGTAATGCCGTGCAGCATGGATTCGAGCGAGCCAGCACTGGCGTCTCGTGCAGTAGACGGCGTCGCTGACCTTGATGCGGTCACGAGGGACGTTGTCCTCCGTTTCGAGTTGCGTCGCGTCGCCGTCGGCGGCGACGGCAGCGGCGCCCTGGGCCTTCGTCGCAAAACGAGCCTTCTGGACCGCTTCGCTCGACTCGTAGTACTGGATCTTGAAGCCGTCCTCGGCGTTGCCCGACAGGATCACTGCGCGTCGGTACTGGTGGCCCCGGCCGCCTGGCTTAAGCACGCGGACGTGCACACCAGGCCTGATGTCGACGTTGTCGCTGCACAGATCGATGATGTCGTTGTCGAGCATGTAGGGCGCGAGCAGCGACAGCAGCTGGAGTGCCGACTTGTTGTCCTTGGTCTTCATCGCGATGCGGTACGCGTCCGCGATCGCGATGAGTACAGGAGGGGCCTCGTTGCGCGGCGCGTCCTCCTCGAGCACGAAGGACTGGATCGCGCGGTCAGCGGCAATTAGACGATAAACGCCGCCTCGGTCCGACGTTCCAGCCTTGGCGATCTCTAGAACACGTAGGATGAGCGGCACGACGACGCGCGCAAGGGTACGCCGCCTGCGCGGGCGAAGTCGTCTCGACAGCGCGGGATCGCGTCGATGGCCGCGTCGCGTTGATGGCGTGCTGCCTCTTCGATGAAGCGCTCGGTTAGAAGGCGCGTCGAGATTCGACGCGGAGCTGCACCTGTCGTAGCCCATCTCGTCGACCGTCTCCACGGTGGCGCCTAACATATCGATGGACTTCTTGAGCGTCGGCTCGAGCACCTCGAACTGGTCGGGCGGCAGGATGGCGTGGCAGAGGTCTGTCAGCGTGTCCGGCGTCATCGACACAGCTTTTGGGCTTCCAGTGCGACGACGACCAGTTGCCTGCCCTCCCTGCAGGCGCTTCAGCTCTCCAGGTCTCAAGGTCTTTGTGGGCGAGTACTTCTTGTCTGTGTTGCGCAATCGTGGAGTTGTAAGGACAGGCTGTGCCGCGGGTAAGGGCGCGACCTCATCCTCAGATTCGCTCTCGTCGCTCTCGCTCTCCATCACCAGCCGCTCGAACTTCGTGTCCAGATACTCCGCGATCTCACGCCTTACTGCTGCTTCGATAGTCTCCTTCGCTCGTTTCCAGGCCTGCAGCTTGATGCCGTTGATGGTTATGTTGACCTTGCCAGAAGGTGTTAGAAGAACGTCGCCAGTAGTAACGCCGCCGAAGGCGCCATTGAACACGCCTGTGAGGGTGCCGTGGCGAGATTTGCTCTTCGCCGACGACATCACTCTGGGAGAGCTAGGTGGCAGAGTTGTGCACGCGGCGGGGCAGCCTTGCTGTGCTGCGCGCGAGTCGCAGTGGTGCTGGCAGTTGTCGAAACACGCGCCCGCAGCCGCGGTTAGGCTGTTGGGGCTGTTTAAATGACCGCTGAAGGCCGCGCCCGCCCGAAATACCCGTTTTGAAATCATAGTAAATGAAATCCTAGTTACGGTCGTACAGGCCTGCCTACCCCGGCAGGGGAGCTTTCGGGAGCTGGGACCCAGCCTAGAACCGCTGGGGTAGACTCCCATAGGCTCCGAGTCTTGCCTCCAGCAGTTGTACGTAGCCACTGGGGGCCGTCCCCTCGTCCCGCATCGCGCTGGGATAACTCAGCCCTATAGCTCCCTACCCTTGTCTACCCGTCGCGTGGGGGTCCTGGCCGCCCCCGGGGACGCATTACGAGGCCGCATCGCACCCTACCAAGCGCCTAGGGACGGCCTAGGGCCATTCCAGCATGCCGCGTGAGGCGTGCTGCCCCCCGATCTAGTTAACGACGGGGAAGTATGGACAGGGGGAAGACTCGGGGGAACTGCGTCGCCGTGCGCGACGGCACGCAGGAAGTACGCCAGGAGACCCCTCGGCGGGGTCGTTTCTAGAAGGGGGAGTATGGGCAGAGGAAGTGTCGTGCGCCACGACGCTCCGAGACACCTCACGATGGAGTCAAGCAGGACTGCGGGAAGCACGGCATTGCGCCGCAGCCCGGCGCGCCGTCGTATTCCGACAAGCAGGGACCTTTCTTGAAGATGCGGTTGAGAAATGATTCGGCATTGAGCTCCGAGACGAAGCGACAGCGTTGGTCGATGCAGGCCGCCTCGTGCGGGAGCGCGACGCAGTCCGTATTTGAGCCACCGATCCAGACGGCCGTGAGCTGCCTTGTCCTGGCAAACGTGGCGGCGTCGAGCTGGAAATTCGGCATATTCGTGGCGTGGACGAAGCGCAGCCGCGAGCCCGCGAATGTGTCGCCCGGTATGGACGAGATGTTCATGCCGTCGAGGAAGAGATTCTCGAAGTATTTCAAGTTCGCGAGGTTCGGTAACTCCGTGATGCCCGTGCGCATGAGCGAGAGCGTCATCAATACTTCCAGGTCCTCGCAGAGGTAGGGCGGGAGCGCCATCAATCCCTCATTATCACTCAGCCACAGGTTGTAGAGCGTGGACCTCACGTCCCGCATCGCTTCGGGTCGTACTTCCGTTATACCCTTGTCGCTCAGGTCCAGGGTCCATGTGCGCGCCACGTTGGCGAGCTTGCACGACGTGAGGACCGATCCCTCGCATTCGCACGGGCTGCAGCGGTTCTGCGCCTTGAACGGGTACCGGTCCCGGCAGGACACGACCATAATGACAGCTAGCGTGGCGACAGAGAGCAACGAGTGGGTTGCACACGCCTTTTTCGACGGATGTCTCGCCGTTGCGGGGCGTCGTTCGTCAGCTGCCGCCGCCTCGACTGCCCTACACGTGAACAACAAGTGCACGACTGGCGTGAAGAGACCGAGCGAATCTAAGAACGAGGTTGGGGTCCAGCGGCAGAAACGAACGAACTGCTTGGTCACGAATATCCAACCGAAGGAATATGAGAGGTCGAGCGTGACGTCGCAGAGGGCTGCCACGGTGTCTGTGCTGCGAGACGAGGAGCGCGCCGCGTAGTAGTAGAGGGCGCCCGGATAAAGGCTGTTGATGGCAAGCATGATGAAGAAAAACCAGTAGGCCGGCGCCGACGGCGCGCCTCCCAGGTCGACGAGTGGGCTGTACTGGAAGTGCGATTGGGTCCACACGAGCGCGCCCACATCGGGGAGCTTCGTCACCGCTTGCAGGAGAATCGTGAGGTACTGGAGCCCGAGGATCTTCCATCTGTAATACAACCCACGAAGACCGAGATACTTTTCGTACAGGAGCGCCACCCGGGACACGTGCGTTTTGCGGCGTCCGCGGCGCAGCGAGACGGCCGCCGCCGCCGCCAGGCACGGCACGACAAATAGCCAATTGAAGAAATATAGCGCCGCGTAGCCGAGCGCACCGAGCGTGCCGTGCTGGAGATTCGCTCCACCCATGTACAGTGTTTCTCCCGCCCCTAATATGACTTGGAGGAACCAAATCGCTGCGACGGCTCCGAAGCGCGCGCACGTCGAGTCGAATTGCGCAAGAAGATCCCGGATTAGTAGGAACGCGCAGAATAAATACGGCGGCGCCATGGCGGCCGCGTAGACGAGGGCTGGCGCTGTCATCAGCCTGATCTTCACCTGGCCCGGTGCGACGAGCCCCATGTCCGCCCCATAGCCCTGCACCACGTAGTTCCATCCCACGTACGCGGCGTGCCGCGCCATGAATATTCGGAGCACTATCAGCGCCGCCCTCGTGCGCTTTGGCGGCCGGCGGCGCGTCTCTGGCGCCGTCGTGGCGGGGAGCGGTCCGACGAGGCCCAGGGACCGTACCAAGTTGTAGACAGGAGCCTGGTTCGTTTTAAGCTTCAGTAACTCGCTGTGGATGATCTGGACCTCGCATATATGCTTCTGGAAGCGAATGTTGACGTTGAGATCCCGGTAGCCGCTCGCGGTGGGCCCATCGCCCTCCGGCGGATCCCGTAGCCGGTTCTTGACCTGGAGGATTTCGACGACGCCCGCGTCGGCGAGCTTCTGGAGCGCGGCACACGAGGCTTCCAGCGCCGGCAGCGTCTCCGCGACGACGAGGCCGCGGCATAAATCCTTGATCTTCGCCGCGTCGCCGTTGTACTCGAGCTTGACCTTCTCGCGCACGCGCTCCCGCGTCTTCAGGTTGCATTCGTAGCGCGAGCCGTCCGCCACGAGGCGCTGCAGTACCTCCGTCTTGAACGCTGGGAAAACCACGGCGGCGGCGCCCATGAGCTCGTCGATGTCATCGGACGCCTGCCGCAAGTCAGGAGCCTTGAGACTTGGCGGCCCGATATTCACTGTGTCTTTAAGGATTTTTGCGGAGGCGTCGTCAAATTTTACAGCATAGGCCTCCATGGCTTCGATCTTCCGCGACCCCCAGACTACCGCGGCCACACAAGACACCGCCAGGAGCACGCCCAGGATCGCGCCCCCTTCCCCGACCCGCTCGAAGAGATCCAGCGACACGACCGTGAAGAAGGAGACGACGAAGTCGACCACAAGCATGCGGTCGCCGACCTCGAACGCCGCCATGACGACCGTCATAACGACCACGATGACCTTGACATGCATGGTCTCGCTGCAGAGCTTCCACGGTCGTTTCGTCTCCGGCGCCAGCTTGCCTTCCGGCGCCAGCTCGCCTGCTTCCGGTGCGACAGAAGCCATGGTGTTGGGCAGCGTCCGCTTCGGTCCCTTCCGCCTGTTTTGTGGCTTTTGGGCAGCTTTTTGGGCTGCCCAGTCAAACCTGAGGCGAGGCCAGACTGCTCGTAGGTGGCGCACCAGTTGCGCAGCCCGCCGCAGCGATGCAGGACGAGTGCAGCTTTCGTTCACTGGCACGCGTCGCGGCCCCTCGACGCCGCAACGCCGTCAAATGACCGCGTAGCGGTCTGGGCTCGTGCGGGTTGGAGGGGGGGTCAGTCCAGTATGCCTAACAAGCCAGCGACGCATCATCGCGCATATATTTATTTATTTCATCGCCTATTTTCGCCATACGGCCATATATATATATACGTATATTATCATCCGTATACCGCCATATATACCCTACAGTACACCTATATGGTCACTGTATATGCGCGAAAAAAAAAAAATAAAGAGCGGTTGGGAAAGGGCCTACGACGGAACGAAGCACGAGCGCGGCAGGCACGGTATTTCGCCGCAGCCCGGCGCGCCATCGTAGGACGCCTCGCAGGTGTCCTTTTGGAATTCGCGGTAGATGAAGTATTCGGCGTCGAGCTCCTCGATGAAGCGGCACCGGTGGTCGACGCATGCAGCCTCGTGCGGGAGCTCGACGCAGTTCGTATTTGAGCCGCCGATCCAGACGGCCTCGAGTTGCCTCGTCCTGGCGAACGTGGCGGCGTCGAGCTGGAAATTCGGCATATTCGTGGCATGGACGAAACGCAGCCGCGAACCAGCGAGTGTGTCGCCCGGTATGGACGAGATGTTCATGCCGTCGAGGAAAAGGTTCTCAAAGTACTTTTTCCCCGCGAGGCTCGGTAATTCCGTGACGCCCGTGCGCATGAGCGAGAGGTTCATCAGGACGTCCAGCTCGTCGAAGACGTCGGGTGGGAGTGACATCAATCCTTTATTGTCGTCCAGCCACACGTTGAGGAGCGTGTACTTTATGTCTTTGAACGCGTCGGACCGCACCTCCGTGATGTCCTTGTCGCTCAGGTCCAGGCTCCAGACCCGCGCCACGCCCGCTAATTTGCACGACGTGAGGACCGATCCTTCGCACTCGCATGGGTTGCAGCGGCTCTCCGCCTTGAAAGGATACCTGTCCCGGCAGGACGCGACCATAATCACCGCCAGCGTGGCGACAGAGAGCAGTGCGTGGCTGGCGCACGCCTTTTTCGACGGTTGCTTCGCCGTCGTTGGAGTCTTCTGGTCCGCCGCCGCCGCCTCGACCGCCCTACACGTGAAGAGGAGGTGTACGCACGGCGTGAAGAGCCCAAGGGTTTGGAAGACCTCGACGGGCGTCCAGCGGCAGAGACGAAAGAACTGCTTGGTCACGAATACCCAGCCCATGGAATATGAGAGGTCGAGCGTCACGTCGCAGAGGGCCGCCACGGTGTCCGCGTCGCGGGACGAGGAGCGCGCCGCATAGTAGTACAGGGCACCCGGATAAAGGCTGTTGATGGCGAGCATGATGAAGAAGAACCAGTAGGCTGGCGGCGATGGCGCGCCTTTAAGGTCGACGACAGCGTTGTCCCCGAAATGCGATTGGGTCGACACGAGCGCGCCCATTTCGGGGAGCTTTGCAAACGCCTGCAGTATGACCGTCGCATATTGGAGCCCCAAGATCTTCCAGCGATAATATAAGCCTCGCAATCCAAGATATTTTTGGTACAGGAGTGCCACCCGGGACACGTGCATTTTCCGGCCCCTGCGGCGCAGCGAGACGGCCGCTGCTGCCGCTAGGCACGGGACGACGAAAACACACCCGAAGATATATAGCGCCGCGAAGATAAGCGCAAGGGGCGAGCCGTCCGCGAGGTTTTGCATGGCTGTGTAAAGCGCCAAGCCGGACTCACTGGCAAATTGCAGGACCCAGACCGCCGCGACGGCGGCGACGCGCCAGCGCGTCGAATCGAACTGCGCGAGGAGATCACGGAGAAGTAGGAACGCGCAGAAAAAATACGGCGGCGCCATCACTGCGGCATAAACCAACCCCGGCGCCGTCATCGTCCGCAGCAGCACCTGGCCCGCGTTGGCAAGTCCCACGTCTGTCCCATAGCCATTCGTCACGTAGTTCATGCCTTGCGCCGCGGCGAACCGCGCCATGAAGATTCGGAGCACTGCCAGCGCCGCCCTCGTGCGCTTTGGAGGCCGGCGGCGCGTCTCTGGCGCCGTCGTGGCGGGGAGCGGTCCGACGAGGCCCAGGGACCGTACCAAGTTGTAGACAGGAGCCTGGTTCGTTTTAAGCTTCAGTAACTCGCTGTGGATGATCTGGACCTCGCATATATGCCCTTGGAAGCGAATGTTGACGTTCAGGTCGCGATAGCCGCTCGCGGTGGGCCCGTCGCCCTCCGGCGGATCGCGGAGCCGGTTCTTGACCTGCAGGATCTCGACGTTGTCCAGCTTTTGGAGCGCGGCACACGAGGCTTCCAGCGCCGGCAGCGTCTCCGCGACGACTAAACCGCGGCATAAATCCTTGATCTTTGCCGCATCGCCGTTGTACTCAATCTTGACCTTCTCGCGCACGCGCTCCCGCGTCTTCAGGTTGCATTCGTAGCGCGAGCCGTCCGCCACGAGACGCTGCAGTACCTCCGTCTTGAACGCTGGAAAGACCGCGGCGGCGGCGCCCATGAGCTCGTCGATATCATCGGATGCCTGCCGCAAGTCGGGCGCCTTGAGACTTGGCGGCCCGATCGTTGCCTCGCCTAAGATTTTCTTGGACGCGTCGTCGAACAGGACGGCGTGGGCCTCCATGGCTTCGATCTTCCGCGACCCCCAGACTACCGCGGCCACACAAGACACCGCCAGGAGCACGCCCAGGATCGCGCCCCCTTCCCCGACCCGCTCGAAGAGATCCAGCGACACGACCGTGAAGAAGGAGACGACGAAGTCGACCACAAGCATGCGGTCGCCGACCTCGAACGCCGCCATGACGACCGTCATAACGACCACGATGACCTTGACATGCATGGTCTCGCTGCAGAGCTTCCACGGTCGTTTCGTCTCCGGCGCCAGCTTGCCTTCCGGCGCCAGCTCGCCTGCTTCTGGCGCTACAGAAGCCATGCTGCCCACACTTCTGGTCGAGATTACCGGGCAGCCCACAAGTATGCGCGCGTTACAGCCGTCCACCGCAACGATGCAGGACCAAACGCGTTTACCGTTTCGAGCGCTGCGATCCGGCAATCGCGCAGAGCGCCGTCACCGTGACAAATCTGGAGTCTTGGTCCACGACGACGACGGGTTTTTAGCCCCCCACCCCGCACGAAACGCGCGCGCGCGGCGAAGAGTATGGCGGCCTTGTCCGCCCCCAGGGAAGCGTCGGCGGAGGCTTAACGCGCCGTATGCAGGGAGCCCCTCGCCACTCCAGCGCTTCGTAGAGTGTGCCTACAGGAGGCGAGTGCACCTGCGGCTTCGTTGCCCTTCATTGCGCCGATTCCCCGCCAACCGACGATTCGGATCATCCGCGGTCACGGAGGCGCCTGTCCACCACGACCCGAGGGCAAGCCCACGATGTAACGGAATCTCTAGACGTCGGCTGACGGGGGCTTGAGCCCGAGTGGTCGCGCCGAGGAAGAGCGACGACTCTATATCAACCACGCCACACGGCCGTGAACGTCGAACCATAGTGTACTACGGCCGAGGAACACCAGGCACCGCCTCGATATTGAAATCAGTGACGTGGCGTCGAACGCCGGCTCCTTGGCAGTCCCTTGTTCATTATAGGCGTAAGTCTTGAGTAAGTAATTGGTCCCGGAAGCCAGCACGCCCAGGACGCGCCGGCGCCGCGGCACAACGCGCCGTGCAACGCCGTGCTGGTTTAACCGACGGGTTTCGTGCCCAGAAGAGCTTCTCGGCATCCGGCGCCCTGCCGTCGAGACGTCGGCCCCGTAATCCAGAAAACGTGCGGGCTCGAGTGGCCGGTACGCCTCCCTGGTCCAGCCGAGTCGTACAACACAAACTTATTCCTCCTCCACCATCACGCTCCGCGCCGCCGCGTCGACGTCGTCCTCCCCGTCCACGAGCCACGGCGGGTGCGGCAGGCCCCGCTCCTTGAGAAACTCGACGTTGAACATCTTCGACGCGTAGCGCGCCGCGCCGTCGCAGAGGATCGTCACGACGGTGTGGCCCGGGCCCAGGTCCTTCGCCACGCGCATCGCGCCCGCGACATTTAACCCGCTCGACAGCCCGAGCGCGAGGCCCTCCTCCCGCAGCAACGCGAAGGCGACCTCGAGCGAGAACCTATCTTCAATCTCGTACTGCACGTCCGGCGTGAACCCTTCCAAGTTGGCGGTGATGCGCCCCTGGCCCACGCCCTCCGTGATCGAGTCGCCCTCGCTGGCGAGCTCGCCGTCGCGGTAATATCGAAACAAAGCCGCGCCCGGCGGGTCCGTCAGCCCGATGCGCACGCGCCCGCCCGACGCCTCCCGCAGGAACTGGGCCGTGCCCGCGAGGGTCCCGCCCGTGCCCACGGCGCAGGAGAACGCGTCGACGCGGCCCTCCGTCTGGCGCCAGATTTCCGGCCCCGTCGTCCGGACGTGCGCGTCGCGGTTCGCGACGTTGTCGAACTGGTTCGCCCAGACGCCTCCGAGCGCCTCCGCCAGACGTTTGCTTACTTTTTGGTAGTTGTTCTCCGATTTGTAGGGCGCCGCCGGCACCTCGACGACCCTCGCCCCCAGCTGTCTCAAACAGTCCTTCTTCTCCTCCGTCTGCGTCTCCGGGATGACGACCACGCACCTTACGCCCCGCGTCGCCGCGACGGCCGCGAGACCAATTCCCGTGTTGCCCGCCGTGCCTTCGACGATGACGCCGCCCCTCTGGAGTTTGCCCGCCGCCTCGGCCTCGCGGAAGATGTTCAATGCCGCTCGATCTTTGACGCTGCCGGCGGGGTTCATGAACTCGCATTTCCCATAGATGTCGCAGCCCGTCGCCGCGGACGGGCCCTGCAGCTTTATGAGTGGGGTATTGCCGACAGCTTCGTCGAACGTCTCTCTTCTTAACAAAGCGGCGCCGCGCAGCCTGTGCCCTAGTGACGAGAAGCGACGCATCGTGAGGTTGCTGATTATCTGCTTCGTGGGTGCGTGTGCACAGCACTGAACACTATCACAGCCCGGTAGGCGCTAATTAGGGCTTCACGAGCCAAGCGGAGCAAAAGAGAGCCAGCGGCAGTAAGACACTAGCAAGCCAAGCAAGCAGCGCTTAAGCCAGCGGCCAGAGGCTGCAGCGCTCGTCAAGGGACGACGCAGCCCTCATTGATCGGCCCACAAGTGTGCGCGACATTCACGGTTAGAACGGTAGCATCGGAGGAGCCCCTCGCCACACTCTACAGCCCATACACTGCTCCTGTCACGCCCGCGGCCGCAGCGACGCCAACGCCGCGATGTCCGACGAGGTCGTCAACGTGATCAAAGAAACGGCCGAGGTCCTCGCCGACGCCGTCATCAGTGTCGTGGAGGCAGCGCCCGAGGCCGTCAAGGAGGCGGCCGCGGCGGCGCCTGAAGTCATCAAAGAGGCGACCGCCGCCGCGCCCGAGGTGATCAGGGAGACGGTCCCCGAGGTCATCAAGGAGACCGTCGCCGCGGCCGCCGCGGTCGAACCCGACGTAATCGACGAGGCGACGCGCGTCTACAACTACGTGGTGACGTGCATGGCCTACGCGTCGCTCGCACTCGCAATCTGCATCGTCATCGCGTGGCGGCTGTTTGGGGCGCGCGGGGCGGCGCTCGTGGCGCCGCCCGCGCGGCCGCCGCCGTCGACGCGGCGGCGGCTGATGGCGTCCATGGGCGACGTTCCGCCCACGAACGCGCAGACGTGGCACGCGCCCGCCAAAGAAAAACGGCGAACGGTCCTCGACGCGCGGACCTTCGACAAGGATAAGTAGTATGTGGATTAGGAGGGGATAGTGCTTGTACCCCGGGAAGTCTACTTGCGGCCCTTCTTCTTGCCGTCGCGGTTGCCGATGATCGAGAGGAAGCAGTTGTAGAAGATCTGGATCGTGTTGATGTACAGCACGCGCTGCTCCGTCGGGATGAACTTGAAGTTGATCGCGTGCGCCACCGGCCAGACCGTCCACGAGCCCGTGACCTGGGTCATGAGGTCGCCCTTGATGCGCTTGATCGTGCCGTCGACGCCCTGGCGCTCCCAGAGACCCATGTAGCCGAAGAACATGACGCCGAAGATCGGGTTCCACAAGACCTGATCAATAAACACCTTCGACGCGACGGCGCCGGCGTCCGTGCCCGGGATCTTGCCGTCCAGCTTGCCGTAGAACCAGTGCGACGTCGTGCCGTGCACCAGCAAGCCGAAGGACGCCATCTTGATCGTCCTGTTCAGGTTGTACTTGCCCTTCTTCTCGATGAACTGCTGCGCTAATATGTCGCCAATCGCAAACCCCGTCATGGACGTCAGGCCCTTGATCAATAGGGGGTCCTTCTCGAGGGCCTTCTCGTAGGCGGCCCACAAACCCGCGGCCTCGGCGGCCTTGGGCGCGGGCGGCTCTTCGCCTTCGTCGTCGGCCGCTCTCCGGGAGACGTCGCGCGGCGGGCCGCCGCCCATCATGCCGCCGCCGCCGCCCGGGTTTCTGGGGACGATGCCCTTTTTCCAGCCCGCGCCGAGGCGGCCCGTGAAGCCGCCTCTTCTCGTTCCGCCGCCGCCGTTGCCGAGGCGCATCGTCAGCTGCGTCGCCGCGCCGCGCATGGGCGTGGCGGGGAGCTTGTGCGACATGAAGCCATGGGTGCCCGTGAGCGCTAGGGCGACGGCGAGGCAGCGCATGTTGCTTGGCAGTGCTGACGCTGTGGTTTTCGCGTGTCGTTGACGGGTTGTCAACGGACGGCGCTGGGTGCAGCAAGCAAGGTGCCGGGGTGAGCGTTGGAGGCGATGCGGGCCGTGAGATCTCGGGATGCTCTTGGCTTATTTTGCAGGGCTAGTGCAACCCGTGCGCGTTGAGCCGCCCGCCAACGCAGCTCTTTAAGAGCCGCACAGAGGGCTCGTGTCGCCTCGAGACGGATAGGGCGAATGCCGGCGCGTTTTCTTTTCGGTTGGCTCTCGCCGCGTCGTCGGCCCGCGCGACTAGTGGTTCTTTGGGAGCTTACTTCCAGCGACGCCGTCGGGGCAACGGAGTCGACGCGGCGCCATCGACGACGCGCCGTTGAGAGCGCAGCAATTGCTTACGTTTTTTGCGCGCGGGGTCGAGATCGTCGAAATCGCCCTCCGCGCGAGGACTCTACTCCAGGCACTCGCGGAGCACGCTCGTCGCGAGCCGCGCTTTCGCGAGCGCGTCTCCCAACAAGTCGGCCGTCGTCCCGAAGAGCGGCGCCTCCTGGACGTACTCGGCGATCGCGGCGACGTCCGGCGGCGCGTTGGCCAGCGTGCCGAAGTAGTGGCCCGCGACCGCGGCAATCACAGCGACACAAAAGACGGCGAAGGCGTCGCGCTTGCGCACGTAGATCTGCGCCGGCGGCGGCGGCGCGGCGAAGGTGACGTTCTTCTTGGGTCTCACTTCAGCCTTGGCCGGCGGCCGGGCCGGCGCGGCGACCGGCTCCTCCGCGGCCGGTGCGACGACCTCCACCTCGTTCTTGCGCGGCCGCCGCACGGATGTGGGCATGCCCTGCTTCGTGAGGCAGACGGGCGACTCCTTGCGCGTGGGGGCCATCTTGCGCGTCGACCGCGTGCGCCGCGCCGGGCCGTCGACTTGCGCCGGCACTATAACAGGTGCACCAACGTTCTTCCGCTGGACGGGCGCCGTCGCCGGCGCGTTCTTCCTGAGGTTCGTCGCGTCGAGGAGCGCCTTGGCCGGCGTCGCCCCGTCGAGCGGCTTGTAGGGCGTCGTCGCCGTCGCGGTCGTCAGGCGGCGGCGCGTGAGGACCATTGTTTTATGATTGAGCTGCGGTGTTGTCTACGCGTTTTTTATAAACCGTGCGGTGCCAGTTGCTGCGTTTAATGACGACGCTGCGGCGTTATCTAGGCCGTCGCGCGCGCTGTTTGACTTGACGTTACTGCCGTTTGCTGTGATTTCTCGAAACTGGCCGCGTGTCTTACGCTGTCCGTGTGGCAGTGCCTAGGTGGGCACTCAGCGACACTCTTAAACACACAACGCTTCCTGCCGTCACCCAACAAGGCGCAGCGTGCTCAAAAACCTGTTTGGCAGCGTGCAAAACCCGCGCAAATTGGGCCTCAGCATCGCGACGCGTAGCGGGCGAATTAACAATCGAGAAAGGCCTTACCGTCCAGCGTGGACGACTGCCAATGAAGTGTGGACCGTCGGAACGACCACATTTTACACCACGTTTGCTCGGACTCGAACAAATTTGCTAGACATCCCAGGGCGGTCAACAGCTGCGGAAAGTACTGAGTTATACTACGGTGCCGTACTGACCACAATGGCGTCGTTTTCAACGGCCAGCTTCTTCCAAATGAGCTGTAATACAGCATTAGGACAACCAATAGACTTCCTGCGCGACGTGAGTGAATTGGTGGAGCTGCCGCGGGTCATCACCGAAAATACGCGGCAGCGGGCACAATCCCAGATCATGGTGAGCGTGGCGCTCTGCCAGCGGAAGCGCGCGTACGTCCCGGCGCACCCGCGGCGGCCGTTCGACGGCGGCAGCCCGCTGGCGTCTTCATTAAAATTGCTCGTGTATGGCGCCGAGGCGCTTAAAACGGCTGCCAGGCCGCTGCCGCGTGAGGTAGTTAGACGGATTTGCTGGTACGTCTAGCCTCGTCGTTCGCGTGTTCGCTCGTTTGTTTTTGGTCCGCATAAGAAGTTAGAATAAGAAGTAAGATACATAGTAGTGATTCTTATCTTAGAAGTAGTACACACAAGACAAAAATTAATCTAGGCGGCGGCCGCGACGCCGCGCAGCAACACGTGGACCGCGTCGCCGCGGACATCTTCGGCGCTGTAGCGGAACGCGCCCGCCCGTTTATGAATCGTCGCGCGCATGGCGTCGACGGCGCTCGCGGGAATCGCCCGCAGCGCGTCCCCGACGTAGGAGGGCTCCGCCGTCGCGCGACGCATGTCGAGCATGACGCGCGACGCGTCCCGCCAGCCGCCCCAGTGGAGGGGCCAGAGCCGGTCCTGCTCCGGCGCGAAGAGCACGGGGATGCAGCCCGCGAGCAACGCGGTCACGATCGACGCGCGGCCCGGCGTCAGGCCGGGCGGCTCGACGCAGAAGGTCGCGTTGCGCTGGTGGCGCGCGGCGTCGCCGCGGCGGCCGTCGGCGCAATCATTTGAAGCGGCGCAGGCCCGCTGCAGCGCCAGGCGCAGGTTCTTGGCGTTCTCCGAGCCGTGCGGCATCGCCGCGTAGGCCCAGAGGTAGCGCCGGGCCGCGGCGCCGGGCGTTCCACCATAATGTCGTGCCGCGTAGGGCGCCGACACGAGGCGCGGGACGAGCGCCTCGGGGTGGGCGCGCTGGCGCGCCGAGAGGCGCTTCGTCTTGGCGCGCTGGAAGGCGCCGGCGAACTCCTCGTAGCCTGCGCGGGCGACGCGCGTTCCTCGATGCGCGGGCCGCGGCGATGGCGTGCCGGTGACGCCATCGAGGCGACGTGTGGACGCCGCGTGCACACCGCCGACGCTCACGCGCGCGACCTCGGCGAACTCGGGCACGACCAGCGGCGCGGCCCACCAGCCCGCGCAGCGCGGCGCGTAGGCCACGCGAGGAAAAACAAAAACGTGGCGCCGCACCGTCTCCATGTTAAGGTGGGGCAGCGCGCGGCGCCAGTCGCGCGCGCCGAGCTTCGCTAGCTTGTCGCAGCGGCGCATCCAGTCGCTCCAGTGCTTCGCCCGCGGCAGGACCGGTATCAGGAAGAGCTCCGCGTCCGCCGGGGATTCGGTGGAGCAGCGTTTCTGGAGCGCCTCCACCAAGACCTCGAGGAGGTTCGCGTTCGCGTCGACGCCGTCGTCGGGCGCCGCGTCGCCGGGGGCCCAGTCCGACAGCGTCCGCGGCAGCGCGTAGACGTACGTCCGCGGGCACGCGTCCTTGGACCAGTCGACGTCCGCCACGATGCGTTCCGCGTCGCGCGCGAAGGGCGCGGGCCTCGGCGCGGCTTGCGCGTGCCACCAGGCGAGCGACGCGCACGCGAGCACCGCGAGTGCGGCAACGATCAGGCGCGGGCGGAGGCGCTGCTCCGCGGCCTTTAGTAGGACTGATTTGTGCCGCCTGTTGCTGAGTGCTTCGTTGGTGCGGAGCTGGACGAAGCGAGGCATGTCACGGATGCTTGCACTACTACAGCATATATATGATCCCTGGCGTTTTTGCTTGGTAGGTCTTGTACTGTATACCTATCCATAGGTATGGTACCTGTGGTGCGGGTCCCCGTAAGTCCGCAAACTCTGGATATTTCTCTATACATAGTCTAAGGCTATACTCCCCTCATATAATCGGTCCGGTTGCTCACGGCGTGGGGCATTTTTTCGGGAGATGTTTCGGGTTGGCCCTCTGTGATCTGCGCTCTCCGCACCGAGCTCGATGCGTCGGGCAGCCTCCTGGAGTCGGCTATCGCACCGCGCACGAAGCACAGCCCCGCTCTCCACGGACCTAAGGCAAGATGAGCGCGACCTCCTCGGTAGACCAAGCCGCACGCCAACTCCTGGGTTCACATCATGCCGAAAACGCCGACGACGTCTCCGCGGTGAGCGACGCGAAGGCGTCGGGGGACTGCCGCCGCGCGTGGTTGGGTTCCGCCCACTATGCGGCGGTTGACAAGATGCGCCTCGACGGGACGCTGGCCGAACTCGTGGACAACGCGGGCGACGCCGGCGCGACGCGCGTGGACATCGACTGTGACGACGCGACAATTACCATCGCCGACGACGGCTGCGGCTGCGACGCGGCGGGCATCGGCGCCCTGGGCGGCCACCGCACGTCGACGCGGACCGACGCGTCCGAGCGCTTCACGGGCAAGTTCGGCCAGGCCTTCACGCGCGCCGTGTTATCATTGGGCGACACGTGCACGGTCATCTCGTACCAGGGCCTGGTCTTCCACGTCGGCCTGCTCTCGAAAAGACTCCAGATAGAGTCGAACACGCGCGAGTGCCTGTTGCCCGTCGCGAGCTTTCGCTACCCGTCGGGGTACGAGGAGAAGGTCGTGGAGGTGGTCGAGGACGAAGACGGCCAGCTCTGGAACAAAGGGAGCTTGATCTTCGAGCGCCTCATCAAGGCCAATTTGGAGAACATCCTCGCCTACGGCTGCGCGGACACCAAGGACGCGCTCGTGGCCCTCGCGAACAAATACCGGCGCGCGAACGGCCTCATCATCATCGTGTCCGACCTCGACAAGCGGGTCGTGCCTTGCCAGGCGGACAAAACGATCTACTTCAAGCAGAGCGAGGGCCAGCGAAGCAAGACGAGGGACGACGTGTATCCCTACCGGCAGGACGCGCGCCACGCGCTGGGTTGGCAGTACGTGGTCTGCTCGGGCGCCGCGGATCAATTGCCCGAGGAGTATAAAGAGCTCGCGGTGGCGCCGCTGCGGCCGAAAATAGTGATGTGTGGGCAGGAGCTCGAGGCGGTCGACATCGCGCCGGAACGGCGGAGCAGCGGGCCGGTGGTGTCCAACGGCATGGAGGTGAAGGAGATTCGCTTCGACCGCCGCAAGGCCGCCGCCGTGACCATCTTCACGCATTCGCTCGACGTCGAGGCGCCTCGCCGGAGCCACGAGGAGCGTTCGACGCACTGGCCGCACGGGCTCATCGGCCTGCGCGTCGGCAAGACGGCGCGCGCGACGTACCCCCTCCCGGTCGAGAAGGTGGGCGGCAACCCCCGCGTGGTCGACGACCTCATGGCGGGGCGGGGCGCTCTGACGCTCTTCTTCTTCCAGGACGAGGAGCATCACTCGGCGAACGAGGAACAAATTCTCGTGTCCAAGGACAAGATGGACCTCAGGCTCCCTACCGACTCCGAGGCGAAGGCTCACATCTTCTTTGGCACGCACGCCGCGCAGAGCAAGGCCATCGTGACGAGGTACGAGCGCGAGAAGAAGAAGGCCGAGGCGCGCGCCGCCGCCGCCGCCGCGCCGCCGCGCGCGCCGCCGCCGCGCTTAGCGACGCTTCTAGGCGCGCCTCTGCCCCCGGAAGGGTCGGACGAAGAGATGCCGGCGCCGCCGCCTCGGCCGCCGAAGAAGCGCCGCAAGCGCAAGCCCGCGGCGCCACCGCCGCCGCCCCTCACGAGCAAGCGCACGCGCCAGACGCCCGCCGAGAAGAGCGTCGCGAAGCGCGTCCAGCAAGCGATGGATTTACTGCAGACTGGCGCGATGCAATTTGCCGACGTGCACGGGACCGGTGCATCCATCATCTTCACCGAGCGCGACGGCACGTTTGAGGTCGAGATCAAGCGGGGCGACGACGACGACGCCACCCAAGATTGAACGACCCCGCCGAGTTACTTTTTCGAGTTGAATTGTTAGTAAGTTTCTACACGATGGGGGGCGACGGGGGGAAGGGGGGCTAATCTTCGTTCAGCGCTCAGGCCATCCAGTTCGGCGTGCGGAAGCCGGCGCCCGCGTAGACGGGGTTGGACAGCGACTCGTCGATGCGGAGGAGCTGGTTGTACTTGGCCGTGCGCTCGCCGCGGCACGGCGCGCCCGTCTTGATCTCGCCGGTACATAAACCGACCGCTAAATCAGCAATGTAGTCGTCTTCCGTCTCTCCCGACCTATGGGAGGTCATGACGCCCCAGCCCGCGCGCTTCGCGTCCTGGACGGCGCGGATCGACTCCGTGATCGAGCCGATCTGGTTCACCTTGAGCAACAAACAGTTGCAGGCCTTCTGGTCGATGGCCTTGGCGATGATCGACGGGTTCGTCACGGTCAGGTCGTCGCCGACGATCTGGACCTTGTCGCCGAGCGCCGCGGTGATCTTCGTCCAGTTATCCCAATCATCTTGATCGAAGGGGTCCTCGATGGTCACGATGGGGTAGTCGTTGCTGATCTTCTGGTAGAAGGCGAGCATGTCGTCTCCGGATAGCTTTAATGAAGTGTCCTTGTCCGCGCCAGAGGTCTTGAAGTCGAGGTCGTAGGCGTTCTCGCCCTCGACCTTGAACTCCGACGACGCCACGTCCAACCCGACGGTGCACACGCCCGAGTGGCCCGCCTTGTCGATGGCCTCCATGAGCATTTCTAATCCAGAGTCCACGGAACAGGGCGGGGCAAACCCACCCTCATCACCAATCAGCGTCGCATCGCCGCCAAATTTGGCCTTGATGACGGCCTTCAAGTTGTGGAAGACCTCGCAGCCGATGGCCATGGCGTGGGAGAAGCTTTGAGCACCAGTCGGAATCACGAAGAATTCCTGGAAGGCTAATTTGTTGCCCGCGTGCTCGCCGCCGTTGATGACGTTGAAGCAGGGCACGGGCAACGTCATGGGCGTGACGGAATTCCCAGCTAAGTCAGCGTAGTGCTGGTACAGAGGTACTTTTTTGGCCCCCGCGCCCGCTTTGGAGGCAGCTAGACTAATCCCAAGAATGGCGTTGGCGCCCATCTTACCTTTGTTGGGCGTGCCATCTAATGCGAACATCTTCTCGTCGATGGCCTCCTGCTGCGTGGGGTCCATGCCGATCATCGCGGGTCCCAAGACTTCGTTGACGTTCTTCACGGCCCCCAGCACGCCCTTGCCCATGTAGGTCGAGCCGCCGTCTCTGAGTTCCACAGCTTCATACGCGCCGGTCGACGCCCCGGAAGGGCACGACGCGCGGAACAGACCGTCCGTGGTCGTGATGTCGACCTCCACAGTAGGATTACCTCTGGAATCAATGATCTGGCGGCCGTGGACGGCCGTGATCGACGACGCGTGGCGCGAGGCCGTGCGCCGCAATAGCGTCTTCGTCGAGTGCTGCAGCATGGTGTTGCTGGCCTGTAACGTGATGCTCGAGTGTAGCGAGACTGCGTGTGCTTGCTTGCAACTGGGGGTGAGCGCTGCGAGGTTGTGCGACACGAAACCTTAACGCTCTAGCTGCGCCGTGCACTGATTTCTTCGCGCTGCAAATCAATGGCGAAGCTCGGGCCTGCAAGGCAACCTAGTGCCTTACCGGCCGCTAGCCGTCGGACAGGGTTAAGACCAGGGACGAGTCCTCCGCCCGCGGAGCGGTACAAGGACAGACGCTGCGGCGGCCCGCCCAAGCTCGGTGGGAGCGCTGCCAGGGCGCTATTGGCCCGGCTCGGCGCGAGCGCGACGCCTTCGGGCCTCCGTCGCGGGCGCAGGGATCGAGCTCTGCGCCGACGCGTGCGGCCGAGGCGTGGGGCTGCCCTACCTAGCTGCCTCTCACCTGCTGAGCCCACAGCTGCCCACCCGACGTGAGGTAGCCGTGCGAGCCCTCGCGGAACCATGGGCATCATGAAGCGGAAACAAGAGACGTTGTTACCGCCCATCTCGGACCCGACGCCGCCGCCGCCCACGCAACTCCGGGACGCGCACCCGCGGAAGCCGGCGAATTGCGTGACTTGCGTCGTCATCGCCGCACGAGATCTACGGGCCGCGGACGGCGGCTGGCTCACGCGCGGGAGTAGTGACCCCTACGTCAAGGTTATTGTCGAGAGCGTCGCCCAACAGACCACTCACAAAAACAGGACGCTGAACCCGGTCTACGGCGAACGGTTCGACTACGAGTGCGAGCACCCGGACAACAATTATGCGATTGTGGAGGTCTGGGACTACGACATGATTTCCGGGGACGACTTTCTCGGCTGTGTGGCGGTACCCTTAGTGCAACTCACGGGCCGCGTCGAGAGGCGGGGCTGGTTCGAACTGCTCGATCGGGATTATGAAAGACCACATAAACTACCTCGAGGGGATGTCGAGATCGCCATGATCTGGCGCCACGAGCCGACCTATGTGGTGGACTTGGATCCCCTGTTTTCTCTACCGGAAAAAGATAAAAAACGACCCGCGAACTGCCTGAAATGCGTCGCGTTACGAGCCATCAACCTCACGAAGCATAGTACGGGAGGCGATCCATTTTTAGAGTTGGACATCAAAGGCGACAAGGCGCAGACTCAAAGTGTAGCTAGTAGACGTCCGCGGTGGATGGAGCCCCTCGACGTGATCGCGGAGGACTGCGGCGGCGGCTACGTCGACGTGAATGTCTACGACAAGGGTCCTGTCAATAGGTTGGTCGGGTCGATACGCGTCGAGCTGGACCCCTTACAAGATAGGAAAAGCAATCGACAGTGGTACACGCTCGAGCCCCACATACCTGAGGAGGTCGACGAGGAGGCGTCGGTTGCTGAGGAGACACCCGGGGGCACAAAAATGTCAAAAGCGAACGTCCGCAAAGCCAAAGCCGCGGCCATCAAGAAGAAGATGGCTGCCCAAAGGGCAAAGGACGCTCGCGCAAAGGCGGCGAAGGAGCGCTCCAAACGAGAACCTACCAAACCGGTGATGCGCGTCGAGCTCGCTTTGAGGTTGGTCCATGATCCAGATAAAGTTCTGAGGATTCCCAAGGAGTTTAACCTAGATACGCCCGGGGCGCCGGATCTACCTCGGAACGAGTTGCGAGTCGTGGTCGTCCGAGCGAGGAATTTACCTCCCACAGACCCTTTGGCGCAGATGAAGGACCTCCAGAATGAAACGGACCCCGTACATGGTGCTATGGCCACAGCGTCGGCGTTGACATCCGCAGTGGAAGGAATAGGGCAGGTGCTGGGGCCGTCCGCGGACCCCTTCGTCGATATCGAGGTCGAGGGCATTGAAAGAAAGACAACCATCAAAAGAAGGTCATTACATCCACAATGGATGGAGCTGCTCCAGTTTCCCATTGACGAGTTGGACCACGCGTTTACGCTGCACGTGAGAGATCATAATGAACTAGGAGCGTCGACATCTATCGGACGCATCAAGTTCCCCAAGTTATCAAAGCGCCTGAAAGTCTTTGATGACGAAGCCTGGAGGGTCTGGCACGTCCTCGACTGCACGCCCGAAGAGGGCCCTCCACCGACGCCTCCCTACCCGAAGCCTAGGGCTTTTGATCTGCCGAAGATTGAATTAGCGGTGCGCTTCGTTCACAATCCTGACCTAGTATTACATTTACCAGAAGGGTGGGACGAGTGCGCGAATGAACTCAAACCGCCCAACGAACTCAAAATCGTCGTGGCACGAGCGAGAAATTTACCGATCATGGATAGACATGCATTACTACACCGAACGGGCGGGAGCACGGACCCCTTCGTGAAGCTCCACTTCGACGGGGACGAGGCAGAAACAAATGTACTGAAGAAAGACCTTGATCCCGTCTGGAACGAGGTTGTGGCCATGCCCGTGGAGTTGCTGTTGGAGGGCGAAACGTTGGAGGTCCAATGCTTGGATCACGAGACACTTGGGGGTGGCGAACACGTCGGTAGCGTACATTTGGAGCTGAAACCATTGATAGAACAACGAACTACAACGAGAAAATGGTACCCCTTCTGCAAGAAGGACGTCGAAGGTCAGATACTCCCGCCGCAAGTACCGCCTCGATTGGGCAAATTAGAACTCGCGACAAGGTGGGTCCACAATCCAAAATTAGTTATACCGTGCCCGAAAGCTTTATTGAAGGACAAACACAAGGACAAGCCGGGCAACGAATTACGAACTTGTGTCATCAGGTGTAGGAATCTACGAATCCCGGGCAAGAAGACGGGCAGGAAGGGCGTCGACCCCTACGTCGAGATGGTCCTTTGTGGCGACATCTTCACGACGAAGACGAGAGAGAGAAATGCGAACCCCAAGTTCCTCGATGTTCGTACATATGACGTGAACGAGGTCGAACTGGAGGACGCGCCGTGGCAACTCACGGTCTGGGACGCGCGCGGGGACAAAGCGCCTCTGAGTCGACAACCGTCCCGCAAGAACTCGCCGCGCGCGCCGGCCCCGGCGCCGGCGCCGGCTCCTTCCGGTTCATTGTTGGAAGATAGGGTACCTTCGCGCAATTTAATTGGGGACGCCGACGCGCCACTAGGTGAACTGGAGGAGCGGGAATTGTGTCGGAAGTGGCTGCCGCTATGCAATGAGACCGGTCAGCGCACTGGTAAAATAGAAATCGCATTAAGGTGGCTGCACAACCCGAAGAAACATGTGGAGATGCCCGAGCAATTTCATCCTACTCAAAGGGGTCTAGATGCGTTGAAGGAGCCGAACCAGTTGTTTGTCTTTATTTTGCGAGGGTCTCGATTGCCATTAAGGCCGGATGGTAGTTGTAGAGACCCCTACGTGCAGTGCCGGTTAGAGTCGCATACGCATAGTCCGCCGACCCATTCCCACCCTAGTCATCACCATACCCACACTCATACTTCAGTACATAAAACCAAAGTGAAGGAGAACTCGCACGCCCCAAAATGGCTCCACCCCATGTACTTTCGGCTGCGGCAGCGACAGCTCGACGAAGACCCCGACGCTTTACTAGAGGTCGGTGTGTATGATTGGGATGAGCAGAACTTACCCGGCGACCTGATGGGCCGCTTCACGCTCAAACTAAGCGAAGTCGCACCGGACGCGAAGAAGATATGGTACGAAGGGCAAGACGAGGAGAGGGACCCCGTGCACTCGCGCTTCTGGACGAAGCTCAAGAACGGCCCTCCCGGAGTGGCTGGGAGCGTGGAAATCGCGTTGCACTGGGCCCACAATGTGGAATTGGCCATGGTCATGCGCGAGGAGAAGTTGCTCGCTCGCGAGGCGGCGGAGGTGGCCGAGGCTCGCGTCGTCGCGGACATGGCTCAGGCCATCGAGGCGGAGACGCCTGCTTCCTTAGCGGCCCATGTGGCCATGAAGGCTAGGAATTTGAAAGGGAGAGCGCCGAACACTTTGGAAGTGTGCGTGGCGCGGGCGCGGGACCTGAGTGCTGGTCATAGAAAGGAGGAAGTCCCGCGACCCTTCGCGGTCTTAACCCCAGTACCCGACGCTTATGCGGTTGCGTCGCTGTGGACCCTGCCTCTACAACTACAATTGCAAGCGGACGAGGGCACGCTCGGCCAGCACGAGGCTCGACTGAGGAGGAAGGAATTCATGCGTGCCGAGCCTACTTGTGTCTTGCCGAATCGAGACGAGGTGACACCAGAACCCACGCCTCGGGAAGATGAGGACGAGTCGTCCGTCATGTCGGATGAGAGCGATCAGGATGACTTACATAAAACCGATAGGGTGCCGACGTGGCTGTCGCGGTCCACGTTCCGTCTACCGAGACATGGGAGAGCGGTCGACGCGTCGACGCTGTCGGTGGAAGTCTGCGACAACGCCGCAGATGATCCTGAGTTACCGATAGGTAGGGTGTTGATACCGCTATCCGAAGTACAGGAACAAGCTTCAACAGATGAAGGGCTGCGGGGCTGGCACGCCTGCGACGAGACGGGCGGCGCTTTGGATTTGTGGTACCGGTTAAGTTATGACCCGGCCTACTCGCCGGAAGAGGTGCTCGAGGACGAAGTCGAAAGTACATATCAGAAAGGGGAGCTCGCGAACGAGCTGAAAGTTGTTGTGGTCGGTGCGCGCGTACGAGCGCGCCAGGTGCCGCCGCCGCCACCTTCTCCTATTGTGAAAAAGAAGAGAGGTAAGAAAGCACCACCACCAAAAAAGCCCGTGAGCGGCCTCGAGGTGTCGCTGGCGTTTCTGGGGAGAGATCGCGTCACGCGCATAGCGCCCTTCTCTACCGGAGATGAAGGTCAGATGAGAAATGCGTACCATCGCTTCGACACGCATTTCGTGGCCAAAGACGTAAGGGACTATCTGGACGTCACTTTGGTGGAGCTGGAGCACGACAAGCGTATCGAGAAGGGCCAGGCTCGTATATATATGAAAGATCTAGCGCATCGGAGGCCTACGAGAAGGTGGCTGCCCGTCATCCTCAGTACGCCGATGGGCGACGAGGTGAGCGAGGTGGAAGTTGTGTTGCGGTTGACGCATTCGCTGGAGTTGGCGACCTTTTTATTACCTGATCCTATTCAGATCGATGTCCAACAGTTGACCTACGAGGACCATCCCGAGGTTCCTGAGAGAACTAGAGCTCACGTGTCCACCATCACGGTGCAGACGGATCCCCTGCAGGATCCTTCGGTCAAACCGCTGGGCGAGGCCTGCGGGCGCTTCGAAGAAAGTACTGAGAGGACTAGTGAGTGGAGTGGCGGGACCATCATCAAGACACATAAGGACGGGTCCTTCGACATCGACTTCGAGGATGGGTCTCGGGAAAAAAGAGTACCCAGTAATTGTGTGGAGCGCATCCCCACGGGCAATTCGCCAAAAGTAGCGACCTGGGACAAGCCCGCCGTCGCGCCGCTCGGTGTCAGTGATGTGGTCCGAGCGAAACAAAAAGTCTGCGTGTGCGGATTTACGCGGAAGCAGCACGCGCCCGATCTGGACCCGTTTGCGGTGCCGCGCTGGTTCTACACGCCCGAGGACGGGGGAGAAGCGGTCGGCCCCCACAATTTGCGGGAACTGAAAGATTTGTGGAAAGCAAAGACGATCAATAATGATTCGAGACTGTGGCGGGAAGGTCTAAACGAGTGGACGCGCATCGACGAGCTCCATGCGCTCAAAAGGATTCTCTGGGACTACCCGGCGTTACCCGAAACGTCGCCCTCGAAGAAGAGTGGCTCTCGCAATTGGTTTGTGGACATGGGTCAAACAACCGCTGGCTTCGAGGGGGCGCAGGTCACGCCTCGGGCTTTACCTGATTTAGGTGAGGTCGTGCCCGACTCGCCCGTCGAGGACATCGATGCGGAATTGGCGAAGCTGCGGGTGCCCGAGGCCGAGCCGTCGTCGGACGAAGAGGTCGACGTCGGCGACGAGCTAGATAAGGCGACGCCTCGCGACGATGTAGAAACAGGTGCAGCGATCATCGACGGCATGCAGGGACCTTTTAGTGCCGGGGAACTGCGCGACGCGTACGAGACGGGTCGGCTCCAGGACGATACGTTATTGTGGAAGGGCCCGGGCCCCGAATCCGGACACAGGGACGACGCCTTTGGGCCGCTCATGGACAAAGATAAATTACCGCTCTGGGGCCGGCGCCAGGCTTGTGGATGTGTGCAACTCGAGCAGGTCGACGTTTCAATGGCGTGCGAACTCTGCGGCAATCTGGCCACGGTCCACTCGGTAGATGCTTTACCGTTACAGTTACGGGAGGGCGACGACACGCCGCTCGACCGGAACCGGCCTCCTAGAATAATTTGTACGGAAGCTAGAGCGGGCGGCTCGCTCGACGCGAAAGAACTCGTGGACGGGCGCGTCTGGGTCTCGGGCAAAGAGGCCGAGAAGGAGCCGCTGGCCATCACGCACGTCGTTAGAGTGTTGCGCGAAGCGCCTGAAAGGCCGCCGACGCCGCCCTCGAAGCAGAGACTCGATCTCGCGGACGAGGAAAAAGTCCGAGAGTTGGAGGGCTGGGAACAGCGCCTGTGCCAGCACGACGCCGACAAGTATGATGGGAGCTTACCAAAACAGCCGCCGCGAAAGGTCGACGCCGAGGGTGGCAAACACCTCGCTTCTGGCAGGAGCTGGACGGTGACGCCGGAGGATCGGGAGGCGGACCTATCGACCTTTGTCATCCTGAAAGATGAAGATGACTTGACAGATGCTTTGAAAACGTTCGCGGACTATGTAGATAACATCAAGGCGACGTGGACGGCCGCGAACCCGGCGCGCATTTTGATCGTAGATACGCTGGACGAGAGGCCCTGGAAGGGGTGTGTGTTGGGCGCCGCCTATTGCGCCAGGGAGGAGGGCTGGAGCGGTGACGAAGCGTTGAGGTTCGTCGGTACGAGATGTAGCGAGGCGGGCGCGCCCTACGCGTCCGGAAAGGAGTTGGAAGAAGATATCCCGAGCGACTGGTTTGGAGCATTAAATAGTGTAGCACAGAAAACAGAAATAGGCCGCCTCTTCTGCCACGACTGCTTCGAGGACTGGCGATACGGGGCCATCGACGACGTCGCGTCCACAAAAGTGGCCGCGGCTATTCGAAGACTGCGAGCTAGGGATGATGCCCTGGAGGTGCTTGATTTACGAAACGAGGGGCCTTTGGGGTGGGAGCTGGCGGGCGTTTTAGGCGCCGCGGCGGGCCATTCTATCACTCTGGTAAGTTTGGACGTCGCGTCTTGTGAGATCGGTGATCGAGGCTGCGCGGCGCTGTGCACGGCGCTATTGCACGGCACGGCGGGCGTCGGCGGGTTATCTTTGGCTTTTTTGGGATTGGCGAACAACAAGATCAAGGACGCGGGCGCCGACGCGTTAAGTGCACTACTAGCGGCGGGCGCCAAGGCCGCTAGGCGGCGCGCGGCGAAGCCGGACTTGCTAAGGCCAAATGACGACCTCGTCTTCGAGGGCGGAAGCTGCCCCTTGACGGCGCTGGACCTGAGTCACAATTCCGTGAGTGGAGACGGCGCGCGTTCATTAGGAAGGGCCTTGCGGTACCACCAGCTCCTCGTGGCGCTAGATTTAGCCTCAAATCATCTCGGGAGTTCAGGAGGCGTCCACATCTTGGATGCTTTATCTCAACCGGACGAGGAAGACGTGCTGGCAGCGCAGGCGTACAAGGAAAAGGAGTACGACGTGGACTCGCTTGAAGAAGGTTCCTCTCTACATTCCTACGCTTCGGGCCTCAAGGAGCGGGCGGAGAAGGCCATCTACTACAACTGCACCCTCACGCAACTGAATTTGGCGCGGAACGCGCTAGGCGCGGACTGTGCGGAGGTCCTAGCGAAGGTTTTGAGGAGGAACCAATGTATTTCTTCCTTAGACCTGTCGGACAACCCGTTATTGTTTGAACCGCAGCATCTGACGGACGAGACCTATGTGGGGATCTTTGGCGGGACAGATGTCAACTATCAGACAGGCGAGGAGAAGGACCCCCTCTGCGCGAAACGACTGCCGCTGGAGTGCTTCGACATGCTGCGGCTGTATAACCGGTCGGTCTTAAAGTTGGATCTGAGCTTCGTCGAGCTGGACGAGGACGCGTGCTTCGCCATCGGAAGGTACTTATCATATAAAGAATGTGCCTTGGTGGAGTTGATCTTGAGCTGCTGCAACATCGATGCTAACAGAGCAGAAGTTATCGCGAACCAATTGGCTAAATCCTACGAGGCGCCCACGCTCGTAGCTTGGGATCTCTCGCGGAACCCGCTCGGCGACCAGGGCGCCGCGCACTTAACAAGTGCGATCGCCGTCGCGCCCATGAAGGCTCTTTCCAGGTTATCAATGGCGCAGTGCCACCTCGACCCGGAAGGTTGTGCTTGTGTCTTCTCTCTGCTAGATTCTAGATTATCAGCAGTGTGCGACGTGCACGACCACATCCTGGGCGACTCCATTGATATGATGGAAGGTGCGACAGTGACGGACTCCCTGCTCAAAGCCAAAAGTAGTGGAGTTATACTACAAAAAGAGCCGGAGGTGTACGTGCCCAAGGACGAAAGTGAATCTGAAGACGAGACGAACAGAAGTGAGTCCGAGAATTCGTACGACGCGCACGCCTATGATCGCGACGACCCGCCTTTGCCTTCCTCCGTGAATTCTCTACCTAGATCTATCCAAAGGAGGTGCGCGCAGCACGCCGCCGGGCCTCATAGGCAACCCTCCAAAGTACCCACTGCGTCCATTTTGAATCGGACGGCGAAGCCCAAGACGGCCTACGGCACACTCACGGCGCGCGGCGCGAAGCAACGGAAGAACGCGCGCATGGGGTCGCTGCGGGACGTCTTCCCCGAGCTTGGGTTGCGGGAGCTTGATTTAGGAGACAATTTTATAGGAAGGGACGGCGTCTCCGTGTTATGTAGTGCTTTACGGGCTAGATCCTTCGAGGAATCCCCCGTTCTGTTGGAGGTGCTGCGGATGTCGAACGCGAGACTGGGACCGGGCGGCGGCTACGACCTGGGGCAAACGCTCGCGACGGGCGCCTTACCTGCTTTAAGGTTGTTGGACGTCTCGACGAACGCCATGCAGGACACGGGCGCGGCGCAATTGGGGCGGGCCCTGCGAGCCTTACCGGCGCTCCGGCGGTTAGACCTGTCCTACAACAACCTGACGGACGCCGCCGACACGGCGCTCCGGGCCTACCTCCGGACGGCGTCGGAAAGCACGGACGCGCAGAAGATGCTTCCTTTGGATATTGACACGCGGGGCAACGTCTTCGACGAGGGCTTCAGCACGAACGACCTAGCTAGAGCCAAGGTCATCGGCAAGTACGCGGCGACGGCGTCGCACCAGCAGCTGCCCGACGACCCCTTCGTGCGGACGAAGCCGCGCGACGACCACGCGTTCCTTCGCGGTTTCACGAACGTCGAGGGCGCGGGGTCCCTGACCCTCTCCGCTGGGTCGGCGCCGCTGCCGAGGGATAAGGTGTGAGTTGTGTGATTTTCCTTAGGCTTGCTGGACCTATCGATGGGGTTGAATACCGTAGAACTGGAATGCCCGCACATCAGCGCTTGCTAGTGGCTTACAGGACGCTGGCTCGACTTTTCAGCTCATCAGCTGATGGGAGAAGCACCGGAACGTCGGCGCAAAGCGCACCCCGGGCAATAATCGTGATCAATAGCACGCTTTTGCGCTGTGTGCGCTTCCGCAGCGAGCAGTCGTGCGCAGGAATATTCATTCACAGCAGCCTCTTTCAGCAGGCTCCACCACAAAACATATTGCGAGGCGGGGGATACTGCTCCAAAGAATTCGGGAGGCCGCGCACGACAGCAGCTGCCATGGTCGACAATTGCTGGGTCTGCACCGTCGAGATGCACGCGCGCCGAGGCGCCGAGATCACCTGGATCTACCCGGAAGAGGACGCCAGCGCCACGCGCCGGGCGGTCTTCGAGGCGGAGCTGCCCTTCGCGTGCCTCGGCGAGGCGTCGTCGAGCCGCGCGCGCGACGTGCGCGACGCGGCGGCGACGCGGTTCGTCGTCGCGAGCGGCGAGCGGCGGTACTTCGGCTGCTCTGCGTCTCGGACGGACTGCGGCGACGGCGCCGAGCGCGGCGCACGGCAGCGGGCGGTGGCCATCGTCGCGGCGACGCCCGTCTTCGACCTGCTGGCGGAGAAGGTGCTAGTCCTGGCGTCGCTACCGCCCGACGACGACGACACTCGGGCCTCGCTGCGCGCGGCGCAAGCCTCCGTGGCGAAGGAGGCGTGCGGGTCGCGCTACGATGACTTCGCCGCCGCGTGCCCGTGCCGCGCGGTCGTGAAGCGGCTCGGCGCGAAGGCGGTCGCCGACACAACGCTGGCCGCGGCGCTCGCGGCGAAAGTCGTCATCTACGGCGCCTCGCCCGCGAAGGCGAGCGAGTGCTGTTTGGCGCTCGCCGCGCTCCAGCCCGGGCTGGTGTCTCTGGGCCTCACCAGGTCGCTTGAGGACGTCAACCCGCGGCTCCACGTACACGCGTTCCGGTGGCGCGCCCGCGGGTTCCCGCTGCTCGACTACGCGGCGTGGCCCGTCCAGCCGCTCGCCACGGTGGCCACCGTCGATAGGTACGCGCCGGAAGGAGCGTTGGATGGCGCGAGCGACCGCGGCTACTGCGTCGCGACGTGCGTCGCGGCGTCCCAGGAATTTTCGTTGATTCTTCACTTGACTCCTCGATTGCGCGGAGACACGCCATCGCCGCGGCGTCGTCTCAATGCCATATCCGCGCAGGACGAACGCCATGGTCGCCAAGCGGCTCGCGCGGCACGCGGACGTGATCGTCGACGTCGACGCGGGCACGGTCGAGCGGCGCACGCCGCTCGCGAAGGCCGCGGCCGCGGCGGCCGCGAGCGGCGCGGTGGCCGCTGTCCTGAAGACGCACGCCGCCGCGCCGCTCTACTCGATCGCGTACAAGGGCGGCGACGCCTGGACGCGTAGATGTGTTGAGGACGCGCTCCACGCCGCGCTGGCCGACGCCGCGCCGCCGCCGAAGACGTCGCTCCTCTCGCGGCTCCGGGGCTCCACAACAACGTGGGGCGACCTCGCCCGAGCGGCGCCCCACTTCCAGCGGTGGCGGCGCCGCGCCCACGCCGCGGCCGAGGAGCCCGCCGCCGAGGCGCCCGTGTTCACGGAGACGTACGAGGGCGAGCGCGACGAGTTCGGGCGCCGCCGGGGCCGGGGGCGGTGCGTCGCGCCGGACTACACCTATGATGGCGAGTGGGCCGAGGACGCGGCGCACGGCCGCGGAGCGCTGACGACCTCTACCTTCAGCTACGAGGGGACCTTCCGCGACGGCGCGTTCCACGGGCGGGGCCGCTGGCGGAAGGCCGACGGGTCGCGCAGCTACGAGGGCGAATTTGAAAGTGGCGAGTTCCACGGCGCGGGCAAGCTCGAGCGCCGCGCGGACGGCGACGACGCGGGCGCCTGGACCTCGTACGTCGGCGAGTGGAGGAGGGGAAAGCGCCACGGCACGGGCACGTGCGTCTATGCGGACGGGTCGACGTACTCGGGCGAGTGGAGAGACGGAGAGGCGCACGGCGAGGGCGTGCGCACGCGCGATGGGGCGGTCTACCGGGGCCAGTTCGTCGGGGGCTTGCGGCACGGCGCCGGCGTCCTCACGACGGGCGAGGGCGACGTCTACGACGGCGTGTTTAGGGAGGACGCCATGGCGCCCGACGCGGCGTTCACGGTCACCTACGCCGACGGGAGGAGATATGGGGGCCGCGTCAAGGACGGCGTGCCGTCGGGGAGCCACGGGATGATGAAGTACGCCGACGGCTCCTTCTACGAGGGCGACTTCAGCGATGGATTAAGATCCGGTAAGGGCACGCTCTTCGAGGGGCCGGACCTCGCGCCGCGGACGGGCGACTGGCGCTGCGACGTGCTGGTGCAGCTGCGGCGGCCGTCCGACAGCGGCAGCTCCATCGCGCCGTCGCTCTCGAACTGGCGCAGCCTCGACGACGACGACGACGCGTTCGCGTCCGCGTCGTCCGAGGAGGACGAGCCCGTGGCGATGCCGCCGACGCCGCCGACGCGGCGCGTGTCGGGCACCTTCGACGAAAGGGAAGGCGCGTCGTCGGCCCTCGCGCCCTCGCCGCCGCGGGCCCACGAGGTCTCGCGGCCGCCGCGGCGCGGCGTCGCCAGAGTGCGTTATACGAACGGAGACGTGTTCGAGGGCGCCTTCGCGCGCGGGCTGCGGGACGGCCGCGGCGTCTTCGAGGAGGCGCTGACGGGCCATAGGTACGAGGGGGACTGGGTGCGCGGCGAGCGCGACGGCGAGGGCGAATTCGTGTCGGGCGACGGCGCGTTTCGCTACAGCGGGACGTGGCGGAAGGGCCGCCGCGCCGGGCGCGGCCGGGCGGAGATTCACGGCAGCACCTACGAGGGCGAGTGGAAAAACGATGCGTTCCACGGTACTGGAGTCTTGGTGGACACCGCCGGGAACCAGTACGAAGGCGAGTTTCAACAAGGGCGCAAGCACGGCTCCGGCACGCAGACGTATGCTGATGGGTCCAAGTATAGTGGGGAATGGCGCGACGGCGTGCGCCACGGAACGGGCCACCTCGTTGCGCGGGACGGGAGCACCTACAGCGGCCAGTGGCGAGACGGCGTCCCGAGCGGCGAGGGGACGCGCGTGGCCGCGACCGGCGCGACGCACCGCGGCGTGTTTGCCGACGGCAAGCCGCACGGCTGGGGCGTGGCCACGGAAGACGGCGTCGAGCGCGAGGGCGAGTGGGACCGCGGCGCGGCCCTGGAGGACTGCGACTGGACGCTGAAGTATGATGATGGAAGAAGGTACGCCGGGCTGCTCAAAGGGGGCGTCCCCCACGGTGAGGGTGTCATGAAGTGGGCCTCGGGCGAGTCCTACGCCGGCGCGTTCGTCGAGGGCAAGCGCGCGGGCCGGGGCATAGCTGTCTTCGCGGACGGCTCGGTCTACGACGGGCTGTGGCGCCACGACCACCCGGCGCTCGTGGGCCAGGGCAAGCTCACACGCGCCGACGGGAGCGTCGTGTTCGCGGAGCCGTCGCTGCCGTAGATATGTGTTGTAACTAGTTCTTGTTTCTTGTCGAAACCCGTTTTGCAATGAGTTGTTTTGGTTGCGGGCGCAAGCCAGAGTTTCAGTTGTCTATAGCAAACTTCCCGTGAAGGCGAAATATTCACGTTGCCACGGCGACAATCGTGTCAGAGATAAGCAATCGGTAGCTGCATTAGATTAAGGCTATCCGTCTTTGCACTGAAGACTTGCAGTAAGCCTGCGCGTCTTGGAAAGGAGCGAGCCGACGATGAATAGGCGCGACGGCGGCGATGGCGGTCGCGATCTCAAGCGACCGCGCCACGGGTATGATCCCAACGGCCGCGGCCGCGCACCTCCGCGGCACTACACGCGCCAGGGCGGCTTCGGCGGGGCGCGCGACCCCCCTGGCGCGCCTCCGCGGCACTACACGCGCCAGGGCGGCTTCGGCGGGGCGCGCGACCCCCCTGGCGCGCCTCCGCGGCACTACACGCGCCAGGGCGGCTTCGGCGGGGCGCGCGGCCCCCCTGGCTACATGTATCAGAGCGGCCCGCCCGGGCCGCCCCCTGCTTACGGATATGCGGGCGGGCCGCGCGGGCCGCCGCAACCTGGCTACGGGAATGCTGCGCCGCGGCGACCGCCGCCCCCGCGAAGGAGCTGATGCCATCGACGAGGCGGCGGCGCGCTCGATCGGGAGCTTCACGGGGCAAGGCTTGGCGAACACTTTATGGGCCTACTGCGTGCTGGGCGTGGATGCTCCTGCCTTCTTCGCGGCGGCGGCCGAGGCCCTACCTTCTCACATCGATGCATTGTCGAAGGACTTTGCGGCTTCTTCTCAATTGTATCAGGTGTTCTTGTATCTACAAATCGAGAGCCCCCATCAACGGTTGTTACCTGTGTTAGCGGAGCATCGACAAATATGGCTCGACGCCTTCTGGAACGATAGCATAAGACCGTCGCAAAGTCAGTTGGGCGTGTCGCACGCGTTGAATGTTTTAGGTTGGGATCACGAGGACGAGCTCAGGACGGAAGATGGTCTCAGTCTGGACATGGCCCAGCCGTCGACAAAGACGGCCGTGGAGTTCGACGGGCCAACTCATTATCTACAAGGGCCCGACGGTCCGTCGGTCGACGGCCGCACGGCGTTTAAGAGGCGGTTGCTCGGGCGGCTCGGCTGGACGTGTGCGGCGGTGCCCTACTTCGAGTGGGACCCATTACTCGCTTCCGGCGCGACGGAGCCCTACCTGCGGGGCGTGCTCGCTCGGTTGCGGAACGAGTAAGTTCGTAGTCTTCGCGTTGCCCGCGCGGCACTTTCGTTGTTGGCCCCGCGGCCGTAGTCCCTGAGAACTAAATTAATCGCATCATCGAGGAGTCACCGTAAGTACCACCAGGTACCGATAAAGGTACCACGGTACCTCCGAGGCGCCGCGATAAAAACTCTGCTCGGCGTGCAGCTCTCATTTATTGCTCATTGTGAGCGTAAGTACACTGCTGCTTTTGGCGCAAAATCAAGTGCTGGTTGCCCAGCGCGCGCAACTGGCAGCGGGAACAGCGGCATCGCCCAGAGCAGACTGCAGCTCCGCAGCGCAACTAGCTCCGTAAACGCCGGCCGCAGCGACACAAAACAATGCGTGTGCTCCGCGCCAAGGCCGCGAGGAAGGCGCTGCACTTCTACAAGGTGACGCACGGCATCCGCGACCCCTACACGTTGTTAGTGGACGGCACGTTCGTGCACCACGCGCTCGTCGGCGTCAAGACGAACCTCGCGTCGCGCGTCGAGAAGGTGCTGGGGCGGGACGTGCGCTACGCCGTGCCGGGGCCGGTGCTGGACGACCTCAGGAACCGGGGCGAGGCCGGCGCCGCGGCGCTGGAGTTCTGTCGCCGGCGCTGCCGCGTCATCGCCACGCCGCGCGCCTGCGACACGGCGGCCAAGGCCGTGCTCCATTTAGTTGGAGAGGCCAACGGCCAGAAGTTTGTGGTCGCGACGCACGACCGCGCTCTGCAAACCGCGCTCCGCAGGGTGCCGGGCGCGCCCCTCCTCTACTTCAGCGGCACGGTGCTCAACGTCGACGAGCCCTCTCGCGCGTCGCGGAGCGCCGCGGCGCGCCACGAGCGCGTCCAGGGCCGCTTAACGGACGACGAGTTCCGGGTCGCGCGCGCGATCCGGGCGCAGGACCGCGTCTCCAGTAATGTCGTGGCGCCGCCGGCGGCGGACCGCTCGAAGAAGCGCGCGCGCGCGCCGAACCCGCTCTCGTGCCGCAAGCCCCAGAAGGCGCGGAACCCCCATTCCGAGGGCGGCGGCGACAAGAAGCGGCGCAAGCGCCGGCGGAAGGCGAAGGAGTAAGGTACTTCTGGTGTAGAGTGGTATATACTAGTATTTCAGTTATACGACCACCCTACTACTTCTTCGCGCCGATCATGTCCGACACGAAGCCGAACGAGTCGGCCTCCTTCGCCGGCGCGCCCATGAAGGCGAAGCCCGACGGCGAGTCGCCCGGCGCGGCCGGCGGGATCGCCGCCGCGCGGCCGGGCATCATGGGCGGCGCGGCCGTGAACGACGGCGGGCCGCTCATCTGCTGCTGCCGGAGCCACTGCTGCTGCTGCCACTGCTGCTGCTGCTGCCACGCCTGCTGCTGCTGGTACTGCTGCTGCTGCTGCCACGCCTGCTGCTGCGATTGTGGCGCGACGAAGGCCGGGCCCGTCCGGCCGGCCGTCGCCGCGTGGTACTTGTCCTCGCGCGTGAGCGGGAGGCCCGTGAGCGCCGCGAAGGGGTCGCCGCCCGGCGAGACCGGCGATTTTGGTGTTTCCTGGGGCGGCGGCGGCGGCGCCGCGGGCGCCGCGGGCGCGAGCTCGCCGCTCCCGAAGACGTCGGCGGCGGCGGCCGCCGTCGCGGGGAAGGCGTCGGAGACGGCCGTCGAGGCGTCCGCGAGGCCCGCGCTGAAGGCGTCGAGCAGCGACGGCGGCTCCTCCGTTGTCGCGGGCGGCGGCGGCGGCGACGTCTCCTTGACGCTGAGGTTGCCGAAGAGGCCCGCCGGCGCGGGCGGCGCGGGCGGCGGCGCCGGCGCCGCGGCGGGCGGCGCGGGCGCGCCGCCGCCGAACTCGTCGAGCAGCGACGGCGGCGCCGACGCGGGCGGCGCCGCGGCGGGCGGCGCGGGCGCGCCGCCGCCGAACTCGTCGAGGAGCGACGGCGCGGGCGGGTCCGGCTCCGCAAAGCCGCCGAGCAGGTCGGCCTCCGTCGACGCTGGCGGCGGCGCGCGCCGCGGCGCCGCGGCCGGCGCGTCGCCCGCGACGCCGAGTGCGGAGAGCATGCGCCGCGCCTGCTTGCGCAGGGCTAGATTCGACGCCGCCTCGAGCCCCTGGAGGTCGTCGGCGACCTCGGAGAAGTAGCCGAGGTGGTGCTCGCAGCCGTCCGCGCGGCACAGCGCCTCGACGACGGCGCAGGCCTTGGCCCGCGACTGCCAGGGCTTGGCATCATCCAACTCCTCGAGTAGCGCCGGCCCGACGGCGTCGGCGTCGAGCGTCGCCGCGGCGTCCACGAAGGCCTGGAGCTTGTCGGCCGGCGGCGCGGCGCGCGTGCCGCCCGCGCCGCAGAGGTCCTTCACCAAGTGTCTCTCGTACTCGCCGTCCGTCGCGGCGCCGCCCGCGCGGCCCGCCGCCGACGATTGAGTTGTCGTATGCGCTTCGTAGGACGGCGCGCTCTGCCTTGGAGGCGGCTGGGGCGTGTTCGTGTTCCCCCAGCCGCCGCCCACATTCCCGCGCCGCCGGTCGCCCCAGTCCTGGCTTGATGAAGAAGAAGGCGCCTGGAAGGTCCCGCCGCCGTACGCGTTCGCGCCCCTATTGGAAGCGTAGTTGTAGGACGGGTCGAACGACTCGGTGGACGAGGTCCCGAACCGCATCTTCTGGACGGAGTCGGCGGCCTGGCGCGCGCCCTCCTGGACGCGCTCTTTCCAAGAAGGCGGCGCGTTCCGCGCGTCCCCAAAACGCGGGTTTCCGACGCCCGGCATCGATCTGTGGGAGCTGAACTCGGCCGAGCGCCGCTGGTCGCCGCCGCGATACCCCGAGTCGCTCTTCTGGAGGCGCGACGCGGCCTTCTCGGCCATTTGCGACGCCATGCGCTGGGCCTTGGCCATGTACGTCGTCGGCTCGGCTTCCGGAATAGAATTGCCGAAGCCCTCCATGCGGCCCCGCTGCGGGGGGTAGTTCGCCGGGCCATCATTGTAAGCATCACCACCACCGGAAAACCCCTGCATGCTCTGGGCGGGCTGCTCGTAGTCGTCGCTCGTCAGGGCCTCGATGGCGTCCTTCGCGGCGACGCGCACCTTGCGGTAGGGCTCGTCGCCCCGCAGCGGGTCCGGCGGGCCCGAGAACTGCTGGCAGTCTTTTATTACTGGTAACCTTCTAACCATCTGCTGCTTGAACTGCGGGGCGCCCTTCTCGGCGACGTGGCGAATCACCACGAGCGCTTTCAACTTGACGTTCGCGTTTTTATTGGAGCAGCGCTTCGCGAGGTACTCCTCGACCTTGGCGCACACGTCGAAGGACGCGCGCGTCATCTTCGCGATTTCGCCATATAAATAGCCGGGCGTCGGCCCGTCGTCGGCCGACGTCGCGCGCGCGAGGAGGCCGCGGTCCATCTTTTTCTGTGTTTTTCTTTCGGTGGCGCGACGCGTGCGCTGGGTCGCGTCGGCGCGGCCCGCCGCAGAGCTGGCTGGTCACCCTTTGTGCTGTGAGGCGTTCTCCCCCGGCGACCGACGGCTGGCAGAGGGCTGGATCAATTGCGCCGATATCCGACGCTGATCGGTTGCGAGGCCTACCCGCACCCGCAGCCGATAATTCCAAGGAGATGAGCCCCAAAAGCAAATGTCTGAGTCTCGACCAAGTCGTCCAAAAAGCGATCCCGCGGCGGCAGATGCGTCGTCGACGGCGTCCCTGGGGAGGAAATGGGTCCGGTCCGGCGGTTAACTAGCGTGTCGACACACTAGCTTTGGGGAAAAGGGTTGAGCAACACCGGCTCAGACGCGTGTCGCCGCCCAGCCCTCGCAACGGATCGCAACGGAGGCTCCTAGCACTGCGCTGCGCGTGTGAGCTTCAAAAATCGAAGAGCGAGACGCCGCCGGCCCGTCAGCAAGCGCCGCCCCAGACTGCTGGGCTCAAGCGCTCCACCCGCGCCCGCGCCGCGCGCCGCCGCCGATCAAAGAAGACCAAATCAGAACCATGTCCATCGGCAACCACGCCTTCGTGGCGCTGAGTTCGGCGCTCATGACCGCGCAGTTCCTCACCGCCACCCAGGCTAGAGGCTGGGTCGTGCGGTTGATGGACCGCGAGCCCATCGTCTTCTTCAGTTGTTTGCTCGGCACGGTGGGCTGCGGCATGTGCGTCGTCGTGCCGCCGGTGCGGAAAGCCCTGGGCATGTCCACGTCGCAGATGGACGGCGCGCCCGACGCGAAGGGCCACTAGGCGTTGTGTACAGGTAACTTAACAATATTAGGGGTTGGAGGAGGATGGACGCGGGTGGCTGACGCCGCGGTCTCTCAGTCCGCGACGTCGGCCGCCGTCGCCGAGAATTCGCGCCGCGCGGGCTCACGCAGCGGCGGCGCCTCGTTCGACGGCACGTTCTCGACGACGACGGGGGGCTTGTCGGCGGTGCGCGGCGGCGGCGGCTTGGCGAACGGCTCCGGCCTGGGCGGCAGGTTGGGGGAGCCGAGCGGCCGCCGCCGCGGCGGCGACGGCGGCGGGCCGAAGAGCGCGTCCATCCCGGCGATCTCGGCGTCGGTGATCTTCGGCTGAGCCATTGGCGTCTGTTGTCTGTTACGCTGCCGCGGCGCCGCGCCGAAAAAAATTGACAGCTGCTCGAGCGCGAGAAGAGGGCTGGCGTACGCGCTGGGCGACGCCCTAGTCCGGCGGCTGCGCTGGTGCCGCGCGTAGGACGAGGACTTGATGCCACTGCAGCTGGCTCTCATCGCAACAGTCGAAAAATGAGGGGCTATCCGTCCGAGGCCTATGCTCGCCTCGGCATCGCGTGTCGAGACACGACTTGAGCAAGTTCTGGCTCCCCGTGGTAGGCTCGAACGAACTAAGACGCTTAGGCACTACCGCGCGCCTCACGACACGGAACGAAGGTGTCCTTGGGTGTCGAGCCAATGAGCGGCGGCAAGGTAGGCACCGCCACTCGCCGTGAGTGCCTCGATAACGCGGGCCCGGTCCGCCGTTCGGCGGTACCTCGTACTGAGAAGCTCGAGCAGAACGTCGGCCTGGGCCGTGTAGTCCGTCACGGTGGGCGCCGGCCCGGCGGCCTCCATCGTCGTCGTGGACTCGGCCTCCATCTCGACCGGCTCGCTCTCGGCCGGATCAGTGGCCCGAGGCAGCTGCGCCAGGGCGTCGCCGTCGTCCTCGGCGTCGCTATCATACTCCACCAAAGGGACCTTGCTCGCGGGGGACTTCGCTATGCCTTCATCGTCGTCCGCTCTCTTGGGCGGCGACCGCATCAACGTGCCCACGGACGTGCCGTCGCGCTTCGACTTCGTCCCACGCGGCTGCACGCTCGGCTCAGGGCTCGGCGGAGCCAGGCCCGGCGGCGGCTGCTGCTCGTCGGTCTCGTCCGGCGGCGATGGCGGTGGCATGCCCTCCTCCTCGGGCAGTGGAGGCGGCGGGTCGCCTTCCTGTGTCGCGTCGTCGTCGTCCGCGGTGGGTGGCTTGCTTGCGGTAAAAGCCGAGGAAAACCCGTTTTGATTTTTGTGATTTTGTGTCTGCATTCCGATCCAGGGTAGCAAGTAAACAGAAAAACCGGCCGAGCGGTCGACGACCAAAAAATCTCTGGCTAGTATGATATATATATGGCTATAGTAACATGTGCATATATATATACATATATATATGTACTACTAAAAAAATTAATGAGATGAATGGGTCTACAGGGCCACTCAGGAAGTAAATTTTTCCGATGTTGCCCGTACCCTCAGGTGGAAGTTTGAGAGATATGATGTATCTTCAGACACAAATGGGACAAATGGGGATGTGAGATTCCCGGGCCCACAGAGGTATGTCTTGGGGGCCTCTGGGGCGAGGCCTAGACGGGTCTTGTCGCTGCTACCAGCGCCCGTGCTACGACGGAGGAGATGCCAAAAAGCGCCTCAGAGGCGAAATTGTTGGTAACCGAGATTGTTGCGATTCCAGAGATATAGATGTAAGCCAGATATCTCTGCCAACACTGACTCAATAGCTCGGGTCGCAGTACCTTGCGGGAACCGAAGCTAGCAGCCCTGGGTTGGCTCTCAAATTAAAAACGAGCTCGACAGGGGCCTCTGAAGGAGCGCGTGACCGTGAACTCTCGAGCCCGGGACGAATGCGGAACTGCCTGGGCAAATTTTTAAGGATGTAATGTAGTCAACGTGGTGCGGTGGGGCCACGTAACGTCTCCCATGCGGGGCCTCCCCCAGTAGATCGTCAATCGGTTTTTCATCCAAATTGCTAGTAGGTCATTGACTAGCTCTGGGTTGCAAGACTTTGGGCTCCAGCGCTAAAAACTAAGCTGCACCGCAGCGAATCGCAAAAAACAGTCGAATAGCAAATATATAATACATCAGCAGCCAGTGCGGCGCCTCCACATCATGGCCCGCACCGGCAGGGTCCGCAAGGGCCGCACGCGCCCGGACAAGGTCGGAGACGTCCACCCGTGCCGCAAAACGATACTCGACGACCCAAAATTCATCCTCATATTCGGCATCCTCATGAACATCATAGCTTATCAGCTGTTCGGGGGCATCGCGGTGCAAGACCAGCTCGGCGCCTTCGCGGTGGCCATGGTCAACGCCGTCTTCTCGCACCCCATGTTCGAGACCCGCTTCGACGACAGCTACAACATTGGTTTTTTCGTGCGGTCCCGGGTCAAGAATTTGTACGCCAGACGCATGGTTCTTTGCAGGTCGCGAGGTTGTTCTCGCACGGTTTCATACAGTCGACCGAGTTCATCGACGCCATGATCGAGGCCTACGACGAGTCGAAGGACCGCAACGTGAGCGTCGGCTACGTCGGCGTTGCGAAACTGTTCATCTACTTCGGCATATTAGGATACAAAGACGGCACGCTCGACAACGACGGCTGGGCGCTCAAGCGGGTGAACTGGGTCATCGAGCGCACGTTCGGCCGGAGCTACTGCATCGCCGCCGAGCACGTGCTGCTCTTCTGTTTGAACATCGTCCTCTCGTGTCCTTTTTTGTGGTCCTGCACCTACAAAACGCTCCTGGCGCACTGCTTCTGGGGCGGCTACTCCTTCGCGGTAAAGCCCCTCCTCAAGGGCCTGTTCACGGCCTACATCGACACCTACGAGGACCGCGCCGTCGTCCCGCAGTGGGCGAAGTTAAGAAAAGCTGCCGAAGAAGAGAACCCCGCACAGCTCCAGGCGGCCTTCGTGCCGCTCGCGTCGGCCTTCGACACGTCGTTCACCTGGAAGTACAACCAGGCCGGCTTCAAGCTGGTCGAGGATGCCATGCACAGCGCCGTCGCGGAGCACATTGCGTCGAACTTGAAGCTCCTGCCGACCATCCGCGGCCTACGAGCCGGCGGCGTCTTATGTGTCCAGACGGCGCCGACGATCAAGGACCACCCGGGCCTCAAGATCATCGTGCCGCTGAAAGCGTCGGACGGCAACCTGTCGGGCCTCGAGAGCGCGTTAAATCTGGACGACATTAGGCGCAACCTGTCCAGCGGCGTCACCCTCGGTTTAGTCGCGGCGCACACGTTCGGGGTCTGCGGCACGATCTCCAAGGGCCTCCCTAGCTCGATCACGGCCCCGCGCGTGATCACGTACCTTAAATGTTCCTTCACGAACCTAGGAACGAAGCATGGGGCCTCGACGTCGCTCATGGCCTCGGTCCTCTGCAGCGGTGCCGTCGTCGACTTGACTGGTACTGTTAGATTGAAAATGTACCGACCCGGCCAGCACCACTCCACGGACCCGCTCCCCGACGACGTCCTGACGCTCTGGAACGACCGCTCGGACGTGTTGCGGGTCAACCGCGGGGCCTTCGACGAGGTCGTCGAGCTCGCTAGTTCTTCTATGTCGGTTGATTTGCCGGAGCGCCTGGAGCAGTTCGCCCAGGGCCAGCAGGCCATCTTTGAGTTTGCTTTATTGGTGGGCAAGCAGCTCCGTGAAGTGAAAGATAAGGCCGACGCGCCACAGCGCTTCTTAGCCAAGTTACGCGAGCTCGTCGCGCGCGGTGTCTGACCTCTTCAGGAATCGATCGGTCGACGCGTGCGGTCGATCTGACGCGCGTGCGGTCGATCTGACGCTGTTTTTGCGCGCAGGAAGCGTCGGCTGCTGATAATAATTTGAAGGGCGTCGGGCTGACGATTGGCTTCTGGGCGGCAGCTGAAATCCGATCGGGCAGCAGCCCCGACCCCCTCCAGTGCTTCGAGACGCCGGTGCCCCAGATGATGGAGGCGTTGTCGGGCGTGGGCATCCACTGCGTCGACGCGAATATTGATAGAGACGAGTTCATCGATAAATATTTGGGCGGGTCGACGGGCGCTTCGGCTGCTCTTGATAGTTTGGCGATTTTCGTCCCGGACAGGCACCTGACGCACCCTACACCAGCTGGTCTTCCTAGACAATTGCGGAGCGCCGCTTATAGAGGCAACATGTTCCGTGCTGATGGCCTGTGGGAAGCCCTCGTCAAGGCCGGCGGCGACTTGACCCTTATTAGAGATTTAGATTTGCGCCGCGTGTATGAGCCGACGGGCGAATATGCGACGAACGACTTCCCCCCTTATAACGAGTACCAGGTGGTCCGCGTCGTGACCGAGGGCCCGGAAGGCGTCACGTACCGGACGACGGAACAGGGGCACCCTCGGGCGGCCGTCCTGGCCGCGTCGACGCTCGCGCGGGACCAGCAGGCCGAGGTGGACTCGCGCGACGAGCTCTACAAGCACTTAGACGACCACGCGCTCGCCGAGCTGTGGCGGGCGAACAAGGGGCGCCTGCCAAAAGGAGCGGTCACGTCTGGGAGAGGCGGCCCTAATCCTACCTACGACCGCGCCCTTTTGCTGCGGAAGTTGCAGGAGGCCGGCATCGCGCCCGATCCGCCGACGGGCGACGAGGCGTAGGTTGACGCGGCGGGCGTCGCCATGCTCTCGGTGGCGAGGCCTGTTGTTGTTAAACTTCGTAACAATCTTAAAAATAGAACAAAACCACACACGAGCCTCAGACGATTGGACGATTGTTCTCAGAGCGAACAACGGAGAGCTCATGGAGCACGGCCTCTTCCTGCGCCTCACGACCGTGCAGGTCGGCGAGGGCGCGAGGGCGTCGCCGACGCTGTTCACGCTCTGAGTAAGTCCTACAGCCGCTAGCTACGTTTTCCTTGGGAGCCGGATAGAAGTCCGCGAGGGCCGCCGGCGCGCCGCGACGGGCGCCGACGAGCGCCGACAACCGGCCTCGGTGCAGCAAGCGGTCGCGTGACTACCCGGCGGGGCTCGTCGGGTGCAGAGGTCGTCGTCCAGGATCCTCGGATCATCATATGACGAAAAACCCGGGCACACAGAAGGGCAAGTGCCGTAACAGAGGCAAGAATGGCTGCCATGCGCCTCATAATCCTGGGCGCTGCTGCAACTCATGGCTTAATTCCGACGCTGCGCTCGACGCGTGCATCTGTCAGCTTGAAAAGCGTCGCGGAGAAGGCGAACTATGCAGTAGTCGGCTGCGGCTTGCATTGCACCGGTGTCGCATCGCTCAAACGCCTGTGATCCTTCGACCCGTTCGCGATCGCGCGTCGTCGCCGCCGCCGCCGCGCGCTGCAGGCTTTCAAAGTCAAAGAAACGCCCACTGCCGCAAACGCGGACGTCTTCCGCGCAGGCCCGCTCGCGGCATGGGCTGGTTCCACGGGTTGCAGCTCGTCGAGGGCGAGTGCGCGTCGGCGAGATTATCAGATGTCGTCGAGCCCTGGTTCCTCGGGCCCGGTAAAGATTCCGACGCGGGCGCCGAGTTCGACGCAGGTGTGGTTAAGGAGTGGACGGACACGCGCTTCAGCGACGCCATTTCGGATCAGACGTGGTCGACGGCGGGGCCCGGGCCCAAGTTAGCTTTAATAGCGGGGCGGACCGTGGACAACCCGGGCTTCTTCCGCCAGGCGCTCAAGGCGGGCGCGACGCACATCTTGCTCGAGAAGCCCGGCGCGCCGTCGGTAGCAGAGCTCGAGGCCATGGCCGCCGAGGCCAAGGCGGCGAACGTGCCCGTCTTCATGGGCTTCATCAAGAACATCAGCCCCTACTTCACGGAGGCGCTCGAGGTCGCCAATGGGAACCCGGGAGCTCTAGTGACATTAACGTCTAGAAACGACTACGCGAAGGAGGACCTGGCCGAGTGCTTCGAGCGGAACGCGGAGGGGCTCCTCAAGAACATGGCCATCCACGAGTTGGCGCTGGCGGCGACGTTCTTCGGCATGCGCGCCGACACGATCGTCGACGTCGACACGAGCGGCTGCGACGAGTCGGCGGACGGGTGTGATTTGATGACGTTAAATGATTTCCAGGACTTCCAGCGCCTGGACTTCGTGCTGACGAACAAGGAGGGCGGCAAGGTGCGCATCGTCGCGGACCGCTGCGGCGGCGACGAGTGTCGGGCCATCGTGACGAAGGACGGCGAGGAGCTGCTGAACCGGGCCATGATCGACGCGCCGCGCCAGAAGGTCGTCGAGGAGCGGATGAAGGCGCACCCCGACTGGATCGGCTACCTCATCACGCAGGAGCCCGAGTACCGGGAGCTGAAGGAGCGGTGCGCGGCCGCGGCGGTGCGCGGCGAGTTCCCCGAGGGCGTCGCGACGATCGAGATCGCCATCGAGGCCCTGAAGTTGGCCGAGTACCTCACGCCGCTGCTGTCGGCGCGGCTCGGCTGACCTTGATCTTGCGGGCTACTACTACCCAGCGCGCCGTGCCGCGCTAGTGCCCCGTGAATCGCGCTCATCCCATCCTCGCGAAACTCTTGTACTACGTGTCGTCGTCGTCGTCGTCAAAGTCCGAGTCCCCGTAGCCGTCGTCGCTCGACGACGGGTCCAGCGGCACGGGCGGCACGGCGGGCGCCCGTCGCTGCGCCGGGCTCGGCGGCCCCGTCGTCTTCGCCGGCGAGAACTCGTCGAAGTCGTCGTCGCCGTAGCCGTCGTCCGACTCGGAGGCCAGTTCCGAGGCCGACGCGCTCGGCGCCCGGGCCAGCGCCGCGGCCTCGTCGCGCCGCCGCGCCGCCTCGGCCTCGGCCTCGGCGCGCGCCCGGGCCTCGGCGGCCTCGCGCTCCCGCCGCCGCGCGGACAGGGCGGCGGCCTCGCGGGCCTTGGCCGCGGCGTAGTCCTCCGCGCGGCGCCGCTCCTCGGCCGCGCGGCGCTGCTCCTCGGCCGCGGCGCGCTGCTTCGCCTCGAACGCCTGCCGCTTCCGCTCGGCCTCCTCGGCCTCCAGGCGCCGCGCCTCGGCCGCGCGGCGCTCGGCCTCGCGGCGCCGGCGCTCGGCGTCGCGCTTGGCCTGCTCCTTCGCGGCGCGCTTCCGCCGCGCCGCCTCGCGCCCGCTCTTGCCGCGCAGCGCCGACTGGAGCGCCACGGCCGAGCTCTTGGCCACGCCCAGGGCCTGCGCGCCGACGCGGCACCGCCAGGCCGCCTGCACGCGCACGACGGCCGCGAACGCCTCCTTCGTGCGCGCCGTCGCGGACCGGCCGCGCGCGCGGCTCTGGAGCGCCGTCGCCGCCTTCGCCCGGCGCGCCTCCTCCGCGGCCCGCTCGGCCGCGAGGCGCCGCTTCGCCTCGGCGCGCGCGGCCTTCTCGAGCCGCGCCTGCGCGAGCCGGGCCTTCTCCTCGCGCTCCTGGGCCAGCCGCTCGGCCTCGGCGGCGCGCTGGCGCTCGGCGAAGCGCTCCTTGGCCGAGGCGGGCTTGGCCGGCGGCGCCGTCTCGATCGCGCGCGGCGGCACGGCGTCGACGGCCTCCTTCTCCACCACCGGCGCCGACGCGGCCTGGCGCTTGCGCAGGCCCCCGGACACGCGCGGCCCGCCGCCCGGCGGCGCCGCCGGCGCGCCCGTCGGCGGGCCCGCGCGCTCGCGGAGCTTCGCCGCGCCGTGCGCGCTCACGCGCAGCTCGAGCTTGCGCAGCAGGCCCTGCGTGCGCACGAAATTTTCCAAAGTTTCGTGGTTGCGCAACCTATCTACGGTCGCCGCGTCGAGGACCAACACGGACTCGCCGTCGCCTCTGGTAGGATCGTAGGCCTTGACCAGGAGCGCGTGCGAGTTGCCCCGCGCATTTGATGGCGCCACGACGCTCACGAGGCACGCCGTCGACGCCGCCTCGAAGCGCCACCACGACGCCATCATCACGCGCCCGTTCTTGAAGGATGCCTCTTCTTTCGGACGGTGTGGGATCACGGGCGGCGGCGGTACGACCTTCTTCTTGCGCCGCCGCGCGCGCCGTTTGATCATGCCGCGCGGCGTCGTGTTGAGGGAAGACAGGTCCGACTGGTACGAGTCGTCGTCGCGCGCCGCGCGCCTTCTTCCGCGTCTCTGCGGCACGCTGCTCTCGTCGTCCGACGCGCGTTCCGCGGCCCGTAAAGCAGCTCGAACACACCGCGAACACCAGGCCGCCAATCGACCCAAAGCATCTCCGGCCTCAGAGTCAATGTGCTCGAAGGTCGCCGTCGCGTCCAAACCGCCCGACGCGAGCAGGCGCGACAGCGCCCGGGCCTTGAAGGGCGGCACGTCGCTCTTCGCGTCGACGGCGCGGATCGCTCGTAACATGCCGTCGGGGTCGTCGTCGAAGGCTCTTATTACAGCGTTCCACGACGCGTCCGGCGGGCACCGGTCGCCCCGACACATGAGCGTCAGGGCACATGCGCCAACCCTCCTCGCGGCCTCGTTCGGCGCTTCGTCGAGCGACGCGATGTCCTCGAGGTCGTCCGCGGTGAGGTCGATGGCTGAAAGCTCGGCGCGCGCGAGCGTCACGCCCTGCAACGGTCGTCCCTTCTTCTTGCGCATCTTCTTGAGGCCCGGCGGGGGGCCGCCCATCTTTATTTGCGGGAGCAAGGGCCCCTCGCTCCGCTGCAGTCTCTCGAGCTTATCGACGATCTGCGCTCGATGGCGATTCTGGTGCTTCTTGGCCTTTCGAGGCGGCGGCGCCACGTAGCTCCGAGCGTCGGGGTCGGCGTAGGCGCCCTCCGTGCTCAGCTCCACGAGCTTCTTCTGGCGAGGCGGCGCGCGCTTCTTCCCCTCGAGCACCGGCTTGAACCTTTCTAAAGCGGGGTTGTTGTTCATGGCCGCGAGCTCCGGGTCGCCCCGCTCCAGCGGTAACTGCGCCTGCGCCTCCCGTAGTTCTTTCAGCTGCGCGTGGGCCTCGCGGACCCAGTCGTCGTTGACGTTGGAAGGTTGGTTCGCGAACTGGGGCTTGGGGGTCGCGGGCTTCGGCGGAGTTCGACTTACGACTTCTTCCTCCTCCTCCTCCTCCTCCGGTTGCGGCGAGAGCGCGTCGAGCGACGAACCCTGGTCCTCGATCATCATGTCTAGTGACGACGGGGCCTTCGGGTTTCTGTGGGCTATGGATGCCCCCACCAGCAACGCCTCCGCTCGTCGTAGTCGCGCCTGCTCGGCGTTCTTGGGCGGCGCGTCCTCGGCGTCGAGCTCCGCCGCGCGCAGCGGCCGCGGCAGCATGAGCGGGTTGTTCCGCAGTAGTCTTCGAGGCGTGCCGATGGCCGCGACCAACGCCTCGGACTCGCCCATGAAGTCCAGGTCGTGGGCCATCTTCGCGAGGTAGTCCTCGTCCTTGTAGGCTAATGGAGCGTCGGGGTTCCGGCAGGCGTCCCTATACTGCTGCGCCGCCTCGCAGACGTGGCAGGCCGCCTCCCTCAACTCCCGCAACAGAGCGTGGCTCTTCGGTCGTAGGGAAGCGGCCTCGTCGGGGTTCGCGGTTTGTAATTGCGTCCCGAGGCTCTTGAGCTGGTCGACCAGCGCCTCGCGGTGGCCGCAGAGGTCGCGCGCCCGATCCAACCAGAGGTCGGCGTCGAGCTCGGCCGCGTTCATGCGCGCCTTGTTGTGGGGCGTGATGGGCGAGCCGAGCATGGTCGTCGTGCTATTGCTGGGGCTGCCCGAGCTTGGTTTACTTGGTTCTTAGCTGCGACCCAAACGTCTTTGTGTCTGCGGTCTCCGCGTCCTGCGATGCACCTTCGTGAATTCCTTGGCTGCCCTCGCGGCCCAACTGGATAGCGCGACCCGCGGCACCAGCCAGCAAACCCTAACCACCACTGGTTGGTTACCACCCCAGATCGACCCCCTACTATTTTCCTACTCCTAGTGCCCCCTGCGTGTGCATTTAAAAAGACCGCGTGGACGGGTTCCGGCAGCCGCGGGGAGGGCTGGGAAACGTCGGGCGCCGGGCGCAATGACCTCTCGACAGAGCAAATTGGCTGTACATTTGGCCGGTCGCGGGGGAAGAGGGCAGTCAGTCCTCTAGAAACAAACCCCCCGCGAGCCAACCCCGAGGCAGAAATATCCCCGGGCGCCCGCGCCGCGCGCCTCAGATATGGCATCTGAACAGAGCAAAAAAGCCAATACTGGCGCCGACGAGCGCCCGGTCACCCTGGCAGACCTGCCGGGCGACGTCCTGGCCCACGTCGCCGAGCTCACGGGGAGCAAGCTGGGCGACGCGCTCCCGCGGCTCCGCGCGACGTCGAGGGCGCTGGCGGTAAAAAGCGCCGAGTCAACCTTCAGCGCCATCGATGAAATAACCCGCCCACACGCAGGTCACGCAAGATCTAAGTAGGGGCGTCGCCAAGTTCCTGGGCCTCGCGCTGCCGAAGAAGAACGGGCGGCGGACGCGGAGTCAATCCGAGGACCCCTGGCGCTCCCTGTGCAACGCTCTGAAGCGCAAGAAAGAAGCCCTCAAAGCGAACCGGGACAAGGAGGTCTGGGCGCTCTGGTTGCGCATGCACCGGAACGACTGTTCGACTTACTTAGCTCGGGCGCTGCGCGAGGACCCAGGAATAGTCCACCACGGCCTCGACTTCTTCGCGGGGCGGACTTTGCTATTTCTGGCGTCGTGGCGCGACCGCCCGAAGTGCGTGAAGATGTTGCTCAACAGAGGAGCCTCGCCCGAAATGACCGACGACCTCGGCTGCTCGCCGCTCATCGTGGCGTCCTGGGCCGGCGCCGTCGAGGCCGTCGGCGAGCTCGTCAAGAACCGGCCCGCGCGGCGCACGCTGCTGTGGCGCGGCGAGCCGCCGCAGCAGTCGTCGTGCGGCGGCCGCGCGCCCTACACGGCGCTGCAGTGGGCGCTGCGCAAGAGCGGCGTCGCGACGTCGTGGCCCGAGAAGGAGCGCTTCGGCGCCGTCATGGAGCTCGTCGAGGAGGCGATCTTCGTGCCGCTCGCGGGCGAGGAAAGGATTGGTGGGGGCTTCGTGGTGGGGTGAATAATGGGCGTGCATCCCTTCATTCTAACTCCGATGGACCCTTCTGCCGACGGCGCGAGGACGTCGCGCGCCGTCGAGAAAAACGGGTTTTCCATGCTGGTTACGACGTACTACGAGCTAGCCTGCCGCCCGTCGGCACACACATCGGCCTCGCGTCTTATTCGTCGTCCATAAGGCGTGGTAGTGCTCGCCGTCCCCTCTTGTCGCCGGCGGAAAACAAAGGCTTCGCCGCAGCGGCGAAACGGCCACCTCTCTCACCGCCAAAGAGATGGTCCAGGTCACGAGCGCCCTGCTGGCCATCGCGGCGGCGGCCGCGAGCCTCGCCGGCGGCGCGACGGAGACGCCGGCGCCGACGCTCGCGCGGACGCTCGCGTATTTCAAGCCGGCGGCGGCGGCGGCCGACGAGGCCGCGGCGCCGCCCCCCGCGCTCAGCAAGCTCACGCAGGCCGTGACGCCGGCGCCCAAGGAGGTTCCGGCCTCCAAGGAGGAGCCGAGCGCGGCTGAGGCTTATCTCGAGCGGGCCAAGGCGTTCGCCGTCGAACACGGCAAGGTGCTCGGCGGCACGCTGCTCGCCCTCGTCGCGGCGGTGCTCGCCCTCGGCGGCAAGAAGAAGGCGGAGACGAACGGCTCCCGCGTCGCGGCGCCCGTCGCGCCCGTCGAGGTCACGACCTGTGTGGAAATCAAATTTCGGGCGCCCCACGCCATCGACGCGATGGTGTCTCCGTAGCTGCGTCTGCTCGATGGCGTGGAGTTTTCAGGCTAACCTAACTCACTCGCTGATTTCCACACAGGTCGCGACCCCCAAGGAGACGGCGCCACCGCCGCCGACGCCGGCCCAGGTCAAGCAGGAGCGCAAGGAGCTGCTGGGGCGCGTCCGCGCCGTGCTCGAGGCGAGCGGCTGCGACGTCGACAAGGCGCGCAAGGCCGGCAAGAACATGGTCTTCGTCGCGGCCGAGTGCGGCAACGTCGAGGCCCTCGAGATGCTCGTGAGCGCCGGCGCCAAGATCGACGCGCCCGCGACGACGGGCGAGACGCCGACGCACGTCGCCCAGGCCAAGGGCCACGCCGCGGCCCACGCCTGGCTCGTGGCGCGCGGCGGCGTCGCCACCGCGCCGGCGAAGAAGAAGAGCTCCTTTAGCTTCTCGCCCAAGAAGCTGTCCCCCAAGAAGTCGCCGTCCAAGTAGACGCGTCGCCCCATGCTACTAACTATATTACTCACCTCCGTTTTTTGGCCTTCTTTTTCTTGGACTTCTTCTTCGCCGGCCGGGCCGCCGCCGCCGGCGCGGAGATAGTAGAAGGCGCGGCCGGCACGGAAATCGTAGCCGGCGCGGCCGCCCGCTCGGCGGCGATGCGCGCGAAGCGCTCCCGCAGGTCGTCGGCGTCGTTCACGTCCAGCAGCGCATCCACAAACCGCTCTCCCTCAAAGTCGCGCAGGTCGTCGAGCGTCTCGCCGACGCCCACCAGTTTCACGGGGATGCCCAGGTCCTGCACGACCGACACGACAAAACCCGCTCTAGCTGTCCCATCCAACTTCGTCACGGCGAGGCCCGTCACGCCGACGTCCTGCTGCCAGCCGCGCGCCTGGTCGAGCGCGTTGCGGCCGACGGCCGCGTCCACCACCAATAGCGACTCGTGCGGCGCGCCCGGGATCTTCTTCTCCAGGGTCCGTCGGATCTTGTCGAGTTCGGCGGTCAGCGCGCGGTTGTTCACTAGTCTTCCCGAGGTGTCCACGATGACGACGTCGTAGTCGCCTTGTAATGCCACGTCGCAGGCCTTGTACGCCGCGGCGGCCGGCGACTCGATACCTTGGTCTGGTACGACAATGTCGACCTCCGCGCGCGCCGCCCACTCCTCGAGCTGCTCGACGGCCGCGGCCCGAAACGTGTCGCAGGCCGCCAACAAAACTTTCTGGCCCGTTTCGGCCCGTAACCGTCGTGCCAATTTCCCGATGGTCGTCGTCTTGCCCATGCCGTTCGCACCTAATACAAGGATGACCGTCGGGCCGGCCTCGGCGCTCGTCAAGGAAGAGGGACCGCCCGCGCTCAACGCTTCGGCCATGCGCCCGCGGAGAATCGCCGTGACGTCCTGCTCCGTGTAGTCGCCCTGGGCTTGGGCCACGCCCTTGACGTCATCTAAAATCTGGTCCGTGGTCGTCGCGCCGATGTCCGCGCTCAGTAAGGCGTCTTCGAGCTTCTCGAGCGTCTGATCCAAGGACGCGCCCTTGACGTCGAAGATGCCCCGCAAATCACTCAAAAAATTCTGCCGCGACTTTTCCAGGCCCTCCGTGAACTTGGCCAGCGCCAACGAGTCCTGGCGCGCGCGCTCCTCGAAGAACTTCGAGGCGGCGTCGGCGGCCTGCTCGAAGATGTTGGCTTTTTGTTGCACGGTGCGGCGGGTGTGTTGTTGCGTAGGTTGGCGCGGGACGAGCGCCGTCGCCAGCCCAAGCGTCCAGGCGAGGCGGCGCATGGCTGGGTTGATGTAGGCTTATGTGTTGTCAGTGCAACCACCGGTTGTGCTATTGCTGCAAGTCGCTGCGGCGTCGTATCTAGATGCAAGGGCTTTCACGTGCACGGGTCTCGTGCAGCTGTAATGCAGCACAGGCGGCCGGCAGGCAGCATCGAGCTGGTGCCAGCACTGCTAGTGTCCATATGCCGCTAGCTGGCCGGCAAAACTCGGCGCTTAAGGCTTTTAGGGCGTATACGGCACCTGTGTGTGCGCGCTGAGGCGCTGACAATATTCCTGGAACTCGTCGCCAGACGCCAGCGCGCGCGCCTGCCTCTCCGGGCCGCCCGCACAGCTTATTAGGCCGCAGGACTCGCCGCGGCGTCGCGGCGTCGCGCGCGGCCGCCGCGCGTCCCGCGCACCGCAAGCAACCGCAAACAGCGCCAGCCACGCATAGATGAACGCCGCGTCGGCCCGCGGCGCCGCGCGTTTACCACCGGAAGTGAACCGCATTTTGTACGTGCGGAACCTGCCCTACAAGACGGAGGAGGCCCTATCCACCGAAGAAATTTATGATATTTTCGGCAAGTACGGCGCCATCCGCCAGATCCGAATAGGGAACCGGCCGGACACGCGCGGGACCGCGTTTGTCGTCTACGAGGACATCTACGACGCGAAGAACGCGGTCGACCACCTGAGCGGCTTCAACGTGTGCGGGAGGTATCTGATCGTGCTCTACTTCCAGGCGGCGCGCATGCAGAAGCGGACGGAGTCGCTCGAGCAGAAGCGCGCGGAGCTCGAGGCCCTCCGGAAGCGGGCGAACGCATAACTTTCTTTCTGTCATAAGCGTCCGAGCAGCGGTGGCTTCTTGCGTGCGTGGGTATTCGCCTAGAGATGTAAGGCACTAGCCAAAGCTCAGGATCCAAGAGGACTCGTACGCCAGCGGAAGCACGCAGTTAGTAAATAGGCATCAGGAATTTTAAAAAATGATGGCCGGCCGCCGCCCTGCTGTCGCGTTTCTTTTGGCTCTCTTAGCCACCGCCACTGCTTTGCAGCCTCCTAAGACAATGTCTGTGCGCTGTGCGGGAAATGAGCCACGAGAGATCACCCGTACGCCAGCGGGCAGAAGCAGGAACACTGTCGCGTCGATGGCTCCAAACGATTCGATGTCCGCACAGGCCGCGCGCGCCCGTCGCGCCCGAGGCGGGCAAGCCGACGGGCGAGAAGGAGAAGATGAGCGCCTGGGAGACGTACACCGACGGCGAGTACGGCCAGGCGTTCAAGTTCCCCTGGGAGGTCGAGGCCTCGGACAAGACGGCCATCGGCCACGTCATCCCCATCGTCGCGACGCTGGCCATCCTCCTGCCGGCGCGGATCAACGCCGGCCTCGACCTGCTGCCCCACGCATAGTAACTACATGTATTTTTAAGGTGCGAAGTCGCGGAAGTGCACGAGGTCGTCGCCGCCCGTCCGCGACAGCGTCGCTTGACGCGCCCGCTCAAACGTCGGCTGTAAATACGTGGCCGCGGCGCTCTTGATCGCCGGCGTCGCGGCCCGCTCTTTTTTCTCGTTGTCCGACTCCCAGGCGCCCGCCTTGCGGCCGCCGCGCGCCTTGGAGTAGACCGAGGACGCGGCGTGCGTCCTCAACGCATCCTCGGGCGCTAAACTCAGCCCGAAGTGCTTCGGGAAGACGTAGGCCTCGAGCGCGCCGGGCATGGACGCGTAGTCCACGAGCAAACCACGGTCGGAACTCCCATCGGCGTCCAGCGCCGACGATGTAAGCATGGCGAGGTGCGCCGCGCAGTAGTTCTCGGGCGACGTCCGGGATGCCTTCGCGGCCGACTCCGCTTTCAATATTTTGATGGTCGCCGGCGGCGGGCTCCGCCGCTGTCTGAGGCAGGGCCCGTTGCCGACGCCGTTCTTGAAGTGGCTCATCATTGTCTGCACGGGATCCCTATAAACAAACAACCACGGCGTCTCGGGAAAGGCATCCAAGAGAGACCTAATGTTGGGGACCGTCGCCGACTGGAACTTGAAGAATAGGTGCGTGTGGTAGTTCGTTGGGGACGCGCCCATCAAAGCTATCAATTTCTGGAGGATGTCCGTCTTCCGCTGCTTACTACAGCTCCGGCAGTGGTTCAGGACCGCGGGCGGCGGCGCCGACTCGGAGTAGACAATATTCGTGGGCACCGCGGCGAGCATGTTCGCCACAAGAGTGGAACCGACGCGGCTCTCGTGAAACACAAAACCCGACGGTTTGACCGGTTTAATATTTTTCTTCCGCATGTCCTCATACAACGTATTGAGCGTTCCGGCGCGGCCGCGGCCGCATCTCGAGGCAGACGCGAGGTCGCGGAACATCGGCGTCTTGCTCGGGTCCCTCCAATAGGTATCGAAGGCGAGCTTGCAGAGCGACACGCGCGGGTCGCCGTGCTCGACGCCGGCGATGGACACGGGCGCCCAGAAGCGCGGCGGGCAGCCCTGCGCCGGGCAGCCGCTCGCGGCGTCCGGCTTCTTGAGTGGTGCTTTCGGCTTCGGCGGCTCCGCGGCGAGCGGCGCATCATTCACAGCGTGCTGCGCGTGCGTCGTGTAGAGCAGGCCCAGCGTCGCCACGGCCGCGCCTGCGAGGAAGAGCCGCAGCAGCCAGGCGAAGGAGGCGCCGCGCGAGCGGGCCATGTGTGCTTGCCGCGCCTGAACCAAAGCCGCAGCGCCCGGAGGCGATCGCGAGCTGCGCAAGCGTCCTACTGCAGCGATGCCTACACAGCCACCACTTTGAGTCGACCTAGCTCGAGCTAGTGTCTTACACGACGCTACCAACACGTCGCGCAGCCTCGCGCTTAGCCGAGGGAGCCGTAACCTTGCACCCAGATTGCATCCTGTCATCCAGCTGAAGCAATACTTGCACCCAGAAGCCAGATCTGCAGCCCAGCTGAAGCCATGGACCAGCTGACCGAGCCGGCCACCCTCAAGGCCGCGGCCACGCTAATCCTGCTCTACAAGGTCGCGCTCCCGCTGCTCTCCGGCATCTACGCCCACTTCCTGCGCCCCGGTAAAAAGTTAAGGAAGTACGGCCGCTGGGCTGTGGTGACGGGCGCGACCGACGGCATCGGCAAGGCCTTGTGTCTGGAGTTCGCCAAGCAGGGGCTGGATGTTGTGTTAATAAGTCGCACGCAGTCCAAGCTCGACGACGCGGCCAAGGAAATTGAAGAGAAGTTTAACGTGGAGACCAAAACCATCTCCGTCGACTTTGGGGGCGGTTTCGATACGACAAAACAAAATAAAGTAGCCAAGGCCCTCAAGGGCCTGGATATCGGCATCCTCGCGAACAACGTGGGCATGTCCTACCCCTTCACGAAGTACTACCACGAGTTAAGTGACGAAGAATGCGCGAACCTCGTATCTCTCAACACGGAGTCGACGCTCTTCATGACGAAGCTTGTACTAGGAGACGAGACCCAGGGCATGGTCGCCCGCAAAAGGGGCGCCATCGTCAACACGTCGTCGGCCGCCGGCGTCCAGCCCTCTCCCTTATTGGCTGGTTACGCGGCAGCGAAAGGAGGCATCGTGCAATTCACCAAATCTTTGGCCTGCGAGCTCAAGGGTCTGGGGATCGACGTCCAGGTCCAGACGCCGCTCTGGGTGACGACGAAGCTCGCCAAGATCCGCAAGACTTCATTAACTGTGCCCTCTCCGTCCACCTACGCGAAGCAGGCCGTCAGGTTCGTGGGCTACGACGTCGCCTGCTCGCCCTACTGGGCCCACGCTTTGCAACTGTCCGTCGCCGATCTACTCCCTTCGTCGTTGCTGGCCGCGGCCGTCTTCTCGATGCACCGCGCGATCCGCAAGAAGGGCCTCAAGAAGGAGGCCGCCAAGGCCAAGGGGCAGTAGTAACTTTTCGTTTACTCGCCCTCCTCCACGACGGCGACCGTCGCCTCGTTCGCGACGCCGCACGCGTTCCCGTCGATCGCCAATCTCAAATAGCCGTCCTCGCCCCAGCTCGTCGACCACGAGTTGCGCACCAGAAACCAGCCCCCCGCACTGTCGTAGCCCACCAGCTGGACGCAATGATCAATATCATTGGCGCCGTTGCCGCCGCACGCGTCCGCCGTGAGCACGCCGCCCACGTAGTCGTCCCAGTGCTCCGCGTTCAGGCAGACGGCGATCGGCGCGTCGTGCAACCGCAGCATGAGCTCCGTCGTGTTCTGGTCTTCACAAGTACCTTGTGTACATTCGTCCGTCGCGAACCCGTAGCCGTGGATCCGGGCGTAAGGCCCGACGTACTGGTAGTCGCCTTCCAATTGCGCGGGGTCGCGGTCGCAGGCCTCCGTGCAGTCCTTGGACGTGCAGGCGTCGTCCGGCGTCAGCGACTGCTCGTAGGGCCACCACGCGTCGGGCGCGAGCCCGGACGCGTTGTTGAGCGACGCGAGGTAGGCGTAGGCCTGGCCCGGGTCGCCGCCGCCGCAGCCCTCGGCGTCGGCCGTGCAGGACGCGAGCTGCTGGGGCGACAGCGTTACTTGGGGCGCCCCGCTTAATACGAGCTGGCTCTCGACCTGTTCGGTGACCGCAAACGCCCAGCACGAGCCGCACTGGCCCTGGTTCTTGACGGGGCTCACGACGCCCTCCGTTTCGCGCCAGTCGATCTTTGAGATAGTTTTGGTTTTGATTGGTTTCAAATTCAAAATATCGCGCCGCTCCGCCCTTCGATGCCCCCGCGCGAACGCGTTGTGTCCCATCTCCCGGTCCGCGTGCCGCGTCACGCCGAAGACCGCCTCCCCATTGATTCGGTTCCTCTCGTCCATCGACGCGAGGCGCGCCTCGTAGTTGCGCCGTGCCGCTTTTTCGTGCGCCGGCGTCGCGTACGTCTTCTCGTATTTCGCCTTGAATGCCGTCCAGGCCGCGTCGCGGTCGACGTCGAGCTTCTGTTCTTTTTCTAACCGCTGGTGGACGACGGTCACGCCGACGCTCAGCGCGAGGAGACCCAATACCATGGTGGCCACTGCGGTTGCCCGCTTCCGGCGCGCCGGCAGCAGGGGCGTGGTGTCGTGGGGCAGGAGGGCCTCGCGCTCGGCGGCGGCGAGGCGCCGCGCGGCGGCGCTGGCGTCGACGTCGTCCATCGGGCTGCCCTTTTTTTATCGGAGCGTCGTCGCACTCGACGCGCGTTTCCATCCCAATCAGGTGAGGACCCGCAGGTTTCCGACATCACAAGAACCAAAGGTCACATGAATGTTACGCCCGCACGACGACGGCGAGGCCGTCGCGCGCCTGGACGCGGAACGCGTCTCCCACCAACAGCGGCCGCTTCGGCGCGGGGAACGGCTCCGCGTAGATGTCGCGGTCGAGGTGCGGCCGCCGCCGCGCGGCCTTGCGCGCGCGCGCGGCCTTGAGGGCGGCGGCGCTGTTCGGCCGCGGCGCGCCGCGCGGCACGCACGCCTCGTCGACGACGAGCGCCTCGAGCTTCGACGCGGGCGCCTCCAGCGCCTCCAGCAGGAGCGCGCCCGTCGCCGGCGTGAAGCCGTTCCACGCGGCGTCGACGCGCCTCAATTGAGGATTCCGCGCGATCGCGACGGCCAACACCCGCCCCTCGGCGTCGCCCAGCTTGTTGCGCGCCAGGGCGAGCCGCTCGAGCGGGTAGGCCTTCGGGTCGACGCCGTCCTCGGCGTCGCCGCGGCCGCCCAGCGCCGCGAGCACCTCCACGACGCGCGCGCCCAGCTTGCACCCGGACACGTCGAGCACGCGCAGCTCGGGCAGCGCGTAGTCCGACCGCAGCATGGCCGACAGCGCGCCCATCGCGAGGCGGCCCTGGATCGGGTTCTGGGACAAATCTAAGGCTTTCAGGCGCGACCGGTCGACCTCCTTGAGCACGTCGACCACGTCTAAAACGCCCTTGTCGTTCAGGCCGCACTCGCGCACCGAGATGAGCGTCGGCCGGCGCCCTTTCGCCGCCGCCGCAACCGCCATGGCCACGGCGCCCCGCCGCTTGTCGTGGTGCGTGTCCACGCGGTGGCCGTAGTGCGCCAGATCAATCACATCACTTTCGTCGTCCTCCTCCGTTTTTTTTACCACGGGCGTCCGGTGCCACGAGATCGTCACCGACCCCGGGTTTAGATTGCGCACGCAGGACAGCTCGAACTTGTGTTGCGTTGGGGGCGACCCCAATCCTAACAACGGCACTGATACAGTTCCAAGGGCCTCGTCGTCCTGGGTCCAGTCCTTGTCCATCAGCTCTACTATTATATCCGTGGACCGCGTGTTGTTGAAGTAGAAGGTTTGACTACCAAAGTTCGGGCACAGGTCGTCCTTGACGTAGTTTGTGCGCTGCGTCTGCGATCCGACCTTCAGGATGCAGTACGGGTCCGAGATGCCGCGCGCGCCGTCTAACGACGGCAGGTCCGCCGCGGCGTGCACCGTGACGACGACGTCGTAGGCCGCCGGCGCCTCGAAGATCCAGCTCCGCTGGTTCTCCCGCCTCCGCCGCATCGTGTGGTGCATTCGACTCATGACCGTCGACGCGTAGTCCGACCTTATTCTATGCCACTTCGCCTCGTCGTGCGCGTCCGTGCCCAGGAAGCGCTTGGCCCACTTGACCTTTGGCCGCGGCTGGCTCGGCCACGGCTCCCAGGCCCAGTCCTCGCGCCACTCCTTGTCGTGCTCCACGTCCAGGTGCCCCGCGCTGTCCACGAGCACGACTTCGAGCAGCTCCTCGAGGTCCCGCAGCGAATACTCGGCGAGCTCGGCGTTGCCTAGCCTCTCCAGCGCGGCGGGCAGCGCCGTCCGCGCGCTGGCGGGCGCGCGCCACCCGGCGCGCGCCCAGGCCTCGAGCATGTCCTCTACATCCTGCTTCGGAACGCGGGCCGCGTCGGGCCGCCGCGCGCGCTTCGCGGCGGCCTCGGTCGCGGCGCGGTCGCTCACGCGCGCCGCGCGCCGCGCGTCGCGGACGCGCGCGCACTCTATTAACCACGCGCGCTGCGCCGCGCTTATGAAAACCGCCAGCGAGCACGACGCGTCGGGCGGCACGCGCGCGAGCGGGTCCGGCGGCTTCGGCGGCGTCTGCGGCCGCCAGGGGCCGACCTTCTTTAACTCGGAGAAGGGCGCGAAGGGCGCCGCGGCGGCGTAGCCGCCCAGCTCCGCCGCGTGCAAGCTCCAGAGCTTCTCGGGCGACGGCGTCGGCGGCGGCGCCGGCGTCGGACACAAGGCCTCGGCGACGGCCTCTTCTAACGCCAGCGTGCTCCGCCAGGCGTCGCGGCCCCAGAACGCGAAGATGCCGCCCGCGTCCGCTACTAATCGCTCCAAGACGTCCGCCGCGGTATCCTTGGCGACGCGGGGCTTCTTCCTACGCTTCCCCGCCGTCGACGTCCGCGACGACCGGTCCAGCGACGCGCGCGCCTTCGCCTCGGGGTCGTAGCTCGCCGAGGTGCGGTCGAGGGACCTCCGGTAGTTGTCCTTCGCGAGCGCGTTGAGGTGGTGCTTGACGCCGGCTTCGACGGCTTCCAAGTACGGCGCCTCCGGGGGCATCTCGTCCTCGTCGAGGAGGGCCCGCTCAAACACCTTCTGCGCCAGCGCGTCGAGGTGTTGGCGCGCCTCCTCGTAGGCGCGCTTCGCCGCGTACGCCTCGGCGCGTTTTTCACGCTGCTCCTCGACGGACTGGGGCCGCGAGGGCGCCGCCGAGGAGCCGGGCGTCGGCATCGTGTATGCACGGCTGCCTCGCGTACACCGCTTCGCCGCGTCGGCTGCCCGAGCGCTTGTGCTGCAGCGCCCCACCTGTGAGAGCCTCGAGCGCGCTTCCGGGGGAGGCCTCGTCCCAGACTTGATTCCGTGGAGGAGCTGTCCATGGTCCAGACGGATCCTACGGAAAGAGGCGGGCTGTCTCGTGCGGGTTCATCCGCATTTAAAGGAGCTAGAATGATCGAGACGCGTAAATTCGGAACGAAACGTTAGAACGAACAACTACCCCTCGACGAGGACGAGGTCCGCCGGGTCGGCGCTCCCCGCCGGGTTCTTCAGCGCGACGGGCCGGCCGCAGGCCGCCGACCGCCGCGCCGCCTCCGCAACCAGCGTGGCCAGGACGGCGTCGCCGCGGCGCACCTTCGGCGCGGCGCCGCCGCGGCAGGCGCGCGCGAAGTGCGCGACGTCCTCGGCAAAAGCCGCGCGGAAGCGCTCGGGGAAGGACTCGACGAGCTGACTGGAAACGACGCCCGCGGCGCCGCCGACCTCGAGGGACGTGGCGACGTGGTTCCCGACGCTCAGCGCCGCGCCCGTCGCCGTCCAGACCTCGCAGCGTTGGTCGTAGCCGTACGCCGAGGCCCGCGCGACCTCGAAGGTGCCGGCGACGCCCAGGGCCCGCCACGTCACCGTGATGACGGCCGCGAACGCCGCGTCCAACCCGACGGCGTAGACCTCGTCCGGCGCGAGCCGGACGCCGTCGGCGCCGGTCGCCTTTCTCAGGGCGGCGAGCGCGAAGTCGAGGTCGTGCGTCGCGAGGTCGTGGTAGACGTCGCCGCCGCAGGACTCGAGGAACGCCCGCGGGGGCGTCGGGTGGTCGCGGAAGACGCAGCGGATCGTCCGCGGCGCGCCCTCGGCCGGGAGGCGGTCCAGCAGGGCCTTGTAGGACGCGTCCGACCGCCGCTGGAAGAGGCAGTGCAGCCCCACGTCGCAGTCCCGGCAGACGTCGTAGGCGCGCGCGATCTCCGCCGCGGACAGCCCGACCGGCTTCTCGCACGCGACGTGGGCGCCGTAGCGCGCCGCCCGCTCGATGAGGGCCGCGTGGGCCGCCGTGGGCGCACAGACCCAGACGCCCTGGATGCGCTCGCCGCCCCGCGTCCACGCGTCGACGGCCTCGTCGAGGCTCGCAAAGGCCGCGCAGCCGTATTTCCTCGCCAGCGCCGCGCACTTCGCGGCGTCCGCCTCGACGACGCAGGCGACGTCCGCCTCGAGCGACTCGTGGAGCTGGCGGCAGCGCAGCTCGCCCATGCGGCCGCCGCCCACGACGCAGACGCGCACGCGCGGCGGCGGCGGCGGGGCCGCGGCGAGCGCGGCTTGCAACGCGGCGCTGCTCGTCGTCGTTTTCGGCGGGACGCACATGATTTGGCCGGAGAGTGTGTTACTCAGGCTGCAGCGTCTGAAGAGAGTTGCTCAGCTGCAGCCTGGCCAAATGACCGTGGAGAGCGATGACTGCGCTTACAGTTGCACGCTCGCGACTGTGAGCAAGGCCTGAGATGCTGCGACGAACAGACCCTTGCTTTTACGGGAGGCTGTGAGCACACGTGTAGCACCCTATAGTCTACGTACTAGCGCGCAAACCCCGGCTCCAAAACCCGTAGCCTTAGCCATTGACAGCGTGCACGGCAGCGCTACGCGTGTCTTGGTCATCGCTGCAGCGGTGCGCTGCAACCATGGACGCCCCCCTGCCAAAACCACCCACCGACGACGCCAAGCCCCCGGCCCCACCCAAGGAGGACCGGCCCATCGGCCCCTGGGGCGGCGAGCCCATGCCGGCGGACCCCGACAAGGACGAGGACTGGCCGGCGCCCGGCCCGGAGATCCCCGCGCCGTACCAGGACCAGCGGCCGGACCCCGAGGTCTTCGGCGGGCCGGACCCGGGCGCGCCGCCGCCGAACCCGAACCCCCAGACCTTCGAGAAGCCTAGGTTTATGTGCAACGCGTTAGATGATGCCGAGGCCGAGATGCGCAAGCTCTGGGCGTGGCGCGAGCGGCGGAAGCGCGGGCCGCCGCCGGATCCGGTAGAGGACGACGAGCGGGCCGTGCCCGCGGCCGAGGTCTGGGCCGCGTGCGCCGTGGCGTTCGCGGAGGCGGACGCCATCGACGTGACGCTCGCGTGGGATTTGCTGAGGCGGCGCGTCGCGAACGACGACAACGAGTGCGCGACGGGCCTGGCGTCGAAGGTCCTGGAGGACGGCCTGGGCGGGCTGGAGACCGTGCTGGAGGCGGAGGACGACGACGAGGCCATGCGCGCGTGTGCGGATGCCGTCTGCGGCGCGTGGGCCCGGTGCGCGAAGGCCCGGGAGGCGAGCGGGGGCGTCGTCGAGGATGCGGCGGCGTGCGCAAGCAATCTCCTCGACCTGATGCAGCTGGCGCTGACGGTCCGCGCGTACGTCGCCTGTGCCGAAAGTCTACAAAGCCTCTGCCGCACGTCGCCAGAAGCGTGCCACGAAATCCTACATGGCGAGGGCGTCCGCGTGCTCGCGACGGCCCTGGCGTGGTGCGTCCTCGACGAGGACATGAGCAAGGGCGGCCTGCTGAAGGTCGTCGACACGGACCTCGGCTGCGCGCTCGTGGACCTCCTGACGGTTCTGGCCGGAGCCGACGCCACGAAGGTCGTCGGGGACCTGAAGGCGGAGGCGCCCGCGCTCATCGGCGTCTGCCTGCGCGCGATCCTGCTCGACGAGCGGCCGCAGTGGACGGTGCCGCCCCTGTGCAAGAGCGGCGTCCACCTCCTGCTGCGCGCGCCGGAGTCGTACTACGCGTGGCTCGTCGCGAACGGGAGCGTGCCCCGGCTGCTGACGCTGCTCGAGCCGCTCGTCGTCCTCTACCTCGTGGAACGGGACCCGGACGCGCAGGAGCCGGACCTCCAGGTCGCGCCCTGCCTCGAGTGCGTCCTGCGGAGCGCGCGGTGCGGCGCGGAGGGGCGCGCGGCGACGAAGGCGTGGATCTACCCGCCGAAGGACGACGAGCGGTGGCGCGCGGCGCTCGCGGCGAACGCCGCGCGGGCCCAGGACGACGAGGAGTTCGCCGAGGCCGTCGAGGAGCGGCGCAAGCACCCCGTCGACCCGGAGCCGTACGCGATGCGCACCTTGCTCGTCGAGCTCATGTACAAGTGCCCCCAGAAGCGGACGCGGCGCCTCGCGGGGGACCTCGTGCTGGAGCTGTGCGGCGGCGACCGGGCCGAGTTCGAGCTGCGGGCCGGGACCGACGCGGCGGGCCGGTACTGGAAGGAGGGGTCGTCGTGAGGGGGGGCGGTGTTTTTTTTATAAGTTTTGTCCGACTGAGTTCTGCTTCGCCGGCTCGCTACCCTCTATCGCTACCCCTCCCGACCAGGACCCCGCAATTGCGCAAGTCCGTAAGCAGTGCCCTCGTTCCGAGCGCGGCGGTAGCCCTCCTACGATGTACCATTCGGTGTCATGCAGCTCGGAGCCCCGTAGAGAGCGGTCCGCGAATCTCGAGGTGCGAAACCCGCCGCCGTTGCAAAAAGCGCAACGAGAGCGAAGCGCGACGTCGGCAGCCTTTCCCGCGCAAAGGCGAAGCCCGCGACAACGACGCGCGACGGGGGGCAGCCTTCCCGCGCACCAGCGACGCATTCCGACCATGCCCTTCGATGATGCCGCCGAGGCCAAGTGCGCCGACTCCGAGTCCGAGGACGAGTACGTCGAGTCGCGGCTCGAGCGCGTCTTACGGGAGGAGGCGGGCGAGGCGAAGCCCGAGGCGCCGCGGTACACGCAGCTCGACGACGAGCTCCTGAGCGACATGCAGCGCGGCGACGAGCAGATGCGGCGCCTCGTGCGGCATCGGCTCAACAAGCAGCGCGAGGCGGCCGACGAGAAGGTTTGTCGGCAGCTCCTGCGGAAGGAGCGCTTCGAGCGGGGCATGCGCAAGGGCTGCATCGACAACGACGAGAAGCTCGCGGCGCTCGCGCAGCGCGAGGAGGTCGAGGAGGTGCGCGCCGAGGCGAAGCAGCGCGAGGACGACGAGAGGGAGGCGCGGCGGCTCGCGAAACTCCTGCGGGACGAGGCCTACGCGGAGTACGTCGAGGAGCGGCTCCGGGACGAGGAGGCGCGCGCGGCGCAGGCGGCCGACGCGAAGGGCGCGCGGGCCGCGAAGGAGATGGCGCAGCGGCTGGCGCGGGCGGCCTTCGTGGACCGGAAGCGGCGCGAGGCCAGGCCGGCCGACGCCTCGAAATGCTGGGCCGCGGCGATGGCGAACTGCGAGGTCGAGGACGTCGCCGACGCCGTCGGCCTCTCCATCCGCCTCCCGGCGCTGACGGACGTGCGCGTGGCGCACCGCAACCGCCTCGTGACGATCACGGCGAAACGCGGCGGCGCGCTCCAGGCGCTGACCAACGACCGCGCGAAAGACCGGGGCCCGCGGTCCCTGGCCATGAAGTTCGAGCTCGTGTCGCCCGAGGACGCGCGGGACGTGTCCTACGAGTACGACTGCGGCTCCGGCTACCTCCACGTCTTCCTCGACGGCATCAAGCTCGGGAAGATGTCGGACTCGCAGAAGAAGCGCACCCTGGCGTCCATCAGGGGGCGCCTCGCCGCGGCCGCGTCCTCGAAGCTGTCGGCGCTCAAGAAGGCCGTCGGCGGCGGCGGGCCCGACCTCTCCCTGCGCGGCGTCGTGGCCTAGGAGGGCGCCCAAGGTTCCAAGAATAAAATATGAACATTACTAACTAAAGGCCGCCCAGAAGCCGCGCAGCGCCGCGCCCGCGAAGGTCCCGCCCCGCTTCTTGGCCGCGACGAGGCCGCGCGACGCCGCGGCGGCGGCGCTCGCGTCGGCCTCGCAGCACGCTTTTGACACGGACGCCGCCGCGGCGCAGACGGCGCCCGCCGCCGGGAAGAGGACCGCCGCCGCCGGCGCGACCTCGACGACGACCGCCGCCGCGGCCGCGCAGAGGCCCGCGAGCGCCGACGTGAAGGGCAGTAATGCCCCGACGCGCGCCGCCTGGTTCGCGTAGGTGTCGATGATGGCCGCCGTGCGCTGCTTGTCGGCGACGGCGTCGGCCGCGTGCGCGACGCCCCACTCGGCCGCGGCGACGTGGTACGCCGCCTGCGCCGCGCTCGCCGACGCCGCGGCGACGGCGCGGAACTGGCCGCTGCCGGGAACGAGGGCCGCGAGCGGCGCGGGCAGCAGCGCGAGCGCGACCGTCGCGTGGCGCCGCCGCTCGGACAGGTCGCGCGCGAAGACCATCTCCGTCTGCGACCGCCACGTCGCGCCGACCTCGGCCGACGAGGCGAAGCGCCGTCTTCCCAAATTCTCGGCGGCGGCGGCCCGCGCCGCCGCGCGCGCGTGCGCGAGCGCGCCGACCGCCGCGCAGAGCGCGCCGGCGACGGGCGCCGCGCCCAGCAGGAGCGGCGGCGCCGCCCTGGGCAGGGCGAGCGCGACGGCCGCCGCCGCCGCCGCGAGGCCGGCGCAGAGCGGGCACGCGGACTTGGCGCGCTCGGCGGCCGCGAGCGCCGCCTCGGCCTCGGACGCCGTGCGCAGCGCGACGGCGGCGACCTCCTTCGCCGTCGCCGTCGCGACGCGGCCGCCGTACTCGGCGGCCACGCCCACGGCCGCCACGACGAGCGCCGCCGCCGGCACGCCGAGCTCGGCGAGCGCCGGGTTCTCGAGGAACGGCGCGGCGGCCGCGGCCGAGACGCTCGCCGCGAGCGCCGCGGCCTCGCCGCTCGACACGCGCGGCCGCGCCGCCGCGTCCGCGTCCAGCGCCTCGAGGTCCTCGCGCAGCCGCCCGAGCGCCGAGACGACGCCCTCGTCGGCGGCGGCGCGCCGCGCGACGGCGGCGCCGCGCGGCAGCACGGCGCCGCGCGGCGGCACGAGGCCCCGCGCGGCGACGACGACGCAGGCCAGGACCGCTGTCTTCATCGTCTCACCGTCTCACAGGCATCATAGCCGGCACTCGTCGCACGCCTCTGTCGTCGATCAATAACAAACCATGCACCGGGGGCAAGGACGCAGCACCAGCACGGCCGGGCGCACCGACTTGAGGCCTTGCACGTTTTTGCTGGCTTGCAGCCGCTTGCTGGCAAGTTGCCAGCCAAGGCTTGCTAGTGTCTTACAGGCCGCTAGATGGAAACCGTAATCACACAAACGAGATCCTTCGCCGACCCGTGTCCGGGCCGCCGAGTCCTCGTGTGGCCGCGCTAGCCGGCGGCGCTCTGTGGGGCAAAGTCGTTTGGAACTTGGAAGTGGCAGCGCGACGAAGCACAACACACACGGCACTAAACGATGGTCCTCGGCGAGGTGAACGGGATGGCTGCCCCCGCGGCGGCGACGACGCCGACCAAGGCCACAAACGATGCGGAAAAGGCGCCGCCGCGCCACATGCCCTCGTGCGCGCCCACGACGAGCGAGGACGGCCTGCTCCAGTTCGGGCGCCCCGACGGCAAGGCGGGGGTGGAGGGGCAGTCGCTCCAGGACGCGTTCAAGCGCTTCCGCAAGGAGCGCCGGCGCACGAAGCAGCGCGTGCCCGCGGCCGTGCTGGCGCGACGGGCCGCGGCGCGCCGGGCAAAGGACCCGACCGCAGACAACGAGCGGCTCCGCCGGAAGTTCATCGAGCGCGCGAAGCACTACATCGGCACGCCCTACGCCGAGCGCTACCACAAGCCCGGTGATCCGTTGTACGGCAAGCCCTTGTATCTGGACTGCTGCAATTTGATCCGACGGTGCGTCCAGGACCTGCGGGCGGACTTCGGCTTCGACCTCGGGAACTGGAACCAGGCGTACCAGTTCTCGACGCTGCCCGACGCCGTCGCCTTCGGCGACCTCCGGCCGGGCGACCTCATGTTCGTCGAGGCGACCTACCGGAGCGGACGGCACAAGCAGCAGCGCATGAACATCGTCCACGTCGAGATCTTCCTCGGGGAGGAGTTCGGGACCGGGCCCGAGTCGACGCTCGGGTCGCGGAACCGCTGGGGCTGCGTCGAAGTCCACGACTCCTTCCGCTACACGTCGCAGTTCTACGACATCACGAACGTCTTCTGGCGGTCGCTGGACCCGTGGTGCGCGGGCCGCTGCGACGCGGCGCTGCTGCGCGAGGTCTACGGGAAGCACGACCCCTACAGCGCCGCGGCGGCGGCGAACAAGAAGAAGTCGATCTTCGCCGCCGACGAGGTCGACGCTGTTCCCGAGGAGGACGCGGCGTTCCTCTGCTGGGCCGATCTGGACGAGCGCCGCGCGGCGCCGTCGACGCTTCCCGCACCATCGGAGGCCATGTCGCTGCTCGACGTCCTCCGCGACGCGGGCTCCGTCGCGTCGCTCGGGGCCTTCGTCGGGTTCCGGGACGTGGGCACGCTGCACGCGCTCTCCGCGACGACGCGCGCCGTCCTCGAGTCCGACGACGCGGCCCCGGCCGTCTGGCACGCGGCCTGCGCGGGCCTGGGAAGGGAACGAGGCCTCTTCGTGCCGGCCGAGCCCGCGCCCGCGCCCGGCGCGTCGACCGCCAACGCCTCCACGGCGGCGGCCATGGCCTGGAAGCGCCTCTTCTTCAACCAGCTCTGGCCCGCGCGTTTCAAGTGGGACCACGACGCGGGTCGCACGAAGCGCGACTTCAAGATCGAGGTCTGCGTCCGCTTCCGGCCCGAGGACGAGGGCGACGAGGTCGCCGTCGCAAAGTCCAACGACGTCGTGCTGCCGCTGCACCAGTACCTGAAGCTCCAGCGCGACCGGCGCAAGGACGCGACGGAGGACCAGGGGCCCTTGGTCGGCGCCGCGGCGGCGCCGCCGGAATTATTGGACGCCGTCACGGGGCGCGAGATGACGTCGCCCGTGCGCCTGCCGTCGGGCGTCGTCGTCGACCGGGCCTGGGCGGAGGCGCACCTGCGGCGGCGGGGCACGGACCCCTACGACGGCGCGCGGCTGGACCCGTCCACGACGTTCGAACCGGCTCGCGACGTTCGCGAGCAGCTCAAGGCCTTTTCCAAGACGCGCGGGGCGCCGGCTGCCGTCGGGGTCGCGGGCTCGGAGGTCGTCCAGCGGCTGGCGGGGTCGAACACCCTGGACCCGACCGTGCTCGACGCGGTGTTGGAGGCCGAGCGGCTCGCGGCCTCGGCCGCGGCCGCCGAGGAGGCCGAGAAGCGTACGTCGCGGCGCGAGCTCCTCGCGGAGCAGGACGAAGAGGACGACGACGCCGCGAACGCGCGGGATCGCGTGCCGGCGGAGGACACGCCGAAGGCCACGGCCGCGCAGCTCACCCAGGGCCTGGAGAAGGCCGAGGCGCAGGTAAAGGAGATCGAGGCGGAGACGGAGACGGAAGCGGACGACGCGCCGCGGCGCGCGCCGTCGGGCGCCAAGGTCTTGGCCGTGCAGCCGACGCGCGTCGTCGTCCACGTCCCGGGCGCCGGCGTGCGGCCGTTCCCCTTCTCGCGCGTGTTCGAGGAGGAGGACCAGGCCCGGGTCCACGCGTCCGTCGGCGCGCCGGCCGTCGCCGCGGTCCTGAACGGCCTGAACGCCTGCGTGTTGTGCTACGGGCAGACGGGCAGCGGCAAGACGCACACGGCCTTCGGGCCTCCCGGTGCACTCGAGGCGAGCGACGACGCCACAGACGGACTCGTCATCCGCACGCTCCGCGACCTCCTGCACGCCGACGTGAGCGTGGCGCTCCAGTATGTGGAGATCTACAACGAGCAGTGCGTCGATCTTCTGACCGGGGAGGCTTGCGATGTGCGGCGGGACAACGGCGAACTCATCGGTTGCGTCGTGGGCAGTGTGGAAATCAACCAACATGAGTTGCACCTAAATTTTGATTTGCTCGCAGGTCGAGGCGAGCGTCGCGACGCCCGATGATGCGTTGCGATTACTGCGCGCTGGTTCTGTACGGAAGCGCTTCGCCGTTACCCAGATGAACGCGCGATCGAGTAGGGCCCACTCCGTCGTTGTCGCACGCGTGCGCCAGTCGCGTGGCGACCGGATCCTCGAGTCAACGCTCCAACTCGTCGATCTCGCGGGGTCGGAGCGCATCTACAAGTCGGGCGCGATAAAGGACGCGACGCGGTGCGGCGAGGCCGTGGCCATCAACGGGAGTTTGATGGTGCTCGGCAAGGTCATCGCGGCGCTCGTCGAGGGCCGGGGCCACATCCCATATCTGGAATCAAAACTCTCCTGCCTTCTCCGCGCGGCGCTGGGCGGCGCGTCGCGGACGACGGCCGTCGTCTGCTGCCGGCGGCGCCACGACCACGCCGACGAGACGCTCCAGGCGCTCCGCTTCGGCAAGCGCTGCGCGCTCGTCACGAACTTCGCCGAGCAGGTCGCGGCGTCGACGGCCGCGGACGCGCTCAAGACCATCGACGCGACCATCGCGCAGTGCGAGCAGTCCCTGGCCGGCCTGCGCGACCGCGGCTCCGGAAACCTCGCCACGGCCAAGACGCTCCAGGACCGCCTCGCGCAGATGCGCACGCGCCGCCGCGCCATCACCGACGTCGTCCGGCGCGAGGCGCGCGCTACCTAAACCCCTCCCCGGTACTAAGGCCCTTGTATGCAAACTTAGCCCCGGTTGAAGGGACTCTGGACCGATTCCCCGTCGGCGTCGAAGAACGCGTCGAACGAGATGGTCGGCGCAGCGGTGAGCGGCGAGAGGTCGCCCAGGTTTTGCGACGAGGCGACCGTCGCGTCGCCGGAGTGGCCGCCGGAGTGGCCGCCGGAGTGGCCGCCGGAGTTCGACGACGCGACCGTCGCGGCGTTCGAGGGCGCCACGTCGAACGTCTTCGCCGACGCGACCGTCGGCGCGACCGTCGACTCGTCGCCGTCGCCGCGGGGCACGCGCCGCGGCGCGCGCTTGCCCGCGCCGAAGAAGCGGCGCACGCGGCTCCACCGCTTCTGCTTCTCGAGCTTCCGCTGGAGCTGGATCTTCTCGTCGCGGCGCTTCATCGAGGCCAGGCGCCGGGCGCGCGCGGCCTCGGCCGCCTCGCGCTCCTTAATTCCACGCAGCCGCGCGGCGGCGAAGACGGCGCCGTCGTGCTTGGCCTCGAGGCGGCGCAGCATCTTCGCGTCGACGTCGTCGAGCGGCTTGCCGGCCTTCTCGCGCGCGCGGAGGCCCTCGAGGCGGAGCCAGTCGCCGCCGCGGCGCATCGACGCCTGCGCCGCGGCCTCGTCCGCGGCGCGCGCGGCGCGCTGCGCCTTGGCCGCGTCGCCGTCGGCCCCGAGCTTCTTCGCGCCGCCGCGCTGCCGCTCCATGAACTCCGCGGCCTCCCGCCTCGGGTCGCGCCGGCGCGCCGCCCGGTGCGCGTCGTCCGCGATGAGCACGGACGCGAGGACGGCCTGCCCGGCGGCCCGGAGCTTCGCCCCGAGGCCGCGCCGGCGGTTTTGCTTCGCCGCGACGGCGGCGCCCTCCTCCTCGAAGCCGCCCCGGAACAGCCTGAGTTCCGTCTTGTAGGTCGGCGAGAGCGCCGCCTCGTCGGAGGCCTTGAGCATCGTCGCGAGGACGCCGCCCCGGGCCCGGCACGCGTCGGCGTCGCGCGCGACCGCCTCGGCGTGCCGCGCGCGCCGGTGCGCGAGGCGCCGCGCCTCGCGCTCCGCCGCGGCGTCGCGCGGCACGACCTGGCAAACCTTTTTCAGGTTGAGGTCCGGCCGCGCGAAGCACTGGGACTTGGCCGCGAGCTCGGCGGTCGTCGTCTTCGCCGCCGACGGCGCCGCGAAGGACCGCCGCCGCGGGGGCGGCGCCGCGCCGAAGGACGGCTTCGCCGGCGACGGCGCGGCCTCGGCGGCGGCCCGCGCCTGGACCGACGCGATGCGTAGGTTCTGGGGCGAGTCGGGCCGGAGGTACGCCCAGGGGTCCGGCGACCGCGGCCGCCCCGGCGAGGCGCCGGGCGACGCCGGCCGCGGCCCCGGCGACGGCGCCCGGCGCCGCGCCGCCGACGCCAGCGAGTAGCCCCACTGCTCGAACGAGTCGCCCGCGGCCGGCTGCTCCGGCGACCCCCACTGCTCGTACGGCGACCCCGGCCGCACCGACGCCAGCGAGGCCCCGAAGCCCCACTGCTCCGGCGACCCCGGCCGGGCCATGCTGGGCTGCGTGTGGACCGTCACCGTCGACTGCATCGCGCGCACGCCGCCCGTCGCCGCCATGGCGCCGCAGGAGCCGGGTAGCGTGCGTCTGGGCGCCGCCGCGGCGGTCGCGTCGTGCGTGGCTCGCGTGCGGGCAGCCGCCGGCGCGCCGCGCGGCCTTCCGGATCAAGGCGCTGTGAGAGGCGCTGCGCTGTTGGATGGCAAACACGCGTTCAGGGGACGCCGGACCCGATTTGAAAAAGAAACAAAGGAAGGCGAGTCGCCCGGCCGTCGGACCTTCTCAGTAGAATTTGTGGTGGTACGCTCAAAAGAAAGCAACAGTGCGTGTACCGGCGCCTCCAGGGTCGCCGGACTACTGAAGCCAGGAGCGGCCATGCCCAGAGAGCGGGCGGCTCGTTGCGCTCGGGGTCGCCACGATACCGCGCCCTGTACGAAGCTTTAGACGACGCGACGGATCACTTCAGTACAGCGGCGACGGCGCAAACCGATGGTGTCTACCAGTCAGAGGCAGAGGGCCGCGCCGTTCACGTTGATTACGTCTGCTCGGGCGACATGGCCAACCTCCAGACGGTGTCGAAGAAGGGCTTCGCGACTGGGACGTCGGAGAACGCGCGGCCGTGTTATTGTTGCGCGCAGACCAACAGGCAGATGACGACGCCCAAGGTAGTTGACGACCTTTGCGACGTCTGCAGAGCAGCGGGTCGGTTAGTGTGCTACCACGCGGAGATGTCGACGCCGGCTGCCGTAGACGAGTGGCGCGCTACGGCTGCCGCTGCGCTCACGGAGCTCAGAGGGGAGCTGCCCCAGCCTACCGCTACATGCGCGAGGCCAAGACTTTAAGTGCGGCGCAGCTGCGCGAGCTCGCCGCGGAGGCTGGGCTCGATGCGGGCGGCACCTCGGCCCACTTGCACGCGCGCTTCGCTGCTTATTGCGGTCAGCATTGCTTGGAATTGGAAAACCCCAACCAAAACGGGTTTTACGCAAAGTTCGACTGTCGAACTGCGACCCCAGCACAAACCGGGGGGCTCACGCCTGGTCAAGGGCGAGCTCAAGGTCATCGGCTGGAAGCAGAAGCGCGATGCATGGAAATGTGACGGGGGGGCCGACGGCCGTCTCCGGCGGTGGCAACGGCGACGGCGCCGTCAGATTCAGGACCGCCAAGATCCGGAACTCGAAACGGGAGGCGCGTCACGTCGGCGCCGCCTGGCCGCCCGCGCGCCACGACGCGCTTCGCCGTGAACTGCCGATCCACATGCCCGACGCGCGCGAGAGGTAGGCCCAGCGCACAGAAACACACGTCGTAACGGTACCGCTCTTCTTTTTCCCGCGGAGGAGCTCGCCGACGGCATCAGCAACGGCGACGCGCGCGTTTAACAAGTCCCAGGGTCGAGGGTGTAGACGGCCGCCACACGTGGACCGGTGGCCGCCGAGCGTGGCCTCGCGCCAGCCCGGCACCTCCCAGGGCTCGATCGTCGGGTGCCCGGCCCAGACGGCCTTCCACCAAGCGGACTTCTTCTTGTGCAGCTCGACCTGCAGGACCGGCGTCGCGTCGCGCTCGAAGCGGTCGCACCCGTGGCGCACGACGACCCACGCCGCCGCGTCGACGTCGACGCCGTGCGTCTCCCCGGCGTTCCAGAGCGCGCCGGCGTGGAGGACGACGCCCCGTATTTCGACGCTCAGCCGCGCGCGGTGGACGTCGACGCGCACGTCCTTCGCCTCGGTGCCGGCGGGGAGCGGCACGTAGAGCCACAGGTCCCCGAGGCGCTGGCCCCACCGGTAGCGCCACGCGTCGAGGCAGCGGCCGCCCATGGAGTCCGCCGGGAAGTCGAGCTCCGGGAGCGAGGACGGGAGCGGCAGCGCGTCGCGCAGGGCCCGCGCGGCGGCGCCGAGGACGGGCTCGCCCGCGGGCGCCGCGAAGAAGGGCGTCGCCGCGGACGCGAGCTTGGGGCTCTTCTTCTGCGGGCGGGGCGCCGCCGCGCGCGCGCCGCGCTTCTTGGTGGCCGCCACGCGGACGTCGACGGCGCCGGCCGCGACGGCGGCGCGGAGCGCCGGCTCCGTGGCCGGGGCGACCAGATCTATTTTCTTCCCGTAGACCTTCTCCACGAAGGCGCGCAGGTGCGCGAGGGACGCGCGGCGCGGGAACTTGAGGGCCACGGCCGGCTCCGGGCCGTCGGACTCCACGCGGCACGCGACGAGCTCCGGCGGCGGCGCCGCCGCCGCGACGCACGCGGCGACGGCCTTGCCGTCGTCGCCGCCCCGGGCCAGCGCGGCGGCCCACGTCGCTTCCTGGTCGACGCCGCGGGCGAGCGTCTCCTTGCCGAGGCCGCAGAGCATGCCCTCGCCGACCTCGACGAAGGCGCGGACGCCGCCCGCCGCGAGCGCCTTCAGGGCGTCCGTGAAGCGCACGGGGCTCGTCGCGTGGCGCCGCCAGAAGGCGCCCGTCCGCAGGGCCTTGGCGGCGACGCGGCCGCCCGCCGCCCCGGAGTAGACCTCCAGCGCCGTCGGGAAGGCGTCGGGGAGCCGGACCGCGCGTGCGAGCTCGCGGCCAATGCCGTCCATGAGCGGCGTGTGGTCGGGGTGCGTCGCGCGCACGCGCGTCGACTCGCGCCCCAAGCGCGCGACGACGGCCGCGATGCCGTGGCGGCGCCCGGCGAGCACCGTCGACTGCGGGGCGTTGACGGCGGCGACCCAGCACTCCGCCGCGGTCGCCTCGATCGCCGCCGCGCACTCCTCCGCCGACGCGCGCACGGCCGTCATGCCGCCCTCGACCGCGTGCTCCGCCATCAGCGCCGCGCGTATCGCGACGATGCGGGCGGCCTCGCGGCGCGAGAGGGGCCCGCACTTCGCGCCCTCGCCGTTCCCGGAGCAGGCCGCCGCGAGCTCGCCGAGCGAGTGGCCGAGCACGGCGTCGGGCGCCACGCCGCGGCTCCGCAGCAGCGCGTCGAGGGCCACCTCCACGGCGAAGAGCGCGGGCTGCGCGTAGCGCGCCCCGTCCAGGACGCCGTCGTAGACGCCTTTCGCCTTCGGGTAGAGCGCCGCCAACAGGTCCGGCGCCGCCGCGCCGAGGTCCGCCGCGGCCGCGTCGAGCGCCTCCCGGAAGACGGCCTCCCGCTCGTAGAGTTGGCGACCCATGTCGGGGCGCTGCCAGCCGACCGGCGCGTAGAGGAAAGCGACCTTGTCGCCCATCGTTCTTTGTGCCCTGCGTGAGGGCGTCTGGGGTGGGTGCGCTGCGTGAAGCGGGTGCGCGCGCGCTGCCCCCGGTCGGCGCGCGGGACGAACGTACGTGGTGGTGCGCCTACCTTGTTCACGAACTTAGAACACTTCTATTCATCAGTGCGAGGCCACTTCCGGCCAGCCCCGCACCGACCAGATAGTAAGATAGTCTACCTTAGTAGTAAGAGGGTCCGAGCATCCACTTACTCGTTTTTCCTCCGCCGCTTCCGACTACTCGCGTGCGGCGCCGCGGCCGCGCGCGGCCGCGCCGCACTACTCGCGTGCGGCGCCGCGGCCGCGCGCGGCCGCGCCGCACTACTCGCGTGCGGCGCCGCGGCCGCGCGACCTCGCCCGTAGCGCGACTCGCCCTCGTCGTCGGAGTCGTCGGAGGCGGAGCCGGCCGCGTCGTCGTCGGAGTCGTCGCCGCGTATGCGGCCGCGCCCGCCGCCACGGCCGCCGCCCCGTTTCCTATCGTCGCGCGCGATGCGGGCCGCGAGCGACGCGTCCTGCTGCGTTTTGCGCGCGCGCGGCGCGGCGCCGAGTCCGGCGCGCGGCCCCGTCGGCCGCGGGGCCTCGGGCGCGGTCGCGGCCTCGTCGTCGTCTTCTGCCGCGTCGAGCCAGGACGCGCAAGCAGCGAAAGCTCTCGGATTCAGCCGCAACGGCTGGGCCATTGTGATCGACGTGCTCGTGCACTGAGCTCCCAAGCTTGCAGCAGTGTACCGTGCGCGCGCGCCGACCAGAGTAGCGTTTTTCACCAGCGCCGCGAGAAATTTGATGCGTGGCACAATGCGTGCGTAACAGCCTTGCCTGGCAACAACTCTGAGACGAGTGCTGCAGGTACAGCCACTGGCACAAGAGCTCCAGCCCTACCGAGCGCCACCTTGCAGCATCTATTCGTCGTCGCGCTGACGCGCACAGCTTGATATAGCTGCGTGACGCCGCCGCCTGGCACAACCACTGCACAAGCGCAGCACCACCATTGGCTCCTCACACTAGCCATGCGCCCCTGCGCACTCCTTTTCGGCGCGGCCGCCGCCTTCGCGCCGACGCCAAAACGGCTCCCACGAACACCGCGCCGCGCGACCCCGGCGACGCCGCCGGACGTGCCGACCGCGGCGCGCGTCGCCGTGCTGCTGAGCGTGCCCGTCGCCTGGGGCACGTACGCGCCGGCCGTCAAGGCCGTGTACGCGCTGCCGGCGCCGCCGCCGGGCGTCGTGTTCAGCCTGGCCTACTACGTCGTCGCGCTCGCGTGCCTGGGCGCCGTCGCGGCGCCGCGGCGATCCCAGAACCCGCTGCCCTACCGGGCCGGGGGCGAGCTCGGCCTCTACCTGTTCCTGGGCAACCTGTTCCAGGTCGTCGGGCTGGAGACCGTGAGCGCGGACGCGGCCGCGTTCCTCGTGCAGACGACGACGGTGATCGTGCCGGTCCTCGAGGCCCGGGTGACGGGGAAGGCCGTCGCCGGGGCCACGTACCGCAACTGCGCCGTTGCCTTCCTCGGCGTGGCGGTCCTCTGCGGCGAGGGGCTGGAGACGGGCGCGGCGCCGGCCGCGGGCGACCTGCTGATCCTCTGCGCGGCGCTCCTGTACTCGGTGCACGTCGTCCGGCTGTCGGCGCTCGCGCCGGGCCTCGATGCGCTCGACCTCGCGCGGGCCAAGGCCGCGGCCGAGGTCGGGTTCGCGGTGCTGAGCGTCGCGGCGCTCGCCGCGGCCACGCCGTTCCTCGACGGGCGCGCCTTCGCGGCGTCGCTCGCGCACGCGGCGCCGGACACGACGGCCGCGCTGGCCACGGCCGTCGTGTGGTGCGGCGCCGTGACGTGCGCGTACACGATCTGGGCGCAGTCGTTCGGCCAGCGCGGCGTGACCGCGGCGCGCGCGAACCTGGTGTACACGTCCCAGCCCGTCTTCTCGGCGCTCTTCGCGTTCGGGCTGCTCCACGAGGTGCCGACGGCCGCGACGCTCGCGGGCGGCGGCCTCATTTTGATCGCCGTCGCGGCCGAGGTGCTGGCGATGGACGAGGCGCCCGCATAAGAACAGCTAGTATGGTTACTATAGATCAGGACAGCTCCCACTTCAGCGCGAGGCGCTCGCCGCCGCCGCCGTCCTCGGTCTCGATCGTCGCGTGGACGTCGTAGAGCCGCGCCGCGCCCGCCTGGCGCGTCAGGCTCAGGCGCCCCTTCGTGGCGAGCGGCGCGCGCCCGCCGGCCCGCCGGATGGCGTCGCGCACGAGCGTCGGGTCCACGAAGAAGCACTGCTGGCCCCAGTGCGTGTAGCCGCCGCTCGGCGACGTGTCCAGCGTCACGACGTTCGACGCCGGAGCCGACGGCGACCCCGCGAAGTCCGAGTCGAACCAGCCGGCGAAGGCGCTGCACCGCTCCAGGGGCAGGTCGAAGGCGAAGGGCGCGTCGGCGACGCCCTGGGCCTCGCCCAGCGTAATCGTGTTCAGATCGAAGGCCGCCACGCAGACGGGCTCGCCCTGCACGACGTCCTCGGTCAGCTCGTGCCACTGGGCCTGGCGCAGGCAGTAGTCGCGCGTCTCCTCCTCGTAGGGCCGCCGCAACACCCGCACGTCGACGTCGTGCTCGCGCATCATCTCGTCCTCGAAGGCGTCCCACTCCGCTAAGGTGTCGGCCGTCTCCGCGAGCTTCGCGTCGCGGTCGTCCTGCAGCGCCACGGGGCACCAGTACATCTTCGCGTGCGACGGGTACAGGGCGCCCCCCGGCTTCAGGTAGCGGTCCCGCGCGTAAATCACAGAATCCAGCATCGACTCCCTCAATAAGAAATAGCCCATCCACTCGCTGATGATGATATCGACAGACCCCTTTTCGAGGTCCAGGGCCTCCACGGCGCTCCGGCGCACGTCGACGACGTCTTCGAGGCCGTTCGCCTTGACCAACCGCCGCGCGTGCGCCGCCATCTCCGTGAACTCGCACGCGATCACTTTCTTCGCGCCGGCCTTGGCCGCCCAGATGCTCAGGATGCCGCTGCCGGCGCCCACGTCCAGCACGACCTTGTCCCTGAAATTCGCGGCGTTCCCGAGGATGGCGTCGCGGTAGGCCTCCATGCGCTTGGAGTCGGTGAGCATCTGCTTCTGGTGGTAGATGTAGGCGTAGCTGCTGAAGTAGTTCGCGTAGTCCGCCGCGCGCAGGCCCTCGGGCCCGGTCATGAGCTCCTCGATCTTCGGCGGCCGCTTCTTCGCGGCGTCCCCGTTCGCGGCGAGCGCCGCCATGATCGTCCGGGGCGGTCGTCGAGATCTGGCACTGAAGGCGGCGGCGCTCGCGAGGCAGCAGACGCGGCGGAGAATTGTGGCTCGCGCCCTGCAGGCTGCAGGCTGGCGGAGCACGGGTGCTATGCGGCGTGCTGTGCAGCTTGTCGCTGCAGCGTGCCGCGTAATACAAGGATGCGATAAGGAAGCTAATCAGTATGGGTGCTCGTGGGGCCAAGCCTGTTTGCGATGGTGCTGTCGACGTGCAGGCCAAGCGATGCTCGCGTTGCGCTGCTTCCTCGCGCTTCAAACTTTGACAGCGCGCTGAGTGCTGGCAAAGGAGTGCCGCTGAGTGGCCTGCTCGGCTGGCGAGGTGCAGCGTGGTGGTTGGCTGGCTAGACGATCTGGCGACGGCGCGGCTAAAGGGGGGGGACACCAAAATCGAGCTCGGGTTTTCGATGAGCCTTATGCAGGCAACTCCGGGGATCCGTCCGGAGGGACGCCATTTGGGGACGCTTAGGTTAGCCAGGAGATTGGAGAAAAAAAACAGATAGGTGTATTTTGTGGGGGACCGGTTAGGTCCGGCCGGCGCGCGGCGCTCGCGAGAGCTCGTAGGCGTACGGTAGCGCGGCCGCGCGCGGTCGGATGGCTTCGAGTAGTGGAGCCGGTCGCCTGCGTCTGCGTCAGCAGCACTCGACATTTCGCATCCACCTCATGCAATTGCCTAAATATTTTGGCCTAGACCGAGGCCAATTTTTGATCGCGCGGACGCAGAGCTCGCCGCGCGGCCTCAAAGACACCAAAGGTCGCCACCTCGGGCGCCCCGAGCACCAGTGAGCCTCAGTGCAAGAGTTACAACCCTCTAACCAAACCCTCCAAAAAACGCGAGGCTTGCGTCGCCCTCTCTCGATACAAAATCGCGAACATATTCACCAACACCTCTTCCGTTCCAGCTACGCCCCCGAGGCGCGTCGCGCACGCGCTTTTCCAAAATACTTCTTCGCGGCGCCCAGGGTACAAATCAAAATATTATATCAATAGGCCTAGGATACTTATGCCGCGTCAGATTGAAGTTCAACGTAAAGTTGAAGTAGAGGGAGGGGGGGTAAAATCAGCAAAACCCGTCACCTAGGTCCAAACCAGACCTAAACGGGCGAAATTCGGTGTAATAATGTTCCCACAGGCCTCAAACTGTGCCTTGGGTGGCCTGTGGGGGGCTCAGGAGGCGGATGTGGAGCATCGCGTGTTACCCTAGTTACGCGCCAGAGGGGGGGTAACGTGCGCGCGCGGAATTTTTAGGAGGTGTCTGCCGGCCGAAATACTAATTAATTAATTATTAATATTTCTATGGGCCGGCCTATCCCTATGTTTGATTTGTACCCTGGCGGCGCCGCCGCGCCGGCGAGCACGAAAAGCCCGCGTCCTCGCAGGCCCACGAATCGGGCCACGATGACGCCCCAGGAATTTTTCTCCTCCTGCTTGGCGCCTTTCGTGCTCGTTTTTGGGTTCGTCAAGTTCATGTTCAACGGCATCGTCGCATTGGCTTATGAAGCGATCAAGTTTGCGGCGCCGACACTCGCCAAGCACCGCGACATCGTCGGCCTCTTCTTCATTTGGAAGGTGTTTTACTTCTTGTTCTGCGACACGTCCTCTGATAAGCTCTTTCTGGGCGCCGTAAAAGGCATCTACTGGTTGGTCTGCAAAATCATATTGTTGATGGTCCGAGGAGCATATTAACTAGCGGCAGTAAGACGCTAGCAAAGTTTGCTAGTGTCTTATTACCGCTAGTTAATATGTGTGCGTGCAAGCGCAGCAATAATGGGTAAGAAGCGCAAGGACGCGCCGCTCGTGCCGCCGCCGATCGCGTCGCGGCGCGTGGCGCGCCGCGTGACGAGCGAGTTCCACCGGCTCGCGCAGGACGCGGCGCGGGCGCCCACGGCGGCGGCGCGCGCGGCCGCGGAGCGGGTCTTGGAGGCCCGGCGCGGCCGCTACCAGGAGGCGTCCGCGCTCAGCACCGCGCTCCACTCCACTTCGCGCTGGGTGCTCCGGGTCCTGCGGCGGCGCGGCGTCCTCGGCGCCGCCGCCAACGCGCGGCCGCCGGCGCTGCTCGAGGTCGGCGCCGTCAACACGCAGCTGCTGGAGGCGCGCGGGCTGGCCGTACGGGCGATCGACGTCCGGAGCAGCATGCAACGCATCGAGCGCGTCGACTTCTTCGACCTGCGACCGCAGGGTTCCTACCTGCGCGGAAATCAACCAGTGAGTTATGTTACGACGCGGCCACGGGGACAACGTCGCGTCGATGGCGTGGAATCGCCACGCCATCGCACAGGCGCAGCTACGGAAGCACGTCGCGTCGATGGCGTGGGGCGCCTAAATTCTGATTTCCACACAGGTTCCTACGACGTCGTCGTCTGCGCGCTCGTGCTGAATTGCCTGCCGGACGCCGCCGCGCGGGGCCGCATGGTCGCGGGCTTGGTGGCGCACCTGAGGCCGGGGGGCCTGTGCTTTCTCGTCGTGCCGCGGTCGTGCCTCGAGAGGTCTGCGGCCACGACGCCGGCGCGCTTCGACGCCGTCCTGCGGCGCGCGGGCCTCGTGGAGCTCGAGCGGCGCGCGACGCCGCGGCTCCTGCACCTCTGCCTCGCCGCCGGCGGGGCCGACGCGGCGCCGGCGCCGGCGCCCGAGCACCGGCTGCGGCCGCGGCGGAAGAAGGCGAACGAATTTGATGTGGTGTTGCCGGCGGCGGCGTAATTATCTGTTATTTGTATTTACTAGTGTGTCTACGGGGTGTCCCCTACGTGAGCCCAAGTCGACCACGACCGAGAAACATCCATTCATATATTGTTGCGGTGCTAGGACTAGTGGCCATCGGCCCAGTAACATTCGCGGTCGGCGGCGCGGCCTCGCCGGCCGGCTGCGCGCGAGCCGTGGGCGCCCGGCCAACGTCCGAGAGGCCGTCGCGCGGGCGTCGGTGCCCTTCCCGAAGAGACGAAGGGCACGTTCTGAGTAAATCGGTCCAAAAAGGTCGCCTGTGGGAAGTCGCGGGACAAGTTGATTGAACGGGCGAACGTTGCACATTGTTCGGGGGGGGTGCCGAGGCGGTTCTGCTTAGAAGGAGGTACGCTGTTATGAAAGAAGCGCCCGCGCCCGCCGCCGATGAATCGGCGACGCGCGGTGTCTCCCCCCCAGGGGCTCCGCCCACTAGTCCTAGCACCGTAACATCGACCACGACAGGGACGTTCTCGGGCGTCCACGCTTCTCCCCCTGGAAGAAGAAGAAGAAGGACGCACGTGGACCTAGTCCCCCACCCCGTCGTCTCCGTCGTACGAAGCGTCCTCGTCCTCGCCGGGCTCCGCGTCGGCGGCGGCGACCAGGGCCTCCAGATGGTCGACGACGCGCTCCAGGCTCCGCCGTCGCGCCCGCTCCTGCTCCGCGAGGCGCTGCGCGGCCTCGGCCGCGGCCTCGGCCCGGGTCGCGCGGCGCTCGAGCGTCTCGCCGACGACCTTCGAGATGCGCGCGGCCTCGCGCGCCGCGACCGCCTCGTCCCCCAGCGCGGCGCAGCGCGCGCGCAGGGCCCGCTCCGCGTCCGTCTCGAGCGCGGCCTCGACGGCGCGCGACGCCGTCGGCGTCGCGTCGTCGGTCGCCGCGAGCGCCGCGCGCTGGCCCTCCGCCAGCGCGCGCAGCTCCGCGACGACGGCCAGCGCCGCGGCCAGCTCGCGGCGCGCCGCCCGCTGGCGCGCCTCGAGGTCCGCGGCCGCCGCCGCCGCGCCCCGCAGCAATCCCGTCACGGCGCCGGCGGCCTCGCCGGCGGAGGCCGGGTCGAGCGCGTGGCTGCCGAGCTTCGCCAGGATGTTCGTCGAGACGGCCAGCGAGCCGCGCCAGACCTGGAAGAGCCGTGCGTCCTCGTCGTCTGCCGCCGGCGCCATCTCTGTTACCGCCCGCGCGCGTTCTCGGCTGGCCGCAGGCGTTCCGAATCGATGCGTGGCCGATGCGTGCCAGCCTTATGTGTTCGACGAGCGCGGCCCAGGCGTCGTACCGGGTGACCGTCTCGGACTGCGGGCGCGTTGCTGGCGCCGACGTCGCGGTTTACGTTTAAAAGTGCGGCGCGCGAGCAGCCTAGGCCTCAAAAACGGGTTTTACTGCGAGACCTTTTTCAACGACCAATCCGAGGTGTCCTCGCCACGCAGACCGGTCGCGCGAGAGGCCTCGTCCGAAACCCGAACGCCGAAATCATCGGCTGCGACGTCGGTCTCCCGAACCAAAACACGCACCGGTCCCACCCGGACATCATCGGGCAGCCCGCGGCGTGACGACGGGACCGCCCCGCGTCCGACTCCGACGGCTGGGCAGCGATGGGCAACACGCCCTCCGGTTCGGCCAATGAGGGCGGCCGAAGCCGGCCGCCCGTCCCCGCCACGCCGGCCACGCCGGCGGCGCCGGCGGCCTGGGACGGCCCGCCCGTCTACGCCGAGGCCGTGCCCGTGGAGGCCACGCCCGCCGCGCCGCCGCTGAGCCCCGAGGCGCTGAGCCCGTCGGCGACGGCCGCGCCGCCCCTCGCGCACATCGTCGCCGGGCTGCGGCTCGAGCTGGGGCTGAGCGGGAGCCACGTGCAGGTCGTGGACCAGGCCGTGGCCGAGCTGGGCCTGCCGCGGAGCTGCGGCAGCGGGCTCGTCGAGCGCGCGCGCGCGTGCTGGAACCTCCTCCACGGCGAGGAGGCCGACGCGCCGCCGCCGCCGCCGCCGCGGTCGACGCCCGGCTCCGACCGCGCCGCGCGGGGCGCGCGGTCGCCGCCCGCGCCGCGCGAGCGCCTGCCGACGCAGTACGACCTGAGCGTCGGGGACCTCGTCGTGGCGGCGACGGCCTGGAAGCGCGTCGCCGTCGGCGACCGGGGCGTGGTCGTGGGGCCCTGCGAGGACGCGGCCGAGAAGGCGCCGCACAAGCGGTGCCGCGTGCGCTTCGACGACGGCAAGGGCACGTACGTCTACACCAAGGGCCAGCAGGCCCGGCGCGCGCCGCTCGCGGGCCAGCACGTGCTGGGCGACGGGGTCATCGCGCGCGCCGCCGTCCGGAACAAGTGCGCCGCGGGCGACCGCGGCGTCGTCGTGGGCCGCGGCCGGCGGGGCGGCCTGACGGTGAAGTGGGCGCCGAGCGGCGCGACGTGCGACGTGGCCGTGGCGGACGTGGCGCCGGCGCCGGTCGTGGCCGCGCCGGGCGCGCCGCGCATCCTGAAGGGCGACGTCGTCGTCGCGTCCGTCGACTACGAGACGGTGAAGGTCGGCGACCGCGGCGTGGTCGTGGGCCCGTGCAGCGACCCGGCCATGTCGCGGGCGGACCTGCGGGTGCTCGTGGACTTCGACGGCAAGGCGGCCTACAACTACCGGTGCGACACGCAGATCCAGCTCGCGCCCCTGCTCGACGGCGCGACCTTCGTCCGCGACGACACGGTCGTCGCGCGGGGGCGCGCCCGGGGCGTCGTCGTGGGCCTGGGGGCCGACGGGCGGACGCTGCGCGTCGCGACGGACGACGGCGTGGAGGACGTCGCGCCGGCGGACCTGGCGCACGCGCCGCTCGTGGCCGACGCGCCCCAGTTCCGCAAGGGCGCGCGCGTCGTCGCGCGCGTCGGCTACAACGCGGTCCGGGCGGGCGACCGCGGCGTCGTCGTGGGCCCCTGCAACGTGCTGACCATGCCCAACGCGTCGAAGCGCGTGCTCGTGGACTTTGGGACGGGCAAGGGCCTCTACAACTACGCCGCGGGCACGCAGCTCGACGTCGCGGCGGACGACGCGCCCGGCGTGTTCCCGTCGCTGAACGGCGCCTAGTTGTTCCCCCCCCCCTAAACGTCTGCCTTATTTAGTAGCTTCTTCTCCCCAGTGGCGTGTGGGGCACTCGCTTCCATAGAGATTGCTAGCGGCCTGTGAGACACTAGGCTCACCAACCTGAAGATCGCCTTCGGTCTCCCCTGCACTGTTTGGTCCCTCTGCACTCCTTGTGCTAGGAAAGGTCTTGCATGACGGGCCATAAGCTGTAATCGACGGGCCATAAGCTGTAATCGTCTTAACATCATGGCACGCCTGACCGTCCTGCTGCTGCCTGCCGCCCTTGCCCTCCGGCTCGCGCCGCGGATGGGGGGCGCCGCGCCGCGGCCGCTGGGCGGCATGGAATGTCTCTTCGCGCCGCGGCGGTCGCTCGCGTCCTGCGCGCTGCCGCCGACGGCGCACGTCGTCGCCGTCCGGCTCGAGCGGCCCCTGTCGGACGGCGAGCTGCGGGCGGGCCTGGAGCACGCCGTCGCGAAGCACGCGCTCCTCTCGCGGCGCGTCGCCGGCAGCGGCGCGCCGGCGAAGCGCGGCCCGCTCGGCGCGCCGGTCGGCGCCTTCCCGGTCTGGCGGAACGTCCTCGCGCCGTTCGGCGACGACAACATGCGGATCGGCCCGTCGGAGTTCGCCTTCGTGCCCATGGACGGGGCGACGCCGGCGAGCGTCGTCGAGGAGGCCCTCGAGCCGCGCGTGGCCGACTGGCAGGAGGCGTTCACGGCGGCGCTGAGCGGCGGGTGCGGGGAAGGCGCCTTCCGGGCGGGCCCCGGGACGTTTGATTTTGAGCTCGGGGCGGGCCCGCTCTGGCGGGCGTGCCTCGACGAGGGCGGCGCGACGCTCCTGCTCTGCTTCGACCACTGCGTCTCGGACCAGCCGTCGGCGATGGGCCTCGTGGACGACGTGCTGAAAAGCTGCAGGGAGGCCCCGCCTGTCGTGGCGGCGGAGGACCTGGCGGCGCTGGAGACGCCGCCGTCGCTCGAGGACGAGATCCTGGGCCGCGACGGGCGGAGCCGCGGCTTCGTGAGCGACGAGCTGGGCGGGAAGGGGCTGCTGGGCGTGGACAAGGGGAGCCTCCCCTACCTCATCGCGAAGGCCACGGAGCCGGCGTGCCAGGACCCGCTCGCGGCGTCGCCGCACCTGCCCGAGGACCGGTGGGGCGACGCGTCCCTGCACGCGGCCAAGAGGACGCCGCTCGTGGCCTTCCGGACGATGAGCGCGGAGACGCTCGCGCAGCTCCGCGCGACGTGCCGCGCCCGCGGCACGACCGTCGGCTCGGCGCTCGCGGCCTGCGCGGCCCGGGCCTTCGCGGCGCTGTCGGAGGACGACGAGGTCCCGGTCAAGGTGCTGCAGTCCCTAGACATGAGGCGCTTCGGCAAGGACAAGGCGACGGACCGGCTCGCGTGCCGCGCGGGCTCCATGGACCTGTTCCTGAAGCCGGCGGACGGCCTCTGGGACATGTCCCGCGAGGCGGGCGCGCAGCTCCAGACGTTTGAAGGGCGGAACTTCGGCGAGCAGAGCGTCCGCGTCTTCGACTGGGCCGTCGACGCCATGGAGATGACGCGGCTCGTCGAGCTGGAGAGCGACAACCCCTTCACGCTGGGCCGGGCCTACTGCTGCGGCGTGTCCAACGCCGGGCTCTACAGGGGGAGCGGCGCGGCGGAGATGTACTACGCGACGAGCACGACGAGCGCGGGCGCGTCCTTCCAGGCGTCGTGCGTGACCGTCCAGGGCAAGCTCTGCGTCTCGGTCAACGCGCCGGCCCCGCTCGTCACGCGGGAGCAGTGCGAGGCCTTCGCGACGCTCTTCGTGGCCGAGGCGACGAACGCCGCCTCATCCGTCGAGGAAGAGGCGAACACCTTGGTCCTGCGAGCGGCGGACGACGCGCCCGCGGAACCCGTCTACGAGAATGGGTTGATTGCGTTCGGGCTGGGCGCGGCGCTGGGCCTCGGCGCGCACGCGCCGGCCGTGCTCGACTTCCTGCAGGGCGTGGCGCGGTCGGCCGCGAACGGCGGCGACCTGCTCGCGCCCTACGGCTTCTGGCTCTTCTTCGCGACGATGCACCCGCTCATCGGCGGCGCGGGCGTCGGCCTGGGCGAGGTCATGTGGGGCTTCCCCGGCTACAGCGCCCTCAGCGAGGCGGCGCAGGACGCCGCCGGGCCGCCGCTCGGCTTCCTCGCCGCGAGCGTCGCGGCGAGCGCCGCGCTCGCGTCGAACGCGCTGCTGCGGTCCGCCGCGGGCTTCGTGGCGTCCCTGGCCTTCTTTGGGACCGTGTCGAGCGGCCTGGCCGGCACGAGCGGCGACAACGGGTCGCTCAACCTGAGTCTCGACGACGCGCCCGTCGCCGGCAAAGTCGTCCAGGGCGACCTCCGGGGCTGCCCGTCCTACGGCCAGGTGAAGCAGCCGTCGATGAACGGTTTCGACGTGACCAAGTACAAGGGCCGGTGGTACGAGCACGCCTACCACGACTGGACGCAGTTCGCCGAGGTCTACGACACGACGCTCGACATCGACCTCGCGGCGGACGGGCGGACGTGGGTCGACGACTTCGCGGTGCGGGGGCCGTCGCCCCGCGCGGCGCCGCGGTCCTGGCGCGGCTCGCCCGTGGCGAACGGCGCGCACTACCCCCTCTACGGGTCCCTCGACCCGGCCAAGCCCGGCGAGCTCCTCGAGTCGGGCTTCGGGAACGTCTTCCCGAACTTCATCGTGGACGTGACGAAGGACGCCCAGGGCAACTACCAGGACGCGATCCAGTTCCAGTGCCTCGAGAGCGGCGGCGTGCGCGTCTTCGAGGGCATTAACTTCCTGTCGCGCGACCGCGAGATCAGCCCGGCGCGGCTCCAGGGCTTCTTCGACCGGGCCGCCAAGGCGGGCATGGCGCCCTACGGCGCGCGGCCGGACCAGATGCACGTCGTCGAGCACGCGCCGGCCGACTTCCGCGACGTCGACAACTGGTGGCAGAAATTCTGGACGACCATCGGCGTGGACAAGCTGCTCGCGCTCGTGGCGGCGGATATCTAGGCTAGTGTCTATGAATTAGCCCGTCCCTTCTCGGTAGGACGTGGGCGTGGACGGTCATGCGCGGCGCGACCGAATACGAGGGCGTGCGCGGCCATGCCGGCGCGGCGCATGAACTCCGAGGAGATGCGCAGTACTCGTTCCTCGCTCTTAGGTGGCGCATGTAGGTCGCGATGAAAGGTCAGTCTAGTTTTTTTCACACTAGAGTCAAAACTACGGTGGCCCTTCGGTTTGATTTTACAGCAGCCAGAGCACCGCACTGCGCGGTGAGGCTTTGCTGCACCGTGCCTAGCCAGCGTCCGCAGTCAACCCCTCACACACCCTAGTGTTTTTGTTACCGCTAGCAACGCTAAGGAAGCGCAAGCGGGAGACGCTGAGACGAGCGGAGACGCGACGGACATACTTTCATTCATTGCCGGTCGGTTCACTCTTTATTCCCCGACGAGGGGTCCCGCGGAACGCGCACTTCGGTCTTGTGATCTTCACGAGGTCCCGGAGAACGCATTGCGTCCGGGTCCATTGCACCTCGCCGCCGCGGGTTGTATTCCTCTACACGCTCCCGCCGGCCGTTCAGCTCCACCTGCTCTTGCCTTCGATCATTGAGAGATTTCACACAACGTGCGGGTTCTATAGCGCCGTTCCAGCTCGAGGTGCTCTGCTGCTGCTCCACACACACACACGCGCGCGCCGACGTCCGCTGCCCCGCTGCAGGTTTCTTCCCCCGCGTCCCAATCGTCACCTTTCGTGTGGAGCAGCAGTAACATCTCAACGCTAGCTAGCTCTGCTTCCGGAAGACACTTCCCTACCGTATCGCGCGCTCGCGCGGTCTGGTAGATTGAGGCTCGGACCCCCTAGGGTGAGTTCGGGTTCTCTACTATCAAGTCCTTTTTAAGCGGCCCTTGGCCGCGGTCCTACAGGGCCGCGGCGGCGGCCGTCGCCCCTGCCGCGGCCCGGCCGCGCGCCAGAGGCACAACGCTGCGCACACGCCAACGCGCCGCTTTTTTTTTGCGACGCGGACCGCAGTATATAAACCAAGCATGGCTACCCCCACAGGGAGCCTAGACGATGGCCGAGATCCACGATGGCCAAAAAAGAATCACGGACTGCTTCCAAAAGAAGTCCGACGAGGACACGAAGTGCCCGCCCAAGATTTCGTCGGATCCGTCGCACGACGCCGCGCCCGCGCTGAAGCCTGCGCCGAAGCCGGCGCAGAAGCCGGCGCCGAAGCCGGCGCCGGAGCCGTCTAGCTTCGAAGTGGCTCCCAAGAAGAAGGCTGCTCCCCTGCCGGAGTATAGACCACTCGACCTCACGAAGCGGCAGGCCCTCGCCACCGAATATTACCAGGACAAGATATTAACTAGTCAACGCGCGGAGACCCTAGCCGAGAAGCACACCATAGAAAAGAATCAAGTGACTAGATACTTTGCTAGGCTGAGAGAAGTAGATCCTAGTTACCAGAAAAGGAGCTACTCCACCAAAAAAAGCCGCGAACCTGTAGAGCAGGTCCTCATTAAGGCGTTCAACGAGTCGACGGTCTTATCTGAACAACGGGCGAAAGACCTGGGGAAAGAGACTGGTTTGACGCCGAGCCAAGTACAACATTGGTTTGCGAGAAGAAGAGAAGAGGAGGAAAAACAAACAATTAGGCCAGAGACATTGAATGCCATCCAAGAGGCGGCCCTCGAAGATGCGTTTCAAGAGTCGCCCATTTTAAGTGATTCGCGAGCCGAGGCCCTCGCCGAAAGTCTCAAATGTACCTTTGCTCAAGTTAAAACCTATTTTCATAAGAGAAGAGGACCTAGCCAAAGACAACTGCTGGCAGGCGCCTACTACCCTCTACAGCGCCCGAACGGTTACGAAGGGCGTCTCCACGGGCCAAATATTAGGTGCGAGTTCTTCCAGGCCGGCGACTGCGAGGTGTGTGAGGACGTTACTAGAGAGTGCATAGGCAAAAAGAAGGAAAGCGACGGGCTTGTCGAGCCTTTTCCAGCCGAAGTGCGGCTGGAGTTAGATGATTGTCTCAAAAAAAGACTTTTCGGCCCACACAACATTATTGATACTAGAGATGCTACTTCGCGAACCTTCTTCGCGAATTTGAACTCCAAGAAGCCGAAGGTCGTCGATCTGACGTGAGGAGCTCCCGGCGCGAAGGCTGTGCCGCGTCGTCCCCCATCCCCAAAAGAGAGAGACGCTCGCCACGCGCCTGGGAAACGCGTCGCTCGAACGTTTAAGCGATGAAAACTAGCCAATAGGGGCGCCGCCGGAAGAGACCTTGTCGCTCAGGCTCAGGCTAGTTACGTCGCAGGGTCCCCCGTACCCCTCCCGCTCCCCCAGGGCCCACCCGTCCGGCTGGACTAGGACGCAAGGGCTGAGTCGCAGGGACTCGCACGCTTGCTAGTGTCTTACCTCGCTAGTGTCTTGCCTCACAAGCTTGGACACAAGCGCCGTGCAGCAGCAAGAATTATTCCGCGCGTATTCCATCGCTGCATCGCTGCGGAGCAGCGCAAAGAATGAACTTCAGCGCCTCGCGCTTCCAGAACCAGCCGCCCGAGCGCGGCTCGTTCCCGCTCGACCACGACCGGGCCTGCACGCCGCTGAGGGACGAGTTCCTCGCCTGCCTGAAGGCCGAGGGCAACGAGCACGTCGCGTGCCGCGCGCTGAGCGAGCGCTACCTCGCGTGCCGCATGGACAAGAACCTGATGGCGCGCGACGCCATGGAGAACATCGGGTTCGGCGCCGCGCCGGCGCCGAACGCGCGCGTGGTCACCGAGGGCGACCGCGAGCGCGAGGGCTTCGTCGCGGGGACGCACCTCGGCGCGCGGCGGGGCTGGAACCCGTTCGCCGCGCCGCGGAGCGGCGGCGGGGGCCATTAGATTAGTTTGTTGTACTTATATGTTCGGCATGAAGACGCTGAAGCCGTCCGCGGCCGTCGTCATGACGAGGCCGGGGATCTGCGGGTGGTACTTGGCCTCCTTGGGGTCGTCCATGCCCTGGTGGACGAAGAGGAGCTGGGGCGGCACGTCCGGCGCGCCGGCGTCCTGGCCGTCGTCCTCGACGCTCAGGTCCCAGAGGCTCACGGCCTCGACGGCGCCGCCCGCGCAGGTGCAGAGCGACGACTCGTCGTGCGGGTCCCACTCGACGGCGGCGAGGTGCGAGCCGGCGTGGTAGTCGAAGCGGCCGACGGGCTCGCAGGCCGCGCCGAAGCGCCGGAGGTCCCAGACGCGCGCGCAGCCGTCGTCGCCCGCCGTCGCGACGAGGTAGGCCACGCTCCGGTTCCAGCTCAGCGCGTTGACGTCCGCGGCGCCGTGCGCGTCCGCGCGGGTCAGCATGGCCCTGGACGCCGTCCGCGCGTCGAGCACGCGGAGCGCGCCCGCGGCGCTCCCGCAGGTCATGAGGACCGTGGCCTCCGTGGGCGACCAGGCGACGTCCTCGACGGCGCCCGGCGCCGGCGCCCACTCGACGTCGACGGCGCACGCGCCGCTCGGGTCCAGGCGCAGCGCGGACACGCTGCCGTCGTTCGCGCCGCAAGCGAGGCAGGCGTCGTCGCGCCACTGCAGGCCGAAGCCCTCCGCGGGCCGCTGCGCGACCGCGAGCGGGCCCCGCTGTATGACCCCCGCGGGCCGCGGGCCGGCCGCGCAGAGCCGCTCGCACTCGGGCCGCGCGTCCCAGACCAGCACGGCGCCGCGGTCGGACCACGTCGCCACGAGCCCCGGCGCCCGCTCGCAGGCCGCCACGCGGTTGACGCCGCCCGGGTGCCCGAAGGCGACGTGGTCGGCCGTCGCGTCCGCGTGCCGGTCGTCGTCGTCGTCGCCGTCGTCGTCGGACTCGTCCTCGTCGGAGTCCTGCTCCAGGCGCCCCAGGCCCTCCAGCTTCAGCAGCGTGAGCCGGTTCGCGTCGCCGACGGCCTGCGTGCCGCACGCCGCGAGCAGCGCGTGCGGGAACCGCGTCCGGCCGCCGCCGCCGGCGTCGCGCACGAAGTCGAAGGACAGGCAGGGCCAGTCGCTCCCGAGGCGGTGGAGCATGCGGTAGGCGCGCGGGTCGAAGTCCAGCTCGCCGCCCTTTGCGTTCCGCCGCGGGTCCTGGACCCGGGTATTGGATAGGGTCTCCGCCTCCATGTCGGCCTCGATGAGGCGCCGCGCGTGCTCCTCGCCCTCGCCCTCGTCGCCGACGACCACGTCCTCCTCCATGTACTCGTCCTCGAACGCGTCGTCGAAGACCGGGCCGTCGTCGGGGGCGGCGGGCGGCGGCGGCGGCGGCGCGGCGCTCCCGCGCTTGGCCGGGGCGTCGCCGCTGGTTGATGGGCGCTTGCCCTTCTTCTTCGACTTCTTCGGCATGGTGCAAGCTGCTCTCCTTTTGTTGAGTGCTCTCTCGCCGGTGCACCACCAAAACGCCGCGTGTTCAGCAGCGGTGGAGTTACGACCGATGCGGCTCACCGACGCGATGCAAAGCGGGGGGTAGCTTGTGAGCAACCACGGAGCTCTCGGCCAGCTTTTTATCGCACAGGAGCATCGGACTTGCCAGCAGTCTGTTTGCCTGTGTTGCCGGCGGGGAGCGCAGCCTGCAGGACAACAGGAAACAAGGGCTTCAGCCTTCAGCTAGCACTGGTGTATTAGCCGTCGCTCGCGTACGAGAACGGACCATGCGTGCGCTGCTATGCGTCGTCGCCACCGCGGCCGCGCTCTCCGGCTCCGCGCGCCCGCCGCCGCGGCCGCCGCGCGGCAAGTCCAAGGGCCGGAGCCGGGCGCAGCGGCGCGGCAACGTCAACGTCCCGTCGTCGGTCCCAGAGGACGAGTCCATCGACGCGCGCGAGGCGCGGCTCGCGGCGAAGTTCGCGGCCTGGGCCAAGGAACCCCCGAGGGACGAAGAGGTGGTCGTGGAAAAGGAGGAGACGCCGGCCGGGGCGTTCGGCGGCTGGAAGAAGGAGGCGAAGGTCGAGCCCGCCGGCGGCTTCCTGCTGCGGCGGCCGCCGGCGGCCGCGCCCGCGCCGCCGGCGCCGGCGCCGCGCGGGGAGGGCCGCGCGGCGGCGCCCAAAAAGCCCGCGGCGCCGGCCAAGACGCGCCCCGCGGCGAAGACGCTCGCCGACGCGCCGCCGGCCTTCGCGGAAGGGGAGCCGCCGTCGCGCGCGGCGTGGTCGGACTTCCTCGGCGCGGCGGCCGCGCGGCGGCTCGTCGCCGACGGCTTCGAGCGGCCGACGGCCGCGCAGAGCGCGCTGGGCGCGGCGCTGGCGGACGGCGCCGCGCCGCGCGACGTCCTGCTGGCCGCGCCGACGGGCAGCGGCAAGACGCTCGCGTACCTCTTGCGAACGCTCGCGGACGCCGACGGCCCGGGCGGGGTGCTGGTGGTCGCGCCGGGCCGCGAGCTGGCGGTCCAGATCGACCGCGTCGCGAGGCGGCACTTCCCCGACGTGTCCTCGACTGCGGTCGTCGGCGGCGCGAACCGGAAGCGGCAGGCCGAGGCGCTGCGGAAGGCGAAGCCGGCGCTGGTCGTGGGCACGCCCGGCCGCCTCGCGGAGCTCGCCTTCGAGGGGAGCCGGCCCCTGAAGCTGGGCAAGCTCCGGTGGTGCGTCGTCGACGAGTGCGACCACGCGCTGCGCCCGCCGTTCGGCGAGGACGTCGAGGCGCTGCTCGGGGCGCTCCCGCGGTCGTGCGGCGTCGTCTTCGCGTCGGCGACGGGCGCCGCGCTCCTCGGGGACGAGGGGGAGACCGCGAGGCGGGCCCGGGCGGCGCTGCGCGTCGACGCGACGGCGGCGGGGCGCGCGGGCGTCGCGTCCGGGGCGCTCGCGGCCAAGGCGCGCCACGGGCGCCTCCGCGCGAAGGCGCCGCTCGACGCGCTGCGGCGCGTGCTGCGGGCCGCGGCCCCGGCCTGCGAGGCGGCGCTCGTCTTCGTCGAGGACGCGGCGGCCGCCGAGGCCGTCGCGACGCGGCTCGCGGCCGCGGGCCTCGACGCGCGCCCGCTCGTCGGCGACGCGCACTCGACGGCGCGCGCGGCCGCCGTGCGCCACCTGAACGAGGGCGCCGCGCCCGCGGTCGTCGTCGCGACCGAGGGCGCCGCGCGCGGCCTGGACTGCCCGCGCGTGACGCACGTCGTCAACTACCTGAGCGCGCCCTCGTCGGCGTCGCACTACGCGCACCGCGCGGGCCGCGCGGGCCGCGCGCCGGCCACGCCGGCCTACGTCCTCTCGGTCGCGGGCGACGCGGCCCAGGACCGGGTCCTCGACGCGCTCGAGCGCGACCTGGGCGTGAAGCTGCACGGCGTCGAGCTCGGGGGCGGGGCGGTGCGGCTCGTCGAGGACGCCTGATGTGATGCGCCCGTGTTTTTTGTTGTTCGTAAGACGTATCGTACTCTGATGATAGCATGTCTCACGGCTCAGGCTAGTTACGTCGCAGGGTCCCCCGTACCCCTCCCGCTCCCCCCGGAGGCTAGTATGTCTCACGCTAGGTTTAGTTTTTAGGTAGATGAGTTCACGCGGATCGGGTCGCGGAGTTGAGGGTGGAGTTACGCGCGCGGGCGGCGACGGCGTAATTGAGGTAATTATTTCTTTTCAAGTTTTCCCCACCCGCCGGCCGCGCAGTAGCAGCCGCCGTTAATTTCTGAACTTCACTATTCGGGGTCAGTCGAAGAGGTCTGTTTTCAAAAGCCATCCGCCTAGGCCTGTATTCCTAGTGTGTATAGGCTAGCAGGCCGCGCCAGAGAGCTCCACGTATAAAAAAATTACATAAATAGGCTGTCTACTTACAGCTAGCTTGCACAGGCTTCTGCCGCGCAGCACTCACGCGCACTCGCCGCGCAGCACTCAGCTCTTAGCGGCACGCACGCCTGGGCGAAAGCCAAATCGCAGACCCTGCCGCATAGCGCTGCAGCCCTCCGCCGGACGCACGCCTACGCGAAAGCCAAAATGCCTCGGCGCCGGACCGGCCTGCGGGCGGCGGCGGCGCGCGGCCTCGCCGTCGTGGCCAGCGCGCGGGCGCAGTTCCAGTTCGAGATCCCGCAGGGCATGTTCGAGCAGATGCACGGCATGGGCGGCGGCGGCCGCCGCGCGCCGCGCGGCCCGAGCGCGCCGAGCGGCATCCACGACAACTTCGACTGGCTCAAGGCGACGAGCTGGCACTGGAACGCGTGGCGCGACGTGCGCTTCGGCGCCGACGGCCGCTTCGAGGCGCCGACGCCGGACTGCCAGCAGGGCCAGTGCAAGTGGTCGGCGGACGAGTCGACGATCTACATCCGGTGGGGCCAGGCGGGCCTGCACAAGCTGCGGCCCACGAAGATGGAGGCGGCCGCCGACACGCGGCTCAAGGGCAAGCGCGTGCAGGACGGCGAGAAGTGCTCGGCGACGTTCCTGAGCAAGGAGGAGCGCGACGAGGACCTGGACCTGTACGAGGTCCTGGGGCTGGACGACGAGGTCGACCAGAAGGAGATCAAGAAGGCGTACCGGAAGCTGTCGCTCCGGTACCACCCCGACAAGTGCAAGAAGGAGGTCGAGGTCACGAAGGCCGACGGCACGACGACCACCGAGGACTGCGCGAAGCTCATGAACCGCGTGACGCTCGCCTACGAGGTCCTGGGCGACGAGGACAAGCGCATCCTGTACGACACGGGCGGCCTCGAGAGCGTCAAGGAGGGCGTCGAGGAGGACGAGGGGCGGGGCGGCGGCGGCATGGACCCGTTCTCGATGCTCTTCGGGGGGGGCGGCGGGCGGCCGCGCGGCGGCGGCAAGCGCGGGCCCGACGCGCGCGTGGAGCTGGCCGTGTCCCTCGAGGACATGTACCTGGGCAACGTCGTGGACGCGGCGATCACGCGGCGCGTCGTCTGCCGCAAGTGCGCCGGGCGGAGCGACGGCAAGTGCGCGGGCTGCGGCCGCTGCCCGAACGAGGTGCGCATGGTCCAGCGCGAGATGCGGCCGGGCATGATCGTGCAGCAGCAGGAGGAGGTGCACTCGAAGGAGAAGTGCAAGAACGAGGAGACGATCCTCAAGGCGCACGTCGAGCGGGGCATGGGCACGGGCGCGGAGCTGAGCTTCCCGCGCATGTCCGAGCAGCGGCCGGGCCAGATCCCGGGCAACGTGGTCATGACGCTGAAGCAGAAGGCCCACCCGCGCTTCAAGCGGAGCGGCGACGACCTCCACGCGGACATGGTGCTCACGCTCAAGGAGGCCCTGCTGGGCTTCTCGCGCGGCGTCGAGCACCTCGACGGCCGGACCGTGACCGTGGCCCAGACCAAAATCACGAAGCCGGGCGAGACGAAGCGGCTCAAGGGCGAGGGCATGCCGCACCACAACTTCCCGTCCGAGTTCGGCGACCTCGTGGTCAAGTTCCAGATCAAGATGCCGGCGCAGCTGTCGGGCGCGCAGCGGGAGGCCGTCGAGTCGCTGTTCTGAGGGCTGTTGGCGGGGGCGATTTTATTTACTAGTATATTATATATCTCCGGTGAGGTGTCGGGCTTTGTCCGCTGATTGCGGCTTCCCGCGCTAGGAAATCCCGCGACGAGAGAGAGAGTCACTTTGTGCCCACCCAGGCACCATAGTAGTAGTACGGACCCCGAGCGCTTCGCCACTGCACAGTGCTGTGCTGGGCAACAAGCCCGGTGTTGTTTCACAGCGACCCTACCCCCGAGAACCCAGACACCATTCGCTCGCCGGCTTTAGTTTTTTTAGAGCATACTCGTAAGTAAGTGCGAGCACACCACATATTCTAAGTGCAAGCGGAGACTGCATATCGCTGTGCAAGCAGCATGCAGCCGCCCCGGGCCGCGCTGCTCCTCCTCTGCTGCGCCTCGGCGGCCGCCGGGCTGCAGCCGCCGGCGCGGCGCGCCCGCGCGCCGCCGGGCCAGCGGCGGCGCGTCGGCACGCTGCGCGGCGGCGCGGCGCCGCTCTCGGCCGCGGCGACGGCGATCGCGGCGTCGCCGGACAAGCTCTTCAACGCCGTGTTCGGGGGCCTCGCCGCGACGGCCGTCGTCGCCAAGGCCGCCACGAGCGCGCCCGCCGACGGCAAGCCCCGGCAGGCGGACGCGGCCGCGCGCGAGCTCCGGCGGCGCTTCCTGCCGGTTTTCTGGCTGCTGCGCATGGCCGACTGGCTCCAGGGGCCCTACTTCTACGAGGTCTACGCGTCCAAGGTCTTCGACGGCCAGCCCGCCTCGCTGGAGCTCGTGTCGCGGCTCTTCCTCGCCGGCTTCGGCTCGACGGCGCTCTTCGGGCCCTACGTCGGGCGGCTGGCGGACGCGCGCGGCCGCAAGCTGGGCACGCTCTGCTACGCGGCCCTCTACGCCGGCGCCGCGGCGACGACGAAGTCGCCGGTGCTCTGGGTGCTCTTCGCGGGCCGCGTCCTGAGCGGCGTCGGGACGTCGCTCCTCTTCTCGGCGCCGGAGGCGTGGCTCGTGGGCGACGCGGCGCGGACGAAGCAGCAGGACGCGCTCGGCGGCGTCTTCGGGGCCGCCTACGCGGGCGACGCGCTCGTCGCCATCCTCGCCGGGCAGCTCGCCGCCGCCGCCGCGGCGATGCGCGGGCCGACGGGGCCCTTCGAGCTCTCGGCGGGCTTCCTCGCGGCGGGCGCGCTCGCGGCGGGCCTCCTCTGGAAGGAGAACGTCGCCGACGCGGGCGCCGCGGGCGAGGGCCCCTCCGTGCGCGACGCCGTCGCGACGGTCCGCGGCGACCGCAAGATCCTGACCGTCGGCGCGATGCAGGCGCTCTTCGAGGGCGCCATGTACATCTTCGTGCTGCAGTGGCCGCCGGCCCTCGCCAAGGGCGTGGCGAAGGTCTTCGGCCAGGGCGCGGCCACGCCGTTCGGCGCGGTCTTCTCGTGCTTCATGGTCTGCTGCCTGCTGGGCTCGACGACGTTCCAGGCGCTCGCGGCCCGCGGCGTGCGCACGGAGCGCAAGGCCGCGGGGACCATGGGCCTCGCCGCCGCGGCCATGGCCGGCGCCGCGGTCTCGGCGAAGCGGAACGCGATGGCGAGCCTCTGCGCGGCCTTCTTCGCCTTCGAGCTGTGCGTCGGGCTCTACTTCCCGACGATCGGCACGCTGCGCTCCAAGTACGTGCCCGAGGGCCAGCGCGCGATCATCATGAACCTCTTCGGGATACCCCTGAACATGCTCGTCGTGGGCTGCTTCCTCTCGATCAAGAAGCTCGGCGTGCCGGGCGCGCTGTCGGTCGCGGCGGGCGCCCTGGCGCTCGCGGCGGCGGCGGCCGCGGACCTCGCGCGGACGACGAAGGGGGGCGCGTCCTAGTCGGGGGCGGTCGGCGGTGGGTGGGGCCCTTAAGTTTAGTGCGTTCGTTCTTGTTTCTTGGCCGCTCCGCGGCGCCCGCGCCGCCGCCGGTCGCTTCCGCCGCGCTCGGCGGGGGTTTTCGTTAAAAGAACGGCTCGCGGCGATCGCAAAGACGGATAGCACGCCTCCCGGTGAGCGTGGGTGCGCGGGGCCGTGCCGCTAGCATGGGCCGGTACCAGGGTTCGCTTCGCCTAAAAAGCTAGCGTCCTGTAAGACACTAGCAAGAACCCTGCGACGACGGTGTCTAGCCTCAGCCTCAGTATACCATCAGTACGGGGGGCTAAGGAGCGTTCGGTCGGGTTAAGATAGTGTGAATTTTTAGTCGGAAAGGGGAGAGAGGGAGGGAAGGGGAGGGGGGGTTGTGTCATCAGTCTCGAACTATAAAGAGGCGCACCGGCGATCGAGCCGGCGTGCGTTACGTTGAAGAAACGAAGTATGTTGGCGACGGCTGCTACAGACCGAGCGAGCAGGGGCTCGTGGGCTTGTGCGCCGGTCGCTTCCCAGGACCGGTCGATACAAAGAGAGCAGAGCTCCTCTATAGTCGCGACACCGGCACGCGCGCCTATGGGCCCTGGCGCCAGCCGAGACAAGTCGAGGCCTTCGTTCCTTGCAAGGTAGTAGAGATGTCGCTATGTTAAGTTCCTGAAGTGTATTTGGGGAGGGCTATACTCGGGCTATACCTCGTTTCTTCATTATTTTTGACTATGGTGCGGGTTTTACAGAAAACGAGACAGCGAAGGACTGGGGAGACGGACATGAATCTTGGTGGGAGGACCGGCGAGCGCTGCTCAGCGAGCCAATACGTAAACAAGTACCTCAGCATGGGGCGACGACAACAACTGCAGCTCTCCGTCTCGGTCACGCCGCAAGGGTGCAGATCTCGAACCAAGCTCTCCTTGCTCTCCGTGCGCGCCGCTCGAAGACATCGCACGGCCCGCGCACGATGGACAAGACCAAGGTCCTCGCCGCCGGCGCCGCCGGCCTCGCCGCCGGTCTCGTCGTCGAGCGCCTGCGACGGAAACAGAAGGACGTGACGGGCCGCCACGACGCGCGGGTCATCGTGGTGCTCGGCGCGCAGTGGGGCGACGAGGGCAAGGGCAAGCTCGTCGACGTCCTCGCCGGCCGCGCCGACGTCGTCGCGCGGTTCAACGGCGGCGCGAACGCGGGGCACAGCCTGGTCGTCGACGGCAAGACCTACGCGTTCCACCTGCTGCCGTGCGGCATGCTGCGGGCGGACTGCGAGAACGTCATCGGGAACGGCGTCGTCGTGCACCTGCCGACGCTCTTCGAGGAGCTGCGGCAGCTCGACGACGGCACGGACGCGTCGCTCGAGAGACTAGTCGTGTCGTCGCGCGCCCACGTGCTGCTCGACGCGCACCGCGTCATCGACGGCATGATCGAGGACGAGAAGCGGGGCCGGAGCACGGGGTCGCTGGGCACGACGAAGCGCGGCGTCGGGCCGGCCTACGCCTCGAAGATGAACCGCAACGGGCTGCGGTTCTGCGACCTCGTCGGGCCGGACGACGTCCTCGTCGAGCGGCTCGGCGCGCTCCGGGCCTTCCAGCACGCGCACTACCGGGGCTGCGTGCCGCCGACGCTGGAGGCGGACGACGAGGAGCTCGGCAAGCTGCGGCAGTTCCGCGACCGCCTCGTCGCGAAGAACGTCGTGCGGGACACCGTGACGCTCCTCCGGGACCGCATCGCGGCGAACCGGACGATCCTGGCGGAGGGCGCCAACGCCGCGCTGCTCGACGCGGACTTCGGCACCTACCCCTACGTCACGTCGTCGTCGACGACCGTCGGCGGCGTCTGCACGGGCCTCGGCGTGCCGCCGAGCCAGGTCGACTGCGTCATCGGCGTCGTCAAGGCCTACACGACGCGCGTCGGCGCGGGCCCCTTCCCGACGGAGCTGGGGCTCGACGCGGGCGCGGGCCGGCACCTCTCGAGCGTCGGCCACGAGTACGGCACGACGACGGGGCGGAAGCGGCGGTGCGGCTGGCTCGACGTGCCGCTGCTGCGGTACTCGCACGCCGTCAACGGCTACGACAGCATCAACCTGACGAAGCTCGACGTGCTGACGGGCCTCGACGCGCTGAAGATCGGTGTCGAGTACGCGATCGACGGCGAGGTGCTCCCGCGGGGCTACATGCCGGCGTCGCTCGACGAGCTCGCGCGCGTGGACGTGCGCTACGTCGAGCTGCCGGGCTGGACCGAGGACCTGAGCCTCTGCCGCGCGTTCGCGGACCTGCCCGCGAACGCGCGGCGCTACGTCCGCGCCGTCGAGGAGGCGCTCGGCGGGCGCATCTCGTGGGTCGGCGTCGGCCCGGGCCGCGACGACATGTTCGTCATGCCCGGCGTCCATTAGCCCGCTCGCAACCCCCGACCTCTAAGTACCTCGCGCGACTACGAACTATGCACCTCACAGTTTTACACAACGACGTCCGCGTCGCGCGCCTCGAAGGCGCCCAGGACGTCCCCCCCCTCCTCCGCCTCGTCCGCGGCCCGCTTCGCCGCCGCCGCCGCCGCGCGCCGCGAGTTCTGGTCCTTGACCTTCTTGAGGCGCGTGAAGTCCTCCCGCTCGAGCTCGTCAAGCTCGGACGTGATGTACGAGAGCGTCGCCTCGATGCGCGGGATCGTCACGTTCTCGAGCGCGTTCACGCGCCGGTTCGTCACCTTCAGGGCCTCGTCCATCGTCACGAAGGACGTCTGGAGCGAGGCCAGCTTCACGAGGATCTCGAGCAGCGCGCCGAAGCGCGCGCGGCACTCGCCAATTTTGGTACCGCCGCCGCCGAGCCCGAGCGTGTCGAGGTGGTCCGTGCCCACGTCCGCGCGGACGCGCCGGAACACGGGGATCTTGACGCCCGCGATGTTGTCGGTGCGGCCCTCGATGCGGCAGCTCGCCTCGAAGGAGCCCTCGAGGACTTTGTTTTTGAAGTCTCCCGCGGCGTACTGCGCGGCCGTGAGCGAGAAGAACGCCGCGCCGCAGGCGTCGGCCATCGTGGCCTTGGTCGCGTAGATCTCCTTGGCGATGCCCTGGAAGCGCGCCTTGAGCGCGTCGGCCTTCTTCTTGAGGAGCTGGTGGCCCTTGGTCGCGCCCGTCCTCTTGGTCTTGTAGGTCTGGAGGGCCATGCGCGTGGGCGGCACCTGGTCGGCCATCGTGCGGGGCGCGCAGCGACGGGAACGCGACCGCCGGCGCTGCGGGCCGACGCGCGAGGACACTGGACGTCCCAGGGCTGAAGCATTCCTAGTGTCTTACAGTCCGCTAGTCCGCGCGAGGCCGCGTTGGGGCGAAACGAAAGTTCCGGAAACCTGGGGCTTGTGACCGCTCTTGGGCGAGGGTGCTTGTAGGTTTGTCCTTGTAAAAAATGCAAAGGCCTTTAAATTTTTTTTGAGCGCCGCGCTTGGAAGGCCTCTAACGACGATGTATCACGAGATTTGGAGGCCGGCGGGAGCCTGGGTGGCGCGGGTTTGTGTCGACAGGGCAGCCGTTTTTGGGCGCTTGGGCAGCACGTCTCGACGCGCTACGGCGGAAGAGGGATACAGACGACGCGCAGCAATGCGGACAGCAGCGATGACGTTGTGAAAAACGAGTCCGGGGTCCGAGCGCAGCAGCAGCCCTCAATTTACCTTGGTACCGGCTGGAGCTGCGGCGCGGCGCCGACGGGATGGATTTAGCAGGTAGGATAGCAGGTTAGCAGGTAGATACGGAGACGAATTGGATGTATACGGGCGCGCGACTACGCACGGCCTCGGACACGCGGACGTGAACGTCCTCACCAGTAAAGCGCGGCGCCCTCTGAGAGCTCTCTGAGACTAGCGGTCGCGTCGGAGCTACGCCGAAGCCGACGTTCGGGAAGAAATCACCCGAAGATTGCTTCATTTCGTCCGACTATGCCCTGGCAGCTGCCGGTCTAGGCCCGGGCTTTAAGACGGGGTCGCTGGACAGGAGCGCCATCATCGACATGTGCGCGCGGTCCTTTCACGCAGATCACGCGCAGGCTATTGCCATCGCTGTGTTCTGGCTGGGCTATCTTCAAGGAAAATGGAAACAAGGCAGCAAAGTAGTGTTCTTGTTTATACTTAAAGGACATCTGATATGTATAGTATTTATACCCCTGCACCTACCTTCACCTACGAGTCCGGCAGACCTATATTGCAGCGACGGTCACTCCCTTGTTAGTGGTAGCCCGCCAGATCGGCTCGCCAGCTACATTTCTTTGCATACCCATCTAGGCTTGCGACCAGAAGTGCACGCAATCGCGTGGAGGCGGTGCCACAGAGGTTATTCCAGAGGGCGCCGGATCCGTGTGCACTGCGAGGGGTTGCGAGAAGGTCTTGCGCAGAACCAAACGATAGATTAGCAGTGGCACGGCGACGCGCTGGATTGCAGGAAGCTCATGTTCATGGGGTTAGCATCCGCGGCGTGCACGTGGCCGAACCCCTCGAGGTGAGCTAAGGCGAAGTCCGAGCTGCGCAGCCCGCTGTTACATGATGCACAAAGAAACCCGCGAGTCGTAATGCCGAGGGCGTGATGCACCAATCGCTGACATGATTCGCAACGAATGTTGCGTACCGCCGAGTGGCTGATGACGGTCACATCGTGCCGGCCAAGGGATGTTTCGAGATCTTCGCTCTGGTCTTCGAGAGGGGGCATGTCTTCGAGAGGGGGCATTCCTTCATCGGTCTCCTCATCGACTGCGGCGACCGAGGTCGGACTCTCCGGTCGAAGAGCGTCGACCCGCGCTGCGAGCGCGCCGACTTCAGGGGTGATGCTGGGTTGTCCTGCTGCAAGCGCCCCCACGGCAGGCGGCGAAGCGCGAGCGGAGCTGCCGCTCATAGCCGACGGTCAGAGGCTCTCGTGCGCTCGATGTATCGCAGCCCCAGCCCCTCAGCGCGGCCCGCACCGGGCGCACGCAAATTAAAGCGCTCACCCATGAGAGCAATGTGGGGCAGCCCAGATCGCGGCTCCGCCGCGGCAGACGGGAGATAGAAGATGTGTGAAGGGTCGCCCAGTGGGGGGCGCTTTCAAATGGCTAGCAAGATCGAGGCCCGCGGCGTCGCGCCAAGCGTCGCGCCAAGATGCCCTAGTTACAATCTAAGTCTCGCTTAGATGACAAAAATAGAATCAAAGGCCAGACTTGCCTTACTGAAATTCTCCCCGGAGGCCTCCGCGGGCCAAGACCCATCCGTGCTAGCAGGACGCGTCGTCTGGCTTTGCACCACGCAGCCAGGCACGGAGCTACCGGAGCTTGCGGCCCCCGCGCCTTGAGTCGGCCGCGTTGGGAGGGCTGATACTAGGCCTTCGAGCATCCGAAGACGGCTCAAGCACCGCGGAGCCGATTGCCGGAGACTGGGCGTCCTCCTATACGAGGTGAGCTGGTGACAAATAGAAGGTGAGGCTGGTGGTCTGTCACAAAAGGTCGTCTGCAGTGACTGTCATGCTGGCCGTCTGTCACAAAAGGTCGTCTGCAGTGACTGTCATGCTGGCCCTCCTCCTTGCGTGCACGTCTCCTCTCACCGATGCGTTCACGCCGTCGAGGACACCGCCACGACGCATACCCGGACGGCGGGCGACGGCGACGGCGGCGCCGCCCGCGGTCGTCACGGAGGTGACGGCGGCGCAGGTCTTCGGCCGCCTCGCCGACAAGAAACTCCTGTTGGACGTGCCCGGCGCCGGGACGCCGGAGATGAAGGACTGCTGCCACGGCGGCTGCGACAACTGCGACTACTCGCGCGTCTTCGACGAGATGAACGCGGGCAAGGCCAAGTGGGTAGCTTGTTACGCGCGTTGCACAGTGTATCCCTTTTAAGACCTGTGATATCACATCTCATCGATCATAGGTCGTGCGCGAGCACAGCGACGGGCGGCGCCACGAGGCGCCGGTGCGGGACCTCTTCGGCGGCGACGAGCGCCTGGGCGTGGCGGAGTTCGTGGCGCGGCTCGGCGAGGTCGACCCGCGGCCGGCCATGGGCGCGCGGCCCGCCGACCTTACCTCCGACTTCGACGCGGCCGCCGCCGAGGGGCTCGTCCGCAAGGTCGTCGGCGGGGACGAGGTGAGCCGGGAGGCGTGGGGCGACGCGCTCGTGGCGATCTCCGGCGAGGCGCACGGCGTCGCCTGGCGGCCGTGGGCCAAGGCGCTCGTCGGGTGAGCAGCTGCTCGGCGCACGGGGCCACGGCGCCCGTCGGGTGAGCAGCTGCTCGGCGCACGGGGCCACGGCGCCCGTCGGGTGAGCAGCTGCTCGGCGTCGCCGGGCGGCCGTGGGCCACGGCGCTCGTCGGGTGAGTAGCGGCTCGCGCGGCCATGTGAATAATGTTAATGAAGTTAGGGCGAGGTCTAAACTTTAAAGGCGGGGGAGGAAGTGCGCGTCTCCCTAGAAGTCGCCCGGCTTCGCCGCGTCCACGTCGGCGGTCGGCGCGTAGCACTGGTCCCGGACGCGCTCCACGATGCGGTGCGCGGCGAGCGAGTCCGCGTGCGTCCACTCGGGCGCCTCGACGGCGCCGGCCCGCACCGCGCGCGCGACGCTCGCCGCCTCGTACTGGAGCGAGATGGAGCCGGGGTAGTTCCACCGGTGCGCGCCGTCGTCGCCGGGCTCGGGGAAGTCGAGCACCTCCGTCCGGGACGCGGTGCGCGACGTGCGCGTCGTGACTTCGAGCGTGCGCGGCGTGTGGTGCGTCGCGGCGAAGCGGAGCGACCCGGCGGTGCCCAGGACCGCGCAGACCTCCGGCGTGTCGCACTGGCCCGTCCAGAGCAGCGAGGCGACGCCGCCCCGCCGCTTCGGGTCGCGGCCGACCATGCGGGCGCTGGCCGCGACCGTGAGGTCGACGCCGTCGCCGCGCCCCAGCACGGCGACGCCGCGCGCGTCGGCGAGGTCGTAGTCGCGCGAGTCGAAGGCCAGGAGCGCCTTCTCCGCGAGGTACACGCCGATGTCGCGGCCCATGCCCCCCGTCGCCGCGGACCCCCGCACGCCGTCGGGGCAGCCGTTCGCGATGGCGTAGCCGAACTCGGCCTGCACGGCGACGACGTCGCCGATCGCGCCGCCCCGCAGCAGCTCGCGGGCCTTGGCCGTCGCGGGGAAGCAGCGCGTCCAGACGCCCTCCATGAGGAAGGTGCGGCTGGCGGCGGCGGCGGCGTAGAGCGCCGCGACGTCGTCCACCGACGTCGCGAGCGGCTTCTCGCAGAGCGTCGGCACGCGGCGCGCGATGAGCCGCTCGCAGAGCGCGCGGTGCGAGTCGGGCCGCGTCGCGACGTAGCACGCGTCGGCGCCGTGCCGGTCGCAGCGGAACATGGCCTCGTAGCCGCCGTACGCCGCCGCGCCGCGGGCGTGCCGCGCGCAGAACTCGCGCGCCGCCGCCTCGCTGCGCGCCGCCACGGCCACGACCTCGTGGCCCTCGAGCTGGCGCACGGCGTGCGCGAAGTCCGCGGCGATCTTGCCGGCGCTCGTGATGGCCCAGCGGAAGGGCACCATTCGTGTGCTGCGGTGCTTCAGGGCCTCAGCTGTGCAAAGAGAGAGTGCTCTCCGGCTAAAATCGATGCCCCCCGTCCAGAGAAATCCACCGCAGCTTTGCAAAAAGAATGAAAGGGTACCAAAAAACGCAAGCACGATGCGGATGCGCACCGGCCAGCCGCTCACCACACCTCGCGCGGCGACGGGCCGCGCGCGCAGGCCCGCTCCGGAACGCCTCCGGGAAGGCTCGTCTCCCTTGCTTGAAGGCTGGGCGAGGACTCGTCGGACCAATTTCGAGCAACCCGTCCGACTGTGTTTTGGTTGCAGGATCATCTTTGCTAATTAGGTTGCGCTCGTTCAGCAATGTCAATTAGCAGCGTGACAAACAACCGCAGGGGCTATTGAAGGAACCACGGACGCGGCGGCTGGAGCAATACGGTGGCCCGCGTGCCTTGTCTGGGGGGCCGCAGCGACTGGGCTGTGTCGCCACAAGCGCTGTAGCGGCGCTCGGCGCCGGCGTGCCGTCGTTTGGCCGCTTGCTGTCGCGGTCGGCGGCCCCGACGAGGCACGAGGCGCGCACGGACTCCCCGCCGGCGGCCCGCCGGCGCCGGCGGCGGGCGGCGCTACGACCGACGCGCGCGCGCGAGCGCTCGCAGCGCGCGCGCGCGTCGGCGGCGCCGGCCGCGCGCCGCGCGCCGAGAGAGCACGCCCGCGGCGCGCGCCGCGCGCCCGCGAGAGCGACCACGGACGCGTCGCGGACGCGCGCGCCCCCCGCAGATGGCCCGCATCGTTCTGGCCCTCGCCGCCGGCGCGGCCGCGCTGGCGCCGGGCTCGAAGCCCGCGGCGCAGACGCGGAGGGAGCTTGGCCAGGGCCTCGTGGCCGCCGTCGGCGCGCTCGGCGCGCAGGCGGCCGTCGCGTCGGCCGGCGACTCGCCCAAGTTCTCCTTCTTCGGCTTCTTCGGCAACGGCGGCACGATGTCCGAGGGCGCGATGTACGGCACGGACCAGACCACGCCGACGTACTCGCCCTACTCGGTGTACGGCAAGCTCGGCGACGAGAAGGCGGTGTACAAGAAGTACAACGCCAAGGAGATCGACTTCAAGAAGAAGATGCTCGCCGAGTCCGAGCGCCGCGTCAAGGGCGTCGACGCGGCCATCGGCAAGAAGAACTGGGAGAGCGTGCGCCGCGACCTCGACGGCCAGGTCTACAACATGCGCAACACGATGAACTACCTCGCGGCGGGGCCCTCGGCCCAGCCCGGCGCCAAGGCGGCGGCGAAGCAGTTCTACCAGGACATGGAGGCCGTCAACCTCCTCTGCAAGCGCAAGAAGCAGGCCGCCGCGCAGGACGCCTACGGCGCCATGATGTCCTCGCTCGACTCGTTCAACAAGCTCATCTAGGTGGGCGGCGGATGACGCGCGTGTAATACTAGATGCAGTTAGGCGAGCAGCAAGCACAGCACCGCCCGCGGGCCTTCGTCTCCGCGGGTCACTGCCCTTGAATGAGTGCGCATTTCTCGCACCGCTGCTCTCATCACGCGATCCATCACGACGGGGCTGCTGCGCCGGCTTGGGGCTGCATGAGACGAGGTAGCCTAGTAGTACGACCGCGCGCCGCGGCGGCGCGGCATAAGCAAAGTGTTTTGGAGGGGTCCTGGGGAGTAGTCCGGTAGTACTCTCATGAGCCCTGGTCGTGACCCCCTTATAAGGGGGGGGAAATAAGATAAGAAGATCGATCCCCTCCTCGGACCTCGGAAGGGGGGGGGAGCGAGGGTGTGAGATGTGAGTGTGAGACCCGTTTGGAGGGGTAAGTGTGAGTGTGAGACCGGTCGCAGTTAGATGTGAGACACGGGCGACCGTGCGGGTCGCCCCGGCGCCGCGCTGCGCGGGGCAGCCGGCGGCGCCAAAATGACTGTATTTCCGGCCATGTCGTCTTCCAGGCTCTGAATTGGTCTGCCAAGCACGCGTGGCGGCTCTTTCAGCACTTTTTGAGGCTAAATTTAGCGATTTTTAGGCAAAAAATCGTTTAAAACCCGAATTTACAGGCGTCCAGGTGTGAGATTTTGCGCTTAGATGTGAGTGTGAGGACGCGTCAGACGCGTAGATGTGAGTGTGAAGACGGATTCTCACACCCTCGCTCCCCCCCCTCTCGGTCAGGCAGAGAGCCGAGAGAGCCGGGCTCCTGAATTCACCTCCCGCCAAACCAGCAGCAGGACGCCGGTACCATGGAACCTGCTGCCCCTCCGGACTTTTTTGTTGTACCGCCCGTGCGCCAGACCTACGCGACGGGCTTCTTCGGCGCCCGCGCGGTCCCGAAGATGAAGAGGCGGCGGAAGCAGTGGAAGTGGCGCAAGTCCGCGCTCGCCTACTTGCTGCAGCGGCCCGAGCCCCCGCCCCCGCGCCGGGCCACACCGCCTCCCCCAACTCCCACCGACGTGAGCTTCCTGATTTGGCCGGTACGCCAGCGCTGGTCCAGGCCGTTCTACGACTTCCCGCCGACCGCGACGCACTTCGTGGCTGCCCCGTTCGACATGCTGGACTTCTTCGCCATGACGCGCAAGACCCTGCGCATCCGCGCGGAGCTACGCGCCGAGCGCCTCGGCGACGGGCCGCCCGCGCGCGCGGCGCCGAAGCGGCCGCCGAAGCGGCCGCGCGGCGACCCCGACGCGACCGACAGCGACGACGACGACGAGCGGGACGACACGTGCGCCTGTTGCGGCGGCACGACGCTCACGGCCGCGGGCCTGGCGATGGATGAGGTCCTCGTCTGCGACAACCGGCAGTGCGAGGCGGAGGTCCACCTGTGACACTGTGTGGAAATCAAATTTTGGGCGCTCCACGCCATCGACGCGGCGTCGTCCCCTAACCTCACTGCGTGATTTCCACACAGGTCGTGCACGGGACTAGACAAGGTGCCCGACGGGGACTGGTACTGCCCGGACTGCGCGCCGCGGCCGGAGGACAAGTGCGTGCTCTGCCTGGCGTCGACGGCGGCCAACGACCCGAACAGCGTACTGATCTGCGACGAGTGCGACGGCGACGCCCACCTCGAGTGCACGGGGCTCGCGGCCGTCCCCGGCGCCGAAGAAGAATTCACGTGCGCCATTTGCGCGCGGCGGGCCGTGCGGCGGGCGGCGCGGGCGGCGCGGGCGGCGCCCAAACGGCGCCGCCGCCGCCCGCGGGTATGGATAGAAGAGAACCGGCCGCCGGCCGAAGTTGGCCCGCCGATCGCGCAGCCGGGCTGGCCCTTCGTCGTCAAGCCCGACGGCGACCTGACGCGCGTCGCGGCCGCCCTCGAGGAGTGGCGGGCGCGCCTGCCGCGCGAGGCGACCAGGCGCCGCACCCGGAGCGACTACTCCAGGCCCCAGATTCTCTACAAATGGGACGCCACGTCCGGCGAAGCGCGCGGATGGTTCCCGGGGCGAATCACGCGCGCGCTCGGCGCCGGCAAGGAGTACAACTTCGAGATCGACCTCAGCCGGCGCCGGCGGGGCTGCCCGATTCCGAAGGAGAGCGTTTCGACCGTCGACGCGGCGGGCGAGCGGCGCGACGCGCGTCTCGCCCTGAACAATTACGGCACGAAATGGGTCTGGATCGAGGACAGACGCCTGCCGCGCAGCGACACCTGGCTCGCCGCGGAGGACGTGGACGTCGGCGATCACGACGCCGTCGCGGCGGCGATCGAGCGGTGCGCGGGCGAGCACGGCGGGCTCACGACGCTCAACCTCGGGCTCGTGACGCGCGGCGGGAAGGACGGCGTCGGCGCCGACACGGCCCGCTGGCCGTACCTCCTGCAGCTGCTACTCCGCTACTTTGCGCGCTGGGCGCCCAGCGACGCGCTGTGCAGCTCGGTCTACGTGTGCTTCGGCGACGGCAGCTACGACCGTCGGACGAGAGGCCTCCACGTCGACGAGTTCAACGTCGCGGAGTCGCGGCTGATGGCCGTCGGCGACTTCGCCGGCGGCGGCCTGCGCCTGCCGGCCCGGGAGGCGGCGCCCGTCGACGTGCGCCAGAGGGCGAACCTCGCGCGCGGCGGCGACGGCGGGCCGTTCTTCGTCTTCGACGCGAAGCAAGAGCTCCACGGCGTCGAGCCGTACACCGGCCGGCGCGTCGCCGTCTCGTTCTACACCATCAAGGAGACGAAACTCCTGAACGACTACGGGCGCGCGAGCCTCGCGGACCTCGGCTTCCGCCTCCAAGGGTCCGTCGACGCCCCCGTCGTCACCCCCCCCGTCTCGCCCGCGCCGCCGCACTAAAAACCCGGTTTACCCGAAGCACTCGCGCTTCCGGCCGCGCGCGCGGACGGCGTCGAGTCGCCGGAGGACCTGCTTCGCGTCGGCCGCCGCGGCGGCGTAGGCCGCGAGCACCGCCGCCACGAGGCCGTCCGCGTCCCGGTGCGTCGACGCGAGGGCCCGCTCCAGCACGTAGAGGTCCACGGCCCGGTCCTCGACCTGCGCCGAGGCGCCGGCCAGGCCGAAGTCGATGAGCACGACGTCGTCCGCGGCGCGGCAGACGGCGTTCGAGGTCGTGAGGTCGCCGTGCACGAGCCCGGCCGCGTGGAGCCGCGCGACGGCGCCGCCGAGGGCCGCGAGCACGGCCCCGAGGCGCGCGGGGTCCGCGCGGTTCGCGTCCACGAAGGCCCGGGCCGTCGGGCCCGGCACGCGCTCGAGGTAGAGCACGCAGCGCGCGGCGTCGACGCCCAGCACCGCCGGCGCCGGCACGCCCCGCGCGCGGCAGCGCGCGAGCGCGCGAGCCTCGGCGAGCGTCCGGTCGCGCCGCAGCCGGCCGTCGAGCGCCGCGATGCGGTAGGCCTTGCGGTGCCGGTGCTTGGCCACGGCCGGCAGGCCGCAGAGGTCCAGGCCGTAGACGCGGGCCTCGGCGCCCTGCGAGAGCAGGCTCCAGTGGTCCCGGGCCGGCGTGTCCGCGTCCTCCTCCGCCTCGGCGAGGGCCGACATGAGTATTTGCGCACGTCCAGCCAGCAGTTGTGTTGAAAGCCTAGTCCGTAGCACCAATGGCTGTCGACGTAGAACCCCGCGAGCTCTGGAGGCTCTGGGCTCGATCGCAAGTGATTTATCTTTAGCTTTGTCTTAGTGCTCGTCAGGTTGCTCCAAACAGCGCCACCTCGTCGGCGTTTCGCCCACAGCGACGACCACGACACGCTTTTCGTTTGGTAGGGCGATGCACTGGCGCGATGGATGTACGCACGGTAGAGCAAGGACTCGTAGCAAGCACCCCCACCTACAATGTAACATACTAGCACAAAGCCATACTCGGGCATCGAGTGGTGCGCGTTCGGTGGTATCCGGCCCGTTTCCTGAAGTTCTGCCGCCGGCATGGCGGCGAGCCTCATTTGCCTGCGACCGGACCGACCCTACGGAGCGGAGCTGGTCTCGACCTGGGAGGCGTTGGGGGCGGCGGCATGCCGCCCCCCGTAACCTTGGCCGCGCCGGCCGAGCTTTCGCAGGCCCTCCGAATCGCTGGGGCATCCATTGAACCCATTAGTTCCGTTCCGACGAGTTATTGTCAAGGGCCGTCTGGGCGGGTCGGGCTCTCGCTCCTCGCTTCAGGATTGCTCGGCCTGGTGTGCGAGGGCATCTCTCTCACCACTTGATTTCCGGCTCGTCATAAAAGAGGAGCCAGTGGCCAGTTTCCACACCCTGACGGGGGTCGTCCCAAAAAAGGGGGGGCGTGCGAGTCCCTGTGACTCAGCCCTTGCGTCCTAGTCCAGCCGGACGGGTGGGCCCGGGGGGAGCGGGAGGGGTACGGGGAACCCTGCGACGTAACTAGCCTCAGCCTCAGCCTCAAAGCCTGAGCCTAAAAAACGTCAGGTCGTCACGTCCCTTGGCGCATCCAAAACCCGCCTCTACGTGTCTCCACGGCCAGAATTATCATGGAAAGGCGGTGTCCTCTCCGAGTCTGGCCCGCCGGCGCGAGCCGTCCGAGAGGCTGCGCCACGCGTTCATCTCGCCGCTCGAGACACGCCCCGGCGGCCGGACTAAGCGTCGCCGGGTTACTCCTCGCGGGGGGGGGTGGACCTAGGCGTCGCCGCCGCCGGCCGCGGCCGCGGCGTCGGCGCGCAGGCGCCGGAGCTCCTCGCGCAGGTCCCCGGCCTCGGCGCGCGCGGCCGCCAGCTCGTCCGCGCGCAGCTCGGCCTCGCGCTCGAGCGTGCGCAGGCGCCGCCGCTCGTCGCCCGCCGCGTCCGCGCGCGCGCGCGCGGCGTCGAGCTGGCCGCGCAGGTCCTTCGCGAGGTCGACCCAGTGGGCCACCTCGCCGGCGTAGTCCTCCGTCAGGGTCTTCTCCTTCGCGAGGGCCGCGTCGGCGGCCGCGAGGCGGTCCGCGAGCTCCCAGAGCATCTCGTCCTTGACGTCGAGGGCCTCGCGCCACCCCTCCGCGTTCGCCAGCGCGGCGAGGCGCTCCTGGAGCTCGCGCGGCAGCGCCGCGTCCGGGTCCGCGTCGGGGAGCCGCGGCAGCTCGAGGCCGGCGACCTCCTCGACCTCGTGGCAGAGCTCCGCGAAGCGGTGCACGAAGCCGACCTTGGACGCGGGCGCCTTCTCCGCGGCGGCGTCGGCCTCGGCGTTGGACGCCTCGAGCGCGAGGCGGTCGACGTCGGCCACGTCCTGCGCGAGCTGCTCGGCGGCGCGGCCGAGCTCCGCGCTCCGGGCCTGGTGCGCGTCGCGCAGCCGCCCGAGCAGCGCGTCGGCGTCGCGCCGCGCCTCGGCGTCCAGCCGGTCGAACGCGCGGTCGAAGGCCTCGGCGCGGTCGCGCACCCAGCGCGCCGCCGCCGCGAGGCGGTCGCGCCGCGGGAGCAGCTTCGCCACGAGGAGCTGCCGGAGCGCGTCGAGGCGGCTCCGGTAGGCCTTCTCGAGCTCGACGACCTCGTGGCCCCGCGCGGCGGCGGCGTCGGCGCCCTCGGCGGTGAGCGGCGCGCCGCACGTCTCCGAGAAGTGCGTGAAGAGGGGCGCCGCGGCGCCGAACGCCGCGGCCGGCGGCGGCGGCGGCGCGTCGCGCGCCGCGCGGGGCGGCCGCGCGACGGCGTCGTAGGCCGGCGGCGGCGCCGGCGACCGCGAGCGCCGCACGCGCGCGCGCTCGGCCGCGCGGCGCCGCGCGCGCCGGAGCTCGTCGTCGGCGCCGTGGCGCGGCCGCAGCTGCGCCGCGAGCAGCGAGCCCGCGTCGGGCGGCGCGTCGTGCAGGATCGCCTCGTCGCGGCCCGCGCGCCGGCCCTCCTCGTACCAGCGCGCGCGGTCGTCGGGCGGCGCCCCGTCGTGGTTGACGTCGCCCAGCGCGTGCCGCTCGGCGGCGCGCATCAGCTTGGCCGTCGCGTCGTTGAGCGTCGTCGCGGCGCGGTCGAAGGCCTCGGCGTCGAGCGGCTTGGCGCGCGACTTGGCCCGGTCCTTGGAGCCCTTCTTCGACGACCGCTTCTTCTTCTTGTCCTTGTCGCCGGCCATGCTGCCGCTCGTGGGTAGCAGCCCCTGCGCCGGCCGTTACTTGGTCGGGCTTAGCACTAAGTCGCAAAAAGCGGCCGGCAAAACTGAAAAAGGATAACGTACTAGGGTGTGCCGGCGCACCGTTCCAATAGCTCCCGGCGCACGATAGATGAAGTATAGTAGACGAGTAGCCGGGTCGCACCGCCGTGGTACTCGGTAATTTATAACGACCTTAAATCAGGCTTGACCCGGACCCCCACCGTGACGGCCTGGACGTCGGCTCTACTAGCCTCTAGACGTCGGCCAGGCTACCTGACTCGCGTGACATCATCATGGAATTACGCGTCCGCGCGGCGCCTCGGCGGCGGCGAAGACTGTGGCCGCGAACGCTTCGCCGGCGTCGGGGGAGAGCCCCGAGGCGTCGAGCAAGATCCGGCCCGGCGCGTCGGGCGGGGCCACGGCGAGCACCAGGGTCGCGCCGCGGACCGCGACGCGGTCGACGGCCGCGCCCGCGAGGGCGACGCGCCGGGCGAAGCCCTCGCCCGCGCGGAAGCAGTGGAGCGCGCCGTCGTGGACGAGGCATTCGTGCGGTTCGGGCGGCGCCACCCTGCGCGGCGTACGGCCCGGCGGCGGCGCCGCGGCGACCTTGATCGCGACGAGCGTCCCCGCGAGCGGCGTCAACCGCACGACTGCCGCGGCGCCCGAGGCGGGCGCGGCGCCGCCGCGCAACGCCAGGCGACGTTGGCCGGCCCACGCGTCGCCGTGGAAACGCAGCGTCGCCGCCCCCGCGCCGCGCCGAACGGCGAGGCGGAGCGCCGCGCCGCGCTCGACGAGCGCCGCGACGGCCGCCCCGCCGACGGCCGCCTCGGCCGCGCCGACGACGCGCCGACACAGGCCCGCGCCCTCCCGGATTTGGAGGGACGCGACGCCGCCCGGAGCGCGCACGAGCTGGATCAGGACCGGCCCGGAGCTCTCGCCGCCGCTCAGCCAGTCCGTTCGCCGCCGCCGCCGCGGCGGTGCCGCCGGCGGTGCCGCCGGCGGTGCCGCCGGCGCGGCCTCGCGCGAGACCGCCGGCGGCGGCGCCGCCGCCGCCGCCGCCCGCGCGCTCAGTTCCACGCCCAGCATGACGTGCGCGTCCTTCGCGAAGCGGACCCACCGCGGCGCCGCCGCCGCGTCGCCGTCGGCCGCGAGCGCGCCGAGCCCGAGCTTCCGCGAGGCCACGACGTCGTCCGCGGGGCCGACGACGTCCAGGACGACGTGCCGGTCCCCGGGCCGCGCGGTCGTCGCGACGCGCGTCCCGGTCGCGACGGCGCCCGGCAGGTGGAGCCGCAGGGGCACGTCGCCCACGAGGCGCCGCCGGCCGCCGCGCGCGACGAGGAAGACGCGCAGCGCCGCGCCCGCCCGGCCGCGCGCGGCGGCGCCGCGCCAGCCGACCACCGTGGCTGCGACGACGTTTTTCGGGGGCGGCGGCGCCGCCGCATTTGGACGCGGCGCGGAGGCGGGCGGCGACCCGGGCGCATCCGGCGCGTCTGGCGGCGGCCGCGCGGCCGCGCGGAGCTTCTCGCGGCCGCGCGCGTGGAGGTAGCGCACGCGGAGCGGCGGTCGCGGGGGCGGCGGCGGCGGCGCCACGGGTGCGGGCGCGGCGGGGGCTTTGTGCGCGCCTCCGCGGAGGAGGCGCCGCGCCACGGCGCCGCCGCCGGCGCGCGCGCGGACCTCGACGCCACCGCCCCGCCGCGCGAGCGAGTAGCGCTCGTGCGCCACGGGCACGGCGAGCCGCCCGCCGAAGCGTCGCGTGTAGCCGGCGTGGCCGGCGCCGGCGCCCAGGGCGCTCGTGGCGCCAGCGAGCCGCCGCCGGTCCGCCCGGTCGTCGCGCGTCGCCCGCGCCGCCTCGCGCCGCCGCCGCCGCGCGAGCCGGGCCGCCTCCTCCGCGGCGGGCGACCGCGGCGCCTCGCGGGCCCGCGCGGCGGCGGCGTGGTCGGCGCAGGCCGCCCAGGTCGCCTTGATCTCCGCGTCGCACCGCCGGTAGCCCTGGTCGGGGCCGCGGCCGATCATCATAGCTTCCGGCGCGAGGTGCTGCCCCACATGTTATTGCTTGCTATAGCTCATGCTTGGGGCCCCAAGCGGCTGCCCCATGTTGTTGGCGCATGCGCAAAATGTAAACTGGTAGAAATTAATTCACCTTGTCCGGCACGGGTTTCTTTGTAATGATTGACGAATCTGTAACCGAGTAAGCTACTCCTGATGTCCTGATTGACGAATTTGTCGTTACCCGTAGCGATAATTGAGCTAGTTATAACCCACTAGTTTTACCAATTCGAACCGACTACCTACCTCTGTGGTGTTTGGACTGCTCATAGCGCACCTTGAAGAGTATTGGTGCAGCAATGGCGTCCAAGAAGCGCGGCACGGCGGTGGCAGCGGCTGCCGCCGAGGTGCCCGGGCCGGAGCCGGCGCCGGCCAAGCGCGCGCGCGTCACCACCGAGGCGCCGGGGCCCGCCGGCTTCCTCGGCCGCGTCAAGGCGTTGACGAAGGAGGCGGCCCGCGACCAGCGCGTGTCGTGGGACGAGTACTTCGGCGGCATGGCGCTGCTCGCGGCCGCGCGCTCGCCCTGCGAGCGCCTGCACGTCGGCTGCGTCGTCGTGCGCGACCGGCGCGTGCTCAGCATGGGCTACAACGGCTTCTTCCAGGGCGCGCCGCACCAGTCCATCATGGCGCACGGCCACGAGCAGGCCACGGTGCACGCCGAGCAGAACGCCATCGCGCACGCCGCGCGCGTGGGCATCTCGCTCGGCGGCGGCTGCGCCTACGTCACGCACTACCCCTGCGTGAACTGCTTCAAGTCGCTCGTCGCGGCGGGCATCCGGAAGGTGCACTACATCGACGACTACCGCAACGACCCGGTCTGCGTCGAGCTCTCCGAGGTGTCCGGCGTGGCCATCGAGCGGCTCGGGGGGGCGAATAAATAAACGGAATACAGTTAAACTTAACAGCCCCAGCTCGAGGGGTGGGAGACGTCGCTCGCGCGCGCGACGGGCGCGCGCGGCGGCTTCCACGTCGACGGGTGGCAGAACTCGATGGACCGGGCGGCGTAGGGCTGCTCGACGCGCGGCGGCTCCTCGTCGTCGGACACGTCGATCTTCTCGAAGCGGCTGTAGTCGAGCGGCGAGGCGCGGGCGGTCGCCCGCGCCCAGGCCTCGTCGTACGCCTTCATCGCGGCGCTCGGGTCGCGCCGCGGCGGAGGGGGGGGCACCGGCGCCGGGCGGGCGGCGACCGGCGCGGGCGCCGCCGCGCGGCAGCCCGCCCGGTGCTGGCGCCAGACGCGGCGCTGGCAGTCGCCGCGGCCGCGGCGGCAGAAGACGACGCGCCGGCACGCGCACGCGAGCGTCGCCGGGCGGCAGCAGGCGAGGCAGCGGCGGTCCCGGGCGCACGCGAGGTCCGCGCCGGCGCCGCAGACCTGGTCCCGGTCCGCCGCGGCCAGGGGCGCTGCCGCGCGGACCGGCCCGACCGACAGCACGAGGCGGAGCGCGTCCGCGGCGACGTCCCTCAGTGCGTCGTCGCCGTGGCCCTCGCCGCGCGCGAGGCGCGCCAGCGCCGCCGCCGCGCGCGGCCACCAGCGCGAGCCCGCGACCGTCGCGAGCACGGGGTGCGTCGCCGCCGCGACGCTGGCGAGGAGGCCCGCGGGCCCGCGGCGCATGACCGCGGCCGCGCCGGCGCCCAGGGCGTCGGGCGGCGCGTCCGCCGCGCCGGCCGCCGCGTCGCGGGGCCGGACGTGGCGCGCGGCGCAGGCGCCCGCCGGCGCGCCCGTCCCGAAGCGCGGCGGGGCCGCGAGCAGCGCGAGCGCGGTGTCGACCGCGGCCGGCGCCGCCGCCAGGGCCTCGCAGGCGGCCACGCGCCACTCGGGCCCCTCGTCGCACAGGCGCCGCAGCAGCGTCGCGGCGCCGAGGACCTCGCGCTGCAGCGGCGTCAGGCCCGGCGCCGCCGCCGCGTCGCAGCCCGCGGCGTCCCCCGCGTACAGGCTACGCCGCCCGTCGTCCCAGAGCAGGCTCGCGGCCTCGTCCGCCAGCGCCGTCGGGCCCAGCGCGTACATGCGCCGGTCCAGGTCGGCGCCTTTGGTCGCCGTCGTCATCGCGTCCGCTCTCTTGATTGTTAAACGGCTTGCTTATGATCCCGGACCTTTACGCTCCAAGAAGGGAACCACATTCGTTGCTCACCATTTTAGCCAGTTTCTTGGGAGGAAGTAATCCCCGAACGCCAACTATAGCTATTGATTAAATGATTATGCCCGTGTACTCATCAGGAAGCCGACCGGCCTGGTCGCCTAGCCGCGTGTTTCGCCTTGCTTACTTCGACGCGCGACCCGAAGCCCGTATTCAGGCGGTGTACGATGGGCGCTGCCCGAGGGACGAGGCAGCACAGGAGGAAGAGGAGGCAGCAGCGCGGATCTGCTACGGCTACAGTACCGTAGGTACCGTACTGTATTCACTAGGCCTATTCTATCCGTTCAGCGATATTAGCTTCGGTATGTGCTGGTGTCTAATGAGCTGGGTGCAGCAAGTGCACAATGCAGCTGTGGTAGCTAGGTCTCTCGGGTGTCAATGTGACACGGAGATGCCAACAGGAAGAACTCTCACTGAAACGTGAGAGTGTGGGAACCCCCTCAACCCTGACTCAGTGAGAAGACAGAATTGGAATAAAGGAGATTAAGAGGGAGAAGGAAGTATCCTAAGATACAGGCCACTAGCCTCTGATATCTACTAGAACCTGAGAGGAGCTCTAGATAAAGGTAGCTGCAGTATCATAGCACAATCGCTGTACTCCCCCTGAACCAATACTACCGTAGGTAGTAGCCCATCCTACCCTAGATATGTATCTCCCACTCTCTAAATTTGAGTCTATACATTGAGTGTCTATCGACACTACGGTGTAAACCAATTTACCATAAAACACTCTCGTAGTTAGGTTGGCCCAGCCTTTGGCTGGTGAGCTAGGAGCCTGCTACCTTACATAACGCTGCGACATACTCTTGCTAGATACAAAGGTATAGCAAGTTTGCGGAGAGCAGCGCTAACTAACGAGAGCAGCGAGACCCGGCGCGCCCGTCGCCATGGCCAAGAAGAAGAAGCCGGCCCCCGGGCCCGAGGCCGCGCCGGAGGCGGCGGACGAGGCCCCGGACTACGGGCCGGCCCTCGCCGAGGCGGCGCGGGAGGCGGTCGAGGAGGGGATCGAGGCGGCCTTCGCGCGCGCGGAACAGAACGAGCTCGACAAGTTGGCGCCGGCGTTCGTCGCGGCGGACCTGATGCGCCAGCTCAACATCGCGGTCGCGTGGGCGACGCTCGAGCCGGACCGGCCGACGGCGGCGCAGCTGGCCGCCGCGCCCGCCGAGCCCGCGCCGCCGATCATCGACAGCTGGGCGCGCGGCGTCGTCGCGAGCCGGCCCCGGCCGCGCCCGCGGACGCCGCCGCCGGCGGCCGACGCCGCGGCGTCCGAGGGGCCGCCGTCGTCGCGGACGTCCGCGCGGTCCGCGCGGTCCCGGACGGGCCGCAAGCGCGCGCCCCGGGCGCCGGCGGGCGGCCCGGTCCTGCTGGACGTCGAGGAGGAGGACTGGGGCATGGCCGTCGGCGCGTACGCGTTCGCCGAGACGACCCAGTTCAACTGGCCCGAGGCCGAGGACGCGCGGCCGAAGAGCGCCAGGGCCCTGGCGGCGCGGGCGGCCCGGGACCGCCTCGACGAGGAGGAGCAGCGCGTCGCGGCGCAGCTGCGCGCGCTCAAGCAGCGCGGCCGCGCCGCGGTCGTCCTGCCCGGCGGCGCCGTCTGCGAGCTCAAGCCCCTCGACAAGGCCCCGGCGCCGCCCGCGTTCAAGGTCCGGGCCCCGGCCGCGCCGCGCGCGCCGCGCGCGCGCGCCGCGGCCCCGGGGAAGAAGCCGCCGCGCGAGAAGGCGCACGTCGCGGCGGCGCGCCGCTTCTTCGTCGGCGGCCTCGAGCAGCCGCCCCTGCTGTCGGGCGACTCGGGCTTCGGGCCCGGCGTCGGCGTCGCCGCGGCGCAGGGCGCCAAGCGCGTCGAGGGCATGGCGCGCCAGCGCGACGCGTCGCACCTGAGCCGCGCCGAGTACGAGTCGCTGCGCGACGAGGAGGAAGGGTCCCTGTTCGCCGAGTCGCGGCTCGACGCGGACGTCGAGACGCGGGCGCGGTCGCCGGTCACCGTCGACGGCGGCGCCGGCGCCGGCGCCGGCGACGACGACGAGGACGACGACGACGACGCGACGGCGGCGCGGCGGCGGCGCGCCGCCGCGGCCGCCGCGGCGCTGCCCGGCGACGCCGTCTCGCCGCTCGCCGGCGGCAAGCCCCGGGTGCCCACGCCCGAGGCGGCGCCCGGCGGCGGCGCCGACGACGAGGACGACGAGAACCTGAAGCTCGTCGGCGCGCCCGACTGGGGCGCCGTGGGGGCGGCGAAGGAGCCCGTCGTCGGCCGCCTGGGCGCGCGCCAGTCGCCCGCGCAGCGCGCCCAGACGTTCAACCTCCTCTCCGGCGCGCACCTCGCGCCCCAGGCGCGCGTCCGCGTCGCCGCGGCGCCGCCGACGCGGTCGCTCTTCGAGTACTCCGTGCCCCCGCCGGGCGTCTCGGAGCTGGGCGCCCACCTCTTCGCCGAGGTCTCCCCCAAGAAGCTGCTCCCGGGGACGCGGCCCACGCTGGGCGTCGCGGGCGGGCGGGCGAACTAACTCAGAGCGGTACATTATTCGTAGCGAGCGCCGCCGATACTAGTACTCCGAGTCGCGCCACCCCTGGGGTCTCCGTCTCTCAGACGGCGGCCCGGGCGGGCCTTTGTCGCACACGCTTGGTGTATGTCCTTGCCCTTTAGGATAATCCTTCCTTCAACTTATTATTTATTCAAGTTTATTTATTTTATTTACATATGTAGGGCATGATGAGAAGCGCTGGCACGGGGGGTGACACCGAACCCCAAATTTGCCGTATCTCTATAACTAGACGTCTGGTGTTCCGGCAAATTGAGCCAGAGGGGCCTATATACCCCTCTAGGACGTGACCGAAACGGGTAAGCGAAACGATTAGGTTTGGAAATTTTAGTGGCCTGCGAAGGTCGCGCCAGTGGCGTTTCGTGCCGCGTCAGGCGACCTATCTGGCAGCCCATCGGGTACCCAGCCGCACCAACGCATCCATCCCACGCCATAGGTACCCGAGGGCCCCTGGGAGACCAAAATACCAGCATGGAAGCGAGTTTTGATTTTTCAGTCCAGAGGTCCCTGAAATACCCGCACGTTAGGCCCCAGATGGGCAACTTCGCGACCACGTCTCGCCTCGAAAGTGACCCCTTCCCCCCATCCCGGTCACGGGGCGTACAAAGGGACCCTTTGGGACCCCTTAGCCAAAATCGCCGGCGCATTAGTGGCTGGGAACTCGAATCTCAAATTAGGAGACACCCCCGTGCTGCCAGTGGTGCGCTGGCAGCACCTAATACCGGGTACGGCGGTAGATCCCGGGCCCCGTGTTCCGCCCCGCATCGTCTGAGATTCGCCTCGCCGCGACGCTGGTCGACCCGAGTCCGCGTGAGGCAAGTCTCTTACGCCCTCTCCAGCACCACGAGGTAGAAGTCGTCGAGGTCCTCCTCCGCGTGGACCAGCCCGAAGCCCCCGGCCGCGAGGAGGTCCTCGACCGCCGGCAGGGCCTCCACGACGGCCGGGTTCCCGCGCCGCTCCTCGCGCACGAACGCGGCGCCGCGCCCGTGCGCGACGACGACGCGGCCGCCCGGCGCGAGGCGGGCCGCGCACGCCGCCAGCACCGCGTCGACGTCCGGGAAGAACTGCAGCGCCGCGACGAAGAGGATCGTGTCCCAGGCCGCCTCCTCCCCCCCCGCGACGAACTCGAAGAAGCCCGCGCGCTCGAAGCGGGCGTCGGGGTGCCGCCGGCGGGCGAGGGAGACCATGCGCGCCGAGAGGTCGACGCCGCAGTACGCGGCGCGCGCCTTCAGGTGCGGCACCATGGCCCCGTCGCCGCAGCCGACGTCGAGGCAGCGGCCGCGCGCGAAGGCCGCGACGCGCGCGAGCCGCGCGTCCAGGGCCGCGTCGGCCGTTTCGACCGGCAGGTAGTCCGCCACCGTGTCCCAGGTCATCGCGAGGAGCCGGTCGCGGCCGCGCGCCGGCGCGGCGGGGTCGCACCGCCGCGCGCGGGCCACGTCGGCGAAGAGCTCCGGGTCGCTCGCCCGCAGCTTCTCCATGTACGAGTCGAAGCGCGCGGCCTGCGCGGCGTCGACGTCGCCGCCGAGCTCGTCCAGGAGCTTCGCCGCGGCTTTGCCGAGCGCGGGCCGCTTCGGGGGCTTCGGCTTGGCGCCGAAGCCGCCCGCGGCCCTGGCCTTCTTTTTGGCTGCCGCGGCGACGCCGCGCCGCGGCGGCGCCGTCTGCGGGGCTAGCGCTGCGGCCGAGCAGCCAAGCAGGAGGACTGCCCTCATCGTGTCTGCTCTGCACGGAGAGGAGCCACCGAATCACCCCCGTTTTCTTTGCTCTGGACTCCTGCGCATGCGCATCTCGGACGCGCTTGCAGCCCGCAGCAAATACGTTCACGCAGCCAAATAGCTCTGCCAAGCACGCCGGCTTAGTAGCTGAAAAATACTTAAGGCGCCTAGCACGCCTCGGTTTCCCGCACACTGAGTCCTGGGTGCAACCGCACGGGAGCTGTCCGGGAGCACGGGCCCTTCCTAGGGCTACTAGTAGGTTGCGAGCGAAAGCTCGCTCGGCCTGTCGCGCGGGCGAATAAACCGCACGAGGGCCCGCGGCGCTCGCTTGCTCGCTGCTCGGCGCCTGTCGTCGGGAGGGAGCGTGGCCTTTTGAAAAACGCACGGGGGCCCAAGGGGGCCTCGCGTCGTGCCATCATAGTATGGCGCTGCCGGGCGGCGCCCCGGCGCGCGAGTTCCTGGAGTCGCTCGTGCCCGTTCAGCCGAACGACCACGCCTGGCTGCAGCCCGGCGCGACCGCGTACGTGCGATTCGGCCACCTGGAGGGCGACGACGGCTGGTACGAATGCACGCTGGGGGAGCAGGAGGGCGGCGCCGACCCGGGTGGAAATCAACCGCCACGCCATCGAGCACGGCGACACCGTCGATGGCCTGGAAACTCCACACCCTCGAACGGACGCGGCTGCCGAGACGACGTCGCGTCGATAGCGTGGGGTGCCCGACATTTGATTTCCACGCAGGCGCCTGGCGCGTGACCTGGAAGAACGGGGACACGGAGCCCGACAGGCTGCCGGCGGCGTGCCTTGCGCGCGCGCCGCCCGCGGAGAAGCCGCGAGACGGCGCGTTGCACCGCTGGGTCGAGGTGTACTGGGCCGGCGACGCCAAGTGGTTCCTCGGCCGCGTCGTCGGGAAGCGCGAGGGCGAGCTCAAGATCGCCGACACCGGTGCACAAATCAAATTGTCGCGGCGCGGCGCCGCCACCGCGGAAGCGTGGCCTCCACGCCATCGACGCGACATCAGCACGACGGCGTGGCGGTGTGGTCTCTCGCCGCTCGACTCGCGGCCGCGCGCGCCCGACTCACCGGTCGATTTTTCGCCGCAGGCCTACACCGATGGGGAAACGCACTCTCACGTGATGCAGGACGAGCCGTTCGCCGGCGCCGGCGCGCCGCCCGAGATCGACGACTGCGCTCCCGAGCCGTGGCGCTTCGCCGAGGCGCCGCCGCGGCCCAAGAAACGCCGCAAGACCGCGAGGGCGACGAAGCCCTGCGGCCCGCCCGAGGACCAGCGCCTCTGCAAGCTCGTTTACCAGTTCCTGTACCACCGCGCGACGACGCGGCGCCTCATGTACCCGTCGGAAACCGTCGTGAGCGCCGACGGCAAGGCGCTCCCGGCCGCTACGCTGCCGGAGGCGGGCAAAGGCGGCTTCGACCACGGCCCGCTGATTCAGAGCCTGGGCAAGATGGGCAACGTCGGCCGGGGCCTCGACTCGGGCACGGTCACGATGGGCGACTTCGTCCGCGCGAAGCTCGAGCACGCGGGGCTCCAGCAGGGCAGCGACGCCTGGGTCGGCCAAGCCGTATTAATGTGCGTCCACGGCGCCTAGCTGTGTGGAAATCAAACAGTGAGTTAGTTATCCTCGCGTCGATGGCGTGCAATCTACACGCCATCGAGCAGATGCAGTTACGGGGACGACGTCGCGTCGATGGCGTGGGGCATCCAAAATTTGATTTCCACACAGAGATGGACAACTGGCTCCCCAACGTGAACAAGGCCTGGACGGCGACGACGCCGGAGGGCGGGTTCCGCGCACCGTCGACACTCGGCGGGCTCGGCGGCGCGAACTTCCCCTCGTCGCGCGAGGAGATCTGGAGCTTCGTGGCCTTCGCGGAAACGCTCTGGGACCTCGGCAAGCCGAAGTTCGCCGGCTCGTTCCAGAACCAGGGCAAGCGCCTGCTGACGTACCTGCCGTTGCGCCTGTACGAGATCGACGACGTCGTCGCGGCGTTGAGGGCGGCCCGGACCTGGGCGGACGCGTGTGACGCTCTGTTGATCTTATCCGGCGTCGGTGATTACGTGGGAGGACAGGCCTTGTGCACGTTCTTCTTCGGGGTCTGCAAGGGCGACGTCTCGAGATTTGCGCCGAACCTCGACGCCACGACGATGAAGTCGTTTTGCCTGTGCGGGCCGGGTCCGGAGGGCGTCGTACAAAAGATGTGGGGGGGCGTGCAGCTCGGCAAGAGCGAGGCGGTAAAACGCCTCGCGTGGTTGGCCGAGAACGCCGAGGCGCGGTTCCAGGCGCTGGGGCTGCGCTTCCCCTTCCAGCAGGACGCCGACGGCAAGCGCAAGCGCCTCACCGCGGTCGACCTGGAACATGCGCTGTGCTACTTCTCGCGCTACCTCTCCGCGCACGATTCCCTGAAGGCCGCCGGCGCGCGGATTGTCCACGACAAGCTCGCGGGCCCCATCACCCGCGGCGAGTGCCCGCGGCCGTCGATCAAGTGGTTCGCGAAGCTGAAAGAGAAAACGGCCGCCAAGCGCTGCGACAAGTGGCTCAAGGGGGGCGTCCGGGAGGCCTTCACGTCGTAGGGCAGGGGGAGCTAACAGCACACTTCATCGCAAACTCCCCTGCCCGCGACGCCGTGCCGACGCCGCCGCCGAGGCGGCTACCGTTCTGTACCGCAAACTTCGGCAAAGCGGCCGGTCGCGGAAGCGGCCGCGCGACCCGCCGAGCTCGCCCGGGGCGGTCGCACCGTAACAGCAAGTTCCCAGCTAAGTCCCCCCGGAGGTCGTGATGATGCGCTATGGATGTGACCTTACCCGGGGTGGTGGCGCCGGCAAGGGGGGGGGGGCTCATCACATGGGTACGAGCTCCGACGTGTGGAAGGGTGCGAAGAGGCCCTGGCCGGCGCGCGGCGACCGCCCGTCGCCCTCGTCGTCGTCGAGCACCTCGCCCAGCAGCGCGACGGCCTGCTCGACGGCCTCGGCGGGGGCCACGGCGGCGCAGAGCGTCGGCCGCGCCGCGGCGACGACGCGGGCGTCGAGGTCGACGGCCCCGCCGCCCGGCGCGGCGGCGAGGAGCGCCTCGCACGCGGGCCAGAGCTCGCAGACGGCCTCCTGGAGCGCTGCGTTTGCCGCGTCCGCGCGCCGGCCGGGGTTTTGCCGCGCGTGCGCCGCGACGCGGTCGGTCCAGAGCGCGTGGAGCGCGCGGCGGCCCGCGTCGAGCGACAGGATGCGGCGGAAGACGGCGAGGACGGGGTCGGCGACGTGCGTCGACGACGCCGCGACGTGGCGCCGCAGGTACGCGTCCAGGTACGCGTGGTACGCGTTCAGCAGCGGCGCGAGCGGCACCGGCACGAGGCAGCCGCGCGGCGCCGCCTCGGCGGCCGCGCCGCCCGCGACGCGGAGCGTCAGGCGCGGCGCGCCCGCGGAGCCGGTCAGCGTCCGCCACAGGCTGCTCGGCGCCGCGCCGTCCGCCCCGAACTCCGTCTCGCCCCACGGCGCCCCGCCCTTGAGCGGGACCGTGACCGTCGACGACGCGCGCAGCTCCGCCAGGGACACGACTCCCCAGCCGCACGTCACCTCGACGGCGCCCCCGGCGCGCGGGCGCGCGTCGTGGTCGGCGGCGGGCGACGGGTCGCGCGGCTTGGCCGCCGCGGCGCGGCCCGCCGCGCGGCCCCGGAACCACGCGGGGCGCCGGCCGGCCTTCGCCGGGCGGCGCGACTTCCTGTGCTTCCCCCGCGGCTTCTTCTTCGTCGTCGACCGGCGCCGCGACGCGTCGGAGTCCGAGTCCGAGTAGACGCGGTCGCTGTCGTCGCCGTCCCCCTTGTTCGCGTTGCGCCGGCGGCGCCGCGAGTCCCCGCCCGAGCCGCCGTCGGCGTCGTCGTCGTCGTCCGAGCCGCTGTCGGCGGCGGCGCTCGCGTCGTCCATGCCGTAGTCCGAGTCGGACGCGGACTCGTAGTCGCTGCCCAGCGCCTCGGCCGCGGCGCGCCGCTGCTTCTTCTCGTCGTCCTCCGCCTCGGCGGCGCGGCCGTCGAAGTAGGCCCGCGGCACCGTCGTCGCGAGCTCGAAGAGGAGCGAGAGCTGGGCGGTCTCGTCGTCCGCGGCGACGAGGAACTCGGCGCTGTCGTAGGCGTCGAGCCGCGCGCGGAGCCTCGGGGCGCCGCCCGCGGCCGCCGCGCGCCGCGGCGCGAACGCCCACGCCGCGCCGTCGCCCGTCGCGGGGACCTCGTGCACGTTGCTCCGGACGCCGTCGGCGCCCGCGCCGGCGTCGAAGAGGCAGCAGCGGACGACGCGCACCGCGCGGTCGTCGCCCCCGCCGCGCCGCCGCGGCGGCGCGGGCACCGCCGCCGCGCCCTGGACGCGGACGCGCCGGACGGCGCCGCGCCCGCCGCGCGGCGGGCCGGCGACGAGCGCCGGCGGCGCCAGCGCCGCCCCGAGGGAGTGCGTCGGCTCGCGCGCGGCCGCCGCGAGCGCGGGCGCGGCGAAGCCCGCCGGGAGCGCCGACCGCGGGTGGCCGAAGGCGAGCATGTAGCCCTCGGGGTCGCCGAGGCGGGGCCCGCGCAGCAGCTTGGCCGCCGCCGCGCCCACCCGGTCCGCGTCGCCCCCGCGCCCCGCGAAGGGGCACGCGGCCGCCTCGCGCGCGGCCGCGGCCGCGCCGCCGCGCGCCGCCGCCGCCGCCAGCCGAAGCACCTCGTCGGCGTCGACCGCGGGCGCCTTCGGCGCCGCCGACCCCTCGTAGGCCGCGCAGCACTCCGCGAGCGCGCGGCAGTCGTCCGCGTCCAGGCCGCCGCCCGCCGCGGACGCGCAGAGCCGCTCGAAGTCCCCGCGCGGCACCGTCGCCGCGCCGCCGGCGAGCGCCCCGAGCCGCGCCCGGAGCTGGTCCAGCGCCGCCGCGCGCCGCTGCGGCGCGCGCGCGCGCTCGTCCAGCGACTTGCGCACCTCGGCCAGCGCCGCGTCCTCGAACTGGCGGTACGTCAGCGCGCGGCGGCCGTCGCTCGCCGCGGACTTGAGCGTGTCCTCGAAGGCCCTGAGGTCGTCCGCCGAGGGCTGGAGGCCGAAGGCCCGCAGCGCGTGCGGCGCGACGCGCTTCACCTCGGACCGCTGGAGCATGCCGTTGCGGTCGCCGTCGTGCGCGCCGAAGATCCGCTCCAGCGCGGTGGCCAGCTCGTCGTCGCCGCCGCCGCCGCCGCCGCGCCGCGCGTCGCCGTCGGCGTCGCGCCGCGCCGAGAAGAGCTCGCTCCGGAACTCGCCCCAGCTGATGCTCCCGGAGTTGTCCTTGTCGAGGGCCTTGAAGGCCGCGTCCAGGGCCGTCGCCGACAGCGTGAGGCCGCACCGCTTGCAAGCCCTGCCCAGGTCGTCGCGGGTCAGCTCGCCGTCGCGCGAGCAGCACTTGCGGAACACGGCGCGCGCGTCGAGGTGCGCGCCGCCGTTGCCCCGCCTCTTCTCGAGCTGCTCGAGGCGCCGGCGCAGCCGCGCGAGCGCGCGGTCCACGAGCCCCGCCTCGAGCCACTGCAGGATGTGCGCGTGCCGCACCCGGGACTCGTCGCCGCGGCTGCAGAAGCGCTCCTCGAGCGCGCGCCGGTCCGCGGGCCGGACGTCGAGCTTGCCCGGCTTCACGCCCAGCTCGCCGGCGACGGCCCGGACCGCCTCCCAGAACGCCTCCGCGGCCACGGCCCCGTCGCGGTTCGCGTCGGCGCGCGCCAGCTCCGCGCGCAGGCTCAGGAGGCCGTCCTCGCCGAGCGCCTTGCGGAGCCGCCTCGCGACCTGGCCGATCTCGCGCCCCGCCGGCGGCTCCACGGCAAAGTCCAGGAACTCGTCGTGCGAGATCGTGCCCGACGCGTCCACGTCCAGGCAGTCGACGAGGGTCCGCCGGTCGCCCGCGCTCAGGTCCACGCCCAGCCGTTTGGCGAGCCACGCCGCGAGCTCGTCGCCGTCGACCTCGCCGTCGCCGTTCGCGTCCATGTCGCGGAACGCGTCGGCGACCGCGTCGGCCCACCGCGCCGGGTCCTCGCCCCGGATGGCCCGCCGGACGCGCCGGACGACGTCGCCGCCGCCGCGCCGCCCGTCGTCGGCGTCGGCGTCGCGTTGCTCGTCGCCGTCGCCGCCGCCGCCGCCGCCGCCGCGCGGCCGCCGCGCGTCGCCGCCCGCCGGCAGGTCGCACAGGCCCCGGACGAAGAGGTCCGTGTCGACGTCGCCCGCGCCGTCCTCGTCGTACTTGTCGAGCAGCGCGTTCTCCTCGTCCGGCGCCAGCGGCACGCCGAAGCGCCGGAGCGCGCCCCGCAGCTCCGCGCGCGAGACGCGGCCGTCGCCGTCGTGGTCGAGCGCGCCCCGCAGCGCCTTCCGCAGGGCCTTCGAGGAGACGGCCCCGTCCTTCCCCAGCTTCGCGCGGACGAGCTCCACCGCCTTGCCGACCCTGGCCTCGGCGCGGCGCAGCGCGTCGACGCCAATCGCGTCGCCGAAGGCGCCGTCCTTGGCGTCCTGGTCGACGCGGAGCCGCCGCCGCAGCGCGCGCTGGTCCTTGTCCCCAAAGGCCCACGCCGCCGGCCCCGCCGCGTCCGGGCCGAGCCACTTGGCGAACGCGACGTAGTCGACGCCGTCGTCGCCGAGGCGGAACTTGCGCGTGAGCGCCGCGGCCTGGCCCCGCTCGAGCTTGAGGCCCAGGGGCGCGCGCGCGAGCGCGCGGTCGAAGGCCGCCCGCTCCAGGCGCCCCTCGCGCGCCTCATCGCGCGCGGCGAGCGCCGCGCAGACGTCGACGGGCGTCGCGCGCGAGAAGCGGCCCCCGCGGCGCTTCTTGCGGAGCTGCCGTCGCAGGGACGTGCGCAGGTCGTCGAGCCCCGCGGGCTCCCGCGCCGGGCCCCCGACGAAGGCCGCGAACTCCGCGTACGAGACGCGGCCGTCGCCGTCCGTGTCCAGCAGCGCGAGCAGCGCGTCCACGGCGTCGTCGTCGACGTCGTCGACGGCCTTCGCCACGAGCTTGCGCAGCTTCCTCGCGTCCAGCGACCCGTCGCCGGCCTTGTCGTAGCGGGCGAAGACGCCGCGGAGCCCGCCGCGGTCCCGGAGCTGCGCCTCGTCGGCCCAGCGCCGCAGCGCGCGGAGGAACGGCTTCGGGAGGACGGCCACGGCGTCGTCGTCGCCGTCGTCGCCGCCGCCGCGGCTCCCCGACGACGCGTCCGACGCCGGCGACGGCGACCGCCGCGCGTCCGGCAGGCGGCCCTTCGCCGCGAGGTCCGCGAACTCGGCGTAGTCGATGCTGCCGCTGCCGTCCCGGTCAAAGACGTCGAAGAGGCACCGCGCCTCCGCGTCCGACACGCACGCGACGTTCTGCAGCGCCTCGCGGAACCGCCGCGCGTCGATCGCGCCCCGCTTCTTCGCGTCGACGGCCTCGAAGGCCGCGCGGCGGTCGCCGAACTCCTTCTCGTAGCGCCGCAGGCCGCGCCGGGCCTTCTTCGCGGCGCGCGGCGCGTCGACGAGGAGCCACGCGGCGACGTCGCCGTAGTCGACGCGGCCGTCGCCGACGCCGAAGGCCGCGCGCAGCGCGGCCTCGTCGTCGCGCGCCAGTTTCACGCCGAGCTCCTCCTCGAGCGCCCGCTGCACGCCCTTGGGCGGGGCCGTCGCGTCGCACGCGTCCGCGTCCTTCTGCGCGCGGAACGCGCGGTCGAGCGCGGCCGGCCCCGCCCGCGCGGCGCCCTTCGCGAGGCGCGCGCGCAGCTTCGCGAGGCGCCCGGCGTCCGCCGAGTCGCGCTCGCCGCCCGACGCGCGCGCGAACGCTGCGAAGTCGTAATACGAGACGCGGCCGTCGCCGTCGGCGTCCATGAGGTCCAGCAGCGCGTCGAGCTGCCGCCCGCCCACGTCGAGGCCCGACGCGTCCTCGACGAAGCGCCGCAGCTCGCCGGCGTCGACGACGCCCGAGCCGTCGCGGTCGGCGTCGCGGAAGGCCTTGCGCAGGCCGCCGCCGCGCCGCGCGACCCAGCGGCGCAGCGCGTCGCGCGTCGCCGCGGCGACGACGGCGTCCGCGTCCGCGGCGCGGCCCGGCGACCGAGACCGCGACCGCGACCGCGACCGCGACCGGCTCCGCGACTGGGACTCCGACCGGCTCCGCGACCGCGACCGCGACCGCGACGACCGCGACGACGCGTCGTCGCTCCCGGCGCCGAGCTTCCGCAGCGCCCGCGCCGGGAACGCGCCGGCGCCGTCCGCGTCCCAGGCGGCCGCGAGCGCCCGGAGCTCGCCGTCGCAGAGCGGCAGGCCGGCGCGCCGCGCGAAGTCGAGCCACGCGTCGACCTCGACCTCCCGCCCCAGCTTCGCCGCCGCCCGCGCGACCTCGGGCGCCGCCTCGAACGCGGCCGCGAGCCGCTTCCTCGCCGCCCTCTCGTCGGCCAGCGCCCAGCGCGCGACCGCCGCGTAGCCGACGCCCGCGCTCGCGGAGAAGCGGCTCCGCCTCTTCTCGGCGAAGCGCTTCGCGAGCGCGTCGCGCGCCTTCCGGTCCATCGCCACGCCGAGCCGCTCCAGGGCCCGCTCGAGGTCCTTGGCGCCGACGGCTCCCGCGCGCCTGCCGTCCGCGCGCCCGAGCTTCGCCGCGAGCCGGTCCTCGGACAGCCGCGCCCTCCGCGCGCCCTTCCGGAGCCCGCGGAACGCCTCCGCCAGCGCGTCGCCCCCGGCGGCCTTCCCCTCGGCCTCGGCCAACAGGTCCAGCAGCGGCGCGTAGCGCACGGCCTCCGCGCCCGCCGCCGCGGCGAACGCCGCGACGACGCGCTCGGCGCCGCGCCGCTCCGCGCCCCGCAGGTCGCAGGCCCTCTTGACGGCGTCCTCGAGCGCGCGCGGCGCGCACGCGCCCGCGCGCCGGCGGTCGGCCCGCTCGAGGCGCTCGCGGAGGGCCCCGGCGCGCGCGGCGAGCGCCGCGTACGCCGCGCGGCCGCAGAACTCGGCCGCGCGCGGCGACGCCGACGCGCCGCGATCGCCGCGGCCCCGGAGCCGCCCCCAGATGCTGCGCTTCCCGCGCGCGGGGCTCCGCGACGACTCGCTCGACGAGCGGCTCCGGCTCCGCCCGCGCTTCCGCACGTACTTGGCCTTGACGCGGCGTTCCCGCTTTCCATCTTCAAAGTCGAGGTCGTACGTCCCGTCCGAGTCGTGGACGCGGCGAATCTTGGCCTTGGACCACGTGTCCCCGCCCGGCGCGCGCGCCTCGACGCGGTCGCCCGCCCGGAACGCGTCCCGTACTGCGGGCGACCGGCTCTGCGACCCGGACCGCGACCGGGACCGGGACCGGCTCCGCGACCGGCTCCGCGACCGGCTCCGCGACCGGCTCCGGCCGCGGCTCCGGCTCCGGTTCCGGCCGCGGGGCGACCGCGACTTGGACTTCGACCGCGACCGCGACCGCGACCGATCGCGGGTCGCCACTCGCACCAGGTGCGGCCGGACCCGCACCTCCTCGTCGCCGTCGTCGTAGCGCAGGTCCAGGGAGCCGTCCGAGTGCACGCGCCGCACCTCGGCCGCGTGCCACCGCTCCCCGCCCCGGAAGCGGCCCTCGCACCGCTGGCCGGCGCGCCAGCGCGCGTCCTGGCCCTCGTCGCGGGCCCGGGCCTGGCCCTTCCGCCGGATCAGCCGCGCCGCGACGCGCGTCTCGGCGTCGCCGTCGTCGTAGCGGACGTCGTAGGTGCCGTCGCGCCGGTCGCGCGTGATTTTGCCGGCGTAGAACTTGCCGCGCCCGCGGTAGTCGGCCTCGACCTCGTCGCCCTCGCGGAGGGCCCCCGCGCCGCCGCCGCCCCCGCGCTTGCGGCAGCGGCGCGGCGGGACGCCCGCCTCGCGGTCGCCGTCGTCGTACTTCACGTCCACCGTGCCGTCGCGGTGGACGCGGGCGACGCGGGCCGGGTAGTACTTCCCCTTGCCGCGGTAGTCGGCCTCGACCTCGTCGCCCTCGCGGAGGCGGTCGTCGCCGCCGCGCGAGCGGGACCGCGACGACGGCATCGCGGGGCGCGCGGTCCGGTGGCGACCGCGGAGTTCTCGCGTCCCGCGGGGTCGCGTCGCAGTCGCTTCCCGTGCGCGCAACGCCCGCGGCAACCGCGACGGATCGCGCGACTCGCTGCGCTGCTTCTCTTCGAGCAGCCGCCTCGGGGCAGCCTCGCGCGCCGGCCGGTGCGGTGCTCGTGCGTCGCTAGGTGCTTTGGCGCCGTAGAGCGGCGGCTGCAAGCGCACCGTGCGGTCGTTACGTAATCGTAACCTTAGCGCACCGTGCGGTCGTTATGTAATCGTAACCTTAGTAGTCGGAGGGGAGGGGTCGCGCGGGGAAAGGGATGGGGGAGGGAAGGGGTAAGGGCGGGGTAGGACGGGGGAAGGGGAGGGGGTCGACTCGGTTACTGGGGGTGCTGCCCGCGGCGCGGCGGCGTCAGGTAGGTGTCCATCGCGTGGCCCGTGCGCTCGAAGAAGCCCGGAGACTCCGACACGCGGCGGCGCACGCGGGACCGCTCCTGGGCCGCGGCTTCGGGCGCGGCTGCGGCGCCGCGGCCGCCGTGGCCGAAGAGGCCGCGGAAGATGCCGTGGGCCGGCGGCGGCTGGGCGGCCACGCCGAAGAAGCCGTTGAACACGCCGTTGTCGATGGTATTCACGAACATGTTGAAGCCCGCGGGGTCGAATTCCCGCCAGATGCCGCCTAAGGCCGCGACGAGGAGGAAGACCGCCCATCCTCCCAGGACTAAGTCGAACGGATACAAGACGGTCTGAAATCCCTCCAGGACCTTGGCGTTGTAGTAATCGAGGTTCGTGAGTACGTGCGATATCATTTGCAACGTGTAGAAGGCGATGATGGCGTGCTTGGCTGCCGCGATCATCACCGCCACCGGCATGGTGAATCTGTGGGAGAAGGAGGTCTGGGTGGACGGCAATAAATATCCTCCCTTGAAAGATTGGAACTACGTTGATTTCTGTGCGGAACCAAGTTAAAAAGGTTGTGGTGACAAGTTTGGTAAGCTCGCCAAGGCTTACCTGGTCGTCCGGGTCAATCATTTATCTAACAATTGGGGAGACAAGGTCGAAAACTGCAAGCTTTCCTTTAATGTGCTCTATAAATTAGCTCCAACCAGCGACGTTAAAGCCGACATTGCGAAAGTTCGAGGTGCAAGAGGTAAAGATTACGTCTACAAGGCTGAATCGTTAGCGGTCGAGCGGTCTGGCTAGACGGTCTGGCAAGGACGAGGACTAGTCCTGAGCCCCCCTCCCCCCCTGGTCGTGTGAATAAAGAACTGTTCTTCATCGTGTGCGCCGCTGCGCGTTTTTCGGGCAGCCTTGAGCGCCTGCGGCGGCCGCGGAGGGCGACGACTCCAAGGCCTCGGCGCCCGATTGGTCCGTTGTTGATGAGGATCACTTCCTCGAGACTGTTCCCGGCGGAGACGTCTCGGGGGTGGTGTTGTGTAATAGGTGTCTTAGTTACGCCGGGCAAGGCGCCACAATGCAGTCACGGTCAAGGTAGGCGTGTGGCTCGCGCGGTGGTGCTCCTTTCCACTCATAAATCTCCCAACTATCCTAGTTATTTCAATTATATCTTGAATGCCCGGATAAAGTAGGTTCAGTGAGTACCGTGGGTACGGCGCCTCCCGTAGCCCCAGGGTACTGTACCATGTAAAACTCGATGGGACTCGAAGCTGATTTTACATGGTACCTCATGATGGCCAGAAATAGCTAGAGACAGCCGACTCGCGAGAGCCATCCGCTGCGCCAACAACAACACGTCTCAAGAACCTACTTAGTCCGCCGCCAGGACCCCGAGAGCCGCGATGCGGTGGCAAGGCGCCGCCGCGGCCGTCTGGGCGGTCGGCGCAATGGGACTCTCGTTCCGGGACCTCGACGTCGCCGTCCTCGACGGGCCGGACCTCATCCGCCTGCCGCGCCTCCTGCGGCGCCTCCGCGACGAGGTGCGCGCCCGCGACCCCGACGCGGCCTACGCGCGCGGCTGTCTGCGCGGCGCCTGCGCGGGCGGCCGCGGCGTCGCGTACGTGCGCCACGCCGACGACAGGGCGCCGGGGCCCGGCGCGTACTCGCTCCACGTGGGCGCCTTCGGCCCGCGGGGCGAGCTCGAGGGCCCCGGCGTCCTGTGCGCGGGCGGCGGCGGCGACGAGGCCGGCGGCGCGGCGTGCGCGGGCGGCGTGTACGCGGGCCGCTTCCGCAACGACTCGCTCGCGCGGGGGACGCTCGCGGACCCCGCGGCGGCCGAGGAGTACGCCGGGGACTTCGGCGCCGACCTGCGGTACGACGGCCTCGGCGTGCGGACCGTGGCCGCGATGACGCGCGCCGGCGAGTTCAAGCGCGGCGCGTGGAAACGCGCGCAGCGCACGGGCTCCGCCGAGGCCGCCCGGCGCGCGGCGCGCGGCGCGGCCCAGGCGGCCAAGGCCGCGGCGGCGCTGCTCCACGACCAGGCCGTGTGGACGAAGCGCCGCTCGCGCTGCATGCTCTGCGCGCCGCCCGACGGAGACTTACGGGCGCCCGCCCCGAGCGGACGAACTACCGGCGCCGGTCTGTGGTATCTATGGCCTTGGACCTCGCCGCTCTGGCTTTGCCTGGCCGCTTTCGCCTTGCTCGCCGCGTGGGCGTACCGCTTGCGACGGCTCGCGGCGCCGGGCCGGCGGGTACGCCGGCCGCCGCCCGCAGCGCGCGCGCCCCGCGGTGGTTAAGTTGATGCAAGTTTTCCCAGGCGGCTTGGTTGTAACATATCCCGCCGACGGGATAGTTGAAAATTCAACTTGAAATCCCGCTGCCAGGTCCCATCCCGCCTTAGTCCTCAATGTGAATTTGGATTTGCGGGATCGGCGATGAGTCAGTCTGAGCGGATCCGTTCACCCCCCGCGCGTCGCTACATTCCAGATCTTGTGTCGGCGTCCACCCGGACTTCACCAACACGCGCCTACGACCGCCAGGAAGCCTACGTTCAGCTCGCGGCCATGGGAGAGGAACCCACTTCCCCACATCGTGCCTAGCGGCCCGTAAGACACTAGAATGTAGACCTTGCCCCTGGGGCGGGGAGGGGTCCCGCAAAACCGCGAAAAAACCGTCGGTTAAATTGAGGCTAGCTAATTGCTAGCTACCTCTCCATACATAAAAAATATAATGTTTGATATTATATGCTTACCAGGGGTCAGTTTCGATGCCCAAGTCCGTCCGGAGGGCTGCGCAGGATGGAGAGGCGTGTAATCTGTGGGCCCCACCCCGACCCTCCCCCCATCCGAGCAGTCCCCTTCGTTTTCGAGGCTAACGCGGCGGCGTCGCGGCGCCCACGGGTTGGCCCTGGAAGGCCCCAGGGCACGAACCCGCGTGGCTTGAGCATACCCTGGCTCGCTTGTATCCACTCCTTTGCCTAAAGTACTGTTTTAGCCCGCATTTTAGCGTGGTTTTCTTGCTAAAGTCACTAACAAAAATCAGCTCAGCAGTGGAGTCCGTTGGAGACGCTGTCTGCGGGAGAAGAAAATTCAGTACAATTTATATCGATCATACAGAGGGTTCTAAGAAGACTAATAGCGGCTGGGAGAGCTACGACGATTTCCGACCATTTTTAGGTAAGGGTCTAGGCAAGTGCTATCCCTCTGGACAGCATGTGGAGGCAGCAGGCGTCCTGTCCCATTAACTAGAACAGCTGTTCTTACGATGGCGGCCTTCGAGCAAGAGATCGGAAACGAGGAGCCTAAGGCCGTGGCCGCGGACCTCGCGGCGCTGGCGAAGTTGGCCCGCACGGCCTACGCCGCGGCGCTGTGCGAGGGTCACGCGGCGCGTCTTCGCGCCGCGCCACCTGCGACACCCGCTCCCGCGCCGTCGCCGCCGCGAGCGCCGGCTCCCGCGCCACCACCGGCGCGAGCGCCAGCTCCCGGGCCGCCGCCCGCGCCCGCGCCCGCAATGGAGAAGTTCGAAACGTATTCCTGGGACCAGACGGACAAGTTCGTGACGCTCTACGTGCCCGTCGAGGGCGCGACCGCCGCCGAAACGACGCACGACGTCGGCGACCGGAGCTTTGCCCTCGCGCACGCGCGGGCCGGGAAGACGCGGCGACTCGTCGTCTCCAACTTGTGCGGCCCCGTGGACGCCGCGCGGAGCAAGTTGGTGCTCAAGCGGGACCGGATCCAGCTCCGTCTCGCCAAAGCGGCGCCCGGCGACGTCTGGAGCGCCCTGGACGACACGCTCGACCGGCGGAAGGCGGACCGCGACGCCCGCCTGGCGCACGGCGACCTCAAGGGCGCCTCCACGCAGCAGCTCCTCGCGGACATGTACGCGAACGCGAGCGACGAGGAGCGCGCGTCGTTGCTGGCCGCCGCCGCCGCCGGCGCGGACAAGCGACGGGGGAGGGCAGGCGCGTAGTACGGGGATTAAATTTATGCACAGCACGCACACCTCGGAGAGCGGAAGGATGGATCCGCGCGGTCTGTTCAAAGGACACTCTAGAGGGGCCCTTAACATATCCCGTCGACGGGATATGTTATACGGCACTCACGTTTGGAGGGCAAATACGGCACTTCTGCACGGATCTCAAAACCGGCGCTCGCGGTCGCACTAAACCCGTTTAAGCCTATTATTACACCAGCAGCATACGCGCGCGCGCCCCTAGGTTTATTTTTTTTTATTTTTGATGGCGGCCGAGGACGCCCGCATCAAAGATGTTTCCCTCATCTCCGCGGCCAGTGATGACGTAGTCTACGACGCTTCGGCCGCGGCCGCGGCTCTCATCTTCGGGATCCGGCACGACGGGGTTGAACGTGTAATTCCACGAAGTCGGAGCCGACGCGAGGCCTGCGTTGACCGCACGCCGCCGTCGCCCCGAGTCAGAGCTCGGACCGGGCCCCGGTCACCGGGGCCTAGGCCCTAGGTACCCGGTGGGAGCCCGCCCACTGGCAGGCTTTCTTTATACTTCCGAGTCCAGTAAAAGTCATCATTCCGTAAGATGTGGACCGCCGCGTCCTCCCTCCCTCAGGCTCCGTCCTTGGTTCTAATTTTCTTCTTTAAACACGACTGGAGTTTAGATAGATAAATAGATGACTCGGATATGCGACTCGACGCGAGGCCCGCCCGTCAGCGCACAAAGGGCAGCAGCGCGTAGCACGCGAAGAAGCACTTCCACAGGTGCATGTAGAAGTCGGCGACCGCCTCGCCGGAGCCGGCGTCGACGCGCGCCGCGCGCCGCCGCGCGTCGAGCGCCACGCCGCCGAGCGCCGCGCCGAGGGCCAGGCGCGCGGCCGCGCGCGCCGGCGCGGCCGCGCGCGCGGCCGCGACGCCCAGGGCGAGGGCCCCCGCGCCGAGCGTCCCCCCGAGCAGCCCGGAGGCGAGCGCGAAGACGCGCGGCCGCCCGCCGCGCCGCGCGTACGTCGCGACGCCGAACGTTGTGTCGCCCTGGGTGTCGGGGACGTCCTTCATGAGCGCGATGGCCACGCCGAGCAGCGAGAAGAACGCCACGACGAGCGGCAGCCGCGCTGCCGCCGCGGCTCGCGCTCGCGGCGCCAGGTTCGCGCGCGCGTGCGCGTAGAAGCACGCGTTCACCAGGACGCCGCGGACGACGACGATCGACAGGGCCGCCAGGAGCGGCGACCGCTTCAGGCGCAGCGGTGGCGCCGAGTACGCGGCGCCCAGCGCCGCGCTGCCCGCGAGCACGCGCTGGACCGGCGCCGAGGACCGCCGGCCGAGCGCGAGGGCGGCGACGAGGCAGGCCCCGACGACGAGCCGCGCGTGGTGCACCGACAGCTCGCCGCTGGCGACGGGCAGGTGCGGCTTGTTCACGCGGTCGATGTCGACGTCGCAGAGCTGGTTCAGGCCCGTGATGAACACGTTCATGAGGAGCGCCGGCGCGAGCGCGGACGCGACGGAGCGCGCGCACGCGCGCGAGAGCAGCGCCGCGGCCGAGGCCGCGGCGTACGCGTGCAGCGCCGGGACCGCGACCGCCGTGCCGACGAAGGTGTGCGGCCGGGTGAACCGAAAGAGCGTCCGCGCGCGCGCCGCGAGCGGTCTCCTCTCCGCCTCAACGGCGGCGACCGCCGCGTTCCGGCCGTCGGCGCGTAACGCGCGGCGCGGCGCGAGGCGAGGTGGTCCTTGGAACGCATCGCCCAGGCAGAGGCAAGCAACCGTCAGCGCGGCATGCATCGTACGCCGCCTTCCGCGAGCGCCGTGCGACCAGCCTCCGTCTTTTTCAATACTCGCCACCGACGCCCGAACTGCGAGTCCGTGCGCGTTGCTTGAGCACGCGGTTTTGATGTAGCTATTGCGCCTTGGTCAGGACCTACTGTTTAGGTACCAATACAAATCATAGGTACCGGGGGCAGCTTAAAGTACTCCGGGCACGGCCTATGGCACAATCAGGCGCCGCATGTAATTGAGCTCCCCTCCTTGTCGCCAAAAGGGACGCGCCCTGTAGTGTAGTGAGGCGCAGCGGCGCGCCCCGGATTACCTTCATCATGGATCTCGGGCCCATAGTCGATTTGGAATGCCGGGCGTGTTCGACGCGGTGTGGAAATCAAACTTCGGAGCGCCCCCCCGAACAGGACCTCCGCACAGGTGAGACGAGAGATCGACGCCGGAAGCACACGTGCGAGCTAGGGCTGGTGGCGCCACCCAAGAAGAAGAGCCGCACCCGCGGCCGCGGCCGCGGCCTGAGCGCGGACCCGAGCGCGGACCCAAGCGCGGACCCGAGCGCGGCCCCGAGCGCCGGCCGCGGCCGCGGCCGCGGCCGGAGCAAGCCAGGGAGCCGCGCGCTGCGCGAGCTCGCCCCGTACAACACCGTACCCACGCCGCCGCCCGCGCCCGCGCCCGGGCGGCGCCGCGCCCCGACGCCGCGCACCGCCCCGACGCCGCGCACCGCCCCCACGCCGCGCACCGCCCCCACGCCGCGCACCGCCCCCACGCCGCGCACCGCCCTCACGCCGCGCCCCGCCCCCACGCCGCGCCCCGCCCCCACGCCGCGCCCCCCCCCCCCGCCGCGCCCGAACGCGGGCCGCGGCCGGAGCGCGGGTCGTGGCCGCGGCCGGGGCACGCGCCCGAGCGCGGGCCGCGGCCGGAGCACGAGCGCCCTCGTGGCGGCCATGGGCGGTAATCCAGCGCCCGCGCCGGCTTTGCAGAAGCGCACGGTGGCACCGGCTGGCCCGAGCGCGGGACGCCGCGCCCTCGTGGCGGCCATGGGCGGTAGTCCAGCGCCCGCGCCGGCTTTGCAGAAGCGCACGGTGGCACCCGCGGGCCCGAGCGCGGGACGCCGCGCCCTCGTGGCGGCCATGGGCGGTAGTCCAGCGCCCGCGCCGGCTTTGCAGGAGCACACGATGGCACCCGCGGGCCCGAGTGCGGGACGCCGCGCCCTCGTGGCGGCCATGGGCGGTAGTCCAGCGCCCGCGCCGGCTTTGCAGAAGCGCACGGTGGCACCGGCTGGCCCGAGCGCGGGACGCCGCGCCCTCGTGGCGGCCATGGGCGGTAGTCCAGCGCCCGCGCCGGCTTTGCAGAAGCGCACGGTGGCACCCGCGGGCCCGAGCGCGGGACGCCGCGCCCTCGTGGCGGCCATGGGCGGTAGTCCAGCGCCCGCGCCGGCTTTGCAGGAGCACACGATGGCACCCGCGGGCCCGAGTGCGGGACGCCGCGCCCTCGTGGCGGCCATGGGCGGTAGTCCAGCGCCCGCGCCGGCTTTGCAGAAGCGCACGGTGGCACCGGCTGGCCCGAGCGCGGGACGCCGCGCCCTCGTGGCGGCCATGGGCGGTAATCCAGCGCCCGCGCCGGCTTTGCAGGAGCGCACGGTGGCACCCGCGGGCCCGAGCGCGGGACGCCGCGCCCTCGTGGCGGCCATGGGCGGTAATCCAGCGCCCGCGCCGGCTTTGCAGGAGCGCATGGTGGCACCCGCGGGCCCGAGCGCGGGACGCCGCGCCCTCGTGGCGGCCATGGGCGGTAGTCCAGCGCCCGCGCCGGCTTTGCAGAAGCGCACGGTGGCACCGGCTGGCCCGAGCGCGGGACGCCGCGCCCTCGTGGCGGCCATGGGCGGTAATCCAGCGCCCGCGCCGGCTTTGCAGGAGCACACGATGGCACCCGCGGGCCCGAGCCCGGGACGCCGCGCCCTCGTGGCGGCCATGGGCGGTAATCCAGCGCCCGCGCCGGCTTTGCAGAAGCGCACGGTGGCACCCGCTGGCCCGAGCGCGGGACGCCGCGCCCTCGTGGCGGCCATGGGCGGTAATCCAGCGCCCGCGCCGGCTTTGCAGGAGCGCATGGTGGCACCCGCGGGCCCGAGCGCGGGACGCCGCGCCCTCGTGGCGGCCATGGGCGGTAATCCAGCGCCCGCGCCGGCTTTGCAGGAGCGCATGGTGGCACCCGCGGGCCCGAGCGCGGGACGCCGCGCCCTCGTGGCGGCCATGGGCGGTAGTCCAGCGCCCGCGCCGGCTTTGCAGGAGCACACGATGGCACCCGCGGGCCCGAGTGCGGGACGCCGCGCCCTCGTGGCGGCCATGGGCGGTAGTCCAGCGCCCGCGCCGGCTTTGCAGAAGCACACGGTGGCACCGGCTGGCCCGAGCGCTGGGGCCGCGCGCCCTCGTGGCGGCCATGGGCGGTAATCCAGCGCCCGCGCCGGCTTTGCAGGAGCGCACGGTGGCACCCGCGGGCCCGAGCGCGGGACGCCGCGCCCTCGTGGCGGCCATGGGCGGTAATCCAGCGCCCGCGCCGGCTTTGCAGGAGCGCATGGTGGCACCCGCGGGCCCGAGCGCGGGACGCCGCGCCCTCGTGGCGGCCATGGGCGGTAATCCAGCGCCCGCGCCGGCTTTGCAGAAGCGCACGGTGGCACCCGCGGGCCCGAGCGCGGGACGCCGCGCCCTCGTGGCGGCCATGGGCGGTAATCCAGCGCCCGCGCCGGCTTTGCAGAAGCGCACGGTGGCACCCGCGGGCCCGAGCGCGGGACGCCGCGCCCTCGTGGCGGCCATGGGCGGTAATCCAGCGCCCGCGCCGGCTTTGCAGGAGCGCACGGTGGCACCCGCGGGCCCGAGCGCGGGACGCCGCGCCCTCGTGGCGGCCATGGGCGGTAGTCCAGCGCCCGCGCCGGCTTTGCAGAAGCGCATGGTGGCACCCGCGGGCCCGAGCGCGGGCCGCGGCCGGAGCGCGGACCCGAGCGCGGGCCCAAGTGCCGGCCGAGGCAAAGGTCGCGGTCGCGGCCGCGGCCAGAGCGCGGGCCCGAGTGGCGGCCGAGGCAGAGGTCGCGGCCGCGGCCGGAGCGCGGGTTCGAGCGGCGGCCGAGGCAGAGGCAGAGGTCGCGGCCGCGGCCGGAGCGCGGGTTCGAGCGGCGGCCGAGGCAGAGGCAGAGGTCGCGGCCGGAGCGCGGACCTGAGCGCGGGCCCGAGCGGCGGCCGAGGCAGAGGTCGCGGCCGCGGCCGGAGCGCGGGTTCGAGCGGCGGCCGAGGCAGAGGCAGAGGTCGCGGCCGGAGCGCGGACCCGAGCGCGGGCCCGAGCGGCGGCCGAGGCAGAGGCAGAGGTCGCGGCCGCGGCCGGAGCGCGGGTTCGAGCGGCGGCCGAGGCAGAGGTCGCGGCCGCGGCCGGAGCGCGGGTTCGAGCGGCGGCCGAGGCAGAGGCAGAGGTCGCGGCCGCGGCCGGAGCGCGGGTTCGAGCGGCGGCCGAGGCAGAGGTCGCGGCCGCGGCCGGAGCGCGGGTTCGAGCGGCGGCCGAGGCAGAGGCAGAGGTCGCGGCCGCGGCCGGAGCGCGGGTTCGAGCGGCGGCCGAGGCAAAGGTCGCGGCCGCCGCCGCCGCCGGAGCGCAGGCCCGAGCGGCGGCCGAGGCAGAGGTCGCGGCCCCGCACCCGCCCCCGCGCGGCGCCCGGCGCGACGCCCCGCGCCCCCGCCACCGTCCGCGCCGCCGTTCGGGAGCCGCATCGCCGTGCGCTTCAGCGGCGACCATGATTACGGAGGCGTCGTCGCACAACCGGTGAGCGAGGACCGGGCCACCGTACACTACGACGACTGCACGATCGAGATCGTGACATTCCCGGACCCCGAGGTCAGCGTCTTGCGCGTCGGGCCCGGGGGCGGGGGCCTGTGGCACGGGAGGTCGCCGCCGCGCTGGAGCCGCGTCTGCGTGCAGCAGACCTACCCGAGGACCAGGCACTGGATGGGCACCGTCGAGGCCCAGCTGGACGACTTTGGGCGGGTCAGAGTGCGCTACGACGACGGCCTCGTGGAGGACATGCGCCTCCCTCACCCCGACGTCGTCTTCACGGCCTTCGGGCGGGATCACGTCATGCAGCCGCTCAACTCGCCGGTCCAGGCGCCGCCCGCGCCGCCGCCGCCCGAGGCGCCAGCCCGGGAGGCGCCCGCGCCGCCGCTGCGGCTGCACCAGAAGCACCCCGAGGCGGCCAGGGCCCCGAGGCACGCCGTGCCCATCCGCATCGGGCCGAATTTCCAAATCGACCCCGCGATCCTGGCGGAGCCGCCGGTCCCCCGCCCCTACGCCGCCGCGGGCGCATTCGCGTGGCCGCGCGCCCTGGCGCCGTCGTGCGACCTGCCGGAGCGGCGGCCGGCGCGCGAGGTGCGCGACGACGAGCTCGGCGCCGAGCGCACGGCGTGGGCGCTCGAGCCGTTGGGGCCGACGGCGCAGCCAGGGGGGGCGCCGCGCCAACTCATCTACCTACGGTCGGGCCCAAACACCATCGGGCGCCGGAAAAACCTGGGCCTGACGGACCCGGTGCTGTCGCGGGACCAGTGCGACGTTCACATCGACGCCCGGAACCAGGTCTGGGTCGAGCGCCATGACTGGCTGCCCGACGGCGAGGTGCTCGTCAACGGCCTCCCGCTCGGGCCCGGGAAGCCGTGCCGCACGTACCTCGAGGTCGACGACGAGCTCTGGCTGAAGAGCGAAACCAACAGCGCCTACCGCCTCGTCCTGATCGACGGGCCGCGCGGCCCCTCCGGGGACCCCGGCGACCGGGCGTGCGCCGCGCGTGCCGCCCACGCCGCGGAGTCGGCCCGCGCGGAGCGCCTCGCGGAGCGCCGGTTGGCCGTCGCCGAGCGCGTTTGGGCGCCCCCGACGACGCCCGCGGCGCGACGGGAACTGCGCGCACTCCTGGACGTGGTCGAGCCGGGCGCCGAGGAGGTGGCCCTGCGCGAGGCCTTCTCCGGCGGCTTCCCGTGGGCGCGGGCGCTGGCCGAGCGGCGCCGCGGCGCCGCCGGGATCGCCGAGCGGTGGGCGGACGTCGGCCCGTACGCGGTCGCCGCGGCGATTCTGCGGCACCGGCGGCGCTACGCGCTGGTCGCAAAGGAGTTCCACGTGACCGCGGGGGACGTCCAGACGTACCTGTACTCGTTCCTCAAGCCCGAGTTCCCGGACCTCTTCGACGAGCTCAAGTGGGCGCTCCACCAGCGGCGCACGCGCGTGCGGCGCCGCGACGGGCCGTCGAACGTCAAGGTGGGCACGCTCGAGCCGGTGCCCTACGAGGAGGACGGCAACCAGCCGTTTTGCTACATCTGCCGGCTCAGCGGCGAGCTGATGTGCTGCGATTCCTGCGAGCGGTCCGTCCACCTGCACTGCCTCAACCTCGCGCGCCCTCCGGACGGGGACTGGTTCTGTTCCGATCGGTGCACGGCGCGGGGCCCACGTTCGGTCGCTGCGCGGCTGGCGAGCAAGCGCGCGGCCGAAAAGCGGGGCTAGCCCTTGAGACGCTGCGTATACAAGCCCCCACCCCCCGCTCTCTCGTAGGAGTAATCGCGGTTGATACGGTCACATGGGCTCTATCCGCGCCAGTCTACTACTACTACTACTACTTTCCCCTCACTATCGAAAGAATGGACGAGAGCTGGACGCGCTTTCACTCCGGCACGTCTCGCGTCGTCTCATGCGTCGGAGCAGCGCCCGAGAGGAGATCTGGGCCAGAGAGAAGTCACGGACGAAATTTTACGCAGCTGCAGGTACCGTAGGTACCTACAAGTACCTACGGTACCTACGGTACTTGCACAAGAGAAGCGCTGCAACGAGGCAAGACAAAGAGCTTGTTGCACAGACGCCAGTGGAGACGCGACGGCGCGGAAACGAGGCAGCCGTCCTCTAGCGCGAACGAATGAAAGCATGCGCCGACCGACGGAGCCCCGCCCGTAGGGCAGCCAAACAGCATGGCGAAGGGGAAGACATTGAAGCTCCCAACTGCGGAAAAAAGGCGCCGCCTCCGCCGCGTCGCAAACGAACGTAGGCGAGGCGGCGCTCCCCCGCCGGTACCGAGGAGGTCGCCTTGTTTTGGCCCGTGCATTGTCTGCAATCAATACCCAAAACCGGGCACGAAACTGAAGAGCGCCAAAGATAGGCTGTGCAAGAGCTGTTATAATTTGAAGCTGCGCGAGGCGAAGCCCAAGGCAAAGCCCAAGGCGGAGGCTTTGAATGTCGAGCTCCGGCGCCTGAGGGATAGGCAGCGGCGGCAGGGGATCTACCCCACCGGCGCGCAGCCCCTGCCGAGGTTGACGCGCGCGCAATCGAAGGCCTATGAAAAGCGCAAAGCGCCGGGATGTGGACCGTCGTCGTCTGCTCCGTTGGGGTGGGGATTCTGGGGGGATCCCCATGTTTTGCGGGTGTTTTAGGGGTATGTGCAGCTCCCTTCCGTCCGGGTGAGGTTTCAAATTTATACCGGGGTCCCGAGCCGGAGGGGTGCGGGGCCGTATCGGTGGGTCACGCGCGCGCGAGCCATGCCCGCACCTCGGCGCACCAGGCGGTGGCCAGGAAACTCACGACGGCGACGCCCAGCACCAGCGGACCGTGCGGGTCGCCCCACTCGGCGGGCGCGCGCGCGGCGATGCGCGCGCCGCGCCAGCGGTACGTCAGCGCTGCATACCACGCCAGCGCCGCGGCGCCGGCGCCGAGGCCGCACGCGTAGGCCGTCGCGCGCCCGCTGCCGTCGGTGCGCGCGCCGGCGCCCGCGCCAAAGGCCGCCAGGAGGGCGGCCGCGTGAAGCCAGTGCACGAACGTGCGCTCGTTGGCGAAGTGCAGCTTCGGTTCGATCTTCTGGCGCGCGAACGGCTTCTCGAGCACGCCGCGGAGGTCGCCGTCGCCGCCGGGGCAGCAGTCCGCGAGCGCGCGGGGCGCGACCCAGCAGTCCGCGAAGTGGGCCCCGCAGCCCTGGGCGCGCGGCCGCGGGGGCGCCCCCCCCCGGGGCGAGGCGTCGCCCCAGGCGCTCGACGGCCGCGCCGCGCGCGGTCGCGGCGGGCTTGGCCGCCGGAGGAGCGACGCCCCGGAGGCGCCCGTGGCGCGGATCGAGGGCGCGAGCGCGGGGTCGTCAACCCAGTAGGGCATGGCCTGCACCTCGTCCGGCAGCAGGACTGCGCAGCCGTGCACGAATTTGCTGAACTTGTGCACCGGCGCCAGCGCGCCCGACGCCAGCACCTGTGTGGAAATCAAAATTTCGCGGCGTGCTCTCGTCCGTCCTCCACGCCATCGGCGCGACGCCTGCTCGACTGCATGGCGATGCCGGTTCCTCGCCGCTCGACCGAGCCAGGACGGCCGCGTCATCGCCGAGAAATGACTTAGTGAAGAATTGTCGGGTGCACCCGCCGCACTGGTTGGTTTCCACACAGGCCAGCACGGGCCGAAGCCACGCCGGCAGGTCGTCGGCCTCGGCGAGCGCGAGCTTGAGCTCCAGCACCGCGAAGGGGAAGCGCGTCAGGTCGCTGCTCGGGATGCTCCTTGCCGCGTCGCGGTACCACCGCCCCTGCTCCGGCGCGTGGTCGTCGTCCTCGCGCTGGACCTCGTTGATGAGGCACAGGTTCGTGTCGATGGACGCGCGCACCGCGTTCGTGTGCGCCAGCTGGAAGGCCGTGCGGTGGCACTGTGACCGCACGGTCGGCACGAGGCGCTTGGTGCTCACGAGCCGCTGCACCTCGCGCGCGAGGCGCCGCTCGGCTGCCGGCAGGTCCGCTGGCGGCTCGTACTCGGCGCGCAGCAGGCGGGGGACGTCGCCCGGCAGGACGCGGAAGCGCTCCTTCACGCTCGCGTCGCCCGTCCACGCGTCGCGGTGCGTCTTCCGCTCGACGAAGACCTCCTCCGGCTCGCCCGTGCCGTACCACCGCAGCCGCAGCGCGACGGCTCCCGGCAGCTTCGCGAGGCGCCCGTGGTACAGCTCCAGGGAGGGCGAGTCGAGGTAGACCGAGTTCACCAGCTGCGAGTCCTTGGACTCGCCCTCGGTGACGCGGCCGCCGCTCACGAGCACGGGGAGGTGGCGCGAGATCGCCAGCTTCACGGCGCTCAGGTCGTCGCTCCGCACCCAGTACTTGGTCGTGGCGCGCACGAACGACCGCTCGTCGACGACACCGCGCGGGCCGTCCGCAGGCGCCGCGGCCGGCGCGCGCGCCGCGTAGAGGCGCGACAGGCGCACGACGACGTCCGAGTAGTCGTTGCGCACCCAGCGCATGTCGTGCATGCGCGCCGTGTAGAAGGCCGCGCACGGCCGCTCGGGCAGCACCTTGTCGTGCTTCTTCAGGAGCTTGCGCACCGCGGTCACGTTCAGGTTCACGTAGCGCTCCACCTCCAGGAACGCGTCGCCGGCCGCCTGCAGGCGTGCGCCCACGTCCGCCCCCGCGTCGAGCGCCTCGAGCGCGCGGACCTCGCGCCGCACGGCGACCACGCGCTCGTGGGCGAACCTGCGCGCCGGGCGGGCTGCGGGGCGCTCCGGGCGCGCGCGCGGGGCGGGCGCGCGGGGCGGGCGCGCGGGGCGGGCGCCGGGACGGACGCGTCCATCTTCCGCAGCTCGGCATCCATGCGCTCGAGGAAGACCTCGTGGCCGCGCGTCCGCGTCTCTCCCTCGGCGAGCGGCGCGAGCGGCATCGCCGCGGCGTTCGTCGCCGGGGCCACCGCCAGGCTCAGGGCGTTCTCGGCGACGGGCGCGCGCAGGTGGAGCGGCTGCAGGTCGTAGAGGAGCGCCTTCAGCGATTCGTAGTCCAAGTAGTGGGCCGCGTCGAACGGCGCCTCCGCCGCCGCCGCCGCGAGCTTTTTGCCGAAGGCCACCATGCGTCCCCTCCGCCCGCCCTGCTAAGATCGCAAGACGTCGCTGCCCCGGGCTGATCTATTAGTCTCCCGTCCCCAATAATGCACAGGAGGAGCAGCCTAGCCTAGAGCTAGTCTAGCCGCAATCTCACACACGCGGAGCTAGAGGGTCTATAAGCTGGGCTAGACTAGTTCACAGCTTCACTGTAAAAGGCCGGGCTTTGGAGCCCGCTGTAAGTCGTCCATGGACATGCCGGCGGTGCGGGCCTATGCGGAGCGGTGCTTCGCGTCCTGCAGCGGCGACGGCGAGCGCAGCGTCATGCAGCGCAAGCTGCACGCCATCATCTCGGGCGCGCTAGCGAACGGACGAGTGCGAGAAATTGACTGGGCGTCGGCGCCGGCGCCGCCCCTCGACCGGCCCGAGGAGCCCGCGCCGAAGCGGCGGCGCCAGCACCGCGGGGCGGCGCCGCCGGCGCCGGCGCCCGACGCGAGCGAGCAGCGGGCGCGCGCGGCGCGCGCGTCGCGGTTCCGCGACGACGGCCGCGCGAAGAGGTCGCGCGCCGCGACGCCGTCGGCGGCGCGCGCGCCGATCGTCGGCACGTGCGAGGCGCTGGAGAAGGACTACCTGCGGCTTACGGCGGCGCCAGACGCGGCGACGGTGCGGCCCGAGCGCGTGCTCCGCGCGGCGCTCCAGCGGCTCAAGGAGCGGTGGCGCGGCGGCGACGTCGACTACGCCTGGGCGTGCAACCAGCTCAAGGCCATCCGCCAGGACCTGACCGTCCAGAACCTGCAGAACGCGTTCACGGTCCACGCCTACGAGACGCACGCGCGCATCGCGCTCGAGTCCGGCGACCTGAACGAGTACAACCAGTGCCAGACGCGGCTCGGCGAGCTCCACTCCGCGGACTCGCCGCACCGCGCCGAGTTCCTCGCGTACCGCATCCTCTACTACGTGCACCTCGGCCACTCGAAGAGCACGGACGCGGCGGACCTCGAGCTGCTCCGGACGCTCGCGGAGCTGCCCGAGAAGCTGTGGGACGCGCCGGCCGTCGCGCACGCGCTCGCGGCGCGCGCGGCGCTCGCGCAGGGCAACGCCGTCGCGTTCCTCCGGCTGCACCAGAGCTGCCCCAACATGGGCGCCTACCTGCTGGACGCCGTCGCCGACGCGGTGCGGACCGACGCCGCGGCCCGGGTCCTCCGCGCGTTCCGGCCGACCGTGCCGCCGGCGTGCCTCGCCGCGCAGCTCGGCTTCGACGACGCCGGGGAGGCGCGGGCATTCGCCGCACGCCTCGGCTTCGTCTTCGACGCGCGGGGCGACTGCCTCGTCCGGGAGAGCCGGTGCGACCCCACGAAGCTCGACGAAAAGAAGAAGTCGTCGCTCCTCTAACAACGCCGTAGTATGTTTACGCTTTTTCAATCACACGACCGCTTCTTTTTACCTTCTCTGGTTGTCAGTGTGAACTTGACTCGGAATAAATAAACTCCTGGAGTCCGAGGGCCGAGGCAGACCGCTTTAATCGGCGGCGGTCTTATCGGCCAAGGGAGGACGCTGCCGAGGATTCCTGATGTTACACATGGGGAGCGTCCTCGACGTGCAACTTATCCATCTCTTCTCGGCCTCTGCCGCGCGCGGAACCTGCGCCGCCACGCCGGGTCGCGGAAGCGTCTAAGGAACGAGAGGATCGCCAGCTGCACGAGCAATAGCGACGCCTCCTCCTTGAGAGCTCGCAAAACGCCCTTCGCCGCAGCCCTAGCCGGGTGGTCGGTGTTCGCCACGCGGCGGACGACACGAAGGCCACCATGGCGGGCCGCGGCGTCGCGCTCGGCAGGCGTCGCGGCCTCGAGCAGCCGTTGTACAGCGTTAAGCAGGTCCACGGCGTAGCGGGCGCTCCGGCCCAGGGCGGGCCCCAACAACCCCAACAACGAAGCCGCGGCGCCGCCGTCCAGCAGAACCCTCGCGGCGCGCGGTTTGTCGGCGACGCATGCGATTAGCCGACATGCCGCCTCGGGCTCCGGGAGGTGAAGGAGCGCCACCAATGAAGTAAGGACGGCCGGCCGCGTCAACGCGGCGGTCACGTCGCGCGCGTCGCTGAGGGCAGCCAAGGCGTGTGCCGAAGACGACTGCGAATCCAAATCACTGCTTCCCAAGTGATGACCCAGCGCAGCGATCGCTCCTTGGGAAGCGAGCGCATGCGCCAAGCGGCGCGACGCAGCCTCGGATGGCTGGTCGCGCGCGGCGAGCGCGCAGCGCCGGATGATATGCGCGGACGCGCGGCCTAAACGTCTGTCGCGTCGAAAGGTTACCGTTGCCACCGGCAAGACGTGCGGGAGAACTCTGGCGTCGACGACCGCGGCGGCGCCCTCGGCGTCCTGCGAGAGAGCGTCGACGACTTCTACTGCGGTCACGACGACACGACGCGGGGCAGCATGGGGGTCGGCGAGCGCGGCCGCGAGCGCGGCCGCGCCGCCCGCGCCGCCCCCCTCGCCCCCGCCGCGCGGCGCCGGCGTGCCGCCCGCAGCACCGTCGACTGGCCCAAGCACCGACAGTGACACTACGCCGTAACGGGCCGGGAGTTCTGCAAATGCGCAGGCCGCGACTGCGTCGAGCGCGCCGGCGGCCACCAGCGCCGCGCGCGCGGCGGGCGCCGCTGCGAGGGCCAGGATGGCTCGGAGCAGTTTCGCGACCATCTCGAGCGGCGGGCTCTGATCCCGTAGCTTTGCGCACAGCGTGGTCACGCCGCCGTGCTCGATGAGTGCGGCCGCGGCGGCCGGCCCGGCCGCGAGCGCGGCGACGAACCCGACGACTGCGGCCTCGACGGCCGCCTCGCGGTCCGTGAACTCTCCCGCGAGCAGGGCGAGCACCGCCCGGACGACCGCGCCGTCCGCGCCGAGCGCCGTCCGGTCGCGCGCGCGCCGCGCGAGCTCTGCGACGACGCCCGCCGCCTCGTTGCGAATGTCGTGCCGCGGCGCGCGCAAGAGCGCGACGAGCGGCCGGAGCCCGCCCCGTGCGACGATCGCGTCGGCCGCGCCCCGCTGACACGCCAAATTCGCGACCACCACCAGCGCGGGCCGTGGCGCGGGCGAACGCAGCAGGCCCAGCACGGTCTCGAGCCCCCCGGTCCGCTCCATAAAGCGGTCCGCCAGCTCCACGCACTGGACGAGTTGGCCCAACGTCAACGTCGCGTCGCGCACGCAGGCGTCGTCGGTGGAAATCAGCAGTGACAGCGTGGCGCCAAGGGCGCCCGAGCGTCCTAGCGTCCCGAGGTTATCCGGATTCCGCGCTAAGGTTGATAGGGCTGCGGCGCTGTCCCGCCGCACTTCAACCGACTTGGACCAGAACCCAAGTTCGACCAAAGGTTTAATCGAGTCTGGACCCAGCGCCTCCACGCGGTACGAGCGGTGCAGGGGACGGAGGTAGGACGGGCTTGTCGTCTTGCTGCGGTGCGAGGGCTTGTCCTCCCGCGCATAGAGACGAGCACCTGGCCGTCGCCCGGCGAGCGAGAGCATGTTGGCCTCTCCGGTGTCGCCCGGCGTCCTCAGTAAGGACTTTGTGTGTTCGTCAGGGGGGATTGGTGATACTAGCTGCCCTTTGCTCAGCGCTCTCCGTAGCGTCGCATGTGGTCGGCCAGCTTGGTGATAATAGCTGCCCTTTGCTCGGCATTGTCCGTAGCGTCGTTAATAACTAACATATCCAAGGGGGGGGAAATTTTGCGTACTAGACACCACCCCGAACCTACTAGAGGGGTAGGTAGGTAGGTCACTGCTGAGATTCTGTTTTTACCAATAGAGGCTTTGCGTTTCCGCGCGCGCGGCTGACCGCCGCGGTATGGCGCAGCGCGCATGAACGTGTGATGTGATGCGCCAGTGAATGGAGGAGGTTTGGGGTCGTAGGGGCGCCACAAGCGACGCCTGGAACGTCGAAATTATTTTCGTGTTTTGCTAAAAATGCTAAAAAATTAATTACTTTTAAAAGCAATTAAAGCCAATGGGCGCCCTCCCACGGGTTGTTTAATCATTTCCGCCCTTTTTGAGACGCGTTGGACGACTTCCGGCTGAGAAAGGTAGGTAGGTAGATCTGCCTGGGAGATTTCCGGTTTCCAGGGTGGTGTATGGTACGCTTTCCCCCCCCCCCCCCCTGAACATATCCGCTGCTGATATGGTACTGGTACGGGGCTACCTCGATCAGATGGCAGCGCTTGCTGACGATAAAAAGGCGCAGTTGCGCGAATGGTTTGCATCCGCCCGACGACGCTCTCTGCCGGTTGTTCCAGTGCCCTTCGGTCTCACCGCCGCAGACCTGTTCGCCCGGCCCGCGTCGAAGAGCGGCGGCGCGTTCGACCCTGCGTGGAAATCGACCAGTGCGTCAGGTTATCCTAAGAATTATTGCGGAATCAGGTACCCTAAGAATTATCAATACAGGCTAGGCGTCGACTTCACTGCTGCCCGGGAACCGTTCGTCCTCGCGGATGTGGGCGTGCTGCCCGAGATCCACGGCAGGCCGCGAAAGCAGACGCTGCGTCTCGCGCAGCAGATGACAGAAGGCGGTATTGCAGGCGTCCTGTGGAATGCGGGCCGGGCCTTGACTTTCATGTTGCCACGGCCAGTGCATAAATCCAATTTTCGCAGCGCGTCTCCGCCACTGCTGAATCATGACCTCCACGCCATTGACGCGGCGCAAGCTCGATGGTGTGGCGGTGTGGTTCTCTTTGACCGCGTGACTTGGCCAACACGGCCGCGTTTTTGCCGAGAAAGACACCCGACTCACTGGTTGATTTTTGCACAGGCCGCGGCTGCCCGAATGGCGGGAGGAGGGGCGGTTTGCAGGGAAAGTTCTGGAGTTGGGCACAGGTACCGGACTCGTGGGCACCGCGTGCTGGCTGCGGGGCGCGCGCGAGGTCGCGATGACGGACCTGCCGGCGGCGATCGAACTCGCCCGCGCGAACGTGGCGGCGAACGTCGGCGCCGCGGCGGGCCTGCGCGTGGAACCGCTGGCGTGGGGCGCCCCCCTGCCGGCGGCGCTCGCGGGGCCGTGGGACGTCGTCGTCGCCGCCGACTGCCTCTACGACGTGGCGGCACTCCCGGCCCTGTTGCGAACGCTGGGAGAGGTATCGGACGCGCGCACCGTCGTCTACCTCGCGTACAAGCGCCGCGTGGACGCGCGCGAAGCACCGTTCTTCGCCGACCTGGAAAATCTCTTCGACCGCGTGGCGTTCACGGCGCCCGAGGCCGTCCCCGCTGAGTGGCGCGGCACCGGGCTGCATTTATGTCGCGCGACGGGCCGGCGGCAGACCTAGCCCCTAGCAACCACCATCTATAGGCTAGCAACGCCCGGCAACGACCGTTGAACGACGGGCTCTCCTTTCCGAATAATTGTTGGGGCCCTCAACTAGTAAGTGCATCTAGAACTATGGGTAGGGGGTGGCAGAAGTCAGGCCCGGCGCGTGGCGGACGACCCGATCGACTGGCACACGTGGACGAGCAGCGAGATGCGCTCGCGGTGCCTCGCCGTTACGGCTGCAGGGAGCCCTTCCATGCAGGCTTTGACCTGCAGTAAGACTGCCGGCACGTGGTCCGCGATGCGTGGGTTGGACGCGTCGAGGCCGAGCACAGCTAGCTGGAGCCATTCGAGCTTGAAATCAACCGCGTCGTCCCGAGCCAGTGTTGTCCCGAGTTGTTGAACAAGGCAGAGCAAGGTAAGCTGTCCGAACGGCAAAGGCGACATCGTTCGAACCTTGTCGATGCCGACGGCATCTAACGCATACAAGAGAACGTCGACGTCTGACTGCTCGACGGCCCGATACACCGCGCTGTCGTAGTCGCCACTGCTAGCGAGCATTCGGCACCGCGTGCGCACATCGGTAGAGGAAGTTGCGGCCGGTGGCTCCGAAGCGGTGGCGGCCGAAGCGGGTGGAGCCGAAGCGGTTGCGGCCAGAATGGCGTCTATCTTCTTCTCTAGGGCGTCGACGCGCACGTCTATCTTCTTCTCCAGGGCGTCGACGCGCACGTCTATCTTCTTCTCCAGGGCGTCGACGCGCGCGAGCACCTCGGGCAGCACCTGCTTGATGGCGACCCCCGAGCCCTCCATGGCCCCCAACCGCATCGCCGCGGCGCGGGCACGCGGGGCGTCCGCGTCTGCCGCAGAGATGCGGTCTAGCTGCGTCGCGATCGAGCGCGTCGATGCTTCTTGCGCCGCTGCCGCGCGCGCCAGCGACGCGTCGACGAGCTGCGTGACGGTGGCGGTGACGGTGCGTACGGCGGACACCGCCGCAGCGGCCGCTTCGGCCTTTGCTTCGGCGGCGAACGCGGCCACGTCAAACGCGAGCGCCGCTGGCGCCGGGGGCGGCGTGGGCGCGGCGGCTACGTCAAACGCGAGCGCCGCGGGCGCCGGCGGCGGCGCGGGCGCGGCGGGCGTCGGCCGCGGCTCCGGCGAGAGATGGAGCGCCGCGAACTTCTGCAGCCTGTGCGGAAATCAAAATATCACGGCGAGGGGGCGACCGGTCGCACGCTGGCGCGCTGGCGGGTCCTCCGTGGCGGGCGCCGCCGCCGCCGCCGTGGCGGGCGCCGTCGTGGCGGGCGCCGTCGTGGCGGGGTACAGGGCGGACGGACGGAGAAAGTACTGCTGAATCGCGCGAGTCTGGACGCAGAAGAGCTGTATCTCGAAGCCCGCCGGCTCCGCGTCGGCCTCGGCGTCGTTGGCGTCGTCCGTGAGGTCCGCGTCGAGCGCGGCGAGCGAGAGGACCGGCTGAGACACGGCGAACGGCGCGACGTGGTCGATTTTATTCGTCTCCGCGTCCACGTGCGCGACGTAGAGCGCCGCCCCGGCGCTCTCGTCGGCGGCGGCGTCCGTCGCGGGGGCCGCCGCCGTGACCAGGACGAACGCGCCGCCGCCGGCCGCGGCGACGCGGCGCGCGCGGGCGGGTCTTGTGTTCGCGGGCGGCCGGGCGAGCGCCAGGGCGTGGTCGCGGCGCGGGGCGTCGCCCGGCGCCACCGTCCACAGGCTAATCGTCTCGCCGCCGTCGACGGCCGTCGCGAGGCGGTCGCCGGCGAGGAACGCAACGGCGTGCACGGGGGCGCCGCCGGCGGGCGCGAAGTCCGCCACGAGCTCCAGGCGGTCGTCGAAGACGCGGACGCGGCCGTCGGCCGCCGCCGTCGCGAGCGCCGCGCCGTCGGCGCTCCAGCCGACGTCGTGGCAACTAGAGCCGCCCCGCGGGAGCTGCTTCAGCGAGGCCGCGTCGCGCGCGTCGGCGACGACGACCGCCCCCGCCTCGCCCGCGACCGCGAGGGCGGGGGGGGGCGCGGGGCCGGGGCGCCACGCGAGGCGGACCGCGCCCGCGATTTCTAGTTCCGGTCCGCGCTCGTGCGCGACCTCGTCGCCGCCGGGCCCCTCGCGCACGGTCCAAGTGCAGAGGCGGCCGCCCGCGCAGCACGAGGCGAGGGACGCGGCGGCGCCGGCGGCGCCGCCGCCAAAGGCCAGGTCGACGATGCGCTGGGAGTGGCCGCGGAGCAGCGTGCGAGTTGCCGACCCCCGAGCCAGGACGCGGATCTTGCCGCCCTTGATCGCATACGCCAGGAAGCCTTCGCAGGCGGCGAGCTGGGACGACGCGGACTCGGCGGGGGGCTTCTCCTCGCTCTGGTACAGCGTCACCGGCGTGCACTTGGGCGCGCGGAAGGCGTCGCCAGCCGGGGCGGCGTACGCGTCCATGGTTTCTACAGTCGGAGTGCCTCTTACAGGCGATAACCGTACAGGCGATAATTAGTGCGATAACCGACCTGTTGCGTCGATTGGTGTGCTAGTGTCTTACAGGCCTAGGGATAGAAGCTCTTCGCTATTGGAAAATGATTCGCCGGAGCGGAGCAATATACAAGTCGCCAAAGCTCCCTGGACTCTGCGCCAGAGGTGGTGCGACTGGTGGACGCGTCGTCGAGCCGCGCCGCGCCGACTACGCCTACGACTGTCGACGCGGCGCCCGAGGCCCGACGCTAACAGAAGGGTAGTTCGGCGCGCGACCCCCTAGTCGCTCCCGCTCCTCCGGGGCCCATCCGTCGGGCTAGGACGGAGTAAGGTGGTCGCATGGGCCTCCCTCCTTCTCGAAAAGGGATGCCCCCCTGATAGATGATTACGGGTTTAGCGCGCCTTGCGACTACGGCGGAGCGGGTATTTTGAACCGTTTCTCTCCGTCTCTCTCTCCTCTCGTCTCTCTCTCTCTCGCGTTCAATTTGGGGTGCCACTGAGGCGCTTAGGCGGCGACTCGCGAGCGTCGACTTTATCACTCGACTTAGCTCGATACAATCACGCGGCCTACTACTAGTACTAGGATACTTCTGCGAATTTCCCCGAGAGCTCCGCCAGGGCCGCCTGCTGGCCGAGGACCTTCGCGAACCGGTCGCCGACGTCCGACCCCTCCACGTCGCCCTCGAACACGTCCCTGCCCTCGCGTATGAAGTGGTCGACGAGCAGCCTCCGCTCGGCGTCCGGGTCGAAGGCCCGCGACCGCTTCTTGAGGTGGGCCTCCCGCTTGGCGAGCGCGCGCCGCAGGTCGCTCCGGCCGTCGGCGGGCGCCACCGCCGCGGCGGCCTCCTCGGCGGCGGCGGCCCCGTCGGGCGGCGCGCGCGGGCCCGCGCCGACTCGCGCGGGCGGCTTCTGGGCGTGCGCCCCGCCCGGGCCGGCGGTCCGCGCGAGCGCGCCCCGCGCGCGGCAGAGCGTGCAGCGGATCTGGACCGTCCAGTAGGCGTCGTAGGCGACGCGGTAGAGCGCGAGGCGCATGTCCCGCGCGAGGTCCCCCTCGCCCCCCGATATCTCCTCCAGCACCTCGCCGTAGCTGACGTCCACGATCTTGAGCAGCATCGTGAGGATGATGAACGTCATGATCACGACGAACGTGAGCATGAGCGCCACGCCCAGCAGCGGCGCGAAGGCGATGATCTCCTCCAGGTCGAAGTCCCCGAACACGACCAGCAGCAGCGTGATCGCGGCGTCGGAGAACGTCCGGTACTTGGCGATCGCGTGGCCGAGCAGCACGTGGAACGCGATCGCGAAGCCCACGAGGACGATGGCCAGGATCAGCAGCACGTTGAGCATCTCGGCCGACACGACGTAGATCGTCCGCGTGAACTGCGACAGCTGCCGCGACACGCTCAGGAACTTGAAGGCCTTGACGAAGTTCACGAGGACGCCCGCCGCGAGGAAGTTCCGGCCGTAGCGGTAGTACTGGAACGTGAGGCGCAGCCGGATGTACTTGTCGTAGCTCGCCGCGCCGCCGAGGTCCGCGTGCTGGTCGGCGGCCACGTCCTCGCTGAAGGTGTTGACGTGGCCCATCAACATCTTTAAATAAGTGACGACGCGCATGACCAGGGCGACGACGAAGCACGCCACGCTGGCAACGTCGGCGACGTTCCAGCCGACGGCGAGGTAGGCCTTGAGCGACGCGTAGTCGGTGACGTCCTCGGTCACGCGCACGAGGTACCAGAAGCTCATCAAGTAGAGCGCGATCTCCAGCAGCACGGCCGCGCGGTCGCGCGGCGCGTAGGGCGGCTCGCCCTTCAACGCGCGCTGGTCGTGCAGCAGGGGCGCCGAGTCGACGGCGACGGTCGGCCGCACCTTGCCCGCGGGCAGGAACTCGAACGCGAGGCGGGCGTGCGTGAACATGTCGACGTTCGGGTTGTACCAGCTCATGTCCGCAAAGACGGCGCGCGTGGCGTTGTCCACGAAGCCCGCGCGCCGCAGCTGGCGCAGATCCTCGCGCGCGAGCCGTGCGCCCACGCGCAGGTCTTTGACCTGGCCGCCCGGCCCGTAGTCCACCTTCGAGTAAGGCGACACCCACCCCCCGCCGTCGCTGGAGGCCCGGTACTCGAGCGCCAGGTCCGCCCCGTCCGCGGGGTCGCGCAGCGCCAGGTCGCCCGCGTCTTGGTCCGCGCGCGAGTAGCGTGCGAAGCACCGCGCCGGCGCGCCGGCGCCGGCGTGCGTCGCGTAGAATGCCTTCAGGAACCCGGGAGCCCGGCACGCCGCGCCGCCGTCCGCCCGCACGCGCAGCTGCCGCAGGCGCACGCGCCCGAGCGCGAGCAGGGCCATGGCCGTGTAGCGCGGGCGGTACTTCAGCGTCTTGTCGTCGCGCGAGAAGGCCTGCCCGCGCCCGTAGCGCCCCCGCGCGTCCACGGACCCCGGCACGAGGCCGGCGTAGTAGCGATCCTGGAACGCGTGCGGCACAAGCAGCGTCTCGAGCGCGAGGTAGACCTGCTCGGCGCTCATGGCGTTCTCGAGGAACACGTTGTCCAGGATCTCGTTCCGCAGCAGGGGCTCCCGCACGGCGGCGGTCTGCCTGTAGAAGTGCCGCGTGTAGCGCGGCGTGAAGACGGCCGCGAGGATGAAGAGGAGGAAGAGCCAGTAGGCCGCGAAGTGGGCGATGGCGCGGCTGCGGGCGGTCTCGTTCCGCAACGCCTCCGGCGGGGCGCGGCGCGGCGGCGCGTCCATTTGTGGTCGTGCGGCGCACCTGCGGCACCGGCCCGGTTTCGGATACGCGCATGTAGCATGTACTATATCTTCCGAGTCTAGACCGCCATGTATCTATTTAATTATGGACGCTACAAGCGCGTATCGAGGCTAGCAAGAGAATGCCGTAGCGCGGTATAATGTAGCGAGGGTCCTAGGCGGCCAAGAGAGAGAGAGTGCCCCCGTACCCGAGGCACCGTGACTGGCCCGGCCGCAGCCTGAGCCTCCGGCGAGTCCGACTCGCCGGCGGACTCAGGCTCGGAGTCCGGCCCGGGGTCACCGGGTAGGGTAAGATTTCCCGCACATTCGCCCTGAAATCGCAGAATGGATCGAATTCTCTCATTCAAACTTAGTAATCGACGTTCAAGTCGCGGTTCGGTGGGGCTCGCGTTCAAGTTAAGTTGCCGTTGCGACTTCGCCCGGGCCGGCGCTCTGACCCAACAAAATGTATGAAATTTGTGCCTCGCCGTCGAGCCTCGCCGATAGGCGGGGAACTAATCTTGCGTTTTGTCCTTACTACTGCCCCAGGGATGTGGCGCTTTTTGGACGCCTAGGCTCAAGTAGATGTAGTGCAGGCCAGTACTAAGCTCGCTCGCTGCTGTGAATCAATCGCCTGGACCTTCGCATCGTGGGCTAAATGTGCCTTTCTGCATCATGAGAAAGGACTGCCAAATTTTTCGCGGCCTGAGAGTGAAGCCCTAGGGGCAGCTCTGAAAGGATATGATGAGCCACTACCGCAAAGTCCAGATGGTAACTGATATGTGCCTGGGCCTGGGCGAGCCTGCAGCTCATCCTGCATAGTCATTGATGATGTCTTGTCACGTGCACTGCGAGAGAACTTAACAAATCCAGATGTTTTTTTGCGCGAGTCAACCTGCTTTCTGCATGCCGAGATGCCAACGCCATATTCACCCGGGCCAACGTCATTCTGGACACGAAGGAGCGGTGGTCTTTCGCCTTGTCCGAACCCCATACCATTGTTATTGGATTTTGTCGAGAGAACTTGTCTGCCAACCGACGACGGGATGGCGTATGCCCCAGGACCGGGAGAAAACCGAGCTTTGTCTTTGATAAAATGGCCTTTCGGAAAAGAGTACTTTGGTGGATTGTCATCATTTGGATTGATCTGCTTGGGAGTATACCAGCCAGGGCCAGGCTCGCTTGCAGTTCCAGCATCAAGCGCTCTAAGCATTGGATCTCCAAACTTCTCGCGGGAGCGAAGAGAGAATTGCGGCGTTGAAACTATCCTCGAGTCTGGAACATTGCCTAGGATCGTGGTCTTAATCGAATACGCCCCGGCGCCGGGAGTCGGCTCCGCGTCGGAAAGTCGTGGCCGTATTGCCGATCCAAATTGATAGGACGGCGATGTTTTCTTCGTCGCGTTGAATGAGTCAATGATTGAGTGGTCAAGTCCTAGAGATTTGGTCATATCGGCGTCCTGTCCGCTGGATGCGTTGGGTGCACGCTTAGGAAGCGGATACTGATATTTACTACCGCAGTATCCTACCTAGCCTAGATCACAGAAGAATTTAAACTAGTAGCTCATTTCGGACGCCTGGGCGGTCAAGAGCGTTATGATGATAGGCCCGTTGGAATTCAATGTTTTTATTCCAGCCTGCCCGGGCCCCGGGCCGGGGCGGGGGACACCCCGGGCCGGAGAGTGGTCACTTCAAGTTCAAGTTGAATGGGCCGTCGCGTCGGGGGCCGGGGCCCGAGGGGGTACCCCGCGCGCGCAGTAATTTTAGGAGGAGTACCAATTTTTTGCGATTATACCTTTTGAATAAATTGAACTTTTGCAAAGCACCCGGGCCCGGGCCGTCACGGTGGCCGCACCGTACCGTGACCGTTCAGGGCGGGAGCACAGGGTATTCACCGTACTATAGTTTGCGACTTTGAATAGTCACGCCGGTATGGAATTCAAGTTATCACCGTGACTGGCATCACGATATGCCGTGACCGTGACTCAGGCTACTATTCGAAGTTCGAACCGTGACCTAGTAATTGCAATCATGATGACGCAGAACGGTCGACCGCGTGGGGGTACCACCCACCTGCAAGACCCTCCCCAGGCTCCCCTCTACCGACTACAAGGGCGGCTCCGGGTGGCCTGAGATAGTGGTCGAAATCCGGGGTCCGGCTACTTCCCGACTACTTCCGTCAGGGGGGGCATGGGCCGGGCAGCCCGGGGGCTACTATACGTAGTCGTTGGGCCTTCCCACGCTGGCCAGTACATCCTGGGGCCGTTAACAGGCCATGACTAGGCCCTACTGGGCAACGGACCCGATCCGGCTCGCTGCCCGCCTCGGCCACAGCTCAGCCTTTAATTGCCTCTATCTCACTAGATCGTCGAGTACACAAAAAAGTCCACTTACACAATGGCCCGCCCGTGCGCGATCTCCCGGAGTGTCGCTGGGTGCATGAGTGTCGCTGGGTGCATTGCACGCCGACGTCGGCGTGGCGAGATATGGCCCCCTCCCCAGCAGCAGCCTTTCGACGCCGCCCTTTTCCCGCCCGATACCGGTTGCTGTGCGGCCCGCGCCCCCGGAATCCGCAGCGCGTCGCCGGGGAGTACGATAATCAGCAGTCAGCTCGTCCGCAGCCAAAATTCGTCGTAAACCATTCGTTCAATCGAGCCGCCGAAACGAATGGGTCGCACCATTCGTTCAATATTCGGTCGATGACACCCAAATTTCGACCGCAGCTCGTCCCTGACGTCGCGGGGCAGCAGCCGCGCGGGTGTCCCCATACGGGGCAGCACGACGAGCGCGGGGGCTTTCGAAGTAAATATGGCGGTTTGCCACGTCCTTAAAATGAGTGCACTCGTATGGTTACACCTAAAAAACCACGAGCTTCTTTCGCTGCGTGCTGCTTGTGGTTTTTCAGGTCACGGTATCACCATACGAGTGCACTCATTTTAAGGACGTGCGTTTGGCATTAATTAATTGAGCCAATCCAGCGTCGACAACGAACCTACTAGGGTCCGTTGCCCAGTGAGCTAGGTCAAGTACCGTAAACGGAGCCTCGGATACAATTCCGGGCGTGGTATCGCCGAAAGTACCGAAATTTTGCAGGCCCGGGTATGGATATTTCCTAGGAACTCTGGGGATTGATCCAGCTTGGAAAGATACGTCGATTTCCCGGGCCGGTCTCAGACTACACCGACTACAAAACGACTATATAGACCTCTGAGGCATCGCACCACCCGCCTGCGGAGGCCTCCGCCGCCATTCCCCCCTCAACAGACAAGAAGGGCGGCTCGGCTTTTACCGCTGGCATCCCGGAAAAACCCGCAGGCGGGTGGCATGGGATCCACTGGCACTGGCAGGGGGAGGGAGGGAGGGAGGGAGGGAGGGAGGGACTAATGCGGATTGCGGACGTCGTGTGGCCTTTGCGTGCGGCTGCGGGGTCCTTTGCATCTAGTCTGCGGCCGCTGGGGATAATATATTCCGGTTTTACGTGTTGTCTTTGCGCGCGCCCCCGGAGCTCTCGCGCCCCCACTTTCTACTCGGCCTAGCTCTAGGGAGATTACATGTATGTGTTTGCGCTAGGGTATTATCCTTCCCCCGCACGTCGCGAGGATGCGTCAGACGTATTCATGCACCTGAGCGTATTCCGCATACGGGTTACGCTCAGGCTCCAGCAGGGCGGGGACTACCCCCGACAGCAGGCCACTACCTACCACACCTCTTCAGGGGTCCCTGGGAGAAAATTGCGTTAGAAAAATCCCACTAGCTCCACTTTACTAACCCCCCCTTTTTGCCCGCGGCAGGCACCGCGGGTCCACCGCGACCAGCGTATCGTCGACTCGACGAGTTTGCCGCGTCAGGAGCTCGCGACAGGACGATCCTACGGACTAGAACAAGTAACAGTCGCACAAGTCGACCAGCGGCTTGTCTCTGCTGTGGCTCGACCCCCCTACTACGCCCCCTACTAGGCTCTTACTAGGGGGGGGTTACCCCACTACCACTCCCCCCAACCACTCCTTGGGAGATCCTACAAACCTCGGCATGGTTACGCTCGTGAGTGTCGTGAGTGTCAGCGCCCTAGACCTCGAGAGGGGCAGGAGCATCAAATGCAGGCCGGTTCGATGGGATCAGGGCAACATGATCCAGGCGTATTTGGCTGGAGACGTGTGCCACGGGGCATATAGGGCGGTCGAATGAAGGAGAAAGGGTCGTGGAGGCTGTTTTCGCTTGTCAGCAATGACGGGAAAAAAAAAGATGATCTGACATATTTTCCTGTATACGGCAATAGTGCCAGAAGCCACCTAGCTGTTGAACTGCTGTCTAATGACGTTGAAAGGAAATCTGTCGTGACCTCATCGCAAGGACCAGAATTCAAAGTGAAAAAAAAATCGACGTTGCCATGTGCGCAGGAGTACTGGATGCCTGATAGATTGTGCAGGACCTGTTATGAATGTGAAATGCCGTTCAACATGTTTCGTCGGAGGCATCACTGCCGATTATGTGGGCAGGTGTTCTGTCACAAGTGTTCGTCCTACTTGATCGATGGTCGACTCGTACTGCTGACCGGCATGGTTCGGGTGTGTACGACTTGTCACCAAGCCCACAAAGCACCATACCAAGTGCAGTCGGATAGGGTGTTAGTGAATTCGTCTTTCTTAGGTGCATGCGAGAAACATGGCAGATCACTGCAAAAAAATCATATTGCAGTCGAGAACTCGCAATCTTTACATGAGTATGTTCCTGCCTGTAGCCCAAGTATTGCCCGGCGATTTGAGGAAGCGGAAAATGTCGCTCATGATTGTTTTAGCCTCACTGTGCATGATAAACTAAATTTACAGCAAGAGTTTAGTGAGACTACAGATCATGCTACTAACATACCTGCACATAACAAAAATCGTTTTAGATGTCAACATCAAGCAACCAGAGAATCTAATTTAGAATCAGATTCAAGCAAATTGCCCTGCGTGTGGTCTGTGTATGACGCGTGGAATAGATCGATGATTGATAGCCCGGAAGCCTGTCTGCGAAGGAGGCTTCTCGGAACGTCATCTTTTGTTGCGCCTATCTCTCTCCTGAATGCAACTTCACGTAATCAGGAATCTCGCGCTGAGCTTCTGCATATTGCAGACCTGCTTCGGCAGAGCGCAATTTTGAGACTTGAATCTATGGTTCAAGGACTCTTGTCGGAATATGACCGCGCGTATGAAAGACCACACGAACAAAATTGGGGTGCCATTATACTTCGCCTAGCTCAAGAAGCTAGTGACACTGTCACACCAAATGTCCGCATCGCTGATACCATGGACATTCGACCATACGTCAAGATCAAGGTGATACCAGGAGGATCGTATCTGGAATGTCGCTATGTTGATGGCATTGTCTTTTCGAAGGGAGTAGTCCATAAAAAGATGCGAAAGTCCGCCTGCTCGCCTCGCATATTGTTGCTCTCAGGTGGCGTGGACTTTCAGCGCACCCACTCGAAACTGGCAACTTTTACAACATTGCTAGAACAAGAGCAGAAATACACAGAAATAATAGTGGAGAAGATAATTCGACTGCAGCCTGATTTGATGTGTGTAGGAAGTTCGATATCTCGCCAGGCCCAAGAGTACCTTAACCAGCATGATGTAGTTGCAGTTCAACATGTCAAGCCCAGACTAATGAAGCAAATTGCGCGCATGACCGGGGCGGCTATTGTTCCGTCAACTGATTACGTTACTAGCATGAGTGATTACAGAGACATAGCACTTGGAACCTGTCAGCACCTCCAAATCACAACATACCCATCTGTACCACTTGAAGGATATCATGTCAAGTCGATACCTAAGCTAAATCATGTTCAGCCTCACTATAAACGCATGCGTGGGCACGGGTATGTAAGCTATGTTTATCTGTCGGGCTCTCCTAGATTCCTTGGTTGCACGCTAATATTGAGAGGTGCCAGAAAATCAGAGCTGAAGAAAATTAAGAGGATTGTTGGCTTTGCTGTATTTGTAGCATATCATCTCCGCCTAGAATGTTCTTTTCTGAGAGACTGCGGTGCAATGCCAAGGCACGCTGCTGTGCCTGCACAGTGGCACGGATCATCCATCTTCTCTTCATCTCTATCAGTTGATTTCGGGGACGGAACAATTGATTCCAGAAGTTCCTCTCCCGGTCAACTCATAAAAAAGCAGTTCGTATCAACATCTGCCTTTGATCATCAAATGTTGCTGGTCACGAGCGTGTGGATGAGTCATCGTACGCAGTGTGCCTCCGCAGAGGTCAAGGGCGTTCTATACTACACTCCACAGGACGTGAGCTTGGGTCAATTCCTCCTCAACTGTTGCTTTAATCTGAAGTCGAAGTTCCCTCCTGGCGACAAAAAATCGGTGCTTGACATGACCCAAATATTTTATCACAATGATGGCAGACTCCTCATTACCGTGAAGATGGACCAGGCATTGTCTGTGGCTCCAACGACGGAGAACGAATCCGCAGAATCTCTGTGCAGTGTAAATCATGACAATACGATTTTCATGTGGAGCTATTGTAAAGCTTGCGAAGAAATAGTCTCTCCTTTAGTTCCTATGTCGGAGGACACTTGGAAGATGTCGTTCGGCAAGTTTTTGGAGGTGCGCTTCTATAACAGAACTGCCACTTGTCGCACCGGAAACTGTCGACATTGCCTGCAAACCAACCACGTGTTTTTCTATGGGTCCCGAAATCTGATTGCTCGCTTTGATTACGAACGCATCAGGCCATATGAGATTTATGTCAGACAGCAACTTCCTTTTGACGGGTCATTTTATTATCATGAGCTTGCACTTGAATGTCAGAGTTTGAAATTACTAACCTTAGACCTTTTCAGATCATTTCGTGCAAAGCATAGTGAATTAGAAGTGGTTATGGATTCAATAGTCCTAGTGTTTACTACGACTAGCAATGATAATTCCACATATTCTTTATTAGCCACGGTGTTGGGCGAGCTAAGCCAGATATCAATGGACATCGAAAGCTACTCATCCTGGTTGCGTCATCAGCTTTTAGATGAGCCTCATTTGCATGAAAAAATGTGGCTGTCCGACAATTCTGTGCAGTTGCGCTTCCCTGCACAATTCCGCCGGGAGCTTTACGTTAGAATGAGCAACTGGAACCAGAGGTTTGCATTATTAGGTCAGCTTTTGAGTTCTATACAAGATAAAGCTGGGTCATATGCGAGTACCACAACTGATGCATCCAGTTACATAGCAACTATTGTTGGCTGCAGTAGTGATATAATAGAGGCAGAGCTTTTACATCTTAGAACCCTGACAGAACCCAGATTTGTATCGACATCGGCTATAGAAGAAGATATAGACGAGGGCGACGACTTCCAAGACGGTGAAGGCCAGGCCTTGCCTCCCGGCTTACCTTCAGGTACCAAAATGATGGCCGCAGAACACATAGGAACTGTGATTGGTAGTTCTGAGGAGGTCCTGGGAGATTTTGCACCAGCGAACTACGTGTCAACTCGTGAACTAATCAAGGATCACAATAATCAGAGCAACTGCGTTGATGCGCCACTTACTCTGAACTCAGATAGCCAGCAATCAGAATACCATGATGAAGAAGTGATTACAGGTATACCTAACGTGCAAGCTACGCTCCGTGGCTATAGATTTTCTAGTGCACTATCGAGGCTCTTGGGTACATACAGTCCTGAGGAGGACCCATGGATTGTGCCGCTTCGCAGTCTAGAGGGTGGAAGACCGCGTTTGGAGATTGGTGATTGTAGTGGAGTCTTGCTAGTCCATGATGAAGAGCCGACTACAATAATTGCATATAGTTTAAGCACAATGGAGTACAAGCGCTCATTGGCAACGTACCTAGACGCAACGCATAAAAGAAACAGCATGTACTACAATGAGAAGCCAATTATATCTGAAACAGCAATGGGCTTAAAAGCACCATGTGGCCTCTCTCACTCGCCCGGCACCGGGCTGTCGACGATCACAGAACAGGGCAATCTCTTGCGCTCAAGGACGACTACCAGCAGTCCTGCTTTAGATCAAGTTGGGTCAATTGGCGCATTGTTTAGGAGAAAGCCAACATCGCCAGACTTTAGTATGCAAGACCACAGCAACCCTGGAATTTCTCATGGTCGTTGTGACGAACGCACGGTCGCCGATACACGTCAAAATGTGGAACTGGCGCTTACAACTCCTCTTCGCCATGCGGGTAGACTGGTAAAGGCCTCCCCTCCTTACTTTGAAAACCAGATGTTGTCCACTCAGAAAACGCATATAAAGCACAGATTTGCTGACATGAATGAAAAAGGGAATACTATATGCAAGTTTGTCTGTCAGGCCTACTGGACTACTCAATTTGTTGCAGTGCGCAGGGCATTCTGCGGAAACAGCGAAGAAGATGAAATAGGATACCTAAGGTCCCTCTCCATGGCTCGCCCATGGAATGCGCAAGGCGGTAAGTCAGGTGCGACATTTCTGAAAACAACAGATGGAAGATTTGTGGTTAAGCAAATTACTCGGACTGAGTTACAGATGTTTTTGGAGTATGCCCCTGCGTACTTTGAATATCTGTTCAAAGCATTTTTTTGTTGTTATGCAACACTTCTAGTTAAAGTCTTCGGTGTTTATCAGATCGGCTCACATAATCGTGCAAACGGGAAAAGGACCATGGAACAGGTAGTAGTTATGCAAAATTTATTCCATGAGTGTTCAATCCACCGGGTTTTTGATCTCAAGGGCAGCACGCGATCAAGGTACGCACGTGTGGATGCTTCAGGCGAAGTTAGCAAAACAGCTTCAAGTTTTGTAGGAGTGAGCGATGTGCAGCCTGTACTGCTGGATGAAAATTTTGTGGAGTTTACTGAAGGTCGCCCTCTCCCCCTTCGTGACCAAGCAAAAGCATACTTTAATAACGCTGTGATGAATGACACCCTATTTCTTTCTCTAATCAGTGTAGTTGACTACTCAATTTTGGTCGGTATGGATGATGATAATCACCAGCTTGTTGTCGGAATCATTGACTACCTACGTCAGTATGACATAATAAAAAAGGTTGAGCGCGTCGGGAAGTCAGTTGGGATGATTGCTGGTCAAGCTGAGCCAACTGTCATTCAACCGCCAAATTATCGGAATCGGTTTCAATTAGCCATGGAAAAATATTTTATGATGGTACCCGACAAGTGGACCTCATTTCGCCTGCAGACACATATCTGATCAATCACTCGACATAATTTGTATCAATTGCACTCATAACGCCTTGGCCGTGACGCCGCCAAATTAAACTATTCTACTTCGTCCGAACGGACCTACTCGAGCTCCCGGATAGACGTCCACAATCGTCCGGAATAACTCAGCAGAAGTACTAGTAGGAGTGATTTTGTGGAAGTCTGACTACCTTTACTTCAACTTGAGCGGACTCTCCGCGCGCGTGGCAGCCGCAGCGGTCGCATGTGCCATGCGTAGGTTGCACGTATGGAATTGTGCACGCCGCCACAGTCGCCACATGCGAAGAAATTGAATGAACCGTAGCGCGGCGCTTCCCCGGTGGCGACCGAGGCGCTAGATCGAAAAACAAAACAAACAGTCTTAAAACTGTGACTTATCGAATATCAGAATTACACCTCAGGCTCGGGAAAGTAGTTAAGGGTTTTTGTATACTTTGTCCCACTGGGATCCCCCCTTATTTTACCAACTAATACAAAATATAGTACAAAATATGTCATCAAAAATTGACATCATGATGAAATCGCCGCTGCCCGTCGGGCCGCAGCCAACTTGAAAATATTTTCAAGTTTTCCAAGTCCGTTGCGTTTACACGGTAGTGTCACGGTCACGGTATATGATATGTGCCCCGAACAACAATCTCCATCACACGAAATGTAGGAAATTCGTTCCACGCCGTAGGCGGGGCCCCGGGGCCGGGCCCGGGGACTAACTTGAAATTCATACGTTTCAAGTTCGAATCGTCTGCGATACTACTTCCCGGGCCCGGGCCTAATATCATTAGGTAAGTGCTCCCCCACACTAATCCCAAATGATAATCGTTGGGAGTTCTTCGGGGTTCTGACGGGCATCGCCGATGACAATCAACGCCAACGGATAAAAATATTTCAAGTTGGCGATTTTTTTGTCATGGTCATTTTTATATTGGATTTCAAAAATCGGTATTTGAATATCATACGTATCATCCGTCAGGATGGGACATGAAGTATACAAAATCCCAAGGGTGACTCTCCAACTGGGGCAATAGTTCGTGGTGGCGTTCCCTGGCCGCCCTGAGGCTTACTGGCGGCCTCAGGCCCACTGGCAAACAGTAATCATGGATGTACATAATCACGGACCAAACAGTTGCCCCCACTGGCAGTCACGGGAGCGGATCAAGCGTAAGGAGACTCTAGGCTAAAAATTCCATTTCACTAGGCAGCTTGGCTAACTTTCTCGTTGATCCAGGGGAGCTATTCCATGCCGCGTATAGTACTCTGAACTAGAGATAAAGGCCTGTCACCACAGGAGATTACATCAGCTCATGGAGAGGACTGCGGCTGCAAGAATGACACTAATGGTGCCCTAGGTGCCAACGGCCCGCCTTTTAATGTTCTCTTTTTTTTTGGCAGCATCTCAAAAGAAGATGAAGGAATCGTTGAGTCTGATTCTTGCAGTGCGGTTGAGTGTCGACTAGTGTTTGGCAATGAGCTTGATGGGGCTGCCGTCTTCATTTTCTGCACTGAATCGACTCCATCGTTGATATATGGAAGGGTTGGTGCCTTTTCTGCGGTGTTATCCTGCGAAATTGGCATAGAATCACATTGCTCCTGAAGGTTTTGTGTCTGCGAAGCTGGCGACCCCTTTGCTTGGGGATACAACGAGTTTTGAATCGCTTCTAAGTGACTTAAACGCGAATCAAGAAGAGCATCGCTCTGCTCACTCTGTAATGCAAGGACAGAGATAGCCCGCGTCTGCTGCTCGGATAAAGCAGACATGCGACTGTTGAGTTTGTCACTTGACTCTAGCAAGGATGTAGTTTGAGTTGACAGAACGTCCATTAGCGATTTCTCTGCTTTGCCTTTGAGCATCGTGAGGATCTCATCGCGCTGAACGGCACTCCGCAACAGAGTACGTACCTCTGGGCTAAGCTCTTGCGATGCTTTTGTCGAATTTGCCAACTGCACTCCCAACTGCGCCCGCCTAGGGTGAAACAGTAAACGTTTAGATGTTCTTCATGCTCTGACAAATACAACTCGTTTAGTTCCGAGCGCTCTGCCTTATTTGTCAGGAGCTGAGAATTGGCCTGCTCGATCCGCTGAATACACGCCTTGAAATTGGCTTCGTCAGCTTTTACAGACTGCATGGCGAGCTGAAGATGGGACACCAAATCATCGTACCGGCGTTCTATGCGAGAATCCACCTGCTTTTCGGTAGTTTTCTCGTCGAGGAGCATGTGATAATCTTCAAGTTGCGACAGTAAGAGGTCTTGATTGCGACGTATGTCCATCAAGTTGACATCCATATTTGAATCGAGGAATTGCTGTATTTTTCCCAGGTGCTCTTTATTTTGGTTGGCGATCGCTTCGGTTTCCTTGCATGCTTTCAATTCGAGTTGCTTGCTCTGCGTGGTAGCCATGCGTCGCTGCAACTCCATATTACGTGCCATCTCCTGAGCCATGGTATTCATGCACTCTAGTTCGTTGGTCAATGAAGCTCTGCTAGTGCCGTTACGCCCAATGTCGACAGGGTTGTCAAAGACAGCACCATTTTCGGGATCTGAACGCCTGACAACATGTATCTGATCAGAACTTATGTAGAGCTCTTTTGAGAGGCGACTTAGTTTGTCTTGAATGGTCAAGATGGACTGATCCTGCGTAGCAATGGCACCTATATGGCTCATCATCTTTCATCATAGAGCACAAGACCAAGCCCAACCTCGGAATGTTTCGAGTTGTTCCTTGTTCTCAAGTGCTTCTTGCTCTCTGGTTATAGTAAGCTTTTGGAAGCAGCACTGGAGTTCCCTCGTTTGCACCACTTGCTCCTGCTGTTGGATTTCTAGAGCAGACAACTTATCCATTTGTTTCCACAAATGGGAAACCTGGGCATCCATTTTTTCAAAGCGGTGGCCTAGATCGTCTAGACGAGATTCATGCAGTCCCAGGGTGGTATCGGCTGCTCCTACTCTGGCTAAAGCCTATGCTGAAGAGGTAAATATAAAAGCATTTGTGGACACTCGTGCTACAAGTCTCTGTTGTTCCTTGACCACCTCCAAGCTTTTGACAAGCAAATCACATCCTTCGCGCAGAACACCAAGACAGTTGTTGTGCCGTCGAACGACTCCAATCAATATGTCGTGCGTGACCACAGGAACCGCTGTGACCAAATCTCCCCTCAAAGCGTCTCCAAGGGCACATAGAGTCTCCTTGTGTGCCATCGACAGTAATATCCCAAGATACGGGCGGAACGGAAAGATACGTATTTCCGTATTCCCGCTTGTGTTATTGACAAAAGGCGTCGGAACCGATAAAATTTAGTCATGGATGATGATGTTGCAGGTGCTACAATCTCGCATCTCCGGGAGTTACAAAAGCTATCAAGAATCTCAGTGAACGAGGCCGATGCCCTTGAAAGAGAGTACAGGTGAAGTCCATATTTCTTATATTGTATGAGGCGGCCATCTTCGCACAGGTCCTTGCAAGCTGCGTGTTTTGCCGCGGAAGACGAGGAAAAAGTATTACTCAGGACCTTACGCCAAAAGCAAAATGAAGCGCTTGGCGAACGAGTCAGGGTGGAAAGCGCTCTCGAAAAGTCAGATGCAGAACAACAAGAACTTGAGATACTACGCGCGGATCGCGAGCGAGTCGAACATCAACTCAATGAGCTTAAGCAGAATGAATCAGTAAGTAAATATGAGATCCTCGGGCTAGAACATAGTCATGAGGAGTTGACGTCAGCTGCAGATGTCATGCTAAAGGATAACGATGCTATGGTCCAACCTGAGCTACGCAGGTTAGAGAGAGAGCTGACACTCGCTAGGGAGGCTTTCCAGAAGCTAAACAACATGCACATGCATGATACTCAACGCAAGCGCGCATTCGAAGAAAGGTTACAAATTCTAGAACATGAAAAGCAAAATGCTGTCGCGGAATCCCAAGGTGCACGGGAATTGCTGCAGAAAGTCTCTGTCGAACCAGAGCGCATTCGCAAGCAGACAGAATGTGTTAAGAAAGCTGTCGAGAAAGTACAGCAGGAAGTATTGCTGATTTCCGACAAAAATAATCTACGCAGCAAAAATATCGCACAAAAGCGATCCAAGCGCAAAGAAGCCGAGGAAGTGCGCGATAATCTTCTTCGTAAGCTCCAGCTTCATTACGACACCATTTTGCATCGACAGCGAGATGTCGATGCAGTAAAAAGAAACGTCACCATTGAGAAAGCACGTGCGCATCAGCTGGCTGAAGTAAAATTGAAACTTGAAGTTAATCGAAAAGAGGTAGACGAGATTGCGCACCACCAGGCCGATTCTTTGTGCTCGTTAGAAAAACAGTTGGAAGCCCTTGATCGCAGGCACACTACTTCATTGTCTCAAAAATGACATGTGCCTATATAGGTATCAAAAGAGAAAAAGGAAATTAGATGCAGCAAATAAAATTTTACCCACGCTCAAATCCCGGTTGATTGGAAATGAGGAGTCGCTGGCTGCTCATCTACAGAAAAACAAGGACCTTAGTAGTCAGATAGATGCTATGAGGCAAAAAGTCGATGTTGGGATTGCATGTCTTCTGCAACAGGAGGGTTTTGAAAAGACTAGGCGCTCTGAACTTGAGACTCTCCTAAAAGAAGTTGCGGCCATGGAGGATGAAATTAGCAGTTGGCGTGCTGAAGAATGCCGACAAAACAAACTTATTGTAATTCTGGGTGCACAGCGGGAAATGAAAGCAAGGGAAGCGACAAGAGCTAGAACATCAGAGAGAGAGGCGCGAGAGCAGGTCAAGGTCAAGGAGTTGGTCATTCTTGATATGTCGAAGAAGGCCAATGAAGTCAGAAGCCGCCTCAAAGAGTTTTCTGCGCTCTATGATGTTGCCAAAAACGAGAAAAATAAATATATCAATCTAGTTCTATCATCAAGCCAGACACTTGCTGAAATGAAAGAAAAAACAAGGATACTGACGAACGAGGTTAGTGTAGTGTCCAAACTCTTGGAGAGACACTTGATTATAGGTTGAGATCCTACAAAATGAATCTGTAGCAAAAGATAAAGCTCTAGCGAAGGAAAGAGTTCAGCACGCAGCCTCCCAAGCGCAGAGGGACACTCTTCGGCTTAACGTATGTAAAACGCAGTCACAATATTGCAAAAAACAGGACTTCGTTGATCACCAGATAATTGAAATAGACAAGTGGAATATTATAATTAACAAGATAGAAAAAGATTTGTTGCAACTAAAGGGATTATATGTCAAGGCTGCGGTCAGTCGCAATACAGTTGGCGTTGCGCTAATCGACCGGAATGATGAGCTATGCATCTTGTATGAAAAAGTCAATTTACAGGAACAAACAATAAAATGCGGTGAGCTCGGAATACGTCAGAAGGACCGGGATATCAGAATGTTGAAGTTGCAGCTTTCTGAGCTGCAACGCCAGGCGGTGAATTCAAGGAAACAGCTGCCTCAGGTGCCAGCCTTGGTTGATACCATTTTGGAATTAAGAAGAGCGCTGGAGAAAGAACGCTGCACGACAGAGTCATTATGCAGGTGCATGGAATCTCCTTCAAACCATGTTCGATGGCATTCTTCTCTTCGAGGAGATGATCCAGATCGGGAGCACCTCCTTGCAAAAATAGGAGTTCTGGAAGAGCGGTTGAGTCTGAAAAAGGAAACTCTGTTAGAAAACGAATTGGTCTTAAAAGAAATCACCAATCTGACTAGCAAATTAAGAAACCAACTAAATAGAGGGCGTGACGTGGCATTGTGCTCAGCTGTGAGTCTCAATGAATTGCAAGCAAAAGTTAGAGACGCCACAAAAAGCAGGATCCGTGTCTAAATGTATTTTCTGGGTGTTGATATTTAATTTTACGTCCTGCCTTCAGGGATGATGGCAATCATATCTGAGCTATCAATGTATCAGGCCACTGCAATGAAGCTACAACAGCAAAAGCACTCAGCCAAAATAGCTCTCGAAGAATCCAAGCTGCGCGTCATGAGGAACGAGCCCCCCACAAAAGACGCCATTAATGAGCTCCATAGACGAGTGCAACGACGCCATCGTGATGTACATGACATTTCGACTAATCAAGTCAGGACGACCGCAGAGCCGAGGCCAAATGCATACATCCCTGATGTTGCCCATGGACTTGGCGTACCAAAGCCCTACAGCTCCCTTGCTCCATTCCATCCATCTGCGGTGGGCGCATCTATGCGCCATTATCGCTTGCCAAGCTCGCCGGCTATTATTTCCTTGTAGGGAAAAAGAAAATACTATCATCTTTGACAAAACCAAGTTGGATTCCTACTACTTCCTCCCACTCGTCCTACTTGGACACCCAAATAGACGTCCAAAAGCGCCTGGAAGAACCCAGCAGATGTAGGAGTGCATTTGTGGAGGTCTGAGGGGGTCTGTGGTTACCTATGACTTCAAACTAAGGCCTTTTTTACACCATTTTCGAGAATTTAAGTCCGTTTCACTTGCGCGGGCGGTCATTCCAACGTCCGCTGGAGCGCACACGTACGTCCTAACGGTCGTCTTTGGTCGAGCGTCCACGTGGCCCGCCATCGACATCACCGAATATGCTCTCCCGACTGCCCGCGGGTTGACATGCGGCGACGGACAACTGGTGAACTTCTGGAGGTGCATCGCTGTGCGCTTGGATTAGGCGCTTCTCTACCAGCAATTTGGAGATCTACATGCGGTCGCGCGCCGATTTAGGGCCTCGCAGAGAGCAGCAGCTCTTGGGCACTCGCAAACTGCCGAGACCGTGACGGCCACCTTTCCGCACGCGCGGTTAAGCATGGCTCGGATGAGTTCCCAGGACCTCCACGCGCGCCCGGTAGACGGCACGGAATAGGGACAGCGCGTTTAAAACTGGGTGGCCAAGTAGAGGTCTATGTCCTTTTCCTTTAGGATATTCCTTCCTTGATTGATTATTTAGTATTTATTTAAATTTATCCGAGTCTATGGTTTTTATGTCTGAGGCTGATTTCAAAAAACGGAAAATGTATATTTTATGGCTCATCCGTCAGGATGGGACATAAAGTATACATTTTCCCTATACTACTTAAATGGCAACCTAGCCCGGGTCGGGGAAGTTAAGTTCAGATCACGATTACGTCCCTGACGGCCATGGGGCGAGCCGCTGGCACTGGTTCGATCAAGTCAACCTTCGGAGAGCGGTTGGTTTTTTTATTTCTGTACCTGCGAGGCGATCCAAATCAACAAATAGATAGATCCACGCGTAATAGATATTCACTGGATCTGCCTTTACCCTGCTTCCCGCAGGCTAGTGCTCTATGAAGATCAACAACAAGTGCTGTAATATCATCAATCATTGGCGATAAACTTTGCCAGCGATTGCGAGCTGATATGCATAACGTGTGAGCAGCCTCAAGTGGGTCCCAGTCATTCGACCTTAAATCTCTGGTTGGCAAAAGGTCAAAGGAGCCCAACTCACCGCTCGTAAAGTGTGTGAACAATTTTTACTGCTTGTGCATTGTCAATCACATCCCAGACGCCATCAGTTGCGCTATGATAAAATTAATATTTCTAATTAGCCACAAAACCCAAACCAGATGAGAAACTTATCAGCCAAATCTAGATTGTACTGAGTGATCTCTGGTTCACAAGAAACGCCCAGCCCTGCACGTTCAAAGATAGAATATGGTCATCCAAAAATTGTTACCATGTGCAATTGCGTCGCCAAATGAACGACTCATGGCAAGCCCCATCGTGTCGCCATGACTGCTATTTCTACGCTTCAAGGTGATAAGATAATACATTAAAATCTAACCTTCTATACCAAACTCGAGGTGGGCCAAGAGGCAACGTGATTGGTCCATTACTACTATGGCCAACGACTAGTTGACGACAACTAACTTGACCTCCGCACGCTACGATGCGTATTTGCTCATCGTGTCGGTCAGGCTGTGATAAAACAAATGAGACACAATTAAGTTAGTGTAGATGTATACATACATACCTTGTGATCAGATGTCAACGGGGTTGCGCAAATATTAGCTCCATCTAAATGCCCGAGAACTCCCCGCGAGTCCCCGATATTGGCAACCCGAAGATAACTATCATGCAAGTGAACAAACACACAAGTAGCGCCACTACATTTAATATCCAACTCGCATTGACTCAAATCCTACAGGTAGATAGTGTGGATTCAAAGCGTGTCATTGAATCAAGCGCGCAATTCTACTTCTTGCATTAGGCGGAATGCAAGTGACATGTCCAACTGTGACTTCACGAAGTGCTCACAGAGCTGCTGGCTACAGCGCTTGGAGACCAGGTGACCTATCTCCCCATGGCCGTCAAGGACACCGTAACACCGTTGGTTTGTCTGCCGTTGAAAGTCTTCCGAAATAATATAAGAGTCCTGGTTTTGCCATCTCGGGTTCCCTGGCTTTAACCCTGTAACTGTACAGACACCGCAACATGTTGACCGGTGTCTGGAAATAGCCAGCTCATTCCTTGGCGCACACATAGCAGTCGAGTGAATTCCGTGGGAAATTTTCAAACGTGGCAAATTTGTACGCGGCAGGGGGTCTCTTGAACTGTACCATGAGCTCTTTTCCCTCGGCAGGCTGGCCAGCTTTACCTTGTCTTGGCTATTTGTTTTTCGTACGCGTGTTAGACTTTCACGACGTCTAGATCTATTCGGCCGTTGAGAACTAATTTCAACCAGCAAATTTCTAGAACTCGCATTAGATTCTTTGTTTAACCAATTCCGCTCGAATCTTATTGGTCTATTCACTTGAAACCTTGTCCGTCTCGCATTGTCAGTTTTACTGCCCCGCCGCATTTAGTCTAATGTCATCAACAGCTTGACTCATAAAGGCCCTGCGAGTGTGTACCAGTCTGTACAAGCTGGTACCAGCAAGTACCGGCTTACGAGCTTGGTACCGTAGGTATACCTAGACTCATACAAGACGTAACTTGTATCTTGAGACAAAAAGGAAAGCCTCAGCTTGGCTGGGTTGGGGTGTGGGGAGGATTTTACTCTAAACGGGGCGGATGTGCGGCGCGCACTCGCCAGTTTTATGTGTGCTCGCAACACTCAGCTGAGGCTATATTCGAGCTCGCCGCACTGCGGCAGACGGCCCCGGGCCGGCGGCCGGGCCCAGGGCGCTTGCCCGGGCCCGGGGCAAGTGGCTCCGAGTGGCGCAGAAAACTTGGAAGATTTTCGAGTCGCAAGGCCTGTAGGATCTCGCTGCGTCACGGTCCACCGGATTCCCTGAGTCCCATGCAGGTTCCCTCGGGCTGCGATCATGCGCAAGGAATAGCCTAGTCACAGTAGTATGAGTTGCGTAGTCTGGGAGCAACGGCAGTATGTAGTGCTCAGTTCCCTCCCTGAATAACTAAGTTGTTCGAAGCCTGAGTTTGAGAGTTTATCACGGGACTCGGAGCTCAAGTTGTTGCGTAGAAGAAAATTGTTCGTCTGTGGGTGTCCTACAGAAAATTTTGACTCGGAAGCGAAATGCGGATATGCCTCGGTAAGGACAGGTGACAGGTTGGATCATGTCAACGTTTTCAAGGTTTGAGTTCTTCTCAAATGGATTTGTTGTTGAGAATATCAGTATGACCGAGACCCGGTACCCGCCGGTCCGGGCCTGCCGGGGCTGGGGGACTTAGTACCGCTAGGTCGAGTCTTTAAGTTGAGCAAGGCAGTGACTTTCAGTGATCTCAACTTTAGAGCCTTGAATTGAAAAAAAGCAAGCCCTCAGACTAGGACACCGAGTAGGGCCTGAAACTCGGATGTAGCTATTGCCTGAGGCAGATAAAAGATGCCGCGGCGACCTAGGCGATTGCCATCGGGATGGAACACCCTAGATCCGGCCTAAGCGTGAACTTGAGCGGATGTCTTACTCTCCGGTGGGGGTGCGGCGGGGCGAGGATTGCGGGTTTGCTATGTGCACCTGTGCTTCCCCGTCCACAATCATGATGTGTAATCATCTACATTGTTTATTTCAACGTTAACTTGCCAACTCTGCCAACCCACAGGAAAGGATGCCACCTGGCTTATGGGTAGCTTGCCTTCTCTTCATCAATGGCGACAGAGGTGACTTCTTGAGCTAGTTCTTTGAGACGCTTTGGCCTACGATTTGCATCGCAAAGATATAATTATATTCCTAGCCAGTTTGAGGGTAACGTACATAGTATCAGCATCGAGTTTGGTGTAAGAGGAGAAATTGAGGGTAGTGCCCTTAAAGAAGCCCCGATACATGAAGTCGCGGAGCTCTTTTACCTTGTCATCAGTAATACCAGGCTCGTGCTTTGAGATGCCAATAACAGTATGAGTAACGCCCTTGACTTCTTTTTCAACACATGTAAAGAAACGGCGTCGAAGGTCTGGGACACACGCCATAAGGGCGAGAGGATCGTACATGTTGAAAGAGACGACAAGATCCCAGATTGAGTCATCGCAAGTACGACTGAGGCCTTGACCCTTACAAAAGGTAGAACAAAACCATTGTTTGTTGCAGCGCTTGGGCAGACCCATGCGCCTCTCCTGATCCTCAGAAGCGGCACGCTGCCAGAGGCCTTCAATTGATTGGCGCTGCGTTGTCTGGAGACGAAGGCCGATGGGGTGACCCGTCCAGGCCATGTCATCATAGATATCTCGGGGCATGGGACATGCGTACGCTGCATAGCGACTAAGAATGATAAGCGGGACACGTAGATTTTGACACTGCGCATAGAGCTCTCTGGCCGCATTCATGTCAAAGGCATTATTGTTCGCTGTGTCCGGGACGAGCGGAAGGCCGTCATCGGTGTCGAACGGCTCCACTCCACCCATTATTGTTACAGACTGTGTCTTCTGCACAAATAAGTGCTCATTCTCGCGTACAAATTGAGCTGCGTCGGTCATTGAGGAGATGAGTAAAAGATGCACTCCGCCAAGGGGCGCTGACGTATACAGTTGATGAAGTAATCGTTGACCGTCAATGAGCTCCATCTCTTGGGGCATGTAGTGCTGTGCAGAGATTGCAAACGTGTCCAGGTGCTTATTTGACCCACCGTCAGACCCAACACCCACCGACACGTGCTGAAGGCCAAGACAATCGAGAGTCCCTCGTGCGAGAAGCGCACGTTGATTTGCTGGCTGTAAATTGCATATGACTGCCTCACAGTTGACTAGACCTTCCTCGATGAGGGCGCGCAGGAGGATCAATGCCATCTCATCATCCAAGTCCTGGCCTGGGTCAGACACGACAATGATTTCGGGTCGGCACAGGTTTGAATTGAGTGTAATGCCATTGATGTATGCGCTTGAGAGGTAATCTTCTAGTATTTTCTCGAGCTTGGGCTTTATACCACAATCACTTACAGAAACCCCGATGCACATATGGTCAGCACCTCGTAGGCTATGAATATGTGGCATCAAGAACTTTTCGCGAAGTGTAGGCACACACGCAACTAGCGCTAACGTATCTTTTACGTCGAAGCCCTCAATGTATGCCCATATGTTGTCCTCATTGGCTGGAACATCATTCGAGCCGCAGTAGCGTTTGAGAAATTGGATGCGCCGAGCTTCTTCACACCGTGCATCTTGCCACAGCTTCTCGATGGCTTCCTTCTGTGAGCTCTGCAAACGCCAGCCGATGGGAGATCCGAGCTCAGCTAGTTGGTCGAAGACACTTCGTGGTGTTGGCGCTGCACGCGCCGCTCTCTGACCAAGTACAATCAGCGGGACACCCCACTCTTGGAGGCGCCGGAAAAGAAATTGAGCCGAGGTGATATCAATCGCAACATTTGGAGACGACTCGTCTGGCTCAATGAACTGTGCCTCATCACCATCTGTGTGTCCTGGCACTTTTGCTTCCCCCGAAAAGACGACTGTCTTGATTTTTGACCGGAATAGATCCGTATTGTCACGGAAGAAAAGTGCGGCATCTTTTGTCGATGACAGCAGAAGGAGAGTAAGTGAGGTTTCTCGAGCACGGACGAAAGTTTGGTGAAGAAGGCGCCGACCGGATATGAGGGCCTTAGCACTCTGGCTCTGCTCACGTGGTACATATTGCTCCGCTGAGGCTGACCAAGTATCTTCACATTTAATCCCAGTCCCGCCGTCTGTACCAACACCAACAGGCACGTTGTATAGACCCAACGTGTCCAGAGTCCCACGTGTGAGACGTGCACGTGCCAGGGCAGGTGATACATTAGCAACGACTGCTTGTGGCTGAACGAGGCCCTGCTCTGCAAAGGCCCGCAGAAGAACGAGTGTTAGTTCATCCTCCAGTGATCGCCCCGCGTCTGTTACAATGATTATGGGATTTGTTGACATGGGCACTGCTTCGCCAAAGTTGGACTGCGGAATCTGGACACAGTCAGACAAGGAACTCTCTGGTGGGGGTTCCCCGCAGACTGTGGGCACTGATTGGGCCTGACCGGAAGGTAGGGGGGCATTCTTGCGCTCTGTTGTCAGTTCCTCCAGTTCTCTCGTTTCGCACTGTGCGCGAAGTTCTCCTCCCCGAATTGGTGCAAGAGGTTTGTTTGGAGTAGTCACACGACAGATGTCACCAATAGAAGCACCCCTGCTTTTTGCCAATTCACGCAACCGCCGGTTCTCTTGTTTCAAGCTGCTGATTTCCTTCCGAAGCTCCAACTCGACCTCACTCTGTTTTCGTCCAAACCAGCTACTAATCCCGAACGCACAAAAGGAGAACCCCTCCCTACGCGAGCGTCCCTCATCCGAGCAGCTCCAACTATCTTCGTCGTCGTCGCCGGTCTGGGAGCTTTGGCCTCGCGACGTCATGGCGGGAGGTAGCAAAGCCTAGTTTTTATCGGATTTTTGCACGCTCGGGGCCGGCTTATAATAACCCGAGTAAACTAGCCTCGTGAGATAAATACATTGTTATACGACTTTGTGACCAGCACCGTGACTCGCAGCCTGTCTGCGATTGCGGGGTCGGGGCCGCAGGACGGCACTTCGTCGCGCCCAGCACATTCAGCGCGCGGGCTGCTCGTGGCGACCGCGTCGTGGCGTGCTAAAAGTCCAAAAAAGCTCTCCTGGGGCGAAATCTCACGCAGCAATCGCAGCACTAGTTCGCGATGAAGCCGCGGCCCGGCGGTCTCCGCGGTGAGGTGATAGTGGCGCCAAGAAGAGCTGGCCTGAAGCTCGGCCCTTGACGCTCCCGTAACGACCCTCGTGGGGCTCCACGCGAAAACTTTCGCTGAATCGAGGCTGCCCGAGAAGGTACCAAAGCCAGTGGAATGTGCAGGGGCAACTATTTGCACCAATTTCGTCGCTGAGATCATGCGCGGCGTACCCCGCGGCGCGACGTAGCAGAAATCGCCAGACGGTATGTCCTAAAGAAGACATTGGGTCGTACACATGCATGGGGTACTCTCGGACACTGCGACCGCGTTTAAGCGCTCGAGAAACTGGAGGTAGTGTCGTATCATGTGTCGCGGTCAACCAAAAGCTCGCGCGCCTCAAAAATCTAAGGTCTCGAGGCACGTGCTAGGGTAAGGGTGAGGCCCGGTGCGATTATCAACACCAAAGGGCCCCGGGAAGGTGGGGCGAAATCAGCAGGGGAAATACTATGTTGTGGCCACGGTTCCGAGACGATTGTGCACACTATATTTGAGTGTCCAAAATTGGACGACGTCAGAGGAGACTTCTTCCAGAAACTAAAACGATCTTACCCGAGACGCGCAACATGACGAACGCGGATTGTTTTGCTTTATTGTAGAGCTTTATTGATGGGAGATGACCGTGACCCGCCCCCGGATCGAGAATTTGCTCTATCGTTTCTTGACGTCTTTTTAAGCGCCGGCTGGGTATCCTAGCCGCGCAGGGAGAAGGCCTCTAGAGGCTTGGTGTATGTCCTTTCCTTTAGGATATTCCTCCCTTCCTTAATTATTTATTTATACTAGTCCCACTAGGCCTACTTGAGCACCCAGCTTTTAACGCGCTCTCCGTGCCCGTGTGCGGCACGGGGCAGCCACCGGGCGTGTGTGGAGGTCCTAGGAACTCGTCCGCGCCTGGCGTAAAGAGCGCGCGTCGAAAGCTAGCCGCCTCGGCGGTCTGCGAGTGCCCAAAAGCCTGGTGCTCTGCGAAGGCCCTAAATCGGCGCGCGACTGCGAACAGATCTCCAAATTGCTGGTAGAGAAGCGCCTGACCAACGCAAACAGCGATGCACCTTCAGAAGTCCACCAGCTATCCGTCGCCACATGTCAATCCGCGGCCGGTCGGGAGAGCATATTCGGTGAATGTCGATCGCGGGCCGCTTGGGCACCTATCGACAAAATTCGACCGGTATGACGTACGTATGCATTCCAGGGGACGTTGGAATGACGCGCCGACGCGCCGCGCCAGTGGAAGGGACTTATGGCCCGCGACGCCGACCGCGGGGAGTCGAACTCGTCCGAGAGCGGCCTTTAGGACGCTAGGCGTATATTCATAGGATACCAGCGCGGGTGGGGGGTTGGGGGCACTCTCTGGTGCAAGGAAAACCCGCACCACCCCCGTCACGCGCGGCTGGCCCTCCGAGAGTACAGCCCCTCTACCTCGCGGGTTTTAGCTCTCCGTAGTCTCTCAGCTTCAACTTCCCCCCACGTCAACCTCAAGTTGAAGTAAGGGTAGTCATAGGTAGCCACGGACCCCCCTCAGACCTCCTCAAACTCACTCCTACTTCTGCTGGGTTCTTCCGGACGCTTTTGGACGTCTATCTGGGTGCTCAAGTAGGTCCGGTGGGACCAAGTAAATTCAAGTTACTTTACATAGGGATACGTGTACCTACGGTACTGTGGAGGGCGTCCGTCTACAATGTCAGCTGAGGTACCAGACAATTCGATGTCGCAACGCCCTTCGCCGTGTCCCATGTGGTACGCCCAGGAACTTCATCTTCAAGAGCGACGCAAAATGATCACAAACATGTGCGTGTTTTTACAAAACTGTCACAACCTTCGTACTACACAGAGCCCGATTGCTCCAAGCGCGTAAACCAAATGCCCCGGTAGAATGGATGCAAAAGCTTCCACAAATGGCTAGGCGCCTCGAAGAATCTTTATTTCGCTCTGCAAATTCATTTGTAATTTTTAAGCACAAACAAGAAATAACACCTCCGATGCATAGGATGAATATAAGGACACTCAGACATTGAAAAGGAGGCTGCAAGCTTTGGCGATAGCCATGGGATTGCGCGCCCAGCAGCAAAAACCAAAGCCTGAAGAAGATGGAAGTATATCTCAAAGGGGGGCCACAGGAGCACAAGCTGCTTCGAATGAAATCAACTCGACGCCTGCAGTAGCCGATTATGCTTCTGCTGCACATTCAACCAATAGTGATGTTGTGTCCCATGCAGAAAAGCAGTGTTCCCGGCAAAGTTTTTAAATTGTATTACTTCTGCCTGATTTGTCCAGGTAAGTACCGCAAACGAAGCCGGTAATGTTGGCGATATTACCACATCAATGAGTGTTGGAGTAACTGTGGGTGCTGTCTCCGCTGATACAAGTTCAACCAATAAGAACAGTGCACTAAGCGCAACATCAACCATTTCTGGTAAAAGTCAACCACCCAGCTCTAGCGAACAAGTCCACTCTCAACGCCCATACCACGCGGATCAAAGACAGCAAGTGCTACGTCAGCAGCAACAAAGGCTTCTACTCTTGCGACATGCATCTAAATGCCCGCACGAAAACGGGAAATGTCCGGTCACACCGCACTGCGCCGGGATGAAACGGTTGTGGAAACATATCGCCGAATGTAAAGACCAGCAGTGTCAAATGGCGCATTGTGTATCTTCCCGATATGTCCTTTCGCATTATCATCGATGCAAGGACCAGCGATGCGCAGTATGTGGGCCAGTCCGAGATGCAATCCAGCGAAATCACGAAAAAGCAAAACAACTTGCTATGGCACAGTTCTTTTGACAGTGTCTCGATGCTAAAACCTCAAGGCGAACTTATACATAGGCATGAGTCGGGTAGTGGCACCGAAGGCCAAAGTATGCAAGATATATCTGGCATTTGCTCAGACAGGCATTCTCAACGTGCCCTAAACGAAGGGGGGCGATCTACTGGGAGTGGATACATTCAGCGTACTGCTGGAGACAGAGCTAGACAGGGGCATTTGTTAGTTAAGAGTGCCCAGTATTTACAACCGCATAGCGGAAATAGATACAGTAGTGCTTCTGGTGCGCACGACTTAAAAAAAACACGTGTTATCAGTGGAATCTCAAGTAAAATCGTGGGCAATGTCAATATCCACCGGACTCTAGATGCAGCACATAACACCACTTTAGCGTCCGCTGGTCGGATCGAAGAAGGCACTAGCCTCTTGAACTCGTTTACACCTACGCAGGTCCATGCACACCTTCAGTCACTAAAAATGGGACTTCGATTGAGCTCTGCTAAGATACGTCAGAAATGTGCACCAGTCCTCAAGAAATTAACAGATCACGAATGCTCCTGGATATTCATGCAACCAGTCGATCCAGTTGAATTAAATCTTCCTGACTATTTTGATGTTGTCAAAACCCCAATGGACCTCGGCTCAATAAAAAAGCGGATGGAGAATAACTGTTACAAAAGTATATTGGATTTTGCTGCTGATGTGCGCCTCACTTTTGATAATGCTGTGACATACAACGGAGATGGCTCAGATGTTTGCAAAGTAGCACGTGAAATGAAGCTAACTTTTGAAAAGCTCTACCAAGTCATGATTGCAACCATCGAAGCAGAAGAAAAACAAAGAAAACTGAATGGCGACGTATGCATCCTATGCGGTTGCGAAAAACTTCTTTTTGAGCCTACAGTTTACTACTGCAACGGGTCCTGTAATGGACAGCGTATTCGACGCAACTCATATTATTATACAGGGGGTCGAAATCAGTATCATTGGTGTCAACAGTGCTTCAACGAGCTGCGTGACAAACAGCCTCTTGAATTTGCCGATTGTACATTGTGGAAGAAGGACTTGCAAAAAAAGAAAAATGATGAAATGCATGAAGAGCCCTGGGTAGAGTGCTCGCAGTGCAACCGGTGGGTTCATCAAATATGCGCCTTGTTTAATGGTCGGATGAATAAGGGAACGACAATATATCATTGTCCTTTTTGCTTTATGGCCCAGCGTGGCAAAAAGGACCCCCATCCGAGACCACTTGGCGCAAAAGATATTCGCCACACGAAACTATCTCGTTTTCTCGAAGACCGTGTCATCAAATCACTGCAAGATGTTCACACAAGGAACTCAACGACTTCACCCAGCAAACCAACTCCTGTTTATGTTCGACAGCTTTCAAATATCGACAAAATGCATCAAGTGAAGCCCAAAATTCTCAAGCGTTATTCACAGCACAAGTACCCATGTGAATTTCCGATGCGGTCAAAATGCGTACTTCTCTTCCAGGAAATGGACGGTGTTGATGTGATACTATTTGGCATGTACCTCTATGAGTATGGGCACAAGTGTCCACAGCCAAATAACAGGCGTGTTTATGTCAGTTATCTTGATTCAGTCTACTATTTTCGCCCGAGAGAGAACCGCACTCTTGTATACCACGAAATGTTGATCGCATACTTAGCGCACGCAAAAGAGCGTGGCTTTCATACTGCCCACATCTGGGCCTGCCCACCTTGCAAGGGGGACGATTATATTTTCTTCTGCCATCCTGAAGACCAAAAGACGCCCAAAGACGACCGTCTTAGATTATGGTACATAACGTTACTCAGAAAAGCGCGCGATGAAGGTGTCGTTACTCGCATAACTAACCTCTGGGATGAAAATTTCAAGAGTGATTTTAACATAACCCAGATTCCATACTTCGAGGGTGATTACTGGCCAGGCGAGGCGGAGAATGTGGCCAAAGCAATTTCAGACGAGGCCAATGAACGACTAGAATCTAAATCGAAGAAAAAAGCGAAGGCACGTGCACAGCGTGGCCTTCGGTCAGACGGGTCAGTGGAAGAAGAACTTGGAACGGACTCACTAATTGTGCGGATGGGCAAAATCCTGGAGCCGATGAAAGATGCCTTTATTGTTGCATACCTGCAACCACGCATATTTGCATGTGCAATGGGGATTCGTCACAAAAAGGAGTTGAATAATAGTAATCAGCATGGTGCAGAAATACAGAGGGCACCTTCCAATCTCAGAGTCGGGCAGACAAAGCCTAATTCACCAGGCGTGGACAAAACAAGTCAATCGGCCGCCAAAGCAAATATCAACGACCCTGAAGCTCGAGATCAGAGAATCAATAGAGAGCGACACTTTGATGAGACCGAAGATAAGGATGAAACTATTGAATCTGAATTTTATGACACACGGCAGCAATTTCTGAATTTATGCCAGGGTAATCACTATCAATTTGACGACCTGAGGAGGGCCAAGCATACTTCAATGATGTCTTTGTATCATACACACAACCCTGATGTGCCTAAATTCCTCGTAACCTGCTCGAATTGCAACATTGATATTAACTCAGGGTGTTGCTACACATCAGAACAAGACACGGATTTTCACCTGTGCCAGGTGCGAACCCTATTTTTTCGGAGTAAAGCGAACCCTGAGCCTGCAGGAGTGCTATAAAAAAATGCATAAAATGTTTTCCGATAAGTTTCCGTTCAGGAGATCAATCGTTGGCGGCGATTCGCAGGCCCAGCTCACGGAGGAGCAGCGCCGAGATCGCCATCGATCGATCCAGCTCCATATGCAGCTTCTTCAACATGCCTCGGGCTGCAGAAACCAACAATGTCCTTCTGCCAATTGCAACAAGATGAAGGTGCGTGAACGCCAGGCATTCATATTGTTAGATCGGTCCTCGCAGAACTTGTTAAAGCATGGTGCAAATTGTACAACACGAGTGCAGGGTGGCTGCGCTATTTGCCGTCGAATTTGGGCGTTGTTGCAGATACATGCGCGTCAGTGCCGTCGCGAGGCCTGTGTCGTACCAAAATGCAGACAGCTTAAGGAGCAGCTGAGAGCACTAGCTCAACAGCAAGCCCAAATGGATGAACGTCGTCGGGCAGCCATGAATGCAGCATACCGAAGGTATCAAATGAATCCAAATCACACCCTTTAATAGCCAATTACTTAGGGATGGAACAAAGTTGGCGCTTTGAGTCCCACAACCTTACATACCAAATTACCGCTTTTGGACATAAGAATGCGTCCGGTGTGGCTAGGAGCACCAGCTGGGGCTACTAGACTGAATTCTTGTGATCCAGCATTGCTTTGTGGCTTACATTCACGCGGTTGTAGTCTCGCGACCCCCTACCAGTGAATGACCTGGGCGGCCGATGTGGTCGATGTTGAGAGATATAGCAAGGTGGGAATTTGTTTCCTGGATCTAGCCAGGAAGATGCTGCTCTTCCTATCAAGACAGGAAGAGCGGGTCATTGACGGCAACATAGGCCGAAATCGCGGCCGGGGCCCCAGGGCCGAGGATTCCGACGAGACAGGAAGACAGGAAGACAGTAAGATCTTTTAGCAAAGCATAGTTAAATTGGCACAGGAACGCCCCCCGGTCGGACACCAAGACACCAAGACGAAAAAATTTACGCTACCCGAAATCAGTGGTTTATAATAGAAAAGTCTTAAACCCGCACGGAAGCCTGAGGCCCCCACGCCCGAGTTGGCACCCTTGCGGAGCAGCCCCCGGCAGGGGAAAAGGTGTGAACCACTACAGGGTTAGCTGCCCTCAGGGCAGGTGACCCCGAAGTGGTTTAAACTATACCTTTTTCTGCTCTCTTCGTCTCGTCTGCTCCGCTGGCGTCTTGCTAGCTAGACCTCCGAGTCCGGGAAGTCAAATTGCTAAATGGATATAGCCTGGCTGACTCTAACCAAACCATATTATAATATTATTACGGGGGGCACTAGATGCCCATCTCAATACTCATCTCGCGTTGCTTGATTGGCATGTAGAGCCCCTAAGCGGAAACATACCAATAACCGCCATGGTAACACCCAAAAGTTCCAAAAATCCGACATGCAACCCGAACCCGAACCTTCTAGGTAGCCTGACGCGGCACGAAACGCCACAGTGACTGGCGCGACGTGCGCAGGCCACTAAAATTTCCTTTCCAAACCTAATCGTTTCGCTCGCCTGTTTCGGTCATGTCCCCCAGAGGTGCAAGGAGGCCCCCATCCTCGAATTGCCTGCGCACCAGACGCCTAGTTATGGAGATACGGCAAATTTGGGGTTCCGTGACACCCCGACACCCCCCGTGGCCACCCAGTCACTTGGCCCTTGGCAACGATTTCAGTCTCCGGGTGTCTAATTTGGTCCGACTCGGAGTCTTAAAACCTTCGCACCCACTCTAATTGGATGCGCCGCTTCTTGGTCCACTTCGCCAAGAGGGCCGCTCGTTTGCTGCTCGTCCGCTACAAAGAAGTTTGCGAAATACGACAAGGTCGACGACTCCCACAGGCTTGACGTGCCCTATTGCCGAAGCATGGCACATCTACGACGTGCTTGCCAGTTCGTCGGAGGATATTCGCGACGCGGAGGGGCTCTAAGCTCTTTCCCGGAGGTAGGAGACGGGGACCTGGATAGGGGCGGCGGGGCCTGCTGGGGGCCATCGTAAAAAATGCACTCCAATGTAGCTTCGTGAGCGGAGGGCATCACGATGTAGCATTGCGCTCCACTCACCAGTGAGTAGCCTGCCGCCAGTAAGCAAGTGTCGACGGACTGCTTGTGACTCAGAGCGAGTCAATCGTGCTTCGCTATAGAGCCAGTGCTCTTCCTTCTCGTCCCTGACCCAGGTTGCTAGTCTATTTCATATCCATGAGGGATGAAGGAGATCGCTGCGTCTGGCAAGCTAGCCGCCTACGTCTAGGTACGGTGCCGTTGGAGGCACACAAAGCCGCTACTCTTTACTGAGAATATGACTGGGGGCATATTTTTGTCAAGGGAAGTTGGATGCCACCTTCCATAGTCAACCCATTTTCGAAAATGGAAGAGGGGCGCCTCAATTATTTGGATGCTGACGCTGGGTTTAATCATCGGCGTCATCACCAAGGTCGCCTTGGGAAGTAACTCTTTCCCTGGTCGAAGGAGTACAGTTTTTTCTTGTCCGAGAGGTTCAAACTGGCCACCCAGTTCTAACTTGTCAACGAGGGCATGAAGTGCTGCACGTCGCGCAGATCTGCAGATCCAGCGCATGTTGAAGCAATCGTGAATCACAATTGCGCGCTTAAACACAGCGTTGATTGGCGTCTCTGGACTTCGATATGCACGCATAGTATAATTTGCCCGTATATGCTTCCAGGCCCGCAAGGCCTCGCCACATGTGCCCCTTTTGGAGTTCCAATGGTTTATGCATCTCACGAGGCTACCACGAAACCAAAAGACAGGAACATCACTGTGATCACTAAGCACGAGTGGTGAAATTCTAACTCTTAGATCAAGGGCTGCTGCAAGGCTGCTTGAAATTACCACACAGGAGTAACAGCCTTCGGCTGAGATAAACCTTCCGGTATGGACACTGCATTCATGCAAACCAGACTCATCTAGGGGCAGAGCAGCCGTTGTCATTCGTTTGCGGTACAGCAGCTTCAAGCGATGCCTAATGTACTAGCAGTTGTGAAGGCTCAATTGTTGACACCAAACAAGGACGAATTCTTCGATTCAAGCATATCTTGATAGAATTGTAGCTTCGCCTCAATATTGATACGCAAATCTTCATTTAAATGGCCACAGTTTAGCCACAGCAAGTTTATGCGCTGTTCATTTTTATGCAAAGCCCACTGGCCCCTTAGGAACAATCGGCCGGCGTCGCCCAAGAAGGACCATGTTTGAATGTCATAACGGTCGAACTCAACACCCCCCAGCCAATCATCAAGCCTGTGGCGACTGGCATAAATTTGAGATCAAAGCAGCATATGACTCAGAGTTAAGCCGCCCAAACACAATGTCGACATCGGTATAGGTCCAGTGACTGTACTCGTAGAGATATTCTCCAAAGACCCAGCCCCAGCTTGGTTTGAATTCAGACAAGAGAGCAGGTGCAATCTGCAAAAGTCGCTCAAGTTTCAGCTGCATATCGACGTTCCATACTCGAGACAGAGATCCAGTTGCTTCTGCAATGCGCCTTACGTGAAGCGCTGCGATTCCTCCGTCCTGTAGTTCCTTTACCTCGATGTTACTCCTTGCGAGACATGCCTCGGGCACACTCTGCTTTTGAGTAACCTCGTGGAACAAAAGCAAAGTTGCTGTCCCTAAACCACCAATCATGGTATGGCATGTAAACGATAGATGGGGAGGCATTGCACCGCCTACCCACGGCAGAATGATTGCAACGCGCATTGACCCAGCTATGCATAGTACCGTAGGTATCAGGTAAATGATGTACCAGTACACGATTCATTAAAATTTTAACATCACGGTGATGTGGAATTCAGACGCCAATCAATCCGTGTGTGTGTGAGAGTTTTTTCGGAGGCTTGGATGTCTCCGGGAAGCGCCATTGCCGCCTGCACTGGCAGGTCGTACTGGCAATGACTCGGCCCGGGATGCCAGTGGAGACTCGGACTATAAAACTTGAACATCACTGGCATCACATGATCATGGCCCGGGCATGATTCAAGTTATTACTAGCCTAGTAGTCACGGTAGGACCGCACCTCTCCCTACGCCCCGTTGGCGGACCAGGGGCCCACCGAGCGAGTGCTAGGTAGGCCTGGTACTCCTTCCGACTCGGACTCGGAGTCCTCAGGCTTGCTTACAAAAGGAAGCCGGCCCCCAGATCACCGTGACTGGTATGGTGATTGGTGAGATTTTCAATCAATCATAGCCCCTTGGGGGGGGGGCTGTTGGGCCCCAGGGACAAAATGATCTGACGTGAGTGCGGCTTAACGTGCAGGTTATTGGTTCTATTCTGGTGATTTCTCCCCCGAAGCCCCCTTTGGTACCCGTGGCGTCGGTTGGATGCGCAAACACGGCAGCTTTTAGTGTAGAATTACCCAAACAGTGGCCTGATGCGGCACGAAACGCCACTAACGCGACGTTCGCGTGGGGCCCCTTCCGAGTCCTGAAGTCGCTTTTTCAGGGGTCCACAGCCTGAGCCCGGTAGAATGACAGTGTGCCAGTGGGGCACGCCCCGAGGATTATTCGCAGTAAGTTTCAGGATTCCCTTAGGCTATTTATGGGGAGGCGCCACAGCCCCCGGCTGAATCGGGGCCTCGACCCCTCCCTTAATAGACAGATAATTAGTAAGGGAGGAATATCCTAAAAAAGGCCCGGGGACTCTAAAAGGGACATACACCAAGCCTTTAGTCTAGAGCCCTCCCCCCGTATCTGATTCTTAGGCTAAGATGGCCTCACTGCTATAAGATGGTTTTTGAAGAAACGTATCAGAAGATGAACCACTAAACATACTTGATCAAGCTCGGACTAGTTCCTGCGAGTTCCCAATCATCAGCCCCAATCATCACCTATAGTCCAGCATAACTTTTTAGCGTTCTTATGTGGAGTCCCTGGCGTTGCATCACTAGCTGTAGTCCATCAACCAGAGTTTTTAGTTCCGTCTTTGCATATCTATTCTTCGAATGATAGTATACATCGGAACATGCCCTTTCAGGTTTCAATCTTGCAATTTCTCCTTCTCTCTCTCCGATGCATAGCTTTAAATCTTGGTTTTCTAGCCTTAGTGCTGCAATTAGCGCAGCACGCGTGGTTGGATCACAGCGTCCTAATTTAACATCGTGCAGAACTAAAGACTTTGGTGGTTTGTGCTGCAGCTTTTGATAGGGATGCGCAGATATACACAAAGCTGATCTGTGCCCACCCTGTGTTTTACGCAATACTAAGTTTTGAGCCCTGAGAACTTCGAGCTCCCCCCTGATGTCATTCGTGGAAACTTCTCCTAAGACATTGCTTTGCTACTATATGTATGATTTTATCGTGATGCACAGTTACACACCGCCAGCTCTCTTAGGTAATTCTTTTCGAAGCCTAGGCAAAAATAACTCAAAGAGTTTAAATATGATAGGAACCAAATTACACGCAGTTACAGAGTACTTTGCTTCAACTGCCCTGAGTTCGCTGCATTCGCGACGAGCATTGGTGAGGGCACTATCCAACTCTCGACATTGAGACTCCGCCATCTGGGCATTAGAACGCAAGTATTCAATCTTATGGAGAGCACGATCCAGCTGTAGCTTATACTTATCGCGTTGTGAGCAGAAAAGATCGTTTTTGCGCCTAATAACTATTTTGCTCAAAAAGTATAATTTTCCCTTCTGCTACTCTGCTGGTCGCGTAGCAGCTCGTGCCTCGCTACGAATCAAATTCAACTGCTGGGCGAGCTCTTTTGCCTTTGAACGAGGGTCCTGTACAGCGCCATCTGGGGTATAGGTTGGTAAGTCCTTCCGCCTCGGACTGCCAAACGCATTTGCCTACAGTTGGCCACTGTCATGCTGCAAGAAACCAGGAGCAGCCAGACCTGTTCAACGGCAACCAAATCTGCTTTCAGCTTGACAAGCGAATCACGGAGGCCTTTGAGCTGTGCATCCCTTTGCGAAAGGGACTTTCGCAATAAGTGCACTTGGAGAGCATCTGAGCGGCAGGGTGATGTGTTTGCTTGCTTTTCTTCAGCGCGTTGTAGCTTAGCTGAAAGCATAATAAGATCATTTTTCTGTGCTTCTAGCTCACTCACGACCAAAGCGCAACGGCTTTCGGCACGCTCACGGGCCGTGTTGGCAATCTTTAGCTTACTTTCGAGATTCATATTCATCTTGATGACTTTGTCAACTTCAGACACGTCATGAGAGGTATTTTCTTGTGCATTTACGCCCATAACCACGTCAGGAGGATTGCTCCTTGACTTTGCTACCGCGCAACGCAGACGACGAATCGCCGACTCATGCTCATGATATAGCTGCTCAGTGATCCGACCAGCTTTATCCCGGTCACGACGAATTTCACGTTTTGCTACTTGATGCCGCTCCTCCAGTCGCGTATCTGAGTTGGTAAGCGCTTGTACTTTGAATTTTACGAGAGTCTGTATGTGACAATAATGGGCTATAAGTACACATGCATCACCTTTAGTGATTTGATTGTTTTTGCGGCGACTTGTTCTAATCTACTATTCCTGGGCTCCCTAGCCGCAGGGCTGGTATCAGCAAAACACTGCAGTTTTTGCATGTGGCCATCTGAATAGGTCCAATGAGCCTGCTGTTCCACAGAGCAATTGGCCCGAGCAAGAGCAGGGTATTTCCTGCTGTCGCAGGCCTCACCTGAGTGTAGACCATCGACAACAGGCGATAATCTGAAGTTAGTATCATTCCAGGACACCGTTTTTTTCTATTTTTTCCTTTGTCATAGAGCTTTAGATCCAACCCAGGCTTGTGCACGTTGCCAGCGATGGTTTCTGTTTGGCTCAGGGCCAGCGAAGATATCTGGGTGGCCACCCCATCACCCTCGTCATGAAGCTAAATTAGCAACAAGTGCGCATAGAATGTCGAATGACTATGTTAGAACCTGATCTGGGAGATCGGAGTTTTGTACTGAGCCTGCGGGTTGGCATTCCCTTTGTTGAATTGGCCCACCACTGATATGCAGCTCTTTCAGAGGTATTTCCATCTCCTCCAGATCGAGAGTGGACGATGGAAGCATCCCTGTGCACAACAAACTTGGATGTGCAGCTGCACAGCCAGGGGTATGACGCTGGAAGATAACATCCATTACTTAAAGGCATCTTACACTGCTTGCACTCTGATAGGGGATTACCACGCCCACTAACATCCGATATCAATCTAGCTTCAGCCTCAACACGGGCACGATCAGCTTTCGTAAGCACAGTCTCACGAGATAAAACTGTCGCATTAAGTCGTCGTTTTTCTTCTTGCAAAGTTGTGATTTGGTATTTACCCTGGATGGCTTGTAGCTTCAATGCTTTGACTTCCTCGTTTAGTGATACAATTCTGCGGAATGTGTCACCTAGGAGTGATCCCCAAAATTAAGCATCTTGCACTGAGAAGTGTAAAGTGATTCGCTGACCTTGAGATGCTAAAGAACCTGGGGGCAAGTATTGTCTCAAATTCACAGATGTACTGTTCTTACCAGTGAGACAGAGAGCTAGCCGTTTAGATGTATCCAGGTCAATCTCTAGTTGTGCATTGCGGTGCTCAAGCTTTTCGCGGGCCAGTTCTGATGCGCGTAATTCAAGTTCCTGCTGGTTGGTTGCATCTTGTAGTCCAAGAAGATTACATGACATTTCCGAATCATGGTCCGCACCAGCTATTGTGTGCCTTGAAGTACTTGAATGCGGCAAGCAAAACGCGCATCTGAGAGTTGTGTTCAGTATCTCCAGTTGAAGTTGCTTTTCCTCACGGAGCGAAATTAACAGTTCATCACACCTAATGCGCCTTGATTCCGCCTTGAGCATGAGTCTTTCTCTGTGTGCAAGTTCGGTATGTATTGCTTCATATTTACCTGAAAATACCAAGTCAATTTCGATAGTAGTGAATTTCACTGCACTACACGAGCAAAAAGCCTATACATCGTGCGCGTTGAAATGATTTCGCGCTGGAGCTTCCCGATTATCCGATCATTGTCTGATCGGGCCTCAAGTTGACGAATGCGGATTAAATCGTTTTTTTGCTCAGCTGCATCCTCTGACTGTTTTCGTCGGAGTTCGGCGGCCTAAGTGATATGTGAATTGGATAAAGATGTGAAAATATAGGACAAAGCTTATTGCTTGCATTGTTGCGATTGAAGCTAGTTCCTGGAGACGGGTGCAATCTCTACGTGTTGCGGCGGATTCTTCGTTCAATTTACGAAGCGAGGCACGAAGAACCATCATTTCCTTGGCCCAGGATTTTTCTTGCAGAGTTATAGGGCTATGCGCAGACATGTTGAGCCTGTGCAGAAAGAAACCTTGTTTTTACAGGCCTCTTTGCTTTAACGCAGGAGAGTGGCAAATTGGGCGATGACTCATCAAGTTCGGCTTGCAAGCGCTCAATGCGAGCCACTGAGCCCTGTTTCCATAATTCTAAGTAGAGTATGCGACTGCGCAAAGTAGCTTCAACTTCACTCAATGCATTTTCAGCCTGGCCCCTTCTGATTTTTTCGGTCTTCAACTCCTCGTGGAGGATGGCGTGTCGTCGTTTCATCTGTAGCTCGTTCACTTCATATGATGCCATTTGCCGAGCAACCTCTTGAAATCTCGATTGCGGCGCCCCAATGTCATCCCTGGTGACAGTCACCTGTCCACTTCCAATGTCATCCCTGGTGACAGTCACCTGTCCACTTCCAGGAATACGCTCGTAAATTTGTAATTTAGCTTCAAGAATAGCCTTTTGTTCTTGTAATGCCGCTAGTTTAGATCGCAGCGCTGATGTCTTGCTTTCCATTGCTCTCTTTTTCCGTAAATGCACATCGTAGCAAGCTGACATATTTTGCCTTATTTCGGATGCCTGCCCACTCAAGATACCACATGTCAAGCCAAGTTGGATGCATTCGCGCTCGGACACATCCAAAAGCTCCAGCGCTTCGGCGAGTGCTGCATGAGCCTATTTATTTGAGCAAATGACAATTTTTGGTGCAAAATTAAACGCAAAATAGACCCATCGCAAGTCCCTTGCCCATATGTCATTTGGAAGCCGTGGTTGATTGAACACATGCTGATCATTGGCCACTGGGCAACCATCCCAGTCGCCAAAGATGGCCGTTTTGCAAAAGTCAGTGTCACATGGACCAGTTGCAGTGTGGCCTAGATTTGCAACTACAATGTTAGGTGTAGAAACACCACCATAGGTGCACGAGGTGCCACGGGCCCTTGGTTGATTTACACTAGTGTTTTTGTGCATTGCTTTAGTTGACTTAGTGGTGCTGTGGCCTGGAGTTTGGGCTGAAGATGGAATAACCGTTGCAGTATCTATCGCGCTAGATGCACCAGCGCTAGATGCACAAGCTGGCAGGTGGCGTATGTGCTCCTCAGCTTTAGATTTGAGCAACCTAAAGGTCATCTGTGGGCGAATTCAGATATATTAAATATTTTTGATGCAGGTTGCATTACTCGCCGCAAACCTCGCTTAGAGCAGGACTTTTTGGCTCGACATCTGAGAGTGTTTCCAACCCATTTCTTAGACATTTAGCGTCGATAGGTATATTTTCTACCCCTCGACTTAATCTCATTGCATACAACTGTAATTTTCTAAGATTTTCATCTGTCAGACCAATGAACCGAATGCCCTGTCCTGAGACTCTGGGTGCAGCTTCATGTAGCTGGCTAAGCAGGCGTGCTCGCTCGCTTTCAAGGTCATTAATTTGCACTTGCATCTTCCTGGTGTCTGCCTTCCCAGCTTCGCCTTTTATATCAGCGCTTCTTTTTTGTAGGTGACTGCTACTAGCAAGATCAATACACCTTGCAGCCATAGTCTTGGCATCAGCTGGGCAAACATCGGTGAGATGACCTGCACCTGCTGTCATTTGCAAAAGTACCTTGCCTGCATCTCCGAGTGCAGTTTTAAGCATTTTGTGCTCAATCCTGGCCGATTCGTTTTCTTCCCTTGTCGCCTAGGAGAAGTCTCATATAAGGATGAAAGCGTTGTTTTAGACTGACAGAGAGTTCAAGGCGGCATTTCTCAATCTCTGTCTCACGTTTTCGCAGTACAGTTTTGAGCCACTTATTGCGACGAATGGCCTCTGCTACGCCAATTCCACCCTGTTGCGCAGCAATGTCCAGCAAATCACGATCATCAGCAAGTTCTGCTTCGAGTCCTGAAATTTCACTCTCAATGAGGTGTTGCTTCTTCTTGCTTTCATAGAGGCTCACTTTTGTAGAGCTTAGTTCAGCAGAGATATCTCCAGTGTCAGGATGTTTCCTCCTTGCAAGTATACTCTCATGCTCATGTCCACTTTCGAGGTCCCTTATGCGATTGCGCAATAAGTCAGCAAGGACGGTCAGTTCCACCTGTTAACTTAGCTTCCAAGACACATGCAATGGACAAATCTCGACTCGGCTATGGGGCACATTCTCTGCATCAAGGCGCCCAGCGTCTAAATATGCTCTCTCAAGCTCAAGCTGCACCTGCTTCATCTTCTCCTGATTATCCAGAGTAGCTGTATCTCGCAGCTTCGCAATTTCAACAAGCGAATCCTCTAACTGGGCGCGAAACTTTTGCTCATTCTGTGCAACCACTTTAGTAGTCGCTTGCAGCGCATCGTCTATGGCATCTCGTTCTGCAGATAATTCTTGTATTTGCACGCGTGCCTCTTCTAGCAATAAGTTCAGCTCTTCTATTTTGGTTTCTGAATGCTCTAGTGCCACGTCATTCCTTTCGCGGATAGCAAGGATCTCATCTCGTTCAGCTGCCGTGACCTGCCAGAACTAAATTCGTAGGGACATAGCATTCAAAGGATTTACAATGCGCCGGACTGCCAAAGCGCCTTGTAATACTAGGACTTGGGATTCCAAGGTGGACATCTCTGCTCGAATCTGCTCATTCTCTTGGTCGGCTTCCAGCAAATTACGCTCGTAGGTCAAGTGCATCTGACGGTCCTCTTGCCGGATATCTTCATCAGCTACTGAATTCACAACTCCTCCTCGCAGAATGGAAGATAATCTAAACAAGTATGCATTGGTAAAAATTAGCTATATATCATAGTACCGTTCCTCTTTATCTTGCAGTGCAGTTTCAAGCCGCTTGTGCTCTCTCTGCCGCATGTCTCTCTCAGTCTTTAGCTTTTCTATCTCTCTCTTACAAGCGTGCGAGTGAGCAGTTGCGTCGGCGAGGTCCTTCTCGAGTCGGCCTATTTCAGACGCCCTGCGCTCACTCTCTCTGCCAGCGCCGGTATGCTCCGCGAGGTCTGTCTCGAGTGCTTGTATTCGGCTGCTCAAGGCCCGTTTCTCTTCGTGTAGCTCATAATTCTCCTCCAGTAGTTCCTCATAGGTTGGTTCGTCACTTGCCATCGTGAGCGGCAACTTGTCACCGGCTTCCAAATAAAGCTATTATGATACGACTGTAAACCGTCTGAACCCTAGTAACTTCAATCTTACTAGCGAGAACACCTAACTTCGACCAGCACTTGCGATGACTCGGATGGCCTCGGGCGACCCGGCGCCCGTCTCGCCTCCGGGATGTCCGACGGAGCCCTGTTTGCATTTCCGAGGACATGTCGTTGCACGAGCTTCGTTGCAAGCACGATGGGGGTGGTGCGGGTTTTCTTTCATACCAGAGCCCAGAGAGTGGCCCCAACTCCCCGCCCGTCCTGGTATTCGTAAAGGTCCTAGGATAGTACGCCTAACGTCCTAAACGAAGCTCTCGGACGAGTCCGATTCCCCGCGGGTCGTCGTCGCCGGCTTAAAGTCTTTTCCACTTGCGCGGCGCGTCATTCGAACGTTCGCTGGAATGTAAACGTATGTCCTGATGGGCGATCTTTTGTCGAGCGGCGTCCAAGTAGCCCGCCATGACATCACCGAATATGCTCTCCCGACCGACCGCGGGTTGACATGTGGCGACGGACAACTGGTGGACTTCTTGAGGTGCGTCGCCGTGCGCGTGGGTCGGGCGCTCCTCTACCAGCAATTTGGAGATCTTCCCGTGAATGTCCGTTTGAAACGCGCGACGAGGAGACGCTGTTTTGGCTTACCTGACGAGCACATTTGGCTGCAGAGTAAAATAAAGCTAAAGATAAATCACTGGCGATCGAGCCCCGAGCCTCCAGAGCTCGCGGGTTTTTACGTCGACAGCGTAAAGTTTTGATGTATGAGGGCCTTGGGGCTTCCGTTCAGCTCTGGAGCTGTATAGCGCAAGTTCAAGTTCTCGTTCCCGTACGAACCCCGAGCCCACAAGCCGACGCCGGGCCGCGCACACACCCTCCCCACCTCGGCGGGTTTGAGTTGCAGCAGCTTTCGCATGGTGTCAGGGGAGCTGCCCGGGGTAAGGGGAGGCAAAGGCTCACCTCGGGTCGATTACGTTGACCGTTACCCATCCCGAGGCCATTTTTCGTCACAAAATAAATTCCGAGTCCGAGTCCCTAAATCAAAGCCTGAGGCGGTCGCCCCCAGTCCCAAACCACCTCCACGGGGCCGTAACCGACCCGATGCAGGGCTCGCTAAAAAGAAATCCGCGCGAAACTCGGCTAGCCGTTCCGAGAGAGAGATCAAGCCTCGCCTAGCATGCTACTGCTCCAAACTTTAATATCCCTGGTCCAAATGATAAACTCTCTATTTGTCACAAGCGCGACAGGCGAAGTTTTAATTGAGCGACACTGGCGTGGTGTCACGCCACGGAACATTTGTGATCTTTGCTGGGACGAACTTAATCCACAAGACAAGCGCTCAGGAACGCTCTCGCCACTGTTGCACACCTCCAAGCATTATTTAGTGTCTGTCTTCAGAGAAGACATATATGTCATTGCTGTTCTAGCCAAAGAGGTGCCACCGCTACTAGTAATTGAATTATTGCAGCGAGTCGTGGACATATTTGTTGAATACTTCGGCGCCGCAAGCGAGGGTTTAATCAAGGACAATTTTGCTAGTGTTTACCAGCTCCTCGAAGAGATGTTGGACAACGGAAATCCGCTCACAACTGAACCAAATGCATTGAAGGCAATGATCGCTCCTCCTTCTGTCATGGGCCGCTTGCAAGCAGTTGCAACTGGGAAGTCAAATGTAAGTGATGTGCTTCCGGATGGGACAATTTCCTCCATGCCCTGGCGTAAGTCAGGGGTCAAATACGCTCAGAACGAGATTTATCTGGATATTATTGAGGAAGTTGACGCAGTTGTAGATCGGAAAGGGCAAGTAGTATCCTCTGAGGTATCTGGGGCTATTGTAGCTAATTCGCGTCTCTCTGGCATTCCAGACCTATGCTTAAGCTTTCTAGATCCAGAGGTAATAAAAGACTGCTCCTTTCACCCCTGTGTGCGCTATACTAGATTCGAGCAGGACCGCGTTGTGAGCTTCGTGCCACCTGATGGCACTTTTGAGCTCATGCGCTATCGTGTGAATACGAAGACAAATGTGACTGTGCCGATATACGTTACTCCTGTTGTAACAATGTCTGATCAGCACAATGCTGGGTATGGCCGCATACAGATACAGATTGGTCAAAGGCAGACTTCGTCCCTCGTGACTCCCAATCGCAAAGCCCCGATGCTAATTGAGGACGTTGCATTATCGATCCCGTTTCCCAAGTGTGTCAAGACCGCCACATTATCTGCAACTGTTGGTACAGTGCTCTATGACGAAGCCACAAAGGTGGCTAGTTGGACAATTGGAAGGCTCACACCAAATGCCACCAAAGTCCCCCAGCTTTCTGGCTCAATGATAATCCAAGGTTTGGCTGAGGGCCCGCCTCCGATTCAGGTCAAGTGGAAGGTCCCTGTTGCCTCCGTTTCTGGTATACAGATTGCAGCCCTACAATTAAAAAACGAACGATACCGGCCATACAAGGGCGTTCGGACAATCACGAAATCAGGGCGTTTCCAGATTCGCATGTAGGGCAGTCCCCACGTATTGTTGCCTGATGTGTGCGTGCCAGTCACATCAGCCAAGGGTGCAGATTGTGCGCAAAGCCCGACTGATTCAACTGAGGAAACCCTTCATATCCTTATTTATCGCTTTATTTCGAAGTTTCAGTTGGCAATCCTGACCGAGCAGAGAGAAGGCCCCTAGGAGCTTGTGCCTTCTTGTAGCCTTAATCTACTAGTTCTAGGGCCGCCCCAGCCCCGGCAGCCTCCGGTCGTCTTACACTCACTGAAGCCTGAGTTACTAGCCTAACTAATGGATCTTTCAAGTTAAAGATCCATTAGGAGTACCTAGGTCCTAGGCCCGGCGGGGTGTATGAGTACGTGTATGAGTAAGGTACGAGGTACAAAGAAGAGGGGGGATATTAGTCGTTCCACTACGCGTCGAACCAACCCGTGCATTGGACTCGCTGTGTCCCAGGATCCACGCCCCCCAGGTGCCAGTGACTGGGACTCACTGTGGCACGCGTCACGGTGCCTGCGCAGGGTACATTCTTGGTTCTATACACTTTGTTAGATAGATAGAATAAGATGTAGTTCCCAGAAACTGCCATTAAAAGCAAAATAAAGTAAAAAATGTACTACCGCAGCAGTAGTAGCAGGCGCCCCGAGGGGCACGGGACTGACACTCCCCGGCGGTGGTCGGCCAAAACGCACTCAAACAGGCAGGGAGGCGCCCCAAATTTACTTTTGGCCGCCAGAGGGCCTAAAAGGCGGGTGCCACGAAGAAAAAAGCGCCGACCGCACAAAAAATTTAGGCAACTCGCCGTGGCGCCTAAATTAATTAATTAATTAATTAATTAACCAGTGAGGTCGCTCGCGTGCGAGCGCTGCCGGGGGGGGGGGTATTTCTACTCGGGGGAGGCCACGTCACTCTCTACTTAGTCATCCAGCTGCGACAGCATCGCCACCCCGCGCTGCACCCAGTGCGCCTCGGGCACATCGCTCGGCACATAGATGTCGAGGATAAAATTCGTACTATGTCCTGTGGTAGCCAAGATGCCCCGCCGGTCGCCCGTCTTGTAGACCGGGCAGAGGTAGGACGGCGGGTGCCTTATTTGGACCGTCCTTTTGGGTTGGAACCACATGAGAGGAGCAGTCGTGAATAACACCTTCGGGTCGGACTCGAGGATCTTCTTCTGCTCCTTGTCCCAGCGCGCGCCCTCGAAGAAGAAGCCGTACACATAGACGCCGAGCGCGGGCGGCTTTGCATAGGACGACGCCTGCAGCATCTCGAATTGCAGCCCAATCGCGTCGATCGGGATCGTCTCCGCCCGCGAGTAGTTCTGCTTACTCGCCGTCATGAAGGCGTGCTGGAAGAAGAACGCCGAGATCCAGTAGGTGGCTGGCGGCTTCTCTTCCAGCCATTCTCGTAAGAAGTTCAATCTCTCTAGGAGATCTGTCACGTAGCCGGCGAGCGGCTTGAACGAGGGGTACGACTTGGCCTGTGTGCGATTGGGGGTTGCGTCGCGGCGATGGCGTGGGGGTCGAAAACGACGGGAGAGGACCGGACGCGGACAACACACCTTCCACATCAGCGGAATCGCGCCGTACACTAAAGAGTCCCCGAGCGCTTCCAGGGGTCCGCTCATGACGACGATGCCACGCACCGCTTTCTCCACCTCCACTAGTGATTTTTTCATCGCGTTTGTGAGGTTGTTGAACCGTGCCAACTCCTGGCACAGGACCGTGTTCATGGACTGCTCCCACAACACGGGATACGAGATCGCCGCCTGCTCCATGTCATATGCAGCAGGTAATTTTTCTTTAATATCACCCGCAGTCGCTGCAATAGTAGCATCTTTATCGCCGGAACTGGCTCCCCCTCCCCCGCCTTCACACAGTAAACAGGTAGCGAACATGGCGTTCGTCTCCTTCGTGTCCTTTGTGATGTTCGCGTTCTCGTGGAAGCCGAAGATTTCTGGGGGAGCAACTAAAGGCAAGCCCTCGATGACTTCGAGGAACTCCTCCCTTGTTTCTACACCCGGACTGGAATACGTGCCACTCTGGGACATCTTGTAGCCTGTCTCCAGCACCTCCTCGTTGAAGAACCTTTCCATAATGCTATTTAGCGTTATTCGATCCTTGCCGTCCGTTACGCGGCCCCCATAATTGCACTCCCCAATACAGTACTTCAGTGCTTTGAATGGTGTTTCCTCGTTTTCTTCTAGAAACGCAAATAACTGTTGTAATGATATTAGCATGTCCGACTCGTTGAAGCCGTAGGGGATGTTCCAGCCCAGCGGACCGTACAGGCGGCGCTCCTGGAGTACAGCGTGGAAGATACACAACGAGTAGCACAACTTCCGGAACTTTTCGGGCTTCGCGTTCGATTCTAAATAACCATCGTTCGCGAGCGGCGCGGACGAGTAGCTGCCGACCAAGTTCGCTCGGAGCCCTTTCGGCGGTTCAATAGCCATCTTGATGCTGTTTTGTAAAACTGCAGTGGGGAATATCGGGGACGGACATGTCGTGCACCACAATCTAAAATTCTCGTGGGGCCGTGGGTCGCCCAGTTTATCACAAATCTCCTCGAAGCGGGGCATGAACGACTCGGCGAGGTGACCTGTTGTGTAGGAACCGGTGAACACTCGTCATCGAAGGCGTCGCGGCGATGGCGTCCGGGGAGTCGTCCCAGCTTCCGGCCGATCGACGCGCCGCCTCCGGTTGAAGGTGCAGCGAAGGACGCCGCCACGAACAGTTCTGCAGCACGACCCAAGAGCCGTCGCCGTGAACTTTGCACGCTCTTGCAATGAGTGCTTCCGCGACGGGACCTTGACCTTGACCCAATGAGATCGGCTCCACCTCCCGCCCAATCGCTTCCGCTGCTTCCAACACAGACGCCATCGGATCGCTCCCCGGAGCTAGCACGAACACCAAAGGCTGGATGCACGACGATTCATCATAACAAGCCTGCAGGTCGAACGGCGGCGGCCGCACGAACTTTTCGCCCATCTCGCTGATGACGAACTTCTGCACGCCCAACACAACTTTGTCCGGCCGGACGCAACGCAAGACGCACAACCTCTTCAGGCCGGTCAGCTTGTCCCACGTGTCCGGTAGCGGTTCTTCCTGAGGGTCCGTGCTATCGTACAAAGTTCGCCACTGGTGGGGACAGCGATCCACGTGTTCCCGGAGACCTCTGAACGCCGGAATGGCGTCCAACAAGCAGATCTCATTCCACAATTTAGGAGCGAGCCAGTCCTGGGCTGGATTTTTATGAGGGTTGTCTAGCGACACCCCACCGGTCAAGAAAAATAGCCACTCGGCGTCATCAAGTTCATTCTTCCCCTGTAGGATCCTAATCGTGAGCACAAAGGAGAACAATAATTTGTCTTTCTCCAGTAAGCTTCGGCAGATATTTTTATATAACGAATAAATGAAGTGGTTGTACAAATTATCTAGTCTTGTGGGAACATCAGAAGCCGTTTCTGAGTTCTTGATGGACGCGACGAAGAGGTTGATAAACCAAACTAAAGAGTAAGAGTAGACGGGCTCAATGTTCTCCAAGCACGCGATGCAGAAAAACAAGACTTGTGTCGAGTAGGCGACGGACGTGTAGCCCTTGCGCACCTGTGTTGAATGAGGGTGAGTACTTTGTCGTCCGCTCGCCACAGGCTTCACGTCGATGGCGTGGTGGAGGTAGTGTAGAAGTGACAGGATCTCGCGTGTTGAGAGACAACTCAATTTGAGGACTCGCTGTGGGATGCGTGGAAGAGAACACGCATAAACCACCGGCACGCCATCGCCGCGGTAGACGACGTCGAGTGGGGACACCGATTCAAGCTGAAGTGCAACATGGACACTGACTCATGCGTTGTCGATCTCGATCTCCGTCTTTTCCGCGACTGCCTGCTTCGCCTTAATGTCGTCACTGGTCACTTTTGACTGATTTAAGGTGACGATAGCCGTCTCATTTTCCAGGATGTTTCCTTCCCCGGAAAGAATTTCGAGAATTTGGTCCTCGATCTCCTTGAGCTTTCGTTTATTCTCCGCGCCCTCCAACACCAATTCGTTCTTCTTTTCTTCTAAATCGGCGCGTTCTCTAGCTACGACAACACCCAACAGTTGATCTTGTAGGCCCTGTGGCGTGATCATGAAGTTTAGGAGCGCGACCTTGACACTAATCTCCGGCACGTAGTGGGGGTTTCTTAGCTTAGTGCAAATGTAGAAGCGGAACATTTCCGAGTATTCGATTGTCGCATCACCCAACCGAATACAATCCATGCCGCCCTGCTTGAATATTTGTTTGAGGAGCAAGGGTTCGAGCGTGGCGTCGAGGACTTCCCCGACGTCCTCCAACAGCACGGGAAAGCCGTACTGGATGGCCGTCTCCATATTTCTCATATATTCCCCAGACATTTTGAGTACGTTAAGTTTGTTTGGGGCTTCCATCTGCCGGATCCATTTATTAGCTTGGCCCTGCGTGGAACGACGCCTTCGCGAAAGTGCCGCAGCTCCCTCGCGACACGTGAACTCTCTCGCGATCATGAAGACGGTGTCACGGTGGCTTCATGATGACACCATCACAACGACCGCCTCAAGTTGAAGCTCACTTTTCACGTCGAGTCGGCGCCTGCGGGTCGATCATGAGCGGCCATCTGCGCGCCGCGAAAATAGTAATGGCGTTCTCCACCGAAAAGTCGTCCGTGGGTAAGTTTTCAATGTTCCACTGTCTTATCTTCACAGCGTCCCCAAGCGTGTTGATCAGCGTCGGTTTCTCGGATGAAGGTATATTTAATTTCTTGCATGTGGCGATCCACTCGCCCATTTGTCTTTGTCGGAAGGTGGACGTAAATGGTCCTAAATAAGCCATCAAACCGGCGCTCACCAGCACATCGCCCGTCAAGTTAACATAGGCCGCGTCCAGCTCCTCGACGAAGATGCCCCACTTCGTCTTTTCTCCGCCCAGTGATTCAATTAATTGCTTCGCACGCACCAACTTCTTCCCGCACAGGTCGACTTGATTCAACAGTTCCGCCTTTTTCTGCTCAGCCCCAGCTAAATTGGCCTGTAGCGATGCGAGGTCGTCCTGGACGACCTTTAGAGAAGCCTTCTTCTCGTTAAGCTCGCCCATCGTGATAGCTAAAGCAGCCTGCGTTTTCTCCAGGGCTTCTTTCTTGGGAGCAACCACTTTTGCAACTCGATCATAACCTGTGTAGAAATCAACAACCACCGATGATCGGTACGAGAAAGCGATCGACTACCACTGAAATCACAAATCGAAGGAACCACAAAAACCTGATCTCCCGCACAGATCAAAACATTCCATGGCCAGGACCCATTTGCAGAGCCCGGCTGCGGCACTTGACGCTTTGGCCGCACTCTCAGCGTTGAACTTCTCGTTGGGCATGTAGGTCGTCCGTATTGTCTTCATGATCTTCGGGCTGATGTTATCCTTATCATATTCCTTGAGCCGGGGAATGAAGCCCTTGTCGCCCATCATCTTCTGGGACGGCGCCCAGTAGTCCATGATCTTCTTCGAACTATCCTCGGGGTCCGGGATCTTGACCGGCTTCTCGCCGAGCATCACACAAACACCTTCTGCTACCAACTTGACCGTGGCTGGCGGTTTCGACAATTTCCGCACGGCGTCGATGTCCTTGTCGTTGATCGTATTCAAGGCTTGGACCGCACTTTCTAACGCCGGCAACGCTTCATCTAAGTCAGCTTGCACCGCGTCCACTTCGATCTGGACGGCATCGGCCTCCTTCTGCGCGACCGCCGCCTCCGCGCCGACGACTTCCTCCTGCTCTCGCACCCCCGGCAGCTTCGCCTCGATCTCCTCCATCAACGCGTCCGTCGCGACCTGAGCCTCCGCCAGCACCGGCTGGAGGTCCGTGAGTTCGACCTGCATCGTCGCGACGTTCTCCTCGGCTCCCGCCAATTGTTTGAGACCGTTCTGGTAGCGGTCCTTGCCCGCTGTTATTTTTTCCCGTTGCTCGGCTAGAGCAAGCTTGAACGCCACAATCAACTCTAGGTACGATGTAGGAGTGACGTAGGTGATCCGCCCTTGTTCTGTGAGGAATTCCGCCGCCAGGGCATGCGCGTTCGTGTGGAAGGTCATACACATGTCGACGATGGCCGGCCTTACTTCGTCATCCAACTTGACTTCCTTGAGGAACTTCTCCGCTACGGCTAGGAGCGCGTCCCCGGGCCAGGCCGTGAACCAGTCGATGGCGCAGCAGTTTACTAAGGAAGGGAACAATCGCAGTCGATCTCGGAAGGCGGAGCCGATGGGCGAAAACGCCAGGATGATGTGCAGGTACTGCTTGACCCGCTGAATGAAATACGCATAGAGCTGAAGAGGCGTCATGTCGCCGGCAGCTCGGCCAAATTGCTCTTTGGCAAAAGGCCCGACTTTCTCGCAGATGGCGACCTTTTCATCACTTGCAAAGATGTTGGGCACCTCGCCCGCGTTCAGCATGTTGTTAATGTCCTCGACAAACCCTTCCTTAGCAATTTGCGTGTCCGAGAACAAGAACACTAAGGGCCGATCGCCAGACCCCGCCTCAATAAGTACTTTTTTAAGATCGTCTCTCCACTCGGCCATGCCGTAGGATTTCGTGATTTCTATGCGGAACAGGGCGTAGCCAGCCATCTCTGTCGCTAAGATACTGAGACTTTGTCTGCCCGAACCGCCGACACCGACAAGTAGAGCGTTGCCACCAGGCATCCGCAGGACTCTTGCGATTCGCGAGACATGCTCAATGGCGAACATGAACATGACGAGCTCCATGGGCTTCTTGGACGTTTGGTTGAACTCCGCGAGCGAGTCCTCGGTCCGGTTTTGTAGTAACTGGAGATCGCGAACCTCCACATACGGCCTATCGTCCTCGTCGGCCGGAGTCATGTAGTCACCCCAGAACAGTCTTCGGAGCGTGCCGTAGCCCGTCTCCGTCTCGTCCGCGGGTCGAATATGCTCGAACTCCGATTGGAAGTCGCACCTGAAGATCTCCTTGCACATGGTCGCAGCGTGGGCGCACATCCACTTCCGATCGTTATCGTCTGTTAAACGATCCCCAAAGACTCTCAAAGCTTCGTGGGTCCACAATCTCATCACGCTGGACTTGTTAGCGAACTCGCCCGACGGGGCTTGGAGTAACACACCCTGGACCACGCGCGAGAAGTCCCGCAAATTGAATGTGTAGTGAGATTTAGAAGGTGTAGGGAGTAGACCCTTCATGGCTTCCCTGTAAGTTCGCATTGTCGCGTCTACGACATTGCCCGCCTGCTGGCACACGTCGCCAGAGTAGCCGCGCATGAAGTAGGCCTTCACAATCGTGCTGAAAATTAATGTGAGAGTATCGTCGTCAAATGAATCCACACAGAGTAGGGAAAAATGCCTCAAGAAGCGAGGAGTAGTACCGTTCCTTCCCCCACCGGGCGGGCCCATTGCGCAGCAGACCTGCGTGTCCACGATGTCCACCCACGATTTTTCTTTCAGGTCGTAGTAGCCGCCGCAGTCCACGAGCTGCCGCAGCAATTCTATCGGTGGTTGTGCCCCATAAGTTTCAACTTCAGGCATGTTCATGTCGTCCACGAAGACTATGGCCGTTTGCCCCATGGGCGGGCCAAAAACGCCTTTTCGCCTTTTACCTAGCTGGCCGTCGATGATGTCTTGGGTCATTGTTGCGGAGGTTTTTGCAGAGAATCCTAACTGAATGGGCTTGTACTTGGATTGATCCAACTCCTCCGTGACGCACTTGATGACGGATACAGATTTGCCCGTTCCGGTCGGGCCGCAGACCAGCGGTCTTAACCCATGGGTGAGCAAAGTGCGACACATGTACGATAGCTGGGCAGTGCAAGCAGTGGGCACCATAATTGTGCTGAATTCAGCGTCATCTGGGATCGTAAACTTAGCTAGGGTCTGGACCCAGCTGACCCACTTGCCCTTCCTTGGATCATAACACCAGTCCTGCAAATTCCCCTCGTCTGTCTGGACTAAAAAGGCCGTCTTGTCCTCGCAATTCTTGTAGTCCGGCTTCCGCCACTTGCGGACAGCTAGTGCAGTTGCGACACCACCATACTTTTCATCAATGACATCGACGTCCTTCATGACCTCGCGCACAAAGAGCGAGTATTTTTCTCTCCCGGCAGCGTCCGAGGTGACACCGGTAGACCAGAACAGCGCGAACAGGAAGCAACACTCGAGCTGTTTTTTCCGAAAATTGCCCCCCTCCTCCGTGTTGGCGTCGTGCGGGCCCGGGATCGCTGCTGCTAGTAGACATCGCAGCAAACCCAAGAGCGAGGTAAGCAGCGCCGAATCCACCGTAGGAGACATCTCTTTGCAGGTCCTCCGCAGGAAGGCCATGGACGGCTCGACGAGCCAGTCGTATAACGCCGTCAAATGGACTTGTTCCTCCTCCTTCAGTTCAAAGGGCGGCGGTTCGTCTCCGCGTTCTTGGTGATAGTAGCCGCCAACCGTCCACCCAACGACCCAGGACTCCCACAGCGGCCGTAGCCCTAATTGCTCGGGCTCCATGTAGACCATGCCGCATCTACTGACAGTTGCTGGGGATGCTACTAATAAGTCCATCGGTTCAAAGATCATGCTCATGACGTCGGACATCGCAATAATTTCACCGGACATCAGGCACAACTTCTTATTATCATCCAGGACCGTGTTCATGTTCTCGATCCAGATCGCGTCGACGGGCCCGTCCAGCAGGACCCACTTGCGATCTTCCGGTTTGCCCACTTTTGATTGGGCCGCGTTGCGGTACTGGATCGCGAGGATGCCATCCGTCCACTCGTGCGAGACTGGATCAAAACACCCGTAGAGCTGGCCCATCGTGACACTCTTGGGATTCATCACAAAAGGTACCACATCGGTCCATCTGCCATCTTCCGGGAATTCTGCGTGTAGCTTACTTAAGGCGTCGGCTAAGACTCTATAAGCGGACGTCTTGCCCGAGAACGGCGCCCCGACGATCATGAAGCCGTGCCGCACGACCATCATGTCGTAGATCTGCACAATCTTGCCCCAGAAGTAGTCCGTGAGTTGCAGGTTGCGCTCGACGCAACTTTCGTTTGACTTCGACTGCATGGCCTGGCGGTCCGGCTCCGGCAATTTGACGCCCGGGAACAAGTCAGACGTGATGCCGTTGAACAGGGGCACGTCCGGTGCTAAAAACTTCGGCGCATTGACATCAATAATGGCTCTCAAAACCAAGATGTCCTCCGGAAGGTGGCCCTCGCTTCGTTTCAAATTGCCCGAAGCCCTGAGAACCGCGATGACGGCGCGCATGCCATAGTCGTAGTGCGACTGCGCACTGAGCTGCTCGCTGCACAATTTGTAGGTCGTAACGATCTTGACGGCCATGGCTTTCGCATCGGTATACCCCATGGAGTACAGGATGATCTCGCCGATCATCGCGTAGTCCGGCACCATCATCGCCACAGTCCTAAAGAGTACTTTGAGGTTGTCCGGGAGTTCCGCTCGACCGGCATAGCCAGGGTTCATCGTGATGAAAGGACAACAAGTCATTCGCAGAGGGAGGTCCGTGCCCTCGAACATGAACCGCTCCGCCTGCCTCGCTTTTGCTTGCTGAATGGTCAGCACTTGCTGCGCCACGACAGACAAAACTTCTAGGATAATACGGTTGAACTCATCAAAACAGGCCCAGGCACCAGAGGCGGCTAGCCCCTTGAAGAACTTGGCCATCGCTTTATAGTCCAGCCCGTCCGAGCAGTTCGTCACCACACATTGAATAGCGATGGCTTTGCCCAAATCTTTGGTGGTCTCCGTTTTACCGGTGCCTGCGGGACCCTCAGGAGCTCCACCTAAGTTGAGATGAATAGCGCCCATCAGCGTGCGGTAGCATCTATCTGTCAAGGGTGTAATCACAAGCCTTCCGCAGTTCCCTATGTACTCATATGCATATAAGATCATGGCATTGATCATGCGGCAAGAAATGGTCTCTGGCCTGCCCGTTTGCGACGACGCGCCAGCATCGGCCCAGTAGTACCGCAGCTGCGCCTGCCAGTCAAATTCGGACACGGCACAGATTGATGTTTCTGACAACCATTCGGTGATGTCGCGATTGTGTACGTCCATCACTACTAATGCACCGAGGGTGTTCCGAAGCATCTTGGATATATTGCCGCGGACAGACTTAACGACGTCAAGGAGCTCGCCGCGCCGTTGTTCATAAAGGACCTCCATCGCATTTCCACCTTGGATGATAGCCGCCTCAACAGCAACAACCCACGTAATCTGATTCACCGTGAGCACGGTCTGACCTTGCCAGCTCTGAAGCCAGTCCGATCTCTTGGCCCTTGCGTAGTCAACTAAAGACTCGTCTATTGCAAACGCGAGAGACTTTTTCATTATGCTCTCCACTTCTACGAGCCACTTCTCGACGTTACCTCCGCTGTCTCGCGGATTAATTGGTCTGTGATGGCACGGACCGTACGAGAACTCTAGACGTTCACTCCGATCTACGGGGCCGTCGTAACACGACAAAATGTCCAGGCGGTCGGTGAATTCGAGTGCAGCGACGCCGTCGAAGCCTGCGTGGGCACTGTCCCGAGAGTCCACGGTGATCTCTTTTTTGGCATGAAGTTTGGAGGAAGCCACCTCGATGGCGTGTGTGATTCATGCACTGTTCCCAAGTTGACGGCAGCTTCAGGGACGCTGAGTCCGCACACTTCTTCAAATGCGGTTGGACTTTTGTCGGGTCTTTTGTTTCAGCCAGGATCTCGAGGAGTTCGTCGTTCGACCTGCGTATAAATCAAACAGTGACACGCGACCGTGTTGCGTCGATGGCGTGGGGCTCGACGATGCCACCGTGGAGAGTAAAACGTCGCGTCGATACTGACCCGACAGAACGCGGTTATTCCGCCTACTCTCCGGACAGAGAAAGAACGGTGATTTTCGCGCAGGCAGCGACAAGAAAAAGAATCTCGGGAACGCCAGTCTTTTAGTCTCCAGGTAGTCAGAGAGTCCTTTTTGGATGATCTCCAGTTTGACGTTTGCATCAATCAGACTTTCAAGCAGGTTCGGTCGCCGCACCACGGATAACAAGGCGGGCTCTTGTGCTGTTTGCGCCATCGAATCGATCCAAGTCGCATCCACCGTCTTGAACAAGCGACCTTCGGTAGGAATCTGCTTCATTATGTCGTCCGAGGAGAAGATGGGCTCTAGGTAAAGCCAGGCGGCTTGCACTTTCAACCAGTTGTCAATAATATCCTGCAACAGGACGAGAGTTGACTCATAGGCCGTCGTTCTATTTAGAAAGGGTTTCACAAATCCTGCGAGAGGACGGTGGCGTGAGTGTGCTATACATCGAGAAACTCAACGCACACACGCGTGCGGAGTTTCTGATCAGACCGTCGCCTTGGGCGGCCTCGCAAGATGTTTAGGACGCTGAGATGCGCTAGAGCCCCGCATGGCCTGTGTTTTTACAATCTGGTCATCAAGCTCCTGCTGGATTTCATCCGTGCTGACCAGAATGTAGCTCGTCCGCCATTCTTTGGTAACAAAGGCAAGCGTTTCCCAGGCAGTCTCCATTTTTGCTAAACCCTTCTCCAATTGGAACTCTCCGGACGCAGTACTGCTTACGTCGCTCGCTAGTTCCGCGTGGCTGGTGATGCCCCATGCGAGGAAGTCCTCGAGACTGAATGTTGTGCTAGGATCAAAATTCTTTCCCATCGCCTTGCATAGCTGCTCCCAGTGCCTTGACTGCATGGCCGGATTCCCGAGGTCCACGATTAGGGGCATGACTGGCTTGAACTCGTCAATAACCAGCACAAATTTCTCTGTCACGGGAGAGTTCACCTTGCGATTGAGCGAAAATGCGTCGGCCTGGAGGACCTGCATTTTACTGTCAACTTCTTCCGCGTCAAGCGTCGTCAGATCTCCACGCATCCAAATAGAATAGGAAGCGTGCCAGTCAGCGATTGAAGTCCAGAGCCTGTCGACAAGTCTCAGCCGGTCTGTTGCTTTGTTTAATTGGGGGAATTCATCTGCGTGAAGTCCAAACAACTCTTTGTAGCTGGCATATGTTTGAGCGCGCGTGGCGAGCTGTTCCAAACGGTAGTGCATCGCTGCTAGCTCCCTTTTGATAACGGGCATCTCTGGATCATCAAAATGCATGACATCGACAAAATTGCCTGACATGATTTCAGTCGTAACCACCGACAGGTCAGAGTTTAGAGCTACAATGTCCTTATCAAGTTGTTCGTTCTGATTTGCATGCTCGTTCTCCTTGAAGGTCTGAGCAGCGACAAGCTGCTTGCTGTATCGAGCCGCGAGGCTGTGCATTTCATCCAATGCAACAAGATCATCAGGCGGGACCTTAACTTCATTTATTTGAAGTAGTGAGTACATTCGGTCCACAGGTCCTCTAATGCGGCTAATCTCTTGTTCGTCGTATGCTCCTGTCTGTTCAAGATAGCTAGCAAAGTCATCGAGATTTTTTGGAATTGCCTCAAGAACTTCAACACGCATCATTAGCATCGTCCGCAAATTTGAACACTGAACACGTGCCTCATCTCTGATTATACTCTTAAGCAGACCCTGCTTTGCTTCGACAAAGGGTAGCAGCGTCTGCTTGAGATGCCGCGACGTAGCTTCGATTGTCCCAGAAGATTCGCGAGCTCGCATCCTGTCTAGCTCCTGCTGCCAGGCACAGATCTGCTCGAATTCAATTTGCAGCTCAGAAAATGTTCTTGCTTTTGACCGATACACGCGCGGAATGAAATTCCTCGATTCTTCGTAGATTGGCCTCACTGAATCAAAAACCGCCGCTTTGTGCATTGCAAGCTTGAAATCTAAACGAAACTTGTTGCGCAACGCGTCCACGAAGCGACGAAAAAGAGGGAGAGAATAAATAACTTCATCGAATTTCGACGCAAAGGAAGTCCAGGGACAATGCTCGACACAACTTCGAGAGTCTAGGACACGTGGAATGCGACATAAATCGGCTATGACATCGTCAGTGACGCGCTGTGACATGTCCAGAAAATCAGAGAGCATTGGGGAGAACGTCGTTCCTGTAAGCTCAAATCCAAGCATGACCTCAAACAACCCAACCTTGTGTCGAGTATCCACGAGATTAGCCAGCAAGGTTTCGGTGAAGCTGAGCATTACATTAGATATGACGGTTTCCACCATAATGCAATCTACTAGGCGCACAAAATTAGTGAGCAGCCCTCGATCTTTCGAAGCACTGGCAACCAATCGCCTATGGGCTCGTCTTTCCTCAATTTCGCTGTTAATGGACGGGCCTCTAGTCCCGCCCTCCTCCAGTTTAGATAACAAAAGAGTACATAGCTCTTTAGGGGAACTAGCAGATTTGTCTTTGGTGTATTGGAGTGATTTTACTGATTCGCAAGCTACGCCTGTAATATCTATTACCCGTTTCATTATCCTTTCACACGTAAACATTGCCTCCTTTTTTGCGACCAACTGTTGTTCTATAAATATCAAGAGTGTTTTGCTTTGAAGACGATTGTGGGATAATGGTGCGATGAAGGATGCCTTCCTGAGCTCATAGATCTTCGTCTTTAGCTCAATTATTGGTTGGCAAAGAATGGCACGAGCCAAGAGCAGTCTGCTTCTCAAATAGCGCTGTTGCCGTACAAAAAGTTTCCGGCGCACATTAGCGTGCCATTGGCGGAATATCTTTAGCCGAACAAACAACTTGAAATACGGTATACTTCGTAGAATGTTAAAAAATGTGGAATGTCGTACCCATTCGTTCATTGATACACATTCTGTCTCGCTTACACCGTTGCTCTGGACACAACGAACGAGACCAGTTTGGGACATGGTGAAGTATTCGCCACGCGAAAGGGCAGCACTGAAAGGAACTACTACCAACAGATAAGGGTTGAGCTCTAAACCGTCGGCCGCTGGAACAAGATGCACGAACTTGACGTGCGAGTCCTTGCTTGCGGTAGTGAAATAATTTACCGCGTCTTCTCCTGTCGTCAGACCCAGCTGTGCAATCTTAAAGTCTTCGTCATCCGATAGCTCAGCTAGCTGCCGCGACTCATGAATTGGTAACTTTGTTTCTACCCTGGTACTGCAATGCTTGAGGGACACCGGTCTTGTCTCGTTGTGCTGCCCTGATGTAGATTCTGCTAGCAATGGACGCAATCGGGCTCGTAATGGTGCATGCAGACGTTCATTACTCTTTAAGGTCGGCAAAACAGACAAAACTTTGTGTCCCCGAGGGCGCATAGTTGCCCGCGCCGTACGCAAATCATACTGATATACAGTTTGAGGATCTAGCGCAAAAACGAGTCTATCGTCTGCGACCAAGTTGCTACCGGAATCCATAATATCAGCGTTGCATCCTACTATTATGAGCCGCGTTGAATACCTACGGTACCGTACTTGCTGGTACCGTAGGTAGGCTGTAGGTTTTGGTTAGTACCTACGGTACCTACGGTACATAATATTATGCAACACCACGGTAGGCACTAGCCAAATATGGAGGGTTGATTGGCCCGTCGACGTGACTTTGACCCCTTGCGCGACGAATTCAAGATAGGACTGAATGAAATTGCAACATACTTCAAGTTGAAGTTGAAGTTGAAGATCACCAAAATCGATGTCTTGCACTAAGGCCACCGCCGGCCCGGGCCTGGGCCTTCAAGCTCCCTAAATTGAGGCCGTGCCAGTGGCCAGCGCTACACGGTCCGGCCCGGGAGCCGGCTGCCAGTGCCCAGTCACGGTCACGGTCACCGTGACCGTGACCGTGACGGCCCGGTTGACTCAGAGTCTCAGGCTGGCCGCCCACCGGACGACCACGCCCCGGCGTGGAGCCCCACCCCTATTTGCTGGGTTCACTTTCGAGTCTACCCCAAAGTGCTAGCGCCCCAAAATCGCGATTAGGATAATACCCGCATGGGGGCCACACATTGCAACATCGCGGCTATACGCTGCAACTGCGATATCGCCCCCTGCCCGGTTCACATGCAGGCTTAGACTGCCAGTGGCCTATGACGCCCTAATCATATTCACTATTCTCCGCCGCCAAGTCCCATTCTCGTGGTCGTCAAAGCCCCATTCAAGTTTAGGCCGAAACTCGTTGCAGTGGCCCCACCGTGACGCGGTACTGATAATAACCATCGTGGCCACGTCGGTGACGCGACTAGGGCCTCCAGGGTCCTGCGTGGCACGCGAGCCAGGTCGCTTAAGCTTCGCTCTACGTCGCCACCATCCCTCACTCGGTCGGCGGGGGCTACGCCAACATCGCCCTGCGTTGCCGTGGCGACCGTGACTTCGCTCTGAATCGGATCCCACGAAACGTATGAAATAGTGCCACGCCGTTAGCCCGAGGCGGCCCGGGGGGGCGGGAACTTGAACTAGATTTATATGTTTCGTCTATACTGTCACGGTTTCTCCAACGGGCGAAGTATTCGGCGATCACGATTTTTAAGTTTTCATAAGATTTTAGCAGCATTCATAATTGGCGAAAAAGGGGGACGCCGGCTTTCACTGGCAAAGTTTATCTCGGATTTCAAGTTCAAGAACTGAATACCGTGACCGAGCCTCGGAGTCACGGTCGGATTTTTAATGGTCTTCAAGTTATTACTAGCCTGAGCCTGAGTATGTTTTATCAGTCAGGACTCAGGACGGGACATAAAGTATGCAAAATCCTTATACTACGGCGTGGTTGTAAGTAATTATAGGTTCAAGTTATCTACTACAAATCCAGTTCGAAGCATGCCCCCGGGCCAGCGCAAATTGAGGTATGTATATACTAAGTACCGTAGACGGCGTAGTGCACAAGTAATACACTGGCTCTCCGACTCACCGCCGTGGTAGTCATGCTGACGCTACCGTGACCTTGGTCCGTGGCGGTGGTAGGGGCAGGAATCATTTAACTCCACAGCGTTGCCCGGCAGCCGCGCCAAGGACGCCCGGGCCTGGCCGCTGGCACTATATTTTCGCTCTCTGGATAGTGAACTTGAAGCGCGATTTCAAGTCAACCGCCAACCGGCACCGCAAAATAGTGTCTGGCATGACTCAGACCCCAAGCGAAATGTTGTTTTTTGAGTCGTCACCTGCCATATGAACCTCCCTGATAGTAGTATCAGAGCCGCAGGTGACACTGTTGCCATCGTATGACAGCCTTTGGGGTAATTTGCAGGGAATAAATGTATTGATTGTGACGCTGTCAGCGTCAGGAGTCGTCTTCCTCCCCCAAAAAGGCAATGGTGGTCTGTTTCAATCGAACATTCCTCTAGGTTAGGTCCTGATTAAGCTGGGATATTATTGCGGCTCTTGTGTAGCCAAGCGCTGTATGGGCGGCTAGATACCCCGCTATCACGGATCCAGCAGAGTTCGATACAGCAAAGTCATCGAGCGCAAGGAAAATGTCACTCAGCCCATTAATGACGGGTCCCAACGCATCCTTTCCGACCAAGTATCTTGCTGGGGTGTGAGAGAAGCCTCGTGGTGACGGCGCCAATGTATTGATGTACAAGGCTCTGCCTCGAGTGAGAGGGAAGAGGTGAGCAATTGTACTGAGGATGTCATTGTGGAGTCTGTTACGAGTATCCGTGGCAGTATCATTTCCACCAAAGGCATTGACCCACAGCGACGATACGGGGCCCTCCACAACACAAGAAGCGACACCATTTGGCGAGTCCCGGAGGGTAATTGTCTTGCAATCTAGGACCTTAGGGTCATTGCAGGTTGCACTTTGCTTTCGCCAGAAGATGGGCAAATCTTTGGGAGCATCAAGATCCTTACAAGTCCCAGGAAAAGCAATTAGGGTTCGCACAACCTGACGGATGCTGGGCCCTTTTAGGTTGGACGGTGACACGGTCTTGCTGTTTCTTCGAGGACAGATTCCGGCAACATCTTTGGTGCGGTCAATAAGCCGAAAGCACTCTATAGCATCCACAGCAAGCACTAGCTTATCTGTGGTGAACTCTCCTATAGTCGAGGCGATGTGGATCAAGTTGCGTGAATGGTCTCGAAGTCTGATAGCGCGAACGTATGCATTGGTTAGGACCTGGCCGCCATTTGCTTGAACGGTAGCTTGGAGGGAGGCACAGAGCTGAGAGATTCCTCCTTTGGGAATATGATATCCGTTGATTCCATGGACTACAGATGCAGACCAGGCCGCGAACGATACTTCGCATATTGGAGCATGTTCTTCTCTGAGGAGGCCATAGACTGTGCAGGAGCGCACAAAATGACTATTTGTGGGTGATGAAGAATTATTGGTGATGTGCGTGATGTGACTGGCAGCCTCAGAAACTGTTATACACGCAGCAGCGGTGAAGCCGGGTATTGTCTCGTTTCGCTGGCAACCTACTCCAAGCCAGCATAGAAGGGTGGCGCTGTAGGGTATCTTGGTTAGCACAAAAGGGAGCAATTCATTATACACCGCAATGGCCTGTGTTAGCGCAATTGTCAGCATGCGTCTGTCGGCGCCAGATGCGCGAGAGAGGTCATTAACCCATGCCTTTGCACCACTGCGCAGCGGAACAGGATGACAGTGATCACCAACAACGAGGACTCCGTGTGCCCAACCCGTCCGTTGATCACCGATAGGCTCGAAAATCACTGGCTTACTTGCATGCAAACACACTGAGAGCAGCGTCTCATAGCGCGACACCTGTCCAAATTCGCATCGATCCAGAATAAAATCGCATGGAGCACCATCCAGACAAGCAGTGGCCCCACCTTCACAACGGGACTGTGGTATTAGCACTGTCACCTTCCCCCCTGCACGTGCCAGCAGTGCGGCAGTGTAAAGGCCCCTCAATCCACCGCCATAGACTACTGCATCAATTGTTGAGACCTTGGATAAGGATCCACGAGTAAACTTGCCTTTTGGTGCCTTCATTTGTCTGTGCAGGCACTGAAGCATTACCAGGCCTGTGAGTATCAACACTGGATGTACTGCAAACAACAGGCATGCCAGTAAAACAAATTTAATTATCGGCATTTTACCCCGATAAGCCATGAATAGCAATACCAGGCAGGTATGCTGAGGCAGGATCGGATCCCCTATTAGTTGGTCCTTGAGCACGGACTCTGTGCACTGCACCAATCTCCGCCTGTATAATCATAATGAATTTTAATGGATAATAGAAGAAAAAGAACGACGTCGCCACCTTACGAATATGGATGTGCCACAAATGCTTTGAAAACACCAAAGCGTTCCACAAGCTCGCGTTCGATCCTGTGCGCGTTTGCAATACCATATATGCGTTTCCGCGAGCTGGTCTCCCTTTGAAGATCTTCCCAAAATACAGAAGCTTCCTGGCCTTCCAATGGCTGCAAATCTGCGTCTTCATGAATTAAGAGTTTGTTTCGCAAAGTATAGAACGGTGAAGCTGACCTCGATCCCAGCTTCATCAAAAACCGTCGGCGATTAGCATGAGCGGAGCCAGACAAGAATGTAGCTTTCTAAGCCCCTGAGCCGACTGTATGGCGGACGGGAACGGAGGGCAGCTGGAAACCCGCGAGCTAGGCCCCGGCTCGTCGCTAGTTGATTTATCTTTAGTGCAGCCAAATGTGCTCGTATGGTAAGCCCAAACGGCGTCTCCTCGTCGCGTGTTCCGCCCACTATTTCACGACACGCGACACGCAAAAGTTTGGCGGGTCTAAGCGCACAGTTGTAGCGTGACCCCCGCGAGCTCAGGATTGATTGATTGATTTATCTCAGAGTTTAGCTTTATTACCTACGGTACAGCCTGATGCCTGATGTGGTGAGTACGCGTTTAGAGCTCGAAGATGGGATATCTGTGTGACTGGGGAGCGGGACCGCCTAGCCCTAGCCTCGGCCCCTAGGTGCCAGTGGCCGGCGATCCCAGGTGGTCCCCTAGGGTTCGCCTCAGCCGGCAACCCCCTCGGAAAATTTTTTCGCGGGGAGCCTCCGAGTCACGGGGCGCGTCGAACGGCCAACACAACGTGCGCTGGATAGCCCTGTCTATGGGCTTTCCAGCGCACCATCCCGTGGCAGTTGGGCACGCGATGGCGCTCAGGCTGAGCACAGAACGTGTCACTGGCACGGTTTGGCGCCAGTGGCCGCAGCTCTACCCTCAGCGTACAGGCCGCTGCAAGCCATGGCTACCGTATTCACTATGCCTTCTCTATCCAGGTATTCCAGATATAATTGAAGTGAAAATTGAAACCAAAGCAAAAATCGTCGTTCCATATCATAGCAGGTATTCCTGGGAGTTAACGCAATTGTCTCGTCGTACATAAACAGATGCACGAAGCACGACTAGAAGAGGCGGCGGGGGGCTCTGATGACGTGTATGAAAAATGTATCAAGGTTAACAACAGGGGAGCAGGAGAGGTCGGCGAGGGTCCACTGGACCTTGAGCATGTGATAGGGTACACTGGCAACTCACCCCGGACATTCCTAGCGTTGCCCGGGGGCGGGAGCAATTTTTTCAAAGCAATGGGATCAATTGCTGTCATTGGTGATCTAACTGACCCACACAAACAAAAGCTCCTTCGAGCACACGACGAGCCAATTTCGGCGCTCGCTACGTCGCGGGACGGAAGTTTATTAGCCTCTGGCCAGCTCGGGTCGACGCGCGTCCCAGGCTACGCTGCACTTGTCGTTATTTGGGACACTTTGACACAAACTGTAGCCTTCAGGCTGCGTGGTCTCACGCAGCGTGTTGTAATTTTGGAATTTTCGGACGATATGCGTTTCCTGGCGGCGGCTGGAGAAGACTGTGTGTTGTACATCTGGGATACTGCCTCAGGTGAGGTTGTTTTTGGCAAGCGGTACATCAAGCAGCTCAGTCTCTTCCAGTGGGTTGGTGCGCGTGACTGCGGCCGCCGCCGCGTCTATCGTCTCGCAACCGCTATGCGTGGCATTGCCGAAGTATATCATGGCGAGCTCTCTTTCGATGCAACACGCCAGCAGTGGCAGTTAGCTACAGTGCCTGTGGTCATGCCGGCTGCAGGCATGGCTCGGAACTATCGGTGCTCGACGCTGGCAACATACGCGGCGGAGGCCCCTGAAGAGGAGCCCGCAAAGTACTTGCTAGCTGGCACCATGGAGGGTGATCTTCTTGTTTTGCGCCTTGCAGGGTCAAGGGGCGAGGCCCGACTAGACACAACACGCCCAGGTGGCGCATACCGTGCATCTGTGCCGGTGTGCTCAGGGGGTATGCTTGCTATGGTCTTAGCGCCCGTGACACATGGTGTTGACCGACCTGCTGTCTTTGCGGGTGGTGGCGATGGCATTGTGCGCAAGATCACCGGCTACGATATGCGCTGGAAGCTTCACTCGCAGGCGCAACTTGACGGTCCCATTATTGCCCTGTCTTGTGTCGATGGAGGTGCCGAATTGCTCGCAGGCACAAGTAATGGTCAAACATATCGCTTACTTGCGGACAATCTTGCACTGCCAGGGGTGTTGTTGACAGTATCACACGTTGAGAAGCCAACTGCTCTCGCCTTCGGCGTGCGCCCTGACGTCTTTGCAACGGCTGCTGCTGATGGCGAGGTCATCATATGGGACCTCTCAGACTACTCCGCAATAGCAACAACTAAGCGGCTAACCGAGTCAGCACCAAACTCAGTTCAACGTGATGCAAAGTTTGGCGGTGGCGCGCGATGCCTATGCTGGGTAGCCGATGTTGCTGTCATTGTTGGCTATGGCGACTGCCATGTAAGGTGCTTCAACTCAGGGAGTGGTGACCTTGAATGGACTATTCCAACAGCTCATCGTAAACCTGTCTCGGCAATAACATGCTGGGTTGAGACCAAGCTTGCCTATCTTGTCACAGGTTCCCTTGACGGTTCAGTACGTGTCTGGAACCTGAGCACACGTGAGATGATGATGCAGTTTGCTGAGCATCTCAAGGGAGTCACTGGCCTACTTATTGATGCTATCAATCCGCATTTATTTCATAGCGCCGGTTCCGATTGTGCTGCGTTCACACACGATATTTCCAAAGAGAAACGCACAGTTGGTCATATGATGCGTGAGGGCGCTTTCACTGGTCTGACACAGCGCATTGACAGCGAGCAAGAATTAGTCACTTGCGATGCCAGTGGACGTGTTCTCTTCTGGGACTGCGATGCGCCTGAGCCTGTTCTTTCCATTAATATTAATGGCCAGTCCGTCACATGCGTTGCTGTTTCCCCATCAGGAAAATACTTTGCTCTCTGCCGTGACGAAATGGTGACTGTGTTTGAGCTCAACGTGTTAGCAACAGCCCCACCAAAGTGCATTGCTGACGGCTGGGCCCACTCTGCTGTCGTAAGTTCCGTTCAGTGGTCCCCAGATGAGCGTCAACTTGTTTCCATCGGCATCGACTCGTGCATCTGCGTGTGGAACTTTTTTGGCTCCTTATCTAGCCCAAGCGACACCAAAGCATGACTCATAATCTTCTAGTACTATGTGATGGCTTCTGCGTCTATGGGCTTGACTGCAATGAAAATGCGGCTAGTCTTGCGTCACTACAAGTGCTCCACAACAAGTAGACGACGCACCGTGATTGGGAACCCAAACCGAAATCCAGGTACCATCTTCAAGTTCTAGGCTGCTGCTGCAGTGGCTAGTGACTAGTCCAGATGATCTGAGATGACTCGACAGATATAGGCATGTGTTCCGAACTCTTTTCTCTACACAACTCATCATCTCATCGTCATCATTTATATGCAAATTCTCTTCGTCATCCATCTCATCAGGATCGACCACGCGGAATCGTTTAATTAGCGCAAGCTTTGCAAACGGTATTGGTTTGGCACGCAGTAAGGTCGTTCATTCAACAGGAATTCCTGCTGCAATTACAACTGCTTTTCAAAACCCCGCTTGACTGCGCAAGCACATTAACTGGATGAATAGTGAACTATTGGAAAGAATGATTGGTATCATCAACCTAAGAAGGTCTGGTCTTGAAGACCCGAGTATTTCAGACTACAATAATTCCGAGCTGTGGAAGTTTGACAAAAGCACGCGGGTCACAGATCGATAGGAATCATGGCCATCGCGATCTCCTGGAGTGCCAGCGAGCATCAGTGGCGTTCGACGGTCTTCCCCGCCCCACAGCGTTGTATATCGTCTACTAGCTCCGTCAACATGTTTTGCGAGAAACGCCTCGAGCATTCCGTTCTTTCGACGCCAACGGTGACTATTGCACACCCACGCTAACGGCAACTAGACCCGCTTGGACTAGTAGCATATGATGTAGCAGGGCAACATCTGGGCGCCTCGGCGAGTGCAACTGTTGTAACATCGCGTCAACTTGAAGATTTTGCTTCATCCGAATCCTCCACCCTCGATAGAACTCAATAGAACTTGAAGTTCGAAAGAGGAGTACATGTCACTGATGATGTCAGTAGCTGCCCAGGCGTGCCATGATGATGATTATTATTTATGTCCTGCCTGGCGGATGCCAAAAAGAAATTAAAAACAAAATCCCGCCGTGGTATGACTCAGGCTGTGGCCAGTGAGGTCAAATAACGAACACAACTTGAACTTGAACTACTAGTACCGGCCCATTCAATGGAATCGGTCGCGTCCTAGAGGGTTCCGTTAGCCGCACTGGCAGCCCTCAGGCTTTTAGAGTTTTACTGCGTAAGCCTGAGACTCAGGCTCGGTCCGAGTCACGGTGACTCAGACTCCCGGGGCCGAGTCGGAGAGAAAAAAGGTATGAACCACTTCAGGGTCAGCTGCCCTGAGGGCAGGTAACCCTGGATTGGTTCACACCTTTTTCCCTGCCGGGGGCTACTCCGCAAGGGTGCTAAATCCGGCGTGGGGGGTGATGGTTCGGGTTTAAGACTTTTTGATTCTTATAAACCACCGATTTCGGGTTTCGCGGAAGGTTACTGAGTCTTCGTGGCGTAAGGTGCGGAGCATTCGATTCGCCGACCGGAACGTTGAATTTCTCGCGGTGAAACGTGCTGACGGAACGTCAGTACGCTTTGCCTTGGCAAGTATAAAAAGGAGAAAGAAAAAAAGATTGCTGAAATTGAATTGGCCCCCAACTCTAACCCCCACTAGACACTTAGTCATCGCGTTGTAAATAGCCCATATGTGGCATTGGGTAGATGCTTCCTAACTTACCAATCTGCACTAAACTTACTAACGGCAAGTTCTACTAGTAAAGTACGAATGCTTACTCCTCCATTTTTCACAGACCGACCTACCATCTCCATACTAAACAGACTCGGTCTCAAACTGATTGAGTAGCGACCAAGGGTCTAGTCCCCAGCTTCCGGGCGACATCTAGTCGCTCAAGTCCAAATATCGTCTATTAACGGGGTCTACTTTGCTGCGATGCAGTCCCGAGAGTGCAGGACTGTTGCCCAAGCAGATGTTTGTGGCCGGAGGAAGGTAGATAAGAGCTTTGCGAACTATGATCCACACTGACGGACCAATTGCGAAGAGCACCAGCCGAATAGACATGAAATAAGTGAAATGGAGATGACTGATGTCATTGAAGAGGCTGGAGGCATATCACTATCCATACCGCGTCTCTCAGCGTTCAAGGATGAGCCACCAAAGGATGCAGTTTTATCTTGCGGCACTCCCTCGGGGCAAGTATGAGAGTTCGGTAAGTCCAGAGACATACTGTCACGTTCGGCTGTTAGATTTACTGTAAAAGCCACAAGATCATCATACTTTTTGCGTAGAGCCACTATTTCCGCAAACATGGCCTCAGGGGTCCCAGGCATCAATCTTGAGTTTGTCAATTCAGGTGATTTACCCACGGAGATGTGGCCTTTTTCCACCCCAGAGCCATCCTTTCTAGGGGGGTCGTCAAGTAGTAGTTCAACAGGCAGCTTCTTCGCTTGCAATTTGAATTTGTCTTTCTTTACAAAGAGCTGAGTTATTGCATCTGCGAGCTCAAGTGACGTTTTAGACTCAAGTTCATCAGCGAGTATGGCATCAATCCCCAAACTTTGTACCAGAAACTTGTCCCTGCAATTTGCAGGACTGGTTAGTGCCTCGGTGAGGATATCTTTCTTTTTCGTATGCACTATGATGATTGTTACTTCAGTTTGGCGCCCGTATCTAATTAATCCATGGTTTGGCTTTACAAGATAACGCTCTGGGGACGTGGTCTTGACCTTGAAAGCGATGTGCTCAGACGTGGGATTCGATATTTTCAGGGCGGTCTCCGCTGGCTCACTCTCTGACACTCGAATCGTCAATGTGTCTCGCGGACTGAAAATGAGATCTGACGAGTTAGCCATACTCATTTAGTCTCAGCGTTCATGTCCAGCTTGCATCTTGGGCCTCCAAGACTACGAGCGCGTTCAGTACGTTCTAAACCCAGACTAGAACTAGTACGTAGGTCCATATCTCGATCCCCACTGACCGACCCCTTTGCGTGACTCCCGCGGGTAACCGCGAACAACGCAACGTCGACTCAACGAGTGCGTCACGTCAGGGGGTTGCGACAGGACCAATCTACGGACTGGGACAAATAACAGTCGCGCAGGTCGCTGCTGCTGTGCTCGCCCCAACCCGCACGCCGCCCGGTCCTTCGACCCCCCGTATACGCGTAGGAGGAACGGTTCGGTCGGAGCGGTCCCCGTGTTTGTACTCAGTTTGGTTCGATGGGTGTCGCACGCTTAGCCGCCCCGTCTCGCATGCGGCGTAGCCATGCACACGCTGCGTATCCCGCTCCTGTTGTGCGTAGTCTTATGGAAGGAACCCCGGCCTCTGCAGTGCAGACCTAGAGCTGTGGCCACTGGCGCCAAACCGTGACACGTTCTGTGCTCAGCCTGAGCGCCATTGCGTGCCCAACTGCCACGGGATGGTGCGCTGGAAAGCCCATAGATAGGGCTATCCAGCGCACGTTGTGTTGGCAGTTGGGCACGTGATGCGGCCGAGAAAAGCTGGCCTGAAGTTCGGCCGTTCGACGCGCCCCGTGACTCGGAGGCTCCCCGCGAAAAATTTTCGCCGAGCCGAGGCTGCCCGAGAAGGTACTGAAGCCAGTGGAACGCGCAGGGGCAGCTATCTGTGCCAATTCCGTCGCTGAGATCATGTGCGTGTGGACATAGCCTTAACGCAGTCGTTGAGCAGCGTCGTCGCGCCGCGAGGCAGCGAACCGCGCGAAAAATAATTGCGAAATGAGCCGGGTTCGGTTTTTTTACGCCCTACCTAGGGGGGCACCGGGGGCCGCCGGCCACCTAGGGCTAGGCGGTCCCGCTCCCCCTGGACCCACCCGTCGGGCTAGGACCGAGTAAGGTGGTCGCATGGACCTCCTTCCTAAAAGGGTGCTCTCTGTAGGTGCGGGTCCATGAGCCGTAGGTCCAGGGGCGGGTCAGAACGCTATTCTTCGCCGCTCGCCCTTTCCGCCCGTCTAAAACATTTCTCTCGCTCCCCGCGTTCCGATGAGCCCATGTTGCCGCGAAACTGCCGCCGACGCTAGGACCATTTCGGATCCGCTCTAACCCGACTCTCGCCCAACCCAACCCTAACCCTAGTCTAATTCTAATATATCCTGCCTCTGTACACAAGGGCAAGTTCACCAGATGGCGGGTAACCTCGTCTGACGGAATAAGGCCGCGTAGACCCTTTGAAGCGTCCGGTGCCCCTTCGGCCACTTTGGGGTGGACTTGAGCTCGGCCCCAAGTGGACGTCCTTGCCTTGGCGGACTTTGCAAGCGTGTCCTGAAGCTGCTCGCAGACGACGCGTTGCCACCCTGGGTAGTTAGTCAGGTGCTTCGAACCAGGGTGGGCGGCTAGTCAGGCTTAGTGACCCGCGGCTGATACCTTTCGGACGGGTTAGGACGCCGGGCACGGATCAGCCCGTTTAGACGCAGCTAGTTAACTAACTAGTTGCCAGCTAAACGGGTTTTGACCGATTAGCTTAACTATCGGAGCATCCGCATCGCTCAAGGGGTTTTGAGCAAAAAAAAATGGCAGAATTCAGGGTATTCCAGGAGGGCTGCGGCTGTCAGCGAGGCCGTTCACATCCTTAATCGAGTTTGTTTTTTGTTCAGAGACTGTGATCGCTGAGCAACTCGTCTTTCCGCTTTATACAGTTCCCTTATGGGGTGCGAGAGGTAATTCGGCCATCCCATTCCGGGCCGGAGACGCTCCCATCTATTTATCCAGCCTGAGGTCTCTTTATATGACCCAAGATGTATTGTGTATTGTGTATTGTGACGGTCACGGTACCAAAATTTTAAAGCCACCTGGGCGGTCAGGGTAATCATGATATGTTCGTGCCCTTCAAGTTGCTATCAAGACTGACAAGAAAGCCGAGGTTCCTACTCGTCCAGTTCAAGTTGCTACAACTTCAAGCCTGAGTTGCCACTGGTCCGGGCAGCCTTAGTGAACCACGCTGTCCGAGTCACGGTGGTGGTCTTGAGGTTGAAACCGACACAGCCCGGGGATTTTGGCGGGCCCGGGTCCCAAGCTTCCTAGTATGGTACTATCGCCCCCAGCGGATAACCCAGGCTCAGGCTTGAAAGTATTTTTTGTACTTGTAGTATTTTCAAGTTTCACGGTCACGGTTGCAAGTTGTCACGGTCACTGCCCGGTACTAACCGTGACTCGAAGAAAGGGGTGGTTTTCATATCGGAAATCAATATCTTGGATTATGTATGTGTTTTTTGTATCATCCGCTAGGTTTACTAACCGCGACCCGCCAAGCATCTGCTTGTAAATTATGAGGCTCATGAAGCGAAGTCGTAAGGATCAGTTGTAAGGCCCGGGAATATCGAATGTCAAAGTTCTATCTAGATAGAAAGGTGCTGATTGCGCGCTCTGCCCAAAACTGTGCGTTTGAATAAACTCTCGGCTATCATCGCGCCACATGGGGCCACTATCATCACTTCAAAACCTCTTAGTTGGTGCTCAAGTAGAGAGCCCTCAGGATTGTCATTGTGGTCAGCAAATTTGTCGTATCTTGCATTTAGCTCGGCTTCTATATGCTTCAATCGGGGGTCATGGGGTTCTGCGCTGCCATCGCGAGACTGCAAAAAGAAACGCGGGGCGCGGTAGGGGTACTCAGGAGACAACTCAATGCTAGCGACAAACTCCTTTCTCGGGGTCTGTAATGTACATCTACACGTGGAGTAATACGACTCCGATGTAGACCGATAAATGTTTGGTGCAGGGCCAGCCCAGGAGTAGTTCAGCCCCGGTGGTACGTCTGCAGTTTGAAGATGATTTATTCTGCAGGGATGCTTTATAGGACAGGGTTTCCTTGACAAGGTATCAAGTTGCTCATGGAGCGCAGTGGTACTAGCAAGCCTGTCTTGGAGTCGCAGGGCCACTAAGCGACATGAAGGCTCTAGCGTGCCACATGCTATGGTCCCAGTCACCCCACCGCCGAGCCACTGTGCCCAGCTAAAAGGGCGGCCAAGTACGTTGTGAGGGAACAATGCATTTTTGCCCACGCCTACTGTCTCGTGGCGCCATGCCATAGCCGTGGTGTAAAGTTTATCTCCACTATCACCCGGAAACAAGTTTACTAAGGTTCCGTCTGATGGTTCAACAACCACAATATTGCCCATGGACGGCAATGTGCGGAAAACAACAAGAGTACCGTGGAAACTGACTTTCAAAGAAGCTATGCTCCTCTCAATCACCAGATCCCCGTACCTTGCTCTCGCAGGAGACTCCTGTCCGAAGAAGAGTTCTGTCGACGGACTAAGGACCCCTGCAGATACGAGGCTACGAAATTGCCAATAGATCAATGAGAGGGCCCGGGGCAGCTGCCCATGATTTGCGTTGGTCCTTTGCATCCAATCTGTGTTAAGGATCAGCTGCGATAATGGGCTACACGCTTGCTGAGCTGCATTAAGGTATGTCGGTAGCTGTCTGAGAATTGAGTGCCGGTTCTTCATTTCCGCTTCGATCTTGCGTAGTTTTTCCTGTAGCGCACTCTTTTGTGCATCAAGCCATCGGCGCTTCTCTAGTTCTTCTTTTAGCATATCAAGCTGCTGCGAATGATTATGTGGTTTGGTTCCCGCTGACGAGGATTCAAAGATAAAATGCGATTCATCGGTCAGTTTCACCAATCCCAGGCACTGATAATTCTGGCACAGCTTCACCTCTTCCTTCAAACGGCTTTCGCGGTATCTCAAATTCTGCAGTGTCAGGTGATGTGCATCCAAGCCCTTTTTACGGACTGCCTCCACCTCCCTGAAAAGGGAGGCGGCCACGCTTGAACTACGTGAAGATTCTTTTGCATCCACGAACGCCCGCACCGCTCGCGAGCAAGCGATCTTCTGTTGATTTGTTGAGGATAGATTTCCTATTGCACCCTCAATTTGCAACCTTGAGGCATCGAACCGATCTTGTGGGATGCCAATGCTGTGGACCCCAGGATCCATGACGGTTTTGTGTCACAATATGTGTCGGCGGCGAGATACGAGCTTGCATTGCATCATGATACTAGAAGAAGGATAGATGGACGTCGCGAAACTCTCCAAGAGTCCCAAAGAAGGACTAAGAAAAGCAAAGAGCCTGAGTAGCCCTTTGAGAACTACAGTCAAGACCAGACTCGGACCAGACTCGGATGCCAGTCACGGTGCGGCCGCCAGTGACTGGCGACAGCCGCGGCGTGCCAGTGACCGGCATGGCCCCAAGAACACGACCGCCTAAACTTGAGGGTAAAGCCTAAACTTGAGGGTGTGAATTCACCCACCAGCCCCCCCCCCGGCGCGCCCCCCCACTAGCACCCCCACACCGGCGGGAAAGTTTTGACAGTAAGATTCTGAGCGATCCTCCCTAAGGTGAATTTAGGCCGAATTACCCTGCGAGACTTAATGTTCCGTGGAGACTTCGAATTTTAGGGGATTCGGGCGCTTTGGCGGCAAATTTTTGCTGACTCGGAGGCGCAGGTTCCGTATGCTAACATAATGAGCTGTGCAAAGTTTTCTACCGTGCGGACAGCCTCACACCGAGAAATCAGCTGCGACGCGGCGATGGTCCGAGATAAAACCCGCCCCAACCAACAAATTGTCTGCAGACGTATAAATGGACATGTCATTTCATATAGCTCTGTATCTATATAGGGCTCAAAGGAATTTTCCGGTGCAGGGTGACACCCCCCCAGCCAGAGTACACCGTGACCTGTGTTGCCGTGGCGACTTCGCTCTGACCCTACAACATGTATGAATTTCGTGCCTCGCCGTTAGGCCGCCGGCGAACTAATTTTATAGATTTTGTCTATACTACTTCCTTCTTTTGGATGGGATGCCAGTTCAGTTTTTGGCGATTTTTATGTCAGTTTTAAAAGAATGGATTTTGCATAACATTATTTTATGTAGTATCATCCGTCAGGATGGGACATAAAGTATACAAATCCCTATAAATAAATAAATAAATAAATAATTAATTAAGGAAGGAATATCCTAAAGAAAAAGGACATACACCAAGCCTATATTACTCCATTCCGGTCTTGGGGCACGCAAAGGACCTCTTTGCGGTCTCGTAACCTCCGAGTCAGGCTAGTAGCTAGCCGGCGCATAAGCGGCTGGGGACTCGAATGTCAAATTAGGGGAGGCCCCCGCACCAGACATGGAGGCGCCCCGACGAGTCGCTATTGAGAGTGGGACTCGATGCGTTTCGGCTAAGAGCAGAACGCGGCGAGTAGTGCCCGAGGCTGGCGACTGGATAATTCCGTGCCGTTGCTGACGCAGGAGACCTGGACCCTGCTTTATACGCCGAGAGCCGGGACGCGAGTGGAACCGCAACCCGTGCCGGGACGCGTGCGGCGACAAACACGCGTCTTCGGACTTGAGCGTCGTCGGCCCGAGCGGCGTGATGTGGAGCCCTGCCTCCTCCGTCCTCAATTTTCCAATTAGTTGTTTATAGGGGAGACCCGGCCGCGCAGGCCAGGAACCGTTTTGGGAACTCGAAGCATCCCAGGCTGTAGTCTAAGGCTATCAGTGAAACCTCAAGCATAGCGTCTGGCGAAGGAATGTTTTTGAGTTAAACCGGGCCAGAAGAGGACGATTATAGAGTCCAGACAACTTGCCCCGCGTTTGAACCAGATTAGTACAGTCCTTCACCTTGAAACTGTTTTTGCAGACGATCGTCCGAGCGAAGCTTCTGAAATGCGCACATGGCCATCCTTAAGACCACTATGGACGAATCAATGAGTCTCAATCCAATCCTTCCATGTGATGGTTCGGGGTCGATTGGCTTCTTGCGGTGTAAATATCTGCGCTTGTTGTGCAGATGCCGCCGGATGCTTGCAGTTCTAGTTAGCTTTTCGCAACGAAGTCTGCACAGGTCTTAAACGTGGATATCGACTAACCTCGGACCTATAATGCGCCAACAAGAGACTTTACGTTGGAATTCCCGCTAAAATACAAAACGCACTTTGGCAAGAAGGGTGGTTCTGGAGCAAGCCTATTTAACTTGATGATGTCCGGTGTTTCTCCTGATAGTATACTTGAGCTGTTTTGCGGTTTTACCGAGAGGTATTTGGTCTTGAGTGACGAGTTTACTAGCATTGCCTGTGCGAGCAAATTTATTTATCCATATTGTAAATTTTGCTGTGGACATTTGCTTCGTTTGCTGGATTGGAGCTGGGTGATTGCGGTGTTTGGAGTATAGTCTCCATGCTCACGCTAGCCCTGGTTAATGGTTTGTCACAACAGAGGCAGCGCAATCGGGGATTTTGGAGTTTCGCAGCAACCTATTTGCGATGATAATCTTGTTTCAAGTCTTAAAAGGACAAATCTGGTGTTTCGGGTCCACGTCTGTGTGACTTGTGAATTTATTCCGTCGAAGTTGCCATTTGCTACAAGAGCCGCAATTTGACTCAAGTCGTTGCGGTCTATTTTCGAACGTAGAATTGTTTCAAGCTGACTTTGTTCAACTGTCGTCTCACCGAGCTTAACCACTTCTCTTTCGAGGAGACTCAAAGCTATGCGCGTGTCCTCATATCCTGCTTTTGTGCTGATCTCATCTCTTAGTCTGTCCACAGTCTGCGTAGTTGCAGCGAGAGAGGCATGAAAATCAAATTTGCTGTGCATACTTGCTGCAGCGACGTTGTCACAGGACTGACTTTTTGCATGCTCAATTAGTTGCATTCTTTCTTTTAATTTTTCAACGACTGAGTTATCAGGCATAAAGCTAAGCGAGGCTTGAAGAGCAACAAGCCCTGCATTTAAACTAAACAACTGCGAGTTCACCATTTCTGCATCAGGACCGTCCTTACCCACACACCAAGCTTGTAGAGCCAGCATGCCCGCATCGGTCGATTCGTCGCCCTCATCTAATGTCAAGACTACATTCAGAGATCGCAGACACGCTTCAGCCTAAGTTGAAACAGTCAAAGTACGTATATTTTAACATCTGTCGGGCACAGGCGTGCACGAGTTGGCGTGCGTTCAAAAGGTTGTTGACTCCAACTACTAAATTGCTGCCATGTTCAAGTGGTAGTATGTCAGCGTTGGTTTCGTCAATATGCAAGTCGACGCCCACATCCAGTAATGTACACATATTGTCTAAATGAGCTCTGCGATTCATATCCTGCAACCGCTTGTCTTGGCGTAATACAAGGAACAAATTTCGTGCAATGGAGCGTGCTACATTTCGCCAATTCTCCATGTTCACCGGTGTTTCTTTGGTAGTGACTTCAGAAGTTTTCAGCAGATGGTATAACGGTGAAATTCGATTCTTAATCAGACTGGTACCCCCAGGCAGGGCAGCAACATGTCTCGATTGTATAGCATTGCAGCATGTATCTAACAAGCATCGCAGCATAAAGCTAGCTCGGGCACGGGCACGAGGGAGCCTGGTCTTATAGGATATTTCTGATTCGTCGAGTTTGTTTTTGGCACACATCGCTGCTTTGTATGCGTTGGCTCCCTGATTCGCAGCATCTCGAATCTCAAGTTTTAAAGATTCTGAATGTCTTTCAGTCAATTCGCTACGCAAGTTTGCTTTAGTTGCAAGCTCATGCGTATTGCTCATTTTCTCCTCCACGGCCGCAAGTCGGCGAAGAATGCCCCGTGCATTTTCCAAATTTCGACCTTCGTCTCCGTTTATTGCTCTGTTGAGCCAAAATATCATTTGATTTACCCTGGTAAACTTATCAGGTCCTGCTTGCGCTAAAATACAGCGTACGCGGCATTCCGTGTGGTTCGTGCGTATTTCCAGCTCCTGGAGACGCGTGGCAAACGACCGTCGTTGCAAAATGTATGAGCTCGACATGGGAACTCTCCTCCTAATATGTCGCATGCTGAGCTTCAGTAATACCCAGCGCCATCGTTGTTTTGCTCGCAGTCGACTCGTAGACTCGAATGGTACGTGCACACTTTCCAGGGAGAAATCAGGCAAAGAAGACTTTTTTTCATATGCCTGCAACTCAAGGGGGTCGGGTAGCTGGGGACCACTGTCCCACCTTTTTTTCAACACATTTTTTGAGTGACGCACGTAACACTCACGTTCCCGGCGCTGCCTCTCGCTTAGATCGTCCACGGAGACAAACCCTTGGAGGTTGGCGGTCAGAGCACTCATCTCTTCCTTGATGTTGATGATTGCGGGGCCATGGGCACTCTCCAGATGGTGGACGCGAGCAGCGAGCCTATTCACGTCCAGCACAAGAGACTTTAGAACTCGTTCCAGGTAATCATTCTGGTCGTCCCGCGTCATCCTACTTCTAAATAACGCTTGACGTCGTCTGAGAGATACGCTAAGTAAGCTACTCACATACCGAGCAATTTGAGTCGAACCACCTGAAGTTACAGCTACCTGGACTACTTGATCTATCCGGAAGTACTATACATTATGTTTCGGACGACCCTACGCTGCCTGACGGCGCGCAACTGCGAGTGGCATTCACTGACACTGGCACTGACTGGCAGGCTGCCAATCATCATGATGATCAAGGAAAGATCCGAGTCACGGTGGCCCCACGCCGATGGGTTTGACCCTGAATCCCGTTTCGCACCGTGTCCGTGACTCGGGCACTGGTACCTGGTACTTCAAGTTATCATGATCCTACCGTGACGTGCCAGTGGTCACGGTCGCTAGTTTGAAAGAGCTCCCCGTGTGCCCGCTTTTATGGGGATTGGCCGCCAGGGGCGGGGGCGCGCAGGGTTCTGGCACTCGCCGTGACATGCTTGCAGCGTGCGCGTCGAAAGCCAGTCGTCGCCGTGGCTTCCAACTTGAAGCGCCCAACAGCTGCGGCTCCAAAGCGGCGCCCGCGCGACCGCGAATAAATCTCCCGAAATACCACGGGGTCTGCGGCGGGCGCTTGCCCGGGCGGTCCGGGCCGCCAAGCGATGGACTCGTGCTTGGTGCGCCACTCAGGCTGCGAGGACGGTGACATGTGCCAATGGCATATGTATGAGGGCATTTCAAGTTCCGCAGGGAGAAGTGGTGTCACCGTGTCATCATGATAATTACTTATGTATGGCCCCAGTCTCACTCTCAGCCCTCAGACTACCACTGGCAGTGCAGTCACTGTCACGATGAGTTTGTAGGAGGACCTAAGGAGGTCCGCGGCTGGCAGAGTTACGCGGCCGGGGTGAGGGCTGCAACCTCTCATTCCCGTTGAGCCACAAACATCGGCGACCTGCTCATATCATGATATCCGAGTCGTGCTCATCTTCCTGTCGACTCGGACTCTGACACAGTGGCAAAAGGTTGTCTCTGGGTTCTGGGTTCTCATGATCCGCACGTGCCGTGTCTTGCTAGCTCCAGGATTTGTAAACCTGAGTAGTGGGGTTAACTTGGCTTTTGACTTGCCAGAGCCTGAGTCCCCTGGCCAGCTGAAACTTGAAGTTCGTCTCTGGACTTTTATCGGGGGCTCTCCTTATGGAAACTCCGAGTTGACACACATGTACGGTTGGCGCGTGCGCGACTTCAGCGAAATTCGGAAAAACCTGAACCAGTGGCGCAAGGCCCTTCCGAGTCGGGAGCGTGCGGATAAACCAGAGGCCTCGCCAGCGATATCGACGAGGAAACCTCGGGTTTTGTGCGGATGCGAAGCGTCAACGGAGTTTTGGGCTCCAATGGGGGCATTAACAGGGGTAGCGGTACCTACACCCCAGTTGATCGGCAGACGGTTGTAAGTTAAACCGATCGCGAGATATACATAATAATAACGAGCCCGCCGCACTCAAATTAAAATATCTAATTTCGGCATGAGCCCTGAATCAAGCGCGGATAATCTGCCCGAACTCTTCGATAACGGTGCAGACGCAGAGGTCCAGCTGTCGCGTTCGTCGAGTGCTGTTTTTCGCCCATGTCTCTTCGGTGAGGACATGTTGTTAAACGAGGAGGAGCTCTCTGATTTTCCGGAGGCTTCCTGTTATAAGAACAAAACTGGGAAACTTGTGCACGCTTGGTCCCAAATTAAGTCCATGTCGGTCAGATCTAACCGAGATCTGTCTGCATCCAGTCCTGACCCAAGGACTGGAACCTATACTCCTGTACCCCCACCAATGGCTAGTTTGCTGCTAGAGTTGGATGAATCGAGAGCTAGTGAACGTTTCTTCTTCGAAGCGGCTTTACGCCACCAGCCTTTATTGCACATGCTGAATTTATTTTCGCACGATGGCACATTAAGAGTTGAATCAAATCCCCTTAAAGTCGGTAATCAGCGTCCACCTCTATACAATTCTGCAGAACTCGATACCCCAGCACACCATTCTACGCGTATTTCTCAGCCCGAATACACTAGCAATACATCACTGACGGGCACTCATGGAGAACTGCATGTAATACTAACCCAGTTGGCCCTCTATGAGCATCCACTATTTGGTTCTGAAGACAGACTGTATGCCCAAATGCGGCTATTATACGGGGAGTACCACCGTATTCTCAAACTTCAGAAAACTAGCTACCTAAGGCTCCGTCTCCACAAGTTACTGGATGCGGTGCAACAAAACTTGGACATGTCAGTTGAGCACGAAGTAGATGTAACTGAGCTGAGCTCAAGCTGCTTCAAAACCTTAGATGCCTTGGCACTTGAACAACAAGCCATGAATGAGATCGCGGAGGCGCTCTACACTACTTGGAACCAGCTGAAAGGCCTGCGCCAGCATCAGAATTTCGTATCTACTCCTGCGAAGTTAGTTGCCATAAATATCAGTCGGTCTCCTCAATTTGATTCCAGAACAATGCAGCCACTACTCGACAATTTTCACAAAATGCTCACACGTATTGCTCAATATGCCTCAGAGAACCAAAACAGTCCCTCTCAAGAGCGTCTTATTGCACGATTCAAGCGATGTTGTAGAACACTAACAATGAGGACCGATTTTGTTTTGAAGCTGTACACTACTGCTGGGCTCACAGCTGATGACGAAGAATCACTACCAGGCCGAGAGCTCATGCGTCGTCGGCGTGTGCGACAACAGCACCTCTATGCAATTTTATCATTGAATGGTCGGCGGGTTGCTACGACACTACCACAGGCAGTCGCTTGGCCCGCATTCACAATTCGGATTGAGCAGCCTCTAAGATTAATAGTTGCTCGGCATCCTATGAAACTCAAGGTGGAGTTCTGGCGCAGGAGACTTCTTGTCGACGTCCACCTTGCAACAATATTTGTGCCTGTCCCTGGTATATCAGCGTGTCATGACGCTGTGAACGCTGCTTCGCTGGCACCTTTTAGTGAATGGCTGCAGTTTGAGGTCAGCCAACGACAGCTCGCTGGTGCTGCGCTAGTGTCCCTGTATTGGACAGCCAGAGATCAACAGCTGAAAGCCTGCTCCTACGACCCAGCTGCCGGGTCTGAAAACGCTCTCTCGGAATCGCTGCGATCCTCTAACCAACAGCATCCCTGTGGCTTGCGAAAAGGCCTAGATAAGTTGGATGCAGGCATGACAGATGGATGCCGTTGGCTGCGGACACCCGAGACTTGTGCTTCAGAGACGCATAAAATTGATAGCAAAGGTGATCCTAATGATCCAAGGGGCTCCTGTTCATTTATACGCGGGCGCATGACGGGGACCCACATCAAAGCGGCATCACAAAGAGCTTTTCGTACCGGCGAGTATCGACACCAGGTGACTTCGGGGGCAGTTCAGGCCCGCAAGGTATTTCATTCTCAATACAAGCCGAGTCAAGCACAGCAAGATGCGTCGATGTGTGAGCTACCGAAAGAAGTTGTTGGTTCTCGCATAAGATTTGCACTTGATAAATACAAACATGCACCAATCTCCCAAAGACACCGCCTTCTAAGACTCCGGATGCATCAACCTGCATTGATGAGTGAACCTGTTCCGGCCACAGATATGGCAACTATCGCGAATGCTCTCCTGCAAAAATTCATTGTGCAGGACGATATTCGTGGTCAGCGGGCCTTGGGAAAGCAAACAATAGGACATAAATCGGGAGGGGGGGGTACTATAGATACTAATGGCCTGAAGAGAGATCGACAGGTAATGGCATTTGTCAAACAAGTTCAAGACAGCGTCACTGTTCGTTTGCGCACATCACAAAAAGCTTCTTCGTTCCCACTCACAGCCTTAGTCAGCGAAGGACATGCGTTGCCACAACTACGTGCACGTGGATTGATTGATGCTGCTTTGGAGTATACAGCACGCCGCAGACGCTCTCTTCGGCCTTCGCGTCAGCGGCGAATGATGATATCTTCAGCTAGAGATTGTTCATTGCTGGTGCAGATCATCTCCGCTCATCAACTAGCAGATTTCCCACTAGAACAGACGATGGATAGTGACAATATTGCCAAGGCAGCTGGAAATAACTCGGGGAAGTTTGTGTTTGCTTCCTTCCAAGAGCATTCCCGCCGCACAATGTTGGCAATGGGACGCACACCACGTTGGAAAGAGACCCTGGACTTCCCATTTATTCCAACCTTGGGGGACTTTTCACCAACCAGCTTGATGCATGTTAGCGACTGTTTACGGCTGAGCCTCTTTTCAGAGTCACTTCTCAAAACACCTACCCAACGGGTCCAAGAGATGTACAGAGATCCATCTACCAGGCATGAATTCATTGGAGATATTGAGATACCATTCATAACGCTGTATTCTAACAGTGGGGTCAATGGATACTTGGAGGGTCAATTTCGATTAAGGACACCTCTGATTACAATACGTACCCATGACTTCCAGGGGCAAAGTCCTTCTTCGACATACGAATCCAAGGCTGCGTCATATCTGCACCTTGCTGTGTTCTTGCGCCCCCCTTTGTCAGTACCGTTCAAAGATCCACTTGTCTTTTCCTCAATGGAAGACGAGCGGCTTATTCGGTATGGTGCAAGCTGGATTCAGCAGCTAAGAATCTACTTTGAAAATATGAATGAAATCATTAAAAGACCAGTCGATGGGCGCATATCGAAACGCCTCGTTCAAGCTTTTGGGAATAATATGAATGGAGATGCAGTTCTCATTTGTCGCTACTTAAGTCCACAAACACCACCTCCGGGCGTAAGTTGTCTCAACCAAGTGGCGCGGTTTGTTAGCCTTATCCCATTCCTGGAAGATTGGAAATCATTTGGATGCGCAAGTCTTGATATTTGGTGCACCTCACAGGAATTTCTTGACGTCGGTGCCGGGGACTGGGAAGAACATGGGATACTTTTGCACAACTTGATCATTTGGTTGCAATTGAAAGGTGCCACTTCTGACTCCGCGTCAGAGGAATGGTATCTGGTTATTGGCTCTGGGCTCCCGGAGGGAGACACTGTTTATGTGATGCAAAAAAACACGCACTCGGGAGACGGTGGTGTTTCTTTCTGGAATCCGTGCACTGGAGATGTATTTGTCGCGAGTCATAAACAATCTCCATTAATTGACATCGGCTGCATTCTCACTGCGGAAAATATATTTGCGAATATACAAGGAGATACCAGTCCTCACTTGCTATCATACAATGTAAAGGACAGCAGCATTTGGCGGCCATTCTTTCAAGATCCATCGGCCCAAAGGGATGATTGGTGCATTGGATGTAGTTGTGTCTGTAACCCTGGGCCCTCGCGAATTTCACGACCTGCTACATTGGCATCAATTCAGGACTTGCATCTGCGATATGATGCACCCAATATTGTCCACGCGGAACAAATTCAAGTCAAGCTAACAGAAGAAATCAAGGTAAGGCCAATAATATGTCTATCTGTATCTGAATATATCAAATTTTGCGCAGAAATCAGTCCGCCGATGGCGTATGAATTTAGGGAACCGTCGTTGTGCAAGCACTTCTTTCAATGTTGACATATCTCGGCGTTTGCAAAAGTAAGAACATCTCTGGTTTTTTCTTATTGAGAGTCGGTTGTCATAGCTTACTGCCAGCACTAGAAGCACTCCGGGACTCTGGTGAATTGACTGGCGCCGCAATACAGGCACACAAAGAGGATACATTAGGGTTTACTCAAAACGTGGGTATTGAAGCTATTGCAGTCAACCTGCCCTACGCCAACACGAGTGGAGTTCTTGAGCGCTTACGTGCGATGAATATCCATAATGTCACACATCGAGACGTCCAGTTCATTGTAGCGGCATACGTACATCCGATCATAAATCATGTTTGTTCGGTGTGTGGCAGTGTTGCAAAGACTCGTTGCCATGTCATCTTTCATTTCGATGTAGGTTTGGATTTACTATGGCAGGGTATGTCCACCTGACAATAAAGCCTAGATACTGCTTCTTAAAAATATGGATAGAATTGCTGGCCGCCATTTCCTACTGCAGCACTCTTGCGCTGGATGCCACGCATACACACCAAATCAACATTATCAAAACTCGGAGGAGGCCAGAAGGTCCAGGTCACCACTAGCATCTTTTAGAGAGATGACAACATCCAGGCACTTCCGGTGAGCGGAGTAATCAACATTCGGGAACCTGGCAAAAAAGGCCGTGGCAGTGATCTGTCCACAAACAGCAAGGGAGGGGGACACAGCGACTAGTTGTGACTTCCAAACTAAATGGGAGGTCCCCCAGCCTCGGCTCTCCGGCGGGGCCAGGCCTGGCCCTGGGCTGTGTGGTTCCCGTTTTTCAAATTGCCCGGACCCGTACCTGTCGAGTATAGACCACGACTCCTCCGCTCCGAGAAACTAGGGTAAACCTAGACGCGTCCGCCGCTCGGGAGGCGTGGTCTAAACGTGACAGGACCCGTAGTACTAGTACTAGCATGCTGGCCAGTGATACGGCGCGCAATGCCCTCCAAGTTGTTGCGAATCTCGCGAGTCGGAGACAATCCAATACACGTTGTTTGAATGTAAGGCCTTCGAGGACGCCACGAAGACTCAGTAACCTTCCGCGAAACCCGAAATCGGTGGTTTATAAGAATCAAAAAGTCTTAAACCCGAACCATCACCCCCCACGCCGGATTTAGCACCCTTGCGGAGCAGCCCCCCGCAGGGGAAAAGGTGTGAACTCCTCCAGGGTTAGCTGCCCTCAGGGCAGCTGACCCTGGAGGAGTTTATACCTTTTTGCATAATTTATAAATAAACTGCCTGCTTCTGGCAACGGGGCGGCCCATGGGCCAGTGTGCCTGGTGACAGTGACCTCAGGCTGACTTCTACCCTTCGGGGTAGAACAAACTCGCCGCTAATCTGCGTGCACGAGGGCGTGGGTGTGGACCGGGCACCGTTTCGATGAATTGTTGTCCGGTAGTCAGCTAGTCTCGAGACCACCTCAAAACGCCCGAGCCAGGCACCGTCGCAACGTTCGTGGGCCACTAAATCGTTTGCTATCTGACCAAACTCATCTGGCATCCTCTCTAGTCTATCTGGGACCCAAATAAATAAACAAGTAAATAAATACTCCTGGGACGGGCACACCGCAAGTGCCCCGCGTGGCTGTTGCCAGCAGCGATATCTGTCTGTCTTTTATGACGCATAGTTCGTGGTGATGGCCATGGCAGCCTTTCAGGTTTTGTTTTTTCCATGCATTCCTAGTGTTTCTGCGCCCTGATGGTGCTCTTGGAAGAATCAAACTCAATTAGGATGCGTTGCGTGTCCTTTGCAATTGCCATAATATAGCTTTGAGCTGCATCACACGGCTTGAAGTCTCGTGTGGGTACGAGAGAAATGGCATGACATTTTGAAAACTCAATGAAAGGAATGATTATCATCTGGCAAGGCTTACCGATCAGCTTTGGCTCCATTCTGTTGGCATGTGCTATGGCATCGAGCAAATTTCCCAAGAGCATGTCGGTCGTATATGGGTATATTGTGCTCATCACGCTAGGTTGACCCCAAATACCATAAAGAAACATTTTGGAGCCTGGTTTGACGCTCAAAATGGCACGAAGCTTTCGCTCCTCATCCATTTGCCAGAATTCGCAAGCAAGCGCAAATATAATGTTTGAGAAGATAGCACGCAGGGACATATTCAATATCGCAGCTGGAGACCGGAAAGGCTTGATATGCAACGAAGCCAGAGAATCACACTTTCTTCGCAGGTCAATGGCTCGCCCCACGATGGCGCCTAGCCCCATGAGGAATTCCAAGACTCCGTCCTCAAGATGCTCCTTAGGTCCCTTGCAAACTTTACTGACAAATTCAAATGTGTCAGTAGCTAGCACACCCAATCTACTTCTATGGTGTTTCAGTGGGACACAAAGGTATGGCAATCCATAATTTTGTTGATTGAAAACATGAACGTGCTCAGTGCTCAAGCCAACGACAATGTCTTTGTTGGTTGCAGGTTCCAGGCAGTTAAAGCTGACCCCCTGACCTCGCAGTAACCTTTTTCCGTACATGTTGCTTTGAGTATTAGACGCCACGCATCTTAGTTCGTCTCCACCAGGTTGAAGTAATGACAAATATACACAACAGCCAGGCAAGCACTGGCTTGAAATATGCAGCACATCATTGAAAAGCTCAGGCAGTGAGATACTGGCCCACTGTTTGCAAACAGCCAACGTTCGATTGAACCCATGAGCTCGAGCACAGCTGCGAAGTTCTCTGTGACGCAAATGCCTTATGTTAGCTTCCAGCAACTTTGTAACATCATCAATGAACGAGATATGCTCTCTGCCTAAAGCGCCTGGAGCACAGGCTACGACAACAGCAAAGCAGGTTCCGCCAGCTGGTCCAACAATGCGCTCACCTATTCTAATTGCAAAATCACTGAATGGTACAACATGCGAAGTCTTCGCGTTGGATCTGGCCTCTGCTCTGAAATGAGCATCAGGAGCTATCGCAACAGTTCGAAACTCCAGTATGCCGTTGACCAGGCGGGCCACAGATGCTGCTGGGTATGATATCAGGTTGCGATTTAGCTTGGAAACATCATTTCTCGTTTGCCCAAAGCGCAGCAGAATAACAATATATTCTTGTTCGAATTGTGACGGTGAGTCCACCTGGTCTGGTGTTTTACACATATTCGTCAGGCGGAGCCGCAATTCAGACAAGTTGCGGGGCAAATATATCAAGGACGAGCCAGAAACGATAGCGGACCCAATGACCTGATGAGACTTGTAGCATGTAGTAGACCTCAATTCGACTCGCATTGTGCAGGGTGTGGGATAGATAATACGGGATAGAGATATATTTAAGTTGTTCCATTCTGGGCACATTGTATGAGGCGAGGTTTGTGTCCTGCCATATTCAGAGCCATCTTCCGCACAGAAAACGCAAATATATTGCCCAGGCTGAGGTAGCATACTCTCAGCAGAAGCACGTATTAAGTGCAGGTGCGGACGCTCTTGATATAGTGAAGTGGATATGGCGGGTACCGTGGAGGGACCAAACGCCGTGCTATTTTGAAGGGTCAGATCGAATAGGAGTTTTAGCGAGGGTGATAGCGGCTGATAGCACGTATCAACAAGCGGATATGCTCGTGAGCAGTCGGATAAATGAAGGTAGTAGCTGCCACTCAGCTCCGCAGACCCAATCAAACGAGCGACCTTGAGAGGGTTTAATATACTCGGCTCAGACTCCACCTTCCAAATTTCAACCCGGAGACAACATGACAACCAATTCACTCTAAGCGGGATCGAGAAAAGCTCTGACTTAAAGCATGATGGATTTTGTTCTTTTGTATAAGTTCGCCCGGTCTCAACATTATTGAGATACATAATACCCACTAGAGGGGTAACTAGCTCATAGGGACCTTGAATGCTGAGCAAGCGAAGCAGCAGCGTGATAGCGGTGAATGAAACATCGCATTTCCCACTGCTATATATTTTATTACCTTCGAATGACCACGAGCGCATTTGCAATACTGACAGGCGACACGGGAAACTCAGTTGACGGTAAATGGCGCCTAGAGCTCTCAGGTATATGTCCCTTGTAGACACCTGGTGTTTGCCGTGACAATGCTCCATCTGTCGGAGTGCAGACAACTCGGATGCTTTGCATTGCATATCAATAGTGGACCCAAGGATCGTAGCGGCTGATTCACAGAAATCGAAGTCACCTGAGCTTAAGGCAACCGACTGCAGCCCCGCATCCAAAACAAGAATGCCACGTGTAGTCACTGGTGCACATATCCAAGGCCAAAACTTTGTACCTCTTGACTTTGAGTAATGCAGCTTGTGCGCTGCCTCGCCCAGTTCCTCAAAAACAATGGGTTGCTTGGTGATTAGACATTGAACCATAAGATGCTTTGATCTGCGCTTGATTAATAAGGTATTTGCGCTTGGTCCCGCCTTCAGAGGCTTAGTTGAAGACCACACAATACGAAGCGGACCATCGTCTGGTAGCACATAGGCAATAAATACATTCAGCCGATTAACTGTTTCTGAAATGTGTGTGCCGGCAATCTGTAAGCTTCGTGACAGCTCAGCAGGTTTATGCTTGATCAGTGCTTCCAGTGCCCGGAGAGTCTTGATTCTCAATAAAGCCGATTGCTCCAAGGTAGATATTTGGGCCAATGGTACTTTGGCAAGTTCACTAAGCTTCATACAAAATGCCATGTCCTCGCGGGTAATTGCTGTGTATTTTGACCTAGAGATAACGAGTTGGCTTAAATGTCAAACTGACGGACTCTACTTTGTACGAGAGAAAAATAAAACTCCTGGAACTGACTACTGCTGAGTTGCGACTATTGAGCACCTTCTTGGTTTCATCAAAAACGGTCAAAAATACAGTATATACTGCATCTGACTCGATGAGTAGAGACGAATCGAGCAGACTCAGATTAGTTGATATCTCCATGCAGCGTATAATAAGACTTGTCATATTTGAGTTTTTGCTCACCGGCAAAAAACGAGCATTTGAGTATAAGTCTACTAAATTGTAAAGCAAAAGAGACTTCGCAAGCATTGCACACTCGTTTAGTAGCCAAATCATTTTCTTTTTGATCTCCTTGCTCGAAAGCGACACACTATTCTTAGTGAACGATCGCATGTACCGCAGCGCACCACCACGAACTTTATCGTCCATCGCCATTCCTAAACTAATGCCAGCAGTTTGTAAGAACCCAATGATGTTCAATTCATCAAAATTAGGTTCGGGGCTTGAAATTGCCCAGGAGCTGAAGTAGATAATACCTCGCATGCAGCCTAAAGGTACCAAAAGATATGGCCAGCAGTGTATGTCGTCGTGCGCCGTCGTTTTGACCTCGCACCGGCACTGTGGAAAACCCCTAAATTGCCTCGCAGGTATGGGCTTGAGTCGCGCAATCGGGACACCAGCTTCACGCACGGGCCTTCCCATCCAATCTTTAAGATCATAAGTCACATCATATGTGAGATGCCCTCGATTTAAATGTATGACAGCCAAATACCACAACTTCCCATACTGGACCTGCACTCTTGTCCCAGGCAGGTACTCCTTTCGCTGAATTTTAACAGGATTCGAAACCGTCAAACTAGCACATATTGCAGGAGGAACACAATCGAATTCTAGGCTTTTGTTCCGACGATACTCAACATTACCCATGATGGTTACACGATCACCACCAAGTTCCAAGTATCCAAGTTGAACAGATGATTGAGGAAAACATTGACTCACACGAGTGCGGAGTGCCGGTATGAGCTCACGCACTGTAGTCCCATGATCTAGGCACATTGAACCAATACGTTGCAATGCAAGCTTGCGCATTTGTGCTCGAGCCTCGCGCAAACTCATCCATTCGTGTGCACTTGTAAGAGCAGAACCCATTTTGTGAATGAAAATGAGATCATTGGCGTCCAAATTGTGAAATGCGCATAATGTCACCAATAGAAGACCCTTTTTCTCTTTTTTTGGTTGATAGCAAGCAAATGGAGTAACCATAGTATGATTAACAAAGGGCATCGGAAAGGTCAAAGCGCCCTTGATTTTGTCCCAAAACAAATATCGCTTATGTGCTGGTATCTCCAATAAACGCCTTGTAGTTGACATTGTGCAAAAGGCAAAGTTATGCCCCATCCGAGCAATTACACTCAGTTGTTGGTGAGCATCATATTCCCAAATTTCTGCAGCTTCTGCATGGACTATGCAACACATCATTGATGCAAGACTGTTGTGGAAGAGATCTGTGATGGTGATATTTGGCACGTAAGGAACCTGCTTGATGTCGCTGGCATGCACTCTTAGTCGAAGCCTAAGCCCAAACAAACTATTACACTCGATTGGCCGCAAAAATCAACCTTATCAATTGTTCTCCAATAACCTTGCCAGTGTACTCAACAAAACCTAGAAGAGCAGCATCACACGGCACACCGATGCCGAAGAGTGCTGGCGTCGAGCGGAGCCTTTCCTTTATTGTTCGAAAAGGTATATTATGCTCGCACAACCCATCTTCCCAGCAGAGACCATAAACAGAGCCAAGGTGCCCACGTCGTTCAATGCTGGAAATTTGACCGTGGATAACACGGGCAGCTATGCGAGTGCTAGGATTAACCATGCTTTGCTTTTCCATTCTCCAGAATGGAACGCGCCTGCATGCCTCATCGTTGTTTTCCAAAAAGGGAGCAAGTCTCTCATGAAAATCTACTGGGTTGGCATTCCCAGCCAGAATATCGGTATCGATACTCAAACTGTCAACTGATAGTACACCAATTGGCCGCCCAAACTCTGCACGCAATGGCGTGCAAACACAAGGAAAAATATCGCGCGAATTTTTCGAAACATGCACGCCAAGGCGCTTCGCCATGTAAAGATTTGGAACTACGATAGTTTTGTTTTCATCAATGCATTTGAAGGCCATGCCTTGTCCGGCTTTGATACTACACCCCCCTATGCGACCATGTTGACTAGCTGCGACATAAGATATTGATTGTGCTCCTGGATTGAGCAAGCCGGCAGACGCACAACATCCCGCACCGCCGGAGCCGTAACCGAGACACCTTTCCATTTCTGTAATGGCAGAATTGAGCAGTGCATGCTCATCGGAGCGCATCTCGTCGCACCACCACATGCACGCTCGCGCTATTCGTGGAGCGGCGTTTCTAAGGGCAATAGCGAAAGAGCGACATTGCTCTAACATGATGGAGTAGAGAGCCGTATGCGGGTTCGATAGCCGAGGCGCTTTTTGGGCATGAACAAGAAGTCCTGCGTTTTCGACTGAGTTTGTCTGATGTGCTTTGGACAGCCGCCTAGCATGACGCAAGCGTATTTCCTCCACAGACATGCGTGCTTAGTATTACACACAGTACCTACCGTACCGTAGGTAGGTACCGTAGGTACCGTGGTACTGGTACCATGGTACGGTATTCAATGATGTTAGTACATAATGCATGTATACGGTACCGTACCGTAGGTACCGCAGGTACAGGTACAGCTTTATGTACCACACGACCGACGCGATTGATATTTCGCGTCTCGACTCATGCCGCGGAGCAGCATGCCCGCGGTGGCGACGGAAGGATCCGACTCGGACTCGGCGGCCGCCCGGGAGTCCGAGTCTACACCAGTGCCGGACTCGGGAGTAGTAACGACTCCCCCTTGATCAGGATTGGTAGCGTCCGGACCGATTTCGGCTGTCAAAATGCAATAGTATCCCCCTCAGCCTCATGATCAAGGCCCGGGGGGTCAGTCTAGTATCGGCGTTGTGGCGTTTGGGGGGCGTAGATGGCGTTGTGGTGAGTGACACTTGTCCTAGATGTCCATGTAGACTTAAAGAATGAGCTAGTTGGCGCGTACTGCTCCGAGCGTCGCGTCGGCGCTGCGCATCATACCCGCACTTGCCAAGATGCTGATTTGCATCGGAGGGTCGTCCTGTGCCCGCAGTAACAGCGCGCGGCGATGCCCGTACATGCAGCGCATTTTTAGGCAATTTCAAAGCCCAGACTCTTGATTGAGGTAGATTCGACGGGTAACCTTGGATACGACTCATGTTTGGTAAGACACGATTCGAAACGGTGGCCGGGACTTGGGAAGCAGTCCGAGCCCCGGGCCGGCACGCCCCGATTGCTGGACCTAAAAGTATCTCATACGCCGCGCCCGGGCCCCGATTGCCTGGCCCCCCTTCATTCCTAGGAGCATCCTTAGGTCGATACTGTTTGTTGATTACCTACGGTACCGTAGGTACGGTACGGTACCGTAAGTACCGCAGGTACCTACGGTACCGCAGTCCGAATAATTACTGTATAATGGGATAGTCGTTAGAAAGCTTTTAGAAGGATGTCATCGGGGGCCATAGATGAGTACAAAGACGATTTCGAGGACTACGAAGATGACGTTGATGACGCTGTGGAATTTCAGTCGAGAGCACCCAGGCTGGTTTCAACACTTGAGGAAAGCTTCACAGCTATCCACGAAAACTCTGACCTGTTAAGTCGGACGGGAAAGGCCGAAGTAGCAATTGCTAGAGAAGTAGCAATGGACGACAGGAGGGCAAAGCAGACGGAATCCAAGGCTTTGGCAGATGTGAAACAGCCAAAGTACTTAACTGCAAATCCGAGAAACCTCATTGGTTGGTTTGACCCAGCCGTCCACCGCGCACGAGGGCTCCAGGGCCATTTGGCCTTGGTGTCTGAGCGCTTTATTGCATTTGATCAGCTCCCTCAAACAGAATATCAGCTCTACCGACCTCGACTCTGCAGCGCAAAAAAGCGTATGAAGGAGTAAGTGTCTTTACAACCTGAGGCACCAAGTTATTTAACCATTCTTGCAGGCGTGCAGTAGGTACAGCAGACGAGTTAATCAGCACAGGAATGCAGGCTGATACTATTTGGACTAGAGACGCAGAAATGCAGTTCGCAAATGGGATTGATGACACTGACTTCGAAAATCTCATTGCAAAAAGCCTGCAAGGGAAGGTCTGCAATCGCAAAGGTGGGCAGCTAGCGACATGGTCCGGTGCTAAAACTAGTACCTATGTAAAACACGAGCTGCTTTTGAGGTTTTTGCACCGAGTATCTGCGACTTGTATGGCATTGATTCGGCCACACACTGAAGAACCACATGATGCCACTGTTGAACACAATGCGATACGGAGCCAGCCTAGTAATCCTCCACTTCATGAAGCAGGTCCGTGGGCCAAATTGTGCAAGTCCCCAAAGCCGGAACCGGTGCCTTGTCCCGAGAGGATGTTGGTTTGCTTCACCAGCAGGAAATGTAGGTCAGTAACTAAATTGATTTTTTCGCGTACCCACACTTCCATATTCATCGCACTATTACAAGAACCGCTCCGTCCAAATTACTTTCATCCGAGTAAATCTGCTCCTCTCTTGGATGACAAGAACAGTGTCCAAGCTACAATTTGGGATGTGAGGCACCCTGACACTCCTGTTGCACTTCTATGTGAAGAGTCAGTCTTGACCTGTGCTTGCTTTGCGCCAAGCGGTACGCTGTGTGTAGTGGCAGGTAGTGCGACAGGTTTAATAATCCTATGGGATTTGTCTATGGTTGTTACGTCAAGGCCCGGGCACCCAGAAGAACCTTTTATGATGGGAGGCGTGATTTCAAATCCGCAAGAGACTGTTCATGAATCCACCATTCTCGAGCTATGCCCTATGCTGAGCTCATGCACATCACCAATACATGATAAATGCTTAACATTCCAGCTGCTCAGTGTTGATGATTGTGGACTTCTTGCTATTTGGCTTGTGGTCGATTCACCACTAAATATTGAAGGTGTCGTTGCACACACGATAGATACAATGAATGCCACAGCCCCTGGGCGAGATCCACGTCTTATCTGTTTGCGTTCTTTTACGGTCTGGTCATCAGTGCCAACAACCCTTGGAGGATCTTTTGGGCAGTCCCCGGCCAGACAACGCACGGAGTCCCATCTGAAAATATCTAAAGACAATGAGTTCGGCCCTCTCTCACCTTGCATATCAGCCTTCGCTACTCTGCCGGCTAGGTCCGACGAGTATCTTGTTAGTCTAAGCGAAACAGTTATTGCCCCTCCCCCGTATCGCACGGTTGTGTAGGTTGGTCTCAGTAACGGCCATCTAGTCAAGTGCTCACTTCTGGGTATGACAACAGAGCCTCGAATACTATTTCCTTCGACAACTTCAATGAAGAAAGTTGCAAAAGCATATCAAGCATCGCCACAGTCTACCTTACCTGACGGTTTCTCTGGCACACGTGCGGTCTGCCTCGACTTTTCTCCATTTTTCAAAGAACTTTGCATTGTTGGCCAGCTGGATGGTGGCTGCCGAGTACACCACATCAACCTTGCTACGCCACTTATTACATGGCCTTACTATGTTTTCTCTAGATGCACAGCACTGAATGCAACATGCGTCAGCGACCTTAAATGGTCACCGAATGTCCCAAATATTTTTTTTGTTCTACATGCCAACGGTGATCTACATGCTTTCGATCTCAATAGAGATGATTCCGCGCCCGTATACTCGTGTGCACTTTCTGCAGAAGTTGGCTTCTCAGAGAGCAGCCCCCCACTAACAAAAATGGCCATATCCCGTGGGCTATCAAACGCCACTGAATTAGTTTTTATTTCATTCGGGGAAACAATTTTCAAGCGTGCCATGCCTACTGCCAGTGAATTTAAGGAGAGAGACCTCGGAGAATTTCTCGATAGGTTGATTACACTGGCTGGCTCGCGATCTGATTAGCGTTTGCATTATTGCGACAGGATCCTAATTGCGCGCATGTGGGGCAGCTGTATTCAGTAGCGCAGCTGTATTCAACATGAAGCAAACCGCCGTGTGTCCAAAGGCACGTATCCTCGTCTCATCTGGTCCTAGTGGCTTTATCTTAGTATATACTCTCGCTCTATTCCACTGCGTCGCACCCGCCCCCGCGGCCGCATGTCCGATCGGATGAGACTACTTGTCCCACTGATCCTACTTGGTCTTGCGCTAGTTCCGCGTCACTGGCATGCTTAAAGCCAAGCGCGCCGCGTTGAGAGGTAGCCGTCTCGGCGGTCTGCCAGTGCGAGTTCCCCAAAGCTACTGCTCTGCGCGTGGCGCACTGCGCATGACTAGCCTGCGAGGGTGCCGGTGCAATTAATAAGGGGGAGAGCCGACCCCACCTCAGTTGGGCGAACTAGAATTTTTACTAGTATACTAGTATACTGTGTATACTTATTCGCTCGCGATCGCCGACACACAAAATATGGCCCCCGCCAAGAAGTCAAAGAAGTCGGCGAACTTCCGCGTCTCATTCTGTCCGGACCGATGTAACAATAAGCAATTAGGTAGAGAATTTGAACTCCAGGCTGCAGCTCGTAATGAAGAGTGGCAAGGTCGCACTAGGCTATAAAACATCCCTCAAGACTCTCCGCTCGAATAAGTCAAAACTTGTGCTTATCGCTAACAACACGCCACCGCTCCGCAAGAGCGAGGTTGAATATTATGCAATGCTTTCAAAATGCCAGGTGATACATTACAATGGGTCGAATGTTGACCTTGGAACTGCCTGTGGCAAATACTTCCGTGTGTCTATGCTAACCGTGATCGATGCCGGTGATAGCGATCTACCGCGCAGTTTCGCTATATTGTTGGTTTGAACTAAACTTGTGTGGTAGGCGATATCATTCGAAACACTGCGGATGCCTCGTGAACGAGCTAAACTTTCCGCCGGCGCATGATTATCGCGGAGAGCAAATTCCCAACTAGCAAAATCCCAAATGACTAGTCACCCATTTTGCTGCTCAGCTCTCCAGGTCCAGGGTAGGAATCGAGATCTGAACCTTACTTCACAGCGGCCTGACCAGTGACACCGAAACCAAAGTCCTGCAATCCAACTCTTCTCTTAAGTACAACGAAAATTAATTCCTTCGTACCCGACTAGAGAACCAGTCATCCAATGATCTAGTGCGGGCCGAGTCGGACACGGGCACAAGGTGGTAAAATATGCCAGTGGTCCTGGCCCACCCGGTCCGAAACTATGTCTTCGTGGTGTCCTTTGGTTCTTCTAAACGAAACATTCCTACCCTTCATTGAGCCTATATAGATATGGGACGATAGGGAATAGTTTTTCGTAATCATGATTAGTACGGGTCACATGTACAGGACGACTTTCGGTTTGGGGCGGGTTTTATTTCGGACCATCCCCGGCCCGGGCGTCGCAGCTGCACCAAACTTTGCACAGCCCATCGTACGGAACCTGCGCCTCAGTAAAAATTCCGGCGGCACGTGGCTGTACGCAGATTGAGCCCAATACAATCAAAGGTGACAAAAGACTCCCTGTGGTCGGCGTCGCCAGCCTCTAAGTCCATTCAACTTGCGCGGCGCGGTCATTCCATCGTCCTGGCGATGATTTCTTTTGAGCGGCGTCCAACTGGCTCGCCATCATGATCGACATCACCCAATATGTTCTCCCGACCGCCCGCTGGTTGACATGTGGCAACGGACAGCTTAAGTCCCAGGTCAACGTCAAGTTGATCTAAAGGTAGTCATAGGTAGCCACGGACCCCCTCCCATTCCCCCTCCGACCTCCAAACTTACTCCTACCTCTCAGGCTGCTGGGTTCTTCCGGATGCTTGGGAACGTTCGGCCTAGCCAACACCGGAAAATCCCTTTGAGTCCTGTATAGATATGGAACGCTCGGAAATAATTTTCAAGTTTCCGTCACGGTAATTATGGTTCAATTTATACGTCTCAGGGGCGATTTTTGGGCGGGTTTTATCTCGGACCATCGCACCGCGTCGCAGCTGCTTTCTCAGCGCGAGGCTGCCCGCATGGTGCCAATTTTTGCACAGCCCATTATTTTAGCATACGGAACTTGCCTCAGTAAAAATTTCCAGCCATTCGGCCGGCGCGTGGTTGTACGCGCATTGCGCCAAAAATCAAATCAACGTCGACTATTGCGCTTGACCCCCCTATAAATTTCGAAGACTCCACGCAGTATTAAGATCATCATGATTCGCAGGGTAGGACTCGGACTCGGACTCGGACTCATGGAGGATGCGTCCTAATCTTAGAAGAAAGAAATACCCCGGGTGGCGCCCTATGAATACATATGCCAGTGGGAATGTCTCCGGCTAACTTCTTAGGGACCAAGTCACGCCGGCGGTATTTATTTCTATTTATTTATTTGCCAAGGTGTTTTCCTGGGCGGTTGCATCAGCTCACTGGCAGACGCCACCTCTTCCTTCGTTCGTTTATATTGAAATCAATCAGCCTCCGTATGATACCTAAATAAATGAATGCTTCAATAAACTTCAACTCGCCATTGCCCAGCCTTCTTGAGCTTGGCTATGAACTCATCATAATCAATATTCTTCTTGGCACAGACACCACGGAGCATGTCTTGGATACCGGGCATCATACCCTTGAGACCACAGAAGTACATGACTGCGCCATTCTCTAGACGCTTGAAAATATCATCAGCATATTCCTCTACCTTGTCCTGAATATACATTTTGCCTCCTTTGGAGTTGCTCTGCTCCCTTGAGAGGGCATAGTCAAGTTTGAAGTTATCCGGGTGCTTGGCAAGAACTGCCTGCCATTCCTCGTCATAGAGAAGGGCATCTGAGTTGGCAACTCCAAGAAAGAGCCACGCAGTGCCTTGGTATGCTTCACCGGCAGGAGTAGTCTCGGTGAAAAGGCGACGGATAAATCCACGGTACGGGGCAATGCCAGTGCCAGTGGCAACCATGATGTAATCTGTCTTAGAATTTTCCTCGGGCATGAGCATGACCTTGCCAGATGGACCGGTCATCTTGCAGTCGTCTCCAGGTTTACTATCGCACAGATAGTTGGAACATACACCTTTTTTGGCCGGATCCTCCTTGCCCATTTCAGGGTCCCAGTAAGTCGCGCGGCGGACACACAGCGAAGAGGTCTGACCAGACATGTCATCACCGTACCGTGACGATGCAATTGAATACAGTCGAACCGTGTGCGGCTTGCCATTTTTGGGATTAGTACCTGGTGGGAGCACGCCATACGACTGGCCCTCCCAGTACGGCATCTCTCCTTTGTGATCAAAGATGATATGACACCTGCGACGATTAAGGTTTCGCTGATGACTTTGATTTTGTTAGTTGGATTGCGCGGAAAAGTACGTCTCACCGGTCGCCTCGGGCCCAACAATGCGCTTGCAGGAAACTACCTTTGCAGTGTAAGGGGATTTGTTCTTCCAGGTATTAACCGGAACCGTGGCCTGATCCCAATAGGGCGAGGCTTCGAGGAAGTCCTGCTTCTTGCCGGAAGGTGACTCGGTCAAAATCTGACTCTTTGTCGAGGCCGCTGGACCGCCCATGTTACCACCAGCCGTCGGATTCATGTAGTCCATTGAGACACGCGCAGGCGCTAAACGGCGTGCTCGCATCGGCAGCAAGGCATTGCCAGGTGCGAGGATCGCGAGAGAGAGCGTCAAAGTGCCCATTTTTACACAATCCTTAAGCGAGTGTGACGTGCGAGGGACCTAGAGCTCACTCAACTAGCCTAATGCTCCGCGCAGCACGGCTCCGAGGGCTCGCGCGCTGTTTTCGTTTTTTCCGGCAAAAATCGAGATTGCGACTCACTGCCGTCCTCGTGAGCGCGCATATACGTTCGTTGGCCGCCACCGGCATGCCAGTGGCGTGCGTCGGGGGCGTGCGTGCGGCGCGTCGGACACCCACCGGTCCTACTAGACGAGGAACGCTGCGAGCCGACGCTCTTGCCGAGGGAGCGCCGGAACGAATCACAGATGCACGACCAAACTCCCGGCGCGTGTGTACCTCGTGAACGCGGCTAGTCGGTATCGGCTTTTTTTTGGGGAGAGCGCACTGGCAAAGTGACGATTTCCCTCTCCGCGGCCCGGGCCCCTCACTCCTGGAATTGCGTTGGAATTGCGCCGGCACAGAGACCTTCAAGCGGCCTCGGTCGAAACCTTCGAGGGGCTCGGTTCAACAAATGGGAACCATGCATACTGCTCGCTTCGCACTCGCCGGTCGCCCAAGATGCAATTGGGACGCAACAGTGGCGGCCTCTGATGAAAAATAGTTTGGGGGTGCGCCTAGGCTGGGAGGCGAGATAATGACATCAACTTGAATCATATTCTCCTCTTCGTCGGACTTCTTGTCGCCCGAAATATCAACCGTCGTACCTTGGACACATACATGTCGAAATGGTAACCAACCCGTCGATATGTATGGCATACCACTGTGGCACCAACGCTCGCGGGTTGTTGATAATGGCATGGCCCTATCATACTGAAAAAAGACGCATGCTGAAATGCAAAATTGCTTCAGCAACAGAAAGGGGCATCTCGCGCGGATGCGCGTAGCTTAGTCAACTTAGTGTGCGTATACGCACAACGGTGATCTTAGGGTCTTGGTCTCGCGAGAGATTGTTTCGGGTTCGTGGCGTGTCGGGTTTAGGTTCACTTAGAACTCGAGTCTGCTCCGTTTATTACCGCAGCAACCGGATTTTGGAAATGGACGAGAGCCGACTGTGGAAGTGTGCACCTTTATTTACATGCGAATCGGAGTCACTGGAACTTCGATAGATTTAGAGTCTATATTGTCATCATGCACGTGGTGATTAAGCAGCATAGATACATCCTGGTGTAAAGACGCGTGGTATTTAATAATGATCTATGCGCCACAAAAGCGCAAATCGGCGAATGTGATTCGAGCACCCGTTGCACAAACCCCTACAAGCCAATCGAACCACTTGCAAGGTCAAAGAAGAGTGAATTGGTATCGACCAAACCACGAGGAGTTGGCCGGCAGTCACTGCCTTTGTTTGAGCCGCGGCTCAGCAAAGCGCATTTTGCGGTCTCTACTAAGGCAATAACTAGTACAATTTTGATACGCGCGTGGACTTTATACGAACGAAGGCCCCGTGCGTCGCACCTAAGGGCAGCTAGGCCCCAAGCGCCCACAGCTGGCTCTATATCCAGGCAGGCTCCTGTCGCTGCGCACTTCGATGGCGAGCCGGATGTATCTTTGACTCGAATTAGGTCCGAAGGAACTTGCTGGTAATATATCGAGGCTTTTTTTTGTCTTTCCTCATTAACTCAGTTATCGAGGACGTTGGCAAATGACGCAAGCTCGAGCTCCACTGGCGTCTGATGGAGACCACGAGCCATCAAGTAAACTGCCATCGCTGACGCGTGAGAACTATATTCGTCATATCGTTTTCAACAGGCGAATGGCGAATGTATATCGAGCCATTGACCAGCCAGGCCAGGTGCGCAAAAGCAAACCGCCGGTTCGATCGAGCCTGCAGCTCCTCCGTTGGCCTCAATTCATTGCCCAACGGCACTCCGACGTGAACCAGCCCGTTTATATTCGTAAAGCACGAAAGAAGGACGGTCAAATTAATGCGCCATCGTGTGACCGTCTTGCGACGCAAGACGATCCTACGGTCTCGGTGTTTCCTAGTGATGGTGATGGGGCTAACTCTAAGAGTTTTGGGGCTGTGAGCATGCAACTGTCCACGGGTAGCCGCAGAGCGTTCTACGACATCCAACTTCGCGAGGCCTTAGAGCAACCGAAGTCGCGGCGGAGAGGGATTATTACCGAATGTCGAGGCTGCACACTTCCGGCCGCGATGGCCCCTGCTCGTTGCACCCCCGTGGCCCGAGTCCGGGTCAACTCGCAAATGATGATTTGTTTGTTAGCCTGAGCTTGCAATGCAGCTATTGGTAAAACCGGCACTTAGGCTCTGTATTGTAACTTCCAGTTGAATGAACTCCAATAAAGTCGGGCGGCAAACTAGTAAAGGACAACATAAATCGTGACGCCAACGCAATTTTAGCGCGTCTTCTACTTGAAGAGATTACGCGAGGGAATGCACGCTCCTGCGGGCATGGTCGGTGCTCGAGCGCCCGCAAGACTCTGATTTTCAAGATAACTCTGCTTTTTAGCGGGTTTACGCAGCGGCGCCCCCTCTACGCACGTCGATAGATGACTTCTACGCACGCTAAAGATAGGTAGGCCCGCGCTTATTGAGCTCGCGGGTTTCTACGTCGATAGCGTACTCTACGCACGAGATTTCGCGGCTGCTATGAGCGCCGAGGCTGCGGTTGCGTATCTAGTTCCCGTGTTAGCGTCGTGTGGATACCGATATATCCACAAATCGACGACTTTCGGGACTGAGGAAAACACGGCGCCGCAACGGGTGTGTACTGCGGTAACTGTTTGTCCGATAAAAAACAGTAGCAATTAAAATTTATTACAGAGATTGCAGAGCAGTCGCGATCCTGTGTGTGGCCCTTATTTAGCTATTGCATTCACTGGCAAGTTACCTTTACCACCACTAACCAGGCGACTACCGGTTGCGTGGAAGGGGCGCGGTTCCCGCGCTGATGCTTTTGATATGCGACCAAAGAGGGATTTTCTCGTTACCCAAGCACGATATCATCACTTACGGGCGGGCCGCACGCGCCTACCAGACTACTAACTACTAGTACAGTATACTAGTATACAACATGGACGCCGGTGGTAATCGCAATGAACTTGAACATCCCTCCTTTCCCGCTCCCGCCCAAATTCCGCTTGCGGCTCCATCGCGGCAGGGTTTAAGTTAGACATGGGCCACTATCGCCGTAGCGCCGCAGCTCTGGTTGCCGCACAGGCCGGCAAGCTCCTTCGACTCGGACTCGCGGCGATGATTGATTGCACTTGTCCTCCTTAATACCTAAACGTCATCCATTCATGTCGTTTGGTACAAAGAGGACCCCTAATTAGTCTCTCGCGACGTCAAAACGGTCATGATGGTCGCTGCGGCCCGAATGGGGGAGCAAGCCTTCTGTCGATGTATCTTGGCGCTAGGTGCGGCTTTCGCATTAGTAATGCTTTTCTTATGCTTAAATTAAAAAGCAGACTCTCGGAGTACTAGGCGCTTCCGAGTCGAGCAGCCTTCACTCAGAGGTCCGGCGGGCTTGGTGCGCGCGGTGCCAGCCGTTATTTGGTCTTGGTAAGGCCGGGGTTACACCTAGTGCTTATATTATAAACAAGGATTCACCTATGACCTCAGTCGCCAATACCGTTGCCATGACCACCTTGGCTCTATACACATTGCAGCCTCATACTAGCTTCAGCGCACGTCAAGCTCTCCGGCGGCGTTCTCAGCCTAAACGCGGTCGTTTGCAGTGCGGATTGGCGTGGCAGGGCGGCCTACCATCCCCTCCGACGAGCGCCGCCAGCGGCAGCCGGGCGCGGCCGCGTTCACGAGCTTGTGCCACTTGAGTTTTGCTCTCCCTGACTTCGATGCTCTGCGAAATTGCACGATCGGCCGATTGGCACAGCTCAGCGAGCACCGAGGCCGCCAAAGGTATCGACCCGGGTGGCGAGACGCGAAGGGCTGCCCCAGCTTGCGATTCGCGCCGCGTGTTGCACCTCGACGACGTCGCGGCGCGAAGGTCCATGGCGTGTCGGCGAGAACTGACGTACCCACGGACGAAATTCGACCTCGGCACATACCATCAGGTTATCGCGACTCGTCAATTAGGCTCCATGGTAATAGAAAAGTGTGTTTTTGCCCTTATACAGTCGCCGCGCGCGGTGGCGTCGTAGGCCGCGCCGGCCGCAAAACCACCGACTCCTCGGCCGCTCCCACGGCCCCAGGGCAGTCTCCTGGTCCGTGTCGATGGCCCCTAGACGCGGGTTTGTGCCTTCGTAGGCTAAGGGTAACAAATGGCTCGCCGGAGTCTGTCCCCAAAAATACCCGTTTAGTAATAATAAGAATTAACATTTTTAGGTCTAGGCGCGCGCCCCCGCAACCCGAATTGACTATAGCTATCTATAACATTTTTAGGGGAAAGTGACAGCATGGAGGGTTTTCCCGAGCACCCAAGCGGTCCGCGCAGTTCCCACGAACCCCGCGGAGGACCGTGCCAACAGGTTTTGGTCGTGGAGCCTGAGCCCGTTTCGCACTCAGGCTTCGCGTATCGGTGGTCGACGCACCTCGTTTGACGCCCGCGTTTACGGTAAAACTTCATCGCACCCCAAAACCCTGTCGGTCAGCCGCTCGTGGGTTCTTGGTGAACGTTATACCGGAAGACGGTCATGGTACGACGTCATGCGGCGACGTACGGAGGGTGTGTGCTGATGGGGCAGTGCCGTTCGGCGCCGCAGGCGCTCGGCAGCCGCTATAAATTGGTCGAGACCTTGCCCGTAGGGGTTGCTCTATCATACTACGAGCGCGCACAAAATGATGGGGCGGAAGGCAGCCAAATCGGCTGAAACAGTATCGAGCTAGTATTACCAAGTAGGAATGTGAACGACTTTTTTTTTTTTTACCAAGTAGGAAGTAGGAATGGATCAAGTAGGAAGTAGGAATGGATCGTAGGAAAAAAAAAAGTCGTTCTGTATATAGTATATGTGCTTGCTTAACGACTTCGCTCTTTGTAACGTGCGCAGGGGGTGTCAAACTGCGAATCATTGCGCCGCAGCATGGTACGATCATGAACATCGCAGATCTACGTGCCAATAACGGCCTCGATGTGGATATATCGGTCTCGGTGCGTACACACGAGGAATATGCAACTGCATTCTACGGGCATGTTCTTTGCCTTTATATCAATGGAACCGCGCACGCTCATATCGGGGTTGTGTCCATGAGCTCCGCACACAGTATTGTAGTGCCATCGACACTATGGCAAGTTGGACAAACTTGGATACACGCAGGGCTGTATTTGCTATTTTGCCCCGGGGGCGGCGCGGTTTCGGATCGTCCATTTTATTCTAAGAAACATATATTAGGTGCAATAATACAAACGACAATGATGCGAGCTCCGGTCCCGTCTATGCGAGCACTCCTATCTTAGTGAAGGTTCAGAATGTCTATTCGCTTCCGGTAGATATATTATTGCATTGCAGACTGCAATTTAAATACAAACATCTCAAGGTGCTAGAGGAGAATGTTGACGACAAAGTCACCCTGGTTCTACCGCGAGCCCAAGGGTACTTGACTATTTATTCCACAGAGTATTACGCGAATAGGCTAATGATTGATGATGCGCATCGTGCACTTTTGCTTGTTGGAACACTGCAAGCTCACAGTAGCCCTACTCATCAGAGTATCCAAGAGGTACCTTCTAAGGTCTAATCAGTGGCCTATGCCGTTTCATATAGCTGCTTGTTGTCGTGCCGGATACACAAGCTTTTGCTCTAGCTGTACTCGAGGCGTCGCACACTTGTCCACCAACATCCGTCATCAATGAATCTTCATTGTTCAATGGAATTGTCAAGCAGACTTGGCATACATACGCCCTTCAAATGGCGGTGAAACTCCTTGTGGCGCAGAGAGTCACGACAAATTACTATGTAACTGTGGATGCAGATATTCTTCTGGTTGGCACCTTCGATGCAGCCCTATTTTTCCCGGGTGGGAGAGGCACGTGGCATTCAGTGTCAGCATGATTCCGTGTTCATCAATTGACTCTTTGCATTTGTTCCAGCTTCGTGGAAGAGCATCGTGGTGTACATCCGCACTGGTGGCGTGGCTCAGCAGACATTCTTGGCCTAACTGAAGATGACTACCCCAATGCAGCATTTGGCGTCACACCGGCAGTCCTTTCCACTATTGGCTCGGTAATCACAACATCACTTATCCGAGATGTATTTGAAGATGATGACTGGCAGCAGAGATGGCTGGGGTCGTGGAGCAATGGCACATGGTGGAGCGAATATACGCTTTATCGGCTAGCCCTTGATATTAGAGGGCTCTTTGATAATATTCACGTGGCTTCCGAATCAGAAACCTTCTGCAACCCTGTCTGGTACCACGGTGATCTTCCTTGGGATGCAGTGGGTGCTTTCCGCAACAAAAAATGTGTTTTCTCGCTCGTCCAGTCGACAACACAGCTCGCCCCTTCCTTAGTTGCCGCAAGTATTGGCTTCCATGTCCATCATGATCACCCCCATTCTTCAGTCTAGCTTCCTGTTGTTAAAACCAAACGAGTCACCGTAACGGCACCACTAGTATTAGAAGTAATCAAGACTCGGACTCGTGCAAGTACTCATGCCTCCTTTTTTAGGGCCATTTTCGAGTCTCGCCAGGTTCGCACTCACCGGTTATTTACCTATTATTACCCCTTGGGAGGGATATGGGGTTAACCCGGTACTTAATAACCAGACGGGTTTTACAACTAAAAACCCGTTTAGTGAGATTAGAGAAAAAGACTCGTCCGGGCGAGCGGATGGGCGCAAGCAGCCCGTCGGGCCTTGGAGTACGTTCAGGTGCGCCGAGCCAAGTACCGAGGCATGTCGCCGCCAACGGCCCGGCGGGGCCGCCAGGGCCCGCGCCAGTGGCCCATGGGGCCCCCTCCCCTACCCCTCAGGCTCCCGGGCCGAGTCCGAGTCTATAATATAAGATCCTGGGGTTAACACCCGCACTAACCGGCAATTACCCGGGTTAATGACCCCGGGCCGCGCCACGTCCGGAGACTTCCGATGATTCCGTCCAGGTAAGTGGCAACCTACTAGTAGATAGAGCGGCCGGTCGAGTAAAAAGCCTTTTTAGAAGGCCGCCGGGGAGCCCCGGCCCGGGCCCCCTTCTCTTCGAGTCACGGCGGGTTTGATATAAAGAACAGACGCTTAATCTGGTGCTAGTGGAGTGCAGCGATTAAGCCTCCTCAGCGACTTCTAAAGACCCTAGCGAGTCGCCAAGGCCGAGGACCATTTCTTTAGCAGCCTGCTCGCGAGCCAACTTTTCAGCCTCAACGCGGGCCTGCGAGTTGCGAATGAATGTGATGTTGTGTGTAATTTCAAACTGGCTCACGTGGTATTTTGCAGCGGTTTCATCTGCGAGGGCAAATACCTATGTATATGGAGTTGTAGCTTCAGGTACCATCACTTTTTGTCAGAACGCAGTAACATGCGCGCTCAGGGTCGCGGAGCATGTCACCAGGCTCTGGTTCGAGGGTCTTTGTCGAAAGAGCAATCCGACCAGCGGCTTTATCGTGGTCAATCACCATGCATTTGATGGCCATGCCGGCGGCTAGGGTGGCTTCGAGATTCTCAACACGATCATAAGAAATTTGTGATATGTGCAGTAACCCTGACATGCCCATGATTTCAACAAAAGCGCCATAGGGCTTAACCGCTGTGATGATACCGTCGTAAACGTCACCGCGCTTTATTGAAGCCATCGAATGCTCTATTACCGCTCGGCGATTGCTGACGACTAGCTTGTTGGCCGCTTCATTGACTTCTAGGAACTTGAGAGGAATTCGCTTGCCAACCATCGCCTCGGACGCCCCTCCAGTGCCCATTATATGCGAGCCTGGAAGAAAAGCACGCAAGCCTTCTACCAGGACAATTGCACCTCCGCGGTTCACTTGAAATATCTCTGCCTCAAAGACAGGGTCGTCTGCATACTGTTCACTCAGTTTTTGCCATGCTTTTGCATACATGATTTTCTTGATGGAGACTGTGACTTGTCCGTCATCACGCGAATCCGACACGATTTGGAACTCGTACTGCTCACCCACATCGACAAAGCTAGATATTGTTTCCCCATCCCCCAAAGGTGAAATTGTTGCCTCCCGAAGGGGCAAGACTGCTGCTGTTTTAGCTCCAACCTCGACCAGCGCCTTCTGGGGACCATCATACTGCACAACAGTCCCTGTCAAGATGTCTCCATTTTTGAAGGAGTACTCTTGAGCTGTCACCAACGCGCCGAAGTCTGCATAGCTCATATCTGTCTTCGATTGATCGACGCTATTATATCGACCCATGTACTTTGACTTGTATTTATCGAAACGAGTGTACTCTTCATTTTTTACGTCCAAGGTAGTTGGAGTGAGCACTCGATACTTTGTCTCCCAGTTACTGCCTGCTTCTTTGCTTGTAATAGTTTCGGTAAACACCTAAAGTTTGGAATGTAATCTCGCATCACGAGGGCGCGGATAAGGAACGTCATCGTTTGTCGCCACTGAAGCGACAGTCGGCCTGCCATCATGTTATTGTGACTTTGAATACAAGAAAAGGCTGGTGGCCGTACCTTAGGTGCTTGTTGGTGGCTACACCCTGTAGTGCGTTCGTGCCAAGCAGCGGCGCCAACAGCAGACGCAAAGACGGTGCCATCTTCAACTCGTCGAACGTACTAGAATACTAGACCTAAGGCTAAGTCAAGAGATAGCATGGGCTCTTTGGAAGGCGAGCTGCGGATGGAGTTACTTTTCGCTAGCGCGGCCACGACAACTGCAGTGGTAAGCAACGGAAGTACCGCTCGTCTCCAACTTCCAAGTTCCTGCGCAACCGGGGGTCCCGGGCCGGGGAACCTGAGTGGGCTCCGCTATCGAGTCCGCCAATTCACTGGCAACTTGAAGTCGAAGACGAGCGCCCCGGAAAGGTCCTGCCGTGCCAGCGCTGCCAGTGGCTCCGCGTAGGCCGCGGTCCCACAAGAATCTGTATCTGACCGCCGAGGCCTACGCGGGAGCCCAATGGAACCCTCGGGCCAGGCCCGGCCCGGGCCTAGTACCTGATACCGTCCGAAACCAGCCTGAGCAGGCTGCGCGCCGCGAAAACCGCCCCTAAACTTACCCTAGCATCACTCCAAAGTATCCGTAGTACGCGCAAATGACTTGGGGTGTTACCACGGACCTTCCTGTCGCAGCGACGACTGTCCGGGGCAAATGCAAATTTGAGACCGTGACAGGCGAATCAAGACGAAAATACTGGTTGAGTGGACGCGCGTCTCATCCACAACGCAGGAAATCTTCGTTAGATTCCATGATGCGCCTGTCGCCGGATCTCGGCGAGAGGCGCGTATTTTAAAGTGCTGAAAAGGCAGAGTATTCCGCATCTCCAGGCGCTTCGAGTCGAGCAGCCCCAGTCACTGAGCATGCACCTGCGTTTGAGTATACGACACTGCCGAAGCGCGCGGCCATAGCAACTTACACGCGGGCCGGTGCGGGTCTTTACGGATGAACTCGGCCTTTTCTTAAGAATGTCAGATAAGGGGCCAGGCCCGGCCCAGGGGGTGGTCGATGTAAGCCTGAGTTTGAGCGATGTAAGCCTGAGTGCCTAATAAGGTAAGCCTGAAAGAGGCAAAGTTGGACCGCGGTTGCGATGTTGGACGCGTGCGTCGCGCTAGCGCTACTGTCTGTCTACCTGGTGTCCTGCCTCCTACCTGGTGTCCAAGCCAAGATCGCCAACCTCGCGATTATGCCGCCTGGGGCGGCTGAAGACGGTCGCGCAACCGCCAATGAAATTCCACCCAGGGTGGAATCAGCGAAGCCAGTCGCGCGTGAGGCTAAACTACTCTATCGATGCTGATCTACTGTTTGCAGGCCCCAATAAAAGTGAATTTGATGCGAAGATTGTTGCCCTCAACGACGAAGTGCAGGATTTTAATGAGCGCTTGTCAGAAGTCGACGCTAAGATATCTGAGGCCAAGTGCTCCGGAGGAAATCAGTCTGAAGAGCTGAGAGAGGCGCGAGCAACTATGAAGTCTCTTCGTGAACGAAAAGATGCTATCATGCGCGATCGTGCAGAAATTGCTACTCTCCAGAAGTCAGCGAAAGCATCCTTAGATTCGAAAATTACTGTATGTGCCAGGAATCAATTACATTTAAGTTGAAATGACTTAGGCGGGACGGTCACTTCGTGCGGAGCTCAAATATACCTCACCAGAGGACATAGAGAAGAAGATTGCATCCTTAGAGAAGCGACAGGCGACGACATCGATGTCGCTTAAAGACGAGAAAGTGTTGCTAAAGGAAATCGACCAATTAAAGCAGTCCAAGAAATTAGTCTCACATCTCGCTGCGAACAACGACTCAATTTCCTCAGAACGAAAGAGCTCCCAATCGATATCAGAGCATCTATCAGCTAAGAATGCAGAACTCGATGTTCTAAAGAAAAAAATCGAGGAACAAAAACAAATATTGGATTCACTGAATGAGGCCAACTCAGAACGCCGGGCCGTGCTTCCAGCCCTCTTCAAGGACAAGGATGCCTTGAGAAAGGAAAAGCAAGCCAAGGTAGAGACTATCAAGGCCCTTCGCGCTGAATTTCGCACTTTAGAGAATGAGTTTCGCAGGACTCAGCGTGTTGAGCGCCAATTTATCACGTAGTTATTATTGAACTCAGGTGCACACCAGCGCGAGGTCCGACGCGTTAGGAATGAAGCTCGAAAAGCCGAAGATGAAGCTCGCAAGGCAGAGCTAGAGAAACGCCAACAAGAAGCTGAAGCGGAGGAATTGAAGCGGGTGCCCTACGAGGAAGAAATGGAACTTTGTGAGTATCTCTCAAATTACTTAGAGACAACGTATGGAAAACATGTAAACCATGATTCCCAGATCAATTCCGACGAGGCCGACATCTCGCTAGCAGGCGAGTTCGAAGGCCTTGTACTCTCAGGCAAGAATGCAGGGCGTGATCACGAAGATGACTACCTGAGTCTTAATAAAACAACTGGAAAAAAGAAAGGTCGTGGCAAGAAGAAAGGTGGCCTGAAGATAAATGAGAAAATTATGCTAGTACCTGAAACAATTGAGATGTTTGCCTTGCTTGAATTGGAACCACCATCCACAATCAATGGTGTTTCTGACACCGTTAAAAAGTTGCAGGAGAAAAAGACCTGGTTCTGCACATTACCTCGTGGCAAGGTTCCCTCTCTCCGTGATAAGCAGAGAGCTGATGAAGCGAAGCAGAAGACATCCAGGCGTGACCACGGTGATTTTAATGAAAAGAGCAGTGCGCCGACATCCAAGACATCGGTTCGAGGTATCAAGGTCAAAGGTTTTAATGCCGCTGATCTCTCTGCCGTGGACGATGCATTCCCTTCTCTCCCTGGTGCAAACCCTAAAAAGGACACCGGAGCAGCCCAGCAAACCAAGGTGTCTGATTGAGCCGTGCTGCTGCGTCAAGGCCTGGGTATATATTTGGCGTAAGGATCAACCACAACTCATCTCCGGGCCTTGGGAATTTTATCGTCTAACTCGCCAGTATTTCTATGGTCGTGACGAAGCTGAAACCCGCCGACAATAGCTGGTGAGTCCCTGAGGCCGTTTGCATGTTCAGCGGTGCCGGGGTTGCCGGGAGCCGTCGCAGAGGACGACTGTATGTACGAGGCACTCCCAAGTCGGCGCCCCCCCCATTCTCCAGTCCTTTCATATACGGCGATTGGCCGCCTCCCTAGCGAGGTAACGGGGGGACACGTTTGAAGTACTAGTCCGGGTCCTCCTACTTGACGCGTGGGGTTTGGGGGCGCTCTGCGGCTAGCGCGGAGGCGCATTTGTGCCCCCAGCGCGTGTGGAGGTCCTAGGAACTCGTCCGCGCCTGGCGTAAAGAGCGCGCGTCGCCTGGCGTAAAGAGCGCGCGTCGAAAGCTAGCCGCCTCGGCGGTCTGCGAGTGCCCAAAAGCTGGTGCTCTGCGAAGGCCCTAAATCGGCGCGCGACTGCGAACAGATCTCCAAATTGCTAGTAGAGAAGCGCGTGACCAACGCAAACAACGATGCACCTCCAGGAGTCCACCAGCTATCCGTCGCCACATGTCAACCCGCGGCCGGTCGGGAGAGTACGCTTGGGCCGCTTGGGCACCTATCGACAAAATGACGCGCCGACGCGCCGCGCCAGTGGAAGGGACTTATGGCCCGCGACGCCGACCGCGGGGAGTCGAACTCGTCCGAGAGCGGTCTTTAGGACGCTAGGCGTATTATCATAGGATACCAGCGCGGGTGGGGGGTTGGGGGCACTCTCTGGTGCAAGGAAAACCCGCACCACCCCCGTCACCGCGCGCGGGCCCTCCAAGACTACAGCCCCCCTACCGCGCGGGTTTTAGCTCTCCGTAGTATCTCGGCTTCAACTTCCAGTGACGTCAACCTCAAGTTGAAGTAAGGGTAGTCATAGGTAGCCACGGACCCCTCTCAGACCTCAGGCTCCACAAACTTACTCCTACTTCTGCTGGGATCTTCCCGACGCTTTTGGACGTCTTCGGGACGCGCCAAGTAGGTGGACTCGGAGGAAGTACTTACGTAAAAGTTCAAGTTTGCAGTAAGCTCTAGGTTGGCATTTACCCGACTCTACGATATTCAACGCTCTCGAACAACGCTATGCACTAATGTAGATTGATATCCCCTGCTCGCTGCGCCGGCATCTACGCGTCACATCCCCGGGCCGTGGTTTTTCAAGAGATCGCTAGTACCTTTTCCGAATCGAATTCAACCCCACTATGGGACCTAAACCAAGGTAGAAATTTGTTTTACTCTTGCTGGTAAGACAGGAGAAGCGGGTCATTGACGGCAACATAGGCCAAAAGGCGGGTCACAGCGGGTCATTGACGGCAACATAGGCAAAATCGCGGCCAGGGCCCCCAGGGTGGGATTCCCCTAAGACAGTAAGACAGGGAGACAGTAAGAGATTTTAGCTAAAAATAGCTAAAATATGCCGGGGCCCCCAGGATTGGCTTTCGCACAAGACAGGAAGACAGGGAGACAGTAAGAGATTTTAGCTAAAAATAGCTAAAAATCCCTGGGGGAGGGGGGTCGTTGCCACTAAGACAGTGAGACACGAAGACAGTAAGACGCGGTCCTCAGGTTCTGAGCAAAAGAAGGCTGCCCAACACCATTGACAGGCGTAGGGAGTCGTTGCCGCCTCCAGGACGTGTCGTTGGTCCAAATCGCTCGCGTGCCGGGCAGCGCGGCCGGCGGCCGCTGCGAGAACGGCTGGCGTCGACGACGACTGCGTTGCGCGACTCAAACCGATGGCGCGGCGTGTCGTCGAGAGCGCTCCGCTGCGCGGCCGCGACGCGTGCGCGCGGTTGCGCGTTTTTGCTATCGACGAGTTGACCGGACGCGACTCGTACGAAGCGCGGCGCGCCGAACCCGCGCCGAAGGCAGCGTTCAAGAAAGTCAAGGGGCGATCGCCCGTCGCCCGCCGGAGAGTGGCGTGCTCGCGCGCGTCCCTTCAGCAAGGTAGTACCGGACGCTCGTCGCCTTCGAATGATCGCGGCTACGCACGTCGGGGCGAACGTGAAGGCTGGGGTGGTTTGGGGGGTGGGGACAGCGCCCCCCCAAGCCGGGTTAAGCACACGTGGCAGGGTTATTCGGGGGGTTGGGTGGGTGTTAGGGTACGACCACCCAAAAACTTGGCGGACACGTTTTTGCATATTGGCGCGTCGTCGCGCCCGTCCCCGTGGCTAGTGCTCTGGCCGAGCGTTCCCGACACACACGTCATAAATGCGCTGCGACGCTTTAGAGCCGCGTCGACTTTTTGCTGCCTTCGGCGCGCCGCGCTTCGTACGAGTCGCGTCCGGTCAACTCGTCGATAGCAAAAACGCGCAACCGCGCGCACGCGTCGCGGCCGCGCAGCGGAGCGCTCTCGACGACACGCCGCGCCATCGGTTTGAGTCGCGCAACGCAGTCGTCGTCGACGCCAGCCGTTCTCGCAGCGGCCGCCGGCCGCGCTGCCCGGCACGCGAGCGATTTGGACCAACGACACGTCCTGGAGGCGGCAACGACTCCCTACGCCTGTCAATGGTGTTGGGCAGCCTTCTTTTGCTCAGAACCTGAGGACCGCGTCTTACTGTCTTCGTGTCTCACTGTCTTAGTGGCAACGACCCCCCTCCCCCAGGGATTTTTAGCTATTTTTAGCTAAAATCTCTTACTGTCTCCCTGTCTTCCCGTCTCGTCGGATCGGACGTGCCGCGGCAGCTTGGAAACTGATAGATACTAGGATAAAGCCACTAGGAACAGAAGGGACTTGGATGGCGCATGAAACCCCCAAGGACCCTCCAAAGGGCACACGGCGGTTTTACTTCACGTTGACGCCCCTAGCTCTGTTCGTCTTGCCAGTAAGAGCAACCTCTTGCTGGCTGGAGCCGGTAAGTCAAATTCTTAAATGCCCAAACCATGACCAACCTTAATATCACATCGACTAGGACCCCTTCAAGTTAGGCTTATCATAGAACCCACATTACGACCTATTTCTCCCGTTCCACTTGCAGGTATAACAGGAAATTTCCGCCAGGGGTATGCATAGGCCTACTGGAAGTCCTCCATACCTCTGTATCCACCGGGACCTGCAGTCAATAATAGGCTGAGGCCAAAGAAGAGTTGGCCACCCCAGCGCCAGTATCATGTCGTGGCTTTACTACAAAGTTCGTCTGTGTGACCAGAATGAAAATGTAAACTAGAGGGATATATGCTACCATAGGCAGGCTCTTGGGCTACTGCGCGGATGCTTCCATTGCGTCCCTAAAAAGATGCGCTACTTTTCACATAAGCAACAGTATACACTACCAGTCCAAAGCATCATCATCCTAGATAAAAAGCTTAAGGAAAAAGTAGCTACACTCCTACCTCATCATCATCTCCGTTAACATCTTCTTCGTCATCTTCCTCCTCGTCCTCGTCCTCCTCATCCTCATCCTCATCATCATCGTCGCCAGCACTATAATCTTCATCGCCATCATCTTCCTCTTCATTCCCGTCATGATTGTCATCGGCCTGAAGGAACTGCCAACCAGCCGGTTTTGACTCACCATGCTCATCAGTCTCTTCATAAAAACGAGGATCTCCTTTTACAAGGTTCATCACACTTTTCCACGACATACTTGCTTGACCAGCCTTTATTATTAATATTCTAAATTAAATGTGACCAAACAGGTCACACGCGGAGACTAGCGGTGTAAGTAATAGAGCAATCGGTAAGCCACTCTTGAATTGCATCTAATTCATTCATGGGCACCGCATTGATGGATAGTGGCAAAACATCAAAATTCTGCAGGATTATGATCATGTCGAAATTCTTTGATCGAAAGGTGCATCTCTCAAAATGAATATGCTCAACCTATTATAAAAAAGAAAGTGTGATGTATAATATCACACTCCTAGTAATCAAAATTGACCACTCTGATTGGGAACACGATCGAGCTCAACAAGAAAAAATGGCGTTTCAGTGAGGTTTACTAGACAACGAACTGTTGGTTGAATCAACACCATCTCTCGATTGGGAACGCCATGGAAGCCAAGGTCTCGATATGGTATGTCAAACCTAATTTGACTGATATTCTGCGAAGATATCTTGGTACTCTCGTGATACTCGAGATGAAAGCGATGATGTTTTGCAACTCGCTCCATCTTCTTGCAGAATTCCTTGAACCTGCGTCGAAAACATGAGTCCACCAAAAAATGAAATTCAATCAGGTACATTTCATTGAGCTTCTTTCGCAACTGTCGTTCACGTTGCTCTTCATCGAGTTCGTCGGGGTCATACATTGACCGGCGAGCACTGTCAAGTGCTACTGAGGCATCGACAACCTAAATCATGGAGCTAGGAATCGTTCCCGATTTGCCACCGGACTACTTGCCTCAGTGAGAAACTGGACGTTCTGTGACTTTTTTCTTCCAACCAAGACAGGGTTCTTAAGGTAGAAGTGAATGAGCACCATGACTTCGTTCTCGCACGGCTATATTACTGTTCAACATAAAATTAGTAAATCCCACACACCTGAAATAGACTGTGTTTAATGTTGCCGTACATGATGTCAACAATTTCGTGCTTCTTTGATGTGAAACGTAAACCATTGGTGTGTGCTTCAAGTGTTCCCGTTGTTTTCTTTCCGCTTATAAAGGGGCGCATTGTAAGGTCGGCCATGCGTGGAATTCGTTGATCACGCATTTTCACCTGCAGAAAGCTATCTGGTGACGGGTGGCAGCAACAAAAGCTTACCAGCTTTTCCTGGGGGATAAGATCAGCTTCCTCAGCCGCTTTTGCCGCGTGCTGTCTGAAGCGCTTTCGCAGCTCCTGAATCATACGATGAGCAGCTGTCAGTCGCTGTGACTCCCGGCTGCGATATAGCATCTCTTTGATGAACATAGAATTATGACCGTGCTGCTCAATCAATTTTGACGTGGCTGGTGCTATATCCTTAGAAGCTGTCTGTCCAGGAGTAAAGAAATTTAAGCGAAGGTACCTAGAAATATTGCTATTATCTAGTGTGCAAGGGAGGCAAAAAATCACGTTGCAGTCCGGTCTGGATCGGGTTGAACCGCGTTCTTGATCATGCTTATGTGAAATGGCACTTGTGAGCCATTGATCGGGGCAAACAGCACCTGACCTTGCATATCTACGTAGACCTCACTTGAAGGGAGGTCTCTTGGATACTCCCCAGCAGACCTATTCAAAAGAGACTATTTTAGGGCTGGGCTAATGCCACTGCAACTAATTCTTAGTGCACGGGCCTGTGCTGATACACATCAACTTCCAGAATATCAGCTCGTGAAGATAATTGGCCTTGTTGACTCCACGCACTACTTTTTTCGCTTCTCTTTACGGACAGCTTTTGTTGCATAAGCTCAGCTTGCTTCTCATTGCGAGCAAGGCTACTGCGATCAGGAGCACAAGCTTTACTACGTTCGCGAAGACGACTGCTCATTATTGCACTCTGACTTTCAACCTACAAGCCCTTGGATCTTTGCAAGATATCATCGAAGCAATGAACTGGGGCGAAAACTTGTTCGGGCGTGTAGTGTTTTCCTGAGAGTTATATTGTCAAGAAGTCATCATAATATAAAGATACCTTGAGGTGGCATGATGTCTTTATCATTCTTCTCGTTAATGAAATAGGAAACATCTTTCCATTCCACGGAGTGCTTGGTTACAATATCGGGGGGCTCGTCGCCAGACTAAATATATTGTGATTCAAAAAAATATGCAAGTAACCGGTGCAACCAACCTGAATTAGGACAGTGTCCGCAATCAGCATGGAATATTTGGAAAGTTTCCTTATGGAGCCCTGTGCGTCCGCTTTCTGCATATCAGTCAGCTCTAGGTCATGGAAACCAATTGCAAGATTGAAAACCATATTTTGTGCAAATTTGCGTTGGTTCTTCGCGTTCATTATCAGTGAAGATTCACGAAAGTCCAAACCAAGGCCAAATCCAAAATTCTAGCATATCATCAAAAAAATAAAATAAATTAAAATGAAATTTTACCTTAGGCAGGAACTTAAGCAGGTGAGGGCATCTTTGGCGGATAAAACGGTTAGCCGTTTCTGCAACTGATCCAACACATCGGCCAGCAAGCATGACCGCCAGACATTCACGACGAAGTTCCAACAATATGCTATAATTAAGTCTAACACTCTCTACCTATTGGGTCTGCTAGGGTATCGTCTAAGTGACAACATCTACCGGGTCAACAAAGAATGTCCGAGCCATGTTAGCACAATGAAAATTGTACCGCACTCCTAGTGATATGATGATCACGTCATCGGAAAGCGTTTCGCCATTTGTGGATGCACTGGGTCGGATGTCATACTTGCCACCACTCTATGTTTATAGGTGTATGCTTTTCGTATTTTAAAACCAATCGCACCTGTACAATCGGGAAATAGCATGACTCGTAGTGACCCTGTGGGGATTTAATGTTAACTTTAGATGGGTGCTCGCAGCATTCGTCAACATGTGTTGCAATCTCTTCATGCGTTATGGACTTAGCTTGATCGAAGGCGTCCTCCAGTAGCCTCACAAAGCTGTGCTTGAGAATTTTATGTGTTACTACTGCTGCCTTCCGAAAAGTGGCCAGTGCGTGACCATCTTTGACACTTAGTGCCATACCAAGTACAGAAGTCACATCGATACATTCTGCGCCGGCCTATTTTCATCCTGTTAGTATCGGCTTGCAAACATTCTAAATTTCGATTATCGATACAGGCACGGGCAGACTGAATTGCCTTATTCAAAGCAAGAGCAAGTGTGCTTTGAAATTGTATCTTCTCTAGACATCCGATTTTCCTGCCAGCTTGGCTCTTCACCAACTTTGCTAGTATTGCATGTGTTGATTCGTGGTTATCCTTGCAGACCCTAGGCCCAAATTTTCCAAGCAGTTGTGAGTAGTGTGGTAAGTCAAACCTGTGAAGTTGGAACTTAAGCCCTGCTGATTGGCCTTCTTCCTGTAGGGCCTTAAGCATTGCACACTTCTCGTCCGTAGCCAGGACGTGAAGTGCGCCTTTGCAAAGCATTGCTAAGGAGTCGTGCAGTTCTAGACCGAAAAGATGAATGAAGAATGCCGAGGACTTTGTGAATGCAGCGTCCTCGGAGGGGGGGTCAATTGGAACTGCGATTGAGTCAACGTCATTCCAACATTCGCCGGTTGCCAGGGAATCATGTAAGAGGGAAAGGCGATCCCAGAAGGTCTGGGGCACGAGCAAACTCATGCCCGCTTAATTTTAAATGTGTAAGAAAGTACTACCTAGGTAGTGTAAGTGCGGAAGTAAGTGGGGTAATACTGGAGGGTAAAGTGGATTCTGGTGTAACTTGATGTTTCGGAGGGCCTCCGGCCCGTGGTTGCCAGTCCCCTGCCAGTGGTGGCCCCGGGCCGCTAGACTCGGACAAAGTACCGACTCGGAGCCTGAGGTCGCTACCTCGTCGACGACTCGGCGCTGAAGGCGGTGCCCGGCAGCCCGAGAGTAGTACTGGCGTCTTATACCGCGTGCGTGGGGCGCGCAGCATAGTTACACGGAACGCAGATCACGCTCGTGCTCAGGCTGCTTTTGGCAATCTGCGTGGCTACAACAAGTCCATTTTAGAGACTCTAGCTATATATCTGCGGGTTTTACTAAACAAGAGCACGCATAAATTACGATTAAAACACGGCGTAATTTACGGTGGGCCGCTTTCTCACGTAAAAAGAACGCAAGTGCGTAAATTGCACCCTAGGCTTCGTGCTGGCAATAGCAGTCTCAACTTCATATCCAAGTCGAAAATGACGGTCATGGCTCATATTTTCGTCACTCTGGCATGCTACTAGTACCATGTAACTTAAGGGACAAAAAAGTCCCTCTCTATTTGACAGTAGCAAATTCCCCCTGTGGAGAATCCGCCCAGACGAGTGTGGTTTGATTCAATTCCGACGAGTATCAGGGTGCCGTCTAGAAAGTAAAATCGAATTTATCAGGAGCATCATCGGTGGTTGCACGAAGCAATGCAAGGTTCAAAAGTTGCTGTTTTTGGAGCCGATTAATGTTGCTCCGACGGCGTAGGTCGTTCGTTGCTGTACAACGCTGTCGTTCTGCCCGCTGGGCAGCTCGCATGTCAAGCCTACTGCGAGTTTGCGTTTTCTCAAGGTCGAGAAGAGCCTTCAAGCGACGCTCTTCATCAACGATTGCGCGCTTTTCGCGGCGTAGCGCATCGAGATCAGACTCTTCTCGCAGTGCACGCACTAGAACCTTATGCTTGAGAGTCACTCTTTGCTTTTCTACAAGTCTCAGTTGATGCGCTTCAGCAGCAAGCCGTACCTTATTCTCTTCGTCAAGACGTTCATTCTCTGCCACCAAATCGACAAGAAAGGGCGAATGTCGTGTCTTAAGTTTCCAGCGCCGTTGTGTTGCCTGGCGTCCAGCCCTAGCTTGGGAGCGAGATATTTCCTTGTCCTCGAGCAATTTGGCCTTCACGCGGTCTCTGTTCGCGAACTTCTGCGAGAGTATATGCGCTGCTCGAGCCCGAGCGAGCGCCCGTGGCCCCTGGTGTGCAGGCAGGCTAGCGTTAAGCTCCATGATCGAGAAAGATAGCTAAAAGAAAAGTATGTAACGAAGTATCCGCGATATGTATCTTTGTAGCCCCTTACATATTATTGCACATTAAATTACCGTGGCGTGATAAATTACCGTGACAGTCCGCTATCTCGGCTACGTTGTCTGAGTCTTGCTGGACCTGAGTCACGGTACTACCTGAGTCACGGCCCCGGCCCCGGGCCGGGGTCACGGTCACGGTACCGCCAGCGTGACCCGCCGGGCCGCTGCAGTTACCGTGACGGTGCCCCCCGGGCCCGGCCGCGACGCGCCGCCATATAAGGCGCTGCCGCCCTTGGCGCCGACGAAATGGGGACCTCGTGATGCCAGTGATCTGCCACAGTGTATAATAATCATGATCATGATCAAGCCGGACTCCGAGTCGGAGTATCATGATTATGACTCGGACTTGGATGATCGTCTGATTTCTATGATAAGGTTAAGACGGAGAAAGAAGAGGAGATTGCGATAAATAGGGCGAAATACCCCCCCTATCCGAGTCCTATACCCTTTATATAGTAGTACACTTACATCACCCTTCAACACGCAACGCGTAATAAACACAGTTAAAACCAAAACTACTTAGTGTATTTAAGGTAGCTCCGCGGCAGACTATCTCAGCCGCCGTACTCCCAAAGGTGCGTACTCCTTTGGTCTTGCATTATTCGCAGGTTATGGGCCCACGGTCCTAAGAGATACTAGTACTCCGCCGTATTACCTTTTGAAATCCTATACATTCGCGAGTGTCCACACTACACTCGTTGGGACCAAAGCCAAGCCGTTTGTTAGTATTTTAATAAAATGAGCGACCAAGCAACAGTTGGCGACGAAAACGAACAGGAAAGACTCGGAGAAGACCCCTTACGACAGGGGACTTCATATGACGAAAAGAAGTTCGTCAGAGATTTATTAGCCGGACGCCGGTTAATTCAAAGTTCTTTGGAGTAACATTCTTCCTTACCTTTCCTTAGCTCTAATTAGAATGAATTAGCCTGCGACGCTTAAGACTCCTTGGAGACTTCGAAATTTATAGGGGGGTGGAGCGCAATAGTCGACGTTGGCAGGTTTTGGCGCAATGCGCGTACAGCCACACACCTACCAAATGGCGGGAAATTTTTGCTGAGGCGCAGCTTCCGTATGCTAAAATAATGGGCTGTGCGCATTTTGGTACCGTGCGGGCAGCCTCACGCTGAAAAATCAGCTGCGACGCGGTGCGATGGTCCGAGAAAAAACTTGAACCCGCCGGAAACCCAATCGCTCCAACGGACGGGATAAATCGGCCTCTAATTATCCACTAATTATTTCCCATCGTTCCATATCTATATAGGGCTGCTAGGGAATTTCCGGTGTCCGGCTCGGCTTATGCAGCTGGGTGCCTAGCCACCGTCGCCTCGACGTGCGGCCACTTGCCTCTCGTCACGGTGCAGATGGATGCCTGGTCAATTTGTTTCGAGGGACAATATTATTCTCGGCTTCGCGTGCGGGGGTGGTAGCTTTCTGGAAAATGACATCACTTTCTGGTTCAGGGCCAGAGCATGTCAAGCACGATCCAAGAAATGATGTAGCAACTAAACACAACATGATGCACGCATGTCCTAGCTCACTCGAAGAAATGTCAGCTGAACTGCACCTTTGGGAAGAGACTTTAGCGTTGATATTGCACTTTGAAAAGAACCGCAGGGTGAATTATTGATTTCAATTAGAATATCGCCTACCTGGATTTCTGCCAGTTGCGCCTATCTATCGAGTGTGCAAGCTCAACGCCTATTTATACGATAACATACCTGACTTGCTCCACGAAACCCCTTGGTAACCACCTGCAGCGAGTTTAGTACGAATAAGATATGCAGCAAAAGTACCCACTCGGCCTTCTTCGTCTGCTAGCTGCAGACCGAGCCCTTGAGATTCAACAGCGACCGATAACTTAAACTTAAGCCCGCTGGGTGTCAGCGGCGGTTGCACAGAACCTGAACACCTAAGTCATGATACATGGCAACATGTGGTTCAGACTCCATCACAGACGTCGTGAAGGCCTGCGTTCCGCCTGGATGTTGTTCATCGATGCATTAGCCTTACTAAGCTTATCCAAAGTTTTCTCTAAGCGAGACCGCTGAATAGCCATGGCTCTATCCTCAGTGAAAAAGGCTCTCAGCTTTGCTTCATCATGAACGAACTGATAACACGTTTCTTGTAACTTCCCACAAAGGGTGCCAAGGATGCGATCATCAAGACACATGCACACATTATCTACATATCGTTTTGATGCAAGGGTCCAATATGCCTCTAAAATGGCTGACATGTCCTCGGCATTTGCAGAAGAACTGACTCCGTGGGCCGAAAGGTACCAAGATCGAAGAGATGCACCAATATGACTTTTAGTAGCTTGCCAAGAACCAGACTGCCCGGAACAATCACCAAGTATAGACCCCTTGAATGCAGCATCCACCGAACTCTCAAATCGGTCATAACGCAATTTGTTTATATGTGCTTGAAGGAACTCGTTGATGGTAAACGGATCTTTCTCACGAAGAACAAGACCCTCCAGCAGTCGTAGTGCCTCGTGCTCCGATGTCTCCAAAATAGATGACGCAACGGCCTGAAATGACTCTCGTAGTACAGGGTATGAGGCAGCTATGTTTTCGAACAAGTCACGAACAACTTCATTTGTAAGTGCTCGCATCTGTGCGGCGGCCATGCGAGCTGGAGGGTCCCAAGCATTGATGAATTCTTGAATAAACATGTAAAATGACTGCGCGCTCATGAACCCCGGAAGTTCGCGCCCACGTAGAGCTTCCATCTGGCAAGCCAGCTTAGATGTAAAGTTCTTGATACGAAATGGTGGCGCCGTTGCAGCCACTTTAGATTGCAACTCGTGAAATATGATCAGAGCACGAGTGTAAAGACGCAAATTGGGATTGCACACTATGATTCGATCACGGTACTCGCCACGAACGCAATCATTAAGGTGTCGGACAAACTCCTGTGTTAAGGTGACCAAAAGCCGCTGCCTTTGACCTGCAGTCGATGCGCTGCCACACGATGACATCGCACGCAAATCTGCTCTAATTGAACTCAACATACCCTCAAGCTGACGCTTAATAGGAGCAGTTTGCTGTTTGATGCGTTGTATCAGGAGTCTTGCCAGGGATGAGGCAAGATTCCTGCTTCCAAGGAGCCGTTGATCTAAACATGAGAAGGTCGGGTGATTTTGGAAGAATGTTTCTTCGTCGTCCGCTACTGTCTGACAGGATAAGCCTTCTTCAACCTGGGCCTGCGACCTATTTTTGACCATAACAAAGCCAAGTTTCAATGGCTTGCGGATGTTCCTTAGTACGGCAACCACTTCCTGTTCATTTCCAGGCCCAATGAGGTCAGGCTTTGTAAGAACGCCAATGGTTCGTTCGCCAGCTGGGTCAACTATCCGGGCACGTTCCAATATGTCAATGGTCGCAATGTCTTGGTTTGCCGGAATGATGGCAAGTATAATTGTCCTGTCTTCTTCTAGGTAGTGGTTGATGAGATTATTTATATGTTTTATGACCCGAACCCCTCGTTCCGACGTCTCTGTACGTACAATTCCCGGTAAATCGATTACTGTGAGATCTGGTGACTCGGGGGAGCTCAAACGAATAATGATTGCATCCGATGAAAGCTCCTTTTGACCTTGAGTAAGAGTCTCAGTCAGACGCAAAATTATGGCTGTGAGATCATCAGGTGACTTGGGGGTGATTGTTTGCGTTGATGAGGTGGTGGAGACACTGCAGGACCATTCTGGAGCACTACGCATCACAAGTCGCACAGGGCAGCGTGTCACCAGCCCATATCCTCTTGGAAATGGAATGCCTGATAAGGCTTCAAGAACCGAACTCTTGCCACTACTCTGATCACCAGCAACGCATATCTATGATGTTCAATAAGCTGATTTTTAAAGCGCTACACACCTGAGGCAGGGAGAGCGCATTATCTAGAGAGAGAGCTTTCAATTCCTCAAGGAGCTCAAGCCTAAACTCAATATTCCTCTCAACCAGAGCGGATTTACGCACCACGGGCCCACTTTGCTTTTCCAATCAGTACCAAAGGCAGCCATAGTATACCGCAGTACACTGTTAAGTTAGCTCGGTACCTACGGTACCTACGGTATCTCGCGGTGCGGGGTTCAGCCACCCTAGTTACTATGATCCCCTAGTTACTCATACTGATGGTTCTCCTCAGGTACCAGTGGATACTAGTGGTGAATGCTTTGTATCCGAGTCTGAGTCCGCTGAGTCCAAGTCCAACTCAGGCTTTGTGCTAACCGTGACGAAGTTAACTCCTCAGGCTGTTCAAACACACTCACTTTACAACGAAATTCCGCCCTGTTGGCATCTCCGTGTCACAGGTTACGGGCCGACAATTTCTAACCAATAGGAAGCGGGATGTCACCCCGGGGCGGTCACGGTCGACCACCGTGACGTGGGGGTAGCACCTGCGTCCAAGACCCTCCCTTCTACCGACTACAAGAGCTCCTGACGGCCTGAGATAGTGGTCGAAATCCGGGGTCCGACTACTTCCCGACTACTTCAGCCAGGGGGCCGGGGCAGCCCGGGGGGTACTAGACGCGGTTTTGGGGCCTTCCCACGCTGCCCAGTACATCCTGGGGGCGTTACCAGGCCATGACTAGGTCAAAAGGACCAGTAAACGGAGCCTCGGATACATTTCAGAGTACACCGACTACGTAGTCAGCGGAAGATGCAGTTAGTCTACAAAACGCGCGGGCATCCTCGTGCAAAACACTTAGTCTACGTCGTGGTCGCGGGCAGCCGGGCGACGCAATGCCGAAAACGCGGCAGCAAACGAATCCCTTCTCGCCGAGAAACGGCCAAAAACCATGAAAAAAGACATGCGATCGTCTTTTTTGGCGCAGTTTCGAGCCGATCGGGCCACCGCAGTGTCGGATATCATCGTCCGTGTGGCCGCCGACGATCTGAGACAAACGCAGCGGCAGAGGCCCATGGGATGTCGGTCTATGCGTGGTCCGCGTTTCTCGCTGTACCGTGCATCGGGCGAATATCGCGCTGAATGTCTAGGACTTTTTGTTGTATGCCTTCCCAGCCACCACGGCGGGCATATGCGGGGATTCGGCAGCTGATTTGAGGCCCAGGGGGTTTCAAATGGCGTATCGCGCTCCAACAGCTGCTGAAGTCAATTCCCTTCAATATTATTATTTTTAGATGCAGCCAAACTCCCCAGTCATCAGGCAGCCTCGCAGCCCGCTGTGGTGCACCACAGAGCCACTTTTAGCCTGTCCCGCCATAGCTTTTTGTACGATTACCGGCGGCTGCTCGTCTAGATACCTGACAACGTTTGGTTAGCTAGGGTTCGTTACGACGCGGTCGACCGTGCCGACCTCGGGGATGTCACAGTCAGGAGACTCGGAAGACCCCCGACACTGGAAGAAACAACGAGAAAAAAGACCGCGGAACTCGGAGGCGTGTCACCTAGACTAAGATCGTATTTATCCGAACCCGCTGGACCCTCAGGCTAAGGCCGCCGGCGATTAGAGGCCTGCAAGATAAGCAAATGCAACAGCAGCCCGAGAGTTCAACACTGGCAAATTGAATCCAAGAACTCGGCTCTATAATGCAACAGATTCAAGAGCATTCCAAGGACCAACGGCCCGGGTGTTTTATTACGCGTTGCGTGTGGTGTGTATGATACTACATTCAAGTTCCAATTGTTGAGAGGATTTTCAAGTTGGAAAGATCCTGCAATGGGGGGACACCGCCGAGAGTCCCCCATGCCAGTGCCATGGGCCGCATGCGTGGGAAGGGCTCCGTGCCATAGCTGGAGGACTGTCGCTTCTAGGGACTCGGAGCCTGGGGGGGGCGAAGCGGCGTAATAATTCAACTTGAATAATGGACTTGGAAAATAAATTAAGGAAGACCTTTAGTGAAAAGAACCAAACTCCTAAGACTCGGACTCAGAGTCGGAGCCTCCGAGTCCTCCCGGCCCTGCTCGGGATGCTCTTAATAGTTCAAGTTGCTATTAAATATTAGTAAATAAAACTTGAAATAAAGTAGGAATATCCTAAAGAAAGGACATACACCTTTAAGGTACCTTTAAGCCTGAGGGAGGCCCTGAGGCCTTTTCCCCGGCCTGGCCAGGCTGTGCGACTAGATGTTCCCCTAGGCCGGCCTGGGAAGTCGGTTAATTCGTTGGAGTAACATTCTTCCTTACCTTCTCTTAGCTCTTATTAGAATGAATTAGCCTGCGACGCTTAAGGCTCCTTGGAGACTTCGAAATTTATAGGGGGGTCGGGCGCAATAGTCGACGTTGGCAGGTTTTGGCGCAATGAGCGTACTACAGCCACACGCCCGGGGCCGACCGAATGGCGACAAACTTTTGCTGAGGCGCAGCTTCCGTATGCTAAAATAATGGGTTGCGTGCAAAGTTTGGTGCATGCGGGCAGCCTCGCGCTGAAAAATCAGCTGCGACGCGGTGATGGTCCGAGATAAAACCCGCCCGAAAAACAATCTCTCCAATGGACGGGATAAAGCGGCCTCTAATTATCCACTAATTATTTCCTATCGTTCCATATCTATATAGGGCTGCTAGGGAATATCCTGCTTCCGGCCCTGCTTAACTAGCTCTCCATACATAAAAAATAGAATGTCCGGAACCCTCTGTATGATCGATACGAATTGTATTGAATTTTCTTCTCCCGCAGACAGCGTCTCCAACGGACTCCACTGCTGGGCTTATTTTGAAGTGCATAAAACCACTGTTCACCAACGCGCCCGGGCACGGCGACGACGACGCACGCTTCTACGACCGGCAGCAAGCTTACGTACACGCTCGCGGGGGATAGCTCCCCCGTCACCCCTCTAGGCGCGCGCCCCCGCAACCCGAATTGACATAGCTATTTCAAAACCACTGTTAATATATACGGGCTAAAACAGTACTTGAGGCAAAGGCGTGGACAGAAGCGAGCCAGGGTATGCTCAAGCCGCGCGGGTTGGTGCCCTGGGGCCTTCCAGGGCCAACCCGCGGGCGCCGCGACGCTGCCGCGTTAGCCTCGAAAACGAAGGGGACTGCTCGGATGGGGGGGAGGGTTGGGGTGGGGCCCACAGATTACACGTCCCCCCTTCCTATGCAGCCTTCCGGACGGCCTTGGGCATCGAAACGGACCCCTGGTAGGGGGGTTAATAAGCAACATTCTATTTTTTCAAGTTATGTATGGAGAGGTAGTCTCAGGTAGATGCCAGTGTGCGACTAGTATTTATTATTATTCATATATATATAGGGCATCAAGGGGAATTTCCGGCGTCGGGGTGACCATTACCTTGCTATGCCCGCGTTCTATGCCCGCGTGATCATTTCCGGATCTTGTGAACCTGTCTGCCCGGCGCATACGACTTCTTCCCCCAGGACCAGGGCACATACTCATGCTTGATCATGTGCTTGATCTGGCGCTTCATTGTCAAGAAAAAGAGAGCGAAGAAGTAGACCAAAAGGATGGGCCTGTGGTAAGTGTTCACTCTGTTGGGGGTGTTACTGGCGACTTTGTGAGAGACACGGCGCTGTGCCAAAAGACGGGCACATCAAATATCGAAAAGAAGGTCATAAAAAAGGCCGTGCACACGCCCTTTATCGAGGTGTACCAGAACTTAAATTCTGGTACGCGTCGACTAAATGGCTTGAAGTTGTCGCCTGTCGAAGTTGGTAACAAGGGCCCGTCACCATCAGGATCGATCTGGGGGGAAAGAAATCCGATGAAGTTGTTCAGCAGGAAAATCCCTAAGCCGTATGTCACAATGAACCACCCTTGTATTATATACACCCTAAGGCCGTAGAGGGCAAGGCACACTGCCTATGGCTTGGTATCAGACGCGCGGAGGTCGACGGTGAGCGACGGACGCTGGGCCGCGCAAAGCCTAACCACCGCGGCAAGATATGGACCGTAGACCGATCGAGTAACTGCTGGAGCTTCCTGGGAGGTGAGTGAAGGTTATAATGATTGGCGGACGCGGCGACGCGCTGCGCGATACCAGAGCTGACGACCTCTGCCACTGTAGGCTTCTCGTCAAAAGCCTTCATCCTGCTAAAAGCTCGCCCGCCATGCTCATGCCCCGCCAAAACCTCGGGCTCTATCACGGTAGCCTACTTCTACTTCTAGTACTTCCTCCGACCTGACCTAGTTAGTTGGCGCGTGACTTAGACGTCGGAAAGCGTCTGAGACGTCCCGTCAGAGGCGGGAGTAAATTTGTGGAGGTCAGAGGGGGGTCCGTGGCTACCTATGACTACCCTTACTTCAACTTGAGGTTGACGTCACTGTAAGTTGAAGCCGAGATACTACGGAGAGCTAAAACCCGCGCGGTAGGGGGGCTGTAGTCTTGGAGGGCCCGCGCGCGGTGACGGGGGTGGTGCGGGTTTTCCTTGCACCAGAGAGTGCCCCCAACCCCCCACCCGCGCTGGTATCCTATGATAATACGCCTAGCGTCCTAAAGGCCGCTCTCGGACGAGTTCGACTCCCCGCGGTCGGCGTCGCGGGCCATAAGTCCATTCCACTGGCGCGGCGCGTCGGCGCGTCATTCCAACGTCCGCTGGAATGCATACGTACGTCATACCGGCCCAATTTTGTCGATAGGTACCCAAGCGGCCCGCGATCGACATTCACCGAATATGCTCTCCCGACCGGCCGCGGATTGACATGTGGCGACGGATAGCTGGTGGACTTCTGAAGGTGCATCGCTATTTGCGTTGGAGATCTGTCCGCAGTCGCGCGCCGATTTAGGGCCTTCGCAGAGCACCAGGCTTTTGGGCACTCGCAGACCGCCGAGGCGGCTAGCTTTCAACGCGCGCTCTTTACGCCAGGCGCGGACGAGTTCCTAGGACCTCCACACGCGCTTGCGGCACAAATGCGGCTCCACGCTAGCCGTAGAGTGCCCCCAAAACCCCACGCGCCAACTAGAGTGTGTCGGACTAGTAGTACATACTTGGTCCCACTCCAAAAGCACCCGGAGAAGCCAGCAGAAGTATGAGTGAATTTGAGAAGGTACGAGGGGTTCCGAGGGCCAGCGGTGCGGCCCGGCCTGGAGAGTACGTCCAACATCCTACACATGCCGCTCTCGGGCGAATTCGACTCCCTGCGGTTGGAGTCGCTGGCTTCTAAGTCCGTTCCACTTGCGCGGTGTGGTCATTCGAACGTCCGTTGGAGTGCACACGGCGCTAGATGCCCAAGTGGCCCGTCATCGACATCACCGAATATGCTCTCCCGACCGCCTGCAGGTTGGCATGTGGCGACGGACAACTGGTGAACTGCTTGAGGTGCGTCGCTCTGCGCTCAGGTCAGGCGCTTCCCTACCAGGAAATTGGAGATTTATTTGCGACCGCGCCGATTTAGGGCCTCGCGGAGAGCAGCTCTCTTGGGCCCGCCCTCACAGTGACCCTCTAACCCCAACCAATGGAACAACGGCGGGCCGGGCGTTTGCCTACTCTTCAGCACGAGCGACGGCGGCGCCACGTACGACCAGTGACCTACTTACAACCATGATTGAGAGCCCAGGGCAGAGATAGACCCTTGGATCCCTGGAGGCGCATGCGCTAGCCCCCTCCTCCATCTCCTGTGGCGCACGAAGCAAGGGGACTCCGAGGTAGCCCTATGCACCGATTGCATAGCGGGGGTGTTTCGGTCATACAAGTAATTCATAAATAGATCAGGTGCGACCTTTGTCAGTAGCGAGTGCAACTTCCCCATTCACAGATACAGTAATTATTCCATCGAGCCAGGACATTGCGGGCTCAATTTGAGCCTGTAGGTGCAAGCATGCAGCCAGGTATATGTTAGCGAAAACTCACCGGGAGACAGTCATGAAGGTCGTTCAATAGGTGTCTCGTGGATTCGTAGATCTCTTTGGTAACAAATAGAGATCTCGTGAGTGTACGAGCTACACGTCGAACATCCAGGTTCACTTTTCCACTTGGAGACAAAAAAAGGGCAAAGTGTTTGAGGCAATGTGTGGTTAAGATAATGTCTGAACCATGTTTTGCAGCATCTTCAGCACAAGCTTTGAGTGGAATCGCCGATGGTGGCCAGCCTTTAAGTGAAATCACCATCAAGATCTGGTCTAGACATTGATGCAGTGTTGTTTCTTTTAGATAAAAATGCCCTCCCGTCTCATTGAGAAGGATCGTGCTCGTCTGAAGGGTCTGTTCAAGCTCAGCACACGACGCCTGACTATAAGATTGAACTTGCGTCAAGCTTGGTGCTACACCCACAGACGTGTTTTCATCACTATATACCGGGAGGCTCAGCCTGAAGTCAACGCGTGGAGTGGTACGGCATATTTCCCAATGGAATCTAACTGAAGATCGAATGATTCCACTTGTGCCCCCGATGAGGCATCCGCTTGCGAGTAGGGTTGAGTTGGATGACTCAACCTTGGTCACCTTGAAGGTTTCAGTCGGTGTACATAGGACTGTATCTGAAGTGTTGCCTGACAGCAACAGCAACCAGTGGAAGAGGCGAGAATAACGAGGGACGCACTATTAGAAACAAATTGCACTTCTAGGTTTCGCTCCAGCGTATCCAAGAGACATTGATCTGACTCCAAGAGCTTCAGCCGCTTTCTGCAAGACCCGTTGTCTCTATCAAACGTTTCGCTGAAATGCACGGCCGAAGCCATGCGAGTGTGAGCCCGGGCGGGCTAATCTATTAGACTAGAGTTGGCTGCGCGGCCTCGAGCTCGTAGCCCGAGCATCGGCGGAACGAGGGAAGTCCTCGCCGCCGCTTCGAGCACGCTTCCCAGGGAACCGGCCGGGCCCCCGGCGCCGGCCCTCTTAGCCACCCCTCCGCGAGCCAGGGAACATATAAGAAACCCGGGAGACCACGGGCAGCCTACCAATAGCCAAGGTGCTGCGGAAAATCAAATCGCACCCCTCCGATGTCATTGACCGCATATGCCACACAAGACTCAGAAATTATCTGTTGAAGGCAAGTAGCGCACGTTACTGGAAGACACTTGGTCGTGGCTCTGCCCAGAATCCCTGGCTTTGGTCGGTCGTACCCGGCAGGGGCCCTAGCTGGCCCGCCGGGCCTTCTGTAACTTGAATCATCGGATGATGATATTCTACCCCGGGGCGGCCCGAGTCCTGCCAGTGAATCCAGGTCTTGAACCGGAGCCAGCGCTATATACACTAGTGACCCCTGAGAGATCGGCCGAATTTTGGCGCAGGGAAATGCGCGCTCCAGTTCGTTTTGACGGGGAGTCGCAGCGTGGATTAAAAAAAGAAAAAGATGTACGAATATCCAACATTATGGCAGCCAAAGGAGTCGCGGATGCGATCCGCACGTCGCTTGGGCCGCGGGGAATGGACAAAATGATCCAAAAGTCTGATGGCGAGGTGCTAATAACTAACGACGGGGCCACGATCCTGACGCAAATGAACGTAGCGCATCCAACAGTAAGACTAGTTGTAATTAATCACGGTGACTGGTTTACTTCAGGCCAAAATGCTCGTTGAGTTAAGCAAGTCGCAAGACATTGAGGCCGGAGATGGAACTACTTCGGTCTGCGTGATTGCTGGATCATTGCTCGATGCCTGCCACCAGCTACTTGTCAAGGGGTTGCATCCAACCTCGATTGCAGAGGCATTTGTGCTAGCAGCCAACACATGTGATTCAATTCTACAGTCCTGCGCACAGCCGATAACACTCAGTGAGCGGGATAGGCTTGTTGATGCGGTAAGGACGTGCCTCTCGTCTAAGGTTATCTCCCAGAACTCGGAGACCCTTGCGCCGCTAGCTGTAGACGCAGTCCTGAGTGTCATTGACACAACTTTTGCAACAACAGTTGACTTGGAAGCAATTAAAATTGTCAAGCAAGTCGGAGGGACAGTCGATGACACGGAGCTGGTCGACGGAATTGTTTTTGCACAAGGTGCCAAGAAGGCGGCTGGAGGTCCCACACGTGTAGAAAATGCTAAGGTTGGTCTCATCCAGTTCTGCCTTTCAGCTCCCAAGACCGACATGGAAAACAATGTCGTGGTCTCCGACTATGCGGCCATGGATCGGCTTCTTCGCGAGGAGCGCAAGCACGTCCTTGGCTTGTGCAAGAAGATAAAGAAATGCGGAATCACCGTCCTACTCATTCAAAAGTCCATTCTGCGTGACGCATACAACGATTTATCCCTTCATTTTCTCGCTAAGTCACCCTGCCACCGCGTCCAACTCCGAGAAACTTCTTTTTACCCAAAATCCCACCATAGGATGGGCATTATGGTTGTTGCTGATATTGAGCGCAACGATATATCGCATATTTCTGAAACTCTCGACCTTCTTCCTGTTGCCCATGTAAATTACTGTGTCCAAATTGCGTGTGACGAAGTCACGCGAAGCGGTGTGGGAAGATAGGAAGACACAGGTAGATTCGCTAGATCCAGCTAAACTTGGAACAGCTCAGCTTGTCCATGAGATCTCAATGCCTGGGTCATCACAGAAAGTCGTCAAGGTCACAGGTGTGCCACGCAAGAATGCTTCAGTTACCATCCTTGTTCGTGGTTCCAATAAGCTTGTTCTGGAGGAGGCTGACCGCTCGCTTCACGACGCTCTCTGTGTTGTTCGTTCGCTCGTGAAGAAGCGATACCTCATCTCAGGTGGCGGCTCAGCAGAAGTGGAAGCTTGCCTAAAGCTGAGCGATATAGCCAAAACAAAGCCAGGTTCCGTTGGTTTTTGCCTTAGTGCGTTCGCCGATGCGCTCGAAGTTGTACCTTACACACTAGCTGAAAACGCCGGGCTTAATCCAATCCACATAGTCACACAGCTCCGTAAGCGACATCGTGTTGCTGAAGCTGATGCAGGTATCAATGTGAAGCATGGCTGCATCGGGAATATGTACACCCTCAATGTAGTTCAGCCTCTCCTAGTTAACACTTGCGCCATCCACCTTGCCACTGAATGCATCTGCATGATTCTAAAGATAGACGACCTAGTTCTTGTTCGTTGAGGAGAGGAGAGGAGAGGAGGCTACTACACTGAAAGTAATTCTCAGCAGACCCCTTGAATGGCAATTTGACAAATAATCGCGGCGTGGCTGTCCTCGAATCGATCTTCTTCGTCATTTCCGAGTCCTTAATTAAATCTACGGTCGTAGTGATTAAGCAAATGCTCGTTTAATAACTTGAATAGCCTTTACCATCAAACTAGCCTGAGCTTGCTAGCCTGAGCTAGCTAGCTAGCTGATTTGCCCCTCCGAGTCGGATGGTTCATGCAAAAGGCCTGCATTCCGCAGCACCTTGGGGTCTCATACGGCACCCTGGTTCACGGGGCGGGCTGCGCTTAGAAAGCCTGGGCCGGCTGTAAATCGGCCTCCGGGCTATTCCGTCAAATCAAAAGCGGCCGTCAGATCAGTTGGACCGATACTGCACGCGAATGAGACGGCCCCGCGAAGTTAGGCTCCCGGCGGTCTGAATGGAAGCACTGCGACAGGCGGCCCTAAACCCACCAACGACCATGGCGAATAACCCAGGCGGCCAGCTGCTTCCGGGTAATGCGAAGACGGACTGTGCTTCCGTCTTTAGAGCTCTAATCTGGGTTTCATCCGAGGAAATTTAGTAGCATCTCCCCACAGCCGCTCATCGTGAGGTTGTGTGGATCACGCTACTTCGATTGAGACCCTCACGACTTCCCTCACGGTGACTTACTCCGGCGAGTCGAATCCCCCCCCCTTCCACGTCCGTGCGACAGTCGTGCAGCGTACTATCTAATTATCTGTCCATTTGCCTTGAAGGGGGGTGGGGGGGGGGGGCAGATGCGGACCTTGCACTCAGGCTGATTCAGCCTGAGCCTGAGCAGCCAGGTGGATTTGTTGTTGTCCTTTTTCTTTAGGATATTCCTTAATTATTGATTTGTTGTTGTTGTTGTTGTTGTTGGACGATTGGACGATTGACGATTGACGATTCTCAGTCCGCATTCTTCCTGTCAAATTCGACAAGGCTCTTTTTCACAGACCCTGGTCAGGTTGAGCACGTCTCCTTAATCTTACGATAGGCAGCCTCAGCGCGAGATAGCTTTTCCTCGAAGACACGCAGCTCGCAAGCGGCAGCTTCAGCGTGAGCACCAGCAGAGTTATAGTCGTATCCAACCTCCCTTAGCTGTTGAATCTGCAATGATGTTAGGTTGGAGTCCTGCTTGCTGGCTTCAGAAACTGTCACAGACGCGAAAGAAGAGGCAAGTGCAGCCGCTTCACCCACAAGGCGGGCACACGCTGTAACAGCCTCCTTGGTAGGAAGAGTTTCTGCATTATCATTTGAAGATTGGACAAGTGCTGGTGTATTGGCGATGGCATCGCACGTTGTTGAAATACCATCACCGGAAACTGGAGGACGGGGGGTCGTCTGCGACAAAGCTGACACATGAAGGTCCATGCTGACACTTGACTCGTCCCGTCCACGGGGCCGTGTAATAGTCTTATCTACCTGGCGCACCTGAATAGCCTTTACAGTAACTTTGGGCGCCGCTGCTGCCTCTGCGTCAACAACGCGTGCTGATGCGCGCATGGGACCCCCTTGTGCATTTGACGCACGAACAAAGTGAAATCTGTCTGGTTCTAGGCTTCGTTCCTCCTGGAGGCTCTGCTCGTGGAGACCAACGCGCTCTGCAAGCTGACAAGCTTGAGTCGTCTCGTCAGAGGTTTCAGCTAGCATTGCGCCGCGAAGGCAGGCTCGGATTGCCGTCGAGCCCGTCTCGCGCGTAAACGCTTGAGGCTTAGCGGGAAGTAATCGGCGTGAAACCTTTTTTAAAGTTCGTTGCGTAAGTGCCTCATACATCCTATTCACAAACTTGATGACGGCGCCATCTTCACAGTGAATAATTAGATTCACCTCGGCGGGGGTGACAACGTCCTGAACTCCAACCTTGTGGAAAAACTTCAGAAGCTGACTCCAATTATCTTTCTTTATTCGCAGCGCAATCCCATTATCAAAGCTGTGCATCTGAACGTCCTTGTCATAGTATCGTGAGTAAATTTCGGCCACCAGAAATCCATTACTGAAGTCTCGCTTAACGTTTTTGACGCTGTACGCCAGGTCCTACACACGCACATTACCACTGTCCGAGTTTCCCCTCCCCCACGCGAACTCATCCTCTGGCCTAACCCCCTCCCTCATTTGCCTTCGCACCAGTGACTGGATCCACCGAAGAACCTCTCGCGTCAGTGTCTGTTCTTGATCCATGTTAGCGCTTCACCTATTTGTCACAATGTATCTATACACAATGTATCTATAACGAAGGGGGTTTCGCAACGGCGGCGCCCCTCTGGGGCCGAGTGGGATGGCCGAATTAATCCTCGCAACGCACAATGGGCCTGTATAAATGGAAAGGCGAGTAGATATGTGGCCTCTTGCGATGCAGGGGGAACTTGAAATAGGGTGTGTAATCATCATCATGATCATGATGATTCCTGCCACTGGCAGTGGGCCGGCCCCGGCCGCCGCCGCGGCGGCGACAGCGGCGTCACGGTAGTGTAGTAGTTCAGCGAAATAGGTAGCCCCATGTTTCAGGAGGTCTGCGACGGGAGGAATGCTAGAAAAATACCCGGTGACCCCTATCCCTATCCTAGCCTGAGTCACGGTAGTCCTTATTCCCTCCTAGACTATTAAGAACGCGTATGAGCACAACCTCTCTCCGTACTTTAGTACCACGGGGTCTGGCAACTTGGGAATCAGTGCAAAGCACTGCCGTGCTCCTCGTTTTTCGTCATTGCCTTTGAGGTCATTTATCCAGTAAAGGTGATCTAATGCATCTCTTGACGTACGTCCCTCAATATGAGCAGAGCCGCGTCCAGTTGTGCCCCAGTACGCACGTTCACTGGCTTGTACTTGCCAAGTTGCGGTAATCATTCTCAGGCTGCCAGCCCAGGGTGACATATCGCGTTTATCCTATCGGCGCCCATGTTGTTTGGTAACCACGGATCTGTGATCTCAAATTCTCCGTCTGGGTAGTAGGATTTTATTTCTTGAAGATCAACTTGAAGTCTCTTCAAGTTGGGAGAGAGAGAGTAAACAACTTGTAGATCTTCTCTGTTCAAGTTATGTTTTTGCTGTCATTTTGGTAATGTTGGGGCATCATACCTATTATGCTCTCGCATTTTTGTACGATGAATGTGCTTGTAAAAGTTTCTTGAGTTCGTATTGCCGAAGTATTCGTCGGGATTGTTGACGAATAGTTCGTCCCATGTTTTGTTTTCTTCCGGGTCTTCCGTAGAAGGGTTGACGCCGGCTTCTGCGGCGGCAGGAGGGGGTCCGCCATCTTATGTTAGTTTCGAGATTGCGAGCCTTCTGAGTTTCGTGTTTAATATATTAATTTGTGGAGTTTGGTAATTGAATAACGTTTAGTGATGTTTTATAATGATTTAGGTTCAACTTAAGTTAGGTTTTAAAACGTCCGGAGGGTTGTTCAATGCCTCTGGACAGTTCCGTTAGCCTAGGATGGGAAGTACACTAGGATGGGAAGTAGCCTAGACGGGTAATACAAGTACGGGTTGTGCTTGGATACGTCTCAGTTGGACCTTGGGATCCTACTAGACGTGTATTTCCATTGCATTCTGAGGGTCGCTGGCTTCTAGGGCTAATCATGATACGTCGGAGTGGTCGCGTACGGCGCCCCCGACCTCGGACGAGGCGGCAGACCTATCATATTCCCATTCGACCCTAACAAACGGATCGGGTGGTGCGAAGTTATGGGCGGTAGACGGCTGTCTTTGGCGGCGCAGCGCGCCCCAATCCCCCCCCGATCCCCCCAGGCTCGAAAGCCGCCGGAGCTGCGCTTCGATCCATCCGCGGGACCGCGGGAAGGCGCACAGCCGAAAGGATCATATTGTACGTGTTTTTAGCTGCCCTCAGGGCAGGTGACCGTGAAAAGTTTATCATGCCTTTTTTTACCGGGTTACTCAGCCTCTCTGCGTGGCTGGGATGGGTCGGTGAATTAGGCAAATTGCGGGTTGACCCAGTGATTTGCAATTTAGCCCAGCACAAGCCGCATCAGGATTGCCCGACGCGTCCAGGGAGCTTGCTTGTCCCTCTGCCTCAGGCAGCTTATCAGAAGTCCAGCCAAAATACCTGGTGCTCAAGTCAATGTTCAGCTGCTGCATGACTATAGGCTGGGAGCGTAATCTTCTATCTTTTCTAAAAGGCGCTTCGAATAATTTGGTGAATAATATTCGACTATTTCAGGCGGATAGCAGCTATTTATCTGTTGGATGAATTTTGTTAGTTTACCACCAACAGTTTCGTTGAGCTCTGTGCGGACAAGAACACAAGTACTAAGGCAACTCAAAGGCACCAAGCTCACTAACCTTGTAGAAATTGCAATCCACCATTCTGGACAAATGCGCGGCGCGCTTCAACATCATGAGGAAGTATTGATGCAAATTGTTTGAGCACATACTTTTGCACTTTAACCGGTGCCTCACGCAAGAGCGGTTGCAGAGCCTGGAGATGCGTGCACTTGGCCAATATGGCCTTCAAAGCACGTTTGGACTTAGTTTTGAGGTCCTCTGAGCTGTCTTGGTGCACCATACAGGCCAACAAGTGACGCAGGACGTCGCCCTCTGCCAACGCCCGTGCATGGTCTGAGGTATGACGACCGATTTGACCCAGGCTCCATGCAGAAGCTGCCTTAATATGATCCTCTGGCTCTGTAACCAGTGCTTCTTTCAGCGGAGCTACACCCTTTGAGACAATGATGGCTAGTGCTAGTGTTTCAGAGAAAGCTGCGATGTAACCAATCGCCATGATACCGGGCAACTTGCCATTTCCTTGAGCTTCAGAAACGTAATCCACTAAGGCAGCAGCCCCGCCAGAGTTTACAATTAGTTTTGCAAGCTCTGGGGTATGTTTGGCAACCTCTCGGATACAGGTTGCAGCATTCTTTCTCACAAAAGGATCAGTGTCTTTAAGGCAGTTTAGGACATTTGGGAAAATTTCTGCCTCAACAATTACCTCAGCTAAGTCAACAGAGTGTTTTGCTATCTGAGCGAGACAGCTGCACACTTGGCGCTTCAATTTTGCATCAGGATGCACAATCAACGGGGCCAAATAAGCCACAGCACCAGCATCTACGACAGCTTGTGCCAACTCGGGCGAGTGCTTGCAGATATCGGACAGGGCAGATGCAGATATACGCTTGAGAGTTATCTCTGGTTCTTGGATGCACAGGACTAAGAGTGCAACTGTACCAGCGTCGACGACTGCCTGGGCCAGCTCTGCTGTGTGTTGTGCTATGTAACCAATTGCCCAAGCAGCTGCCTCTTTTACTGTTGGGTCGAATTCTTCAAGACATGGGACTAGGGCGTCCAGTGCACCAGAATCAACTACTGCCTGGGCAAGATCAGGCGAATGTTTCGCAACTGCTCGGAGGACAAATGAAGCGGCCTTCTTCACAAAGCGCTACGCACAGAAATTCATGTAAAATGATGAAACGCATCACGTACATTCTGTTCAGAGAGTGAGTAAACGAGCTGGGGAAGAATTTCATTACCAACAACTGCCTCTGCTAAATCCTCACTATAATTGGCTAACCGACCAAGAGCAAGGGCGGCAGACTGTTGAATACTTGGCACCTATCAGTCCGATGTTAATAATCTAAGTTGCTATCATTATTTCATCGAGCAATACATTATCTAGCAAGAGTGGACGCAAAAGTTGCATAACACCAGCATTCTGCATGACCTCAATATTTTGCGGGCGTGTTGCCGCCTCTGCCACAGCCTGGACAAAGGCGACCTACGGTAATTATGTTGTACGTCCCCCTGCAAAGTTACACTTACCCGTGATTTTTGATATACTTCGAAATGTTGCAAGACCGACACACCACTCATCGCGTGGATTTTTGTTGTATGACGGCGTTAGGTACCGAAGATACTTAAAGTCCTAGGGTAAAATAAAATATCCGAGCCGTCACTTCCAGGATGGCGCCTACTATCTCCACAGACTGGCTTTGAAGCATCGATAGTAGTACCATTAACGCCAGAACTACGAGTGGGCGGCGGGCCTCACGGAATACGGGGTTTGAGCCGCGAGGCGCGCTCATAACCCCGGTCCCATTGAGTCGTGCGCGGGTGTTGCCACGGAGCCGGCGTTCGTGCGTGCGTTAACGGCTGCGCACAAGGCCGAAATGTACCTCGAGCAACTCGGCGGGTATTATGCTCGGCGCGGCGTGGCATGACCGTGACCGAAAGAAACTTTTAAACGACACAACACACAAAGACAACTAAATTGCTAAATGTTCAACTATTAAATGTTACATCATGATGTCGGTACTAACAATCATGATACCATCAGGATGATCAACCTTCAAGTTATTGAAATCATGATGTTAATCTTAAATGTTATCCTCCTTGCCGCGATTTCATGATTATCGCATCTTATCACGATCACGACAATGGGGGAGTGCAATGGAAATACACCGTGGCGTCTAGTAGGATCCCAAGATTCAACTGAGACGTATCCAAGCACAACCCGTACTTATATTACCCGCCTAGGCTACTTCCCATCCTAGGGTACTCCGATATCCCCTTAGTAGGGGAGTCGCCTCTCACTCCTAACTATTATCATCCTGAGTCACCTTTTATTGACGGACGAATTTCCCGTCGCAAACCCCATCAAACACGGGAGAAACTATTTCGTTAGACGACTACACTACGCTGCCGAGGAAGTCCGGAGCTACACACTCTATTTCCCCCTGCATCGCAAAGGGAATTTCCGGTGTTTGGCTAACTCAGGCTTGAAGGCGACCTGAGAAGGAGGGCTAAGTTTCTCGAACTAACTTCACTGGCAGTACCCCAACAAGCCTCGCGCTTACCAGGGCAAAAAGGCCCACCGTGACTGGGCTAATAATAATTAGGTTAAGAGCAACCGTCGATACTACGACGAGTGGAGATCGCACCACTGGAAGTTGATGCCATTTTGCACACCATGACTGGTGATAGAATCGATTTCTAGCATTCAGATACTGATGAAATTTGAATAGTGGTCACCGACAATCCGCATCTTCATCTTCATCACCGTCCTGCTCCGCGTTTTCTTGGGCCAGACGGTCCATCATGATTTGAAGCTCGGTTTCTTCGCGCGCTGACACGACCTTTGGGGACATTTTGATATCAATTTTTCCACCTCTTTCAAGGATTTTTTCAGTTATGGCAGAAATAGCTAATGTTAAGGTCTGAATACCAAGCTCTTTATCCAAAGTCATGGTGGTCAAGACATACATTGGAGGGGCAATTAGCCTGATCTGGATTGGACACACATCTACACACTCACGTTGGCCGTGGATAAGTGCTTCACGGATTGCATTGATACCACTGTATGAGAAGCAAGTGACCTCAAGATCTGCTCGGACCTTGATAGGCTGTGGGGAGAGTTTTTTCTTAACGAAGTCCAACAGGCAGTTTTTAGTGGCGCTCTCAATGTTTGGGCAAACTTGAAGGACATCGTCATCATCGCCCGATAGACAGAGTTTCAATGCATCATATGCATGGCCATATTTTCGATACAATGGCCAGCCGACCATCTCATACAACTCTTCTAATCTTTTCCCTTGTCTATCTGCTACATGCCGCATCACACGATGTACCGCCTTGGCTTTGTTGTAACGCTCTTCGCATTTCGCTACATCTTCAGCAGAGACGCGCCGCTTACTGAGATCAATATACCCCTTCTCCTTGTCGACACGCAGTACCATTACCACCTCGTTTCTGTTTACTCGGATTAACTTGTTGATGCTACGGATTCGGCGTCGGCTCAACTCGCTAAGCAAGATCATTCCTTCTATGTTGTTATACTCAAGTAGAGTCACATACGCGCCCATTTCCGCAATGTTTCTCACGTTCACCATCACGAGCGATTCGACCTCTGGAAATGGCTCTTCGTAGAAACGACATTCTAGTCGTGTATCGCTCATCCCTCTTTCTGCACTGGAGATAATAAGGGCCCTTGTGGAGTGAAACAACTGCGCAACCTCCGAAAAAAAAAATCCGTGAAGAGTGAGAGTGTCACGGGTGTTAAATTTTTTCGTTAGCTCGCTGGCTCGGGTTCGCTAGCGTGAGTCATTGATGGTTTGTGGGTTTCTGACCTCTCCACTCCCCCTGTCCCGGGCCGCCTCCACCTCTCAGGCTCAGGCTCAGGCTCCACACGTAACCCGGGCCAGCCTGAGAAGGTCAAGACTCCGAGTCTCTCTTGGCCTAGGCTACTTGAGAGCAACGACCTAAAGTAGAGACCTAAAGGAAGGCTCCTTATTTCAGGGTTCCTTATTTTGAACCGGACTCGGGCGTCGTCTTAAACCTGAACGGACGGCTGCTGACATCGGATCAGTACTCGGGACTCGCGTACTGGGTGCTAGACTAGCCTGACAGGTCGCCCAGGTCTTTTTCTCGGAGGCCACTAGAGGTCCAGTGGTGAGGGGTCGAGTGGGCCTCAAAACAAAGTTGCGACCGGCACAGTTACTTGGCTGGAATTGAAACGAGCTGCAGGTACTTCGAGAGGCCATTGCACAGCCGGCCAAGCCTGCCGGCCCTTGAATTTTGGTGCGCACCGTCACAAACTGCCCGCTGACTGGCGCTCGCCGGTGGCTTTGCGCCAGGTCGGAAACGAATACCACATCAACAACGTCACCTCCAGTGACCTTGCACAAGTGTTTGCCAGCCACCTCGGACAAGTGATTGTTTGCGCGCTCCTGGATATCAAGATGTAAGATACCACAGAAGCTCGGAGCTCAAGCTCTACCAATGTCTCACCTTCGACAATGGGTCATGTTGAGAGGCCCTGAAATCACTCGCTGGAGAGGACGTGAAGGAGGGATGCGCCAGTGTTTGCGATGGAGAGCCGCGTGACCTACTGGCACCTGCCGTGCATCTGAGGTCTTGAGGCCAGATAGATCCCAGATAGTTGGCAATGGCGGACACTTGTTTTGCCGAGACTTAGCTAAATCTAGCTGGCACCTTTTTCTGGCAACTTTGCATGTCTCATTGTCCTTACTAAGCTTCACCTCATGATCATTTTTTGCTTCGTGGGGAGAGTTTTGTTGGTGCTCGCTAGAATCGGTATCCGAGTCAGAGCTATGGTAATTTTGATGGGCTAGTTGCTTGTGCAGGTTCCTCAACCTTGCCTTTTGTTGGTCGTCAGCTGCCTGCATTGTGACACTAAGGCCATTGTCTGAAGCCCCACTGACGTCAGCGCCAACAACAGAGAGAAACTCGCGGAAGTCAATGACTCCATTATTGTCTTTGTCAAATTCCTGTACAAACTCACCAAACGCATCGTCGTCGAGGTGGATGTGATAGCAGGTTAAAGCATTTCGGAGTTCTCCTCTGCTCATGGCATGACAACTAGCAATATTTAATCGAGTGAAGGCTGCCCGACTGTGCTTGAAGTTCGTGACAAGCTTGTCTATGAGCAATGCGCGTGCCTGTTTTGCAGTACATTTTGGTGTCGGCTTTATATCTCTGCAGTTTCTTGTTGAATTAGAATTGTGATCAACGACACCAACATAGGCCCCGCCCGCTATGGATTTCCCAAATTCCCTGACAAATAGTGGGAAGGTGATACCATTGCCATCCGCTGGGAACTTGCCATGAGTCCGCTGTATGTGTTTTACAATCTCCCGGACAATGTCATCATTAACATGCAGATGGTAGTTGTCAAACATCATCTTGAATTGTTTCCTGCATAATTGACTAGCACGGTCCTTATTATATCGCTTGAAAACCTTGTTGACCGAGGTTGATGTCTCAGTGAGCTTGATATGCAATAGTCGTAGAGCTTCCTCGCTGGATAAAAGCCATGGTTCGGGTATTCGATTAGCAGTGTGAGGGATACCACGCGTGCAAAGGCCTGTCGATTGATTTGCTTGCCAAGGTGCACCGCAGATGGCCTCTCCAAACCAAAACAAAAATTCTTTATAGTCGATACTACCATTCTTGTCACGGTCTAGCTCACAGTATAGCATTTCATAGTCTTCATCATGAAGTTCAATATTCAGCGATTTGATAAAATGCCTGAACTCCTCTTTGTCGAGGGAACTGTCCTTGTCTAAATCTAGGTTGCGAAAAGCAGAGCATGCCGAAGTATATTTACCACCCAAGCGTCTGGCAACTACCTCCCTAATCTGACTTACTGTGTATCGAGGCATCTTCGACTCAAGCCGTGGCTGGCACATGGAATTTCCGAACTCGACTTGTTGCTTTAGTCGCGGGCTGGCGCTAGAAATAATCCCAGTATCACGAAATCCTGCAACGATGTCTCCGAAAGCGGCAACAAATTCGCGATAATTTATAAGGCCATCACCATTCTTGTCCAGGGCATCAAAGAATTGCTTCGCCTTCTCATGAGACATTTCAAGGTTCATTTGGCTGAGGGCATTGTGCCATTCTTTTGCATCGATACAGCCAGATTTGTCCACGTCTGCTATTCGAAAGATACGTCGTACAGTACGAGCTCGAGTCATTAGGATTGACTCCATGGCATTCATGAAGTCAGTTGTGGTCCAATTCTGGTGGCGCTGGTAGCTATTTTTCTTGTATAATTGTTCATTTCGTTCAAAACAGCATTTATCCTCTATCCTCCCCAATCCCGAATTCATCGCCGTGCTGTTGCCAAAGGCGCTACCCGCTATATCTGATCCGAAAAAATTGTTGAATTCTCGATAAGATACTTTCCCAGAATTATCCGTGTCAATACGTGCAATTAGTTTATCTACATCCGCGTCGCGTAATTTAATGTGATAATTTTTCAGCAGCAATAGAAGTTCTCCCTTCTCCAACTTGCCAGAGCTGTCTCGATCAAGTGCTCGAAATGCTGTCTTGACCTTCGTGTGCTGAGTTGCCATTCGAGTGCGCAATTCTGTGATTGCAGTTTCCAACTTCATATTCCGTGGGCTGTTGCGTAGACAGCGGTTTTTAATATTTTCAATATGAGACTTTTCGCCATGGAAAACATCCATCCCCTCATATCCACCACCACAGATGCCTTCTCCGAACGCGTCCTTGAACTCTCGATAGTCGATTGACCCATTTCTATCAACATCTATTGTATTGAACACTTCTGTCAAAACTTTCGGGCCCACTCCCACGAGATTCAAGTTGTGCAAAAGACGACGAATTTGCGGCTTTGTAATTCGATCTTGCCTGCATTAACAGGGGCCGCTACTGCTTGTGAAACGAAATGAACTATTGCACCGGGGTGCACCCGGGCTGGGCAACTTCTCGGAACGCCCTTCGCACCGAATTAGACTGAGTTGCAAACTTGTCCTTTAAAGCTTCGATCAGTACACTTGGCGACCACTTATGAAACGGCTTATGCTTTATCCTCCTCGGCGCAGAATGTTCTGAACTAATCTCCATACGGATTTAGCGTTCAACGAGTGGCTGGCTCCAGCAATGATATATTTTATTGAACGATATCGTATCCGCGCCGGCCGCAAACTTTAAGACTGAGTTCAAGTTCGCACGAAATCCCGCCGGGCGCATTACCTGAGGCGGGGTCCGTTGTGTGAACCGGGCCGGCCTCCGACTCAGGCTTTAAGTTCAAGTTCAACTTAACCGGCACGGTCACGTATTTTTACATAGCGCTACGACATACTCGTGCTATATACCTACCGTGACGGTATGAATGATATGACATAACTTTTGTAGGACCTGGTACTCTAGTAAGGATAATTGTGTGGGGGAATGTTCGACGAAAGTCCAGAATGTACGCAGCCAGTTGATAGTCAACTTGAAAGCTCTGAGGGTAGCGCAGAAGCCAGACTAGGCGCTGCTTCCCTTTGGGCTCGGCTTACCCCCTTCTACACCTCGACGGACGGCTTGAAGACTTACGATCTCGTCTCTCGTGCCTGCTTGAAATCTGAAATTCCTGAAGACTCGGAGATTGACATTTACACTATTGGTCGAAATAAAAAATGTGATGTTGTGATTGACGACTCCAGAGTTAGTGGGTATCATTGTCGAATCTTTCGGGCGTGGGAAAATAGACCTGGGCTAACTAGCCAACTCCTACCTTACATTGAAGACTTGAGCTCAAATGGGACGTTCGTAAACAAAATCAAACTAAAACGTCAGGAAAGACGGCTCCTCAGTAGCGGTGATGAATTAACCTTCTTGTCTCCTAAAATACAAGAATCTCGCTTTACAGCACATGTGTTTGTCAATGTATCTCATTCAAATACTACTATGGCGCCACAGCATGGTCCCACCTGCCGGTCGCTTACTCTGGCTGCAGCAGCGCCAGACAGGCACCTCGAGGCAGACTATCAGCTATGTGAAGAGTTGGGCAGTGGCACCATAGGGAAGGTTTATCGCGCTGTCAATCGCGTCACAGGTCAGGCTTTTGCGGCAAAGATAATTCCAACCCGTAAGTTTGCTTTCCAGCGTACTTTTTCGTTCTCAGACTTGCTTCAAGAAGCACGTATGCTTCGGAATCTATCACATCCAGCTATTGTATCTGTTCATGACGCTTACAAGGATGTCGACTCCTTTGCTATTGTGATGCAACTCGTAGAAGGGGGGGATTTGTTTGATCGAGTGGTGAAGCGTGGTCACTATCCAGAGTCTGATGCCCGCGACACGATGGTTCATTTGCTATCTGCATTGGCTTATCTGCATGCACGCGGGATTGCGCATCGGGACGTCAAACCAGAGAACATATTGCTCCGCACAAAGTTCTCTGATGTAGATGTTCTCTTAACTGACTTTGGCCTAGCTAAGGGTGCTGCAGTTTTGGAGCTGCGTAGTTTATCGTTCACCTCAATTGTGCTAATCCATTCGCATTCTTTCAGGTTGGCTCGCATGGCTGTCGAACATTTTGCGGAACGCCACAGTACGCCATGACTGTAATTAAGATTCGCGTCACAGTGCAAATTAGGTATTTGGCCCCCGAAGTGATGGAGCGTCAGGGGAGGGGCACCACAGCCCGGGGGGGTGGCTATGACGGTGCAGCTGCAGACATGTGGAGTGTGGGCATCGTTCTTTTTGTTTTGCTATCAGGAACACAGCCTGCAAACTCAAATTTCGAGCACAAGCGATCAGTTTGTAGCTTTGATGATAACGAAGTGTGGCACGGTATCAGTTTAGAAGCCAAGGGAGTCATATTGAAACTGACATCTATTGATGCCCTGAGACGCCCCTCTGCGGGCTCATGCTTGGCTATGTCTTGGCTTTCACAAGCGCATGGTGTGGACTGTGCATCACCTGAACTCAAACGATGTAAGCAGAGCACAGCCCCCTCTTAAGCATTTTGGACTTGCATCAATAACCATCATTTCCTGCCAATCAATCATTCATGCTATAGTGTGCACGGCGTTTCAATCAGCCACTCATCCCTACGAAGCTTCTACTGCACAAAACACAAGAATAGCAAGCAACACTTTCTTTCTCTGGGGGAAATAAGGTAAATATTGCCAGTGCGTTCAAGTTGGCATCGTGAGAACCACCCATTGGCTGAAGCTAGCCTGAATGATTAGCCTGGGGGCAGAATGTAGGCAAGGCTAGGAAAGAAGTCGGCCAAGGGCAGGTCACTCCGATAGTGCGACTACCTCCGGGTCTCCAAGCACGGGCACACTCCGGCTATCCCGCTGTGGCCCGCCGAGACTCAGGCCCCTATGAGCAAACTCGACCTGCAACTCCCGCCCAGGGGCCGGACTAATAGCGTAGCCGCTTTTTGCCCAAGTAAAAAAAACTGACTTAAAAGAGGCCCAGTGGCAGGGCCTGGGCACAGCACGGGGGCCGGGGGGCGGTCTCCTAATTTGAGATTCGAGTTCCTAGCCACTTGGCCGGCGCCGATTTTGGCTATGGGGTCCCACAGAGTCCCTTTGTACGCCCCGTGACCGGGCTGGGGGAAAGGGGTCATTTAGAGGCGAGACGCGGTCGCGAAGTTGCCCATCTGGGGCCTAACGTGCGGGTATTTCAGGGACCTGCGGACTGAAAAATCAAAACTCGCTTCTATGCTGATAGTTTGGTCTCCCAGGGGCCCTCGGGTACCTATGGCGTGGGGCGGATGCATAGGCGCGGCCGGGTACCCGATGGGCTGCAGGCCACTAAAATTTCCAAACCTAATCGTTTTGCTTACCCGTTTTGGTCACCCTAGAGGGTCCCCAGCCCCCCCCCCCCGGCTTGATTTGGCGGCGGCCGAGACGTCTAGTTATAGAGATACGGCAAATTTGGGGTTGGGTGTCCGCCCCCGTGGCGCAGCCCACTGGGTACCCGGGCCCACTGGCGACTCCGGCTGATCAGAATGATCTTCAACTTTGCCTGTAGTTGCCCGGGTTAGACTGTCGACGTGGAAACCCGCGAGCTCTGGAGGCTCGGGGCTCAATCTCCAGAGTGATTTATCTTTAGCTTTGTCTTAACTCTACAGCCTATGTGCTCGTCAAGTTGCTCCAAACAGCGCCTCCTCGGCGTTTTCGCCCACAGCAACGACGCACGACACGCTTTTCGTTTAGTTAGGGCGATGCACTGGCGGCCAACACGAGGATGTATGCACGGTAGAGCAAACTTGAAGACTCGGCGTTGCCCGGCCAGAGTCCATTAAAGAAGAAGTCCGTGGGGCGAATATGATTGCCCGGGGAACCCGCGAGCTCTGGAGTTGCAAGGGTTGAGACCCGGCGTACCCTGTAAGATCGAGCGAGAGATCATGCAGGTCAGGTCGGAAGCGAGATCAGGTGGCTAGAATGAAGGCCGATGGCAGCAAAGTATGCTCGGAAACTGAACATAGAACAGGAATGGCATCCCTTCTAGAAGAAAAGCGGGCCATTTGCGCGCGAGTGACTGCGCGTCCGCCAGCGTACTCAATGCCTAAAACGCAGCGCAAACGTCTGAAACAAGCGGGGGGGCAGGACTTCGCTCTGAAGCGCAGCAAAAAAGTTCCATCGTTTGGTGAAAACTCGGCCTTTTTTGAATCACACCTGTCGAAAGCGCAAGCCATTGAAGTAGTAGAGATGCAAGGAAGCAAAATTCAGCGAAATGCAGACTGGTCTTCTCATCTCAGTGATCATCGCCTTGGGCGTGAACGCGAACGTGAACTCGATCGCCTGTGCCGCCTCTTAAGACGTGCAGCTGAATTAGACGTCAGTACATGTTGTCATGATATCAGGACGCTCCTCTTAACACGAGATAATTCGGAGGAAATGCGCCTTCGAATTCCCACGCCACCCAGTTTACAGGGCCAAATATATTCCCTGTCGTCCTCTTTACGTATGTCTTCTCAAAAAGTGATTGGACATTTTCGCACTTTTCCTACTGCTGTCTCACCTCTTAGACGACTGATCAAAGCTGGCAAATCCACCAGCTTGCAACCCATAAAAGGCATGCTAGGTATGGTATTGCAACTGACTGATTGGGCTCGGGCTTTTAAGAGCCATCAGATTCCCGATGTTGCTGAACTATGGGGGGCTTTGCTGTCCTTAGTGGGACATTCAAGAGTTGCAAAAACCAAAGCACACAAAATGCTGAGTTCTGCTGCAATGGTTCTGATGCGCATTTCGCTGAAGAGTTTGGTTTCTTTCTGGGGATTAAGTCATCCGAGCAGCCTGCAACCTTTGATGCTGTCTTTACTCGAGGTCAATTTGATAACATGGCAACCACTCGCACAGCTAACTTTGTCACTCCAAGCTTTTCGTGAGCTTGGATTCACAGACTCGGAGATCCGATCAGAAACTTCTAGTAGTACCGGGGGTTGGATGGCCGAGCCAAATTCTGAATCAGCTGATGTACTTGCTCAAGCGCTCACAGGTGCGAGGATAATCTCCTGTCTACGTCGGAGCACAAATTCCACGTTGAAAAGGGAGAGCTGTTTTCGAATTCCCATCCCTAGGACCCTAAGCTCCAAACAGCATCGGTGCAACTTGAATCCGCGAGTACAGGGGAATGTGTCCATTTTCAACATCTCCCCGGCTTGGACACCAAAGCACGAACCTTCTGTTTCGCCCGACATGCGTGGCGACACTGCACATGTACCTCAGTTTAGAAGCAACTCCTCAGCTATCACCAAGTGGTGCAGGAATGTCATGGGAATATTGTTCTCACAGCCTGCGGTATCAAAATTCAAAGCAAAATTTACATCTCTAACCAGCACGAAGAACCCCCCCTTCTCAGGGAAATGTGGCAACTCGCTCGCAAATTTTGTTTCTTATATGAGACACAATCTCGAAACCTCTGATCTCTGCACGCCCGAGGGATACCACATCACGCGAGTTGCGGTAAAATTAAGTGCGACTTTTGAACGTTTGGTGCGTGAGAAGAATTTCAATTCAAGTTTGATCACCAGCTACTCGGGATTCTGCGCTGTTTGTGGTAAGGATGAGGCGAGTTCCTCGTCGCAACTTGTACGCTGTGATCGATGCTCTGCTTACTATCATACAGTCTGCTCTAAGCGCCCTTTAAGAAAAGACAGCGAAAAGGATGCATATTGGTTTTGTCCTATTTGCGATAGCTTAGTCATGGGGGGCGCAGTTAGGACCATTGATAGGATGATCTCAAATGTCTCAATGATTTACAATGTCCCTTGCATCATCGAGCATGTCCTCATCCCTGGTTGCAATTCGCTTTTAATGATACCCCAGTTGATATTAAAGAGAAAAGACAAAAGGTACTTGGCAATGACCTATGATGAAGTTGTGATGACAGAGAACGATTCGTCAGATTCAGTGCGATCTCTGCAATTGACCCGATGGTTGTCTCTAGACCACAAGGATCGTGTTTTAGAAGCAAATAATAAAGCTATGCATAGCAAAGATACCAAGCAGTTGTTTGGTTCGATACGGGCTCTTTCTTTTGACTGTACCTGGAATTTACAAGATTGGGTTGCTATACTCAGTTCTCTGCTTATCTATGCAGCTTCGGCGACTAAAGTGAATGCATGTGGTGTAGACTGCCAAGCAGACTGTGATATGAATGTGCGCACCACGCGTTATTTTTTGACATGTGAAGGTCAAAATACAGAGAATGAATGCCACGCTACCAGCTTAGCGGCGGAACGGTCATCCCTAGAATATCCCTCAGGCAGTATGCGTAAGCAGCGAGAATTGATCCTGGCGGCAGAAGTAATCGATAATTTGGCATCACTTGTCGAACCTGACCGCACTCGCAAGCAACTTTATAAGCATGTGCATACGAGAATTTTGCAAGATCTGCTGGTGATAGATCATTTTCCGTCGCTACCGGGCTCTGTTGTAAGTCATGTGCAACTAGAGTCATCCTGCACGTGGTGCGGGGGCGATCTTGCCTATCTTCAAAGTGCATTTGTATATTCTCGAAATGACTTCTACATGGCTCCCAGAAGCACAGGAAAACTCCCAAACTGGGCCATGGCACACGAATTTTGCTCGAGTTGCTTGGCCAAGCAACGGTCAGGGAAACTAAAACACCGAAGGCGGCAAGCTATAGCAGCCCGTGATAGGGAGCTTAAATGTACAGCCGTTGGACGTACACCATCGCTGGGACTAGATTTTCAGGGACGTATTTATTGGTATTTTGCACATCAAAGAAATATGTTGGCGGTCAAGCTACCAGACAACAATGAAACTGGTGGCAGGTTCCCCGAGTCCAAGCAGGATGGTGAATGGCTGTGCTTTTCCACAGTGCCGTCAATTGCTCAGGTTATGCAGTATCTCATCGAGGAATGTGATGGGGAAATGGATATGCTCTTGACCAGAATGATTTTCGCTTTCCCTGAAGCATGCATGCTTTTGGAGCCCGATCTTGCCTTGCCGTGCATGTATTCCGACGATTGGGCTTGGCTTGAAAAATCAATTTCGTCATCTGAGTTGCTGACGCCGTCTTCAGAAGCATTACCGCAAGCTTATTTTGATATCAATGACGACATTTTTGTTCGTGTGAACGAGTTGATTTGGACTGGAACTGTGACAAAAGCAAATGCTGGTGAAGCCGAGTTATGTTACTACGTAAGGAGAAAATGTTGGAATTCAACTTTTGATGATTGGATGAGCTACGAGCAATCACTTGGGCATTCTGTCATTGCGAACTCAACGCAAAGCAATCTATACCGTAGCAATATCTATCGGTTCTTCAAATATTCACCCAAACTCGTCTCAGATTACCTTGACTTAGTAGCATCTACATTCATCACGAAACCGTTTCGAATCCAAGCTCGTCTGCCCCCTTCCCTATTGTTAAACCCGACTATAGTAACACCTTTGTACCAGATAATCCCCATTGCTTTGCTAACGCTATGTGCAGCATTACCAATCGGGTCTGCTACACCTGAGGATATTAGATGCATTCAGATATGCGCTGAAAATTATGCGAGATATGGGCAGGTTAGCGCACTTGAACTCACTCAACTTGTTCTCTTCTTGGAGGACGCCATAAACACATCGTGGGTCAAACCATCTTGGAGTGCAGTTCGTGCCAAGCTCCCCACGCGCACACACTGCCTTGAGAACCCTTCTCTCTGTCGAGTTGCATTACTTATCTGGATTCTTGACCGCGGGCTCATTTACAATAAGGTTGTCACACACGACGGCGTCTACGTCCTTGCCTAACCTTCTCCACCTCCTTGTCTCCGTCTCCTCCGCTGGCGATTCTAAGCGGAGCCAGGGGCAGCACCTGGGGAAGTGAAAAGCGGCCTGCTGCCTAACTTCCCGAGTCTAGTAAGGGGCCGGACCCCGATTGAATTGGGGGCTGTAACGCCTCCCCTTTAATAGCCCGAAGGGGAAAGCTTACTGCGCATGGGGCCCAGGGGGTGCTCCACATTCTGGCCGAGTGTGAGGCCCTAAAAATGCGAGGGGTCGGAAGGGCCCCCACGCGAACGTTGCGCCAGTGGCGTTTCGTGCCGCGTCAGGCGACAATTTGGGCAACTATACACCAAAGGTTGCCGTGTTTGCGCATCCTGCAGACGCCGCGGGTACCAAGGGGGACTTCGAGGGGGAAAGCACCAGCATAGAAGCGAGTTTTGACTTTCACCCCCTGAAAACCCGCGAGTTAAGCCAAATACCCGCACGTTAGGCCATTTTGGGGGGCTCACAACATCTCCAGGGAGACACCTTCGGGGCAAGCTAGTGTCGCTGTGGGCTTAGGATGCCCCTGGGACCCCAGCGGGCGAAAGGCGCCCCGTTCGGGCTATCAATTGAAAATCTCACCAATTTGGCGTCAGGCCCCGTGAGTACAGACCACGACTCCTCCGCTCCGAGAAACTAGGGTAAACTTGAACCCAAATTTCCGTCGCAAAGGACGCGTACGCGTCAGCGGCTCGGGAGGCGTGGTCTAACGCGACAGATGAGGAGGCCAGTATATAAGGCTCCGAGTCAGCGTGACGCTGCTACCGGCAAGGACAGTGACATGCCACGATTCCTAGCCGACGGACGAAACGCTTGCTAAATTTAGCTAAACAAAGCGACGCAATTGGCAGCCCGCTATCTCAGCCGGATCGTCGCGTACACAAAAAAGTCCACTTACACAATGACGCGCGCGCGCGCGATCTCCCGGAGTTGCGCTGGGTGCGTTGCGCGCCGACATCGGCGTCGCGAGAAAATGCCCCCTTTTGCTGCAGCAGCCCTTCGATGCCCCCTCCCCCGCCCGATACCGGACGCTGTGTGGCCCTCTCCTCCGCAATATCGCCGAGCAGCTGGGGTAGAACGATAATCCGCAGTCAGCTGGTTCGCAGCCCCAAGATTCGTCGAATGGTGCGACCCATTCGATCTCGCTCGAAACGAATGAGGCGCACCATTCGTTCAATATTCGGTCGCCGACACCCTTTTTTTCGACCGCAGCTCGTACCTGACGTCGTCGGGCAGCAGCTCGTCCACTGGGCACGTTTAGGCACCTCGCGCCGAGATTTCGTGCTTCGAAGACGAGAAACGGCCTGATTTTCGTTGCGCTGCCCCTGGGCAATAATCCTGCCCACTGGACGAGATGCAGGCTCGTGCGGCTGCACGAAGCTCCAAACCGGGCCAGTGGGCAGGTTCATGCAACTCAGACTGAGTTATCGTGCACGCCAATTCCCCCGACGCCAAAAGCCGGACCTCAGAGATACACTAGCTACATTATTAGTGTCCGTCTGTTTGTAAGAGCCCTGGGGCCTTCCAGGGCCAACCCGCGGGCGCCGCCGCGGCGACGCCGCGTCGGCCCTCGAAAACGAAGGGGCTCGGACGAGGGGAAGGGTCGGGGTGGGGCCCACAGAGTACACGTCCCCCCTTCCTACGCCGCCCTCCGGACGGCCTTGGGCATCAAAACGGACCCCTGGTGAGCACTTTAATACCCAATATTTTGAGAGGTGGTAGACAAAACGCAAAAAAAAATCCCCCAGCCCGCTCCGGCGTGGAACGAATTTCCTATACTTTGTCGGGTCGGAGCTAAGTCGCAACGACAACGCAAGTTTCGGTGTAAACCGAATACCGAGTAGGGGAGCGTAGCAACCGGCGGCGAGCGCCGTGCGCCTCGGTGGGAAGAGCTTAGCCAATCCCGATGGGCGAGGGCAGAGCGATGGGCACATCCCGGGCCAGGCGACTTAAGTCCAATGATCATAACTTGCAGGAGTGTAAAAGTTTATTTTTACTTATCGTTACGATTTCCAGACTCGAATACATGGCATTCAAAGTCGGGCGTTCCGAGTCGAGCATATTCTACGTCCGGGCCCATTCAAGTTTTTATCATAAAGAACTTGAAATACAGTAGTACATTTTGAGTCAGTTAACTTGCCAGTGTGAGCCAAGTCACGGTCAAGGTCATGATACACTGGGACTTACTAGTACTACCAGCTCATTACGTCCTAACAAGGCGACTCGGACTACCTAAAATCATGATGAATGGCCCTGGGGCCAGCGTCGTAGCTCAAACCAGAGCATGTGGTACTCGCGGAGCACGTCAATTATAACAGAGCCAAGGCCCAGGCGACCATTCTCTACCGTGGTCCGTGCCAGTGGGTGCCGGCCCCTTCCCACATGTTCTTGCCAATCTTGGCGAACAGTACTATATCTAATTTCCACTGAACGCCTCAGGTGTGTTCGTGTTAAGATCCGAATTGAATTCGAGCACTACTATCTTAGGCTAGAATCCCAATTAAGCCTCGTCGTTATTACCTCATCGGAGTTTGCAGAGCCATGGCCATTTGACGCTGGACTTGCATTCTGCCCGCTGAGGGTTAAGTGGTGCCGGGGCTGCGATTACATCAACGATCACTATGGTCGTATCATCTTTAAACGGATGTTCTCGGACGCCATTTAGTTGGGCACACTCCAGCCTCACATGCCTCAGTATTGATGTAGCACATTTTTGCGGATCATCGCGATTTCTATAGGCAAGCTTGGCAATTTTATTGAGCGAAAGTGTTCCCCAAAGTCCATCACTTGCAATTACAAAGCGTTTGTGGTTACCCCTCTTGACAACACGCTCAATTATCTCCGGGTGAGGAATCAGCGTGCGTGACGCATCCCAGTCACCTATAGAACGCGTAACACAGGTAGAAGCGCCATGCACAATAGAGCTTTGTGGCATTTGCAACCAGCGGGCATGCAATGCAAGGGCCCCATCCTCGTTCTTATGTGATTTTCTCTTCTCCAGCAAGCTTAGTTGTCTTTGTAACAATGGGGACTCGCAACGCAGATGGCTTGAAAAGATGCGCTCATAGGCGGACTCCAACTTCTTCTCGTAAGCAAAAGTTTGTTGCGTGAGTTCTCCAAATTGAAATAAATCATTTTGGACGTGAGTCTGAAGGCGCATTTCCTCGAGAAATTTGCGCGCGCGCCACTGATTGTGAATTCTAGTGATCTCTGCCTTGTTCATGCAATTGTGCGCTGACGTCAAGTAAGTAACACCCGCCACAGGAGCAATCATATCAATCTCCAGTATTTGTGAGTCACCTACCCATGCCAAACTGATTCTGAAGTCGTTACTCTTGCGATGCCTACTTGAGTGCCTTTTAATACACTGGTAGAGAAAAGAGGACGCACTCAATCATCATAATCGACGCAGTGGTTCCTGAATTCAGAGATTGGGGTCCCAGGGTCTCGTCAAGCTTCCAGAATATTTCCTCGAACGACTGCTCGTTGCCCCAGTCATATTCTGCGCATTTGCGTGCGACAAACTTGCCCCCATGACCATCAAATACACCAAACATTGTTTTGTTATTCAAACATTGCATCTTGAAAAAATCTTCTTCCTTCATAGAGTACATTTCTACCCCGTAACGGACTTGTCCAAATTCGTTAGGCGTCATGATGGCAAGTGTACGTCCCCTTATCTACCAGCTTGTACAATATATAGGGTATTCAGCTTACCCTAGTTTCCTTAGTGGCTAGTGGAGTAGCAGCAGACTAATAGTTGGGAATTTACTCTTTGCTCAGTTGCCGCCCATCGGGCCAACCAACCCCGGGGACAGGTAGTAGATCTCCCCGGGCCCCATCAAACAGGGAGGGCCCGGGAGGGCGGGCTAAATAAATCTGAGGACCGACACAAACCACAGCCAATTTGGCTTTGTGGTTGGCCGGAGAATCCGAGGGGAGCCTAAGGCTAGTACAGTAACCAGGGTAACTGCTAGCTGGCTTCTAGCCTCGCGTTAGAATTTGGTACACTCACGGAGGTGTCCCAGCCCAAAGGGCAGCCCAGGAATAACCTGGGTTGTGTTTGGTGCCATAATAGACCCTATGGTGCTGGAAGCCAGCGTTGAGAAAATTTCTCAGGCACATGGTGCCTCTTTGTGTAAACGACAAATGTCGCCAACCTACACCGCCGTCGGGCTATCAAACGTCGATGATGCACTCTGACGCCCGCTGGTAGCCGCGCCGGCATCTAGTACGCTCGTCTACTAGTACTATGTGCCAGTGCGTCATCATCATGATGGCCCATGGTTGTGTAAGTGGCCTCGTCACGAGTCACGGTCACGGTAGGAGCGCGCAACTTGAACTTGAATTTACTACAACTTCAAGTTGAAGCTACCCCTCACTGGCCCGGGCCTGGGCCCAGTGGCAGTCCATAGTTAGTAGAAAGTGCCTGCCGCAGTGCGGCCTCATCATGATGTGGATGTCTGAGATCCAGGCCTTGGAATTATGGGTTCCTGCATAGCTACCCGTAGGTACATACCGTGATCCATACTGTAGTACTACCCCCGTAGTTGGTACAAGCTGGTACCTACCTACGGTACAGTACCTGCCGTACCGTACCGTAGGTAGGTACCTACGGTACGGTACTTCGATACCTACGGTATCATACTATGTGGGGAAGAAAATGCTCTCACAAGTAAAATCTAGAGTAACATCTTTTCTCTTTCAGCTCATCTTAAATCGTCTCCTTGGCCGCGTGCTAAAGAAAAAACTTCAGGAGATTGACGTCCATGACGGAATTGTAACATGCAATAATGTAGCACTGGATGAAAAGGCGGTGGGCGCGCTCTTATTACAGTGAGATGCAATGTACAAAGTCAGATTTACGAGTAGCGTTGTACCTGTCCTAGGCCTGGCTGGACGATCACAAATTGCGTGGTGTTGCACGTTGTGCGGCATGCAGAGTCTAGTGATTTAGCTGCGGAGATTGTTGCACGTAGTATCATTGCAGGAACTTGTTGCCACAAGCTTAATATCGATGCATCGAGATGGCTGTGTACTCAGACTCAAAGGTGTTCATGTGGAAGCATCTACGTCGGACCGGTGTTTCATTGGTAGCTTTCAACTGATTCTGAGTCCGTGCAGGATTGGACCTGGGGGGGCTCGCAAGATGGATGCCTCCAAATCCAAAGGCGTAGCCAGCAGGGACGTATGCTGTGTGGCTGCTAACTTGCAGAATGCCCTGGTGCGATGGGTTATGCAGGGGGCGCAGCGAACCTTGGTGGATGTATCAGGCATAACGGTGGCAATAGAAAATTCCAAAATACCTATATTGCGCTTCAAACTGGCAGAGCTTAAGCTCCACACGTGCACTGAAAGCAGAAGATCTGCGCTGAGCTGGGGTCGGCTCTCAGTATCAGTCGGCAATGATGTTGGCCTCTCTGAACTCGAAAGTGGGCACGCTATGATTCGTGAATTGGCAGAGTCTTTTGACATTGACATCCATATCACGTCGCCAAGCTTTCGTGCACCACTGGTTGCCGACATGTCATTTGGGACTCTGCTCCATACCTCCCAAGGTCAAAACCAACATGCTTATCAAAGTAGAGGAGTAATCAATACACGTCATTCCGATGTTACTTGCTCTGGGAAGGACACTCGAAAAGTGATTCAAAGCACAATGTATCGCTCGTTGACTGGTACAAGCACCAAGAATGCAAGTAGTGTTTTTGAATGCGATGGTTCTTTCTGCAAATGCCAGCCGCCTCAGCTGAAGATCCCGAAGCTTAGGCAGACTACTGTACGCGTGACAATTTTGGGCAACGTCAAAGTCATAATAAACGATAACGCCGAAACAGCGACCCTGGGTCTTTTTAAACTGCGTTTCGTCGGCACCTCTTTGTCATTTGTTGGAAAAGCCGCCAGTGTCAACTTGAGAGCTCGAGCTGCGCACGGGATGCTCATCAGCTTAAGTCTGTGTATTGAACTAGCTGTAGATGTCAAAGAGTGGACAGCAAGCATGTTGAGATGCGCATTCTTGAGCTCTGATGCGACAATCTTTGCTCGCTGGAGAGCTAGGTGCTTAAATTTGCTTGACACACTGTGGCCTGGTGATGCTCATGACATGATCAACGCCACTCCGGTTTCATGTCGAGCTGTCGTCAGCATAGCTTCAATGCGAGTTGCCTGGATATTGCGCACTGTAGATGGCATGTGGCACCTAACTGCCTCCCTCAGGAAGACGAATTTGTCGATAGTCTCGCATTCCTCCTCGCATGCCTCGTCCCTCTGGGCTGCTGAGCTCAAGGAAGGCTCCCTGTGGATTAATCAGAATTGTATTGCCAGTATTGACGCAACTAACACCCATTTATGCCGCATTGAAGTCCAATCGATTGAGTCATGTCCTCCTTTATCACGCCCAGCGTTGGCTGCTTATAGAAACAAAAATAATCGTGAACATGGCAGCTGTCTATCACGCCAAGGGCATAGCAAAAGCCCGGAACACGAATCAATCATGAAGACACACTATGTTATTTATATCCCCAGCTTTTGCTGCCTTGTCTCTTGTGATACTATTGCTGTCACAGCGTCCACTACCCGCAAATTTGTGGGTAACTTGGATGACTGTGACTCCGCCATTGTCAGCTTTGACTTGATTTTGGGCTCTCTTGCAATGTGTCTCCTAGAAGACACTGAAGAAGAACGGTGGGATGCCATAGACTGGCAACAAGGGCCTCCCAACACCCTCCTGGTGACAATGCGAGGGATCGCAATCACAACAGACAACCAAGCCGCATATTTTAAGGTAGTGGATGCACGCATAGTTTACGACAATCAAGTGGTGGTATGCAAGCGGCGCTCAAAGAGCCCAACTCAGACTGACCAAAACATGGTACACCAGGGGCTCATTGTTGGTGAATACGCCCCGGAAGGGACAGTATCATTGTCCATACACGGGGCGGCATGCCGCTTATTGGTACCACACCGTCGCATCAGTGTGCTTTTTGATGCAACCCGCCTCAGGTTTGGCACCCCTTCCAGTTCTGTAGTCACAAAATGGTTCATTGTTTTCCTTGACACCACCTTAGAATACATACCTCGTGCAGTCTCATTTCATGACCTTCGTGCTGTGTTGACTGTCGCTGTCCTGCAATTTTGCTCAATGTCCGTTGTTGGCAAGTTAACCTCTTTTGCTTCTGGTTTAATGAGGGACACAATGATTTTGTTGAAGAATAAACATGCTGGAGTAGAAATTGAGAATGAGGCAGAGCGCTGTAATTATGTACAGGCTGCAACTATAGACGTGATTGACGTCGTAGTGGCCGCTGATAGCTTGAAAGCTAGAAACATCCATTTGTACCTGAATGGTGACACGGCTCGTATATATTGTTGCTCTGATTCTCTACAGACGCTCATTCACCTATTCTTTGCTGTCAAGGAAGAAGTTGTAGAATGGACTGCAGTTGGTGGCAGATTGGAAGGAACTGTGACAGTAGGCGAGAACGCGTCGTCGCAAGATGACAACAAATCACAGTACGTAACAGCAAAAGTCATGGGGGAACAGAGTCCACCTCTACCGAATAGCACGGCAGTCTGGTATGATGGCGTGTATCCCGAGATGCTTCAAGATCATGTGTCAGAGCCCAATTTGAAGAGTAAATTGAGGATTGGGATGCTGTGTTCGGAGATTCTATGCGTTTGTGTACAAGTAAGGGAAATTCACCTCGGCCTCTTTGCTGGTTGTGACTGGGGTAAAGTGCAGAGAGGGCGACCGCGAAACCTAAAATGCAATTCGATACATATCCAGGACCAGAGAAACGTCAATAAATTACTAGAGGTCGTCTTGTTGTGTAGTAAATTTTGTACTTCTACTTCCACTAGCCTTCAGACAGGATGCGATGTGCGTGTGGGCGATTTTTCTGTCTCCGAATCACTGTCATCACCTCGAGAACAGGCGCTAAAGCGTATGCTAGGACATTGGCAATCACACGATGCACATCCACGTGAGACTGGTGAAGCACTCTTGCACTTTCGTGCATTAATTGATGGGCCAACTACAGCAATCAAGGTGAAACTACTGCCGCTTCGGTGTTGTCTAGATGCCGAAGTTATCAATTTCCTCACTAGTGTTTTTAGTGAGGTGAAGTTTCAGAGTAAAGATGGGTCCCCATTGGTCAGGTTTCCGTGCCTGGAGCCACGGCCAGCAAAACATGAGTGTCATCTTGTTCTTGACGTAGCACCACTCTCCCTGAAGCTCGACTACAGCCCTAGGCAGATAAGTGTGACGCGGCTGTGCTCTGACTCCCTAGATGATATGTTCCAGATGTTCACTCTCGAGCGAGTCGAGGTCACAACAAGGCCCTGCCGTATAGTCTCAAATGCACTGGCATCTGCATTGCACCGTCTTTGGCGTGTTTGGTCGCATGAGCTGTCTAGTGAACAATTTTACAGATTTATCCAAGGCGCTTCCATCATTCGTCCAATCCATGTCATCGGCAGGTCAATATCTCGCGCAATTCACCACACGCTCGTGATCAAAACTCGGCCTCACCAGTGGCCTGTGTTCAGGCACGAGTTAGCCAAATGTAGCCGAGTTCTTGTGTGCGAGTCTGTTCGCGTGGGCCGATCTCTTGTCTCACATCTTACTACTGCCCTCAATGATATAGCCAACAGACTTGATGGCCACGATAGTAGCTCCTCTCTTGCCTGGAATGCTCGTGGGACCACAAATGATGTACGTGCTCATCACTTTGAAGATGCGCGCAATGCAATTGTCAACGGGTTAGAAGATGCACATCAAGCATGTGTTGCTGCCTTATCTCGATCGTCGCCCCATCAACTTGTAACGGTGGTGCCTGTCGTAGTCCTCCGTCCCACTGTTGGTCTAACCCGAGCCACTACTGCCCTTCTCCTTAGCCTCGAGAAAACTTTAGATATTGACGGGGAGTCGGACATCCCCCTGAAACAAGGAGGCAGCTTGCAATTCTAGCTTGTAATATATACTGCACTTGCAAATTACGCAGAGACACTACTAGTTGCTTCCGGTGCAAACATTTTTACTACTTGTAGTAGTAGTAGTACTACTAAGGGGGGACAGCACTCAACTAGGCTGGCCCGAGCGTCGCAGCTTACTGCGAATGGGCCTTAGGGGGTACCTCACATACTGGCGGAGTGTGGGGCAAAAAGCAAGGGGGCGGAAGGGCCCCCACGCGTGGCGAATTGTGGATATTAAGGATTTGTGCAAGTTGATACCAATTTTACCACCACTGCAAAGTGTCATCATCATCAAATCTGTCAGCCAACGGAATCACAAGAGAATGTTGAAGTATAATTAAGAAATCGGGATTTCTGAATACAATATCAACAGTTTCTTGAAGTTGACTCGGATGTAGGATGTGATGAATTTTATGGCCAAAGTGTCATCATCATCAAATCTGTCCCCTTGATGAACTCCAAGATCTTATTGAAGTTTAATCGGAATCTTGGCGGAATGATTATAAGATCTTGTGCGTGTAAAATTATCGAAGGTTTAAATATACTATTGAATCTGTCGTGAAAATTATAATATAAGCGTAATCTAATATGATTACGTGGTTAGACTCGCCACGCGTCTAAACGGTGAACGCAGTGAACCGTTTTGATGACGTGGCGGGCCCGGTCTAACTCGACTATATATTCGAAATACCCCCCTAGTCATGAAATATACTAGAAATCATTAGACCCCCAAAATCGGCCACCCAGAACCATGGATTTCGGTCGTAATATAATTGAATTAGAGCTCATTTGGCATCCAAACGGTTAGCGAACGGGTTTTCCCGTGAGCGTCCGTTTTGATGCAAAATGGGCTCTAATTCATATACCGTGACTACTATGGCCCCTGAAAAAGCGAGGGGGCACCTCCGTGGCAGGCTAGTGTCGCTGTGTGCTTAGGACTTTCGGGCTATCAATTGAAAATTTTACCAATTTGGGTGCCAGCCGCCCCTTTACTAATTGGTTGAACTTGAAAAGTTAAAAAATTCCAAATGACTGGCAATTTTCATCTGGTGCGGGATCTCGGGTTTTGGCGCTGGTGCTCTCGTGCTGCCTCGTCTCTCGGGCGGCAGCCCACCGTACACCGCCTAGAGCCGGCTATGGGGTCGCGATCTAGGTCGCGCGTCAAAGTAAGCAAGGCGAACGGCTTTTCCGAGTCTGGTCTGGGGCGCTTCCCCGGACCCGGAGCGAACGATAAGGCTAGCTCGAGATACAGTCTAAAAAATGGTTCATGTCCACGGGTACCCCTTCGCAGTACTGATCGTACCAGCCTGAGCGCGGCCTGCGCCTCGAGGCCCTTCTCGACTGCCAGTGCGACACATAATCGACTGCTCGGGTACTTTTAATCGACTGCGACACATAATACGAGCGCTCGGGGCGTCACGAGCTTGTACGCTGCACATGTTCAAATGATTGACGGACTCGGAATCGGTAGAGATAGCTGTCCCCGCGCGTTCGACTGGCTTGAGTACCTTCCCGGGCGGCCTCGACCTTCAGGCAGCTTGTTCTTGGCCGCATGCATTGCGTGGTACATAGCAGCAAACTAGCGTGCCAGTGACTTTCAAGTTCGCGAACCCCTCAGGCTACCGTGACCTCGGCCGGGGTACCGTGACTATCACTAGAACTCAGGACCCCCGCCGGCCAAGCCTGCTGGTAGACGCAGTATGAGCCTTGTGTGGCCTAAGAAACGGGGGGGGGCGTGTTGTTCCAAGGGATGCCTATTCGGCCGATTTGGAGTAGTCGGCATCGAGATACAAGTTCGAGATACAAGTTTAGATAAGTTTGTATCTTGCATTGAATCGCAGCGCATGGATAAGCTGAGTTCAGATTCAAAGGCAGGCGAACTCTTTGCTTGGGGGTGCAAGAAACACACAATACAAGTCCTACACGATTTTAAAGATATAAAAGTCGATGCGCTGCATGGGAACTACCGCCAAGCATGTGTGCTCAGTGAGGTGCGCTTAGGCGGGGGGTGGGGGCATAATCAGTTGAATTATAGGGACGCGTAATCAGCCTAGACGGGGAGGGAAGCACTGCTCATAATGATGTTTTAGCTCATATTAAGTGTGTCTCGTTTGGAGAGACTCATTCGCTTGCAGTCGACGACAAGGGATCCATATGGACGCAGGGATCTGGTGCGTCATCCAGCTATATATAGGTTTGCATACATCCATAGGGGGAAGTGGACAACTCGGGCTTGGTGCGACAAAGCGAGTGGAGGACGCGAGTAAAAGTTGGGTTGAGGTGAGTTTTCTCAGTCAGCACCGGGTCATCTCGCTTAGCTGCGGATCTCGTCACTCGGTCGCTGTGACGTTGACTGGGGATGTCTACACCTGGGGCCGAGGTTGTGAGGGGCAAACCGGGCACCGATTCACAGATGACAATCATTGCAACAAATCTGATCCTCACGTGACCAAATTTGCCTGTTGGATTGTCTGTAACCACAGATCACGTGTAGGCTCAACGCGCTGAAATTCAACTGTTACCAAAACTTGTTGTAATTCCATCGCAGCAACACGAACCAGCGAAGTTCACAGCGTGTGGACCAAATTTCACGATTATCTTAACAAGAAGAGGCGTACCCTGGGCGTGGGGAGAAGGACGCTGTGGTGAGCTTGGCGTGGGACTTCGCATCGCCAAGCAACCCACACCAGCGCGTGTGTGCTGGCCTGACGATGCGTCTAAGTGCGAATTTGTGACCTGTGGTTGGGCTCATGTACTTGCGTTTGATTCCAACTGCAAGCTATTCTCGTCTACTGCCGTGTGATATAGCTTATATGGCATTTCGTGTAGACATGGGGAAATTTAGGTGGGGATTCAATCGATTTGGCCAACTTGGATTGGGTCTGTGTGTATCGGGTCAGAACTCGAAATCGGTCATATCCACATACACAATCTCACCTCGCCGTGTTGTACATTTCCCTGGTTCAGTGGCATTTGCTAATGCTGCAGCGAACTCCTCTGCAGCAGTTAGAGCAGAAGATGGCATGCTGTTTACCTGGGGTTCGGGAGAAGCAAGACGACTGGGTCACTTTCTAGAAAAAGGCCTCAACACAGAGCACGTCCACTGTCCTCGCTCAGTCCCTGGTTTGCGTGAACGATATGTTTCAAGTGCCACTTTGACTGAAACTGGTGGTTTTGCCTTTGTCCCATCCTCAGTAAATTATGCAGAACCAGCTTCCGTACCAACCATTGGAGGAACTAAGGTTTTGTTGTGGGGTGGTGGATTTTGGAAATCATCTGGCTGTGTTGTGAGGTTCACTCCCCTAGATGAGGGGACCTTGGCATTGGAGACCCGCCCAAGGTCCTCAATTGGTAAATATGTGACCCCAAAGGGCGCACGTATCGGTGCCGGCAAAACGGGCATTCTTTGTAGAATGCCCCGATTTACTACAACGCGGTTTGTTTTTGCTGAGGTTGCCATGAATGGCAAAGACTTCACCACAAGCCGCGTCTGCATTCGTCTCTACGATAATCCAACTCTTGCCGCAATTAAGCCGGTCTGTTGTAGTTCCACTGATGCTCATGACGTTATTATCATTGGCAAGTCCCTTCTTGAAACAAACGAAATCAAGGTGCGATTCAAAGAACTGGGAGGTCAGCATCGTGAATGGATTGTTCCGGCGAAATTGACAGCACTGTGCGACAAGAATGATCCACTTGACACTGCAATACGTTGCAAAAGTCCTTGCATTTGTGAGGGCAATTTTCCAATCCAAGCCCGGGTGGCCGTGGCCTTAAATGGAAGTGATTTTGTTACCTTGCTAAAGACGACATTTATTTTACACAACGCGACAATACTGAGTCTCGCCCCAGATTGCCGGCCATTACATCCATCCACAACCCCCGATGCAGTTAGCATTTTGGGACAATCATTCTTTGATTCCAACAAAATGTCGGTTAATCTAACTCTCCAGGGCAACAGTCAACGAGGATATTTTTGCCGCCCTCGGTATGTGAATAAGAACACCCTTGCCTTTACTCCACCATCATTAGCTGAAATTTCGCAGTGCATTCGGGGTCACGACTGCTCAGATATTGTGACTGACCATGACATTGCCCAAGCAGAACAGACTACTTGGACATTCATGTTGAGACTTACACTGGATGGTGTTTATTTCCTTAATAAAAGTTTGTCGCTTGTGTTGTACAAGCAAATCGGTCAAGGTGACACCAAGGAGATTTCGTCAATGTGCGGACCCTTGACTGGCGGCACCCGTCTCTCGTTGCATTTTCCTTACTTATCCCCGGCTCCAGTATTAACGTCCTTTACATCAGCCGTTGTTAGACTTCGCCCCAAAGACAACAAGTCAGCGCATATTGAGCCAACAATTGTTTCATTAAAATGCAGCAAAGCTGGTGAGTTTTCATTTGAAACCCCAGTTATTGATTCCGGCAGTATAGTGGTTTCCTCAAAATCGGATACTTTAGTTGAGGCTTTGAAATCGACCAACGGTGATGCATCTTCACATTTCAATCTTCCAATAGAACGATTAGATATGCTTGTAGAGGTAGCACTGGACGGTCAGACTTTTGGCGCACACTGCAGCACATGTTTCACATACTATGGAACGCCGGAGGTCACAGAAATTAAGGCAACCCAGTATGATGCCTCTAATGTGCCAGCTGCCGCAGCAGGGGTGGATATAAGTATTTTTGGTCGGGGGTTTTTCGAAACTGGTCTTGTAAAGGTCGTTTTGAGAAGTTCTGTAGCTCCGATGAGACATGCAAAGACCCACATTATTGATGCCGTTTGTACGAGGGGCGTAGTTGAGTTTGTCATGCCTATTTTGCACCTGTTTCATGTCGCTTGTGAGGTGAATCCTCCCCATTCTCACAAGGAATGCAAACACCGGCTTCTTGTTGAGATATCACTCAATGGAGGTTTGAACAAGACATCAAATAGCATGTACCTCGACTATTTGTTCACATGCTAAGGAGCTCGTTCAAGTTGCTTGTACTTTCTACTTGCATTGGCCAAGTTGATATCCCCGACACAACAATTACATTACGCCATTAAAATCTCGATTAATCAATTAGTGGGCGGGGGGTGGGGGTGGGGGGGGGGCAGTTCCCGCTCAGCGTTTTGCTAAGGACGGCAACCAGAGTATGCGCAGTACGTCGCCAACGACCAGCCAAAACTTGAATGTGCTATCAATTTGAGGGATGTTCCGCAATACGTGATATTAAGATTAGCAGGAAAATTCATCTTAATTAGGACCCATGGAGGATGGGTCTGTCTAGTATAGACAACGACTCCTCCGCTCCGACTCGGAGAAATACTAGTACTGAGACATTCGGGTAGTAAACCCGACTCGGAAGTTTACGTCGCAAAGGTACCTAGACGCTTCAGCGGCTCGGAAGGCGTGGTCTAAACGCGACAGAGGATGGGCCCATTTCGCTCTTGTAGTATTCGAAAGAATTACCAGACACTGGGGGCGGACACCCATCCTCAACATACAAAGAGGCCCGGGACGGGGCCCGGGGCAGACACCCAACCCAAAATTTGCCGTATCTCTATAAGTAGAAGTTTGATACGGCGGCAAATTGAGAATAGGGGGGGCACTTACCCCTCTAGGACGTGCCAGTGACCGAAACGGGCCCGGGCGAGCAAAAACGATTAGCAGCCCATCGGGTACCTGGCCATAGGTACCCGAAACCCCTGGGAGACCAAATTACCAGACCAGCCCCCAGCTCGGTCTCGGGGCATACAAAGGGTTCTTGGCTGGGCTGCGGAACTCGAATCTCAAATTAGGGGACCCCTCGAATCTCAAGTCTCGCCGCCGGCCATGAACGCGCCTGAGGACTATTCTCAATTGCCAGTGCTATCATGATACAGCGTATGGGCTTTAAAGGCTGTCAGGATCACTACCGCAGGACATGCTTGGACAAACACTTGAGGCCAAAAAAAAATTTGAGTTGCGGTTCGGTATTTGCGAGTTGCATTGGCCATCCCCTTTGGAACCTACTACGTAATAGCCAGTCATCCGCAAGCTTGCTGGTTTACGTGAAATTTTGATGACGGGTGGGAATGTCACAATGGCATATCCTGTAGCTGCGGAATCGCCAGGCTTTCTAACAGCACTTGTTGTCCCTTCGCTTTACGCCTGCCTCACAGCACGCTAATGCATCAGAGTCTCTATTTATTGTAACTCAGCCGAATGCAAGCACTCCGCGCCGGAGCTAAAAGTACCAAGGACCCTCACTACTCCGCACGCTGCCGAACCTAAAGCCGTGACCAAATAATTTGGAGACAACTTGAATCATGATAGCCTAGGTGCTCTTAGTCATCGCTGCTCGCCCGTCAGCCACTGCTTCGCGGCTCCTTACCCCGCCTACTGAAGCCAATCAAGTTACATTCCGGTAGAGATTCCGTTGAGCCGAGCTCTCTAGCTCAATAATCCAGAGGCGGACATGTTATCCAATTAGACCACAGATCTTTAGTTGCGCCCGAAACTGTGCCACATTAGAAGAAATCAATGCAGTGTGCATCAAATCAGGATCAGAGGAAATAAACATGATTGCTGTGCTTCTCGTTAGATTCTCAAAAAGGGCAATCAACTGATGATGTTGAACCAACATTCCCTCGAAATGCGCCTGAACCTTCCGACAACTCAGCTTGAACTGTTTGATGATGTTGGAAATTTTTTCGAAACGATGTGTATCACTATGTGGAATGCAGGTTGCGTGTGCGATCACAAGAAAGGTGGTACTTTCGAACAACACAACTTCGTCTGCACCACAGATTGTGCAGTATTCGTTCAAGTGTGATTCTAGAAGGGCTGTATTAGGAACTAGAGAGTACACGATATGAGACCAGGCTCTGTATAAGGTCTCATCCCATATAGATGTACGAAAGCACTGAATACGCAAGTGATCACTTGCTTGGGAGAGGATGCTGGCCTCTTTCTCAGAGAAGACGGCTTTCCGAACATCCTCTTTCACAAGATCCATTTTGTGTACCAGGACATAGACCCGGGCATCAGGTGAATGCTGTTCCACAGCCTCAATTACATCAGCGAATTGAGAAAAATCGCTTCCTTGCTCTTCACTTTCTATGTCAAATACATATATCAAAAGTTCCACTGATCGAAATATATGATCCCTCATGTGTTCAAGGTAGTTGCGGTAAAAATCGTCCTACGGGATAATTTCAGTCCAATGCTGTCAGCACATGTGCAAACCTGTCCTCCACAATCCCACAGATGGAGATGAAGATTTCCCAGAAAACGCACGTGAGAGTATTCTACATCAATAGTTGGGGATAGTCGCATTGTATCACGGGCCATATAGTCAGCGAAAATGATTGATCTCATAGATGTTTTACCAGAGCCGGAGCGACCCATCAACAAAACTTTTTTCGTCATCGGGGACGCCATCTCAACCAGCCAGCTTTTCACAGTAGCGGGTTTTCTATTCGACACCCGGTGCGGGCGGCAGCCCCGGCTACGGGCGTAGACGGGCCTACGGCTCGGTACCCCCAAGCTATGTTTTTGTAAACCGCGTTTGGACGGCATCGGCGAGAGTCACGGGTGAGAGCGGGTGAAATGGTCCTAGTGTCGGCGACAGTTTCGCGGTAGCATCGGCCCCGATGGTTTTGGAAAGGTGGTCATCGGAAAGGGGTAAAGGGGCGAGCGCTACTATGCGAGCGCTCGGCGAAGGACAGCATTTCGGCGAGCGGAGCAAAACACACTAGAGGCTAGTGACGCAAAACTCACCAGGGCCTGTGTGCCCCGTCCCATTAACGCTACGGGGCTGCGCCAACACTTGCCGAGCACTCGTAAAAAAAATTGCGTACGAGTCCAGGCACTGAGGCTAGAGCTGGCGCCACTGAGGGCAAAACACGTCCAGTGCTCAGCCCCATCGGGTGCACACTTGTCACGGGCTGGTGCGCTGGAAAGCCCACAGCCAGGGCTACCCAGCCGCGTTGGCCGTGACAAGTGTGCGCCTGTAGCGGCCGAGAAAAGCTGGCCTGAAGTTCGGCCCTTCGACGCGCCCTTAGCGGGCCGCGCGAGGCTCCCCGCGAAAAATTTTTGCTGAGCCGAGGCTGCCCGAGAAGGTACTGAAGCCAGTGAAACGCGCAGGGGCAGCTATCTGCACCAATTCTGTCGCTGAGATTACTTGCGGCGTACCGCACCGCGGCGCGACCCGCGGCATTCCGCTAGACGGGATGCGCGAAACAAGGAAACGGGTCGGGCACATGCGTGGGGTACCCCCGGACACTGCGGCTGCGTTCAAGTGCTCGAGAAGCTGGAGATAGTGTCGTATTATGTGTCTCGGGCGGGACCGTCTCGCAGTCGACTAAAAGCACCGAAACGACCAAATCCACGTTACGCGAGGGCAGTCGAGGGTACGATCCATCCCTGCGAACGATAATTGACGCTGAGGAGCCCTGGAAGGCGAAGCGAAGGGGGCGTAAAAATTGGGTGTCTCCGAGATTTATCTAAATTTTCCTAGGAGTCCCTTTCCTGGGCGCCCAGGGCTCCAAGCGGCTCTCCCTCGCGCCGATAGCGCATTTTCCGAATGCACGGTTTTTAGCGTGAATTTAGGCGCCGTCGGCAGCTAATTAGAATCAAAGCAGCATCGCAATTATATGGCAGCCCGCTTTGCATGGGACCCGACGACATCATAAGGAGCCCCCACGCCAAAGCCCCGCTGCGGGCATTGCCGGCAGCACCGCCAAGCCCGCTGCTGGACATCAAAACCAACGTACGGCTAATTCCTACCTAGCTACCCATAGTCCAGGCTCACGACCCTACGCACTATATCCTACGCGCAACCCTGCGCGCGGTGAAAGTACCCCCATGAAGACATAATGTTAAGAGTCCTCGAGTCCCGAGCGCTCTTGGCGTTTAAAAACCGACCGTACGTACTCGTACTAGCGGCGGCACTCGGCGACGTCTCGCTCGGCTCGGCCGCGGCCGTGAGAAGCAGGCACCATGGTGAATTTCACCACCGAGCAGCTGCGGTCACTGATGGACCTCAAGTACAACATCCGGAGCATGAGTGTGATTGCGCACGTCGACCACGGGAAGTCGACGCTGACAGACTCGCTCGTCGCCAAGGCGGGCATCATTGCGAAGAAGCACGCCGGCGAGATGCGCTACACCGACACGCGAGCGGACGAAGCAGAACGCGGCATCACGATCAAGTCGACAGGCATTTCCATGTTCTTCGAATACAAGATGTCCGATGGCGAGAAGGCCGAGGTAGCCAAGGCTGAGGGCCGAGCGCTCGCAGTCACGGGGGGTGACGAGACTGCCGCCGCGGCGTTCGCGCTTGCGTCATCTGACGACGGGCCGACCATCACTGAGAACAGCTACCTCATCAACCTGATTGACTCGCCGGGCCACGTCGACTTTTCATCTGAAGTGACTGCTGCACTACGTATTACTGATGGCGCTTTGGTGGTCGTCGACACCATCGAAGGTGTCTGTGTCCAGACTGAGACCGTCCTTCGCCAAGCGATCGGCGAGCGTGTTCGCCCTGTGCTCCACGTTAACAAGGTTGACCGCGCCCTGCTTGAGCTCCAGCTCTCACCTGAGGATATGTACCAGTGTTTTCAGCGGTCGGTGGAGTCGGTCAACGTCATCATCGCAACGTACAACGATGAGTTGCTCGGCGACTGTCAGGTGTATCCCGAGAAGGGTACTGTGTCATTTGGTTCGGGCCTCCACCAGTGGGGGTTCACGTTGTGCAAGTTCGCGCGCATGTATTCCGAGAAGTTTGGCATAGGATACGACAAGATGATGCAGAAGCTCTGGGGCGACAATTACTTTGATGCCAAGGGTAAGAAATGGGTCAAGTCAGATCGTGATGGCCAACTCGAGCGCGCATTTTGCCAGTTCATCATGACTCCTATCTGCAAGATGTTCGCGGCGATCATGGAGGACAAGAAGCTGAAGATCCAGAAGCTCCTCAAGGCTGTTGGCGTGACTCTCAAAAAAGAGGAGGACGAGCTGGTAGGCAAGCCCCTCTTGAAATGCGTCATGCAGAAATGGTTACCTGTCGGTGACGCAATCCTCGAGATGATTGTCGTCAAGCTACCCTCGCCAGCAGCGGCGCAGCGCTATCGCGTCGAGAACCTGTACGATGGGCCGCTCGACGACGCATGTGCCAACGCAATCCGTACTTGTGACACGTCCGATGGTGCACCGCTCATGATGTACATCTCCAAGATGGTCCCGTCCTCTGATCGGGGTCGGTTCTTTGCCTTTGGCCGCGTGTTTTCGGGGAAGATCGCGACAGGTCAGAAGGTTCGCATCATGGGCCCCAACTACATCCCTGGCAAGAAGAGTGATCTCTGGGTGAAGAATATCCAACGTACGCTCATTATGATGGGACGCTTTCAGGAGCAGGTCCAGGACATACCTGCCGGCAACACGTGCGGCCTCGTAGGTGTCGACCAGTACCTCCTCAAGAGCGGTACGATATCGACACATGATGAAGCGCACTGCATCAAAACGATGAAGTTCAGCGTCTCGCCTGTTGTTCGCTGCGCAGTCGAACCGAAGAAGGCGCAAGACCTCCCCAAGCTCGTCGAGGGCCTCAAGCGCCTCGCCAAGTCAGACCCCATGGTCCTCTGCTACACGGAGGAGTCGGGCGAACATATCATAGCGGCAACTGGTGAGCTTCACCTCGAGATCTGCCTCAAGGACCTCCAAGAGGATTTCATGGGAACGGACGTCAAGGTCTCCGATCCTGTCGTCTCATACCGCGAGTCGTGCTCCGCAAACTCTTCGCAGACGTGCCTTTCCAAGTCGCCGAACAAACATAATCGGCTCTACATGGAGGCGGCACCCCTCTCCGACGAGCTTTCTGATGCCATCGAGGCAGGCAAGGTCTCGGCCAAGGACGACCCCAAACTCCGTGCGCGCCTCATGGCCGACGAATACGGCTGGGATGTTGGCGATGCACGCAAGATCTGGGGCTTTGGGCCTGACGGGTCCGGTGCCAATCTCCTGTACGACCAGACTAAGGGTGTAAACTATCTTGGTGAGATCCGCGAGTCTGTTGTTGCCGGCTTCCAGTGGGCGTCCAAGTCTTCTGTCCTCTGTGACGAGCAGATGCGTGGTGTTTCGTTCAAGCTCCTTGACGTAACGCTTCATGCCGACGCGATACATCGCGGCATGGGTCAGATCATGCCAACCGCGCGTCGCGTAATGTTCGCGTCGCTGCTGCTGGCGCAGCCTGTTCTCCAGGAGCCTCTCTTCCTTGTCGATATCTCCGTGCCACAGGACGCCATGGGCGGTTGCTACGGTGTGCTCACTCGCCGCCGCGGCGTTGTGTTCTCCGAAGAGCAGCGCCCGGGCACGCCGATGGTCCAAATGAAGGCACACATGCCGGTAATGGAGTCCTTCGGCTTCAACGCCGACGTTCGCGCGGCCACGGGTGGCAAGGCATTCCCCCAGATGGTATTCTCACACTGGGCTGTACTCCAGGGCGACCCAACAGACCTTGCGTCCAAGCCCGGCGCTGTCATCGGGCAGGTCCGCAAGCGCAAGGGACTCAACCCCGAAATCCCGCCTCTCGACCGCTTCCTCGACCGGCTCTAGGCCGCTAGGGCCCGGGCTGCCGCTCGCGAGGTGTCCTATTCCCCTTTTTAAATGCGCGTGCGCAATACTTAGGAATAGAATAAAAAAGGGATCAAAGGTACGGCTCGCAGGCGCGCCGGACCCATGCAAACTCTAGCGGACCCAGTCTCGCTGAATCGGCTCGAACCTGGCCAGCGAGCTCCAAAAGTTCTTTATAGGCGCGTCTTCGAGCTCACATCTAATTTCAGAGACAACACGGTCAATCTCGTTTTGCGTCCTCCTCGCCAGCAGACTACAGCAGGCGCCAGGGGCGCTAGATCCATTTGCTTGGTTGAACTCCGGAGACGGGTTGTCTTGTACATGTCCCTGACTGACTTGCATTAATGTCAACATCGTGTAAATCCTGAAGGAAAAAAATGCTCACCATCAGCTGGACACCCAAAGGAGCTCCAAAGGTGCGCGTGGAGTTCTTCCAATTCAATCCGTCCTTCACGATCCTGATCGGCCTTGAGTATATGAGCCTGTTTGAGAGCAATAGTTTTTCTCGGTTTCGAGTGGCGCGAGACTCTATTTTTTCTTCTGATTTGCCCAAGGTCTTGAATCTTACCCAAGCGACACAGAAGATTGCTATGGTATAGTTCTGTTAAAACAGTATTGTATTCTGCTGCAGCGTCAAGTGCCACCCGATGGCGGCTATTGCGGATTGAAGCTATTCTTTTTCTGGCTCTGGAACGAAGTTTTGATTCTATTGCTGTTAAATAATTAAACTTCGGACAGCTGCCAGTATGCCTTGCCTTGAAATAGTATGCACGCACAAGAGAAAGCAGGTGAGGCTGCCAAGCAGGGCCGCAGCGCTTCTTGACGGCAGCCTCGTAAGCGGCAAGATTTGATCGGCTGGATACATGCATGGGACCGGTCATCTGCCATTCTTCAGAGGCAGCTTGGTAGAAGGCAGAATGGTCCTTTACCCAGGAAATTGCTAGCTCGTTGTTGTAACCTGAAGGCCAAAGGCTCCGCTCGTGCGCAGAGCATCCTGAAAATTTGGCCCACCTAGGTGGGAGGTCAGTGAATGGATTTCTATCCAAACTAAGCTTCTCTACAGTCTCACAGAGATAGACGATATCAAGAGGCAGGGCCCGCAAAAGATTTTTCCCAAGGTGTAGAGATCGAAGATTTATCAGGCATGCAAGGTTTGCAGGTATTTCCACGATGAGATTAGACTGAAGATCAAGAATGCGGAGAGGAGTGCACTTTCCAAGGTGCATCGGCAATCGCTTAATGTGATTTGAAGATAGATAGAGTTCATGCAATCGCGTGCAATGGATGATAGTTTCCGGTACAGTTGACAGCCGATTGTGCGCCAAGTTGAGTTTTACAAGCTCTCCAAGTCCACCAATTGTGTCTGGGAGTGATTCAATCATGTTCTGAGAGATATCCAAGTCAGTCACCGACCTGAGCAGTCCCAATTGCTCTGGCAGGTGCTTAAAAATGAAATTTTTACATAGTTTTAAAGTGTGCAGTAGCGCCAGGGCGCCAAGTTCCACGGGGAGTTTCTTTAGAATGTTGTCAGAAACATGCAAGACTTCTAGTGACTGGGCGAGGCCTATTTGTGGAGAAAGTTGCTCTATCTTATTTTTGTCCAGTCGTATGACGGTTAGATTTCGAAGAGAACCCACAGACCGGTCAACATGCTCAATCTTATTGCCCCTTATGTCTAAAAACGAGGCACATTTCCACCCGCCAGCCCAAACGCCAAGATGAAGAATTTCATTCTCCTGCAGGAGAAAAGATTCGCAGCCACTCAAGCCAGATGCACTATCTGGGAATGTTGTTACTCGATTCACGCTAATGTTAAGTACACGCAATTTTTTTAAATCTCCGATGTTTTGAGGTAATTTATGAATCTGATTATTGTGCACGTCCAGCCTTGTTAGTGACACCATGTCGGGTAGAGATTCTGGTAGTTCAAATAACTTGTTTCCCCGCAAACAGAGATCTCTCATGAATTGCAACCCAGACATGTCTGGCAGTGAAACAAGTTGATTGGAAGATGCACTGAGGCATTCAATAGACACAACGCGCTGAATTGAACTTGGCAACTTCCTGAGGTTATTATTACTCACACGCAACTCTCTGAGCATACTTAGCTCACCAATAGAATCTGGAATATCAATGAGGTTGTTGCTATTAACTTTCAACACCTCTAGTTGACCCATATCCCCCAATTCGTCTTTTGGGAGATACTCCAGGCGATTCGCAGTAAGCCTGAGATATCTCAGCGACGCGAACCACATAAGGAATCCTGTTGGTAAGGTCTCGAGACAATTTTCTCCGAGGTCTAACATTACTAGGTCCGCTAGTCCCTCTTGCGCATCACGTCCTATGTACAGCTCTGCTGGTAGCAAGCGATAGCTTCGCCGGGAACAGTCCAGGCGATCTGCACCGGCCATCCTGATCATAGCAACACGATCGGCTTCTCGCTTTTTCCTCTCTGCTTTTAAAGCTGCATTCTCTCGGCGCTTCGCTGCAGCCTGCTCTGCTTCCAGGCGATTTTTCATCAATTTCTCTTCAGCGCGCTGCTTATTTCTCAACTTTTGCTCCTGTACCAGCCGCGCGGCTCTATCCTTGTTTCGGAGAGCAATGTCTTTGGCTGCTACCAGTGACACACGCTCCCTTTCCGCTTGTCTTGCTCGACGGTGTTCATCTCGGCGTGTTCGTGCTTCAACTCTCAACCGATCTATATGTTGTCTCGCGCGTTGGAAACTTTGCTTCTCCTCCGCCTCCTCTGCTGCAGATAGTGTGAGAAGAGCTGCACGATTTAGTATGTCAGCCAAAAACTGGAACATTTGAAGAGCCCTTGGGACTGAATACGGTTTTCTTTGTCTCTTCGTTAACTCTGTGTTTACATCTACCAGCTTAACCCAGGCGCTTCTAAAGGTGGTATAACTGATTTCGCCACTTCTATCCAGGTCGAGTTTGTCAAAAAATGCCTCAATTGCCATCTTTCGTTCCTCACTGTCCACCGTCTTCCCGGGTAGTTTTTCACCCGCCCCCAGAGCGCCAATAACCCTCCGGAACGCCGTTTTTGTTATTTTACCAGTCTGATCAAGGTCGAACATACGAAAGGCATCATTTGGAGTAAGACCCAAATCTGGGGTACCTACAAGGTTAGATAGGATGGGCCAATCGCGACTGGTGAGGTTATTATATTATACTGCAAACTTACTATCATTTATCATGAGAGCAATCTCAAATTCTGTAATGCCAACTTGATCTGATTGATTTAGGTCAACAGCCTCGAAAAGTCGCATGGCACGTGTTTCTAGAAGTGTCAAATCAAGGAGATCTAGGGCGCGTTTAAACTCATCGAAGCCGATTTGCTGCTCTTCAGCAAGCTCGAGCGCCTTCCATGCCTTTCGCGCCTAGGGGACAGCCAGTTCCGCCTCTGGTAACAATCAATGAAATGTACGTCCAATAACCCTGCGCAGTGCGGTGCGCGTGTATGCCTGGATTGGCTTGTATTTTGAGTCTGTGCCATCATGCATAATAGTCTTGTTCCCCATCAAATCCTCGTTCTCATGGAGACCGAGGACATTCTCCGTTGTAGTTATCTGCGGTCGGTCGTCAACGAACCTCACGAATCCATAGACCGCAGGTTCTTCTGTCAATGGCGTGTCCTGGGCAGATTTTGCTATGCATAGCCCGCGATAAAGTAGCGGGTTGTCGGGTGCGTTCCTCAGTGTCAAGTCAAATGTGCCCAGGGTCGCGTCTCCACTGCAAACGAATCCATTCTTATCTAAATCACGTGAGATGGGCACACTGTAACCCGTTTCTTCCAAATCTGCCATGCGCTTTTTTGCCTTTTTGCGAGTAAGGAACACCTTTGCTTTAAGAGGGCTTTGCGAAGGATTATCTGCCAGTCGCTGCACGGCCAAGCCATCAAAAGACAATTTAAACAGTCCTCCAAGTTGTCGCATCTCTACTCGGCCAGTCACAAACACACGCGCCAGTCGCTTATCCCCAGGAGCGAAATCACCGTACTTTTGAATTGTCCACAGCCCGTCAACCAGCTGCGCTCGCTCTGAGGAGAGAATTAGTCCGCCGCCCTTTTTGTAATCCATTTTGCTTGCTTCGCAGCGGTTCTATATCTGGCACGATCGGGGCATAAAAGTATCATAGTCAATCAAAGCTTACCGAGTGAAGTGAAGATTTACCCATCCACGCGATAAAACAACAAAAAACGCGTTTTTATCCTTCTAAGGTACCATGGTACCTACGGTATCTAGCAAGAGTACCGTAGGTATGTCGCAGCGTTATGTAAGGTAGCAAGGTCCTAGCTCACCAGCCAAAGGCTGGGCCAACCTAACTGCGAGAGTGTTTTATAGCAAATTGTGTTTACACCGTAGTGCAATGTACACCCGATGTATAGACTCAAATTTAGAGAGAGCCTGAGGGAGACTCGCCGCCCGGGCCGGATGTGTGAAGCTTGCCGTCGGTGTCCCGTAAACTTATACCTTTGGGTAAGTCCATATATGACTGCTTTGAATCAAGATCGGACTGAATAAATGCTTGCGGAATATCGGAGTGCTTGATCGGGAGTCCAACACAACCTGCAGGAAATAAGTAGGGTGCGGTGGTATACCGACCCTCTGCAACGGTGTGAGTGAGTTTGGCGTAAGTGACTCCCCGTGTAATACTAGCACTAAGAATGAATGTGGTGTAAACCTTCCGAGTCATTACCGTGACGTCAAGGTGGGACTAAGTAGGAGAGTAAGAGGGGCCTAGTGTAGTACTAGGGGGTATATTCTTCGCAATAACCTAGCAAGAGCCTGCAAGTGACTATGTCGCAGCGTTATGTAAGGTAGCAAGGTCCTAGCTCACCAGCCACTGGCAAAGGCTGGGCCAACCTAACTGCGAGAGTGTTTTATAGCAAATTGTATTTCACCGTAGTGCAATGTACACCCGATGTATAGACTCAAATTTAGAGAGCCTGAGTGGGAGATACATATCTAGGGTTCAAGTTAATCCAGGGTAGGAAGGGCTAGTAGGTTTCTCTCTCTAGTATCTACGGTACCCTACGGCCCTTAAGGTACCGAAGCCCACCAGCCGTCACGGCAAGGCAGACAGCCTAAGGTGAATATGCTCATATCTAAAAAAGGCCTCGCATCCGGGCCAAAATGACCGTGACCGGCATGGCGGCCCAATGAATTACCACCAGCAGAACGTGTATGGGCACCAATGACGTCGCAGCTGCGGAGAGCACCCGTATCCTCATAATGCTGCGGATAGCAGCCGACTCTCGGCGCAAGCCGCCACGCCCCCTCCCGTGCCGCCGAGTCCAAGCTATATATCGACTGGTGGTCTCTGGCCCGGGGTTGCTGTGGCCTCAACGTAGCGTCCTCGCCCAAACTCGTTCGTGGTGAGTTTCCAGGTCGTGTTCGGGACGCAAAACCGTGCACAAACTCGCTTGTCGTTGGTAATGGCCGCGCACTCAAGCCGCATCGTATACTCGAAGCAGGTACGCACTCGGGTATACTCCGCTTTTCCGCCTAGTAAATACGCACCTCGCGCCGAGATCCAAGTGTGAGGCGATACCGCCCGCGTACGCCGAAAATCGTGTGGAGCGGAAATTCGGAAATTCACCTCCGATTCGGCCCGGGTTCGGGACCTTGCCGCGGCAAAAGAAGTCGGCCCTAGGTTTTCACGGCCGGTCGCCAGTCGATTCAGGTTTAAAGTTCCGCAGTAGTAGGTAGAAGCTACCACGGTACTACAAGCTGGTAGAGCCCCGGGTATCTATTGGGGCAATCTAATTATTGAATTATATAAGTAATAATCCAGCGCGGTCGAGAGATGTTGACCAAATTTGAATCCAAAAGTAATCGAGTGAAAGGACTAGCATTTCATCCTCAGAGACCATGGATCTTGACAAGTTTGCACAATGGAGTAATACAACTCTGGGACTATCGTATGGGTACGCTGCTCGAGAGATTCGATGAGCACGACGGCCCTGTCAGAGGCATCGATTTTCACCATGTTCAGCCATTATTAGTCAGTGGTGGTGATGATTATCGCATCAAAGTCTGGGATTATAAACTCAGAAGATGTCTGTTCACTTTGCTTGGGCATTTGGATTATATTCGCACTGTCAATTTCCATGGCGAATATCCCTGGGTAGTTTCTGCGAGTGACGATCAAACAATCCGTATCTGGAACTGGCAAAGTCGATCATGTGTCAGCGTACTGACGGGACACAACCATTATGTGATGTGTGCTTCATTTCATCCCCAAGATGACCTTATCGTCTCGGCATCCTTAGATCAGACTGTCCGGGTCTGGGACATTACTGGTCTCAGAAAGAAAACTGTACGGGGCCCCCCCGTGGCAATCGGAACCCATATCACCTCATCATCATTACAAGAACTTGGCGCCAGTAGCACTAGTGCAAGTAGCGTTGTCTCGAGAGTCAATGCCGACCTTTTTGGAGGAAATGACGCCATTGTCAAGTATGTCTTGGAAGGGCATGATCGTGGCGTGAACTGGGCATCGTTTCACCCAACACTACCGTTGGTGATTAGTGGTGCAGATGATAGACAAGTAAAGCTATGGCGCATGAATGAGACAAAGGCCTGGGAAGTTGATACCATGCGCGGCCATAGTAATAACGTGTCTTGTGTTGTTTTCCATCCAAAGCATGAGTTAATAGTGTCAAACTCTGAAGATCGTTCTATCCGAGTCTGGGACATATCAAAACGACTTGGTGTGCAAACATTTCGACGTGAAAATGATCGATTCTGGATTCTTGCAGCTCACCCCGTGCAAAACTTGTTAGCTGCTGGACATGATTCTGGGATGATTGTTTTCAAACTTGAACGTGAAAGGCCGGCATTTGGCTCCCATCTGGATACTCTGTTCTATGTGAAAGATCGATATCTCCGTATTCATGAATATAGCACCCGCCGAGACTTGCCAATGCTATCATTACGTCGCCCCACCGGCCACGCGCAGAATGGAGTATGCGCTGGACCTCGATCTTTGGAGTATAATACAATGAACCCATCCGAACACAACGTAATACTTTTCTCTCAACAGGATGGTGGGTCTTTCGAGTTGCTTGTTTTCCCTGGTGATGTAATTGCCTCAAATCAACAGGGCGAAAGTTCAGACCTCAAGCGGGGATTGGCTTTATCTGCTGTCTTCCTCTCTCGAAATCGTTTTGCGGTCCTAGACAAAAATCGCCAGGTACTGTTAATTAGCCCGTCTCCTTCCTTTGACCAAATCTGTCATAGATAATCATCAAGGATCTCAACAATGAGAAAAGAAAAAGTGTCCCTCCCCCTAATCCCAGCACTGATTGCATGTTCTTTGCTGGAACATCAGGCCGCCTTCTTTTGCGTACAGATGACAGAGTCATGCTCTTTGAGCCTCAATCGAGAAGGGTTCTTGCTGAATTGCAAGTTGCACGAATCAAGTACGTAATATGGAATCAAGACTGTAGCAGGGTTGCACTTCTGAGCAAACACGGTGCGTTGTCTTTAGTCTCACATAGTCTAATGATCTTAAATCAAGGTATAACTATTGCCTCTCGAGATCTCGAGCAGCTGTGTAGTGTGACTGAAACTGTTCGCGTTAAAGGTGGAGGTTGGGACGATCGTATTTTTCTCTATACCACCTTAAACCATGTGAAGTATTGTCTGACCAATGGGGATACGGGTATTATTCGCACTCTTGATGTCCCAGTATACATAACCAGAGCAAATCAGAAACAGCTCTACTGTCTTGATCGCGAGTTGAAGCATTGCATTCTTTCTGTTGATAATACAGAGGCCGTATTTAAGCTAGCCCTGGAGGATAAAAACTATCTGGAGGTTATGAACATGATCAAGCACTCAAAGCTGTGCGGCAAAGCAATAATTGTTTACTTACAAGAGAAAGGATATCCTGAAGTGGCCTTGCACTTTGTTGATGACCTACAAACTCGATTCAAATTAGCACTTGCTTGTGGAAATATTGAAGTGGCCATGAACACTGCCTACGAAATTGGTGATGATGAATGTTGGCACAGGCTTGGTATGGAGGCACTTCGACAAGGCAATCACCAGGTGGTTGAAATGTCATATCAACGTACGAAGAATTTCGAGCGGCTTTCTTTTCTCTATCTATTGACTGGGAATATCGAGAAACTTCGTAAGATGTTGAAGATTGCAGAGATGCGTAGGGATATTATGGGGCGCTTTCACAACTCATTATTTCTTGGTGATGCCACTGAACGCACTCGAGTTCTAGAAGAGGCCGGTCAGTCTCCTCTTGCTTATGTGACAGCAGTCTCGCATGGGATGCTGGAGGAAGCAGGGCGAATCAAAGAGCTGCTGCAAAGTGCGGGCCGCCCCATCCCAATTGTATTGCACAATTCACAGCTCATGCAACCTCCGACTCCAATCTTACGATCTGATAATTGGCCTCTACTCGCGATACCAAAGAGCACTTTTCGGAACTCATATGAGGACCAAAGCGAACACGGTGACACCGTCGATCACACCAGTTCCCCGGGATGGGATGCCGACCTTGATCTAGACGAACACGACGTCAAAGTTGATGAAGTGGAGGCGGAATCCGACGAGGTAGGGGGATGGGGCGAGGATCTAGACATCGATGATGCGGCCAACGAGGATGCCGATTATGCAAGCTCGAATCTCAAGGCTGATGAGGCAGTATCTCGCACATATATAGTCCCGGTTGCTGGAATTTGTCCCGAAAACCGTTGGTGCAAGAACTCTGCACATGCTGCTGATCATGCTGCGGCTGGGTCTTTTGGATCATCAATGAATTATCTCAATCGCCAAATATCAATCGTCAATTTTAGTCCTATGCGGGGACGTTTTTTGGTCTTACACGCTGCCTCTAAATCCTCGGTACCTGGCTTGCCCCTTTCCTCATCATATGAGATTGCAATGCTGCGTGATGGCAACGTGGCTAATGGTAGCTGCTTCCCTAGAATAGCAAATTCAATGCCCCAACTTATCGATGCTCTTAGGAATTCTTACCGGCTGTTCCAGAAAGGCAATTTTCAAGCTTCCCGGGAAAGATTTCATCACATATTGCGGTGTATCCCTCTGATAATAGCAGAAAGCCGATCACATGCCAATGAGGTTGGTTTCTCCTCTATCCTATTTTCCTTTCCACTCGTGTGCCTTGTTATCTAAAATTGGGGGCTTAGGTGAGAGAGCTGATGGACATAACCCGCGAATATGTCACTGCAATCCGTCTAAAACATGCAAATGCGATCGAAAAAGGTGTCCGTCAAATGGAATTATCCGCCTATTTCACGCACTGCAATCTACAGCCGGCTCATCTTGCTCTTGCTCTTAATTTGGCCATGACGCAAGCATACAAAGGAGGGAACTTTATCACGGCAGCTTCATTTGCGCGTCGCCTGCTAGATTTACCAGACTCTTCGGCGCAGGGAAAGTCAGAATTACACAACAAAGCGCAAACCGTCCTTCAGAAGAGCGAGCAAAAGGCACGAAATGAGTTCAAACTAAATTATGATGAACGAAATCCTTTTGAGATCAATTGTAAAAGCCTTGACCCTATTTATCGAGGAAGTCAGCTTGAACGATGCTCATTTTGTAAATCTGCTTACACAAACAGCATGAAAGGCCATATTTGCAGTACATGCAATATCGCCTTGATTGGCATTGAGACCCTTGGGCTTGTAACTCAGACACAAGTGAAAGGACACTATAATTAAGCAAAATCCGAAGAAAAAATAGCCGGTGCCCATGACCAAACCATTGCGGTAACTCGAAGGCCCAAGTGTAGTACTTATTACTGCGTTCTCACAACACCGTTGCAGAACTGCACCTTAGGCAATTAGACAGCACTGCACCGGAGGTATCCTCCCTACTTCTTAATACTAGCCTGAGTATACAAATACCCGCATGTACGGGGGCGGATGATGATATAAGTTGACTCGGAGTGCTTTTTCAAAGTTCAAGTTTACACCACTTTTTCGATTTTAGAGGTCGAATAAGCCCATAGGACAATCAACCTCTAATCAAAAAAGTGGTGTAAAAAAGACACATCAACAAAATTATGACGTCACCGATATATCCCGCCCCGACCTTACAAAATGTAGATTTTAGAATTTTAAAATTATATTTATGACGTATGACTATATATGTGTGTGTGTGTTCATATTGGAGACTCCATTACACCATTTTGTCCTATCGGGACAAAACGATGTAATGGAGTCTCCAATCCCCCAGTAAAGTACCGTGTTCTGTTCCGACTCTGACTCGGAGTCTGGCCCGGGCCCGGGCCGGGGGGGCTGGCCCGGGGTCCAGGATCAGTGATACAAGATATACATCAAAAAGGAAACCGAACTTGAGCGAGCGAAGCGAAGTTCGGTTCTCAGGCTGACTTAAGCCGTCTGACTCTTATACATAGTCTAGGCAAAACCCATGCCGTCTCTCTGCCGACCTCCATGCCGCCCAGGCAAACTTGACTCGGAAACCCCGTCGATTCTAGTGCTATCCGAGCGCACTGGTAGGGCCCTGGAGCGCGGAATGAGGTTTAGCCCTAGCTTTTATTGGTGACCTAGTGTGCTCGTCAGGCGAGCCAAGACACCGTCGTCCTCGTCGCGTATTTCGCCGTTTGCTTACGATACGCAACACGCTAAAGGTCTGACAGGGCGATACACGGTTAAAACCCGATACTTTTTTTTGTGGTTTTTATTATACAATATTTACGTGAAGGCAACTTAGACCTAAAGAGAGGCAACTTAGACCATGGTTTCTCCCCAAAACCCGAAATCAGTGGTTTATAATAAAAAAGTCTTAAACCCGAACCATCACTCCCCACGCCGGATTTGGCACCCTTGCGGAGCAGCCCCCGGCAGGGGAAAAGGCATGAACTCCTCCAGGGTTAGCTGCCCTCAGGGCAGGTGACCCTGAAGGAGTTTATACCTTTTTCGGGGCTGACCCACGCGCAACAACAAACCAACCTAACAGACTATTCCAGTCCACGGGTGGGCTGGTTATGAATTAATCACCAGGCAAATCTACTTGCAAATTATCACCTAGCCGCGGCTGCGCAGGGTGAAGGCCTCTTGAGGCTGCAAGTCCGGATCCGAGTCATTGTCTTGTTGTTGTTCATTTTTTTGTCATTCTAAGTGAAAGCAGCCCATTTTACTTTTTACCTCCCTTTTTTTTCTTTTTGTCTGCCGCCCGACGCGCATCCTCTTCTGCTTTGCGATCGAGAAATGCCCTTACAGCGGACTGGATAGCCGCGGCAGCTCCACGCTCCTTGTGAGACTTAACTAAACAGCGCCTTTCAAGTTCATCCCTGCTCTCTATGTTAGCCCTCATAGAATGCTCGGCTTTTAGTTCAGAGTCTCTTCGTTTCTTCAAGATAGTCAGTCGATCCAAGTTGGAGATTCGCTCCTGTGTCAGCGTTTTGAGGCGCAACTCCAACTTAGCATAGTCGTCTCGATATTTGTTTGCCCACCAAGTAAGCTTGTTTGCCAATTCTTGTTGTTTCATCTCAAGAAATTCCAAAGTTGAGGCGTGAACCATCTTTTCCGTTTCACGATGCCGTTCTAAACTGGAAGCCTTTATTTCCTGGGAACGTTCGGTTTGTCTATGGACTCTTGCCGTAGAGCAAGTTCGTGCCTCTGCCACGGTTTGAAGAGAATTCACATCAATGGCTGTCTTGGATTTGATTGATTTGAGCTGCTGCTTCAGCTGCGTGATTAATGCTTGCTGCTCAGCAACCTGTCTCAGATGACGGAGCTTTTCTTGAGCAATTTCCTTATCGAGCTGCCGGGCAGTATCAGAAATCTCCCTTTCTCTGCGAAGGCTGCCCCGAAGACGGTTTTGGTCGTCTATGTCTTTGGTAACCTTCGCGATGAGTGTTGTAAATGAGCCATTCTCCCTAAGCTGTACGAAAATTTAGATGGGCAAGGCAAGCATGAAGTGTGCCTACCTCATTGATCGTTTGCTCTATGATTTCAATGAGATCTTGTCTTTCGCGCTGAATTTTAAATAGATTCCCAGATATGTCGGGGTTATCTTTCAAATTCTGGCATAGGCTTTTGGTAGAATTCCTTAGTTTGCGCGACACGCCTTCAATTTCTGTTTGCACGAGTTTGTACCTGAATTTGTTTGCAACCCCTCTTAATTTGCTTCGTTGTGAGATTAAGCCCTCGTAGCGCTCCTCTAACAGTCGTTGGTCTCCTATTATCTGTGATACCTCATCCCCAACGAATTTCGTCAACTCATCACGATGTTGGAGAATATCTGGGGAAATTGCTTCAAGAAAGGTTAATTTACGAATAGTTTCCTCCAAAACTGCAGCAGCGCGCCGACCCTCGACAGAGGATAATGACATCGCCGTAGTTAACGCGCAGCTAACTAGTACCTAGGTACCAGGATTAGACATAGTAACCGTAGTTAGCCCCACTGGCGCTTCAACTCATACTAGCTATATCCCCTTTTTACGCCAGCGGGGAGAAGCGTCCACCGGCGGATGCCTCGGTACAAGCATGGCGTCCAACGGACTAAATATAGCAGAGTTTCGAGGCTTAGTGTACTGATCATGATAGTCTCGGACAGAGTAGTCGTAATCGAGGAATTAGGGGTGCCTAGCGTGGTCTCTGGCTACTGCGGGCCCACGGGGATTGCGGAATAGCGCCGCCCGTCGAGGCAGCACTCTCGGAATCGGCTCTAGACGACGCACGAACACCACCGCGGAGCTCTAGCCTGGCCGCCCACGACTTCAAGGCAACGCGTCCCATCACGACAAAAGAGGGCAGTTTTGGAGCCCCAGTAATTCACCTCGTGTGTGCGGACCAGGAGGCTGGCAAACGACGCAAGTTTTGGCTTAGTTTTGAGGTAGCGGTACAGCTCTTCTTGACCTGGAACTCCTAACTCACATTTCGCCACATCCTTCCAAGTTCTGGCGCCATGGACATGCTTATGGATGATATCGCAGGCATCTGGCCGTCCGGTCGCCTTCCACACCACGATTTAGTGCTCCGTCGAGGCTGTCGAGGCCTTATCCGCGGGCTGCCGCCAGAGCAGTAACAAGCGTCAAGACCTACCCGAAAAGCACGCGGACATCGAGCTAGTGACCCGTATGCATTGTCGGAGCGGTCGCACGGAGCTTACCACTGCACCATAAGTCTATGTGGGGCTGCTCTCTGATGGCTGTCCGAGAGTGCCCGCGTGTTGACGTCAGACCGTCGTGTTCATCAGCGGCGTCATGTTGGCGTCGATACCAGGTGGGTGGAGGCGTCGTAGGACGCCCGCGCTGGTACTTTGGGCAGCCGCAATACCGCTGCCCCGGTGCGCGCGACTATGGCTTCGCACGCGACTATGCTCTCGCAACCTTCGCCGGGCTGTAACTCGGCACGATGGAGGAGTTAGAAGACGATCCAAGTAGCGAAATGCTCGCAATCGAGCTGTACAGGCCGGCCGTTTACGCCGCTCGTACCTTTGATCTACTTTATGTACTGCGGTAGGCTACCGTAGGTACCGTAGGTAGCTGCGTATGTACGTGTACTATGCCGTTTCATAGTCCCCCCCCCCTACTGTGTCTAATCCAAGTACCAGCTGGTAGTAGTCTAGCATGCTAGGACAGGTGCTAGTAGTCTAGTAGTCTGTATCTAGATCTAGATAAGTCTTGATTAGTAGTCACTGGGCCCGGCCTGCGAAGAATATACCCCCTAGTACTACACTAGGCCCCTTCTTACTCTCCTACTTAGTCCCACCTTAAGCTCCCTTCAGAACTATGCGGTGATGTTCAATCCAGGAATCGTTGGATCCTAATTGGAAGAAGAAAAGATGGATACCTTTGTCCTTTTGACCTCAAAGCCTCTCTAGAAAGGATGCCGACTCCACTGAAAACGATCTTGGACGACCCAGCAGATGTACCACAGAACGTCTGGATAGATGACAAATTAGTAAGACAATTTGAAGATACTAGAACCTGAGAAGAGCTCTCGGTGTAGGTAACTATAGGATCATAGCACAATCGCTGTACCAGCCGAGTCACGCCGGCAGTTGCGTTGCCCTGGCTTACTCCCGCTTTCCTGAGTCACTCTTTTGAGTTGAATCACGGGCCCGGGAAGCTTCTCCCGTCGCAAACACCCTAAAACATGGGGTTGATAAGCCATCCGAGTCGCAAACATCCCGAATAGAGAAATTGTCGACATACAATCGCCGCCGCTGAACGCCGAGACCATCGTATCGGTCTCGCGGCGATAAGACGGTCACCACACCATGATACATCAAGTTAACTTGAACCACAGGTTCACCGTGACCCGGGCCGGTCGCACCGTGACCCCTCAGGCTGGCCGCGGCAGGGGCAGCTAGGATTTTGTGCGTTTGAAGGCCTCAGGCTGGGTCGATGCGGGTTTTTCCTGCCTGAAATGTTCAAAAAACAACGACAAAGTATCGGGCTGGTGAGCAAGCCCGAGTACTCAGCCTGGGCTAAGGTGAAAAACTCCCCTAGACATATATATTCAACGACATCGCCCCCTATTGCCGGAACTATGGCTACGTTACTCTCGCCTCTCAGCACGTTATGCCGGCCTGCACGTGCCCTGGGCGGCCGAGTTATCCCCCACTGGCATACCGTATCATGATCTTCTTACTTATCCAGACGCCCTGGGTCCAGACAACTAAAAAAACACGAGTTCCTACATGTATGCATACTAGTAAATTTATGCGTGAATAAACAAAAAAAAATGGAGGCTGACGAGCTACGGATGAAGGTACGCACCATCGGAAGACCTCCGACAGGAATAAACGCAAAGGTGGTCAATGAGGAGTACAAGGTATGGAAGAAAAACGCACCATTTCTCTACGATCTCGTTCTAACTCATGCGCTCGAGTGGCCTTCCTTAACCGTGCAATGGATCCCAGACACCCCCCCGTGAGTAGTCTGCCTTATCTTGTATCGTCGTGCAACTAATTTTTGTGCAGCAATATGTCGACAAGTCTGCCTAACAAATTGGTGCTGGGCACGCATACATCACTTGGTGAACCAAATTATTTGATGATAGCATCTGTTAGATTGCCTCACTACGGTGACCCCGGGACAGAAGAGCTGAATGCCAAAGGTGCTTGAAGTCACGTCTGATTGGTACTGACCTCTTGCAAAGGTGACACGCACGGCAAGATGGAAATCAACATTAAGATTAATCACGAAGGGGAGATAAATCGGTGCGCATTTTCATCAGAGGAGTAGACAACTATTTCAAAAATCCTTCGTAGTGCTAGATACATGCCTCAAAATCCGTTCATCTTAGCGACAAAGTCACCATCCTCTGATGTTTTTGTGTTCGATATATCTAAGCATCCATCCTTACCCAGAGACAGAAACTTCTGTCCAGAGCATCGATGTCTGGGACATACAAAGGAAGGCTATGGCCTTTCATGGAATCCACATGTCCTTGGTGAGCTCTTGAGTGGATCCGATGATTGCAGCATCTGTTTGTGGGATATAAACCAAACAAGTACAACCAACGTCCCCGCTCTTAACACCTGGAAAGGTCATGGTGATGTGGTTGAGGACGTGGCGTGGCACGCTTACAGTCCGCACCTATTTAGCTCAGTAGGCGATGACAGGCAGATACTGATGTGGGATACACGAAAGAAAGGCTCAGCTGACCCGTTCATCAGAGTGATAGATGCGCATCGTGCTGACATTCATTCCATAAACTTCAATCCGCATCACGAGTTTGTATTGGCAACTGGCTCAGCCGATGAATGTATAAAAATATGGGACATGCGGAATACCTCCGGGGCTGTTCACAGGCTAGATGGACACAGTCGAGAGGTATTCCAGATACAATGGGCCCCTTTTGATGCTTCATTGCTCGCCTCTTGCGGAGCAGATCGGCGTGTCCGAGTGTGGGACCTCACGAAAGTCGGAATGCACCCAACGATTTCGGTGGACAGTGAGTGCCCAGAAGAACTCTTATTTATTCACGGTGGACACAATGACAAGGTTTCTGACATAAGTTGGAATCCAATGCAAGATTGGGTGGTGGCATCCGTCTCAGATGACAACATTTTGCAAGTGTGGCAAATGGTGCGTCCACGATTACAGGGAGTCTACTGATATACCTTACCGTCGTCGCAGGGCAAAGAAATACGATCAGTTCAGTAGGGGCTGCCGTTGCTCTCAACGGATAGCCTTAGTCCGACATTTCATGGGAGATTTTGCGCTATATATATATATTCATCAAGACCCGTCGGGTGTGAGATGAACAGCAATGGCACCGCAGTGGCAGGGCTCGAAAAGTTCAGCAAGGGAGCTCCGTATTGTGAGTTTAAAATGCTCCCGTAGTTCCCGCCCCCCCAACGTCATGGGTAGACACGCCCGGGCCTAATATTTTCCCGTGCGATTTCGGCGGTACCCACCGGTGGCCTGTAATGATCCCACGCGCCTTCTAACGCGCTTTTGACATGATCATAGTGGCCCAAAGCGACGCCTCCCTCAGCGATGCCATGATTGACCGTATGTACTACTAGTCCGAATTTGTGCCGCCAGCGCGTGTGGAGGTCCTAGGAACTCGTCCGCGCCAGGCGCAAAAAAAGAGCGCGCACTGGCATGAGAGTTAGCCGGCTCGGCGGTCTGCGAGTGCCCTTGGAAAAGCTGCTGCTCTGCGCGAGGCCCTAAATCGGCGTTTTGTTTATAGCCGAATTTAGCAAGCGTACTGTCCGGCTATCAGTAAGAGCCGGGCCTCCTGGGATTTAGGGCGAAATAGCCCCCCCCTGACCTCGGAAGATTCTACGTATACACCTTTACTCAAGCAGATAGTGTAATTTAAGGTAGCTAAGTGCCCGGGCCGGCGGCCCGGGCCGGGTCTCAGGCTCCCTCAGGCTTTAGAAATGAAAGTGCCGTATAACATCCGGCCACCCGCGGACCATCCGGGTCACGGTCTCAGCCGCTGTACTCCGAGTCCCAAAGCCTGAGGTACGTACCCCGGGCCCGGGCCCTTTGGTCTTGCGATCATTCGCACCCCCCGGCCCGGGTGCCAGTGGGCCTTGTCCCGTGCCAGTGACTCAGCCTGAGGCTGCCAGTGACTCCGAGTCGGGAACTTGAACTCCGAGACAGGGCCGCTGTGACGTGACCGTCACGGTCACTGGCACGCCGTCACGGTCACGGTGACCGTGACTCCCGGGCCTACTTCAAGTCAAGTTCTGGGGTCTTCCGGACGCTTCGGGTCGTCTATCTAGGTGCTCAAATAGGTCGAGTGGGGCCAAGTACTGGCACCCGACCGCTCGAGTTGTCAGTCTGTAAGCATTGTAGCATACCTGCGGCAGCATGACTCGAGTAAAGGTAACGCAGTAAGAAGTTAGTAAGACGTATCTAATCCAGTCGATCTAATAATGTATACTAAAACCTCGTCCTCCTCACCTTGTCATGTGCAGTGATGCTATCTCGTTTTCCAGTGGAGCTCCCGCGCCGTTCTGCTTGTCGAAATGCTAATTGTCAATCATAGGGTCTAGTAACCTTGTTCCGATTTTCGCCGTGGCCGTACACTTCGCAAATGGCCAGGCATGCGAGCTTTCCAGGGTTGGGGTCGGTCCTGATACAGCCCAGTCGATGCGCATGAATCAGAGAGATTATTTGCGCACACTGCGACAGAGTTGTGTTGTTGATGATTCACTTGCAGGCGACGCTGTGAGACTGAGTCGAAGCTCCAAGAACTGTCCTGCTACATGGGCCATAACCTGTCTTGATCATTTCAACTGCAATGATATTTTGGATGACGTGAGTGTATCTCTCAAAACAGGCCTCGCTTCCCTTGGTTTTGAGGACATTATAGTTGCCAACGCTTCAGCATGCTTGAATTTTGTGCCCGACTGTATTGAGCGCCAGCATTTAGTATTGAATGCAAACTTAATGAATAGGACTTGGGCAAACCTTCTTCCTCGAACTGCTGTTCTCGTAAATTTAGAACAACTCATACTATGCTCGCAGCCAAAAGCTCTCGTTGCTGCACAAATAGCGGCTCAAGACCAACAAGGAGATGAAGCTGTGGTAGTGGCCGGGAAACTTGCCAGAGAGGCTGCATTAGTAATGCCGCCACGAAGGGCGCTCCTTGGTGTCACCGTAGATGACTACCGGGCTTTCGTTGCCCTTGATCCCATTGGCGCGAGCTATCCATGGCTTGAGTACTCGTACCAAAATGCCGACCTCGCAAAAAGGGCAGGGCGACATTGTAACTTCCTTAAACCTATAGGTGTCTCCACGCAGCCAATGGAGAGGAATTTTTCTTTCCGAGGCAATGTTGACTTCATTCATATCGGCGGGATCACAATCACAAGGCGAGCACGGGTCTTGGCCATTCTTGAGAATGCTGGGTGGAGGTCAGTCATCGCCGAAGGCTACTTTCATCAAGCGAGAGACAACATTCTTGGACAAGCCACCGTCGGTATCAATATTCACCGACATCAGAGACGTCGCATTGTTGAAGTGCTCAGGCTCCTCACCTACGCTACCCATGGAATGCTTATTGTGTCTGAATTCGATCGTGGAGTTGATGGAGTTTCATGTGAAATTGGGGATATGCTTCTAGAATCTGAACTCCAAAATGCTGTGTTTTTTTCTTCCTACTCGCTCCTTGCAAGTTGTGCGTCTGCGCTGCTGCAGTTCAATACCCCTGCTATAAATGCCACAAAGCGCCTCGCAACTAATGTGGCCAGGCTTGTTGATTCAAGGCAGGAAAGGAAACTTCTCGCACCCGCATTATTGTCATTGTTTCCTTACTGTAATTTCTATGGTTATTAATAGGGCATAGCTTCAGCAGGTTGTCGGTGCCACTGCCAGTGTTGCTCGTCATGACTCGGACTCGGAGTCTTCCTTTCCTGCCAGTGTTATTTCAAGTTATTTATCTTCACCTTATTTCGACTCGGAAGCTCCCGGGCCGGTTGGGTATCCTGACTGATCAGGGAGAAGGCTCTTAGGAGCTTGTTCATTTTTAGGTCTTCCTTTTTTTATTACTAGTACTAGTAACCTCACCGTGACTGGCAGGCTGAGGCACACTGGCACCGTGACGTTAGGTAGAGGTAGGGGGGGCAGTGGTCGTAACGTGCGGGTATTTTACGCTAGCTCTAGCGAACTTTGGGAGTCCTGGCGGGAGGCAATGAGTTTGGACCGCAGGAATATTGCCATGGAGCGTCAAGGTGGGTCCCACTAGGAGTCCTTCCTACAAAATCCCGCTGGTCCAAACTAATCTGACAGTTTGGTAAATTTGGCGACACTCCCTTGAGGAGACGCACTCAGGGCTTTGCCAGCTAAAGGCGGGGCGGGAGAGCGCACATTAGGCGTCTGCGCGTGGCCTGGCGTCGGTCTGCGATGCTGCGGACGCTGCGAACGCGTCAGTTGCGCCAGCCGCGGCCCGCAGCAGCCCCATTTGCAGCATGGGGCAGCTGTATCGGCAAATGACGCGACGGGACTGCGTTTCTCTTACCTCAGCGCATTCGCGCGTGGCTCCCCGGTCGACACGCACGACGTGAGACGCCCCTGTCCTTGTGGAACGCGCCTTAGGCCCGAACACGTTCTCGGCCGAGATTGTCATCGACTCACTCACGGTCACAATCGCGGCGTCACGAGACCAGGCATACTTTCCCAGTCACTACGACCGTATCGAAAGCGCCTGGTATCATCACTGACCGCGCTCGGCCTCCTGACGAAAACGCGTATAAAAAATGTAGGCGTCTACCGCCCATAACTTTGCGCCATCCGATCCGTTTGTTATCAACCCTGGGTCAAACCCAGCTTACTAAGGTCCCTCTAAAGCATGGTGACGACGCTGGGGGTCCCGGGAGGAGTCATAGAAATTTGAGTTTTGGGTATCCCCCCCTACTAGAGGGGGCCCGAGGGGGTCGAGGCCAGTGCGGTATCGAGCGCGTACTTTATTCTGGACACCGCCACTTGAGAATTTCAAATTCCAAGTTATCCATCAAGCTCGGACCGCTCGGGCCTACTACTACTAGCGCCGTGACCGTGCGAGTAATCGTGAAGCTTTATACTTCTAGTAATCTGAAGTTTATGTCAGACCCAAGGGGTGCCTGCGAGTATGTAGAAGAAGCACATGCTAGATTGTAAATACCTGGGCTCAAGTTCACGAAGTCCAAACTCAGTCGGCGAAGTCAATATCCCGGTCATCTTCGTCTGAATCACCGATTTCATAGTCTGAAACAACAATGAGAGGTCTCCGTCGATTGGCTTGTGCATCAGATACAGGCGCAATAAATTCAGGGCGCAGTGGCAATCCCATGAGGGCTTCGAGTCCTTCTCGAGGAGTGCGATCACCACGGAGGATCTCAGCTACACCAAATATGATGGGGAACTTGAGGTCAAGACGATAAGATTTGTGCGATTTCTTGATGAGGCGCTCAAGGGCGAAGGCGGTCTCGACGCCTTCTGCAACTTCACCCATATCGGCGAGAATGTCATCAAGGCGCTCGCCGCGTCCAAGGCGAACGCCAGTATTACGGTTTCGACTTAGTGGACCAAAGCATGTACCAAATGTGTCACCTACACCGGATAGACCGGCAATAGTTGACGCACGGCCGCCCATAGCCAGCGCAATGCGCTGCATCTCATAGAGACCCCGCGTAACAAGCGCGGTAACCGCATTTGTCCCGAGATCCAACCCTTCACACATGCCTGCTGCGAGCGCAAGGACATTCTTGACGGCGCCCCCCACCTCCAGTCCAACAACGTCTGCTGATGTGAAGACACGAAATGATTCGGAAGCAAGAAGGTCACGGAAGTCAAAGGCAACACGGCGGTCTTCCGACGCTACGACGACGGCCGTAGCAAGTCCCTCGGCGATCTCACGTGCGAAGGATGGTCCGCTGAGAAACGCATAGCTCCGGCCTTCACCAAGCTGTGATGGCAAGATTTTGCACATGAGATTAAGGCTCTTCCGGTCAATGCCCTTTGATGTGCAGAGCACAGGTACTCCAGTTGGGACCAACTTGGCAATTTTCCGCAGGTACCGTCGAGAGTGTTGTACTGGAACGCAGTGCACTAGGAAGCTTGCATCTCGCAAAGCCTCTTTTTCATCAGTTGTTGCGCACGTGGGAACAGGTACCTCGATGTCACTCAGGTATCTGGGGTGCCGACGGTTGATGTTTATCGTCTCAGCATCTAACCTATTTCGCATTAGTAGCGTTACAGCAACACCCTTACGGCCAAGCACGTGCGCCATTGCCAAGCCGAATGATCCACCACCTAGAATCACTCCTTTGAGTATTGGGCCACCGCCCGAATCTACAGGACCGTCGTGTGTCGGATACTCAGGAGGTATTCCACTCCCAAGTAAGACTACTCGGCCGCTACTGCGCTTCCGGCAATTTCGCTGTGATACGAGACCAACATCATTCGACCTTTGTGACACATACGGGGGTACAAGACACTCTGTACCTCCGAGCAATAGGAAATATCTCAACATCTGACCGGTTGTCAACTCCGGACGAGGGTGGGCGTCGACCTAGCGGTTGCAAAGCAGCGCACTCACAAAGGTTGATTACGGGTTTTTCACTTCGCGCGTGCAAGCGCATGCCGCCGCGTTCGATATTTTCTTCTTGTACTGCAGGTCACGTATGCAGTGTTGACTTCTGGCGGCGGCGGCGGTATGGCTTAATGGTCAACTACTAGTAACTTGAATTAGTCTTTCGGTTGTAGAGGTCTCGTGCCGTGGGCCGGGGATTCTCTCACTGGCCCTCAGGCATGTGACCTGAGGTCTCTTTGAGGCGTCGGGAGGTGACCTCATCACAAGAAAAACAGATTGATTACTGTCTCTCGGCGACCGCCGCGGTGCGAGAGTAGTTCGTTCGGCAGTAGTCCGGCCCGGCCCAGGCAGGCTGCCTCGTACTTTGCACATAACACCTCGGTTGGGTCTGAGGCCGCTACGGAGGTCCGCAACCCCGTAGCGCCCCCATTTACCCCGCCGTACACGGCGCTCGGGATGCCTTCGCGGGGCCTTCGGTCCAAATTGAAAAAATAAGGCCACAGAGCGCTTACTATGGTCCCATACGACCTCATTATCACGCTTCTGGTCTCATCGTCCGCTCATAACGATTTGCCGTCTTAGGAGAAAGGCCGGCGAGTTCAGCGCCTGCGTTCTATATGCGCAGCCCCCCTCAAATGCCAAGCGCTTATCGCGTCCGCATAGTCCTCGGGGTGCTCCCCCGCCGCATCCGCGTCTGGGCTGCGGACTCGGACGGAGCACCAGAAACAGCTAGTAGCGCCTGCCACTGCCAGTGGCAGCGGTCACAACGGTTGAGCCTGCCAGTGAGATCGTACCAATCCCCACCAAAAGTTGGTGAGCCCTATTAGGCCCCAAGAGGAGTTCCCACACGAAGTTCCCGGACCCCCGCCCAGGCCCGGGCCCGGCCGGGGTATAAATCTGCCAGTGGACCCGGGCCCGGGCCGTCACGGTCACGGTGACTCGGACCCGGCCCGGCCCGGGGCGACTCGGAGTCCGACTGAAATCAGCCCCCCACCCCCAGAGGCCCGGGACTCGGGTTGGAATCATACATATATAATGTCAAGAGAGGGGTACGCGGGTAAATTTCCCCATGTTCCTGCATACACGTAGCCTTGTCGTAGGCCCAGGCACGGTCTACGCAGTAGTATCTTTAATTGCGTAACGCCTAGACAGAGTATAGCTATGCGCGATCTGCGCACATCCGTCGCAGACCGGGTGCTAGTGAGCCACCGACATACGCGCCGGCGAGCTAACAACTTCGAGGGACATGGGGTCGCTTTTTTCGAGCGTGGAACAATATATGTGGGGGACTTCTTTGGTGGAATGATGCATGGGGTTGGGACCTACACCTGGCCGGACGGAACGAAATTTGTGGGCGAGTTTACACGCAATACTATCACAGGTAAAGGAAAATACATCTGGCCCGATGGATCTTCCTACAAGGGTTCAGTTCTGAACGGACTTTGTCATGGATATGGTGTAATGCATGGCGTGAATCATGGAATCCCTTGCTACAAGGGAGATTGGTGTAACGGGGCCATGCATGGTACAGGAATATTGTATTACAACATAGATAGTTCCTGCTACTACAAAGGCGAATGGAGTTGCAATAAGAGAAGTGGCCATGGCACAATGCAGTATGAAAGCGGCAATTACTATGAGGGGGGGTGGAATCAGGATGTTAAGTGTGGTGCGGGATTAATGCTGTGGCGGCATAGACTGGAATACTATGAGGGTGAGTGGTGTGATGATAAACAAAACGGCAATGGTGAGCATATCTGGATTGATCTGGCTGAAGGACATACAGCCCAATCTGCCCAGCAAGGATGTAATCGTTACCTTGGTCAATGGAAAGATGGCCAAAGGCACGGAATAGGTACCTTTTCTTATGCAAATGGTGCACGTTATTTGGGCGATTGGGTTCAGGGGCAAAAAGAAGGAATGGGAGTAGTTATGCGAGATGATGGCGCCTTGTGTAGTGGCACCTTTCATTCGGATCGGATTTCACAAAGCTTTACAAAATCGGAACCTGAGCTTGCTTCCTGTGCGGCTGAATCTCAAGTATATCTGCATCTTGAAGACCAAGTTGGCAAAGATGCGGCATTGGCTAAGCACGAACAATTGCGGCTTCAGAGAATAGTGCTGCGACACAATTCTGATTTGAGAGGAGCATACTCCAGGTATTCTTTGTTAGAACATGGTAGGCCTGGCGGACATTTACCCACAATGACCTCATCTTCATTTCTGCTTTTCTGCAAAGACACTAAGATCATCCCCACTCTATCTCAAAGTTTAGTCCAGAGCATCCTAAAAAGGCTGTTCCGCCAACACAAAAGCACAGTCGCTTCTGCCATGTTGCAACATAGAAGCGAATGTAAAGATACAGAGCAAAGCGACAGCCCGGGGTGGCGGTGCCCACTCAATGCAGGCACTCTCAGTTCAAGCCATAAGCAAGCAAGAGTGAAACTTGCTGGTCGATCACTATCATACAGGGAGTTTGTTGAAGCAATTGTGCGCATTTCCTTCGTGCTTATCAATTGTCACGCTCCTGCCCTCTCATTATCTGATGCATTGGACTTATTCATCACTTGCTTTGTGTGTCCCATAGGCCACCGGAGCCCACGCGCAAACTTATCGAACGAGCGGAATTATGCAATTAAGAGGCCAAATGGTCCCTGGTGCGCAGAATTGCTCTTTCAAGTAAGTGCTACTCTAAGTTCCGTCACATCGCAGTTAGAGACAGTTGCAATTCGACCTATTCTCACGATTCTTATTTTGCTATACAACCAAGAACCACTGAACTGCCGAAATAAGTGCTTATCTAAAGCGCTAGATATTGTGCTTGATGTCTATGAGCACAGAACTAGGGTGTGGGAGGGTGACAACTTATCAACTGCGGCTGTCGTGCTTCTCTGCAATGCTGAATTGAATATAGCGGAGGTAGCGGAGATATTCATGCGATCAAAAGTGATGCTAAGCCCTTCAGCAAGCGAACTTGAATCAAGCACTGCTGTTCCTTTCAAAAAACAATTGTTGAAGGCTACAAAGCAGGCTCTGGCAATCGAAGCAAATGCCGACTGTCCCTATTTTCCAGGGCGGGCTATACACAAAGTAAATGTTGGTGTGCCAACTCGCCAGGGCGTCCCCACGAGTGGATCTATTTAGGATTCGCGCGCGAGCTACGGCCCGGTGAAGTTGGTTCTCCGTCACGCCGTTTCGGCCTAACGGGGGCACCTGAGGGCAATGGGGCCACGCCGGGCCAGCCCAAGAAACACCATAGCCATTGGAACGCTCAGGGACAGCCGAGTTAGCCAGATAAGGCGGTGCGCGAGAAATTAGTGGGAGGTGAGAAGCATTATCGGAGAATCAGCCATCTTCTACGGTGAGAAACACGCTGAACTGGACAAGCACGTGAAGCGAGCAGAAGGCAATTCTATGAAAAATTTGATTTTGTCCGGCATTGAAACAGCGCGCAAGGAACTCGTTCAACTTGAAGAAAAATTGAATTGCAAAAACACTAAGTTTGAAAGTTGCTCAGTCGCTTGCATAACGGGGGTGCAGGTTAGGCTAGGCTAGGGTTAGAACCCTAGCGGCGAGCTAGGCCCAACCCCAAGTCGGGTAATTTAAGATGTGGACACACCCTCCATGAGTCCTCTTTAAGCTACTGCGAATCTTAATACTGCGTGGAGACTTCGAAATTCATAGGGGGGTTCGAGCGCAATAGTCGACGTTGATTTTATTTTTGGCGCTCTAAAAAAAGGTTGGCAAAACCCATACCGTCTCGACCGCCTAGGCAAAATGAACCATCGATTTTAAAACCCGATATTTTTTTTTGGTTTTTTTTAAGGGTTAATAGCCAGTTTCTTGGGAGGAAGTGAATCCCCGAGCGCCAACTATAGCTATTGATATAAATGATTATGCCCGTGTACTCATCAGGAAGCCGCCGGCCTGGTCGTCCTTGCCGCGCGTTTCGCCTTGCTTACTTCGACGCGCGACCCGTGGCCGGTATTCAGGCGGTGTATACTAAGGGGATATCGGAGTACCCTAGGATGGGAAGTAGCCTAGGCGGGTAATACAAGTACGGGTTGTGCTTGGATACGTCTCAGTTGAACCTTGGGATCCTACTAGACGTGTATTTCCATTGCAGTTTATTACGCGTTGCGTGTTGAAGGGCCCGGGTGATGTAAGTGTATAGGAAGGGTATAGGATAGGGGGGGGTATTTCGCCTATTTATCGCAGCCACCGCGGGAATGTTGAATCAATTGAGAGTGACTCGGCGAGCAATGTAACACACATCCCCGGACCATTCCGTGGGGCTGGTGGGGGAGGGGGTGCTCCTCGTAAATTTGGTATTATTGCAAACAAAAGCGCAAGCTCGTCAGCGTTAAAAAGTTGTTCTAATAATACTTGGAGGCGAATAGTGGTGTAGTTGATATGTCGATTGTGATTCCGGTGCGCGGTTCCACTAGCACTGTGGAAATCTTCAACGACGAGCTGCCGGACGTGTCCACCGACGTGATCAACCTGTTGCGTGCCGAATTGGCACCCCTGCGCACATGGTGCGAATTCGCGGTGGCCTACCACAACCAGGGCCGCGAAGAACAGTTTCGCGAAGTTTTACTTGGCGTCGTCGAAGCGTTTGATGTGTATGAGATGCAAGACTTTTACCGAAGAGAACCAGGAGTTTTTGAAGCTGGGCGGTTACGTGTGTTAAACTTACTAGCGGCCTCTGCTACCAACAACTTCATACGCGAGTTGCGGACAGATGCACGGGAGGCGAGTCCATCTAATATTTAGTGGGATGAAGGGGGACTTCTATGCATGTAGGCGTGGAGACAAAAAGTTCTTGAATATATTGGGCGCGCTGATAAAATTTCTGACGCGAGCCCACAGACCTGGCTGATAAAATCTATCTTCTGGATATCTGAGTATCATCGTGATGCGCGAGCATTGGAAAATGCGACATATTACGCTGATTCATTACTTCGCAACAGCAACGAGATCTCGTGTAGTGCCAGGCTTGTGAAGGCTGCAATTTTGTTCCATGAAAAGAGATATGCCGATGCACTACAACTATACACGCGTGCTCTGCGCTCCGACCCCAGAGCAGCAGGTTCAAGTGTGCGTATTGGCATTGGGCTTTGTGCTTACCACCTTGGAGATACGAATACTGCCCTCGCTGCGCTCGAACGTGCTGTTGCTCTTTCTCCAAGATGCGTTCCAGCTCTAGTGGCAACTGCGTTTCTGCGACTCATACGTGCAAGTGAACTTGGCATTGGGGAGAACTGCATTAAAAAGTCAGCAGGTTCCCTGCGCCGAGTATGCGATACTTAATATATTCAAAATCAAATAGGCAGTGCTGCAAGATCCGCACCAGAGTAGGCAGGGGGTCTGGAATGAAGCGACACCATTGCTTATTCGCGCACGAGACTTAAATCCTGCATACTCTGTTGCCCTTAATCATCACGCCAACTACATGTTCTGGGAGCACCAAGAAGCCTTGTTCGTTGGCTACGCCCAATCGAATGTTGCATGCATTCTGTCTTACACTGACCCGAGAGCACTGCTCAAGTCTGACGCACATATCAGGGTAGCGTTCGAGCAAAATAACAAACAAGCACTTGAAACCCGAGTTTTGAAAATAACACTGGAACCTGGCTCAAAGAATTGGTGGCGAGTGAAGTTAAGTTCCACATTACCATTGCTTTCAAAAAATGAGATACATAAAGTAGCAATACGAATCATACGCACCCCTGAGATTGAAAAATTGGCAAGCCGAGCATATCACTGTGGTTTCCTGTGTCTACTAGTCCACGACCATGAATATTTCAATCCAGGCACCACGGTGCCTGAAATTCAAGCCGAGGCCTACTTCATTTTGGGTCGTAGCCACCATGCAAGTGGCAACATGAAGGTAGCGATGCCTTACTATACACAAGCCTGCAAATTGTCGCCAAGTTTTGCCTTGGCGCAGTATCGCCTTGCACAAGTAGTACTCGGCGTGATATTTTGCCCTGTCAGTAATTTTGACATGGTGCGCTTGACCTAGGTCCAGGCTGCATTGGGTGATTTGCCAATGGCCCTTGAAGCGGCAGAGACTGCCCTTGCGTTAGCGCCTCACGCACCCGAGGTCCTCCAATTGGCTGGGATTTTGCGTCTCGAATCACACGCTTTCCACACTTCTCACGAAGTCTTAAGTCTTGCTGTTGCCGCAGACGCTGATAACCATCTCACTTGGCTTGCATTGGCTATGTCGTTAGAACGCAGAGTTATAATGGGTAGTCGCGACCCGGCTGTGATTGCAAGAGTTGTTGACGCGTATTGTACTGCTGCCGACCTTCTGCGTGATCGTGGCATTCCAGTTCCATATCAAGTGTCAAACAACACTGGTGTGCTTCAATTTGAGCTCCATAATATAGTTTCTTCCCAGGCGGCCTTTTTGGCAGCCCTGCGTGATTGCAGCAGACGCACTCACTTCATTGGTGAAGTTCATTATGAAGATATGGAAATTGATCCTAATGTATTACTCGCTGTCGGTCTTGCCAAATCTCCTCGTGAAAACGCAAGGTCGTGTCAAATCTGGAAGTGCGTGGATGGGGAAGCATGGCTAGACTCAGTCGATTGTTGCAAATTGTGGACGACTGGTCATACCGTTCTTGCCTTGCGCATAGGTGAGCGCATTCGCATTGGAAATGGTGATGATGCCTGCATCGTTCGAGTAAGGGGCATCTGCGCACTGGAGATCACCGATGAAATAAAAAACACAAGAGATCTCAGCACCTTGCATTCATGTGGGCAGAGTTTTTCTATTGCACTTTCTGAGCCGTTGCGTCGTTATTCTGGAGCCAAAATACAAAGTATTAAAATTTACCACATTCAAGCACTTGAGCAACATTGTACTGATAAAGCAATTGCGTCTGTATATGCCAACCTTACACAGCTCCATGTCGCAGCTGGTGATGTCATCACTGCTGGCGAGCTCGCCACGAATGCAATACAGATAGTACCTACCAACATTCGCGGGATGCTGTTAGGTGCGAGACTAGCCCTCATTACCAGAAAATTGGATCAATGCCGTATATATCTTGATGAAGTCAATTCACTCGCCTTTGATCACCTTCAAAAATTGAACAACACTGCCTCATCAGGGTTGTTCGAGGGCAGCAACCGAGCGCACATAGTTGATGCACTTGTATTTTCAGGCGGTATTTGGGTCGAATTGAAAGAGTTTGGTAAGGCCCGTAGTTTACTAGGAGACTCTCAAAGACTCTGTGAAGATAATGAAGATAAATTCCTTTCACCACTGTATTCAAATGTTGCTATAAGCAAACTTCACCTTTTCACCAACCCTCATGGGATTGAACTTGCCGTCGATCGTGCCCTCGCAGCCCTGAAAGCCTGTGCCTCATGTGATGTGGTTCTAGAAAATATATCTCAACAGCTAGCGTCGTCTATTTGCGCAACTTTACATCTCATGACCACACTTTTCAGGCTGCGCGAGCCCTTGGAGTTGTATTGATGGGACTTTGTCAGCTTGACGATGCGGCTCATATTTTTGAACGATTGCAAGATGGTGTCACAACACGTACCGTAGATGCAAGAATTAATTTGGGAAATTTCAACTGCACGCGTGGTCGATGGTTAGAAGCGGCAACAGAATATACTGCCAGTACAAACAGCACACCGACAACGCAAGACTCGACTCAGAACAGCCGAGCCGACCTACACTACTTGCTGTCTAGGGCATATTTTGGAGTGAACGACGTAAAAGCGTCACGGTGGACTTTGACAGCAGCAGTTCACTTGAATCCCAATAGTTTGTCCTTTCGTCGGCATTGCCACTAAGACATGGTCAAAGGATACTATTGGAAAATGCCCAGGCTATAAAATCAGAACCATCAACTGTGACCTACAACGAGGTTTGATGACCTTCCCCTTCCAGGAGTACTACCCCCAGCACTCTCAGGCTAGGGCCACCAGATGCCCACTATGTACGATGCGCATGCATTTTATTTATTTATTCAGTATGATAGTGTCGTCCTCCTAGGGCCCATAGGGGAAGAGAAGCCAGACTCGGAGCCCAAGGATTCCTTAGAGTATCCAAAAATGCGCACTTTTGGGGATGAAGGGACCTGGGACTGACACACCTCGGGGTGTTCTAAGGATGCGTCGACACTACTAGTTACTGGGGAAGAGGTCACCGTGACTGTCGAAGTACCCGGGCCGTGACCATATTCTGGCCTGTCATTTTGACCCCCCTTCTTTTTGAGTCTTGTTAAACGTACAAGTAGATTATCGTAGCTGGCATGTGCCACTGAGAGCGCAACCAGGTCGGGGGGAGTGTTCATGTTTCCTCGTCATGGCGTGTGCGTGCATATTTGTTTTATTACATTTCTAAGCTTACAAGTCTAATGGTCTATGAGCGTAGCGAATACTACAGTACTAGTACGGCTGCCAGTGAAAATGGTCATGGCCCGGGTACCCTATATTGCTCGAAAATGGTGTACACTGGCAATGGTTTGACTCGGACCCGGGCCCTTTATCATCTTGGGCCGCCTCAACTTTTCCGTCGCACTTTTAAGAACTACGAGAAGCCTGAGTAGTAAATTTTAGAATGATGAGGCTGTCGAGTACAGACGGGGCCGGACCCCGATTAAATCGGGGGCTGTAGCGCCTCCCCTTTAATAGCCCGAACGGGGAAACTTACTGCAAATGGGCCCCAGGGGGTGCTCCACATTCTGACCGAGTGTGGAGCCCTAAAAATGCGAGGGGTCGGAAGGGCCCCCACGCGAACGTCGCGCCAGTGGCGTTTCGTGCCGCGTCAGGCGACCTTTTGGGCAACTATACACCAAAGGTTGCCGTGTTTGCGCTTCCTACAGACGCCGCGGGTACCAAGGGGGACTTCGAGGGGGAAACCGCCAGCATAGCAGCGAGTTTTGACTTTCACCCCCTGAAAACCCGCGAGTTAAGCCAAATACCCGCGCGTTAGGCTATTTTGGCACCTCACCCCATCTCGAGGGGGGCACCTTCGGGGCAAGCTAGTGTCGCCGTGGGCTTAGGATGCCCCTGGGGCCCCAGCGGGCGAAGGCGCCCCGTTCGGGCTATCAATTGAAAATCTCACCAATTTGGCGTCAGGCCCCGTGAGTACAGACCACGACTCCTCCGCTCCGAGAAACTAGGGTAAACTTGAACCCAAATTTCCGTCGCAAAGGACGCGTACGCGTCAGCGGCTCGGGAGGCGTGGTCTAACGCGACAGATGAGGAGGCCAGTATATAAGGCTCCGAGTCAGCGTGACGCTGCTACCGGCAAGGACAGTGATATGCCACGATTCCTTCCCAGTGGCCCCAATGCAGGGAACTCTGACCAGGACCGGGTGGTCACCGTTTCGTTTAAAGGGGCTATTTAGGCATATAATTCCGCTAAGATACTCACAATGACAATAGAAGATTGATTGCACGTTTCTATGATAGTCTCAACAATCCAATGAACCATCCTCACAGCGAAATATTGGGACGACAAAGCCACAATCATCAAGAGTGCCCTTCCGCCCTTGCCCGTCGCTGGAACCAAAGCCAGAGAAGCAAGTACAGGAACCAGTTGTTTGGTCGCAGAGCCCCCGACCAGAGCAGACCTCGTCCTCCTTGGTTCCCTTTACATGCTCTTGAACAGAGGCCGAGTCTACATCAAGCAGGCTAACCTGAAGAAGCGGCACATCACCAGTCGGTGAGAGGAACTCTACAGTTGTAGAGGATCCACCCTCTGAGCAGATTGTCGTCTGATCTGAGCTCACAGCACCAAGACTTACATCTACAATCGTGCTCAATGATTCAAGAGCGACCTCGACTTCAACAAGATTCGCTGTTGACCTGTGGGTTTGGAAACCCCTTAATGAATCGATTCGTGAGCTTTTCAAGGACACCGCGGGGCGTTTGAGTCAAACGCGCAGTCTGTCAGCACATCAATTCCACAGTCGATTGTCGGCGAAAACGTAGAATCAGAGCCGCCGAAGGAAGAGATGCCTTGCAGTAGAGAGTTTGAATTTCGTTAGATTGTCCATTGGTATGTGGATTATCTCCGGAGGTACAAGAAAAAAGTGAACAATCGTAGCCAAAAAATCCATCGTGGCACATGCAGCCCTGTACCTACATTAACACATAATAATTCGACCACTTGGGCAACACACATACCATATCAAAATCCCAGGTCAGTTGATTATTTGGCGTAGATCCATAGGTGAAGAGAGCATCGTCCCCGTTGATTGTTGCGTGCTCAGCTAGTTGACCCATCGTGAGGCATTCCCCGCGGCCATTACAGGCAGGGCCATTGGGCTCTTTGCCCGGACAACTCATGACATTACATGCAGCACCTTCAAAACCCTCCATGCAAGAGCAGGTGCCAGTAACTCTATTGCAGGTGCCCATATTTGAGCATTCTACAATGTCGTCTGTCATGTGTGCATAATCGTCTCCGGTTGTAGGCCGCCCAAACCAAGTCTTACCATACGGGCAAGTAAGCAAGGAACAGTCAGCGCCAGTCCAACCTTGCTGGCAGTCACAGCGATAAGTTGGTTTACCTTGACAGGTCCCTTTCATATTACACGGACTGTTTTCGTTTGGACAGTCAACTAGCTGCTGGCTGGCATATCCGCAGTCACCCCTTTGGCCTTCGTTACCATAACCATCCGATGTGGTCATATAGTCCATGCAGCTACAGACGCCTATCTCTTCATCACAAATTCCTCTATTTGAGCCTACATCTTTGTTCTGAAGCGTGCTAAGTACGTGTGGACACGTCGCAATCTTACAAGGTTCATCTTCCTTGGTGCCAGCGCGAACCTCGGAGACGGATACTTTTGGACTGGTACTAGCAGAAAGCGCCAGGCCATTGCCATCCGCGACAATCAGAGGCAAATTGCCAAAGTCTTGAAGGAAATCAATTTTTGTCAAAGTTGAGGAGGCAGAGCAAAATGCTTGGCCTAATCGAAAGAAAATCAGTACTTCATCACTGCACATTGTCATGATCCTTATAATCAGACACTGTGAACTATATAACCATTCATTTGGACGGACAATGCCGGTCCATAGTCACTTGAAATTGTCGAAAGGGCTTCGAGATAGCCCTGCACCTCGTTGTCACTCGCATAATACCTATTATAGGCATACTCATCACCACTGACCTCTAGTAACTACAGGAAGGACGTCAATTGTGATACGGAATTCGATCTGTATGCTTGTTTCGGAATGACAAAACAACATAGCCCGAATCTGCTTTGCATTCTATTTGCTGCTGCGCCGTCACTTGTAGCTCAGACCTGCCATCAGGTTTCTTCGATTTATGGTCATCTAGGCGCTGAATCGGGCGGATTATCAACGACACTCTCAGTGAGGGGGTCGTCCCCAGTCGGGCAAGAGCGTAGGGAGCAGTCAGGACCAAATATACCGTGATCACAGTTACATCCGTACATCATTTCCGCATCCCAGTTAGACAAGTATGTATAGACGGGACCTTCGCCTGGGTCTTTCAGGGAGGCGTAATACCTAAAAAAGTGCATTAAACATATTGAAATCGTCCTCGTGAAATTGGAGTACTTCATGTTTTGACATCGTCCTCGTCCATTACAGGCGTCTGGACAGGACTTGCGTTCACAAGCAGCTCCTTCAAAGCGCGATTCCTCACAAAGGCAGATCCCAGAAGTGCGATCACATGTACCACGATTAGAGCATTCGGCGTTATTGTGCGCATCGTCTGTGCCTGCGCGCGAAGGAGCCAAGGTTCACTCTTGATTATAGATTACAACATATGTCCCAGTAGGGAGCATTGACATACCAATGATAGTGTCAGCTGCATCCGCCCAAGCTGAACCAAGAGGACACGTTTTCAGCGAGCAATCAGCACCTGTCCAGCCATTGAAACACCTATGCTGTGTAGTCGCGTAAAGTCTCAACATGGGACTGCACGCACTCGCAAACACGAGTGAGGGGGCAATTGCCATGTCCACTGCATAAATTGGGACATGGCGAGTAGCCCGCTCGTGCCAGCGGGTAGAAGGTGATCGCAATCACCACGATCTCGAGCGCGCGCTTCATCTCATGCGTCAATACATCTCATATAGTTACTACCTCGAGAAGGATACTGCGTCTGTATCCGGGATATAAGGTCAACTTAGCAGTCGTAGCGTGGTATAATGTAGCGAGGGTCCTAGGCAGCCTCGTGAGAGACGCCCCCCGTTGGGATAAAAGTTGGACTAGAACTTGAAGGAACAGACTACGGTGACTGGCACTGGCACCGTGACTCAGGGCAGGGCGGCGAGCCAGCCGCCTGAGCGCGAACCCGGACCCGCCGCTAGAACCCTTCCTTTTGCCGCCACTGGCACTTAGTTCCTCGCACTGGGCGTGATTTTGGAGCCCCCAGGCCGGGCCAAAGAAAGACACCGTGACGCCCCCCGGCCCTCCAAAGTGCCCGTCCAAAGTGGCCCGTCTCCGGCTTCAAGTCCCGGGCCAGCAACGTCTGCATCTAATTGAGCTTGTAGCTCATCCATGTTGTTAATTTGAGTTCGTGTGTATTATATTATATTTGAGTTCGTGCATCTCTATGTAATACGAGAGTGTGTCATAATTACGTTGATTGAATGCCAGTGTAGGCCCGGATACCGTGACCGTGACTCACTGGCAGGCTCAGGCTAGTATGTGGATAGGGGGGAGGGGAACCTACGAGGCCGGGCCCGGCCCGGCCCGGGCCCGGGGGGCCGCGGCGCGCTAGGGTAAGATTTCCCGCATTGGCCCGGGGTTTCAAGTTCAAGTTCAACTTGAATTTGCTTGCTATCATCATGATGGGCAAAAACTTAAACTGAGCAAAGGACAAATCGAGTTCCCAATAACTAGTCTGTGGGCATTGTACTAGGCCTTAGAGGAGACCAGGGCAACTGAATGAATCAATGCCTGCCAGTGTGCATGCTTCAAGTTATTCAAGTTTTCAAGTTAGGTATATGTACCGTAGGTATAAATGTAGAGTAACTAAATTGATACAAAATGACTGATTGTAACTTTACTGCAGAATCAGCAGCGCAGGTAAATGCAGTATTCGAATTCTCTCAGAAGGCTGTCGCTGTCAGCACCAAGCCGAGCTAAATGATTATCTGCAATCCAAGTCCATCAACCAGTTATTCATTCAGATTGGTACGTCCTAATTTGTCAATTAGTCTTTACTGGAGCCGTCAAAGTGGAGTCACTGTTGATCGAAAAGCCGGATAATCCCATTGGTTTTATTGTTGAGTTTTTACAGAAAAAGTAATCAATTAGAACTCATCCGCGCGCCAGAATCTTAGACGCAGGTATCCTGATCAAGTCTGTGAGAAAACATTGGTCGGTAGTGAGGTGTCAAACAGAGCCGACCTTTTGAAAAAACCAGAAGATTCGTTCGATGAGGATGACCTTGATCAAGAAGAAGACTCCGAGAGTCGAGTTCTAGAAACATCAATCAAGCTGGCAAGGGCCAAAAAACGCAAAGCAGTCTGCTCAGAGGTCGCTCTGGATGACCAAGACGAAATAGCAGAATTCGAGAAGGCCCCGGATGCGAAACTGCGAATCCTCCAGGTCTTGCAGCAATATACCTGTGTCTGGCTTCATGTTCATGCAGTACTTGTGCAACATTCATTGCCATCCCTAGAGAACATTTTCTGTTTCGTCACCTCGAACAGGAGCAAAGAGAACTAGTGACGAAGGCAATGTCAAAGGTGGTGCTTAAACGTGGTGAAATCGCTTTCACGCAAGGAGAAGATGGCGACCATTTTTACGTGGTTGATAAAGGCAGTGTGGCATGTTTTGAGCGAAGAGACGGGTCAGAACACGAAACATTGGTCCATACTTACAATCCGGGTGGGACTTTTGGTGATTTATCTATTATGTATAACACGCCAAGGGCCGCAACTTGCCGAGCGACAACTGAGTCCAGACTATATGCATTGCCACGCAAAGTATGTCCCACAGTGAACGAGATCAACTTTTACCAGCAATTCCCCGCAAACAGGCATTTAAAGTGATTGTCATGAAGACAACTATTGAAAAGCGCCTACATATAAAGAGTCTCCTACAAAATGTACTTACATCCCACAAGAGCCAAATGCTGGCGGCGCTTACTCGTGATATACGCGCTAGGTTGAAATTTTCAAAGAGCTTAAGGAGCATGAATTCTCGAAACTAGCGGATGCAATGCAGGAGGAAGCCTATGAAGAAGGCGATGTAATTTGCCGTCAAGGCGACGTTGGTCAGCTTTGAAACGTGACCAGGATGATTTTTATGATACAACAGGTTCAAGCTTTTTCATAATCAAGCAGGGTACAGCAACCTGCATCCAAGCGGACCCTCACGGAAACCAGCAAGAGGTCGCACAGCTCACCGCATGTTTTCTGTGTGCTTTCTCCACCATTTCATCATATATTTTGATTAGACTGGTGACTATTTTGGCGAAATCGCGCTTCTCGCTAGCAAACCCCGCCAGGGGACGGTCAAGGCCACGGAAAAAAATGGCACATTAAAGTACGTACCACATGCTAGGGCAACTCCCGCTTGCCAAGATTCATGATGCAATTAGGCTACTATACGTGGAGCGAACCACCTTCAATCGGATTCTTGGTTCCATCGAAGACATACTTCGTCGAAACCAGTCCTACTGAACCAGTGTATGCAAGAAAAACCAACGAAAATGCTATAGAACTATAGGGCAGCATACAATAAGTTTTGGGCCGCTCAGATCTGACATAGTGGACCTTCAGGTAAACGGTACCGTGCTCTTCACAGCAACCACGACGACGCCTCGCTGCCAGTCACTGAGTGACGGAAACGTCAGCGCCAACAGTCTTCAGAATTTTTCGGCCCGGAAAAAAGTCTAGGATACTCCCTCGTAGTGTATATTGCAGCGGCTGCTAGTGCCGGCGACCCTCGGCCTCTACGCGTCTTACACACGGGGGAAACTCCCGGGCCGTTGCCAGCGAGCCCGGGCCTTACTAGTATATCGTATACTAGTATAGATAGTACTAGCCTGAGCCTGAGTATGGGACGATAGCCTCAGGCTGACTACTCGGACTCGGAGGTAATAATTTGGTCGGCGTACGTACGTAGTTACCGTGGCTAGTTGCAATGGAAATACACGTCTAGTAGGATCCCAAGGTTCAACTGAGACGTATCCAAGCACAACCCGTACTTGTATTACCCGCCTAGGCTACTTCCCATCCTAGTGACCAACTTCAAGTTTGCCAGGCTTTATCCCAACACTCACGCCGGATACTGGGGCAGTCCCTCACAAGGTTGCCTAGGACCCTTGTTACATTATACCGCGCTACGACATTCGCTTGCTACAGGTGACAGCCAGCTCGTACCAGACTCGGACTCTAGAGTATGTTACTACGCATGTCTGTCACGGTACGACTATGACATTGTACGCGGTATCTATCTGTCTCTCTCTACACCGCGGCCCTATCAGCCGCGAGGCGATATTCCATGTCGAACGCGCGATCTCGTCAATTGGCCTATTTCAAAGACAACATTCAGTCGCAGGACGACCAGGTTCCCCGTAGAATATTACTCAATTACTCAGCCTTCTCAGGATGAATTCGATGCATCCAGATACTACTACAACCGTGATGACCAAGTACTTACCGCACCATCTAGTTCCAAGATAACGTGTCGTCCGCGTCACTGCCCCGATACCTAGGCCTTAGGTTCAGCTGCCGGAGCAGTAACTTCTTCACCATTTACTGGAGGGACTGCTGGTCCGTCATCATTTTCAGCTTCAAACCAGTAAATATTTAAAACTACAGGTAATTTCTCCTCGCACGCGACGCACGCGATCGCTGGGCAAAATTCTATGACGCCGCACTGCCCCATGTCATTATTCTCAATAGATCTCAATCTCAGAGCTCAATTGTATAACAGGTTCGCTCCATCTAGTGATCTGCTTGCGATGTTAAGTAGAGGGATATCTACGGGTTCAAATGAGCCATCTCAAACTGGTCAGAGTTTACTGGATAGCTCAAATAGTAAAAAAGCGTTGTAATTTAAAGTCTCAACCCTTATAGTCTCGTTTTTTAGCTGACACCACAAATCAACCCTTGGTGTCTGGGGGGCATATTGCACATATTCCGCCAAACCGAGAGACTCGCAGAGTACCATTTGATATGTCCGATTTCCCAGCACTCGCCGGGTCCCATCCCTGTGTCGTCAGTTAACTTCTAAGTATGGTAACAACTTAAACCCAGTCATGTCTCGCTACCACATTGTACCTCACGCGAACCGTACCTATTCAGTGTATGCTCTTCATTACACTAGCAACACATGCTTTTCCATTAGACTGGAGGAGGATATGCCTGGGGTCAGCAGCCTGCCCTGCAATGACAATACAATGACTATTGGTAAGGACCCAACACCAATGGACGCACTTACGTCGGCAGAAATACATCAACTAACATCAGAAGTTCTTCATAGTGACAATCCTCCAGAGAAGCGACTGTCAACACATCCAACATCACTCAACTACGGCCAAGATAGCAATTCAAACTTTGCAATACAGTCAGAAGACTTCCCAGCATTGCCGGGTAGCCAAGTGGTCGCACTACGTCAAGATCATGAAGATGGACGCATCAAGACAATTAGCGCATTCAGCAGAGCCAGAGTTTTGCCACAAAACTGAATGACAGCGCGCAGGCCCCCCATAGTACAGTACTCGAAGAATGCAGTTCTCTGCGTTGTGTAGCGTACAACAACTCACCTGAAGATCAACTCCAATTCAGGTTGCCCCGAGAGCTTAAATCAAGGCGCACTGGTCACTGGTCTGATGGCGGGAAATGCAATTGATGTTGATTTGACAAAAAAAGCGCGAAATTACCGTGAGATCCTTGTCCTTTGTTTGACTGTTGACATCATCTCATTTGCAAGTAAATGTAGACACGCATGAACCATCAGCGTCGCGGGGTGCGGTGAGTTCATGTTCGCACGCTTGATGTGAAAAGCATTACCTAGGTATCATCAAGTTGCAGTCTATCCACTGCCGCTTTTGATCGTCATGCATCAGGATTAGCAGCACTATCGCCAGACTCCTTAAATGATCGAGGGCATTGTGATATGCGTGGACATAGTAATAAGCCAGAGCCTAATCGTGCATCTCGTGTGGTTGATGTCGGATTAGCTTCGAGAGCAACTCGTGTTCGACTAACATCAACAATTAAAGGTGCCAGTATACTATCTTCTGATTATTGGCGCTCATAAACATTAAAGGCAATGCTGATGCGGAGAATCAAACCAAATATGGTTTGCTTGGCTTGCTTGATGTCATCCGCATGACAAACGCAGATCTAAATACACTCGCTCTCGGCTCCGACCTAACCACACTTGGACTTAACTTAAACTCCTCTGAGTGTTTGTATTCAACTTTTGCATCACCCTGGGCGGAAGCACCTATTACACGAGAACCTCAATTCTCCCTTCCGCTGTGTTACTACATGCAACCGCCTCCACTAAAAACGCAATACCTGAGCCAAAACAAGTTGTGTTTAGCCTTACTTACAGCACCGTCTTTCGTGAGTCATTATGCAACATAGGTCACATTTGTCCAAGTTTCAACTAGAAACACTATTTTACATATTTTATGCCATGCCCAAGGATGTGAGTAACTTACGACGAGTAAATAAACAAAATGGGTCTCGAATAGGTTCTTCAGGCTTATGCTGCACAAGAGCTGTGAGACCGACCACCATGTGCAGACTTTCTTGATATGGATGTCATAGGTACAATCGAGAATGGCAGTATCATCAGGATTTGAAACTCTGGCAATACATTTAATAATCAAAGTCACACAGACTTCGTATATAATAGGTTCAAGCGCAGTTCTTCTGCAGATGGACTCAATTTCTCTAATAACCAATATATATTTTTTGATATCAAAACGTGGGAATGCCGCGTTTTTTCGAACATGCATGCAGCAGGCACTTAGCCAGGGCAATCCAACGATTCATTTGGAGCGTTCAGATATCTTATAGGTAACTTTTCCAGTGGGCTCTTACACGAAGATAGTGTTCGTGTTAAATTTATGAATTCATCATGACTTGGCGTGCGCTCACTCACACATATGATCCTACAAGAGGCGAGCTATTGGACTGCATTTGCATTCCGGGTACTGGACACTTGGAAATTTAAGTGCAGACGAATGCATATGTAGCTTAAATCAATTCAAAGCAAGGATTTTGTAACATGGAAATCGACTCATGCTTATACCGCACACACACACTTACTGTGGAGTTTTCTAGTGCATCATTATGATTATCATCGTAATTTGAAGGTGCGGCAGCTTGTTGGAAACCAATCTACAAGTTTATGACTGAATCTATTCTTAGTGCAGCCTCTACGTGCAGCTAGTAAATCCAAGGATTGCTGCTACAACCCCGACTCGCCGGGGCACGATCGGCCTGGCCCAGGGACTGTGCTAAAAAAACTCTTGGGGCCTCGCAGCGGAATATCGCAGAACGGCTGCGGCTGCCCGTGTAACAGTCTAGCATGCGTTCGTAGCCCCCCCCCCCACGAAACGCCTAGAACTCTGAATCGGCGAGAAAGACTCGGAGTGTGCTTCCTTAATAAAATAGTACTACCCGTCCCCGAGGCCGGAAACCGGTTAATTAGTACCGTTGTCGGCTGGTCATGGGGGACAAGTTACCCCGGGAGATTGAAAATTCGTTGTACCCGGGCCGTTATCTTATTGCTATTTCGAAGCTCCGGTTGGGCATCCTGACCGAGCAGGGAGAAGGCTCTTAGGAGCTTGCCAGTGTTCCTTTTTTTAAGGTCTTCCTTAATTTATCATAATGATCATCATGATTTATTTATTTATTTATTTATTTATTTATTTATTTATTTATTTATATTCAGCTTACCCTAGTTTCCTTAGTGGCTAGTGGAGTAGCAGCAGACTAATAGTTGGGAATTTACTCTTTGCTCAGTTGCCGCCCATCGGGCCAACCAACCCCGGGGACAGGTAGGAGATCTCCCCGGGCCCCATCAAACAGGGAGGGAGGGCGGGCTAAATAAATCTGAGGGCCGACGCAAACCACAGCCAATTTGGCTTTGTGGTTGGCCGGAGAATCCGAGGGGAGCCTAAGGCTAGTACAGTAACCAGGGTAACTGCTAGCTGGCTTCTAGCCTCGCGTTAGAATTTGGTACACTCACGGAGGTGTCCCAGCCCAAGGGGCAGCCCAGGAATAACCTGGGTTGTGTTTGGTGCCATAATAGACCCTATGGTGCTGGAAGCCAGCGTTGAGAAAATTTCTCAGGCACATGGTGCCTCTTAGAACACCGTGACTAGGCCGCTAAATACGTTGATGTGCCCCACATCCTAGCTTATTTATTTATTTATTTATTTATTTATTTATTTATTTATATTTAGTTATTTATTATTCTTTGGAGTAAGATCCTTCCTTACCTTTCCTTAGCTCTAATTAGAATGAATCATTGAATTAGCCTGCGACGCTTAAGACTCCTTGGAGACTTCGAAATTTATAGGGGGGTCGAGCGCAATAGTCGACGCTGGCAGGTTTTGGCGCAATCATGATGCGCGTACAGCCACACCGACCAAATGGCGGGAAATGATTTTTGCTGAGGCGCACTGGCAGGTTCCGTATGCTAAAATAATGGGCTGTGCGCATTTCTGGTACCGTGCGGGCAGCCTCACGCTGAAAAATCAGCTGCGGTGCGATGGTCCGAGATAAATCCGTCCGAAAACCAATCATGATGTCTCAAACGGACGTAAGGCTCTATAGGTGCCGTCGCCAAAATGCGCCTGTAAAACTCTATCCTAGAGTAAGCTCGGCGAGCAGGCGATTATTTTTTGTGCCATATAGTTGCGTATGATGCGGCGTCTTCGCGGAAGCGGTTATTTTTTTGAGCGAGAGCGCGCCGAGGCGTGCGCGCGTGAACACAAGCAAACGCGACCCCGTGTGTCGTCAGCAAGCTTGTCGCCGTGTGCTGCCCACTCGCGAGGGACGCGGATCAAATCCAAGACGGGGGGGGACGCGCGCCCCGTGTGCGCAGGTCTAGCGCGGACCGAGCCCCGCTGCCATGGACGAGGCCGAGATGGAGCGCGCGGCCGCGCTCCGCAAGAAGCGCACCTTCCGCAAGTTCCTGTTCCGCGGCGTCGAGCTCGAGAAGCTTCTCGACCTGAACCACGAGGAGTTCGCCCAGCTCATCCACGCGCGCGCGCGCCGCCGCATCTACCGCGGGCTCAAGGCAAAGCCCAAGCGCTTCGTAGCCAGATTGCGCCGGGCGAAAAAGGCCTGCGGGCCCATGGACAAGCCCGAGCCCGTGAAGACGCACCTGAGAGACATGGTCGTCGTGCCCGAGATGATCGGCAGCGTCGTGGGCGTCTACAACGGCAAGGTCTTCAACGGCATCGAGGTCAAGCCCGAGATGGTCGGCCATTACCTCGGCGAATTCTCGATCACGTACAAGCCCGTGCGCCACGGGCGACCGGGCATCGGCTCGACGAACTCCTCGCGCTTTATCCCCCTGAAGTAAGGGCCAAACCGTATAGCTATCTAGATAGCCTTCTCTGGCAGAGTAGAGTCTCAGTAGACACGTATATATTGTATCCCCTGCCCCCCGTCGTCCGCCGCGCGGCGTATTTAGCTTGGTACTGAGCCCCCCCTTTGGTCCAGACGCATCTCATGCGCATCAGGGCGGGAGCCGTGCGCACCCTTGCCACGTACCCAAGGGTAGTTGGCTCGTGGGCTCGTGGTAATACCTTGTTATTACAGCCCCTGTCTCGTGTTTACAGTGCAAGAGCCCAACAATAGTCTCGGCCCCTCGGCATGTTTGGCGGGGCCCGGGTCTCCTGCGGTGGCAAAGGCAACTTCTCGGACGCGCAGCCGCGAGATGTGCCGCGAGCACGTGCCGCCGAGTCCCTAAAGACACCAGCTTACCCTCTGATCGCATTACATAACGTCACGCCCCCCCCCCGCCGCCATCGTCGAGGTTGTAATAGTCGCCGGCCTGCTTCTGCTCGCGGTCTAGCACCGAGCCGCGCTTGTTGATGCGCGGCCGGAAATTCTCGGCGTCGCGTCGGAACGTCACGTCGAGCTTGCGGAGGAACGCGTTGAAACCCTCGGCCGGCGCCAGCGGCGCGCCCGCCGTGCAGCGCACGCCCGGCGCGCCGCGGTAGACGACGACGCGGTCGTAGAGCGCTGTCGCCATCACGAAGTCGTGCTCGATGATAAAAGCGGTCTTGCCGAGGTGCGACACGACCCAGCGCTTCATCACCTTCGCGCAGACGATGCGCTGCTCCACGTCCAGGCCCGCCGACGGCTCGTCCACGAGGTACACGCCCGCCGGCGTGCCCAGGCACACCACGATCGCGAGCCGCTGCACCTCGCCGCCCGACAGGCTTCGGACGGGTAGCTCCTCGATGCGTTCCAGACCCAGCGGCTTCATCACGAGCAGGCGGAACAGCCGGTCACCCAGCCCGTGCTGCACATGCGCCTCGAGAAAGTCCTGTACCGAGCCCCGGTATTTCCGGAACCGCGGCCCAACGTGCTGGCGCTTGTAGGCCACGCCCAGCCGCGCGAGCGACGCGCCGGCGGGCGCGTCGCTCTCGACGCCCGCGAGCAGCGACATGAACGTCGACTTGCCGCAGCCGTTCTCGCCCATGAGGCCCACGACCTCGCCGTCCCGGAAGCTGCCCGCCTCGACGTCGAGCGTGAAGGACGAGTTCTCCCCCGTCAGCGTCCGGCTCATGGCTGGGTAGCGGTGCGTCTGCGGCGCGTGAACTGCCTCGACGCCGCGCGCGCCGTCGTCGTCGCGCTCGACGCTCACCTGGAAGCTCAGGGCCTCGGCGCGGAATCGCATGTTCTCGGCCGCGATGTAGCCCGCCAGGAACTGGTTGATGCCCGCCGCGGCCGCCTGCCGCTTCGTGACGACGCCGTACGCCCCCGGGCCGCCGTACAGGCAGCAGACTGCGTCGCTCACATTATCTAAAACTGTCAGGTCGTGCTCCACCACCACGACGTATGTCGCGCCTGCCCGCCGCCGCGCTTCGTCCGCGGCCCGGACCGAATCGGCCCGCGCCGCCGCGTCGACGCCGTCGACGAGGCTCCGAATGGCCTGCGCCGCCGCGACGCGCTGCTTGACGTCGAGGAAGCTAGAGGGCTCGTCGAACAGGTACACATCCGCCGCCACGTTGAGGCACCGCGCGATCGCGAAGCGCTGCAGCTCGCCGCCCGAGAGGGCCTGCACCTCGCGGTCGCGCACCGCCTCGAGGTCGAGCAGCTCCATGATCTCGCGGCACTTCCCCAGCTCGTCGCTCTCCTCGAGGCACGCGCCCACCGTCCGGCCCGTGAACTTGCGCGCGAGCGACGGCTCGAGCTGGGGCTTCACCACCACGCGCAGCCGATCCTCGCACAAGGCGGTGAAGTAGTTCTGCAGGTCCGACCCCCGGTAGTATTGGATGATGTCCGCCCAGGCCGGCGGGGCCGCCGTGAGGACCCCCAGGTTCGGCTTCACGCGCCCCGACAAAATGTGCACCGCGGTGCTCTTGCCGATGCCGTTCGTGCCCAGCAAGCCGAGGACCGCGCCCGGCCGTGGCGACGGCAGGCCGTGCAGCGCGAACGCGTTCTCGCCATAGCGGTGCGTGACGTCGGTGCTCAGATTGGTGGGGAGTTTCACGATGCTCACGGCACCACCAGGACAATGCTTCGCTCGTGTTAAACACGCGGCACATAAATCCTCCGAGATGCGGACTAATTTACCTTCGACTTCGATGCACGTCTTCCCACACTTGCCAGCGTACTGCTTGAGGAAGGCATAGGCCGCCGAGTTGGGCTTGCACTTCTCCGGGTCGAGGATGAGGATGCGGCGGTCGACGGCTGTGGCGTCCTTGGCTTTTCGTTTCGCTAGGAGTTTTGACATTTGCTTGTGTGTTGAGACCCCCGAGTGCCCCGACGGGCAGGCCCAAGGTTCGTCGCTGGTAGTCTTGCGTAGGAAGGGAGGCCCTTCTCGGGTCAGCCACTACTAAACTAAACTAAAGCGAAGCCACAGCCCTCGCCAAATTTGGTGTCGTCGTAGCCCCGCGATCAGGGTGGCTCCGGGCCACTCAAGAGAACAACTTTGTCTTAGACTCCACAGCCTTAGTGCTCATTCAGGAAGCTCCAAACAGCGCCTCCTCGTCGGCGTTTCGCCGTGCTCCAGGGTCCTGCTCTTGTCCGTCTGCACCGCTCCGCCGCCATGGGTACGACGAGGCGGCTGCTTTTGCACGCGATCGCGACCGCGGCCGCGGCGCTGCGACCGGGCGCGCCGCACGCGCGCGTGCTCTTCTGCCTCGGAGGGCCCGGCGCGGGCAAGGGCACGCAGTGCGCACGACTGGAGCACGAGTTCGGCTGGGCGCACGTCTCGGCCGGCGAGCTGCTGCGCGCCGCGCGCGCCGGCGGCTCGGAGGAGAGCCGCGTCATCGCGGACTGCCTCGACCGCGGCGCGATCGTGCCCGTCGCCGTGACGCTGCGGCTCCTGCGGCGAGCGATCGACGAGGCGACGAGGCGCGGCGCGCCCGTAGTTGTGGTGGACGGCTTCCCGCGGAACGCGGACAACGTGGAAGGCTGGGAGGCGGACGCCGCTACGAAAGGACTTGACGTGCGCGGCGTGTTGTTTTATGACGTGCCCCACGATGTTCTCCTTCAACGCATCGCGGTGCGCGGCGCGAGCGGCGAGCGCGACGACGACGACGCAGAGACTGCGCGGCGGCGCATACGAGTCTACGAGGAGGCGACGCGGCCCATCGTGGATCTGTATGCGCGGCGCGGCGCGCTGCTTAGCGTCCGGGGCGAGGGCGACGTCGAGGAAGTATGGCGCCTCACGAAGGAGGCGCTCGCGCCGCTCGTCGGGGCCCAGGAGGGAGTTTAAACCCGACGTTCGTCAATTCGTCTTGCGAATAATGCAAGACCAAAGGGGTACGCACCTTTGGGAGTACCGTGACGGCGGCTGAGATAGTCTGCCGCGGAGCTACCTTAAATACACTAAGTAGTTTTGGTTTTAACTGTGTTTATTACGCGTTGCGTGTTGAAGGGTGATGTAAGTGTATAGGAAGGGTATAGGATAGGGGGGGGTATTTCGCCCTATTTATGATCGCACTCCCCCTTTTCATGAGGGTAAGCTCTTGTTTCCCTTAGGAAAATATGGGGTGAAAATTGTCCTCCATCCTTTTCGTTCGTTTCATTGAAATGTGCATTTTGGTAGTCAGATATTGTCGCGCCACTATTTAAGTACCGTAAGTTGATTTCTTTTTGGCTGATTTGTCTTTTTCTTTTCTAGTCGTTCACTGTAAAACACTCTACGTCAATAGGCGAGACCTTGTGGGCCCATAACCTAGCAAGAGTATGTCCGAGTCGCAGCCTGAGCGTTATGTACTAAAGTAGCAGGGTCACGGTCCGAGTCCTAGCTCACTGGCACCAGCCGAGGGCTGGGCCAACCTAACTACGAGAGTGTTTTATAGCAAATTGTTGTTACACCGCAGCGTCAAAGACACTCGCTGTATAGACTCAAACTTAGAGAGTGGGAGATACATATCTAGGGTAGGAAGGGCTAGTAGGTTTCTCTCTCTTCGGCACGGTCCGTCGGTACCTTTGGTACCGTAGGTTCGGTAGATATTCCCTGCCGCTGTTGCTCTCTTTTTATCTCTTTTATTCGCAGCAGCTGACCGCTTTCAAGCCCAGGCTGTCGCGTGGTTGACCGTAAATATTATGCGGGCCGCCTCATGGTCGTGGTGCCTCCTGGCCCGCGCCACCATCGACGCCCATACGCTATCGTCCAGTTGCAACATGACGGCCTTCTGGAACTGGTACGACGACCGTTTCCTGAGCAGTCTCTATGGTGCGACCTTATCGCGAGGTCCGGGTCAAGAGGTGCGACCCTATCGCGAGGTCCGGGTCAAGATGCAGGATGGCTTCTGGGGCATCTTGTCGACGCTGTCGTACCCCGACTGCCCGCCCGCGACCGCCTGCAAGGCCTACCTGGGCAACGGCCAGGTCATGGAGCGCGCGGCCCAGATGTGCGAGCGCGCGCTCTACGCGCTCAAGACGGACCGCGCGGGCCGCCACGGCGACGTCGACAACTACGCGATCTTCGGGCCCATGTGCTCCGATGAGTGCAGGGACTCCGACGGCCTACACCTCGAGGCGATGGCGAAGTCGTCGTGCACGTGCCGCGACCTGAGTCCGGCGCCGCCGGGCCACGGCCACGGCGGCGTATTGGAAGAAATCGCGCACTGGGGCGTCGGCGCGCCGTGGACCTGGGACGGGCAGGGCATCGTGGGCTACGAGCGGCTCGGCCCGTACCGCACCGAGGGTGAGGTCTGCCAGCGCAACTCGGGCCGGATCATGTGCCGCGTCCTGGACAGGTGCGGCGTCTGGGCCTGCCGGCTAGGCGACTTCATGTGTCCGCGCCACGAGTACAACAAGCAGTGGACGCGCTTCCGAGGGCTCGGAGACTGCGACGCAGCGGCGCCTTTGACCGCGCGTGCCGCCGCGCTCGCCGGCGCGCTCGCCGGCGCGCTCCTGGCGCTCTATCCGGGGTAGTAACAGAATATAGTTTCAGCGACTTTTGTCATGGGGCACAAATCGCGAGAATTCTCACCTTACCTTACCTTATTGCTTTCGAAGCTCGGGCTTCCTGACCGAGCGGGATTCGCCGGGAAGAAGATACTTAGGAGCTTGTTCCTTCTCAGGCTTTTTAGGTCACGGTCGGTGCTTAATAATTTCATTTTCAATTTATTTCTTCACTCGGGTTTCTTAGTAAATCTGTAACATATTGATTCTATTATTGAACTTGAATTCAAGTCACGGTTATTTCAAGTTATTTATTCAAGTTTATTTGCTTTGCTTAGAGCTAGGCTCAGGCTGCGGCCTAGCCGCCCGGGAAGAGAAATCGCTGTTGAAAAAATTTCAAGTTATTTATTGATTTATTTATTGATTTATACACAACACAAGAAATGAATCATCATGTCAGTGATACTAGTAAATATCAAGGAAGGAATATCCTAAAAAAAAGGACGAACGAACACCAAGCCTTTAGGCAATAAGTTTTACTAATTTGCTGAAACTACTGGTACTACTAACATCATGATGGGTACCCCGATCCCTTCAGGAGTTTGCGCCGCGCGTACCCCACCGCGCGCGCGGGACCGGCCGTCAGCGCGCCCTTGAGCGTCTGGGCCGCAGAAGAGAAGCGGACCAAGCTCCGCAGCGCGCCCGATAGACGGCCGGCGCGGGCCGCGCCGCGAAGCGTCTCGGGCACGTGCGCGAGGCACCACGCCGCGTCGCGCACCATCAATCCAAAGTCGCCCCGCACTAGCGCGCCGGCGGCGATCGCGACTTGCACGTGCGGCCCGTAGAGCGTCCGGAAGCGGCCCAAGCCGCCCTCGACGATGTTCCGGACCTTGCGCGGGTCCTCGGCGCGCAGAGCGAACCGCACGTCACCGCCGTACGAGAGGTTCGCGATGGCGGCGAACAACTCGCGCTCGTCGAAGAAGTGTCCGGGTCGAAACGACAGCAGCGCGGCGCCCAGCGCCGCCCGCAGGTTGCGCGTGACGGCGGCGCTTAAGGCGGCGTCGCTCGCCACCCACACCACAGGCTTCTGGAGACGCCCCGCGACGTACAGACTCGTCCACGCGTCGAGGTCCCGATGCAGGTCCGCCGTCGCCACGACGCCATATTTCAATTCTGACGTCACGTTGTAGTAGACGCCGGGATACGTAGCCTGCGCCGTCGCGATCGCGGCCGGCCCCAGCGTTTTCAGCCACGAGTAGTGGGCCGGGTTCCGTAACACGTTCGCCGCGTGCCAGGCCCGCGCGTCGTCGACGCACAGGACGGCGTCGACCAGTGCCGGGGCGGCTGTGCTCCGCTGAGGGATCACGGCGGAGCCATACCCAAAGGCTGCTCGGTATCTGGGGAACCTCTGGCGCGCCAGCAGCCCTGCCAGGCGGCGGCTCATGAGGCACCGAATCGCGGCGGTCCGGGTTTTGCCGCTGTCCGCGAGGGCCTGCACGTCCGTCGCCTCCTTCGTCGCGGGGCGCCCCAATCTGTTGAGCTATCTACGCCGTCCGTGTTTGCGTGTCGCGCGTGCGGCCGTTGAGAGCAGGCTTTTTTTTGTATTCCGGTGCGCTGCCGGGTCTTTGGTGTCCTCCTCGATTCAAGGGGGGCAAGAGGGGAGGCTAGCGGGGCCCGGGAGGGAGCACGGAGAGGGGGGGGGTTTACACACGGCGAGCTCGTGAGCTCGTGCGGGAGGTAGGAGCTGGGGGGAGCCCGTCTTTTAACCGCGAGTGGGCGGCCTACGTGCTCATTCAGGATGCTCCAAACAGCTTCTCCTCTTCACGCGGTTCGCCACAACGGGCACCTTCGTCGCCGAGGCACCGTGCGCCAGAAGCTTCTTGATGGCGCCGACGTAGCCGGCGCGCGCGGCGTAGTATAAACGCCGTGGCGCCTGCGTCGTCGGTAGCGTTGATATCGCACAGGCCAGTCTGAGTTTTAAAAATGGCTGCATGGCGGCCTCGTGGGAAACAAACGTAGTAATTATTTCTACTACTACTAGTACTGGGGGCGGCATTGACTCTGGCCCAAACAGGCGACAAGAGAGGAATGTGCGTCGGTTTTTGCGCGACGACGTCGGCTCTAGTCGCGCCGGCCTTTGTGACGACGGCTACATGGTCGTTTTCCTTGTGAACGTCGACACGATTACATTAGCTTCCCCTCGAAGCCATCCGGCGCGGCACCGGAGGTGGTCACTTCTGATGCTCCTCGAGCAGCGCGACGATGGACGAGTAGCCCATTCTTCTTGCGATGGACAGCGCCGTGTGCCCTCCGCTGTCCGCCTGGTTCGGGTCGGCGCCGGCCTCCAGCAGTCTCAGGACGATGGCGTCCGCGCCGGTCTGCGCGGCAACATGCAGCGGCGTCGTCTTATTCGTGGATTGTTGTTTGGCATCGCCCCCCCGCTCCAGCAGCGTGATTAAGACGTTGAGGGCGCCGACTTGCGCCGCGAAATGGAGCGACGTGTGTCCTCCGCTGTCCGCCTGGTTCGGGTCGGCGCCGGCCTCCAGCAGCGCATGGCACGCTGGCTCACGAAGATGGATCAGCGCGTGATGGAGGGGCGCGAGGCCGCCGTAGCCCTCCTTCGTCGCCGAGGCACCGTGCGCCAGAAGCTGCTTGATGACGCCGACGTAGCCGGCGCGTGCGGCGTAGATTAACGCCGTGGCGCCCGCGTCGTCGGTAGCGTTAATGTCGTACAGACCAGCACGGTCGCGCGCACTAGGATCCTGTGTGGAAATCAACGTGGTGCACCGAAGAAAAAAAAAATTACCGAGAGAAGCTTCTTTAGGCCGTCGTTATTGCCAAAGCGCGCCATTCGATACACGTTTACCGCTTCCTGGGCTGTCATCCTGCTCTCTAAGTAACGAGACCGAAAATGGCTGTGTGCTGTAACGGTGGTTTCGCCGCTCTCGTCTGCGAGCGCGAGGTAGGAATCTTATGGGCTGCTCCTGTGTGCGCTTTTGGGCTGGGCCTTCGCCGCGGTACCTTATGCAACCTTACTGCGGTAGGGCCGGCTGGCAAGTAGAGAGAGAAACCCCTTAGCCCTTCCTACCCTAGATATGTATCTCCCACTCTCTAAATTTGAGTCTATACAGCGAGTGTCTCAGACACTACGGTGTAACAACAATTTGCTATAAAACACTCTCGTAGTTAGGTTGGCCCAGCCCTCGGCTGGTGAGCCAGGACCCTCCTACCTTACATAACGCTGCGACATACTCTTGCTAGCGGGTCTATAAGACACTAGCGTACTCAGGCTTCTTTGTACGTCGACAGCGCTGGGTCCCACGGGCGGCCTTAGAGCTAGTTGACACGCAGTGCTCATATATCTCTCCCGGACGCCGCGCTACAAGGCGCTGTCTCGAACATCTACTAGCCTAGTAGGCAGTCTGCTTGGACGGTCCCGACCGCTCTTTTGGGGTGTTTTCTCTTTAGATTTCTTTTTGGGTGTTTTTCCTTGTTTAGGCATTCACTGTAAAACACTCTACGTCAATAGGCAGAACCCTGTGGGCCCATAACCTAGCAAGAGTATGTCGCAGCGTTATGTAAGTAGCAGGGTCCTAGCTAACCAGCTTAGAGCTGATAGGCCTGACTGCGAGAGTGTTTTATAGTGAACTGTTGTTACACCGTAGTGCTTTTGACACTCGATGTATAGACTCAAATATTAGAGAGTGGGAGATACATATCTAGGGTAGGAAGGGCTAGTAGGTTTCTCTCTCTAGAGAGGTAGATGCCGATACGATACCAAAGTAGATACCAAAGTAGACTGTGCCAGCAGAGGACAAAAATGGGAGCACGCTAGCACAACCGACACGATGCGCAAAACAATACATGGGTAACAGATATGGCCGAGCAGCGCGTGGGGCTATGTCAACAAACCTTTGTGGCGGACGACAAGTTTGGCGATGTGATCGCGTGCCTTGAGGCGCGGGGCTGGGCGCGCGTCATTTGTGGCGGGGACCTCGCGTGGCGGAACCTGAAGCAAACGGACTTCGAGTCCGCCGACGCCGACCGCTACGTGAACCATCTTCGCCACGCGCAGCGGCTGAGCCACAAGGCAACGCTCGCGGCCGCGCTGGCGGACGCGTCCGCCGAGTTTTACCCGCGCTGCTACGACCTCCGGCTGCCGGCGCACGCCCGGCGATTCCTGGGCGACGCCGCGCGCGTCGCGGCAGCGGCGGCGCTGCGCGCAGGCGGCGCGGGCCCCGGCGACGCCGGCCTGGGGCGGACGCTCGTGGATGCCTGCGCCGGGCGTAAATTTGATGAAATTGCGGCGCGGCTCGCGGCGGGCGACACGGCGGCGACGCTCGCGGCCCGCACGGGGGGCGGCGACGCGGTGGCGGCCGCGGCGGCGCTGCGGGCTTTCGACGCACGGCCGCAGGCTGCAGTGGTCGACGGCGCCGCGGGCGTATGGGTGCTCAAGCCGGCGGGCGGCAGTTGCGGCGAGGGCGTCGTCTGCTCGACGTCGGTCCAAGAACTGCTGGCGGCGGCAATGGCGCGGCGGTGGCGTGTCGTCGTGCAGAAGTACATCGAGCGCCCCCTCACGCCCCTCGCCCGGAAATTCGACGTGCGCCAGTGGGTCCTCCTGTCGGCCGTCCGGCCGAAGCTTGTGCTCTGGGGCTTCTCCGAGGCGTATGCGCGGTTTGCTCAACAACGGTTCGCGCTCTCGGACGCGTCGCTCCGGGACAAGTTCGCGCACCTCTGCAATTACTCGATCCAGAAGGACGCGCCGGCGGCGGACGACGCCATCGCCGAGAACATGTGGAGCCAGGCGCAACTGGCGGCGCACATCGATAGAATCTACGGCGCGGGCAGCTTCGAGGCGCGCGTGCGGGCCGGTATCCGCGCCATCGCCGTGGCCGTGGCGGAGACGGCCGCGCGCCTGGACGTGGAGAAGGTCGGCCACGGCTTCGAGTGGCTCGGTTTGGATATCATCGTCGGCGAGGACCTGTCCTGCTACCTGCTCGAGGCGAACGTGTCGCCCGACGTGTCGCACTCCACGGCCGTGACGGCGGCGCTCGTGCCGGCGGCGACGGAGGACGCGCTGGCGCTGCTGCTCGACGAGGGCCACGCGGCCGACACCGACGCACCCGTGGCGGCCCGCCGGCGGTCGACCCTTTACGGCGACCCACCGCCGACGCCGGCCGACGGGCCCGCGGCAGCACCGCGGTGGGAGCTGTGGCTCCGCGCCAGCGCGCCGGCGCCCGCCGAGCAGCCCCCGGCGCGCCTGACGGACGGCCGCGCGGACGCGTGGTGGCGCGCTGAGCTCGCGCGGCTGGAGCGGTTCGCGCCGCCGCCGCCGGACGCCTCGAGCGACGAGGAACTCTAGCCTAGTGTACTAACTTGAAGTTGTAATGGACTGCTAGTAGGTTGCAAGGATGATTACTAAGTTACAAGTAAAGAGAGGAGGCTCTTATTCGGCCCTCGTTTGTCGCGGCATATTAGCAGAAACAAAGCAGACAACGCCGCCCGGGCCGCACTACTGGTACCTCCTCGGATATGTCATCATATCATGATAAGGACCTTTTGATTAGACCTGCTTTATCGAGGTATTTCAGGTATAGTTGAAATAACTAGAACTAGGATAGTGAAACCAAAGCAAAGTTGGGAGATTTATGAGTGGAAAGGAGGCCGTTGACCGATCATCAACGGACGACAACTTCAACTTCAAATTGAACCCCCTGGACCACGCGCCCCCGCGCCAAAACAAGGGAGGGAACTATCGGAGCGTTGGACAAGAGCAAGTATAAGTACAGTATTCTCACAGCGAGCCACTAGGTGTGCCGTAGCCTGAGGTAGCCAGATACTGCTGCTAAGATACTGATCCGAGTCGTAGCTGTTGGACATAAGTCAGCACTAAATAGGTTCGGAACGCCCCGGGGGCCCATCATAAAGCTCCTCTTGAAATCAGAGGGCCGCTGTTTTGGCCTCTACCGTGGGTCGGGTAGCTGGTAGCTCTACGAGCTTGTAGCACATGTGTGGGCCCACTGCGGTACCGTACTCAGGCTGCGGTAGGTAGGTACTAGGTACCATGGTACCGAGGTACTTGGTACCTAGTACTCATATCAAAATAAATACAAGAAAGTGAAGAATACTTACCAACAACCAAAAATCCAAACAAGCGACACTCAACCACACTACTCCGCCAAGAGCGCTTGAACAGCCGCGGGCGAGTGGGAGCCCGCGCGGGCGCCGATGGGGCGCCACTCGCCGCGGGCCGCGGCCCACTCCTCGACGTTCCGGAGCACCGTCTTGAAGGCGTAGTACTTGCGCTCTAGGACTGGCTTCGACAGCTCGCGCTTGGGGTAGAAGCAGCGGATGTACGTCTCGTGATCCTGCCTCGTCGACAGCGGATATTTCGTGAACTTCCAATCATTCTCCCTGAAGATCATGAATTGAAGCCCTTCGATGCGACTGACGAGCCGCAACGCATCGTTCGGCTCGCCGTCGACCATTGCCGGCACAGGATCGGCGAGGTCTTTCAGCTCCTGTTTTTTCAACAAGGCGATGGGCTTGATGTGCTCGTTGTCGAGGACAGTGACTTTCCTACCCTTCGTCCAGCTCCGGACGAGCTTCTTCCGCATCAAGTCCGCGAGAGGTACATCGTCCGGAACGGCGGCAGCCATAATTTGGGAGGCCTGAGCCGGCGTAAAGCCAGTGACCTCCGACATGTCTCCTCCAACTTCCGCATCTAAAGCTAAACGGAGCGCGCGGCGGGCAACGTTCGAGGCACGCGAATTGCCGGTGCCAGGACCGCCACAAAAACAATTCGTCTTCAGGAGGCCACTGTCGCAGTGTGGGCAAACGGGTCGTTCGTAGGTCTTCCAACGTTCCTTGTCGTAGTCGGGGTGGGCGTCCCTCCAGGCCTGTTTCGCCTTCGTACTCGGGTGAGCGTAGTACTCCTCCTCGCCCATTAACTCAAGTGAAGGCCTTGCCCCAGAAGCCTTTTCGCGGGCCACTTTCTCTTTTGGGTAGAATCTTCTCCTATAAACACACGAATAAAACCAGTCGGGGTTCGCTACACTAGGGTCGCCGTCTTTTACGAACCACGTGGGGTTCGTCTGCCCCGCGACAGCCCTCGAGCACGCCCGTGATACTCGCCGCCGCACGAAGCTCTGGTCGACGATGTGCGCCTTGTCCGGCCACAGGACGAGCACCTCGTTATTCCTGAACTTTACGACCCAGTCGTCAGCCAACTTGACCTCGACGCAGCCGTCGCTGAACGTCTTCACCACTTTACCTTCGATCTCGTCGAGCGTCACCCACACGGAGTCGCCCTCTTCCGCGTCTGAGACACTCCCCTCCCAGTCGACGAGATACGTTCCCGCATCCTCATCCCACCCGACGATGACCATTTGTTCGGACTTTTTCTTGTCGCCGTTCTTCAACACCTTGTCCGCCCGGACGTCTACCGCAGTTCCTACCGGATGAATCACGAAACGCCGGACGAGCCGGTCCGGATCCACGACGCCAACCTCATTATCTGTACCCGAGGCCACATACCGCACGCGTACTTTTGTAGGTGGCGTCCTAGTAGCAGGTGGAAGGACGACGACTTGCCACGGGTTGGACCAGTCGCAGTTGTCGTTGTCAGGCGCGTCGTCATAGTCGTAGTCTCCGTGATATTCGAGTTTCTCCCCATGAGCATCAGTGAGCTTGGGGTCCACGTCGAAGGTCGGCCGGGTGGCGTGCTTCTTCGGCGACCGCTTCGCGGCGGGCTTTGCAGCCGGCTGTTTAGCCTTTCTAGCCTTTGCCCGCCTTTGCTTTTTTTTTTCTTTCACCTTTTGTTTCAAACTCTTCTTTTTCTTGGCCATCGTGCCGGGCGCGGCCCCCTACGGAGGCGCGCCATATTTAAATTGGTGGTGGTGGGGCCGCTTTTTAGCTTAGCTTTGGCTGGCTTTGGCTGGGCTAAGTAAGCGATTATACCTAAAAAACGCCAAATCATAATACGCGATAAGACACGGCCGCGAGCAACCGGAGACATCGTCTCGTCCAGACGACCGATCCCTCTGCCTCTGTTGCTGTCGCGGCGCGTCGCCGCGCCGGCTTCGCCCCCGACGATAAACCATCCCGACCGACCGTAGGCTCCGACGCGACGCGTATTCCGCGTGACCCGTACGCGACGGTCTCGTCGTGTGTCTCCGCCCCAGAGCGCGCGGCTCCCAGGGCGGCTGCTGGACCAGCAAGAGTTGGAGGGCAGCCTGAGCCGTGGGAGGTGCGCCGACGCGCGGGCAGCGTGGCGCGGGCGGCGCTGCCGTATCGTGGCGCCCTGTACAGCGCTGGCCATAGCCAATGCCCCGCCAACGTCGTAAACTCGCACGCCTGCAAGCACATACCAGTAGGTATCATGCATATAGAGATACATACTAGTACCGACGGTACGAAACTTGGGACACCGCTCCGGGGCGCGGCTTCCAGGTCTCCCACACGCTCAAGGTGCCCGGCCGGCCGCAAGCCGTCCGACTCAGCATAGAAGCGCCCTCTCTCAACTACGCTGCCCCAAAGCCTATATCAAGGCGCCAAATTGGGTAGCTTTGGCCCGACGCGATCACTGCTCGGCAGACAACAGCGCCATATGGTCGCAGCGGCACCAGGACGACGAAGAGCTGCGGTGTGACGCTAGCGAACTAACGACGACGGCGCGCATTGGCCCACTATGGAGAGCCCTCGTCCGCGCTGCGAGGCCATGGAGGTCCGCGCCGCCATGGCACCCCAGGACAACCTCGAGGGCATGAGCTTCCCGCGGCTCAAGGCTCTGGCGGCGGCGCGCGGCGTCGACGTGTCGGATCTCCGTGAGAAGGCGGAGCTCGTCGCGGCGCTCGGCGCTGCGGCCTGGCGCGAGGCGGCGCTAACCGCGGCGCTGAAGTGCCTGCCCGCCGATGCGACGGCGCGCGCCGCCGGGCGTTCTGCCGCGCATGCGGCGGCGCATGCAGCCTTCCTGCGGCGGCGGCGCGGCGAGGCTTCGTCCGACGAGGACGACACGACGGCCGTCGTCGCTGCGGCGACGGCGGCCGCCGAGGCTGCCGCCTCCGTGCACCCCAAGATCCAGGAGGCGGTCGCCGAGGCGCTCGTCGTGCGCGCGCGGGCGTTGCGGCCCGCGCCCAAGCATCCGACGCGGCCGTGGAAGTGCTACGTCTGCACGCTGCCCTTCGGCACGTGCGAGCACACGCGGAAATGGTTCGCGCTGCAGGCGAGCCAGGCGAGGACGGAGCGGGAGGCCAAGCTGGCGGCCGCGACGAACGAGGCGGCGCTCTCCGTCTTCGAGCGCCGCGCGCCCGCGCGCGGCATCGAGGTCGATTCTGGCGACACTTGGCTCAAGGAGGACCTCACGAGTCTGGCGCGCGAGGTGCTGCACCACTCGCCGCCGCAGCCGCCGTCGCCGCAGCCGTGGCGGCCGCCCGGCGCGCCGGTGTGCGCGTGGAGCGCCCTCTACACGACCGAGGCGGTCCCCGGCGCGGGCCGGCCTGCGCCACGTGCCGACCACACGCTCGTCGCGCTCGGCCGCGACCGCCTCGTCTGCTTCGGGGGCCGTGCCCTCGTGTCCAAGTTGCCGAACGCGCCCGCCAGGGCGTTCCGCGCGTACGCGACGGTGCTGACGGCCCCGGGCGTGCGGACCGAGCGCCTACCCGAGCAGACAATTCGGTACTACGGGCCCGAGGTCCACCTTTTGGATCTTGAGGCCGACCAAAGGGTGTGGCGTCACGTCGCGCCGCTGGCCGAGCCCGAGCTGATCGCGCCGCGCGCGGGCCATTGCGCCGTCGCGCTCGACGACGAGCGCATGTGGGTCTTCGGGGGCCGCGGCGACCGGGGGCGCTATTTCCACGATGCGTTCGTGCTGCGCCTGCCGCGGCCGGCGCCAATCGATCCGCGCATCGACCCCAATCAGAAGGAGCGGCGGCGGCTCGAGCGCCTGCGCGAACCCGCCTGGGTCGCGGTACCAGAAAACGGTGGCGAGGCGCCCGAGCCGCGGTGCGCCGCGGCGGCGGCGCGCTGCGGCGACGGCAAGGTGTGCGTCTTCGGAGGACGCGACGGGACTACGTGTTTCGGGGGCCCCTGGCTCCACGACCCCCGGCTCGGCACGTGGTCGCGGCCCGCGGTGCTGGGGGCGCCGCCGCCGAACTGCTTCGGCCACGCGCTCGTGGCGCTGCCGGCTGCCAAGGTCGAGCCAGGCGCTGCTGGCGCGTTCCGCGCCGAGGTCCCAGTGACACGGCTCCTGGTGCTCGGCGGGTCGTCCGTCGGTCCCGGCGCGGCCACTGCGTCCACGGAGCGCGCGCGCGCGGCCGACCGCCGCGCCGCGGCCGTGGCGGTCGCCGTCGGCGATGCGCATGCGGCCGAGGGCCCGGCCGCGGTCGCGAGCCTGAGGAACGGCGAGGCGGCCGCCGCCTTCAAGGCCCTCGCCGCGCCGCGCGCGGCGGGCGCGGCGCGCGCCGCCGCGCGGTCGCTGGCAGCGGCGCAGGCGGCGGCCGCCGGCGACGCTTTTCGGCGCGAGGAGGACGTGGCACGCCTCGGCGACGCGCTGCTGGCGATGGGCGACCGATCGGGCGCCGCGCCGCGCGCGCTCGCGGAAGTGAACTCGCTCTGCGGCGCGCTGAAGGTGCTGGACGTCAAGAATAGCGAGTGGGTCGACGTGCGCGTGGGCGGCGCCGACGTCGCGGCGCGGCACGACTTTTGCTGCGCATTTCTGGGGCTGCGTGCGTGCTTTGCCGACCGTGCGATCGCACTGGGAGGGCGCGCTGGCGCGGGTGCCCCCCCCGCCGGGGAGACGGCGCTCGAGCCGCACGTGCTGGACCTGCGGGAATTGGCGTGGACCTCGCCGGCGCCACGCGGGACGGCGGCCTCGGTGGAGCCCGCAGTGGTTGAAGCGCGCGCGCGCGCGCGGGCCGCTGCCGTCAAAGCCGGAGCGGCGCGCGACCGCGCGCGGTGCCGGGGGGACGCGCCCGACGGCGACCTCCACGTCGTGGCGGCGGCCGACGCGGCTTCCTCACAAGCCGCCGCCCTCGCGGACACGAGGCAAGCATTGAGGGAGGCGCCCGCGGCGCCGCCCATAGCGCGCGCGGGCTGCGCCATGGCGGCGATCGGCGACCGCGTCTTCGTGTTCGGGGGCGCGGCCCTAGACGACGGCGCGCCGCTCGACGACCTCGTGGTCCTGGATCTGGAGGACGCGGCCGGCCGGGAGCAGCGGGAGACGGTCGAGTTCCACGAGAGATTGGAAAGGGAGCGCGTCAGGCGGGACGCGGAGGATGCGCGTGAGGCGAAGCGCGTGTCATATGTCCGGTGCCGAATCAAAATTTCGCGGCAGTTTTTGCACTGAATGATCGCATCGACGTCCCCGCGCGACGCGACGTCTGCTCGATGGCGCGGCAGTGCGGGTCCCTCACCGCTTGACTTAGCCAGCAGGCCCGCGTCGTCGCCGAGAAATGAGTTCGCGAAGAATTAGGCACTCGACTCACTGGTTGATTTCCACACAGGGCGTGGGAGACGTATTGGTTATTAGAGCGGTGGGCGGCAAACGAGGCGATCGAGTGCGTCTGGTTCGGTGCCGAGCACGTGCGCTCGGCTGTACCGCCGCTGACGGTTGCGCCGCCCATTTTACTCCACAAGGCCTCGCCGACGACGCTGTGGCTGCGGTGGCGCGCCGTGCCGCGGGATGCGCGGCGAAAGCCGTGCGAGCCCACGTTCTTTCTGTGCATGCGCGGAGGGTTCCGCGAGCTGCGCGTCGGCGAGGCGGTGCTTGTGGAGTGGGAGCCGCGGCCCAGGACGGGCGACAACGCGACGGACGCGTCCGACGCGTCCGACGCGTCCGAGAGCGCGCCGCTCCTCACGGAATTCACCGGCGTCATCGTCGTCGACCAGCGGGACGGCACGTTCGACGTGCAATACGAGGACGGGATGCAGGAGCGGAGCGTGCCGCGGCGGCGGATCCGCCACGAAAACGTAGGGGCATGGACGCCCGTCTACGCGGGCACGGACAACTCGTACGCCGTCGAGGCCCTCGTACCCGACCGGGCGGTGCGCGACGAACCGGGCCTGAGCGTCGCGTGCGAGTTCATGCTGCGGACGCAGGGGACCGAGTACGGCTGGGACAAGGTTTCCCACGAGGTGGTCCCGTCGCCCGAGTTCTCGCGGCCGTCGCCCATTGCCTCGTTCCGCACCGGCGTTGTGCCAGCACCGCCCGAGCCCGAGCGCGACGCGCGCGGGAATATTGTCCCGAAGCCCGCCGAGTTCCGCTCGTGCGGGGCGGGGCGGCATTTCGTGTAGAAATTTCCAACCCCTAGTGTGTGCGCCTCCGACTCCCGAGCTGCTGACGCGTCTAGGTTCTCGAATGCGACGTCTAGCCTAATTCCCGGAGCGGAGGAGTAGTGGACCTGGTCCGACGGATCTGGGACTCAGTGAGGCTATGATTGGGCTGAGTCCTAGTTTATTCCATTTTACGAGCTCGTACCCTCCCATAACGTTTACATCTCTTACATATGCGTCCCTCGGCTGGACTCGGAGAGAGGGCGTGGGAGGTGACCACTGGAGTGCTAAAGTGCTAGAGTGCTGTGCTAGGTGCGATGCAGGGGGAAATAGAGTGTGTACTTCCGGACTTCCCCGGCAGCGTAGTGTAGTCACCTCAATAAGTTTTCAAAGTCAAGAGTAATACTAGACATATATTTCTAAAAGGAAGGAGGATGACTAGTGATCGTGCGGGGCCGCCTGGGGACATTTGGATTTTGAAGCCCATGCGCGGCGTTGGCGAGCTACTCTACTACACACACACTGATATGATCCACGCGGGAGGTTTTTGAGAGGGACTTATTTCAGCTCCTGCTCTGTGCTCTTCGGTGCCTTAAGCGGAGGAAGCGCGGAAGCTGCTCTGCTACTAGGCGCTGCTCCCACCCCCTGATTGAATGAGAGCTGCCACTCTCTGGGAAGACACGGCAGCACACCCGCCTGCGGCCCAGGCGGGTCTACCTAGTTCCTCTCGAAAGCTTGATCTCAAACGCAGGTGCTGGCGGATGTCGCTGCGCCAGCAAGGCCTCCTCGGATGGCTCCTACCCGACCCGATTGACGTCGCCATCGCGGCTTACGTGGCTGCGTGTGAGGCCGACGACGAAGGGAGGGCGGCGGCCTGGGCGGAGCTTCGAGCACGCGGCGCGACGTGTGCGGACTATGTCGCGCGCTCAGAAAGGCATCTAGCGAGCGAGGTCGGTTCCACCCGGCGAAACGCGTCACGACTGCTCGCGACGTTTGTGCGCGAGGCGCCGCCGCCGCCGGACGACTGTGCGGCACTGGCCGCGTTCTGCGCGGCGCGCGCGGACGACGCGCCGTCCGCCGAACATGCGCTGCGGGCGCTCGCGGACGTCGTGGAAGCGGCGCGCCGCGGGACCGGTGAGGGCGGCGCGGCGGCGGCGGCGGCGGCGGCCCTGTGTTTGTTCGGCGACGGCGCGGTTCGGGCCCCAGCGTTCCCGCGCGCGGCGCGCGAGAGGTTTTTCGACGCGCAGCGCGCCGTCCTGGACGGAAAAGCGGCGGAGCTCGCGGCCGCCGCTTCAAACGAAGGCGCGGCCCGCTTCGCGCGCGGCGTCGCCGCGGCCGTGGATGGCGAGCGCGACCCGCGCTGCCTCCTGCGGGCCCTGGGCGCCGCGCGCGGTTGTGGCCGGGCGGCGGACACTATCGGCTGGGGCGACGCGGGCGCGGCTGCGGGCCTCGCCGCTGCATTATCGCCCTACTTTCCCGTGTCCTTCGTCGCGCCGGCGCGCAACCCGCACGGCGTCACAGCGGTCGGGCTCCGCGAGGCGCTGCGCGCGGCGCTGACGGCCGCGCCGGAACTCGCGAGCGAGGCCCTCGACCTCGCGCTCGAGTGCCTGCGCGACACCGGCGCATCGCCTGACGAGATCGGGGAAGCGTTGACCCTCGCGGCGCGCGCTGCCGAGGTCTGTCCGGAAGCGAGCCTTGAGGCGACGGCCGAGGAGCTGATGAAGGCGGTCGCAGCGGTCGCGTCGATGGCGCCGGCGCCGGCTGCAGCCGCAGCGCAGCGCCTCGCAGCGCGGGCCTGGCATAGGAGGGTGGCGTGCGCACGGGGACTGCGCATAGCAGCGCGGGCGGCGACGGCGTCCCCGGCGTCGCGCGCCGCGCGCGCCGCGGCGCAGGTCCTTGCGGCCGTCGCAAGCGCGGGGCCGCGGGCATGGCGGGCGGTCGTCGCAGCGGTTGCGCCGGCGCTGGGTGCCTTGGTCGCCGGCGGTGGCGCGGACGCCGCGCCCGCGGTGAGCGACGGCGCGGAAAGGGCGCTTCAGCTTGCAACGACGCAGCGGGGTGCGACGCCGCCGGCCTCGCGAGAGGCGCGATCGCGACGCATGGTCCAGGTTCCAATTCTTCACGCAGGCGCGGGCGCTCGCGCAGCTCTTTGGCGCGGCCCGCGGCCTCGGCGCCGCCGCCTGGCTTGATAGTGCCGCCAGGAGCGCGGTGGTCGCGGCAGCGGCGGCGGCAACGGGCGGCAGCTCCGCGGCGCAGGCCGCATGCCGCGCGGTCGCCGCCGCCGCGCACGCGGGCGCGCCGCCGGAGGTGCTCGGAGACGGCAACGTCGCGGCAGTCCTCAAGGCGCGCTGTCGCGACCGGCCGGGCCTCGCTGCGGCGCTCGCCTCGGCGCGGCCGGCGGCGGCAGCGGCGGCGCTCGCTGGCGCCGACCCGGCCGTGGCGGCCGCGCTCGCGGCGGCGCCAGCAGCGGCGGACGTCTGGGCCCCGCACGCTGTCGTGGCGTTGGCAGCGGGCGGCCCGGGAGCAGACGCGGTGGCGGCGGCGGTGGTCGCGGCGGCGCGCGCGGGCCGGCTCCACCAACGCGCCGCGGATGCGCTCGCGTCACATGAGGCGGCGGCGGCCGCTCTCGCATTGCGGGGCGCCCTAGCGGCCGTCGTCGGCGCCGCCGCAGCCGAAGCGGCCGCGCGTGCGGCGCCGGCCGCGTCGCGTCAGAACGACGCAGCCGGGTTGGGCGCCTGCCTCGCGCGGGGCGGCGCGGCGGCTGTCGACGCGGCCATCGTACCCGAGGCGGGGCCCTGCTTCGAGGCATTCCTCCTCTTTGCGCCACGCGGCGACGCGGCGACGCGTGAGGTCCTGCGGCGGGCGCTCGCAGAATCGCGCGTCGGCGACCAAAGCTGGTCGGCCTGCGCGCGCGCGGCCGTCGCGCGGCGCGACGCACCACCTGGCACGGCCGCCGTCGTCGCCAGTGTGGAATCAACCAGTGCGTCGGGTGCACCCAAGAATTCTTCACAAAGTCATTCTACACAGGTCGTCGCAGAGGCCGTCGCCGCCGCGTTCGCCTCTGGTAATGCCGACGCCGCTGCGGCGTGTGTCGCGCAAATTACGGCGCCAGCGCCGCGTGGCGCGCTTCTGGCGCGCTTCTGGCGCCAGCGGTTCCGCGTGGCGCTCACGCCGATCCTCTCCGCCGCGCCGCCCAGCGCCGCGCGCGACCGCGCTTTGGTCGCGCTGGCGCGCGGTGCGCCGCCCGCGGTCATCGTCGAGGAGGCCACAACCCTGGGGGCGGCCGCGGCGCGCGCGCTCGGCGCCGGCAGAGATGGAAACCAAGCCGCCGCGGCCGCCGTGTTGCTCACGCTCGCGCGCGGCGGCGCCTCTACGGAAGCCGCGGCCTCCGGCGCCGTAAAGGCGTGCGCGGCCGCCGCGTGCGACTCAAACGCGCCGCCCGCCGCCCGCGCCGATGCCGTCCGCTGCCTCGGCGCGCTGGCTGCGGAATTGCCACACGCGCGGTTCTACCCGCATCGAAAGGCAGTCGGGGCAGCCCTCTCTAGCGTCCTGAGCGACGAACGCCGCTGCCTCCGCGCGCTCGCGGCGCGCTCCGGCGATCGGGGTTTTACCCAGTACTAGGACTTAAGGGCCTGACGCCAATTGGTTACACCAAAAAAACGCGGAGCAGCACGCAGTGAATTTTAAGGACGTGTACATTGCATGGGCCCAGGCAGATCAGTGCCAGTCTGCACCCGCACGAGAGAGTAGGGGGTGTCGGTTTTGACACTCCCCAGGTCATTCGACCTGAGTCGCATCAAAACAGAGCACCCCCGGGGCTGGGAGACTGAAAATCCATCGCGTTCCCCCTAGTTTCCCATTCCCCGAAATTACCAAAATGCGTATGACGGACGCAATTCCCCGTCACAAACCCCATCAAACATGGGAGAAACTATTTCGTTAGACGACTACACTACGCTGCCGGGGAAGTCCGGAGCTACACACTCTATTTCCCTATGCATCGCAGGAGCATAGCGCATCGTTGGCTAGTAAGAGGTGATATTGGATTGGTCGATTCAACAATAGTATGGGACGTGGTTGCCTGCTTCTCTTAGCTAGACCCTGGCTGCATACAATGTTACGGCGTGCTCTTGCTAGTGCTTTCACAGTGTCTCGGCCCGGGCCCCGGGGGGGGGGGTCAACATGTACTATACCTGTTTGCTAAGAGCAGGGGTAAACGCCGGCAGACGACTCCAGTTGCGCGGCGCAGCAGCGTAGTGAAACCTGCTTCTGTTGCTGGGTCCATGCCGCGCGCCCTGCGGGCGGCCGCGCTGCTCGCGAGTGCCGCGCGCGCCTGGGACGTGCGCACGCCGACCAACACGACGTGCCTCGGCGGCTGCGCCTGCGTGCCGCGGCTCCGCGCGTGCGTGCCGACGGCGCCGGCGAAGGACGCGCGCGTGCTGGCGCTGAGCCTCGCGTCGCTCGCGCGCCACGGCGCCGACGTGGCCGAGGTCTGGGTCGTGTCGCGGCGCGCGGCGGGCGTCGACGCGGCGGTCGCGGCGGCGAACCGCGTCCGGCCGGTCGCGCGCTGGCTCGACGAGGCCGCGCACTTCCCGTTTGACTACGCCGGCGTGCGCGCCGCGCTCGGCGCGGCCCGCGGGCGCGCCCCCGACGGGGGCGGCTACCAGTACGCCGTGGGCTGGTACCTGCAGCAGCTCCTGAAGCTCTACTGCGGGCGGGCGATCGCCCGCGCCGCGCGGAACACGACGGGCGCGGGACCCGGCGGCGGCGGCGGCGGCGGCGAGGGCGGCGAGGGCGCCGACGTGCTCGTCGCCGACTCGGACGTCGTCTGGACGCGCGACGTGGCGTTCGTCCACGCGGCCGCCCCCGACGCGGGCGGGGCGTGCCGCGCGACGTACAACTACGCCTTCAGCCGCGAGGCGCACCAGCTCTACTACGACACGAACGCGCGGCTCCTCGGCGCCGCCGGCGCGCCGCTGGCGGACTCGGCGGGGCGCGACATCTCGGGCGTGGCGCACCACATGGTCCTGCGGGGCGACGTCGTGGCGGCGCTCGAGGCCGCCGTGGCGGCGCGCCACGGCGCGCCGCTCCACGCCGCGCTCTTCCGCGGCGCGGCGGGCGTCGCGGCGAACGCGCGCCGCAACGCGTTCTCGGAGTACCAGCTCTACTTCCACTTCGCGCGGCGGCGCTTCCCGGCCAGCGTGCGCGTGCGCCAGCTCTACTGGGCCAACGGGCCCGGGCCGCGCGCCGTCGCCGCGTGCGGCGCCGACGGCTGGCCCGCCGCCGCGCTGCGGACGTTGGGTCACGCCACGGAGGCCGTGGAGATCGATCGGGCCGCGGGCTACGACTTCGCCGCCTACCACAGCTACGCGAAGCGGCGGCCGTGCGTCTACGGCCCGGCGGCCGACGCCGCCGACGGCGGCGCGTGCTTCGGGGGCGGCTGCACGCGGGCCTGCTTCAAGAGCCGCATCGACGAGCGGTTCAAGCGCCGGGACCGCGCCGCGACGGCTCCGAGGCTCTGCGCCGCTAGGTAACTTCCTCCGTCTCTTACCCTCACCCTGGCCACTACTAGGCCCACTACCTAGGAGTCTAGGACCGCGGGAAAGTCGGCCACTAGGGCCCTGGCCACTAGGACCGCGGCGGGCCTACCCTTACCGGACTCGGACAGGGGGTACGGGGTTCAGACGAGAGAGAGACGGCGAAATTGGAAGCTGTGCGAGATAGCTCGCCGCGGCGGGGCTCCCGACGCCCGACTAAGACTAGTGATGTGATTTACCCTCGTGGCGACGGCGTGCGAGACCCCTCTCCACGCCGTCGCCGAAAAAAATCGTGAATGAACAAAAGAAGGGTCCTTAGAGGTCCGCGTGCACGCACCACAGCACCCCGACCTCTAAGAACGAGAAGGGCAGCAGCAATAAATTCGCCGGAAACGGTAGCTCGACGCCATAGCCACGCGCGCACGGGTGGGAAGTGCTCGCCGCAAGAGCTAGCAGCGACCTAAGCGCTGCGCGAATCGCGCGCGCTGCGCTGACCGAGCGCTCGAGCGCTCTCCCTACACTCGGTGGTCGGAGGACGAGGACTAATCAACCGCCCGCCAGATTCCATTTTGTCAATAATTGATTGCACGAGATTGTGCTCGTGGCCTTAGCGTCGACATGTGCATAGGCTGTATTATTGGGTAGACCCCCTCGGTCAAATGGATGGTCAGGGCAATGTCCTTTCTCGCGTGCTCGCTGCCCACGGGCAGCCCTAGTAAATTGGTTTACACTCCCAGACCTCGGTTAAGGGCATCGTCTCGCAGCACGAGTACTCGAAGCAGTTGCCCGTGCACATATCTTCGACTTTGAGTTCGATGGTATCCGCGCAGGACCCCATCGACGTGGCCGGCGACACATGAGGTTCGAGCGCTAGCATGCTGTCGCGGGGGCCACAGATGCAGGTATGATTGCGTGCTGGTCGAAGGAGTCCGCGTTAACCGAAACGCCGCAAAAACCCTGATCGGATTGAATATTCATACCTCCCCGGGCGCGGCTTCCAGAGCTTCCCTGCTTGCTAGTGTCTTATAGGCCGCTAGCCACGCGAAGCCTAAACGCGCGGGAAGCCCTGGAAGCCGCACCCCGGGGCGACACCTCCTCAGACTGTTCCCTGGGCTAGCGGCCTGTAAGACACTAGGAAGAATCGGCCGCGGAGGGCTATATATTATATATATATATATTGAATCTGTTTCGCCGCACCTCGTCACACGCGCTGCGCAAGAAACCGAACAGATGGCGAGCTTCGGTCTGGAGGGGCCCGGCTTGAATAGCGGCCAAAGGGGCAAGAGGCAGACGGGTCCCTCGGGCTTGGGCGCGCCGGCCGCCAAGCGCGCCAGGCGCCCGGAGCGCGCGGGCGCGTTCGCCGACGGTGACGCGGCGCCCGGGGCGCCGCCGCCGCGCCCGCGGCTCGGGAAGACGAAGGTCGGCCGTCCGGCGGCCGGCGAGCGGCGCGACTTCGGCCTCAACCTGCCGGCCACCGCGTCGCGCGACGCCTACCGGAACGCCGTGGGCGCATTCCCGGGCATGGCGGCCCACCGGCGCCCGGCCGCGCCCCCCGTCGCCGGGGCGCCGCCGCTGCGCCGGCGCGACGGGCCGTCCGTGGGGGATTTGCTGGAGGGACCGCGGCCGGTGGCGCCGTCGCGGCGCCGCGCGGCGCCGGCGCCGGCGCCCGCGCGGCCGCGCCGCCAGCTCCCCACCCCGGCGGCCGCGCCGGCGGCCGCGCGGCCGCGGCGACCGCGCCGCGGGCGGCCGGACGCCGGCGCGACGGCGGACCAGCCGCTGTGCATCGAGGACTCGTCGGACGACGAGGCCGCCGGCGCGGCGCCGGCGCCGGCCACCAAGGAGCGGCCGCGGCGGACGCGCGCGACGCGCGCGGGGCCCGCGGAGACGGACCCGACGCCGGTCTTCCAGTACCCGCCCGGCGTGGCGGCCAGCGACAGCATCGTCGTCACGCGGGGCGACCTCCGGCGGCTCGAGCCGGACGAGTTCCTCAACGACAACCTCGTCGACTTCTACCTCAAGGTCATCGTCGCCGACGCCCGCCGCTCGCCGCTCGGCGAAGACCCGGCCTTCGGCGACGTCGCCCGCGACGTCCACGCGTTCTCGTCCACGACCGCGTCCGCAACGTCGACGGCGCCGTCGGGGCGTCTGCCCCGACGACGTGGGGGCTGTCAACGATCTCACTCGTCGACGCCCGCGCAGGTCGCACTTCTTCACGAAGCTCCGCGAGGGCGACTCGCGCGGCAAGCTCAAGCCCGACAGCGAGAAGGCGCAGCGCGCGCACGCGCGCGTGGAGCGCTGGACGCGCGGCGTCGACGTCTTCGCGAAGAAGTTCCTCCTCGTGCCCGTCGTCGAGGACCTGCACTGGAGCTTGGCCATCGTCTGCCACCCGGGCGAGCTCGCGAAGCGCGCCGTCGCGCGCGAGCGCCGCGAGTTGGACGTCGGCGCCACCGAGGACGAGGACGAGGACGAGGATTGCCCGGCGCGGCCCTGCGTTATCCATATGGACTCGCTGCGGATGCACAGCGCGAAGAAGATCGAGAAGTGGCTGCGCTGTTTCCTCGAGATGGAGTGGCGCAAGCGGCACTCGGACGAGGAGCCGTTCACGCTCCGGGAGCGGACGGCGAGGGCGGGCGGCCCGCCGGCGGACCTGCTGCTGGCGATGCCCAAGGTCCCGCAGCAGACGAATTCGTGCGACTGCGGCGTCTACACGCTGCGCTACGGCCAGGAGTTCCTCGCGCGCGCCGTGTGTCGAGGCGCCCGGCTCGCCGTCGACGGGCGGGACGTCTCCCTGTGCTTCCGCGACCACGACTTCGAGGCGTGGTTCACCGGCCGCGACATCGCGGAGATGCGCCGGGACATCAAGAAGCTGGCCGCGGACCTCGAGCTAGAGAAGATCCGGGCCGCCTACCGGCGGGAGCAGGCCGAGGACGCCGCAGCACCGCCCGCCGGCGCCGCCCCACCCTAGGCGCGCCGCGCTGTTGTACCTCCAAGACGGAACGCTTTATGTCCTATCCAAGTCATGGCAGATGGATAAGTAAAATACACAAAAACCCCACCCCCTTTTTATACCAACTAATTAGTAAAGATATGTCAAGAGGACTGGCCTGTCGCACGCGGTTTGAGTGTTGAAGGCCATTGTCGCCTCTCGACGGGGGACGTTTTACCGCGCGATTGCGCTGGGACGGGCCTCGCCGACGTGTCGCCGGCAGACAACAACCGCCCGCCCACGGTTCTCTTGCCACGGACCATGACGCGATCATTTGTTTGATGACTGACCGACTTACTGCGGTCCAGATCAAGATGTTCACGTCCCGAGCGTGGGCAGCCACAAGTGCCCTTCTTGATGTTTTCTGTTACCTACTGTATCGGTGGGAAAAACTAGTGTCTTACCGCCGCTAGCAGTGCGGCTTCCAAAAGCTTGAGGCCTAACGCTAGCGGCCTGTAAGACACTAGTTCAGTAACTAGGTATAGCAAGCAACAAAGGGGGACCTCTAGAGCCGCGGCAACTCGCTCACCGTCCGTCCGTATGCCGCGCAAGCAGGGCCCGAAGAAGAAGGACGCGCCGCCGCCCGCCGACCGGGACGCGCCGGCGGAGGCCGACGTCGACGCGCACCCGTTCAAGCCGGGCAGCTGGCTCGTCGTCGCGTGGCCGCCGGACGGCAGCGAGCGCCTCGCGACGGTGATCGACCGCGCGCGCGTCGAGTCGGACGACCGGGACGCGCCCGACCAGCACCACGTGCGGAAGGACGACCTGCAGCGGCGCGACGCGGCGCGGTGGCGCTACTACGTGCACTACGCCGACTTCAACCGGCGCATGGACGAGTGGGTCCGGCCCGCGCGCGTCGTGCTGCCGCCCTCGCGGGCCGGGCCGCTGGCCGAGGCCGCGGGCCACGGCCGCGGCCACGGCCACGGCCGCGCGAGCCCGGGCCCGGGCCCGGGCCCGGGCCCGGGCCCCGGCGCCGCCGCGGCGCCGGCGGCGCCGGCGGGCGGCTCCGGCGCGCTGAGCATCGCGCGCGCGCGGCCGGCGGCCGGCGGCCTCACGTCCGTCGCCGACATGGAGCACGACGAGCACGAGGGCCTCGACGAGGCGTCGCTGCGCGAGCACGAGGAGGTCACGAAGATCAAGAACTTCGGGGCCGTCGAGCTCGGGCGCCACGTCATGGACACGTGGTACTTCTCGCCCTACCCCAAGGAGTTCTACCCGGGCGGCTTCGCGGACGTGCTCTACGTGGACGAGGTCACGCTGCGCTTCTACCGGACGCGGCGCGAGCTGGCGCGCGCGGCGGCTTCGTGTAGGCGGCGCGCGCCGCCGGGCGACGAGATCTACCGGGACACGGCCCTGGCCATGTTCGAGGTCGACGGGCGGGAGCACCGCGAGTACTGCCAGAACCTGTGCTACTTCGCGAAGCTGTTCCTCGACCACAAGACGCTGTACTTCGACGTCGACCCGTTCCTCTTCTACGTGCTGTGCGAGCACGACGGGCGGGGCCACCACCCCGTCGGCTACTACTCGAAGGAGAAGTACTCGGAGGTGGGCTACAACCTCGCGTGCATCCTCGCGTTCCCGCCGTTCCAGCGCAAGGGCTACGGGCGGTTCCTGATCGCCTTCAGCTACGCGCTCTCGCGGCGCGAGGGGCGCGTCGGCGCGCCGGAGAAGCCGCTGAGCGACCTGGGCCACATCGCGTACCGCGCGTACTGGGCCGCGGCGCTCCTCGCCTGCCTGAGGGCGCTGCCGCCCGACCAGGTGTCGACGACGGTCATGGACCTGTCGAAGCGCACGTCGATCATGGCCGACGACGTCGCCGCCACCCTGCAGTACCTGGGCGTGGCCCGCCACGTCGACGGCGTGCCCGTGGTCTGGTGCCCGCCGGCGACGCTCGACGAGCTGATCAGGAAGCACCCGGTCAAGCCGCCCTTCGTCGTGGACGAGGCGCTCCACTGGGAGCCCTTCCACACGGACGTGAAGCGGGACAAGTTCAGCATCCGCGCGAAGCGGCCGACGTCGCCGGCCGCGCCCTAGGCCCGCGGGGGGGGGGCTCTCACGCGGCGGACACGTGTCCCCTCGGCCCGCTCTGCGTCTCCTCGAGAGAGAGAGATGCCTGCCTGTAGAGAGAGAGAGAGCCACTTATTGAACCCACCCCCAGGTAGTACGGACCCCGAACGCTTCGCCACTGTGTCTATTGGGATTGGCGATAGGGTGTTGTTTCACCCTGCCCCCCGAGAACCCAGACACGAGTGGTGTGAGGTTTCGCTCCGAACAGAGGCCGGCCGGTCGCAAGCGACGTGCCTTGGCCTGTTCGATGGGCTATCCGTCCGCCCGGTCCAAGCTACTTTGCCGACACCACACAGCAGTTCCTGGACCCAAGCGCGCGGCCGGCGTGCAATCGTTGAATATGTCGAGCACGCGCTCGTGCCACTTTTCCCTCGTATCCATCGCCTCGGTGCAGGGATCGGTTTCTCCCACGCTTCCAAAGCAAAAGTGGACCGGCAGGGGTCCTTTCCGCCTTCAATCTCGGCGCAACCGACGCCCACAGCTCGGCCTTGGGGCGGGCGTGGCTGGTCCAGACGTACATCGTCTGTTCGAAGGTCAGATACTTTCGCACGGCTACGTTCTGCTCGATGGCCCTGACGGCTCTCGCCGCGATTGCTGTCTGTCGCCTCACGTGCCCATACTGGCCGCCTCCGAACTGGTGGCCTAGATAGACCGCGTCGCTCGTCGATACTGGGCCGTTGTAGAATTGTAGTGCTTTTGCCCGTCTCACGGGGTCGGGTTCTAACTTAGAGGATGGCAGCCAAACCCAGTCAATCATCTCGACGGTAAGACACTAGCAAGCCAAAACCGCTTTTTTGTCAAAAAAAGCCCACGCCCAGCAGCTTTGATGGCCCTGGTCCAGCTCGCCGCGGCGAGCGGCGCGTACCGGGCCTGGCGCCGCGGGTCCGAGGCCGGCGCGCCGGCGGCGGCCGGGCGGTCGCCCGCGCGGGCCCAGCGGCCGCGGGCGGCCGCGGCCGCGACCGACTACGCGGCCGCGCGCGCGGAGCTCGCGGCGGCGGCCGAGCGCCTCTTCCAGGAGGCGGTGCGCGGCGAGGCGCTGCGGCGGCTGGGCGGCGGCGCGCCGGAGGAGGACGGGGGCGACGCGCAGGCCGCGGCCGCGGTGCGCGCGGGCGCGCGCCGCGCGGGCCGCGGCCGCGCGCGCGACGCGCTCGAGCGCGGCACCGCGCGCCTCGAGGCGGGCGAGGCGCGGCTCCGCCGCGCGCGGGCCGCGCTCGACCGCCGCGCGGCGGAGCTCGGCGCGAAGCTCGGCGCCTGCGAGGCGCTCGTCGCGCCCCGCGCGGAAACCAAGCCGCGCGTGGGGTCGTCCCGAGGCACGTGGCGCGGCCCGTCCACGGACGCGGCCCGAACGTCGACGTCCACGCAGGTCGTGCCCGAGCGGGCGGCGGCGCCGGCGCCGGCGGCCGCGGCCGCGGCGGGCGCGCGCGTCGTCGGCGTGGCCGCGCGGCCGGGCGGCGCCGTCGAGGCGCGCGTCGAGCTGGCGGGCGGCGCGGCGCTCGCCCTGGAGCTCGCGCCCGACGCGGCCGACGCGCGCGGCCGCCTGCGCCTGCGCGCGGCGCACCTCGCGCACGCCCACGTCGACGTCGCGGACGTCGTCGCCGTCGCGCGGCGCGAGCCGCCGCCCGAGGACGTGCGCCTCGTCGTGCGCGAGGCGCGCGCGCGCGTGCGCCGCTTCGACGCGCGCGCGGCCGAGGTGCGGCGCCTCCGGGGGCTCGTGGCGGGCGTCGCGCCCGCGGACGCGGCCGTCACCAGCGTCGCGGCGGACGTCGGCGACTGGAGCGCGGTCCTGGCGTTCCCGGCGGCGTACCCCGACCACGGCGCGCGGCGCTTCGCCCTCGCGTCGCTCCGCGCGGCGACGGACGCCGCGGCGGTCGGCGGCGACGCGCCGCGCCGCGCGCGCGCCGTCGCGGCGGCGCTCGCGCGCGGCGACGCCGTCGAGGACGTCCTGGCGCGGCTCGCCGGCGCGGCCGGGCCGACCGCGCCCGGGGCCTAGCCTAAGGAAGCACGCGTGACGCGTCGTTACGAGACCTCCTCGAGCCAGGGCCGCACGCGGCGGTAGTACTCCTGGAGCGCGCCGCGCGCGCGCCGCGTGTGGTACTGGTGGACGACGTGGAGCGCTTCGCCGCCCGCGGCCGCGAGCGCGCCGCGCGCGTCGACGTGCGGCCAGTCGTAGTGGCCCATGGCCACGCTGTGGACGCGGTCCGCGACCGCCTTGACGCGGTCGCCGTCGAAGCCGGCCTCCGCGAGCATGCGGTACCGTGCGAGGTTCAGCAGCCCCTGGTCGCTCTCCCACGCGCCGCACGCGCGCGCGTACGCCGCGACGCGGCCCACGAGGTCCGCCGCGGCGCCGCGCGCGCCGAGGAAGACGCCGCCGTTCGCGTAGACGCCGCCGAAGGCCTCCTCGACGCGCTCGAGCGGCGCGTCGAGGCCCGGGCACTCGAGCATGCGCCGCCGGAAGTAGCGCCGGCCCTCGTCGGGGTCGTCGCCGCGGTCGCCGAAGAAGAGCAGGGACGCGGCGGCGTAGCGCCGCAGCAGCTCGAAGGGGTCCCGCTGGAAGAAGACGTCGGAGCCGTCCGCGACGAGCACGCGCGCCACCGAGGGCGGCAGCGCCCGCAGGCACGCCGCGTACCACACGTGCCGCAGGCAGTTGCCCCGGAAGCGCCCGTCCGCGCCCCGCAGCTCCACGCCGCCGTAGGGCCCCGCGCCGACCTCGAAGACGTCCAGGCGCGCGTCGCGCGCGGAAGCCCGCCTCAGGACCGGGTCCACCATCTCCCGCGACGGCGTGATGACGCGGACGAGGGCGTCGGCGTTCGCCATGCGGAAGCTGCCCACCGTGACCTGGCAGCCGCGCCCGTGGCTCGCCAGCGAGTGGCGCCGCGTCGAGACCGCGGCGTCCGCGAAGCAGACGACGAGGAGCGCCTCGTCGGGCGCCGCGCCGGCGAGCGCGAGGAGGGCTGCCCCCGCTATCGTTCGCATGCTACATCGACCGCCGGCGAACGCCGTCCGCGAGCAGCGCAGTGACATCTGCTGTGCTGCCCTCACTGGGCTTGGACAGGCTGCCCTCACCGATGCTTGTGGGCTGCCTGCCTTTGCTGGAAGCCCCTGATGCGCGCGTTGGGCAGCCGTTCGTGTGGATTGCTGCTAGCAGACTGTAAGACACTAGCAACCACTCGGTTAGGGAGCCTCTGCGACGAGTCTCCTGGGGCGGGGAGGGGTCCCGCAAGACCGCGACCGGTTTCCCGCAATACCCGCCGGTTAAATTGAGGCTAGGCTAGGGAGCTACTAGCCCTCTTTCCTGGGAAGGCCAAGCATGCCTCCAAGCTCCAGTCCTGGGAAGTGCTTAGCCCCTTTTTTGGGCGTCGATGCCCGCCGGTGGCCCGTAAACGCCTCTTACCCAACTCCTACGGCCTCCCCGCCCGGCCCGCGGCTGCCCGCGCGCCATCTATTGGCGCCCAGTTTCAGCCCCATCACAGCAAGCACATCACATCGGAGGCCGCTCGTTTGCTTATAGGCCTCCCGGTGTGGACAGCTGCGCTTGACATTGCGAACAGCTCGCTGGCTAAAAAGGTCCCATATTCCATCGCACCTCCTCCCGAGCACATGGCGACCGACCCGATCTCTCTCGTCGAGCAGCTAAAAAAGATATCGTCCATCTCAATTGACATAGATTTTGATGAGACACTAGACAAACTACACCGCTGCACTCTGAAGGTCCACCTTCCTTCGGAAGAGCGGCAAACTGTGCCTTGCGGCGGCTGACGCGCGCGACGAATGGCGGGATCGCGTCGGCGCCGCGCTCTCGCGGCGCGGAGCGGTCGATTGGCTCTCGTGGACGCCTTCGATTGAGATCGTGGCGCTCTGTCTCGGAAATGGTGGCAATAGCAAAGACCGTGACCTGGACCGCGAGTTGCCTTTCATATTCCAGGAGACGTTGGGTGCGTGGGCGGCGAAAGAACGCGAGCATGCCGTTCCTCGCATGTATCGCACGACCGGGTCTGACTCTGAATCTGGCTCTGATGGGGAGGAGGAGGACGACACTTGATCTCCGCAGGATTTCTAAGCTCAGGGTCTGACCGGGCGTGCGCGAGGGCCTCGCGAACGCGTCATGGCGGCGTCTCGGCGCGACGTGACATGTAGGGCAAGTAGGCGATTCATCCTCGGCTTCCTCGCAATTCAACGGGTCGACGGGCCTTCATTGGCGATGTTGACTCACCCCAGCAATTCAAGCCACTTCCGATGACAACTCTTCGGGTCCTTCGTGAACGCGGGGGTGTTTTTCGCGACTCCCCCGCGGGCGCGGCGGCGGGCCGGCGGGGGGCTACGGAGACACCGTCGGCACGGGCACTCGGGCACGACTCCACGGAGCGGTGGCGCCGCGGGATCCCAAATACCTTGACTAGCTCTGGGTCGGGTCTCAAGCAAAGCGCCTTCGCGTCCGCGTTCAGCAGACTCAAGGTTGTGTGGCGGCGGTTCCCTTTTTTTTTTCCCGCACATCGCTGCACGACCTCTGCGACGAGTCCCCTGGGGCGGGGAGGGGTCCCGCAAGACCGCGCGCAAAACCCGTCGGTTAAGCTGAGGCTAGCTAGGCTAGCCCGGCGACGAGGGGGGCTATAACAACACACACACACTAGCAAGCAGCTTAGCTCAAAGCAAGCCTGGCTTGCAACCGCACGGGGAGAACAAGTGCAACCAGCCTGCTCGCGGCGAGGTGTCCGGTGCAGGCGCGATGCGCGGCGCCGGCCTGCTGCTGCTCGCCCTGGCCGCGGCGCGGCCGCGGCCGCACCACCGCCTTGCGCGGGGCGGCGCGGCCTGGTCCGCGGACGAGGCGCGCTACTCGCGGCAGCTCCTCGCCTTCGGGCGGGACGCGCACGCGCGGCTGCGCCGCGCGCGCGTGCTCGTCGCGGGCGCGGACGCCGTCGGCGCCGAGGTCGCCAAGGACCTCGCGCTGCTGGGCGTCGCGGCCGTCGACGTCTTCGACGGCGACGGCGACGGCGACGGCGGCGGCGGCGGCGGCGCGCACCTCTACGGCGCGCGGCCCGAGGCGACGCGCCTCGCGCGGACGGTCGCGGGCGCCGCGGAGCTCTCGGAGACGCGCGTCGCGGCCGCGGACGCGTTGGAAGTCGGGGCCTACGACTGCGTCGCGGCCTGCGGTTCGGGGCGGGAGGCGGCCTGCGCGCTCTCGGACGCGTGCCGCGCGGCGGGCGTGCCCTTCGTGTGGTGCCGCTGCGCCGGCGCGGCCTTTTGCGTCTTCGACGACTTCGGCGACGGCGCGGCCGTCGCGTCCCGCGAGCTCGCGGGCGCGGCCCGGGAAAGTGTCCCGCTCGAGCCGCTCAGAGCGCTTGGTGATAATCTGTACCGCGCCGAGGCCGCGGGCCGGCAGCGCCACGAGGCGTGCGAGGGCGACTTTCTTGACCTCGACGGCGGCGCGGTCCTCGAGGTGCGGGCCGTGGCGACACCCTGGGCCCTCGAGGCGGCGTTGATCGAGGGCGCCGTCGACACCAAAAAAAGGTGCGGCGCGCGGCTGCGGCCGGCGACGCGTATACTGAAACAGGTGAGCCTGCGCGACGCGCTCGCGGCCGCTTCTTTTGGATCCTGCGACGGCGCGCGCCTCGACCGGCGGGCACTCGATGCTATCATAGGGAGCGACGACGCGCCGGACGCGGCCGCGGCCGCGGCGGCCGCGGGCGTCGCGGCGCACGACGTGCTCAAGGCCGTGAGCGGCGGGCTGCTGGGCGGCCCCGCGCCGGGCCAAATATTGGCGCACCGCCCCGCGGCGCCGGTCCCCGACATACCGGAGGCGGCGCGCGTGCTCGTCGTCGGCGCGGGCGCGACGGGCTGCGAGCTGCTGAAGAACCTGGGCCTGCTGGGCGTGGCCCGCGTCACGGTCTGCGACGACGACGCCGTCGCGCCCTCGAACCTGTCGCGCCAGTTCCTGTTTCGGCCAAACGACGTCGGCGCGAGCAAGGCCGAGCGGGCCGCGCGCGCGGCCGCGCGCCTCGCCCCCGATACGGAATACGTGGCTATACCGAGGCGCCTCGACGCCGCGTCCGTGGATGCCGTCGCCTGGGACCAGGTCGACGTCGTGGTCAGCGCGGTCGACTCGCTGGCGGCGCGCGCGTTCCTGAGCCGGGTCTGCGTCGAGCGGGGCCTGCCCTTCGTGGACTGCGGGACGCTCGGGGCGGCGGCGTCCGTGCAGCCGGCCCTGCCCCACGCGACGGAGAGCTGGCACGCGACGGCGGTGGCCGACGACGGCGACGACCGCGGCGGCGTGCCCGTGTGCACGATCAAGGACCACCCCTATAAGGCCGAGCACTGCGTCTGGTGGGCGCGCGACGCCTTCGCCGGGCGCTTCGAGGCGCGGCCGGAGCGGCTCGCCGCGGCGCTCCGCGCGGCGCGCGCGCCGGGCGGCGCGCGGCGGTGGTGCCGGAAGAACCCGGACGCCGCCGCGGCGGCGGCGGACGACGCCGAGGGCCTGCTGGCGGGCGACGCGGACGCCTGGGCGCGGGCCGCGTTCCGCGAGCTTTTTGTGGAACCGGTCGCGCGGCTCCTCGCGGCGCACCCGCTCGACGAGGTCGACGAGGACGGCGCGGCCTACTGGACGGGCACGCGCGTGCCGCCGGCGGCGCCGGCCCGCGAGGACGCCGCGTTCCTCGCCGCGACCGCGGCGCTCCGGCGGCGCGCGCTCGGCGGCGGCGGCGCGGCGGCGGCGGCGGCGCCGGCGCCGCGCGCGCGCGACGCCGCCGCGCGCCTCGAGGCCGCGGTCGCGCGGCTGGGCCCGGACGCCGCCGTCGCGCCGCTCGCGTTCGACAAGGACGACGCCGAGCACGCGACGTGGCTGGCGCTCGCGGCGAACCTGCGCGGCGCGGCCTTCGGCGTCCCGCCGGTCGACCGGCTGCGCGCCGCGCAGATCGCCGGCGCCGTCGTGCCGGCCGTCGCGACGGCGACCGCCGTCGCGTCCGGGCTCTGCGCGCTCGAGGCCGCGAAGCTCCTCGGCGGCGGCGCGACGCGCGCGCGGCTCCGGTCGACGTTCTGCGGCCTGGCGGCGCCGCTCTGGGGCCAGGCGCCGCCCGCGCGGCCGGCGCGGTGGCGGCTGCCCGGCGGCGCCGTCGCGTCGGAGTGGGCGCCGCCGACGATTCGCTGCGCGCCCGCGGACTCCGTGCGGGCCGTGGCCGGGCGCGTCGCGGCGCTCCTCTGCCCCGACGAGGAGATCGAGACGCTCGTGGCGCCGAACGGCGACCTCGTCTTCGCGCGCGCGCTCCACGCGCGACACGCGCCGGCGCTCGGGGACGTGCTCGAGGGGGCGAGCGTCGTCGAGGTCCAGGCGACGAGCGGCGACCTCGAGCTGCCGGCCGTCCGGCTCGTCGTCGCGGGCGATTAATGTGTCACACCTAACCTTCGCGCGCCACGACCCTCGCGATCGACCGTCCAGCGGGGACGGCTAGCGAGGCCGGCCGAGACCGCTGCACGGCGGCGTACGAAATAACTGCAGTCAACTCGGGCTTTGGGGGCACGCGCCTTGGCGGCGCCTCGGCGAAATTGGGCGTTCCGTACACAACCTCTATCTATCATGTCTATGTTCTTGGGACTCTAGCATTCTCTGTAGCCATGACAACTTGAAGAGACTCGGAACTTTAAACTAGGCCGCCGACATTTCAGCAACAAAGCGACGCTATATGACATTTCCCTTCCTGATGGTGCAGAGAGCGTGCTGCTGCATCGCGACGTCCCCAGGGGTCCTACGTGTCGGGGGCGTCCGCTGCGACGGCGGCGAGCGTCGTCTCCTGGCTCTGGTCCGCGCCGGGCGGAACGCCGCCGTTCGAGTGATGAAGTTGGGGCCCCAATCGACGCCCGACGACGTGCAGCGCGTCCGCCACGGTGGCGTGAGCACCCAGCGTCGTCCCCTCGCGGCCGACGGGCTCGGGGGGCGGCGCCGGCCGCCGCTGGTGGCGGGGCAGCCCCATGTTACTTTGCGAATCAAAAAAATCGCAGAGCGCAGAACGATCTGGGGGGCGGCGGCGCCGCGGGGCCCAAACAGCCCACGTAGGGCGGCTGCCGCGAAGCGGATTTTTCAGGGGGCGCAGGAGGGCAAGTCGCAGCGTCCCGGCGGGTTTTTGGGGCCTTCGTGCGGGGTGCCGCGCATCGTCCGGAGAGCTTTTTGCGCGGCGCCAAACGCGGCCATACGGACCGCCCGCGGCTCCAAACCCACAGATCTCGTTCTGAGCGGTCCTAGAGTGTACCCGCTCTGCTGAGACCGCGCGGGCGGCGGCCGCGCGGCCGCGTCGCCGTCCAGCACCGGAGGAACAAAGCCATGGGGCTCCCTGTACCGGTGCCGGGCGGCGCGCGGCGCGGCGCGGCGGCGCGACCGTCGAGAGGCTGTGGCGGCGGCCCAGCGCTCGGAGGCGCGTCGCGTGTGGTGGTGAGGTTTGCGGCTCGGCTCGACGGGAACGCGCCGCGGAGCGACGTCGGTCGATTTTTACGAGGAGCGGCGCAGGTCGCACCGCGGACACGTCCGCTCACGCGAAGGCGGACCCAGTAGACGCCGTCGCCCGCAAGACGCCTCACGCAAGCCATTATAATGTCGTCTCTCGCAAACGCTATCGTTGTCAGAGATAGCTCGGACGACGAAGGGTCCAAGCCGCCGCCGGCGGTTCCGGCCTTGGCCCGGGCCAAGGCCCCGCCGCCGCCGCCGCCGATTCCGTCCTTACCGACGACCGCGCCGCCTGCGGCCGCGCGGCGGGCGCCCGTCGGCGATGACGACCCGTGTCGCAAGTGCAAGCGCAAGCCGTCGCAGACGACGTTCTCCTTCTTCTCCTCGAGCGGGGCCCGGAAAAGTACGTGCGACGAGTGCCTGCCCCCAAGCAAAAAGCGCCGCGGCCCGGACGGCCAGGCCGTCGCCGCGGCGGTTCCGGCCTGGGCCCGGCCCACGGCCCCGCCGCCGCCGCCCTCCCGGGCCAAGGCCCCGCCGCCGCCGGCCTCGGCCCGGGCCAAGGCCCCGCAGTGCCTGCCGCCCCCAAGCAAAAAGCTCCGCGGCCCGGACCGCCAGGCCGTCGCCGTCGCTAGCGTTCCAAGCCCTCCGCCGGTCATTTCATCGACGGAGCGCTGCACCGTCCCGAAGTGCACGGCCGGCTCCTGCCTGCGCCTGCACCAGTGCGACGGAAGAATGCAGGGAAGGACGTGCCAAAGACGATGGCTTGCGCCTGGACTTTTCGACTTCAAGAAACGCGGCGAAAAACGCAACCGGACCTGTAGGGAGTGCGCGGCGAAAAGAAAGGAAATAAACGCCATCAGCAACCCCATCAACAACCCCATCAACAACCCCATCAACAACCCCATCAACAACCCCATCAACAACCCCATCAACAACCCGATCAACAACCCCATCTACAACGCCCAGACATCAGAGAGAACGAGGCAGAAAGCGATCGAGTACGAAAGGGAAACGCTCGGCGACGAGCACGACCTCAGTCCCAAGGCCTTACAAGCGCACGGCAAGGCGGCCATTAGTCGTGCCGAAGAGTTGTTTGCGGACTACGACGTGACGTACCCGAACGGCTACGCGGTCCAGATCTACGGCGCGAGCACTGGCTCTCAGGGTTTTAGCGTCAAGGAGGAGGGCGTCAATCAGTTAAGGCAGCGGGGCTATAAGTCGGCGACGATCATCGATGCCACGGGGTACGCCCCCCCCGTGGCTCTCACGAGGGCGTGGGGCCCGGGCGGCGTGAGCGTGTACAACTGCGGCTCGTCCAAGGTGATCAGCCGCACGGTGGAGACGGCGTTGCATAAGCACTTCTGGCCGATTTGCGACGCGTCCGACGGCAAGATGCTCCGGCTCTGGCGCGCGTGCGGAGCGGGCGCGCCCCAGGGCATCGGCCCGTACCACGTCTGCATCCGCATCATGCCGCTGCCCATGCCGCACGGCTGGCGCCGCGGCTTCTAAAGGGCGGGCGCACAAGGTGCTCCTTGTTCCCCGCCCCCTGCATAAGGCAGCTCTTCTAGGACGATGAACGAAGGACCCTATCTCTCAGCTAAACCGACCGCGTCCCCGCGCCGCCGATGTGCTTGAAACACGGCCGCAAAACCCTCGGTCGCGCGGGCGGTTGGTGGGCGCTTCCACGCGCTCCGTGCGACTCCTCGCCGGCGCAGTCGTGCCGCAAGAACACTTGTCGATTCCCAGTGTCGGGTTTTGCGGCGCCATCATATGAGTTGCGGCGCCAAAATCCTGCACGTGTCGCCTCTCGAGAGGCATAGCCAGCGCCGCACGCGGGACGCACCAGCGGCGCGGCGCGCGCGATGGCGGCGCGCGGCCTGCTCCTCGCGGCCGCGGCCCTCGCCCCAGCCCGCGCCAAGGTCGTCACGGGCGAGGCGCGGCTGACGGGCGAGTTCACGGAGCACGACGTCGTCAAGTTCGCCTTCCGCGTCGGCCGCGGCAGCGCGGCGCTGACGGTCTGGACGGAGGAGGGCGACGACTACGCGTCGGACGAGCTCAAAGCGTACGCGTACCTCGACGACGACTGGGACAAGGTACTGAGGGCGACGACCTGCGACGAGAAGGTGAAATTAGCAAGGTGGTCGGCGCCCGTCGACCTGCGCAAGGACAATGCGTTGGATGCGGAGTGGGCGCCGTGGCGGCCGCCGGCCTCCTCGAAGTTCTGGGCCCACCGGCGGGCCATGACGTCCAGCATACGCACGCACGTCTGGTACTTCACGCTCGCGGACTGCTCGCTGGAGCGGTACCTGCACCCCGTGCCCGCCGTGCATTATAGGGCCGAGATGCGCGACGGCGACTCGCACCTGCCCGTCGACGAGAATGGGTTAAGACCCCTGCACTTCTTCAACATGGTGACCGCATTCGTTCTCGTCTACGCCGTGGGCAAGCGCATCGCCCTCGCGGCGGCCGGCCGCGCGAAGAAGGGCGACGGCGACCGCGACGTCCACGCCGCGGAGGTCCTACTGTGCGCGGCCGCGGCCTGCGACGCGCTCTCGAGCTTCTTCGAGCTGCGCCACCTCGCGGCCTACGCGTCGAACGGCGTCGGCTCCCATTTTTCGGATGCGCTCTCGGCCTACTTCGAGGCGCTCTGCGACGCGCTGCTCGCGGCATTAACCTTGTGCATCGCGGCGGGCTGGACGCTGGCCTCGAGGCTGGGCGACGACGAGAAGGCGGGCCGCGGGCCGCTGCGCGACGAGACGCCGGCCGAGAAGGCGGCCTCGGCCGTCGCGCCGCTCGCGCGGCTGCTGCGGGCGCCCGGCGTCGAGGCGTCGTCCGGGCTACTGGGCTGGATCACGTTACACCTCGTGCTGGCGCAGTGGAGCCGCTGGGAGGGCGACGACTTCGACAGCTTCCACGACTTCGAGCACTGGCCGGGCAAGCTCGTCGTCGTGGTCCGCGTCGTCCTGTTCCTCGTCTTGATCCCCGTGGCCCTGCGCACGCAGGCCTGCGCCGGCCACCGGCTGCGGCGCTTCTACGTCGGCTGGGCGGCCGTCGGCGGGGCCTGGGCGCTGAGCCTGCCCCTCGTCACGTTCGTCGCGGCGTCGCTGCCGCCCTACACGCGCCACCGCACGGTGCAGTGGGTCTGCTCGCTCGTCCAGACGGCGGCCCTCGTGCTGTACGCGCTGCTCTTCGCGGGCCGGGCGAACCGCGCGTTCCGGGAGGCGTCGACGGTCGGCGACGGCGGGGCCAACCTCGACTTCGGGTCGAGCCTCCCGCGGCGCGGCGGCGCGAAGCTGCGCTTCGGGGGCGTCAAGGTGCGCGTGGACTAACTTTTAGGCGTAGGGGGAGGAGCGGCTACTTGAAGCGCTTGAGCGTGCGCGCCGGCGCCGCGCCGCCGGCCGCCGCGCGGCGCTTCGCGCCGCCGCCGCCGCGGGGCCGCGTCGCGTAGAACGCGTCGAGCGCCGCGAGGAGCTGCCCGCGCACCGTGGTAATCTCCATCGCGCTCGCGCCGTTCATCTTCACCGAGAACGTCGTCTCGTCGGCGCAGGCCTGGCGCGCCACCGCCAACATGCCCTCGCGGACCTTGGCCACGCGCGCGGCCTCGACGTCCGCGAGGCACTCGCGCAATTTTGAGACGGTCGCGGCGCCGCAGGCCGCCGCGAGGTCGTCGCCCGCGCATTCGAGCAACAACGCCGCGACCTCGACGTAGTGCGCCGGCAGCGCCTGGAACGCGTCGCGGTCCTTCGTTTCGGCGTCGCGCGTCTGCTCCAGCGCTTCGGTCCGGAGCCACGGCGGCGCCTCGACCGTGCACATCTTGCGCTTGCGCAGGAGGCAGGCGAGCCAGAGCGGCACCTCGCAGGGCTCCTGGGGCTCGAACGGCCCGTAATTGCCCGTGACGAAGCGCAGGACGTCGTGCTGGAAGCTGGGGACGACCCTCACTAAAGTCTCCTCGGCCTGCGGGGGGCGCGCGCTCCTTCTCTCGCGGGCGCATCCGCGCCCGGGGCGCGCTCCGGCACGGCTGTTGGTGGCCGTCCGTGCGCAAAATTCGCGGGCGCCGGCGCGCGCGAGGAATTCCTGGATCTCGGCGTCGCTGGCCTCGCCGCTCATGGTGCGTGGACCGGCACGCAGCGCGCTTTCCGGCCCGCGCTCGAAAAACGGGCGCGACGAGCGGAGAAACCCGCACCAAAAAACTGTCGCGCGCCACAACAGGTGATTAAGCATGCACACACGCGTGTCCCGTCTCGCCGCACGTCTCGCGCCCCGCGTCGGCGGCCACGCCTGGCAAGAGGTACTTCTAGATAGTGGCGGCGTCGCGGGCGGCGTGCACCTTCGCAATCAACGCGGCCACCGCGTCCTCGAAGTCGGATGCATCGTCGACCGTGAGCTTGAGTTTGAGCTCGGCGAATGACGCCTCGAGCTCGGCAGCAGGGTCGGCCGGCGGCGCTGCCGCGGGTGCTGCTGGTTGTTGTACTAAGGGTGCCGAGCCGCCGCCGCCGACCCGCTCTCGTCGTGCCGGACTACCCGATGCAGCCGTCGACGGCCACGCCGAAGTAGCGCAGGAGTTCGTCCGCGGCGCCCAGACTCCATCTTCCACGAAGGCGCCGCCCGGCAGCCTTTTTGGCTATGCTGTTTGAGGCGTAGCGCCCCCCGATCTGGAAGAATCGTCGCGGTGATTAACTTAGCTCCTCATGCCCGTCGGCGCGCGCATCGACGTGCTCACGTTGTGCAGCCGCGCGTTGAGGTCCTCGCGCATCGACGTGACGCGCCGCGCGACGGACGGGCCGGGCGGCCCCGCGTCCGCCGCGTCGGCCCCCGTCACGAAGGCGCGCGCCGCCGCGAGCTGCCGCCCGAAGGCCTCGACCGCCGCCGGCGCCGCGGCGAGCGCCGCCCGGAAGTCGTCCGGGGCCGGCGGCGCGACGCCGAAGACGCCGTCGGCCGCGAGCGCCTCCTCGCCGCCGTCGTCCGTCGGGGCGTCGCCCCGGAGGACGACCTGCCGCGTCAGCGCGCCGATCACCGCGGGCAGCAGCGCCTGCATGTCCTCGGCGTCGCCCGCCGACCGCGCGCAGCACGTCAGCGCGTCGCGGACCTTGCGCGCCGTGCTCTTCCGCGGGTCCTCGCTCGTGAAGGAGGCCCAGAGCTCGGCGAGGCACTCGGCCGCGTCCCAGCCGTGCGAGACGCAGCGCAGCGGCGCCAGGATCAGGGCGTACTCGGCCTCGCGCGCCGCCGGCGGCGCGAAGACCGAGAACAGCAAATTCGCGCGGCCCTTCGACATGCCCGGGACGGCCACGCTCAGCGTCTCGAGGAAGGTCTCGCGCGCGACGCGCGGCCCCGCGGCCGCCTCCCGCAGCTTCGCCAGCAGGTCGTCGAAGGCCCGCGGCGGCTCCTTCGTCGCCTTGTCGAAGAGCACGTCCCGGTACAAGCGGCCCAGCTCCTGCCACTTCAGGTCGAAGCGGAAGACGTCCGCGTCGGAGACCTGGTCCGCGCACGTCAGGCCCGGCGCGATCAGGATGGTCTGCGGCCCGCTGTGCCGTACCAGGACCTCGCGGCCCGTCGACGCGTCCTCCTCCTCCTTGCGCGGGAGGTACGACGTCGAGGGGCGGTACGTCAGGACCGTGCCGCCCGACTGGACCGAGCCGCCCACGAGCGCCGATCTCAGGGACGCCTTCTCGAGCCGCGCCGCCCGCTTCAGGCGGCTCTGGGACCGGCGCTCCAGCTCGCAGACGCGCTTGACGCGCGGGTCGAGCCAGGCCGCGGCGCCGTCGTCACCGTCGCGCGCCGTCGCCGTCTCGGCGACCGTCGTCTGGCCGCGGTACCACGACGACGAGGGCCGCTGGCCCTGGGACGTGCCCTTGAAGCCCGACGGGTAGCTCGCGTTCTCGGGCCAGAGCCGCGGCGTCGCGCCCCAGGTGCCGCCGGGTTTCGGAGGCGCGCCGCGCAGCGGCGGCGCCCACTCCGCGCGCAGCGTCGTGTTCCCGCGCAGGTAGGCGGGGCAGGTGTCGTCCAGGGTCTTGCCCGGCGCCGACCCCCGGAACTGCTGGTAGTGGCGCCGCCGCCGCGCGCCGTCGTAGCCGTAGCGCACCGCGTCCGCGAAGAGGTCCGTCGAGGGCGCGTCCGAGGCCGCGCCGGTACCAGGGCCGTACCAGGGCTCCCGCCGCGCCAGGCCGACGCCGCCCCGGTGCCGCGCGCCGGCCGTGCCGACGAACACCCTATCCGGGGCGGCCGTCGCGCGGTGCGCGGACGGCTCCCAGTAGCTCATGCGGTACCAGGCGTCGTGCTCGTAGGTGTCGTGGTGGTCGCAGGGCCGCGCGGCGTGGCTCAGCTGCGAGGCGGCGCCGGGCAGGCGCGCCGCCTGCGCGAAAGCCGCCAACGCCTGGGCCTCGCCGCGGCGGACGCGCGGGAACCGCGCGTCGCTGCCCAGGCCGTAGAGCCGCTGGCGGCGGCGCCGCGCCCGGGCCTTCTTCGAGTTCGGGTCCGGGAAGCTCCGCCTCGTCTCGTCCTCGAGGAGCTCGTTGATCTGGTCGCCCGCGGACGGCATGGCTTGATGGTTCTCGGGCGCAGCGGCGCCGCTACGTTCACGGCAGGCTGCCCGACGCGGTTCTTCGACGCGGCCCGGCCGTCGGTGGGTGGTGCTGCGCCGGCGGCAGCGTCTAGCACCGCCTTTTGATTGCGAGAGATGGCGCTCCTTCGAGATGGGCTAGATACATTTAGTGCAAGTAACGTACTCCGGCGGCAACGCTCCGAATAGACCAAAGACGCCTCGGCGCCCGTCGGAAGCCTCCCGGAGGCGTCGGCGCCCCCCATCATTTCCCCCCCTACCGGACTCCCGGGACCTCGCAACGCTGCCTCGTCGCGTTTCGCCCGGCGGACCCGCAGACCCGGCGCGAGCCACCGCCCGACGTTTTAGGAGACGCGGGGCTGCCCGCGCGCCCGCGACCCGTCCGAAGCCGGAGCCCGCGCAGCGCCCCACCGCGCGATTTCTAGGGCACCGAGGGGCTGCCCGCGCAAGGCCAAGACCAGGGCCGCAAGATGGTCGTCGACGAGAGCCTCTTCGGCCGCAAGACGAAGACCAAGGGCCGCGGCGGCGCGCTGCCCGCGCGCGCGGCCGTCATCTCGGCGGCCGAGCTCCGGCGCATCCAGGGGAGCACGAGGATCATCACCGCGGCCGAGATCCAGAAAGATAAGGACGAGTTGGAGGCCATCCACGCCGTGAAGCACAAGGCGGCGCGGGCGCGCAAGGACCGCATGCGCGCGCTCGCCGCGGCCTCCAAGAACAAAGCGAAGAAGAGCACGATGGAGCTCGAGAAGGAGGCGCGGAAGGAGACCATCCGGCAGATGGCCGACAAGACGCTGGATGAGAACCTGGACTTGGTGAAATATTTGAGAGGCATCGGTGCGCGAGCGGCCGCCTTCACGATCCGAGACCAGCAGCTCAACGAACGCGGCGCGAAGGAAGCGAGGCAAAAGGCCTACGAAGATCGCATGGACCTGTTGATGGAGGTCGACCGGTTGCGCGACCTGAAGCAGCGCGAGGACGCCGACAACCTGCGGAGGAAGAAGCGAGTCGAAGATAGGAAGGTCATCACGGAGCAGATCGACGCCATACGGCGGAAGAGGATCCTCGAGGAGGAGCAGCGCGAGCAGGAATCGAAGGCCATGCTCGAGTTGATTGCGAAGTACGAAAAAGAAGATCAGGAGGCCGCCGCGATCCAAAAGGTGGAGCAGGAGCGCGCGCGCATGGAGGTCATGGAGGCGAACAAAGCGAGTATTGAGCGGAAGCACGCCGAGAAGCAGCGCGACCGGGACGAGGAGGAGGCCATTCTACTCTATCAAGCTCGAAAAGACGAGCTCATGCGCAAGCGCGAGCAGGAGGAGAAGGAGATCCAGGACGAGAAGAACCGACTCGCGAAAGCTATGTTGGACTCGCAGGAAAAGATCATGGACAATTCCGCGGAGTTGGATGCGTTGCGCGCGCGGCGCTACGCCGAAGCGAAAGAACGAGCCGCGCGCGAGGCCGTGCTCAAGAAGGAGACGTGGCGCAAGAACCTGGCCGAAAGTGTGCACAAGACGTTAGGGGACCAGATCGAGGACAAGAAGCGGCGCCAGGCGCGCGAGGCCGCGCTCCAGGAACGGGAACACAACGAGTGCCTGCGCTACGCGAACAAGGTTCAAGATAGAGAGGCGATCGAGAACGAGCGGAAGCGCCAGATCAACGAAGAATTCAAAAGAACGCTCAACGAGCAGATCGCGGCGGCGCGCCGCGGCCGCACGGACAAGTTCCAGCAGGCCCAGGACGAGGGCCGGGCCATGCGCAACGAGTTCGCCATGGAGCGCGCCAAGCTCGAGGCCATCCGCGACGCCATGATCGAGGACATGCTCAAGCGGGGCTACAACCCCAACTACCTCAACGAGATCCGCAACTGCGACATCCAGAAGATCCAGATGCGCTAGACTATCTCGGGGAGGGGTAAGGTTTACGTAACACGCTCCCCCGCCGCCGCCTCCTCCAGCCGCGCGCGCCCGGTGTCGGCGAGCCGCCGCAGGTTCCGCGCGTAGAAGCCCGCGCTCTCGCGCCGCCGCTCGGCCGCGGCGAGCTGGCGCGACCAGAGGACGTTGATCGTCGCGTGGGGGCTCCGCCGCATGTAGCTGCCGTAGTACCGGAGATCGTCGTCCGGCAGCGCCGCGAGGTCCTCCGCGCCCGCCTCGGCGCAGTACCGCCGCAGCGTCGTCGGCGCGTACATGTGGCCGAAGCGGTGCGTCGCGAGCCATTTTTCGGAAGGCGTCTCGTAGCGCGGGTGGAAGCAGACAATACCAATATCGCGCGACACGCGCGCCGCGACGAGCGACTCCTCGAGGAGCGGGAAGACAGCCTCGACCCACGTCTCCAGGTCCTCGTCGAAGGCCGGCGCGGTCAAGAGCACGGAGCTGTACGCCGCCTCGCCTTGCGCGAGGAACTCGCCTATTGTAGTCCAGACGTCGCTCACGAGCCGCGGCGCCGACGTACATCTAGAATGCGCGTAGAGGATCGGCGCGCCGTGCACATCAAACTCCTCGAGGCCGACGCCGGCCTCGCGCGGCGACGCCGTGAAGGGGCACTGGCGGAGACCCACGAGGACGCGGGCCACGAAGGCTTCCGTCCGCCGGCGGCACGCGTCCGCCGTCTCCACCTCGTCGTCTGCCGCCGGCGGGAGCGCGCGGCGCTTCGTCAGCGTCGGGACCCGCCGCGTCGCGGACGCCTCCACCGCGGCCCCGGCGGCCTCGAGGCTCGCCGCGAGGCGGCGCGCGTCGGCCTCGGAGAGCTCGGGCAGCGCCAGCACGGCGTCGTCGGCCTCCGCGACCCAGCGCCAGACGCGCGGCGCGACTTGCGCGGCGCTCCCGTCGACCCAGTCGGGCCGCCGCCGCAGCTCGCCCTCGACGAGCAGTTTTTGCAAGGGGTTGAGGGCTGTCGTTAGGCGCAGCAGCAGGAGCAGTGCTCGTCCCATGGCGCGTGATCACTCGGTGCCCCCACAGCCTCCTCGCAGGATTGAACAACCGTGCTCCAGCCCTTCAAAACTGCAGCAGGCGGCGCGCGCGGGCTTTTTATCCATCTATGGCCACAGCGGCCACAAGCTCACGTTCTACGGTGCTTTTTTGACCTGTAAAGACTGGAATTCTAGTACGTCTCTCGACGCTAGGACAGCTTTTGCTGGACCTTAGGTGGCCGCCTTTTGCACGCTATCTGTGCAAAGCATTTTGCAAGCGCATTCGTGCAAAACCTATCAAAAGCCACCATGCTCGCGGCGCTCCGCCGCGGCGCGGCGCTCCCCCGCCGCGCCCTCTCGACAACCACAGAGATGCACGGCACGACGATCCTCTGCGTGCGCCGCAAGGGCCGCGTCTGCTTGATCGGCGACGGCCAGGTCTCCATGGGGAGCATCGTCGTGAAGGGCAACGCGAAGAAGGTGCGGCGCGTCGGCGACGACGTCCTCGTGGGCTTCGCGGGAAGCACGGCCGACGCCTTCTCGCTGCTCGACCGGCTGGAGAAAAAATTGGAAGAGCACCCGGGGCAGCTCGCCCGGTCCTGCGTCGAGCTCGCAAAGGCCTGGCGCACGGATAAATATCTTAGGCGGCTCGAGGCGGTGCTACTCGTCACGGACCGGACGCAGACCTTCGAGCTGACGGGCACGGGCGACGTCCTCGAGCCGAGCGACGGGATCATGGGCGTGGGGTCGGGCGGCCACTACGCGCTCGCGGCGGCGCGCGCGCTCGCGACCGTCGAGGACCTCGAGGCGCGCGACATCGCGACGCGGGCCATGGCCGTGGCCGCGGACATGTGCGTCTACACGAACACGAACTTCATCGTCGAGGAGCTCGACGAGGTCGCTCCCGAGGGTGATGATAAGGGGAAGGGGGAGGAGGGCGTGTAAGGTTGTGTCTAGTCGTCGCGAGCCGTCGGCGCAGGGTCTGCCTCTCCTTACCAGGCGCTGCTCTAGGACATCCGCTAGCGGCCTGTAAGACACACTAGCAGCAAGCAGGCGCTGCCCAATCGACCATTTGGCCGGGCAAAGGGTCGCCCCGAGTTTCGCAGGGCTGCCCACGCACCACAGGAGTGCCTTACGCCGCCGCCGCGGGCGCGCTCGAGGCCATCAAATCATAATTGCGCGCTCTAGGCCAGCGCGTGTGCAGGAGACGCACATCACACAGAGCACGACGGGGGCCGCCCTCCGTCGCGCCGCGAAGCAACCATGGTCATGAACCAGGGCGCCTTCCGCGACATGCTGAGCTCCGTGCGCGGCGAGGAGAGGGCCAAGGCGCTGGACGTCGACCTGCCGCCGCAGTTCGGCCGCGCGCACGGCTCGAACCTCCGGGTCGCGCTCGTCGGCCGGCCGAACGCCGGCTGCTCGACGCTCTTCAACGCCTTCTGCGGGCGCCGGGTCGCGGCCTCGGGCTTCCCCGGCGAGACGCGCCGGGCGAACGTGGGGCGGACGCCGCACGCGACGGAGGCCTACGAGGCGCTGCGGGCGTGCTACGCGCCGCGCGCCGAGCGGCCCGTGACCTTCTCGGTGGTCGACGCGCCGTCGCGCAACGCCTTGGACGTGAAGAACGACGGCAACGACGACCCGGCCTTGCTCGAGGGGCTTTGGGCCGGCGCCTCGACCGCGGACGTCGTCGTGGTCGTGGTCCGGGACTTCCGCACGGGCGACGTGACGCACACGTCCGAGACGATCGACGCGGCGCGCGATTTGCGGTGGATCGGAGAGGTCGCGAAGCGGCGGGACATTGTGATCCTGGAGAAGAGAATCAAAGAACTGGAGAAGCTGCGGGCGGGCAACTGGTTGCGGGGCGAGAAGGAGGCGCTCCAGTACGCCGTCAAGCTGCTCGTGAGCGGGCCGGACCCGCCCAAGCAAGAGTCCGACGACGGCCTGTCGTCGTCCGACGAGGACAAGCCGCCCCCGTACGACCCAGATGACCCGAAGTGGCGGCCGCGCCTCACGCTGCGGTCGGAGCGCTGGTCCGACGACGAGGTGAAGTGGCTCGCGTCCCTCGACCTGTTGACCACGAAGCCCTGGGTCGTTTTGGTGAACGGCGACCAGCGCCACTATTTGATGGGGTATCAAGACCCTCGGGTGTTGTCCTCTGTCTCCAAGGTCGGCGCGGAACTCGGGGTCGCGTCGATCCTCCCCGGCTGCGCGATTTTCGAGCGGAAGCTCCAGGACCTGCGGGAGGCGCCGACGCTCGAACCGACCGAGGAGCACTTCGAGACCATCAGCCCCTACGACGAGTACGTCAGGGCGAACCCTGACCACCGAAGCAGCCGCAACGCCATCCTCGACGCGTGCCGCGACGCGCTGCAGCTCATCTGCGTCTACGCGTGCTGCGACGACGAGGTGCGGGGCATTTGTTGTAGGGACGGCGACACGGTCAAGGAGTACTGCCTCGGGCTGCACGAGGTCGTGGGGCGGAACTTCGACGTGGCCGAGGTCTGCGACGCGGCCAAGTTTAAACAGTTAAAGAGCGAGGAGGCCGTCCGCCGCGCGGGCAACGTCCGGCGCGTCGGCGCCGAGATGATCCTGGAGCACGAGCAGGTTGTTTTTGTTGCCTTCGACCTGCCGCAGGACGCGGGGCGCATGGCGGTGGCCTGGAGCTGCGACCCGCGGGCCAAGACGGGCCGCAAGGTCTCGGAGAACTTCCGGTACGAGCTCGAGTACGAGGCCCAGTTCGCCGAGGCCCCGAAGGAGGAGGTCGACGTCGCCGCGATCCGGGCCGAGGACTTCCTCGAGGACGAGGGGTCCTTCGACTCGGGCGCGAGCGACACGGCGTAAAATACATCTGCTGTTACTACTACTACTACATGGCCCACGTCATCCGCTCCACGATGCGATCTCGCAGGCGGCCCTCGAGGCCGTCGATGAGGGGCTGCGGCCCGCCGAGCATCACGTCGGCGTCCGCGCCGAGCTGCTCGTCGGCCCGCTTCACGACGGCGTCGAGGTCGGGCCGCGCGCCCGCGGTCGCGAACACGACCTCCGCGGCGGCGCCGGCGGGGTCGGCGCCGCCGCCGAGCTCTACGTCGGCGGCGGCGCCGCGGTAGGCGCCGCGTCGGCGGACGCGCCCGGCGACCGCCAGCGCGACCGCGGCGCCGAGGAACGCGGCCGCGGCGCAGACGACCAGGCTCAGACCGCCCGAGACGACGTTCGGGTTGCCGTCCTTGCGCCGGTCGAAGACGTACGGCGACCGCCCCGCGAACGGCGCGCCCGCGCGCCAGGCGACAAGGTAGGCCGCGGCCAGGAAGCCGAGACCACTTCCGAGCACGGCGGCGGCGGCGCCGCCCGCCGCGCCCCCCGCCGGCCGGTGCCGCCGCAGGTCGACGGGCGAGGCCGGCGAGGCCGGCGCGGCCTCCCGCGCCTCGTTCGGAAAGAGCGGCGACACCGTCGCCGTCTTCGCCTCCGTCGGCCACGGCGCGGCAACGGCGACGATTGTTGCGCCGTCGCGCCGGACCACGACGCGGCCCGCGCTCGGGCGCGTCGTCTTCTCAACAGCGCACGAAGCCGCCGGCGCGTCCGGCGCCCGCGTTATATGAATTTCCGTCTGGAGCCACGGCTCCTGGGAGGAGGCGCCGGCCGTCGGCAGGCAAAAGGCGTCGAGCACTTCGATTTGCTGGGCCGACCGTACGATGGCCACGAACCGGATCTGCTGGTTCGGCGCCGGGTTCGATAGCCTTACCAGGCGCAGGAAGGCCACGGCCGGCGCGAGGCCCGACCCCGCCGCCACGATCAACAAGGGTCGGCCGCGCGCCGCCGCCCGGGCCTTTTGCTGTAAGGCCAGGGGCGCGATGAGCGGGCCCCGGACCTCGAGCTCGAGGACGGGCTGCCGCGCCGCCAGGCGGCACAAGGCGCGCGTCCACCCGCCCGCGTCGAAGACGTGGACGACCGCGGCGCCGTCCGCCGCGCCCGCGATCGTGAAGGGGTGCCACATCCACGAGACGTCGCGGCACCGGAGCCGCACGACGCCGCCCGTGAGCTGTTCCTCGGCGTAGCCCGGCATGGGGACCAGGACCGTCGCCATCGTCGCGTCGCCCGTCGCGGCGACGGCGCAGCGCGCCGTCCGCTCCGCGACGCGTCGACGCGCCGAATCGGCGGCGATGAAGACGACGGACGGCGCGGCAAACGCGAGGATCCCGGGCCAGTGCAAGCAGACGAAGAACCACCAGGCCCAGTGCAACTGGTGCGCGACCATGAACAACGCGTAGGACCGCCGCCGCACCGCGTACAGACTCGTCACGCCGACGACGACGCCGACGCACCACGCCAGCAGGCCGTAGAAGTTCGAGATGTTCCGCGAGGGCGCCTGGGCGCCGCAGGCGTGGGCGAAGAGCTCGGACGGCCGGTGCGACACGCGCGCCGACCCGTGGCACGCGCTCAGGGCCTCGTCTCCAATTTTTTCGAGCCCGCCCTCGAGCCCCCAGACGAGGAGGTAGAGCGTGACGTGCAGCGTCGCCAGGATCAGCGTGGCTCTCCCCAAAACGCGGTGGAAGGCCATCGCGGCCTCGTGGCTGAGGCCGAGCGCTCGCAGCGGCGGCGAGAACTGCTGGGCCGGCACGCCCAGCAACGCCATGGGCACCATGGCGTCCCAGCCGAACTGGTAGGCGTGCCACTTGAGCGCGTCGTAGCGCGCCGCCCGATTGTTATGCCACGTCCAGACCGCTTTCCGGTTCGTGCCCGTCGCGAAGACGTGCAGCGACACGACTCTAATGAAAACGAGCGCGAGCGCTATTAATCCAACGCGGCTCGCGCCGTCGGCGACGCGGGCCCAGCGCGGGCCCTTGTACCGAGGCGGCCGTGTCCACAGCGCGTAGCCCTCGGCCGGCGCGCTCAGCGCGGCCGCGGCGGCGAGCGACGCGGTCACGAGGGCCCACTGGAAGTGCCAGAGCGCCTGGTCGTCGTAGACCCACGCCGTCTGCCACCAGGCGAACCACGCGCCGATCTGTATCGTGCACGCGGCGGCGACGAGGGCCGCGGCGGCTCTGCGGCGGTTTTGCATCGTCGTGGGTCTTGAGGTGTGCTTCTGATCAAGGTGCGTCTTTTACAGCGTCGCGAGTGTCGTTTGATGGTCGTGCGCGCGTTGTGTCGCCTCAGGAAGAAGGGTCTGATTAGGTGTACTTGTGACTGCTATGTCTTGCCGTAGAATGCCGTAGAATCAGCGGTGCGGTGTATGAGCCATCTGTGACTGCTGTGTTAGGTTGCACTGCGCCCGCGTGACCTATTATTCGTCAGAGTCGCAAAAGCGCCGGCTATCGAGCTAGCGTGAATAAGACACTAGCGCAGATCAAAAAAGTGGCAGGCATTCGAGCGCCACTGCCCACCCGCCGCGTGCCAGCGCCCACTTTTCGGCAGGCAGGTGTCGAAAAGCTCTCGGCACACCACGGCGCTGCCGCCACCGCCCGCGGGCCCCGGACTTTGAACGCGCCATGTCCGGCCGCGCGCGCTTCGGCGCGGAATCAGGAGCTAGAGCATTAGCCGGCGGGCGCAAGCCGAGGAAGCGCGCCGGATTAAGTGAAGAAGAAATGGAGGAGGTCAGGGAGGCCTTCAACTTGTTTGACACCGAAGGCCGCGGCCAGATCGACATAAAAGAGCTGAAGGCCGCGTTCCGGGCGTTGGGCTTCCAGGTCAAGAAGGCGGAGATCCGGCGGATGATGCAGGACGTCGACAAGGAGTCGTCGGCGGTCGTGCCCTTCGACGACTTCGTGGAAATGGCGACTCCCAAATTGCAATCCAGAGATACGCGCGAGGAGATCATGAAGGTCTTTGCGCTCTTTGACGACGACCAGACGGGGGCCATCTCGTTCCGCAACCTGAAAAGAGTGGCCAATGAGTTAGGGGAGAACCTCACGGACGAGGAGCTCCAGGAGATGATCGACGAGGCCGATCGGGACGGCGACGGCATGATCAACGAGGACGAGTTCTTCCGCGTCATGAAGAAGCGCGGCGAGAATCCCTTGGATGACCTCTCGTCCGACGACGACGACTTCTAAGTTTTACGCCCCCCGTACCTTGTTCTCTCACCTTCGGTCAGCTCGTCGAACCGCTTCCCGCCCTTCTCCCTGATAAAGGCGACGAGCTCGTGGCCCGACGCCAGGCCCGACGCGACGTCCAACACCGTGAGCTGCTTGCCGTCTTCGCGGTCGAAAACCAAGTTGAGGTCCGCGCCCGCCTCTTGCAAAGCCCGCGCGCCTTCCAGGTGCAGGCCATAGACGAACCACGCCAGGGGCGGCATGCGTAGACCTCGCTGCGCCGTGACGCGCGCGTGGACGTCCGCGCCGGCCTCGACCAAGAGCCGCACGACCGCGGCGTCTCCAGAAATCCCGGCCGTGTGGAGCGCCGTCTCGCCCTCCTTCGTCTTGGCCGTCGCGTCGGCGCCCTTGTCCAGCAGCCGCTTCACTTCCGTCGCGTTGCCGTCGGCCGCGGCCGAGATGAGGGCGAAGTCGATTTCTCGGACCTCGGCCGTCGTCGCGTCGGCCTGGACCTCGACGCGGGCCGCGCTCGTTATGCATGCGATGCCTAGGACGCGCAGGAGCATGGCTGCACTCGTTCTGCTCTGGGGCTGCAGCGGTTTAGGAGCTGTGTCTTGTACTGCAGACCAAGAGCAGCAGTTCAAAAGCAGCGTTCGCTTGCTTACTCGCAGAGCACGCAGCCTTCAACCGCGCTCACGCGCTCGCGTTTTGGCTAGCGGCAATAAGACACTAGCAAAGCTCGACGAGCGCGGCTGCTTGAGCGTAGAGCCGGGTGCACGGGCTCCGAACATATTGCGAACCATCGCTAGCGACTGCCCGAAGCAGCGGGAGCCCGCGTTCGCATCGATGCCGGACGCCGTGGACGCCGTGGACGCCTTGGCCGCCGCGGAGGCCGCGGTCGCCGCGGCCATCGGCGACGACGCGCCCTTCCCGCATTTCGACGAGCGGCAGGGCCACCTCCCGGGGCCGGACCGCCAGGCGACGCGGGCCGTCCTAGAAGCGCTGCCGCCGCCGCCGCCCGCATGGGTGGAAGCCATCAAGGCCACGGAGCAGTGGACCTACGCGCGCGCGATGGTGCTGGAGCGCTGGTGCGCGTCCGTCAGAGACGAGGCCGTCGGCGAGGCGCTCGCGCCGCACGTCCACGCGCTCGTGGCGGCCGCGCTGCCGCCGGCTCCCGGCGCCGAGGCGCATCCGGACGCCGAGGCCGCGCGGCGCGTCCTGCCGTTTCTCGTAAGGAGCTGCGCGCACACGGGACATGTTGTCGGGTTGGCGCCGGTCGCGGGCCGCGGGCCCCTCGTTCTGAAGGAGAGCCTCACGCAGCCCCCCAAGGACCTGGGCGCGGCGACGCGCCTGCCGCCGGCGCTCGCGCGCGGCCCGCTCCGGGGACTGGCGGAGCGCACGGCGTACCTCCCGCTCGGCACCTGCTCGTCCGTTTTAAGGAGAGACGCGGACGACGCGCTGCGATCTTCCAGTGCGGAGGCGCTGGAAGCGGCGCTCCGGGACCTGAGACGGCGCATCCCCGACGTCGCGCCGCCGCCGGCGCTTGGCGGCCTGCGGGACTGGGACGCGCGGGAGGCGCGCGTGCTCGCCGCGGCGCTGTCGGTGGTCATCGCCCGCCTCTGCGACGGCTCCGTGAGTTCTGATGCGACGCAGCACGCCATTCCCGCGTCCCTGAGTCTGATGGACGCGTCGGACGCGTCCATGCGGTTCGTCGGGCTGGAATGCTTAGTGCGAATCGTCACGCGCGCGCCGCCCCTAATCTTGGACGAGCTGCACCCGATCCTGCTCGACGCGCTCGACCGCGCGCGGGCCCTGATCGCGCGGGACGGCGGCGGCGAGACCGTCGCGCTGTACGCGCACGGCGCGGTGCTCGTCCTCGGGAAGGTCCTCGAGCCGTCGGTCCGACGGAGGGCCGCCGCCGTCTTCCTGGACGCGTGCCTCGACGACCTGGGGCTCTGGCGCGACAACGCCGCGAAGCTGGAGCTCCTGCGGCGGCTGGCGGACGTCACGCTCCTGCTGGGGCCCCACGGCGCCGCGGCGCACCTGCGGCGGCTGCTCCCGTGCCTGCTCGGCGCGCTCGACGAGCGCGCGCCGGCAGAGCGCCGCGTCGTCGCGCTCCACGCGCTCCACGTCGTCGTCGCCCAGACCTGGGCGCGCGCCGCCGGGCACCGCGTGGCCCTCGTCCGCGCGCTGCTCCTCGTCGCGGGCCAGGCGCGCCGCGACCGCGACCGCGGCGCGGCGGCGGCGGCGGCGGCGGCGGCCGCCGGCGCGCGGCGGCCGCCGGCCGCGGGGCTCGGCCCGCTCGCCGGCCTCGCCGAGGCCCTCGCCGTCCGCGCCCTGGCGCTGGTCCTGGCCGTCGACGGCGCCGCCTCGGGCGCGCTCGCGGCCGCGGCGGCGGAGCGGTGCCCCGAGCTGCAGCCCGTCATCATCGCCGCGCTGGCGAAGGCGTCGGCGTAATAGTGTTGTTGTAGATATATCTATATATCTAGATATAGCGAACGACGAGTACTTATTATAGAAAGCCGGGAGGGATCCACGAAGTCGTCCGACAGACGGGGCAGACGACTTGTTGGCCGCGGCGCAGCGACGGCCGGTTCTCGGCCCACGCGTGAGACGCGAGCGAATCCGGTCCCAGGACGCACGCGGCGTGGGAGCCGCGCGCACAAGCTCCGAGAGCCGCTGGTCCTCGTCGGCCGTCCAGCGCGGACTTTTCGGGCCGCCGACGCCAGCGTGACTTTTCGGGCCGCCGACGGCGCCCCGCGCGTCCTCCGAGCTCACGTCGCGCCGCTCCTGTGAGTCCTGTCTTGGCGCGCGATCTGAGATTTCGTCTAACGATACACAACGCGCCTCACCGGCCGCAGGGCGCGCTTCGTCGATTGCTGGGGCGGGCGCCTCCATCTTGATGAGGACCCCCTTGGGTCGCCTATATTTACCTCGGATCTAGATCCGGATCCGGATTGCAGCTCCTTGAAACCCGCTTTTTGTTTTTTTCTTTCGTGCGAGCGCGAACACCAGCTCGAGCGCGAGATGCGAGACTGAGCCTGAGCCTGAGAAAGTCCTACCCACACTTACGCCAAACAACTACTTCTCTGACAAAGCCCCCATCGGTTTTTGCAGTGACGGCCTACTCTCTCAAGAGCACACCGCGCGGGCCGCGTCTTTCGTAACAGCATACCTCCTTCTAAGCAGAACCGCCTCGGCAACCCCCCCCCCGAGCAATGAGCCAGGAGAGCTAGTGTACAGACACACTTATCACAGTGGTCAAGGCTGCCCGGCAGCCCGAACCGGTGTAAACGCTGCCTCTACTGCAAGCCGGAGAATCCAGGCGAGACGAAGATGTCGCTGCGCGTCGCCCTGCTCGTTTTAACAGCCTGGGCCGACGCCAGCACCCCTGAGGAGGCCTCGCGCTGCTCGGCGTGCTGCTCCATCGTCGCGGAGCTCGAACGGAACCTGGAGATTGAGAAGCCGCGCATGAACGTGGATTTGAGACGGACGCTCGCCGGGAAGGACGCGGGCAAGGTCGTGGACTGGGCGACGTCGGAGCTGCGCACGCTCGAGCTTCTCGAAGGCATCTGCCCGGCCATGGAGCACTACGGCGTGACGCGCGTGGCGGACGGCGCCTACTACCAGCGCCACTCCGTGAGCGGCGGGTCCGTCCACGTGTCCGGGTCGATGACGATCGGCGGCGACAAGTACCAGCACGACCGGGGCTTCCTGCGGAGCTACTGCGATCGGGTGGTGGAGGAGCACGAGGAGCCCCTGGGCGAGGCGATCCGGGCCGCGGGGCTCGTGCATCTGGCGCGGAAGAAGCGCGGCGGGCTCGACGCGAGCGGCGCGCGGGCGGCGCTGGGCTTATCCGACGACGCGGACGAAAACGACGCGGCCGCCGCGTACAAGAGGCTGGCGCGCGAGCTGCACCCGGACAAAGGCGGCGACCGGGAGCGCTTCCTCGCGGTCGTCGACGCCTACGAGGCCCTCACGGGCCGGGAGCACCGGCCCTACGGCGACTTGTATCGGTCGGTCTGCGTCGACGTCGTCGGCGCCTGCGCGTCCGAGGACGACGTCGAGGCGTCGAAGCGCTTCTTCCCGCGCTATGACGGGTCCGCGAAGTTCCCGCGCGCGAAGAAGCGGCGAAAGCGGCGGCGGCGGAAGGAGCTGTAATGTTATGTCTTAGACACGCCGTACTCCTTTCTTCTCTTCGTACGGAACGTTGGGAAACACGCGGTCCGCGTCCTCCGCGAGGGGCACGCCCGTCAGCGGCGCGTGGCCCGGCGGCAGGACGATGAACTGGCGGTCGTCGCGGCCGACGACCGTGTTGTCCAGCAGCTTCACAACCACAGCACCCCGCCGCTCCAGCTTCGGGAGGATGCCCTGCTCGGCCCCGCGCTCGTTCGCGACGATGGCCGCGCACTTGTGCGTCGTCAGGAGCGCGTAAAACAGGTCCGCGGTCGCCTCGTCCGTGCAGTAGCACATGATGTTCGACAGCAGGCAGACGACACCCTCCGTGCCTTTTAGTAGAGAATCTAAGTCTGGCTGGTGCACGTCCCACTGGGAGAAGCCATACCCCAGCAGGTCGACGTACTCGCGCCAGGACGGCTGCAGGTCCAGCGACGCGAAGGCGTGGTCCTTGTGGCGCGGCAGTTCCACGGACGCCCGCCACTGGCTCCTATCAGGCGACGCCCAGTACTCGCGGAAGTAGTCGTACGCCAGCAGCTCGTAGCCCGGCCCGCCCCCGATACTGACGACGCGCTCCGCCTCATACAAGCAACCCCCACGATCAAACAGCCCCGCGTGCGCGCACCGCTCCAAACAGGCCCACGTCTCCGTGAAGCGCTGCCAACTCTTCATCCGCAGATACATCCACTGGAAGCCCGGTAATGAATACTCGCGGTCGGACCACGTGCCGATTTCACTTCCCCGCCTCCGTAAGTTCGGCTTCTCCTCGTAGAGCGCGTAGCCCTCGGCCCGCTGCCGCGCCTGGCTTTCTTTGTCTCCGACAAATAACTCCTTGTTGCGCTTCAATAGGATCGCGTTCACCCCCACGAGCTCCTTCAGTAATCCTAGACCGCAGGCCCCACAAAAAAACTTGTACCTTCTAAATCTATCGCAAAAGAAGACGCCGCTCCCGTCCGCCATCTCGTAGACCATGCCGTCCTCCTCGTCGATACGTTTCCCTCCTTTCAGGTCTTCGCCGAACTCGAGCCCGCGCCCGTGGTCGTTCGTGCCGAAGGCGCGCGGCGCCGACTGGCGCTTCCTTCTTCCACTATCGTCTCCAGTAACGCGCCGGTGCCCGAGCTTCTCCCGTCGGTGCCGCGAGAAGCCGATGAGCTTCGCGAACTGCGCGCGGTCGTCTTCGACGCCCTCGACGCTCTCTCCATAATGATCCTGCTGGGCCGCGTCGTAGGCCGAGACGTAGCGGTCCCTTTCAGTATTCTGATCGGGGGGATTCTCGTAGGGGTTCGGCGCCAGCTCGCCGCGCGGCGCCGCCGCGCCGCCCGCGCCGTAGCGGCCGTACCGCGACGCGGTCGCGGCGCCGGCGCCGTAGCGCCCGCGGTCCGGGCGGTCCCGCGGCGCGTCCCAGCGCCCGCCGTCGTTCCGCCCGCGGCCCGGGCGGTCCTGCGGCGCGTCCCAGCGCCCGCCGCCGCCGCCGCCGCCGAGGCTCAGGCGGCCGAGGCCTTGCGCCGGAGCAGCGCTGTCATTGCTGGCACTGCTGGCTTGGGGCTTGCCCCGCTTGTGGGGCGGGACGTATGCACTCATAGTCTTGCAGCTCTTGCAACGCACTGATTCCTTGCGTCAATATGGTTTGATCAAAGTTCTATTAGTTTGTATTAATAGCCCAGCCCCCTCTCTCCTGTCCCTGAAGTTAGTGTAACTAGGGTATCTCAGCGATCTCTCCGCCAACGGACGGCGACAGCCACAGGTACCTCCTCACGGATCTCTACAAAAAAATTCCCAAAAAGCCGAGTAGGGGGGTAAATTCCTTATTTGGCACAAGTGGTGTTTTTAGCGACACCGAGAATCAGCTTGCCCGGGCCGCAAACGGCACCAGCAGCCTCAACCAGCCTGTGCGCTGGCACGATGGTCCCTCCGCATCCCCTCTTGGGTCGGGCAGCGTTTTTATGCTCGGAGGCGTCGCTCAAGGCATGCCACCAAAATCCGGTCTTTTTGCAGTCGCCGCGGCCGACGTAATGCGCCCTCACGGATGGAAGTGAACGTCGGAGGGGCCTCGCCTCATGCCCGCGGCGACCTCGACGACTTGGTTACGTCGCTGATGCATGACGGCACGCAGTGGGCAGCCCCTCGCACGGCTCGGCGCGCGGTCGTCGGACTTGGAGTAGCCAGACGCCCTGCTTGGTTTCGTCACGCTGCTCCCATCGTAACGCGGGGAGGCCATGCGTTTACGGAAGCCGGAAGAGTACACGGATCGTGGCGGGCGCCGCGCGGCGACGATTGGCGGCCGCGTCACCCCGTCGCTCGTGAGTGGAACGCCACCCCCGTCGATTCCGTGCGGCGTCTCGTTCGACCTCACGCGCCCATCGTTATCCCGGCGCTGCGCCTCGTTCGCGTCCCGGCGCGTCCGCGTCGGGATGCGTCGGGCCCCTTGCAGCTGTCCGCCAGTGTGTGTGTTAATATGCCTAATTTAAGTACATTCTACCATTACACTACACCAAGCCCAAACTAATAGACCCGCCGTACCGGCCAGTGACACTCGTTTTGCGTTGGCCTAGTGTATCGACACACTAGCACTTTGCCCAACGCGTAACAATAGACCGCAACGCGCAAAACCCTCGCAGGAATAGCGTTAGATCATTAGACCCCCCAGAAACAGCGCCAGCGCGAACCCGGGCCTTCGGCCGAGAGCTCGCGAGTAGAGTCCGCCGCCGGCGTAGGCGTCGAGGTCGACGGCTTCGTACTCGTCATCGTCCCGAGGTGTACTCCCCGAGATTTCGACGAGCTCCGCCGGGCAGCGCACGCGCCGGAACCGCACGTACGGATTATCCGAGCCGTACGAGTCGCCGAACCTCCACTCGCAGCCTGCTCGCAGCTCGGATGGCAGCCGGGAGCAGCCGGTCTCGTCGGCACAGCCGCCGTAGCGGACGCCACAGTCGAAGTCGTCCGTGGAGTAGTAGCCGCCGAAGAGCCCCCCGGGGAACTGCCGCACGCAGCCGGTATCGAAAATACCCTGGCCGCCGCCCGGGATCTGCAAGTCGAAGGAGTGGTCGCCCGTCACGTCGTAGCCGATGTTCGTGACCTGGATGATGTGGGACTTGCCCACGATGTCGGCGTGGGCGCCTCCCTCGTTCGACCACACCAACTCGTAGCACTGGCCGCCTGTGTGGAAATCAAAAGTTTACGGCGCGTTCGTGCTGAATCATCGCGTCGTCCTCCACGCCATCGACGCGAGGCCTGCTCGATGGCGTGACGATGCCGATTCCTCGCCGCTCGACGAAGCCAGGACGGCCGCGTCATCGCCGAGAAATGACTTAGTGAAGAATTGTCGGTGCACCCGACGCACTGGTTGATTTCCACACAGCTGGCCGCAATTCTCGTCTCCATTGAGTCCATGGTTGCCGCCGACCGACGCGGCCGCGAAGCCCAGCGACACGCCGTCATTGTAGGTCCAGGGCTGGTTCGACGCGCAGGACGCCGCGGTACCGCCGTCGCAGACGCTCGCGACGTTCGCATCGGTCAGGATCTCGCCCGTCTCGGCCTCGCACGCGAGGACGGGGCGGTCAACGTCGCCCTTCGAGTTCCACGCGCAGCTCGGCTTGCAACAGTCCCAGTAACGGGTCGTGTAGGTGCCGAGCTGCCACTCGGGCCCGTCCGGCAGCACGGGCGTGGCGGCGGCGGTGCTGTCGTCGTTTGCCGCACACCAGACGTGACCGCACTCATTACACTTGGTCTCCGAGGCAGCACAATAATTCGAGTCCTCCGCGATAGATTGACAATTCACGCAGCGGTCCGTGGTTTCGGGATAAAAGCAGCAATACGAGGCTGCCGTGCGCGCGAGGGCCGCCAGGACGGCGAGGGGCAGCCTCATCTCGCTTGGACGATTGCTCTCAACTCAGATCAAGGTGCCAACCCGCACGCACGCAACCGTCCCTGTGCCGGAGCGCTCGCCGCAGCCCCTCCGGCGGCCCGGCGGACGACATCGGCGGCGGCGTCCTTGCCTTGCCTGGAAATTCAAACTCAAATCAGCAATCCGCGCTGCCAAAACTCGCGCAGCGCGACGCGCACACGCGGCCACACCAATTGAAGACGAGCCACGCGCAGCCCCACCACACATCAAAAATGGCCACGAACCCCAAGCGCCGCCGCGTGGGCAGCCCCACGAACGAAACCACACCAACAGCGCTCCCGGCGGCGGCCGCCGCCGCGTTAAAGAGGAGGCGCCAGCAGCGGCCCCCGAGCCCGCCCGCGGCCGACCGGGCGCGCCGCGCGCCGACGCGGCGGTCGGCCAAGAAGCCGCGCGCAGCGCCCTTCCCGGCCAAGCTCTTCGACATGGTCTCGAATCACCCCGACATCCTTCGCTGGAACGACGCGAGCCGCGAATTGGTCATTGCCGACCCGCACCGGCTCACCACGGAGCTCATGCCGCGCTTTTTTACGGTCACGACGGGCACGGGCCTCGTCAAGTCCTTCGCGAGACAATTGAACTACTACGGCTTCCACCGCGTCGGTTCCCCCAGAGGACCAGGCGGCCGCGCGCGCCAGTCGCTGGACGGCGGCGCCCTGGTCTTCGCGAACCGCAACCCGCGCGTCGCGACGGTCAATGATCTGGCTTCTCTAGTGAGGCACGAGAAGCCGCCCGCGCGCGCGGCGCCCATCTCCACGCCGCGCGTCTCCGAGGCCTCTTCTAATGAAGAATCGGCGCGCGTCGTCACGCCGCCGGCCTGCCCCGGCGGGCCCGCGCCGACGCCGTCGGACCGGCCCTGGACGCTCGACGTCGGGTCGTTGCTCCGCGAGGCGGCGCAGGCGGCGGCGTCCGGGGCGTCCTGAATTCGTTATCTGGGGCCTAACGACGTGGTGCTCCCCTCCGTTATCGATTTTTGACACCGGTTAGAGCCCGTTTAATCAACTTGTCCGCACGCTACATGTAGTGTCTTACACTCTGGAGCAGGGTGCTAGCATCATTTTGGCCGAGACGAGCTCGAGCGATAGACACACTGGCGTCGCAGTCACGTAGAGGTGCATAACCGGCTCGCGCACCGTCGCTGGTAGCTGTTTGCTTCGAAGCATTCATACGAGCGCGCAGCGATCCACAACTGCAGCCATGGCGGCGCTCGTGACCGACGACGTCGCCGCGGCGGGCATCGCGAAAGCGATGGCGAAGCTGCAAACGGAAGACGAGCCCGGTGACTGGACCGAGGGCATGGACGCCTCGCAACTAGAAAGGGCGAAGGCGTCGCTGCGCTGGGCGCCCGGCTACTACGAGCGCGTCGAGGCCGGTGCGAGGAGCACCTGCGTGAAGCCGAGCGCGCTGCACGGCGCCGGGCTCTTCGCGACGCGCGCGTTCCGGCGGGGCGACGTCGTCCTTAGAGAAAGGCCGCTCGTCGCGATGCAGGACCTCGCCAATAAACGGGAAGTGGTGGCGTGCGGCAACTGCCTCAAGTTCATCGACCTAGGAAATGAATTGTTGCGCCTCGTCAAGGACGAGGACGACGGGCGGCGGTGCGCGCACGACGCGGTGTGTCAGGTGCCGCGCGGCGGGCCCGAGGGCGTGTGCTGCCACGCGCAGTGCGGCGAGCTCTACTGCTCCATTAGATGCCGAGATGAACATTTGCGGCGGGGCCACGGCTGCTTATGCGTGGGCCACATCACGGAAGAAACGGCGTCGACGTCCCCATTATTCCAGTATAAAGTACTGGCGGCGCAATCGAACGAAATCTTGTTACTCGCCGCGGAGGTCGCGGTGCTCTGGCTGGGCCGGGGCGACGAGGCGTTCACGAGCTTCGTGCGGGAGCCGTGGGACGATGTTATAATGAAAGCGGCGGCGTTGCGAAATGATGGAGACGCCGGCGAGCTGGCTTCATCATTACGAGCCTTGTGTGGCGACGCCGCGCCTTTATTAAAGGCGGCGCTGACGCCGCACTTCGGCGAGCGCGCCTCGATCATCGACGCCGCCTGGCTCGCGCGGGTCATCGGCACGTTCGAGCAGAACAACATCGGTATCAGACGGGGCCACCCCCTCGACGGCAAGGATAAAGATGAGTGGCCGCCGCTCGAGGGCACGGCGCTCTACAGTGCCGCGTGCCGCGCGAACCACGCGTGCGCGCCGAATTGCGACGTTATTTACGAAGACGGCGGGCCGCTGCGCGTTTCGTTGGTTGCGGCGCGGGATATACGCGAGGGCGAGGAGCTGACGATCTCGTACGTCGACTCTGATCAAGACGCCGTCGACCGGCGCGCGGCGACGGCGGACTACGGGTTTTTGTGTGAGTGCCCGCGGTGCGCGGGGGTAGACTAAAACATATTACAGCTCGTCCTCGTGCAGCAACAGATTCGGGATGCCGTTGTTGATCGGGAACCGGCGGCCGCTCTTTGGGCAGACGAGGCAGCCCTCTATTACATGAACGTCGCAGAGCGCCTCGTGCACTTTCCTCAATAAATCCGCGTCGTCCCCATCATACACCTCAGGCAGGTCGATGGCGACGGCCCGCGCCGCGCCGCGCAGCGCGTCGTATTTCACGGTCTCCATGGTCTTGCGCGTCGTCTCGACATCAAACTCCGTCTCCTCGCGTCGATGCTCCGTCACTTCTAAGGCAAGAGGGTAGCCCTCGGCCTCGCTGACCCCTTTCGCATTGGAGACCAGCATGTTGTGCGTGAGGAGGCGCATGGCTGCTCGTACGAATGCCGCAAAGCGAAGGCGACCAGCGATGGTATGCGAAGGCCTGGTGAGGCGCTGCGTTGCTGCAGGTCTGCTGCTGCTGCCCTGCAGGCCAGGGCTGCTCAACCTTGGCTGCTCAACAGGCTTGGCAAGGCTGAAACTAGTGCGTCTATGCACTAGCTGAGAGACAATCAAGGAGGTAGGTCACGTTGAAAATTGTTCGGGGGGGGGTCGCCGAGGCGGTTCTGCTAGGGAGGAGGCATGCTGCTATGAAAGACGCGGCATGCGCCCGCCGCCGATGAATCGCCGTAACAATATTCTCACATCATAGCTATCACATATTACCCGAACGTTCGTTGTCGCAACGTGATTGGCGAGCGACAGGTCGGGCACTCCCCCAAGCGCTCCGCACATTGCTGGCACGTGATCCTGTGGCCACACGGGACGAGGGTCACGTTCGGGGATCGGTCCATGCATATCACGCACGTCTCCTCTTCCGCGCTGCGGAAGCCGCTAAGGGCGGCAAGCTCGCGGCGCACGACCTCGCGCTGCACGCGCTCTGACGCCGCTTCGAGCGTCTGTTTCATCGTGGCGAGGTCGCGCTGCATGGTGTCGAGGTCGGACTGGGCGAGCGCCGAGGGATCGAGATTCGCCAGCCTCACTCGCGCTTGCTCGAGCGGTTCCGGGGGTTCCGAGGCCGCGTCGAGCTGTTCCCGGAGCTGCGCCGGCGTCCGGGGCGCCACCTCGATGGCCGCTAATGCGCGGACACACCCCGAGGCGTGCTCCATCTGGAGCAAGGTCTCGGCCAGCCCCGAAGCGTAAGGCGCCGCCTCGGCGTCCGGCGCCGCGCCGCCCGCGAGCTGCGCAGTCGCCGCGTCCAACGCCAAGATGTCCTCGGCGAAGCGGTCCGCCAGCGTCGCCGGGTCCACACGCGCCCTGCCGGGTCCACGCTCGCCCCCCTCGCGAGGCGGCACCGGGTCCTCGCCCAATTCGCAGAGCAATCGCCACTGGGCCATCCAGCCGCCGCAGACCAACCGTCGTAACGCGTGGATCTCCTTGTCGTAACGCCGGCAAAGCGCACCACTTGTGAATTCATGATACAGCTGGGCGCGGCCGCGTAACGGAGCAGCCGGTGCCGGTGCCGCTGTGGACGGTGCGCGCACAGATCCAGACGAGACGGCCGATGTGGCGCCAAACACAGTTGGTGCCGCAGCAAATAATGCCGCATTAAACGCCGGAGCAGCCGGCGCAGGTGCGGCCGGCGGAGCGACAACGAACATAGGCATGGGGACCACCGCCGCCGGCGGAAGCGCACCAAAGGTAAACGCCGGAGCAGCCGGTGCAGGTGCGGCTGGCGGATTGGGAGGGCATCTAGCCCGTCTGCCGCCGCGCCTACGCGATGCCATCACATTAACAAGATTCCAGAAGCTGCCCTCCGTATGAGGGCACTGTTCGGCCTGATTGCGGGAGAGTGCGGAGATGCCTGCACAGATAAGGTACGATAAGGTACGTGCTCCGGGGGGTCTAGTCCCCCATCCTTCCTTAGCATAGGCACAGCAGCGTGCCCCGCGGCCTGGCTCACTTATAATGCGGGATACGATCTACCGAATCACATTTACTTCCCCGAAGACGAAGAGACGGAGCTACGGTGTAGAGCTAAAGATATACCGAATCACATGTTAGGACTTCCCCGCCGACGATGAAGAAGAGGCGGCCGCCGGCGCCTTTGGCCGCCGCGGGCGCGTCGACTTGGCCTCGTACGTGCCGCGGTACGTCCCCGACGTGTCCAGCGCCGCGTGGAGCGCCGCGTGCGCGAGCGCCGACGGCGTGATGAGGGACAGCGCCGGGTTCGGGTCCCCGTCTCCATCTTTATCGATGGCTTCGAGCTCGGGCCCCGACGCCAGCGGCGGCGCTCTCAGTATGGTAAACCGCCTCCCAGACGAGGAGACGTCCGTCTCGAGCGCGCGCTTCTCGGCGAGCGTTTCCAAACAACCCGTGCGCGCCGCGAGGAACGAGGCCAGGGGCGGCCGGTCCGGCTCGGCGCCGGCGCCCAAAGCGCTCAACAGGACGACGTGGGCGCCTTCGTCGGCCGCGGCCACCAATCTCCGCGCGTCGTCGGCGCTTTTTTTGGTTGCTGCTACGGTAGGCCGCACGATCGTCCCGTCATTTATGGACGGCGCCAGCCGCGGGTGCGCGTCGCCCGCCGGCAGCGCCACCACGGCGGACGCGCCCTCGCACGCGCGCCTCAATTCATTCGGCGTGGCGCAGATGACCGTCTCCAGGGCCGGGTACGCCGTACCGCACATGTCCGTCACCTCGCCCTGGCGCATGGAGCAGCCGCACGTGTTCTGGCGCACGCGCGCCTCCTCGGCCTCGTCGCGGCAGATCGCGACCACATCGCAGTCCTTCACCTTCAGGCTCCGCAATAAGCAGAGGCCCACGCTGCCGCCGCAGGGGCTCACGACGACCCGCGGGCGTTTTGTGGCCGGCGCTAAACTTTGAACGCCAGCCAGCAGCAGGATCAGGAGGAGGGCTGGCCGCATTTTTCTAGGTATACGGCGTGCTTTTGTTGGTAGGAAGCCCGTCGCGGTGGCGCAGGCGCACGCTTGTGGCCTTGCGTTGGTCGGATTAGTAATTCGTGGCCCAGCTACGCGCCTGGAGCATCGAGCACGTGCCGATGATGTGTATCCCAAAGTTCGGGTCTTGGTTGCTTTTTGCGGACGTGAGCTCGATTACACGAAGGATAGGGCGCCGGAGCCTTTCAAAACCGCTGCTGGATCCCTATCAAAGGCAGCTCCAGTGGGAGTGGCCTCTCTGATACGGTGAGAGATGATCTTGAGGCCAGCAGCGCTCCTGTGGACCCTGGCCGCCGCCGCGGCGCTGCGCCCGGCGGCGCGGACGCGCCCGAAAACAAGCTTGCAGGCCTCGTCGAACCCCGCGGCGGACGAGCTCTGGGTCCCGACGACGGCCGAGGACATCCTGTGGACGCCGTCGAGCCGCGACAGTAGCCGCGACGACGCCTTCGGCCCGCTGAGCGATCCTCTGTTAGATGGCCGCGCGAAGTACTGCGAGTCGCTCGAAGCCGTCCTACGAAGGCCGACGAGAACCGTGACGGCGGGCCCAGTGAAGTTCGGGAGCGAGCACCCGATCGTGCGCCAGACGATGGGGACCACATCCACGAGAGATGTAAGAGGCACGATCGAGCAGGTCATGCGCTGCGCTGATGTTGGGTTTGATATGGTCCGCATCACCGTCGTAGGCATGAAGGAGGCCCAGGCGTGCCACGACATCCGCGAAGGGTTGTTCAAGAAGGGGTACGACATCCCGCTCTGCGCGGACATGCACTTCCAGCCCGCCGTGGCCATCAAGACGGCGGAGGCCGTCGAGAAGATCCGAATCAACCCCGGGAATTTTGCCGATGGAAGGAAGCAGGACGAGGACGACGTGTCCTTCGACTCCGAAGCGGATTTTCTCAAGCCGCGCGATTCGATTGTGGAAGCGTTTGCGCCGTTGGTATTGAAGTGCAAGGAGCTGAATCGGGCGATGCGCATCGGCACGAACCATGGGAGCTTGGCGGCTCGTATATTATCCTTCTATGGCGATTCACCTAGGGGCATGGTCGAGTCGGCTTTGGAGTTCGCGGACGTGTGCCGGGCGTTAGACTACCACAACTTCGTGTTTAGCATGAAGGCGTCGAATCCGGTGGTGATGATCCAAGGGTACCGGTTGCTCGCGGCGGAGATGTATCGGCTGGGCTGGGACTACCCGTTGCATCTTGGTGTTACCGAAGCGGGAGAAGGTGAAGATGGCCGCATGAAGTCGGCGATCGGGATTGGGACGTTGCTGGGAGACGGCCTCGGGGATACGATCCGCGTGTCGCTGACGGAGGATCCCGAATATGAATATGGACCCTGCAATAGATTGGCGGAGCTGGCGGGCGAGCAGTTGGAAGCGAAGGCCCGGGAGGAGCAGGCGGCGGTGCCGAAGTTCATGGATAGCCGGGACGTCACTACTTTTGATCGAAGGAGAGGTTCGTTACCAGAACAGCGCGACGACGACGTTTATGATTATCGCGGGTTATTGCATCGGGACGGCTCGGCCTACGGTGCTGTTTCTTTAGCGGAACTCCAGGGCTGCGCCGCTTTAGGTGGGTTGGGCGACGCGGCGCTGTTCCGCGCGCTGGGCGCTTTGGTGGACGAGCTGCCGCCGGGGCCCGACGGCGTCCCGAAGTTGTTGCCGCGGCGGGACGTCGCCACCGTCGACGCCATCTTGCTGCGGGAGGCGCCCTCTGCAGACGACGCCGACACGCTCTACTTGATCAAACGGCTGCAGGACGCGGGCGTGCACTTTCTGATGGACGAGGCCGTTTTAAAAGATGCGCCGGAGCCCCTGCAGAGCGGCGGCGTGCCGATCGTGCGCTGCGATGCTCTGAAAACGCACGCGCCGGCGCCCTCGAAGCGGTTAGTCGTAAAATGCGACGGGAGCGAGTCCGACGAGATGCTCGCCGAATTGATGGAGACGCCCAACATCGACGTGGTGTTATTGGATGTGAAGGAGGGGCTGTCGCGGCTGCACGCTTCTAGAAGGCTCTTCGCTTTGCTGAGGCGGGAAGCGTCCGAACTAAGCGTCGTGCACCATTTGCGCGTCCCGCAAGGCACGAAGAAGGACGAGCTCGCCCTGTCGTTGGGCATGCGCGCCGGCGCTTTACTAGGGGACGGCTTGGGAGACGGGTTACTGGTCGAGCCGGACGACCACAGCGACTTTGATTTGAACTACCTGCGGGAGACGTCCTTCGCGCTGCTGCAGGGGTCGCGCATGCGCAACACCAAAACCGAATTCGTGTCGTGTCCTTCCTGCGGCCGGACGCTCTTCGATCTCCAGGAAGTCACGGCGCAAATTTCCGAGAAGACGGGGCACCTGCCGGGCGTGGCCATCGCGATCATGGGCTGCATCGTCAACGGCCCGGGCGAGATGGCCGACGCCGACTTCGGCTACGTCGGCGGCGCGCCGGGCAAGGTCGACCTGTACGTGGGCAAGGAGGTCGTCCAGAAGGCGATCCCGAACGAGGAGGCCTGCGACGCGCTCGTCGAGCTCATCAAGGAGCATGGCATGTGGGTGGACAAGCCCGCGGTCGACGAGGACGCGCCCGTCGAGGCGGAGCTCGCGGCGGCGTGAGGGGTCCCTCCATAAAAACTATTATATACGATGCCGTCGACCTCGGCCGAGCTCGCGGCCGCGTGAGGGGTCCCTCCATAAATACTATTATATACGATCGATGCGGGGCGAGATTCGGGGAGGTACGGCCAGCTAGATGACCTCGCTCAGTTGTGGTTTTGACGACCCCTGCAGGTCGAAGCGCGCGTCGCCGCGGCGCCAGAACATGAGGCGGAAGCCCTGTTCCGTTCGGCGCGCGCCGAGCACGAATCCAATCGCCCCGCCGAGACACGCCGAAAAGAGCGAGAAGAAGAAGAGCATGCCCGTGTTGCCGGCGTGGTCGCCGTCGGCCTTGCGCTCGGACGTCGACCCCATGCCGCCGTAGCCGCCGTGCATGCCGCCGCCGTGCATGCCGCCGTGCGGGCCCGCGTACGCGCCCGCGTGCGTGTGGCAGCTGCCGCCGTGGCAGTGCACGGCGTTGGCGAAAGTCGTGGTGGCGTAGTGGTTGACGACGTCGTAGCTCTCTCCGCTCTCCGTCGTGCCCGGCTTTTCTTCGGCGTGGTGCACGAGGGCGTAGGTCTGGGCGTCCGCGGGCGCTCTCACGACGACCACGCCGTCTTCGGCGATCGAATCCCGCAACTTCGCGCCCGTGTGGTCGTACGTCGACACCGTCACGTCGAACGTCGCCCTCTGGCCCTTCCAGCGCACGACGGCCACGACGCACGTGTCTCCGCTCTCGTGCGTCGCCGCGTCCGGCTCGCACTCGTTATTCGGATTGCTCACGTCGACGGACGGGGCCACCGTGGCCCACGCGGCGCCTTGCGGATCCCGCAGCGTAACTTCGAAGTCGTTCGTGAACGCCTCTTCTACCAGACTCCACTGATCCAAGCTAGCATCGCTACCAGGATGAACGGCCGTCGCCCAGTACCTGTGTGGAAATCAACAAGTGCGTCGGGTGCATAAGTAATTTCTCGGCGATGACGTGGCCGCGCTGGCTCCGCCGAGCGATGAGGAACCGACATCGCCACGCCATCGAGCAGGTGTCGCGTCGATAGCGTGGAGGTCGACGCGGCGATTCAGGACGAACCGCGCCGTAAATTTGATTTCCACACAGCCCAGTACTGTAATAAATCCATCTCGCCCGTGCCGCCCTCGTCCGTGCCGACGGCGTAGAGCCCGTACGTCGCCTGGGCCTCGACGGCCATCGACCCCTGGGCTGGTAAAGGTGCATAAACCTCGGCCGCGCAGTGGTAGCCGTCGCCGGCGCCGCGCGTCATGAAGTGGAGGTCCGCCGTCGTCCCGTCCATCGTGTGGACCTGGCCCCGGGTCATGTTGTACAGCTTGCCCAGCAGGTGCGGGTCCGTGAGGCGCCCGGGCTCGTTGAACTCGGCGACCGCCTCGCCGTGGCCGTTGGCCGAGAGCCAGACGAAGTGCGCATTCGTGGATGTGGCGAGGGCGAGGAGTGTAGTGAGGGGGCGGGCCATTTTTGCGTGTTTCTACGGTTCTGGCGCGTCGTCGGGGCGTTCCAGGTCCCGGTCTGGGCTAGGGTCCTGTGGTGGGTGCTGTGCCTCAAACGGGGCCGCTTTTCGGCTTTCGGGCTGCCCCCTGGTACTTTTTGTCCTCACTGAGACTGTGATTGAGTATGCGGGACGGCGAGCGGCTCGGTACGGCACGGCAATGCGGCAGCACGTGCGAGAAGGCACCGGGCTGCTAGCGTGCGGGGCGCGATGAATTGATCCGGTCGGAGGCACTTCCGAGGCGGTTGTGCTCCGACGGAAGTATGCTCCACGCAGGGCTTCCGCACGGGTTTCCCGACCCCCCATCGTTGCAGACTGGCATTGCAGCTCGTATGACAGTGGCCGCTCGGCATTGCATAACTCTAAGCTGCAAAAAAGCCACGGACGTCCGAGCTGCGCAGCCGTCGCGAGGGAGAGCAAGTATGCGCTCTCTCGCACTGCTCGCATGCGTGCTCGGATCCGCAGCGTTGGACGCCTGCATCAACCCCTGCCCGCGGCGGCAGCTGATGACCTACGTCGCGCACACGCAGGGCGGACTCACGAAGGGCGTGGACGTGGCCGCGCGCGTCGACGCAGACGACGACTGGCGGGTGGTAGGCAAAGTCGCGGCCGCGGACGCGACGAAACTTAGTAGAGCGGCCGCGCTCCAGCACCGGCTTATCGAGGAGCACGCGCGGCGGTTGCATAAGGTGCTCCGGACGGGCCCCGGCGGGCCGCCCCTCGAGCTCGGGATCGGCGACCCCATCACCGCGGTCCCCACGCCGCAAAAGCGAGACTTCGTGGAGGCGGCCGCCATGACCGAGGCCGGCTTCGCGGGCACGCCCAAGAACGAGAAGGGCTCCGACGTGTACGCGAACTTCAGGGCGCCCTACGACGCGCCGTACGACCGCGGCGCGGTGCGGGCGGAGATCGACGCCATCGTACGCGAGGCGCCGCTCGTCTTGTTCGGCTGGTCGACGTGCTGGTTCTGCACGGACGCCGAGCGCCAGCTGAAAGACGCGAACCTACCTTATCGAAGCGTGTACATGGATTTGTGGAAGCCGGGCGGGCCCTACCACGACCATGCCGTCGGAGACGACGGGTCGCTCGCCGCGAAGCGCGCGAAGAACATCCGGAAGGCCACAAACCCGCTCCAGGCAGAACTCTCTCTATTGGCTGGCCGGTGCACGGTGCCGGTGGTCGTCGTGCGCGGGAAGGTGCTCGACGGCGACGAGCAGCACGGGAGCGTCGTCGAGGCGATTGCGTCGGGCGAGCTGGCGCGGGCCGTCTCCGATTCTTCGCCGTGGGCGCCGGCCTGGCCCGCATCGCCGCCGCCGCCGCTAAAGGTCATGAAGCGATGTCGCGTCTGTCGGGGACGCTATTCTGATGATGAAAACCACGCCGCGGCGTGCCGCCACCACCCCGGCGCCTTGCGGGGCGAGAGCGCGCGCAAGGGCGACTGGGAGGCGACGCCCTCCGACGACGACCTCGTCTGGACCTACTCGTGCTGCGGGGGCGCCGCCGACGCGCCGGGCTGCGTCGCCGACCGGCACCGGTCCTATGATGACGACTAATACTGTTTACTGTACTAGTAGAAGCGCGGGATCGCAGGCTTGGCGGAGACCCGCCGTCGGGGCGGCGCCCGGGGCATGTTCTGCGTGGCGAGGGGCTTCGCGCGCCGCCGCCCCCCGAACCGCTCGTGCAGCGGCGGCAGGTCCTCGCCCGCGTCGAGCGACTCGAGCACCGCGCGCGCGCCGGCCGACACGCGGCCCCGCGACCGGCCCGCGGCCACGTCCGACACGCGCTTGCCCTCGAGGTCCTCGAGCCGCGCCGCGAGCGCGTCGATCGTCGACCGGAAGAGCTTCTCCATCTCGGCGACGGCGTCCCTTGAGACATAATCGGTCTCGAGCTGCTCCTGGCGCGACACCTCGAGGGTCTCGACGCGTTTCAGTAAAGCGTCGGCGGCTTTATCGGCCTCCTGGGCCTTCGCCTCGCCCTCGCCCTTCGCGGCCGCGACTTCCTCGATCAATTCCGAGACGCGCGCCGCGTGCCGCGCCTCCGTCTCGCGGAACTCGGCCTTGACCCGTCTCAGTTCCTTCAGGGATGCTAGATGGCCCTCCCGCTCGCCCGTTAATGCTGCCTCGGCCGCGTCGCACTCTCGGGCGGACACTTCGGCCGCGTCGCGATACGCCTTGATCTTCGCATCAGCTCTTGACTGGGCCGTCCTGAGTTCCGCCGCGTGCCGGCGCTCCGCCTCCTCGGTGTCGTCGTTGAATTTCGCGTGGAGCTGCTCGATGACGTCCACTTGATCGCCCTCTACCACAGGTCGTTGTTGCCGCTGCAGCGCATGTTTCAGGGCGTCGTTCTCCCGTTCTAACTCCAAGATTCTTTGTTGTGTCGCCTCCTCCTTGTCCTTCAGTGATTCCACTTCGTCCAAGGCCTTTCTTTCCCTCGTTCTATAGTCGTCGATCGAGTCCTTGACCTCCTCGTACAACGACTGGTAGTCGACGGCGACGTCGCGCGGCGCCGCCCGGACCACGACCTTGCGCGCGCGCGCCGCGAACTCTAGCGTCGATTTCGTCTCGCCCGTCGCGTCGCCGCCGGGCGCGCAACACGCGATGAGCGCCGTGCGCGCCGTGCCACCCAACGAGGCCTGGAGCAACCGCGTTAATTTCGAGTCGCGATACGGCACGTGGGGCCGCCGCTCGGCCAGCGCACTCACGCAGTTGCCCAATGCGCTCAACCCTAAATTGATGGCGCGCGACTCCTCTAATCGTTTATAGCGCCCGGCGCAGGCGGCGTGGCGCTCGCTGCCAGCTAAATCGACCAGTGTTAATGTTGATCGTTGTAAAGAGTCCTTTGTTTTTCTTTCCACGTGCAACAGGGCCACGGCGTGGCTTCTGCTGGAAAACTCGTTCATGAGTGTAGAAGCCGTCGCGCGCTTCGAGTCGCCCGCCGCTAATAAATCAAGAGCTTGTCGCGGCGTCGTTACCGGGACCCTCGTAGCGTTTCTGACATAAACACCGCCGCCGTCGTGCGCCGGCCGGTCCCTGATGCTCAATTCGTCGGTGTCGTTGCCGAGTAAATCCGACAAACGCTCGCAATAAATCTGCACGTAGCTCAAAGAAAACGTCAGCGTCGCGTCGCTCTGTTTTTGCAATTCGAAGAGCTGCAACAACGCTCGCGGTGTGATGCCCGCTTCCGAAACCGAGATGCCGCCGCGCATCGTGTGCGTCTTACCGGAACCGGTCTGGCCATACGCTAAAATAGTGCCGTTGTACCCAGAACCGACGGCGTCGACGATACTCCGCGCCGTCGCCTCGTAGACTTCGGCTTGCGTACCGTCCCCATCAAAACCGCCGTCGACCTCATAGCACCGCTGCTGGTCGTTCGCCGTGTAGCAGATCGACGTCTCCGTCACGTCCAGGCAGTCGTCGTCCACATCAATGCCGCCGCCGAGGAAAGTCGGTGGCGGCGGCGGGTTGGTGCTTTGGGGGACGGGCTCGTCGGGGAGCGCGGGCCGCTGGCGCACGAAGGTGCGGATCTTCTCCTCGACCACGTCATTTCGGTCCATGGTCCGTTGCTTCCGCGGGGCAGCCCGGATCGGGTCGGCAGGCAGCTAAAACTGCCAGGCTGCCTGCTGAAATCTAGTATGTTAATACTGGCACAGAGGCCCCACGATCAATCTAAAGAACGGGGATGTTTGCGGAAATCGCCAGGGGGCGGCCCCTTATCCGATCAACGGGGGCGCGGGGGAGCAGGTCCGCCAGTCGGGCGCGGAGACGTCGGCCGCGGCTACCCGGCGCGTAGAGACGAACGGGCACCCCTGGTCGACGGCCGCGTAGAGGCTCCGCTCGCAGCCGAGGACGTCGTCTCTGCCCCATGCCGCGACGCCGTTCAAATACCCCCCCCAGAGGAACGCGCCGGCCGCGGTCGACCACCAGCAGTCCCGGTTTGCGTGCATGCCGATGAGCCAGGTCCAGTACCAGTGGTGCACGTGGAACGATGAATTTCGGCAGACCGGCAGCACGAAAATCATCGCCGTCGCCGCGACCTCGACGCAGCGACCGAGCAGGACCCCGTCGCGGTAGAACGCGACCGCGTGCAGGACGACGAACGCGACGACGACGCCGACGATGAGGAGGGCCGCCGCGACGAGGGACGGGGGCCAGAGGCACTTTATCGAAAAGAGGGAGATCGAGTAGTGCCAGCGCCCGCCGACGGCCGAGAATATATATATACCCGCGAGCGCTGGTACGAGGACGGACGCGCGGTCGGCGCCCGCCCGCGCCCACCAGCGGCCCACGACGAAGTAGCACAGCGCGTCGAGCGCGACGGCGGCCAGGTCGAAGGTGTGGAGGTCTTTTACCGTCAAGTCGGCGTCCCGCTCCCATGCGACGTCGTCGCCGTGGGCGCGGACGAAATAGAACGCGCCGAGGAGCAGGGCGTAGGACAGGCCCAGGAACTTCGCGAGGCGGCCGCGCGGACCCCCCGCGTCCGGGAGCAGCGGCGTCGCGAGCCTCGACGCGAGGCGCGCCCACGGCGACGGCGCGCGGGGCTCGTCGCTCGCGGCCGCGTCGGCGCTTTCGAGGAGGCTCGCGGCGTCGTCCTTGCCGGCGCGCGTCGGGAGCTCGATCATTGCGCGATTGCCTGAGGTGAAACCGGTCGCGCGACCGGCGTACGGGCTATGCTATGGACAAAAAAAATTCATGGTTTAGTTTTTCCGCACTTGAATCACGCGAGAATGATTCGGGAGAGGATGATACGCCCCCGAGAGCCGCGCCTCGGGCCTGCAGGTGCGTGGGCTTGCTCCTCCTTGCCTCGGGAGCTGAAATTTGGCTTCTCTTTCACTTTTTTTATTTTTCCTATAGGAGCCTAGGGGCCGGCGGAAATCAAATTCGGGCGCCCCACGCCATCGACGCGACGTTGTCTCCGTAGCCAAATCCGCTCGATGGCGTGGAGCTTAGGCCATCGACGCGACGACGGTGTCCTCGGGACCGCGCCGGCTCGATGGCGTGGACGTGCACAGGGCCTACCTCACGGTACCTTTACGCCCCCCGCCCTAGCCGTTCAGCACCTCGTCGACGTAGCCCTTCGCCTCGAGCTCCAAGGCTAGTTCCGGCCCGCCCGTCTTCACAATCCTACCATCTCTCATGATGTGGACGAAGTCCGGCTTGACGTAATCTAACAAACGCTGGTAGTGCGTGATGACGACGAACGCGTTGTCGTCCCGTTTGAGGCGATTGATGCCTTCGCTGATGGTTCTGAGAGCATCGATGTCCAACCCCGAATCGGTCTCATCTAGTATAGCTAATTTCGGCTCGAGCATGGCCATCTGCAATATTTCGTTCCTCTTCTTCTCGCCGCCACTGAACCCCTCGTTGACGTTCCGCTGGAGAAAGTCGGGATTCATCTCCACGATCTTGCACTTCTCCATGGCCACGCCCAAGAATTCCAACGGATCCAGCTCAGCTTCGCCGTTCGCTTTTCTTTTGGCATTGAGCATCAACCTTAAAAAATCGGTGTTACCGACGCCCGGTAATTCCACGGGATACTGGAAGGCCAGAAAAACGCCCTTCTGGGCCGCGTCCTGGGCCTCGAGTTCGAGCAAGTCCTCGCCCTCTAACGTAGCTATTCCGTTTGTGGCCTCGTAAGCAGGATGCCTGGCCAGCACTTTCGACAAAGTCGATTTGCCGGAGCCGTTCGGGCCCATGATGGCGTGGACCTCGCCGGGCCGCACCTCCAAGTCCAGACCCTTCAAAATGGCTTTATCGTTTTCGACCACTTTAGCTTCAATGTCTTTACACAACAGCAAGGGCTCGACGTCTTTTGAGGCGACGGCTTGTAAACGAGTGCGTGGCCTCGTTTTTAGTGATGGCCTTAATGCGGCCGCGATCGTGACGTAGCACAGGGCGAGGGCCGTATGCCTCGCGCGCCGCGGCATGGTGATCGCCCTGATGACGCTGTGCTGCTACAACCTTGGTGGATGGGTGCCTGAGCACCTCGCGAGTGCTGGCTGCGCGACGCAGGGCGACGGCGTAATGGCGCACGGATGCTAACAATATGATAGCTCAGCAGCGCACAAACAAGCAACTGAGAGAGCACCAAGTCTTGCAAAGTTGCAAGCCATCGACGGAACCCGTACGCAAGACGGCGGCTCCTCTTTGATAGTTTAGGATTCTTGTGGCCCGTTGTATCTCCCCGAGGCCGTAGCAGACGGCAGGAGCGATTCGTCAAAACTCAGTTTTCAATGTGTGCTGGCTAGCTTATCCAAGCTCTGGGCGGCACGCGCGTGCATCAATACGTGCCACCACGACATACAACTGCTCTCAAGACACCGCGTTTTCGACCAGCGACGCCGCGCTGGCAAAAAAACTACGCAGCTAGCAGTAATCATGGCTCGGCGCTGCTTGCTCTCCTTCGCACTGCTGCAAACGGCCGCCGCGCTGGCCCCGGTCGTGCCCAGGCACCGATCCCTGACGCGGCCGACGCGGCTGCGCGGCATGTTCGACTTCATTGCGGACGCTTTTAAAAACGAGCAGTTCGACGACCGCCGCGCGACGGCGCGCCACATCCTCGTCAAGACGCTCGACGAGTGCGATAGCGTCATGGGCGAGATCGCCCAGGGGATGCCCTTCGCCGACGCCGCGGCGAAGTTCTCGACCTGCCCGAGCGCCAAGAGCGGCGGGTCGCTCGGGTCCTTCGAGCCCGGGAAGATGGTCCGGGAGTTCGACGAGGTCTGCTTTGATCCGGACGTGCCGGTCGGCGAGGTGACGGGCCCCGTGCGCACGCAGTTCGGCTACCACCTCATCCTGGTCGAGGACCGGTTCCAGAACATGGACCGGACCGAGGGGTCGGGCGTCTTCTAAAGATAAATACTTAGATGGCCGCGAGCTTTTCTTGAGACGCCTCCGCGACAACAGGCGTCCGCACGAGCTCCGCGAGGCGCGCCTCGAGGGCCGGCAGCCGCCGCTTGGCGAACTCGTAGGTCGCGAACTGGATCGCGATCATCGGCACGACGCTTAAAAGGCGCGGCGGCAGGCCCCGATAAAAGCAGAAGGCGCCCTCCTCGCGGAGCATCGTCCGGATCGCGTCCGCCACGTTGCGGTAGGCCACGCCGCCCAAATTGCCCGTCGTCATGCGGACCTTCACCGTGTCCAACGGAATCATGAGGCAGACCGAGGCACTGGCAGCACAAGCGCCCACCAAGACGTCCGCGCGCGCGCCGAGCTTCTTCCCCTTCCGCGAGAGGGACCGCCGCAACCCTTGGTAGGCCGCCCAGTTCACGGCATAAGCTGGCACTTTCGCGCAGAGCGCCGCAGTCCAGGCCGTCCGCGGGTACAGGCCCCGCCAGCCGACGGCCCGTAAGGCTTCCACGAGGTTCTGGTGCGCGCCGCCCATGATCCTGTCATTTAAGATGGACTGCGGCAGCGACACGACCGTCGCGACGGCCGTGCCCGCGGCCGCCGTCGTCGCGTCGATCAGCGCGCCGCCGCGCGGCGCCACCGAACAAATGAACCGCCGCGTGCCCTCCATCACGCAAAAGTTGATGGCGCCGTTCGGCATGGACAATAAGGCTTGCGCGCCGAGGCCCCGGCTCAGGTGCCGCCACGTCGCCATGGAAAACAGCCCGCCGCTCGTCATCGCTCTTAAAGCTGCCGGCCCGTTCGCCGTCTGGAGGGTGGTTTTGGCCACGTTGAGCGGGTGCACGCAGGACTGGGCGACGGCCCGCGCGAAGGCGCCCGCGAGCGCGTGCTGCCGCAGCGACAGCCGCGGCGGCGGCGGCGGGCCGCCGCCGGTGCGTGTGAGGGCGCCGGCGCGCGGTGGCCGACCGCGCGCCCGGAGCGGCGTGGCGCGGCCGTCGCAGGCCGGCGCGAGGAGCATGAGTACGGCGATCATGGTGCCGCGCGCTGCCATTGTGGTGTGTGCAGCGCGCTGCCTGCAACTGCAGCGTTGCAGCGCTCTGGCGAGACGTCGTCTTTTTACCGTTGTTGCTGCGGTGTGTGCGCCACAGAGCTCTAGCGAGGCGTGTTCCTTCAACAATGCTTGCAACTAATACTTGAGCAGCGCTGTCGCGCGTTTCTCGCTCGTTTGCGCAGTGCGTTCACGCTAGTGGCCGTAAAGACACTAGGGACTTCAATCTGCGCTTCTCTGGCATCCATCCGCGCATTTCTCTGGCATCCATCCGCGAAGACGGGGTGCAGTTCAAAGACGACGACGCTGGCGTGGAAGGGGACACCTCTTACAAGGCGGGGGAACGGGGAGAAGGGGACACGCGTCACGACGACCTAGAACTGGAACTGCGGTGGGGGAATCGCGCTGTCTTTCTGATTCGCGGTGTACGATGGCGCGGCGACCGCGTGGCCCGCCGTGCCGTCGAACCGGACGAGCGATGGCGCGTCGACGCGCGCGGGGTCGCGAAGGGGGGGGGGGGGGAATTTTACTTACCCGGTAGTACTCGTACGGGACCTGGGTCTTCGACGACGTGAGGCTGTTGACCTTGAGCCAGACGCGCTCGCCGGGTTGATAGTCGTGCGGCGCAATCCCCGGTAAGAGGAAGGCCTGCCCCGCGGCGGCGAGGGCCACAGCTTTGACCAGAGGCGAAACCATTTTGTTTTCGCCCGCGCGACGCGCTTGGGCCTCCGCGGCAATTCACTGAGGGGCGCGGTCGGTCTCGCCCGTGTAACCTCTAGACCTAATACCTTCGTGCCGAGGTCGCGGGCCGATGCCAAAATGACTTGCTTGCTAGTGTCTTACATGCTAGCCTAAGACTCGATTTCTTCCCCGCAGGCGTTGCCTTGGCCGCTTCGAGGCTTAGTTCACCCAGGCCCACTCCGGAGAGCGGTCCTTGTAACTGTGGAACGACGATACCATCATCGACAACGCGCGGCGGCGAGGCTCCGCCCACGACTCCTAGCACCGCAACACCCCTCGCCAATGGAACCTAGGGTTAGACAAAAACACTTATCACACCACATCCTCCTCGACCGGCTCATCCAACGCCACGTCCTCGAACGACGCGTCCTCTTCTGCGGGCGGCGGCGCCGGCGCCTCGTGGATCGGGTTCGTCATCATCCTAGGTAGCGGCGACATGACCACGCCGGGCGTGTCCGGCGGCGCGCGCTCCCAGCCGTTCCTTCTTCGACGAGAGACGTCGTCGCGCAGCCTCCGCATCAACTCGAACAATCTAGAGCGCATGTCCCTCAGCCGATCCCGCAGCGTCGCCAGGACGTACTCCCTCTCACTAATCGTATCCTGCACCAAACCAAGCGTCACGGCCCACGACGCACATCCCAACACGACGATCAGAGACGCGCCGATGCCCGGCTTTTCGAGGGCGTAATCACCTAACCCCACCGTGCTGACGGACACGAAGGCGAAGTAGACGCACTCCCAGCCCGACCAGGACGGCTGATTCGTTCCCGCGTAAATAGCAAAGCCGCAAATGTATAAGATAGGAAATAACGCCAGAGCGAACAGTCCTAAGGTCGCCGCCCGCGTCGCTCGCTCCGTGCGATCCTGTAAAGCCCGTCGATTCAGTGTGACAAGCAACTTCCGCGCGCAGTTGCCCAGCGAGATGATGAACATCGCTACCAGTACTATACCGGGTACACATAAAGCGACGACCAGGATCTGCCCCAGGGGAGTTGCTGGCGTCACGGGTGCCCCATACCCGATCGTCGTGAACAGCGAGACCACAAAATGGAACGCGGCCGTGAGTTGCCAGCCGCACTTGTCGAGCCCGGACGCGCACGTCGCCGCGGCCTCCGCTTCCGTCAATTGCAAGACATGTTTGACACTTTGTACGGCCTGGCAGCCGCCGCAGCGCCAGTCCCGCGGGGCGAGCTCCGCCCGCGACTGCGCTTTATTGGATATAGAATCCTCCTTGCTCTCAAAACTCCCGAAGAACCAGTCGGCCACGTCCGTGCTATTCTTGGCGAAGGGCTGCCGTCTCCAGCTCCGCACTGCTTCTTTTCTCCACCTGGCCATCGTGCGCACCTCATGAGGTAGTTCTACCGAAGCGACAAATAGAGCTCCGGCGGCCATCAAAGCGAAGGCTAATAACAAATATTGCAAACCGGCGGCGTCGCAGGCCCGCAGGAAACTGCGAACACGTCCTGCTCGGCCTGTGGAGGACGGCCGCGACACGACGCGGCCCGCGACGCGCGTCACGAGGTTGCCCCGCCGTGCTTTCAGCTTGGACTGGGCGCCGCGCACCGCCGCGCGCACCTTCTTCAGCGTCGCCGCGTCGTACTCGTCGCTCATGGCGCGGTCGAGCGCCTCGCCGTCGACGTCGGGGAGCTGCAGCAGGGCCTCGACCCAGCGCCTCCTTGTCTGTGCGTCCATGTCCAGTAAGCTCGGGCCGTCGCTCTCATTGATGGCGTCCTTGGCCTCCTCGCCGCTGTCCGCGCCATGGGTGCCAGTTTCAGGCCTGGGTGCTGAGTCCTCGAGGTGCTCGCCATCGCTGGCGTTTCCGGCGGTTTCGGGCATGGGTGCGGAGTGGCTGCAAGTCGCGTAGGCCTGCTCTCGTCCCGCACTCCCAGCGCTTAAGTTTTGGGAAATTGAGCTGACAAAACCCGTACCAAACGCGAGGCTACGCAGCTTGGCGTACGCGTCGAAATCGGGGCACGAACGATATGATGACCCATGAAGAACACCCTCGGAGGCTCGGTTGTAAACCCGCACAATCAGCCACGTCAAATTACAGGGCGACGGGACGGCCATAGCACGGCCCGCTCGAGCCGTTGCAGGCAGCAAGGGATTCAGCGCGACACCCTGAAGACCTGAGCTTGTGACTGCAGCGATCCCGCATTGCCGCGGAGACCGTGCGCTCTCGCAAACCTAGGGAGAGCAACCCACCGGAAACACTTCCTAGCAGCGCCACAGACCAGCGCTGCTAGGATGCAATGATCGACACCAGTTCAGGGTCGACGACCGCGGCCGTCGGCTTTACGGCATTGGCCGTGATGGGCGCGTATTTATGTAGGCACCGGCTCTTCTGCCCCGAGCCGCCGCGATCGATTGTTGAAGAGGACGACGACAACGAGGAGCGCACGCCCATGGTGACGACGCCCGTGGAGCCCAGACCGCCTCCATCTAGACGGCTGCGTTTTGGGGATCCTATTCAAAGAGAGTCGCCCATACCGAGGCTGTGCGACACGCCGCGCTGGGAGCGGGAACGAGTCTACTGGCAGGCCCACGAGTATGCGCAAATTCGCGACAACCAGCGGCGGTTGATCGAGACGGTGCTGCGGTCGGCGCGGCAGTGCGGCGAAGGCGAACTCCCGCCACCCATTCCCGGGGAGAGTAGGCGAGGTCTGGGCCTGATCTGCGAGCCGGGGACGAATTCTGGGAGGGCGGCGCGCGTACGAAGTGCGAGACGAGCTGTGGTGGAAGCGCAACGGGACGGCTACTCGCCCGCCCAACTCGCGGACTTAGCGGAAGAACTGGGCGCCTGGGCCACGAACAACGCGCGGGAAATGGGCCTCAAGGACGCCGAGGCCGTCGGCGACTTCGACTTCCGGAGTTTTAGCAGAGAGATCCAGTCCCAAGGTGACATTGACAGTCCGCCGTCGACGCCCGAGACGACGACACCAATCGCGCTGAAGCGTAGAATTTCTCTACCCAAGGAGCCCGCGGCGTCGTCGCCGCAGTCTCCGTCCGTCATCGCGCACGCCCAGCGACATCATGAAGACAAAAACACGCCGGTCGCCCACGCGCGGCGGTCGTCCGACGGGTCCCAGCAGCCGGCCGAGGATGATGAGCACGCCGACGGGCTGGGGCTGGCGTCGATGATCCGGAACGACTCGCTGACGAATCTCGTGGAGTACGGCACCGAGGAGGCGCCTGCCACAACTCAGGAGGCGCCGGACGGCGCGGGCCTCGCGTCGATGATCCGGAACGACTCGCTCGGGGACCTGTCGGCCATGGACATCGCTAACACGTCAGAAAACTAGAGTTACACGTGGGCGGGGGGCGCCAGGCCTTGTACGATGTTACACGTGGGGGGGAGACACCGCGCGTCGCCGATTCATCGGCGGCGGGAGCGTGCCGCTTCGTCAGGCCTTCTGGAGGAAGCGCCGCTTCGACCGCTCGTGGCGCAGCTGGCCGATCTTCGCCCTCGTCAGGGGCGCTGTTGGAGAGGGCTCCTCCGTGACCCACTCCTCGTCCTCGCCCATGGTCCGATAAATCCGGCACCGCCGCGGCCGCGCTAATGCACAATCTAACTGGATGATCGCCTTCGGGAAGCCCTCGGCGTCATCAATGTCGTCGCCGCCCGTGCCCGCCTGGTCCGCGAGGTCGCCGATCTGCCTAAATAGATTGTGCACGTCCAACGAACTCAGGTCGTCAAAAGACGGCCCGAGCGCCCAGCGGCACAGGCGCACGAATTCGATCTCTTGCAGGCCCGGGGCGTCGTCGTCGAACTTGAGGAACGCGGCTTTCAGCCAGGCCTCGTGCTTGGTGGTGGCGCGCGCGTGGTGATCCAAGAGGAGCCACAAAACCTTGTCTAGATCAACACCTTTCACTCCAGTCTCCGGTAAGTCATCTACATCACTCAACAAGTCCTGCATCTCCCTCGGGGACAAATGCTGCAGTAGTACGGGGTTGCGCCACGTCTCCGGTAATTCCCGGACGCACGTCGTATCCAATAGCCCCTTGCTTCCAATAATCGCGTGGACGATTTTTGTTTTGGGGATCAGATACGCGCCTTCGGGATACGACCCGAGCGCGACGTTGATGCTATCCAACCCGCCCTCCCGGTCTCGGTGCAACGCGCCCAACAACGCCGTCAGACAGTGCGCGAGGTGGGGGCTGTAGTGCGCCTCGACGCCGTCGACCTCGTACGACACGAGCCCGACCGCGATCGCGAACAGGCGCACGCGGCCCGACTTCCCCACCAACTGCGCCGCCCGTCTGAATAATCCCGTGGCCTTCTCCCTTGCTAGCTTCTTCAGCCCGAGCTTGCCCCGGAAGTACGTCCTTACAAATTGTTCGAGAGACGCCGGCTCGACGCCGTCCTTGCGCGTCACCTCGTCACTCATCGTCTTCTTCTCGAGGACGTCATAAATCGTCTCGAGCAACGCGTCGAGCGACAGGCCGGCGGGCTTGGCCTTCTTCTTGAACTGGTAGCGGTTCTTGCGGCGGCGCCGCGGCGCCGGCGGCGTCACGACTCGGGGGGGCTTCATCGGTTCGGCCTCCCGTTCGTCGACCTCCTCGATGACGTCCTCCTCCTCGGGCTCGGGCTCGACCTCGGGCTCCTCCTCCTGGCGCGCGGCCGCGGCCTCGGCCGCAGCCACCTCGACGGGCGTCAGGCGCCGCACCATGAAGGTCGTGCGCTTCCGGCGCGGCGGCGGCGGCGGCGCCGGCGGCGCTTCCGTTTGCACGGCCTTGTCTCTACTCAATTCCGCCCGCCGGGCCGCGTGCGCGGCGAGCGCCGCGGCGACGGCGTCCGCGTGCGGATCCCCGAAGTAGGCCTCCGTCCCGTAGCACTGCGTCTCTACATGTTCCACATGAACCGGGGCCTCCGGCGGGACGCTCTCGCGCACCACCACCTCCCTTTCTTCAATCACTCTCTCGCGCGCCTCGAGGGCCGCGACGGCCGCGTCGCGCGCGGCCTCTATTTGCGATTGCTCGAGCGCGTGCTTCGCCGCGGCCTCGCGCGCGGCCCGCAGCGCCCTATCTAATTTCGACCGGCACTTTGTCAGCTCCTCGCTCTCCCTCAGTCTCGACCTTCGTAAGCGCTCCCGCTCTCTCTCGTGGGCGTCGCACATGGCCCGCTCGGGGACGTCGAAACCCAATCGTAGGTTCGTTTCCGAGGCGTGTGTATCACTTCGTGCGTAGAGCGCCAGCTCGCGGCAGATCTCCAGCGTCGCCTTGGCGCGGTCTTCGCGCATCAGCAACGACGCCAACCTATCCAGCGGCAGTCGATGCGCCGTCGAGAGCTTGGATTGGTGGCAGTAGGTGCACCGCCGCGTGTCGGCGAACTGACAAGCCCCACAATACTCCTTCTGCCCGTCGCCGTTGTGGGGCACGGTCGCCGTCGTGAGGCGCGACGTCGCCTTCTCCACAGATCCCGTGCGGCAGAAGCGCAGGGGCGGCACGAGGTTGTGGGACGCATTGGTAGCGGCGTCGGCGGCGGCGGCCGCGCCGGCGTCGTCCGGGCTGAAGACGAAGTCGTGGGCGCGCGCGAAGGTGCTGGGGATGAAGCGCTTCCGCGGGCCGCCCATGGCTGCTTGTGCGCCCGCTGTATGATTGGGGCAGCCGACGGACGCACGCGGCACGACGCACAGAGGCGCGGCACAAGGCAGCGCGTATGCCAGGCGCCGATTTGCCGCTGTGCCTTGTGACAAGTTGTGTGCTCCTCCAGGCCGCCAGTCAGTCGGGGGGTCGCTTGAACTCGCTCCGAGGCGCCCCCGCCTCCGGTGGATGGGTTGTTCTTGGGTTTCTGAGGCTCGGCGGCCTAGCTCCAAGCATTGAGATCACTACTTAGAGGCGGGGCAAACACACACGCGGCGCCCTCCTAGATGTCCATGAGCGCCATGCGCTTCGAGCGCTCCTTGATCTCCTCCACCGGCACCTCGTTCACCTCGCACTGCACGCCGACGTAGTTCACGACGGTCCCGTCGGCGTCGCGCAGCGCCGCGACGAAGAACTGGTTCCAGAAGGGCGTGCCGTCGGCCTTGTAGTTCAATAAGCAGACGGACGTGTCCTCGCCGGCCGCGACGCCCGTTCTGATCCGGTCGACCATCTTCGGGTCCGTGCCCGGGCCCTGCAGGAACCGACAGTTCCGCCCCACGACCTGCGACATCTGGTAGCCCGTCAGCGTCAGGAAGCCTCGCGACGCATACACGATCGGGTTGTCCGGGAGACTCGGATCAGAGACCGCGAAATTCTGCTGCGCGGCTTGCAGGGCCAACATCAGCCGGAAGTCGGGCTCGACCAACTGCTGGGCCTGCTGGATCGGTCTAGGTACGGAATCGGTCACTAAGAGCAACGATTCTTCGGTCACGCAGTCATTTAAGATGTCGAGGGCATTATCGGGCAATTCGGAGCGAATAACCTGCCGCAGCTCCTTGTTCTGGGCCCTTAGGTCCGACACCTGCTCCATGAGGCTCTCGAGCAAAAACTTCTTGCGGATTCTACTGCGTTTGGCGTGCTCCCGATTCCGCTCCCTCCTTTCTACTCGTTGTTGATCCGTCATGGCCTTGGCCTCGGTGGCCTTCCTCCTCTTTCTAGGAGGAGGCGCGGCGGGCGCCGGCGCCGGGGCCGGTGGCGCCCGTCCGGGCGCGGGCGGACTCCTCGACAAATTGAGCGGCGACGCGCCCGGCGGCAGCTGCCCCGGCGCGCCCTGCACCGGCGGCCCGGGCTCCAAAGCTTCGGCGGCCAACGTATCATTCAACAGGGCCCACTCGTTCGCCGCGAAGCAGTCCTCAAAAATTTCATCCAAATCAACGGCGGCCGCCGCGCCGGCGAGGTCGCCGGTGCCGCCGAACAAAGGCGGTGTCGTGTCGGGGGGGTCCATAACGGTGTTTTTTTTTTCGATTTTGGGCGCGATTCGACGGACGCCGCACACGTGGGTTCGGTGGTGGCGTGCGCGGGCGCGCGTGCCGCCCGCGGGGTGCTGCCGGGCGTTTTGCGCGGGCTTTCGTGCTGCCCGCCCGCTCGGCGCCGCTTGTGAAACCGCGGAGGCACTTGGCGGCACCTGCTGAAGAGCGGTGCTCCCGAGGCCGTGGACGCGAAGATGGCAGGTGAGATGCTCAGGTCAGCGCCGGAGGTCTTTTGCAAGGTCTTCCAGCAGTTCGCCGACGTTCTCGAGCCAACACGTTGCGAGCACGCGGCCCTGCACTTGGTTGAGGTGCTCGTGTGTCTATCACGCTAGCAAAAGCGTTCGTCAGAGACTAGCAATAAGCCGTCTGAATTTTAGTTGACGAGACGAGCACGAGACCCGAAGTCCACCGGAGGGAGCCTCGATGCGGCTCCGCGGGTAGAAATCGAGCCTACGGCGGTCCGGGCCGGCGACCGCCGCGCCGCGTGTTGATGGGACCGACACCCCCCACGCCATCGAGCAAAAAACACCACTACAGAAAATTAATTAGAGCCAGTTCATCCCCGGCCGCCGCAGCACGCCCTCGGCCGCCTCCCATATCTCCGCGAACCCGCGACCCGCGTCGACCACGGAATAGTGGTCGCAGCCCGCCGGCTCGCGGTACTCGAAGAGGCGCGGCCCCGCGAGCCCCTGGTCCAGCCTATGATAGAAGAGGCGCGTCAGCTCGACCGGCACGTCGACGTCCTCCGTACCCGTCGCCAGCACGATATCACTCCGCAACCTCGACCAAATTTGCGACTTCGTCGGGCAGGCCGCCTCGTAGAGGTCCGGTCTTAGGTCCGGCGCCGCACCCACAAAATTCAGGACCGCCTCGCCGTCATCACTCAATTTTTTTTCGTGCGCGTGCACCAGATCGGCGACGGGCGCTATGGCGACCACCAAGCGCGGCGCCGTCTGCGCGTTCGCGGCGCACATCAAAGCGGCGTGGCCGCCCGCCGAGTGGCCCACGAGCACGATGCGCCTCTCGGAGAGTCCCGCGACGTTTTCGATACAATGTTTTAACGCGGCGTCCACGTCATCGCAACTCTCGGGCCAGCCGCCGCCCCCGCCGACGCGTCGGTATTCGACCTCGATGGCGCAGAAGCCTCTCCTCGCTAATGCCGGCGCTATCGTCTCGATAGCTGCATTACTTATATTGTATTTCTCCCGCCAAAAACCGCCATGGATGATCAGCACGGCCCACCACGGCTCCGGTACCGACGGCCGGTGGACCCGGTAGTACTGCGACGCGTGGTCTCCATAGTTGATCGTCTCGGGCGCCTCGGCGGCGCCTTCCTTGAACTTGGCCTTGAGTTCTTCTATGGAACATTTCTCCGGCAGCTTCGCGATGCTCTTCCTAAAGGCGTCGGCCGTGGCCGTGGCCGCGGCGTGCTCCTGCCGCAATGCGGCGAGGCGCTCGAGCAATTCCTCGGTTGCTTTTACTGTTTCTGGATGTGGTATATGTATGGGTTCTTGGTTGACCTCTAGTTTCAATTTCTCGAGGCGGGCGTCGAGGTCCGCGTCGCGGGCGGCCTTTTGCTCTTCGGAGAGGAGCTCCTGCGCCTCGGAGAGGCTGGCCATCTTGCACGACCGCGTGCTGTCCAGGGCTGCACAGCGATGGATGCCGGTATCGTGCGCGTCCGTAGGCCAGCGATGCGGCTCTCTCGCGCAAGTTCACGCGCGCGCGAGGCAAAATTTCAGACGGGTTTCTCACGCTCTCACCTCGACACGCCGCCATTCGAGCTCATAGCTCTAATTCGGTGAACGTTTGATACATTTGTTATCGTCCTCGTGCTGTCGCATTTGCAGCATTTCTAAGACGCACAACAATGCGCACGACCGCCCTCCTCCTCCTCGCCTGCGCAAGAAGGAGCACCCACGCGACGACGCTCGCCGGAGCGCGCTGCGCCACCGGCGTCGCGCTCGCCGCCGACAGCCGCGCCACGGAGGGCACGGTCATTGCCGACTCCAAGTGCGACAAATTACACGAGCTCGCGGAGAACGTTTATGCCGCGGGGTGTGGCGGAGCCGCCGACGCCGACGATGTTGCCAGATTGGTCGCTTTGGAGCTGCGCACGGAGCACCTGCGGCGCACGATGAGCAGCACGGCTCCGACGAAAAATCGAGGACTAGTAGTAGCGGCGAAATCCGGCATCGTGGCGCGGCTGCGGTCGGCGCCCCTGGGCTGCGCCTTTATTGTTGGAGGCTGCGATTCTGAACCGTCATTGTATCGCGTCGAGGGCGACGGCTCCGCGACCGCGTCCCAGTTCGCGACGATGGGCTCTGGCCAGATGGCAGCGGCGGCGGTCCTCGAGGCGTCTCTCTTGAGACAGGCGGAGCCGTCGCCGGAAGTTGTGATCGAGGCCGTGCGTCGTGCCGTCGAGGCGGGCATCCGGGGCGACACGGGCTCGGGCGGCCACGTCGACGTCGTCTTCATCGGGGAGGAGGAGACGAGGCGGTACCGGTTCGCGGCGCGGCCCTAGTCTTATTAAATTTGTGTGGTCGTTACTCGTCTGTCAGAATGAGAGAAAGAGTGTCGGCCATAAACCCGACACAAGGCATTTTGGCCCTTCCCGGGGAGCTACGCAGAGCGAGAGCCGCGGCGATTGGGCGCCTTTTTTGCGCGTTCCCGAGCCGCCAAATTCACGTCCTGTTCCGATTCGCACAACCATTGACCTTCACTCAATTTCTTGGGTCATTGCATTTTTTTGACCCTAAGTCGTCACTCATTAGGACGTCGCAAAGACCTTCGGGGCTCAAACCACGCGCGATAGGGTGCATCTCATAGAACCGTTTAAGGAACGTGTCACGTTCTTTCGTAAAAGCCGAGCATTCAAGTAGGGTATGTTGAATCGTTTCCGACTCGCGAGATTCACAACAAGGACATTGCGCGTTACGAACAAGCTGCGTTCGGCTGCTCGAGCTCCGGAGGTCGTGGCAACCCAATCGGAACTTCGTCTTCAATCTCCGCCCTTCCCGAAGAGACGCGGGGCACGCTCTAAGTAAATATTCCGGCATATCACCGGACTTGCGGATCTATCTCTAGATTCCATGACTCCGTAGTAGAAAGCGTGGTTGTATAATCATTAGTTAGTAGGGGGGCAACACAGGACGGGCTCACTCCTCGGCGGGCTCGTCGGCGGCGGCCTCCGCCTCCGCGGCCGCGGCCGCCTCGGCCTCGGCGGCGGCGGCGGCCGCGGCCTCCTCCTCGGCCTTGGCCGCGGCCTCTTCCGCGGCCTTCGCCGCGGCGGCCGCCGCCTCCTCCGCGGCCTTCGCGTCGGCGGCGGCCTGGAGCGCCGCTGCCTTCTTCTCGGCGATCGCCGCCTCCTGGCGCTCGACGTACGCCAGCCCGCGGACCTTCTCCTTGATGCGCGCGGACTTGCCCGTCAGCTGGCGCAGGTAGTAGAGCTTCGACCGTCTCACGGAACCGCGCCTTAACACCTCGATCTTCGTCACCGACGGCGCGTAGACGGGAAACGTCCGCTCGACGCCGATGCCCGACGACATCTTGCGCACCGTGAAGGTCTGGGTCAGGCCCGCTCCACTTCTCTTGATGACGACGCCGGCGTAGTTCTGGATGCGCTTCGTCGTGCCCTCCGTGATCTCGCAGGCGACGTTCACCGTGTCGCCGGCGGAGAAGGGCGGCGGCTCGTCGCGGTCCATGGCCGCGAGCTGCCGCGCCTCGAACTCGGCCATGATCGTGCCCGTCTTGATGCCGCTCCGCGCCGCGAGGCAGGTCTGGCGCGGGGCGGGCGCGGGGGCCAGCAGGGCTGATGCCGACGCAATGACTGCAATGACGCGCATGGTCTCTGGCGGCGCGTGAAACTTGGGGGCGGAGGCCTGCGGAGCGTTTAGAGGTGCTCCGGCTGCGCCGCGGGTGCTGCGGCTACGTCGCGGGTGGTATTTACGAGGTGCAAATTGGGCCAGCGCTCTCGTCTCGCCGTCAACATTCAAGGCGACGAAAGCGGCGCAAACGCACGCTTCATGCCTCGGGCAAGCTTCAGACCACAGCTAAGAGCCGAGGCGTGCTTCGGCAAGTTGAAAATTTGCACAAAAGGGACGGCGCGCCGATGAATCGGCAATGCGCGGCGTCTCCCCCCAAAGGGGCTCCGCCCTCAGTCCTAACACCGCAACAGATAATACGAGACGAGTCAATTGACAAAAAACCACAAACTTAATACGCATACCGCCCCCGCCTCGAGTCCCTCGACGACGAAGAGTACGGCCGGTCGCGCTGCTGGCCGCGCCGACGGTCCTGGTGCCGGCCGCCGACGCGGATCGGCGGCCGCCACGGCGGCGACGGCTCCCGCCGCACCGATGAAGACGGCGCCCGCGCGGCCGGCGGCTCCCACGACATCGCGCCCTCTGCACTCACGTAGTAGAACGCGCAGTGGTCCGGCGACCAGAGGCAGCGGGCGCCGGCGGGCAGGTTCTGTGAAGAACAGTCGCCGCAGGCCGCGAGGAGCGAGACGGCCTCGCCCACGGAGGTTGCCGTGGATGCGACCGGCGCGCCGGCCCGTTGGAGCCCCTCCTGCACATTCACATCAAGTGCGAACGGCGCCGCGGCCATCGCGGCCCGCAATACGACGTTCGCCGCGGCGTGCCGGTCGGGAGCGGCCGCCGCCGCGTCCACATCACTCGGCGCGAGCCCGCCTTGCGGTGTCGCGTCGATAGCCAAGACCAAACCACTGGGAAACGCGCGCCGCAGCTCCAACCTCACACCATCGGAGACCGCATGCAAACCGTCGCCCGCCAGCGCGCAGGCGAAGCCCCGCGGCACGTTCGCGTCGTGGTCGGCGTACGGATCAAGAGCTCGCATCTCGGCCGCGGCGTCCCGCGCCGGCTCGGCGCGGCGGCGGCCGCCGCGCTGCTTGCGGCGCTCGGGCGACCGCGAGCGGGAGCGGGACCGCCGTTTGGGCGAGGGCGCGCGCGGCGGCGGCGGCGGCGGCGCGGGCGCCGGTCGAGCTGCGGCCTCCGCAGCTAGCTTCTTGTCGGCCATCCACGACGGCACGGAGACGCCGCGGCCGCGGCCCATGGGGCGTACTGGAGACGGCGCGGGCGCGGGCGCCGGCGGCGCTTCTACTTTAGGAGCGAAGGCCTCTACCGGATCGAGCTCGCCCTGGGCAACCGCGCAATGATAAGTCGTATCTCGCAACCTGCAGCCCTGGTCGAAGTGGTCGACACTCCCACACAGACTGCAGAAGAGCGACCTTCTGTGTAATTGATCAATCCTTTTTTCTCGTTGCCTTTCGGCCTTCGAGCCTCTTCCAGAAAATTCGATGGGACACACCAGCTCCTCCTCCTCCTCGAGGTCCTGCAGCGGCGGCGCAAAGGCCGGCTCGACGCGCATCTGGCAGAGCACGTCCCTCCGATGCCCGAGGGGCCGTCCGTCGAGCGCCACGAATGCCTTCGACGCGCTCCGTTCCGTCGCGTAGTCCACGAATCCACAACCCCTTCTCGCTTTAGGCAGCTCCAACCTCTCGACCTCTCCAAATTTCGAGAGCTCCCGCCGCACGCGCTCGCGGTCCCAGTCGTAGGGCAGGCCTCTCACAAATAACCGCCGGCCCCGCATCGACGGCGGCGCGGCGTCGTCCCGCGCTCTGCCTCCATCATCTCCGTAGACCTCGCGCCGGAAGGCCTCCGCGTCGTCGTCTGCCATGTTTTGCGCTGCAGCTCGTAGGTGCCGGGCCCGCTCTGCTTTGGCAGGACGGCTCGCGCTCCTTGGAGCACCGCTGGGATTGATGCTGGCGGTCCTGTATGTGAATTGTCGAGTGTGCCGCCCCAAGCTCTTGGTTTTGCGGCCTTGCGCTCTGCTCTGCTGTTTGCTAGTGTCTTACACCACTAGCGCGGCGCGACGCCTGCTTCGGAGCGCAGGGGAGCGTGGCGGAAACGTGGAGGAGGGGAATTTTCCTATTAAGTTACGCCCACCCCTCCGTCGCCGGGCGAGCGCGGCGTTCCGGCCGTAACGCGCGCGAGGCTATGTGCCCTTCCTCTTCTCCGCGCGCTTCAGCTTCTCGACCTCGGAGGTCCCCGGTTCGCCGCCTTCAACCAACTTGGCGCGCCAGGCCTTCGGGCAGCGCCGCCACGCCCGGATCGCCTCGGCGACGCGCGTCGACTTCTTCTTCGGCGGCGTCGACGCGCTCGTCGCCTCGTTTTTCATTTTGGAGGCGGCCGCGGCCATGGCGTCCATGGTCGGGGCCGGGGCACAAGGCCGCCGAGCTGCGAGAAATGGCCCCGGGGGCTGCCAAATTTGATCGTGCCTCGGCCCCGCCGGGCGCCGCCGCCGGGCGCCCCTGGTTTTTGTGATAAAGGACCCTCCCCCGGAGGGGCTGCTCGTCGCCGCGCGCGTGCCGACCTCGCGAGTGTGGGAGCCCAGTCCGGGAGAGCTTCAGCACGGAGCTAGCTAGTGCGGAGCTGGCCCAGTTTGAACTTTTAGCCGTCGGGCGCGTTTGCGAGGCCTCGTAGCAGCCCGCGTATCACAAAGACGGGTGTTCGGTCCCATCGTGCGCATTTCCGCACGACGACGCACTCGAAGCGACGGATCTGGCCGACAGGCTATATGAACAAAGCTTACTTCTTCTTCTTCCGCGCCGGCCGCCCCCCCAGGTTGAGCGGCTGGTCCGCCGTCGCTTTTGGACGCATCGACGCCGGTAATTCAGAATAGTCCACCAGATGCTCAAAATTGCTGGACATGGCCAACCCATTCCCCACGTCCAGGGGCCCTTTCAGAGCCTCCTCCATGGCACGCTCGCAGAGCTGCGCCGCCTCCCGCACCAAGCAACTTTCGGGCGTCATCGCAGGTATCACGTAGGCGTTGCCGCAGTGCGGACAAACGGCATCATCCTCATCAAAGATCCTCAAATCCTTCTGGAAGAGCTGGCGGCAGGCCTTGCAGACCAGAGTCAAGGGCGACTCGATAATTGCGAGGTCGAGGCGTTTGCCCATAACTTCCTCGTAGCACTCGGGGCAGTCGAACCAGGCGCCCGTCTTCTTGTCGCCCATGAAGATGGAGCACTGGGCGTTGATCACGTGGCGGCAGCCGCCCTTGCCCATGATTGTGCTCGTTGTTGTGGGGCTGCCACCCTGGTCGCGTTCTGTCTCGCTTGGGGTCTTATCAGCGGGCCGGAAAGCGATCGACGAATCACCGCTTGGCGTCCAGCGCGGCGAGTAGAGCGTACTGAGCGCTCGAGCGTTGCGACCGCGTGCGGATTGCTAGTATCTTACATGCCGCTAGCTCGTACGGCTTCGAACACGAGGTATTGTGCGGCCGCTGGGCATGTCCAAAGGCTGTGGCTCTGGAACTCGTCGAACCATTCACTCGTGGCTGCCCGTGAGAAATTAGAAGGGCTCCGGTACCAAGGCCAGCAATTACGGGCAGCCCTCTTGGCCTTCGGCATTGGAGATGGACCGGCAGCGCGGCGACGACAGACGCATGGATCGCTACGACCGTCGACGCGACGAGCGCAGCATCGACCGACTGCGCGCCCGCGGCTACGACCGCCCGGGCCGCGGGGCCGACGGCGGCGGCCACTCGCGGCGCCCGCGCGACGACGACCGGGGCTACGCGCGGGACCGCCGCGGCGACGAGCGGCGGCGCCGCTCCCGCGACGACGACGAGCGGCGGCCGCGGGACGACTACGACCGGCGGCGGAGGCGGCGCTCGCCGTCGCGGTCAATGTCGCGGTCGCGGTCGCGGTCGCGGAGCCGCCACCGCCTGCGCACGGCCGACGACCGCGCGCGGCCGCACGACGCGTTCCCGGGGGGCTACCAGGAGCCGCGCCGCGTCTTCGTGGGCGGCGTGCCCAAGGTGACGACGGAGGAGCGGTTTCGGAGGCACTTCGAGCGGTTCGGGACGATCGACAGGGTGGAGCTGAACGCGGAGCGGTCCTTTGGCTTCGTCACGTACGCGCACGCGGCCATGGTCGACGCGGTCCTCGCGACGCGCATGCACCAGTTCGAGCACGCCGAGCACCAGACGTCATTTGTGGAAGTGCGGCGGCCGAAGCCGCGGGGTAACCAATTCTAGCTTATGCCAACACCGCTCAAGCTCAGGTCGACGGCGCCGCGGAACGGGCCGTCTTCGACGGCTCGGGCCGCGTCCAAATCGCCCCGGAGCGCCTCGACCTTGGTCAGGTGCCGGCCCGGCACCAGCGCGGCGCCCAGCGCGCGCCGCCTTTTTTGTATTCCCGCCCCTACTTTAAAGATGCGCAGCTCCGACGCGTCCCGCAGTATAAAGTTGCGGTGGCGGTCCAAACATTGAAACGTGCCCGTCACGACGCGCTCGTCGCGCTCGCCGTTCGCGTCGCTCCGCAGCGTGAAGCGCAGGCGGCGTCCTAATAAATGTTCGACGCGCGCGCGCGTTGTTGCGTCTTCCGGCGGCATTGCTGCGGCTCCGCGGCGAGGGGTCCTTGGCTTTGCTAGGCCTGCAGTGTCCGCAGCGATGGATTGGCTCAAAGAGCGTGTCGACCAGTGAAACGAGGGAGCGGCAGAAGTAATTGTGAGCGTGGTACGTGCCTAGCCTGGCCAGATGGCCCAGCCAAGCTTACCCAGCTTGCTAGTGTCTTACAGGCCGCTAGGTCGAGCTTTGTGGGCTGTGCTTTTTTCAGGCCTTACAGTCATCAGGACGCGGCTGGGCCGAATAAGGGGCGATCTTCTGATGCCCACGGGTCGGTCTGAGTAATCTCCCGACTCGCGCTGGTTAAGTCTGTGCATCTCTGGCCTTGAGGCTTGAGCTAAAAAAAAACACGCCAGACGCGCGGCGCGAAGGGTGAACGTCGACAAAGAGCAAAGATGACTCCGCGCGCCCACCGTCGAAAACTCGCCGCGGCGGCGCTCGCGGTCGCGTGCGTCATAATCTACCTCTGGATGCTCTTCGCCTGGGAGACGGCCTGGGGCGTCGACCTGAAGCACCGCGACTCGCCGCCGTGGCTCGTCGGGACCTTTTGGGAGCTGCAGTGGGCCGTGGCCTGCGCGGCTTTGGTACTACTGGCGGCCCTGTGCGCGGCGGCCGAGGGCCTCGAGCTCTGGAAACGGCCGCCTCGGTACAAAGGCCCGCGCATGTTCCGCGTCGGAGACAACGCGAGCCGCGTCGGGTTGCTGGCGTTGCTCCTCGTCGCGTGCCGCATCATCAGCCTCCACGCCGTGTCGCACAAAGTGGGAGGCCGCCGCGGCCGCGCGCCGTCGGCGAAGGCCTGGTTCTGTCAAAACGACGACAAGGTACGGTGCTTGAAAGGTCACGCGCATCAATTCGGCTGGGACGCCATGGTGCCCATGGCGCTGCTGGGCGTGCCGGCCCAGCAGTTCTCTCCACCCTTTAGAGCTATAGGCCTCAGCCACGGGCGGCTGAAGCGGCTCGCGGCCGGCGGACGCTCGTCGTCGCCGCGGGCTCGGGCCTCGCGCCCGCCGCGGCGTTCCTGCGCGCAGTTCGGGCGGCGCGGCCCGAGTCTCGCGGCGCGCCGCACGTCCGGCTCGTCGCGATCTGCCGCACGGCGTCGCAGCTCGAGAGCCTCGACGCGTTCTGCCTGCCGGCGACCGGACGCCTTGCTGATGAGCCGGCCTGGGTGCAACGGGCGGGCGACACCGCGGAGCCGTGGCTCAGCAGTGAAATTCACCTGACGCGCGCGCCGGACGCGCCGGCGGCCACGCACGCCGTTACCGAGAAAGCGACGCGCCCGAGCGCCGGCCGCGTCGTGGTCCGCCGCGACGGCGAGCGGCTCTTCGCCGTCGCCGCGCCGTGGCCGACGGACGCCGATGCGACGGCCACGACGACGGCGTCGCCCCTCTTTCCGGACGCCGCCGACGAGACGAAGGAGGGGGCCGACGCCGCGCCGCCCGCGCCGCCGGGCCCTTCCGGCGCGGCGGGCGGCGACGACGCCGCCGCTGTGCTCGGAAGTGGGCTCGGCTTCCTGGCCGCGGCCTACGCCGTCGCCTGGCGCGAGGACGCGCCGTTCGCCCGCCACGGGAAATACTTGTTTGACCGGCGCAAGGACGGCAACCCGAACGTCGTCTCGGGCGGTCTGAGCTTGATTGTGTGCGCCGCCGCCGCGTTCGTCGGCGCGGTAATTGCCCTGGCGGTTTCGGCGGGCATACGGCGGCGGCGACGCCGCAGCTATCGCTCCGCTGAGCTCGAGCTCAAGGACATCGACGAGGCGGATGCGGCCGCGGAGCTCGTCTTCGCGACCGTCGGCGCGCGGCCCGACCTCGGGGACATTTTGCGAAGGGCGAATGAGGAATTGGGCGCGGACGCCGACGTCCTGATCGGCGGGCCGCAGCGCCTGGTCGACGGCCTCGAGGATAGGTTGAAGGACCGCGTCGTCGAGCGGATGACGTGGGCCATGTAACAAATCCAATTTAGTCTACGTCCTCCTCAACGAGCGAGGGCATCCGCCCGCGCGGCGCGGGCAGCGCGTCGCCGGCCTTGAAGCCCACGGGCGGCCAGGCCGGCGAGTCGTAGCCCTTGCCCCCCGCGGGGTTGCACCGCATCAGCCGCCAGATGAACAACACAAACCCCTTCGCGAAGCCGAATTCTTTGATCGCCAGCGCGGTGTACTCGGAGCACGTCGGCACGAAGCGGCAGTTCTTCGGCAGGTTCGGCGAGATCGCCCGCTTGTAGCCCCTCAAAAGAACGTAGGCGAACTCGGGCTCGCCCCCGAAGTTCGCGAGGTCCGGCTCGCGCTCGGGATCGACGGGGTCCCCGCCGGCGTCGACGAGCACGGCGACGAAGAACGCGAGCGCCGCCGCGATGAGCGGCGCGTCGCCGCCCGGCGCGTCGGCTACCGCGTAGGCGGGCGCGGCGGCGACGGCCGCGGCGACGCCCGCGGCCGCGGCCGCGCGCGGCGGCGGGCCGCAGCCCGGTCGCGGCGGCGCGGTTACTTTTTTGGCCCGGCAGAGGACGCAGGCGCGCGTCCTTGTCGCAAGAATGAGTGGTATGAGTGATTTCAGCATAACTGCGACGCCCTCAGTGCTGCTCAAGGTGTCTGCACCTTGTCAATGGCTCGACGCGCGGTTTTCGCTGTGCTGTGCAATGCGGCAAGTTTTACGACTCGTGCGTCGCGCTACGTTGCCGCACTGCCCGTCCAGGCTGTGAATTGCCCGATTTTTGACTGGAGCAAACTCTGGAGCCACTGCCTCTGCCTCTGGCTCTGCAGACAAAAACAGTCTAAACGAATCCCAGCCTAAACACACCGCTGCATAGCCTTGCAGCCAGCCAACGTATTTAAAAGGCCGATTGCTTCTCCTTACTGCTGCAGAAACGACACCGCACGAGTGCCACACAATGAGCCAGCAGCAGTATGGCAAAGGGGGCCCACCCCACCCGCTGCTGGCGGCCCAATTCCCGCAGTACGGCGGGAAGGGCGGTGGCAAGGGCGGCAAGGGCCGCGGAGGCCGCGGCAGGGGTTTCGGGGGACGCGGTAAGGGCAAGGGCGGCGGCGGCGGCAGAGGCGGACGCCGGCGCGGCAAGGGCGGCGGCGGCGGCGGGCGCGGGCGCGGCGGCGGCGCGCGGCGCGACGAGGGACCGCCGCGCTTCAACTACGACGCCGTCGTGGGCGACCCCTGGGCGCCCCTCGCCCCGCGCGCCGCGGCGCCTCCGCCCGCCGTGTCAGAGGCCGCCGCGCGGGACCCGTCCGAGATCGTCCTCGACGCCGACGACAGCGACGACGACGTCGGCGGAGACCCGGCCGAGATCGCCCTCGACGACGGGGACTCGTCGTCGGAAGACGACGGCGCCAGCGCCGCGAAGCGAGCACGCCTGCTGGACGAGTCGTAGTCGCGCGCGACGAGAGGAAGCGTGTTTTTAAACTTGTGTGTTAGGTCGTAGTTAATATTTACTCAGGGGCGCGCTTTCTAATTCGGGGTTCGGGGATCGAGGAGCGCTGCCGACGTGTCTGAATCCTACGGAAGTGAATTCGCAATTCCGGGGTGCTGTAATGCGGGGTTCCGTAGTAATCGCCGAATCGGTGTTGCCGCGAGAGAGTACTCCCGAAGTGGAGGGCCGAGCATTGGCACTTCGGGCAATGTACCCAAGAATTGAATGTCGATGATCATGCAAGTTTCCAAGAATTCCGCTGCCTCGAGGATGATAGAAGTGTTTCGTTGCAGTGTAGGTTCTCCGTCCTGGCCGATGGCCAAGATGCCCTCACCGAATTTACGCGCCGCGAACTGGGCCCGCGCCAAATCGTCCCTCCCCAACCCACTAAATCGCTCCGGCTCGCCGAGGCCTACCATTAACTTGAACCTGTGCTTAGGAAGGTTTCCCGGTTTCATCTCTACCGTTCCGACCCAGTAGATGTCTGCGTTCTCCAGAGGCTTTCCGTAAGGGACCAAGCCTCTAGTGTCCTGGCCAGCGAAGCTCTCAGCGGAGGCCTGGCGCCCGTCTTCAGTGCTGACATTTTGTGCCATCTGCGCTTTTCGCCTGCGCGGGGTGAGACCGTCACGCCGCCCGCGGGCCCGCCGGCGCGAGATAGAAAGCAGCCCCCTTCGCATAGGGTGCCTCTACAGGCGCGCCTCAGCAGCGTGTCGTCGACGGCGTGAATCCGAACCGCGACCGCGGCACGGCGTCGCCTGACCACTGCTTGCGATGCTGTCCTTGATGCGCGCGCGAAGGGGGGTGCTGCCCCGGAGGCTGCTTGCGCAACGCGCGGGGGTACCCACGAGGCTATTTCCTTGATGCGCCGGTGCGTACGGAGTCTAATGATGTGCAATTTGCAACAGAGCCTACGATCAAAATCTAACAAGCCGCCGACACTCCTAGTATGTTTTAAAAACATACTAGGACTGAGGGCGGCTTAAAAAATCGACGATTGCTAGTTTCAATTCCTCCTTAATCATGCGCAGAGCTAGGTCGCCTAGCCGACGCGGGATTATTATCATCATTATTGTATGTTGGTACCACGGTACGTATACGCAGTACCATACCAGTACCTCGCAACGCGGCGTGCGAGAGCCTGCCATGTCGTATTTATATTTTACTCAGGGGCGCGCTTCCTAATCGGGGTGACCTCCGTCCCCGAGGAGCGCTGCCGACGTGTCTGAAACCTACACCGGAGGTCTTGGGTTGTATCTTGGGTCCTGTACTAATCGCGAAATCGGTGTTGTCGGGAGAGAGTACTCCCGAAGTGGAGGGCCGAGCATTGGCACTTCGGGCAACGTACCCAAGAACTGGATGGCGATGATAACATAAGTTTTTTCCAAGACTCCCGCCGCCTTGAGCATGATAGACGTGTTTCGTTGCAGTGTAGGTTCTCCGTCCTGGCCGATGGTCAAGATGCCCTCACGGAATTTAAGCGTCGCGAAATAGGCCCGCGTGAACGCGTCCCTCTCCAACCCACTAAGTCGCTCCGGCTCGTCGAGGCCGACCATTAACTTGAAGCTGTGCTTAGGAAGGCCTCCCGGTTTCATCCCTAACAGCCTGACCGAGTAGATGTTTGCGTTCCGTACCGACTCTCCGAACGGGAACCCCGCGCCATGGTCAGTGAGGCTCTCAGCGGAGACAAGGTGGCAGCTGTCTGACGGGCTGCCAGGCCCAGGTTCTGCCATCTGCGCTTTTCGCCTGCGCGGGATGAGACGTCACGCCGCCTCCGCGGGCCCGCCAGCGCGAGATAGATTGCAGCCCCCTTCGCATAGGGGCTTCCAGGCGCGCCTCAGCAGCGTGTCGACGGCGTGAATCCGAACCGCGACCGCGGCGACGGCGTCGCCTGACCACTGCTTGCGATGCTGTCCTTGATGCGCGCGCGAAGGGGGGTGCTGCCCCGGAGGCTGCTTGCGCAACGCGCGGGGGTACCCACGAGGCTATTTCCTTGATGCGCCGGTGCGTACGGAGTCTAGTATTGTGCAATTTGCAACAGAGCCTACGAGAGCCACGACTCAAAATCATGGGCCAAAGCCTAGTGCCGGCCAAAGCCTAGTATGAAAAAAAAATCGACGATTGCTAGTTTCAATACCTCCTTACTTTATGATTGCTATGCTTAGACCTAGGGCGCCTAGCCGCGGAGCCGACGCGGGATTTTAGTATATGGTACCTACGGTACCATACATATGCCGCAGCGCACGGCTTGGCGCAAGAGCCTGCCGTCCCAGGCCGGAGGGGAGGCTGCCCGTCGCTTTCAGGGCGCCGGGTGCTGCCCCCCGGCGGCGGTCGACGTCTCTCGACGATGCGCCAGAGCCTCGACCCCGACTTCCGCCACCGCCTCCAGCCCCAGCACACGAACCTGCTCATAAGGATCGAATGGGATTCGTCGGGAGAGGAGATCGCCGATTTAGATCTAGGCTGCGTTTTGCTGGACGCGCAGGGCCGGTCGCTCGAAACGGTAGATTTTAATAATCCCACTTCATCTGACGGCGCGTGCGGTTATGGGGGAGACGAGGTCGGCGCCGACGAAGGGCGGAGCGACGAGGAGTTGTTCATCGACACGCGCAAGATCAATGACAAGTGTCATAGCGTGGCTCTCGTCGCTTCTCAGTTCGCGGGGTCCTTTGGGTCTTCGATGCTGGACGATCTCGAGGTGTTCATCGTGTCTTTGGCCTTTCGGGATGCGGCGTCGGAACGGCCCTGGCAGGAACGAGCCGTCTTGAAATCCGAGACTCTCTTCAGGGGAAGACTGGTCGCGGACCACTTCGAGGCCGAGTCGGACGACGACGAGGACTACCTGCCGCTGGGCAAGGACGACAACTTCGTCGTGCTGTTCGATCTGACGCGCTGCGAGACGGCGGACAAGGCCGCGAAGGCGTTAGCGAGGCTGAAATCGTTACCGCCTCCGGTCCTCGAACAGACGCCGTGCAACTGGACGGTCTGTGGGCGACTCGCCCAGTCCTACTCCAGAACAAGAAGCGAAGTCACGCACCAGGTCCAGCAGAGCATGGTGTCCCTGTTCCCTTGGCTCGCGGTCGAGGACAAACTCGCGTTCCATAGTGTGGGAGACATCTGCGCCCAATTATCCTCTCAAACCCTACCTAGACTCAAACCGCGCTTCCTGAAACAGATGGACGGTCTAGATATTGACCAGTTTATTCATGCGGTCTTTCCGGCGCTGGCAGATGTCGAGCCAATACTCAAAAGTTCGGAGCGCGAAGCGGCGAACTGCGTGAGGCTAGTCGGCGAGCTATTCAGGCAAATCGACGTGAACGGCGACGGCAAGGTCGACTGGGAGGAGTTCACGAATTTTACAATTGCCGTGGGTACTGGTAGTAGCACCTCGAAGGGCGGCACGACGGCCGACGAGTTCGAGATAAGATACGTTTTGGACGACGGGCACGTCCGAACCGCCCAGAGGCACAAGTCCATCCACCGCATGCACTGCGCGCACGCTCTGAAGAGTAGGATCTTCGTCATCCGGAAAGAAACAAATGGTTTTGAATGTTGGGATAGGTTGGCCCGCTTCGAGCACGACTTCTACTTCCCGAAGATCGGGGAAGGGAAGGAAGACATGCAATTGGACGGCTACGTCCACGACGTCCACCACGTCCCCGAGAAGAAGTCTTTGGTGGTGGCGCTCTCGGACCACACGTGGCGCCTCATGCAGGAGGTCCTGAACTGCAACGGGGCCCATCGGACCTACAAGGTCACGGGCCAGGTCGTCACGGTGTCCGTGCATCGGATGCTGATCTGGGCGAACACGATCAAGGCCCTCTTCACGATCTGCGGTAAAAATAGACTGCACTGCTGGGACGTCGACGATGCGTTAAAGGCTCAGAGGTCGGAAAATGATGTGAATGCGCACCACGGCGAGGTCGTGACCGATTTAGTTTTTCTGCGGGACAAGGGGTTGCTCGCGACGTCGTCCCTGGACAAAAAAGTGAAATTGTGGGACGTGGACAACCTCATGCCCCGCGGGACGCTTTGTGGCCATTCCCTAGGTGTAAGGTGCTTGTCCTACGCCCAGGGGCTACTCGTGAGCGGAGCCTTTGACTGTCGAGTCGTGTGCTGGGACGTCACGAGTCACGAGCAAGTCGTGGTCCTGGAGGGCCACCGACGAGCCATCTCGTATGTCGCGTTAGTGGCGGAGACGGCGGAGAACGTCCACGTCCAGACGCTGGACGATGACGGCGACTGCAAGTACTGGAAGGTCGACCGCGACGGCGGCATCGCGACGCAGGTCGACAATTTTAAGTTACCCTACCTGGATCCTTCCGGTCCCACCCGTAACATTGTGCGGCCGAACAACCGCGAGCTGTCGCAGGAGGACTGGCCCGACTTACTGGTCGGTGGCGCTAAATTATTCCGACTCATACCGTCCAAGTCCATGAAGGACTTCCAGGCGCCGGCGGCCTGTTTGTACAACAAGACGTCGAAGGACTACGTGCTGGCCGTGGGGAAAGCGTTGGTGGTCTACGAGGCGACGACCGGGTTCTACGCGCGGAGGATACCCCTCTCGAGGCAAATCTCGGCGGCGGCCTTCGACGTGCCTCGGGAAAGGCGAGTAGTTTTGGGGACGGAGAACGGCGAGGTGCTGGTCGTGAATTACATCAGTGGTGAGGTGATTAGTAAGATACGGGCACACACGGGCGAAATCGTGGGTGTCGCGCACGGTGGTGATAAGGCGCGGTGCGTCATTAGTGCTGGAAGGGACAACTGCCTGAAAGTCCACCAGGAAACTTCTAAGGGGTTGGAGTTGCTGAGGACGGTGGAGAACGCGCAGTCGTGGGTCGGGTCTCTCGCTTATAGTCCCGTTCTATCTTTGATAGCGACGGGGAGTCGTTCTGGTCGCGTTGCTTTATGGGACTTTTGCACCTTACAACAGATGCAGAATTTGCAATGTCGGGGAGCCGTGGCTTCGGTGTTGTTTTTGGACCCCCGTCCCCTATTGTTGACGGGCGATGCGCATGGTTCCATCATCATGTGGTTGGTACGGCCCAAGAAACAAGTGTCGACGCTGTGTGTTATTGAGGGAGCCGGCAGCGGCATCACATCTCTCACAAGATTCGATTCGACGCATCATATAGCATGTGGCACGGACGACGGGCTCATAGTCATGTGGGACGCTTTATCCATAGAAAGCATCGCACCACTCACATTAATGGAACGACCGGACCGGGACGCCACATATAAACCGTATAGGAAAGCGCATCGGGATCAGGGCCGGTGCGACTACGCGCGAATCATCGAATGCGACACTACGGAAGCATTGGAACCGCTCGCCTCCGTCAAAGCTCATGATGATGCTGTATTATATGTGCTCGGCGTCGATCGACCGCAATGTATTTACTCCACGTCGAGTGATGGTGTCCAAAGATTGTGGAGGTTGGATGAATTACATATACAAACCGAATCTGAGATAGACAGCTTCGCAGGACCCGCGCCCGCACCCATAGAACCGGAGACGATCTTAGCGTGCTGCGGGTGCTTCGACCTACCCAACAAACCGGCGGACACGTTCACGTCCTTTCAGGAGGTCGAGTGGGACTATTTCGACCGCGAGAAGGCGGCGGCGACGGCCAAGGATCGGGAACGAGCCAAGACCATGCTGCAGCTCGTCGAGAAGAAGCGGGACATGAAGCAGATCTTCCGGCGGGCGGTCAAGAAAGTGATGCTGGTCCTGGCCTTCGGCGGTAAGGTCGAGCTGGCCAACGAGTTTCGGGACGACGAGGGCGTCCAGAAGGAGTGGGCGCGACGCCTGGACCAGAGGAGTCCGGGGCAGCGCGACGCTTCCATGAGAAGATCGAGACTGAGGACGGACCGCGCGTGCGAGGGCACGGGACCCGCTGCTCGCGAGGGTTTGCGGAACAAAGTCATCGCGCAGATGGGGAGTCCGACGCCGCCGCCGAAAGTCGTCAGTGGTCCCCAGAAGCGCATCAACGACTTCATGGAGCGCATTGGTAGGATACCGGAAGCCAGGCCGGCCTTCTCGGAACCTTCCATACGAAATGGCATCAAGGAGGGCCTGTACCATGGGGAAGAGGAAAGATACTTAACACAACTGCGGGAATATCCGGAAAAACTAGCAGCGTACGCGCGGCGAGTGAACGGGGGGCATGCCAACATGCCTCTCGGTAGCGATACAATTGTAGAGGACGAGCCGTTGGTGAAGATCGAGAACGGCCTGCCGGTCATAAACAAGGGGGTCAAGCATATGGCGCTGGACGACGTTGCACGAAGTCCAACTTTAGTGAGGAACGTGCAAGAGAAAATGGATGATGAGACCACTCTCACGTCAGGGAAAAAGGCGGTCAAGACGAGGATGGAGCATCATAGGAGGAGGTCCCTCAAAAAGCGGCCGTCCACCGTCAACATTATCGAATTGGTGAGGCCGCACTACACGGAGAAGGACGTCCAAGCGTTCCAGGACGCCTTCGAGTTCGTAGATGTTGATTTCTCAGGAATGATCGACATGGAGGAGTGGTTCCTGTTTCTGAGGCGGATGGAACAACGTCTCAACCCGGTCGAGGCGCAGCTGCTGTTCTTGCACCTGGATTCGGATCGCGACGGGTTATTGACGATGCTCGAGTTGTTGCAAATCGTCTTCTCGAAGCTTGAGAGGAGGGACCAAGTAGCTTTACACAAAGTCTGTTGGGACGCGCACCTGCACCTGGCGGCGCGACGGAAGCAGAAGGACATGGAGTTGTTGATTCAAAAAAGAACCGAAAGGTTGTTGGGGCGGGGCGGCGACGACTCGTCCGTCGGGTCGCGGTCCGTGGGGTCGTTCACGCTGTCGACGGTAACGGGTGTTCTCTAGTATTCGTATTCTTAGGCGTCCGGCTGGCTCAGCGTCAAATCCATGACCTGGGAGTCGTCCTCCTCCGCAGCTTCAGGTTGGGTCTCCTCGATGACGATGGCGTTCGCGAACGCCTCGTGAGCGGCTGCCCGCCTGTAGCCAATAAAACTTGCTAGTGTCTTACAGGCCGCTAAGCGGAAAAAAATAATGTTCAGGGTCAGGAGGCTCCTCCGCTGTCAGGCGCCGAGAGTCGCGCACGAGAACACCCGGGGGGCTGCGCGCACCTTGGAGACCATCGCCGCAGCGACGTCGAGGCTGTCGCTGAAGCCCGCGCTCCCGGCGACACGCCGTCGCCTGAGCCACAATCTGTGACAGGCAGTGGCCTCTCGCTATCCTCGCCGCGCCGACGCCGCGCCGACGAGCGATGAGCAACCCTGAAGAGAGGATACAATACTTTGCCTACAAGTGGGATCAAGAGCACGGCTTGAACAGCGACGACGACGAGCCGCCGCGCCGCGCCCCGGCGCCCGCGCCCTCGCCGGCCAAGAAGAAGAAGAAGCGCGGCGCGCCCGCGCCCGCGCCCGCGCCCGCGCCCGCGCCCGCGCCCGCGCCCGCGCCCGCGCCCGCGCCCGCGCCGGCCAAGAAGAAGAAGAAGAAGGGCGACGTGCTCGATTCGTCCGAGGACGAGCTCGCGCCCGCGCCCGCGCCGGCCAAGAAGAAGAAGAAGAAGGGCGACGTGCTCGATTCGTCCGACTCCGAATCTGAGGACGAGCCCGCGCCCGCGCCCGCGCCGGCCCCGCGGCGGGTGTCAACGCCCGAATCTGCCGTGCGGCGGACGGCGCCCGGCAAGCCCACGCTGTGCGCGCCCTGGTTCTATAAGCAGAGCCGGTCGGACGGCGACTTCTACTGCGTCAACGAGACAACGGGGGAGAGGACGTGGGACGTCACCGAGGCGATGAAGGCGCAGACGCCGCCGCGGGCGCCGGCTCCCGCCGCGCGGCGGGCGCCCGCGCCCGCGGCGGCGCCGGCGCCGGCGCCGGCGCGGCACCGCGTATTCGGCCCCCTGGAGATCGTCATCATAGGAGAGAACCGGGGCCAGTTGAAATACTGGAAGAGCGAAAAGGTCCCCGACGCCCAGTGCGTGAAGCCGGCCGCGGCCGCGTCGCTCGAGCTCACGCAGTGCGACGTCATCGTCTTCGCCAACGACGTCGACTTAGCCTCAGTCCTCCCCACCCTCGATACCGGCGACGTCGATCTCGTCAAGGAGAGCTGGCTCCTCGAGTCGCTTCAGAACCGCAAGGTCGAGCCTGTCGGTGATCACCGCGTGGTCCCTCCGCCGGCGCTGCCGCCGCCGCCGCCGCCTCTGCCGCCTCAGCCCGCCGGTGAACGCCCGACCATTGCCGGTCTGAAGTTAACCGACGCCAACATCGAGAGCTGGTACAACCTCGCCACGAACCAGCCGGGGCAGGTCCAGGGGATGTTCGAGAACAATTATCGCCAGAAGATATCGCAGGAGGGCAAGGTGCCGATCCTCTTCCCCGGCTACCGCAGCGAGACGCCGACCCTCGACCATGAAGCGAACCGGGACATGTGGAAGTGGATCATCGCGATGGCGACGTACCTCGGGAACGCGGGCGAACAGCCGGGCGCCGCCGTCCGCGTCCGCAACGCGTCCTGGGGCATCTGCTACATGGGGGAGCGCAAGGTCCGGTCGCGGATCGACGTCCGGGACGCGTACCGGGGATCAGGCCTGCGGGGTGCGGCCACCTTCTCCCTCGACGACATCTCCGAGCGGGTCATCGACGCGTACCTCGCGGAGTTCCCGCCCCCGCCGCAGTAGGACGCGCGGCCTCGTACCCCTCCTCCCCCTACACTAACTTCTCAAAATACAAAAGACTAACCCGGCCGATGGGCAGAGCTACAGAAGTGACACCATGGGACTCGCCGCCGCCCCACCGTCGAACGCTGTCCCGACGTCGCTGATACGTCCCAATAGCCGCGCCGGCGCGCAAGACCAGTAGCGGTGCCGGCCTTCAGAGGAGCCCGGCGTCCATAGAAAGACGCGACCGCCACTCGCTCCACGTCGTGGCGACAAAAGATGGAGCCTTCCGATGTCGCGGTCGTCGCGCCTCGACCGCGTTTCGATGCCCGCCGACGCAGTACTCGTCGGCGGCGGCAGGTGGCGAGGCACAGGCCTCCGAGCACGTCGGGAGCACGACTGCGATGGTCGCCGCGACGAGCGTCGCGTGGTCTTCCGTCCGTGGCCGCGCCGAACTATCCGCCGCCCCGATACGGTGTCTTCGATCCGTCCGCTCGTCGTCCGCGCAGAGTGGCGAAAACGTGAAGCGCTGCTGTTTTCAGTGGCACATGGAGACGGGCTGCTCGTCGCGCCGAAGCGAGTCGACGCTACGTGGTAGTAGAACCAAGCTATAGGCATGGGACGTCTATAGTAGTACTCGTCGAGTACAAGCTCGTAGGACGGGGATTTACACCCGGGCGTGCACGAAGCATTCGCGCGAGAGCCTCTTGACACGCCGTCCGAGCGCTTCTACAATTTGCGCATGTCGAACGGCCTCAGGACCGCTGGCCTTTGCGCGCGTCCAGCGCCGATGCGATGTTCTGGGCCGCAGTGGCCGACCGTCGCCGCGCTCACACATCTATGGAGAAACGGCGACGGCAGCACAGAGCCGCAGGAGGCCTCGTGGTTCCATGCGATAGTGTCGACGCGTCGCTGGTCGTCGCGCGCGCTTTGCGGCGCTTGCAGTAGCATGCAATTTGCAGAGCAGTGGGCACGGTGCTGGCACGCAGCCATTTTTGCCGGGAGCCATGCGTTTCATTTATGAGGCATGCGAATAGTTCAAAATCGAGCCGGTTGCTGGCTACGAGCTTCACTGCCGGAGCAATTGGATGACGTCCAGCCTGGCTTGCTTGCTAGTGTCTTACTGGCCGCTAGCGCGCAAAACCCGGAAGCGACACCTGCACTATCGAGCCGCGGCTACCTGGTCGGAGAGGCATTCCGACGAGTCCCGGACGGCTGCGCGCGGGTCCGGACGAGTCGCTAGTACCTCACATGAGACCCACTGAGGCCACTAACTCCATCGACTTGGTGCCGCGCCCGTCCCTGCGCCACCGAAAACACCCCCAAGGTAAGTTGCAAGGCCTTCGCGACGACACTCGCGCTCGTCCGCCACTCACACAAGCAAACAGAGAGAGAAAACTGCACCATTTGTTGGTGACCCGGTCCCCAGGGGCCCCTCCGGCCGCCGCGCGGCGAGCCCACCGGCCCGAGGTGACGCCTCGAGAGCCCTCGCCCGCGCGCCGCCCTCGGGCGCGACGAGAATCGCGCGCCGTCGCGCACGGAGTCGCGGCGCGGCGGCGTCCGTACGCCGCCGTGACTCAATGAGGGCGCCGCCCACACACCAACCGCGCCACCGCGTGCGACGTCGTCACGCCGCGCGCCCGCGCGCGTGGGCGCCGTCCCGCCGCGCCGCGCGGTCGCGTCGACGTCGCGCGCTAGAGTCTTTCTGCCGCTAGCGGCGCACACACATCATCCTCGGCATTGCGCCCAACTCACACCCCACTGCCTCTTACGGCACGCGGATCTCCTTCTGAGTGGCCCTAGAGTGTATCCACTCGGCTGCGACCGCGCGGCGGCGGCCGCGCGGGCCCGCGTCGCGCGCAGCCCCAGACAAAGCCATGGGATGGGCTCCCTGTCCGGTGGCTGGGCGGCGCGCGGCGCGGCGCGGAGCGCCCCGGCGGGACCATCGAGGCTGTGGCGGCTGCCCGGCGCTCGGAGGCGCGTCGCGTGTGGTGGTGAAGTTTGCGGCGGCGGCTCGACGGGGACGCGCCCGAGAGGCCTCGTCGATTTACGAGGAGCGGCGCAGGTCGCACCGCGGACGCGCCCGCCCACGCGAAGGCGGTCCCAGTAGACGCCGTCGCCCGCAAGACGCCCTCAGAATAGCCATGGCCGAGATGCCCGAGACCGGCGCACCCCTGAAGGTGAAGGTGAAGCCGCCGCCGCGTATCCTGAAGAAGATACTGGCGAAGCGGAGCGAGACGAAACGAGCGGCGATGCGCGCGCGGGACGAAGGAGGCGATCCCGCGGAGGACGACTCTTCTTTACGAGTGGTACTCCCAAAAAAGCCTTCGTCACCAACAATAGGCGACCTCGAGGCCGCCGGCGACCGTTTGTGGGACATTCTACTACTAACAGGATGTACAGCAAAGTGCGGGAGACTCAATAGCGACGGCACGCCCGTGCGCGTGTTGCCTAGAGGAAACAGCGATTATAAGCGAAAATGGGCCTGTGCCTCCCATATGACGATCGTTGCGTCAATGGTGGCGCACGGCGGAGGCCTCACTAGCCTTGAGGGCTGGAAACGAGACGACCTAGTAACCAAAGACGTTGATGCATTATTGACCGACGCCCATACCTTAGCAAAAGCATTCAACGAGCTGGACGGCGAACTACGAGCCCCGGGCGCACTCAAGTGTACAGTGGCATTCCACAGAGAGCAGAAGGCCCAAAGGAAGGCCGAGATCGCAGAGGAGGTCAAGGCTGAGCGCTCGGACCCGTCCTTCAACCCGGACGAGCGCGTCTTCGAGTACTACGTGCGGAACGCGGACGAGAATTATGTGCGGGACCAGGACGGGAATTTGTTACGGGCTACTGTGGTCGACGATGGCGTGCGTATCAGGGGAGGCTCGACGAGATTCCGGCGCGAACCAAAGGTGGTTTCGCCGCGTGTGGCCGAGGACGGGTCGCATCATCCGTGGGCCAACAAAGTCCTAGAAGCTCTTGGTGGCGTCGACGCATTGAAAGGAGCTTGTAATGCGACCGTGCCGGAATTATTTAGTCCAGGGGCAATCGGAGACCTAGCAGAAGCAGGATACTTTAATGGCCACGGGGAGTCTACAGACCAGGGCCGGTGCGCTCGCGCTGGGACGAAGAGTGATGGGCAAAGCCGCGGCGTGATCCGGATCTACGCTGAAAACGCCGAAATATATTATGATGCAGAGGAGGGCCTGGCCTCCATCGAATTCGATCCGTCTGACTTTCCGCATTTAGATCCTGAGATGGAGGAGTACAAGAACCGCAAATTAGCCTCACATCTCGTGCCTTTTATTCAACAGGGCTTCGTGCGCTACCACGTCGATTCGGGGCGTTTTCTTTTTGCCGGGCCGTACTGGGAGCGCGCCTCTGTACTACGCGAGGCGCGGGCGCGGGACGAAGAACTGTCGGGCTTGTCGGGCTGCAAGGGCCGGGCGACGCAGATTCGCAAGAACGTGCCCACGCTGGGCTCCGTCATCATGGTCGTGATGATCAAAGGGGTCGCTCACGGGTGCAAGCTCCCGGCGAGCATGTGGTGCAAGTATGGCTACAACGTCATGAAGCGGCTGCTCGGCGGCGCGGACCTCGAGGCGGAGTCCGAGGCGGCGCGCGTGGCCTTTGCCAAGGCCTGGGCGGCGTTGATGCGGCGGTTTGCGGCGGGCGAGGAGACGCTGCCGGTCCAAATTGATTTTCGTAACCAGTTCGCCATGGACGTGCGCGACGAGCACTACTTACCCGCGCCCATCGACCTCGGCGTCCTCCCGTCCCACGTCTTCGGCCGGGCGGGTGCTGAGGCCGTCCTCGCGCCGTCGCTCCCCGGAAACCGCGGCAGCACGTCGTCGTGGCCCGCGCTCTACAACTTCCTCGTGGCCGCCGACGCGCTGGTGCCGGGCCCGACGGGCGGGCGCTTGCGGAACGCAGCGGGCTTGGATGACTTCCTGTCGGGCAAGCCCTCATGCTCGAGCGTTTTATTCGCGGCCGACTTCCGCTTCCGGCTCGGCGGGGGGAAGTGGGTCCAGAAGGAGGAGTGGCCGGGCGACCAGTTTTAGCTGGACGACGTCGCTGCTTCCAAAGTTACCTTGTGTCTACTAGTACGTCATACCTGTGTAAGTAGGGTGTGCGGTTACTATCTTACTACTAGCACCGCGCGTCGGGTGCGCCTCATTCGCGCGTAAGCTCGTCTGTAGCCCAGGAGGAAGTGGCGCCGCCAGAGCGACTCGAGCGAGAGGCACGTCACGTCGTCGTGCGCGCGGTGGCGCTTAACAGAGCTCTCACGTCGGGCGGCAGGCCCTTCATCGAGCGCTCTCGCGCGAGAGCTCGGCGCTCCGGCGCGCGAGTTCGATGGCGCCTCATACGGGTGTTTTATAAATAACTAGGCGTCCGGTTGACTAAGCGTCAAGTCCATAACCTGGGAGTCGTCCTCGTCGGCGGCCGGCTCGGGTTGCGTCTCCTCAATGACGATGGCGTTCGCAAATGCCTCGGCGTCCCGCTCCTCGGCTGTCCGGACGCCGACGATCGAGATCTCCTGGCTCTCCTCCTCCTCGGGCGCGGGCTCGACGCGTTGTCTTTTCGCGGGCGGCGGGCCCGGTGGCGGCGCGGGCGGCGCGAACGGCGTGAGGCCGGCGACGGTGCGCGTCTTGTAGCCTCGGATGAGGCCGCTGACCTTCCCCCGCACGCGAGCGTTGACCGTTCTGATGACCCGCTCCGCCAGGTGGTCGAAGAGTGGCCGCGCCGTCGCGTCCGGTAGCCCGGCGAGCGTCAGCGCGCGGAGCCGGGCCATCGCCCGGAGCCCCGGCTCAAGCCCGCTCATGCACCCTCGACAATTGAGGACGAGGTCGCCCCGTGAGTGTTGAGTGGTGCATGCCGACCCCAGCAGCGGCGCGACGCGCAGGGCCTCCGCGTCGCTCGCGAGCTTCCGGGGCCAGTTCTGGGGCGCCGTCAGGTACGCGGAGGCCAGGACCCCGAGCGCCGCGTCGCAGTTGCGGTCGGACTCGGTGAGCATCGTGTGCAGCCAGATGACGTCGGGAACGGCCGCGCGGCAGTCGCCGTACAGTTTCGCGTACTCGCCGCGGACCGCGACGTCGAAGCCCTTCTCCGCGACGCTCGCTTCGATGGCCGCCGCCGAGTAGGCGCCCCGCGCCGAGAAGTCGGGCTGCGGCGTCGGCCAGGCGAAGGCGAGCGTCGCCGGCCGCGCCGCCTGCCGGATGCTGGCCAGGAGCTGGTCGTGTTTGTCGGCGCCGGTCACGTTCGCCCGAGCGATGCGGACGAGCTGCATGCCCGGCATGACGCACGCCGCGCGCGCCCGAGCGCTCACCGAGACGACCTTGGCGCCTCGCCTCGTGCCCGCCCCGTACCCGTAGGTGTTGTCCTCGGAGGCGTGCGTGAGCGTCAGGCCGACGTCGGCGGCTTCGACGACGAACGTGACCTCGCGCTGCGACGGCCGCGCGCTCTCGGCGCGCGCGAAGGCCAGCAGCTGGTCGTCCGAGCCGTGCGCGAGCAGCAGGCGGGCGGCGCGCTTGCGCGCCTCGAGGTCGTCGAGCGACGTCGACGCCAGGCTCAGGGCCAGGCCGATGCTCGGGCGGAGGCGCATGAGGCGCTCGATCAACGCGTCGAGGTTGACTCCCTCGATTCGGTTGCCTTGGTCGAGGGCGACGGGCGGCTGCGCCGCGATCGCGTCGAGGGCGGACTCGAGCAGCGCCGCCGGCGCGCCGTCGCGCGTCGCCTCATCGAGGGCAAGCTCGTAGAGCGCCAGGCGGCGGGGCGCCGTAGGCGCATTTCCAAATGCGGCGATGGAAATGCAGCGGTCCGTCGGTAGCCAACCCTTCGCGATGCCCTCGCGGACGACCGCGCAGCCGTGCCTGATGTCGCGCTTGATCAGCGTCTCGGCGCCGCCCCGGGCCGCGTTAACCGTCTCCGCGCCACCGTCGATCTCCAGCGCGGCGCGACACACGACCGCCCAGCGGTGCCAATCTCCGTTCACGGCACACGCGTAGAGCACGCGACGCGACGCCGCGGCGGCGCCCGCGTCCGCGTCCTCGCCCTGGATGCTCCGCAGCGTCGTCAGCGCGCGGTCGAGATCCTCCGAAGAGAGTACCGCATCCGTATTCGACGCGAGCCGGTCCTCGATCGCCGAGACGGCGGCCCGCCGCGTCGTTGGTAAGGCGTCCGGCGGCGCGCACGCGTGGCGCGCCACCTCCATCGCAAAGTCCACGAGGTCGAGGCCGTTCGGCGTCGTCTCCGACAAAGCACCGAGGTCGCAGGCCCCCTTGACCGTCTCCCACGACGAGAGCCAGCCGCGCGCCAGAAGCTCGCGGAGGTTCGCCCGCGCCGGCGCGAAGTCCGCGCCGTTACGTAGCCGCGCGGCGAGCTTCGCGGCCGCGGCGTTGACGGCGGCGACGAGCGTCGATCTCGAGCCCGCCGACACGGCCATGGCCTCCGCGATGGCGTCGGCGGCGAAGGGCGCCGTCGGCCGGAGCGGCAGCAGGCGCGCGAGGAGGGCCGGGCGGCCCGCCTTGGCGAGCGCCGTCGCGCCGTCGGTCAACGTCGAGAGCCGGCTGCCGACGGCCGCGTCGAGGGCCCGTTTGAACGGCGTCGGCGTGCGCCGCGCCGGGACCGGAATGCGGCCACGTCCGAATGGTGGCGCGCGCCGAAATGCTGGCACCGCCCTCTCGAGGCGTTGCAACTCCTCCACGCAAACCTGCTTGACGGCGGCCTTCTTCGCGTCCAAAAAGCCCTCGGGCGAGCCCAGGATGCGTTCCACGGAGCGGCGCAACCGCATTTGCGTCGTCTTGCCGTCGAGCTCGGTGAACGCGCGCAACACCGCTGCCCGCTCGGCGGACGAGAGCGGCGAGCGGAGCGCCTCGGTCCTCTCGGCGGCCGTAAGCGGCTCGCCGCGGCCCACAGCGGCCTGATGTTGGGGCACCGCGGGCGCGAGGGGCGCGAGGCCCCGCGCGACGCCGACGAGCAGCGCCTCGCGGACGTCGTCGGGCGCGGCGGCGGCGCGGCCGCGCGCGAGCAGCGCGTCGACCTCCTCGAGCCGGTCCTTCACGAAGGCCGCGGGGTCGGGGAGCGGGTTGTTCTCCGCCGCGCAGTCGCATTCGATCTGGTCCGGGTCGTAGCAGTCCTCGTCGTGGCAGTGGTAGTCGCCGCAGTTCGGGCACCCATACTTGCGGTACCCGTAGCGATCGGGCCGGCAGTCGCAGTCCTCGCCCTTCACCCAGTTGTCGCGCGCCTCCTCGACCTCGTTCTCCGCCTCCTCGAAGGCCTCGGAGATCCCGTCGAGCGCGTCCGCGACGGTCGCCGCCGCGTGGTCCTCCTGCGTCTTCGCCGCCGCCGGGTCGAGCACGACCGGCGCGAGCGCGCGCACGTAGGCGTCGCCCGGCCGCGGCGCGGCGCCCGCCGCCGCAGCCTCCGCGAACAGGCGGGGCAGCGCCGCGTCGACGCCCGACTCCGACGCGATCACGCTGAACGCGAGGTCCGCGGCGGCCGCGCCGACGTCGGGCAGCGCGAGCAGGGCTGTCCGCAGCGCGCAGACGTCGACGGCCGTGATCCCGGCCGCCTTGGCGAAGGCGACCGCCGCCGGCGCCAGGAGCGGCCGGTCCCACTTGTCGGAGGTCCAGGACCGCGTCGGGTCGAGGCGGAGCGCGGACCCGTCCGCGGCGGGCGCCGCGGCGAAGGCGACGTCCGAGGAGGACCACCGCCCGGGTCCCGTCGACCGCCGGACGCGCCCGTAGACGAGCCCCGCCTCGGAATCGTAGAAGGCCGGCGCGTCGCGCACAGCATGGAGGCACTCCGCATCTCGCGCCGCCCGCGCCGTCGCGAGCGCGTCGACGGCGGCCGCGTCGGCGACGAGGGGCAGCGTCGCCGGCTCGACGAGCCGCCGGAGGCCGGCGTAGGCAAAGGACGTCTTCGCCGTCGCCACTGCGTGCAGCAACGAGTCCGCGACGGCCCGCGGCGCGAGCGCGTCGGCGGCGCGCTTGGCGGCGGCGCGCTTGGCTCCCACGTCGCGCGCGATCGCGTCCGGCGCCGCCGCGGCGGCCACCAGGAGTTTGAGCACGGGGACCGAGTTGACGCCGCCCATGCTGACACCGCTGTACGACCCCCGCAAAAGTACGGCTTCGCGCGTCACGCTCACGTCGACGCGCACCTCGCATTTCACGTTCCCGTACATGACGGCCCCGACGAGTTGCGAGGCGCCGTCCCAACGTAGTGACGTCGCCGTGACGCCTCCCTCGGCCGCTCCCTCGATCAGCCCCTCGACGTACCGCGCGCCGGGCGTCGCGGGGCCATCGTCGCCGTCGTCGCTCCCGTCGTCGTAGCGCGACGCCTCGCCGTCCGACGCGAGGTCGCCCTCGACGAGCATCGCCGTGCCGGTCGCGGCCTCCGCCTCGAAGTCGCCGGCCGAGTCGTCGTCGTCTCCAGCGTCCGCGACGTCGTCGCTGGGAGCGGCCGGCGCGGCGCCGCCCAGGAACGCCGCCATGGCGCCGTCGACGCTCGACCGGGGCACGTCGTCGGCGGCGGCGAGCGCCGCCGCGAGGGCGAGCGCGCGGCCGACGCGCGCCTCGGCCGTCGCCGCGCCCGCCACGTCGACGACGCGCCAGGCGCCGTCCTCCACGCGCACGCAGGAGGCGCCGCCGCCCCGCCAGCGCAGCAGGAACCGCGCGCCGTCGTCGGTGTGCGTGAGCGACGCGGCCTCGAGGTCGGCGGCGCCCGCGAGCGCGGCGACGGCGTCGACCGCGAGCGGCGCGTCCTCCGCTTCGTGCGCGTCGTCGGCCGTGGGCGCCGGCGCGGGCTCGGCCGCGGGCGCCGTCGGCTCGGCCTCCATCGGCTCCGGCGCGGGCGCCGGCGCTGCGACCGGCGCCGGCGTGGCCAAGGGCGTGGCCGCGGGCGTCGCCGCGGCGGCGTCGAGCGCCGCCCGGAGCCGCGCGATCTCGCGCAGCGCCGCCGGCAAGTCCTGGATCGCCGCCTCGACGAGCGTGAACGCCTCGTCCTCGTCCGCCGAGCCACCGCCGTCGCGCAGCAGGCGGCCGGGGCAGAGCACGATCCTGCGTGGGGCATCGCGTCGATGGCGTGACACGTGGCGCCATCGACGCTACGTGGACGTGGCACGCGATGCCAACGCGAACAACGCGAAGGTAATAAAGGACGCCGCAAGAGCACGTGTCGCCGGCCGCCACGTCCGCGCCGGCGCCGCCCGCGAGCCGCACGACGGCGCCCGCGCGCGTGACGACCGCCGTGGGATTCGCGCCCAGGCTCACGACGCGCAGCGCGCCGTCCGGGCTCCGGAGGAGCGTGGCCTGCCGTCTCGACACGCGCGGGCTCGTGATGCTGCCGCTCAGAAGCCCTTGGCGCCCGAGCTCGACAACATCTAAATCAGGCAGCGGCGTCACGCGGCCGGCGCGGCTCCGCAGCGAGAGCGGCGGTGGACGTTCGTGCTGCGGTGGTTGCCGCGGCGTCGCGAGGGCTTGCATGGCTGCCTCACTTTTGGTTCTGTGGCTGCGCTGCGGGTTTACGTCGCGGGTGGCAGCTGTATCTGGCGTCAAGGTGGCTGCGACTGCAGTTATCGTCGCGTTGGCAGCCGTATGCGGAGCAAATGCGCCCACTGCTGTTTTTGGCGCGCGAGGGCCTTACGAGTCACTCTGTCGTCAGTCGGCTGTAAATTACCGCTGCGGTAGGCTGTAAAACGCGCTCGCTAGCGTCGTACTGCCGCAGTTTGCGTGGTCTTTTGAATTTACACGATTACGATTTGAGGCTAGCGTATTGAGAACACACTAGCTTTTTTTTTGCGGTCTCATTTTGTTGAACTTTGGCTGTTTGCGGCCGTCAAACGCGGCCGGAACGCGCGCTGTGGGTCCTGGGTATCTCTCGCACACTCCCTGGGCTGCTACCCAAGTTTTGGCCGCCCCGCGGGCCGGGAAAGGCGAAAAGACTTCACCGGAGTTCAGCGGCGCACCGGGCACGTGCGCCGAGCAAACGCGACCCAAATCGCCATCAATTAGAAGAACCCACAAGCAGCCATGGTCTGGATCAGCCAGATTCGGGTCGACGCGCGCGACTCGTTGATTCCGTGGTCGACCGTGCGAAGTTTGTACGAGCGCCACCGCATCGTGCACGTGAAACGAGCAGCGCTCGGGCGCCACCGCCCAACACGCTGGCTCGGCGAGGTCAAGCGCCTGGCCAAGACGCACAACGCCACGACCGTATCTAGAGAGGGCGGCGCCGCCTTCGAGTCCGAAGAGCCGTGGTATGCGTCGTTCGTCGTCCACGACGCCACGGCGTGTGCTGCTACATTGAGACGGTTGCCTCGCAATGGCGTCGGAATGAGGGGCGTCCCCGGCGTCGCGGAGAGTGAGGCGCACCACGGGAGTCACGCGTGGATTTTTGTGGGCGACAACTCGAGGGGCACGGAGTCTTTAGATGGGAGACCGGAGCACACGGACGCCCTGGCGCCGCATATCGAAGGGACCTGGCACTACCAGATCTCGGGGTCGAAGTTGTGGCGGGTCCGGGAATGTGGAGATAATGGTGCGCCGATCATGATCCGCGTGGCGCGCGGCGACGTTTTGTTGATCGATACGAGGGTGTGGCGCCACCAGGCCTCGATCCCCGCCGAGAAGGAGCCGTCGATCTCTATCGCGCGGGACTTTTCGTATGTGCCCCGCCAGAACGAAGAGGCCTTTGGGGACGTCGACGCTCTATTAGCGGCGCGGCCGGCGGAGACGGGCGACGTCCTCTTCTACGAATCTGATTTGCCTGATTGTGAGTTACCACGATCAAAAGAAGATGCGAACTGCGCGGTCGGTGAGGATCAAGAGGGCAAGCTTTGTTTGGTCGCGACGCGGCGCATCTCCACGGGCGAGGCCTTCGCGATGGCGCCGTCGTCGTCGTCGGAAGACGAGGAGAAGTGAGTCGGCTCCGAGACGCGCAGGATTATGCGCGCGCCTCGGCGGTATGTATTTTGACTAACTAATCGTAATAACCTACTTAGGCACGAGGTCCTCGTCGCGCCAGGCGCCTCCAAAAATCATCTGGGGCTTGGCCGCCGAGCCGCCGAGTTTTCTAGGGGTGTACCTTCCAGGTTCTCTGACTTCACACAGCCCAAAGTCCGTGTGGACCTTGCCTCCATATTGACTCTTGGCGAACTGGTCTTCCACGCCATACGACGGCTCCTCGGCCCGGCCGATGCCTAGCACGGACGTGAACTTCGGTTTGGATTGGCCTTCACTGACCAACTGGTGCTGCCGGTAGTCGTGCTTATCACCGGTGGGCGCCGCCGTGTACATGCGGTAGCAGCTATTCCTTATGGTAATCTCGCCCGTCTTCGCGAGTTCTTTGGACGGTCGGTCCGAGAGATGCCTCGCGCGGGGATGCGCTCCTCTTATTTTGGCAGGATCATATTCACCCGAAATGACGTCAAAGCCGTTGTAGTCCTTGATCTCTACCAAACGATCCGTCCTGAGTTGATCCGTGACGACCTTCTTCTCCGCTTGGAGGCGCTCATGCTCCTTCCGTTCCACATCTTGGCCTATCTTCGATTGGTTCCGCCGGTCGAAACCCTTGTTGAAGCGCGTGTATTCTAGGCCTTGTTCGGTCCCTTGCATCATGCCGACGAAGCCATGAGGACCATCCACATGAGTCATATTTAATGGAGGGCCCCCATCGAAACGTTTTTTTCCGACACCTACTCCCACGTCGTGGCCCTTCGTGTGTAGCGTCGCGTAGGGCGGCACGGTGCTCCTTGGTTTACAGGGCTGCGTCTTTTCGACGGGGCCGCCGCCGTCCGCAAACGCCTGGGCGGCGCTGGGCAGCCGTGCTACCGACATGGTGTGTTGTTGTTGGGAGGGGCGCTGCCCGCCCGAGAGATGATGGGTCCCCGCGCTTGTGCCGGCGCGTCGCTGGCGTGGCGGGACGTTTCGGCCGCGTTGCGCCGAAGCCTGTTGTGTGCAATGCGCGCTGGGAGGCACGGAGAGATAGCGGCCAGAGGAGGCGCTACCGAGGAGCGCCGACTCTGGCGACTCTCCGGAGGCCTAGGGCTCCTGGTCCTACGCTTCGGATGGCTCTATCGGAGCAGCCCCATTTCCTTGGATCGGATAGACACACTAGCTGCTTTGGCTCGAGGTGTAAACGCAAGCACAACTCCATAGCTCCTAGGGCTCATCGGAGCACGAACCAGAGAGCTGGGTTCAGTCGGCGTTGCTGTCTTGCGATAGCGACCCAAGAAACACTGAGCCTAACCGTAGAAACAGCAAGCAAAGCACTACAGGCTGTAATATGAGGGCAGCGCTCGCGCTCTTGGCGCTGGCCGTGCCGGCTGCTTGTTTCGTGTCGCCGCAGCGACGGCTGGCCGCGCGACCGCTCTTTGCCGAGGAAAATGCTGATTTTGATCCCAATGCGAAAGTGAGCCAGCTCGACGAGGTCCTCATCCAGTGGGGGATTAAAGATGACCCGCGCGTCCCCGAGGAGTGCCGCGTCGACCCCATGACGCGCATCAAGGAGGCGGGCAAGGCCGGCGTCGCGGCCTACACTTTGACCGAATTTGCGTTTTGGCTGGGGAGCGTGCCGCTGGCCATCGCGCTTGTCGCGTACACGACCGGAAGTTTACCGGACTTCGCCACCACGGAGGGCAAGGAGGCCGTCGCGGGCTACGTCTTCGTCTTCATCAACTTCGCGCGCGTCATCGTGCCGCTGCGCATCGCGTTAGCCTTGGCGCTCGCGCCGTGGTGCGAGCGGAACATCATCGAGAAGTTCTTCCCGGCGAAGGTGCCCGACGAGTGCGAGGTCTAGAGTCGCCTCCCTAAGATTTGGATACTTCTCGGCGCGTCTCGCGTCGTCTCCGCGCGACCGGATCGAAGCACGACGTGCCGCATCGACAGCGTATGCGGGGGAAGCAGGTGGTGCCTGTGTGGAGCTCAGCGCGAGAGACGCGCACATGGTATAGGGGGTACGCTTACCAGGTAGACGACAGGAAAAAGCTGGGGCGGCGTCGGTTTGGACGCGGCGCGCGCAGCCCCCGGCCGCGGCCGGACGATACGAAGGCAGCAGCGAAGCCGCCGCATCAAACGTACCGCGTATACGATGGGGGGCAGCGGCCGGTCGTCGATTGGCAGACGCTACGCCGCCGACTGTGGCACACGTGACAACAAGTTCCTCTCGCGGGCCGCGGCCGTCGCGACGCGCCGCTACTATAGGCCCGGGAAGACGGTCGATGGCGAGCGGCACCCGTTCTCCATGTGCGACGACTTTGGCTGTCATGCGCTCCGCGGCCTCGAGCGGCGGCCGCTCATAAAGTATGGGGTGGGCGCGGATTTGTACTTCAAGGGCCTCAAGGCTCTATCGTGCATCTTCTTTCTCGTCTCGCTCCTCTCGCTCCCTTGCATCCTCGCGACGTACACCGCGTCGAGGGATGATAACCGGGACGCGGTCTTACAGCAGCAGCCGCCCCAGTTCTTCTACTACGCTTCTTTAGGAGCCTGGGGTGCGGCAACGACAGTGCCCTGCGGCGAAGTCACGGAAGGTACTCTTGATTTGAGTTGTCCAGCCGGCGCAGTTATGAAAGACATACGAGCCTACTATGGTACAGTAACGGGATCGTGCACCTGCCCCGAGACCCACAAGCCGGATCTGAATGGAGCGTGCCCCGGCGCGCCGTCCTCGAAGACGCGGTGCGGCGGCAAGCCGTGCTTTTCCGGTACTACGCAGTTTGGGGAGGCGTGCTGCGCTTCGCATGCCTATGAAGACGGCCGGCCCGACTTCCGAGATGTAGAACCAGCATCTGGGGAGTGCGCCTCGTCCTCTATACAGGAAGTGGCTCAAAACTCGTGTCTCGGGCAACGAAAATGTTCCCTCGACGCCGTACCGCTGAACTGCTCGTCCACAAGACTTGTAGCGTACGCGACCTGTGTCGAACCGAAACTCCGCATCCTGGGTGCTATCCGGGCGTCGCGCGCGGCCACGTCGCAAGTGTTGAGTTGGCTCGACGCCCTCGGAGCCGCCCTGTTATTAGCGGGCGGCCTCTTCCTCTCGACGCGGGAACGAAGGGCCCAGCTCCAGTACGGGAGGTACGTGCGCTGCTCGAGCGCCTACACCGTGGCCATCACGCCGTCGTCGCTACCGAAGAGGCCGAAATCACTGGACGCGCTCGACGATGGGTTGAGAAACCACTTCGCGCGAGTGCTAGAAGCCAAAGTGGTGGACGTGAATTTTTTTTGTGAGTATACGCGGCGGACGATCAAACTGTGGCGGCAGCGAGGAGCGTTAGCCTTAGAAGTCGACGCCGCGGACGCGCGGAGCAAGCTACACCTCGAAAGCAGTAAGAGAGATAGGAAGGCGCGCTTCAAGTTCGACGAAAGTCAGAGATTGATCGAGGAGGACGCGCAACGAGAGAAAGGCCGCGTCGTGGCCTGTTATGTCACGTTCGACACCGAGGCCGATAGAGCCAAGTGCCTGGAGACGTACGCTTCCCGGACACTCTGCCAGCGCCGCCATTTGCGGTTCTGTGGGCGTAGTCTACGCTGTAAAAAGGCCGCCGAGCCGCGCGATTTAAGATGGGAGCACCTCGGTCAATACAACCTCATCAGACGAGGTCTAGTATTAGTGGCCTTCTGTCTCCTGTTACTATTGTCGTCGGCGGCCATCTATCGGTCGCGGAGCTGGAAGGTCCAAAGGGAACGGAGGCACCCGACGCCTGAGTGTTACTTATTTAGGGGCAAAGATCGCATCAGGTATAAAGGCGCCGAAGCTCATATCATATCTTCCGGTATTGGTACTTTATCGATGGCCGACGTCGTCCAAGATGAACTTGGAGAGAGGAGGGGCTACGTCGAGTGTTTTTGTGGTAGAATCCTCAGCGAGCGAGGGTTAAAATACACGCGAAACTACGAATTCGAGACCCCAGATGGCTCAGAAAGATATTGTAGGAGATGGATCACGCGGAAGGCCAAGACCTACGGGGTTTATGGCGGCGCCGTCGCGTTTGTCGTATTGGTCGAGCTCGCGATGGATTACGTGGCGGGTTTCCTGACGGAGTACGAGCGCTACGCGTCGCGATCGCAACAGTCGGTCGCCCACGCCCAGAAGCTCGCGTTCCTGAAGGTCGTGAACGCGGCTGTTTTGATAGTACTCATCCATGGCAACCTCAACGCGTTCCCCACTTTACGTAGAAAAGCGGAGCGGAAGACGTCGTTCTTCGGGTTCATGCGCGGGAGTTATGCCGATTTCGATGCGGGGTGGTACGGCACGGTCGGCGTGGCGATCATGCTCACGCTTGTATTATCTTGGTTATCTGAGTTAGCATGCTATCTCATGTCTTTCATAGCCTTCCACATCAGTGCGTGGAGAGATAGGTCCTACACCTGCGATGTAACAAGAACAAAGCAGCTCACGCAGGAAGGTTTGAATAGATTGGTCGTCGGCCCTCCAATGACGTTCGAGGCTCGGTACGCCTCGCTAGCCAAGGTCATCATGTGTTCTACGCTATTTTCGAGTGGATGTCCACTACTCAACGTCTTTGCCTTACTCTACTACTCTACGCAATACCTCGTCGATAAGTTCCTCTTCACAAAATTTTACGCGGCGCCTCCTACCATGACGAACGCCCTGGCTTTGTTGCTGTCCGAACTCATCCCCATCATGATCGCCGGCCGTTCAATCGTGGCGGCCTGGATGTGGACGGCGCCGTCGTTGATCGGCGATGATGCTGATGATGACGAGTTGCTACTCAGTGCCTGGGCCGTGGCTCGTAAACGCATAGACCACGCGAACGCGCTGCCGCACGTCGTCTTGGTTATTGCGGTATTACTCATGGAATTAAGGCGACTCTTGAAGTGCCGCTGTACATCAGTAGACGACGAGGATGATAATGACACGACGTACTTCCGAGCTATTCGGACGGCGACCTTGGAGCGGCGCCTCGCCGAGAAGACGCTCAAGCCCCGTATTCTAAATGAATATCGGGACGAATTACGACGAAGGAAACATCAGCCAGTGACGGAGGAGCCGCAGTTCCAGACGCTCGAGAGCTACGACCTGCGGGCGTGTCCCGTCTACGCGGGCGAGTTCGCGCTTGATAGTAGAGCGGTGCGCCGCGTGGATAACCGGCGGAGCGTCGGCGGCGACGAGCGCGGCGCGGCGCGGACGTCGACCGGAGGGGCCTTGGCGTCGTTCCGGACGTCCTTCGGGCGCGGCCGCGATTCGTTGGAGTCGGCGTTTGATGACGAGGAGGAGGCGTGTGCGTCGTCTAGTGAATCCGAGGACGAGATTTATGTCGAGGAGACCGAGCCCGACGACGACCACCGCCGCTCGCTCGCGCACCGACGGAGCGTGGGCCGCCGGCCGCGCGCGACGCTGGGGCCGCACAACGAGGTCGCGTGGCACGAGCGCTGGGCGCGCGACGACCGGCGCCGGTCGAATGGCGCGTCGGAGCGCCCGGCCTGGGACGTCGGTCTCCCCAATATTGACCTGCGCTCGCCGCCGCGGCCGCCTTCTCCCGAATCCGTCGCCGCCTTCTCGGATGAGGAACAGGTCTTCTCGCCCGAGGTCGCGGTCGTGGTCCCTCGGGCGGTCCGGGAAGCCCGTCCGCCACCACCAGATGACCTGGCCGTGGTCGAGGCGGGCGAGCGGGTTTGATTGATTAACAGTGTGTTGATTATGAACTTACTTCTACAATCATGGCGCGCCTGTCGACGCGCGGCCGCGCTACGCCGTCGCCGCGATGCCCCCGGCGGAGGTCGGTGCGTTGTGTGTGATTGCGGCGCTTGCGGCGTGTCGATGTCCGTGACAGACGACGGACGACGGTAGTGCTCGTGCTCCGTAAAACACAACAACGTGGGGCGCGGGTACGGCCTAGTACTGGACCTGACTCATTACCACGTGTCGAAAAAAAGGGAGAAGAAGGAAGGCGGTGCGACGGGGGAGAGCGGCACAAGGCGTAGAGCAGTCTTCGTAGAAAAAGGGTGGTTTCAGAAGAAACCGGGTGTGAATGAGATGGGCCGTCGGCGACCACCGCTGGTCTTGATCAGCGGCGGCGCGGCGGCCCGGGCTCGGGGGTAGATTTACCCGCCGAAGCCGTAGAGCGTGCGGCCCTGGCGCTTGAGCGCGTAGACGACGTCCATGGCGGTGACCGTCTTTCTGCGGGCGTGCTCCGTGTAGGTGACGGAGTCGCGGATGACGTTCTCGAGGAAGACCTTGAGCACGCCGCGGGTCTCCTCGTAGATGAGGCCCGAGATGCGCTTGACGCCGCCGCGGCGCGCGAGGCGGCGGATGGCGGGCTTGGTGATGCCCTGGATGTTGTCCCGGAGGACCTTGCGGTGGCGCTTCGCGCCGCCCTTGCCGAGGCCTTTGCCACCTTTGCCGCGTCCAGACATGATGAAGTGATGTGTGTTTGGTCCGATGTGTTGGAGCTGGGCAGAGGCCCGAGCTGGGGGCCGGGCTCACCGCGGCACCCCCACTCTTTAGGTCCGTTCAATTCCCCCACATACCCAAAGTCGGTCCAAACGCCTCGAAACGCTGCCTGCGGGCCGGCGCGGACGCGGGGGCCCCGGCGCGGACGCGTTTCCGGGGCGGCGCCGGAGCCTTGAGGCGTTTGGGCCCAGTTTGGGTATGTGGGGGAATTCAACGGACCTAAAGAGTGGGGGTGCCGCGGTGACCCCGGTCTCCAGCCGCGGCGCTCGTCCAAGTACCAACACATCACTTAAACAAAAATGGCCCGCACGAAGCAAACTGCCCGCAAGTCCACCGGCGGCAAGGCGCCCCGCAAGCAGCTCGCCACCAAGGCGGCGCGCAAGTCGGCCCCGGCCACGGGCGGCGTCAAGAAGCCGCACCGCTACCGCCCCGGCACGGTCGCGCTCCGCGAGATCCGCCGCTACCAGAAGTCCACGGAGCTCCTCGTGCGCAAGCTGCCGTTCCAGCGCCTCGTGCGCGAGATCGCGCAGGACTTCAAGACGGACCTCCGCTTCCAGGGCTCCGCCGTCCTCGCGCTCCAGGAGGCCGCCGAGGCCTACCTCGTGGGCCTCTTCGAGGACACGAACCTCTGCGCGATCCACGCCAAGCGCGTCACGATCATGCCCAAGGACATCCAGCTCGCGCGCCGCATCCGCGGCGAGCGCTCGTAAGCGTTTCCACCTTTTTTGGTGGTGACGTCTTCCGTCCTCCCACAACTTACCCGGTTTCTTCAGAAACCACCCTTTTGCCAACGAAGACCGACGTGGCTCTGTTCGACGTGGCTCTGTTGTGTTCCCACCTCGCGTCGCGCGTCCCGCTCGCCTTTCCTCTCTAGAGACTTACTTCCCCGACGACGGCGTGCGCTCTAAGCTACCGTCGCACACTTTCCTTGGCGACTAGTGTAGTTATTCTAGAGTACATACTTATCCCTCTACCATGCCGTGCAGCGTTACCGCAAGGTAGGTACATATCACATCGAAACTCTCCGATCGATCATCACGCCGCCACGCTTACCTTCTTGCCCGCGCTGTTGGCCCAGGCCGCCAGCTTCTCCAGGAGCGCGTCGCCGTCGATGCCCGAGCCGTCCGCGACGTCAACAGTCACTTTCTGCGTTTCGAGGTCCGGCTCCACCTTATTCACGCCGTCGACCTTCGTGAGGATGCGCGTGATCGCGCCGGAGCAGCCGCCGCACCTGCGCGTTCGATCGTGTCCGTCCCGCGTTCGACGCGACGTTGTAATTGCGTCTGCTCGATGGCGTGGAACGATCGCGCAGCATCGACGCGCATGTCGATGAGTTCTGCGCGGCGCCGCACGACATCTCGGCGTTGAGGACGATGGTGGGCATAGTGCTCCTCTCTTTGGCTGGGTGCTGTGCTTGTGTTATATATCTCCAATCCGTTATTTGTTGGGACGAGCTCGATAACGAGCGAGCGAGACGACAGCAGCTCCTGACGATGGCTATCTGTAGCTTCCGAGCTTAAATGCCGGCACAAAAAATCGTGAAAAACCCGTGCACTGCTGTACGCGTACGAGGCGCGCCCGTCGAAGGACACCGCTTGTAATTCTACTTACGCGCCTCCAAGAACTACTCAGAACGCGCCGCCGTGGAAGTCTCGCGCCGCCTGCTTGACGACCGACGCGGACGCCTCCATGGCTTTTTGCGAGGCGTGGAGCTGCTTGCGCAGCTCCGTCAGGTGCGCGCCGCTCTCGAAGTTGGCAACTAAAGCGGCCGTGTCGAGCTCGGCGCCGCGCTTTTTTTGTTGCGGCTTCGTCGAGAACGCGGCCTTCTTGGTCCGGGCGGGCCCGGTGCCGTAGGCCTTGGCCATGGTCTCCGCGGGATTTTTTTTGGGTTCGCCGCGCGCTCGTCGTCGCGAGCCGCCGCGCTTCGGGGGCGGCGGCGCTTTTGCCGCGGCGCGCGCAGGGGCGGGCGGGACGTTGTCGTCCGCCGCCACACGCATCGACAGGCCCTGGCAGTACTGCAATGCTTCGGCGACCATCGCCAGGTCCGGCTCGGCGTCCGGGACGACGTCCGGCTTTGTCCGTCGTCGCGTCGTACTCGCGTTCGACACCTTCTTGCCCCGTCTCGCCTCTGAACGCTGCTTGCGCATGACGGGGATCGAGGGCCCGCTGTTACGTCCCGCGAACTGGCGCATCGACGGCGCGGGCTTCGACAGCAAGGCGTCGACGCCGCTCATGATGTCGTCGACGCCGCGGAGCTCGGGTTCATTATTGTAGACGTCCTCGTCCCGGGGCGTCTCTCCGTCGAAGAGGGGCTCGTCGTCCTCACCGTCACCGGCGGCGGCCCAGCGCGGGGGCGCCGCGGCGCCGGCGTAGTCGTAGGTGTCGAGCTCGGCCATATTGGAGAACTTACCGGGCGCGCGCGGGCGGCCGCTCGGGGCAGCCTTGGATATTGACCTGGAGCACCTGCTCCTAAACTACCGGGCAGGCTAGGCTGCGTGCGCCGCGCGGGGGCAGCACTTTTATTACCGGTCTGCCAGTGCCAGGCGAAGCGGTTGGTTTTGGCTCCTCGGCGAACTAGCTGCGCACCGCGACCGGCAAACGAGCAGACGCGAGGCCGTGGGGCAGCGCACGACGCCTTATATCGCACCGACCGGGCGACAGGCTCACGCGCGCGCGGCCGTTGGGCAGCGCACGACGCCTTGTATCGCACGCAGCACCTCACGCGCGCGCGGCCGTCGTTGGACGCACTCATGGCGCGCCGCCTCAATACGCTGCGCCTGCCCGCGGTCATCCCCGAGGGCAGCGCCTACGAGTCCTCGAGCGACAAGGAGAATGAGCCCGTACCGCCGACGCGCGACGAGATCAAGGCCGCCGACGCGGCCCTCAAACGCATGGAGGCGGCGCTGCGGGTGTCGCAAGCCGTGAAGAAGCCGACGAAGTCCGAGCGCGTCGCGCGCGACGTCGCCCGGGCCATGGCGGCGCACGCGCGCCGCCCGAGCGCCGGCGGCGAGGATGTGAGTGATGCGCCGCGCTGGAGCGACGACGACGCCGCGGGCCGCGCGCTGAATGAGATCGACGACAACTGGCGCGACGACCCGGTCTTGAATTCAGGAAGGGCGCGGCGCCGGACGTTGGGTGGAAGACGGCCGCGGCGCATCGTCCCGCCCGTGCCGATCGTCTCGCCGCCGCCGTCGACGGAGCGGCTCCTGCGCGCGCGGGACCGCATGGTCCAGGCTCGAAAACGGTTGCACCAGTGTTCTCCCGGAAGAAGTCTCTGCGAGGACCTGGGGTGCGGCTGTGCGTCGAACGAGGCCGCCCCAATGGTTGGTTTGTGTGCAGCGGACGCGGCGGAGTGCACAATAAGTTAAAATTATAGCTCCATCTCGGCACCCGCTCTCAGAGACGCGCCGCTCAGGCTCGCCTCGAGCCGCGCGCGAAAGGAAGAAGTAAGACGGATCCAGTCCGGCGCGACATCTTGCGCAGCAAAAAAAGAATGCTCGAGGCGCATGGCCTCGGCGTACAAGTCCCCGCACCGTTCGCACCCGTGCGGCGTCAATACGTCGAGCAGACCTTCCGCTTGTTCTTTCGCCTCCCAAAACTCATCTGACGAATAAGTCTCGACCCACTCCCTGTAGGGGTTGTCGTCCTCGATCCCGGCCTTTTCGAGGCGCTTCCCTAGAATAGCGTACAACGTCATGCAGGGCACCATGGCGGCGACGACCTCTGCTGCGCTGGCCGTCGGGTCCCGCGATATTTTTTCTAAGAATGAAGTGTAGTCAATAGTCGCCTTCAAGGGCTTGAAATCCTTGCCGAGGTCCGCGCCCCACTTTTTGGCGTAGCCACTATGTAATTTGAGCTCCTCTTCGACGGCGTCCCGTAGCTCCCGCAGATCGCCGCGACACCGCGCTTGTAGTGGTGGTGCCTCCTCTTCACCACATTTGCGCTCCGCGCGCTTGTAGGCGTCGGCGAATGATTTCAAGAAGGCCGCGTCCTGCGCCACGTAGGTCGCAAAAGTTTCTTTTTTTAACGTGCCCGCTCCGAGTCCTAGTACAAACGGGTCCCAGGGCGACTGCTGGGCCGTGGCCGAGTTCTCTCTCCACAACTCACTTGCTAGGCCAGCGGCTGCGGTCTTTAGCAGCAGTGCTAGGCTCCAGCGCTGCACCGCACGCATGGTTTTGAGCTGTGATTGAGCAATGGCAGCACTGGAATGAGCGCAAGAGCAGCAGCGCTGTGATTGCGCACACAGCGTTGAGTCGCAGCCGTGCCAAGCGCCGCTCCTTGTTGCGTACGCGACGCGCCGCATTTTGGCGGGCTAGGTCATAGACGTGCTAGGATTCACCTTTTGGCTCGTCGTGCGACCTGGCCACAGGCGCTCTTTAGCTAGCTTTGGTGGCTTCTCGCATACGTTCTCGGTGTGCGCTCGTGCTGCGCCACTCGCACGATCGCTCGGCGACGCACAATCGCTTTGCGAGCAGCCGCCCCCAAGGTTGTCACTCTACCACATACCTGAGTGCCTCAGCTCAGCCTGCTGCGTGCTTGCTACGACTCATGGCGTCGTTCGGGCCGGTGGCAATCAAGCCGCCAGAGCTTGGTGATTTGACGAGCAAAGGCCAGGACCCGGCGGGCTGCTTGCTGGCCGTGTCGCTGGGCGTGGTGGCGGGCGGTGCGGCGGGCATCGTGGCCGCGGACAACCTGAAAGCGCCCACGCGGCGGAGCCGCGCCTTCGTCGGCCTCACCGTGGGCGCGCTCATGTCCGCCCTCGTCACGACGACCTGTGCCAAGAGGTGCCCCACCGGGGCCAGGCTGGCGTTGTGCAGCCTCACGCTCGGCGGCGCGCTCGGCCTGTACGGCGCGTCGACGCTGGGGCTGCCCGCACGTCGGAAAAGGCCGCCCGAGAGGGACAAGGACAAGGACGGGAATAACGGTGAGGATGCAAGTGCGACGGCGGGAACTCCCTCGCCACGAGGTACGTAGATGTGTTTGTTGTGTGAGCTGGAACCGGCGGGGCGGAGGATAATAATAATAAAACTCGGCCGATTAGAAGAAAAAACCCTAGCACTCGAAGCCCCCCGCCCGCAGCGACCGCACAACACCATCTGCCGCGGCGTCGCCCGCCGCGCAGGCCTGCTCGAGCAGGCCCATGCCCGGGACGACGTGCGCGCCCGCGAAGTAGATTCCATTCCGCCCCTGCAGCGCCGCGATGCGCGCGTGCAATTTGTGTTGATCAACGGTCTGGACGACCCGCGGGAGGGCCACCTCCCGAATAACATGAGACGGCGGCGTGCGCGGCGCCCAGGTCTCGAAAATATCGCCGTCGAATTTAAGTTCGGGATAGAACGCGTTGAGCCACACCGTCAACGACGCGGCGTCGCGATCCGACGCGCACGTCACGTTCAAGGAACGCCAGTCCCCGCGATTTGATGGCATCAGCGACGCGTCTCGATGTATTATGAGGGATCGCGTCTCCGTGGCGAACTGGTCGAAGACGGCGAGGTCCTCCATGGCGGGCAGCACGGCGCGCGTGCACCCCGGCGGCGTCGCGACGATCACCGCATCGTACGCGACGCCGTCGATACACCGATCGCCCTCGACGACGACGGCCCGGCCCAACCTTATATCGCACCCAAAGGCCAGGGCCCGCTCCAGCGCTCCGATGGACGGCGTGATTCTTGAAACAAAATTGCGACTGCCGACCAGACACGTTTTCAATGATAAAGTCAGCCCCCGCGCATATCCTAAAATAGAGGCCGCCGGCGTGCCCTCGACCGCTGTACGCGAAGCGGAGAGGACCCAGGACAGCTGCGCGTTTAACATAGAGACGGCCGCGTTCGTCTCATCCAAACGATGTCTAGATAAAAATGAGCCCCAGTTCCCGTCGTAGGACGCTTTCAAGGCCCGATCTAAGCGTAAAGCGTTCCAGAGACCGATACGCCGCAATTGGAGGAGGTTCCCGAGCTTCGATCGACTATATGCGACGACGTCACCACTCCCAAGCGTGAAGGAGCAGTCCACCGTCGCCCTTGTTGTACAAACAGAAGCATCCCTACAAAGATTCAACAGCGAGAGGTAGTAGCCCTCGCCGACCATGCGTAGAGGTACATCTACAGTACCATGGGGCCCCCGCCACTCGTTCCGCGACAGGCCCAGTGACGGCGCCCTTTCAAATAACGTCACGGCGCAGCCCGCCCGTCTTAAGCGGAAGGCGCTCGTTAGACCCGAGAGGCCGCCGCCTATCACGGCCACACGCGGCCGCGGCTTTTCCGAGGCGGGTCGTCTCGCGCTCACAATAACGTAAGTTAACCGCCCGCCGAAGGCCAGGTTCCACCTTTCTAACACGTTCGGGAGCGTCCGTACGTCAATGTCTTCGAAGCCGTGCCGAGCGAGGGCCCTTTGTAAACACTCAAGTGACGTCGTCCGGACACCCAACAATCCTAAACCCACCACACTCCCGCAGACGTGCGAGAAGCGCAACAGGCCGCCCGGTTTTAGGGTTTTAAACGCCTCTGATAAAAATGAGTCCAAGTGAAAGTGGTAGGCGCAGTCGATCGCCACGACAAGACCATGACACCGCGATCCACACCGTAAATCGTCCGCCCGGCCTCGCAGGAGTCGTATCCTAGGATCAGCGAAGGTTTTGACCGGGGCCGTCGCGTCGACGCCGATCACAGACGTGTCGTAGCGCTCGGCGAGCCAAGCTAATTCCTTTCCGGAACTCCCGCAGCCGACGCTTAGGATCGGGCCGTCCACCTTCATCGTAGAGTCACAGATTGATGATGCGAGCGCCTCGCAGGCGGCTTCGTATGAAGGCGCGCCCGGTGCGCCGAGGTTCGTCCAGCCGGCGCCTCCTAATTTGTGCGCGACGCGCCGCTGGAGCGATGCTATCAAACGGGAGTGGGCGCCGCGCGCGAGGTGCCATACTATAACCAGGAGGACGGCTCCTGCGGCGAGGCGCGGGCTCGCGCTCGGCCAGGCGAGCCAGGTATTGATCATTGCAAAGGTAAGCAGGCCTGGGGCGCTATGCTTTCAAGTGAGACGGTCCCGCCGCAAGAATTGGTATCGGCGACAACTGAGATGGCTGCCGCTGAAGCCTAACCCTTGTCGTAGGCCTTGAAACAACAGCTTGGACTTGCAAGCTGCCCCGGGCCGAAACCTAAGTGTGTCTAAGACGCTAGCTAATTCTCGCCTGCGAGGCAGGCAGGGCGGCCAATCTGAGCAGTGCGCCGCGTCTCAAACTAGCGCAAACGCTTTTTTATTCAAGCGCGTTTACGAAGCGATCAGTGCTGCGCGCGCCGGCATAAAGCGGAGGCTGCAAAGCACCTGTGCTGAAACCGCAGCGATGGCAGAGGACGAAACGATGGCAGACGCCCCGCCCACGGACGCATACGGCCGTCTTATCGGCGAGGCGCACACGTCCGGCAGATTGCGAGGCGCGGACATGCTCGACGCGTCCGAAGCTGCATCGTCTTTATTCGCGCTGCAGCAGGTCCTGCAGCGGGACGACGCCCCGGCGACGACGAAGGCGTTGCGCGCCCTGACGAACGGCATACGAGCGAGAGACGCCAACGCCAAACAGACGTGTGCAGAATGGGCCCGGTCGAGTCCGCGCCTCGCGGAGCTCTTCCACGCCTGCGCGGCGCCGGGCGGCCGCGACGCCGACGCGAAGACTGCGGCCTGCTTTCGTACACTAGCGACGATGCTGCCCCTCCTACCAAAGCCGGACGCCATTCACTGCTGGGCGTTGGCTGCCAAAACGTGGGGCCTCGTGCGAGCGCTGCGTTCTTCCAGACATAAGGATTCGAGACGAGCCGCCCTGGAAGCATTGGAGAAGGGCGCCCTCTGCGGTACTGGGTCGCAGCAAGTCTTGCGGTGGCTCGGGGAAGACGAAAAGACGTGGCTCGCATTATGCAGTGCCAGAGGCAAGGAAGGGACGCGAAGTAAGTGCGCGCGCGTCATGAGTGCCGTCGCGAGAAGTGGTACGAAGGACGAGAGACGGGACGCCTGCAAACTGTTGTTACCGGCTCTACTGAAGGGTCTGGAGGAGGACGCGCCTCGGGATGTGCATTTACTACTAACTGCCTTACGACCGGAGCGCGACGATGTTCATGTGGTAACGGCGCTGTCGTCGGTCGACGGCGCCAAGGCTTTGCGAGTCGTCGCGGCGTACTTACGATCATCTAGAAAGGACGATCCAGGCGCCGCGAAGGCCGCGAAGGTGGCGAGGACGTGGTTATGTGTATTGACGGCGCGGCATGACGATGTGAGACGGGCATTGACCGGGTGTACGCGACCGGGCCACCGGCGCGTGATACGGGCGCTGGATCCCAGTTGTGCCTCGCAACGGGCGGCTTTGGAACTAGCGCTGAAGGCGGCGCCTCCATTGTTGATAGATGTGTTGCGGGAGGGCGCCCCGGGCTATCTAGGACGGCCGCGGCCCTGGGACGCCGGCTCCACAGAAAGGAGCCGCCAGGGCGCTTCATTTTTAGCTAGTTTATTGCGAGCCACTTCCAGCTCAGCAGGCCCCTACGACCGCTCCAAAAGAGAGAGAGATACGGCGCAAGATGTCGTGATGCGGTGCCTGCCGCCTGAGTCAGCCTTAACGAGGAAGGAATTAGGACGAGGTCTGCGAGGCAACGCGTCGTCCTACGCGCTGGATTTGGTCGACGCGTCCCTGCAACGCTTCCACGTCGAGCGCGAGGCCGCCGTGTCGTTGTATGGGGGCTGCGACCACTGCCCCGGCGAACGGCCGCCCGTGAAGGAGATCCTCGAGTGCTGCACGCGCTTGATTGACGACCCCGAGACGGCGGAGAACTACAGTATGCCGCCGCATCGCCGACGGCAGCTCGCGGGGCGTTTTCTCGATTATGAGTGCCGACGGCAGATGGCCGACCGGCTGCCGGACGTCCAAGCGCTAGTGCAATTACTACCGAAGCAAAGCGACGAGACCACTGTTAACGTATTGGACGCTCTGACAGCGTATGCGAGGGAGCTCCCCGAAGCCCTCGCGAAGGGCCGCTTCGACGCCTGCAAGTTTCTGGTCAACGCTCTCAAGTGGCCGGGCGACGCCGCGGCGAAGGCCGTCGCCTTCTGTTCTGAAGCGTGCCCCGACCGCCTGACGCGGCCGTCGGACTCCAGCGCGGTGAAGGGGCGCGACGCGCTGTTCGACGCGTTGCATAGTAGTACGGGTGCATTGGCCGAGGCGCTGCGGGACGTATGTCGTACGATCCTGGCCGGGCGGGGTTTGGATGAAGATCAAATATATGAGTGGCTCGACGCGTTATCAAATACAAGGGCGGGCGCTCCCTTGGGACGGTGCCTCGATGCCCTGGCGCGGGCGCCGGAATTACTAGAGGAACTGACGCCGTCGGAGGCTTTGCGAAGAGCGCCCAAAAAGAAGGACGACGAGGACCCCTTCGTTGTTGTTGCTCAATACATCGACCGGCGCGAGGGCCGCGCGCCGCCGCCCATCCCAGCGGACGGCGGCGCGCTCTTCCGAACTGCAATGGCCGAGGACGACGCCGCGTTGAATGAAGTGCTTACGAGGGTCGGCGTCGACCTTCTCATGCGCGGCGTCTCGACTGACGTCCCCGCGTCCCTGACGCAATTCCGGGACGCGCTGCGCGCGGGCCGGCCGCCGTCCTTGCCCTTCGCGCCGTCGTCGGATTTGTCAAAAGTGGCGTCGCTATTGACGGCGTTCGACGGCGCCGCGGTCGACTCGTTAGTACGCGACGCGCCTCTTGAGAGAGCAGGCGCCCTCTGCGAGGCGCTCTCCACAACAAGGGCCTTCCACAACAAGTCCTTCGGCGCCGCTTTACTAAAACTGGCGACGCGCGCGCTACCGCAAGCGAGTCCCGACCTCATTGAACGCTTAGATAAGGCGCTCTTCGCCCATCCGGCGACCGTCGACGCCCTCCGGACCTTCTTTTCATGTGGAGGCGACGGCCCGCACGCTCGGAGAGCTGCGGAGGCGCTGTCGGAAGCGGACGCGGCCACCCTCGGCGACGTGCCGCGTGAGCTGCGCGTCGCTTTAGTAAAGCGGTGCCCGCAGATGGCGGACGGCGTCATTGTGGATGAGGACGCGCTCCGTAACGTACTACGGGCCTGGACTGAAGGGGCTTCGAATGATGCATGCATCGCGGCGAACGCGACGCGCTGTGCACTACTAGCCACGGATTCTGTTATAGAGACGGCCGTCTCCCGAGCATCCACGAAAGGCGCTGATATGTTACTGGCAGCCTGTGTAAGGGCGGGCCGCTCGATACAGTTTGAGGCGAGCGGGCCTCGATTAGCACAGAGTCTGTGTGCGACGGAATGTGATAATGAATTTGCGCGCTCGTCACTACCAATCAGCTGTGCGTCGCATTTGGACGATGCTGCTTTGCTGGATGCGGCCCTCGCTCGATTAGACGATGCGCCTCCACTCAGCTGGTCTTCTAGTACCATACAAACAGTAGTCACGCACCTCGAGGCGGACACGGTGCATAGCAAAGAGGGATTACGGTGGGTGGCGCGCGTTTCAACTCTAGCGACGGGCTCGTTGCAAAGGTCTTGTCGAGACTTTCTGGACGGCGCGGCCACTGACCACGTCGAGCGCTGTCTGCTGAGCGATACGCCGATTGACGAAGCCTTGCTGCTGGGCGACGTCCACGTTTCTGAGGATGTTATCACAAAAGCTCTCTCTAGATCACCTTCCGTGAACACGCTGCGAGCATTGAAGTTCACAAGAGCTTCGGAAGACTACCTCGCAAAGGCTCTGGAGGACGAGGACCTGCGATTGCACGCTTTACTACTCTTAGATGACCACGAGGACGCCCTGACATTAGCTCTGAAACATTACGGCGGCACTTTATCTGATACCGACAGGGCTGCTCTAGACGTCCTCAACAAGCGAGGCTGCACCGTCGACGGCCCCGAATTGCAAACGTGGGCCTCGTCCCGAAACGCGTCGGGGCCCCTGTGGCCCTTACATGTGTTTGACAGTAACTCAATAGCGCGGACGGCATCAAAGTTTCCTTTATCCCGATCCGCGGTGGCTGATGAAAATGAAGCGTGTACGGAAGATGGTATAGACCCGCGCTTTTTATTGCCAGCGCTATTTTCGTGTTTAAGTGAGTGCACCTCTACGAAAGCAACAGCCGCGAAGCGGGCCCACGAGAGCGGCATAGCTTCTTACTGCCTGGCGGCACTAGCCTCAAAGAGCCCGGCGACGCGAAACTACGCCTTCGGGTGTCTAGACTTGATAGGCACCTACGCGAAGAGTTCTGAAGCGCAAGAAGATCCACAATTCAGAGGCAGGAAGGCCTTTTGTTTGTTGATCGATGGTGTGCGGGGCGGCGCCGCTGCCAAAAGGGGAGGTTTTGAGGACGGTGTCGTCCCACAATTCCCCTGCTTAGCGGCACGAGTAGCGAGCGCCGTCTGCGAAGCGCTGCAGGACCCGAACCACCCGGGATACGCCGCGTCGCACCAATACGTCCTACGACGTAGTAAGTTGCGACCGTGGCAGGATGCTCCATTGTTAAAGGAAGCGCTGCGCATGCCTGATACCTGTAAAGTCCCGTCCTTCGTCGCATTTACGCCCTCCGAAAAACTCCAGAAGAAGACGCGACGGTGGGCCATGGCTCTACTCATCGAGGGCTGTCGAGACGACGAGTCCGGTAGATTGCTAAGGGATGCCCACGCCCTACCTCTACTCATGGCGCACTACGACGCGTTACGGACGGGCGGCTACGACCCCGTGGAAGGCAAGTTAACATTCTTAGGCGAAGTGCCGCCGGGCGCCAAGAGACTGTTAGATGAGCCTGCTTATAAACTAAGAAGAGCCGTGAAAGACGTGCGTCAAGCCTCGAACGACGCTTTGAAGCTACTCGACGCGTTGTTAACCACAAAGCCGGCGCGTCGATCACTCTTCCACCAGAACGGCCTGACGAGCTGGGCGAGAATCCATTTATCTCATCAGAAATTCGACGACGAGGGCAAGAATTACGAGTGGTGTGCTCGCTTAATCAAGTGGATGGCTATCCTGTACGATTCGCAAGTAAAACATGAGCGAGTGCTGGAGGACGCGCCTCTGTTCTTCGTCGATCTCGATAGAGGTGTCCGAGGTATGATGGACTGCTTATGCGACGCGGATTTAGCGAGAGTTGGCTACGAGCGCCCGAAGTTTAGAGCTGAGAGAAAAGCGCCGTTGGACACGCTGGGCATTTTGGACGGTAGTGTAGAAGACCCCAATAAACGCATGTCGGCCTCTGAGCGACTTCGGATGGAGGCGCGGGACGTCTGGAGCGAGGACGAGCTCGAGTACCCCGAGGTACGTCTTTTATCTGTGTGATAACGCCGTCGACGCGCCGCCCGCGCAGGTGCCCGCGAAACGCGACTTGGACGGGGTGGAGGCTTCGATAAAACGGGGCCGCGCGGAAGCGAAACGGCGGAAGGAATTACAAGCGCAGGACCGAAGCGACACGGAGTCGACGGCGTCCGACGCCTCTGAGAATAATGACGCCAAAGTTGAGTGTTTCGCGCGCGCCGATGAGTTATTGCTGGTAGACTACTTCTGCCAGCACGCGCGACCTCCGTCAACGGATGGAACGGCCGCCGGGTTGTTACTGAACAAGATCGAACCGAAGGACGCGTACTTTTATGTGTTCGGTATGGACGGTTCCGAGAAAGTATCAGGATTCGACGACGCCGTCTTGGCTCTATACCTGACGCAGCGCATGCGGGTCCATCCCGTGCCGGACATTGGTGACGTGTTGCTGAAGGACACGGACTGGAGCCAGTCGCCCGTTTTGAAAGGGATATATGACAGTATGAGGCATGATGCTACGACCGAAGCGGCCAAGGCGGCGGATCTAGCGTTGGATAATCAAGATCTAAGAGCTGTCGTCGTCTTCATCGTGGAGACGCTTGTGCTGAACGAGGCCGTGGCCCGGTCTTGTTTAGGGCGGCGGGCGCTCGTCGCGGCGTGCCGGTTCCTCTCCTCATATGCACAAACGGTCGACGGACGCGTCTGGCGCTTCACGGAGCAAGCTCAACGCGTCGCAAAACTGCGCGCGGCGACGGGGCCGGGCTGCGGGCGGTTTGGGGTATCACGTTCCGGGGACGCGTCGAAATACGGGAGTCTCGTGGAGGCGCGCCTCGCGGGTGATCAGAATGGTTCTAGAAGGGGCGCGGCCTTCGTTTGTGATGAATTGCTGGCGGCAGCGCTTTCCGACTTCACTTGTGCTGAGTGGCCGGACGACGGCGCGGTGCTCGACGCGCGCGCGCCGGAGTCGGCCGACGTCGTTGCGGAGGCGCGGGGAGCGCTGCTGCGGGCGGCTTCCTCGGCGTTTCCGTAGGCTGTTTTGTGTTATGTAGTTGTTGTATGAGTAGGAGTTTGCTGTCTTGCACATCCAAAAGTTGCTGGTACTCCTAGGCCCGATGAGCTGAGACTCTTTGCGAGAGCCCTGTGGCGGGGCGCTCGCGGGCACGTGGGGCCGCCCGCGTGCGTTGTGGAAAACTCATGCAAAATGGATTTAGTCTCCTCGCGCGACGAGCGTGTCAGGCCAGGACGTAGCGATTACCTTCGCCGTCCGTCCGGACGTTTGTAATGCGAAGCGGGCTAACGGCACTTGTATCTGGGGGGGAGTCAAAACGACACACCATGTCGCCGACGCAGTCGTCGGGGACGAGGTACTCTAATTCGCGCGCGCGTGCCTGAGGCAGTTCGACTCTTCCTAAGTTGGAAATACACATGCGCGGGGGCCAGGTCTCCTCCTCCTCATCCTCCTCCTCCTCGGCGATCCGCGGCCGGGACAGGTAGACCGTGGGGTCTGCGCCGTGGGTAGGCTGCTTGTCAAATGCAACCAAACTGTGCTCCCCGTCGACAGCCACGCCAGCAACGTTAGAATGATTGATGATGCACCCGTTAACTATGAGTACCGCGCCATTCGCAGCTGAGATAGCAATATCGTGATCTCCTTGGAACACGCATTTTTTGGCAACGGGATATCGTCGGGGCACTTGATCACGCGACTCCGCAACGGCCGGAGGATGGAAATCAGAGAGCGCTGGCCGTTGCCTACGACTGTAGCCGGAACATCAAGGCCGTAGACATGTCCCGGGAGGACCGTTAACTCCCGTAAAGACACATAACTCAGGATGGCCCTGAGGAGGTCCTCGGGGAGTGCATTTGTTTCAGTCGCACTCAGTTGAGTGAGCTCGCGACGCGCGGGAGGGATGCTCGCCGACATTGGATGATTATAGCCGCGAAGGCTCGCGGCGCCTCCTGACTTGCACCACGCAAAAAACATAACCAGCTAGCGTCCTGTAACATACTAGCAAGAATTAATTTTAAAGCACACACAAGCACCGCACAGCGGAAGCAATCGCGGGCAGCCCCACGGCACGCCATCGCAGCGCCCAGGCACAACATTACCTGATGACTACGGAGTGTACTTGATTTAAACGTTACGATTGTAGTACCAATGGCAGCACAAGTCCCTGCAACGACCGACCCCTTTGCCGCCGCCGCACAGGCCCGCGCCGCCGCCGCGGAACGCCGAGACGCCAAAGCGGCGAAAATCCGGGCCTCGCGCGCGGCGGCGACGCAGCGCCTCAAGGCCAATCCGAAACGCGCGGCGGCGGCGCAGCGCGCGGTCCCGCGGCCGCGCGTCCGCCCGCCGCCGGCGCCCGCCGCGCCGCCGGCGCAGGCGCCTCCGAAGCGTAAGGTTGTCGCCGCGAAGCCGGCGCCTGCGAAGCCCGCGAAGCCGGAGCCGCGGAAGCCGGCGCCGCCGAAGGCGCGCGTCGCGCCGCCGCGCAAGCCGCGGCCCGCCGCGAAGAAGGCCGCCAAGCCGAAGCCGCGCGTCGAGCCGCCGCCGCCGCCGCCGCCGCCCGTCGAGGCCGCGGACCTCGCGATCGAGGGCGTCGCCGTCGAGGCCGCCGCCGCCGAGGCCGCGCCGGCCGCGCCGCCGCCGCCGCCCGCCGCGGAGCCCGAGGAGCCCGCGGGCGTCGAGCCGCCGTTCGCGTCGGAGCCGTCGCCGCCGCCGCGCGCCGAGGCCGCCGCCGAGCCCCTGCCGAACTTCCCGGCCATGCGCCGGCTCGACGGCCTCGAGTGCTACAAGGCGCTCGCGCGCCGCGCGCTCGTCGAGGCGGCGTGAGTCGTGCTCTTGAGGCTAAGCGCGCGTTTTTTGAAGGTTATGGTCGGGGCGCGTGGGTCTCTAGCTTAACCGTGGCTGATCTTCGATTCTCGACCCTCGGCGGTCTTCTTCGCCGGGACGAGATATTACAAGGAGCCTGGGGACTAAGGGAGTGTGCGGCTTCGCGTCCGCGGCGGCCGCGCGCGTCGCGCTGCTGCTTACTGAGGCCCGGCCTACCGGTCCTGGTCGTCGTGGTGAACGGTCTTGAACGTTCGGAAACGTTTTTGAGCAAAGTTCAAAGACCGTCGTGCGTACCATAGTTGCTCACGTTGCAAGCCATTTGGCATCTCGACCCGCCGCGCGCGCGCCCGCGTCCGAGAGCTCTTTCAAACCGTCCGCACGAAGCGCTTCATACACTTCACAACGCGCGCGACTCTCAGCTCTCGATTCCTCGAGCGACAACAAAGACTGCACTGTGAACACAAAAGTTTACACACCGCAGTATTCAAGAGAGCGCGGGGCGCGGCGCCGCCGCGCGCGCACCGACACAACCCTCGCACCGACCAGAGCGAGTCCACGCGTAAAAAACGGACGTCGCCCGCGAGCGCCGCGCGACGCGAGTCACGCGACCTGCGTCGTCGGTCTTCACGATCTTCATGCGCATCAAGGGCCAGTCGTCGGTCCTCTGCGGCGACCAGTAGGCGTTCTTCGGAAGGCCGCGCCGCTCCTGTACATACACATATCCCCCTCTCCCCCCATCATGATCGGTGAATCGTGCACATATCGCGAATCCGGACCTTAGCCGCGGCGTCGACGCCGCGCTATCGTATAATGAGAACTCATATGTATCTCGGCTTCAAAGCAGCGGCTAGCGGAGGAAGACACTAGGAAACCTTGCCGGGGCGCGGCTTCCAGGGCTCCCGTTAGGAAATCCGTGGGCTAGCGGCCTGTAAGACACTAGCAAGCTTGGCCTTGACAGGTGCGGCGCCACACAGCTGCGTAGAGATGGACAACGCACCGCAGGACTCGTCAACGACAGCCACGCGCATCGCTGTCGAGGAATTCGAAGCAGCCGTGCTGCGAGCCGCCGAGCGAGCGGAAGCACAAGCTGCCGAGGCGCGCGCCCTCGAGGAAGCCGTCGACGCGCTGCGGAAGAAATAATCCTCGGAGGAAGCGCTGGAAGCGCTGCGGAAGAAATGAGTTATTTGGGCCTGGACCTCGGCGCGACGAACGTCAAGGGCGCCCTCGTCGACGACGAAGGCCGCGTGCTCGCGCACGCCTTGGAACCGCTCGGCGACGGAGCGGCGACGCTCGCGCCGGCTGCTGTTGCAGAAGTGCTCGCGCGCGTGGCTCAAAGCTGCGTGCGCGACTGGGCCGCCGTGCGGGCCGTGGGCGTCGGCGCGCCCGGGGCGATTGAGGGAGACGCTATTACGGGTTGCGCGAACCTCTTCCGCGGCGCCCGGTTCCCCGTGCCGCTCGCGGCGCTCGTGGCGGCGCGCCTCCACGGCAAGCGCATCGTCCTCGTCAACGACGCCGATGCTGCTGCTTTAGCAGAGCGCTGGGTTGGGGCCGCCCGTGGGTTTGAGAGGGCCGCCGTCCTCACCCTGGGCACGGGCGTCGGCTGCGGGCTCTTTTTAGGCGGAGACGCCCCGTTAAGGGACGTCGAGGCCGGCCACGCGAGCGTCGGCGGGCCCGACGGCCGCCCATGTCCGTGCGGCGCGCGGGGCTGCCTCGAGGCCTACGCCGCGGCGCCGGCCATCGTGAGGGCGTACGGCGACGATTCAGTTACGTGCCGGGACGTCGTCGCGCGGGCAGCGAGCGACGACCGCGCGGCGCGCGCCGTCGACGGCGCCGCGCGCTACCTCGCCGTGGGCTGCCTCGACCTCTGCCGGACGCTCGACGTCGGGGCCGTCGTGCTCACGGGCGGCGTCGCGCGCGCGGGGCCGCCGTTCCTGGACCGCGTCCGGCGGCACGCGCGCGAGATGGACTGGACGTGCCTGCCGGGCCGGGCCGACCGCGTCGTGCTGGGGAGCGTCGAGCACGCCGGGTGCGTCGGCGCGGCGCGCGCGGCCCTCAACGCGGCGCCGCGCCGGCGACGCGTGCCGCTCGGGTATTTTGTGCTGGCGCTGGCCGTCGGCGTCGTCGCGGCGGCGCGCGTAAGAACTGTTGTGTGATCTCCATGAGTCCATGAGGAAAGCGCCGGTGGCGTGAAGTGGTTTCATTTGAGTATTACGCGCGCGAGCGTCGGCTCGGCGCGGCTGGTATGATTCGCGATAGGGTACTATGTGCAATGCGAGTATCGTGAACGCGGGGAAGTGAATAGGAGTATGTACAGGTTGTTTGTTTTTCGTCGGCGCGCGAGTCTACTGGTCCTCGATGCGCACTGCAATTTCGAGCTGTCGTTTAGAGTGACACACTTGCTGCCCTTAACTATGCAACATCTCAACAGATTTTGACGCTCGGGTTTTTATCACTCACGCGACTCTCCGGACACGCACGAAGCCGCGTGGACCTCTACTCGAGGACTTCAGGGCCCAATGGCCCAATCGCGCAACGCGCCGCCCGGGCCGCCGGCCGCGACGCCCCACCATTGCAACTTCGATTCAAGGTGGTCTGCGAGCGGTCCGGGAATCGAACCGAGGAGGCGCTCGGAGATGGGTGACTGGCGCCATCCAAGCCAGTGTGAGACATGACGTCCAGCCGCGCGGCGCGCGCGCCCCCAACACTAGTCTGGCGGCGCTCGAGCAACCGTCCTCGCCAAGCGGGCCCTTCCCGCGCACCGGCCTCCGCTCCGTTGCCAGCGAAACACGTTTTTCGCTAGCGGCCTGAGACACTAGCAAGCAAAGCAGCCTGGGCTGTGTTTTGTGAACGCGATCGCCGGCGACGCAGCGCTCTGTGTGAAGAGGTCATTTTACAGCTCTCACGCACTGCCAGTAGCTCGCGCAAGCATCCACCGCGCGCGCCCCGCGCACCACCAGCCAAGGCAGCGCCTGCGCCCAGCGCGGCGCGCGGCCGCAAAAGCAGAGCCGCGGCCGACGCAAACACAATGATCAACTTCCTCTTGTTAGTAAGCCGCCAGGGCAAAACCAGACTCACGAAGTGGTACGAGTCGTACGCTGCTAAGGAGAAGGCGCGAATAGTGCGCGAGATCACGTCCACCGTATTAGCGCGAGCGCCGAAGATGTGCAACTTCGTGGAGTGGCGCAACAAGAAGATCATTTATAAGCGGTACGCTTCCTTATTCTTCATTGTTTGTGTGGACGCGGAAGACAACGAGCTGATCACGCTCGAGATGATTCACCTGTACGTCGAGGTGCTGGATCGGTACTTCGGGAACGTGTGCGAGCTCGACATCATCTTCAACTTCCACAAGGCGTACTACATCCTCGACGAGATCTTCGTCGGCGGCGAGCTCTGCGAGTCGTCGAAGAAGGAGGTTTTAAGCGTCTGCGCGCAGATGGACGAGCTCATGGAGGAGCGCGAGGAGGACAAGGCCGCGAGCGGGTCGTCCGGTAGGGTGCGGAAGTAACGCGCGGCCAGTTATGTGCCTGTCGTGGGGGATCCACCATCCCGCGTGGAAGGGGGTCTCCGGACACTCGCTCGTCGTCGACGGCGTCCGCGCGCACGGGTTCGCGAGCGGCTTGTTGCTAGTGTCTTAGACCGCTAGCCAGGCAAGCCAGGCAAGGCCTGAAGCTGCAAGCGCAGGCGCAGGCATACCGCTGTGGCGAGAAGTTGCAGCCATATCTCATCAGAGCCGCACCGCTCCCTAGCCGCAAGCGTGAAAGCGTGCGGAACGAGCAAGGGCTCTCCCACCTTCAGAGAGCAAAGCACAGGCATCGCTTAGAGCAACCTCTCCCACCACCAGACATGGCCATCTTCAGTAAATGCGAAGTAACCGCGGGCCCGCACGGCCAACAGGTCGTCGCCACGGCGCCCGTCGACCCGGGCACGGCTCTAGTCGTCGACGAGGAGGTCATTTTTGCGGTGGAATGTCAACATATGCAGTCGCGCTGCGCTCTCTGTTGCTGTACGTGTGAGGAGGAAGTCACGGGCGTCGCCTGCAAGGCCTGCGACGCGCGCTGCGCCAGGGACCCTTCGTTACAGCGGTGGGCCGACGCGGCGCAGTTGTTGGGGCCGGCGCAAGGGTCAGTCGCGCTCTGTGCGGCAGCATTGGCCGCGGGCACGATCGACTTTAGTAAGTTGGTCCAGGACTCGCGGGAGTTGGATTCGCGGACGCTGCAGATCTTCCAGCTGGTCGCGGGCAACCTAGGAAGAATAACGAAGCGGACCGAGGAGGACTGCTTCGCGTGCATCCAAGCCGCTCGATTGAACGCTCACGCGCTCGTAGACCACGCGGCCGGCTCAACACCGGGCCTAGACCGTTTTGACGACCTCACGGGCGTGCAGCTCGGCCAGCTGCTCTCGGAGCCGTTGTCGCGCTTCGACCACGCCTGCGACGCGAACGCTTATCTAAGTGTGGACATCCGGCCGGGCCTTCCGATAAGAGCGACGGTGCGGTCCTTACGCGCCATTTCCCCGCACGAACCCGTGACGCTGTGCTACCTTCCCCATGCGGGAAACACGACGGAGATACGACGGCAGCGCCTCCAGGAGGCCTACGACTTTAAATGCGAGTGCCGGCTCTGTGCCTCGACCACCCTCGACGCGTTGCTACGGTGCCCCCGGGGCCCGCCGGAAGAGGCGATCAAGTGCTTGGACGGCGCCTGGACAGCTTTATCGGTCGATAATAACGAGGCGGCCGACGAGATAGGCAGGAGGGCCGACGACGCGTGGCGCGCGCTGCCGCCGACGCACGGCTTCAAGCTCCAGCTCGACCTGCTGAGGATCACGACGAAGGCGCGCCTGCGGGCGTCGGACCTGGACCTGCGGTGCCGCATGTTCCTCGGGGCCCTGGCCGTGTCTCCTGAGTTAACCGTGGCCGCGACGGACCCCCTGACGCGAGCTAGGGTGCTGTTCCTGGGGGGGGACGTCGACGCGGCGCGCGCGCTCGCGGCGGTGTGTCTTGGTGTTGATGGCGCGCGGGCGGCGTTTCCTAACTAGACGTGTTGTGTTGAACCTTCGCGCCGATGATGGCGTCTCATGTTACCACCTCGACGCCGGCGCGACGCTCTCGTGCGGGTAAAATCGTTGCAGCCGCTGCGAAGCCGGCATTGGGCAGCTTATACGACGTCGCGGGGCTGCCAGACGGGCTTGCCAACCAACACAGATCGACAGGGCTGCCGGGCAGCGCCAAACAGACCACCATGGGCCTCTTCAAGAGCCCCTGGCGCTCCAAGGTCGCGGCCGTGGCGGCCTTCCAGAGCCCCGAGCCTCCCGCCGAGGAATTTGTGAAGCCCCCCACGCCGCCGCCGCCGCCGGGCCGCGACGCGGCGACCATCGTCGAGGAGCTCGCGGCGATGACGGACGCGGTCGAGGCCGCGCGCGTCGCGCTCGCGCGCACCGGCACGATCATCCCGAAGATGGGCTTCGGCGAGCACCTCGAGGCCGCCGAGGACGAGCTCGACGCCTGCGAAGCGAAGCTGGACGTTATTGTACGTCTTGGACGGACGTCGGCCGCCGCGACGCGGCGCCTCGGCGACGCGGAGCAGGCGGGCCGGCGCGCGCTGGCGGCTGCCGGCGCGGCCGCTGACGCGCGGGTTGCGGCGGCGGACGCTGTTTGGGGCGCAATTGCTGCGGTGGCGTACGTTCGCGCGGCCGCGGCGGAGGATTTACTGAGAGCCGCGACGGCGGCGCACCGGCGGTCCACCGCGGCCGAACAAGCCGTCGGCGCCGCGACGGCCGCCTTTGCGGCGGCGACGACGGCCGCGGCGGCCGCCCGCCTGGGCGCGCGCCACGTCTTCGCGGCCGACGCGGCGCTCGAATTTGAGCCGGCGGTCGTGTTTTACAGCCCGGAGGCGCCGGCGACGCCCGCGGCAGTGGTGCCGGAGAGCCCGGAGGCGCCGTCGACGCCCCGCGAGGCGCCGTCCGACGAGGAGGCGCCGGCGACGCCCGTCGAAGCCGAGGCGGAGACGCCGGCCGTCGGAGCGCCCGCGCCCGCGGAGGAGGGGGATTTGGTCGAGTGCGACCTGGGCGTGGGCACCGTCAAAGCGGTCGTCCGGGACGGCGCCGCCTACGTCGTCGAGAAGCGAGATAACACGGGGTTCCTGGTCGTGCCGTCGGCGACCTGCGAAAAGGTCGCCGCGCCCTTGACCATAAAATCGCCCGTCGCCGCGACGAAGGCGGCCGTCCACTGGCGGCGCAGCGTCAAGCGCTACGTCGACCCCGAGACGCAGTACGAGTACCTCTACGACGAGAAAACGGGAGAGAGCAAGTGGGCCGCGGGCGAGGACTGGGCCGTCGACCCGCGCCTCCACAACATCGCGAGGCAGATCATGGCGCGCCAGAAAATTATCAGGGCGTTCCGAGCGAAGCGGTCGCCGATCAAAGCCATCAAAGCCGTCGCCGCGGTGGCGCGGTGGCAGCGCTACACGGACCCCGAGACGAAGCAGGACTATTTATATGATGAGGCCTCGGGCCAGTCGAAGTGGGCCGACGGGAGCGCCGAGGTGTGGACCGCGAACCCGCGGTTGGCCAATGTCGCGCGCGAGATCATTAAGAGAAGGCGCCGGTCCAAGGACGCGGCCTTCGCGGCCGCCGCCGGCGCCGTCGCCGACGAACGATTGGGACGGGAGGCCGCCGAGCGCCGGCTGCGACTTACGGAGAAAGAACGGGCCACGCTCGCCTTCAAGCTCCGCGTCGCCCTCGAGGCGACGGGCGGCGTCGATTTGAGAAGGTTGGATCGGGACTTCGCGGGCTGCGCGGCGGACTGCGCGCGTTTGAGGTTGGAGCTGATGCGGGAGCGGTCGACGCGGGCGCAGTCCGCCGCGCGCCGGCGCCACGCGAACTATGGCAGGCGCAAGACCGCCGACGGGAAGATCAAGCGCGAGCCACGACCGCTGACGCCGCCCCATATGCACGCGGCCGACGTGACGGCCCAATTTCTCAGGGACCTGGGCCACCCGACGACGGTCATCATCAATAGACGGGGCGCGGACCAGAAGCCGCTCTGGCTCAAGGACGCGCCGTGGTAATTTATGTTTCGTAGTATGCGCTGTTTCGCCGGGGGCCGCGTCTTTCAGAATCGCGCACTTCCGCCTGAGTAGACCCGCCCCGGCGAACCCTACGGAACAGTGGGCGACGTCCGCCCCGTCGATCGACGTTTTTCCCGTGGAGCTCGAAAACCCGTAGGCAGTCGTGCCAAAAGCGTTGTACGCCCAACGCCCAGCCCCCAGGCTCCTGTCTGCGCGTCGCAACGGCTCCATTTGATACTGCACGAGGTATCCGATGCGGCGCCGATTGCTCGCAGTCGTCGCGTTGCCATCGATGGCAGTGGTGGGCTGCCCAGTAATCAGGCCGATGGGCAGGTGACACAAACAGCTAGAGATGAGGCGGCTGGCGCGGTACGCGTTGCTGGTCGCCGCGGCGCACGCGCAGACGGCGGCTCCGTCCGCCGCGCCGAGCGGCGTGCCGACGGGCCTCCCGACCGCGCAGCCAACCGCGCTGCCGACGGCCGTGCCGACGCTCGCGCCGACGGCGTCGCCGCAGCCGACGCCGATGCCGGTGCCGGCGCCGACCCACGTGCCCACGACGGTCCCGACGACCGTACCTTCCTCGGCGCCGTCGTCGACGCCGACCGCGGCGCCCAGCGCCAGCCCGACGATTACAAAGGCGCCGACGCCCGACGACGACGACGAGACCGCGTGGTGCGACTTCCTGGGCAAAAAGAATTGCGCCCGGCGGCGGACGAACCCGTGGTTGTTTTACGGCGCGCCCGCGGCCCTCGTGCTATGTCTGGGCGCGTGCGCCCTGTCCTGCGGCGTGTGGTTTGCGCGGCGGCGGCGGCGCGACTCCAAAATCGCGGACGCCGGGCCGCGCGTCCGCGAACGCGTCAAACCGCCGCCGCCGGCGGAGCCGTACCGGGCCGTGGCGTTCCGGTGGGAGTAATGAGTTCTTTTGTGGTATCATGCTTGCCCTCCGAGTCTTCGTTCCTTGATCCGTCGGCGAGATCAGCCTAGCGGCTGTGAGGCACTAGCAAGCCAAGCCAGCTGCTGCAGTCGTGCGACGCGAGAGCAGTGCTCCATAGTGTTGCGAGCGAGCTGCATTTTGAAGTAATCTGGCGCGTCGCTTCGCGGCGTGCGACAATTTTGGAGCGCTTCGTGCGATCTGTCAGCGCTGCAGCTCTGCTGGCAGCCTGCGCACACAGCTGCTGCACGCGGCAGAGCGCACACCACGGCTGCATCTGCTCACAGCTGCGCATAACTGCACGCGGTTCGCGGCACGCTCGTCCATGCTGAAGCTCGCCGCGACGTACGCCGCAAAGCGGACGACGAACGACAGAAGCGGCGCGTGGCACGCGCTAACCCGTGGCCTGCGCCGCCAGGCCGAACTTAATCGCCGTGTGGCCAGCGACCTGCCTCTGGCCTTCAAGTGGCTCTACCTCTTGACGAACGCGCCATTTTTCTACGTCGGCTACGCCACGCTCCGCGACGGCCACGTGCTGCCCTGGTGTGGCCCGCCCGCGATCGCCGCGGCGTTGACGTGGGCGGCCGGTGCCGCTAGCGTCCTGTTCCACGGCACGCAGTGCGGCTGCTGGACCTTCGAACCGCTCTCGGTGCCGGGCGCGCGCTGGGCGCGGCGCGTCGACCCCGTCTTCGTGGAGCCGTCGATCTTTACGAATGCCATTGATGTCGTATGCGCGGTTCAATTGGCGATCTTTGTCCTGGCCTGCAACGGGGGCCTCGGCGCGTCGCACTGGGCGACGGTCCTCGTTCCCACGCTCGGCCTTCTGGTCTCGTCAACGCTGCTAAAACGCCTGCGGCTCTACCGGACCTATGTGGTGCTCCACTCCATGTGGCACGTCGCGTCGGCGTACGGCGTGCTGCGCGCGCTCCGCGGGGAGCTCTTGTCTTAAGTGTTTGTTTGTGTTTAGATGCTGGGGACTTACGGGGAGTCGCCTACGAGGCGGCGGCGACGCTTGCGCAACGCTTCGGGCCCGTGCCCATTCGCCTTGCGCTTTTTGGGCACCAGCTGCCCGTCGACGACCGCATTCATGCGCCGTTTCCCTGCGAGGCCCGCGCGCCGGATGGCCGCGTTGACGGCGTGCGCGGCGGCCTCCTGGGTGTCGAAGAGGCCGATCCAGCGCTTCTTGCCGGTCGCGTCGTTGTAGGTCGCCATCCACCGTCGCCCGTTCTTGTCCCAGGACACGCCCCAGAACTTGGACGTCGACTCCGTCGGGTCGCGCGCCGGGTCCGGGGCGACGACGGCGGAGCGGTCGCGCGGCTTGCTCATTTGCCGCACACGCGGCACCAGTGCGCCCGTCGCGTCGACTGCGTTCGTTTTGCGCTTGCCTTCGAGGCCGGCGTCGCGAATCGCCTTATTGACCGCGCGCGCGGCCTCCTCGTCGTCGTCGAATTGGCCGATGTAGATCGTCTTGCCGTCCTCGCCCGAATATTGCGCCCTCCACTTCTTGTCTTTCCGAACCCACGTCACGCCCCAGAACCGCGACGACGTCGTCCGCTCGCCGCCGTCTTCGTCCGCCTGCGGTGATGTGCCGTCACCGTCCGAGTCGCCGTCCTCGAACCAGCCCTCGTCGTCGCCGCCGTCGTCCGATGGATCTTCGCCGTCGTCGGCGGGCAGAGCGAAGGGCGTCGCCGAGCTGGAAATGCCGAGCGCTGCCGAGGTCGCGGAAACGAGGAGGCGACCGAGCGGTCGTCGTCGTCGTCCGGAGCCGCGACGGGCGGCTGGGCCCGCCTCGCAGGCGGCGGCGGTGGCATCAAAGCCGGACGTCGAGAGGCCGGCGGCGGCGCCGGCGGGGGCGGCCCGCGCCCGACGAGCTCGGGGAAGAACACCGCGCGTTGTTCAGGGAGTTCAATGGGATCAGGGAGCATGCTGAATGGGTGAGAAAATGTAGCGCCGCGCTCAATGAGCCTCTGTTTTTAGGCTTGAAATCAGCTTGTCCTGGCCCCAGGCAGGCGAGGCGAGTGGCTCAGCCGGTCTCAGTTTATTTCGAGCGAACACGCGGCGTGAATAGAAGCGCCGCGTCGTGTCCCGCCGCGGCGAATTGCGATCACCCTGGTGCTCTTTGAGCGACTCAGAGGAGTGAGGCACTGAGAGACGCCAGGCCCCTTTGAGCTCTCTCAGGATTCCTCCTGAGGGATCTCATCGCGCTAATGAAAAGAAAAACCGCGGTTACCCACCCTGCAGCTAGCGTCGTGTAAGACACTAGTCAGACGATAATTTTTGGCATCACAAGCGTAGGCAACACCGCATCAACTGAACGATGGAACACAATGCGTGATATGGGACGCTGATCGCGGGGGGCAGCCCAACGATGCGCCAGCACAAAGGCAGCAACGTCGCGCTCGTAGCGCTGATCAGCCTGGTCGTCGGCGCCTCGTACCACCGGCTCTGGCGCCTCGCGAAACAACCGACAACCACCCAATGGGTCACGCACGCGCGCGCGAAGGCGAGGCCCGCGCCGCGGACGTTCGGCCACCCTACGGCGGGAGACCCGCGCGGGCGCGCCGGCCGCGCGCCCCTGTCTCATAGTGGTACGAGACGCCGCATCAAAGAACTGGGAGCCTGGGAGACCGTGGCCTCAGCGTCACGCCCATACGAATTCTGCGAGTCGTCAAAGGCAACCTACAAGGACCTCATCTACGTCGTGGGCGGCTTCCTCTGCGACTTCAATCGCGTGACCGATAAAATCCAGATGCTCAACACGACGAGTGGTGTGTGGAAGACCGTCGCTTACTTGCCGGCCACCGCCGCGAAAACGCACCACGGCGCCGCTGTCTCGAGAGATGGCACGTGGCTGTACCTTGTCAGTGGGCAATTAGGACCCGGTTGCACGCTGGGCACGGCCGAGTCCTGGGCCGTGCGGTTCGTCGGGCGGCGGCAGACGAAAAAAGCCGTCTGGGTCCGTTTGCCGGACCTCCCGGAAGTGCGGTACGCGCCCTCGGCTTTCGTCGATGGGAACACCTTGCATGTGATTGGGGGTGCCGGTCCGAACCGCCGGGATCCGAGACCGGACCACTACGTGCTGCCGCTGAATCCCTCAGGAAGGCCGTCGAAATCGGGCTGGTTCCGACTGGGCGCAGTGCCGGGCGGCGGCGCCGATAGCGCGGGTGCTGCTGTTGTTAGAGGCCACGCGTACCGCTTCGGCGGCCAGCACGGGCACCCGCCGGCCGTCAACGTCCTCGTCGACAACAACCAGCAGTGCCAGTCGTCGCCCGAGGTCGCACACGTCCAGGCCTATCGGAGGCCCCTCTCTCACACCGATGGAGTCAAAAAATGGGCGCCCGTCGCGCCCTTACCTTGGCCGGCCTCGCACATCGGCCTGTCCACCGTATCTGTAGGGGATGACGTCCTGATTGTCTCAGGGAAGGATGGGAAGGAGACGACGTCGCGAATCGCGGCCTACGACGTCGTTACGGATACGTGGCGGGAATTGAGAAGCCTCGACTGGGGCCAACCGGATTTTCTCGCCTATGTGTCTCAAGGCTACTTAAACGCTTTGAAATTCAAGTGGCACCCCACGAATTCGACGCTCGACGACGACTACAAGTCCATCTGGAAGCGCCGGAACAACGGTGAACTGAAAAAGTTCCCGTGGCCGCGCGCGTTTTCCCATCAACGGGCGAAAATTGTGTATGAACAAGTGACGGCGCCACGGACACCCCAGAAGCGCTTCGACTCATCAGAAGTGAGCATCACACCGCTCCCCGGGTCCTCGTTCGGCGCTCGGATAGCAGGCGTCGACCTCGCGTCCTTACTCCCAGAGCCGCCAGCAGCCTTCGGGAAGTGGCTGAGGGAGACGCTCGACACGTACGCCGTGTTGCATTTTATTCAAAAAAGTGGTCTGGACGCGAAGCAGGTCGTGGCGTTCCACGCGCTGTTCGAGCACGACATCGAGGCACCCCCGGACGCCTACCACAAGGGCATGTGCCGGCTCTGGCGCGCTGGCTTGCCCGAGGTCAATCTCTTAGCCAATAGGGCCGTGACGGAGACCCAAACTGTGTCAGCGGGCGCTTTGGGTGATGACGGCGAGCCGTGCAAAGAGGGCCAGGTGTATGGCATGGAGTCGTTGGCGTGGCACAGCGACGAGTCGTCGCGACCGGCCGGTTTACCTGTGAGAACGACGGTCTTCCAAGCGTTGAAGGCTCCTACCAATAGTGACGCGGAGACGCACTTTGCTGACGGACGGCTAGATTCCTTATCAATCGACGCAAAGCTGAAAAGGAGGTTGCTTTCTTTAAATGTGACCTACGCCTCGAACGCGAAGTCCCTAGACGCCTTCATGGCGCCCTGGGCCGTGGCCGGCCGCAAGGACATGCTCGTGAGACAGGGGGGGTTCTCGAAGGACCCTTCGGCCGGCCAATACGCGTCTTCGTTAATCGAGGAGTGCTCGTCGATTGGCGGGTGTGTGGTCCACGACTCTCCATTAATATCGAAACACCCGCGGACCGGTAAGGCGGCGCTCCACCTGGACGTCAAGCAGCAGCTCGGCTTGCGGGGCGTGCCGTTCGCCGAGGCTCAGAACTTGCTCGAGCAAGTTGTCGGAAAAGCGGCCCACCCATCGAAGGTCTACCGGCATCGCTGGGCCGCCCACGACGTCGTCGTCACGGACAACTACGCGGCCCTGCACACCGCGGCGCCCGGCAAACAGTTCAACAGCGAGCCGCGGCTCATCCAGCGCGTCTGCGTGCCGGGGGGCCACGTCCCCGAGTCTGTATTGTAATCGTAACATCACTTAGTCATCTACATCATCCACGAAAGCATGGCCCTCGGGAGCCTTCAGGGTGACGGCTTTCGTAAGGAGCCTTCTAAGCTCGTCCGTGAGCGCGCCGACCGTGTGGGCCGCGTCGACGGCGAGCCAGCCGTCCGTCGTTTGTTGCGTCGGGTCCGCGCCACCCTCGATCAACGCCTCCACTATTTTCAGAGTGCCCGTCTGGAGGCACGCGAGGTGGAGTGGCGCGCGGCCGGCGTCGTCCAGGAGGTTTGGGTTAGCGCCGTGTTTTATGAGTAGGTTGACACATAAAGCCGCAGTTTCCGCATCCTTGGGGGATGGCCTTGGCAGCGACGCGAGCGCGCCCGCGCAGAGGTGGAGCGGCGTGAAGAGGCGCGCGTTCCGCGCGTCGACGTCCGAAGTCCCCAAAAGCACTTTGACGACGTCGCTCCGGCGCTCGTCGCAGGCCGTATGCAGTAAAGTACCGTGGCTCTGGAGGCGGCACTCGCAGACGTTGTCGGGCGCTTTGCTGAGAGCGCTCGCGATCTTTGCAAAGGGCGCCCGCGCCCGCAGCATCTTGTAAATGGCCTCGGCGGCGGCGCAGGCCTCCGTACCTAACACTTCATTCATCGCCCGGCGCTTTCGCAGAGTTCGCGCGTCGGCCTCGACCGCGCGGCGCATGAGCGGGTCCTCGTCTGCTGAAGGTTCCGGCGTTGTGGCCCCCTTGGTGAGCCGCGGCCAGGCGCCTTCTTCTTTCTTGCGCAGTGTGACGACGAGCTTGCCCCCGTTGACGGACGCGCGGCTCTCTGATGAATTGATCGCCGCCCAGAGGCTTGTCATACAAAGCTCGCGCGCTCCTTCACAAGACTTGGCGACGACGCGGAAGGACGTAGACGTGAACTCGGCGCTCGTAAGATTGGCGTCCTTTGTCAGGTCTGCGGCCAGCGTCACGTGTTTTGATGAGTCCTCCCAGTTGTAGGACGCGACGGGCTCCGGCTTCGGAGGTTTTGGTGAAGGTTTCGCCGGTTCGAGTTTCGGCGGCGGCGGCGGCTCGACCGGCACCTCCTCGACCACGAGCTCGTCGAGGTCGTCTTCCACTGGCACTGGAGGCAGCGGCGCGACTTCGTTCACGACTGTCGTAAGAGCATTTACTGCAATCGTGCGCCACGCTTTGTCTTCGAGGACGTCCAGGTCCTGCGCCGCCGCGCGCAGGACGCGGCGGCCGAGCGCGTCCCACGGCTCGGTCGTGCGCAGCGCCTCACACAAGGCCTCGAGGGCCTCGCGCGCGTCTCGCAAACACACTTCGGCGCGCGGATCATCTAACCGCGACGCCCTCGTATCGTCGAAGAAGCGGCACGCGTCAATTGCCCGTCGCAAGCGGCTCCGGCGGCCGCGGCCGTGCGGCGCCTGCTGGGCTGCCCTCCGCACCAAAGGGGCGGCATAGCATGAGATGAGCTCGGCCACGTCGTGCGCATGCTTGCGGGCGATGGCATCGGTCATTTCAACATTCCTCAGTTCGATCCTGGGAAGCGCTTCCCAGGATGGCAGCCATCACTTCCCAGGACTGGAGCCTGGCCTTCCCAGGACTGAGAGTCGCGCCCGATGTCCACCCTCCCCATCTCTGGTCGCGCTCGGGGAGAGATGCTTGGGCCGACGAACGAAGGCTGGGGTACCTTTTGCCCCTACTACTAGTAGGTTTCTCTGTTTCGATGCATGGGCGCGGCGCTCGCAAGCCTGTAAAGCGGCCGACGTGACGAACCGGGCTGCCCCGTTGACAGCCTCGGCGAGCCCTCGACGGCCCCGGCTGCCGCCGCGCGGCGCGGCCAGCGATACAAGCAGCCTCACTATGGCAGATGAAGCAAATACCCCCCTCCTCGGCGCCGCCGACGACGAACTGGGAGTAGGAAACGTCCTGCTCAACGTCTTACCAGTGACGACCTTCGGCTACCTCATTTCCGTCTTCTCCGTCACATTAGCTCTATGGTCTGAACAATGGGGTTCGATCAGCGCGTTGGGCGGCGCCGCGCTCGATTCGACGGCGCTCATCGGCGCCGTCGGCGGCATGGCCTACTTCGGGGTTCGAGCGGATAGCGTCCAGGAGGACTGGCACGCGTCGACCGCCAGACTAGCGGCAGCTGCGGCTCTGTTGTGCGCCGCGTTTTCTGCAGTATGTGCTGTACTACCGACAGACGCCTTGAAAGCGTCCATCGAGACGTCGCTCTTCACGACCTGGGCGGGCTACGCGTTGATGGTCGCGAGGATAGGGGCCGGGTTCGGCGGCGGCGGTATCTACACTTTGGCCGCGGCTCTAGAATCGAGGAGGCACACGCCCGTCGCCGTCGGGCTAGCTAGTACGGGCGTGGTGCTGGGCCAAGTAGTTTTGTACTTGGTGGGCTGGCTCTTGTTGCTGGTGCTGGGTCTCGACGACACGGGCCCGCAATGGCGGTGTATTTTTGCGTTCGGCGCGCTCATGGCTTTGCTATGTGCCTGGCGGTACTACTCGTTATCAGGAGAAGCCATCGACACACAGAGACGGCCACGCGCATCACAACAACAGACCTATGATGTCCTAGCGGACGCGGGTGTCCTCATGTCGGTGCAGCTCAATGGCATGGCCTGGTTCCTGCAGAACTTCGCGAATTATGGCATCTCCCTGGTCTATCCCTTCGTGCTCGATGAGGCTCTGCCCGGTCTGTCCATACAAAACACCTTCGGCGTGTCGCTGCTCGTGAGCGTGGGCGCCTTCGGCGCGTGCTGCTTCTCGCTGTTGTTCCTGCGGAGGAACCCCGACGACCCGTCGAAGGCCGTGCTCGAGTCCTTCGCCACGACGCTATTGACGGCCTCGGTCAGCATACTCGTAGTAGTATTTCTCGAGAACATTACGTCGCGGTTCGTGGCCTGCATCTTGATCAGGATCGTGGTCGGATTACCGTCGGCGACGTTATACGCCTATCCAGTCTCGGTGGCCCCGCCGGAGGTCGCCGCCGCGGCGCACGGATTGGTTGCCGGGGCCGCGAAGGCGGGCGCCGTCCTCGGTACGGTGGCCTTCTACCCGATCTACGACGCCGTCGGGTTCCTGGCTTTAGTGATCATCACGGCCGGGACATTGCTATTAGCGTTCGGCGCGGCCGTGCTCGCGTATGTGTCGCTCAAGGGCCGCGGCGCGTCGGACGCGCAGCGGTCGGCCTACTCAAAACTCGACGACAAGACGTAAGTGGATGTATTGTATTTTTGTGTAGTCGTCACCAATGTCTTATTACGGACACCCTTCTAGACTCGTTCGATCCCGCTGCCTCCGGCCCAGCTGGCACTCGCGAGAGCGTCGCGGTCGAATCCTCAAAGAGGCGGACAAACGGTACGACGCAGAGGTCGCAGACATTCTCACCGTCCCACTGGTTGTGCACTCCACAGCGCCGAAAGAAATCATCGAGTTGATTTGAGTAATAGTATCGCTCCACGTTATAATTAAACGCGGAAAGTCCTGTAAGCGAGCCATCCGACTCGACCAGGTACAAATATCCGAAGATCACCAAGGTGTTAACCACTTGGTCGGAGCCTCCCCGTCGGTTTTGGTGCCATGTGGGATCCACGGTGATCTGTAGCGTAGCATCGGTGCCAAAAATATCGGGGTTATCCTCGTCATCAGCATCATGAACCCGACGTTCGCGCATCCATGGGGTCTGGTATTGATCTCCTTCATACAATTGGCCATCGCTATTCCAGTGGTAGGATAGGAGTATTTGACTTCTCGTAGAGTCCAGGAGCGCAAATCCGCAGGCGTCAATAGGGTTCGTAGTAGCATCCCGTGTCATGTGCACGCGCCACTCGACAGTGCGCGCGCCCTGCTCGGGCATCCGGAAGCCGCTGCCGACAAAGTATGTGTCACCCGAGCCATACCCCGGGGCAGTACATGTTAACGCGCCGCCAGTAGTCCAAGACAGAGCCCGAGCGAGCTCCACCTCCACGGACCCGGGTTCGCGGGCCTCCCCAATCCAGCGGAGCCTGTGCTTCACGTTTTCTCTCCACGAAACCCCTCGTTCATGTGCGAGGCCGATCCGCGCCGCGACCAGCTGGAACGCCCACTCCGAGGTGTCGCGCCACTGACCCGAACAGCTCAACGCGGCACCAACATCGCTGAGCGGCAGCCATTGCGTGACGAGCGGCGCCAGTCGCGCAGGAAACGTGCAGGGTCGTGCCTCGATCTCCGCGCGACCCCGCGCCGCGATCGAGGATGCCGCCGCCAAGAGTCGGCGCAGCTCGGGCTTACTACAATTGCTGACATCGAGGTCACGCACATACGTTTCGAGCGCAGCAATGTCCATTGTGCTCCTCTGGAGAGTGGACTAAAAAAAGAGAGCGCCTAGTAATGTAATCTCGATGCTCGCGCCGCAGCAAGTGATGGTGGGTAAGTGAAATGATTCGCGAACGAGTCTTTGAATCTGTGGGCACCCCTTTGTCCCGTTTGTGCTGCCTCCTTGCTTTGCTAGTGTCTTACATGACGCTAGCTCCGCCGCTCGGCCTCTCCCACATTCGTGCAGTTATCGATCGCTTGCACTCGCGAATAGACGACTTCCAGTCGTGCCTTGGCTATGCCAACACGCGGACGACGATGACGATGCGCACCACGATTATTACAGCAGTGCTCCTAAGCCTGGCTGCAGCCCTCACGCCACCGGCGCGCCCGCCACTGAAAGCGCGCATCACCAGCGCCTGGCGCGCCCGGGCCGACGCGGATCCGAAATTCCGCCAGAAGCTCGCGCTCGAGGCGGCCCTGGCCTGCGCGCTGCAGACGACGGCCGAGGTGCAGCGGCGGGGTAGAGCGTTCGGCCGCGAGGCGGACTACGTCGTGGCCGGCGTGCTGACCGCCCTCGCCGGTAAACTAGTGGCCTCGTTCCAGGCGGCGCCGTCGACCCAAGGCGCCGCGGCCACGAACGCGTTTCAACCCGACGTGCCGTTGCACGCCCGCGTCGGCGCCGTCGTGCGGCCGATGCCGCGGTTGTTTGGCGTGGGCTTCGCGGCGGCGGCCCTTGGCTACGGCCTGACGGACTGCCTTACGCGCCTGCGCGACCTGTGTGGCATCGCTGTCGTGGCGCCGCCGCGCGTGCCGATTCTAGGCGCGGCCGTCTACACGGGTTTTTTCGTCGCGCTGGTGTCGAACGGTTCCTACCAGATCCTCCAGGGCCTGGTGGAGCGCGGCTGGTGGGGCGACCGGCGGGCGCTCCTCTTCGTCGGCCGCGCGGGACGGTCGCTCATGGCGTCGGCGCTCGCGATCCGGGGCATGCAGATGTCGGGGCTGCAAGCGGTGACGCTCGCGCCGCCGCGATGACGTTGTTTAAGTTGTTTGCTTTGCGGCGGGGCTGAGGGGCTAGGGTAAGAGCTTGGAGGGGGGTTTTTCATGCTCCGGCTTTTGCTCGCTGTGGTCTGAGCTAGGTTAGGGAACGTGACGCGTGAATTCGGCCACCTCCTCGCGTTCGCCAACTCTGGAGAGCGGAGGGACGCTCATTCACGAGGCCCTTCTAACTTGAAAAAAAGCTCTGCTTTGCTTAAACCAGGCTGCCTACTACGACGAGCTCGAGAGCGGCGGCCGCAGCCCCCGTGAACATAGACGCCCCATCCTCCCACTACCCCTGGGTAACTGCATATGGAACTCCTATACTACAACGCCCCCGGGTCGAACAGAGACGATTTTGATGGAGCCGGCGGCCGCGGCGACAGCGGCCGCGGCGAGAGGCTACTCCGACTTCGCGCGGCGCGCGTCGCGTCGTAGATCAGGCCCTTCGACTGGTACGAGTGCCAGGCCCAGGCGCCCGCGGCAACAACACCGACGAGGCGCAGGCGGTTCACGAGCGCAGAGCCCGACCCTGACGAGGCCTCGAGCTTCGCGCAGAGCTTCTCGATGACGGGCAGCTTCTCCATAATAGACGGCGGCAGCGGCTTCACGGTCCGGACGACGTCGCAGAGCCTCTTTAAGTTTTCACGGTAGGCCTTCGAGAGCGGCAGCGGCCCGTCGGGGTCGGCCGGGATCCACGACACATCAAAAGCAGCGGCGGTAGCGAACAGCGTGACGCACAGGAGCCGCGGCATCCCGTGGGCGCCGTGCAGTCCTCTAACTGAGAGTAGCGGGCGATTCGCAGCGCAGCGATGCAGCGCAGCGATGCAGCCCTAGGAGAACGCGTCCCAGAGCTTCTGCCGATGGACTGTGGCGTGTTTACGCCTTCAACTGCTAAGGGGGGTTTTTTGGCGGGCTAGCGTGAAGTAAGGCACTAGCCAGCGGCAATCGACCAGTGTTGGCCGACCGAGTGTTGGCCGTAGGACGGCGCACAGATACACGCGGGCTTGAGATCGACAAAAACAGATCCTAGCCGCAGCCGTAGCGACGCAGCCGGCCGAGCGTGCTCTCAAACCGGCGGCAGACGCGCATCTCGGGCATCTCACTCCACAGCCGGACGCGCGCCGCGCAAAACCGGTGGGACACGCAGCGCCCGCAAACCGGTGGGCAGACAAGCAGCCGCGCGGCGCAATACATGGCCTACAGCCTCGTCGGCCGCAGCGCCCCCATGGCCGCGGACGACTCGGACGACGACGATCAGTGGCAAGATGGTGGCGAGGACGACGTCCGCGAGCGCACGGCCTGGCAGGACAAGCACAGCGTGGCCGCGTGCTTCGGCTGCGGCAAGACCTTCGGCGCATTAACAAATAGACATCATCATTGTCGCGAGTGCGGTAGAGTGGTGTGCGGCGACTGCTCGCCCTGGAAGGACCGCGTCAAAGGGTATGCTGCCCCACAAAGGACGTGCAACGAGTGCCACGACTCCTTGACGACGAAGGAGACCTTGAAACGAGAGGGCATGAATCTACTCAGGATGTGCCCCTGCTTCCGGTGGGTCAAGCGCCAGGTGGCCAAACACCAGAAGCGGTCGTTACTCTATGATGGCGCCATGTTTTCGCGTCGCCGCGCTGCGAAAGAGGCCCTGCAGAAGGCCGCCGACAAGATTTCCAGTTTTGCCGGGAGCTTGTTTGGCTCGAAGTCCGAAACCAGTAATGACGGCGACGACGTCGGTTTTGAAAGAGTGCGAGTTTACTTAAGGCCGGACGGTACGTGTCTAGATGTCAACGACAGCGACGAGCTCATCTATTTGCACGACGTGCAGTGCGTCAAGAGCGTCGACAAGGACGGGCTGCGGCTCCTAGGCATCGCGGGCGTGCCGCTCTTCGAAGGCACGTTGCCGAACGGGAAAACTAGAGACGCCTGGGTCGCGGCGCTGCAGGAGGCCATCGCGGAGGCGACGGAGAAGCCGCCGCCCTCGCGGAGTAGTAGACGGCCGAAGAGCCGTCTCGAAATGGCGACGCGGCACTCGCAGCGCGAGCGAGAATTAGCAGATAGGAAAAAGGCCGCCGACGCGCGGAAGAGCAAGTACCGCACGGGCGGGATGAAGTACACGGCCGTGGCCATGGCGAACCGGGGCGCGGTCGTGTAACAGTGTTGTGATATATAAAATTAGGTCTGAAACGCGTCCCCGATCGCCTTCGCGTCGACGCTCGTGGCGAGCGTATCTGCCGAATCCGCGGCCAGGTGGCCGAGCTCGAAGAACGCCGCGTCGACGCCGGCCTTCTTCCGCAGCAGCTCCAGCTTCAGCGCGTATTCAAGGTCGCAGGGCCCGACGCCGGCCTTCTTGCCCCAGCCGCCGCCGGCGCGCCGCGCCGGCGGCGGCGGCGCGCGGCCGCGGTCGCGCGGGTCGTCACGGCGGTCGTCGCGGCGGTCATCGCGATAGCCGTCGTCGCGCCGCCGCGCCGGCGGCGGCCGCCGGTCGTCGCGCTCGCGGCCCTCCTCGTCCTCGGACCGGCGGCGCTTCGGCGCGCTCCGCGGCGACGGCCGGTCATAGCCCCGGTCACGGTCGCGGTCGTAGCCGCGGTCGTCGCGGAAGCCGTCCCGCGCGCGCGGCGGCGGGTCGCGGCGGTCGTCGTCGCGCGGCGGCGGGTCGCGGCGGTCATCGCGATAGCCGTCGTCGCGCGGCGGGCCGCGGCGGTCGTCGCGGAAGCCGTCGCCGCGGCGGTCGGCGTCCCGCCGGTCGTCGCGGCGGCCCGGCGGCGGGCCCCGCCGGTCGTCGCGCGGCCGGTCCGGCGGGCCGCGGTAGTCGCGGTCCGGCCCGTCGCGCGGCGGCGGACCGCGCATGTCGCGGTCTGGCGGGCCGCGGAAGTCATCGCGCGGCGGTGGGCCGCGGTCGGGCGGGCGCCAGCGGTCAGGCCCCCGGTCGCCGCCGCGGGGCGAGCCGCGCCAGCCGTCGCGCGGCGGCGGGCCCCGGTCGGGGCCGTCGCGCCCGCGCAGCGGCGGCGACGCGCGGCCGCGATCGTAGCCGTCGTAGCCGCCGCGGTCGGGCGGCCGCCGGTCGAAGTCTCGGTCCCGCGGCGGCGGCCCCCGCGGCCCGCCGAAGCCGCGGTCGCGCGGTGGCCCGTCGTAGCCTCCGCGGTCGCGCGGCGGCGGCGGCGGTCGGTCGCGGTCGCGCGGGTCGTCGCGGCCGGCGTCGTAGCCGCTGCGGTCGCGCGGCCGCGGGCCGCGCGGCGGGCCGCGCGTGGGGCCGCGCGGGCCGTTGCCCCAGCCCATTACTGCACGAGCAGCGATCAACGACAACCCGCGCGCGCTATATAGACGCGGGCGCGCTAGACGCGCGGCGAGGCGTGGGCGCGGCGATGACCGCGATGCGCTTGCCTGGCGGACGCGCGTGCGACCAGTGCCTGCGCTGGTGCTCTGGACAACGAGATGCACTTATGAAGCGTCTCCTGCACGCGCAACACGCGTATAGGCACAGGGTGTGTAGCCAAAAAGTGGGGGCCACAACAAGCAAAACCTAGCTGATAGACACTAGAAAAAACTGAGCACAGAACTCTCGACAGCCGAGGAAGCTTCGCTCGAACAATCCGAGGACGAGTCTCTTCCTTTGGCTCGGCGGCTCTCCCAGCCCTTGTGAGAGGAGGCAGCGCTGTGGGGGCAAGGGGCGGCCCCGTGACGTAAATAGCCTGAGCCTGAGCCCGCAACATCAACAAGATGGCCGCCCGCGTCCTGCCGCTCCTGGAGGACGGCCTGCGGTCGCCGCGCAGCCAGGAGGGCAGCAGCCCCCAGAGCAAGGGCAGCCCCCTGAGCAAGACGCGCGAGTCCCGATGGGCCGAAGCACCGACCGAGCGTTTAAGACCAGCACACGCGAGAAGGCCGAGCTTCCTCGGTGAGCTAGACGCGCCCGCTAGAAGACCATCTTTGTTAGGAGGCCGGTCGCCCTCAAAGAGGTCCGTCGACTCGCTCCGCCACTACCAGCTCGGCAAGGTGGGCAAGGCCGAGAACATGTGGGAGCTGGAGCGGCCCAAAAACGCCGCCGAGCGGTTACTCCGAAAGTACATGGAGCGGAATACTGGAAACAAAAAGGAGGCAGTGTCGATAGCGAGTCGCCTGGACGTCGGCGAGGCCGCTAAATATGCCCATGTCGAGCGGCCGACGACGCCCTACTACGGCGTGGATGGCGAGACGACGCAGCGACGGCCGCCGACGTGTGACAAGAACGCAAGGCGGATTGTGGTCGAACCGGTACAGCGCAACGACTCCTCCGACTCTTCGGACGAGGAGAGCGTTTTTAATCGAAGATTATCGTCAAACACCTACGACAAGTTCGCCGCGCGGCGCGCGCAGCGCTTCGCGACGGCACGGGGCCGCGTGAAGCGCGAGGTCATGCGGGACGAGGAGCGAAAGCGAGTGGCGGATAGCAAAGTACAAGCCAAGAAGGCATTGCGGAAGATGCGCAGTCTGGAGCTTGAAAGGCAAAAAGCGAAGGAGCTCGAATTACTTAAGTCAGGCCCGCCGAAAGAAAAGACTCTAGACGAAAGGAAACACGATCTGTCGCAGAGTTTAAAGGGCATGGTCAAGACCTACGAGAAGTGCGAGCGGCGTGCCAAGCGGAAGGATGGGAAGGCTGCGAAACGCATCCAGCGGACGTGGCGAGGCTACAAAGCGCGGAAGGAGACGGGCGATGTCTGTTTTAAAGCTAGGTTCGTCACGGGCTTCTTCAAGACCGAAGAGGTGTACGTCTCGGAGGACGAGGAGTCGTTCGAGCCGGAGCTCTACGATCCGGTCTGCGCGACGATCCAGCGGGCGTGGCGGCGCTACCGGAAGCGCATGCTGAAGCGGTACTTCTACGCGGCGCGGTTGGCGATGTTGTGGCGCGCGCGGCGCAACCTGAAGATACGGAAAGCGAGGGCCGCACAACTGAGGTACGGGCGCAAAGAAAGTTCGAGGCGGTTCGTGAAATGCGTGCGACGGTTCCTCTCTCGCAAACTCCGGGAGTGGCGCCAGGCGTCGATCGAGGTCAAAAGGGCGAAGTGGAACTTGAGGAGGGCGCAAGCATTGATAGCCATCGCCAAAGGTCTGAAGGGCTACTACGCGAAGAGACAACGGAAGCAGCAGTTAGCCGCGTCGCTCAGAGTGAGCGGCGCGCCCGAGGTCCAGGGCGCCGTGGCGACGTTTTTGGTGGATGACGACTGGCCCAAGTGCCTCGCGACGTTGGACGACGGGCTGGCGGATAGTGATGATGAAAATGACGCGCGCGCGTCGCACTTCGTTCCGACGCGGTTCGCGCGGAACCCTCCCTCCGTACGTGAATATCGTTCTATCAATCATGGAGACGACCGGCTACTCCAATGCGCGTTCTGGGACTTTGTGACTGATGTCTCAGAACGTACGCTCCAGAAGGACGCGAGGAGACGAGTCAGGAGGCAACAACAGAGGGCAGACGAAGCCAAGGTCCTCGTGGATTCCTTCGTACGAGGGCTACGACGAGAAGCTTTTGACGCGGACGCGGACAAGGACACGATCGTAGAACATCTGCCGGACGACGCCGACCTGTGGCGCGTGCCGGCCATGGACCGTTTTAGTACAATCAAGGCCCGGACGTTGTACGACGAGCGGGCCAAGTCCGCGCCGCCGCCCATGGACCGGGGCTACAAGCTGCGCTGGGTCTGGGACGGCGAGCTATGCGGCGCGTGCGGCGCGATCGTGCCCAATTTTTTGAGGGCGCGTTCATGTAGAACGTGCGGCGCGCGGACGCCCCTCGCCGCGGATCGACCGACGCTAGCCTTCAAGCCGGCCGTGCCGCCGCCCATACCTTGTAAAGCGTTGGACGTGCAACAGAAAGCGACGACACTACTCATCCACGCTCATTTGGTGAGTCTGAGTGGAGCGCCCGGGTCGGGCTGGCGCCGGCGCCGTGTCCCCTTCGCGAAGCTGTGGCGCGCGGCCGTCGCTTCGACCGTCGACGCGCGGGCCGAGCTGCGTGCTTTGAACGTCGCGTCGATCGCGGATCTCGTAAAGCGCGGCGGATGTTCTGTGCTCTCGCCGGCTCATACCGAACTCGCTCATGAGGCAGATCATCTCCTCAAACTCCTGGACGACGCCCTGAGGGCGCGCCAAAAGGCGGACGAGAAGGCGGCCGCGCGACGACGGCTCCAAGAAAACAACTAAGATGTGTTATTTGTACCTTATTTCAATACCGTGCTTCTTGCAGAAGTCGCGCGGCGCCTGGCAGCAGCACATGCAGACCCAGTCCCGCGCGAAGGGGATGAAGCTGATCGTGTACCAGAGCATCGCTATCCATTGAATAAACACGCACAAAATAATAATGCCCACCCGTCCGTCGTCGGGGATCTTCTCGTAGAAGACCACGAAGAAGGTGAAGAAGATCGTGATGAGGTAAAACGCCGTCGCGATCCTCCGCGTGGGATCGATCATTTTCTTGCAATGCGACTTCGGTCCCGACAGGAAGAAGCACGATGCTATCGCACATAAATTCCCGAAGGTGAAGTAGATGACGAAGTTCTTCGGCTCGCCGTGGAGCAGCTCTTTCAGTCGTACCAGTGAACCCATCGTCAAAATGAAGCCAATGCTCATGCATAAGACGTAGCCCGTCAGGCGCTGGTTGTAGCTGAGCTTCGGGCAGGACTCATCTAAAATTTGATCGGTGACCGTTTGTTTCTTTTCGATGCCGACGGCCTTGCGCACGGCGTTCATGTTGTGTGGTCGTGGTGCTGCCCGGCTGTCTTGTGTGCACTGCTTTTGCGTGGGTCGAGTGATGCGATGCCTGGCGCGCTTCGGCAGCCGTTCTATCTTATACCGGTGCGATGCTGCCCGAATCGGCTCGATTGCGCTCGCAGTTCGAACCCGTTTTGAATGAATTGTCGCTGCTGACGTAGTCTTCGAACGGGAAGAGTACCCAGACTGCTGCTATAGATAGTAACCTGGGAGCCTCTAGGAGATTTGAGCGGAACCATCCAGCTTGGTCCCCTGCCAGTGCTGAGCGCACTGATCGCGCGCGCACACAGCCGGCGCATTTCGTGTTTCTACGTGTAGCCGCTGGACCGCGCTGCCCTCCGCGGCGCTCGGGCTGCCCTTTCCCCTCTTCAATCGGGCCCCCATCAAGCGGAGAAGTCGTGACTGCTCGATGGAACTGGGCGTGCGATCGCGCCCCCGAGGCGCCGGCCCCGTTATCCGAGGCGGTCCCGTGGAGCTGACAATGGAGATGCTACTTCGCGCGTGTGCGGACCTCACCGAGGCGTGCGAGGCCAAATGGCTGCTTGTCGACGAAGCCGTGGGTGCCGGGCGGCTGCCGTTTTGCAAAGCTCCGGGCGCATTTTATCTCATCGCCCAGCGCGCCGCGCGCCGCGCCGGCACGTACAAGGAATTTCGCGCCAAGCTCCCAAAGAATTTTAAGTGTAGGGTCCCAGACTTTTACGTGACCGCGCCGTTGCCTACCGAGTTGATCCACACCCTCATGCAATTTGCCGACGGTCGGACGCTCGCCAGGTTCTCAATCTGCTCGCCGCAGCTGCGGGTGCGAGCGGACAAAATCGCGAGCGAGGGCCTGGCGCGCATCACGACACTCCGCCTCGGGCAACGGGCCGTCGCCCGTTGGAGGACCGAGCTGCGCCTCTTCGCGGTCCTCACGAGCCCGCCAAATCTCCGGTCACTCTTAGGCCCAGGCACCGCGTGGGCGCCGATCCGCGACCACGTGGATGAGTACTACACCAGTTACCACAAGTTTTTGGTATATTTGGACGACAGGACCAATTACAACCTCGAAGACCACCGCGCCTACATGGTCAAGTACGCCTTGCGCCTCGGCGACGCCGCCGTGATCGAGGGCGTCATGCGGACGACGGACTCGGACGAACGGCACGAGCATAGAAGAAACTTCTACAAATACCTGTACACACGCAAGAGATACCTGAAAAATTACCTGGATCCTCCCGCGTGGTATGGGGCCGACGCGCGGTATGGGACCGAGGAGATCTCGGACCATTTCCTGCGCGTCGAGCGAGTACAGGCCGCAGCTGCCGCGAGAGAATCGATCGCAGAATATAGCCCCCTCCTCCAAAGCGCCGCCAAGCACGACCGCTACTTCCCGGGTCTCGACGAGGAGGATGTCATTGAGACTGATTGGGAAACCAGGGTTCTAAACTTTGGCGGCGACTCCGACTCCGGCGGCGAGGACTATTAGGGCCCCGCCGTCGATGCGGATGACCATCAGGGCCCCGCCCAATAGTCCAAGCGCCGTCCAACAACAACAATATTCCCGCCCAAGGGCGGAAGATTAACGTCCAACGGTCAGTCACGTTCCGCGCGACCAACATCGAACAACAACAGCATTCCCGCCTAAGGGCGGAAGAACCTATTGCCAGCCCCACCGAGTAATTGGTCAAGTAAAAGAGATTACTCGAGAGATAAAACTAGAACAAAACTTAGGGCGACGAAGGCCTCAACCGCACGTACTCCGGCGCGACGGAATCTTCCTCGTCGCCGTCGTCGTACGCGATTTCATAGGTGCCGTCCGCGTTGACCGCCTTGACCGTGCCCGGGTACCAGTCCTCCTCGCCGCCGAAGCGCGCCTCGACCTGTACACCGACCCCGATGGCCTCTTCGTTGTCGTCGTCCGACTCGTCCTCGAAGTCCTCGGCGTCGTCCGAGTAGCCCGTCGGCGACGTCGGCGCCGTCGGCGCCGGCGGCGCGGGCGCGGGCGCGGGCGCCTCCGGTGCCGGCGCCGCGTCGTCGAGCAGGCCCTCGAAATCCTCCTCCTCCGCGCAGACCTCCTCCTTCATCACCCTAGGAGGCGGCAGCGGCGGCAGGTCCTCCTCTACAGCACGCGGCTTCGGCAGGACGCGCTCGGGCCTCTCCACGCCGCCGTTGAACACCTCGGGCCGTTCCGCAACAAAACCCGCGCCCGCGCGTGCTCCGCCAGCGTCGCCTGGCGCGCGTTCTCGGCGCGCACGGCCTCGTTCGACAGGCGGTGCTTGAAACGCCGTTCCGCTTGGGCTCGCTCGACACGCTGGGCCCGCGCGCGCCGCCGCTCCTCCTCGGCGAAGGCCCGGGCGCCGCGCCGTCTTCTATCAAGGTCGCGGCGCGCGGCCGCCGCGGGACTCGCGTCGATGCTCCGCGGCGGCGGCGGCTCCGATGGCGGTGAAGGTGACGGCGACTTCACGTGCCTCAGGAACAGTCCGCTCCGCGTCCGCTCTGGCGTCGCCCGCAGGCCCTCCCGCAGCCGCGCGGGCTCCGGCGTCCGCAACGGCGTCGGCGGCGCGTCCTCGCTTTGTTGCGCGCGCCACGCGCGCCGCTCGCGCTGCAGCGTCGTCGAAGCCGGCACGGCGTAGGGCGACGCGAAAGCTTTACTCGACGGCGCCTCGGCGTCGCTCGCGTTGTGTTCCTCGTCACTCGTGGGAGCCGGCGGCGTCGGCGGCGTCGGCGGCGTCGGCGGCCCCTCGACGGACACGCGCCGCGGGCTGTACATCGATCCGTTGCGTACTTCTTTTTTCTGTGGCGTCCACTTCGCCGGGCCGCGGTCGACGCCCACGAGGGGCTGCCGGTCCATAAGGGCAGCCCAGTGTGACCAACCGGCAGGCAAGCTTGTCGCTGGCCGGTGCCGCGCGCCCACCAGTGCGCTCGTACGGCTGCCCGGTGCGGCCTAATGAGATTTTTGGCCCACCGCCGTTGCACCAGCGCCCGCAACAGCTTTTTCGCGCGGCTTGTTTCTAGAGTGTAACTCCGCTAATGGTTGATCGGAAACAGAACACATGTACGCTCCTCCCGCTGCCCAGAGACGCGGAGACACGAGAGGGGCTGCCCGAGGGCCACCATCATACCGGAGACGCGGTTTGGTGGCCCTGTGGCATTCATTCTATCACCTGTGGCATTCCTGGCAGGGCTGCTCTCATTCTGGCGCTGCTATTGGTGGCCATGAGCGCGCTCGCAGCGGCGCGGCCGCTGCTGCGCGAGGAGACCATCACCGTGGGTGCATCGATTGGCGTGGCGCTCAGTGGCGGCGGCGTCCTCGTCGTCGACCGCGCGGAACCCAAATACGGAGCCAAGCCGCGCGCCTGGTGCGCGCAGCACGCGCGGGCCGCGAACACTGATCAATGCTGGCGCGGCGTCGACCGTCGCGCTTATGTGGTGGAGACGACGCTCGACCGAGCCGTCGCCAAACGCTGGATCGCCGCGGCGGAAGCGCACGGCTGGACGACCATGCGGCACCACCGGCACCCGACGCGCGACGTGCCCGTGTCATTGCTGGACGTGGGAGCGGCCGTCTTCGAATTTCTGGAGCGAGATGTCATATCGGCCGTCGCCGGCGTGTATGGACTCGACGCGAAGCGCCTGTCGCTGAACGACTGCTTCCTCGTGAAATACGACCGCGACCACCCAGGGCTTGAAACGCACGTCGACGGCAGCGAGTACTCCTTCTCCCTGCCGCTCAACGACGGATTTAGTGGAGGGGGCACGTTCTTCGAAAACCTCGGTTCATCCGTGAGACCGCGCGTCGGCGAAGCTCTGGTGCACCCCGGGGATTTGCGGCACGGCGGCGCGCCCGTAGTACACGGAGTGCGCTACGTGCTCGTCGGGTTCCTTAGGTACAAGTAGTAGCGATACGATACCGATTACACCCCGGCTAGTGCTTCGATTCAGCGAGGCGCTTCGCCTTGCGCTCGGCAACCAGTCGCGCGACCTCGTCCTCTCCATCTAATCTATCACGAAAATTCTTGCCCTCCGTCGCCGACGTCTTCACGAAGCCGACCATGCCCAGGATGTTGTTGTACCAGCCCATGACGAAGGACTTGAAGGAGTAGAACTTGGACGCCTTGCCCTGGCCCTTCATCATCGTCGGCTTCACGGTGACCTCGAAAAGATTGTTCTCGACGTAGGGCACGGTGGCGACGCACGTCCTCACCCACTTGCCGTTGACCTGGACCTCGCAGGTGCCGCACTCGCCCTTCTTGCACTTGTACCTTATGAACTGGTCGGCCTGGGACGCGACTTCCGACAGAGGCGTGCCGACCTCGGCGCGCGTCATCTTCGTCGCGTTGCCCTGCTTGAACAGGACTTGGATGGAGCCCGCTAGGCCCTTGTCTACGATGTCGGTGGGCGCGCCGTAGTCGTCGGCGAGCTTCGTGCGCTCGGTCTGCCACTTGCGTTGCAGCGTCTTGGCTTGTAACAAGGTGGGATGGCGCGGCCGCGGCTTTGATTGGAAGCCCGCGGCGCTTGCTAATAGGAGGAACCTCAGGATCATGGCTTTTTGTTGCGCGGAGGGCTCGGGGTGCGGATTGCTTGTGCTCGCGGCGTGCCAGCGGCTGCTGCGAGACTTCTCAAATACGTGCAGCCTTGTTCGAAGTACCGGGGCAGAGACGGGAGGCTATTGCACGGGAGAATCACAGCTGCTTGCTAAAAGCAGTAATTGCCTAAAAATGCTAAAGTTGGGGACGCCTGTTTGCCCGTCAAACGTCGCCGCAGAGATCCCAAAAGCACCTGGCGGGATAGCCGACAACTGGATGGCTCGGTGGATTCCGTTGAGGCAGCTATGGGCACCGAGAAGTGCGCAGATGCGTGCGGAAAGTTGCCTAGTGTCTTTGAGACGCTAGTGGATTATCCCTAAGTTGTAGCCGCAAAAGGAGAGAATATCGGGCAAAAGCGGCAACATAACAGTGTCCGAGAGCCAAGCGACCCGTCGAGCAGCAACAGCGGACTAGACGTGAGCCCCCAGCAAAACGTTCGCGGCCGACGCGGCCGCATTTGACGTCAAACGCTGCCAGATCCGGATCTGCCGGCGAGGCGCCCGCGACGCCCGCGCGCCGGCCCGAGACGACGCCCGCGGCCGCCCCCCCCCCCCGCCCGCAGCGACCCCCAACCGCCACCGCCGCAGGTCTCCGTCATGGCGCGCTCCCTGAGGCTGCTCCTCGCGGCGGCGGCGGCCGTCTCGGGCTTTAAGCAGTTCTCGAACTTCAAACTACCGTCCATCGGCGGCGTCAAGGCCGACCTCGAGGCGCGGGCCAAGTTCGGCGACAAGAAGCTCGTTGTGGTCACCGGTACCAGTTCTGGTTTGGGAAGGAAGACCGCCCGCGCTTTAGTAAGGACGGGCAAGTACCACGTCGTCGGGGCGGTGAGGGATGTGGACAAGATGGCCGTCGTCGCGGAGATCGAGGACTTTGACACGGACCGGTTCACGGCGATGGAGTGCGAACTGAACTCGTTCGAGTCCGTCCGGGACTTCTGCAAGAACTTAGATGCATGGCGCTGCAACAAGCCCATCGACCGCTTGATCTGCAACGCGGGCGTCTACCAGCCGTCGCTCCCCTACGCGAAGTGGTCCGCGGACGGCCACGAGCAGACGATGCAGATTAATTACCTGTCGCACTTCCTGATGATCTCGTTATTGATGCCGGACATGGTGCGGGCGCGCGACCCGCGGGTTATCCTTGTGGGTTCGGTGACGGGCAACGACAACACCGTGGGCGGCGGGGGCGTCTACCCCATCGCGGACCTGAAGGAATTGGAAGGCCTGAAGGCCGGCGCCAAAAATCCCATCAGCATGTTCGACGGCTACAATTTTGATGGAGCTAAAGCTTATAAAGATTCGAAGCTTTGTTTGATGATGACGTCGAACTTGCTCCATGACAAGTACCACAAGCAGACGGGCATTTCGTTTTCGTCCATCTATCCCGGCTGCATCGCGGAGTCGCCGTTGTTCCGAGAGAAGCGGCCCTGGTTCCGGAAGTACTTTCCCGTCTTCATGAAGTATATTACTGGAGGTACAATACGGTGTGGAAATTGAACCGTACGCCATCGACGCGAACGTTCGTGCCCCGCAGGCTTCGTCGGCGAAGAAGAGGCGGGCCTGCGCCTCTTCCAGGTCGCCCACGACCCGCGCTGCGCCAAGTCCGGCGTCTACTGGTCCTGGAACGGCGGGCCGCGCGAGGGCCGCGGCGCCGAGGCATTGGAGAAAGGGGGTCAAATCACGGGCGGCGGCGGCGCGGGCGGCGGCTGGGATTCGATCTACGAGAACGACCAGTCCGACAAAGTGCTCAACCAGGACACGGCCTCGGACCTGTTCAAGTACAGTACGATCGTGACCGGCGCCGAGTGGCCGCCGGCCAATCAGCCCAAGTCCCCCTGCCCGACGCTCAAGGTGATTGGTGCGATCACGGCCTACCAGAACAAGAAGGAGGAGCTCAAGCGGATGAAGCAGGGGCCGGGCATGGTCGCGGGGAAAGGCATTGTCATTACCGCTACTGCGGCCAAGGCCGTGGACGCCGGTTCGAGTGTGTTATTATTGCCGTTGCGCGTGCTGCAGCGCGTCTTGCTGGGCAAGCTGCCGGAGAAGGCGACGTCCGGAAGTTTCCAGGAGACGAAGGTCAAGAGGAGAGGCGGGTTGCTGACGTTCTGGCGGCGGCAGCCGGAGGTCGTTGAAGAGGAGGCGGTCGTCGCGGAGGTCGAGGATGAGCTGGATCCCGAGGTCGAGGCGAACCAGCGCCTACGCGACGAGCTCGAGGAGGAGCTGCGCGCGAAGATCCAGGCGCAGGCGGCGATCGACGGCGGCCTGGCGCCGCCCGACGGTGATGATGAAATGGCCGCGCCGGCGGGCGAGCTCGAGACGTCGCGCTGAGTTCTCTGTTTCCCCCTTTCGTGTTCCCCACCCCTGTCGTCGCTACGGCGGCGGGGATATATGATTGAAGTCGTAAATATACATCATCCTAGACAGACTTCCCGGAGGCGGCTCTGGAACGTGAAGACGACGACGCCCTCGAAGCCGTGCTTCTGGAGCAAATCCTCGCATTTGCTCGCGGGCAAGGCAAGTAAAAATTCTGGTCTGATGTCGTGTTCCGCCGCGAAGCGCTCGAACTTGGCCTTGTTGGGGCTGCCCGGGTAGAAGGCGGCGAAGCACGCCGTGAGGCCCTGCGGCGTGTCGGCGGGCTTATCGATCTTGCGTCGCTTGGCCTCCAGCATATCCCCCACGGACGGTCCGTCGCGCCGGCGCAGCGGCGGCGCCCCGGCGACGGGGGGCGCGGCCGGGCGCCGGTGGGCCGCCATGCCCGGGAATGCGCTCACGGCGTCCCGGTAGGCGCGGTCGTGCCGCTCGCCGGCCGCCGGACGGCCGAGCGGCGGCGGCGCGGACTCCGATGCTTGCTTCGCCATCTCGTCCTCGCAGACCTCCTTGACCGCGGCCTTCTTCGCGTCCAGGGCGCCCTCCGGGGCACCCAAAGCCGACTCGGCCGCGCGGCGGACCTTCCTCTGCGTCGCCTTGCCATCTAACTGCGCGATGGCGTGCAGCACGGCGGCCTTCTCCGCCGTCGTCAGCGGCACGATGTCCTTCCTGGCGGGCTTCGGTCTCCACCGCACAACGACGACCTCCTCCCTCGTCTGTCCGAGCCGCGGGCGCACCGGCGGCGCGGCGGGCGCCGCGTCGTCGTCAGGGGCGCGCCGCGTGTATGACTGGATGACCGGCGGGACGACGAAGCCCGCCGCAGCATCAGCGGCGGCGACGCCCTCGAGTAGCGGCCGCGCCGCTGCTACGGTGCCAATGACGGGCGCTGCGGGCCAGCCGGCGTGACCACCCCAGATGACGGCCGGCACCGCCTTGAGCTTGAAGGTCGCGAGAGCGTCACCTTCGAGGACAATGACGATGTACTTGCGTGGGCCCGCGTCGTCCGTGGGCTCGAAGCCTTCGATGGAGCGGAGGTGCGGCGGCGCCTGGCGCAGGCCGATGGCGACAAAGTCATCCAGTGCGGCGTTGTCGCCCGCGCGAACGTTGTGGGATCGATGGTACATATTGAACGAGGTCATGTGGGATGCTGCGAGCCTAGTCTCGATGTAGAGTCGCGACGTGTCGCTCCGCCACACCATCGTGATGCAGGACGGCGCGAAGACGACCGAGACGTCGCGCCGCAGGGCCGTGCCGAAGTAGACGCGGCGGCATCGGAGCATGACCGGCTCCTCGTGGCGTGGGGTAGGGCGCGCGTCGGGCCTCGCAGCAGGTTTCTTCCTCGCGGGCGGTGGCGGTGCGGGCGCCGCAGGCTCGTCGTCGTCGATCTCGACAACATTGCCCTCGGCCTCGGCGCGGCGCCGCGACTCGGCGGCGCGCTCGGCCGGCGTCTGCACGCCGACCAGCTCGAAGTCGTCTTCGGCCGGCGCCGGCGCAGCGGCCGGTGTCGCGTTGAGGACTTTGGCTTTCTCAGCCTTGTACTCGTCCTCGTCGAGTAGTTTCTGCTCGAACGCATCCTTAAGTCGTCGCAGCGCGTCGACCTGGGCTTGTGAGAAGAGATCCATGTTTGAACTTGGGCTGCCCCCCGGAGTTTTTCCGGAGCGCGGGTGCTGCCTCCCCGATCGAAGTACGTCCAGGACAGTTTATTTCCACGTGACGGGCGCTCTGGCCTATTATGCCGGCAGGAGACTCAAAAATAAGCCTGGGGCTAATGTCTTACAGCCGCTAGCTGTCTTGGCAACCCTCAGCCGCGGCGCGCCCGTCTTGCCGCGACAGCGCGACCTGCGAGCCGTCTCATACGCATTATTTGCACGCGGCAGCTGCGTGACGCGAGCAGCCTCGCTGGAGGACGCCCAGCCGAAGCCAGAGATCTAGCTCAACTTACTCAGAGCAGCAATGACGCGTCCACGACGAAGAATAACAATTCTGCTCGCATGTTGCAGCACGCGAGCGCTGAGGATAACACGGCGGCAAGCCGGTGCCGCCGCGGCGCTGGGCTTGGCCGGGCCAGCCCGAGCCGTGGAGGAGGTGCGGTCGCCGCGGCCGCTGGCCTACCGCATCCTCAAGGGCGACCCGCCGCTCATGCAGCCCTACGAGCAGCGCGCCGCGCCGAAGCTGCTGAAGAGCCTGGCCGACGGCGCCGACGCCGTTTTGTTGGGAGTCAAGCGGAACGACCCGGAGGACTACGCGTTAGCTGCCGATTTAGCCTCAAAATTCGCGTCCGCGGCGAAGCGGCCCGTCGCCGTCGGCCTCGACGCGATGCCGCTCGGGAGTCAACTCAGAGACGCGGCGAGCTGGCCCTCCGTCTCGGACTCCGTCGACTTCCTCCAACCCATCGCCGATTTACAGCAAAGGACGCGCTGCGACCTCGTGCCGCTCGGCGTGCAGGCGGAAGTCATGGGCGCGGTCCAGCGGTCGGGCGGCATCGCGGCCCTGTCGGAGCAGCAACGGAACGCCTATGTGGATGACGTCGGCGCCTTCGTGCGCTACCCGAAGCAGACGGCGGCCTTTGACGTCTGGGCCGAGCGAGTGGTCGCGCGGACGTACAAGAAGCGCTACGAGGGGCTCGAGGGCGCGCCGAAATACGAGGACTACTTCGCGTCGTCCATTTTATACGACGAGGCCGTCGCGTCGCTCGCGGCGCGGTACTGCCGGGCGCACCCCTCCACATTACTTGTTTGCGTGGTCTCCGACGACCACGTGAAGTTCGGCTGCTCGGCCCAGGGGCGGTTCCAGCGCCTCGAGAAGAATCCTGACGGAGACGCTGGGTTCTTCCGCGCGCCGTCGATACTGCTGAACCCCTCCGCGGAGTCGACCGGGAGCCTGTCGCGGAGCCTGCGCCTCGCGCTCGCCGTCGACCCGGCGAAAGCTCGTACGTGCTCGGACTGCGTCTGGTTCTCGCGGAGCCCGCCCCCATCATTACTGACGCACATGATGAATCCGGTGGACGGCGCGGCGTTCAAGATCGACCTCGGGCTGTCGATGCCGACGGTGTGATTAATTTATGGAATAGTCTCAGTCGGTCGCGCGCGAGTAGTCCGGGACCTTCGAGGCCGTCGGGCGGAGCTTGTCGGCATCTTGTCAGCAGAAGGAACTATGCGAGTTTTTGCAGCACAGTGAGTTACAATGCTAAAGCCACGGGCAGCCACAGCTACTTTGCTTGTTGCCAGCGAGGTAAGGTATCGGTACGGTACCTTTATACCTCGGTGGCAGCAGAGGACCGGAAAATCGATCAGCGGGCGATCGGCGCTGCTGTGCCCCAAAAACGCAAAGCAGCGACGGAAACGCCGCAATGGACCAAGATGAAGGCAGCAGCAGCGCCGCCGAGGCTGCCCAGCAATTAGTAGAAGTGCTGCTGCCCATGGACGCGACGCCGACGCTCGCCGCGCACGTCGAGCCGCACGCGGCCTTCGTCACCTCTGTCTCGGAGCGCGCCGACGTCATACTAAGTTCCGCGCTCTTCCGCGAGCTCTCGCAACGGTTCGAGAAGCTGACTCCCCTGCAGCGCTTCTCACTCCACCTTTCATTATTGAAGCACGCCCCTTCAGAATTCCGGCGTCGTCTCGAGGATTCCCCTGATGAGTGGCTCGCCGCCGTCGCGCCTTGTGTAGCTGTTGTTGTGTATTTGCGGCGAGGCGCGGCGATCGCGCACGCATCATCTTCAGATGATTTACTGGAGGTCCTTGACGACGCCGAGCTCGCGCAGTCTCGACAAGACGACGCCGCGACTTTCGCCGCGTCGCTCTACTGCGTCTGTCTTGGTTTGGAGTGGCTAGGCCGCACCGCGTACGACGAGCGGATCGCGAATGGAGTCAAACGAGACGGCAAGATACTATTGGGCTACGACGAGGACCTGACGGCGTCCGAATCATGTGTATACGACTTCGCCCACGTTATTGGGGGAGAGGGCTTCGCGCTGACGAGAGCGGAAATCAGGACGCCCTACGTCGTCGTGCACGTGACGCAGTGTCTTCAGAAAATCGGTGTGTCGTGGGAGGCGGTCATCGCCCACTCTCACGTCTTGGCGGCGGAGGTGAAGCGCGTCAAGAGCGAGGTGCACACCACCACCCCAGGTTTAAAAGCGGCAGAAGCGCGCGCGCGCGCGTGGCCCGCGCGGGACGTCACGCATCTACAATTTGAGATTGCCGAGGCGCCCCGTGACGGTTTCGCGGCCCTGGCGTGCACGGCCAAGCTCTCGCTCGAGGACGCGCTGGCGACGAAAACCGCTGACGACCCGCTCGCGCCGGTGCACGTCAAGCACGTGGTGGACGGGCGGCGGAAGTGCCACCTCCGGAGCTGTGATATTCTGGAGTCCGACGCGGCGAAATTCCTACGGTGCGCGCGCTGCAAGGACGCGCACTACTGCTCGAGGGCGTGCCAGGAGGACGACTGGCGGCGCCTGCACCACAAGCGGACGTGCGGTAGGTGTCCCCCGTCCGTTGATAAGTAGCTTTTTGTTGTTTTCTTGGCGCCGGCTCGACGGCGTCGTCGTACGGTGTCCATGACAGGCCGCGCACCCGCTACATAACTAGGAGCCAAAATTTATCAAGGGGGTGGGGAGGCTCCTAGAAGAAGGCGGCCGGCGCCTGCGCGTAGTCCTCTCCGGCCCGATCGCCGGGCTCGCGCAGGAACGACTGGCTTCCGCTCCCGCTCCGTCCCAGGAACGACGAGTCTTTTGCGGAAGAGGCCGTGTCCGCCTCACTCGAAACGCCACCATACTTGGCGAAGTAGTCCGCCGCCGCATCCACAGAGTCATCCGGAGCCGATTCGCCCGTGAGATCTTTGGTGGCTGTGACGTCACCCGGCGAGACGACGGAAGGCATCGCCGTCTTCCTACTTCCAACTTGATGTTCATGCAGCTCCGAATTCAACCACTGGATCACGCGCTGGTTGTGCTCGAGGAGATCCGCCGCCTCGTCGAGCTTCTTATTGGCCTGCTCCAAATCTTTCTCGGCCTGCTGGCGCTTGTCCTGCTCTCTACGACTGTCGGCGACGGCGAGCTCCTTCTCGTGCTTTGCCGAATCGAGGTCGCGGCGCGCGTCGGCGACGCGGCGCTCCTGCTGTTTTACGACGTCTGCCCTTAACCGTAGTTTCTGCTGTTGCGCTCGCGCTTGCTCCGACAGCCTTTCGATGATGGCGTTGCCCCGCGTGATTTCGGCAGCAGCAGCTTGGAGCTGCTGCTCCCGGTTCTCCAATCGCCTCTTCAAATCTTCCCTCAGATCCGCGTCGCGCTGCGACGCCTCGTCCGCGAGCTTTCTAGCAGCGTCGGCGCGCTTCACCGTGTCCTCCGCATTTTCCGCCCGCTGTTCTAAAGCAGCGAGTCGGATCTCCAGGCCTCGTGACGTCGCGACGGCGCCGTCGCGCTCTTGCTCCGCGCACCTCAAGGCTTCCGCTTGTCTAGCGTTCTCAGCATCCGTGGCCTCGACGCGCACTTTCGTGGCTTCCAGCGCCGACCGGGCCTGAGCTGATGTCGCCTCCGCCTCCCTAGATCTAATCTCGGCCGCGTCGGCGCGCTCGCGCGCGTCGAAGAGCGCCGTCCGCGCGGCGTCGGCCTGCTGCTGGGACCGGTCCCGCTCAGCCCTCAGTTCGTCGGCCGCGATCTTCCGCGCTTGCGCGACGGCGTCGGCCTCCCGACTCTTATACGTAGCTTCAGCTTCTCGCAATTGAGCAGCAGCTGACGCCGCGTGCTCTCTCAATTGATCTTCTAGCGCTTCTTTCTCCGACAACAACTGCTGGACCTCGTCGCCGTTGCTATCGCGCTTTAGGGTTGTTTCTTGTAAAGCTTGCACGGACCGTCTATTATCTAACAAAGCCTGAGCGAGTCGACCCGCCAGATAGGCCTTCAGCATGTGGTCGTCACCCTGAACCACACCTAAACCGACGTGCTCGACCTGCTTGAAGGCGTTGGCCTCGACGACCGCGAACTTCGCGGCCCCTCGCCACGGCCTCTCCAGAGCAGCACAAAAAGTAGATTCCCCTCGTTGGGGCCCCTCGCACCTTTTGAGCAAATCCACAAAGTGCTGGGGGAAGGCCGCGAAGTCCACGAGTAACGCGTGCTCCCGCCTCATCGCGTGAAAGTCGCCCTCGCCGACCGCTAGAGCATAGAGAAAGTAGGGGTCCTGGGCGTCGGCCACTTCTAAATGAAGTAGTCTTTCGCGGCCCGCCGCGCCGTCGCTCGAATTGGGGACTGGCGTCTCCGTCTGTCCTAACGGCCGCGTGCCCTCGAGGAGGCGGATCGTGAGTTGGCGCTCGCCCTCGACGACGGCCGCGTCCTCTCCAACAAGACGGACGGGCAGCTCGGCCTCGTAGAGGGGCGCGTCGCGGTTGAGCTCCGTGGTCATGGTTTCTTTTTGGGCTGTGAGGCGCCGCCCCGCGGTTTTTGCTGCTGCTCGCTATACGCGCGGCGGTTTCTCGCGCGCCGTTGCAGGCCGGCTACGGCCGTCCAGAGGCGTGTCTTCCACGTCGCCACTCAGTGAATAGGTTCGCCGCGGCCGAGATTTAGCGTGCACTTTTTGATTTTGAAAGGCAAATAATCTCCTAAATTAAACTCTCTAGCGAATTGCGCCGAGGCGGGACTTCTCGTAGTGCGCCAGGGAACGCCTCCGCGGACGCGATGGGGCGAAACATCGGCAAGACCCCGTCCACGCAAAAAACAGGTTTTTTGTGGCTGCCAATCGACGGCTAGCGCGTCGTAAATTATCACAACGCTGGTCTGCGATTCATTTTATTTATCGCTCTGAGTGCCTGTCACAAGCGGCGCACGAAAGAACGCTGCCGGACAGCCCAAAAACACGCTTTCACCGCACCAGCCCAAATAAAGCGCGGCCGACGACGCTGCTCGACAGCGCATAAACACGCTTTCACCGCCAGCAATAAAGCAACATGTACCGCGGCCACCCGCAGCAACAAAGGCGCCGCGAGTCGCAGCCCTACGGCGAGCCGCCGCAGCCGACGACAAGAGCACGAGTGAATGTCTGCTCCTTTGTCTTGCTCTGCGCGCTCGCTATAACGGGTGGCGCCGTCTGGGCCCTGCTCAGTGAACGGAGCGAGCTGCAGCGGCAGATGACGGAACTAAGACGAGATTCAGTGAAGCAACACGAGACCCATGAACAGCAAACAAAGACCTGGCGGCAGGAGGTGCAGAAGGCATTAAAAACACCGGTACGAACTTCATATAACGCGTCGGCCTTCTTCTGCTGCTTCGACGGGCCCGCCTGGATGCAGAAGCGCTACACGGTCATGCTTGGTAATGCTTTGAATGCCTTACCGCCCTCCGTCAAGGTCCAGGTCTTCCATAGAGGTGATGCTTCGTGGGAACGGGGCCTGCACCTGAATCCCGGCGTCGAGCGCCTGAAGCAGACCCATGGATCGAGGCTGGCCTTCCACGAGCTGCCGTTACGAATCCGCAAGGCGAAACGAAGTGATGTTTTATTATCGTACGATCTGTGGAATACGCTGGACGCCGAGATCGTCTTGGCGTTTGGGAGTGGGGGCGCCTTCTGTGCGAACGCCCTGGTCCATTTCGAGGACTTCGCGTCGTTTGAGTTGATAGATGGGGACGGGCTGCTTTTAACGAGAAAGTCGGCGGTACTCGACGTGATACGACACAAGGCCGGCTCGTCGAACTGCCGGTGCATCGAGGGCAAGCACGGCCCGACGCGGTACCTGGCGTCGCAGCTTACGTCCGGCGGCGCTTTGGACGCGCCTCGCAAGGTCAAGGAGCACTTTGCCGCCTCATCAGCGACGGCGGACGACGCTTTACCTTTCGCTGTTGTGGGGACGCTGCCGGCGATGGACGCGGCCAAGCGGTCCGATCTCATCGAGCGGTGCCCGGAGGCGAAGGCGATCTTTCCCTCGCTCCACGAGCCGGGCTGCTTCGGCGCGCCTTCATCATTGGACAAGGACCGGTGCGTCGCGGCGCTCTGCGTGTCGAACCCGCGGCCGAGCGGGTGCTGACCCCTAAGGTTTTGGTTTTGTAGTCACCTTTCTAGTCATGGAGAACCCGATTGTTACGATGCTAGAACTAGTGGGCGGAGACCCTGCGGGGAGCGTTCGCTAGTGCCTCACTCCCGCTAGGTATTAACTTTGCGCCGACATATATGCGGACGCAGCGCGTACGCACGTCTCTAGTTCTTCTCTAAGCGGCTAGCGTCGACAGCGGCCGCAGCGATCAGCCTGCAAACCGATATGGCACAACAGCCGCCCCCACCACCCGAGCGTAAGCGCCTCCCCACGGCACAAGAGCTCAGCGCATTGCAAAAAGACACTGATCAATGCCGCACGATCTGCGTCATCGGCCACGTCGACCACGGCAAGAGCTCTTTGGTAGATTGGCTCCTGGCCGACGGCGGCGCGATGCCGCCGCGGCTCGCGGGCACACTACGGCTCATGGACGACCTGCCGGACGAGCAGGAGCGCGGCATCACGTTGCGGGCCTCGGCCGTGTCGCTGCGATGCCCTTCTCCATTGAAAACGTCGACCAAGGACTTTCTTTTGACGATCATCGACTCGCCGGGCCACGTCGACTTCGCGCATGATGCCTGTGCCGCTTGTAGGTTATCTGATGGTTGTTTAGTGGTCGTGGACGCCGTCGAGGGCGTGCGCGTCCAGACTCGAGGTGCTTTAAGGGCGGCCTGTGCCGAAAGGTTGAAGCCTCTTTTGGTCGTAAACAAACTCGACCGGTTAAGGCACCACGAGCCCTCGGAAGCGTTTGCGGCGTTGCGGCGCATCGTCGAGGCGGCAAACGCTGCTTTACATGAGGCCTGTGCGGTGAACGCTTGTAGTCCTACATATGAGGAGTCGAGTACCTTTTCTTATCAATCAATCATCTTCGCCTCGGCGAAGGACGGCTGGGCTTTTGGTTTAAGGGAGCTCGCGAAGGTGCTGCGGCCGGCGTTCGGTAATGCGCCTATTACGGCGATCGAGCGCGTCTTATTTGACGACGTAACTGTTGATGATGGGAAAGTAAAAAAACTCAGGACGCCCTGCTCAAGTGACGCGGCCTTTGCCACACTCGTCCTTTCACCGTTATTCAAGCTGCTTGATGGAGATGACGTGTTGAGCGAGCCCCTCCTCGCGGGCGCCTCCACAACAGCGAAAAAGAAGGAGGATAAAGCTCTCGCTCTTCTACGGAGGCGCTTCCCGCTCGCGCGCGCGGTCCAGCGCTGCGTCGTGACGCAAGTGCCTCCACCGATCACTGCTCTACGGGATCACGTCATGTTCCCTCATAGTTTTGATGAAGATGGCCCTGCACTGGCGTACTGCGCCAAGTTCTTCGAGAATTCTGGTTGTGTATATGGCGCGTGTCGGGTGTTGCGAGGGGTGCTGCGCGTCGGCGAGCTCATAACTGTGGATGGAGTTGAGGTACAGATAGACGCGCTGTACGCGATGATGGGCTCGGACTTACTGTCGATAGACGAGGCGCCGCGCGGCTCTATCATAGCGTTGGGGCCCGCGCTGTCTTCGGCTTTCGCGGGCAAACGCGGCGCGCTCGGCGCCGATGAAATAAATCCACCAAAGGCAGCAGACGTCTTTCCGTTGGTGCGGGTGGCGGTGTCTTCACAACGGCGCGCCGACGCGGAGGTCGTCGAGAATGCGCTTGAAAAAATAAGGCGCTTGGACGCGGCCGCGACGATCTCGAGGGAAGGGGGCCAGACGATCCTAGGCTGCGTCGGCGAGCTTCATTTAGATCAGGTGCTGCGCGATTTGCGGCGGGCCGTGGGCGTCGAGGTCGTTGTGGGCGAGCCGATCGTGGGGATCCGCGAGGGTGTTGTTTCTGAAAAGACGGGAGAGGCCGTGGTGCCGCCGCCGTGGAGCCGCGAGCTCGAGGAGGACGACGAGGACGAGGATGTAGTGGTGGAGGTGGAAGCCATGGATGAACGGGTCGAGGAAGGTCGGTTCGCGCGGCGCGGCAATTTGCTGAAGATTGTGGAGGGCGACGAGCAGGCGTGCGTCGAGGGCTTCAACCGGGCCTGCGACGCGGGGCCCTTGGCCGAGGAGCCTTTGCATGGCGTCCGCGTGACCATTATCAAAGCGAGTGGCGAGGATCAAGAGGCGCTCGCCTCGAAGGTGCGCCGCCGGATCCGCCAGGCCATCTTGAGGCGGGGCGCGCGCGTCTGGGAGCCCTTGGTCGAGGGCGACGTCCTCTGTTCCCAGAATGCGCTGGGGAAGCTCCACGGTTTACTGAGCAAACGACGAGGGACGATACGGGAGGAGGACGTCATTTCCAACGAGCTCTGGTGCCTGCGGGCCCAGCTCCCGGCGGCGAGCGCGTTGGGCTTCGGCGAGGCCCTTTTGGAGTGGACGTCCGGCGGCGCCTCCGTGCCCCAACTAATACCGGCGGGCTTCCAGCTGCTCGACGAGGACCCCTTCTGGGCGCCGACCACCGAGGACGAGCGCGAGGAGCACGGCGATTTTGGGGGAGACGTCTTCGCGTCGTCGAACGTCGCGCGCGCTCTGGTAAATGCCGTGCGGCGGCGCAAGGGCCTCGCGTCCGACGAGCGCGTCCTGCGCGCCAAGGCCGAGGCCCAGAAGAGCAACCAGCGGATCCGGGCCTGACTTTTGTGTCCCTTTCCCTTGCGTTTGAGCGCGCGACGCGTGCTCTCGGGCAGCATGCATGTGTTATCGTGTCGGCCCCACGTGTCGGCGCGATGGCATCACGTACAGACCGGTACGCCATCGATGCGACGCCACACGCGACACTGCGTCTGCTCGATGGCGTGGTGGTGTGAACCTCGGCGGAGGTCCGGGAGTCGAGACGGCCACACCACGCCATCGACGCGACATTCTGAAGGCACTGTTGTTGTGTGCTAGTAACTACTCATGTGATCCATATAGTACATTACGCGCCGCCGCGCAACCGCCGCCGCCGGCCGCTGCTCTGGATGTCGAGCGGCTTCTCGGCCTCGGCCTCCTTCTCCGCGGCCGGCGCCGCGTCGGAGCTCTGGATGTCGGCCGCGGGCGGCGCCTCCGCCTTCTCGGCGGCCGGCTTCGACTCGGCCTTCGAGTCCGTGCTCGAGATGTCGGCGGCGGGCGCCTCCGCGGCCTCGGCCTCCTCGGCCGCGGCCTTGGACACCTCCGCGGCGGGCTCGGGCACGCTCGAGATGTCCACGGGCGCGGCCGGCGCCTCGGCGGCCGGCGCCTCGGCCGCGGGCTCCACGAGCTCGAGGGTCTCGCCCGCGGGCTCGGGCGGCGGCGCCGGCGCGGGCTCCGGCGCGGGCTCTGGCGCCGGCTCCGTCGCCGGCGCGGGCTCAGGCTCGGGCGCAGGCGCCGGTACGGGCTCTGGCTCGGGCGCAGGCGCCGGTACGGGCTCCGGCGCGGGCTCTGGCGCCGGCGCCGGCTCTGGCGCCGGCCTCGGCGCTGGCACCGGCTCTGGAGCCGGCACGGGCTCAGGCTCGGGCGCGGGCGCCGGTACGGGCTCCGGCGCCGGTACGGGCTCAGGCTCTGGCGCCGGCCTTGGCGCGGGCTCAGGCTCGGGCGCCGGCTCCGCGGGCAGCGATTCGACATGAGGGTGCCGGTGGTGCGCGGTGACGTTGGCCAGGTGCGCCGCCCACTCGGCCGGCTTCGGAGGCACCGACGTGACAGAAGCATTCGTGTGGTTGTGCGGGTGCACGTGCACATGCTTTAAATGCGCCGGCGGCCGCGCCGCGTGGCCCCGCCCCTCGACTTCCGGCGCCACCGTGTGGACGTAGAGCAAATCGTCGACGACGAACACAGGGACAAAGACGAACGCGAGGACGACCGCAAACAGACCCAGCACCAAGCCGAACCCCTGCTCGCGGAAGATCTTTTCGACCCGCGACTGGGGCGTCTGGCGGACCTTGGGGGTCGGCATCTTTGCGTTCTACCGTGCCCAGCTGTGAGATGCGGTGATTTTGTTGAGTGTTTTATCAGTTAGTGTCGAGCGTTAAGCTCAGGCGGTCGGCTCGGCAAGAGGTAGCAGCAGTACTTTGACCACACTCAGACCACCCCGCAGCTCGATGGCGTCCACCGCAGCCAAAATCCAGCAAAAAATATAATGAAGCTAGCGGATGTAAGGCACTAGAAGCGAGAGAGCGCGCGCTCTCTGGCTTTTTGCTGGATACACGCGCTCACAGACCTCAAGTTTAAGAAACGCCCTCCGCGCGTTCCCGCGTCTCCCACCCTGCTGCGGCCGCGCGAATCTGTCGTGAAACGCGCCCGCACGTGCCTGAACAGGCGCTGCTGTCTGCCGCGCGGTTTCGCTGCCGTCCGGGCGCCCGCGCGCAGTCCGCGCAATCCCACGTCTCACCACAAGCGCCGCCCCGTCTCGCGGAGCGTCTGAGCGTCCCGCGCGCAGGCCCAAGAACCATGGCCTCCCGCCCGAGCCGCGCGAGCCGCGCGTCCGCGCCGAAGTACGACGACGGCCAGAGTAACGACGGCTCCGAGTTCGAGAAGGAGAGCTCGTCCGAGTCCGAGGAGGAAGAGGAGGAGGAGGTCATCGTCGAGTCCGACGACGAGCCCCAGAAGAAGCGCAAGTCGTCCTCCAGGAAGCCCGCGCCCAAGAAGGCCCGCACGGAGTACACCATCGAGGAGCACGAGAAGGGCTCTGTGAACCGACCGACGGAGAACACGATCACGTCGACGGGCGCTTTTAATGGAGAGTTCGCCTTCGCGCTCGGCACGGTCTGCTCCGTGCTCTGCGAGAAGACGAACCGCTGGGTCACGGGCCACGTGATCATGTTTCATAGGGGAGGCGTGACGACGAAGTACGCCGTCAAGGCCGTGCGCGTCCTCTTCGAGAAGGCCCAGAACGGCGGCAAGACGCACTACCAGGACTGCGATGTTACAACTGAGAAGGAAGCTGACAAAAGATTGGTGCGGTTGGACCTGCCGAAGCGCGAAGTGAGACTGTGGACGTCGGGTTCGCCGTGCATGCGCGCCTGCGACCTAGGACACGCCGCGGCGTCCAAAGAAAAACCCTTAGATCCTTCGAGAGGCTTTGGGGCGTCGGCGGAAGCGGCCGCTAGAGCCGCCCAGAAGAAGGACTTTACGTACCAAGGGAAAGGCAGCGAAGGTCTCGCGAAGGCCGAGCAGGAGGCGACCAAAAGATTATCATCGAAGCCGTCCCAGGCCGACGTCGAGGCTTGTCTGAAACTGTTAGGAGACAGCTGGCCGACGCAAGAAAGACCCAACGTGACGCCCGACGGCAAGGCGGTGCAGGGCATGTGCCTCGGGGCCGTGTTCGTGTTGGGCGGCGTGGGCATGGCCGTGTCCCAGGTGTCGAGCGCCTACCCGAACCTCTGCAAGCTGATAACGGGCTGGGTCAAGACCTCGCTCCCCGAGGACTTCCCCTTCAGTTCTTTACAGATCAACTACAACTACGCGGCGAGGAAACACGTCGACGGGAACAACATCGGGCCGAGCTACATCCGATCGTTAGGCAAACACACGGGCGGCGAACTCTGGACGGCCGACGCGTTCGTGGAAGCCACAGATGAAGATACCGGCGAAAAATATGTGAAGGGCGGCGGCGGCCAGCAGGTATTGATCCCGGCGTCCCGTACGACTCGTGGCCATCGCACGATGACGTGGGTGTTTTCTTTTTCGAGTTTGAGCTGTTTCGGACCGCGTCGGGGCCGTCGCGGCGTGTCAGAGAGACCGCAGTCGCGTCGATGGCGTCTTCACGAGACAGGGCCGCCGCGACGCCGCCCTCGTGTTACCACGAGAGTCTACGTGTCATCAGGACGCCGTCGGCGCGATGCCCCATCGCCGCGGAGACCGCCCGTCGCGCGACCGTCTCTACCATCGCAGGTCCTGTCCTGCTCCGGCGGCTGGAAGCTGTTCAACGGCAACGCCGAGCACTACACGAAGCCCTACCAAGGGACTCGTATTAGTTTCATTGCCTTCAGCCACAACGCCTACAACAAGCTGTCGACGCGCGTCGCGTCCAAGCTCAAAGAGCTCGGCTTCACGGCGGCTTCTGATGACGGCGTGGACTTACCCTACTTCGCGAAATATAGAATTGACAAGTCCGAGTTCACGCCCGACGAGAATTCTAAGTAAAGCGCGCGGCGTCCTTCTTTCGCGACCTTCGGCGGGGGCCGTCGCCGCGACCGCCGCGCCCGCAGGTACTTCGCCTACCAGAAGAAGAGGGCCGTGGAATTGCCGCCGCCCACCAAACCCAACCGCATCTCAATCGAGTGCTACGGCCTGACGATGGCGCGCGGCGGCGGCTGGATCGGTTCTTGTCTGTGTGGAAAGCAACATTTTACGGCGCGTTCCACGCCATCGACGGGAAACCTGCTCGATGGCGTGGCGATGCCGGTACCTCACCGCTCGATGGCACCCGACACACTGGTCGATTTCCACACAGGTTATTGTGATGCGAGCGGCAAGCAAACCGTGCACGAATTGACCCCGAACATGACGGGCTTCCACGTGCTCGAGCTCGATGTTCATGCCACGAAAGGGATTTCATTGATCAATGCCTTTGTGGACCGCAAGCGCTTCGACATCTACGGCAAGACGGATTTGGAGGTGGACCGGTTCAGCTCCTTCGTGAAGAAGCTGCCTGCTGGTAGGGTCGTGGCCATCGCCATCACGGACACGGCCGTGGCGGCCAAGCGGCCGCCCTCCGATAAACTATATGACGCGCTGCGGTTGCTCGGCGCCCCGGCCCAGATGGAGAAGATCGGCTACCGCTTCCCCTTCGCGTTCCTCGGCGTCAAGGGTGGTACAGGGCATCTACTGATGGACAAGACGAAGTTCCTCCTGCGCATCGACGCGGCGCTCGGCGCGAACGGGGTGATCTCGGACGTGACGACGGAGAAGACGGACGTCACGGCGAAGGTGATCCTCGCCTCCGCGGGGAAGAAGTGACCGTGGTCCTAAGTATCGGCGCTTTCGGGTTTCTTTACTCTTCGCCCTCACGTGAGCTGAGAAAACCCGCATGACAAAACCGCCTCCGGGCTTGGTCCGACGACGTACCAAGCCAGACCTGTGGAGACGAATACCGTGTTTTACGGGTCGTGAGGAGACGTCTCCGGAAGGAACACCGGGCATTGCGGCATAGGTGGACCGGACATTGAGAGAGATATAACGAGCCAAGAAAAAGCCCCAGCCAGAAGTGGCCATCTGCGTCAGTTCCACCTATTCTAGACTACGCCCAGAGCGCTTGACTACACCCTGCGAGCCCGCGAGAGAGATGAAGCAAATATCTGGCTTGAGGAGCTTCGTGGTCTTAGAGCGCGGCGCGCGGTGGCGCTTCCCTACGAGTTCCGCGGCGGTTTCGGTGGACGCGCGGCGTCCTCCGCCGCACCGATGAATCGTACGAGGGAGCCGTGTCGCCGCCGCGCCGACTATTCGTCGGCGCGGCGGAGAAGCGCCGCAAACGAGTTCGGCCCACCTGATGCTCCCAGGTGGACCGTGCACGCAGAGCGATGAGGACCTGTCAGTGATGACGATCGGGTCCGACCGACGGTGCCGAAGGCCCAAACGCAGCAGCCTACCGTGCTGCTGCCGCGCGCGCACTTGACGCGCGCATCAAGGCGCAAAACGGCAAAGAGAGGTAGGCGATGTTGCCGTGCGCTCCAATCGGGTCCAAATTATTTACTTTTTTCGGATGTAGATCGGCTCGCGGGCTCCCTCGGAGATGGGTCTGGGGTCGGGTAGTCTCCGAAACCGCATGCGCCGATTCTTGGGGCTCTCCAGAGAGCTCTGGATCCAAAACTTGGGGGGATCATGGTGGAGACATCTGGGCAGCTGAGAACCTGTACTGATATGTATCCACCGATGGAAGCGCCCGCGCATGCGGCGTAGGCGATTACACATGTCTAGTACCGACCCTAGGCGACCCCAGGGAGACCTCGGGGCCACGATCTTGACAGGATTCCACCGGTGCGGCCGCCATGGCGGGACCGTCAATATCGCGAATTAAAAAAATTATTTTTTCGCCCCCCAGTAAGTGTCCCATTGATCTCTTTGGACTAGTAGCTAACGGAACGATACCCAAACGGCTTGCATGCTGCGATCGAGTTTCTTGCTAGTGTCTTTACATGCGCTAGCCTCGTTTTGGGCCTCAAGCCGCACCTTTGTCCTTGGGCACAACAGGATCGGGAAGCCTGTAACGACGCCCGCACAGCCTGCTGTAGCCGTCAGACCGGCGGAGGTGGGTACGACGCGCCGAGCCTCACTCGTACAAGTAGTGCCAGCAGTGTAGCTACACAACAGAGATGAAAGGCCTCGTCGCCGGCTACGCCTCGTCCGGCGACGAGGCGTCGTCGTCGGACGACGAGCCCGCCAAGCCCCCGCGCGCCGCCGTGCGCGAGGGTCCGCGCGCGGGCCGGCGCGAGTCGCGGTGGGCGATCCAGGCGCGCGCGATCCTGCCGCCCGACATCCGGGCGGCGCTCGAGGGCGGCGCGGCCTGGAGCGACGACGACGACGGCGCGGCGCCGGCGGCGGCCGCCGCGGCGCCCGCGAAGGTGCGCGGCGGCGCGCGCGGCCACGCGCTCCTCGCGGCGCTGCCGGCGCCGGAGCACGCGACGCCCGCGCCGCCGGAGCCGCTGCCGCCGCCGGCGCCGGCGCCGCCGCCGGCCACCGCCGCCGACTCGGACGACGACTCGGACGGCGGCCCGCCCGCCGGGGGCGCGTTCTTCGCGCTCCCCGCGCGGGGCCGCGCGCGCCGCGCGGCGGCGGCGCCCGTCGCCGTCGCCGCGGCGCCGCCCGTGGGCCCGCCCGCGGGCCCGCTCGCGGGCCCGCGGCGGTCGCGCGCGCCGCCGCCGCTCGCGGCCAGCCCCTACGCGGCGCCGCCCGCGCCGCCGCCGCCGCCCGCGCCGCCCGCGCGGTCGGCCGCGCGCCGTAGAAGGGACGCCGAGGCCGCGCTCGCCAAGGGCGACGTCGCCGCCTTCGCGCAGCTCCAGGGCGCGCAGGGCGTCGTCGTCGCCGACGTCGCGCCGCGCGTCGAGACGCGGTCCGCGGACGAGCTCCTCGCCGCCTCGGAGCGCCGGGCCCCCGAGGTCTCCATCGCGGCGGCCTTCTACAACACGCAGACCGGCCAGACGACGACGACGACGCGCCCGACGAAGACGCAGAAGCGCAAGCACCAGATCAACTCGCTGGCCATCGCCGCGGCCGAGCGAGAGCTCGAGCTCATGGAGAAGCGCGGCCGGGCGACCAAGACGAAGGCCGAGACGAACGCGAAGTACGGCTGGTAATTGTCTTTCGATGCTTACCCCCGCCCCTTCGCCACCGTCACGGCCACGCCGCGCGCCGGCGCCCACGTCCGCCCGTCGAAGACGTGCCAGGCGCAGTTGAGCTTGCGCGCGTCGCGGACCTCGTCGTAGGCGACGAGCCCGCCGACGGTCGAGCCCGGCGTGGACCCCACGAGCCACATCCCGCGCTTCGGCAGCGCATATAAAAAGGATTCCTGCTCGTCGGCCTCGCGCACGCGCTTGTACAGCGTCTGCGTCTCGCGCGCGTAGACGCCGGCGCGCCAGGACTGGACGGACTCGGCGCCGGGGATCGACAGCACGACGGCGTCCTCGGTTGTTTTCGAGAGGACGTCGGCGTGGGCGTCGCGCGACTTCGAGAGCGTCCGCGCCGCGCGCCGCTTGTGCTCGGGCAGCGCCGCCATCCTTTCAGCCACGAGCGACGCGGCGACGCGCGGCGCGCCGACGGCGCGCGCGCCCGCCGCGAGCGCCCGTTTGCAAGCCTCGGGCTTGCGCTCCGCGCCCGGCGGCTCGCGCTTCGCCGCCTTCTCGCAGGCCCGCCAGAAGACGGCGGCGTAGGGCTCGTGAGTGAGCGCCGCCAGGACGATCGCCGCGAGGCGCGCGTGGTCGGGCTGGCTCCGCCTCTTCACCTCCTCTTCACCTCCGGTGGGGAGGGGGGCGTCCCCGAAAATTCGCTTCGCGTCGACGACCGCGTAGCGCCGCCCCTCCCCATCAACGTTGATGGCGCCCACGGCCGCGCCCGCCGCCTTGACCCACGCGCTGCCGTCGTAGACGCACCACGGGGCGCCGATCTTCGATGGGTCTTCTGCCTCATCGTACGCGACGGCCGCGCCCGTCGTCGCGCCGGGCGTCGAGCCGACGAGCCACATCTTCTTCGAGGGAATGTTCCAGAGGTACGACTTGGGCCCGTCCTTGTCGGCCTTCTCGCACCGCGCGTAGCACCGTCCTTCTCCGTCATCGATGCGCTTGTAGACGCCCGTGCGCCACTGCTGCGGTCGTGCCGAAGCGGGCAGATTCACGGCGACGTGCTCCACATCCGAGGTGGGTGCCCCCTTGAGCATGACGGCCTCCCTATAAAATTCCTCGATGGCCTTTTCGCCGCCGCCGCCCGGCGCCATCGCCTCCACAATTTTTAAGCGGGCCGCCCGGTAGTGGCCCCAGTCCGACCTTTGGGTGGCGTCCAGCACGTTAAACTTGTGGCGCCACGTCGCGAAGTGGCAGAAGGGGTAGTGGAGCAACACCAAGCCGTCGGCGGCGTCCTGCGCGCCGTTGCGCGCCGCGTCGCCCCGCGCGCTTCCGAAAAAATGCACGCCGCAGGGCTTGAGACCGGGCTCGCTGAGGCGCCCTCCACTCTTCCCGTTCCAATAACTTAAAAAGGGAGCTGTCGTGTTGTCCGCCCCGGACGCCGGGTTGCCCCCATGAATATAAAAGCGCGCGTCGTGGTGCTTCTTGACCGAGGACCCGTCCGCATGTAGGGCCACTCTCAACTTGAAATGCGTCTCTTCCTCAAAAAAATTGTACGGTTCTTTGATCTCGGGAAAGGTCCGTCGCACTTCCAGATTGTCCAGCCTCAGGTTAAACGTCGAATCGCGCGCCTTTTCAACGACTTTTGCCAGTTCGCCCTTACCAAATTTGCCACTCGTCAGATGGAGCAACTCGTCGTCGTCGACGTGGAAAAGCCAATCAAAGCCAGACGCTCGAGCTCGTCGGATGGCGTCGTGCACGTCGCGCTCTTGCATGGCGACCACATCCACGGTCCCCGCGCCCTTCTGGTGGCTCAACGCCGGCAACGCGAGGACCTGCCGCTCCAGGTTCAGGGATTTGAGCCGCTCTTGTACTTTGAGGAGGAGTGGCGACGGCGCCGCGACGCCTTGGGCCTTCTTCTTCGGTTCCACGACCGACGCGTCGTGGACGTACAGGTAGATCGTATCCACACCAAGTTTGATATGGTACGTCGCCCACCAGCACAGGACGTCGACGCCGGGCGCGGCGCAGGACGTCGTGGCGATGGCGCAGCGCGTTTGATTCGTGCGCGGCGTGTCGGCGGCGGCGGCGGCGGCTTTCGCGGCGGCCTCCATGGCTTCGCGTCGCCCGCCGGCGCTGTGGATAGTTTTCCGCTGGCTGGGGGTGCAGCCCAGCGCTGCCGCTTCGCGATGCGAGCGTCGCGGGCGGCTGCTCGGCTTGCCTCGGTCCCGTTCCGTCGGCGGGAGGCACGCGTTCCGGGGCTGCCCCAAAGATAGAGCCGAGCAAACCGCGCTGGGCAGCGCTGCGTGCGCGCGTCCGCCTCGGATCGCTCCTAGAGGGGTCGTCGTAGTCCTCCGGCGGCGGGTCGGGGCCTTCGGAGGGGCTGCCCTGCTTGCTAGTGCCTTACAGGCCGCTAGCCCTCTGCGGCGCGCGCCGCGCCACCGCGCCTTGTGCAATCCGCTGGCAGTACGCGTGAGTCGCGGTCGGCTAGCACACGCACGCATCCAGCGCCGCACAGCTGCGGCGCCGCCAAGGCTTACAAGGGCCCAAAGCCCGCCATCACCTGCACGCCGCGCGCACTGCTGAAAGCAACCACAACACCGCTCAGAGAGGGATGGACTTCCGCGCAAGCAACGCCTACACGGGTTCCATACAAGGCTACGTCTTCACGACGCGGAATGGTAGAACGGGCTATTATGAGGACCCGCAGCAACCAAAAACGGACAAGACCATCGACGCCATTCTAGAGAAAGCGGACGACGAGGACATCGAGGAAATTGATCAAGCGGCCGTGCGGAAGTTATTATTAACCCTAGAAAAGCGCATCACGCGAAATGCTCAGTTACGCGTCAAGTACGCGGACGAACCGTCGAAGTTTGTGGAGTCCGAGGTCGATCTAGATGACGCGATCAAGGGTCTGGGCTTGTGTGCGGCAGCTCCCGAATATTATGGCGAGTTCGCTCGGTTAGGTGGTGTCGGTTCGGTCGTGGGGCTGCTGGCGCATGAGAATGGGGACATTGCCGCGTCGGCGGTCGCGTTGTTGTTTGATTTGACGGATGCGGACGATGCGGTCGGTGAGGAAGCCATCAAAGGTCATGCCGCATTCGTGGAGGCTTTGATCAAGTGCGAAGGACTGGAGACGCTTTCGCAGTCGCTGGAGCGCTTCGACGAGGGCGTGCCGGAGGAAGCCCAAGCGCGGCACCACGCGTTAGGTGTCTTTGAACATATTATCGAAGACGAGGAAGTAGCGAAGCGTAGTGCGCGCGTGCTGCAGACGTGGCTCGCGTCGAGAATCGTAGCCAAAAAAGGCGACGACGCGGTTAAATTGTACAGCGCCGAGGTTTTGTCGATATTATGCGGGTCGTGCGCTACGATACTCGCGACCCCGGAGACCATCGATGCGCTGCTCCGGGCCTGCGCCAAGTACCGACGCAAGGACCCCGAGGGCCCCGACGACGAGGAGCTCTTGGAAAATCTCTTCCAGAGCCTGGCGGCGTTATTGAGCGGCGCCTCCTCGACAGCAGTGCCCGAGTTCGTGAAAGCCGAGGGCGTCGAGCTCATGCTGCGGTGTCTGAGCGAAGGGCGGGCGGCCGCCGCGCCTTCACTGAGAGTGCTAGCGGCCGCATTGGAGCATCCGCGCGACGATGCGATGGAGGAGGCCACGGGCGCGCCTCGAAGAGTGATCAGCGCGGACGGCATGCGCCACCTCTTTCCTGCTTTGATGGGCCGCGGCGCGGCGCGCGGCGCCGTCGTCGGGGCCGCCGACCGGAGAGCTAAAAAAAGGCGGAAGCGGCGTAGGAACGATGATCAAAGAGCCCTCGACGAGCACGTCGTGGCCTGCGTCGCCGCGCTCTGCCTCTACGCCTCTCAGGAAAACGCGCCGGACGAGGCCCGCGCGCGCCTCGTGCGCAAGTTCCTGGAGAAGGACCAGGAGAAGCTCAAGAAGGTGCTGGAGCGGTACGGGGGCTACATGCGCGACGTCGTCGCGATTGAACGCGAGGGCGGCGCGGACCCGCTCCAGACGTTAGCGCGAGCGCTCGGCGCGGGCCTCCACGCGCTGCGGCTCTGCGGCGCGATTTTGGCCTTCTGCGCGGTCTTCGCGCCGGCGGCGCGGCCGACGCTCCTCGAGGGTTTGGGGCGGGGCGGCGTCGGCGAGCTGGCGAACTGCGTTTCTGATCTTGCGGCCGCCGTCCACGAAGAAGGTTCAGAGGGGGGCGACGGCGCGGCGGCGGCGCGCGCGGCGACGCTGCGGGTATGGGCGGGGGCCGTCGCGGCGGTCGCACCTTCGTAAATCTAGTGTTAGTGAAAGCTGCAGGCCGGCTCTACTCTTCCGACGCCGTCCGCGCGGCGCGGCAGGAGGCCCGGTTGCGGTTGTGGGAGGGCGCCCGCGTCGAGGGCGGCGACGAGGCGTCGCCCCGCGGTCGTTTTTCCGAGCGCGGCGCGCGTCGCGGGTTGTATGTCTCTCGCACATAGGACTTGTGTACCAGTCGCGGCCTCGACGACGCCGCCCGCCGCCTCCGCGAACCGTCGGAAGCCAGCGGCGTAGACCTCGTGGTCCTGCGCGACAAAGGGCGCAATACGAGCGCGGACGTCTAGCGAGAGCCCGTCGACGCTGAGCCGCGGGACGCCGTGGACCATGGACGGGTGCGAGCCGTTCGCCGCGGCGGCGAAGGCATCAGAATGCGCGCAGTCGCAGCCCTGTGGTAGCGCCCCGCGCACCCAGAACGCGAAGATGCAGAGTGATGCATGGTAGTGTTCCGCCACGCCCACGAAGCTAAATGAAGTGATACGCCGCGTCGCGGCCGCGACGTCGCCTGTTCGCCCGAAGCCATGATGGGAGTGCTTGCGCGGCCGCACGACGTGGTGGCCGTCCAGGTGATCATATTTCTTGTCTCGCACGTATCTCGTAGAATGACAGGTCAAATACCGCGTCTGGAGGTTCCAGGGGTTGTAGCAGCCGAAGTCGTCGTCCGACGTAGACAAGGCGTCGAGCCAATCAGCAAAGTCGTGCGTCGCTAAGAAATCAACCATCCGCGGCAGCCGCCGCGCCCACGACGAGTACTTGCATTGTGCATATTGTGAGAGCACGTGCGTTTCGGGTATGCGCACGAAGAGGATCGTCGGCGCGTCATTACGAATTTTGTACTTCGTGCAGTAGCACTTCTCGGCCGTGTGAAGTGTCGCGTTGCGCGGCAGGACGCGCGCCGCGTCTGCTCGAAACACGGTCCCGGCCGTCTTCGGGACGTGGACGTGGCGGTAGTGGTCGAAAGCTCGGGGCGCGTTTTCTCCCGCGCCTCTTATGTCTCTTGGTTTTGGCGCAACCACGAGCCGTGGGGTGAGCCAGGCGAGGAGGAGGCATTGTTTCAACGACATTGTGCACGGTTTGTGTGCTACCCTCTCAGGTCACTCTGGTAATTTGTATGCCCGGCGCGGTCCTCTATCTCTGACTGTAAGCGGGACATATAGAAAGGGTAGAACACAGAAGCCGAGCGACATACGTGCTCAACGCTACGTTAGCGTATAACTGCACATGAGCAGCCTGGACTCAATTCACAAAACAGGTTTCGCATACCACCGTCGGTCGTCGAGCCATCCAGGGTTCGACTAAAATTTCCAGAGATTCGTGCCATATACCCGATATTGTGGGCCATGCAAATAGACAGGTCGCCCTGTGTAGTCCTGACGCTCACGATGCCGCGCTCCGCGAAGCCGCACCGTCGGCGCTCCGCGAGAAAACGCGGGCCAGCGATGACCCTGCGGAATGATTTACAGACCGAGGCCGCCGCGCGGTGAGCTTCCAAAGGGAGCCCCACAAGTACGCGCTGCAGGACGTCGCCGGGGAGATGCCGCTCTCCCATAAGCAGAGGTGTAGCAGGAGGAACAAAGCGCCGCGCGGCCATGGCTGTGGCGATTAGAGAATTGCGCGTGAGACCGCCGCGTCTCTAGACTGGCGGATTATGATCCTACACGGGGCGATTAAAGTTATGCTCAGTTGCTGCTAAGCCAAAAAAACCCGCGTACTAGACAGTGACACATAGTCCTAAGTTTAGTCCTCGTCGTCGAGCCGCGCGCCGCCGACGCCGTCCACGAGCGCCCGCAGGTCGCCGTGGCACGCGCCCGCGGCGACGATTTGTCGGGTTAGCGGCGTGTACGGCGTACCGTCGGCGTCCGTGACCGTCCCGCCGGCCTCCTCCACGAGCAGAGCGCCGGCCGCCGTGTCCCAGGCCGCCAGATCGCACTCGAAGTAGGCCGCGCCGCGGCCCGCGGCGACGTACGCGAGCATGATCGCCGCGGAGCCGAGGAGGCGCATCGTCCGCACGTGCGGCGCGACGGCGGCGATGCCCCGCAGCGACGGTTTTAGAGCCCGCATCCCCGGCGGCGCGCCCGCGTAGACGATGGCGTCGCCTAACATGGACGAGGAGACGGCGAGCGGCGTCCGTTTGCCCGCAGTCTCGACCCAGGCGCCTTTACCATACGCCGCGCCGAACAGCTCGTCTCGATATGGGTCGTAGACCGCGCCGGCCACGACGCGGCAATTTCCAGAAACGCATTCCACGGCCGCGACGGACGTCGCCGAAAGCGGGATGGCGTCCACGAAGTTCGCCGTGCCTTCGATGGGGTCCACGGCCCAGACCAGCCCGTCGGTCGCGAAGGCTTTTTCGGCGGCCCGCGCCGCCGCGTCGGCGCCGGGCGCCACGTCCTCCTCGCCCAACAAACGGGACGCGGGCTCGCGCCGCGCGAGGACGGCCGCGGCCACGTCCTGGCAGGCGACGTCCGTCTTCGTCAGCAAATCCTTGGCGTTGGCCTTGAGCGTGTCTACGGCGCGCTCGTCGGTCGAGGCGGACCGGATGAGCGCGCCGGCCGCCCTCGCGGCCTCGCAGGCGGCGTCGAGGTAGCGCTCGTAGGGCGCCGCGTGTAGTTTTTTCGCGGTGCCTCGCGCGCTGGTCGTGGGCGCGAAGGCCGCGCCCTGCGGAACGAGGAGTGCAGCGGTGAGGAGGGTGCACCGCATCGATGGCATCGTGGTGCAGGCTCTCAGACCAGTGTTGGGCAGCAATCGATGTAAAGCGCTGCCTGGAACGCTGCCACCCGAGAGATTTGCAAAAAGCAGGTTGTGATAAAAGAGAGAATGCCCGCCGAGATTGCAAAATGCCGGCTGCAGGTGAAAGAGGAGCAGGTGATCGTGAGGCGGTAAGTACCTTACCTCGGTGGTACCGGTACCGTACCTCTGAAGATAGACAACAAAAAAAAAGCCGCGTCCGAAAGCGCTCGGGGCAGCCAGTGCTGCTACCACGCAACACACGCACCCATGGCCGACGCCGACGCCGTGGCCAAGAAGGCCGCCATCGAAGCTTTACTCTTCAGCCCCACGCCGAGCGAGGAGCAGGCTAGACAAGAGGAGCCGCGGCGCACGTCGGAGAGCGATTTGGCGGCCTTGCAGGCTTCGTTAGGGGTTGTGGATCGGGAGTCTCGTCCTAGATCAACAGCTAGGTCTCGAAGGCGGTCCCAAGCGAGACAACGATCTTTATCTAGAAGTAGAATTGATGAAGCCACGGTGTTGGCCTCCAAAGAAGCCTTGCAACGAGACGTCGAAGCCCTGGAAGAGGGCCCGCGGCGCCGGCGAGAGCGCATCCAGAAAAGACCGTCGCGGACGCCCTCGCCGAAAACCGAGTTCCTCCACGAGAGTGAGTCGCCGACGGAGCGCGTCATCAAGACGATGCCGGGCTCGCCGCGCGCCGAGGACAAGGCCACGTTCTCCGTCGTGCTGATCGGGGCGAAAGGCTCTGGGAAGACCGTGGCCTGCCGGACGTACGCGCGCGGCTTCTCGGAGCTGCGACCGGCGCCGACGCTAGGCGTCGAGGCCTACATGACGCAGGCGCCCAAATCTCTCAAAGGTCTAGCTCGGGGCGTCAAGATCTGGGACACGTCCGGCGACGATCGCTTCGCGAAGCAAACGAATCAATTGGTCAAAGTGGCCGACGCGGTCCTCGTGCTGTATAATCGTGCGTCATCAGAAGCCTTCGCCGACGCTACCAACAGGTTATTGCGGGCGACGGCGGAGTCGCCCCCAAATGCCATTGTGGTATTGGTCGCGACGTCCCTCGAAAAGAACGTGGACGACGACGTCGAGGCGCGGGATCTGGCGCTGAGCGCGGGCGCGGACTTCCGGACGTTGCGCGTGGCGGACCGCACGGCGGTCACATCGTTGTTCCGGGACGTCTTGCTCGCCGCGGGCGGCAAGCGGCGCCTCGCGCGGCCGGTCCTCGAGGACACGGAGCTCCTCGTGTCGTCGCGCGCGCGGGAGGTGCTCTGCTACGGCCTCGGGCTGGTCGTGCTCTTCCTAGTAGTCTTGCTGGACGCCTAATATTCGGGTTTCTCTAGATAGCGATTTCGCGCCGTCTACAGGTACGCACTGGGCTCGAAGATAAGTCCTACTTAGCCACCGCGGACCGCGACGAGTCCCAGTCGAACGTCTGGCGGAAGCACCAGGGCACGTCCATCTCGCGCGGGAGCGGCTCGAGCATCAACCTATCAGAGCCGGAGCAGAGCGGCCCGCCGTAGGGCATGCCGCGATGCTTCGGCAGCGTCATGTGCCCGTCCCGCAACGCCTTGGCCGCGTCGGTGAGGAAAAAGTCGGGCGCGTCGTCGCTGCAGCGCGTCTTCCAGACGTGCTTGCCTTTGACGGGCTTCGGCGGCCGCCGTTTGATGGGCGCGTGGGCGTCGTGGGCGTCGACCTCGTCGATGTGCATAAACGGAGGCATTTCGTCACTGATGGCCGAGTTGTAGACGCGCCGGCCGTAGCCGCCCGACGCGGCTTTGAGCGAGGTCCAGGGCGTCTTCGAGACCTTCATCCAGCGCGGTTTTATCAATTGGTTGCCAACATATAAATCTTGGACCTCCTTAGCTTTCGCCTCGATCTTCGCGGTCTGGCGCTCGAGCCACGCGTTGCCGGTCAACTCGCAGGTTCTTAGGGAAGCCTTCGTGGCCGAGTCTTTCGTCGTCTGCGTGCGGCCGGAGCGCGGCGTGCGGTTCGTGCGGCCGCCGCCGACGCGCGGCGTCCGGGCGGACATCCGGTCTCGCTGGGCAGAGGGCGCTACAAGCCCGTCTGTCTGGCGGCGAGGAGCGGGGCAGCCCGGCAGGGCCTGGCACCGGGGCAAAGGCCTGTTCGCACGGGCGGCCGATGCGGCAGCGGCTCCGCGCGCGTCGATTTGTGCTGGGGAGAGCGGCGCTGCATTTGAGCGCCGGGTTTTCCCAGTGTAGAAACCGCTCGCACGCGTCAAGCAACTCTCACCCGACCCCACGGGCCCCTCCGACACATCATAAGCACGCACGTGGGCGGTGAGGAAAGAGCCCAGTCTGCAAAGTGCGCATCACGGTGATACCAATCTTGGGCGCCGCGCCCGCGGAGGACCCGGGGCTGCCCGCACCGCCGGGCGCCGTCGGCGGGCCCCTCCCTGTGTTTTGGGGCCGTCGGTCCGGGCCCTCTGGTCGTCGAGAGGCGCGCTTTGTCGCGCTGCCCGGTTGCTGCTCGGTTGCCGCTGGGTCGAACGGTCGCGCGCGCTTCGTCGCGCCGCCCGACGGCGCCATGCGCGAGCCCGGCTGGGACCGCGGCTCCTACGAGGCCTACGGCGGCTTCCAGGAAACGCCGCCGGGCGCGCCGCAGTCGAGCGAGGCGTGCCGGCGGCTGGACCCGACCTACGCCGCGCGGCCGCCGCCCGTCGCGCCGCCCGGCCGGCCGCCGGGCTACGCGCCCGCGCCGCCGCCGCCCCCCATGCCGGGCGCGGGCCTCTGGCCCGACATGGGCCTCTGGGGCGGCGCGCTCCAGCCGCCCCCGGCGCGGCCACGCGATCCGCAGCCGGCCTGGGCCGCGTACGTCACGGGCGTGCCCGTGGACATGCGCGGCGATCGACTTAGAAGGGCCTTCGAGGCGTACGGCCCGGTCGTGAGGGTCGAGCCTTTACCGATACGGTACCCGAAGCGCGGCGCGCGGTCCGCCATTGTGGTGTTTGGGGACGCCCAGTCGCTGGAGCGGGCCATGCGCGCCGCACCTTTGAGGGTCGACGGCGCGCGACTCGGCGTGCGCAAGTTCGGCGACCCCGAGCCGTCGCAGCAGGCGGAGGGCTCGGCGAACGCCGTCGGACGGCAGGAGCGCCACGCTTTAGCTGCCGCTGGTTTAGTTGTTTTCGCCGGCGGCGTGCCGGCTGCTTGCGGCGACGCAGAAATTAAAGCCGCCTTCGAGTGCTACGGCCAGGTGTCGCGGGCCTGGTCCTTCCCCGCGAACGGGTCGGGCGACGGCGTTAGAGCTAGATGTGCTTTTGTGGTTTTCTCGGACACGTCTTCCGCGTCGCGGGCCATAGCTTCGGCGCGCGAGGGCGGGAGATTGCGGCTGCGCGGGCGGGCCTTAGCCGTCGAGCGGCCCGCCGGCGCGCCCGAGGACATCGACGAGCCGCGACGCGGGACGTACGACGCGGCGCCCGCGGCGTACGCGCCGCCCCCGCACGACCCGAACGCGCCGCCGCGCCTCGCGACGGAGCCCGGGCGTTTAGGATTGCCCCTCGCGGCGCTCTCGCTCGCCGACGTGCCCGTCGACCAGCGGCCGCTCGGCGGCTGAAAACTTATCCCCTTCCCCCCATCGACAACAATTCGCTACGACAAACAAATATTGCTGCTGACACGGCTTGACGCCGGCGCCCGCTCGTTTCACACGGGCGCCAGGAATACCCTTACTCTCTTAAGTTACAAGTGAGATTGAATCTCGGGTGTCCTGGGGCTCGTGGCGGCGCGGCGGTCTGTCGCGTCTAGGTACGTTTGCGACAAGAAGATTCGGGTTTACCCTGATTCGGCGGAGGCCTCCGCAGGCGGGTGGCGTCGCGCGGCGCGCGTTGCGGCGTGAATGAAAATTCGGGTTTCAAGCCGAGACTTATACAGGGACGACGGCGCCACGCTCGACGATCTCCGCGAGGCCGTGACGAGGCTCGAGGAGTTGGCTCCGATCGCGCGGCGCGTGATGGGGGGTGCGCACCCGACCACGGATTGGATCAAGGCGGCTCTGCGAGAAGCGCGAGCCGCGCTCGCCGCCCGCGAGACGCCGCCGCGGAGCGCGTAAGGACAGTACTCTCAAGCAGCCCTACCAGCGTAGAAAAGAAATACACACCAGCACCTTACCGCCGCCCCTTGCCCCCTTTACCCTTCTTCTTGAACTTTGTTTTCCCGCGCGACGGGTTGAAGTCCTTCAGGTCCGACAGCGACTTGTCCCTCCGATCGGTAGTCTTCTTCGAGCCGCGTTTCACACCCCCAAAACCCCACTTCTTGTCCTTCGTTTTTTGGGTACGAGAAAATTTGCGCGGTCGTTCGTCCAAGTCGCGGCCCCGCTTCTGGGACTCCTTGCGCCACTCATCAATTTCCCGCAGCCGCTTCTTCTTCCTTTCCGACTTCTCGGCCTCGGCCTCGGCCTGCACTTGCTTCGCGTATTTTTTCTGAGCTTTTTCGGCTTTTCGTTTTTCCACAGCTGTGATCTTTTTTTGTTGCACCACTAACGACTCTTTGACGCGCGCCATGTGCTGGTCGCTCTTGACCATTTCGCAGAAGAAGTCCTTCGGGCGTCTTACCGGTTCTCCGAGCTCCGTGAGCTTGTTGCGGCCTTCCCTCGCGAGTGTCAGGGCGAGGTCGTAGAAGCCTACTTCTCTCTTCAAATCGTCATTATCTGATGGGGCGATCAATGGTTGGCTTGCGGTTAAGATTAGTGTTTCAACAAATGGGGCGTCTTCCGGAATAATACGACACCGTTCCAGGCCGGGCCGATCACTAAAAGCTCGTTTCGCCTTCGAGGCGGCTCTCCGTTCCGGCTTTGCGGCTCGTGCCAATCTCGCTTCGGCCAGCGCTCGCCGTTCCAGCGCGTCCTCGGCGTCTTCGTCGGACTCGTCGCTGCTCTCGTCGCCTCTTCTCGTGCCGGCGAAGCGGTCCATTTCTTGCTCTTGTTGCTCGATGGATTGCACTTCTGTCACAAGGGCGCGCAGCGATGCGGTGCCGGCGCTGCGGCTGGCGACAATGCGCTTTTGTCCACAGGGGCTGTAGCGCTTCGGTTTTTGCGTCCTCGACGCACTAAGAGATGACGTTTGGAGCACGCACAGTGTCGCAGCGGCAGCAACGCGGAGTAATAGCCAATGTGAAGTTGCCAGCTAGCTAGCAGTGTAAGGCACTAGCAAGCACAAAAAAGCTGGGCTGCGTGGCTGTATAAAGCATATAGAGGCACACTGTGGCTACATCCGGCATCGCTGGTGTCCTAATAGTTGACACCTACGCGTGGGCACATCTCTTCCAGCTTGCTTGCGAGCCAGAGCCATCTTGAGCAGCAGCACTGCAGCCTTGCAGCCCAAACCGGCCGCAGCGATGGCCCAGCACCTCGCCGCGCTGTCGCTAGAGGACGACAGCTCCGACGGCGAGGCGCCTCTGTTAATAGATCCGACGCCAACGACCGAAAGAGCTCCAGTGCCCGTCACGGTCTTGTGCGGCTTCCTAGGAGCAGGCAAGACGACGATACTACGACGTATATTGGAGAACGATCAAAATTTAAAAATAGCCGTCGTCGAGAACGAGTTCGGCGACACGCGAGGCCTAGAAACGTTACTCGCGGGCGCGTCCGCGCTCGATGCCGATGGACGAATTGTCGAATTACGGAACGGCTGCGTCTGCTGCTCCACGAAGGGCGAACTCGCGTCGGCTTTGGAGGGGCTCGTCCAGAAGGCCTCGAGGCTGGACGCTATTGTTGTTGAATTATCGGGAGTTGCCGATCCCGGTCCCGTCGCCGCTGGTCTATGGTTGGACGACGCGCTCGAGTCTCCGGTCGTGTTGGACGGGGTCGTTTGTGTGGTCGATGGTGTCAGCGGTCTTGGGTTGTTGGAGTCGTCCGGGCCTGGTGCGTTCGAAGCTAAGAGAGCGGTGGCCACCGCGGACCGGATACTCCTGAGCAAGGCGGACTTGTGTGATGTGTCCTCGTTGGAGGAGGCGGTCCGATCACTAAACCCGGCGGCGGATGTTAGGAGGAGCATCAATGGTGCAGGCGATTTTGGGATTGATGGTTTTTTGATAAGGGGCGGTACCGCGGGACCTCCCTCGGTCCCGGGCCTGGGCTGGGCGACGCCTCATAAAACAACGAAGTGGGGCGCCTGCGCGGCCATCCTGCCCGCGTCCGTCGTGTTGGATCGGAGGAGGCTCGAGCGGCTCCTAGGTGATTACCTCTGGAAGACGGAAGACGATCGAGCAGCGTTCCGCGCGAAGGGTTTCGTGCTGTTGGAGGAGGGCTGGGCGCTCGTCCAGGGCGTGAGCGACGCCTTTGATTTGGAGGCGACCCGCGAGGAGTTCCCGGAGTCGCGCCTCGCGCTTATTGGTGTGGGGATCGACGGGGACGCGCTTCAAAAAGCGTTTAGTGCGTGTAAGTTGTAGTCATGTTATGACGGTGCCCGTCGTGGTCAGCAGCTTCATGTTGAACGTAGGACTCGTCGGCGGCCCGCGGCACGCGTCGGCGGGCGGCGTCGTCGGTTCCGCCGCCGGCGGCGGCGGGAGCGGCCGCAGCATCGCGATCAACGCGTCGCAGCAGGTCTGCGTCAGGCCCGACTCGACGGCCGTCCGGACGCAGTGGCCCTCCAATCTTGATCGGATCGAAGGATCGTCCACCCGAAGCACGTCCAAATCATCGACGACGGCCCAGCGCCCCTTTTCGACGGCCGGCGACGTGTCCAGATACCTTACTATTTCCGAGGCCCTCCTCGTCTCCGCGAGCGTCCCGTGATCGCCGCTCCAATGCAGATCCGCCAGCCCGAGCACCGGCGTGCGGCCCACTACGGTGTTCGGGTTGATCCCCTGGTCGATGAGCGCGTCCAGCAGGACGCGCTCGTTTTCCTCGACCATGCGCCACGTCGTCGACAGCACTATTCTACCATCGGTTGCGTCGATAACCGACTTGAGGCGCTTGAGCAACTTCGGGTGGAGCGCGTGCCGCTCGAACATCTGCGCCGTGTTGAGGACGCCATCCACATCTAAAAATAGTGTAGGCGGCTGCTGCGACGGGTGGAGTAAGAGTGTCGACGGCAGGCCCGCCGCGTGGCCCGTCGCGTCGAGCGCGTTGTCGGAGTCCCAGTGCGAGAGCACGGCCTTCTCGTCGTCTGTTGATGCACTGGCGTCGCTGCCGGCCGTCGCCGCGTCACTTATGTGCACGCTGGCGGTCGGCTCGTCGTCGCTCTCGGAAGAAAGCGAGCGGCGCAGGCGCTGGATCGGGGACGTCGGCGTGCTCCGTTTTGTTGGACGAAAGGTGGCCATGAGACTGCAGACCAATATGCTCTCAGTGATGGATGGGCTTTGACGAGGGACTTGATGCTGCGATTGCGTACCGAGACGCTGCGAGAGAAGTAAATGCCTAACTTTGAAACGTTCTACGCCTAGCAGGACGCCATACACTGCTCAAAAAGCAAGCCCGAGAAACAGCTGAGCTAGCGTTCAGACATACTAGCACGGCACGACTTTTAGACAGCAAAAAAAGCGCGCTGCGCACGCTGCCGCACCGAACGCTTAGCGCATTCGTCGTTTGCATTCGTGCCGCTCGCGACTAGACAAAAACCGCGACTTCCGGAGACGGCAGGACGCCAAAGACCACAGGCTGCTCTCACCAACAGTGCGCGCGCGCCCGCTGCGACGAGTGCAGCGATCAGTGCAGACGCAGCGCTCGAATCATGGCCGAGAACCCGAACCCGCCCCACAACCCCACGGGCCGGCCCTCGAAAGAAGCAGCATCGCCGCCGAAGAAGTACGTCCGGGGCCCCGACGACGAAATATATAAGAGAAAAAGAGAAAAAAAACCGCCGAAACCGCCCGACCTATCGAAGGACCTCCAACAGATGATGTACGGCTTCGGCGACGCCCAGGAAGTGGACGCGGAATCGGTGGAGATGGTCGAGCGGTTGGTGCGACAGTACATTGACGAGCTGCTGGGGGAGGCGTCTGCTATTGCCTCAATACGACGGTGTCCCCTGGACTCGGGGTGTCTGTTGTACGCCGTGCGCCACGACCGCCTGAAATTTGAGAGAGCTAGACGATTACTGGAGATGAAGGAAGTCATCCGAGACGCGCGGAAGAAGGCCGACGAGGTAGAAGACGTAGACTGAGTAATTGGTAGAAACGATAAGTCACTCGGGCGCGTGGCGATTTGGATTGTTGGACTATCGATGTTCTTATTCACTCGGGCGGCGCCGTGCTATTCACTCGGGCGGCGTCGCGCGCATGCGCGCGACGGCGTCGCGCCGCTTCTCCTCGGACAGCTCGGGCCCGCGCGTCGCGAGGAGCTTCACGGCCAGGCTCTGGTCCGTGTCGGGGTAGTGGTCCCAGGGCTTCTCCTCGCGCCAGTGGTGCAGCAGCGCCGCGGCCTTCTCGTCGGACATGGACGGGTCCTCGGCGAGGAAGTAGGGCATGTACTGGTCGCGCGGGTCGTACGTCGCCGCTTCCGCCTCCGTGGACTGCACGGTGAAGGTCGTGAAAAGCACGACGCGCGGCCCCGGCTGCGTGCAGCGCGGCCCCGCGTGCACCAACCGATGGTCCGCGAGGAAGAGCGACCCGGCGTCCCAGGCGTCGCGCGACACGGGCCGGCAGTCGCCGTCGACGCCGCCGGCGCCCGCCGTCGACCGGCGCCGGCGGCCCTGCGCGGCCTGCGCCGCCGCCGCGACCTCCTCGTCCGTCGGCGGGGGGTCCAGGTAGCGCGTCGCGTCGACCATGCCGCGGTTGATCTCGTCGCGGCCGAGCGCGAGCGCCGGCGCGGCCCTTACGAGATCGGCCCACTTCGTCGTGCTGCCCGCGTCGATGCCGACCTTGGCGAAGGCCTCCTCGATGGAAGGCGACGCGTCCTTCCGCAGCACGAGCGTCGGCGCCTGCCGCGTGAGCGCCATGACCGCCTGGCACTGGTCCGGGATCAGGTCCACGTGCGGCACCTGCGCCGCCGGCGCGCCGACGAGGCAGAGCATGTCCGCCGACAAATGGATAGCGTGGCTCCGCGGCCAGAGGTACGCCGCGCGGTACGCGATGGCGCAGCGGCACCGCTCCAGGAACTTGGTCGCGTTCGTCCGCCGCGAAACCCGTCGTTCACCCTTGCGGAGCGCGCCGCCGTCGGCGAAGTCGCGGAAGGGCCCCGCCTCGCCGCCGTCGACGTAGACGGAGCGGCGGCCGCCCTGGATGACGGTCGTGAGCTTGGACTCGCGGTTCGCGAACTCCTTGACCGCGTCCACGAAGTGCGCCGGCACCGCGACGCCCGACACCGCCGCCTGGACGGCCGCGCAGACGGCGCCCTCCGACGGCGGCCCGTCGGGCTCGCGGTACGCGGGCGCCGCGCGCACCTCGGCGCAGAACTTCGCGAAGCCGCGCGGCGCGACGCCCGCCGCGTGCCGCTTGTCGACGAGGCACGCCTTGACGCCGAGGCCCGCCGCCCGGCACGCGTCGCACGCGCGCAGGCAGCGCGCGTCGGCGTCGGCCTCCGAGGGCGGCGTCCAGCCGTCCGCGGCGTCCTCGGCGTCGAGCGCCGCCTTGCGCTGCGCGCTCGCCGAGATCGGCGGCGCCCGCGGGGGCCGCGGCCGCGCCGGCTCCGGCGGCGGCGCCTCCTCAACAACAGGCCGCCGCCGCCGCGGCTCGAGCGGCGCCTCGGGCGGCGCCGCGACCGGCTCCGGCGGCTCGAACTCCGAGAAGAACGGCTGCGGCACCGCGGCGCCGTCCTCCGCCTCCTTAATCTGGAGACCCTGCGGCGTCGCCGCGATCATCCTGCGCAGCTCGTCGTTCAGCAGGTACGTCGTCGCGCTCTCCGCAACATCTACACCCGCGCGGGGCCCCGCGACGAAGGGCCCGGGCGTCGCGACGCTCATGTCGCGCGGGCCCACGGCGTCGACCTTGACGGTGGCAATGCCGGTTTCGGTCCACTGGACGCCCGTGTGCACCACGTAGTAGACCTCGCCGGGGTGGCGGTCGGGGTCCTCGAAGAAGCGGCGGCCGTACTTTTTGATCAGGGACGCGCCGTCCCGCTCCGCCACCGCGCGCAACTCCCAGTCCTCGCAGTAGGCGCAGAACGTCTCTCCCCCGTCCCCGCTGCCGTCGAAGTTGACGACGGGCTGGCCCCGGCAGCGCCGCGCGAAGTCGTAGACGCGCGCCGCGACCTGCTCGTCGTCGAAGCTGCCCAGCTCGCGGCCGTCGTGGAAAGCGCGCCAGGGCGCCGTCGTCGTCGCGGCGTCCGCGTTCCGCGCGACGCCCGCGTAGGCCGAGCCGTCGCCGGGCCAGCCCTCCGGGAAGTTGAGGCGCGCCTCGCCGCGGTACCACACGCGCACGGCGTCGTAGGAGATGGCCGCCTCGAGCTCCGTCGCGTGGTCGTAGCGGAGCGTGGCGCCGCCGAAGCCAGAGGACGCGTACCAGACCGTGGTAGTTGAGGACGCCTCGCCGCGCTCTTCGCCGTGGACGCCCCGGTAGTCGCTCGGCGTCCGTCGCTTCGGCGCCGGTTTCTTCGCCGCGCGCGGCGCCTTCGGGCGCGGGCGCGGCTTCGGGCGCGCGGCGGCCGCCGGCTGGCGCCCGCGAGAAACTCGAGCGCCGATGTCGGGGAACGCCGCGCGCGTCGCCTCCTCCTCGCCTGGGAAGTTCACGGCCCGCTTGCCATGGTGAAGCAGGAGCGCGTCGATGGCCCGCGCGGCGTCCTCCTGCGTCCTGTGGCACCCGGCGGTAGTCGAGATATTATTCACTTTGATGCACGTCGTCCAAGAGCCGCGCGAAGATTTGGGGGGGTACACGTACTTGAAGCGGGACCGCGCCGGGGCATCGGGCGCGTCCGTCGACTCCTCGACCTCGTAAGCCTCCAGGTCCTGGTGGTCTCCCGCGAGATCGCCGTCCAGGTACCGGATCTTGTAGAGGGCCGCGGGCCTCCCGTCGGCGTCGAGGAAGTCGGACTCGTCCGCCGGGAGCCAGGAGACCACGACGGCTCTGACCGACGCGCCCCCGTCGTTCTCGGTCCGGCTCAGCTCGAGGCCGAGGAGGTCCGAGCCCTCGGTGCGCCACTGGTCGACCGGAGCTTCCGGCGTCGGCGGCGCGGGGGGCGACGGCGGCGCGTCCGCGAGCGACCGCTGGATCGCCTCGTTCAGCTGCGCGTCCTCGTCGGAGGCCCGGCGGCGCGTCAGCCGCCCGGGCCCGCGCGGCGCGCTCGCGGCCGGCGCGCTCTCCGCGGGCACCGGCGCGTCCTCGACGAAGAAGCCGTTGACGAGGTCGTACTTCAGGTCCGCCGTCGAGCCGCCCAGCGACACGTACTCGCGCGCCGTCGTCGCGCTCGCGTACCGGTCGCGAGCGCGCGGCTTCCCCGTCGGCCTAATGGGGACGGCCCGCTCGACGAGCCCGTCGACGTCGATCGCCACTTTCCGCACCGGCGGCACGGGCGCCCACCGCCAGTGCTCGGGCTCGCCGTCGGCGACCGCGGGCGGCTCGCCGTCGCCGTCGAACGGCACGTCGCGGAGCGCCTCGTACATCGTCTCGCCGTCGGCGTAGGCGACCTTGGTCTCGTGGCGCGCCGACCGCCTCCGCTGGCCGACGATGCGGCCGAGGTACCACTCGCCTTCGCCGGCCCAGTAGACCTCGACCCAGCTGCTGACGCGCGCGTCGATGGCCGGCGCCGCCTTGAGCGGCTGCGCGCGCGGCTTGCCATAGCCGCTCGCCGTGCGCTGGCCCGTCAAGACCTTCCAGTGTGTCTCCACGCTTTTCTCGCTCCGCGTGCCCATGCGCTCCGCGACGGCGGCCCACTGCTCCTCGCCGAGCTCCGCGACGAGCTTGCGCAGATCGTTCTCCTCCTGGGGAGTCCATTTCTTGTGCACGTAATGCTCCGCCGGCGGAGGCCCGTCGAAGAATCTCCACCGCTTGGGAGCGCCTTCCGGCTGCGGGGGCGGCGCGCCGGTGCCCTCGAAGGCATCTTCCTGGAACACTTGATAGTGGGTCTCGCTGTCATCGTAGTCCACGCGGAGCTCGACGCCGGCAGCGGCGTCCGAGTACCGCGCCTCGCCGACGCGGCCGCGGTACCACTTCCTCTGTTCGGGCCACCAGACCTCGACCCAGCGGCCGACGCGCGCGTCGGGCCCGCCGCGCGCGGCGCGGGGCGGCCGCACGCGCGGCGCCGGCGCCGGCTCGGGCGGCGGCGCCGTGCGCGGTTTCTTCGCGGCCGGCTGTGCGGGCGCGGCGGCCGGCGTCGGCGCGGCGCGGGGCGGCCGCGGCGCCGGCTTCGACTGCGGTTTCTTCGCGGCCGGCGGCGCGCGCGGTCTCTTCGTGGCCGGCGGCGGCGCTGCCGGAGCGGCGGCCGGCGCGGTGCGCGCCGCGCGGGGCGGCTTGGCGGCCGGCTTGGCGGCCGGCGCCTCGGGCCCGAAGCCCGTGACGCGCACGTCCGGGTCCGGGAAGCGCACGGTCTCGCTCTGGCCGTCGTCGTACCGCACGAACGCATGGTTCGCGTCTTCCACCTTCTCGACCGTGCCCGCGTATTCAATGCCGTCCTTGAACCGCACGGCGACGCGGCTGCCGGGCGGCGGCGGCTGCGCGGTCGGCGGCGCGGATCGGCGGCGCGGCGGCAGCGACGCCGGCGGCTGCAGCGCCGCGGGCAGCGGCGGCAGCGCGGCGAGCGCCGACGCGAGCGGCGCCTCGTCGGGGAAGTTGAGCGGTCTTATGCTTTTATGCATCGCCGCCCACTTCGCTCGCGCGGCGTCGTAGGCCCGCGCGGCGTCCTCCTCGAGGTCGAAGTCGCCGAGGGGTATGGTGTGCCCTTTCACGCAAATCTCCGCGCACCACTTGCCGCCCTGTACAGGGGTTCTTTTCACGCCATTGAAGCGGCTGGCCTTGCCGCCGGCCTCGGCCGGCGGGCCGGGCGCAGCGGCGGCCGACTCCGGCGCCGCCTCGGGCGGTGGCGCCGGGCGCGGTTTCTTCGCGGCCGGCTTTTTGGGTGCGGCGGCCGGCGCCGGCGCGGCGCGCGACTTCGCCTTCGCCGCCGGCTTCGCTTTCGCCGCGGGCTTGGGCGGCGGCGGCGCGGGGTCCTCGGTGGGCGCCGCCTCCCCGACGACGCAGAAGTAGCCGCTCTTGAGGTCGTACAGGAGGTCCTTCTTCTTGCCGCCGCGGTCGACGTACTCGCGCGCCGTCGTCGCCGCCTCGATCGCCTCGGCGCGCTGCGTCGATCGCGGCTTCTCCGTGCGCACGATGGGCGCATTGCGCGCGACGAGCGCGTCGACGTCGTCGGCGGGCGGCGGCTCGTCCTCGGTCGGAGCCGGGCGCTTCGCGGCCGGCTTTTTGGGCGCGGCGGCCGGCGTCGGCGCCGCGCGGGGCGGCCGCGGCGCCGGCTTCGACTGCGGTTTCTTCGCGGCCGGCGGCGCGCGCGGCTTCGCCTTCGCGGCCGGCTTCGCGGCCGGCGGCGGCGCCGCCGCGGGGGCCTCGCGCGTGATGCGGATGCCCGATTCCGTGAAGTCTATGTCGTCGCTCGTGCCGTCGTCGAACTTCACCGTGGCGCGCGTCTCGTCCAGCGCGTCGCCGACGGTGCCCTCGTAGTCCTTGTCGTCGAAGCGAACGGCGACGCGCGTGCCGGGCGGCGGCGCGGTCGGCGGCGAGCGCCGCGCGGCGCGGGGCGGCGCCGCGCGCGGCGCCGGCGGCAGCGCCGCCAGCGAGTCGCCGGTCGCAACCGGCTTCGCGGCCGACTTGGCGGCCCGCTTCGCGGCGGACTTGCGCGCCCGCTTCGCCGGCTTCGGCGCGGCCGACGGCGCCGACGCGGCGGTGCCCTTCCAGTGCAGCTCGACGGCGGCCGCCGAGCGACCCGTGCCGAGGCGCTGCGCGACGGCGGGCCACTTGTCCGGACCGAGCTTTCCGACCAGTGCTTGCAGCTCGGCCTCCTCATCTGGCGTCCAACGCCGTCTCTTCGCCGGCTCCGCGCCGGAAGTTTCGCCTCTCCGCTTGGGAGGCATTGCGGTTCCTGCCGCGCTCGGTGTGTCTTTTTTTCGGGTCTCCTGGTTTCTAGGCTGTGACGGCTAGTCGCCCAGCGACTGTGATGCCTGTATTATTTACTGGCGGCGTCCTGGTTAAATCCTATGGAGAGAGAGAGGCCTGGGCCCCCCATTCTAGTGTCTTACAGCCACTAGCGCGCACCCCAGCCCGGCTATGCGTTTAGGGCGTCGATGAGCACTCCTACCGCTCACCCGACGGCTGCGGAGAGTCCGCCGAGCACTTGCTTGGCTGAAAGTAGCAGGCCCACGCACTCAGGCTGCGCGACCCTGTACGCGCGACGGAGGCAATTGCGTGCAGCATCCATTGGTCGAAGTAAGCAGTAGTCGTCCCGTAACAAGATGGCGCGGCGAGTATTGGCTCTCGCAGCCACGGCGGCGGCTTTGAGGCCATTGCTCCCCAAGCGCAGCAGAGTAACAACGCGCGCGGCCCTGACGATGCACGACTACGACTACGACGTCGCGCGCTGCGTAGAAATCAATTGCAACGCGCTACCCACCTCGGATCGATGGCGTGGGACTCACTGATTGATTTGCGCACAGGTGATCATTGTCGGCTGCGGCGTCGGCGGCCACGGCGCCGCCTTACACGCGAGGAGCCAGGGCCTGAAGACGTGCGTGTTGAGCGGAGGCGACGTCGGCGGCACTTGTGTTAACAGAGGCTGCGTGCCGAGCAAGGCGTTGTTAGCTGCCTCTGGACGGGTCCGAGAAATGAGTGATGACGACCACCTGGCGAGCATGGGCATCTCGACCAATGGCGTGTCGTTTGATAGGGAAGGTGTGGCGAAACATGCCGAACAACTAGTAAACAAAGTCAGAGGAGGGTTAGAGGGCTCGCTAGGCCGATTAGGTGTCGATCTAGTCCCGAAGTTCGGCGTCTACAAGGAGCCCCACGTCTTGGATGTGGGCAACGGCGAGACGATGACGGCCCAGGACATTATTTTGGCACCGGGCTCCGTACCGTTCGTACCGCCCGGCGTCGAGGTCGACGGCGAGACCGTGTACACGTCGGACGAGGGTCTGGAGCTCAAGCACGTGCCCGAGTACTGCGCGATTATTGGCAGCGGTATCATCGGTCTTGAGTTTGCCGACGTTTACACGGCGCTCGGCGCCGAGTGCACGGTCATCGAAGCACTACCGAAGCTCATGCCGGCCTTTGATCGCGAAATCGCCAAGACCGCCGAGAGACTGTTACTAACCAACAGAGGCGTCGACTACCGGACCAATGTCTTCGCGTCGAAAGTGACCCCAGGTAAGATCGGCGAAAAACCGGTGATCATCGAGATGATCGACGCGACGACCAAGGAACACGTCGAGACGCTGGAGGTCGATGCCTGCATGGTCGCGACCGGCAGGGTACCGAACACGAAGAAGCTAGGCTTGGAGGAGGCGGGCATCGAAGCCCCCAGAGGCTTCGTGCAGGTCAACGACAAGATGCAGGTTCTTGACAAGCCCGACGGTGACGTTATTCCGCATTTGTACTGCATCGGGGATGCCAACGGTATTCAGATGCTTGCGCATACCGCTTCTACTCAAGGCGTGTCCGCGATCGAGAACATTTGCGGGCGAACTCATGTCGTGGACCACGAGTCCATTCCTGCCGCGTGTTTTACGCATCCCGAGGTCGCGCAAGTGGGTCTTGATGAGGATGCGGCTGCCGAACGGGCGGAAAAAGAAGGTTTCGAGCTCGGTAAAGCGGTCAGTCATTTTAGAGCGAACAGCAAAGCGTTGGCCGAGGGCGAGGGTGATGGTATTGCGAAAGTACTATTCCGGAGGGACACGGAGCAGATCCTGGGCGTGCACATCATCGGTGCTGACTCGGCGTCTGTTTCCGAACGTTTCCGAACTTCAAGGTCGCGTCGATGGCGTCGACGCGATGCCGCAATGCCGCCTCGACGTCGTCGATGCGGTCGCATGAGAGCCGCGGCCGCGTCGCGACCGTGTCCGTTCCACACAGGGCTGCACGCGGCGGACCTCATCCAGGAGTGCGCGAACGCCAAAGCAGCCGGTACCACTGTGAGAGACCTCGCCTTCACGACGCACACGCACCCGACGCTGAGCGAGGTCATCGACGGCGCCTTCAAGGAGTGCGTCGGGATGCACTCGCATTGATATACCCCCCGCCTAAGCACGTCGTACATTAGACACGCTAGAGAAAATTCATACGAATCTGGGCGAAGCGCGGCGAGCGGTCCTCCCAATTGAACTCCTCGATCACGAGGTCCACGGCTGCGCCGGCGGCGTCGCGGACAATGCGGACGACGATTGACGGGCGACTGGAAAGAGGGGAGCTCGTCAGCCCGACTTGATCTTCGTCCAGAGGGGAGCTCATCAGCCACGCTTGATCCAATGGATAGAAGACGAGATCCTCGTGGTGAAGTGTCAGTCCCCACTCTGACGAATCCTCAGGTTCACGAAGGAATGAATCGCTCAGTATGTCGGCGACCAGCCCTTGACATTTATTGACGAAGCTCCCATGGATTTCTTTCGGGACGTCTATACTGAAAACGATGGTCGGGGCAAACGCATTCTGTGGCGGGATCTCGCACGGAAGTGCAACGACGCGGAAACGAAGCGACTCAGCGTCCAGGCCGATTCTGACGCCCAGGGAATCCGAGACCGTTTCGCCGGGCCGGGCCGCCATTTCTCTGCAATGCATGCACGGGGTGACGTCATTGCCCACGTGCAAATGATCCGTGCCAGCACAAATAGCTGACACGTTATCCCATGCATCGGTCCCGTCTCCGTAATGGCACGTGTCCGGCTCGAACTCCAAATGCTTTGTCGCCAGCAATTTGTCGCCTCTCCAGATCTGGAGCACCAATCTCATATACTCTTCCATGCCGTCGCCCTCAGAGAGAGTAGAGTCAATCACCCTGTCTGCGTCCAGTGTTTCCATCCTAGAGAGCGCCTCGCACCACAGGGACCACACGCAGGGCACGACCGTGCAATGCGTCAGCGGGTCTCGCTTCGCGACGCGCTCCCAGATCTTCTCGCTTGGCCTCCACCTTTTGCCGGCGCAGCCCAGTGCGCCGATCTCTCTGGGGCCGAGGAGCTCCTCGACGACGCGCGCGACGTCGTCTGGCAGGGTATCCATTATGTCTGCTGAGTCTCAGTGCTCTGGACCTCTGTGCGTTGTAATCGATCGCGGAAGCGGTCGCGATTTTATCAATAATATCTCACGAGTCTATTATATAGGCGCCGCGCCAAGTTGCGCTCTATCGCGCGCGCGGCGGTGTGGCAAAACGGGTTTTCGCGGGCAAAGTCGATGCCTAGCGCAGATAAATCACACGTATCTTAAGAAACCTAGCAGAGACCAGTAAAACCGAGCACGTCCATTGGCAAAGAAGGCGCCCTCCGGGCGGGTTGGACCGAGGGCGGCAGCGCGACGTACGCGTAGGACCGCGGCCGCGGCGCGAAGCGCCCGGGCCAGAGCGCCTCCGGCAGCATCGCGCGCGCTACCGACGCGCCGCACTTCACATTTACGAAGCGCGGCATATCCTCCGACACGGTGCCCGCGGAATTGCTCACGACGCGCAACCGGATGTTGGGCGTCGGGACATGACGCTTCTTCCGCTTCTTGTAGGGGCGCGCGTAGAGATCTCCCTCGTCCGCCGCGGGCTCGGGCGCCGCGGGCCGCCGCGCCTTCTTCTTCCTCGTCTTCCGGAGCTCCTTCAGCAGCGCCCGCGCGGCTCTTATAGCATTATCGGCCCCGCACTTGTCGGCGACGCGCGCGGCCCGGTCCGCGTCTTTCCTTAACAAAGCGGCCTCCTTCTCGGCCCGCCGTCTAGCCTGCTCGTCGGCGCGCGCGCGCTGCTTCCGGAGCTTCTCCTCCTCGCGAAACCGAGCGAAGAACGCCGGGCCCTCGCGCGCCCACCGCTCATACAACAAAGCCGCCGCGGCCGCGTCGACGGGCCGCTCCGCGAGGAACCGGGCAAACCTCAAATATTCGCGGGCGTCGGCGGCCGCCGCGCCGGCCGCGGCCTTGTCCGCCCTCTTCAAAAATTTGGCGAGGCGCTCGGCGGCGCGCTCCTCGCGCTCCTCCTCGATCTCCGCCTCCGACCGCCGTTGCGGCGGCGGCGCGTACTGCCCGGGCTGCACGGCCTGCGCGCACTCGCGCGCCGACTTCCGCGCGGCCGGCTGCGCCGGCCCGCGGCGCCGCTTGCGCCGCGCGGGACTTTTTTGAGGAGACTGCGCGGCGCCCAATCCTAATGAAGCGAGGAAGGCCTGGTTCTGCGCTATCCTAGCGTCCCTTTGTAACTCGTAGTCGGACTTCACCAACGGTTGTGAAGGGGCCTTGTCGTCCGTAACCCCGCAATGCTTGCCACAAATGACCTCACCAACAGCCTCCGCGGCGCCCGCGTACCTCACGAACGCGCCGGGGTGGCCCTCATCAAACCGTCTCGACCACTCGCGCGGCCCCATGAGCTCCCTCAATATGCACGCGGGGTGGAACGACGCGGCACACCGCTTCCGAGAACACTGGACGATCTGGCCCCGCTCGCCGCAGAAGTCGCACTTGCCCTTCGAGCGCACCTCGGACAGATCGCCACATAACGCGGCGATCTGCCTATTTTCATCGACAAATCCACATTCCGGGACCCACGCGGCACACGCCACGTGCGCCCAGCAGTCCCGCCAGCTCCCGTGCGGATCATTTACGAGCCGTTCCTTGGCGTAGGCCCGCGGGAGTGATGTGGCTCGCTTGAACGCGAGAGGCACGTCCCGATAAAAGTCCGTGCCGTTCGGTCGGCCGCTTTCACAGATCACACATTTCAGAGGACTGGCGTCGCGTTTGCCCTCTCGGAGTTCCTGGCAGGCCTCGCAGAACCAGTCTTCGTTTGATGCCGCCGTCTCGTCCGAAATATTGTAGCATAATTGATGGACCGCGACTTCGCAGCCGTCGCAAAAGATGAGCGCGTCCTCCTCCTCGCTATGTTTGCTCCCGCAGACGCCGCAGGCGCCCTCGTCGTCGTCGTCGGAACCGTGCGACGACGGCGTTTGCTCGGCTTCGTTCGATGATGGTGTGTGCTCGGCTTCGGCCGGCGGCGCGGCGGCGGCCGCGGATGGGTCCTCATCAGTTGGCGATAGCCGTGTGTTCACGGGCGGCGCCGTGGCCGTCGGCGCGGCCGAGGGGCCTTCGTCGCCGGTCCTGGGCACCGGTGCGGCTGCTTTCGGCGTGGTCTCGGTGCTCAGCACTGCTGGAGCGGCCGAAACTGGCGCCGCCTGCCACTCCATCGAGGTTGCGGTATCGCGCGTATCTGATGCGCAGAGTCGCGCCTCCTGTACGCGCTGCAGGGCTCCTGCGAGCGAGGTTAGTCGTCCCGCTTTGCCCGAGTTGGGGGGCTCATAGCTCATACCTCTATCTTATGAGAACCAGTTAGATTTGGCTTTGTTTCTACCCCCAGCTCTACAGGGGACCCGTCGTACCCCGTGCTTCGCCCCCCGGAGCCCGTGGCCCCGCCTTGTCCGAGCAATGGGCACCTGGAGGCCCGCGTTCATCCCAAGCTCCCAAAGACTGGGCTCCCCGCGTCAAAATTTGGTACATTGCGGATCAAAAGAGTCTTCGGACGGGTCCTGGACCGGGTTCGCGAAGATTCCGACGAGCGCGTGGGGCTGGGCTGCTCGCGGTCCGCAAGCCAAAAACGCTGGCGCGGCGCGCGTAAACTTAGTGATTGCTATTGCTCAGCAGCTGGTTTATCTAGCACGCATCGCTGCTCTCGAAAGCGCTGCGAAATAACGCGCCGCACAGCTGCCTAAAACCTGGGCTACACACCACAGTGCACCAGATGCGGCGCACAGCGCCAATGCTGGCCGCGGCGTGCCTGCTCGCGGCCGCGGCCGCGTCGAGCACACCATTAATTGGAGGCGACGCCGACGCTAATGGTTGCATAGCGTCCGCCGGCTACACGTGGTGCGAGCCCCTAAACAAGTGCATAAGGAGCTGGGAGAGCGCCTGCGTCGACCTCGAGGAGGAAGAGACCACCAAAGATGAGAAGGAAGAAGACGAGGAAGAGGAGGAGGAAGAGCGCGTCCTCAAATTACATATCATCGTCCTCACCGTGAGTTGCCTAGTGGGCGTCTCGTTAGCCTTCGAAATCACGCACGAGCACCTGCTGGAGCACACGTCGGAGACGATGCGGCCCATCATCGTCGGGTTATTTGGAGAACTTACCTTGTTAGGCTTTATTGGACTTACGTTGTTCATCCTGTTCAAGATGTCCTGGCCCCACGAACTCTCAGAGTATTTGTACGGCGACGGCGAGGTCATTCCCGAGCTCGGTGAATCAGTACATATGGTACTTTTCTTAGTTATGGTCATCTTCCTCGCGCAAGCGGTGTACTTAGCTAGACTCGGAGATAGAGTACTTAACAAGTGGAAGGACTGGGAGGGGTTGAGTGTTGATCGCGTGTCGGAGCGGACGATCCGGAAGCATAAAGTATTACAATCAGCATCATTGTTGTCGCTGGCCAACACGTCGGACGAACAAGTCGACAGTCTGATCTTCTCACTTACACGTGACAGATTTTGCGTGGTCCGCGATCTGCACCCGGCGGACTTTGAATTCGCGTCCTATCTAGGAATTGCATTGGGGAGGACTCTGGAGGAGCTCGTAGAGGTACCTGTCAAGTCGTGGGTATGTCTCGAGATTGTACTACTCTTAGCGTGGCAGGTCGACGGCTTACTAGGTAAGAGGGACAAGATGGTCGGCTGGATTCTGGCGGGCTATGCGTTGCCGTTGATGGCCGGACTCGTATTGGCGAAACTACGACGGATCCTCGTGCAGCACACGGCTCCGCTCCTAGCCGACGCGGAACAACGGGGCCAACGCGGCTCGCTGAAGGCCATGACCAATAGAAGCATAAGAAGACGCCACGCCCAGGAGGAGCGGTCCTTCAAAAAGAAGGGCGCGAAGAGTCCACCTAGAAGCCCGAAGCGGCCTCCTGAACCGAGGGAAAAGGTTCTGGTCCACGACACGTACCACCACGCCTTTTGGAGTGGCCCTCATCAAAAATCAAAATTTACCTTGGATGTGTTGAGGTTTGTGCCTCTTGGGGCCGCTATCTACATCGCGATATTGTTACTCGTACATGCCCCGGCACTGTTAAAAGGCGAAGTCCTCGCTACTTACTCCATCTACGTGAGATTGATAGTCCTCGTCGTCGCGTTGCTACCTCCAGTACTGTGTACGATATACGTGAGAGAAGCTGTTGATGATTTCGCGATCGCGGGCCATGTCGAATCTCTGCAGAATTTGCGGTTTGTGGAGCACGTCATCCGACGGCAGCGGACCGTCGCGGCCTTTGAAGCTCTCAAAGTGGTCACATTTCTGAGAAAGCCCGACATCGTCCGAGCCGCGATGCAGTTATCTGATCAAGCAGGCAAGGACGAGCGGGAGGAGCGGAGCTGGCGGTCGATCTTCGACGTGTTTGACGAGAACCAGGACGGGATCTTCGACCGGAGCGAGTTGAGGGTACTACTGACGAAGTTCAGTACAGCAACGGAGGGCAAAATAACGGAGATCATCGAGCTCCTCGATGATGATAAGTCCGGGGAGATTTCCTTTGATGAGTTCTACGCCTTCGGGCGTAAACTCGAGAGGTACGTCCGGGAGAACGTGGACCCCCACGAGTTACTCAAAGAAATGTTCGAAATTGTTCCGCGGCGGCGTCTGCTTCCCTTCGTGTCCGCCGCGCGCCGTCGACGCTAGACACACAGGTCGACGACGACCGGGGCGGCTTGATCACGGTGCACGAGCTCCATCAAACGATAAGGGAGATCGGCCAGGAGCTGTCCATCGACGACGTGCGTTTCTCCCGCGTTTCTTGAGTCATAGAGTCCGATGACGAGCCTTCGTTCAGTTTACAACCTTACTGACGCACCTTATGAGAGACCAACCGAAGCGCCATCCATTTCCGTAGGACCCCTTTTTTTCTGATCTGCCGCGGGTTGTTGTGTTTTCGTGTCGTGATAATTGTAACGCAGGTCTACAACCTCATCAAGGACATCGACGACGACGGGAATGGTGCTTTAGACCTGGAGGAGTTCCACCTGCTCCTGCACCGCGTCGGCGTCGAGTTCGTCGGCAAGCCGGCGCACTAATTAGTTACTGGGCGGCTGCGTAATTCGTTCTATTTTGATTCATTAGACATCCTACAAGGGCGCCGTGGTCCAGTCCCATGGAGGCGTCCCTTTCCGCCGCTTGGCCGCCGGCTCCGCGGCGGGGGCCTCCTCATCGTCAGTGTCGACGACGAAGCCGTCCACTGCGTATCCGTTTTTCTTCTCCTTTTTTACGGGCTGCGACGCGGGCGGCGGATCGTCGTCGGCGTCGGCGTCCACCGCTTGCCTGCGAAGCTCCAGGTCACGCTCGGCTTGCGTTTGCGTGCCAGTGATCTCGACGTCGGACAGCGTGCGGAACTTGCAGCCTGGCACAGATGGTGAGCCGGAAGACCAGCCAAATACATTACCTTGCTTGCAATACACCTCGTACTCCGTATCGGGCGACAAACCGGGCACGACGACGCCTTTATAGCAATCAGCACGCGGTGACGCCTTCCTCCAATTTTCAAGTCGAGATAGCATGTTGCCCCTAGAGGAGTCTACCATCATCAGGTCGCGTCCGTTCTTGAAAAAGATGATTGCATCAGTACAGTTCGATAGCGGCGCGCAGAACACGCGTACCGAGTCTGAGGAGATTTGATCCACGACTGGCACACACGGAACTCGCGGCTTGTAGTCGGCGAGCCTCATCGGTTTGCTTGATGGGGAATCGTCGCCCCAGTCGATGCCATTGTGCGCACGTACATTCACGCTGTAGGAGATCTTACTTGATAGATTATTGACAACAATTGTTGTGTCGCCCGTCACGGCAAACGGCGGTCCGCTCTCGCCAAATTTCCTCAGCGTGCACGTTCGTGGGTCGACAGATCGTCCAGATAGTCCGGGCCTCGATCCATCTTCGTAAAACTCAACGCATGCAGATTCACAGCCGTGCGGAACCGCAAAGTGGACCCTAATCTGCGTATCGGAGACAGGCTCGAGCATCGGCGCGCCACAAGCCGGGGCCGGAGCGCGCTCGAGCGGCGCGCTGTCGGGCGACGTGGGCCCAAACTCTAGATCGTCCGCCGCGCGAAAAGCCACCGTGGCCGTGAACGTGCCGGCCCAGAGCCCCGCGACGGTGAGGCGCTTGCGCCGAGACGTTCTCCCGTTTTCTTCGAGGGTGAGCAGCTTTCCCCGTTCGCCGTTTAGCAACAACTTTTGCGTCTGCCCGTCGTACATAAGCGTCCTGTCGGTCACGTCGTCGTGTACGTACACCATCGCATGGGTCGGGGCGCCGGCGGTCGGCACGTCGAACTCGAGGTACGCGAGCTTGTTATTGTCTGGCGCGGGGCTCAGCGTCGGCGCGGCGGGCCGCTGGGCCATGGTGGCGTCTGCTTGACTCTGAACTTTGTGGTACACGTGAGGGCAGCCCTCGGACCCGTGGTACAGGTAGGGCAGCCGCGGAGCTCAAGAGCCAGCTGCCGCCTGATTTTTGGTACAGTGCGAGGGACTCGGGCTCAGGTTAATTCGCCGCAGTGCCGAGCTGCGAGAGTGTTGCGTGAAAGAGAGCTTTTTTTTGCTAGTGTCTTACATGACGCTAGCTGCCTCGCTCGCAGAGCAAGGCGCTTGAGCGACGGCACGCCAGCGCCAGGCGGTCCCAGCACCAGTAAACGTCGGCGACCATCGGCGACGACCGCTGCGCGAGCGCTGGAGCACCGCTCATGTTTGTGCTCGCTGTAGTGAGAGATGCTGTGCGAGTGAGCCCGGCGGCCTTTGGGAAGGCGCCATCAGATGCGTTGCGGGACGAGGTCGATGCGCGGTACGGTGGTAGAGTGTTGTCCGACGTGGGCTTTGTCATTTGCTGCGAGACCGCGAGGACCGTATCAGACGGGCTCGTGCACGCTCTAGATGGTGGAGCTACCTACCAAGCCGAGTTCCGATTGCTCGTTTTTAGGCCGTTTGTGGGCGAAGTACTGAGGTGTACGGTGGAATTTGTCGACGAGAACGGCCTCCGATGCACGACTGGCTTCTTTTCGCAAATTCGCATTCCCGCGAAGTACTTGCCTTCATCAGCAACTTTTGATCCTGCTAGAAGGTTATATCTGGACTCAAAACAGCGGAAGATCCAGACCGGCGATTCGATCTTGGTAAGGGTGGCCTCGGTGAAATTTACGCGATTATCAAAAAGGAAGCGCGGTCTGCAGGCCACGACGTCGGGGCCGGAGGTCGGGATTCGGATGCGATCATCATCCGTCGACTTATCTGCGAGGGACCCCGTGCCCTCGGCCATGGAGGTCGTCGCGTCGTGTGCTTCGTCTGGTCTCGGGCCCGTCGGCTGGTGGCGGTAGTCCTTCCTGAGTAGGTGTTTTGTGTGTTTCTTTCGTCGATGGGTGGATGGTCTCTCTTACCCGTCCCTGCTAGCGGCCTGGTTTGACCTCCTGGCTGCCGCGTAAGGCGACAATTTTTTCTATCACATGATGTCTTACACAGTAATACTAGTACACTGCCACAGTCGTGCCGATGCAGGTGGTCCTCACTCCGGCAAGTCGTGCAGCGGCGACGGCATCCACGGACACACCCCGAACGACGCGCGCCGCCGTTGTTTGGCGCGCTGCGGGGCTTTCAGGTACCCGAGCGGCAACGGCCTGCCAAAGGCGGCGTCCTCGCCGCCGCCTGCCAGGTGACATAGGCGCGCAATCTCGTCCTCGCGGTGCCAGAGCGGCTCGTCCTCGGGCGCGCCGCCGGCGTCCGCCCAGGCCTGGAGCTGAGCCCGCCGGGTCGCCTCGGTCACGGCCTTGACCGTTTCCGTAAAGTCGAGCGACGTGTCGTCGCGGCCGACGTACACGTAGGCGACGCCGCCGCCGCGGAGGGCGTCGAGCACGGCGTCCCAGAACTCCGCCGGCCTGTTCGGCAGCCCGCCGAAGTTGACGGCCAGGACGATGGCGCGGTTGCACGCCAAGAACGCACCGAACGCCCGAACGGTCGCGACGCTCCGCACGCCGCCGAGGCCCATGATGACGCGCACTTTCTCGATACCACGCGTGGACGGCCGCGCGAGACTTTTGAACACAAGGCGCAGGACGACGTCGTCCTGGGAGACTGTGAGGAAGCTGAGCGTCGCTCGTTTTGTGACCCGAAGGAATATTTTCACGTTCGGAGGCCGTGCCGTTTCACGACCGGCACGCATCGGCGCGATCGCGTCGACAAGGAGCCAAGCTTTCGACCTGACGTTGCCTCCCGTTTTTGCGAGTTCTTTTTCGAGCAGTCGCTGGGTCGTTTTGCGCCGCTGGGCGAGCGAGCCCTCGCTCGCCGCGAAGATGGTCTTGGTCAGCTGCAGGCGTTGTTGTTGGACGGCTGCGGTCGGCCTGTTTTTTTTTTGCTTGCTTGGCAGTGCTGCAGCCACCGGCGCGGGCGGCGCCGGCGCGGACCCGCTGTTCGCGGCGGCCTGCTCGCGCGCGTGCGCCTGCAACGCAAGCGTCCGTAGAGCAGCGCTCGCGTCCGTCCCAGGAGCGGCTGGCGGCTCTGGTGTGTTCGTTGGAGCCGGCACGGGCTGAACCGGAACTCGCGCGCGGACACGAGCGGCAGGAATCTCGTTGGAGGCGTCTTCCTCGTCCCAAGCGATCTCGTATCCGTCCTCAAGCACCTCATCCACGACGCCGGGGTACCATCTGTGCCCCCACAACGCGTAGACCTCGTCGCCGACGCCAAACGCTGCGACGGGCGTCGGGGCGGCGACTCGCGACTCCTTGCGACAGCTGGGGCACGGTATCACCGTGCCACGCCGGGTAGCTGCCCATCCATTCGCGTCGGCCAGCTGCCCCAGGCAGCTGGCATGGCACCGATGGCCGCAGGGTAGGACGGGCGACGCGCCGTCTAGGTCCTCGAGGCAAATCGGGCAGTTCTCCATCGCAGCGCCGATAATTTACGGCGCTAGCTAGCGGTTTTGACACACTAGGTTTTCGAGCCATGGACGCAGCATACGCATAAATTGATTTGGCGGTTGCACGACCCTTGGAGATAAGTACTGTACGCCACCGCAGCGCCTGCTTGCATTCATTCGGCTGTAAACTTCTCACAGCTCTGAGAGCAAGAGTGCTCTCACACGCACTGCAGCATCGCTCGTCGCCGCGTGACCGCCGAAGCGCTGAAGCCGCATTACACAAATGCCAGCGCCCTTCCCCACCGTGCGAAATTGCGTGCTCGTACCAACGAAACGCTTCGCGGCGCTCGAGCGCCGCGGCCGCGCCGTCGAGTGCGTCTGGGACGCCCTGACGCCGGACTGGTCCATTGCCCAACTCAAGGAAGGCCACCGCTTCTCGAACGACGACGCCTTCTGCGGCTTTTTTGCGGCAGAAGCCGCACCGACCGCGCGGCGGTTGTTAGACCTCGGCAGCGGCGTCGGCAGCGTGGGCCTCATCACTTTGTGGCGGTCGTTGCCGGAAGCCACACTAACGTGCGTCGAGGCCCAGTCCTTGTCTCATGATCTATGTCAACGAACTATAACAAAAAACAAGCTTGATGCCAGAGTCGAGTTGGTCCTCGAAGACCTGCGACATTTCGACGGCCACCACAAATACGACCTCGTCACGGGCAGCCCGCCCTACTTCGCTCCCGAAGATGGTGTCGCGTCGCCGCACGACCAGAGGGCCTTTTGTAGGTTGGAATTTCGGGGCGGTCTTGATGATTATTGTGAGTGCGCATCGCGAGCTTTATGTGATGGAGGGACCTTCGCTTTTGTGATGGCGGCGCAGGACTCGCGGTGTGAGAGCGCGCCGGCTAAACACGGCTTCGGCATTGTGCGGCGCGTCGACGTCGTCTTCAAGGCGGGTCGGAAACCACACATCTGCGTCTGCGTGTGCGCGCGGCTCGGTGATCCGCGGCTCGCTTCTCCAGTGACGGAGACGCTCGTGCTGCGCGATGGGGAAGGGAAACGGACGCGCGCGTATCGCGTCTGGCAGGAGCGGTCCCGGCTTCCTTCGATGGTGCCGGCGGAGGACGTTGAGGCGGCGCTGGACGATTTGGTGCGGGCGCAGGATCGGGCAGCTCTAGTGGACGCGGTCGCCGCGGCGGAGGCTTTAGGTATGAGGGCGGACCCGGGATCCGAGGAGCTCTGCGCCGCGAAGGCGCGGCTCGCGGAGCTTGTTTAGTGTAAAGTGTTCTGTGTTAGCCACCTCTCTCTCTCTAACCTCCCTCTACAGCTCGTATTTGTCGCGGCGGTCTCGCGCGCTGGCGACCGAGGGTGCTCTGTGCTCGTTTCTGGGACTCGTGGCGGCGGCGGCGACTGCGTGAGGTCGTCTGCGATGGCGTATAGAGATCTCTGGCCGCCTCCACTAGTCCAGGAGCCACTAGCCCTTAGCCCTCGCCTCGGCGACGAGATTGGTTATTGGAAAGCTAAGCGAGCTGCTACCGGCATTTACCTGCGTCTGCGCATCATAGAAGTGGCCTCCGTAGCTGTCGTCGCCAGCAGCTTTAAAGCGAGACGACCACTCGCCGACGCGGCGGAGATAGAGCCACAGCACGCTTGCAGTCGCTGGACACACCACACTCACCGCACCGCCCCCCGCAGATACCATGGCTGAGACCAGACCCTTAGTGACGGTCTACGGCGCCGACGGCGCGGCCACCGGCGCCTCGGTACCTTTACCGGGCGTCTTCGCGGCCCCGATCCGGCCGGACGTCGTCCGCAGCGTGCACACGAACATCGCGAAGAACGCGCGCCAGGCCTACGCCGTCATGATGAAGGCCGGCCACCAGACGTCGGCCGAGTCCTGGGGCACGGGCCGCGCCGTGTCGCGTATTCCCCGCGTCCAGGGCGGCGGCACGCAGCGCTCGGGCCAGGGCGCCTTCGGCAACATGTGCCGTTCGGGCCGCATGTTCGCGCCGACGAAGGTCTGGCGCAAGTGGCACCGCAAGGTCAACCTGAACGAGCGCCGCTACGCCGTGGCCTCGGCCATTGCCGCTTCTGCCTGTCCGCCGCTCGTCATGGCGCGCGGCCACCGTATTGATGAGGTCCCGGAATTACCTCTCGTCGTGGACTCGTCGGTCGATTCTTTAGCGAAGACCAAGGACGCCGTGAAGCTCTTGGCCGCTCTCGGCGCCCAGGCCGACACGGACAAGTGCGCCGATTCCAAGAAACTAAGGGCGGGCAAGGGCAAGATGCGCAACCGCAGATATGTGGGCCGCAAGGGTCCTCTCTTGGTCCATGCGGGCGCGGAGCAGTTACCTAGAGCCATGAGGAACTTGCCGGGTGTTGATTTATGCCACGTCGACCGCCTCAACCTTTTATTGTTAGCGCCGGGCGGCCACTGCGGCCGCTTTGTGGTGTGGACCTCGGATGCGTTCGCGAAGCTCGACGCCATCTACGGCACGGCCGGCTCGGCCGCGCTCAAGAAGGACTACGTCCTGCCGCGCGCGTGCATGGAGAACGCCGACCTCGCGCGCCTCATCAACAGTGACGAGATCCAGTCCGTCGTCCGCGCGGCCGAGGAGGACACGCAGCGGCCGAAGGCGCCCAAGAAGAACCCGCTGAAGAACCTCGAGGCGATGCTGGCCCTGAACCCCTACCAGCAGGTCGTGCGCGACAACGAGATGAAGGCCCAGAAGACGAAGAAGCCCAAGTACGCGAAGCAGGACAAGGCGCGGCGGGCGGCGTCGACGGCGTTCTACAACGCGGCGCGTCTCGAGGGCGAGGTGACTTTATAGAGGACGCGTCCCGTCCACACGAGTAATTTATTGCTTTTAATTGCTCTCCCGGCGTCTGTGCACCGGCCTGGGTCCCTCCCACTAGCAGTAGTACTAGTCTGAAAACGTGTTAAACAGCGGCGCGACGGGCGGACGGACGCTCACTCGGCGATCTCGACGTCGCCGACATCAAGCCCGTCTCCTCCACTATCCGCCGCCGCGGCCAGCGCCGCGCGCGACCACTCCTCGTCGGCCTTCGAGTGCTGCACCGGCGCGGAGTCCGGCTCCTTCCTCTTTCGAAAGCAGACGCAGTAGACGGCCGCGGCGACGAAGATCAGTACGATGAGGGCGAGGATGGCGATGTTGCCGACGCAGCCGAAGCCGACGCCGCCGATGCTCAGGTCGCAGACGGCGTCCATGTTGTCGCGCCTCAGCCGAACACGAATACGCCGCAGCGGCGGCGAACGGATGCACCGCGAATATCTAGGATGGAGGTCACTCTATGCGGACGCCATGCGTGCGCCACTGCCGCGCGGGGCAGCCCTGGTTGTTTCGGCTGCTCGGCAAAATCGATTTGCTAGAGTCTTACGCCGCTAGCTCGCGGCTGCGCTTGAGCGTTGAAGCCTTTGCGCATGGCCTGGCAGGACGCAAAATGCTGAAAACAACTGCGCAGTACTGACAGACAACACGCCTGAATCGAACGAGCATCTGTGCGGCAGCGATCATGGATGCAGCTGGTGGCACTGCACCCTCTCCAGCCTCTCCAGCACGAGCAGGAGCCGCATCGATGCAGCAGGCGCCACCCGTGGCTGCAAGCGACGCGCCGCCAGCGCAAGCGACGGCCTCGTCGCCGGCGCCGCAAGCACTCCCACCGACGGCGCCGACGGCGCCGCGCGCGCGACCGATGGACGCCACGGCACGTCCAGGCTCCCTGGAGCGCTACTATTCTACTGTAAACACAAGGGACACCGTCGTCTGCTGCGCGCCCAACAAGGTTTGTGTTGTGTACGTGCGCCCGGACCACGACTGCTTCGGCGACGGTCGGAAAGTCGCTTCCATAACCTTCGCCGACCGCCTCGCGTCGGCGCAGATCTCGGGGAAGCGCAAGCGCGGCGCGGCCGAGGTCGCGCCCGACGAGAAGGTTTTGACCATAAAATGCGACGACGGCGCCCAATTTGCTTTACGGCCGGGCGTGCGCGGCCGCGTCCTCGAGCTCGGGGCGCGCTTGACTCATTCTGACTTGTTGACGCGCGCGGGTTATGTCCTTATCCTCCAGAGCTCGGCGAAGGAGGTCGCGCGGTTAGTTGGAGAGGAGGCGCCTCGGTAGTAATTGGTTACCTAGAATTCCGTCAGTCTCGGCACAGACCGCCAAGGAGCCTTGTGAACACGGCGCGCAAAAATCTAGTGTGTCTGCCACTGGTACTGGCCTCCCCTGGCCAGATTTTTTCTTCAGCCCACAACACAATAAGAGAGCGCACGAGAGCGCTCAAAGGGGCAAGCGCAACGAGGCGACACGCACGAACGGTCCCAGGAGCAGCAGCCCGCGGCAGCCCCTGCAAGGGAGGCCTCTGCCAGCGGTTCCACACAAGACAGAATGGCCACCACCGACGAGTACTTCCCCGCGACGAACGCGTTCCTGCGCTCGCTCACGGAGCCGGAGCCGGCGCCGCGGCCGCCGTCCACGCGCAGCGAGTCGGCCGCCGCGTCGGTGAACTGGCGCGTCGCGGACGCGACGGAGCGCGCGGCGACGGACCGAGCGGAGCGAGCTTTCCGGGCCTTGGAGAAGAAGGCGCCAAAGGCCAGCAAGCCCCGAAGGGCCAAGAAAGCCAAGGCGCCGATCCCGGCGCCTCCCGCGCACGCCGCGAGCCCGCCCATGCCAGAAACCGACACTTCTGGAGCAAACTACCACTACACCCCGACGCCGACACACAAAAGCTATCGGGAGAGACAGATGTCCACGCTACAACTGGAAGCTCCCGGAGGTGTTGCTGGTTGTTTTGAGAGGGCCGGCTGGATGTGCTGCGTGGAAGACAACCGGACATCCACCAGGCCGCACGGGAAGAAGCATTTCCAGGACGCCCTCAGTCTGATACCCGTCACAACAAGGGAAGATGCCCATTTATTCAGAGAGAAGGTGAAGGGGCGGACGACCGACAACGATGGGCTGGTCGCCGACGCGGAGGACGCCGAAGGAAGGACGCTCCTCTGGCACGCGGCTTTGCATGATGACGTCCAGTCGGCGAAGCTGTTGTTGGAGCACGGCTGCGCGCATCTCATCCTCGAACCGGATTATGTGCATCGCCTGAGTCCTTTGCAGCTGGCCCAGAAACATACGAGAAGGGAGCTCGAGGACATGTTCTTGTCCTATGTCTCGGCCTCGGATCGCGACCGGCACTGGCACCACGGACGTCTCGAGAGCGTGTCGCCGCCGTCGCAGCCGTCGCAGCGCGGCTTCTTCTCCTAGAATTGCTGGAATATAGTAGTAAACACACATTCAATTTACGCGGATCTTGTGCTTGCTGATGCGGTAGCACGCCTTCAGGTCCCGCTCGACCGTGTGGCCCGACCCCGAGTCGCCGACCACATAAACCTTCCGCAGCCCCGGATCTAAGGCTGCCAAACCATGAAGCTCGGCGGCGACGGCGCAGTCTTGCCTAAAAGCATCGTGCTGTAGCCGCTGGACGGCCTCGTCGACGTCGCCGCCGCAAATCGCGAGCGCGCAAAAAGCTGAAGCCTCGTCGCACAGATTCGCGCCGCCCACCCGCCCGACCAGCCTCCGCACCTCCGGCCGCCCTTTGTGCTCCACCAGTCGCCTCAGCAACTCCTCCCACGACTCCCGGAAGAGTCGACACTTCCTCCGGTGATCGTCGCGGAACGCCCGGTCTACCACACTACCGCAGGGGCACGCGTACGTCATCTCGACGTGCGGTAACGGGCGCTCCTCCCGCAACTGCGTGTCTTGCCTTCTATCCGGCCGCGGGCCCCAGTAGGGGCCCCGCAACGAGACGCGGAGGTCCAACCTTAATGACGCCGCAGTGAGTAGGTCACCGTCATCGATCCAGGGATCGTCCCGCCGCGCACATCCCACAATAGTGGTCGACGAACGCATGCGGCTCCGCTCGTTCGCGTAGGTCTGCTGGGGCAAATGTTTTTCCTCCTTCGCCAGCCTCGATACGCGTCGTTCCTGCGCGTCCAGGGCTTCCTCGATTGGTCCCACGTCATTCTTTGCCTTGTAGATGGCCTTGACCTGGTCCTGGTCGCCCGGCCGCAAGCGGTCCGCCTCCTCGGCCTCTTCGACTCGTCGCAGCGCGTTATTGTAGCCGACTTGCAGGTTCGCTAGGAGTATCCGTTCATCCTCGAGGTTCTCCGCGTCGTAGATCGTGTACCGGTTCGCCCGCTTGCACCCTCTAGCGACGAGTCGACCGGTCTCCGCATCAGTCAAATCCGCCTCGAACACGCCCGGGATCTGCAGGCCAAATTGTTCGGGCTTTCGAGAATCCACCTCAATGGACAAAGCTCGTTGGGCTTCGATCGTAGCCAGAGCGCCATCCCTATCATCGGTAGCAATCGCCATGACCCAGTCCTTCCGGACAGCTTTTTGGGGCGGCTCCCAGCGAAACGCCGCCTCGGCCGCATCGCACGCGTTCCAGCGCTTCGTTCTAGAGGCCACAAGCATGGCCGCCTCGCCGTCCGTCAAGTTCTTATCCAAGATGAGCGGCGTGGTCGCGACCGTCTCGAGCATCGACTCCTGGTTGAGCGTCGAAGGGTCTTCTACAGTCGTGTCGGGCAGCGTCGATTCCAATTCCTCCAGGGACGCGCGGTTCTGGTCCTCGACCTCTCTTAACATATTTTGGACTTGTGCATGTGCTGACTTGGCAAATGTAGGATCATCTGGCGGTAATTTGAGCGGCGGCGTCGCGACGCGCGGCGGCGCCGCGGGCCGTCGATCTAAGTGGGCCAGTTGCGCTCGCAACCGAAACAGCTTCTTCTCCCTTCGCAAACGATCCTGCTTGATGCGCGCGACCATGGCGGAGGCGTCGCGTTTCCCGTCCGGTCCGATCACTGCTTTCGGTCTAGGTGGTCTCTCCGGACTCTGGGAATCGATGGTGGTGGCGATGGTCAGCTCGTCCGGTTCTCTTTGCGATCGTCGCGACCGGGCGGGACTCGGCCCGAGGGGCTCGAAGCCGCGGGCTCGCGGCTTCTTCTTTTTTGGCTTCTCAGGGGACGGCGTCTTCGCCTCGTCGTCGACCTTCGGCGCCTTCTTGAAGAGCCGGGCGAAGAGGCCGGGCTTCGGGCTGCTCGCGACCTCTTCGACGACGACGCCGGGCGTCGGGGGCGTGCCCGGGGAGCGCGGCATTTTGGTGGTGGGGTGCCTGGCCCGGGGCTGCCTCGCCGCGTCCTAGGCGTCGACGGGACGTCCAGTACGTGCTAGCAGCGCGACTGTCTCCCCATGCAGGGCGCTACGGGCCTTGCAGGCCCTTGCTCGTCGACAGCGTTGTCTTGCTAGTGTGTTACCAGCCGCTAGCAAGCTTTAGCATAAAGACAAAATTGGCTGCACAGAGCCTCTCCTTGGTCTATAAGTGCTGCTTTTGACGCATCATCAACTGCCGCCATGGGTCGCTCGAGGTCGCGCTCTCGATCTCGCTCTCCGCCGCGCCGCCGCCGCTCACCAAGCAGCTCCCGGTCGCCCAGCCCTCGGCGCGCACGCTCGCGCTCGCCGCCGCGGCGCAGACAGCGCTCGTCCAGCCCGCAGCGGCGACGGTCGCGCTCACCACCGCGACGGCGGCACCGGTCGCGGTCGCCGCGGTCGCGCTCGCCGCGCCGCCGCCGCTCGCCGAGCCCGCGCCGCCGCGCGCCGTCGCCGCGCCGCGGCATGCCGCCGCCACGACCACGACGCGTCGTCGAGCCGGGCAGCCGCCTCTTCGTGGGCAATTTGAGTTATGAGATCGACACCGACCAGCTCCGAAAGTTCTTCGAGAAATGGGGTCCCGTGAATGATTGTTTTTTGCCCCAGGACCGGACGACGGGCAAGCCGCGCGGGTTTGGGTTCGTGACGTTTCGAGATGCCGCGGACGCGAAGCTGGCTGTTGCGCAAGCGGACGGCACGGAGCTCGACGGACGGCAATTGCGCGTCAACGTCGCCGAGGACACGCGGGGCCCTCCGCCTCCGACACAACCCACACAACGAGCAAGTAAGTGGGGCACGAAGGCCGAAGATGACGAGGACGACGAGAGGGAGCGGCGCTACGAGGCCGACGAGGACGCCGCGAAGCCGGACTTTGGGTTGTCAGGAGCCCTGGCGAAAGACGAGAACACGGGTAATGTGTACAAGGGCCACGTCCTGAAGTGGACGGAGCCCGACGACGCGCGGAAACCGGTAGATCGGTGGCGCATCTACGAGTACAAAAACGGCGAACAAGTGAAAATACTACATATCCACCGCCAGTCGGCCTTTTTAATTGGAAGAATAAAGGACATTGCGGACATCCTGACGATGCATCCGAGTTGTTCTGGGCAGCACGCGGTGCTGCAGTTCCGCCTGAAGGTACTGAAGGATGATTTGGACGAGGTCCGCGTCGTGCTGCCCTACGTCATGGATCTGGAGAGCACGAACGGCACATTCCTCAATGGAGAGAGGCTGGCCCCGGCGCGCTACGTCGAGTTAAGGGAGAAGGACATGCTGAAATTCGGGTCGTCGTCGCGCGAATATGTTTTGATCCGGGCGCCCGCATAACTATGTTCTGAATAAACCTAATACATTACACGTGTGGCGTCGTGGGACTCGAGAACGACGAAAACTGACAATAAATCTGGTCGTCGGGTCTCTGGGCCGCGGCGTCGCCCTCGTCGCGGGCCGCGACCGTCCCGTCCTCGAGAACGCACAGGTCCGGGTGGTGCCTCGCAAAAACGAGGGGATGGCTCCGCGCGAGCGACTTGAACGCGTTGGCGCCGTAGGCCCGCAGTAGCGAGTGGCGTGTCTCGGCGGGCGGCCGGTCGCGCGTCCAGGGCAGTGCCGACGGGTCGCAGACGACATCAACAATAGCGCTCAGCGACGGGTTCCAGAAGAAGGGCAGCGAGACGCGTCTTTGTTGAGACGGGCCGACACGGTGCGGCGTCGCGCGGTAGTAGCCGCCCGACGCGAGCTGCAGCATCTCGCCGAGGTTCACGGCGACGGCGCCGTCGCGAGGAGGCACGGCGACCCACTCGCCCGTCCGGAGCTGCGCCTCGAGGCCCGGTTGGTCCGCCCAGAGGAGCGTCAGCCAGCCCGAGTCCGAATGCGCCCCGACTCCCGGGCCGACGTCCGGCGGATAGGACGCGAGCTTGGCCTGCCAATGTGGTGCTTGACCTAGAACGCGGTCGTCGAGCGTAGAGGCCTCCAGCCCGAGGCCCAACGACAGCGCCCGCGTGACGCGCGCCGCGGCGGCGCTCATGGCCGCGAGCCAGGGCTCGCACGCACCGCGCAGTTTTCCATCATTATCCGGCCAGCGGTTCGCGCCCACGAGCCGCTGCGCGACGCCATCACAAATCCCGTCTTCCCGCCCGAGCTCGATCTGCTCCCTCGCGTCGATCACGCCGGCCGTGTTCTCCACGCCTAACCGCATGTAGCCCCGAAACGCCGGCGAGGCCTCGTAGCTACAGATGGCCTTCGTCGCGTCGTCGCTGTCGAAGAACTCGCGCGCGGCGGCGGCGCAGCGCTCGCACGCCCCCGCGTCGTCTAGGCGCAGATAGAACAAGCCGGTCTCGTGGCAGGTCTTACGCAGCGCGTCGACGTGCTGCTCGAGATTGGCCAGCGGGAAGATTGGCACGGCTGCTGTCGTGGCCGTCATCGGTACAGCCACTGATGAGCTTGTGGCACCGATGCGATGCGTTTGTGGCACTACGCTTGTGTTTGCTCTCAAATTGAGCCAGGCTCTTCAGTGGCAGCGTGCACACTGCAGAGCTTCATGCTTTTAGGCAGTGCGGGGCAGTGTGCTATCCAGTCGTTCCCAGGTTGTGCGCAGCAGCACCAATGGCAATGCAGTGCGTCGCGTGCATGCGGCGTGCGTGCGCGTCGTCACTACCACCGTCTCAGCTTATTATTGCAATCTATTCATAGCGTAACAAAGGCACTAATATGGCTAAATTTTTTCAGCAGACATCTACACAGCTGTGCTACAGCTGCGCAGCCTTTGCTTAGCAAGCGGAAATAGCTTTGCTGCAGCGGCGCTCGAGCCGTGCGAATTGAGCGGTCTGCGGCGGGCAGTGTGGCCAGCGAGGCAGCATCCACCAGAGGAGCTGCAGGAGCTGCACCATGCGCGCCCTGAGCTACTGTGCGCTGATCGCCGCGACGCAAGCCGCGCTCTACAGCGACGAGACCTACGATAAATTAAGACGCCTCTTCGGCCGCGTCTCCCGACAGGCGCCTGCAACGTCGTCGTCGGTCGAGCGCCACTACCAGAAAGTCGAAACCGCGCTCAACGAGGCCACGCGGAAGCGTCTAGATGATCTACTTAAAGACACGACGACCGAGAAGTGCCGCGAGGAAGTCACCTCGACGTTCATCGACTCCTACAAAAGACAGATCAGCGAGGACTGGTTACCCTTCGAAAGGACGGGCTACGTCTCCGACTGCCCGTCACAACGCGACAATGCACCTCGCGCTCCACGGTTACGAGCGGAGGACATTCGCTTGGCGTATTTGTTAGTCGTGCATGAGACACCGCAGCAAATTACACGCTTGATAGAATCTCTGGAGGAAGGCACGCGACATAATTTCATCATCCACGTCGACGACAAGCCCCAATCTCAATCGACATATAATTACTTGCTGAACTATGCCTCAACAAGATCACACGTCCACGTTCTCGAGACCGGACGGCAATCTGTCAGCTGGGGAGGTTTTAATGTGGTGCAAGCCACGCTAAACGGCTTAGCGTATGCCTTAGATGTGTTGGATGGTAAATTTGATTGGATCGTTACGGCGTCCGGCTACACCTATCCGTTGGCGTCGAACCGAAGGATCCGAGAAGAATTAGCAAGACACCCGTCGGACACGGAGTTCCTGGAGATCCGACCCCAGCCCAACGACCCCATGCCGCGGGCCTGGCACCAGTTCGTCGAGTGCGACGGGAAGATGCGACGGATCACGCGATTGCTACCGCCGCGGAAAATTAAAATGTACATGGGGTCCCAGTGGATGGTCATCACGCGCGACTTCGCCGCGTATGCTACCGGTAGAGAGTCGCCGCGGCAACGTCGAAGTTTCGCGTCGCAGTACGCGCCGTACGGCCGGTACACGATGGTCGCCGACGAGAACTTCTTTACCACAGTCCTGAAGAATTCACCGATGTGCCACAAACACTACAACCAGAATTTCCTACATGTGCAGTTCGACCAGTGGGAGTCTGATAAAGTCGAGGGTCCCGCGCAGAACAAGTGTCTGCAGCCCGATCCGCGGCACTGCGGGCGGTCGCCTACGACTCTGACGTTGGATTATATGCCCGTGTTGGAGTTGGGCGGCGCCTTATTTGCGAGGAAGTTCGACGCGACGTACGACGCCAAGATCTTAGATGCGATCGATGCGAACAGAGCGTTACAGGATACGGCAGGTTATTCAGAGAAGCCGCGTCAGTACTTTGAAAATATAAGATTCGTGCGAGAAGCGCAGAATGGCGTCGAGCTATGTGTTTCTATGTCGAATCAAGCTGAGAGAAGTATCTATGAGGTGTCCCTGAAGCCCTGTGATAGAAGGGACGCGTCCCAGAGGTTCAACATCGGGCCCTGTTCGACGGACGGCCATATTGAGTTGAGATCAGGGAGACAGGCTCTCGTGAAGCCCGGCGACCACTCTCCATCACCTTTTTGTCCGGTCGCACATGTGGAAGGGCGGCGGATGACTTGTTTGGACTTAAACGGCGAAAGCATTGCGCCGGGCACGCGCATCATTGGATTTCCTTGTAATGGGCGGTGGAACCAGCTCTTAGCGTTAGGTACGGGTGCTCGAGGACAACCGGAGCAGGGCTCGGTCTACATCAACGTGCCGTATCCTAGACATCCTGTCAGACATTTATGTATCGACGCGCCGCCGCCGACGAACGCGAATCCGGCGCCTTCTCTCGTCGTCCAGAAGTGCTCCGGGGCGGCGTCCCAATTGTTTCGGGTCGAGCCGGTGTCGGACTCCGCTTTATATGAACGGCCGGCGGCGCCGCCGCGCGAGTCCGATTATCTGCAGGGGGGCGAGGAGCTTTAAGTGCGTGGTATATCGTGTTTTTTCTTACGCGACGGCGTCTCTCGCTGGTTCGCGTGCGGGGTTGGGTTTTGGAAGCTCAGAGAGCATGATCTTAAGCTGCCCGTAGACGCGCATCCGTGCATTGCATATAGATTGGCCGAGGCAGCCTACACCGCAATTTGCATCGCTTACATGGTTGCTGCCCCATCATGAGGTTCCTGGCGCCGCTCGTGGGGCTAGCCGCCGCCGCGACGACCAACCCCGTGCTCTTCGTCCACGTCGGCAAGACCTGCGGCGGCTCCGCCGTGGCGTACCTCCGCCGCGCGGTCAACGTCACGGAAGTGCACCTACGACCAGTAAAACGCGAGGAGGTCGAAAGGGCATCGCACATTATCGTGTCGGTGCGCGACCCGACGGAGCGCGTCGTCTCGGCCTTCGAGTGGCACCGGCCGGGCGGCGACCGGACGTACGGCCGGTGCTTCCACCGCAAGCGGGACGTCGAGCGGTACGGTAATTCTTGCGCCGACGACGAACTTTATAGATGCGCGGCCACGGCGGACGCCTTCGCGGACCTCGTGGCGTCGCGAAACGCGACGGACCGGTGCGCCCGGGTGGCCAAGGCGTTCCTGGCGCCGGACGCGGGCGCCAAGCTTTTGGGCGAGCCCTTACACTTTGTGCGGCTCGGCGTGGAAATCAACCGGTGAGCTGGCTTACACGCCATCAAGCACAGAAATTTGATCTCCACACAGGCGCGCCTCTCGCACATCCACCGGGGCTTCGCCTTCTACTTGGGAGGAGACACGCTCGACCGGCTCGAGGGCAAACGCGTCTGGGTCGTCGAGGCGTCGGCGTGCGAGCGAGACGCGCGCGCCTTCCTGGCGGGGCTCTCGTTACTTCAGGGGGGCACGTTCCCGACGTCGCACCGCCAGGGCCCCCACGCGCTGTCCTACCGCCGCCGGGCCGCCCTCATGGACGCGCTGGCCCACGAGTACCGCACGCTCCAATCCCTGACGAAGCGTGCGGAGAACTACGACCTCGACGCGCGGCGGCGCGCGCCGGCCTGGGCCTTCGCGCAGCGCGTTTTAGTGAGGCGCGTCCGGAAAGAAGAGTGGGAGAACAGCGTCGTGCGCGCGCGCGTCCGGAGCAAGAAGAGTGGTCATCATTAAGAACTGTTGTTAGTGCGCGCGTACTCACTCGACCTTGAGGCACTCGAGCGTGAAGTTCAGCGTTCCGCCCGGCGGGATGCCCCAGGCCGGGAAGCCGGACGCGCCGTAGCCCTCGTGCGCCGGGATGATGAGCTCTCGAGCTTCGCCGACCTTCATGCCGAGGCAGCCCTGGTCCCAGCCCTTGATGACGCCGCCGACGCCGGCCTGGTACGTGAAGGGCTCCTGGCCCGGGTCCTTCGTGCTCCAGAACTTCTGGCCCGATTCTTTGACGACGCCCGTCGCGTGGACGGTGGCGGTCGAGCCCTTCGTGATCTCCTTGCCCGAGCCGGGCGTGATCGTGCGCATCGTCGTGCCGTTGCAGCCGGGGGCCGGCGTCATCTCGGCCATCGTGACCTGCGCGGTAGGGTGTGTACGCCATCGACGCGAGTTCAGCTGCGCGATGGCGTGGAGGCTGAGCCGTGCAGCGTTGTGGCTGTCCTTCCACAAGTAACTGCGCCGCTCCGCCCGAGCAGCCCGTGCTGCTGGCACGGCCATCACCGCTGTGCCAAATGGTGCCGTCCGATTGCAAAATCGTTGCGCCCGTGCGTAGGACTGAAGGGATGCATGAAATTCAGGTGATATAAACGCGGATAGGCACGAATGCGATGAGGAGGAAGCTGCGCGCAAAAGAGGCCCAAAACCTAGCGTATCGACATACTAGCATTTTAGGCTGCCCAATGGGCGGAGCCGCATAGCGCGCATAGCTCGAAAACGGGCTGGCAACAACGCCTCCTTGGCACCCGGAGCACCCATCGGTGCGAAATCTTGAGCTGCAGCCCCTCTGGAGAGGGGCAGGCCATGGCTGCCTTCCAGGGCCACGACACAACAGGTGATGAACCCTTCGCGCCCGGCGACCAAGTGTACGCCGAAGACGGCGACGGCTGGCGCCTCGCCACGGTGCAAGGCCCAGCTGGCCCTAGCATCACACTCGACGACGGCAGCGAATGCGCAATTGACGAGCTGCTGCGCTGCAACGATATTGATGAAACCGACGTTGCCTCACTCCTCCAAATCCACGAACCGGCAGTACTAAACTGCCTCGAAGGCCGCGACTACGCGTTCTGCGGCCCGAATGTGATCATAGCGCGCGGCCACGCGCACCGGAAGATGGCCGGCTTCGCGTCCAATCCACATCCGGAGCCCCACGTCTACGCGCTGGCCGAGCGCGCGTTCGTGGCACGAAGCAAGCCGCAAGTCGTCGTCGCGACGGGCGGCGCCGGCGCGGGCCGCACGCGCGCCTGCCGCGCCGTCGCTTCCTACTTAACCTGGCGCGGCGGCTTATCAACCGAGAGCGAGCTTTATATGGATATAAGGCGCACGGAGGTCGCCGTCGCGGCGCTCGGCCACTGCCGGGCGGGAGCCCACGACCGGTCCTGCGTCGCCACGGCGACGCACTTCACGTTCGACGCGCGCGACGCGTTGATCGGGGCGCGCACCGACGTCTTTCTGCTGGACGCGGCGCGCGCGGCCCGGCCGCCGGCTGACGGAGAAAGCAACTTCCGCGTGCTGCACGCGGCGGCGCGGCGGCGCGGCGCCCGTCACCACATCCTCGGGCCCGATGACATAGCCGGAGGTGCGCCGACGGACGCGGCCGTCGCCGACTGTCTGGACGGGATCGACGGCGCCTGGTCCGCGCTCGAGGCCGTCTGTCTCCTCGGCGACGGGAATTTACCGGGAGCCCTCCGCGTCCTCGGCGTTTCGGAGGGCCTGGACGTCTCCCGCCGTACGCCGGACCAGCACTTCTCACGACAACTCTACGGCGGCCTCGTGGCTGCGATCCTCGACGCGCGCAATGCCAGAACGGCGGCGGCCGCCCGGGGCCGCGCCGTGTCCGTCGTCGACCCGCTCCCCTTTGACGCATGCGGCGACCGGCGCGCGTTGGTGATCAACGCCCTCGACGACGTCCTGGAAAAGCGCTTCATGGATACGGTCCGGGCGCCGTTCCGCACGCTCGTGGACGAGGGCGTCGCGCCGGGCCGGTTCGCTCGCGTGCCTTTGGTGGACGACCCGCCCTGCCGGGAACTGCTCGCGAGCGCGGATCTACGCACGTGTGCCCGCTCGACGCACGTGTGCCAGTTGCCGCGCGTCGACGACGTCGAGAACACGTTCGCGGTGCGGCACTACGGCGGCGTCGTCACGTACGCGTTCGACGAGTGTGCGCGGCGGGAGACGTCCGACGCCTTCCGGGGGGCGCTGCGCCGGTCGACGATCGATTTTATGAAGCGCGTCGGTGCGGCGACGCCCGAGGCGTCGCTGGCGGACGTCCTCGACGGCGCGGACTGCGCCTACGTGCGCTGCCTGCGGCCGTCGCGCCTCCGCGCCGACCTGCGGGCGGCGCGCGTCGTCTTCGCCGCGCGGGCCGCGGCGGCGGCACACCCGCGCCACGCCCTGAGCTTCGACGCGCTGGCCGGCGCCCTGTCCGAGGCGGCGCTCGCGGCCACGGAGGACGCGGCCCCGGAGCTCCTGGCGGCCTGCGTGCTCGCGGCGGTGGGCGTCGACGCCGAGTGGCTCCTCGGGAAGACGGCCGTGTTCTTCGGAAATGCCGCGGCGGCGGCCGAGGCCCGGCAAAAGGTCGAGCGGGCCGCCGGCCACCTCGACGAGGCGGGAACGCGCATCGTCGCCGTATACGAGCGCATGCGCGGGAGCGGCGCGGCCGCGGCGGCCGCGGCGGCCCACGCGGCCGAGGACGTGGTCCTCGCGCTCGGCGACGCGCTCGCGCGCGACGGACGCCGCCGCCGGAGACCCGCCGCCGCCAAGGCCCGGGCGCGCGCGCGCCGGTCGGCGGTCCTTGCCGAGGAGTGTGCCGTGGCCGCGTCGGCGGCCGCGTCGCGGGCGGCGGCCGCGGCGGCGCGCGGCCGCGACGCTGGGGAGGGCGCGGCGGCGGCCCGCGCCGCGGCGGCGCGCCACGCGGCGAGCTGCGCGGCGGACCTGGCCGCGGCGCGCGCGGCCGACGCGCTCTACGTCGACCCGGACGCGCTCGCGATCGAGCTCGCCGCCGCGGGCCTGCGGAAGGCGCCGGCCCGGGACGACCCGCCGCCGGCGCCGGCCGGGCCGACGGCGCGCGCGCCGCCCCCGAAGGTCGGCTGGCTCCGCGTCGACGGCCGCCGGCGGTGGGCCGAGCTCCGCGACGCCGTGCTGACGCTGCGCGCGCGCCGCGACGACGCCGTCCCCGCGGACGCGCTCCGCCTCGACGCCGGCGCGCGCGCCGCGGCCGCCGGCGCCGGCCTCTCCGTGCGCGCGAGCGTCGGCCAGCCGCTGCGCCTCGCCGCGGCGGCGCCCGCCGACGCCGGAGCCTGGGTCGATGCCATCGCGGCGCACGCGGCCGCCTCGCGCCAAGCGGAGCGCGACGCGGAAGCGTTCCGGCGAAACGCCCCACCAGCGGACGACGACACGCGCTACTTCCAGGGCCGCGAGCCGCTCTTTCTCTACCGCGCGCCGAGCGACGCCGCGCCGGTCGTGAAGCGGCTGGCGCGGGACGCGTTCGTCGAGGCGCGGGCGACGGTCCTCGGCGATTCCGCGAACTTCCTCCGGACGCCGGGGGGCCTCTGGGCCCGCGTCCCCGCGGAGGACGCCGTCGAAGTGGTCGAGGGGCGCCTCTTCCCGACGTCGGCGACCTACGTGCGGCGCCGCGGCGCCGCGGCGAGCCTCGTCGCGTCCTACCCGACGCGGCTCTTCGCCTCGGCCCACCTCCTCGAGGCGAGGACCATCGAGGCGTCGGGCGTCTTCGCGACGGCCACCGACGAGTTCCTGCGCCTCGCGGACGGCTCCGGCTGGGTGCCGCTCGCCGACGAGGGCGGCGAGCGCGTCTTCTTCGCCGTGCCGCGGAGCTTGTAGTAGTTTGTTGTTGACCTGTCAGTCATTTTGCGCGCCCCTAATCTCCCTGCCAGTGGAGCCCCGAGCTCTGTCGTGCGAGCGGTGTACTAGATAGATAGGGGCATAGTCGCCGTTACCCGTGGGGGTGGGGAGTACCGGCTGGGGCGGGGAGGCGGGAAGGGCGGGAGGGGCGGGGGATATACGCTTTGCTCTATCCGTCGAGGCACGTCCAGTACTTGCCGCAGTAGTCGTTGCAGTAGTCCTTCTTCGTGGTCACGGCCGCGGCGCCGACCTCGGTCACGTTGCGGCCCGCCTCGGCGAGGGTGTTCACGCAGTCGTAGGCGTACGAGTACGAGTACGTGCCGCAGTTCGTGCCCGAGCACGTGGCCTCGCAGCAGTCGCCGCCGTCGTAGCAGGGCGCGACGTTGTTCGCCGCGTCGCACTTGCCGTCGCCGACGGCGGCCGGGTCCGCCGCGGCGGAGCAGTCGTGGTCGCTCTTCGCGAGGACGCGGGCGTCGAGCGCGTTGCGCCAGCCGACGTGCGGCCGGTCGCAGTCGCCCTTGGTCCACCGCCCGTCCGTGCAGCAGAAGTCGGACCACTTCGAGCCGGGCAGGCCCTGGGGGCAGTACTGCTGCTCCGTGCTGCAGTACCAGCCCTTGCAGCCGGTCGCGTCGGCGGGGTACTTGGCCGGCGCCATGGACAGCGCGTCGGCCCAGACGTCCGCGATGTCGTCCGAGCCCTCGGGCACCTGGATCTGGTACTCGACGAGGACCTCGTCCGCGCCCTGGTTTTGGGACTGGAGCCGCCGCCGCGCCGACGGCTCGCTGAGGATGACCGTGATGTCGTCGAAGCCCGGGGCGCAGGCGCCCGCGGTCCACGTGCCGGACCCGGCCTCGTCGAAGACGCAGCAGTAGTCGGAGTCCGTGGAGCCCACGAGGCCCTGCGGGCAGTACTGGTTCTCGACGGAGCACGCCCAGCCGGGGCACGACGTGGCGTCGGCCGGCCGCACGCCGCCGGCGACGTCGATGATCGTCTGGGTGATGTCGGCGGCGTGGGCCTCGGCGTCGGCCAGGGACACGCCGGCGAGCTCGACCGACCCCTCGACCACGAAGCCCGTGTTGAGCTCGACGTAGCCGAACTTGAGGTTGCGGCGGCCGGACTGGCGCGTCTGGCGCGACGCGGCGCTGCCCCAGGAGGCGTCGCCGCAGTCGCACGTCTCGTACTTGCGCGCGGCGTCGCAGTCGAGGCACTTGCCCGAGATCGGGAGCTTGGGCGTCCAGCGCCACGAGCAGTAGCGCGTGTCGCAGGCGTCGCGGTTGTCGATGCCGAACGAGCACTCGGGGATGCAGCGCGAGTAGGGGGCGAGCCAGTGGCAGCCCGCCTCGGCGGCGCAGGCCGCCGTCTCGTTCTTGGTCTCGCAGAAGGACGTCCAGTCCATCGTCGGCGCGAACGTCGGCGCGCCCGTCGGGTGCATCGACGGCGCGGGCGAGGGCTCGGACGTGGGCGCCATGGACAGCGTCGGCGCGAGCGTCGGCGCCGCCGAGACGGTCGGCGCGGCCGTGGTCGGCGCGGGCGTGGGCTTGCAGGCGCCCTCCGTGCTCTTGACGCCGCACGGCGGGTCGTTCAGGATGCAGGGCGCGTAGAAGAAGGTGTCCGTCATGTCGACGCAGCACGGCTGCCCGCCGGCCCCGTCGCAGCCCGCCTGGAGCGGCGCGATCCGCGCCTTGTACTCCTCGTACGTCTCCGCCGCGTCGTCGATGGCCGGGCAGGCCTCCTCGACGCACCAGCCCAGGTCCTGGTCGAAGCTCTCGGCGTGCAGAAACATGTCGTGCATCGACGTCACGGCGTCGACGTTCCAGCCCGAGATGTCCTCGTTGAAGTCCAGTTCGTTCTCGAAGAGGTGCGACATGTCCGTGACCTGGGACGTGTCCCACCGGCCGATGGGCGACACGCCGTACATCTGCTCGAAGACGTCGCGGTGGTGGAGGTAGAGGTGGACGGCGCAGGTGCCGTCCGTCGCGGTGGTGATGCCGATGTTGGCGTCGTGCGAGTGGTCGCAGGCCAGGTTCTCGTCCGTGGCCACGAAGGTCATGGTCGGCACCGGCACCGGCACCGGCGACGGCGGCTCCGTCGCGTAGGTCGGCGCGACCGTCGGGCCCTGGGCCGTGGGCGATAGGGGGTCGACCGTCGGAGGGAGGGAGTACGACGGCCGGACCGTCGGCTCGTACGTCGGCACCGCCGACGGCGTCGTGGGGGCCATCGTCGGGTACCGGAGCTTCTTGGGCTCGGAGTCGGCGTAGTGGTCCGGGTTGCAGGTGCCCGTCTCCAGGGTGTGGTTGCATCCATTAGCGCAGCGGCAGCAGCCCGTTCCGCCCGCGCCGTTGTCGACGAAGCCCTTCGGGCGCCACTGGGTGTTGGACGTGCCGCCGTCGAGCGTGAACTCGGGGCTGTTGCAGCGCTTCCTGCGGACCTCGCACGTGACGAGGCCCGTGACCTTGTGCCAGCACGACCCGAAGTTGTCCTCCGTCGGGACGGGCGACGGCACCGTCGTGGGCACGGCCGTGGGCGCGGCCGAGATCGTCGGCGCGCTCGTCGGCGCGCTCGTCGGCGCCGACGTCGGCAGAGACGTGGGGACCTCGGTCGGGGGCCAGGTCTCGAACGTCGGCGCGCTCGTCGGCGCGCTCGTCGGCGCCGACGTCGGCAGCGTCGAAGGCACGCCCGTCGGGTCGGCCGTCGGCACGCCCGAGGGCTTGGACGTGGGGCCGGGCGTCGACGGCGCGGACGTCGGGACCTTACTGGGCTCCGACGTCGGCGGAGACGTCGGCACGTACGTCGGGTCGGCCGTCGGGGTCTTACTGGGCTCCGACGTCGGCGGAGACGTCGGCACGTACGTCGGGTCGGCCGTGGGCTCGAAAGTGGGGTCCGACGTCGGCGGGGTCGTCGGCACGTACGTCGGCTGCCACGTCTCGTACGTCGGCGCCTCGGAGGGCACGGACGTCGGCGCCGACGTCGGCGGGACCGTCGGACGGTACGTCGGGTCGGACGTCGGCACGCCCGAGGGCTCGGACGTCGGCGGGACCGTCGGCACGTACGTCGGGTCGGCCGTGGGCGTCGCCGTCGGCGGCGACGAAGGCACGTACGTCGGCGTCGACGTCGGCGCGAACGTGGTCGTGGGCGCCGGCGAGGGCATCGACGTGGGCGGCGACGAAGGCACACGCGTCGGCGTCTCCGTCGGCGGCGACGAAGGCACGTACGACGGCGCGCCCGTCGGCACGGGCGTCGGCAGGGACGTCGGGGTGGTCGGCGTCGACGTCGGCACGCCCGACGGGTAGGTCGTGGGCACGCCGGACGGCGCCTCCGTCGTGGGCACGGACGACGGCGCCGGCGTCGGGTCCGGCACGATGACGTGCAGCCGGCGCGCCGCCTCCTCGGCCTCGGCCACGAGCCGCCGCTTCACGCCCTCGGGCGCCTTGCTCGACGGGCTCTGCGCGGCGGCCGGCGCGGCGAGGCAGGCCGCGGCGACGAGCGCGGCGGCCCAGCGGCCGGCGCGGCGCGGCCTTCGGGCCATGTCACTGCCATGCCGCGGCATCTTCGCTGGCTTCGCGGTCTCCGGGCTGGCGCTCGACCCACGCGGCGTGCGGCGCGGGCTGCCCGGGGTTGGGGTTGGCGCACAAATCGCCTCGCCGCTCGACACAGCCAAAGTGTAATTTTTGGCCGGGTGCAATATTATCCTTACCTTAGTTAGGTTACGATGATTTTTTCCCCCGCCGCGCCGCGCGCTGTCGTCGCGGGCAGCCAGGACCCCTCGCGCGGCCCCACCCTCGCGGTTTTTCCGGCAAGGCTGCCCCTCCGAGCCCCAATCCATGGAAAAGGCTGCCATTTGGCTGCCCCTGCGGCTCATAGCAGTCTAGCATCGCTCTAGGGCCGCGGCGGTGGCTGGTAGGCCCTCGCGCGGGGCGGGGCTTCGATCGCGCGGGGCGCCTCTGTCTGCAAATTTAAGGTTCGACTGCCGTCTCCGCGTAATACAAACACAAGATTGCTGCCCGGAGGCTACGCTACGCGCGCACCGCCGCAGACGACACGCCATGGCCACGCGTCGCAGAATGCTCTAGAATGAGACGCAGCAGCATCGTGGCGCTCGCGGCGGCGCTGCTGCCCACCCTAATTAATGGACAGGGCGCGTCGTCGATGCACCCCATCGACTTTGATGGAGACGGCGATATTGATATTGTGAAGAGCTCGCCGATCGGGATCATCTGGCTCGAGAACCACGGGGTCCGCGCCGGCGCGCCCGAAAAAAAACACGCGTCGCCGGCGCGCTTTCAAAGCGGCGGCTGTCTCGGCGCGGCGGCGTGGAGGCCGGCACGCATACTCACGGGTCTACGCACAGGTCGACAAGGAATGGGAGACGCACATTATTAGTCTCAACCAGAACATCAAGGACGCCGTCGCGGCGCACAAGCGGCACCGGAAGTTCGTGGACGTCATGGAGGGCCGCGGCTTTGCGCCCGTGTCGGCTCTTTCTGACGAGCCGCCCGTGGTGGTCGCGGGCGCGGAGGACGCCGTCACCGTTGATGTTGGTGGTGAGGTTGTTGAGGAGGCGGCGCGCTACGCCGAGCAGGAACTGTAGTAAGTGGTGCTTAATTCGAATCCGTACCATGGAGGGGGCGCGCGCGGCCTCGGCGGGCCCCGCGCGGCACCTCCGAGCCGTTTCCGGGCGGGGTCTCGATTCGGGGGACCACCTTTCGCGGTGAAGCGCGACCGAAGCAGGCGACTCCTCCGCCCTCGCAGTTGACGTCCGTTTGTCCAAAGCCCCAGGCTCCGGTCCAGCAGCAGCCGAAGACATAAACGCTGAGCTGCTACGATGGCTCTCCTCATGTTGATAACGCTGGGAGCCTTTTCGCAGGCCGGCCAGGGCAAGTACGCCTTAGGACAGCGTGGAACGAAAGTCCAGCTCGTGCAGCTCTGTCAAAAGGCGCATGCGAACAAGGACCAAATATTAGCATCGGATGCGCTAGACGAAATCTTACGCGAGCTAAACAACGAGGAACGACGACGCCGGCACCCCGCGCTACCTGAACGCTGGGCCTGCTCGTAGTTTTCAGCGTGTGAAAAAGTCTTCTCGCGACCCGGGGTCGCTCTCGGGCGCAACACAAAATTCAAAAAACGCAGGTGGCGCGACGACCGCGACCTCGACGCGGCGCTCGCCGACGCGGCCTTCGGCGGCGGCTGGCGGGCCGCGCCGGGCGCGAGCGTCGTCGACGCGCCGGACTGCGTCGTCGCCGGCGACGCCGAGGCGACGGCGGCGCGGCTCCGATATCTCCAGAGGACGGCGCCGCCGGGCTCGCCCGCGGACGCGTGCACGCTCCGCTGGCGGCCCCTGCGCGTCGCGCCGCCGCCGCCGCCGCCGGGGGAAATCCTCTTCCGCGACGGCGACTTCGCGGTCCTGCGCGACGCCTACACGGGCTCCGTCGCCGTCGCGTCGCGGACGGAAGTGACGAACACGCCGCCGCTCACGCTCGTGTGATTGACTACTACGACCCCGCCCCACCTGTCTTGTAAAGAACCATGCTTGTCTGAAAGCCGTTTGTGCATTGCCAGCCAGTGACAAGCTGGCCCGTTCCGCATGGTAGTAACCCGTGTCGATCAAGTGACAGCATCGATGGGGCCATTTCGTCGACGAGCGCACAGGGATCACACACACAACAGATTACCCAGCAGCCCTCAAGAAGGCGCAGCGCGCACGAACCGCAGCACCGACAGCGCCTCGTTCCGCGCACGGCGCCGCAGGACCGTCTCCCCCGTCAGACCCCGCGCGCGGAGGTAGGAAACGATCGACGCCGGGTCGTTCTCGGCGACGCAGACGACGTAGAAGCGCCCCGCCGGCGCCAGGACGCGCGCGACGTGCGGCAGGAGCCGGTCGAGCACGCGCCTTCCGTTACGACCGCCCGCCCAGGACGCCTCGATGCCGGCGCCGCCGACCTCCTCATCATCAGTGGGGACGTAGGGCGGATTGAAGACCAGGGCGTCAACACTATACGACCGCAGCGCGCCGCAGAGGTCGCCCCGCATGACGTCGACGCGCGCGCCGTTGGCTTCTGCCGTCCTCATTGTCAAGGCGCACGCGGCCTCATTAATATCGACCGCGAGCACGCTGTTACGCGTCAGCTTCGCAAGGTACGTCGCCACGACGCCGGACCCCGGCCCTATTTCGACGATCGCGCGGCTCGCGCGTAACGCGGCGCGGTCCGCGAACAACGCGTCCAAGAGCAGAAACGTGTCTTCGCTCGGCTCGTAGACCCGGTTCCAATCCACAAAGGTCGCATGATCCAAGCTCGGGACCCAGCCGTCGAGTTTTGCGTCCTCTGCTGAGGCCTGGGCGGCCATGAGATGCTGTGCACAAGCTCCTAACTGCGGTTACGCCTCAAAATCGCTGTCGCGCATCAATTCTATATGCATCAAGACAGCGTCGGCGGCGTGCCGCTGCACTATGGCCCGCAATTGCACCGCTGGCACGCTTTTTGGCTGCTTGCTAGTATGTTAGGCTAGCGATTATTGCTAAAAGAAGAGCGCACTGAAGTGCAGGGTAAAAGCACGCCGCGGATCTTAGACGCAGCGTTTTACTTCGCAAACCCGCCGCCGCGAACCATAGCCAAGATGCTTCGCGCCGCCGCCCTGCGCCGGGGCCTCAGCACCTCCCAAGGCAAGCGAGTGGTGGTCGTCGACGGCGCGAGGATCCCGTTTGCGATGGCCGGCACGAAGTACAAGGACCAGATGGCCGTCGACCTCATGCGCTACGCTTTAAGGGGTTTACTCACGAAAACAGCACTACCCGTAACCGAAGTGGACTACGTTTTGTGCGGCACCGTAGTACAGGAACCAAGAACGTCAAATATCGCGAGGGAAGCGGCGATGCACGCCGGCTTACCACACGATATCCCGGCCCACACGGTTTCTTTGGCCTGCGTGAGCGCGAACGCGGCGATCTGTCAGGGGGCCGAGAAGATACTGGCAGGTGCGATCTCGGCGTCCCGCGGTGCCTTCACGCCATCGACGCGACTCGTGTCCATCAGATCTGACAGAAATGCTCCGCGCAGGCCAGGCGGACGTCGTCATCGCGGGCGGTTGTGAAACTTTTAGTGATGTGCCCATTCGCTATTCCAGACCTATTAGAAAAAGGTTGCTCGGTGCGGCCAAGGCCATGAAGAAGGGTCCCATGGGGGCACTGTCACTGTTAAAGGGCCTGAAGCTCAAGGATCTCGCGCCCGAAGCGCCCTCGATCAAGAACTTCACGACGGACGAAGTCATGGGCCACTCGTCGGATCGCCTGGCGACGAAGTTTGGGGTAACGAGAGAAGAGCAAGATAAGTTCACTCTTAGATCCCACCAGAACGCGCAGAAGGCTCATGATGACGGTGTCTATGCGGAGGAGTTAGTACCAGGCGTCGAGGGCGACGCCGACTTGCACGAGAACGGCATCAAGGCCCAAAGCACGCCGGAGCAGCTCGCCAAACTCAAACCCGCGTTCGTGAAGAACGGGGCCGGCACGCACACCGCTGCCAATAGCTCCTTCTTAACTGATGGAGCCGCTGCTACGTTGATCATGTCCGAGAGCAAAGCCCTCGAGCTGGGCTACGCACCGAAAGCCTACCTCAACAACTGGACCTTTGCTGCTGTTGACCCGTTCGAGGAGATGTTGTTAGGTCCTACGTATGCTACTGCGAAAGTATTGGACATGGCCGGTGTGTCCTTGGATGACATCGACGTCGTCGAGTTCCACGAGGCGTTCGCCGGTCAAGTTCTCGCGAACTTCAACGCCATGTCCTCGGATGAGTTTGGGCGGGAGAAACTTGGAAGGCAGGGCGCCGTGGGGACGATGAACATGGATAAGGTGAACCCGCACGGCGGGTCGCTGTCCTTGGGCCACCCGTTCGGGGCCACGGGGGCGCGCCTGGTGACGACGGCGGCGAATCGCCTGCAGCGCGAGGGCGGGAAATTGGCTTTGGTGGCGGCCTGCGCCGACGGCGGCGTGGGGCACGCGTGCGTGCTGGAGCGGTACCCGCAGTAAGTTGTACAGTACGTTTGCTCCTCGACGGCGTGTTACGGTGCCAGGACTAGTGGGCGGCGCCCCTGCCCGGCTGGGGGGGAGACATCGGCAACGGGCGCGTGCCGCGTCTTTCATAACGGCGTACCTCCTTCCTCGCGGCTTCCAGCTAGCGGTCTAAGACACTAGCAAGCAAGCCATGCATTCGGCCGGTGGAAGCGGCCGCAGTGGTGCGAATAGAGCCGCGCCGGCGTCTTCGCGGAGTTATTCGGCAGCGCAGACGGGCGTCGGGCAGCGTCGCGCCATCCGTGCGAGCAAGCGGGCAGCCATGTGGCTGCTGATAGCGCTCCTCGCGCCGACGAGCCACGCAGCCATTAAGGTAGACAAGAAGCTCGAGGGCGAGTATGGGTTGAGGTGCAGCGAGTGCGTTCTAACAGCACACCACGCGCAGTACACGATCAAGGACCTCCTTTTAAGGGACGAGCGCTGGAGCGCACACAAATGGCTTGATCAATTATATGCGGCCTGCGAGCGGCGGCATCCCGATGAAAGGCCCATGTGTTTCGTGTTTGCGCGGCAGCACGGCGATATTGTTGCGCGAGAACTCGTCGAGCTCGTCGAGGACGCTGATAGTACAGAAGACTCAACAATAGCGACGCCGGACGCCGTGGCCAAGGCCCTCTGCGCCCACGACGGCTTGACCGGCGTGTGTCCGAAGAACGCGCACGCCTTCCGAGCGAAAGCCGCAGGCACGTCGAACAGCGAGACGCAAATCGCGGTCCGGAACGCGCGGAAAGTCGGGCCCGTCGAGGTCCACGAAATAGACATAAATCTGGTGGATAGGGAGGGCTGCGCGCCGTCGGAAATCGAAGGCACCGACGCCCTGGTCTACGTCGTGCGGCCCGGCGAGGAGGCCTTGGTCGTAACTTCAAAGCGCCAGCCGCGCCCCGGCGACGCCGCGGACTACTCGCAGACGTATCTGCGCATCAAGCCCCAATTCGCGCCCTGCGGCGACGGCACGGACTACTACGTAGATCGGTCGCGGCGCTTCTGGGCGGTCGACGTCTCTGACTCGCGTGATTTCGACGAGGCCGCGGCCCGGTCGGAGACGAACCGGCCGCTCCGCGTCGACGCCGCGACGGCCCGCGCGCCCGCGGATCCGCTCCCCGCGGGCCTCCCGCCCCGTAAGAAGAAGCGGCGGCGGCGGGAGCTCTAAGGAGGTTCTTACTGTGACACGAGTCCTCGCGAGCCGCGCCGGCCCTCCCGAGCTCTCGGTAGAGGTCGGCCCGCGTCCGTGCGGGGCAGGGCTCTTTCAACTTCTAGTTTCTGGGCGCGGCCTGCTCAGAGTGCCACGTGCAGTTCATCCCGGCGACGGCGATAAGCTGCCAGGCATCGCCCAGGGACCCAGCGTCGGCCCCGGGGCAGCCTCGCCGCTTACGCACGACGAACGGCCCTCAGTGCTCTTCACAGGAAGGAAGGCAAACATGGCTCCGACCGGGACCAAACGCGTCTTGGTCCTCCTCATGACGCTGCTGGGAACGGCTCACGCGGCGGCGGGCGACGCCTGCGCCGAGGACGGCTCGTCAGCGGCCTACACGGAGACGATCTCGACCGCGCAAGGCGTCAAGAAGCGGACGATCGTCTCCGCGGGCTGCCCCAACCACGAGTCCTACTGCACGGGCAAGCCTGCCAACAAGGATGTCTGCGACGAGGAGGGCCTGAAGGGTGACGGGACCGAGGCCACGGACCAGGACCTCAACGTCGACGTCCCCGCGAACCCGAAGCTCCTGGACGCCGACGACTGGGCCGCCGTGCTCGCCGACGCGGCCACGGTCCCTGCCGCTACCGCCACCGAGACGGCGTCCACCAGCTCGCTCGACTGCGAGATGGGCGGCATCGCCTACGCGCTCAACGGCGTGGTCTTCTACTCCGGCGCCGTGGGCAACAGTCAGGCAGACCCGCCGTGCCCACAGCTCGCCATCGACGACCCCACGGCCGAGTGGATCTCGTTCGATTGTTGTAGCGGGCACAGCTCGGGCACCGGCGGCTACCACTACCACTTCCCCCCGTCGTGCCTGATTGCCCAAGCCAACAAGGAAGCGCCCATAGCGGGCGGCCACAGCGCGCAGATCGGCTGGGCGCAGGACGGCTTCCCGATTTACGGCCCGCTTGGACCCGGCGGCGTCGAAATTCGCAACTGCGGCGCCTCGGGCGCGCATGCGACCTACTGCCAGGACAAGTGCGGCGGCTACGAGGGCGAGCTCCCGGACGTCGACAACTACAAGTATCGCTACTACATCACCGGCAAAGTCAACGACCTGAACTCGCTGCCGTCCTACCCCAAGCCCGACAATGTGGATCTCTACTTCCCGTTCACGATCCGCTGCCACCGCGGCGTCATCATAAAGACGCTGGGCACCTTCAAGGACTACGTTGGCTCCGACGGCTTCACGAGCGCCCATGATGCCACGGCGCTTGCCGGCTACTCGGATCCCGTCGCGGTCCAGTGCCTCGACAACAAAGGGTACACCGACTACGGCTTCACGGAAGCCGTCATCACGCCCGTCGATACTGCCGGGGATGGGGCAGTGACCACGGAATCCGACGCGGCGGCGACACGCGCGCCGCGCCAATTCGCGGTCGCCGGCGCCGCGGCGCTCGTGGCGGCCATCGCCTGAGAATTCCCCTCCTCTCCCGAAATCGCATCGCGAGTCGTAAACCAATTCCATTCAATTAGGGTTTGCCTCCTGCGCGTGATTCCTCGCGCGTCTTGAAGGAAGGCTAGAGGGGCTAGGGTAAGAGCTTGGAGGGGGGGTTTGCCTCTGAGTCTGAACTCAGTGGCACTGGCAGTGCAGAAACTTGGCTGAAACTTGACTGCATGCAAGCCGAGGGCAGCCGAAACGTTGGATAATACGCGACCCATGGCGTCGCTGCGCCGACTCCTCGTCCTCGTGCTGCTCGGAACGGCCCGCGCGGCGGCGGGCGACGCCTGCAACGAGGACGGCTCCTCTGCGGCCTACACGGAGACGATCACGACCCAACAAGGAGTCGAGAAGCGCACGATCACCTCCACCGGCTGCCCCAACCACGAATCCTACTGTACCGGCAAGCCGGGCCCCGCGCCGACCTGCGACGAGGAGGGCCTGAAGGGCTCCGGGACCGAGGCCGTCGAACAGGACCTCAGCGTCGACATCCCCGCGAATCCGATTCTGAAAAGCTCGTATGAGCCCGGAGAACTCGATTGTTCCATGGGCGCCATCGCGTACGCGCTGAACGGCATCGGCTTCTATTCGGGCGCGGTCGGGTACGACGCGGATGGCAACTGCCCTCAACTCGACGTGGCCGATCCGGAGGCGGAGTGGATCTCGTTTGATTGCTGCACCGGACACAGCGATTACGACGCCGCCTACCACTACCACTTCCCCCCGTCGTGCTTGCTTGCGCAAGCCAACAAGGCCGCGCCCATCAGCGACGGCCACAGCGCACAGGTCGGCTGGGCGGAAGACGGCTTCCCGATTTACGGCCCGCTTGGACCCGGCGGCGTCGAAATTCGCAACTGCGGCACCTCGGGCGCGCATTCTACCTATTGCCAGGACGAGTGCGGTGGTTACGAGGGCGAGCTCCCGGGCGTCGACAACTACAAGTACCGCTACTACATCACGGGCAAAGTCGGCGACCTGAACACGCTACCGTCGACCCCGATGCCCGACTCGGAGGAGCTCTATTACCCATACACGATCAGGTGCTACCGCGGCTGCACCATGAGCTCGGGCATCAGCGACTTCAAGAGTTGCATCGATGGCGTGGGCGTCACCGACGGCTTCACGAGCGCCCATACCGCTACAGCGCTCGACGGCTACACGACGCCCGTCGCGGTTCAGTGCTGGGACGACAAGACCTACGCCGACTACGGCTTTACAGAAGCCGTCATCACGCCCGCCGCCGACCCCACGCCTCGGCCGACGCCGGCGCCCGTGCCGGCGCCGACGCCGCGCCCCACACTCGCTGGCGCGCTCGCGGGCGGTACCGAAAGCTCAGCCGAGGCGTCAGGGGGCTCCGGCGGCGGCGGCGGTGGCGACGACGTGATGGTCGCAGGCGCCGCCGCCGCGGGCGCCGCGCTACTGCTAGCCGCCGCCGCCGCCTTCGTCTTCTACCGTCGCAGCAGCAAAGGGTCGAGTACGAAACAGAGGGCGCGTGGCGGCGGCGACCTCGAGGAGGGCGACGACCGCTCCGCGATAGCGTTCGCCCGCCACGAGGAGACGTCGAGGGTCACCCAGCGCGGCATGATGCTCGCGAGCGCTTTGCTCTCCGTCGGCAGCAGCCTCCCGCTCGTCGGGCGGCTCTGCGAAGCGGCTCAGTCCTGCCTTGGCTCGGCCGAGGAGTTCTCGGAGAAGGCCGACGACGTCCTGGTCGCGGCGAAGCGCGTCGTCGACGTGCTCAACGTCGTCCAGATGATGGCCCGGAACGCGGATAAGCTCGCGGAGGGCCGCGAATTGGTGGAGCAAGCAATGCGGGAGTTGGTGGACCTGGTTGTCGAGTTCGACGGCGCCGTACGCAAGTTCGGGAAGAAGGGCTGGCTCCAGCGCGCGTTCAAGATGCAGAGCCACGTCAAGTCGTTGGGGCGGTTGGACAGACGCATTGTGGCGCAGCTGCAGACCTTTCGGGACATCTACCGGCTGTCGGTCGACCATCTCATGATGGAGCGGACTTACCGCATCGAAGCGTCGGTGGGGCAGCTCGTGGCGGAGCGCGTCCGCGCGACTGGCGAGTCCGAGGCGCAGGCCGCCGCGTCGCTGTCCGCGGACCCCGCGGCGGTCGCGCGCGTCGCCGCGGACGGCCGCGTGGCCGCGGCGGAGCTGTCCAGCGAGCTCCAGGAGTTCAGGTTAGAGGTGAAGGAGGGCCTCGGGAACCTGGACAAGAAGATGCAACAGATGCTGGCCGGGCTGCACGGCGACAAGGCGGAACTCGCCGGCATCGCGAAGGCCGTCAACGCGGCCGCGGCGCGCGACGCCGAACTCATGAAGGCCGTCGAGGCGGGCGCGGCGCGCGACGAGCAAATCTTGGCGGCCGTCGAGGCTGGCGCGCAACGCGACGCGGGCCTGCGGCAGCAGATCCGCGGGCTCGGCGACTCGCTGCGGCGCAAGACGAAGAAAGAGTCGGCGCGGCAGTACAAGGACGCTCAGCTAGAAAGGTACGAGGTGCAGGTCGACGACGTGTCCGAGGCGCCGATCGCGACGGGGGGCTTCGGATCCGTACACACCGCATGGTACGCGGAAGAAGAGGTGTGCCTCAAGAAGATTAGCATCGCGGGGCTGACGCACGCGCGCCGCGCGAAGGTCGTCCGGAGCTTCAAGATGGAGCTCAGTATCATGTGCCACCTTCGGAGCCCGCGGATCGTGTCGGTGCTGGGCGCCGTCACCACGGACGGCAGATGGTTAGGGTTAGTCATGGAGTACTGCGCCGGGGGCTCGCTCCGCGCCGCGCTGGACGACGAGTCGGGCGTTGTCACGGGCGCGCTGCAGCGGACGTGGTCAGCAGACGTGGCGTTCGGTATGGCGTTCTTGTATGCGCAGGGCGTCGAGCACCGCGACCTCAAGGCTCTGAACGTATTGCTGACGAGCGACCTCCGCGGCAAGGTGACCGACTTCGGTCTTTCGCGCTGCGACGAGTTGAAGACGGCGCTGACGACGCAGGCCACCGCCGCCGCCGGCGGCGCGGCGGGCACGCCGGCCTTCATGGCGCCGGAGCTCTTGGAAGACAACATATTTACGGAAAAGAGCGACGTCTACTCGTACGCCATCGTCCTGTGGGAGATCTGGGATCGAGGCCTCCCGTGGCACGGGCTCCAGCCGGTGCAGATCACACGAAAGGTCGTGGACAAGCGGCAACGCCCGCCCGTGCCGGCCGGGATGCCCGCCGAGCTCCGGGAGCTCATGCTCCGCGCGTGGGCCCCCGACCCGGCGGACCGGCCCGATTTCGCGGAAATCAGTTCGAGACTCAAGGCGTTCAGTCCGCGCACCAGGGCCGCCGCGCGCCCTCCCGCGAGCTCCGCGCAGAACAGCACGCGGTCTCTGGCGAACCCGCGTTCGTGGCTGGGAGGCGCGTCGTAGTCCTTCCTCCCCGAGGGCTTGGTTGCGAGCTAAAAGCCCTTACAAATAATATAGCGAGCTCGGCGCCGCCCTACTTTCCCCCTTCACCTCGCGTAGCTGAGATCGTTTTCAGACGCTATGCTTACTGCGAGAACGATTTTTTGCTGTTGCTCCCCCGCGAGAGAGAGAGAGAGTCGCTTATTGAACCCACCCCCAGGTAGACCGGACCCCGAACGCTTCGCTCTGTGTCCCGCGCTTAGCGGCCTGTACAGGTAAGACACTAGGGTTTCGACTCGACCTCAAGGCAGAAACTCGGTAGAATCGATGCCATAAGGGGCTAGCAAGGGCACCCACGTACCAAGGGCAGCCGAAACGTTGCATAATAAGGGCTTGGTAGCACCAAATGGCGTCGCTGCACCGACTCATCATCCTCACGCTGCTGGGCGCGGCCCGCGCGCCGCCACCTGGCTCTTCCGATGATAGTGGCGACGCCTGCGCCGCGGACGGCTCGTCCGCAACCTACGCGGAAACGATCTCGACGGCCCAGGGCGTCACGAAGCGGACGATCGTCTCCGCGGGCTGCCCGAACCACGAGTCCTACTGCACGGGCAAGCCTGCCAACAAGCCGACCTGCGATGAAGAGGGCCTGAAGGGCTCTGGCACCGAGGCCACGGACCAGGACCTCAACGTCGACGTCCCCGCGAACCCGAAGCTCCTGGACGCCGACGACTGGGCCGCCGTGCTCGCCGACGCGGCCACGGTCCCTGCCGCCGGCGCCACCGAGACGGCGACCACCAGCTCGCTCGACTGCGAGATGGGCGGCATCGCCTACGCGCTCAACGGCGTGGTCTTCTACTCCGGCGCCGTGGGCAACAAGAATCTGGACCCGCCGTGCCCCCAGCTCGACATCTACGACGACACGGCCGAGTGGATCTCGTTCGACTGCTGCTCCGGGCACAGCTCGGGCACCGGCGGCTACCACTACCACTTTCCGCCGTCGTGCCTGATTGCCCAAGCCAACGCTGACGCGCCCATCAGTGACGGTCATAGTTCACAGATCGGCTGGGCGCAAGACGGCTTCCCGATTTACGGCCCGCTTGGACCCGGCGGCGTCGAAATTCGCAACTGCGGCGCCTCGGGCGCGCATGCGACCTACTGCCAGGACAAGTGCGGCGGCTACGAGGGCGAGCTCCCGGACGTCGACAACTACAAGTATCGCTACTACATCACCGGCAAAGTCAACGACCTGAACTCGCTGCCGTCCTACCCCAAGCCCGACGATCTGGATCTCTACTTCCCGTTCACGATCCGCTGCCACCGCGGCGTCACCCTAAGCTCGGCGAGCGACTTCAAGAACTACGCGGGCAGCGACGGCTTCACGAGCGACCATACCGCTACAGCGCACCCGGGTTACACGACTCCTCTCCCGGTCCAGTGCCTCGACGGCAAGGGCCTCGACGACTACGACGTCTTCGCAAGCGCGCCGGCGCCCACGCTTCGGCCGACGCCGGCACCTGTCGAGCCCACGCTTCGGCCGACGCCGGCACCCGTCGAGGACACGCCGGCACCCGTCGAGCCCACGCCTCGGCCGACTCTGATGCCGACGCCCACAAAACAACCTACTCAGCCCACGGCGCCGGTGCCGACGCCCCGGCCGACGCCGATCCCGACGCCGCGGCCGACAGTCGCGCCCACCACGCCGCGGCCGACCGTCGCGCCTTCTTTCTCGCCGACAGCGGCGCCGGTCGTTACCGGCGACATCACGTTCTCCGGCCTGACGGTCGCCGAGGCGGAGGAGAGCAAGGATGTCTTCCGCGAGGCGATCGCGTTAACGGCGGGCGTCGACGAGTCGTCGGTGACGGTGACGATCACCGCGGCCAGGCGTCGTCGCCTCGCGGACGGCGTTATAGTTACGTACACTATCGCCACCGCCTCCACGTCCGACGCCACCACGATCGTTAACACGCTCACGGCGTCGGAGTCGGAGTGCGAGTCAAATCTCGCGACCGCCGCGGCGAATAACGGCAAAACCGATGTCTTTGCTGATGTCGTGCTCACGGACATGGGCACGCCGGTCGCCGCCGCCGCGACCGCCGACGCCGCCGACGCCGACGAGGACGAGAACGAAGACGCCGCGCTCGGGTCCGACGCGGCGGCGCCGCGCCGATTCGTGGCGGCCAGCGCCTCCGCGGCGCTTTTGGCGGCGGTCCTTGCCTGATATAGTATTCATTTTTATTTACTCCGGCGGCGACCGCGCGCTCGACGACGCGTCCGTCGACGCCGACGCCGACCGGTCGAAGGACACCCTCCCGTTCCGGCCGGGCGGCGACGGCGACGGCGAGGCGTCGGCACCTGCGAAGTAGGACGACATCGAGGGCGTCTGTGCGTTCTGGACCGTCGCCGGCGGGTCGTCGCCCATACTCTGCGCCGTCAGCAGCGTCGCGTGGTACCGTTTCAAGTCTTCGGCGACGTCCGCCGGCGACGCGGCGGACCGCAGCGCGCTCTCGTAGCGCTGCTTGAGTAACGACGGCGTGGCCACCGCCCACTTCACCGGGTCGGCGACGCGCTGCGCCGCGCGGGGCGCCGGCGGCGCGTTCAGCTGCTTCAGATCTTGAGGCGACGCGACGTAGGCGCGCACGTGTAACGCGCCTCCTCTGATTTTGCCCGCCGCGGCGGCCGAGCCCCGCTTCAGGGGCAGCCACTTGAGCTCACCAAGGTCGGCCATGTGCGCGCCGCCGGCCGCGAGGACGTCGTCGCCGCCGCCATAGAGCACGAAGAACTGGACCACGGCCTTCGACGGGTCGATTTTTCGGGGCACTTCCACGTAGCAGATCTGGTCGCCAAAATCCAATGAGTCATACCTGACCTTCGTCCGAAAATGGGCTTCCCCACCCTCGGCCCAGGCCACCCTACCGGCGACGCGGTACTGTCTTCGCAAGCTACCTCGCATGATCGACTTGCGCAGCTCCGGCAAGTTCCGGGCCGCACTCACAAGTACTGCGAGAGGCGGCCGTCGGAACCGCTCGGGCTTCGTTTTTACGGACTTCACCTTCGGCCGCCCGAGCGCCCACGGCTGCGCAATCGCGCGCCGGCCCTGGCGCGCCGGACGTTGGGGCGACGTCGGAGGCTTTCTGACAGAAGAAAACGACCGCTTCGCGGCCATGGCCCGCTCGCGCGTCGCGCCCGGCGTCTTCGCCGCGGCCTTCTTCGCGATGCCCTCGCGCACCCGGTCGACGTGGCGCTGCGCCGAGTGCGCGGATCGTAAAGTAGGCGCCTTCTGGGCGTCGAGTTTCTGGGAAGGTTCCTCGGAAAGAGCAGGTAATGGGTCCGCGCGCGCGACGGGCGCTCCAGCAAAGTTGTGCGGGTCCGTCAGCACGCGCAGCGACGTCCGAATCTCGGCACAGCGCCGCGCCTCCTCGTCGAGGGCGGCGAGCTCCGCTTCCGGCGGGGCCGGCTTCCGTGCGGGCCGCTGTTTCTTCGCGCTCGTCGGGTTGGCCGCGGGTCTCTGCGTTTGGATCGGCGTCTGCGTCTCGACGGTGACCATGGTCCGCGTCGCCGCTATCGATAGCGTCGCCTCGTCCTCGATGATTGGGTCGGGCGCCCGCGCCGGCTCCGTCGCCTCGTCGACGGTTGGTGGCGGTGGGTCGGGCGCGCGCGCCTCCTCCTCGACATTGAGCGTCGCCGGCGAGGGCAGCGACGACACGAAGGGCTGCTCCGGGAGCACCGGTTGGTGCCGCGCCGGCCGCGGCGGCGACGCGGGTGCCATCGCGGTTTTGCGCGTTGAGACGGGCGACGCCGGGTTCGGCACCGCGGCCACGAACGCCGCGAGCTTCGACGGGCTTGATGGAGGCGGCGGCGGCGGCGCCGCGACGCGGGGCTCCGGCGGCGTGGCGAAGGCCTTCGACGGCGTCGTCGTCGGCGAGCCCGGGTTCGGCGTCGCCGCGACGAAGGCCGCGAGCTTCGAGGACGACCGCGCCGGCGGCGGCCGCGGAATTGTGGGAGACGCCGGCACGGCCTCGAGGAAGGCGGCGAGCTTGGACTGGGGCGACGGGCTCGGCGGCGCGGGCGGCGGCGGCGGGGGCGCGGGCGCGGGCTCCGGCGCGGCGGCGCGCGTCCCGATCCAGTGGTCGTCGGGGCGGATCGGCGAGGCCGGCGCGGCGGCGCGCGCCGGTACCGGCGCCGGCGCCGGCGGTGCCGGTGCTGGTGCCGGCGCCGGCGCGGGCGGCGCGGCGGGCGCCGGCGGTGCCACTACCGGTACCGCCGTGGGGGCCGGTGGCGCGACGGGCACCGGCTTCTGCGCAGCGGGCGGCGGCGGTGGCGCGGGAGCCGGCACAGCGGCGGGCGCCGGCTCTGGCGCGGCCGCGGCCGCCGCGAAGCGATCCACCGCCAGCAGGAACGACTGGAACTCACGCTCGTCGAGCGCGCCGCGCTGGTGCCGGTCCGCCTCGGCCCACGCATGTTCAAATTCGTGCTGGTGGCAGGCCTCTGCGTACGTGCTGCCCTCGACGAATTCGAGCACCGCCGCGCCGGAGATGAGCCCCCCCTCGCCGAAGCGGAGGAAGGCGTCGCGCGCCGCGGCCCGGACGATGCGCTGCTGATTCTCTCCCATGGCGCGGGCAGCCCGTCAGAAGGTGCGGGCCGGTCGTCGCAGCCGTTTTGGTGTTACAATACCGACTCGCCAAAACCGCTGGCGCGAGGCGGGCTCCGATCTACCCGATAACAGCGTGATCATGAAAAGTGGTTTTCCTAGTGTCTTACAAGCCGCTAGCCGCGCGCATCTGCGATGTGATGTCTCTTGAAACTTACAAAATGCCGCCCCTCTACCGGTTCGTCCGGTACTTGATGCTGTTGACCGTGAGCGAGTCGACCGCGTCCCGTGCCGCGCCCGCGAGGCGGCCGGCTTCGGAGCAGTCGCCCGCGGCCGCCGCCTCCTGGGCCAGACCGGAGAGCCGCTCGGCTTCCCCGCAGAGGCCCACGAGCTCGTCGATCTTCCCCTGTAAGCAGTTCGTCGTCCGGACTTGATATCCGAGCGTCTCCTCCGCCTCCGCGGCGTCCTCCAAGGCCTCTCCTTTCTCCTTCTTGACCTCCAAAAGTGCGGACCGTTGCTGCTCGTCGACGAGCTCGCGCAGCGCGTCGCGCTTCCGCTTCGGCGGCGGCGCGTCGTCGTCGTCCCCGCACAAATCGACGGTGCCGTCGCTGTCGCGGCGCCTCTTGAGCTCGTCGCGCTCCCGCCGCAGCGCCTCGGCCGCGTCGTCGCTCTCCCGCAGCTTGGCTGCCATTCCTCCAATCGCGGCTGCGCTCTCGCGCTCCGCGGCCGCGACGTCGTCTTTGCGGCGGCGGTCGGCTTCCGCGAGGTCCTCCCGCAGGCGGCGCTCGGCGGCGCGCGCGTCCTCGGCGTCGGCGTGCGCGTCTTCGGCCGCCGCGCGCAACCGCTCGTTCTCGGCGCGGACGTCGTCGCCATCGACCATCAGCGCGACGTCGATGGACGCCACGAGTCGAACTGCAGACAGCTCGTGCTCCGACGAGAGGCGCCGCTTGATGAGCTCGAGGAGCCGCCGGCCGCCGCCGTCCGCGTCCTCCACCAGCTCCGGCTCGTCCTCCGCCCAGGGCACGCCGGGGCCGACGCTGCTCTGTCGCGGCGCCGGTCGCGCCGCGACGGCGGCGATCTCGAGGACGTGGCGCGTCAGGGCCCGGCGGCCCGCTTGCGTCGCGGCGAGGTCCAGCAGGAGCTCGAAGGCCACGACGTGCGAGCTCCGCTCGAGGCGCCCGTAGAGCGAGTCGTGCGGCTCGCGCGAGGGCTCCGTAAAGCGCTGGCGCGTCGCCAGCATGCGGATCAGGTAGGGCGTCGCGAGCGTCGCGTCGAGGCTGTCGATGCTCGCGAGCGCGCTGACGTAGGCGTGGCGTTGGAAGACGTGCCGGTCCTCCGACTCCGCGAGCGCGCGCTCGAGTTCCGCGACGACGGCCGGGCCGCTGCGGAGCTTCGTGCCGTCGTTCGGCTTTGGGATCGGTTTAATGCTCGGCGCCTTCCGCTCGAGCTCGACCTTGCGGCGGCGGCGTTCGTCCGTGGGATCGAACAGCTTCGGCGGCCTTGGCGCCACCGACGGCCGCCGCGATCCGCATGACGACATGCTTGAGAACCGACCGCGCGACACGACGTTCGTGATGCCGTGAGTGCGGGCGGAGGGCGTGGCTATGTTCATGGTGCGGCGGACTGAGGCTGCAGCCAGAATGTTCACCAGGCGCAGCGCGCGGGTCAATCGGGGCGCTCGTTCGAGCAGGACAGCTTGCAGCGTGCCTCTCACAGCTATGCCGCTGTGGTTCGGCTGGGGGTGAGCTGATATCTGCGGAGGAACGACGCCGAGGACCGTCCTTGCCAATAATCCTTAGCGGCATGTAAGACACTAGCAAACTCCTGCGCTTCTAAGCCCGACACCACCCCGGAGTCATCGAAGGGCGGCTACGGCACTCATCTCCGCCACCCGACGCCACTAGCTAGCACTGGCATCTCCCTGCCAGAGAGAGCGCTGTAAAAACAGTAGCCCAGGGACCACCTCCGCCCAACCCAGTTTGCCGTGTGTCGTGCACGGTCTCGGCTGACCGCGTTCGCACCGCCTCGGAGCCAGGGAGCCCAACGAGAGGCTGCCCAGACAAGTCCATAGGAATCTGCCCCAGCCCTGGGCAGGGAGCAAGGCCAGGGAGCAAGACCACGAACAATGCCCATGGTAGCCAAGCCCCTCTCTTTACAAGGAGTCAACATCCCCGACCCGCGCAAGACCTACACGCTCGCGGAGGCCGTCGAGGCCGCCGTCGCGCGAGAAAAAGCGCTCAAGCAGCGGCGCGAAATGACCATCAGCGTCCCCACGGCGGTGACGACGACGGCGCCGCGCGTGCCCGGTCCCCGCCCGGAGCCCGTGCCGCGCAGCCGCGTGCCGCGGGATTTGCATTCCGCGCAGTCCCTGAAGCGGACCGATGTCTTGGCGGGCACGGTGGACTGCCTACCTCTACGGCGCGCGGCGCGGGGCGACGCGTTCCGCCGGCCCGAGGGTCTGGGGGTGACCCAGCGCCAGCTGTCGACGACGCACGCGGACGCCCCGGGCGGGCTCCAGCGCTGTTCGGCCATCTTGCGGCAGATCGGGGGTCTCTCCGCGTCGCCCCCGAGACGGCGGAAATCCACTTCTGAGAGAGACGGCCTCCGCCACACGTGGGCCCGCGACCCCCAATCGAGGCGCCTCGATCCGGGCCTCGTGCTTCTGCAGACCGCGCTCCGTAGAAAAGCGCCCCAGTCCAAAAACCTCGAGGAGCGGCTCCTCGCCGAGGGCCACCGGCGCCTGAACGCGGCGCCGTCGTGGACGCCCGCGCCGCCTCAAACAATCCGGCCACCTCAACGCTGGCAGGGCGCCGCGCGGCCGCTCGGGATCACGTTCGGCCAATAAATAGATACTTTTATAACGTGGGAAACTCGTTCTCGTAGGACCGCGGCTTGCCCTTTGTTCGCCCGCGGCCGCGGCCGCGCGCCCGCCGCCCGCGCCCCCTTCCACTATTCTTGGGCGGCGCCGGCGCCGGCGCCGCGACGCTCGCCGAGAAGTCGCCGAGCGTCATGAGGCCGTGCGGGTTGCCCCCCGCCTCGGGCGGCGCCAGCGCCGGCGCCGCTGTCGATGAAGACGCCGCGCGGAACTGGGGCGGCGGCGGCGGCGGCCGGAACTGCGGCTCCTGTACGACGGGTGGCGGCGCCGGCGTGTACGGCGCGAAGCCCGCGCCGCCGCCGAAGGCCCGCGCGCCGTAGTCCTCGGGCATTTGCGGCGGCGGCTGGAAGCCGTAGCCGCCAAACGCAATATTTTGGGGCGGCGGCCCCCGCGCGATCTGTTGAGGCGGCGGGTAGGCGTAGGCGTCGGGCTGCGCGCCGTACTGCGGCGGCGGCGGCTGCGCGCCGTACTGCGGCGGCGGCCGCGCGTAGTACTCCTCCCTTGTCGACGCGTAGCCGGGCCGGCCGTCATAGACCCCGTAGCCGTCGCCAACACTCGTGGGTTGGTTGTTCCGTCGGTAGTCCGGATCGCCGTCGTCCTCCGTCACCCTACGGTGAGACGGCCGTCGCTGCTGGCGCGGTTGAGGACCCCTCCGAGCGTTCTCGCGCGTCCGCTCCCGAGCCTTCGGATCGAAGCCGGCCCCGGACGGGCCGCGCGCCACATCGGGATCAGGACCGGGCGCCGGCGCCGGTGCTGCCGCGCGAAGATCTTCCGAGGACGGCGTCCTCGCGGCCGCCGACAAAGCAGCAGAAGCCCAGTCCGCGCCACCCTTCTTTTTTGACACGGGCGCCGGCGCGGCGGCCTCCTCGGCGAAGATGCGCGCGCGCGCCGCCGCGTAGGCCTGCTCCCGTTCGGCGTCCGTTTGCGTCGGGCTTCTCCGTTGCGGTTTCGTGGGCAGCTCGCCCTTGCTCGAGACGCGCTTCAAGATCTTCGGCGCGCCGGCCTTCCGCTCGCGCTTCTCGGCCTTGTCCGTGTTCCTCCTTTGATCCGCGAACCAGTCGTCGTCGTCGTTGTTCGCGGCGGCCGGCGCGGGCGCGTCGTCCTTCAGGGAGACGGCCGCGAGCGGCGCCGCCGGCACGGCGTCCTCCCAGGAGTCGGTCATTTATGCTTGGTTGCGCCGGAGTGCGGCTCGCGTATTGCTGGCTGGAGGTGCTGCTTGCAGCTTGCCGCAGGGGTGGCGGGCGGGCCTGAGAGGTCGGTGCGCGACAACTGCTGCTCCGAGCGTCACGAATCGATGCGCTATTGCAGCACTGCGTAACGGATGCACCACCCGAGCGTGAATTTGCCGGCCCTGTCTCGCTTGTTTTTGCTTCGGCTTGGCTCCAGTCCCGTGCGATACCTCAAGGCAGCGGTATGCACGCATCGGCATGGATCTCTCTGGGCCGCTGGCGTTCGTGAGCGAAAAAATCGGGTTTGCATTTTGGACAGTTTGCCAGAGTTTGGGCGCGCCGCGGTGCAGCACCGCGACGAGCCCGAGCCCAAAGCGATCAAGGTCGCGCACGGCAGCCAAAGCACCGACCGCGCGCAGTCGCTGCGCAACGAACGGAGGCAGCCCAGCGCCATGGCCGCCTACTTTGGCAGGGTCGAGGAGCGCCGACTAGCCGAGTTGGGGAACCAACTCATCCACAAGCTCGAAGGGAGAGGTGGGCCGTTAGCCGTTACGATCGGAAGATTTCTGCGGAATCATGCCGACGGCCAGGATGAACTGAAAAACGAGAGGCTCGTGAAGGCCCTCCAGGGCCAGCTGCCCGGCGTACCCGACAAGGAGCTCGAGGCCTTGGCGGACCGGTTTGATAACGATGGATCCGGTTCTGTGTCGATCAAGGAGATGCAAGGAGCGCTGAACGCGTTGTCGCGCGGCGAGGCTTTACCCGAGGCGCGGACGGACCCCACACCTCAGATCATCGTAGACTCAACAGAGGACGAGGAGGACTGGCTCGGTGCTTCGAGAGATCAGGTCACGGAGATGCGCCGTTCTCGGGATCTCGTGTCGTCGCCCAAGAGTCCGCTCTATTCGCCCGGAACGCGGGCGCCGCCGGGACCGGAGGGTTTTGATGCTCGCTTGGACAACTTCCTCGCGAAGCTATCTGGACGCGTCGCGGCTTTGGCTACCGAGGCCCATGCGAGATTGCCTCCGCAACAAAGGTTGCCGGCGCGAGCCGAGGCGTTGTTGCGAGCACTTGGTCAAAGGAAACTACGAGAGGCCATGGAGCAGCACCGCCAATCGGATCAACATAAATTAACACCAACACAATTGTATGACGCTCTGGCCGTCTTCCGCACGCCCGGCCAGGATCTGCTCCACGATCGCGACGCGAGACGACTGTGGGACTTGTGTAATGGCGGCGACCCCGAGGTGTTTTTGAAATTATTCCGGGAGCATGAACGCGCCGGCCAGGAGGGCCGGTCGCTAAAACAAGGCAAGAAGAAGTCAAAATGGCAGGCGACGCAAGGCGGCGGCGCGGGGCCGTCGCTCCCGCGCGGCAAGGCCAAACAACGGAACCTGGCCGACGCCAAGACCTATCCGCACGCGGGCGACATCAACGAGGCCGCGGCTTGTGCGGAAGCGCTGCGACTAAGGTACAAGACGTCGCGGACTTTAGTTCAACCTCCCATTGGGTGGCGGAAGCCCGAGCTCACGCGAGCCGTCAAGAAGTCGGCGCAACCCCCCAAAAAAGGCTTGGAGCTGGACCGATGCTTTGGATTCACGGCCGACGCCCCGGGACCGAATCTGTGTCTGTGCAAGCCGCGCGGCAAACCCAGCATAGTCTACTTATCAGCGGCGTGTGCCGTGGTCCAAGATTTAGGAAGCGAGAAGACTCAAAAGGTCTTTCGGGGCCACACGGACGACGCGACGTGCGTCTGCACCGATAAAACGGGCACGCTCGGCGCGACGGGGCAATGTGCCTCGACGGACATGTCGCCGTACGTCTGTGTCTGGGACGTGAGCACGTGCCATGAACTCAGAAGATTTGGTGGCGACGGTTCCATTAGTAGGATGGCCTGTGCGATCGCTTTTTTCGACGACGCCTCTCATGTCGCTGTGGTGGGTGGTGATGACAGACATACGTTACGCGTGTATGAACTCAATCCACCAGCACATAAAACAGGAGACGACGCCGTCATCGTCGCGCCGTGCAAGGCCGGCGTCGAGCCGCCAGCCGTCACGGGGTTGTATGCGGCGCCCCATGACAGCGCCCATCGCTTCGGCAACGACCACGTCATCGTTTCTGTCGGCAAGGGGCATTTAGCGTTCTGGATGATCGACCTGCCTCGGGGTGACGGCAAGTACGAGTTCTCGAAGCGATTACCTACCTACCGACCGCACAAAGCTCCGGCTGCCACGCATTGCGTCGCCTTCGTGCCTCTGGACGATGCTGTTTGTACGGGCGTGTCTGACGGCCGAGTGTTTGTGTGGCGCGACTTCAAGATCGCCCACGCGTTCCAAGCGCACCAAGAAGCTAAGCCTTGTAGAGCCCTGGTGCACGCGAGGGGCCACCTCTTCACGGGCGGCGGCGACGGCCTCGTGAAGCGGTGGCGCTTAGACAAGGGAAGGTATGAAATGTGCAACGAGTTCCGACCGGTAAGCCCGCACGACGTCGGCAAGAGGTCGGGCGCCATGAGGGATGTGGAGAACGCCTTCCCCACGTCATCGACAGCGGCGAACATCGGCAGCAACGGGTTGGTGAGGAAGCCGCCCGTCCGGAAGCAGCACAAGCAGCACGAGATGCTGTCAGGCTTTGAATCGCAGCGCGCCTCGGGTTTTACTGGAGTAGTAGATCTACTACTACACCCCCAAGACGACAACCATGTTGTTGTCGGTACGGGCTTCGCCCAGGTGTTAGTGGTCGACCTGCCCGACGGCAGGGGCAAGAAGCCGAAGTCGGAGCTCCACGTCGCCGGCCACCACAACTCGGTCCAGGGCATCGCCATGCACAATAAGGAACCCATCTTCGCTACTGTGGGGCTGGACTGTTTGCTCATCCTGTGGGACGCGACGAAGCCGATTCCGCTGCAGGTCAAGACCCTGCGCGAGGGTGCTACCGCTGTGGCTATCAGGGGACCTCGGAAGCATCTACACCACCACCACCATTCACATGCGCCTTTGGAAGAACATGTGGCCGTGGGCTACAACGATGGCGAGGTCGAGATCTTCGCCTTTCCTTCTCTCGAAAAACGATGTTCCCCGGGAAAACGGTGCGACGACGAAGCGATCTCCTGTGCCAAATACTCCCCGTCCGGTCGCGTACTAGCCATCGGTTCGCATGACAACGCCATATATTTGATGGACGCCTCGGCCAATTATCGGGTCAAGAAGAAGCTGCACGGACACAGTTCATACGTGAAAAATATCGACTGGTCCTTCGACTCGGACTTGTTGCAGACCTCTTGTGGAGCGTATGAAATCATGTACTGGAGCGTCGCTGAGGGGAAGAGGTACCGAGGAGCGCAAGACAGTGTCGAATCTGATACAAGGTGGCAGGACTGGTCGCTTACGCTCGGATTCCCGGTCATGGGCATTAATGCTGATGGTTCAGATGGTACTGATGTGAATGCGGTCTGCCGGTCGAGGGATGAAGGGCTAGTGATCGTGGCCGACGATTCTGGTCACGTGCGGCTCTTCAACGCGCCCGTGGCGTGTCGGTTCGCGGCGCACCGCGCCTATTTAGGCCACTCGTCGCATTGCCTGGGCGTTGGATTTCTGGCCTCGCAGACCATGGCGGCGTCGTGCGGCGGCCGCGACGCGGCTGTCCTCTTGTGGAAGGTCATTGATGGCGGAGATGAGGAGGTGGACGGCGAGTACATCGAGCGGCCGCCGGCGGCGCGACCGGCGTGGCACGAGGGCTGCGATATTACCTCTACTACGGACATCCTGCGGCGGGCGCGGCCGCTGGCCTGAGGTCGTTTTGCCTAAGGTTCATTCGCCTCCATGAAGTACCGCGCGTCGGCCCCTTCCCACGTGCAACGTTCGCCCGTGTGGAGTCGACAATCCTAGTACAATCCTAGTACACTGCTGCCACTGATGTGGCTGCTCCCAATTCGAGCGGCGAGGGATATTTGGAACGCGTGCAATGCGCTCCCCGCAGTAATGGGCGATGCACCGTAGCGACAGCTGCAACCATGCACCGTAGCGACAGCTGCAACCTCCTGCAGCATGCTTTCCGGCTGCCCCGCGCCCTCAAGGGTTTGAAAAAACGATCGCTGCCCGGGGGCAGCTGCTTTCTTCCCATGGGACGTTGGACGGCCGGGGCTGCCGTCGCCGCCTGCGTCCTGGCGGGCTGCCGCGGCGGTCCGCTCGAGGCGGAGCGGCTCCACGCCTGGGTGACGGCGTCGTGGACTTCCGGCCGCGGCGTCGTTTCGAACAATGAACTGCCGGCGGCCGGAGCCGTCGCCGTCGAGTTCGTGCCCGCGCCGAAGCCGCTCGCCAAGGAACTTTTTGATGCGGACCGGCCCGCCATGCCCGAGCGCATCCGGACGGTTTTATATAGGGACTGGGAGCGCCGCGATCCTGGAGCAACGGAGGCGATCCGACGGATACGCAGCAAGCCGGCCTTCGTCGAGTTTCCGCATGCCAGAGATACCTTCGCGAACCACCTCGAGTCGACCTACGCTATATTACAAGCCTGGGACCAGCCTCCTCGAGTGTGCCGCACTGGATTAGTCCACACGGCCTACTCCGGTGATTTGTTTTCGTTTTTTGCCTTCGACGCCGCCTTGTCGTCCGAGCGTTCGAGGCTCGCGGCGCTGATCGGCGAGGAAGCGGAGCCGCTCGTGCATCTGTTTGGCACGGTGGCGAGACACGAGTTCGTCGGGCTAGGTAGGATGATGGCCAACCGGACGATCGATGCCGAGGATTTGGCGGGTCCCGTCCTGGCGCGGTCGCGCCTCGGCCCCGACGTCGAGCTAGACGCGACGGTCGTCGCCGAACTCATCGTAATCACGCTCGCGGACTATCTGGACCAGACGCTGGAGGTGAACGGCTGGCGCGACCACCACATGGTCGACCCGCTGGACACGCCACTCTTCCCGGGCGCCGGGCGGCCCGAGGTCTGCCTGTTCTGGATGGCCGCGGCGTGTCGCGCCGTGAAGGATTTCTTGGAAGTCGTGCCGCCCATTTTTGATTCGTGCACGGCGACGCTGACGTCTCGGGACGAGGAACGCGCGAGGGACCTGTACTGGGCCGTCGTGCAGAACCGCACCGAGCTGAGCGACGCACAAGCAGGCGCCATGCTTACCGAGGCCGCGGCCCTGAACCCCCACATCGGCGAGGTCGACGCGTTGGCCGCGCAGCTGCACTTCCGCAACCAGCGGTTCCGCAAAGCGAAGCGGCTCGCGGCGAGCGCGTTGCGCAAGCTCTACGCCATGGGCGCGACCTGGGACAAGCGCCTGTCCTACGAAGCGTGGGTCGGCTTCTGTCGATTATTGGTGGTGCGGTCCGAGGCCGGGGGCGGCCTCCCGCGCGCGCCCGGCGCCCACAACGTCAACGACCTCGGCGCGCGCCTCGTGCCCATCGACATGGCCGTGGAGCTCATGCCGTGATGAAATTCCCCTCCTCTCTCGCTTATCTCTCCCTGACCGCGCTCCGTCGGGTCGCGTGCAAACGCGGACTCGCATGGCGCCCCGGCCGATCGACATCGGAAGACACATACTCCTTTTTTTGAACATCGCATCGTGTAGCATCGTAACATCGAAACCACCCGAGACACTAGCTCAACGTAAACCCGCCGTCCTCCACTGCCGCAGCTAGCGGCTGTAAGACACTAGAAAGCTCCAGGGAGCGGCGCAAGCGGCGCGCGTCGAGCGGTTGCGTGCTTAATTCGCAGCGTGTGGCACTTGCTAGCCGCGCTGCCGCGCTGCAACCACTGTCATCGCTGCGGCCTCCGCTGTGCCCCGCAACGTAACCACCACTCACTGCCAAGCAGCACTCACTGGCCAGCAGTCGCCGCACGCCGCCGCCGCGCGCCCGCCAGCCCCATGGCGGAGTCCAAGAAGGGCGACGTCGCGAGCCGCGCCAAGCAGCGCTTCCGCGAATTACAAAAGAGGAACGAGGACGACGAGGAGGAGGTTGGTATACGGGACTTCTCGTCCTTACCCCTCAAGGCGGACCACGCGCAACGACCGTTGTGGGTCTGTCCCGACGGCGCCGTCTTCTTAGAAGCCTCGTCGTCACTATACGCGGCCGCCTACGACTTCTTGGTTGCTGTCGCAGAACCGGTGGCGCGACCGGAGCACGTCCACCAGTACAAGCTCACTCCACATAGCCTGTACGCCGCGGTAGCTGTAGGAATAACCCCAGCGAGCATCTGTGACGTACTCGATAAGCTCTCGAAGGTGAAGCTACCAGAAGACGTAAAAAAGTACATCCTGCAGTGCACGAAAAATTTCGGCCGGGCCAAATTAGTGCTGAGGGACAACCGCCACCACGTGGAAAGCGGCGACGCGGCGGCGTTGCGAGAACTGTTAGCACATAGACCCATCCGGAATTGTAGGGATGAGCTCCCGGAGGACGGCGATAGATTCGAGGTCGGCACGGCCCAGCAGGAGATCCAGGCGAATCGAGCTTATCTCGACATTGACATCGACGGGGATAGTTCCGAGGAAGAAGAAAAAGTTTCCGAGAATATCAATGCGCTGCGGACGTATTCGTTCCGGTTGAAGCAGGGGACCGCGCAAGACGTGAAGAAGTACGCGTCCCAAGACTTGGACTTTCCCCTGGCCGAGGAGTATGATTTCCGGAGAGATCCTTCTACGGCTACATTGCCCATTGATCTACGGCCTTCCACAAAAATCCGAAATTACCAAGAGAAGTCTCTGTCAAAAATGTTCGGCAACGGTCGCGCTCGTTCAGGGATCATCGTCCTGCCTTGTGGGGCTGGTAAAACGTTAACAGCGATCGTGGCAGCTTCTACGGTGAAACGATCCGTCTTAGTACTATGTACGAACGCCACGGCAGTATCACAATGGAAGGCCCAATTTGCTCTTTGGACCACCCTACCGGCATCTAGGGTCTCGCTCTTCACGGCAGAAGTCAAAGAGGACCTGCACCCGGAGTGCGGCGTTTTAATAACGACCTACCACATGGTCACGTTCTCCGGGAAGCGATCGGTGCGGGGTGAGGAGTTGATCAAGCAGGTGCGCGAGCGCGAGTGGGGCCTCATGTTACTAGATGAAGTGCATGTAGTACCCGCCCAGATGTTCCGCAAAGTGTTATCGTCCTGCAACGCCCACTGCAAACTAGGACTAACGGCGACGCTCGTCCGAGAAGACGACCTCATCACGGACCTGAATTTTTTAATTGGCCCCAAGCTCTACGAGGCGAACTGGATGGACCTGACGCATGCGGGGCACCTCGCGAACGTCCAGTGCGTCGAAGTCTGGTGTCCCATGACTGCTGCGTTTTATCGCGAGTATCTGAGACATGGCGGGGCGGGCCTAGGGAACAAGGAGAGCGGTATTGTTGTAAGTGGCGCGGGGCGGACGCGGCGGTTGCTGTACGTGCTGAACCCGACGAAGTTCAGAGCCTGCGAGTACCTTGTCCATTTCCACGAGAAACGGGGCGACAAGGTCATTGTTTTTTCGGACGACGTCTTTGCTTTATTAGCTTATGCGCGAGCGCTGGAGCGACCGGCCATCTACGGTGCCACGAAAGAGTCCGAGAGGCAGGCTGTCCTTGGTTCTTTCAGATTTAACCCCTTGGTCAATACGGTATGCCTGTCGAAAGTCGGGGACGTCGCTATCGACTTACCAGAAGCGAATGTGATTGTGCAAGTGTCGTCGCACTTCGGTTCTAGACGCCAGGAGGCCCAGCGGCTAGGCCGTATCTTGCGGCCGAAGGCGTCGGCCGAAGGTGGTGGATTTAACGCCTTCTTCTACACTCTCGTAAGTACGGACACGACGGAGATGTTCTACTCCACGAAACGCCAACAATACTTGGTGGACCAGGGCTACACGTTCAAGGTCGTGACGGACCTGCCGCAGCCGACGCTGTCGGCCCTCGCGTCAGAACAAGATGAAATTGATTTATTGAATCAGGTCCTGAACGCCGACGCTCTGAAGGAAGAAGCGGAAGAGGAGAAGGCGTTGGCGAAAGCTGCCAAGGACGACATCGCGCCGCGGCGGACGCAAGTCTCGCTCGCGTCGATGGCGGGGGGCGACGGCGTGCGCTACCTCGAGTACGGGTCTACCGACGCGCCGAAGCAAAAGCCGAAGCGGCACAAGCTGTTTCGCGGGAGGAAGTAAATTGTATTGGTAAGCTTACGCATCTCTTCTTGCCTTCATCACGGCGACCGCGTCGCGGAGGGCATTCACACGTGCATTCACGTCGCCTTCGAGCTTGGCTTCGCGGACGCGCAGTAGTGCCTGCGCCTCTTGCAGGGATTCCTCGTGTCCCGTTGTGCTCGGGTGTGAGGCGCCAAAAACGCGCCGCGAAATCCGTGTGGTGTCCTCGAGCGTCGTCACGGCCTCGCGGAGATCCTCGAGCGTGGCGTCGGGGTCGTTGCAAAGCGACCCCGCGTAAACCTTCTTCAACGTCAGCGTGACTTCATGATTCTCTCCGAGAACACGGCGTGCCACGCGCATCGGTTTGCGCAACAGTGCCTTGGCTTCTTCGAAGCGCTCTAGGCCACAAAGACCCCACGCATAGTTGTTGGCTGTTTGGAGGGTCAATTCATTTTCCTCGCCAAAGAGCTCCAAACGTCTGGAGTATATGTCCTGCCAGGTGCGTAGGCAATCTTCAGGCCGACCATTCCTCTCATACGCGATCGCAAGATTGCCCTGCGACACGAGTATGTCGTCTTCCGGTACACCAAGGCGCTGCAGCGAAGAAAACTCAGCCTCTTGTACGGACACCGCGTCTGCGTGGTGCCCACCGGCCGATAAACCCATCCCGAGGCATCTCATCGCACTCATCCGAGCCATAAACGAGTCCACCTCAGGCCGCCCCACGTACGTCTTCCAGCACGCCCATCCGATCGCGCACCGCACGACGCCGTGGTAGTCTTGTTTGCACAGGCTGCACCTGTGCCACCGCCGCCACCGCTCATAGAGCACTTTCTCTCCCAAATTGTTCTCCTCGGCCTCCGCGAGCAAAATCTTCGCCTGCTCCGCAAGACATGACACGTGCGCGAAGCCTGCCGTCCCGCGGCACGAACACCCGCGCACGAGGCCCTCCTTTGTTTTCCAGTGGAGCGCCTGCGTGCAGATGTAGCACGTCTGGCCCTTTGTGTCTTCCGCGCACTTCTCTGCCGCGACCGCGACGGCCTCCGTGTATTTCGTATTTGCGTTGTACTGCTCGGCGCCGCCTGCTTTTTTTAATTTCTTGCAGAGCTGGTCGTGGCCGCCCTCTTTCCAGTGCTGCACCTGGCACTCGGCGCCGCAGTAGCGCGTGCTGCAGCGGCCGCATTTCTTCCCCAAGGTTAGCCCGAGCTCGGTGGCGCAGACGGCGCACTGCGTGAGGATCATTGCTGTGAGTAGGGCAGCCCGCGGACCTGTTTCGGGTCTCCTTTGACCACCGGCAGTGATTCCTAGTGTCTTTACTTACGCTAGCCTCAAATTTTTGCGCCATCGTCCGCGTGGGCTGCCACAGGCTTAAGCTGCCGCGGCGACCAAGACGTAAGCAGCTATCGCTATTAAGAACTCATCGCTGCCAACGAGCGCTGCGAGAAGCAACGCTGAGACGCTGCACACAGCTGTCCTACACCTGGGCTGCACAAGCAACGCGAGCCATGCGCAACGCCATCCTCTACGCCGGCACAATAGTCGCCGTCGTGCAGATCTTCTATCTGGCACAACTCGCCGCGCAGCACAGCGAGCCGACGATAGACGCGGACGCGGCCATCGCCGAGGCCTTCGAGCGGCGGCCGCTCCACAAAGAGGACTACGCCGCGCCGCCACGACCCGCGTTACACGACGAGCCGGTCGCGGCCCACGCGCAGCCGCACGACTACGCCGCGCGCGACGCATTGCTCGAGAAGCACGAAGCAGTGCCGCATGTCCCAACAACACCAAAGACCGTGCGACGATCAACGTCGCGCGCGGACCGCGTCGAGGCCTTCGTGCGGCACATCCACGCCAAATTCGCGCCGATACGACCACAGGGCTTCGGCGTGCGCAATGACCCGCACAGAGCCTCTGATGGCAAGGTCTGGGAGACGTTTTATGAAGCTGTAGAAAGTAGTCTGAACGGCCCCTACGCCGACCTAGCCTTCGCATCACCCGAAGAAGTCAGGACAGATGGTTCCATCTTCCTCTCGATATCAAGTTTCAGAGACGAGGTCTGCCCCGACACTTTGGAGAACGCCTTCGCGACCGCTTCCACACCAGAGAAGGTCTTCGTGGGCTTGGTGCAGCAGAACTGCGACCAGAAGCAGCACGACGCCTACGGCTGCAAGACGGCGGTGATGCCGAGCGACATGCGCGTCCACGACATGGACGCGGACGTCGATTGCGTGCAGGCGTACTGTGCTCGTAGTAATGCCAAATGTGATACCATAAGAGTGGTACGGTTCAACGAGTCCGAGACGTTCGGACCCGTCTTCGGCCGATATCTAGGTTCACAGTTATGGCAAGGAGAAACCTACTACATGCAAGTAGACGCCCATACGACTTTTGCCAAGGGGTGGGACGACGTGTTGAGGGAGGACTACGCCTTGGCACCGTCCAAGAAAGCTGTTTTTAGTCACTACCCCCCGTCAGGACCGCAGAAGCCGGAGTTACCGAAAAAGGATAGGCACCCCTGGGAGCTAAGTGTGGGCCCGTGCATGTGCGACGCCGAATTTGCGGAGTACGGCATCATACGAGTAGGAGCCATGAGGAAATATCCGATGAAAGAGACTGTGAACAACTGCAAAGCTGGGAGTGAAGGGTGTTTACATATCCCGCGATATGCCCCGTTCATCGGCGCGGGCTTCGTGTTTGCGCACGCTTCGTTTGTGAAAGAGGTGCCCTTCGACCCTTACTTACCTTTTATTTTTATGGGGGAAGAACTGAATTTCGGGGCCCGAGCCTTCACGCACGGATGGGACATTTTCTGTCCTCCCCGAAGTGTGGTGGCCCACGCGTACTTGCGCAAGCAGAAGCCGAAGTTCTGGGGGGCTTTACAGCGGTCGATTGGTGCTGGGACACATAATTCGCTCCAGAAGTTTGTGCTGCCGCGCGTGAAGCACATGGTCGGCTACCCGGAGAACGAGGCTATTTCGTCGCTGGCGGCTTCATCACTGGTGGGGCACCTGGAGACGTACGGCCTCGGGTCGGCGCGGCCCGTGTCGGCTTATAGGGATTATGCGGATTTGGATTTCGCGGCCAAGAGACATGCCTCCGTGAAGTGGTGCGCGAAAGGCGACCGGCCGCCCCCGGAGGTATTAAAGTTATAGTTGTAGTAGTCAGGTTAGTTACACACATCAGACGGACACCGCCGTCGCCGTCATGTTCGCCGGTAAATCAGAAATGCGCTTCAGCAGGTCCTCGACGCGCTCCCGGTTCTTGCCCAAATCGTCAAGGCCGTAGACCGACGCCGAGTGAAGGATCAGCGTGGAAGTGCCGTTGCCCACTTCCAGAAATTGGACGTTGACGACGTCCGGGAAGCGGAACAAGGGCGTCCGCTCGACGTAGACGAATCTAGAAGCGAACGCATCGGAATCTTCCTGCACCGGTTTAGCCCAGAAGTCTCCATTAAAGGGCTGGCGCTTCGCCAAGGCATTCTCGAAGGAAGTTCTAAGCTCTTCGGCGGAGACGGGGTACGTCGGCGCTACAATACGCTTGGCCGTGTCGTTGAAGAGCGGCGCCGCGTCAACTGGCGCCGCGAGGTACTCGTTGGGAGAAGATCGCGGCTCGAGGGCCTCGAAGTCGATGAGCCCGCCGAGGAACGGCAGGATGTCCCTTCCATAGACGGGCGCGCCCATGACCCCAAGGTAGAGCGGGAGCGGGTTCGGCGGCGGTCTGATGAAACGGCGGCGGCGGCGGCGGCAGCGTTTCAGGCCGAAGCGTGGCCGTAATCGTGGCTTGAGGCACGGCTTGAAGAGGATGCCGCTGGCGTGTTCCGTGACGAGGAGGAGCAGGGTGACCAGGCGGGGCATGTGAGCCATTTTTTCTGGTCTTCGCGATGAATTCGCACCGGTAAGGCTCGGAGAGCGTCAGACTGTGAGTGCTGCTACGCAGACGTGTCGTCTTCCCGGTAGCTCACAGGCGTGAGGACGCGGGTCTATAAGAAGCTACTATGCTGCCTTATCGCCACGAACGTGCACGATTGCGGCAATGGCGTGGAAAGGCCGCTTAGCTGGTTTGCGGAGCCAGCGGTCTGTGACACACTAGCAAATGCTAGTGTCTTTCTGCCGCTAGCTAAACTGCGAAATTACGCGTGGCAACCGAATCTGTGCAATCGCTGCATTCATTGAGTATCCAGTGTGCCTTGTACTGGTCTCCGCACCGCTGCTGGGCGCTCCTGTGGTTTTCGGTGCATCACGTAGCGTAGAGAGCCCTGAAATTGCCCTCCAGCAGCACTATACGCTGTCGACGCGGGCGTTTGCGTGCATTTCTTGCGGCATACAACTCGCACGACTACTCATGGCGCCGCGTCTTGCACTGCTACTGCTCCACGCCTCCGCCGCGACGGCACGCGACCTCGACAAGTGCGCCGGCTGTGCCGTCGTCATGCGCAGCCTGCAGAAGGTGCTTTCACTAGAGCACCTCGACGAAGATAAAACGGACATCCTGTCAGGAGGCCGGTTAGATGGCAACGGCAACCGGCAGGGCAAGCTCGTCAAGTACGCCACGAGCGAGTTCCGCACGAGCCACCTATTAGATCAGGTCTGCGACTACGCCGATACATTTATACCAAGGTACGAAGGCGGCTGGGCACCCAACGCCACAAAGCAACAACGCTTCGAAGACGTCGTCCGGGGCAAGGCCAAGCCGTTCCCGAAATTAACGAAGGCGCACAACGAGGAGGAGACGTTGCGGCTGAGACTGCGCTCCTACTGCGATTCCGTCGTCGAGGACCACGAGGACGCGCTTGCTGAGCTGATTGTGGCCGAGGCGCCTCCGGAAAACGCGTTGCAAGCGATCTGCCGCGACGCGACGGCGAGTTGTGATGAGGAGGGCCTCGCGGCGGCCCACATCTCGGAGGCCGCGCCCGAGGCGAAGAAGCGGAGGAAGCGAAAGAAGAAGAAGTCATCAAAAGAGCTCTAATATATACATGTTTATTATCGATACGTCCTCTTCCTTCGTCGCCCGCCCTTCTCGAGGACATAGGTGATGACGTAGCAGACGCGGCCGTATTCCGGCCAATAGACCGGCTCAAACACGGGGTACTCGAGCGGCGGCATAAGGTACTGGCCCTCCTGGATCGCGTACGAGTGTTTGCGGATCTTGTCGCAGACGTGCTTCCAGCGCAGGCCCATCGCCGTCATGACGCATTTGGCCGTCAGCTCGAGGGGCAGATTTTGGAAAACCGCGGCGAGCGGCGCCAATGGCGTTGCGTGGCTGGCGGCATTTGGCCTGGCCAGCGGCGTCGGGGCCGTCCAGGTGGCGAACGCGCGCGCGAATGCGGCGCCGACGGCCTCGCGCGGTGGCGGTGCGGCTGGCGCGTCGCGGCCGGCATTCACGAACGCAGCCATGGGTCGACTTTGGCGTGGCTATAGTTTCCAAGGGTCCCGCGTTGACGTAGCTATAGTTCGCACGAGTCACAGGGCGTCCAGGGGGCAGCTATCGTCGCACGTAGTCAACGTAACCGCTCACGTGACGTATTATTCAAACTGGGAGATGTCTTTGCGTGGAGGGCTCCAATAAATTCGCGGGTTGCCGTGCGCAGGTGCCACAAGCCCAGAGACCACTCTGGCTATGTTTTTTTTATTACTCCTTCGGCTGCTGTGCTGCAGGCAACAAAGAGCGGCATGCACTCAGCATCCCAATAACGAGTAACTGTACCTTCGCAATAGGGGGTCAGGAGCCTGCTCTCGCTCACGCTTTCGCGCTTCGCATTCGTGATTCGGCTTGAACTAACATTACCCGTGTGTGCAGAAATAAGCACCCACCGCAAATAAGCAGAGACCGCAGAGTCGCGCGCGGCGCGTCGATCGTCGGGCGACAGCTCCACGCCATCGAGCAGAAAATACTCCTCGAGACGACCCTTACACCCCCTCCCAACAAAACTAGGCGACCCACCGCAGCGCCAGAGCAGTACCACCTTCGGACCAACCTTGACTCTGTAGACCCGCCGGCGGCAATGGCGGCGGCGGCGGCATTTCTGGTACAGGAGGCGGCGGCGGCGCCCGTTCCAGGGTAGGTGCCCTCCTCGTCCAGACGACCTGGGGCGACGGCGGTACCCTAGCACGAGGAGGAGACAGCGCGGCCAATTTCGACCCGATCCGTCGATTCGCCGCCCGCAACGCATGGCGAGACACCTCCTTCCTATCTTTGGCCTGGCACTTGACGTTCCGCGTCTGCATGTAGCCGCCCCACAAGACACCCCCGGCCGCGGGCTCGACGTTGCCATTGCCGAAGCAGTGGAAGATGGGCTTTTTTGGAGACGCCTTCGGGAGGGGTTCCTCTATACTTTCTTCCGGCTCGAGCATGACGATGGGCTGCTTGACGGTTATTTCCACCGGTTGTTCACTGGTGACGGTCTTCGGGCTGAAGGCAGGTAGAGGTGCATCCGCATATTTCTCGGGGTTTGTGAGTCGTTCCGCGTTCTCGTCGTACTCCCTAGCGGCCTGGCTGTTGCCTACGGGTACTCCCGTGTAGCGCGTCGACGCTCTCGACTCGGTCATCCACTGGCGCTTGGCGGGCCGGCCCCAGGTCAGCGCTTCGCTCATGCAGGAACTCGCGTTCTTGTGCTCCTGGCGCGAGGGCATGGTGCTGTGCGCTGCGGCGGCGTTGCGCTTGATCCGCTGGTGCTGGTAGTTCTTGGGTGGTCCTGTTTGACGCGCTGCGGGGCCTTTTTGACCCGCTGTTGGTGCGGCGCGGCGCGGCGGCGGGCGTGTGGGGACTGCGGCCTCGTGCGTGGGCAGCCTCTCACGCGTGGTGCGGCTAGCGGCGTTGCTTTCGCCTGTGGACTGTTGGGCCAACTGGCAAGTCGACGGGGTCTAGCGCGGCCTCGTTCGCGGGCCGACGCGTCGTCCGGGGCGCGCCGGCGAGGCGGTGGATCGATAGACGGGTCTTGTCTAAAAAGCTAGTATGGTAGCGCGCTAGCTCAGTGTGTGTTTACGGGCCGAGGCTGTTTAGCACTTTGGCTCTTCACCCTGCAGCGTTTCGGCCCGAGGGCACAGATTTATATCCATACTGATCGAAATTCATCAATTTTCAGCCGTGCAGCGTCTGAGTAGCTTGTCACAAGCGCTGCTGCAGCTGCGTTCTTGCGCCGCGCGGGACATTACCGCGCGGGACGATCACAACGTAAGCATGCGGGTGTACGCTGCCCTCACACTGCTGCTCGCCGCGCGCGCCGCAGCGGAACCCGTGGAGAGGCGAGAAATCCGCAGCGTCGACGAGTTCCGGCGCCTCGTCCAGACGTCGCAGCGCTGTTTTCTTGTCGAGTTTTTTAGCGGCATGTGTGGATATTGTCAGGAGTTCGAGCCGACCTGGCTGGAACTGGCCAAGACGACGACGCGCCTCGAGCCCGCGCGCGTGAATATTGATATGCCGGGCGGCCTGGCCGTGGCCGAATTAGTAGGAGTCATCAACGAAGGCATTCCCGCTGTTGTCTTGTTCAATCAAAGGAGGACGGACTCCCACCAGACGCTCATGGCCGGCGAGCTCGAGGAGCTCCCCAAGTTATTGCGGCGCGTCTACAAAGCGACGAAGGGCCAGTACCTGTCGACGGACGCCGAGGGTTTTTTCTTGCGGGCGTCCTAGTAATTGTTGTTTAAATGTGACAATACAATCTTAGAAGCGCGAGATATCCCTCCCAAATAGCCAGCTCTTGAACCAGAACATCGGTATCAATATCATGTTCTGCACAGAGACCTGCTTCGACAAGTAGGCGCCGCGCCAGGAGGCGAAGGCCGTCACGCCCGTCAGCGTCCCGCCGACGGGCGTGATCTCGGACTTCGTGAGGTCCGCGACGCCGCCCCACATGCCCATGGACGCCATCTTGCCGCGCTCGACGTATCTAAATTCAGAACGCGCGTCCCAGAGGTTGTCGAGCGGCTCGAGCCAAGCGAAGGGCATGGCCGACGGTACGACAGGGTCCGGTTTGGCAGGCATGACGCCGTCGGCGCCGGCCTTGTAATAGGTATTATTGAAGCATTTCGCGAGGTAGGCGCCCTGCTGCTCGGCCGCGTTCGCCGTCGGCGGCAGGGGGTCTTCACGGGAGGCGGCGCAGTCCCCGAGCGCAAAGACCCTATCTGCGGCCCGTAAATACTCGTCGACCACGATCCGGCCACCTTTACCTTTCTCGAGGGACGACCCTTCGACGAACTTGATAGGCGCGAGGCCCGCGCTCCAAACCTGTGTGGAAATCAAATTTCAGGCGCCCCACGCCCTCGACGCGACGTCGTCCCCGTGACTGCGTCTGCTCGATGGCGTGGAGGTGCACGTACCCTAACTCACTGGTTGACTTCCACACCGCCGTAAACCATGCAGCCGAAACGCATCGTACTCCTGTTCGCCATCGTGGCGCTGGAGACGCGACCGTCCTCGGCAGGTTCAACAGCGGTAATGGCACAGCCCGTCCGCACGTCCACATTATGCTCGCGCAGGTGCTTCGTGTAGTACTGCCAACACGTCTCGTCGAAGCCCGCCAACAAATTTGGACCGGCCTCCACTATGGACAAAGAAACTAAATCAGCAAGGTCAGGATACCACTTCCTCACATCCTTCTCGAGGAACTCCGACAATTCAGTGGCAAACTCGCACGACGTCGCGCCGCCGCCCACGACGACGAAATGCAATAAGTCCCGCCGCTCCTCCTCGGACGCGACGGGCGACGCGGCCCTCTCAAAACACTCGAGGATGCGGTCCCGGATGCGTCTTGCATGATAGAGGTGCTTCAGGAAGAATACGGTCGATTGCTGTTCTTGCGTCACACCAGGAACAGCGAACGTGTTCGTCTTGCAGCCCGCACTTATGACGAGGAAGTCGTAGTTTATGTCAAAGGTATCTCCGCTAAATATATCTCTGCAATTCACGATGCGGTTCTCGACGTCTAGTTTTTGTGCTTTCGCTTGGTGGTACTTGCCCAGGCCCTTGATCGTTCGAACTGGTTCTTGGACGGCTCGGAATTCTAAGGTTCCCACCGCCGTCGAGGGTAACAGAGGAGTAAACAGAAAATGGTTCGCCGGCGACACGACCCTCACATCAAACTTGGTCTTGTCGAGGTAGCGCGCCACTTTATTGCCGCCCCAGCCGCTGCCGAGCACGACGACGCGCGGTTTGCGCGCCGTGGCTTGCGAGGCGAAGCCCAGCGTGCGGCGCAGGGCCTGCATTGCTGCTGCTGACTATATTTCGCTCTGGGGGCTCGCGCTGGCCGCGTGCGCGCCTGGCAACGCTGCTGCGCCTTGAGAGGCCTTGGGAGGTTTGTAGTGATACTGCTCTCGCAGCAGCCAAAAGTATCCGTAGCCGCGAGCGTAGGTGTCGCAGGTATTGCAGCTCGCTCGCCCACCGATCGAATCGCGTTGACGGAGAGCTTTCGGCCGATGAGGTGTCGTATGCGCGAGCTAGCGTTTTTGTAAGACACTAGAAATTGGACTGCCTGCAGCGGCTCGCGCCCGCCGCCGATGAATCGGCGACGCGCGGTGTCTCCCCCCAGGGGCTCCGCCCACTAGTCATAGCACCGAAAAATAGTATAACGAAACAGAAAATTAGAAGAGAGAACGCGCGAAAAAGAGCACGTCAAGCGAATTCCCGCTGGGGAGGCATCTCGACGCACGTACAGTCTGTGGTACCACTAGTGGCACAGACCGCGGCCGTAACGCGGCGCCGCGCCTTCCGCGCAAACATGACGATGCGCCCCCGGAGGCAGTAGAGCAGCGCCAGGCCGAGCGGCACGAAGAAGACGATCATGCCGAAGACGACCTTGAAGTTCCCCTTGGGTCCGCCTCCGTCGCCTCCACTAGACGTTCGGGCTCCCCGCGACCCGGACATCGGCGCGGGCGTCGTCGTCGGCGCAAGCGTCGGTCGTGGCGACGGCTCGCGCGGGAAGCCCGCCTCGCAGGCCGTTGATGGAAGCCGCCATTCGCCCGCACAGTGAGGGACCACCTCCGCAGCGACACAAGCCTCGCCGACCAGAACGGTGTGGAACGCCGCAAGAGCATCATCACCGGTCGCGACGAAGGCCGCGACCAGATAGATGCCAGGCTCATCAAAGTCGACGGCGCCGACGACCGTGTGATTCAGTTTTGTAGGCAACGGCGTCAGGTCGTCGAAATGACCCACGAAACTCGCCGCGCAGGGGTCGCCTAGCACTCGTTCTGGTATTGTCGCGTGCGTGTGCATTAGATCACCATTGAACCGGGCTATCAGTATATGGGCCGCGGCGCCCAAGTACGGTGTGAGGGGCGCCGACGCTTGCCAAGTAAGTCGCGAGCATTGGGCATGCGCCAGCTCTAGGGAAGGCGTCTCCAGGTCCAGTGTGATCGCTTCGGGACCGCCGGGGCATTGCAAGCGTGGGGTGGAGAAGGCCGTCGGGAGCTCGCCGTCCACCAAAGTCGTCAAGGTGGCGTTCTGCGTCTTTGAAAGGTCCCAGGGGTCTTGCGTGGTCGTCTCCGTACCGGGTAATGAAACAGAGGACTCCGTCGCGGCGTGGACCCAGATGTGGCCCGGGACGCCGGCCGTCGGATGCGCGTGCACGCTCGACTCGTCGACGCAGATGTTGAGAACGTTCGCGTCGACGGCGAAGGACGCCAGGATGCGGTGATTTCCTCCGCTCACGAAGGGCACGTCCCGCAGTATAAAGTCCGAGCCCTCCCAAGCCCCGTGCACGTGTGCTACGGAGCCAAAGTCGTCGCGCACGACAAAAACGTGCGCGTCGCGGCTATGGGTTGGTACTACAGCATCCTTGCCGATGGGCTGCCAGGCCTCGTTCGGATGCCGTCGATACTGGAGATCGAGCCGTAGATCGGCCTTCAGGCCATCACTGGCAATTAACGTCGCCGGCGCTTTGAGGAGCGTCTGCGGACCCTCGGAGTTGCCGGCGTTGCAGCACGTGCCGTCGTCCAGATAGTAGTCACAGGCTGCCGCGGCGGCGGCGACGAGCAAGGGCAGCCGCGCGCGCATGGCTGCCCGCTGCCTCTGCCCTGCCTTGGAATGGCGTGTGCTAACTTGGTCGGAGGCAGCCTTTTTGCGCGTGGGATGCGACGAATAATGACGGATGCGAAGCAGCTAAGCGACCCAGGCACCCAGTTGTGTGCGCTGCACCGGCACCGCGCCCCGGCTAGCTAGCTTCCTATGCCTAGCCTCAGCCTAGTGTCTTACAGGCCGCTAGCCGCGCGCGGGTTTACGTACGGTATTGGCGTGCGCGTGGGCCTCTATCGAGTATTCGGAGCATACATTAATAGCATCATTACGCGGGCGGCCTCAACTGAACGTCCTCCACAACTATATAATCGGCCTTGTTGTTCACGAAACCTAAGCCTTTTGGTGCTGGTTGTTTGCGCATCCTTTCTACGACGTCCGCGCCACTGACAACTTTCGCGAAGCACGAGTCGGCCTCAGTCTTCGAGCCCTGAGAGCCCGGTCCGTGGTTGCGCACGTTGTCGACCGTGCTAATATAAAACTCGGGGCCGCCGGGTCGCCCCGCGAAACCCAGCGTCAGTCGTTCATGAGGGAATTGTGCATCATATTCCTGGAACGCGAGGCCTCTCGCACCGGGAGCCCTCAGAAAAGCTTGTAAAACATGTCCCGCGTTCCGGTGGAACGCACACCGCCACGTCTCGCCTTTCCTCGAAATAGCAGCGTCCAGAAAGACGTGCACGGCGTGCGGCATCAATGAGATAGGTGCCGTTTCTATGGTCACAACGTCCCTATCTCCGCCCATGCTCTCCGGGAATTTTATTTGAAGATCTAGAGTGTAGGAATCCGCCTGCCCGTACTTCGCCGCAAGATACCTTCGAGTGGCCGCCTGGAGGTCCTTGACGGCGTCGATGGCTTTTTTATCCCCGTACATGTCCACACCGGTCTTCTTGATGGCCGCGACGGTGCCTCGTCTCGTTTCCACAGCTTCCGCTAGATGAGCGACGTCACCGGCTGCTTCCTTGGCGTGCGCCGCGTCGTGCTCCGCCTCGTGGCGTTTCAGGGCCTCCCTCGGGCCCCAGGCGGCCTGCGTTATCGCTATGAGGAGCGCCGCGGCGGCGGCGCGCTGCATGGCTGGCAGCTTTTTGGAGAGATTTTGCAGTGCTGAGCGGCTTGTGCTGGCTACACCGCGACGCTGCTTGGTGCCCAAAATCTAGCGCAACACGGGCTCTAGGGAAAACCGCAAAGGTGCCTTGCTCCATGTAGCTCTCGTATGCTTGCCGCCGAGGAGTCGACGAGGACTCGCGGGCTCGACCGCGCCGATCACTCATGATCTGAGCATGACATTGCAAATCTGGCAGAGCGCTTTGCTAAACAGACGGGCAGACTCATAGATAGATCTGGGCGTCTCCGGGCAGCCTCGGGTTGCCCCTGCCTCGGAGAGAGCAGCATTGCGTAGGCAGCCCGCGCACAGAGCCCCCCACACAGCCATGTGTCTGCCCCAGACTCTGCTCATGCCGGCCAAGCGCGAATTTTACATTCTGCAGTCGTGTTGCTGTTCGAACTGTTACTTCGACCCGGTCCCCGACGGCTGCTTAGACGGCCCCGATCCTGTGTGGAAGGCAACCAGTGCGAGACCTGCTCGATGGCGTGGGCGCGTCACATTTGACTTTCACACAGGCGACGTCGAGGTGTGTTGCTTCCAGGAGGACTTCGCCTGCCTGGCCGCGCCGGCCGACGCGCCGCGGGTCTGCGGCGTGCTGGGCTATACCCTGTATCCGGCGAAGGGCTGCTGCATAACGTTGAAGGCGCTCTACCCCGAAAGGCCCGAGATCGTCCTGAAGCAGAACAATACTGTGTTATGCGCGGGCTGCGTCGGCGTGGGCGAAAAGACGCTGTGGAGTCAAGCGATCTACTGCCGGCCGCCGGCAACATTTTTATTCGTCGAGCTGCGGTGCTGCTGCCTCGCGCACGATTTAGGACTGAACATCGCGGGGGACGGCGACGGCTGCGTATTGCCCAACTGCAGCGAGTATTCGTGTGGAAATCAGATTTCCGGCGCCCCACGCCGTCAGCGCGACCCTAACTCCACACAGGCGAGTACGTGCCGATGGCGTGCACTTTCTTAGGATTCATGTGCATGCCAAAGAAGGGTTGTTGTATCAAAGTCAGCGACGCCTTCGAAGGCAAGATTTTAACGGACGCGGACATCCGGAAGATGATGAATAACGACCACACCCCGCCCGCATCACCAGAGAAGCCAGAGCTCGCGTCGCCGGACGCCGCGGCGCCGGCGTCGCCAGAGATGGCGCGCGGCGCGGAGCCCTACTAATAAGTAGTAACACAAAAAATTACACAGCCCCAGCGAGGCCGACGCTCGCGAGCAGCGAGTCCGTCATCGACGGCTCCTCCTTCTCCTCGGCCGCCTCGGTCGCGCCGTAGTCCTGTTGACCGGCGAGCCGTCGATAGGCCTCGGAGAACTGGTTCTCGGAAAGCATGCCCTGCACCATGGCGCCCTCTATCCTCAAGGCCCGCCAAATGACCACCAGCACCGTGATCATCGAGACGAGGAAGGCTCCGAGCGCTATGGTAACTGTGAGCTGCGCCCCGTCCTGGTGCAGCATGAGCCACGCGTAGGCCAGCCCTTCCAAATGGAAACTAATGACCCCAGCACCCAAGAAGTAGAACGCAATCTTCTGCCACCGCCGCATGCTATCCACCGATTTTTTTAGAGAGCCATCCTTCCCCCGCAACGCCAGGCCGGGCCCCCTTACATTGACCGCGAGGCAGATCAAAGCGCAGCTCATGCAGGCGCCCACAGACACGGATGCCAGCCCATAAAAAGTGCACGAGATCCACAGGTCGGAACCGTCAATATAACCGGAGCCCGCGTCGTCGTCGCCGGCGCCCGTGTACGTCGTCGAGATCAGGATGCCCGAGAAGGCGAACCCACCAATCACGGACGCCATCGTCATCATGTTGCCGAAGTTGGCTGTGTAGTACGTCAGTTCTTGTTGTTGTAATTGGGCGCCGGTCTCGGCGACCGTCGCCTCGAGGAGCTTTTTCTGGGCGCTGAGCATGCCGCCCTTGCCCATGGTTGCGGCTGAGGGCTGACGTGCGAGCGGCTACGCAGCGACGGGCGTGCGTGCCAGCCGCGGTGCCAGCAGCGGCTGAGAGGGCAGCTGGTGTGTGGGAGGGCTGCCTCTGACTCCACCGCGGAGCGTGCAGTCGGCAGCCTCTGAGCTCTGAGCGTGAGGGCTGCCTCCGACGAGCGTGTGGCCGTTCGCGCAGGTCTGTGTGACGAGCGCGAGACAACGCGAGGCCCGGGCGCTCGTGGAAATGATCGAAGCTAGTACCAGTCTAGTACCACAGGAGGGCCGGCTTCGACCTGTGTGCATTCAGGAAGGATGACTCGGACGGGTCCACGGCTCGGGCCTGCACTCGACTCCTCGAAGGCCAAAGTGAGTGCGCAGTGTGAGAGGCGAGCGCTCGACAGCGGGACGCGCGAGCACCTACCGCTAGCATTCGCAGCGTTTGATACACGCATTGATCATAAATTGATCGCTGCCGACGCTGCGGGGCCAGCGACGCACGAGCAGCATATAACAAAGCCATCTCCAAAAGTGCTGCGGAGTGCAGCTGAGCCCGACGCTCGACGGTGCGCGCGGGAGATCCCTCAGCAGTCGTAGCTGACACGCATTGATCATCGCTCGAGTCGCTGTCGCAGTCCAGCGACGCACAAGCAGTTTCAGCCGAGCACGGGACGATGGCCGACCTAGCAGCCTGGAACGACTCCGACGACGACGAACCTCGCAGGAAGAAGCCCCACGTCGACGAAGCTGTTTTAGAAAGGGAGGTCTTCGGCGCGGACGAGAGCGACGCCGAGAGCAACAACATCTCAAATGAAGACGCGCCTGCCTGGCAAGACGACGACGATGAAGATATAAGGGTCGACCTGCGCAGCGCATCGAGACTGAAGAAATTACGCCAGGCGCCGACGGACCGCGTGCTCAAAGGTGCGGCTCTCGAGGAGCGCTTACGAGCGAGATTCAAAGCAACGAAGGGCCCACAAGACTGGGCCACTTCATCGAAAAAGCCGAACGCCCTGGCCCAGGCGGCCCAGGACGACGAGTCGGATGACGACGACGGCGATCTCAGAGTAGCAAGAGAGACGGACGCGAACGTGCGAGCGCCGTCGAAGTCGGCGATTAGTGGTGTTGCGTTTCATGCGTCGACGGATCTTTTGGTTACCGGTGGCTTAGACAAAACTTTGCGGTTCTTCCGTATTGATGGTGAGGTGAATGGCACGGCCGGTGCTTGTCACTTGGCCGACCTACCTATAAGGTCTCTAGCCTGGCGGGCGCAAACCGATATATGTATTGTGAGTGGAAGGCGGCCCTTCTACTACGCGTATGACGTCGCGTCTGAAAAAGCGACGAAGGTGCGGCTGCCTCCAAAGTCGAAGGACAAGTCCCTCGAGCGCTTCGCGCTGTCGGGTGACGGTGCATCCCTAGCCTTCACGGCCCACGACGGCCGCATCTTGTTGGCCGACGCGTCGCGAGGCCAGTGGCGTTCTTCGGAATTGAAGGCGAGTGGTACGACGCGAGCCGTGTGTTTTTCTCACGATAGTACGAAGCTCTACGCCTCAGGAGGCGACGCGCGCGTCCACGTCTGGGATTTGAGGAGTTCTCGCTGCCTGGCGACGTGGGCCGACGAGGGGTCGTCTCCCACTTCTGCATTGTTGTGTTGCGGCTCGAGGCTATTCGTTGGTAGTGAGAGCGGCGTCGTCAACGCTTACAGTACAACAGTACCGCGAACGGCCTCCTTCTCCACTGAACAAGCGCCTTCACCAGAGAAAGCCGTCTCGTCGCTGACGACGCCCGTGTCCACATTGGCGTGCTCCGAGACGCTATGTCTGCTGGCGTCGAAGTGGGCCCGCGACGCGATGCGGGTCGTGCGCCTCGGGAGCGACCTTAGGGTCGTGCCGAACTGGCCGACGGCGCGGACGCCGCTGCGCTACGTGACGGCGGCGGGCTTCAACTCCGGCGGCGATTTATTAGCCGTGGGCAACGACCGCGGGCGCGTGCTGCTGTACCGGTTGAAGAATCCCTGACTAACAAAACTTGTTCTTACTTCTTGACACAGGGTGGGGGGTTCATTCGCCGTAGTAGACGCACTTCTCCTGCTCGTGGATCAGCGCGTAGAGGCAGTCCGCGGCGGCGGGCGTCAGCGGGAGATAGACGCCATGATTCAGCAGAATCGCGGCGCGGCCGACCGCGAGATCAGCGGCCTTGCCCTCGTCGAGGCGGCCGTCGCACACCATCTCCACGAGGCCGCGCGTCATTATCTCGAGGAGGTCGAGCGGGACGGGAGGTAGATATATGTCCAGGTTCATGAATAAAAAGTTCATCGTCACGCGTAGCCCGTCGAGCCCGCCGACCTGCTGGATCGCACCGGCGGCCGCGTAGCGTTCGGTGATGCAGTAGCCGTCGTCCAGAGATGTGACCCTACCCTCCATCTGCGACGCGCCGCTGAGGGTCATGGATTCCAGACCGCTGATGCAGGACATGATGCTCATGGTTGCTATGGGCTGCGCTTACAGCGGTTTTTGAAGCTTGGGGCTGCGCGCGCAGTTCGGAAGCGGCCTCTCAGCATTGACCCCTCGGAGAATAGTTTTTTAGCATGGTGCGGGTGCTGACAAAAAACGGAAGTATGGATTTCTAGTATGCCAGTTATGAAAGCCGCGGCGACCGCGGCTTCGCCGGCGAGAACATCTCGAACGCGCAGCCGCACGCGTCGAGCGCGGGCACGACCCGCTGCCCCGGGTCGTAGCCGTCGCGGCCGAGCACGGGCCCCCGCTCCTCCGTCGAGGCCGTCGTCTCGTAGTCCATCAGGGGCGCGCGCTTTGGACTCTCGTGGCTTTGCATATACTGGTCGTACGACTGGCCACGGCTCGAGTCCGACGCTGGCGACGTGAACATAGAGGCTACACTTGCTGCAATGGTGTCCAGGGCGCTCGGCTCTGATGGTTGAGGAGTAGAAGCGGCCCTATGGGGCGCGTCGCGGCGCTTCGAACTCAGCGCCGGCACGGCCCAGCCGTCGGCCAGCGTCGCGCGCAAAGCGGCCGCTGATTTGCGCGGCGCCGTCGTGTCCTCGGGCTGGCGCGTGTCCCGCTCCTCCTCTGCCTCCAGCGGCGGCGGCACGCGCGCCGGCGAGTCCGGACTCCCGTCCATTGGTGACGGCGGCACGGCGCGCGCGGGCAGCGGGGCCGCGGCCCAGCCGTCTCCTAATAAGTCGCCGCGCTCCCGGAAGACGTCGCGCAGGTAGCGCTGCTCCTGTTGAGGTGACTGGGGTGACGCTTCTCGCATGTGTCCGGCCGAAGGAATGCGTGCAAACGTTGCGGCTGCGATTCGTGCGCGCGGGGCAGTGCGACTGGGGCCTTGCCTACGTCGGACAGCGATGCATGCGCGCTGGGGCAGCCCGATTGTCCAAAATCCTGCGCAGGGCACGGGTTTTCTCTCGCAAGGAAGTACGTATGTACACACTTACACAGGCGAAGAGCAGTTCGCCACATAAACCGGATAGTCCTCTCCAGTCAACCAGTTCTCCAGGAACGCCGCCGCCGCGGCCGGCTTGAACTGCGGGACCATGTGGCCCGACCCCCGGATCGTGAGGTAGTCGAAGTTCTGCCTGTAGCGCGTCACATACCCTCCGACCTTCCGGCACCCGTCCAGGGTCCAGGCGCGCCACGGTTCCACTTCATCATACCCTAGAGCCACGGTCCAGTTCTCGGCCACAAATGAATTGATGGAGGGATCGGCGTCGCCGTTGTACACGAGTACCCTCAGGTCCGTCTTCTGGGCCACCTTGCGGTAGAAGGGCATGAGGTCCGGTTCCGTCTGCTTATACGTCATGCCTTCGCCGTTATCTCCATCAAAAAATAAACTGTCGGTCGGGACGTGTAACGCTTCTCTCACATCGTCCCGCAGAATCCACTTGTTGAGCGCGGAGCCGCCGCCACAGACATAGTCGTTGACGGCGCCATTGCTTAGTAGGTCGTCGTACGTGCACTCGTCGTAGAGGTTGTACTCGAAGTAACCCGCCGCGGCGGTGTTCATGCGCTCCAGCACCGCGCGACAGCCCGGCGGTGCCGTGCCGCCCTGCTTGAGGTACTTCTGGCCACAAGTAGAAGTGACCTTGTCGAAGAGCTTCGTCGAGAGCTGCCCGTGACCATAGAGGAATAACAAATTGAACCATGGCGACTCACCACCACAATTCACTTTGTTCCCGGCGCACGCATCACCGACGGCAAAACCTCGCAAACGCGCCTTTAATGAGGCGTCGCCGCCTTCCAGGATCGACTTCGCGAGGCGCGGGATGTAGATGCCCGCGTAGCTCTCGCCCGTCAGGTAGAGGTCATTAGTGCCGAACTCGGGAAACTTCCCGTACCATGCCGCCAGGGCGCCATATGCTACGGTAGAGAAGCGGTCGTCGTCCCAGTCGCCGCAGGACGTGCCCTTGCCCGTCGGGTCGTCGTCGCAGTACGAGAAACCAACTGGAGGCGGCCAGTCGAACATCAGCACGGAGCCGGACTTCGTCCATGCATAAGGGTTGTCGAAGAGCGTCGGCGGGCCTTGGGCTTCTAGAGAGTTTTGGTTCATGATGTACGGGCCGAGCTCGACAAACAACCCAAACATAGATGACGCTCCAGGGCCGCCGTTGGACCAGACGAGAACCGGCGCGTCCTGCGGCGCCTTGCTCTCGCACTCGACGAAGAGGTAGTGGACCTTCATTCCTTCGACGTCCACGTAGCCGCTGTACATCGGGGACTTGAGCGCGCCGGCCCAGCCAGGCAGTGAGGTGACTAGGTCTGCAGTGGGCGCGGCGTGTGCGACCGCACACAGCGCGAGGAGGAGAGTCTGCATTTGAGTGCTGGCGAACTGTTGCGCGAGAATCGATGCTCGGCTTGTGCACGCTGTCGCTACGATGTGCAGAACAACTTATGCGATGACGAAACAGCACCGCTGAGGTCTGCGCGTGAAGTCGAGCTAGCGGCCGTAAGGCACTAGCATTTAGCCTCCAGGAGAGGAAATGGGCGCTACAGCATGTCGAAGAGCAGCCTGTGCACGGCTGCAACGCTTGTGCTGACCATTTCGGCACGCCGACGCGCTCCAGCTCCAGCTGACAGCATGCCTACTCAGCCAGCCACCGCGTCCTTGAGCGGCAGCGGTCAACATTACGCCATGGAGCTGGAGATTCCGATAGGCACGGATGCGAAGGACATAACTCTAAGCTGGGCGCTGCCGGCCGCCGCCTACGTGGACCGCGACGAGGTCGAGACGCGCGCGGGCTGGCCCGCCTGCGTCCGCGCCGCCCAGTTCACGGGTGCCAGCGACGTCGAGGCGCCGGAGTACGACGCCGCTGCGCACAGCGTGGGCCTCCGCTGGACGCTCGACGCGTGCGACGCGCTGTCATTAAGCATCCCGGTGCACCTACGGGCGCCGACGCCCGACGCCTCGCTTTTGTTGGGCGGGCGGCGCCGCATTCCGTTGGATGATTTCGTGCTGCGGGTCGACGGCCGCGCGTACGGGCGGCCGGCGGACGCGGCGCCGCTCGCGGCGTTTGTGGTGCTGCCGCCGGGCGGGGCCGCGCCGGCCTGGGGCGTGGCGGTCGTGACGCTCGCCGTGCTGTTCCGGGAGGCGCTGCGCGTGGCGCGGTGCCTGACGAAGCGCAAGCGGAGCTGAGCTGACGACGCCTTGTTTCTTTTTTGTGTGTAATACTTCCTTTTTTATGCTTTTGCTAAAATGGGCGCGAAACCCGCACGCAGCCAGCCGGCCCGTTTCGCTTGGATCGCTCTTCGGCAAGTCCTAAAAGCGAACGAAGGAGTCGTGCAACGCGGTCAAGACCATTTTGCCATCTCGCATCGCACTTGCATGTTTTGCCAATCGGCTACGCGTAGCATCGCTGTGCTCCGACCGCTGCAATCGACAGCGAGCGTCATTGTTGCAAGCGCTAGCGCGGCCTCGCTTCGTAGCGAGGACGACTGCAACGCTGCGCCCAGTGGCCCCTCAGCAAGTGGGAGGCCACAGCCCTGCAGGCGTTGCAGCCGCCCGTAGGCGTCCGCGGGAGCGAGAGAACTGACGCTATCGACGAGACGCCGCCGCGGCGATAGTGCATACCCATGCGGCGCATCCTCCTGCTCGCCGCGCTAGTCGCCGCGCGGCGGAGGCCGCCCGCAATACGCACAACAACTTGGAAGCGACCGAAGAGAGGCGGCGCCACCGCGAACCTCCTGCAAGTCTTGGCGAGGTGGTTCGCCTGCCAGCGCCAATTGAGAGGAGGCGAGGGCGGCGCTTTACAAATCGTCGGCGGGAGCGGCTTGTTTGGCAGACGCGTCTACCGCTACCACACGCCTGAAAGCCAGCACCTCGCGGAGCACGCCAGACGAGAAGCTCGATTGCTGGCGGACGCCTTGCACAGCGACGAATTAACGGAAGCCGACGAGTGGGAGCGCGCGCTGCCCCAGATCACGACTGCTTTGTTAGATCATGCGCCTAAAATTAGTTCAGCACACCAGCAGTTATTAACTTATGCCTTGCGGGATGCTCTACTGAAACGCATCGCGCGGAACCCGGAGCTTGGTTTGAGATGCTGCTGGCTCTTGCAAGATGCCCTCTTGGACGAAAAAGCACAAACGAGTGCGTTTGGCGACGGTTTATTTAGAGCAGCCTGGGCCGCGTCGCAACAAAGCGAGTCGTGCGGCGAGACGGCGGCGTTCGTTGGCGCTTTAGTTAGGTTATCGGAACGCTTAGCAAAGGTAGAACGTACAAAACGGCGGCAGCCGGAGCGGCTGTGGCCGTTATTACACGCGCTGAACGACTGGCTGGCGCCGCGAGCGTTGCAAGGCGGCGTCGCCGTCCCATTGCTACCGGCGTCGTCGAAAGCCTCACTGCGAGTTTTACGGCTCGACGTCGAGCGGTGTCGCGTCATGCCGTCACGCGCGAGAGCACCGACACTGCTATACTGCGAGGCTCTATGTGACGACGACGAGGCGTCGCTCAACCTCGACGCGGAAGCGCGGCGCTGGGCTAACGTCGTAGCGCCACCGTCCACGCCTCCGTTCGACGTCGTCGAGAGCTTCGGCAACACGCCCTCTCGTTCAGCCTTCGAAGCGGCGCGTCGAGCAGAACTTTTGCGGCGAGTCTTCCCCGACGGCGCCTGGGAAACGTTCGAGGAACGGTGCAAAGCTCAATCTCCCTATGGAAGGACTCCTGGGTGGAGATTAGCCTCGTTTCTGGTGAAAGCGGACGACGAACTGAGGAGGGAAGGCCTCGCGATGCAAATCGTGGATAACTTACGAAGGACTTTCGACAAGCATGGGGTCGACGCGTGGCTGCGGCCGTACGGTATCACGTGCTGTGGCGCTCGTGCTGGACTAGTAGAAACCATGTCCGACTGCCATTCGATCGATCATATAAAGCAGGCCATGACGGGCCTGGATCTCGAGCCGGACCTCGCGACGTATTTTGATATTGTGTATGGTCCTTACGACGATCGGCAACCAGTTGGTGGTACGTCGCGGAAGGAGGCGTCCTTGAACTTCGCTCGTTCTTTAGCCGGTGCTTCGTTGTTGTGCTACGCGTTGGATGTGAAAGACCGGCACAACGGCAACATCATGTTGGATAGGGCGGGCCGGTTGGTGCACATTGACTTCGGCTACATGTTAGGGAGGACCCCCGGCGGCCTGAATTTCGAGGACGCGCCCTTCAAGCTGCCGGACGAGTACGTGCGCGTGTTGGGGGGTGTCGGGAGTGATGCTTGGGTGGCTTTTAGTACAGCGTTGGCGGGTGGCCTGCACGCCTTAGCCGCGGATTTACACGAATTGCAGACGACGCTAGCTTTATTCTTCGGCGACGCGCCCTTCGGCGCCGACGCCGCGCGGAAGCTCGGGGACCGGTTTGCGGATTTGGATGGCGACCCGCGGCGGACGGTCGCGGTCGCAACGGAGATGATCCGCCAGTCGCACAACTCGGAACGCGCGAAGCAGTACGACTGGTACCAGTGGCGGACGAACGGCATCGTGCCCTAAGACTTATCTTTGTGAATTTAGTTACTATTGCTCTGCTAGTGGATCTTGCTGCTAGTGGGTGGCGTGCCCGAGTAGTAATTGTGACGTGTGTACATATTAGTTCTTAATCGTTAGTGAAGTACCGCCAAAGCCAGGCGATGATCGCGATGGCGGCAACAACCAAGGGCCCCCCGTATTCGCGGGCGCGGAGCGCCAATCGCGTGGAGCTCGGCCGGGAGCGGATCAAGATCGTGTGCTACCCGCACGACGGCAAGGGCGGGCCCAAGGTCGCGTCGGCGTACATCGAGCTCGCCTGAGGCGCTTTTCGTGCATCTCCCCCGCTGCCCTAAGGAAACTACCATCTTTACGCACATTACGATCCGTGGTCGTGGAGCCACGCGATGCCCTCGGCGAGGCTCATCGGGCGATCCGCCTCGGCGTTCCACGGGACCCTTTGCTCCGTGTCCCAGGAGTTTCGGGCGTAGTAGAACGGTGTATCGGCATCGGGCAGCACGCGCGTCGGCACGCCTCGATTAATCAGCGCTTTCGCCGCGTCGCCCACGATCTCCTGGAGCTGCCGGCGCTGTTCTTCGAGAGGAAGGACCATCGAGTCTAGGAGCTTCTCGCGGCTCTCGTGGTCATCTCGCTCTTGCTCAACCCTGGCGGCGCGCTTATTGGCCTGCTCGAGCGCCTCGTCGCGTTCCTGGAGCGCCCTCTTTTTGCTGGCATACATGTTCGCCAGATTTTTGCCGTGCCACTGGGTCGCCACCGGCGCAGTCGCGTCGATGTCTGCCTTGTAACGGTGGTCCTCGATGAGCGCGACGACTGCGTCACGACGGCGATGCTTTGCTGCGTCCAGCGGCGTCCTGCCCTGTGTATCCGCCCGATCGACCGCCGCGCCTTTCTCCAGCAGCAGCCGCACCGCGTCGACGTGGCCCTGCTGGCAGGCGATCCACAGCGGCGTCCGGCCGTCCTTGTCCGCCCGGTCGACCTCCGCGCCGTTCTCCAGCAACAGCCGCGCCGCATCGACGTGACCCTTCTGACAGGCGACGTGCAGCGGCGTCTGGTCGTACTTGTCCGCCCGATTAACGTCCGCGCCTTTGTCCAGCACCAGCCGCACCACGTCGACGTGGCCGTTCTTGCAGGCTATATACAGCGGCGTCGCACCGCTCTCCGTCGCCCGATCGACCGCTGCGCCTTTCTCCAGCAGCAGCCGCGCCGCGTCGACGTGGCCAAACTGGCAGGCGACGTACAGCGGCGTCGCACCGTTATTCGCCGCCAGGTCGACCTCCGCGCCTTTCTCCAGCACCAGCCGCGCCGTTTCGACGTGGCCTGCCGCGCAGGCGATGTACAGCGGCGTCGCACCGTCCTCCATCGCCCGATCGACCGCCGCGCCTTTTTCCAGCAACAGCCGCGCCGCGTCGACACGGTCGTACTGGCAGGCGACGAACAGCGGCGTTCCGCCTAACTTATTCGCCCGATCGACCTCCGCGCCGTTGTCCAGCAGCAGCCTCGCCGCGTCGACGTGGCCCTTCTGGCAGGCGATGAATAGCGGCGTCCTACCCTTCTTATTCGCCTGATTAACGTCCGCGCCTTTATCTAACAGCAGCCGCGCCAAGTCGACGTGGCCCTTCTCGCAAGCTACGAATAGTGGAGTCGCGCCGTCCTTCTTCGCGTCTACCTCTGCGCCGTCGTCCAGGAGTTGACTCATCGCCTCGACGTCGCCGGTCCTTGCCGCAGCGTGAAGTGGGAACTTCGAATCCAAGTGTTCCTCGAGCAGCTCGACGATGGACGAGTGGCGCTCTTCTTTTGCGATTGACAGCGGCGTCGAACCGTCCTCGTCCGCCCTATTGACGTCTGCGCCGTGGTCCAGCAGCAGCCGCACCACGGCGACGTGGCCTTGCGAGCAGGCGGTGAGCAACGGCGTCCAGCCCTCCGTGTCCGCCCGATCGACCTCCGCGCCTTTATCTAGCAACAGCCGTGCCACGTCGACGTGGCCCTCAGAACAGGCGACGAGCAGCGGCGTCACGTCCCCAACCGCCCGGTCGACCTCCGCGCCGTTGTCCAGCAACAGACGCTCCATGTCGACGTGGCCGTTCTCGCAGGCGATGAATAGCGGCGTCTCATCGTACTTATTCGCCCGATTGACGTCCGCGCCTTGTGCCAGCAACAGCCGCGCCACGGCGACGTGGCCCTTCTGGCAGGCTATCCATAGCGGCGTCTGACCTTCCTCTGTCGCCCGGTCGACCTCCGCGCCTTTGTCCAGTAATAGCCGCACAGCGTCGACGTGCCCGTTCCGGCAGGCGATGTGCAGCGGCGTCGCGCCCCACTCGGTTGCCCGGTCGATCGCCGCGCCTTTCTCCAGCAACGACCGTGTCGCATCGACGTGGCCGTCGCAGCAGGCGATCCATAGCTGCGTCCGGCCGTGCTCATCCGCCCGATTGACCTCGTCGACCGCCTCGATGTTGCCGGCCGCTGCCGCCATGCTCCCCAGATTTTTCCGCGCTGGCTGCCTTCGTGTGGCTGCCGGTGCTGCTTGCCGCGCACTCGGGAAGGCTGCCCGGCTCCACGGGGAGGAGTTATGTGGCGCTTGCCGGGCAAGCTAAATGTTGTCTCCCCGCGCGGCTCTGCGGGCTCAGCCTGGCAGCCACGCCACTAGGCTCCTGAACACTCCTCCTAAGCACTCCTCGCCCGCAAAAATCGCTCGACGGCCGAGTAGCCGTGCCGCGACCCAAGCGGCGCGTCGACCTCGCATCACCACTTAGGTGAGGACCCTAGCTCAGAGGAAACAAGTTTGTGCGAGCAAAATAAGGCTGTGCCGACAGCACTGCCAAAGGGCCATGTCGCGGGCCGAGCGCCAGGCCGCCCGCTGGGCGCGGCAGGCGCGCAGCCGCGCGAACCCGCCGGCCGATGCGCTGCAAAATAATATTGGGCAGCCCCCGCCACCACCACCTAAACCGGCCTCGCCGCGCAACATCGTCCTCGAGATCAAAGACGAGCGGCGCACGGCCGACACGTCGGCAGCGCAAGCGGCGCTCGCGGCGCACCTGCGCGGCGCGGCCTGCGACCTCTGGCAGCTTCTCGCGGACGCGGACCGGGCCGACGCGCTGCGCGATTTGGCCACGGGCGTGCGACGGTCCTACGCCGAGACACGATCTAGATGCGCGCGTATTGGCGGCTGGCTCCGGCTTCACTTAAAAGCCGGCGACCGCGTCGGTCTCGTCGCGCCCAATTCGCTACTCGCGTTCGAGGCCCACTACGCCTGCGCCTTCGGCGGCCTCACGCTGCTGAACTGCAATCCAAGATTGGCCCCTTCGGAACTGAAATGGTGTTTAGAACACGCCGGCTGCAAGGTGTTAATTGTGGATGGGATGTATCGCGATCTCGTGGCGGCAGCGCGGAGTGATCAAATAACGCTGGACGCTTCGACGTATGAAGACGTAGCGTCGAAAGGACCCGTCCCCGAGCGACCGGACGACGCTTTAAGCGTAGCCAGCGCCGAGATGTACTACACGTCTGGAACGTCAGGACGACCGAAAGGAGTCGTACTCACGAGAAGAAACGTGCTCCTCCACGCTCTGCAATGTATCGTGGAGCACCGCATCTCATCAAAAGACGTCTGGCTCCACGTGGCGCCGATGTTCCATCTAGTGGATGCTTATGCTATTTTCGCGCTCACATTTGTACAAGGAAGGCATCTCATATTACCGAGCTTCGATGCGACGAAGACATTGGACGCCCTCTGTCACCATGGCGTCACGGTGACGAACATGGCGTCGACGATGGTGTCGCTACTGTTGAAAGATCCGCGCTGCGCCCGACCACTCACAACGTCCCTGGAACTCCTGTCCTGCGGCGGCGCTCCTCTATCAACGGAAACGGTGCGGCAAGCCCAACGCATTTTTGGGTGCGAGTTCTTCCTGTCCTACGGCATGACCGAATGTTGCGGGAAGATTTCAACATCGATAATAAACGAGGGCGACCCCGTCGAGCTCATCACTACCTCAGGCAAGGCCTTTGGGTTGATTGATTTAAGGGTGGTGCGGAACTGGGACTCTACTGAACAACCGGTGGACGTCACTGCATCAGAAGTTGGGGAGGTCTGGATCCGGGGTCCTACGGTGTTCCAAGGGTACGATAATAATGACGAAGCCACCTCAAAAGCCTTTTACAACAAAGAGTGGTTCCGGACCGGCGACTTAGCTACTATCAATAGTTACGGTTACATCACGATCGTGGACCGAGCGAAAGATATGATACTGGTCGGTTCCGAGAACGTCTATTGCTGTGAGGTGGAACGGGTGCTGCACGACCATCCTCACGTGAAGACGGCGTGCGTCTATGGGTTGCCCTGCGAGTCCATGGGCGAGCGCGTGGTCGCCAAGGTTGTCGGTTCTTGTACAGCGGAGGCGCTGCGTCGTCACTGCTCGAAATTCCTGGCGGACTACAAAGTGCCTTCACATATAGATCTAGTGGAATCGCTCCCTCTCACGGGCTCGGGCAAGGTCGCAAAGGCCTTACTTCGGAAGCGGGACTTGTCAAAGCCCGTCGAGCACGTCTATGATGTATCGTGGGTCGCTGCTGCAGCGCAATCGTTGAATAGGCCGAACCACGTCGTCGTTATTGGTGAGGCGAGCTTCGGCGACACGCGTTTAGAGGCCATGACCGGGACTTTAACCGAGGAGCGAACACGCATCGCCGAAGCGTTAAGACCAGAGAGCGCGCTCGTGGTCGTCGTCGACGGCGAAGCCGAATATTGTATAAAGCAAGTGCTCGCGGCGCTCCAAGCGACCAGCGGCCACTCCGTACTTATCGTGACGCGCGGTCTCTTCATCAATGATGACGACGTCGTAAGGCCAGCTGCGGGCGCGGTGTGGGGGCTCTGTCGCGCAGCAAGAGCCGAAGGCGTCGACGTGCGCGTCGTCGACGTTGATGACGAAGACAGTATCCCGAAGGAGCTCTCATGTAATACGCCGGAGGCCGCGTGGCGAAGAGGAAGTCGCCTCGTGCCCAGTTTACAAAAAGTAGAGGTCGACGCCAGCGACGACGTTGGTGGAGGCGTCCACGTGATTGTGGGAGGCGCCGGCGGCCTCGGCGCGGCCTGGGCGGCGCGCCTCACGGGCACGGTCCTCGTCGCCGGCCGGCGGGCGACGAAGCCCGAGACGTTAAAATGCGATCACTACGTGCAATGCGACATCACCGACGAACAAGACGTTCTTTCATTAATAAAGAGGGCCAAGGCCTACCAGAAACCAATAAGCGTGTGGCACCTCGCCGGCGTGCTCGATAGTGCATCTATCGCCGAGATTGATCAAACACATTTAGCTAAAGTACTGGCGCCGAAGGTACAAGGCTCCCGCAATTTGGATGCAGCGACGCGACAGTACGAAGTGGACCGCTTCGTGGTCTTCACGTCGGTCTATGGCTTGCTCGGCCACGAGCGCCTCGGCGCGTACGCGGCCGCAAACGCCTTCCAGGACGCCTTGTGTGCCCAACGACGTAGTGAAGGACTGCCGGCGTTGAGCATCGCCTGGGGCACGTGGGCGGGAGCGGGCATGGCGCATCGCCTGGGTTCGGAGTTCGCTCAAATGCAAGAGGCCTCGGGCCTGGGCATGCTCTCGCTCGATGAGGGATTTTCGGCACTTACAGCGTTAGCTACCTCCTCATTATCCTCCGCGGCGGTCCTGCCGATGAACTGGGCGCGCTACGCCGCTTGTCGATCAGAACCGCACCCGCTCGCCGCTACGATGTGTACACCCACGGAAACGGCATCCTCACTGCGGGCGACGCTCGAGTCCTTGGACGAGGGCAACCGCATCCGTCAATTGGACGACTTTATGAAGACGCTCGTGCCGCGCTTCGAGCTAGACGCGGCCGTGACGTCCCTAGGCGTGACGTCGCTGGGAGCGACCGCCTTGGCGGCGTCGCTGAGCGAGGCCCTCTCTCTCAAGTTACCTCCCACACTGGCCTACGAGTGCGTGTCGCTGCGAGGCATCCGGGACCACGTCCTGTCCAAATTATTTCCTGTGGTGGCAATCGAGCGGGCGTTACCACTTAAAAAACAAACGCTTAGTGAAGCTCTACGGATCACATCCATGTCCCTAAGAACGGCGGCCGGCGACGCCCAAGAGTTGTGGAAGGCTTTACTTGACGGCAGAGATTGCGTGACAGGCGTCCCGGCGGACCGCCCGCACACGGGGAGGCCAGGAGCCTACCTGAAGGCTTCTACAGTATCAATGTTCGATGCTCAAGCTTTTGGGATGTCGAGAGCGGAAGCGGCGGCCACGGACCCGCAGCAAAGACTCTTCTTAGCGTGCTGCGCGGAAAGCCTGGAAACGGCGGGCTACCGGGCCACGCCGGCTTTGAACAGTGACAACGGTCTCCAAATAGGCGTCTTCTGCGCCATCGAGACGTCGGACTACGCGTACCTGCAACAGCATAAACCATCACCTTACACGGGGACGGGCTCTCACACGGCCGTGGCGCCGAATCGCGTGAGTTACACTTTTGATTTAAGGGGCCCGTCCGTAGCGCTAAACACGGCCTGCTCCTCGTCCCTGACTTGTTTGTCAGTAGCGAAACGTTCATTGGATGGGAACGAATGTTCTGCAGTACTAGTCGGCGGTGCGAACCTACAGCTGAGACCGCAGTGGTCCGACTGTTTTGCGGCCGCGGGCATGCTAAGCCCGTCCTACCGATGCAAATTTGGTGATAACGCCGCGGACGGCTACGTCCGAGGCGAGGGTGTTGGTGCTTTTTTACTAGAAAGGGGTACTGAAGGTATAGTAGGCATCGGGATCGGCCAGGACGGTAGAAGCAACGGCCTGACGGCGCCCAATCCAAAAGCGCAACAGGCCGTATTAAGGGCGGCCTATTCTACGTATGACGGAGCCGTAGCACTGATCGAAGCCCACGGCACGGGCACGAAACTCGGTGATCCGATAGAACTAGGCGCCCTGGGGAAGCACTTCCCTGGTATGGTACGAACTGGTTCGGTCAAGACGAATATCGGTCACCTCGAGGGGTGTTCTGGATTAGTCGGTCTGGCCAAGGCCTGCCACGCTCTTCGTGAAGGTGTCGTGCCGCGGTCCTTACACTTCAAGACGCCGAACACGGCCGTCGACTGGTCTTCTATTACTATTGTTACTAAAAACGAGGACCTCGGCGGAGGCGCGGTCGGGGTGTCGTCGTTCGGCTTTGGCGGGGCTCTCGGGCATGTCGTGGTCACGGGCCGTAAAGTAACGAGACGGGAGGAGGTCGTCAACAGTGAAGCATTGGTAGTGCCGCTCGAGGCCCATTCCTCAGCTTCGTTGCGAGCGACCTGCAAGCGCATCAAAGTATGGTCTCAAAAGGAGAATGTCGATGACGTGGCGAAGTGTTTAGTGAAGCGCTCTTCTTTGAATAAACGTAGATACAGAACTGCGGCCGTCGTACCTGCAAAGGGTGGTCGCGCGGCGCTCGCGGCGGCGCTCGAGACAGTCGCTATCAATGAGCATGAGGGAGACGTCGCATTAGCTTTTGTGTTCACGGGCCAGGGCGCGGCCTACGCCGGGGCTGTCACGTCGTTGTTGGGAGACGAGGCCTTCCGCGCGGCGTACGAGGACGCGGTCCACGCTTGTAGTACACATATGGACGTCTCAAACTTGAACAGATTGGGGAAAGACGCCGCAGCCGACGAATTATTGGACGACGCGAGTCTAGCGCAGCCCTACGGCTTCTGTATTGCTTATGCTTTATCAAAATCAATCCTCGCGAAAACAACCACAAAACTTGAGGCTGTCATAGGCCACTCGCTAGGTGAAATTGCGGCCTGCTGCGTCGCTGGGGTGTTGTCCTTGCATGACGCGGCTCGCTTAGTGGTGTTGAGGGGCCGAGCTGTAGCTACGAGAGCAAGTGAAGGTGCGACGGTCGCGGTGAACGCCTCGGCCGAAGCTGTGGAAGCGCTTGTTAATGTCGAGGTCGCGGCGGACAACTCGATGCATGGCTGCGCCATCGCTGGGGAGGTCGAGGCCGTCGATGTCGCTATTGAGGCGTTAACGGAGCAGGGCTTCAAGACGAAGCGGTTGCGAGCGGCCACGGGCTACCACTCGCGCTGCGTCGACGGATGTTTGCAGGACCTTCCCACCGTGACCTTTCAACCCAGTAATGTAGCCGTCTACTCGACGGTGACCGGCGCCCGGTTAAGTGACGAAGGCGACGACTATTGGAAAAGGCAGCTGCGTAGTAAAGTGCGGTTTAGGGAAGCCCTGAACGCCTTACGCGCGTCGTCTTCCAAGCGTCTGATAATAGTGGAAGTGGGCTGCGCGCCGCATCTGAGTCCCCACGTCGACGGTGAGGTCGTTTGCACGCTGCGAGGGCCGAAACGCTTGGGAAGCGAGCCCACGCTCCTCGCGGAGGCCGTATCAAAATTATTCACAAAGGGCGTGGACCTCACTGAAGCCGAATCCTCTCTGAAAGCGCCTCCCACAGTGTTTGTCGGCGAACGATGCTGGTTCGAGGAACGACGCGAGGCGACGACTCCACAAAGAAACTTGACGGGACGGACCTTCTCATCACAATGGGTGCCCGCTTCGTTATTACGAGCGACGGCGCTGCAGGTGCTCGTCCTCCGAGACGAAGAGTCTCCACTATCTGTCGCCATCCGGGAGAACGTTCGAGAGAGACGCGGGCGCTGCGTCGAACTGCCGCTCCTCGCGGCGGCGGCCACGGCCCAGACCTGGGACTGCGTCGTGTTCTTAGCGCCTACATGTGTTCAGGAAGTCGCCGTTCCCGAGGAGGAGCGACCGGCCTCAGAAGCGACGCCCCTCATCCCTTCATCACAAGATGCTACGGTCATGATCGACGACGCTTGTAGAAGGGCATCGCGCGTCGCCTCCATGGCCTCGTCGACGGCCGGTGCCTTGCAGGCCGCGCTCAAGTGCGCGCTCAACCAGCGGGGTCCCCGTCGGTTAGTCGCGTGCACGTCGGATGCGAGCGAGGCATCGTCCATCGCCGCGGGGTGCGTCGAGGGGCTCATGAGAGCAGCTCGACGTGAAGCGGGCCTCGCGGGCAGTGCTTTGGTCTTAAGGACGCTCGCCGTGGACGACGCGTCTCACGAGGACGTCGCGGAGGAGCTCTTGAGCGATAGAGAAGATGACGCCCTTCTCGAGAAGAATACTATAAGTGTGAGGAGGTTACAACCAGTGGATGAATCCATGCCGGTGTCGGTGAACGGTCTGACCATTGCAATTTCCGGAGGCACGGGAGCGCTCGGCCAGCGTACGGCCAAGCATTTATTAAAACGGGGCGCCGCCCGCATACTCTTGCTGGCTCGAAACACGACAACTGTCGACGGGTGCGAGGTCTACAGAGTCGACGTGTCCTCTCCTGAAAGTGTCTCGAGGTTCGCTGTCGAACATGGTTCTTCGATAGACGGTTTGATACACGCGGCGGGCCTCTGTGGCGACGGTGCGTTACCATCGCGCGACCTGGAGTCGTTGCGGAAGGCCCTCAAGCCTAAATTGGAAGGGGCTTTGCTGCTGAGCGCGGCGGTCGACGCCGCGCGCCAAGCCTGTCATAAGCCCCCGGTTCAGATGGATGTGGCCTTCTCATCCATATCTTCGTTACTGGGCAACGCGGGCCAGACGGACTACGCCTGCAGTAATGGCGGCCTCGACGCGCGGGCACGGTATTTATCTACTGTGAAAGGCCGGCGGCCGCGCACGTGCCTCGCCATAAACTGGGGGCCCTGGCGCTGCGGCATGGCGTCATTGGCGAAGCATCATGGTAGTGGCACGCCGAACGCGCCCTACGACGCTTTGGCCGAGGAGGACGCTTTGTCAGCGCTGGACGGGGCCCTCAGCAAGTCGGGGAACATTTGCGTGGCGCGCTTCGATTGCGAAGCGGTGGCCCTGGCGGCGTCGAGGGAGCCAATCTTGGGGCGGTTCCTCGGCGTGTCCTCTACGAAGGAGGAGCCCTCGACAGTCGTCGTCGATCCACTAAAAGCCGTCGCCCGCATCGTCGCCAAGCACACTACTGTTTCGTCGTTGACCGCAGCGACACCGCTACAAACGTTAGGCTTGGACTCGCTCGACGCCATGGCCTGCGTGCGGGAGCTCAACGCCGTTACTGGGGCTTGTCTTTCTGTGATCGACGTCCTCGGGGCCAAAACGCTGGGCGAGGTCGCGTCTTTGGTGCCCACCTCCGTAGAATCCGACTGCTCTACGGACGTCCTGGACGTGTTGCAGCGGCACTGTGCTTCGACGGTCGAACCCCAGACAAGACTAGCGTCCCTAGGCTTGGACTCGCTGGACGCCATGGCCGTCGTCAAGGACCTGTCGGACGCGACGGGCAAGGCCTGGTCCGTGTCCGATGTTTTAGGAGCGGAGACCTTGGGAGACATCACGCTCAAGGCGGCTTCTAGAAGAGCAATTTCTGTCGGGAAAGCTAACGAGCCAAAGGCAGAAGATAAGATCCCCGTCAAGGACCTCGAGGAACCCTGTCTACTGAGGCGGCTGTGGTTCACTTTATTGGCTCGCATCGTCGGAGCCCAGATCGCTGTTTGCGGAGCCATGCCGGCGTTCGTGCTTGAAAACTACTTACCTACAAGGTGGCGCCTCGCGCCGAAGATGTGGGTGTTGGAGGCTCGAGTTGGTGCTAGGGTCGCTTTATGGGTCGAGGCGCAGCTCCCGAGGCCGTCGCGACCTTATCCTGGGTTGCCGCGGAACGCGTTTCTTCGCGATCAAAGGTTGGAGTTCATTACGACAGGTTTACATGCCTGGACTCCTTCCTATGTATTTATCGCAAGGTTTACGATAGAGCTGTGCATCACCGGCGTGGTCTACTATGTATTGTGGTGTCTCGGGTGTCACCTCGCGTGCGCGGTCGGAAAGTGGATAGTAGTAGGAAGGCAACGGGCGGGTCGGTTCCCGATCTGGGAGTCGTCGATTGGTTATAGGAACGCCCTGTGGCAAAGCGCGGTACCTTTATCCTTCAGTGCCTTCTGGTGGCATGCGCCGTGGCTCCCGCCTTGCATACAAATCTGGTTTTTACGCGCGATGGGCTGCTCCGTCGGGTCGAGATGTTGCCTGCGAGGACCCATCGCCTGGGACGCCCCACCCGGAGACTTATTAACGATCGGCGACGGCGTGGTCATGTCCCCGAACGCTACAGTAGATACGACGTCGTTGACCTCGACTACTGTAATAACGTTGGGCCACGTCCGCATTGAAAGCAACGTGAAAATAGGCGACGGTGCCGAGGTGAGGCACGGGGCCCACATCTCTGAAGATGCAAAAGTTTGTGCTGGTGCGGGCTGCCAGACTTACGTGGCCCGCTCGGCTACTTTTCCTGAGAATCGAGTCGCCGTGGACACGGTAGTCCGTTGTACGGACGGGAAGGACGCGTATCCCCTACCTCTATTGACATTCTTGGTGCTGATGCCGCTGGTCCACTTTATATGTGCGCTGCCGGCCGTCAGTTTGTTACTGAGGGCGCCTCTTATCTTACGACGGCGACCCGTGGTCTTTGGGTTATCTGTATTAGGGGCAGCTTTGTTAAGAGGCATCTTAGAGCCCTGCGCGCTTGGATTGATTGTGAGAATGCTACAAAGAAAACTGGAGAGGGGCAAGACGTATACGCTGTCGAGGTTCTTCGTCTCGACGCACGAGACGCGCGTCTTCTGGCGCAAATTGTTCATCGCGTCCTGCGAAGCGCCGTTCTCCTTTACGCCTTTATGTAATGTGGCGTGGCGGTGGGCCGGCGCGACCGTCGGTCAGAAAGGCGTCGTCCTGTCGGAACTGCACGGCGCCGTCGACGCGCCGGAGTTAATTGAGATCGGCTCGGATAGCTACCTCGGGGCGCACGTGACGTTGCGGCCTCTCAAAGTGGAAGGGTCCACCGTTACTGCAGTCGGCGTTACGATAGGAGACGGCTGCTTCGTCGGGCCCAACACCTTGCTCCAGCCCGGTTCCATGATAAAGGGCGCGACGGGCGCGAACAGCATCATCAGTTCACATGAAATAGTACCCGATGGCAGGGTCGCCATCGGCGACGCCCAAAAGCCGTGTACCTTAGCGTGGCGCCCCCAACGATTGGACGCGTCGACGGAGTGGGGCTGGGCTTTCACGTCATCATTGGCCATGTTCGCCACCGAAAGATTAGGTCATGTCGTCGCCGTCCAGGCTCCTAGAATACTGTTATGGGTGGCCCTTGGTTTTGTGGGGCGGTACCCGTGGTCGCCACCGCTCCACGAAGTGCGCGTCGCTTCCTTGATCCACGAGGCCCACACGACGCCATTGTTACGGGTGTGGCTCACTTTGAGTACGGTCGCGTCGCGGAACGCCGCCCTCGTTTTATTACTTGTGGCGTGTCTAGTGATGGCCGACCCCCTCAAGCCCTTGACGCATGTCGTGTTCAAGTGGTTGGTGGTTGGGAAAGCGACGGAGACCTCGAAAGTGCCGCTACGCTCCGGACAGCATTTAAGATGGGCGTGCGTCCAAAAATTAGCCCGGTGCCCGGCCGTCGACGGGGCGTGGCGCCACGTCTACGAGTACGCTTCGATCTATGCGTCGTGTGTAGGGTTCAAGCTCGGATCAAGAGTGCGGTTCTACCCCTACCCTTCACTTTTATTAGCAGGGGCGGCGGAGGCCGATCTGGTCGAAATTGGCGATGGCACGGTGACGTCGGCAGCCACGTACGCGCACGACTTCTCCATGCTGCACCTGGCGATGAAGCCGACGTCCATCGGTCGAGGTTGCGACTTGGGACTCTCGCGCCACGGCCAGGTCCTGCCCGGCTCCCAGTTACCGGCCGGGACTGTGATTCAAGCGCCCGGCCGCGCGACGCACCTCGCCGGGCTCTGCGGCGAGGCGCACCAGGCCTGGGCCGGGAACCCGCTCGTGCGCTGCGCGTTTCCTGAAGCGGAGTACGCGGACGCCTGTTAATCTAACTTTAGTGTGTATCTTACATCAGTACTTAAACAGACATCGCCGCCAGGCGCTCGCCCGCGGCTTGCAGCACGCCGAGCGACCGGCAGAACGCGAAGCGCAGGTACCGCTGGCCGTGCGCCGCATCAGTCCGCCGCGCGGACACGTAGAAATTGTCCCCCGGCACGCATGCGACGCCGTACTCTCGCGTCATGATCATCGCGGCCGCCAGCGGGTCCAACGACTGCAGCTGAGGCACTCCTTTGTAACCGACGAACCAATAGTAGGCCCCTTTTGGTTCAGGGCCGAGGTCGAAGCCGGCCTTCGACAGCGCCGCCCCGAGCACGTCGCGCTTTGTTTGGTACTCGCCCCGAAGATCCGCGAACCGTGCCTTGTCCATCTCCAGGAGGCGCGCGACGCCTATCTGCAGCGGTGTGGCCACACACGCGACGAGCTGGTCGTGTACGGCTCGTATGCGCTGGGTTCTCGGCGCCGACGCAACGACCCACCCTATTCGCCAGCCCGTCGCGCGTGCCGTCTTCGAGATAGAGGACACAATCACCACGTTCTCGGGGTCGAGCACCGCGAGCGGTTCGTGGACGTCGATGTCACTACCGTAGAGTATCCATTCGTATATCTCATCGGTGACGATAAGGACGCCGTGCTTGCGGCAAAGTTTCACGATGAGGCGGCGCTCAGCCGACGAGAAGCGATGTCCCGTTGGGTTGTGCGGGTCGTTGAAGAGGAACAGTCTCGCGCCTCGCAGCGCCGCTTCGAGCTCGGCGGCGTCGAACGACCAGTCGGTTTCGTGAGCCGTCAGCGTTACGGCTCGCGGCAGCATGCCGAAGAGCGCGAGCTGGCTGGGATAAAGCTCGTGGCAGGGCTCAAAGAACGCGATGACGTCGCCGGGCTCCGCCAGCGCGCGAATGCACGCCGCAAAACCCTCGGTCGCGCCCGCGACGATCGTGATGTTCTCGTCAGCGTCGTAAGCGAACGCCCCGGGGAAGCGCTGGGCGTAGTACTTGGCCACCGCTCGCCGAAGCTCAGGTGCGCCGTAAGGGAACGAGTACTGGTTGAGCGCGTCGGTTTCTTCAGCCCGCGGGCCCGTCGCCTCGAGGGTTGCGGCAGCAGCGGCGGCGCTATCAGCCGACGCTCCGCACAGGAGTGCCCCGGCCGCCGCGCACGCCATCTCGCGCGGTGGCGGCTCGTTCGGAAACCCCTGGCTGAGATTGACGGCGCCGCTCTCGATGGCCACACGCGTCATCAGCCTGATTGTGCTCTCGTTCACTTGCTCGGCGGCGCGTTTACGCCTTCGCCACAGCGCCGACAGCGCTGCTCCGACCACTACGCCGACCGCTACGCCGGCCGCGGCTGCGAGAGCGGCTGGGCGTGTTGCCATGTGTGAGCCAGCTGGGGGCAGTGAGAGGAGTGACCAAACTTGGTTTGCTGGCTTGCGTTCGCGCCAGCACTGGCGCACGCTTGCACGCAGCGTTCGGGCTGACTGCTCTAAGCCAATTTCGAGCAGCTATGTGGTCAAAACAAAGCGGCCGCCCGCACAAGCTAGCGTGCTGTAAAGGCACTAGAAACAAAGCAGCACAGGCAAAAGGCCGTGAAATGGCCGCACAAGTGGCTAAATGATATAGCCACATGCGCATGAATGCAAAAGATGACTAACTGAAACATGTCCTGGGTCGAAGAGACCCTCATCAATGCCTTCTGTGGCGCGAGAGACGCCGCAGCGCTGGATGCCGCACAGATGGGAGCGCTGTCGAATGGGAGCACGGCTGCCGCGGCCGCTTCGGCCTGCCGTGCAGCGTTGGCGCGCGGTGCCGAGGCGCTTGAGGACGAGCTGCTGCGCTGGCCGCGCGGCGCTGCGCAAAGTCTCGTTGCGCATGCCGCGCGGGCCGACGACGGCGACGCGGTGGCCGTGTTGTGCCGGGTGGGTGGTGCAACACCGGAGGCGCTGCGCGAAGCCTGTGAATCGAACGCCTGGAAAGCGGCCGCGACGCTGCTCGTGTGCGGGGCCGACGCGACCGGTGCTGCTCATGTAGCAAGGCGCTGCGGCCACGTTCACCTCGCAACGGCTCTCGACGCGGGCCTCGACGCCCAACTCACGAATGGCGCCACCTTGCGGGCCTACGCCTCGAGACGGGGCGACGGCTACGCGCTCGCTGGGTACTGCGCCGCCGCGCGGAACCGCAATGTGACTGATCGACGCATCACACACCGTCGGCCGGCGCCGCCGCTCTTGGCAGGCGTCACTCCGGCGGCCGGCGGCGCGGTGGACGCGGCCGAGGCGTACGAGCTCGTCGTGGCGACGACGACGCCTTCTTCTGGCGCCAAAAGAGGCGACGTGGTCGCGCTGCCCTGCACCATCGGCCGCGGCGGCGACCTCGAGCTGCGCGACACGTCCTGCGTCGTCCGCGTCGTGGCGCCGGCGGTCGTGCCAGCGCCGGGGGATTTGCATACGGTGCACGTGCGGCGCGAGGGGACGCGGCAGAAGAACTCCTGGGCCGAACCGTCCAGACGTCAGGCCGTCGCCGTCGGGGACCGGGCGGTGCCGCGGGGCTGCGGGGCGCGTCTTGAGGTGGGGACGACGCTCCGCGTCGGAAAGACGACGTTTCAGCTCCGCGCGCGAACGGCGCCCGCGCCCGCGCCGCCGCCGCCGCCTCCAGCGCCGCCGGCCCCCGCGGTTGCCACGGTCGTCTCCGCGCGGCCGACCACATCGGATGCCTACGCGCGGGCGCTAATCGAGCGCGCGGGCCGCGACATCGACGCGGAGCGCGAGCGGCTGCGCCAGCGCCTGGCGGCGGCCGCCGCGCCCGAAGAGCCGGCTGCGACCGCGCCTCCAGGCGCCTCCGACGCGGAGCGCTGGCGCCTGCGACAGCGCCTCGCCCACGAACGGCCGGCGGCCGCGCCCGCCCCGGCAGACGACGGCCACGTGCGCGTCTGGGAGCTCGTGGCGCCCAAACACGACACGGTCGGCCTCGGCCACGTCGCCGTGCCGACCGGGCCTACTTCGTATCGCATGCCGGGCCGGCGCGCGGCCGAGATGGCGCTCGCGCGGCATCGCTACGACCGCGGACCCACAGCGTCGGCGCCGCGGCCCGGAGGTGTCGCGTTCGTTCGCCCGGCAGCCTTTGGCGTCGAATTGAACGAGGAGGATTCCGGGCCGTCGGACCTGCCGCCGGCTCCGACGCCCTTCGAGCTCCGGCCGGCGGCGGCGAAAAAGCGCCGCACGTCGTCGAACAAGCGCGTCAAGTTTTCCGAGTAAATGTTGTTGTCCTACAATCACACACTATTTACACTCACCCGAGGAGCGATCGCCGCCAGCGGGAGAGGCGACCTTGTCCTCCTGGGTGGAGGAGCTGCTGGTCGTGGACGTGCATCTCATTCATGTGCTCCAGCTTCTCCAGCAGCTTCTTGGCGAAAAAGTGCTCGAGGGCGCGTTTAGCATCCGGTCGCGATGCGACGTGCGCGTCGAGCTCTTCGTAGTCCCACGAGATCAGACGGCAGGCCGCGCTGCCGCCACACGACGTACTCACATGCTCGACGGGGTCGTCGATGCCCCGCTTATTGACGTAGCCGAACTCGCCGACGCAGTCGCCGACGGGTATGTCTGCGAGGTGCTCTCCGGAGAGATCCACCGACACCGAACCTTCGAGAATTATCGCGACTCGATTCCGCCGCGGCGCGCCTTCCCGCGAGCGGATCTCGCCCGGCTGCAGCAATACTAGGTCACCCGCCTCCACCAGCAATTGCACGCCTTTGCGCGGTAAGCCCGAGTCCGAGAGTGCCGTATCCCACAGGGCGGCGGCGTCGCCACATAACTCGATGTCCCTTCTTTCATCCATGATTCGCGCGACGAAGTACCCGTTGACCGCAATGAAAAGCACGTTGAAATACACCGGGAGCATCACCGGCGGCTTGCGGCAGAGATTGAAGATAATCATCGACGCACAGGACGCCAGGCCGAAGCTTCGTAGTACCAATACATCATCCATCAACCATTGCACCGTGATCAGCCCGAAGCCCGCGAGGCCCACGAGGTCGTTGAGGGCCGGCAGAGTTTCTGCGTTGCGCGTCGCGCTTGTTTTCATGTTTTCGACGACGCCCCCTTTTTCACTGTGGAACGACGGCGGCTTCTCTTTCTTCGGCGTGGCATCGGTGCTGGTTCTGCGGAGCGCTGCTGTGCGGCGCAGTATTGCGCTGCGCAGCGTTGTTCTGCGTTGTGTGGCTGCCAAGGCTCTCGACGGGCCGGTTACGCTGCGACAGCGATGCGCGACTGTCTGCGCGCGTCGCGTGCGCTGCAGTAACGCACGCATGCTTATCAATCGAGCCTTATCAATGCTCGATCCTGGCCAAAAAGCTGCCAAAAAAACACGCGAAAAAAAGCGGGCTAGCTTCCAGTAACACACTAGCAAAAATAAGGATTCATACAAAACACCTACGCCAGCTCCCCCCGCGACGCCGCCGACGAAGCCTTCGCACCGAGCCAATCGAGGCTCTCCTCGAGGCGCGCGTCCGTGAACTCGTGCCGCGCCCAGGCCACGTTCAGAATTTCGGAGACCGGCGACGCGTCGGCGACGAGCGAGTCGACGGCCTCCGGGACCACGGGCCGCACGGCGTCGCGCCAGTTCGTGCGCCGCGGGTCGTCCACGAGCATGCCACCCGCGTCGACGAAGCCGCCGTCGCGGAGCGCCTGGAACGCCCGCTCCGCCATCTCGCGCGAGGGCAGCACCGCGCCGCCGGGCCCGGCCCCGCGGCGAAATAAAGCATCGGCGCTCAGGGGCTCCGGCTCGACAATCAACTCGGCCGCGTCGACGCCGCGGTCGCGCAGCGTTGAGACTTGATGGTGGATCATCGCCGCGCGATGCGTATCGCGGGCCATGTGCACGAATCTCACAGGAGGGTGCCGCGCGTCCAGTTCCAATGGACTTGCCATAATCTGGGCGACGCACGCAACAGCATTAGGAACGAGCACGGCGATGGACCCGCCCGACGACGCGCCGAGCGAGACGGTGGCCGGGCCCGCGTTCGTGACTCGTCGTACATAACCCGTGGCCTTGGCGATCCTATCGACGTCGCGCTGCGACCAGCAGCCGCTCCGGCGGTTGTGGGACGTGACGGCGGCGACGGCCCAGTTTCTAGTGAGAGCTGCGGCGACGACTCTGGTTTCGATCGGCAGACCCGTGCATTCCGGGCATTTTTCTGATTTCGGCCAGGCGTCCGTCGCGCGGTGGCTGCAGCCGTGCAGGATCAACAGGACGCCGCGCGGCGTCGATGCGGGTGCCTGGTAGACGACCTCGATCTCGTTGTCGACCAGAGCCCGAATGCCGGCGAGCTCCATCGATGTCTGTGCCGGCGCGATCAACAACCAGAGGAGCGTCGCGGCGAGGGTCGTCGTGGCGAGGAGGCGGCTCTGGCGGCGCGTCATTCGCCCAGGCGCGTCGGTGGCGTCCTTTTCGGAGCCTCGATGTCTCTGAACTCTTCGCGTCGATGGCGTACGGCGCGCCGCAGCACCGCTGAGCAGAGCCAAGCAGTGTGCTACTGTGTGCTGGGAGCTCGCAGGGGTCGGGACTGCTCGCACGTGTTGCTGCGGTCCGAAACGGCTCTGAAAGGCTGCCGGAACGGAATTTTAAGCGTGGTCTCTACCCAGCGCGGCAGCGCCTTTTCGTTTCTAGTGTCTTACAACGCTAGCTGCCTGCGGCGGCTTGCGTGCCCACTAAGGCTGTAGAGTCTAAGACAAAGCTAAAGCTAAATCACTAGCGATTAAGCCCCGAGCCTCTGAGCTCGCGGGTTTCTACGTCGACAGCGTCTGCGTGCCCACTGAGCCGCTGACCATCGTATTGTGCCCGCAGCGCACGCCATCGATGCGCCATTGATCGCTGCAGGGCGGGAAGCGGACGAAACCAGCGCTACCCACACTTGCTCTCTGAAGAGGAGGACTGCAGCCGTGGATGCCGCCACCGTGCGCTGCGTGCGGCCATCAGTACTGCGGCAAAAGATACAGCGTCCGAGACACGCACGGCTCGCAGGGCACGTGCACCGAAAATAACTGCTGCCGGTGCGACGGCTACGACGGCTGCGACGTTTGCGAGAGGTATTACAAGTGCTGCACGTGCCGCGCCGCAGCGATGCCCGTGGTCCTTCGGACTCTCCCGGGCGCCTGGCTGCAGCAAACCGAGAAAGGCACGGCCTGGAAACTCTCCGATGACGACGTCGCAAAAATCACGGGAGCAAAAGGCCAGCGCAAAGTAATACTAAGAGCGGCGGCGGCGGCCGGCTGCGTCGTGCTGCGGGAAAGCGCCGCCGCGACGACGCTCGGCGACGAGAGCGACGCGAGGCGCACCATCGACGAGGTCGCTTTAGCTTCTCAAGCCGAGCTGCCGGCCGACAATGAGCGAGACGCGGCCGTCCGGGAGGCGGCGGCGATAGCGAAGGACGTGGACTGGGACGTCTGCCGCCTTTGCGTGAGGAGCCTCGCTCTCGACCTTGGACAACTGGAAGACCACCTCCATGACATCGACGAGGACGAACGGCGCAGGAGCCACGTGGCTGCGTCCGTATGCTCTCGAGCTTGTGGTATGTCAGATATTGAACGTCTGCAGCGCTTGTACCTGAGACTCCGCTTCAACGCGTTTCCTATTGATGGTGGTTTGGCTCTATTCAAAGACGCGTCTGCCTTAAATCACGACTGCGCGCCGAACGCGTCGTTGTCGTTTTGCCAAGGGCAGTTGTCCGTCGTCCTGGGCCGCGATTTGAAGGAGGGTGATGAGGTGCGCATCTCCTATTTGTCACCGCGCGCGCTGCTCGCGCCGGCCAAAGCGCGGCGCGCGGCGCTGTATACGGGCTTCCTCTTCCGCTGCGGTTGTGTGCGCTGTACATCTAATAAAGTCTTGGACGCGCCCGCCGTCGACGCCGCCGCCGAGGCGCTGGCGAAAGGTCTGGTCGACGACCGGCTCGGCAGGGCGCTCGCGGTCCTCGCCGACGACTGCCTCGGCGCGGCCACACCTTTATTAAGGGCGGACCTGCGCCTGCTCGCGGCGAAGGCTTTGGCGAAGAGGGATACGGCGGCGGCCTTCGGCCTCGCGCAAGACGCGCTGCTTGACTTGCGGCGGGCGCTCGACGACGAGGACCCACGCGTCGCCGCCGCGGCCGCGTTCGTGGTCCGCCTCCACGCCATCGACGCATCTAATCTAATGTGACTGTCTGTACGGAGGTGTTACACAAGAGGGCTGCAATCAATCTAGTCGGACTTCGACCCCACCAACAGCGGGAAGACGAAGGGCTTCACGACCTTCTCGTAGACGACGCCCGCGCCCTTCGTCGTCGGCGAGAAGAGCCAGACCAGCAGGACGAGCTTGAGGTAGAAGTAGAAGGGCAGGAAGCCGAGGATGAAGTCCAGGGGATTCATCACGACCTTCAGCAGCGAGAAGAGGCACCAGTACGTGATCCACATGGCCGCGTCTTCCGTCTTGTCCTCGGCGAGCATCTTGAGCGACGCGTAGGTCGGGTAGCCCACGCCCACCGCCGAAAAGACGAGCTGCGGCGGGCAGAGGAAGAAGACGAGGAAGAGGCCGAACAAGGCGCCGCCGCCGGCGAGCAGCGATTTCGGCTGGCCCGTCGTCTTCTCGATCTCCTCGAGCTTCTTGCGCGCGGGCTCGGGGAGCTTGACGAGGACCTCGTCGATCTTGCCCTTGATGGCTGCGTTTGGGTGTGTGTTGGCGCGCGTGTGCGTGCGGTCTCTCGGGCGGGTCGCACTCTCGCCGTCGGGCGGGTCTCGCGCGACGGCGGCTCGGTCCCTGCTTTTTTTCGGCGGATTCCGCGCGCGGCGCCCGATCGGCTGGAAGGGACCTTCTTTCGTAAAACGCCGGGGCTCACTTTCAATGTCCATGGCTGTCGTTGATTTCTCGAGCGCTGCGCGGGGGAGGGACGCGTTAGTGCGCCAAAACCGGCGGCCCTGTCATAATCTTCCAAACGCTAAAGCGTGGGCGGCGGCTCTTCCGCGCGGCGGAGCTTTCGCGGGGCTGAAGGTGCAGCGCAGCGCTGCGCCTTGCGCGTGTTGCGCTCGCCTCAGGACACGGTGGGCGCGCGGTAGAGTGGTCAAAATAGCGGAGACAACGGGAGCTTAAAAATGCTAAATATTGTGCGCCGCTAAATCTGCATTTTTTGCACGCGTCGATCGGTCGCAAGCGTGCCCCGGAGGCTCGGGAAGCCCGCGAGCGTCGATTTTGCTGGGTCCGGGGCTCGCCGTAAAACCCGGGCTCAGCGATTCGACAAAGTTGCGATTGTCGCTGGTATTTGCCTGCTACCGGGCACCGTAGGACGTCGACGCACGTCCCGAGGCCTCAGCGAGCGCCCAAGAGACCGCCGCCGCCAGCGCAGCAGCAGCCAAGCGCCGCTCGCTCACGCCGGCTGTAAAGTAGGTCGCCACCATGGGCGCCTACAAGTACCTCGAGGAGCTCTGGAAGAAGAAGCAGTGCGACGTCCTGCGCTACCTCATGCGCATCCGGGCGTGGGAGTACCGCCAGCAGACGAAGGTCTGCAGGGTGACGCGGCCGACGCGCCACGACAAAGCCCATAAATTGGGGTACAAGGCCAAGGAGGGCTACGCCATTTTTAGATCTGCCGTGCGCCGCGGCTCGCGCAAGCGCCCGACGCACCGCGGCGTCGTCTACGGCAAGCCCAAGCACCAGGGCATCAACCAGATCAAGTTCGCGCGGAACCTGCAGGCCGTCGCCGAGGAGCGCGTCGGCAAGAAGGCCGCGAACCTGAGGGTCCTCAACTCCTACTGGGTCAACCAGGACGCGACGTACAAGTACTACGAGGTCATCTGCGTCGACCCGTCGCACCAGGTGATCCGCAACGACCCGCGCATCAACTGGATCTGCGGCGCGACGCACAAGCACCGCGAGTGCCGCGGCCTCACGTCGGCGGGCCGCAAGTCGCGGGGCCTGCGCAAGAAGGGCCACCGCGCCAACAATTTGATTGGGTCGTCGCGCCGCGGCGCCTGGAAGCGCCGCAACAACCTGTCGCTGCGCCGCTACCGCTAGGTTGCTGGCGTTTTCGGTGCTGGTGGGTAAGCACCTCTCTCTTTACATGCGTCGCGGCGGTGGCGTTTTGGGAGTCGTGTAGGGTTCGGGTTCGGGTTTTTCGAGGTCTGTGTCAGCGGTTTACACACCGCTGACGCGTTGCCTTGCACAGTGCGTCGTTGTAGCATCCGTTTGAACCGCTGCGACGCCGGTGTTGCAACTCTCTTGCATATTCTTGCGTTGATCAGCGAATTGCACGCACACTGCTGGCAGCAAGCACAGTCAGCACCAGCTGTGAAGATGCGAAGTCACCTATTGCTCCTCGCAACACTCTCAAGCACTGCAGCACTGCAGGCGACGCGTCGACGCGCCATTAATGCCGCGTCAGCCGCGGTCGCGTCGGTGGTGCTGCCGCACGCGCCGGCGTCGGCCTTCGCCAACGCCGTGCCCGAGGCGGCGAAGTATGCAGACAGAAAAAAGCGACGGGGCCCGGCACCGCAGAATTTAGGGCTGAAGAACCGCGAGGCCGACGGCGCGGACGTGGAGACGCCGGAGCTGCGGTTGTGTGGCGCCGCACCGAACTGCTTCTCGACGACGCCCGACTCCTTCTCAGCCGAGCGGACCATTGCTCCGTGGAAGGCGCCGAGCGGCAAAGATAGGGCGGCCCTCGTATCCGACGTCGACGCCGTCGTAAAAGGCTACCAGCCGGGGCAGAACGGTATAGATGGAGGCGGTTTCGAGGTCGACAAAGCCTCCAAGGACGGCTACTTCCTCGTCCGCTACGAGTCGCTGAAGAACGGCTACATCGATGACGTCGAGCTCGCGCTCTCTGATAACGCGCCTTACGTCCTGCGCGTGCGGTCTTCTTCACGGGTCGGATTCCTCGACTTTAACGTCAATCAGAAGCGTCTCAATAGACTGGCGGCGGACCTGCGCGCGCGGGGCTGGGCCGCGCCCGAGATCACGGCGAAGACGCACCCCGACTACTTCGCCCAGAACGCGGGGCGCTAGCTATATAACTTAGTGGTACTGTGTTTTGAAGCCGTCGACGAGCGCATTCGAGGCATACGATCATCATACAAAGCTTACTCCAGCTCGGGGTCGTAGGGGGCATAACGCGGCCCGTCGTAGGGGACGAACTCGCGCTGGCCGAGGAGCCGCGGCTGACCGAGGACCCGCGGCTCCTCGGCCGGCTCCTCGGTCGGCTCCGCCGTCTCTTCCGCGGTCGGTTCGGTCGTCGGCTCCTGGGGAGGCTCCTCGGTCGGCTCCTCTGCCGGCTCCGCGGCCGGAGAAGCCGCAGGCTCCTCCGCCGGCCGGAGAAGCCGCCGGAGCTGCTCCGTCACCCTCCTAAACACCTTCGCGACCTTCTCCCACGTTCGATAGTAGTGCAGCCGCCAGCGAAACAACCCGAACCTGTGTGGAAACCAGAATTTACGGCGCGTTCGTGCTGAATCAACGCGTCGTCCTCCACGCCATCGACGCGACGCCTGCTCGATGGCGTGACGATGCCGGTTCCTCACCGCTCGACCGCGCCAGGACGGCCGCGTCATCGCCGAGAAATGACTTAGTGAAGAATTGTCGGGTGCACGCGACGCACTGGTTGATTTACACACAGACCCGAACGCCTGCCTTCTATACATGGCGATCTCCTCGGCCGACCGGTGCCACAATTCCGGGTGCGGGCTCCGGCGCACCGGCGGCCGCGGGTGGATCGACACGACGCCGCTCTCGGCCCACTGTCGCAACGTGCGCACGATGACTTCCTGGTCGCCGATCTTCACGTTGTGCCTTATGTCGTCCAGTTCCGCGAGCCACGCCTGGTAGGCCGCCTGTCTTTCCAGAGCTTCTGGTAGAGGGCATTCTAACCCGCAGTAGTAGGCCGTGATCTCGCGCTGGAGCTCCGCTGGTAACGCGAGGAGGTGGGCCTTCCTCGGTGGCGGTGGTGGGGCTTGTTTCATCGGCCTGGGGGCGTCGTGGCGGCGCACCGCGCTCTCGTACCATAGGTTGTAGTTCGCGCGGTCGCCGTGGTCCAGCGCGGCGGCGGCGGCGAGCCCGCGCTCGGCGCCGGGCCGGCGGCGCTCGGGGGCCGGGCCGGATTCGAAACATGCATCATTGTTCCTCTCTCGAGTGTTTGATTCAACCAGGGGGCGCGGGGTGGCCTGCGTTGGCGCCATGGCTGCGCCTTGAGTCAGTTGTCGCTTTGGGGCAGCCGCGCCTGCGCGCGGGGGCCTGTGCCGCCTGAATTGGCTGTCGTTCTCTCACATCCAGCAGGCTGAAAAGAGTAAGCCTCGACTGGTTGACGCGCCGGTGTTTCGCGCGGGAAGGCGTCAGGCCGCCCCGCGAGGGCTCCTGGACCTGCTCCTCGCAGCTTAGTACGCGTCGAGGACCCGGGCCCACTAGCCCAGCAGCCAGCCCAGGCTGGGCACAGCGCGCAGCCGCAGCAGGACGCCGTCGAGGCGCCAGGAGTCGCTCTCACGACTGGATTACGCGTGAAACAAACAAAGGCAGCACCGGTGCTACACGAGCGGACCGAGCCGGGCTGCCCCGCCACTCCCGTCGAGTGCACACCATGCTGGCCACCCGCCGGGGACCCGAGGACCCCCAGCGGGCGCGGCTACGAACTAAGACCGAAGCCCTCCGCAAGGAGTGGAGCGAGCTCCCGCCGGAGCAGGCCGCGCGGCAGCACCTCGAGCGGCTGCGCGCGGACTACGACCGGCGATTAAAGCGCTATGAGGAGCGGGAGGCCGACTACCAGTCCCAGATCAGACGGTTGGAAGATGAAGTAGTGGCCCAGCACGACATCCTCGACCCCGCTCGACCGGTTGATCCGGACCCTCTGTTGAGCGTGGCCGACGAGCATCGCGACCTCCTCGCTTCGTTGGACCAGATCGATGCTAGGAGAAGGCGCGTCGTCGCTGAACGACGGAAGGACGTGGAAGCGGCGGAGCGAGAAAGACTGTCCAAACCACGTGCTGAGCGAGATACGATGCGCGACGCGCGGGAGAAGCGGGATCGAGCTTGGAGATTAAAAGCAGAGCACTTCCAGAAGGAGAAGCAGTGGGCGCTTGGGGTCTGTGGTGAGTTGGAGGAATTGAATGCCGGTCTCGAGGCCCAGAACGAGGATCTTCGACAGAGGAAGTCTGCGGGCGATGCAGATAGGCAGTTCCTCATTTCCCAATTATCCGCCGTGCAGCGGGACAATGCGAAATGTAGGCAGGCGTTGAGGGACTTCTCAAAGCCGCGGCCACCTCTTCCACAAAAAGAAGAGGACATCAAGTCGAGCGGCCCGATGGCTACTGACGCGCGCGAGCTCCGGACGAAGGAGCTGCGGAAGCTCGAGGCCGGTCTAGATCATAGGCAACGACTGTTGATGAATCGACGGCGCGAGGCGGCCGACCACGCGCGCGAGGCGGCTTTATTGCAGAACTTGGTGCGGGACCGGTTGATAGATGTGAAAGATGCGGTGGATGAGGAAAGGGCGGAGTGCGACCTGGCTGATGTGGATGAGAAGAAGGATTCAGTCGTCGCGAAGCTCGAGTGGACGGCGCGCGTCGTGTCGCTTTTATATGATCGGGCGTTCCCGGCGGGTAAGTAGTACTAAACCACACAAACTAGTACACTTTTATGGTCCCGTCGATGGGCTGGCGGCAGCTCGGGCACGGGAGCTTGCGCCGCCGGAGCGTTTTTGCGCAGGACCTACAAGTACGGTGACCGCACGGGACCAACGCGGCGTCCTTGGGCGCGTCCAAGCACACAGCGCAGAGGCGCGCGTCGTCTTCATTAATGCGCGCGCGTGCGAGCGCCGCCTCGGCGCGCGCCGCCTGGCGGGCGTGCTGTTCAGCTTGGCGTCGCGCCTCGACTAGCTCGCGCTCAAGCCTGTCCGCGCGCGCCGACGAGAGCGCCTCGGCTTCCGTAGCGTCGAGGAGGCGGAAGGGCGTCCGCGCGAGATCCAACTGTTGGGTCCCCGTCGCGAAGCGCACGTCGAATTTCGGGAGCGCCCAGGGCGGTGGCGCGTCCTTGGCCAGCTTTATCGCTAACTTCGAGCCGGGCTTGCGGACGACCGCGGCGACGACGCCTTTACCTCGACCGCGCACCTCGACCGCAGCACCGACCAAGCCTTCCGGGTCGTCCCTGCACCGACTCGCCGCGTGGGCCCAGGCCTCCGACGTCTCCGCCGCACAGTGGAGGCTATGAGCCTCGATCGCGTCCACCGAGGCCGCGAGCCTTTGACCGCAGGCGCGGCAGGCGACGGTGTCGCGGTCGGCGTCGTCCACGACCGGCTCCGTTTGCGCGTCCTCAGTAGGCAGTGGTGCTTGCGCGTCCTCGGCCGCGAGGCGCCGTGCGAGCGCGGCGTCGTCCTCTTCCTGGCGGCGGCGGTCGCGGTCGCGGCGCCGGCCCGTCTCGTCGCGGCGTCTCGTTCCCTGCTCATCGCGTCTTCGTCGGCGGCGGCGGCGGTCGTGGACTGGTGCGGGCGTGAATTCAGCCACCGCTACGGGTCTGGCGGGCTCTGCCACCGCTGCAGTGGCATTCGGCAACTCTGTGTGTGCGATACTGGTACCGTCCTGGCTCTCGCTTTCGAACCCAGTCTCTTGCAGCATGCGTGTGAGCCACGAAGCCATGATTTGAGGCTGCCAAAGGCCGCGGTTAGCGCGTAATTCGCTTCGGAGCGCAAATTTGACGCACGCAAAACCCGATATTCAGTTGGTTTTTCAAATTCGAATATTCATCATGACAAGCCCATCTACGGCTCCAATTGCGAGGCCTGGAAGCGAGTGTGCGATGCATGCTTTTGGACGAGACTTTAGGCTGCTTTAAGGCCTCCAACTCCGGGTCGCCGCGCGCGCGTCTAGCTAGGCCGCGCTGGCACTAAAGCTTGCTTGGGCCGTCGCATCGCTGCACTGCGCTGTCGGCCGTCGCATCGCCGCACCGCGCTGTCGCTGGTAGCTTGGCGCGCACCTCTGGTAGACCCATGTCTGCCATGGACACCTCTGATGGGCCGGCGGCCGAGGAAAAGAAGGACGACCCGCCGCCGCCGCGCTTCGAGATCAAGAAGTGGAACGCGGTATCGTCTCAGCGTCCACCAATAGCCGCGCGCTCGCGACGCCGTCGGACGGAAGACCCGCCCCATCGACGCCTATTCACACAGGTCTGCATGTGGTCTTGGGACATCTGCGCCGACACCTGCGCCATCTGTAGGAACTCGCTCAACGAGCCGAGCATCGAGTACCAGGCGAACCCGAGCCCCAACAACGAGAACGGCCTGAGCATCGCCTTCGGCTGCTGCGGCCACGTCTTCCATTTGGACTGCATCCAGCGCTGGCTGAAGACAAGGTCTGTGTGCCCTTTATGCAACAAGGAGTGGGAGTTCGCGAAGATAGAAAGAATCCCGGGCTATGGCTCGCTCGGGGCGACCTAGTTCGTTCTTCTGTTAAGTAACGGCTTATTCTCTGTTATATCCGTGTCTTTCCGGAGTGCATGAACGCGGCGATGGCGTCCGCGCCTTGCTAGTGTCTTACAGACCGCTAGCATTAGTCTGGCGTCGAATCGAGAACGACTCGGGAGGCGCCATAACTGGGTTCCTGTGACGTCATAGCTCGCCAAGCGCTCACCTGGGGCTGCGGGACAGCGATTCGAGACGAATTTCGAGCTGTGCGGCCCACCCGCAGCAGATAGGACGATCTGCCGCCCGGCGCTCACGGTACAAACCGCAAGCGCACGGCGCCGACGCGTCCAGATCTCGCAAGAATGGCCCCCAAGAAGAAAGCCAAGACCGCCGCGCCGCCGATGGCCTGTTTCGCGGGTGCGAAAATCACCGTCATCGGCGCCAATCCGTTCCAGCGGAAGCTCTGGGAGGCGAAGATCGGCGCCGGCACCTCGTTCCTCAAACCGTCTCAAGCAGCATCACTCAAGGAAGGCAACGACTTCGTCGTGATTGTTGTGGATAATGTGGATCCCGCGACCGTGCGCGCGAAGGCGGGCACCGCGCAGCTCGTCGTCGAGCGCTGGATCACGGACTCGATCGCGCGCAACGAGCGCCAGTCCGCCGCGGCCCACGCCTGGGGCGGCGCGCTCGAGGACGCCGCGCCGTCGCCGGACGACGAGAGCGACGCGTCGAACGCACCGGAGACGAAGGGCCTCGTCATCGTCGCCGTCGGCCTGCCGGGCGCGGGCAAGTCGCGGTTCCACAAGGAGTACCTGGCCGGGCGCGACGTCGTCCGCTGCTGCCAGGACCTCCTAGAACGATCGAGATGTCTCGCGCTCGTCGAGGAGACCGTGCGCGCGGGCAAGTGTGCGTATGTCGATCGGTGTGATGGGTATCCGGAGCAGCGCGCGCCCTGGGTGGAAATAGCGAAGCGCTGCAACGTCGAGGTCGTCGCGTTGCGGTTCACGGCGGACGCGTCTACGTGCATCCAGCGCGCCAAGGCCCGAGCCGCGCAGGGCGAGCACGACAGCACGCTCAAAAGTGATTTCGCCCGCGTCATCCTAAAGCATAGGAGCGAAGCGGAACCTATTGGCGAGGAAGAAGGCTTCGACCGCGTTTGTGACGTCTACGAGGACGACAACGCGGCCAATTTGGCCCTTGTGGACGAGCTGCTCGGCCGCACGCCGGCGCCCATGGTCGAGCCCGTCGCGGCGCCGTCGCTGCCGGACACGACCGCCGCCATCCGGGCCTTCGCGCTCGCGCCCGCGGACCCGTTGCCGCGCGACGTCCCCGGCTACGATGTGGACGAGCCTCTGCACGCAAAGATCGTCGACAGCGTCATCACTGCGGCCGACGCCGCGCGGCTGATCGAGCTCGCTGCGGGGGCCCGGGACGCCTTAACGGGGGAACACGGATACCGATGGGCGGATTTGGACGGGCGCATGCAGCGCGACAAGCGCCAGAGCGACCGCGTCATGGTCGACGCGCCGGATTTAGCGCGTCAGATCTTCGCGCGGCTGAGCGCGGGGCTGCCGGCGACGTGGCGGTCGCGGTCGGGGGGCCTCTGGCGCCTGAAGGGGCTGAACGAGCGCCTGCGGTTCCTCAAGTACTCGCAACCGGGCGACTTCTTCTACCCCCACTGGGACGGTTGCTTCGTCCGAGAGGTGGGCGTCGAGCGCTCCTTCGTGACCGTCCTCCTCTACCTCAACGAGGGCTACCGCGGCGCGTGCACGACCATCTACGACGAGACGGGCCGCCCGCTCCCCGTCGCGCCCCGGACCGGCATGGCACTCGTCCACGACCACCTCGTGAGGCATGCGGTGCCGACGCTGCGCGAGGGCGTCAAGCACGTCATCCGCACGGACGTCATGTACGAGCGCGTCTTCGAGTAAGCTTGTGATATGTATCCATTTGCTAGTGTCTTACAAGCCGCTAGCTAATAATTTGTGCCGACAAAAACGCTGGCATTTGTGCCTACAGGCGAGTGCTGGCGAGTGCTGGTTATCGCCAGTGGTATACAGTCCCTCGCTGACAGCAGCTTGGGCTGCGCGCTGCGTTGGCACACCTAAGCACGCCTACACACTGCCACCAAAAAAAATGCGCATCTCGCTGCCAGCCGTATTAGCCTTTTTGTGCGGTTTCGCCGCCACAGTCGTGGTCGTGCAGCACCGCGTGCCCGCGCTAGGAGCGCTGCATCTAGACGGGACGCATAGCCCGCACCACCTGCGCGCGAAGCCGCAGCCGCCGCCGGTGGCGCCGCGCGCCGGCCTGCTTGGGAAATTACGCGCCGAGCTACCGGCGGCGATGCGCGCCTCGCCGCCGCCGACGGGCGCCGCGCCGTCCGCGCAAGAGCGCCGCGAGGCCGAGCGCCTCGAGGCCGAGCGCCGCGCCGAGGCCGAGGTCGCGGCCGCGCGCGAGGCCGTCGCGCGGGAAGTACATACGCGGAGGCCACCGCCGGCGCGCGCCGCGGCGCCACCGGCCGCCGGGGCGCGCCCCAAGCCGCAGCTCGTCTGGCACGAGGTCAAGAAGCGGGAACCGGCCGCCAAGACACAAAGTCAAAAGCCCAAGCTCGTGTGCGACAACGTGCCGACGGCATCGGAGGTCGTCTACTGGTCCAATACCCTAGAAACGCCCGCTACGCTCCCACCGCCGAGGCAAGACAAGTACCTGACCTTTGAATATGACGCGGGCGGCTGGAATAACATCCGCATGGGCCTGGAGTGTCTCGTGGTGCTGGGCCATGTCTTGCGAAGGACTGTAGTATTGCCCCCGCCGCAACCTCTCTACTTAATCGCGAACAACTACCACGCGCGGCGCGATTTTGGCTTCGCCGACTTTCTGAACGTGACGCTGCTCGGATCGCATGGTGGCTGGCGCACGCTGACGATGGACCAGTTTTTAGCTACCAAGGTCAAGGGCGCACCTATCACAGCCAAGGGCCGCTCGATCTGGAAGGCCGTGACTCAGGCGTCGGACGCCACGCTGCCACCCGTCGGGCCGCGCTTCGCCACCTTCTCTGCTCAAGGGAGAGATGCTCCCGTGTCATGGAAGAACACGAACTTTCCGCCCGGCCAGAAAGTTATCAAGCTAGATGAACTGTACAGTGCGAGGCACCTCCATTCGCCAGGAACCGGTAGTCATAGATTACTCAAAAACTTCTACTCCTTCCTCTACTTCCAGGACAAGGAACAGAACAAGTTCTATAAAAGATTTGTCCGAGACTACATGCGCTACCAGGATACGATCCAATGTGCCGCGCATCGCGTATTGCAGAAGATTCGGTCCATGAATTCGACCTTCTATGCAATACACGCCAGGAGAAACGACTTCCAGTATCGCCTCGCGAAGATTTCCGCGAAAGATATTATTGAAAATTTGAAGCCGATAGATATCCCGAAAGGGTCGTTGGTGTTTCTGGCTACGGATGATCCAACAGGCGAGTGCCGAGGCTGCCTCTACGAGAGAAAGCCCTGCCACACCTACCCGATACCTCGAGACAAGAAGATGGGTTGTCCTGATGACCCGTCGTGGAATGCGTTTACGGAGTATGGGTGGAAGGTAGTGATGCTGCAAGATTTCAAGCGAGAGTTGGGCGACCTGAACCCGAATTATTATGGGATGGTCGACCAGATCGTCTGTTCGCGAGCGGAGAAGTGGGCCGGGGCCTTTTGGAGCACGTTTTCGGCCTTCATCCATCGACTGCGGGGCTACCACGGCTTAGGCGAAGAAAGTTATTACCACACGCCGGGCAAGCTCATGGATTTGCGACAACCACGTCGGTCGGGCCCCGGCTGGACGCGCGACTGGCGCGCGGGCTGGACTGATGATGATCATGGAGAGCTCATCTCGCGCTGGGGTGCGTAGCCTTCGCATCGTCTCATATGGACGCGTGCGGCCCGCGCAGCTTCTGGTGGTACGTCGCCGTCGGGAAACTACACGGGGCGCGCCAGCGTCCTCGGCCAGGCGGTCTCGGGAACGGTCTCCATTATTAACGGGACGCACATGAATTTGGACGTCGGTCATCCCGCACATATCAAGTGCCCGGGTGAGCCGTACACGCTCTCAAGTACTGGCGCGGTCACGCTCCCCACCGCCGGCACGGCCGGAGATTGCGTCCACGACGCGCTAACGGCCCACGGAGGCTCCATCGAATCCATCTTTTATAATTCCTCGGCGGACGCGATCCACGTGGACGTGACCGTGCTCTACTTCGTTTCGGTGAAGATGACGCTCGCCTCTGTTGTGTGATAAGTTGTGTTATTACATGAATCACATTAACTACTACAAAACTAGCGCCGCCGCCGCCGCTTCGGCGCCGGCACCGCCCCGGCAGGACCTGCGCGGAGTGACCAGTCGAGCGCGCTTATATACAAAAGCTGAGTGGCGTCGAGAGGACTTCTTCCGATCGGATACGGACCTCTAGCGTCATGCGCGGTGGAATCACCCATCACCCTGGTATTTGACTCCGGCCAGGGAAATGGCGGTCGGCGTGTAAGCGGGCGGCTAAGCCCCGGCCCAAGGGTCGTCATCTCGGAATTCGAAGGTACGTGAACACGGACGCCGGTCGCGCACACGGCGGCCGCACTCCCTCGGCGCCGTCGACAGGCGCCGCCGGCCCGAAGCCCAGCCTTAACTTGCGGCCGCGCAGCTTGGTTGGGTAGAGCTTCGCGCGCGATACGACCTTCGTCGCCGCGTCAACACCGCACTCGATCACACACGACCCGTAGAAAAGAGAGGTCTCGCGGTCCACGAGCCACGTCAGCCGCCCATCAATGTCTAGCGTAGAGAGGACCTCCTCCCGTTCGACCGTGAACGGCAGGTTGCCCACGAAGAGGCGCGGCGCCGGCGGCCTCGTCTTCTCCGCGACCGGCGCCGCCTTCACCGCAATTTCGGGTTTCTCGACGCGCTTGGAACCGGCGAAGTTGTCGCGGCACAGGCGGCACTTCGCCTTCGACGCGACCTCCTCCGGTGAGACGCGGTTGCGGCAGGGCTGACAGACGAGCACGGGCACTTTACAGGTGCTCACCGCGCAGACGACCCTACCCCTATACAGGTCGCAGGGCACGCCACATAGAGCGCAGGACCCTAACGGCGCCTGGCGCTTGAGCGGCCGCTGCTCGAACCTCCGATCGAACAGGTAGTTCGCACCCGCCCAATAGCCGCCGTCCGGAAACGTCCGCAGGTAGCGCTCGACGCCTCCTCTGACCATCACAATTTCCTTGGGGCCCGCTGACGCGACGGCGTCCTGCGTCGCTTGCGCCGGGCAGGCTCCACCGGCACACGACGACGATAACTCAGAGAGCAGCGCCGAGGCCCTTTCACACCTGATACCACCAGTACAATACATGAGCACCCGCTTCCCCGCGAGCCGCTCGCGCGTCTCCGGGGCGTTGAGCCAGCGCGGGATCTCGTGCGAGTTGCGGACCTTCGGATCTAGGAATTTGGCGCCGTTGGCGGGCGGCCGCATGCGCCCAATTTCGGTCTCGTACCTGTGGAAATCAAAATTTTACGGCGCGTTCATCGACGCGCCGCCTGCTCGATGGCGTGGCGATGCCGGTTCCTCGCCGTCGAGCGCACCCGACGCACTGGTTGATTTCCACACAGTCTCGTACTGGTTGCGCACGTCGACGACGATCGCGTCGGGGTCCTCGAGGGCTTTATGGTACTCAACAGCGTCGAGATGCGTCGCCTTGGACGTGGCCAACTGCGGCTGACTCTGCCCCAACCCATAGCCCACCAATTCCTCCGTTTTTCGTATTGTGAGTCGTTTGAACGCCTCCTTCTTCTGCAAGCCGTCCGTGATCTTGAAATCGACGGGGCCGAAGAGTTGCGAGTCCCACTCGCGCAGGGCCGCGCAGAAGGCGCGGATCTGCTGCTGGCCTCCTGTTAGTGTGCAATTCACGCCCTCGGGCGCGCACCGCCCGCGGCCCTTGAGGTCGTGCGCTTCGCACAACTTAATAAAGGTCTTCAGGGCTCTTGAATGCTCCGCCGCCGACCACGCCGGTTCGCGGTAGGCGTAGAAGAGCACTAATGACGGTTGTCTAGGATTTCCGCGCGCGGGCGGCAGCGCCTTGAATGCGGTGGACTGGGCCTCGCTCGGGCGCATCGCGCTTGCTCTCGCCGAGCCGGTGCTTTTTGCCAATTCGTGAGACCCACGGTGATTGCCCTCGCCGAGCCGGTGCTTTTTCGCCAATTCGTGAGACCCACGGTGCGCGCGCTGGGACCGTCGCCGAGCCTGCAAGGCTGCACTTGTGCAGGCAAGCGATGATGGACCCACGGATCGCGCTGGCTGGATCGCTGCGGTCGAGAACGCAGCGATGCGAAGGTGCGAGTCCACTGAGCGTACCGGAGCGCAAATGCCAAGGCAAAAGGGCAATCGGCAAGCTGGCATTGAAGCTGCCCGACCTAGCCAAGAGGCACTAGCTTTTTCTGGGCAGGCGGATCACTCGTCCATTCACACGCCACCGACGCGACGAGAGCAAGGGAATTACACACACTACTTCCCGGCCGAGAAGTCCGCCAGGTCCGCGAGCCGCGCCCTCAGGGGCACTCCACAGAAGACGACGACCAGCAGAGCGACGAGCGCGAGCGGCGCCGCGAAGACGAAGAGGTATATGACGCCGTCCGCGAGGCGCTGCGTCCGCCGGATGAGTTTCTTGAACGCGCGTCGCACCGTTTTTGACGGAGACCAGACCCGTTCAAAAGGAGGAGGCGGCCTTGAGGAATCGCGTTTCGAGAGCGTGAGCTGCAGCGTGGAGAGAGACGCTTGCGCCGACAAGCGCTGCATCGTCGCCTTCCGCGCCTCCAGTTGTTGCACGACAGACGACAGTTCGCGCTGCACCTGCAGGACGTCTTTCACCAGGTCCGCTCTCGACATCAATGCTTGCAGCTGCGCCCGCGTCGCTTCCAACGTCGAGGCGCGCGCCGCATTATCAACGTACTCGCCCGTGACGTCTCTGACCCTATCTGTGGTTTCTTCCACGTCTTTGGCAGAAGTGAGGCCTCCTATGGACTTCCGGAAGTCTTGGAGCAAGGAAGCGTACTTCTCGACGGGTATCCGCAACGTCAAGCGCACGTTCTGGCCCCGCCGTATATCTCCGTCGAGATACCCACCATTGTCCTGCCTACTTTCGACGAAGCCTCCAGCAGCTTCTACTTGTGACGTGGCGGCATTGGCGACCTTATCCACATCGGCGTCCGTCTCGATCCTCAAAGTCCCGGTCCGCACGAGCATCGTCTTCACGGAGGACGCGTCGAAGGGCTTTGTCTCCACATCCAGTATCTCGCCGCCCAACGAACTCCCGGGCGCGCCGCGCGAGTAGCGCGCGGACTTCATACTAGTACGCATCATCTGAGGCTCGTCCATGGCCGCGTCTTCCGCCATCATCATCATTTCTGGCGCGGCGGCCATGGCCGGCGCGCCTCGGCTTGACCGAGCAAATGATCGCATATCGCCTTCTTGGTAGACCAACCTATTGCCACGCGGGCTCGACGCCGCCGTCGCCGCGGTGACGAGGTAGCAGGCTATGAGACCGAGCGCCACGCGCCCGACCAGCTTCTGCTTCGGCGAGAGCGGGCCTTTGCTCGGTTTGAGTGATGCGCCCATATTGATTGCTATTTCCTCGCAGGGCTTCTTGATGCGTTCTCGCATGCGTGTGCTTTTTTTCAGGCAGGCAGAGATGCTCTCTCTGGAGATCTGGTCTGTGAGCGCGTTGCTCCTCTTTCGTCAGCCCGTCGCAGCGATGGCGTGGAGGCTGCAGCTAAGGCTTGAACCAATGATGATAGCGTGCGACGACTTTGCGGCTACTAAAGACTTTGCGCCGCGCAAAAATCTGCCAAATGCGGCTCACGCGTCGTGCTTTTGTCGCTCCGACCCGTCGCCAGAGTCGTATACATTGTTGCGTTGGACCCCTGAGAGGAAGCCTAGCGCGGGCTAGCTAGCGTCCAAAGACACTAGATGCCCAAAAACTTTGCGGCGCGGCCTGCCAAGCCAGGTTATCCTTACCTATTTCACTCGCGTCGCAGCGCTAGTTGTCGCTGCAACGCTGTTCTAGCAGACACGCTTGGAGTCAACCCGTCGCGTGCAACCGCGAACGAGCAAAGCCACAAGCCACACAAACAACCGATACAAAATGTCGGGCACGCAAGAGCTCCAGAAGGTCCTCGACCTCTTCGAGCAGCGCATCGCCGCCGTGGAATCCAAAGTAGGCGTCGCCGGACCCCCGCCGCCGCCGCCCGCCAGCACCGGTGGACAAGACGCGGCCCAGGTCGCCGCCTTCGACAGGTACTGCACTAAATCGTTAGAACCCTTCGTCCAAGCTTGTGCTGCCTTAAATGCCCCGGAGGCCACGCAATGTGCGGACCACGTCAAGCAGGCCTGGAGCGCCATGCGAGGATTTATCGTGGCCGCCTCTGTAAGCAAGAAGCCGGCCAATTTTCCCGGAGATTGTATGGCGTTAATAAAACCCTGCCAGGAGGCCATGCAGGGCGCCTCCAAAGCTATTTCCAGAGGTGATTGGGAACTACATCAGAAGACAGTGAGTGAGGGCGTCCAGTGCCTCTCATGGTTGATCACGTCCCCGGGCCCGAAGGACGTCGTCGAATCTTATATTGGCGGTACGGACTTCCACGCCAACAAGATTCGGGTCAAGTACAAGAAAACCGATCAAAAACAGATCGTTTTTTGCGACACGTTCAAGAAGTTGATGACGGACCTCATGGCCTACGTCAAGGAGTACCATTTGACCGGGGTTACGTTTAATCCGCGAGGTGGGGACATTGGCTCAGCACCGGTCGTCGCCAAGGAGAACACGCCTCCGCCCGCGCAGCCGACGGCGAAGGCCGGCCTCGCGTCGGCTTTAGCAGGCCTCCAGAACGCCAACGACCTCCAGTCCAAGGGCCTGCGCAAGGTCACGAAGGACCAGCAGACCTGGCGCAAGGAGTTCTCTGGTGACAAGCCGGCCGTCGTCGCGAAGAAGGCCGCTCCCGTAAAAAAACAAACGGTGACCAGGGGCCCGCCCTCCAAGAAGTTACTAGGCAAGAAGTGGATGGTCGAGAACTACTCGAAGGCGGATGGCGTCGTTACGATCGAGGTAGAACCCAAGTTCACTGTCTATATCGCGTGCTGCTACGAGGCCACACTCGTGATAAATGGAAAGTGCAACGGTGTCGTCCTGGACGCGTCCCAGAAGTGCCAGGTCGTCTTCGACACGTGTATCGCGTCCTTCGAGGTCGTGAACTGCAAGAGCGTCAAAGTGCAATGCAAAGGTACCTGCCCTTCTATAGCGATAGACAAGACCGACGGCATCTTGACTTATTTATCGAAGGAGACGTTACCTGTCACGTCCTTCCTCACGTCCAAATCTAGCGACATGCAAGTGAGCTTTCCTAATGAGAAGGATGAGATGGTGGAAGCTCCCATCCCGGAACAGTTCCGGCACACCGCGGCGTTGGTGGGCGGGAAGCCCGTCCTGTCCACCGACGTGTCCGACTTATATACGCACTAGTGCGGGCCGCGTAAGGTGGTCTATGTTATCTTTCGCGTCGATGGCGTGCGGGGTTTGATCAGATTTTGATGCCAGGCTGCTCGCATTTTTGACGCCAGCCGCTGGGAGCTGCGTAAAAGGCTGCCCCGGCCGTGCCCTGCAGCCGTTCGGACCCGCCTGCGTCGGATTTGAGCTGCGCCGCATCGCTCCGGGGTCTTGTGCAGTGTATTGCTTCCTACCACACCGTGGAGCACCGGGGATAAACGTGCCGAAGCGCACCCGTAGTGATGTGCCGGGACCGCCTCGACCAGTTCTGCGACCGCCACGACGTCGCGCTCCGCGCCGCGCTACTAATTATTCCCGTTCTGATCTACGCCTCGTACATCGCCTGGGCCGCGGATAGGTTCGACTTCATCTGTGGCTCGTTCGGCAACTATAAGTCATTTGCGCCGGGCATCGCCGTCTGGATGCTGTATTTTCTCGTGTTGCCGTTGTTCCTCTGGCGCAAGTTCCGACGAAAGCACGGTCCTATAATTTGGCTCGTCATGCTGATCTTGTGGGAGCTCCAGATCGTCGTCGCCGTCGTCGACAAGCACGCCCATGTGGAAAAGCTGTCGTCGCACAATTTCTGGCGTTTTTTTCATTACGCCGTCTCCGCTGCATTACTACTCTTCGGCCCGTTCCAGATGCAGTGGCTCGCTCCCGACGACTGGAAGCAGCGGTGCCGGCGCGGGCCGCCTATGTTGGTCGTGGTGTACCTTATCATGTTCGTCGTCTACCTCGCGGGGCCGCTGCCCAAGGCGGGGGCGATAATCGCCGAGCTCATCGTCATGGGGTGCTACCTGTTCGCGCTGCTCGTCGCGCTGCCGGGGCTGCAGAAGCGTCCCGAGGCGCCGCCGGGCGTCGTGTTGCGGCAGATGGCGTCGGAGGGCGTCTAGTCACGAACGAAAGGAATTCCCGAACGCCGCCCCAATCCCTATCTCACGCCTCGTCGACGCGCCGTAGAGACGCGCCGTGATCGTTACGTACGATTTCGATATAACTTTTTGCTCGTATGCTGCGGCGGCGGGAAGATCGGTCCGAGCCGGGGGGGACTCAATTGGAATGATACACACTACAACTTAACCTCGTACACGTCCGTGTTCTGCGGCGCGTCGCGCCGGCGAGGGCGCGCCGACGCCGTCCAGCCCCGCTGACGGAGCTGTTCGAAGAACGCTTCCGTGCGCCCGAGCCGGTGCGTGACCGCGACCAGCACCGTGCCGTCCGGCCGGGCGACCGCCTCGATGGCGTCCAAGAGGGGCTCGAAGAGCTCGGGCCAGAAGACGCAATCCGCGGCTAGAACGACGTCGAACCGTTCGCCGAGCGTATTCGGCGCCATCCAGTCGAACGCCGCGACGGAGACGTCCAGCCCGTTGCGCGCCGCGTTTCGTTGGAGGAGAGGGAGGTTTTCCGGCAGATCCGTCAACACGACGCGCACCGCGCCATTGACGGCACACGCAAGGCCCGCTAGCCCGGCGCCAGCGCCGAGCTCGACGACGCTCCGGCCGCGGACGACGTCGGCCACGTGCAGCGCGAGCTCGGCCGACGCCGGCCAGACCCGCGACGCCGTGTACGCGGGCACGACGTCCCCGGTCACAGATGTCGGCGCGTCCTCGGCCCCCGGCGCGCGCTGGTCGAGCGTAAGCACGGTCTCTCCCACCAGAACGCGCGCATGCGGGCCGCCGACGTCCGCGCGCCAGGGGCGCGGTAAGTCATCTGGCAGCGCGAGGCCCGTTCGGCTGATTGCCGTAGCGCGGGTCCCGCCGTCGGCCGCGTCGTACGCGCGAACGATGACTTTGGTGCCGCGAAATCGTACAGACGCGACGACGAGCACCGAGCCGCGCGGCGCCGCCGGCACCGAGACGCGCACCACGGCGAGGACGGCGGCGTCTCGCGTCGTCGGGCGCGCGGCCGCCACGACGGCAACGTCGACGAACGGTTGGCCGTCACGTGCCGTCGTGAGCGCGAGCGTCGTCGTGTCCGGTGGTCGTGCTAACTCGATCAAGCTCCCGTCGGCAGCCGCGACGGCGACCGCGAGGCGGCCGTCGGCCCAGACGGGTCGGTCGTCCGCGGTGCTGTTGAGGGCGATTACTGCGCCACCGCTCGCGGCGTCGTCGACGCGGTGCAGCGCACTCATCGCGAGAGAGAGCAGGGAGAGCAGGCACAGCCGCATCGAGGCATTGTTGCTCTTAGCGCTCGTCGTGTCAGGTCCGTGGGAGCCGCGCTAAACGGTGTAACCTTTTTGAGGCTGCTCCTCGGGGGCTAAGGCAGCTGTTTGGCACTCTGCTCTGCTGCCCACATCTGCTCTCCGCATTTTGCGAGCGCGCACGCGGCGTACGGATTGAAATACGCGGCTCGCGGCACTGCACCGTCACAGCGACACCTCCTCAGAGAATTGCAATTGCGCCTGCGCCGCGCGCGCTGTGAACCGAGGGCTCCGCCTCAGGCACCAGAAAAAAACGCTGCGGCGCGAGAAACGACCGCCACGCGCCGCCGCCGCGTTCTCTGAATCGTATACCTGGATCGTGTTGCGCAGCTCATGAGCAGAGAAGCCATCGCCCTCGAGCCCGAGGCGCCGTACTGGCTCGGCGGCGCCGTCGAGGTCACGCCCCACGTCACCGAGGCGCTGGCCACGGGCGGCGCCGCGAGTCCGTTCCTCGCGCTCGACTACGCGCCCGCGCGCAAACGAGAAGGTCCACGCCGATCGTACGGCGTCGACACGCACCCCGTGCGCGGCTTCGAGGTCGTGACGCTCTGCTTGGAAGGCGAGGCGCGCGACGCCGGCGGGCCGATAAAGGAGGGCGACGTGCGGTGGCTGACTGCTGGCCAGGGCGCGCTCGTTGAAGGATTAGGGAGCCCGGCGCGAGCTCACATGGATCCGGCGTTGTATAGGTTGCGGGTCAACGTGCCGCGGGACCTCAAAATGAGCCCGCCTAGATTGCAGCGGTTTGAAGCGCGGGACGCGCCCGTTGTCGCCCTTGGTGATTGCATGTTACGAGTCTACGCCGGCGACGTTTGCGGCGTCGTCGGGCCGGTCGAGCCCGAGGTCGACGGCACGCAGTTGTACGTGGTGGACGGAAGTGGTCAAGTCGACCTGCCTCTGGATGGCGAGGCGACGGCGCTCATGTTAATAGTAAGGGGGACGTGCACCGTCGATGGCGTCGTTTTCGGCGCGAACCGGGCCTTCTACGCGCCGCCCGGCGAGGCCTCTATGCAAGTAACGCTGGCGGCGTCCACAAAGCTCGTCGTGGCCCTCGCCCTTCCGACGACGGACCCCGTCGTCGTCGGCGGGCCCTTCGTCATGACGTCCGCGACTGAAATCGCGCGGGCCTACGAGGACTTCCTCCACGGGCGCTTCAACGCGACGGGCGGGCGCCCCGAGGCCTACGCGAGCGACTCGGACTCGTCGGCCGTCGAGTAGGGACTTGTTGTTGTTGATTTTTCTGTGGACAGCCTCGACGTCGCGCGACCGCCAGTTAAGACTTTTGCTTTGATTAGAGCTAGGCCGCCTAGCTACCCGGCCGCCGCGGGGCTGCGTGACCGAACGCCCGCCCCGCCCCCGCCCACGTACGCCGTCGCCCCGAGTGTTGGCTCGGAGGCGACGACGCTTTTAGTCACGGTACTTTTTTTAGTGTCGGGGGAAGGGATCGGGAAGGGGAGAGGACGAGCCGCGCCGGGACCTCGTCGTGAGGCGCTCTTAGTCGTGCTCAATAAGATACCAGGAATTTTCGACGGGTAACCCAGTCTCGCCTGTGGTTTCAGAGTCATCACAAGAAGTCATGACCGGCTTCACCCAGCCGTCCGCTCCGAAGCACCTCCCGTCCTTGCTTTTCACTTGACCTAAGATGCCGGCTCCATGGGACGGCGCCGTGGGCTCCTTGTTAAACGTAAAGTCCTTCTCCCAACCTTCATCCTCACACTTCTCAAACCATAAAGAATCAGAGTCGGCAGTAAGACATAAAGTAGTGAATGCGTCCAGATTGAAAAGTAAACGATCAGGGTGTCCACCAATATTAAAAATCTGGCCGTTCTTGGCCGCGGATTTATCGTAGCAGCGATGCAATTCCGGTATAATTCTTCCTTTATAGTCTTGCAGACGCATCTCCTTGAGTTGGTCGGGCACCAACGTGAGACACGTGGCCAGGCCGTCGTCCTTGTCGTGTTGGTTTGTTGGATTGATCATCAGCTGCACGGAAGGGTTAGACCGGCAAAAGCCACGACACGCAGGAGAAGTGCGAAGAGAAGGGCGACAACTACGAGTGGTGCGGCGCCACGCCGGAGCCGACGGTCACGCCGCAGCCCACTCCCGAGGCGCCCACGTTCGACCCGGCGGCCGTGACGTGTAGTAATTACGCTACGTACGAGACGGACCCGAACCTGAAGGTCATCTCCTGCATCGGCGAGGACGCCTGCAAAGATGAGGACAAAAGCCTCGACGTCGCGACGAGCAGCTCCAAGATCGGCGTGCTGGTCATTTGCGACGGGAAAGCCGCCTGCTCGGGCAACGTGAAGCACAAAATGGACGCCGGGAAGGTGGTGCCCGTCGTCGTCCTTTGCTGCGGCGAGGACGCGTGCAAGGGCAGCAACTACAAGTTCGAGGTGAAGGACTGGGCGACGGGCGTGGCCGCGTACGCCCACTGCAAAGAGAAGAACGCGTGCACGGACGCGAAGTTCGAGGTCAAGGCGGGACACTCGCTCCACGTGAAATGCGGGGGGCCGGCGTCGAAAAAGACCTGCGAGAACGCGAAGGTCGAGGTCAAAGGGAGCGGCGTCGCGACCTGCAGCGGCAACGGGTGCTCGAACCTCGCGAGTGGTTACCCCAAGCGCCGCCTCGACGCCGCCGCGCCCGCGGACACCGACTCGTAGACATCAAGGCCGCGTCCGGCTCAAGGCGCGGCGGCAACAAGGCCGAACATACATACCCCCTCCGGAACCACCCAGTCCCTAGAGCCAGTAATGACTCGTCGTGGTGCTTAGTTTCCTCGCGTGTCGATACTTACTCAGATATTCAGGTTCAGCGTCAGCCCCAGGTCCAAGGGCGTGACACCCCTAACAAATCCCTGCGGCCCCAGCAAGGGCGCGGAGTCGTCGGGCACGCACGTCAGCGATAAAGTTGTGCGGTCGTCCGACCTAGACGCGGAAAGAGCCAAGTCCGTGTCCGGGACGCGATACGACATCTGCAGCGTCGCGGGCTGCTCGCCGACGGCCTGCTTAAGTTGCGCGATTTGCGCCTGGTAGAGCTGAAAGACCTGCAGGTAGGCCTGCTGCTGCTTCTGGGCCTTGGCGGCGACGTCCGCAACTTTTGCCTGTCTGCTGCGGACTTCCCTCGAGATTGCTGCGGCGGCGGCGGTTTCTGACGACGACTCCCAGTCGGCGCCTGGTCTTCTGGCCGCTTCCGCGGCATCATCTAGTGTCGATACGACTCTTTCGACATCCCCGAGATCGTCCTTCAGGAGCTTCGCCCTTACGAGAGCGAGCTGCTTCACGAACAGTAGCTCCAGTGAAGAATCAATGGCCTCCTCGAGCCGCGCGCGGTCCTCGCCGGAATTGGCGGGGGCCTGGGCGTCAAAGGCCGCCAGGGCCTTGTCGTAGGCGCTTCCCAGAATATCACCGAGGCCCTCGACGGCCTTGCCCTCGTCGATTTGTTGGGATGCCTTGCTCGTTTCGGCCTCGGACGCTTGCGCGGCGGCGACGAAGGCGGCGCCGACCCTCTCGTCGAAGTCGTCGGCGCCGCCGCGCAGGGCGTTCAATTTGATCGGCGTCGGCCGTCGCGCGGTTGCGGCGGCTAACAGGAGCAGGCAGCTCGCGGCTCGCCTCGCCATTTTTTTTGTGTGGTGCTATCGCTGCGTGGCTGTTGTGCTCGCGCGGCGATGTATGCTAGCAAAGGCTTGCGCAGCGCTCCGTTGGCAAGTTTCTATGCAGCAGGTATCGCAAACGCGCCTGGTTGCAGCTGTAGAATGCTAGTGTCGGTATGCCGCTAGCACGCATCGCGCACATATCGCTTTTTGGCACAGTCTCAAGCCTATAGTGGGCCAGGAGAGCATAAGTGGTCGTTTTGTTGCATATAGTCGTCGCTGCGCCGACTGCTACTGCCGAGGACCTCACAAGGACTATCACTGCTGCTTTGCACAAGTCAGGCAATCAGTAAGGACACCATGCTCGTCGTTCGTCGTGCCGCGCTAGCCGCTCGACACGCGATTGCAAAGGCGCCCGTCGCGGCGCGGAGCTGCTTCAGCACCTACACCGTCACGCAAGTGGAGCAAGGCGACGACGCCGCGTGGCGCAAATTACTGAGCGACGCCGACTTCCTCGCAGCGGTTGAGGATTCAGACGAACTGGCAGAAGCGTTCGTGAGACGCATGGACCAGCAAACCGTGGAAATATCGAGGCTCGGCACGCCCGAAGGTAATGACCCAGAGATCTGGACGTACGCGGCCCACCTCTTCACGCACGAGGACCCGGCGGTGCTCGCGACGGCGCGCGTCGCCGTCTGGCGAGACGACGGCAACGCCATGATCTTCCAGACGGCGGCCGCGTCGACGGCCGTGCCCCAGGAGGTCCTTTCTAGAGTAGTATCGACGGCCAAGACCGAGGTCGAGAATTTGGCGTCCTGCGACAAGATCGCCGGCGTCGCGCGCCTCGACGGGTCGCGTTCCCACTGCGGCAGGCACGGCCTCTGTGCCTGGGTGCGCGAGACCAAGGCCTGGGAGCGCTTCGAGGAGCCGGAACGGAGCGCCGTCGAGGCCATCGCCACGAACACGCCGCGGCCCGGCCACTCCGTGCTGGGGAAAGGGACCTTCGAGGCCGCGAAGGAGGCCTGGACGACGCTGGCGCTCGGGTTCGCGGACCGCGCCGAGGTGGGGGAGGCGGCGATTTTTAGGGGAGCGGGCGCGAAATTGGCGGGCATCAACTGGCTCCACGACACGTCTCCTGCTGCTTTAGAGGGGAGCGGCGGCGCGACGGCGGCGTTCCACTTCGAGAGCGACTCATAAGTAGACACACACAGTTACGTTAAATATTCTACACTACGCCGGCGGCGGAGTCGTGGCTTCGTCGTGAATCGCCTCCGCGAGGACCCGCAGCATGTTCCTTCTCCTCATATCGACGGGCGGCGGCTCCGGCACGGGAGGCTTCATGCCGAAGTAGGCGAGGATCTGGGCGTAGTGCGCTACTCTCAAGCGCGGGCCCGCCTCGTCGTCGAGGGGGATGCGCGGGTCGAGCTCGACCTCTGCCAGACGCGCCATTGCACATTCGTAGCCCGCATTCGCGTGGCCTGTGCGTAGAGAACGTCGCGTCGACGGCGCGGGTCTCTGACGGAGTCGCGTCGGCCGGAACGCCATCGCCGACGCTGAACCACACGCTCGCACTTCGTGCTCCAGAGGGGGCGCTTCTTTCCGCGCACGTGGCCTCCCAAGCCATTCTGGAGCCCCGCGAGGAATCGGTAGACGTCCGGGCGGCCCGCGAGCGCAGCGAGCTCGATTGCCGTAAAGGGCGTGCTCGCATTTTTCGTCGTCTCCACGAGGAACTCGCGGTAGCTCCCGTCGCGCCGCGCCGCGGGTCTGTGCTCGATGAACGCCCGCACGACCTCCAGGTGGCCGGCAAGGACCGCGACGTGGAACGGTTTGAGTCCAATCCTCTCCACGTTCTTGGGGAGAACGGGCAGCAGGTCCTTTCGTAAGTCGGCCATCCACGCCTCGGTCACGAGCCAGAACTGGTGGTTCGACGCCAGGGTCAGCTCGGATTGTTCCCGTGCGGTCCAATGGGCCCAGGGCTTGCGCGCACACTTGTGGAGGACGTTCGGCTCCCGGCGCGCCTTGTCCTTCTTCGACTTCGGTTTTGGTCCCATTCCTAAGAATACGCACGGCGGCGGCGCGGAGAGCGCCGGCGGCGGGAAAACCGGCGTCGGGTAGAGAGGGATCGGGGCTTGCGGCTGATAGCTGCCGGCGCTGCCCGTCTTTGCCAAGGCGGCCATGCGCTGCGCGTGGGCTCGCGATCTCGCGGTTGGTTTCGTCGACATCGCTGCCGTCGCTCAGCGGCAATCAAGCGAGAGCTGTCGTCGTCGCCCCCGGTGACGGCTCCGCAGCTGGCGCTGCTGTGACCGGGGTGTCGACGGCGGGCTCCGCCGCAGTAATCAGGGACCGTGGCGGGGCCAGCGACGCGCGATCGATCCTTTGACGGCGCGACCTCCGAGCGACCAGCCAGGTCGGCCCTCGGTCACCCTGTCAGAGAGATGCAATGCGGACGCTTGAGCTCCAGCGGCGCGCAGCCAAATCAAGAGCAGTGAGCCATGCAGCCGTTGCCAAGGCCAATTTCCGTCTGACGTAGCGTGATCCGCGCGTTTCACAAGACTCCTTGAGGCAGCCCGGCCGGGCTGAGCCTAGAAGTGGATCGAGGCCTCGCGCAAGGCAACGCACCCGTCCAAATGCCTAGCATGACGAGTAAAAGATTGGGGTTTCGGCCTAGCGGAATGTAACACACTAGCAAGCTGAGGCGGCCACCTTTGCGGCGGCAGCACAGGCTAGCTGCTAGCTCTGCGGCCCTGCAGCATTGCCTGCTGCGTTTCAGCTTAGCGGCTTGTCGTATTTTTGCAAAACTGCTGCTGAAAAGCTGCGAGCAGCCGCTCATAGCACTTTGCTGCAAACTTGTGGTTGCGTTGCAGTACGCCGCCCGTGCTCCTGCACCGCTCGTTGATTGGTTGCTGCAACCCCGCCGCCGCGGTCCTGCGTTGATTGCGTTGCTGCAACGCCGCCGCCGCGCTCCTGCACAAATGCGGCTCTGCATACTGCTCGCGCCGGTCGCGGGCCTGCGCTTCGCGCGGCGCGTCCGCTTCTGGAAGGGGCCCAAGACCCCGCCCGTAAGGCCAGCGCCCGCCGCCGCCGGCTCCGAGGCCGCGTCGCACGGTAGAAGCGCCACTCCACTCGAGTTGGAACGAATACAGACGGCACGATCGAGGATCGACGACGCCTGGGTTGCTCAAAGGAGCGATAGGGAGTTATTGCCCTTCGCGCGCGCTTGTAGCACCGCTGATCAACTTGCTACGCGACTGCGCGACACCGCGGCGTGGCGGAGAGAGTGGGCGCGGACCGAGGAAGACTGGAGCTTCGACACCTTCTTCACTTCCAGAAAAGACGCCTTCTACCGGGACATCGAGCTCGAGGGCGAGATGATGGAGTGGCTCGGCGGGGAGTCGGACCCGCCGTGTACGTCCAAAGAAGGCGCGTCACTGTTACTATTGAGGCCGGCGCGCTACAAGCTCGGGACGGTCGCGAAGGAGGACTGGTTACGGCTGATTGCCTGGCATGGAGCTAGGGCGACGTCCGAGTGGCCCTCCGATAATGATACGGATAAACCGGGCCACGGGGCCGTCGCAATTATTGTAGATCGGACCTGCTCGGGCGTGCGGAACCAGGACCCTAGGTTGCTGCGGTTCCTGTTGCCTCCACTCATTCGCCACTATCCCGCGTCTTTACACAGAGCTTACGTCGGTCCCGTGAATTACGTCTTCTACGGCATCTGGGCCGTGGCGACCTTGATCCTGCCGCGGCGCGTGGCCGGGCGGTTCATGCTGCTGCGCGGGTCGGACTGGAAGGCGCAGCTGCGGCGCGAGCTCGGGCCGGAGGTGTCGGCGCGGCTGCCGGAGAACCTGCGGGAGGGGGACGGGTAATTCTGGTAATGATTTTTGAGCGATGGCGTGGGCCAGACACAACGAGGGGGCGTCGCCCCTCGGACGCGTCTGACCATTGCTGGGGCGCTTAATTCAGTTACTACCTTCTCTTCTTTCACGCATCGACCGGCGCCGCGGCGAACTCGTCGTCGTCGTCGTCGATCTCGAGCACGTTGCCCTCGGCCTCGGCGCGGCGGCGCGACTCGGCGGCGCGCTCAGCCGGCGTCTGCACGCCGACCAGCTCGAAGTCGTCGTCTTCGGCCGGCGGCGGCGGCGGCGGCGCGGACGCCGGCGCCTTCGCCCACGGCTTGCACGCGGGCCGCTTTTTCGCCGGGGGCTTCGCCGCGGGCTTCTTTTTGGCCTGCTTGCGCCCGACGGTCTTGGACGCTTTCTGCGGTTCCCACAGGGTGATCTCCTCGCGGGTGAAGGAGATCACGTCGCCTTTGTTCACACGGGAGATCACGCCGCCTTTTTTCACACGGCAAGTTATGAGGTGAAAGTCCTCGCCGTGATCGATCTCGATAGAATAATCATCACCTTCAATGCCCACCACATGTCCAACCACGGTGCAGTGCGCGGGTGGCCCCAAGATGCGTTTGACCCGTACGCGTACGCGTTCGCCCATCTCTATAGCAGTGTAATATAATAGCACGGTGACCCTTGTGGTGTAACATATCCCTCGACCCGGCGGCACGCGGCGACCTGGTGTCGGGTTCCTATCCAGCCTGATGATGATCAGATGATCATGACAGTGATGTAAATTTCATGTCCCCCCGGGCCCACCCGTCCGGCTGGACTAGCTGCACCTAGTGTGTTACATGCCGCTAGCTGATTATATTGGCACGCGCAAGAAGCGTGCGCAGGATCTTGGCCCGCTCGCGGTATTGCTACGAGCGAACGCGGTCGCTGCTGTAGTTTTCCACGAGCTGGCATCTCTGCAAATTTCAGCAAACTCTTAGCCGTTTTCTCTGAGTTGGAGCCAAGGCGCCCACCAGGAGCCACTGGAACGCGGCGCGACAAGCTCGGCAAAGAAGCGCAGCACCATGCGGGCCCTCCTCGTCGCCTTCCTCGCCGTAACGCAAGCCTACATCGCCCCGCGGCCGACGAGCCGGCCCGTGCCGCGGCCGGCGTCCCCGATTACAGATCAAGAAACCAGCATCGACGTCGACTGGCGCAGCTTCCGCGCCAAGCTGGAAGCCACGGGCCTCGATTCCAAAGCGCGCGAGCAGTGGGCCGACGACGCCTGGGCCCACGCGTTACCGAGACCCGAGGCCGGCGGCTTGCTGCTCGCGCTGCCCTTCTCGGCGACGCTCTGCCATGCGAAATCGCCGTGGTTCCGGGACGTGCGACGCTTCGCGTCCAAGAAACGCTTCGCCGCGGCGCGCGCATTAGGCGTGCCTATGAAAAAAAGAAACTACGCGGACGGCGACCGCCGGCACCGGACTCTCGCAAGGCAATTTGCTACGATAGAATTAAGAAGAGTGGCCGAGACGCCGGTGCATGCTCGAACATTAAAAGATCGCAAATTCCTGAACATGAGAGATGAGGCGATCAGAAGAGCGAGGGACGTCGTATTGGTCCTCGATGATGAGGGCGCGTGTATACGACTGGGCAGGCAGGACCGCGGCGCGCCCTGGGGGAGTCGGAGAAGAAGCGCGGCTTTGTTTGCGGCATTGGAGTGAGACGCGGAGCGGAAATCACATGCCGGGCGCCCCACGCCATCGACCCGATGATGATCCCATTCCTTCGGCTGCTCGACGGCGTGGAGGTTTCACGCCATCGACGCGACGCTGGTCGATGGCGTGGAGTCTCACGATCGACCCACACAGGTTCGACGGCGTCTTCCCGGACTTCCACGACTTCCAGGCCGCGTTCGGCGACGAGGTCACGGTCTATACGGGATCGAGGGAGGTGGAGGACTGGGAGGGCGTGGCCTGGTCCGGAGAGGCGCTCATGCTGCATACGCGGGACCTCGAAGGGAGCACGGAACTCGCGCCGGGCTGCGGCATCTATCGAGGCGGCGCCGCGCACGCCGCGAGATTAGTATGCAACGGCGAGGCCGATGCGGCGGAGTTCGCCTTTTTTGTGGGGCGCTACGAGTTCGCACCGGGCGAATTACGAACCGCGGTCGACTGTGGATTGTATCAACCCGCGGCCTGCTCGTCGGCCCAGGTCCTCGGGAACGAAAGAGACGCGTCGCTCTGGCACTCGCTGATGCGGAAGCTCGGCGGGTCTAGCGCGGACATTGAAATGCTCGCGCCCAAATTACCGGTCTGTTCCAGTGATACGGTCGACGGGCCCGACGAGTGCCTGTTCGGCGACACCTAGCTAGGACCTCTCCAAGACCCCCCTCCTGTAATAACCTGTTTTCTGAAAGATAACTCCGGCGTCGTTTGAACGTAGAGACGCGGCGTTTAAATTCACAGAGCCGCGTCGCGGCGATGGCGTGAGGCCGGGGCCAAGGTACCATCGCCGACGCCCTGGCGGCGTCTCGGCCCTCCGAGGCGGGCTTGGAGGTGCGTCGGGCCCGTCACGGTACCACGCGGGTTTGGCAATCGGCCTAGAAGCCGCCCAATGGCGGGCCCTGCCCCAAACCGAGTCCGCGGAGGCAAATGACCGCGACTGAGGGCTCACAAAAATCGAATGCTAGTGGCTTGGTACTAGCGACTGCCCACAGCAATCACGAGTGAAGGACTTTAGCCCGGCGTCAGTGCTGTGTAAACAAGTCATAAGCGCTCTCCGCGACCAGCACAGCTCACAAGCATCGCTGCGAAGCCAACCCAGCCTTGCACGCACGATGAAGGCTGTCGCGCTCGCGCTCGCGCTCTCATGCGTAAGCGCACTGCTACCAGCTCGCCCGCCGCGCGCGGCGTCGTCGCTGAGCGCGGCCAAGGTCCCCGGCGCCACGCAGCGCACGAAGAACACTTATGACCTCTCTACGATCGAGAGAACCCTAGCGACCGAGCGCGACGCGTGCGGCGTCGGTTTTGTGGCGGAGAGCGCCGCGGGTCCCTCTCGTAGGGTCATCATCGCCGCCACGGCGGCCTGCGACGCAAACGAGCACCGCGGCGGCTGCTCGTCCGACTGCGTCTCGGGAGATGGTGCTGGTATCATGACCCAGATCCCGTGGGCCGTCTACGAATCGGACACGCCCGCATTGAAGGCGAGGAGGGAACAGAACCCGGACGAGAAATTAGGTGTGGCTACCTTATTTGTTCCCAGAGATCCTGAAGCGGCGGCCAGAGCTTCGGAATTAGCCTATGAGGCCGCTTCATTGACTGGCTTCGAAGTGGTCGCCTGGCGCGACCTGCCGATTGATCCGTCGATCTGCGGCGAGGCGGCCGCTGCGGGACGGCCGGACTTCGCTCACGTTATTTTAGCGACGGCTGCTGATGTTCCCGAAAGAGATCCTAGATCGTTAGAGAGAGCTCTCTACTTGTACAGAAGGACTCTGAGCGGATTGTGGGACCGAGAAGAGGAGTTCTACATCGCCTCGTGCTCGCACAAGACCGTCGTCTACAAGGGCATGGTCCAGTCGTCGGCGCTCAGGAAGTTTTACCTTGATCTCGCGAACGAACTGTGCTGACTCAGCGTCCGTTTCCGAACGTTTCCGAACTTCAAGTCGCGTCGACGGCGTCTTCATGAGACTACGCCGCCGCGACGCCGTCGACGCGGTCGCACGAGAGCCTACACGTCTCGTGAGGGAGCCCCGGCCGTGTCGCGACGGCGAGCCTGCGGATATCTTCATGATCACATGAGAGCCTACGCGTCGCGCGCGGGCGCCGCGGCGGTTTCGCGACGGTATCAATCAACGCAGGTACGTGTCTCAGTTCGCCATCTACCACCGTCGCTTCTCCACGAACACGATGCCGCGCTGGTCGCTCGCGCAGCCCTTCCGGCAGATCGCGCACAACGGCGAGATCAACACGATCCGCGGGAACGTGAACTGGATGGTGTCGCGCGCATTAGCGGCGGGGGCCGACATGGGCGCCGTCGCCGCCGGGTGTTCGTCGGACGATCCCGACCGGTCCTGCGAGTTCGTAGATCCCGACCAGTTAGGACCTGTGGTCGACGCGTCCAAGTCCGACTCCGCGAACTTGGACGCTTCCCTCGAGTTGTACACGAGAGCTGGACGCACGGTAGACGAGTCTCTGCTGCTGATGATGCCGCCCGCGATTCCCAAACCCGAAGAAAAATTGTTCTTCGACCTCCACGCGCCGCTCCAGGAGGCCTGGGACGGGCCCGCTGCCGTGTGCTACTCGGATGGTGATGTTGTGGGTGCTAGATTGGACAGGAACGGTCTGAGACCGGCGCGCATCACGCGGTACCGCGACGGCTTCGTGGCCTTGTCCTCCGAGACGGGCAGCCACAAGAACAGCTGCGACGCCGTGCCGCCGGACTCGGAAATCCTCGAACGGACGCGCCTCGGCCCGGGCATGATGTGCAAAATTGATCTGGTGAAGAGCGACGGCGGCTACTACGACGACGCCGCCGTCAAGGCGCAGGTCGCTGCTAATCCTAAATGGGAGCAGGAACTCGCGAGACAGAAGCGCACGATCGTCGACAACAAGCCCGCGCCGGCCTACACGTACGGCGAGAGCGACACGCGCATCCAGGCGGCCTTCGGCTGGGGCAGCGAGGACGTCGACATGCAGGTCCTGGCCATGGTCGCGTCCGGCGGCGAGGCGACGCACTGCATGGGCGCCGACGCGCCTTTAGCCGCGATGTCGACCTTCGCGCACGCGGCCTACGACTACTTCAAGCAGCGCCACGCGCAGGTGACGAACCCGCCCATCGACCCCATCCGCGAGGGGCACGTCATGACGACTGATGTGTGGTTAGGTCAAAGGCCCAATTGTGTCGATGTTGCTCTTGAGTTAGATGCGGGTGCCGATCTTGTACGTATAGAAACTCCTATTATGCATCAAGCTGAATTAGATGAAGTGTCTTCGGTCCTGTCGACGACTACGTTGTCTACCGTGTATGATCCTGCTACCGAAAGTCTTGAGGAGGCCGTGAAGAGGATCTCCGAGGAAGCTGTTAATGCTGTGCGTGATGGTGCCAAGTTAGTTATTTTGTCAGACAAGACCTTCGAGCCGACTGGTGACAAGTTGTATGTCCAGCCTCTGATCGCTGTCGGTGCTAGTCATCATGCTCTGATCTCGTCCGGTTTACGAATGAGCGCCTCGCTTGTCGTCGAGACGGCCCAGGTCTGGTCGACGCACCATGTCGCGACATTAATAGGATATGGTGCCAGTGCGGTCCACCCGTACATGCTCTTCCGCGTCGCCACTCAATTAACGACCCCGCCAGCCGAAGGCAAGAAGGCCAAGGCCGCCGTCGAGAGCAACGTCGGCATCGAGAACGCGCGGAACGCGTTGAAGGCGGGCGTGCTGAAGATCATGAGCAAGATCGGCATTAGTACGCTGTCTTCCTACCACGGTGCGGACCCAGCGTCTTTTTCCGAACGTTTCCGAACTTCAAGTCGCGTCGATGGCGTCTCGACGTGGCCGCCCGAGAGTCTGTCCTGCCTCGAGCGCGCTCGGCGGCCGTCGGCCCCGAGGGCCGCTCCAGCGAGTCTGAGACGCCCCACACGCCATCGACGCGACCCACACACACCTCCAGCGCCCGCGACGCCGTATTCATGATCACGAGAAGCTAACGTCGACGCGACGCAGGCGCCCAGATCTTCGAGTGCATCGGTTTGCACCCGGAAGTCGTCGACGTCGCCTTCAAGGGCACCGCTTCGAGGGTCGGCGGTCTAGATTTTGCCGAGCTCCAAAAAGAAACCGCGTCATTGGTGAAGGATTCGGCCTACGGCGGCCTCGATGCAGACGACGTCAAGGTCTTCAAGCTGTCGAATTATGGCTTCATCAACGCCTTGCAGAAGGGGCGCGGTGGCGAGGAACACGCGAATTCACCGCGAGTCGCGAAACTCCTCCACGCGTCGGTCCGAGAAGACGACCCCGTCGAGCGCAAGAACAAGTACAACGACTTCGTCAAGGAGCTCACGGAGACGGCGCCGTTCGGTTTACGCGATCTGCTCCAGTTCAAGTATGCGGACACGCCTTCTGATGCGGACATTTCGCTGCGAGAGATCACGGAGCGCTTCGTCACGGGCGGCATGTCGCTCGGCGCTCTGTCCAGAGAGACGCACGAGTCGCTGGCCATGGCCATGAATAGATTGGGCGCGGCGTCGAACTCCGGCGAGGGCGGGGAAGATAAAGTGCGAAATGATCATGTGGGCGAGAATCGCGACACGACCTGGAAGCATCTTCGCGGTAAATCTATCGTGGCTGGCGACATCGCGCAGTCTCAAATAAGACAGGTCGCGTCGGGACGGTTCGGTGTTACTGCTCCGTACTTGGCCGCTGCCGCGCAGATCGAGATCAAGGTCGCCCAGGGGGCGAAGCCCGGCGAGGGCGGGCAGTTGCCGGGCCAGAAGGTCGATAGCTACATCGCTTCGGTCCGTGCCGCTACGGAGGGAGTGACACTCATCTCGCCTCCGCCGCATCATGACATCTACTCCATCGAAGATCTCGCGCAATTGATCTTCGACCTCAAGGCCATCAACCCGAAAGCTAGGATCTCCGTAAAGCTGGTCTCGATTATCGGCATCGGCACGGTCGCGTGCGGCGTGGCCAAGGCCGGCGCGGACGTGATCCAGATCTCGGGCCACGACGGCGGGTCTGGTGCTGCTGCTATTAGTTCCATCAAGCACGCCGGCGCTCCGGTGGAACTCGGCTTGGCTGAGTCTCACACCACGCTCGTGGAGAACGGTCTCCGAGGCCTCGTGACGGTCCGGGCCGATGGTGGCGTAAGGACGGGCGCGGACGTCGTGAAACTAGCTTTACTAGGCGCCGAGGAGTTTGGGTTCGGGACCGTGGCCATGGTCGCGGCCGGGTGCGTCATGGCGCGCGTGTGCCACACGAATAATTGTCCGGTGGGCGTCGCCACGCAGAAGGAGAAGCTCCGCGCGCGCGTCCGCGGCGAGCCGGAAGACGTGACGAGATATTTCGAAAGTGTCGCGGAGGAGACCGCGGACATCCTGAAGAAGCTCGGCCTCAAATCGCTCAGAGAAGCGGTCGGCCGCATCGATTTGTTAGAACTAGTAGATGACATGAATCTATCAAAAACTACGAGGTTCGACGTCGCCACGACGGTCCTGAAGCCCATCGAGAAGGGCCTCTTCACGCAGGACTTCGTCGCGCCGGCGGAGCCCGCGCCGTCGCGCGCGTTGCTGTGCCCCGCGGGCATTCATTTCGACGACCAGTACGTCGGCGAGGGCAAGGCGATCTCCAAGGAGCCCTACTACCTCGTGAACACCGATAGAGCTGTTGGTACTAGGTTAGCTGGCGACATCGCGCGCCGCCAGCGCGCGGAAGGCAAGATCCAGCCCGTCGAGCTCAAGTACACGGGCGCGGCCGGCCAGTCGTTCATGGCCTTCGCCGTGTCCGAGATGAAGGTCTCGCTCGAGGGCGACGCGAACGACTACGTGTGCAAGGGCTTGTCCGGCGCGCACGTCTCCATCTTCCCGCCGCGCGAGGCCGAGGCGAACGGGGTGTTTGAGGCCAAGAACAGTGTCATCATCGGCAACACGTGCTTGTACGGCGCCACTTCCGGAAAGTTCTTCGCCGCTGGCCAGTCCGGCGATCGCTTCGGCGTGCGCAACAGCGGTGTCCAGGCCGTGATTGAGGGCGCCGGCGACCACTGCTGCGAGTACATGACGAACGGCGTCGTGCTCGTGCTGGGACCGACGGGCATCAACGTCGGCTCGGGCATGACGGGCGGCGTCGCGTACTTGTACGATCCTTCCGTGAATGATGACATGATCGCCGGTCGCCTCAAGCTCACGAACGTGAAACCCAGAAGGGTGCAGAACGGCTCGCCGGCGGCGGACACGATCAAGCGGCTGCTGCGCGAGCACCACGAGGCGACGGCGTCGAAGCACGCCAAGCACCTCCTGGAGAACTTTGACGCGTCGCACTTCTGCCAGGTCGTGCCTCCCTCTGAAGAGGACAAGCCGCACCACGCCGTGGTGGCTGATTCCGTCGAGGAGATGGCGGTCTCGCGATGAATAGGCGTGCGGTCCCTCCCTTATTATAAAAAACTGTTTCCATATCTCGTCGTCGTCGTCTTACAGGTTTCTTACACAGCGGCGGTTCCTTGAGGCCTACGGCAACGCAGGGGCCGGGCCGGCGGCCACCGCGACCTCGCGCTGCGCGTCGGGATTGCCCCGAAGGAGCCCCTCGAAGTGCGCCTCGCCCGACCGCGGGTTCCAGTACTCCAGCACGCGCCAGCAGAGCTCGTTCGGCAAATTGGGGGACATGAGCCATTGGAGTTCGCGCGGCGTCTTCGCCCGCGCGCGCACTTTGGCCCGCGCCTTGCCCCGCGCCACTTGCGACCGGAGCCGCAGCAGCTCCTTCGGCGTCGCCAGTACGTACTGGCGCACGTACTGGCGCCACGTGCCGCCGGCGGCGCGGACGGCCCTCACCAGCTCGTGCGAGAGCTCGAGGTACCGGAGCTCCTCAGAGTCCTCGCGTTCGCCCATCAACTTTTCGAAGACCTGCTCGAGGCTCATCTGCACGTCTCGAGGCTCGGGGCCCTGCGCATCGAAATTTATAACGGTGCCGTCGAGCCTTGCACCCGCGCGTACAAGGTGCAGCACGCACTTGTACCTCTGCCAGAGTGCTTCCGCGGGGGGGCTCTCATGTAAATCAGAATCGAGCGCCCCAGCTGCCATGAAAGCCGGCGGCGCCCAGATGTTGTTATGCACGTTGGCCCCGTGGCTGACTAATAACTCGACGGCCGTGCTCCGATGACCGAGGCAAGCGTTATGGAGCGCCGTCGCGGTACCCGGGCGTGCGCACTGGTCCACGTCAACGCCGCGGCTCAGCAGGAATCGCATGAGTCGGACACCACGTGTCTCATTAACGCAGGTGGCCGCGAGGCGCAACAGGCCCCAGCCGTCGCCGTTGACATCATGTATGTCGCCCGGGCCCTGCCCGGGATAGCTCACCGGGTCGCCGACGAGGTAGCGCTGCACGCCGGCTACGTTGCCGTCGCGCGCGTGAGCGCTGGCAAGAATAGGTAAAACCATGCTGCAGCTGAGCAGAGCTGATGGATCAGGTCGGGAGCGCAGAGCTGGTAGATCCAGGTTTCGCGAGCGCAATTTTGGGCACGCAGCGATGTGTTGTGGCTGGCGCAGTACAAAAACACACGTAGGCTAGCGCAGCATTTATTATTTATGTGATCGGCGCTCTTGATCGAACTAGCGGTAGTAACACACTAGCAAGCCTTGCGCGCCGGCGCGGAATGCCTCGCGGTATTGTGTAGCTGGAGCTTCTACATATAATACACACCTTGATTTCATTCACAACGACTGTAATTCATCGCAGCGCGACGGCTCGGACGCCGCCAGCACTGATATTAGCAGTGATAACAATTAAAAAGAAACCATGCAGCCGGACGCCGCCCCCTCCCGCTCACCACTGGCAAAGGCCACCGCCGCACGCCACCAGCGCGACTGGTCCCAGAAGAAGCCGCAAGCACCGCGCAACATGTCGCCGATGGCGGCGCGCGTCGTCGGCCTCGACACGCGGTCGCCGCGTAGCAGCTCCGTCTCACCAAAACCAACGAGACTGGTCTCGAGCCGCCAGCGCTGGGCCCACTCCGTCTGCTCCAAGAGTGAATTAGAGGCGGCATTGCAGGACGATAGCATAACGGCCATCGAGACGGACTTGATCTGGAGCACGACCCAATCCGCAGTAGTTCATGCCCATCCCCCTCAAACTGAATCGGATCTACCCTTCGACGCCTTCATGGACGCCGTCACGACGTCTCCACAAAGAAAACATATAAAACTGGACTTCAAGAGTCAAGATGTTGTTCAGCCTGTCGTTTGGGGACTCGAGAAATACTACGCCCGCGCGTTGCAAGCTAGAGGCCAGCACGTCTGGCTCAACGCCGACGTCTTAATCGGCCCCGGTTCCTCTTCCTGTAATTTTGATGCGGATGCGTTCGTGCAAAGTTGTATGAGACATCGGGCGTTCTCTTCCCTGTCGCTGGGCTGGACCGTGGACGTCGGCTTGGGCCACAGCTATTCCGTGGACCACGTCGCGGCGTTACGTTCACTCTTGCAGCGGCACAAGCTTTTAGGTGATCCGCGTCTAGCTATCTCGGCGAACCTACGAATGGCGCTGCGTAACTCAGAGCCGTTGCGACGGTTGCTGGACGAATGTAGGGGAGAGTTATTGCTGTGGACGGGCGTCGGCGAGCCGCCCGTTTCGGAGCAGCTCGTGGAAAGGGCGCGGCGCGTCTTCCCGGCGGATCGCTTGGCGCTCGACGTTTCTTCTACGACGGCCGGCGACGCTATGGCGCAGGAGGTTGCTTTGTCAATCTACCGCGCCTGGCGCCGCGCCGGCGATTTGGTAAAGCGGACGACTTCTACGACTTCTACGCCTGACGCGGACGCGGACGACGACTTCTACGACCGCGCGCGGCGGCGGCCGACGTGCTGCCGGTAATCCTAGTTTTGGCTACTTGCTCGCTCTCTGTAGGACTTGTTGTCGCGGACGGCGGCGCATGCGGCCGACAAAACGGGTTTTCCAGCGCAAGAGAGAGAGAGAGAGTGTGTTGCGCCTCGCCGTGCCCTCCGCGGGTTCGTCTGGTGATAAGATTAGAGCCTCGGACAACGTCTGAAATACCTCCGGTGTCCTCGCGCCGCCAGCATGGAGGAATGCTCGATCTGCCTCGAAGCCCTGGTGTCTCAGACTGGGATCTTGATGTCCTCATCACCAATCCATTGGCGGCGCGGTTGCGCGGTTCTTTCGAGGTACGACCTGCGCGCGCGCCGCCGCCGGAAAAGCGCAAGCGGCCTACGAAAGGGAAGGCCGGCGGCACGCCGCTGAAGAAACGTGTTGAGGGAGCCCACCAGAAACAAAACGGCAAGTGGTCCAGCCAACTCTTCCCCGGCCGCGAGTTCGACGACCTCGACGAGTACCGCGCGGCGAAGCAGCAGCACGCGACGCGGCGCGAGGAATACCTTGCTACGGTAAGAGAAAACCCGAGGGGACACTACTACTAGTGAATGGATAAGAAAACCTATACACCCTCCCCTTCCGCCGCCGCGCCGTTCTCAACCTCCGCGACCGGCGCGGGCGTCACCAGGTGCCGCAGCGGCCCGAGCACTTCAACCAAGTTCACGCCGCTCCGCGGCCGCAGCGTCAAGACCCGAGCCCTAGACGTCTCGCCCTTGAGCGGGTCCGCGGCCGGCGCGCAGGGCGCCCAGTCCGCCGGCGCGCCCCAGAAGGCATCTGTACGAAGTAGTGGCACCAGAGAAGCGGCCGTCTCGACGCGCCAAGATATATCAGCGTCGTCCCGAAACGCGATGCGAGCCGTCGTCACCTTCTTCCGCGACCGCCGCTTCTTCTTCGCCGGCTCGCCCCTTTTCTTCGTGCAGCATGGAGCCGATTGGTGCGCGAGCCAGTGCATCTCGGAGCCGAAGCGCCGTCCGCACCCCGAGCACTCCAATTCCGACTCGGCATCCCTAGAAAGTTCCGTGATCTCCTCCTTCGTGTGCACCGACTCCAAGTCGCTCTTCAGGACGTCCAGGCGATACCTCCGGCCCGTGACGATGACCTCCAAAGCGAACGCGGATTCGTTCGTGACGTTCGGGACTCTCAGTACCAAGTCACCAACTACTTGCGAGACATGAGCGACGCGGCCGCCCTTGACCCGAGACAGGGCCACCACTCGCGCGTACTCGTGGGGCATGCTGTCTCTATCGGCGGCTCGGCGTTCTAATGCGGGTGGCTTGTCCGACTGCACGGGCGCCGCGCCGAGCATGGCTCTTATGGCTTTCGCGCTCGGGAGTTCGCGCGTCAGCGTGCGCCGCATGCGCGCGCCGCGGGCGTCGTCGCCTGGCGCTTCCATGCTCTAGGAGGCTCTCCGGTGCTTTTGCGTCAAGGCAGCCAAAAGCGCTGCTCAGAGGCGACTGCTGGTGTTGGAGGAGTGAACCCTAAGAAGTTCTAGTCGTACGCTTTGCAGCGGGACGCCTTTTAGAGGCCGCTCCGGCCGCGGCTCGGCTTTGCTTGCTAGTGTCTTACCGCCGCTAGCTGCTAAACGCGGATGCCCACTTAGTCCCGGCACCTTAACAATACTAATACGGTACATCATTGAACGCGGAGCTTAGAAAGAGGTACGCTGTTATGAAAGACGCGGCACGCGCCCGCCGCCGATGAATCGGCGACGCGCGGTGTCTCCCCCCACCTGGGCCAGGGACTCCGCCCACTAAAAAAGCGAGAGCCCTCGCGCGCCGCCGACGCGTCGGCCACAAGACGGAGAGGCAGGGACCGAGAACTAGACTTCAAAGCTTAGGGATCCGGTGCGTCTCTCCTTCCAACCGCGGCCGCTCGCCGACCGACGGGCTCATCGCCCGGCCGTGCGCGCCCCAGTTCGTGCCCCCGAAGCCCTCGACGACCGGCTGCTCCGTAGGCGGTCCCACGTCGAAGCCGTTCGCGATCGCATCGTCGCGCTTGCTCTTGCCGCAGCCCTTCCAGGCCCGGTCCAAATTCGCGTCGCGCCGCGTCGACACGTTCGTCGCCGTCGCGACGTGCCGCCGCAGCGGATTCGAGGCCGAGGTCTCGCCCTTGTAGGCGCCGTGGCGCCACGCGTCGCCAGTATTGTTCGGGCCGCCGAACTGCCGCAATCCCGAGGGATGGATCTCGGGGACGTAGCGGATCCAGTCGTCGTTGCTCGGCGACTTGATGGACATCGTTCGCGTTGCGACGCTCTCCGAGGCTGCCCAGCTGGTTTGGCTGCCCAGTTGCGCGCCGCGGCGTCGCGCAGCCGACGAGAGTGGAGCCAGGTGCGGCGACGAGCGTGCCTGCGTCGTCGCGCAGCCCGGCGTGCAGGATTTGTGCGCGAGACGCTCGTCTGACGAACAAAGCGCTGTGCCAAAGAGAGGCCGCTGTGCTAGTGTCTCGTCGCACCGCTCGGCGCGCGACGCACGGCCTCCCCGCCGAGCGCCTACGCGACGACGGGTACCTAGGAACGGTAACCCAAAACCGATGCTAGTGTGTTTACAGGCCCGCTAGCCTCGGGATCGAGACAGAGCTGGTGTCGAAAAGGCAGCCATAGCCACCTTAACGATCCTCCAGCAAGCTCAGAAATACCGCTTGCAACGATGCGACGACTGGCCTACCTCGCCTGCAGCGCCACCGCGCTGGTCACGCCCCGGAGGCGACCACTGCTACACAAGCAGCCCGCCTTCCACCGACCAACCGCTTTACATGCTTTCGACCCGGCGACGGTCGCCGCCTTCGACCCGTCGAAGTTCGCGCCCGTGTGTACCGCGAGCGACGCCATCTACCGCGGCGCGCAGCAGTCGCTCGCGATCATCGTCGGACCGAAAGTCTTCGAGGAGTACGCTCCCTTGATCGCGGGCGGTCTGTTGCGTGTGAGATTAGAACTGTGCGTCGTCGAGTCCTTCTTCGGCGAGGCCGTGTTGCCCTTCGTTCAGAAGAATGGCCTGTCCTGGGTCCTACCTTTTCACGAAACGGTGGAAACTTTTTTAGCGGGCACGATCTTCGCGTTGGTCCTGAATTTTATTTTAGTCGGCTCGACGAAGATTTTACAGGTCGTCGTGACGTGGTTCGACTTTTTTTTGGGCATGCCGTCGCGGTTCGTTTCTACGAAAGCTATTGAGCAATTGAGCGACGAAGACGACGCGTCGCCGAAGCCCGCCGTCGTCGCCTTTACCGTGTCGAAGACGGCGGGCGAGGCCATCGGGCTCGCTAGACAATTCGTCGACGCGCTCGACGTGTTCACGTCGCAGTACCTGTCGCTGACGACGGCGGCGTACATCACGTTCAAGTTCCTGCACTTCCGGGTGTTCGACTAGTCTGCGTAAGTTTGCTAGTCGTGTTTACTCGTGGGGGGGCCCGCGGGGAGGCGTCGCCGCGCAGGCAGGTGTTATGTTCAGGCTATGACGCAGTTGCACGAGCCGCTACACGTGCCGCTATTGCCGCCGTTGGCCTTTGCTAGTAGCTCCTGCGCGTTCATCAACGCCTCCTTCACGTCGGCGCTTTGTTCTTGAGAGCTGGGCTGCGTCGTGGTAGCCGCGCGGTTGCCATGCAGGCTGTCCGGCTGTTGCTTGACCTTGGGCGACGGGTCGGGCTGTTGCAAGTCGGCCCGCGACGTGCCGCCTAAATTGTTATACGTCGACTCAAAGTTTGTCGTGTCGGCTCGAACGTCAGCTTCTATGGCCTCAAGTTCCCTCTCGGCGTTCGCGACCGCGTCCTTCTTCGCAGTTGTTCGCACCGGATCGTCTTCTTTCACACCGTACGTCGTCTTGATAAAGTCGGCGCCCTTATCTTTAAACTCGGCCGCGTGCTTTTCGAGGACCCACTCCGTCTCACCTTTGCTCGAAACCTCCTTGACGAGACCACACTTTTCCTGCCAGCCGGACCCCAGCAGCGTGTCCAACTCCTTGACTGACTTTTTGAGCGGTTCCTGCAGAGTACTAGTCAGCGCGGGGCCGTCTACTGGCTTCGCGCCGCTAGAGGCCTAGCTCTCTCGAGGCTTATCGTGCACGAGCGCTCGCAGGCTCACTTCGCCTTAATTCAGACACGCGAAAGGCCACGAATGCGCGTGCGGACTACGCAGCCGCACACTCGACTCGAGTGCCAAAACGGGTTTTCCCCTGGAGAGAACAGATATAATCAAACCGATGTTTAAACGGGGGGAGAGGGATAAGGCCGACACCGCCTAGTCGACCTTGATGCTCGCGTAGATCTTCTTCGTGAACCAGAGGCAGGCCAGGAAGCCGCACGTGCCCGTCAACAGGAACAGCCCCACGCATATCAGGCCCATGTAGCCGAAGTAGAGCACGTACGTGAACCACTCGTCGGCGCCGAGCCTCCGGAAGTAGTCGACGCTATACGCAAACACGTAGAAGGCCGTGCTCCCAGAGGTCAAGAACGACCGCCACCACCAGCGGTGGTTCTCCGAGCACAGCTGGAAGTAGCACAGCACGATCGTGATCTCGCAGCACGTCGCTACGAGGATGATGAAGACCAACCCCGTGAAGCCAAACACGTAGTAGTACTGGTCCATCCACATGCTCGAGAGAATAAAGAACAACTCCACGAAGCACGCCCCAAAGGGTAGGATACCCCCTACGGTGGTCGTGAACCACACGGACAGGTACCAGGGCTGGGGCGTCGGCACTTCCCGCGGGATGTTGCTGGTGATTGTGGGGTAGGCCAGCGGCTCGCGCTTGTATCCGAGGTAGGCTCCGACAAATACTAAAGGTACTGAGACTCCGAACCATAATGCCAAGAGTGATACCAATGAAGCGACGGGCACGGCCCCCGTCGAGCCGTAGTAGTACAGTAACGAGTCGAAGGTCAGGAACGTGCCAAAACAAATGCCCGGGAACGCGAACGCCGTGCACAGCGTGCACTTCTGCCAGAGCCTACCTTTAAATGTTTTGTATAGAGTGGCGGAGGCATACCCGGCGAAGATGCCCATCATCACGAAGAGGACGAGTACTGCGGTCGCCAGACTACCTCTATTAGCTGGTGAGAGGAAGCCCGCCGCCGCGAAGATGAGTGCGATAGCAGCACATAAGAGTACTTGAACCCCCGTACCGACGCAGACGCAGAACAACATGGGCAGCTTGTCGGGCGGTCTGAAAACGTCGGCGTGCACGAGCTTCCAGCCCGACTCCTCGCGATCCTCGGCCTTCTCTTCATCACTCAACACGCGATTATACCGGACGATGTCCCTGTGTAAATTGCGCACCATGATCATGGCCACCATGACCGTCAAAAATAACACTATGAGTAGAGAATTTACTATCGAGAACCAGTGCACTTTATCCGGGACCGCGTTGTCCATCGACAGGTAGATGTCCCACCGCGACGCCCACTTGACGTTCGACGCGCGCCACAGCACGTCGTACGTGAAGATGACGGGACCGGTTTGCACATCTTGTTTGGCGGCAATCGCTTCGTAGACCATCGGGCCGCTCTTGTCACAGGTTGAGAGTGGAGGAGCCTCACCAGACCCGTCCCACTTCGCGTCGTTGGCGAACTTGTGCTTCACCGTGAAGGGCTCGACGTAGAAGCCTACTACGCGAGAACCATCATCTAAAGGGTGGTACTCCACGATGATGTTCACGTGGTTGAACAGGTAAGACGCCTTATGATCTTGATACCCGACCGGAAAGCCGCCCGCGTAGGCCGTGATGATGTACTGCTCCGAGTCCACAATCGACGCCGCCGGGAGATTATCAATAATCCAGTTGTGGTGATACTCCTCGCGAATGATCGTCTTTAACGCGGCGACGTCCGACTTCGTCAGGTCCACCTGACAGAGCACCTTGCAGAACTGGTCCTGCTCCATAAACAAGTGGTAGGGCGAGTTCTCGATGAGGTCGCCGCTCAGGAACTCGCCCAGGTTCTCCGTCGCTTGCTTAATCCCGCCCCGCGGTCGACAGAACTTGAGGGAGTAGTAGTCGTAGGGGATCTGCGTATGGACACTCGTGAGCTTGTTCACCTTGAGTTCTACTTTGTCGCCATATCTAAACGTTCTGGGGGCCACGCCAGGTAAGTAAAACGCGCGGCACGTCGCGAGGACGAGCGCCGCGCGCGCGGCGCCGGTGAAGATGGTCCTCATTCTTGCGGCGGCTTCTGTGGCGTCTGAGCGCTGCTGTCAACGACGGGGCGGCTTTGTATCCTCGCGCGGCGGCGGCGGCACGCGTCGAGGGAGCTGGCAGCTCTCTAAAATCTGGCGGCGGCCTCGCGCCGACGCGCAGGCCTTAGCGCTGCTTAGCTGCTCGACAACGGCGGGTAGAACCGTCGGAGAGCTGCGCTGCGCCGGCCGTATGCGGACAAATTCGGCCGCGGCGTCGGCCGTCTTTTGGTCTCTATTTTTTGCTGTCTAAAATAATTTTATTCCTCCAGCCGTCCGCGACGCGTGCCCGCGCCCCGCACGGGCCGTACGAGTCGCCGGGCAGCCGAACCCGAACCTCCCGCAGCCCGCACAAATTTTGCGAGACAGAGAGTGGCATTATTGCCTTCGCCTGCACAGGGCAGCCCGCATCTGCACGGCAACGGCGCGACGCCACCGACGCGCCGGCGCATTACAATTGATCGGTCGCATCGCACGAGCGGCCATGCGCCGCCTCGGCCTCCTGCTGCTGGCGCTCGCACGCGCGCAAAACGACCAAGCGAAGTGGCTGGAGAACCTCGAGCAGCTCGCGGTCTTTGTGGGAGAGCGGGGCCACCCCGACGTGCCGCTCGACCACCCGCTGGGCAAGTGGCTCGCGTCCACGCGCGCGTCGATCCGGCGAGGTACTCTTGATGCTGGTAGGGTGGCGGAGTTCCGGGCCGCGGGCGGCTTGGTGCACCCCATGGAGGGGCGCTGGGACGACGCCCACGTGTTATTGACGGAGTTTGTCCGAAGGGAGGGTCACGCCGACGTGCCGCCCGCACACCGGGAGCGGGGCGTGCCGCTCGCTGCGTGGCTGCGGCGGCAGAAGCGCGAAGCCCTGGAGGGGTTGATGGCACCTAACCGCGTCAAGATGCTCGAGGAGTTAGGCGTGACGGGTCTGAGGTCAAAAACAGAAAGAAAAGAGGATACGTGGGCTCGCAATTTCGACTTATTAGCAAGGTACGTGGCCCAGCACAAGACGGAGCCGGGTCGCAGTGAAGTGGTCGAGGGCAAGCCGCTCGGCACCTGGCTCGCGTCGCAGAAAGTCAAAGCTGCTAGAGGTGATTTACTACCGGAGCGATCCAAAAAACTTTCTAGTGTGATTACGTTGCCTTCCGTCAAGAAGAGCGCCCCGTCCTGGACCTGGCCCGGTGCCAACCCTTCTGAAAGTGTAACGATCCCGCCCCTCGGGAATTCAAGGAGCAAGTTTTTCACCGAGCAAACCGCACCGAATCTAGCTACACTACCGGAGTGGTACGCCAACTGCGTCCACAGGAAGGAAACAACACTGCAAGGAAACCCGGGACGCTTCCGGGACGAGCAGATCTACCACGTCCTTTGCTTACTCGAAGACAAGCTGTCGAAAAAAGATCTCTCACCACTCGTTGTCGTGCAAGTCGGTTCGAATGACGGCGACGACGCCGTGAGGGAAGCTCTCATATACGCGCGGAGGCACTACTCATCAATACCCATCAAAGTGGTGCTGGTCGAACCGACACAACGCAATTTCGAGAGATTAAAAAAAGTCTACTCGTCGACGGCGGCCTTCCAAGGTCCCGGTTTCGAGGCCGAGTTCGTGCATGGGGCCGTGTGTGACGACTGCTGTGTGAATGATCGAGTCAAGATCTATCATCCCAAGTGGTCGATAATAGAGCAGTGGTACCGAGACGCCGTCGATCATCCGGAGAAGCACCCGAAGGCCTTCGATACCCCTGATGGAAGTTGGCGCCAGAAGTGGCTCTACGAACTCAACTCTTTAGATCCAGAAAACCTCAAAAAGAATTTCAAGAATGACGCGGACATAACGTATGACGAAATTGCCTGTTTTAAGGCTGCGTCGTTATTGGACGCGTTTGCGGGCGGTCGCGCCGATTATGTGATGATTGACGTCGAGGGCTTCGACGATTCCGTGGTGTACTCTTTGGATCTGGGGAGACACCGCCCACGACTAATAGCCTTCGAGTCGAAGGTCATGCAGTCGGTGCGACCGGAAGCTTTATTTGATGTGGTGGAGTTCTGTGGGCAACGAGGGTATAAAGCGGTGGGGCCGGTCAAGGCGAACCACGTTTGTATTAGAGACGACCGATCTGTCGCGAAGCCGGTGACGCCGCCCGGGAAGCCCTACTATCCGCAGCCGCCTCCCACAAAGCCCGAGCCCCTGCCGGAGGCGAAGCGCCTCACCGCGCCCGGCACGGCCCTCGGCGCCGCCGACAAGAAAAACAATGGAGTCGCCGAGTGGTACCTCACGAACTTCCGCGTGCGGTTTGCCAGGGAGGACGGGTCCTGGTTCGACCCCGACGTGGAGGACTTCGGGGGGGAGCCGTGTCCGGGCTGCACCGCCGACGAAAAGGCCCCGTAGCGTGTAATATGTGACCTGTGAATTTTTTTGCTAGTGTCTTACACCGCTAGTTGCTCGAGTCTTTGCTTTTGCTTTTTGCTTGCTAGCTATACACGTTGGAGTGCACAAAACGTGGTGCAGTGACTCGCATCGAACGGGTGCCAGTGTGCGAACACACAGCGAGGCTATCCGCTGCGCACCGAGCGATTACAGAGACTGCACGCAGCAGCTCATCGCTCCGCAGTACTCTGCAACCAGCCGCATTCGTGGCGCCGAGCTCGGCGGAGGGCGTGCAGTCGTAGTAACGAAACAGCGGAGGGCCTGCACGCCGCCGCCGCGACGAACAATGACGAGCGAGTCCTACGTCCTCGACCCGCTGGGCCGCAGCGCCCTCGCCGACCTCGAGGAGCGCAAGCTCCTGACGCACGGCGAAGCAAGATCCGTCCTCGAGAAGCGCGAACGGCTCGAGCTCAATTTATCGGCGACGCAGCCGACGCGCGCCGCGTACGCAAGAGCCATCGCCTACGAGGAGAAGTGCGACGCTTTATTATCTGTGAGACGGGCCAAGAAGGTCTCAATCAAAAGAGGCCCGGGCGACCACTTCCAGGCTCGAAGAATTGCCGCGCTCTACGAGCGGGCGCTGAGCCGGTTTTCAGACGACTCCCGATTGTGGCTCGACTACGTTTCATACCTAAAAAAGACGAACCAACCAAAGGCCGTCGGCCGCGTTTTAGCAAGGGCCTGCCGCGCGAACGCCACGTCCCTCGAACCGTGGCTCGCGGCAGCCAGGTGGGAACTCAAGGATAGGGGCAACGCGACGGCCGCGCGGCGGCTGCTGCAGCGCGCTTTGCGCTTCAACGGCGAGAAGCACGAGCTGTGGTCCCATTACATCGCGTTCGAGCTGTCGTATGTCGATAGGTTACGGAAGCGGTCAGTGGCTTTAGGTACGCCGTCGCCGGAAGTCGAGCTGACTCAAGTCGCCGTCGAGGCGGCGCGGGCGGCCTTCCAGGCTATTGCGGTGGACGATCGAGGTGAATTATTGACGTCTATTGAAAAAGCGTGCGCCGCGGTGGGCGGCCATGTAGGAAATGCGGTGGCGGAGGCCGCGCGCGCGGCCGCCGGCGACGCTGAAACTCCTCGACCGCCGCCGCCGCCGCCGCAGGGTCCCTCGAAGCGCGAGCTCGCGGCGACGGCCGTGCGCGCGCGCCTCGCCGCCGCGGGCGCCTCCACTAGTGCAGCGGCGCGCGCCCGGGAGGCGCTCGACGCGCTCGAGCCGCCGCGGCGCGACCGCGTGGCGTGCGCCGTCAAAGCGGCGCGCGGCGAGCCGCTCGACGCGCGAAGTAGCGCTGCGCGAGGTGCCGCGGTGGCGCACGCGCGGGGCGTGCGGACCTGTCGAGCGTAATTTAAGGGTGCTGCTTAGAGCTAGGCCGCCTAGCCACCAAGCAGCCGTGGGACCTGCTTGGCCGCACGCCGTCCCGCCCGGCCCTCGTACGCCGTCGCCCCGAGTGTCTAGGTTGCCACTAACCTGTTAATTACCCGTTATTAACCTATAATTACCCCTCGGAGGGGATCCGGGGTTAATAACCCGCTCAATAACCCGGTACTTTAAACGCCGTCAAACGCCTTCCTGAGGACTCCGAGGACTCCCCCATGCCCTAGATGATAGACACTAGACTCAAAATCAATTCGTCTTGCGGAGCGGCCAATAAAGAGCTGCCCCTTGCGTTCAATATGCCGAAGGCGGACGCCGCGTGGGACAAACATACGACGCCAGCGCAAAAAGAGGTCGAAAAGGACGGCGGCCTCACGGTACCAGTCCACGGCTGGCAATGCAATTACTGCAATGAAAAGAGCTGGAACAAAGCCCTCGACCGCTTGCGGAGACACCTCACGGGCGACGAGAAGTTGTGCCGCGGCTGCAAAATTAAGCCGTGCTCTGCTGCCCCGGAAGAAGTCCGCAAGGAAATGACCGCGACGCTCGCGGACCGCCAGGCGCTGGCCGACGGCAAGGCGAAACGCACAGCAGCGAACGAGGAGATCGCCGACGAGTTCGGTAAGAACCGGGCGAATCAAATCCAGCAGAAGATGGTCGCAAAACGCAAGTCGGTCTCCGACCTAGAAGTGGACGGCGCTCTCTCGGACATGTTCGACGGTTTAGGTATAGCGCACAATAAGGTAGACCACCCTCTATTCCGGCGCGGGGTGCAGAAGTTACGGAACGCCCACCCGGACTACAAATTGCCGCATCGGACGAGCCTAGGTGGGTCGATACTAGAGCATCAGTACCAGTGCGACGTGGACGATCGTACGAGGCATCTGCAGCACAAGCTGATCAAGAAGTTCGGTAAGGCGCTCCTCACGGACGGTGCCACAATCCAGAAAACGCCTCTGCTGAATACTATATTGATGTGCCCGGTCTGGAGGGACGCCCTCTTCCTTTCGTGCGAGGACTGCACGGATCATCTCGCGAGTGGTTTAAGTAAGGACGCCGAGTACATTGCCGACGTCATCATTAAGGGGATAAGGCGTTTGCCGTTCCCGCGCTTCGTGGATCTCATTATTACTGATGGTGCTGGTGACATGAGGAAGTTTCACCGTCTCGTAACAGCCACCTTCCCTTGGATTGACACACAGTGGTGCGTCTCACACCTATCCAATTGCATATTGAAGAAGAGCGCCGAAGGCCACTCGAAACTGCAAGAGCACATTGACAAGGCCAAGAAGATTGTCGACCGTTTTACTCATCACCATTCCGAGCATGCTATGTTTAGAACGATGTCCAAGGCAATGAGCCGCGACCTTGCTCTTATTAGATACTGTGAGCCACGCTTCGGCCTCTACTTTTTGATGCTTCATCGCCTGCAAGTCCTAAAACGAACGCTCAAGGCCGTCATCCACAGCAGTGCGTACCGCGCGATGCAGTACGAGGACGATGAAGAAGCGGTGATCATTGATGACTCGGCGTTCTGGGACTACAACGAGCTCGTGGTCAAGGCGACGTGGCCGCTTTTACAGCTTGTTCGTCTCGGCGACGAGCGCAAGACGCCGACGCTCCACAGGGTCTACAAATATGCGAAATTGACCAAGCGTCGACTCGCTGAGGCCAAGGACGACGACCTCTCGGCGCACGTGCTCGAGGCCTTCGAGCACTACGAGCGTCACTTGTGTTCTGACATCGTGAAGGCTGCTTCAATCGTCGACGTGGGCACCTGGGCCAGGGGCAACCTCGAGGACGTAAACGAGTGCAAGGAGAAGCTGAGCGACTACATCACTAAATTTGCGGAGCAGTACGAGGAGCCCGACGGTTTTGTGGAGAAGGCCGAGGAGCAGATGTTGTCGTACCTGAACAACGAGGGCGTCTACGCGACCGAGGCGGTGCTCGGGAAAGCGCGCACCATGGCCGCGTACCGCTTCTGGGACAAGTACTCTGGCTCCTCGCCGGAGTTCTCGAAGGTGGCGCTGCATCTGTCGAGCAAAGTCTGCGGTTCCGGCGAAGCCGAGCGGAACTGGAAAGACTACAAGTTTGTATACGATAAGGCGCGGAACAGGACGTCCTCAAAGAAGCAGCAGATGCTGATTACGCGCTACAATGCTCTACGGCTCCGGGCGGGAATTGTGGATCCAGGCGACATCGACCCTCGCGAGGAGGTTTTGTTGTACGGCTGCGAGGAGGAACTAGTCGATCCAGCGGCGGCGCCAGAACCTTTGGTGGCGGGCGGGGCTAACGAGCGGGTCCGCGAGAACCCGTTCAATGCCTGGCCGGAGTCGTGGGAGGAGCAAGCGATCTTCGAGCCGGAAGTCTCAGGGGCTACTGGTCGCTACCAGCTCAAGACCAAGTTCGTGGGCATGCACCTGTATGATCCTGATGATGGCGTCGAGGAGCACCGCATCATTGTCGAACTGGAGTGGAACAAGACGAAACCGAGGGGCTGGAAGACGAATACGCCGCAGGACTGGAAGCAGTGGAAAGCAGTGACGGAGCTGGACCCGAAGCATCACCAGGACAAGATAGATAAAGAAGGACACGAAGATACGCTCGAGTCGTATTGGTTTAACGACGACCTCTACGACATGATCCTCGCAGCGCCGAGAGACGAGCAGCCGCGGACGATTCTTACAGGAGACGAGGATTCGGACGACATGATCGACGAGTCCTAACTGGGCGATGCCCACCACTGCGTTGCTCCCCGGCCGCTCCCTTAGCAGGGAGTAGGCCGGGCCCGCGGGACGCCTCACGGGCCAGTGGCCTGTGGCCCACCCCTCCCTACCCCTCTATAAGGTCCTGAGGTTAATAACCCGTAGTAACGGGTAATTACCCGGGTTACTAACCCCGGGCCGCGATTGGGGTTAATAACCCCTGGGGTTAATGGCAACCTAGCCGAGTGTTGTTAGCTCGGAGGCGACGACAGCGAGGGGGGAGCAGGCCGGACGCCGGAATCTAGAGCCGGAATCCCAAGGCCGCGGCGGGGGCGCAAAGATGAGGCGATAGTTTGTTACAACACGAATAGGGAATTGTGCAATTTGCACACAGGGGGCCGCAGGTAGGCGGCGGGTCTTGGCTTATTTGTTGTCGTCCTCCGAGAGCGACGAGAGGCTGCGGGCCTCCGACGGGCGGCGGCGCATCGGCGGGAAGAGCTCCGGCGTCGGAGCAGTCGTCGTCCACGTGGGCCGTAGATCTAGCCTCTTGGCCCATACGTCTCCTCTCACATCGAGGTCCGGCCGGGACGCGATGAGCGCGCAGCGTTCGGCGTCGGAGAGGCGCCGCGCGCCGGACGGTCTAGGACCGGGCGCCTTCGTACCGAAGGCGAAGCGCACGGCCCGGCGGGCGCGGATCGGCCCCACGCCACTGGAGAGCCAGGGCACGGTCTCCAAGTCGCAGGCGAGCGCGTAGGGGTCCGCGTCGTAGCGCGACGGCTCGTTTTTCCTCCGATGGCTACCGTCGAGGCCGAGCACGGAGTAGCGCGAGCTGAGGCGGCCCTCGGACGGTCTGCGGCCGTCAAGGCTCGTGCGGCCTTCGAGCGCGTAGAGGTCCGAAGCGCTCGTGCGCCGGCCGCCATCGAGGCACAGGCGCGAGCAGCTCCTCGATAAGTCGCCGTCCGACGTGTTCCCGGAACTTCGAGACAGCGGTGAGGATGGCGGGGACGGTTCGAGCGGCCATGTCGTGGCGACGCGCCGCGCCGACGGCGGCGACGGCGCCCGCAGGCAGGGCTCGAGCGCGATCGAGACGCGCCGCTTGGGAGCCGGGTCGCGCAGGACGCTGCCGTCGTCCGTCACCATCATCGGCGGCGTCCGCGACCGCTTCCGCGTCCGCCGGCCGCCCTGGAGCCACCGGCCGCTTGCACTTGCGCGCGGGCTGTCCGGCGAGAGCGCGTCCCCATACAGGTGATCTAGATCGAGGCCGACGTCGCTGCTCGTCGCGTCGTCGCCGTAGGGGCAACCCCGCAGGTGCTGGAGGAAGCGGCCGACGATGTTCATCCTTGGTTTGTTGCACAAGTGCGGTTCGCCGTGCTGATCTTGTCGTTTATTGCACCTTGCTGCTGTTCGTCCTTGTTAGCCCATGCCGGGGCTGCCTAAAACGCGCCTCAGCGGCCGCGGTGCAGTGCCGGGCAGCTCCACAAGGGTTGTCGGTGCTGGTGCGTGCCTCCGCGGTGGATCATGGTTGGTCTTTTGGCGTTCAGAGCACAGCAACCTGCGATTATGGCCTCAGTTTGCGACCTAAAACAGGACGACGTGGTCCGATATAGCCGTTGAGGGGGAATGTGATGCGTCTGTTCGTGGGTTTTCTCTCCCGACCAGCACTGCTCTTGCTTGAGGGGTCTCGCCACGCAGTGGGAGGCGCGAGAGGTCCATGCGGAGGGTTGCTGAATTATCCACAGGGCTTTACACAGGGCGGACTACACATAGTGGACTACACCGCGACGCTCGCGCAGCGCATGAGGCGGTCCACACCGACGAGCTTCCACGTGAGGAGCTGGTGCTCGCCAAGGACCGTGTCCGCGCCGACCGTCGAGCCGTAGAACTCGTTCGCCCGGGCGTTCCCGACGTGCGACTCCCAAAACATGCGGTCGCAGCCGCCGGCGACCGCGACGGCCGCGAGGCCACGGATCATCTGCGTCCCGACGCCCTGGCCGCGGTTCGCCGCCGCCACGCATAGATCCTGCAAGTAGAGGCTCTCGCCGCTCCAGGTGCGGTACGAGTACTGGTACGTCGCCGCACCCGCGAGCGCTCCATCGATCTCCGCGACCAGCAGGTGGAATTTGCCCGCGGCAAAGCTCGTGCGAAAGGCCTCGACGGATGTCTGCAGCTCGTCGAGCGCGTCGTGCTCGATCGCGAGCCGGCGGACGCAGAGCTCGAAGACGGCCTCGACGTCCGCGCGCGTCGCGCATCGCAGCACTAATTGGCGGCCGTCGCGCAACGACTTCTTCATCGGCTCTGGAGCATCACTGTGGCGTCGCTGGCGCTGGCGCAGCCAGACTGCGAGCAGTGCTGAGGCAGCTCCGGCTAGAAATGCGGCTGCTTTCGCCATCGACGAGTCTTCCTCGGCCTCCGGGAAGACCGGAGGCTTCGGTTGTACGGGCCGCGCTGCAGCTGCAGCACCGCCGCCTCAAATCGAGACTTTGTGTAGCCCAGCACCGCTACGCTCCGGGCCAAAGAACATGCGCGCGGGCTGAACACGTGTCTGAACTGCCCGTCGATCTCGCGTAGCCCGCGAGAAGTGATCTGTGCGGTGTCTAGCCGAGAGGCCGGGTAAAAACGCTAGTATGTCACGCTACGCTAAGGTCAAAAAATCGCTCGATATTGCTCGATATTGTACGTCGTGCGTTGCGTAGCAGTGCAGCACTGTTACGTCATCGCTGCGCGCGCATCGCTGCGGACCAGCAGACCGCGTGCCAGTGCAAAATGGCCGCCCACTACGACGCGAGCCGCATCCCCCCAGCAGCGGAAGAATTAATAACGGAGGAGTCCGCCTGGCCGCCCCGAGAGCCGCTGCGCATGGCCCCACCAGCCGCGGCAAGACGCACGAAGGAGGCTTTAGATAGAATCGACAAGTTTTGTTCAGATTCATTCGAGGACGCGCTCGCGAGCGACGCCGCAAGCGACGCCCAGAAGCGCCTCGAGTTTCTCAGAAGGAGGCCGAAACGAAAGCGGCGCTACACGCGCTTCGACCGGACGCTGGCCACGTCCGAAGCGGCCAAGAAGGCTGCACTGTTGTTAGACAACCTCGAGCAGTATCAGCCCTGGGTGGACGAGAATGAAGTGCGCCAGTACGACGAATTGGCCGAAGCACACGGCTGGGACAAGTCGCGGTTCGGTGCTTACGGTGTCACGCCAGCAAGAACTATTAGTAGAGTGCTCGACGCCTTGAGGGAGCGGGGCGCGCGACCTGTTGGAACGGAAGTTATTGTCCTAGGGTCTTCGGTCGGATGGGTCGCATTTGGACTCTCGCTACTACTACCAAAGGCATCCCAGACCATAGGCCTGGAGATCCTCGGGACGCGCGTTTACCATGCGAACGTCGCGGCCTCGATCCTAAACGGCGTGCGGGACGTGTGTTTTGTGCTGGGGGACGTGGTCGAACAAGCCGAAGACCAATGTAGGGATGCTGCCTTAATATGGGACTCGCTCGGGTATGGTGCCGAGAACGGTGGTAGGACGGAGGGCCTGGCTGGGGCCACATCCTCCGCAAAGCCGGGCTGCGTTCTGGTCACGTACGACGTTCTACCTAAAGATTCGCGTTTATCCGCCTGGAAGCAGCTAGACGTTGTAGTATTGCCGAACTCGTGGACGGCGCGGCAGCGCTACTATCTGTACGTGCTGCCGGGCGGCGACGGGCCGCCGTTAACTGTGAAAACTGATGAGAGGGCGTTGAAGTACCAGGAGATGCTCGCGAAGTTTAAGAACCGGGACATGGTGCTCCAGAGGATGACGTTCGACGGTATTGATCCTTCACTGTTAGACCCCCCTCGCCAGAACGCTCTATCGCCGCTGGACGAGGACGCGTCGCTGCTCTCATTACTAAACTCGCACGAGGGCTTCGCCCATGCCGATCGAGACACGCCGGACGGGTCCAAACCCGAGGAGGACATCTCAGATGTCTGCGCCGACTTCGCGAAGGTATTGGGGACGGACTCGATCCGCGGGTTCCTCTAGTTGTTTTCTGAGCGGCACGGCGACGCCGTCGACGCGATACCTAACTAGTAGTCAATGTGATTTTTTTAGTCATCGACCGGCCGCGCCGCCTGCAGCAGCGTCGCCACCTGGTAGGAGAAGAAGCCCAGCAGCAGCGGGATGAAGTCCAGGTATTCTCTCTGTTTGCCCGCGATGGCTATGAGCAACCCGACGACCGCGAAGCGAGCTTGGCCGATGCCGCCTTCCTTCGCACCGTCCAGCGTCGCCTCGCCCAATGACCCGACGTACCTCCCGAGCAGATACAAGTAGGCCCCGCCGAATAACACGCCCACGCCGTAGCTTTCAAGGACCTTAATCGGTAAAAAGTGCCAGCCCGCCGCGATCAACAGCGACCCGAGAAACAAATGGTCCCCGACGACCTCGTTGCGCCGCCGCTCGAACTTCGCCGTTTCCCGCCTTTTGAGCGCTTCGGGGTCCAAGTCGGCCTCGGACTGTTGCGCGAGATTCGCCTGCGCGTCGAAGACCGCGGCCATGGCCGCTTTCCTCGCGTCGGCGCCCTGGCCCTCCCAGGGCGCCGGGGGGGCGTCGTCATTGACTGCTCGCAGGCCGGTTCGTCGTCTTGTCGTCGGCGCGACGAGGGCTGCAGCAGTGCAGCAGGTGGCGAGCAGTCGTCGCATGGTCTCTGAGAGATGCTCAAATTGGGTGCGTGTTGTCGATGGGCACAGAGACCCTCTTTCGTGTCTTTGCTTCACTGCTGGAGCGGCGCCTGGGCTAGCTTGCTGCGGTTGTAGCTCGGTGCTTGCTGGGCTAGTGCCTTACAGCCGCTAGCAAGCCGCGGGCGCGGGGAGTACTTTACTCATGGCGGCGCTGCCCTTTTGGAGCGGGCAGCCCATCGTCCGGACGATGCGACGCCTGCTGCCCCTGCTAGCCATCGCCGCCGCAGAATACGACGGCGCCTGCGACGGCCAAGCGTGGTCCGCCCAAACGGAAATGACCATCGCCGCCGGCGCCACGTACGCGACGTTCTACGCGGCAAAGTACTCCGACACAACCTGCGGCAGCTCGGGAGGCAGCCTCATCTCGTACGGAACGACGATGAATTACGAAAGCTTAAACTGCGGCGTCGACGTCTGCGCGCGATGCGTCCAAGGCGTCTTGACGCTCGGGTACTTCCCGGACGGAGCGCCCGACGCGCTTTGGAGCGACACGACCGACGCCTCGTTTACGGGCACCGCGACCGCGACCGCGGAGGTCGATTGCAACGACGGCTGCGGGGAAGAGTGCCTCTCCCTCGGATCGATATCAGTACGCGTCGCGTGGCACTCCGACGACGGCCCACTCTGTGCCGCCGCGCCATCGTGCCCCAACGCCACGTCGTCATCATTAGCCAACGCCACGTCATCATCATTAGCCGCCGACGGCGCCCGCCGCGCGGACCTCTCAAGCGCGCTTGCGACAATCGTCGCCGCGAGATATCTACTGAATTAGCAGATCACAGAAATGTAGAACCTCACTCTGCGGCAGTCACAGTCACAAAATTTAGAACATCACACCCGTCTCCTTCGCGTCGACGAGCGCCGCGCTCTCCTGTATAGTTAACTACTTGTAGTATACCCGACACCGCCGCCGATGAATAGGCGGCGCGCGCCCCGGGCCCAACTTAGGAATATATATTACTCGGGCAGCGTGTTCATCAAACGCACGCCCGGCACCTTGAGGAACCGGTCCGCCTCGGGATTGAACTCCGGGGTATCGACGAACTGCCTAAAGAGAGACGTCAGCCGCCGCCGCAGGTTGACCATGGACTCGACGGACCTTCCTCTATTTAACAGATCGGCTTCCCGGTCGCAGAGCTCCACGATATCTCGCGTCAGAGCACAGGGGAACTCCTCGCACGTCCACTTGACATTGGTCAAAACCTCTAGTCTTTCATCGATGTCGCCTATCTCATCCGATAACCCCCCGTATAAATCCCTGAGCTCTTGGGCCCTTACGGTAAATTGCGTATGGACCTCGCGGACACCGCCATACTTGTCCTCCCACTTCTTCGGCTGGCCCATGAGCGACATGACCTGTTTTATTTTCTTCTCGCGACCGGCTTTGACCGCAGTAGCTCTCAGTCTATCAATAGTAGCTAAGGCTCGCGTCTGTTGATTCAATATATCGGTCCTCTGTTCTTTGGTCCCGCCCTGCTGCGCAAGAACAGCGAGCTCCTTCTGGCGCCACTGCTCGAGCTCGTTGTATAGTAATTCAAAATCTGCCTCGGTTCTAGGGTTCGTACGTCGTTCCACTTCCTTAGCTCTTGTCTTGGTTCTAAACGTCTCGCCGCCCCGATCCGCTTCGTCCTTGGCCACTTGGGCATCATAGAGTCGTTGGCGGATGCCCCAGGCCCTTTTACGAGCATAATATCCGCGATAGAACCTTTGTATGATAGCACATTTCTGTCTTTTCAATTCAAGCAACTGAGCCGCCGTGAAATAACGTCGGATCTTCACGTGTCTATCATCCGTCTCGTCGATCAACACATCCAAGCGAGCCATCTGCGTGCCGTACTCGCGCAGCGATTGCTGGCTTCTCGAGATTGCTACCACCGTCTGACTGTCTCTATGCCTTCTAGTGTCCGGGTCTGGGTATCGAGGCAAGCAGCCTAGTACCACAGATTGCGACGACGCGTGGTGGTATACACGTCCAGTTTTCTTGTGCCGGTAGCCGCCGAGGTACGGCTTCCGCGTATTTTCTTTTTCAATATTGACGGTGAGCGTGACGTCGTCCTCGTTCCGTTTTTGCACGGTGACTTCGATCGACGCCGGCATTTTATAGGACGGGTCGGCGTAGGGCGGCCACTCCTCCGTCGGCGCCGCTGGTTGCGAGGGCGCCGGGGCGCCGGCGTCGACGGCCATGGCTCCGGGCTGCCCGTGGGGCTGCCTCTTCACTTAACAGCCGCGCGGTTCGGCGGTGGCTTGTTTTTGCTACAGTCCTAAGGAGCTCTCGGCGTGTCCCGGCGACGCGCGCGCAGCTCCTCCGGTGCGTTTTGCGGGGGCCGGGGCAGGAGCAGCCTGGCGCTAAAGTTACCTTTTTTAGCAGCCCCCGTCGGCCCCGCCAGCGCTCCGGGGGCGGGGGCTGCCGTCCGGCGAGGAGTCGGAAGACGGCTACGAGGCCGGAGCGAGCCGTCGCGGGAGCCCGCACCTTGTGGGGCAGCAAAACTCAGCGCCGCTCTCTCTGGCGCTCCTCGCGCGGTACGTGCGCACGACGCGACGGCAGGGCGTGCGCGGCCGACGCCGCGCCGCAGACCCCTCCCTCGGGGCAGCACCATCGGCAGCGGACGCAACAGTTCTGCACATAGTTGGGCAGCACCCAGAGCCGCTCTCTGCCGCCGAGGAGCGCGCGCACGACGCGAGGCTGCCTCCGGCGCACGACCAGTTCCGAGAACCGCGCCCGGGCCGTAGGGCAGCAATAGCCGGGCAGCGGACGCCTACAGAGCAGAACAGAGCCGCGCGATGTACTCCCTCGGCGCCTACGAGCTGCAAGAACGGAAACGCAAGGCCGAGGCGGACCGCCTGAAGAAGACGACGAGCAAGAATTGGAAGCCCGCGAAGCGCAACCGCTTCCTCACCAACATCTACGGCAAGGGCCTTGAGGGATTGAGCACCGCGTCCGTCGTGCGAAGAGACGCGCACATACAAAACGCCTTGCAGTTCCCCGAGGAGACGTCGATGTTCGGAGAACCGACAGTCCCCGTCAAGGGCGGCGCCTACGCGTCCTGGAACGCCATGGCGCCTTGCAAGCAGCTCGCGCCGCCTTCCATGCAGTTCCGGGACGAATATCCGGCGAAGGAGCTCGGCGGGCGGTTCGGCGTGTCGCGGTATATTGCTAGAAGCTATTTCAAGGGTGGCGGTCAAAAGGACTACGAAAAGACCGCAGAATTGCTGGATAGAAAAGCTTCGCTCGGTGGTGCTCTGGCGGTCGACGCCCTGGACCCGAGGGAAGCTACAGTATCCTTAGGTGGCGTTGGCTTACGTTTAGCCAAGGGCCCCTACTTCAACCCCGGCCACTTTCTCAGGGTGCGACAGAGACACAAGGAACTAGGCCCGCCCTTCGTGTATAACACGCGCACGGAGCCGGAGCGCGTCACGGCCCAGTTAACCGTAGAGACACTAAATGATCCGGGACCGTTTACCGATAAAACGATGCAAGAAATACAATACCCCAAGTGGCGCTTCCCCGACAAGCGGAAGTTCCAGGAGCCGTTCGATTTTCGCAAGTACCACCGGACCGCGTTGATGGACACCGAGCAGATGTGCGGCCTGCCGAATTTGAAACCTATGTCCGTGTCCGAAGCGTATCAGTCCGCGGCGGATTTGGAGGGGTCTTTTAGACAGGCGCCTCGCGGTGTGAAGGCGTGGAACAACAACCAGCCCCACGGGACGACGTTTTCCAACTACTCGCCGCCCAGAAGAAAGGACCCGTCGGCTCTCCATTGCTCCTTGCGAGGTGTTTCATTACGCGGGGCGTCGGGGGGCGCCTTCGAGACCGTCGTGTCCGAGGACCTGGCGTCGTTCTAAGTTTAGGTTGTGAAATCTGAGTCCCACTAGTACTATTAATGCCGGCGCGGCGTCGCGTCGATGGCGTTGGGGCCTTCGCGCAGATCTTCGCGCGCGCGCTCGTGAGTAAATTGGCCGCGCCGGGGGTGGGCCCATTCAGTGTTAGATATGCCTCTCCGGAGAGAACGGGAATTACGATACATTACAGTTTAACCACCGGTGGCTGCCCGCGCGGTCTCATTCGTGTCAACCGGCACGCAGCACGTGTTGCCGCAACCCCATTCGACGTTACCGTGGCTGCACACAGGGTCAAAATCTGGATACGTCGACCAGAGCATCTTGGTTTCGAATCTGAACTGACCGGCGTAGGTATATCCGGGCGCGCAGCTCCCCTCGCCGCATGGAGCGCAGCAGTCGGGGTCGACACCACCGTTCTCGAGACAGGCGCCCGTGCTCGCCGCCGCGCAATTCGTCGGCGGCAGCCGCCGCGGCGACAGGAGATCTTGAGCCGAAAAGCCCACATCAGAACTATGCGCCTGAGGACGGCGCGGACAGGAATATCCCTCCCACATCGCATCTTTGCCCTCCATCACGAAAATCTTTTCCTGATGCGCAGGGCAGGTCGGTGTCGTCGCGTCGCGCTCGGGGCACGTCAACGGGCAGTCCTGGTCGCCGCGGTGGCAGCCGCAAGCTTCCGGACAAAATAGGGACAACTGCTTGTGGCTGCTTCCCCGGACACAGAGATTCCTTCCAAGCCAGTAGGGCGGTCTCACGGTCAGGTTGCTTCGAGCATCGGCCTGCCACGCCTCGTACGAATCCAACGAGTCCCAGAGGGAGGGATCCCGTAGGTAGCGGCAGCCGTAAATCCGTAGGTACTTGATGTCTTGATAATTCTCAAACTGCTTTACAAGCGGTAAATCCGCGTTGGCGTCTTCCCAAATATCCAGGAAACTTTGAAACATGGACCATCGAGTCGCGTTACTCCGAACACCGCTTTCTTGCTCCATATCGTACTGTATGTAGGCGTCGTAGGCATCGCCTTCGGCAGAAACGTCTTTGCAGGGAATCTGCCTGAGGTGATCGAAATACGTCGGGGCCGCATCGACTGAGCATCCATCTTTGGGATCAGTGAGCGCGTTTGCAGCAAACGGAAACTGGCACCCGCACATGTCCGGGCACAGGGCGCGCGCGCGCCGACCGGCCTCACTCATCGAGCTTCGCGAGCGTCGACGTCGACAGCTCCTGCGGCTCATGCAAGAGGCCCGCGGGCCGGTCGTCGTCGCCGGTCGATGTCGCCATCATTTTTCTGACAAACTTGATCTCCGCGGGGCCTAGCGCCGGCGCCGCGGCCGGCTTGCTCTCCTCCATCGAGCCGTACATGCTCATTGCTCACTAGACCAGTTGTCTGCTTGTCTATTTTCAGTGGTGTCCAAAGCGCACCCAGGAGCAGTAGTCAAGCGGTCGCGGACGACCACAATTCCGCCTCAGAGACGCCGCATCCAACGCAAATCGCCCTGTAAAACCCGTACCAGGTTATAAAACTTACACACAAACCCTCCTACGCGACGAAGTCGTATACCGTCCGCGCCACCGTGGGCAGCCGCTCGAGCCCCCCCATCAATTCCTCGAGCTCCCCCCGCCGCGGCGGCCGCGAGCTCCGTGAGGCGTCGACGCGCCAGAGCGCCGCGGCCAGGCCCACGTCCAGGACGCGGTCGAGGTCGCCGCCACTCAGCAGCGACGCCACGGCGCCCGCGAGGAACGCGTCGCCGGCGCCGACCGTGTCGATGGCGCCGTCTGCCTTGAAGGCCGCCCGACGAGAGACGTGCGACGGCTGCAGACCGTGGTTCAGCCGCCCCAGCGTCCTTCTGAGGGTGGGCTCGTCGTTGGTCATCGCGAAAGCACCCAACGGGCCCAGCGTGAACAGCACGACGCCGCAGCCTCGCCTCAACAACGCACGGGCAATCGATTCTATCTCGGCATTGGACAGCACGTTCTCCAATCCATCCTTGATGTTGTATCTTTCTAGAAATTCCTTCTTCCTTCCAACACACGCCGCGGCCTCGTCCAAATTGCCGTGTAATACACCAATATTTTCGTAGGCGTCCGAGGCGTCGCCGAGCGGCATTTCGTAGTCGTCCGACGCCTCGTTCACGTCCAGACAGAGACACGTGCCCGCTTCGACGCATCTTGATGCAAACTGCGCCAGGGGCGCGCCCCGCAACGCAGGCATGACGTGGGGATAACCTAGTAAAATGGCGTCGTACGTCGCCACATCTACATTCGGAACGAAATGGGCATTCCACCCCTGCGCACAATACACGGCGCGCTTGCCGTCCTTCCCGTAGACCGGTAGGCAGGCCGTCGACGTCGGGTGTTCTTCATTGACATTGATGTGGGCCGTGCCGACACTGTTCTCACGGAAGTAGTCGAGCAAAAAGCGCCCGAACGCGTCGTCTCCCACACAACAGTGCGCGTCGACGCCGTACGCCTCCAACGACGCTAGAGTAGAAGCGCAGTTGGCTACACTTCCACCAGCAGCCAGTCTTGTAGATTGGACTTCGCAGTAGCCCTCTCTACTACTAAGTTCGCCGCAGCCCTCGAGCACAACATCCACGCAGACGTGGCCCGCGCAGAGGACCCGTCCCGTTGTTTGGGTAGTAGAGAAGGCCCTCGTAACGGCATCGACCGCTGTACTCCTCATCTCCGCTTCTCGTATGGCAGACGTGTCCACGAGCACGTGGGGACATACTGGTCGCGCGGGCAGCGTGACTTTCACAGACGTGTCCTGGTCGGCATGTCGTTGCCGCTGGCGCCTCGCCAACGCCTCGGGATCGGCACAAACCCAAAGCAGCGCGACGCGCGCGCCGAAGCGCTTAGCGAGCGCCTCGAGAAAAGTAGAATCTTTGACGAGTGACGTGAAGGGCGCCACGATGACAACATCGAGACCCGCCGCGCAGTTCTGGGCCGCGACCCGGAAACACGTCTCGTAGGCGCTCGGCTTTATTTGAGAATTGTAGTAGGCGTCGTCCTTGGCCGCTCCGGCTGCGGTTAAGGCGCAGTTGGCCAGCGGCCACTCGAGCGCGTCTTTATCTACTAGACAAGCCTTCATGGACCGGGCGGCGTGGGCCGCGAGCGTCGTCTTGCCGGAGCCGGGCGGGCCCGCGACGACGAGACAGCGCGCTCCGGTCGCCGGCGTCGCTGCGCTAGGCGTCGCGCCCGGCATCGCTGGTAGCGCGCCCGGCGGCGGCGGCGGTCCAGGCGGCTGGGGCACGCGCGGCGGGCGGTTGAACGCCGCGATCGCGCCAGCGATGCGCTCGGCGTCGTCGTCGGCCACGCCCCAGACCTCGGCCGGATTGAGATCTAACAAATCGTCGGCGGACAGCTCCAGGGAGGCGATCGCGTCGACGGCGGCATCACTCGTGCCGGCGGCTCGAAAGGCGTCGAGGATATCGCGGGCCGAGGGCATCGCGAGCAGTGCGAGGTGGCAAAAGCGAGCCGGCAGCGATGATATGTGTCCAGAGTCCAGCAGCGAGTCCTGAACACGAGCGTTTGGTGCTGCAGCGAGCTGCGAGGTAATTGGGAGAGCATGCTAGTGCCTTACAGGACGCTAGCTGCACTTTTTCGCGCTGGTTGCATTTCGGCCTTTTCGGTGCTCTCTGGGCTGCCTGGCACCCGCATTGCTGCAAACAAATCCAGCGTTTGATATGCCGAAACGCTGACCAGCATCGCTGCGTATTGCCACAGCACAGCCCTGCAGCCCCCTCTCAGGATGCCGAGCACGGCCGTACCGCTGTGCGTGTGGTTGCTCTGCCTCAGCAGCACAGCAGCGCTCAAACCAACACTCGCGCCACCACTGTACGTGTGGTTGCTCTGCCTCAGCAGCAGCGCAGCAGCGCTCAAGCCCGCGCTCGCGCCACCGCTCCAGTCAAATGGTCCGCACGGCCTACCTTTACTACCATCAGGCGACCACTTGACGCTGGACGCGCCGGGCTGGACGCGGGGCATCGGCACGGGCGGCCGCGTCTGGCCGGCGTCCGCCGCGCTCTGCCGCTACCTCGCCCGGACGGGAACGGTGCGTGGCAAAGCCGTCCTCGAACTAGGCTGCGGGACCGGCGCGACGGGCCTCACCTGCGCCGCGGCGCTGAACGCGTCGTCAGTGCTCTTGACCGAAGGAGGGAGCGAGGGCCTGCTGCAGCTCGCGCGGCGCAACGTCGATGCGAACCGTCTTCATTTGAATTGCGATGTTTCTGTACAGCGCCACGGCTGGGGCGAGCCCGTGGAGTGGGCGCCCGAGCTCGTGGTCGGCTCGGACGTGACCTACGACCGCGACGCGCACGACCGGCTCTGTGCGACGCTGAAGGCGCTGGGCGCGCCCGCTATATTAGCGCACCAGCACCGCCGCGTCGCCTCGTTCTTGAGCGGCGAGTCGCAGCTCGACCACTTCCTAGAAACCGCGGATCAAATGGGCCTCGCCGTCGACCGATTGCACGAAGACGCGACGAACGCCCTCGCGCCCGTGTCCATCTTGGGCGTGGCGGCGCCCCGATAGCGCCTGCCCGATGGCGCAGGGGCTTGCCTTCTGCGTGGACTACTCTCGGCTTAGGAACTAGGGTTATAACAATATGTGTTCTTAAACACTGATCATGCTACTCGCGCACCGATCATATAGCCATAGTCGTGCTCGCGACCGTTGGCTGCCTCCTCCTGCTGGCGCCACGGCGTGATCCCGAACCGCCACGCGCGCTACTTCTTCGCCTTGCGACTCTTCGCCTCCCTACCTTCGCCCTTTTTGGGCCGCTTTCTTTTGACGGCGGGCTTCCCCGCATCGCCCTGGTTCTGTAGGTTCGCGCGCGCCGACCGCAACCAGTAGACGGCAATCGCCCGCGACGCCGCATCTAAAGCAACTTCCCCGAACCGCCGCCCGAACTCCGGGGCGTCGTCGTCATCTGATAATTCGGCCGCCGCCGCTTGTCTCCTTTTGCCGCCCTTCCCGAACAACCGCTCGGCGGCCCTCCGGTGCCATCCAATCAAAATAGCCCGCGCGGCGGGCGACAAAAACACGGGGCCCCACTGCGGACCGTCCGGTTCATCGTCAGATAACTCTTCTTGTTGTTTAACACCCCCCGCCCGCTCCTCGTCGCGCTGCTTGGCCACGCAGGCCATGCAGATCGTCCGGTACCGCTGGCTCTTGATCCAGAACGTCTTCCACGCGACCTGCGAGAAACGACGGTTTCGCGCGTTGCCGCGGTGTTCGGGCGCTCTCTTCATGAAGACGCGACTCGTGGCCATCTCAGCATGACGTGGGTGGTCTCGGGTCCGAATTTGGGCCGCATCGCGTCGCGATCGCCCGAATTCGCTCAAAGTCGACAAAGAAACCATTCTCGTATCAAGGACGCCGAGGCAGCACCTGGTCGAACTCTTGATCCGCGTTCTCCGCGTCGAACTGCGCCGCGAGCACTTCGAGCGGAATGACACAAGTTACTTGTAACTGCCTGCGACTGAGGCAGTTCTCGCACTGCGTGCCTCTCGCTTTGCTTATGAGGGGTTGGACGACCTCCCGCAGGCGCATGCGCCTTCGAGCTTGCGCGAGCCACCACCGGATGATCTGCCGGCTGTTCGCTTTTAAAGCTACAGGGCCAAATTTACGACCATCGTCTTCGGAATCGGAAGAAATGTCCTGGTTCAGCTGGTTCAGGATACGTGTAAATTGATTAATGAGGTAGGGCCTACTCCTCCTCAACGTCCGAGGCGTGAGGATGGACGGCAGCTGATTAATAAGCCACGCGCGGTTGTAGTTCAGGAACTTGAACCGAAACGTCTCGGACGTAATCCTTTGATTCATCATGAACGCGTCGTGGCTGCCGCCCTTGAGGTCCTCCCATCCGGGGACCTGCGGAACACGACACACAATCACGCAACTTCAAGTTGAGAAGTTGAAGTTCAACACCGAGTCACGGACCTCGAACTCGTCGCTCTCCTGCAGCGCCGTGTGCCACGCCGTGTTCTCGTGCTTGACGCGCCACAGCTTCATGTAGATCGCGAGCTTCATGATGATCGCGTTGATGATCTGTGTGGAGCATTTCCGTCAAAGTCCGAATTCACGCGAAACCGAAAAAGAAGCCACTCACGGCATCGTGCGATGGACACGAGTCGTATTAATGAAGTGAAGGGCGAGATACGACGCCGGGGCCGCGCCTGGCAGTTGTTGATCGTCATCATGTAGATGAACGGCATCATCTGGTCCCCAAAAACCTGCGCGGAACGCGGTGTTTTCGCGGTTCCAGGGCGTCGAGACGCGTCGTGTGTATCAGACGAGGTCGTGGCTCGTTTCTTTTTCGATTCTGAGTCGACACGGCCGCGGACGTTGTACTGGGCCTGGACCATCATCTGCATGCCGAAGATGAACATCATGATGCCGTTCACTTGCACCTGCGTCGAGACGCGTCGCGACGCGACGCTCGCGCGACGAGACGCGACGGACGCGTCTCCACGAAGACGTGGCGGGCGCGACAGCTCTCACTTTTGACGCTGAGTCAGCACCGTCATCATCATGTAGTACTGCGACGAGAAGCACATCTGGTCGAGCGTGCGCACGGACTCGTCGATGCACTCATCTAAACTATCCTCGAGACCCTTCCACCGCGTCTCGCGCTGCAGGAAGCGATAGCGCGTATAAATCAGGTAGTCGTAGATCTTCCAGCCGTGGAAGAGCTCCAACACGCCTGCGTCGAACGATCGCGTCACGAAACGGCCCTCGCGAGACGCGTAGACTCTCTCACGGCCACATCGACGGCGTCGCGGTGCCGTGAGACCACGCAGACGCCATTTTCACAAAGTTGAAGTTCGGAAAACGAGAGAAAAGACACTGAGTCAGCACTCAAAGTGAACACGTCCGCGATGAACTGGAACGGGATCAAAACCACGGAAAACAGTAGGAAATACAGCATGTCATTATTTTTGATGTTGTAGAGCTTCGTCATCTGGACCTCTTCCCGGAAACCGATCAGGATGAGGAGGACGAAGACCTGCGAACGGCCTCGTCTGACGGAGACGACGCGCGTCGATGGCGTGAAGGCACCGCGACACCTCAAGACGCCGCGAGCCGCACGTTGTAGACCGTGAACATCGCGCACGTGCTGTAGGCGCCGAACGCGTCGAGGATCGGCTCGACGGTCTCGCCGCCCTCGGCCACTGCTCCTTCGAGATCCCTCTTCGCGGTCTTCTGCTCCTCGCTCTTCTCCGCCGCCTGTTCTGCGGAAGAACCTGTGTGGCACGGACACCGTCGCGAAACTGCCACGCGAGAGGCGTCGACGCTCTGACGATCATGAAGAGGGCGTCGAAGCGGTGCGTCGACGCCATCGACGCGAAGTTCAAGTTGAGAAATTGAAGGAAATCACGCTGAGTCAGCGCCAATAATCCACTTCGGCAACAATTTTAATGTCTTCGCCTTGAGCTCGTTCCAGTAATAAAAGGCCCCATCAATAATATCGACGAGGGCCGGGTCGAAGTAGACCTGCTCGCAGAGGCCCATGCCCAATTCAATAAAATACCCGCCCTGCGTGGCACATATACAATCGCGAAACCGCCGCGGCTCTCGCGCGAGACGCGTAGACTCCCTGACGGCCACGCCGACGGCGTCGAGGCGACGCGGCGACGGCGTGGCGGTAGTGTAGCTCTCGCCGGCACGCCATCGCCGCGACCCCGGCAAGTTCAAGTTGAAGTTCAACACACCGAGTCAGCACCATGAAGTCGACGAAGTCGTCACACGACAGCGTAATGACACCACAGGTCATGTCGAACGCCGTCATCACCGGCATGACCAGCAGCGCCTCCTGGAGCTGCTCTTCCACGATGGCGCAGAGGAACTGCCCCAGCGGCCTGAGTCCAATGATCACGAACCAGATGTACGTCCCGAAGTACTGCCAGTACGAGAACTCGGCGACGACGCAGCAGAAGAGGCCCATCGTGAAGCTCGTGAAGATGAGGTTCGACCTGCGCGCGACCCGGGTGTGATCTCCGCGTTTTGACGTGTACAGGCGCCTCCACGCCATCGACGCGACTCGATTCACTGGAAACGGTCCGAATGGCCTCAGAATCGAAAAAGAAACCACCCACGGCATCGTGCGATGGAGACGAAGGCACCGCAGCACCCCCATCCCGGACGCGGGACCGCGGACCGCTTCCACGCGTTGGGATTCCATATATCCTCCTTCTCCGCCGCGGGGTCGCGTCTTTTTTGAATATCCAACTCTCGTTGAGTAGTTCTATTGGGTAAAAACATCTGGCAGGCCGCCTGCCAGCACCGCATCGCGATGACGACGAACGTGAAGCCGAGGCGGCCGCTTCTCGCAGCTCTTAACTTAGGTTCGTCGATCACCTGCGTGGAACGGACACCGTCGCGACACCGCCGCGACCACGTCAAGTTCAAGTTCAAGTTCAACTTCAACTTCAACACTGAGTCACTGACGGGATCTTGCCACTCCACGGGCTGCAGCCCCATGACCGCGTTGTTCGCGTCCGTCTGCATGATGTACAAACCGATGAGACTGCCACTTCCGAAGATGTTGTGGAAGATGCCTGCGTGCGAAACTGTCACGAAACTGCCGCACGTCACGGTGACGTGAGACCGCGAGAACGCCATCTTCCCAAAGTTCAAGTTGAGAAATTGAAGGAAACAGACGCTGCGTCAGTGCCCGCGACGACCATCTCCATGGGGATGTTCTTGACGACGTAGCGCACCTGCGTCGGGGTATGGCGGTCGTGGCGTGGTCGTGTCCGGGAATCATGGCGGTGGGTGAATTTTGAGGCGATTCGGTCGACGTCGCTCGCATCGCGTCCGAATTCACTCAAAATTGGACGAGAGACCTCGTCTGATGGCCACGAGTCGCGTCGACGGCGTGAAGGGACGCCGCGAGCGCACGGGGTAGCCCGGGATGAACGCGAAGAGCGCGTCCTCCGCCATGATCGGCCTGCGTGGAAATCAAGGTTCGTGGTCTCTCGGGGTGTGCGTGGGGTGTGGTTCGCGCTACGCGGTCGATTGTATGAGAGGGACGTCGTGTCCGAGTTTGGGCCGAAAACATCGGTGCCGAGACCGCTCTCACTCGGCGAGAAGCGAGGATAGCGTCGCGTCGACGGCGTGGAGGGCTCGACGACGCCCCCAGACGCCGTCGACGCGGCGCCGAGATCGCGGGACGCGGGTCCGCGCTTGATGAGCAAACTCATACTCATCTGCGCCACGAAGATGGGAATGAAGCCCAGCAGCACGCCCTGGAAGGGCGGCACTATAATTAATAACAGTGTCGACCAGATCCTCACGCGAGGCGGGTTCTCCAACATGGTCGTTAAACGAACGGACGTCCACAGAATGACACTGATCAGAATCGTCAGAAAACCCGCGATGAAAAAAATAATTAAGAAAACCTTTTCTTCGAACGCGAACCACACAATTAACTCGATGTAGTCCAGCCTGCGTGTTCCCAAAGTTCAACTTCGGGTCATGTTTAGTAACAGACGCTGAGTCAGCGCGGGTGGTAGGAGACATCTAAAGTGTACTCGTAGTCCGGCGGTCCCACCGGCGAGCCGTCCTCATTTCTCCTTTCATTTTGCATCTCCTGGACGTGGAGCACCGCAAAGATGATCTCCTTGTACTTCCAGCGCGCCATCGTGACCTGCGCGTGGCTCTCGCTCCATTGATACGACTCGTGGCCATCAGAGACGGCGATGGGTCCGGTTCGGACCGCATCGCGACTCGACGGCGGTCGCGTCGACGCCATCGACAGAAACGGACGCTGAGTCAGCACCTGCTTGTAGCCGATCTCGAGGACGAACGCCGACGGAAAGTACGAGTACCCGAGGCCGCCCGGGAACTCGGACGCGACCTCCACGTTTATTATATTGTCCATGTCCTGCGCTCTTACTAAGAACACCTGCGCGGCGGCGTACGACGGTCTTCATGAATCGTGGCCACCTCACGTCCATGAGCGTGGTTTCTTTCGTGATTTCGAGGCCGTTCGGACCGCATCGCGGTCCCGAGTCGCGTCGATGGCGTGAAGGGCACCTCAAGACGCCGAGCTACGCACGGTCCCGCCCCCCAGGTCCTCCCACTGCATCCTATCGTTCACGCCGATCCGTTCCCGCTTCCGCCCCGTGTACTGGTGGTAGCTGATCGGCTGCTTCAAAAATTGAAACAACATGGCGCCGTCGGGCTGGTTGAACCTGCGCGCGTCGCGGTCTCGACACGAATGAATTGGCTCAAAATCTCTCGAAAAGCCACCCACGACGCGTCGATGGCGTGAAGGGACGCCGGGACCGCACCAGAGCGGTAGGTAGCCGCCCGTCGTGACCTCCTCGTAGCTGCACGTGACCCGCCGCTCGCACCAGTCCGCCAGCGGCACCTTGTCGAAGCCTAACGCGATGTCCAGGAACTTGACCGCTTGCACGTCGTCGTAGTGCGGTAAAGGGGGATAGGCGTAGCGCCGCAACGGCGTCAGCTTCGGAGCCGTCGGGTCCGAAAAAGCGCCCTCTCTTGTAGTTTCGGGCGGTAACTCGCACCGATCGCTCTCCACCAAATTGTGGAAGACGACGTACGAGTCCCACTCGCGGCAGTTCGAAAAGTACGGTAAATAAGGCACGCTAATGGGCCGCGCACTAATGACCTGTGTGGGAATCGACCCGTGAGTCAAGCTTATCTTCGCGTCGACGGCGTCGGAGAGCGTCGTCGAGGCCTCCACGCCATCGACGCGACGCGTTCCTCACTTCTCGCCGAGTGAGAGCGGTCGCGTCTCGCTATCTCGGCACCGCGGCCATGTTTTCGGCCCAAACTCGGACACGACGTCTCTCTGATACAATCGACCGAGTTGAGCGAGCGGAACGTCACTCCGACCGCGAGAGACCTCAAATTGAAGCACAACTTGAAGTTTGGCACACTGCAAATGACGTTGATCCACTGCATGATCTCCTCGCTCTGCTCCAGCGCCGCCGACAGCGTCTTCATCTGCAGGTAACTTTGGGAAGAGAGGATGCCGGCCATGAAGAACGTCTCGAAGTAGACGTCCCTGTGTCGATCGACACCGTCGCGACACGGCCGCGGCTCCCTCACGCGACGCGCAGACGCTCTCATGATCATGAAGACGGCGTCACGGTGCCGGGAGACCACGAAGACGCCATCTTCCCAAAGTTCAAGTTGAGAAATTCAAGGAAATTGGCGCTGAGTCAGCACCTATTCGCGTCCGCAATTTTACTGACATCGATATACATCGTCGGGTCCATGGCCTGCTCGTACAAGCCCGTGCACTCGCCGACCATGCCCTCGCAGCCCTGCTCGTACAGATCGAAGTCCGTGTGCGTCGCCTCGAACCTGTGTGGAAATCAACCAGTGAGTGCTGCGGCGCCTTCACGCCGTCGACGCGACTCGTGTCCATCTCACTTCCATGAGAGTGGTTTCTTTTTCGAGTTTGGGGCCGTTCGGACCGCGTCGAGCGACCGCGACGCTCCGCGGAGGTCTCCCCGGCCCTCCAGGTGGATTTGTGAGCCTCCACGCCATCGAGCAGATATCATGAAGATGGCGTGGAGGTCGACGCGACGATGCAGCACGAAGGCGCCGTGAAATTTGATTTCCACACAGCCTCGAACCACGCCGGCTCGACGAGCAGCGAAGGTTCGGGCTCCGCAACGGAAGGCACGGTCTGCTGGCTCTCCCACGTGCTGTTGAAGGCGACCAAGACCCGTCCCCGTTCATAATCTTTATATGTGGGGGGCATGTTGAGGGGCGGCATCGAGTGGTGCCTGCGCGGCGCATTTCGTGTCTTCGTCTCCTCTCACGCGTCGCGTCGACGGCGTCGGGGGGCGAGGAGGCCGTGGGTCGTTTCTTTCGTGATTTCGAGTGCATTCGGACGCGATTCGGTCCGAACGGCCTCTTCAGCAAAAAAGAGACCACCCCCGGCCATCACTCCTCGAGACGAATCACGGGACGCCGCGACCGTGCCACTGCGTGTCGTCGTTGTAGAAGATGCCGATCCTGCGCGTGACGCTCGTGAGGCGCGCAGACTCTCTCATGATCACGACGACGGCGTCACGAGCGGTCTTCACGCCGTCGACGCGACTCGTCTTCGTCAGACGAGGCCGCCGATTCGGACCGCGTCGGGCGCCGCCGCTCTCACGAAGGCTCTCTGACGGCCGCATCGACGGCGTCGAGGCACCACGCCATCGCAGCGACGCCATCGCAGCGACCACGTCACAAGTTCAAGTTCATTCACGACGCTGACTCGGCACATGTGGAACAGGTCCGTGTCCCTTTCTTCAAAACTGACGTAGGGCGACAATTTACGTCTTAGTTTATCCTTCACGGGCGTTTTATAGAGCTCCGCCGCGTCGGGCCCGGGCCGATTGTTCTTGTCCTGCGTGGCACGGATAGACTCTCCTGGGATCATGACGACCCCGGCAAGTTCAAGGTCAATGAAGACGCCGCGTCACGGACCTTATCATTTAAATTGAAGAACGACCCCGTGCCACTATAAATCATCATCAACGTCAGCCAGTCGACCTGCGTGGCACGGACGCCGTCGCGAGACTCTTCACGCTCCGACGATCACGGAGACGGCGTCGCCGCGACCGCGGTCTCTCCGACACCCCGCGACGGCCCCGACGTCTTCCAGAGACTCAAAATCGACAAAAAAACGACCCACGACCTCAGCTGACGGAGACGAGTCGCGTCGACGGCGTGAAGGCACCACAACACGACGGGACGCCGAGATCGCACGTCGTCGTAGCGCGTCTCCTCCTCGAGGACGTTCTGCGTGTACTCGTCGAGGTGCCTCGCCCTCTTGGGAGATGTGATTTGCACCGTCGCCGAATTGCGAAAGAAGTCGACGGCCGGGAGCCACATGCCGTTCAGGACGTGGACTTCTATTTTAAAAATGACGTCGTCGAGGGCTATCAATGTCATGTTAAATAAAACGTTTTTCGGCGTTTTCGAATCCTGGAACCTGCGCGGGAACGACTCTCTCACGAGCCGCGTGGGCGCCCTGGTGATCATGAAGACCACGTCAAGTTCAAGTTCAACTTCAACACTGAGTCAGCACCAGTTCGACAGGTGGATCGGCTGGCGGCAGGGGTACCGCTCCTTCGGGCCCAGGAAGTTTCTAGCTGCATCGCATTCTTCTTCCACGCACCTAGACGGTCTCACAAATATAGCTAAGCGGTAGTGCTCGTCATAGATCAGTTCGTTCGGGAGGTGGCGGAAATCGAAACTGAGCATCGCCGACTCGAGGCCTCTTAATAAGTACCAGCCCTCCTCTCTTGTATGATTACCCTCCTCCCGCACGAGGAAGTGGGAGCAGCGCTTGATGTCCATGTCTAACGACCCTTGGTCCGCGACCCAGCGGTCCTGGCGCACGTACGTGAGCACCGCCCTGTGTGGGAACGACACCGTCGCGAGACGACCGCGACTCTCTCACGAGGCGCGTAGGCGCTCATGCGGTCGCATCGACGGCGTCGAGGCGACGCGGCGTCGCGATCGCCGCGACCGCGTCAAGTTCAAGTTCATTTTCTGCTCTGAGTCACTGACCACGTCCCGGGAACAAAATGTTTTTGCGGGTGCGTCTTCTGGTTGATGTACTTCTCCGTCGGTTCCACGAGCAAGGCGTAGGCGCTCGTCAGGTCGGAAGACCTGCGTGGAAACCATGGTCTCGCGACGACGCCATCTTCATGAATGCGTACTCTCTGGCACGCCGCGCGGCCCCGACGCGGTCCGAATCGGCTCAAAATTGGACAAGAGACCTTGTCTCATGGAGACGAGTCGTATCAGTGAAGTGAAGGGACGCCGCGCGCGCACCAGTGCGTGCCATCATTCGTCACGTCGACAGAAACTTCGGCAGTGACGCACGGGTTCCATCGGTTGTAGTTCGAATTGATCGTCCGCTCCTGGTGGTCGGGGCCCCGCAACAACTCCTTGTACTTGTTCTCCTGGGCCAGTTCGTTGGCCGTCACCGCAAACACTAAATCGTGCACCTGTGTGGCACCGACGCCGTCACGACACGGCCGCGGGAGGCGCGTAGACCCTCGTATGATCATGAAGACGGCCCCACGGTGACGTGAGACCACGACGACGCCCTCGTCCCAAAGTTGAAGTTCGGAAAACGCGAGAAAAGACGCCGAGTCAGCACTAATCTAAAACCGTACTTCGCCTCGGGCTGCGTCTTCAGCAGGTCCGGGCAGGGGATCTGCATGCAGTGGTTGTTGACTTCTCCTCTCTCGCCCAATTTACAGAGCGTCGTAAAGGTCGCCGACTGGTCCGCGCAGAAGACCCGACAGTCCTGCGACGGCTCCGCGCACGCCTGCAGATAGGCCAGCCCGTTCCCCTCAAAAGCTGGCGAAGGATCCCAGCAGACCTGGCCCTCCTCACAAAATAATTCGGGATTTTCTAGTTGCTGGGGATTCGGAAAGGGGTCGTTTTTGACGACGCGGACGCCCTCGCCCGGCGCCGAGGCCAGGTTGCCGCCCTCGTCCGGGCCCAGCCATTCCATGCCCGAGGCGGACGTGCGACTGCCACTCGTCGGGTTTCCGGAAGGATACTCCGCTTTGCACGTCGGGTGCCAATCGTCGACGGGCCCGCGGCACTCGTCTCCATTGGCATCAATGGGCGCTTTCAGGGGCCAGGGCCCCGGTCGAAACCGGTCAAATAAACAACTCGTGCGGAACTTGTGGGCGACTTCCTCGTGCGTCGGAAAGTCGAAGGACGGTGCTTTACATGTTAAACGAGTTTTGGACACATACGTCGCTTCGACCACAATGCTACGATCCGCCACAACCCTAAGGGGATTGCCGCCGTCGACCCAGTTGTTCTCGATCCAGGAATATTTCTGCGGCACATATCTACGACCGGTCTCTGATGTGGTATAAGGTCTCGGCTCGCCTGTGTGGCACGGACGCCGTCACGACACGGCCGCGACTCCCTCATGCGGCCGCATCGACGGCGTCGAGGCGGTGCGGCATCGCGCCGACGCCGTCGCGCCGACCGCGTCAAGTTGAAGCTCATTTTTCACGCTGAGTCACTGACCACCAAAGGCATTCGGAGAAACGCCCGGCAGCAAGTCGCACTCCACGTCCTTATCCCCGAACATCAAGAACTGCTCCTTCTCCGAGCACTGCCTTCTAGCGTGGCCGGGCCCCGTCGGCTGGTCCTCGCCGGACACCTGGCCCTCGCCCTGTTCCGCGGTCCGGCCGTCCGGACACCGCGGGCTGCTTGCCCCCTGGTTCGTGCGCGGCCAGACCCAGTTGTTGTCCTTGTCCTTCGCGGACGGTAATTTTTCCCAAATAGCTTGAATTTCCTCGGAGTTTTCCCGCACGAACGTGTCGCCGCACCGCGTCGCGGACGGCGTCCCTTCGCTATCCGTGTGTTGGTTCGGCACGGCGCAGATCTGGGGCTCTTCGCGATGCGTCGCTACCGATGAATTGCTTCTACAGGCCGTGAACTTGCACTGCAGTAAGTCGGTGTCGAAGAAATTGCGACCAATTACGGTGATGTCCTGCCCGCCCCTTTGGTCAATGTATTCGGGGCACGTCCGGAAGACCTCGACCGTGTCATTGACGTAGTTCGGGGCCGTATAATTGGGCTGCAACGCCGAGATATTGACGGGCATGACCTGTGTCGATCGACGGCGTCGCGAAACTGCCGCGGCTCCCTCACGCGACGTGTAGACGCTCGCACGGCCGCGTCGACGGCGTCACGGTGGCACAGCGTCGCGTTGACGCCATCGACGCGAAGTTCAAGTTGAGAAATTGAAGGAAACGGACGCTGAGTCACTGACTTTCGCGACGACCGTCACCTCGCCCTCGCCCGTCCCGCCGACCGTCGTCTGCTCGCCCGAACCGTCTAAAATGGAGTAGGTAAGTTCCCGGTAGTAGCGCTGCTCGTCGAAGGGGTCAAACTCAGAAGCCAATTTCTTGTCGCACACGTGCTGCACATCAATTAAACAGTCGTAGATGTGCGACTGGCCGACGGCCGCCGTGCTTGTCGTGAAGTAGGGGCACCGCGTCTCGGGGTGACTGGCTGCGGCGGTTGCTGGGGGGCAGTAGTAGCCGACCCTACATCTATCCCTCTGTCTCATCTGCGCCGTCGTGCCTCGCTGGCAGTAGAACCCCTCGAGGCAAGGTAGCTCGTATTGATATTGGGGCAAGGTCTCCCAGCCACAATACGTGCCCCCGGGGCACTTGTGCCGGAACATCGTACCTCTTTCTGTTCCTACTCCACAGGAATGGCCCTCGGGACATCTATCGGAAGCTGTCAAATTGAACATCCCCTGGTCCCCGCAGACTCGACCCTCGGGGCATGGGAGGCATGAGGAGATGTCTGTGGAACCGTTTACGGTCGAATAGGTGCCCGGAGGACATAGGCGACACGTGACACTGTCGGCCAGCGATCGGTAAGTGCCCGCCTCGCAGATCTTCGGTTCGTACGTCCCGTAGCCCTGGCAACTATAACCGGCGGGACACACCACACAAGCGTGGGCCGCCGTCAAAGCGGCATACGTGCCCGGGAAGCACGTCGTTGGTGCTACTGCTCCTTCCACATCACTAAAAGACCCTAAAGGTGCCTGCACTGGATAAGTAGACCCCGGCGGACAATAATGGCCCGCATAACACGTCTGCGAACCGATCGCCGTCGGAGAACCTTCTCTACAAAAAGTTCCCTCCGTGCAGCGCTGCGGCGCGGACACGCCCGAAGGCTCGACGGGGATCCACGGCGTCGTGAGGTTGTGCGCCACACCGCCGAGGCAGAACGTGCCCGGCGGGCAGGGCTGGGGTCTGAGAGGTGTCGGGTCGGCCGGGTCGAGAGTTAACGTGCCTTCTCCACAGAAATAACCTTCCGGACACGTGAGCACCGGTTGCGACTGGCCGAGCGCGTTGCAGACGTAGCCCGCGGGGCACCTTTCTGGCTGTGTCCTAGACCAGCCCGGGCACACATGACCGGTCGGGCATAGGGTACAATTCGACATCCCCTCGAGGCCGTTAAAGGTCCCGGGCGCGCATTCGCGCGGGAACACATTGGCCACGCCGGGGCAGTGGTGGCCGCGCGGACACCGCGCGGCCATGACCGGCGTCGGACAGAAGTGGCCCGTAGGACATGCTCCGGAACCCTCGGGCGTCGCTGAACCAGCGGGGCAGAAGTACCCGTCATAACATCGTTGCGGCGTCGAGAAGTTCGACGGAATCGGGATATGTGAAGACGCCCCCTGCTTGCAGTAGTGGCCGATGGGGCAAGGAAACGGTACCGGCGCATACACTACTTGCTGTGACGAGTATGGAGACTCGGAGAAGGACGAAGGCGGCCGATAGCCTTGCGTGCCCGATTCATTCCACGAAAACGGTGTTTGAGTTCTCACTTTGAAAGCCTTCGACTGTCGCTGTTGCAATACCCAAGCAGACATCTGGGGCGACGCGACGACCACGCCGGTCTCGTTGTCGCGACGCCACCTTGTATCATTGTCGTAGAGGCGCGGATTCGTCGTAAGAACGCCCTCCCGGCAGTAATGGCCGGCCGGGCAGAGAGTCGTGGCCTCCTTCGTGCCCCAAGACACACAGGCGAAGCCCGCGGGGCATTTCCGGAACCACCGCATGCCGTGGTCCGGGCACCGCGCGCCGATGGGACAGTCCACACATGACCTTTGCGCTTGCCTCGGCTGGAAGGTCCCCGGAGCACAGAGCGTGAAGTTCGTATTTCGACCTTGTGGGCAGTACGTGCCGGGCGGGCAGGGCTGCACATGATCATCTTGTACGTAATGCCCCCAAGGTAAGTCGTCGTCGTAGTACTCGAACAGACCCGAAGTAGTACCGTAGTCGAGGCCATTGATCGTGATGCGCACGCGCGCCACGTACGGGAGCTTGCTGCCGAATTCAAACAGTTCCGAATCTTCGGAAGGATCGCCCGTCCGCAGCTCTCTCCGACTGAATGCCGTCGTAGGCACGTGTCTTCGTGACCTCGAGGATGTTAACGTCTCGAAGCTAGGTGCTTTACAAACAATAATCCTGGGATTCACGAAGCGGCCCTTGACCTTGTAGCCGTCCAAATCACATTTAATAGAACTGGTGTTCCAGAAATTCGTCCCTTCGACGAAGAGCGCGTAGCCGCCCGTCGCCAGGCCGCGGTCGGGGAAGACCTCGATGACCCGCGGTTCATCAACATAGAGTACTTGTAGAGTATTCGAGACGTGGTCGTTGCCGTGTAGCGAGACTCGCAACGACACCAATCCAGCTTTATGGGGCGGCGCCATGCAGACAATAGATGTTGGACTAACGACTTCGGCTCTAGAACGTGTCCCGTCGAGGTCGCACGACAACCCGAGCGTTTCCCGGAACCCGGTGCCTCTCACAGTTAATGTAGTACCTCCCAGCGTCCCCATGGCCATCTCCGGCCAGACACTTGTTATCAGTAGGTCTGGTTCATATGTGAATCTCGCGTGCGTCCCGTAGTAGTCATTTCCATTTAATGAAATTTCTAGAGAGACGTCGCCGCTCGTGTGGGGCGGTGTCACGCAATAGGCCCTTGAACGCGTGAGCACGGCGCCTCTCGTTTCACTGGAACCGAAGCGGCACCAGATACGATCACCGAAGCGCCTCCCTCGCAGAATCACTCGAGTACCGGAGGGTCCCGACGGCGGCGCGATCGACTCGATCTCCGGTGGGTAGTCGTAGGCAAACGGCGAAGGCGCGTGGACGGCGACGCCGCCCATCTCAACAGACAAGGCTGCCTTCATTGGTCGCGCCACGGCGGGAGCCACACATACTAGTTCAGTATCCGATCTGATCGAGGCGTACACTTCAATCTCGCCAAAAACACATGTGGCGGGCCCGTGGAAGTGCCTTCCTGTTATCATAACTCTAGTACCGCCTCGCAGCGGTCCTGACGACGGCGCAAAGTCGATGATCGACGCGTCGCGCGCGTAGGTCAATCTCACACTTGTATGAGACCAATGTATAGAGTCAACAGAAACTCTCAGCTCAACATCAGAGGGAATACGAGGAGGCGCCTCGCACAGTAAGACTGTATCAGATACATATGTGGCATCGACGTCTTGATCCCCAAAACGACATAGCGTCTCAGGCAGGAAGTGCTCGCCAGTAATTCTGATGGAAGCTCTAGAGTACGAGCCAAAAATCACCGGTGAAGCGCCATGGACCACGGGGAGGCGTTCCAGAGGTGGCTCTGGATCAATAGCATCGTCGACATACGCAAAGACGACTCGGTTGTTCGCCGCAGGTTGGAACCGCGACTCGACACTCAGCCACGTCGTTGTAGCAAAGCCAAATGGTGGCGCGACGCAACCGAGTGACGAGGCATCTAAAATGATAGCATCCACCTCGACGCCGCCGAAGGAGCACACGACATCGCTGTTGACGTCGAAGCCGCTGCCCTCGACCCTGACCACCGAACCGCCTCGTAGGGATGCATTCAAGGGGCTCATAGAGGTAATTCGCAGGTTCTTCACGTATCTGAATGAAGTAGCTTCCTCCACGTACTCATTAGCGTCGTAGACGACCGCCAGTCGTACGACTTCGTCCATCGCTCGACGCGGCGGCGCCACGCACCGTACGACGTCGTCGAGCCGCGACGCGTTCACTGCCGTACTACCAAACCGACACATAACATCAATCCCTTGGTCGTTGGCGTCGAAGGCCGCCTTCACTTCGACAATGGTGCCGCCCTCCTCGGCGCCCATGGCTGGTGAGGCGCCCAGGGCCAGTGCCGGTCGAAAGTACTCGTAGTCGAATTTCGAGACGTCCCCACAGACATGGATCCGTACGATCGTGGCAGGCGCGCGCGGGGGCGCCTCGCAACGCAATTGAGTCGATGAGACGTATGTCGTCGCGACTTCGACTTCGTTAATACAGCATCTCGTTTTACCGTCGAAATTGGCGCCTATCAGTGAAATAGTGCCGCCGCCGAGCGCGGGCCCTAGCGTCGGTACAATACCATAAGCCGTCGCCGTCAGTTCGTACACAAAATCGAAGGCGTTTGCTACTAGACCGTCCACGAGGATCTGTAGTGATACAAGACCGGGCGGCCTCGCCGGTGCCGCGCACTTCAACAGAGTAGAGTTAATCAGTGAAGCGGGCACCTGGAGGCCGCCGAAGGCGCACCGCAGCTTCGCGGACGCGTCGAAGAAGGCGCCTCTCACAGATACGAGCTCGCCGCCGAGATGCGAGGAACGCCCAGGAGTGATGGAGTCCACGACGCTGTGTTGCGTGTAGGTGTACGTAGCTGTCGTCGTATGAGCAGGTAGACCGTCACTTACTAATGTGACATCCACAGAACCAGGATAGCCCCGGGAGGGCGCCGCGCACGTCACTCTTCCGTCAGACTCCCATCTAGCTGGGACCGAAACGCCGCCGAAGACACAATGTAGAGAAGCGACGTTGGGGAAGTTCCTGCCCTTTATCGAAATAAGGCTGCCGCCGCGCTCCGAGCCCCTCGCTGGTTGAGTGGAGAACGCCTCGGCCGGCCGCCTCACTCGTAGCTCGTGCACGCCGGTCCCGCAGGTCACTCGTACCGACGTAGTGCCCTCTTTTAATGGAGGCGCGCGGCACCGCACCGTGTCATCGCTAACTGTGCCTTCCACAGATAGGTCGTCGAAACGGCACATACAGCTCTGAACGTTTTGACTCAAACGCACGTCGACGACGTAGCCCCCCGCCGTCCAGCCCATGATAGGAGAGAGGGAGAGTACACGAGGCGCCGCCACGAACGTGAAGGCCGCGTCGGAGGTGCCAAAGGCATCATCTCGTAACGGACCGGCCACCGTCACCTTTACTGTGCCATGACCAGCCGGCGCGGGACACGCGACTCTGTTGGTCGAGACGACTCGGCCTCTTACCACAATATCGCCAAACCTACAGCGCCACCGGCCCGGGCCCGTGTTTGCAGAAGCGACGTCGATTTCGACGAGAGTGCCCTCGTCACCCTGTGAAGGCGAGAGGCGCATGGCGTGGCTCCGCCCTCGCAACGTGAACAGCATGTCATCGCTGTTGGCGAAGGGGATAACCGTATCGTCCTCTTCAAAACTGAACAGTACGTCTCCACTAAGTGAAGGAGTAGCACAAGTGGCCACGTCGTCGGAAATGAAGCGCGCCGGTCGCGTGATGGCACCGAAGCGGCACGCGACGACACCTTGGAGCGGTGCCGAGAGGTGTATCTTCACAGAATGGCCGCCGGACGCCGGCGCGCTCGGGGGCGCGACGGCGAGGACGACGACACCCGTCTCTTGGACAGGATCCTCTGCGTCCTCTACAGTATCTTCCTGCATGATCGGTCCCATGCCCGCCGCCTCGATAATACCCTGATAAGGTACGAAGTCGACGCCGTTACTTGTGACGAAAACGGTGTAATTTGTTTGCTGCGCGGCCAAGGGAGGCATGGCGCACACTAACAAGTGGGAGGCCATCCACGTCGCGTCGTAGAGCATGTCGTCGACTCGACACGCGAGTTGGGGCGTGTCCGGGAAGCCGAGGCCAGTAATCGTGAGCGCGCCATCTTTACCTGCCTCAACAGCTTCGCCCCGCGCCACGGCGTGGATTTGTATCGGTGATAAGTAGTGGTACGTCTTTCCCTCGGACAGGCGGCCCCGCGCGTCCCGGATTCGTAGAGAGACGCGTTTTGGTGAAGATTCTGGCGCAGTACACTTAAGTAACGTGTCAGACACGAGGGACGCGTTCGCTTCATTCGAACCGAAGAGGCAGGTCAGCGGCGCTTCTAAGTCACTGAAGCGGCCCGCGACTTCGACAATTGTTGAAGCGTATCCATATGAAGGTGCAAGCGAATCAACTCTGACCGAAGAAAGGACCTCATACCTTAGTACAGGCTCGAGTAGACCGAGCGCCGAGTCGATTGTCAATGAATACGTCCCCTCGTCCAGCGGGGGCTGGACGCACCGCAGGCCGCCATTAATCACTTCGGCCGCGGATAAAACGCCGGAAAACGAGCACCGCGCGCTTTTGAGGGACGCCAGCCGCGACCCATGGACCGTTATCAGATGGCCGCCGGTCATCGTTCCTATCATGGGTTCCGCTCTTAGTAGGGCTGGGCGCGGCTTTACGGTGTACGACGACGTATGTATGACGTCCCGGCCGTTCGGCAAGATGAGCACGGGAACCGTCCCGGGCGCCATCGCCGGCACGCGGCACGCCACGCCGTCTTCATTGATATCAGCGTCTACCTCCGTAGAGCCGACGCGGCACTTTGCAGACTCTGTTGCTGCCTCCGCTAGATTAACGCCCTCCAAATAAATAGTTGAGCCACTCTCCGGCCCGCCCTCCGGCCCCATCATTGATACGACGGGCGGTTTTGATACAATCAATCGCACGCCGGGTCCCCAATGTATCCCGTCCACAGATGCTTGCACAAGGGACGAGGATGATGGTACTTGACAAGTAGCGCCTTCACCAGTATAAGACGCTGGCGTCTCCGTGACCTCGTCTCCCGTGAAGCGGCACGTTAACCGCTTTGAACGAGTAAACCCGCTCCCGACCAATGCTATCGACGCGTTCGAGTCGTAAATTGTCGAAGGGACGATTTCAATAATTGAAGGCGGCTCCGGCACGTAAACTATCTGTAAATTCCCGTAGAAATGCACGCCGTCGGGCGAGACGCTCACATTCACCTTTCCAGCGGCATGCGCCGGCACTCGACACTGGACGACGTTCGCGGCCCAATACGTCGCCGGCACCGTCGCACCGCCGAAGCGACACTCCGCGTCTGATGTGGGCAGCTCCAAATGCCTCACTCGAATCAAGGTAGAAGCGCCGCCCAGCGCCGTCGACACGTCGAGGTCCATGTCTAGCAGCTCTAGAGTATCTCGCACCTCAAAAAACAAAGATTCGCTCTCGACGCCATCGACAGTCAAGGAGAGGTCGTAGACCCCGGGCCCCTGCGCGAAGGCAGGCGTCAGACACCTTACATCTGTGGAGACCGTGGCGTTCGTTCTGCTGAGAGCGCCGTCCCTCCTCCAGCGACACTCGACAGCATGGTGCCTCGCAAAGCCCGTGCCTCGTATGACCAGTGCCGTATTACCGGTCGTCGGCCCCGTGTGCGGCAGGACGCTCTCCAATGAAACAGCTTCGAGAATTTCGAAATGGATCGCGTTCGAGACGTCACTTCCCGTCTTCACTCGTAAGTCCACCACACCTTGTATGCTAGGTACGGCGCACTCCAGTCCGTTAAAGGCCGTCTCCACGTCGCCGAAGAGGCACTTTCCATCAACAGCGTGGTCCACCTCCAAATGAATGAGAGCCCGCGGCGGCGCGCGCACTGGTGTGACACTCTGTAAATAGAGTGGCCTTACGTAGGTGAAGGGAGCCGAGGTCTCACTCACTAAACCGTGGACGGCCAATCGAACTTGGATGGTTTGAGGAGCCTGGACTCGCGGTGCGACGCACGTCACGCTGCCGTTCGTCTCCGACAGAGCTCGCGACACAACACCGTCAAACACGCAGGCCGTATGCAGCAACGAGCCGACGGTGCCGCTCACTTCGATGAAAGCGCCTCCTCTCACAGAAGCGGACGACGGCTCGACCTTCAGAACTGACGGCGCTTCGACGACGTAGAACGGCATAGATTGCGAGAAGGTCGAGCCGTCGAGCGCCACCGCTAACTCGTAAGCACCAGGTTGTAGGGGAGGCACTTGACAAACAAATTCCGACGACGACGGCCGCGCGGCCTCGACTATTCTATCGCCAAATTTGCAGGACGCGAAGGCCGGATAACGTAAGTTGTCGGGCGCCGCTATCTGTACAGAGATGGAGGATCCAATGGACGCGGATCGTGGTTTGACAGAAGCAAGGCGCGCCTGGCGGTAAAAGGCGAAGGCGTGGGCCATATGTGTAGCTTGACCTCTCGAATAGCCCACGTCGAAGGGCACCGTGCGTACCGTATCCGTGGGAGGTACGGGGCACCGCAGCTCCGATGCGGAAAGGACGGACGCCTCCGTGTTCACGGAGCCGAAGCGGCAGTATAGTTTTTGGGACGGGAAGTTTCCTCGCACCGTAATTTCTGTAGAAATGCCGACGGGCGCCAGCGGCGGCTCGACACTATGGATGCGGGGCGGCTCCTTGATGGACACCTCCCTAGAGCCGTGCAGTGGCAACGCGCCGACTGACAGGGAAACATCCGCCCGCGTCTCCTCCGAGGGAGCGTGGCAGTAGACATGCGTCCCGTCCACAACATCAGCTGAATGCGTGTGACCGTCGAACGTACACGACGCGCCGCCGACGTCTATCGTATTGGATAATGAAGCCTCCACAACATCGTCGACATGTGTCACATCAGAGAGCGTCTCCACCAAGACCCGCGACGTGACTTCGATGCGAGTCGAGACGCCTCCATTGACGCTTAGGTCGTAGGAACCCGGGGCGGCGTCAATCAAACAACTTAGTTGCGTCGGAGACAGCCACGTCGTTGCCACGGCACTGCCGTTGACGAGGCATTGGTGGTGGAGGGCGAAGGCGCCGCCACGGACGACGACGTCCGTCGGGCCGTGGACGACGGACGGCGACGCTCGATCGGCGTTCGGCGGCGCGCTTACGATAGGTATATTCTGTAAGGAGCCGCACATCTGGGCTGATTTCACGCCATCGATAATGACACACACTCTATCTTCTGAAGTTCGGCAGACGTTATCGGAGCATGTGCAGCGCGGCGCGCACGTCACGTTGTCCGCCTCGACGGAGAACGTCGTATCTTTTACTGAAACGCGTCTTTCACTCACGACAGCGCCGAAGACGAGCGCCCTTTTCGCCGTCAAGTTGACATGAGAAGAAAAGGCCCTCCCGTCGTTCGACACGCGTAGCGTCGATGCGGACGACGGCGCGACGCACGAGATGGATCTTGTATTCACAAAAGCCGCCGGCACGATATGGGAATCGAATTTGCAAAAAGTAGCGCCCTCCACAAAATTCGCGCCCTCTACTCGTACGACGTCGCCCCTTGCAATAGCTGTGGGAGTCACTTGCGCTATGGAAGGGTCCCGCAACACTCGGATCGACGTGCCTCCAGCATCGCCCTCTATCGTAAGATTAAAGGTCCCGATCCGATCCAATTGAGGGATGCGGCACAATACAGCAGTAGTGTTGAGCGCCTCGCCCTCCACCACAAGATCGTCGATGCGGCAGAAGAGCTTTCTCTCTAAAGGATAGTTCACACCTGCAACAGTAAGGATACCGCCCTGGTCCGCGCTCACTAGCGAAGGACGGACGGATAACGTGCGGAAGCCGATCGGAGTATCTTCCTCGATGCTTTCCGAGGAGGCCACCGGAGTCGTGAGCACCTCCACACCATTCAGACGGATCGTGACGCCCTCACTCAAATCGTCATCCACAACATCCAGGCAGGCCCTTTCTCGAGGTGAGACGTGCGTCCCGATTAGTGTGGTGTGCCTTACGAGGCACTCGACGACGTCTTCTCTGATGAAGTTGGCGCCTCTCACACGTAAGGAGGCGTCTACTCTAACAACATCGAAGACCGTCGGTCGAGGCGCTTGTTTTGGGATCAATGGTTCCACGAGATAGATGGGCGGCCGACCGGCGTTTATCAATTCAAAACCACCACCTTTCTGCGCGACGGCGTCGGGCAGCGCGCACTCGAGATGTGAGCCTTGCTTGGTTACAGATGTCTGAAGAGCACCAAAGTCGCACGCCAGATGCTCCCTTTCTACAAGGTTCGCACCACCCAGTCGTAAAGTAGCGCCGCGGTCGACGACCGCTATCTTCGCAATGACGAATTGTTTGATAGTATCGATGCGCATCGACTCCGAGAGGGCCTCTCTCCTGTTACCGACCTGGACACTCGTTGCAGTAGTCGCGGGACACGTGATCGTGGAAGCGTTGTGCACCGTCGCGTCGACGAAGTCGCGTCCATCAAAGATGCAGCTCGTTATTGAATCAGTAAAAGACCCTCGGACCACGAGCTCGTCTCCTAAAACTTCTGCGCTGCTTAGTGCGAAGCGGTCGACGACACTGATCGATTCAACTTCTTCATACAAAGCGCCGTCGAGGGACACTTCGAGGACTGTAGCCTTTGCGGTTCGCCCCGTCACCGCACACCGCGCTTCATTAGCGTCAATGACTTGGGCCTCCACGACGACGCCGTCGAAGCGGCACGCTACATCACGAAGGTTCGTGCCGATGAGCGTGAGCTCCGTGGCTTGGCCCGAAGCGACGACCGTCGGGGCGACGTCGACGACGCGGCCCGCGGGGGCGTAGTTTAGGGATGTAGACGTGGCCGACAATGTATGAGGAGAAAAGCCGACGCGCACTTGCACTGTATCAGCGAGGCCCGTCGGCGGCGCGGCGCAGCTTACACTTGTGGAAGAGAGCCGTCTCCCTTGAGATATTGTTCCGTCGAAGGCGCACACCACCTCCAAATCCGCCGGGAAGGCGCCGCCCTGGACCGTAACCATTCCACCAGTTAACCCGACGATGGCTGGTTTGATGGAAGCTACGGCCGGTTTTGCTACGACTCTAAGCGTTTCTGGTGAACTTGAGACGTCCTCGAAGACGACGCGACTGGCGTACGCGCCCGGTGCCATAGCAGGCATGACACATTCCACCAGATCATCTTCATGTGTTAATGCCACAACAGTAACGTCGCCGAACTGGCAGGAGGCATCTTCCATAAACCCGGAACCGTAAAACTTGACCGCACCGCCTTCGACGGATAAGACCGCCGGCTCCACGCTATCAATAACAGGTGCGTCCTTCCTGGACAATGCGAGGGCATTCGAGCAGCCCAGGCCCTCGTAGCACAGCTTGATTGATGTCTGAAGACCAACAACAGGGCAGCGCACGACCGAAGCCGACACGTGCCGCGCGGCCGTGACGTGGTCGCCCGTCACACACACTAAGGCATGCGCTCGACTATCAATAAAGCCGGCGCCTCTCACTTCGATGAATTTGGTGGAGGGCCGTATCGTTGAAGGTGTCGCGTCGTGTATTATGAATTGAGGCGCGATTTCTACTTTCAATGCATTGCTCCGGTCTTGGCCGTTCACACTGATGGATAAGGAGACGCTCGGCCCTTCTTCCTCAGACAAGTCGCACACAATTTCAGATTCGGAGACGAAGCGCGCCGGCACTTTTACTGAATTGGCGTAGCAGGTCAATTCGACAGCGTCGACAAAATGAGCGCCGATGACAGACGCGGAGCCGTCCAGGGACGGCGACAAGACGGAGGGAGCCACGGCGTACAAAATGGGCGTTTGTACATATGTCCACGACAGGCCGTCTTGCTCCGAATCTGGAGCGTCGCAGGGCGCCACTCTCAGCACAACACGGCCCCGTCCCGGAGGCGCTCTGCAAATATCATCTTCAATGGATACGATGTGATCGCCGAAGACGCAGCACTGGCGGTACGGCGCCTTTTCAGCATCTACATGCACGAGCGTGCCGTTCGCGCCGAGCGTTGGCGAAGCCTCGAAGGGAATCGATGCTACGTCCAGCTGCGTATCATACACAACGCGGCCGTCGCTCATCACGCGGAAGGCAACCGAACCGACCTCGAGCGGCGGCGCTCTACAAGCCAGGGCGCCCTCCTTGACAGAAGCGAGCACCTCGTAGACGCCAAATCTACAAGCTAAGGAAGGCGCGAGCTCGAGGTGGGGCCCGCGCACTTGGACGATGGTGCCGCCCTTTGTGGCGAGGCGGCGGGGGCGCAGCTCGTAGGTCGCGTTGGTTGCTGCGTAGGTGAACGTCGCCGCCGAGGCGCCGAACGCCACGCCATTGACCGTGACCGCGACGTCGACGACGCCTTCATTAACAGGCGCGACGCAAACGAGTTCTGTAGAAGACACGTAGCGCGCTTGCGTCGTTGCGTCTCCAAAAACACAGGCGAGCTCGCTCGCGTCGACAAAGTCCGCGCCGTAGACGGTGACGGGCTCGCCCGCGGCGGCCGTGCTCGGCCGCAAGTTTGATACGCTCGGCGCGCGCGCATAGGTAAAAATGGCTTCGCCCGCCGCGGTCGTCGCGCCGGAGACGACGCGCACCGTGACGTCGCCCTCGCCGGGCGGCGCTTCACACGTAACCTCCGTGTCCGACGTGACGACGGCCTCCACCCTAATATCGCCGAACACGCACTCGGCCGTCGCGTAGGCCGCGAAGCCCGACCCCGCCACTGTGACGGACGTGCCGGCCGCGCCGCGCGGCGGGCTCGCGCCGCGCACGGCCATGAGCGGCGTGTACTCGAAGGTCGCCTCGTAGAGCACGCGCCGGTCGTCGACGACGGCGAACGCCGCGGCGCCGGCGCTCTGCGCCGGCGCCGCGCACCGCAGCTCCGTCGGCCCGACGAAGCTCGCCGGCACGTCGAAGAACGCGAACCGGCACGCCAGCGACGGCGAGAAGACCAGTTTCGCGCCGCGCACGACCACCTCCGTGCCGCCCGTCGCCGGGCCCGACAGCGGGCCCGCGCCCGTCACCGTCGCCGTCGCCGCGTACGAGAACGCCGCGCCGTCGGCCGTGAAGTCGGCGCCGTTCGCGCTCACCTCGACGGTCACGGGTCCGCTCGCGTCGGCGGGCGGCGCCTCGCACTCGAGCTCCGTCGCGTTCACCCAGCGCGCCGCCGCGGTCGTCGCGCCGAAGCGGCACGCCAGGAGGCTCGAGTCGGGGAACCGGAGGCCCCGGACCACGACGGTGGCGCCGCCCTCGACGCCCGCGCTCGCGGGCTCCAGCGACAGCACCTCGGGCCGCGCCACGTACCGGAAGCGCGCCGCGCTCGCGTAGGCGTCGACGCCGTTGACGCTCGCGCCGACGGCCAGCGAGCCCGCGCCCGCCGGCGCCGCGCACCGGACCTCCGTGTCGGAGACGACCGTCGCCGGCGTCGAGGCGTCGCCGAAGAGGCACGCCGACACGCCGCCGAGTCCCGCGCCCGTCAGCGTGACGAGCGTGCCGGCGAAGCCGAGCGGCGGCGCGACGCCGTGTACGACGGGCGCGGCCTCGTAGGCGAAGCCCGCCGGGACGTCGACGAAGTCCTGGCCGTTGCCGCTCACCGCGAGGGCCCTGGGTCCCGCGTCGCCCGGCGGCGCCGCGCACCGGACCTCCGCTTCGCTCACGAACGTCGCCGGGACCTCGGTCCAGCCGAAGCGGCACTTGAGGCGTGGCGAGAAGGCAAAGCCCGATCCTTCAATGGCGACGACGGTCCCGCCGCCGGCGGGCCCGGAACTAGGATAAGCCGCTCGCGGGACGAGCGGCGCCGCGTACTGGAAGCGGAGGACCTCGCCGGCGACGGTCACGTCCACGGCGCCTTTTGCATGAGGCGGCGCCGCGCACTCGATCTGCTCGGCGGAGACCCAGCGCGCCGGCACCGACGTGTTGCCAAATTTGCAAGAAGCGTCGTCGGCCAGGCGCAGGCCGTGGATTGTGACCAAAGTGCCTCCCGTCGTCGGCCCCGTATTCGGAGAGAGCGACCCGAGCACGACGGCGCCCTCGTACTTATACGTGAGGTCGACCGCGGACCGCGCGGCCGCGCCGTCGAGGAGCAATTGTAGAGGCACGGCGCCCGGCGCGGCGGCCGGCGGCGCTTCACAGGTAGCGACGGAGCCGTTGAGCGCGGCGTCCACGATCGTAGAACCGAAGCGGCACGCCGTTTTTGTACCAGACGGGAAGTCGCCCGCCAGTTGTACTGAAGAACCGCCGCCGAGAGGCCCTCGCGTGTTGCGGGCTTCTCGGATCAGAGGGGCCGCGTAGTAGTTGAACGGAGAGGCCTCCACGAAGTCCGCGCCGTTCAAACTAATGGAGAGCGACGTTTTTCCGACTTCGTTTGATGGAGCGACGCACGTGAGCACCGTCCCGTTGTGCACCCGGGCCGGAACGATGGAAGAGCCGAAGCGGCAGGCGGCATTCGATGAAAACGCGAAGCCCTGGCCGTAGACGCGCACGTCGACGTCGCCGCCGACCGGTGCTTGCACGGGCGACACCTTTGTGACGCTCGCGTCCTCGAGCACATGGAAGGCCAATTCACCAAAGAAGTCCCGGCCGTTGATCGCGAGCGCTATCGTAGAACCGGCCCCGGCGGGCACGGCGCAACTGATGCGTGTGGCGTCGAGGTACTGGGCCCTGGCTTCTACGTCACCGAAGCGGCACGCTAATAAGTCAGAGTCCGCGAAGCGCACGCCCCGGATGGTGACCGTGCGGCCGACCGAGGCGCGCGCCGGCGTCACATCTGTCAAAACGGGGTCGGCCACGTAGCGGAACGGGAGTCTCGAAGAGGCCGGATCTATCAAATTGCGCGTCGCGGCGACGCCGACGATGCCTTCGCCGGGCGGCGCTCTACAAATAACGCCGGCGTCCGTGCGCGTGCCCTCAACCACAACGTCTCCAAACAAACACGACGACGGCAGGTCCTTGCCTACGAGTTCCACGGTCGCGCCTCCGACGGAGCCGAGCGGCGGCACTAGACCTTCCAACACGACGTCCTCGTCATAGACGAACTCGCCCATCAATGAGAAGGCGACGCCGTCCCGACTAAAGCTCAATGATACAATGCCAGCGCCCCGCGGGCTCGCGCAGGCCACGGTCGTGTCGTCGACGAACGCGGCCGGCACGCTTGTGGAGCCGAAGCGGCAGGCGAGGCGCGCGGCGGGCGCGAAGTCCGCGCCCTTAATGACGACGTCCGTGCCGCCCCGGGCGGGCCCGCTGCCGGGGGCGAAGCGCGCGCGCGTCGCCGCGTACGTAAACGCGGTCGCTTCGCCGAACTCAACGCCGTTCGCCGTGACCGCGACGTCGACGACGCCGGCACCCGCCGGCGCTATACAAACAAGCTCCGTGCTCGACACGTAGCGCGCTTGTGTCGTTACGTCGCCGAAGGCGCAGGCGAGCTCGCTCGCGTCCACAAAGTCCGCGCCGTGGACGGTGACGGGCTCGCCCGCGGCGGCCGTGCTCGGCCGTAGGTTTGATACGCTCGGCGCGCGCGCGTAGGCGAACACCGCCTCGCCCGCCGCGGTCGTGGCGCCGGAGACGACGCGCACCGTGACGTCGCCCTCGCCGGGCGGCGCGGCGCAGGCGACCTCCGTGTCCGACGTGACGACGGCCTCGACTCTAATATCGCCGAAGACGCACTCGGCCGTCGCGTAGGCCGCGAAGCCCGACCCCGCCACCTTGACGGACGTGCCGGCCGCGCCGCGCGGCGGGCTCGCGCCGCGCACGGCCATGAGCGGCGTGTACTCGAAGCTGGCCTCGTAGAGCACGCGCCGGTCGTCGACGACGGCGAACGCCGCGGCGCCGGCGCTCTGCGCCGGCGCCGCGCACCGCAGCTCCGTCGGGCCGACGAAGCTCGCCGGCACGTCGAAGAACGCGAACCGGCACGCCAGCGACGGCGAGAACACCAGGTTCGCGCCGCGCACGACCACCTCCGTGCCGCCCGTCGCCGGGCCCGACAGCGGACCCGCGCCCGTCACCGTCGCCGTCGCCGCGTACGAGAACGCCGCGCCGTCGGCCGTGAAGTCGGCGCCGTTCGCGCTCACCTCGACGGTCACGGGTCCGCTCGCGTCGGCGGGCGGCGCCTCGCACTCGAGCTCCGTCGCGTTCACCCAGCGCGCCGCCGCGGTCGTCGCGCCGAAGCGGCACGCCAGGAGGCTCGAGTCGGGGAACCGGAGGCCCCGGACCACGACGGTGGCGCCGCCCTCGACGCCCGCGCTCGCGGGCTCCAGCGACAGCACCTCGGGCCGCGCCACGTACCGGAAGCGCGCCGCGCTCGCGTAGGCGTCGACGCCGTTGACGCTCGCGCCGACGGCCAGCGAGCCCGCGCCCGCCGGCGCCGCGCACCGGACCTCCGTGTCGGAGACGACCGTCGCCGGCGTCGAGGCGTCGCCGAAGAGGCACGCCGACACGCCGCCGAGTCCCGCGCCCGTCAGCGTGACGAGCGTGCCGGCGAAGCCGAGCGGCGGCGCGACGCCGTGTACGACGGGCGCGGCCTCGTAGGCGAAGCCCGCCGGGACGTCGACGAAGTCCTGGCCGTTGCCGCTCACCGCGAGGGCCCTGGGTCCCGCGTCGCCCGGCGGCGCCGCGCACCGGACCTCCGCTTCGCTCACGAACGTCGCCGGGACCTCGGTCCAGCCGAAGCGGCACTTGAGGCGTGGCGAGAAGGCAAAGCCCGAGCCTTCAATGGCGACGACGGTCCCGCCGCCGGCGGGCCCGGAACTCGGATAAGCCGCTCGCGGGACGAGCGGCGCCGCGTACTGGAAGCGGAGGACCTCGCCGGCGACGGTCACGTCCACTACACCCTCTTTATGAGGCGGCGCCGCGCACTCGATCTGCTCGGCGGAGACCCAGCGCGCCGGCACCGACGCGTTGCCAAAGTTGCAAGAAGCGTCGTCGGCCAGGCGCAGGCCGTGGATCGTGACCAAAGTGCCCCCCGTCGTCGGCCCCGTATTCGGAGAGAGCGACCCGAGCAGCGTCGGCTCCACGTACGTGTAACTGTGCCTTGAAGAAATCTCGACCTCGTCAACAAGCAGTCCGATCGCAACGGTGCCATTTCCGACCGGCGCGCGACATACGAGCTCCTCGGCCGAGACGACGGCGGCCTCCACTTCTGTAGAACCGAAGCGACACGTCGTCGAGGCATCGAAGCCGCGGCCCCCTATGGTAACTAGGGTGCCATGCGACCCCATTGCTGGCGCGATCCAGGCTATGGCACTGTCGACGCGTCGATAGATTGCAAAAGCCTCGCCGTAGGACGCCCCGCCATCAATGGAGACGCGCACCGCCTGGTTCTCTGTTGATCTCGGTGCCTCGCAGGCTAGCGTATAGTCATCCAAAACGGCGGCCGGCGTCTCATATAAACCAAAGCGGCAGAAGTGCGGCAACCGTTTTAATGGAACATCCGTCGTCACGCGAATGAGTTGGGGAGCTAGACCGCCCGAAGCTGGTTCCAATGTGAGTGACGAGGGCACGTCCACAAACTCGAAGAGCGATGACGGTCCGTGATCCACACCGTTCGTCGACACTGCGACCTCCACAGTTCCATTCAGATCCGGCGCCGTACAAGCTACTGTTGTGGAATCCAGTCTAGTCGCCTTTACAATTACATCACCAAAGTGGCAAGCTAGGTCGGGCGAGGGCATGACGCTGTCAACATGCAGCAAAAGGGGCGTATTGACGCTACCGACGGGCGGCGTTATTCGTACCACTCGAACAGGTTCTTCATACAGAAATTGTATAGGGTCCGACCAGAACCGTCTGTTGTGCACTCTAAGAGAAGCGTAGCCCGCTCTACCTTGAGGTGCCACACACTCAAAGGTCTCGTTGTCCACTTTACGAGCTTTGGCCGCGCCTCGCTCCCCGAACTGGCACTGTAGAGGAAACTCGTCGGCATGCAACACTGTCACCCGTACTCGAGTGCCCCCGAAGCCCCGCCGAGGCTTGAGATCAACTAATGACAATTCCGTCGCGTCGCCGCCCCGCACGTCGATGGCTACTTTCGCCGTGCGCGACGCGTTACTCGTTCTTATGACGGCCGTGATCGTATCACTGCCCTCGAACGAGGGCTCGCGGACGTACGTCAGCGACTGCAGCGTCGTCGAGATAGCTTTAGCTGAACCCCTTAGGATGATGCCGTGCTCCGTTTGATCAATCGACACTCCTTGCTCGAGGCTATCTAGTCGTAGTAGGGCATCGAGCGCATCGGTGGTCAATGAGACAGTCGTGTTCGCATCGTCGCCTTCCACGATAAAGCCCTCCAACCCCAACTCGTAGTAGGGCGGCAGCTCGATGCGAGGACCACTCTGTGCTACAGCAGCGTGGATTTGTATATGCTCCGTCAGGCGGTGCTTCGACGGACCGGGGTCTTCTAGGGTCAAAGTGACGTTGTCGACGAAGGCCTCGGCGAAGCCTTCGAGCGGCCGGTAGTAGCTTTCCTGTAAACATAAATTCATCGCGTCCAATGTCATCTCATATTCCAGGACGGACGTCGCCGTGGCGTTGCGACAGCCCTCGAAGACGCCACCCAGCGCGAATAAGGTCAGCTTGTACGCTTCATCTTCGCTGTCCACATCCGAAACGGAGATGCCTCGCAACGAAACTCTAGATTCGACCTCGAGTAAGTCCGGGGCTTCTAGCTCCGGGACGTCGTCGACGGGCTCGATTTCGATAGATAGCGTGGCGTTAAATACTGTACCTTCCTCCGTCACTAATTCCAGTTGAACCTCGTCGCGCCCCCAGCACTCGGCGCAGGGCGTATACGTCAGCTCCTTTAGTAAAAGGTTGGCCTCCTTCGTAGGACCCGTAAAGTTATGTAGTGACACGTCACCAGACGACGCATGTACTTCCAGTGAAACGTCGTAGTTGTCCACGAAGGACACGCCCTGCACGCTGATACCTTTTAAGTTTACTGAAGTATCCTCCTTGACCGAGAATGACTGGTGTACCACTTGTAACGAAGCCTGTTGCCGGAAGTCCACGATCACGTCAATCACACCCTTGCCCGTGCCGCCCAGATGTTTCGAGGCCAAGTACCAGGTCTCGTCGCCCACACTTTTCCATTGTAGGGTGCAGGAATGTGTTCCTGCTAAGAGTGGTAAGGCAAGAGCGCCCCGCAAGTCATCGTGCAGACCCGAACTCTGAAAACCTCCCACCGAGGATGAATCCTCCCTATAAATAACACCATCGACGAGTAACCGCGCCTGCACGGCCTGCAATTGATCAAAGGTCCACGCGTCCCAATTACTCAACTTGTGCAGTGCGACCGGCAGCGCGTACCGTAGGAGTACTTGCGCGTCCTGCTCGACGACGAACGTATCACTTTCAACGGTGGCCCACTCGTTTTTGGATTTGGCCCTTATATCAGTAATGCTTTTCGCCGTCTTGCGCTTGTACTGCATACCGGCCAAGACCTGGGCGTGTTTTGTAGCGTAAACACCATAATCACTTAATGAAGCGTAGAGGAGACGGGAACTCCCAAATCCATCTAGACAGTTCGGGTCGTTGCGCCACATTCTAGGTGAGTTGCCCGCGCGCCGCCACTCGAGTCGTACATTGTGCGCGCCTTTGGGCAGGTCTAGCACGACATCTCGCGCCAACACGCCGGCAACGGACGCGGCCCGTTCCTTCGTGCCCAACGTCGCGACGGACTCGTCCGACGGCGTGTTATCAACCACTAATCGCGCTTGCACATAATCATCAGCAGTAAGCGGTGATGCTAACATTTGAGGCCCCGGCGCCGCGGCGCTTACGGTAAGAGCATACCCAAAACGTACGGCCGTCGTTTCATTCAATGAAATGTTCAGAGACGACTGTTCTACTGGAAACCAGTCCTTCTGCGTGATCGCGGCTGGAGTCAGAGGTGATGATGCATACATGGTATCGTGCGCGGTCGCCGCGAGGACCCGTCCACTCATGAAACCGTCTCCGGTGGAGGGGGACGAGGACCAGACCAACTTGCCCGAGGGCTTCCACTGCACTTTAATGTCTCTGGTGGCGTTGCCTGGTTGCAGAACCGCGGTCCCCTCGATGTGCTCCAGCTTCGAGCGCCCCTTGCTCGTCAGCGTCGCCGAGACATGGGCCGAACCTTCTCTTAGAGGTACACCATCAACAATAAACCTCATTTGTATTCGACCGGATTCGACGAAGCTCCCGGCGCCGACGCGCCGCTGCGTGACGGTCCCACCGGTGAGAGGATCGAACTTCTCCCACATGAAGAGCTCGCCGTCCGCGTCGTAGGACGCCTCGAGGCCCACCTGGTAACTGAGCAGCACGAAGTGTTTGCTGGTTTTGATCGAGACGGCGAGCCCGTCGACGTCGGTCCATACAGATTCATCGTCCCAGCGGTTCTCGCCGAAGACCCAGGTCGTCGCCTGGCGCGTCGACGTCTCCAACAACGGGGCGGCGGACCAGGTCCGCGCGCGCACCGCCGCGACCAGCCCCAGCAAGGCTGCCCCATTTGGCGCCGCAGCGGCAGCAGCCACGAGCGCGAGCCAGCGCAGCGCTGGCCGGCCCATAGGCATGCTCTACCGCAGCTTTATTGAGCCCGGCGCCATCGGGCGCTGCCCCATCGGTGGCTATTGCCTCCTCTCACTGGACCAAATTCCCCCCGGTGTTGCGGGGTGGGTCCCGCCGGCGCGAGCGCGGCGGCGCCGGGAGCCCCTCCGAGGCGTCGGCCGACGCCTCGGGTCGTCGGAGGGCGCAGCCGCCCCTCGACGAAAACCCGCACGCTCGACCGCCCTCCTAAAGCTCCCTGCCTACGAGCGCCGCGGGCCGTCCACCGGCCCCGCCGCATAAGACCCATCTTCTAGGACGACGGAAGTTAATTCAGCGGCGCGCTCAGCGAGGCGGCTCGTGGGGGGATGCGTAGTAGGAGACGGGCCCGCGAGAACTTGGGGACGGCGGGCGCGGCGAACTTGAGTAATTGAACCAAGAAGGCGACTCGGGCCGCGCTCAGGCCTTCGTGTTCGCGAGCTCGACGTCCGCGGCCGAGGCGGTGACCACCGGAGGCGCGTCGCCGTCGCCCTGGCCGACCCACTCCGGCGACGCGGACCGGAGGAGGCCGCCGGCGATCGCCGCGAAGATGGCGTTGATGAGGACGCACGCGTACATGATGCTGAAGACGCCGTGGAGCCCGCTGTCGTCGCAGTCGTTGTCGTTGGAGGAGTAGGGGTCGTCGTCCTCGTCGCACGCCTCGTCGATCATCGCGTCGAGGCGGCCGTGCGAGATGGCCATGCACGCGATCGCTACCACATAAAGAATCACGAGCACGAGCAGGAAGACACTGGTACAATTCCAGCCCCGCTCGCCCGTGCAGCAGCAGAGCCCGAGCGAGAACGCGATGATCGAGAGGAGGAGGCAGAAGAACTGGATGTAGATGCCGATGCCCGCCCCCGGGAGGCCGATTGCCATAAAGAATCCGGCGATCCACAGGGTGCTGAAGATGAGGTTAATGACGAAGAAGATGGAGGCCAGGACCAACCCCAAGATGCTCATGACCTGCGCCGCGCGGCCCTTGCACGAGCCCTGCGGCACGGCGCAGCAGCCGTGGTTCTCCGCCTCGCCGGCGCAGCAATTGCCCATTTTGACGGATCGGTGCGTGCCTGCGCCGGGGGCGGGGGCGCGGGTCGCACTCGTACGGGGGTGGCCGGGGGCGGGCGCGCACGCGTACGGGGGTGGCCGGGGGCGGGCGCGCGGCGCGCGGTTTGTGGAAGGGAACTGCCAGGGATGGTGGCACCCGCCGGCGGCCGGCGCGCGGTCGGGAGGGCGCGCGAGCCGGGGAGGGGGTCTGGACCCGCGGGCGCGGGGCGGGGCAGCGGTCCTCACCGCGTAGATGGGGCTCTCTAAAAAGCCTGCAGCTCGAGCAACTTTGGCAGGCTAGTAGCTTTGTAGCTTCTTGGCTCGTGATCTGTAGTTATCATGGGTGCGAGCCAGCCACATGGGAGCATCTCGACACATCCCGTCGAGCTGAATTGCGCGCCTAGTGTGCGCGTGGCTCTAGGCTCTCCCGATCGAGTTGTATGCGGCGGGCTGCCGGGCTGCCCGGCGGCGACGGACGTCTCGCCTCTCCCAATTGGGCTCATCTGGGCTGCCCGGCGGCGACGGACGTTCGGCCGCGTCGAGCTCCACCCATGCGTCGCCTCCTGCGTCTCGGGCTGCTCGCTTCCGGTTGCTCCGCGTACAATGGCTATGAGGTAGGAACGGACCCCGCGACCTATCAAGAGGCAGCCGCCTACTGCGCGAGCGTCGGTGGCGCGCTCGCCGCAATCTACAGCGACGCGGACAACGAGGCCGCGCGCGACGCGTGCGGCTACCAAGCCTGCTGGATCGGCCTCCGGGAGCGCGGCGGCGACCATGCCACGCACGCCGTCGACCAGACGTGGCTCTGGCAGGACAACTCGACGACCGCCGCGTACCACAACTGGGCGCCCGGCGAGCCGGACAACGGCGCCTGGAACGGCGCGGCCTACGACAGGCGGCGCGCCGTGATGAATGGCGCGGGGGGCAACACCTTTGAGTCGTCGGGCCTCTGGTTCACCCACTACTACACGTGGGTAGACCACGTGCCCCTCTGCAGCGTGGACGTGCCCACGGCGGCGCCGACGACCTCGCCGGCGCCGACGCTCACGCCGGTACCGACGTTTTTGTTCCAGTGCGACAACGAAATGTGCGCCACGGACGAAGACGACGACAACGCACCTGACGACTGCTGTGCTACCTCGCCGGGCTGCATGGGCGGCTCCACGCCTGTCATAAAGGACGGGCACAAATGCAGGGCGGGAAAACTTCTTGACGGTTTAGGCCGTGGGGATGTCATTTATGGAGACCTCTTCACGTGCTGCACGGGGTTTCAAATCCCCACGGACGAGGAGCTCACGGCGAGCGGGTTCGCGTGGGAGGACCACAAGAACCATAATGAGAAGGATTCCGAAGGCGGCGGCGGGTGGGGCATGCAAGTCCTTATCATACTTTGTGTCCTTATGGGTATCTGCGTTATTGCCGCGGTTGCGATTGTCGTCGGTGTGGCATACGGCGGGTGCTGCGAGCCGGCCGCGCCGAAGCCCCGGACGGCCCGGGCGTCGGCCCGGGCGGTGGAACTGGTCCCCACGGCCCATGCGGTGGAGGTGCCGGCCGCGGCAGGCGTCTAGCGTGCCGTCGGAGGCGCCCTTCCACAATCTTAGCCCGCCCGCCGTCCAGCGGGCGTCCTCGAAATTCATCCCCACGTTTACTTAAAATTTCCTCCGTCCATCTTAGATATCCCGCCGAGCCAATGCGCCCTACTAGTACTGTATTTTAGTATTCTATCGGGGAGGGGAAGGAACAATATCGCGGCACAGACGCCGCCGGCGGGCGCGGACCGTTCAGCAGCAGCAACCGTCGTCCGCGGCCTGCTGTCGCCGGCGCTGCTGCTGCTGCTGGACGACGATTGGCGCGCGTGGCGGCACCCTCACGTTTAGGAGCTGGCCGGCTGTAGCAAACTATTTTTCGGCTCGTGTACAGATATGTAACTACGCGTTGTCGGGACGCGTAGCCGCGATAAAGTCGAAATACGTTATTACGGGGGAGAGGGGAGTGCTATATGAAGCGACGTGATATAATGAATTTGCGCGCGCTTGGGACCAGGCATGCCGAAGGCACCCGGCGCGGTCTGCCAAACTCTAGAGCTCTTCGGACGAAATGACTCCGTCTAGTACACTAATGAAGTGCGTCATGATGTCCACATTTCTAGTGTTTGTTCTACCTCCCGTTTTGCCGCGGGTGCACTTGAACAACGCCTGGAAGGCGCACTTCACTTGCTTATTTTCCCCGCCCCACTTGATTTGGTACTCGGTGCCACTGTTTGTAGCTGCAATGGAGCGGTCGACCTCGTCCTGGAACTCCCCGCGAATCTTCTGCAGCGCCGGGAGGTTCCACGTCCCCTCCGGTTTCAGTTCAGCTTCTAAGTCTCGCGGCGGTTTCTTCGTCGTCGCGGTTTTTCGAGTCTTCTGTATCCCACCGATAAACTCGGGAGCTGGAGCACCGCCCTGGCGCCGCGAGGACGTCCGCTTCGGGACGTCCGCGGTCGTTCTAAAGCTACCATTTTTATCGAACTTGAAGGCAGGTGGAACGCCTCCAACGCTTGCCGCCTTCCAAGCGCTCTTCTCTTCAGCAGTGGTCAACTTGTAGGGCCGGTACAGATCTAAGCTAGAATTGTCTATGTTGTCGAAAAGGGAGGGGTTCGCAAATAAAGTAGGGAGGGCGTCGGTCGTCAGCCAGCGCGCGTTGTAGGCCGCATCTTTCATATATTCGTTCAACATTCTTATCCTTGCCGTATCAGACTCGAATACATGGCCGCGCGGCACCACGATCACAGCATCGGGCGCCATCGATCGTTCTTGAATTGGTAACGCGTCCGCCAGGCGATCCGAGATATTCATCTTACTATTGTAGGTCCGGGCTTCTATGGACGACACGCCTACCTTCGCTAACCCTAATCTCATATTGTAGACCGCGTCGTCGCTCTCGAAAGAACGCAGCGCGGCCTCGGAAGGCTCGAGATCTCCGAGGCCGTGCGTCTGCTGATACAGCACGACCACCGCCCGAGGCTCATTTCCGTTCGCCCTAGCTTTTTCGAGCGCCTCGGCGATGCGGTTCTCGCGGTCCATCATCAGCGTGTGAGCCGCCGCGAGCTCATTTAGCACAGCTTGCGATTGCTCCTCAACTCGAGCGCGCAGCGCCAGAACCGAGCCTATCTCAGAGACGGACTGCGCCGTGCGAGACAAGATCTCGTTCGAGGCCACGTTCTCGATCGAGTGCTCGCCCTCCCGCTCCCAGCGCAACGCATCTTCCAACAATAATTTGCCGTTCGGCCCGAGCGGGATGGCGACGAGCGTGACGACGCGGCCCGCAAAGATAGACTGTCTCGGGTCGAGGGCCGTGTAGGTCATACTAGTGAGCGTCGCGAGCGTTTCGTTATTGGGAAACGTCTCCACGTCGTCGTCCTCGTTATCGGCGAGCATGGCGCAGACCAATGCAGCAATTGGCCCCACGAGCATGGTGGCAATGCTTTCAGCACTTGTTAAGTTTCTGGACCATGAAAGGTCCTGGCTTGAACACTTGGCCGAGAGCACGATGGGCGGCAACTGCGGGTGGCCCGGGTCCTGGTTCACGGCCCCGCCGACCGCTATCAATCTAAACGACTTCATGGCCCGCGCGGCGTCCAGGAAGGCCGGTTTCGACGATTGCTGCTCGTGCATATCATCCATGACCTGCGCGAACGGAGCGTCGGTGGCGTCGTCGCGTCGATGGCGTTGTCGCGTCGTCGTCTCGTTGGCGTCGCGTCGCATTGATCGTCGTCGCCTCGATGGCTTCGTCATGTCGTTGGCGTCGCGTCGATGGCGTCGCGTCGCGTCGATGGCGTGATCCGGCGTCTCTCCTAGAAGCGCCTCGAGCGTCGGGTCGCTTGACCGATCAGTAACGCATGCGTCAGATAGAAGACCGCACGTCTGTCGAATTACACACTGATCGGGACGTCTTTCATCACCTTCTGCTGCTCGGCGTCGTTCCAGGCGATCGCGACGAGGCCGTCGTAGTGCTCGCACTTCATCCTGATGGCTTGGGCGAGGTAGTACGCCGCCGAGACGCGGCGTTGATCCGCCGTCTCGACCAACTGGCCCGCCGGCCACGCTACGAAGAACTCTTTCACGAGAGGATCGATGTCCTCGGCGATGTACAGTAACACCTTCAAGAGATCTGGAGAGCGTGACGGGGCAATATTACCAGCCCCACCCCAGTAGCACCACGCCTAAATAAGTGGAGGTCCATCAGTAATGTGTGGTAAAGCAACTGACCTTGATGATACGTAAAATCAAAAACATGGTCAGTTTGTCGCCCAAAACTAAGTGCGCGCAGACCAAAACCAGGGCCGTCGGCGTATAGAAGTACTTCCGTTCTATTTTCATGCAGGCTAGTAATATGTTAATCTTCTCGATGCGTTCCCCGCTCTTGAAGCCGTCGTTCACATTTCGAGCCACTTGGTAGAAGCCAAAATGCACCAACATTTTCGCGTACGCAATAGCTACGTGTGTTACCGTTTCAGGGCTGTCCAAGTATTTGATGAAGATGCCCATGACGAATAAGTGGAACGCTTGCAGCGCGAGGCTGCCGCACGAATTCCGCCGCTGCGGCGTCAAAATACCCCACTTGCCGCGGTCGTTGCGGACGGCCGGATCAAAGTGAGCATTGGTTATGCTGACGATCATCGCGAGGCGCTCGGCGGTGTCGTCGCCCAGCAACGCGACGGCGACTATCGCAGCGGTCCGGGCCGGCATACTGTTAAAGCAGGTGCCGCGACACACGCTCGGTAATTGTATGATGAGCCCCGCGAGGATGAGGAGCACGACGGCGAGGACGTACTTCCACCACGCAAAGATGACCCACCACGCGACGCCAGCGACGCCGCCGCCCACCGCGGCGACGACGAAAGGGGGCACGGCGATCATGGCTGCTGCAAAGCGGTGACGGCTGGGTTTGCGTCTTTGAGCCTGCTCCGCTAAAATTGGATATGAGCGCTGCTAGGTTTCCGAGGCTCGCGTAACTTCTGAAACGTCAGCGTGCGGTTACGTCGTGCACTGCTGATGCCTTTAAACGGCTGGCCAACAAGCCGTTCACCAGTAACGCAACGGAAGGGCTTCCTCCCTGGCTGCTTGCTAGTGTCTTACAGACCGCTAGCTACCGCTTGGCTTGAGCCGTGCCCAGCTCGGCCCCTCCGCGCAAAGGTAGCATTTCTGCAGCGCTGCACCGCCGAAGCAGTGATAAAGTTGGCTCTCATTGCCGAGCGGCTGCCGTCCGACGTCTCTCTGGCGCTGCGCTGCCAAGCGGTCGGCAGCCAGGCTGCTCGTGAACAGGGCTGTGCTGCGGCGTCGCACGCGCGGCTCGAAAAGTCTGCCACGGACGCTCGCTCGTCACTGTCGACAGAGCCGGAGAGGACACAGCCGCACGCCGCGACGCTGGACCACGCGTCCCAGCTCACAGCGCCAAACGGGTGCGGAAGGGCGAACAGTGCTCCGACACGTGCGTCGTCGCGCCGCGCTGAACCGCACGAGTGACGCCGCAACCGTCTCCAGCTTACGTCGGCCTCCCGACGACGATGCAAGACCACCCCGCCCCTCGAAGATCAAGCTCCCGGACTCTGCAGACCACTTCACGCGCTTCGTCGACCTCTTACCACACGCCGCTGATGCGCATATCATGATCTGAAACTGCTGGCGGCGCTCGCTACGACGATACGAGTCTTACGAGTTTCATACGCCAGCAAGCCTGTGGGAAGAAAAACTGGAGACCTCGAAACGTGCTGTCAGGGGGAACTAGTGCGGCTCCACTTCGAAGATCGCGGACCGGTCGCTGGGCCGGCAGTTAGACGTCCGCGTCATGTGATTACTTTGCGCTCCTGGCGGCGACGACTCATTGATGGCGTGGCCACTGCATGCTGATCGCGGTCCTCGCGCGGGAACGGCCTCGGTGCACACTCGGCGGCGACGCGTGCGCCAGGCTGACGCGCCGCCGGCGAGCGTTTTGTGTTGTAGGCATGGGACGGCCCGCGGGCCCATTGTAGAGGACGGTCTTCGAAGCAGACCCAGCATGGTGCTGGGGGCAGGCCGTCTGGGTACGCTTCGTGTAATACTTTTTGTTTGCGCGGCCATCGCACGAAAAAAACGGGTTTTCTACTGCGTTTTTTTGCAGACGTTTGATCAAGCTGGTGTCCAAGACCGTTCCTAACTTAAGCACGGCCAGTGGCGGAGGTCGTTTGGCGACGGACTACAACAAGTTCACTCGGCGTTGCCGGGTGGTGGCGCAATCGGCGCGGCGGTCGGCCGCGTCATATTTCGGACCGACCGGATTACCTGGGCAAGCAGGCGGCGCACAGGCCGGTCAACCAGGGCTAGCTCATAGTCCTCTCTTTACTCATACAGGTAGCGGTGACGCGACTCGGCCTGGGCATGTGGCAGACGATTACAATCTTCAAGTGCCCCCCCAGGCGGACCCTGCTCCCAAAGCCGGCCGGCCAGCCCGCGACGCCGCGCGAGTCGGCCACCAAGAAGAAGCACCGCGACGATTAGGGAGCCCGATCAGCAGGTGCTTGCAAGTAGAGTGCGCGGTTCGGTAGCGAATATCGCTAAAATCCGAAATTAACAAATCCCGAATTTCAGTTTGTCGAATACCTGACTAGGTATTCGACAAGGGCTTAGTCGCATGGACTCGCACGCCCCCCCCTCTTTCTGGGACGCCCCCCGTTAGGGTGTGGAATTGTTCCTAGTGTCTTACAGCAAGCTAGCATTATGATATCATCTGATATCATGATATGGGAGAGGCACACAGCACGATGTCAGACAAGCCTACTGGGCCGCGGTTCGATGCCAGCACGGGGCAGCCCATTCCGAAGTTTGACCCGAACACTGGCAAGCAAAACTGGTGGGAGGAGGAGGGTGAGGCGCCGCTCCAGGCCCAACCAGTATCACCAGTCGTGATGCCGCCTGCCGCACCGCAGTTCTCTCAGCCGGTGATGATGCAGCCGGGCATGATGATGCAGCCGGGCATGATGATGCCGGGCATGATGGGCTACCAACGCCCCCCTCCGCCGGGCTGCCCGCCGGGCGGCCAGTATTTGATGGTGAAGTACGTGGGCCCGGCGACACAGCAGGCCCAGCAATCGCATGGTATCTTGTGCTGCCACCCGCGGGAACCGTCACCCGTATCCTGTGGCCGTTCGCTTGTACGTCGAAAACTGAACCGGGCATCATGCCGGCCGGAATCTGGACCTGAACGGTCTGCGGTGCGGCCGGTGGCATGACGACTGGTGCGGGCTGAGAGTATACAGGCTGTGGCTGCACATATACTGGTTGGGCCGTGGCGTATGGCTGCTGGGGCAGCGCCTCCGTGGCGTATTGCTGGGGCGGCGCCTCCGCGGCGTATGGCTGCTGGGGCGGCGCCTCCGCGGCGTATGGCTGGGGCGGCGCCTCCGCGGCCACGATCTCCCCCTGGAGAACGACTTGGCCCTGCATAGATGCTTCAAGAGTAAGCGGGCAGCCTTTTGGGGTGCCGATCCCAAAGATGTGAACTAAAAATATGGTGCTTGCTTTTGCTAGTGTCTTACAGCGCTAGCCCACGCGGGATTCAGCCGATTCTTGATCCCGACGCCGACCGGTTATTTAACGCTATTCAGGTTATGAACCTCGGAAATAACCGGACGCAGTGGCACAACACGTGCCAGCGCGCGGTCTCGCCGGCCCGCGCGTCGAGGAGGGCCTAGTGATTCAGTTGTGCACCGAGGGCCTCGGCGGCGAACCCGGATAACTCAGTAATTTACACCGTTGTCCGACGGGGCGATGGGAGAGGGATATGCGCAAATGCCATACACCCATAAATGGGTGGGCGATGGGAGTGAGATGTGTGCAAAGGGGAAGTTGTCGATGGGGGCTCACGCCAGTGACGCCAGGACCATGGCGCCGACGAGCGCGAGGGTCATCGCGAGGGGCGCCGTGGCGCCGGCGGCCGCCGCCGCGCCATAACTACGGTAACCCGCGCGACAGCCTTTTACGCGCTCCCCGGGTGTCCCCTGCCCCAGGCAGCCCCCAGCGACGTGCCTGGGGCCAAAGGCAGCCCGATACGCCGATATTTCCCCGGTCTTATCCCATTTTAACCCACTTTTGCTGAACCATAAAACCCGTACCCTAGATTAATCTACCCCCCTACTACCGGCCTACTAGCCTCCCAAGAGTCCACTAGACTCATAGGACTATCCGTCTAGAAATTTGATTCTTACACTGCCTGGGGGGGCACTTGAGGATTGTAATCGTCTGCCACATGCCCAGGCCGAGTCGTGTCACCGCTACCTGTATGAGTAAAGAGAGGACTATGAGCTAGCCCTGGTTGACCGGCCTGTGCGCCGCCTGCTTGCCCAGGTAATCCGGTCGGTCCGAAATATGACGCGGCCGACCGCCGCGCCGATTGCGCCACCACCCGGCAACGCCGAGTGAACTTGTTGTAGTCCGTCGCTAAACGACCTCCGCCACTGGCCGTGCTTAAGTTTCGTGCGGGGTGGGGGGCTAAAAACCCGTCGTCGTCGATCAGTGCGTCCTTTTTCGCACTGCCACTGTTCCGGCAAAAAAAAAGCCACAACAAGCCACCGCCCGCGTCCGCCAACGACGCGCCCGCGCCCCGCAAGCCCCCCGAGCCACGGCGCGTCCGGCGCGGCCGGCGGGCGCCGCGCCGAGCCAAAAGAGGGGGCTGCCGGCCGCCGCGCCGAGCCAAAAAAGGGGGCTGCCCCGCGACGCGCCGTCCCCCGCAGGCCGCCGTCACCCGATCAGAGCACCATGGCGCCCAAGGACTACATGACCGTACAGGCCTTAGGGTGCACATACATCGCCATCGACCCCACCGACATCAAGGTCTGCTGCGTCTCGGAAGGCGAGGAGCTGTGCTGCTTCGGCAAGTACTGCTGCGCGGCGGGCGAGGCCGTCCTCGGCCCGGGCCCGATCGCGGCGGACAAGGACAAGGGCGAGATCTGCCACTGCGGCTGCGGTTGCTGCTCGTGCGGGCTCAAGGCGCCGGCCGTGTGCTGCAAGGGCCGCCAGAGCTGCCTCTGCCTCAAGGGCGCGGCGGCGTTGCCGTTCGACGACGAGTACGTGCCCGCGCCCGTCTGCGTCCTGCCCTGCTGCCCGGGCCTGCAGGTCATGCCGAACGCCGGCTGCTGCACGCCGCCCTTCACCCAGAAGTGGCTCGACGAGCACAAAGACTTGGACGGCGTCGGCGGCCCGGCGGCCTGCGAGATGACCGGCCGCTAGGCGCCCCGCCGGCCCCAATTCGCCGCCGCACGTCTGGAGCTGTACCGACCCAGACCCGCCGCCCCGGCGCCGCGGCGGGGCCCCGCCCCGCGCCGCCCTCCCTAACTTACAACTGCGACTCCACTTCGCGTCCCCATCGATGTTACGGTGCTAGGACTAGTGGGCGGAGCCCCTGGGGGGGAGACACCGCGCGTCGCCGATTCATCGGCGGCGGGCCCGAGTCGGAGTGGTTAGATAGGGGCTCGTGGTCGTGGGTCGTGGGTCGGCCTAGGACCGGGTCGCGCGCCGCGCCGCCTAGCGCGCGCCCGCGGCGCGCGCGCGGCTCTCCGGCGTCGCGCCGCGAAGCTTCGCGAAGCGCGCGTTTAAATTCGCGCCGGCGTCTCGCACCTTGTCGGCCGGCGTCTTCTTGCGCAGGCCGACATCGGCCTTCAGGGTTCCAGAGTCCAGGGACATGGCGCCTTCTTCGAGAGCGCTCTCAGTTGGGGTCTACAATTGAGACTCGAGTAAGCCCTCGTCGGGTAAGGTAGCAACGTTCGGCCTTTGTCGTCGGCCCCAGATAGAATTAGGATAGCAAGGCGAGCCTCAGCGCGAGATGGTGCTTTAGCACAGTCTCTGCTGTTTCCAGTGCTTGATCCAAACCCGTTTGAATCGTCCTCGCACTCGTCTTTCGGCGTGAAGAACAATTCGTGTGCACCAAGATCGATCTGTACAGATCCTAGTGTCTTACATACCGCTAGCACACAGCGCGCAAAAAAAAAAAAATCGACGCGGTAATACGCAGTGGCGACGACAATCAATTTGGCGAGGATCTGAGCGCCATCCATCGCTGCGGCCACGCGTAACAACTCGCAGCCCGCGCCACAGCTCCAACAACCTGTGAGAGCCCCTCTGGCATGAGCCACCTCCTCACGACCAAAAAACACGAAGCGCTCGACGCCGCCGTCGCCGAAGCGAGCCGGAGCCAGCGCTCCACGCGTCCTCAAGAAGAAGAACAGACAACGCCGCAGGAGCGGCTCTGGACGGCCGCCGAAAAAGGACAGCTCGAGGTCCTGCGGGCTACTTGTTCAGAGAAAGTAGATCTCGACGCCAGGCGCCCGGCCGACGGCCTCGCGGCGCTGCACCTCGCCTGCATCCGGGGCTCGGACGGCGCCGTCGCGACGTTATTGCGAGGAGGCGCGGCCGTGACGGCGGAGGACGCGTCCGGCCGCACGGCGCTCCACGCGGCGGCGGCTTCCGATAGAGCGAACTGCTGCTTCGCGCTCCAGAAGTGGGGCGGGCGTGATTTTGCCATCGACGCCGTCGACCGGGACGGGCGCCACGCGCTCTCCCTATCTGCGGAGTCCGGCGCGGCGCGGAGTGCCGAGGAGTTGCTGCGGATGGGTTCCGACGTCCATCTGAGAGATAAAGCAGGAAGAACAGCTTTGCACTACGCCTGTATCGACGGCAACGCGCGCGTCGCTTCTATATTGGTGCGACATGGCGCGGACCCGGACGCGGAAGACGACCAGCAGCGCTCGCCGCGGCACGTCGCTCTTGACTTAGGACGAGAGAACGTGTTGAGAGCGTTGGACGGCGACCTACCGTCCACAGAGCTGGCCCAGCAAGAAGTGAGGAAGTGGCGGTGGGTCGTTGTTGATGAACGAGGCTCCCTGGTCGAGACGAACGCCCACAAGGTGGCCGTGTTCCGCTCTCGCGCAGCGGCGGCGGCCTGGGCGTCGTCGTTGCAAGACTTCCAGGTCTGTGAGTTGAAGGAACAGGCGCTCTTCGACTTCGAGACGCGAGTCTTGCACGATAGGATTGATGGTGGTGCCGAGGAAGCTCGACAGTTCGAGGAGACCGAGGACCCGGTCATGGCGGAATTTCGGAGGCAGGAGCACGCTAAAACGGTATCGGGTGCCGCGGCGGATGAAAGGAAAGCTCTCGAGGACCTCAAGGCCGTCGAGGCGAAACTCGATGACTTCGCGAGAAGGGCGGAGGAAGCGCGGGCCATCGCGGACATGCGCGAGCACGCGGTCGTCGACGTGTTTGCGCGGTCCCATGAGTTGGAGCGGAGTCTCGAGGCGCTGAAGGCGGAGCTGAGCACGTCGGAGAAAGGTCCTGATCTGATCGCGTCTCTTGAGAGGTTACATCAGCGGGGTCACCCCGCGGCCAAGCCCGGCGCGGATCCCCGGAGACTCGCGGCGGCCGCCGCGGAGTTGGTTTCGGATGACGCCTTGCCGGCCTGGCGCGCGCCTGATGCGTACAAAGCGCCCTCTCCAGAGTCGCCGGAGCGCCGGTCGTCTCGCGCGTCGGAGCTCATGCAGCGCCTCGAGACCAAATACGCCGTGCCCGCCGCATCAGTGGATGTGGCGCCGCCGCCCGACGTCGTGCAGGCGCGGTCCGCGACGGCGGCTCCTGAAAGGCGCGCTATGCCCATCCAGCGCTTCGTGCCGCCGGCGTCGCCGTCGAAAGCGCCGGAGCCGCCGCCCTCGGAGGAGCCGGCGTCGCTCCGGGATTTGCTGGAGGCGGCGCGGCTCGGTGATAAGGTAGACGCCTTCGAGGACGAGGAGATTGATTTGGAAGCGATCCTGGAAGCGCACCGCGCGGGCGATTTGATGGACCTGCTCCGCGAGGTCGGGCTCAAGGCGGGCGAGCGGCTCCGCGTGAAGCGGGCGCTCGGGTAAATTGTTGTGTATTTGTACTTATGCATATTAGCCCATGATAACCTCGTCAGGTGCCTCATAAGAATACCAGTAATCGTACCGGGTCGGCAAATACCGTCCCCGTACTCGATCGAAGGACCTATCGTCAAGGGCGCGTGCGGAACGCCAGAACGAGAGAACGTGAACGAACAACTCCCGAGGGAGTTTGGGGCCCATCAGCGTCGCAAGGAAGCCTGACGGCGCCGTCGCGCGGCCTCGCTCGCAGAGCACGCGGAGACAGTTCAAACTGATAATCGGCTCCCGAAGGTATTTCTTGATGCAGCCGCCACCGGCTTTGACTTCCGCGAGGACGAACTGGGTTATTTGATGATTTCGTGCCGCTATCGCTTCGGCATCGTCACCTCGATCGTTACGCAGGTCGCATTTCGCACCGCGGCGCCTGTGCGGAAATCAAGTAGTCAGAGAATAGAGAAGGCGCCGAGGACCACTTTCTCGAGAGCATATAGACATAGATTGATACACTGCCTGGCGCAGAAGGAACAGGACACCTTCGGGGGTGAGATCGCTATGCCATCCATTCTCAACTGCAATCATTAGCACGGTGTACCCGTCGTGTAATTCGGCGTGGATGTTCGCCCCGTACGTGTCAATTAATAGTTCCATGGTGCAGAAGTTTGCTAATGACGCCGCGTGCATGAGGGGCGTCCAGCCACGGTCATCGCGCTGGTCCACAGTAGCGCCCTTAGCTATCAGCATCCGAATCATGTCGTCACGGTCCAGTGGATTTTGAACCGCTGTGAACAGGAGGTCGGTGGGCCAGTGGTCGTCCGCAATATCAGGGTGGTGTGCTGAGTCTGAGTTGAGCCAGGCCTCCACCACGCCCACCTGACCGTGAGCGCAAGCATGACCGATTTCCGGTGGCATCGCCATCACGATTGCGTGTGCTATGCGGCTTCACTCAACAAAAAAGGTTTGGTTGAAAAACCCGTTTTTTTTCTACCGGATCGACCCCCCCGGAGTACTTCCCGGCATCAACCCACACCTACCTTAACTCACGTTATGGCACACACCCCCGACGCCCGCAGCCGCTCCCGCTCGTGGGCCCAGTAGGCCGCCTCGGGATCGATTTCCGCGTGTTCTTCCCGTTCCGGGAACTCCGCCAGGATGGACGCGCACCAGGCGACGTTGGCGTCGTCCGGCCCGTATTCCTTCGTCCAGATGTCCCGGGCCTTCTCGACGAGCGTGCGCCTCCTCTCTTGATCATCAAGTTTTTCGCAGCACTGCGCAATGTCCATGCATAACGGTGCCAAGACGGGCGAATGCCTTCCAAATAGCTTTTCCTGCATGACCAAAGCCTTTTCTAACAGTTTCCGTTTCTTCGAATACGCCCCGAGCGCCGCATAGCATTGGGCCAGGTTGCACATGCACAAGCTTATCTCCTCCGGATCTCGGCCATACAACTTGTTGTCCATGGCATAACATTTATCGAGTAACTGGAGCTGGTTGCTTCTATCCCCAAGCACCGTGTATGATACGTTCAGCTTCCGCAGCAGCGCTCGCAAGTTGCCAATGTGCATGTGGTTGTGACACATGGCCTCGATGCGATCGATCTCGTCCTGCGTGATCGACGTGTCCGAGGCGCCGCCGGGCGACGACGGGCCCTTTGCTAGATCTTCCACGGCGTCTTCCATGCCTTGCAGGAAGTCGCCGCCCAGCTTCAGGAATTTGGCGTAAGCTGGAGTGCCCTTCGCGGGCGTGTGCTGGAGCGCTCGCTGCTTCTCGGGCGAGTCCTTGACCGTGCCGCCCATCATCGCGACGAACTTGGCCTTCTTCTTGCGTTCCTCTTGGTCCTTCTTGTTCGCGAGCCAGACCTCGAAGGGTATGAGGTCCTTTTTTTCTTTCTTGCGCTGCGCGTTATGACTCTTCCACTTCTTCTTGTCGGCGTCTTTGACGGGCTCGGCCTTCGCCTGGAAGGCCGGTATGACGTAGGGCGCGTCGCTCGTTTCAAAGTCGCCGAACGTGTCGGGCTCCGCCGCGGCCTCGTCGGGCTCGGGCTCGGGCTCGGGCTCGGCCGCGAGCTCCGCCTCAGCTTCGAGCTCGTTCGCCGCCGTCGTCGAGCGCACGGAGGGTTGCGAGAGTTGTGATTCGGAATCCAGGACGTGCGACGGCGCCGTCGCCTGGCTCGCGAGGTCCGACGCGACCGCCGCGTCGGCCCCGAGCTCCTGCGCCGCCATCGGTGCGACGCGGCAGCCTCCAAGCGATGCGGTGCGCGCCCGGGCAGCCTCGAAGCGATCAAAGCGATGCGAGGGGCAGCCGTGCGGCGCGCAAAAGCCCTGCGCTACTCGTAGCGCTCGAAAAGCTAGCACCCATGTGACGCTAGCAAAATCGCAAAGGCACGGCAGCCCCCCGTGCGGCTCGCTGCTGCTCCGATAGAGCCAGCGAACGGCACTACCTCACAAGCTATTGCCTCCATCTTCTTCCACACTCTCACAACATCGAAAAAGCAGGGCTGCCGAGACGATGAAATAAAGCCATGCTGCTCCTCCTGCTCCTCACATCGACACAAGCGGCCCTCGACGCCGCGCAGCTGGAGAAATGTGTCAGAGGCGACCGCAGCAGTGGGGACGCCCTGCTCGTCACGGGCCGCGTCGTCCAGCCGCGGCCTTTGCGGCGAGGCAACGTCACCATCGCACAACCGCCGTCGTCGTTATGGCGCATTAGCGGGAAGGGAAGAAGGGGCGCCTGTTGGGCGGCCATCCGCGCGACGGCGAAGGCCCAAGCTGCTTCCATTCGTCTAGAAAGCAATGCGGTGGAAGCGCAAAGCGCCTTGGAGGCCGTCAACGCGCGACCTCCGGGCGCGTCCGTCGTCGTCCAGGTCGATGGGGGCAACACCGCTGCACATGTGGTCGCGGGAGAAGCTTGTGAAGAAGCAGCCAAGCGCTTCGCTAAAGTAAGAGGCCTGCCCGACGAAGCCATTCCATCCATAGTGGACGCCCTCGAAGGCGCGCGGCGGTCGGAGGTCTATTCCGTGGCGCAAGTCGCCGATGAAGCAGAAAAAGCACTGTTAACAAATGGCTCCCAGGCCTGCGAGCGCGCGTCCTGGAAGCCGGACGCTCTGGCGGCGTTTCTGCGGTTGTCAGCTGTGGCCGTGCGCGCTAGAAGGACGAAGGTCGACGCCCGCGTAGTGTCCGGAAGTTTACGCGCGCTTCGTCTACTCCAGTCGTCACCCTTGTCAAATTGGGCTCTTGCTAGAAGACGGGCTTATCACACCTTCCAGACCCTGAAGAAGGCTACGCTCGAGAATGACCTCGCGCCGTCGGAACGAGAAGCGGCTCGACACGCGTACGAACGCGCGAACGTTACGGGCGCGTTGCGACGGCGCGACAAGGCCGAGCAGCAGGTCGCCATCTGCGAGGAACGCCTCAAAGAAGCGAGGAAGGGTAGCGACGCCATCGCACCGGCCATCGCGCAACATAAGGCTCGTGAAGAGGCTTTGCTGGCCACTTTAGCACAGACGCGCCGCGAGAACGAGGAGGCCGATCGGTCCGTAAGGTCGCATCTACGAGATACGGTGAGCGGGCTCTGTGATGCTACTTTGAAGCGACCGCATTTGCGCTGCGATAACGAGGACCGGAAGTGGTTGGATGCTGTGTGGAAATCAAAGTTTTACGGCGCGTTCGTCCTCCACGCCATCGACGCGACGCCTGCTCGATGGCGTGGCGATGCCGGTTCCTCACCGCTCGACAGAGCCAGCACGTGCACCCGTCGCACTGGTTGATTGCCACACAGGTTGGACGAACAGCTCGGCTTGCTGGGCAGCGCCTTCCTGAAAGAAGAACCGTTTCAACACAAGGCCGACGTCGCTCGAGAAGACTGGGAGGAGGCCGTGAGCGGTTCCAAGACGCTGGAGTTGAGATTCAAGAAGTTGCCTCGGTTGGCTCGCAAGGAGACCTACGCCCATAAAACCCTGATCGCGCCCTTCGTGTACGGGAAAGCGCATCACGTCACGTCGAATGCCACGAAGAAGGAGCGGGAAGCGCTACAAAGAGCTCTTACGTTGTTGGGGAAGGATCTGACGTCGTCTCATACCGAGCTGCGGTCGAAGGACAACAGAGTGAAAGAAGCGGCCAAAGCCGTCGATGCGCTCCTAAGGAGGGCCCAGACGAAAGCGGGGCAGTACATCTCGCGCTTTGGGGTGGTCCACTGGGCTTCACTGAGATACGACTCGCCGGCCCATGAGCTCATGGTTTTGAGAGCGTTTGAGGGCTGTCGCGTGAAACAGGACGACGTTCGTATAGTGAGACCGGCGAACTGGACCTTTGAGAGGATTGAACTGATGTGCCCGCCCTGGTCGTTACTGCGGTATGAGTTGAAAGCGCGGGTCGCCGAGCTACGAGCTAAGTATGATGCCGCGTCCGACCGGTTGGAACATGTCAGAGACACCTGGCTCCCGGCGGCCCAGAAAGTAGAAAATTCATCTAGAGACGCGGATGAGGGTATCAGGGAAGGCTATGCTCGAGCAAGACTAGAAGATTTAGCTACAGTGATGTCCGAGGTCGGTGCCACCGCCAAAAGTGTGGAAAATGACCCCCTGAACAATATTTCGACGAATGCGACCATCAATACGTATTCGGAGATCCTTAAAAGCGACGGGAATGGCTCAAAAGCGGACGCCTTTCGCACGTCGGCGCAGCTGCTCATGGCGCAGGCGACTGACAAATTGGATGCTGAGTATCGTAGAGCCGCGGAGCTAGCGTCGTTGGACGCCGTCGTCGCGTCGCGGAACACTACTGCAGCTAGAAGGGGCGCTCTTCTCGCGGATTCGAAGGGCTACGCTTTGCACCGGCCCTCGGAGGAGAAGCTGAGGGACCTCAATTCAGCGGAGTCTGCCCTACATAGTGCGCAGAAGGAATTGGACACGGCTTCTGAAATACTTGAGGAAGCCTTAGCGGCGGCGGCCGTCGTGCAAGTGAGCGCGCCGGCCCTGGAACGAGAGGACATCGAAACGTTACAACAGCGTTATGATGACGCCGTCAGGGAGGACCGCGAGGCGAACGAGTTGTTGAATGCGTTGGACCCTTCTAACACAATGGCGTCGATTGCCTCTTCGGCTCGAAATGCTGCTGATCAATTGGTTCTCTCTTTATCACACCGCGTCGAGCGCGACGCCGTCGACGCCGTGCTGCAAGCTCGTAAGTTATCGGAACAACTCAGAGAACCAGGCAAGAGGCCGTCGCTGCACTGTCCGTCCGAACTACCCCCCAGACAAGGCGTGGAGGCGCGACTCGTGGAAGTAGACAGTGTAGTGGTGCTGCCGCCCGCCGGACCGGGCGGGGAAGCGAGGTGGGTCGCGTACGTCCCCTGTTCCGTTGATTACGACTATAAGTCGTGGTTTGGCCTCGCGCAAGGCTTCGCCATGGGTTTAGCCGTGCTGAACGGGCGGACGCACGTCGCCTTTGGCGAGTCCGAAGGTGGCTCATTGTGGCCCGGGCGAACGGTCGATTTCTCTGAAGCGGAAGGTGCGTGGTTGCATCGCCGGGTCGCTACGGAATTCGTCGAGACGGCGCCCGAGCTCATCGTGTCGCTACCGGTGCACGTGAACGGCAGGGAATACTTCCTGGACGTTTTTAGTGGAGAAGACCATCGATTGAAGATCGCGGAGTTCTGTAAGGTGCACATGGGCGATTCATCTTGCATCAATTCATTGACGGCGCGGTTCCTGGACGAGGCGGACCCGGACTCTTCTCGAAGGGAGGCCGACCGCGTCGCCGCCGAGGAAGCGGCACGCCTCGCTCGCGAGGAGGCCGAACGTTTGGAAGCGGCTCGTGAGGCCGAGCGGCTGGAGGCCGAACGCGCGGAGGCGGAACGGATCGAGATCCAGCGACTGGAGGCGGCGCGCGCCGAGGCGGACCGTGCCGCGGCCGCCACGCGGAAGGTTTTAGTTTCGCTGCCGATCGCGGTGGGGGACGCCGAGCATACTCTGGAGGTCCTCGAGGGCGAGGACCCGATGCAGAAGCTCTTCGAGTTTTGTGGGAGACACATGGGCACCGAAGCCGCGGCCTGTGTCGAGCAATTGACGCAGCACGTCGTCGTCGCCGGTGGGGGAGCCGAGCCGGAGCCGGAGAAGCCTCAACCGCCCAAGGGTGTCCTCGTGTCCTTGCCCATCAAGGTCGATGACAACCGGGAATTTACTTTCACGCTGCTCGAGGGCGAGGACGCGATGGCGAAGGTCCAAGCGTTTTGTCAAGCGCACATGGTGAGCGACGCGTCCTCGTGCGTCGAGCAGCTGGGGCCAGCCGTCGTCGCCCAGGCCGCCCAAGCCGGCGCTGCGGCCCCCGAGCCTGAACCGGCCAAGCTTCTCGTGTCGTTACCGATCCGCCTCGACGACGGGCGCGAGTTCATCTTTACGCTCTTGGAAGGCGAAGACCCGCTGCAGAAGATCGTGGCGTTCTGTTCCGCGTCGATGGGCGGCGACGCGTCCTGTATCGAACAATTGAAGCAGCATGTCATGGGACCCGAGCCGGAGCCGGCGCGACCCCTCCTATCGCTCCCGATACGGGTCGACGACGGAAGGGAGATCGCCTTCGAGCTCTACGAGGGCGAGGACCCCGTGCAAAAACTCAAGGCGTTCTGCCAGCACTACATGGGCGCCGACGCCACGTCGTGCATCAAGCAGATGACTCCCCACGTGAATGTCTAAGTTATGTGATAATTTCCGGAAACTCGTCGTCGTCGTCCGCGACCGGCGGCGCGGCGACCGGCGGCGCGGCGGGCGGCGCGGCCGGCGGCGCCGGCGGCGCCGGCGGCGCTGGCGGCGGCGGCGCCGCCTCCGCCGCGCCGTCGTCGTCGGACGCGGACGCGTCGTCGCCGGGGAAGAGCGCCGCGAGGAGGTCGCCGCGCGCGGGCGGCGCCGCGATCCGCGGCGGCGCGAGCGGCGCGCAGCGCGGCCGCAGCACCGCGTCGCAGGCCGCCTGCAGGCGGTACGCCGCGGCGCGCGTCTCGACCGTATCGTGCGCCGCGACGGCCGCCGCGCGCGCCGCGACCAGGAGGGGGCTCCGCTGCCCGTCCAGCGGCGCCGCGACGAGCGCCGCGGCGAGATTTAACGTAGCGCGGCGCAGGTCCAGAGGGGCGTGGTCGAGGAGCGCGGCGCCGGCGCGTTCCACCAAAGCCCGGTCGCGGAGGCGCGGCCCGCACGCGTGCACAATCACAGAGATGGCGTCGAGCGCCGCGCGTGCCGCCTCACTAATGTCCCAGTGGGCCTTGGCCGGCGCGCGCCGCGGCGGCCGCCTCCTTTTTCGTTTCTTCGTCTCCGGCGGCGGCGCCTCGTCCGTCGGCGCGCGCGGGCTCGACGCCGCCAGGGCGGCTCTGATTAAAGGAGCGACCGCGTCGTCGACGAGTTCGGCCCCTCCCGCGCCCAAGGCGCTACTCACGGTCGCGAGGGCCCTTATGGTCGGCGCGTCGCGCCACCGCGTCCGCTGGCACTCGCCCAAAGCTGCCTTCATTAAACTCAGGCCGTGGCGCCGCGTGATCGACGCCGGCAGCGCATCCATCAACGAAGGGATCAGCGTTGTATGTTTCATCGCCGCTCGGACCAGCCGCGGCAGGGGCAGCGGCGCGCCGTCTTTGCGGGTGCGCGCGGCCATAATTAAAGCCTCGGCCGCGGCGACGGGGCCCGGCGCGGCCTCGGCCGCCTCGAGATTGCTCAGGACGCCCGCGGCGGCGGCCGCGAAACTATCGGCGGGGCCCCGACTCCAGAGGACGGCCAGGCAGCGTTGAGCATTCACACGCGCCTCGGACTCGCCCAACGCCTTTTGCAGGGGCTCGGCCTTGCAGCGCACGTCGGCGTACGCCCCCAACAAAGCAGCCAGTAATTCCAACGCCTCCGGCGCCGCTTCTTTGGAGCAGCGGTCCGCTAGATTCTGAGCGGCCTTTTCGAGCAACGCCGCGCACTGAGACCCGCAGTCCCGCCGCTTCTCGACGAAGGCCAATAATGACGCGCTGTCTTCGACGGCGAGGCACTTCTGGACACAAGTTGCTAACGCGTCGGGCGCCTTTGCAAGCTGGTCTGATGATGCTTGATGTATGCATGGTGTCGTGAGCGCCGCGACGGTCCCGTCGTCGTCGATCGCTGCTACTTTTGTTAGTACCTCATTGTATTGTTGCGCGTCGAGCGAGGCGACGGTTGTTGGTAATAATGCCAGCGCGGTGGTGAGGGCGTTCTCATCGGTGGTCGCTTCGCCGAGGCAGCGGTCGAGGGCTTGCATGCTGCAGTGCTGCCTGCAGCACTCTGCCTGTGCTGCAGCACTGGTTGTGCGTTCTTGCAAATCGCTGCGCTGGTCACGCAGCACTGCTGGGGCTATGGAAATCGCGGGTCAGCACCCCGCTACAGCACCGCTGCGCGTCGCGGCGACGACGCCGAGGTTGCTTTGCTGCTGCTTCTAGAGTGTCTCGCAGCTAGGCCCGTGCGCTTCGCGGCGACTTGTAGCTGTACGCGAGGGATCGGAAGGCTGCGGCGACGAGTCTTTCAGCTTCTCGACTTGGCTCTCACACTCAAAATGCAGAGCCTGGTCTCCCGCGGCGGCAAGAGTTAATTGACCTGCACACAGCCAATAGCGCGCCGCGCAGCCACACAGCTCGCGCAGCAGTACAGCTACTTGCAATTGAGCTGGGCGCCGCGACGCGACGACGCGTTCGCGCGCCTGTGACGAGAACACAGCCTTAAATCAAAAAGCCCGGGAAGGTCACCGCGGCGCCATGAGTGGCCGCGGCCCCCAAAAAACCTGCCCGGCCTGCGACGCCAAGGTCCACGCCAGGAAGGCGAGGTGCCCCTGCGGCCACGTCTTCGCGAGCAAGAAGCGCGCCGCGAGCCCGCCGCGGCCGCCGCTCGCGCCCTTGCCGACGAGCACGACGGGCCGCCGGCGAAGCGCCGGCTCGCCCGCGAGCTACGCCGAGCCCTCCCTGAAAAGCAAGATGCGCCAGAAGCGCGGCGAGGCCGTCGTTTCGAAGCCGCCGCCCGAGAAGCGGCGCCGCACGGACGCGCCGCCGGCCGCGCCGCCGAAGAAGCGCGGCCGGCCGCCGAAGAAGCAAGCAGCGCCGCCGGAGGACGCCCTCGCTCTCCTGAACGCGCTCGAAGCCAAGGAGTCGTTAACGAAGGACGACGTCCGCGCGCTCGCGCAGTGCGCCACGAACGACGAAGAAAGGGCCTGCCAGCTGCTCGACGACGCCTGCAAGGATGACCAAGTAGCTTTAGAGGCCTGCGCTACCACACTCACACTAGCCTCGGAGCGCGGCGGCGCGTACGCCTCTGCCGAAAGAACAAACGAGCGGGCTCAGCAATTACGGCGCCAGGCGCGCGCCGGCCTCGACGTCGAGGAGGGGTTGACTGCATTATCAGACCTCATCGCTTCCCGGGCATTGGAGGACGCCGCGGTCGCGGCCGCCTGTGGTGCTGCTGGTGTTATACTACAGACCAGGGGCACGCCAACCGCTTTGTTAGTGTGGCGCGCTGCGGCTCGAAGCTACCCGTCGCATCGAGCCGCATTACTAGAAGACTGGTTAGATGTCTTACGGACGGAGACGTCTTCTTCGAGAATAGCTCTAGATGATGATTTGGGCGGTTCCGCGCGGTGGGCGTCGGTCCTGGCCTTAGTTATCACCGAGGCCTGCGTGCCTCTGGCGGAGGAGGTCCCGTCTGTGACGGAAAGTGAAAGATGTTCAAATGCGTTGACGGGAGCTCTACTCAGAAGGTGCCGGGAGGGCCCGAACGAAAGCGACTGGCGCGACCTAGCTCTAGCCTTCTCGTCAGATCTAGTTGCGGCGTTAGAAGCGCCGGCCTGGTCCTCATCAAGTGAAAGCGTGTTAAGGTCGTTAGCTCGATCTGCTAGCACAGAACTGAGGAAGGCCCCGTCGGATCGAAAGGCCGAACCTTATGTGTGCTTCCTCGGGGACTTGCTGGCTGTCATTGTGGGCGGCGTCTCTGCAGTAACAAAACGGGCTACCTCATCAGTAACACCAGTCGTGCAAGAGCAAGGCGGGGCTTGTGACGTGCCCGAGGAGAACCAGCGCTTGGAAGCGTTGGTGGCGTTCCAGCAGCTCCAGCTCAACGGCCTCGAGGCGCGCTCGTCGTCAGAGCCGCTCTGTGGCGAAGCTCTTAGATACAGTGTGGCAAAATGGCACGCCGAGCTCCCCGACTCGGCCAAGGCGTTGAAGCGCCATTTAGCATCGCAATTCGCGGGCAGGGACGTGGCGAGAGTTCGAAGAGCTTCGTGGGACGCAGCTCTACCGCGCGACAAATTGCGAGGCGTCGCGTGCGCTATTGTCCAAGGTTCACCATTGGCGCGAGGGTTATCATTACTAGCGAAGCAATTGGTAGGCTTGCTGGCCCACCTTCAGCCGAAGGTGCGGGACAAAGCACTAAGAGCCCTAGGCCGAGCGTCGTGTGATCACCTACTGGAAAGAGACGTCGTCCAGCAGGCCATGCGGTCTAGGTTCGCCGACGAGTCTCCCAGTGTCAGACTCGCCGCGGTGGAAGTGTGCGGCACGAAGTGCCAGCAGCAGCCGTCGCTCTTCGTTCATTACGAAGAGGACCTCTTGAAGAGACTGAGAGATGCGGGCCTAGCCGTCAGAAAAGCCACCGCCCGCCGCCTAAAGACGACGCTGACGGATGCGAGAATACCGCCCGATGCGCGGGCGCGCACGTTAGCTGCTCTTGTTAGATGTGCCGCTCGTCCGAGTGAGGAACGAACGGTCAAGGACTTAGTGAGAGACTGCATCCGCGAGGCCTGGTTCGCGCCCGTTGCTGACGTGGCGGCGCCTCGCTTGTTGCCGCGCGTGTCTCCCAGCGTCACGGACGCTCCTCGCATCAAGGAGGCCGCGTATCGCCTCGACCCAATTACGAGGCAAGTTGTGGACGTCGTGTCTGCGGCCGGAGATGACCAAACGATCGGGGCGGTCTTCGCCATGGCCCTCACGGAGCAGGACGGGAAGTCCAGGAAGGCGGCGTCTGCGCGATTGCGAGCCCAACAGCACGTCGCGCACTTGGCTGATCACTTGGTTAGATTGGACGGATCCCGCTCGGACGGGAAGGTCACGCCCCAGACGACGCCGGACAAGCACACTATCATAACTGGTTCCTTGACCGAAGAGAGCGCTTCTGATGTTGTCATGACACTGAGTGCGATCCGAGCCTTCGCGCGGAGCGCTCCGGAAACCGTGGCTCCCTCATTAGATGTGATAGCACCCTATCTGCGAGGCGACAACGGGTTGGATGAGAAGGGCGAGTCCGCAGCGGTGCAAAAGGCCGCGGAGATCATTCACGCCGCGTGTAGTGCTCTACCTAGACCAGCATCAGCTTCCTTGGCAGCTAGATGTTCACCTGATCTCGAGAAGGCCGCCCTGAACTCCCGAGGAAGCGCGCCGACGACGGCAGCCGTCGCTTGTCTCGCTGCCTTGGACGCAACGAGGTCGAACACCGAGGCTGGAAGATCGCTGTGGCGTTTGGCCGCATTGTGTCACGACTTGCTGAGGAGGAGAAGGCACGTGGGACGGGCGGCCTTAGTGCTAGGATGTGTGGCAAAAGATTGGGCGTGCGGCCTGGCCAGAGGCGCTCCGGACGACGAGAGCGAGCCCAGTACATTAGCGCGGATGCGGGACCCGCACGGCGCCGTGTTTGCGTGTGTCGCGCGCGAGGCGTCTTCCAATGATGCCGCGGCGGCGCGAGCGGCTTCCGCGGCGTGTGCGTCTGTCGCCGGCGCGCCGCGCCTCGCGAACGCTGCACGTTCAGACGGATTGTTGGAGAGGTTGTTAAGTCATCCCCACGCTTCTGTGAGAGCTGCTTCCTTGCGAGGCTGGGCGGACGTCCTGGATGGGTGCGATCGAGCCGCTCGAGCGCAGCACGCTTCCGATTCGGAGTCCGTGCGAAGTGTCGTATGCAATGATGAGTCATTGAGAGAGGACGCCGAGGGCGCCTTCCAGGCCGCGGCGGCGTGCGCCCAGGCTTGCTTAGCGAGGGCTTCTACACTCTTGGAAGACCGCGATGGGGACGTGAGATGCGCGTCAGTCACGTTCCTGAACGGTGTCCTGAGGCACGGCCTCGCGAATCCCCGAGATATAGCGCCTCTACTAGTCGGAAGACATGGCGACGAGCTGCAAAAGGTCCGGGACGCCGCCGCGGATGCTTTGAGGGAGACCGCTGCCAAGAGACCGCAACTCGTAGCCTTACGCTTCTCGGAAGGCTTCGCGGACGCGTGCGCGTCGGCGAGACGCTACTCCGACGAAATCCCGCTACCCATCCTCAAGGCCGTCGGGACGTCGTACCAAGTGTGCTGCGAAGGTAGAGCAGCGAGGGCCAAGGCCCTCAAGTCCGCTTTGGATGTCTTCGTCACGCCGAACGACCTCCCTGCGAAAGACGGAGATTTATCAAATTGGCTCGGGAAACGGGCGGCCACCTGTAGGGCCCTGGGTTCGTTGCCGTTCCGGACGGCCGACGAGCCGCTCATGGTTATTCGAGCGTGTGCCCGGGCTTGTGCGCTCGATGGGGCTGCTCTCCATGAGTCGCTGAGGGATGCTTCTGACGTGTCTGCTAGAGATGCCGCTAGATGTGGTGCTTTTTCGTTGTTGTGTCGCTTGAAGGCCCACATCAAGCGAAGGCACCGATTGGGCGACGCGCGGTGTGCGGCCTACGACGGCGACTGCGATAAACAGTTAGGTGCGATTCGTGACGATTCTCCGCTGGTGTGCGGGCCGCTCTTCTCTCGCAGTGCGCTGGCGGCCGTCGGGACGAACCGGGGCGGGTCCGTGCGCTCGTCGCTGGTCGTGGATCTCGGCCGATTATTAGCTGAAGAGCAGGACGACGGCGATTTACAAGACCGTCCGAAGAAGCCGCGCGGCCGGCCGCCCAAGGACCAGCCGCTCAAGCGCACGTCGTCGATGGAGCCGCCCAAGAAGCCGCGCAAGAAGGTCAAACGAAAGCGGCCCAAGGACGACTCCGACGACTCCGACGACGACTGGGGTCCCGGCAAGAACTGAGTTGCGTGCACAAGGCCCGACTCTCTCTCCCCCCTCTCTACGACGTAAGCATCTGTGTTCGAACCTCTTCTCGCACTCGCGAGTTGGCGTTTGCTCCGATATCCCTACAACCATGGGGAAAGCTGCTGGGGCGTGGCTGTGTGAGTCATGCGAGAGGGAGGGCTGGACGGTTCGTCCAGCTCTCGGGACGGCTGAGCCGGAGAATTTGCCTGGACTTTCAGGAACGCTCCCGAAGGGCAGACAAACAGATCGACATTCTCGCAAGAGGACGCCTCCTTAGGAGTGAGAGGCTCCTCGTTGTTTACATGGAGAGCTGTTTTCGCAGCCTGGCAACGCAGTCATTACGTCCGGGGCAGCACCGTTTGCAGCCTGGGCAGCGCATTCATTATTGTGGCTGCCAGCTGTGTGTGAGAGCAGACTTGTACGCCCGACTATATGAAGCCAAGGTACAGGACTCCCTTCGAAGGGTTGATCCTCCGCGACGGACGGACCAAGGGTCGTAATCCTCCGCTGAGGTATTTTTGGCACCGCTGGACCCGCAGCGAGACGGTGCCCCCGCCGGTGTTCACCTCGGCGTCGCACCCGCTGGCCGTCGCCTTCCTATCGCGCGCGGGCCTGCCCGACGCCGCGGGTCGCGTCGGCTTCTGCATGCTGCCCGGCCGCCGCAAGGCCAAGAAAACGCACGAGTGGAGGCGCGACCTCTCCGCCGACGTCGCCGCGCTCCGGCAAGACCGGCTCTGCCTCGTGACGCTCTGCACCGTAAAACTAGATACGATAAACCGGGCGTACTGGCAGGGACGGCTAAGATGGGATACTAATTAATCTTGAGTTAGGTCGGCCGCGCTCAAAGCGGGTTGTGGTTCTGTAGAGAATACTTCTTACTAGAAATACTTCTTATAGACATTACACTAACACGGCCGCGTGCGAAATGCCCCCCGCGCGGGGCGTCGCACAGCAACCGTGGGCGGCCCTAACAGTCCGGTCCTGTCGCAATAATCAGTCCGATCCGTTCCCGGCCGCTCGCCTCTATACGCGACCACCATTCGGCAGATGGTGGCCACGGACGCCGACCTGACCTCGGGGGCCTTCCGACGCTCGGTAATCTAACCCAAAGTTTTCTTCTTGCACGATCCGCTCCGTCGAGCGTCGTGCTCGCCGCTCACGTGTCCGTAGTAAATTCGCAGCGGCGCGTTGTACTAAATCCGTATGGATCCATAGTAATACCGCGGTGTCCGTAGTAAATCCGCGGTGGACAATTGTACTAAATCCGTGGGGGTCCATCCTAGTAATCTCCATACTCGTCTGTTGTACTAAAGATAATGGTAGGACCGCGGTCGTGCCTCCGCTATATATAATACACGACCCGCGAGTGTCCTCATGGCCTCGTCGGCGTCTCTGACTCATGGCCTCGCACACGTAATGAATTGTAGGCGTCGACTAAGCGTCGACATGTCGGCGATACCGACTCTAATAGTAGGACCGCGGTCGTGCCTCCGCTATATATAATGCACGGCGGGTGCGAACTAGGCAAACGGATCCGGGGCGTCGGTGCTGCCGAGGCCCCTGTTCACATTGTCGTTGATGAAGCCAACAAAGCATTCCTTATTTTTATCGACTGTGATGTGGTGTAGCACAAGGAGCCGAGTGGTTCTTTTCGTCTTTCGTCCGCCCACTCCTGTTATGGGGCATTTCCCATAAACAACGGACAGCGTTTTTTTCGATTCGTAATAGAGAAGCGTGTCCCGGCCCCAGAACGGGAAGTATTTTTCACTATCCTTCTTGAGTTCGTAGTACGTGCCCCCCGTCGCGACGTCGTCGGGCAGACCCTCTGGCAGCAGCTCATGTACACGAGTAGGATCAGCTACTTTCAAGTGCTTAGATAATTCGCCGCCTGGTTTGAATGCATTCATTAGAGTAGCATTTCCAGGATATGCTTCGCCAGACTTTTGGTTAGTTTCAACTGGAACCGAGATCTCGGCTAGATGGACAAAGGTTTTATCGTTAATGGAATGTTGATGCTTGATCATCCCCCAGAGCTTGTTGAGCTGCTCGTGTAAGGGTCGTTGCCTTCCCCAAATGCCGCTGGCGAGCAACCCACTGTTGATGCAGTGTGTGGATGGGGCCAAGAGGCAGTCGCGTTCATGCGCAGTGATATGGTGCTGGTGGATCTCCATTTGAGAACCAGGGCACTCTAAGCCGCACGCACATCCAGGGGCGAGTGTGACAAAACCTTTCGCATGGGCACATCGGGGTATGAAAGAACTACCCTTGGCCCTGGGATCCAGCACAAAAATGCACTCCGTATCTCTGTACATCGCAGGCGCCTCCGTCGGTTTAAATTCGAAGCCATAATCGTCCTCGCCCAAAATAGTAAGCTTTTTAGAAGCACGTGATGCGAACTTCACCTTGTGGGTGAACCTACCTTTCACTAACTGAGCGAGCACGCGAAGCTGACCCTTATGGGGTTCGTGTTCTTTCCCCGCTTCGTGTGGTACAATCAGGGCAGCCTTGCTTTCTCTACCGTTCTCACACTCGACCGTCTCGCGCGCCAGAAACGCGAAGCGTATAAATTTGTCCTCTGGGGTCAGTTCTCGCATAGGTACCGACGGACATTCCAGGGCCGCCAAAGACCCGGCGTCGAACGGTAGTTGTGTAGACAGTACGGTCTGCTCGCCGGGCTGCACGTCCTCCATGGTCTCATTTTGGTCCTTCGGCTCCGAAGAGGCGTCCTGTTCCCAACTCAACACATACCTATCGTGCGGGCGTGTTGTTCTATTGTGGATGATCCTCTCACGGAACAAGTCGCGATGCTTATTGAGCAGTGAATCGATGGCGTTCTGTTTATCCTCTTCACTAGGTCCTTCCGGGGTGACCCAGGTCTTCCCCTTGCGGCCTTGTCCCACACACAGCACGCGGTTTGATCTATAAATCCCGTCGTACTTGTGGATGTGCTGCGCCGTGAACTCGTCGACCTCCCTGAAATTCAATGATTCGTCAAATTTGGTGCCCTCCGGGTCGATTACCAACAGCCTTTCATCAACAAGTTCCCGCTGCTGCACCGGTTCCTTGCTTGCGGCGAAGCCCTTGTTCGGGACAGGGAAGCAGCCCGCCAAGCGTTTGTCCCTCGCTTTCATCAAATCGTGCAACAACAAGGCCGCGGCCACGAGTGTCACCTCCACGTTCTTCGAGCCCGTGGTATTGGCCGCCTCCAGACTCGGTGGCTCTTTCCACAGACCGTTCTTGTTGTAGAAATCAGCTAGCGACCCGCCCTCCTCAGGCCCCTCCTGTATTACCACGCACTTCCAAACACTGTCCCTCAGTTGCACGCACACGCGGTTGCGGGCTCGGGCCGTTTCTAGAGCTTTGTTTCTCGACGCAGAGAGACCGCCTCCTACTACTACTTCACCAGAGCATTGCGACTTGTACTTGGCCACTTCTTCCGGGGTGCCCACAACCCACAGTATTTGTGACGCTTCTAGGCCAGCTTTTGACAGTCTCAATTCAATGAATTTGGCATCGATCCACCGGCCTGTGGAGATGATGCAGAAGAGGAGCTCAGACGTGTTGATGGTGTCCGTGCCCAAGACGGACTTCACGTAGGAGTCGCCAGTACTAGTGAGCTTTTCAATAGCTTGCGCTTCCGCATCGAAGGAGCTGAAGTAAGAACAAGCGTGCGCATGGACCTGCTGAGGTGTTTTGTTGGGTAGGTGCTCCGCGATCCGGCGGCAGTCCTCCCTCGATAAGCCGCGCCCACTCCGATTTATGTTGAGCGTCGCCATGGCCCCGTGAAATTTCTCCCGCTCCTCCGGCCAAAAGCGATTGCTTTCGCTCTGCTCGTCGTCTAGGCAGTATTTGTCGCCTTCCTTCGCGAGTTGCAGTGCATACTTGAGGTATTGGCGCAACAACCTCAGGCTGGAAGGTTTATTCTTCTTGGGGCTCTTGCTGAACTCCTTGTATGACGGCCAACCGATCGGCACTTCGAGGTTCTTCACTGCTTTATTAGCTGGATCGTCCTCGTGAATATAAAAACAATAACAGCGATGCTTCAAGAGTAGGTCCCATTCCTTAGTAAAGCTCGTCTTGCCCGTGAGGGCGGCGCCCAGCGCACACACCGCTGCTTCCAACTCAGGGTCCTTGGCCCGCTGCTTGCTCTCGTTCCAGTCAGGTGGCAGTACGAGGGGCTCTGCCGGAGGGGTCGTATTTGTGCCAAACATGTCCTCATCAGTAGTGTCCTCGGCGCCGGCGCCCGATTTAGCGGCGGGCTTGGCCTTCGGCTTCTTGGCCTTCGGCTTCTCGGCCTTCGACTGTAAGTCCTCGCCCGACTCCAAGTACTCGAGCCACGCGTCGTCGCGCTCCGATTTGTCGAGCTGGCAGTAGCCCTTAGTGATATCGTTCCGCAGATCACTCATGTTGCCGCGGAAGATGTCGTAATAATCCCCGATATTGGTGGCGCGCATATACCCATCATAGCGAGCAGCACTTGCTCCGCGCTTGGGATTCGGACTCTTAAATTTGCACTTCACCTTCTTCTCGCGCAGCAGTTCAATGAAAGCTTTTGGCCAATTGCCAGCTTCCTCTGGCAGTGCCTCCCGCGGAGCAGGTGGAGCCGGTGGCGGACTCGGATCTCCGCCAGTTTGGACGTCCCCGCCATCAGCCCCTTGCGAAGCGGGGCGCCGTAGCGCCGACACGGCGTAGGGCGACAAATGCCCGGTAGTATCTCGGACCAGGACGATGGGAACCAGTGAGCTCTCCATCACACTAATAGATCGTTCCTCGTTTTGCATGCGAACCTCATAAAGTAGACCTGGATCGGGCGACCTCAGGGTCCCCACGATCCGTCCCCATTCATCCTGGGGCTCCCTCGCTAGAGGGCGGCACCAGCACCCATCCGGCAACCGAGATAAAGAGCTCCACTGGTCAGGTCTGAGCCAGGTCATAATACGATCGACGGTCGCTGGAGTGCCGTCGGCGAAAACCACGTCGAACGTCCCCCTCACATTAGGCTTCGGTGCACCATCCCAGCGCAAGACGTGGGGCAAGCCATCGCTGGGCGACACGGCCTCGAACTCGACGAATCCAACATTTCTACGAAGCAAACCTTCTTCTATGAAACCTCCTGCCTCCCATCTTAATTCGCTGAGCTCCCGATCTTCTTCGGAGGATGAGTCCACGTGGAGCGCAACACAGCGCCCATTGCTGCCTTCAGGTGTTACAACCGTAGCGCCCATCAAAGAGCGCCAGTCCTCTACATCTCTAGGAGGAGCATGCGCCGGTGGCTGGCCCGGGGCTTGCGCATCCCCAGTAGCCTCGTCCCAGGGGTACGCCCTCCTCAGAAGGTACTCACAGAGATCCCAGTACTTTACTACAGTGGTTGGGGACGCGATATCGTCCACAATCGCCTCATCTACTAGCCCACTGTCGTCTTTACAGATGATGATGGCTCCTTCTTGCGGTAGGGTGCCGTCTAAGTCGACCACATCACTAAATTCGAGCCGCATCGCGTCAGAGCAGTCGATCATCTCCTGCAAATCATCCAATAGATCACGTCGCCACTGAAAGTCCGGATCTACACACACGACCTTGTCCTGAAGCAGGCGTAATTCCGAGCGGTCCACCGCCTCACGGTTCCGCCTCAAATTATCGGCGAGATTAAATCCAACATCTTGTTCGAGCTCGTGGCTGTCCACAACGTAGTTCGTCGCCTCTAGGGGGCGACCGGCCTCGATGGTAGCCTCTACCCACTCGTGCGTCACTGCATGGTCCACGACGCAGCTGGCAGCGGTAAAAGTAAGCGAAAGTCGTAGCGGCTCCTCGCACACGATATGCGTAGCGTCGCGCGGCCGACCCACTATCCTGACGCCCGCGTTCCTCAGTCCCTGTAAAACGGACTCGCTAGGCAGGAAGTTGTCGTCGAAGAACACTTTGACATTCCCGGAGGTCGGCGAAGCGGGTTGGAGCGAGCGCTTCGCCGGTGGGAGAGAAGGTGGTGGCGGTACGCCGCCGGGCCGCGCGTGGTCCGGCGCCGCGCCCGGCGTCGCTGGCAGCGTCGGCGCGGTCGTCTCCTCCACAAATCCCTCTCCCATAGGTTGCATGGACATTTTCAGAGCTTGTTGCAGCTGGGACTGCTCGTCATCGTCCTCCATGACCACGTCGTCGTCACCGTCGTCTGCGCCACCCACAGCGGACCCACGCTTCACATAATACTGGCCCACTTGCGTTTGATGATCAAAGCGCTCGGTTGGCTGGCGCCGCCGCCGGCCCGCGAGCTGCTGGTCCCCAGGCGGCTGCGGGGGCGCCTCGTCGTCGCTGTTCGAGTCGCTGCGCAAGTCGTCGCCGTTCGAGCTACTGTCGGAGGGGTCGCTGCGGAGCGACTGGATCGGCGTACCGGTAGCCGTATAGAGAAAGTCATATCCGCTTGAAGGTTTCCCGCGCATCGCCCCCACGAACGCACTCGCCGACTTGTAGACTGTGCCCTCGTGCCTGATCCAACCGTTCTCGAGCAGTTCGCCTTCCTCTTGGTGATTGTGTTCCCTGAAGACGATGATGTCGCCCACGTTTAGGCTGCCCTTGTCAATGAGCTCTTTCAACGACAACAACGAGCCTCCTAGAAGATGCCCAGGCCAGGGCTCCGACAAAACCACAGTAGAATTATTCTGGATGTCGTAGTGCTGGAGCAAAGCTGCGTTTTGCATCGGTCTGCCGCCGATGGACTGCAGATGCTGATATTTTGACAGGGGAACATCCATCATCTGCTGGATCACGAGCATGAGGTCACCGACAGTCGCCCACGGCTTCACAAAAACAGAGGGCATCGCGCCCGAGGCGGTCATGACCAATATTTGTATCACTTTTTGCTCTTTCATACTATCGAGTCGATCTTCCTCCATGGCCTCCGCTAACAAGGGTTTGTCGGACAAGACTGCCTCCGGGTCCTGGACGCACGCCGCGTCCGCGACCGCCGCCGCGAGGCCCGCCTTCCGTAGCCCATCTAGTGAATCCGTCAACGCGCCCACGAGCCGCGCGACGGCCCGCGGCGAGTTCTGACACAACGCGACGTCGAGCGAAGCCGAGCCCTGGACGCACGCCGCGTCCGCGACCGCCGCCGCGAGGCCCGCCTTCCGTAGCCCATCTAATGAATCCGTCAACGCGCCCACGAGCCGCGCGACGGCCCGCGGCGAGTTCTGACACAACGCGACGTCGAGCGAAGCCGAGCCCTGGACGCACGCCGCGTCCGCGACCGCCGCCGCGAGGCCCGCCTTCCGTAGCCCATCTAGTGAATCCGTGAGCGCGCCCACGAGCCGCGCGACGGCCCGCGGCGAGTTCTGACACAACGCGACGTCGAGCGAAGCCGAGCCCTGGACGCACGCCGCGTCCGCGACCGCCACCGCGAGGCTCGCCGTCCGTAGCCCATCTAATGAATCCGTCAACGCGCCCACGAGCCGCGCGCCGCCAGCCCGCTGGCAGAGGTTTCCCGAGAAGACGTCTAGGCCGTCCGAAGAATTATACCATGGCACGTCCGGCGCCGCGCCCACGACTACCGGTTGCCCGCGAAGCGCAGCGACGCCGAAGAGGCCCTTGAACACGCCGTCGAGCGCCGCGGCCGCCGACGCGTCCAGCAAGAGGGCGTTGAGTCCCTCCGAACCACCCAAGAAGACCACCGTGGGCGCCGCGCCCATGAAGCCCGTCTTGTGAAGCACATTTGAGTTCGTCAGCACGTCCAGAGATAGCGCGTCGCCGAGGACGTCCAGCGAGAAAACGTAGCCCCCGACGACATCGATAGGAGTCGAGCCCTGGAAGAACGCCACGCCCAGCGCCGCGAGCACGGCCTGGCCCAGCGCCGCAAGTGCCGCGTGCTGGCCCTCGAAGGACGCCTCGCCGGGCGCAGCAGTCGCCGCGCCGTCGAAGGCGGAAGTAGAAGGCAGCGCCAGAAGCCCATGAGACACCACCACATCTTTGTTAGGAATGTTGTTTAGGAACATCAAGTTGTGTTTGAAGGTCTCAGCCATCAGGTGGGTCACCTTCAATGACACCTTGTGTTGACGACGGAAGGCCAATTGCTGAATTATATATCGCAGTTTCAACCGCAGTTTCAACCGTCCTAATTTTAGAGAATAAGTCACTTGTAGGTCTTCACGGTAAATGTAATCTAATTTAGGAACACGATCTTCTTTTAGGTAAATCGTTTTGATACCACCGGCACCCTTCCCGCGGTGATTGCGGCCGGCGCCGATGTCGTCGGCGTCGATGTCGTCGATGAAGTCCGTCAGCTCGTCGTAGGACACGCGGCCCGCGCCGTTCAGATCCATGTCTCCAAACAGCGCCTCGAGCTCCTCGAGCTTCCGGAACTTGCCCGTTCTATCTTTCTTGGCAAAGGACTTGAGCGCGGCGTTCACCTCTTTCTTCGACAGGCCGTCATCACCAGACTTATGCGCGTCGAAGTGCGTCTTCAGAGCCCCCACGAAGGTCGTGCGACGCTCTTGTTTATTAATATAGTGATTACCGCGCAGCACGACGTTGCAAATCTTAGAGTCACGTTCATCCTTTGGATCAAGATCTTCTACTTTGTAGGAAATAACTGGTTTATCGGTAGATTCGCATGGCGACCAATAAACGTCTTCCTCGACAGATGTAGTGGTAGAGATGGTTGTGGTCTTAGAAATAAGAGAGGGGACTTCGCTTTCCACACGAAGAGAGCCAAACTTGTTTGAGCCATCATCTACGATCACGGTCTTGGGCGGCGGAACGCTCAATTTTACTGTTTTTTTGGGCGGTTTAAAACCCTGAACACCCTCGCGACGTTCTTTCCGATTCGGCTCTTCGTTGGTAGCCTTCGCCTTCAGACCTTTGATGAAAAGGCGTTCATCTTGATCACGCTTACGTCGGTTGCGGCGTTCTTTCACACGTTTGAAATGGCGTGGACGGTAACGTTTCTTCGTATCAGCATCTAGATCGACGGGCTTCGTCGGATATGACGAGCCCGACCCGTTTCCACCCAAAGCAATTACCGTCGACGGACCGCCGCCGCCGTCTTGGGGCCCCAAGGCCTTCTTGTGCGCATCTTTGGTCCCGCCGGGCCCGCTCCCGACATCTCCCGTTCGTGGCGAAGCGCCACGGTCCATCTTCGGCCGTCGCGTGCCTCGCGGAGGCGGTGGCCTTTGTGGGCTTGGTGCTGCCCTTCAGTGGACTTCCTGCTGCTTTTTGGGGCAGCAGACACTTGCGCAGCGTGCTCGGCGTCCGTGGCTCGCTCGTGTCGAGCTCGTTGGCGAACTTGTGCGGAAGGCACAACTAGGCCACCAGCCAAACCTGGGCTTTTGCTTGCTAGTGTCTCAACAGACGCTAGCGCTTTATTTTTTTTTGCGTTTGCGCTTTTTCTTTTTTTTTGTTGGCGCATCGGCGGAATCGCTGCCGGAGCCGCTGGCACTCGATTGGGCTGCCATCTTGGCCCTTCTGCAGTGGTGGTTTACCTTCTACACGCCCGAGGCGAGGCGCAACACAGGCAAACAGAATGCCAGCGCCCGGGCCCGACAGCGCCGCTTACTTTTTTTGGGACCGCGCCAGGATGAGTCTTCCTGGCGCTGTACTGCTCGGGGACCGGTCGGGGAGGCGCATGGAGACATAATAAATTGAGCGTAGTGCCCACCCCGCCCCCGGCCCCCGGCCCTCGCACGCCGTCGCCCCGAGCCTTAGTCACGCCGAAGCATGCCGATGCGGCGCCTCCGCGAGGAGTAGACTATGTCACGATTTCCCCCCCTTCTTCTTCTTCGCCTTCGTAGCCTTCGCGGGCGCGTCGTCCTCGTCGTCGTCATCGACCACCGTTTGCTTGCGCGCCGACGGGATCTCCTCCAACCAAGGAGTGGGATTCCGGTTGAAGATGGGCCAGTCGGGCACGCAGATGAGCATGGCCAATACTAAACCGGCGAGCCACCCATAAAAAGTGGTTTTGAAGTCCTGCGCGAGGTACCCAAAGACCCACGCGACGGACCCGACGGCCGGGATCAGTACTAGATAAATTTGTTCCGAGAGCTTCTGGCCCTTGTAGTCCATGCCGCCCTTGCCCATGGTGGCTCGTTGTGGCGCGCTGCGCTTTCGTGTAGTGCTGCTTGTTGCTGCTACTTTGCACCGCAGCCGCCTGCGTCTCCGCTACGAAGCGATGCGCTGCGGCGTCGCGTGCAAGCAATGCGTACGAGCGCTACGATGCCGTTGCTTGAAGCGCTGCTACAGCACTCGCTGAGCGCCGCCGCTGCCTTGCTGCATTTGCTAGTGTCTTACTGCCGCTAGCTCGAGTTTGGACAGAGCTGCTCGCAGGGCGTTGCCAGCGATCATTTGAGAGTACGACGGCTCCTTTGATGGGCGGCACGCGCGCGCTGGATGGAACCGACCGGTTGCGTTGGGCTGAGGTCAGAAGCATAAAAAAGGTAGCTGTCCGGGAAGCCGAGGAGCATAGAGGCTTCGAAAACGCTGTCAATAGTGTCCATAGTGTCCATAGTAACATGTCATGATGCGATTTCTTTGTTTGATAAGCGTGTGTGCCGCTTTGCGGACGCCGGCCCCGTTGAGCAAAATGACGAACGCGGCGCAGCGGACGCTCGCGAACCTCCCGGCGGTACGAACGGCCGTAGTAGACGCAGCGCACCGCGCCCTCGACGGCTGCGGCGTGTCGGTTCCTGTAAATGACCCGTCGGCGTCGCCGGAAGCGGTCAAGGCCCAGGTCGGCGCCGTCGCCGCGACGATCAAAGCCAAGACCCACGAGGTCACGAAAGAGGCGCTCCACGAGCTCACGGACGTCGTCGACCACGTGAGAGCGGCGACGCCGTCCCTCCGGAACCTCCGAGGTAAAAAGAACAACATCCTCAAGGCGCCCGAGGAGCGCATCCAGGCCGAGGGCCACGCCGACGTGGCCCGGGCGGCCATGGACGCTGTTTTACCGGCATCGGTGGCGCTGCTCGCGCTGGGCGCGGCCGGCGCGGCGCCGTGGCCCGCGGCGGCGTGGGCCCTCGCCGAGGTTTGTAGTAGGTCCTACGCGTTTGTGGTGGACGACGTTGGCGGGAAGGAGACCGTGCCGCCGCCGTCCGGGAACACGCGGTTATTATGGCGACGATGTCTGGAGAACTGCGACGACGTCGTTTCCTATGTGGAGGGCTGGTTCTACGGTGCACAATTTGATTCCCTTACGAGAGGAGACATCGAGGCGTGGCTGTCGGGCAACGTGTTTGGTGCTGCGGCATCGGACCATCGCCAGAAGCGGCAGCTGAGCTGGATGGTCCGTGGGTCAGAGCATAAAATGAACTTGAACGTGATGTGGTCGCGGCGGTGGCGTCTTCATGAGACCACGTCGCCTCGACGCCGTCGACGTGGCCGTCGGAGAGTCTACGCGTCTCGTGAACGAATACGGTATCAATCAACGCAGGTCGAGCGCCTCGAGGAGCGCCTAAGCAGCGACCGGCAGACATCGTTTGTCTTCCCATCTGGAGATGCAACACACGAGTACATGTGCGCCCAGCAGGCGTCGGCGCCGAGCAAGCACCACCCGCTCCTCGTCTACGCCATCGTCGACGCCGCGAAGAACGCCCAGTTTTTGGCGTTAAAAAAGCGGGGCTTCAAGCGCTACTCGACGGGCACATCGACCTACTGGCGCCGCGAAGCCCAGGAACCGGTGGACGGCGCCACACCCCTAATCTTCGCGCACGGAATTGGGATTGGATTCCTGCCCTATCACAACCTCATCGGGGATCTGGTCGACGGGTGCGAGAGCGACGGGGCGCCCATGTACCTGTTGGAGTTGCCCGCGCTCGCCTTGACGCGTTTTGGTAGAGAACTCCCGTCACCCAAGGAATTAGGTGAGGCGGCGTCGCGCATGTTAACTGAACATGACGACCCGGCGGCCTGCTGGGTGGGGCACTCCTTCGGGACCGTCGCGATTACCTACGCGCTGAAGTACGCCCCTTCTACGGTCGCGTCGTGCGCTCTGATCGAGCCCGTTTGCTTCCACCTGCACTTACCAGATGTCTCTAGAGGTTTCTTATTTAAGGAGACGCAGGATCCCATTTTGGACATCCTGCGGACGGACCCGGCCATCTCGTTCAGTCTGAGGAAGCGCTTCTGGTGGCAGGAGGCCGTGCTCTGGGTCGAGGACCTGCGGGGGCGCAAGTGCGACGTGTTTTTGAGCTCGAAAGATGATATTGTCCCTTCGGCGTCCGTGGTGGAGTATTTGAAGGATACTGACGTAGGAGTACATAACCTGGGCGAACGGGGCCACGGCACCTGGCAATACGATGCTGACGTCGCTGCGGATGTCATTTCCAAGGCACTGGCGCTACGACGGCAACCGAGCGAAAAAAGATTGAGTATTAAATGGCCCGGCGACGACGTGTCCATCGTAGATTCGCTCCGTTCGTCCTTGCCGGACCCCGAGCCCTTCGTCGATGTTATGTCGAGGGCGTTGTACGGGGACGTCTACGGGGCGGTCTAAAGTTAATAACAAGTCACCTTAGGTCCGGCGGCACGCGCTTCCCCGCGAAGTACGCGTTCCGCACGTCTGCGGAAGACACGAGGCGTACCATGTCCGCGTGGCGCCCGACCGCGCCCTTGATCAGGTTCCAGGCCTGTGTGTTCACGCGTCGCGGCGATGGCGTACCGATAGGCGAGTTTCGCGCAGCTCATACGCCGTCGACGCGACTCGGCGCTCGCAATCGGGGAAGGGACGCGTCGGACGCTGCAAACGCACCGCCTCGAAGAGAACCGGCGGCGGATCCACCAGAGCGACCTGGCCAAGCCGCTTCGGGAAGTAGCTCCGCAGCGTCATGATGAGCCACAGTAAAAAAGGCACGTCGACGTTCTGCGGGCCCACCTGCCGCAGGTCCACGAGCGCCAAAACCTGCTCGCCGCCCTCCTTGACGGCCTCGGCGATGGCGTCTTCGAGGACGGCCACGCAGAGTGCTTGCGACGCCTTGAGGTCCCGCCTCATCGCGTCATGTCGGCGTGCCACTACCACCACGGTCGGGCGGTTGAGCGCGTCCTTCTCCCTTGCCAAGTAGCCGACTCGTCGTCGCGCCTCGGGGGCCGCGCGCCGCATCAACGCGTCTCGGTCAGCACCTAAGCCGCCCCGGTCCTTCCTCCACCTTAGATACTGTACAACCTTCTCGACCGCCTCCCTGGCGTCGCCCCGCCGGTCGCGCGCGAACCAGGTCAGCTCGTCGTCTGATAGTGGCTTTGTACGCGCGTCCTCACGCATTGCGGCGACGGCGCGCGCGGTGGCGGCGTCGTCTAGTAAGGGTGCCGTGGTCGTTCCCAAGTCTTGAGTTACGGTGCTGTGGAGCCGTGTGCGGCTCGGGCGCGTCGGCGGCGCGACGAGGCCGCAGACGGCTGGCACTGCAAGGAGTGCAGCGCAGCGTACGGTGGACGGCATCGCTTCGGGACTCCTCAGGTCGGTGCGGGTACTGTCTGAGATCTTACCAGAGAGTGCTTTGTACGTAAGTTATCAATAGTGCGCAACACGGCCGCTGCAAAGTGTGCTTGCGCTTGCTAGTGCCTTACAATACGCTAGCACGTTTTTTTTGGCTGCTTTGTGTTTTCACTTGTACGTGCGTTACCGGCGTGCCCACGCTGTGAGGAGCAAGCCCTAGACCGCTGCTACTGCGGCGCGCCTCTGGAGGTTGCGTCAAACCGCTGCAGGCAGCACCCACACTGCCCGAGCTGGGGCCACATATTTGTCTGCAGCCCGCAGCACGCCGGAGGTTGCCAGACGTGCAGCAATACGCGCCCGCCGCCGCCGCGAACGCGTCAAAAAATGAAGAAAAAGGCCTCGCAGCGCGGCTCCCTCCGCCTCACGTCGGACAAGGCCGAGCGACTGCGCGCGTTCCGCGAGGCGCCCGCCGACGACGGCCGCCGCCCGCGACCGGAGCCGGCGCACGTCGTTTTGGCAAGGGCGCAGGCCGCCGAGGCCGAGCGCCTGCGACGCGCCCGCGCGCCCAAGGCCGAAGCCAGCAGCCGCGCGCTCACGGTCAAAGACGAGCCCGCAAAAGAGGAGCCGTCGCAGGCCCTCGTGGCTATTGACAACGAAGCCAAGGCTAGACGAGAAGCGGAACGGAAGGAAGAGAGACGAAAGAAAAAGGAGCGCGAGCTTTTCGCGCCCGATGCCAAGGGCGAGACGGCCCTGCACCGCGCCGTCCTCGCGGGCGACTCTACGGAATTGCGACGGCTCCTAGGCCTGCCTTCCTGTAGAGTAGACTGCCCGAATTTTTATGGAGATGCAGCGATCCACGCCGCGGCTCAATTAGGACACATCGAGAGCCTGACCATCCTCAGAGATGCAAATGCACAAACTGATAGGAGGAACCGCCACGGCCTGACGCCACTGTGCCTCGCGGCGTCGAAGGGCCACAGCCAGGCCGTCGTGATCATCGCCCATAATTTGACCAAGAGGGCCATTAACGCGTATTGCGGGGGCTACACCGCTTTACATTGGTGCTGCGTGACGGGTATCGACGCGGCCTGCGGCTTCCTGGCGAAGAAGGGCGCCGACGCGTCACTACGGGCCGAGCCCGACGGCGAGACGTGTTTGTATAAGGCCGCGACGTACTCCCACACGCCGTGCGTCGACATTTTGCTCGATGCTGGTTGTGATGCGAACGCGACGAACAGCGACGGCGCCACCGCATTGCTAGCCTGCGCCGCGTCGGGCGACTACGCGTCGCTGGACTTGCTCATAGCGCGCGGCGGCGACGTCCACAAAGCGGATCTGTCGGGCCGCACACCTCTGGGCGTCGCGGCCCAAAAGGGCAATCTGTCCTGCGTGTCGCGCCTCGCCGCCGCCGGCGCGTTTTCATCATCAACGACGCCCGCCGGCGACACGCTCGTCGACCGCTTCCTCTACAAGTTGAGCTTCCCCTTCGCGAAGAAGGAGGGGTCCGAGGACGTCGCGCCGGGGGGCTGTACTGGGTGATAATAGTTGTGCTTGTATTTATCCTTCGCGGGCGCTTAGCGCGGCTCGCGCTTCTTGCAGTACCTCCCCAGTCCCCGCTGTGGTCGGGTGCGCGCCGCCAAGCACGCGCCGCGCGGCCCGTTCCGTCTCCTCGAGCGTCGTCACGGCCTCGCGGAGATCCTCGAGCGTGGCGCCGGGGTCCCTGTAGATCGCCGCCGCGTAACCCAATCTCATCCTGAGCGTGAGATCCTTATTCTCTCCGAGAACGCGCCGCGCCACAGGTATCGTTTTGAGCAACAGGGATTTGGCTTCTCCGAAGCGATCTGTTGTAAGAAGGGACGACGCGTAGTTGTTGGCCGCTCGGAGGGTCTCTTCATGTTCTTCGCCGCTGAGCCTCAACCGTCCGGAGTATACGTCTCGCTTCATCTGTAGGGCCTCTTCAAGCCGTCCTAGAGCATCATATGTGATCGCAAGATTGCCCTGCACGATGAGTATGTTGTGTTCTGAATCGCCAAGGCGCCGTTTCATAGCCAACTCGGCCTCTCTCACGGACAACGCGTCCTCGTTGTGTTTTGCAGAGAATAAACCGTTCCCAAGGACGCTCATCGCACTCATCCGAGCCACGTCCGCCTCCGGCCGGCCCACGTACGTCTTCCAGCACGCCCAGCTGAGCGCGCCGCACACGGCGCCGTGGTATTGTTGTTCACACAGACTGCACACGAACCACCGCGCAAACCTCTCATGCTGCACCTTGATATCCAAATTGTTCTCCTCGGCCTCCGCGACCAAAATCTTCGCCTGCTCCGCCAAGCACGACACGTGCGCAAAACCCGCCGTCCCGCGACACGAACAGCCGCGCACGAGGCCCTCCTTCGTCTTCCAATGGAGGGCCTGCGTGCAGATGTAGCACGTCTGGCCCTTCGTGTCCTCCGCGCACGCCTCCGCAGCAGCTCCGACAGCCTCCGTGTACTTCTCATTTGCGTTGTATTGCTCGGCGCCGCCTGCCTTTTTTATTTTCCTGCAGAGCTTGTCATGGCCACCCTCTTCCCAGTGTTGTTTCTGGCAGTCGGCGCCGCAGTAGCGCGTGCTGCAGCGGCCGCATTTCTTGCCCAATGATAAGCCGAGCTCGGTGGCGCAGACGGCGCACTGCGTGAGGATCATCTTGTCTGGTCAAATCGCTCGGGGGCAGCCCTACGATGCAAAATGCCTGCAAAAAGCCTTGAGCAGCAGCTGCTCAAAGGCTAGTGCGTTACAGCCGCTAGCTGTCGCAAAGGGCGCGCGGCCCTTATCCTTCACCGCAGGCGCGGATCCGTGCGCCGCCGGGGGGCCGCGCCGCCCGCCCCGCACGTTTCCTCGTCTTGGCGCCGCGCCACCCTGGATCAAAAGCGGCGCAAACGCGACGAGGGCAGCCTGCGGGGCAGCGATAAGCCAACGAACGCGTCGTTCGCAGCACTTGCGGCCACCGCTACGACGCTGCGTTCGTCGCAACCGCACCGATTTTAAAGTGAGAGGGAGGGCCCGCCGGCCGCGGATCGGTAGGATGCCGTCCTACACGATCCGCGCGACGGACAAGGAGACGGGCGAGGTCCGCCTCATGAAGGTCCAGGCCGGCACGCCCATGACGGAAGTCATAAAGCAGTACGCCGCACTTTCGGGAATTGACGAGGCCGAGTGCCGCTTTCTGGTCGGCGGCAGGCCCCTGAAGACGGACAAGCCGCTCGACGAGCAGGTCGCGCTCACGGCGACGCAGCCGCCGCCCTCCGCCGTTATTGATGATGGCGACGAGGGCGACTGCTCGTGCTCGTGCATGCCGTCGATGGGCTAGGGCTGGGTTAATGAAAAAGAAGCATAGTGTGTCCCGCTGCTAGGGCGATCTCTTACCGTCCTAGTACAGGGCGGGTGTGTGTGTGTATGTGTGCGGCCGCGAAAACCCGTTTAGTGGAATTGATTTTTTGCGAGCAGCATTTTGCAGTAAATAGCTTTTACGCCCGCCGTAGGCTACCAGAGCTCATTGTTGTACTTGCTACGCGTCTCCAGACCTCGGCGCACCACGCTCTCAACAGCTGCGATCCCCGCCGCCGCTTGCAGGACCGTTCTAGCAGCAAGCCTGCACAGCCCTCTCTGCTGCTGCCGCGCGCGCGGGCCAGCCGCCGACGCCATCGACGCGCCACGAGGAGAACGCCGTCGACACGTGAGTCCTACCGGCCACAGCACTCGAGGCAAACACCACTACGAAGCAGACAGCAAGAAACGATGGGCGACACCGCCCACGTCCTCGAGCACCCGAGCGGCGACGGCATCAAAGTGACGATATTACCGCTCGGCGCGACGATCACGTCAGTAAGAGTGCCGGACAAGCACGGGAATCGGGGCGAGTGCGTCCTCGGCTTCGATCGGGAGGAGCCGTATTTAGGAAAGAATCCGTTCTTCGGCAGTGTCGCGGGTCGCGTGGCGAACCGCACGGCCAATGCGGAATTTTCCCTCGATGGGAAGACCTATGAATTACATGCCAACAACGGCCACCACCACCTCCACGGCGGCAAGGAGGGTTTCAACCGGAAGTGGTGGGCCGTCGTCGAGTCGACGGCGACGCAGCTGACGCTGGCTCTACGGTCACCGGACGGCGACGAGGGCTACCCCGGCACGCTCGACGTGCGCGTGACCTACTCCCTACCGACGGAAAACACTCTGAAGATCGACTATGCCGCCACGACGGACAAGGCGACGCCCTTGAACCTCACGAATCATGCGTATTGGAACCTCGAGGACGGCGGGGCGTCGTCCGTCGACAAGCACGTCATCCGCCTCGAGGCTCAATTTTATACACCTACGGATGATGATTCCATCCCGACCGGAGAAGTGAGAGCGGTCAAGGGCACGCCCATGGACTACTGCTCGGCCCCCCGGGTTGTGGGGGATGGAATACTCGAATGTGATCAGGGCAACGGCGCCGATCATAATTTTGTGCTCTCCGGTGCCGCCTCCGAGGAGGGCCTGCGGCCGGTCGCGACGCTCTGGTCGGAAAAGAGCGGGCGGCTCATGAAGGTCTGGACGACGGAGCCGGGCGTGCAGTTCTACACGGGCAATTTCCTGGCTCGCATCGGTGTCTCGTCGAAGGCGCCTTGAGTGTTTGCCGTGGCCCCGACGCCATCGACGCGGTCGATGTCACACAGGACGGCACGTTGCGCCGCAGCGACGGCGCCAAGGGCTCGCCAAGTGTGGGCATTCCCTACAGCAAAAGAGCCGGCCTCTGTCTGGAATGCCAGCACTTCCCAGATTCGATCCACAGACCTCATTTCCCCAACATTGTGCTGCGGCCGGGCGAGACGTATACGCAGACGACGGTGCACGAGTTCTCCTGCGCCGCGTCGCAGAGTTCGGCCTTCGGCGCGAGCGGCGGCTTCTTCGCGTCGCTCTTCTAGTGTGTAAGTGACTGTATACAACATGGGTTAGGCCCCTAGAGCCAGAAGAAAAAGATCTGCAGCGCCTTCAGAAGGCGCGACCCGCGCGGCTTCTTCTCCGCGAGGACGAGGAGCGTGTGCCGGAGGGCCGCCGCGGCGGGCGCGCCCATGTCTCTTGGTGCGCAGAGCCTCGCGGCGATGGCGGCCGCCGCTACCTTGGCCTCTCCCGAGACGCGCGCCTTGCCGCCGTCGAGCACGACGAGAGCAGCATCTATCGCCTCCTCCGCCGCTTGGGCCGTCTTGGCGCGCTTCACGTGAGGTTGAGTCTTCGGCGACGAGTCGGCGGCATCTCTGGCGACATTTTTGCGGTTCTTCGACAAGGCGGCAACGGCCTCGGCGCACGCGGCTTTATCATCGAGCGCCGTCGCATCCGCCCGCGACTCCGCGAGCAGCGCCGCCGCCGCCTTGTCCGCTTTGGCTATTTTGGCCTGAGTTTCGGCGTCGCTCGCGTTCGCGAAGATGCGCAGGAACGATGACGTTACCGCGGTCCAAGAGTAGGCGTCGCCCTTCACTCGGCGCGTGTAGGCGGGCTCGAGGTCCATGGCTTCGGACCAGCGCGTGATGGCCGGTCGGCCCGCGTCGAGCGCCGGAAACTCCGGCTTGAGCACCTTGAGTTGTTCTCCAAACCGCTCGAGCGTCGGAGCCAGGGCCAGATCGGCCGCGGAGAGCTCGCCGCCGCGCACGAACGGACCGCCCGACGACGCAAGCACTCCATCGAGCGCGTCGAGCGCCGCCGCGAAGCGGGCCCCCTTGTCGTCGGCCGTACCGTTCCGCGCGCCGTACACAAATCCCACGGACGCGTTCAGGACCTCGACGACTTCCGCGACCTCCTCGTCGGCGGAGCGCAAAGGCGTCTCGGCGAATTTTGCATCCATGGCTTCGAGGATGTCCTTCGATTCCCACACGAGCGCGCCGCTGCCCGGGGTGTCGGCATCCCAGTTCTCGTCGTGCCACTCGATCGCCGGCACGAGCGTCGTCGGCACTATATCGAGGTACCACTGGGGCTTGTCCTGGAGGTTGATGAGCTTCTCGTCGTACCTGCGCAACGTGTTGCGTCGATGGCGTCGACGCGGCCGCATGTAATCGATTCATAGACGCCGTGTCACGCACGGGATGCCTTTTTTCTCGAGTCCGATCCACACGCGCTCGCAGAAGGGGCACCAGCCGTTGGTATCTCTGTAGAGTGTCAGCACGGGCTCCTCCGTCGTGGCTGTCGCGGCGAGAGGGCTGGAGCGTCTTGCACCATGACTCAGGGGCTGCACGGATGCCTGAAACGCGCAGGCCTGCCCGAGCCACTGCCCGAGCAATAGCACAGCCGCGCGAGCGATCATTGTAGCTTCTGCGACGATGAATTCGATATGGCAACGGTGTGCACCGCGTTTTTATGCGATGACTGGGCTTCCAGAGCTAGCCGTCCTGTAAGACGACACTAGCAGTAAGGTATGGCTCTTTGGCGCCCAACACGCTGCCGCCGCAACAAAAAAGCAGGAAAACCGATTTGATTTACACGACCGTGAACACGAGCCCGTGCTGCGCGCGGTCCAGGTACCACCGCGTCCGCCCGGCGCCGTTCTGGCCGTAGTACTGCGTCTGCGCCGAATGCGCCAAATCCACCGGCCGCCACCGGTGGGCCCGGATGTCAAAGGCCTCCGCGTCGGCGCCGACGTCGCCCGTCTCGCCGTAGCCGCCGTGCACCACGAAGTTTCCGGTCGCATCAAAGGCCGCCGCCACATAACCGCGGCCGCGCGCCATGGGCGGCAACAGCTCCCATCGTGCCGTCCTCAAGTCCCAGCGCTCCGCCGAGGCCAAGGCGTCCTGGCCGTCGGGCGAGCCACCCGCCGCATAGACGCAGCTGTCCGGACCGGCACCGACGCCGGCCCCCGTCCTCCTGAAATTCATCTTCGAGCCGTTTACCCACCTCTCACCCGAACAAACCTCGACGCTGTCGAGGTACGCATCACCGCCGCCGTACCCGCCGCACGCCACGACGTGCTTTGAAACAGAGGCGAGGCCGTGACCACATCTAGCATAAGTTAACGACGGAAACGCCGCCCACGATGTCCCCTCATCGGCAAGATCCAAGATTTCGCACTCGCGAGAAGCCGTACCGCCGACCCATAAAGTGTCCCCTCCACCGACGACGAGGATAGCATTGTCTAAGAATGGAGGAGCAGCAGCGGCAGCAAAGCACCGCGCCGCGTCCATCCTCGGCCCGCGCCGCCACCTCCGGGAAGCATCCAAGAACTCGCAGTCCTGCAGCGCTTCACCGTCCGCCCATCCTCCGCAGAGCCAGACGTCGCCGTTATTGGCTCTACACGCGGCTGGAGCGTTCCGCGCCGTGCTACAATCGTGCAGGCGGGGCACACCTAACGCTCGTAAGGCGTCGTCATGGCGCCGTCGCGCCATCTCCTCGGTCGGTCGAGGTGGGGCGGGTCGCACGGCGGCCGCGTCCGCCGTCGGTGCCGCTTCCTCTCGTGTCCCGCAAGCTAACACGAAGGAGCCGTCTTCTTCCAAGAGTCTCAAAGCGCCGGCCGGCGCCGCGTTGCGCGGTCGCGGCCCGTCGGGCTTCGACGCGGACGGCCAGAGCCAGGAGAAGCGCCTTTGGAGTTGCGCGCGGCCCGCATCTCCCGCAGCAGTCCGCAGGGCCTTCGACGCGCTCGCCGCGGCACTCAGCGCCGCGCCGTCGGCGTGCTTCAAAACTTCGTCGCGCACGATCGACTGCGGGATCGCCTCGAAGGTCGTGCCGGGCTCTTCTTCGAGGCCGGAGCCGTAGCCGCAGAGCATGGCGTCGGCGAGTTGCGGCATCGGTGGCGCGCGGTTGTTGGATACTTGCGCTGCGGCGTCGTCCGCGCTGAAACTGGGGAGGGGTTGCTGTGGGCCACACTGGCTGTGCGGCACTCGCGCCGAAGTTTCCGAGCCCTACCGCGGGGTCACGATGGTGTAACAGACAGTCCGACCGGGCCGATAACAGCGCTGTGTGCCGAGCTGCAGGGCAACAGCGTCGACGAGCTTTTTGGGGCTAGTACCTTACTATGCCGCTAGCTGATGCAAGCATGCAAGCGCAAAAAGCAAGTGGTGTGTAGCTGTGCAAAATTACAAGTTGGGTGCTTGCAGGGCCTACAGTGCTCCGTTTCTCTCAGCTCTGCACCATTTCTTTAGCAAGGACGCGACGTTCGGCTCTGTGCACAGTGCAGCCTTTGCAGCAGCCTTTTGCCATCGAGGCTAGCGCTAATCGCTGCGTTTGAGCTCTCATTAATAGAGACAATTTATAGCTCCATCGATGCCAGACAGCGCCGACGGTGCCTTAAGGGCGTCAGCAATCGCATTGCTGCAAGCGCGGCGCGCGGGCCGCGTGAACGCCGACGACGAGGAAGCCGTGCTCACCGCCGCGCGACACAGCGGCATTTCGGCGGCGGCTGCCGCGATCGCTGCGCGCGACTGCGCGCTCGCGGGCCTCACAACCGACGAGCCGTTCGCGCGCCTCGCGGCGATCGTCTCGCGCCGCTGCAACGAGGCTCCGGCGGCGGCACGCGCACAATGCGGCCTCGCCGCGCTGCGGCTCCCGCGACGGACGTGGCGACGGCTCGGCGGCAAGGTCAGCTTCAGCGACGACGCGGCGCTCGCGGAGCTCTGGGACTACTCCAAATCGCGCAAGAAGGTGACGCAAACACCGAGCGCCCGCGGCGGCTTCGCGTGGCCTCCTGTGTTCGAGGACCCGTCGAGGCCTCTCGTCGTCGACGCGGGGTGCGGCTTCGGCGCCCTCGCGGTCTCGCTCGCGAAAGTACGCCCCCACGTGAACGTCCTGGCCGTGGACCGCGCCGCGCACTGCCTGCTCTACGGTGACGGTCTCGCGCATCGCCTGGGGATGACGGGGCGCCTGCGTTTTGCATGTGCCTCCGCGGATGAAGCCTTGCATTGGGTGCGCGAGTGCTACGCGGGGCCTCTTCGCGCGGTGCTGTTCATGTTTCCGACGCCCCCAGCGCTCGACGAGCGCAGCAAAAATGCGCAGCTGCCCCAGACGCCGTCGAAGTGCCTCGTCAACGCGGCGACGCTGCGGCTCGCGGCGCGCGCCGGGTCGAGTGAGACGTGCGTCCTCGTGGCGAGCAACGTCGAGGATGTTGCCGTCCGGACGCGCGACCTGCTCGCGAGTCTGCCGGAATTCCGCGTCCTCCAAGCAAAGGAGTGCGGCCTCGCGTGGCCTCGAACGCCGGTCGACGGCGACGCCGCGCTGCGGACGAAGCGCTGGGTGGAGCTCGGCGGCGCCCGGGCCGTCGGCGGGGACTTTCTTGCGGCGTCGCCTCTGCCGGCGCGGACGGAGACGGAGGGGCGGTACGAGGCATATGGGCGGCCGGTATACCGCGTTGCGGGAGTTGTGTGTGTAAGGTGAATCCTAGTGTCTTACAGACGCTAGCGCGCTCGCGCCTGCTCTTGGCATTGATCTAGTACTCACAGCGCAGAGACAAGTGTGAGGTAGCGCTCGTAGGATTCACAGCAGACATCATCTCTTAGCGGCGAGCGGCTGCGCGCACGCTGGAGTCGCCCGGAGCCTGTGCGCCGAGGTGACCCATCAGGCACATCCTCCATGGAGAGCAGCACGCCAAGTCAAGAAGAGAAGTGGGAGGGGTTAAGGGTGCGATGCCCGCCGCTGGATGCGCTGGTAACTATGCAGTTGAGGAATGTTCGTAGAGCCCAGATAGAAAGCAACCACCGCTCGTTTTTTGCCGGCCCGTTTGATGCGCTACTCGTGGGCACCTGCGGTGTGCAGGCGTGGTCGGCGCCGCTCGTGCGACTGCTGAGCGCTGATGCCCGCAAAGTTGTGGAGTCGTTCCTACGGCCGCGGATCACGGAGCGCGCGGCCACCGTGCTGCGGAACGCCGCAGAGAAGTTCCTGACGGGAGTTTTTAACTCGGCTTTGATGGTCGCATGTGACTGCCGCAATGCGACGGTCGTGTGGCCGTGCGACATCGAGGACGCGATCAAGATATGTGGTTTTGATAGAGTTGCGGGGACGGGCCGACCGCAAGCGGGCTGCGCCTGCGCCGGGCTGGTTTCGGCGTCGACGGCATCGACGCATCCCGCGCCGCCCGATGTTACGAATTCGGAAGAGGCGCAGACGGCGCCCGCGGTCGTGTGGCGCCGCCGACCGATGACGTGGTGCGAGGCGGCTCCGCTCGACGGTTCGTCGCCGCAGTGCGCCATCCGTCGATCGATGCGGTGGATCGCGAGCCGCGCGGGCATCACACACCTCGCGCCAGGCGCGCTCGACGCGGCGTCCTCGGCATTGTGCGCTTTTCTATCTACTGTCATCGCGAAGGCCCGCGGCGTCGGGCACCCGTTGCTGCGTGAAGCCGCGGAGTCCGATTTGAGAGTTGAACGGCTCGTGGCCCTCGTCCACACGTCTTGCGCGGCGCCGCTTTCCTCTGACGACGAGAGCGAGGCCGAGTCCGACGAGAGCGAGCGGGAACCTTGGATGACGGATGACTCAGATTCGGATGCGTCGGACATACGTTACGCGTGGGAGCATACGCTACGGACGCGCTGGACTGAAGCGCCGGGATACGAACTGACGGAGAGCGTGGTACTTCGCGCGCTCGCGGGACTTGATTACGCTGTTTTCAGCGACCGTCAGCCTCTCAGCGACATGGCCGCCGACTACTACAAGCGGTGTTCCCGGGACGTGCTGGGTATGCTGCGTGACGGGGTCCTTGATATGGAGCAGTTTGCGACGGACCGGGGCGAAGGAGAAGGCATCGACGACCGCTACTTCGGGCTCCGGCTGACGAAGTCTGCTACGCAAGGGCCTCAGGATCCCGTCCCCGAGCGGTGGTGCGGCGCGGTCGGGTGCCCCTGCCCAAGTTGCGGTAGAGAGTGCCTACTCTGGCTCGTCACGTATGCAGGGAGAGCCGAAGTGATCTCAGTGCAGCCCGTGGTCGACCTGGACGCGGTCCGCGTCGCAGAGAGGCACGCAGGGGAACGCTGGACGGGCTGCGTTTATGTTGACCGCGATCCGCCTGCCGCGCCTTCGAAGCTCTCGACCGTGCTCCCGGCGCGCCAGCGCCCCCTGCGCCAGGGGATGGGCGGCGCTGATCTCACGGCACGGGCCCAAAGGACTTTGACGGAGACTGCCGCGCGCCGCGCGGGATTTACACACTGGGCCCCGGAAGTCGAAGGCCTCGTCGGCGAGCTCGTCAAGAAGTGGGGCGTGGAGATCGCAGTGCTAGCGAGAGGTTTTCATCTGCACGAGACATCCAACCGCGAACCGCGGACGATCGTTTACCGTCAAGTTGCTGAGGACTCCATAGGCACAGACGAGTTACTTATGGAGGAGGTCCAGCGCGAAATTTCGGTCGCGGCGTATTCCGGTCCGCTCACCTTCTCCAACGTCGCGCGCGCGGTTGTTACGTTGCTGGAAAGGACGCAGAAACGGTTGCCAGTGTTGTATGTGCGACCGTTCGACGCTGCCGCGGACGCGGCCGCGGCGTTGCGCGCCGCGCTGCCGTACGCTGAGCCTCTTCTCGGTCCCAACGAGATGGGTGCTGTGATTGAACTCGCCGAGGAATTTGTGGGCCCGGTACTCCCATACCCGCCAACAACAGTGACGTTCGATACCGAAGCGAACGAACTCATGTCACGCGTCTTCGCGCATCGCCTCGCCTGGTTGTTTCATCGGGCGCGACGCGTGTCGCCGCAGTTTGATCTGCCGGGCGGCAGCCGTGGACCCGTCCTGGTCCCGCATGTCCTGTCCGTCATCGACTCAAGCGGCGACAATTTGGCGGGGTTTGGTCCACTTGGTCCACGCACTGGGTATCACTGAACGAACGACGAGTAAATTTGAGTCAAGAAATCCCTTACATCATCTGCCCCGAGGCCTGGACGGGCCGCCCGTCCGCGTCCGTCACCACCTGGTACTGGTACGGCTGGCCCGGCAGGCCCGGCACCCACTGGCCCGGCACCTGGCCGTGCGAAATGGGCCGCGCCTGGCCCAGCATACTAGGTGGAGGCGCCGCCGCGGCGACCAAGGTCGGCGGCGCCGCCGGCGCGAGGCGCGCCTTCTTGGCGCCGTGGTGCGCGCCGTGCATGATCTTCCAGTGCTGCTCGACGCCGGACGACGTGCGACCGGAAGCCAACTTCTCGGCGATCTGGCCCCACTTGCCGCGAGGACCCAATTCTTCCACTAAAGCTGATAATTGCGCTTCTTCTTGAGGAGTCCACCTATGAGCGACCGCGCGCGTCTTCGTCGCCCGAGACCGCTTCAAGTCGCCGTCGCCGTCGTCGACCTCAAGTCGTTGCTGGGCGAGCCGCGTCGCACTACTCCCTTTCCGGCCCCCGGTCATGATCTGCCAATGTTGTTCTACCGCTCCTGGAGATCTACCGCTTCGTAGTCTATCAGCAATCACCCTCCACTGGCCCTTCGCACCCACCTCCTCGATGAGTCGTTTGAGCTCGTGCTCTTCGTCGGGCGTCCACCGAGCGCCACCTTTTTCTCTCGGCTGCTCGCCCGGTGGCGCTAGACCCGGTAAGTGTGGTGTCACGGAGCCACCCGCCAAGACAAATGCTTGCGCGCCCGGCGCCGACGCGCCCATCGTCCGCGCGCGATGCTGTAGATGAGCGGCAGCGTGCCTTCCCTTCGACTTTCTTTGGCCAGTCACGATCTGCCAGTGCTGCTCCACGGCCGACGGTGACCTTCCAGTGCCCAATCTGTCAGCGACCAGGGTCCACTTGCCCTTGCCCAATTCAGAAACAGCTTCTCGCAACCTGTTTTCTTCGTCCTGCGTCCACCTCGCAGAGGTCCTTCTTTCGGTCTGCTGACCATCTTTCTGTCCTACAGCAAGTAGAGCGTTGGGATGCTGCGCCTGGTTCTCCTTGGGAACCGTAGCGCCGTTCCGCTGCCGCTGGCCCGTCATGACCTGCCAGTGCTGCTCGACGCCCGACGCCGTGCGGCCGCTCCCGAGCTTCTCGGAGATCTTCTGCCAGGAGCGCTTCGCGCCGTGCTCCCCGACGAGTTTTTTGAGCCGTTCCTCCTCGTCGCGGTTCCAGCGCGCTCGTGCCACGCCCTTCGCTCGCACGACCTTCGTCGGCTCTTCGTTTGCTGGAGCGGGCGGCGGCGCCATGCCGGGGACCATTTGGGTTGTAGCAGGTGGCAGGGGCCAGCTTCCTACGGAAGGTGCTTGTGGCAGGACGTAGGACGGTCTCCCGGGCACGGGGCCGCCGAGCATCGCCGGCGCGGCGTAGTAGCCCACCTGTTCAGGCATGGGCACGGGCTGGGCCCCCGCATTATACTGCGGCGGGTAGGCGGCGTTCTGCATCGCCGTCTCTGCTTTTCCTTGGATCGCGTCCGCGCGTCGGCGACGGCGTGCAGCGAAGTTCAGAGACTTATAGCAGTCCTGTCGACGGCTTTTCGAAGCCTCGGGCCGCGTCGCGCCCTCGGATTTTGGCAGTTTTTGGTGTGCAGCCGAAAAGCTGCTTGCACGGCGACGGCGGGCAGCAGGGAAGCTACCGAAGCTGTAGCGCCGATGCTGGGCTGCCGAGTGATCCTCCGGGCCTTCGCCTGCTCGTTTTAGAACGGGCTTACAGGTAGTATTTGCGACGCCTCGTAGTTATTTTAGGAGCGGACGGTGCCGAGGCGAATCGCGCCAACGCTCCCGAGGCGTAGCTCAAGGCGTGCGCCAGGGCTCGGTAGGGCGGTGGGCGTTGCGCGGGCGCGTACCCGCCTGCTAGTCCGCGGCCTTCCGCGGCCGCGCGGGCCACTGGAGTCATCGTGCCGATGGCTCTAGCCGATGCAGGCCGGGCAGAACAGACGCCGTTTGGCACTACGCCAGTCGACGCGACACGAAAAAACTACATCTAGATAGACACGCGCGGTCGCGGGTCCACTCGCAGCTTCTCACCGTGACGCCCCCGGAAAGCAACACTGCAACAGGCTAGAGCAACAGGCTAGAAGCAACAGAAGCAAACACAAAGATTTCTCTATACACTAGCCCGCGCCAGGGTCTGGGACCCGGTCTTCCGCAGCGCGGGCAGGTCGTGGAACGACCGCGCCTCGCGCCGCGGCGACTTCAACGGCGCCGGCGTCGCCGCCTCGTCGGGGCAGAGCCCGACCGCGACGCCCGCCAGACATATGGAGGTGAGCAGCTTGAGCTGCACTAATAGCAGGAAGCCCAGGGAAGCCAAAGCCGCCACCGCATACGGTGATAGCTCCAAACTCAATCGTAACCAACCAAGACTCAACGCGGCGTACCGCACGGCGACGCACGCCAGCGGTAATAAAGGAAAGGATAGTCGTCTCGTAACGGCCTGCGTATGATCTAAAGCAAAACCAGCGTCGCCGCCCCGTCGACCGGTAACGACATCTCGAGCTACTCTCTCAGCGTAAGCATCATAAGCAGACGCGTCTACTCTATTAAATTTGGCAACAAACGCATGCTTGAGCCAGTCCGCCACGACCTCGAAGCCCAAGACACTGAGACTTTGGAAGCGGACCACCTCTAGACTGGCTCGACTCTCTGTCGCATCTCCAGCGACTTGCGCCCAGCCCAGCAAGTACAGCAGAGCCAAGAACAAAACAAGTTTGAACCTTTCACAGACGTCGGCCGCCGTGATGTCAAATAAAGTCAAGGGCGTAAACCTCTTGAACACTGTCGACTTTATCTCGCTGAAGTTATTTGACACGAGTAACGCAAAGAGTGCCGTTGCTTCGTTGGCGTTGACCACCACATTTAATGTGGTTAAATGTACAAATAACAACAGAGCGTGGGCCACGGTCACCACCGTCACGAGTGACAGAAACACGGCCGACTTCCTCGTATTTTGTATCGTCTCGAGCGCACCTCGCGTCGACAGGTAGAAGCTATCTAACGCGTCCTGGGCGAAGGCACACAGCAACCTATCAAAAACCTCCATGATGCCTATGATAACGTATAGCTTTATCGTATTCTGGCCCCGGATCCAATGATAAGCTCTGGATAGTGGTACCCTTCGTAACACTCCAACACCTGCCGCTACGACGACGCATCGCGCCAAATCATAAGCTTGCGCCCGCGAGAAGGCCGGCGGCCTTAAGTTGCGCGGGCTTCCCGGGGAGCGCGGTTCCTGTGGTCTTATCCGTAAAGCCAAAGCCAGTAGAGAGTACAATGCTACAAAAGCACGTATCGGTAGGAAGGTCACCGCATATAAAAACGTATCTAGGCAAGCCAGCAGCCCGAACCAGAGGAACCGCTCGAACCGCGCCGGGACCAGCAGGAAGTTGTCGATTTCCGAAGTCACATTTTCATCTAACCCAAAGGCGTGGCGATCACCTAAAGCCTCGGACCAGGCGAAGGCCAGCAGGTCGCGCCACGACGACGTTTGTAAGGTAGGTGGTTGAAAATCAATCGCTGGTAATTCAATGTCGTCTTTTGTCGTATTGAGGTCCCCATTTGAGGAAGATCGTCTCCTCTGGGAAAGTTGGGTCCGTTGGGGGCTTAACGAGCGCGCGCCGGAGCGCGACGTGACGGAACCGGACCGGGATCTACTTCGAGGTCGGGGCTCCTGCGACCGTCGCCGTCGCCGCGCGCCCATGCTCTCTCTAGGAGAAGGCGCATCTCCCACACAGCTTCCGGTGCGCACGGGCGGCGGTCTTCTGTTGGGGGACCGCGCCGGCGCCGGCGCGTCGCGCTCGTAGCGCCGCACGGGGTCGTCCTCGAAGAGCACGGCCGTGGGGCCCGACTGGGCGCGCTGCGGCATGGGGCGGACGGCGGCGGCCATGTTTTAGCCGCTGGGTGCTGCGCTGCGTCGACGGCGTGCGCGCGTACAGCGTCTCGACCTGCCGCGCGGCAATGCAGCGCCTGGCGACCTGTAGTGGCTCGGCCGCGTCGGCGACGTCGGGCTGGCTGCTGTGCTTAGCAGTGGTCGCTGGCAGCACAGTCAGGCTTTCACGGGCCCTCAGGGCGCGAGCGCAGGCGCCTGTTGCTGCGGCAAAGCCAAGTTATATTTTTTCAGCTAGAGTCCTGTAAGATACTAGCGAAGCACTCATTCGCGGCGCAAGCCCGTAGCTGTGGACGCTGCCTTGTTTTGGGACGCGAAAGCATTGCTTTTGATCGCTGTGATCGCTGTGCAGCGCATCGCAGCGCAACTGCGGCTGTTCACCACCGAGCAGCACAGCGAGTGCAATAGACCATGCTGCGAACCCTCGCCGCGCGCGGCGGCGCAGCGCTCGCTGCTACTATACCGTACGCAGCAGCCGAGCAGAGCACCGAGGCGCCGCGCCAGCGCAAGACATCCTCGCTGCAGCGGCGCAACTCCGTGGCGGCTCCAGCGGCGCAACTCCAGCGGCGCCAGACGACGGCGACGCCACCACAGACGACAGCGACGCCGCCACCAGAAAAACCGAAACCGACGCCGGACACCGCGCCGCGGGTCGGCGTCTTCTTGGACGACGCGTCGCGGAAACGGCTCGCGGAGAAATGGCCCGACAAGGACAGCACGACGGCTTTGTTTGTGCTAGATGAAGGGCTAGAAAAACGACCGGAGATGTACGGCTCGCTCTACGGCGAAAGGGCGACGGTTCGAGTCGTCGGCGCCGACAGCGACGGTGCCCTGAGAGGGGCTTGTCTGTGCGACGGGACGGAGGTGAAGGCCAGTGGTTCAACGACGGCGGTGCTGAAGATCGGTGAGGCGGCATTCAATCATGCGGAACCGAAGAAAGCCGTGGAGGGGTCCTCGGGCGACCCGTGGCCACCTACCAATGAAGCGCCGTTAAGTGGCACGGTCTGCCGCGCGGACTTTTGGAGGGACGAGACTTGTCTCGTGGAGCCTTCGTTAAAATGCCCCCTCTGTCAGTTCATGGAGGACTCGCCGTGTGCGGCCGTCTTTAAAGTGTGGGAGGCGTGTCTCGACGACGTGGAAGCGAAGAATGGCGAACAGGACAAAGAGAAGAAAGAGGCGGACTTCGCGGTGGCCTGTGCAGAGCCGACGCTGGCTCTGAAAGCTTGCGTCGAGAAGTACCCCGACTACTTCGGGGAGATGTTCGGGGCTGGCGAGTCGGCCGCGCCGGCGAGCGAGCCCGCGCCGCCAGCGCCTTGAACTGACGCGTGGCGCACGCCGCCGACGCTTTATTTAACGTGTTGTAAACTTATCAAGTACCTCGTCCAACGACCGCGCGACGTGCGTCTCGAGCATCGTCATGACCTCGCCGTAGAACGCGTCGTCGGCGAAGAACGGGTCGGGAATGCCGTCCGGCGGGTGCACGATGCACAACCGGCCGCTCTCGAGGGCGCGCCGCACCGGCGCCTCGCCGACGCAGCCCGCGATCCAGTCGACGTGCTCGCGCATGAAGTAGAAGAGCGCGTCGCACTCGTCTACTTCTGTCGCCGTTAATTTCGAGGACGCGTGGCCCGCGCTCGACAGGCCCGTGGCCCTTTGTAAAGCTTTCTCGGCGCGCGGGTCCGGGCCCGAGCCCCACGCGGAATAGCGGTCGGTGAGGCCGCGGCTCGTTATCTCGACATCCGTCCGCCCGATTGTCTCAAGGTGCGCGCGCGCGATCGTCGCGGCGGCTGGACTTCGGCAGGTGTTGCTCGTGCAGACGTAGAGTATTTTGGGCATGGCGCGTCGATGGCGTTTAGGGCAGCAGCTTATGGTACACAGTGGCAGCATCAATTTCCGAGGCTACAGCTCAGGATTTCGCACCGACGGGGGTTCAGGAAGCCAAGGAGGCCTTGTTGCCAGCGCGTCGCGAGCTATGCGGCTACCTACGCGCGGAGAGGCTGCCCCACAATTCTTGCTAGTGTCTTACTGACCGCTAGCTGATTAATTTTTGACCCCATTTTTACACGCGCTGCGACGCCCACAAACAGCCCAGTTGCATTGGATTTGCAGCCTGGCGACAGCCCGTTGCTGCGCCAGTCGCTGCGGCATAGCTTCCTTGCAAGCGTGCGACTTACTGCAGCAAGCCCATGCATCGGCTCCTCGCTACGCTGGCGTTCGCCGTCGCCGCGGCAGAAATAGCGGACGTCGGCCCGGACGGCGACGTCCGAACGAACGAGTGGATCAGCGTGCCGCTCAAATTCAACGACAAGGACACGGTCGACGTCGCGATTCATTTGGATGAGGACGCCGTGGCCGCGGCGTTGCGCTACGTCTGGGATATCGCCAAAAGGCCCGACGCCGGCTTTGCACGGAAAATCGCCGACGTGCTCGAAGAGGCGTCATCCGACACACCGGTGCCCGACGATCGAGTACACGCGCTCGCGGGATCGAACGCCACTAAACTAAAAACGGCAGGAAAACATGTCAAACGTGCCGAAGAGGCAAGGGAGGACCGACCGAGAAGCGCCGCGGCCGACTATTTAAGAGCCGCCCGGCGCAAAGGTATTGAACGATCAGTAGAAGAGCAGTACATGAGGGAAGTTTCGACATGTATGCAGGAGGACCGGCAGCTCCAGGAACAGCTGGCCAAGGAGGCCCAGGAACGGGCTATTTATGATGCTCGTTTAGCGCGGGAAAAGGCGTCGCGCGACGCCGCTGCACAAAGACGGAAGGCCGCCGAGGCCGGTCTACGGGCCTTGTTGGATAGTGAAGAGCACACGGCGAAGCCCGGGGACGCCTTCGCGAGCAACGCGCGGAGCTGCGTGGCGTCGCGCTCGTGTTCGGTCGCCGATCTGTTCCGGGGCGGGCACAAGTTTACAGGTGATGCGAAGAGCGAGTTCGACGCGGCTCTTCAGTCTTTGGATAGTGGCGGCGACGCCGAGGAGGCGTTGGCGCACATCGCGCGCTGTGCGGCTGCCTCCGGGCCCGAGAACAAGGAGGCCGTCGAGAGCACGGCTCAAAGAGCTCTGGACGCGGCGGCGGCGGCGTCCACGGCCGTCGATTCTCTACGTAAAGCCCTCGCCGAAGACAACGACAATGCCAAAGGGGATTGGAGCAGCGCCGCGGAGGCGTTGGCTCGTCTCGTAAGGAGTGGCCGCCCGCTCAAGTGGGCCGTCTGGCTCGCGCGAGCCCGTTTGGTGCTAGGCGACGCGGGCGGCGCCGAACAGGTCGCAGGAGCTGCCTTACAAGCGTTAGAAAAACATAATCCGAAACTGATGCGGACGCCCTTCGTGACGGGCGAGCCGAAGACGCTCGCGCTGACCATTGGGGCAGCAGCAGCACTGGAAAGGGGTCGCCTCGACAAGGCGACTAGGTTTGTCCAAGCTGGTCTCAGGCACGACCCCGATTCCAAACCTTTAAGGACGCAGTACGACGGGCTCAAGGAACTCAAGAGGAGGGTCGAATCTATTGATAAGCAACTGAAAAAGGGGATGGCCCTCAAGACGGTCGACTTGTTGGACGAGGCCTACGGCGCCCTGGACGCGCTGGGCGAGGAGTTCGAAGGGAGTCGCTTGGAGGCGTATCGGGCGACGCTTTATCTGCGGAGCTGCCACGCGTTTAGTCGCGTGAGACGCCATGAGCTGGCGAAGCCGGCCTGCGACGCTGCGGTCCAACAGGACGAGGGTGTCGAAGCCTACGCGGCTCGAGCGGCGGCTCTCGAGCGGGACGACGCCTACGACGACGCGGTGCGCGACTGGCGCGCCGCCGTCGAGGCGGCCGGTGGGGAAAGGGCTGAGGCAGAACGACTGCAGTGGACCGACGACGCGGGCGACGCTTTCGATCTAAGAAGGCGGCTGATGGACTGCCGGCGGCTCGAGGACCAGTGGGAGAAACGTAGAGATCATGCCCGTGTTCTAGACCTGCCGGCCAACGTCCTGGATTTGCGGAAAGAATCCAAATGCAAGTGGCTCAAGAAGCAACATAAAAAACTGGCGCGGCTGTGGCACCCGGACAAAGCTCGGGGCGATCGGTTAAGAGCCGAGCGGAAGATGCGCGAGGTGTCCGAGGCGAAGGAGGCGCTCGTCGCGGCGTACGGGTGTTAGATCTATGTGTAACCTTAATAGCTATTAACAGTGCACATTATTCGTGACCCCCAATATCCCATAAAATTTCGACGACGCGCCCGAGCACGTCGGCCGGGAGATGAGGCAGTTTCGGGAGGAATATTGCCACGAGGCGCTGACGATGCGCCTTCTCGTAGGCTTTGTAATTTCCCGCCGCGCGGATGTTCCCTATGTAAGCGCACATTTGCGGGAAACCGCGCCTTTGCGAATACGGCGGCGGCGCGGGCGCGGTTATTACGGCCGGTAGTGCGGCGCCGGCGCGCAGGAGCTGAGCGCAATTGCGTATTTTGCCATTCGTAATCGCTAGGTCCAGGGCTCGGTCGAGACCCACGGCGCCCGCCGAGATGAGCATCCTGACAGCGCCGGTCGTACCACTTTCTGCTGCCGCAGCTAACACGGAATCGCCCAAAGAATCAACTGCATTAACATCGGCGCCCGATTCCATGAGTAGCTTGATGACGGGATGGAATGCCGGGGACTCATTGCTCGCAGCATGATGTAATGCAGTTGCTCCCCGGCCAATATTAGATATTGAAGCGCCAGCCTCCAAGAGCATTGAGATGCACTCGAGTCGCTCCTGTAACTTTTCCTCAGCGTATGAACTACCAAAAATCACAGCCATATAGAGCGGCGTGGTTTTGTCCTCCATCAGATTAACGTCGACGCCAGACGCGAGCTCGCGCCGCAGAGCTTGAACATCAAGGTCCATAACAGCGCGGAAGATAGGAGACCAGTTGGGCTCTGGATCCATAATGACCACTGCGGATCAGAGGTAGATTGTTTTTTGACCGCTGCTATGCAGCCTGTCCCTGTCAGCAGTCAGCAGATTGTCAGCAGCGCTGTCAGCTGTGCCTATTCCCCAGAGCTAGGAACAGACGATCTCAAAAAGCGCGCAAAGGCTGTCGACGTAGAAACCCGCGAGCTCAGGAGGCCCCGGGAAAAAGCGCGCGCGCAAAACAGCGTAACTAGCGTAGTAAGACACTAGCCCAAAGCTTTGCGCCTACACAAGCCAAACAGGTGCTCCGCGCAGCACACGTCGTCCCCGCACGCGCACGGTGCCGCCTGCGACGCATGCGGCTCCACGTCGCCGCGCGCACGCTCCACAGGACCATGAGCAGCAATGCCTTTGAGCACTTAAAAGTCGACAGGCGCGGCGCATTGCTCGACGTCACGCTGAATCGACCCAAAAAACTGAACGCATTAAACCTAGAAATGGTGCGCGAACTGCAGTCAGCCTTCGACGCCGCCGAAGCGTCCCAAGGCTGCGTCGCGCTTGCGTTGCGAGGTGAAGGTGAGCGAGCTTTTTGCGCGGGCGGCGACATCGTCGCGGTGCGCGCGGCGGGCCTCGAAGACAAGCCGACGACGCCGTTCTTCCGCGAAGAGTACGCGCTCAACGCGAGGACCGGCGCGCTCCGCGAGTCGAGGGTCGTCCAATGCAGCTTCTGGGACGGGTTCACGTTCGGCGGCGGTGTTGGGCTCAGCGTCCACGGGAAGTACCGGATCGCTACCGAGAAGACGCAGCTCGCGATGCCCGAGGTCGCCATCGGCCTCTTCCCGGACGTAGGGGCGTCGCTAGCGCTCGCGTCGACACCGGGCCGCGCCGGCGAGTACGCGGCCTTGACGGGCGCGCGGCTGGACGCGGCGGACGTCGTTGCGCTTGGTCTGGCGACGCACTGCGTCGCGTCGTCGTCAATAGATGAAATCCGCGACGCGCTGGCGGCGCTCGACGGCGACCAACCTCCAGCCGCGTTCGCCGACGCCGTCGACGCGACGCTCCGACGCTTCCACGTGGCGCCCGCCGGCGCCCCGGCCGTGCGGGCGCACGCAGACGCCATCGACGCGTGTTTTTCGGAACCGGACGTCCGGTCCATACCTGTGTGGAAATCGACCAGAGCGTCGGGTGCACCGACAATTCTTCACTAAGTCATTTCTCGGCGATGACGCGGCCGTCCTGGCTCCGTCGAGCGGCGAGGAACCGGCACCGCCACGCCATTGAGCAGGCGTCGCGTCGATGGCGTGGAGGTCGACGCGATGATTCAGCGCGAACGCGCCGTAAAAATTTGATTTCCACACAGGTCCATACTGACTGCGCTCGACGCCGATGCATCGCCGTTCTGCGCGGATGCCGCGGCGGCGATCCGGCGCGGCTCGCCGACGGCGGCCGCCGTGACCCTCGAGGCCATCCGCCGCGCGCGCGGTGCCAAGTTGGACGACGTGCTGCGCACGGACTTCCGCGTGATGACAAATATGGTGCGGCCCTCGTCGACGCTCTCGGCGGACTTCTACGAGGGCGTGCGCGCGGCGCTCGTCGACAAGGACCGCTCGCCGGCGTGGCGGCCGGCGCCGGACGACGTGGCCGCGTACTTCGAAGCGCCGGGCGACGGGTTCGAGGAGCTTGTGTTATGAGTAATTCTTGTATTCTTGTGTGTTTATTTGTGATAAGGTGTTGTTCATTTTGCACGTACGAAGACCACGCTCTCCCCGGCTTCGCGGGCGCGGAGCGCTGCACGCGCGCTTCGCATGTCGCCCTCAATGGCCGAGGTGAGCGGGTGCGCGCCACCGAACACGCGCCGCGCGGTCCGTTCCACGTCCCCCAGCGTCTCCACTCGGCCTCGTCGCACAAAATCTTCGCCTGCTCCGCCAAACACGACACGTGCGCGAAGCCCGACGTTCCGCGGCACGCACACATGCGCACGAGGCCCTCCTTCGTTTTCCAGTGGAGGGCTTGCGTACAAATATAGCACGTCTGGCCCTTCGTGTCGTCCGCGCACGCCTCGACCGCGACCGCGAGACAAGAAGTCGCGCCGCTAGAGTAAGGAACCCACATCGTGTCATGTCGCGTTTAGAACCCGCCTCTCGTAGCCGCTGGCTGGCGTTTACCCTATTCTCTCGGAGCGGACTCGTCGGAGGAGTCGTGGACCGACGTGGTCACTGCATCGTATCAGTGGAGATGGACGGCGTCGACGCAACCCCAAAACACTGGCAACAACTAGATACTTAAAGCTAATAATAAATCAACCGCCGGAGACGTCGCCGGATCGACTCCGCCTCCTAATAGCCTCCAGCAGCGACGCGCGGCTGTCCGCGCTCGAAAACGTCCCCCCGAACAGAAGTTCCGGGGCCTCCAAGCGACGCCCGGCGGGTTTGTCAATGGCCACATCCACCGCGACGACGCCGCAGTTCGCGATCTTGCCGCGGGCGAAGGCGCAGTCGCCGCCCTCCGCGCGGAACATACAGCGAATAAACTTCGAGTGGGAGTTGAAGATCAGCGAGGCGTCGCTTCTCATACACAACTGCGCGAGCTCGCGGTCGACTCTTCTTCTGACGGTCGCCTCATTTTCGGCGGCCGACGCCCACCACTCGTGCGCGACGCCGTCCGCGTCGACAGTTGGATACTCGCCCTTCTCTAAACCAGCGACGGCTTGCGCGCGGATGGCGACGCCGCTCGCGCGCGCGATGTTGTCCCGACCATGTGCTGTTCTCACTTCGCGCAGATCCGCCCTTAATACTACAGATCCCTCGCTCAGCGCGGGATGGCCCTTCAATGCTAACAAGGCCGTCTGCACCGTCCTTCTGGACGGCGAGGAGAAGACCTTCTTCGCGGCTAGAAACGCCCGTTCCGCCTCGGTCCTGGGCGGCTCCGCGACATGTCTCTGGAGCTCGGCGCACTGTTTCACACCAAGCTTCGTCAGGCCGTGGTCCACATCCGACAACATCGTCGCCACGTCCCCTACTCTAGTTGCGCGGTTCCATGTCGATTCCGCATGGCGCACCAAGAATAGTTTTCGAGGCGCGAGCACCGCCTTTACGGATGCTAAACGGGCGTGCACTTTGTATTTGCGGCGCGCCCCTGTCAAATCGCCCGTCTGGAAGGTTTTGACCAAGCCCCAGCCATCTTGATCAGGTGCGGCGAGGCCCTCTACTTTAACTGTCTCCGCAGCCGTCACGTCTTTATGATCACCAAAGCTGACGGCGCGGAACGCGTGCGTCGTGCGCTTGACGTCCACGATATTCAAAGCTACTTGTACCTCCACATCACCTTTGTAGGGCATACAAAGCCAGGCGTGGGGCCGGAGGAGGCCGACCGGCGACGTGGATTCCGGCCCGCGCGGCAGGACCCGGGCCTTGGGCGCGCCCGTGAGCTTTATCAGTAACACGGGGCCGTCCTTCGCTTCGCGGCACGCCTGCAGGACGGCGTCGACGCCGTCGTCCGCCTTCTGTACAATACTGGAGCCGCTGCCCATGGTTCACTATCCTTCTGATGGATGCATCATGGCTGCCTCCGCGCCGCGTATGGACGTGTCCGCGCTCTCTCGTGCATCTTGCTTGCACGGGTTGCGTTGCCAGCGTGTGTCTTTGTTTTTGGCTGGCGCTCCAAGCCGCTGGACGATTTTTCAGATTTAGCAGCTTCGGTGCATGTATCCGTGGATTCGTCTGGCGCCACGGATGGATCGTCTGGCGGCTGCGAGCGATCGCATTGCTTCATGCGTCGAGCGCCTCTCACAAGCGACTGCCCAAGGCCTGCAACCTCGAGGGCAACGCGCTACCATAAGTGCGTCCTGCTAAACGGCGGCGCTTTTGTGAACGCCAGAAATCCGGGCCAGCCAGGCAATCTGCCTTGCACACTAGCTCTGCTGAGCAGTAACCTCAGCCCAGGCTCCCAGCCCTGCAGCACAGCAGCGGCGCGTCGCCGCGGCACTCCCTGCCCGCGCAGCGCAGCACTCGTACGCCGCCGCCGCGCCAAATAAGCCGAGTGCCGCAGCGCAGACGCAACACTCGCACGCCGCCGACGCGACAGGACAGCGCTACCACCATGGGCGGTAGTGATGAGGACACCGGCACCGGCGCCGGCGACTACGTCAAGTCCCTGGTGTTCGGTGGGTTAGACGGCATCATTACCACCTTTGCCATCGTGGCCACCGTCGCCGGAGCAAGAGCACACCCCGGCCTTGTTTTGTTAATGGGCGCGGCAAATTTAGTCGCTGATGCGTTATCCATGGGCATCGGCGACTACCTGTCCGAAAGGGCCGAGGACGAGTACGTCGCGAGCGAGCAGCGACGGGAGCTCGCCGAGCTCCGAAACGGCAAACGGCCCGAGAAGGTCCGCAAGCTGAAACGCGTCTACGAGAAGGCCGGGCTCTCCACAGCGGACGCCAAAAAATGCGTCGACGCGTTGAGCACGGTCGACGACGTGCTCGTGGCCCACACGATGATGGCTCGATTGCAATTAGTGCCGCCCGACGACTGGCTCGGCGAGGAGCAGGACGAGGACGAGGACGAGTTATTATCTCTTGCTGCCAAAAAAGGCGCGACGACGGCCGCTTCGTTTGTCTTGTTCGGTGCCATGCCCCTGCTTGCGTATTACGCCACTGTGGCTACTTCTGTGGCCCCGACGCCAGAACGCATGTTCATCGCGTCGTGTCTCGTGACTACTTCGACCCTAGTAGCTCTCGGTTCCGCCAAAGCCCGCTTGACCGCGCAACCGGTCGCCGAATCGGCATTAGGCATGGTTATTAATGGGGGCGCGGCCGCCGTCGCGGCGTACGCCGTCGGCCACGCGCTCGAGGCCTTCCAGCACGCGACGTCGATGGAGGGTTTTGATGCCACTGATGCGCCGGCGCCGCTCCAGCTGCCCGTTTGGTTGCGGCGTCCTGTTTCTCTCCACGCGTGTGATTGCCGACGCATCGCTCGCACGACGCCATCGCCGCGACGCCATCTCACACAGGCGTGGCTCGCGCGCCCGTTCTCGTCGCCGCCCGCCGACGCCGCGCTCGCGTCCACCGATGTATTAATGGAGTGCTCCGCGGCTTTGGCCTTCGCTGCATTAGGAGCGATTCCTTGTGTCTTGATGGGCTCGACGGGGCCGTCGGCCGTTCGTTTAGCACATGCCGCGGCCGGCGGCGCCGTCGTCGCGACCGCTTCTGCCCTCGCGTTAGACGCGGCGCGCGACGGCGCATTGGCAACAGCATTGGGTGCGGCCCTGGCCATGATCTTCGCGTTACTTACGCGGCCCGCCGACGACGCGAAGGCGCGAGGCTTGCCCGCTGTTGTGGCGGTGCTGTCACACGCCGCGTCCGAGGGTTTGGCGCTCGGCCTCGCGTACGCCAAATCCCCGGAAGACGGGCGCATCGCGCGCCTGTCGGTGCTAGCGCACAACGTGCCCGAGGGCCTCGCGACGGCCGCCGTCTTGCGTTCTCGAGGCGTCTCGGCGCCGAGTTGCGTCTTGGCTGCGTTGCTAGCGGTCGTGCCGCAGCCTTTATCCGCGATGGCGGCCTTCAGCTTTGCGTCGCGCATGGCCGCCCTCCAGACGGTGTTTGTCGGCTTCGCCGCGGGCCTGATGCTGATGATCGCGCTGACGGAGCTGCTGCCGGACGCGCTGTCGTCGCCCTCGAAGAAGAACCGCGACGTGTCCGCCGCGGTGGCTTGTCTCGCGGCGGTGGCGTGCGTCTGCGGGTCGTCGGCGCTGATGGAGTAAGGATTGGTCTCTCGACGATTGTTACGGTGCTAGGACTAGTGGGCGGAGCCCCTGGGGGGGAGACACCGCGCGTCGCCGATTCATCGGCGGCGGGCGCGAACTTCTCTAGTTTGACAATAGGAGGGTCCAAAAATGATTGGTCGTGTTTAGTGCGGAGTTTTGCTTGTGTCGTTCGGACTTCGCATGAGGTCCTTTTGAGCGCTGGGACTGGCCTCGTCAGTTGTTTATGTCAAGACAGGTGCTTGCCGTCACCACGCGCGGCCGACGGGCCGCGCCGTGGGACCAGGGCGTTTCCCAAAGCCGGAGACGCGCCGCGGGGCGGAGGGTGGCCCTAAGACCCTTCCCAGAGCGCTTTGCCGCGCTTCGAACAGCCTACCAGATTGCCCTGGGGGCACACGCGCCCCAGCCCTCACGCCGTCCAGCACACACGCCGCCGAGACTTTTGTCTGCTGCCTGTCGTCTTCGCCTTCGGTGCGCCGCCGAGCATCGCACCGAGTCCCCGCACACCCCACACGCCCGCTTTTGCAACCTGACAGCCGCTCCGAGCAAAAAAAACGCGCTTCCAAGAGCATAGAGCTCAGCATGAGATCTCTTTCGATTTTGCTCTTAACAGCAACTGCGACGACCGCCCACGTCCACATCCACCGCGCCTCAGCCACAACAGCGCCGCCGGTCCTCGACATACACAGCGCGCGAGTTCACAACCCACTCGCGAGCGCGCCGCCAACCAAAACCCTCGAATCCGAGGAGGCGCGCATCACGGTGATAGGAGCCGGCGTCAACGTCGCCCTCTCCGCCTCCAAGGCCGTCGTCGGCGCCGCCTGCGGGAGCCGCGTGCTCGTCGCCGACGCGGCGCACTCCTTCTCGGACCTCGTGAGCGACGGAGCGGCCTTGATGGCCGTCCGCCTCCAGAAGACTTCTTCACCTAGATATCCGGGCGGTTGTCGCAAGGCGGGAGCGCTCGGCGCCGCGGCCATCGCCGGCCTCCTCCTAGCGTGCGGCGCCTCTCTCGCCGCGGGCCAAGTGAGCGCTCTACTTCCAGGCGCCGTGAGAACAACAACCAGTGTCGCCCGGGGCCCATGCGCCCTCGTCGCCGCCCTCAGCATCGCTTCCAAGGAAATGCTCGCCCGCGCGACGATGCGCATCGGCCGCCGCCACCGGTCCGCCGCGGTCCTGGCCAACGCGAAGCACCACAGATCGGACGCCCTGTCGTCCGTCGTCGCGTTGGCCGGAGTCGTCGGCACGCGCTTCGGCGCCTTCGTCGACCCCGCCGCGGCGCTACTCGTCGCGGGCTGCGTTTTGAAGATGGGCGTCGAGACGGGCCAGGAAGCGTTACTGGAGCTGCTGGACGCGCGAGACCCCGAGGCCGAGGCCGCCGTGCACCAGGCCGTCGCCGCGGCCATACCGTCTGAGTATGCGGTCGACTCCGTCGCGGTGACCGGGCGCGCCTCGATGGAGGTCCGATTACTCGTACCGGGCGCCACGTCCGCGAGAGACGTCGACCACGCCTGCCGCGCGGCCCAGCGCGCGGCCAAGCGCGCGGCGCCGGAGGTCGCGCTCGCGACGTGCTCGCCCGTCGTTTCTGACGAGCGGCCGGCCTTCCCTAAACTGAAGCCGCTCGTCCCGAAGCGGCGGGCCTTCAAGCCCGCGGAGGTCGCGCGGCCGAAGCCCGCCGAGCGCTTCGAGCCTCAGCCGGCCAGTCACGAACCCATCGTCGTCCGGCCGCGCATCCTCCTCGCGCCGACGACGCTGGACGTGTTCAAGCCCGGCGTCGGGGCCGTCGACCCGAAGCGCTGCCCGCTCATCGCGTCGCTCCAGTGAGGAGCGCGTCCCCGCCCGTCGCCCACCCCCGCGCCGCTTTTGGCGCCCTTTCATAATGTGAAAAGTCGAAGTCTTGTCTCCCGACGGTTCTTTTGCTGAGTCGCGCCGATGGCGTACCGCGAGGAGTATGTCGATATGCCTAGTGTCTATGGGCCGCTAGCTAAAAGCAGCTCGAGCCCGCCGCCGCGACGCGAGCCCAGCATCGCTGCGGGTGATTAGAGATCCGTTCGTGCATATTCGTGTGCCCACAGCTCGCCCGGAACAGCTGCGAAAGCTCTTACAGCGTTGCTGCGCAACAAGAGCTCAATACTGAATAACCGCATATAAACGCGCGCCGTAAACGCGCCGTAAACGCGCCGTCGGGACAAGAGAGAACCATGCCCCTCAAGGTGAACATCCTCCACTGGCACGCCGTCGCGCGCTGGACCTGGGGCGACGACGTGGACGGCGACGTGTGCGGCATCTGCCAGTTCCCCTTCGAGGGCTGCCCGCCGGGCGTCATGTATCCGGGGGATGGCGCGCCGGTGGTCTGGGGCGTGTGTGGCCACGCGTTCCACTTGCAGTGCATCTCGCAGTGGCTCCAAACCAAAAACACGTGCTGCATCTGCCGGCGGGACTGGGAGTTCGAGAGCAACAGCGCGGACCGCGCCGACGCGCACGCGGCCGCGAACCCTGCCCCGGCGGCAGCGCCGGCGCCCGCCGCGGCCGACGAGGACGCGGATATGGAGGGGGCGGCTAACGACAATGGGTAGGCGTTGTCCTTGACGTAGTTCAACGCAGAGTGTGCGTCTCTAGCGGCGCGCGCGTCTAGGCGGGGCCCTCTGTCGCGCTTGCTCGTTGTTTGTATTGCTGCGACGCGTTTCATAGGTCTGACAGAGATCTTGGACTGGTACTTACGGGGGGAGCTCGTGATAGCGTGATTGGAGAGGCGCACCTCCAAATGAGGCCCAGATTTCCGACGCCGAGATCTCTGTCATGAGTCCTCCGTACGCGATAGACAAGCCAGCAGCCGTAGAGGGCGCCAAAGCAAAATTTGCACTAGCCTGCCTCAGCAAACCTCCACCATAAACGCACAGCACCGTCCTGCGTCGCCACGGCGCGTCCTGGCCCTCGTCCCAACGCTCAGTTCACGCTGAAGGCCATTCTGAAGGAGGAGAAAAAAGTTCGCGCGCGCGGGCCGCACGGCGACAAGGACAAACATAACTATTTTATTGCTAGAGTACCCGCCAGGCGCCCTGCTCACTTTCTCAAACGCGACGACCGCCGCGGCGGCGCCGGCGCCGGCGACCGGTCCCGCTTCCGAGACGTCGCCGCCGACCGCGGCCGCTTAGCAGTAGGCTTCGCGGTCTCGCTCCCCCGGCGCTTCCGGCGCGGCGCCGCCGCGGGCGCGGGCGCGGGCGCGGGCGCCGGAGCCGGCGCCGGAGCAGGCGTCGTCGGGGCCAGCGGAAACGGGTACGGCACCGGCCCCGCCGCCGGCCCCGCCGCCGCGCCATCCAACGACGTGACGCGCTCGTAGGGGCCGCGGATCTTCTCCGCGATCCGAGCCCTCGCGAGGGCCTGGGCCTCCGCCGGCGTCTCGCAGAAGTCGTACGTCGAAGACGTGACGCCGTCCGCATACAACGCGAGCGAGCCGGCCCAGATGTAGTCGACGCGGCAGCCAGTCGTCTTCACGACCCACGGCCGCGCGGGGCCGACGACCGGCCTCCGGACCAGCGCCTCGTCGACGTCGTCCGGCGTGGCCGTGGCCTCGAGCGGCGGCGGCACGTCGTCGCTGAAGTCCGTCAGCGGCCGCGTCGGCACCTCGTCCTCGTCCGCCTCCTCGGGCGCGACGACCGGCGACCGCACGTGGACGACCACGTCGGCGGGCGCGTCCGGCACGGCCACGTAGACGGCGTGCGCCGCGACGTCCGCGAAGCTGCCGCCCGCCGCGATCGTGAAGTGCAGGACGCGGTCGGGCCAGTGGCGCGCCGCCCAGAGGTGGAGGGCCCGCTCGAGGCGCCCGACGATCGACTTGTGGGCCGTCGATGCCAGGCGCGCGCCGCGGAGCGGAACAGGTCGACGACGCTTCGGCTCGACGTCCTCGTCCTCCTCGAAGAACAGCCGATAGCGCCACGACGGCCGGCGTGCGACGCGCCGCACCTCCTCCTCCCACCAGGCGTCGCCCGCGACGCCCACGTAGACGGGGAGCGTCGTCTGCTCGAACACGTGCCGCAGCTTGTCCTTGGACGCATCTAGCAACGTCCGGAACTCGGACTCCAGCTGCCGCGGCGACGCACGCGCCGCCGCCGCGTCCATACACGCAGCTAACCGGCGTCGACCCTTATTCGTCCTGCGCAGAGCCTGGCACATCACGCCGAAGGCGCGCTCGGCCGCCGCACCCCGCACGCCGCGCGCGACGAGAGACTCGTACCTCTCCTTCGCCTTCATCCCTTTCTCGAGCAGCGCCTCGAGCCGTCGAGCATTTATAACGGCCGTGGTCCGGTCCCTCGCGGCCGCCGCGGCCGCGCGCGCTTCCAGCAGCTCCGAGTCCTCCTCGCCCAGGCCCCGCTCCGCTAACTCCCTAACATGCGCCTCGGCCGCGGCCGCGGTCGTGCGTTGGTCCCTTCTAAGCCGCGTCTGCTGCGGCGCGGCCTCCGCCGTCGCAATGGCCAGCGTCGCGCTCGCTGCGGCCAGCGCCGCGTCGTCGCCGTTCGCCACAGCGGCGGCGTGGCGCGCCTTAGCCACCGCGAGACGCGCGCCCGCGGCGTCTTTGCGCTTCCTAGCGGACCGCGCCGCCCGCGACAAGGCCTCCTCCTCCGCCGCGGCGAGGTCCGCGCGCGCGGCCGTCTTCTCCTCCTCGTCATCGCCCGCCTCAGCGACGTCACGGCGCCTCCTCGCCGCCTCAGCGCGCGCCAGGGCGTCGGCGCGCCGCCGCTGGTCGTTCGACAGCGCGTCCCGCCGCGCCGCGTTCAGCTCTGCTTGCGCGGCGAAGAATAGCATGCGCCCCGCCTCGGAATTATCGTCCCGCAGCGCCTCGACGCGCGCCTCGAGCACCAGGATCCGCGCCTCGGCCTCGCGCCGCCGCCGCTGCTCCGCCGTCAGCGTGGCGTCCTCCGCTTCCGCAGCAGTCGTTCTCGCCGCCGCGAGCTGGACAGCTTGACGACGAGCCGCAGCCCGATCGTCGCGCGTGTCGCGATCCGGGGGATCGGCCGCCTCGAGCGCATCTAACACGGCCGCCGCCGCCGTCGCCGCGTCGACCAGTTTCGCCCGGCGCCGCTTCTTCGCCCGGCGTCCGGCAGTCTCCATCACGGAAGGCAGCGCCGCGCGCGCGCGCTCCGCGTCGGCTCGCGCCGCCGGCAACTCCTGCGTCGCAGCTCGGCGCGCAGCCCGCGCAGCCGTACCGCGACCCGAACCGGCCGCGGCGGCTTCTAATCGCGAAACCAACGCGGAAGCGTCCGAGAGCGCCGCCTTACGCCGCTGCTTGTACCGCGCGTTCGCGCCCGCGGGCGCGGCTGCGTGGAGCTCGCGCTCGCGCGCGAGCGCGGTTTCCACCGACTCCAGCTTCTCGACGGCTGGTTGGCCGCGCGTCGCCGGCCGCCCGTTTTGCAGCAGCCGGACGGCGGCAGGGCCTTGGGCCGTGGCCGCGGCATACTGCTCTTCGACGAATCTGCGCCGCTCCTGGGCCGCGCGCCACGCCGCCGTCTTCGCCGCCTTCTTCGCCGCCGTCCGCTGAGCGCTCGTCAAGCCTTCATCGCCGCCGCCGCGGCCGCGGCCCCGTCCGCCGCGTCCGCGTCCGCCGCGACCACCGCCGCGGCCGCGCGCCGCCGCGCGAGGCAGGAGGTCCCGCAAATGAGAGGCGCGCCCGACGCCCGTTTCAACGAAGCGGCCGCGCGGAGGAGCAGCTGCTCTGGCTACTCTGGCTGCTCTGCCTAACATGAGCAGCACCACAAACCAAATGGCAGCCTTTGCCGCCCAGTTTAAACTCCAGCGCTCGCGCCGCAGCGATGCAGCTTTCGCAGACGTTCGCGGTGCAACGTCGAAAGTCTTCCGTGCAGCAACGGTTGCCGAGGCCAGCGACGCAGCCGACACAGGCTGTGGCGCGCAGGGAGGCCCAGTCGCCTCGAGACTAGAGCGTTTATCCATCTTAGGAGTTATTTCGGTGAATTGATTGCGAGCAGGGCGGCGGCCCGGCCGCCGCCGCGGCGTCGTAGGACGCCAGCGGCACCAAAAACGCTGCTCTGCACCAAACAGCAACCTGCAAACCCCCAAAGTTCGGGCTTGGGAGGACAAGTGCCCCGGCATCGAGTTTTTGGGACTCCACGCGCCGCACCGCAGCGCGTGAGTGCACGACGGAGCACTCTAAACGCCGTGTATCGCTTGACGGGGCTGCCGGTAGCTCGTGGAGCCGCCAGGGGCAGCCCATGCCCCCGAGACATCGTCGACGCCCCGCGATCGGCGAGACTTCCCGCGCGCGACCGTAAGCGACGAAGTCGAGGCCACTTGAATGTAGCTGATTACGTTGCCGCCGAGTCCCGCGCGTCGACGGCTCAGGTTCAGCGGTGTCGACGGGTTGCGGGCCGGTTCGCGTAGACCGGGCTTCTCGCCGGCTAGCTGGACACGCTTCACGGGCCTGGGCCACCGCTGGACGTGCCGTTGGAAGTCTTGCAGGAGCTGGGCATCTCCGGGCTCGTCGCGTCGCTTTGCGGGCCTGCCGTTGGTGAATGTTGTTGTGTAGAAATCGGGGTGGGACGCTCTAGGGGGACGCCGCATCAGCAACTTTAGATACCGTGATTCGCCATGCTCGACGTGTGCTCTCGCCTCGACGGGCCCTCGGATCGGTGGGGCGCTCGCGGGCAGGTCCGGCCGCGCCGCGAGCACCCATTTAACCACAGTTAAACCTTACCACGCCCCCCGCCGCGTTCGCGTCCCCGTCGAACGGATCGTTCGACACCTCGCCGGCGAGCATCATGGTCCGCGCATAAGAATCATGAGCCGAGGACGAGAACCAGTGCTTCGTCGTCACGTCCACTTTCGCCTCTAAGAACGGAGGAAATGAGAACTCGCCCTTCGGGGCCTCGACGAATACGCGTCGCCGATTCATCGGCGGCGGGCGCGAGCCGCGTCTAGGCGGGGCCCCTCCGGGCGCCCCGGTCGATCTTGGTCGTTGCTTGTATTGCTGCGACGAGTGCCATGGGTGTGGCAGACGCCTCGGGCTGGCTTACGGCGGGTCGTAGCAGTGACGGCGATTGTAGCAGCCAGCGTGTGCCAAAATCTCCGCGGCTCGATAGCAATCGAGCGAGCAAGCAAGCACGTCCGAGCAGCTGTTCCATAGCTACATCGCTGCGGCGAGCAATTTGCTCGTGCATCCATTCGTTGCAGATAAAAAGCAACCATGCTGAGACACGCTGCAAGACTGTCGTCACGCTTCGCGCGCCCGCGCGCGCGCCCGCTGTCGACGATCGACATGGGCGACACGTCAGTTTCTGCGAGATTCCGCGAGCCGGATCCGTCGAAGCCGCGGATTGTGCTCGCCTACTCCGGCGGCCTCGACACGTCGACGCAGCTCGCCTACCTAGCGCACGAGAAGGGTTATGAGGTCTGCGCCTACATCGCCGATTTAGGCCAGGACGACGTCAAGGACAAGGCCGCCATCGAAGAAATCAGAGATAAAGCGCAAGCTTCAGGTGCCTACTCCTTCGAGTGCGTCGACCTGAGGAGGGAATTTATTAGAGATTATGTCTACGAGTGCATCCGCGCGAACTGCTTGTACGAAGGGAGATACTTACTCGGGACGAGCATGGCGCGGCCCTGCATCGCGAAGAAACAAGTCGAATTGGCCTGGAGGGAGAAGGCCGAGTACGTGTCCCACGGCTCGACGGGCAAGGGCAATGATCAAGTGAGATTTGAATTGTGCTACCTCGGCATGGACCCGAACCTCAAGTGTGTGACATTATGGAGGGAGCCCGAATATTTGGCCAAGTTCGAGGGCCGCCAGGACTTGCTCGACTACGCGTCGTCCCACAACATTCCGGTTAGTCAGACGAAGAAGCACTCCTACAGCGAGGACGAGAACATCATGCACATCTCGTACGAGTCCGGTGAATTGGAGGACCCTGCTTACCCGGGTGTGGTCACGGAGTACCCCGGTCTGGTGCTGAAGAAGAAGACCCAGGACCTCATGGACACGCCGGACGAGCCGTGTCGCCTGGAGATCGACTTCGACAACGGCGCGCCTGTCGCTGTTCGGGAGCACGACGCGTCTGGTGCGGTCACGAATTCGACGGGCGAGGACCCTTTGGCTTTATTCGCTAAATTAAATGAGTTGGCGGGCATCCACGGCGTCGGTAGGATCGACATTGTGGAAAATAGATACGTCGGCATGAAATCGAGAGGCTGCTACGAGACCCCGGGTGGTACGGTACTCCAAGCTGCTCACCTGGACCTGGAGACGTTGACGATCGACCGGGAAGTCATGCGGCTGCGGGACACGATGTCCATCAAGTTCAGCGAGCTCGTCTACAACGGCTACTGGTTCTCGCCGGAGATGGACTTTTTGCGCGTCGCGATGGACCACGCGCAGAAGCCCGTGAGCGGCACGGTCGCCCTCCACCTCCACAAGGGCCACGTCATCCCGCGGGGCCGGTCTTCCCCCCACTCGCTCTACAACAAGAAGCTCGTGTCGATGGACGAGGAGGGCGGCTTCGTGCCGCAGAACTCGACGGGCTTCATCCAGACGCTCGCGACGCGGCTCAAGGCCGCGAAGAAGCGCGACGCGGAGCTCTAGGTTTCGAACCCCGGGGTTAAGTCGTCTATATCACATACTTACTCGGACCAGGCGGCGTAGTGCTCGAGGCAGGCGCGGGCCTCGTGCTCCGTCATGACTTCGCCATGATTAGGAAAGGACCATTTGAAACGCGCTTCAACAGTGCAAGGCCCGGTATAGTGGAGAACGACGACGGGGTCCGTGTACATGTCCACGTTATCGGCCTTCCGTTTGAGGAAGTTCAGCGCCTGATTTCCTGCAGGTATAGGCATTTCGCTTGAATCGAAATCGAGACCATTCTCGTGCATAGTACAGGGATCCCGATGTATCCTGGCAAACTGTAACTTTCCAGACGCGCCTCTCCGCGAAACCACGATAGTCGCTATTAAACTCCAAGTCGTTTCGTCAGTCTCGGGAAGTTCAGCCTCGCGTTCACGCACCGCATCCGGTACTGTAAATTTATAGGTAACGAGGGGTGTTCCTGCTTGGAGCTCGCCGGTGCCAACGTAGATGGATTCCTGAGTCCCGTTGAACCTCCACGGCTCCCCAGGGCCTGCGCTCTCTATTTTTCGAGCCTTTATCTCCAGCGACAGCGTGTAGCCGTCGAGAGCGAGGGAGGACTCCGGCCTCACCGCATACGTATTTTCGCCCTCAAAGTCCTTAAACGTCCGAAACAGGTCCCGCGGCGCAGGCGCGCCGGCAGAGCCGAAGGTATTGATCAGCGGGAAGCGCTTCGCAACCAGCGAGTGTTCGAGCCGCGGCGACAGGCGCGCGCAGGCGTCTCGGAGCGTGCTGCACGCGGCGACGCAGGTGAAGCGCATCGGCAGGTCCACGAACGCGATGATGGCGCCGAGCACGTCTTCCGGGAAGCGCGCGAGGCCGCTGGCGGTGCGTGCTCTCGACGCAGCGGGCTCGCAGGATCCTGCGGACACAGCTGGCGCCTCGCCTGCCGCACAGAGCGCTTTTAGTATATTTTGCGCGCGTGACCCTAGCAGACTCCAGACTTGGTGGCGCGCCGCATTGGTCTCTAGCGATTGACCAGCCGCCACGGCCGCGTCGTTTAGACTCCTTGCGAGCTTCTGCGCGTCCGTACTCATCGCTAACCTTGATGCAGCAGATGTAGCCCTGCGCCTACGCCTGGCTGTTTGCTAGTGTCTTACACGACGCTAGCACTCAGGACCGGCCCACTTCACAAAAAGACCGCAATCGTCCGCTACCGTCACGTCACAGGCCGCGTTGGGAGCCGCATAGATCCCTCCGTGAGTTTGGGCTTGAGCACGCCATCGCTGCGAGCTTACACATCGACCAATCGACCACAAGCTGTGCTGCTCATAAAATCGCAAGGTACGCCCCCAGCGCCGCAATAAAACAAAGAAAAGAAAAAGAACGCCCCCCGTCACGAACCGCCCGCTCGCCAATTGTCGCGGCGCGGGAGACGCCGGGCGAAGAGCACGGACACGCCCGTTCGTTTCGAGCGCTCGATTCGCGACAGGAAAGCGTTCGCAGATCACGGGCCGACACGCAGGTCATGGCCCAGCAGCGCACGACGGCCAACGACCCGAACTATCTCGACACGTTCGGCAGCACGAGTCGCCTCGCGTTCATTGGTGGCAAACGCGACGAAATCTGGCAAGAGGTCTTCGACACGAATGAACGCGAAGTGACGCCGCCTCGGCCGCCGACGAACGGCCGGCAGCGCGTCGTGTTCCACATCGACATGGACTGTTTTTTTGCCTGGGTCGCGATCCTAGCCAACCCCTCGTTGCGCGGCAAGCCCGTCGCGGTGTGCCATTCGTCGGGCCCGTCGTCGAACTCCGAGATCTCGTCCTGCACGTATGAAGCGCGCAAGTATGGCGTGCACGCGGGCATGTGGCTGCAGGAGGCTCGGAGAAAGTGCCCGTCGCTCGTCGCGGCCTGTGTGGAAATCAATCAGTGCGTCAAACGGGCACTACTGGCTCCGTCGAGCGGTGAGGAATCGACACCGCCACGCCGTCGAGCAGGCGTCGCGTCGATGGCGTGGAGATCGACGCGACGATTTAGCACACAGGTCACGGCGCCCTACGACTTCGAGGCCTACTCGTCGGCGGCCGTGCGGGCCCACTCCTGCGTGCTGGACGCGACGCCCCACGTCAAGGCCGTGTCCATCGACGAGTGCTACGCCGACGTCACGCACCTGGTCCACGAGGCATCTTCTTCCGATGAAGAAGGGGCGCGCATCGTCGCCGAGCGGCTGCGTTCGAATATTCTGGCGGCGACGGGCGGCTGCCCCGCGTCGATCGGCTCCGCCGAGTCGTGTCTGCTGGCGCGCGTCGCCACGCGACTGGCCAAGCCGGACGGGCACCGCCATTTGAGTCCGGAGGACGCGCGGTCGGAGCTCGCGCGACAACCGGTTGATTCATTACCGGGCGTCGGTCGGAAGACGAGAGAAAAATTGGAGTCCATCGGCGTCGAAACCTGCGACGACTTGTTACGGACGTCGGTGACGCGCGTCCGCGAGGCACTGGGCGGCACGAAACTCATCGACGACCTCTACGCGAGCGCACGAGGTATTGACCCGAAGCAGGAGACCTGGGAACGAAAACCGCGGCGGAGTGTCGGCGCCCAGTGCTCCTACGGGTTTAGATGTGACGACGCCCAGCAGTTCGGCGACCTGGCCGCCAAGCTCACGCGCCAGGCCGTCGACCGGGCTGAAAAATTAAATGTGTTTCCGAAGGTCGTCAAAATAGGACTGAAGGTCTGGGTCACGAAGGACGGGAATAGTGGCGCGTGCAAGGGCGGCGTCGGGCACGGGCGCTGCGACGTGCTGTCGAGGACGCGGAACTGGCGGCCGAGTGCGGGGGACGTCGTCGAGGCCGTGCGGGCGTTTATTAGTGACTTGCGCTTAGATCCGCCCGGCGTGCGCGGCCTCGGCGTCTCGCTTATATTGGATGATGCGCCGGCGCCGCCGCGCGGCCAGCCGACGATCCGGACGGCCTTCGCAAAAGCGCCGCGCGCGCAGCCGCGGGGCCCGCCGGTGCCCGCGCAACGGGCGGCCGCGCTGCCGCCCGCGCAACCGGCGCGCGCCGCGCGACCACCGCCCGCGCAACGGGCACCCGTCGCACGCACTGCCGCGCAACTAGCGCCCGCCGCGCGCGCGGCCGCGCAACGGGCGCTCGCCGCCGCCGCGCAACGGGCGCCTGCACAACGAGCACCCGCCCCGCGCGCCGTCGCGCAACCACCGCCCGTTGTACAACCGGCGCCCCGGAGCCGGGGCCTCGTCGTCGTCGCCGTCGGCCTGCCGGGCTCGGGCAAGTCGACCTTCTTCCGGCGCCACCTCGCGGCGCTCGGCCTCGAGCGGTGCTGCCAGGATGTGCTGAAGCGCCGCGAGAAGGTCCAGGCGGCGGTGGATGTCATACTTCGGCGCGGGGGCGCGGCCTACGTGGACCGCACGAACTACAACGCGCCGCAGCGGGCGCACTGGGTCCAGCTCGCGCGGCGGCGAGGAGCGGCCGTCGTCGTGCTGCGGTTCCGCACCTCTACCGATGTATGCGCGCAGCGGTGCGCCGCGCGGCGGAACCACGAGGGCGGCCTCGACGCGCGGAACCCGGCGCAGTGCGCGCGCGTCGTGAACATGCTCCAGGGCAAGTTCCGCGAGGTGGCCGCGGGCGAGGGCTTCGATCGCGTGATCGCCGCGGAGGACGCGGCGGCCGCCGTGGAAAGCCTGCGGCCGCTGCTGCCGCGCGCCGAGGCACCGGCGCCGCCGTCGAAGCGGGCGCGCGTCGAGCCGCCTCCTAGACCCATCGCCGCGCCGGCGCCGGCCGAGATCATCGAGATCGACGATGCGGCCCCGCCGCCGGCACCGCCGCGCACCTCGGAGGGATGGACCTGTCGGACGTGCACACGCACGCACACTTCTGCCAAGGAACGGTCCTTCCTCGCGTGCGCGGCGTGCGGCGCGACACGGCCTCCGGACGACGATTAACTGTTGTATGTGTAAGAAGATTCATGTATAAACGAACGTCTTTCTTATGTGCGTATGCCGACGCGCGGGGATGAGCGATGGGGATGCCGGCTGCACGTGTCTGATCAGAGGCGCTCAGCGGAGCGACGCCGGAAGAGCCGCTCGCTTCTTCGCCGGGCCGACGTCCGCGCGCTCGGAGAGGCCGTCGTCGACCCACTCGATCCAGTGCTTGTTCGCCTCGTAGTGGCACCAGTGGCGGTCCTTGTGGGCGCGCGGCACGCCCTCTGTGTTTGTAGCCCCTGAGGAGCTTCCCGTTGATATCCGCGAGACGACCGGTGCCGCGGTGAACGCGGCAGACAAATCTGCCTCTTGACCGCGCTCCGGCGAGCGATTTGCGCTTAGCCGTCGTGACGGCGCCGCAAAAATAAATTCGGTTGAAAAATAAAACCAGTACTTACTAGTATGTATACCCGATAGCCTCTTCGCCGCGACCCGTAGTCCAGCCGAGGTTAAAAAAGCTAGCGTCCCGCCCACAGAAGGATAGCGAGTGACTTTGTATGTGAATGTGTGTCACGAGCCGCGCCGGGGACTCTCTAGGGAACTACTAGTCATGCGAGATAAAAGCGAGAACATATATACTCGGGGGGAAACAGAGGGCACACATTCAAGTAATACATGGCGCACAGGGATCACATGGGGATGAAGTCGTCCGATCCGCCCTTCTTCCGCTTCGAACCCGCCTCGGTACCCGCCTCGCGCGCGCGCTTCTTCTTCATCACGGCGCCCTTCTTCTTCGCCGACGGCTTCGGCGCCGCGGTCTTCTGCTTCTTCGCCGGCTTGACCCACTGCTCGATCTTCACCATGAGTATCTCCCGCTTCAGACCCTGCCGGGTAAAAACGACGATGCCCGCGCGCGAGCCGTGGGCCCGCAGCCAGGCCTCCATGTCAAAGTCCGGAGGCGCCTCGGCGCCCTTCGGCCACAGCACGCGACCGTTCGTCCGAAACCACTTGTCGAGCTCATCGAGCTCCATCGCACCCTTCGTGCAGGGCTGGAGCTTCCGCTTCAGGGCCGCGAGGAAGGCGTCGGCGCGCTTCGCCTCCTCGGCGCTCAGCGCCGGCACGTCCGCCGAAGCGGCGGGCGCTGGCCGTTTCGTGCCCGAGGCGGGCGCCGCGGCCGGCGCGGGCGCGGGAGCCGGCCGCTTGGCGGCCGACTCCGGCGCGGCCGCGGCCGGCCGCTTCGTGCCCGAGGCGGGCGCCGGCGCGGGAGCCGGCCGCTTGGCGGCCGGCGCCGCGCGCGGCGACGTCGTCGCCGCCGGCGCGGCGCGCGGCGAGGCGCTGAAGGGCAGCGCCACGCGCGGCGGGTCCCCGTTGACCCACGTGAGCAGCGTCGTCGCCCGCAGCGCCTTCTTGAGCCCGTGTGGGCCGTCCGCGCCCGCAATGAGGCGGCCCCGGTTGTCGAAGCCCACATCCTTAAAACGCGGCGACGCCGCCCGAAAAGCGTCGAGCTCCTTCATTTCAACGCTCGTCCGGCCGTCTTCCTTTACGATCCAGTCGCGCAGCGCCGCGAAGAAGGCCTCGGCCGTCACGACACCTGCGGGGGCGGCGGCGGCGGAGCTCGTCGACGGCGTCGCCGGGCGCTTCGGCGCCGCCGGGTCCAGAGGCGCCGACCGCTTCACCGCCGAGGCGGGCGCGGGCGCGGGCGCCGGGCGCTTCGTCGCCGACGTCGGGGCCGGCGCGGGCGCCGGCGCGGACACCGCCACGGGCGCCGGCCGCGTCGGCGCCGGGGCGGGCGCCGGAGCGCTCGCCGTCGGGTGCAGCGCCGCGTGAATCGCGGCCGAAGCCACGGCCGCGTCGCAGCGCGCGCGGCAGACGGCCGCCACGGCCGCCGCCGGCCGCTCGCACAGCTCGACGCGGTCGCCCAGCATCCGGAGGGCTCGGACACAGCGCGCGCCACGGATCCACTCGTCGAGCTCCCGCTTGGACTTGGGCGCGCGATGGTACGGGAAGGCTTTCACAAACGCATCAAAATCATCCATCGAGACCGACGCGTTCCGGTAGACGACCCACGCGTAGAGGTCCGCGCAGAACAGGTTTTTGGGCACGACGCTGTTCGCCGAGACGGCCACACCACCTGCAACGCCGACGGCCACGCATCCAGAAGAACGCTTGACCACACCATTCGCAGGCCGCCACACGAGAACAGCTTTCCCGCCGCCGTCGTAGCCGACCCACTGGATTTTCGGCGGGCCCCGTTGTTGTATCACACTTCTCCTAATCTTCTCCGTGACTCTATGTTGATTACATTTCCCGCCCTCAGTAACATCCGCGACGTTCTGTTCGAAGGCATCTTTATCCGAAATGAACCGTAGTTTATTCTTCAACAAGTAGTCATAAAAGGCGTCCACGAGCGCGTTGCCCACCGACGCGACACACACCAGACGCGTATCTTTGCTCAAAATAGCAGGAGCGTGCTCCGGCAGCCAGACGACGTCCCGGTCGCACCTCAAATCAGTAGTATGCGCATGCCTTTGAATCCAGGCCATGGTCCGCACGTCGTCCTGGGGGAACGGCTTCGTCGCAGTTCTATCGGGCAACCAGTCGTAGAAGCGAGATATGTCACCTGTTCTAGCCTCCCTACCTCTTGACTCGTAGACGAACCGCCGGAACGCCTCCATGAACCCTGGGACCCGTTTGGCGACGATGGCATCAGAAACGGCGTTCGCCGCCAGTTCTCCGTCGCACCGGTGCTTGTGCCTCCGATCGCTCTCGATGTCCTGCAACGCCACGCCAATCCTAGGTATACCTTGGTACTCCGAGGTCCCGGGCCGCCACACCAACCTACGGTCACTTTTCACGGCGCTCTCGAGATTGACATTCAAAAACGCGTGGTGAGGAAACAGGTCGTAAAAAGGCTGCAGAGCGCTACAACTCCGCTCCGCCGCCTCGATGGCCAGTAACCAGGCATGTAGATCTTCCACCAACTCCCTCTGGGCCGTCTCGGCCGGGACGCCTCCGGACGAACCTTCGAGGATGACACCTCCCGGGCCGTCCCCGACCCACCTCAAATCAGAGTTCTGGGCGTTGATGGCCGCGCGCGCCGACACCCAGGCCGGCACGCCCTGCTGTATTGATGAGAGGTAGTCTGTGGTTGATTGTGGTACGTCTCTATGAGGGAGCCACCTCAACCCCTCTTTTTTCATCATCTTCCGCAGGCGCTCCACATAAGATGCTTGGGCTTGAGTCAAAGGAGCCGGTGCTTTCGAGCGTTGTCTCTTGAAATCGCCGGCGGCGTGTCGCTTCTGGCGTTCCTCGTCCTTCCTTTTTGTTTCCGATTTGTCGTGGGCCTCCCTCGCCGCTTTATCTTTTATCTGTGAATAAGCTTTGGAAACAGCAACAAATCTAGCGTCGCCCTGGCCCAAGGACGGGTGGCACGTCGCCGCCACTTTCAGAAAGGCCTCCTTGACCCTTTCGTCCGAGTGTTTTTTCGAAGCACGAAGACCGAGCAGAGCGTAGGGCGACGGCCGCTGGTTCTGCCAGGCCTGGGCCGCCGTTTCCAGCTCCTTGTCGCCGTCGTCCGATGTTGTGACCTGCCTCGTAGGTGCTGCGGGTGCCGGGGCCAGAACGTCGACAAGCGACGGTGGATTTCGGGGCGTGTCCGTCTCGAGGACCTGAGCCAGGGCCGTCGGGGCCGGCGCCGGTGGCGGCGGCGCCTGGGCCGGTGCCGGTGCCTCGACGGGTGCCGGCGCCGGCGCCGCGGCCGCGGCCGCGCGCCGCGCGAGGATCCGGCCGCCGGCCGCCGCCGCGCGCCGCACGCCGACGAGGCGCTCGACGAGCGCCGCCTTCAGGCCCTTCGTGTCCGCGCCCGCGGCCTCGAGCGCGGCGCGCAGCTCGACGACCTTCAACTTCTTGGCCGCCTTCGTCGCGGCTGCCTCGTCGAAGGCCGCGGGGTCCTCGGCGGCCGGCGCCGCGTCGGCGGCCGGCGGCGGCGTCGGTGCTGGGGGCGGCGTCAGAGCTGGGGGCGGCGCCGCCGGCTCGGGTGAGCTCGGCCGCGCCCGCGCCAGCGAAGCCTCCGCGCGCGCGGCGGCCGCGGCCGCCGTCGCCGCGGCGGCGAGCGGGGACGGCGCGACGGGCTCCGGCGCCGGTGCCGGCTTCGGCGCGGGCGGCGCAACGGGCGCCGGCGCGGCGGGCGGCCACGGCGCGCGCGTGTCGTAGCCCGCGCGCTGGGTGTTGGAGTAAGGTGCCAGCGGCGCCAAGGGCGTCGGCGGCGCCGGCGGCGCGGTCCACAGCCCCGGCGGCGCGTAGGTGCTGGCGGCCGCGTGCCCATAGGGCCGCGGCGCCGCGTGCCCATACGGCGCCTGCACGGGCGGCGCGGGCGGCCAGGCGGGAGCCGGCGCCGGCGCCGCGTAGGATCCTTGTTGAGGCACGGGCGGCGGCGGCGCACGCATCCAGGCCGGGTCGTCGGCCGTGGCGCCCAGCTGGTCGCGGATCGGCACGAGGTCCGGGCGCCGCGTCTCGGCCTGGATGCGCGCGCCCATCGTCATCTCCGGACGATGCTGCCTCTCCTTTGCGATGCGCGCGCCGAGCGTGCCCCGGGCCTGGTCGGGTCTGACAAGAGGCGCCGGTGCATTGGGATCCGGGGCCGCGAGGGGGTCGCCGAGGCTCCACAGCGGCGGCGGTTGCTGGGTCTGGGCGTACCACTGCTGCTGGGGCGTCGGGCGGTAGGTCTGGGGCGCGCCCGTCGCCAGGCGCCCCGTCGTGGCCGCGGCGCGGATCGCGTCGGAGAAGGTCGGCGGCGTCGGCGGCGGCCGGTAGGGCGCGGCGCCTGGCACGGACGCGTCGACGGCGTGCCAGGCGCCGCGCTGCTGCGGTTGTGGCGGCGGCGCGAACTGCGGCGGCGGCGGCCGCGACAAGCCGTGCGGCGGTTCTGCATTGACGGGCAGCGGCGGCGGCTCGTCGAAGCGCGTCGACCGCGCGGCGCCGCGCGGCCTTACCACTCGACTATCGGGGTTCTTCGGCGCGCCGTAGGCGTCTCCCGCATATTCGGCGGGCGACCGCGCGGCGCCGCGCGGCCGGACGGGCCGACCGTCGGGGTTCTTCTCGTCCCATTGTACGGTGCCGTAGGCGTCACCGGCGTACTCCGCGGGCGACGGCGCGACGGGCGCCGCCTGCTCCTTGAGCCAGGCCGGCCGGTTGTCCACGCCGCGGCCGCGGCCCATTGCAGGCTGCGGCGGCCCGTCGGTCCAGGGCGCCGGCGCCGGCGCGCCCGGGTGCTGCGGCGGCCCGTCGGTCCAGGGCGCGGGCGCCGGCGCGCCGGGCGGAGGCACGTCGAGGCGGGGGTCGTAGCCCTTCGGGCCGCGGGGCGCCTGCGGCGCCTCGGCCTGGAGCCAGGCCGGCGTGCGCTTGTCGAGCCAGGCCGGCCGCGTATTATTAAGACCGCGGCCCCGCGGCGAGACCGACGACCGGGGCGTGCGCGGCCGATCCGACTGCGGCACCGGCGCGAAGGGCGGCTCCCACGGCCCGATCGGCGGCTTCCGCTCCCCAATACCGTGGGCCCAGACGACCGGCGGCGTGCTTCCCGGCTTGGCCACCCTCACGTGGAAGTCGAAATGTCCACCAAAGGCCCCGTCCACGAGATTCAAACCGGCCTCGCCGATCGCGATGAACGGGCCCCGTACTTTGCCCTGTCGGATGTTGTAGAGGTACATGCGATCGCCGGACTTGATGTTCTGCAGTTGCGAGCCCTTCGTCGACTTCAAAACATGTCTCCCACACCCCAACAACGATCGTCGTAAACACTCCGACTCCGTCCGGTCGTCACAGTGCATCAGGTAGCCCCGACTATCCGAAGCTACGGGTACATTAATTGAGATGCGCATCGTTTCATCCGAAACCCACGTCAGTAACGAGCTGTTCTCGCAGAGCTTTTTTAACTCTGGACCGGACGGTTTATCGTCGCGTGTCGCCCAGAAGGGCTCCAATTCATCCGCGCCGATCTCCGTCTTATCATGCGACAGTAACCAAGCATGGAGAGCTCTCACTAAATCATGCTCCACGGGATTCCGCACCAACTCTATCCGAGCGCCATGTCCTTGATCAGGACACCATCGGAGGGAAGTATACCCTTCGAGGCACTTCTTAATCCCCGAGCCCTTGCCCTCGGTCTTGTCTATGAGCACGCCGGTCTCCGTATCGAACCTTACATTTTTGAACTGCGGATAGCACTCGTAGAATTTCAGGAGCTCGCTCATGTTCACCTGGGACCGGTTTGTGGAGAGAAGCCACTGTTTCAAGGAGTCGCACAGATCTGTTGAGGTTATGGACGGTATCGCAGTATCACCAAGGCCTATTCTCGGAGCTGGAGACGCAGCAGTCGCTTTATACCACTTGAGCAACTCTCCACTATTTTTCACGGCCTTCTTGATGCCGCCGCCGGGCCACTTCTTGAGCTTGAAGGCTTCATGAGCGTCGAAGAACTTTCCTAGGTCGCCGACCGAGATATCCCTCACGCCTTGCGACGCGATCCACGACCGTAGAGCACTCACGAGGGCTTTCTCGTCCTTGGCGTTCGGCAGCTGACCCGCGGCGACGTCCATGACGACACCGCCCTTTTTCGGTTCCGGGGGTGGTGTATGCGGTAACGTACTATCGACTAATGCGATCGTCGTGAACGCGCCCTCGTGCCACGCTAACACTGAAGAACCCTCGATGCACCGCTTCTTCTTCGACTCCTTCTTGGCCTGGCCCCGGAAGTGGGGATAAGCATCATAAAACGGATGGAGTTGACTGACGAGGACGTCGCAGAACGTGTTACGTTCTAGGAGCCAAGATCGCAACGCGTCGACGTAGGCTTGGGGCGTCGTCCTCGTGTCTTGGACACCTTTCAGCATGATTCGAGCGGGCTCCTTCGACCACCTATTGCCGTCGATCCACCTTAGTTCATTGCATTGCTCTAGAGCTTGTTTCAAGCCGCTACCCCTCGTAGTAGCTGATCTGGGAGACCCCTGATTGAGAATAACACCTCGTAGATGCGGATGGAAGTCGTAGAACTGCGACAAATCACCAGAGACGTCTAACGACGAGACACTTTTGGCGCGCATCCATTGTCTCAGAGCGTCGAAGAACGTCTGCGCCGTAGGCGTTGAATCATAGACGCGGACCTCGCCGGGCGCTAGGGGCGGGGCTTCGTTCTGTACCGTAAGTCGCCCCCACGTGTCGACGACGGCGATCCTAGCGGTAGACACCGTGCCCGGCACATTACCATCACCTTCAATCCACCGTAAATTGGGGCAACCATCCAACGCCTTCCGCACGCCGCCGCCGGGCCAGTTCTTCAACCCGAACTGGGGGTGCGCCTGGTAAAACTGCGAGAGGTCCCCCACGCCGATGTCTCGTAAGTTCCGGCCGACGATCCAGGCGTGCAAGGCCGCGAGGAGGTGGGTTTGTGACTGGTAGGCCGGCGCCCCGGCGTGGGTCGCGGGCGGCGGCGGCGGCGCGGCCGGCGTCGTCGCCGCGGCCGCTGGTGGCGCCGCAGCCGCGGGCGGCGCGCCCGCGGCGACGACCTCGATGCGCCCGACGCCATCGAGGCTCTCGCCAATACCCTGGCCGACCGGGACCCAGCGCAGGACCGACGAGGCGTCTACAACAATTTTGAGTCGCCGCTTGTGTCCACCTTTTGCTGGATCGCCGCCCTCCTCGCAAAAGCGGGCGGTCTTGAATTGAGGGTAGGCCTCGTAGAACTGCATGATCTCGTTGCTGGCGACCGCCGTCAAATTCTGGGAGAGGATCCACTGTCGTAACGCGCCGCAGAAGGCCGCGGCGACGGGTCCGTCGCAAGGCGCCCGCGGGGGCCACGGCGCGGCCGCGGCCGCGGGCGGCGCGCCCTCGGCGACGACCTCGATGCGCGCGTTGCCCTGGCCGACCGGGACCCAGCGTAGGACCGACGAGGCCTCGACAGCGAGACTGACCCGTTTCCCTGGCCTCCTCGAGTCGCGGTTCCCGTCGCAGAAGCGGACGTCCTGGAACTGGGCGTGGGCCGCATAGAACTGGGTGAGCCCTCCCATCTCGGTTGTGTCGACCGCCGTCCGGTTCTGGCCAAGGATCCACTGTCGTAGCGCGTCGCAGAAGGCCGCGGCGACGGGGCCATCGCACGGCGTCCGCGGCACGTGCTGCGCCTCCGCGACCGGCGTCGGGGCTTGTGGCGCCGGCGCCGGCGCGACGACGGGCTCGCCATCGATCACCTCGATGCGCGCGTGAAAGTCCTTTGAGGTCTTTTGAACCTCTTCTTTCGGGACCCAGCGCAGCACGGACGACGCCTCGACCGCGAAGCGGATGTTCTTGTTGCCGCCCGATCCTCCGGCGAAGCGTACGTCCTTGAACTGCGGGTGACTCTTGTGGAACCCTTGGAGCGCGCCGGCGGAGACCTCCGTGACGCCTTGGCCGAGGATCCAGGTGCGCAGCGCGTCGCAGAACGCGGAAGCTACGGGGCCCGTGACCGGCGTCCGCGCCGGCGGGAGCGTCGTCTCGGCAACCGTCTCGGCGGCCGGCGCGAGCTTCGACAACGCACTCAAAGCTTGCGGCGACGCGACCGACGGGTCCGCACTTCCGACGGCAGCTCCTCGTGTCTTCTTCTCGCCGGCCCGCCCGACGGCCTCGACTTCCAAAGGAGGCGGCGGCTTGCGCGCTAATGGTTTCGCGGCCTGCTCCGGCGGACATAAGGAACTGAACTTGTCCGGCTCTTTCGTAGCAGCGGCGGCCTTCTTGGCCGCCGCCGCGAGCATCTTCGTCACTTGGTCCTCCTGGGATTCATGTCTATAAACGCACGACGCGCCGCGCGAGCAGTAGCCCTGCAAAAAATAAGAACAGACGGGCCGCTCGTGTTTTTGGGAACAGCTCCGTCCAAAGCGGCACGTACCATGTAAAAAGAACTGGCAGACGCGCGCCTCGGGCGGTTTTGGAGATGCGCGGCGCTTGGCGGCGAGTGCCGGCGCGGGCGCGGGCGCGGGCGCGGGCGCCGGCGCCGGCGCCGGCGCAGGCGGTAATGCGGGCGGCGCCGTGTCTATCACGAAGCCGTCCTCCGGTACTGTGGCTGCGGCCGGCGCGGCCGGCGCGGCTACCGCTGGTGCTGGCGCGGCCGGCGGCGGCGGCGCGGTGTCGATGACAAAACCATCATCAGATTCGTCGTCGTCACTATCACGCTCCCACGCGTCCAGCATGGTTGGGGGTCACCCTGGCAAAGGCTGGACTGCTGGCCAGCGGCACGGTGCGCTTTTTCTGAGAGCGCTTCTCAGCAGTGCTGAGATGTCAAAAATAATTTCTGCGGCCAGGCCGAGCGATGCTAGGACCTAGCGCAGCCCAAAAAGGCGCTGCCTCTCCCGCGTGAGCTAGCGGCTGTAAGATACTAGGATCCTTGTGTCCGCAAAAGTTGCGGCTGCTAGGAGGCGCTCGGCGCGTTGCGCCGGAGGCTCGTCGTTCGTTTCAAGGGCAGCGGACAAGACGACGTCTGCCAGCGGAACCAGTGGGCGGCGCAGCTTGCTAGGGTTGGTGCTGACAGCAAGCTGCGCCAGGGCGTTCAAGGTGCCCGCCGCGCGACCCGCGATCGTCTGGCGGGCGACGATGCCGCCTCCATTATCACAAGCGGAAAAGGACCGGCGCGAGACTGCCTGCCGGGAGGTCCTAGAATTCGCGGGCGAAAACGATTCGGTGGGCTCGATCACACAGCTCGCGATCATCGTCAAGGCCCGGACTTCAGTAAAGGGTAACACTAGAGCGCTTGAGGTATTGAAAGCGTTCTATGACGCGCGCCCCGAAGGCGACCCGCTGCGCGCCGTGTACGATGCTGTCAAAGCGCGAAGCTCGAGCACCGAGAGCATTGCTGCTAGAGCGCGCCTAGGGAATGCCCACGGCAAGAACCTACCCTCCGTCGCCGACATGCGCGAGGCTCGCGTGACGTACGCCGCGCGGCCGCTGCCGACGCTGACGGTCTCCGGCCAGCGGCTCGTGCTCGAGTTACAGCGCGGGGTCGCTACGACGGCGGCGACGCCCCAGCAGCAGCTCGAGGGCCTGGAGGAGTGCGCCTGTCTCGAGGCCTTTGAGTCGACGGAGGCGTCCTTCGAGGAAAGGGTCGGAATCGTCGAGTCAGTTGGGGCGACCAACGTCCCGGAACAGGGCTACTGCTTGGTCTCGAACGAGCTCATCGGCCACGCGGCCGGCGTGTGGGACGCGCAGCACGCCAAGAACGAGCGCGCGATCGTGATGGAGGGCCACCTCCAGGAGTATTATGAGTCCGAGATGGACAAGATGGCGACGCCGCGGCGCGCGGCGTCGAGGCGCGGTCGCGAGCAGGCGCACGAGCGGCGCTTCGACGCGTATGGCGGCAAGAATGGCGTCCTGGAGGCCCCTGTCGCTCTCACAAAGGCGCCTGGGTCCTTCGTGTCGAGACTGCGCGTTGATCGTAGTTCCGGCAAATTGAAAGAAATCGCGGACGCCGTCGAGGCCCAGCAAAAGATTAGGGTCGATTCCCGCGTTATTTGTATGCCGGAACGCCAGACCGAGCTCTACAAGCGGGTCCGGCCGACGGCTCTCTCGGAGGGTAGCGACCTGTGTCCAATAAAACAGCGGTCCGTGTCGATCTATATGTATTAGAGAAACGCGTGCGCCGCCAACTCGACCTCAGATTTGATTTACGCACAGTTCGCAACCTTAGATTAGCGAAGAAGGTCAAGCAGCTCGACAGCGGCCGCTCCATGCTCCTCACGCTGCGCCCGGACGGCGAGCCGATGCTGCTGGTCGTCGGTCGGGGCTTGTACCGCCCCCTGTTCATCAACGTGACGCCGCCGAAGATTACAGAGGCGGACCGCGAGCAGCGGCTCCGGACCAAGTCCAACGCTGCGAACTCGCACGAAGTCCACTACTCTAAATTCGTCCGGGGCGTCGAGAAGTCGCTGGCGTGCCTGCGGCGCGTTATTGTTGATTTAGGGCTGAACGGCCACGACGTGGCCGAGTTTGTTAATAGGATCGTCGACCAGATCGACGGTCGCTCCCTCGACGGGGCGCCGGGCGAGGCGCCAAAGCGCGGGACCGTGTCCGACGACGACGAGGAGGACGGTGACGCGGGGCTGGGACCGTGTCCGGAGGGCGTCGACGAAGAAGCGTGGGCGGCGGCGAACGCCGACTACGAGGGCAACGCGTTCATGCGCTTCGCGTGCATGAACGACTTCGCGGCGCGGGCGCGGTCGCTCGTCGGCAACTTCAGGGCTGCCGCGGCCTCGCAGAAGTGCGCCGCGCCGGCGCCGGCGCCCGGCGTCGCGGTGCCCGCGCCTGCTCCGGCGGGCCCGCACGCCGGGCCGGCTCCCGCGCCCGCCGCTGCGCCCGCTCCCGCCGCGCGCCCGAAGCCGAAGCGCGGCCGCCTCGCCGACGGCCTGCCCCAGGTGCTGTTCAAGTTCGGGCCGCTCGAGCCCGACTGGGCATCCAAGGTCGACCTCGGCGCCAAGCCGGTCGCGACCATCGACCCGGACAACCCGAACGAGCTGCTCGTCGAGTTCTGGCTCCGCGTGTCGCGTCCGATGGCCGAGGCGCTCTATCCTGACCAGGAGTTCGAGGTCCTCAGCGAGCGCGACGCGCCCGCGGACAACATCTCGCCGCTCCTCGACGCCGTCGCTGGCGTCGTTGGCAAGCGCAAGGCTCCCGACGCGGTCGCCGCGGCGCCGGGCGCGAAGCGCGCTAGGGATGCTGCCGTCGCCACCACGTAGGCGCGGGGCGACTGTCTGTTGTTGATACTTGAACTGTCTTCTTTAAGTATTCTTCACAAGCTACCGTTGCCTTCTACGCCCGCCCTATTTGCAGCGGGGAACCCCGTCCCTTTTGCCTTGGTTTTTTGTGAGCAAGCCCAAAAATGACCTTTGGTTTAACACTTTGGGAGCTCCTTTGCGGCAAGCGCGCCGTGATACAGACTTCCGATCACGACGATGTGTTGGATGTCTGCAGCGGACACGTCGTGGTCATCGATGCCGCGAACCAGGCGAAGTTTGAGCCAGGCAAGAGTGTCAATGATGCGGTCAAAACCGTCGGCCTCCGCGTCGTGGCGGCGGTGTTAGCGAATGCGGAACCCGCGGTTATTATCGACGGGCAGCACGCGGCTCCGGGCGCTGGGAAACTCGGGAAAGCGCATCTCCGCGCCCGCGCCTTGGGCGTCAACGTGCCCGCCGAGGACAGCGAAGCTAGATATAGGAGAGGCGCGGAGTGGTTCGATCGAGACGCGCTCGGCGACGAGTTCCGGAGGTTTCGCGAGCGCGTGCAACACTTTTGCACTGCGATGGGCATTTACTGCCACTTGTGTCACGCGGCGTCGTCCGAGGCGGAGGCCGGCGGCACGTGGCTCACGCAGAGCGTGACGATCAATGGGACCCCGTACCCGGCCGCGAGTGTCGCACTGATGGGCCTCGACAAGGACCAGCTCGCCTACGGTTGTGTGCGATCGGTCGCCTGCTTGGAGAATACCAAGCAGACGGGCGACTTCTTCTACCAGTTCGTCGAGCTCGACGACGTCCTCGCGCGCCTCGAGCTGCGCGGCGTCAGCGAGCTCCGCGCGCTCAATTTTTGGCTGGGTCACAACGACCGCCCGCCGCCCGTCGAGAGCTGCCAGGCGCTCGCTGATACGCCCTGGGCCTCCGCGACGGCGGCGGCGGCGGCGCTCCTGGCGAATAATGGGACGCTGAGCAAGATCATGCGGCGGCGGGTACTACGAGAGTGGAAATATCTGTGATCTCGAGAGAGTCCAAACCGGCGACAATATTTTCACGCGTATCCCCGCGCAGGTCATTGTTCTGGGCCAGACGCTCGACTTTGTGCGGCGCTTCTCGGCGAAGGCGCGCGCCGCTGGCTACGAGGGCGCGCTCGAGGGGCTCGTTTATCTCGCCGGGCGCGACGGCAACGACACCGCGGTCATGGACACGCGGGACTACAACCGTTTTTTCGCGCCGGCGTTCGGCGCCCACGGCTCGCCGACGCGCGCCGCGATGGCGCTGTCTTTGAAATATTATGCCGAGGAGATGAAGAACGGCGGCGCGCGCGCGCTCGTCGGCCCGGACGCCCAGCACGTCCAACTCCGCGCCGCGCGGGAGAGCTTCCGCCAGGCCCCGTTTCCGCAGGGATTACTCGACGCCGATACCGACGAAGAGGCGCTCGAGTGGCTGTCCTCCCAGTTCGGGGGCAACCTCCTGCCAGCCGAGGGGGAGACCGGTTATGAGAGAGCCCTCGAGAAGGTCAAGGCCGTCCGAGAACTCCGCGAGGACTCTTAATCTAAGGAACTTTGTCAAACTACAAACTTGAATTCAATCATACTACTTAGTACTTTGCGCGCGCCGCGAACGCTTCGCCGCGACGTCGACGCGTCAAAGCCCGACGTTGTACATCCTAAACAAATTACTTGTCCGACCCGAGGCACCGCAGGCAGAGCGCCGCGCCGAGGACCGCGCCGACGACGGGTCCCGCGCTATAGATCCACCAGCCCGCGGGGAAGGCGCCCGCGCCGCCCGAGAGCAACGCGACGAGCCGCGGCGCCAGGTCGCGCGCCGGGTTGAAGCCCGCGCCCGTCAGCGGTCCGACGAGGCAGATCATTCCCGCGACTGTGGCGCCGACGATGAACGGTCCACCTTTGCCAGGCACGGTGCTGGCGTGGCGCCGTCCCCCGGTCACCACGACCATGGTCGCGAGGATGGCCGTCGTCCAGCCCTCGATGAAGCACGCGCGCGCCGAAGTCAGGCCCGGGAAGCCCATGATCCACGGCGCCGGCGCCGCGAGCGCCAGTCCTCTCGTCGCGCTCGTCAGAACAGAGGCAACCATGCCGCCCACGAGCTGCGCGCCAATGTAAGGTACGACCTTTTTGACGGGGAATTTTTGGGTCGCGGCTAACGCAGCTGTGACCGCCGGGTTCAAGTGGGCTCCGGAGAGGTCGTTCGACGCGAGCACTCCGAGCGCGACGCCCAATCCCCAGACCGCCGCGACGCCCGACAGCGTCAATGCGCCGTCGATGGCGGACGTGGCCACCGCGCCGTAGCCAAACGTGAGTAGTATTGCTGTGCCAGTGGCCTCTCCAATCAATTCGTCGCGCGTCGCGGCCGCGAGTGCGCCGCCGCGTGCAAACGTCGCTGTTGCACTCGTTGCACTCTGCTGTTTGTAGCTGAGTGCTGCGCGAGGGGGTGAGAAGGCTGCTGCTTGCAGCGCTGCAGCTATGAGGAGGAACGCGCGCATGGCTGCTGCAGTATGAGCACGCAGTGTGTGCAGCGGGTGCTACCGCTGTAAAAGCTTGCAGACTGCGCCTCGAAGTGGCTCTACGCGACGTGTGGGATCGATTATCGATCCTGCTTCGTTCGGTGCTTCAGCTGGTGCGAGCACACAGCAGATGCAAGCTGCACCCGCGACGTTGCTAGCGTCATGTAACACTCTAGGATGCACGAGAGCTCGGCTTTTTGGTCGCTCATCAGGCCAAAGCTGTGCGCTGACAGCGCGAAAACAATCCTAAGAGATAGCCCGAAGCCGCTCGCCCACGTCTGCGACGCCTGCGCCCGCCGCCGCTGCGAGCAACACACGCAACACAACCATGCCGGAGGAAATAGCCAACCCTTTGCCGGACGACCGCTGCGTGATTGTCGTGACGGGCCCGATCGGCTACGGGAAATCACGCTTTATACGACGCCACCTCTTACCAGCCTTGCACAAACAGCAGCGCAAGGTAGCGTTACTCGAACATCGTTTTTCGTCAGAGTTCGGCCAACACGCGAGACAGCCGCCCAAAGAATTAGCGTTCAAAGAAGCGACGGCAAACGTCTTCGACTTTGGCGGTGGTTGCGTCTGCTGCTCGCCGCGCGGCGATGTGGAACGACGGACGCGGGAACTCATGGCCGCGGCCATAAAAAAAAAAGTACCCCTCGATACGATCGTCCTGGAAACGACGGGCGTCGCCGATCCGTTGGTCTTCGCGGAGTGCTGCCCGCGGGCCTTCAACGCGCGGAAAGCACTTGTCGTGTGCGTGTGCCTCGCGAAGGAAACCGCACCTTGCGAAGCACTAGAAAGCACGCTAAAAAGGCAACTGGACGTCGCGACCGTCGTCGTCTCGCAACGGACGACCTCCTCAAAGGCCTCGGATCCCAAGGAAGCCGTCGAAAGAATATGTAGAGCTATAACATCACCGTCACTGTCCCGACCTCAGTATGATGGCCCCAAAATCAACGACAGCAAGGACCCCTTCGCGCGGTACCCCGACTTGCAGGAGGAGAAGGCCATCATCCACGACAAAAAAGTGGAATCTTACGTGCTCATGGCGCCCGGCAAGGTCGACGTCGCCGCCTGTGTGGAAATCAACCTCCACGCCATCGAGCAGACGCAGCTACGGAGACAACGTGGGGCGCCTGAAATTTGGTTTCCACACAGGTCGAGAAGGCCGAGGACGTGTTACACTCATTAAGTAGAAAGAGAGGCGTGCTGCGGGTCAAAGTCGCCGCGAAGCTCCACGGCACGCAGCAGGGGTTGTGGCACGAAGACAAGCACGGCGGCTTTTTGATTGGCGAATCGAGCCCTTACGGTGTGACCTCAAAATTAGTCGACGAGGTCGCGGAGCATGAGAGGCTCGGTGATTTCCATCCTCATGATCCGGGTCGATGTTTCGTGGTCACGACGACGGATGCGGACGTGACGGCAGCGACCATGTGCGATCAATGGCGGAATTGCCAAGCGCCGAAAAATTATCAATGGTTGTGCGACGCAGAGCTCGAGTTTTCGAATGGTCAGAAGGTCTGCGAGGCGTTTCGTGGTTCCACCAAGCTCGCCGTGACCTTCCACAAGGTCCAGGGTAGATATTTGGTCACACCAGCATTACTAGATTGTGGTTGTGACTTGACCAAGGACTGTGGCATCGTCGAGGACGACGCCGGCTGGTCGCGGCGCGGCGTCCTTTTTTATTGTTGATGACGTCGCTGACGCCGCGTCGACGGCGTTGCGCTACGCGTCCACCGCCACGCCACGGTCGCGTCGATGCGATCACTCACCGCCACGCCCTCGCCGCGATCCACCGTCGCCCGTCGCAGGCGCGCGACCTGCCGTTCCCATGGTACTGTTCTGGATCTACTCAAACTATTACCAGGAATAGCCCACTGTCAAGGAAAGTCCCACGAGCTCTACGTGGCACGGGAAGGCTACGAACCTAGACCCCAGAAGTCCTTCGCTGAACTAATACATGATACGGGCTTAACGCAAGAGGAACAAGAAGACTATCCCTTGGAACCGGAGGAGGATCTGGGGCCCCAGAAACTCCCTTCATTTCAAGAAATCGTGACCGTGCTGCGAAAATACATCCCCGAGGAGGACCGGCCCTGGGACACGGTCGACTACGAAGAAGTGACAGAGGGGGCGCCGTATCCCGAGAAGCCGCCGCCACAAAAACCTCCTCCTTCACAAAAACGGTGCGACGCTTCCAAAGTCTTCCAGGAGACCCTGGATCATCTTCAGAAGCCGAAGCTGCCCTGGTCGTCGGGCGTCTTCAAAGGGTTAAGTGAGGCGGGGTGCATCTCGCATGATGAGGCGGAGAGGCTGTTTCCGGGGCCGCCTTCTCAGTCCTTTGCCGAGGCGCACCACGATCCACCGAAGCCTCCCGTTGTGCCTCCCCCTCAATGTCCGCTGTCGCTCATGGAGCCGCTGGCTCCCTCATCGAAAGTTGTTGTTGAGGAGCCTTCGGTTGATGAGGACGCAGTCAAGAGAGAAGCCGAGGCGTGGAAGGCAAAGGGGCCCAACCGGACGTCGTCGCCCTTGCGGCCGCCGACGCCGCCGACGCCGCCTCCTGAGGACGCGCCGACGCCGACGCCATCACCGCCAGCTGCCGCGCCGGCGCCGGCCCCGACGCCGGCCTTCGACTACTCGCGCTTCGACAAATTAAATGTGAGCGACTCCGACGACGAGGCCCAGGAGCAGGCGCACGAATTTGTGGATGAGGTGCTCAAAGAGGGGCGCAAGTTATTTGAAGACGGGCCGCCCGGTTCGCCGCCGGCGCCCTCGGCCCCGGCGCCGGCCCCGGCGCCCCGGCGGCGCGCGCGGGCGCCCGCGCCCGCTCCGGCGCCCGCTCCAAGGCGCGCGCGGGCCCGGGCGGCCCCGGCGCCGGCGCCGGCGCCTCTCCGAGCGGTAGCCGACGAGATGGGCGCCACCTCAGCGACAAACGACTTCGAGTTCGACGACGACGGCGACGCCTTCGTCGGCGCGGTCGGCCCGTCCTTGACGCGGGCCCAGGTCGACGGCTTCCGGGTTGTGGATTTGAAGAAGGAGCTCGCGGCGCGGGGCCTGAAGACGTCGGGCCTGAAGGCCGTGCTGAAGGCGCGACTGCTCGAGGCGCTCGGGCTGCCGGCGTCGTGATTGTTTTTTAACGTAGTTGTTTTGTGATCCCTGATTTGCACCGCGTGGTTCCAATTTGCACCGCATGGTTCCAGCTCGCGACGACGTCGTCATAGTGGGTAGTTCCGTTGTGTGGTGTCGTAACTGGCGTCCTGCTCGGGCTGAGATTCGCCCAGCTTCGACCGCGAGACGCGCCGGTGTATTTTTTGCATTAAAAACCGGATGGGTTGCCGCTAACAGTCCGGAGACCTCCCGCACACCTATTCATGAGTTCTGGGCTGAATCCTTTCGGGTCGATTTTCGGTGATCGATTGGCCTTGTCATCGACTAGAAATCACCGCGCATCCACTCGGTAGGACCCGCGGTAGCTCGCCAAGTGCAGCAGCACGTAGCGCAGCTAGTCTACGCACACGTGCGCAAGAAACCGCTGCTCAATCGCTGCGGTAACCACCAAAAACAGCCAGCGACGACAGCCACAAATCCAGCATGCCTGGCAACTTCGCGCCCTTCGAGGCGAAGATGAGGGCGGACGGGCTTTCGGACGCCGCGGTGGCGGCGTTTAAGAACGCCTACGATGCGCTCACGAGCGGCGCCACGGGCATGATCCCCGAGTCCGAGCTCACGCCGGCGTCGGGCGTCCCGAAGCTAGTGGATGTCGAAGCCCCGGAAGCCGACGCCCAACTCCTAGCCAAAACGGTGGTCCTCAAGCTCAATGGTGGGTTGGGCACGTCCATGGGCTTGGATTATGCCAAGAGTCTCTTAAAGGTGAAGGGCGCGGACACGTTTTTGGACCTCACGGCCAAACAAATCATGCAGATGCGCGACGACCTGCAGACGAACGTCAAATTTGTATTGATGAACTCCTTCGCCACGTCCGCCGACACGATGGCCTTCTTCCGCGAGAAGTACCCCGCGCTCTACGCGGACCCGAACTTGGAGTTCGTCCAGAACAAGGTGCCGAAGATCCGCCGAGATAACTTCGAGCCCGCCCTCTGGCCGACGAAGCCCAGTGTCGAGTGGTGCCCCCCTGGTCATGGTGATTTATATGCCGCTTTGTTGGGTAGTGGTACGCTCGACTCTATGCTTGCGCAGGGATCCAAATATTTATTCGTGTCGAACTCTGATAATCTAGGAGCCACCCTAGACCCCAAACTCCTATCATATTTCGCCCAGAGCAAGGCGCCGTTTATGATGGAATGCTGCGAACGTACTAGTAATGACAAGAAGGGAGGGCATTTGGCGTCGCGAGGGGGTCAGTTGATCCTGCGGGAGGCGGCGCAGTGCCCCGACGAGGACGAGGACGCCTTCCAGGACATCAGCAAGCACCGCTACTTCAACACGAACAACCTCTGGATCGACCTCGAGGCCCTCAAGGCCATCATGACGGCTCATGGTGGAGTGGTACCTTTACCGATGATCAAGAACAAGAAGACCGTGCGCTTGCCGCGTCTTCGTGAGACCACGTAGTGACGCTGTCGACGCGACGCGCCATCGACACGACCCCGTCACAACGCAGGTCGACCCCAAGGACGACGCGTCGACGCCCGTCTTCCAGCTCGAGACGGCCATGGGCGCGGCCATCGAGTGCTTCAAGGGCGCCACGGCCATCGTCGTGCCCCGCACGCGCTTCGCGCCCGTCAAGAAGTGCAACGATCTATTGCTATTAAGATCGGATGCGTACGCTTGCGTCAACTCCGTGCCCGTGTTGGCCGAAGGCGTCACCGCTGCCCCTTCTGTCTCGCTGGACTCCAAGAAGTACAAACTAGTGCAGCAGCTCGAAGCGAACCTTATTGGAGGAAGCGCCCCTTCTCTCAAGTCATGCTCGTCGTTAACGGTCAAGGGCGACGTGCGGTTATCCTCGAAAAACGTCTTCGTCGGTTCTGTCACCATAAAAAACGAATCTGATGAACCCAAGACCTTGCCTCCTGGACGGTATGAGAACACGACGATCGACCTGACGGCGGCGCCGGGCCTGGGTGCGCTCAAAGTCTCGACCCTCAAAACGGCGCCGATCGACGGCCAAAAACCCGGCACCTCTGGCTTGAGGAAGAAAACGGCCGTCTTCACGGAGGGTAAATATCTGCACAACTTCGTCCAGGCGACCTTCGACGCCCTTCGTAGTACGGGTGCCGACTTGGAGTGCCAGACGCTGTTGATCGGTGGGGACGGCCGCTACTACAACGACGTCGCGATCAACATCATCACGAAGATCGCGCTGGCGAACGGTGTGCGGAGGGTGTGGGTCGCGAAGGATGGGTTGGCCTCGACTCCCGCCGTGTCGGCGTTGATCCGGGAAGGCGGGCCCCAATGGAAAAAGGTCTTCGGGGCCTTCATCCTGACGGCGTCGCACAACCCGGGCGGGCCCAACGAGGACTTCGGCATCAAGTACAACTGCGAGAACGGCGGGCCCGCGCCCGAGAAGCTGACGAACGCCATCTACAAGAACACGACTACGATTACGTCCATAAAGATGTGTGCCGAGTGTCCTGATGTGGATCCTTCGGTGTTGGGCGAGACCGTGATTGAGGCTCGAGACGGCTCTCGACGTGTCAGTGTGGAGGTCGTCGACGGTGTGGCTGCTCACGTCGATCTACTCAGAACGGTGTTCGACCTCGGAGCCATCAAGGCGCTCTTAGACAGACCGGACTTCTCCATCTGCTTCGACGCCATGCACGGCGTCACGGGGCCCTACGCCAAGGCGCTGTTCTGCGACGTGCTGGGCCAGCCGGCTTCTTGTCTCATCAACGCGGTTCCGAAGGACGACTTCGGCGGGCACCACGCGGACCCGAACTTGACCTATGCGGTGGATTTGACGAAGAAGATGGGCGTCGACCGATTGGGCCAGCCTGTTGGTTCGTCTCAGGGTGTGCCGTCGTTGGGGGCGGCGTCGGACGGTGACGGCGATAGAAACATGATCCTCGGTGCGTGCCGGCGTCCTCATTGAGTCATCATGTCGCCTCGACGCCGTCGACGCAAGGCACCGCTCCGACGCCGTCGACGCGACGCCAACGCGCCCGCAACGCAGGCACCCAGTTCTTCGTCACGCCCTCTGACAGTTTAGCTATTCTGGCGGCGCACGCGGACTGCATCCCCTTCTTCGCGGCCCAGGGCGGCATCAAGGCCGTGGCGCGGTCGATGCCTACTTCCGGTGCCGTCGACCGCGTCGCCCAGGCGAAGAATTTGGCTCTCTTCGAGACGCCGACGGGCTGGAAGTTCTTCGGCAACCTCATGGACTCGAAAGCGCTGTTTGGTGGTACGGACTACACGCCCTTCCTGTGTGGCGAGGAGTCCTTCGGGACTGGTTCAGACCACGTCCGCGAAAAAGATGGCCTCTGGGCCGTGTTAGCTTGGTTGCAGATCTTGGCGGCGCACAACGCACCAGGCAAACCCTTAGTAACGGTCGAAAGCATCGTCAAGGACCACTGGGCGACGTACGGCAGAAATTATTACTGCAGGTACGACTACGAAGGGGTCGACAAGCCCAAGGCCCAGGCCATGTTCGCCGCCATGACGTCGGCTACATCATCGAACACGGGCCGCGTCGTGCAAGGTTCTAAGATTGCCACGGCCGACGTTTTTGAGTACCTCGATCCCGTTGACGGTTCTATCAGTAAAAACCAGGGCATCCGCTTCCTCATGGAGGACGGTTCCAGAGTTATCTTCCGGCTGTCGGGCACGGCGGGCTCCGGCGCGACGGTGCGCATGTACATCGAGAAGTACGTGCCTCCTACCGGTGCGCTGCACGAGGTCTGCGCGAACGTCGTCGGCGACTTGGTGAAGGCTGCCTTGGAGCTGTCGTCGTTGGTGAAGTTCACGGGCATGGAGTCGCCGACGGTGATCACGTAGTTGCTCGGTATCCCCCCTCATCCCCCCCGTCGTACATAGTATACCTGGCTAACACGAGTCACACGCTACTTACTTCTAGTCCAGGTCCGAGTCCGGGAGGATGTCCGAGCTTCGGATCGACGAGTCGTCGTCCGACGTGTCGGAGAGCCGCCCGATCGAGTGCTCGTCCCCCGAATCGTCCGACGTGTCCCAGTACTCGGCCCACGAGTAGGTCTGCGCGTACGGGTCGTCCTTCAGAATGTGGGCGAGGTCCTTGAGGGTCGCGGGATACGTCCGTTCGCGTAACATAGCCGCCGCCCTCGCCGCCTCCGCCCTCTCTGGTTCAGAATAATTTCCATACATACCAAGCGCGGTCATGAGGTGTTGCGGGGCATGGCGGTAGTGGACAAGCTCAGCGACCCGGGTCAGCAACTTGCAGATGCGGGCCAATATTAAAACCCACAGCAGCTCGTAGGCTCGCCCATTGTAAGCCACGCCGCGGTTTCGTCGCACGAGCGTGCGGATTATGCTATCCTTCGCCTCAACGGAAAGCTCGGGCAGCGCGTCGGCAGAGAAGCGCCGACCCCGGGGGAACAGTGTGGTGACAGACCGTCTGGCGAGCCGAACGTCCGGCTCCCACACACCATAAGTACCAATCTGTCTTGGCGTCATGGTCTTATCTTGCGTGAGAGCGCGCGCCAGCTCGATGTCCGCGGCAGTCATGGTGCTAGAGCCGCGGTGAGCGGAGCACATCAATGCGCCCTTGATCAGGCGCTGGACCCACGACTCTACGACATCAGTCAGTGCCCTCACGAAGACGTCCGATAGCTCCAGACTCGGTAAGTGCGAGGATAGTGGGCGGCACCGCGCGTGGAGATCCGTCACGATTCGAGTCCACAGAGCAGGTGGAACAAGTTTATACACGACACTGTCGTCTCGAGCTAGAATTCTCTGAGACTCTCCGTCTTCATAGCTCTCGAAAACGACTAACTCCAGCACGGCCCGCCGCCCGCCGTTCCCAACATCGCTTTGGGGAGAGAGGGCAAAGCTTTGGGCGTAAAGAATAGGTCGCGCCTCCCAGAGCTTGCGCCCAATGCCAGCCGGGCTCTGCAACAGACCGCAAAAGGCTCTACACACCGATTCGCACTTCACGAAAGCGTGGGCGTCGCGCACGAAGTCGAGGATGGCGAACATGAGATGCTCCGGTAGGCTCTGGACGGGAGAGGACCCGTGGGTAGCAGCGTCCACAAGGCACTGCGTGGGCGGCTCGTCGACGTGGTTGTTCCGTACTAGTCTGTCGTAAGCGGGCAAAGGGTTTTTCACCAAATCGACGTCGTTGATCGGGCCCTCGGCGGGAGAATACTCGTGCGCGCTCGCGCCAGGGAGCAGGATGGTTTGGTTAGGCCCTTGGATGTCAACACGAGACATGCTTATTTCGACGAGCTTCTACTCCACGAATGCCAGCGAATCCCAGCGTTAGCCGTGCAAAAAGCTGCGTGGCGCGTCGTCTCAGAGCTATACGGCTCCTGCGCGCAACGCTGTCGACGTGACCGGCCGCCGCTGCTTTGCTTGCTAGCGTATCACAGGCACTAGGCTCGCTCGACGGGTGGGCCCGGGGGGAGCGGGAGGGGTACGGGGAACCCTGCGAGGTAACTAGCCTCAGCCTCAGCCTCGCTCGGGGACGCGTTCACATGGCTTATATATTACATGTACATTACCCGAGGAACGCCCCGGACGTATTGCTTTGCGTCCGCTTCTTGCCGCCCGGGTCGAGGGCAAACTGACGGCTGAGACGCGCGTCGGACGCGTTCCACCACTGGGCGAATTCCTCGAAGGAAGCCTTCCCGTCGCCGTTCGTGTCCATCTTCCCAAATTCGGCGTCCGAATCGTCCACAGGAAACCCGAGGAACGCGGCCGCTCTCCTCAACTCATCAACGGACACGTATCCTGAGTTGTCGGCGTCGACGCGGGCGAAGGCCTCTCTCAAATCAGCGTCCGTCGCCGTCCTCAACTCAGCCTCGGTCTTATCGGCGATTGGCCCGCCAAAGCATTTGACGTAGTCGTAGGCGTGGGCGAGTTGTTTTGCGCGCTCCTCATCCGTCCAGCCGAGCTCCTCGGACATTATTTCCGCGACGCGTTCTACGGCGTCGCGCGCCGCTTCGGCGTTGAGGAAGGCCAGGCGCGTCCGTCGCGAGAGGATATCTTCGATTGTCACTGCATGCTCCCGGCAGGCATACCGCACCTCGGCCTCCACATAAGGGTAGCCCTCGGCGAGCGGGATACCAAAACGGGGATAGCGCTTTCCCGTGGGCCGAGCGAGCGCCAACACATCCCAGGCTCGTCCGCCGTAGGCCTGTGCTAGGTGGTTCGCGACTTCGGCGCGGACACCGCCGTGTTGTACGAGTTGCACCGCCAGCGTCGGCTCCCAGCCGTCGCGGCCCAGGAGGCCGATTGAGGTGGTCGTGCACGGCTCCGCGTTTTCAAAGTCGACGCAGACCTCGTCGATGAGCTCTTCAGACATCTCCCGCCAGGTCGTCCATTTCCCACCTGCCGCGAATACGACGTTTGTAGCAGGGTCCCGCGAGATCACATGATCCCTAGAGGCCGGCGCGCCGGGCGCCGCGTGCGGGTCGCGCGCGAGGGGTCGCCTGCGCGACCGACGCCGTCGCGTCATCTCTCTCGGTGCGGCACGAGTGTGGGACGCCGCGTCGCGACCAGCCGCGCCACGCACTTAATACATCCTTCCGCGACACGCGCACGTCCGGCGACAGGTAGCGCGAGCACTCATTTAGTAACCACTGTACTTCGTCTTCCGGCGCCGTCGGCCGCGTCTCCGCGGCGGAAGGCGCGTCCGTCGTTCCTACCAGCGTGTGCCCTAGCCAAGGTAAGAAGAACAAAAACCGGCCGTCGGACGTGTTGTAATCCAGCAGGCCCTGGTCCCGCGGGCAGTAGTAGCCGGGAAGGACGACGTGCGTGCCGGAGGCGCCCGCGACGGCGTCCTCTGCCTTCTCGTCGCCGAGCTTTCGCAGCGCGTCGGTATATGGCCCGCCACAGAAGACAACGGCCTTGGCGCGGACGTCGAAGCGCTGGCTCGTCACGCGATCGAGAACACTGACGCCGGCCGCACGCCCGTTCTCTTTTATGAGGCCAGTCACCTCGCAGTAATTTGCGACCGCTGCGCCGCGCTCCGCGGCCGTCAGAGCAATAGCTATGTTCGTGCGCGCGTCGTCGTGCATGGCCTCGTGAAACACGGTCGCGAAGAGCAGGCCTTTGTCTTGTAATTGGGGAAATCGCCGCTGCGCCGCTTTCGGGCCGACGACGAAGGACGGCGGGCACGTGAAGGAGGAGAGCGAGTCGTAGAACGTCGTGACCAGCGGCGACAGCACCGGGAAGAGCGAGAACAACGGGTGCCCAAATGGCGCGGGACTGACCCACCAGCGGTCGAAGGGTAACGCGATGGGCATCCAGTGGCACAGGTGCGGCTGCTGCTCGATCATGAACCGGCGTTCTCTGTGACAGTTGAGGACCATTCGAAACTCGGAGCCAAAGTCCCTTAGAGCTTTCATCGGTTGCGCGAGCGACTCCCGCCGCAGCAACCCGGCCGCGGCCGTCGCGAGGTAGCGGATGCCTGCCCACAACAACTTGGTCGAGCGGCTCGAGGTCTCCGAGCCATAGTCGCCCCTTTCTACTAGCGCGACGCGTAGCCCTCGAGCCGCCGCGTCGAGCGCCGCACCGGCGCCGACGCAGCCGCCGCCCACGACAACGACGTCGAACGGCGTGTCATGCTTGAGGCGCTCGACCTGTGCCGCCCGGCCCGGGATGCGCTCGAGCGACGGCGGCGTTATGGAGCCGGCACCGATGGGCGCGGCGAAGGACGGCGCGGCCGGATCGGTTATTGTTGCGAAGCGCCGCGACAGGCGCGTGCAGCGCCGTGCCAGTATTGCTGCTGCGGCCATGTCTCTTTGGTAACTTATGCGAGCGCAGCTCCTTCAGCAGCCGCTGGCTTGGAGGCTATAGCTGTGTTTGCGCAAAGCTATGGATGAAAGCTCTGCGATAGCCGCAGGCGTATTGAAGCGGGCTATGCGTCCCGCCTTGTAACGCAAAACAATTGCTACTGAGCAGGTGCGATTAGATGCGAGTCTGGCTGGGAGTTAGCTAGCGTGTAAATAGACACTAGCTCGGAAACGATGCTCATAGATCGGGTCGGGCCGAGTGTCTACTGGCTTTGTTGGAGTGTACGGTGCCGAACGCGTCGCCGCGGTCCAAGGTCGCCTGCGGGAAGTCGCGGGACAAGTTGATTGAACGGGCGAACGTTGCACATTGTTCGGGGGGGGTTTGCCGAGGCGGTTCTGCTTAGAAGGAGGTACGCTGTTATGAAAGAAGCGGCCCGCGCCCGCCGCCGATGAATCGGCGACGCGCGGTGTCTCCCCCCCAGGGGCTCCGCCCACTAGTCCTAGCACCGTAACATCGACTACTATGCTCATAGATGTTTTGGGGTGCCGATGCGGCTCTCTCACGCAGTCGGGGGTACGATCATGAAAAGGCGGCGACGCATCGGCGACGCGAGAGGCGGGCGCGCCCCGAACGTAACACGGCGCGTAAATGCTACTATTTACAAATACACACCACACGAGGTCAGGCCGCGAAGGGCACGCTCGAGTGGTGGACGACGATCTTCAAAGATCCATCGGCAGCCCGGCGGTACTGGAACGTGTACTCGACCTTCGTCTCCGAGCCGTCTAAGCCGGTGAAGTAGTACTCGCCCATCGCGGTGGCGGAATCGGAGAGGAACAGCGTCTTCTTGTTGTCGAACCGGACCGCGGTCCAGGGGGCAATCGCGAAGCCCTTGTCCTCGGCCACGGGCTTGTCCGCGGAGTCCGCCCCGACGAAATACGATAAGGCCTCGTCGTAGTCCAATCTAATCGCGGGATTTGCGGCCTTCGTCGGCTTGAAGAGCACGTCCATTTTCGAGTCCCAGCCGTACAAATCACCTAAAACTTTGACGGCCTCGGCCTTGTAGTCTCCTTTTGCGGTATAAATACGACCGATCTCCACAATCCCATCGCCCCAGGCCCGCTGGGCGTCGGCCACGTCCTGGGAGCTGATCGGGAGCGTGGGGGCCGCGCCGCCTCTTCTGAGAAAAACTCTTTTTGCGGCGCGCACCGGGGCTAAGGGCGAGAGCGCGTCGGAGCTGACGGCTGTCAACAGTAGGATCACGAGCTTCACCTTGACGGGGGCCATGGTATTTGTGGGCTGCGTTCGGGGCCTGCGCGCGGGGTTCTGGCGTCGACGGCGCGCGCAGTCGTGCATCGGTGCGATCGCTTGCAAAGCGTGTGCAGCGCGTGTCTGGATAAGCCAGCGATCCGTGCGCGCGATGCACGCAACTATCTCGCGAATCGCTCCAATCTGTTGAGAAGTTGTATAACTTGCATCATGGCTGGACGCTGCCGCTTGCGATTGCGTTGTGCAACAGGTATAGCACTGAGCTGAATCACACTGCTACTTTTTGTTACGGTCACAAGCCCTAATGCGGACTCATCCGAGCAAGCAAACACATGGCTGCTGGAACCCTGCCAGAACAGATAGCATGCAGGTAAAGCTAGCGGCCTGCAAGACACTAGGCATCCATCAAGGAGCAGCCAAAGCCAAGAGCACGACAATAAGCGGCGGCAATAGAACAAGGTCATCGTTGCAGTAATAACCCCTGCACTGTGCCAGATCAAAAGCAGCACAAAGCGAGCTACATGCAGCCCAAACAAGCATGGCATAGAGCCCTGCACAGGGTGGCACTCACCCTGCTATGCATGCAACCAGCAGCACCCTTCTCGACACCAACAACTACCACGGAGCAGCTCCGAGCAGCCCACCGCAGCGAACGCTTGAATCTCCTGAACCACCCTTTACAAATCCAGCTCGCGACCGGCGCGCTGCCGTACGGATCCTTTGTTCGCTTGTGCCACGACCGAAGCACAATACTCGAAGCGGTGCGCAGCGCTGCCGCGGCCGCCGGCGCCGACGTCCTCTCAGCTGAGGTCTCAGAGGCCGAGGCGACCGCGAAAGCCTGGCTCGACGCGGCCGAAGCGGCGGGCAAGACCATCAGCACCGGCGATCCTTCAATAAAGTGCTACGCGTGCGGCGGCGACCACCTCAACGTGGACTGCCCCGAGGACCTGGCCGTCACGGGGCCCGCCCGCGCGGTGGCAGCGGTGCTGCGGTCGTACAGCGGTGCCGAGGCGGCAACGGGCGTCCTCGCGGTCTGCGAGTACGGCTGGGCCTGCGACACGCTGCTCAAAGCGGGTTTTGAGACGCCGTACACAGGCTGGTTAACAGCCCACGCCGAGTCGCTCGCGAAGGCGTCGGCGGCCGTCGCGCCGCTCGTCGACGCGGCCGACCGGGACGCCGTCGACGCTTCATATGTGGCGGCGCTCTCCGCCCTCTTCAACTTCGTCGACAGCGAGGCGTCGACGGCGGGGCTCAAGGGCGCCGGCGAGGCCCTCGAGGCCGCGCGACGGAAGCTCGACGCGCTCGAGCCGGGATTTTTAGAGGCACAGGACCGCAACGCGAATTTCGTGTCGGCGACGCTCAAAGCACAAGCCGCGAAGAGTAGCGCCGGCGCGAAGAAAATGGACGCCGCGGCCGCGTACCTCGCCGCGAAGAAAGCCAAGGCGGGGGGCTAACATTGTTGTGATACACGTCCCTGACGCGTCGGCGGCGCACGAGGCGCGAGAGCGAAAGTCGTCGCCGGGCGCAACGCTATCGATCCGGACGCGTCCCACGCGGTCCCCCGCCGCCCCGGAGTCTCCCGCGCGCCGCGCATTCAACGTTCGGGCTCCGCGATGGGGAAATCACGACGCGGCGTCGACGGAGGTGAATACAAGGCCCGCGGGCTGCCTCCCCGCGCCCAAATCGCGTGCAAGCCCGCCGCCGAGCTTCGCCAAGGCCACGCCCCCACCGCGCGGCCGTGCCACGCGCTGCCGCGCCGCGCGCCGTAACAGGCGAACACGGCTGCCGCTGCCCCAGCGTCGTCGTCGTAAGAAACGCCTGCCCCGCGAGCGTCGGCAGCGCAACAAGCAAGCATGCTGGCCCCCCGCCCGCGCGACGCCGCGGCACCACCAAGTTCAGATGATGACGAGGCCCAGCTCGCGATCGCGGTCGCCGCCGAGATGGCTCGAGGGAGAGAAGAAAACTTGTACATCGAAAAGACGCGAGGTTTATTGAGGTTGATGCGCCACGCGCTGAGCTGTCCCGCGGCGAGGGGCCGCGCGAACGCGCCGCCTTGTCCTGTAGCCGACTGCGGCAAGGTGTCGCTCCAGCTCAATCACGTGGCCAACTGCAACGGGGACAACTGCCGCGTGCCGGGCTGTAAGGTGACCGGTGATCTCATGCGGCACCATCTGTTGTGCTGGAACGCGCCCCCGGAGATGAGGTGTTCGATCTGTGCGCCGGTCTGTGCGGAAGCGGAGAACGCCGTGAAACCGCCCATGCACGTGCCGTCGCCGCAAGCCAGGCCTCGAGTGATGCCTCCACCAATAGCTGCGGAGTCGGACGCTCCCGACGCGTTTCGCTGTCCCATCTCGGGGCGAGTGATGGAGGACTGCGTCATGCTGGTTAACTCTGGGCAAAGTTACGAAAGGAAACATTTGTTGAGGGAGCTGGAAGCTCGAGCTGGTGTGGACCCTTGCACGCAGGCTCGCTTCGAGGACCGACCGCTCATAGCGGAGAACCGAACGCTAGAACGAGCCATAGCCCACTGGCGCGAACACCGCGTGAAGGATTCTGGTGGTCATGGAGTGGCAAAGGTACCGACGGACGAGTCGGGCGAACCCGTTCGAAGGCAATGTTCGACATGTAACAAATTTAAGACGCAATTTCAAATGAGAGGGGACGGCACGATGCTGAAGACTTGCGATAGTTGTCGCTTGCGGGCGCGCGGGTACTATACGTCGCGACGGAAGCGGAAGCAGGGCGAGGTCGACAAGCGCGAGGCGGGCGGCGACGCGCTGATCGGGCTCTCGGCGGCGACGGCTCCTCCCGCGTACGCGCGGACGCCCGGCCCTACACCCCCGTAAGTGTATGATGAACTCGTGGAAAATGGGCCACGCTGAGCTGCGCCGCATCGATGGCGTACAGGGGAGGGGCACCCGTGGCCGCACGGCGCCTAGCACTGTAGTAGTAGCAGGGAAGAAAACTAAGAAGCCTTACTGCACCACATCGCCCGGTAGTCCTCGTCGTCGGACGATGACTCGGAGCCGGAGTAGGACTCCCCCGACGACGAGGACGACGAGTCCGAGTCCGAGGACGACGCCGCGGCCGCCGCCGCCTCGGCCTCCTCGATCTCCTCCTCGCTCCTCGTCGCGCGCGCGAGCGCGTCGCGCGTTTCCCTTTCTTGGGCGCACCGCTCCAGAGCAGCCGAGAGTGCCAGCGCGCGCGCCCGCCTTCTACACGCGGAGTCGCGCGTCCGTTGTATTAACGAACCGACGTCTCGGAGTCGCCCAGCGGCCGAGACGCACGCGTCGCGCCGTTTCATCGAAGCGGCGTGCGCGTCGCGCACCTCCGCGAGCCTCGCTCTTGAAGCCTCCATGGCGGCCTCGGCATTCAACCGTGCTTTCGATGCTTTCTCCAGCCGCTTGTCGCGCGCTTGGTCCAGCTCCGAAAACATGGTCTTTTCCACCCTATGTCGCCGCAGATCCGAGGCGAGGGCCTTCTGCCGATCACAAAGTTTTTGAGCCTGTTCCGCCCGTTCGTTCTTGCGGTCCGTCAAGCGCGCGTTCCGGACCGGCGCGCGGGCCACGTCCGCTTCCACTCGTTTTCGCGCCTCGACCTCGTACTGCGGATCCAACTCGCGGAAGGTCTCCCTGCCCAATCTCGCGACGGCCACGCGCGCCTCGCGAGCTTTAGTTTCTCGTTCGGCCCGCGCCGCCTCCCTCTTGACTGATTCTTCATCTAGTTCTCGCCGCACGGTCCCGACCTCCTCCCTCAGCCGCTCGTTGATGTCCTGTCTGAGATCGACGTCGCCGACCTCGATCTCGAGTTGCGACCGCTCCTCTGATAGTTGCGAAACGGCTCGTTCGAGTGAAGAACATTCTGATTGATGCGTGTCGACTCGCGCAGCTTTGGCGCGCTGCCGGTCCTTATGTCGTTGATCAGCTTCCGCTTCTTGCGCGGCCAGTTCCTCGAGCTTCGCCAGGCGCTCTTTCTGCAAATCGACCTTGAGGACGTCCTGGATGGCCGCTCGCGCGCGCGCCGCGTCGAGGCGCCGCGCTAAGTTGTCGATGGCGTCCTGGGCCTTCTTGGCCTTCTTCTCCTTCTTGGAGAGCTTCTTCTTTTTCGGCGGGACGGCGGCGTAGGTCCATTCGTAGGTCTCGTCGGTCGGCACGTAGCTCCAGTCGTAGGCCTCGGGCTCGGCGGCGCCCGGCGGCGGCGGCGGGGGGAGCGCGGCCATGAAGGCCCGGATCTCCTTCGTCTCGATCCTCGCCGGGTCGTACTTGTGTTTTTCTTTGGTCTTGGCCTCGCACGCCGCGCAGGTCGGGGGCTCGTCCTTCGGCTGGGCCGCCTTGCAGTTCGGGCACAGCCGCGCCATGGCCTCCTCCGATGGCCGCTGGCCGAGCTTGGCGAATGCCGCGCGCTTCTTGTCGATGACCGCTTTCAGCACGGAGACGTCGTCCTCGGGCGCGGCATTATTCACTGCCAATTGCGCCCGGTCGAGCACGATCGCGAGGTTGTCAGTGGCGTCCTGCAACTTCTTGGCCTTTTTCTCCGCCTTGGAGAGCTTCTTCTTGGGCATGGTTTACCGCCTCGCGCTGGCTGGGTTGTCTGGCTGGTTTCACCCTCGCGCTGGCTGGGTTGTCCTGGCTGGTTTCACGCCTCGCGCTGGCTGGGTTGTCTGGCTTGCCCCAGGACCGCGGCAAGGACTATGGGGCTGCCGCCCGCGCCTCCGCGACGACGCCTGCGGCCGTGTTATAGACTTTCGGCAGCTTGTCGAGGCCGTGGCACCACAGCCTCGGCCACACGATTCGCAGCGCCGGTAACCTGTGAAAAGCTAGTATGTCTGTCGACGCTAGCTCCGCATTTTTTGCCGTCTCGCTTTTGTAGCCCAGCACTGCAAACCACGGAGCGCAAATCCGCGATTGAGCACTGCTCTATATATACTTAATCGCTAGCCGAGCTTTGACGCTGAACCACGTCGCCCGGACATAACAACACATAGCCAGCTCGCAGCCAGTGATAAAAATGGCCGAGCTAGCATTCCCGAAGCGCCTCGCCGGCAAAAAGGTTGCTATCTTCATCGATTATCAATTCGAAGATTTGGAGGTGACATTTCCCATGTTAAGATCTGTGCATAAATCAAATTCTCGTGGTGCGTCTCCACTCACTGGTTGCTTTGCGCACAGGTTACGACTGCAGGAGGAGGGCGCCGAGGTCATTGTCGTCGGCGCCCACCCGGCCGGGCAAAAGTACACCGGGAAATACGGCTACCCCGTCAAGTCCCACGTGAATATAGAGGAATTTTCGAGCCTGACCGTCGATGGACTGGTGCTCCCAGGAGGCTTCGCCCCGGACTACATGCGACGCAATAAGCACATGCTCGAGGCGATCACGACGTCGATAGAACTCGGCAAGCCCTGCGCGGCCATCTGCCACGGGCCCTGGATGTTCTGCTCGGCGCGGTTTCCGAACGGCCAGCCCGTGTGCCACCAGAGGCAGTGCACTTCATTTGTTGCCATCAAGGACGACTTGGTGAATGCGGGCGCTCAATTCGTGGACGCGCCGGTCGTGGTCGACGGGCCGTTGATCACGGCGCGGACGCCCGCGGACTTGATTCCGTTCTGCCACGCGCTCATCGAAGCGTTGATGTGATATAAGTACTAGTACCTTACACAACAAAACCACGACGCCATCGCCGCGACGGCCAGCAGGCGACGGCGTGGCGGCTGCGGACCGAAGTGAGCGAGGGCGCGCCGGCCCCCCTCGTGCCCACGCGGGACGACTCCGGGAACCGCCAGGGCGTCGTCGTCCACGACGCCTGGGGGGGGAGGGCTGCCCCTGCTGCCGGCGCACCGGCCGTACCGCGAGCGCGGGCCAGCCTACTAACCTATGTTTCTCCGTACCGCGTGCCTTCCGCCGCCGCGCGGGGAAGAGTGGGGCTTATTTTCCTCCGAGCCGCACTTGACGCGCGACGGACGCCCGGTTCGCGACGCGCGTGCGTTTTTTTCCAAAATACATATATACTATCTAGAGGAAAGCTACTGTGGACTTCGCACGACTGCTGCGCCACCGCGGATTTTTGGATATTAGTGATGTCAAATGATGATAACAAAGATGCGCGCAGCGCGCTAACAGAGGCGACGAGTTCTTTTGAAGATGCGTGCCCTTGTGAGCGCCGCCCTGATGCTGTCCGTGACCAGCGCGCTGCTGCCGCTGCGGGCCCCCGCGGGCGGCCCCGTTCTGAGCAGCTGCCTGAAACCTTGGAAGGGCTGCCCCGAGGGCAGCTCCCTGAGCGGCTCCCGGCTCGGTGTCGCTGGTTTCTCCGAGGTCATGGCCATGTACCAAGACGGCAGCACGTCCGACAAAAGCGGCAGCACGTGTGCGCCGCACGGCGAGAACGGCCTCGACCGCGCCGCCCCCAAGGCCCTGGCGACGAGCCCCGCCGCGACGGCGCTGCGCCAGCTCTACAAAAACTCCGGCGCGGACGGCAGCACGTCCGACAAAAGCGGCAGCACGTGTGCGCCGCACGGCGAGAACGGCCTCGACCGCGCCGCCCCCAAGGCCCTGGCGACGAGTCCCGCCGCGACGGCGCTGCGCCAGCTCTACAAAAACTCCGGCGCGGACGGCCTCTACGCCGACGCGTTCGACTCCGCGACTATGAAAGGCGGGGCGAAGGCCGAGCTCGACTCGAACAAGTACCAGGCGGGCGGAATGCGCGCGCTCCACGCCATCGAGCAGGTCAGCTGCGTGCAATCCAAGACGATGGTCCAGGGCACGATCAAGCACGCTGCTATTGCTACTGATGGGCGTGTGACGGCCGAATCGGCATGCACGGGCAAGCCCACTTACAGCTGCGTTTCGAGCTTCGAGCAAACAGCGGAGGGCTGCTCCGGCGAGACTATAGGAGGCTGCCCGCTCGCCGGCAGCGCGAACAAGCCGGCCGGGAACGACGTCTTGGACGTCGCGTCCGCCGAACAGGCGCCTTCGAACACGACCGAGGGCGGCGTCGACGAAGAAGAAGCTGCCGAGGGCTACCGCGGGCGGGCTTCCCGGTGGCTCTTCCAGTTTCTTGCGATTTCGATCGGAATTGTTTTGGGACTCTTTGTGTTCGGAAGGGTTATTCCGCGGTGCAGTAGCTCGGCGAAGGGCGCTGCCTGGCGCTCGTACGTCGTCGCCTACCTGCTTATTTCGCCAGAGATCGCCCTCGTGGAGGCGGCGGCGACTTCGGTCCGCAGCAGCGACTACACAATTACGAAGAGTTCCAAGATCAAGACCAACGAGTCTCCGAGCTCGTCAGTCCAAAGTCTTGGGCAGCGGCGCGTGCTGTCGGGCTACGTGATGACCGACAGCAACATTAGAACGGCCGTTACGGCGTGGTTCTCGGACCCGAGTGCTGCCGAGTCGACGTACGGCCACATCTCGACGTGGGACACATCGGGGGTGACGGACATGTCGCAGTTGTTTTGTTCAGCTTATCATGCGACCTATCGGCCTCTCTGCAACACGGACGCGTCGTCCTTCAACGAGGACATCACCGCGTGGGATACCTCCGGCGTCACGACGATGTCGTTTATGTTCGGCTGGGCCTCGGCCTTCGACCAGGACATCGGCGCGTGGGACACCTCCGGCGTCCTGTCGATGGATGCGATGTTCAACTACGCCTCGGCCTTCAACCAGGACATCAGCGCGTGGGACACCTCCGGCGTCACAACGATGAGCGGGATGTTCCGCGACGCCTCGGCCTTCGACCAGGACATCGGCGCGTGGGACACCTCTGGCGTCACGACGATGTACTACATGTTCCTCAGCGCCTCGGCCTTCGACCAGCCGCTAAACGACTGGCGGATCGACAAGGTCATGAGTATGGCACGGATGTTCTACGACGCCTACGCCTTCGACCAGGACCTCGGCTGGTGCGTGGCCGACGACGTGGAAATGTACCAAGCGTACTCCAACACCCCGTGCTACTCGACGTCGTGCGGCATCAAGCAAGTGGCGGGCGGATGCGCGCCAACGCCCGCGCCGACAATGTCGCCACAACCGACCACGGCGCCGTCGCCCGCGCCGACGATGTCGCCACAACCGACCACGGCGCCGTCGCCCGCGCCGCAGATGTCGCCATACGTGATGACCGACAGCAACATTAGAACTGCTCGCGACGCGTGGCTCACTAGCGCGACGGCCGCGGAGGCGACGTACGGCCACATCTCGACGTGGGACACATCGGGGGTGACGGACCTCTCTCGTTTTATTTGGACATCGTCCTTCAACGAGGACATCACCGCGTGGGACACCTCAGGCGTGACGACCATGTACGAGATGTTCAGCGGCGCCTCGGCCTTTAACCAAGACCTCAGCGGCTGGCAGGTCGACAAGGTAGATGATATGGAAGGGATGTTCAAAGACGCCTCGGCCTTTGACCAGGACCTCGGCTGGTGCGCGGACGACGACGTGGACCTGGAGAACGCGTTCTTACACACCCCGTGCGCGTTGACTCTTTGTGGCGTGATGTGGGAGACAAATACTGGCGACTGCGACGTATCGCGCACGGGAAACGTCATGGTCAACTGGAAAATCAGATGGGCAGTTAATGCGTGGATTTCGGACGCGACGGCAGCCGAAGCGACGTACGGCCACATTTCCACGTGGGAGACCCAGGGGGTGACGGACATGAGTTGCCTCTTTACAACAACAGCAGCTACTCACGAGTGCGAATACTATTACAACAGGGCCGCGGCGTCCTTCAACGGGGACATCGGCGCATGGAACACCTCTGGCGTCAAGACGATGCGCTATATGTTCTGGGGAGCCTCGGCCTTTAACCAGGACATCGGCGCGTGGGACACCTCGGGCGTCACATCCATGTCTTCCATGTTCTACGAAGCCTCGGCCTTCGACCAGGACATCAGTGGTTGGGCGGTCCACAGCGTCACGGAGATGGGTGGGATGTTCATGGGGGCCTCGTCGTTCAACCAGGACCTCGGCGCGTGGGACACCTCGGGCGTCACGTCGATGTACGCGATGTTCGCCGACGCATCGGCCTTCGACCAGGACCTCGGCTGGTGCGTGGCCAACACTTACTTGATGCTGTATGGAACCTTCCACGGCACCCGATGCGAGTCGACGTCGTGCGGTGTCGTTCAAAATGCTGCAGGCACCTGCGCACCTACGCCAGCGCCGACCGCGACCCGCGGCAGTGGCACCGTCGGCAGTGACACCGTCGACGCCGCCACCCGCCTCTCAGGCGTCAGCGCCGCGCTCCTCGTGCTCGCGCTCGCCGCGTGATCCGCGTGCTCTGCACGAAGACCCCCTAGACGTAGGTACAAGTCACCACACAGTAGTAGTTAGTTACGCCCCCGGCTCAGGCGCATCTCCGCGAACCGTATCGCGTCCGCGACCTGCGCGTTCTTCGGCTCGAGGTCGCGGGCCTTCCCGAGCTCGGGCAGCGCCTCGCGATACCTCCCCAGCGCGTGCAGCGCCAGGCCGCGCCGGAAGTGGGCCTTCGCGTACGTATCGTCGAAGCCGGCCGCCGCCGCCGCGTCCTCCAGCGCGCGGCCGTGGTCGCCCAGCTTCAGGAAGCACGCCGACCGGTTCGCGAGCACCACGGCCCGCGGCCGGCCCGCGGCGAAGGCCGGCCGCTCGAGCGCCGTCGGCGGCCCGCTCCTCGGCGACCGTTGATGAGGAGGCGCCCTCCCGCTCCAGCTCCCTCAAAGTCGTCCCGACCAATCGTTTCGAGGTGCCCTGCACGATGCGTTCCGTGAGTAACTTCCCGTCGACCAGCTGCGTGACGAACTGCTGCTCCTTGATCGGCGTGTCTTTGTCGCAAAGCGAGCGGTCGAAGTTGTCCACCTCGACGCGAAGCGAGTCCTGGCGCCCGCCAACGGCGACACCGAGCCGCCGACTGCGCTCGGTGAAAACACTCCTTCGTCGCCCGTATAATAGAACAGTCGTCACATAAGTCGCACTGCACCGTGTGTAACACTTTTGAGGTGATGAGCGTCGTCTTCGTGCACCGCCTGACGCGTGCGGGCGGAGACGCCGTCGAAGCGCCCTACACTCGGCCCGCGAGCGCCTTCTCGAAGTACTTCCACGCGACCGAGAAGACCGCGCCCTGGAGGCAGTTGATCGTCAGCCTCGTTTCTAAACCTCTGAAAAATAACCCTTCGACGCCGTCCTCCTCGAGAATGGCCCGCGCCGCTTGCAGGGGGTTCGTGTCTTCGTCGGGCGACGTCTGGACTTTTGTCTTCACAACTCTAATAGCGTTGCTGCAGACGTCCGAGACGCACGACGCGCAGACTCCGAGCAGCGCGCGCCTCACTAACGCCGCCGCCGGCCCGTCGTACAACTCTGGTGGGAGTGATTGATCCAAAGAATTGTAGGTCAGGAACCAGGGGTAGTTGCCGACGAACGTAGCTGCGGCCGCCGCCAGCGACCCGCGCCATAGCACCCCGGGGCCCACCGTGCTAATGCGGTCCGTCAACGCGGTTGCCGAGCCGTCGACCTGCAGCGCCGTCTTCAGCGCGTCGACCGGCGCGATGAGGATGCGCCAGCCGGCCGCCGTCGCGGACGCCACGGCCTGGGAAGCAGGCAAGGGTATTCCCGGCACCAAGGAGACTATGAGAGTGGGCACGGCGGCGTTCGCCGCGGCGTCGCCGAAGCGTGAGAGCGGGTTTTGGACCAGAGCGTACTGGACGCCTCGGTAGAGTCGCGGCAGGCCGCCCTCCTCGTACAACTTGGCTACGGTGGCGAGCGTGCCGTTGCCGCCGTTGGCGTACTGGTAGTTCATGGCCGTCCGCAGCCACATCAGCGAGCTCACCTGAACGACGCCCGCGAGCGCGCCGCTCGCGCCGCCGCCGATGGCTTTCGTGGCTAGTGCGCCGTAGTCCAGGGCGACTGGCGTCGCGCTGGCGATCACGTGCGACGCGGCGGCGACGTCTAGCACCATGTGTGGTGCTGCTCGCGGTGCTCTCCGTCTCCGAGGTGCAGGGCGCAGGGCATTGGTGGTGATGAGCAGGAGCGCTGCTCTTCTTGCGTAGGCCATTGCTGTGCAACTATCGCTGTGCGTGTTCAGCAGCAGGCGGTGCAACAAAAGCTGAGTCGACAGCGCATCGAGCTAGCGTCCTGTAAGGCACTAGCAAGCTTTTGGCTAGGCCAAGCGGGACGGGGCCACGCGGCGTTAATAGATCGATCTGAGTTTTCAAAACACCGCACCGACGACTGGCTATAGTTATTCCTGCAAGACACCTCGCCACAGGAAGCTCAATGGCCCAAATCGAGGTCACAGGCCTCGCCGAGGTCCTGAGCGACCACGAGAACAGGATCGCGGCGGCGCAAGCGTGGTGCGTGCAACAAAACATCCGCTCGATCGACGAGCTCAAGTCGCGCGGCGACGCCGCCGAGGACGCGTTCATCGTCGCTGCCTTCTCTAGTCACCGCGTCGGGCCCGTGGACGCCGCGGGACGCGTTAGTTTCACTGGAAATTTTCTCGACGAGCGCAAGATCAAACAGCGCATTCGCGAATACCAGCCGCCGCCGCCGCCGCCCACGCGTTCGCCGCCACTGTGGGCCACGACGGAGCCGAAGCCGGCCCCGTACGAGGACAATGCGAGATCGCTCCTCGGCGATGGCCACGCCGCGCGCTGCCTGCGCCTGCGCCAGACGCTCCCGCGGCTCGAGATGCCCTGCGTCCGCGCGGCCACGGCGACCATCGGCGTGCTCTTATATCGCGCCCGCGTAAGAGAGCGGGGAATCCGCCGCCTCATTTACGCATTTGCGTTCGCTGTGCCCACCGACGAGGAACGACGCGCCGAGGCGGCGCGCGACGCGAAATTCGTCGAAGATTACGGCGGCACGATTGGGACTGTCTCTACGGGTCCCGATCCGCCGATGCGGCGTGGGGCCCTCGCCGCGGCCGTCGCTGAAGCGCTCGCGGGTCCGCCGGGGATGACCAAGGTCGCGAGGGAGATGACCTCGCTGGCCGACTCGCCTGAGGCCTACGACCTCTATATTTTCGCCGACGAAGGCTTCGAAACGGTCGAATTCCGGACGCTCCTCCAGTTCGAAGCCGCGTTTCCCGCGATCGTGGGGTGCGAGACGCTCACCATCCGGTCGAAGTTCGCGCGTCAGACCAGCATCTGCGTCGGCGGGCGTGTGCGGCACATCCGCGAGGCTGGTGGTTCCTTTGAGTCAGACGAAGCTTTTTTCACGGGCGAACTTGCGCTGCTGCCGATTGAGCACACGTTCGCCGCGCCTCGGCGGTCCTCGTCGGGTCGCGGCTACTTCGCGGTCGCCGACCTCGCGCGCGGGCTCAACGTGCTTCCGGAGTCGTGGCGGCAGCTCGGTCGCGTGAGGGGCCTCGTCGCATGGGATGCTGGCGACGATGGCAACCTCTCCTTGGGTCGCTTCGAAAGCCCGAATGCGAGTTGTCCTATCGACTTTGGCACGTGTACGCTGATGGTCGATTGGGCATCCGCCGAGTTCTCGCTCGACGGAGACCGCGGCGTGCTGGACGTTGAGTGGTTGTTGGTCTGCGACGGCATGTTTAACGTCATGAGCTCGCAACCGGAGCCCCGTGATTGTTTCGGCCAGGGGGCGAGCCTAGCCGAGATGGACCCGGTAGAGCCGAGGCGCGACCTCCGATGGAGCCACGATGACGAAAACTACTCTATTCTCGAAAAGTGGTGCGGCGATGTGATTTATAGGGAGAAGGACGTCGACGACCTCCCTCTCCATCGTCTGCGGCGCACCGTCATCGACGCCGAGCGCTGGCTCAACCCCGGCATTTTCCGCGACTGCCCGGATTACCTCCCGTACTACGTTTATGACCCTAGACTAGGGTGCCTTCTTGTTGCGCTGCGGGAGCAGTAAAAAACAACACAATAAGATTAATCCTCGCAGCACCAAAGCTCGTCCCCCTCGCTCGTCGGGCAGCAGACCCCTTCATCTAACCCCAGCGCGACGCATTTGGGGTGCGCGGCGCACGACGCGTCGACCTTCACACTAGTCACGTTCGGCTCAGACAAGACGACCGCGGGCGACGGCGGCCTGGTGGAAGCCCACCAGAGCATCGTGGCCAGCGACAGCGTCGAATCCAAAGCCGGCTCCGCATCTGCATTTGCGAGCGCTTCGATGTCCGCGACCGCTCCGTCAGCATCGCCGACGGCCCTTAACAGAAGCAGCAGCGACCGCCAGGGCCCCTGCGCCGCGTCATACTGATCGCCTGGTGTGCTTCCCGAAGTTTTAGGTGCGTCCGGCACCCTCACTCCCGAAACGGGAGGCAGCCCCTCCGAGGCAGCCTTGTAGATCCGAGACGCAAAAGCCGCGGGCGCGCTCAAGTCCCCGCGCAAAAAACCACCAACTCTAGCCGTCGCCGGACTAAATGGTAAACAATTGATCAGCACGGCATACGCCGCGGCTTCGCCGAACCAGGTCCTCGCAGAGACATCCAACGCCCCAACCACACCAACAATAGCGTGATCAGAAGAAAAGGGCCTCAATCCTTTATACACTCCCTGTTGATCAGCAACGCGCCAGTAGTGCCTTCCCGCTCTAACCTCGAGCGCCAACGCTAACCGAGCGAAATCTCGGAGCTCGGGATCTCCGGTAACGGAGCCCCACAACGCAGCCCCATAATAGGAATGCGCCGCCTCCGAGATACTTTCCTGGGACTTGCCGTTCTGCAAGGAAAACAAGCCCGACGCCCAGGAGTGGCCGTCGTACCAGTCCTTGTGGCGCGAGACCGTAAAGTACGAACTTCGCGGCGCGACGGACACGTCGCCCTCGAGCAGTTTCCGCCGCCCGAAGGGGTTGCAGTAGTCCATCACGATCGCCGAAACCGCAGACTCAGCTTCGCTGTGGTGCTGGCCGTCCTCGTCGAAGCCGAGGTGCTTGGCCACGGCCGAAGCGTGGACCAGATACCCATAATGGAAGTGGTGGTCGTTGTACCGGCCGTTGCCGAAGTCCGCGTGTGCGTCTTTGTAGCCGGCGCGCGTCACGACGCCGCCGTGGGAGGCGTCGTAGACCAGTAAACTGTTGGCATCGGCAGCGAGCCAGGGCCGCAGGGCTTTCTTGAGTTTGAGGCCGTGCTTTCGCGTTAGTTCCTTGTCGTTGACCTGCTTCGCCGCCAGTGCGATCGACGCTAACCGGTATAACCGCTTGCCCGCCGAGTAGACGCCTGCACTTGATGCTAAGGACCGTTCGTCCTGATCCGGCTCGAACTTTTGTAGCAATGTCTTCATCTCGTCTCTGGCAGTACTGGGCCCGAGGTCCCACTTCAGTTCACCCAGCGGTTCGCGGAAGCGCCACTTCTCGCCGACGACACCCCTCAGAGGGCCCTTCAGCGATTTATACCCGGTCTCCATGCTACTCTCCAGTATCGTGTCGCCGTGGTGCCTGTGTGGAAATCAAGCAGTGAGTTATCGTCGCTTCGATGGCGTGGAGCCTCCACGCCGTCGAGCAGACGCAGTTACGGAGACAACATCGCGTCGATGGCGCGCGGCGGCCCGAAATTTGATTTCCACACAGCGTGGTGCGGCAGCGCCAGCGTTAATAGTGACGAAGGCAGGCCTCCAGATACCCCCCAGACATACGACATTTCGACGACGTCGGGTTCCGCGTAGGACGCGTGCCACGCGACGCGTCCACTGACAGCGTAGCTTGTCGCGTGGTCGTCCAACAAGGCTTCCGTCTGCTCGTCGGGCACGTAGGCTAGTCTCAGAATCGTCTTTTCCTTGATGGTAGCTGTCAGAGCTTTGCCCTCCTCCAGCGCTATCGGTAGAGAGGCATGCAGTAACCATTGCGACCCGTCGCCCAGCGTAACTTTGTGGCGCTTCGACGAGGAAGCAAGGCGTCTCCTACCGGCCTCGCAGCACCCGAGGAAGACGCCCTCCGCCGTCGGGCAGCAGACTCCGATCAAATTCGAGCAGACCGGGTGCGCCTTGCAGCTAGCGTCGTCCTGTGGTCGATTCGTCGTCGCGATCGGCGCCGTCGTCGTCGTTTTTGTGGTCGAGCCTTGGAGTTTCAAAGATTGGACCGAGGCCAGGGTTAACGAAGCTCCGGCATCTACCACCACAGTGATAAACGGCGACCCCCGCGAAAAATGGGCCCTCGCGTCGCCAAATTTGAATTCCGCGGTCAGCTCGTCGTGCTGGACTAATTCCGGTGCCGCGAGCTTCTCCGTCTTGACGATGAGATCGGCGACGAAGGCGTCGACGATATTGTTGGAAGTGATGGCTCGGTGGCTCGATGGGTAGCTGATTTCAAGCGCATGCGTCTTCTTCTCGAAGCGCACGGCGTAGGGCGTCGTGGCGGCCGGCGCGCCGTCGTCCAGCAACAGGTTCGTGAACCAGGCGCCCGTGGGCGTCGGTTCCTTTGTATGCTGGCCGACCGTGGGAAAGGGCGGCGCGACGTCTCGGCGCGCTTCGACGGCTGGTGCCCTCAGCCATTTTAATGAGATGACGCTTGTGGTGATCAGTGCCATCGCTGCTACTATGCCGAGGAGTGTGCGCCGCTGCTGCGGAGTCATTGCTGCTGTCTCAATTTGGCCTGCTCTCTGGCGGCTGCGACAAGGAGCTCTTGTACTTAGTACCTCTTGGCTGCAAGTGCCAGCGTGCAGGTTCGTGGACACTTCCAGAGGATATGTAATGGGCGTGTGGACTCAGTTTCACGTCGGACTGCTCCTAGCGTCCAGTAAGACACTAGGAATGAAATGTGACCGCGAGCGGCCTCAGTTTGCGTATAAGCAAGCTCTCGACCGACGTTAGTTGCGCGTGGTGCCAGTGACAATTACGCAGATCTTCCGTGCGCCAACATCAGTTACTACTAGTCCATGCTAAACCTCTAGATTAAAAGAGAGTACCGGTCGGAGCCGCCGACGCCGCGCTGCGCGTCGATGCCGAGCTCGCCCGTGCGCGAGTCGCAGCCGCCGTCGCCGTCGCAGCTCGCGGCGCTCGCGACCTACCCGCCGGGCACGACCCGACTCCAAGCGGCGGCCCTGCGCGAGATGTCCATGCCGCTCCCCTCGGAGTCGCCGGCGACGGCCGCGGCTTTACGAAGCATGTCGTCGACGACGCTCGAGTCCTTGGCGGAGTCGCCGCCGACGGAATGAATCAACGCCGCATCCTACGGCATCCCATGCTTTCTGTATATGGTACCGGTTTTTTAAAGACTAATAAAGTGCTTCTCTGTCAAAAGTTATGAGGGGTCGCGGCGATGGCGTATAACGATAAGCTACTTAGGACATGGCCCCCTCCTGTAAAACATCGATCATGTCGAAGAGCCGTTTTCGGCGCCCCAGAAACCGCGCCCGCGGGAAGCCCGCGTCGGCCTTCGCCGCGAGAAACAAGCACGCGTCCGCGACGCCCTCGGCGTACGTCGATCTTCCATTAACATTGTGTCTGAGTTCGAACGTCACGGTGCCGTCGCCCGAGGTCAACGCGTAGGTGTGGTAGGCGTGGCCCGGCAGGTGTTCACTAGGCACCTTACCTAACCGACCGTTGGCCCCATTCAACGAGGTCTCGTCGTTGCGGACCTTTTCGACGTCTTCGACCTGGAAGCCGCCTCCATTTAATTCCTTCAGCGACGCGACCACTGCTTTTGCAGTTCCAGAGGTGTCCACTTTGGCCTTCTGGTGGGACTCGATCACCGTGAGGTCGTAGCCCGCAAACGCATTGGGAAAATCACGAGCGGCCTGGTCCACCACGGCCTGCATGGCCACGATCTGCTTGCTCATGTTCGGCGCGACCACGGCGCCGTGCTTGCCGTCCGTCACGGTCTTTCCAATCGCGTCGTAGTCGCCGCCCGTCGTCCCCATCACAAAATGCATGCCGTGCCTCGCGTAATATTCGGCGTTCGGTAAAGCCGCTTGCGGCGCCGTGAAGTCGACCGCGACCAACACCTTGCCTTGCTCCTTGCACTTTTTGGCGAGTTCTGCGCCGCGCTTCTCTGCTTCGTCGGAGCCGCCGGCTACCAGGTCGACCTTGGGGATGCGGTCATCCGTGGGAGTGCCCGCGAAGGGCTCACCGGTCAATGCGACGTCGGCTAACGTCATGCCTCTGGCCACGCACGCCTCCGCACACGAATAGCCCATCTTGCCGGGGAGGCCGTTCATCATCACGACGACGTCGCTCGGCGCTATCGACCTGTGTGGAAATCAACCATTGAGCTACAGCATCGCTTCGATGGCGTAGGGCGCCTGAAGTTAATTTCCACACATCTATCGACATGCGCACGGGGGAGCGGCGTCTGGCAGCGAGGGCTTGGGTAGGCGCCGCGAGCAGTGCCAGGGCCAACGCGCATCGTGCGGCAGCCATTCTTAAAGCTGTAAACAAGTCTTTGCGACGGCGTCGGTGCAACAGCGATGCACAGCGGCTGTCTACACCAGCTCGCCTTCAGCTTTATGCTTTTGGGGCTAGGTAAAACACACTTAGATTGATTGCAGTTCCGCCAATTGGGCCGTAAACAGCGCGCACGCATTGCCTGTGCACCGGCAATCTACGCATTTACTCTGCACAGCTGCCACGCTCGAGCGCCCAGCATCTCCGCACGGCTGGTACGCCGGCGACGCAACTACAACACGCACTGCTGGTACGCCGGCGACGAGCGCGAAAACAATGGCAAGGAGGACACTCGCCCTCTGGGCCACCTTCACATGCATCCAGGCCTTCGCGCCCCAACTCACCAGACAAAACGCCCTTCAAAGGCAAGCAGCAGTCACGAACGAGGAGGCCTTCACGCGGCAACAAGCGTTGTATGACTTAGTGTATGTGGAACGCATCAAGCCGCCGGAGACGTCGGCTGGAGGCTTATTTTTAGTAGCCCCGGAGGACCCGCCCATGCACCTCGCGAAAGTGGTCAGTGTCGGCGCCGGCGGCCAGGGCAACTCCGGTCTCGTGGTAGAAAACGCGGGCCTCAAGCCCGGCGACCTCGTCTACTGCAAGCACCCCTGGGGCATCGGCCCGAAGGACGAAGAGTTCGGCGAGGACGGCCAGGAGCGGCGGTTCTCGTTCCTGCGCTACACGGACATCGCGGGGGTCGTGCGGAAGTGAACTGCGGTGGTTCTAGCGTAAGTAGCACTGTCCTATAATAATAAAGTCGCCAAACGGATCGCTCCTAGAGAGGGTCTGGACGAGTATCGCTGCCGCATCCTCGAATGAAACCCGTTTAGTGGCTTTAGCGTTTTGCGGCCCAAAAAACGCCGAGGCGAAACTTGCTGCGCCCAGCTCGCCCGAAGAGCCCCGTAATTGGTTTAGAGACCAGATTTCACCGAATCCCGGACGGCGCAGCCAGCGCGGCGGCCCTGGGAGAGCGAAACGCAGGCCTGTGAGAGCCTGCTCACTGTAGACAAAGTCACGGTCACATTATGGCGGAGGAGACCCCGCGGGAAGACGCGGCGGAGACCACCTACATCGCCCTCACCGCCCGGCTCGAGGAACAGTACATCGAGAACCTCGCCTTCATCGAGGCACGCGGCGGGATAGGAGAAAACGGCTGGGGGGTCCGGGACGCCTTCCTCGACGCGGCCGACGCGGTCGCCCGCCTGAGCCCGGATCAGCTCGCCGCGCGCGTCGCCGTCGCGCGCGCGCGGGCCGCGGCGCCCGCGCCCGCGCCGGCCGCCGCGTCGCCGGCCTTTGGCGTGCCCCCGGTATCTGGCCGCTTTCGCGGGCTGGGAACCGCATGGGGGCCGCGCGCGCCCGCGCCCGTCGGGGGCCAGCGCCCGTTCGCGCCGCGGCCCGTCGCTCCGCGGGCGGCGCCGGCGCCGTTCGTGCCCCAGATCAGCTGTTCGCAGCCCGGCGTCACGGTGTCGGTCAGCCTCTGGCTCCCCGACGTCGCGCACGTCGACGTCGTCGTTCAAAGCCTCATCCGGGGGGACGAGGCCATGGTCGCCCTCCGTTTGACGAGCGGCGCGGTGCGGCGCTTCGGCCTCCGGCTCAGCGGCGCCCCCGCCCGGGCCTACGGCCAAGCGAATCCCGGTCCCTCAACGCTCGTCACGATCACATTCGTCAAGCAGCGCCGCGAGATCGCCTGGCCGGAACCGCTCGCCGTGGTCATCCCGCACGACGGAGCATCTCATCCGCGGACCGCCGATGAGATGCTCGCCGAGGCCATGGCGCCCGCGCCCGCGCCCGCGCCGGCCGCGCCGCCGCCCCCCGGCCGCGGCAAGGACATCGCCGCGCTCAGGCGGTCCATCTCGGCCGCCGACGACGTCGAGGTCCTGCCGCCGCCGGCGCCGGCGCCGGCCCCGCCGCGGACGCCGGGCGCGCCGGCGCCCGCGCCGACGCTCGTCGTCACGCCCGCGGCGCCCGCGCCCGCGCCGGCGGACGATGATGATGGTGTTGAAATGCACGTCATGACGCCGGAGATGCTTAAAAAAAGACGCTTCGACGAGGCCATCGCCAACGGCGAGGTCATCGAGATTCCCTCCGACGACGACGAGGCGCCCCAGGTCGCGCCGGACGCGGCGACGCAGGCTAGGCTCGACGCGGCCGCGGAGCAGCGGCGCCAGATCGAAGAACGGAAGCGGCAACGCACGGAGAGCGCCTTCACCGAGGCCCGCGTGGCGCAGTACATCCGAGACCACCGCTTCTTCCCCGTGAGCACGCTGACGGCGAAATGTAGGGCAGCCGGGCTCAAGGTCAGCGGCAAGAAGAACGAGCTCGTCGCGCGCCTGGCGCTGTGGCACGGGTTGCGGATCTTCGACGGCCCGCGGACGCGGCGCCACCGCGACCGCGTGGCGCGCCTCGCGGACGACCTGGACCGGTTTTTGGCCGCGCATCCGGCGCCGGGGGACGAGGGGCGGGGCTACTATCCGATGCCGGGGCCGTATGGTATGGCGGCAGATTACTAAGCTTGTATCACTAGGTCTCATTACTCGGATCGCCCTGCAACTCGCGCCGCGCCGCGCCCGCGGCACGGCTCGCCGCTGCCGTTCCCGCGGTGATCGCGGCGGCCGCCCGGCGCCCGCCGCGGTAGAGCGCCAGGACCTCGCCCGGGAGGTCGCTCACGGATTTCTCCGGCCGCGCGACGAGGCTGCCCAGCAGCAACAGGAGCGCCGCGACGAGCGAGAGCGCGGCTTTACGTAAAGAACCCTTCACAACACTCTTCAGGCCGCCCTTCGACGGTGAAGCTCTCATCCGCAACAAACGACCAAGAGGCGCGGGCGGCGCGGCCGAGGCCAGGTAGACGACGGCGGGCCCGACGAACGCCCGCCAGTCCTTGGCGTCATTTGTGGTTTCGGACTGAAGAGTCCATGCCACGACGCGTTGTGAACGGGCGTCGAGCCGCCCGCCCTTGGGCACCGAGTGCGCCACGACGCGCCCTGGCCCCTGCACAGCTACTGTACCTCTCTTGACAGTGACGAGCCCGTTCTTGGACGCCTCCAACTCCGTCCCCGGCGTCGCGCACAAGACCGACCGCTCCGCGAGGACGACGGTGCTGTTCGAGGCGTCCACGACGCACGCCGCGTGGCCGACGCGGCTGCTCGACACCATCAATACGGCCTCGTCCGCGCGCGTCGAGTAGGCCGCGAAGGGCGAGTCCTTCTTACGCAGCAAGCCCCGCTGCCACCAGCGCTTCTTGCGGCCGAGCGCGACGAGCGGCGTGCTCCGGAGGAGTCGTCCACTCGACGCGAGGCCGCTGCAGCCGACGACGCAGGCGCTGTTGGCCGTCAGGGATTCCCCATTGCGGAGCGTAGCGCGGACGACGCCTGAGGCGTCGACGCTCAGCTCAGCTTGGGCAGGTGTGCATAGTGTCACGAAGATGGCTGCTACGCGCAGCGCTGGCTCGGACGCATGCGTCTCGCGCGTCGCGGCGAGTAGCAGCAATGTGAGCACCCACTGCATCTTGCACAGGGATGCGGGAAGCGGCACGCTGCGTGCCAGTCGTGCTCTATAGTGCCCGTGGGTCGTCTGGCATGCGTTTAAAAGTTTGTGTGCGCTCTGTGCGAGCCGTAAAAGACCACGCGCGTAAAGTCGAGCTAGCGGCAGTAAGACACTAGCAAACAAAAGCAAGCCCGGAGCGCGTCAGCGTCCTGAAGTGGACACTGGCACGATACTGACCCTCTATTCGTGGATTATTAACTCGCTGTGGTATTGGGCACAAAGCTCCAGCTTCGAGCAGCGCGGTTTCAGACGCTCTCAGAGCTGGGAGAGCATCAGCTTGAAACGCACGCCATCGACGCGACACAGCAATGGGCGCACTTGGGGACGCGCCATGGCGACTTCTCGTCTTAGATTTCATCACGTTCGTCGCGCTGGGAGGTGGTACCGTCGTCATCCCGCTGGCGCTCGTGAAGCACTGTCAAAGTAACGACGACAACTGCGCGGCGAAGGCGGCGCAGCGGCTCGTCCAGTACGGCCTCGCGGGGAGTCTGCCGCAGCTGCTGGCCGCGCCGCTCGTCGGGAGGGCTTGTGATCGATTGGGGCCAAAAATACCATTACTCGCGGGCGGCGTCGGCGTCGTCGCGTCGCTGATACTCGCCGCGCTGTGGGCGCTCTACGGCTGGCCGTTCTACGCCCTGCTCCTCTCGGCGGCGGCGAACGGTTTGTGTGGCGGCACGCTCGGCTTCCTCGCCGCGTCCTTCGCCTACGCGGCGGCAAGCGCCAAGGCGCCGGAGGAGGAAACGTACGCGCCGCTGGCCGGCGCGGCGGAGGAGGAGGAAGCGCCGGAGCAGCGTACCGGTGGGTTCCGCGGCGTCGCCGTCGCGCTGACGCTGAGCATATGCGTGTCGCCGGCGGCCGGCGGCGCCGCGGCCCAGCACTTCGGCGCCTTCGCGACGCTCGCCGGCGCTTCTGGTATTGCGGCGGTCGCGTTGCTTTGGACGCTATTTGCTCTGCCGGCGGTGGCGCCGACGAAGAGCGAGGCCAAAGCGGACGTGCTGCGAGGTCTCAAAGTCGTCGCGGCGCCGCCGACGCGCTTTTTAGCTTTAGCTTGGACGCTGGTGGCGACGAACAATATTGGTGTGGGGAACATCGCTACCCAATACCTCGCCCGCGATCGCTCAAGCACAGGAGTTGGCCTCTACATCTCGCTACTGGGCGCCGCGGCCGCCGTCGGCACTCTCGTCATAGAACCGCTCGTTCGGAAAATATGGACAGGGGACGAGTTTAGGCTCAACCTGTTGCTCGCGCGAGCCGGGTGCCTCGTCGCCGCCGGCATCTCCGTAGGATTCGCCCTGCTCCCGGCGTCGAATCCCGGCATTTATGGTATTGCGTGTCTCGCGTCTGTCACGGCGGCCTCGATGCCCGCGAGCCGCGCGCTGCTCGTGGCGTCCGCGCCGAAAGAGGACGGCGGCGCGGCGTTGGGTGCCCTCGGCGCTTTGGAATCGGCCTCGGGGCTGGTCGCGCCGGTGTGGTTAGGGTACCTGTATGCCTACGGCGCGCGGCACTCGCGCGCGGCCGACGCGTTCTACGGGACGGTCGCGACGGCAGCGTTGGCGTTCGTCGTCCTCGTCGTGCGGCCGCCGGAGCCGCGGCACGAGTACCTGCGGCGTATCTCGTTGCCCGCCGTCACGGCTGTTTCAGAGGATGGTGGTGGCGAGGGGACGCTCGTGTGATTTCGTTGGTCGAGTTCTAGTTGTAATTATTTCGTTCGTGTTCTATCTATGCCCAATCCAAGGGAGAGTAGTAGCGGTCACGGACTATAGACCAGCCCTTTCCATTTCTTCGGCGACCTTGTCCTCACGCGAGGCGTCGTAGGCGAGGCAAGGGAGATAACGGTGCAAATATTCAGTCAAGTTCGTCCGGTCCTGGCTCTCTCGGCCCGTCGTCCTCAAACCCCTCGCGACCAGCTCCGTCTTCAGATCAGATGCGCCTAGCGTCTCGGCATCCTCCACCGTCAACTCCACGGTGCCAAGTTCGCCTGGGTACCCAATCAAAACGCCGATGCGCCCAATGATATGAATCTGGCCATCCCTGTCCGCCCGGAACGCCATAATTCGAAACCCGGTACCACGTTCTAATTCGACCTCGGCGATGAAATCTCCTGCATCCCCGACCTCAATTACACCACTGCCCCATGCACCTGGGGCCCAACCTTGGTCCAAAACCCCAAGCGCTGTGGCATAGTGAGTGGCGGCAGGGTAACGTTTGCCTGGATCGATAACGGTGACCCGTCTCTTGGAACACCGCACGACCTCGCGCCACGGAACATCGGCGCGCTCTCGCCCGAGCCCGCGGCTCTGAGCAATGATTTGGAAGACAGGCGCCGACGCGCGGTGCCACGCAGATGACGCGCAAAGCGCCGAGGCGACGTCGCTCACTGGCAACCACGAAATCACGAGCTGGGGTGGTAATGAAGAGGGGAAGGTCCGGCTTGAGGTCGGATTGCTTTCAATTCGCGCCATTGTATTGTTCAACGCGAATTATAATTGTTGGCGTGTTCACGCAGGCAAAAGCCCAATATTTCTGCTAGCGGAGAGTAACACACTAGGCATCCCTGGCACAGGCACGCAAAGCAGCAAAGCACGCAGCACATGCAAAGATGAGGCAAGATTGATGGCTGCTGACCCTCAAAAACGAGTCCTCGTACTCGGCGGCACGCAATTCATCGGTGTGCACATTGTAAGAGAGCTGCTCAAACAGGGCTACGAGGTCACGCTGCTGAACCGAGGCGTGACGCCCTCGCCTTTTGAAGGCGACCCACGCGTGGGTGCGATACATGCGGACCGCTTCGAGGACCGAGAAGCTGTCTCAGAAGCGATCGCGAGCGAAGAATGGAGCGGTGTGGTAGACACGACTTGCTTCGACGTCGTCGATGCGTCGACCGTCGTGGATGCCATTGCGAGTTTGGAAACGCCACCGCGCTGCGTGTACATTTCCACGGACTCGGTCTTCGCGGCGTGCGAACGCGTACAGAAAGACTCACTCGTCGAGGCCGACGCCGTGCGCGCCACGTCACGCCAAGCCATCGCTGAACTCAAGCGCCGCGACTCGTACCAGTATGGGTATGGGTCGGCCAAGCTCGACGCCGAGGAGGTCTATGCGACGATCGACAGCGTCTCGTTGCGGCTGCCGGACGTCATCGGTCCCAGAGATAATTTGGGAGGCTTCCTGGACCTCATCGACGCCGTCGGCCGCGGGCGCGTGGGCAGCGCTGTGAAGCACGTCGCGGACGGGAAACCCCACGTCGGCTCAATCGCGTACGCGCCTGACGTTGGGCGCGCGGTCGTCGCGGCGCTCACGGCATCAAACCCGCCCAAGGTATTGCATATCGCCTGCGTCCAGCCTGTGTCAGTCGCGGAGCTGGCCGCGCTCGTCGCCGCTGGCCGCGACTACGCCCTCGACGCCGCGCGGAAGGCTCCCCTCTTGACCGTCGACGTGGGCGGGCCCATCTGCGTCGACGCGGCGCTGAGTGCCCTGGACTGGAGACCGACGCCTCTGGCCGACGCTATCCGAGAAACGGTCGCGTGGTACGAGACGGCCGAGCATCGCAATTATACGCGCGCGCTCGCCGCGGGGAAGACGCCGGCAGCCCTCGCGGAGCCGGAGCCGAAGCGGCGACGCGTAATGTGAATGTGAATGTAACTAGTTTGTGCACACAAGAATTACTCATCAGTTCAGGTTGTACCGCCGCGGCGCCGTCGCCGCAAACAATGTGGCGGCGTCCGGTTTAGAGTTCGTCGCGTCCGAGTGGAACATGGCCCCCAACTCGGGGTTCTGGGCGTGGTCCTGCTGCGTCCGCTCCTTCGCTTGGCGCGCGATGTCGGCGGCCGCACCTATTGCAGGCGGCGCCGCCTTCCTTTTCTTTTTTTCCGGTTTCTCGTCGGCCACAACACCGGCCTTGGCGCGCTTCGCGGCCTTCTTCTTGGCTTTTGCAGCTGCTCTTTTCTCGGCCAGAGCTCTTGAAGCCTCCCGGACGTCGTCGGGATCTGGTGCTGCTGTCACCAAATCGCTCTTTGTAAAGGGGCCGTACTCGTCCTGCAACGCCTGTTCGCCAAGTTCTGAAATTGCTTTTTGAGCTATCAACCAGCCCGTCGTCCGTACCACGAGGAAGGGCTCGGAGCCATCAAATGAAGCGCCCGTCAACGGGCACTGACAAAACGGCGCGCCGTCGCCGTGGACGTAGTCCTTCTCGCCCTTTGGTGGTGTTGATTTCACGTCGATGAGATCCCGTAAGCCGCGAATGTGCGAAAACGCCTCCGGCAAACTTTTGGAAGAGAGCTGCTCCAACACGTCCAATTTGTTGAAGAGCTGGCCGAACGCGTCGCTGACCACCGGTGCTTTCAAGGCGTCCCCCGACAGGGCGCAGGACCGCACGCGGATGGCGCGCCTTCTGTTTGTAAAGTCGCCGCTCTCCGCATCCCCACCGGTCGTGCCCGAGCCGTGGTTCTGCCCTTGCGCCCAGCCGCCCTTCGAATGGGCGGAGCCGTAGGTGCCGCGCATGAACTCGCGCTGCGTGGCGATGCAGCCGCCATCGCCTCCCATTTTGTTGTGCTGGGCTTTGCTCTGTGGCTTTGTTTTTGGGCCGCGGGGCTCACACCTCTGCGATGCTCAGGCTGTGGGCCCAAGCTCTGTGGCTTTGTTTTTGTGGGTCGCGGGGGCTCGGCTCCGGCGAACGCCTGGCTGCGGCGATGTTTTAAAGGCCTGGGGCGTCGCGCGGGCCTTGTGGCGACGCAGTATGAGCCCTAGGGCGTCGTCGATGAGGCTTTGCTAGTGCCTTTCAGGTCGCTAGCTAATTATGCTTCACGTGACGGAGCTGGCCTGTCGGCTGCAATTCGCATCGATAGCGACAGAACTGAGAAGATAGAGCGCGTCGCCAATAGCGGCGAGAACGTATAACTCGCTGCCGGAACGACAGCGGCCTGCGCAGACAACTGCACAGCTGCAATCTGTACCGCACTTGCTGTGGCACGCGTCGTCGCTAAGCAGCCATGCAACGCTCGCCACTCCTGGCACTGCTGCTAGCCGCGGCGTCGCACGCGTTCATCGGTCCCGCGCCGCTGCGCTGTCGAGTGCCAGTCAGCAAGAGCGACCGCGACGGCAGTATCGACGACGCCGACGAGGCGGCGCGCGTCGCCGCCTTCCGGGCGCGGCTGCTGAAGGGCGGGCTCGACGCCGTCGCGAAGGATGTGGAACCCACGGAGGACGACGACAGTGATCAAGACCCTGAGTGGGCGCGCGCCGCGGAGAAGCCGCGCACGGGCGTCGTATTGATCGGGAGGAAAGACTGGTTCTTCGCCGACAAGCCGTCTGGTGCTGTCAAGAGCGCTCTGAAGAGAGTCGGCCTCGCGGCCGACGCGGCACAACGGATCCCCGAGGACCGCCTCGCGGGACTGGTTCCTGTGGTCTTGATTTTGGACGGCGCCCAACCGAAGTCCGAAGGATTTTCCGGCGTGTTATTGGGGAGACGGTCGGGCTACATGATGGGCGACCTGAAGGAGCTCTATACCACTGGGTTTATGCTCCAGCCTTTGTGGGTCGGGGGCCCGACCGTCGAGGACGCCTTTTCAAGCCCGATCGAGCGCACCGTCGGCGCGCCGGAACAGGGCGCCACCACGGGCATCGTGGCGGTCCACCCCTACGCGTCGGAGACGATTCCGGGCTCTGTTCGACTCACGGACGACGGCCTCTACGCGGGCGGCGACTGGCGCACCGCTTCCACATTAGTGGAAAAGGGCATGGCGAACCCCTTCCGCTTCCGGCTCTTCGCCCAGGCGACGCGGTGGCAGCCCGGCGAGCTCGAGAAGGAAATTCAGGGAGGCGCGTGGCTCTGCGCGGACGTGTCCACGGACCTGTTGTTGAAGGACCGGGACCGGGGCGCGCGGCCGCTTGCTTTAGACGTGCTCGAGGAGCTCGAGAAGAGTAATTAGGTATTTATCAATCTGCGAAACCCGTTTTTTGTGGAAATTTTTCGCGCGCGCGGCGTCGAGCGGGCAGCCTTCAGGGCTGCCCCCCGCCTGCAATCGACGGTCCTGGTCCCCCCGGAACAGCCTGGAACGCATGCGCCGTCGCCGCGACCGCTAAGCATCAGTATGACTACTGCCGATGCTGCTGATGCTGAGCAGCGCAGATGACGCCACGAGTCCTCATTTACCTGCTGAGCAGCGCAGCAGCATGGTTCACGAGCTCCACGGACGATGACCTGAGAACATGGCTCGGCGACCACGAGCCGTATGCGGCGCAGACCGAGGCTCAGGCGCGAGCCTGCGATGCCACCTGCCGCGCGTCGCTCAGGCAAGGGTACCGATGCGAAGGTATTGAGAGACCGCTGCCCCCCTGCGAATTTGAGCGGAAGCCGGTCAACGCCGACTTTGCGTCGCTGCTCCGGGCGACCGAGACCCCGAAGGCGTCGTGCGCCGGCCCCCACGGCGCCGTCGCGTGCTACACCTTTGGGGTGCGTGTCCAGCGTCCCGGACGCGCGCGGCGATGGCGTGCTGTGGAACAGTTCCGTGAAGGCGTCACCCCGCGCAGGGCGGCGACTACTGCGTCCTGCGCAATGCCTACCCGCCGGACGCGTCGTCCTCCACGTGCGCCGAGGGGGCGCTGCGCGGCGTCAAGCTCGGGGATAAATACGCGGAGGTCAGCAAGCGCTGCGCCTGGAGCGTCTACTGCGAACCGTCCAGCAAGGAGGCGGCCGCGATACTACAGCGGCGGCTCTGGGGCAGGCCCAAGGAGCAGATGTGGCCCAAGGTGCAATTGCGGCGCGGGCCGCCGCCGGCGCGACGGATGAGCGACGAGCCGCTGTACCTCGCGCGGCGCGGCGACTGCGGCGGCAGCGCCCCGAACCCGGCGCACTGCCGCCGGCGACGATGGAGATAGTGAGGCGGTCGCGGGGTTTCGCGCCGCTCAATCGAACCACCGTCTTCCTGGCGGGCGGCTTCGGGTTCGGCGGCCACGCGATGCGCGCCGCGGGCGGCGACGCGGCGCCCTGGGCGCCCGCGGCCGACGTCGCGACGTACCTGCTCTGGGGCTCCGCGCGGCGCGTCGCGTGGCTCTACGACCCGGACGCGCGGACCTACGATACCGCGGTCTACTACCGCGACGTCGTGCTGTCACCGCCGCCCTTCCACTCGGCCACGTGGGCGCCGGCGAACTGCCGCGCGCAGGTGCGCTCCGACGTGTTTGCGCAGCTACGGCGGACTGTGGACGACCGGATCGAGCGCGCGGCCAACCTGGCGAGACGACGGCGCGCGGAGAAGCCGTTCGTGCTCGTGCTCACGCGCCGGGCGCCGGCGCGCCGGCGGCTGCTGAACGCGAGGAGGACCGTGCACAACGTCGACGCCGTCGTCGACGCGCTGCGGGCCGCGCTGCCGTCGTTGACGGTCCGCGTCGTCTCTACCGCCGTCGCGCGGCCGTGGGCCCGCCAGGTCGCGCTCTGGCGGCGCGCGCGGGTGGTCGTCGGCCTCCACGGCGGCGCGCTTGCCCACGCGTTGTTCCTCGGGCCCGGCCAGGGCCTCGTCGAGATCACGCCGCGCGAGCACTCTTGCGGGCACCCGTCCATGTTCGCACATATGGCGGTCGGAGTCGGCGCAACCTACCAGGGAGTTTTATGTCGAACGTGCTCGATGGCGCGGGGCGGGGCCGTGGACGTCGAGGCCGTCGTGCGCGTCGTCCGCGAGGTGCTAGAGCGGACCTAATTCATCAAAACTTACACACCTACATTTGGGCCCGGCCCCTCCTCTCGAGGCACCTGTCGAACGTTTCGTCCGTGTAAGGCGCCGTGGTGACTGCGTATGCCGGATCGACGCCGGCTGCGCGGCACGCCTCGAGGCGCGGGCGGTAGCGATTTTCCAGGCTGTACGCCAAGATGGCCGGAATTCTCAGCACGTGTTCGCGAAGCTCGGGCCGCGAGAGGCCGATCTCCCGCGCAAGAAACTGAAGCTTCGGCTCCATGTTGTCCTCGACGCTCAAGCCCAACAGTTGTTGACACGTCACAACAATCTTCCTCAGTCCCGCGTCGTCCAGGTCGAGGCGCGTCTGCAGCCAATTGAGCTTCGGCTCCAGGTTGTCCTCGACGCTGCAGCTCAGCAGTTGCGGGCGCACCCGAACCACCTTCCCCAGCTGCGCTTCGTCCAGACGTAGGCGCCGCTGCAACCACCCGAGCTTTGGCGCCAGGTTGTCCTCGACGCTGTAGGCCAGCAGAGACGGAAACCTCAGAACCATCTTCCTCAGCCCCATCTCATCCAGACCAAGGCGCGTCTGCAGCCAGTCAAGCTTCGGAGCGATGTTGTCCTCAACGCTAATTCCCAGGAGCGGCGGGTGCCCCAAAACCACCTTCTTTAGCTGCGGCGCGTCTAGGTCAAGACGTGTCTGTAGCCAGTCGAGCGTCGGCATCAGGTTGTCCTCGACACTTGCATACAACAGCGGCGGAAACTTCACAACCATCTTCCCCAGTTGCGCCGCGTCCAGGTCGAGCCGCGTCTGCAGCCATGTAAGCTTCGGCTCCACGGTCGCTCTCGCTCCCAAGGACCCACGCCGCTTGACCCTATCTAGCCCCGCATCAGTCAGCGAGAGCCGCGTCCGCAGCAGGTCGCGCACGTCCGCCGCGTTTTGTTTGGGCCTCGAAATACCGGTGCTAAACGCCCGTCGCCGCGGCGCCGCGACCGGTGGCCGCGCACGCGAAGACGCCGCCGCCGCGACGATGACGCCGCCGCGCTCGAGCGCTCCGTCCGCCGCAGTCCAGCCCGCCGGCGCGACGAGAAGCTCCGCGTCGGCGGCGACGCGGCGCAAGCGCGGCAAGTCGAACAAACGCGCCGGCAGCGCCTCGAGCGCCGTCTCGGTCACGTCGAGCGTCTCCAGGCTTTCGAGCGCCGCGAGGTCGTCGGGCAGCGCGCGCAGCAGCTCGTTGCGCGACAGGTCGAGCTCGCGGAGCCGCGGTAGGCGAAATACTGCGTCTGGCACCGCCCGCAGTCCCGCGCCGCGGAGCGACAGCGTCTCGAGCTTCGGAAAGCTCCGCCGCTCGAGGAACGCGGCGATCCTACAGCCGCAGGGCTCGCCGACGTGCTCGCACATCATGTTGTGGCAGGTCAATGCTTTGGCTTGCGAGAGGTCCAGGTTTACGGCGTCGGTGGCGAGCGGGGACGTGGCCAGGCGCCGCCAACTTTGTGGTGGTGTCGCCCGGGCCGTCGCCGCCGCGGTGCCGTTTCGCAGGGCGTTGCGCGCGAGGTTTCGCAGGAGCGGCGTCGCGCGCATTGTTTAGTACGTTCGAACGCGTATTTTTTGCGCACGCGCACTAGTTATGCTCAAAGCGCGGCAGGAGGCTACAGCAGATCTGACAGCCAGAGGCCGCCCAGCGGCGCAGCGGTTCTGGGGCGTCAGTGGCGTCAATCAGTAATCTAATACGTGTATTTTAGCGTATATTTAGCACGTCTACGCCCAGAAACAGGCGCTTGGCTTGGCTGACTTCCTAGTGCCTTACAGGCCGCTAGGTTCGCGATTTTGCCGTCGACTCTGACTCAAAGTGCTGAACAACAGCGCTGTGCGCCTGCCTCACGACGAGCCAGTGGATCCAGTCGCACCTCTCGACGCTCCGGGCCACACGTGAAAAGCGCAGACGCCCCGGGAGACGGAAGGAACCCACAGCCAGCGTCAGAGCTGAACAGCTACGCGTCGTCGTCACGCGGGCCCAAGCCGGCACACGGGATCAGTCGAAAAGCGCAGCGCAAAGCCATGCGCACCTACGTCGTCATTTCATGCCTCATCGCAACCACTAACGCCCTCGCCGCGGCGCCAACAACCACACCCCGCGCCCCTCTCCCCTTCACGAGCCCGAAGAAGGTCGACGAAGCGTTGCGCAAGAACGACCCCCTGCTGCACCTGGCGAGTCGCCTGATCCGGGACGTGAACGCGCGGCGCGGCGTGCGGTCCGTCTACGCATGGTGCCGAAGAGCGGACGACGTCGCGGACGAGGCGGGCGTCGACTCCGCGCAAGCTTTAGCGAGATTAGATGAGATCGAGGCGGACCTGCGGGCGGCTCTGCAAGGCGCGCCGCGCAACGCCGTGGATGCGGGTCTCGCGGCCACCTTCAAGTCCTACCCGAAGTTGGAACTCGAGCCGTTCCTGGCCATGTTGGATGGCATGCGGTCCGAGCAAAAACCGGAAGTGCGCTTCGAGCGCTTCGAGCCCGATTTACGGTTGTACTGCGAGCGCGTCGCCGGGGGGGTTGGCTTGATGTTATTACCTCTCTTGGGCGCCGCGGACGCGTCTCCAGAAACGAAGGCGCGGGCCGTCGATTTGGGCGTCGCCATCCAGCTCACGAACATTTTGAGGGACGTGGGCGGCGACGCCGTGGACCTGAATCGCGTGTATCTGCCCCTCGAGGACCTGCGAGCCACCGGCGCTCAGTTGGATGACGTCCTTGTTGGTAGATTGACACCGGAGTACGTACAAACGGTAGAGCTCCAAGTGGCGCGCGCGCGCGAGCTCTACGCGTCGGCGCGGCTGGCGGTGCCGGACCTGCCGAAGTCCTCCCGGCTGGTGGTGTACGCCATCATCGAATTGTTGGAGGCCATTGTCGATGAGCTCGAGAAGCGGGGCGGCGACTCGCTGACGCGCAAGCTGAAACCCAGCACTCCAGCGGTGCTCGGGGCGCTCGTGCGCGCCGTGCGCCAGAGCTATGGCGGTGGTGGGGGTAATGATTGAATGACTCTATTATAAACTTGAAGAGGAAGGTATGTGCGGTGCGCGCATGGCCTTGGCGCCGCGCGCGCCGGTTCAGATCGCGGCGACGACCTACGGCGGAGCCCACGGCGCCAGCGTCGGTGACGGCGACGGCTCGTCCGTCGGCAGCGCGGTCGGCACCAGGGTGTCGTAGACGTATGAGTACGAGAACTCCGTCGGCACAGGCGTAGAGCCCGCCGTCGGCTGAACAGTGGGCTCCGAGGAAGTTGGCGCCGTCGTCGGCTCGCTCGTCGGCCGCGCGGTCGGCAAGCCACTCGGCGCAAAGGTGTCGTAGACGTACAAGTACGAGACCTCCGTCGGCACGGCGGTCGGCCCAGGCGTAGGGCCCGCCGTGGGCTCGCTCGTCGGCTCCGAGGAGGTCGGCGTAGTCGTCGGCTCGCTCGTCGGCTCCGAGGAGGTCGGCGCAGTCGTCGGCTCTGACGAAGGCATCGACGACGTCGGGCTCGGCGAGGGCTCGGCGGTCGGCTGCGCGGTCGGCAAGCCGCTTGGCGCAAAGGTGTCGTAGACGTAGACGTACGAGAACGAGAAGTCGTCGTACGGCGGTGCCCTTGTTGATGTCGTGGACGTCGTCGGCGTCGGCGTCGGCAGCGGACACCAAGTCCAACACTGCTCTTCGGGGGTTCCGTCACACTGCGCCGCGTAATACGGGATCGCGGCCACCTCCGCGCACCGCGCCTCGTCCAAGTTCGGCCGTACGCCACCACATTCGCCGTCGGGGCAATTCGATCGCCACGGTTTACCGACCTTGACGCACACGCCGTCGTCGCAGCCGTCGGCCCCGTTGGGTTGGTCGTCAGCGCAAAGGGGTGCCCATGTTGTCTAGAAATTCCGGAGAGCTCTCTGAGACGCCTGTTAAATTTTGAGCGCAAATGAAGCGTGTTCTTTGTGCCGGGCGCGCGGCGGCGCGGGGCGACGCACTCGGTTTCCGTGCTAGAGCGGCTACTAGCTCAATAAGCGACCCCCTTGCACGCCATCGACGCGACGTCGAACAACCGAGGAATAACAAGCATCTTTACAAACCGGCCTTCGCGCCGTAGGGGGGGGATCATATCAGAAGTCACACATCAGCCCGACCGCAGGCCGAGCAGCACGCCGGCGCCGAAGCCGCCGCCCGAGGGCCCGTTGAACTCGAGGACCTTCATGGCCTGGCCGTACAGGTCCTGCGCGTCCCTCGAATCCACTCTCCCGTCCTTGTTCGCATCCAACACTTGCGTGAACTTGCGCGAGATCTTGGCGTGGTCCACGGTGACGTAGCCGTGGTAGGCCGCCGTTTGGAGTAGCGCGTACATACTGCCGACGACGACGAAGCCGACCTTGCCCACTTTCTTCGCCGCGAAGCCCGTACAATAACCCGCGCAGAAGCCCCAGCCCACCTGGTTCGGGTAGCCCGTCGCGAGGGCTTCCGAGGCCAATTTACCTACTTCCTCTAGCATCTTGTCGGCGACGGCTCCCGGGCCGTCGCTCGTTGAGACGTCCTTCCCAAACTCGGCGAGGCGCTCGAGTGGACTTAGTGCAGCTTTGCGCTCGGCCTCCTTGGCGGCGGCGTCGCGGCGCCACCACAAGCACTGTGCGTCGGGCGGCGCGGCGAGCGCCGCGAGCGAGCCGGCGGCGGCCAGCGGCGCGCTGGCGCGCATCGATTGAGAGAGGCGGCGAATGGCGCAGCGCGTGGCCATCGTCTACAATTGATTAGCGCTGTGCGCGTTTGTTCGTTGTGTTTCGGAGTAGTGGATATTTCAAACTCTGAGCCTGTTGAGGCTCTTGGGCTCGTTTTTGACTCGCGCAGCGCGCAGGTTATCGAGTCAGCAAACAGATATTACTCTCCGCCGACGTATGACGAACTGTGGGCTGTAAGAACGCACCGGCCTCGAGTCGGCTTGCTGGCTTGCTAGTGTCTTACGCCGCTAGCACGGCTCGAAGAGCCGTATACTTTGAATTGCATGACTTTTTCGCACCGCCAAGAATCCTGGTTTCGCGGCGGCGTCGTGCGGGTCCAGGCGCAGTGGGCTGTCAACTGTTACAAAAAAGCCTGGCCACTGGGCACAAACGCTGCCTCTCCCGCCAGACAAGCTCGATTCGAGGCTGCCTCCACCGGCACGCCATCGGTGCAGATGGCCACGGACCGCCAGAAGCGCGCCAAGGCCGCCGCGGCAAGGCAGAAGGCGGCCCGCTCCCAAAAAGTGGCCAAAAAACGGAACATCCTCGACCGGCTGGGCGCATCGACCACGACCAAGGTCGTGACCGTGCGCGGCGTGGGCCCGACCGTGTCGGCTGTGGAAGTAAGAGACTTGTTCGCGTCGGTCGGCGCGGTCGATCGCGTCACCTCATCCTTGGGCGCGAACACGTCCTCGACGACCTACGAAGTCGCATTTCGCACGCCGTCGAAGGCGCGCGCGGCCGTCGCGGAGTTCGACGGCCGCGCGCTCGACGGTCGGCCGCTCCGCGTAGCGCTGAAGGGCGGGACGCCGGCCGCGGCCGCGGCACGCGTGGTGGTGGACGTCGCCGCCAGGGCGGCGCGCACCGCGAGGCCGAGCAAGCCCGTGGTCGTCGACCTGGGCGGCCCGCGACGAAAAAAGAAACACCAAACCGCGGTTAGGAAACCGCCGAAATCCAAAAAAAGCCCGCGTCGACCGGCGTCCGCATCCAAGAACCGCATCGACCAGGGCGCGGCCGGGCGCTTGATTCAGGCAGCGCTACGGTAAGTATAATTGTCGCGTCGACGGCGTCGAGTAGTGGGTAGCTCGGGCGGGGCCCTCGAAATCTCGTGTTCGCCGAGCCGACGGACCAAACGGTCGGCCGCCCCTGTCGATTCGTGGTCCTGAGGTCTCCCGGGAGTCGCCTAGGGTCGGTACTAGACGTGGGCAATCGCCTACACCGCGTGCGCGTGCGCTCCCATCGGAGGATACATATCAGTACAGGTCCTCAGCCAGTTTCGGGCTGGAGCCCAAGTCCCCAAAGTTTTGGATCCAGAGCCATCTGGGGAGCCCCAAGAACCGGCGTATGCGGCGTAGGGACCACCCGACCTTAGACCTATCCCAGAGGGCGACTGCGAGCCGATCTGCATCCGAAAAAAGTAAATAATTTGGACCCGATGGCGCCCCGTTCCCGTAAAAAACGTTAATTTCTCTAGGGCCCCAGTAGTCGCCGTAGCGGTCTCGTTGGACCCCATACTACCCCACCGATAGTCAATTACAAGTATATGACATCTACACCACGAGAAGGGTACTTTTGGCCGACCACGCTCGGGACGTGAACATCTTGATCTGGACCTCGAGCAAGTCGGTCGTTCATGAAACAAATGATCTCATTATGGTCCATGGTGATGGTACACGGGCTGATGGTCGCAGGTCCAGGTCTTAAGTCCAAATTGAGGAGATATTGGGGTCCCGGGATGGACGAGCCGCGCGGAGCATCGTGGGGTCTCGAGCAATGTAGTAGCCGCTCAGGCCGGTTATCTAGCCCGTCCCACAACTAAAGCGCCTGAAACGCAAATTTACTTTATAAACCACCGGTCTGGGGCCAATTCAGTGCCCCGCGTACGCACCGTCGTCCGCGGAGAACGGGCAAGTCGGTCGATTGTGAATAGAACAACGGCGTTATGGTCCATCTGGATGGTATCGTCGCTGATACTCGCAGGTTCAGGTTATTTTGCCATCTTCGTGCAAAAGCAGGGGCGCGGAGTCGTCGAATCGCGCGGCTCTAACGGATGACCTAAAATAGCTCAGCGCACGCCGATGCGGGTTAGATGGACTCTACCACTAACAAACGGATAAAAACGAACATAAACGCGAGAGTTGTCTAGTAGAATTCTTCTCCCGCCCTCCGAGCGTGGGCCGTCGGCTCCGGTTCCGTCGATTATGTATGAAAACTGGGCTGGAGTTGATATAATGTCCCATTCGGACGGGAAATGGCGGCGTCAATCGCTGGTCTACTTTGGAAACTCGTAAGACTCATCCGCGAATGTCACGGGCGGTGCCTTCCGGGAGGCGCGAGGGTATGTTCCCGGACCGCTACTCTGAAATCTTTGGTATCGGCGAACGACTAGGATGTATTCTGAATTTCCGTCATTCTTTTGACGCCACTGAGGCGTATCTTAGAATTTGCTAGTGTGTATCAATACGCTAGCTCGGTCTTGCTCTTTTTGCAGCAGCTACCGGCTCTCAGCCGCGTTAGAATCGAAAGCGATCGCGGTATCAATCACATCAGCATGGGCACCGCTGGTAGCGAGCGAGGCGGATCTGGGAATTGGCCGGCGGCTCGGCGTCGGGCGACGGGCAGTCTTCCGCACGACGTCGACGCGGCCTCTCGGAGACGTCCCGCCGCCCAATGCTCAGCAAATACACTACTGCCAAGAATATAATACATCCATTAATTAGCCTAAGGTTGATTTTCAGCTGTGGCACGCGCGCCCGCGCCAGCAGCAATTTTTGTGGTGATGGGAGGTCAGACGCCCGCGCCGGCGAGCGTCATCATATGAAGGAGATGGGGTGATCAGGGAAGAGGATGGGGTACCTACGTCCCGAGCTCACGCCGTCGCCCACGCGAGGTCCTCGTCGAGCAGGGACTTGCGCACGGCTTCCTCGGGCGTGACGCGTGGGATGAGATGTGTTGGTTTGCCCTCCGGCGGCGACGGAGTCACAGGCTCGAACGCGGATGCGGCGGCGCATCGGCTGAGCGACGCGTCCATGCTGGCCGTTGTCTCGCCGGTCCAGGATTTCTGCAACGTCTTCGCGCCCCAGCTGGCTGTTTTACGAGGTGGATGCGCAGGTCTAACGGGCCGCGGCGGGCACGCCGGCTCGAGGTGTCTAATTTGGCTTTCAGGAGTAAGCAGTTCCGAATCGGGCGTATTGTTTGGCGCTTCCGTCATTTGAGGTGAGAGTTAGACTGATTTGACGCGATGGCGCGCGTCTCCACCTCCAGAATTCAAAAACCTTCTTCCGACAGAGAGAGCATCAACCAATGCCGTCATCGCGTCAACCTGCTCAGGAGCCCGACGCGAGGACGCAATCACACCCGCCCAGACGCGCCAACGACCCCTCTCCACAAGGATCTTAAACCAGGCAAACAAAAAAAGCGACCGCGCCGCGAACGCCCCTCGAATCGAACCAACGAAACTTACGCCCCCGCCTCCCGGTACGCCGCCGCATACAGCTCCTCGATGGTCAGCGCATCCGCCGAAGAAAGCTCCTTCAGGTCGTTCTCCGTCACATCAAGTAAAGCGTGCCTCCGTAAAGCCTCGGCCAGCCGCGCGCAAGGCACTTTTTTCGGACAGCCCGACCGAACCAAGTCCGCGAAGACCTTTCGAATCACTGAGGTTGGTATGGCGTCGAAGTCCTGCCTTAGTTTTTGCGGAGACATCGGCGGCCGCCGCGCGCGAGCTTCCTCAGGCGTCAACTCTTCAAACCCACCACAAATGGCATGCGCAAATTCTGATAATGAAACAAAACCGTCCTTGTTCAGGTCCATCTCTTTTGAAATTGCCGTTAAATCGTCATCGGCCACTTCCACACCGTGCATCCGCAACCCCCGTTTCAGCTCGTCCGTCGAAATGCGCCCGTTGCCATCTTTATCAAAGTGCTTGAATATTGATCGGAGGAGACCCATGGACGCACCGGCGCCGGCGCCGTGGCACGCCAATGATAATTGGCGCTTCAGGCGATCCAACGACGTCCTCACTGGAGAATTCGGGAACTCCTTGAAAGGGCTTTCTGGTCTCGGTCCAGGACTTAAAATGTCGTAGGGGGCGCGCTGCCTGCGTGTTGCGATGGTGTGGCTCTCACGAGTCGCGCTTTACGCCATCGACGCGACTCCCGCGCGAGCACGGGGTCACGGCGGGCGACGCGAGCACACGGTCACGCGAAGGCAAAAGGACGCCGCCCAAGCACCACTCCGCGATGGCGCCGCCGTCGCGCTTGCCCCGATTCACAGAAACAGGCGCCGGCGACCCGGCGGGCGGCATGCTTTCATCCGCATTCAAGAACAAATTGTCCTCCTGGTCTTCAGCTAAAGCCCGCGCCAGCTCGAGCATGTCGATCTTGTCGTTCGCATCCCGATCGATCTCCGTCCAGAAGGCGTCGAAGTGCGTGATGTCCCGATTCCTCGACTGGAGACCGAGTCGCAGTTCATCCCTAGTAAGCATCCCGTCGCCGTCCGTGTCGAACCTCTTGAAGATGTGCCTAATTAAACCCATGGACGCGCCGTGGCCGCCGCCGAAGCACGCCTCGCGGAACCGCGCCTTCGCTGACATGTCCTCCTCGTAGACATTTTCACCTTCCGGTTTATGCTTGTAATCGTTCTCGTACTGGATACCGCAGGGATTCAGCGTGTCGTAGTCGACCTGCTGCCACTTGGCGATGGCTTCTCCCGATTTGCGCATTCGCCTCGGTTGTTCTAGCTCCGATTCTCTCTGAGCCGGTGCGACGCCTCGCCTCAGGATGGGCAAGGGTTTCACTGGTTTACCATCCGGTGGTGGTATTCTCTTCACTCCAGTGTGCTCTCTCTGTCTCGATCGGTCGGGCGAGAAGGGGCTCGGCTCCTGCGGGAACTGTTTTTTGATGGAGGGTCGCGGTGGTCCTTGTAATTTGACTTCGCCGTGGACGATGTCCTTCCCCAAATTCGCCATGGTCAGTCTTCTCCCGTCTACTATTACAGTGTGGCCCTTGCTCAGGTCCGAGGGGTGGGCGAGGTAGTCCTGCATGGTGTCTCTGTGTGCTCTTGCTTGGGGCTTGGGGCTGCCCCGACGGCGTGCTGTGCGCTCCCTGCTCGGCCGAGCGGATGGCGCTGCTGTTCTATCTCACTGGTTCGTTAAGCCACAAACTCTCTACGAGGAACTCGCAACTAACTCCAGCGCGCTCTCCCGCCGCGCTGTGGATAATGCTAGCGGCCTGTTAAAGACACTAGACTCTCCAGGAGGCAGATGGTAGGGGTACGAGGCGTCGCCGACGCGCATGAGGCGGTACGCGTCCGGCACGGACGCCTCCCGATCGTCACTGCCTGCATCAGGCGACATCGCGCGGTCCCGGCGCCTCGAAGGTGGACTTGAACACGGAAGCGTCCCGCGGGCGGAGCGCTCCGTTTGAGCTCTAGGAAAGGGCCCTGACGAGGTGTGCGTACCTTGGCGTCGTGCATTTACCAGACTTTACGGCAAAGGCCCAGCCTGGAGAGCCGACCAAGCTCCGCGATTCGACGACAGAACACAGGAGGCGCGAAGTGCAACCCTCTGGACTCATAACGACGACCACTAACGATAGCCTGCCGAATCTGCTCTCCCGAGCAGCAACAGAGCCGAAAAATATACCTATTGGTAATGGCAATAAAAGCGCAGTGCTCGAGCGACGCCGCGCCGCGGCGGCCTTACTGGGCCGACCGCGAGGCGCCGCGGCAACGATCGTCCAGAGACGACAGGAGGCGAGCGCCGCCGATTGACGTGGCGGCCGACCCGCGGCGCCGCTACCACGCCGCCAGGGACGGCAGCTCCGGCGAAGTCAAGACGCCGGGCTCGCCGTCGCCCCGCCGCGGCCGCAGCGCGAGCCCGCGCCACGAACAAAGCCACGTGCCGCCGACGCCCGCGCCGACGCCGACCGCGTCTGCGACCGCGGTCACGCCACGAGCGCATAGAACCTTCTTCTTCGACGCCATGCGCCACAAAGTGAGCAAAAAGAAGAAGCGGACACAAACCTCAATCGACTCCGTCGAGTTCGACCTCGATTTGACGGACGTCACACCTAGACTAATAGCCATGGGCTTCCCGTCGACCGGTCTGGATCGGAGACGATGACGATGTCACGTTAGATTTGCGCGACCTATATACGAAAGTTCTGGTTGGAGTCTTTGTCGACGGTCCCGGCGGCGCTTCCGCCGCAGAGGATCTGCGAGAGGCCGTGACCATACTCGAGGATATTGAAAGGAGATCGCGGAGGGTGTTTGGCGCAGACCATCCGCAGACTTTGCGCTACAAGAAATCGTTGGGGTTAGCACGCGAGATAGTCGCCCACTCCGAAAAATGTTTAAGTAGATAGACATATAGATTAGCCCCCCACACGCCGTCCGTGAGTCGCGACCAACGCACAAGCGCCTCACGCGCTCGCCTTCGCCGAGTTCTTCATCTGGATGAAGACCTGGCGCATGCGCGACGTGTCGCCCGCCGCGGCGACCGCGTCGGCCTGCAAATCGACCAAACTGACGACGCGCTCCCACGGGTTCGGCGACTCGTTGTCCGCCGCCATCTGCTCCATTTTCACTTGTTCCTTCTCCCTATTGGCCTGCATGCGGCCCTGGAAGGTCGTTTGGCGCTCGGTCTCGAGCTGCGCGAGTGCTGTTTTTGCCTCGGCCTGGTTTTTCGTCACCAAAGCGGCCTCGTCGTCCCTCCTCTTATTCACGGCCGCATCGAAGGCCGCCATCTTCTCCTGATCAAGACCGACGCCCATGTCTGCGGGCGAGGGCATGGCGCCGTCCTCGACGGGGGCGTCCATGAGGTCCATGGCGCCGCGACCGGTCGTCGAGGTCGATGCTATGGAACTGTGGGGTGGTGGCTGGGGGTTGCTCGTCACACACGGATGCGAAGCAGCACTGGATGTGAAGCAGCAACTACTCCTCAGTTGCTGGGCAGCCTTGGTGCTTCGACGGGACCTGGGATGCGCCGATGGAAATTTAATAATCACTAGTTAATCACTCTAGTTTCTTCTCACAAAGCGCTGCAGGCGAACGGAGCGTCAACCGCACGCCAGCGATCGCAAGCAAGCGCCACGCGTCGCGCCGGCGTCGCGCCGGGGGCGTGGAAGCGATCCCGGCTAGGGGCAGCCTCTCAGGCACGATGCAGCACGCCGTCGTCGCGCTGCTGCTCGCCACGGCGCGGGCCGCCCGCGTCGCCACGCCGACGAAGGACGACCGCATTCAAGCGCAACAGGACGCCGCGGGCACGCAACGCATCTTCGCCGAGCAATGCCGCCGCGACCGGTCGGAGGCGACGTGCGATACTCACTGGGCGCGCTGGGTCGACATGCGCGCGCGCGATCTTGTTAGGAGGCGATCTTACAACGAGCCGGTCGTGATGGCGCCCTCTCTCTCATCAAATGATGTACCTCTCTCGTATGACCACGTGCCTTGCGGCGAGACGCTGGATCCGATCACAAAGTGCGACGAGGCCGTCGTCGCTTTGGGCGTCGTGAGCGCTTCGACAAATCAAGCACATAGAAGCGCCATCCGCGAGACGTGGCTGCGAGCACCGGGGAAGTTTGGGGTGGCATACCGATTCTTCCTCGGTATTCCCGGAAACGGCTTAATACCGGCGGCCGAGATGAGCATCCATAGAGATATACATATAGTGAACGTGACAGAGAGCTACAAAGCAACATGGCACAAAGTGCGGGCCATCTTCCACTGGGGCGCAAACACGTGCGGCGCCTGGTATGTACTAAGGGCGAACGACGACGTCTACCTGCGGCTGGAGGCGACCGTAGCAGGGTTATATAAAGCGGGACCGCCGTCGCGCGTCTATGCAGGGCTCTTTGTTGATCCAAATACGATGCACGTGCCGCGTATAGATACCATACCCCAAGCACCTGAAGGTATTTCGGACGACGACTGGACGCGCGCGAACAAGGCCTGGGTCGTTTCACGTGCCGAATATCCCGCGGACCGATATCCTCCATTCGCGCAAGGCAACGCGTATATCCTATCAAGAGATTTAGCAAAGCACGTCGCGACGATGACGTCTTCGAGACCCTTACCTGATGATGTTGAGGTCGGTCTGTTGATCGATGGTGTGACCGGCGGCAATTTTGTGAGAGTTGATGTGGCGGCCGATTATGCGACTGAAGGAAGGTGGTCCCCGTGTCGCCCGGAATCCGCCTGGCACTTCAATCTCCATCCGGAGCACATGTACGACTTGCATTCAGCGGAGCCCGACGTTTTGTGGTATGAATACGGGTTCGAGGTCGACGGCGGCCGGGTTTTACTAGGCTGGGACGACCGGGAGGATTTGGACGCGTTTGCGTCATTGGTAGCGTCGGACCATGGGTTGGTGGGCGAGGGCTGCCACGGTGCAGCTGCGGACACGTGCGCTGGAGGGCGGTTGGCCGCGGCGCTCCGGGCCGCGCCGGTCGTTTCTTCTCCGGATAGGTGCTCGCGGGTGCCCGAGGGGGTGTTCTGCTGCGGGTAATAATGTTGTGTAAACGTCGCGTCGTCGCGTCGCTATCACTCCTCGCCTCGTGCCCCGACAGGAGACAGGAAGCCTGGGCATTGTGCTTGGCCGACACGGGAAATCAGCGCGTGCGTCGCGTAACGTCCTATCCCGGTCTAATGATTGTCTTATGGTAGCACTCATACCACCGGGTCTTACAACAGGAACGAGAGAGAGAGGACTAGTAGACCGGGTCCAGCAGGTTCCCCGCCTGCGCCGCGAACTTCCAGACCGGCGGAGTAATAGAGGCCACCTCCGCCGCGGACGGCTCCACCTCGGGCACGACGTCCGTCGCGCCGTGCGCCACGAGCTCCAAATAGCGCACGACGCCGTTCGCGCCCGTGATCGTCCGGATCGACGCCTTGGACGAGTTCTTCGACCGCTCGAGGATTGTCGCGACGTGGGGCCAGCCGTCGGGCGGGACCGCTCCCAACTCCTGGTTGCCGTGGACGTTGACGCGCCAGCCCCGCGCGGCGAGGAGCGTGCGCACCTCGCGCCGGTAGGTCTTGTCGCGGCCTGCGCGGTACCGCGTCGACGGCGTGCGTCTCCTCGACGATCGAACCAACACGCGTCGACGGCTGTCTCGTCTCCGCGAGGCCGCCACGACACGCGTCGACGGTGTCTCGCGGCGGCTCCACGACAAAATGAGGGACGCCGCGCCGCGCCGTCCGTCAGCATGGAGAGCTCCGCGAAGAGCACGCGCGCCCGTGCCCGCAGCTCGCCGGCGTCTGAAGGCGGCGCCACGGCCGCCACCGGTAAACAGCCACCAGCATTGTAGTCGTCGTCGGAAGACGAGTCCGCCGCGCCGCGAAATCTTTTGCGGGCGGTGCGCGCGGCCTTGCGCGTGCGTTTTTCTCCGACACCTCCACCCAAGGAAACTTGCGACGCGCGCGTCCTCCGGATGATGCCCTCGAAGCGCGCCGAGTCCGGGAGCGACTTTGTCGTGCTAGGTAGCGCGCCGTAGACGCCGAGCTTCAGCGCGAGCGACGCGTTCTTCCCGAAGCGCTTCTCGACGCGCGGCTGGCATATTTGACAAATGTCCGCGACCGTCGCGTCCGCCGGGGCCACTACTAATAAACCGGGGCCGTCTTCTAACGAAATGAGCGCTCGGATCGTCTTCGCGTCCTTCTCGTAGGTCCGCGGCGGGTCCAATAAAGGTGCGGCGACGAGGGGCGCGCGCTTGGGCGGCGCGGTCGCGGCGGCGGCGGCGTCCGGCGGCGCGGCGACGGCGGCCGGCGGCGCTTTTTCAGAATCTGCGGGCGACCCGGCGGCGGGCGACCCGTTCGCGGCGGGCGGGGGCGGCGGTTTCGCGTCCATAGCCACGGGCGTGGGCGGCGCGGGCTCGGCGACGGTTGTTTGGGGGGCGGCGGTTGCGGGCGGCGTCGCGGCGCTCGGTTTCAGGTCTCGGGTCGAGACTTGCGAAAAACCATCTGCGGCATCCCTGGCGCCGGGCGGGGCAACCTGAGAAGCTTGCGGGATGGCCATAGGCGTCGCAGGCGAGCGCGCTACCTCCATGGTCGCGCCAATTGTCCTTAATTTATAAGACGCCGGGTCGGGCGCCGACGAGACCTGAGTTTGTCGGGTTTTGGAGCAGTACGACCGTGAAACTGAGTCTACACGCCCATTACACGTCCTCTTGGGAAGTGTCCACCAACCCCGCACGATAGAGTTGCACGACCTGCGACAGAGAGCAAATAGGCAGGACAACACACCACTAATGCATCGCAGGCTGGCATTGATGCTCCTCGCGAGTGCTCGCGCGCTGCGGCCGATTGCATCGCTGCGTGGTGGAGCCAAGACGCTGCGCAGGGCCTCCGCTGCACCCACAATGTCAGACACGCACCCTGCGGCGTCCTCAACTCCAGAAGGCGTGCGCGATCGTCTAGGTTTCGCAACGCAACTACGCCGGCGCCGGGACAGCGAACTCACCGGATGCGACCGACGCAGGCACTTCGACTACTTAGTGATCGGCGCCGGCAGCGGCGGCATCGCCTCGGCGCGCCGCGCGGCCACGCATGGTGCGGAACGCAGCGTCCAAGCGAGCGCACTCACAGAGCTCACGCCATCCGCTCCGCAGGCGCCAAGGTCGCCGTCTGCGAGAAAGGAGCCCTGGGCGGCACCTGCGTCAACGTGGGCTGCGTGCCCAAGAAGGTCATGTACAACGCCGCGCACATCATGGAGTGCGTGCATGACGCTCCCCTCTACCAGTACTCGGGTACGGAGTCCGTCAAGTTAGATTGGAACAAGTTGAAGACCGCGAGAGACAACTACGTCACGAGACTGAACGGTATTTATGGGAGGAACATGGAAGGGAGCGGTGTAGCTAAACTCGAAGGTCTCGCGTCGTTTACCGGCCCGAACGAGGTGGAAGTCGCTGGTACGAAGTACACCGCAGACAACATATTGATTGCGGTCGGCGGCAAGCCCACGATGCCCGCCGATCTCGAGGGCGTGGAGCACTGCATCTCGTCGGACGGCTTCTTCCTGCTCGAAGAGATGCCGTCTTCGGCGCTCGTCGTGGGCGCCGGGTATATCGCCGTCGAGATGGCGGGCATACTCCATGCTCTAGGATGCGAGACGGAGTTGGCTGTTCGAGGGGAAAAGCCGCTGCGGGCCTTCGACGACCTCATGAGCGACACGCTCGTGTCGGAGATGGCGCGCCAAGGGTTAACCCTGAGACCGAAGACGACGATCGGGAAAGTGGAAGACATTAATGGAAAGAAGCGCGTCACGCACACGGACGGCACGGTGCTCGGGGAGTACGACGAGGTCCTCCTAGCCGTAGGACGAGAGCCATTAACGGGCCCTCTGGCCCTCGACAAGGCCGGCGTCAAGCTCGACGACAAGAACAGATATATTGCGGTGGACGACTTCCAGAACACGTCTGCGGAAGGCGTCTACGCGCTCGGGGACGTCTGCGGCAACGTGGAATTGACGCCCATGGCCATCGCTGCGGGAAGACGCCTCGCGGATCGCTTATTTGCTAATGTAAACGGCAAGGCCGACTACAGCGACGTGCCCACAGTAGTCTTCTCGCACCCGCCCATCGGCACGGTCGGACTGACCGAGAAGCAAGCGGTAGAAAAGTACGGCGAAGGCAACGTCAAGGTCTGGACGAGTACTTTCGTTAATTTATGGTACGGCCCGATGCCGATCGACCCGGCCGACAAGCCGCGCACGGCCATGAAGATGGTGACCGCGGGCAAGAACGAGCTGATCGTGGGACTGCACGTCATCGGCGTCGGTGCTGATGAAATGTTGCAAGGATTCGCGGTGGCCGTGAAGATGGGGGCCACGAAGGCGGACTTCGACTCGTGTGTGGCCTTGCATCCCACGGCCGCGGAAGAGTTCGTGACGCTCGCGCCGTGGGGCGAGGGCGCCGGGGACAAGAAGGGTTTAGGAGAGAAGCCCGTACCTCAGATCTAAGTAGAGTGATACGTATATTTTTTGGCTCAGGCTCAGGCTAATTATGTCGCAGGGTTCCCCGTACCCGCTCCTTGACCCCACGCGCGCGGGGCGCCCGCAGCCGTCCGGGGGGCGTCGCCGAGGCGTCTCCACGCGGACGGAAGTATGCTATCAGGGTCGCGGCCCGCCGCCGACGAATCGCGACGCGCGGCCCGGGCGGACGCCACCAGCTACTCCTAGAACCGTAGCGGGGAAACGCAGGACCCCCCTCGCACGCCGTCGATGCGCCAGAAGAAACAAAGACAATCAACTAGACGGCCACTTAACCTTCCAGCCCCCCCTACTTTCCTCCCACGGTTGCAGAGGCGAAGACTCAATCTTCCCCGTGAGCGCCTCGACGCCGTCCTCCGTAATCAGGAGCGTGTGCTCGAACTGCGCGCTCCGACCGCCATCCTTCGTGACCGCGGTCCAGTCGTCAGCCCACAAATTGCTTTGAATAGTACCTTCGCAGATCATCGGCTCGATCGTGAAGGTGTGGCCGACGGCCATGACGCCGTTCGGCTCGCTATTTTTGTAGTGTAGTACATTGGGATTCGTATGAAACAGCTTGCCAATGCCGTGCCCGCAGAACTGCTGCACGGATTTGTACCCCGTACCTGCTATCGATTCCTCAATAATCCCTCCTAGTTGCTTGTAGTTCACGCCCGGTTTGCACGCTTCGATCGCCGCCTGCCAGCAGTCGTAGGTCGCCTCCACCAACTTTTTACTACGATCATCAACCTCCCCCACATAAAACATCTCGCTGCAGTCGCCGTGGTAGCCATTCAGGTAGACCGTGATGTCGACGTTGACGACGTCGCCCTCTCGTAGAGGTATGTCGTCCGGTATGCCGTGACATATAACTTCGTTCACAGAAGTACATATGGACTTCGGGAAGCCGTGGTAGTTGAGCGGCGAGGGATATGCGCCTCGTTCTATCGTTGCTGCATGTGCTACGGCATCCAATTCATCAGTCGTGACGCCAGGTTTGACGGCTCTTCCAGTCGCATCGAGGACCTCCCGCGCGCATCGTCCCGCTGCCCGCATCATCTCGATATCCTTCTTCGACTTGACCTCGATCATCCAGGACGGTCTTAGATCGACCGCTCGCGGCGTGCCGCTGTTGGCATAATCGGGCCTCATGATCGACTCAGGTACTGGTCTGGCGGTCCGCGGCAAGACGTTACCCGGCTTCCTCCATTCGGACATCGGCCGCGGTCGCTTCTTCTTCTTTTTTGGTTTTGAGGCTTTTTTCATCGCGCCGAAGCCGGCCAGCCCATGGCACGTTTGGAGGGTGACGTAGAGCAGGAGCCAGCGGCGCGCCATGGTTACGCGTCTATGTTTTTGCGCTGTCTATAGATGCGGCGTCGTCGCGCTGTGTATATATTCGCGCTGTTTTAGTTGTTCGCGTCCCTCGCGCGGGTGCTGCGCCGCGCGACCGCGTGCGCGACCGTGAGCAATGCCAGTGAGAGCTAGGTAGGCTGCAAAGCTGGCTCGTGGTTTAGCGCGACAGCGAGCCGCCGCAGCCTCTTGCCAACTTTAACGCACGAATGCTAACGCCCTCGAAAGCGTCTACACACGCGTGTGCTGCCAGCCAAGTCTAAAGTGCAAAAGCCCAGCTGGCTAGTGTCTTACGGCCGCTAGTTTTGGCGATCGCATCGCGGCCCGGACGACTCCTCGGGGCCGCAACTCCACGCCTCGGAAGAGTGGCGCACGGAGGTCGCCACATGCAAAAACCGCCGGCCGGGAGAGCAGCCTCAGCGCCATCAATATCAATTGGCCCCCGTCGCACGCGGACCGGGACGCACGGCGCCAGTCGACCGAGGACGCCAGCCGCCGCAGGCTGCTCGCACAACCGCACACGAGGACCGGGCAAAGACAGCCAGGGGCAGCCACAATGGGAGTCCGGGACATGCGCGACCCCCGCCAGGTGCCCCTTCTCCAACTACCGAAAGCTTTTGATGATGGGCGGAACCCGAGCCCCTACTCCAAGAGAAAACAACAAAACGTGATGTTCCCCTGGGATAAAAAAAAACCGATCACGCGCGACATGCAGGAGCGCGTCATGTCCAAGCTCATCGCGAACGGGTGCAAGAAGAAGCGGCGGAAGCGGACGTACTTTTCGGGGAGTGCGCCGTCCGATCTCGATCTGTTGATCCGGGAGGAGAAGCGGAAACCAGGTCCCAACCACTATCACGTGCGCGAGGACTCTACTATTGCGAGGGTGCGGGTTCCCGTCATGGGGCGTTTGAATTTGTCATCTACGGTCTCGCTGAAGCCTCCTGTGGTGCCACCAGGACCGGGTGCGTATGAAACGCATCTGATCAACCCCGGACTCGACCTAGATAAACCGGTGAGCTTCCCGCAGACCGGCCGCAAGTCCATGGCTTTAGATAATGACGTTCCGGGGCCTGGGGCTTATCCCGGATTGTTCGAGCGGCCCTACACTCCTGGGGGAAGGATGGGCCCCGTGCCCAATCTGTCGAGGGTGCCTCGCGTTGATGGAGACGATGGTGTCGAGCCCGGGCCGGGCTGGTATTCTCCTAGACTCCCATCGACGCCGGGTGGCAAGCTCGTGCAGGGTGCTCGAGATACCATACAGTTGTTAGGGTACCCCGACGAGCCCGGGCCTGGTCATTATGAAGCGCAGAAGGCCATGGATTATGTGGAAGCCACCGATAGGACCGTGACGATACCGAATAGCAGGCCGATGACGGCTCTGGAAAGAACTATTCTGGAAGGTAGCAGAAAACCAGGACCCTCTGATTATGATGCGAGAGGATCGATGTCCTACCTCGAAGCTACGGATCGTACCTTCACCATACCGAAGACGAGGCCCATGACCGCGCTGGAGCGAACGATTCTGGAAGGTTCGAGGAAACCGGCCCCCTGGGACTACTCGCCCCAGCGCCTCTTCCACGACCCCTCTGCTTCCTTTGGCAATCTACCGCCTGAGGGCCAGTTCGACGCGAATAGCTTCGTGCACATCGCCGAGAGACACGGGAGAAGCACACCGGCACCCGGCGAATACGACCTACCCGGATTTGGGGATGAATCTTTAGGAGGGCAGTTCCAGGCCGGGAAGCGCGTCGACATTCTCACCAATCTCAATGGTGTCCCGGGCCCGGGCACGTACAACCTACCCAGTACGTGTCTCAAAGAGTGCAACATGATGCCGAAGTTCGGTTCTACATTAGCTCGTAAGGTCTGGCCGAATGGCATGCCCGGACCGGGCGAGTACGACGTGCCCGATTTAGATGCCGGGTCTCGCTCCATTGGTAGAGGTACCCGACCACCTCTGGGAAGCTCGTCGCTGCGCCCGCCGCTGAACGTGCCCAACGACAACCCCGGCCCGGGCACCTACGAGGTCGGAGGGTTCAAGACGGAGTTTCTGGGATGGGGGTCCATGGCCTCGACGGTCTCGAAGTTCGACCCGAACTTCGAAACTACCTTGAAAGTGGCCGCCACCGAACCGGGTCCCTCGGACTACGGCAACCAGAACTCCACCCTATCCATTGGTGGTGGCAGGTTTGGCCGGCCGTACGATCCTAATAGACCGTGGGAGGACGAGGACGAGATGTCCTACGAGGACTGACTAACTTACTTCTAGTATTAGCTATACGAACATCCACCAGGCCGGCTCCGGCGTGAGGTACTTGCAGACCTTCATGACGACCGTCACCGCGACCAGCGTGAACAATATGTCGACGAAGGAATTTGCCAGGATGAACCCCTGGTCGATGATCAAGGTGCTTTCGGTCATATGGCTCTGCGCCGCCGTCTTGTCATTTTTGGATAACTTCGCGACCAGTTCCGCATGCTTCGGATGACGAGGATCTAGTTGCGGCGAGCCGTACGCGTAGAGCACGCATAGGAAGATTTTGACCGGCATGGAGCCGGCGAAGGCAACGAGACCGGAGCGAATCAACGCGAAGACGGGCGATAGGAAGCCGATGCCGACGACCCGCGCCCACAGGTACCGCGCCATATCGATAGCCGCGAGAGCGAGGGTAAAAATCAGTAACACGCCAAGCACGCCAACCACCATACCAACAACGAAACCACCGGGCTGGACCGGGGCCGCCGCGCCGCCTCCTGCGGCGGCCGCGGCGTCGCCATCTCCGGCCGCGGCGGCGGGCGCGGCCTCTGCGCCTCCTGCGTTTGCTGCGGCGAGCCTCTTGAGCGCGTCCTCAAGCCAGAACAGTGGCCACAAGACGTAATACAGCACCTTGAAAATGACCTTCTGGATGCGATTATGTTCCATCACCAAGAAATTGGCGCCCGCCCCGGCCGCCTTCTCGATCTCGATGGAGGTGGTCGCGACGATCTGGCCGAAGCAGACGCTCTCTCCGCGAGCGCCCGCCACCTCGAGTTTGTCGACTGTGAGCACTATCGTCATATTCGGCTGAGTGTAAACCAAGGTCTCCCGGTGGCCTTTGTTCACGACAACGCCCGCGAAGCTCTTGAGGAGGAACTCGCGCAGAGTTCGCTTGTCGACGAACCACCTGTCGTCGTCCGCGGGAAGATGCTCCGGCGCCGGGGCGCAGGAAAAATGCAGCGTCGCGAGGGCGTGATCTGGCGACGGCTGCCAGGGCCGCACGGTGGGCGCGGTGCCGATACCGAATAATCCCGTGTCCTCGCGCGTGCGTCTACTCATGCCGACGGAGCCGGCCTCGATACCAGCGTCCGCGACGACCTGGTAAACCCAGCCGCTTGACTCGTCCGCGGCGGCGGCGGCGCCGTCGCTCAGCCGCAGGTAGAGCCGGCCGTCGCCACCCGCATGGTAGGCCTCGAAGTCCGCGGGATGCACCACGACACGCATTTCAGGCTCATTCTTCCGCATAGGTTGGGGCTTTCTCGCGACCACGAGCTTGTCAGGCGGCTTCGGCGGCGCCACCGCTTCCCTCGAAAGGCCGGGCCGCCCGGGCGTGATTTCGTCGGCGCCGTTTGTGCTATGGCTCTCCGCAAGCGCTTGTAGGAGCCAGGCGTGCGGCTCATGCCGCAGAGGAGAGTCCTGCATCCCCTCGTCGCGCGGCGCTGCCGTAGACAGGTCAAATCAGGGAGAGGTGCTCTCAGTGTAAATTCAAATATCTGGCGACCCTCTGGCGCCAGAGGCGGGCTGGACGACACCGGGATATAAGAGTCTGGACACCCAGTTCAGGATCGTCGCCGCGACGCGCGAGCGCGGCGTTTTTGTCGTGCTTGCTTGCTAGTGTCTTAGGACGCTAGTCCACGATTTCCGGGGAGCCCTGAAGCAGCGCCCGTGGTTGCGCAGTGATAAAAACGGGGTTTTCGAGCTAGAGACAACAGACATTTTAAGACCACTCCAAATCCGCCACAAGACACACGTGGTCCGACGGGAACGACTCCGAGGGCAGCGCGAAATACGCCGCGCGCACCGCGTCCAGGTCCGGAATAGGCGCCACGGCCCGCGTCCGCAACGCGTCCTCGTGGAGGATCCAGTCCAGCGTGGCAACAAAGTCGTTGCCCGCGAGGTTCGTGTAGGGCTCCGTCCGCGGGTACGCCGACGCCAGCTTGCGCGAGTGCGCGAGCCGCATGCCGATGCCGACAACGTCGTCGCCCTCCGCGGCTTTGACGAGCGCCGTCTGCGCGACCCGCCCCGCCGCCGCGGCGCTCTCGGCGCGGGCGCGGAGCGACTCCACAGCTGTCGCTGCGGCATCGAGTTCCCCATCAACGAGCGAGAGGCCGCCGCGCCGCAGGCCGCAGTCTGCGCGCATTTGAAACAGCGCGACGAGAGGGTTCGTCTTGTACGTCTCGCCCGCGGCCAGCGCGGCGACCAGCTCCTCGACGTCGCCACTCGGCGGCTCGCGAGACACGAGCCGGAGGCTCGCGGCGGCGCGCGTGCGCCGCTCGGCCGCGAGGTCGCCGCTCTGCGCCGCGTCCATGGCGTCGAGCGCGGCGTCCAGGTCTCCGTCGGCCGCGGCGAAGGCGTCGACGGCCCTCGCGCGCGCCCTGCGCGACGACGCGTAGCCCCAGGAGAAGGTGCTACCAGTATACCAATCAGGATCGTCCGCCGCGACGCCGCCGTCGAGCAAGTACCGCAAGGCCGCATCATGATTTTCCGCATTCAAGTCTCCGACGACGACCAGACTAGCCCCCGTCGCGTCGCAAAGTTTGGACGCCTCCTCGATTATCAACGCGGCTTGGATCGTGCGAACGTGCGTCGCGCGCCCCGCGAAAAACAAGTGCGTGTTCGCGACGCACAGGCGGCGGCCATCTTTATCTTCGAGCACGACGAGCTGCGCGACGGTGCCGATGCGTCGCATCGCTTCCGCGGCAGACGGGTGGGCGGCCAGGAACTCGGCAATAGCTGACGGCGGTGCAATTTCCCGTTCCGCGGCGTCGGCGCGGCCGATGGACAACGCGATCTCGCGGCTCTCGACGGGAGTCCACGCGCCACGCCGCCAGGCAATAGCTTCGCCCTCCTGCGCCGCACCGCTCTTCAAAACGAGAGCGGCGTCGTATCCTTCAGCCCGGAGCCTCGGGAGCCACAGGCGCTCCCACCAGCGCGGGTCGACCTCCTGCAGCGCGACGATCGACGGCGCATACGATAATACCTCGTCAATGGCCATAGGGATGCGCCGGGAGGCCGCCGTGTACCGTGGCTCGCAGTGCGTGTGAATGCCGGCGTCCCAGGTGTGGCGGTAGGCGTCGGCGAGCACGTTGTACGTCGCAACACGGATCCCGGCCGGAGCGCCGATCGCCGCCACGCGGGCGTCGTGTTCCGGCCTCCGCCACCGCGGCGCCACTTTGCCGAGGTCGCGCGTGACGCAGGAGTCGCCGACCGACGCTTCGACCGTGAGCGTGCGACCGACTGCTTCGTCATCCGGCGTGAAGGCAGCCCCGGTGCCGCATGCCTCGCCGTCCAGCGAGTAGCAATAGCACACGTCGTCTGCTTCGGCACGCTTCAGCTCCGCGAGGGGCATCAGCGGCGAGCCGGCCGTCGGTTCGCCGTAGCACTCGACGGCCACGACTGTCGGAGGATTAAGGGCGACAGGAATGCGCGCGCCCTCGAGCTCGAGCCATCGTCCGCGCGTCAGCGCATCTAGCAGAGGCGTCGCCACGTCGACTTCGCTGTCGGTGGCATCCAGCAATCGCGCCGGCGGGGCCGGCGGCGCAGGCGCTGCTTTCTTGCCTTTCTTAGGCTTCTTCGGCGCGAGACGGCCCAAAGCTTTCTGCAGCGGTTCTCCAGCCGTTCGCTGCAGCGTGCGGGCGCCGATGGTAATTTTGACGCTGTCCGTGGCATCCGTCTCGACGATCACTGATGCGGCAGCAGCAGCCATTCTCAGGCTATGTATGCGACGCCGTGGCTGCACCCTTAAGGCGCTTGCAGTTGCCAGCAGCAACACCCTCCACATCAATGTGTGCCAAATCGCTGCGCGTCGTCGTTTTGCAGCGCAAGACTCTTTCGCATGCACGCACAAATGCGCTGCCGCACACAGCGCCAGTTATGCGAGTCGTTCGTGTCACAAAACCTGATGCGCGTGATTTAGGTAGCGGCAGTAAGATACTAGCAATTCGTCTTATTTTCTAGACACTCAAAGGAGATTACAACGAGTCACTCAACAACAAGGGAGGATCGAATCTCCCGCAACCGCCGCCGCGCCCCGGAAGGAAAGCCCCCGGAAGGAGGCAGCGCCGCGACGGCGCGCGCGCCCGCGACGCCCCCGGCCTCGGCGCATTTCCGCCGCCACGCCTCGTAGGGGAGCCGCTCGAGCTCCGCAACCCGATCAGAAACAGAGACCGGCGCGACGCCGCAGGCCGTCGCGTCGACGTCAACAAATAGGATGTCGGACGACGCCTCGTCCACCAATCGGACCAAACGCGAGGCGGCGACCTGCGGCGCAAGCACACCAACAAAAGGAGGCAACCCCTCCGGCGCCGCGCCGATAGCCGCACAAGCGGCCAACGTGAGCTCGAGCCAGTTCCCGGGCCCGTCCAGCAGCCCGAGCCGCGCGACGGCGCCGCCGACGCGCAAAGCACTCAAGCGGTGCTCCGCCACCAGCTTCGACCGCGCGTAGCCCGTTTCTAGAGCTTCAGCACAGGCCGGCGGCACGAGACCAACCCCGTCCCAGCCTTCTGCCCGTTTGGGAACGACCGAGAGCGTCGAGACCAGCACCACGCTCGGCGACGACGCGCACGCATGGACGAGCCGTTCGAGGGACTCGACATTCACGTCTCTCAACTCGTCGTAGGTCTTTTGCGCATCGACGCACGCGGCGCTGTGGACGATCACGGAGATGCCCGCCGCCCGCAACCTTTTCAAATCATCGTCCGACAGGCCCAGGTCTTCGCGCGCGAGGTCCGCCTCCAACACGATCGCGGTCGTGCTGAGTCGCGCCGCCGGCGGCCGGCACAACACCCAGAGGTCCCGATCTTCGAGCTCCCTCAGTAAGTGCGGCCCGAGCAGGCCCGTGGCGCCCGTCAGGAGCACGGCGCATCGCCGCGGCAACATTGTGACTGAGTGTGGTGTCGTCGCGCACTCGCGGGCCCAATCAACCTTCTGGTCCTCACAAACACCATGCGCCTTGCGGTGGAGGTCGCGCGGCGCCAATCTTAAGACGTCGCCGGCGGATATTGAAGAGCCCGTCCAGGTCCCGGCCAGCCGCGCGGCGGCGACCGAGTCGCCGCCCGCGGCCGCCCACCAGCCCTCACCTTCGCCGAAGGCCGGCGCGTAGGGCGCGGCCAGGAATTTCAAAGCGCGCTCGACGAGCGACGACCCCCAGTTTTCGACGAGGCCGTGGGTTGCGGCGACGACGTGCCTCCTTATCTTCCCGTGCGCGCTGCATTCCTTCTCATCGAAAGGGTCGCGCCTCAAAATAAAGCGGGGCACCTCCCAGGGCGCCAACACACAACCTCGCGCCTCCTCCTTCACTTCTTCGAGAGACGCCTCCGTGACGACGACGGCGACGGGCGCCGCCCAGCCCGCGCGCGCGATCACGACACAAGCTTTGACGGAATCACAACTCTCCAACGCGTGCTCCACTCGTTGCGGCGCGAGCCACTCGCCGTTCTCGAGTTTCACAGAATCAGCCTTGCGGTCGAGCACCTCCAACCGCCCGTCGATAAATCGTCCTAAGTCGCCCGTGTGAAACCACTGACCCTCCTCCACGTTTCGGATGCGCCCCCGCGCCGTCTTCACCAGAATCTCGCCGTCTTCACTTATTTTCACGGTGACGCCGGATAAAACCTTGCCGTCCCGCGCGATGCCGCCGGGCACCTCGGACATGCCGTAGCCGTCGCTCACGGCCGCCTCCGGGAACCGTTTCTTTAGGGAAGCGACGAGCGACCGCGGCACGGCAGCACCGCCGACGGCCACGAAGCGGAGTCGCGGCCCCGCCAACAATTTTCCAGATTTCCCGCTGTATAATGAATAGAAGCGCGGCGCCCCGCTTAGGTGGGTCGGGGCGTACTTTCTGATCTGAGAGACGACGTCGTTTCGCGTATCAACAATACCTAACCGGCCTCCGTGCAGCACTTCTGACCACGCCATGCGGCGACTCAAACCATGTGCGAGAGGCGCGACGAGGGCCTGACACGACACGCGCACCGAGCGCCGTTCCAGGGCGTTGCGCTCCCTCTTGCTTTTGACTGAACTTCCACACCAGTCGGCCCAATCATTTGAGGAGAACCGGAGCGGCTTCGGAGAACCAGTACTTCCAAGCGTCAGCAAGCAGGTCACCGGTTCCGACGAAGGCCGTTTGGTGAAGGGTGCTTCGATGGAGGAGTCATCAGAGAGGCGCAGCACGCTCAGGTTCCCGTCGAGCGCGCACCAAGCTTCATGATCGTCGACGACCGCGCACGTCAATTTTTCAGAACGAGACGCGAGGGCGTGGGCCTCCTCCACCGATACGGACGCGTCGACGGCGAGGGACGGCGCCCGTTTTAGGGCGCAGGCCCAGTCCGCAATCAGCCAGCCTTTTGAATTGCGGCCGTGGATACATACAATCCCATCATCCGGCAGCTTCGACGCCAGCGCCTTCGCGGCGCGGCCGCACTGGGCGTAGGTCCACCACTCGTTGTTCTCACCTATTAACGGCCTTGCTGCATAGACGTCAAAGGCGCGCTCGAGTAACAAACGGGGGTCTTCGTTGTTTCCACGCAACACCTCCCTGAATAACTCGCGTCGCAATACTAATGGTGATGCCCGGTCCTCATGTAAATTACCGTCGCAGCGCGCGCACTTCGTCGAGCACTCGGCGCATTGAATTACATCGTCGCAATTTTCATGAACGCAGCGGTAGCGACACGCCTCGTCGTTTATTGATGAACCGCAGGCCGCGCAGCCCCCTTTTTTTGGTGTTAGGCAGTCTCCAATGAATGAACGCACGGCCTCGAGTTCAGCGTTCGTGGGACCGTGCTTCGCGCGCTGCACGTGTTTCACGGTCGCACCGCGAAGGCGCAGGCCCGACGCCTTGCCGACCGCGAACAAGACGGTCGGGTCCGCCGTGCCGACCGAGAAGTACGTGGGAGCCGCGACCTTTTCTGAAGAAGCCCAGGCGGACACGGCCACCACACCTTTCAAATGAGACGACGCCACTGCTAACGCTAAAGCGCCGCCCTGGGAGAAGCCGCCCACCACGACCTTCCTTTCTTTAAACGTGTCTACGACTCGTCGGGCGGCGTCGATAACTTCAGCAGGCACGGCCACGGCCTCGGTCACGGGTAAAGAGAGGGGAAACCACCCTTCGTGAGATGGTGGCTCCGGGAGCACGACGTCCCAGGCGCCCTGCAACCGCGCCGCCCACGCGTCGCCCAGGTCCCCAACGCCCCGGAAGAAGACGACGACGGGCCGTTGTTGCGACCGCTTCCGAAGGACCTGGGCCACGCGCTTCGCGAGGTCCGTGGGCGCGACCAGCAGCACTTGCAGGCCGTCGCCGTCCGGCACAATTGTTATATTGGGCTGGCCGCCCCTCGCTGAACAGTAGGCCGCCGCGGCTTTGAGAGTGGCAGGGCCCACGGCCATCGCCGCGTTTCCACCAAAGTAGGTGCCGTCGGCGCCGCGCGCCCACGACGTGACGTGGACGGAAGCGAGGCAGTTGACGACGCCTGGCGCATTCACATAATCTATCAAAGGCGAGTCAGCGGGCATCTCCACGAGCACCGACGCGTTCCCGAAGTGGTCGCTCGGAAGCTGGCGCCCTCGACAATCGCGCGCGAAGGAGAGCGTGTCTATTTTACAGCCGGCCTCCCGTAAAACAGCGACGAGGTCCGCGAATAGGACCGCGTGGCGCGTCCGGCCGGGCGCCGCTTCACAATGAGACGCGAAGTCGACGACCAAACAACCGCCCTTCCGCGGCTTGACCCGTTCGACGGGGGTGTCAGCGCGTAAGGCAGCTACTTTACTTTGGCAGCTCCGGTCGAGGCTCAGCGCCAGCGGCGGATCACTAGTGTAGGCCCGCGAGGCCCGCTTGAGTAGTAAGACGGCGCCGCCCACATCACACAAAGCGTGGTCGAAGCTGAGGCCGATCGCAGACTTTGTCGGTCCAATGGACAGACGCCACGCCAGGGGCGCGGAACAGGGCTCCCGCGTGAACAGGAGGGGCGACGGCGGTCTTTGGGAGAAGAGGGCCTCGTCTTGGCTCTCGACAACACTCAACGCGCAGCCGCTGCCGCCATTCATCCGCACGGGGCCCAGCGCTATGCCTTCGATCGCGACTTCGACGGCGTCGCGGAACCGTCCCTCATGAATTTTTGCGTCGACGATCAGCAGCAGCTGCACGCGGGCCGGGTGGCGCGCGAACGTCGCGTCTAAGGCACCCAAAGCGATTACGCCGTCTCTTTCATTGATCAGCGTCGTGGGCGTGGCGTCTGGTGCTTTTCCGCTAGGCGGCGTGTAGACCCGGACGTCGTTCTGCATTGTTCGCAGCGATGCTAGCGGTGCATTTACAAATGCATGCGCCGGCGTCCGGCTTTGCACGGCTCTTTGCCAGAGCAGCAGCAAACGCAGCGAGCAGCTCACCCCAGCTAACGCGCGCCGCAGCAGTGATGCGATATGTAGGCGCTTATGCAGACGTACGAACGAGCACGAATGCTTGCCACAGGCTGCGTACGCGTCCAAAAATGGCACAGCGCGCTTGCTAGTGTGTTACATGCCGCTAGCATTGGGCGCTTCACTCCCGCGCTCGGGCGAGACGCACAGAGCAAGATAAATTGCCACATCGTTGAAGCGCCGAGGCCTCCACCGCGCACCAATGGCGAAACGACGATTGATTCTCGCAGCTAGCCTGCTGCAGCTCTGCACGGCCTGGGCGCCACCAGTGAAGCCGCGGCGATCCCGCCGAATAGCAGCGCAAGAAGAAGAGGCCGTCAGCTACGCCACCCCGACGGACCCGCTCTACGTCACGCCCGAAAATTTATTTCCCACGTCGTACGTCCTACCGATCAGTCGGCGCGTGAAGAACAGTATCAAGGCGCAGTGGTTCGCCGACTGGCGCGCCATCGCCGACTGCTTCCTGCGCTTCCCGGACCCCCGTAGAAGATTAGACGGCTCGGAAGGGTTGGCGTCGCGATTATCGACGGCGTGTTCCAATGAGCTCCAGTTCGTCCCCAGTGGCCCTAGACGTTTACCCTCACCGTTCGCATTGTCACTCATCGACCGGGCCTTCCATTCCGCGTATCTGGATCCGGCGCGGCACGCGCGGTTGCGCGATTATGTGCTGGACCAGTACGTTCCTGGGCAGTTCGGCGACGTCTGCGAGCGATTGGGATCATGGCGCGTCGCCGAGGCCGTACGCATGTCCATGGGCTCGCCGCTAGATGCGCGCCCTAGGCGCCTCCAGACGTTCTTCGACCCGTTGACGCCGGAGTACGACGCGATGGTCGCCTGCCACAACGTCGAGTATCCCATAAAACACCCGGACTGGCGGCGGGCGGGCCTGCCCGGCGATTTAGGGTTGGACGGGCCGTGCGACTAGCATCCGGGGGCTGCGTCGTCGGGTTGAGACTAACAGTTTGTGTGTATAGATAAATCCCCGGACCGCCCCTATGTCGAGGCTACGAGCGATTCCTGCGCGGCGCGGTTTTTCCCATTTGTACGTGTCCAATTGATCTCTTTGGACCAGTAGCGAAGGAACGATACTCAAACGGCTGCTTGCGTCCTTGCTAGTGTCTTACAGGCCCTAGCTAAGTTGTGAAAGCTTTTGCCTTGCAAGTGCAGCCACAAGCGGTCCCCCGCGGTGCAGCCAGACCATCAAAAGCAGCATTCCGAAGCGAGCTCTTGCAGGCGTGAAGTCAGCGTGCAGTAATACGAGCTACGTGTGCACCAATCATGCCATCTCTAAGACTGCTACTTGCACTCGCGCTCGCGACGACGGCGTCGGCGCTGCACGAGACTCGTGCGAGGAGCATAGCGCTGCGCGGCGGCAGCGACGACGACGGCGAAGGCCTCTTCGGCGGCGAACCAGTGGACGACGACGACGACGACGAGGAGACGAAGGCCTCGAAGCGCTACGCGGCCGCAGTCGCGCAACTAAAGAAGGAGGGCGGCGAGTGCGAGGCGCTCGACGAGTTCGAGGCCGAGTCGCTCAAGCCGGACCGCGACGAGTCGAAACTCGCGGTGCTCTGGATGGATGTGAAGCTCCAGAACCTCCAGAAGAAGCGGCCCGAGGACTACAAACCCGGCGACGCGGCGCATGCCTACGCCCGCGGCGTCGCCTTCCTCGCAACGGAGTGCGGCGCCTACGTCGAGGCCGAGAAGATATCCGTCGAGACGCACGACGCGTTCTGCGAGCGGTGCGCCCAGGCGCTCGATGTTGATGTGAAGATTTTTCGGGAGACGCTGGCCGAGTTCGAGGCGAGTCTAGGAAAACAGTTGCACGAAGGCGTCGCGCAACGCGTCAAGGCGTTGCGGGCGGCGCTGGACGACGAAGGCTTCGCGGAGAAAGCTTTCGCGTCACTACAGAAACGCGAGTCGAAGATCCTCGAGATGGTATCTGACGTGTCGAAGGTGGAGGATTTGCGCAAGGACATGCTCGCGAACCTCGATCAGGCGGCCGGCGACGCAGTCGCCGAGGCCGCCATGTGCCAGCAGCTGATCCCCGCCGTGGAGGCGATGCTCGGGGAGAGGTTGCTGGGAGGCGAGGAGGGGGCGCCCGATAAATAGTCAACTACATCTCTAAGCACGGACGCCTGCTCACGACCAGCGGGCCGGGCCTCTTATCTATTTTGGCGAGGACTAGTGGGCTTATGCTAAGGTTTAATGAGGGTCTCGACCCGTGCCCAGCGCCTGAGTGGGGACAGCTTGCATTGCAATTCCCAGAGCCTCCATCCAGTGAAGGATAGGCAGCCTCCAGCTGAATTGAGAGGCAGCCCTTACAGGCAGCACCAAAATGGGCGGCGGTGTATCATCTCTCCCGGCGGAGGTCTCGCTTGCCGAGGCCAAGGAGCTGGCGGGCGCCAGGTGGCAGCCCGCGTGGGAGGAGAAGTTCGCGGAAGCCAAGATCTCCAGGGATGAAGCAATACAATGCTGGAAGGAGTCCAAGGCCGCGATCTCCGAGGAGCTTTACGAAAAGCTCCACGGCATCGACCGATCCAGCGTTGCGGAGGCGCTGGATTTCTCGGCCATCGTGAACGAGAAGCGCGGGCAGCACCTGCCCGGCACGCGCGAATGGGTCTTCGAGGCGGTGCTCCGCTGGCGGACCGACGCTGATAGCGCCAAGCTCTTTTGGGTTGTGGGTGGCGGCGGCACGGGCAAGAGCGTGGCGGCGGCTGAATTGCTCGCGCGACTGCTCGATAAACAAAATGCGGCCGCGTGGCATTTCTGTAAGCACACCGAGCCGGCGCGGTCCGCGCCAACGGCGCTGCTGCGCTCTCTCGCGGGCATGCTGTGCGCGACGGTGGAGGGCTTCGAAGACGCGCTGAAAGAGAGCGCGGGCGTCGAAAGCGACAAGGTCGACGAGCTCTTTGAGGCTTTAGTAGCGAAGCCGTTGCGAAGCGTCAAGGCGCCGCGTGGCGCGGACGACGCCCTCGTATTAGTCATAGATGCGCTCGACGAGCTGCCCCGCGACGCGCTCAAGCCCGTGCTATTGCTGCTCGCGACCGAGCTCAAGACGCTGCCGCCGTGGATCAAACTCGTGGTCACCAGCCGCGACGAGGCGCAGATCAAGTCTGCCATGTCCGGCTACACGCCGTCGGAGCTGCGCGTCGACGAGGCGCGGAACCGGCAGGACGTGAGGGCGTACCTGACTGAACTCGCGAAGGAGCACGTCGAGCTCGAGGTGACGATGGACTCGCTGCGGCACGAGGTCGAGGCGAAGTTCCCGGGCTTGAAGAATCTCGACACGTTTGCAGATCTAGAGGACCCGCTGCGCCGGTCAAAGGGCGCGTACGACGAGGCGGTCCGCGGCGTTGCTGGGATCCACGAGCTCGAAAAGTATAAGGAGCGACGTCTCGACTTGATACAAGACGAGACTGACTTCGACAAGCTGTACGCCGACGCAGCTCTTGCGCAGACGATATTGGTCGATGCGCTGAAGACGCTGCCGGGCGACGTGTCGGATCCGGGCGTGAAAGGGCGTGGATCCGCGGAGCGCAAGCTCGCGGACAAGTACACCGACGAGAATGGGGTGCCACATCCCGAGAAGTTTCGGGATCTAGCCCGTGCGACGGTCCTGTTAAGCGAAGATGGTAAAACAATTCTGTATCATGCGTGTGAAAACGGGAGTGTGGACGCGGCGCAGCTGTTGCTGGACAAAGGGGCGGAGGTCGATCGGGACAAGGACGGCCGGACGCCGCTGTACGCCGCCTTCGAAAAAGGCCACATCGACGCGGCGCAGCTGTTGCTGGAGCGCGGCGCGAAGAAGGTTGACCAGGCGGACGAGGACGGCAGGACGCTGTTGTACATGGCTTGCGAGAGCGGCCAAATCGACGCGGCGCGGCTGTTGCTGGACAACGGCGCGGAGGTCGACCGGGCGACAAAAGACGGTCGGACGCCGCTCTATCTCGCTAGCACGTATGGCCGCGTCGACGCGGCGCGGCTGTTATTAGATAAAGGCGCGGACGTTAATAAGGCGGACGAGGACAGTGCGACGCCGCTGTTAATGGCCTGCCTGACCGGCCACGTCGACGCGGCGCGGCTGTTGTTAGACAACGGCGCGAAGGTCGATCGGGCGGAGAAGCAAGGTGCGACACCGCTGTTCGCTGCCTGCCAGAACGGCCACGTCGACGCGGCGCGGCTGTTGCTGGACAACAGCGCGGCGGTCGATCGGGCGATGAATGAAGGCGCGACGCCGCTGGCCATCGCAAAACAACAGGGCCACTCGGCCGTCGTCGCGCTGCTCGAGGAACACTTGGATTCGAAATTCCCACTTCACGCTGCAGCAAGGACCGGCAACGTCGAGGCGATGACTCAACTCCTGGACGGCGGCGCCGCGACTGACCAGACGATGGGGAACGGCGAGACGCCGCTCTGGATTGCTTGTCAGGTCGGCCAGGCCGACGCCGCGCGGCTGTTGCTGGAGCGCGGCGCCGAGGTCGACCGCACGTCAACTTGGAATACAGCGAAGGGTGTGACGTCGTTGATGGTCGCCGCGCTTGGTAGTCACATTGATGTGATGCGGCTTTTATTGGAGCGGGGCGCGGAAATGGATATGACAGAGAGCTATGGTAACACGGCGCTTATGTTCGCCTGCTACGAAGGCCACATCGACGCGGCGCGGCTATTATTAGGGCGGGGCGCCGATATCACGCGGGCGGCGACGTCTGGTCCCGGGCATGGCATGGATGCATTAGCTCTGGCAAAGCATGCGAAACGAGCCGCCGTCGTCGCGCTGCTCGAGGAGCATCAGAAGTGACCGCGGCGCCGGCGCCGAGGGGAGAGTAATAGTACGACTAAATTCTCTTAAGCACGAGCCGCGCCGCCGCGAACACGACTCCCGTTTTGGGGCCGCTATACCTCCCCGTCGAGCTCCTGCAGGATCCGGATCGCCTCCGCGCTCGTTGGTCGCACGTCATGCACGGCCTCGCCCGCCGGGAAGGGCGGCGGCGGCTTGTTCAGGATGTTCACGCCCTCGTCCGCCGCGAGGTTACAGAGTAAGGCGCCGAGCGCCGCCTTTTCGTCCCATTCAAGGTCGTCGACGGGCCCGTAGCCCGTCTTCTCGTAGGTCTCCGTCGCCACGTCCGTCGTGATCTTGCCCAGTACGACGCGCACGTCGCCCGTGGCCTCGCCCTTCTCCCTAAGTTCGTAGGCCGACGCCTTCTCGCCCACGAACAGCTCGCAGCCCTCCTTGCCGTCCGGAAAGCCGATGACCTTCTCCTGGACGTCCGGGTCCTTCTCCTTCTTCTTCTTGCGCTTCTTCTTCTTTTTCTTCTTCTTCTTGGTCGTCTTCTTCTTCTTTGTCGTCGTGTCGATCGTTTCCGGCTCGGGAATGTCGGCCGTCGTTAGTAAGTGTCGGACGACGAACTCCGGTCGGAGCAGCATGGCCTCGTCGACCTCGAAGGGCCCGTCGTACACGGTCACGCCGGACTTCATGAGCTCGTTCCGCTCCTTTTGTTTTGCTGCCCTTAGATGTTCGAGATTTGAGGTGTCGGAGTCGAGCCTTAGTCTAGCATCCTCGAGCGCCTCGAAGATCTTGCGCATGCAGATGGCCGTCTCCGGGTCCATGTCCGCCGGCGGGCCGTAGGGGTGGCCCTTGACCTTCATCTTTGACGGAGCGTCGCCGGCGCCGCGCGCGGAGCGCTGCAGGCTATATCCGAGCGACCGCTGGTCAAGATGAGACTTTCTGCGTCACTAGCGAGTGCCGCAGCGCGCGCGGGCCGGGCGTCGCGCTCAAACGCGCCGCTCCCGGCCGCGCGTGCGCCCTGGCTGTTTCCGGAGAATGCGGCGCCGGGGCGTCGCCGCGCGCCGCGCTTTTCCGCCCTGCAGCAGCCGCCCCACCGGAGGTCACCGTGATGGGGTCAGATCGGCAGCCGCGTCCGAACCCCAAGCAATAAGGGCTGCTTTCCCCCCCGTCCGAGAGCGCCGGGCGTTACATCTAGATACATTTTGAGAGCGCATTTGAACTAGCGCGGCGCTCCTTCCCAATACCACGCGACCGGAGGGCTAAGAGGTGTCCCGGGAGGCCTTTGGGACGCCTGGGTCCGTCGCCGCAGGAGCCCAAAACTCATTTCAGCGCCAGGCTCTCCCTGGCAAAAGGACGCTAAACACCGACGCGAGACCACCGCGCGCCGCGGAGGCAGCCAGGTAGTGTCACGGGGCAGCCCGAACACCACAACAGCCGCCGCGCAAGGTCGCGCGCCGCCGCACCGGCCGCAACAGTAAGCCAGCCCGAGGCGCCGCGCGCTACACGCGACGCGCCCATCAATTATGGCCGAGGTCGCCAACTCCGCCGCCTTAGTGCTAGCCGCCGACGCGCTCATGGAGCAGGGCCGCTACATGGAGGCCGAGCCGGAGCTGCGACAGGCCATCGAGGCGGACCCGAGCGACGCGTCGGCGTTTCTCGCCTTAGGTAAATGCTTAGGAGCCACGCATGACGTGCGCGGGTCGGAAGATTGCTACCGCCAAGCTCTACAGTTAAATCCGGACGACCCCGACGCCGGAAACGCTTTGGGGTTACTCCTGTGGCGGGCCCGGGGTGACCTGAAGGGCGCCGAGAGCGCGTTCCGGGCCGTCGTCGCCGCGAATCCGAAAGTCTCTGCCGCCAAAATCAACCTGGACCGGTTGATGCGCATGAAGCTGCCCTCGAAAGGCTCGTATAGACAACGCCCTCGACGGTCGCGGAAGAACGCGCCACGACCTTCGACGGCGTCCGACCGGAACCAAAAAAATAGGTCCATCTCGTCGCGACGAGCTCTACTGCGGGGCGCCACCGAGCAAGCACCGCTGGAACCGCTCCGACCGGGCAAGCGACCGACGACGTCCACAAAACAACCTGGGCACTGGAGCGGCTTCCGGACGGACGGCTTCCTGCCGGGCGAGAGCGTGGAACTGAACATGATGTCCAATATTGGTGGATTAGATGAAGCCTTACCCAATCCCATGAAAGTCCTAGCCATGCTGCATCCGGCCTTGCGACCGACGACGGCGTCGTCCTACGACTTCCGGCGGGACCGGTCCGCGTATTTGCAGTCTAGACAACTCCCAAAGCGCCTGCAGAACGACTTTGTGCACCTCTCGCAAAAAACAGCACCTAGAGACGTACGTACGAGACAGATGGCGCGACGCGCGAAGACGCCGTCGTCGATGCTCGGCTCGCTCCCGCAATACGACAAGTGGAAGCCGTCGGGCTACGTCGACCCCTTCCGGAACTCCTTCGCCCAGCCCTACCGCCGGTCCCACGCCTTCGCCATGTGGACGGCGCCGCCTGGAGCTACAAGAAGAAGAAGGCCGGGTGCCGACTTTGATGATGATATGCATGTTACCGAGAAGATCGTCGGCTTCCCCGACGGCAAGGAAGGGTGCGAGTTGTTTGCGGTCGGTGATGAGGAGTCTGTCGCCTATGAATTGCGCGAAGAAGGTAAAGCTACGGGCGAGGTCCGCGTCGTTTGTGATAGTGAAACGACAGATATTCCTCCTGATGTTTATGAGGCGACGGGCTACGAGAACGTCGGCGAGTTGTCTTGGGACGACAAGGCCGCGCTCGGGGCGCTGCTGGCGTGCATGCAGCTGGATGGTGGGGATGCGTCCGATCCTCCTCCGCCTTATGATGAGGGGGAGGAGTTGTACGAGATGGGGGAACGACCGGAGGGTCTCGCGGGCCAGGTCATGGACGAGCTCGACGCCGAGAAGTAAGTTAACATACACATCATAGTTACAGGGTAGTGCCACGACGGCCATCGCCGCTGCGCGCGGGCCCGGGCGGTGAGTGATGCGTCGCGTCGATGGCGTATGAGCGGTGTATCCAACACGCCATCGCCGCGGCGCGCGCACGTCCGGTTAAGGGAGCGTGAGCTCTACGACAGTCGTCGCCAACACAGCGACCTGCCGCGCCTGGTGCTTGGCGTGCAACCGCTGCGCCTTCGACCAGTGGTCGGTCGTGATGCGGGGCGCCGCCGGCTTTGGTGGTGCCGCGGGAGGCGTCGACGGCGTCGGCAGCGTGGTCGTCGCCCGGGCGGCGGTGGGCGCTCGCACAGGCGCCGGCCGCGGCTTCGGCGAAGCGACCGCGGGCAGCTTCGGCGCGCGCGGCGGGGGCGGGGCAGGCGCCGGCTTTGGCTTGCGACTGCCCTTTGGCGTCGCCGCGGCGGGAGGCGTCGGCGGCGATGCCTTGGCCGGCTTCGCCGCCTTCCGCGGGGAACGCTTCTTCCGCTTCTTCGCCGCCAGGAACTTGTGGAAGAGCTTCGACGTGGCCAGCGCCTCCGCCGCCGCCCCCTTGGCGCGCTTAGGCGCGGCGGCGGTGGTGGCGGGCGGCGTCGGCCGGCGCGGCGGCGGCGTAGGAGAGACAGTCGCCACCGCGAGGGCAACGGACGCCACGGCCTTCAGTGAAGGCTTCCGAGGCGGCGCCACGAGCCCGTTCAGCAGAGCCATGGCCCTCAAATCTTTCCGGTACGCCTCGAGGTCGGCCGCGAAGCTAGGCAGCGTGATAAACGACGTGTGCGCCAATCGCCGCACGCGATCCATCTCCGACAGCATCAGCCGCCCCGCATAGAGCAGTCGTAGGTCATCCGTGTCGAAGTCCCTTCGAAGAATCGTGAGGGCACCTTCGAAGTAGACCTGGGCTTTCCCGGAGCCGCCGGGTAGCGACTGGTCCAGCAGCCCGCGCTTGATACGAGTGACCAACCCAAAACGCCTTTTTGGAGAGGGCATGTACGGGGCGAGCTCCGCAAACAACTCGACGAAGTTCAGCGTAGCAGCCTTGGCGCACGCGTAATATAATAAAGCCTCCCGAAACAAATACCTCGACTTCGGACCTCCACCACTATGCAACACAGTATTGATGGTAGCTAAACCTTCCTCCGTCTCCCGGAACTCTCGCGTCGAATGCGAGTGCAGATTAAATTTTTTTCTCCCGGAAGAGCCGCGCCACGGCTGGATCTCGTCGTTCACCACTCGTAGTAGGTGCGTGCCTATCTCGTGGGCCACGAACTGTCTCAGCTCGTGTTTCCTTAGTTTGTTTGCCGTACTGACAAATAGCGTATGTCGGACCTCGGGATGGTCCTGCGAGTTCCGTCGCGAGCGCTGCAGACTCCCAACACAGGACACGCGGTTCGGCGTGAACCGCACCCAGAGCTTGTCCTGGAGCTTGTGTTGTGTCACAAAGTCCACAATATGTTTTTCAGCGGTCGCCTGGTCGACGTCCTCGCCGTAGACCTTTCTCTCAAACACTTCCGCGGCGCCTCCGACACTCTCAAGGGCCGCGTCCAGTATGGACTTGGCTTCCTCCACATGATCGTCTCGGATGGAGTGCATGGCATTCGTAAGCTGCTTGGCGAGCTTGTTGACGGGTACACTGTATGTGAAGTTTGGCGTGAGTAACTGCGAGGCGCCGTCGCCTCTCAAACACGCCTCCGTGAGGCCATTCAGACATCGCTTGTATTCATTCTCGGTGTTTGTGGGATCCGCGGGGTCGCCTCTGCCTCCCGGGGCGTCGGTCGTGACCTTGAGGCTCTTGTCGTACCGCGGCTTTTTTTGCTGTTCCTCGGCGGGGCTGCCCGGCGGCGTCGATGCGGGCGTCCTCGCCTCGGCGCTGCTCGGCGGCGTCGCAGGGGTGCCGCCCTCCTCGGGGCTGCCCGGGGGCGTCGCTGTGGGGGGTGCACAGCATGCCGCATCCGCGCAGCCGGGGCACGCGTTCGCGAAGGCGCCGACGAGGGTCGGGTCGAAGCCGGGCGGCGCCGCCGCCTCGGGCGCCGCCGGCGCGACTTGCCCTCCCTTGCCCATGGGGCAGCGTCTGGGCCCGCGCGCTACGGGGCAGCGTTCGGGCCACGGGCCACGCGCGACGCCGGCGCGCTGCTGCAGGAGATGGCCGGCTCTTGCGCGGCAGCCTTTGGTCGCGTTGCGCAGCACGCTCTCCCTTGTGTTGTGCAGCGCTCTCAAGTCTCGCGGTCTGCTGCCCGGCCGCCGTTCGCCCACGCCATTGACGCTTCGGACGGCTCTCCTGAAGACACCTCCGCGGACGAATATGTTCGAAGCCGGTTCCTAGTGTCTTTACTGGCCGCTAGCTGTCTCCGCCGAACCTCGGCCGTCGTGCATCTAAGATCACCGTTGTGAGGCTTAGGAGTCGCATTCGTGCAACAAACAATCGCCGGCAGCGATAGCACGGCAGTCCAGCCTGAAAGCCGCCGCAGCTGCGCAGGCCAGCCTTGGCAGCACACGAAACAGTCGAGCGCGCGCCGTCGACGCGAGCTAAAAGCTGCTCAGAAGACCGCTCATCACCATCATCACGACCACCACATCGCTAAACGATGGGCAGCAAGCGCCAGAAGCGCAACAAAAAGGCGGCCGAGCTCGCGGCCGAGGCGCGGCAGAACCAGAAAAAGGTCTGGGGCGCGCGCCTGTCGCTCGGCGTCGTCTTGGTAGCCGTCGCGGCGGCCTACCTCAAGGAAGACGAGGTCGACATTTCTCGCATCAGTGAATCGAGGCACTGCCCCAGGGACAAAATCAAGGAATTTCGCCACGTGCCGACGTTCGCCGTGCCGCCTAGTTGTCCTTATGTCGTCAGAAGCTTCGTAAAAGATGGCGAGTGGCTCGGCGCGAAGTTTCTGAACAGGTTACAGAATGCGCAGGGGCCGCCTTCTATCGAGTACGACGAGCTGTCGCGAGGAAACATGTTCACTTATTATGATAAACAGCGGCACAGTACGTTGCCCGCGTCGTCGACTTACTCTAAAAAAATAGCGTCATCGCCGAGGCAGCTACTGAACAACATCAAGAAGAGCCGGGCGGCGCGCTTCGGCGGGCCCTTGCGGCAGATCTCGCCCTACTTGGAGAGCGAGATGATCAATACAAGGTGGGCCGAGGAAGCGCGGACGACGTGGGACGTGCGGGATTCTCCTAGACCTACCGGTCTCTGGGTCGGTGGTCGTAATACGTCCAGTGCCTCGCATTTTGATCTGTTCGCGAACTTTCACGTCTTGTTATCTGGAAGAAAGCGCGTGTCGCTGGCGCCTCCTATTGATCATTTCAAATTTAAATTCTGGCCGGCGCCGCACCCGCACGCGCGGCAAGCTAGAGTCGAAGCTTCATTCGAGACCCCGGCCATCACGCTCAAGGAGGGCGACGCGGTGTATGTGCCGTCCGGCTGGGTCCACAAGGTCATTGCGGAGCGAGTCGCGGCGGCGGCGTCGTTCACGGCACTGCCGCCCGAGTTCCAGAGCTTCGAAGGCCTGGTGCGGGAGCAGGTCGGCGCCATGTTCGTCGATAGAGGGTGGTCGCAAGTCCGAGCCATCGGGATTATTCGCGTCTATTTGCCGGCTGTCGCCAAGTTCTGGCTCGGCGAGGATATTGCACAATCAGTTTTGTCAAATTACGCCGATTCGTACGATCGCGTCGCGAAGGAAGTGCCTCCACTAGCAAAGTGTCCCGTGCCGCCGGACCGCGACATTCGCATCGCTTTGAGGTACGCGAACGCGACGGCAAACGCGTTTTCCTGGTTCCGGGCCGACCTCGCGGTGTTGTTCTTTGGGCCCTTCGCGGACACGGTCGTGCAACGGGTGCCGCACCCGGCGTTGAAGGGTGCCCAGCGGTGGGCGGCGGCGGCGGCCTTCGTGCGGGAGTGCTGCCTCTTCAATTCCGCGAACCGCGGGTTTCTGTTGCGGGCGGTGCTCGAGCGGCCGGCGGTGCTGGATTTTGATGATGACGAGGACGAGGACGAGGAGGATGAATAAGATGTGATTTTTTAATTGCTTCGGCTTTGTTGCGCGGCTTCGGCAAGTCCAGAGAAGTGTGCGCGAGCTAGCGGCGTAAGACACTAGCAACTCCACGGTGCAAATGCTGCCAAAGCAGTCCTTAGCTTGCCACACACAGCTGCTCAAAATAGCTGAGACGTCGCTGACGAGTCGCTCTGTACGACGCTGCGAGCGCTGTGCAGTGCTGCGCACCGCTACAAGCTCGTAACCACCAGCCTCTCCCTGAGGCCAAAGCATGATTTTGGACATTCCAGAGCTACTGCTGAAGGTTGCGCAGTATGCGGACTGGCGCGCTGTTCTCGCGCTGCAGCGGCTGAACCGCGGCGCGTATCGCGACCGGCCGACGCTCGTCCAGGAAGAACTTTGGCGCTGCGCGGTCCGGAGTCGCTGGTGCGGGCAGGCGCAAAGTCACAACCGTCGATCAGCGTGGGCCGTGTGTGGGAGCTGGCGCCGCGTGTACGCCCACCTGCGAACCGTTAAATTCACCACAAGCGCGTCGCTGTGGGATAATTACCCTAGTCCGATTCCACTAAGGTTGCCGTCGCTACGAGTGTCGAGGACGCCGGCCTACAACCCGCGTTATGGTCTCGGTGCGCGAAACCCGCCACTATCGCGGGTCGAGGAATGTGTCTGGTCGGAAGAACCCTTGGCGCGGGGGGAGCGCGATCGGGACTTCGACAATCATGCCGCCGTAGCCGATTTGCGACCAAATTTCCTCTCGGGGCCCGAAGTATGGGTGGCGCACTTTACCGTACACGCGCCAGATGCCGAGGGGCTTCTCTTAGGCGTCAGGACAGACGACGCCGACGAGGCATGGTACTTTGACATCGGAGATCACCTCGGAGAGGGCAACCCGCGGAGAAGGGTAGTCCACCATTGGGAATTAACCGACACCGATGGCCAAGTGTTCGATTCTCCGGCGCAATTCCGCCTCGTCGTCGACCTCGTAACGAGTGCGATTACTATTGACATCGAAGGCACTTGTCCACAATACCCCGTTTATTTTGCTCATTTGGCCTACATGGACGCTCCCGGTCTCGCGGCCGCCGCCGCAGGCGGTCGCCTGCACTTTTTCGTGGGCTTCGGGGCCCTCTTCGACCCGGAAGACATCGCGCCGTATGAGGTCCCATCCGACGTGGATGATTGGGATCCTTGGTCAGATCACTATCCCGAGCGTCAGCGCCGGCGGGGTTACGCTACCCTGGACAGGCTCTACCCGATGCTGAGTCGCAGGCTATGGCAGAATCTGCGGTCATAATGTTAGTTGTTGTAACTTAAAATCTATCGTACAGAACACCAATACACACCACGACCGTCACCACGTCGCCGGCCCGCGCCGCTGCTGCCCCCGGCTCGACGGCGTCGTTCCCAGGAAAAAACAGTCCTGCCACGCGTCGCTGACCTCCTCGCGGCAGCGCCGCATGCGGTCGTCCTGGAACCGCTCCTGATCCGCGAGTTCGCGGAGCGCGGATTCGCGTTTCGAGTCGCGCTGACGTCGCGCTGCGTCGCGCGCTGCGTCGGATACCGCGTCCGAGGCCGCAGCGGTCCAGCTGCGCGGCGGCGCCGGCCGGCCGGACGGGTCGTCCGGCCAGCGCGGATCCGCTGCCAGCGCCGGCGCAGCGCTGGTCGCGACTGCGCTGGCTGCCAGCCGTGCGATTACGGCGCGGCGCGGCGTCGCGTCGAGCGCGCTGGCGCAGCCGGCGAGCAGAGCTCCCAGCAGAGAGCAGCGATGCGGCGCGGAGCCGTGGCGACCTCTGGGCCGCCGCCTAGCGCCGCGCGCGCTGCGGCAGGGCTGCATGACAGCAGTGAGCACAACTCGCCGTAGCGCTGTCCGTCGGCCGCCGCCTTGCAGCACTGCGCTCTCCTGAGCTTCAGAACGAGTCCCTACGGCACAGGCAACCCGTAGCGCCAGCGTCGCGTGCGCTCGCAATTGCGGGCATTTTCGCCTTTCACACGCTCCTTGTGCTCGAGTCCAAACGAGCGCCGCTGATCGCTGCGCGACTAGCTAGTCACGTTTGAAGCAATTGTGACATCGGCGAGAACTGCCATAACTCGCTCGCGGTGGCAAAACACGCCCAGCGGCAACGCAATGGAGCCATATTCAGCAGGAGCCGCGGAGTCCCGTTTCGAACCGGCGGCGGCGCCTAACGGCAGCGGAGCCGGCCAGGAAGCTCCCCTGCCGCCGCCCGCACCCATGGAAACCGTCGCGCCGGAAGCAGGCGCGGCGCCCGAAGCCGCGCCGCCGCCTCCGCCGGTTTCGAACGTGCCTGCGGCCATGGACGTCTCCGCGCCGGCGCCGGAGCCCGCACCCGAGCCCATGGAAGTCGAAGAGCCCGAGCGCGACGCACCGGAGCCGACCGTCGCGCCGGAAGAGGACGCGCCACCGGCGCCGTTCGCACCGCGCGAGGCGCCCGAGTCGGAGATGCCCGCGCCGGCCGCGCCGGAGACGACGCCGCCGCCGGTGCAGGAGCCTGAGGCGGCCCCGCGGGACCCCTCGCCCGAGCCGGAACCCGCGCCGGAACGAGAGGCCGCGGCCGAGCCGATGGCACCGCCCGCGCCGCCCGCGCCGGAGCCCGAGCCCGAGCCGGAGGCCCCCGCGCAAGAGCCGGAGGCGCGGCCGGTGGCCGCACGGATGTCGTCCGAGGCCGAGGCGGCGGCCTTGCTCGAAGCCACGACGACGACCGTCGCGACCGCCGCCGCGGCCCTAGAGGCGGAAGCAGCAAAGCCCGACGAGCTCCAGCTGGAGATCGAAGCAGCGAGAGCGAAGGCGCGGGCGGCGCAGGACGGCGCCGACGCGCCGCCGGCCGCCAATGACGCCGACGCCGCGCCGGCGCCCGTCGTGAGCGAGAAGCCGCCCCTCACGGAGGACGCGCGAAGCCTGGTCGACCGGGCGGCCCCGATAGAAGTCCTCCAGGACAACCCGAAGAAGGTCCGCGACGCAGCGTCTGTTTCTGAACTTCGCATCGACGCCGTCGACGCGACCGCGAGAGAGTCGATTCCGCACGCAGGGCGAGTCCGCCAAGCGCTTCCGCAAGTACATGGCGGCCACAAACGCGGCAGAATTCATCCAGTTAGGTGGGACTCGCGCCGACCTCAAGTACGACATCGCCCGGGGCTGGGTCACGGTCACAGATCGCGCGCCGCCCCCAGCCCGCGAGAAGAAGGCCAAACAAGAACGGGGCGAGCTCGTCTTCGAGCAGAACATCCCCAAGCTACGAAGCCAGGTGCCGCCTCCTACGAAAGACGACGAGGCCATCGCGAGAGCCGCGCAGCTCGCCGAGGAAGAAGAACCCGAGCCCGAGGGCCCGAAGGAGCCCGCTGACTGGCGCACGAGCGGCCCCTTCGTGGGCCAGTGGATCACTAGAAGTATTCTAGACAGCTCCGGGCAAGTGACGTCCTTCAGCGTCGGCCAGGTCAAGGGCTACCTCAACAGCAAGGAGAGCGACTACCTCGACGCGAACGGGCGACCGACGGCGCTCTGGCGCGTCGAGTACGTCTCCGGCGAGCTCAAGGACGACGCGGAGGATCTGGAGCGACACGAAGTTCTGCAGTCAGCGCCGAAGCCGTCGCGGCCCGATCTCAGCATGAGGGAGGTCGAAGCCCAGTCCAAGGCACGAGCTAGAGAAGGCGGCTCGTCCAAAGGGTCCAAGAAGAAGGAACGCGAACCCGCCCTAGATTATGTACCACCAGTAGAGTCCGAGTACGAGCGCCACCGGAGGGAGCGCATCGCCGAGAACCAGCGGTTTCTCCAGTCGCTCGGTTTCGTTGGAGGTGATGTGGGCATACCCAAAGAGCAGAAAAAAACAAGAGGGCCCCGGAAAAAACGCGAGCCCCAAGCGCCGACTCGACGGTCGTCGCGCGCCACTCATGAAGCGGGCCAGTACAACGAGAACAGACAGTATCGAGATGCGGTGCAACAAGTTCGGGAGGAGCAGCGCCTCGAGGCGCAACGAAGGCAAGAAAGACGCCTCGAGAAACGCATGGCCCGAAAAAGTGAAGAAGAAGTGCAAAGGATGCGCAAGCGCGTGGAGCGACTGACGCGCGCCGCGCGCGCCGCGGAGAAGGAGCTCGCGACTCGACAAAGTGAAGATGGGTCGAAGCTGCGGCAGGTCGGGTCCAAGCCTTCTACCTTCTACGGCGGCGGGCCCGTCGACGAGCAGACCGGGAAGACGCTGGACCGGAAATGGTGTTCTAGAAACGTGCAGGACGCGCCCCAGGTCGGCGACATTGTGGTCTACTTCGCGCGGGGCCATGAAGAAGCTTTGCAACTACGGCTAGAAAGGTCGGGCTTCGCGTGCGGGCCTAGTTGGTCTGAAGCTAGAACTCCATCCTGGTTCCTGCAGCAGGGCGCGCCGGAAGTGCTGGAGTGTGTCGTGGCGGCCATCGAACCGCGATTTCCTGATGAGTGGTTGAAGCGACGGCGGGAGGCGTTCCTCGCGTGCATCGAAACGCTGGAGCAACAGGAGGACGCGCACTGGTTCCTGCAGCCCCTAGATCACCAAGGGTTAGGCTTGTACGACTACCTCAAAGTAATTAGGAGGCCGATGGACCTGGCCTCGCTGAGGGAGGGCGTCGTCGGCGGCGCGTACGACAACGACGGCTTCGACGAGCGCAGCCGCCAGTTCGCCGACGACCTGAAGCTGCCCTTCGACAACGCCCTGTTGTATAATGAAGATACGTCCGACGTCTCCAATTCGGCTCGAGTGATGCTCGCGAAGTGCGAAGAATTGATTGAATCTCTCAGATACGAGGAGCCGCAGGAACCGGAAGAACCTCTGCTGGAGTTGCCGCCGGCGAAGAAGCGGCGGTTTGCCGGAAGGTGGGCGGAAGACGAGGAAGCTTCATTAAAAGAACTCGTGGCGGAGCTCGGCGACAATGCGTGGGACCAGGTGGCCGAACGACTCGGCACCGGTAGGAGCGCTCGAGGCGCCGAGCAGCACTGGGAGGTCATGCGGGGCACCCATGCTTTTGCCCGGAAGCGGAAAGGCCCGCCTCCCAAAGCGCCGCCGAAACGGTCGCCCAAAAAAGAGCCAGAACCGGAGCCGGCGCGGACGCGGCGTCGTCATTGACCTTGAACTTGATCTGGTGGAGGCGATGGCGTCTTCATGAGTCCACGTCGCCTCGACGCCGTCGACGCGGCCGCCAGAGCGCCCATGCGCCTCGTGAGAGAGTTGCGGCCGTGTCGCGACGGCGTCGTTCCCACACAGGAGCCCGAGCCCGAGCCCGAGCCCCCGGCGCCCGTCGAAGAAGTTAAGCCCTCCTTGCCTCCTTTGAAGATGGAGCTCGTCGTTAGATTAGTACCTTTGTACATGGTGCAGGACACGCAAGCCGCGGGTAGTGAGATCCCGGAGGCTAGTGGCGTCACGTGCATCAGCTGGCAGACGTGGCGCGGCGGCAACCTGGTGGACCCCTTTTTTGTGTCTCTGTCGGGTGTGCCCCAGGAAGATGCTTTTCTGCAGCATAGGCATCGCGTCCTTAGTACTACCAAGTTGTGGCGAGGGGTCGAGCAGTGGTCCTCCGTCTGCACGGCGGATGATCGCACACCTTATAGAATCGAGTCGTTGCGACGGGCGGAGAAGAAGTCCGCCTCCTATTTACCTAGTTGGCGGGCCGCGAAGCTCCTCGAATGCGGTTTACCTGATGATCCCCCGCCGCCTCCCTCGAAGTCCAAGGCCAAAAAACGAAAACTCACGAAGGGCAAGGGCAAGAAGCACGCTCCATCTACACCTAAAGCTCCTGTCGTCAAGGAGGAGGACCCGCGACTTATTGGAATTAATGTGTGGGATCTGCGGGAGCTCAATGCCGATGAGGCAGCTCAAGCGAAGAAGCTCCACGAGCAACGGCCGGACGGCTACGAGATCGAAGAGGTCCAGGAACGGACGACGCGGGGCAAGAAGCGGGAGTTGGACGAAGAGCCCGAGACGACGTATGTGGAGAGGCCGCCGGAGCCTAGACCTGATGAAGTAGATTTACCTCTAGAACTAGAAGTACTGGACGAGGACATGTCCAACGCCTTGATTGAGGCGCTAGCGGCTGTTAGGTCCACAGAAAGCGGTTCTAGGTACTGGCGGAGCTGGTCCGACGACGGCGGCTACTCTTCCGAAGAGGACGAGGCGGGCAATCAGATTAAAAGGAGCGGTCCTGGGGTGCGCGCGATGAGGCAAAAAAAGAGAGCTGAGGAGCTGCAGGAGAAGCGCCTCGCGAAGTTGCTGCCTCGGTGCCAGCGAGCTCCGGGAGCCTCGTGCCTGAAAGATATTCAGCGATCATTGATGAAGAACGCCTATCGACGCGTCGAGGCGGTCTTTGATGATGTGGCGCGCGTGTATCGGGACTCGGCGCAAGCGGCCAAGGACGGGAAGGACCCCGAGTTGCTATCGTCGGCTTTATGTGTCCAGTTATGTTTTGAAGTGATGGAGGACGCCGCGACGTCTGTTGGGGCTGGTGCAGAGTGGAAACCTAAAACGAGAGAGCTGGCGAACCAGGCGGCGGCTCTCCGACCCCAGCCCTGGCAGAGCCACGTTCGACGCACTCAAAGCATGAAAACAAATACCGGAGTGATGATCCGCGAAAACGTCAAGCTCGGCGTGAAGGCGTCGATCGCCAGGGACAAGTCGCGGCCGCTCCAGAACGCGTGTATTGCCTCCGAGTTGCATCTCGCGCTAGCTATCTATGTCGGCAATGCGGCGGGGCCCTGTAAAGAGACGGCTGGAAGGGTATTGGATCTCTATGGAGACTGGCACCTGGGCGCGGATAGAAAAGAAGCCTCTGATGTGGTGCAGATGGTGCCCGTGAAGGGGGGCAAGATCCAAGGTAGTCTGGTGGCGGCGGACGAGGAGGAGGTGCAGGAACGCAGGTTGCTCGTTGGTCGTAAATTCAAGCGGCCGGGTCTAGCTCTGGACATCGGCACGGTCCAAGACTATGATCGGGACGCGAAGAAGTACCGGGCGTCGTACGCCGACGGGGGCGAGGAATTGATTAGCATCGCTGATGTGACGTCCGGGTTGTTGGCGTTTTTGCCTGCTTCGAATATGGCGGCGCTCGACGCGGCGGCGGCGGCGCGGGCTGTAGCGGCTGATGAGGCCATGGCGGACGCGGAGTCCACGAAGGAACTGAATGAGGAGGGCGCCAAGGTGACGACCGTCGCGACGTCGCCGCACGCGACGGCCGCGCCGCCGGCCGAGCCCTCGCAACCGGTCGAGCTGCCGGACCAGCGCGCGGTGCTCTTCCCCGAGCTCGTCGGGGCGCCGGCGCCGGCCGCGGCGCCCATGGACACGGCGCCCGACGCGCCGCCGGCGACTCCTGACGCGGTGCCTGCTGCCACCGACGCCGTCGCGGACGCGGGCGCCGCGGGTGCCTCCGAGGCGCCGCCGGCCGCCCCGGACGAGGTGAGCGCGGACGCGCCGGCATCCCCCCGAAGCGGTAAGCCGGCCGAGGCGCTAGCAGAAAGTGGGAGGAGGCCGACGGAGGCGTCGCCGGCGAAGACGCGCGGCGCGACCGCCGAGCCGGAGCCGGAGCCACCGGCGCCGCCGAAAGTCCGCGAGCACGACGCCCACGTGACCATAAGATGCGGCGGCACGAAGCTCTGGTGCGCGCGCGACGCGCGGGACCTGCTGAAAGCGCTCGCGGCGTTCAACAAGGGCGCGCCCAAAGAGAAGAAGACGAAGTTGAAAGCAGTGCGGAAGTCCAGGAGGCGCTCATGATTGTTTTATCCATCTCAGGTTCCGCAAAGAGCGCAAGATCAAGTCGGGCCCGACGAAGACGTGTAGTGCCTGCGGCGCGCAATCGCATACCCGGTGCTCGGCGTGCTCGAAGTGCGGGAAGCCGTTCGGGCTGGGGAGCGACCGCCGGGGGACCGGGTAAAGTTACTTACACTTATCAAACAAGGGGTTCACACTGATTCGGTCGCGTGAGGCGATGGCGGAGGCACTACAACAGGCGCTCCACCCCACTTCGTTGGCGGTCTCGGCAGGATTCCGACCGCCCGTGCCGCCTTGACCACAAATTGGTTCGTCACGACGTCTATAGAAGCCACGACAAGCGGCGTCGACACGAGGAGCTGGAGCTGCATATGTAATGACGCAAAGCCGGGGATAAATCCGAGCAAGTACGTGTAAAGTGTCACCAACGAATACACCTGCAGCCCGATCAAACACGCCGACGCGACGCGGTCGCGGGAGCAGCCCTTACTCGGGTCCTCCGTGAACATGTCGAAGATCCTGCGCGGGACTCGGGCGGTGAGTGACGACGCCATCGCCGCGCGGCTCGCAAGTGTCAAGGACGCCGGACACACACGGAAACTGCTCCTCGGCGCTCCGCCTCCGGAACTCCCCTGCGTTGGCGCCGAATCATCCACGCCGTCGCGTCGATGGCGTACAAGTGCGACCTCCACGCCATCGACGCGACCGCGTCGATGGCGTAAAGTTGACCAAAAACGACGCCGCGCACATACGCTCGAGGGCGTTCTCGTCCACCGCGAAGTTCAAAGCTAGCCCCTTCCGGATCATCTCGCGCCGTTCGTCCGACGCCGTCCAGGCCTCGAAGATGGCGTCGTCGGGGAAGCGGAAGACCTTGATATAGCGTACATCATTCCTTCCAAACGCGCGGTCCCTAATCATCACGACGCTCGACCAGCTCTCCGGGTCCCGCGCCGCGATGAAGTTCGCGTGCGCGTCGGAGAACTCGCGGCTCCACTCCAGGTAGGCCTGCTCCTGCTCCGGTTTCACGTGTTCCACGAGTCTTAATGTGCGGATCTGCGGGCCGACCGTCGGCGCTCTCTCGGAGAACGTGTCGTCCATCGACATTGCTCGCCGCGAACACTTCGCGCGTCGGCAGCGGCAGCGTCAGCGCTCGTGGCGGACAAGTGCTGGACGGTGCAAACGAGTAGCAGCGCTGGTGCGGCACGAGTGCCGACGCGCGCCGTGCAGAGCGTGTGTTTGGCACTGGCTCTCTCACAGTGAGACAGCACGCGCCGCAAGCGATTGCACTCGTCGTCGCGGCGTTCGCGCGACGCAGCCGTCCTGCACACGCCGCAGGATCCGAGCTATAACCGTCTACGGCTGTGTTTAGCCACCAAGAGCTCTGGCAGAGGGGCTGGCCTCTCCAGCTCGCTGGCTCCCAAGCGCGTCGCGTCGAGTCGCAGCCGTGGGTCCACTGGTCTAGACGGGTTGTCTTGCCCGAGAAGAGCTCCCCCGAGCCGCTGCCGGACCGTGCGCGGCCGCAGCAAAGCCGCACGACCAGCAGCAAACATGCTCTCGAGGCTCGCCGTGACGAGCCGCGCGGCCGCGCGCGCGGCACCGCGGGCCATCCACGTCCAGTCCGCGCGCGCCGCGGTAGCCAGGCCGCCGGCGCGCGCCATCAGAGCGCAGCGCCGAAGACTCGCCGCCGACGAGAAGCCGCCGCAGAAGAAGAAGTCCGCCGTCGAGCGCGCGACGGAGGACGACATTGATGATCTCGTGCCGTTGACGCCGGCCCAGAAGGTCGGCGTTGGCCTCAACCTGAGTGCGTGGGCCGCGGGACTTGGCTTGGCGTCGGTCTGCGGCTACTACATCTTTCGGGAGCTCATGCCCACGAAACTCTCCCCGAACAGCGTCTTCGACAAAGCGTTTGAAGTCATCCGATCCAATTCCACGATCGAACGCGTGTACGGGACGCCACTCAAGGGCTACGGCCGCGACCACGGCGGCCACCGCGAGGGGAGGAGGAACTTTATTGAAAATACGCCTTACGTCGATGAAAAAGATGGTAGTAATAGGATGCGGGTCCGGTTCAATATTAAAGGTCCGTACGGCGAAGGCTTCGCTTTCGCGGAAGTGTCTGACCAATACGATGGCTTCGTGTATCTGATGGTCCAGAACCGGCGGACCGGTGTCGTGAATACGTTGATTGATAATAGGATGATGCTGGCGGCTCAAGCGCCTCGGAACGAGAAGGAGCGTTCAGCTCTTGCGGGGTTGCTGGGGACGGAGCCGTCTTCCACCGGAGAGAAGACGGACAAGTGGTGAGTAAGGTTTCTAGTAGTCGCGTCGTTGGCGTCGTCCTCGAGCGGTGGGGGAAGGTGGGCCGAGCGCGTGGGGGACGCCGCGCGTCTGATATTGTTACGGTGCTAGGACTAGTGGGCGGATCCCGCTTGTGGGGGAGACGCCACGCGTTGTCGATTCGTCGGCGGCGGGCGCGTGCCGTGAACAAGCCGTACCGCGCGTTGTTCAATGAAGGCTAGTGTCTTTACGACGCTAGCAGTCACTTTTGCAAAAGTGGCAGGCGCGTGCTTGAATCAGCAGCAAAGCACAGCAGATACCGTAGCGCTGCGTCTCGTGTGCATATTCTCGTTGTCGACGAGCGCGCCGAGGCTTCAGCTCAAGCGCTCACTTCACAGAGCACACTGCTGCAGGAAGAAAACCAGCAGCGATACTCAACCGCTCCGCACAAGCGCGCGTACACCATCACATAAACCAGCAACCAATTAAAGATGGCCGCCGCCGCGAAAGCGGCACCCAAGCTCGTCGTGAGGACCTTCAACAAGATCAACGCCGCCGGTTTATCGCGCTTCGACCCGTCGATGTTTCAAATCAAGGAAGATAACAATGACGGCGCCCACGCCATACTGTTGAGGTCTGTGTGGAAATCAAATCTCGGATGCCCTACGCCGTCGACGCGACGTCGTTCCAATGACTGCGTCTGCTCGATGGCGTCGAGCTTCTACGCCATCGACGCGACGTTGTCCCCGTGACCGCGTCGGCTCCATGGCGTGGAGCTTCACGAAAACCTCACTCACTGGTTGATTTCCACACAGGTTGAGGTCCCACAAGCTCCAAGCCGGTGACGTACCGCTCATGTGTCGAAGCATAGCGAGGTGCGGCGCGGGCACGAACAACTGCAACGTGCCGCTGATGACGGACTTAGGTGTCCCGGTGTTCAACACGCCGGGCGCGAACGCCAACGCCGTGAAAGAGTTGGCGCTGTGTGGCCTATTCTTAGCGTCGCGAGGCGTCATGGAGGGCGCGACGCGCATGGAGGAACTTCATCAATCAGGAGAAGCGCATGCGCAGATCGAGAAGGTGAAGGCCCAGTTCGGAGGTAGAGAGTTGGCAGGGAAGACGCTGGGTGTGGTCGGTCTCGGCGCCATCGGTGCGGCCGTGCTGAAGGCTGCTCTCGATCTGCGGATGGAGGTCGTAGGGTTCGACCCCGCTCTCAGTGTCGATGCGGCTCTCAAATTACCGGGCCACCGCATCCGCATCGTGGACTCGCTCGAAGATTTAGCAAAGGCGTCGGACTATATCTCGCTACACGCTCCTTCCAACGAGCACACGAACGGGATGATCTCGACCCAAATCCTGTCGCAGATGAGAACTGATGCCTGCATCCTGAACTTCGCTAGGGGTGAGCTCGTCGATGAAGCGGCATTGGCGCACCACTTCGACAACGGCGGGTCGGGCAGATATGTATGCGACTTCGCGGTCGGGCCCGAGTTGTCCCCGAGGTCGAACGTTATCGTCTTACCACATCTAGGAGCCTCTACGGATGAAGCCGAGGAGAACGCGGCGGCCATGGCTGCTGATACTACAGCATTGTACCTCCAGACCGGTACCATCAGGGATAGCGTCAACTTTCCCACTACTACACTACCTGCAAGACTAGATACCGTACAAAGGGTCTGCGTCGTCAACGAGAACCGCCCGGGCATGCTCGGCGAGATCCTCAGCGTCTTCGGCAACGCGGGCATCAACATCGTCCAACAGATCAACACCTCGAAGGGCGACGTCGGCTACAACGTGATAGATATTGAGAGATTATCAACTTTTGACGACGTGCACTTCAAGAGCTGGGACGCGCTGCAGTTCCTGCTGACGTCGCTGGACGGCGTGAAAAGCACAAGATACATCTACGGCACGCCCGCTTCGGCGAAGCACGCGGGGTACGCCGTCAACTTCAAGGGCCAGGTCTACGGGATTGGGTCCGTGGGCGGCGGGCCGACGCTGCCGTCGTTCGGCGAGCTGCTGGACGAAGCCTGAACATCCTAGTTTATATATGCACATTAAGTCGAAAATAGTCGAATTTTAGTTGTACCTAGCCGCGTCGTCGGCGTCTGGGTCCGCCATAGAGGTCCGCCAAGCTGCAATTTTTTTTTAGCACTGCAAATTGACTCAAGAGTCAAGTCACCTAGACTCCCAGCCGAGTTACGATGGCCACAGAACCGCGCACCGTCACGACGCACCAGGAGCTGACTTTGCCGCCTGAGATCGTCGCTCTGGTCCTCTCTTTCAAGCCTGTGGACTCTGGTCATATGGGGAAAATCGTCATGAGTGGCCACTCAATAATTGGACGTCAATGGAAAGACCTGCGCACTACTGGCCGCTGGCCGTACTTCGACTGCTGTGGCAAATGCAGTCCGTATCATCCCTCGCCCTGCCTTTGGATTGACGACGAGGGTCGGTATCATCCCGGCACTCTCGAAGCCGGGTCGTACGAGTACAATGAGAACGCACGCGGGGAATACGGTGGCTACGTGCGCTGGACGTGTTGTGGGGCAAGATTTGGACAAAGATTCTCGCCCCCAGCAGTATACTCTCTCCCCTTCCCGCGGCAATACCGGGAGTCGCCTCCAGGCTGCACGCGACTCGACCTGACGCTGCGCATCACGACTGTAACGCGCCCGAGCCAGATCGATCCCGAGCAGGACGCTTAGCTTCCGGCCGACGCCCACCCCCCACGTACTACCAGTAACTACTTCGGAATGATGTCTTAGTCTTGCGCTCGTGTGTTCGGAAGTCGACGGGATCGTGGTCCTCTACTTGTGGCCGCCGTCGTTCGCGTACTCGAAGATCTTGACGCGCGGCAGGTACTTGTCGAGGCACTCGCGGTGCCTGCGCGCGACGCGTTTCTCGCGGACCGCGACCGCGAGACCGAGCCAGGCCCCACGCCGCCGAGGACGCCATCGACGACGAAGGCAGTGCCGCGGACGCCGCCAAGCACCGCTTGAAGTACATGAACAGCCCCTGTCTATTCTGCACCTTCTCGACCAGCCCCGAGTCGCTGAACCAAGAAATCTCATCCCCGTACTCGCCCTGGGCGTACTCTTCTGCCGAGCGCCAACCCGCGCACTGAAACCGGTAGGCGTTCTCGACCTCGACGTTCCAAGCCTTGGCGCGGCGCATCCTGATAGGTTCGCGGGCGGGCATCTTGTGCCTGCGCGCGACGCGTTCCTGCTGGCGGTTCTCTCGGCAAGCAGCAGCCAGCCCCCAGAGGCGCCGCCGTCCCACGCAAGACGAAGGCGGACGCCGCCAAGCGCTGCTGCGCCTCGTCCTTCGTTTCGCCCTTGGACTCCGTGGTGGGCAGCCCTTATGTTCGCGGCGGCCAGCGCCCAAACCGCTTCGCTTCTAGGCTGATGCTAGTGGGGGCGCCGGGCAGAAGTCGTAAGGCTTGGGTGGGGTAGCGGAGGGAGTCCTCTGCACGGCTCGGTTTCGTCTTTGCGCTCTGGGGCTGCCCTTTTTGTGTCTCGCGGCCCGCGCCCACCGTCTCGCGCTGTCGCACCATAGGGAGGCGCTAGTGGCGCCACGTTTGTTGCGGGCCCGGGATTGAGTCGTGAAGCGAGTCGTGCCCGCTCGGGATGGATCTTGACGGGTTTTACAAGCTGACGGCCAGCTTTGCTTTTATCTACCGCCGTACCGGAGTTTGGTCGTCACAGGAGTGTCGAGCGGACGGCCACAACCCCTGAGTTCGGATTTCGACGGCGGTCGCGTCACGGGAGGGCGCTCAAGATCTGAACAGTGAACAGTCAGCCTTAAACCGGAAAAAAAGAACTCCATGCCGCTCTCGTTCACCAGCGAGCCCGCCACCGTCGGCGAGGCGTCGCGGCCGCTCGCCGCCCCGTTCTGGGCCGGCTCCGCGCCGCGCACGCCGCCGCGGGCCGACGCCGACGCCGACGCCGATTACATCTCCAGGGGCGCCGGCCGGTCGCCCTCGTCCCTCTCGCCCATACCGGAGGAAACGTCGGGCGGCAAGCCGACGCCGGCCGAGCGGCGGCGCCTCTCGCCGACCTACGAGGCCGGCACGCCGCCGCCGGAAGGCATGGACGGCCCCGACGCGCGGAAAACGCTCGACAACGCGATAAGAGAAGGAGCGAGCATCATGGTGCCCTCGCCCGAGCCCGACGCCGAGATATCGAGACTGACGGCCTCGCCCGCAAAGTCGGACGACATGACCGACGAAGCGTTTGTGAGAAAAGTAGCGGAAAGGGCCGCGCAAAGAGGCTTGGACGTCTACACGCCGCCGGACACGGTCGAGAAACCTTCGAAGAAGACGCCCTCGCCGTCACACAAAAAAAAGTCGCTCTGGAGCGCGTTACGCGGCGCCGTCGCGCGCCACGAGGCGCCTCTCTTGGACGAGACGGAGGAGCTCGCCGAGGACGAGAAGCGGAAGGTTTTTGGGCGGCGCGCGTCGCAGCGCCGCGCGTCCGTGACGCGGGACGGTTTGGTCAAGCGCCACGCGAGCGGGCCGGACCCGTGGGACGAGGCCTGTAGCAAAGCTCGGCGGTCGCTACAAAAAAAACTGTCGGCGTCGGAAGATCGGCGAAGGCTGAGCGATGTGGTTGTGGAGTATCATAGGACCGTTAGAGGGGTCGTCGTCGACTACGTCTCGGCCGTAGAAAAATTAGGATTGGTCTATCGCGTCGAGTTCGTCGAGGAGGGTCCGCTCCACTTCCAGATCGCCCTAGCTAGGTACGGCGAGCAGGGGCGGCGCTTCGTCGTCGTCGAGAGCGTCGCGCGGCAATGCGTCGGCCGCGCTCAGATCAAGCCCACGGACGAGCTCGTGGCGGTCAATGGGAAAGTAATTGTCGAGCCGACGTCCAAGGACCGGCTCACGGAACTCCTCAGGACGATTGCCGCGGCGCCGCGACCGCTCACGCTCACGTTCGTCGAGGGCGAAGATAGGGAAAAACACGCCGCGCCGCCGCCGCCGTCGCCCCTGAACGCCGCGCTCGCGTTCGGCGGCTGGCGGACCGTGCGACCGGAGCCGCGGCGCCTTGTGCGGATGCCGGCGCCTCCTCCCCGGTATTATGGACGGCGGCGGTGTGTGCTGGCGGCGGCGCTCGCGTTCGTTCTCTGCGGCGCCGTGCAACGGCCGCCGCCTCCGCCGCCGCCTCCACAAAAAGAGGGGTTCCCCTGGGTGCCGGTCGTCGTCGCGGGCGCGGGCGCGGTAGCGCTCGCGCGGCCCGAGGTCCGCGCGGGGAGGGCCCTGGCGGCGCTGGGGCGGGGCGTCGTGATCGGGGCGTTTCCGGCCTAAGAGCGAGGCGTCGTAGAGATACAGTCATACTTACAACAGAGCCTATGCCGCGACGGCGCACGCCTGCGCGTGGCCGGCCTCCCAGTCCGCCAACTGGCAAGCTTCGCCGCAGTACCGCCGCGCGCCGCATCCGTCGCACACGGGATACGGGGGCTCCTCGGAGCTGCCCACGCGGCCGCAGACGTCGCACCGCCGACGGTTGTGCTTCCGAATTTTTGCGCACGCAAACTTGTGACTGCTCTCACCCATGGCTTCCCAATGCTGCCTTTGGTGATCCCGACTACAGTAATAAGTCTCGCCGCACGCCACGCAAAACGTCTTGGTCTCTGTACTACACCACACGCATTTGCGAAGCTTCCTCCGCCGCGCCCTATCGCTCGCGGCGACGAGCGCCGCCGCCGTGGCCGACGGGATCCAGCGCACGTCGTCCCCGCCCTCGACCGTCAATTTAAACATGCTATGGACGGCGATGGGGAGCGTGAGGTTCGAGCAACCGGTCACGTTCAAGCTTGTCAAATCGACAAGACCGCAGATCGCTTCGGGCAAAGTACTGAGGCCCGGGCAATTGGACACGTCGAGATATGCTAATTGGCTCTGCTCGCCGACCGCGTCAGGCAATGCGACCAAATTAGAGCAGCCACTCACGCAGAGACTGGTAATCTTTCCAGACCAGAAGACGCTTTCTGGGAGTGCTCGGAGGTGGACACAGCCGGTCACGTTAAGGGATGCGTGGTCCCGGTGGAATCTGTTAAACGCGCCGCAAGCTTCCGAATCGGGCAAAAAGGTCAGGCTCGAGCAACCGGCCAATGGCCGGTTGAACTCCCAGCCATGGCCCAAATGTTTAACGAGTTGAAAAACATAAACGGGCAACACCTTCAAACTCGAGCAATTCCTAAGCTCCAGATTCTTCAGGGCGCCAAGATCGCCGAGCGAGGCCGGCAGCGCCCGGAGTTTCGTGCAATCGTTAAGGCAGAGCGTACCCAAACTAGTGAGTCGACAGATGGAGTCGGGCAGCGTCACGAGCCCGGAACATTCCCACAATTGTATATGCCTCAGAGTGCTGAGGTTACCGATTCCATCTGGTAGCGTGGTGAGGCCCGTACAAACCGAAAACGACAAGCCCGTGAGCGCGGGCAGCCGGCCAATCGCGTCGGGCAACGCCACGAGACCAGTGCAATCATGGAAGGTAATGTGCTCCAGACACCCGAGGCCGCCGTTGACGCCGCCGATCGCATCTGGCAGCGTGCGCAAAGCAGTGCATCCACTGAGGTCCAAGGTTCTCAGCGACTTCAACTCGCCGATCACATCGGGCAAAACGGTCAGGCCGGTACAGCCTTCCAAGTTCAGCTCGGACAAGTATGGCAAATTTACAATGGCGCGCGGCAGCGTGCGGAGGCCCGTGCACTTCTTCGCGTGAATCGTGTTCAAAAATTTGAACTGGTCAATCGTCGCTGGCAGCGTCTCCAGGGCCTCGAGGCCATTAAAGAAGAACCAGGTCAAGCCGTACTGCGTCGCCTTGACGCGACCCCACTCCCACGGCTTGTTTTCGTACACGGCCCACTCGTTCTGTAATTGGGCACACGACTTCACCAGCTTGCTGAGCGCAGGAACATCCCGACGGATGGCCTTGCGGGCGGAGATCGAGACCTGCTCTTTGGCCTGAGTGGTCCTCTCGCCATCCCGGCGCTGCCACCCCTCGCGCGTATCCTTTTGGGCCCTGGATTTCTTGCCCATGCTTCAAGCTTTCACATGCCCTGCTTCTGGTGAATTATAAAGCTCTAATTGCTGCTGGTTTACGCGAGAGCTCAAGGCACAGCTTTGCCCTGGATGCCTAGTGTCTTACGGGCCGCTAGCTCCGTCCAGCACCGCGCGGCCGCTCTGTACGACCGCTCTGTACGAGCCACCACACACAAAACACAACGCATACGTGCCCCTGCGATCGAGGCGACCCCCAGCCGGCGGCAGCCATGCCCTCCCTCCCTTTGTCAGAACGCTGCCTCATGGTCCTGCTCATCTCGACCAACATCCTGAATTACATCGATAGAGGTATCGTGCCCGGAGCATCAGGAGCGTTTGATTCATTTATAGAAGGCAGCGAGACCACCTGGGGCACGTCGGCGGCCTTCGGCGCGTTGACGAGTGCCTTTATCGTCGGGTTCTCGATCGCGTCTGTTGTTGTGGGACACCTGGCGCACCGAGTACCACCATTCAAGCTCTGCGGCGTCGGTTTACTCATATGGTGCTTCTCCATGCTGTTAGCCGGCTTGGCCAAGCCGCTCAAGTCGTACGCGTTGTTAATCACGGCACGAGCAGTAGGCGGGTGCGGCGAGGCCGGTTTTGTGACCATCGGCGGGCCCTTCATCCAGGACGCCGCCGGTAGTCAACAAGGTTTTTGGTTGGGTGTGTTCTATGCGGCCATACCCGCGGGGACGGCGCTCGGCTACGGCTACGGGGCCTTTGTGGCTCAGCGGTGGACGTGGGCCGCGGCCTTCTACGCCCAGGGTTTGGTGATGCTCGTGCCGGCGTCACTATTCCTGTTGTCGAAGGATGACGGTTCGCGCATCGTCAATCGCGACGAGGCGCCACCCTCGATCAAGACCGAGCTCCAAGCCCTGCGACGGTCGAAAACCTTCCGTTTTACAGTTTTAGGCTACGCGGGCTACGCGGCGTCGGTGATCGGCTTTTCGACGTTCGGGCCAAGCATCGTCGTGGGCTGCGTGGAAATCAACTGGTGCGTCGGGTGCTCCGTCGAGCGGTGAGAAACCGGCATCGCCACGCCGTCGAGCAGGCGTCGCGTTGATGGCGTGGGTGTGTTTGGAGATGTGCCGCGACATTTGATTTATGCACAGGTCGTCGGATTGGGCCTCTGGACGGACAGTGTGCAAGCGTCCCTGGCCTTCTCGGCGACGCTGGCCGTGTCTGGCGCGCTAGGCACGCCGCTGGGCGGGCTCGCCTTGGACGCGTGGACGCGGAAACGCGAACACAAGCTCCGAGCGGCGTTGGAAGTCAGCATAGCGACCGTCGGCGCGGGCGCGTTGCTCATAACGCCGGCGGCCTTCGCTCGAGACCGGTCCTGGTTCCTCGCGAGCATCGGCCTGGGCACGCTGCCGCTCTTCGCGGCGACGTCTCCGATGAACGTCTCGATCTTCGAGGGCGTGCCGCGCGAGCACCGCGCCTTCGGCATCGCCGTGGCGACGCTGCTGATGCACGCGTTCGGCGACGTGCCGTCGCCCGTCGTCGTGGGCCTGCTCAAAGATCGGTGGGCGCCTGATTGCGCGCCGGACGCGCATTCTCATCTGGGCGAGGCTTGCGGTGTCGGGTCAAAGCAGCGCGGGCACCTGCGGGGCATCACCTTCGGCCTCTGCCTCTACTTCCTCACGTCGCTCTTCTTCTTCGGCGTGTCGCGGTGGCGGGCGGCCCGCCGCGTCGAGGAGGTCGTGGCCGAGCCGCCGACGGTGACGCCGCTGCTCGAGGAGGACGGCTGAGCCTGCGCGACGGCGTGCGTGGTGGGTGTTTTGTAAGATTCGGTGTTTGTCGCAATCGAGGAGATCGAAATATACATTGTTACGGTGCTAGGACTACTGGCGCCGGGGCTCGGCGTGCGGGGTCGAGCCTGGACTCAGGCTGGAGGGGTGCGCTTGTACTGGAACAGCTGCAGTGCGGGTCCCGGCGCGAGCCTGCACGCCAGTGAAAGATAGGCAGCCGCCAGGTGAATTGAGGCAGCCCCTTACAGGCAGCGATGGGCTGCGGCCCCTCTCACGACCTTACGACGCCTCTGTACCTCTCCTGCGATATTGGCCAGGTCGACGCGGTGCGGCTTTTGTTAGATAAAGGCGCGGACGTTAATCAGGCGTATAAGGACGGCGCGACGCCGCTGCACCTCGCCTGCTCGCGAGGCCACCTCGACGTGGCGCGGCTGTTGCTGGAGAAAGGCGCGGAGGTCAATCGGCCGGACAAGGACGGTAGGACGCCGCTGTTGATCGCCTGCTCGCGAGGCCACGTCGAGGTGGTTTCACTGCTGCTGGACAAAGGCGCGGAGGTCGACCGGGCGGTAGAGAAGGGGGACTGGAAAGGTACAACGCCGCTGTTCGCCGCCTGCTGCAACGGTCACGTCGACCTGGCGCGGCTGCTGCTGGAGAAAGGCGCGGACGTTAATCAGGCGGACAAGGACGGTAGGACGCCGCTGCACCTCGCCTGCGCGGCAGGCCACCTCAACGCGGCACGGCTGTTGCTGGATAAAGGCGCGGACGTTAATAAGGCGGACAAGGACGGTAGGACGCCGCTGATCGTCGCCTGCCAGAACGGCAACGTCGCCCTGGCGCCTCCACCTATCCCGCCGCGGTCACCCGGCGGCACCGTGACGCTCGCCGACGGGACCGTGATCCACTCGTCGGTGGCGCCCGCGCTGCCGCCGCGCGACTTGCCGCCTGTGCCATCGGCGTCGGGCGATCTGCTGGGGCTGTTGCTGGAGAACGGCGCGGAGGTCAATCGGGCGGACAAGCACGGGCAGACGCCGCTGTACATCGCTTGCACGAAGGGCCACGTCGACGCGGCGCGGCTGCTGCTGCAAAAAAACGCGGATGTTAATCGGGCGAAAATGAACGGTACGACACCGCTGCACCTCGCCTGCGCGGCAGGCCACCTCGACGCGGCGCGGTTGTTGCTGGACAACGGCGCGGACGTCAATCGGGCGATGGAGAACGGTGTGACGCCGCTGATCGTCGCCTGCGAGAAGGGCAACGTCAACGTGGCTCGGCTGCTGCTGGAGAAAGGCGCGGACGTCGATCGGGCGGCGGAGGGCGGGTTTACGCCGCTGTACATCGCCTGCATGACAGGCCACGTCGACGTCGCGCGGCTGTTGTTAGATAAAGGCGCGGCGGTTGACCTGGCGGACGAGGACGGCGAGACGCCGCTGGCCATCGCGAAATTGTTCGACCACGCGGCCGTCGTCGCGCTGCTCGCGGAGCATCGGAATTCAACGCGCTTCCTCGGGGAGTCCCGACCACTACCACTCGGGCCGCCGCGCCCCCAACGGCAGCAGTCGGACGTCCAGTGCTCTATCTGCCTCGGACCGTACATCGAACGCGCGTGGACGAAGTGCAACCACAGCTTCTGCCGGAGGTGCATCACGGAAGTGTGTCGGACGAACCCGCCGACGAATCGAGCCCCGTGTCCGTTTTGCAGGCAGCCCGTGCTCTTGGGCGAGCTTACGAGACGACCGAGGGGCATTTAAAATTGTGTAGCCTCTCTCGAAGGCGCGTCGCCCGGCGCGTCGAGGAGGTCGTGGCCGAGCCGCCGACGGTGACGCCCCTTTTTTCGGGTTGTGTAAGGTTGAGTGTGTGTTCGCTCGGGGCGCTCGGGCCACCGCGCGTCGCCGAGTCAGGCGCGGGCCGCGTCTTTCATAACAGCATACTTCCTTCTAAGCAGATACTCCCGGATCAACGCAACGCTCGCCTACACCGCGTGCGGGTCTCCGACCGGCAGCCTCGATCGAGCTGCCCAGCGCCAGTAGTGCAGTGCGAGTCCCGGCACGAGCCTGCACGCCAGTGAAAGATAGGCAGCCTCCAGCTGAATTGAGACAGCCCTCACAGGCAGCCCCAGCATGGGCGGCGGTGTATCATCTCTGCCGGTGGAGGTCTCGCTTGCCGAGGCGAAGGAGCTCGCGGGCGCCAGGTGGCAGCCCGCGTGGGAGGAGAAGTTCGCGGACGCCAAGATCTCCAGGGACGAGGCGTTGAAGTGCTGGAAGGACGCCGAGGCCAAGGCCGCGATCTCCGAGGAGCTCTACGAAAAGCTCCACGGCACCAACCGCTCCGGCGCTGCAGAGGCGCTGGACTTCTCGGCGATCGTGAACGAGAAGCGCGGGCAGCACCTGCCCGGCACGCGCGAATGGGTCTTCGAGGCGGTGCTCCGCTGGCGGACCGACCCGGATAGCGCGAAGCTCTTCTGGCTTGTCGGCGGCGGCGGCACCGGCAAGAGCGTGGCAGCGGCCGAGCTGCTGGCGAGACTGCTCGACAAGCAAAACGCGGCCGCGTGGCATTTCTGTAAGCACACCGAGCCGGCGCGATCGGCGCCAGCGGTGCTGCTGCGCTCTCTCGCGGGCATGCTGTCTGCGACGGTGCAGGGCTTCGAAGACGCGCTCAAGAAGAGCGCGAGCGTCGAGACCGACAAGGTCGACGAGCTCTTCGAGGCTTTATTAGCCAAGCCGCTGCGAGGCGTCGAGGCGCCCCGAGGCGCGGATGACGCCCTCGTATTAATCATAGACGCACTCGACGAGCTGCCGCGGGACGCGCTTAAGCCCGTGCTGTCGCTGCTCGCGAACGAGCTCAAGACGCTGCCGCCGTGGATCAAGATAGTCGCGACGAGCCGCGACGAGGCGCAGATCAAAGTTGCCCTCTCAGGCTACACGCCGTCGGAGCTCCGCGTCGACGAGGCGCGGAACCGTCAGGACGTGAGGGCGTACCTGACTGAACTCGCGAAGGAGCACGTCGAGCTCGAGGTGACGATGGACTCGCTGCGGCATGAGGTCGAGGCGAAGTTCCCGGGCTTGAAGAATCTCGACACGTTCGCCGACCTCGAGGATCCGCTGCGCCGGTCGAAGGGCGCGTACGACGAGGCGGTCCGCGGCGTTGCTGGGATCCACGAGCTCGAAAAGTATAAGGAGCGACGTCTCGACTTGATACAAGACGAGACTGACTTCGACAAGCTCTACGCCGACGCATCGCTGGCGCAGACAATTCTGGTCGATGCGCTGAAGACGCTCCCTGGCGACGTGTCGGATCCGGGCGTGAAAGGGCGTGGATCCGCGGAGCGCAAGCTCGCGGACAAGTACACCGACAAGAATGGGGTGCCACATCCCGAGAAGTTTCGGGACCTCTCGCGCGCGACGGTCCTTTCCGGGAGCGCTACTGACCTACTGAAGGTGCTGACTGAATTGGACGGCGGCAGCCTTGGGCTGGAGATCGCGCAATTAAAGAACAAGTTTGCCAGTCCGACGCCGCTCGGCTACCGCGATATGAATTTGAACGTCAGCGTGCGCCTCGACGACGGCCGAAAACATCTCGCCGAGGTTCAGCTGAATTTAAAGAGCGTCGCGGATGCCAAGCACATCGCCCACGAGCAGTACGAGGTGATTAGACTGGCGTTGCCGAAGATGTGCGAGGGCACAAGCGTTGGCGCGGGTGCGCTTGAGGCCTTTATTGCCGAGCGTCTCAACTCGTCGGCGCTCGACGCGGCTGTCACTTCGCTCGAACGGAAGGCCGGTGGACTGATGCTCTACGCGCGCCTCATCGCGGACCAGCTCGCGTCCACGACGGGCAAGATCGACTTTGCGAGCGTTGGCGCGCTGCCGGCGGGCCTCGACGAGATCTACGCGGAGAACTTTCGACGCGTGTTTGTCGATGATGGCACGTGGGGCGACGCGCTGCCGCTGGTCGAGCTTGTCTGTGCCGCGGCCGAGCCGCTGACCGTCGACGCGGCGAGTGGTGCGCTGGGCTGGGATCGAGCGCGGTGCAAGAAGGTCTGTGACGGCGTATCGCTGCTCTTCCCGCTGCGCGAGGGCGACGTGATTGGTGTTTTACATAAGACTGTCACGGACTGGCTGACGGGCGAGGCGCCGTTCGACAAGCGCTCTTCTGAGGATGCGTTCTTCGTCGCACGGGACACGGCGCACCGGCGGCTGGCGCGGGCGTGTGCTCGGGCAATTCGTGCTGGGGTTCTGGATACGGAGTCGTATTCGAGCGACGCGGCCGCGGACGTGGCACTGGCTTCATTCGTGGAGGGCGACGGCGGCGCGGCGGCGGATGCTTACGCGTTGCGCTGGTGCTTGTTTCACATGAAGCGGTCTAGAAACGAGGGTGAGGCTGTCACAGTCGCCTGCAGTCTGTCGTACGTGCTGAAGCGGAGTGACTGCGACATTGTTTCTTTCGTGGCGGACCTGAACGTTCTTCAGGGCCAGGACACACTGCTGCTGTCCGACTCCTTGGTGTTGTCGCGGAACGCGATGGCGCTTGGTGTACCATTGGTCGAGCAAGTGTGGCAGCGGTTGATGCCGCGCGCAAACGCTGAGTCGGCCGCGGGCCGCCTGGCCGAGGATCTGAGACGCGTCGCGAGCAAGATTTCGCTCTCGGCTGTGCGGCCGATGGGTCTGACGGCGGCGGGTGGGGCGGAGCGCTGCCGGATCGAGGTTGGTGCTCGTTGCTTGGCGACGTTCGTGGATCCGGCGACGGGCGAGCCGCGTGTTGCTTGCGGTGGTGGTGAGCGAGTGAGTATCTATGATCCGGTCGCGGGTGGCGCGGCGCTGGTCGTGATTAAGGTGGGTTCGAAGGTGAAAGCGCTGGCGGTCTTCAGAGACCCGGCGACGGGCGAGTCGCGTCTGGCTTGCGGATGTGAAGATGGGATGGTGCGCATCTTCGACCCGGTCGCCGGTGGCGAGGCACTGCTTGTGATCGAAGTGGGTGGTGAGCTGGCGGTCTTCACAGACCCGGCGACGGGCGCACCGCGGCTTGCTTGTGGAGGGAGAATCTTTGACCCTATTGCGGGCGGTGAGGCGCTGGTCGTGCTCAAGGGAGGTGGTCAGCTGGCTGTCTTCACGGACCCGGCGACGGGCGCGCCGCGGCTTGCATGCGAGTCGGACGACGGGAAGGTGCGAATCTTTGATCCGGTCGTGGGTGGTGACGCGCTGCTTGTGCTAGATATTGGTTCTGACGTGTTCGCACTGGCGGTCTTCAAGGAACCGGCGACGGGCTCGCCAAGGCTCGCGTGTGGCTGTAAAGACGGAAAGGTGCGCGTCTTCGACGCGGTTTCTGGCGGCGAGGCGCTGCTCGTGCTCGACGCGGGCGATAGCTCGCTGGTGATATTTGAGGACCGGGCGACGGGCGCGCTGCGGCTCGCGAGCGGGTCGGGCGACAGAAAGGTGCGCGTCTTCGACCCACTTGCGGGCGGCGAGGCGCTGGTCGTGCTCGAGGGGCACACAGGCAATGTAAACGCTTTGACAGCTTTCACGGACCCGGCGACGGGCGAGCCGCGCCTCGTGAGCGGATCGACTGACGTCCGAGTCTGGAACCCGGCGGCGAGCGGCGCGGCGATCAAGGCAGAGTCCGAGGGGCACTCTCACGATGTGAATGCTTTGCTAACCTTTGTGGATCCGGCGACAGGCGCGCTGCGGGTCGCGACCGGGTCGTATGATAAGACGATTCGCGTGTGGGACGCGGAGACTGGCGGTGGGCTGCTCGTGATCGACGGCGGCGAGAGAGTGGAAGCGCTGGCGTTCTTTGTGGACCCGGCGACGGGCGGGCCGCGACTTGCTTGTGGTTCTGGCAATAAGGTGCTCGTCTTCGACCCGGTCGCGGGCGGCGAGGCGATGGTCGTGATTGATGTGGCTGCATTTGCGCTGGCGGTCTTCAAAGACCCGGCGACGGGCGAGCTGCGTTTAGCTTGTGCAGCGGGCGAGCAGGTGCGCATCTACGATCCGGTCGCCGGTGGCGAGGCGCTGCTTGCGCCGCCTGCGCCGCCCCACTGGCCCACGACGCGCCGCGTTGTGTTAGATGTTGGACCCGCTATTGTGACTCGAGTGCCCGATGGACGTGGTCGGCTGGCAGTCTTCACGGACCTGGCGACGGGCGCGCCGCGGCTCGCTTGTGGTGCACGTGGTGATGGGAAGGTGCGCACATATGACCCGGTTGCGGGCGGAGAGGCATTGGTCGTGCTCGAGGGACACACGGAATCGGTGTGGGCGTTGACCGTTTTCGAAGACCCGGCGGCGGGTGGCCTTCGCCTCGCGAGCGGATCAATAGACAACAAGGTGCGCGTCTGGGACTTGGCCGCGGGCGGCGCGGCGTTGTTTGTGCTCGGGGGACACACGGCACCTGTTATGGCGCTGATGCCCTTCGCGGACCCGGCGACGGGCGAGACGCGGCTCGCGAGCGGGTCGCTGGACAAGACTTTGCGGGTGTGGGACGCAAACAAGGGCGGCGCGGCGCTGCGAGTGGTTGCTTTTGATGATACTGTTTGGGCTTTGACCGTCGGGCGCGACACGAGCGGGCACTTCGTGGCTTTCGGGAAGCGGTGGGGGGAGTTGCGCGTCGAGAGCGGCACGACGCCACTGACGCTAGCATGCTATCAGGGTGACGTCGCCGCAATAAGCGATCTTGTTCAGCAGGGCGCTGGCGTCGATCAGGAAGATAGTGACGGTTATACGCCACTGTTCGTCGCGAGTTTGAAAGGGCACGTCGATGTCGTGCGCGTGCTGCTTGATGCGGGCGCCGCGGTTGATAAGCGGCGTGAGGGTGATTGGTCGCCGTTTGGGATTGCGTGTGCTCTTGGACACGTCGACGTGGCGACGCTATTGGTGGAGCGAGGTGCAGCTGTCGATTTGTGCTTGGATGGGGCGAGGCCGCTTCTTGTTGCTAGTCGGAACCAGAATCTCGGCGCGATGCGGTTATGTCTCGAGCACGGCGCCAATGTGAATTGCGCCGACAAGGAGGGGACTACGGGTCTGCATGTCGCCTGCCAGAATGGTCACGTCGACGCTGTGCGACTGCTTTTAGATAATGGCGCGGAGGTCGACCGGGTGAAGGAGAGCGCGGACTCGGACTCGGACTCGGACTCGGACTCGGACTCGGACTCGGACTCGGACTCAGGAGTGACCCCACTTATCGTTGCCTGCCAGAACGGCCACGTCGACGTGGTGCGGCTGTTGTTAGATAAAGGAGCCGAGGTCGACCGGGCGAGAGAGGGCGGCTTTACGCCGCTGTACATTGCCTGCCAGACCGGCCACGTCGACGCGGCGCGGCTGTTGCTGGACAAAGGCGCGGAGGTCGACCGGGCGAATAAGTACGATGAGACGCCGCTGATTGTCGCCTGCCAGGAGGGCCACGTCGGCGCGGCGCGGGTGCTGCTGGACAATGGCGCGGAGGTCGATCGGGCGCAGGAGAACGGTACGACGCCGCTGATCATCGCCTGCGAGAACGGCCACGTCGACGCGGTGCGGCTGTTGTTAGATAAAGGCGCGGTGGTCGACCGGGCGAATAAGCGAGGCAGAAGGCCGCTGGACATAGCGAAGCGTAATGATCATGACGCGGTTGTCGCGCTGCTCGAGGAACACTTGGATTCGAAGTTCCCACTTCACGCTGCGGCAAGGACCGGCGACGTCGAGGCGATGACTCCACTCCTGGACGGTGGCGCAGAGGTAGACGCAAAGAAGGACGGCGCGACGCCGCTGTACGTCGCCTGCGAGAAGGGTCACGTCGACGTGGCGCGGCTGCTGTTAGATAAAGGCGCGGAGGTCGACCGGGCGGACGAGGACGGCTTTACGCCGCTGTACGCCGCCTGCGATCAGGGCCACGTCGACGCGGTGCGGCTGTTGCTGGACAACGGCGCGGACGTTAATAAGGCGGACGAGGACGGCGAAACGCCGCTGTCCATCGCGGAAGAAATGGGCCACTCGGCCGTCGTCGCGCTGCTCAAAAAGCACTCTAGGTCAAGTGGGGCTTGTATGGTGTGCTAGAGTTTGGAGCATCAGAATGGCGTCATGGAATATTAAGTTTTCAAGTAGCTGTAGCGTTAAAGGCAGCATAAGGCAGCGGGCCACTCGTCCCCGTCGTCGCGCTCCTCGAGGAGCACCAGAAGTGACCGCGGCGACGGCGCCGAGGGGGGACTAACTAACAACACCACATCATTACGCCGGCGCGAGCGCCACGCGCGACCGGCGCGACCGCGACGAACTCAGGGAAGCGCTCGCGGATTTCGGCCGCCGCGACGACGACGAGCCGCGCGACGTGACCGACGCGCTCGACCGATGAGTACGAGAAGCCACGGACCGCCCGCCCACGGACCGGCCGCCGCCGAAGGACCCCGTGGCCACGCTCATGTCCCAGCGCAGGTTCAGGTCGCCGCCCGCGCCCTTCAGCGACGGGACCGAGATCCGAGAAGCGCGTGTTTGGGTCGAGCCCACGGACGCGTTGCCCGAGAACCGAGCCTTCGACAATTTGACCGTGGTCTTCATCTTCGTCCCGCCGCCGGGGCCGAAACTTGTAACTTTCGCTTTTTTTTTAGGCGCCTTCTTCTCGTCCTCGACTTTCTTGGCTTTCTTGGCGGCGGCCGTCGCCTTGTCGTTCCCGAGGTCGAAGAAGTTGCCCATCTCGACCTTCGGCCGGTCCGCTTGTCGGGCCTCGGGCGCCTCGGGTAAATGCATGCTCGGCGCCCAGTCCGCGTACGACTGCCTACTTTCTTTTTGGCGCTTGTCTCTCCGGTGCATCTTCCAGACGAGCTTCTGGTGCTTGTTTTCTCTCCTCATAGCAGAAGCTGACTGAGGTCTCGTAGGAGGGCAATGGGCTCTAGGAGGAGGCTCCCACTCGTCTTTTTTCACCACATGCTGGACCTGGCCCTTCTTCAACCGCAGCGGCTGCTTCTTGCGCTTCGGCGGCTTTGGATCTAAGAGTAACTGCCGTCTCATTTCTTTCTCCTTCCAGACCTGCGTGGGACCATCGTCGCGTCGATGGCGTAACCCGACGCCGCGCCGCACCTCCATGAAACAGTCCGTCCACTCCTCCCGCGACAGGCGGTTGTCCATGCGATGTTCACTTCGTTTGAGGTCCTCGAGCTTTTCTATCGCCTCTTTCGCGACCTGGACGTCGACGTAGCACGGGTGCTCGTCGCCGCGGTCTCCAGCTTTTCTCGACAGGTTCTTCTGGCAGTGCTCGAGAGCTCTATCGTAGTCTTTCTGGAGCAGCGAGTTTTTATGCTCCGCATGTTTAAATGCGGCAGAGACACAGTCCTTAAAGGAGTGCTCATGCTTCGAGATCTCGCGGTCGTCCTCGCGCAGATCCCCCGCCCTTATGTTCTTCGAGATCGCCGGCCAGGGCAGCTCCCCGTAGTGCTCCTCGCGGCCCTTCCTGGCCTTTTCCCAGAACTTGAGACCTAGCGTCTTTCCACACAATACTCTATGCATGCGTATGAGGGGCCCCAAGGAACTTTTCGCGTTTTCTTCGACCTGTGTCGAACGACGGCGTCGCGACACGGCGTCGAGGCGGCGCGGCATCGCGACGACGCCGTCGACTCGAAGTTCGGAAATCACACCGAGTCACGGACGAACTCCTCCCATTCATACCGATCGATGACGCCGCCCTCCTCCCGCCGGATCCTCTCGAGCTCGTTGCGAGCGCGTTCGCGCCCAGCGACGTTCCCCTTCCCGAACACCTGCGCGGAGCATCACGATTGGCCTCAAAGTCGACAAAGAAACCACCACAACACCTCAAAACGCCGAGATCTCACCCCTTCAATAAAATCCGTAATACCACTACCGTCGATGCCATCGCGCTGGTCATTTTTATATATTTCGTACGTGAACCGCCCGATGCCATTGATATCCAGCGACGCGAAGGTCCACAGCGCCAGCGCAAATTCTTTAAATGAGAGACTGTCCCCACCGTCGGTGTCGAACTGGCGGAAGATGTGCTCGATCAATTTGGTCCGCTCGACGTCCAGATACATCAAAAATTCGTGGATGTCGACCTCGCCGTCGCCCGACCGGTCGGCGGCGTCAAACACTTTTTTGAGCTTCACTAAGTCGCTTTCTTTTTGGTGGAGCTTGCCCCAGACGTAGCGGCAGCCGTGGTAGTTCGCGTCCTTCTTGACCGTCTCGCCGAAGAGCCAGCCCATGGCCTATTGTGTCGGCGGCGGCCGCGGCGTCCCTCTGACTTTTGCTGCGCGACGGCGTCTGCACGGGTCGCGCGCGCCTGGCGGCTGCTGTCGCGCGACGCGAGCACCGAGCTGCGCACCGGCGTACGGTCGCGGCGGCGCACGGATGCGGCGCGAGCTCTGCCCAGAGCTGGGCCCCAGTGATGGGCAGCCCCTGCAGAGCGGTGGGCAGCCCCCAAACTCTGCAGAGTTTGTGTGTGGAGCGATGGCCGCCTTTCGCCGCGCCGGCCGCGTCAATCGCGTGGCGGACGGGAGCTCTGGCGCCGCGTCCCAACGCGAGCACAACGAGATGCCGCGAAGCTTGCCAACGACAATGCATGAACGAGCGCTCGGGCGGTCCCCGGAGGCCTCGGGACCGATGGCCCGTGCGACGACACCGCTCGTAAATTCCGTGCGGGTCCGGGCAGCGCCGGCGCTCCAACAAACTGGCAAGCATCCGACGCGCCGAGGCGCGCACGCACGCACCAGCGCACCCGTGCGAGCCGCGGCCGCCGCGGCCCACCGGCTGCGCGTGGGCTGCCCACGATTGATAGGCTGCCCACGACACGATGGGCGCCATCTGCGGCAAGGTCGAGACCCAGGGCGAGTCGCGCAAGGAGGTCGAGGAGGACCTGCGCATCGATAATCGTAAAAGAAACTCCCTCATTTTTGCGGTGATTGAATGGGTGTCCGCCGTCGATGCCAACAATTCTGTGAAGGACCAAGAGAAACTAGCTACGATCATAGCGCGACGACCGCGCGACACGGAAACGGCCACGGACGACCCCAGAGCGTCCAGACAAACGAAGGAGTCGGAGGCCATCGCGGGCGGCAACTTCCGCGCATTGCGAGGCATTCTGATCAGCGAGTGGCGCTTCGTCAACCGAAAATACCCAAATCTGAATGATGACACCCTACTCCACATCGCCTGTAGAGAGGGCTACCTGCGCATGGTCCAGTTCATCACGGACCCCAAGAACCAGCCCCAGTTCGAGAACGTCGAATTGGACGTCAACCTCGAGAACGGGAAGTGGCGGACGCCGTTACACGTCGCGTTCACGCCGCCCGTCGAGACGTTCTGTGCGCGACGCTTTGGTGTGGATTCGAAGGGACTGCCCCTGGCCAAGAAGCCCGACGGTGATGTGAGTGACATGGAGTGGATCCGGCCGGGCACCGCGCGTACCCGCGTCTCGGACACGACCTCCGAGAGATACCCTCGATGTCCCCACAGGCCGAGGATCGCCAAAAGATCGTCGCGTGCTTGATCAAACGGAAGTGTGATCTGAACAAGGTCGATTATCATGACCATAGCGCGCTGCACTACGCGTGCGTCTGGGGCTGGGTGCCCACGGTTGATCTACTGCTCGAGGAGGGGGCCGACCCGGAGTGCAGCAACATCGGCGCGCTCGCGGCGTCCTGTCATCGATGCGACTCGCCTCCATCTCACGATGAAACACGCAGGCGGGCAAAATGCACTTATGTTGTGCGCGGACTTTTTACATGTGCCTCTTATAGACTTACTGCTGTCGGAGACGGAGATATCCATAGAGTCGAAGAACGTCGACGGCGAGACGGCTTTACATTACGCGGCACTGCGGGGTAGTATGGAGGCCGTCGAGGCTCTGTTGGAGTTCGGGGCCAACGTCAATTGTGAAAGTTATGCGAGGGATACGCCTTTGAAACGAGCCTGCCGGCAACAAAGAGTAGACTTGGTCCACAAGCTGCTCGACTACGACTGCAACCGACGACCCTCCGCGTTTGCTATCCTGGAGGGCGAAGCGCTCATGGAAATAACTTTAAGACTAGACGAGGAAAAGAGGAAAAAAGTCGAAGAATACGAAAAACTAAAAAGATTGGAAGCGGCGGGCAAGAACAAGAAAGGTAAGAAAAGTGCGATCGGCGCCTGGGTGCCCTACCGCGACAAGCGCGGCCGGGGCATCTTCTACTACAACCGCGTCAGTCGTGTTTCGCAGTTCGAGGTGCCCGAGGACTACGAGAAGGATCGGCGCTACCTGATGAAGGACGCGACCTACGGCATGCACTTTTATCACTGACGAGGTGCTGTGGCGCCTTCACGCCATCGAGGTGACTCGTGGCCATCTCACTTCCATGAGAGTGGTTTCTTTTGCGATTTTGGGGCCGTTCGGACCATAATGTGTGTGTTTACTATTTCTTAATCTTCGCCCACGCGTCCGCGCCGGGGTACTGGGGTCTCCGACTCCGCATGACCGTGTCCGAGAGCGCTAATGAGGCCGCAGCTGCTTGAGGAGGCGGCCGCGGGAAGGATCCGGGATCCTCTCTACGTTGTGATGAGCCGTTCCGCACGACGACCGGTAGCGCGTCGTCGTCCTCGTCGCCCGCGTCGTCGTCCGCCGCGCTCAGGAGCAGATACTCCTTGATCTCCGGATCTTCCGCACCTGTCAAGGGGTTTAGCGCTTCGAAGAAGTCGTCGAAAATACCGATCGCGTCCAGGTCGAACACTGAGAGTTCGCTGTACGACTCCGACTTTCGTAAACCGTCGTAGCCGGCGCTGTCGTAGACTTCCCGCCGCGCATCGTCGCTCAAGACCACGAAGGCCAGGGCGACGCGCCGATACTGCAACCAAGCGTCTTGATCGTAGTCTACCGCGTCGCGAAACCGCTCCGGGTCCAGCTTTGCAGATCGACTGTGGAACTGGGCAAAGCATCTCGAGCGCCCTCCTGATACACCTTTGGACCCCTTGCGGACGCCTAGTGCCGCGTAGAGGTCGAAGGCCGCCAGCGGCTCGTCTTCCGCTTCCGCGTCGCTGTCGTCGCTGGACTCGCCGACGGCCGCGCCGCGCGGCTTCCTCGTCGTCGGCGTCCAGGCGGCGTCCTCGCGTCGGATCTGCTCGAGCTCTACGAGCTCGGGAGCGTAGTGCGGCCAACTATTTTGCAGGGCGTTGCGCGCGCGCGCTTGCCTGATGCGGCGCATGCGGCCGAAGTGGCGCCTCAGGAACTTGCCCATTGTCTTGAATCGCAGCGATGGCGTGCTTGCGGTCGAGCGCGAAGCTGTATGCACATCTACAGTGGCTCCAGCCTTTAGAGGAAAATGAACAGCACAGGGTAGATAGGACCTTGGCGCAGCTCAGGACGAGCGCTGCGATATGGAGAGCTGGCACACGTAGCATACGGCCAACATCGGCCGACGACCATAGCTAGCGTCCTGTACATACTAGCAGGACGTGAAACACTTACTTAGCCCGTCTTGTCGTCTCGATGTGTCTGAGCAGCGGTCGCGGGATTCCATCGTGCGGGCGTCGAAACCTGAACAGGCAGTGGCCTGTGCCTATTATTGCCGCCGCTTCGTGCTGCCCCGGAGCGACCGCGGCTGCCGCGTTGACCCGTTCAGCGCAGCGAGGACACCCGTCGAAGCTGACACGCGTGCGCCGTCGCGCGCGCGCTCGCCCGCGGCACTAGCAGCACCTGCAGTGGTACATCTAAGCCATTTGGCGCGAGAGCCGCGGAGGAGCGCGGCCAAAGAATTGCTCTATCATGCCCCGAAGCAACCAGGAGTTCATTGCACACGACCGCGTCGTTGTAAATTTAGACAGAGCCGAGAGCGCCATAGTCGCCGCCCTCGACGAGCAGGCGGACCGCGACCACAATGCGGTCATAAAGCTCAAGCGCGTCGACGCACCGCCCCTGGGCCTGCGGCTCGGTCGCGTCATTTTCAGTGAAGCGCCGATGACCCAAGACATAGAAAGAAGACTAGAGGAAGCTGGCATTGTCCTTTCCCAGAGGGATTCGCGGCTTCTTCGCTCGGGCGGTGTGATGCAACCACGACTAGTTGTGGAATTAGAAGACGTCTCCGAGAAGAACGAGTCGGCGGAAAGAGAGTATGTTCGCGACGACGCGAACGCGACGTGGAGGCTATCAACGATGGACGCGGAAGTTTCAGTGTTTACTTCAGATGTAGATAACACCACTGGAGATGTGCTTTCTAAGGCACATAATAGAAGCAAACTCTGGCTCAAGCGGCAGGGCGAAACCGAGTTTAGAAATACGTGCGAATACGTGATGGTGCCAGGAGCTACCGAAGCTTCGCTGCGGGCCGCCTCGACGCACGTGTCCGCGAGCGCCCCGGCTACGTCCGCTGCGGAAGAGGAGAACTCGGACGACGACCTGTTGAACCTGTCCGAAGATAATTTAAGGGATCAAATCGCGCAGCTCAAGGCCGAGAACGCCGAACTCCGGGGCGGGGAAGTCGACGCCGACGCGGCGTCATCGGACGAGGCGCGCCCGAGGGCGTCGGTGTCCCAGATCAAGGTCGGAAGAGGTGACGAACTCCGCTACGGTCCTGATCCAGAGGATTTGAATGTGCAGCGCGACGGTAGAGATAGGATCACTGGCGGCAGCGTCGACGTGCCCATGAAGCCGCCGAAGCTGAAGTTTGTTTTTTATTCGACGACGTTACACAAGGGCGCGATTTCGCTCGTGCCGGAGGTGACGTGGCCGCCCTTCGAGGAGATATTGCCCGAGTCCATCTCCAATGTGCCGGCTCCACTAGATGTTATTGAAACGTTGGACAAGAACAAGGCGCGCGGCCTACTCGAGGATTTATTAACACGTATGTTGCCGGTGTTCGCGGCTGATGGAAGCGACGACATGGCCTTGTTGGCACAGGCCCATCACCTGTCTCCCGTCGTCTTACATTATTTGAATTCTTTGTTAAAGAATATAGCAAGGACGCTCTACGACGGTATTAGAGAGTTGCCCTACGACGCTCTCGATCTGCTGGGCACGCTCAAGATCGACACGGATGATTTCTGGGACCTGGTGAATGCGCGAGACGATAGGGTCCTCGAGAAACTGAGGGATTGTTTAGAACGGTTGGTGTCTTCACCTCCCGATCCCGAAGAGGAGCCGGAGCCGAAGCGGCAGCGGCGTCCTTCGTCGCCACGGGCTTTTGATGATGAAAGGCCATCGGCAACCGAGCGAGATGCTGAAAAACAAGAGGCCAAGAAGAAGGCGATGAACGAGCTCCGCATCAAAGTAGTGAAGTTGCTGTTAGAACATCTAGTCGACGAGGCCCGAAAGCGCTTCAAGGACGATGCTTACTCGACCGTTATTTGGCGCACGCGTCCGCGTCCAAAACAACCAGTACGAGGTCCGGGCCGGCCCGGGTTTATGACCCAATCTATTACGGACCGGCTACGCGTCGCCGCCGCCTTCCTACTCGATCGTAGACTTGTTTTACACACAGGGAAGCCCGGCTGGAAGATAAAAGGAATAACTCTTGCTAAATTGATGAACCGGTGGCGCGAAGGGAGAGACTCGTCGTGCGCGAGCTGCGTCTAGACCACGCGTGCTTTTGTTCATTCTTTTTCTTAGGCACGGCTTCCCGTGGCTGTTTGACATCTTGGGCATTGTGAACTTCGGCGAGAATCCTACGACCAAAAGCGTGGCCTTCCAGTGGGTCAAGGCGGTCATGTACCTCAAGCAGCGTCTATCACTACACAACGCCTCGACCTTGTTGTTCGTACACCACTACTATTAGTCTCGAACGCCTTCGCACGCCTATTCGAGCGCAACAACTTTTGGCTTGCGCGCAGGCACGCCCTCTTCGACTGGCACCCGTACCTGGACGTCTGCGTGCAGTGCCGCAAGCGCGCCATCTCGGCCCTCGCGTGCGCGTCCCGAGTCCTGCAGAACCGCACTCCGACCGCCGCCGACGCGCCCGCTAATATCGCGTCCGCGCGCAGGCGCGTCCGCGGCCTCCCGCTCTTCGACCAGAACCCCGAGTGCCGCGCGGCCCAGGAGCCCTACTGGATGCGAATTTTTGTGGGGTCGCCGATCTACATGGCCGGCACCGCTCCCGGCCGCATTTTCTTGTTCAAGGCCGCCGACTCGCTTTCTGGTGTCACAGACGTCACGTTTACTGCTACCGACTTCGCTCAGCTGGAGCGAGGCGAGTGCGTCAAAGGCTGCTATGCGCTCTGCTTCTGCTGTCCTACTCGTGTCCGACTCGAAGGGTCCCTCAACTTGGAGCGCTCTCGATCGGGACGGGTAGTCTGGGTCTACGCCTCTCAAACCGTCCCAAACGAGTGATGCGCACGCAGGCCACTGCTGCTACCCGCTCGAGGGCAATTCGTATTATGTGGTCATCTTGCACCCCTCCCAGAAGAGCGTGGCCACGGTCGTGGCTGACTTATTAGCGAGAACTTTCTACGACGGCTCCTCGCCGGTGCGTACCCGAGTTGATGAGCTGCTTTCATGCGCATACGACTCACATATTATCGTAGGTACTTGGAGAGAATTGTCACTGCTTCCAGGACTTTAGAAGCTACCTGTACGGCGCGCTGCGGACCGGCAACGCCACGGGCGAGTTCCTGTGGCACGTCTGCGTCAAAGGAGCCATGTACGGCGACCTCCCGAACACGATGCCGGCCGAGGCGCTCGAGGAAGACGACGACGCGGAGCCGGCCGTGCCGAACCCGGAGGAGGAGGACCTGTCCGCGCCGCCGGACGCGCCGCACGACGTGGTCTCGGCGGTCGTCGCGCAGCAGGTGGAGGCCCAGGGCGCTACAAATGTTGTCATTGACGAAGGTGCTGTGGTGGAGAGAGCGCCGGCGTCGGACGAGCAGGAGGACGTGGTCGACCCGGTCGACGAGCTGATTTCTACGCCGCTGCCGGTCGGTGCTCCGCTCTGGGCGCCCGAGGTACGCTCTCTACTCAAGGAGGTGAAGGACATGCCTCTTTCTCAAATTAGTCTGGCGCTGCAGGACTGTGGCTTCTCGGTCAAGACGACCTGGACGTCGCTTCATGCTAGACCGCCAGCGGACTTTCCCTGCTTCAACGAGCTCGTCGGCAAGAACAACTCTAGGGGTTATTCGGATGTGGTCCGGTCGAAAACGCAGCTCGTCGACTACTTGAGGATCGCGCTCGAGCGGGTGCACGACCGCAAAGAAGTTCAGCTCGAGTCCGCGCGGCGCGAAGAATTAGCTGCTGGTTCTCAAGGAGGGAACCCGGGCAACATTTTAGATACAGACGCTCTGAGCGGCGCCGACGTCGCGGAGGACGTCATGCAGTCGGTCGGAGCGTCGCAACCGGAGGCTTCAGTAACGGCGAAGCGCGCGCAATCCGAACTGTTAAAACACCCGAAGGCTTTGCTTAAGGGCGATCCCAATGCCGAGGCGAAGTGCGACGCTGCGTTGGGGAATTTTGAGCGGCCAATCCTGCGCGGCAAGTTCGAGAGCAAACGCCAGACGCTAAAAAGTTTGTGCAAGCACCAGTGCGCGTTCCACATGGTCTACGGCGCGGACGCGTCGCCTACCGCTTTAGATGGACCGTCAGAAGAGTGGTTCGAGCAGAAAGAAGGCGAAGACTACCTACGGCCGAAGATCGTCTTTGAGGACAAGTCGGACATTGAGTCTGATGAAGTTGTCAAAGAATTTGAGCGGCGCGATGCGCTTATTGCTGCGGGCGGTTTCCCGGTCAACCTCGTGACTTTGGCGGTCGCGATGGGAGACGAACCCCAGGTGCCGAGGGTGCCGTCGACGTCCTATAGCTCAACAAGAGACGCGACCATCGTGAAGCTGCGCAAGGAGATCCGCGATAAGGCCAACGATCGCGAGCGCAAGCTCCGCGAGGCGTACAAGCGGAACGGCTTTGGTCCAACACCAATGGACACCGTCGACGGCTGACTGTGCTGTTCTCTGTACATGTACCACGGGCGCGGGTTGTGCGTCTGCTGCGAGTCATCCTGAAACTATCCCTCCCCCAAACAAAAAAGAGAAAAAAAGAAACAAAAACAAAAAAAAATAGGAGACTTCCAGTCCACGGTCGTCGCGAGGCTGCCGGCGACGGGGTTTTCCATCTAATAAAAATCAAAAATAACTCGGGCGTAGGACTCCTCTCGTTGAGGCCGGGGACCCGGAGACCCTGCGCCGCGTCGAGGACCGCCTGACCGGCATCGAGGAGACCGGCGCAGCTTGAAAGTATGGCGCCGCAGCGATGAAACGCGGTATAGCGAAAACCAGGAGGCCACCACGAAGGCGGCATGAGTTAAAAAAGAGCCAGAGACGCGGCGCCAGCTAGCGTGCTGTAAGACACTAGGGATCAAAAAAGACACTAGCACGAAGAGCGGCTGGCGGCCGCGGATGCGACTTGCAGGCGGGACACAGGACGCCAGGTAGCCGTCACTGAGCACTGTGTTGCACAGCGAAAAAGAGTTGCGACGCGCCCGTGGCGAAACGGGGTTCCAGGAGAGCCTTGCAAGCGAGTTTGGATCAGCGCTCTCCGCAGCAAACTTCCACGCGCGGGCGAACCCCAGGGCTCGGCGGAGCCGGGACGAGTCTAAACCATGATGAACGAGTCCTTCCTCGGCATCTTCGACGACGACGTGAGCGACGCGCCGCCGGCCGCGAGCCGCCAGCCGAGCTGGGGCGGAGTCCCGGCGTCGCCGGGGCCGCCGGGCGCGGCGCTGGGCGCCGTCGGCCGCGAGCCGAGCTGGGCGGGCCTGCCCTCACCAGGCCAATTACCAACCTCACCAGGGCAAAGCATAGGGAGACAGCCGAGCTGGGCCGACCTCCCCGAGGGCGCGCCGTCGATAGCCGACGCCTGGGATAGTGTGCCCCTGCCCAATACACTACACAAGGCGCCGTCGGGCGAAGTCGATCCGAGAGAAACGGTCATGCCGGCAGAAATACTAGCGATGCCCGAGGCCGATCTACTCACGCCGCTCTGGGCGCCGGACCCGCCGAAGCGAGTACGGTCGATACCAGAGGCACCGCCGCTGTCTGATGCCGGCTCCGAGCCCACCGGCGAGGGCAAATCTTCCGATGGTGGTGAAGAGGAAATACCACCTCCGAAGCCCAAGAAGCCGAAGAAGAAGAAGAAGAAAACGACTACGAAGGCCAAGAAGCCCGTCCCCAAGAAGAAGGACGCGCCTCCTGTTGTACAGGAGATGCGTATTGGGGCTGTCGTGACGGCGCCGGCGCTAGCCTTTGGGAGTGCGTTTGCTGCTGGCGCGCCCGAGGGGAAAACGTATCGCGGCATCGTGGTGGATGCCACAGATTCGGATGAAGCGTGGGTCGTGCGCTACGACGACGACGGGCTCAGATTTGAGACGGCCACGGCGTTTCTGACGATCGTGCGGGAGGAGGGCGGGCACCACCTGCGAGCTCGTAGAGCTAGAGCCCTCGAGGAACGACGGAGGCTGGAACGAGCTAAAAATGAGGACAAGCCCTGGACGCCGGACGAGACGTCGGAGCTGCGATCTCTGGTGGGTGAACTCGGCGCGTCGATGGAGACGTGGCCGGTGATCGCGCGACGCCTCAAGACGGGGCGCCCGCCGGTCCAGGTCATGAGCTACTACGAGGCGCTCCCGAAAGACTTGTTCGAGGAGAGTGAGGACGAGGAACCACCAGTAAAGAAGAAGCGCGGCCGGCCGCCGAAGGCGCCCGCGGCCGCCGAGGAGGTGCTGACGCGGCGTCTTCGTGAAACTTTGATTTGACGTGGTCGCCGCGACGGCGTCACCGCGATGCCGCGCCGCCGCGACGCCGTCGACGCGCCTCGCGAATGGACGGAGGCAGTTTCGCGACGGCGTCCATTCCACACAGGCCGCCGCGCCGCCGACACCTGACGAGAGTAGCGACGACGACGTGCCCATCTCTCAGTTGAGAACTCAAAAATATTCCGTGGGCGACCGCGTCGAGGCCGACTGGAAAAACGAGGGCGAGTTCTTCCCCGGTGCGCTCGCGGCGTCCGTTTCCGACCGTTTCCGAACTTCAAGGTCGCGTCGATGGCGTCGATGTGACGGCATCGTTCCACGCAGGGCGCATCGCGGCGGTCAAGAAGGACGCTTACAGTATCCAATACGACGACGGTGATTTTGAACGGAATGTTTCTGTGGAGAGAATACGGCCTCTTATTACTATTGACGAAGAACGTGTTCGACAGATGGTCGCGCGCGTGCCTCTGGAGAAGCGCGAGGCGGTGCTACGGGAGGCCATCGCCCGCGTCGAGGCGTCTTTGCCAGCTGTCGAACCATCAACGTCGAAGGGAGACCTACCCATTCATTCGGGCGACGAGTTTGCCTCTATCGTGGCCAAAGCACTAGACGACGGCAACGACGCGCCGCTATGTGTCAGAAACGCTCTAGGGAAGGACGCTACTTTGTTATCTTATTTTCAAGAGGGCCCGAAGCAGTTTCTCAGGCGATTACGCGACTTAGGCCACGGGTCTCTATCTCTACTCAGCTTCGCCGGTGGCAGCGTCAGTGTCGATGCGGCTCTGTCGCTGGATGTGCACAAGACGCCCGTCGCGCTCACGCCGAAGCTAGGCGGTCGATTACTAGAAGTGCTCAACGGTGAGTCTACAGATAAAAGACGCTCCAATGCTCTGGAGAGGGCGCCTTGTCTGAAGGGCGTGCCGCGGTTCGCTACAGCTTTATATGGTGCCTACGACGATAGCGAACAGTTCCTCGTGATCCAGCCCGGTCCGAGTGGTGATCTCAGACCACATGTGGACTATCTAGGCTCAGGCGTGATCTACGTGTTACTCCAGGGCCGGAAGAAGGTCAGCGTGTGGCTACCCTTCCCCGACGACGATAGGTCCAATCTATCTATCTTGGCGTCGGGTCATAGGAGAGATGTCGACGTCGAACATGAACTGAGGGGGCCGCGTTTTGACCTGGACATGCGCCCGGGCGACGCGTTATTCATCCCGCCGCTGTTTCCTCATTTGGTGAGGAACTATGAAGGTGGGTCGATCGCGTACGGCGTCAATATTATTTCGCAAGCTTCTGGGAGGATGATGGAGCAAGTGCGTCAATTGTCGCCCTACGACCGCGCGGTCTTCGCCTGTCATTATTTACCGGCAGATTATCCGGACGACGCGTGGGCCGCGAACTATTCGGAAGAAACGACCGAAAAAGCCCTGTCAGACTGTCTCCAGCGCGTCGCATCTGCTAAACCTGGTTTGGCTGAAACGCTGCGGAGGGAAGCTACACTGAAGGGACGCGAGGCCACGGTCGTGACGCCCACCACACCACGCGAAGAGAAGCCTCCGTCGCAGCCCTTCGCGGCGACGCGCATCGGCGGCGTGACGTCCCTGGCCGACATGGCGAAGGTGGCGGCCGCCGTCGCGCGCGCGGCGCCTCCGCCGGAGCCGCCGAAGGCGCGCCTGCCGCCGCACTACGAGAAGCGCCGCTCTTCTGATGACGATAAGAAGGCCAAGGCCGACGCCAAGAAGAAGAAGCGGTCGCGGTCGCGCGGTCGCAGACGCCGCAAGTCGCCCTCGCGGTCGCGCTCGGCGTCGTCGTCGCGCTCGCGCTCGCGCTCTCCGAAGAGAAAGCGCCGCGCCGCGCGGTCACCTTCCTCGTCGTCCTCGCGCTCGCGCTCGCGCTCGCCCAAGAAGCGCCGCCGCCGGCGCTCGCGGTCGCGGTCGCGCCGCAAGGGCCGTTCCCGCTCGCCGAAGCGCCGCAAGAACCGCTACGACACGGCGCTTCCCTCATCGTCGCGGAGCCCGCCGCCTCGACAACGCTCGCGGTCGCGCTCGCGCGGCCGCCGCCGCCGGTCGCGGTCCCCGAAGCCCAAGGCGCGCTACGGCAGCCGCCAGAGCCGCTCGCCGCCGCCTCCGGCGAACCACTACGGCCCGGCGCCGCCGCAGCCGCCGCCTTCAGCTAGAAGCCGCTACGACACGGCGCTGCCCAAACGCCGGGGCCACGAGCTGCCGGCGCGGCCCCACCGCTACGCCCACGCGCCGGGCGCGGCCCGGACGCCGTCGCGGAGCCCGCCGCCGACGGCCGCGCCGAAGCTGTCGCTCGCGGAGCAGGCGAAGCTTGCCGCGCGCGAAGCGTCGCGGTGAGCTGGATCTGCTGTGATCCTCGAAGAACGACCCTGTACTACTCCTATGTAATAACTACTATGATACCAGACCGACGCCTCCCTGTGTTACCGCCCGCCCGCCCCGCCCCCTGCCCTCATACTTAGATGAATCAGAGCCTACTGCTTCTCGGCGGGGACCGATCCGAACGTCAGCAGCGCCAACGCGCCGCCACAAGCACCGACGACGCCCGCGCCCGGCCCGCCGATGCCCGCCAATAACAAAAACCCCGCCAGGCCCGCGGCGCCCAGCGCGACACCGGCCGTCGCGTCGGACGGGTCCTCCTTCAACTCCTTGCGGAGCTCTTCCGCCTGCGCCGCGGCCCTGTCCAATTTCGAAGCAGCCGCATCGCCGATGCGGTCCACCTCTTGCGCCATCGTCTCGTCCGCGGCCAAGGCGGCGGCGTCGGCCTTCTCCGCCGCGGCCTTCAACTCCTCAATATTCGCGGCGCCGCCGTCCACGGCGATCGCCCGTTTGGTCTCCTCGTCAGCATTACGAGCGGCCTCCTCGGCCTTGGCGCACTCGGCTAATGCTTGATCCAACCGCCCGCGGTCGGCGGCCTTGGCCTTGGCGGCCTCCCAGGCCTGCTCGCGGATTTGCTCAGCATTTAATCGTTCGGTCTCGGCCGTCCGTGCCGCGGCCTCGGCGGCGGCCGCGCGCGCGAGGGCGGCGTCCGTGGCGCGCTGGGCGGCGTCCGCCGCGTTCTTGGCGTCCTGGACTTCCCTCTCTAGTGCCTTAAGTTGTGGCTCTACCGCGGCGGCGGCGCCGCGCAGCGCGTTCCTTGCTTCCGTGAGCGGCTCGGCTCGTAATTGTGTCAATCGTGTTCTAGGCGTCGCCGCTGGCCTCAGAGCGGTGGCGGTCGCGGCGACGAGGAGGAGCCTGGCCATAATACTGGTGCTGTGCAATCTGGGCCCTCTCTACGCTTGTTGAGCGGATTTGGGCCACGAAAAGTATATGAAGCTGCAAAGCAGGCTGTCAAGAGTCGTTCGTAGCGCGCTGGGTTCGCAGTCTCGTCCGCTGCAGGAGCACGGTACGTCAAACTGCGAAGATTTCACACGACTATTTTTTTCTGGCTAGCGGTCCAAAAAGACACTAGGAAGCACCAAAAACGCAAGCGGCGCTCTGCTGTGAGTACTGGTCGCGCGCGCAGGATAAGTGCTCGCCTGGGACCAATACTAACGCACGCGAGCGTTGGCTGCAGTCCTGCGCCCCATCGCGCCCTCCTGGCTGCTCTGCTGCGAGCAGCTCAGAGCGCTACGCCGTCGACGCGATGTCCGACTTCGACGAGCGCGACGCGAGTGATGACGAGCCCGAGCTTAATGAGGAAGAAGTACTAGAGCAGCTGCAAGAATTACACAGACAACTAGCAGAGAGACAAAAAGACGAGGTCGACGCGACGCCCAGTCTCTTGGAACCGCCCAAGAAACTCATCATTTGTGCTACAAGACGCCCTGTACGATTAGAAAAGCCCTTCGGCGAGGCTTCATTTAAATACGAGACCTCTCGCTCTGGATTGACGTCCGCGGTAAATGCATTACAAAATGATGGAGTGGAATGTAGATGGGTCGCCTGGCCGGGCTGCGCCGTGGAAAAGACGAGTCAGGAGGGCGTGAGGCAAAGGCTCGAAGATGACTTCAATTGCCGGCCCGTGTTTCTGGAACGAGACCTGGTGGAGGCCTTCTACGCGCGTTTTTGCCATGGGGTCCTGTGGCCCCTATTTCATTCTCTACCGACAGATGTCACTGGTAGAACTGATCTCTATGAGGCTTTTGTGCAGGCCAATCAGAAATATTTGGAAGCGGTCGCGCTCGAGTACCAGGAGGGCGACGTGGTCCTAGTCCACGACTACGAATTGATGCTGCTGCCGGCGATGATTCGCGGGCGGTTCCCGGACGCGCCGGTCGGGTTCTTCTGCCACTGCCCGTGCGGTCCAGCGTCCCGGCTTTCCGTGTTCGCGTCGATGGCGTCGAGGGGAGCCTCCCGTCGCGCCGTCAGCGCGTCGCTGCCGCGCGAAGAGAGACACGGCGTCGGCGCCGTCGCCGCGACGCGCGAGAGACGTGCGAGCGGCGCGCCTCGATGCGTCGCGGCGATGGCGTCACCGTGCGCAGGTTCCCCTCCTCAGAATACTACCGCATGCTGCCCGCGCGCGAACAGCTCTTGCGGGGTGCGTTGGGAGCTGATCTGATCAGTTTCAACCACTTCGACTACGTGCGGCACTTCCTCAACGCGTGCATGCGCGTCCTTGGGTTGGAGTCCGCCCCGTCGCGGCTAGAATACCTCGGGCGACTCGTCTCGGTGTCGATCTGCCCCGCGGGCATCGATCCGAGACGCTTTGTTGTGGAGGAGTCAATCAAGGACAAGGTAAAAAAACTGAAAGTGACGGGCCGACGAGTGGTGTTATCGTTGGACGCCCTCGACGCCTCAAAAGGCATCCCCCAGCGGTTACTAGCGTTAGAAGCTCTACTAGACAGAAAGCCCGAATGGAGAGGAAGAGCGGTATTAGTATTATGCTGTAGAGATCGCGGGCGACGCGTCGACGCACCTCTCAGACGAGCCGTAGATGCATTGGTAGGTCACGTGAACGGGAGGTTCGGCCGGGCCGATTACGTGCCCGTGCATTATGTCAAGAGACGACTCGGTGAAGATGAAGTGAAGGCGCTGTATGTGGCTGCCGATGTGGCGCTCATAGCCTCGGTGAGGGAAGGTGTTAATTTATGGGCCATGGAGTACGTCGCGTGCCAAGCGGCGCGGCGGGACGACTCGCCGCCCGGCGTGCTCGTCTACTCCGAGTTCGCCGGGTGTGCTTCCTCCTTTAGTGGCGGTGCGCTCATCGTGAACCCTTATGATGCGGAAGGTTAGGTGTTGTGTGGAAATCAAAGGTCGGGCGTCGCACGCCATCGACGCGACTCACTGGTTGACTTCCACACAGGCGTCGCCGACGCGCTCCACAACGCCCTGGCCATGAAAGTGACGGAGCGACGACTGCGGCACCACGCCCTCGGGAGATACGTGAACACGTATACTGCCTCGTTGTGGGGGCGTCGATTAGTGAGGGAATTGCGGTTGGCTCGCGAGCGCACCGCGGCGCACGCAACTTTGTTGCCACTGGACGTCGCGCAATTACGGTCCTTCTACGAGCGGTCTCGACGACGACTTTTAGTGCTAGAGTACGACGGGGCCCTGGCGCCTCATGCTTCACTACCGAGACTCGCGCAGCCCTCACCCACACTCGTATCCGCGCTTCGAGCTCTATGTGCCGACTCTAGAAACACGGTCTACGTGTTAAGTGGGAGGAGACGCGACGATTTAGATGAATGGTTATCTCGTGATCAACTACCACGATTGGGACTAGTAGCAGAAGCTGGCTATTGGGTCCGACGGGCACCGAGTCCCCTCGCGCAGAAAGATTCCGGCACGTCCCTAGCCACGTCTCTGTTAGGCCACCCGTCCGACACGTCGCTCGAAGTCGAGTCGCCGGAGAAAGACGACGAGGACGAGGTGAGTTCGGATTGGGAGCCGCCTCGTAGAGCGGTCGACTTGACGTGGCGCGACGAAGTGGCGCCCATCTTGGAATCATTTACGAGACGGACGCCCGGAAGCGCCTTGGAGACGACGGACGCGCGGTTGTGCTGGTACTTCCGCGACGCGGACCCGGACTTCGGCATACAACAAGCTAAAAATTTACAGCTGCACTTGGAGGTCGTCGTCGAGCACCGACCGGTGAGAGTTGTGATGTCTTCATTAAAGAAGTCCGTGGTGGTCCAGCCCGCCCGGGTGAGTCCGGGCCGGGCCCTGCGCGGCGCGATTCCTTCCTTTGATTCGTATGACCTCATTTTAGCTGTTGGCGACGAAGTCTACTCCGAGGAAGATGTCTTTGAGCTGTTTGAGGGCTCTCCACATAGCTTCTCCGTCACGGTCGGGAGACGGCTCTCTCGAGCTTCGTTTTTTCTGGACGAGGAGGAGGTCCTGCCGACGCTCCAAACGCTGGCTGCCGTGACCAATGAAGCGGTAGGAACACCATTATCCTCAGCTCAGACGCTGCCGCGGACGTCTTCTTTGGATTTAGGTGCTTCTCGCATGATGCCGGAGTCACCAACACCTATGACGGCTTCTTTTAGACCGGTCGACTTCCCGTCCTTCGAGGAGGTGTCCGCGGCTGAAGAGAAGGTCGTCGACGCCGCGGCGGCGCTCGTCGAGGACCAGTCGCTTAATTCGTAGTTTCTTGTTTACTTACTAGTACTCGTGTCGAACGCGGCGAGCGTCTCTCGCGCCCAGCCGAGGGCATTGCGTATGTCGTTTGCGAGAGGATGCGATGTACCGTATATGCGTTGGGTCGTCCGGGAGAGCTCCTCGAGAAGGGTCACGGCTTCGACCACGTCGTCGCGGGAGGCGCCGTCGCTCAAACGAAGGGCATCCGCGTGCTGCCAGCGAAGTTGTATTACGGTGTCGTGATCCGCGCCGAGCGCGCGGCGGGCCGCAGGTAGCTGCTCGCGAAGAAATGATTTCGACTCAGCACAAAGTCCGCATTCTTTCATCGACCAAGAAAGGTTGAGCACGTCAATAAATAAGTCCTTACTTGGAACGCCAAGAGCCAAACCTCTGGCATATATCTCCCGGCGCAGATCTAAGGCCTCTTGGTGACGCCCGAGCTTGTAGTAGCATAAGGCAATATTGGTCTGCGCGACGAGAATGTTTTGCTCTGATGAGCCAAGGCGCCGCTTCATAGCCAACTCGGCCTCTAACACGGTCAACGCGTCCTCGAAGTGGTATGCTTCGGATAAGCCAGCCCCAAGCAGGTTCATCGCCATTTGCCGAACCTGGCCGCCCGTCTCCGGCCGCCCCACGTACGTCTTCCAATGGTCATGCTGGCAAGTGGCGTTGCAGTAGCGCGTTTTACATCTAACGCATCGCGGCGCGTCGTGGGCCAGTGGGGCGGCGCAGGCGGCGCAAGTTGTGAGGATCATTGTGCGTTGGCTGGGGCTTGCGGGCTCGGCGGCGTTTTTGTGAGTTTGGGGGCAGGATCAAATCGGGTTCATCAATTCAAGGAGCGCGCGTGCGACGAATTCACGCTTAAGAATTCGTTTCTCTTCTGTTACACACTGTCGACCCACGCTGGTGCCAAAAAACAGACCTAGGGGGCCGGTGAGATAGGCAAAAGCTGCACTGACCCTGTGAACGATGGGCAGAGGCAATTCTCGGACGCGACATGCGCACAACGGGAACGACACGTGGGCTATTCAAAACGGCAAGGAGCCCTGGAAAAGAGAGCGCCCGACGCGCCGCCAGCCGCCGCCACCAACGCTACCCAACGACGACGACGTGGACGTCCACGGCATCCTCTTCGCAGTATTGGCTATGGTCTTTGTCGTATACCCGCTCGGGCAGTGGGCCCTCGGTCTCTAAAAAAACGATGCGCGTCCTCCTCCTCGTGACTACGCTATTGTGCGCGTCGGCGCTCCGCTACGACGCCGCCCAGCTCCAGGCCTGGTGGAACGCCTCCGCCGCCGGCCCTAGGATTTTTTGCAGCTCGTCGCCGGGCGGCACATCTGCCGGTGGGTCTGTGCGGTCGCCCGGAGCAACGGCTGCGGCTGGGACGGCTGCATGGTGGGCCTTCCGTCGAACGCGACGTGCGGCGAACGCGTGCCGAAGCACGGCCTGGCGCAGAAGCCTCCAGACGCGTGGTGGAGCCGCGAATTTCAAAGCGAGGGGCTCCCCGCGCCGCTCGCGTTTGACGCCGTATCGACGAAAGATGGCCCCGGGGTCGTCGCCGCGTTTATGGGATAATACATCGCAGGAAATTAGCCCCCCCGCCGCGGTCCGCGCGCGAAGCGCCATCGCCGCGCCTAGCCTCATAACCTAAATGTTACCGCCGCGGTCCCCGCCGGAAGTTCGCGATGACGTCCCGCAAGCGACTCTCGTCCAGTTCGCCCTCCACAAAGAGCGAGTCGTACAACGCCTGGTTCTGGAGCAGGAACCGCAACGCGTCCTCGTCCAGCCGTGTGATGGCCTCCGGTAGCCCGCGCGGCGCGTTCGCGGCGCGCGGCGGCGGCGGCGGGTAGTACTGCTGCTGCCCGCCGAAGGACGGCGTGAACTGCGGCGTCGGCGCCGTCCACACGTCTTGAGGAGGCGGTGCTGGTACGGGCGGCGGCGCCGGCTCTGGTTCCGCAACAACCTCTTCAGGTTGTTTTTCCAACTCCTGTGCTGGTATTTCAACGGTAGAAGAATCAAGACGAAACGTCTCCATGCCGTCGTCCGCGGGGTTGTCCGGGATATCTCTCGCGTGGAAGTACCGAGCCTCCATCAATCTCTTCTGCCGAGAAGCTTGTGTAGCAGGCTCAGTAGCAACAACCTCCGGCTCCGCGACGTCCTCGCCCAATTTCAGGGGAGGCGGCTCCCGCCACGCTATTTGCGGTTTCTGCGCGTCGAGCTTCCGTTGATATTCCACCTCTTCCGCCTTCTTCTCCGCATTTTCCAATTCCTTGGCCTTGCCCAGGGCCCTGGCCTCCATCTCGCGCTCTTTTTTCTGCCTTTCTTTGGCCGTCAAGCCGTCGTCGGCCGACGGGCCGTGGTGGCCGCCATCATCCAACCAGCCCTCGACGGGCTCGCAGTAGCTTGCGATCTCTTTGCCGTTGTCGTCGGCCCACTTGACCCTTGTAGTACGCTTAGCTAGTCTCTCAGCTAATTCAGGATCGATCGGCCGCGACGTGATGGGCTGGCCGTCGTCGTCGAAGGCGACGTTTGACTCGTGAGCGAGCTGTAGGGTCTCCACACCGCCACCTAATCTACCCTGCCGCCTCGCTTCGATGCGCGCGGCCCTACTTCGATCCATGGCCTCGTCGGGGACTTTGGCACGTTTCTTTTGATGGAGTGCACTCGCCAGAACATCGGTCGGCTGCGACGACCGTTTCTTCGCGCTCCGCTTCTTCTTCTCCGTCGCTTTTCTCGCTTGGGCCTCGAGCGCCACGAGCTTCCGCTCCTCCTCGTCGTCGCCCTTATTTGCTTTCTCGTACCAGTTCTGCATGAGGCCCTTGTACGCCGAGTCCATGTTTTGATCTCCGCTCTCCTTCCGGTCTTTCTTCAGGCGCTTGACGATCTTGCCGACGTCGGACGCTTTGACGAGGCGTGCCGTTACCGGTAAGTCGCTTAGAGCGTCCAGCAAAAGGCGTACGAAGTCGTCCGAGCGCTCTTTATCTGCTCGTTCGAGCCACGTGCCGAGCGGCCTCAGACCTCCCGCGTTGAGGAAGGCCCTCATGGCGAGCTTCTTGCCGTTGTCCTTCTCGACCAACGCGCAGGTCCTCCTTAATACCACTAACAACACTCCTTTCGTCGTCTCGGCGTCTCGGGGTATTTTCTCGCATAACGCGTGGACGCGCGCGCCGACCTCCGTGCCGTCCTGGAGCCGCCCTTCGCTGTCGAGTAATGGTAGTAATCTCATCTCGACGGCGTCGGGGTCCACTAATGGAGCATGCGCGACGTGCTTCGCCTCGCTTTCGAGGCTCACTAGGATGGGGTCCTCGGAACTATTATCGTCGACGTCCATCGGCGCCGCCTCGCGTGACGCTGCGGCGTCGGGCGCGGGCGCCTCCGCCGCGGGCGTTTCGCCCGCGGGGGCAGGGGCGCTACTAGCTACCTCGGCCATACGCAGCGATGACCCCCGGCGAGCCCCGGCGTTATTTTATACTAGGGGAGGGAACGCGCGCGCGCAGCACGGGTGCCTATCGGGCGGGCGGCACGGCTGCTAGGTTGCGAGCGAGAAATTGAGCGAGCTAGCGTTGCGTAAAGACACTAGGAAAAGCCGTACAGGCCAAAAGAGCTGCGCTGTGAGCTCACGCGTGACGTGCGGACGCGGAGACGTCGGCTTCAGACCCTCGCAGCTGCCGCGCTGCCGCACCCCCGATCTCAAGGCATTTGGCGCCTTAGCGGCCGCGATCAGTGATGCTCTCCCTCTGGTCCATGATCAAGGTCTGCCTGCTCGGCTGCAACGCCATTGCGATCCTCAACCGGCCCCGATTTCTCGATAAAGTAGAAGCTCGCTGCTCGAACGAAATGGCGACGCAAGCCGTGAACTTCGCCAAGGCGGCCCAGTACCTGCGGCCCATCCTCATCCCGCTGAACATCGTTTGTATTTTTGTGGAGATGCTCTTCGGCGCGTGAGAAATGGCGCAAGACCTGCGAAGCAAACTGGCGGTGAGCGGCACCATGATCATACCCATGCGGGGCGGCAAAACGCTGCCGACTGACGTGAGCCTCAAGGTGCTGCGCTTCGCGACGACGCAGGACCTTGGTTGTCTTGGTCGCACGAACACTACGTGGCGCGACCTTAGTTTGAGGGAGCTGACGCGGCTCCCCGGCGACTGGGAGGTGCGGCGCATGGGCGCGCCGGACCACCGCGTCTACTTCCGGAGCGTTTTGCACGAGCGCGCGCAGTGGGAGAAGCCCACGCGTGCCGCGCCGCCGCCCGCCGTCGACGCTACCTCGGACGGAACCCCCGCGGACGTGTACCCGCCCCAGCACAACTGGCCGGGGCGGCCCGCGCCGCGACCCAAGCAAACGTGGGTTCGGTCGCCGGCCGAGCCGGCTCGGCCGGCGGATCGGCCGTCGGCTTGGACGCGGGCTCGGCGACGGGCTCGGCAGCTGGTTCGGCAGCTGGTTCGGCCGCGGGCTCGGGCGCCGCCCTGGGCGTGTCCGGCCTGCACGTACCGCCACACCGGCGCCGAAGCCGGCTTCTTGCAATGCGCGGCGTGTGGCGGCCGCAAACCCACGGAAACCCCGCCTGGCGACTGGGCGATGGCCTGGTTCGCCGACGACGTCTTTTGGTGCTCGTACAACCTGCGTTCTTCGCAGTGGGAGCGCCCCGTCTACGAGGACGCGCCGCGGTTCCGGCTGCTCCCATGGATGGACGGGCAGATCCGCCGCGCGAACGCCCACTACCGCACGCGCGCCGGCAGCAACTACCTGGACCGGTCGCCGTGAAGACTGGGGGCCTAATATACCGCATTTGTACGATCCAGTCTGCAGCAACGAGTCCTCCATCCTAGCGTGCGGGGTTCGCGGCGCGCGGCGTTGCCCCGGGTGCTCGTTGACGCTATAGCCCTCGAAGTCGCTCGCCGCAGGTCTGCTTCTTCTAAAGAAAGGTCGATTTAGTGTGCGATTTTTGGTGAGGGGATTGATGAAGGAGGAGGCGGGGAGACGAGAAGGTTATGACGGCGGTCGCTCCGTCGTGAGCGCGTCGGCGCCTAAGCGACGGATCACAATCATCGTCCGAGTCTGAGTCTGAGCTGATCTCCTCGTCCGAGCTCGAGTCAGAGCTGCTGCTCTGCTCGGCGCCGTCGCTCGGCGCGGGCGTCGGCGCGGCGTCGTCGTTCGCCGCCGCCTGCGTTCGCCGCCGCCTGCTCTCCTTCCAGAGAATCGTCTTCTCGCAGATGTCGCGCCCCGCCGTCGTCGGTTTTCTTAAAGAAAAAAACGCGAGAACCTCCGGCAACTTCTTCACGCAGGTCGGGGATCGTCTTGCCCAGCATACTGACGTGCTGGTCCGCCCGAGGCGGCGCGCCAGTGCTAGGATGAGATCTATACGTGATCGTCACGCCTTTGAACAAGTGTACCCAGAGTCGCGGCCCGGACCACGGTCCGCGGCCTCACACATCTCGATGTGTCCGCGACCTCACACATCTCGTGAGGCCGCGGCCGTTGGCTCAACCCTTCGCTCGTCGGAGTACGGACCAGCCCCGCACGATGGGAATGACGCTCTAGATGACATTGTGCTGGCCGGCAGGAGGCGCCCCGCACGATGGTACTAGACGACATGACCAGGTCGGTTGGTCTGGGGGAGGGCCTCATATTGTAATCGGCCAGTACACATTTGTCATCTCCGCGCGACGGCGCGCGGTCGCGTCAGTCAGATACCATGAGTCGCCGCATGACCTGAGCGGCGCATTCATGTAGTCTCTATGTACCCGTGTTCTCTCCCGAATCCCGTCTCTCAGGGTTCTGAGATAGCGGTTTTGGCAGGCCGCGGCCGCCGGCCCCTCACCCTACGGTCCCCCCACTAAGACCCCCCTACTAGGACCGTCACCCCCCCACTGGAGAGGTCGGTCGGTCCGAGAGGTGGTCCGCCGCGCCAATGTGTCATGTTGTCGTCTAGTACCATCGTGCGGGGCGCCGCCTCCTGTGGCCGGCACCAATGCGGTGAGACTTTTGGCCCCCTGACGGCAAGGACGCACCGGGCAGCATGCATCGATAGCTGCGGCACGCCATCGAGGCAGCCCCACATCAACATGCGGCTGTTCCGGGCATTCCTCGTGAGCCTTGCCACAGCCAGCATCGACCTGCCTCGCGACTGGCAGGCGCAACATTGTAGGGGCACCCACCTCGAGCAGACGGGCGAGACGGTCGTGGCCCTCGCTACCGATGCGGCGAGAGGTTTCTTACCGATCATCGGCGTCGTGAATTCGACAGTGCACAACTCGAAAAGTGACGTGGGCTTCGTCATCGTTACCACAAGGGTCCACTTCCTCAAGAAGCTCTTAGATAGGTTCTTTCCTTCCCTTAGAGTGGCGGTGTGCTCCGGCGCGGAACAGTTGTTGAGACATCGGCCCGCTCTACAGAGGCTGTCGTCCCTCGCAAACTCGACACACGTAAAACGAAAAGAACTCCTATCGCCCTTTAATTTTGCGGCCTTCTACATGCCTCATGTTTTATATCATACTCGTAGAGTTATTTACCTGGATACGGATATTGTTGTCCAGGGCGATGTCTTAGAGCTCGCGACCTTAGATCTCCACAACAAAGCCGTGGCAGCGGTCAACGACTGCTCACAAAAAATAGCCAAGTACTTTCGGGAAGACTTATTACCAATACAACACAAGATCCTGTGGCAACGGGTTTTGAGGGGTGATGGGTGTGTTTTTAACAGAGGAGTTGTGGTGTTCGACACGCTTCGGTGGCGTACTCTGCAACTGACAGAAACGATTGAGGATCTCGTAGATGCGTTTGTGGATTCGAAGGCCAAGCTCTGGTCGTCGGGCATCAGCCAGCCGCCCTTTCTCTTAGCTTTAGCTGGTAGATATGAGCAACTCCCGGTGACGTGGAACGTGCGCGGGTTAGGACGGCTGGACATCGGTAGGAACGAGTGGCGGAAAATAAAAGGGGAAGCGCTGCACTTCGGCGTCGACGCTTCCGTGTATGAGCGGCATTTGGCGCCGGCGGGGCCGTTCAGAGAACGCGTCTATCCGTTTTTCCACCCCCTGGCGGCGAAGGCGTCGCTGTTGCATTTCAATGGGGATTTGAAACCGTGGGCCTTGACTGCGGAGGATGCCCGCAACTGGCACTTATTGGGGTTGCGAGTTGCTTCCCAAGAAAACGTCCCGCACGTGCTCGGGACGTGCCGCTTGAAGCACTGCGCATCCAGCTACAACCTAACGACGGACCAGAAGATGCATTCTGCTTGCGAGGCTTCTTTAGCGCATACCCTGTCCAAATCTAAGCTACACTGGGACCAAATCCGCTTGTCGCCTAATGGTAGAAAGTGGCCAAAACACCTCGAGTCCGTGGCGAAATACTACGAAAGCGGCTGCGTCGCGCGGCCGCCGCTATGTACCTGTCGGTCGCAACTCTCGGACGACTGTGTTACCAGTTGTGCTTCCTTGTGGCACGCCTACGTGAGTCCCGAAGTGATCAAATTCCACGACGCCGCTCAGGTAGAGGAGGCGCCTCGTACTACTGAGAACGACGGCGCGGCGTCCGCGACGGTCGCCGGCCTCGCCCTCGCCGCCGCCGGGTTTCTCGCGATGATGACCGTCTCCGACGATGAATACGAGCCGCCCACCGACCGCCCCGCCCCCGCGCGTGCGGAGCGGCCGAGCCGCCTGTACCCGCAGGACGCGCCCGGGTGCGTCACGGCGGGCAGGGACCACCACTGCCGCGGACGGATCCCCCATGGTCCCGGACCCCCCCTTGACTAAGAGTCATACACTGACCGATGTACCCAGGGAAGACGAGAGGGAATCAGTCGCGGCTCCCCGCGCGCTGCATCCGCGGCTGCGCGTTGAACCCGCCGGGACTGTAGCCGCCGCCCAGCAGGTCGTCGCCGCTGAAGGACATCTTCTTGCCGAAGAGGTTGAAGTCGTCCGTGAAGCCGAAGTCGCCGCCGAGCGCCGCGCCCGGCCAGTCGCTCGTGTCGTTCGACGGCCGCGCGGGCTGCGGCGGCGGTGGCCGGAACTCGTCGCCTCCTACCAGCTGCGAGAGCAGCGACGGCGCGATGGCGCCCTTGTCCGACGCCTCGAGGAAGGACAGCAGCAGGCCGCTCTCGAAGCTATCGTTCAATTGCGTGGCCGCCTCGACGTACTGGTCGCGCGGGACCTGGGGCATGCCCGGCAGCGGGATCGGCCGCGCGCTCTCGACGCCCGTGAACGCCTCGAGCGGCCGCGGTGGTCGGTAGGGCGGCAGATCTTCGCTCGCGAACGGCCGCGGCGGCGGCGGCGCCGGCCTAGGAGCTGGTGCCTTCTGCCTCCGCTGCCTTTTGGCATCAGGTTGACCTCTATCAGACGCGGCAGAAGTGGCCGGCTTCCGCCGGATCGTCAATATAGCTTCGGGCGGTCGTCCGACGAGGTCGTCGTGCATGTACATACAAGGTGCTAATTTGCCCTTGCCTTCCACTTTCCGGAAGCCGAAGTTGTTGAGCTGGCGCTGGAAGGACGAGAAGTTCGAATGTCTAAAATAGACCGACATTTTTCGCTCCAACGCCACGGGGTCGTGAATATAGAGCTTGCCGCCCGTCCAGGAGATGAGGTCCGGCGCCTCGTCGCCGACCATGGTCAGGAGTTTGACGAGGAAGTCGGGGGGCGTCGCGCCGCGGCGGTCTATTGTGCCGCTCATGCTTGCCTCGTGCCGGCGGCCGGCCGGCGGCTTCGAACGGCGGTTATTCGCGTGTGCGCAGCGCCGCGCGGGGCAGCGCGGGTGCGGGGACGGTCGCCCGACGGCTTCCGCGCGGAATACTGCGGCGCGACGGCCGTTTAAGGACTTCCGGACTCAGGCAGCTGGTGGCCAGTATCACCCCGCGATCGCCTCCGTAAGCGCGCTCGCTTGTGCGGCACACCGAGGGGGTTGTAATAGGTGCTACAAACACCTAAAGCTGTAAAACGAAGCGGCCGCGCGTCCAAAATAGCGGCCAGCAGGGCGATGATCGAGCTTCTGTTTTTTGGTTGGAGATTTTTTCAAGGCCTCTGCGCCGCCTCGCCAGCCCTCCGTGAGCTCGGAGAAAGGTGCCATTTGCCGTTTTGGGGACCCGGCGCGCAGGGAGATGCTCTCCAGCTGAGGGGATTGCTTGCTTGATTGCGCGGCCCCATCGGCCCCATCGGCAAGCTACGCGATGCGCATGTCACCCAGAATCACCGCTTCGCTCGCCACGGTACTTTTCTCCAGCGCTGCGGCCCTCCACATCGCCATCACCGGCACCTCCCAAGGGATAGGGCTGGACGCAGCCAAACGGCTGATCAGGGATGGTCATACGGTCTACCACTTAAACCGGAATAGCGCGCGCTCCGCCGAGGCGGCCCAACAGGCCGGCGGCGGCGTGCCCATGGTCTGCGACCTCGCGTCGCTCGCGTCGGTGCGCGCGTTTGCCGACGAGCTCGCGGGCAAGGAGCTCGACGTTCTATGTTTGAACGCGGGCATCGCCCCCAGCACAAAGGCCGAGGCCCCGGACAAAACCGCAGATGGCTTCGAAAGCTGCATCGGCACGAACCACCTAGGGCATTTCCTTCTGGCCAACTTGCTAGCCCCAAAAGTCTCTAGGATAGTCGTGACGGCGTCGTCGGTCCACGATCCCGAGCAGCCCGGCGGCGCCGTCGGCGGCAAGGGCGGCGCGACGCTGGGGGATTTGAGCGGCCTTGGACCGTTGACGACAGGCGGGCCGACGATGGTCGACGGCGCCGCGCTGCGTGGAAATCAAATTTCAGGCGCCCCACCTCGTCGCGACTGCGTCTGCTCGATGGTGTGGAGTTTTCACGCCATCGACGCGACGTTGTCTCCGTGACCGCGTCGGCTCGATGGCGTGGAGGTTCCACGCCATCGACGCGACGTTGTCTCCGTGACCGCGCCGGCTCGACTGCGTAGAGGATAACCTAGCTCACTGGTTGATTTCCACAGGCGCCGTGGCCTACGACGGCTCCAAGGTCTACAAAGACTCGAAATTATGTAACGTCCTCTTCTGCCGCGAGGCGAAGAAGCGCCTGCCAAATGTGGACGTGCGGTCGCTCAACCCCGGCTTCATCCCGACCTCGGGATTGTTTCGCGCGCCGCGGGAAGACAACTTCTTCGGCGCGACGGCCTTCGCGTTCTTCGCGGGGCTCGCCGGCTTCGCGGTGCCGATCGACGTCGGCGGCGAGCGCCTCGCCTACGTGGCCACGTCCGACGACGTGCCGCGCGGCGCATACCTCTCCGCCGAGACGGGCTCAAAGGCCGCGACGTACGCGGAGGGCTTCGACGACGGCTTGATCAGCCCCGAGGGCCAGGACGAAGCCCTCGCGGCGCGGCTCTGGGACCGGTCCCGCGAGCTCGTAGGCGCCTAACTTGAAAAAATAAAAAAGACAGTGACCGCGACAGCGACTGTTGCGCGTACCGTTGCGCGTCGACGTCGTGGGGGCGACGCCATCGATGAGCCGCAGATAGACAACACAGGGAACTTACGCCGCCGGCCGATACACCAAAGGTCCCCCCCACACTTTCCCAACGGGCGTCCGCACGTCCTCGAAGCACCGCGCCCACGTCGCGTGAATCTCCATGCCGCACGCCTCCCTCAATGACACGTTGCGCCCCGACGCGTGGGCGAGGAGCGCCTTCTGCCTCAACGTCAAAAAACGTAAAAACGAAGGCGAGTCGCGCACGCGTCTTTCGTAGGTCGACCAACTCTGATCGACCCTCCCGTTCCAGTCGTTCTCCGCTAATAAACCAGGCTTCGCGTCCGTGACGTAGGGCGCGGCATCGCGGGGATAGAGCCACTTGTCAAAAGTCGCTCGGACAAAATCGTCAGCGTCGCGGTCCCGCAGCGTCTTTTGTGGAATGCTACACGTCCCGAGCTTGTGCGACGCGACGCCCATGACCGGCCTTTGATGGTTCGGCACGACCTGGAAGTCGTAGCGGGCGCGCCACTCTTCACTCATCAGCGCGAAGCCCATCAGATTCGAGTACTCGCTCGGCCGCCAGCCTTTCTTCAGCAGTTGGGAGACGGCGCGCCACCAATTTTGTGGAGAGTAGTCCTCCTGCAGCACGTGGCGCACGACGTGCCTCCTAAAAGCCTCCAAATGTCCTCGCCAGAAGACGACGGGAAAGTCGACCATGAAATTCACGTCTGAAGAAATGCCCAGGAAACTGTTCGACGTCTCGTGCTTCGTCTTTATGGGTCGTCGCTCGAAGCGGACGCCTCTGACAATAATTTTGTCAGAGCAGGTCATTAGATCACCTCTGATGACATGATCCAACAAGCAAGCATCGTCATCCAAGACTCCTAGTAACTCAGCCTCGGAATGCCAATCCAGGACGTACTTCCAGGCCTGCATCTGGACGTCGTCGATCGACGTGAAGTTCGCGTTGACCTCGTGGGAGGTGTCGGCTACTTTATGTTCCGCTATCAGTGCTGAAAGGTCGAAGGGCCGGGCCACCGGTTTTGATAAACATGTCGCCCTCTGCAAACATTGCACGAGCCGCTGGACGGGCCGCGCCGTCCTCTGATCATTCTCGTGCAGGACGACCAACCGGTGCTCGGGCGGCCAATAGCTCAAAAACGTGTTATAAAAGTCGCGCGCGAATAACGAGTGGTCCCCTTGCTTATTGGATATGCTGCGGAAGGACGTGAACACCTCAAACTTCGGCAGTTTCCGGGACGCGCAGGCGAGGTATTGGTCTTGTAGGCGCAGGGGGGACCAGGCCCACGCTGTGGCGGCCAGCAGCAGCCCGAGGCGCATGCCGGGCAGCGTTATTCGTGGCGCATGGGGCCTGGAGGTGTTGCTGGCTGCTCAGTATGCGACGGCTCGCGACGATGGCGTGCAGCGCACGCGTTTCGCGTCGTCCCAGCTTTGCTAGTACCTTACTGCAGCTAGAACGAAAGAAATAAAGCTTGTGTGCGAGCTAGCGAGCGAGATCACGAGCCCCAGAGCCCAATCTCTCTGGATTACATCGGCACACAATAGAGCTGAACGACGCGCGACGCGGGATCGATCCAGCAGCGCTAGAGACCACCTCTACAAAATGGCAGAGCGCTGCAGCGCGCCGAGCGACGGCGACGGCGACGACACCAATGCCCAGCGCGCGAAGCGACGACGCGCGGCGCCCAATCCGTCGACGCAAGCCATCGACGCCGCCGACCTGCGGCTGCTGGAGAGTCTCTTCGCGCGCGACGTCGACAGCGTTCCCTCGGATGATGACACCCCCCGGATGGAGCTGCGCGACTTCCGGTTTTTGGCCAGAGGGCACAAGGGCGTCGTCTACGTAGCGAATTATTCGTGTGCGGGCCGCACCGGCCGCGTCGCGATCAAGGTTTGCAGGGGAGGCGGGGCGAGGCAGGAGGAGCGGTGGCTGCGCAGGTGCAACGAACTGGGCATCGGCGCCTCGTTAGTATCTTACGAATGGAAAGATTGCGTGGCCATGGAGTACGTCGAGGGCCCGAGCATCGGCGAGGCGCTGGACGGCGCCGTGCCTCCGGGCGTCCTCTTCAAAGCCCTGCGGGACTTGCTCGGCCAGTGCGCGCGGCTCGATCAACAGGGAATAGACAAGCGGGAGATGAACCGCTGCCAGAAGCACGTCATCGTCTCGCGAGAAGGCCGGAGCACGCTCCTCGACTTCGAGCGGTGCCAGGAGTCGGCCAAGCCCTCGAACGTGACGGGCCTCGCGCAGTACCTCACCCAAGCCTGGGCCGTGGGCAAGCTGCGCGGCGCCGGCGCGTCCGTCGATGTCGACGCCGTGCGCGCGGCCTGCAAGTCGCACAAGAAGGCGCCTTCGCCGAAAACCGTGGCAGCCGTCGAAAGGGCTCTAGGCATCAAGGCGGCGCCGTGGCGCAGCGAGACGGACCCGGCGACGGGCCGGACGGTCTTTACGAACGGGCTCGAGAGGCGCGACACCTGGCCCAGGCCGCCGCCGTCGCCGCCCCAGACCGCCACGTCCCCCGCTGGTCGACGGCGATGGCTTCGTCCTCCCGAGCATGGAGCAGGTTGAGAAGTGGCAGGGAGAATGGGAGGAGGAATGCGCGTGCCAGGGCATAGCGCCGTGGGATGCGTAACAAGATTGTTCTGTTCACACAACTACTACATTACCCTGATAAACGCCCCCGGCTCCGCGTTCGAGATCTCGACGAGCGCCACGACGTCCGCGAGGCTTCGGACCGTGCCGTTCTCGATGTCGGCCGCGGACTTGCCCTCGTAGTCCGGCGCCTGCACCCAGTCCTGGTAGGCGACCACTTTCTCGTTGCCGGATCGATCCAACAGCAACGCCTGAAAACCGAACGCACGCGCGCCACAGAAATCACACGCGAGCGAATCACCAACATGTAACACCTCGTCGCGCTTCAGATCGGGCAGCCAAAACTTGGCTTGCCGGAAGGCGTCCTCGAAGATTTCCGGATCCGGCTTCTCGTGGCCTACGTCCTGCGACGATGCGAAGAACTTGAACCGCTCGTGTATGCCCAACATCGGCAGCACCGAGGCCGAGTGGCGGTTCGGCGTATTGCTACAGATGCCGAGGAGGTACACGTCGGAGATTTTGTCGAGGAATACGGCCGCGTCGGGCAGCACCTCGTAGCCCTTGGGCGAGCCGAAGTGCTGGTAGACGCGGCGGAACCAGCGGTCGAAGTCCTCCTCCGCGTACGACCTTCCACACAACTCCATCACGCGGCGCGCGGTGCCGCGCCACCAGTCGCGGCCACTAATGCCCTCGGCGCCGCCGAAGCACGGGCTCTCCAAACAACGCTCCTTGTAGGCCTGCTTAAACGCTGGCTTCATCTCGTCTACCGAAGGAGGATCATTCAACCGCGCCCAGACCGCGGCGTCGACGTAATGCTGCACCACTGAGCCTTTGTGCGTGACGAGGGTGCCCGTGATGTCCAACGAGATGGCGCGCACGGGTCGCAGGCCGCTTGTGCGCTGCAGCAGCGCGAGGAGCACGCATGCGTGCATTGAGCTCATGGCTCTCACGGCGGTGTAGACTATCTGCGCAGCTCTCTCGCGCAGGCTGCTGCACTGAAGGCTGCACTAGCCCTAGAAATAGCACAATTAAGAATCTGCACTCTGCTTAGAGCTACTTTAGCCCAGTGCTGGTGCAAAACCAGACTGCAGCCGAGCTTGCTAGTGCCTTTACAGGCCGCTAGCACTTGATCGGTGAAGTGCGGCACCTGTCCCCCCAGGGCCGCCAACTAGTCCTAGCAACGTAACAATAGACGCCCGCCGGGGATGGCTCGGCAGGCGCCGCTCCCTGGGCAAGGGGGCAGCCCCCCCAACAAGCGAAGGGGCGCCTCCCCGAGCCCGTCGCGCCGCCCGCCGACCCATCGAGCAGGCCCGGGGACGACTCCACGGGCTAACGTTGCCCGTCGGACCATCATATGGCGAGGCCACACAACGTAGGATAAAGAGGACCACAAAAGACCACATACGCATTGCCAAAATGCCGTACGCCGCGGGATATGAAGGTTTCTCGGCCGCCTCCAAGCAGAAGCGCACGCGCATCATCTGCACGCTGGGCCCGGCTTCCTGGTGCATAGCCAGCGTCCCCCATAGGAATCCGGCAACCACTGCGGGCGCACGCAATGACGCGTGCCACCGGCCGCTCGCGCGTCGGAAGAAGGGGCAGCCCGCCCCTGCGACCGCACGCGCGCACAGCGCACGCACGCCATCGCCGCCGCGACCGACGCCGCCGCACACGCTCGCGCGCACACGCCATCGCCGCGACCGACATCCTACAAACACAGGTCCGTCGAGATGCTCGGTGTCCTCCTCGACGAGGGCATGAACGTCGCCCGATTAAACTTCAGCCACGGCGACCACGCCGCCCACGCGGGCACGATCGAGCGGTTGAAGCAGGCTCTGGCCAAGCGCCCGGGTGTCCACTGCGCGATCATGCTCGACACGAAGGGCCCCGAGATCCGCACGGGCTTCTTCGATGCCTCTGTCGGTGACAAGCTGAAGCTCACCAAAGGCTCTACGCTCATTTTAACGACGGACTACGACCACAAGTCGACGGGCGAGAAGCTCGGCTGCACGTACAAGAAGCTATCATCGAGCGTCAAGCCCGGCTCGCAGATCCTCTGCGCCGACGGGTCGTTAGTGCTCGAAGTCTCGTCCATCATAAATGACACGGAGGTGGCCTGCACGGTCTTGAATGATTGCGCGATAGGCGAGCGCAAGAACATGAACCTGCCGGGCGTCGTCGTCGATCTACCGGTGCTCCAGGAGAAGGACACGCGGGATCTGGAGGAGTTCGCGTGCAAGCAGCCCGTGGATTTTGTCGCTGCGTCCTTCGTGCAAAGTGCCGACGACGTGCGCACGATCCGCAAGGTCCTAGATGATGGGGGCGGCAAGCGCGTCAAGATCATCTCGAAGATTGAAAACCAAGAAGGTCTGGAGAACTTTGAGAGCATCTGTCGGGAGACGGACGCCGTCATGGTCGCGCGCGGCGACCTGGGCATGGAGATCCCCCCGGAGCGCGTCTTCAGAGAACAGAAGAAGATGATCCAGATCTGCAACGCCCAGGGCAAGCCTGTGATTGTGGCGACGCAGATGCTCGAGTCCATGACCAGTAACCCGAGACCGACGCGCGCCGAGTGTTCGGATGTGGCCAATGCGGTGTTAGATGGAGCCGACGCGGTCATGCTCAGTGGCGAGACGGCGGGCGGCAACTTCCCCAAGGAGGCCGTGGCCATCATGGCGCGGACGTGCGTCGAGGCGGAGCACGAATTAGAGTACACGAAGGCTTATGAAACCGAATTAGCGCTGGCGCGGAAGAAGGGCCAGTTTAGCGTGGTCGAGGCTACCGTGGCGGCGGCGGTCCAGGCGGCTCGCGATGCCAGAGCTTCGGCTGTCGTCGTCCTCGCCAAAACGGGCGCGACGGCCCAATTGTTTGCCAAGTACAAGCTGAGCGTGCCGTTGATCGTGGTGACCTCGGACGCCGCAGTAGCAAGATACGCGCAGGCCGTCGTCCCGGGCTGCAAACCTTTGTGCTTACCGGACTGCACGGAGTACGGCTACGCGCACCAAAGTGGCAAAGACGAGACGAAGATGGTCGCCGAGGGCACGAAGTACGCCGCGTCGCTCGGCATCGTCGCCGGCGGCGACGACGTGCTGCTCGCGCTGCACTCGTACCGCGTCGCCGACGAGAAGAACATGGCGATGCGCTTCTTCCACGCGTCGAGCGTGCTCTGAAATTCCCCTCCCCCACGTCGTCGCGCCCTCGCCTAAGGATTCGTCACAACCGGTATTAGTACAACAAACATCGCTCCCCCGCGGCGGCCCTGGGCGTGCGGCGTCCGGCCTGCTCCCCCCTCGCCGTCGTCGCCTCCCGACCTCACACTCGGGGCGGCGGCGTATGAGGCCGGCCGGGTGGCTAGGCGCTGCCGAACTTCTCGTCGAGCGCGAGCTCGACGCAGCGCATGCCGATCGCGTTGCTCCGTTCCTTCGGCAAGGCCAAGGGTGGTGTCTCCGGCGAGGCTTCGGCCGACACAAGCACGCGGTCGTCGTCGATCCGCGTCGCTCGCACGACGCAGCGGCCCGCGCCGGCGCCGAAGGACGCCAGGCACACGCCCGACTTCGTGTCGTAGACGTAACTATGGGCAGGACAGGTCGCCAGGACGCCAGTTCCCGGCAACAAATCCTCGATGTCGCCCGGGTCCGCGGCGTAGCCGTCGCACAAGCGGTGGCCGGCGTGCGGGCACGCGGTCTCGACGCACGTGACCGTCCCGTCGCGCGCGCGGTAGAAGCTCAGCGAGACGCCGCCGACGTTGACCTCGAGGCCTCTGTGTCGCGCGGCGGCGTCGTCGACGTCCGCGAGCGCGCAGGCGTCGACGAATGCGCTTTCATTTGTCTCTGCGCTGAGCGCTTGGGCGGCCATAGTTAATTATGCAATCCCCAAAGGTGCCCACGCGAGCGCTGCTGTACTCCGTCTGACGTCGAGTAGCAGTGGTGTCTCGGGAGATGCGGGCAGTGGTGGTGAGGAAGCTCCTCACCAATGGCGCAGCGCTGTACCAGAGGTCAGAATGACTCCACTAGTGATGTATGAACAATGGTAATTGGCGTGAGGCCGCGCTCGGCGTTTTTGACGGCTTGAAAAACCTGTGCACTCAGAGCAAAATCGAGGCGTTGTTGGCCTTAGCCAGTCGCATAGATCATATAGGCACGCCCGTAACACGTGTCACCCTTTACAAGCGGTCAGACCGGGCCGACGGCGCAAATAGCCGTGATGCAGCCCAAACGCAACGCGCCGCCGAGCGGCCGCCGCTGGCGCCGCAGGAGCGTCCTCACCTGCTCCAGCATGACGATTGTGGACGTTGTGCTGGCGCGCGGCACGGACGCCGGAAGTCTGCGAGCGCTGCGGGCGACCTGCACTTCACTACGAGATGCGCTCCGCGACGTCACGCAGTTCCGGCTGCGCGAGCGGTGCGCCCATGTGCAGCGCGTCCTGCCCAAGGCCAGGGCGCTCAAAGCTATCACAGCGGTGCTAGCGGACGACGAGGACGCCGAGGACACGCATCTGCAGCTCGACGACGGCCTCGTCGACGTCGCGTCGCTGTACGGGAGCTGGGACCAGTACGTCGTTAGCGAAGATAACTGGCGCGTCCGGTGGCCCGAGGCGCGGGGGCTGACGCAGAAGTTGGGGGGTTTCTCGCTCTACTCGGCGCGGTATATGCTGAGCACGCCGTGGCGCGGTATAAGGCACATCGAAGCAACGGGCCGTCAGCTCTACGTCGACGAGGGCGCGTGCGTACGCTTCGAGTACGAGGCGTCCGGGGGGCTGCTGCTGGGCGTCGAGATCCTCTCGTCGCGCTGGCTGTTCCCCGTCGAGGCGCCCACGCTGCGCGTGTACGAGTCCTCGCCGGCGACGGTTGCTCGACCCGGAAGCACGCTCGTCAGGTGCAAGCGCGCGGCCGTCGACTCGGACAGCTTCGAGGCGGCCGACGACGCGACGCTGGACGAAACGGGGGAGTGGACGACCGTGTACGCGGTCACGCACACGCTCGCGACGCCCCTGCCGCTGGCGCGAAGCACGCGCGTCGTCGTCGAGGTCGATTGCCGGCGGCACTCCTGCAACGCGGCGGTGCACAACGTGTTCTTCCGCGTGGCGGTTTGATTGCCCCGGCAGCGTGTGGGAGTGTGTAAGTTTTGATCCGAACCTGGGCTAGCGGCGTAAGACACTAGCGCAGCAGACCAGATCGATGCCGCGAAGCTCTGGCCGCGCAGTCATAGCAACTCAGTCTGCTCGCTGCCGCCAGAAATAGCTGAACGCGTGCTGAAACCTCCAGCGAAATTTGACGAGCGCTTATTGGCGTAGGTCAACAGTTTCGCCACTGCGCGCCGCCAACGCGCGAACCACAGCGCGAGCGGCACATAATACAAACACATGGACTACAGCGATCCCACGAAGTTCATGGACGTCAGGCAGTACATGCGGCCGAAGGAACAACTCGTGGCCATGGGCTTCCCCGAGGGCGCCGCCGAGGCGACGCTCGCCGCTCACGGCGGCGACGTCGAGGCCGCCGCCAACGCGCTCGCCGCGGCAGCGCCGGCCGCGGCGCCCGCGGCGGCGTCTCTGGCAGCGCCACCAGCGCCGCCGCCGCCGGACGTGGACACGAAGGCGCCGCGGCCGCGCAACGTGCTCATGGCCGAGTTCGAGGGCCTGAGCAAGGCGGACGCCTCGCAAGCGCTCCGCGACGCCGGCGGCGACCTCGACAGGGCGCGGGCGCAAACGCAGAAGCGCCGCGCCGCCGAGGACGGCGGACCTCCTGCAAAGCGCGCCCGGGCCGCGTCGCCGGCGCCGGCCGCGCCGACGGGCCGGCAGAAGCGCGCCGCCGCGCCGGCGGACCACGCTCCGCCGCAGAAGCGCGCGCGCTCCGCGTCGCCGGCGCCGGCCGCGCCGCGGCCCGTCGACGCCGCGACGTCGGCCTACCAGCTGGCGCTCCGCGACGCCGTCAATGCCGCCCTCGCGGCCGTCGCCGCGGACGGCAAGGACCTCTTCGTCGGCGCGGCGCGCGCGGCCCTCGAGCGCGTCGCTTCGTTGGACGAAGCCAGCCGGCACGTCCTGGCGCGGCTCCTCTTCGTGACGGGGCCCTGGCACCCGGTTCAAGGGAGCCGCGCGTCGGTCGAGAGCTACGCCGGCGGCGACGCCACCGCCGTAATTACGACACTCACGCGCGCCGGCGCGCTCGTCCCGCTGACGGCGGAGAGCCCGCTCACGGACGCGGCCGAGGCGCTGCCGGCGCTCGTCGGCGACGAGGTGAAGCGCGTGTACATGGCGCTCAAGGAGTCCGCGCCGGACGCCTGGAAGGCCGCGAAGAAGCGGCACAAGGGCTCGTCGAAGGAGGTGCACGTCGCCGTGGTGCGCGCCGTCGCGGCCGGGCTCGAGGACGCGACGGCGCTCTCCTTTTTAGTCGCCGACGAGAGGGCCCTCGTGCGCGTCGACCGCGAAACGGAGACGGCGCTCCTGCGCGCGCTGCGCTTCTCGGAGCGGCGCGTCGGGCTGCTGGGGCGACCGGCGCCGCACACGCGCCGGCTCCAGGCCGTGCTCCAGCCGCCCCACCTGCGGTCGGCCGAGGCGCAGCCGCCGGTCGGGACGCCGCTCTTCCGCACGCGGCGCCACTTCGAGCGCACGGAGGGCGTCGCGGGCCTCGCGCACGCCGCTGGCATCGCCGCGGCCATCGCGAACGGCGACGCCTGGGGCGACGACGTCCTCGACCTTCTCGTCGTCTACGAGAAGTGCGACGCGCCGGCGGCGCTGGCCGCGTTCCAGCGGCCGAGCTCGCTCGACCCGGCGTCGGAGGCCCTCGGCGTTGTTGTCGAGGAGGCGACGGTGTCGCGGACGCTCTGCGCGAAGCCCGACGAGCACGCGGCCGTCGAGACGCTCCAGAAGGCCTGCGCCGAGCGCAAGAAGGCCTGCGCCGCGCTCGAGAAGGCCGAGAAGGGCGGCGACGATGCGGCCGCGGAGGCGGCGCGCGACCGCAAGGACGCGGCGACGGAGGCCGTGAAGGAGGCCCTGGTGCCGGTCGCGGCGGCCGCGCGCAAGGTCGCGGAAGCACTGGCGGCGGCGTGCCTCGGCCTCCTCGACCAGAACGCGGCGGACGCGAACTACGTCGCCTCGCTGCCCTCGTGGCTCCAGGGCTTCGACGCGGGCAATCGCCTCGCGGGCGCCGCGTGGCACGGCGTCGGCTTCCTCCAGAAGGACAAGAAGTACGCCGAGGCGAACGAGGTCCTGCGAGCGCTCATGAAGCACGGCTACCGGCGCGCCGCGTGCCACGAGCGGCTCCTGATCAACCTGAAGCACCTGGGTCTCAAGGACACCGTCGAATGGACGCAGGCGCTCGCGGACGCGCGGCGCGACTGCGGCAAGGGCACCGTCGCGCTCTGGAAGGTCGAGGCGACGGCCGGCGATAAAAAGTGGCGCGCGCCGAAGGAGGGCAAGCGCATCCACAAGGGCGCCGTCGCCCGCGTCGGCGAGGTCGGCAGCCGGCTGCTCTTCGCCGTCGACGACGACGACGATGATGTGGTCGAGGTCGACGCCGCCGGCGCCCCTACGAATCCGCGGCTCGAGCTCGTCGAGAGCGTCGCCGGCCGCGCGGCGGGCAAGGAGGGCTGGAGCTCGTGGCACGACGAGGGAGCTACATTAAGGACGGTGGCCTACCTGCTCCTGTGGGACCAGGCGCGCGCGCCCGTCGCCGACGCGTTCTTCGCGCCGTTTCAGGCCGCGCCGTGCGACTGGGGCACGCTCGACTTTTACGAGCGGCGCAAGGCGTCGATGGACGCGAGGCTGGCGCAAGTCGCCGCGGCCTCGCCGACGGCGCTCGCGGCGCTCGTGCGCGAGGCCTTCGACGCGCATTACGGGGAGGTCGGCCTGGTGCCCTGGCGCGGGCGCGAGGCCGTCGCGCGGCTGCAGATCACGGCCGCGTGCTTTGGCGGCAAGGCCGTCGCCGGTATTGCGATGCATTTGGCGGTGACGGGGCTGCGGAGTGGCATGCCCGACAACACGATGGTCCGCGTGACGACGCCGGCCGGCGAGCACATCAAGCTCGAGAATTGGCCGCTCGCCGACGACGCGGGAGCGACGGTGCGCGTCGCCGTCGCGCAGACGCAATTGCAGCATTGTGTGCAAGGCGCTTCTGGTCTGGAAGACGGCGCGGCGCTGGAGCTGCGCCTCGAGCCGAACCGGCGCGGGCCGAGCCACGGCCCGTTCAAGGGTTTGGCGTTCGCGGTCCACGACGCAGCGACGGGCGACCAGTGCGGCTACGTGCAGAACGCCGACATGGACCGCGTCCGCGCGCCGTCGACGTCAATCGTCGCGGGCACGGCGATTAGGGGAGACGGCGGCTGGCTGATCGAGGCGCCGGCGCCGGCGCCGCGCCACGTCGTCGTGCCCGCGGACTGGACCTACGAAGGGAAAGTGGAGGAGGTCAAGTCGAAGAACGACTCGCTCTGGGCCGAGCAGCGCATGTGGATCCGGGCCTGCACCGAAACGGACTACGACATCGGCTACAAGAACCCCTACCTCTTCGAGGACGACGGCGAGGGCGGGTTGATCGGCACGGTGGACATCTCTACCACCAAAGTCGCGGAGAGGGGCGGCCGGAAGAAGGGCGTCGCGGGGGGGCACGTCGGTATGGAGGTGGACCCCGTCGTGGCCGAGGACTAAGTAGACTATGAATGTGCACTCGAAGCCACGCGGTCTGTTGCGGTGCTAGGACTCGTGGGCGGAGCCCCTTGGAGACCAGCCGCGCGAATCGGCGCGGGGGAAAAACCCGTTTGTTAGCGCTAGTGTCTTACAAAGCCGCTAGCTCGCTTGAACGCGCGTTTGCTTTTGTAGCCGTGCTCACACCACCACTACCCACTGCGCTCACCAGGGTCAATTTACACTTGTCGACTTGCGCGCGATCGCTGCTGCGGCGCGCTGCAGCTGGCTGCTCCCCTGCTCACTTCAAAAGTGCTCGAACTGCCTACGCGTGTTTTGGCGGCGCGCGGTGCGGTTCGCCGCTGGAGACGACCGCAGCAGTTACGGACGACCGCAGCACTGTCGCGACGGCGTCGTCCCCCGCAGGCCGCCACACCGAGGCCGTCGCGCCATGAAGCTCCTCCACGCCGCGCTGCTCGTCGCCGCGGCGGACGCCGCGCGGCGGCGCGGCGCGGTCTCGGTCACGGCGACCGAGCCCCCGTCACCTGAAGACGACGCCAAGACGAAGCAGACGGTCAAGGCGCCCAAGGGTCCGCCCATTAATCTAGGAGGCACCATCGAGACGAGATTAGGAGACCAGCTCACGGTCGGCGGCGAGTACGACCAGCGCGACGGCCAGTTCCGGCCGCGCCAAATCTACGCGACGTGGAACGTGCCGACGAAGTCGCGCAACCCGCTCGTGGTCCGCGGCACGTACAGCTTCGTCCAGGAGCCCGAGCGGCGCTCCTTCTTCGCGTCGTTGATCAAGGTCCTGACCGCGCCCTTCACGTTCCTCTTCGGCAGCCGGTAGGTGTGTCTAAAAGAGAATTTACAGGAAGGCCCGGAAGACCGCGTGGTCCCCGGCGAGGACGCGTGCCGCGAGGACAGGTGCCCAGATGAGGTACTTCCACTGTGGCGCGCGGCCGAGGCGCCTCCTTGCAAACAGGAGCGCGTAGGCGGCCGGCGTCAGGGCGAGGAATGGCGCGCCGCCGCGCGCGAGGCCTGTGAGTTATCACGTCAGCGCACGCCCCCCCACGCCATCGACGCGACGTCTGCTCGACGGCGTGGCGGGACCGTCACTCCTTCGTACGCCATCGACGCTTGGATTCGACGCCGAAACACTCACCGACGACGAACGGCACGCAGAGCGACGCCGTGTAGAGGAGGTGGTAGCCGCGCGCCGTCAGCAGGCCCTTGCGCACCAGCGTCATCAGCAGCGACGCGAGCTGGATCGGCAGCGCGATGCAGAGCGGCCAGAGCGGGTTGCCGTTGGCCAAACAGCCGAGGGTCGCCATCCACTGACAGTAGGCATAAAAGCCCTTGAAGCGCCTGATGGTCGAGGGCGAGGCGCCGGCCCAGTAGGGCATCGTCTCCGTCGTCGTCTCGGACGCGTCCTCGCGCAGCTTGATCGTGGCGACCTGTGTGGAAATCACGCCATCGAGCAGCTACGGACCCGAAATTTGGTTTCCACGCAGGTCGCGACGTCGGCCGCGACGAGCGACGCGAAGACCGTGCACGCGGCGCCGACCGCTGCGCGCTGCCTCGTGATCGTAGAAGCGTGCAACGACGCGGCCGCGAGCGCCGCACACACAAACGACCGCAGCGCGAAGATGATGTTGTGCATGCGGAACTCCTGCCAGATCATCGGCTTCTTCGCGATACGTTCCCGGGGCACGTGGAACTTGATGGAGGATAATGACAATAGGGCGTGGGGCAAGAGCCACGGCACCGCGCTGAGCGCGGTCAGCCCGCCCGTCGGGTCCGCCGACCAGATCCCGCGGTGGATGCGGACGACGTAGTGGCCCAGGCACCAGAGTCCGAGCACCTTGTGCACCTGCGACCGGTCCTCGTGCGTGAAGAGCTTGGACGCGCGCGAGACCGGCTTCGCCTTCGCCTCGGGCTGGAGCGCCTTCATGCGGTCCAGCGCGGCCTTGCTGTGCTTCGCGGCGTGGAAGGCCTTGCTCGCGTCCTTGCCGTGGAATTTGCGCAAGACCGCGGCGCCGCCCGGGTGTTCTCTTGCGTATTCGGTGACGTCGACGTCGAGACCGTCGATTATGACCACTATATCGGCGACGTCGTCAGCTTGGAGCGCTTTTACGGCAGCCTTGTCGCCTTTTTTTCGCAGCGAATCGAGGGCGCGCGCGCGATCAGCAGAAGAATCCACAGCCACATCGGTGTCCGCGTAGTTTAGTGCCGTGTTACGCAGCGCGACGCGCCTCCGCGTCGGCGGTGCGTAGTAGGCGCATGCTGCACCGATCGAAAAGGCCAACCATAACCGGTAAGACGCCATTTTTTCTCGACGTCTGGCGCGAGATCGGCTCGAGCTAGCGTATAGGCTCTAGCTAGCGTCATTCTTCCCCTCTGCGCGTGCGCTTCTTGGATGCGTCTAAGGAGGAGTTTCGGACAGCGCGACTTTGGCAATTGCTCGATTAGCTAGCGTGTAGAATACTAGCTCCAGCCCAAAACTCGTGCTGCGGATAAGGTCGTGTTGCTGCAAAAACGGCCTGGCAGACGCATTCTAGTGACTCTGCGTCGCAGCGACCGGTCGGCGCGAGCGCTGTTTGAGCCACGCGGGCAACGGTGCAGCCAGGAGCGCAGCAGAGGCCTCGCCGCGGCGCGCTGACGCCGCCGCGATGCGCGCGCACGCGGTAGCATGCCTGCTCGTGTTGAGCGCCGCGGCAATGAACAAGCCACGCGCCAGCAAAGCCCTGACACCGCGCGAGTTCGAAAAGCAAAGACGCGAGCGGAGCCTCGCGACGACCAAGCGGGCAATGGCCGCCGAGGATCTAGCAGACGCGAAGGCACCAGGCACGCTACGCCTCTGCGTCCGGGCCGTGTTTTTGTGCTGGGCCTTTTTACCCGCGACGCTCACGTTTTGGCTCGCGTTCTTCCTAGGGCCCTTCAGAAGGCGCCTCTGGTACCCTTTATTGACGTGGTGCCTAGGACGGGCCGGCGCCTGCTTCGTCAAGTGGGCGCAGTGGTCCGCGACGCGGTCGGATCTGTTCCCCGTCGCGCTCTGTAACTCGTTAGCGGGCCTGCAAGCGGGCGCGCCAGCACATTCGAGGAGGCATACTAAAAAACTGGTCGAGGACGCTATTGGATGTTCGATCGACGACTACTTCGACTCCTTCGAACGGAAACCTATTGCTTCTGGTAGTATCGCGCAAGTCCATCGGGCCACGCGCAAGGGCCAGGTCTTGGCAGTCAAAGTAAGGCACCCGAAAGTAGGGACGCGCCTGCGCTTGGACGTGACTTTACTCGCGTTCGGCGCTAGATGTCTGGAGGTCTTCCCGCCGTTGCGAGCGTTGCGGCTGTCGGACACCGTGGCGCAATTCGGCGACACGTTGGCCCAGCAGTCGCGACTCGACCACGAGGCCCAAGAACTGCGCGGCTTCCGCTCTAGATTCCGACGGTGGGGTGATGTAGATTTTCCGAGACCCACGCTCGAGACGCCTTCGGTACTCATCGAGTCCTTTTTGCCCGGGGAATTAGTTGTGGGCATCGCGAAGCGCGCGAGGAACTTCGACGACTTGAAACAGGGTTTAGATAGAAAAACGGGCGCTTACTTAGTCACGAGGGGCGAAGACCTCTACCTCAAAATGCTATTGGAGGACAAGGTGATGCACGCGGATTTGCACCCCGGCAATCTGTTGTATGACGGCGAGATCCTCGTATCGTTATCTATTTTATGGGGTCTCAATATAAGGCAAGCAAGGGCCATTTCAGTAGTGGATGCCGGTATGGTATCACCTTTGACACATAGCGAGTCGGACAGGTTTGTCGGTTTGATCGAGGCGATCGGCGCTGCCGATCATAGAGCAGCGGCGAAGAACCTGCGAGCCTTCGATCCGGCGAACGCGAAGAACCTGAGCAGGGAGCAGGTCCGCGCTTTCGACGATGAGGTCCGAACTTTATTCAGGGAGAAGTGCCGGGGCTATGGCACGGGCGTGGACTTCGGAGATGTTGTTCGGGGTCTGCTGGAGTTGGTGCGGAAGCATCGGGTTAGAATAGGCGCTCAGTACGCTACTTTAGTGATCAACGCGCTGTGTTTGGACGGCATGGCCGGCGACTTATTACCGGGATATTCTGTCTTGGACGGCGCTAGGCCGCTGTTGAGTGCCCACCGGTGGTTCGTGTCCAGAGGCATTCCGGTGCTGGGGCCCTTCGTCTTCCGGCGGCTGTGCCTGCCCGTGGCGTGGCGGCTGAAGGGCCTGTATGACGCGGTCGCCGTGCGCCAATTCTTATGATGAACTAATATCAGGTTTTATTTATAAGTTCGTGAACCTCCACGCCATCGAGCTGCCGCAGCTACGGGGACGACGTCGCGTCGATGGCGTAGAATCTCCACACACTCGCCCGCACAGACACAACGCTATCGTTTCGACGAGGGGGCGCTCGCCGGCGAGATCTGGACCTTCGCCCCGCCACGCATCGCCGGATCGGTCGGCCCGTCGAAGAGGAAGTAGCCCTCCTCCCCGCTCGGCGATTTCATTGTTGATCGAATCCGGTCCGCCTGGCTCGCGACGAGGACAACGCCGACCGGTATAGCGGCTCTTCGTGTGACTTCTGCGAGGTCCCGTGCGAGCATGCTCACCGAGAAGGCTAGTTTTTGCAGGAGGCCAACGACGCCGGCGAGCGGCCGCGGTCGGGCGCGCGCCGGCGCCAGGTCCGCGTCGTCGACCACCCACGACGGCGGCATGCCCGCTTTCGGTCGCGGCAGGCCTCGCCTCGCCACGACGCTCGCGACGCTGGGTCGTATCGCCGCGATTTCCGACGCGCGGTAGCCCAAACTTCTCAGCTTGGACGCCTGCTCGGGCGTGATGGTGGACGCCGCGGCGGCGGCGACGACGAATAGCAGGCGGCGCATCATCGTGCGGCGCGTGACGCGGAGGCGGCAGCGGATTGTCAGCGTGGGCTCGTGGGCTGTAGAGCTGCACAGGTGTCGCGCGGCGGCGTAACTGGTCTCGCTGTTAATGGGTTTTAAAATAAAACGTCACAGCCACGTCCTGCGCCCAAATATCTGCAGTAGCGGTCGCAAACTCAGCTTGCCAGTTGGAGCTTGGTAATGCCTAGTGTGTCTTACATGCCGCTAGCGCAAATTTTTTGCCACTCTCACACACAGAAGTACTGCAAAAGACCCATGCCTTTGACCCGCAGCGCTCGCGCGCGAAGCCATCCAGCCCTGGCGTCCGACGATGTCCTCTCCACTGTCTTCTCATTTATCACTCCCGAAGCCGGCTTTGGCGCCGCGACGGCCAGCAAGACGTTGCGTGACGCGTGGCGCCGCCGCTGCAGAGGGATGCTGCGCGTGCATCGCCAGCAAATCGGAGAATTCCAGTATAGCGATCACTGCGTTGCGTACGGTGATGGCGTGATGATTGCAAATTACGGGCGAATGGCGTTTAGCGGGTGCCTCGCAACGTTCTCGAACGACGGCGTCGCTGGTGCAGAACTAAACACGAACCTCAACACCCCGCGGGTGGTTGCCCTTCGAGGCGATGGTACGGCTTGGGTCCTCTTGTCAGACGAATCACGAATCGTTTGCGTGCGACTAGCAGAACCACCTTCAGACGAGGATAGCGACGAGGCAGACGCCTACAACGAGTCTCTCATGAGAATCGAGATCGCTGATGCATACTGGATCGATACATTCGCCCTCGCCGGTGATGCGCTACTGGTCTTGTATCGCAGCACCGAAAATGGACAGACTGTTTGCTTTATTGACGTGTACGACAATCAAACTGGAACGCTTCTGCGCAAGTTTGCCTTGGCTGGCCGGCCTGAGCAGGACGAAGAGCAGGGGGGCATCGCGGTGCAGGGCGATGCGCTGTACATAGTTCGCCGAAATGCAGATATTGTCGATGTTTACAACTGGCGCGAAGGGATCCTTTCGCGCAGCTTTGGCAGGGGTCGCGTTCGCTTCGATAGGCCCGGTGGCATTTCAGTTCGTGGCAAAACCATGTACGTTTCTGAACGCCATCAAATCCAAGTGATTCGTCTCCCCGACGATGATAGCGCGGAGCCTGAAATCCTACAAGTCATCCCGTCGCCGGACGGCGAGGAGCTTGGCGGTCTTTGCCTGAACGGCAACCTTTTATGGTGCATGGGGCCATATTTTGGTCCAGCGGGTAGTTCAGTGGGTGAGGACAGTACTTACGTGCACCTCTTCGGCCCCTGTTACGAGTATTCAAAGTGTATTACGAAGGCCCGCCCCCGCCCGCGAGCTCGGCGCACGCCTCCTCGAGGCGCGCGCACGCGGCCTCGCACGCCTCGGCCGCCAGGTTTCCGTAGCAGACCCGTATGAACCCCGGCATGCCGCACGCGCTGCCCGGGATGACGGCGACGCCGTGCTCGCGCGCCAGCCACTCGACGACGGCCTCGTCGTCGGCGCGCGGCAGTTTGGCCACCACGTAGATCGCTCCGTCGGACGCGCCCACGCCGCCGCCGAGCGGTTGTAACGCCTTCAACACGTGCTTCTTCTGCGCGTCGGCGAGGGCCGCGATGCGCGGGCCCGTCCACCGTCCATCAACGTCCGCTTCCAACGCCGCCAGAGCTGCTTTTTGAGAACACTGCGCCGCGCAGATCGCGACCGTGTCTTGAGCTTTCAGCATCTGCGGTCCGATCGACGGGTCGTAGGCCAGGTAGCCCACGCGCCAGCCCATCAGCCCGTAGGCCTTCGAAAAACTAAAAATGTTGACGACGTGGGGGCCTTCGACCAGTGAGTGCGTCGCGCCGTACACGAAGGCGTCGTACGTGTTGTCCACGACGAGCCACGCGTTTTTCTCACCACAGAGATCCGCGATGGCCCTTAGCCTCCCTTCCGGGATCACCGCGCCCGACGGGTTGCCCGGGTTTACGAGGACCACGCATCTCGCGCCTCCATCTAACGCTTTCCGCGTCGCCTCGACCGTGGGCAGCAGCGCGTCGTCCGTCTGAGCAATAACCACGCGACACCCGCGCATGTCGAGCATCATCTTGTGGTTGAAGTAGTACGGCGCGAACAAGACGCACGCGTCGCCGGCATCCAACAGTGTTAGTGCGACGTTCGTAAACGCCTGGTTCGCGCCGGCCGTGACCATGACTTCGCAATTCGTGAGGCCCTTGAGTCTCAAACGGTCCGCTAGAGCCGCTCTCAGCTCCGGCAGCCCGGCGTCGGCGCCGTAGGAGTGGCTCGTCGGTTCCCGAGTTGATGCGGCGGCGGCCTCGACGGCGGCATCTGGCGGCGCCCAGTGCACGATGCCTTGGGCCAGCGACGCGACGCCCGGCTTTGATAAATTGCGCATCTTCTCGACGATGGGCGCGTCCGTCTTGACGACGCTTTTTGATGGTTGGGCCATAGTCCTTACTCTTCGCGCCGTCCGCGCGAAACGCAGCGCCAGGACGCGCCTTGGCAATTGCACGCTGCGTCGGCGTGGCTTGGCGGCTGTGAGGTATTTTGGGAGAGCAGTGAGTTGTGCTCTGCCCCAGGCGCCGCACGGCTCTCGACGCTGCGGCAGCAGCTATAATTGATCGAAAGCTTGCACAAACCGGTACGAAGCCGTGCGTACAAGCACGTCGTGCCGAGTTCAACAACACCAAGCTCGTGAAAAAACCCGTACCGCTCCCAGACGATATCAATCAGATCGAGTTACAACAAACAAAACTTACGTCGAAACGGGCGCGGCCCACCGGAACCGCGCCGCCGACGCCACCAGTCCAAAAGACGCGCAGAAGAACGCCGCGTCCGTGCCCGCCCAAGCCGCGACGCCCCCCAAGGCCGCCGCGCCCGTCAGCAGCCCGACGTCGCCGCAGACGCGCAAAGCCGCCAGCGCCGCGGCGCGATCTTTATCCGGAACGGCGTTCACGGCGGCGGCCGACGGCGCCGAGCCCAGTAAGCACGACCCGCACGCCTGCAGCGCCATGGCACACGCGACGGCCTCGTAGGAATGCGCGGAAGCGAAGGGCAGCGCGCCGAAGGCCGCCGCGTACACGAGCAAAGCGGGCGGGATCATGGTCGCCGGGCCGTACTTGTCCGCCAAGGAAGCGGCCGGCACGGCGCCCACCACCGAGATACACGCTTGCCCGGCGAAGAGGGCGCCGATCTGGCCCGGTCCGAGAGCTTGCAAACCACCGAGATCCGTCGCTAATACTAATGGAAGCACGGTCATCGACGCGCCCGCCAACGTCGCCCAATACGCATAGTTCGCGACACACAACCGTCGTAACTCCGGCGAGTCTTGCAACGAGCGCTTGACACGTCGTACTATCGTAGATATGTTCGTGTCAGGAGGCGGCCCGTCCTCCAAACTACCAAGGCCGCGCGTCTCGCTCAGCATGACACGAGCAAATATCGCGTCGAGCGCCACAAAGCCGCCGACGGCCGCAAAAGTCGCCGACGGGCCCACTAACGCAGCGAGGCCGCCGCCGATGGCCGGGCCCATGATCGTGCCCGCGTTGAAGGACGCACCTAAGGGAGCTTGGGTCGCGGCGCGCGATAATGGTGTGGACAGGTCGGCGGCGGCCATGGACGAGCCTGTCACGAGGCCGGCCACGCCCAAGCCCGTGAGCGCTCGCGCGCCGGCCAGGTCGAGCGTCGAGTCCGCGAAGGCCGTCACTCCATAACCGGAAGCGATCATGAGTAAACCGCCGGCCACGAGCGGCCGCCGGCCCAAGGATTCTACTAGTGCCGCGGCGGGCACGTTGCCCACCAACTTCGCAAAACCGAAGGCGCTGATGACCACTCCGTAATCTGCTGGACCCAAGCCCAACTCGCTCACGAGGATGGGCATGATCGGCATGACCGCACCGACGGACAAGCCTCCCAGAAACATGGTACCTGCTAAAGGCCAGATGCGCCTATCGCGCCGAGAGGCCTCCTCTAAAATGGTCGACCGGAACTCGTCCCAGGACACTCTATTGTCTTGGTCCTTGTCTAATCTACGGAGCACGGCTCGGGCCGCCGCCTTGCGGTCCGCTTCCACATCTAAAGCGCCGCCGAAGAGCTCGGCGGCCTCGTGCCGGGTCAGATACCCGTCGGCGTCCGCGTCGGCGGCGTCGAAGCGCTGGCGCAGCTCCTCGCGCGAGAAGGTTCGGAGTCCCAACGCGGCGAAGAGCTGGCGCGACGAGAGGTCCCTCTCAGGCGGTCGCGGTTTGGCTGCATGCTTGGCAGAAGCCAGAAACCTGGCCGTAGCGCTGCGCCGCGCGGTCGTAGCGGCAAGACGGAGCATCGCTCTATTGGTCAACCATCGTCGCTTGCATCGGTGACGGCTCAAAGTGCTGTGCAAAGCTCGGACAAGGTCAGGGCTAGTGTCTTACGGACCGCTAGCGGATTGCCTCGGACGCCCCGAAGCCGTGGCCATGGGCGGTACCCCTCAAACTAGCCCATCGACGAAGGAGAAATCTTAGGGCCCCGACGGCTTGGTCGAGATCTCACCACCGGGCCGCACGTTAGCAACCAATCTGCCTCCAGTACTCTCTCCAGATGTCATAAGACACGTCGCCTTGCCGAAGCGCGGGCACGAATTTGATTTGATTGCCGCGGCCGCCTCGCCGTTCTCGATTTGCAACATCGAGACTGGGCACGAATTCTTCCGTCTCGCGCCCGATGAACCACAACTTGCAGGCCTCGCGGAGGTCGTTGCGCTTAGTTCCAGTCGCCCACCGGCGCGTTCCCATGGCCCAGGCGTATTCGCTCGCCTCGTTGTGGTTCAACGAGCCGACGTCCTCCAGCTTCAGCGGCACCCGATTTCGAATGCGTTCGCGCGCCAGCTCGAGTCCCGTCCTTCGTCTCCCCCCCCCGGGCGCACCTTGCTTGTGGCGGGAGAGGGCCCGTGCGGACAAATAGTGCTTCGTGCATCCCGAACCGTGTGGGCATTTCCCATCGCAGACGAAGATCCTGCCTTTGAGTAGGGGATAAATGAGCGTTTTCCGACACACTTCCGAGTTCCTGAGATGCTCGATGCGTTCCAGGACGGTCTCAATTCGGGCGGGCCTGTGTGGAGTCGACACGTGAGGCAGGCTACGTGCGTGTGATCATTTCCACCCGGGCCGCGGGACCGTCGGGGTACGTCTCCACCTCCTTCTTGGCCGCGGCCAGCAAGGCCTTGCACTCCGCGTTGAAGACGAACTGCAGCTCGGACCATCGGGCCAAGTTCATCTTCGCGGCCTCCGACGACACCTTCTTCTCGTACGCGATGCGATCGGCCTCGTGGATCTGGCCCACGGATCTCTTCTCGCCGGCGGTCGCCTCGTTGGCGCGTTTCCTTTCCATGGTGAGACCGGTCGCGTGCTTCATTTCCTCGGCCAACTCGTCGCAGTTGGCCGCGGTCATCTTGCCGTCGGCCATGGCGCCCCAGACACCAGCACCGGCCTCGTCGCCGCCAATTCTGTTGCGGTCGGCCATGTCGTTGAGTAACTTCTTTCGGACGTCATTGTAGGAGGACATGAGTGCGGGCCTGCGTGCGGGCGCTCGGTGAGTTTACGGCGGGCGAAGATGCGTTTGGTGATTTGCACGCGCGATCGATCGATCGCGGCGGGCCCCGCGCAGGGCACGCGCCAGGACCCCGGCCGCGGCCGACCGCGGCTCGTCCCGGCGCGCGGCGGCGGCGGCGCGCCGCCGGGCGCGGCGGCCACGCCGACCTCGGCGCGCCGCGCCCAGGCGGGCTCCGCGCGCGCGGCGCGGCCGTGGCCGCGGCACGGCTGCGAGTTTGTGGGGCACGAACGCGGGAGTGTGTAGCGCGGTTGCGCGGTGCGGACGCGGCGTGACGCGCGCGCGGTGCGGCTTTTAAACGGTGCGGCGAGACGCGCTCTTGATGCGCTAAAGCCTGCGAAGCGGCGCGGAGCGCGTTTGGGCGCGCTGTGCGGCGTTACAGCGCACACGCGGGCCGCGCGAGGGGTATGAGAAATGAAAATCGTCGGTTCGCGAACGCTGCGCGCTGCTTGGCTTTGCAGAAGTCGACTTGTATGAGCTGGCTTCGCTCTCAAGGAGACAACGATGGTCCCTTGGTCTAAGATAGACATACTAGGTAGGTATACATATTATATGTGTCGGCGTTTCAGGCCGAGCGACGTGTAGCTAGATCGCTATCGAAAATAGCGATGCAATGACGCCGTCCCCGACGAAAAATTCGATTTCTGGACCGGGGCGCGCGGCGTCGCGGTCGAGCCCATGGCCCCCTGAGCGAGACAAACAGACTGGTATTAGACCCCTCCCGCGCGTGTGCAGTACCCGGTCCTATCGGGGCCGGCGGCGCGTTGTTGACTAGCTGCTGACTCACGATGGCGTCGATGGTATGGAGCCCAGCCGCGACGCGTCGAGGAGCGGCTCGGCCGCAGCCAGAGACGGTCGCGGTAGCCGTCGAGCGCCCGCGCCGACGACGCGGTGTGCGCCGCCTGGACGCCGCGCGCCGCGTCCTGCAGCGACTTCTCAAGCGCCGACCGCGCGGCGCCGGGTTGGAACATAGATCCGCGCCGCCGCCGCCGCGAGTCTGGAACTATACCGCGGGCACAGAGCTCGACGCCGTCGTTCACGACGGCTGGCGCCGCCAAGGCGCGTCGAGCGGTAGACCGCTCCCGATGGGACCTCGGGAACGTGACACAGAAGTCGCGTCGACGTCGATCCAATTCGCGCAGGAAGTCACGGTGCCAGAACGGCGGCCCTTCGCCAGGACGCCGCGCGTGTAGGTGTCCACGGCGTCGAGCGCGACGGCGCCGCCGCGCGTTGCGCAAAGGTCGTGCCCGGCGAGGCCACGGTCGGCTCGCGATGACGTGAGCCTTGGACGTGCGGCGTCTCTCCAACAAGCGCACGTTTCATGGTGCGCTTAGGCTCCGCACAACTGCTGCGCCGTCGCGCTGTACGGGTGGAAGCGCGGCCCACGACCAGTGGCGATGCACGTGTGCTTCGGGCGTCGGCGCGCTCAAATGTACCGCTCGAAGCTGAGGTCCACGACGTCGAGCGCGGCGCCCTCGACGCCTCTACATTATAGCGAACTTCCAGCTGTTCGGCCGGCCGCCGCGGCGTCGTGCCACCGCCATCCGTGGCCGCGGCCGCGCCTACCGCCATGGGTAGCAGCACGTGAAGGAGAGAGACACGCGGCCGAATCATCGCGTCGCCCCCCACGCCGTCGACGTCGCCTCTACTCTTGCTACCCATGTGCTGCCCATTGGAAGAACGCCCCGCCGCAAGTCCCCAAAGGGCTGCCCCAGCAACATGTTGCGTGCCGAGAGGCCGCTCCGGTGGGCCGCAGCGACGCGGGCAGCCCTTTTATGAGACCCGGGTCAATTCGGGGCTGACTCGGGCGCAAAGTGGCGCCCCCTATATACGAGCCATATCGCTAAATCGACCTTTGCCTGTAATCGAAAGAGCCATGTCTCTAGCTGTACGAGTCACTTGCCTTGAAACTCTTGGAATCACGCTTTAATCAATGCGCCCTGGCGAAGATGGAGGGTCTCGCGGCGATATCCTTGCAAATAGATGTCGTGCCTGACTTTAACCTAAACGGAGAACGGATCAGATGGGTCACCGAGCAATCCATCCGAACCTCTGTCTCGCGTCCAGGAACACGTATTCGAGAAGTACCTTGGGTGACTTGGAAAAGATCACGGAACAGCTGGAGTGGTGGGCACCCCCTCCTTTCTTTTTGCTCGTCGATTGACGACTCGCCACTTGTGCTTCCTAGTGTCTTACAGGCCGCTAGCCCCGACCTTGCCCGAGTCTGCGCAACCTCTGAGCCGTACCGCAGGGCCAAGCGCGGCCAACCGGGCTGCCCGCGTCGCTGCGGCCCACCGGGCAGCCGTCTGCCACTGTGCGGCGGGCCAATTTTCCAATGGGCAGCAGCATGGGGAGCTGCTGAGGCCATGAGTAGAGTCGACGGCGTGGGGGCGACGCGATGATTCGTGCAACTCTCCTCCACATGCTGCTACCCATGGCGGTGAGCGCCGTCGCACCGCAGCAGCCGGCCGAACAGCCGCAGGTCGCCCGGGGCCGCTGCCCGCGCCGGGGGCCGAAGCCTTGCGTTTTCTGGATGCACATCCAAAAAACGGGCACGGCATTTGGCACCACGCTGGCGGCCGCGGCCTGCCCCGAGCAGCCCAAGCGAAGAAACGTAAGGAAATGGTCAGACGCATGCAGCTACGCGCTCGGAGCCGGCTCGCACACGCACAGCCCGTATATCAGGGCGAGGCACGGCGTCGGCACCGCGGTCACTTTAATAAGATCGCCGCGGGCGCGGCTCGCGAGCGCGTGGTTCTTCGGGTTGCGGGAGGTGGGCCATCCCATGCTGCCCCTCGGCCACCCGGAAAAGAACCGGTCGGGCTGGGCCGCGCGGCGGCGCCTGAGGCGGGCGATGCCGACGATTCAGGCCTACGCGCGCTACCCGGGCATCGCGCACTGCCAGACAAAAATGGTTCTTGGGATACACTGCGGGGAGGCGGTGGACGTGACGCCGGATATGAGTAGGGAGGCGATCCGCCGTTTAGAGGAGGACTTTCGCTTCGTCGGCGTCCAGGACCACTGGAGCGCGAGCGTGCAGCTCGCGTTGGCGGAGTTCAACGCGACGAGCTCTGCCGAGCTGGTCAAGAGCGCGCAGGCGCGGCACCAGTACACGAAACGCGAGCGCGCCGCGGCGATGGCGAACCTGACGGCCTACGAGGACGTCTACGACGAGGCGCTCTACGACGCGGCGGCGGCGCTGCTGCGCGAGCGGTGCGCGGCGCGGGGGATTCTTGTGGAGGCGAACGCGCACGAGGGCTTCGTGTCCAAGCCGATCCTGCCCAAGGGATAGACGTGTAATTTTTACGGTGCTGCTACTACTATTAGTAGGACTATTTGTTGTTGGTTTGTTTGTTTCGTGCGGGGTGGTGAGATCTCGACCTAGCTGTCGGGGCCCCACGAATGGTCCTTCGGCGATGGGCCAGTTTGAGGGGGTACCGTCCCGGGCTGCGGCCTTCGGGCCCGCGGGGCGCCTTGGGAATACTCGGTCTCGATGTTACGGTGCTAGGACTAGTGGGCGGAGCCCCTGCCCAGGGCTGGGGGGGAGACACCGCGCGTCGCCGATTCATCGGCGGCGGGCGCGGGCCGCTTCTTTCATAACAGCGTACCTCCTTCTAAGCTGAACCGCCTCGGCAAACCCCCCCGAACAATGTGCAACGTTCGCCCGTTCAATCAACTTGTCCCGCGACTTCCCGCAGGCGACCTTGGACCGCGGCGACGCGTTCGGTACTGTACATTCCAACAAAGCCAGTAGACACTCGGCCCGACCCTTGACAATCGCCACGCCCCATATTGGGAATACTCGTGTGGTAGCGGCGTAAGACACTAGCAAGATTTCGCACCAAATTTTGCTCATAAGCCAACTGACGACAGAAGCAGCCCACGCGCTGCCCATTCATGCAGACTGTCGAAAGCCCGCGCGCCGTGCCCTGCCGCGTCCATCGTTGCTCGCGCGCCCCGCCCAAGCAATGACATAGTCATTCATTTTGTGTGCATAGGTTACGCCGCCGACGGTGATCATGAGCGACGAGGAAGAAGAATTGAGGGAGTTCTGCGACGGATTTGACGAGGGTACCACCGACCGCATCGTGGAAGCCTTCGGCTCGCTGTCGGAGCTCAAGGCCGTCTACGAGCTCGACCGCTACGTCACGGACGAGACGCTGACGCAGGCCGGCGTGCGCGCCTGCTGGAAGAACTTGCTGTTCAAGCGGCTTGGAGGGGCGCCCGAATACAGGATGACGGCCTACAACGCGCCGGCGACGCCCGTGCCGCCGCCGCCGCCCACTAAAACGATGACGCCGCGGGCGAAGAAAGCCCAGGCGAAGTCGACTGGTTTGGGCTTCCTGGGCGTCCTCGCTTTGGTCGGCGCCGTCGTGGCGGGCGCCGTCGCGCTCCTGCCGCGCGACGTGGTCATGGGCGTCATGGACGTGGCCATGCCGGCGGCGCAGAAGATGGTGGATGTCCTCGCGGAGGGCGGCCGGGCCGCCGTCGCGAAGGCGACGGCGATTGTCCACTAGGTGCTCCAGGCACCGACTAGGTGTTCATAACACAAAATTAAATTAAAAGGCGTGTCGTGCCAGTGCCCCAGGCAACCATTCATAACACAAAACCAAAATTAAAAGGCGAACACCTCCGAATGAAAAGCCACGTCGTGCTCGAGCGCGGCCGCCGCGCACGCCGCGGAGAGCCCCGGCGGCCCGCAGACGAAGACGTACGGCGACGAACATGCCGCGAGGTCCGCGACGGCTCGCTTAACGTCCGGCCGGCCGTGCGTGAAGGGGATTCCTTGATGCGCGTCGGCCTCGCCCCAGGCGTCGCGAGGCTTCTCGCCGTCGACGTAGAGCGCGAGGCGGAAGGCGTCGTCGCCCACCGCGGCGCGTAGGGTCGTCCCAAAAAGCTCGAAGCACCGGCGGTGCCGCGCGACCCACAATAACTTGACAGCGGGCCCGTTGCGCCCCGCCGCCGCGCGGATGTACAGTTCCCGGAAGATGGAGTGACACGGCGTCACGCCGATGCCGCCCGCGACGAGGAGCACGGCGTCGTACTGTGTATACGAAGGCGCGCAGCCGTAGGGGCCCTCGACGGCGACGTCGAGCGTCTTCGCGTCAACGCGGTCCTCGGCCAAGCGCAGCAGCCGCGCCGCGAACGTGCCCTCGGCACCCATCGCCTTTATATCGAACTGGATCCGTCGGTCCGACGGCGCCCCGGACAAGGTGAAGGGGTGCCACTCCAGGTCGGAGATGCGACCGACTCGCAAAAAGCAGTACTGGCCCGCCTCGAAGGCGAACGCGCCGTCCCGTAAGGCTAGCTCCAAGTGGACGACGCCGTCGAAGCAGGGCTCCAGTGCCACGACGCGCCACCTCCGACCAGCTTCACTTAAGCGCGCCATGCGATCGGCACACGCGTGCACTAAACTACCAACAACAAGATACCAGCAGGACGCGGCGTGCCACAGCGCGACGGCGTAGACCGCGATAAAGAAGTGGTGCGTATAATAAAACACCTCGAAGTGGTTGCGGCGGACCTGGTGGTGCGAGAGGACGCCGAGGAATATCAAAGCGAGGAACGTCGTGATGGTCGCGAGCGGCACGGTCCAGTCGTCGGAGCACCGTCCCGCGGACTTGGGCTGGCCGTTCGTGGGGTAGTACATCGGTATCTCCAGGACGTCTTCGGGAAAAATGTGGAGCGCTGCGTAGACTTTGTACCAGCACAAGGCGTGGACAACGAATAACAATAACGTCGCGTAGCCGACCCAGATGTGGACCCACAGCAGCTGCTCCCAGGCCAGGCCGAAGGCCTCGGCTATTATCGAGGTTCGCGCCACGGGTAGCAAGAGCAGCGCCAGACCGAGGTTCGCAAACTGGCCAAAACCTCGCGCGACGACCTCCCACCGTCCCTTCGTCGGGTCCGAGGCGTACTGGTGGTCAACAAACGCATAACGCCCTTCCAAGACCAGGAGCAGCGCGAAGAGGCCCAGGGCGACGCATTCGCCGACGGACCCCATACGCAGCCGCCGCCGGAGCAGCCTCCCGACTCTCGGGGAGACGCGCCCCGCGCACGCTATCACAGCCAGGGCCGCCAGGAAGGCGTAGTACAGGACCACGTCGGGGTACACCTTAAGCGTCAGGCGCGCGTTTATTTGGTAGAAGGCGGTGTGGAACCATGCATGCTTCCCTTCGGGCGCGGCGGGCGTCCACTGGTCGACCATCGCACCGGCGCCCGTCCGTCGGTATTTGGCGATGCCCGCTGAAGTAAAGCCCTGCCACGAGTTCGGGAGTATCGACGTGAGGAGCAATAGTAAAGCTAATACAACTATCAGTGAGACCGTCCACGCTATGGTGTTGGGCGCTTTTGTGGGAAGTGGCTCCGGTGGTCCCGCCTCCGCGTCGTCGAGGAGCGGCTCCGTTAAGGTTGTTGTGGGTGTTGACCGCCGCCGCGCGACGCGGAGGGCGAGGCCGGCGAAGAGTAGGAATGCTGCCAAACCGCCTATCAAGAGCATGAGGGCGACGGTGGTGGCGTAGTTCGACGCTTCGTTATGGACTGCGGCGTCGCACCAGAGCACGCCGCACCGTAAGATTGCTGAAGCGTCGCGATACGCGAGCGCGACCGTAATTAGTGCTCCCGCGGCGAGCGCCATTAATAGGGGCAGTGACCCGAGCCGCGCCGCGGCGCTCCCCGCGCCGGCGAAACAAAACCACGCGACCGGGAAGCCGACGGTGGCCGCGGCGACGGCGGCGAAGTCGCGCTGGTCGTAGCCGGCGCAGGAACGCCACTTTGATCGGTCCGCGACGCCGTAGAGGTCGGAGCGCTTGAATTTGCTGTGGCCAGCGTACGCCAGTGATGCCGCGACGGTGCCGGCCGCGAGGCGCGCGAGGACAGACGTCGGCCACCGTCGTCGCCGCCGCCGTCGGACGCTGGTGGACGGCTCCTGGGACCAGCACTGCGGCGTCGGCAATTCTTCGGCCGCTTCGCTTGCACCGTCGTCGAGCTCCAGTGAGTTGGAGGGCGGGCGCGGCATGGCTGCTCAGAGCTGCACAGCTGTCGTTCAATGCCTGAATTGTTGCCCGGACCTCGAGTCGGGGTCTAAATATGTCACCCACATCGCTTCGTTGCTGCTCCTGGCGTCCTTGCGTTGCGCTTGAGGCGCTGCTGTGCAATGCCTCTCCTGCTTCGAGGAGAGCGTGCCATATCGCAACCTCCGTGGCTCTCACGCGCACGCGTTTCGAGCCGTAAATAAGCCTCGCAACGGCGCAACGGCGCCAAATCACGAGTCCCAGAACGGGGGGCAATACAACGCGTGCCGCGCGCGCGGGATTTCAAGCACGAAGGACTACGACCTTACTCGCTCTTCAACCGAGCGAGCACGCCCCGCAGATACGGCTCCGTCGCGCCGGAAGCGAGTAGCGGGTCCCACTCGAAGTAGGGCACCGCCGCGCACGTCCAGCCCAACCGAGCCAAAAGCCGCCGCTTGAAGTGCGTGCGGCCGTCGAGCGACGGCCCGTCGGGCCCTTGGAGGTAGTGGGTCGGCCCGTCGAACTCGACCACCGTCTTTGTGGAGGAGTTGGCCATATCTAATGAAAGACCATCTTCCGTCCTGAGCTCGTCCTCGTGATCCCAACCTAAGACATTCAACGCGTGCGACACGCCCAACTGAGATTGCGACGGTCTTATACTATCGTTCCAGAAGGCGTCGAGCCATATTTGTCGATGCTCCGCGAGGACGGGTAGCAGCTTCTGGTGCGGGCTTTCAATTTGTAGATACAAGAAGACCTGATATAACTGAGAAGATGCCGCGAAGTCTTCCCTTAATCTATCAATATGAGCAGGCAGGGCCTCGGCCGCCGCCGTGAAGAAGGCAGGAGCATCGACACCTAAGACGCAGTAGGCCCACAAGGTGTTGGCCAGGCCCTGCCCCGTGAAGCTCCCGATCGAGCGCGGCGCCGCCTCGCCGATGGCATCGAACAATTCCCGGGACGCGTGGCCGGCGGTCCCGAAAGCGAAGGCCGTGTTCGCGAGGTCCTGGGAGTTGAACGCCCCCAACCCGCGTTGCAGGCAGGTCTTCGCGATGAAGTCGAAGAGCTTCGGCGAGGACCTCCGAGCGTTCGAGAAGGCCTGGGCCAGGTTCGCTAAATCTTGGGAGTTGAAGCGCTCTCCTTGAGATAATGCCGTCTCGGCGATGGCGTCGAAGAGCTCGGGCGCGTGGACGTCGGCCGCGGCGAAGGCCCAGGCGACGTTGGCCCTGCGTGTGGTAAGCGTCGTCGTGTGTGAGGTGCGGTACTCGCCGTCGAGGCGACGCGGTCGCCGGGACGGCATCGCGTCGATGGCGTTGGAATAGGACTCGACACCCTCCACGCCGTCGAGGCGAGACATGGGACGCTGCTACGTACAAAGCCTGGTGGTTGAAGGACCCCAGCTTCGCTTGCGCATTTTTCGCAATCTCGCGGAAGAGCGCGGGTGCCGCAATACCGGCCTTGGCGTAGGCCCAGGCCGTCGAGCTGAGACCTTCGGCGATGAAGTCGTCCAAACGAGGCAGCAAAGCTTGCGCTAAAGCACCGAACAACTGGGGCGAGGCCCGCTCGACCGTCGCGTAGGCCCAGGCGAAATTCGCCAGGTTCTGGGGATCGAACTGGTCGAAGCATTGGATAGCTGCATGCTCAATGACGTCGAACATCTGCGGGTGGTCGTGCTTGACGGTAGCGTAGGCCCAGACTAAGTTGGCAAAGGCCTGGGCGTTGAAGCGCCGCCAGCGGTGCGAGTTCCTTCGACCGTCCTCGACGATACCGTCGGCGACCGCTCTAAATAAATTAGGAGCCGGGATGCCAGCAGTAGCAAAACTCCACACAACATTGGAAATATTCTGGGGCTCGAACTTGTGCAAGGTCCGACAGCACTGCGCCTCGATGCGCTGAAATAACCTAGAATCGCATTTGTCCGCTTTGGCGCACGCCCAGGCCGTGTTCCCCAAATCTTGCGCGTTGAAGCGGTCCATCAACGGCAGGGCCGCGGTCGATAATGTTTCAAACAACTCCGGCGCGGCTACGTCTTTCGTCGCGAAGGCCCACAGCGTGTTCGCGATGGCTTGCGGATTGAAGTCCTCGAGCACGCGCGGCGTCGCGTCGGCCACGGCATCTAGAATACGCATGTTCGACGATTCGAGCTTGACGGCGCCCCACGCGCAGTTCGCGAGGGCCCGCGCGTCGAACTCGCTCACGTCGGAATTGATCCGTTCCGCGGCGCGTTCGAGCATGCGCTCGACGGCCTCCGTGTTCTTCACGCGGCGCTTGGCCAGTTGATAAATTGCCGTCGCGAGGTTCACTCCATTAAATTCGTGGCCCCTCCGATCGAAGAGTTGTAGCACGTCGGTGCGCGGGTTCGTGAGTTCCCGATTCAGCGCGATGCACTCGCGCGACGGCCGCGGGCCGATGCGGCCCTTCCGGATGGGCTGGTCACGGCGCCTTTCTCGGGGGTAGACGTCGCGGCCTTGGTAGCCTCCCTGACGTCCGTAGCCTTGGTTTCCGTAGCCCGGGCCGCCACGTTGGTAGCCGTAGCCCGGGCCGGGCGGCCCGCGGTCCTCGTAGCGCCCGGGCGGCGGCCCGCGGTCGCGCGACCGCGAGCGGCCGCGGCGGTCGTCGTAGCGCTGCGGCGGGTAGTAGTTCTGCGGCGGCGGACCGTCGCGGTAGTCGCGGCGGCCGCGCGGCGCGTCGCCGGGGCGCCAGCTGCTCATCGCGAGCTGTGTTTGCCTTTCGGGCTGCCCTCTTGCTTCTGGGCTGCCCGCCCGAACAAATGGGCGCGGGGTTGCCTCGATGCGTTCGAAACGAGCAATTCGCAGTGCTGGCGACGATGCTTGGCTGCTTTCCTCCGCGCGAATCGCGGCGCGCGCGATCTGCGAGCTTTTTTGTCTTGCTAGTGTCTTACTGCCGCTAGCTCCGCTTTTTTGCCGGCCCTCTCCTCTCGACCACCGCGAGACAGGTGCTGCACTATAAGTGCACGGCAAGGCGCTGGACCCATTTGCATCGAATTGTGCGGCAGTCGCCAGTGCAAACGCTGGCACCACACGCCCGCTCGAGCAAGTTGCATCGTCACACGCTGCAATGCGCGGCGCACTGATGCTCCTGCTCGCCATGCGCCGCGCGCACGCGTTTACACGGCACGCAGCGGTGGCGCGACGGCGCATCAGGGTGGCCGCGACGCCGGCATTGGTGGTCTGGGACATGGACGACTGCCTCTGGTCGCCGGAGATGTTCACGTTATCCGAGATGCCGTCGGACCCCGTGCGTGGCGACCTCAATGGAAGAGGAGAGGGCGTGATCGGCGTGCGGTCCGGTTCGGATGTGATTCGCCTTTTCCCGGACGCGCTGCGGGTCCTGCAGGAGTTTCACGACGGTCAGCACGACCCGACGAAGCTCGCGGTGGCCTCCTCGGCGGACACGCCGTTTGCGGCAGCCATCGCGCAGGCGGCGCTAGATATTCTCGAGATCGTGCCGGGCGTGACGCTGCGCGAGGTCTTGTGCCGCGGTCATCCCGAGAATATGATGGACCACATCCGGATCGGGCGGACGCCGCCGCTGTCGTCGGACAAATCCAAGACGCACTTCCCGCTCATCCGGGAGGCGACGGGCATTGATTATGACGGGATGTTATTTTTCGACGACAGTAACTGGAGCGACCACTGCGCCATCGTCGCGCGGAACTGCCCGGGCGTCGTGGCGCAGCGGACGCCGCGGGGCCTCCAGTATAGCGAGTGGGCGAACGGGCTGAAGAAGTTCGCGGAGGCGAAGAATAAGTCTTAGTTATATCACGAGAAAACCCGTTCACCTGAGCCAGCCAAGTTTGGAGCTTGCCAGCGCATCGCACGTAAAAAGCAAAACGAACGACATCGAGCAAAATGAAGATGGCACTGAGCACTGTGACAACATTCCTGCTGGCTCGCGCATCATCGGCATTAATGCGATTCGAAAGGCCTTTACAACCTCAGACTGCTGCACCACACTATGCAGCCGCGCCACACTATGCAGCCGCGGTCGCGGAACCAGAGCTCGTAAAAGAAGCTGATATTGATGAGTCGTTGTTCGTCGACGAGGCGGCCGCGCTCGCGCGGAGCACCTTTCCGCTCTCGGCCGACGAGATGATCACGCTCTCCAAACGATTCATCTCGAGCCGCGGCGGCCTGGGTGCGGACCCCGCGCTGCTGGCCGAGAGTTTTGTTTTTGAGGGCCCCGTCGTCGGTCCGCTCGACAAGCAGGCTTTTGTGGATGCGATCGGCTCCGTCGATTTTGACAAGGCCTTCCCCGACTTTCAGGGCGAGTTCTACGGCTTCCATGTCGATCCCTTCGATTTAAACAGAGTGTGGTACACGGCGCGCGGGCGCGGCACGAACACGGGTCCGCTGCCGCCGTTCGCGCCCCAGGCGACGGGCAAGCAGCTCGTGAACCCGCCGCAAGTCTGCTCGCTGACCTTCGACAAGTCCGGCCTCGTGACGCGCTACACGATCGGCTACGTCGTCGACCGCCAGGTCGGCACGACGGGCGGCCTCGGCGGGCTCTACGGCGTCCTCTACGCGATCGGGAGGCCACTGCCCTTTCCCGAGGCCCGGCCCTGGCGGAAGTCGCCCCAGTACGCGCTCTTCCAGGCCGTCGGGGGCGCGCTCCAGGCGCTCCTCGGCTAATATACTTGTCTTAACTACCACAAAAAGCGTCAAATCACCACAGCGTCGCCGGTCTTCTCCATGAGCCGATCGACGACGTCCGACAGCAGCCCGCGCACGCGCTCGACGAGCGCCGCATCCCCGTAGCCGTCGAAGCGCCCCGCGGACCTGTGCGCCCGCGGCAGCGTTATGGAAGACGCCTCGTCAATCACAAATATGGCCAGATCGGGCACGCCCGCCCGGGCGTAGGCGTCCGCGTCCCTCCCATTGTTCCCAAACCCACAAGCCAGGCGCAGCCCCGCCCTTGACACATCTAGTAACGCCTTCGTCTTGAACGGGTTCGGGGCATGCGTGACCTCGCCAGCAAAAGCGGCCATGACGTCGGCGGGCTGGCAGAGGACGGGCCCGTCCGGTAACTTAGAGCCGCGTTGGTCGAGCTTCGCTAGGAAGGCCCGCGTCTTGCCTGCCCAGCCCGCGGGTCTATTGGTCAAGTAGAGCATGCGGGCTCTGGGTGGGGCGACGACCTGCGCCATGAACGCACAAACACCGTCGTGGGCGTGCGTCGGTACCATGGAGAGCGTCGAGTCGAGGAAGCCCCTTACGTCAGATTTCGTCACGGTCCCGTCGACGTCGCACGCAAGCACAAAGTCGCCCTCACGCCAGAGGTAGCAGCGGCTTTTGCATTTTCTAGAACCGCTCTCATAGACGAGGTCGTTGCGGCCCGGTTGCAGAGGCCACGTCGCCAGCTCCTCTGGCGAAGGGCGGTCGCCGCCGGCAAAGCGGCACCAGCCGTCGTCTCCATCAGAAACGCACTCGCAGGTGACCATGCCTTCGCCGTCCAACTCGACGCGGACGTCGTTCTCCTCTTCCTCGTCCTCGGAGAAGCCTCCGTCGTCCTCGCCGCCGCGCGCCCAGCGCAGCGCGCGCGTCGCCCGCTGGCTGATGCTCGTCGACGCGCGGCGCAGCTGCGCCCTCGTGGTCGGCTCGAAACGGACATGAAACGCCGTGGCCTGCCGCGTGCCGTCCTCGCGCTGCACGACCACCGCGTCGACGGCGTAGGCGCTCATTAGTGATGCCTTCTTTGGGTGCCAACGCCTCGAATGGCTGGAAAAAATGACGAATGCGACGTGAGAGTTGCCACGTTGCTCGCGCCCCGCGTTGCGGCGATTTTTTGGATTTTTGAAAACCCGTTTTTTCAAGATTATCACCGAGACGCATGTTCGAAGCCATCCTTCTCGTGCGAGTCGTGCGTTCGCCTTCTTGAGGCTTCTTGCTCATCTTCCAATCTCACAGACACAAATCGGCCGGATCTGCGGCGCTGCGCAGTGCGCGCCTGCCTGCTTGCTGGCGAACTAGTGAAGGGCAGCCTCGCGCGCGCACGTAGTGGAGCGTCGGGTCGACTCGCATCGCGTTGGTTGGAGCCGCCTGTGGGGGCCGAGCAGAGTGGCATCTGCAGGACAGCCTCGGAAGCGGAAGCCTGTCCGGAGACATGGGCCTCTTCGGCGCGAAGAAGAACAAGTCTTTGGAGGATGACCTTGCGACGCTGCGGAAGCTGCGCGACGACGACGCGAGCGGTGCGCTCAAGAAGTTCTTTGGGGATGGCGAGGACCCGCGCGAGTGGAAGTACGGCAGAGCTGTCAGGGTGCAGGACGGCCGGGTGACTGGGTTCAACTCGGACAGTTGCACGAGAGTGACCGCGCTACCGGCCGCGATCGGCGGGCTCGGTGAGCTGAGGACGCTCGACTTGCGCGGGTGCTCGAGCCTCACCGCGCTACCGGATGCGATCGGCGAGCTCAAAGCGCTGACAACGCTCAACTTGCAATGTTCCTTGAGCCTCGCCGCGCTGCCGGCCGCAATCGGCGGGCTCAAAGCGCTGACGACGCTCAACTTGCAACAGTGCTCGAGCCTCGCCGCGCTGCCGGACGCGATAGGGGAGCTCGGAGCGCTGACGGAGCTCGACCTGACCAGCTGCACGAGCCTCGTCGCGCTACCGGGCGCGATCGGCGAGCTTAAAGCGCTGACGAAGCTCAGCTTGTACGCTTGCACGAGCCTCACCGCCCTCCCGGCCGCGATCGGCGGGCTCAACGCGCTGACGAAGCTAGAGTTGACCGTTTGCACGAGCCTCGCCGCGCTGCCGGACGCGATCGGCGGGCTCAAAGCGCTGACGACGCTCAACTTGCAATACTGCTCGGACCTGGCCGCGCTGCCGGACGCGATCGGCGAGCTCAAAGCGCTGGCGGTGCTCGACTTGTCCAATTGCAAGAAACTCGCCGCGCTGCCGGACTCCATTGGCAGGCTCGGCGCGTTGAAGGAGCTCGACTTGCGAGAATGCACGAGCCTCACCGCGCTGCCGGACGCGATCGGCAAGCTCGGAGCGCTGATGAAGCTCGACTTGTCCGGATGTTGGAGCCTCGAAAAATTGCCGGAAGGGATTGTCGAGCGTGAAGGGCTGAAGGTGACGCTGCCAATACTCTTTGAGATCCCAGCATCCCTGCGCGAGGACTTAACCGCTCTGCGGAAACTGCGCGACGACGACGCGAGCGGTGCGCTGAAGGAGTTTTTTGGGGATGGCGAGGACCCGCGCGATTGGAAATACGAACTTTACGGAAAAAAACAGAAATGTGTCGCGGTGGCGGACAGTCGGGTGAATTATCTTGACTTGTTCGAGTGCTCGAGCCTCACCACGCTGCCGGCCGCAATCGGCGGGCTCAAGGCGCTGACGGAGCTCAAATTGCAAGGGTGCTCGAGCCTCACCGCGCTACCGGACGCGATCGGCGAGCTCGGCGCGCTGACAAAGCTCAGCTTGTTCAACTGCTCGAGCCTCACCGAACTACCGGACGCGATCGGTGAGCTGGGCGCGCTAAAGTATCTCAGCTTGAGAGGGTGCGCGAGCCTCGCCGAACTGCCGGCGGCGATCGGCGAGCTCGGTGAGCTGACGCAGCTCAACTTGAGCGGCTGCTCGAGCCTCGTCGCCCTACCGGAGTCGATCGCCGGCCTCGACGCGCTGGCGAACCTCGACGTGCGCGCCTGCCCCAAGCTGACGTTCCCGCCCCCGAACACGCACGGCGACCTCAAACGAGTCAAGCGCCTGCTGAAGAACACGACCCGGCTCCTCGCCGGCGAGATTTCTGAAGGACGCGGCCGCTTTTGATCTCGTGTCGAAGCTGCTCGTCCGCAATCCTAAAGAACGAGCCAAATTTAGCATCATCGACGCGCTCGCGACACACCCGTTCTTTAATCCACCAGATCATGGCGGCGACTCGACGGTGAACAACGGCGACTCGACGGGGAACCTCAACCTTGAAATAGTTAAGCAACTCGAAATGATGCAGAAGACGTTGGACTCGGTCAAGGAGGACACGTCGTCCATTCTGAGATTGAGCGAGGAGCACCGCGACGAGCTCCGCCAGACGCGCAGCACGCTGATCAGAGCCGTCTTCGATGCCACGGAGGTCTCGACGCCGACGGCGTTCGTCATTCTGAAGAAGAAACTTCCGACGGGGCAGGCCAGGGTCGAGTTGACGTTGAACGATGACGGCACCGGGTTTGCGGTGGAGGGCAAGGCCGTCGCCGAGGCGAAGGAACGCTACGAGGAGGGCAAGACATGGATGGGTACTTTGGCGAAATTTGGCCGTGGCGTCATGAAGTGCAACCCGAAGACCATTAGCGACGCGGTCCACAAGGCCTGCGATGAACTGGTGGTGGGAGAGGAGATGTGGTTATACCTCGTCGACGAGCTGACAGGGAAACCCGTGGTGCCGGAGGGCGAATCCATCTACCCTATTCGCATCACCAAGCCGGCAGAGGTCGTTTCGAAGCTCCTGCCGGTCATGCAGGTCGGCCTGCACGCGGCGTCACTGGTCAACGGCGTCGCGGGCGTCGTCCGATGCTTTGGCTACCCATGCCCCAAGGTTCCCGAGGCGTGGCGCGCGGGTGCGCAAGACTCGGTCGAGATACTGAAGCAGGAAAGTTCGGTGGAGGCCTTCGGCGCGGTCCACGAGGAGGTACTGGGCGGAGGGGAGGAGACGAAGACGACGCGCGGCGCGGCCCTGCGGGAGCTGAAAACGTTTTTTGCAGAACGTGATAAACAGGGAAGCTACGCGGGCCTGCGGCGCATCGGCGACGACGACGGTACCGCCGTGTGGACGCTGTTGACGGACCCGGAGGAGGTGAAGGCGGCCATAGAGAAACGCGCCGCGCAGCGACGCGTCGAGATGAAGCAGCACGACGTCTTCGTCGCGACCGCGCTCAGCGACGGGTCGGAGGAGGCCTCGCAAGCGCTCGCGGAACGGGTGGCGGCCATCGCGGAGTCGCGGGCCGCCGCGCCGGCGAGCGGCGACGCGGCCGCGCCAGCGTGGGCGGCTCGCTTCGAGGCGCGCATGATGAAAATCGAGGAGAAGCTCGACGCGAGCCTCCAGCGCGACGCCGCGCGCGGGTCGGGCGTCGCGGGCGTGCGCGCGCTCTCCTGAGCGGTGAGAAGGACCTTCCCCGCGAGTGCTCCCGTCGGGTGCCCCCAAGGCCCCCGGCCGAAGCGCGATCCACAAGAAGTGCGGTCGATGCTACTCGCACATCTCCCCCCCCCCGTCTCTCGCATGGGGTCTAGTTCATGATTATTCCTTCGGGTGATCAAATAAGGCCACGGGCCCCACGAGAGAGAGTGTGTGTGTCGCTTATTGAACCCACCCCCGGTCGGACCCCAAGCGCTTGCTAGCGTCCTGTAAGACACTAGGGATGCCTGGGGTGCAAACAGCTCACAACACGCAAGCACTGCAAGCGCGACCCAAAATTAGGCCAGGGATCGCGAACATGCACTCACGATAGCTAGGAACAATTCTATCACAATGCGAGGAGCCGTGGCCGTGCTCCTGCTCTGCTGCACGCCAGCAGCAGCACTCGCACCGCGGCCGCTCGACCTGCGCTTCGACCACGTACAGATCTTCGCCGATGCCGTCGCACCGGTGGAGACCTACGCGGCCGTCGAGACACGCGCAAGTCAGGCGTGCGCCACATTACAAGAGGAAGACGAGCGCGTCTTCGACTCGACGAACCGCGACGTCGTCGCCCAGCTCCTCTGGGCCCTCCAGTGGCGCGTCGTCGCCCACTGCGCGACGTCGGTCGTCGTCGCCGCGTCGCAGGACGACGACGCGTCGACATTCGTGATCACGGGACCTGGTGGACAGGGCCCGGCCTGGGCTTGCCATGAAAGATGGGCTGAAGCCCGAGAGGCGAACGCGGGCCGCGCCTCCGTCGGGTGTCTGGCCTTCCGCTGCGTCGGCGAGACGACTGTTGATGATGTACACGCTTCGTACCTGGAGACGCATCCCGCGTTAATAAAAACGAAAGAGGAGGGCATGCTCGAGGCCTACGCGTACTACGACGGAGACGGACCGGATTTTGGGACCGTGTTGCGCTTCGTGGAAGGAGATGAACTGCCCGGCCTTACATGGAGAGACCCGGACTTCTCGCAGTCAATCAAGGCAAAACCCGACCACTGGGTCTCGAACGTCCACAACCGCCAGGGCTTCCTGAAGACGCTAGGCGACTGCCTGGGGTACGAGTCGCAGGTCGAATTTGCCTCCGGCGTCGTTGCGGCCGGAGACGCGGTGATTGAAAGCACGGTCGCGGGGCCCTCCGACCGGTCGGTCTTCTTGCCGGTGAACAACGCGCTGTCGGACGCGGGCCACGTCGCGTCGTTCTTGGATCAATTGGGCAACGGCGTGCAGCACGTCGCGACGCGCGTCGACGATTTGCTGATGGTCGTGCGCCGGGCCAATCTTATTAGGCGGTGTTGTGGGGAAGGTCTCGCGTTCTTAGCGGTGCCGCGGTCGTACTACGGCGACCTGGCTTCAGCTGACGTGCTCGCCGAACGCGCCAGGGTGGACGACGCCTCGGAGGCCTACGAGCGCCTTCTGAGTAACGGCTTGGTCGACGACGCGGGCGTCGTGGCGCTAGACTGTGATGCTGAGAAGGCGGCAGAAGCGTTGGGTGGCCTGCCTCACGTTAAAGCTCTCGCGGAGGCCGTCGCCTTATCGAGGTACTACAACGTGCACCTCATGCTCGGCGACCGCTTCGACGAGAAGACGTACGTGGGCTGGGTGCGCGAGCGCGTGCTGGTGGACGTCCAGGGCGACGACGTGCTGTTGCAGATCTTTACGAGGCCGATCCTGCAATCGAATGCGAACGAGGAGGCGCCGTTCCTGGAATTTATACAACGAGTGTGCTCCGCCAGAGAGCTCCCGCGGCCGGGGTGCGGCGGGTTCGGGATTCGCAACTTCCTCGTGCTGTTTCTCTCCATAGAGCTCTCTAGCGCGGCCCAGCGCGGCGACGCCGCGGCGTCTTCATTATTACGGGAGCAATTGGCGGAGTCGAACCCGATCCTGGCCGACATCGCCGACGCGGCCGCGCGCGAGGCGGACCTGCGCGCGGCCGGGCGCGACGCGTCGGCGGCCGCCGCGGCGCGCCTCGCTGGCCAGGAACGGCTCCAGGCCGTCTCCGCGCGGTACGCGGCGGCGATGAAGGCGCTCAAGGTGAGTTAAGTCTACTGTGTTTTTTTCCTGCCGCCCGTCGTCGCGTTTAGGAAATCCGCGCGCTAGCGGCCAGTAAGACACACTAGAAAACACAGCAGCGCTGGACGCGGCGCGGTGCGCGGCAATTACCACCGTCCACGCGGGCCACGCGGGCCAGGCGTGGCGCAGAAGACCAGGTCCTGCTGCCGGGGCAGCCCGGGCAGCCTTTCGACAAGCAGAGATCAGTCAGTCGGTCAGTCAGTCAAGCAGAGCTCCCACGTAAAAAGGCAGCCATCAAATGGACCGCGACCTCGCGCGGGCGCTGGCCATGTTCGACGCCGAGTTTGGACGCATGAGTCTCGGGCCGGCGCGGCGTGAGAGCCCACTCATGCCCGCGCGCCGCGGGAGCACCGACGCGAGGCGCAACCCGATTCCCTGGGGCGCGCCGGCGCGCCGCGAGAGCGCTGGTCGCCCGTGGGACGCGCCGCCGGCGCGCCGGAACGACGGCGGCGGCCGCCAGCGAACACCGGGCGGCTACCGGGGCCGCCTCGCGCAGGAGGGCATATTGCCCGCGGACGCGACGCCCAAGCGGAGTAGCACGCGCAAGCGGCCCGACTCCAAGGGCGACGCCAAGGAGGCGCGCGCGGCCCCGCCCGAGAAGCGGAGCCCCCGGGCGCCAGCCGAGCCGAAGCCAAAGCCGACGGACCCCTTTTCGCGCCTCGTCGAGGACGAGATGTTGCTGAACGAAGAAACGACGCGGTGGGAGGACGTCGGCGGGCTCGAGGCGACGAAGCAATTGCTGACGGAAGCTGCGGTCCTCCCGATGCTCATACCCGGCTTCTTCACGGGCGTGCGGACGCCCTGGCGCGGCGTGCTGCTGTTCGGGCCGCCGGGCACGGGCAAGACTTTATTAGCTAGAGCTGTGGCGGCGCAAGCGCGGGCGGCCTTCTTCAGCGTCAGCCCCTCGAGCCTGCTCTCGAAGTTTGTCGGCGAAAGCGAAAAGGTCGCGAAGGCAGTGTATGGCTGCGCGCGTGCGCGGGCACCGGCGGTCGTGTTCTTCGACGAGATCGACGCGTTGGCCAGCCGGCGCGGCGCGGCCAGTGAGCACGAGGCATCAAGACGTTTGAAGACCGAGCTCCTGACCCAGATCGACGGCATCACTACCGGAGCCTCGGTGCTGACGCTGGCGACGTTAAGCCCTGTGTGGAAATCAAATTTCAGGCCACGCCAACCCACTGGTTGATTTCCACACAGGTCGAACCGCCCCTGGGACTTGGACGAAGCCATGCGTAGACGTCTTGAGCGGCGTATCTACGTGCCGCCGCCCGACGCGACGGGGAGGGAGGCGATGCTCAAAATCCACACGACGGGTCTCAAGCTGGCCGCGGACGTGGACCTCGCGGAGCTCGCTGACAGACTGGAGGGCTACAGCGGCGCCGACGTGCAGCTTGTGTGCCGGGACGCGGCGATGGCGCCGATCTGTGTGGAAATCAAAATTTTACGGCGCGTTCGCGCAGAATCATCGCATCGTCCTCCACGCCATCGACGCGACGCCTGCTCGATGGCGTGGCGATGTCGGTTCCTCACCGGCACCCGACACAGGCGCCGATGCGCGCGGCAATCGCGGGCAAGAGCCCCGACGAGATCGTGGAGTTGCAGACGAGAGGGGAACTGGAGGGCGAAATCACTTCCTCTGATTTCCTGGGCGCCGTTGAAACCACACCTCCGTCCATCGCGCCCGGGTCCCTGAAGCGGTTCGAGGCGTGGAACGCGGAGTTCGGCTGCGAATTGAGAGCACCGCCGGCGCGGGAGGTAGCAGAGGCGCCGGCGGCCGCGCCGCCCGAGGCGGAGGCGCCGCCGAACGACCTGGACTAATTGCTATTGTGTTATTATTCATAGGATACTACTCGACTCTGGCCGCCTCATGAGACGAGCTCCATCGACGCTCTTACTTACGCGCTCCCCGGCGAAGGCGTTTCGCGGGCGCGGAGCGCGGCCCGCGACTTTCGCAAGTCGTCCTCAATTATCTCTGTGAGCGGGTGCGCGCCGCCGAGCACGCGTCGCGCGGTCCGTTCGATCTCCTCGAGCGTCGCCACTGCCTCGCGGAGATCGTCGAGCGTGGCGGCGGGGTCCCCGTAGAGCGCCGTCGCGTATCTCGCCCTCATCCTGAGCGTGAGCTCATCACTCTCTCCAAGGGCACGTTGCGCAACGGGTATCATTTTCTGCAGCAGTGCCTTGGCTTCTGCGAAGCGCTGTAGACAGAGAAGGGGAAACGTGTGGCCGAGGGCTGCTATTATGTTGGATCTATCTTCCTCGTTCAAGAGCCTGGCATATCCCAAATGAACGTCTCGAAACATATGTATGGCCTGCTCGTGCCGTCCGAGCGTGTTATACGTTGTCGCAAGATTGCCCTGCGCGACGAGCATGATGTCTTCTGGCGCGCCAACGCGCCGCAGCATAGCCAACTCGGCCTCTCCCACGGATAATGCGCCCTCAAATTGTTTTGCATAGTGTAAACCGTTCCCAAGAATCCCTATTGCCATGCGCCGAGCCGTGTCCGTCTCCGGCCGCCCTCCCTGATCTGAACCGTTCCGTCTGGAGAAGGATGTGTGAGACGGGCGACCGCCTCGTGCCGAGCGACGAGCGGTACGGGCCCCTCCGGGAGTTCTGGCGCGGCTACGACACGCCGGTGGTTGAGGCCCCTCCCGTGGTGGAGGCGCCGGCGCCGCGCTCCGGCGGTAGCGTGATCTCGCCGCAGCTCTTCCGGCGCTATGGGTACTTTGACGGCGAGTTCCCGCTCCCCATCGTCGACCGCGGCGGCGTTTGAGGCTACTAATTACAGTCATTAACTCACACATCACACCATACCGACCGACGACGGGCGCGCGAGCGGCCGCGGGCGCGGCGACCCGCTCCGCCGGGGGCTCCCTGCTAGCGATGCCGCCCGCGACGGGACCGGGGACCCGTCGTCCGGGCGACCGACCAGCGCCGATCGAATCTGCCGCGGGGTGCGCCCGCGCGTCTCGGGCATCGCTACCCACGCGACGAGCGCGCCGAGCGCCGCCACGGTACTTTGGAATGCGAACAAGAGCACGAGGTCGCCCTTGTCGATGGCTCTGGAAGTACCGTACGTCGCCAGGAACTTGAAAAACGCCGCAGGAAGCATCTCTAGTGATACAAGTCGCGCCTTCACGGCCGGCGGGAACAACTCGCCGAGCAGCACGAAGTTCAGCGCCCCGAACGCCGGGGGAAAGGCAGTGGCCATCACTATGACCAGCACGGCGGCCAGCGTCAGCGACGGCTTCGATGACGAAAAAACGAGCGAGAAGGCGCCGTTCGCGAGCGCCAGCACGACGCAACACACGGCGAGGAGCGGTCTCCTATCGGTGTCGTCGATCGCGGCGACCTGTGTGGAAATCAATTAGCGTGTCGGGTGGCGCCATCGAGCAGGCGTCGCGTCGATGGCGTGAACGCGCCGTAAAATTTTGATTTCCACACAGGCGGTGACAACGCCCAGCGTCGCGAGTAATTTAGCCACACCAAAAAGCACGACGATGACGCCGGCTGCTCTTCTAGACCCGCCCGCCGCCTCGATGATTTCCACCACGAAGATGAAGAGCGTAAACCCGCCCGTGAAGAATGTCAGAAACGACTGCACGACGAACGCGACCGCCGCCGGCCACCAGTAGTGGCATTCGGCCCAGGAGGCGACGCCGGGTAGTTTTTCCGCTTGCGGCTCGTAGGGCGGGACCATTGTGGAGGCCCACCTCTCATATAAATCTGTGTGGGCGGCCTTCGCACTCTCGGGCCCTTTCACGACCAGAGACCACGGGGCGCTCTCCGGCGCTCTTGTAAGTAAAATAAACTCCAGCAGCGCCGGCGCCGCGGGCAGCAGAAACAGCCCGCGCCACTTTATAGCACCTGACGCGAAGACGGCGAACGTGGCCAAAAAGCCACCACACACGGCCAGCTCGAAGCACGACGTCAGCGAGCCGGACCGTCCTATTGGTGCGATATCCGACGCCCAGGCGATGTGCGCCACGAAAGATAAACCAGCACCAATGCCCGCGCCGAAGCGGCACGCGATCAGAGCTTGTGGTGAAGGTGCCACGGCTGTAGTCAAAGCCATGATGACGATCACGAGTGCCGAGAGCATCAGTGATTTGACGCGGCCGAAGCGGTCCCCGATGAGGCCCGCGGCCAGGCCTCCTATGAGTTCGCCGGGGCCAAATATGGAGACGGCCAGCGCCGTCTGCTGGCTCGAGAGGTTCAGGTCGTGTCGCGCGCCCTCCAACGCACCCGAGACCGCGCCGAGATCGAGACCCCAGGCGACGCCGCCGACGCCCACTAATAAAGCTGCTCGCAGCACGGCGGCGTCGTGGGCGGCTTGGATGCCTTCGGCTGTCATGTTGCTTGCCGTGTCTCCATGCTTTTGTGTTGTCCTGCTGCTTTACCAGAACTGTACGCGCGTGGCTGCGATAAGTGTGGCAGTGTTTTCGCTGCGTTTGCTGTCACTGTTATCGGTCTTACACGAGAACTCTGGCAATTGCGCACATCCCAAACCAAGCGCACCGCAAAGTTAGCTAGCGTCCGTAGGACACTAGCGCGGTTTTGCTGTTTTGCCTTTGACGACGTCGACGCGCCCTCCGCAGGCTGGGGAACACTGCGCGTAGTATATATATATAAATATAAATAACTTAGCACAATAACTAGGGCGACGCCGGCCCGGCATCGACCCGCCCCTCGCCGTGGAGCTGTTCCAGCGACACACCCACCGTATTAGGTAATGTCTTCGCGTAGAAGACCGTGGCCCCGAAGGCCACGCACGCATACAAAGCGAAGACCGACGACGCCGAGTAGGCCGTACTCAAAGGCAGGAACGACAGCGCCACGGAAGCAGAAGTGATGCGGTTCAGAAAACAGCTCCACGCGGAAGACTTCGCTCTGAGTCGCGTCGGCACGACCTCGTTCACGAAGACGATGGAGAAGGGCCCGGGCCCCAGCGAGAACGTGAACATGGTCCACGACAGCGCCGCCGCGAGCAGTGGCAACGCGGAGTTGTCCTCCGAAAACTTGGCGAATATCGCTAAACCGACGCAGACGCCAAACGAGCCGCCTATTGTGAGTGTCCTTCTCCCCAGTAAGGCCGTCTCGGAGTCGGCCATGTACGAGGCCAATAACTCCCCAATAAATTTTGCGGAGCCGACCCCGACGTTGCCCAGGAACTTGTCCCGTTTGGACCCGCCTGGGAGGACGGTCGGTGCGAAATAGAGTATGGCCTCCGTTCCTGTCAATTGCTGCACGACGCCTAGGAGAGCCGCATACCCACCCTCTGGCGATAGAGTAGCTTCTGTCCACGAAGACGTCTCGTCCACCGTCTCACCTAGCGACGCTAAGGCAGCATCGATATCCGCATCCGAAGCTTCCGATCTAGCTAGCCTTTGCAAGCTACGCTTGGCGGCGATCGGACGTGATCTTTTTATTAACCATCGCGGCGATTCCGGTAGTGATATGACGAAGAGCATGAAGACTAACGAAGGCAAGGCGGATAAGCCCATGGACACGCGCCACGGCGCTATACTGAAGGAGCGGCCTAACTGTGTCGCGTCGACGAGAAACGCGGCACAGTACCCCACAATGATTCCGAGGTTGATCGCGACGTCCACTAAAGCTACTAATGACCCTCTCAGTTTGGAAGGTGCGATCTCCGTCACGTAGATGCCTGAGGCACTCCAGGAACACCCCACCCCCAGGCCCTGGAGTAATCGCCCAATGACCAGCGCTTCGAAGGAGTTGGCTGCTGCTACTGCGATTCCTCCAGCGATCAACAACCACGCCGCCGCTATTAATGCTTTCCTTCTCCCATAGCGATCGAGCAACGCGCCCGAGACCATGAGAGCGCCGGCGGCCGCGAAATAGTTAAGTGCGGACGTCACGAAGCCCGTCTGTAATTGCGTCAGGCGGAACGTTCTTTCAATGGGCTGCAGGCACTGCGACACCGCGCCGACGTCGTAGCCGAAGGCGATCTGGTTGAGCACCGCTAATAAAGCAACGCCAAACGTCTTTCGGGACGACTGCCAGTCTTCGGTCGGTTCGGCGAGGGGCGCGCGCTCGTCGTCGCTCGACGCCGTGGAGTCCTGGCTTCGCAGGGGGTTGTGCTGCGGCTCGTCGGGCTTGGTGGCCATGATCTCTACGGAGCCGTGCATTTTTGCATTTTGGATCGATGCGTTGATCGATGCGCTGGAGCAGTGATCACTGCAGCTTTGCCGGTCACCCGACGCGCGCCTATATCTATGCCACGCTTTTTTTGGTTTTTTGACTCGATGGGACGTAAACTAGTGGGTATAACTAGCGAAACAGATGCCTGTGGAGCAGCCCAAGGGCCATCGCAGGGCGTCATGAGCCGAACGAAGGCGTCCGGACGCTTGCAAGGACCTCGAGCTTCAGAGAGAGGCTGTGTGCATGTTTGAGCAGCCCTCGCGATATACGCGCCGAGTACTGCAATTGGGGGCGCGTTGCAGTTCAAAGCATCTATTTTTATAGTACAAGAGCGGGAGGCGGTAAGTCTGCGAACGCCGAGCCACAGCAGCTCACAGTGCTGCAGGGAGAGCAGCTCCAAATGAGACGCGCGCGCACGATGCGGCCCGCTTTGTTGATAGTGGCATGTTGTACGCGCGTCGACGCGCTGCAGCTCCACCACCATAAAACCGTGCGACGGCGAGACGTGTCCCAGAAAGCGCTGCGCCTCGACCAGCCCCTGTTAAGGATAGGCAACAAGGTCACGAACTGGGTCCCGGCGGTCGGCGCCGTGGCTGGCGCGACCGTTGTTGGCGCCGCCGCCGTCGTCGCGGGCGGCTATGGGTTGTACTACGCGGGCAACCTCGTGGCCGGCGCGAACTTGGCTGGTCCCGACTGGGCGAAGAGGCGGGTCGGCCAGCTCAAAGCCGTCGGCGAGTCCGTTTCGTTAGCTTTCCAGGATTTACAACGGGACGACTCCATCACGCTGGAAGATACGTGGGCGCCTTGTCTCTTGGAAGCGCGCGAGGACTTTGGCGAGTGGCGAGGAGGTCCCGCGTACACGGCGTACCGGTTCAAACTGAAACAAGGTAGTAAAGCGATCTTGCCGTTGGAGTTGGGCCAGGAGGTCACCTTCGTCGGGTTAGACGATCGCAACAGACCAGTACGGGCGTCCTTTCCGCTCGCGTCGGGACGGCGAGAACCAGGATATGTGGAAATCGTGGCGCCCGCGGCCGGAGCTAGGCGAGATGCAAGGGTAGCCATGGGCGGCTGCACGCCCGATCAAAAGGCTGTGGTCGATGCCTTTGATCAGTTGCAGGCGGGCGGCGAGGCCGCGGTACGGCCCGGTAGGTTAGCCTTCCAGTACGAGGGGTCGTACCTACCCATCACCAAGCTCACGTGCTTCTGCGAGGAGGCTGGGGCTTTACCCATCATCCAGCTCCTCAAGGAATCCCTACCGAGAGGCCAAAGTACGATCGACAAGGCCTCGGTCTTCTGGATCAACGGCGACGAGGACGACTTTGCGCTCTATGATGGGTTGGAGGCGTTATTTTATAAATTTGCGCGGAAGATGGAGCTGGCTTGTGTAGTGGACGGTGAATTGCACGCGAACGCGCAGCCCGCGGGCAGTAGCGACGAAGGGAAACGGCTTGCGAAAAGGAAGAAGACGTCGGATCTCGTCTTCCAGCGCAATTCTGACTTGTCCGGTGCCGTGGAGCCGTGGGCGCCCGGGACACTAGCTGTGGTGGCGGGCTGTGTGGAAATCAAAATTTTACGGCGCGTTCACGCCATCGACGCGACGCCTGCTCGATAGCGTGGTGGTGCTCGTTCCTGACCGTGCACCCGAGTCACTGGTTTATTTCCACACAGGTGGCCGGGCCCGACCACTTCGTGGACCAGGTGGTCTCGCACCTGACGCTGACGAAGGGCTACCCGGCGGACTGCGTCGTCTACTTCTAGGTCTGGTAAGTTCTACTGAGGAATTCCCGCCCAACATTTCGTTAAACTTTGGGGAGAGGGGTACTAGGTCTCGCGTGATCGACGCGAAACCTATACAGCGCGCGGCGGCCAGGAGCCGATCTTCAGCGCCGGGCTGATCGTCAGCTTGCGCGGCCGGTCGTTCTCGTCCCCGGAAAGTTCGAGGAACTGGCCCCAGCAGCCGTCGTCGTCGCAGGACCGCGCGCGCCGCCGCTTCCGCGTCGTCGAGATCGACACGGAGAGGTCCGCGAGCTCGCGCGTGAGCACCGACGGCCGCCGGCAGTCCGAGACCGTCCGAGCACGGGCCCGCGAGGTCGGCGGCGGGGCGGCGTCGGCGCCGTCGTCGGAGAACGATCCCGACGCCGGCCGCGCGAGGTCCGGCATCATTGGGAGGTCCGGCAGCGTCGGCGGCCGCGGCCAGGGGCGCACCAACGGTAAGGCATCGGGCGACCGCGGCGTCGGCGACGCCGAGCACCAGATGGGCGACGGCGGCAGGTTTGTTGGTGGTGGTGGTGGTGTCTGGGCCCGCGGCGGCGTCGCCCGCCGGGCGTTGTTTCTAGGCGAGGCGACGTCCGCCGCCGATGAGTTGGGCGAGGGCTCCGGCTCTACTTTCAGGGCGTCGACCGGGTCCGGCGTCCAGCGGGCGGCGGCGGTCGGCGCGTGTCCGGTGACGCCGTCCAGCGCGTGGCCCGCGACGCGGAACATCTAATGAAACGTGTTTTGTCGGCGTCGGGCGTCGGGACCCAGCGCTGATCTGGGGATCTGGGAGCAGCCCCTCCCACCGGGCCGTCGCGCCGCCGCGCGCCGGCCCCCACGCGGGTCCTGGGACTAGAGTACGGCGGGCGGCTGCCCCGACACAACTCCTTATTAGGTCCGGGGGCTGCGGGCGCGTTTTATGGCCAGGATTTGCTTGAGGGGGCCGCTGGCACGTTCTGAGAAACTGTTTAAAGTCCTTCGTCCATACGTCGGGGCGAGGGCGTCCGGCGGGCCGCGTTTAGGCGTCGCTCCCAGAGACCTCTCTTTTTCTTCCTAGTGCCTTACATGGCGCTAGCTAATCGCGTCTCGGGCGTCGAGCGTCGTGCACCGCGTGGCTCCCTGTGACGACGCATTGGCGACGACTGGTTGCGGCCACAGCCCCGCGCCAGCGCTACGAGCTCGCGCTGTCTTCGCCGCGACGCCTACAGAGTGTGGCGCTGCCCACTGAAGAATCATGGTCTACCTGACGGCCGACGGCTCGGTCGTCGAAAAACGCTCATTATTCCGCCTCTCCCTACCTCTCGATATTCTGTGGGGCGTCATTGATTTTGTGAGCATCTTCTTCCAGACGTTGATTGATCCCGAAGGCGCCAAGGCCGAGATGAGGAGAAGGCCGCGCGGCGGCGGCGGCTCCACCGGACGAGGCGGCGGGCCCGGCGGTGCTGGTGGAGGGAAGAAAATTCGGGGCATGAAGGACACGCAGGGCGCGATGAGCGCGTGCGGCGCGGGCGGCTGAGGCTAGGGGGTCCACTTCTTGTGGGCCCCTTCCTCGTTCTGTGTCCTCGTCACTGTGCCACGATGACGGCCGCGCACTCTACTTTAGGTGCGCGGCCCGACGGCGCGGGCGGCGGGGATGCCTCCCCCTGTCTTCGGCTCTCTCGTGCAGAGTTGACTAATGTTAATACAAATTACGCCAGGCGGTATCCAGAGGAACCGTCGAACCAGTAGTTGCTCGTTTCGGTGGGCTCGTCCAAGCGGACCCGCGACACGAATTCAGCGCCTCCGGCCTCATACGTGAGAGACAGGACCGGCTCGGGCTCGCCGCCCGAGAGGTCCTCGAAGCCCTCCAGGTCGCCTCCGTCGCACTCCACAAGCTCGACGTTTGGGTATGGCTCGGTCGACGCCCACCTATACGTTTCGTTCTCCGTGGCGGAGAATGTAACACATCCGCCGCGTTTGATGGTAAATCGCGGAGTCCAGCTCTCCTCGTCGGCGAGCTCTACTAGGCGCGACATGTATACCGTCTTGCGGATGCGGATGTGCGAGCCGACTCCTCTTGCACAGAATCCCACGAGGAAGCAGCAATCAATGCGGCACGAACGCACGTCGATCCGACCGCCGTTGTGCGCCATCCCTCCATATATGTGGTTCCCTTTAAACAAGCAATTTTCGACAATCACACTACCGCCGTCATATGCCATAACGCCCTTGGAGCTAAGGCCAATCGTCAGGTCTCGCGCATAGATAGAGGCACCGCTAGAAGCACGCAGGGCGGCCCTGGAGATACTGGAGAGCCAGCAGTTTTCTACGTCGACGCGCGCCCCGTCTTGCGCGTCGATGGCGAAGGGCAAGAACAGAGGGCCTGGGTCCTCGGGTACGTCCTCGTCGAGTTCCTCACCGACCCACGCGAGCCCGCGTAGCTCGAGGCGCACGTCTGCTCCAGAGGCCACGACCGCACCCAAGGTGTCGCGAGCATACAGCTGCGGATTGTCGCCGTCTGAGTCGGACTCTTCTCCGTCGCCGCCCGAGAATCTATTCCTGTTGACGTAGACGTAGGCGCCGTGAGACGGACGGCCGAGCGCCCGCTCGAGCTGTCCGTGACTGTAGTGCTGCCCCGGCGGCACGTTGTCACTCCTGTAGCGGCCGAAGCGCCGCCGCGACACCGCCGCGATCGTCACATGAAACGGCGGCGCGACGATCGGCGCCTGGAGCTCGACGCTCTCCGTGAGCAGCACGACATCGCCCTCGCGCGCCGCGGCGACCGCGTTCTCGAGCCGCGGAATGTCACCGGGGCACTTGATCAGGCGCCGCCGCCGCGGCGCGAGGATTGCTTTGAGCGAGAGCCCACCGCATGTGTGCTGAGTGCCCGACCCGGATAGCGTGTACAAGCGGCCGGGAACGACGCCGAGCTTGGGCAGGAACGATAGGATGTAGGAGACGGAGTCCCCGTCGAGTGCCGTCGCGAGCGCGTGGCGGCGCTGCGCGCGCGTGCGCGGCATCTTTTTATGGATACGAGCGCTTGACGACGAGCGCTTGACCGAGAGCGGCCTGTCGCGGTTGCTATCGCGCCGCGCGCGCAGTATTGACTGCTCTTTGAGAGGCGCCTTGTGCCTACTTGGCTTGAGAGCCGACGGAGAGCCGCAGCGCTAGCTGCAGCGCTGTCGCTGCACGAATGCGACTAATGCAGTCGCTGCGCAAGCGTATAAGCCGCTTTTGTGTGTGCGGCGCTTGACCTAGCGGTACTAACATACTAGCAACATCGATAAAATTTTTTGGTGTGGCACCGCCCCTCAAACGCTGCCCCGTTGCACGCACAGATGCTCCTCCCATAAAAAATGCGCCGCTTCCTCCTCCTCGCAGCGCTGCACCATGCAGCAGCGAAGGACGCCGTCGCCGTGCTCCTCACGACCAAACCATCAGGCAAAGCTGATGGATGGAGCCCTAGAAGCGTGAAAGCTGGCAAGGCGACGGAGGCCTGCGCAAGCGGTCCTTCGCTCTGTGCGGTGTTAGTACTGCGAGCCACGGTCCGCCAGTACGGGAACATACCTGATGCGGATTTCGTCGCACTGGTAGATAAACCGTGTCCACCACAGCTCAAAGTATCCCTGGTCGAGAACGATATAATACCGAAGGAGATGGACTTCGGCGATAAGAAACGTTCCAAGCTGTTCGGCGACTATTTATTGATGCGGAAATATTACATTTTCACGCTGACGGAATACGACAAGGTACTCCTGTTGGACACGGACACGATTGTGGTCGGTTCTCTGAGGCATCTCTTCGTAAACAAAGCGTCCTGCGGCAACGCCCTGTCTTCCACAGATGCTGATGAACGGGACCGGTGTTGGCCAGAAACGGACGACGTCTGTCAGGCACAACCCGTCGCATTAGCGCAGCAGACGGTGGGCACGCCCATCCTCACGGCGTTTTTCTTGGCCTATCCGTCACAAGAGACGTGGGACTCATTATCAAATGAACTGTATCGCGTGTGCGGCGGCGGCGCGATTTGCAACAAGCGAAGGATCTACGCTCTTGGTTGGTTGGCGAATCACACGACGCCGCCACCGAGTGGCGCGCGCTTCGGATTGAATGCCTACAACGTTACGACCTACAAACCGCACGCCTGGGCCATGCGGAAAGCGCAAACGGGCCGAAGGCGCTTCCGCATCGGCGCGTCGCCCTGGGAGGGCATGGGCGCGGGCTTCACGGACCAGGGCTTCGCGGAACACTTTTTTGCACTACAAAACAAGAATTTGTACTCCGTCAGCCATCGGACGTGCAAGCTGAAATATGTGCATTTTAACATGCCTCCGAAGCAGACATCGGTGTCTTGTATCTCAACGGTTTGGGGGTCTGCGGCGGTTTCACGCCATCGACGCGCGTCGTCTCCAGGAGAGAAGGCGGGGGGTGGTCTCTTTTCCGATTTTAAGGCCGTTCGGACCGCGACGGGTCCGTCCACGCAGGCCCTGGTTCTGCCCCGGCAAGCACTGCCAGAAACATGCTGCTTACAGGGAGTCCGACGAAGTGGATTTGAGATGGGGCGGCCACAAGTGCGCCCAGGACTGGTGGTGGCAGTACGTGCTCCATCGCAAGTCCTTCGCGTCGCCGCCGCAAAGTTGCGCGGCGAAGTGTTTGTACGCCCTCGACCAGAAGCAGGCGGGGCGCGCGTCGTTCACGGACGCAACGATGGCGAATTTCACGCCAAAATGCAAGGACTGGGACGAGCGGTGGCCGCCCCTCGACGCGTCGCTGCGGCCGCCCGACGCGCACCGGGCGTCCTTGTTCGCGCCGTTCGTGTGATCTGCGCGACGGCGTTTTGTTGTTTTGTAATTATCTTAGCTTATTCGTCCGGGCGTCGAACGGGGCGGTGGTCGCGCCGGGTGCTCCCGCCTCGGAGGACGCCGTGGCTGGTCTGCGCGATACCTTCGGCGTATGTGGAATCCGGAGGGAGGCTGAGTAGGACTGAACGCAAAATTTGCTTCCTAGTATGTCTTGCAGCACGCTAGCTGAGCGACGCCGGCGCACCGAAGGGCAACAGCGCGATAAACATGCGCATCTGCAAGCTAGCACTCCTTTGCCATGCCGCGCGAGCGCTGCAGGCGCCGCCGCGCCGAGCCCTAAGCTGCCGACCGAGCGCAGCAGCGCCCTTCAGCGCCGAGCTCCCAGACCTCGCACCGTCGCTGCAAGAAGCACTAAAGCAGAGAAACATCCAGACGCCCACACCAATACAAAAAGTAGCTCTGCAACCCTTACGAGACGGCGCGTCCGCCGTGCTGGCGGCCGAGACCGGCAGCGGCAAGACGTTAGCGTTCTTAGTACCAACTTTACAGCGCGCCCTAGAAACGGATTCAGCCGTACTGGTGCTGGCACCGACACGGGAACTGGCCACGCAGCTCGCGGCGGATGCTGCTTCGTTAGTAGGTGAGAGTGCCGTTCAATTAATAGTGGTCGGCGCCGCGACCACAGCAGAAGCCCTCAAAGAAGCGAGAGTGCTCATCGCGACGCCGAAGGAAGCGAAGCAGGCCTTCGAGACCTACTCCTTGTTGGCGGAGAAGGCGTCGCAGTTGTCAGCTATCGTCCTCGACGAAGTAGACGCCTTGTTACCACAACAAAAAACTGATCGGAGATCAAAACAGTCCAAGGAGCGAGCGAAGGCCCAGGGCAAGAAGCAGCGGTTGAAGCCTCCCCCTGCACCGCCCGCGGCTGATGTTGTCCAGTTTTGTGTGAAGCGCAACGCGAATACTCAATTGCAAGTTGTGGCCGCCTCCGCGACAGCGTCTCGGGCGACGCGCGACGCTCTCAGGAAAGCCTTGAGAGGTGACCCGTACGGAAGGTGGTCCTCGAACGAGGTCGAGGTGCTCCGGGCGGCGGACGCCAGTCAGGAGTCAGCGCGTTCTGTGGTCGTGCCTTCTGCCGTGAGGCACAAATATGCTTTTGTGGAGAAGAACGCTGCTCTCAAAATTATAGCTAAGAGAATCAATGAGGTTTTATCATCAGTGAAACCGCGGAGTGCCCTAATCTTCCTGAGTGCCGGCTCGGGGCACACGGTCGCCGACGCCGTACGACAACTAAATGCGGTAGGCGTCGAGGCCGCACCTCTACACGAAGCTCTACAGCTCGACAAGAATAGTAGGAGGAATCGGCCCGACGGCCCCGCGGCACTCGGTGATGTCTTAGGAGGCCGTTCGGACGTCTCGGGACAGTTCACGGACGCCCTCTCGTCCGACAATCGTCCTGTGTTGGTCACCTTCGAGGACTCCGCGCGCGGGCTGCACTTCGACGGCGTCGACCTCGTCATCGCTGTTGGATTACCAAATTCGGCGTCGTCGTATCTACACGTCGCGGGCCGGACCGGAAGACGCTTAGGGGAGGAGGTGGCGGAGGGCACAGTCGTCACCGTCATCCACCCCAAGGCCGTGGCCTCTCTAGAATCGTGGGCGAACCAGCTCGGCCAGGTCGTGTTTGAGGAGCTAGTAACTTAGTACACTAGTCGCTAGGTCATGAGTATGTTGTTGATCGGGATGTGCACGAGCTTGACGAAGAAGCCGACGAAGCCCATGATCAGGAAGCCGATCATCGTCGCCGACGCGATCCGCGCGAACTCTTTCCTATCGGGTTTGGTACATTTCTTCACGAGGTGGATCGAGTCCTGCGTGTGGGATGTGTCTGCGTCGCGGCGACGGCGACGGCGCGGCGGCGGCGTGTGTGTTGCGCAGTAGTGTGGTGGCGGAGCGGGCGCAACGCGGCGGGCGCGTCTGTCGCGGCGACGGCGCGGCGTGTGTGTTGCGTTAATGCGCCTCGCGACGGCGGCAGCGGCGCAGTAGTGTGGCGGAGCAGGCGCGGCGCGGCGGGCGCGTCCCGGCAATGACTCGTTTTCGACGCAGCAAGACGTACCTTGACGAACTGCTTGAAGGGCTGTACGATTACAGCGTTGACGTCCGACATATTCGCTGCGGGATCTGGTCGCTGCGGTCGCTGTCGCTATCTGGGTCGCTGCGGCAACTGCACAACCAGCGGAGTTACGGCTTCGAGGCGTACAGTGTATCGATATACAGCTCTTCTGGTCTGCTACGCAGCGCTAGGGACGAGCAGCGTACACACAGCTGGCTCAACTCACACGCGGCGCAAGCTAGCTAGCGGCTGTAAGACACTAGCAGGGATCCGTCAAGTTGGTCCGGAACGACCCCTCTCGTGCGGAAGCCTGACCCAGGGACCGTTCCTCGGCACTTAACCCATCGGTGCGGGTTCGGAGATCGTCCGGCCTGGCCGACTGCCAGCATCCTAACTTTTGACTGGGCAGCATCCTTGGCATTCGACAATGGCTGCCGAAGAAGCAAAGCCCTGGCTCCACGAGCTGACGGCTGCCGATCTGTACGCGCACTGCCGCATCGCAGACGAGCGCCGGGCACTCGATTTGACTGCGAGTTATTCCGCCTGGCTGCCGTACCGCGTGCCCCCACCGCGTGAGGCTTCAAACGAGGATCTCGACGCGCTCAAGTCCTTCTACGTCGAACTTCTCCAAAACCCGGCGCGGATCTTCGACGACGTCCTCGACGGCCCCTCGACGGCCAATGACGGTCGCGCGGTGCTGCTGTACGCCCTGGAGTACGCGATGCTCACGCGCGGCGCGCGCTGCGAGGCGGGCGGACTGGGTGCCGAGAATTTCCCGCTGCACCTGCCGTGCAAACGGATCGCGACGAACGGGCGGCTCCTCCGCTGGTGCCGCGACGCGCTGCGCGCGCCGCAGGACCGGCGCGCGGCGTTGATCATCTCCTGCGTGGGCTTGCTGCGCATGGTTGGCGATCTCCTGAAGAAGCCGCGTGCCGCATACGAGGACTTCCTGGGCGCCGGCGGCTATGAGGCGCTCTGGGACGACGTCGTCGCGTGCCTGCGGCACTTCGACGCGCGCGCGGGGCGACCCGACGCGTTTCCGCCGCAAGCGATAGCCGAACTCATGCTGCTCGGCCTTGACGTTGGCAACCATCTCGACCTGCCTTCAGAGGCACTGACATTATGCCCAGCGCGACATCGTGATTTCTTTGTGGAAGCGCTCGAACAAGCGCGCCCTCAGCTCGATGCACACACTTACAACGCGCTCCACGATATTTTGGTCGCGCCGTCGGAAGGATTTCTGGGAAGGGCTGCGAGGTTCCAGCAGGAGGCCTCGGAGTTCAAAGCCCGGAACAAAGCGGCGCGGCGGCGGATCTGCGACGGGCCGAACTGCTCCAACGCAGCGCCCTTCAAGTGCAACCGTTGCGGCTTGGTGTCGTATTGCTCGCGCGAGTGCCAGACCCGCCATTGGAAGCAGGGCCACAAGCAGCTCTGCCGCCCGACGGCCGGCGGCGGCGCGGCGGCCGCGGCGGCCACCGCCAAGGCGCGCACCGGGCCGAGCCCCCTCCTCGCGAAACAGGACAAGTTGCTGCGCGAAAACGGCGGCGACTACATGCTGGACGTCGACGCGGAAAAGTACGTGGCCATCGACTTCGCCAACCCCATGGGCGCCGTGTTCTTCAAAATGCTACGCCTCAAGGCGGCGGGTGGTTGTCGCCGGTCGCTGTGGATGATGTACGATCAGCTTCGTGGCTTTGTCAAGGAGCCGGCGATGCAGCGGCAGCTCCGCAAGCAGCTGCGGGGCGAGTACGGCGTCGACCCGGAGGCGTGCAAAAACGCGCCGGTGACGGGCTCGGTCTCGGCCGCGGACGTCCAGGCCGTCATGAGCGGCGTAGACGAGGCCCAAATCGGCGACCAGCTCTCGCGCGAGTCGGAGACTGACCCGCAGGTCCGCGGCGCGCTCGCCGCGGCCGGCGCGCGCATGCCTCCGCCGCGCTACTCGGCGGAGACCGAGGCGTTCGCGCGGTCGAAGGGATCCTACGACACCGAGGAGGGCTCGGCGGCATTTATCTTCGAGAAGGTCTTGACGAGCCGCCTCGAGCTGCTCGGCTGGGCCTCTCGCGACCGTGAGGACTCCGACGCGTCGTACGACCTCGAGCGCTGGACGGCGAATTGCGGCGGAGACGCGGAGATGGCGCGCCGAGTCATCGCCGAGGCCCGGGCCCGCGTCGAGCGACACGTCCTCGAGGGGACGCGGCCGGACGATTCGGACGACACCGACGAGGAAGCCCGGCGTCCCGCGCCCGCGAAGCCTTCCGGTGGTAGGAAGAAGGGCAAGAAGGGTCGCCGCAAGAAGTAAGACACAACAAATTTACCGAACGATCGTGTACTTGATCGACGTGTCGCATTTGACGGCGACGCCCTTCTCCTTCAGGACAGACGCTAAATGCGCCTCGACCTGCTTCTGGCGCGGCGGCCGGCCCCCCCGATCATACTTCTCGTAAGTGTCCACGAAGTAGGCGCGCATCGCGTTCCTACCACCATATGCGACGTGGTCCTGGACCCAGAGCCTGCCGCCGCCACAGTTCGTCCCGAGGTGCATCGCCGCCGGGCCCGGCTGCATGCGACCAGGAACCACAACACACTTATCACATTCAAAGTTGTGTAGCTTGAACGGCGCGAGTAATTTCAAGTCGAACCGGAACCGCACGACGCCGTCGAAGGTTCCTAGCGAGTCCATGAACACGTACGTGTCCCGGAGCATGCGGAACATGTACGTGAACCGCGCGAAGTGCGGCGACGTCGGCGGCTTCTTGATGGACTTCTTGACGGCCTCTTCGTCCACAATTTTGACGTGGCAGGGCCACGTCATATAATGTTTCCGGATATCTAGGTCGGTCACGTCCTTGCCCTGCGTCCAGGTCTTGGAGACGGCGTCCTTGTGGATGGCCTTGCCGAAGCGCTCCTTGTACGCGAGCGCCACGACCTCGAAGCGCCAGCGGTCGTTGTACTTGTGCTCGAGCAGGTGTTTTCGTATGGACGGCGCGCAGCTGTCGTGCGTCCTCACATTGCCCGCCATGAGCAGCGCGACACGCTTCTTCCTCAGGCGGTCGTCGGCCGAGCCGAAGAGCCAGGCCTTCGGCAGGACGCTGAGGCGCTGGCGCGTGGTGTTCGTGTCGGCGCGCGCGGCCGCCCACCCGAGCAGGCACCACAGCAGGCGCCGCATGGTGCTATGACAGCCTGCTCATGAGATGCTCATGTCAATCGTGTCTTTTGGTGCCGCCACTGCCGGTGCACGGCCTTGCTGCAGCTAGCTAATTTATCGCGTCGATGGCGTGCGATGGGCAGCCTCGCAGTCGACGCGTCGCCGCTCGTAGCGTGTGGCACCGCCGTGTGCTCATCTTGCTAGTGTCTCACAGCCGCTAGCGTGGGAAGACTACGAGAGGTACGCTGTTATGAAAGAAGCGGCCCGCGCCCGCCGCCGATGAATCGGCGACGCGCGGTGTCTCCCCCCCAGGGGCTCCGCCCACTAGTCCTAGCACCGTAACATCGACTACTACGAGAGGGCATGGCGCGTTTAGAAGATACACAGAGCCCATACTTAGCGGAGGCGAATAATAACAAGAACGAGAAGACAGTCAGACGAACGCGCTGTCCGGCCGGCCCGTGTACGCGGAAATGACCGCCGAGAGCCGCTTCCGCGAGTCCGCAGCGGATCCACCTTTGTCTTTGGATTGAATTTTGTCGAGGTCCGACGCGGTCACGGGCGTGCCCCTACACTTCTTTTTATCGGGCTCGTAGAGCGCAAGATACAAGTCGCAGCGCCGGTGCAATAACCCCAAGCAAAACTCCTCGAAGTCCACTTGGCCGTCGCCGCTCCGACCTCTAGATAAATCCAATTGGGCGATCATGCGCTTCGCGTCACTGTCGGTCGGCGGCTGGCCCAGCGCCGACAGGCCTATCCTTAACTCCCTTTTGGAAATGTGGCGCTCCTTGTCCAGGTCGAAAAAATCAAATAAGCGTAGTAGTCGTTGCCGGTCGTCTCCAGTCAGGTCGCGCGGGTTGTGGCAGTCTGGTAATTCAAACCGTTCTAAGAACCGCTCCAGGCCCTCCTCCGTCGTGACGTCGATTTCACTTAGTAATTCGGCGTCGTCCTCCTTCGACGGCTGGGCCAGCCCGGCGCCGACCAGCAACCTTCTGAGACATTTACACTGGCACACTGCTCGTCTCGTATAATTCGGGTTGATCAGGCCCCGCGCCGACGGCGTCTTCGGCGCGCCGCCGATCAGGATGCTCCGGCGCGGCCTCGGTCTATCCGGCTCGGCTTTGGACCGGGACAGCGACGCCCGCGCGCGCGCGAGGAGCGACGGCTTCGGCGGTGGTTCGTTGCGCGAGCCGCGCATGGGCAGCTCGAAGGAGGGCATCGCTCACTCCTTCGTGCGACGCGTCGACCGCTGCGCAGGAGTCGTGCGACCCACAACGCACTGCTGCCAGTGTTTGTGGTGCCGGGTTACGCGTTCTGGCGGGTTGCTGGCGGTTTGTCGCAGCGCAGCTGGTAAAACACGTCTCAGGACCTGTATGCGTCTCGCGCGTCCAGAACGCCGGCTTTTGGGTTTTTAACAGATCGAGCTAGCGGCATGTAAGGCACTAGCAAGTCAGCTTTTGCGCACAGCGCACTCATGGGCGTAAACGTGCTAACTGGAACGCCAAGAACTTGCGTAGTAGATCACTGTTTGAGGTCGTGACGCGTGCGCCATCGCTGCGCCGCTGGAAGGCCTCTGGCTGTCAGATCTGCAGTCGCCTCCCGCAGCAGATCCAGCGCGCGCGAGACAAAATACGCGATCGAACGCACTAAACAATGCGCGCGACGCTGCTCCTCCGAAACCTCGCGCGCACCTCCGCGCGAAACGGCACCGCGGCGGCCCGGGCCGCGGCGGCCGCGCCACAAAGTTGGCGGCGCTTGGCCACGTCTCCGCTCGCCACCGACGCCGTAAACCTGGACCTCTCGCAAGCCAAAGCATTGACCTGCCACAACATGATGTGCGAGCACGTCGGCGAGCCGTGCGGCTGCAGGATCGCCGCGTTCCTCGAGCGGCGGAGCTTCCCGAAGCTCGAGACGCTGTCGCTCCGCGGCGCGGGGCTGCGGGCCGTGCCGGACGCGGTACTAAGGCTACCGTTGCTCCGGGAGCTCGACCTGTCGCGCAACGAGCTGCTGCGCGCGCTGCCCGACGACCTCGCGGCGCTGGAAAGCTTGGAGACGCTCGACGTGACCGAGACGGCGCTCGAGGCGCTGCCGCCGCGTTTATTTGCACTGCCGCGCCTGCGCCGCGTCGCCGCCGACGCGGAGCTTCTCGTCGCGCCGGCGGGCTGGACCGCGGCGGACGGGGCGCTCGAGCGCTGCGTTGTCCTCACGGCGGCGGCGCGCGCGCGACCTTTCGCGGCGCCGCGACGAGCGTTCGGGACCAGCGCTGCACAGGCCGCAGAAAATGCCGCGGACGTGCGCGACCTGCTGCGGACGCGGCTCTCGCTGACCGATGCGGAGGTGGATAGAGTGGAGCGGCGTCGACCCGCGGGTGCCAGAGCGACCGTGGAGCCGAAACTTGCTTGGCTGCAGTCGCGCCTCGAGCTGGACGCGGCGCAGTTAAAGAAGATAGTTGTGAAGCATCCGCATCTGCTGCGACGAAGCGTCGAGAGCATGGAGTCGAATTGCGACTGGCTGCAGCGACGCCTCGGTCTGAACAACGCGGGACTGAGGAAGATGGTTCTGAGGCTTCCGCAACTGCTAGGCTACAGCGTCGAGGACAACGTGGCGCCGACGCTCGATTGGCTACAGACGCGCCTCGGTCTGGACGAGGTGGGGCTGAGGAAAATGGTTCTGAGGCTTCCACCACTGCTGGCCTTAAGCGTCGAGGACAACGTGGCGCCGACGCTCGAGTGGCTACAGACGCGTCTTGACCTGGACGAGGCGGAGCTGAGGAAGATGGTTGTGGCGTGCCCGCCACTGATGGGCTACAGCATCGAGGACAACATGGAGCCGACGCTCAAGTGGTTGCAGACACGTCTTGACCTAGACGCGGCGCAGCTACAGAAGGTGGTTCTGGGGCGCCCGTCACTGCTGAGCTGTAGTGTCGAGGACAACATGGCACCGAAACTCGAGTGGTTGCAGACGCGCCTCGACCTGGACGACATGCAGCTGAGGAAGATGGTTCTGACGCTTCCGCCCCTGTTGTCTCTAAGCGTCGAGGACAACATTGAGCCGAAGCTCGATTGGCTGCAGAAGCGCCTCGGTCTGGACGACGCGGGACTGAGGAAGATTGTTGTGACGCTTCCGGCCCTGTTTAATTACAGCGCCGAGGACAACATGGAGCCGAAGCTCGAGACTTCCTTGCGCGGGAGATTGGCCTCTCGCGCGCCGAGCTACGCGATTGGGTGGTGACGACTCCTTCCCTGCTGGGAATGAGCCTGGCCAACCGCTACCGCCCGCGCCTCGAGGCGTGCCGCGCGGCAGGCGTCGACGCGAAGCGCGTCCTCTCCTACGCGACGCGTGCGGACGAATTCTTCTGCGAAATTACTGGTATCGCGCCCGAGGCCCTCGTCGCGGCCCGAGAAAGTGTACTAAGTGTCACAGCGGCGGCGTCGCGCGCGCGGCCACCGGTCGCGGCGCCGCGGCGACGGGCGTTTAGCACTAGGGCTGAGACGACCGCTCGAAACGCGGTGGACGTGCGCGACCTGTTGCGGACGCGGCTCGCCTTGACCGAGGCGGAGGTAGATAGGGTAGAGCGGTATCAACCCGCGGGCGCCAGAGCGACCGTGGAGCCGAAGCTTGCGTGGTTTCAGGCGCACCTCAAGCTGGACGCGGCGCAACTGGGGAAGGTGGTGGTGAGGTTTCCGGCACTGCTGACGAAGCGCGTGGAGAGCATGGAATCGACTTACGACTGGTTGCAGACGCGCCTCGACCTGGACGAGGCGCACCTGAGGAAGATGGTTCTGAGGCTTCCGCCGCTGTTGTATCTAAGTGTCGAGGAGAACCTGGCGCCGACGCTGGAGTGGCTGCAGAGGCGGCTCGACTTGGACGACGCGGGGCTAAGGAAGGTGGTGCTAGGGCTACCGCCAGTGCTGGGCTACAGCGTCGAGGACAATATGGCGCCGAAGCTTGAATGGCTGCAGACGCGCTTTGACCTGGACGACGCGGGACTGAGGAAGATCGTTATGACACGTCCGGCACTGCTGGGCTACAGCGTCGAGGACAATATGGCGCCGAAGCTCAACTGGCTGCGGACGCGCCTCGAGCTGGACGACGCTCAGCTGAGGAAGATCGTTATGACGCTTCCGGGACTGCTGGGCTACAGCGTCGAGGCCAACATGGCACCAAAGCTCGCCTACCTTGAGCGGGAGATCGGTCTCTCGCGCGCCGAGCTGCGCGACTGGGTCGTGAAAAATCCATCCATTCTCGGATTCAGCCTGGCCAACCGCTACCGCCCGCGCCTCGAGGCGTGTCGCGCCGCCGGCGTCGACGCGCGACGCGTCCTCTCGTACGCGTCGCAAACGGACGAGACCTTCTGCGAGCGGACCGGCATCGCGCCCGATGTACTAGTAAGTGTGTGAGTTTTGACAAATTTACGCCAGGGAACTCAACTAGAGCACGTTCGACTTGTACTTGAACTCCTCGCTCTTCTTCATCGTGAACTTCTGGCCGAACTTCAGCCGCTCCGCCAGTCGTTTGCGATATTTATCGTCCGCATAGATATCTTTCAGCAAGCCTCTATTGACCTTCTCCTCCTTCTCGTCCATCTCGACGTGCTTCTGGGCGAGCTTGTGCAGGCGCACGTGCTCCAAGAGCTCGACGTTGTGCTTCTCGCGCATCTTTCTTATTCTATCAAATTTCTCCTTTTCGGCCCTCATGAAGTCCTCACTTTGTCTTATAAAATCCTCGGCGTAGTGGAGCTCGTCGGTCACCTCCTTGCGCTCGCGAGCTTTCTTGAGAGCAGCTGATTTGAGATTCCACTCCTGCATCTGTTTCGCCTTCGTGCGCACGTCTTCTTTGTCCCTCCGGTCTCGTTCCGCATCCGCCTTGTCCTTGATGTCGGCCTCCCGCAGTATTTTTAACTCTAAAGCTAAATCATTTTGTTGTTTTTCATACAAAGCCCCACCTTTTTGACCTGCAGACTTCGCAGCAAAGGCATCTAAGCGGTCCTGCACCTTCTTGAACGCCTCTTTTCGTTGTAACTCTTGTTTGCGCAGCTTCTCCTTATACAACTTCATCAACTTCACGTCCTCCTCGCCCTCTCGCTTCTTCCGCTCGGCCTTCTTGGCCCGATCCAAGATATTCTGCCTGACTATTTCTTCATTTTTACGTCTTGCCGCTTCTTGGGCTTCCTTCGCTGCTCGCTTATTAGCTTCGATGGTCAGTTGATTGGACGCGACCTGCGCCCACTCCATGGCTCTTTGAGCATCAAATTCTTTCGCGGCTCGATCCTTTTTGAGTTGGGCCTGGAGCTGCCGCGTCTTGTGCTGGTCGAGGTACCTACCCTTCGTCTCCTTCTCCTGGACCTTCATCTGCTCGCGCCATTCCGACAGTAATTGTTTCTGCGATCGCACGAAATCTTCATCTTGTCTCCGCAACTCGGCTTCCTGCGACTTCGACTGTTTGATGACCATCTGCTCGTCCAAGATCTTGCGGTATTCCTTTTTCTTGTCCCGTTCCTTCTGGACGAAGCTCGCTTCGAAGTCTTCATTCTTGAGAGCGCTGTACGCGTTCAACACTTTCCACTTCGAGTGGCGGTCGATCTCCTGCGTGAGCTCCGGCGTTTCGGAACGTGACAACGATTCCTTCTGCTTGATGACCTGGACCGCACTTCCCGCCGCCGGCTTCACTTCTACAGGACGGGCCGAGGGCCAGACCTGGTCGATCGTGTTCTTGTCTTCTACCAACTTATCGAGCTTTTTGAGCTCCAGCTCAGACACGGCCGTGTTTTTCTGAATGAACTGGTCGACGTTCTGCCTGATCGCTTGTTTTTTGCCGGGGCCGTGCTTCGCGGTCAGTTTCTGGGTCAGGAGCTTCCTCAGTCGTTCGCGATGCTCGGCCTGCGCTTGAGCTTCGGCCATTTTGGCCGCCTTGGTTCTCGCCTTGATGGCGCCGGCGGACTTCGGTCTTCTACCGCGACTCGCATGGCCGAGGTTCTTGATGGTTCCTTTCGGGGGTAGCATTTTGGCGCTCGCTCGGCGCGCGGCGCTGGGGCGCGGCGCGCGCCCGCTGGCGGCGCCGGGGCCGCTCCGCTGGCGGCGGGCCTTCGTTCGGTGTTCGTCGGGCTGCCCTTCTGACGGGGGCAGCGCTTTCACGCTCGTTGCGCGCGCCTATTCGCCTCTCAACGCGGGCCACAGCGCCGCCGAGCAGCGAGCCGTTAGGTTAAGGCCGCGGCCCCGGCGACCTCTAGGCGCCGCCGGAGTGGTCGCCCGGGTCGCGGGGACGGCTCGGACGCCGACGTTCCGCCACCCCTGGGCTGCTGGTTCCGCCGCGCGGTGTCCCCCCCCCCAGCTGGCGAGGCAGGGCTCCGCCCACTAGTTTTAGCACCGTAACAACACCCGGTTCCGCTGCCTCACCGCGCCGCGACGTCGTTCCCCGTGGCCACGTGGCGTCTCGAAGGCGCACGCCCCGGTCGGTCACCGTCGGTGACGCCACCGCCTCGACGCCATCGATGCGCGGTGACTAGTGACTAACCTTGGAATTTACGCAGACTATTCCTGCAGGGACCCGTCGCCGCCCACGGTCAACACGTCCACCGACGCCTCCTCGAAGAGACCGTCGTCCGGCGGGTCCGCCCCTTCAATCCCGAACGACGGGCCCGGCTGGTCGTTGGATAAGGGTGTTTCGCCGAAGGCGTGCTCGTCCAACGTCGGCGATAGCGGCGCGTCCTCTTCACCAGTCGCGTCGACGTCGACGGCCGGCCGGTCGCCCTCAAACGTCACGCGCGTGTCGGTCGGTGGTCTCTGGTCAACCTGCGGTAACGCTCGAGATGCCCGCGTGACCGACGCCTCCCAGAAGCCGCTCGCCGACTTGTACATGTTTTGGGAATGGCCGAGCGTGAGGTAGAGCGAGTGGTCGCTATGCGTCCTTTTCCCCAACATCGTCACGGCCACCGGCGGCGGCGGGTTCGTGTCGTAGCCCATCGTGCTGCCGAGCACGCGCATGGCGGCACTTGCGCGATTTGCTCTACCAATAAGAGCGGCGGTGCCGGGCGCGCGACCCGGCGTCGTCGGCTTCTTGGGCGCCGCGTAGTAGGCGCCGATCTGTTGGGACGACCGCGCCCACCGGTCGTAGCCCGTCTCGCCGCTGCCTAAGACGATGGTGCTCGCGGTCTTGCTTGGGGAGCCCATCGCGCCGGCGGGCTGCCCCGGGCGAGGCTGCCCCAGCAACGAGGAGGCGCGCGCCGCGGCGACCGCGCGTCCGTCGACCGTAAAGGGAGGCTGTGGACGGCCGCTGCGGCCGGGCGGCGCGAGTTTGGGTGCACGAGACGCCGCTCCGCGAAGGCGGCGTTGGATGGCTGCCCTAGTTACTCGGGCGGTCGGCTGCGACGCCTCCCCGGCGCTTGCGGGTGCTCCGAGTACTGCTCTCGTGTGTATTTGACGAGGCGTCGGAACGGTCCGTAAAACCCGTTTTTCCAAGAAAATTTTCAAGCCGCGCCGAGCGTAGAGCTGGTATAGAGCCACTGTTGGCCGATTGGAGAGCCTCCTGTGAAGGCATTCCTGCAACCCTGCGACTGGTGTCGAAAACCGGCACGCGTGCGGCTGCTGCAGGGCCCAAAACCAAATAGCACCCATTTGCTGCCAAACCAAAGCGCCGTGGCCGCCGCAAGCCCAGTAGCACTCGTTGGCAGCCAGAAAAAAAAATGCGCGAGCGCAAGGCGAAACCCAAGGCGAAGAAAGGCCAGAAAAGCAAGGCCGCGCAGCACAGACAAAGCTGCAGCGGTCGAGGCGGCTTTATGATCGCATTGCTCGCGCTCGCGGGAGGCGCGTACTACTTCCGGCCCGCTACAACACCACCGATTCTAGAAGAGCAAACACCAGCGATAGTCGTCGGCGTCGTCGAGGAGCACCACCACGTGCTGCCGTACTACGCGCGCGAGGTCGCGAAGAACACCATACCTGTGGACGGTAAAGCCACGATCTTACACTTGGACTCCCACGCGGACATGGGCGTGCCCCGCGCTTATCTGAAAGCGGACGCGCACATGGAGCGTTTTTCGGCGATCAACGATTTTATGATTACCGCTGCGTTGACGGGCGTCGCCGAGCACTTGGTGTTTGTGGAACCGCCGTGGTCGAACCAATTTAGATGTTGTGTCTACGAAGGGAGTGCTACCTTCCAATTCACGGTTGGTGTCGATGACCAGAACAACGTGAGGGTCGCGGGCCCGATGGCTAGAAGACTGGGCCACGTGTTTTGGAGGGACGGTCAATCCCGAACAGCTTCAGTCGATGACTTGATGAACACGCGCGATTTTCGAATTACGGTGATCAACGAAGAGCATGCTCATTTAGACGACATTTTAGTGGCGAGCATCGATAGGACAAAACCGTTGATATTGGATATTGACCTGGACTACTTCGCGACGGAAAACTTCGGGGCCATACCTCTGAGGGATGAACTTGGGATAAGTGATGAGGACCTCATGACGGCCTATCATCTGGCCTGGGACTTTCCGGAGCTTTCGGTCGAGTACCTGAGAAAAGGTGACCATAAAGGGCGAGAGTCAATGAGCTTTGACACGGAGCGGGCTCGGAACATCGTCGCGGGGGGCCAGAAGTCGGCGCTGGCCACTCATTTCCGCGAGGCGGTGTCGCGGCGGACCAGTGTTACATCGGAAAGGAGATCTTTGCTGCGCGAGTTCCTCGCGTCGATACCGATCAAAGGCGGTCATTTGCGCGGCGACGAGCCCGAGGTCTTCTTCGAGCAGCCCTTCCACGTCCCCGAACCGCGGGCGTTGTCAGAGGAAGTGGACTTCGCGTTAGATGACATGCTCGCGGCACGGATCCTGCCCCGTCTCCAACGGCCCGTGTTGGTGAACATTGTGCGGTCGCCGGGCTACGTGCCCGTGCGCTACTTAGCTCTGCTGGAATGCCGGACGCTGCGCACTTTGACAGAGGTTTATGGCGCCTTCGAGGTCTCCCACGAAGGTAGGGTGGATGTGACGAGGACGGGCTGTGAGGGTTTCAGGAGTGTAACTGTGTAACTGTTATGACAGGGGGAAGGGGAGGGGGGGAAGGGAACTACTCGGCGACGGGCGGCGGCGTCGCCTTGTTGCCCCAGACGTCGACGCCGAGTCGATCATCGGGCTTGACGCCGTCCCACGAGGTACCCGGCGACCAGTCGATGAAGCCCATGCCCGCCGCGCGGATGCGGTCGAAGAGAACGTGCTTGCCCGCGATGCCCGGTGTCAACACACCACCTCGGACAGATTCGGAGCCGGATCGCAGTTCGTCCCCGGACTCGCTCATAGCTAAAGCGGCTTCCACCGCCATCCTAGCCGTCTCGAAGTAGCCGTCCCGCCCCTTGATACTCCAGCAGACCTTCTTGCCGCTCTCCGTGATACCAACACCGTGGTACAACGAATACACACCAATCTCGAACAAGTCATCAAGAGGTGGACCCTCGCCCGGCCCGTAGTACTTGCCCTCCTTTTTCAACCGTTCTTCTTCGGCCTTGGTAGACGTGCTCCCGGACTTCTTGAACTCCTTCGCGGCGGCCTCGCCTGCGTGACAAACTCGGTCCGAATGGCCTCAAGACAGGACGCGGCCGCGCGCTCGGCATCAAAGTATAAACGGTGACGTTTAATTTTTCGCCGTAGAACGGGCCCTTGTCCGGCCCGCCGACTAAGGTACGATGCAACTCGTTCGACCGGCGCACGACTCTAGTTTCAAAAAACGCGTAGACGTGCGGCGCGACCCACGACTTGATGGCTCCGTCGCGAAACACCTTCGTCAGCACCCGATCCTGGTCCTCCTCGCGCTCGCCATTCTCAACAGCACCACCGAGCGCGAAGGGGTCGGTCATGACCTTGCGCACCCACGCGTCGCCCGACGCCATCGCGGCCCGCGTGCTTAACGTGCCGCCGCTCGCGCCGACCGTCCCTTCGCGCTCCTGATACATGCTGACGTAGCCGTGGAACTCCTTCAGTTGTTCATCATACTTCTCTCTAGCTTCCTTGGCCATCGCATAACACATGATGTCCGGCAGGCCGCCCGCGTACGCCGTCGACGGGACGATATAAACGCCCGCGTCCCGAGCCACATCATGGAACTCCAGCAACTTCGCACTCCAAGGAATCTCGCCGGACACGTCACAGTAGTCCGTATCATAATGAATGCAAGCTTCGACGAGTCGCTCGCCGCCCGTCAACATGAACGGTCCTGCGATGTTACAAACCACGCGACAGGACGAGACCAACGCCTCCACTTCAAACGGCTCCTTCAGGTCGCAGGAGACGCAATCACAGTTCGCCCACCGCGTCCCTTGGAGTACTTTGTCTCGCATCTTGATGACCTTGTGGAGCGTCCGGCCCGCGAAACAAACATTGACATCATCCAGACACTCCCGCTTGAGGTACTCCATCACGAGACTACCCGTATAACCTGAAACGCCGTAGAACACCACAGCATACTTCCTCTCGGCTCTCGGTAAAGGTTCTACGAGGTACCCTTCGAAGAAGCACCGCCACTGCGCATCCGTCAAACAATGCACGTTGTCCCGCATGTAGGGGACATCCCCATCGAAATAAAAATCCGCGAGCTTCTGTTCGAGGCGCGGCTTCGCATAAATTTCATCCAAAAAACAGCCGCGGACGCTTCGCGCGTCTCTCGAAGGGTCGTCCTTGTAGTAGAAGAGCGGGGCTTCCTCCTCTTCTTGGGGGTTCAGGGCGACGTGCTCGTCGTAGTCGGGACCGGCGAGGCGGACGTGGGCGCCCATCTTGTCTTTGCCTGCGGTGCGGGGCCGCGCGTGAGGCTCCACGATGAGCTGCGGCGGCGGGGCTGCGGCGGCGGTCAGCCGATGAAAGGACCCGACGGCGTTGTCCACGGGCGCGGCTGCCCTTCGTCTCGCAATCGACGGAGCGGGCAACCAAAGACGACTACAGCTGTAGCTTTGCAGGACGCCGTGCGCGTCACGTGGAGCGCTATTCGTCGCGCGGTCGCTGCGAGCGGCGAGGTGAGGTCCCGCTGCGCTGTCTCGTGACGCGCGGGCACGAATAGTGCGCGCGGTGACGAGCTGGCACTGATTTTGCTTGTCCCCTACCACAGAGCAAAAGCAATCGTGCGGGCGCCCGGCGTCGTGGGAGCTAGTCGCGCGGCCGGGCAGACGCTCCGCGACGGCTAGGAAGCCTCCCTGATGAGTAGCGCAGGGAACCGCACCGAGCGCGCGACGCGCGGCCGCCCCGCCGCGGCGTCGACGGGTTATGGGGGGCCCTGGGCCAGGGAGGGTTATGGTACCCCGCCGAGAGGAGCGTGCGGACGCATACCAGGCGCACGGACGCGCACCGAGCGCACGAAATACTACTACTTGCAAACTTAGAGGTGGACCGCGTCCTTGGACCCCCGCCGCGGGACGACGAAGGCCGCCTTCTTCTTGGGAGGCCGTCTTGCCACCGGCGGCGTCGTCTTCCGGGGCTTCGGGGGCGACGACACGGGCGTCTCCGTGCCCATAAAACCGGACGCGTCGGGCGGCCATTGGGCGTCCTCGTCCTCACTATCCCCAAATCCACTCTTCTCATCTAAGGCAGACTTCATGGCCGCCTCGTAGTCGACCTTGGCGGACTCGTACTTGGCCTTGATCGCAAATGCTTCGGGATCATCTACACTATCAGAATCAGATTCCTCCTTGAGACCGCCGGCCGTCAAGCAAGCCTTCAGGGCCTCGGCGGTCGTTTCTGCCGCTTCCTTGAGTTGCGCGGGCGTCGCCGTGTTCGTCAAAAACACGTCCAAAGTTTTCTGGAGCTCCGGTGGCAATTCTCGCAGCGGCGAGGGCGCAACTAAAACAGGCGTCTTCTGCTCAACACCTTCGTCATCGGAGCTATCCGAGTCTATAACTAACTCTTCGACCTTCTCCTCGGCCCAGGCCTCCCGCCGTCGCTCGAGGAAGGACTCGTCGTCCTCGTCGACGGCGAAGGCCCGGTCGACGGCCTGGGGCGGCGTCACCGGCGCCAGCACCGGCTTCGTGACCTCGACCTCCGGCTTCGTCTTGTTGAAGGCCAGGGCGCGCTCCAGCCCTGACAATTTCTTCGCGAGCGCGTTGTTCGTAGAATAATCTCTTGGTGGCGGTCTCGGCCTCGATGGTGGCGGCTTGCACCCGCCCGCGACCAATGCGACCTCCTTCTGCTCCATAACTCGCAACGTGCTTCGCGCCCCCTGCAACAAGGCCCGGAACTCCTGGGCCCGTGCGTCCGTGTCGGCCATGGGCTCGACCTGCCTCACGGGATGGGGCTTCTTGTCCGACGGTGGGGCTGCTGCGCCGTCCTTGAGCTGGAAATCATCTAAGAGTTCGAGCGTCGTGCAGGCCCGCGCGCAGACGAGGGCCCAGGCGGGCGTCTTCGTCCCGGCTCGCGATACTGGTCTCGACCGCGACTGCGGCCGTCTCGACGATTTTGGTCTTTGTAGAGGCACGCAGGGGTTGCCCTTCAAGCGCAGTTCTGCTAAATGAGACAAGGCGCCCAGCGATCCGGCCAGACCCCCTAGATCACCGATGCAATTGTCGGACGCATCTAAAACATCGACGGCAGGACACTTCGTTGATAACCCTCCGAGGGACTCGAGGCGGTTCCGCGCGACGTCCAGCTCGTTCAGCTCGGACAGCAAAGGAAACGCCGCGAAGGACGCAAAGCGGTTGCCCGCCACATGTAATGTTTTTAGAGAAGCGAAGCGCTGCAACCCGTCCAGCGGGCCGCTCCGCTTCGACTTCTTGGCCGGTAATCGTCTTAGTTTTCTTTGAACGCCGTTCACGAGCTCGGAGGGCTCCTGGACCGGCGACGCGCCGAGCTCGTTGTCTGACAGTTTCAGACTTTCCAGCGTCGCTCGGCACCCATCTAACGCACCGGTCGGGATTCTCTTAAGTTCGTTGCCCGACAGGTCCAGTTCCACTAAGCCTGAGAGCGACGCTAATGACGTAGAGAGCGCTGAGATGCAATTGCCACTCAAATCTAACACGCGTATCGAATTACAATTCCTCAGTCCTGAACCTAACTCGACCAAGCCACATCTGTCTAGTCTCAAAGTCCTCAGATGCCGCAATTTCCCCAAACACCGCGGCGCCTTCTCGAGGCCCGGATTGTTGTGCAGATGCAGCGTCTCGAGTTCCTTGCAGAACTCCACATCATCAGCATCTTCTAGGCGATTATTTCCTGCCTTCAGTTCGCGGAGGTGCGGCGCGCCCTGCAGGTGCCGCAGGTCCTTCAACCGATTCCCGTTCACGTTTAACGTCCTCAACTTGGGGCACGCGCTCAGGTCCAGTATTTGATCAAAACCTTCGTTGCACGCTTCCAGTACATAAGCCTGCTCGGCGTCGTCGACGCCCTGCTGTTTCAGGAGTGTTTCGACGGCGTCTGTGTCTAAAATGCGGCGGGGCGTCGACGACGGCGTCGTCGACGGCGTGGGCATCGTCTATGGGCAGGGCTGCCCACCAGTGGGTGCTCGGCGCCGCCCGAACGCCGGGGCTTGCGCTGCCCCGCGGTGGTCTTTGAGGAGAGCGCTCGCGCGCGGTCCACTGCGCGTGCCGGCGACGGCGTGCGCCCGGCCTGCGTCTCGCAACGAGCACAGCTGTCGGTTTTATCGGCCGATGGTCGGGGGTCGCCGCGCCGGTCCGCACCGTTCGGGCCGCCGAGAGACCTCCTCGATGGGCCCGTGAGCCCTGCCGAGGACGGATTTCGGCGCCGCCCCGCACTAGAACCTACAGCTACATAACGCGGATGCCTCTCCGAGACTGAAATAGCCGCCGCGCACCCCCTCGGCACGTAAAGCGGCTGCCTTTCGACCTCGGAGACCGCACCCCACCGGCGGCGCCGCCGCGGCTGCAAAAAACAGCGTTCTCCAAGGGCCCCGAGGCAGCCCTCCGGCACCATGCCCACGGAACTGAAGTCCGCGCCGGCTATCAACCCCCTCAAGACCAAATATCTATTCTCGAAGGGCGCGCCCTACGGTACCGACGAGGAGGGCGACAAGGCCCAGGCCGCCGCGCAGTTGGAGTATGCCTCGGTCGCGCACGATACCCTAGCTGATAGAGCGCCCTTCGAGATGGCCGCAAGTTTCCAGGAGACCATCGGCGGCAATCCATTGGATAACCAGAATCGGCACGGCTACGCCATCGTCGAGGACCATCCCGAGAGCGAGGCTTTGGCGTCGCTCATCGAAGCGCACTCGGCCTACGACCACCATAAAGCTAGGACGTACGAGACCGAGGCGGCGGAGTGCGTCTTTCCTACTGGACCAAGGCCTGTTACTGTACAGAGAGCCAGACCTGGTCGATACAAAGATACTCATTTCAGCGAAGAAAAGACCAAAGCTTGTATTGATGCGTACCTGGGCGGCAAGGCGGAATATGAAGTAGTCAAGGGTAAAATTCGCGAGACGAAGCTCATGGAGATGTTCCAGCCTCCGGAAAGTATTGTGATCGAGAAGCCGAAGCCTCGGGGTGTGGGGCCCATTTCTCAGCGGGTTCGTCGGATTCCTACGACCATCCTCGGCAAAGTAGATAGATTCAAACATGTCCGCAACCACAAGTACAAGATCAAGCATTTGGACGACCACCCCGGTGCTGCCAATCCGTCGCACGTGCCGTTTGACGCGGAGTTCTCGGTCGCGTCCTACAAGCAGTCGTCGCAGGTGCTCAACACGCTGAAGACGCGGGGCCAGCGCTCGGACCTGTGCCGCGCGTCGATCTTCGGGTACTAGTCGCTGAGGCGGGTAATGGTATACTAGTTTTGCACTTCAAGCCGTCGACGAGCCCTCTAGACGAGCCCGATTCGACGAAGCCGCGCGCGTTTTGAGGGTAACCTGTTACGGTGCTAGGACTAGTGGGCGGAGTCACCTGAGGCCGCGCGTCGCCGACTCATCGGCGGCGGCGCGTGCCGCGTTTTCATCAAAGTGCTGTGCTAGTGTCTTTACAGCACGCTAGCAGCTGCTGTTTTTTGCCCAAACTTTTGTCCCTCGACGACCGGTTACGTGCGTGTTTGCATTCGCAGGCAGCCACCCGACACTCTTACGACGGCTAGTAGCATTGCAACGCTTCACAATCGCGCCCACGCATAAATAACTGCTCTCCCAGCAGCTGTGACAACCAAGTCGCCGCGATTGCTTTAGCGTCACCGACTGAGCTTGAAAAAGAAAGCAACAATGGGCTGCTGCTGCAGCAAAAGCAATAATGACGGGCCGGTCGCCGCGCCGCAGGCGATCGAGCTCACCGAGAAAGGCCCCGACGTCTCCCAAAAAAAGTCGCTGATCTCGGGTACTGGTGTTGCATATTCCTCAAACACGATCGAGCAGGACGCCGCGTATTGGGAAGTTATTGTGGAGAGCGCGGGGCCCTTCCGCATCGGCGTGGCGCGGGCTTTGAAGGGCGGCGCGCTCGCCGGCTCGATAGGCGACGAGGAGAAGTCCTGGGCGCTGGCGTCGGCGTCGTGCGAGTGTAGTGATGGAGACGTCATTGGTATTGCCTTCGGTCAGGCCGAACTGCCGAATCTACGATTTTACCGGAACGGTGATGAATTACCAAAAGCAGAAGTGCAGCGCGTGCGCGGCGCGGTGCACCCCGCCGTGTCCGTCGCCGGCTCCACCAAACTGCGGTGCGTTTTCGATGAGGCACAATTCAAGCACGAGCCGCCGCGGGGGCACACGGCGCTGCGCGCGTCCCAGAGCCTCATATAATGTTTATGATCTTAGATAGCTCGCACCGTTCACGTCGATGATCGCGCCGGAGCTCCACTTCGCGTTTGTATGAGTGAAGTAGAGGACCGCCTCGGCGACCTCGTCGGCGCTCGCGACCCTGTTGAACGGGCTGTCGCCGCGGATGGCGTCTCCTCTCTCTCCATTCAAAACCTCGGCGGCCATCGCCGTGTCCACAAAGCCCGGGGCCACGACGCCTACAACAACATTCGACGGAGCCAGAGCTTTGGCGGCACTCTGCGAGAGCTGGTTGAGGCCCGCTTTGCTCGCGCCGTAGGCCGGCGCCGTGGGTTCGCCTCTAAAGGCCCCGCGACTGCTCACGCACACGATAACGCCGCCGCCGCGTCGCGCCATACTTCGCCCCGCGTGGAATATGACGTTGGCCGGGCCGACCAGATTCGCATCGATTGTATCGCGCCATACTCGTTGCCAGTCGTCAAACGTGCTGTCGAGGAAATGAGACTCTTCGTATATCGCGGCATTATTAATGACAATATCAACGCTCTCTCCGAGGTCCTCGAAGAGCTGCGCGACGGCGTCGGCATCCGTCACGTCGCATTGCCGCGCGTCGTGGCCGTCTCCAGGGAGCGAGAGCATTGTGTCGGCCGCAGCGTCGACGTTGCTTCGGTAGGTGATCAGGACGCGGCAGCCTCGCTGCGCCAGCGCTCTTGCCACAGCTGCGCCGATGCCGCGGCCGCCGCCGGTCACGATTGCGAGCTTGCCTTGTAGTGGTAGCAGGTCGATGCCGACGTCAGCGGCCGCGCGGTTTCGAGCGGCGCGACGTATGCGCGCGGCGGCATTGGAGTGCTGTTTCGGTGCTGCCAGTGCGCTTGCTATGAGAAGGATGACTGATCGCATCATCTCGCGGCACCGCTTGGCTGCAGGGCTGCAGCAGCACTCGGTGGAGCCGGTAACACTGCGCCAAGAGTCGTCCAGCGCGAGCAGAGGGACGCACCAGTGCCACAGTGATGCGAATCAAGCAAAAAATCGATCTCTAAAGGCTACAATGGCCATCTGCGCCCGATTTTTGCGCCTGGGAAACCCGTTTTATAGACAAAAAGAATTAAAGGAAAAAAGGCCGGCCTGCTCATTTTGCCGTCGGTTTTGAGTGTGAGACCGACCGAGGGCACGCCGTCGCGCCAGTTATCAACCGCAAAGCATCGCAAGTGTCGCGACGTGGCGTAACTCCTCTCAAAAATGGTCAAAACCATATTGGTCACTGGATCGACGGGCTGGCTCGGCGGCAAACTGTGCGAGGCCCTCGTCAAACGCGGCGAGAAAGTCGTCGGCCTGGCGCGCCGCAAGACTGAGGTCGCCGGCGTAACAAGCCTCACCGCGGACCTCGCGACGGGCGCCGGGCTCGAAAAATTGAATGATTTTGACGTCTGCGAGATCGACTGCTGCGTGCACCTCGCGGCGGTGGCCGGCTGGGGCGAGCTCGGTGACTGCCTCGAGGTAAACGTCCAAGGCACGCGGCGCCTCCTCGACGCACTCGCGCCGCCCGGCGGTGACCCAGCCTGCAAGCGCTTCGTCGTAGCGAGCTCTATATCTACCGTTGGCACCGGCAGAGGCTTCCCGCCACAACACCTGCCCATGGCTGACACCCATCCGTACGTCGGCTACCCGTGGGCGTATGCGCTCTCGAAGTGGCAAATGGAGCAATTGGTCCGCTTCATCGCTACCCGCTACGAACGCGAGGATCCGGAGGAGCCTCTCGACGTCACTATGCTCCGCATCGGCTGCTGCCTCACGGACCCGGGCGACGGCCCGCCACGCCACCTCGAGACCGGCATCGGCAAGGAGATCCCGATCGCGCCGGCCGACGGGACGAACTCGCCGGAGGGCTACAGCCCCGAGAGTGCGATCTCGGCGATCGCGATTTCGGACATGGTCGAGTGCCTCTGCCTCGCCGCGCTCAAGGAGGAATTCAAGCCCGGCGTGCGCCAGATGAACGTCACGGCGGAGCACGCCTTCGTCGCCGACGGCTGCACCGTGCCCCAGGTCATGCGGGCCACCTACGGCGCCGACGCGGTGGCGCACATCGACTTCTCCCATTACGAACAACCGGGCCACGAGCGCGACTCGCTCTACGACAACTCCCTCGTGCGCGAGGAGCTCGGCTTCGTGCCGAAGGTGAACATTCTGACCGCCTACCAGGCTTAACAATAATAAATTACAATAACGCGGCCACGGCCGCGTTCACGTCGCCGTTCGCCCTCCTGAGAGCGTCGCGCGCCTTCGCTTCGGGGAAGCCCATCGCCAGAAGCCGGCCCAGACCAGGGACCTTGTCCGCGCTCACGGCGACCCTCCCGCGCGGCTTGTCGGCGCCAGACAGGTCCCGAGGGTCGTGCCGCGCCGTGACCCTCTTAAACAGATCCGAGGGCTTGGGCTTCGGGCCGAGGCGGTGGCCCTTTGTTGGAGACGGCGGCCGCACGCGTTGTGGTTTGGTTAAGACTACATCATCATCAGCACTCTCCACCACCAAAGTAGCCGACGGCCACAACTGTAAAGATTGCAGCGTCCGCGGCAAATCTTTGACGGTGAAGATCTGCTCGTCGCGCGTCGTCTTATCGCTCAGGACCCAGCCGTCGCACCAGAACGAGGGCGGCGTCGTCTCCGCCACGACGCGCCACCCGTCGCCGTCGGGAGGACAGCCTACCTCACAAGTCGCTAGAAACCGCACGACCCGATCTAAGGTATCATCACCATCAAATCGACGCGTGGCGAACTTCGCGCCCGAACCGTCGGCGAAGGTCAATACACAACCGCCGCGCGGCTCCTGGACGGACGCAAAGGACTTTGCGGCCGCTGCACGTGCCTCTCGCGACGCTTGGGCTTGTAACGCTTTGTTTCTGCCTTGTCTTCCAGGAGACGACGTCCGGGCCGCGTCCAAAGCGCTTTTAGCAGCGTACAGTCTAGCGGGATCGGCCCGCGTCAACGACAACGTCGAGGCGTCGTGGCGCCGGTAGCCCGCCTCTATCAATAACTCGACGCCGGCGTTCTGGCCGGCCCGCAGTGCGCTTTGTAGAGGTGCTGTGCCTCCTAACAGGATGATGGTGTGGCGCTGGTCGCGCGGGTTCGCTGCCACGTTCGTTAGGAGTTCTGCGACCTCGGCCGCCGCGGCCGCGTCGGCTTTGGCGAGTCTTGATGCTATCGATCGGCACTTGTCCTCGACGGACGGCTGCGAGAGCTGCTGCGCGGCCGCCGCTACGTCGCCGTTGTGCGCCGTCAGTGCGGCCTTGGCGGCGTCGCGGGGGAAGCCCATGGCCTCGAGGGTCTTGAGGCCTTCCGGCTCGACGAGGCCGAACATGACTGCTCTAGTTTGTCGCAGCGATGTGCTGTGTTGATCCCGACGCGGCGAGGATTTATTTATCGACCTCTACGCTGGCAATTGAGGTCCCTGGGCTAATTCCTAGTGTGTAAGTGGACGCTAGCTCCGTTTTTTGCGCGTCGTCGTCGCATTGCACTTGTTTACCCGCAAAAGTTGGACTGCTGCATCCACTTACACTGCTGCGCATCCCTGCGCATCCCTACGCCACACGTTCGCTGACCTGCGAACTGCCTGCACTCACTCACTGCTCACTGCACTGTCGCACTGCGCACTGCACCCTGCTCCTACGCACGCCGTACTGCCACGCGCTACTGCACAATGCTCCTGCGCATCGCATTCGTCGCGACAGCAGCAGCAGCGCTCGCCGCACCCACACGCCTCAAGAAATGGGGCCGCAACACCAAGACGCAACGGGCAAAAGACGAGCCGGACGCCGAAAAGCCCGGCCGCGTCACGGAATCGCTTGGCCTCGACCTCGGACCCGTGCGCCACGCCACGATATCAGGACAAAACACCGCAAAGCTCGATCTCGACGGTCGCACCGTCGACATTGACACGAGAGATCTATCGCAGCGCGTCGACGAGGCGGCCTGGTTGAAGTGTAGAGCGGCGCTTGATCTAACCGCGTCGGAATTCGACGCGGCGCGAGACAAGCACAAATTTTCGTCGCGCGAGGAGGTGCTGCGGTGGCAGGCCGGCAAGGTCCCACGGCCGAAACTCGGCGGCCAACCCATCGAGTTCGGGAAGCGCCACGAGAGCACTGCTATCAAAGCCTACGCGCGGAAGACGGGCCACGACGTCGCGGCGACCGGCCTGTGGACCGACGCGTCACTCAAGTACGGCGCGTCGCCCGACGGCCTCGTCGTCGACCGCGCGACGGGCGAAGCGGGCTTGCTCGAAGTCAAGTGCCTGTGGTCGCGGCGGCACAAGCGGCAGCTCGCGCCGCTGACCAAGTGTCCGAACCGCTACTTCGCCCAGGTCCAGGGCCAGATGGAGGTCTGCGAGCGAGACTGGTGCGACCTCGTGCTGTGGGTGCCGCACGATCTGCGGGTTCTGCGCGTGCCGCGCGACCGCGCGTTTTGGCGTGACGAGCTGGGGCCGGCCGTCGTGGCGTTTTCCGAGGAGCTTGCCGCGATGCGCGCGTCGTCGTAGCCATGTGTAATGTCTCTGTTTGTCCCTGTAATGTTGTTCGGTGCTAGGACCAGTGGCCCCTGTTTGTGTCGCGGACACGACGCGAGACGACCGAAACGCGCCTCACCTGCCACGCCGTCCAGCCAACGCTGCCCCGGGACCACGACGAAGGTGAATTTGCTCCAGACGACGCGACGGACGCGTCCGTCTGCAACCCGCACGAGGAATTCTCTTCTCTTCTCCGAGCTCGAGCTGGCTCTCCGCAAATTTGGCTGCGTAGGGCTGCCCAGACAAGAGTAAGAATGGGCAAAGGAGCCCACGGCGGGCATCGGGGCGGCGGCCACCGCGGCGGCTTCCATGGGGGCGGCGTGCGCCGGGCGCCTGTTAGAGGAGCAGGCTGGGGTTTGGGTGGATTTTTCGCGCCGCGGCGCCCGCTCGCCACCGCTGTTGGATTGACCGCTGGAGCCGTCATCCTCGCCAGCCGCACGCGGCCGGCGCGCTACCACCGCTACGGGCGGCCCGTCGTCGTCGTGGCGCCGCCGCAGGGTGTGGTACTACAGCAGAATGAAAGAATGGTCCAGGTCGAGCGCCCGCAGGGCGTGCCCGCCGGCACGAGCATCGAGGTCGACATCGACGGGGGGCAGTACTACGTGACCGTGCCCGAGGGCGTGCCTGAGGGCGGCCAGTTCCTCGCGAAGGTGCCGGTCGTGGCCCAGGTCGCGGCGCCGGTGGCCCAGGTCGCGCAGCCCGCGCCCGTCGCGCAGGCGCCGCCGCCCGCCTACGGCGCCGCACCTCTACCGCCGGGCTGGGAAGAAAAAAAGACGCCCGACGGCAAGCCCTACTACGTCGACCACAACACGAAGACGACGCACTGGGAGCGGCCCCAGGCGCCGGCCGCGCCGCCGGCTTACGGCGCGTCGTTCTAGAATGAACTCCCCCGCGCCTAAGACTGCTGCTTTCGTGTTTTATTATAAAACGGGGGATTCATCGATCGCGGCGGGCTCCGGCGCCTCGGGCGCCGGGAACGGCGGCCCCGTGCGCCAGACCTTAAACGGCCCGCCAGGCACGTACTTGTACTGTCTTTCTAACCGATCGTAGAGGAGCTCCTCGAAGCCCTCGTACTCCGTGGCGATGGCCCCCGCGTTCGCGACGCTTCTCCCCAAGAAGTCGACGACCTTGTCGGGGTTGGCGCGCCCGTAAAAGTCCTTGAGGATGGCGAGGGTCTTGGCGCGCCTGGTTATCACGGTGTCTCGTCGTCCGTCGAGGAGGCGCTCGTACATCTGGCACTGCCGGCCGTGCGTCGTCCATCGGCCCGGCATCGGCGTCTCCCCGCCGTCCTCGCACCACACGCAGTATTCAGTAGGTTGGTCGCAAGGGTAGGCTTCCGTACTCGGGCGGCACTCTGAATAGTTCTCTCCGTCCCAGGAGCAGCAGGCACAGCCCGTGCAGCGCGCGTCGACCAGGCTCTCGACCTGTTCGAACCAGGCTTTGTACTCCTCGCGCGTCGTCGGTCGGCCCCCGGGCGCCTCTGCGGCGATGACGACGCGGCGTCCGGCCCGGAAGAGCGGCTCCTCGACGCGTCGCGGCGGCCGGAGAGCCGCTTCGTCCGCCCGCGCGCACACCCGCGGGGGCATCTCCGGCAACTTTAGGGGCCTCGGAAGCAAAAAAAGCCCGTCGAAGATCTTCCGCTGGCCGATCGGGGCGGCGAGTTCGATCGTGATTGGGTCGAAGCGGTTGCTGGGACACGTCCCGCCACCCCCCTTGATCACGCCCATCGCTACTCGAATCTCGGTGGCGGACTCTATCACCTCCGGCTTCAGCATGCGCTCGACGCCGCTCATGCCGCTGGCGCAATCTTCTTGGCTCACGAGTAGATGCAGGGTGGTCGACTCCGGGTCGGGCGGGTTCTGACGGTCGAGGCCCATTTGCACCGTCCCGAGGCCCACGGGGAGGGCGAGGCGCGTCACCTCCAGCCCACACTCGCCGACACCTGAAGTTTCACGCGTCATGCGCCACCCCGTCCACGTCTTCTTGTATGGGCGCACTTTGTATCTGTTGCCGTCGGTCCAGTAAAAGGTCGCTCGCGTGCCGTCGCGCGCGAGGGTCCGCCAGCCTTCCGCGGGGCCCAGGCCATGGAGTAGAACATGAAGCGAGTCGTTCGAGCCGACAGGCACATCGGGCTTGCTGGTGAACGTCGACCACGGGGCGAGAGGGCTCCCGTCGCAATCGACGAGCGGGTCGGCGCCGGCGTCGGCCATCGGGGCGAAGCGGGCCTTCAACCGGTCCTTCAGCCATCGCGGCCCCTGCACGCAGACCTTGCCATGCAACTCGTCTGGTAGCGCCTCGGCCATCGCGGCCACGTCCTCGACGGTGGGCTCGGGCGGTGACAAGAACCCGGGCAGCGAAAAGATGATTCTGACGCGAAGGCAAGCCAATATTTCCTGGCAATGATTGATGCAATCCGGGCGTAGGACCGGCTTCGTCGAGAATAGGAGGGCGCGCCACTTAGCGCCAATTCAAGCCAACGACAACCGACACGCGCAGCTCGATGCAAAGAATTGCCGGTCTTTCTAGTGTCTTACATGCCGCTAGCTAATCTGTGGCGCTGTGTTTTGACGACGTCTAGCCACGATCCCCGGCACACGCTGTTTTGCGACGGACGCAAACGTTGTTTCACAGAGCTTCGCTGTTCGATTCGGTGCGTCTCGAGCCCGTGCAGCGCCAATAGCCGCAGTGCAAGCATCGCAAGCCATGGCACGCTACTGAACACAGCGATGCCGGTCGACTGGGACCACCGCTATTCATCCACGGGGAAATATGTGTACGGCAAGGACCCGAACGCATGTGTGGTAGAAGCCGTTGCGAAAAGATGGCTGCCTGGTCAAGGCCGCGTGTTGTTGATCGGCGAGGGCGAAGGCCGCAACGCCGTCTATCTGGCTTCGAAAGGCTTCGAGTGCGTCGCCAGCGATCCCTCTAAAAAAGCGCTGGAGAAGGCGGAGAGGCTCGCTACTGCTAGAAATGTTCGCATACAAACCCTAAAAGCGGACGCTATGGGCGCCTTGGCCACCGGGCCGTACGATGTCATAGTGAGCGTCTTCTGCGCCTATAGTACGGCCGACGAGCGAAAGGAGGCCCACGCTATGATAGGAAAGGCGCTGCAGCCGGGCGGGCGCTACCTCTACGTCGGCTTCGGTAGTGAACACATACATGTGCAGAACGCGGTGCCCGGTCCTACTACCGACCGCCTCGCCTCCATCTCCACGATACGGGAGGAGCTCGGCCTCGACGTCGTCGACGCGTGCGAGCGTGAGCGGGACCTGTTTGAGGGGTCGTTCCATCGCGGCCGCGCCTCAATCGCGGTCGTGTGCGCGTCCGTGCCGCAACGAAGGCCCCAGCGGCTCATGTTCGCCGCCGCCGTCGACCAGTGCGCTTCTTGTCCTGATACAACTTTCGAGACGGGCGATGCCCTACTAGACAAGGCGCCGGAATTAGCCCGATGTACAATGAGACACGCCGCGAAGACGTGCGGCATGTGCTGGTCGCGGCCCTGTGCGTGCGCCGAGCTGTTCGACGCGCCCGTCGAATGCTCGCCCAAATTAGTCGTCGTGGCGCACCCTTCTGAGTTAATGAGGACGACGGCCTCGGCTCCTTTAATACCGATGCTGCTCCAGCGCGCTTCCTTTACGGTCTGGGGCGTCCATACTGGTGAAGTGGATAGTGCCCTACAAAGTGGCGCTTCCGTACTCTTTCCTAGTGATGAAGCGGTCACCATATCACCAGCAACGTGGCGCGGGACAGTCCTAATCCCAGACGGGTCCTGGCAGCGTGCCCAGGCTGTGGTCGATGCTTTAGAGAAGCGGGCATCGTTCCTGGGTCTACCGAAACCGAAACGTCTACAATTGTCGGAGGCGTCGATCAAAAGCATGCACTCGCCTCTCGTCGACGCTTTACACGAAGGCTCCGGCCCGGGCCGCTGCTCGACGGCGGAGGCCGTCGCATTGGCTTGTAAGGAAGGCGGCGACGATGAAGCTTGTAGCATGTTGACCGAAGCTACGAAGCGCCTCGCCTCGAAAATCGCGACGTCTTTACCAAAGCCGCCGCCGTCGCGGTCGAGCCAGGGCCTCCCGCCGCGGGCCTACGACGAAAAGGCCTGGGTCAACGCCCTCGCGGGACCGGCCCGGGTGGCGCCCTTGGTCAACGGCGTGCGGAGGTGTGTGGTATGTGGCGCGGGCCTGGCGAGGGCCGACGCCCTAGCAAACCACGTGCGCGGGCAACGTCATAGAGCGTGCGTGGCGCGCAACGCCTTTGATGACGGGGCTATTGTTGGACCGCCTTGCAACGAGTCCGCGGCCAAAGTCTTCCGGGACTTTAGTACAATACCGCTATCGGACGCGCCGCGCGAACCGCCCGACGTCGCGCTCGCGGAAGTAATTTTGTAAACTAGCCTGCGCCGATGGCGCAATGGCGGTCTAGACCCCCCAGCACGCCGTCACCGCGATCGGCGCGAGTCGGTGGTGTACTAACAATCACTTTACACGCGCCGCCCGTAGTACAGCTCGAAGACCTGCTGCGGCGTCAGGCCCCGGTAGTTCACTTGCACCATGATCACCTGGTTCGTCCAGTTGACGCGCCAGACGGGCCGCGCGAGCCAGCGCCGCGGGTGGCACCGCGCCGGCGCCCCGAGCTGGGTGATGCAGCGCGCCCCCAACGCCTTGCCCAGCCTTCGTAATTTCTGCACCAACAGATAATCCTCGAGCATGGGCGCCCGTGCCAATTCATCAAAGCCGCCGAGCGCCGCGTACGTCGTCTTCCGGCAGGCTATGGCTTGGTCGCCGAAGGGCAGCTGGAAGAAGCCCGACCTTATGAATACGGTCCGATCCATGACCTCGAACGGTACGAGGCGCAGCCACCGTAATAATCCTTTCCAGTGAATCTGGGTCCGGTCGACCGCAAATCTAAAGCAGCACGCGTAGTTCGCGCCCAACGCTTCGATGATGCGGTCGTCGAAGGCGTAGGGCAGCAGCGTGTCGGCGTGCAGAACGAGCAATGCTTGGCCTTTGGCCTTCGCGGCGCCGGCGGCGACGGCGGGGCCGCGGCCGCCCGTCGACGTTGTGATTTGTATGTCAAAGTCGAGCTCTTTTTTCAATCGTCGCACGATGGGTAGCGTGTCGTCGCCGCCTCCGGCATCGACCACAATGACCTCACATCTGCTCGGCCAGCTGGCCGCCTGCGCTACCCGCCTTAAGGTAGCTTCTATGGTATCGGCTTCGCGGTACGCCGGAATCACTATCGATAGAGTGGATTCCTTGGGTAGGGGTTCTCGGTCTCGGACCGTGACGCCTTCCGGTACTTCGCCTTTCAAACGGTAGTAGCCGAAGCTCACCTGGGCGAGCATCAATGCCTGCACCGCGATGATCATGGCTATGTCGAAGAGGGCTTTTGCGTAGTCCATGAGGAGCGCCATTACGCTTAGAACGCCGTTTTGGGCGTGGTCCTCGCCGACGACGAGCCCTGCGCAAGCTCGTGCGACGGATTGTGTTCAGAGAGCACTGTCACAAAACAGGCTTAAACGTGCCGCAGCGATGGCGATAGTTGCTCTGCGATGCTTGTTGCTGTCGCAGTGGTGTGAACTGCTGCGAAACGTGGTCAATCGCTGCTCGGCTGATGCTGGCTGCGAGTTAAAGCGCCGGCGCTCGTGATGGGGGGCTAGCGGCATGTAAGACACTAGCAAGCAGAATCGACGGTCTCGCGGCCCAATCGATTAAGAGGACGTCTGCGGCGTGGAATCATCGCTCTTGGGAGCCTCGGATTGATTCTACATTTTGACCGCTGGCCCGCGGCAATTTCAGGCTTTTGGCGCTCAGGCACCGCCGCCGCGTCTTCTCGTGCGGGCGTGCCTTCAATGACTCGCCAGTAACGGTTGAGACGCGTGGCGCCGGCGGCGCGGCGGCGCGCGGTGATTGTGGAGAGATCAAACCGTAAATCACGACATTAACGGCGTCGCCGCGCTGGACGCCGCGCCGCCCCGAGCGTCTCTCGGACGGCCGGCGCACCATCCCCAGGGCTGGGCGCGGCGGCCTGACGGGCGAGGGCGACGTAAAAAATGCCTATCCGGACCCCGCTCGTCGCGGAAAAAACCGTAACGCCCAAAAACAGCGCGACCACGCGCCGAGCGTATGTCGACGACGTTCATCGGCAACAGCACGGCCATCCAGGAGACGTGGAAGCGCGTCGCCGAGCAGTTCACGGCCATGTTCCGCCGCAAGGCCTTCCTCCACTGGTACACGGGCGAGGGCATGGACGAGATGGAGTTCACCGAGGCCGAGTCGAACATGAACGACCTCGTGTCCGAGTACCAGCAGTACCAGGACGCGACGGCCGAGGAGGAGGGCGAGTACGAGGACGAGGACGACGGCTACATGGGCGTCTAGATTTCGTGCGCCGACGGGGCTTCGAGCCCCTGACATGGCGCGCTCCCCCCCCCTACCGAATAAGTTTCGATTGCTTGACTCGGATGTCTCTTAAAATACATTACTCTTGGCGACGACGAGGCCGTGCGTTGATCAGAGCCGGATGCCGAGCGGCGACGACCGGAGGAATGAAATCGTCTCCGGCATCTCCGGCAACTCCGTCGGCTGGGACGTCGACTGCGCGAGGCCCGGCGGCGGCAGCGCGGCCGGCGCCGACGCGCGCCGCGTCTCTTGCGTCCCGCGCGCTTTCATGATCTGGCGGATTGCGGCCCGGTCCTGGTTGCGCATCGCCGCCTGGACGTCGCCGCCGTACGGCAGAGCCCCGGGCGCGGCAGGCGCCGCCGTGAGCGGTGCCACCGGCACAGACGGCGCCGCGACGGGCGCCCCGAGGCCCGGCGGGAGGCCGGGCGGCGGCCCGGGCGGCGCCGCGGCTGGCGGCGGCGCATAACGCTGGACCGCGGCCGGCGCCGGGCGCGGCGCCGCGTCCGCGCGCCGCGCCGCTGCCGCCCACGCGTCGCGAGCCAAGTCGTCGAGGTGCGCCACGACGCGCGCCTTCCACTGTTCGCACCAGGCCTGGCGGTCCGCGAGCGGCGCGTCGACGGCGAGGTCCGGCGGCGGGCGCGGCCGCGGCGCGTGCGGCGTGACCGGCGGCGCGGCGGCGGGCGCCGCCGCGGCGCGGGCGCGGGCGCGCGCGCCGACGCTCGGCCGTGCCGGCGCCGGCGGAGAGGGCGGCGGCGACCCGGCGAGCGCCTCGACGGCGCGCTCCTGGCGCTTCAGGCGGATCGCGTCGCGCGCGAAGCCGCGCCGCGCCTCCGCCTGGAGCCGCGTCGCGGCCCAGCGTTGTTTCTTCTCAATCTTCTTCTGCGCCTTCGAGAGCTCCTTGGCCTTCTCGTGGTTCGCCTCCTTGCGCTTCTTGCGCTGCACTTTATACGCTTCCAGCACGCGCTCCTTGTCCTTGAGGCCGAGGCGCGGCTGCTGCCCGATCTCGGCCGGCAGCGACCACACGACGCGCCCTTTCGCATTTTTTCGCGGCGGCAGGAGCTCGGCCGTCACGTCCAGCGTGGCGAGGACCTTGCTGCCACCTTTAACGACGTCTACCACCCAAGCGGCGCCATCCGTGTCTGGGTTCGGGCGCCGCGGCTCGGAGACGTCGAGGTCTTGCGTAGTCATTATTGCACTTGTGTAGGCGGTCCGTGACGCGTGCAGCGTGACGCGTTCCGGTTCGGCGCGACCAGTAGCGTTGCAGCGCAGTGCTGTATCGGCTAGAAGCCGACGTGTGAGGCGAAGACAACAAGCTCAAGTCTTCGTGTCGTCCGGAGAGCTGCGCTAGAGGGGCTACCTAGCGACTCTACAATGCACACATGACTCCTTACCCCTGCGACTGGCTCGGCGCCTTGTCGAGCCGCGCGGCCCACGCAGCGGGAAGATCCGTCTGGGAGTTCGCCAACGCATAATCTCCTTTGATGTTCGCGCGGCGGCGCGGCTCCTGCGTCAGGTCCTGGGACGACTGCGTCCCGACCTCGGCGAGCGCGTAGGACAGCCGCGCGTCGCCACTAACCCCGGAGATCGGCGTTTTGAGCTTCTTGGGGGCCGGCGTCGGCGCTTCCACGGACCGCTTCCCTAATGTCAGGGGCTGCTGCCTTCCTCCCCTCCGCACGAAGGCGCCGCAGGCCACTCTAACGTCCGCCGGCTGCTTCGCTGGGTCTTCCGGCTTGATCCTCGACCACGCGTCGTCGGCCCTTCGCGCCACGCGGTCGTCGTTGTATGAAGCGGCCAACAACGGCGCCGCCGCCTCCGTCAGCCTATCCGCTTTCCCATCTAGAGCATCTAACACATTGCCGACGAACGCGATGTCACGTTCCAGCAGCTTCGGCACGCACTCCTGAATCGCCTTGCACACGTCCGTGCACAGATCTACACTATCGTTCCGCGCCAGTGCGACGCCGATCGAGTCCGCGAGGTCGCCAAACTTACCGTCCACGGCGACGGTCCGCTTCAGTATATAAGCCGCGTCGGCGACGGCCCTTGGTAAACCAACGGCGTCGTAGCCGCTCGCGTCTAGCAAAGCCGCACAAAAGCAACACGCGGCCGCGAGCGTTTCGGCACTCACCTCTTGCGTCGCGTCCTCGAGCGTCTCGCGCACTTGCGTGACGACCGCGACCGCTTCCACCGAATCACCCGATTTACGGCGCCCGACTCGTGCCAGATTCTGGCCCCAATTATCAGCTTCGTCGAGTCCCGTCGTCTGGTTCGTGTCGATGGCCGACAGCAGAGGCCAGGCCCACAGTCGAGCATAATCTTTGGGGTGGGCGCGCCACGCTATGAGTAGTGTCTCCCTATCTTCAGAAGCTTCGGCTTTTTCAAGAGCTTTCAGTAGTGATGTACCCTCAACTCGCGCGGCGAATGAAACATCACCACTCTTTGCTGCGGCGATGAGATCAAAGCCGTCGACGCCTTCATCAATGTAAGCACCTAGAATGTCACCGCCCGCTGAACAAACGATCTTCCTGAGCTTATCTCTACCAATACGCCGTCTAGCTAGCTTCCGCACCGCGTCACAGATGCCGTGCCGGTCGCAGTGCTTCGCGAGGCAATGCTCTAGGACCACTATGGTAGCTTTCACGACATACGCCTCCTCGCACCTTCTCAACAACTTGGCGAGACTTCTAGCGAGCAAAGGCGCCGGCGCGCGTTCACAGAGAGCTGCCATGTTATTTTCGTCGACGTCGTCCGAAAAAGCCTTCCCTAAGCTCTTGAGCACTCTCTCTAACGCTCGGGGCTCGTCGCAGGCCGCCGTGATCAGCTCCAGGCCGTAGGAACCTGACTGAGCCGCTCGGACGTAGGCCGCAGCGTAGGGCCTCGCCAGCATTTTTCCGTGCTGGCGCGCGGCGCGGCACCACCTTTCATCGTCCACACCCCGCAAGCAGCGGAACACGGCGTCCCACGCGGTAAAGAACTGCTTCAAAGGTGTCGAGTCTTTGTCTTGCGTGAGTGCGTTCGTCGCTTTGTTCCTACATTCCGAGAGCAAAGGAACGAGGGCCTTGGCGGCCTTGGCGTCGCCGTTGAATAGCGGCGAAGGATGGCAGCAGTCCAACAACGCTCCTATTGAATCGCAGACGTCGGTCCCGTTTCTCAGTTGATCCTTCCAGGCCGGGATCAACAGTTCCGTCAGCGTTCGTTGCGAGAGCCAATCTGATAAAGGTCGACCTCGTCTCAAGGTAGAAGCGGCCCTTCTTAACGACGCGGCGACGGCCCTGGCGACGTACGGTCTCGGGTCGGCGCACCTCGACGCGAGGGCACAGTCCCAATAACCGTCGTCGTCGACTTGCGTCGGGCTGTGAAAACTGCGTTCTCCAGCTTTTGAGGATTTGAACGCACACAACGCGTAGGCCGGGTCTGTGGTACTTCTACGTACCACAGCATCCAGGACTGAGAGAGCCGCGGTTTCTAAACGAGAGTCATTCTTCTTCAGTGCAGCGCAGGCCACGACGCACCACCTTGATGCATATTCTGCCGGCTCGGGGCCCTTCGACGGGCCGCAGGCGTAGGCTTCTAGAGCCGCACTCGCCGCGTCCAGTTCGTTATTTTGGAGTGATGTCCGCGCGGCATCCAAGGCTGCCCTTGACAGAGCTTGCCTCGTGAGTCCCGCCTCTACCAAGGACGACGCGAGTTTCGACGGGCGGCGCCCGGCGACCCTTACCAACAATGACAAGCACTCCGCCGCCGCCCTATCATTGGAAGCGCGGAGGTCTTGTAACAAAGCACCCACTATAGAAGGGGCGTAGTCCGGCAGATGTTCGTCGAGCTCCTTCGTCGTACAATCCCTTGGTGTTGTTTTTACTGTCAACGAGTCTCTGTTGTCCGATGCGTCCTCTTCCAGTAAGTCTCGAAGGCCCGCGTAGCGCGCCTCCCTCGGCACGTCCTTGCGCCAGAGCTTGGCGACGGCCGAGGGCGTGACGGTCGCCATCGTTGCGCTCTCTTCGTGTCCTGCGCTGCGCTGCGCTGCGCTTCAAATGCGCTCTGCCTTTGTATTTGAAATGGCGGGGCGCGCGCGTGCCGCGGCTCTTTCCGCGCAGCGATGCGAACTAGATAAGAGCCTCTCGCGCTGCGCAATCGATAAATGGCGCCGCGCACAAAGTTCACAGCTCAAATCGCGTCTCGGGAGGAGCGGTCTCTCTAGTGAGTCTTTCACGGTATGAATAAATGAAGAGTCCAAACGAGAATCATACACCTCACCACCGCTCTGGATGTCTACCGTACTCCACCGCGTACCGTTCGGCTCGCCCCCATGCATGCAATTGAGAGGCTGCCCGAAAAACGAGTCGCTGCCGCGGCGCAGAGCGCATAGCTCGCCAGCAGGCTGCACCCATCAAAACGAGCCATGCGCCTCGCCGCATTTGCCATCCTGCACGCGGCGGCAGCCAAGAAGACCAAGCGGTGGTGCGGCGCCCAAGGACTAGAGCAGTACAAACGGGGCATCGACCGGGACCAGCTGGAAGGCTGGGGCGTTCTGTTGCTCGGTGCACATGCCACGACAATACCGGAGATCGCGCCACTTGCCGAGTCGATGCGGTCGCGCCTCGGCACTCTCGTAATGACTGCAGCGGAGAGGAATGACGCCTGGGACGAGTTGTGTTCCAGAGACGGGGCGCACTGCTTCGTTGGGGACGTACCTCTCGTACCACATAAAGCCGCAGCAGTCGTAGCCATAGACCACTGGGATTTCAGCAGAGAGTCGGGAATGGCCTACGCTCGAAGACTGAGGGAGCTCATGCACCCCGAAGGGAGGCTGCTCATAGGGACGACGAACAACGCCACGTCTACATTATCACCGGAGAAGTGGTCCGACGCGTTGGACGCCGCGGGGTTTCCTTTCGTGTTCTTCGCCAAAGATGGGTGCGACGACGCGATCGCCGCGACCGTGCCGGGTACCGGGCCCTTGATCCAGGCTGAACGTCGCATGGAGATTGTAGACGACGTGCTGACGCCTCCCTGTGATGTCATTGACGGTCGCATTCTACGTACTAGATTGAACGAGCGAGACGAGAGAGCTTCTTTATATGAGGGTGCTTACTTCGGCAAGGACCACGCCATACGAGCCGTGCGCGTTGGTCCATGGTGGAACGCGACACAAGAGGCTGTGGAGAGAGTCTGGCTGAATTTGGAGGGCGTCCAAGCCACTGGTGAACCTTTCGCAGTGATCCCCAAGTACTTCGCGACCTTCAACGAACACGTGGCGCGGTTGGTTCCTGCGAATGCGACACGTGTTCTGGACGTCGGCTGCGGCGCCGGTTTGTTCCTGAAAAAACTTAAGGAAGAACGGCCCTCGTTAATTATTGATGGCGTCGAGCCCGACCCGATTGCCGCACTCGCGGCCAAAGAACATTTAGATAGCATCACGCATGGTAGTATGCCGGAAATAGCGAACATTTTCTCAGATGATACCTACGACGCCATCATCCTATCTGATGTGTTGGAGCACCTGGTGCATCCCGATAAACTGTTAAGAGCGCTATCACCAAAGTTAACGCGGGGCGGTGTCTTGTGTATATCGTTACCCAATATACGTTTCTGGCCCGAGTTCGTGCGGCCTTTACTAACGGGAGCATGGGACTACGCGCCCCATGGTGTGTTGGATCGGACGCACCTCCGCTGGTTCACTTATTCGTCGTTTATGCGCCTCGCGGACGCTGCCGGGTTTATAGAGGCGGCACCGCTACTCAGGATGCACTACGGCGAAGACCAGAAGGCTCCTCGAAGTCTCTTGGAGGCTTTGGCGGCCGACGCCGGCAGTGACGCGGCGAATTCCTTTTATGACGAATCCGACGTGCGCCAGTACTTGATCACACTCAAGCGGCGCGACGAGCCGCCGCCACCACGACCCTACGACCCGGCCATTTTGGAGGCGCGGCTGGCGGAGATCGACAAGTGGCAGACGGACCAGCGCTGGACGGGGGCGTCGAGGGACTCGGAGAGCGAGTGGGTGAGCCCAACGGATCAAGCGAAGCGCGTGGAACTTTAACCTTGTTGTTGTTTCTTTACCAGGACGACGACACGGCGATGGCGTAGGATTCTTCGCACTAGCTAGACGCACTAGCAAGCGTTTTACGAGGAACGTGATTGTTGTTGCAGCCGAAACAGGGGCTGCCCCTGACCGATTTTCAGTTGCGACGTTGCGACCGCGTTGCGGCTGCGCCGCTGCCCCGCAACGATGGCCGCCCCCCAACAAAGGGAACGATGGGCCTTGGGCGCCGCCGCGGCGGCTGCCTACCTCTACCTCTACGCCAAAAAACGGCAGCAACGCATCGAACGCGCAGCATTAGCCATGTGTGCGCACCCGACGGGCTCCGATGGATGGACCGCCGGGCGCCAGTTACTCTCGACCCTATTGCGGCAAGGCAACACCTACGCGACCTGGTCCCTGGCTTTGCGGTCAAAACGCTTCGAGAGCCTGTTTTACGACGGATCCATAGCTAGAGCGACGGTGACGCCCGCGGACCTCGGTGTGACACAAAGGACGTCCCTGAAGCAGCTCAAACGCTTGGATCTAGGGGGGCGGGACCAGCGCCAGATGATGGAGCGGTTGGACGCCAACGACCGTGCCGGCGCCGAAAGTTTATTTCCGGACGGCACCCATTCTCATGTGTTAACTGGTGGCACGCTCGAGATGAGACTGGAAAGGAGACGGAGATTGTCAGAGGCCTTTCCCCACCGACGTTTTGTGGTTGTTCATCCCGAGGTCGAGGGGCGGTGTACGCTGCTCTCTGTCGAAGGGGAGCTACAACGGTTGCTGTCGCCTCGTGTGACCCACGTGCTATTGGTTGCCAAGGGTAGCACCGATCTACATTTGGCCTGGCTCGATGCACAGGGTGCTGCGAGCGCACCGGGGTGTTCGACCTCGGCCGTGCACTGCGTCCGCAAGGGCGCGCCGTCGTCGGCGAAGGAGCTCTTCCGATCTTACCTAGCAAAGCCGGCGAATTCAGCGCTGCTCGATTCTCTGCAGAACGGAAGGGGCGCCGTCGTTTTTGCCGGAGCGTCGATCTTCGCGATCGGCCGCGACAAGGCCGCGCGGGGCAACTACTTCCGGCCCTTGGCTGCGTCGGACTTCGAGGGGTGTAGCGCGGCGGAGTTCGAGAGGTACGTGGCCCAAGCGTACGACGCGGCGTGCTTCGTCGGGTCGCGGGCGTGACGCGTCCGCTCGATGGCGTGGGGGCTTCGACGCGTCCGCCTCGACGCCATCGACGCGACGTCGATCAAATGTGTAAACTGTCTAGTAAACTAAGTACTTAAACTTGCATATGCTAGCAGTCCGTCGGCGACGACGGCCGCGCCGCGAGGTGCCCGCGGACCCCGTAAAACTGCTCGACGCGCTGGACCGCCTCGAGGTCCGCCGCGATTTCCTTGTCGCATTCCGCGTCCACCTCATCCACTATGAACTCGTCGTCGAGCCGCACGTGCGGGTCGAAGGTCGCATCACTATCGCTCGGCGTGAACAATAAATCGCCGCCCGTGCCAAAATTATACCGCTCCCGCGGCGCCGGACTTTGACCGTCGTCCAATAAACGAACGCACCGCCGCTCGAAGTCGAAGAGCATGGGAATACCGGTAGGAATCTCAATCTCCGGCACGCGATCTTCGGGAATTTCGCACAGGTGCATGAGTAACCCGCGAATCGCGTTTTCGGACGACGCCACCAATACATTCTTACGTTCATCAAGCGCCTTCTGGATCGTATCTATATAGTACGGTGTGACGCGCTCCATGCAGTCCTTTAACGACTCGGCCCTTGGCAAGGCCGGGTGCTCCTCGATGCGACCGTGGGCTATGCTGCGAATCGCCGACTGTAGGAAAGACACGGGCAGGTCGTGGGCATACGTTGTGTACCGCTCGTCGTTCCCGGGGTAGTGCGGTGAGAACGGACTCACCGCAGGCGGCCGTTCGGCGTAGCCGCGCCGCCACTTCCGGAACTGCGCGTCGCCGTACTCCTGCTGGATCATCTTCTTACTGAGACCGGTCAAAGCGCCGTACATGCGCTCGTTCAAGCGCCAGGTCTTCACGATCGGGAGCCAGACCATGTCGAGCGGTGCGAGCGCGAGCCACGCCGTTTCTATGGCCCTACTCAACCATGAGGTATATACGACATCTAGCTTGATGCCGTGCGCCGCCATCAACGCGCCCGCTTCGGAAGCTTCTCGCCTACCCTCGGGAGCTAAGGGCGCGTCCTCCCATCCCGTAAAGAGCCCTAACTTATTATGGGTTGTCTTGCCGTGCCTGATGATGACTAGCAATGGAGGCGGGTCGGGCTCGCCCGGGAGGGCCTTCCTGAGATGCCTTCTGTGTCGTCGTTTCCGTCGCGTAGCTAACACCGCGTCGGCCTTGCCTGGGGACGGTTCCGGCGTCTCTTCCGAACCGGCTAGGTCCGCGAAGACCCGCCTCCGACTTTCGAGGGTAGCTAACGATCTCTCAAGAGGTGTGAGCTCGGCCTCGCCGGACACAGGCGCGTCCTCGTCATCACCCGTTCTCCGTTTCTCCTCTCTAGCTAGAGCGGTCCGCAGCAACCCTCGTTCTTCGAGGAACTCGCCGGAAATTACGTCAGACTCTCCTTTCACGACCTTCAGCTCGTTGTTGACCTGCTCGAAGCGGTAGACGAGGGGGATCCCGTTCGGCACCGCGACCTTCTCGATCGCGCTATCGTCGATGCCGTCGATCTCCTTCACGAGGCCTCTCAGACTATTACCGTGCGCCACCACGAGCACGTCGTGGCCCGCCAGCAAGTCCTTGCGGATATTTTCGTGCCAGAGCGGTCTTACCCTCTCGAGACAATCTCGCAAACTTTCAGCGAGCGGTATTCTCGCACGCTCCACACCATCATACTTCCGTTCTCGCAACGGCGACAGAGTGTGGTCCGCGGGCATTTCTGGAGGGCGGTCGTCGAAGGACGCGCGTATCCTCGTGGCTTTATCGCCCCCGAGCTCTTTGGCCAAGCGAGCCTTCGACAGGCCTTGCAGGGCGCCGTAGTGCCTTTCATTGAGTCGCCAGTCCTTTACTACCGGTCTATACGTTTGTCTCAATTCAGCCAGTAGGACCATCGTCGACGTCACAGCTCTTTTAAGGACAGAAGTATAGACCGCATCCACCTTGTAGCCCCGCTCCAACATGAGTTGCGCGGCGTGCTCCATCTCCCGCCGGCCGCGCGCCGACAGGTCCACATCTACCCAACCAGTAAAAAGCTTGCCCGCGTTCCAGGTGCTCTCGCCATGTCGTAAAAGTATGAGCGTGCCGGGCTTGCCGGGCTGGGCCCTTTTGAGTGAGGTCGTGATGGGCCGGCGCTGCAGGGCGCGGCGGAGGAGCATCGTGGCGCCGGCGCGTCACCCCTGGCCTCTCTTGCAGCAAGGAGAGCAGCTCTCTTTTTGAAACTGCTCGTCCTGCGCTATAGGGCTTGGCGACGGGTGTTAGGCAACGTGGAGCCGTGCCGTAATCACTGTGTTGCAGCCAATTGTTGCCCCTAGGACGGCAGCGTCACGCGACGACCCGGCTCGAGCCTGGCTAGTGTCTTACAGGCCGCTAGCCACTTAATTCACGGTTACGCCATCGACGCGACGATCGATCGCCCCAACAAGCTCCGCGAACGACGGCCGGTCGTCTGGATCCTCGGCCGACGCGTGGCGGATCAAGGCGAGCAAAAAGGCCCGGTCGCCGCCCGTCGCTCGGTCCGCGATGTAAGGGAGCAGCCACGGTCTGTTGGCGACGTCGTAGACGTGTGTCTTTTCGGAAAGAAGCGCACACGTGCCCTCGAGACACTTCCCGCGCGCCTCGGGCGCGCCGCGCGCGCCGGCCTCGCAGGACCCCGGGCGGCGGCACGAGTGATTATTTTTTGTGGGAGGGCAGTCGTCGTCCGTTTCGCACTTGACACGCTGTGCATTCAGGAACTTCTGCAACGCGCTCTCGCCGAGCTTGCTGCCCCAGGTCCGCAGGACGGCCTCGCCGAGCGGGGCATTCGCCAATAACCGCGGTCCGTCGACCATGAAGACCTCACCTTTATAAGTCATCGTGAACTGCTCGGCCTTGAACGAATTTTGGAGGTGGCCTGTCGAGGCCCACGACCGGAAGCACGCGAGCAGTGACCGCGCCAGTTGCAACGGCTGCGCCTCAGCTTTACGTCGGAACGCGTCCGAGAGCACGGTCGGCGCGGTCCCATACTCGGGCGGACCTTTTCCGATGGGGTCCCCACAATCGCCAACCACATAAGTGACGTGCTTGCCGTCACGCCACGCGCCGTATAACCGAGGAACGCCCGGCGCGCCCCGGAGAACCTCGAGGTACAGCATTTCCAGATATAAAGTGCCGCCGCCCGCATCACTTGATTTCTGGCTTCGTTTCACGACGACCGACTCGATGCCGTAGACGCCGGCGCCGCGGTCGCGGTCGACGGTCGCGCGGTAGACGACCTTCGCGTTGGCCTGCGCGCCGATGCGGCGCCACGGTTGACGGACCTGTGTCGCTCCCGAGACGGTCCAGGCCGGCGGCGGCGTGCCCTTGTCCCACCAGGCGTCGAGCGCGGCGGCGCGTCGGAGCAGCGCGGCCACGTCAGGCTCGTGAGGGACGCTTTTCAATACTAGATGGTCCAGCTCGCCGGCGCGGGGCCGGTGCGGTTGACCCAGCGTTCGAGGGCGGCGGCGCGGGCGAGGAGCGTGTCGGTGTCCGGGGCCGCGCGGGCCGTCGCCAAGACGAGCCAGGCGAGGCGCCGCATTGATCAGTCTTTAATGTGCAATTAGAGTTTTTGTAAAATTTAAGCTTGAGGCCTCGCGCGGCTTGGTTTCTCGGCCGTCGCTTTCGGTTATAGATCGTTTCGACTCATCAGGCGACTCAGGCGACTGACGCAATCGACCAGCCGATGCCGGCAGCTAGCGGTCGTAAGACACTAGCCCGCATGGCCAGCAGGCTTGGATGAGCCGGCTAGCAGCGGCTAATGACTCTCTGCTGGTGCTAACCGGTGCAAGCCTCTCTCCTGTGCAGCTTCCCTCGCTGCGGCATCTGTTCGGCATCTGTTCGGCTTTGGAATTGGCATCCGCTCAATATTGGCAAAGGCTCTCGCAAAGCTAAAAGAGCGGTTGATGCGATGAGAGTGAGACTGCTCCTCTACGGAGCCGCCGCAGCAGCCGCGGCGCCCGCCTGGCTCCCAGTCGAGCCGGGAGCAAGCTGCCTACCCGACCCCTACGAGGGGCTCGACGCCGTCGCGCGGGAAAACGCCGAGATAGCCGCAACAGCCTTGGACGCGACGACGGTCTGGACGCTCGATGCCGCGGACGCGGCCAAATTCGACCACGCCCGCGCCGCGACTTTCGGCCACATTACCGCCGGCGGCGCGCACGCGCTCCTCGCCGCCGCGCGGCGGCTGGCGGGACGGCCCGTCGAGCGGCTCGTGGATTTGGGCTCGGGCGCGGGCCACGTCGTGATCTACGCGGCCGCGCTGGCGCCGAACGTGACCGCCACGGGCCACGAGCTCGCCGCGGGCCGTCATCGGGCGGCGGTGCGGGCGCGCGCGGCGCTTCCTTCTAGTATCGCGCGGCGCTGCGCCTTCGTCGAGGGCGACATGCTCCGCGCGGACCTGTCAGGAGCGGACGTGGTCTTCGCGTCAACTCTAGCTCTGGGCGACGACCTCCGCCGGCAGCTCGCCGAGAAGCTCGCGAAGGAAGTTTTACCGGGCGCCGTCGTCTTCTCGTCGACGCGGCTCCTCGGCGGGCCGGGCGACCGGCCGCACGTCGTCGCGCCGATGTCGTGGTCGCCGGGCCACGAGGTCGCGGCGCACGTCGTGGGCGCGGGGACTTTCGCGGCGGTGTGATGTGATATAAGTATCTGTGAATTTCGATAAGACACGTCCTTACCCGCTACTCACTTCTTCTGGTACTCCTCGGCGATGGCCTTGAGCTCCTTGACGCCCTGGGACATGTCGTCGTAGGCGAAGAGGCCCGAGCCCGCGATGAAGCAGTTCGCGCCGGCGGCCGCGCACGCGCCGATCGTCTCCGGCGTGGCCTTGATGCCGCCGTCGACCTGTGTGGAAATCAACCAGTGCGTCGGGTGCTATCGGCGATGACGCGGCCGTCCTGGCTCGGTCGAGCAGCGGTGAGGAACCGATATCGCCACGCCATCGAGCAAGCGTCGCGTCGATGGCGTGGAGGTCGACGCGACGATTCAGCACGAAGGCGCCGTGAACTTTTGATTTTCACACAGCCGTCGACCTCGATGTCCACGTCCAAGCCGCGGTCGACGATCCATTTGCGGATCTTCTCGATCTTGTCCGTCATCGTCGGGATGTAGGCTTGGCCGCCGAAGCCGGGGTTCACGGTCATGACGAGCACGTGGTCGACCAAGTCAAGGACGTTCTCGACGGCCTCGGCGGGCGTCGACGGGTTCAGCGCCACGGACGGCGAGCCGCCCATGGCCCGGATGTTCGACAAGCTGCGGTGGATGTGCGTGCACGCCTCGACGTGGACGATCACCACACCCGGCTCGCCGTTGGGACCCTTCGTCGCCTCCGTGAACTGGGGCAGCATCGCGTCCGTGCACCGCTCCGAGACCATGAGCTGCGTCTCGAACATGAGCTTGGTGGTCTTGCGCTGCGCCGCGATGACGTCCGGGCCGAAGGTCAGGTTGGGCACGAAGTTGCCGTCCATGACGTCAAATTGAATCCGGTCGCACCCTGCTTTTTCCAGGGCCGTACAATCCAAACCGAGCGCGGCGAAGTCCGCCGGCAGCACGGACGGGATGATCTGCACCGGGCGCGGCGCGCCGTAGAGCGCGGCCGCCGGCGCCGCGGCGCCCGCGAGCAAGGCGAGCTTCAGCTTCATACTACGACCTGCGGTCGCGGACGCGCGGTGAGTGATCAATGCATTTGCTTGTTTTCAAATTGTGGGAGCGAGCGCGACGACGACGCGTAACAGTATGCTTGCCTCAAGCAAGCCGTTTGCGCTCGCCACGACGCGATTTGCAGCGGTGCTTGGGTGCCAGCTCGCCATTGATGCAATTTTCATGCTCGCGAGTAAACTATTTGCGCATGCGATTGATGAAGATGTTAAAGAGGTCCGTTTAGGCGCTGCCGGGTGCGGTTTTGAGTTGTGTTGCGACGTCGCGTCTGGTGCTAAAGGCACGAGCTCCTCGTCACTGCTATCAAGATTGTGGCCGCGTTTCGATCTGTGCCTGCGAAAGGCACGACGTGATAGCAAGAAACTGCAGACCCAATGACCGCAGAAGCGTCAGAAGCGTTTAAACCCGCACGGTAGGTCTCAGCACGCGCGCCTGGGTGCCTGATGCGAATCCGTCACCGCGCGGCCAACTGCTTGCACCGCAACGGGAGAGCAAGCGTACTCAGCCGTTGCGTCGAAATATAGGCAACAGAGCTTAAGATTTTGCACCACAGCCTCTGCCACAGCTCTGCCAGCCTTGACACATCATAGATTTTGACCACCGCATCCAACATCTTCGCACAATTCGTCGACAATGAGCACATTCCAAGCCGCAGCGCTGATCTTCCTAGCGAGCCACGCGTCGGCAGCACAATTCACCAAAACGTCCGCGTCCGTCGGCCATCCGTTCCTGCGGTACGACGCGTTCCTCTTTGATCGAGGAGTGCTGCACGACAACGTCAACGCGAAACTATATGCAGCAAAAGCCATCGAGGCGTTGCAGCTCGCGGGCAAGCTAGTAATAATCGGCAGCAACGCGCCCCATCCCAACGACGACGAGCTGGCATTTCTCCAGCGACTCGGCGTCGCGAACCTCGCGACGTCGCTCGAATACGCGAAGCTAAATGATGACGTACCGATGGTGTCAATCTTCACCTCGGGCCATGTCGCCCGAGAAGAGCTGCGCAAGCCCTCGTGCTGCTAGAGTTTTCCAATGATCTAAAAACCGGTGCTAGCGCGTGGCGGCCGTTGCTGCTAGTCACACTGTCTGCGACGATAGTCTCTATATTTCTGCCGTCGCCGGGTCGTCCAAAGGGCTAATAGCGTGGTGTGCGCGGACCGGTGGGCTAGCCTCTGTAACACACTAGCCCGTCGATGCTCAGCTGCAGCATAATTACACAAGCAAGTTCTTTACAACAAAAAGGCTAGTGGTTCCTCCAGGGCGCCTGCGCGTCCGCATAAACATCGGGATCGAAGCGCGAAATGTCTGTCTCATCACTGTCGTAGTCAAAATCCGCCACCACGATCCTTTCCGTCACGATGACGGACAGCATTAGCCGGGACGGAAGCACCGCCGTTGGGAGGTAGTCGCCGAGCCGCGTGCCGTCGCGCAGCTTCTCGAGCGTTCGTTCGCGTGGAGCCAGTATTCTTAGATTGATTCCGGACGCGTCGCGGCCGACAGCGCGAGCGATGCGGCTACGCAGCTGTTCAACGGACAGCGACGGCGCGCACCGGCAGGCCCCGCGCCGCGCGTCGTCTTCGCGGTCGACGAGCTGTAGTGGTGCCAGCGTTGCTTCCCCCGTTACGCCCACGCATTTGTACGTTGCGACAGACATGAATGCAATCGAGTGTTTCCTCCCCTCTTTACTAACCAGCGCAACGCTTCGCAGCTCCGCGTCTCCGAGGCAGGCGAGGGTGCTGTCGTGCAGGAGGGCTGCATCTCCCATTTGTGGGTTTTGATGAGTCGCTGCTGGTGATATAACGGCGCAGCACACCGTCGCAGTCCACTCGTGCGGGTGCGTCAGCTCAGAGCTCGTCTACTTTTGGCTGAACCAGCTTTTGGAGCTAGCGCAACACACATGCTAGGATTTACCTGCGCCGCGCGGCCGACCAGCGCGCTTGAGCACGGTGGACGCGCTGCCTTTGCTTTTGATCGTACTGACGCCCTCCTCGCTGTCGATTGCATTCATCAGCGCTCAACGTTTAAACTAAGATGGGAGACGAGGCCCCGCCCGCGGAGCCCATCGTCGACGAGACACCCGTAGAAGGCGGCGCCCTAGACGACCTCGCCGCCATGGCCAAGGAGAGCGCCGCCTTCGCGCTGGAACTGGCGCGCCCGACGCTCGAAGCCATCAAAGCGGACCCGACGCAAGCGGCGCCCTGGGTGGCCGGCCTCCTCGTTTGCATGAGACAGCGCGGCTTCAACCGCGTCGTGCTCCTCGGCACGGTGGCCGCGGCCTGGACGAGCTTGGAGAACGTCGAACTGATTGAAGGGGTGGCGCCCGAGCATGTAAGACTAGCGGTCGTGGCCCTGCTCGCTTTACTGCCAGCTCTGGGCCGCCGCAAGGGCCATCCCGAGCGCTTGGGAGCTGCGGGCGCGGTCCGCTCGCCGCACCACGCGGCGCACCGCCGCCGCCTCGTTGCGTTTTACGAGAAAAACGCGCCCGAGAAAATCAATGATGTGGACGCGATCCTCGCCAAGTACCTCGGGCGCGAGGATGCGCTCTTCGCGCGGCTCGAGCAGAAGTACGCCGCGCCGTCGCCGGCGCGGGCCTCTCCTGTAAAAGCGGCGCCGTCGCCGGCCAAGGCGCCGAAATCCACCAACAAGAAGGCGCACGACGCGAAGCAGGACGCGCGGGCCGCCATGGAGGCGCGCCTCAACGCGCGCCTCGCGCGCAAGAAGTAGGCGCTATGCCTAGTCCATAAGCTCTGTTCGAAACGTGACATTACAGGGTTCCAACAATGGGGTCGCGGCGATGGGCGTCGTTGTCGAGATACGCCACCAGCTCCCGGCCGGCGGGAGTCATCGCGAAAAGGGTTCATATCTCGTACGCGCGGCCGCCCGTCGCGTGGTGCGATGGCCGTTGCCGCGGGTCCTCGCCGTCGGGCGCGGCCGCGCAGGGCTTGCAGACGGTGGCCGTCGGCGGTGGTGGGCGGCTCGCGTCCCCGGACGTCGCCCGGGCCTCGGCCTCGCGCGCGGCCGGTCGCGGGTCGGAGGGCGGCAGCGGCCAGCGGGCCGCCGCGGCCCGGAGTATCTCGTCGCCCGAGTCGTCGTCGCCGGCCGCGTCGCACGGCGGCGGCCGCCGCGGGCTCCGGGCGCGGGCGAGGTGCTGCTCGTAGGTCTCGCCCGCGCGCGACGGCGACACCGGCTCCAGCGCGACCTCGCGCACCACCTCGGCCGGCGCGTTCTCTGCCGCCTCGTCGTCGCCGCCGCCGCCGAGGCAGCCCATGAGCTCACTGTAAAACGAGCCGCCGCCCCCGGAGCAGCGGCCCGAGGCCATGGCTTAGTGCTCTGGGCAATAGTACTGGGGCAGCCCCACACACGACGATTGCTTCCGTATGCGGTTCGGCCGCCTCCCCGCGCCGGAGAGCAGAGCAAAATGGCAGAGATGAGATCAGATCCAGCGCGCCCCCGCGCGCCGGGTTCGAGGCCAATTTAGAGGTACGAATAGTACAAATAAAAACACATATTAATCTGAGGAGACGAACCCGGCGAACGCGCGCGCCACCGCGTCGACGCCCAGCTGCGAAAGGGTCCGCTCGTTGTCCGCCGCGATCTTCGCCGAGTTGGCGTGTTCGAGGCCGTCGACCAATACCAGAGACACCGTCGGGTGGGGCGCGCGCTTCTCGAAGTGGAGGGGGTCGTCGTCCGGGACGCCGCCGAAGGCCCAGGCCGGGTGGAAGCCCGCGATCTGGATGGCGTCATCGCTTGCCTCGGGCATCACGTCGTCCTCGAGGGCCTCGACGGAGCGCAGGAACGCCGGGAAATCGTCGGGCTCGTAAAACGGCGCCACCAGAAACACGATCGCCGCCGTCGGGTCCACGTCCGATGCCGCGGCCAGGTCGCGCGCGCAGGCGACGGCGGCGGCGTAGAAGGCCTTCTGATTATCCGCTTCCGTCACGACGTACGAAATCGCGTCCGACGTCTCGAGGGATTTCCGCGCAAACGGACACAGATTGACCGCGGCGATCCAGAGCGCCCAGGCGGCCGTCGCGGCGACGGCGTCGCGGTGCCAGGTGTCGGTCGCGGCGTCGTTCGCGCCGGCGACGGCGTGGCGAACTATGGTCGATCTGTGGCGGCTGCCAGCTGCCAACAGGAGAGGCAGGGCGAGTAGCATGGCTGCGATTCCTGATCAATACCGATGCTGCATCAGTAAAAAGTCATCAATGTGAGGCGTGTGCTGCCGTTTGGAGCATCAATGTGGCAAAGTGGGCGGGCCGGAGCTAGCGGCTGTAAGACACTAGCAAGTTGGGCGTGCGAGTCCGTGCGACTCAGCCCTTGCGTCCTAGTCCAGCCGGACGGGTGGGCCCGGGGGGAGCGGGAGGGGTACGGGGAACCCTGCGACGTAACTAGCCTGAGCCTGTGATGTAGGGGTGGCGCGAGTAGGGGATCGCCGCCTCCGCCGTGACGATGGTGATATATATTCTTACTCGTACTACCGCCAACTATGGGGCTCAGTCAAATGTGGCGGTCGCTGTAGTCATTGTAAGGCGTGCCCAGTACACTGGTAATCCAACATGTCTGGTAGCGCTCCAATTGGTCACGGCGCGCGGCGGATGTCACAAGGGAGGACTAGGTCATCCACGTCGCCGTCGTCGAACTTGATAGCGTACGTGCCCTCCTTGTGGCACGTTTTGACCTTGCCCGGGAACCAGTTGCCACCCATGTATCTCGCCTTGACGCGGTCGCCGATTTGATAAGCGGTCGCGGTCGGCGGCGCGGCGACCTTGCGGCGCTTTACACGCAGCAGATTCACGGGAAGGTCCTCAAAATAGCCGTCGTCGTATTCGACATTATAGGTCCCGTCGTCGTTCTGGGAACAAACCGTCGCCGGATACCACTTGTTTTCCGGGCGGTATAAAGCTTCCACGCGGTCGAACTGCTCGAAGGATTGAGGACCATTGTCATCAGGTAGCGGCCGGGCCACGGGCATAACCTCGTCGTCGGACGCATCATCACTATTAACGAAGGTCTTTTTGGGAACAGTAGCCTTGCGCTTGCGGCCCGACTTCTTCGGCGACGCCTTGGCAGCCTTGGCGGCCGCGCGCTGCGCCGCAGCGACGGCCTGCGCCGCCGCGTAGGCGTCGTCGTATGCGTCGACCGCATCATACAACCACTTCATCTCGGCCTCGACCTTATTTAAGAGCGCGGCCGCATCTTCATGAAATCGCGTCGACGCGACGTGGGCGTTGATGAAGTTCTCCGACGGCAGGAACTCGTCGCACTGCGCGTCTATGCGCGTCTTGTAGCCCGTGAGGTACGGGAGCAGCTTGTCCTTCAACTCTTTCTTTGTAACGATGCCACGGGCCACGATCAACTTCTCTTCGTCACTCAAAATACCGTCGTCACCCATGTCGCGGAAGAATCTCAGCGGGTCCGCACGGAAGGCTTTGAGATCCAAGAAAGCATATCTAAACGCACAAGCAAGTCCAAAACCTTTACCCAACGCCTCCAAAATTTTCTCATTATTGAAAGGTAGCACTAAATACATGTCCTGTTCTAGCTCTTCCTTTTTCGGAAGAGTAACTTTGGTATAGGCAAATTGACAAGTTTTGCCATCTTTGACAAGGTCTGACTTAGTTGCCCCAGACAAACGATTGCGGATGCGCTTTTCATGTACAGTAATGCCCTTCTCTCCCAATAACCTAACACCATCAGTCAGTCCTGTGGCTTGTAGAACAACATCAGCCTTGCCCTCTTCCTTGATTGTAATACTAAAGGGCTTGCCCCCGCCCATGGTTTTGGAATGAAACGGCTTCGAGTCCTCATGTAGCTTGATGCGGGCAATAAGACCGGCAGAATGTTCGAAAAGGGGCGGTTCCACCACCGTTGAATCGATGAAGCATGTGACAGCGCAGTGTGATTTAGGTGCCATAAGGTACGTGACGTGTACCACCGACGCCGGCACATAAATATCGTCAACTTCAAACGAGATGGGGTGTTTCAATTCAGACTGACCATAGCCCAGTGGAACTAATTCAGTTAATTCTGGTAATTGCAGAAGATGCAAAACTGCAAGAGAAGACTTGTCGCGCTTGTCGCTGCGGCAGAGCGAGTACTCGTGCGCGAGCGTCGTGGGCGTCAGCTCCCGGAACCCGTAGCGTTCGCGCACTGCGTTGGACGCCTTGACGACTTTCAGGACCGCAGGTCCTATTTCCTCGGGAGAGGCGACTTCTACAATAGTACCTGTGTGTTAGGTCGAGAGCGTCACGGAGCCGTAAAATCGAAAAAAGAAACCACCCACTTCATTGTGAGATGGCCACGTTTCGACGCGCCATCGAGGCGCCTTCGGCGTACCTCTAGAGTTCCCCAAGACGTCTTGCTTAGTAGGACGCGGCGGCTCGCCTTCCGGTAAATGGCCGCATTCGAGCAATTTCACCAGTAAATCAAAAGTGATTGAGAGTGCTTTGTTGGGCGTCGTAGATGGACTCCATTGCTTATTTTTCTGGTACATGTGGAGCGTGTAAGTATAGGTAGGGGCAGAGTCCGGGCCCGACCTGTGTTGAACGACGCCGTCGAGGCACTGACGCAATTCATTCACGAGACGCGTGGACTCTCTCGTGATCATGAAGACGGCGTCGACGCGACTTGGAAGTTCGGAAACGTTCGGAAATCACGCTGAGTCACGGACCGGGTCCTCACGGCGACCTGATGGACACCACCAGGGCCGAGCTTGCCCCATTTGGGCTTCTCGTCGACAATGGCGAAGTCGTCATACTTCGTCTTGCCGCCGAGAGCGAGTAGGAGATGAGTATCGGCCGCATATTTGAGCACCGGAGCCGCCAAAATAATGGTTCGGGGCTTCTCGGAGGCGAGCCGCGACAGGCGCGTCGCGACAAGCGCGTTGACTTCGTCCGCACGCTCGATCGAGGGGTCGCGGTTCCACTTGATTTCGCGACCAGTGGTGACGACCTTCGCCTCGACGGAGTCGCCCGGCGTGTGGAGACCTGCCTGATGATCTATAGCGCGTTGGATGCGCTCGCACGGGCCCAGCACAGGAGGCAGAGGTTGCAGAACGTCGGCGAGATCGCGGCGAACATTACCGTCGTTCTCGCCTTTCTCGACGTTCCGGTCGTAGCCTGGGGCCAGCTCCACGTAACACGACGCCTTCGCAGAGCTCGCGGCGAACTGCGTCGCGCCACCCGCGAGAGGCCGCAGATCTGCGCGGAAAACGAGTGAATTAAGGTAGTAAGTCGCGTCGATGGCGTCGCGCTCTTCGAGGGCGTCCAGCACTCGTCGAGGCCTCGGCAGACGCCACGACGACAACGCGACGATCCAGTCCGTCGGCAGCGGTGGCACCTCTCGTCTCGATGGTGTAGTGGTGAAAGAGAGGTAATTCTAGACGCTGATAGCTAACAATTTTGCTCATATGTGGAAATGACCACCATGAGTAATAAGGAGCCCATGGCGCATGGCTTCCACATTATCTTCTTAAAGTTTCGGCGAGCTTCGAGCAAATCCGACGGGTCCCAGTCACAAAAGCCGCCGCAGACGACCGCGGGCGCCGCGTCGCCACCAGCAGCTTCACTGTGGATGACGTCGGGCACGCGCACACCAGTGACCTTGTCGATCAAGGGATAGAGGTGGCGCTCGCCGACGGTGCACACCGAAACTGGCAAAAAATTGAGGCCGATTGCCGCGGCGTCCTTGACAAAAATATGCCAATGAGTGAGACAGATCCAGTAAAAGATTAGGATCCACTCGTCGTCGATTTTTATCCAGACGACTATGAGAATATAATGCTCGGACATGTGCTGCCCGCCATGCGGCGCACGCGGAAGCTAGTTGAGTTACGTGCGTATATGCGCTGCGCGTAGCCGTGGGCGCTCGCGTTTTTTGCAGCTGCAATAGTGCAGTGCACAGCGATTGCTGCAACAGCAGCGACACTAAATAAATCGCCACCATGGTCTATGAATGAGTTGGCCGACTCGGCGTTTGGCAAAACGCGAGAAACCCGTACTGATGGCCCCGCGCGTGAATCACGCGGTCTCAGAGAGTTTTTTCGCTCTCAGACGTGCTTGCTTTCCTTACACCGGATCGCTCTAGACCCGCCGGCAAAGCTGTCCGCGCGCGCGCGGGAATGCTGCCCAGAAATCCCGAGAGTCGTGCGACACTTTCGGAGTTGTTTAAGGCCCTCTTTCTACCCATTTCCAGCCTGTATCGTACTAGACTCGTCTGCGCTGAATCGCTCCGGCTGTCCATTTTCAGGCCCTAATCAGTGTCAATTTGCCTAGATCCGCAACGCGCGCCTCGTGAAGCTCGGCGGCCACGACAAGGCCAACGCCGGGTCGCTCTAAGCGCGTGCTCGGCGTCGCCCTGGACGTGACCCCATCCCCTCCCCATGATAAGTACCTTGGTACACAGTTGACCAACGCCGCGCCCGGGGCACGATCGCGGCGCTGGCGACGGAGATGTTCTTCCGAGTGAATGACGGCGCCATGAGTATCGATGAACGCTTTTATGTCGCAACTAAGTGAATGGCTATGGAGCTGGCCTCCTCGTTTTAAGGAGTGGTCCAAAGCAAACTGCACTAAAAAGGGTAGGCGGGGGATCGACGTCTCGTCGACGTCGACGATTTGCTACGCCTGATTCCATGCAACGGAGAGCTCTGTTCGCAACCATCGCACGCCTGCGGCCCGTCTCGAGTCGGGGACGCTCGCGGCGATCCGAAACGTTGGCCGCGGCCCAAATCGCGACGCCCCACGCCGAGGCGGCGTTCGTCCACGCGTTCTGCCGCGACCGGAGTCTCCTCCTGGGCGTGGAGGGCTACGCGCTCACGTCGCTCGAGGTGGCCCTGGCGACGCCGCCGCCGCGGCCCGGCGGCGTCGTGCCGGTGGCGCCGGTGCCGGCGCCCCCGACAGCAGTCGCGGCCTAGTAATAACGTTGGTATCATATACAGACGTCGCGTCGATGGCGTGGGGAGCAGCGAAGAAGCCTATTACCACATCCCCCGCGCCGGTGAGAACAGCACGAGCGCCTTGGCCCGTTTGGGTTCTGTAATAACAAAGCACCGCGCGAGGGGCCGTTGCTCTCCAGAACCAAAAACGAGGGGCCCCGCCACCTCGTAGACCTCGTTCGCAAGGCAAGTCGCGCCGTCCGAGCTTCGTTTGTAGACCTGGACACAATCTCTATACAAAGCTTTGGTCGTCGCGAGGTAGGGCGCCAGCTCCAGATCCGGTTGGGCCAGCGGACCTCCTAAACAAAGTAGCTCGAACAACCGGTAGAGCAACTCGTTGTCATCCTCCAAGGCTACGGAGGGGCGCTCCTCGTCGTCCTCCTCCTCCCCATCCCGCGCGCCCGCGGCGACGTCCCTATCATACTTTTTGCGCGCCAGCCACGTCCGCAACGCGTTGTCGCACTCGACACCACCAATCACAACCTGGGGGCACTGCTTCGCCCGGCCCGATCCTAGAATGACGTCCTGCGATGCAGCGATCGGGTCGAAGATGGCGAGCGACGTCGCCTCGCATTTCAACCGCTCCACGCGTACCGCTGCGTCGTCCTCTGCGACCGCAGGCATGCCCAGCGCCGTCCGCACCTCGTCTGTCAGAATGCCCTTTACGAGTTCCTCTTCTTTGCCCTTCCTGTCATAGCGGACACGCACCGCTTTTATTTCATCATATAACCCCCATCTTTCGAGGCAGGCGCGCACGGTGCGGTCCGCGAAGCACTTGCAGGGCGCCGTGTCCATCGCTGCTTGCTGTGGGGCAGCCTCTGCGCTGCGAAATCGGCGCTCTGGCTAGTGGCTTTAACAATAGCACCAAACCACCCTATATATGTGGAGACGCCATCGAGCACGCGTATCAGGCGTCCCCAGAAAGTGGGAACCCGCTAGGACCTAAGATTAAAACACATTATGTCGTAACGGGCGCGCACGCGGCGCACCGCCCGCGCTGGCTCCGCAAGCGACTCGCGTCGCAGGCGCACGGTTCATGGCCGCCCAGGACGGTGGCCGCGAACTTGTGCATGTTGCTTGTGCCTGCGCCGTCGAGTGTTGTTATTCGCGCGGTTCGGAAGCGCGCGGCACGCGAGTTTGTGTGTCGCCGCGCGCGCCGCTTCGCGCGGCCAGTCCTGAGGCGCGCGCCGGGGCGGTAAATCGGCTAACCCGCACACCGGGGCGTGGTAGTTCGCGCCGCGCGCCGTCGCCGCCGCGCGCGGCCAGGAGGCGCGCGCCGGGGCGGCTAAGCGTGGCGCGGCGCCGCCGGGGCGTCACTGGTAGCTCGCGCGGGCGCCGCCGCCACCGCACGTGGCCAGGGGGCGCGCGCTGGGGCGGCTAGCGGCGTGGCCCGCCCGCCGGGGTTGTGACCAGGTCGCGCCTGAGGCTTAGGGCCTTTGGGAGACGACGCCGCGCGTCATAGGGAGCTCCACTTTGATATCCCAAGCAAAACGCCCGCTGGGCGCTTTTGAGCGCTCTCGCGGGCTCAGAGAGGTGTAGATAGTAGTGTTGGAGTTGACACGGGTTCGCGCTTGTGGCTAACACCGCTATTCGTGCCGCTTGAGCGCTTTGTTCTTCGATGCCAAGCAAACCCAGCAAACATAGCTAGAGTGTTTACGTCGCGCGTGCAATCAAGCCACCAGGCGGAAGGCTCTTGAAAACGGACCTCTCCCGCCACCGGGCAGGCCCTTGTGGGGATACGTCGACGCAGGAAACGCCCCCAAAGCACAAGCTAGACACCGACGTTTAGGTAAAGCCTAAATCAGCCAGCCCGTCCCAGTCCTTCGACGGCTCGGACTGGTCCCAGACGTTGTAGTTGCCCCGGAAGGAGTACTCGCCCTTCTTCGCGTCGCTCGCGGCCTTGACCCAGGCGTCCTTGAACTGGGCTGAGGGTGCCGGGAGTTGTTCACCGTTCGTCGCCGCGTTGATGTCCGCCTCAAAATCAAAAGCCGTGAACTTCCGGGGATACCTCCGCAGTATGCGGCCATCCTTGTCGAGCAAGAACTTCTCGAAGTTCAGCGACAGCCGCCCGACGCCGTTTGGGTCGGGATATGTGGCCAAGTATGAGTAGAGAGGATGCCGCGTCGAACCCACAACGTCAATTTTGTCGAAGACCACCGCGGTCGGGTACGTCCCGAAGCCAAATTGCTGGTAGGCCTTGGCCCTTACCAACTCGGACACGTCGGGCTCGTAGTAGCCCTGCTCCGTGGGGACGGCCCAGACCCGCAGCCCGGGGTACTCCTTCGCGGCGTACCGCATCGCGTTGAAATTCGCGCCCGCGACGGGGTCGTCCATCTTGATGTTGACCACGAGGTGGGCGTCGCCCCGGAACTTTGACAAAGGGACGTCTTTCCCCTTGAAGGGGAGCGTCACGTCAAAAAGCTTCGCGGGGGCCGGCTTCGGCTCTGCGGCTGGCGGTGCCGCGGGCGGCTCCGCGGCCGGCGCGTCGGCGGCGAGCGCCTGCTCCGCGACGAGACCAGCGCTCGCACCGGCGCTCCAGCGCAGCGCCGCGCGGCGATCAAGGGCCAGGCCGGCAGCAGGCCTTGCAGCGAGCGCAAAGACAGCTAGTCTTGCAAATGTGTGGCGCGCCATCGCTGCAGCCGACAAAATGGCCCTGATACTCGATCTATGCAGTGACGACGAGTCTATTAAGGGTCTCTTTTGCGTGCCAGCGTCAGCTTTGCAGATCTGCGCCGTGTGATTACTAGCGGTTGTAAGACACTAGAAAGCGCACAGCGTCTTGCAAGCGAACGCGCAGGGCTTCGCCCACTAGTCCTAGCACCGTAACAGTAAAGTACGCGTCTTGAACGCGTCTGAAGGATCTGGGGCTGGGAAACCCCGGGTTGCGATTTTACGCGTCGGGCAGACAGATAAACACAGGACACCATTACTCTTACCCTCCAATTCGCGATCGTGCCGTCGCTCGTCGACTCGGCGTCGCGCGGCGCGTTTTTTTCGCGCTCGCGCCGCGCGGCGGCGGCGGCGGCGGCGGCCTTTTTTCTACGCTCCAGGCGCCATCGGCGCTGGCGGCCCATCTCCGCATTGCAAAAGGCGAGCGAGCAAATAATTACATAGAGCAGTTTTGCCATCCTCGCGAAGGCCGACCGGCGATTTACCGCCACGACGGGCGCACACCGAACGCGTGCGACGGTCCGGTAGGGATGTTATCGGATAGGCACGGCGTAACCAAAGTTGATGCTGTCCAAAAAAATTAGGAGAGCTAGCGGACAAAGACACTAGCAAGCAGAAAAGCGGCCGTGGTCAAAAGAAGATAAGAATCATGAGCACGCTCAAGTGCACGACTGACAAGATCGCTGCGCGTTCGTGCGGGTATTTTTACAGCTGCGGATCGAGCTGCTCTTCCACGGCCATTGGGCATCATAGCGTTGCATCCAGGCGAGGAACAGCAGCTCGTGCAACCCCTTTTCAACGCAGCAATCATGCGCTGGCAAGTGATTGCAATCCTCGCGGCAGCGCACGCCTTTGTGCTGCCAAGGCCAAAGCCGCAGCTGCGGCTACGAGCCGAGGACGACTGCGTAACAGCGGAGGAGTGCAGCGCGGAAGCGGAAGTCCTCAAACTGCAAGCGGAAACGCTGAAACTCGAAGCGCAAAAAGCGGAACTCCTCCTCGCGAAGGAGGTCGCCGAGCGCCAGCGACGCGTGCGCGAGGAGGAAGAAGCGCTGCAAGCCATGGCCGCGACGGAGGAAGCGTCGAAGGTGGTTGATCCTGCGCAAGCGGCGGCTCTGAGAGACGCCGATTTTCAAGCAAAAGTACTTGAACGTAGAGACGAGGCCTCGCGCAAGCTCGTGGCGGAGGCCGCGGCCGAGGAGGCCGTCGTGCCCATTGCTACCGAGGAGGTCGTCAAGACGGTCGCGGGGCCGGTCTTGATTTCTGATTGTGAGACTGCAGAAGAATGTGCTGTGGAAGAACAATCAAACAAGGAGGAGGCCTCTCTACTCAGTCTGGAGGCCGAGAAGTTGCGGCTCGAGGCGCAGAAGGCCGAGCTCGTGCTTGCCAGGCAGCGTCTCGAGCGCACAGCCCTGTGTGGAATCAAACAGTGAGTTATCTTGAGATTTGTTGCGGAGACCTTCGTCAACCTGAACGCCATCGAGCAGACGCAGGAATGGAGGCAACCTCGCGTCGATGGCGTGGAATCTACACGCCATCGAGCAGACGTGGGGCGCCCGAAATTTGATTTCCACACAGGCACAGCCAAGCAAGAAGCGGAAGCCTTCATCGAGGGCACGCTCGAACCCGTGGTGGTGGAAGAGGAAGAGGAGGAGGAGGAAGAGGTAGTAGAAGTGACGCCGGAGTCCGTCGCCTGCGAGGAGGCCCTTGACTCGTTATTCCCGGCCGCGCCGCTCACGATGACGAGGGAAGCGGCAGACATGCTGAGAAAAACGCTGTTCGACGACGAAAAGGGGTTTAGATGCGACGCCGTCGACGTCTGTGAGCGGGGCGCTATTTTCCGCGGCTCGACGCGGAATCAAGCGGCCAAAGACCTACTAGCGACGTGTCAGGCGAAAGTTCCACAAGACTACCGATTATTTGCGTTAGAGGACCCCGTCCCACCTACTGATGAAGAAGTAGAAGCAAGGTTGCAAGACGCAAGAGACCGCGCGCTGCTCGACAAGGACATCTCCGACGGAAGTCCAGATGCGCCGCCCAACGAATTGATGGCGGCGGCTCGTAGACCTACCGTGATCATCGCCGTAGCGTCAGAAACGCGACCGCTGCAGATCGAGAGCAAATTAGGCCTCGCGACGCGTTTAGCTGGCTTAGTAGGCACCGCTGGAAGTGCAGCTGCCTTCTCCGCGGCGGCCGGCGCGGGCAACGAACAGCTTTTCGAACGGTTAAAGGATGGGGACGAAAGCGCCTTCGCCTGCGTGCTGCCCATCGCCATTGGTATTTTTGCGATCCTGGCCGTGCACGAGTGCGCGCACGCTGTCCTTGCACGAAGGGGAAGCGTGGACTGGTCTTTACCTGTGTTTCTCCCTTCATTATCGACGGGCTCATTGGGCGCTTCCAATGAACTCAATGAATACGCCCCATCGAGATCCGCTTTGTTTGATACGGCCATCGCGGGACCGTTAGCTGGCCTGGCGTTATCTATCTTATTTGTTTTGATTGGCTCGGCTCTACCACTTGATAGTGCAACGGCGCCAGCGTTACCAGCGATTGCCATCCGGTCGAGCGCGCTCGGGAGTTTACTTGTAGCAATCGGCGCGCCCTCGGCTTTGTCGGCGCCGCCCGACGTCTCCGTGGCTTTGCACCCTCTCGTTGTGGCGGGCCTGGCGGGTCTCGCGATCAACGCTCTGGCCTTGCTACCGTTAGGTCGGACCGACGGCGGAAGATGTGCCCTCAGCGCATATGGGCGGACACTAGGCGCAGGGTTGCAAGGATTCGCAACGTTATTCGTCGGTTTAGCAGCATTGTTCGGAGGCGACGACCTCCTCCTCTTCCACTTGCTCTGGGTCTTCGGGCTGCAGCGGGACCCGGAGTCGCCGTGCGTCGATGAAGTGACGGACGCGGAGGGCCGGCGGCCGGTCTACGCTCTGGCGCTCATCGTGGCGGGTTTATGTTTGCTGCCGCTCGCGCCGGCGGCGCCATCGACCGTGCTGCCGGGGTTTCCCAGTTTATAGTAGCCGGTACTTTTCTCTAGCACCGAAGGGGCGACGGCGCATGAGAGAGAGAGAGGGCAAAATCACATTTCAAAACTTACCTCGCCGCGCGAGGCGATCGCGGTCTGCCGCCTCGGTCCGGCGCGCGTCGACGGCGTCACCGCGCGTTAGCCCGGTACCGCTTGGCGGGGGGCAGGCAGTCGTCCATGTCCAGCATACGCGGATCAGAACGGTCGATCACCGGGAGGGGCGGCCCGTCCCCCGACATTCTCCGTTTCCGCGAAAAGGGCGACGGCGTCGGGTTCGACCGGCCGGCCGCGCACGCGCCCGGCAGCGACTTCGTATATTTCTCGTAGGCCTCCGTTAAGGCACGTAGCGCCGCCGTATTCGACGGGTCACCCCTATAATAGCAATACAAAACCCGCTCATGCGTCGACTTCGGTAGAGCTAATTGAGACAACTTTCCAGAAGGGATAAGGTAGCCCCTTTCCACATCATCTTTCGGGTTGAAGAACAATACATGAGCGAGCGGGTCGCGCACCGCCCACGACAGCCGATCGTGGTGCGCGTCCGGTACGTGATAGCCCCAGCCGTACTTTATATCCGTAATTCCTACCAGTACATCGTCTTCCTCTACACTATCACCTTCTACTCTATCTAATATAGCCCTTCGACAGTCCTCCTTGGATAAAGACAGCAATTGGGGCTTGACGACAGAACATTCCCGTCCCTCACCATTGACGAAGCGTCTTGCTAAATCCCACCGGCGCGACTCCGTCGACGCGCCACAAGCGCTGCAGTATCTGTCCCTAGGTTCTGTCTCGGAAGAACACTCATTACAAAGAGGCTTCGTCGGCAGGATGGCACCCCTACCGACTTCCTGGTAGAACTCCCGCCTGTTGAGCCGTTCCAAGATGCGTCGTGTCCTCTCCAAACCTGAAGCTGATGAGGTCTGTAGCGTCTCCAAGAGACCATCTCGCAGCTGTGTGAACCTTTGTGGAAATCAAAATTTTACGGCGCGTTCGTGCTGAATCATCGCGTCGTCCTCCACGCCATCGATGCGGCGCCTGCTCGATGGCGTGGCGATGCCGGTTCCTCACCGCTCGGCCGAGCCAGGATGGCCGCGTCATCGCCGAGAAATGACTTAGTGAAGAATTGTCGGGTGCACCCGACGCACTGGTTGATTTCCACACAGGTGTGAACGCCCCGCAATCCGAAGCCGCCTCACCGAGCGTGAACTCTCGACAAGTGCCGTCTTCACCAGTAGCCGTGATCCGAAACGCCGAGTCATGCGCCGCTAGGAACGCGTCCGTGATCATCGCCTCCGCGACGATGGCCACGCGATGCTGGTAGACCATCTGGTGCATTTCTGAACGCAGCTTGAAGATCCTATTGAGATCTAAGGCCACCTTTTCTTCGAACGCCACCTCGCCCACACATCGTTGCGGGCCCTTGACGACGCGGATCGCCGATACTAATCTTGTGACATCAAAACCGCCTGATGAACTTTCACCTAATGTAGATACCGAGTCCCGGTTCAGGTAGTCCCACTTGTCCACGTCTAAGCCACTTCTTTTGTTAGAAACGATGTCGCATAAAAAACGCTTGTCCTCCGAGAGGTGTGAAAACGGCCAGTCTGCATCATCTGCAAGCCCTTCGATACAGGCACAGATGAACTCGACCTTCACACCGGGAATGTACTCCTCGAGCTTGATTTGCGTGCAGATTCGACGTACTAAACGAGCGCCCATGCCCTCGTGGGAATAGTTCTGATCGCCAGTGCATCTACGAACGAAGGGCTCCCACATGTGCGAGTAGGGCCCGTGGCCGACGTCGTGGAGCAGAGCGGCTAGGCCGACGCACAGCTCGTCGGAATCGTCTATCGCTAATTCAGGTTGGGTATTGCGCAAATGCCGCACGACCAACAAGGCCAAGTGGGCCGTCCCGACGGAGTGCTCCTTGCGCGTATGTGTGGCCGAGGGAAAGACGAAGGACGAGCCACCGAGCTGTCTTATCTTATCCAGTCGTTGAAACTCGCTCGTATCCATCGCAGCAACTAAAACACCAGGCAACGTGACGGCGCCGTAGACGCGGTCGTGGATCGTCTTGGGCTTCCGCAAATTGTGGAGCGGTGCCGCGCCCGACAGGCGCCGTCGTCTTTCAACTACCGGTGTGCGGTTGTCCGTCTGCGACAGCGGCTGGCGGTCGTCATTCGTGGGTGTCGGGCTTTCGATCGATGAATCTCCGAAGGACTGCGTGCAGCGCGGGGCGCTCGACTGAGTCGTGCGCCGGCGGCCGCTCATTGCTGGCTGTGGAGTCCAGGGAGCTGGGGCAGGGTGGCTGGCGCGTCGACAGGCGTCGCAGCGGTGGCGACTGCTGGCTTCTTGACACCTGATGCTGTGACTGAGCCCGCGACGAGGTATTAGCCGGTTGGGGGCGCACTGGCTTGCTCAGATCCCGCGCCAAGCGACGTTAAAACATAGCGCCGGTAAGACACTAGCCTTACACTAGCGTGGCTGCGTTGCGTTCGTGCGCGCCCCCCGCGACGCCGCGCGTTGGGAGGCTGCGTGCAGCTCGTAGCCTACCCCCTGGCGGTCCCGGGAAGGCCGGCCCGGCAGCGAACGCGGCTAGACCCGCTGAGAACAGACTTCACCTTGGGAACATGCTCTCCGGCGCCCTTTTCGAGGCGACCGGGCCCTCCGCTCACAAAGCGGCCCTCGCTTTGATTACCGTTACTCTGCTACCCTAGAGACCGCCGCGCCGGCTCTTGGTCCAGGCCGAGCGCGCTGCGCGCTCGCAGGACCAAGCGTACCCTCGTCCGCCGCGAACGGTCACCATGCGCACGCTGCGGGTCGTGCTCGCGCTCGCCGCCGCGTGTGCGTCTGACGTTCTCGACGCGCCAACGTTTTTCTTCATCGGCTCGTCCAAATGCGCGACGTCCTCGATCGCGGCAGCGCTCGCGCGACACCCCGCCATCACGTCGCACGCCGGGCAAGGCGGGCAAGGCGAGGCGCACGTCTTTGACGGCGACCACCGCGCGCACGTCAAGAACGCGAAGGCGCTGCTCCGGCGGCTGCAGGCGAAGCTGCGCAAGAACCCGAAGCCCGGTGCGCTCGCGTCGATGGAATACACGCCCGAGTACCTCTTCGAGGCGAACCACGTGCCCGCGTGCCTGTGCGGCGCGCTCCAGCTGACGGCTGCCGCGCGCTGCGCCAACCGCCGGTTCCTCGTCACGCTGCGCGAGCCCGTCGCGCGCGCCGTCTCGTCGTGGCAGTTCAAGTCGCGCGCCGGCGGCGGCGAGACGCGCTCGTTCCGCCGCGTCGTCGAGGAGGGCGCCGCGCTCGCGCGCGGCATGCGCGCGTGCCTTCGGGCGCACGGCGGCGGCGACCGCGCCGCCGTGCGCGCGTGCCCGATTGACCGGTATCTCACGCCGCCGCCGCACGGCCACCACCAGCAGATCTCGCTGAGCCACGTCGGCAAGGGGCTGTACGTGTACCAGCTGCGCGCGTGGTTCGCGCGCGTGCCGCGGGAGCGCTTCCTCGTCGTGCCGATCGAGCAATTCTACGCGAACGCGACGGACGGGCTCGCGCGCGTGCTCGCGTTTGTCGGCGTGCCCGCGCTCGGCGCGCGCGGCTTTGCGAGCGCGCACGCGCTAAAGGCCGCCGCCGAGATCCACGTGAACGACGCGCGGCCGTCGCTGGCGCTGCGCGCGCAGGTGACCGACGCGCTCAAGGAGCAGCTCGCGGCGGTGTACGCCGAGCCCAACTGCGAGCTTGACCGGCTGCTCGGCTTTGCGACGGGCTATTGCGCGCGCGCGCGCAAGCGCGACGCGGCGCCCGGCGTCGTCACTGAGCGCGCGGTGGCGAAACAAGCCTCGGGCACACGAACCGGCGTGTCGGTGAAAAGCGCCTCAATACGAGCGGTAGCACATAGCACGGGGTAGCTGTAGTTTGTTGGAAATTCTCATTCTCGCCGCGCTCGCGACGAGCGCGCACGCGCGCGCCGCGCTCGTCGATGCGGGCACGCGCCGGCCGCGTGATCGCGACCGCGCTGCGCGACGCGGCGCCGAGAGGGGTGGGGGTATTGGGTTTACGAGCCCTAGAACCGCAACAACGCCGTCGAACGCGAGAGTAAACCAGGGGCTCGTTAGGCGGGGGGAAGGGGGGGTTCTCAAAAACTCACTCGAGCGTCGGCGGCGGCCCGCGCCGCGTGTTCAGGCGGGGTTCGAAGGTGCACTCCTCGAGCTCCGCGTCGTGGGCCGCGTGCTCGGCCTCGCGCCGCGCCGCCTCGTAGCGCGCCCCGAGCGCGCGCAGGTGGTCCTCGACTGAGGGACCGTGCCGCGTGCTGGACGCGGCGGCGGCCGTCAATTTCGGCGTGAAGGTCGCTTCCCTAGCGTCCTTCATCGCGCGCTGCATCGCCGTCGTGTCCCTCGGTTCGGACTGTTTCGGTCGAAACAGCGCCGAGGTGGGCGGGCCGTTCGCCGCGGCCGGTAGCCTAGCGTCCATCGCCCGACAGAAACTTTCAAAGTCCAGGAGGCCGTTGGACTTCTGTTCGAGCGCGTCGGCCGCGGCTAGAGCTAGCGGCGTCCTGCCCAACCTTGCTTGATCAATACGCTTCGGTCTCACGACGGCGTCCAGGGCGCTGTCGACGGGCGCCGTCTCGTTCGTCGCCAGGCGGTCCAAAGCGACGACGTCCCGCCACAGATCCGCGTAGGCATTCCTACGCGCATTGTGCAAATAAGCTTTCGAGCGGTCGTTGACGTGCGAACGACTACGCCTTCGACGAGCCTCCGCGATCTCTCGAGCTCGCAGTTGGGCCGCAGCAGTACGAGAAACATGCAACGGAGCCCGATCGTGCACGGGCCCGCGCGTCGTAAATTTGGGCTCAAAAGGAACGCGCCCGGCCTCCTCTTCGTCATAATCTACGGACGGCTTGGGCTGCGACGGCGGCCGCGCGCGCGCCAGTCGCGCGTCGAGCGCTCGTTGAGCCTTCCTGGGATCGGTAGCGTCTTTGGTTCCAGAACGTAGAGCGGCGGCCCCGATGTCCGGCCGGAAGGGGAACCTTCCGGACTTGACTGGATCTTCGTGAAAATCGCGAGACGCTCGTCTCGCGGCCGCGTCGGCATATAGACGGTCGTGGGTCTCCGGTGGACACACGTCTTCCTTCGTGCCCGCCGGCCGCCGAGCCAAGGCGGCGGCGTAGGCCGCCTCGGCAGCGGCCCTACCTCGTGTCCGAGCGTCCGCATCACGTGCTGCATCGGCTCTCGCTAAAGTCTCCAAGACCGCAGCGACGACCTGGCGCTCCCGCACAATCGCGCGAGAATGCGGATCGATCTGCGGGGCGAAGGTCAACTCCGCCTCCTCGTGATCGATAGCTACCGGTCGTTCACAAGCGGGTTCAAAAGCATGCCTATAAAGATCTTCCCAGACGTCTTCTCGGCCATTCTTGGAAGCGGCCTTCTCTCCTGTTTTCCTCCACTTGTCTATGAGCTTGCGAGACTTGGGAGCGCAGATCGTCGGCCTGCCCACTTCTCTCGGTCTAGGTTCGCCGCATCTCAAAACGTTTTGGGGACCGCCCACTTTCGACCCACACGCGTCGTCGTGCCGCGCCCAGGCCCACGACGACTCGCAGGCGTCCATTAATGATACTCTAGTACCAGCAACTCTTTGACACGTGTCGTCCCTCCAGCTATTGAGCTGACCGCATTTGGCACAACTCCAATCAGCCATATCTTGTGCTGAATTAGCACCTCTCCGCCGCGCGTAGTCGTCGGCCAGCTGCCGCGCCTTCTCCTTGGCCTGTTCGATGGCGGCGTGCTCTTCGTAGAGCCGCGCGTGCACTTCGCCGCGCGACGCCTGGAGGAGTCGCGTCGAGTGGCCTCTCACCTTGAAACTTCGATGAGATTTGTCCTCTTCTCGATCGAGCTCTCGCCTCGTCTTCTCGCGTCGTCTTCGTTGTCTCGCCGCGTCTCTATGTAAGCGCGCACACGTTTCTCGCTGCCTCCGAGGTAAAACTTTCGTAGCTCCTTGCTTGCCGCTCCGCCACACTAGGGAAGCTCTTTTGACTCTAGGTTTGGTCTGCGCCGCGGAAAAGGACTGGCGCGCCGCGTTGTAGGCGTCCTCGTCGTCGTCCGGACTCACGGCGCCCTCGTCGTCGTCGTCCTGGGCTGGTTTTTGGAGCTGGCGCTGCCGCTCGTCCTCGGCGATGCTTGCCACGATCTGCTCCCTGAGTACCTTTTCGTAGGAGGCCGGCAGCTTGTAGGTGGCGAGGAACTGGCGCGCCAACTGGCTCGGGTCGTCGCCGTCCCTGACTTCGATGTGCTCCGTGCGGTTGTCGGCGAAGACGATCTCGACGATCATTTTTGGCGGGGGGCGGGCCGGCATCGTTTACTGATGCGGTACGCTTCCGCGCGTCGGTCGATGGTCGGGCGTGCGTCGCACGTGTGGTAGCGGGCGTCGGCGCAGCGCTGCGGTGACGACGGCTTACAACCGGTACGGCGCCGCGCTCCTCGACAAACAGTGGAGACCGCAGCTGCTCGACAGTTGATCTGTTTGGCCGCGGCGTTCACGCGTCGAATGCCGCACGGCTCGACAGCGATTTCAGGGCCGTTTCTACGCCACCGCTCGCAGCCGAACTCGTCCCGGGCAACAATGGATGCGGCCACGGTTTGCGATGCGGCTTGGCTCGATAATCGAATAGCCAGTAACACACTAGATTTTTGAGAGCGGTCAACGCGAGAGCCTTCTGCAGATGCCTATCCTAAGCACGCAGCCATCCATAGAGACCCAGGCCCTAGCGGGCCAGGCCAGCGCCGCGAAGCCAGTTGGTTTGGTATTGGCTGCCCGCGCCCGACGCGCACCAAGCCCGCCCGACGCCGGCGCCGCGCCAGGCAGCGACCAGGCACCCGCATCGATCCGAAAAAGGCTGCCCGAGTCCGATCGGCGCCGATCAGCTCCGGCAGCAGGCACCCAAGCACAACAGCCCTGATGGCCGCCGGCCGCCCGCCCCGCGCGCCTTCCTCCGGCAAGGACGCCTCACTCTTACAAGAGATCGAGGGCAAGCATCAACAGGCCCAGCAGTTGTTCGCCCTGAAGAAGTATGGCGAGGCGGTGACGGTCTGGCGCGACGCCTTGATGCAAGCGCGCGAGATCCAGAACGTGCAGACGAAAAGAGCCGTGCAGCCCGTCATCGCCGGAAGCTTAGGCTGCGCCCTCGACCTGAACGGCGAGTTCAAGGAAGCGATCGAGTGGCACGGCAAGGCCTTCAAGACGCACGGTAGTCTAGGAGACACGCTGGCCCAGTGTGGGGATATTTGTAATGCGGGCAACGCGTACCTCAACGCGGCGTCGGCGGGCGACGTCCAGGCCGTCTCCAGCGCGGAGGAGTGCTTTGGTCTCGGTCATGTGATTGCCCTCGAGCACGACCACCGGGACGCGGCGGCGACGGCTTCCGCTGGTTTGGCGAACTGTCAAAAGATGAGGAGCAACCTCGGCATGGTCCAGACGGATAGTGTGAAGGCGCCCACCCTTAGTAGTGTGGCGGAGGAGGAGAAGCCCGCGGACAAGCCGTGCCCCTGGAACGTCAAGAAAACGTTGTCGACGGCCGGCGCAAATGCGCTGAAGTAAGACTCAAGATACAATTAATACACACTACGATCCTCCGCGACCGCCAGGAACTCGCCCAGCCGCCGCGTCTGCTTTGATGCCTCCACCGAATACGAGTGGTGGTCACCCTCGGAGGAGAACGTCGCGTACAGGACGCAACGCAGGTCCTCGCTCACGTTCGCGCCGCCCCGGTGGAAGCACCGGTAGTCCATCAGCGCGACGTCGCCGGTGCGCAGCTCCAGACACACCGGCGCGCCGAGGCCCAGTTCCGATGGAGAGCACTTCGCCCAGGGCGAGGCCACGGGCGGGAGCAGGCCGGCGGCTTCGGCTTGTATGCTTGCCGCATCTCTATGATCATCAGAGCCGTCCGGTGCGTACGTCCTCTTCTCACTTTTGTGGAGCAGCGCCCAGTCGCGGCGCGCCGCGACGCTTGATGGAGGCGCCGGGTACAGCACCGTCGCGCCGTTGCTCTCTGAAACATCTTGGAGCGGGACAAACAACGTCGCCATCGAGAGGCCATCTCTAGGTAACACATCTAAATGTGGCGGCTGCGCCGCGGCCCTCGGGAGCACCGCCAGCACGGACAGCTCGACGAGCAGTGCTTTTGACGTCAGGCCCGCGTCCGCGACGGCGTCTTCACCAATCGCGGCGAGGGCCTTTGTTAAAACGGCGGCGACGCCGTCGTCGTCCGGCGCCAGCGGAATCAACAACCGGCCGTGCGGCCCGCCGTCGACGCCCTCTTTTAGATTTTTCTCCAGTCCGAGCCACTTCCGCCACGCGGGCGCGGGCGGCTCGCGGGCCTGCGCCAGCGCGTTCCTACGGATTGTTGCTACGGCTTGTGGCGCGACGGCGAGCCGCTTGACGACGTAGCCGCTCTTGCGCATCTGCTGCTTTGCAGCTTGGCTGAAGCATCGGTGTGCTGTTGTTGTTGCGACGCATCGGCGGGCGACGTGGAGGCCGCGGAGCATCTGTGCGGCGGTGCTGCTGCAATGGGCTGCTGCAGCAGGGTAGGCTCACGATGCGGCGCGTCGGCTTTTGGCCGCAGGTTGGTAACACCGCGTCATTGCGAGCGCTGCACTCAATGACGAGGCATCATTGATCAGCGTTAGCTCCTTAGCGGTATTCAGGAGCCAGTCCAGGCTGCAGAGCAGAGGAGCTGCAGCTGTTGTACTCAAGTCTGGGCGGCGCATGCGTTGAAGAGGCGTGCGCAGGGCTGCAAGGAGGAACTGAGAGCTCCGTTTCAGTGCTCTAACGCATTCGTATTGCATCACGTCACGATAACCTACGGAAGAGCATCACATGGCTCTCAGAGCAAGATGCATGCTCGTGGCGCTCGTGCACTACGCCGTCGCGCTGGAGTGCGCGAGACGACCAGCGATCGCTCGCATCACAGCCGCCGGATGCGCGACGGCGACCGCCGCGCGGGCGGCCGACGTGCCAATGTTGGGACGGTTCTCGCGCAACGAAGGAGCAAAGGAATTCGTGGGAGATTGGAGATTGGAAACTACCACCGGAGCTAAAGGTAAACTTGTTTTTCAGGGGACAGGGGATTGTCAGCTCTACGATGGCGCGAAGCTCCTCGGCGAGAGCGCCGTCCCCTGGAAGTATAGCGGCCGACAAGGCGTGGTCGCCGTGTCGTTCACTTTGGATTTACCGACAATTTCGGACGACGTCCTGATCCTCGACGGCACGATCGAGGAGGACGGCGCGCTGCGCGGAGTCGTCTACGCCGGCGACGCGGAGATGGGCGCGCGGGGCGCCGGCGCGAAGACGAGGGTCGGGGACTTCGTGGCGACGAGGTAGTAAAAGAGCACGTATTGTACTGTAGCTAGCGGGGTTAAGACACTAGCCTGTTCTCGCGGATTTTGCACCTCCTGGTGCATTAGAGCCCAAGAACCAAGGTTTCGCGCCAGACCGCCTAGGTCGGGCTGAAAAATGGCCGCCAGTACGATGATGGATGCGAGCTATGACAGGAAACGTTACGTGAGGCAACCGGCGTGCGTGAAAATATATATATATTGCCAAACTTTTGTTGAGGGGCTACCGAGACGATCCAGCGGAAGCCTCCCGAGACGATCTGGCCGAGTCCACGGCCGTTCTCGAGGAGCTATCCCGGACCTCGCGGCGCGTCCTCGGCCCCTCGCACCCGTTCACGGAGGGCATCCAGAAGGACTTCGATATTTCGCGGTCAGTCCTTGCCGCGCTCGACGCGCCCCATACCGTGTAAGAAAGAACACAAAATGAATTAAGGGCTGAAGCCCCCCTTCGACTCCGGCGATCCAATGGTCGAGGGCGTCGTCGGCGACTTCGCCACCGTCGAGGGACTGGTGGGTGGCGTCTTCGCGTTGAAGGCCTCGAGCTCCGCCAGCCTCTGGGCCTGCCTTTCTTCGGAAAATTCGGCCCAGGGCGCCACCGTGTCGTCGTCCTCCCAGTCCGTCGGGTTGTTCGCTTCCGTTGAAGCGTCGAAGGCCGGCAGCGGTTGTGGGACAGAAGCGCTCCCCTCGCTCACGGGATTTAATGAAGACGGCGCTCTGGGTGGTCGTCCGGACCGTATCCTAGGGTCGGGCACGCCGCGGGGATCTCGAGAAGACGCAGCGCGTTCCCTAGCTTGCAACCTAGCTCGTAAAGCAGCGTTCGCGGCCCACGGCTCCTGAGGAGCCGTCGGCTGGGCCCAGGGCGCGACACCCGTTATGGTCGACGGTGGTTGTTGTTTCTCTTCCCCCGGTTTCCAGATCGCCAACATAGCCTCGAGCTTGGGGGCCATCGCCAGCACCCGGGGACAGGCCTTCGATGTCTTGAGGCGCTCGAGCAATGCGTGCACATCGGTGACTTCATCGATGTCCGACCACCTTCCTAACAACGTCCTTACAGAAACGCCGCAATTCGATAGCCGTTCTCGCTGGGAGTTCGCCGTCTCGCTGCAGGACCACTTCACGCCGTCGAACACCTCGGGCGGCGCATTTGCTGGCAAAGCTAATAACACGTAGCCCCCGTCCAGCGCTTCGCAGATCGCCGCCGTGCCTTGCCTTGCGCAGGCACACGCATCTAAAACGTAGTCTATGGGTAAATCGGGCGCGTCGGAGCCCAGAAAGACGACCGCACCCCTCGATTGGCTCCTTATTCGTACATATTCGTCTCTCAGAGCGGTGCCGAGGTCGGAACTCTTCAGGTCCCGCGACGCCATGGGCGACAGCTCCCAGCCCGGGGCTAGTCGGGAAGCTTCTTTGCGCTCATCACTCGGCGCGAAGCAGCACACGCGCCGCGCTTGGGCGCACTCGCCACAAGAAAAGCGCTCGAAGGTGTCCGCCGCCATGGCGGTGGCCAGCTTCTGCGTCTCGTGCGGGCCGAAGCAAGTGTGTAAGCGCGTTTTGGACTTCCCGGCGGCCGGCACTTTCAGGACTACGACGAGAGCGTCGCCGGCCTCCAGCGGGAGCGCTGGGCCTTGCGGGGCCGTCTTGCTGATGAACTCGTGGAGCATCGTTCTTGTTTGCTCGCGCGTCGACGGCGTGTGATGGCGAAGGAGCCGCGCGTCGACGGCGTGTGGTGGCGACGAGCTCTAGGTGGGCTGTCTGCAGTGGAAGCAGAGAGGTCGCACCCGCTTTTTTGAGTCAGTAGCGATGAAGTCTCGCTGTGAAATAGAAGCCGTGAGATATTCCCACGACAGATTAAAGCTCAGGATGGCCAGCGGCGCTTTTTTGTGGTAATCTTCTCGAGCTAGCGGCTAGTAAGACACTAGCGCGCTTCGGTTGCCTGCTTTTGTATTGCGCACGCGTACGAACGGCGTGCTACGCTACACACAGACAGACGTGACCGCAGCGCTGCCCCGCAACGATGGGCTGCGCCGCCTCCAAGCCGCCGGCTCAAGACGCCCCAGTGACACCCACCTCCACCAGCCCAACGAAAACCGACGCCAGCCCAAGCCCGACGAAGACGCCAATCGAAAAGCCGGCACCGACACCTACGAAGACCGTGAGCCCGCCGCCCGTGCCGCCCTTGACCCAAAAGTCACCCGAACAAAAGACGCCGGTCGCGGCGCCGCTCAGCTGCCGGACGGAAGGAAGCGACTGGGACGCCACTCCCAGAACGCCGCGGCCCGTCACGCCTATGTCTTCCGATTCCGATTCTGATGATAGTAGTGATGGAGAGGACGACGATCGGAGATGTGGAAGATCGACGGCCGAGCCCGACGCCGACAACTGGTTTCCGGCAAAGCTAGGCATCGGCGGCGCGCAGCAGAAGTGCCCGCCCCTCCAATGCGGGTCGTGCGGCTTTGAGGTCCATCGGTTCAGCGGCCACCGCTGGCACCGCCAGATTGATTATATGCACTTCCGGCATTTTGAAGGCCACTCCTACGACCTTGTGAAGTTGAGAGCGAAACTCGTGCCTTCCGAAGAGTATGCTGCGTATTCTTGTCAGTGCGCGTGGCAATCAACAAACACGTGGAAGGCCCTGGACCAGTGGGGCTCCGACCCGGCTCCCGAAGGCGGCGCGGCGAACGGTAGGATCGAATGGCAGAAGAGGAAAAAGGGGTTTAACAAATAACATTAGACAGGGGGCGCCATGAGCTTCTCAAAGTTGGCCACGACGTCAACATCGTCCCAGGCCCACCACGCCTGGTCTAAGAGTTTCTGCACCGTTGCGTCGTCGAAGCGTCTCTTAATTTCTTTCGCGGGGTTGCCCACCACAATGGCGTAGGGCCTCACATTTTTCGCCACCACCGCACCGGCGCCGATGACGGCACCGTGGCCGATTTGCACACCAGATAAGATTTTGGCGTCGGCGCCTACGAACACATCCGAACCAATCACCACGTCGCCCTTCGAGACCGCGTGCTTCTGCGTCAGAGCGGCGGCTCGAGGGTCGAACGCGGGGAACGGGAACGTGCTCGTCCACCCGTAGCGGTGCTCGCCACCCAGTAAGATAGACACTCCGGGCCCTATCGACGAGAAGTTTCCGACAGCAAGCTTTTCACTTCCACCATAAGCTAGAATGCGCACGCCATCAATACCATACGTCCCCTTGCCCTGAACGATTCGTACGTCATACCCTATATAGCTTTTGATGGTGTAGTTCCGGAACGGTTCCCAGTAGGAGTTCGTCCAGGCCGGCACGAAGTACTCTATTGTTTGGCGATCTCTCCTCAGTAAGTCCCGGCATTCGTCGTCAGCACCTGCCGCCTCCATCCACGCGTATACTCTATGCGCACCGGGGGACGCTCCGGTCACCGTTAGAAGAAGTGGCACCTCATAAGATTGTTCGGTGATGGGCACGCAGGCATCTCCAACATCTTTGTCGGATAACGCAAAACACACATGGGCCTTGATCGCTCGTAACCCGTCAATGAACAAATCGTCGATCGTCGCATTCACCGACAGCTGCGTATCGTTGTACGCTGCTTTAAGAACGAAGGGCTCGTCCCACCAGCCCCGCTGGAGTCTCTCCATGGCCTCGCGGACGTTCCGTATGCGATCCAATATGACTCCAGCGACGCAGGCCGAGTCGTCCTCGCAGTGGCCACCGCTCGTCAACTTCCTTTCATCCACGAGATCGATGACATCTCCGACATCATCGGTAAACGAGTCTCTGAAACGTAAAACAACTTCCGTGTCGAGTTGGAGGGTCACGGACGCTATGGATAAACAGGGCTCGGGCTCGATGTTCTCGTAGGGCTCGGGCACCAAATCTCCTTCCTCGTAGGGGAACCCTGCTGCTAACAGAGCTTCTCTGATCTCTACGTCGTACTCGCCGCCGGGCTTGTTCTTCTCTTCGTCCTCGGCGTCCATCTGCGCGGCGATGACGGGGTCGTAGGCGCTCGTTGTGGTTAGGAGGAGTGCTATCAGTGCGAGGCGCATCATCGTGGCGCGCGGCGATGGCGTCTCGCTGCTATGCTGCCCGCTACGGAGCGTTTTGAGGGGCGGCACGGCGCCTGCGACTGATGCGGCGACCGCAGCGATGGATCGCGCTTCGCGAGCACCCGTTGCCGCGCCGCACGCCGCGCGCGAGGCTGCCCGATTGCGAGGCGCTCGACGCTGCCCCGGAATTGTTTTTTAGGGCAGCCGTGCCTCGACCTTTGCGAGAGCGTCGAGGAGGCCTCAATACGCCAGCCGACCGGGTGTTTTCTCCCGATGAACCTAGTACCTGGCCCTTGACGAATCGGTTACCGCGCGCGGCCTGTCGCCTGCGCGCACCCAGAGCGGGAGCCGTTGCCTGCGCCTGCTTACCATCACCCAGCAGCCCCACCGTCTGCGCGCGTGATCCGTGCGCGACGCGACGGTTCCGCCGTGGCAAGCTCTGTGCCATAGAGGCAGGAGGCTGCCCTACCTCGCGCAGCGATGGCCAAGAAGAAGGGCGGCAAGGGCAAGAAGGCCCCGAAGATCCTCACGCCGAAACGATGCACGATCAACATCGTCTACTGCTGGCGCGGGCTGTCGATGGGGACGCTTGGCATGGGCGGGCCCTACCGCCGGATACGGACGCTGTTATTGATGGAGTTCCGGCGGGCCGAGATCTCCATTGTCGGGAATGGGACCGCGGCCTTGCCGTCGTCGGAGCCGTTAACTGTAAAACTGGTCGAGACGGGGGAGGACCTCGGGTCGCTCGACTGGAGCCTCTCTCATGTTTCCAAGCTCAACGAGCGGGAGGAGGCCATCGCTGTGATCGTCGAGAAGACGGCGAAGCAGGTGAGGAAGTACTTGTCCACACCGATAGAGGGGCCGTCCAAATTCCGCGGGAGCGCCGCGGGCAATCTGACCTACTATGTACCCAAGAAGAAGAAGGGCAAGGGGAAGAAGAAGAAGTGAGCGCTTTGGCGCGCGCGTTTTATACTGTGGTGTGTAAGATCTAAGATTCATGACGAGGCTCCGGACGTTTTTTGACCGGCGCTCATCGGCGGGGAGGCCTCCTAGCCTAGCCTCAATTTAACCACAAAACGGGTTTTGAGGGACCCCTCCCCGCCCCAGGGGACACGTCGCGGAGGTCGCGCAGCGATCCGCCAGCTAGTGTCTTACAGGGACGCTAGCTAATCTAATTTTTTTGCGAAACACGCCAAGGTACGGCATAGCTGTGGCGTTGCATCGATTCGGGCGCGGCGCATTCGCATTGATCATAATCGAGCACGTGCCCGCTGCCGCAGGCTGCGCCGTGCCGTATAGCTTAAGCACAAGTGCCGACACCAAAATGCTGCTGCGTTTCCTAGCGCTCGCAGCGCTCACCTATGCACAGAACGCGTCGCGCATCGAATATAATGTTCTGATTGTGGGCGACGTCCACGACGACCTCGCCGCCATCGACGAATTGCGAGCGCGCCTCGGCCGCCAGTCGAGAAAGTACCACCTCTTACTATGTACGGGTGATCTGACGACGATGCCGCACGGCAACGTCGAAGGGAGTGCCAAACCGGAAGCGACGCCACACACCAATGCTTTCGTAAGAAAGGCCAGCGAAGCGGCGCGAGCCTTAGCGACGTTGGCACCTTTAGTGTATTTCGTGCCCGGGGCGCTGGACCCTTTAGGACTGTATGAAGCGGACGCCCGACTGCCCCCGGGCCAACCTAGAAATGCCCACAACATGGTGGAAAAAGTCACGAGCGCCTTGTGGGTCGCGGGCTGGGGAGGAGCGACGATGCCCTTTGAAAGAGATGCGCACGGCAAAAGACGGGCGGCGAACGAGTCGACGGCGCACCCCTGGGACGGGGGCTGGACGCAGTTTCCCTTCGACGAGCGGGAGGCGCAGCGGCGCCAGCAGCCGTGGCGGCGGAAAGTTACGAAGGTGCCCGAGAATGATGCTGTGATCTTACTGACGCACGCCGGGCCCGACGGGTCGGGGACGTCGTTGGTGACGGCGCAGGACGCCGACAGCGCGGGGCCGCGTGGAAATCAACCTTCACGCCATCGAGCAGACGCAGTGACGCGGACAACGTTGAAATTTGATTTCCACGCAGGTGTGGAGCGGCCGGCGGACGTGCGCGCCCAGCCGCTGCACGCGGGCTCTATTGCTTTAGGTGAGTTTCTGAGACAAAAGGCGACGCAGCAGCGCGTCGTGTTGCACGCTCATGGTAGGGCCCATGCCGCATTAGGCGTGGCGCGCTTTGGAAGCGCGGTGGTCGTGAACCCCGGGTCGCTGCGCTACACGCGGACCTACGCGTCGGTCACGCTCGAGGAGCGGCGGATTGGTGAAAGGACGGAGTGGCGGGTCACTCGCGCGGCCGTCGCCGACATCTCGGACTCGAGCAACGACGCGGAGGAGCCGCCCTACGTGACGTCGCCGCACCTCGCCGCCCTGGCGTTGTCCATGATCGTGTTTCTGTTGGTCGCGCTCGCGGCGTCGTGCGCGCGGCCCGCCAGGCGCGTCCCGGCGCCGCCGATGGCGTTCGCGCCGACGAAGACGCCCAAGTCGCCGCAGATCAGTCGCGGGACTAGTGTGTGAGTTGTGAATAAGTGTGTACGTTTATACGGGGGGAGGGGAGCGCGGGGGGAGGGGAGCTAGCCGTTCATGCAGCAGAGGGAGGGGATGGCTGTCGGGAGGGGATGGCTGTCGGGAGTGTCCATCCTAGAAGCAGAGGACGTGCGACGGGTCGTGGCCCAGGGCCTCGAGCTTGGCGATGGCGCTCTTGATCATGGGCGGCGGCCCGCAGATCAACCAATGCGCCCGACGTGGCCGTCGGCGCCGTGATAGTTTGATTACCACACAGGCACCGGAGTGTGCGCCGACCGCGAACTCAAGGACTACTTGGTAGCCAAGGGCCTCGCGACGCTCGACTCGTCGGCCTGTCGAGCGAAGGCGCCGTGCTACGATGATGATACCATCGAAGGTAGGATCGAAGGCGCGACGAACGATTATTATCCCGGTCAAACAGAGTACTCGTACTCCTACGCGAGCGACTGGCACCGCATTTCTCAAAGATGCGAGGACCTGGCGGTGGAGTGGGCCGTCTGCGCCATCGATTTTGGGATCACTTTTGATGATGACTTTTTTAGGGGTCGCGACGACGACCGCCAGTCATCCACGGACGACGGAACGCTCGCCACGTGCGGCGAGATCCAAGGTTCAATAGAGTTCGCGGCGTCCTGCGCAAACACGGCCATGGTCCAGGTCTGCGCCGAGAAGTACTATCCCTACGTCGAGTGTTTGTACGAGGCGGCGGCGATCCACGCGAGCGACGGGGACCTGGTCTGCGTCGAGCTCGACTGCGCGGCGGCGTTGGGGGCTGATACTTCTGATGCGGTCGCGGCGCGGCCGGCGGCGCTCGTCGCGGTTACGTGCGCGGCGTTGGTGCTGTATTGGGCGGCAGTGTCCGCGCGCTAGTACTTGCCGGGCGCCCCACGCCATCGACGCGACGTTGTCTCCGGGTACTACCACCACTAACGATCCCATTTCTGTACTTACTCGATCTCTATCACGTCGTCGTCCTCGTCCGCGATGACTCGCCGGCGCTTTTTGGGCTTAGTGATGCCCAGCTCCGCCGAGCGCCGTCGCGACTTCTGGCCCGAGGCCACGAAGCTTTGTAGGATGGCGTCGTCGTCGTCGTCGTCGCTGCTCTCCGCGATCGTGCGCCGCCGCGCCGCCGGTTTCACGGGCGGCGGTCCCTCGTCGTCCGAGCTCTCCGCGATGGTGCGGCGCCGCGCCGCGGGCTTGACCGGCTTCACGTCGTCGTCGCCGCGCCGCTTCTTGGACGTCGAGGGCCGCGGCTTCTTGGGAGGCCTCTTGGGCGGCAGGACCTCGAGCGACGAATCTGATGAAGACGCCTCTTCCTCTTCGATCCGCGAGATCATCTCCTGCAGTCTTTGTTGAGACGCGTTCGCGCCGCCGAAGCTACGTCTACCACCGCACTCCTGCCGGTCCCTCCGGTACTGCTCGGCCTCGTCGAGATCGACGAGCTGCGCCTGGCGTTCCTCGGCCCGAGGCCGCGTGTACCACTTGCCTTGCTGCTCGTCCCTTATAGACGCCTTGAACGTGCGCTTCGACCGCTGCTGAGAAGTTTCGACCTCGCACTCGTCCTCTCCGTCCACATTTCGAGCTGCCGTCAACTCGAGCTGTTCGATGTACAAGCGGTGGTCGCCCTGCGAATGAAGTAAGCAATAAGCCTCCTCGCCTTGGTTATAAAGCTTCTTCTGCTTCGCGCTGAAGCTGTCCGCCACCACAGGTTTCGCACAGAGCGCGCAGTACAGGTAGCCCGCGGGAATACCACCGTCGTCGTCGCTATCGTCCTCCGACTCCGACGACGAGGATTGGACGGCGCGTCTCGAAATAGGCGCTTTCCGTCGGCGCGGCGCCTCGTCTTCTGAGGACGAGGACTCCTTCTCGCAGAGGCGCGGCGGCGCGTCGTCGTCGTCCGACGACGACGCGGCGTCGCTGTCCTCGGACTCCTCGACTTCGTCGTCCGGGACGATGAAATCGTCTAGGTCATCACCCTTGCGGCGCGGCATGGCTGATTCCTTGCGTGACAGTCGGCTCAGGCAGCGTTCGCGCGGCTTGGGCTCTCCGGTTGTTTGCGGGCCGGTTTCTCGGTCTGTCTCGCAGCCGTCGGCGCTGGAGCAGTGCGATGGCGATCTTCGACCTTCAGGATGACTTGAGCGACCCTATGTTGCGCTACAGATTCAAAAAAAGGCCCGGCGCCGGTCTCGATAACTAGCGTCGTGTAAGACACTAGAAAAAAGCAGGGACTCGACCCCCGCCGCAAGAGCGACGCAGCGCACCTCAGAGCTGACTGACAGGCGTGCGCAACTCTGCCAGCCACGCAAAGCTTGCGTCGTCCCGCAGCGCTCGCCCCGCCGCCCCGCGGAGCAGTACCTGAGGAGGTGCCCCAGCCTCGCCGGCCGCCGCGCGCGGCAGACTGCGGCGCCCGCACGCCGCCAGCCGCCCGACGCGCGCGCCGCGCCGCCGCGCACCAAGCGCAACACACAAAGGTTGAACCGGGCGCCCGCGGGCCCCGCCACCACTCGCCACCATGAGGATCATGATCAAGGGTGGCGTCTGGAAGAACACGGAGGACGAGATCTTGAAGGCCGCCGTCATGAAGTACGGCAAGAACCAGTGGGCTAGAGTTGCTTCTTTGCTCAACAGAAAATCTGCGAAGCAGTGCAAGGCAAGGTGGTACGAGTGGCTTGACCCTTCGATAAAAAAGACGGAGTGGACTCGGGATGAAGAGGAGAAGTTGTTACATTTGGCGAAGTTGTACCCTTGCCAGTGGAGAACTATAGCACCTTTAGTTGGTCGGACGGCGGCGCAGTGCCTCGATCGGTACGAGCGGTTGTTAGATGATGCGGAAAGAGAACTAGGTGGCGGGGAAAAGCAGGACGAAGACGTGCGACGATTGAGGCCGGGCGAGATCGACCCCGATCCCGAGACGCGGCCGGCGCGGCCCGATCCCGTTTGTCGCGGCGTCCTTTGTCATGCTTCTCGCGTCGATGGCGTGAAGGCCGTCCGCCGAGAGTCTACGCGCCGCCCCCACGCCGCCGCCGCGCGCAGGTCGACATGGACGAAGACGAGAAGGAGATGCTCTCCGAGGCGAGGGCGCGCTTGGCCAATACGAGAGGTAAAAAGGCCAAGCGGAAGGCCCGCGAGGCGCAGTTGGACGAAGCTAGACGCTTGGCTTCGTTGCAGAAGAAGCGCGAGCTGAAGGCCGCGGGCATTTACGCGTCACGATTAGGTGCCACGCGGCGAGGCGGCAAGTTCATGGATTATGACAAGGAGGTGCCCTTTCAAAAACTCGCGCCGGCGGGCTTTTATGATGTGGGGCCCGAGAAGGCCGCGTCTGCTGCTAAGAGGGCTGGTCGGGCCGACGCCGACTTCGAGGCCATTCGGTTGGACAAATTCGAAGAACAGCGTCGGGACGAGGCTGAGAGAATTGCGCAACGAGATGATAGGAAGAAGCGGGCCAAGCTCATGAAGCAGAACTTACCCGCCGCTGTTGCTCAGTTGTCTCGGCTGAATGATCCCGCTAGTAAGTTGAGACGGTCGGAGCTGTCGCTGCCGGCGCCGCAGGTGACCGACTCTGAGTTAGAAGATGTCGCGCGACTCACGGCCGACGAGCAGACCGGCGGCTCGGCGTTGTTGCTTGGTAGTAGCGATTCCGGAGCTCAGAGGATCGCGACGGCGGCGCGGGATGCGCGCACTCCTCTAGTGTCGAAAGCTGATGATACGATCGCGCAAGAGGCGCGAAATGCCGCTCTCGAGAGGACTCTGCAGACGCCACTCTTGGGTGAACATCAACCCGACCGCGAGCAGGGGACGGGCTACGTCGGCGCGACGCCGGCGCGCGCGACGCCGCACGCGACGCCTCTCTCGCTGGCTCCGCCCCCGACACCGCTGTTGCACGGTTCTGATTTACCAGACGACGCTACTGCTTCATCAATGATGCCGTCGCTGAAGCAAGCGCGGCGGGACGTGCGCGAGGGCCTGGCTGCTCTCCCAGCTCCGAAATTTGCGTATGATGTGGACGTGCCCTACGCCGTTCCCGAGGAAAAGGCTGTAGAGATGGAGCTCGAGCCGGACGCGCGCGCGGTCGACGAGGCGCGGGCCGAAGCTTTACGCCAGGCCGAACTTGCGAAGCTCGCGCGACGGTCTTTGGCCGTTCAGAAAGATTTACCGCGGCCGCGGAACCCGCCTGCCCTTGTCGACGGCGGCGATTCTCCGGAAGCGTTGATCAACGCGGAGGCAGTTCGTCTCGTGCGGCGGGACGCGGCGCTCCATCCGCTCAAGGGCGGAACGCTGACGAATGATGCGCCGCTGCCCGAGTTTTCCGACTACGAGCTCGCGAAGGCTCGGGCGTTGATCGACGAGGAGGCTTCTAAACAACCACCGTACGACGACGCGGCCTTCGCGCAAGCTTGGTCCGAATTGCACGACTCGCGGACGTATTTTCCGACGCGGAATGCGATCGGACCCGTGGACGGCGCGTCCGACGCGGAACTGATCGCCGCGTATAAAGCGTCCTTCGAGCACACGCGCGCCCAGATGGCCAAGGGCGCGCAGCGCGCGGCGCGCGTGGAAGGCCGCGTCGCCGAGACGTTACAACCCCTGGTGGACGAGGCCGAATCGCTCAAGGCGAGGACGGAGAGCGCTATCTCGCGGTTGGACAAAGCCGCGGTCGAGGCGGAGTGCTATTTGCGGTTGTACCGGACGGAGTCGCGGACGCTGCCCGCTCGTCTCGCCGCGGCGAAGGCGCGCTGTCGGGCGCTGGACGAGCGCGAGGCCGAGCTGCAGCGCGAGTACGCGGATCTGCTGGCGGCGCGGGGGTCGTCGTAAGGGTCGTTTAGTCTCGTCCTCGTCGAGACGGGGTGGCGATCCGACTTTTCTTTTGTCGATCGCCACCACCCTGCGTCGAGACTAGGCCGCATTGAGGTCGAGGACGGGTTTTCATGCTTTGCAGCGGCCGCGCCGCGCTCCGCGGACCACGCCAGGCCCCGAGTACGTGTGCCTAGCACGACGCGTCTCATATCATCCACGAGCCGTGGCCGCGGCGCACGTCGCGAGGACTGAAATTAAATACATACAGCCAGGCTCAGTTCAAAAAAGCGCGCGCCGCGTCGGGCGCCTTAAGACCAGCAAGGGCTGACCATGATGCGGCCGCCGAAACACGTGCTCCTAGAACTTGATGATGACGGCGACCTGCACTCGGTTGACGGCGACTCCGACGCCCCGGCCGAGGCCCCGACCCGAAGGGCCGGTCTACGCGCGAGACCGAAACAACGCGACCTGAGTTGGGGGCCCGGCGATGGCTCGGAGCCGAAAAAGCCGAGGACAGCCGCCCAATTACAGGTTGCGGCGCTGCGGCGGCGGCCCGGGCCGGGAAAGGGGGAAAAGACAGTCATCCTGATGCGCCGCATCGGCGACGCGTCGTGGCGGCGCTTCGGCACCCAGAAAGACGCAGCGAAGGCGTTCGGTCTCTACCAGTCCGAAGTCTCGTACCTCATCAACGACCGATCGAAGGCGTCCTCGCCCGCGCGCCGGTTCGAGGCTCGACGCGTCGCGGCCACGGCCTCCGTCTGCGACGGGCCATCTCGACGCGACAAGTGTGTTGAGGGGTCGGCCCAGCAGAAAAAAAACGGCAAGTGGATCGACAGCCACATGTTCCCCGGCCGCGAGTTCGACGATCTCGACGAATACCGCGCGGCCAAGAAGCAGCGCAAGGAATTGCGCACCTCATACTACGCCGTCAACAAGCACAATACGCACTAAGAAGACCTAAGAAGACCTAAGAAGATTTACTAAACCCCACTCTTACTCGTATACGTCCAAGCCCCAGCTGATGTCCTGTGGCGCTCGTACCTCTCCCAGATCCATCGCGGGTAGGAAGCGCCGATCGAATGGAGGTTGGTGAGCGCCGCGCCGAGCGCAGCCATCAGGTCGTCCCGTTCCCCCGCATACCTACGGATCATGTCCTCCCGATGCTTCGACAGCGTGTCCTGCACGTCCTTGTTCGACTCGCCGAGCGGCTTCGTTTTACATGGAACCGCGACGTCCGCCGAGAGGGGACAGGACCGGATGTCGCCGAACCGGGCGTGCGTCCGCAATTGGCCCGACGCCCGTGCACATGCAACGCAAGCGTGCCAAAGCCACTGCGTCGAGCCGTCCGGCTTCTGATGCACCACCAACCCAGTCTGCGACTGATGGGCACAACCACCGAACTGAAACGCCGAGCAGATCGCCTGGCCGTCCACGCCGACGACACCGCCCGGCGCGTCCTTCGACCGCTGGAAGACGATGGCCTTCGACGCGTCCGGCTCCTCGCGGTTCAGGCCTTCGAGGTCGCCGCGCGCCGCCGCCGCCGCTTCTGCGGCCTTGGACGCCCGTCGCGCGGCGGCGTCGACGCGCCGCTTCCTTTCTTCAGGGTCCGCCAGGTCGGCGACCTCGATCTCCGGCGGCTTATCTATTAAGAGAGACCGCCAGGCGCGCCGCAGCGTCGCCCGCCGGCCTCTTCTACCTTGTTCCGCGATCGCCACGCCCAGCACGGCCCACCGTCGGCCGTCGATTCTCTGCGGGCGCAGGGCGTCGAAGACGCTGCGCAGCGCATGTTGTTGATGCCGTCGCATGACGCGGCCGACGATGCGCCTCGCGAGCTTCCGGACGTCGTCTTGAGCAGTCTGGGCGTCCTGGCGCCCGCGCTCCGCCGCGTCCGATCGTTCCATTTGCGCCTGCGTCGTGAGAATGGGTCGCGTCGAGGGCGTGGAGGTGGAGTAGACGTCACAGTTCACACGATACCCGTGATTCGGACGCCGGCAACGAACAGCAGCGAGCTCCTTCGCCGCTTCGGAACGGTCGCGCGCGGCGGCCGCGCGGTCGCGGTCCGCCGCCTCCCGCTGCGCCGCGGCGGCGGCTCGGTCGTCGCGGGCCGCGCGCGCAAGGCCCGCCGTCTGCGCCCACGCGGCGCCCAAGGCAAGCGTCGGGGCAGCCGCTCGCATAATCGCATCGTCGCGGGAAGCCGCGTTCTCTGGAGCTACTGCCGCCTCGACGACGTCGTAGCCGCGCGGCTCCAAAAGTTTGGGCGAGGGCGCGTCCTGTGCCGCATCGCTACGCGCCGCCGCGGCGTCGCTCCGCGCCTGCTGGGCCAGCGCGCGGTCGGCTGCCGCCTCCGCTCGTAATGCCGCGGCCGCCAATCTATCTTGATGCGCAGCTTGGACGGCGCCCGCCGTCTCCGGTAACGCTTCGAGCCGCGCCACGGCCTGCTCCGCCACATCTTTCTCGAGAGACAAAACGCGCGCTTCACTTTGGGACAATTGGGCCTCGAGCTTTTGAACTTGAGCTTCCAACACTCGTCGCGAATCGAGCGACGCCTGCTCCGCCTCGACGACGCGCCTCCGCAAGTCGTTCTTCTCCTTTACGACGTCCTCGAGTTCCTTACGCGTGTCGTCGGCCTCGTCTCCAAGAGCTTTGGAGGTACTATGCACCTTCTCGACCTCCTGGCTCTTCTCCGTCACTTGCCTCGACGCATCAGCATGTAAACCCTCGGCGACCGCCAAACGCTCCTCGAGCTCCTCTATACGCTGATCGTCCGCTTCCTTGACCTGCCTACTGGACATACGTAAACTTTCGAGGGCCTCGGCCGCCGTCTCCGCCCGGGCCTCGGCCATGGCCTGTAACCGTAAAGACGCCTCGAGCTTCTCCTCCAGCGCGTCGTTCGCGTCCCTTAATTCAACCCCATCCCGCGCCGCGTCCCTAGCTGCAGCCGCAGCATACACGACCGCATCACTTCGAGCGCGATCCAATTCTTCCGAAAGCATCGCCACCCGCTCGTCGGCCACGGCCGTCGACTCGCCCTTCACGCGCGCGTTCACGGCGTCCACAATCCTCGCCTCGACGGCCTCTTCTGCTCTTTTGCGCGCGTTGATCACCTTCGTCTCGAGCTCCCTTTTTTCTTCCAGGAGCAGTTCACATCTTTGGAGTGCTTTATCCCGTTCATCCCGCACTTCCTTCTCCCTGGCTTCCGCACCTTGCAACGCCGCGCGCGCGATGTCAAGCTCGTCGCGCGCCACGAGAGAGACCTCAGACGTTTGCACCGGCTCCTTCTCTAGAACCGGCGACGCCGCAGACGCCGCGTCGGCGTCGGCCTCGTGCTCCGAAGCATTCGATTCGGCGTCGCGATGCAGCGACTCAAGCGCGTGGTCGAGCTTCGACAGGTGCCGCTCCAAGAACACGACCTTCTTCTCGGAATCGCCCAATTGGTTTTCCAGAGAAGCTACCGTTCGGTCGCGCGCCGCGACCTCCTCCAACAAAGTCTCCTTCTCCCTCAACAATTGCGCCACCCTCGGCGACTCGTCTACCTGATTGGGATGCACAACAGACTCCTTTCGAATGAGCGACAGCTGGTCCCGCAGCTGCCTCGCTTCCTCGCGGGCCGCGGCGGCGTCGCCGCCCTCGATGTGCATGTGCTCTGGAACCGGTGCCGGCGGCAATCTGGTACGGTCGATGGGCTTCCTCGATTGATCGACGACGCGCATGCCCGCGTCGGCCTCGGCCTCCTTCGCGCGCCAGCGTCGGATGAACTCTTCCCGCGCGTCGAGCGACGCCTCGTCGCGCGGCGACATGGGCGTGCTCGGCGGCACGGCCTCGCTGATGGGGCTCAGTTGTGCCGGTGCGTCATCTTCGAAGCTGTCGTCATCAAAATCGTCGTCGTAGTCGTCGTGTTGTCCGGCGGGGCTGAACTCCGTGGCGTGGGGGCCGAGGCCGCTCATGCTTCGCAGTTGGTGCCAGTGGGCAGCTTATTAGGGGCTGCCCACCGCGCTCGTTCGGCGTCGCAATCGGTGGCTCCACCCCCGGTGGTCTGCGCGGTGCCCGCGTACCGCCGGACCGGCCTGCAGCCTCCGCACAGGTCGAGTCGCACCGTCGCACCCGGTGCGGCTCCTGCCACAGTTTGGCCTGGGCGCAAATTCTAGGCGACCGCTTGCCTGGCTCGGACGACCCAGTCGTGCGACGCAGGGCTCTTGAGAGTGCTCAGGCCTCTCGACCCCCGAATTCTAGTGTGTCAATCGCTTAGATAATCTGCAAAAAAATCGAGGCACGCAATCGTAGCCGCATCGATCGATGCTCACGCTAAGTATGCATCTCTCTGACACGTAACTGACGCGCAAGACCGGCTGCTGGCATCGATGACGGCAGCGATGCCTCGCAGAGCACTGCTGTGCTGCCTCAGCCTGGCGGCCGCACAGCAGCGGCGCGAGCTAAAAGCCAAGGCCTGGTTCGGCAAGAGCAACAACAGAAAAGAAAGCGTTCCATTGGAGCAGCACGACGGCGCCGACGCGAGCGAACCGTGGCTCGTACACGACGTTGCCGCAACCAAACAAACGGCAATAACCCACGACCGCTTCCACGGCCTGTACCCCTGCCAGATCGGCACGCCCTGCCCGTCCTACTCCGCCGCGTTCCTCGCGTCGCGGCTGCAGGTCGTCGACAACGCCGTGACGCCGAATCGCATGAGGCGCAGGAACACGAACATGGAGTCCGCGTCGTATCACATGATGGGTCATAGGGGAGCGTACGACGTGTGGCGGACGGTCGACGCGTTTGATTATGCCGTGGAACACCTGTCGATGTACGAGCGGATGATGCATGCCTCTAAGTCCGGTAAGGACAAGGGCTCGGCGCTGGGGGATGTCTTGTATGGGACCTTCGTCGACAACCTCGCGAAATACGAGAAACGCCTCAAAGAACGATGTGGAGGGGACGACCCGGCGTTGAGGCGTCAGAAGCGGTTCACCGATGCCGAAAGAACGGTCGGCGTCATGCCTTTTTATGCGGCGGGCAAGGCCGGCCACGACGGTCATGCTGATATTGATCCGATGCACGGGCTTGGGAGCGGGCATACGCGTTATGAATCGAAAGCGTTGTATCTCAACATCACGATACGGTCGATAAGATGCCACTTCGGGGCCGTCGCGGTCAGTGCCTTGGACCCGCGGGATCGCGCTTACCTCGAGAAAGGTGTCGGATTGCCGATCATTGACGACGTGCTGTGGGTGGACCATCTGCCTGTGAATAAGCCGTCCTTCCTAGGAGTCGCGACGATCCGAGAGATCCAGCGGCGGTGGACGAACGAATCGACGGCTTTGTGGCGATCTTTGGATTTTGTGCACTACACGGAAGCTGATCAAATTTTACATATACGTCCTAGACATAGGCACAAGCTCTACCAAGTCCTGAAAAGCAGTGAGAAGGGCGGGGCCTGGAAGGGCGGCAAGATGTCCATCTTGACGCCTCATAGACTGAACGCCATACCACGAGCGCAGGACGTGGACTTTCTGCGGAAAGCTTTTGATCCCCCGGCCTATGGAAATAACTTACCAGAAGACGTCTCGGAGGAAGTTTTGAGAGATTTGGAGTCCCAGGCGGCCGTGGTGCGGAAGGAGGAGTATCAGCTACCATCTGCATATGAGCCTCGACGGGACCCCTGGCACTTGCTGGTCTTCGGGACCCAGCGGGGCGCGTGGGTGCGACGGGAGCTCGATGGATATGGGGCTAAAAAAACTTTAGAGTTGGACGACGAGTTGCGGTACGGGTCGTGTTGCTATCTGCGCAAGGGCGAGACGTCGTACCCTTATGATGAAAGGGGTAAAAGGGGAGGCACGCGCGTCGACGATTCGACGGCCGGTACTTATCTCACGAATCAGTGGTCGAATGAGGACGTCGATAGACCTTCACCGGTGGAAGTTGTTAAAATAGGGGACCACGCCCTCGGCATCCTCGCCGGTTTGTGCTGCCACATCTGCGCGCGGCGCGGGCGGCTGGGGCGGCACTGCGACAACTACTGCGCGCCGGCGGCGCCGGGTTTTGAAGATTGTGCGGTGGGGGAGTACGCCGATTAATTTTAGTTTTCTTACCCTGTCTCTAGCCGAGGAGGACGGACTCGCAGACGATGGTGTCCTCGTCCCTAATCTGATAGTGACCACGCGGTCTGTACGAGGACCACGAGCCGTCGGCGGCGCGCTTGAATGCCGAGCCGTCCATTAAGAAGACCACGATCTGGCCCTCGTGGACGCAGGCATGAAACTGATGTTCGTCATCGCCCCAGTTCCATGGGGTATGGTACTTCTCCGCGGTCCACCTGTCTGACTGAGGATCGTACACCAACGTACGGGAATGCTGGTGTATCAGAAATAGTTTCCCGTCCAAGACAACACCATGTGTGCCGTATGCTCGCGCCTCGGGAAGCTGAGCGCGCAAAGTCCACGTCCTGGTGGCAATGTCATAAACCTGCAACGTCCGTAACTGGTAGCCACCGGCGACAAAAAGCTGGTTGCCAATGATACCCGAGGCCGCCATCGCAGCGGCATGCGGCATAGGAGGCAAATTCGCCCACGACCCAGTTGCTTCGGTGAACACGTCAAGAGAATCGACATTACCACCGGGGAACGACGCGCCACGCCAGCCGCCAGCGACGTACAAGCAACCATTGTGCCACTCGATGCAATGATAGCGTTGCTCGGTATCAGTATGCTCGGTATCAGTATGCGGCAAGGTTGTGAACTGGCGCCATCGGCGTGAAGAGGCATCCACCGCCAAAACTACATCACAACCTTTCCCATAGCAAAGGGTGGTAAAAAACAGCCGGGCACCGTCGGTCGTCGAGGCAAATCTATCGACGTGGAGAGGTCCCGCGATCCTCGCCACCACCCCGCTTTTATTTACGATGCGAATCCTGCTCCCACCGAGGGTATCTGCGGATCCGACGCTGACGATGCCGCGCTCCGCGAAGCCGGACCGTCGGCGGACGGCATGAAACTGCGGGCTCGTTACGACGGCGCGGAAGGTTCGACAGACCAAGGCGGTCGTGTAGTGATCATCGAGGGGCACGCCGACCAGCACGCGCTGCAGGACGTCGTCTGGTAGTGCCAGCAGAGGCGAGGCTGGAGTAGTAGGTGTATGTGTCGTCATTGCCCCGAACGAATGCAATTCGCAGCACGTGGGCCTCGACCAGGCCCAGAACTCCTCGAATCAATACCGCGCGAGATTCGTGAGCACCGGTAGCACGGATTATCGGCCGCGGCCCGGCTTGTGTGGCTTCCTAGTATCTTACACGCCGCTAGCCTTCGCCAGCGTTCCGGGGTCCGTACTACCTGGGGGCGGGTTCAATAAGCGACTCTCTCTCTCTCTCTCTCGCCGCGCAATCCTCGTGCGCCGCGGCCTCCCGTAACATATCCCGTCGATTACCCGCGTCGGCAATCCCCACCACATCGAATTGCAACTACACCTTCTTCTTACGCGCTTTGGCAGCCTCGCGCCGCGCCGAGTCCCGGTACAGCCACAAGACAAAAACCAGGAAGATCCCGTTGATGACCATCGACGCCGTCTGCCGGAATCTATAAGCCGACTGGGCGATGAACGTCACCATGGCCGCGAGGGTCATGGCGACCGAATGCTTCCACGATAAATTGCCGGCCGCTATTGGTGTCGATATCACTTTATCTGGATCATATGGTGGTTCCGGCGGCGCCGCCGGCCTCAACAGATGCGGTCGTTGGGACGCTATCGTCGTCATCAGATCCTCCAGGACATCCGTGCCCAACTCCTTGATGTTTAAATCCGCGATGTCCGTACAAGCTTTACCTAATTGATCCGAATACAAGTTCGCCGCGCCAATGCGAGAAGCCGTCTGTAATACGACCGACCGATCCGCAGAATCAGACGTGGCGCAGCCCGCCTCGCCGAGCCTTCGCACATCCTCCAAGCCGTATCTATCCGCGGCCACGACGTCTCGCAAGAATCGATCACCATCTCCTAAAGGTAGTTTCGAGGAATACACGGCTCGAAACAACCTAGAAACGTCATCATCATCATCCGGCACGCAGACCTCCACTCTACAACGCTGCTTCGCTTGGAAGCCGTCATCTATAGATTCCCGCATGCCACTCCGGAACATCGCCCGGAAGTAGTCAGACCTAGCTGCAAGCACGGGCCGGTGCGCCCGGACTTGACCCTTCGACGCCTTCACGGTCACGTCCGTGAAGTCCCCCTTGTTCACTAGCGTTTCGAAATCCTCCGCCAATGAAGATGGTAAGACGTCGTCGTACGACTCGTCGATTTGCACGTTACCTAGCGCTTGACTGCATAATGAAGCGAGTCTAGGTGTTTTATATAATTCGGCGCCCTTCTTGAGTTCCGCTATGAGTGGGAGTGGTAGAGGTGCGTCTCGAGGCTCGAAAATATCATCTCTATAGCAGTATTCTAAGAAGAGTTCACAGACTCTTGGACTGAGATCAGGCACTAATATCTGCAAATAACCGTCGTCGTCGCCGTCTTCTCTCTTCTCGAGCATTATGAGCTCTTCAAGCATGGGCGACCGAGCAGCTAGTACTGCGAGATGAGCATAGATCGGGTCGCCGCCTCCAGGGACTAATAAGCAATCGACAAGAGCGTCTTCTTCCCCATCAGACGTGGGTTCGCCATTCAACTCTTGCGTCGCTTTCCTCGCGGCTTTCCATAATTTAGCACCTAACAAATGCGCGGCTTGCGAACCACTCACCAATGCAACGGTATGCTGGCCGCCACAGGAAACACGCTCGACGCGCTTCCCGTCGAGCGCGGGCAGCCAGGCGGCGTTCGGCTGGCGCGGCACGTCCACTACTGATGCTTCTACCGCAGCTTGCAGCAGCGCCTCCTCGTCCCGGACGACTTCGCCTACTCTACGAGCTCGTTCCGTCGTCTCGTCGGCACCTAATAAAGCTAGACCGTCGCCACAAGTATACAAGGACCCCTCTTGGGTCAAGAACGCGGTGTGCCGCTCGCCGCACGCGATTTGGGCAATAGCCAATCCATCCAACCCGTGGACCCGTCGCGGCCAGGCGAAGCGCAGCTCGACCAACGTTCTAGTTGCTCGAAACGCCCCTCGCACACTCTTTTGGGACGTCGGTCTCCTTCTCTCTGTAACTCGTCGAGCCATCCAGTCCGTCGTGGACATGAGGGGAGGCGCGTCGGCTTTCCGCGCGCCATGACCTAATAAAGCCAAGCCGTGGCCGCCGCCGCCCCAGGTCCAGGCCCGGCCCTTCTCGTCAATAATAGCGGAGTGAGTCGGCCCCGCGGAGGCGTGGACGACTCTTTGCTGCGTAAAGAAGGGATTGACGGGTGTCGGGAGAAACGCGTCCTGCGTGCCGCCATTCTTCGCCACGCCCAGGCCTAGCTGGCCGTGGGCGTTCGAGCCGAAGGCGTACAACCGACCATGTTCGTCGATGGCCAGGGCGTGGGCCTCTCCACATACTACGGAGGCCCACATTGGTGAAGCTACGGTCTGCGATTCGTCGGCTTCGTAGTACGTGATCTTGTCGCTTCTTTGGAGTGATACTCGTTCGATGAGCTTCGGCGCTAATTGTAAGCGGGCACTTCTCCCAGGCCGCTCGACGTCGCCTTCCCGGATGCGAGGATCCCGGATCTTGGGAGGCTGCCCGAGACCCAATCTTCCGGACGCGTACATGCCCCAGCTCCACAAGCGTTTGTTTTCGTCGAGTGCTATACAGAACGACCCGCCCGCCGAGATCGAGACAACCCTAACGTCCTCATCTGAAAAAGAAACAGCAGTAGGGGTCAACCTAGGTGCGGTCGTCCTACAAGCACAGGCGACCCCAGAACCCCAGCAATATAAAGTCCCTTCACTTGATACGGCGCAAGAAGAAGCCCCAAAGACGTCCGCACCAGCGGCTATTTTCGTACATTGTATAGGCGCGTCGTCGGGCCACGAGACTGCTGCCAACCTTGATACTTTTTGTGTCCCTCCAACACCACACGCGCCGTCTTCGTTGTCCCCGCAACAAAACACGCGGCCCCGCCACGTCAGGACTACCGTATGCCGCGCGGAGCACGCGACGGTTTTGATGCGCTCCAGCGCCTCCAGGTCTCGGATGAATAGTGGTTGTGGTCGGGAAGCTACTGCTCCTAAATCACGCCCCAAGCATCGCATGGGCGACTCGCCCCAGCCCACCGTTTGGGCGCCTATCGCTGTCGATCGTTTCAGCCGTTTTGGCGGTGCTATGGTCGAAGTGTCCTCTATCTCATCCACGGAATCGGTCCAGAACTCGTACCAGCACTTTGTGAATTGGATGGCGTCGAGTTCATCGAGTTCGTCTCCCAGCACGTCCGGTCGGAGCGGGCACCACAGCCGCCCGACGCAGTTCAACGTCGCCTGGTCGCCGGCCTCTCCAGTACCAGCGACAGCGACTTGCGATGCTGTCGCTATTTCTACACCTAGACCCCTATATGTTGATGACCAAGAATGCACGCCGATGCGACACACACAGCTATCCCGCCGCCGTTTTTTGGAGAAGGTCCACGCTTCTTTGCGACACCTCGGCAAAGGTGCTTGTGTCTCAGGATGCCTCAAATGTTGCGCGCCGAAGACGGCAACTTGCGTACACGCCCTTGCCAGGGAAACGACGTACGGCTCCGGCAATGATCTATCAGCAATTCTGATGGCGGCGGCACACGCGCCCGCCACGCCGCCGACGGCCCCGCGCGCCGCCGGGTCCTCGTCCACTACCGTGCCTGCTTCCACGAACATGTTCGGCAACGCGAGCACGGGCACCTCGTCGAAGCGTCTTCCTGATAAATCCTCTACGACAACTTCCACTTTGCCGTCTCCCAGCAGGTCTTGGCACTCTTCGAGCGACGGCGGCGGCGCGTCTTTGTCCGGGAGCTCGCCGGTCACTTTCACCTTCGGCGCGCGGGGAAACACGGCGCGTACCGACGCGGCCGACGGCGCCTCGCTCAGCGCGTTCTTCGTCTTTTCTACGTTCGTCGGCTGTGGCTCGTCGACTGCTTTCGATGCTAAGACCGCGTCGCAGCGGGCCCGCGCCGCGGCCACGGACTGCAGGTAGTCCATGGTGTCCTTAGCCATGGGGTCGGCGGCTGCTGGCGCCATGCCGCCGATCCGCGTCTCCCGCTCCGTCGCGCCGATTCGTTCGACGTATCGGCCCCTGCGGCGGCGAGGGAGGCTGCCCAAAGCCAGAGAGCCGCTTCGAGGTCGATGGGACTAGTGTGTCTCGATACGCTAGCTGCTTGCTCCTCTCGTGTGTGGGCGCTACGCTATCCAACACTGCTGTCCTGGCCATTCTTACGATTTCTGTCCAGCGCTTTGACGCCCAGCCAGCGTTTGGGACATTATCCGTCAGTGTGGGAGGCAGCGCTGCCATGCACTACCAATGTCATATAGCACCAGCACGCATCGCCGCGTAGCAATGCCACGAATCGTCTACGTCGTCGCGGCGCTCACCACAACAGCACACGCGCTCCGCCAGACGAACGCCGCGCGCCTGACGTTATTTGGCGACGGCTGCGGCTTCCGAGCCGCCAGACTCGACGCCGCGATCCGTGAACACCCGGCCGTCGTCGCCGCGGCACGGCGCGGCCGCCTTGGCCCTATCCTTCGCTTCATACGCGAGGTCTTCGGCGTCGAGGACGCGACCGATCTCATCGAAGCGACGCCGCAGCTCGCGTCGACGCCGCTGGCCGTGCTGGCGGCGCGCCACGCATATTTGCGCCGCGTCGGCGCACCGCACGGCGCGCAGCTCGCGACGCCGGGGCTCCGCCCGCCGCTCCTCGGCGACCTCTGCGCCACGCCCGCGACCCACGACGACTTCGCCGAGGCCTGCGGCGGCGACGCGGGTGACGTGGCGGCGCTCGTGGCGGCCTTCCGGCGCGGCGGCCGGCGCGCGGCCGCGGACGGCGACGCGCGCTTAGTACGAGACCTATTAGCCCACGGCTGGGCGCCGGCGCAAGACAGGGACCGCCGCGGCGCGTCGGCCGCGCACGTCGCCGCCGGGCGCGGCGCCGTCGACGTTCTCTCGGCTTTGATAGCGAGCGACGCGGCGCTGGCGCGCGACCGCGATGCGGCGGGCGCGACGTCGCTCCACTGGGCGGCCTGCGGCGTCCGTGGGAACGCCGCGGGCACGGGCTTCGAGGAAGGCGCGGCCGAGCTGCTCCTTTCGGCCGGCGCCGACGCGTGCGCGACGACTCACGACGGCAACGCCGTCATCCACTGGGCGGCGTGGCAGGGGGGCGTCTCGGCCGTGCGGACGCTGCTCGCGGCCGGCGCGGACGCGCACGTCGCCAACGACCGCGGGTGCACCTGCGCGCACTGGGCGGCGGCCGGCGGAGACACCGCGACTCTAGCGTACTTGCGCGATGTCTGCCGCGTGGATCTCCGAGCGCCAAATGCGGCGGGGCACACCCCCCTCGAGCACGCGTGCGCCTACAAACGCACCGACATCGTTTCGTGGCTCGTCTCCGAGGAGGTCGTCGACCCGCGGGCCGTCGAGTACGCGCTCCGCGTCGCGGCGCTCGACGCCGACGACGCGAACCTGAACGCGATCGCGGGGATGCTTGTGCCGAATATCTAATGATGTTGTTGTCTAAAGTCTCTAAAGTCTAAAGGATAAAGGAGGTTCTAAAGGTCTAAAGGAAGCCTTACTGAAAGAAATGGGGGCAGAGGTAACGAATTCAAGAGATGGCGCAGCACGACGCCTTCACTGGGCGGCTGTTCCGAAAGTTGCTGCCCTCAAACATTCGAAGAGTTTTGCAGTTTGCTCTAAGTCTCCAAGTGCCCAGGGGTTGGTCGAAGGACGAAGCGAAGCGGAACATATTGCTCATATTCGTGACGTTGTCGACCCGCCATTCGCCAATCGGCTGGTTGAACGCCTTGGCGCCGTTGAACATATTCATCATCGTCGTCACGCTAGAGGTATCCCACGCGCTGATGTCGTCGTTAAATCCATCGTCGCAATGGAAGAGCGAGCTCATGTCAGTCACCTTACTCGTATTCCACGTCGAGATGTGCGGCAAGCCCTCGTGGTCGCTGTCGCACCAGCGCCTTGTCCAATCTCGCAGCGTCTCGTTCGTGAGTCCCCAGTTGCGGTCTATGTCGAAGGCCGAAGCTCCTTTGAACATGTCTTCCGTGTTTGTGGCCTTGTCGACCCGCCAGTCGCCCAGCGGTTGGTTGAACGCCGAGGCATCCCTGAACATCCAGCGCATATCCGTGACGTTGTCGACCCGCCAGTCGTTCAGCGGCTGGTTGAACACCTCGGCGCAGCTGAACATCATGCGCATATTCGTGACGTTGTCGACCCGCCAGTCGTTCAGTGGTTGGTTGAACGCCGAGGCGCCCCAGAGCATCCCGCCCATATCAGTGACGTTGTCGACCCGCCAGTTGTTCAGCGGCTGGTTGAACGACGAGGCACTCTGGAACATTTGCTGCATATTTGTGACCTTGTCGACCCGCCAGTCGTTCAGCGGCTGGTTGAACGTCGAGGCGTTGCGGAACATCCCTTCCATCGTCATCACATTAGAAGTATCCCACGCGCTGATGTCGTCGTTGAAACCCTTCTGATTCATGAATAGCTTGCTAAAGTCCGTGACCCGGCTCGTATTCCACGTCGAGATGGGCGGCAAGCCCTCGCGGTCGCCGGCGCACCAGCGCTTTAATCTGTCGCGCAGCGACTCGTTCGTCAGAATCTCTCGCGTCCGGAGGAGCGCCCAGTCTACCACAACACCAGTCTCCTCCGCCGCGGCCTCCTCGCCGAGTGCCGGCGCCTCCCGCTCCTCCTCCATCATCAACGGCGGCTCATACGGCTCCTCGCTCACTGGCGGGCCTTCTTCTTCGACCTGGACCGTCTCGGGGGCGGTCGGCGGCGGGCCCGCGTGGTCGAGGAACGCGTTGGTCACCGCGACGAAGCCGGACCAGCTCTCGAGCGTCTCTGGCGATGCCGGGTACGCGCCCCAGGCTGCCCGCAGCGCGTCGCCTTCCGGGCTGTTGTACCAGTCAGCGATGCGGTGGTACATCGTGGTCGCATCGGTGCCCGCGGGCTCCTCCACAGGCTTGGCTGCCCTCCAGGGCATCGTCTCGCAGAGCTTGCCAAAGGGCTGCCTTTCGCAGGCAGAACGCGCTGGCGGATTATATTTTCTCGCTCCCGTCAGCTGGACGCACGGTAACGTCGCGCTCGAGCGCGCTCAAAAGGCAAATCCACACAGAACCAAGCTTGCTAGTGTCTTACAGGCCGCTAGCTCGGATTACCAAAATAGGCGAATTGTTAGTACCCTAGCCACAGACGCTTCTTGCGGCGCGCGTGGTTCAAGCGACTCGCAATTGGCCAGTTACTCCGCGCTTGCCGGAAGGCCCGACCGCGGTGGTACCTAAACCCTGAGCTAAATCCTTTCAACTCGGGTTCAAACCAGTAAGGCGTTCCTCCGAGTACGCAGCTTCGCCGGCGCACGAGTTAGTCTAGTGTTCGTGACCGCTTAAGTACTCTCTCGTTGATCAATGCCCGCGACGCGACGCGCCCGCGCGGCGGCCGCCGAACGCGAAGCAAAACGCCGCGCCGCCCATGAGATTTCCGTGGAGCGCACGCGCCTTGTCGGCAAGCTCGACGTCGGCGTCCTCTCGGTGATCGCGGGCTTTGGCGGCAAGCGCGAGCTCTGGGGCGTGGCGCTCGCCTTCAAGGAGCACGGCGTCGAGATCCTGGCCTCGGAGCCGACGCTCGACGCGATCCTGCTCGCGAGCCGCGGTGACACGGTCCTCCGCAAGACGTTCCGCCCGAAGCCGGGCGCGCAGCGGCAGCGGCGCTTTGGCGGCTCGATGTTCGACCGCCTCCGGGTCGACAGCGTCGATCGCTTCGACGCGAACCTCGCCGCGCTCAACGCGTGGAAGGACGCCATGGACGAGGAGGCCAAGCCGAAGGCGGCGCTCGTCGCGCGCCTCGTCGACGGCGTCGTCCACCACGGCGCCTGCGACGTGACGAACACGGACTGGACGCCGGACGCCATCGAGAACCTTCACCTCGTGTCGCTGCGCGGCGCCCAGGCGCGCGTCCCGTTCCTCGTGTTCGTCGGGAGCAAGAACGTCTGCGACCCCGGTTGCTGGTGCGCGGGCATGCAGCACACGAGCGTCTTCGTCAAGGCCGGCGCCGCATGCGAGCGCCTGGTGACGTGGTGCGAGCCCCAAGGGGAAAACGACGCGTCCTGCCGCTACTACTCGGCCTCGCGGGAGACGAGCGCCGGCGTCGCGGCGGCCCTGGGTATCGCGCCGGACGAGGTCGGCTTCGCGCTCCGGACCGCGCTCCTGGCGGCGAACGTCCACAAGAAGGGCAAGGACCAGTGGATGGCCATCGAGCGCCTCGCCAAGAACGGGAGCAACGCCTACTTCTGCGATTCCTATGGCGACGAGTCGTGGGAGTCACTGGAGGAGTTCGAAGAGACCCAGGCCCTCGGCGGCGCGGCGTGCTCGTCGTTCCCGTTCTCGTTCACGATCGGCCGCCTGGAGTTCGCTGACGATCAAGGATTCGGCGATTCGCCGCGCAAACTCCTGCCAGACGCCTGCGCCCTTCTCGAGGCGCGCCTCCAGGACCCGACGGCCTCCGTCGCCGGCACGATGAAGAAGCTCCAGAGCTGGCAGGCGTCCCTGAACGCGACGCGCTGGGCGCGCGCGAAGGCCGCGGCGCGCGCCGCGGCGCCAAACTGCCCCGAAGAAGACCTCTGGGCGCACGAGAGCGACTGCATGCCCTTCGAGTACGACGGGCCCGCGACGGCGAGCAACTCTGGCATGGGCGGGTGTGCCATCGCCTAGGCAACCCCCACGCCACCGACGTCCCACACCCCGCCTCCTAAAAATTTACCTAAAATATATAACACACGCCCGCGCGCAAGGACCGCCGGGCGCAACAGATAAATAAACCTCAACCGGACGCGCGGTCCGCCGACGCCCGCGCCCCGAGCGCGCGCCACGCCTCCCTGTTTTTCCGACAATTCTCTTCCAATTCCCCAACTTCCGGAAAGATCTTCTGCGCCGCCGCAAACAAAGGCTGGACGACGTAGTCGATGAACGCGACCTGTCCGAGCGCGAGATCGGCCGCCGTCTCGAGGCGAGCCATGAACGGCGACACCGGCAGGCCCAGGTCTTGTTCTCTAGAAGCTTGCTTTCGGAACTCGTCGGCGATGCGCTCGGCCCAGTCCTTGGCCGTGTCGAAACTCGGACTACATTGCGCGCTCATGTCCCCGAGGTGGATGAGCTGATCGAGATAAAACTGTCTACGTCTAGGTGAGGCGACTCTCGAATCTCGGTCGTCCGAGTCGGACTTGTCGCTGAAGGAGTGCCTCGTTAATGATGTAAATGAGGTACGATCTGCAAAGGCCCTTAATGAGTCGACGTGCGCCCCGTGCCTTGCCATGTCCGTGGCCAGGATCATCGAGATGACGGCCTTGCGGAATTCTCTGTAGGCATTTCGTGACAGATTCGCCAGGAAATCCGTCGATGGATTCCTCAGGAGTGTTGCGAAGACGAACGAAGCATGGTAGTTCTCTAAGACAGAAGCGTCGTTGTACCTCAACGCTAGCTCCGACGAGGATTTGACTTCGAAGTCGTTCGAGTGGCCGGGGTGGTCGACGTCGTGGCAGAGAGCCGCTACTTTGAGAGCTAGCACGTCTAAAGCTGTTAAATCCCTCGCTCGCTTCGCCCGGCAAGCGAGCATGAAGTCGACATGCAGAACAGCCACCGCATGTCTAAAATTGTGGTAGGAATTCGTAGCCTTGTAGGAACTCCGCACCATCCCCAGGAACGCCCGAAATTCGTTACGGGGGCAGTCGTGCTGCTCGAGCGAACCTGCGTTCGGGACGCCGCGTCAATGGCGCGGAAGATTATCACGTCGCGTCGATGGCGTGCCCCTCATGAGGCGTCGATGGCGTGGAGGGGGGATCGCGTCGCGTCGATGGCGTGCCCCTCATAGGGCGTCGATGGCGTGGAGGGGGTATACACCTCATGACGTCGGGCGCCGCGTCGCACCGTGGTGCTCGAACATCATCTGCGCCGCCTCGACCAAGGCCTCCTCGCCGCCGTCGTCGGCGACGCGCAACGCGTCCCAGCGCCACGACGCCAGTTCGCCGAGCGGCTCGTCGCTCAACGACGAGTCGCGCGAGAAATGGCCATCTTCTTCGAAGCTCAACACGTGCGGCGTCGTCTGCACGGGCGTCGAGGGCTCCTCTTGTTCATCGGTGAACAGCTTCAAGTAAGCCACGCCCCTTTCCGCCGAATTCGCTCTGGCTTGAAACGTCTCGTCGGCCGCTGCACGTCGTAGAGGCGCCCTTAACTCATCACATAACAACTGTAGGAGCTCGACGTCCTCGTCGTCAAACGAGCCTTCCTCCTTGTTCAGGGCTTCGATGACGGCGACCGTCCGTCCCTCTTCGACGACCGGAGCGCATAGGATAGTCCTCGTAGAGAATCCCGTCTCCTTGTCCGTCGTGTTGTCGAAGCGATCATCTTGGGACGCGTCCCCAATGTTCAATAACACTTTATCTAAAGCACACCTCCCGGCGACGCCCTTGCCGAGGGGCACGACGATCGATTCGATGCCGTCGGGATTCGCCGCAATTAGTATTTCGGAGACGTGGTCGACCCAGAACAAGGTGACGTGAGAACAGTACAAAATCTCGCGGGCCACTTCGAGCAGCCTCTGGACTAACTTGGACGAGTTGCCGTCACTCTCGCTCACGACTTTGGTGACCCTGAAGAGCGCCGCGGCGCGGCGTCGCTCTCTTCTTTCTGCCGCGGCCGCCTTTCTTAGTTCGGAGGCGGACATGGCTTCAAACGAACGCTGGCGCTCCTTGTTGGGACGGGGCGCGTGCGTGGGAGACGGCACGTGCTCGTAGGACTCGGTGGAATCGGTGGAGTGGCGGCGGGCGTGCTCGTACTCCTCGGCCAGCGAGTCGCGCGACGCGCGCCTCGAGGCCTCGAGTCCTAAGCGGTCCCCATTGTTGATCGGGCCGGGGCGCGGCATCGTCCCGCGGGGTTAGACTACCGAGGCAGTCCCGCGGTGGGTGCAGTGGTGCCGGGACGCGCACGCCTCGCTGCTGCTTCAGCTGAGTGTTGTTCCTCTGAAGGGGCAGCCCCAGTGTTTGCCTTGCGAGGCGCGGGCAGCGGCGCGGGCGTGGTAATGGGTCGACACACGGTCCTCCTCCCAGTTCTCCGCGCCGCGTCGTTGGCCCTCCTGGCAGCCTCGCAGAGCAACTCGTCTCGCGCGAGGAGATGCTCCCTGACTGCCCCGGCGAGGCGAAAGAGCCGTCCTTGGGCCAGTTCGCAAGTCTCGCGCGGCCGCCGGGACGCGTCGGACGACTGCGCCAGCGGCGATGCCGCGTTGGTGCCCGACGTTGAAGCCCCGGGTTTTCTCGGCAACTGAGACAAGGTTTATGTTACGCAGTGAACAAGGAGCCGGCCGGCCGGGCCCGCGTGCGTGTCGTCGACACGGCGCGCGGCGGCTAATTATCTGCGCGGCGCGGACGGGCAGGTCATTAACTGCGCGCGCGAGGAGGAGGCTCTCCGGCGGAAAGTGTGACTGTGGACGCGGCGCGCTACGTTCCGTCGTCCTCCTCGCACAACAAGCGGGCGACGGCGCCGCCGGCGCCGGCGCGACACCGCACGACCGCGGCGGCCGCGGCGACCGCGTTCATGGTCGGCGACGGCGGCTGTGGTCGTCGTCGCGCGTCCGCTGCGACGGTCGTCGGCTGCGGCACGTCGACGGCCGCCAGCGCGCGGCCGTGGCGAGTGCTTGTCCTTGGCCGCATTGTTGTCAGCGCGGCGCGGCGCGCGCTTTGGACCCAGCGCATGGTGTGAAGTGATTGCTGCGTTGAGAACGTGGTTTTGCGCCAACAACTACAGTCGTAACGCTGCCACAGCGAGCGCTTTAGTCGTTTTTGCACCCCTGGCCCTATTTCTAGTGTGTTACAGGACGCTAGCAGATTATTTAACAGCGCGGGCTCTCCGGGGGCTTTGGCGGCAAGCAAGGTTGTGGCAAGCTCCACAAACGACGGAAAACAAGCCGGGGCTGCCCCGTCGCCAGTCCGCCCCTTGCCAAGCAGCGGCGCGTCTCCCAGTGCAAAGTCTCGGTACAGCGCCAATGGAGCCCATCATCTCCATCCCCGGGTCCATGGCCTCGCCCCTCTCTTCACAGAGACGCCGCCACGTCGCCGGCGCCATGACGAACACGCACGCGTTAAGAGGCACCTCACCCAACACCTCGAAGGACATACAAGCAGCGTACAAGGAGTACGAGCGGTCCTTCGACGAGCTGTCCCAGGCGTCGGCGGCGTCTCCACCATTATTTCGGAGGCGCTGGGGCGACGGTAGTGTCGAAGACGACGACGTCTCCGTGCTGACGGCGCCGGTCGTCCATCAACAGCGGCGGCCGAGCCAGCGAGAATTGGAAAGAGAGCTAGTGCGCGCCGACGTCGCCGGCCGCGTCACGGACCACAACTCGACGGCGACGGCTATCACTCGCCGCGCGCCCGACGACCGCTCCGTGGTCTCAGAGGCGTCCACGGCCTCGGCCTTCGAGGTCCAGCGCAAGGGCCACCTCGGCGTCGTCGAGAAGTTCCACGCGATACCGGTGGCCCCCGTCCACGATAAAAATGGAGCCGGCGCGCCCGCGCGCTGCGAGCAGGCGCCGGCGCGGGCCCAGCCGCGCGCGACTCGGTCGTCTCGGTCGTCTGCAGGCTCGGTCTCGGCCGTCTCGGCGCCGGCGCCGGCGCCGCTCGACGCGGCCGGTGCGGACGACCAGGCCTCTGTCGTCACGGCGGCGGCCTCCGCCGCGCTCGAGCTCGAGACTTTGCGTCCCAGTCGCACATCTCTCGCGAGCTCGCCGGCCAAGTCGCTCGCGACGGCGTCTCCATCAAAAATGTCCCACATCTTCAGCGACACCGCCACGACGGCGACGGCGACGGCGTCGCCCTCAAAGTCGCACATTTTTGGGGATGCGCTCTCCGTCTCCACAACCACCACCCACGTCCAGCCCGCGCGCGCGCCGGGCGCCGGCCGCGCCGTGACGTGCGCGGACCTCGCGGCGTTTAATGGCGACGCGACGCACCTCGAGCGCGCGGTCGAGGAGCGGTCCGTCGCCTTCTCGCCGCCGCGCTCAAGGCAAATGGTCGTCGAGCGCCGCCGCGCTTTGGGGAGATGCCTCACGCCGGAGGACGCCCTGCTGCCCCGAACGTTGAGGAAAGCTATACGAAGGACGAGCCCGCCGAAGGCACGAAAGTCCGCGCTGCCGTCACCCGTCGCGTCGCCGCCGGCGCGGCGGCCGGCGCCCACCGGGGCCTACGTGCGGCCCGTCCCGACACCCGACGGCGTCCGGAGTCTGTTGAAAACGTTCCCGCGCCACTGGACCGACATCGCCGAGCACACGAACTGGGGCCGGCCGGAGCCGGTCCGGAAGGACGTCGTGTTGCGCGTCGACGAAAAGCCGGGCGTGGACCCGACTTCCTACAGAACGCACCACCTCCGGCGGCCCGACGCGCTGAAGCCGTTTGATCATCTTTTGGATCCGGGGCGGAACCTGGCGTCAAAGTAAGTTTTCTAGTTGTGGGACTTTGTCCACCTGTAACGTGCGGGAGATGGCTAGCACCAAAGACACCCAAAAGATCGGAGTGAGTGCGATATCTGTTACGGTGCTATTGGACTTGTAAAAAAAGGCTAAGGCTAAGGCTAGTTACGTCGCAGGAAAACCGCTAGTGTGTCTATACTAGTTTTTAGTGAGAGCACGGCTCGCGTATTGAAGTCTCTGGGCACGCAAGCACACTGCTCGCACAGCTCACGCAGCCTCCTCACAGTGCTCCTCACGCAGTGCCAATCAGGCTCCACGAACGAGCCCGCCGCCGTGCTCCTAGGACCTCAAAAAGCAGGATCCCAATACCTGCGTCCGAGCGCACGCCATCGACGCGCTGAGCCAGCATAAAGTCGCGCTAAGAAGACCAGGACAAGCCCCCATGCCCGCGACGCGGTCCACCACAAACAACACCGACGGCCTCGCCTTCGAGGCCGTCGCCGTCACCCTCGAAGTAAGCAAAGGCGTACAAAAAACTATAGTAAGAGACGCGCGCGGTTCGGTCGGAAAGCACGGCCTCCTCGCGATTCTAGGCCCGTCCGGCGCGGGAAAAACGACTCTATTAGCAGCGCTCGCGAGAGAGCGGCCGTGCGACGCGGGGTCCAAGATCTGGCGGCCCGCGGGCGGTGCCAATTTCTTGCCCCAAGACGACCGTTTGTTGCCCTTCCTCACGGTCCGCGAAACTTTGCGGTTCGCGGCGGAGTTAAGGTGGGACGGTGTCGATGAGAGGTGGGACACGTCTGCTAAAAGAGCCGAGAGGGCCGAGAGTGTCTTGGAGACGCTCGGGTTGTCAGAGGTGGGCGACACGAGGGTCGGATCGGCGCTGAAGCGGGGCGTGAGTGGCGGCGAGAGGAGGCGGACCGCTTTAGGTGTGGAATTGGTGCTCATTCCCTCGTTACTGTTAGCTGACGAGCCGACGTCTGGTTTAGATTCAACAGCAGCTTTACAATTAGCTATTTTATTGCGAGAGGCGGAAGCTACTGTGGTGGCATCAGTGCACCAACCGGGCGCGCGCGTCTTCCAGCAATTTACCGACGTGGTGGTGTTGGCTCCTGGTGGTGGTACCGCTTATGCGGGGCCCGCTGATAGTGCGGCATCTACGTGCGCGTCACTCTGCAAGGTGAAGGTGCCGCCTCTCACCTCGGCGGCTGAAGTTTTGTTGGACCTCGTCGACGATCCTGCCACGCGGTCCATCCTGGTCTCACAAAGTGCGCCTGCTACTACTCGAGTTTCTCATGATGAGGATGAACCACAACTGAGCACGCGGTCGCGCTTCCGGCCTCTGCTAACGAGGGCGTGGCTCAACAATGCGCGCGCTCCAGCGGCCACAGTCGCTGCTGTTGGTCGGTCCGTGACCATGGCTCTGCTGGTGGGCGCTCTCTACTCCGGGAGTCGCGGAACGTCGACGCAAACAGCGGTCTCCGATAGAACTGGAGCGCTCTTTTTCGTATTGGTGAACCAGGCCTTCTCCGCGATGGCGTCCCTCCGAGTCTTCATCGAGGAACGCTCGGTCTTCGAGCATGAAAGACGCAGGAGGGCGTATAGTACAAGGGACTACTTCCTCGCCAAGTCGCTAGCGGAGCTGCCGATCCAGGGCGCCGTGGCGCTACTATTCGCGGGCATGGCCTACGCCATGGTCGGGTTGAGGGCATCTCTCTACTCGTTCGGAGGGCACTGCGTCGTCCTAGCCCTGGCGACGTTAGTGGCCGAAAGTTTAGTTATTTGGGTAGGTGCTGGTGCTTCCGACGCTAGAACAGCGGTCGTCATCTGTCCGGTGGTGCTCTCGACCTCACTGTTATTTGGGGGGCTCTTCGTGTCGCTGGCGTCGTTGCCACGCTTCTTAGCACCGTTGCAATATTTATCATTGTTCAGATACGGCTTCGCGGGTCTCCTGAAGCTCGAATTTCAGCACGCGGATGCGGTGTTCGACTGTTCTTCTGAAGATAAAGAATTACTAGCTCAAAGGGTGATCGATGCGGGCGCGCCGGCGAAGTTACTTGGGCGATTGGTGAAGAGCCTGCCGTGCCCGACGCCCGATGGGGAGACGCATGTCAAGCGCGTGCTGGGGGACGACGCCGCGTCCCGCTCCATTCTGATGGACGCGGGCGCGTTGTTCGCGCTGTTGGTCGCCTTCCGCGTGCTGGCTTTGAGAGCGCTCGAGCGGCGGACGGCGTCGGCGGTGGTCGTGGCGAAGGCCAAAAAAGCGTAAGGGACAATATTATGTTAGACGGCGTCGTTCGCCGGGGGTTGGGGCACGCTACACAGTCGCTTGGTGAGGCAATAATGTAGCATGTGTGATTCTCTTCATGTGCATCTCAGGCCCCCCGGATGACGCGCCGGAGCCGCATCGCCTCCAGGCCTGTGCGGAAATCAAATCTCAGGCGCCCCACGCCATCGACGCGACGTCGTCCCCGTGACTAACTCACTGGTTGATTTTCACACGGCTCGGGCGGTAGGAGTAGAGGGCCGCGAAGTAGATGATCGCGTACGTCCAGACCGCTACGAGCGCGGCGCACCGCCGCTTGTTCCAGACGCCCGCCGAGCCCTGCTGCTGGCCCTGGAGCGCCTTTTTGACGGCGGCTGGTGTGAGGGCGCTCTCCTCGTCAATCGAGACCAGGGAATTTTGCGAGCCGAGCGAGCCCGCGCGCGAGAGGCGCCGCTGGTGGCGCCGCGGCGAGGCCGGCTTTTCTTTGGGCGGGAAGATGTAGAGGCCGCTCGCGTCGATGCGCAGGACGGATTTCGGCGACGGGCCGGGCGTCCGCGGGGACCTGTGTGTGTTTTTATCACCTTCCGGACCTCGACTCGGGGCTTGGTCCCCGGGAGACATCGCGGTACACAGACGAAGGTGAGTCGGGCTCGGGCGCCGACGGCGGAGAGTCCGTGCGGCCGAGCGTCGGCCGTTGGGAGAGGGAGAGAGGAGTCGGCCGTTGCCTCGGCGACGGCGGCGAGTCCGGCATGGTCTGCTTGCGAAAAGACTGGTGGGCGAAGTTGTCGGCCAGGACCATCGGGTGGACTCGGGGTGAGTCCGAAGCTGGTGTGCGCGTCGGTCGCGTTCACCTTGGCGGTTGTAGCTCAGCCACCAGGTTCAATCGCCTGAAGGCGCGCGATTGGGTCGTCGGCGTCTAATTTCGAGTGGGACCGACCTGTGAACGTAGAACACGTCCTTTCAAATACCAAACTCTTCTCGGGAATGAGTTAACCCACTGCTCGGGAGATTTTGCAAAAGTCCCGATCCGCTAGTGTCTTACAGGTGCTAGCAACGATTTTATAATCGCGGTTTTGTTGCGTGGAGGCTCATTGCAAGCGTGATAGGCATCTCGCCATTAGCTAGCTTGTTTTTGCTCGCCGTGCAAAGCCTGCATCAGCACCGCAGCAATCCTGCAGCGCCAGATCCCAGTAGCGGCATCCTCGCCCACCAGGCCGACGAGCAGCCAGTGCCGCAGTCGATCATGGCCGACGAGCAACAAAAGGCGAAAGCAAGAGCCGCGCGCTTCGCCAACGACGCCAAGAAACCGCCCCCGCCACCGCCGAAGAAGACCTTCGCCCACCCGGGAGGCAAAATGACGACGAACAAAGACGAGGCGCTGCGCAAGTACTTAGAAAGGAAAGGTAATTCGTTAAACGCCGCCCAGCAGCAAGCCCTGGAAGATCTCCAAAAGAAGGGCCTCGCGCCGCCCACACCACCTAAAGAAGATCGCACGGACAAGTTATTTGTCGGCAATTTGCCGTACAAGCTCGACGATCAAAAGTTAGGCGCGTTGTTCGCGTCGCGCTATCACGTCATCGGCTCAAAAATCGTGTTAGATCGCCAGACGAATCGAGGACGGGGCTTCGGCTTCGTGACGTTCGGAAGTTCCGAGGACGCGAAGGCCGCGCACGACGCGTTCCAGGGCGTGAAGGTGGAGGGGCGGCTGCTGACGGTCAAGTACGCGACGCAGCGGGGGCAATCAAAGGCGAAGCCGGTGTTGCGGAAGGACGGCTGGGGCTCGTGGGCGACGCCGTCAAATGCCGCGGCGCCGGAGGCCGCCGAAGCGGATGTCGCTGCGAAATCGTCGCCGCCAGCGCCAGAAGCCAGCGCGCCGGCCGCCAGCGCGCCGGAGGCCGCCAGCGCGACAGACGAGAAGCCCCTCGAATCCGAAACGCCCGTCGAGGCCGTGTCATTGTGGAAGATCGCCACCTCCAGTGAAGTCGACGCGTGGCGCGCCGCCGGCACTCTGACGGGCTCGGCGCTCGACGAAAAGGACGGCTTCGTGCACTGCGCGACGGCGGACCAGGCGCGCGTCGTCGCGGACTTGTATTTTGCGGGGCAGTCGAATTTAAAATTGCTGCGCGTGAGCGTCGAGAGCCTTAAACAAAAGGACACGGCGTGGACGCGGGAGAGCGACGCTTCACTAAAGGGCCGGCCGGGCGTCGCCGTGCGGCTCGTGCCGGCTGAAGATATTAAAAAGTACCGGAACGGCAAGGACGTGCTCCACGACGGTTGTTTACATCTGCACGCGGCGCCGCCGCTGCCCTGGAGCCTGGTCGACGAATTTGAGTTGCCGCTCGTCGACGGGAAGCACGCGTTCCCGGCGCAATGCGTCGCGACAGAAGGCCCGCGGGCGCAGGCGCTCGGGGGCTTCTCGATCACGTACTGAGTCGACGGCGCTCCATTTCTAAGTTTAGTTGTGTGTCGTACTTCTTCTGCGTGCTCGCATCGACGGCGTCGAGGCGACGTGGCATGGCGCCGACCCCGCGGCGACGCGCCCCCGCGGGCCGCGGCGACAGCCGGAGGCCCGGAGCGTCACTTGAAGTGCAATTCGGTTCTGTAAATTACACCAGCGTCCCCAGACTAATCATGAACGCGACGAAGCCGACAAACGCCGCGACAGCGAAGCGGCCGAGCTCAAGCAATAAAGCGGACGGCGCGTCCATCACCAATACACTGGAGACGCCCTTGCCTACTAAAACGGCCAGCGTTAATGCTATAATCAACGAGAAGAGCCCCGCGGACCGTTTCTGAAGACGCTTCGCCATCAATTTTTCATCTCTGTGTAGAGCCGCCCTCACGACGACGTAACACGGTTCGTGCGACTGCGCCTGGTGGTACCTTTTGAGCTTCCCGTCATAGACCGACGTATCCAGAGGCAGTTTCAGCTCGATGGGTTTACCCTCGAAAGGCGCGTGGCCTTCGGACGCCGCGCAGTCGGCCAGATGCGACGCCGAAAACGCCGCGACACCCAACAACGCGTCCGAAAAGACGTTGCCCGTGTCCGCCTCGCTATCGTAGACCGCCACGTGGACCTCCTGGCTGCTTTCGTGCACATCAAAAGTGAAGACCTGCTTGTGTGCTGTCCAGTCCGGATTCAAACTATCTTCTATTGTTTCCGTTTGTTTGGACTGACCGCCCAGCGACACGACCACATAAGGGTCGGACTTGCCGGAGGGGTCGTTGGCCCACAGCTGTTTGCAGCACATGACTTCACACGCTAGGGTACATATAACGTCGTTGGGTGGCACTGGTACTGCACCGCTCGGCCCGATGAACGCTTGTAAAATAGGTATAGCCGCAGATTTGGGCCAGACGAGCTGCCGCTCGACGATGTCCTCCATGAGTCTTGCCACGAATCTATCCACGGCACTGAGAGAAAAACCGAACGGGAGCTGGATCAGAGGGTTCTTGACTCCAAAACTCGACTCCAGGGCGAGTTTCGGCTTGCGCGCGAAGCCTAGTCGGCACAGTCCCGCACAGGGGAAACTGGTACGTAACGGCCCGAGCTTCAGGCGTAATGAACCCTCCAGGCCAAATCGCGTGACAGAACCAGTGATTTCCGCGGCGCCTTCGACCTCCGCATCTAACAGCGTCCTTACCCCTCTCCCTTGAAACTTCACACCAACATCGACGTCGATGAACGCGTAGCCATCTAGTGATGGGGCTACTCTAACATAAGTCAAGGTAGGGGCCTCGGCGCCCACATCTATAGACAGAGCCGTGATCTTCGTTAGTAGTTTTTGCTCCATGGCCTCGAGCTTCTCGTTGACTAACGGCGTGACACTAGCCGCCGCTCTATTCACCTCGCACCGCAGCGACGGCCAGGCCCCAGCCAGTAAGATATTCAACAAAGCTAGGATCGAGGGAGACCAGTCCGGCGGCGTATGAGCGGAAGCCCGCTTTCTCTGGATGGTCAACCATAAAACACTCCGAAGTAAAGCCCCACACACTTTAGCTAGTGATCGAGACAGGAACGTCGACTCCAACGGTTTCAATTTCCGGAAATCGCACCACAGCTTCAACCTAATCCTAGGTGCCAGCCCCCCATTCTTATCAATCAATCTCCAAGCTTCTTCCCCGAAGCCGTACGCTCGTTCATACAGTAAGAACACGTCACCGTTCGGCGAGTCCCGACCTTGTCTTCTTAAATTGGTATGATACTTCAAAAACCGATCTAAAGCCTTCCGCGCTTGTTTGAGCGAAGGAAAATCTCTTCGAGTAGGATACGCACCCGTCGCGTCGTAGCACACTAGGATAACGTTCATATCTGATGCGATTGGTTTGAAGGGATGTACGGGTAGCTTCTCGTGCCAGCCCTGCATCTCATGATCTATACTTTCTTCTAGCGCTTCGAAGGCGCCCTCCACCACATCTTCGGCCTCCTGGATCGCTTGGCCCATGGCGTCGTAAGCTTCCTTAGCTGCGTCCTCGGCACCGTAGAAGAAGGACCGGGTGTTGGCCCAATTGGAGCGCTCGTCGCGGCTCATGGTTCTGGGCAGTCTCTTTGGTAGTTTTTGGGGGCGGGGGCAACGTGTTGGGCAGCTCTCCCGGCCTTGGCTTCTGCGACGATGCTAGTGTGTCGCAACGCTAGCTCAGCTCGACGCTTTCGAGTATTACTCGTTGTGTCGACGGTGCTGTCGCTCACCAGATCACATTTGTGCTCGTCTATTGCAGCCCTCTCGGGCCTGCCATTTTTCACGCGGCGTGAATTGGTTGTAGAGCCGTACGGCAGCAGCCAAGCGGGACGCTCTCCGTGCTTTACTCGCGCGGCCGTTGCACGCCGTCGGCGCGTCCAACACAATGTTCGGCGTCGACTCCGACGACGGCTTCGACGACGAGGCACCACAACGCGTCGACGCGGCGGCCGGCCCCGCAACAGTCGAGCGCCGCCTCGAGAAGTGGGACGCGCTCGCGCGGACGCTGTCGGACGACGACGAGGACACGAATAATAATGAGAAAGAAGCGGCGGCGGCCTACGCGCGCCTCGTCGAGGTCTGCGGCGAGGGCCCGAACGACTGGGAGGTCGTCCACGACCGCGTCGCGGTGCGCGAGCACCCGTCGACGGCCGCGCCGTTACTAGGCATGCGGCGGAAGGGCGCGATTATTAGTGTAGAGCACGCGCGCGAGGGCCTCTGGTTGAAATTAGCGGGGGAGGCGGGCTGGATGCTCGCGCACGGCCGCGAGCTCGGTTTAGGGCAGCTCGTGCGGCCGTGCGACGCTACTACGACGCCGGCGCCGGGCGCGCGCGATACGGATCGCGCGATGCCGCACGTCAAGACGTGGGCGAGGGTCAGTGCTGATCCTTGACCCCTAGTACATGTAATGTGAAACACTCTGTACTTAGCGACGCAACGCCTCCAACCGAGACGCCAGCGGGTCCTCGGCTTGAGCAGGAGCCGTGTGCCCGACCTGGCCCGCATCATCTAAAGCAAACGAAACATCTAACTGATGTTCATCGGCCACCTGACTAATCAAAGCGTCGACCTGGTCCTCGGGCGTGGCAGAGGCAGTGGTATTGCCCATCGCGTCCTCCATGTATTTAGCTCTCACATCTATGTCCTCGAACTGCTTCTCGAACGCGTCCATCTCCTTGGAAATCTTCTCGACGTTCATCGATTTTAGGGCCGAAGAAAGGCCCTTGTTGACCTTGACTATTGATTTTTGCATCGCCTGGTTCTTGACCACAGTATCTAAGCGTTGTGCTACTGCATCTATTCTAGCACTCATCCTCAGGTAGTTCAATCCCGAATTCTTCTCGCGGATGGCATTTTGGGCGTAGATGCGCGCGCCTTCGGCGTTGCCCTTCTCGATGGCCTTCTTCACGTCCTTGCGGTACTTTTTCTCGTTCTTCTCGCACTTTTTCGACGCGGAGACCATTTGTTTCGACGTGATCTTCATGTTGATGAGTTCTTCTTGCAGGGAGACGCGCTGGCCCATGGTTGCGTGGTTTGGTCGTGTGTACTTTCTTCGGTGCGGTGGCGCTTCGGAGGGCGCGCGCGCGTCGGTGGCGTGTGCGGAAGAGTATTTAGGAGTGCTCTCAATGAACACGTCTCGCAGCGTGCGGCGGCGGCGTGTCTCGCTAGGTCTGGTCGCTCTGGCTCAAACGCAGCGGTCGCGTTTGTTCGCCGAGGCCGGCGGTCGTCGTCTAGCTCACGGAAGCTTTTTTTGGCAAAGCTCTTTATCTAGCGACCTGTAAACACACTAGCAAGCTGGACCGCTCGCAACCGACGAGGTTCCTTGCACAGAAAGGTCCGCCCGACGTGCAGAACGGGTGGAGTCCACCTTTGACGGGTCCTGCTGCCGAGCCCAAAACACCTTGTCATCGTCTCAGCAGCCCACGTGCATCGAGACGCACGTAGCCGCAGCAAAAAACCAACGAGCAGTCCTCACGACTGCCTATCTGCCACGCGAAGCGCGTTGCAGGGTGAACAGCTGTCCTGCGTGGGCATAAAACCACGCTGCATCAGCCAGGCTGCACAGCACAGCCACCCACGCACGCAATCGCCGCGAGAATTCACGCGCAATACGTGCATAAAACTGCGAGAATTCACGCGCAATACGTGCATAAACCTCGCCAGCAGCCATCATGAAAGTATGCGTGATCTACGGCTCCGAGTCCGGCACGGCCGAGCGCGGCATTCGTAGTATAGCGAAGGGCTGGAAGGAATCCAAAGGCATCGAAGTATCCAGTATTATGGAGGGCGCCGACGCCGCGCGCATCGGTTTAGCATCATTAGCGGAGCAATATGATTTCCTGGCTGTGGCGACCTCCTCCAACGGAGAAGGAGACCCGCCGTTCAATTTTCATCCCTTCTTGAAAGCTTTATACGAAGCGGACGACGCGGGAGACAAACCTTTGACTGGATGCGGGTTCGCGGTGCTCGGCTTTGGGTGCTCGCACTTCGACACGTTCCAGAACTGCCCTCGCTTGACGGATAAGCTGCTGGGGCAGCTGGGCGCCTCGCGACGGGTCCAGCGCGCCGAGGTCGACGAGATCGACGCCGACGCGGGGGACGTTTCGAAGGCGAAATGGTCCGACGCTGTGGCGAAGGTCATAAAGTCGGGCAAGGCCGCCGCGACCAACGTCTGCGACTGGACGCAGCCGGGGGACACGATCCTCGACAAGCACGATGAAATGTTGGTTGCGGCTACTACTGGCGGTCCGCCGCCGGTCCTGTTCATCGGCGCGGCGCTGGCCGTCGTCGCGGCCGTGTATTTCGTCAAGTTCGCGTAAGGGTTAGTCTCATAGCGTCGCGTCGACGGCGTGTTGTGGGGCTTCCCCCTTTTCGTGTTGCTTTGCTTAGAGCTCTGTAGAGCTAGGCCGCCTAGCCGCCCGGCCGCCGCGGGTTCTGCGTGGCCGAACGCCCGCCCCGCCCCCGCCCACGCACGCCGTCGCCCCGAGTGTTAGCTCGGAGGCGACGATAGTGTTACGGTGCGAGGAAGTGTGCGAGGACAAGTGACTCGGAGTAGGGGGAAGATGCCGCGCGACGCCGATTTTTCGGCGGGGGGCGCTCCACGCCGTGCGCGCCATCGACGCGACTCATCAAAACTAGATACAGCAACGAATTACGCGAACCTACTTGTCGTAGACGCTCTTGTACTCCTGGCAGTCGTAGTCCGCGATCTTGTACTCGCCGACCTGGTACTCACCTTCTGGTGCTTGCGCCTTGTACTCGCCGCTATCACTCAAACCGACTTTGTAGGGGTCCCGGTCCTCGTACGCGATGTCCCGGTCCCCCACGTCCTCATTCTCCTGTTCAGCAACTTTCCGCGCGTAGGCCGCATCTTCCCGGTACTGGGGCGTCCTCCTCGCATCGTACTGGTTCCCGACGCGCGCGTGGCGGTTGCCGTCGGCGATCAGAGCTCGTTCCCGCTCGGCCTCCCATTTTCCGATGTCGTTCGCGCGGCGGACGGCGTCGCCGGCGCCATCTCGACAAGCACGCGTGTCCGCGGGGTTCGAGGCTCGTCGCTGGTCCGCGGCGACGGCTTCCGTCGTGGCGAAGGGGCTGTACTCGACCGCTTCTGCCGGGATGGCTTCTAGTAAAGGTGTCGCGTCGGCGCCTCTGATCTCAGAGACGGCGACGGCCTGGACGATTGGTGGGTCGTTCGAGGCCATGGCTCGCGAGCGCTGGGCTTCTCCGGACGCGCTGGGCGTCTCGGGCCGCCGGGAGAAGGAAATGTGCTTGGGAGGCTCTCACAGCAGATGGGCGCGCTGTGCGAAGTGCTGCCAGCGATGAGGAGCAGAAGAAGGTGCGTCTGCGCAGATCTATGAGCTCTGGCGCACTCCACAGCCGATCAATGCAGCCAAAATCTGTGCGAGTGGAAAATTGCTGAGCTTGCTAGTGCTTACACACCGCTAGCCTACACTATTGACAGGTACGCAAAAAAGCGTCGGCCGCGGGAGGTAGGCGAGTCGCGGCCAGGGATATCGAGATTCATCACAGTGCAAACGCGTCGGCACGCTTCGCGGGCCTAAATCTCGTCAAAATAAAAGTTACAGGCAAAATGCGACGCCTCCTCGCGGCCGGAGCGTGCCGGATCATCGGCGACATACGCACGGGAACAGCGAACCGGGGCGTGATTCACCACCACGGCCACTGCTACGAGGGCTGGTGGAATCTCGACGGGACGCGGACCGTGCCACCGCAACCTATACCGAAACGCCGGCGCGGGCCCGGACCGCGGGGGCCGTTGAGACACCATCATCCCGCGGGCGCGCCGCGGAAACATCGCGACCCCGAACGCGCGAGGGCGCGGGCGCGAGCGGTAGCAGCGGCGCGGCCCCACCACCGAAAGAATTTGTCACCCCGCGAAGTCGCAGCCGCTATCGCCGACGAAGTGGGACGGGGAAAGTAGTTATACTAGATATATATTGTCACATTAGGTTCAAGTCACAAAATAGTCATCGCCGCGTCGTAAACCGGTCAGAGGCCTTCTTCGCGACGCGCGCACCGCCACGCTGGGGGTTGGGCGCCGCGACGGGCCGCCGGCACCGGTCGCAGACGCGCGGCTCGTTAAGTAAGGCGGCGCGATCGAGCTCAAGAGCCCTCTTCGCTCGGTCCGTCGCCGTCAGCGCCTTCTGCTTCGCGGCGTCGCGCTGGGCCTTCAGCTCCGCCTCGTCTCTGGCCCACTTTTTTCGGGCGTCGTTAAAAGACTGGCGTAGCTTCTGTCGCGCTGCCTCGCCGTCGCGGCGCTCCGTGGCCAGGGCCTGCCGCGCCTCCCCTAGCTCCGCCTCGAGCGCCGCGACGCGGCGCTGGAGCCGCGCCACGTCCGTGTCCGCCGGGAGCGGCATCGGCGGAGGCGGCGGTGGTGCTGGCGCGGGCTTCGGCGGCGCCGCGACGGGCTCGTCCTTCGGAGGAGCTCGGTCCTTCCACGCCGCGCGCAGCCCCCGCGCCGCGCCGGACACGATCCGGTCCGACGAGATCTTCAGCTCCATCAAAACGTCGCGCAGGCCCAAGTCCCTATCGAGGTCCGTCTCTACCAGTTCAGGCGCGAGCCGCTTCAGCGTCGCCAGGCTCGCGAGGACCTTCTGGCGGCTCTGCGGGGCGCCCATCCTCCTAGCTGCCGCTTTCAACTCGTTCGCGGCCTCCAGGGCGGCGAGCAACTCGGGCGACGCGCCGTCGGGCGCCAGCGCGCGCCAGTCTTCTTCACCGGTGGCGCTTTCGTCGGTCAGCGGCGCCCAGAGCAGCTCCGCCTCCGTCGGCTCCGCGGGCGCCTCGGCGTCCGCGAGCGCGTCGGCGACGGCGGCGTCCAAGGCCGCGTCGGCGACGGTGCGTTCCAGCGACTCGCGCGCGCGCCGCGCGGCCTCGGCGGCGGAGAGCGGCCGGCTTCGCGGCGCTTCGGGCGCCTGCCGAGCCGCTTCCGCTGGTGCCGGTGTGGGTGCCGGCGCGGGTGCCGCCATGACCGCGCCGTGGCGGGGCGCGCTCGGCGCGCGCAGCTTCGCCTGCAGGTCGCGCAGCGTCGCCTTGGCGCGCGCTGCGGCGTCGTCATGGTCGTCGCGCGGCCGCTTCGGCGCCGGCCCGTCGGAGAACTTGCTCTGCCGCTTGGGTTTACCGAGGGCCTTGGCGGCCGGGGACCTTGCGTCCCGCGAGAAGCCGCTCTTCTTGCCCCGCGGCGGACCGCGGGGCGGCGGCGAGAAGCCAGTGCCTCGACGCATTTGGTTTGGCTCAGCACTTTTGTGTGTCTGGGAGAGCACAGTGGCCTGTCTCAGGCGGAAGCTTCGCGTGAAGTTACAGGTGACACGTGTGATGTATTACACGATGAATGCCTGTTTCCCAGCCTCTGCGCGCCGCAAAATTGGCTTTTTGGCCGCTCGGCCAAGCTGGGGGCTAGTGTGCGGTAAGACACTAGCAAGCACGCTCGGCGCAGCTGAGGCTAGGCTAGGCGCGCCCAAACGACGCGAATGCGTGCCGCACAGGCTGCCTTTGGACCTTTTTAGCACGCACACGACCCGTCTAGGGCGTGGAGGCTGCCCCGATGCGAGGCATGAACCTATAAGCAATGGCACGCAAGAAGCAAGGCGGCGGCGCCGTCTTGGTCGGCGCGGCCGTCGTCGCATTGTTCATGATAGTCGCGAACAGACATCACGTCGACCCGGAGGCCGACGGCGCGCACCGCCTGCGGCGCCGGCCGGCGCCGACCACCGACGAATGCCGCGGCCCCCGCGCGTTCCCGCAGTCACCTCAGCTGCCGTGGCGCCTGCACGACGCCTTCACGACGGACTGTGAGGTGGCGACCTTCGTGGCGCAGTACGAGCGCGGCTGCGCCGAGATGACCGCCCTCGTAGCGAGTGTGGTGCCGGACGGTAATATCCAATCGTGGCTCGACACGGCCCGCGCTCCTGAAGGAGGGTGCAAGGTCTGCGCCGTCCACGCCTTTGACGCCAACGAGGCGCCGAAGGTCGAGAAGGAGAAAAGGCGCGTCTTCGAGGCGTTGGGCGGCGCGACGAAAAATATAAGGTGCACCTTCGCCGACGGGACTTCAGTAAAAGCGTCGAGCGACGACGCCTTCCACGCCAAGAAGAGCACGCTCGTCTTCCGCTGTTCTATACCTAAGCACCTTGGTTGTTCTCCAGAAGTTTCGATTGAGGACACCGGACGGAACCATGAGGCGGTGCGCGTCTGCCACACACCAAAAATACCAAAGGTCGACGTCGCTCTTGTCGCTTGGACCTCGGCGTCGCCATATACTGATAGGACGGGCATGGTTTTTGACAACACGGACCGCGTCCTACGAAGGTGGCTGGCCTGGCACTGGAGTGTGGGCGTGCGCTACTTTCTCGTGTTCGAGAGCGGGGCGACCTGGGCCGATCCGCACCATAGTAAATTGTGGCCGGCTATCAAACCTTTCGTCGAAGCGAACGCCGCCTTACTAGTCCCGTGGGGCACGGACGCCTGCAAAGGCCCCCACGTGAAGATCGAGGCGGGGCAAAGGGGAGGCATCGGGCTGACAGACTTTTTTGGAAGGCCGTCCCAGTACGCGGCCCAGAACAGTGGATTATATAGGCTCCGCGAGGTTGTGAAATGGATCGCATTTCTTGATATTGATGAGATGCTACTACCAGAAAACGCGACGACCGTCGGAGAGGTGTTGAAGCACCAGAAAACAGGCGCCGCTGTCGCGGTGCCGCACGTGTTCTACGGACGGTGCCCCTCGTCTAACCAAAGAACGTGCGCCGGCAAGGCCGTTCCATCTAGAAACAAGCTCGTGGTTAATGAAAATGCGGCCTACGTCTGGGACCACACTCTGATAGTACCTCCACAAGGTTCGCGCGGCATCCGAGCGTCGAAGCTGCGCCTCGCGCACTTGAGAGCGGACTACGCCTTCGACGCTTTTGACGTCGCGCGCTTCGGCACGCGGGGGTCAAAGGCCGAGGCGCGCGCCTATTTGCAGAACGTGCTGCCTTATATAGAGGAGCCGTGCCCGGGTTCTGTAAAATGCGAGGGCGGCTACGACGTCTGCTGGTGCCGGGACCTGGCGCTCGAAGGGCGGTTTCATGCGTTCTTCATGTCGTACCGCGCGTGGTACGCGGCGGAGGGGGACTGGGAAGTGTTGTGATTTTAAGTTGTTACAGTATGCGCTCGAGCGTGACGTCGAAGAGGAGTGTCGCGTTCGGAGGTATCTCGGGGGCGCTGCCTTTCTTGCCGTAGCCCAATTTGCTGGGCACGACGAGCTTGCGGCGGCCGCCGACGCGCATGCCGATTATGCCCCGGTCCCAGCCCTTGATGACGTCGCCTGTGCGTGAATTCGACCCGTGGGCGCCTACGACGAACGTGAGATTCCTGCTCCGGAAAGGACCGGCGCCGAGCGTGAAGCGGAAGTTCGTGCCGGCGTCGAAGCGCGAGCCGTCCGCCTCGAGCGTGCCGACGTAGGACATGGAGACCTCGTCGCCTTTCTGCGCGACCGCGCCGTCTCCAACAGTAACGTCTTCCGTTCCGACTACTTCGTCGGCCGGCGGCGCGATGGGTGCATCGCCCTTCACTCGGAAGCTCTGGCCCGTCTGGATCAATTTGTCTGATTTCAAAGCCTTCTTGATGGCGACTCCATTCTCGCACTGGAACTCTGACTTGAGATACTTGACGATGGCCTGGCGCGATGCACCTTTGTGATCCTGAACTGCTCGGATCGCGACGATGACCTGCACACGGCGCGTCCTCGGGCAACGCGTCGCATCGATGGCGTAACTCTTCGTGCGGCAATCCTCCGCTTGCATCGATGGCGAAAGGGGTTGTGCGCACCCCCACGCCATCGATGCGACGTCCCTGGCTGCCACTCACAGGACACTGCCTCACACCTTGTCCAGCACTGTCTTCGCCATCGATCAACTCGTGCGTCCGAGATATACGGCAGCGCTGCGCCGCTCTCCCAGCGATCTGTGCGTCCCAATCGCAGCTGTCAAGCCTCAGACGGCCGCGGCTCTGCGACAGGTTAATTAGCTAGCGGTGTAAGACACTAGCGAGCAATTTATCCGCTGGACCGCTGCGCTGCGCGACGTACTAAGCCGTCGGTTAAGCTGAGGCTAGGCTAGGCTGGACCGCTGCGCTGCGCGACGTACTAAGTGAGTCTTTTGAGCAGCGCCAGGCTGCCCCGTGCCCTAAGAAGAGGGCACCAGCACTCTACGCCCCCATAGCCGCTCCGCCGCGCCCTTGGACCCCAACATACCGAACCATGAGGGCCTCCCTCGTCCTCCTCCTCCTCCGCCCCACACGAGCAGGAGACTGCATCGACATGAATTTTTGTAATGGCCACGGCCACTGCGAGCCGGCGACCGACACGTGCGACTGCTACGAGGGCTGGGGCGCGAAGACCGACGTCGCGCTCTACAAACTCCACGACTGCAGTGGCAGGACGTGCCCGTCCGGGCCGGCCTGGGCCGACGTCGCTTCCGATTCGAAAACCGCACATGCCCCGGCGGAGTGCTCGGGCAAGGGCACTTGTAATAAAGCGACGGGGACCTGCAAATGTGTCTCGGGCTTTTCAGGTGACGCGTGCCAGCGCTTCGGCTGCCTCTACGACTGTTCGGGACATGGGCAATGCGTCAGCATGAAGAAGATGGCCACCATGCCCAATGCTTTACCCTTATCCAAACCTGCGACTTATACAGGACTAGAGACGACAGAGCGTTGGGACCAGGACCGCATCTACGGCTGCGTCTGCGACAGTAGCTGGCCCGTCGGCCTCGGCCCGGGCCAGCGCCAGGAGCCGGAGTGGTTCGGGCCCTGGTGTTCGCTGCGCCACTGCCCCTCGGGCGACGATCCCTACACGACGCACGTCGACGAGACGAACTGCACCGGAGTCACAGCGGCGGGCGGCTACGGCGTCGGCGAGAAGGGCAATCTGTGCCAGGTCGACTGCGCGAACCGGGGCAAGTGCGACACGGAGACGGGCGAGTGCTCGTGCTGGACGGGGAGCTACGGCCACGACTGCACGCTGCTGAGCGCGCTCGCGCGCTAGGTATGCTCCGGGGTGTAAGCTGATTTTTGTCCACTTACTAGTATTCCCGATTTCCGCGTCGGAGAGAGAGAGAGAGCCACTTATTGAACCCACCCCCAGGTAGTACGGACCCCGAACGCTTCGCCACCGTGTCTATTGGGATTGGCGATAGGGTGTTGTTTCACCCTGCCCCCCGAGAACCCAGACACAAATGGTGTGAGGTTTCGCTAGCGGCCGGTAAAGGCACTAGCAGTGCATCAGTGATCCGTGCGCGGGCCCGGCGCGGCAGCCGCAAGCCGTCCACGCGGGCCATTTGTGCCGCAGAGCTCTAACGTTACGCCCCCTTGCGGCTGGGGCAGCCGTTCGACTAGGGCAGCATCAAAACCGGTGTCACTGTTGGAAACGGAACCGATCAATGGAACCGCTGCCGACGACGCTCGCGGAGGTAGAGGCGCGGCAGGCCGCCGTCGACGCCGACCTGATCGCCGCGCGCGAGCGGCTGCGGCTCGCGCGAGCGGAGCTAAGGGAAATGAAGATGATCGCGGCGGCGCTGCGGCCGCGGGCGGCGCCTTTGGCCGCGGCGGCGGCGCCGGCCCCGCCCGTCGCGCTGCCCGACGCGCCGCTGCCCGTCGCGGCCACGGCGCCGCCGCCGCCGACCGCGCTGCCCGACGCTCTGCCGCTGCCGCCGCCGCCGGTCGAAGCCGCGGCGCCGCCATCGCCACCGCCGGATGATGACGCCTCCGACGCGTGCGCCTCGCCGCCCGCGGCGCACCGGTGGCGGCGCTACTACGATTCCGAGACCCGGGCGCACTACTGGTACGACGCCCGCACGCAAGTCGTGTCCTGGTCCGACCCGGAGCGGCCGCCGCGCGACCCGGCCCACGCGCGGCGGCCGACGGCCGCGTCGCTCGCGCGCTCATTGCCTGGAAGCCCACAGCGCCTCCGCTTCCACTGCTGCGCCGTCGAATCGGCCGACTCCGAGCCGGAGGAGGAGCCGAAACCCGTGCGGCGCCGGCGGCCCGCGCCGGGCTACCTCAAGGCGCGGCGCACGCCGCGGCGCGGCGCGTACGAGAAGGGCCAGTTCTCAACGTTGAGACGGTAACAACAGTGTGTTTACTTACTACAGCCCGTCGTCGGGCACGAGGGGCTCGAGCGCTGTCCTCACACTCTCGTCCATGCGGCAGGGCTTCCCCCGGTCGTCGACGTAGATGTGCGTGAACGTGCCGATCGCGGACGCGTCTTCATCATTTTCGGCAAAGAGCCCGAGCTGGTACGCCGCGCTCGCGCGGCCGAGGCGTACCCTCATACCTATTTCGACGGGCGTCGGCCACGAGAGCTGCCGCAGGTACCGGCAGCTGTTCTCGGACGTGAAGCGCCTCACGTCATTTGACACACCGCTGCGGGCGAGGTGCAGGTTGACGGCGTCGTCCATATAAAAATGGTAGACGGCGTTGTTGACCTGTGCGTAGAGAACGTCGCGTCGATGGCGCGGGTCTCGACGGAGTCGCGTCGGCTGGAACGCCATCGCCGCGATCGCACGCATCGAGACGCTGAACCACACGTGCTGCTGCGCATCCATGTCGTTCCAGCGCGTCGGGATCGTTTCGAAGTGCGCGTACGCGCCGCGGCCGAGCAGCTCGCGCGGCGGCTTGCTGGCGGATTGTCCGCCGACCCACGGCTTGCTGGTGGCGGCGGCGAGGGCCGCGCTTCCCGTGCAGCACGCAGCGACTATTGCGAGCCCCAGCATTGCTTTGCAGTGTGCAGTGTGCAGTGTGCAGTGTGCAGCGTGCGCGGCGCAATTATTGATGCGATTTGTGACAGCCAATTCGACTCGTGTGCTGTGCAGATGCTTTCTATGGGTGTGCGGTGCGGGTAGGCCACTGCTATGCCGTGTGCCGAGCACCAAGCGCAGCTTGCTCGATTGCTAGTGCCTTACAGTCCGCTAGCTGTTTCGGCGCCCTTTCCGGGGCCAGGGCTCAAGGCGACCCCTCGGCGGTCGCATTGGACGGCTGCAGCCATCGATGGCGGACGGCAGGAGCCAAGCTATTTGGCTCAGACCTGCGCCAAAATAGCTCATAAATAGCTCATAAATATCTCGTCGCGCGCGGAACGCCGTCGATTGCCAGACCTAGGAGACGTTTGTCTCCTGTAGCGTCGAGCCTCGCTGCCTGAAACCGCAGCCAGCAGCCTTGCGCAGAGGAGGACACCAGGGAGAAGCATGCTGCTCTCCACTCTACGCCGGGCGCCGCGCGCGCCGGCCGCCCACCTCAGCAGCCCGCGCGCGCCGGCCGCCCACCTCAGCTCCCTCGCGTCCATGACGCCCGGGGGCGGAGTTCACGGCAGCCAGACGAGCGTGAACGCGCGGCGGTGGCGCCAGAAGCCGCTCCTCCGCGTCTACGGCGAGGAGCTCTACTTCAAAACCGGTTCTGATGCTGTTAAATTACTAAGCAACGAGGCCGAGAGAAGGGACAAGGACAAACCTTTGTACCTCGAGCAGTTCACGAACTTCATGAGACACCTCCAGCCGGTCTTTGATCGAAGCCCGAAATACGCCTGGTTGGCCAAGATCCTCCTGGAGCCGGAACGGACGGTGTCGTTCAAGGTCACGTACATTGACGACTGGGGCAACGCGCGGACGAACCGGGGCTGGCGCGTCCAACACAGCTCATCGTTGGGACCCTTCGGCGGGCCCATGCATTTTGGGCGCCACGTCACCGAAGATCTACTGAGAGCTCAATCTTTCGACGCGACCTTCGCCAACGCTTTGACGGGGCGAAGACTCGGCGGTGCCGCGGGCGGTGCCAATTTTGAACCGGCTTTAGCGTCCGAAGCGGAGATCCAGCGCTTCTGCCAGTCGTTCATGACGGAGTTACAGAAATATGTGGGTCCTGGGCTAGACTTACCGAGCATGGGCGTGAACTGCGGCTCGACCGAGATCGGCTACATGTACGGTCAATATAAGAGGACGGCTACTAATTTATCGAAGCATGGCTTTGGCATGTTGTGGGGCGGGAGCGTGCCCCACCCCGAAGTGCACGGCTACGGTCCGGTTTCGTTCGCGAAGAGCTTTCTGGAGGCTCGGGGCGACTCGCTGCGAGGCAAAAGATGTTTAGTGACCGGGAGTGGCAAAGTCGCCCTGGCGGTGGCCGATAAACTAGTAGCCGAAGGCGCCATACCTTTGACGCTGTCGGATACGTCCGGCTTCATTTATGAGGAGGGAGGGTTACCCTCGGCCAAGTTAGCCCAGATCAGTACGATCAAGGCGGAGCGAGGCGCTCGGATCGGGAGGTACATCGTCGCGTCTACCACGGCGAAGTACAACGACCCCGAGGACATATTTGACGTCCCTTGTGATTTAGTATTCCCGACCAATTCAAACGAGATCGATGCGCAAGCGGCGGAGAAGCTCGCCAATAATGGGTGTAGTACCATAGTGGACGCTGGCTACTCTCCGACGACCCCCGAGGCCATCGCATCTCTGAAGAAGCTGGGCGTGGCGCACTGTCCTTTTAGGGCTACATTAGCCATTGGAAATGCCTTAGCCTACACGTCCAAGGAGCACCAGATCATCAAGGCCGATATTAGTGATGAAATTGATAAAGAAGCGGCCAGGGTCTTCCAAGAAGTGCAAAGAACGGCGTCGGAGTACAACGTCCGCGGGGATTTGGACGCGGGCGCGGCGATCGCGTCCTTCCTGCGCGTGGCGAACGTGATGGCGTCGCACGGCTCCGTGTAATTATGGCCCCTATTGTTACGGTGCTAGGACAGTGGGCGGAGGCCCTGGGGGGAGACACGTGTAATAACTGCTAGTGTCTAACAAGCCGCTAGATAATCGCAGCATCGCGCGACGCAGCCACGCACGACGTCGACGTGTTGCGATACGCATCACAGCCGCAGTTCGTGACGTATTTACACTGATCGACAGCGATCGTGATCGATTCCTCGCCACGGGTGCAGCATTGCAATTGCACATTGCACTGTCCGGGGGTGACGCATCATTACAACTCGCACATCGTCGACAGCGATCGTGATCGATACGTTATCGACGACGAGTGTGTGCATGTTATCGAATTGCTGCAGATCATCGCGCCGCCTTGTACATACTGCGAGACACACGCTCACTGACGACGCAATGCGCGCCCGCACTCTAGCGCGCAGCCTCTGCATCAGCTCGGCCGCGTCGTTCGTATTCGACGGATACGCCCAGCTCTTGGTCGAACACCCGCTCACAACAAACATCGCCACGGCCGGCGCCCTCGCGGCCGCCGGCGACGCCGTCGCGCAGCGGAACAACGTCGTCTACGACGCGAAGCGCGGCCTCTCCTTCGTCGCGTTCGATGCCGCTTATAGGGGAGGCTTCCAGACGCCGTTGCTGCCGTGGATTATCGACCATTGCCACGGCGACGTGCTCGGGCAGGTCCTATCTTTTGATACGAATATATTAGCCGCGGCGGAGTGCACGCTCTTCAACCAGCTCACGGTCATCCCGATTGTCTACTACCCCCTGTTTTTTGGGATTACGGGCTACGTCCAGAACCTGGATGCGGACGCGTCGTTGGCGCGAGCGAAGGCGCAATTTACCACGCTATGCATCAGAAACTGGAAGTTCTGGATCCCCGCGAACTTCCTCCAGTTCTGCCTCCTCCCAAACGAGTGGCAGGTGCCCTACACGTGCGCCATGGGTTTCATCTGGAACGTCATCTTGTCGGCGAGCGCGGGCGACGCGCGCGTCGAGGGCGCGGCATCTCCATCGAAGACGCGGTGACGGCGTGGGGGAGGGGTGTGTGAGTACTGTCCCAAAAAAACGGGTTTTTGCAGGCATTTTCAGCCTACGATCGGTTTCCTCTCGCTCGCTTGGCGCCAAAAGAGACCGGCTTCATAAGCGACCGCTCGCCGCCGGCGGATCCCACTGCGAGCCGAGCGAGGACTCAGCCAAAACCAGCCTGGGGTGCAATCTCCCTGAGCAGAGCGCCGCCCGCGACCGCCGGCCAAGCATGTCGTCGGTATCGTTCTCCGACGCGAGCGCGCGCGAGGAGCCGCCGCGGCGCCGCGTGCAGCGCACGCTCTCCACCGTCGAACGCGATGCTCTACAAAGCGTCCTCGACGTCGTCGAGCGCGAAACCGATTCCGAGCACACGAAGGGCATGTCGCGGTTCACGTTCTTTCTCGGCCTCGCGAACCTCATCCTCAGCGCGTTTTTGTTAGGAGCGTGCACGGAGTCGTTCTGGCTCGTCTACGCCCTCCAGGCGCTCTTCATTATTGGATTGCGCATCCGCCACTCGCAGTGCGGAAATCAACCAGTGCGTCAGGCCGGCCTGGAGGTATTATTTACTATTGTGGCCGCCTCGACGCCGTGCGAGAGTGCTTGGCGTCCTCGCACGAGGCGTCTTAGGCTTACTCACCCGAACTTTTGATTTCCGCACAGGCCACTCGTGGGCGATCAGCAAGGGCACGCCGACGCAACCGGGCATGATGTTGTACTACCTCGATCTGTGCTGGATCGCGAACTTCATGCTCGCTTTTAGTTTCATGGCCGTGCTGGTGGAGGTCCTCGAGGAGCGTTTTCTTGGATCACGACGCGTCGGCGCTCTCAACGCCCGCGCCGTCTCTCAGGCGCCGACGGCGGGCCTGATCGCTAGCCTCATCGCGACGGGTCCCCTCGGATGGAGCGTCTTCGTTTTACCGTGTAAAATGGTCCTGCACGACATCGCCAACTACGCGAACACCTGGATCCACCTCTGGCCCGTCTTCACGACGCTGTCGCTGCGCTGGGCGCCCGACCGGCTCGCGGCGGCCTACCCGGGGCGTCGAAGTCCGGTGTGGAAATCAAAATTTTACGGCGCGTTCGTCGCGTCGTCCTCCACGCCATTGACGCACTGGTTGATTTCCACACAGACTTCGACTCGCTCGTCGCCGCAGAGCTCCGCGGCGAGGGCATGGGCTTCGGCGCGCTGATGGCCCTCGCGTCGGCGACGTACTTTGCCTGGTGGATCCCGTTCACGCTCTGGATGCTCGCGCACGGCCGCTTCCAGTCGCCGGAGCGCACGGGCCGCGACACGATCTATCTGCGGTTGATGCTGACCGACAGCGTCGCGGGCGCGAATTGCGGCGTGCGCACGCCGCCGCGCGGCACGAAGCTCGGTGCGACGCCCACTGAAGCGTTGGACGACGCGGCGTCCGTCGCGGCGACGATGAAGTACATGGTCTTCCACGCGTTCGCCTGCCACCTGAGCTTCGTGTCGTCGGCGCTCTGCATGACGTACATCTACGTGCACCTGTTCTTCGCGCTCGCGGGCCTCGTCTTCTCGCTCTACCTGGGCAGCGCCTGGTACGACCGCATGCTCACGTCGCACGTCACCAAGAAGGTCCGCAAGCACATCGCGGCGTCGACGGCGAAGAAGGACTAGGAGTCCGCTAGGCGCTCCGGAGTAAGACGCGGGTTGGTATATAATAGATGGGGACTCACATTCAATAATCTTACGCCTGCGCGACGATGCGGCCCTGCGCTCCGACGTCGCGCGGCCGCTTATGTTGGATTGCCGAGAGAAAGCTAGGTCAACCGCCAGAATCGTTTCATGTCACATCGTTTGCTTTTTTCACACATCCAGGTGATAAAACTGGTGCAACTCTGAGACTTAGGGCTGAGCACCTTTTGAGACGTCGCCGCCCCTGGCAACTCAATAAAAGAAAAGTCTATTCGACAGCGCGCAAGGCCAATCTCGCGAGCAGGGGCCCCCGAGGCGAGCTGAGCTACAAAAAACACAAAACCCGTCGTTTCTACACACAACAACTTCGCCCTCCGCACCAACCCAAGCACCGGCTCAACGAGCGAATGCAGCGCCCGCGCCGCGGCGTCGTCGACGCGCCCCGCCAGGTTGTCGTACGCCACGACGAGGCGCCGGCACCATGCCGGCACCCCGCGAGCGCCCCCGCCGCGTCGTCGGCTTGCACCGCCGCCTGCACCTCAGAAAGCGCCTCCGCGAAGTCCTGGGGCGGGCGACCAACAACCCTTTGCTAGCGTAGACGGACACTAGGCCGGCTTTTGTGCGCGCAGCGCGCAGCTCCATTGCCACGCGCAACCGCAGCAGCTGCGGCGTTCACAGCCGCTAATCTGGTAGGTAGAGGCAGCTTCGCTGTTGAGGATCGCACACGTTCGCGTCGGCCCGTGGGGCAGCACTCTGGGCAGCCCCTCTCACAGCAAAGGAGCACCAGAACCATGTTCAAAAAAGAAGATGAGATGCCCAAGGGCGCCTTCGGGAACTTTCGAGAAGTGCAGGCCCGCCGGCGCCAGCGGCGGCGGACGGACCGGCAGGGCGCCGAGGTCGCGAAAATCCTCGTGGCGTTCGACCGGCGCTGCGCGAATGGCTGCGACCGCGCGGCGTTCGGGGCCATGGTCGGCGAGGTCTTCCCGCAGCTCGGACCGCTGGACGGCGAGGCTGTTGATGCGGCCTTCGCGGAGTGCCGGCGGCTGGCGCGGCGCGCGCCCGAGGCGCTTGTGGACGAGGACCCGCACGAGGCGGCGGTGGACCTGGACGACGTATCCGAGGAGGACGCCGACGCGCCGCCGCCCGCGCCGCCGCCCGTCGCTGTTGTAGAGGAGGCGACGCCGCTCGCGACGCCGCGGGACGCCGCCGGCGTTTTGTTGATTCCGCGGCACCACGCCGTCGCCGTCGCCCGCCGCTACCGCGACTTCGTGCAGCAGCGGGATTTGATAAAGAAGTGCTGGACCGCGTGCCGCGGCGGCGCGCGCATCGACGCGTCCCAGCTGCAGACGGCCCTCACGGTCGCCGAGCGCAAGTTCGCCGCGGACCGGGAGCGGCGCCACCCGTCGAGCGGCGCGCAGGACGTCGATGAGGCGACGGCCGCGGACATTCTGGGGCGCGTCGCCTCCGACGGCGACACCTTGGATAGGAACGACTTCCTCCACGCGTTGGTGTTGTGGCGGTCGACCGCGCGGGCGCGGGACCGGTGCGTGCGAAACGAGTCGGCGTGCTGCGTCCTGGCGTAGCACGCCCCTGGCCGCTTCGCGCGACACCCCCGTACCCGGAAGGCTGCTCGTGCGTCGCCCCGGGCTAACTTTGTTGTACTGTGAGCTTACGCGGGCCTACTCGTCGGAGAAGGGGTTGAGCCAGCCCTTCTTGGACTCCTTCGCCGTCGCGTCGCCCTTGAGCGAGACGAAGGTCTTGTAGCCCGTGCGCTGCGCCTCGGCGAGCGACATGTTGCTGCCGCGCTTGCGGTTGCGGTTCGCCGCTTTCTTGGCCGCACCCTCGGCCTGGATGCGGTCGTATTCGGCTTTGGACATGCCCGCGGGCACGTAGGAGCCGCCGCCGGCCGTGCCGAAGGGGTCCGTGTTGAACATGCTGCCCGACTTCTTCTGGGGCGGCGGCGCGCGGGCAGCGGGCGGCGGCGGCGCACGCGTCGGCGCCGGCGCCGGTTTCGCGCCGCCGCCGAACAAGCTCTCGAAGGGGTTCGCCGGCTTCGCCGGCGGCGCCGGCGCGGGCGCCGGCGCGTCGTCCTTCTCCCAGGGCCACGCCCGGACGACGGTTCGCCGCGGCTGCCGCGCGGGCGCGAACGCCGTCGCCGTCGCCACGATGAGTGCGAGCCGCATTGTGCTTTCGGTCACGTGCCTGCGCGAGATCATAAACTCGTTTCAGCGGCGCGTCGCGGCGCGAACCAAAGTAGCTCTCCAGCAACAGGGAGAGCAAACGCAGCCGAGGGACCACGTCGCCAGACACCGTAGCCGCAGATGGTTGAAGTGAATATAGAAGGTGTTCGTGAGGCTCGCAACTCTTATATTTACGACGCAGTAGGGCGTGCAGATCGGGTCAGAGCCACACACTTGAGCCCACTGCTTGCTAGTGTCTTACTGCCGCTAGCAAGGGCCTGGAAGCGCTTTGCCCCGCACAGGCCGACGGGCACTCGTAGGCGAGTCGGCGGCATAGGATACTCTTATTTAGGGCAGCGACCGGAAGTGCCGCATGTATACCCCCCCCGCCGGCGCGTTCGGGACGTTGGCGACGCGGCCAAGCGCGGCGCGCGTCGTGGTGATGGTCGTCGCGAGCACGGCTAATAGGAGAAGAGCGCGCCGCATCGCGTCAATTAATGCGCACTGTGGCGGCTCAGGTCAGAGTGCGGCTCAGGTCAAGTGGTTTGCCCAATGAGCTCTAGAGATGAGCCAGGGTCCACACTTCGTTACCCGCGGCGTCTTCACAGATCTATCGTCCAATATATATAATACAAATCGTAGCGCCGCGCTTTTCATTCGTAAGTCGCTTGCTAGTGCCTTACGGCCGCGTCGCAAAAAAAATATGGCATTGTGTGATTGCTAGAGTGTCTCATTGCACGCTAGCATAGCAGCCTGCCTCAACAGCGCGGCGCCGGTGTGCTTCAACAGCGCGGCGCCGGTGTGCTGGCAGCTTGAGCAGTAATACGTGTGTGTGTTGCTTACATAACATACCAAACGCGTAGCGTAGCGAGCCTGACGAGAAGCAGCAGCCGTGAGCAAAGCAAAGAGGCAAATGAGGTGGCTGCTCGTCTGCGCGACGGCCGCGGCCCTCGTCACGCCGCCGCCGCGCCTCCGACCACTCGCAACGACGTGCCGCGTCGGCGCCCCACGACGAACGCAACCCCTCGCCGGCAAGACGCGCGCTTTGCAAGAGACGAACACGAACAGCCCCTGGAATGAAAAAGGAGACGACTTCCGGAAGGCCTTGAAGGAGTTCCAGGCGAAGGTGACGAAGTGGGTCCTTGTCGTCGCCGCGCGCATCAAGTTGTACTACCTAAGAGCGCGCGCCTTCGCGCGGACGGACCGAGGGAGAAAAGTGTGCAGTTTGGCGGCCATCTTGCTCTTCGCCGTGTTGACGCGGAAGGCCCGCGCGGCATCGGCTCTGAGGAGAGCAGAATTACTAGCCGTGGAAGAAGTGCCGTGGAGCCAGTTTTTGCGGTCGATCGAACGAAAAGGCGCTATCAGTGAGGTCCTCGTGTCCTCCTCAAGGTACGACTTTTTGATGAATGGCATGCGCAAGTACACGGTGCCGGCGGAGGTGCCCGGGTCCTTGGCGTCGAAGATGCTCCGGAGCGGGGTCGAGTGGAGGCGCGCGCGGCCGCGGGCGTCGCCGGCGTCGGCCGTCGTCTGGTTGATTGCTATTGGGTACTTGACGGCGCTGGGACGAGTCGCGAGGCAGATGACGGGCGGCGGCATCGGCAATGTAGGAAGGAGGCGGAAGCAGCTCCCGCGCGTCGACAAAGAGGTCGTCACTTTTGACAGTGTCGCGGGCATCGACGCCGCGAAGCGCGAGGTCGCCGAGCTCGTGGCGTTGTCGTCACAGGAGTCGGCGAAGCGGTATCTTGCGGTCGGGGCGCGACCGCCCCGAGGGGTGTTGTTGGTGGGGCCCCCGGGCACGGGCAAAACACTATTAGCTCGTGCACTAGCGCAGGCCGCCGAGCGGCCCTTCATTTCTTGTTCCGGCTCGGAGTTCGTCGAGATGTTCGTGGGGCGAGGTGCGGCTCGCGTGAGGCAGCTCTTTGAGAGAGCAGGAAAAATAGCCCCATGTGTCGTGTTCATCGATGAAATAGATGCGCTCGGTCGAAGGCGGCGGGAGTCGAACTTCGCGGTGGGCAACGCGAATGATGAATTGGAACAGACGCTGAACCAACTCCTGGCGTGCATGGACGGCGTCGACCCGAATACTGGTGTCGTCGTATTGGCGGCAACAAATAGATTGAACGTCCTGGACCCGGCGTTAGTACGACCGGGGCGCTTCGACCGGGTGGTGAAGGTGCCGCCGCCCGATTTAGTAGGGAGGGAGCAGATTTTAAGAGTTCACGCGCGGAAGGTCGCGCTCGGCTCGGACGTGGACCTTTCATCATTGGCGAAGGAGACGCGCGGCCTCGTGGGCGCCGATTTGGCGGCGATCATCAACGAGGCCGCGATCCGGGCCGCGCGGCGCGGCGCCGCTTTGATCGGCAAGAACGACGTCAAGAACGCGCTCCAGGAGTACTACGAGTCGCGTTCAACATTGAACAGCGAGCAGTTCGGGCCGTTCTCCTTCGCGGCGCCGAAGGAGCAGCCGAGTAACTAGCTTCCTCGAGTGTCTTAGGCCTCCTACGTATACTTCATGTGCTCGGGTGCCTTTTTTGTAGGAATCATAGTACGGATATTGTCAATGATCTCCTTGTTTGTGACCGTGACGCTGTTCATATTCATCATGGTGTTTTCCGCGCTCGACTCCTCGACGCCTCCGAGGCAGTGCCCTAAGTGGCAAATAAATGGGTGGACGCATGCAGGCACACACGCGCCAGGCTCCCACCCACCACAGGTTCCCGGCCCATCAGAACGCAAAACACACACTTGCGGGAAGGTACAATCAGCGTCGGACCGGCACCCCGTCGTGAGCGCCGGTATCGCCGTCTCGACCTCCGCGACGCCGTCAGTAGTCCCGCCCGGCGGCGGCGGCGGCGGAGCGTCTCCCTTGTACGTCCCCGCGCAGAACCGGCCGCTCCCGCACGCCGGGTCCTGGCACCTACTTTTGCTGTAGTGGCACTTTCTGGGATAGGACTCGTCGGTGACGAGCACGCATGCATTGCACGCGTGGCCCCGCGTCCCGATGCGCGCTCCGCTGGGTGCCACCGACCGTGACCGACGCCGCCGTGCAACAGTAGCCGACGGGACGCGGAGGGCCGTGGGGCGTGGGCGGATGGTGCGAGGCGGGCCGGGCCATGCGTAGCTCGAGGACGAGGGCCGCCGCGGCCTTCAGCGCGAGCCCGCCGCCACCCAGCGCTAGCGAGAGGGCGCTCGCGACGAGGCCGACGCCGATGATCGTCGCGACCCAGCCCGCGGCGCGGCGGCGGCCCGGCGGCGTCGAGTCGCGAGCCTCCTGGTCGACCGCGCCGTACGTGATCGAGGGGTGGCGCCAGGTCATGTTACGCGCTGGCTTTGGATGATTCCTAGTGATCAGAAATTTGCTTGTGGGGAGCCTTGTGGTCCTCTAAACGTATAGTTTCTAGCGCGGCGCGTCAGCGGGGGTCGTAGAGAGCCCTGTCAATTTCCAGGTCCGCGGGCAGACTGACAGACCCGGCTGATATTGCCTGGAAAAACCCGTTGGTTGAGCGGCGGAGCGAGCGGCGAGCGGACGCCTATCGACGCTATATATCGGATAGAAAACAACAAGAAACCCAGAAAGAATCTTACTACATAGTATCGTTCCAGAAGCACCCCGTCGAGTAGAGCGCCGCCAAGCCTAGAACGACGTAGGCCAAGTTCCGTGCGTCCGAGTCCGGCCCACCGACGACGCCGGCGCAGTCCTCGTCGACGAGGTACCAGAACGCGGAGAGGTGCGCGTAGTACGCGCCCATCGCTACGACGGAGCGGAGGAACGCCAGCGACAGCTTCGCCATTGATGGCGCGCCGCTAGGCGGTTCCAGCCAAGCGCGCACGTGGGGAAACGCGTCCGGGTCCAATCGGTCCACCGCGAAGCCGAACATCAGAAGCGTTCCCGTGAACAGCATCAGCAGCAACCCGATCGCGACGGCGGGCAGCTGGTCGTACCACTCGCGCTTGCCCAAGCGGCATTGCCAGAAGCAGTCCACGTGGTCGTCGAGGTCGCTGCCGGAGTAGGGCCAGTAGTTCCAGAGGTTGTCGAAGCCGATCCAGATGCACACCTGGGCGACGTGGCTCACGAGGGCTATGGCGAGCACCAGTCTCGGCCGCGGCTCGCGCCCGCCCAATCTCAAGTCCCACTCGCCCCGCCGCGTCGAGCGAATCGGCGCGGTGCCAAGCTCGCAAGTCTCGGCGGCGGCGGCGCGCGCGTAGGCGCTATCCCGGCGCGCGCGCATCTCGCAATATGCGAAGAGCGTGTCGATGACGGCCGCGACGACGAGGCCTAGAAGTGCCAGATAAGCATCCCGCGCGGCCGTTCGCGGTAGGCGATCGTCCAGCAAATTATACAAACCGGCGGTGCACATCGTCTGAGACGCAAACGACCCAAGCGCGCGCCGCCAACTTTTGTCAGGGAAGCCCCCACCGTCGCCGCTGCCAGGGATCAAGCCATTCGAGTGCAGGACGTCGAGGTACCATTGAAAGAACCCACCTACCATGATCAGGAAGACGTTGCGCGAGACGCTCTCGCGCCAGACCGCCGCGAGGCCACAGTACGACACCAAATCCCAGAGGCCGCACCACGCGACGACCGAGCAGTGGAGCGACGCGGCCGCGCGCAGGTGTACGGAGCGGTACGACTGCGCGTACTCCAGGCGCTGCCGTACTCCAGCCTCGAAGGGCAGCGGGTCCTCCGGCGGCGTCAGCTCATAGGCGCAGCTTGAATCCTCCGGGACCGGCGAGGCCGGCCGCGGGCGGTCGCGCGGCGGGAGCTCGACCTCCATCACGCGATCACGCACTTGGGCGCCTTCGCGCAGAAGATGCGCTTGAACGCGGACGCCCGCGGCGACGACGAGACCTCGAGGTCAATGTCTTTTTGCGGCGTCGTCGGCGGCGGCGGCGGCTTGGCCGCCGCCGCGGCCGGCGCGGCGATGGTGGCGACGCGGGCGACCGACGTGCCGTTGCGTACGGCTAGGGCTTCCGCGACGGCGCTGTCCAGCCAGCGCGGGGTACTGCCCGTGCGCCAGGCGTCGCCGAGCGAGTAGTTGCGGCAGGACGTCTTTGCGATGAGACCGCGCGCGATCGGTGGCGACGAGGTCCAGCCGGCGGGCCACGACATTTGCGGTTTTGACGGCGTGTTACTTGCCGCTGCGACGGCTGTTTGGTGGTCGTGGTTGCTGCGACGTACGTTCTGAGGCGTTGTGCGCTGGGCTGTGACAGGTGGTTTTCTGGCGCGCTAATAGACTTTGCGATGCAAACGCGATTTGTAGCGTTGTGGCTGCCGAAGTAGTGCTGTAAGAGAGACTCAGGAGGAATGCGGTTCTTGCTGCGTCGTAAATCTCTGCCGACGTTTGGTCGTTAAAAATCTGTGGCCTAGCGGCCTGTAAGACACTAGCGGACGCAATGATTGCTCGAGGGTGCCAAGTGCCTCGCTCGAAGCAAAAAAAAGCAAAAATAAGTAAAATAAAAATCGAGGTTAAAGTATACCTAGCTCACCACACAACAAGAGGGCCTCTTCGTCGTCGGCGCCGGCGAAGGACTTTGCGAAGGCAACGAAACACGCGTCGGCGCCACGACCTCCTCGCGCGGCGCCACAGGCGCCACGACCGCGTCGTCGTCGGCGACGACGACGCGCGGCGGCGCGCCCGCGACCGAGAGGAGCGAAGCCGGCGCGCCGACGACGCAGAAGCGCGCGCCGGAGACGGGCGCCCGGACGGCGACGCGGTAGCCGTCGCAGTCCCACGCGCCGCCCCACGCGTCGCCCTCCGACGCCCGCGACAGGAGCGCGGCGAGGCCGTCGAGGGGCGGTCGCTTGACGCGCACCTCCGCCGCCGACGCGTTCACGACCGCGCCGTCGTCGAGGACGACGCGCACGTCCCCGGCCCGCGTCGCGTCGAACCAGCCCGCCTCGATGCGTCCGACACGCCGGAAGCTCAGGTCCCGGGGCGCCCGCGCCGGGCGGCCCGGCGCCTCGAAGACGGCGTCCGCGAGGGCGCAGACCTCGGCGGGCGCGTCCCGCGCGAGGAGCGCCCGGAGCGCGCGCGAGCACGCGTAGGCCACGGACCCCTCGCCGGACCCGCCCGGTCGGTGCGCGGCGGCGCGGGGGACGCGCACGGGGTCCGACGCGCCCGCGAGCCGCGCGGCCGTCACGCGGTAGTCGTCGCAGCGCGCGTCGAGGTCCTCGACCGCCAGCGACACGGACAGGAGCGTCTCGGCCGGGGGCGTGGAAGGTTCGTCGCGCAGCCGATCCAAATGGCCCGCGACGGCCTTGCGCGCGACGCGCCCGTCGACGGCGACGCGCCCCGCGACGATTTCGAGGGAGCACGAGGCCGCCAGGATGCGCGAGAAGAAGCCGTCCGTGAGGGACTTGGGCGCCAGGTCGAGCGTCGCCGCGACGGTCCGCGTGCCCTTGCGCGACGGCGCCGGCTCCAAATCTTCCAAAGGAATAGCGGCGGCCGCGAGCACCGAATCGTACGTCGCGCCGACTTCCACGAGCGACACGCGCAGCGTGCGCTCGGCGCCGCGCGCCACGGGCACCTCCAGGACCTCGTGGAAGGCGCACGCGTCGTCCTCGACGACCGCCGGTTTTGATTTTATGACGTCGTCGTCGCCGCCGAAGTACGATTCCGGGGCTGCGCCGACGCGCACGTCGACGCGCGCCCGGCGGTCGCTCGCCAGGTTCACCGTCGCCGCCGGCACGTTGCTGCAGCCGACTATTGCTACGACTAAAACCTCCTCACCAATAACCGCGTCGCGCATCATGTGGCGCGCGGCGACGGCCCGGCAGGCCGCGGCCCTCTCGACCGGCCACGTCCGATCGCAGCGCCGCTGCTCCGCGTCCAACGCGCGCGCGACGGCGTCGTCCAAATCCTCCGCGCGTGTCACCGCGACGTTTGATTCATCCCGATCCCAGCCGTCGAGCTCCAGGTCCTCGTCCTCGAGGTCCACCACGGCCGTGGACGTCGTGGGCACGTAGTCGTCGGGGTACGCGTAGCGCCGCGGCCGCGTGAGGCGCCGGACGGCCCGCGCCGCCCGGGAGCGGTCCTCGGGCGTGACGTCGCCGGCCGGCCCGCCGAAGCGCTCGCCAAGCTCGTAGTAGGCCTCGCCCGTCGCCGCGTCGGCGAAGACGCCGCACTTGACCCGGTCGACGAGCAGCTTGCGCCGCGCCACGTACTTGGCGCAGGCCCGCCACTCGTCGAAGTAGCGCCGCCACCGCGTCGCGTCGTCCGAGGTTTCCGGGCGCGGCCTCCTCGCTAAAAGATCCGCGCGGACGGCCGCGAGCGCGCGCGCCCATCTCGCCAGCGGCCGCCGGGCGACGTCCTGGCGCCGGCGGTGCGAGTGCCGGAAGCGGGCGGCCGCGTCCAACAAGAACCGCCGCGCGACGTCGGACATGGTGACGCGGACGCGCGCCATCGAGACCGCCGCGTCGACCCTCGTGAGCCAGGGCCCTCCCGTGTTGTTCAGAAGAGCATCAATGTCCACGTTTACATTCAAGTCGAGCTCGACGAGGTCGGCGGCGAGGACCACGTCGCCCTGCCGTCGCGCGGCCTCACGGGCCCGCGCCGCGGCGTCCGCGGCGCCGCCCGCCTCGACGGTGAGGCCGCGCGCGAAGACGGCCTTGGGCGGCCCCGCCGCGCAGTAGGCCGCGAGGCCTACAATTGTTATACGTTTGTGCAGGTCGCCCGGGGCGCTCCGCACGTCGAGCGTTTCCAGAAAGAACCCAGCGCGGACAGGCTGCCCGCGGCCGTCGCCGAGCGCCCGCAGCGGCAGGCACTGCGCGACGCGCACGTGGAGCCTCCTCAGGGTAAGTTCCGAGGACCGCAGCAGGTCTCGCAGCGCCGCTGCGCCGGCGTCGTTCTGCGCTTGCTTCGGCGGCCGTAAATACGTCGTGAAATACAGGTGCACGGCGCGCTCGACGGCGTCCCGCGCGTCGGCGGCGTCGAAGGCCGAACGTGCCGTCAGGGCGACGTCGACGTTCTCGACGTCGACGCGCAGCGAGCTGCTGAGCGGGTCGATCTCGAGCTTGAGCCGTCGCGCGGACGCCGACACAGGCTCGTACGGGAGTAGAAGCGCGCGGAGCTCCTCCGTCTTGAGGTCGAGGTGCTCGAGCGTGACGGTGCCGCCGAGGCTCACGTTGATCTGCGAGCCGTCGAAATTTTTGAGCCAGCGGCCGCAGAGGCGTTTTATGAAGCGCTCAATGAGTTGCGAGAGCATGGCTGAGGGTCTGCGCACGCAAGTGGGGCAGCTATCTCGCACCGATGCGATGCGATGCGAGTTGCTACGTGCAGCGTGCCGGGTGCATGGGGGCTCTTTTTCATCTCCTGCCTGCTCGCAGGCTCGAGAGATTGGTCGCCCCGCACGACAATCACCATCCAGTTCCCTGCGTTTACCGGTCCGCAGAGGCATAGGAAGAGCCGTCCGCGCATGGATGGGTCCTGGTTTAACTCGAGGCTCATTTAGCGGGAGGGCTGCTGACATTGGTCAAAAAAAGACCTCCGCGCCGACAGGACTGCACGTTTAAGCGAAGCAACGAATTGAGAACCATGCGACGACGGATCGCATTGCTCTCCAGTTTCCTCGCTTGTAGCCATGCATTAGTTGCACCGCCTAAGGCCCTGCAGCCCATGCAGCCTCGCCGCGCCGCGGACGCCGGCGCGGCAACGACCAGCGACGCGCCACCGGCCACCGCCGCGGCGCCGACCGCCGCCGAGGCCGCGAACGGCCACCAGCGCAAGACCGCGGCCGTCTTCGGTTTCTTCGGCGCGAGCGACCGCGAGCTCGCACTCATCGAGAAGCGCTACGCGAAGAACGGGTATGAGTGTGTCGTCGTCCCGTCGCCCGTAAAAGAGGTCGCGCGGCCGAGCGGCTGGTACAAGAATTTCCGGCGGAACGCGCGGCTGGGCAAGGAACATGAACTAGCGAGGCATTTTGATGTGGTGCACTGCATGAGCGGCGGCTTCCTGAACTACTACCTGACGCGCGGCGCGGGCGTGCCGCTGGCGTGTGATACGCTGCTGCTGGACTCGACGCCGATCTTACCGAAGCCGCGGGCCTTCACGACCTTCGCGCGGCAGTTCATGCGCGACGCCCTGCCCTTCGGCAAGGTCGTGGACCTCTTCCCGCAGCCGCTCCATCTGTTCCTCATAAGGACGCGGTGGTCCGTGACGGCCTTCCGGCTACGGGTCCAGCACTGGTTCCTGCGGCGGCTGGGGCGGCACCCATGCGCGTGGCGGGACCTCACGACGCGCTGGCTGCGCGTGTCCTCCTCGGCGGCGCGCCGGGGCAACTACGAGCCCATCGTGGCCCACGCGGCCCGCGTCGCGTTCGGTCGCGCGCCGGCGGCGCCGCCGCCGAAGCGCGCGGTCTTCCTGCACAACCCGGCGGACCCGTACCTGTCGCGCGACGACGTCCTCGCGACGGTCGGCGCCGCGGAGCGGCTCGGCCTCGCGTCGGCCGTCCACGAGGTGGCCACGAACCACGTCCAGACCATCTTCCAGAAGCCCCGTATCATCTTCGAGGGCGCGCTCGCGTGACGGGCGCCTGCCGCGGGCCGTGTGAATAGTCAGCATATTGAATATATAACAGATATAGCCAAGGCGTAGTATCGCGACGACGGGGACGTCTATTTTCTACTGCGATGTTTCTTTTGCTTTATTGCTACGGTGCTAGGACTAGTAGTCGATGTTACGGTGCTAGGACTAGTGGGCGGAGCCCCTGGGGGGGAGACACCGCGCGTCGCCGATTCATCGTTACGCTGGATTAGTGCTTTAACTACGTGTGACATACTAGCCTCGAGGTTAGGAGGCGTAGGCGTCGTAGATCAGACGATGCGACCCGTTTTGCTCATCCTCCTGGCGCAGGGCGCTTGGTGCGACGATTGCTCCTGCCATGGCACTCGCTCCACACCTTTCCAGGACGCCATGTACGCGGGCTACCGCGCCGCGGCGGCGCACCGCGCCCCGCGAGACCTCGCCGACCGGCTCGCCGACGGGCTCGCGCCGCGGACCCGCCGTAACCTGACCGCGCCAGCGGTGGCGGAGCTCTGGCGGTCGCTCCGGGCCGAGCGACGCAAGATCACGACCGCGAGTGGAGCGGAGCGGGAGATGCGGCGGGCGCTCATGCCCGCGGGCGACGAACTCATAAAATTATTGGATGACGAGCGGGCGGTGCTCGACGAGTTGAGGGGTCTGTGGCTCCGCGCGACGGACTATGGCGTCCTCACGCGACGGGTCGACGCAGACAACGCGGTCCTAGATGACATGCGGCGGTGGATCCTGGGCGACTTGGCGACTGAGGCGCGGTGCGCGCCCGAGGCGAAGGCTCCATCGCCACCAAGTTTCGCCCAGGTGCACACTGGTTCCATCGCCGACCACGTTTCGAACTGGGGGGACGTTCGCGATACCTTGCGCGGGACGCGTTACGAGAAGTACCTGCCGCAACCCATTGACCCCATCATCGACCCATCGAACCCTCGCCTGCCGTTGTAGCAGTTACTGACCTCATCCCCAAGGGTGGTACCTAGGAAAAAAAGTAAGGCTGCTGACAAAACCCGCCGAAAAAAAAAACACGCTCTAAAATACTCTCCCGATGGCGCGCCCGACCACTCCACCGTCGCCGGGGAGACGTCTCGTCTCGTGCCCTCGGGAAGCCCCGAAGACCAGGACACAGCGCATCCGGCCCGGCGACCCCAGAGGCGCGGAGCTAGGTGCAGCGGGCTGCCTCCGGAGCAAGGCATCGTCGTCGCGAGCTTCACAAGCCACCTCTCCGAGCGAAACGCTCGCGCGCCCCGCGGGAAGGCAGCCTTCACGAGCCATCTCCGGAGCCATCATGGCTGCCGAGCCGGCCGACGAGGACGTCGAGCGCCACGTGCGCAAGCGCTTCGAGGTCTGCCAGCGCCTGGGCAAGGGCGCCTACGGCGTGGTCTGGAAGGCCATCGAGCGGCGGTCGCGGAGCACCGTCGCGCTCAAGAAGTGCTTCGACGCGTTCCGCAACGGCACGGACGCGCAACGAACGTTCAGGGAGATCATGTACCTGCAGCAGTTGAGTGGGCATGAGAACATTATTCGGTTGCAGCACATCATCAAGGCGGAGAACGACAGGGATATCTACCTGACTTTTGACCACATGGAGACGGACTTACATGCGGTCATTCGGGCGAACATCCTCGAAGAGATCCACAAGAAGTATATCGTCTATCAACTACTGAAGGCCTTGAAATATATGCACTCCGGCGATTTACTGCACCGCGACATCAAGCCTTCGAACCTTTTGTTGAACAGCGACTGCCACGTCAAGGTTTGTGATTTTGGGTTGTGTCGAAGCGTGGCGGAGTGCCAGACGACGACGCAGCCCGCGCTGACGGACTATGTGGCCACGAGATGGTATCGGGCGCCCGAGATTTTGCTAGGTAGTCCCGTCTACACCAAGGGCGTCGACATGTGGGCCGTGGGCTGCATCCTGGGCGAGATGCTCGGCGGCAAGCCCATCTTCCCGGGGACGAGTACCGTGAACCAGCTCGAGAAGGTCATCGAGCTGACGGGCAAGCCGTCGCCCGAGGACGTCGCGGCGTCGGGGTCGCAGTACGCGGAGCGCATGCTCGAGTCGATCGGGCCCGTGCCGAAGCGCGAGCTGAGCCTCGGCGGGTCCGAGCCGGCGGGACCGCCTTTATTACATGCCTGCCTCAAATTCAACCCGTCGAAGCGCGTGACGGCGGCGCAAGCGCTCGAGGACCCCTTCGTGGGCGAGTTCCACAAGTCCGAGGAGGAGCCCGACTTCCCGGGCGGCCCCGTGAAGATTGCTGTGGATGACAACACGAAGCTGAGCGCCCAGGACTACCGGAACAACCTCTACATGCAGATCCAGCAGATCAAGCGCGAAGCGAAAGCGCGCGCGGCCAAGGCCGCGGCGCCCGCGCCCGCCGCCGCGGGCGCGGTGCAGCAGGAGGGGGCGGCGCCGGCGCCCTAAAGCGTCTTCTTATGGTAGTGTCCGCCCCGCGTCGCGCGTCGCTTCGGACCCGCGACGGCGGTGAGTTGTGCTCCCAAGGCTCCCAGGAGGAGTGTCCGGCCCTTCTTCCACGTGTGATCGGACGACGTAGAAGACAGGCTTAGCGGCGCGCAGCGAGCCGCTAAAATAAATCCAGTCACAAACAAATTCATTCGTGTTTAAGAGAGGCCGATTGCAAGAAAATGTTCGATTTTCGGCAACACCTTTGTTTTACCTTTTTGAGCGTTCATCCGACGAAGGGAGGACCTCCGAGGGACCTGAGACGATTTTTGGTCGCCGCGGCCGCGTCGCTCGCGACCGCACCGAGCCGGTACAAGTGGTCAAAAATAGAACTTAAAACTGCAGCCTAGGTGGTCTCCATATCGTCGTCGTCGTCGTCCTTGCTCTCGTCGTCGAAGACGAGCCCGCGGACGGCGTCAACGAGAGGCTCCCGCGTCCCGTCCTCATTTGGGAACGCGTGATGGACCACGGCGATGCGCCGTACGAGATTCGTATTGATCGTCTCATCTTCGAGCCGCAGCTCGCCGGCGACGCGGCGCGCCTCGTCGGTGTAGCCCGTGGACACGCGCCGGCGCGTCGCCGCCGGAGTCATCGGCGGCTGAATGCAGCGCCGCGCCGGCCGGACGACGCTCTTCGTGCAACGCGAGGTGCCCGGCATCTACGGCGAAGACCAGGACTGCTGCCACAAGCCTATCACAAGGCTCGAGGCAGTAGACGTAACGCAGTGGGTAAGTCACAAAGAATAAGCTTAAGGCACGATGCCGTTCGTCCGCCACTGGTACCCGTCGTACTGCTCCGCGCGCTCGGAGTTGTGCGACTGGCGGATCATCTCCGTCGCGACCGCGACCGTCCGCCTTGGATCACCATCTAGGTCCGCAAACCGATCCCCCAGCTTTCCGCGCGGCGTCGGCGCCGAAGGGCACGTCGCCGAAGAATAAGGCTAGCGTCGTCTGCAATTCGTGTAAATCCGCAGCTAGCGCGTGCAAGCCACCCGCCAACGCGGTGGAAAAGGCGACACACAACAACTTACTCCGAGGCGCCGCCGCCCCCAGCAGCGAGCGCCTCCATCCGCGCCACGCGCTTCGCCCGGTACCGCGCGAGCAGCGCCCGCGTCGACGCCGTCGCCGCGTCCCCCGACTCGATTAAACCGGCGAGGCGCTTCCCGAGCTCGACGCCGAACTGGTCGAAGGAGTTCACGCCGTACAGCCAGCCCTGCGCCGCCGTGCGGTGCTCGTAGAGCGCGAGCAGCGCGCCGACGTGGAACGCGTCGACGCGGTCGAGCATCAACGAAAGCGACGGCCGGTCGCCCGGGCACCGCCTATGATTGTCCCCGCCCCCGTCATCTCCGAGCGCCAGCGCGTCGGCCTGCGCACAAAAGTTCCGGAAGAGCTCGTCGTGGTTCTCGCCGTCGCCCTGGCAGACGCCGAGGAACTCGCAGGGCACGACGCGCAGGCCCTGCGCGGGGCGCAGCGATGGCGTTTGGTGCCGCTCGTCCGCGCGTCGTGGCGAACGTGTTCGCGCAAGCACGCCGCGATTGCGCGCGCCGTCGACGCGTCGCGGCGGCGGCGGAGGCACGCGTTCGCGAGCCCCGCGGGCGATAGCGCGGTGGGGTAGAACCGCGAGACGCGGGAAGCACGGACCTGGTGCAGCAGCTGGTAGAACGAGTGCTGGCCCGGCGTCCCCGCCTCGCCGAAGACCACCTCGCCCGCCGGCTCGGTTAGCGCGTTCCCCTCGACGTCGACGCCCTTCCCGTTGCTCTCCATCTCGAGCTGCTGGACGTAGCGGGGGAAGAGCGATAAGGCCCGCGCGTAGGGCAGCACCGCGCGGCAGTCCCTTTCATATATAAAGGCGTTGAGGAAGCCGACGAGGGCCAGCAACACCGGCAGGTTCTCAGACAAAGGCGCCTCGCGGAAATGTAAGTCCATGGCCCGCGCGCCCCTTAGCAGCTCGCGCACGGGCCGGACGCCGTACTGGAGCGCGAGCGGCAGGCAGCCGACGGGCGACCAGACCGAGTAGCGGCCTCCCACATAGTCGCCGAACCCAAAAATTCGTTCGCAGCCGAACGCGCGGGCTTTTTCCGCGGCGGCCGTCACGGCGCACATATGACTCTCGTATTGTTCACCGAGCCACGTCTTGACCAACGCCGCGTTGAGCATCGTCTCCTTCGTCGTGAAGGTCTTGGAGATCACGATCACTAAAGTCGAGGCCGGATCTAAATCTCGTAACGCCATCTCCGTCTCGACGGGGTCGACGTTCGCAATAAATCGGAGCCGTCTACCATCCGCTTCGCTCGCGTACTCCGAAGCGAGCGCCTCGTGGACGCAGGCCGGTCCTAGGGAGCTTCCGCCGATGCCGATCGCGACCACATCTACGAGTGCTTCGCCCGAGCTGCCCCTGACGTGGCGACTTCTTACGGCCCGCGCAAAATCTAAAACGCGGTCCAGCGTGTCCTGGGCCTCCTCTATTGCATATGGGTCGCCCCTCGTCGCTCGCAGCGACACGTGGCGCACACTTCTATTCTCCGTGGGATTCATCACCTCGCCCCGGAACATGGCGTCGCGCTTCTCTTCCACATTACAGGCTCTTGCCACGTTTATCAACAAATCGATTGTATGAACTGTGACCTTCTGCCGCGCGAAGTCGAGGTAGAGGCCGCACGCCTCGGCGGTGCACGCGTTGCAGCGGGCCTCGTCCTCTAGTAAGTCGCGCAGGTGGCGCTGTTCTACCTCCTCGTTTACATGATGGCGTAGTGCATCGATGGCTGCGTCCCGCTGTTGTTGCGGAGCCAGGGCTGCAGGGCCGAGGCTGCTCTTGGTCCCGGCGGCACGGGTGGCTGCCAGCAGTGCTAGCGTGGCGAAACGCATTGCTGGAAGTTATCGAAGACAATCTGCACAACGAATCAACTCGCGCAACCTCACGGTGCAAGCTCGAGTACTGCAAGAGCTAGCGGCCTGTAAGACACTAGCAAGCACACAAAGGGCCTCGGCTCTCGCAAGGCCCATACGCGCGCCTCAGCGACCAGTTAACACAGAACGATCTGTGACAGGCTTCGCGCAGCGCCTGTTGCGCCGTCTGCGAGTTTTGGCCTAGCCGGCGCCGAGTACAGGAAGGTGACTTGCAAGGTACATCTACAGACGCGCGTTTATCCCAAGCGCGTGAGCGCAGCCGCGGCGAGATGGGCGGCACACATTCTGTGGATAAGGAATTGACAAGTGGTCTGGTGCGCCGGGCATTTTCCAAAGAGCACGGGCGCGACCCGACGGAAGAGGAGGCGGCAAGGTTCACGACCGCATATGAACGGGACGACCCGACGGACGCCCACCTTGGTCCGGTCGATGCGGAGGAGGCCGACGTGTACCGAGACACGGCCAGCACGCTTTTACAGGCGGCCGCCGACCGCGAACCGACGGACGACGAGCTCTCTGGATTTACAGACAAGATGGCGCGCGCCTTCCGCCGCGCCGCCCTCGAGGCCGTCTCCGACATAGAAACCACGCGGCGCGAGCTGGTCCGACGCGCCGTTGAGGCGGAGAAGGCGAGCAGCGAGGTCGTCCCCTTCGGCCCGCCGCCGCGGCCCGCGGACGAGAGCGCCGCCGAGTCGCCCTTCGAGCACGCGGCGCGGCTCGAGCACGAGAAGGTCCGGGTCGTCGCGGCCGCGGCCCATGCTGTGTGGTCGTCGACGAAGACCGATAGCAAGGAAGTCAAAGATAGCTTCGACACGCATATCGATAGTACTGGAGACCAGAAGGCGTGGGATCTCAAGGTCGAAAGGGCAGGTAAATATCTAGCAACGGTAGCAAAGCTGGACGCCAAGACCGGCGCCGAGACCCGGGAGCTGCACTCGGCCGCCGCGGACCGCGCCATAGCCGAGGCCACAGAGGGTGACAAGGACGTTCGAAATATAGCAAGGGGTGTGTATGAGCTAAATTGCAGCGGAGGCGATTTAGATTACCCCTCGCTGTCGAGCGAAGACGCCGCGGACATGGGCTTGAGGTACGAGAGCGTGCCGTGGGAAGATTTGGAGGCTTACGACCAGGACATGTTTGATAGTTTAATCAAAGCGGCGCGGACGGCCCAACGTGTCGATATTATTAATGAGACCCGCATCGCCGCCCTCGCGAAGCGGGAGCGCGACGCCGCGGCCGAGCTCAAGGAGCGCGAGGCCCAGTCGCGCGCCGCCGAGGCGGACTTGCTAGCTCAGCTCGACGCCGAGGCAGCAGACGCGCCGAAGAAGAAGAAGAAGAAAAAGAAGAAGAAGGCGGCCTCGCGGAGCCAGTCGCCGGCGACGCTGGACGCGGTCGCGCCGGAGGCCGCGGCACCGGCGCCGGCGCCGGCCGCGGCACCCACGGTAGACGAGGCGCCGGCGCCGGCCGTCGACGCGCCCGCGGTCGCGGACGACTGGGAGACGGCCGCGGACGCGGGCGCCGCGCCGGCGCCGCTCGAAGAGGACGCCGCGGCGCCCGCGCCCGACGACGGCGACGGGACGTCGACCGTGGCGCCGGCGCCGGCGGCGCCCGCGGAGGAGGCCGCGGCGCCCGCGCCCGCGGCGACGGACGCACCGCCGGAGCCAAACGCCTGGAAGACGCCGGTGGAGGCGGAGACGACCGCCAAGGCGCCCGCGGCCGCCGCCGAGGCGCCGGCGCCCGCGGAAGAGGACGCCTGGGAGACGGTCGGCCGGCGCCCGCGCCGGGCCGGGGACGCGGCGCCCGCCGCGCCGGTGCGCCGCCGCGGCACGGTCATTAACGTCAACAAGGCGGAGGGCTACTGCTTCGTACAACCGGACGCGGGCGGCACGAACGTCTTCCTTTCATTCAAGGAGCGCTACGCGCAGGAAGGCGACCGCATCGAGTACGAGCTCGTGCCCTCCGGCCGGCCGGAGCGCCACGCCGTCAAGGCCGGCCGCGCCGTCAACCTGTCGCGGGCGACCGAGGCCCGCGGACCGGGCGGCACGCCCGACTGGTGGTGCGCCGCGTGCGAGACGAACAACTTCGCGGCGCGGCCCGCGTGCCGCCGCTGCGGCGCTGCCCGCTCGGCACCGAAAGACGAAGCGCCGCCCGTGCCCGAAGGCCGCTTCACGGGCGTCGTCGTGGGCGCGTGGCGGGGCTGCTACTTCCTGCGCGGCGAGGACGGCTCCGAAGACCTCCTGTTGCATGCGGATGACCTGGACGCGGGCCGGCCCACGCGCGTCGACCTGAGCGCGCCGCCAGACAATGCAATCCTAGCCGTCGGCGACCGCGTCTGCTACGCGCTCGCGCGCGCGCGCTACGCGGACCGGCTCGCGTACTACCGCCTCAAGTGCGTCGACGTGTCGCGCGCGCCGCCCGTCGTGCCGGACGCGCCGCCGTCTCCACCGCGGCCGCCGGTGCCCGCCGACCCGGACCTCCTGCCCGACGAGCCCCTCGACCCACCTGTCGCGCGGCTGCTCGCCTCGCTAGGCTTGGAGAGTGTCGGGCCGGTGCTCATGCGCGAGGAGATAGACTGGGAGAGCCTCTGTTTGCTCGATACTGATTCGTTGGTGGACTGTGGCGTGGACGCGGCCGACGCGCGGCGGATCTGCGAGCGCGTCGAACTGGCCAAGGCGGGGGCGCCGGTCCGCGCGGCGAGCGACCCCGAGCGCGAATGTCCTATATGCTTCGAGCCCGAGCGGTCGACGGCGCTCGTGCCGTGCGGCCACATCCTGTGCCGGGCCTGCGCGGCGGCGCACGAGTCTTGCCCCGTTTGCCGCGCGGCGGTCACGAGCCGCCTGCGGCTGTTTCACTAGCCATGGTGATGGAAGGGGGTGTATAGCGCGGGCTGCTCAGAAGCAGCGCCTCGACCTCCGCGCGCGCGCGGCGCGCGTGCGCGCTACGCGTCTCAGGATTAAAACGGGTTTTACCTGGCGTGCATTTTGAGTAATCTGCGCAGCGGTAAGCGGTAGAGCAAACGAGCACGGCGAGATATTATCCGCACGGCTCCATAAGTGTCACATCTGCCTGCGCGACCCTGAAACCGCCAGAGGACTGGGCCGACACGAGCCGCCGAGGGGACGATGTCTGCCGTAGACGACCGCCCGCCGCGCCGGCGGCGGCCGCGCCAACGCCAGCCGCGGCGCCCGGGACGCCCGACCGGGACGAGTGTCCTATCTGCTTCGAGCCGGAGAAGTCGACGGCCCTCGTGCCCTGCGGTCACATCCTCTGCGGCGCCTGCGCGGCGAAGTACGCGCACTGCCCCGTCTGCCGCGAGCCCGTGGCCTCGCGGATGCGGGTCTTCTGGTAAGGTATGTTTATGTCTAGAGCCCCTTCCCCTTCGCGAACGCCTGGGCCGCGGCGACCGCCGCGTCGACGTCGCCGCCGCCGAGGACGACCATGTTCGCGGCCTTCTCCTTGCCGCCGCCCTTGCCCCCGCCGATGGCGTCGGCGGCCGCCGCGCACCACTCCCGCGCGTCGATGGAGTGGCCCTTGGCCACGCACGCGTAGACGCCGACCTTGCCTGAGCCAGACGAGCACACCAAGAAAGAGCCACCAGGAGCCTTCTTCGCCAGGATCGACTTCTGGAGCTTCTGCCACAACTTCGCGTCGCACCCAAAGTCCACGCGCGCCGCCACCGCTCCATCAGTGTTGGAGGATGCCAATGCTTCAAAAGCTCCAGAGGCCGCATCAGCTTGGGCCTTCTCGGCCTTCTTCCTTGCGGCTTTCATGGGTCCTGACGAATGCGAATTGAGCGCCTCGCGACAGAACATTTTTTGATGTTGCGGCATGACGGCCGCGTTGACCTCGACCTTCAGCAGCTTGAGGGTCTCCTCGGCCTTCGCGAACGCTTCTGATGTATCCAAGGGCATACTTTCGAAAGCCACGATCCTTTCTCTGAAATCTCTAGCGCAGGCGTGCGCGGACGCCGCCTTTTCACGAGTACAAGCGACCAACCTCCGGACACCCTTCGCGATGCCCTGCTCTTCCAGCAAAGCGAACCCGACCGCGTCCTTCGTATTACGTAAGTGAGTACCACCACACAACTCGACAGATAACGAAGACCAGTCCTTTGAGGAAGGCGAAGACGTGATCTTCTGCACGCTCCCACCAATCGCGACGACGCGGACCGGGTCCGGGTAGGCCTCGCCCTTCATCGCTCTCAGAGCTTCCACGTCCATGGCCTTGTCCAACGGCGTCTCGACCGCATCCACAGACAAAGCATTATCGACGATATCGGCGCAGATCTTCTCTACTTGACTCAATTGTTCTTGCGTCAAAGGCGCGTCCCACGCCACGTCGAAACGTAACCGCTCGTCGTCGACGTGCGAACCCCTCTGGACGCACCTATCGACCCCCGTCTTCTTGTGGTCCTCCTTGGCCCCCTCCAACCCACCCAACAGCACCTCCCGTAAAGCGAAGTTGAGGACATGGGTCATAGTATGATTAGGAGCGACGCGCTGCCTCCGGTCGTAGTCCACGGCGCATTGCACTGAATCTCCTACTCGTAAAGTGGTGGAGGGCGCCCCCACGTGCACGATATAACCAGCGTAGACCTGCACATCATCTACTTGCAGGACTGACGCATCGTCTATCAACAGAGTTCCCGTGTCGAACGTCTGCCCGCCCATCTCGGCGTAGAAGCTCGTAGCGTCTAGTACAGCTCCAGCGACTTGACATGAGGCATCTACTGAATCCACGAACCCGTCGCCCTTCGGCCCTCCTCCTCTTCCCACAAATAGTGCCACGATGCGCGCATCCGGCCGCTCGTTCCAGACGTACTTCGCGGCATCATCGGTCTTCGCCAAATGCGCAATGGCCGACGTCTGCTCCGCCGCAAAAGTCATGTCCGCGCCCGCGCTGCGAGCCGCCTTTCTTTTCGCGACCGCGGCCGCGTTTCGATCCTGTTCTTCCTTCAATGCAGCGTGGTAGCCCTCTGTATCAACTTTCAGGCCTATTTCTTCGGCCATGATCTCCGTGAGATCTAAAGGAAAGCCTAGGGAACCGGACAGGTGGAACGCGTCCTTGCCCGGAAACGGCTCACCTTTACCTAAAGTCGATACTCGCTTCTGGAAGAACCGAGCTCCTTTGTCTATAGTACGGTTGAAATCTCTTTCCTCCCCTTCCAGCACGGCCATGATCGTCGACTGAGCTCGTCTTAACTCCGGAAAGGCATCACCTAGTACCTCACAGAGCCTCGGCACGATCTTGAACACAAAGCCCTTCGGCGCGCCCAGGAAGTGCTGGCCGTACCACACGGCTCGCCTCAGCACTCTTCTCAACACGTAGCCTCGCCCAAGGGCGTCGGGCACCGCGCCGTCGGCGATGGCAAAACTCAAAGTCCGCACGTGGTCCGCGACGACTCGGTAGGCCATGTCGATCGTACCCTTGTCTTCCTCTCCAATTTTACCGGTATACGGTTTCGACTGCCCGGAGACCTTCTGGATCTCGTCAAATAGGGGCGTAAATACGTCGGTGTCGTAATTCGACATCTTGCCTTGTAAAATAGAGGCTAATCTTTCAAACCCCATGCCCGTGTCGACGTGCTGCGCCGGCAGCGTCTTCAGGCCGTGCCGGTCGCGGTTGTACTGGATAAAGACGTTGTTCCAGATCTCGAGGACCTGCGTTTTGTGACGCGTGTCGCGGCGATGGCGTGGCGCGCGACGCCGTCGACGCGTCAAAAGGACGCCGCTCCGCGCGTCGGGATCGTCCATGTTCACCAAAGAAGCGGCATCTCTCCCGCCAATCCTATCATAATGAATTTCGGTGCAGGGCCCGCACGGCCCGACGTCGCCCATCTCCCAGAAGTTGTCGCCCGCGTCGAACGGTAAAATCCTCGAAGCAGGGACGTACTTCAGCCAGATCCTTTTCGTTTCTTCATCTGGGGGCACGCCCGGTGCTTTCAAATCGTCGCCGCCGAAGTAAGTGACATAGAGTCGCTCGGGATCCAATTGAAATTCCACCGTCAGGCACTCCCAGGCCATGCGGATGGCCTCCTCCTTAAAGTAGTCGCCAAAGCTCCAGTTCCCGAGCATCTCGAAGAAGGTGTGATGATATAAATCTTTTCCTACGTCGTCCAAGTCGTTGTGCTTGCCTCCGGCTCTTATACATTTCTGGGAGTTGCAGGCTCGTTTCAGCGAGGCCATTTTGGTCTTGGGGTCGATGGTACCTATATGTATATGTTATCTATGTTATTGTATTGTGGTATTGTGTGTAGAGAGAAGAACCGTCAGGCAGAAATCTCATATTAAGTTCGTTCAGGAGTCAGAGTAGATAAGGGTTGAAAGGTGTGTAATCAGCCGGCTTTTCATATATATAAACAACGCTGGTAAGACATACCGAGGAAGATGCTTTTGTACTGGTTCATCCCGGCATTGGCAAACAGTAACGTGGGGTCGTCGTGGGGCACGACGGACGACGAGGGCCAGTGCGTGTGCGCGTGCCGTTGAAAGTACTCGACGAAGGTGCTGCGGATCTTGGCCTGGGGCCAGCCCTCAGGCGTATTGGGGATGCGCTCTCCTATTTTCATGGCTTTCGTCTTGGCTTCGAGCTGCGACGCCATGGCTGCTTGCTTGCTTTGCTTGCAGTGTCTGGGCGACTAGAGCTCTGGTCTCGCGCGGCGCTGGCGTAGAGTTGTTGCTGGCGTGCAACTGTGGCTCTTGTCCTGCCGCAGAGCTGGTGCGCGAGCGGATAGCGCGTCCGCAAATCGACGCTCGCTCCAGCTGTGAGAGGCCAAGGCCATGATTTTTTTTAGGCGAAAGGATGCGTCGGACCACCAGACGCTTTTGGAGACCTCTTTGGAGCCCTCCGAGCAAGAATTTCCATCTATGCCGCCCAAATTGGGTTTGGTGTCTCGGCGGGCCAGCAGCCTCAGATTTCAAAATAGCGGTGCGCAGAACCTTTATCTGTGGACACAGACACGCCAGTGCTACTATACGTGCGTGTTTTTACCCGTGTGCACGCGCGCGCGGCTGGAAATCGCCGCAGTAGGCTGCACCGCAGCACACACACCGCAGAGGGTGCGAAACCATGGCGGCACGCCGCCCGCGCGACGGCGCCGCCGTGGCAGCCGCGTCGGACGAGAACGCCAACCCCTGCAAGAAGGCGCGCGTCGACGACGACGCGCTACGCAAGACGATGGCGACGATCGGTCCGCCGCCGGCCGCGCCCGACCCGGCCGCTGTGCCGACGACCGACGTCGTCCGCCACCTCGAGACGCACGGCTACTGCCCTATTCAATCCGACGCTTCGACCGTAGACGCGCTGCGCGCCGCGCTCGCCGACGCGGCGGACGACGACAACGCGAGTGTCCTCCAGAACGATAGGAGGGGACGGAACCTGCCGGCGACGCCCGCGCTGCGCCACGCCGTCGTCGCGTTGATCGAGCGGTCGCCGTTCCTCCACGACTACGTGGGAGATGATCTGCGCGTCCAGGGCGTCCAAGATATAGTGGTATCGAAGGCGTGCCCCCCTCAAGAAATTCATCGCGACCACCAGCTCGGCGCCAAAAAAGCAATTGTGGTTGCCATCTCGCTGGACGGCTCGCCGCTCGGCACCGAGGTCATAAGGGGCACGCACGCCGGCGATGATGAATTATCAAGTTACGTCGCGCGGAACCGCTACTCGTCAAAGCGCGCTCCGAAAGCGGCCGCGATGATTCAGCACCTCCAGCAGTCGGGCGCGATGACGGCCGTGCAGACGTCCTGCATGGTCTACGACCCCTTCCTCTATCATCGGGGAGCCGCGTCCGCCGGGCCGAAGACCGGCGGCCGGTTGTTCATCATGCTCTGCGCCTCTTCATTATCGGCTGATGACCAGAAGGCGATGCGAAGCACGAACGACATCAAGCGCGCGTGGAAGATCCCGCCCGTCGCGCGCGCGGTTGACCCCTAGTGGTCTATGTGTTAAGTTAAATATTAGGTGCTGGCCCGGGCGCCGCGCTCGGGGGCTCTCCGGAATTTCCGATCTAGCCTCGGAAGAGACCGGCGGAGATTATTGCCTCAAGCTCGGAAGGGTCGAGATTGAGATCCTCTAAGCTCCAATCGAGCTGATGCGTCAGCGCTAGACGTAGCGTATTCCGGATTGGCTGGGACACTTCCCAGGTCAGATTTAACCCGAGCAAACCCAACAGCTCGGTCACCGCCTCTCGAAGATCGTCGCGGTAGCCTTCACGTCCATAAAAGTGATGCATCCAGCGGGCACGGCATAAGAGATGAAACAGCTCGACGGTGAGATGGTGGTCGAAACCCAGGTCCCCCGCGACGTCGGGGCAGATATCAGACAAAAGTTCCAGCGCGTCGTGGACATAATGCTGGTCGAGGAGTACCGAAGCTAATTTTATAGCTGTAGCGTATGTGGCCCTCCGGCCGAAAAGTGATCTCGTCGCATGATGAACCAATTTTCTGGCAGTGAGCTCATCGTCGGCTCGGCCGAGTTTTCCGTGGCATATTGCCAATTTATCCATATCGCCGATAGTCTCTTCCCTTTCAAGTGAGGCTTCGGTAGAACCGGTGTCCATCGTAAGAGTACCTGGGGGGACCGAGTTGAGCAATGCCAAATACAACGCGCGTGCTTCCTCGAAGTGTTTCTTTGCGAACAAGCGCAACGCGAGTGCTCGCACCGATATCCGAGCAAAGATAGAATAGGCTTCTTGATTCACCATCTCATCCCTCTGATTTAAGCGGTGGCTACACCAACACGACCATCCGAGAGCGATTTGCACGTCGCCGCAGTATTCTCCCTTGCACCTTGGGCAGTTGAACCACAGCCGCCTCCACTTGGGGCCAAGCTTTCTGTAAGCCGCATTCTTTGTTGCGGCTACCGATTTATCCATTGCCTCATCATGAATCAAAGTGACCGACTGATGCACCAAACACCCCACATGCACAAAGCCCGCCGGTCCACGGCACGCACAATGCCCGCTCACGAGGCCCTCCTCGTTAACCCTTTGGATGGCCTCCTTGCAGATGTAGCACGTCTGGCCTTTAGTGTCCTCCGCGCACGCCGCGACCGCGACCGCGACGGCCACCTTATATTTTTCGTTGGCGTGATACGTTTCCGCGTCGCCTGCTTTTTTTATCTTCTTACAGAGAGATTGATGGCCGCGCGCCCAGTGGTCCCGCTGACAAGTCGCGCTGCAGTAGCGAGTCTTGCATCTACTGCATTGCTTGGCTCTTTTGGAGCCCAGAGGCGCCGCGCAGGAAGCACAGGTCGTGAGGAGGTACATTTCCCGGTCGATTCGTGAGGCCTGGCGGGTATCTTGCTCGTAAAATGTAAAAATTCAGTGTAAAACCCGTTCGTTCAGTAGGACCCCTCAGTATCATAAACAACCTTATTAATCCGGCGCGAGACCATCCGCCCCCACAGGCACCGCATAAAGAGCGTCCGGCGTCTGCAGCTTGAACCGCGGCGTCTTGACCCACGCGAGCTCCTCGTAGCCCTCGCACGCATCGCGCCCGTTCTTTCGGTTCGCGTGGATCGCCCGGATGCCCCTCGACGTAAGGTCGGCGATGGAGACGGAATAGGCCTCGCAGCCGAACAAACGGGCATTGGTGAACTGTTCACTATGTTGCGGATGCACCTGCAAGGCGAGCAACCACAGCGCCACGGAGACGTCTTCCAGCGTGCCCACGCCCGCTAGATCATCTTTGTTTTTATGGATAAATTCAGCACAGTCCATCGACAATAAATAGTGAGGCCCGATGGCAAATGGTGGTAATTGGGACATGGGGTACACGGCTTCCGGCAAATAGTTCCGATGCGTCGTCGACCGTTGCGGCAGCGTCGGCTTCCGGAAGTGCTCGGCCCAGACCTGGCCCGCGTAGAAGCGACGCGAAGGGAGCGAGCCCGTGGTCATCGCCTCCAATAATCTTTCAACGTCCACGAGGACGTCGTCGTCGCAGAGCATGACGTAGGACGCCGATGGATATTGAGTGAAGGCGTACGACGCGAAGGCCTTGGTCTTCGGCACGAGCGACTTGTAGCCGTCTTCGAGGTCCAGAAAAGGTGGTATGAGGACGTCGTTGTAGACTTCGAGTTCCCTCTGTAACGCTCGGGCGACGTAGGGGTCCTCGGCGCGTCCTATGACGAACCTCACGACCAGCGAGCCGTCGGCCGGCGCGTCACTCAGCCAGGTCCGGCGCATCGCGTCGCGCTGCGAGATGGCCGATGCCGCGCACTTGACTCCAACAATAAGTAGAGGCTTCTCCACTCGTGACAAGGCCCACGGGTACTGTGGAAGGGACCACGGGAGAGGGCCCTGCCCGCGCCACCACCGATAGAGAGGCTCATCCATCATACGTTGCTCATCAGCGAGCTCGACTAACCGCCTACCTTCAGTGGTCTGGTTGACGTGTTCTACGACCGTCCACCGGCACAGCGTCGTGCCGTACGTGAGAAGCTCCCTCCGCGTCGCGACATCCACTAAATCACAAGCCAGTTCATGCAGACCGAGAGATAACTTGGGAGGTAACGTGATGCGCGTGCTTCCAATTTCGTCGCAGCCCAGGTCCATCCCATCCAACCGGCAACAGAGCTCCGCGTACCGCCCGACCGACTCCATGAAGCTCGCATGATCATCTACCCACAAATCGATCTCCGGCTCGACGTTGGGCAGCGTTTCCGAGTTGTTCCGCGGGATGCGGAAGCCGAGACTGACGTCGCCGGGCTTGTGCTCGACGGGGCCCGTGAAGCGGTCGCTCACGGCCCACTCGCGGGCGGCTGCGACGGTGGTGAGGCACCACCAGAGTGCTATGCGGGCAGCCATGTATCGCTGCGGTCGCGACGGCAGCGGTCTCGGGCAGCAGCGGTCGTACTTGATGGGTCACCTCCGCGGCGGCATCGCTGCGCTCGCTGCCGTTCGGCCGAGGCTGGAGGGCTGAGGCTGAGGCGCTTTGCAGAGCGCCGTCGCGGCGGCCGGCTTGGAGACGCACCAGCCGTCCCCAGCGCGTCGTCGCGGTGCCGCATCGCTCCGGAGGCCTCTGGTTTCGCAGCGGCACTTGGCGCGGGTTCGGCTCTAGCTCTGCAGCGCATTTGAGCACAGAGAGTCGTGCGGCGCTGCGGCAGCCCGGGAGCCCCGGCACGCGCCACACGCGCTCCATTCTTGCCCGCCGTGCTGCCCGCACAAGCGGTGCAGCCCCAACACCGGGCCGGGACCGCACAAGCCCAGCAGCCACCACAGCGCCCGGCGCCGCTCCAGGACCTCGGCTGCAACCAAACAACATCTAAACAACCCACAGCGCCGCAAAATGAAGGACCGCACCCTCCAAGCCGAGCTCTGGCAAGACGCCCCACCCTATGCAGACGCCCAACCCCTCGGAAGCGACCGGTCGCGCTTCTCGGACCACAGCATGGTAAGCCCCGTCATGCGCCGGACCCAGCGCGAAAAGCGAGAACGATATATAAACCCAAAACATCCCATGCCGAAGGGCTACGACAAGGCCGACATCTATCCCTCCACCATCCTAGAAAGGGACGACTACCAAGAAGCGTGCGACGTGGTCCAGAACTACTTAGTGATGGAGGCGATGAGAAGGGCACCGCTCGCAAGATCGAGTGAGGACATTGCCATTATCATGGCTTTTCTCTATGAGGTCTGGCCGAAAACCAGAGAATTGGGTGGGGAGTGCACGCGACGAGTCGCGCGGATGGCTTGCTTACGAAAATTTGCGCAACGGCAATTGGTTGTACGGGAAGGCGACGTCGGGGCCACGTTCTACATTGTGGTGAATGGGGAAGCTGCCGTGATCAAGGGTGGCTTGTTGACGGGCGAGCACGAACTACGAGGGGGCACGAAGGTCGCTTCTCTGAGGGTCGGTGATTCGTTCGGCGAGGCAGCTCTAGATGAAGGCGCGTCGCCTCGAAACGCTACCGTGATGGCCACGTCAGAGTTCCTGGAATTACTAGAGTTGAGAAAAACGGAATACGACGAGCTCCTCAAGACCTACAGGGAAGGGGAAGTGCGACGAGCGTATTTTTTACTGCGAAATACGCCCCTGTTCATGACCTGGGCGAAGCGGCGAGTGCAGCGCATCTGTCAACTAGTAAGAAGGCTGGAGATCAAGAAGGGTACCGTTATAGTTACACAAGGGGATGTGGCCCATGATATTTTCTTCATCTTGGACGGGGAATGTGCCGTGGTCAAGGACGTCGTGCGCCAGGGCATCAACCGGTGGCCTACCTCTATCAATACGTGGGAGACGGTCGGTCGAAGTAGCCACGAATTAGTACCGCAGAAGCCCATAAAAAAAGGGCGAGTGCTTCGGGGAACTGGCGTTTGCTAATAGAGGTCTGAGGACGGCCACCGTGTCGGCCGTGACCGATTGTACGCTCCTAGCTTTGGACAAGGTCGAGTTCGAACGAGTGATTAGTGACGGGCGGACGGGCGGCCGACGACTAACGGTAGCTCAGCGGTTCTTGCAGCCCAATGATGAAGAACTCAATAACATGCTGCGCTCTATTAAAGGAGAGGGGCCCATCCGCTTGGTACCTTCCATACGGTTGAGTGAAGAAGATAGCGTGAGGGAGGCCGAATTAGCGTCGATGTCGTCGAAGGATCCTCTATATAAATTCGAGAAGATCCTCGAGAAGAAGCGCCTGAAGGAACTGGAGCCCGAGAAGCTGATTTCTCCGGTGCGGCGGCCGCGTGTTAGACGACCCGTGACGGCGTCCGCGTCTGTTGATACTCGATGTAGGAGGCGGAAAAATGGAAGCGCTAGAAATGTCGAGGGGAACCCTTCCGTCTTCTCGGCGCCGGCGGCCATCTGGGACGACCCGCGCGGGCGGCGGCCGTCGACGGCGGGCGCGGACTTCATGGACATGAGCCTGATCCGGGGGATGTCGCGGGGCGACCACTTGAATAGACGAAGGCGGTTCGCCGTGACGTCGTACGAGAAGGGGGCGGCGTTAGAAATTTAGTTATGAAATTCTTACGCGCTCGGGGGCGGCGTCTCGCGGGCGCGGAGGACGGCTCGCGAGATTCGCAGATGTTGCTCAATCCCCACTACGAGCGGGTGCGCGCCGCCGAGCACGCGCCGCGCGGTTCGAACCGTGTCCTCGAGCGTCGTCACGGCCTCGCGGAGATCGTCGAGTGAGGCCGCGGGGTCTCTGTAGAGCGCCATCGCGTAATTCCGCCTCATATAGATCGTGTGATCATGCATATCCCCGAGGACGCGTCGCGCCACGGGCAGCGTTTTGCGAAGCAACGACATGGCTTCTTCGAGACTGAGGAGGTGGAGGAGGTGGAGTCATTTTTTTCTCAACTTCTTTTTTTAATCCTGCTAAAATTATAGGAACAGTCTGCATTTACGTCTAGTTGATATTTGTGAAATCTCACAGGATAACCTTCGGTGCCGTATGCTACGACAAGGTTGTTTGGTAGTTTTCTCTTAACTTTAAAAGTTACACACTTTGGTAAATATGATAAATTCTTATAAGGTCAAGATTTTGACGGACGAGGTCGAGGCGAATAATTTGGGCGACGAGGCGTTCGATGAGAGGTGGAAACGGTGGTACTCGTGTAGTCTGTGCGAACAAAATTACCACGGCGTCGTGCGGGGCGCGCTCGGGTGGGCTTGCTGGAAGACGTACTTGGGACGGCCGGATTCGGACCAAGATCGGCGCATGGCGATGGTGCAGCTTGGGAACAGTTTGTCCGCCGCGGGCCACCACGAGGACGCGTTGGCCGTGAAACAGGCCCACTTGTCTACGGAGCGGCGCCTTGGCGCATCGGAACGTAACATTCTCGCCGCGCAGGGCAATCTTGCGAATACGTATCATATGCTTGGACGGCACGAAGAGGCTCTGCGCGTACGGCGAGAGGTCTACGCCCAACGCTTGAAGCTATCAGGTAAGGAACATGTAGAAACCATTAGAGAAGCGCTCTGCTACGCTCTTGTGCTCATCGCCTCTCGTCGTTTCAACGATGCCAAGACACTGACGCGCAAAACAATCCCCGTGGCGCGACGCGTTCTCGGAAATTCGCATGAATATACGCTCAGAATGAGGTCGAGTTACGCGCGGGCGCTCTACGAGGACGACGGCGCCACGCTCGAAGATCTCCGCGAGGCCGTGGAGACGCTCGAGGACGCGGAACGGATCGCGCGGCGCGTGCTCGGTGGTGTGCATCCGATCACAGAGGCGTTTGAGGATAATTTGCAAGACGCTCGAGACGCGCTCCGCGACCGGGAAGAAACTCGGGACGCGTTTCGGACGGCGCGCGCGAAACTCGCCCAAGAGCGGGCGGAGCTCGCCAAGACGCTCGCCGACGCGATTGCGAGGCTGCCTAAATGAACTCAGAAATTCTCCCAAAAACTTACGCGGACAGCGCTCCCCGCATGATCCGCGCGATCCGCTCCGTCTCGGCCGCCGCGAAGCGCGGGTCGCGGTAGCGCCGGCCGGAGGACGTCGACGAGGCCCCCGAGTCCGAGGGCTGCTCGTCCGCGTGCCGCACCAGGTCCGCGCGCGCCGCCCGCAACTCGTCCTCGGCCGCGTGGACCTCGTCATTTATCGCGGCGAGGCGCGTCGGTTGCACAGCCTTCGCCGCTTCCTCGGCCGCCGCCGCGGCCGCCTGCGCCGCGAGGGCCGCGCTCGCCTCGGCGCGTTCTTTGGCCTCGTTCTCCGCATTTAAACGATGCTGCGCTTCCCGCTGTTCTAGTAACGACGTCCGTTCCTCAAGTTTCCGCCGTTCTTCCGCGGCCTTGCGCAATTCTGCAGCTAACGCCTCCCGTTCCGCGGCGGCTCGTTGGAGTTCTTGCGACGCCGCCGCGCGCTCCGCGGCGAGAGCCGCCGCGTCCGCGTCGTATTTCTTCCTTAAAGATTCCGCCAGGGCGTTCGTCGCGTGCGCGACCCTTTGGGGCGACTCCGGTTCTTCGGGCGACGGCGGCGCGTCAGACCAGGCGTCGTCTTCTTCTTCCTCCTGGGGCCGCTCCCAGGGCGGCGGCGCCAAAAAGCCCGGCGACTGGGCGACGGCCTCGACCTCGATATCATCATCATTATCGTCCTCCGATGATTCAGATGCCTCCTGCCCAAAGGTCAGCAGCCTCCCTCCCAAGTTCTCCAGGGACCGCAGCATGCTGCCCAGATCGCCGAGTCGTCTAGCCTCCTCCCCAACCGCAGCTTCGAGCGCGTGGGCTCGTCGCCTCAAAGCTTCGCTCCGCTCGTGTTCCCTTTGACGGGCGAAGGCGTCGGGCGAGTCCGAGCGCGGGTCCGGCGGCAGTTGCACCTCCTGCGACGGCGTCGGCGGCGGCAGGGATGCCTCCTCTTCCTCAGACACGGTTCCGATCTTCACGGTTAAGACACCTTTCTCCCGGCAGAAATCATCGGACAACCGATACGCGCCGTCGACGCAGGACAAGCCGCAGGCCAGCATTCCCAAATCCACCGTCGTCTTTCCAACGATCGACGCCGTCGGCCGGTTGGCCTCGCCCTGGAGGACCTCGAACACTACCGATGATGTCGCTAATCTACGAGTAGGGATCTTGGCGACGGCCGCCCAACCCCCGAAATCGACAGATGAAGCACCGGCGACGGGCGGCGTCGCGTAGTCGTTGCCGTCCACTTTCCACGCCACGGTCCACCTCCAGTCCTCGTTAGGCAAGCCCTCGACCTTCTCGATGGCTATGCGCACTGAAGTATTTTCATCCGTATATATGGAAGGTTCCGTCGACGGTAAGATAGCCGGTTGCAAAGCTTGGCGCATGATGGCCGTCAAGCGGTCCGCATCGAGCGACGTCGCGGCGTCGGCCATGGTCGGTGGCGGAGGCGCCGCGACCGGTGCTGGTGGTGCCGCGACGGGCGAGGCAGGCGCGACGGGCGACAATGGTGGAGCGACGTCAGACGTGTACGCCGCACGCACGCGGAGCGCGCCTCGGTAGTTGCCATCACCACTGATGCGCACCCAGCCGTCGATCGGCAGCGAAGCTCGCCCGGAAGCGATGGGCACTCCCAACGGCCCGTCCACCGCCGCGGACGCCGCGCCCGCGCGGACATCTACTAGTCGGATAGCAAAGTCCAGCGACGCCGCGGCATCGATCGATACTGACCTCTGAGGTAACAACACGGTCGAATCCAGCACGTCGTTCTCCTCGTCCGCTCCTGAAAAAGAGAACGACGGCGACGTCATGGTCGCCAGCAGTTCGTCGTTCGCATCTAGAACGCGCACTTCGAGATCGGCCGCGTACGTCACGTGAGCGGTCTCCTCGAGGGGGAACGTGCCAGAGCCGCGGCCCTGCGTGCGCCAGGCCCGTAGCACGGCTCCTAGACCTCTAGCGCCGCTCACCGTGAGCGAGAGGGTCTCGTCATTGTTGTCGTCGCGGGGCGCCGGAGCCTCGTCCTGCAGGAAGGCGCGCCGCGCGCGCACGATGACCGTGGGCTCCTCCTCCTCCTCGACCAATGATTCTTCCGCTACCGTCAGAGACTCGCGCGACGCCCGCACCCTAGCGACGGCGTCCGGCTCGCGCCTGTAGCCAAAAGTCAAGGGTAAAGTGAATGGTGTACTTTGACCTCGTCTCGTCAAAGGCAACGTACAAGCAAAGTCCCGCACGTCCCTCCGCACTAGTGCTTTCACGTCCCTGATAGGTAATCGAGCAACATATGCATCGCCCTCGACCTCAACACTAAAGTCAACACCAGACGACCCATCCCCGACCAGACAGCGCACGGCAGCCACCTCTACTGACGCAAGAGGCGTCGAGAAGTCGTGGCGCAACCTAGAGTTCAGTCTCGCACTATCTGAATCCCACCAGAGCTCCTGGTCCGCGTTCGCCAGGCGATACGTCACCGACGCCCCCGAGTCCGTCGGCAACGAACACTCGCCCGTCAGGGACACTTCGAGCGTGTGCTGGACGACGCCCTGGATGGGTATCGACTCCGCGAGATTGCCTTCTTCCTCCTCGGGGGCGAAGAACTCCTCGTCGACGGCCCTCGAGAGCGGTTCCGTGGCACCGTCGTCGAATAACCCTCGATGGGCTCGTCGAGAAGCTCTTCCCCGGTGGTTCGCTTGGAGGAGCCGCGCCGCGTCGTACGTGCGCGCGTCGTCTAGGTGGCGTAGCTGTGTAGGTGTTCCTACAGCTAATGAGACTTGGATGGTCCCTTTCTTCTGTGCGGATAACGGGTCCACGATATCAATACTTGAATCTGATACTAACGCTCGCGATTCGTCGATTAACCAGTCATCAACACGAGAAAAGGCCGTCTCCGTTAGCCGGTGGGCCCGGCTGACTCGTCGCGACGCGGCCTGCACTTTTGATGAGAGTTGGGAGAGAGGTACCTTCGCGACGCCTACTAGACTATCGGTCACTCCATCGTAACTTTTGCACCACACTTCTACTATTTGTAAAGCGTTGAAGGAGCACGACGTCGAGTAAGGGGAACTGCAGTCATACGCAAAGGCGTACACACTTCGGGAACCCTGCCGCTCTCCCGCGACGTAGTCGCTCCCGTACTTGCCGTCGCGTCTCCTGTAGGAGCGGTCTACAGAATTAGGCAGGGCCCAGTGGTGCGCGACGCGCGCCGCGGACGACGCGGCGGCCGTCTCCCGGTTGAGCAACCCGCTCCGCACGCGCAGCAGACATCGCAGCTGCCGCGGGTCTAGAGGTTCTTGAACAACAGGCGTCGTGAATGCCTCCACCACAGGTTGTTCTTGTGGAGGCGGCGGCGGCGGCGCCTCGACAACTTGTTGTGGAGACGGCGCGATGGCCCGCTGGATCTCCGGATCTCTCAAAAGTTCATCAACTAACGCGTCGTCCTCGTGAGCTAAGTACTCAGCGGCGTCGTCCTCGACGTCCGCGGCGAGGGCCTGGGCCCTTCGTTCCAGAGCTTCTAGAGGGGCTGATGAAGGGAAGGTCGTGGCGAGGGGCGCCGTGACGCCACCGCCCTCTAGAGCGGGCGCCGGGGGGACGCCTTCCGCCGCCGGCGCCGGAGCCTCCTCGGCGGGCGCCTTGCCGATTTGCGATGATGGCGGCGGTTCGGGCGGCTTGGTGCTTTCTGTTGCTGCTATCAATTCGTCATCTAGAAATGCGGCGACGGCGGCGCCGTCGTCTTTGAGGCCCGAGGCGTGCTCGACTTGTAAGACATGTTCTCTCAGCGCTTCGCCCCTTCTTAACAACGCTTCGAGCGTCGCCGGTGGTGCCTCTTGCATGTCGTGGCGCGCGACGGCCGTCTTCGACGAAGGCGGCGTCGTGCGCTCGTCGATGGTCGTGAGCTCGTCGCCCGGCGCGCCGAAGGCCGCGGGCGACGCCGCCGAGGCCGCCGTAGACGGCCCGCCGAAGGTTTCCGGCGACGCCGCCGAGCCCCCGGGTCCGCCGAAGGCCGCGGCCACGGCGGAACCCACGGCGGAGCCCGCCGAGGATGGGCCACCAAACACTGATGCTGGAGTCGTCTCCGTAGTCGATGGCCCCGCGAAGACCGACGCCGGCTCGTTGGACAAACCGCCCGTCTTGTGCTCTTCCGGAGCGCCCCAGGGGTTCTCTTCCGACTGCCTCATCTTGTAGACCTGTTCCGGTGAAGGTTGTTTCCTACGAACGCCTGCTTTGCCCACCGGCATCGCTTCGCCGAGCGCCTCCGGGTCCCTATAAAAGCGGTTCCCCGCACTCGCGAGCCGCCCTTCCATCGTGTCTTTGTGGTCTGTTGTAGGAGGTAGATCGACGGACTGCTTGAGGGCGCCTTGGACGGTCGTCGCGTTTTTCACCTTGGAAGCCTTGCCCATCCTGGCCACGACCTTGACGCGCACCGAGCCGAGCTGCTTTCTGGGAGGTCGTCGCGCCAATTGAGCTGGTGTCAGTCCGATCTCCTGGATCTGGGCTGCACTGAACCTTGCATCGACCAGTGACTTCTCGCCGTCATCTTGAATAGCACCGACGGGCGCCTTGGACAGAGGGACTTTCAGGGCGCCCACGACGCGGCCATGGGCCACGACGTCGAACCTCAGCACTCGAGCGTCCTTGAGATATCGGCCTAGTCCCGCGCCGTCGACGCGACTCGGAAACAGGCACTGCGCCTTGCCCCTTTTCTGGTTCTTGCGCGTCACGTCGAAGGCCACGCCTCCACTCTGATCGCCCTCGCCCCACCACCTTAGGACCAGGGTCAAGCCCTCCGCGCCTCGTAGCTCGGAGACGCGCACGTCCAATTCGCCGCGCGTGGCGCCTTCGATCCTCGGCGGCAGGGACGCGCCGACCCTATCTTCGCTCGTCGTGGGCTTGGCGTTCGTCTTCTCGCGCAGCGGCGGCATCGTATTTAATTTTTTTATTTAAGCGCCTGAGAGCGCGCCCTCGGTTACAAGCTTTCGAGGGCGTGTGGCCAGCTCGCACGCCGTCACCGCGGCTGTGAAGGCGTCCACGCAGCGGTCCGCGACCTCTCGTGTCACGCCGAAGCGGCAGCAGAGCCGTAAACTGGCTGGCGCGCGACTCTGTTTTTGTGCCTGTAACACACTAGCCTAGCATTTTTCTAGCAGCGATCAGCGTTGGAGTAGTGCGCGGGAGCCCTCTATGCTAGTCTGATGAGTCACCGCGCTGAGACGGGCCGATCGCCAGCTCCCGGGGGCTGACGCGCGGCCGTGGTGGCGGCGCGTCCGTCGAGGACTACCCAGCCCGACGCCATCGACGCAATAACGAGAAAACTAGTTACCCCCCAACCACCCAACTCACGCCTCGACCTCGCCCTTGGCCTGCCGCCTTCTAACCACATCATGGTTGAAGACGCGCGCGATGTTCACCTCGACGGTGATGATCTGGTCGCGCACCATGTCCAGGTCCTCCTCGCAGATGTCTCTCCTCAGACAAGCATTCTTCAGAGATAACTCCAAGATAGATATAGCTTCATCGTAGGGATACTCGACCATGACGTTCGCACCGAGCCATAGACACACGGTCCCGTCGGGCGTGACTTTGGCGCGACCATAGAGCATTTCCGAGAGAGAATAATGAGCACCGAAGTCTTCTGAGGCTTCGTGTTTCTCCTGGATGTGTCTCACTAATTGTAGTGTTCTTTTAATCTCGGGGATTTTCAGCTTCATGGAGGCCTTCGTTCGCGCTTTGTGGCCCTCCAGAATCTTGAACTTCTGGTGGAGCTCGTTCATGGCTCCTATCAGCTTCTCAACAGTGCCATCTGTGGTCGTAGCCAGCGTGCCTTCAACGCTATCGATGAACGCCACGTAGGGTATACCTCTAGCGTTCTTCTCCCCGGACAAGATCGTGGCCATCTTGATGTTCTTGAACTGCTCGCTGGCATCTTCCGTCGCCGCGGAGTTTTTATCGAGGGTGGTCTCCGCGTCGCCCTTGGACTCCTCGGCCATGGCTGCGGTTTAGTGTGGGGCGCTGCACCGGCTGTGCTATTTAGGGTGCTGCGGGCGCGTGGCGCTGCACCGTCGCGCCGCGCGTGTTAAGAAGTCGCGGCGGCGGCGAGACAGCCCTTTTCCTTTGCACGGTGGCGTTGCGCGCGGCAACTGCGTATGGCCTTGTGTGTATGAGTGGCGTTGTCTTGGCAGCTCTTGCACGTGGAATGCTGCAGGGCGTGCCGCAATGGGCGCGGGCAAAACTTGTCCAGGATGCCTAGTGTCTTACATGCCGCTAGCAACTGGACTACTCGGCGCGCGTCTACGAGCAACATTGGATCGTGCGAGCAGCTGAACGAGGTCTGAGTCGGCGACTGGTATTCCTGCTGCAGCTGCGGCGAGCCGTGCGAGTCCTGCTGCGGCCGAGTGGACAGGCTGCAGGAGAGCACCCTACCGCCATTCGTGCGGCCTGTACCCGTGCAGTCGTTAGTCATCGCAGGGACGGGGGGCATCAACGCAAGCAAGCCGGCGCAGTCGTAGAAATGTGGGACGACACCGCCGACATGCCCTTCGAGCAGCGCTTCATCGCGCACAGGACCGTGCCCGTCGGCCCCGCGGCGCTGGAGTTGGAGCAAACACCACCAACACTGGGCGGCACAGATCCATTAGGCACGGCCTGCACGGTGTGGAAGGGCGGCGAGCGGCTCGTGGAACTCTTGCAGTCGCGCCGGGAGCTCGTCGCCGGCAAACGCATCGTCGAGCTGGGAAGCGGGACGGGCATCGCCGGCCTCGCGTGCGCGGCGCTCGGCGCCGCCCGCGTCGTGCTCACAGATCTGCCAGAAAACCTCGCCCTCCTCCGACGCAACGCGACGCGCAACGGCTGGGTCCAGTCCCTGTGTGGGTGCGACGTGTCGGTGGCGGCCCTCGATTGGAATACGGATGCCCTGCCGGCCTGCGATCTCGTGCTGGGCGCTGACGTCTGCTACCACCAGGACAGTGTACAGGCGCTGTGTTCGTTGGTGGACGCGGCGATCGCGGCCGGCTCCACCGCTCTCCTCGCGTGCGAGCGGCACGAGCCAATAGCCTACGCCTCCCTTGCCGCCGCGCTGCGGAGGCACGCCGTCGAGGTCCTCCTCCGCGACGATGGGGGAATGAGGCGCTTCGAGGTGCTGCTCGTGCGGCCCTCGGGGCGGGAGCGTGTCGCCATGGACTCTCATCCGCTCGCGGCGCCGCCCAAGACAGTCGCCGTCGACGCGAGCCGCCCCGACTGGGCCTCGCACTGGGCGCACGTAGCCGCCGCGCCCGACGACGGCCGCCTCGAGGCCGTCTGGGCGCGCGGCGACCGCGTGGAGAGCCTGCAGCTCGTCGCGGACGAGGTCGCGGGGATGGCGGCGACGGCTCAAGACTTCGTGTCGGCCGTGCGGACGCTTGATACCTTCGCCGCATTGGTCCTCGCGCGCTTGCGGGAAAAAGAAAAGGACCAGCGCGCGACGCCGACGGCGCGCGACACGCACGGGAATTGGATGGCGAAGGTCCACGCGCTGCGGCTCCTCGCGCCGCGGTTCTATGTGGAAAGTGCGCTACTGGGCTGTTGCGAGTTCGGCGACGAGGCCGTCGACGCCGTCGCGGCGCGGCTCGCGAGGGTTGCCCGCGGCTTCGGCGACGCGTCCCGGGGCGCGTTCGCGCGGTGTTACCTCAGCAAGTGCGCCCTGGCCGCGGGCGCGGACCGCGGCGTCCTGGCGGCGCTGCGCGACGACGTGGCCGGCGGCGACGGGCCGGCCGTCGCGTGGATTTTGAAGGCTGCTGGCGGCGGGGCGCCTGTGTAGGTTTGTTTGTAGTACAAGTACAGTATTGTGGTTGGGTATGGACTCGGAGGGCCGCACAGGGTTCTTGTCGGATGCCTACGCCTCGACTTCCAATGCACTCACCGAGAGACGAGAGAAGTCCTGAGGCACCCTCGTCGCTGGCGGAGCACCCTCGTCGCTGGCGGAGGCTGCTGCATGTGTGGAAGCGACTCGGAGCATTGAAATCTTAAAACCCCCCTCCCCCCCCTGGATCAGATCCCCAGTAAGGGTCCCGGGGTTTGCATAAATAATCCGTGCAGACGGGGATGTCTGGGCCTTGGTACCGATTTCCATTTGGATCAATGTATAATAAGCGTTCGTCGCAACGGCACTGCCCGCATATAAAACAAGGGGTACACGAGCAGCAGAAGAGGATCGCGTAACACCAAGTATATTTGCCACAGTGTTTTTCTGTCTCAACACGCCCTCCAGGTGCTGCACCTTTTGCAGCAGCCCAATCGGGAGCTGCATCTGTTGGCCCCATCGTCGGCTGGTCAATTGGCACGACGCTCCTTTTTTTTGTCGCGGGACCATGGTATTGTAATGTTGGCGCCGTCGTCGGCTGGTCAATTGGCCCGAGGCGCCGGACGACCCTTGTCGCGCCGCTCGCGACGTTGACCTGAATGATCTTGGTAGAAGGCGGCCGCGGCATTTTCTTGCTCCGCGCGCTGTCGCCGAACCGTATTTCAAATTCTCTGAATCCAACCGGGTTCAGGGGCATCGTGAGGTGAACCCTACACCCGTTCGCGCGGTAGGCGCGCTCTATTTTGTCATTTTCCATGTGGGAAAACGGGTGCCATTCGTTGTTCGCATCTCTGTGTTCGTATTGTGCCATTTTCTTTTTTTTAATTTGCGGCGTACGGCTGCTCTGCGCAGTGTCTTCTCCCTAGGCTTTCCGGTCTGGTCGACTGCTTTGGCAAATCATTGCCAGTGAGGCTGAGGAAGCTGGGGGGGGGGACTCGAGCGCATCGGGCGGCCGAGCTCGTCGCGTGGTGCCGCTGGGGCAGCTTCGGATATGCAGCGCACTGCAAAATCCGCGCTCAAGCTAGTGGCTTACCACCGCTAGCTCGGCTCTGCTTGCAACTTGCGCGCGCAGCCGCCCTGCATGCACACAGCTGGCCAAAGCGGTATTAAACGCGACGATTTACTTGCGGCAGATACGCTCTTGTGAAAAAAGGGCGGCAGTTACGCACAGCAAGCTTCTCCGACTGTGAGAGCACACCTTGACTGACGCCGTCGCACGCCGCCGCAGCAAGAGATGCACAGTCCGCTCCTCCTCGCCCTCGCAACCTGCAACGCGCTGCAGGGCAGCACGCGCCCGCCGATGCGGCTGCAGAGCAGCACGCGCCCGCCGACGCTTCTAAGAGCGCGGCCCGACGACTGCCCCGAGGAGGTCTGGGAACGGATTGTGGAGGCGGAGCAGAAATCAAGAGAAAAGAAGGGCCAGATCGGCGCGGCGCTCTGGGGCCTCGACAAAAACGCGATCGAGCAGAATCAATTGCGGATCTGGGAGGAGTTAAGGGAAAGGCAGGCGAGCGGCGCGAAGCCGCCGAAGCGGACGGAGCAACCGGAGACGCCGCCGAGCAACAACAACCCCTTCGCCGGCGTCATGAAGGCGTTCAAGGACGTCTACGACGAGGCCGACGCCATGGGCTACGCGCAGGCCGTCGCGCTGAACAAACAACTGGAAGACAAAGGAGTGCTGTCGAAGGCGAAGCGGAAAGATGACGATGATGTTCAAATACCAGAGGAGCGCGTCGTGTTCGAGGAGCCGGCGCGGAAGACGGTCAAACGGAAACGGGGGAAGGGCGCGAAGCCAAAAAGCCGCAAGGGGGCGGGGTTTAGTTAATATAGTCTTACCCGAACAACAGCCACAGCAAGGTCGCCCGCCACCTCTCCTTGAATGGTAGAAGGCTCCTTCCGTCAACGTCGACGCCGCGCGCGCTCCAGTAGCTCCTTCCATAACTCGCGAAGATCTCCTCGCCCTCTACAATATCGCGCAGCGCGACGACGCGCGCGGAGCGCGTCTTCCTTGATTTGTCGAAGCGCGCGTTGAGCCTCGTGGGATCGAAGGCGTCGTTCACGTACCGCCCCGGCATCGCAAATGCCTTACTGGCGTCGACGTGGGCGTTCGGCCCGAAGCCGCCCATCAGGTAGTCGCGGTCCTTCAGTTGTAAAGCCTCCCTTAACGTCAGGACCTCGCCTCTATAAAAACCGATCGTCTCGTCCGCGGCGATGCGCTCCGTCGCGAAGAGGCCCTCGCCGGCGCCTTTAACGGTCGACGGCGCGACGCGCAGCCGGCGCCAGGCCGGGCCCACCCTATACTCCGCCTCGCGCGCCCGCTGGCGCCGCCGTCGTTTTCGTTGGCGGTAGGCCCGGGCGAGCCGCGCGGCGACGGCGGCACCGGCGAGGGCGTACGCAGCGGTGCGCAGCTTGCGGAGCGGCATTTGAGGAATTGATTAGCACTTGTTTAGTCCTGCTGCATTTGAGCGCTCTCCAAGTGTGCTAGGCTAGTTGTGGCTGCTCGGCTGCTCAGGGTTGGTGCTACGTCAGTGCAAGCTATGAACGCTTCAGGGCACGCAGCAGGGAAGCCGTGCAGTATGAAATCGATGCAAATGCTGCAAAATTCAAGCTCTACGAGCGTCAAAAGAGCGGCAGCCAAGCTGGGCTAGCGGCTTGTAAGACACTAGGCAAACAAGCGCGAGATACGTGCGTGGCCGCCGCGAACCCTCCCGGCGCCGCCGGCGAGCGATTCATGCTGCCCCGCGACTTGCTAGGCCAGACCGCGACACAGCGCCGCCTGCGAGCCTCTCCGTGCCTGGGTTGGGAGCGCTGAAACGCTGCCCAACGCAAAGCGCGAGGGAGCGTGCGTAAAACCAACCAACAGGACCAAGCAGCGCCGCACGCGCCGTAGCAGGCGCCGGTAAAAAAACACTGTAAGCAAGGGAGCCCCGGCATTCATGGCCACCTACGGCCCGAGGGAGCTGGCCGAGGAGGTGGGAGCTGTGACAGGCTTGGGTGCGGAGAAGACGCGACGGCTGTGGTCCGCCGTCGGCCGCCTCGCGGACGGCACGCTCGCCGCGGGCAAAGGCCTGTCCATACCGGGACTCGGGAGGTGGACTTACTTGAGAACCTCCAACGTCCACGAGGAATTTGGGATTAGGAAACCCTTGTTTACGGCGGACCCCCAGTTCTTGCGAATCAACGGCCTCGCGCCGAACGAGCCGCCCCGGTCGCAGCTCGTCGCGCCTTGTGCTGCGTTGAATTGTTTTGCCGCGGCGGCGAACGCCGGTTTGTCGAAGGACGAGGCCAAGGCTACTGTCGCTGCTGTGGCTAGATATGTAGGAGCGGCGGCAGCTTTAGGGCGGAAGGTGCGCCTGCCCATCGGATCTATAGGGGAACTGCGCTGCGATGCTCGGGTGGTCCGCTTCGTGTATGGGGCACGGGCGCCTCAACCTACACAAGTCTCCAAAGCACCTATTGAAGTAGCACCATCGACGGCGCGACTCTCGACGGGCCGCTCGGACCACCTCTCGACCGTCCGGTCGGCTCGGTCGACCGCGCGCTCACAGCCGGCGACGGCGCGGTCCCAGCCGCCGGCGACGGCGCGCTCCACCGCCCGCAGCCGCGCGGCGGTGACGGCGCGGTCGGCCCTCGCCTCGTCTCGGTTGAGTGCGCGCCAGAAAGGGAGCTATGAAGATTTGACGCCGGGCCGCAAACCCGAACCGAGACAAGTATTAGGAATACTCGATCAGCTATTAGCACCAATGGGCCGCGACGACGCTATTAAACCTTTACTAAAGACCGCGAGGCGCCAGAACGTCGCCCAGCAGTACGACGCCTACGAGCGCGCTCTCCAGAACGCCCACAAAAAAACCGAGTATGAAGAGCGGGAAATGGTTCGGGTGAGAGACGAGGACCGAAGGAGGCAGGCCGCGCGTATGGCCGCCCATCATACGTTAGAGTTGGAAAATGCCCAAAACGTGCTCTTGCAAGCCGACGAGGCCCGCGCCAGAAAGGCCCTGGATCGCGTGTCAGAACCCTGGACCATGGCGGAAGCCACCAAAGCGTTTCCGTTCCTGAACTACGTGCCGGACCACATTGGGAAGCGGAAGAAGGCTGCTGAGTATGACAAGGAACTGAGTGGGCAGGTGAGAGCAGCAGAGGAGCATCAGAGAAAGGCCAAGGCCCACGAACGCGCGGCCGACGCTCGAGCGTTGGCCACGTCCATGGCTTTGGTTGCCCGCGACCGGGAAGCGCGGCGGTTGATCCACGAGGCCGCGCACGGTGAGCTCGCCGCGGATTGGCGCCGGTCCATGGATTTGACCGAGTTGAAAAAGGGCGTGACGAAGAATGGCAGTCTGATCCAGGGGCACTAACTAAGTATTTGCCCTACCGTCCTTGTTCCAGCCCCTTCCTCTCGTCGCCCCCGGCCATTGTGACGGGTTTTTCGCCAGCGTGATTTGCAAATTTGGCCCCAAAAAGCGGCTTGCCGGTTCGCATGCATTGTCAGCATCTAGCTGAGTGACCACTGCGACCGTACGCTGCGCTGGAAAGCGTTCTGCGGCAATACTCAGCGAGTGCTCTCTCAAACTAAGGAGCATGGTTGATGCCGTGAAGCTGCTGCGGCAAGCGCGCCGTCGGAGTTCTGCGGCAGCGACTCCGTCACCAGTCACGCCATCGATGCGACCAATAGAGTCGCCAACGCTCTGGCTGCGGCCATTCCCGCTGGACGGTGGCGACGAGCTGCGCATCTGGGAGGACCCGCGCGGCACGCTCGCCGGCGGCAACGGTGCCACATGCTGGGACTCTGCGCTGGCGTTCGCCGAAGCGGTCTGCAGCCGCGGCGACGACTCGCTCGCCGCCACGACCGACTGGCGCGGCCTCCGCGTGCTGGAGCTGGGCAGCGGCTGCGGGCTCGTCGCACTCGCGCTCGCGTGTCGAGGCGCGCACGTCGTCGCCACGGAGCGCGCCATCGCGCTGCCCCTGCTCGCAAAGAATGTAGAGGCGAACGCGGCGATTGTCAAAAAGAGTGGGGGGACGATCGAGTCGGCGGCGTTAGATTGGACCGCGCCCGATCCCCGAGTGCTCGGTCGCGGGTACGACGCGATCGTCGGCGCGGACCTGTGCTTCGCGGCGAACGCGGAAGGCGCCGCCGCGCTGGCGCGGGTCGTCGGCGACGTCCTGGGGCGCGGCACGCCGTTCGGAATTCTGGCGCAGGAGATCCGCGAAAGGGACGAGACGCCCGCAACGTTCCTCGCGGACTTGCGGCGAGGCGGCATGCGGACGCACGAGCGAGCCGTAAATGGCGCGTCCGACGTCCTCTACTACGAATTATTGCCTCGCCCGTCGCTGCCGCACGAGGCGCTCCCGGCGGTCCTGCCCTTCTTGCCGGCCGAGGCGTTGGCGGCGTGTAGTGCGGTCGCGAAGGAGTGGGTCGCGCCCGACGCGCTCTGGAAGGACCGGGTCACCCGCGAGTTTGGGTGTGTAGTGGCTAGCGGGCCCTGGCGGCGACGCTACCTCGACTTGCGGGAGAGCCAGCTGCTCGAGGAGGCGGGGACTTATGCGGGCTTGTGCTAAGTGTTTGTTCGATATATACGATGTTAGGATGGGGGAAGGCTCGAGCTTCGTCTCGAGGCCTGCGCCGGCGCGGCGCGGCTAGTAGCCCTGCGCCGCCACGCCGCCGCCGGGCGTAGTCTTGTGCGAGTGCGGCACGCCGAAGCCCACGTCCTCGCCGCCCGCCCCTGGCATGCCGGCCCCGGGGTTCACCGCCGGGCCGGCGCCGACGCCCGTGGACTCGCCGCCGAAGGGGAAGCCTGGGCCCATCAGAGGCTTGCCGCCGTTGAAGCCTCCTTGGCCAAAAGGCGAGCCCGACTGGCCGAAGACCGAGCCCGACGGACCGAAAATGCCGTTCGTCTCCGTGTGCGGCGTCGGAATCGGTCCGATCTTGGGCGTCGTGATGGGGCCGATGCCGTCGCCCGTCGTCCAGTTGGGGTTCGGGAACGGGTCATTGGCCGGCGTGGTAGGACACGTAGGTATGTCGTTGCTGATGGAGACGCCTTTGTTCAGGTCTTTGCAGCAAATCTGATTGGCATCCCAGTTCCCCGAGTTTGAATACCCGGCCGGGCAGCTACCAAAGACCTGGCAGCAGTTGTCCGTCTGCGTTGGTCCGCCAATAGTGATGGGCTTGTCGCCGGTCTGGACGACGGGGCCGATGGTGGTGGGCGTCGTCGGCGTAGCAGGCGGCGCGGGCGGCGTGGGCGGCGTAGCGCCACCGAGGCCCGGGACGCCCGCCACCCCGGCGACCGGCTTGACCGCCGGCGCGGGCTTGACCACCGGCGCGGGCTTGACCGCCGGCGCGGAGCCGTCGCCGCAGCCGCCGCCGACGCAGCCGCCGGCGGGAACGTCTCCGACGTCGACGTTGTCGATCCCGCCCTCGTTGCTCCACACCTTCGACTCGTCTTTGACGTAGAGCGCGGCGCCGCGGAGGCCTTGGGTCGACGTGCCGACGGAAGCTACGCAGAAGCCGAGCGCGAAGCAGGCCGCCGCCGCCTGCGAGGAGCAGACGTCGCGTCGATGGCGTGGCGCTCGATGCGATGATCCAGCATGTTCAAAGGCACCGGTGCACATGAATTGATTTCCGCGCGCGAGGCCGCACGAGTCCGACGACGACGCCGCGGCGCGAGCCCTTGGTGGCGCCCGCCGCTTCGACGGTGCCGTACGTGGGCTTGTTCTCGTTGAGGCTCATTTTTGTGCTCGTCGCGGCGAGTTTAGTGCAGTTCTATGCTGCAACCTGCAAAATAGAGCGGTTACGGCTAAAAGCGAGCGGCTTTCTGGTGCGCGCTCGATGCGTAGGGGGCGTAGCGCGGCCAGAGAGTCGCGCGCGAATATTTTTATCGCACAGGCATGCGCAGGCAAGTGCCAGACGGACTGGTAATGAAGGCCAAGGCGATTGTGCCGGGAGGCAGGTACCACTCGTCATAACCTCAAAGCACTCCGGAAACGACGGGTGGTACCATAATTTGCGTTGCGGGTGTTTGCCTCGAATGCTAGTGTCTTCATGCCGCTAGTTGATTATGCAGAGCGCAGGCCTTTTGCTCGGCCACGCGCTTTCACGCCGCGGGAGCCGCCAGCAGGATTGACAGCACTCGCAGCTATACCGCTACTCGCGCTGCGCAAGTCCAAGCGACGAATTACACGCGTCCCATCGAAACCACCCAAAGCAGAGCCTGTGAAGCACAGCTAAAACATGGGCAAAGGCGGCGCCGTCCTCACCGTAGGCCGCCCTTTACCCTGGCAAGAAGCAAAAGATAAACTAACATACGTAAGGCAGCACGGCGTCGACCAGTTCATCCAGCACTACCGCAGACACGAGACGAAGCAAAGGGACACGTTGTTGTATGGCGACGAGATCGAGTACGGCCTCTTCAAGCTCTCGAGCGACGGTGCTTCCCTGTCTTTACGAGGTGGTGAAGTGAGAAGTTTACTCTCGAACCGAGAAGCGGAGGAGCGACGGGCGATCCCGGAAAGTGGAAAAGTGACGTGGCACCCGGAGTATGGCGCTGACTCAGCGTCCGTTTCCGAACGTTTCCGAACTTCAAGGTCGCGTCGATGGCGTCGGCGCGACGTCACGTCGCCGCGACGCCGTCTTCATGATCATCAGAGCATGAACGGAGGCGTCGTTCCGCGCAGGCTCCTGGATGGTCGAGTCGACGCCCGAGAAACCTTACAGTGGATATACGGACGATCTGAGAAGAGTCGAGTCGTCGATGCGTTCTAGAAGGGCGAGATTATTGATGGCCCTCAAGGATAACGAAGTGGCGCCGACAGTCGTAGCATTTCCATTACTAGGTGCCTCGAACGACGAGCTACCGAGAAACGGGCCCGTGGCTTCTTCCGTACTAGTGCCCGACGACGTCATCAATCCGCATCCTAGATTTGGCGCCCTGACCAAAAACATACGCGAGCGCCGCGGTTCCAACGTTGAGGTAATAGCGCCGCTCTTCCAAGATGATAACACGACGGGTGATGCTATCAAGGCGGACGCGATGGCCTTCGGCATGGGCTGCTGCTGCCTCCAGGTCACGTTCCAGTGCCGCGACGTTGACGAATCGCGACATGTCTACGACCAGTTGGCTGTTTTAGCTCCCATCATGATGGCTCTCACGGCGGCGACGCCCATCTTGGCCGGCAAGTTACAAGATCATGATTGTCGGTGGGACATCGTTTCGCAGTCCGTTGACGATCGGACCACTGACGAGCGGAGAACTTCACTGTCGTCCTCGTCGAAGGGCGATAAACGTTTGGCTGGCAGTGGCACGAGGAAGCTGCGAACCTCTCGGTATAGTGCAGCGGCTTCGTACGTCTGCCGACGATGCGACTTACACTCGTGCGCGGCGCGATATAATGATGTCGAGGTAGAAGTAGATGAATCCGCACTACAGAAACTAAAAAAAGAAGGCATTGATGACTTACTAGCGACGCATGTAGCTCATTTATTCGTGCGAGATCCGTTAGTCATTTTTGATGGGCTCTGCGAGGAGGTAGATGATAACACACAAACGGACCACTTCGAAAACCTGCAGTCGACGAACTGGAACTCGGTGCGGTGGAAGCCCCCGCCGGCTGACTCGAACATAGGGTGGCGCGTCGAACTCAGGACGATGGAGGTCCAGCTCACGGACTTCGAGAACGCTGCTTTTACCGTCTTTTGTGTATTGGTACTTAGGGTGTTATTGTCCTTCGATTTGAATATTTATGTGCCCATGTCGAAGGTCCACGAGAACATGGACCGGGCCCATAGTCGAGGAGCGGCCTCCCAACAAAAGTTCTGGTGGCGGTCGCACACTGTGTGGAAATCAACCAGTGGACAACGTTGCGTCGATGGCGTAGAAGCTCTACGCCATCGAGCAGACGCAGTCACAAGGACAATGTCGCGTCGATGGCGTGGGGCGCCCGAAATTTGATTTCCACACAGGTCGCATATGGTCGTGCCGGGCGAGCCCTGCGCGGGCGACAGGGAGGACTCCGTCGTCGAGATGACGCTGCTGGAGATCCTGACGGGCAAGGGGGGCTACTATCCGGGCTTGGTGCCGCTGGTGCTCGTGTACCTTGATAGTATAGGATGCGATCCCGACACGGCGTCGCGGGTGCAGGCCTACGTCGATCTGATCGTGAAGCGAGCGTCGGGCGAGCTGCAGACGGCGGCGGCGTGGCAGCGCGACTTCGTTTGTACGCATCCAGATTACAAGAAGGACTCTGTGGTGTCGCCGACGATCGCCAGAGATCTACTGCAGCGGTGCCATTCTATAGGTGTGGGCGACGTCCACGAGCCGTCGCTGCTCGGTGAGAACGTCGTAGCGCCCGTGCGCAAGGAGAACGCCTACAACGTCCAATTGTCGCGGGTGCACTTCCAGACGTCGTCTTCACTTTGTACGCTGTTAGATCAATATGCTGAAAGAGCATTGTTAGTAAAGAAGCGCAAAAGTGTAGTGGAAGACGTCGCTCGGTTGAGAAATGAACTAGACGAGAAGGAGAAGGAGCTCAAGGAATTAAATGACGCGCTGGAGCCGTCGAACGGCGTGCAACGGTCGCCTTCCCTCAACCGTTTGCATTCCGAGGAGGGCGAGAACCTCGCCGTGACGTTGGAAAGGATGCGCGGCATCAGCGAGACCCTCGAGCCGGCGGCCGGCGACGGCGTCTGAACTGTACCCCAAGTATAACTTATGCCTGTACATCTATCTTATGTATGTGCACTAGAGACTCCGCGCGAGCCGCCGTTTAGCTTCGACGGCGTCGAGCGCTGCCCCCAAGCAATCCGTGACCGTCACGGCCCCGTGCTTTTCGTGCACCCCTCTAAGTTCCAGGCCCTCGCTGTCGCAGAAATTGACCTGGAGCGACACGATGCCCTCGCCAGTAGCCAGGGACGCCTGGATCTGGGCGCCCATGTATACCTGCGCGTATTGATTGGTGAGCGTACGACGCCATCGACGCGACAGAAAATAACCCAAAGGGACGCCGGGACCAATACATGCGATCCCAGGGCGTTCACGGGGTCTCTAGAGAGCCCGTCGCTCTCCGCGACGATGACCAGCGACCTCCCGATCGTGTGGATCTCGTCGACGCGCGAGTCCGGGTTCCAGTGGCACAAATCTATCACAACGTCCTCACTCAATGAGTACGCCACGAGGTCGATGCTCAACGCCTCGACACTCTCGAAGAACACGACTCGGGCCGTCGCGTCGTCGCCGCGCGCCGAGAGGTCCCGACACCTCGCCCGGGCCTCTTCATCGAAATCGTCGCGCAGCGACCAGCCGCAGTCGAACTCGAGGAAGCCCGCGCCTTGCTTGGACAGCGACGGCAGGTCCCGCGCGTGCCACGCTTTCCTTTTTTCAAATTCCCGGCCCGCGAGGTCCATGACTATAATACAATCGTCGAGCGCGCGCGCGCCGCCGAAGCTTGCACCGAGGCAGCCCCAACCCGACCCCGTCCGTCGCAGCTCTTTGGCGAGGTCGACGTCGCGGCGTTTCCGCGTGGCCGGCGCCGCCGCGTACGTCCCGTGCGCGCCGTCCCTCGCCTCGACCAGGTGGCGGTGACGCCGGTGGCCGGCCCAGGTGAGGCGGAGCGACGAGTTTGTAGATGAAGCGAAGGGCGGTAATATATCTAGCGTTGTTGCTGTGGCGAGGCGCCACGCCCGTCGGACTGATGCGGCGCCGACGCACGCGCGCCCGCCGGCCAGCGCCAGTACCAAATGAAAGACCTCTTCGGGCAGGTGGGTGGCGGGGTCGCCGCGCCACGCGCTCGTGCGGCCGTCCGGCGTGACAATCGCCGTCAGTGCGCAGTCGTCCGCCGGCGCCTTCGTGACGGCGCGGCGCGGGGCCGTCGGCGTGATTTGTTTCGTCGGTGCCGGTCGCACGCAGTTTGTGATGTCGCGCGGCGCCATTTGTAATCTTGGGTGCCTGCTGCGCTCAGTCCGAACAGCTGCGACGTAGTCTGAAACAGTTGCTTAACGTGCTGAAGCCGCAAACGTCACGCACAAGCGCTGGAACGTCGCAGCAATTCACTGACGCCGTACCGAAGCGCTCTGCGCCACTCTCCGCCGTTACTAATGTCTGTTAGAACGATGTGAGTCGCACTGAGCGGCTCCGAACCACCGACGCAACGCTGACAGTTGATAGCGTGCAACATACTAGCTTCCAAGTTGAGACTCATCGACGCCTACGAGGCCTCCCGTACGTCTCTAAAAGCCGCAATGACAAGTGCCTTCTGTCGGGCGGGTACAGCAACAAATCGTTTGGTTGCTGCCCCCCCCCACGCTAAGCGCCGTCGCAAGAGGCCCAGCCGGATCGAGGCAGCCGCTACGCCGTCGCAGTGACGCACGTGCGGCGCACAACATACGAGCATGGCCCACTACTACGGCCGCGACACGATCGACGACCTCCTGAGCGGCGCGCGCAGCCCGCCCCGCAAACACCAGTCGCCCACCGAACGCTACATGCGCTCGCCCCTGAGCGAGCTCATCAACGACGCGCGGCGGGCGCAGCGGCGAAAAAGCTGCGACGATATTTTGAGGGAGGCGCGCGAGGCCGAGCTGCAGTCGGAGTCCGCGCGATTACGAGAAGAGATTTCGAGGTTGGAGGCCGAGCGCGCCGCGGCCAAGCGCGCGTACGCCGAGTCCAAGCCGCCGCCGCCACCACCATCGCCTCGCCAATTGTACGACACGCTCGGCGTGTCAAGGGACGCCTCAGACACGGACATCAAGAAGGCGTACCGGAAGCAGTGCCTCCGGCACCACCCCGATAAAGGAGGGGATGCAGAAGCGTTCCAGAAGGTCAAGGACGCCCACGACGTGTTGAGCGATCCGCAGAAGCGGGCGGTCTACGACGCGAAGGGCGACCGAGGACTTAAAAAAATTGAGGAGGTGCTGCAGACGAAGGAGTACGATGTGGTGAAGCCCCAACCGAAAGTCGTCGTCTGCTCCGCGACGTTGGCGGATATCGCGTGCGGGGGTGCTGCTGCTCTCAAGTTTCGGAGACGGGTCGGCTGCGCTTGTTGTGGAGGTACTGGTGCGCGTCTCGACAGAGCGGAGCCGTGCCTCGCGTGCGACGGGTCAGGTGTATTGGTGATGCCGACGGACGGGTTCCGGCTGGAACGGCTGCCCTGCGGCGCGTGCGACGGGTGCGGCGTGCGGGCGCCGGAGTGCCGCGAGTGCTGCGGCGCCGGCTTCCGGGTCGAGGCGGGATCATGTTCTATAGAAATTCCGAAGGGTGCCGAGGACGGTGCGCGCATCACTGTTGAGGATGAAGGCGATATTGGAGTGTGTGGGACGAGAGGAGATTTGGTAGCTATCATTCGGGTCGAGGACGACGACCAATTTTATAGAAGAGGCGCCGACCTTATTTTGAAGACGCCGCTGAAAGTGTCGTTGCGGGACGCGCTCGGAGGCACGGTCGACGTGGCGGCCTGTGTGGAAATCAATCAGTGTGTCGGGTCTTCACTAAGTCATTTCTCGGCGATGACGCGGCCGTGCTGGCCCCGTCGAGCGGCGAGGAATCGGCATCGCCACGCCATCGAGCAAGCGCCGCGTCGATGGCGTGGAGGTCGACGCGACGATTCAGCACGAACGCGCCATAAAATTTGGATTTTCACACAGGTGGCGGCGCCGACCCTCGACGCATCAGTCCGCATCCGGACCTCTCCGGGAACCGTTGTGGCGCCGGGGCGCTTCTACGCGTCCGAGGGCTTAGGGTTGCCCGCGCACGAGGGCTACCTGCGGGGCCGCCTCGTCGTGAGCTTCGACGTCGAGTTTCCCGCGCGCCTGTCCGAGGCGCAGGCTGTTAGTGTTGCGAAGGCGCTCGACGGCGATCCCGGTGCGGCGACCGACGGCGGCAGCGCGGCGCCCGAGGCCGCGCCGCCGGACGGCGCCGACGCCTACGTCTACCCCTACGAGCTCGACAAGCCCCCAGAGACGCCCCGGGAGCGCGTCCCGCCGGAGTTCGTGCCGGACGGATGTTCTCAAATGTAGTAGAGGGGCGCCACACTAGGAGAGCAGAATTCCTCCAGGCTTAAGTAAATCACACAAACTTAATCCACATCGTCATAGCCCTCGGGCTTCTCCCCGATGGGGCAGTCCGGCTTCTCCGGCAACCGCTTGGTCGCACACGCGAAGCCGTAGCCCGCGCGCGAGCTCTCCGGCGCGAGGCGCCAACAATTTTTGGAATAGCCCGAACTCAACACGCTCTGGAGGATGTCCACGGCGGCGAACAACCTCTGAATATCCTCATCATCAGAAGGCACGTCCGCGGGATCCGACGTCTGGATGGAGATGTGCAGCAGCGTGCCCCCCAGCCTCGTAACGAGCGCCCAGTCTCCAGCTAAGAAGGCACTGCGAGCCTGCTTCGCTTCTCTACTAATCACTGAGATAGCATGCTGAGTCTGCACGCCGTCCGGCAGGCCCGCCAATCGAGCTAAAGTAGCTAAGTTGGGATCCTCGAGCAAGTTGTCCACAAATCCATCAACGCACGTTATTAGTGTTGCCTGCTTCCTCTCAATAGCCTGTAAAGTTCGACTACCATGCGCATTATACCACTGGTCAGCGGCAAAGCCGCCCATGGCTGGTGAGTTTTTGACCAGGCAGCACCACCTTCTGACGAGGGCGTCCATGGATGTGTTGATCGGGTCCGGTAGGTTCGTATACACATAATCCGCCCCGCGCGGCTCCGTCTCGCACTGGCAGGAGATGAAGCCCTTGCCGCAGCGTCCTATCAAATGGAATTGAGGTGCGAGTCTTAATTCGCCCGTTTCGAGTTGGACTACGGGGTACTCTTCCAGGGATAATCGTGACGCGAGTTCGGCGACGTCCTTGGGGTCGTAGCTGACGGCGAAGGGCGGGAGCTGCGGTCCTTGAGAGGCGGCTGGCGCCGGTGCCGCGGCCGCGGCCGCGTCTTGCTGCTCGACCTGCTTGCTCATTTTTTGGATAGCGGCTTTGACCGCTGCTTTGTCGGCCTTTTCCACTTGTTTGCTCATTTCTGCGCCCGCGGCCGCGGCTCGCTTGGCTGATAGCCTTTTGCCTGGATGGCAGCTGGTGGCCTGTCCGGCGGCGCAGCCGTTCTAAACGTCGTTGCGCCGGGTCGCAGCGGTCGTCGCTGAGGTGGTGAAATCGCGCACAGACGTCGCTCGCTGGCAATCCACGACTGAGGCGCGCGCGCGTCGCGTAACTAGCGGCATGTAAGACACTAGCCTCGATGATCAAAGCGCGTCTACGCCCGTAGCGCGAGCTACATGCGACTAATATTGGTCCACAGGTCCCCTGTGATGGTGGGCATCGGAAACAAACGCACACAAAATTACACTTCAAGAGTCCTCCTCCTCGTACCCGCGCCCGCCGCACCACTCGCACGGCGCCTCCTTCGCGCCCCTGCCGCCGAACAGGACGCGGTAGCCCTTGCCGTTGCACAGACGACACGGCGCCGGGCCGTCGACGCCGCCGATGACTACAGAATCGATCTCGCCCTTCGTGACCCTCAGCGACTCGAGGTACTTCGACCACTGCTCGTCGACGTCCGTCCGCGCCTCAGCTGCCTCGCGCTCGGCCTCGTCCTGGGCCAGGTCGTCCCAGATCGCTTGCCGGTCGTCGTCGGTGCTGACCGGCGCCGAGCCGGGGACCGGCACCGTGCCGCCGACCGGTGCCGGGGTCGCGCCCGTGACGATATCTGTAAAATCGCCGACCCAGGCTTCGTCCTCGGCGCTACCTGTGGAGCTCCCGCCGCCCGGGGCCAGCGCCGTCACCGTCGACCCCGTGATCTTGAAGGTTTGGGCCGCGACGCCCGGATCGGCCTTGACCAGGCGCCGCGTCAACGCGTTCGCCTCCATGAGTGAGATGCATCTTACTGAAACGTCCGTGCCGGCCTTGGCGGACTCCGCGACCGAATTCAAACCCTCGTAGACCGTGTCGCGGCGCGACCGCCACCTTACCACGTAATACGTCCGGTCGGCGAAGAGGGCCTCCGGCTGCGGTGCCGTCCTGTCGGCGAAGATTATCTCCGGCTGCGGCGCGTCGTACGCGCTCGGGCTCGGCTCGACGCGTTGCATGTCTGGGTTCGGCTCGAAGTTCTGCGACACGAAGGCGGCGACCCCCGCGACGGCGACGGCCGCGAGAAGTAAGAGGCTGCCGGCGTTGATCGGCGATGCGTCGGGCACGGCGTCGAGGACGACGCCCTCGCCGATGAGTCGTGGCGCCTCGACGATCGGCGCCGCGTCGATGATGCCTTCACCGATTCGTTGCGGCGCTGCGGCGGCGTCGAGGACGCCTTCGCCGATGACGCCTTCGCCCAATAACGCTCTGCGTACAGCTGCAGAGGGCAGTGGTGGCCTTAGAAATGCTGTGGTCTGGTGCAGCAGCCAGCTAGCGATGAGTGCTTGAATATTCATCATGTGTGAGTTGGTTGCACTGAAGTCTCAGATTAATGCGTTGCTTGGACGCATAGCTAGTCTTTTTGGGCTGCCACAAAACCAGCCTAGCGGCCTGTAAGTCACTAGCAATTCTTGAAGACGCGTGCGGATGCTCCACGATCCGTCCCGACGGCGACCTATCGCTCCCCCCTCGTGGGGAGCCGTGCTGCCTTGAAAAGCGTCTCCGGCTGCAGCGCCGTGAGAGGGCAGCCCCAAAACGCTGGGAATAGCCGGCCGCGAAACGCGTCGGGCAGCAGCAGACAAGGCAGCAACAATGGGCCGCCGCTCGTCGAAGCCCGACCCCATTCCCGCGCCCACACACGCACCGCAACGCGTCGTCTTTGACGGCGGCGCTATTGGTCTCTCGTTGGCGCGGAGAAAGAGTGATAATAGAGCGGTCGTCGTGAGCGTGGTGCCGAACGGCGCCGCTAGCGTAGCGGGCGTCATTAGTGGCGACGCCGTCACGACCGTCGACGACGGCGATGCTGGTTCGTATCAAGACGTCGTGCAGCGCCTGGAAGGGAGGAGGCCCGTGTCATTAGGTTTTATGAGAGGCGGCGAGCTCGAGGACATTCTCGCGAGCATGACGGCCGTCAAGCGGGCCTTTTCTCAAACAAAAAGGGCCGAGAACGAACAAAAACGAGAACTAAGACGTAAGGAGGCGATCCAGAAGCGGATTTCAGAGATGAGACCCGCGACGCACGACTCATTATTCAACGTGTCGTTGATGCCGCCGGGCGGCTGTGCTTGGACTCGTATTCAAGCCGGGGCGCCTCCACCCTTGAATCATATTAGGGACGCTCTAGCTAAAGTGAGTGGTCCTCCGCCTCCCTTCGTTGATGACATGGCGGGCAAGGACGAGTGCTGGTATCCGACGGGCATCGGGAACCCGCGGTTTCGGTCGCTGGGCTTTCGGACCCTAAAGTCGATGCCGGCTCATGAAAGACTCCAAGTGAAGCAGGACATCGAGGAGCAGGTCGCTGCCCTCAAAGAGCAGAAACGCTCTCAGGGATTATCTGATAAAGAATTCCTGCGACTGAAAAGTCTGCAGGGCGACCTCGCGGGCGTGACTTATTGGGCGAATCCCACACGTAAAAAGAACCGACTCGAACGGCTGGAGCGCGAGCACCACGCAACTCTCAGAAGGAGGACGATCTCGGCGCGGGCCATCGAGCGCGAATTACACATCGCGGAGGACATCGCTGAAACACAACGGCGGACGGCGGCGAACCTGGCCGCGTAACGTTCATAGTAATCTTCTAGGTCACGTCGATGGCGTCGGGCTCCACGCCATCGCTGCGCCGTCTCTAGTGGCTCCAGGAGGCTCCGAGGAGCCGCTGGCCAGCACGTGCAACACCTAGCGTAGCGACATACTAGCAATGTCAAAGATACGCCCGGATAGCGTCAAAAGAATGACCAAAATTCAGAATACATCCTAGTCGTTCGCCGAGGCCAAATATTTTAGAGTAGCGGCCCGATAACATACCCTCGCGCCTCCCGGAAGGCACCGCCGGCGACATTCGCAGATGAGACTTACGGGTTGCCAAAGTAGGCCAGCGATTAACGCCGCCATCTATCGTCCAAATGGGACATTATATCAACTCCAGCCCAGTTTTCATCCACAATCGACGGAACCGGAGCCGACGGCCCGCGCTCGGTCCACGTCTCCTCGCTCGGAACCCGCGCCCGGCTATGGGGGGTCACGTGCCGGAGATATGCAATCTCCGGGAACCCTCCGTCCGCCCCGGCCGTCGCGTAGTCCCGTAACCACATCGATAAGTCGGCGTCCAATTTGACCGCCACCAGTACGGCTTGGTCGACCACCGCCTCGAGCGTCTGGGCCTCGACTCCGTCCGCTATCATCCCTCTCCGGCTCTCGCCCTCCCCTATTCCGGCGTCCGCCTTGATCCGGATCGCTTCGCTGGGGACCAGGTCCAGCACCGGCAGGAGCCAGTCCACCGTCATGAAGTACCTCGAAGCCTTGAAGACCAACACCGCCCTCTCCGGCAACTCGTCCGTGTCCCGTAGGTAGCCGTGCATCGCCCATGCCAAGTAATTCATGGTTTTGTGGGCCGCAGCGCTGAGAGAATTGGCCGAAATATGCTGGAAGCGGCGGCGCGTGCGGTGTAGGCGACTAACCATGTATAGAACCGACCCGAACCGACCCCAGGGAGACCTCGGGACCACGGATTGACAGGATTCCACCGGCGCGGCCGCCATGGCCTGTGGCGGCTCCTCGGCCGCGAATTAAAAAATTTAGTTTTTCGGCCCCCAGTAAGTGTCCCATTGATCTCTTTGGACCATTAGCGAACGGAACGATACCCAAACGGCTGCATGGCGTGTTTGCTTCCTAGTGTCTTACGCACCGCTAGCTCGCGCCGCGCTTCAGCTTTAGAGCGCTTGCAGTTGCTGTTACGACCGTTCTCCAGCAAAGAAGCTCAGTACAGCTGCTCCTCGCATCGCTGGTCGATCGCTGCCAGTGGTAACGGCGCCTGCAGATGCGCCGCTGGGGTGCAGTGATGCTCTTCTGCACGGCACGCAGAGCCGTCGCACTGCTCGCGCCGCGGCGACGCCAGCCGACGCGCCTTTATAGTTTGCCGGGCGCGTCGGACTACCACGTGCCCGTATTAGGAAATGAATGCATCGACTGGCTCGCGAGAGACGACGGCGTGTTTGTCGACTGCACGCTGGGCGGCGGCGGCCACTCGTCACTATTACTGGACAAAGTCGGAGAAAAGGCGAAAGTCATAGGGTTGGACCGAGATAGGGACGCCATCCAAGCCGCCTCAGCACGAATACGAGATGCCCGCTTCTCGACGATCGAGGGCGTCTTCGATGAAGGGCTGCAGAGAGCTTTTCAGGAGCACGGGAAGTTCACCGGCGTGCTCATGGATTTGGGGGTTTCTTCGCACCAGATCGACGACGCCGAACGGGGCTTTTCTACTCGTTTTGATGGACCGCTTGATATGAGGATGGGCGCGTCTGGGAAAACCGCTCTGGATTTGATAAATGATCTGGACGCCAAGGGCCTGGCACGATTACTGAGGCAGAACGCCGACGAGCCCCACGCGTCGAGGATTGCCAAGGCCGTCAAAAGTGCCTCTTTGACGACCACAAGCGACCTCGCGTCCATTGTGTCTGAGTCAATACCAAAGACGTCACCCCCACATCTGGATGCGAAGCGCCGCTCCAAGGCCGTGGCGCGCGTCTTTCAAGCTCTTAGAATTGAGGTGAATGATGAACTCGGAGCGCTGGATAGAGCTCTAGAGCTTTTACCTTCTGTCGTGGCGGAGGGCGGGCGCGTCGTGGTGTTGGCCTACCACTCGTTGGAAGACCGGCGCGTGAAGCGGTTTTTTCGGGACGGGAAATTTCGGGGCGACGCCGCGCGGGACGCGTACGGCAATCGGTTGACGCCGTTCAGACCGCTCACGCGCAAGGCGGAGACGGCTTCGGATGAGGAGGTGGCGGCGAACCCTCGCGCTAGGTCCGCCCGCTTGCGCGTCGCGGAGCGGACGGACTGGTCGCCTTCGTAAGTATACAATGTGTGTGACTTAGGTACACGAACAGAACAACAACAGCGGCCTCTTCGTCTTCTTGGGCGACTGGAGGGGCGCGGCGGGCGGCGGCGGCGCTTCGAGGCCCGAGACGTCGTGGGTCGAGGGCAGCGTCTCGAGGCCGGCCGTCGCGATGGGCGGGAAGAGGCGGCGCGGGTCGGGCAGCGCGGCGTCATCTGGCGTCGACGAAGTACTGCTTGTGCTGGTGGATGCCATGTCGCTTTATGTGGGTCTGTGAGCCACGCGCGACGAGCGGTGATACTTTTTCGCACCAATGCGCTTCGACGAACGTCTGCCGGCACTGACTCTGCTACGGCACTCCGCTTCAGAGGCGCACGGGTCACGAGGTATGGCGCCCGGTGATTGCGCTGCACGGATGCGATCCGCAGCGTGATTTTGAGCTGCTCCTGCGCCTGCAACTCTGGCTGCCGTGCACTTGCCGTGCTCGAGCAAAGCTAGTGCGTCGATACGCTAGCTAGCATGAGCAAGGGGAAACTGCGGCGCGACAGTGCCTAGAGCGCCGATAGATCGATACTCTCAATACAACGTACGTGCGCATCGATTTTGGCACTGCTGCCACTGCTGCCTAGACAGCCTTGCACAGCTGCACACTGCTGCAAAGCACGCCATCGACGGCGCAGCAGAAGCATGCTGCTCTCAATAATTCTCCCGCTCGCCTACAACAACGGTCTACCGTACGTGCGCGAGCAGGGCCTCGACGTATTAATAGACAGCGGCGCAGGGCGCAGCTATCTCGCGCAGGCGGTCCTTGACCAGGATGGCCCGCTTGCGGCGCGGGCGCGGTCAGTCGGAGCCGAGAATTCGTGCGAGGCGGCGGGTCTCGCGTTTCCCGGGGCGTCGGGCGGCATCCTGGGCTTCGACGCGCTAGGCGCTGGTTCGTCCTTCGAGCTGACGCTTAATGAACTGAGGCTCGATGAGACTGGTTCACCAGCGTCGTCGGTCGTGCTCACGGCCAAAGCGCTGGGGACGGCGACGGCGCCGTATCCCGTGACGACGTGCGAGTTCTACGGCGCGCTGGCCTGCGAAGTGGATGCGCTCGTCGACACCGGCTCGCCCGCCACAATCGTGAACGAGGCCCTCGCGACTGCGGCGGGTTTGTTCGCCATCGAGGACGCGGAGGATGAACAGGGGACAACCACAACGGGTCTCGGCGGCGCGGCGACGGCGTTGCGGCGGTGTCGGGCGGCCGGCATACTCGTGGGCGGGTCCGTGCAGCGGCCGTCGCAGACGGTGCTCGTCGGCGATCTGCCGCAGTGGGCGGCTCTCGGCGTCGCGTCGGAGCCGGCTTGCGTCCTCGGACTTGATATTTTAGGTAACGCGGTCCGTGCGGCGCGGGCGACGGCTCCAAAGCGGCGCAAGACGCGTGGCGAGCGCAGTGATAGCGTGTTGTCGGCGCCACGCGACGGGGAGGAATGGGGGTTGGAGATAACCTAGTTCGTTCTAGACACACCTCACCACCCGCCACGTAAAAACCGACAACACGACAACAGTACAAGAATGATTACCGGGAGCGCGCGCCTTGGGGAGACTATGTACATCGCGGGGCTCGGACCGGGTCTATGTGCACTTCACGGAGTCCCGACGGTGCGGTCGATGGTGGGCTGCTTCGTCGGCTCCGGTATCGGCGACGGAGATGGCGCCGATATCGGCGACGCCGTCGGAGCCGGTATGGGCTCGGCCGTCGGAGCGGGTATCGGTGAGGCCGTCGGCGCGGGAGACGGCGCGTAGGTGGCCGGCGATGCCGTCGGCGCCGCGCTGATCGTTGGCTCGTAGGTCGGCGCGCTCGTCGGCGCTGCGGTGGGTATGGCGTCGTGCACGCACCAAGCCCCCCCGCACGTCATCGTGCACGCGCCCTCCGTCTGGCTACAGAAATTGGTCGGCTTGTAGATCATCCATGGGGCACAATTGCAAGCATCCGCCATGGGGTCAATGAACGCGGTCCACGGCTTTTTGCCTGTGTGGAATCAACCAGTCACGCCATCGAGCAGACGCCGCGTCGATGGCGTGGAGGCTGGCGTGAAATTGGAACACAGCTTTTTGCAGCAGACGTGGCCGTCCGTGCCGTTCACGCCCATGTCCGCGGGCGGGAACTTGTGCGACTTGAGATCCGTCACGGTTTTCGGGACTCGAGGTACCTTCGTCTGCGCCTTGGCCGCGCGGCGCGAGAACGTGACGTTCGCCGAGAGGGCCACGGTCAGCACGACGATTGCGGTCGCTGCAGTGAAGCCGACGGCCATACCATCGTCTCGAAGAACGAAGACGCCGGCCACGAACAGCAGAGCGCGCCGCACAAAGTAAAGTCCTTCTTCGACGCGTCGAGCTTGCGGTCGGCCGTGGGCGGACACGACCAGTCGCCGGCCATACCGAGCGTGGACGTGGGCATGCGGCGCGTGAGGCCGCCGGCGGCCGGCTGGGCGACGACGGTGCCAGTCACGGTCGCGGGTTGCGTAGCGACTTCGGCCATGATTTTTTGACCTGCGCGTGGAGGTCGTAACGGCGTCATTCATTTGGCCCCCAGCGCGTCGTGCGTCCAAGAGGCGGCGTCCGGCGTCCTCTACAGATCGGAAATTTTTTATTGTGGTCCAGGGCTGTCTCGAGCGCCGAAAAAATGGCTGGGACGGTCTCCTGAATCAAGCGTGCTCGGGTGCACGTCTGATCCTGAATTCTACGCAGGAGCGGGCGGATCGGACTTCAATCCCAACTTTTTGCCGCTTCCTAGTGTCTTACAGGCCGCTAGCCTATGAAGACTACTCACAACTTACCCGAAGAATCCAACGTCGACGCGACCTCCACGGCGTACCGCGCCTCGAGCTCCCTTTCATTTAACGCCGCGAGCTCACACAACGTCGCCGACGCGAACGCGCGCGCGCAGTCGATGGCGACGCCTCGGCTGTTCACGATGCACTCCTTCGAGGCGACGGGCGACGCGTACTCGCCGGGAGCTTCCACCCGATAGAACAGCGCCTTTCGGGCGATCGCCGCGGCCACAATATTATTCCGACAAGAACCGTGTACATGAGCAAACAACTTCGGTAGGTCCGGAAATTCATCATGCAAACCGGCAAAGAAGATCAGACACGCACTAGGCATGCCCTTGCACGGCGTCGGGACGTCGCCTTCATCGTAGCCTGCTAATCGAGACACGGCACCCGTGCCCGCAAGTTTTGATAGAAGCGTCTTGTCCGAGGTTATAGCCTTGACGAAGGCCTCGCCGAGCCCACAGAAGCCCGCGAACGCGACGGGAATCGCCTCGTCCAACTTCACGGGAGGTAACACGGGAGGCGTCTTTGTGAGTGGGACAATGAATTTCTCTGGTAAGGAGAAGGGCTTCGCCTTCATTTCAACAAACACCTTGGCGACATGAAAAGTGAGGACGTCCTCCCTTTGTAGTGGCTTCTTGTCCGGGGCCTCGAGGACCACTGTACTACCAGTCGCGCCGGTGACGAAGGCTCTTTCAAAAGTCAAGGGAAGCGCTCTTCGACACTTCTCCGTCGCCGCATCAACACACCCACAGCCCTCGAGATAAAAGACGCGCAAGGCTTTGTCCGTGAGGTCGACCTGCTCCTCCCGCACCACGTCCGCCTTCGGCCTAGGAACGGGCTTTTTCGGCGGCGGCCGCGGCGGCCGCTCCGCGCCCGGCGCGTAGCAGTGCTTTTTGTGGACCGGCCAGGCCCACTTCTGGCACTCGCGCGAGCAGTAGTAGGCCTCCTTGCAGCGTCCACAAAACTTCTTCCACTCACCCGGCCGCTGGCAGGAGTTGCAGAACTTGATCGATGCGTAGAACTCGCGCTCGATCTCGCGCTTCAGGAGCGGGATGGACTCAGCCTGGCGCTGGAGCTGCTCCTGGGCGAGGGCATTCATCGTTTTACGTCGCGGCGGCTGGCGTACGGGTTGCGGTGAAACGTGCGGCGACGAATTTGTGCTGCGGGGCTTGTCAATACGCAGCGACTGCGTTTTGCGACGCAGCCGATAGCTAGCGGGCTGTAACACACTAGCAAACTGGCTGCCGCCAGCGTGGGAAGGCTGTAAGTCGTCACAGACACTGCACAACGATGCTATTGATATCTCGGGCGCGGCCATTGATGCGAGGGTTCGCGCTGCGCAGCGGTGCGCTGCGCAGCTGTGCCGTAAAGGCACCGCATAAGCAACACACTCTCCTGCTCAGGCCTGCGCGGCGCCTCAGCGATGCAGCGGCGACACCACGGAGCAGTGTGGCTCCATTCCCCGTAAGATGCACGATCGTCGGCGCGGCCACCGCCGTGGCGACACCGCTCTTCCCGGTCATCGGCAGCTATCGGTTGGCGTGCTACTTGGTGCCGAACAAGGGCGCACGATTCATAATAGTGGGCTCGGCGGCGGGCGTGTTCAGCTTTGCGATTCGCGACGCGCTGCCCTACCTCGTAGACCACGCTGAGTTGATGGCTCCGATGGCCCTCGCGAACGGCGCGGTGGCGGCGGTCTCGTACGGCGCGCTGGAAGCTATCAATGGCGGTCCCGCGAAGCTGCTCGACCGCGCTAGTAACATGCTGCCGCGGTTTGCTCCTATTTGGCTGAAAGCAGCTGGCCCGGCGGCCGTCGTCGGCGCGGGGATCGGCCTCGCGACGGCTCTGATAGCTCCGTATACGTACGCCACGTTGACGGAGCTCCACTTCGGCGTCGAGCTCCCGAGCACGGCACGTTTTGTGGATCGCCTCGTCCCGGTCACGGTGCCGACGGGCTTCGTGGCGGGGGCGCTGCTCGGGCCCGTCCTCAAGCCGGCCATCGCGGGGTCTCCGTGGCTCGCGGCGCCGGCAGTCTTATTCTTTGCCGGCGGCGCTTTGTATTTATATCGGGACGCGGCGCCCGTCGAGCCCTTTGCCGTTGGGAAGGGGCCGGGCGCCTACTATGTAGACGAAGAAACGCGCATCGCCGCTTCATCAGTGCCCCGCGTCGACGCCGTCACTTTACAAATAGAGTCGCAGCGCGGCGCCGAGCATATTGAGGATGGTGGTGCCCTCGCTTCCAAGGGCGCGGCGCTCCGCAAGGCGCTTTCAGATAGGAGCGTCCGCGCCTACGCGGATGCCCGCCACGCGCGCCTGGACGTGGCGCTGGCGCGGTTCCCGTTCCTGGCTGTGTGGAAATCAACCAGTGTGTCGGGTGCACCGATAATTCTTCACTAAGTCATTTCGCTGCGATGAGCGGTGCAGGAACCGCATCGCCACGCCATCGAGCAGGCGTCGCGTCGATGGCGTGGAGGACGACGCGGCGATTCAGCACGAACGCGCCGTAAATTTTGATTTCCGCACAGGTTCCTGGCGAGCATGCTGGACGACCGGGCGCTCCTCGAAACGTTCTCGCCGTCGGTGGATCCTCAAAAGGCGCTGCGCACGGACGCGGTCGCACGGGCTGCGCTGCTCGCGAGCAGGGGCGTGGCGCCGCGCGACGCCGCGCGGCGAGCCAGACGCGACGTCGAGGCCGCCGTGCCGTCGGCGCGCCTCGGCGCGCTGCCCGTCGCCGCGGCGCTGGCGGCCGTGGTCGCGCCGGACTCGGACGTAGCGCGGGCCGTCGATGTGAATGTCGAAGAGCTCGCGGCGCTCCTGCAAAACCACGGCGTCCACGTTCCGGCGAGCGCGTACGACGACCACGTCGTGGATGAAAGGCGGCGAAAGGCGTGGCGCCTCGTCGGCGCGGCTCTCTTGACTGCCATGGTGGCCGTGGCGCGAGAGATGATGATGTAGTGTGTTAAGACTCATGTAACCCACAAAAACAATCACTTAAACACTGTCCCCGCTCGACACCCGCAAGATCGGCACGCCCGACGACGGGTGCCGCTCCATGGCCCAGCCCCCGTCCGCCAAGCGAAGGAACGTCCGCCCGCCCTTCGCGTCGTCGACGACGACCCTTTCAACAATCTCCACCTCCTCGCCGGGCATGAGGCCGCGGCCCGTCCGCGGCGCGGCGACGTCCGGCGCTTCGCGCACATAAATACCCACGGCCGCGTCGACGACGTACGGCACTGCCTCGAACGTCTCCGACGACACGACGGTCCCCGCCTCTAGGCGTTGTGATAGGTCGATCGCGGCCAGGGCGCAGTGCTCCGTCAGCGCCACGCACCACTTTTCCATGTCTCTCGCTTCGTCCGCGACCAACCAAAGTAACTGCTTTCCCTTACTAGAAACAATCGAAAAGCTCCGCTCCTCCACCCGAAACCGCACCGTCGCGTCGCCCTGGAGGACCAAACTTCCTGCTGGTTTACCAGGCGCCAATAAGGTCGCCGCCGACCGCGTCGACGAGTGCACGTCGCGCTCCTCGTACCACTTCAGTCTCGACGTCGAGAGGACGAAGAAGCGGCGCACCGGCTCGCGCTTCATCAGGAAATTGGAGGAAGCGTGCATCGTCAGGAAGCCGCTCCTTCTGCGAGGCACGGCCCGTGCTAATTTTTTCAAAGCTTCCACGTCGCGCGGCGCGTGCGACAGCAGCAGGGAGACCTCTTCCCGCGCGGCGACGGCGCAGCCCATGAAGTCCATCGCGCCCGCGTCCACATCACTACGGGCGCGCTCGAGCGCGTCCAGACACAACGCGTGGACCTCGAAGAAGCCGGCGTGGCTCGTGGCGAGGAGCGAGCGGCAGTCTCGCGGGGCGTTTTGTGGACTCTTGTCGCCGATCGAGGCCTTGAGAGCGTCGTCGGCCGACGCGACGCCGGCTAACCGCGCCGCGACGAGCGTCATGTTTATCGACGCGGCGGCGAAGGGGAACGGGCCTTCGAGCAGCTTCGCGCACGTCGCCGGGTGGTGCTCGAGCGCGTGCAGCAAGCAGTGCAAACCCAGCAGCCCGCCTCCTCGAAACTCGCGGTCCGGCGCCGTAGCCTGAAACCCAGCGAGCTTCCAGCCCTCCTCGCTCTCGGGTCCGCGGTGCGCCGTCGGCGCGCGGCCGAGCAGTTTAGTCGTGGCGTCAAACACCTCCTTCAGCAAACGTTCGTACTCGTCGTCGCCGACCACCGCTGGTGTGCGGAGCAATGATCTTAAAACGTCGACGCGCGCTCGGGCCGCTTCCGCGAGTTCTTTCGTCGCGGCGTCTTCCATCAATGGTCGATTCAGCAGGCTGCCGAGCCGGGCCTGGAGTTGGTCCATCCTACAGCTCCGCGCGCGCGTAGGTCTCGAGCGCGCAGCGGCAGCGTATACGAGAGCAGTCTCAGAGCTTGCTAATTGTGAGGCATGCGCCCGTGGGCCCCCGCAACATGGGCAGAGAGGCTTCTTGCTAGTGTCTTACAGCGCTAGCCCGCGCTTGCTCTTCGCACTGAATCAGCTGCAGTAGTCAAAACCGGGGATAACAGACCCGCTCGAGCATCGATTCTCGATCCAGACAACTCGCAGTACGATGCGTGCCGCTCCGACCGTCCTGCTCTTCGTCGCTCATGCTGCATCAGCGCTGCAGCCGGTCTCTGTGCAGCGCCGGGCGCTGCTAGGTGGCGCGGCTGCCGCATTAGTCGCCACATCAAAAGAACATGCCAACGCCGCCGGCCTTGAACAATTCAAAACTCTGGTCGACGAGCTCGGCGCGCTGAACAAGGCCGCGCAGGCCGGCACCGCGAGCACCAAGGCCCTCCAGAAGGGCTACGTCGCGACGGTCGTGCCGCTCGAGAACGCCGCGCGGAAGAACCCGTCGCGAGCCGCGCCAGGAAGCAACCTCGGCGGTTGAGAGACCGCACAACGTCCACGCCATCGAGCGGATGATGACGCCTCGACGCACAGGTACAACGCCGAGTACGAGTACGGCGAGCTCATCGCCCAGAAGATTTCTGCAGACGCGGCCAAGCTGAAGGCCGCGGGCACGCCGGAGGACGCGGCACCGCTCCTCCAGAAGCTCGTCGAGTCGACGGACGCGTACTGCCAGACGTTGAATTGTGGGAACCTACTAATCTATCGTTGAATTACGAGCGTCTTCACCGAATACTCCTCGGCCCGATAGCTGTCCGCGCGCAGTTGATCGGCGTAGCTCCTCCGTTTCGCCGTCTGCGGCCGCTGATACGGGACGAAGTGGGGCTTGCCCGTCGCGCGTTCATCATCCAAATCCTCGTCCGGTAGGGGTGGCTCGACGTGCGTGTACCACAGACCGTCGGGCGCCCGCCGATTATGCACGCCGGCGTCACTGCGCGGCCCGCTCGGCAGCGACGCCGAGCGCGGCCGCGGCGCGTCTCCACCAGTCGCCAGGTCGGCGTACCACGCGGTTTTCCTAGCGAAGGCGGCTTCGCCCCTGGTCCACTCCCGCGTGTCCGTGCCCCGTACCAACCGCTGCGTGTTGAAGACCTTGGGATTGAACGCGCCGGGCACGCCGTTCCGCGACTGGGGCCGGTCGTGGAGCGACGGGCCTCTCGCCCTCCCTTTCAATCCTAGATAGGACGGCGGCGGCGCGGGCTTCCTTTCTTCAAATTTGGTCGTGCGCCTTGCAAGCGTCGCCGTCGTGGGCCGCATGGCGTAGTTCTTCGGGCGCTTCGGCTTCTTCTTAGTTTTTGTTGCGGGCACCGTCGCGGCCGGTTTCTTCTCCATGACGAGGCCGGCGGGCCGGCCCTTGAACGATTTGCCCAGCTTAGCCATGCTGCTGCCACACGGCGCGGGCGCTGGCCTCACGCTTTTCCCCAGCAAAGCTCTACTCGCGCCGCGCGGGCTGCCTTTGGAGCGACGGCTGCTCGTCTGCGTCGCCTCCGGAGCCTGCTGCTCGTCTGCGTCGAGCGTGGGGCTGCCACAGCGCTTCTGCAGCGCCTTTTTGGGGCTGCCACAGCGCTCGATGCCGCGGCGCTGGGGCGACCCGCGCACAAGCATGCCGAGGGTGGCACGCCGTATCGTGACGTCTAGGGCTGGCTCTACAGACTGGGCTCACTCTAGACAGGTTTGATTACACACTTGTACTTATAAACAACACGCGGTCACGACCGCAACAACCGCAGGCCCCGCAGCAGCGAGTCGATCTTCTCCGCCTCGGACGCCGGAGCGGCCCGCGACGCGACGCGATCGAAGAGCGCCTCCTCGGCCGTGCCGCGGGCGAGGACCTGGTCGACGACGACGGGCCCCTCGCAACCGAGGCGGCACGCGCGGGACACGACCTGCTTCTCGTATCCCGACTCCCAGATCGTCCGCAAGAGGAAGATATGCGTCACGAAGGGCAGATCTAAACCGTGACGGCCGTCGTGGTGCAAAAGCAACACGCGCGCCGCGCCGCGGTCGAGTTGGCGCGTCCGCTCGGCCCCGTACGTCCCGCCGCAGCGCGCGATCGCCCGGATGATGCGCGGCGGACCGCCCGCGACGAGCGACACCGTTTCGCCGACGGAGTAGACGCGTCCCAGGCGGTGGTCCCGGACGTTCTCCTCGAAGACCCGCGTCGGCAGGTCCTCGACGGCCGTCAGCACGAGCACGCGCCGGCCGCACGTCTTGCACTTGTCCTCGCTCGCGGCGCCGCAGCTCAAGCACGTCCGGTACGCGACCAGGCCGCTACGGAATTTGCGCAGCTCGTCGGCTCTATGAGTGCCCCAGTGTTGTGCGACGGCGTCTTGGCCAAGTCGCATGATGAGGTAGTGGCCCACCCAATCCAAAATCTTCCTATCTTCGGCAAACAGGATGGCCCGCACGGGCCGCGACCCTCCTGACCGGAAGGCGGCGACGGCGGACTCGAGCCGATCGAGCACGTGCCGCGCCTTGGTGTGGGCGTCGTCCACCACCGTGGGAGTCCAAGCCGGCGCCGCGAATGCAGTCCCCGCCGGAGTCCGCGCCGGCGCCGCGGACGCCGTCCCCGACGCCTGGAAGGCCGCCGCCCGCGCCGCCGTGTCCCGCTCGAGCACGGCCTCCCGCCACTGGAGCTCGACGCCGGGCTGGAGCCACACAAACGCTTCTCCGCCCGGCATTTTCTGCTTCTTCGACGACGTATGAACGTGTGAGCAGCCGATGGTGCGGCCGTCGTCCGTGTCGCGCCAGAAGCGGCACCGGAGCGTGCCGTCGGCGCGCTTCGCGACAGGATGCTCCCAGCGATCGTCGGACACGTCGTCCTCGACGTCGACAAAGGTCTTCGCGCAGACCGCACAGGCGGAGGGCGACGCCTTCGCCGCGCACTCGGGACAGTACAGGCAGCCGCACGGCGCGACCAGCAAGAACGAGAGAGACAGGGCGCACTTCGCGCACGGCAGCGACGACGTCTCGTCGGCGAAGAAGCGCACCGCGCGGTCCGTTTTCCGTTGCGGAGTTTTGTGGACCTTTTCGAGCCTGCGTGGTTTGTGAACCTCCATGCCATCACTGGGACAACGACGCGTCGATGGCGTCGGGCGCCCGAAATTTGATTTCCACACTGTCTCGCGCAGGTACCGTAGTTCGCCCAGCACCTCAGGTCTGGATAATTTAACCATCTCGCCGCCGCCGGCGCAGCACAGCAATATATTGTCGATGGCCTCTTTGGCCGCGCGGCGGTTCCGCGGGTTGAGCAGCGACGCGCCGTAGCCGTCGTCCATCGACGCGACGTCGGCCACCTCGAGCGTCGTGAGGTACAAATTGGCTTGGACGAACGCGCAGAACGCGTTCAGCGAGCGAGCCTCGGAGCGCGACGGTCGGAGGCGGCTCACGATCCTGATGGGTGCCGGTAGTTGCAGGTCGGCAGCCGAGTGGCACACGCAGCACGTTCGGAGTGCGTCGCGCAACGCGCCGGCCGCGGCCGCGTCGCCGCTTCCCGAGACGAGGGGTGTCACTACCCTAGCCTGCCACAGCGAGCCGTCCAAGTCCGTTGCATGTGAACTCTCTCGCACCGTGCGCAGCAAACGACCGACTTGCCTCAGTGCCGCCTCGCCCCTCCGCGCCTCGCCGCGCTCGCCGCGCGTCGGCGTGCCCGTGAGGATCCAGACGCTCTCGGCCGTCAGCGCCGACATGAGCCGCAGGCGATTCGTCGACGCCGCGTCGCCGGCGTGGCGGCCCTCGTCGACGATGACGCGCCGCCAGGCGTGCTTCAAGAGCGGACTCTGGTCCGCGGCGTCCTCGGCGTCATCGTCGAGCGAGTAGCGCTTCTTCGTGACGCTTCTGAACTCGCGCGACAGGCGCTCTTCGCTCACCACCAGCACGTCGGGCGGGCGGTCGCTCTCGATGTTATTACCCCACTCCCGGCCGTGGAGGTCGAAAAACATGAACCCGTAGGCGTCGTGGAGGCAGCAGAGCTTCTTTGTGACTTCATCCGCAGCAGCAGCTCGTCCGCCCGCGCGCCGCAGCAGCTCGTCCCGCCAGTGCCGCACCAAAGCCGTGGGCGCGACTATCAGGGTCCCGCCGCAGCGCCGTCGTTGCTCAGGGTCGCGCGCGATCAAAGTCCCGGGCGCGGTCTTGCCACCTACTTTGAGGCGCACTTTGAGTTCCTTCGGGCGCGCCAGGCGCGCATTGACGCGGCCGCTCAGGCGCCGCGCCGGCTCCGGCGGCCGCGCCGCGCGCAGCCGCGCCGTGCGCAGCAGGAGCGCCACGACCGTGAGGGTCTTGCCCGTCCCCGGCTCGTCGCAAAGAAGCCCGCCGCCTTTGCCACTTCTCTCCCTCCGAAGCATAAAACGCAGGCCGCGCCTTTGGTGCGGGAACAAAGTCACGTCGTTTGCGAGGAACGGGACGACGTCGCACGACGCCGTGTATAGAGGTGTTGCGGTCGCACCTAGAGCGCAGAGCGCGCGTGCGTCGCAGAACTGGGCCACGAGGCGCCAGATGATTTCATTCGCCGCGATTCCTGCCGCGGGCCGCGCGGGCGGCCACGCCTCCTCGTCGCGTCTTGCGCACGCGGCGAAGGCGTTCCCGAGCGCTCGCTCGGCGGCCGAGAGCGGTGGTGTCGTCGCGATCGCAGTATTAGTGCTGCTTGTGACGGGTGCCAGCGACCAGCGGCGACGGCTGCGCTCCGCGGCTGAGGACATGTTTTTTCGGGTGCTGCAGCCTGGCTGCTGAGGGGCCGTTACGCTCGCAGCGATGCGCGGAGTTTGCGCGGTACGACTCACGATGATCTATGCCGCGACTTGCGTGCGCCGAACGCGATCGATGCGAGCACTACGGCCGTCCGCCGTCCAGCCTGGAGCTTGCTAGTGTCTTACGGCCGCTAGTCGCTGGTTTTCCCGACGCGGGAGCCCTGGAACGTACCGAGCTGAACGAACTGAGTCTTGTTTGAGACATCGGCTCCATGTGAAACTGGATAGCAAGCCTAAAGTTACGACACACACGAGCAGCAAGCACCTAGTCGTCGACGACGACGTAGTACTTCTTGTGCAGCCGTTTCGTCAGGTGCGGTCGGTCCGCGTCGGTCGCGGGCGGCGGCGCGTCGCCGAAGAGTTGCCACATCGCTTTGGAGTGGCCCGGCACGCGCCGGTCGGGCCGGCCCACCGGCTGGCCACGCCAGTGGAGCGTCCCCCACGCCTTGCCGAGGCGGATGCTGCCGTCGTCGCGGACCGCTCTCTTATTATACTTGAGCTTGGTGATTTGCCAGAAGCAGTCGGGGCCCGTCCAGGTCGGCTTCGTCACGCGCGCCCCAATGCCGTAGTTGCGCAGCGGCCAGAGCACTTCCAGCAGGCGGCGGCCGGGGCCGAGGCGGCCCATCCCTCTAACGCTATCGCACGTCGGCTAGGCGTATAGTGCGCTTGCACACCCGCAGTGGTTTCAGGCGCCGCGCAGCTACAGGTCGCAGCGATCCCAGGCGTGCAGCGCGCAGCGAGTAGACGTCCAGAAGGGGTGCTTGCGCGGTCGCGCAGTGCTGTGATCGCGTGAGCTGGCTGCTTGGTCGCGCTAGCTAGCGTCCTTGTAAGACACTAGCAAGCGGGCCGTCGAGTCTCTTTTGACTGTGCTTGTGGCATACGTGCTGTTCCGCGGGTGAAAGGCATCGCTGGAAGCTCTACAGTTGCTGCCGTCACCTTCGCTAACGTTTCAAGGCGGCTCCGGCGCCAGCGGCCCTGCACCCGAATCGTCGCCACTCGACGCCGACGCGTCGACTCAAAGATGATGCGCCGCCTACTCCTCATCATCCCAGCGGTGGCCGCCTCCACAACAATAAGCGACTGCGACGTCAAGCACGCGTCGGCGGCAACGCTCGTGAGCGCGCTACGGCGAGGAGATTTCGGCTGCGCGGCAACTTTAGCATCGGCGGTGGACGCTACCGATTTAGCGGTCAACGAAGCTCTCTTGGAACTAAGATCGGCGGAACAGCGCCTCAAAGACGTGCGCGACGCTTTACGGACGTCCGAGGCCTCGAGCGGCAAAGGCATGGCGCCCGCGCATCAGTGGGCCCAGTCCGGCGACGAGCTGTTTGTTTCGGTCAAGTTCGCGCACAAGTGGGACGCGCCGGCCACTCTTGTTGGGGAGAATGACGTCGAGAGCGTTCAGTTCGAGGAGGAGCTGGTCACGGTCCGCGCGCGCAAGGGCTCGAAGCGCTTCGACCTCGAGATCGTTCCACTAAGGCCGATCGATCCTCAAAACTCGTCCTGGGTCTCGGCGTCCGTTGGTCGGTTAACATTAACACTAGCTAAAGCGCAGAACCAGTCGTGGTGGCCGCGGCTCAATAGAGATAAAGTAAAACCATCCAATCAAGGTGTGTGGTGGGACAAGCAGGAGTTGTATGACAAGGAGCGGGACAAGGTCGAGAAGGTCGAGAGGGAACGACTTAAAAAACAACGGGAAGAACGAGAAAAAACGCCCAACGAACAGCTCGCGGAGACGGTAGAAGCGAAGCTCAAAGAAGACGAAGCAGAATTGGAACTGGCCGAAGAAATGCCCCCTATCTTAACCGATGAAGCCCAGGAGGCCTCGGTCAAAGCTGAGAGAAGGAAGGCTCTATGTCGGAAACAAGCAGCGCGCGAACGCAAGGAGGCCGAGGAGGACGGGAAAAAGGCCGTGGTCAAGGAGCAGGCTAGGACGCAGCTCGCGTTGGAGGACGTGGAGAACTGGCTGACCTACGCGATCCAACAGATCGACGCGGACGCGAAGAAGGAGAGCGCGGGGATTGGCGGGGTTGTTGTGGGTGACGGCGTCCCGGTGGACATGCCCGACGTGCCCGAGGCGGATTCTCTATTGAGGCGGCGCGCCAAAAAAAGGGGAGAGCCCGTCGAGAAGAAGAAACGGAAGAAAAAGAAGAAGGATGATTCGAAGGAGGATCTTTAGTGTTATAACAATAGTTGATATTTTACTCCGTCTTCTTGATATCGACGCGCCGGGAAGTAGGCAGGCACAGCTCGGCGCCGGCGTCCTGGATGGCCTTGGCGATGAGGACGTTGCACTGCCCGACGGCGTCGTAGTACGCCGTCGAGCCGCCCGGGTAGGGCAGTTTGACGTCCACGACGACAACTAAGGCATCCTTGTCGATGCGCCGCCAGTGGACCCACAGGTTCCGCCCGTTCGTGATGACGTGCGGCGCCAGTGCCTCCTTGAGGTTTGCGATGGTCTGTTCCACGCGGGACACGTCCTCGAGCCGCAACCGCAGCTCCGTCTTGTACTGCCCCCAGCGCATGCGCGAGAAGTTGACCAAGGGAACACCCATGATCTGGCCGTTGGGCACGACGACCGTCCGCTCCGAGTAGAGTCGTATCTTCGTGTCGAACCAGCCCATCTGCGTGACGATGCCCGCGACGTCGCCGAACATAATCTCCTCGCCTGCGCCGCGGGGGAGTGACGCCCGACGGCGTGTCGTGTCGTCGGACGCCGTGCGCAACCGGGGCGGAACTTGTCGTCACGCAAGTCTCACGTTCGCATCCGTGTCGCAAACATACCAGCTTGCATACCTGGCGTCGAGAGAGCGAGAAACGCGCCACCGCAAGCGATCTCACCTTTGCTCTGGAGATATGCAGCAATTTTTTAACGCGCGCGCTCTCGAGAGTGTGTCTCCGCAACGCGCTGACCGCGCCGCGCAACGAGTGCGCGACGCAACTCTATTTAAACACACATGAGGCGCGGCGCGGCGTAACCGTCCGCAACCCGCGCACGTCCGCAGGTCACCACCACCCTACCCCCACCACCAACATCATACAACAACATCATGCCTAAGTCCATCATCGCCGCCATCAAGGACCGCGTCGGCGGCATCATGTTCTGGGCCGCGAACGAGGCCGCCGTCGCGTCGAACGGCAAGACGACGGGCGAGAACTCGGGCACGCTCGCGGCCTACGCGGCGGAGCTCGTCGCCTAGGCGCTCCGGACACTCCCACCGGCGCCACACTCCCACCACTCCCTCCTCCCACTCCCTACTAAAGATACCACTCTATATTTGGCGTGTCACGGCGTGTGAATCCACGTCCCCACGCGATCGCCATTCAAACGGTCGTTCTAGGCGTTCAGACGCTTCCCGTGCTAGTGTCTTAACAGGCCCGCTAGCTCGAAAAACTAACCTTGAAACTTGGGCATTTTAGGACGTGTCGACGTGGTCGCTGCAGACGTGGTCGTAGCAGTGTAAAGTGTCACCACACATCGCTCGCGTGCAGCTCCTCAGGCACAGCGGCCAGAAAAATATCGCATGAGATGAGCCTGGCAAGCTGCACAGCACAGTGATTTGCATGATGATTCGCCACCGCTGCTGCGCAGCCCTAGCGCTCCTGCTCATAATCGCAGATGCAAAAACACCAAAACCCCAAATCGAAATAACAACAAGCAAGGGCACGCTGCGTTTGGAACTCACGCCCGATCACACGCCGATAACAGTGGACAACTTCCTGGCCTACATCGATTCAAAGTTCTTCGACGGCCTCACGTTCCACCGCGTCATCAAGGGCTTCATGGCGCAGGGCGGCGGCTTCGACAGTAGTCTGAACGAGAAGCCCGCATTATTTCCTCCCATAAAATTGGAGGCGGCCACGTCGTTAAGTAACACGCGCGGCACGATCGCCATGGCGCGCACGAATCAGCCCGACTCGGCTACATCGGAATTCTTCATCAACCACGCCGACAACAAATTCCTCGACGCGAGCAAGAGCAGCGACGGCTACGCGGTCTTCGGCTACGTCATAGATGGATTATCGGTCCTGGACGCCATCGCCACCGTCGCGACCCACTCCGTGACGGTCCACGGCACCAAGTTCGACGACGTGCCGAAGACGCCGGTCGTCATCGAGTCTATTCAACGCGTCGTCGTGCCGGAGCCGACGTGCGTCGTCCGCGTCTTTCGATTTTGAGCCGTTTCGCGACGCCATCGCCGCGACGACGGCGTCGCGCGCCACGCCGTCGACGCGGCCCCGTCGCGCGGGCTGCCGGAGCCGACGGCGTAACGTGGTCCATGCACACAGGTCCGAACCGACGCCCGAACCCGCGCCGAGACCGACAGCCGCGCCGAAGCCGCGGCCCACGCCGCGGCCCACGATAGCGCCCACAGACGCGGACGAGGCGACACAAGCACCGACGGCCCTGCGCATTCGGAGCGGCTACGCCATGTCAGACGCCGACGACGCGATCATGGCCCAAAAGGCGCACGGCACCTGCCCGGCGCCGGTCCAGGCCAAATTACGATGGGGCTGCGACCGCGACCTGGCCGACGACATTTGTTGTTTTAACAGAAACTACGCCGAGCCGACGGGCTACGCCTGGGGCACGTCGTGGCCCGCCGACGTCACGGAGGCGCCACAAGACTACTACGACCCCGTGACCGGGCGCCCGCTCTTCCGCGCGCCCGTCGGCCGCTCCCGGGCGGACTTCCTCGCGGAGAGCAAGGCCCACGGCTGGCCGTCGTTTAGAGATGCCGAGGTCTACTGGGACAACGTGCGCGTGTTAGCGAACGGCGAGACCGTGTCCGTCGACGGGACGCATTTGGGCCACAACCTGCCCGACGACGCGGGCAACAGATACTGCATCAACCTGGTGTCGGTGGCGGGCCGGTCCTGCGACGAGTGGTTCGGTCCTGGTGCTTCTTCTGACGACCTGTTGACGACCATTGTGGACCTGGACGTGCCCGAGGAATTCTGCGGAAAGTACAACCTGACGGCGCCCTGCGTCTACGTGCACCGGAGCGGGCCCGGGAGCGGCTGCCACCTCCCGGGCCCGCCCGACGCGTGCCACCGCTACGTCCGCGTCACCTACGATAGCTGCCCCGTCTACGTCCGCGGCGGCGTCGACGCCGACGATCGCTTCGACCCGGTGACGGGCGTTTTACGAGCGTGCGCCGACGACGTCGTGAAGATTGACACCACCTACTGGGGCCCGCCGGCCGATAACCCAAAACCGTGCGGCCCGCAGCTAATCGGGACCGATGAGACCGCATCGCAGCAGCTGCCTGTTACTTTTGTTCTCGCCTTGCTCGCAGCTTCGGCGGCGCTCGTGGTCACGTTCGCGGCGTGCGGGCGGCGGTCGAAGTACGCGCCGACGGAGGTCGAGATCCCGCCCCTCGACCCCGACGAGAGCTACGAGGACGCGGCGCTTGTCTAGCAGCGCTCGTGTAATTAGTTGTTTGTGAATGGGAGGCTTATTCCAGGGAGAGGGCATCATGACCTTCACGCCATCGACGCGACGCCTGCTCGACGGCGTGGCGGTGCGGTTCTCTGACCGCGCGGCTTGGCCAGTGCGGCCACGTCGTCCTCAGGGCGCGAAGACGGTGCGCGCGCGGCGGTTCCACTCGTCGACCTCGTCCACCTGATCCTCTACCGTCACGTGTAGATCGTCATCGTCTAAGCCCTGCCCAGGAGCAGGCATGGGAAAGGCCGTGTAGAGCGCCCAGCACGACTCCATCATGAAGCCCTTGTGGACGGGGTGGCGCGCGACCTTCAGGGTTGGGACATCTCGCCCGTCGACGACGACCCTCACCGACGAGCCGCTCTCGCCGCCGGCGACGCCGGGCTGGCGCCTTGCCTTGCGCGCGTGGCCCCAGCGCCACTTGACTTCCACTTCCAGCTCCCAGGTGCCGGCCCGCTCCGTGCTGCCATTTCCACAGAATGTGATTGTCGCGGGGTTGTTGTCGGTCCAGTAGGGGTCGACGGCGAGCCATTCTTCGCCCGCCGCCCGCTTGAACCGGAAGCGCCAGGTCTGGCTGCAGAGCTCGTCGCGCGTGAGGGAAGTGCGCTTTGAGTCCGCGATGGACAGGCGGCAGAACTCGCGCGGGTGGAGCTTAGCGTCGACGGCGATGTTGCGCCACTTGCGCAGGGGCTGGCTGAGGTCGTGCCAGAGCGCCCACGAGCCGCAGACGCTCCGCCAGGCTTTTGAGACTGAAGCGTTACTGCCGCCTGCCGCGACGTCTAGGAAGGCTAAGGAGCGCTCGATCACGATGGGGTCCATGCGCTGCGTGACGTCGACAGGCGTTTTCCGTTAGGGCACGCGCTCTGGGGGGTATGCAGCGTACTTCCGCGCTTTGGCGCGATGTGTTCCTAGCCACAGCGTGAGACCTGGCCAGTTTGTTGTGCTCTCAGAGCCGCTTGCTAGTGTCTTACAGGCCGCTAGCACTAAGCTGGCCGCGACGCCATCGCCGCGACACAAGATTAACTACCAACTCTTAGAACCCATGGATCACCACCTGCGACTTCAGGCAGATCTCCTGGTCCACGAGGAAGCTGTTGACGTTCGTCCGCTGGTCGCCGCTCAATTGGATGATCTCGCCCATCTCCGAATCCTTGGTGACCGCTCCATTACACTGGAAGTTCTTCTTGAAGGCCTTGCAGATGCGCTTCACGTCGAGGTCGTCGGCCAGACCCTGCACGGTCGTAATACACTTCCGCCCGTTTCTCTGCTGCACGCGGATGTGGACCTTCGACTGGTCTCCTTGCTTCTCGTCGGCGTCGTCGAAGGCGTCGAAGGCGTCGAAGTTCTGGATCTCCGCTTCCGTCATGCCGGTGCGCGGCGCTCGGCGTCTCTCGGCGGCGTTACCTGCGCGGGCGTTTCGCGTCGCGGCGTCGTGCAGCCTATCGGCCGACGTGCGTGCGGGACGCCTTCGTGTCGTTTCTTGCGGCTCGCGCGCGCCGCCGCAGCGGGCGAGGCAAGTGTGCTCTCCGAGAGGCGAGTCCACGGCGGTAACGCGAAGCGACATCTCTCTGTCGCAGCATCAGTGATTGATAAGCGCTGCAACGTGCAGTTCGTAAGAGCTCAACAGCTCGTATTGCGGCCACAAGATGGTCGACTCGATTATGCTCGACGATGTACGGGTTTTACAGGCTCGCGGCGAAAGCATCAGAGCGAGGCACGACACGTCGCAGAGCCCCTCGGGGACTGCGCCTACGCATTTTCCAAGTCTAAAACCCATCCGAAGGCCCGCGCGGGAGAGCGCAGCGCCAAAGCACCATCTCAAGCAGAGGGAAGGCGGGCGGCGGTGCAGCCAGAGCCCCAAGGTCTCGAAACGGACAGCTCGTAGCACCCTTTGACGAGTCAAAAGCGACGAAGCGGCGCCGAGCCCATTCAACGCCAAGCACAGTGGCACCAGGGCAGCCCCGCGCCCCGCAAGCATGGCCGAGGTAGTAGAACCGCTGCCCCTCGCCGACAAAGATGGAACGGCAACACCCTCACAATTGGACACGGGCCGCAGCGAGGACGTCGCCGCTTTATTAGGTGATGTGGACACCGATCTGGACAAGCTCGGGCAATTGTTAGGTGTGGACGGCGCCGTGCGTCGCAAGGCCTCGAAAAGGGTGAAGCGGGCCTTTGGGGTCACAACCTCAAAACAACTTTCGGATGCGTTGGCCGTGGCCTTGCAGGCGCAAGCTTCTAGACATGAAGCGGAGTTGCGACGAGTCCGAGAGGAAGGGAACCAAGCTTTGGAGAAGCTACGAGCCGATTTAGAAGCTAGAATAGACGCCATGAACGCCGGTTTATCGCCGGAGGAGGCTGCATTAGAAGCGGAAAGACGAGCAGCAAGAGAAGCTCGGCTCGTGACCATCGAGTCGCGATTGGACGCGTTGGCGCACAATTTATCAGGATTCGCGGACAACCAACAACGACTGGCGAAGCAGGAAGAAGAACGCGCCGCGTACCGAGAGAAAGTTGAGGCGCGCGCGGAAGATAAGCCAGCTCCGGCTAGAGAACAAAGTGGCGAGGACCTCGGGTTCGGGTTTAGGACCGATGGGACACCTAGAAATCCAGCGGCCATGCAACGATGGCACCGCGCCTTCGACTACATCAAGTCGAAACGCAAACTCAACAAATACGGCTGTTCCGTTAGATGTGCCCCTCGGCATTCCGTCGCCAATCGGTTGGCGGACATGGAGAAGACGATGATGGAGCTCAAGACGCACATTGACTATTTGGAGCACCAGGAGGCGCCCGTGGTTGTCTCAGGTGATTCGGGCGAGGCACTACAAGCTTTGAGTCAAAAATTGGAACGGTGCTTCGATAGAGTAGCGGCCGCGGAGAATTCCATCGACACGACGAACGAAGCGCTTGGGATTGCCAGGGAGCAATTAGCCGAGGCCCAACAAAGATCTGCGGAGCTCGCGGCCCAATCTCAAGCCTTAGGTGAACAATTGGGAGAGTTCAACGACGAGCTAAGCGTGACGAAGACGCAGTTGGGTTCCCAGATTGACACGACGAAGACGCAGCTCGATGTGACCAAGACGCAGCTCGGTGAACAGATCGGAGAGTTCAACGATGAATTATCTGTCACATCAACAGCTCTGGGAGCCCTGACGGCCGTGAAGCACGACACGTTTGCGGAGAACATCTTGACCTTAGTTGCGGAGAACGCCGCGAGGCTGGGGCTGACCGGCGGCGAGGGCGCTCCCCCGTACAATGATCAACCACTGACGAAACGCGTCGAAACGCTGGAGGAGACGGTCGCCGGTCATGCAGCGCACTTCGAAGCGTTGGATGCGGAGGCGCAACGGGCTCGCGACTCGACGGAGCTGCAAGAGTTATTAGGAAGGGTGGTCGAGGTCGAGAATAGCATCGGGACGACGAACGAAGCCCTGGGCATCGCGAAGGAGCAGCTCCACGACTCACTGAACCAAAAGTCGCAGCAGCTCAACGCGGAGATCGCCTCCAGTAAAGCATTGATAGATGAGAAGATCGACAGCACAAAAACGGCGCTAGGTGAACAGGTGTCGATGGTCGACAAGCAACTCGGCGGCCTCTCAACAACGATAGAGGGTTTCAATGATGACTTAAGTGTGCAAACGGAGGCCGTGGCCACGCTGACGGCCGTCAAGCACGACGCGTTCGCGCAGAACATCCTCGACTTGGTCGCGGAAAATGCGGCTCGACTGGGCCTAATCGGGAACGCGCCGCAGAAGGTCGACGAGCGGGCCCTGCAGAGGAAGTTCATGGAGTCGTTAGCGACGATCAACCTGGTCACTGCACAGGACGACAATTTCGTCATGTCCGAGGGCGTGAAGCGGGCCGTGGACTTTGTGGATGCCGAGACGCAGGACTCGACGGCGCGCTCAAGGTGCGATGAACTTTCGACGAGCATCGAACAGCTCGAGGCAGCACTCAAAGAAGCTGTGGCCGCGCGCGACGCCGCACTACGGCAGGAGTCTGCAGAGAGACGGAAGCAGGACAAGGCCCAGAGTAAAGAGAGGGCCAAGGACGCCGTTACGGCGAGGGACGCGGCCGTCGCCGCCGCCGCGTCCTACTCAGCAAAGTCAGTAGCTCTCGCGGGCGAGAATGCCGAAAGTCTGGTGGACGCGCGCATGGCCGCTGCTTTAGAAGTCATTTCGAGGGACATGCTCAAGGGGTCTGGTGTTTTAGGTGAGAGGGTCTCGGCGGTGGAGAAGACCGCCAACGAAGCTTTATCGACGGCCAATAAAGTTGATAATGGTGTGCCTCTGTTAATAAACGATCAGAAGAAGCGCGAAAAGGAGCTCTGGGACTTCTGTAGGAGCGAGTTGTGTCGGAGCGGCTGGTTCGAGGAACGGCTGAATAGATTAGCTACCGCTGTGGATCAAAAACCTGATGAGGCGCGCGTGAAGATGCTCCTGCGGAAGCTCGACGCTACTCTCAGAATGCACTGCGGTGATGGGGCTGCTTTATCTCTCTTAGTTGAGAGAATACATGGGGAAGTCAGTCGCAAGCTCAACCGGAAGGACGTCATTCGAATTGTGGAAGCTTCCATCGACGAATGCGAAAAACGCCTGGAGAAGGTGGCCAAGGCCGGCGGCGGCGCGCGGATCAACGCGTTTTTGCATGATGCTACTTTACCACAAAAAGGACTGCCGCCCGGCGCCACGTCCGCGACGCTCGGGCGGTCTACCACCTTGGCGCGGCCTCGCACGGTCGCGCAAACCACCGCAACGGCAATCAGGCCCGACGCGGCCAAGGAGATCTTCAGCGCGATTGCCCAAAGTGTTACGGAGTCGATGGACGCCGACTTGACATCAGTGCAATCTGGCATGGAGCCCGCTGAACTAAAAAACGCAGCTAAGTGGGCCGCGAGTGCCGCCTCGGCGGCCGTCCTGGGACTGGCGATACAGGACGTGGAGAAGCTGTCGACCATAAGGGGACCCACCACCCAGCCCGTGCTATTTCCTGGTCAAACACGTGCGATGACGACCCAGGGACGGCCCGCGACGGCGACCACACCCGGCTTCACGGCACCGCCGTACGATCCAAATCTTGTGAAGCGCACGTTCGACAGTCCCCCGAACCAACTGGTGCTCGCGTCGTACCCGAACGGACGACCAGGGGCGTTGCGCCCGATCAGCCTCGCGCCGCCCGAACAGGAGGACGACTTCGAGGACGTGCCGATCGCGGAGCCCTACGTGCAGCCGTCGGCGATGCCGAGCGGGGCGATGAGCCCGCTGTCGCAGGGTCCCGCTGATTAATGCTTCCATAAAGTCCTGAGATTCCGGCGTCCGGTCTGCTCCCCCCTCGTAGTCGTCGCTTCCGAGCTAACACTCCGGGCGACGGCGGGCGCGGAGGGCCGGGGGCGGGGCGGGCGTGCGGTCACGCAGACCCCGCGGCGGTCGTGGTGGCTAGGCGGCCTAGCTCTAAGCAAAGCAGATTTTTTCGCAGTGATATATTATGCAGCAGCCCACGCGACTGCTGCCGCCTCCTCGTCTAACGCGCCCGTGCGCCGCGCCTCCGCGATCTCCGCGTGAGCCACCGCGACGGCGGCCTCGACGGCGTCGGCCGCTCCCGCGGGGTCCGGCAGCCCGTTCGCGATTTCGGCCTCAGGAACTAGTGAAGCGGGCGCCGGCGCCGGCGCCTCCGACTCGACGGGACGACTGTTATTGAAATCTGTCGCGGCAAACATGGATGTAGTCTGGCAGCCTGGTCGCAATTTCCAATTACCGAGGGGTTGAATGAACGCCGAGGCACCAGCGAACATGTGGCCCATATTTGTGACGTTGTCGATCCTCCATTCCGCGAGCGGGTGCCTGTACGACGAAGCGCCGTTGAACATCGCGTGCATACTCGTCACGTTGTCAACTTTCCAGGCCTCAAGAGGGTGGTCGAACGACGCGGCGCCGCAGAACATGCAGCTCATGTCCGTGACGCTTTCAACGTTCCAGTCGCCGAGCCTGCGTGGAAATCGAATTTCAGGCGCCCCACGCCATCGATGCGATGTTGTACTGCGTCTACTCTCCGCGCTTGATTTCGACACTGCGCCGAGCGGCTGGTTGAACGACGACGCCTCCCAGAACATGTAGCTCGTATCCTCGACCTTGTCGACCCGCCAGTCGCCCAGCTCCTGATTGAACGCCGCGGCGCCAGCGAACATGCAGCTCATATCCGTTACAGAAGACACGTCCCAGTTGCCGATCGCCTGGTTGAACGCCTTGGCGCCGTTGAACATCGAGTGCATATCCGTGACGTTGTCGCACTTCCAGCCGCTAAGGTCTTGATTAAAAGACGAGGCGCCGTGGAACATCCAGCGCATATCCACAACATTATCGACGCGCCAGGATCCAATTGATTGATTAAATGCAGCCTGGCCGCTGAACATCCGGTCCATCGTTGTCACGCGAGACGTGTCCCACGCACTGATGTCCTCGTCGAAGCCGGCGTCGAGTTTTGAGAGGACGCAGCGGTCCCATTCGGGCCGGCCCTCCATCCAGTCCTCGCGCACACAAAACAGCGCCGACATGTTCGTCACCGCGCTCGTGTTCCAGGTCGCCATGGGCGGCAACGCCGCTCGCTCTTCGTCGCTGGACCATTGTTTTAAGGCTAGTCGCAGGGTCTCATTTGTTAAGGCAGTGCAGTCGACGACGAGGGGCGCCGCCTCGCACGTCTCCTCGCCGGGCTCGGTCGCTGGTGCCTCTTCCTCCATGGTATGCTGCCTGGTTCCGTCGTGAGGCTGCCCGACGGCTGAAGCACAGCGCCTAGCCAGCGCTAGCCTCAGCTTAACCGACGGGTTTTGCGCGCGGTCTTGCGGGACCCCTCCCCGCCCCAAGCGCCATAAGCTAGTGTCGATACGCTAGCTCCGAAACATGAATCACACATACTTTAGGACAGATATCACACATCACGACGAAACGCCGTCGCCGCTAAGCCTTTGCCGAAGCCCGGTCATGTGGGCGTCGAAGAGGCGCTCGCGCTCGCGTGGGTCGAGCGCCCCGGTGACGATGTGGCGGCGCAGCGCCGGCTCGGCGTCCGCCCACCGTGCGTCGACGTGGCGCTCGTCGTAGAAATGGGTGCGCAACAAGCCGTTGAAGCTGTCGGTGAATGAAGCGTCGAACGAATCTTTGAGGAACACGACGAGCGCCGCGGTCAGAACGAGCGTCGATTCCAGCAGGGCGTCGAAGCCGTCGCGGTCGCTCTGCGCGTCGGCTCCCTCAACCACAAGTTCGCCACCGTCCTGACGTGAGCGCGCGCGCTCCGCGAGGGCGACATCCAGGCCGTCGAAGAGCGCCCGCGACCGCGCGTCCGCGACCGTCGCAAAATCAGCGAGGAGACGCACGGACGTCTCGTAGCTCTCTTCGCCGAGGGCCAGGACCGCGTCGCGGACGGCCGCGTCGGCGCAAATAACAAGGTCGTACGCGTCCAGGTCCTCCTTCGCGAGCGCCGCGCCGGCGGCGGTGACCCGCGTGCCGTCGAACCCGAGAGATGTGAGAATTGCCTCTTGGCGCGGGTTCTCGATGAGCGCCTGGTCCTCTGTGAGGCTGCAGGAATGTGGATAGATCCACCATCCCGCATCTGCCCAATGGGCCAGCGCGTCCGCGCAGCTCTCGGCCATGCGCGCGCGCGCGTTGTCGTCGTCCACGAAAAGGACTTGCGCGTGGTAGCGCGAGGCGTCGACGTCCAGCGACTTGATCCTCGCCGCTTGCCATTCGGCGAGAAGGGCTTGCGGCGTGAGCGCATTGCTTATGTACAGGCTCCACCAGAGTGGCAGCGTTCGCAGCCGTACCGGCGTGAGCGCACTGCTTACGCAGAGGCTCCACCAGAGTGGCAGCATGGTTAGCAGCCGTACTGTCGCCATAATTCGAGGAAAGTTTATGGGACGTTCAGGCTTGTCCTCTGTTAGCACTGAGCGAGCCCTGTGGTTCTCCGGTGCTCTTTTCAGCCTGCCAGCTTAGCCAGAGCAAGTTTGCTCTCCGGCCGGCTGGGGGCGGCAAAACACTCTGTGCGGCTGTCCAGAGATGCGCATCACTGCCCAAAGACTCGCAGCGATGGCGACCGTAGCTGCCGCCGCGAAACCGAGCAAGGTCTACGTCGTAACTGGGGCCACGGACGGCATAGGGAGGCTCACCGCCCAGAAGCTGGGCGCGGACGGTCTCCACGTCGCCGTGCACGGCAGAACGAAGTCGAAAGTCGACGCAGTAGTAGCCGAGGTCGAGCAGAACGGCGGGAGCGCGCGAGGCTTCGTGGCCGATTTGAGCTCGATGGCAGACGTGAGGCGTCTCGGCGCCGAGATCGCGGAAGCTTATGACAGCATCGACGGTCTCCTCAACAACGCAGGAACCTTTAGTGGAGACTACACCGGCAAACGCGTCGTCACGGCCGAGGGAAATGAGTACTCGTTGGCCGTCAACGTATTAGCCCCTTTCCTGTTGACCTCGCTGCTCCTCGACCGCGTCCGGGCCTCGGGCGCCGGTCGCATCCTGGTCACGTCGTCGATGTCGGCCGGCGCGGCGGACGCGTTGAACGACCTCCAGTGCGAGCGCTGGTCGGAGCACCGCGCCTACTCCCTCTCCAAGCTCTGCTGCGCCATGATCGCAATGGAGCTCGACGCGCGCTACGGCGACCCGCCCTCGCTTTGTATTCATACAATGGACCCCGGTACGGTCAACACGAAAATGCTAATTGCGGGCTGGGGCCGCTGCGGCATCCCGGTCGCGCAGGCGACGCGGTCCTACCACATGCTCGTGGACGAGAGTTACGGGCGGTCGTCGGGCGAGTGCGCGGGCACGGGTCTGAACCGGGAAGCGAAGGACCCCGCGGCCCGAAAGAAGCTCTGGGACGACCTGAAGGAGCTGACGGGGGCGTCCTACCCAATGTAACTTGACATGTTTAGCTCGTTTTAGCTCGCGAGCGCCGCGGCGTAGGGGTCTTCGGGCGTCAGGATCCACGCCGTCAGCACGACGCCCGCGGCGGCAAAGAGGAGCCATGTGGGGCGCGACGCCTGCTGGCGCGGCCGCAGAGATGCCACGTCCCGTCGGAGCGCGTCGAGGTCGGCCTCGAGTGAAGCGACGGCTTCGACTGGCGCCGAGACGGAGCGCCGGTCGGCGACAGGTCGCGGCGGCGGCGCGCGGCGGCGGAGCGCGTCGCGCAAGGCGTCCGCATCATCCAGAGCAGCCTCGAGCTCCGTGGCGAGCGTCTCGCGCGTGGCCTCGTTTCCTGCGGACTCGGCCAGGGCTTGAGCCCGCGCCGCGTACGTCGCGGCTCCCAAAGCCGCCGCGTTCGCGCGTAGAGCGGCGGCGTGCGCACAGAACGCGGCCGCGGCATCGGAGCGGTTTGCGTCGGCCGCCGTAGCTCGATCCTCGGAGACCTGGCGCGCGCGACCGGCCGCCGCGGCCCGATTGTGAAAAATTGGGAGAGCCCAAAAAATTACAAAAAGGTATCAGGAGCGGTAAAACTCTAATCAATCTCTGACCCGCCGTGAAGTTAGAAGAAATGTGCGGTATTCACGCGCAGACCTTTATCAATTAGCTTACCGCGCGCGGATTGTGGCTCTGAGCTGCAGACCAAGTCGGCAGGCCTAGATCCGCCTTGGAGCATTGCGCGCGCAACACTGATGCTCCCCGCGGGACTCCTCTGGAAGGCTCAAAACAAGGCGTGCGATTTCGTGCGATTCGGGCTAGCGTTATAGAGATACTAGCAAGCGGAGCTCTCACAGCTGACTTGGGCTCACGCAGCTCAAAACAATCAGATTTGGCACACGCTTGCAAGCTCACACCAGTGCTCTGCGCTGCGTTATCATTTGTGCATTGCTCACACGCCTAGACTCCTAAAGCAGCAGCCTGCAGGCTGCGCACTCTGCACGCCATCGCGCAGAGCGACGACAGCGATGGCCTTCGCCCAGAACATCCGCCACCTCGCCCGTAAAGCAGCCGCCGTTACAACAATCACGACGGCCTCATGCGAAGACGCGCCGACGCTCCGCGAATGGCTCGAGAAGGACACCTTCAGCGCGGCCTTCTCCCAGGGCTTCGGCTGCGAGGCGGCGTCGATTGGGGTCGCTCTAGGACTGGCGGACGGCGTCGGCGGGCCGCGCCAATTGCGCAAGCGTTTGGACGGCGTCGCCGGGGCGTCAAGCGGTGCGAAGGTCGCTGCCGTCTTAGCGGCGCCGAACTGCCCGCTGGAGGCCTTCGAGGCCCTGGTGAAGCGCATGCGGTTTCGCGACGCTCTGTTGGACTTCGACGACTTGGCTCTATATGAGGGCGGCTGGGCTAGACTCTCGACGTTCCGGAAGCACTTCTCGGGGCTCGTGGGTGGGCGCGACGTCCAGAGTTTAGATATGTTGCCCTTCTCTACGACAGCATTCGACCTTAAGAGCATGCGCTCAGACATCCTGTCGGAGGGCCCGCTCGAGCTCGTGTGCTTTGCCTCGGGAGCGTTTCCTCCCTTATTCCCGCCCGTGCACATCGGCTCATCACTATACACGGACGTGGCCTTCTTCACGGACGCGTCGGGCTGCCGCGGACTTCAGACGTCTCCAGAGTCGCGCGTGCTGCAGGTCTGCCACGCCGACGTGCCCTTCAACGGGCCCTGGGTCGTCGAGTCGCCCTCGTCTTTAGGTGTGCGCGAGGTCTGCTCCGTCGTTTTAACAGGAAACACGCGCGTCGTGCCGCTGCCGCCCGGCGCGCGGGTCCGCGTCGCCGCGGCGCTGGACGGGGCGCGCGAGGCCGTCGTCGCCGCCTTGGACCGGCCGCTGGAGCGCGTGGCGCCGGGCCACTACGTCTGCCGCGTGTCTCCCAAAAAACGCGTCGCCGGCGCCGTGGACGCGCTGGCGCTGTCGGCGCTCGTCGCCGGCGTGGCGGGGGCGGTCGTGGGGGTTTTGCGGCGGCGGTGATGTAATTGTTTGTGGTATATTACGCGCCCAGTCTTACGCCGACGGCGTTTCGCGGGCGCGGAGCGCGGCTCGCGCGTTTCGCAGTTCGCCCTCAATTCCCTTTGTGGTAGGGTGTGAGCCGCCGAGCACGCGCCGCGCGACCCGCGCCGTGTCATCGAGCGTCGACACGGCCTCGCGGCGATCGTCGAGCGAGGCGCTGGCGTCCTTGTAAGAACGCACGCGACGCGGCGAAGGCCGAGCTCGCCGCGGAATGAACCACCGCCCCCCCCTTTTCTACCATCACCATCACCCCTGCACAGAAGAAGACGCGGTCTCCGCGAGTAAGATTTGTACGACTCGTGCGCCCCCCCCAACGCCGTCGACGGTCGCGGTGATAAAACACAGCGGTCCTTAGGGGCACTAGCCTCGCGTCCGGGGTCAAGTACTCAAGTGCGCCGCTTCTTCGCCGCCGGCTCGACGGCCTCCGCGACTTGGGCAAATCCGCGAGCGTGGTCCCGAATCAACCGCCGGATCTGCGGTAACCCTAGCGACGGCCCGGGGTCCACGGAGTCCAGCGCGTCCGGCGGCGCCAGTAAATCATTTGCACCGCGGATCGGCTTCAGGTAGGCGTGATCCAAACATTGATCCGCCGAGTACCGTTGTGCCGGGTCCATCTTGATCAAATTCTCCAGCAGGTCGACGGCGTCCTTCTCCGCGCCCGGGTACAGCGCGGCGAAGGTCCTCCTGCCTGTAGGGGCGGCCCGTTTCGCAGCCTCTAGTCTTTGAGCCACCTCTGTCGAAGACGATAAAGCTGCCACGTCCTGTACTGAACAACCAACGACTCGGACTATGGTAGCGAGCTGGTCGTCGCCCGGTTCGATCGCCCTCGTTCTCGGCGACAGGTCGGACGCGTCCCCGGGGAACAACGGTCTTCTATCAAGATAACACTTCACCGACGCCTTTTCCATGGACAAAAGTTCAGCTAGGACGCACCCACAAGCCCACATGTCGACACTACTATTGTATTGAGGCGCCCGCAGCAGTAACTCGGGCGCCCGATACCACCGCGTCACGACGTGCGTGGTCATCTGGCGCCGCAAGGGCGGCCGCGCATGCAACACTTTGGGCGACTCCGCGTCGTCGTCGTCCGCCGCCCGTAATGACACAGAACGTTGTAAGTGTTGTCGAGGTAGCGTTCGCGCTAAACCAAAGTCGCAGATCTTCAAGGAGACGGGCTTGACCTCCAGGAGGCAGTTCGCCTGTGCGGACGGAACCGTCTCAGTCAAAAACGGCCTCAAAATCGGAAAAGAGACCACCCACGGCCTCCTCTCCTGGAGACGACGCGCGTCGATGGCGTGAAACCGCCGCAGACCCCCTTCCCCTTGAAATACGGACACCGGTGTTCGCCGGCTTGAGGTCGCGGTGGACGACGCCCGCGCTGTGGAGCCACCGCAGGCCTCGCAACAAGTCGAGCGAGAGCCACCGGATGTGGTCGCCCGTGAAGTACTGGTTCGAGGCCACGACCTTCTCCAGGTCCGTGGCTGCTTTTTCAAAGATGAGGAACACGTCCGCATCATCACTGGGGTCTTCGAGCGGCGTCCTCACATCTAGGAGGTTCACGATGTTGTCGTGCCGCGGCAAGGCTGCGAGTATGCGCACTTCGCGGATGATGCACAGCGCGTCCCTGCGAGAGTCGAAGGCTCCTACCACTCGTTTCACGGCGACCTGCTTCCCATCACTAATTTGAGTGGCGGCGCAGACCTGGCCGTAACTGCCTCTTCCAACGAGCTTCTCGAGGTTGAACTTCGCCGCGCCGCCGCAGGCCTCCCAGTCGCCGCCCTTGCCGTCGCTCGCCTTCGTCCAGCCGAGGCGCTGGGCTAGTCTTCGGGGCGTCGCGGCGCTCATGCCTCGGTGTGCTTGTGGTGGCGCGGGCGGGTCTCCGTGCGGGGCACGGTCCCGTGGCGTCTGCGCGCTGGCCGTCTTTTGACGCGCGGCGCCTCGCGCGTGGGAGCGAGCACCGAGCAAAAGGGCCTCCTACTTGAGGGCCCTTTTATGGAGTGCGGGTGCCGTCGCTGCACCGGTTTTCGAGCGGATCAGCCTTGAAGGTATACCGAGCCACGGATATGTCGCAGCGGCCTCCAACAAGGGCGATCGGGAGCGAAAGACAAAGGCGCAGCTGGGAGTGGGCTAGCTGTAAGACACTAGCATTCGTCCTAAGACGGCCAACCGTCCGGGTAGCGTTCTTCGTGTTCATCAAGCAGGGCAGATGCGGTTCCAAACGGGTGGAGGCAAACGGGCAAAACCCGTGTCAAAAAATGAAAATTGGCAGGCAGCCGTGAGCCGCAGGCGCACTCTCACGCGTCGCGCAGGCCGCACGGATCCGGAACGACACGCCGGGACGGCCACGACCGCCGTCGCGAGCGCTGCGGCTGCCCCGCGCGCGGCAAGAGCAAGGGGCTGCCCAGGCATCAGCATGGAGTTTTTTGGTTATGGCCGCAAGGCCACACCCCAGAAGAGTGCGGGCCCCGCCGCCGCTTTGCAAGAGATCATGCAGCAGGAGTTTGAAATTGACGCCGTCGGGTCGGAGTTTATGCCGAGCCTCCCGCAGTACGACCTCGACCTAGAACCCGACGAGGCGCCGCGCGCCACGCGCGACTTCACGCCCCTCGAGGTGCCCGTCGGGCGGCGGGGCGGCCCGAAGAAGCGGTCTTCTTCGTTGCCGCCGTCGATGGTCCGCAAGCAAGCTGCACAACGCATCGACGACTGGGCCGCGTACAACGACTCTGATGAGACGCCGCAGATGGCGTCGTTAACCGTCGTCACCACGCCGCCGCCCGCTCCCAAAAGAAGAAGTCTACTGCAGAAAGCTAGAGATATAGGGAGGGCCCACATGCTCCCCAAGCTGATCAAGGGCGAAAGCTACGAGGTCGCGAACGGTACGAGTACGGCGCGGACGTCTTCGTGCGACGTCGGACAAGCATTGAGGGATCGAGGTCGGTTCGGCGCGATGTCTACATGTGTTGTGGAGGTGGCTTTTATCGACGGCTCTTCCATCAAAGTGACAGCTAGGAACGACGACACGGCCCGGTCCATCCAGTCGGCGGCGGCGTTAGCGATCGGCGTCGGCGCCGAGTACGTCTCGGCGCTCGGACTGTATGCGTACAACGGCGACGGCCGCTGCGCCGCGCGGCACGAGCCCGACGCGACGGCCCGGTCCCTGCGGAATCAATCGGTAGTCCTCGCCGTGCGCCTCATTACGACGGCGCAGCTCGCGGCCGCCGCGCGGGGCTTCCGGACGTCGACCGCCTCCGCCAACGAGTTCGCGCTCGCTCGCTTGTTGCACGCGCAAGCATGGTGCCGCGTCCTACTCATCGCGTCGACGCCGTCGCGGCCATCGACACTAAAACGCACGCAGGCCGCCGCCTACGCCCTCGACGAGCGCTGCGCCGCGCCGTTCCCCGACGCCGTCACGGGCGACCTCGCGGCGCTCCGGCTCTGGGCGCGCGCGCGCGGCCAGGCTGCGAAGCGGGGCCTCGACGGCGACGACGATACGATAGTAAGGCCGCTGGCCCTCACGCTGCTGGCGACGCACGGCGTCCAGGAGTTCGGGAGCGCCGACGAGGTCCGCGTCCGCGCCGCTCTCGATGGACATCTCGCGCAGAAAGCCGCGAAAAGAGATAAGGCCCGAGCCGTCGCCCAGGCGCCGAAGAAGGCCGCCAAGATCGAGCTGGAGATCGTCGAGCCCGTCGCGGACGGCGAGCGCGTCGTCTCGGACGACGGGGACGCGCCCGAGGCCGCGTTCCTCGCGACGGTCGCGTCGACGTCGCGCTTCGGCGCGCAGTTGTTCCCCTGCGCCGTGCGGCGGCGCGCGCCCGGCGAGACGATGCGGGACCAGGCCTGCCCGCCCCGCGTGTTAGCTGTTTCTAGAGATGGTGCCGCCATCCTATCCAACGACCTGACGTCCGAGCTCCAGAGCGTGCCCTTTGCGAAACTGCGACGGTGGACGCGCGACAAATCTATTATACGCTTCGAGGCCGAGCAGCCCTTCGACTGCTGGGGGCCGGCGTTCATGCGGAGACGGTCGACTTCCCACGACGACGCTAGAAGAAAGCGATTGAGGAGACTCGCGGCGCTGTCCAAGGGCCGCGCGACGCAGCCCAAGGTCCAGGCCTCCTGGTGGTTCTCGCCGGCGCCCAAACTGCCAGAAGCTCCTGCTTCGTTGTCCGAGGACGAGTCGTCCAGTGACGACGACCTCGACGCGCCGTCGCGGCGCGTGCGCTTCGAGATTGATTTAAGGGATGACGAGCGCGCGGCGCGGGAGGTCTTGCGGTTATTAGATGACTACTCGGTCTACGACCTCCAGTCGCAGCGGCCGCGGTGCCAGTATCATTCCATATTTGGGACCGGCCTGCCCTCGGCCGGCGCGGCGCGAGTGGCAAAAGCGACCGTAGGAACGCCGGAAGCCCTCGCGACGGAGGGCGGCGGCGCGTTGGGAGATCGACCCACGGTCTACAACGCGTTGGTCTCCGCCGTCATCCGGCCGCCGCGGTTCCTCTACGACTGCCGCATCTTAGGACCTTCGTCGTTCGAGTTCCAGAACAAGCGGTGCCTACGGCACGACTTGGTTTTGCGGAACGCGCGAGGCTTACGGCTGCACTGCTCGCACTGGCGCTTCACCGACGATACAAAGAGGCCGTGCGTCGTCTTCATGCACGCGAACTCGGCGTCGCGCGTCCAGGCGTGTTCCTACCTGCCCGTGGCGCTGTCGCTGGGCGCGACGTTATTTGCGTTGGACTGTGGCGGAAGTGGTGTCTCCGACGGCGCGCACGTTTCATTAGGGTGGCACGAGGCCGACGATCTGCGGATCGTGCTGTTGCATCTGCGACGGCGTAGTGACGTCGGGTCGCTGATCGTCTGGGGCCACTCCATGGGCGCCGCGGCGGTCATTTATTATCAAGGTAGGTACCTGACGAAAAAGAACGTGACCGCGCCGCGACTCGACGCTTGTGTCTTAGATTCGCCGTATGCCGACTTTGGGGAGTTAGCTAGACACTTAGTGGCGCAGAACTCCAAGGCGGCGACGGGCGGCCTCGGCAAGTACGTCGCCGGCTTCACCGTCACCAGACTCGCGTTGGATTTGGTGTTGGACTCCATCGACGCGACGTGCAAGCAGCTCGCCGGGTTGTCGCCTCTTAAAGATTTGTCGCCGATGCGGCACGCGGCCGAGTGCTCGGCGCCGGCGTTATTCATGCAGGCGCGGTCGGACCGGATCATCGCTTTGAAACACGTCGAGGCCTTAGCAAATAGGTACGGCGGCAGTCGCAAGCTGGCCATCGTCGACGGCACGCACTCGTCGCCGCGGAACGGCGCCGCGCGCCAGTTCGTCGCACGGTACCTGAAGAAGCACGTGCGTCTGCCCGAGGCGGCCGTCGCGGACGGCGCGGCGCGGGACCGGGCCCTCGAGCTGGCGCCGTGGCACCGAGCCCGGGCGGCGCTGCCGCCGGCGTAAATTATTAGGATACTATTATTACTTTTGCTCCTTCCGGGAGTGTGCGAACGTAGTAAACTTACGAGACAAGGCAGCAACTTCTGTCCACGGCGCTGCCCGCATACATATTTTCCGTGTATGCCCAGTCGCCGAGCGGGATCGAGTCAAAAAGCCGTTTCATATAAAAGTGTGGATTGAACTGGAAATGGTCCGGTACATTAGTCGGGTGGTTGAACGACGAGGCCAAGTAGAACATTCCGTCCATCGACTGGTTTCTGAAGAGGTCAACGTTGAAGGTGTTCCAGTCGTTCAGCGGCTGGTTGAAAGCCGAGGCGTAGCAGAACATCGCGTGCATATTCGTGACGTTGTCGACCCGCCAGTTGTTCAGCGGTTGGTTAAACGACGAGGCGCCGGCGAACATCGTGCTCATATTCGTGACGTTGTCGACCCTCCATTTGCCGAGCGGGTGGTTAAACGACGAGGCGCCGGCGAACATGTACTGCATATCCGTGACGTTGTCGACCCGCCAGTCGTTCAGCGGCTGGTTGAACGACGAGGCTCTGTAGAACATCCAGCTCATATTCGTCACATTAGAGGTATTCCACGCGCTGATGTCGTCGTTGAAGGACGACGAGGCCGCCGGAAGCATCCTATTAAAATTATCTTCCATATAGTTCATACAGGGCCAGTTCTTCCAAGATTCCTGCCACACACAAAACAAGAACGACATGTCCGTGACCTTACTTGTATTCCACGTCGAAATGGGCGGCAAGCCCTCGCGCTCGCCGCCGCACCAGCGCTTCACCCAGTCTCGCAACGTCTCGTTCGTGAGCGGGGCCTCCTCCACCACCACGCCCTCGACGACGCCCGTCTCGCCCGTTACCTCGGCGTAAGGTTCTTCCGCCTCGGCCTCCTCGCTGCGTGCCGGCTCCCGTTCTTCCATCACCAGCGACAGCGTTTGCTCTTCCTCACCCATCACTGCTTCCTCACCCACTGGTGCTTGCTCTTCTTCGGCCACGACCGCTGCCATGATCTCTGCTTGCTATTCAGTGCTGCTGGCCCTCCGCACTCCGTCCGCACTGGTGATTGCGTGCGGCTGCGATAGAGGCTTAAGAACTGATCCCAGGAGGCTGCCCAATGCCGAGGTGTAAAGCTGAATTGCTTTATGATGAGCGCTCCGCTCGCGCTCACAAAACCTCGTGCGGGTTTCTGTGGCGGAGATTGTACGGGAAGCCGTGGAAGCCAGGCGCCTCGGCCGCAGGAACACTATCCCTACGGGTATTGCGCGCGCGCTACACGAAAAGGGCCGGATCTTCGCGCAGCGAAGCGCGGCCGCCCGACATACAAAATCAACACACAAAAATTAGAAGCGGCTGCGCCGCCGCGCCGCCCCCCCCCCCCCCCCCGCGCCCGCCGCCGCGCCCACCGCGACCGCGCCCGCCGCCGCGCCCCCTTCCTTCGACCTCGGCGAGCCGTTCCTTGTGCTTCTTGCACGTCAGGTGCACGGCCAATTCATTGGGGGACGTCGTCTGGACCCGACATAACTTGCAGTAGGACCGGTCGCGCCAGACGCGCGTCGCGACCATGTGGAGGTCCGACCGCCGGTGGCGCTCGAGGTCCGCGAGGTCGGTTCCTTGAAACGCGCACAGGCGGCAGTACAACTCGCGCTTGACCTTCTCCGACGCCGCGCAGGCGTCGACCAGGCGGTGCGCCTGCTGGAGCTGGGCCGGCGACGCGCGCGCGAAGGCCGCGTCGGGCGTTCCCGGTTTAGTTCGTTGCGGCGGCCCGTCGAAGTGCCGCTTCTTGGGCGGCGCCTGAGGTAATAAATGGGCCGGCAGGGGCGGGATGCGGTCGTCGACGAGCGAGGCGAGGACGCCCCGGGCGACCTTCTTGGGCCGGACGTCGCCGCTGTCGTCGTCGCTGTCGTCGTCGCTACCGTCGCTGTCGCTGTCGCTGCTCTCGCGCGCGAGCTCCGCCTCGAGGAGCGCGATGCGCTCGTCGAGGGTGAGCACGCCCTCGAGCTCGGCGTCGCCCGAGAGGTTCGGCGCCGCGTCGCTGTCGTCGTCGTCGCTGCTGCTCGACGCCGGCGTCCTTTCGTCGACGCGTCCCGCGGCGGCGTCGCCGGCGCTGCTGGTGTCGCTGTTGCTGCTCGCGTCGCTGCTGCTGTCGTCGCTGCTGCTGCTGCTCGACGGGTCCGGCGGCGGGGGCGGCGGCGCTTTTTTGAGCTTTTTACGTTTCTTTGCCAGCTTGGAGGCCAGCTTGAGCTTGGTTTTGCCCATCGTTATCGCGTCGCGCGGGCAATATTGGAGAGTTGCAGTCGCAGTTCTGCTGCTCTGCCGCCAAGAAATGCTGCAGCGATCGCAGAGAAGATGTTTTGCCACTGATAACACAGCACAGCTGCGACCCTTCAAGCAATATCCAGTCTCTGTCAGCCCCACAGCGCGACGACTGCGCCGCAAGACTTGAGAGAGCTAGCGTCCTGTAACACACTAGCAAGCAGCTCTTTTTTTGCCGCACCAGTTTCAGGGCGTAGGCGCCCATTCTTGGACGCGCATTATAAAGAGCCGCACGCGTGCAAAAAGCGACGCGGGAGCCAGCGCGCCCCCGTCCCCGACGCGCTAAAGAACGCTCCCGGGTCCCTGCTCAAAAAAAAAAACGCGCTCTGTTCACAAGCCCGCGGTTCCGCGCGCGGCGTTCACAAGCGCCGCGTCGTGCTCAAAGACTACGCCGACAGCGCCGCGCGCCACAAAAGAGGCCGCGCCCCATAGATGCGCCGCGGCGCCGCGCTCACCGAGAACAGCCCCCCCCGCCGCGCAAGTTCTGCAAAGATGGTGCGCCGCGGCACGCCCGGGAACCCCGCCGACGCCGGCGCGCTGGTCGTCGAGGAGTTCGCCTACAGCCACGCGCAGCGCGCGTACCAGGCCGAGGTCGGCAATCGGGCGCCCGAACTGATCCCAAGAAAACCGAAACCCGGCGAGCCCGCGCCGACGCCCGGCGAGCGCGGCGAGGTCTTTTATAAAGATGCCACGCCCAAGGCCGACCACTTCATGCAGTTCCGCGTGCGGCTGCCCCGAGCGTTGCGGGCCACAGTGTCAAGCGACGTCGTCCTGGACCTGACGCTGTGCTTCGCGCCGAACCACGACACGGACGAGTACGTCGTCGTCGCGGACCAGTCGCATTTGAGGAAATGCGATGCTCCCAGGGGCGAGCCGCGAGGAGCGAGGGAGAACCTGCTCGGCGCGATTTTGAGATTTCGCGTCGAGCTCGGGTCCTACCGCCAGGGCGACAAGCGCTTCGTCATCAAGGCGTCGCTCTCAGACGAGGAGGCCCGGAAGCACGGCCTGCCCGCGCTTCAATCGGCCTACACGACTCCTGTGTACGTGGCGTCCAAAGTAAAACGGTCGCGCATGGCCGCGCACCGCCAGCAGCAGCAGCAGCACGACGACGACGACGCGTCCGTGAGTCCCATGCCGCCCGCGCGGCGCCAGCGCGTGGGCCACCCGGCGGCGCCGCGCATGCCGTCGCTGACGGCCGTGGACCTGTCGCAGCTCCAGGCGCGGCTCGACGGCCTCGAGGAGCTGCTCGTCGAGCGCGTGCTGCCCATCCTGGATCGGCTCGACGACCGCCTCGCGGCAACGGCGCCGAACAATGACGAGGAGCTGCCGGCGTCGCAGGACTCCCTCGCGGAGCTCGTCCGCGCGCCGACGTGGTCCGACGCCGTCGCGGCCATGGGCCGGGGCATGGGCGAGGCCAAGGACGCGTTGCTGTCCTTCTCGCTGTCGCAGGACTCCCAGGACGGGCCGCCGCCGCCGCCGCCGGCGCAGGAGTAAGTGGTGGCGTTTCGTGTTCAACCTAGTTTTACGTTAGCGGTGGTGGCTGTGCAGCGTCTGAGTTTGTTCGCTAGTATCTTACTACCGCTAGCAAGCGCCGTCGCAGAACAGGTCAAACGCGTCGTCCCGTGCTATTACGCGAGCTCAAGGGCTGCGGTAGTCACATCACGACTGCGTTTTTCGCAGCGCTGCGGGCAGCGGGGCGCTACCAGGCCGGCCCTCTCTGAGAGCACCACTCCTGGGCGCGCGACGCCGCCGCAGCATCACCGCGAGCGCACAAGTCTCTGAGAGCACCGCGAGCACAACACGGAGGAAAAAAGATGTCCGTCCTCGCGCACAAGTGGGTCTCGAGCGGCGCTTTGAAAGGCCAGGCCGCCTTCGCCAAGGCCCGGGTCGTCGTATCACTGCATGGCATAATGGGCCAAGGGCGAAACTGGATGACCGCCGCGAGGCAGCTCGTCAAGCGCCAACCCGACCACAAGGTGCTTCTGATTGATCTGCGCGGCCACGGCGCGAACGCGACGATCGCGGGGCCGCACACCGTGGCCGCGGCGGCGCGCGACGTGGCCGCGACGGTGGCGCACGCGTGCGGCCCGGACGCGCCGACGCCGTCGGAACCGACGGCTTTGCTCGCGGACGGGACGGCGCCCCTGGTCCTGGGCCACAGCTTCGGGGGGAAGGTAGGGCTGGCCTACGCCGCGGCGCGCGTAGAGCCGCCGATACGGACCTGGCTCTTCGATTCGAACCCCACGATCACCACGGGCGCGGGCGGCGTCGGCGAGGTCCTGGCCATCCTCGAGGACGCGGCGCGGGACCAGGTCTATTCCACGACGAAGGCCGCCGTCGCGGCTCTCGTCGAGCGGGGCCTGCAGCCCGCCACGGCGCAGTGGCTCGCCATGACGACGGAGAAGGCCGACGACGGCGGCGTGCGCTTCTCCTACGACCTCGACGCGGTGAGGGCTCTGTATGATGACCATTGCCAGACGGACCTCTTGCCTGAAGCTCGGGCGCTCGACGACGCGGATCGCTTAGGTTTGGTCATCGCCGGCAAGGCTGACGTGGTCCCGCGGGACCTCGGCCTGAAGCATACCTACGTCCTCGCGGAGAGCGGCCACAACGTCCACGTGGACGCGCTACCGGAGCTGCTCGAAGTCGTCGTGGGGACGCACGGCGCGGACTGGGTCTAGATGTGTGTGTTGTTTACAAGTTGAAATTAAATTAGCCTTATCACAACAACAGCGCACTATCAACGACGTCGCCCCGCGCGTCCGCGTCCGCCATCAGCGCGCGGACGTGGTCCGTCGCGACGAGCGCGCCGGCCGTCGAGCGGTGCGTCGCCGCCCGGAGCGTCTCCGCGTGGCAGACAAAGAATAAGACGTGCCGCGCCCTCGTGAGGGCCACGTTCAATCGCCGCTCGTCGGCCACGAATCCCACGTCTGCGCACGTCCCGGCGCGCACCGCGGAGATTATAACCACGTCGGCCTCGGAGCCCTGGAAGGCGTCGACGGTGCCGATACGCAGGCTCTGTCCTGCGCCTGCGCCGAGGCGCTGCTTTATCGGTGCCAGGGCGCGCTCCAGAGATTGGATTTGGGCCTTGTAAAAGGAGATGACGGCGACGTCCACAGAAGCGCGCTGCGGCAGCCGCTGGAACAGCGTTGATAATATCCTATCGATAGCGTCGACCTCCGATTCGTTGCGTAGAGACGGGCCGTCGTGCCGTGCTTCTCCGTGAGCAACGTCGACGACCGTCCGACTTTTGAGGGGCGACGCGTTTTTCGTGATCGAGTAGGGCAGCCAGTCGGGGCGCGGCCTCGTTAGTAGTGTCGGCGCGTCGCGCACGCGCCCACCGTAGTAAGTCGCGTTCGGAAACGCGCTGATGGCGGGGTGCATCCGCCGCTGCTCGTCGAGGAACCGCAGCGCGACGACGCTCGCGTCGCGGACCTCGAGCAGGCGCTCCATCGGCGACGACGCAAGCCCAGCCTCGACGCCGGCCGCCGAGAGGACCGTCGGCGGCAGCTGCATCGGATCTCCGCAGAGGACGCAGCGCCGGGCCTGCGCCGCTTCGGCGGCTGACAGGATTTCGGGCTCGAGAGCTTGCCCTGCCTCGTCGACGACCAGCAGTTCCCGTGCGCCGATGATCGCGCGCAGGTCCGGCCTACCCGCGGTCGCCAGGGTACAGAACAGTATCTCACTGAACCTCGCGGCGTCCCTACTGCCTGGACTCCGACATGACGCGTAGGTCACATGGGTCTCGACCTGGCTCCCGACGCCCACGAGCACCGCGCGCCGCCGGCCCAGCGCCCGAAACCTGTCTAAAAGTTCGATCACGGCCCGATTCGACGGCGCGCAGGCGAGAACGCGGCCCTTCGACGCCAGCAGCAAAGCGGCCAGCTCTTTCGTCTTTCCCGTGCCCGGCGGGCCGTGGATGAGCGAGATCGTCGTGTCGAGGGCCTGCCGCGGCGCCGGCGCCCGGACGTCGCCCACGGCCGACAGGACCGCGTCGGAGATCCAGTCCGCTGTCGTCTCGGTGGGCCGCGTCCATCGCGTTTCGCGAGTCGCCGCGTGGTAGAAATACGGCCTTCCAGATGCGTCCGTGGCCGCGCGCCACGGATCACTGTCGTCGCGTTTCTCCGGCGCCGCCCGGCCGCCGTCCCGGCACAGCGCGAGCGCGACGGGCGGCGGCTCGCGCCGGAACGCGCGCCGCAGTGCGTCGTCCGCGCGGATGAGCGAGACGACGGACTCCAGGTACTCGACGCGGACCGTGCGCCGCCGCCCCATCTCCTCGAAGAACGCGTCGTCCGTGCCCTCCCTACATCTAAAAGCGCGCTCCCCTGGCTTCGACTCGTCGAGCAGCAACGCGACCGCGCTCTCGCCGCAAAGGAATCGCACGAACGCGTCCTGGTAGATATGCTCGCGGTGCAGGATCACCACGAGCCGTTGCTGTCGATCGACGCGCAGCACATCGTGGTCCGCGACCTCGCCGCCCGCGCCCAGGCTCCGGTCGATGATGTCGAAGGCCTCCGCCGCCATCGCGTGCCGGAACGAGTCCGCATAGCGCCGCGCGTCGCCGCCGAAGCGCCGGGGGATCCGCGGCGCAGAACGGACCGCGTCCCGGCGGAGCAGCCAGTCGCGCAGCGGCGGGAGACCAGCAATTGGCGCGGCTCCGTCCAGCGTCGCGAGGCACGCAGCGACGGCGGCCGCGTCTCGCCGCGCTCGTTTCGCTCCTTTGCCGTCCCCGTTTGAGGCAGCGCGCACGGTGCCGGCAAGAGCGCTCGCTTCGTTCCTCTTGTGACGCGCGCCGTTGAGGTGCCGCGCGTGCTGCTCCAATGAGGAGCTGAAGACGTTGCAGATGCCGCATCGGTAGACGGGCATGATTATTTTGCTGTTTTTGGTGCTGTTTTTGGAGAGCAGGCAGTGTATTCGTGCTATTTCGGTTGGGCAGCGACCAATGCGACGTGCACTCGGTCCGCTGCCTTTGTGCGGCGGGATAGACGATACGTATCACAGAATGCCCTGCTTTATAGCCGCGCTTTGCATCGATCCCCGCTTTTGGGCAGCTGATGAAAAGCTAGATGATAGACACTAGACTCAACCGTGCTGTCCACTGCTGCAGTATAGCGATGTGAGCGGTGGGAAGAGTGCTACTACGACTTGAGACGGCCGGGCGCCGCGCGGCCTTTTTCCCACGACACAGTCTCATGAGCCTCCTTGCCAAAACCGTGCCCGCTGCCCGGGTGCCGCCCGGATAAGCGACGAACGACGCTAAAGGGCGTCCGGAGACGCAAGCGACCCAGCGCACGCCGCCGGGGCAGCCTCGCGCGCCGCCGACGGGCCGTACAGCACACACCCAGGCTGAGCTCCCACCACAGGGCACCTCGCGCGCCGCGGACGGCCGTACAGCACACACAGGGCACCATGGCCGCCGAAAAGCCGCGCGACCCTACCAAGAAGTTCACCTTCTCCGTGCGCACGCGCACGCTCTTCTGGCGGCGCGCCGACGACAAGGACGCGACGCCCGCGCCGCCGCGCCGCGTCACGCTCGGCCAGCTCCCGTTCCTGCCGCATTCTGCAGAGACGCTGAACGGGCTCTCGCGCCTGGACCGGGCCTGCCTCGCGTTCCTCCGCTTCGTCGTCGCGCGGCGCGTCCTCGCCTGTTGCGCCATCGCGGGGCTCTATTCATTATTAGCGGGCGCGGGCGTCGCCCTCGGCTGCCTCGACCTCAGCCCGAACTACCAGTACGAGTGGGTCATCGACGCGAAGCGGAGCACGCGGAACCACGACATGCGGCGCGCGGCCGTCGCGGCCGTCGACCCGCTCGCGGCCCACGACGCGGTGGAGCCGCGCACGGATGAGCACTTGCCGACTTGGGTCGAGTACGAGTCGGCGCCCCACGTCTTCACGGCCCCGAACCTGCAGAAGATTTGTCACATAGAGGCCCGCTTCTACGGCGAGCCGTCGTACCAAAGGGTCTGCGTGATGGATGAGGGCGCGTGCGCGGCGCCGGCGGCGTCCGCACTGACGGCCTTCTACGGCGCGGACCACCTCCAGCGACTGGCGCGGGGCAACGCTTCGTGTCATTTGTTGGACGAGGCGGCCGTGGCGCAGACGTGGCTTCACATGGTCGCCGCGGCGAACGCGTCGACGGCGGGCCGCCTCGCACACGGCATGTTCATGGCGAAAGGCGCGATCGAAACGGGCCTCTCGCCGAAGACGCGGTCTTTACTTTACGTCGGGGCGCCCCTGGAAAACTTCGCCTCCACCACGGACCGCACGGCCGAGCAGTACGACGCCTACCAGAATTATGTGGAGAAAGTGGAAAAGAAGCTCATGACGCACTTTGGCGTATCCGGCAGTATCGTCCGGTCCGCGTACCTGGAACCGTGGGTCCGCGACGGCCTCGAGTTCAAGGCCTTCTCGTACCTGTTACAACGGTTGGAGTGGTTGCGATTGCAGGAGATGGACTCGCTCTGGATGGCCATTACCATTTGTTTTGTCGCCTTGTGGATCCGGGTGCACACCGGAAGTGCCAAGTTCGCGGCCGCGGCCACATCTCAAATTCTAGATGCCGCGCGGCGAGGAGGAGTTCTTTCCCCGGCAGCACATGTTCACGGGCTTCGCTAATAGTATGGCCCGCGATTATGAAGTGGGGGCGTCGTCCGAGTACACGGAGGTCGCCTACACCTTCGGCGTATCAGGATTGCGGAGGGAGAACTACGACGAGTACGCGCCGGACTACAAAAGAGGTGAGGCGCGCTGGAGCGGTGGTTTTGATATGTTCGCGTTCCGTGATGAGCTGCAAGGCTTTTGTGATGCGGTCCGAGCGGCGCCGTGTGATGAACGCGAGTGCGGCATGGGGCTGCTCCACGTGCCCGAATCGACGACTTGTTTCTACGAGGAGTTCGCGGCGTGGAAGGGTTCTTCACTGATAAACATGACCGCCAGTGACTTCTATGAAGACCTGGTTATCTTCAGGGAGACGACCTACCCGGGCATGATGCTCGGCCGCGATCCCGACGGACGGACCTGGCAGGACCTCATCGGTTTTGTGGACGGTCAATTACGGTTTGTGACGGTACCGACGTCGTTGACCATGAAGGTGAATGGCGGTATTGACCTGAGGAGAGAAGTGATCAACACCGTATTAGATTTCGTGGAAGGCCAGAGAGACACCATCAAAGGCTTGGGCCACCTGACGTATGACGGCGGCCTCCAGTTCATGTGGTGCGACACGATCGAAGCGTTACGAGAAGCGTTATTCGAGGGCTTCGAGATCTGTTTTCCGATTGCATTTGGCGTGTTAGTATTAGCGACGCAGAATCTACTTGTGTCGCTATATGCCATCGTCGGCATTGCTTTAGTGGTCGCGTCGGTGCTCGGGGCGGCGGAAAGTGTCTATGGGTGGGACTTGGGGGTCATCGAAGCATTGGCCGGGGTGATGGTCATCGGTTTTAGCGTGGACTACGCGATCCATTTGTGCCACATGTACGTCGAGGCGGACAAGTCCGGGCACTCGTCGCGGATGGACCGCTTCAGCTACGCCGTGTCGAAGATGGGCGGCACGGTCGTCGGCGGCGCGGCCACGACGCTGGGCGCGGCGGCACTCATGCTGCCCTGCCAGCTCACCTTCTTCTACAAGCTCGGATTGCTCATCTTCACGACGATCTTCTGCTCGCTGGTCTTCTCCTTCGGTTTTGTGATGCCGCTCCTCGCGGCGGCGGGGCCGTCGGGCGACTGGTGCGGCTTCTCGCTGCCGGGTCAAAAGCGCCACCACGGCGGCCGCGTCGCCGCCGCGCCTCTTCCCGTCAAAGCGGCGCCCCCGTCTCCCCTGGAAGACGACGACACGGAGGCGGCTACGCCGCCGTCGCCGTGACCCCCCTCCCTCCTCCCCCGTCGTCGTGTGTCCTAAGAAAACTTGCTGATAATTAAAACGTCACGCACATCCCCCGTTCCGCAGCGCCCGGATGAGGTCGAGGTATTCGGCATCGTCCGCGGGGACGCGGCCGTGGCGCACGAGGAAGTCGGTGAGCACCAAGCCCACGTTCGGCTTCCAGGCGTCGTCGTCCTGGACCAAGCGGTCGATCAACTCTGTGATCGATACCCGCTCGAAGCTTTCGACCTCGCCGTCCACCGGGGTAGGAGCCCAGTCGTGAGGTACGGCCAAGTCAAAACAAAATAGCGTGTCGGGCTTGACGGCCCAGTCCCGGTCCTGGTGGAAGCCCGTGTACGACACGGCGCCGACGGGCTTGAGCCCCCGTAGCATGTCTTCAGCCACGCCGGCCTCCTCCTGGCACTCCGCAGCCATGGCGTCGCGCGGTAGCTCGCCGGCAGCCAGACCTCCGGCTGCCACGCTATCGAGCAGGCCCGGCCACGTTGGCTTGCTCTTCGACCGGCGGCCGAGCCAGACCTCGGCCGGCGCGCCGCTGTCGTCTTGCACGTAAGCCGTGCAGAAGACGCCGTACGCCGGCGCGCCCAGGAGCGGCGCGGCCGCGCGCTCGACCACGGCTCTCGCAGGGGCGGCAAAGGATGGCCGTATCGCGAAGGGCTCGTCTCTCCAGCCGCGCAGCATCGGTATTGCGTCCTGCGCTCTTAATGCGTCGAAGGCGTCCTTGAGAACAGCAGTCGGGTCCGCGGCGTCCAGCGCGACGGCGTCGTCTGTTACTGCGAAGAACGGCTTTAATGCATCGGCGGCCTGCGGCAAGACCTTCCCCAGTGCCTCGCCGTTCAGCACAAAGTCGCGCGCCGACCGGTACGCGTCGCCTCCAGCATCTACGCGTTTCACTCTTCGCAGGAGGCGGCTCGAGACCGTGTCGAGCGCGGCTGCAGATGACGCGCAGCAGACGGCTAGGGCGCGGCGCATTGCTGCTGTTGCAGCAGCGGTTGTTTGTCCAGCGGCCGCAAGATTACGCTGTCAGTGGAGCAGTTGGTTGCAGCAATTTGATGCAGTTGCTCTCCTGGCTGCTTGTGGAGAGCACTTTGTGAAAACGCGATCAGATAATCGCATCGATTGCCCAAAACCGATGATCTGTGAGTCGATGCTCTGCAACACGTCTTACGGTGCAAAGAAGTGCAGCCGTGGCCCAGCTCAAGCTCACAGCCGCGCGCACGCCGGAGCTAGCGGCCTGTACTTCAGGAAGACACTAGAGGGCGAAGCCTGAGAGAAGCAATCTGCACGTGCGGTAATGTGCTCTCCTCCTCTACCACACTGCCCGCACAATAAGTCGAGCAGGCGTAGCCGCAGGCACAGTCGCGACGACGGCGCAAAGCCACGCGACGCGGCCCGGACAAGAACTAAACTCGAAACTGTTACAGGCCGCGCACCCCGTCCAGCGCGCAGCGACGACGGCGAAGAGGGACTTGTTCCCCGTTCGCGTTTAGGCCGTCAGCTCCGTGACGACGCGCACGGCGTCGCTGAGGTTCTGGACCTCCTCGGCGCGCTCGTCGGGCAGCTCGACGTTGAACTCCTCCTCGATCTTCATGACCATCTCGACAACGTCGAGCGAGTCCGCGCCGAGGTCCGAGGCGAAGGACGCCTCGGGCGTGATCGACGACTGCTCGACGCCGAGCTGCTCGGCGACGATCTCCTTGAGCTTGTCCTCGACGGAAAACCGGGCCGTCACGCGCGAGACGGACGCCGGGCGCATGAACGCCGACGAGGCGCCGAGCGCGAGGGCGACGAGGATTGACCGGAGCTGCATCGTGGCCTGCGGTGACGAGGACGGGTGAGTGCGCCGTCCCGACGAGGGCGTCGGTGTGCGGCGCGTCTGCAATGCCGCCGTCGCCAGGTCTCCGGACGCGCCGCGTTCGACGGGCGCGCGCCGACGAGTGTTGGATGACCGAGCATGCAATTCGCATTGCTGCAGTGGGGAGAGCGCTGCTGCGGCTGCGGCAGGGCGGCTTGGCTTGCAGGTTACGATCCAGCGCGCGCGGCACTGCTCAATAGCATGCAGGATCCCTGACGCTAGGGCAAAGCCAACACTCATCGCGGCGCACCGTACTTCCGGCTGCGCACCGTCTGGTAGGCGTGCGGCACCCTGACGACATCGCAGTTGCATTACGGACGCGGGAGGCATGCAAATAGGTCGTCAAAAACAGCAAGCGATGGCTACGTAGTGCTACGCAGTGCGATTTGGCCACGATCCGATACGCCCGCTCTGGGCTAGACAGAGAGTCCCAGACCTCTAGGCACGAGATCCGGGCCCAAGCGCGACGTGAGCTCGCCTGAGACCCCGCCCCGCGCACCGCGCTTCAACAGCCGCACAGCTAGCCCGCCAACGCCATCGCCGTAAAAGAAGAACTACACACAAACTCACATCTTACCCCTGCAAAGCATGAGGATCGTCGTACGTGCTATCGTGCGTCTCGGCGTTGTACCAATAATCATAGCCCTGCTCGTCCTGGTGCTTCGACCAGGGCGACTGCGCCGCGCCTTCGAGGGCGTAGACCGGCGCGCTTTGATCATAATTCGACCCGTCGTAGGTGTTGTCGTAGGTGCCCTGGTTCGTATCGTACGTCGCGCCCGTCGGCGAGCCTAGCTGGTAGCCAGCCGTATCAGGTCGTGACCCATCATAGGGGTCCTCGTACTGCGACTGGTTCGTCCGCGTATTGTACCAGTAGAAGTTGCCTTCATGATCTTGGGCCTGCTGCCACTCCTCCGAAGGTATGATGCTATTATGTGAAGCTTCAGTTCCTCTAGTTTCTGGCCTGGACAGACCAGCGGCCCTTTCAGAGTAAGAGGTCTGGGGCCGTTCGAACTTCGAGGGCGGCGATTGCTGCGTCATCTGGGAAGGTCTTTCCATGCCTTCATAAGGGTTTTCATATTGACTGGCGCCCGTAGCCTCGTCGTACCAGTACTTGTTCCCCTGGTCGTCGTAGAGCTCCTGCCAGCCCATCATGGAGATCTGGGACTTGCGGTGGAGGGTGCCCGTGGTGGTCGAACCTTCGGCCAAGCCCGTTGACGAGTAGATCGACGACTGCTGTTGCAACAGCGCCTCCTGGACTCGCTTCTCAAGCTCCTGTTGGAGAGCTTCCTGTTCCACCCTCACAGGAGGCTTCGCGCCCGGTCTGCCTAACCTGCCAGCATAATATAGTTCGTTCGACAACGTTTCTAGGGTAGAGCAAGTTTCATTAAACCTCTCATCCTGCACCATCCTCACATCCGAAGCGGCCCCTCCTAAAGCTAACCGCTCCTGGAGGAAGCCCTGGAGCTCCTCCATCGGTTTCGAAGCCTTCTCGGAATACAAGCCAAACAACAACTTCGCGGCGTCGGCGGCGGCGTTCGCCGCTTGTTGTTGATCGTTCAACACGTGGTCCGGGTCCTCGACGGCTTCGCCGGTCGCTAGGACTAACAGTTCATCTCTCCGCTTATAGCCAGTTTTTGGAGGTTCATGGAACGACTGGTTCCTGACGGTGTCATAGTAGTAGAAGGCCGCGCCCTGGTCGTCCCAGAGCTCCTCGACCTTCTTCGCCTCGGCGCACATGCTCTTCAGGCGCTTCTTCTTTTCGTCGGCGAAGCGCGTGCGGCCTGTGTGCATCAATCGGTGAGTCGTCGCGCAGACGAAGTTTTGATTTCCACGCAGTAAGCGACCCATCCACCCCCGGTGCCACTTCGCGATGCACGCTTGGGACCGCGCCTCGAGCCGCCGCCGCTCCATGAGCTTCCTTAATTTAGAACCGAAGAGCACGCGCGCTTCCCGCGCGCGCCAGGCGCCCTGTAGATACGTCGCGGCGTCGTAGCGGTCGTTTTCGTATTTTTCCCGTGCTTCGTACAATTCGTCCGCCAACACGCGCGCGAAGACCGCCCGCGCGAGCGATTGGATCTTAGTGGAAGCGTCCCTCCGGTCCTTCGCGAGCTTCAACGCGTCGTGGCGTTTTTTAGCTGTGCGCTGGCGCTGGCGGCACTGGATCATGCAAGCGGCTTTCTCTCGTCGGTTGAAGCGCAGGACCCGTCGCACTAACCTTAAAGACTTGTTCCGGCGCCACGAGTTCTGGACCAAGACGGCAGACGCGACGTGCCTAGCGAGCTCTTTCTCATAAGCGAACCGGCGCTTCCCGAACATACGCCTGGCAATAGACTGGATCATCGTCGCCGCCACATAACGTTCTCGTTTAACTCGTAGTCGTTCCACTCTTTCAGTAGCCTGGAGCCGGCGCTCCTCCGTTTGGATAACACAAGCGGCATTGTACCGTCGCAAAGCCAAGCGCGCCGCGACCAGTTTAACCACATACAAGCGAGCCATGTGCCCGCGCACATACCTACCGACCGTCGTAGCGTTCCGGTCCGCCACGACCCGATTCTCCTCCAATCGCTGCTGATGGACGACGGTCGTCCACCGGTCCCAGCGCATGCCGATCAACCTGTTGAATGTTTCTTGAATCCCATTCCACACTTCGGCAGCAGCATGCTTCATCATGAACTTGCGCTGGGCCTCCTCCCAGCGGTCGTACTTGATGAAATCCCGCCACTTCGTCCAACCAGCACCTAACTGAGCGTTGAGTAACCTTGTGACGGTCTTGACGAGCGTGTCGAAGCCCGCGGCCTGGACGTAGGCCTCCGCATGACTGAATCTGCCGGATTGGAACACTCTAGGCCCTGTGACCCCCATGGCCTTCGAGGCCGACAGACACATCTCCTTCTCCAAGACCTGAGCCTTCGCCCTCGACTTGGCCATTTCTCTCCTTAACATTTCCACTTCAGACATCTGAGGAGGCTTCCTCCTTCGACGAGGAAGGGGCGGCCGCTTCTTCTTCTTCCTTTTGTCCGGTAAAGGTGGCAATTCTCGCAGCGTCTTCTGGAGCTTCTCGACGATGGGATTTGGTAACTCGTCGGGCTCGCCGTTCTCCGCCCTTTGTCTCGCTAATTCTTTGCGGACGGCTCCTAGCAGGTCCATCTCGGCGGCCTGTTCGTCGGTCAGCTTGAGCTTCGTCTGGAGCGTTTTCAGCTGCAATTGCTCCTGCCTTTCTCGGGCGTAGATGCCCTCGAGCGTTTTGTCCAGCGAGAATTCTAAATTGGACGTGTCCGTGACCCGCGGCATCTGGACCACGGGGAAGAGCTGCCCGGCGGGCGCCGGCGCCGGCGCATTCACAAATCGCGACGACCGCAGGAACTGCGTGAAGGGCGTCGGCGCCGGCGAGTGGGGCACGTCCCTCTTCAGCCCGAACCGCGTCGCCTCGGGGTCCGGGTCCTCCACCAGATGAGCGCCGAAGAGCATGGTGCCTGTGGGGGCTGCCCCCTCTGCCCGGCTTGGTCCGTCAGCGGTCCCTCGGCGGACAGGTGTCGCCGCTAATGTATTGCGGCCGGTCCGGGGCGCGACGGTGGCTGCCCCGCTGCGCGCGCCTCCCCGCTCTCTGCACCAGGGCGTTGGCATGGGGTGCTGCGGCCGCCGTCCCGCCGGGACCAGCTTCGACGACGGCGGAGGCCTCGCGACGCGTGCGAGAGGCTAAGAAATGACGACGACGCGTCTGTGTTCGTGCGGGTGACGCGCGACGCGCGACGGAGAGGCATTGCTACTCGCTTGTATCGACGCCATCGGGCTGCCCGAAGCTGTAAATGATCCTCACGCAATGCGCCGTCTGCGCCACCGACCTTGGATTATCCTTGGGCAAGAAATGCGGTCGCTGCAGCACGCGCTACTGCGGGGCAGCCTGCCAGAAACAACACTGGGAAGAGGGCGGCCACGACAAGCTCTGCAAAGCGATTAAAAAAGCAGGTGGTGCCGAGCAGTATAATGCAAATCAGAAGTACACGGCGGCCGTCGCGGTCGCGGCGGAGGCGTGCGCGGAGGACACAAAGGGCCAGACGTGCTATATTTGCACGCAGGCGCTGCATCGACACACCAAGGAGGGCCTCGTGCGCATGTGCGCGTGCCGCGGGACGGCAGGCTTTGCGCACGTGTCGTGCTTGGCGGAGGAGGCGAAGATATTGGTCGCGGAGGCATGGGAGAACAATTTGGATAGCAAGGCGTTTGATAAGAGGTGGCGGCGGTGGGATACGTGTAGTCTGTGCGAGCAAAGGTATCACGGCGTCGTGGCGTGTGCGCTCGGGTGGGCGTGCTGGAAGACGTACGTGGGGCGGCTGGAGACGGATGAGGCTAAGGGCTTGGCGATGACGCAGTTGGGGAACGGTTTATCCGCTGTTGGAAATTGGGCGGACGCGTTGTCCGTGAGAGAGGCCGAGTTGTCTACGTTGCGGCGCATTGGCGCACCACTATCCGCCATTCTCGCCGCGCAGGGGAATCTTGCGAACACGTATCAATATCTCGGACGGCTTGATGAGGCCTTGCCCCTGCGACAAGACGTTTATTCCGGACGTGTGAGGCTCTCTGGCGAAGAACATGAACTCACCCTAGTAGCAGCCAACAACTACGCGTCGTCCCTTGTTGATCTACAGCGCTTCGAAGAAGCCAAGGCACTGCTGCGCAAAACGAACCCCGTGGCGCGACGTGTTATTGGGGCGTCGCATGAATTAACGTTGCGGATGGGGTGGACTTACGCGCTGGCGCTCTACAAGGACGACGGAGCCACGCTCGCCGATCTCCGCGAGGCCGTGACGACGCTCGTGGAGACGACACAGACCGCGCGGCGCGTGCTCGGCGGCGCGCATCCGCTTTTGGCGCCAATTGAAATTTCACTGCGAAACGCGGGAGCCGCGCTGAGCGGCGCGCTCGCCGCCCGCGACCCGCCGCCGCGAGGCGCGTAACTCGACAAGGTTCTATAGACTAACTACACGCTAAAGGACAGGCTCGGCCGCTTCGCGATGAGCGGCGCGCCCTCCTCGTCGCGGCTGCCGTACGACTGCCAGGGAGCCTTGGACCGCTCGAGCATTTGCACCGATTTCTGCTTCATCACGACGTGCGTCGCCGCCGCGGCGATGACGCCGACGAGCAGCGCGCAGAGCGAGAGGACGGCGATGCTATACAACGTGACGTGGACTGAATCGTCCGATTGTTCGATGTAGGGATTTTGTGAAACCGCTCTTCGGCGCGTCGGTCGCGCTAAACGCCTATCCAGGCGCGACGGGGCGAATGTTGGAGAGAGCCGTTACGTCGCGCTTGAGCACTGGCGCGTCTTTCACGCGCCTGGGAATGCAATTTTGTGGAAGACTCCTAGCGGCGTAGACACACTAGAATGTATGCGGGCTGCCAAAAAAAAGCTCGTACTCGTAGCCACAAGCTCCGCTGCAGGCTTGGCTTGCTGGATTACAGCCACACGTCGACGAATCACTGCTCTCCCGCGGCAAAGAGCATCTCTGATTGCAATTCACCGCACCCAGCCATGCTGCTCTACATGCTGCTGCTTTTGACCAGCGCGCATGCATTGGTTGCACCACAGCCCGTCTGCCGACCGTTATCTCCTACAGTTTACGATAAAAACGTTCCGCTGCGAACGACGAGTGGACGCGCGCGCGTCGCCCTCGCCGCCGCGCCGACGGAGACAGAAAATCCAGTCGCGAAGGATGCACCGATCTACGCGCTCGCGGCCGCGCTCCAGGCCGTGCCGCTCGTTCTACAAACGAAGGAGTCGCACTACGTCTTCTTTCTAGGACTGGCGACGGCGACGGTGTATCTATCGAGCCGGGCGCCGTCGCTGGCGCCGCCGGAGGCCGAGCCGCTGACCATGAAGCAGGCGGCTCTAGCGCCGGTCCTCGCGTCTATCAGCCTCTTCTCGCTGTACGCCCTGATCAAGTACCTGAGCATCGACCCGTCGCTGGGCTACCGGCTGCTGACGTCCGCGTTTGCGGGTGGTGCTTCTTCCTTAGTGCTCTACGAGGCATGTGATGCGGTGTCAGATGAGGACGACCGCGCGGCCCTCGTCGGCGGGGTCATTGCGTTCATTCTGGTAGCTCTATACCTCGGCGCCGACTCCTTGCAATTGAGTCTGGAGGCGAAGACCGGCATCGCCAATTTCTTAGGCTGGTCGCTCGCGTTACTCGCGCCGCGGACGGTGCCGCTGCGGAGCTTTGGGGTGGGCGCGGCGCTGCTCGGCGGCCTTTTTTTGTATGATATCTTCTTCGTGTTCGGCAGCGACGTGATGATGACCGTGGCGACGAAGATTGATGCGCCCGTCGTCTTGAAAGCTCCGAACCCGCATCGATTCCGTGTGGAAATCAAATTTCAGGCGCTCCACGCTATCGACGTGATGTTCTCACTGGTTGGTTTCGACACAGGCCCGATTCCATACAACCGTACGCCCTGCTTGGCCTAGGCGACGTAGCACTGCCGTCGCTGCTAGTGTCTTTCCTGGGCCGCTACGGCGACGCAAAGGGAGAACGCGCATGGCGCCTGACTGCGACAAGCGCGTACGCGGTGGGCCTGCTAGCCGCGTTCGCGGCCAACGAGTACGTGCGGGCGGGCCAGCCGGCGCTCCTCTACCTCGTGCCGGCGACCGTCGGCGCGGGGCTCTGCACCGCGCTCGCGACAGGCGGGCGCGAGGCCGTCGACGAGCTCCTGGCCTACAAGGAGCCGGCGCCGGAGTATACGCGGTCGCGGTGACGGCGTGCCGGGAAGTAAATTAAGTTGTTTATCAAGTCGCATGCATGCCTGACGGGTTTTTCACGCTCGACGCCGGCCTTTTTTGCAGCCCCCACGGCCGCTGGGCCACTTGCAGGCTTTGATTAAGACCTGCCGGTCCCAGATATTGTGACTGCGACAGCTGCAGCCATCGATTCGAGGCCCAGAGAGCGCGCACACAACCACACTGCTTTTGACACCAAGTTTTGAGCATCTATACGCGGCGAGCGCGTACGAACGACTCTGTTTTTTATTACCAACATTGAGCAGCCATGCCGCGCCGCCAGCGCGACGGGGAGCGGGAATGGCGGGCGACGCTGTTTGTCTGGCGCGGCGTGCTGGCCGTAAGCGACTTCGGGAACAGCGTCACGTGGCGAGGCGTCTGGGTGCCGACGGACACCGACACGCTGCCCGACAGCGGCGACACCAGATACGAGAATAGCAAGAACGACTTTGCGCTGCAAACTCGCGTTTATCGCGGGCAGGACGAGCTCGAGATCCTGGAATCCTGCGGCACAAGCGACGAAGAGCAATTCTGGGGCCTCGAGCACCTCGGCGACATTCGGCTCACGGGATCGTATCAACTGGACCAGAACGACGGCGAGGGGCACAAGACGTACTCGGACGACTGGCACGACATGATGGTCTCGTGCCGCGGCCAGTACGCCGTCGTCGCAGCGTGTGGGTCGACAGAGTTTGGGCGCTTCGTGAGCCTCGGGTACGTCGACGGCACGGAGATGGTGCTCGCGCGACGATATGTGGCCGACGACGACGTACGAGCGGCCTGGCGCACGCCGAAGGACGTCCTGAACGGCACGGACTGGGGCATCCTGGAAGACGGACAGGAGTCCTTCGATCCCGAGGCGCCAGGAGTCCTCGCGACGAAGCTGCCCTGGCGCGTCGAGCCGTCGAAGCGCGGCCGCTGATGCCGTCGCCGCGAGTAACCCCATGTTTGTACTACAGACTATTCCTTACACGAGCAGCACCGCGTTGATGCACCCATCCAATTCGGGGTCGTTCGTCACCTGGGCGTACTTGCCCCAGACTACTCTACCCGTAGTAGTAACCAAGCCCAACTCCGACACGTTCACCTCGATCACGGTACCCTTCGTAATGACGCCCAGCGACGTGTACATCGCACTACTAGGATTCTTCTTCACGCCCAAAATGTCCAAACAGAACGTCGCCTTCAGCTCCGGATGCGTCACGTGGGCCTTCTTCATCCTCAAACCGCTCGGTCGAATAAATCGCTCGTACTTCGGAGGCTTGCGCGTAAAATTCGGGTCGACGAAGGTAATTTTCGTGACGACGCGCTTCCAGGCCTTCTTCTTGCGCTTGCCCGACGCTTGCACGCGGAACATCTCGTCGTCCGCTACTGCTCTTACCTTGGGTATTGGTACTGACCACTTACCCGCCTTCTCTGCGCGCTTCTGTTTGATGCTATTCGAGAGGATTTTTGCTCTCGAAGTACCTTCCCTGTCTAGGAGGAAGGCCGGTACGGCGGCCTTGTCATCACTAGTGTTATTTCTTGCTCGTGCTTCCTTTTCCTCATGGGCGGCAATAGTTTTTCGGAGGATGGCCTTCTCCTTGAAGCGCTTCTTGTTGAACAACTTCGCTCGTAAACCATGGACCTTCTTGGCGAACTTGGCGCGTTCATGTACCGACCGCGCCTCCTTCTTTCGTCGGCGCTCGGGCGCGTCTAAGCGTTCGCCGTGGCGCTTTCGATGCTGCTCGATGTGCTCGTGCTGGGGCATCTTTGTTTGCTAGGGGTGCGCGGCGGCGGCGTCGTCGGAGCTCTTCCGGCGTCGGGCGCTCTCCGCTGTCGCGTTGCAGCAGGCTGCTCTCACAGAGACTCACGGCGAGCGCTGGTTACTTTTGCCGCTGATGCACGCGTATGCGATCGCTGTGGTGACTTCCTACGTGCGTTGTATGTGTACGAGACCACGCGTGGGACGTGAGCAGCTGCAAAAAGTGCACGTCGCCCGGACGCCCGGATGATTAGCTAGCGTGATCGCTAAGACACTAGGAAATTGGAGAGAGCGCTTCCTTGGGGCATGGCTTGGGGGCGTGGCCCGTGTGGTACTCACCCGGACTCGGAGCGGCCCAGGTATGCAGGAGTCAACGAGGTAATGCTATTAAGCCGAAGTTCACGGCGGACCCGAGAGTTCGAGATGTACAGATCCTCCAGGGAGGGAGTGAGCGAGGGGGGTGGGTCTTGTACATGCCGGAACGGGGTCACGCAGACGCGAGTTCGCGGGGGAACGGAAATCGTCAGAACGCCTTCCGCAGGCGCGCGAGCGTCTTGGCCTTGCGCATTCGGCGGCAGCGACGCGAGTCACGCGACACGGCACTGCTCCGACGCCATCGACGCGCGCCGCGCGGCCCCCAAAAACAACCTACCACAAAAACCTTACGACGACCCGAAGTTCGCCTCCCACGTCCGGTACTTGTCCGCGAACAGCTTCGCCGACGGCTTCGTGCCCTTCATCGCCAGAGTCATATCGTCGTGCGTCACGCGGTTCGCGCCCATCAACCTCTCCACTTCCGAGTCCGGCACGGCCTCGCCTCCTCTAGAAGACTCCATCGCCTCCAGTTGAGATACGAGTCGCCGCACGGGCCGCATGGCCGCCTCCTTGCAGACTAATCGCAAGTCCGAGCCCGAGTAGCCTTCTGTTTCTGACGCGTAACTATCCAGCTGACAGTCCTCCCCGACCCTCCCGGCTAGGAACGACGACACCATCTGCCTCCGAGCCTCCTGATCGGGCAACGGCACTAAGACCCGCTTCTCGAGTCTTCGCAAGAGAGCAACATCCAATTCCCAAGGTAAGTTCGACGCCGCCAGGACCAAGACCATATCTGACGAATTTTTATTGGACAGGCCGTCCATCTGAATGAGTACTTCGGTCTTCATCCTCCGAGACCCTTCGTGCTCGTTGCCCGTGCCGCCCTGGCCGCCGCGCTGCGCCATGATCGAATCAATTTCATCGAAGAACACCGTGGACGGGGCGTGCCACCGCGCGAGATCAAACAGTACTCGCACTAGTTTTTCTGAATCTCCCCTATACTTGGAGACGATCGACGACGCACTGATGTTGAAGAACGTCGTTTTGGTCTGTGTCGCCACGGCTCTTGCGAGTAGTGTTTTGCCCGTCCCTGGAGGGCCAAATAACAGCACGCCGCCCCACGACGCCGTCAGACCACGAAATAGTTGAGGATACCGCGCGGGCATGACCACGGCCTCCCTCAATAAACTCTTGGCCGATTCGAGACCGACGACGTCGCCCCAGCCGTCGCCCTCCACGGAAGTAGGCGCGTAGATCTCCCGCTGAATAACATTGGCCAGCGCTTGGAGTTCTGAATCTCCTGCGAAGGCGGGAGGCGGCTTGAGGATGCGCTCGTTCGGGTTGTCATTGACGATCGCGTTCCGGTCCTGCGCAGGCGGCGACCGGTGAGGGCTCGCGTAACGTCGACGGCGTCGCGGCGGCGCCCCCTCGACGCCATCGGCGCGCAGGAGCCGCCTCAAGTTGAATCACGATTTCCGCGCCGCGTCCGCGCCGTCGGTTCGATCTTCGAGCCCGTGACGCCGTCGTTGTCCAGCCACATGGGCTTATTCTGCGGTACAGCGCCTTCGCCCCCAGACACGCCCAATCTAGATTTCAGCACGCCCAGCGCGACGCTTTCCCCGGCCTCGCGCGGTCGCTCGATGCGTTCCGCCTTCTCGGCCGCGGCTCGCGCCGCCCCGCGCTTCCGCCGCTCGTAGACCCCGGGCGGCCTCGGGGGCTCGTTTTCGTTGTCTCGTCTCCTCAGGAGCTTGGGCGGCCGGCCGAGCTTGAGTTGGTAGTATGCATCGAACTCCCTGATAACAGCTCCTAAGTCGACGTTGTCCGCCAGCTCGAGCTTCTCCAACCCAGAACCCACTTCTTTGGCGAGGGCGTCGCAGCTCTTGCTGTAGCCGTTGGCCCGCAGGTACTCCCTTGCTAATACGAGTGCTGTCTTGTGGAAGTCCGTGTCGCGCTTCTCGCGCGCGTCCTTGGCGTGGCTCGCGGCCTTGATGGCCGCGAGCGTCGAGGCCATGGTTTTGGCTGCCCTTTGGCTGCCCGCGGTTGTGCGCGCAAACTGGCAAGCTAGCGCTGTAAAGCACTCGGATCCTCCGTTCTCCGCGTCGTCGATGGCGTGGAGGTGCGCTTGACGCGTGTTTGGGGCTGCCCGCGTCGCAACCGCTACGAGCTAGCGGCCTGTAAGACACTAGGAATTTATGCCTACAAGCAAGCCTTAGAGCTACCAGGAGCGACGCGTCGACGGCGTGGAGGCTGCCCCGTACCAGAAAAGATGATCCTCACGCATTGCCCCGTATGCGCTGCACAGCTGCCCAGTACCAGTGCCAAGCAATGCAGCCGCTGTAAGACGCGCTACTGCGGTCGGGCCTGCCAGGAGCACCACTGGAAGGAGGGCGGCCACGACAAGCTCTGCAAAATGATTAAGAAAGCAGGCGGTGCCGAGCAATACAACGCAAATAAGAAGTACACGGCGGCCGTAGCGGTCGCGGCGGAGGCGTGCGCCGAGGACACGAAGGGCCAGACGTGCTACATCTGCACGCAGGCCCTCCACTGGAAAACAAAGGAGGGCCTCGTGCGCGGGTGTTCGTGCCGCGGGACGGCGGGGGTCGCGCACGTGTCGTGCTTGACGGAGGAGGCGAAGATTTTGGTCGCGGAGGGCGAGGAAAACAATTTGGGGCAAAAGGTGCTGACTGAGAGGTGGGCGCGGTGGTTCTCGTGTAGCATGTGCAAGCAAGAGTACCATGGTGTCGTGCGGTGTGCGCTCGGGTGGGCGTGCTGGCGGACGTATGTGGCTCGGCCGGAGGTGGAGACGGCTCGGCAATTGGCGATTGGCGTGCTTGGGAACAGTTTATCCGAGGCAGGCCACCGCGAGGAGGCGTTGACTGTGGTAGAGGCCGAGTTGTCTATGAATCGGCGCGTTGGCGCATCAGAACGCGAGATGCTCGCCACGCAGAGCAATCTTGCGAGCTCGTATGGAGAGCTTGGACGGCTTGAAGAGGCCCTGGAGATGTATCGAGACGTATACTTTCGAACTTTAAAACTTCTTGGAGAAGAACACAAAGACACTCTTTTAGAAGCCAACAACTACGCGCATTGCCTTCTCAGTCTACGGCGCTTCGACCAAGCCAGGCCGCTGCTGCTCAAAACGTTGGCCGTGGCGCAACGCGCTCTCGACAATGGTTATGAAACCACGCTCAGGTTGAGTTGGCATTACGCGCGGGCGCTCTACGAGAACACCAGCGCCACGCTCGACGAGCTTCGCGAGGGCGTGACAACGCTCGAGGAGACGACACAGACCGCGCGGCGCGTGCTCGGTGGCGCGCATCCGCTCACAGAGAGCATTGAGCTATCCCTGCGAGACTCGCGAGCCGCGCTCGCCGCCCGCGAGGCGCCGGCCCGCCTCGGGGGCCTCGCGCTGTAAGTACTATTCGACTGACCAAACTTAAGAACCCCTCAAACGACGGCAAAACTAGGCGGAGTACAGATCCGTCGGCGGCTCCGGCGGCGGCGGTTTCTGCTGCACGGGATTCTTCTTTTCTTGCCCCGTGACGCGCTTCCACCACAGCGACAGCGGGTCGCCCAGCGCCGCCTCGAGCTCCTCGATCTTCGCGTCCTTCGCATCGATCAGCTTCTGCATCTCGGATACCTGTGTGGATATCAACCAGTGTGTCGGGTGCACTCTCGGCGATGACGTGGCCGCGCTGGTTCCGTCGAGTGGTGAGGAACCGGCATCGCCACGCCATCGAGCAGGCGTCGCGTCGATGGCGTGGAGCTCGACGCAGCAAATCAGGACGAACGCGCCGTAAATTTGATTTCCGCACAGTCGGATACCTTCGACGCGTATCGCGACGTATAGTACTCCTTGAGCTCCTCCAACTGGCTATCCTGCGCCTGTTTGAGCGACAGGATGGCCGCGTCCTTCTCCCGCGTCAACTCGGCCCGTAAGGTGTCCAACCGCACCTTCAGCGTCGTATCAAATTCCTGCGCGGACCGACGGTGTCGCGAGACCGCCCTCGCGCGGCGCGAAGCGAGGAACGCGCCGCGGCGATGGCGTGGAGGGCTCGACGGCGCTCTCGCACGCCGTCGACGCGAAGTATCAACTTCAACATACGCTGAGTCAGCACCTTCCGCGTCGCGGCCATGGTTTGTTCAAATTGAGCGTCGGCGAGGAAGAACTTCTCCTCGAGTTCCTTGAGCTTCACCTTGAGCATGTCGCTCTCCTGTTTCGCCGTGTCCCGGTCGAGTTCGAGGGACTTGACGGCGGCGGCGTCGATGCCCTTCGTCCCGAAGGCAGCTGCGGCGATCAAGACAGCGCCGGCCGACGCGGCCTCCGCTCCGCCTATTCCAGCTGCTGCGGCGGAAGCCACCGCATCGTAGTAAGCTGCTGACGCGGCACTCCCAGCAGTACCTAGGGCGTCGACCGCGTCTGCTGCCGCGAGTCTAGCACCATCGGAGAACTCTGCTGAGTTACTGGTGAATTCCTTGAGCGCCTCTGCTAAATCTCCAGTAGCGCCCTGGACCTGCCCGCCGAAGTCCGAGGCCGACGCTACGAATTGGTCGGCGCCTTTACTGATGCCCGCAGCTGTTTTGTCTAGCGTAGGCCCCGCGGCTTTGACGGACGCCGTCACGGAGTCAATGGCCTTGCTCGAGGCCTTGATGGCCTCGCCCGTGTTCTTCCCGATTAATTTAGAGGCGTCGGCCAGGCCCTCCGCGGAAGTTTTTGAGTATGTGGAGAACGCGTCCGCCGCTGCCTTCGAGGCTTGGGCGCTATTGGCGGACAGGGCCTTGCCGGCCTCCTGGGCGGCGGCGCGGGCCGCGTCGGCGCTCGCGGCGGAGCCTGCGTGTGAAAATGGGACGTGATCTCGCTGCGAGGGCGGGCGGCGGGCGGCGCGTGTCCGCGATTCGCTGCTCCGTCGAAGCGACGACGCGACCGTCGCTGCGCGGCAATTTTGGAAGGCGTCCCGACGATGACGCGGGCGCCGAACCGGCCGGTAGCGCGCGCAGCGCGGAGCTCCTTCTGGGGCAGACGGCGCCATTTGGAGTCCAGGGGCTCACCAGCGCCACGGCCGGCGCCAGGAAGCAGCACACGACCGTCCCTCGCATTTTCGAGGAATCTCGAACGATCGACAGCCTCCCGACCCTTCGAGACAGCGTGAGAAGCGGCCAACCTGAGGCGGATCGGCAGATTTGCTTTTGACTAAGGCTAGTGTCTCTGCGCTAGGTCCTACGGCAGAGGGATAGGTCTAGGAACGTAGTCGTCCACTCGGCCTATCTTTACGTCTCGAATCGCCTGTCTTAACGGTGCCCTTGACCCCAACTGCGGCCGCGCCGCTCGCGCTCGTAAGTCGCGGCGGCAGCCCGCGCGAACCTACCTCTACGGCCACGACGCCAGTAGACTCGAGATATAACCTTAGACCGAAAAGAAACTACCCCGTCGCCGCCCCCTGCCTCGCAGCGAGGGCCTCCCGCAACAACCGCGCCTCCGCGGAACGACCGGTCGCGTCGTAGCACCCCGCCAGCGCGCCCATGGCAGTTGCCAGAGTAGAATCGGGGAACGGCCCCGACGAGACCACATCTAACAGAGCCTCGTGGAGCGGCTCCGCCTCGGCCGGTTCCCCCGCGGCAAATATCTCATTCGCGGCCAGCGCCAACGCATTGACGCGGCACGGGTCGTGCGTCTCCCTGTCCGCATAGGTCGCCCAGCAGGCTCGAGCTAGAGCTATTCTGACAATGCCCTCGTACGGCTTCGAGCACATGCTGCATTGTCTCCACTTGCTGAAATCCTTGCTTGCAGCCACGCCGATCTTGCCTCGGATGGCCAAACACCGGATCTGCGCGGCGCCGTCCTGACACGACGTGCAGAACGTCACTACCTTATCGGTGGAGAAGGAGTACCTACAGCGCTGCTGCGCCGGGCACAAATCCTCAGCGAGTCGTTTCGCATATAAAGCATGACCATCAGCCTCCGCAGCCACACGACTGGCTCTAGCGTCATCTACTTCGTAGACGGGCTCGTTCTTGTGCACCCGCAGTACTTTTGGCGCAGTGCTGCCTGCCTTGTCCGGCGACGCCTGGCTGATGGCGTTCGGCGGGTCCCTCTTGTCGAAGGTCGCGACTTTGGTGGGCGTGCTGCCGTCCCTAGCTTGGGTCTGGACGCGGCGGACCATGGTGTTTTGTTTGGGGCTGCCCCACAGCTTTTTGAATCGTGACGGGTTTTTTGCATCAGCTTTGGCGTTATCGAGGCGCCGCCCGACGGTTCGCGACGCTTGGCAGCGGCTGGCGTCGTGGGGTTCGCCCCGCGCTCTCCCTGCGCCCAATTTCCGACAGGCTGCCACCACTCAGGCCGCACAAAACGCCGACGCAGCAAGAACAGTACGCAGCCGGCGCGTAGGAATCAAGGATCAAGGCGCCCCGCGCCACGGACGCGACCTCGTCACTCACTGGTTGCGTTCCCGCCCAGGTCCAGCCCAGCAGCATGGGGAAGTCCGTAGTGATAGTGAACACGAGCGCCGGGTCCATGGGCGGCGGCCCGACGGGCGTGTGGTTGAGCGAGCTCGCCGACCCCTACTACGCCTTCCAGGCGGCCGGCCTCGAGGTGACCGTCGCGTCCGTCGCGGGCGGCGCCATCCCCATCGACGCCAACTCGATGGGCGACCCCTACTTCGGCGACCAGGCGAAGAAGTTCATGCACGACCAGAAAGCGGTCGGCGCGTTGACGCACTCCGTGAAGGTCGAAGCGAGCATGGCGGACGCGTTCGACTGCGTCTACTTGGCCGGGGGCCACGGCTGCTGCGTCGATTTTGTCGGAGGGGCTGCCAAGGAGCTGAAGGCCCTGGTCGAAGCCGCGTTTGCCAAGGGCAAGATTGTAGCAGCTGATTGCCACGGCCCCATGGGCCTGCTCGAGTGCTCGGTCGGGGGCGCGCCGCTCGTGAAGGGCCTCGAGGTCACGGCCTTTACCAACATCGAAGAAGATCAAGCCGGCGCGACGGAGTGGGTCAAGGCCAGTGCAGGAATTAAATTTTGCGGCACCGCCTAGTGCGTCGGGTGCACCCGACAATTCTTCACTACGTCATTTCTCGGCGATGACGCGGCCGTGCTGGCTCCGTCGAGCGGTGAGGAACCGGCATCGCCACGCCATCGAGCAGGCGTCGCGTCGATGGCGTGGAGGTCAACGCGGCGATTCAGGACGAACGCGCCGAAAATTTATACAGCGCCTCACTGGTTGATTTGCGCACAGGTCAAGGCCAATTCCGTGTTCATGGAGGACGAGTTCGCCAAGCTCGGCGCGGTCTTCAAGAAGGGCGACCCCTGGACGTCGCACGTATGCAAGGCGGGCAACCTCATCACCGCCCAAAACCCCCAGTCCGCGGACGCGTGCGCCGCGGCGGTCATCGAGGCCCTAGCCTAAGGCAAACACTCTTAGAACGGCAGGTGTTTTGTTGGGGCTGCCCCAGCGTTTTTGAATCGTGACGGGTTTTGAGCGGACCTTGTATCAAGTTTTGGCGTTACTGAGGCCTCGGCCGACGGCTCGCGACGCTTAGCAGCAAGCTCGTGAGGTGCGGGGCAGCCATAGTGATACAATGCGGAGCAGCACAAAGTGTAACGCAGCCACTCGCGCGCCGTCGACACCTTGTGGCAAAAAAAGTCTCCGTGCCAGTCTGCCAGCGCTGCAAGATCACGCAGTGATTCGCTTTGGAGACCCCGACCAGTCTAATATGCAACACTGTGATCGGTTTTGGGCGCAAAAGGGCAGTGCACCAGCAGATTAAGGGCTGCCCTTCCCCCCCCGGGGCACCAACATGGAGGTGGCCGCGGCGGTCGGTTTGGCCACCGCCGTCAATTCCGCCGTCCGCGCGGCCACGGGGAAAAGCATCGCGCAAAATTGCTGTTCCCTCCTGAACAAGGTGCGGTCCAAGGTGCTGGGGACGGTCGTCGATGTCACGGCCAAGCAGCTCGCCGAGGACGCCTGGAAGAAGGCCGAGGACGCGATCACCGGCGCGGAGCGCAAGGAGCGCTTGGCTTTCTCCCAGCGGCTCGCCGCGCTCGGCAACACACTGCGGAGCCTGGAAGCCAACTCCGTCGTGGAGGACGATGGGGTGAAGGGCGCGCTGGACGGCCTGCGTGGCTCTCTCGAGCGCGCCGTCGAGGGCACCGACGACGCCGCCGCACGCGGTCGCGCCTCTGCAGATATCCAGGGGTACGCGCAGAATCTGAGCATAGCAATGACGGCGGCGTCCGCGAAACGCGCCGACGCCTCGGCCGCGGCGTCCGCGAACCGCTCCGCGTCGTTTCACGCCGAGACTACGGACGGTATCAACGAGCTCAAGGCCAAGATTGATGCCCTGCAAATGAATGAGCCGGCGATCCAGGACCAGTACGTGTACGACCCCTACGACTCGGACGACTCGGACCAGGAGGCGTCGCAGTTAGGGGAAGGCTCCTTCGGTTCGACACATACGATGAAGAACAAGGACGACGGTCGCGTGTACGCCGTCAAGCTCATGAAGATCAAGAAGGCGGGCGTCCCTGTAGAGAAGCTACGGGAAGAAGCCGCACGGCTCTCGATGCTGAACCATCCGAACATCGTCCGCTACTTCACAGCCTTCCGCTATAAGAAGGGCGACCCCTGGACGGCCCACGTCTGCAAGGCGGGCAATTTGATAACAGCCCAGAACCCCCAGTCGGCGGACGCCTGTGCGGCGGCCGTGGTCGAGGCCCTAGCCTAAGGCAAACACTCTTAGAACGGCAGGTCGTCCTTCTTCTCCGGAGACGCGTCAGATGCATTCTGCTCGTCCGGGATGGGCGGCGCGTCATCGTTATATGAGGAGAAGGCGCCGCCGAACGATGAAGATGGAGACGCCGTTGCTGGCGACGAGAGGGACTGGAGCCGCCACGCTTGTAAATTGACAAAATGCCTCCCCTGCCACTCATTCCCTCTGATGTTGAAACTGACCAAAACCCGTTGATCGACGGAATACGCATCCAACAGCTCGATCTTCTCCTTCAGCAGCTCGAACTTAATATCCTGCGGGTACGGGTCCTGCGCCGTCGTCACGACGAACTCGATCTTCTCGAAGCCGGAGTCGAACTTCTGGACGTCGCCGATCTTCGTGATCGTGCCCTCCAATTCAAAGGAGTTCGACGAGGCCAGGCGCGTCGCTGGCCTCGCGGCGCGCCGCGCCGCGTGCATGAAGGCGCGGCTGCTGCGGGCGGCGACGGCGGCGAGGGCCATGGTGAGTGTGTGGCGCATCTAACAGGCCGCGGGCGGCGTGGCACGCTTGGTACGATGCCAAAGGGATCCGCGACGAGTGCTGGTGTTCGGCGAGGCTCGCAAAGGCTGCCTTTGAGCATGGAAGGCGGCCTCGGACCTAGCGTATCGAGACACACTAGCTGTCAAAGCCAGACGCGGGCCAAGTGCTTTTTTAAGGGCCCATAGCCAGCCTCGGGCCGCACGCGTCCTCCTGGGCGCCCCCCGTGCTGCCGAGAGCTCTGCCGCGCACTTTCGTCGAAGCCGCGCACTACATACCCATAAAACAAGGGGTGCTCCGAGCGCCGTCGTCGGCGTGCAAAGATGGGCGTCGCCGAGATGATCGCCAAGGCGAAAGCCCGCGAGGAGGCCGCCAAGAAGGAGAAAGCCGCGGCGAACACGCCCAAGTCGTCCGGCAAAGCCTCCGCGATCGCCGCGCGTATGGCTAAATTAGCCGCCCCCGCGCCGCCTCCCACAAAATCGCCGAGTAAGGCACCGCCGCCCATGCCGACGCACCGCCGCACATCCAGCCAGTCCTCTACTGGAAGTGGTGGCCCACCACCGATGCCGACGCATCGGCGGACCGGCTCCGGCGGTCCCCCACCGCCGATGCCGACGCACCGCCGCACGGGCAGCGGCGGCCCGCCGCCGATGCCCACGGAAACGACGCCGAAGACGCCGCCCGGCGGCTCCATCCAGGAGCGCCTCGCGCGTATGCAGATGAGCGCCAAGGCTGACGAGAAGCCGGAGGCGTCCCCTAAAACTACTGGAGGCATCCGCGCGCGCCTCGCGAAGCTGGGCGGCGGCATCCCCATGCCGGGCCTCGGGGGCGCGCCGCGCGCGCCGCCGCCGATGCCGTCAGCGAAACCCGTGGAGGAGGCCCCGAAGGACGGGATCATGAAGCACGACACGCTCAAGCGCGCGAGCGGGCCGCGGCGGAGAAGGACGGCCAAGGTCGCCAAGTTCACGGCTGACAAGGCCGTCGTCGAGGCTGTTGAGGATGCGCCGCCCGCGGCGCCTCCGGGAGGTTCTCCGCCGCCGATGCCGCCGCCGGCACCCTAAAGCTGTTTATTTAGTCTGCTCGACGGCGTGGAGTGTTTGTCCTGGCGCCGCCGCGCCGTGCTCGCGCCCACGGTTCCGCGGCTGCTATCCGTACGGCGGGGCCTCGGGACACATGGTCTACATTTTGACCGCGGGGAAATCTCTGGGGCAATCGGCCCGGCGGCCGGGACACTAGCCCATACTAGCCTTGAAAGCCCAGCGCCTGCCGCCGCGAGGGTAATAACGCGCGAGGCTGCTACGAGAGCAGGCAAAAAAGCCCAAAGCCCGTCGAGGGAGAAGCCACGGGACGCGTGAGACGCGCGAGGCAGCTGTCGCCGCTGCCGCGAGCAGCGGACGCAAGTGGGGCAGCTAGGCCAAGCAGAGCTAAGCGCCCGGCAGACGCCGCCCACCGCACCGCCGCCGGCGCCGAGGCCTCGTAAGCATGCCCAAGAAGGGCAAAAAAGGCAAGGGCGGCGCCGACGCCGACGCCATCGTGACGACGCGGGCCATGCTCGTGGAACGGGAGCGCTGCATGTGTCCGAGATTAGGCGACGCCATCGAGCGGCGCGAACGCGCGAACGAGATCAAGAGGGAGTGCGTGCAAGCGCGCATCAAGAAGGTCGGCGAATTTAAAAGAGATTACCTGGACATGAGCGCGTCGGGCCTTGGGTTCGTGCCCGACGAGGTGCCTCGGTCGCCCTCACTAACTCGATTGGTCCGCGTCGATTTATCGCGGAACCAGCTGTTCTCGTCGGACCACGTCTTCCAGTCCCTAGAACACATTACATCTCTCAAGATCTTGAACTTGGCGCATAATTTCTTAAATGGACCCTTGACGGGCCGAGCGACCGACGTCACGTCATTGGAGGAGTTGTATCTGGACCATAATCAGCTCACGGCATTACCGTCGGACATCGGCAACTGGACTTCCATAAGAACGCTATCTGTGTCGAAGAATGAACTGACGGAGGTACCGTCGTCGTGTAGCGCGTGGAAGCAGATCGAGACGCTGAACTTGCGATACAACAAGCTCACAGCTCTACCAACTGGTGCATTAACAGAGTGGGCCTCGTGCAAGCATTTATACGCGGGTGCCAATGCAATCACGGAGGTCCCCGAGACCATCTCGTCGTTAACAGCGCTGGAGATGCTCGATTTGCGGAAGAACCAGTTAGAGCGAATACCGGCACAATTGTCATCCTGTACGAAGCTCAAGTTGCTGAATCTCGGAGATAACAAGATTGGGGACATACCCGCGGATATCCTGGCGAAGTGTGTCGAGCTGGAGGAGTTACATTTATATAAAAATAAATTGGAGGCCATACCGGACGAGATCGGTAATTGCATCAAACTTAAGAACCTCACACTCAGCTCAAATAACGTAAAAACGTTACCAGAGACCATTTCGCAGTGTTTATCATTAGAAGAGCTCTACATAACAAACAACCCCAAGTTCTCGGCCGTCCCCGCGTCCATGGGCGACCTCGTGAACCTGAAGGAGATCGAAGCGAGGAAATGCGCGGGCCTGAAGAGTCTGCCTGCTACAGCTATTAATTGGATCAACATGAAGGAACTTGATCTAAGATGCGGCAAGCCCCTCTACAAGGGCAAGGAGAAGTGCAAGGTGCCCCCCGAGATGCTGGAAGAGACCTGGGAGGGCTTCGGGAAATGCATCATTCGGGGAGGGGTCCAGAAGAAGGCGAAAGCGAAGAAGGGGAAGAAGTAAGGACACATGTTACAACACAGTGCGTCGCCGCGGTGATGGCGTCGGGGGGAGACATCGCGTAGGCGGCGCGTCCAGCCACGCCAGTCGCCGGCGCTTCGGCGGTCGTCCCACGCCGCCGTCGCGGCAGCGTAGGGGTGAGCATCCGCTCACGGTCGTCGCGTTGGCTGCCGCGGCGACGGCGTCGGGGGTCACGCGTCGCGGCGGCACTTCCGCGGGATGAGGCGGCCGCAACTGTCCAAAGCGTCCTCGCCATGGAGCAAGTTCAACGAGTCGTCGGGCGCCGCCGAGCAGTTTCGAGGAGCACACTCCATGTCTACGGAGGCGATCCGCGCGTTCATCAGGGTCACCGCGTGCTCGTAGAGCTTCACATCATAGACGTTCAGGTCCGCGATGCGTCGTCTCTGACCTTCTGTTAGTACACCTTTCCGTCCACTATTCACGGGCCGCGGCCGTATGGACGGCGGGCAGCGCGCGATGGACGGTAGCGGCAGCGCCCGCTCCAAGAGACTCATGGCCTCCTTTCGGCCGTCCGGCGTGCTCAAATGTTCCAAGACGAGCACGACGTCGAAATTGGACAAGGTGGACACGGCCGCATCGAAATGTTTTTGAGTTATAGGGTGCGCCGCCACACCAGAAAACACCTGGACGTAATAATTCGCCACCTCCTCGTGAATTTTGACAGAGAGGGGCCAGACTCTCTGAGAAGAGTGGAACGCTGTCGCATCCTTGGAGCGTTCCTGCGAGGCGCGCTGAATGCCTTCTAGCCAGTTCTCAAAATGAACACCATCATCCGCAAAAAATGATGAAGCCACTCTGCTGATAGGGTCCCTTAATATGGTCACGTAGACTGTTGAAGGTCTCATCAAGATTGACTGGGGGTTGAAGGCGTTTTCACCTTGGATGACCGTATGTGCCGTATGTGCGCGCGGCACGCCCCTCTGTACAAGTCGCTGGCGCTTCGAGACGATGGTGTCGAAGGGTTTACATCGATAACGGGCGAGGTACTGCCTCAGCAAGGTCCCGCCGGCCTTGCGCAGGTGCTGGGCGTAGACCGTGCCTTTGCCCTCTGCGGTGCACGCTTGTGCGCAGGCCCTCCTCTGGTCGTTGACGGGCAGCTTCCGGAGGGTCGGTGTCGCTTGTCGCTGCGCCTCCGTCAATGTTGGTGGGGCGACGTCATTGATTGGTGCCTCAGGTAACAAGTCCTCCGTTATATGTAGTTGGGGCGCTTCTAGATACCCGCGGGCGCGCGCGCGGGCGGCGGCGGCCTGTTGGCGGGCGGTCTTGTCTCTCACCGGCCTCCGGCGCCGCTCGTGGAGCGGGCGCCGCCCGTGCTCTTGGCTCGCGGCCAGGGCCAGCACCCAGAGGAGGGCTTGCATCCGTGCGGCTGCCCAGCGCTGCGAGTGCTGCCCCAGCGCCTCGGCAGCCAACCAGGGCTGCCCGGCGGCTAAGGTATGAATGCTATGGCTCCACGGTCGACGCCTTAGCGCCGTGCACCACTGCTTGGCTCTCCTTCGGATCGATGCGATTAGCTAGCGGCATGAAAGACACTAGAAAAAGAAGTAAATTACAATCGAGGACAAACTCGGAGGGGAGGAGGAGAGGAGGACGCGAAGGTCCGCACAACACGCCGCCCTTGCTCACGCGCGGCACCCCGCCCGACCAGAGCGGTAGACCATCCGCCCGCAGCTTCGTAACGCGCCCTCGCCCCAAATGAGGTTCAGGTCGCGATCTCGAACCGAAGTGCAGTTTGTACGGACACGACACGGCCCCATGACTTCGACAACGCGCTCCTTGTGGACCGTCACGGCGTGTCGGTACAACTCCAAGTCAAGCGGATTCAGCGCGACAATCCGCAGTCGATCTTCCCGAGACAGCGGCTCGGCCCGCTTCCGCACGCTCCCTTCGTTGACCTTGTGCAGCGGTAGGCGCGGCGGGCACGCACGCTCGACGCGGGGGGTCGGCAGGAGCTTCCGCAGTAATGCCTCCGCTTCGTCGCGGCCCTCTTCCGTAGACAACCTTTCTAAAATCAACACCGCGTCGAAGTTATCTAACACACTCTTCGCCACGTCCAGATGCTTGTCAGTGGCCTCCGCCGCGACACCAGAAAAGATCTGGACGTAGTATTCTGACACTTCGTCCCATATCCGCTGGCGCAGCGGAAACGCCCCTCTCTGCTTTAAATGGTTCTGGGAGCCCCAGGATCTTCTCTTAGACGTCGCCCGGACCTTGCGCAGCCACTTTTCGAGAGGTATCGCCGTGTCTTCTGTTCTCCTATAACTTTTTTGGGGCCATTTGCCCTCAAAAAAGTACAGACTTTCAATACGATCCACTGGATGTCTGATAAGCGTGATGTAGACGGTAGCCGGCCTTAACAGAAAGTTCTGCGTGTTGAAGGCCAGCGACTCCTGGGCGGCCGCGGGTGCTGTTCCTTCGCGAGGGAAGCCTCTTGGTAGTCTATAAAGTTGCGTCGCGGACATGGCTTGGCGCAGGGGCGCGCAGCGGTACATGGCCAAATAAGTTCGTAACAAAGTGCCTCCGGCCTTGCGCAGGTGCTGGGCGTAGACGTAGCCGTCTCCTTTCCTCACACATGCTTGGGCGCATTGTCGCTGTCGTCTTGGAATAATTGTGAGCTGCGGCGCCGCCTCTCTCTCCATGCGTGTGTAGGGCGGCGGGGCGGCCTCTGCTAAAGCGAGGAGTACGAGCCAGCTGAGCATTATTGCTGCTCCGCGGCAGCGCGAGGCAGCCGTACGGCGGCGTAAGGGCAGCCGTGGCTGCCCCGCCACCTCGTGCTACCGCGCGTACGGGCTCGAATCCCGGCGCGGAGCTTGCCTTGTGAGCCTTGTGATGCCTAGTGTCTTACTGACCGCTAGGGATTACCTAAGCGCGGGAGCCCTCGGAAGCCGCTGCGTTTGAGTTACACCCGTGCCGGATGTCTGGAGACGGCGACGACTGGGGCCCGAGGAGAGCGATGACGACGACGACGACGAGGACCAGGAAGAGGAGGACCAGGAGGAAGGTAGGCCCTACGCCGGACCAACAACCCCGGCGCTCGCATCCCGCGGTCGACGTCTCCGGCCCGACCGCGGAACGCGCCGGACGCCTGTCAGGCCTGTGGCGTTCCGCCGGGCGGTGGCGTTCCGCGGTCGGGCCTTCCAGCGTCAAAAGGTGCCCTGAAATCCTTGACAAGCAGCTAGCGTCCCATTGACACACTAGGGCGCCAAGAGGTATTGGACTAACTATGAGAGAGCAATGGAATTGGCAAATGCCAGGCAAGACCCGCTCGGAATGCCTCGTATTCTTCGAAGATATACCCGCCGCCCGCCGTCAAGTCGGCCACGGGAGGCCTCTGCATCGGAAAGGTGAGCAGGCCGACCCACGCCGTCGCCGCGACAGACAAAAACTTACACAAGACCTCAGTGCTGGAGCCCTCCCTCGAAGAAGGCCGCGTACTTCTGCTCGAAGAGGAACGACAGCCGCGCGCGGCCCGCCTTGACGACGCGGTGTTTGAGCGCCGGCAGCCCCGTCTTTGACGAGAGGGCCCTGCCCACGAAGACGACGAGCTCCTTTCCAGGAACACACACGGCCTCGACGCAGACCCACCGCTTCAAACACAAGTCGTACACTTCGAGGCCCGCGACTCGCGCCACCGGTTCCACGACAACTAACGACACGTCCGCGTGCTCGCCCACCAACGTATTATCAGTACCTCCGTTCGCGCCGCCGTCATTTTCACCGTACCTAAAACAATAGGCCAGCGAAAAATCTTCGCCTCGCTCGTGTCCCGGGACAACCGCTTCTAGCAACGCATCTGATAAAGCTTGGAAGCGCGTGATGACGCGCCGCCAGCACACCTTTGTTCGAGGAGAGGGCCAGGGCTGGCCCTCCTCCTGGACAGGAACGCGAAAACACTCCCGCACGTGTTGTTGCCTTTCGTAGCCCCGGCGGAACATGGGCAGGCCCCGTTCGTTGGCGTAGACCGTACCCATGCATTTTTCCTTTCGTTCCGTCGATTTGGCGAAGAAGTTTTCTAGTTCGGTTTCGATTGTTGCGACGTCATTCTCCAACGCGGCGCCGATCTCGGTCGCGACGAAGTAGCCGTGCTTTTTGAGCAATTGTATTCCGTGCGCGCTCGCGGCGGCGGCGAGCGGGATGCGTGGCACTATCGGTGCGCCGCGTTCGAGGATTGTGTAGCGCTTTGTGGGGGCAAGGTGCAGCATGTTTACGGCCGCATCGCTGCTCGTTTCAATTGCAGGCGTATCGCTGCTATCTCGCCACTTGCTGCAGGCGGTCTGCTTGCTCTATTAGCGCGCTCGTCGCTGCTGCACAGCCGGAGAGCCGCCTAGCTAGGCAGAGCAGCATCTGAGCGAGGCTGCTGGAAACGCGACGACGGGCACGCCAGTGCAGTGCGACAGCGCGCATAATACGCTTGGCACAGCTGCGAATAGCACCTACAAACCGCCCAAGTGCTCGCCGTCGCCGCGCCGCGCAGCACTTGGCTCCGGCAGCGAGCAACACTCTTTTGGACAGCAGCACACCGCGACACTAAAAGAACCATGTCCGCCTTCGGCCAGAAGGTCGCGGCGCCCGTGCGCACCTACGAGGAGGAGATGAAGTTCCTGAGCCGCAACGACGCGACGTCCTGGACCATAAAACCGGGCTTCGTTCCGAACATGCGCGCAAAACGCGGCGTCCCGCGGTGCTGCGGCGCCTTCACGCCGTCGACGCGACTCGTGTCCAGGAGACGAGGTCGTGGGTCGTTTTTTGAGAGAAATGCGCCGTGCAGGTTGAGGGCCGCTTCTACGTCAATTCGGCCCTGGAAGACCTCGTGTTTGACGAACTCAAACAACAGTGCGCGGCGGCGGGCCACGGAGGGTTCCTCCCAGCCATAAAACAGATCGCGAACGTGGCCGCGCTGCCGGGCATCGTCGGGTGTAGCATGGGCATGCCGGACTTGCATTCCGGCTACGGCTTTACCATTGGGGGAGTTGCGGCCTTCGACTGCGACGACCCCGAGGCCGTCGTCAGTCCGGGCGGCGTGGGCTTTGACATCAATTGTGGGGTGAGATTATTGAGAACGAATTTATTCGAAAAAGATATCTCGGAGCACCGCGAGACGCTCGCGCAGCAGCTGTTCGACCACATCCCCGTTGGAGTTGGTTCGAGAGGAGTTATTCCGACCTCGGCGTCAGCGTTGGATGCGGCACTGGAACTGGGCATGGACTGGTCATTAAGGGAGGGCTACGCCTGGGTCGAGGACAAGGAGCACTGCGAGGAGCACGGGCGCATGTTGTCTGCCGATCCCTCCAAAGTCAGTCGAAGAGCGAAGAAGCGGGGCCTGCCGCAGCTCGGCACGCTCGGCGCGGGCAACCACTACTGCGAGATTCAAATCGTCGACGAGGTGCACGACGAGTGGGCGGCTCGACGGATGGGTATCGGCGAAAAAGGTCAAGTTGTGGTCATGATCCACTCGGGGAGTCGGGGTCTGGGCCACCAAGTGGCCACGGATGCTTTACTAGGCATGGAACGCGCCGCGGAGAAGGATCCAGGTCTCAAGAATAATGATAGGCAGCTCGCCTGTGCTCGCATCCAATCCGAGGAGGGCCAGGACTACTTGAAGAGCATGGCCGCCGCGGCGAACTACGCGTGGGTCAATCGGTCGAGCATGACGTTTCTGGTCAGACAAGCTTTTGCCAAGCAGTTCGGGTCGACACCAGATGATCTAGATATGAAGGTCGTGTATGATGTGAGTCACAACATCGCGAAGACCGAGGAGCATCTGGTCGATGGCAAGATGAAGACTCTGCTCGTGCATCGGAAAGGAGCTACCAGAGCGTTTCCGCCGCACCATCCTCTCATACCTGTGGATTATCAGTTCACGGGCCAGCCCGTCCTGATTGGTGGTACCATGGGCACTTGTAGTTATGTTTTGGCCGGCACCGATAAAGGTATGAGGCAGACCTTTGGGAGCACGTGCCACGGTGCGGGACGGGCCCAGTCTCGGAACAAGACTCGTCGGACACTGGCGTATGAAGATGTCCTCGCAAATCTGGACAAGAAGGGGATTTCTATTAGAATCGCGTCGCCCAAGCTCGTCATGGAGGAGGCGCCCGAGGCCTATAAAGACGTGACGAGCGTCGTCGACACGTGCCACGACGCGGGCATCTCGAACAAAGTGGTCAAGCTGCGGCCGGTCGCCGTGATTAAGGGGTAAGGGGGTTTCTGCTTTTGTGATTTCGTTGTTCCTAAGCGCGTCGCGGCTATCGCTGGGTCCCTCCGGGAAACTGGCCGCCGGGATCTCACTGATTCTCAGATTAATAAGCACGCGCCGTGGAGCTAGGCCGCCTGAAAGTAAAAGTCGGTATCAAACTCGTATCAGTATCGTATGGTACGTTCGGTTTCGAAACCCCCCCTATCATCATCGATATCGATATATCGCGCCAGGCACATCAGATTATGAGAAGCTATGGGAGACAGGAGACAGGCAGCCCGCCGCACGATGCGTTCCGTCCTCGTCGTCCTCGCGCTTTGGGACGCGGGAGCTGCGGCGGACCTCGCCGCCCTCGCCCCGCTCGCCCCGGAGGAGCATGCTCCCGCCGTCAAGCGCAGCGCGGAGAGGGCAGCCAAAGCGTCGCGGCTACTCGCGGATCACGGTCATTTGCTTCCCCCCGACCTGCGCGAGAAGGCCCACGACCTCTTGAATGAGCACGACTTCCGCGTGCACGCGGCGCTCGACAGCGCGAGGCCGGGCCCGGCGCTCGCGGCTATCCAGAAGAAGGAATCAGGGTACCTCAAGGCCTTCCAGAAGCTCGGCGGGGAGAGAGCGGCGACGAAGGCGAAACAGCTGCCGAAAGACGAAGAGCGCAGAAAGCTCCGCGCGACGCGCGACGTGCTCCGAGCGGCGACGGGCCTCGACGCCGAGGAACCGGTCTGGGGTGCGCCGTTCCGCGCCCTCGAAGAGCTGTTTGGCGATGGCCACGCGCCGATGGAGGCGCTCGGCGTCAGTGCCAAGTTCTTCGAAGACGGAACGGCTCTGACGCGGCGGTACCACGTCGCGCTGCAGCCGCCGTGCGACTGCTGGACCTTCGGCCGCGAGGCGGTCGTCGAACAAGCGAGAAACGTCGCCGAATCCCTCAAAGCGCCGCCGCTCGTCGAAGCCTGGCTCGATTCCATCGCGGCCGACGACACGGGAAAGCTGCCGAGCGTCGGCTTCGGCGTGTCGGCCGAGGATGGCGCGTGCAAGCTCTACGTCCTGAACTATGGCGGCAACGAACTCCCGCCGCTGCCGCTCGTCGATTCGTTACCGCAGACCGCGCGCAAGCCAGACCGCGCGCCGTCGGTGCTGGTCTCGGTCGAGTGGAAGTTCGGCGACATGAAAACTCAACAGATGCGCCAGTACGCCGTCGAAGCTGCCGAGGGCGACGTGGCCGTGGCGCGGCACACGCAGGACGAGCGCTTCGCCGGCGACGAGCTCGTGGCGGCGCTCGACGGCACGTTCGGGGTCAAGCAGAGCGAGGACATCGCCGTGACGGCGCCGTTTCAATACGTCGGAGACACGACGCCGCCGCTCGTCGCCGCGCCGCTCTCGAAGTCGGGCCTCAAGCTGAAGCGCCAGGATGGCGGCATCGACTCGAACGCCGAGACGGATGCAAAACTGGCGGCTCTGTTGAAAGACGCGGCGCCGGGCGCCGGAGCTTGGCTAGATAAGTCGCGCGTCATACGACACGCGCTTTCCAACGTCCAGTTCGGCGAGGGCTTCGTCACGTTGTACAGACACCCGACGGTCTTCGGTTTCGTGGACCCGTCCTCGGCGCCGCAGCACCTCGCGCTCCGAAACGCGCTCACTAAAAATACGCACTCGTTGCGCCGGCGGCTCTCCGGTCTCACGGCGTGCGACCAGGCCGAGGAAGACTTTATCGACCGAGCCGTCAGCGACGCAGCGTTTGTGTGTGTTGCCTTCGATTTGTGGATTGTTGTGGTACGTCGTCTGCTCGATTGCGTGGAGTCATGCCTCGTCGGTCGCCGAGCACCCGTCGACGCGACGCACTCGTTCTCTGACACACAGGTCTGGGGCAGCAACCCGGACGACTCGACGTGCGCGCAAGATGGGAAGAACCCCGCGAACGCGGGGATGTGCCCGCAATCGTGCCAGGACGACATCGCGTGCATGATCGCGGCGTGCTCCGACTGCGCTCTCGTGGACGCCGTCTGCGACGAGCCCGTGGATCTCGGTGCGCATCCCAGCCTGGCGAGCGGGGACCTGCGGTTCCAGTACAAGGCGCCCGTGGTCATGGCCGGCGCGGACGGCTCCAATCGCGACAACATCGAGGGAGACTGCCACACGTACGTGGACCAAAGCGACATCGTGCAACCGCTCGGGCGCAAGAGTCTCGAGGGCCAGCTGGAGGACGACGTGCAATGCAAAGACAAACACCAAGACGACATAGACTTTGACTGCTGGGTCGAGAGCGATCATAACGACGCAGGCACGGCCACGATCGTCTGCGAAGGCTGTTCGCCGGACGGGACACAATCCGGCTTCGAGGCTGCGATGGCGACGTTCTTCCAGAATCTCGTCGCGAGCACGGGCGGTCCGTGCAGCTTCGATGCGGCTGCTTCCCTGACGTCGCTCGCGGGCGCCACCTCCAACGTTCAGTCACGGTACAGCGACGTCGACGACGCCATGGTTCCGGACAACAAGAAACTACAAATGCCCTACGGCGACAGCGGGCTGTTCGAGACGATGAATCTCTGGGGCCCCGAGGGCTGCCGGTACCCCTACTACGGCTTCCTGCCGGACGAACCGCTCTGCAAAGACTGTTCGTCCATGGCCCAGGCAAAGGAGGACGTGCTCAATGGCCTGTGGGACGGACCGTGCAATGATGATGATCCGCGGGGGGACGACGACTCGCTGCCGCTGCCGCCGAACTACCCCGGCTGCGGCTGCGACTGCGCGGACTTCCTTCGCCGCGACCTTTCGACTGCGTGCACGGCGACGTCCTGTATCAATGTCGCCCAACAGTACGCGCCCGCCAACTCCGTTTGTGCCGGCTCCGACTTCAAGTGGGACACTACAGCCGCCGGGTGCACCGATCTCTACGGCACCGGGACGCAGTTCGACTCGACGTGGTCGGGTCACGCGTGTCTGGACTCCACGGGGGCCACAACGGTAGTCCAGGATGCCTCCGCGACGTGCTACCAGACACAGGCCTCGATCTCTGAAGCAGATCTGGTAGACTACAAGGCGAACCCGAAACAATGCGCTGTTAAGCCCATCTACGAAGAAGACGATGACGACGCAGACGGCGGCTCGGAGCTCGTCATGTCCGGCGGCCTCGTCGCGATCGGCCTCACGTTCACGGGAATCACCATCGCGGCGATCGCGAATGCGGTCCAGGAACAATGCGCCCTGGGCCCCACGATCGTCTACGAGGCCGGCACGACGCACCCCTACTACATCGGCCCCAACCTGTGCACCATCGGCGCCCACACGTACGCCTCCAAGAATACAGTTAGAGACGCCTCGCCGCGCAAGGTTTGCCGCAAGTTTTGCGAGGCAGCTTCAGAGAAGGGGGAACTTGCACTGAAGCACGTCCAGGGCCTGACGTGCTACTGCAAAAGGAAGTAGCAGCCAGTGGTGTAATGTGTTTTTGCTTGTGAGTTATAATGGCGTCGGCCGCCCCGTGCATGCCACTATCCCCTCTTTGTAACGGTGCTAGGACTAGTGGGCGGCGTCCCTGGGGAAAAGACACCGCGCGTCGCCGATTCATCGCGCGGCCGACGCTAGTAGCTAACCAGGATCCCCACGAGTCGTGAATACACATAGAGGGCTGCAGGCGTATGAAAGAAACGGCACGCGCCCGCCGCCGATGAATCGGTGACGCGCGGTGTCTCCCCCCCCGGGCTCCGCCCACTAGTCCTAGCACCGTAACAATATGGGGAACATCGAATGGCGCACTAGTAGAACGCACTAGTATCCAGTACTAACAGGACATACGTTTTTATGTAAGGTAGGACTTCCGACCGCAGCGCCGAACGACGCGCCACGCAAATATAAGACTAGTCGCCCGTGAAGCGCCGCTTCACCTCCGTCGTCCGCCGTCGCGGCTCCTCCTCCTTCGCCCGCGGGAGGTGCGCTTCCACAATCTCCGGCGGCCAGGGTCTCAAAAAAGAATCGCTCGCGTCGTCGTACCACACATAAATCCTTTCCAAGACGGTCACCGTGTACGCGACGCCGATCCTCATTAATAAAGGAATGCGCATGACGCCTCGCACGACTAATTCTCTCATTCCAACATACGCCGACGCGCCCATGGCAGTAGCTAGAGCATACGACTGGCCGCCAATAGCGACATCTCTCCGACATAGGACATCTCGCAAAACACCTCCAAAACAGATCGTGACGCCCGTCGCGATGCACGCCGCCGGCGGCAGCGCGCGCGTGACGCCGGCCTGGGCCCCGAAGCACGCCACACCACCTAGCGCCACGGTCTCCAGGGCGTAGAAACCTGGGCTGTCGGTCACGGCCATCCGCGCCACACTACTGAGGTCCTCCCTCGTGAGGTAGCCGTCGCCATCTCGATCCAAATGCCGAAAGTACAACGAAGGTCTCTGCTGCGGATCCCTCAGAGCTATTTTTTTCTCCCGTTCATTTAAGTGCGATTCGAGCATGCGCATCTCACTCCTCAATTCTTGGTCTTGTCGTAGTGCAAGCTCGAACGCGTCCGAGGACAGCTTGGCGTGGGGGTCACTACCAGAAGCTCTCGCGAGCTGCTCGAAGCGGTCGCGGCCTGCGTGGGAACCCTTAACGCGGCCCGAATCGGCTCAGAAGACGGCGACGACGCGCGTCGACGGCGTAGGGACGCTGCGCAAGGACCCGTCCACTCCAAATACTTGGGCCACAGATAATATGTAGCTACGGCCACGACGGTCGATAGTAACAAGTATCTAGGGTCGCGCATCCAGAAGACGCCCCGCGCGGCGTTCGCGCCGGTGAGTGCCCCAGTCACGGTACCTCCACCGACCCCACCGACCACACCAACCAGGGTAGCCCCCACGACGTTCATGCCCGCGATGCCCGCGTACTGGGCGCCGATCAGCGCGAATAAGGCCGTTGAGAGGTAGTCCAAGAAGAGCAGGACCTTCTGGCCCGTGCTATGTTCGTCGGACGACGTGATGAATTCAGCTAAATACTGCCTTTCCGCTCCCACGGAAGCCGTGGCCTGCACCGCGTCCACGTAGGCCGCGTTCGACTCTTTTTTGGTGCCTTTCTTCAACTCCGCATACAAGTTGTCGAGCTCGTGCTGGGATAGCCGCACGCCGAGCTCCGCGGCCCGTTCGCCCACATCAAACGATTTGGGCAGGTCCTCCGCGTCCTGGGGCAGTCGCGTCGGCTGGGTGCCGAGCTTTTTTTCGAGGGCTTCGTGTAATCCTTGGTAGGCGAATTGTCTTGTAGCTAATGCTTGCGGTGTAATGCGTTTTATAGGATGGCGCGCGGCGGCGGCGCGTCTCGCGGCGGTGCGCAGCAGCATTGTGCGTCTCCGCGCGTGCGCTCCCGTGCGGCAGTTGTGGGGGCAGTGCTTAGCTCCTCGGGCAGGTTTCCAATCGCGGTCTCCTCACTCACGCGTCGAGTGGGCGTCGTCGAGAGGCAGCTCAACGAGTCCTGGCGTGCGAGCCGCGTCAGCGACGTAGATAAAGCCGAGGTAGCAGTTCCACACGAATGTCGAGGAGCTAGCGTAACGACACACACTAGGACTGATCCGGACGCATGTTCACGCATCATCGAGCGCATCCGAGTGACCGGGACACATCAGCGAAGGTGGCGAGAGATCCTGCGCCCCGCACCTCTCACTGTGAAACTTTTGGCTGGAGATAAAATCGTGCCATACGACTGCACCAGGAGCCGTGCGCGCGCGCAGACGGCAGCACCGCAGCCCCACAAATTGTGCGCGGCGCGCGGGGCAGCGTTCACGCCCACAGATTACCATGCTGCTGCTACGATGGCCATGGGCTCTCCTCCCCACAATAACAATGGCGTCCAACGCCTGGCACACCGACGAAGACTGCGGCTGCCACAACCTGAATAGTGCGTGGGGCATCCGCACGATGTTTGAGAGGGGCTACAACGCGTCTCTGGCCCATCGCGCGAGCGACCTCAAACAACTGAAAGACAAAAGCAAGCAGACGAAGTCCGAGAAGAAGCTCCGGCAGGCGTTGACCTACGAGCTGTGGAGATCTTTGAGGGCGTATCGTTCCCAGCAAATTTCGACGCGAGAAGCTGTGCGGAAATCAAATGTCGCTGCGCGTCTCTCCCCACGGCTCAATCATGGCCTACACGCCATCGACGCGACGCCTGCTCGACGGCGTGCCGTTGTGGATTCCTCACCGCTCGACGGAGCCAGCACGGCCGCGCCATGTGCACGTGAGACACTGGTCGTTTTCCACACAGGCGAGAAGAAGCCGAGCAGGAGGTCGTAAAAATACTAAAAGATCCGAACAGGAACATCCTACTCGTGCTGAACAACCGCGTGTACGTGCATCGAGAGTTCTACGAGCGAAGTAAACACCCGGGCCACGCGGTCATGGTGCGCGAGGCGTGCCAATTACTGGGGTGTCCCAACGTGATATATGATTTTGCCTCCGAGACGACGGGCGGCTCCGGGTGTGAACAACGCACACTAAAGCTAGCCATCAACAAGGAGGTGGGATACGAGCAGTGTGGTGTATTAGTGCCCAATTCGTATTTTGGCGGCGGCCACGGCAACCTCACGATGTGGGCGTCCGAAGTGAAAGGCCAAGATTCGAAGCTCGAACCTTTCTCCAAGCGAAAGGGCAAGGCCATGTATCGAGGGAGTCTGCACCCCGACCCGGATAATGTGTTCTCGAGCGAGCGCATGTGTAGCGAGGTTGCATATGGCAACTACGCGCGCATCAGTGCCTTTGCAGCATCTTTGGATCATCCCGACGAGGTCGACGCCAAATGTGTGGATGGGAAGCACCACGCGTGCAAGCTGCCTCCCCCGTCGTGTGTCGGGATTGTGTCTGACTTCAATTCTGGACTGAAGAAAAAAGCTAGAATTGACGGCGAGTACTTGGACGACAAGGAGTACCGGAACCACAAGTACCTGTTGAACTTGCCCGGGGCCGCATCAGGTAGCTATTCGAAGAACCTGAACCATCTCTGGAGAACAGGATCGGTAGTGATGCAGTGGGTGCACCCCTTCGTGGAATGGTACCATCCGGCGCTAGAACATGGTGTCACGCATCTGGACGTGGCTCGGTACAGTGTCGCGGACTACGTCCGAGCCCTCGAGAGGGACCCCGAGACGGCGGAGAGACTCGGTAGCGAAGCGAGAAGGATCCACGACACGCTGCTGTGTCCGCGGTGCCTGGCGGCTTTTCTGAAAGAAACTTTTGAGGCCGTGTCCAAACACCTGGGCCAATCCCTAGTCTTGGATGACGGGAAACGAATAGCAGAGCTTTTGCGGGAGCATGCCGATTGTAGTACGATGGCGGAAGTGGACGAGTACCGGGACCACCACCATTTGCCTGCACTGTTACGTGAGGATGATCCCATACACCCGTGCCGGAAAGGTGGTCCTGTTTCCAATAAGAATTGGAAGCGGGATCATCAGGCCATGGAAGCGAGGCTGGCCTATGCGGAGAAGTACGGCCTCGAGAAGAACAAAGGGTAAGTAGTTACTACTAGCTAGGCCACCGCGCGTCGGGGGCACTCGAGCGCGCCGAACGCGCCCTGCGCGTCGAGACGCCTCCCTTCTTCATATCCTCTTGACCATAGACTGGCGGCTTGAGAACGAGAAGGCGCCACGAAGCGATGGAGCAACAAAGATGGCGTCGGCGCGACCCAGACCCGCGCCGGACATGTGGAAGACCGCGCGAAGATGAGGTTGAGCACCGGGAAATTCCACGCCGCGACTAACGATGACAAAGGGTGGGCCTTGAGCGGGGCGGACGCCTTTCTACACAAAAGTGCTAGGGCGTACGTCACTATACTCCAAAGTGAGAGGGCATTCACGCCGTCAGACGCCACTCCGGTCCGCAACGACCGGAACGGCTTCCACGACGCGATGCCCGGCGCCGTAGCTGATGCTGCTATAACTACTTGCGCGAAGTCTTCTCTGCTTCTGTATTGCGAAACGAATGCGGGGTACAAGCAAGGTAAAGGTCGACACTGCAGCGTCCTCATCCCAACAGCGATGCGGTCGTGGCCCAGCGACAGATGGTCCGACGACGGCAGGTGCTCCTCGAGTAGTGTTCGCAGTATCTGCGACAATCGAATAGAATCTATAGACTGATCTATTGCCTTCTGCATCGCGCGCGCCCGCTTCCGGACCACACAGGCCGCCGGGGGCGGGTACCCCGGGACACCCGACTCCATCGCTAGAATAGCGGCGGCGCAAACAGCACCGGAGCCGTTGCCGACAATTTTCACACCTCTTAAATCGTACCTTTCCACGAGAAACTGGCACATCCCTAGTTGCCAAAACACGTAGCACCCGCAGCCCGGGAAGACGATCGACGGTCGCTGGTCCCTTCGTTTCGTCGGCGAGACGGCTCCTCTGCTGTTCTTTTTGGCTGGTACTAACAGTGATATGAATGCTGTGAGGGTACCAGCTATGGCATCGGCCAGCGTGTGGTAGACAATTAACAGCAGTAGGAGAGGTGAGAGCACCGTTACCAGGAGTAGTGTCCTGGTAGATGCCTTCAGGTCATCGATCAGAGACGGTTGTGTAGGTGTCGAGACGCCCGCGGTCAAGTAAGAGTACGTCTTGTCGTCGCCGTTCTTCGGCGAGGCGCAGAGCTGGAGCGAGGCTTTCAGCTCTTTTAAAGTAGGCGACGACGGGCTGTCCGGGGGCTTACTGGGTGCGGGCGGGGGCCAGGCCTGCCGGGGAGATTGCATCTGGTCCTGCGGCCTGGTTTTTGCTGCCTGGGAGATTGCAGGTGTTGCTGGTCCTGCGGCGCGGGCGCGGCTGGGGTAACGCCGCGCGTCGACGGCGTGCGGGTGGAGCTGCGCGAGCGCGCGGGGGCAGCGTTCGCGCGTCCCGGCGGTGCGCGGCGAGCGCTTTTTATTGTTGGGCTCTCCCAGCGGAGGAAAACCTGGGGGCCGGATGCGCGCCTCGCGCGCTCATTTCGACGCGCGGAGGCGTGCACCCAGAGGTCGGCGAGTGTTCGGACGAGTCGGGGGCGGTTCGGTAGGGGGCAAATCCAGGTCTTGAGGCCGCTTCTGCCTCGACTCAAAACAAAAGCAGCCAAGGGCGGCCCACAAATCAAAGGAAACGCAGCCCACAACTCAGTGAAAAGCCACCGGGGCAGCCCACAAAATGCGCGCCGTCGCCTTCGTCCTCGCCGCCGCGGCGCCCTACCGGGCGTCGGCTTTGCTCGACCACGGCGCCCGCCGCGCGCTGCGGGGCCGGCGCCTCCGAGGCGCGACCTTCGGGCTCGTCGCGAGGACGAGCCCGAGCGACGCGAACGCGATGTATTATCCCCAGCAATCGTACGGCAAGTCGGTGGCGATCGACGGCGACATCGCCGTGGTTGGTGCCCCCGGCGACGGCAACGAGAAGGGCGCCGCGTACGTGCTCAGAACGACCGACGGCGGCGCCACGTACGTCGAGCTGGCCAAGCTGACGGCCTCCGACCGCTACTCCGTGGCCGGCGAGCACCGCTTCGGCTGGTCCGTCGCGATCGACGGCGACACCATCGTGGTCGGGGCCCCGGGCACCGTGGTCTGGGACTCGGTCGATACCCCGGGCGCGGCCTACGTCTACCGCACGACCGACGGCTGGGCCTCGCACACGGAGCTCAAGCTGACGGCCGACGACGCCGAGGAGCAGGACGGCTTCGGCGGCGCTGTGGCGATCGCCGGCGGTACGATCGTGGCGGGGGCCTGGAACCAAGGCGGCGGTGCGGCCTACGTCTACCGCACGACCGACGGCGGCGGCACGTATCCCCAGGTGGCCAAGCTCTCCAGCGACTGCGTCAACGTGCTCTACCCCTCCCAGCCCTGCTCCGGGGACGCCTTCGGCGCGTCCGTGGCGATCTCGGAGTCCGGCGACACCATCGTAGCCGGGGCCTGGGGCCACGGCGACGCGAAGTTCGACGACGCCGGGGCTTACTCCGAGAGCCCCGCCATGGGCTCGGCCTACGTCCTCCGCACGACCGACGACTGGTCCACACCTGTGTGGAAATCAAACAGTGTGTCGGGTGCACCATTTCTCGGTGATGACGCGGCCGTCCTGGCTCGGTCGAGCGGCGAGGAACCAGCATCGCCACGCCATCGAGCAGGCGTCGCGTCGATGGCGTGGAGGACGAGGCGATGATTCAACACGAACGCGCCGTAAAATTTTGATTTCCACACAGGTCCACACACACGACGACCAAGCTGACGGCGGCCGACGCCGCGCAGGGCGACGAGTTCGGCATCTCCGTGGCCATCGATGGGGACACCGTCGTGGTCGGAGCCTGGAAGGACGGCGACACGGGCTCGGCCTACGTCTTCCGCGCGAGCGACGGCACCCAGCTGGCCAAGCTGATTGCCGATGACGCAGCGGTGGACGACGAGTTCGGCGGCTCCGTGGCGATCTCCGGCGACACCATCGTCATCGGCGCCGAGGACAAGGACGAGACGGCCTACGGCACCCACGGCGCGGCCTACGTCTACCGCACGAGCGACGGCGGCGCCACGTACGTCGAGCTGGACAAGCTGGCGGGCTCAGACGACAATGGTTCATTCGGCGCCTCCGTGGCGATCGACGGCGGCACCGTCCTCGTCGGAGAGTCCAACGGCGAAGACCCCGACGGCGTGGTCTTCGACGGCAGTCGGGCCCGCTCGGGCGTGGTCCACGTGTTCTCGAGCGACGCGAGTTTGTGGTCGTCGTCCGGCGCGCTGGGCTCGACGGGTTCCAGCTCTGGCGGCTCCTCCGGCGGCTCCGACTCCAACACGGGGGCAGTCGTCGCGGGCTGCGTCTTCGGCGCCTTCGCCCTGCTCTTCGTCGGCGCCGTGGCCTACTTCTACCGGCTCTCCCCGGAAGAGCAGGCGGCGGCGAAGGAAAAATTCTGGGCGGCCGAGGCGGAGGGCGAGAAAAAATTCTGGGCGGCCGAGGCGGAGGGCGAGAAGCAGGTGAAGGCCTTGTTCGCGAAGGCCGAGGGCGAACCTGAGGCCGCGGCCGGAGCCGCGGCCGAAGAAGCTGCGCCCTAGCCCGCGCCGCGCCCCACAATTCGACGAGGTCCAGCCACGACAGCTCCGGCTCGCGCCTCCTAGCAGCTAAGAAAGTACTAGTAGTTCTCTTATCAGCCGACCTCGATCGGGTGGTCGACGCGCTTGCCCTCGTCTTCGTCGAAGACCATGACCGGGTCGTCCGACGTGCCGGCCGCGGGCCGGCGCGCTTCAGGACCCACGTGGAAGAGGAAATGTGAGAGTCGCGCGCCCAAGGCCCGGACGCCCGCGTGGAAGAGCTTGACGTTCCCCCATAAGAATATCGCCATCATGTACATCAATAGGCAGAAGACATTGAGGCCATCAGCACCGCCGAGGGTCACGGCCAGGAACGCCCCGCAGACGAAGACCCAGGTCAGCATGAGCGCGACGCCGAAGACGAAGAACGCCACTGAAGATACGAGTAAGAACGTCCCAATCGCCACGGCCACGAGCGCCGGCGGATTCTCGCCGTTCTGCAGCGCCAGGACGCCGGCCTGCACTTCTCGCTTCACAAATATTGCCAAGTGGCCGTCGCGCACCGCGTCCGTGAGGACGAGCCGGCGGCGGCGTGCGCCCGCGTCGGCCATTTAATTTATACCGTACGGATAGGGTTCAATGGCTCCAGAGTCGGACTCCGACTCCGAGTCCGACTCCGGCCACAACTCGTCTCTCTGGTAGCAATATTCCCCCGGAAAGTTGTGGATCAGGTCGTAGCCGACCCAAGTCAGGATGTGCGGTAGCAGCTCCGCTGGTAAATTGTAGGGGTCCCGGACGAGGAGTTGTCTGAGCAGCGGTTTGAGCGCTTTGCGTCGTGCTTGACGCGCGCGTAGTGTTATCGTTATCGCGCGCGTCCTGCGCCGCGCGCGCGCGCGGCGTAGGTTGTCTCGGAGCTCGCGGTCCAGGTCGGACATAAACCGCCGCTGCGATTAGGTATCGGCCTGGTGGTTCACCGCAGCGCGTGGATGTCTTCACCAGCTTTCGGTCTCCAGCAGCGCTTTAGGCCCCACAGACAGGATCGATCTCAGTGGATTAATTTGTGTACCTAGCGGCCGTAAGACACTAGACATCTAAAGCAGGCGCTTATGCCGCGAAACGAACATAAAATAGCGCGCACCACCGGATATCGGACACTTATATAGCTCGCCGGGCCCACGCCGCCGCCGCGCCGCGTGTTCGCCTTAGGTCGCGGGGACGGGCACAAGCAGACTAGTGGCAGAACAAGTTACTCACCCGCGTCGTCTCCCGCCCGCCCGAGAAGGCCGGCGCCGGGATCGCGGGTTGGCGATGGGGCGACAATGGCTCACACTTTTTGCCGATCTCGCGCGACAGCGGCGACAGCGACCGCTCCCGCCGCTTCTCGGGGAGGTCCCGATGCGACACCCAGCGCTTGCCCACGTAGACGTCGGGCTTCGTCGGCTCGGAATGCACGACCATGCTCTCGGCCTCGGCGCGCCGCGTCGGCGACCGAGACAGGCGCTCCCGCGTCCTGGCGTCTCTGTCTGGATCGGACCACAGAATGGCGCGCTCGCGCTCGTCCGGGTCCGGCCGCCGCGTGATATACATATCAGTAGAACCGTCGAGGTCGCCGGCGCGCGGGAAGCCGACCGTATAGGGCACCTTCTCCGGACCGCCCATGGCCGCCCGCGCCGCACCCAACGCCACCCTCTTTATAGTCGCGTCCTCCTTTGTTGGAGACTCCTCGCGATGCAACGACCAGCCCTTCTCGAGCCTCTCGGCCCGCCTGCGCTCGCGGCGGCGGCGCCGCCGCTCGTGCCGCTTCCGCGCGCGCTCGCGCCGCGTCCACGCGTCGTGGGCCTCGTGGCGCTCGGGCCGGTCGCCCCACCAGCCCGACGCGAGGCCCGAGTGTCTATTGGAGGGCGAGCAGGCCGTCTGACCGTAGGGCGAATCGGACAACGCGTTCACGATCTTCACCGGCGTCGGCCGCCGCCGCACGGGCGGGAGCTTTTCCACGGTAGCTATCGTCGAATCGTCGTCGTCGGGTTGCGGCGACGCCAGCGGCGGCAGGATCCGAGACGACGCCGCCGCTACCGCAGCTCTAGCAGCTCGTATCTGGAAGTCGGAGCCCGAGAACGTCACTTCGTTTTTAGTCTGAGAAATTTTGCAGCCCGTCTCGCGCTGGATATTATCTAGGGTCGTGGAGGTCGACAGGTAGTCGCCCACATGCGTTGGTACTGTTGTCGTCGCGGCCGTGTCCTGCGTTCTTACCGAATGGTCGGGCGACGGCGCGCGGCGCCGCCGTCGAGATTTCGGCGGCGGTGGCGGCGTCTTCGGCTTCTCCTCTTTCCGTCTCATAAAATTCATAAATTCATCAATGGTCACTTCACCTGAAACGTCGCGATCCAACGCGCGCCACAACCCCCGCAAGTCATGATCCGTAAGATCACTGGAAGTGAGACTCAGGCCGCCCTGCGTGCCGTTCGCCCTCACAACGCGTTCTAATTCTTCATACCCTAGACGGTCGTTTTCATCCTGATCAATAGCTCTAAAAACCTTGACCCAAGACGACGCATGCAACCACCGCTTCGCGGCGCCATTTATTATTGAGACGATCTTCTCGAGGCTATCTTTCGAGAGCAACGGCCAGCCCTCCAGGATGAGTAGATAACACCCGTGCTGGAACTCAGAAATCGTAACTTCTCCACTCTTGTCGTGGTCCACATAAGTCCACAATGCCCTAAGTTCTTGGTCCGTCGTGTCCGTGACTCGTAGTTCACTCCGGACCGCTCCTTCAAACTCGGCGTAGTCGAGGCGGCCGCTTTTATCTTTATCGAGTCGCTTGAAGAGTAGTTCCCAATTCCGGTTCATGCTCCCTCGACGGTCCCAGGCCTGGCCGCCCCGCACCTTGGGAAACGCCTCGTGCAAACGGACCACGACCGCGCGCACCCGTTCGACCGGCATCGTCAGCTCGTGCTCGTCATGTTTTGACGGTTGCTTGTTCTCTATTTTCCTACCGGTGGCGTACTTTTGCTTGGGCTTTGGAGGTGGAGCTTTCCTTCTACGTTTCCGCGCGGCGCGGCCCCGTTCCGAAGCTTGCAGCTTCGATGCCGCCGCCGTCAACTCCGCGTCGATGATGGGCGGCTGGGGGCAGGCCGGCGCGGGGGCTGGCGCCGGCGGCGGCGGCGCCGGTTTTTCCACGACTTTGGGCCTTCGCTGAACAACGGGCTTCGGCCGCGGCTTCGGCTGGCTCCGCGGCCGCGTCGTCTGCACCTGGCGCACGAGCGCCCGCCCGACCTCGAGCCAGGGCGAGGGCCCTTCCACAGCTTGCGTGAGGCGGTCGACTCTAGCATTTATTGCGGCATTGAGTTGTGTGATAGCAGCGGCGGCCGCGGGATCTAAGCACTGCCGCAGTTGCGCGAGGCAGTCGTTGATGGACGGGGGCTTTGATTCCTCCATGGCTGCGGCTGCCCGACGGCATACCCGGCGCGCGCGCCCTGCAGCGCGCTCGGCGCCAGGGAGAGCCTGGGAGTTGGGCGCTAGAGCCGCGCGCGCGACTTCCTTTGGGCAAATCGTCCGTAGGTGGGTCGGAGGAGTCGCCTTGGTCCATGTGAGGTTAGTCTTACCCGGCTGCTTTGAAAAATTTCGACTGAGGGCCCTGGGTGGTGAGAGGGCATCCGGGAGCCCGGAATTGGCTCTTTCGGACGTACAGGGGTCATTTCCACGACGCCTGCAGTAGTTTGCCGTTGAATTCGCCCTGACCAGAGCACTCAGAGCTGGTACAGTCAGCGCTTTGCCGGCTTGTGCCTCTGGTCGAGCACGCTCCGATTGTTCGTAAGGCTGCTGACGACGCGTCGTAACAAACCATCATACCCTCTGTGCACCAACTGCAGCTTAACACCATGTCGCGTCAAGCATTACACGCAAAAAGCGCAGCAAAAATGGCCCTCCTCCTCACATGTGCTGGCTCAGCCGCCGCGCTAGTCATGAAACCGACCACGGCCGTGCGCCAGCCGCTGCGACGCGTCCAGCGACGACCACAAACAAAGATGATGGCCTTCCTGCCAATAAGCAGCATACCCATGATCGGCAAAGCGAGACGGACGACGAAACTCTCCGTCGCCATCGACCCCTTCACGGAGGTCGAGAATCTACCTCTCCAACTCCTAGCGAAGGCTTCTGCAGCTCTGGTAGCGGTCCAGTTACTCGCAACTCTAGACTTCCCTGCGCTCATCGGTTCCTACAACGCCGCGCTCGCAAGTCGCCCTTTCACGACGAAGGCCGCGGGCACGGGCATCACCTACTTCTTCTCGGACCTGACGGCGCAAGCGTTGGAAGGTGATCGGAGTTCACTGATCGAAAAAGTGAAACGCGCCTCTCAGTTCGCTCTCGTCGGCGCTCTCTGGGTAGGACCGCTCCTCGCGGCCTGGTTCCAGGTCATGGACTTCTACGTGCCCGGGCGCAGTGCGGGAGCCGTCTCGACGAAGATCGTCATGGACCAGGTGCTGCAGGGCCCTTTTATGATTGCTACGATGTTTTTGTGGACCGGGTTACTTGCTGGTGCTGGTCTGTCTGGCGCTCTAGCGTCAATACGAGGGTGTCTGAGAGATACATGGGTCAAGTCCGTGTATGTTTGGAGCCCGGTCCAGGCCGTGCAGCAGCTCTTCGTGCCTCCCGAGTATCGAGTGGCCGTCGCGAACGGCGTTTCGTATTTTTGGGACACGTACCTGGCCATGGAGATGTCGCCGTCGGCCCACGCGGAGCACGACGATTCGGCTCCTCCTGCGGAGCTGGCGTTTTCTCGGTAAGTATAGTTGTTTTCCTCGCTCTTCTGCTGGGGGGTCGCGGCGATGGCGTATTTTGCGGGTGTTGTCCCCAAGCGCCTATCGAAGCTTACGCCATCGCCGCGACCCGCAAAAAGCCTAGGCCGCGAGACGACGACGCGCCCGCGCGCCCGCCGCGCCCCCGCTTCCTCATTGCCGTTGCACACAGCCGTCCCCAAGCACAGTAGCCGTCCCCGGAAATAACGAAGAGCCGGGGCAACGTTCGCGCCAGGGCGTGCACTGGGGGAAGTCAAACTGCAGAGGCCGTGGCAGAGCACGATTTTCATCCGAGCACGCACTGCGCCCTTGGTGGGCAATTATATAAGGCAGCACTTTGGCGCCAGTCTTAACCATGCAAGTCCTTCTTCTGCTGCAATTTGCAGCGCTCCAATCGACGCTCGCGCGACGGATGACACCTGTGAAGCGGCTGAGACTGAATATTTTCAACAAGCGCGGCGGCGCAACGAAGCCATCGCTCAGCCTGCGCGGCGCCGGCTTCCGCGCCTACGAAAAGCGCACGCTGGCGCGCGTTTCAAGAGGCGGCGGCGCGACCGGCACGACGGTCGCCACGCCGCAGCCGAGGCCACAAGAGGACACCGCCGTCGATTTACTCGAAGCCCACAACAACGCGATAAAGACGAGGGGCGGCCAGCTCCCCCTCCTCATATTGCGCATGGTGAGGATTCTACCGAGATTACTCGCGGTGATGATACCGGCTCTCGGGGGCTATTCCAATCTAGAAAAGTTCGATTTGTTGGGCACGGCCTTGTTCGCCTACGTCGGCACGATCGCCGGCGGCAAGAACGGCATGGACGTGTTTGGCTGTATGGTTATCGGTACGGTAACAGCTACCGGTGGCGGTACCTTGCGAGACATTGTATTAGGAGGCGAGCAGCAGGTCTTCTGGATGCGCGACGTGACGTACCTCAAGATCTGTATTGTTACATCTCTCGTAACCTTCTTCACGTGGCCGCGGTTCGAGACGAAACGCGGCTGGCGCGACGACCACGAGTTACTTTGTTTCGCCGACGCTTTGGGCATGGGCGCTTTTTGCGTCATGGGCGCCGAGAAGGCTCTGGTGAGGGACGTGGATCCGCTCTGTGCCGCCATCCTAGGGTTAGTTACCGCAACTTTTGGCGGGGTCACACGCGATGTCCTGACGAGACGTCCCGTACGGATCTTCCACGCGACGATTGATGGCGCCGAGAAGTCCTGGTACGCGTTACCGGCGCTGTTCGGTTCGTCGATCTATGTTGCACTCCAAACGTGCTGCGACGTCGACAAGGACCTGGCGGCGGTCTGCGCCTTCCTCATGACCGTGACGATGCGCGTGGCCGCCTATACTTATAGGTTGACGCTGCCGGCCTATCCCAACCCGGAGTGGCAGGACGGGAAGCGCGTGCGGTAGCCGCGCCCGTCGCTGGCGATGCGGCGGTTTGCCCTACGAATTAAGTTTATTGTTAAGACTACTACTGTGCTCTGGTGGCGCGGCGACGGCGTGCGGGGCGAACCAGCTTTTTGGCTTGTGTTTTGCTGTCCAGGACTGCCAAAATAGCTGCCGCAAACAGCATTGTAACAGCTCCGCGCCGCAGGACTCGTGTGCATTGCTCAAACTTCTATACCGAAACGTCCAACCATCCCTTTAAGCCATCCACGCCGCCGCGTCCGTGTTCTCAATTGCTCCCTGTGAGAGCTTCCGCCTGCAAAAGCGCTCCGTGCATGCGCGCCAGAGGAATCGTGCCTCGCACAAAGCTCACACCACTCACCGACGCCTACCGCAGCGTCGTCTGCACGTACCTCTGCGCCGCGCTACTTTGGCGCGTCCTCGCGACGGTCCTCGAGACCTGCTCTCTGTCAGAACTTCTGAAAGGAAGAGCCATCCGCGCGGTGCCGCCGCAGCTCTTTACCGCCTCCTACAAGACGTGCCACAAGCATGGTGCAAGGCGTCGTCATTGAACAGGGCCATATTGTCGACACAAATCCCGCGACGGGCGCCGTCATCCAACGCGTAAGGGTCTCAACGCCAGCCGAAATCGACGCCGCCGTCGCGGCCGCGCGCACGGCGCAGCCTTTGTGGAACGCGAGACCACTACATGAGAGAACGGAGCTCGTGAAGCAGGCGTGTGCGGCTCTCGCGGGCAAGCGCCAACAGCTCGCCAAGTTAATTACTGCAGAAATGGGAAAAACCCTGGCCGAGAGCCTCGAGGAGGTCGACGACAACATTGATATGAGTGCTTATTGCGACCTCGTCCAGCAGGCGAACGCGCCGGAGGTCGACGGCGGCTCGTTAATAGTAAGACACCCCCACGGCGTCGTCGCCGTCTGCGCGCCCTGGAACTATCCTGTTGAAGAAATAGTGTTACTTTGTGTCCCGGCGCTGATCGCGGGCAATGCTGTGGTAGTTAAGCCGTCCGAGGTCGTGCCTTTGTCAAGCGGTCTCGTCGTGGAGACGCTGCGCGACGCCCTACCGTCAGGACTCGTCAACCTATTGCAGGGCGACGGCGAAGTTGGTGCATTGTTAACAGGACATCCGCTGGTCGATATGGTCGGATTCACCGGTAGCACGGCCACCGGTCAAAAAATACTAAACACGGCTTCCAAAACTTTGAAGCCCGTGGTCTTGGAGTGCGGGGGCAAGGACCCCATGGTCGTGCTCGAGGATGCTGATTTGGAGCTCGCGGCGCATGATGCCGTGGCTTATAGTCTGGCGAACTGCGGCCAGGTTTGTTGTGCGGTCGAGCGCGTCTATGTGGCCGCGAGCGTCGCGGCGGATTTTGAAGATAAAGTGAAGGCCGAGGCATCAAAATGGAAGGTAGGCGACGGCGTCGACCCCGAGACCACCATAGGGCCGATGGCGTCTAGGATGCAGAGAGATATAGTGCATTCCCACGTGACGAAGGCGACGCAGGCCGGCGCGCGCTGCGTGCTAGGTGGCGAACTGCCGGGCAGCTCGGAACGAGGCAATTACTATCCGGCGACCGTTTTAGCGGATGTGCCGCACGGGGCCCTGCGCGACGAGGAGACCTTCGGTCCGGTCGTCGCTTTGTCGACCTTCGACGGCTCGGACGACACGGCAGTGGCGCTGGCAAATGATTCCCGCTACGGCCTCACGGCCTCCGTCTACAGCAGCGACCTGAAGCGCGCGGGCGCCGTCGCGGCGCGGCTGGCCGCGGGCCAGGTCGGCGTCAACACCAATCCTTTGTCGGGCGTGCGGTCGATCCGCTGCCCCTTCGTGGGGCACAAGGAGTCGGGCTACGGGACGCACTCGGGCTTCGACGGCTGGCGCCAGTTTTCGACTCCGAAGTCCCTGATTTATGCGGAAGCACCGGCGGACGACGCGGTGCCGGCGGTCGCGAAGCGCGACCGGCGCGGGCCGGCCGTGCCGCCGGTGGCGGCTTTGTTAGCGTTCGGTGCCGGAGTGCTGATCACGCTGGCGGCGACGCGGCGGCGGGCGTGAGCAGTCTTCTTCATCCCTCCCCCTCCAACCCCTCCCCCGTAAGTTTTCGCTGTGTTAGGAGTGTCACGGTTCGGACGGACTCGAGAAATGTACTAGACGAGAAATGTAGTATTTTACAAGTGGGTAGGCTTCGGTCGATGTGGTTCCCGCGCTACACGACAGGCGCGGACCGGAGAATTCTAGTCGTCGTCGGGCTCGCCGCCGTCCTCGGATTCATCGGATGCAGCGGTAGCCGCGGCATGCGACCACGACCCCGTCGCCGCGGTGTGCGCGCCCCCGGCGCAGTTGATCGCCTTGATCGAGTGGATTTCCAGATGTACGTTGCCCTCGACGCCCTCTCCCCAGATGCTCAGCTTCTGGAGGTCCTGGAGATTTGACGCGTGCGGGCACACGCGCTGGTCGTCCGCGCACGAGACGATGATTTCCCCCGTGGCGTCGTCCCAGTCGTCGCTGAACGCCGTGAAGGGGATTTCCACATCGGTCAACACCATGCCCGCCTGGAAGGGCGCCTTGAAGCCCGACGACCAGCGGTGCGGCTCCAGGTCCTCGGGGGCGCGCTGCGTCCCGAAGCCTATTCTATAGCCGGTGTAATCGCCCATTGGATCACCAGTATAATGCTTGCAGGAAATCACAAAGGCGCTGCACGCGGAGATGTCGGGGAACGTGCCCGCTTTCTCGGCCTTGATGAAGCCCGGCGCGCGGACGCAGACGCCGCCCGGGCACGTCGCATCGTCGGTGTCGTCGGTCGCATCGTCGGCGCACTGCTCGCCGTCCTGGGCTCCTCCACTACATTTGGTCAGGAACTTGACGATTTTGACGCTTCCTTCCAGTAAGCCCACGCCGTCGGCGGACACGGTGAACGCGCCCGTCGACTGGCCGCCCATGACCGGGTCGTTCGTCTGCTCCCAGGGCTTCCCGTCGATGAAGTCGGCCACGAGAATCGTGTCCGGCGTGGTCGGGGAACTGTCGTCGTCGTCGTTGGACCCCCAGTCCTTCTGGATGAAGATGCCCGCGCCCGTGCCGAATCCAATAAAAAAGCCGAACAGCAGCATGCACAGTAACGAGCAGTACTTCTGGCGAATTTGCCGCTTCCGCCAGTAGAGTCTTACCTCATCTTCGTCGCCCACGTGGATGTGCAGGGGGTTCACGTCGTTGTCTTTGCTCGGCGTCGCCGTCTCCATGTCGTCGCGGGCGACGCTGGTTGGGCTCCCCTCGCGGCCCATACTTGTTCTGGCTTGTAGGGGGTGGGCAGCCGGCGGGGCTGCGATCAATCTATTGAGCACTGAAGCAGCCTGTCTTTGCAGAGTTTCGGGGCGCGTGCCCGTCGTACTCGGCGCCTAATCCAGCGCGTTTATGGGCCCGCACACCAGCCTTGTCTGAAGTGAAAGGCTAGTATGTAAGCACGTGAGCGTCGAGCGACGGGCGCGTCGACGGCCGATGGGCGTCGACGGGCAGGGCTCCTCGTAAGTCCCGCCGCGTGGCCGACGCGGCGGGCGTTCTTCGCACACACGCCGCGCGCCCACACCCGCCGCGCGCGGGACATCCAGTACATACACTACGAGAGCCACGGCCTTACCCTCGCGAAACCCACTACTTCGTCCCCCACTTCCGCGCGGCGTCGACGAACGCCTGGACGTTCCCCTCCGGCGTCGGCTGCAAGACCCCATGCCCGAGGTTCAGGACGTGCGCGCCCGGCCCGCCGGCGCCCTCGATGCATGCTTTGACGGCCTTCTCGACTTCCTCCGTCGAGCCCAGTAGTAATGAGGGATCAATATTCCCCTGAACTGGCACGTCATCACCGAGCTGCTTCCGAGCCTCACCGATATCCACGGCCCAGTCCAGCGAGAGACAGTGGTAGTGCGAGTCGGAGACCATGTCCTTCTGGGAAGCTAGGTAGCTCGAACCGCCGTTCGCAAAAAAGAGCACGGGCGCCTCCGGATGGCGCTCTCGCACCAACGCCGCGACCCGCAAAGCATACGGCTTGGCGAACGCCTCGAAGTAGGCCGGCGTCAGCTGGTGCGCCCAGCTCTCGAAGACCTGGACCATCTGCGCGCCATTTTCGATCTGATAGCACGCGTACTCCGCGACACTGTCCGCCATCGCATCTAAATAGCGATGCGCCGTCGCCGCGTCGTCGCGCATCATCTCCTTGATGTTGAGGCAGTGGCGCGTCGAGCCGCCTTCGCACGCGTAGGCGCAGAGTGTCCACGGCGCTCCCACGAAACCTACTAGCGTCGTCTTGCCCTCCGTCTCCTTCCGCAAGTTCTTCAAAGTTTGGGCGACGAAGGGCAATTGGGATGTGGGATCGAACTTCTTCGCGTCGGCCTCGAACCGGGCCACGCGCTCGGCGCTTCTCGGGGTGTCCTCGATCTGCGGGCCCTTGCCCTTGACGACGTCGAACTCGATGCCGAGAGCTGGTAGAATCGTCAGAATGTCCGAGAACATGATGACGCCGTCGACCCCGAACGCGCGCCAGCACTGCAAGGATAATTCGGTCGCGATCTCGGGATTTTCGCTCCGCTGTCGGAACGGAATTTTATCGCTGTACTTCCGGAAGTCGGCCATGTACCTCCCCGCCTGGCGCATGAGCCATACTGGGGTTCTTTCGGTCTTCTCGCCGCGCGCCGCTCGTAGCAAGACGTCGTGGTCTCCGGGCGCTGCATTTGTAGCTACCGTGGGCCGCGGTGCCGTCGTCGTCGAGAGCGCGGCAGCGCTTGCGAGTGCGAGCGCTGTGACTATTCGTCGCATCATGGTTGTGTTTACTGCAGCGATGCGATTGCACAGCCGCAAATCCCAGCCTCTCGATGCATCAATTGCAGGTCGCGTCGCCGCGTCGAGCGGACGGCAAACCCACGCCGTCCGTTCGAGAGCCAGTGCTCGCAGCGCTGGCACGACTAGTACACGCGGCCGCCACTAGCCGCCGCGGACGCCCACAGCAGAGCCAGCAAGCAGTCAAATTGCTGCCGGCCAAGCGTCGGGGGCACGCGGTCGGCAGCCCGGCGACGCATCGATTCGCCGTCCGGCAGCCGCGAGGTGGGCCTGTCTCAAGAGGCAGCGTGCGTCGCGGTGGGGCAGCCGCCAACGCCAGGCTTTGGCAGACAAGCATTCGGTCGAGGGGCGGTCGCGACGCTGTCGTCGACGCACCGACACCATGGGCCTCACCATCAAACGCGGCCCCGATGGGCTGCCCATCTTCTCCTTCGAGGACGCACCGGCCGCCCGCCGGGCCACGCCACCGCCGAGACCGCAGCGCAAGATCCCGCCCCTGATCCAGTACCGCTACCGCGCGCCAAAGAATGCTGAGCCGGAGCGGCCGCGCGCGCTCCGCCAGCGCCGCGAGCACACCGTGACCTGGCCGGGCCCGGGCCTCACGGGCGTGTCTGCCGGCCACGGTACGCGTCTCAAGTCGCCGCAGATCGCGGGCTGGATTCCCTCTGAGGAGACGCCGGCCGCGCGCCTCCGCGAAATTGAAAGAGAGAACGCGGAGCTGGTCAAGTTCATCGGGCGGTCGCGGCCGTCACCCGCCATGGAGCGGCCGCAGATCCCGCGTGCCGGCGGCGGCCGCGATGTTTTGCCTGATAGACTAGATCGGGACGCGCGGCCCGTAGTGTCGCCGTCGCGGCCGGCGCGGCCGCGGCGGCGGCGGCGGCCCGTCGCGGAGGCGCCGCTGCCGGCCGACTACGCGCGCTACCGCGAGGAGGTGCTCGGCGACGACAGCGACGGCGACGGGCCGGCCCTGGGCGTCGGCCCCGGCGTTGTACAAGCGCCCGCGCCCGCGCCGCAGCTAGAAAGCCCACCCTACACGCCGTCGCTGCGGCGCGAGGCGAGCGAGGCCTCGGCCTTCGAACGTGGACCGCAATCGACGCCGACGGCCGAGCTTTTGGCCGGCGTCTTCTCGCCGCTCGACGAGGCGCCGCCGCCGCCCGAGCTAGTAAGGATGGCGCCCGCCCCTCAGAAACGGGGTGGCATGGTGCCCCGGAAGTCCGTGCGAGCGTCGCCCGGAAAGGACCCGCGCGCGATCACCGCCGAGGCCGAGCGGCGCGCCGTGCTCGCGGCGACGCCCGAAAGGACGCGGAGCGGTTTATTTCTTGCGACGCCTCATGAAATGCAACGGCCCGTGCGAGCGGAGAAACCTACTGAAGACGAGGAGCACGTTTCCCTTCATGCAAGGCGCAAGCGCGCCGCGAGGGTCGCGCGGGAAGCGAAGCTCAAGCGCCAGAAAGAGACAGCCGCTAGAAATGCGTTTCTGGACATGCAACTGGCCAGGGCCGGCGCGACGCTCGCCCAGCTTTCGGTAGAAAAACGCCATCGCTACGCTCATGGGATAGAAAAGACGGAGGAACCCACGATAGACATGAAAATAAGAGCGAGGCAGGAGTACTCCGAGCTCGCGGAGTTCCACCTGACGAACCACGAGCGGTTGCTCGAGAAGTACGCGGGGGCGCTCATGGCCGAATCGCGGCAGGAGTTGGATTTAAATGGCGGGCCCATGGAGACGGAGTACCGCGCGCTCGTGGCCATGGAGGGTTTTAAACCTGAGCCGTCGGGCGAGAAGCGGTATCCTACGCTACCTGTCGTGCGCCAGGCGCTGCTCGAGGATCGCACGGTCGTCGAAGAGAAACATCGGGCGCGGTTCGGCGACCAGTGGCTCCAGAACCGGTTCCATGAACTAATTTAATTGTTAACAACACTGGGAGGCGCCTCGTCGGGCGCCGCGAGCCCCTCGGCGAGTTCCCGCAGACTCTCGGGGTCCAAGAGGCTGCCCCGGAGCGGCTCGTCGGGTTCCTCGCGGACCTGCTGGGCCAGCCCGTTTGCGTCGATGACCGGGCCCGTCGGCATCGGGCCGTTGACCTCCTCGTAGCTCCGCTTCGGAGATGCCGGAGGTTCGGGTGGCTGGTCCGCCGGCGCTGGGGGCGCCGCAGCAGGCGCCGAAGGAGGCTCGGCCGTCGGCTCCGCGGCAGGCGCAAAGCTGAACTCCGTCCGCAGCGCCGCCGACGTCTCCGAGAGGCGCAGCTCGGCCACGTCCGAGGCGACCTCCTCGGTCCGGGCGGGCGTCGCCGGCGCTCGAGGCCAGCGCGGGTCCTCGGGCGTCGGCGGCGGCGAGGCCGCCGGCTCTGGCGTCGCCTCGACGCCGACCGCCTTCGCAAAAACCTCCTCATTCACACCCTTCAGCTGCGACGCGTCACACGACGCCAGGAACGCCGCCGCGGCCGAGAGCTGCGTCAGTAAAAACCCGGCCTCGCCGCGCATCCTATGGTCGCCGACGTAGTACTCTATTCTTCTAAGGGAAGACGGCAGCTTCTGGGGTCTCGCTCGTAACGTCGCCAGAATGACCAGAGGTAACAAGTCGTCCGTCGACGGCGGCTTGCCCTTGCCGTCGTTGAGCAATCTCAGACAAGCAAACAACGCATCGACGGCCTCGCGGATCTTGGAGACCGCTCGCAGCGGCGTCTCCGCCAGAGGCACTTCTTTTAACGCTATGAGCGCGTCCGAGAACGGCGCCAGCGCCTCGACGTCCGGCGCGTCTATTTCAATACAGGTCAAAAAAGCCAGCGCGTCGACGCGCTTTTCAAAAATTGAATCATCGGCGTCGCACTCCGTGATGAGGCGAAAGCCCGCTTCTTCTAATTTACGGAATAGTTTGGAGACGACCCTATCCAGCGTCTCCACTTCAAAAATTTCGGGATCTTGCGTCGCCCAGCCCGGCTGAGCTCGTAACAAGCGTTCGGCGTGGGCCAGGAACCGCTTGACGCGCGCCGCGCGCGCGTCGTCCGACGTCGTGGCCGTCTCGTGCTTGCCGAAGTTCCTGACAAAGGCGTCGAGCGAGGCCTTGCACCGCGTAGCCTTGGCCCAGCGCTCGGCGAAGGGAACGTCGGACGGCGGTTCTGGAGCCGTCGTCTTCTCTCTGCTTAATCTCCGCTGCACTTCGTCCAAGCCGCTCCGCCAGCCGTCCTGCAGCCGCAGTAGAAATGGTGGTGTAGGCCGCTTGGCGGGCGACGGGACCGGTACCGCATGCACCGTGATGCGCGGCGGCGCCAGATCCCGCGAATAGACGCGGAGCCACCGTCTTCTTCTCGCCACGGCGCCGGCGAAGGGCGTGCCCGACGAACCTTCTGACGTCTCTTCAGAGCCATTGGGGAGGCTCCTACAATAAGCCCAGCCCCGTCTGTCCGTCGCGCCACTTCGCACGTCGACGTGGGCGTGCCACGGCGCCTCGAGGGACCACACTGTTGCATCGCGAGGGGGTGCGATCGAATCGCGGTCCGGACCGACTAACGAGCCGTCCTCGCTGCTCCACGCTCCTTCGTTTTCGAGGAGGTGTTGTGCACTGAAGCCCGCGCCCCCGGCCCGCCACCGCTCGTTCTCGAGAGCCTCGTCGCACGCGTAGAGGACGCGGCCGATCTCGAGGACGCCACCTTGGCTCAGTAGCAGACTCCGCAGCTGCGCCGGTGCTAGGGACGAACCGTCCGGCAGGGTCACGGCCTGGAGCGTTGGTCGCTGTTCCGGCAGCGTCACGGGCTGGAGCGTCGGCGGTCGTTCGTCGTCAAAAGACCGCTGGAGGGACCGCGCTAAGGCCTCGTCGCCCGTCGGCGTCGGCGGCTTCGGGGGCGGCGGCGCCAGGTCGCTCGGTAGGGACCGGGGCAGCTCACCACCGGCCGAAACGACGGCCAGCAGGTGCATGAAGACGCAAAATTCTTCGAAGCGCAGCCCGCGCGCGTCCCTATTCGCATCCGCTAAAGCCCAGGCCCTCGCGAGGGCCTGCTTCGGGACACCCCTTTGGGAGGTGGCGGTCTGCATGAGACCTTCCCTTTCGCAGTAGGCCCGTACCGATAACCCGGCGACCCAGCCGTCGCGCGCGCCGGCCGCGCGGAAGGCCGCCTGCATCGCCGGGTCGTCGGCGCAGGCCTCGAGCGCCCAGCGTCGCGTGAGGTGTTCCTCGTAGGAGGGCGGCGCGGCCATGGTGCTGGAGGCGCTGTTGGGTATTCGTAGGTTGACCCCGGCGCTGTCGCGCGTCCCGAACCTCTGTGCTTCGTGTGGTGTCTCTGGCTGGGCCCGAAGGTAGGCCACGCGTCACGCTGCGCGCCGCTCGGAGCGCTGCTCAGGTAGGCTTGGCAATTCGCACGTTTTGCGCCGCGGATGAGCCGCTGCAGAGCTGGAGCTGGGGGAATTTGCGCAGGGCAGATTAGCTAGCGTCCGTAAGGCACTAGCCAGCAAATCGAGCTGATGATCATCATCGATGCTGCCCGGGCAGCCTGCGCCTCGACCGCATCGATGGCGTAATGGAACCGCCCCCACGCGGGCGTAGCGCACCAATGCAGTGACGTGTTTCCTCGCACGCCGTCGCCGCGGGCCACCAAGAGGAGAATGACGCGCCGCCTGTGCCAATGCGTCGCGCTGCTCGCCACGTTACCAATTCTCGACGCCGCCTTCTGCCAGCGCAAGGGAGGAAAGGCAGCCGTGACCTGCGAGGGTAGTGGACAACACAAAAAATGCTGGCCGAGCGACGACTGCGCGAAGAGGTTAAACGTCCAAGAAAAAGCGCGGAAGTGCGTCGAGGAGCACTGCGGGACCGGGGAGCGGCCGGGCCTGAAGGCCTGGGGGGCCATGTGCCTCGACCGGTGCCGCGCGACGCTGTGGCGGGCGACGGCGCGGCAGCTCGTCGCGCCCGTCATTGAAGATCGTCGTAGATTATCCCTTGTGCTGTGGGGCGGCGACCTGTGGGGGGCGGGAGCACCGTTACCTCCGCATCCCATACGGAACGCGTCATCTTTGGCGCTGCAGATCAGACGGGCCGCCTTCGCCGAAGCTTTGGAGGAGAATTACGTCACAGGAATGGGCCGCAGGACCGGTGGCGGCTGGTTCGACCGGGGCTCTCCCATGATATATGAGAAGACGGGCGGGCCGCTCGTGCTCTACGGTCTACAGAGATCCGGAACGAACGCGCTCACGGGACTGGTCAGTGCGCACCTCGGCACGGAAGTGTATAATGGCGAGCGCGACGACGAGTACTACGCGAGGCGGGCTCCTAGGTTATCGCCAACACGATTCAATGATCCAAGATGGAAGCATTTTAGACCGACGCACGTTTCTCGCCTGAACTCAACTCATGTTTTATATGCCTCTCCTCATAGCACAACACCGCACCTCGCCCACAAAGAAATGACGCCGTTGGAGGAAAGGAGTGGCTATGGCGCTTCCAGTAGACCGGCGAACGTCGGAGATGATAGGGAGGCCTTCTACGCGCGGAGTGCTCGCGATCTGGACTCATTAATCAAGGCCGAGGCCTGCTTTCGTAAGGGCGCGCTTTGTTCCGTACAAGTCCAAGTGCGAGCCTACATCATAGGAGTGAGGCACCCCGGCGCCTGGCTGGACTCGCTCCATCGGCACTGCCCCGATTGTCCTCTGAGCATGAGAGGCACTAGAGCGAAAGCTGTGTGGCACGCGCCGGGTTACTACGCTCAGCTCTGGGACGCGACGTACACGAAGTGGCTCGAGATGGCAAAAGACCGTCGCATCGTCATCGTGAGAAATGAAGATGTTACGAGAAGCTGCGTTCGTGCGGTGCAAGCGTTGGCTTGGAGGCTAGGTTTGAGATATGATGCGTCGAAGTCGTCCAGGGCCTGTTCTCGTGACATGCAAGTGGACATGACGCTGTCGGGCGGCCTCGGGCCACAAGATAAAGACAGTCTGGAGCGGGGCGCCGGCTGGCTGTTTGGTCTCGCTGGTAGTCGGGAAGCATTGGAAGCCATCTTGCAAATTAATGGACAAACAATGAAAAGCTTGGGCTACCCGAAACAACCTCTGGCGACGTTCGTCACGGCGTCACTCGAATTAGTGGAACCGATGTATCAGTGGTTCCTCCAAGCCTGGGACAAAGTAGCAAAAGATAAAAGTGGCGAGGCCGTGTCGCCGACCTGCGACAACCTGAGCGAGAAGGTGCAGAAGAACCGGAGGGCCTGGTGGATGAAAGGTACTTATGCATCAACACACCCGAAGACAAGAGAAGACTACCTCATGCTGCAGCATGCCGCCGATTACGTCTCTCCCGTCACACGACTAGAAAGAGAAAAAAACTCAGCCTCAAAAAACGTGGCATTAGCGGCGTTGGTGCGCGACGCGTGCGCGGCGTTCACGTGCAACACCAGGATGGTCGACGCGCTGATCGCACAAGCTGTTGATTTGGAATTCAAAGTATATATCCTCGAGGACGGGTCCTCCGACTGCACGCCCCAAGTGCTGGAGCGGTGGATCGATGCCAAAACATATGTGGAAGCGGTGCCGCCGCCTCCGTCTTCAGATAAGTGGGCGTGGGACGAGTCCATGAAAGGAGCCTACGCTCTCAGGAGGGACGAGGCCCTGCGCCAGAAGCGGTACATGCGGATGGCCTTGTTGCGGAACCATTTGACGTCCTACATCCTCAAACAATCAGTTGTGGATGCTCTCGTCGTTTACGACGCCGACCAGGGGAGTGGCTGGGCCTCGTCCCACATCATTAACGCTATAGCGGCAGTCATCGACGGGCGCTACGACGCCGTCTGCGGCAACGGCATCATTGCGCAGGCGCAACAGGATCGATTCATCCACCGCGACTTGCTCGCGTTACGGTGGTCCGATTTCGAGGACCAGCCCTCGGGCGGTATCGAGCTCGCGCCGTCGGAGAGCCCTTCCTCCGAAGCCGACCGTCTGTATGATAGCGGCGGGCGGCGCGTCGCGTCGTGCTTTGGTGGTCTAGCTATCTACGATTCCGCAATTTTCCGCGACGACGGCTGCGCGTACGATTTTTCTGTGACAGATGGCATCTGGGACTGCGAGCACGTCCTCCTCAACAAGTGCCTGGCCTCAAAAGGCCGATCATTAACGCTGCTGCCGAACTTGATAATTAACGGCCCCTACGCGACGGGTCGCCGCGCGAAGATCGTCCACCTGCGCAAGCCGCCTCCCTCAAAGTCGCACCACAAGCACGAGTTTTAAGTAGTCTTTAGTTAGTTACTCAGTCGGCACAGTTACATTAAGCTTCCCGCACCTCCTCGAGCAATGCGACGACGGCCGCGTGGCCTTTTCTTTTTGCGACGCACAGCGGCGTCTCGCCGTTCTCCAAGGTCCGATTGCCGTCCGCGCCTTTGTCCAGCAACAGCCGCGCCGCGTCGACGTGGCCTTTTAGGCAGGCGATCCATAGCGGCGTCCTGCCCTTCTCATTCGCCCGGTCGACCTCGGCGCCGTCGTTCAGGAGCTGCGTCATCGCGTCGATATCGCCGGTCTTGGCCGCCGCGTGCAGCGGGTTAATATGCTCCTCGAGCAGCGCGACGATGGACGAGTAATCTTCGCTTTTCGCGATTGACAGTGGTGTCTCACCATCATTGTCTGCCCGGTCGACCTCCGCGCCGTTGTCCAGCAACAGCCGCGCCGCGTCGACGTGGCCCTCCCAGCAGGCAACAAACAGCGGCGTCTGACCCTCCTCGTCCGCCCGGTCAACCTCCGCGCCTTTCTCCAGTAGCAGCCGCACCGCGTCGACGTTGCCCTCGTAGCATGCTGTCCATAGCGGCGTCCGACCGTCCTCCGTCGCCCGGTCGACCTCCGCGCCGTTGTCCAGCAACAGCCGCGCCGCGTCGACGTGGCCAGAGTGGCAGGCGATCATCAGCGGCGTACAGCCGTTGTTCTTCGCCCGATCGACCTCCGCGCCTTTATCTAACAACAGCCGCGCCACGTCGACGTGGCCCTCCCAGCAGGCAACAAACAGCGGCGTCCGACCCTCCTCGTCCGCCCGGTCAACCTCCGCGCCTTTCTCCAGTAGCAGCCGCGCCGCGTCGACGTGGCCAGAGTGGCAGGCAACAAACAGCGGCGTACAGCCGTTGTTCTTCGCCCGATCGACCTCCGCGCCTTTATCTAACAACAGCCGCGCCACGTCGACGTGGCCCTTCGAGCAGGCGATCATCAGCGGCGTCGCACCGTCCTCCGTCGCCCGGTCGACCTCCGCGCCATTGTCCAGCAACAGCCGCGCCACGTCGACGTGGCCCTTCGAGCAGGCGATCATCAGCGGCGTCGCACCGTCCTCCGTCGCCCGGTCGACCTCCGCGCCGTTGTCCAGCAACAGCCGCGCCGCGTCGACGTGGCCGAACATGCAGGCGATCATCAACGGCGTCCGACCGTCCTTATCCGCCCGGTCGACCTCCGCGCCGTTGTCCAGCAATAGTCGCGCCGCATCGACGTGGCCCTTCGAGCAGGCGATGTACAGCGGCGTCACACCGTACTTATTCGCCTGGTCGACCTCTGCGCCGTTGTCCAGCAACAGCCGCATCGCGTCGACGTTGCCCTCGTAGCATGCTGTCCATAGCGGCGTCCGACCGTCCTTATCCGCCCGGTCGACCTCCGCGCCGTTGTCCAGCAACAGCCGCACCGCGTCGACGTGGCCGTTCCAGCAGGCGATCATCAGCGGCGTATAGCCGTCCTCACCCGCCTGGTCGACCTCTGCGCCGTTGTCCAGGCATAGCCGCACCGCGTCGACGTGGCCCTTCTCGCACGCAAAATACAACGGTGTCTTGCCGTTTAGCTTAGTATCTACCGCGGCGCCCTCGTCCAGGAGCCGCGTCATCGCATCGAGGTCGCCTCTCTTTGTCGCAGCGTGCAGCGGAAACTTTAAATCGGCTTGCACAACGTCGAGGCAAGCTCGGACTCGTTGGGTCATTTGATGTTCGGGGCCGTACGCCCGCTCCTGGATCGCGAGCGCGCGCTCCATCATGTCTCGCGCCTTGGCGTGGTCGCCTAATTGGCCGTACGCGGCCCCGAGGTTTTCCAGCGTGATGGCGACTTGCGGGTGGTCGCGGCCGTACGCCCGCTCCTTGATCGCGAGCGCGCGCTCCAGCATGTCTTGCTTCTTCGCGTGGTCGCCCAAGTCGCCGTACGCGCACCCGAGGTTCGTCAGCGTGGCGGCCACGCTCGTGTGGTCGCGGCCGTACACCCGCTCGTTGATCGCGAGCGAGCGCTCCAGCACGTCTCGCTTCTTCGCGTCGTCGCCCAAATAGCCGTACGCGACCCCGAGGTTCGTCAGCACGATGGCAACCTCTGTGTGATCGCTACCGTACTCGCGCTCCGCGATCGCCAACGTGCGCTCCAGCACGTCTCGCGTCCTCGCGTAGTCACCCAAGTTGCCGTACGCGGTCCCGAGATTATTCAACAAGCCGGCCACGTTCGTACTATCTTTACCGTGCTCGCGCTCCGCGATCGCCAACGTGCGCTCCAGCACGTCGCGTTGCTTGGCGTGGTCGCCGAGGCCCATGTACGCGTTCCCAAGATCAAACAGCGCCGCGCCCACCTCCTTGCTCTCCGCACCAAACCTTCGCTCCTGCACCGTTAGGATAGCTTTCCGGACCTTCACGACGCCCGCGGACTCCTGAATCGACTTGAGCAGATCGCAGAGACTGTAGAGCTGCCCGTAACTCGTCGCAGAGTCAAGTACGACGTCCACCAGCTCTTCCGCATCGTTAACGTCGTCGACCGGCAGCGCACAGAACATGTCCAGCCGCTGCTCGACCGCCTCGGCGTTTCCCTTAAAGAAATCTCGAAAGAACTCGTAGACGGCGTGGCTCTTGTGCATCGGCTCAGAGTCCTTGATCGCCGTCAAGTGGATCTGCAGCTCGCAGAGGTGCGAAACATTCTCGACCTTCACCGCGACGTTCATCATGATGTCGCGGTAGCCGTTGAACAGAGGGGGATTGAAACGATTTTTCGTTCGAACAATTTTCATGCGCGGGTCCGCCTCGATCTTATGCCAGAGCGCGACCAGTTCGTCCTCGTGGTCGCAATACACGAAGCCTCGCACGATGTCGAAGAGCCACGAGTAGCACGGCGCCGTCTTGTTGTTGTACTCGTTCTGCGCTTTCACCTCGGCTCGCGCGCGGCCCTTCAGCGGTGCCAGATTCAGGGGCGGACCGCCCTCGCACACGTCATTCATAACTTCGGCGTAGACCTCGCGCGCCATCGCGGCGATCTCGTACAGCGGGTCGAGCGACGCTGTCGGCTTGCCGTCGAGGCCGCGCTGTTGGCACTCGTCGCCGCTGCGCCACGGGATCTCATTGATTGTGCCTTGAATCATCTCGTCCGCAATTTTCTCGATCTCGACCCGAGCAACCCTAAATTGTTTCAGGTTCTGGAACAAGACGTGCTTCGGGTCGCGCCAACGCTCGTCGCGCGTCTTGACGTACGCGTCGACTTCGGGCCAGGGCACGCTGAGCTCGTCTTCCGGACCGGTCGCGGCGGCACGGAATGCCTCCTCGGCCTTGGGGTCAAACAGCACGCCGAGGTTGTTTTTGCATTTGATTCTAGTGAGGGGGGCGCCTTCCGTCGAGACGCCCGCGCCCATGCTTCACGAGGCTGCCCACGACACCCTTTGGGGCAGCGTAGCAATGCAGATGTCTTGGCAGCCCCGGAGAGCAGTTGCGGCTGGCTCCCCACGCGGTGATCGGCGAGGACGCAGACCCTGCACTCCTGGATTGCTGCAGCGCCCCTAGCCCGCGCGCGCTGCGCGCAGCTCGATATGGCTGCCGGATGGAGACCCCGCACCCTATTCCTAACTTACTCACTCGTAGCGCGCCTGGACCTTGGACGCGAGCGCGTCGAAGTCGCCCGACGCCGCCGGCGCGGCCTTCGGCGCGGCGCGGCCGAAGTCCGGCAGGCTCGAATCGCCGCGCGCGACCGGGATGCCGTCGCCCTTTTTCACCGTGCCTTTTTTGGAGATGGACGCGAAGAAGTCGCCCGTCGCCTTCAACGAGGCGTCGTCCTTCTTCGGCGTGATCGTGAACGTCGGCTCGGCGGGCTCGTATTTTTTGGGAGCTTCTTTGGGCTCGGGCTCAGGAGCTTTATAGGTCACCCAAGCCGGCGTCTCGCGCTTCGTCGGTCGTTGCTTGCTGTCGGCCTCGACGACGGGCGCCTCGCTGCCGATTCTTTCTGAAGCGGACTCGCGGATGTCGCCCGTCAGCGAGTCCTTCTTCGTGAGCAAGGAGTCGGCGGCGGCGATCTCGGGCGCGGTCTCCTTCGGCGCCGCGCGGCCGAAGTCCGGCAGGCTCGAATCGCCGACGGGCACGGCGGCGCGGCCGCTGCCCTTTTTGACGTTGCCGCTTTTGCTGATCTTCCCTAGAAACGCTTGTGTGGCCGCGAGGCCCTCGTCGATCTCGAGTTCCTCCGCCGCGAAGCCCGCGGCGGGCCAGAGCGCCGCGGCGAGGCCTACCGCTGCGACGGCGCGCGAGGCTGCCTTGGAAACAGGGAGAGCCCGCGCTCTTGGCACCCTCAGGGCCGACGCGGCGGCAGCGAGGGCGAGCACAGATGTCACTCGTGCGGTCGACTGCATTTCAAATGCCGTAACAGACGGAGCGAGGCAGCTTAGAGTCTGTCTGTCGCGAGATTTTTGATTCGCGCCACGCAGCGCTTGCTAGCGACCGTAAGATACTAGGATTTGCTTTTAATAAATAAATAAATAAATAAATAAATAATTAATCAAGGAAGGAATATCCTAAAGAAAAGGACATACACCAAGCCTCTAGAGGCCTTCTCCCTGCGCGGCTAGGATACCCAGCCGGCGCCTAAAAAGGGACGTCAAAAAACGGTAGAGCAAATTCTCAATTTCCTGAGGCGGATCATCTCCCATCAACAAAGCCAAGCAATCAGATAAATAAATAATAAATAATTAGAAGGAAATTGCGGCTATGAAAGAAGCGGCACGCGTCCGCCGCCCCAGGGGCGCCGCCCACTAGTCCTAGCACCGTAAAAGATAGCACGCGGTCGGTGGACTCGGACCGCGCCCGCCACGACGTCCACCACACAACGACTACACACCACAACCCTTACGCCCCCGTCACCACGTGAACGCCTCGCCCTCTCCACCCAACTCCGGCTCCGCCGAATCCTGGAACGCCTCCGCCGCCTCCGACAACGCGCCGCGCGAGCACGTCACGAGATAGTTCCGCGCGGGCCGCGGCGCGGACCGCGGCGGCGGGTGCTCGGCCCAGGACGGGAGTTTTTTCACGAAGCCCGCGCCCTGGCGCCACTGGCTCCACAAAACGAACTGCACGGACGTCGGCGCGAGCGGGTTCCCTTCGTACTGCCTATCGGAAGTCTGGAACTTCGTCTCCAGGACCTCGCAGCGCATGCGGTGCTCCTCCAAGTTCAGGAGGTCGGCGCAGATCTTCGCTAAAGCGACCTCCATTTTTGGCACGTCGAAGCGGTGCTTCTTCCGTAAATACGGCGTCGTCGCGTCCGGCGGCGGCGCTGCTGTTTCAAGGGCCTCCGCTAATAAGTGGACAGGGACGTTTAAGGTTAGGTCCCAGAGCCATTTCCGCCCGAACCGCGTCATCGGCTCCACCGTATCGTGGTGGACGGCGCGGCGCGGCGGCTGCTCCTGCCAGGCGCGCTGGGCCTCCTTCGAGAGGGGCATCGTGGCGCTGCCTTACCGGTTCCTGGGAGGACGTCGCACCGATGGCGTTGGGGGGACGATTGGGACACGCCGCGTAAGGGCTGCCCGACGGACCCGCCGTGCCGAAAGCAGTCGAGCTAGAGAGGCCGCGGGGTGTCGAGAGGCCCAGGGCGGTGCCTCCGCGCGCAACGCCGGGCAAAAAGTGCTAGCGTACTGTAAGACACTAGCATGCAGGCAGCGGCTCAGCAACGGAAGGACGTCTCTGCAGTACTCTTCTCCCAGCCAGACCATCCCTTCGGCGCCGCAGAGGCCTCAACTTCGAAATCAGCACCTACTGGTCAAACCTGCGGCAGCAAGCATGCCCCGCTACAAGCTCAGGGACGCCAACGGCGCGACGCGAGTATTAACATTAGACGAGCAGGCCTCCTACGCCGACTTGGTCGCCTCGTGCGGCGGCGCGGGCTACACGCTCAAGGCGGGCCGGCCGCCCACAACACTCACATGCACCACACCAGCAACAACACCAGCCGCCGACATCGTGCCGAGCGGGTCGCTCATCACGGCCGAGAAACCGGTCGTCCCGCGCCTCAACATCCCCGAGGCGCCGCCGCCGCCGCCCGAAGCGAATGCCTTCGAGGCGCCCGCGCCGCCGGCGCTCGAGACGCCGCGCGACGCTATCTATCCGCAAACGGCGCCAAAGGCCCCCCAGGCGCAGTGGACCTGCCAGACGTGCACCTTCATCAACGTGGAAGGGTGCTACGAGAGTGTCGGCGGGACAGCTTTATGTAGCGTCTGCGGCACGCCCCAGTTAAACGACGTGCGCGAGGCGCCGGCGCCGCCGTCGCCGACGCGAGGGACGGCGTCACGGCGCGCCGTCGATGCCGACGGCAATTGCTTATTTGTCGCCCTGGCTTACTTGCTGCGGGGCGAGCGGCCCGATCCTACAATGGCAAAAGCCGCGGCACAAAAGATGCGCGCCGTCTGCGCTTCAGTAGTCGCGGCCGACCCCGTGAACTACCCGGACGCGGCGTTGGAGAAGCCGCGGAGCGAGTACGGGACCTGGATCCGGACCGAGGACGTCTGGGGCGGCGCGCTCGAGCTGTCGATTCTGTCGAAATGCGGCGGCGACGTCGTCGAGAACGGTGCTTCGTTCGACGACGTCGTGCTGCACTGCGTCGACATCCGGACGGGCGTCGCGCAGCGCTACGGCGAGGGCCGGGGGCGCGTCTGCTTCTTGCTCTTTGACGGGGTGCACTACGACCCGGTGGTGTTGGCGCCGGCTCCCAACGCGGGCGAGTCGCCGGCGGACATCACCTTAGCCGCGGCGGACGACATGATAGCATTAAATGCCGTCGAGGCCCTCGCGACTTCCGAGCGCGCCGCACGCAACTTCACGGACACGTCGTCCTTCGCCTTGCAGTGTCTCGTGTGCGGTGCCGGGTTGAAGGGCAACGCGGACGCGGAGCGCCATGCTGCAGAAACGGGGCACCAGAACTTCGCGCAGACGGGGCACTGAGCTTATCGGGGTGACTTAGTAGCACTTACACAGTAAATGACACGCCCTCCCCCCGGAGCCCGACGAACGGGTCCTCGGCGAGCAGTCGCTCGTCCGGCAGCGCCGCCCCGACGGCGACCAAGTAGAGCGCCTGGAAGCGCTCGTCTGAGAGGCCCACAAATGCATGGACCGCATCATCGAAAAAACATCCGATACCCGACGCGCCGAGACCGCGCGCCGTCGCCGCGAGGTAGAGTCTGTGACCCAGCGCCCCGGCCTGCCAGAAGAGGCGTGGATACATGTAGGGCGCCGGCGGCTCAGAGAAGGCCGCTCCCATATCAGCCAAGAACGCAATTACGAACGCCGCGTCGCCCGCGATCGCCTGGTGGCACGCTGCGGCCGCCGTCGCCGCTCGGACGTCGCCGGCTGAGATAAGGTACGCCTCGGGGGGCCAGGAGACTGGCACCGCCGGGACGCGCGAGAGGAGCTCGCCCGGGTTGACGAGGTACGTTCCAGGTTCGATGCCGTCGACGCCGTGCACAAAAACCAGCAGGGGCGATACCTGCACGCCCTCGAAGCGCCGCGCCTCGTCCAGAACGGCATGCAACGTCTCGAAGAACGCAGCGCTCGTCGTTGTATTCCTCGCAAATGCGAGCGCCGTGCGCCGCCGCCGCGCGAGCCGGACGTAGGCCTCCGCGCTTGTAGCCGGTCCCGCCTCGTCAACATAGGGCTGCCGCGGCGGCGTCGTTGGCTTGACGACTGCGCTCGCGAGCGCGTCGACGGCGGAGTGAGACCACGACCGCGGCGCGAGCGGTCGCGCCGCGCCGTACCACGTAACGTCACCCGTAGGCTGGGGCGCCGCCGCCACGCCGTCGCGGCGATCCAGCACGATCGCCGCGACCGGTGCCTCGAGAGAATCGTTTATGCCCAAGAGAGCGGCCAACTCCGCGTCTGCCAGGTGGTCCGCAACGTATCCTATCCACCCAAACGCCCGCGCCGCCTGCAGGACGGCACCGATGGCGTGGCCGGCATCCAAGTACGTGTACCTTGGCCCCCTCAGGCCGTACTTCCACTCCTCGCGCCACGATATGGCCGAGAGCAGCACGACGACGGCGTCCCTTGAGACCGCGACCGGTGCGGTGGCGTTGGCGGCGCGCTGCTCCAGCGAGTGCGACATCGCATCGTAGTGGTAGAGGCGCTCGTTCAGTAGGACATAGGTCTCGACGGGGTGGAGATTGCCCGAGGACGGGTTGCTCCGCACGTACCAGCGGTTGTTGTTCCCGTCCTGTTTGACCCCGCTCGCGCCACAACACGCCAGCAACAGAGCCGAGACGGAGGCCGCCGGCGCTGCATCGACTGCTATCGACAGGGGCAGCGCGTACCGCTCCGAGTCATAATAAACGCGGGGCCCGGGCATCGATGGCCAGTCAAATGCATCGGGCATGGGACAGTAGCCATCTACACTGTGGGACGACTTTATATGGTAGTCGCCAACGATACCCAGCTTGTCCACGTCCGTCAGCGCCGCCACTGACGAGAATAGAAGCAATTTCATTTGAAGGGCTTGGGCGCGAAGCGCGCCGCCGCATGGTCCATAAAATCGGCCATTTGAACGTCGCGGTCCGATAAACCGTCTACCGCATGTGTCGTGAGCGTGACCTCGACGATGGAGTAGAGGTTCGTCCACTCGGGATGGTGATCTACGGATTCCGCTTGTAACGCTACTCGCGACATCCAGCCGAACGCTTCGTTGAAGCTCGCGAACTCGAAGCGCTTCGCGACGGCGTCCCTCTTAGGTGCTTGGTCCTTCCAGCCTCGTAATCGCAGGGCTGCCACAGTGGTGTCCCTGTCTTGGACCTTTGCGTACGTGGCCAGCGAGCGGCGCAGGGTGCTCGCGCGGCGGAGGAGTGCCAGGGCCATGCGCTTGTATCGCTGACGACGAAAGCGTGCTAAACAGCGTACGCAAAGGCTTTTTTGAGCCAAAAACACAAGCTAGCGTAGAGTAACACACTAGGGCTGCCTAGCAAGCTTGCCTAAAAAGCCGCAGGGAAGGCTGCTGGCGCACCCACGCGTTGCAACGATTTTTATGCACCGCATCGCACTCCTCATGGCCGCCAGCGTCGGCAGCGCCCTGGTGCCCGAGTCCATCGGTGTCGTCGGCGTCGGCACGATCAGCTCCGCGGCCGTGCGCGGCCTCTGCCGCAGCGATGCACCGCAAGTTGTGCTGTCGCCGCGCAACGCCGCCAAGGCGCAAGCATTGGAGCAAGAGTTCGAAACGGTACGAATCGCGGCAACCAACCAGGCCGTCGTCGACGCCTGCGACTGCGTGGTGCTGGCCGTGCTGCCCGGCCAGGCTCAACAGGTGTGCGAGCCTTTGCAGTTTCGACAAGGGCAGCTCGTCATCTCACTGATGGCCGGCGTGCCTTTGGCAGACATTGAAAGATGGTGCGGCCCCGCGGAATGTGCGCTGGCGTGCCCGCTGCCGGCCATCGCGGAGAACGCCGGCACGACCATCGTGACGCCGCCCGAACCGCGCACCGTCGCCATCTTTGAGCGACTGGGAACGGCCGTGCCCGTGGCCACGGAAGACCAGTTCCAGCGCCTGCAGGCCATGACCTGCGTGATGGGCGACCTCTACGCGCGCCAGAAGACGGCCCAGGACTGGCTCGTTGCAAACGGCGTCGACGCGACGGCGGCGTCGGCGTACGTCGGCGGCGTCTTCCACACGATGACGCACGACGCGCGAAACGCAAAACCGTCGACCCTATCGGACTTGGTCGCGGAGCAGACGCCGGGCGGCATGAACGAGATGGTCATCGCCGAGCAGCGCGAGGACGGCGCCTACGCGTCGCTAGAGCACTCGCTCGACTCGATCTACTCGCGCTTATGTGGCGCGCACGATCCGTCCCTGGCGCCGGCGAAGCGTAGGAAGTAATGTGAGTCGCTTACACCAGGGGAGAAGGACCTACTTGAAGCTCATCACCTCCGCGCCGTCACCGCCCTTGGCCTCGGCCTGGAAGCTAGGTTCACCACCACCAGCGATCGGCGACAGGGCCATGGACTTCGCGTCCGGCGCCCCATCTAAATGTTTCAGTTGTGTGCGTTTCTTCATCGGCTCCGAACTTGCGAGGATGGCTCCGGCCGACAGGTTCTCGCCCGGCTCCTCGCCTTCTCCCGCCCGCCGCTCGTGGTTGACCTCGCTCTCGCCGGGGTTGACCTTCTTGAAGTTCACCAGTTCAGCTAACACAAAGGCCAGAGCCCGCATGGCCGACGGCGGCGCGCCGTCGCCCGTTTTGTCCGCCAGAACCTTCGTCGCGCCGACGACGTCGCACGCCTCCCGGATGTAGTAGTCCAAATCATCATCTGTTTCCACACCGTTGCCTTGTAAGCATTTGTTCGTCAACTGCGCGAGCCGCTCGCGTTTGCTGGCGAAGTGCTCGTCGAGGTCGAACTGGTCCAACGGCGGCGGCGGCGGCTCCCGCAACGCCGGGGGAAACGTCGCCGGCAACAACGGAGGCAGGGGGCACTCGAACGTCGGCGGTATGAGCGACAGGGGCTCGTGTTTGACATTAAGCTGTTCGTACCTGCGAGGACAGCAAAGTTCAATCTCTCGTGGTTTGCGTGAGGTGCTACTCTCTGGATACGGTCTCAACTATCCCTCGGAGATTGTGTCCAGGTTTGAGCCGAAAACATGAGTCTCGAGACTCACTGGTTGATTTCCACACAGATTCGTACAAGGCCACGACCTCCGGGATCGCGTCCGTGTCGAAGCGGAAGAGGGCGTCATTGAATAACTTCGCGAAGTTGCGCGGGAGCTCCTCGCCCTCCTGCAGGCACGCTCGCAGACGACTGGCGAGGGCTTCTATGTCTGGAACGCGCGCGTACTCCTTGTCCGCCTCCGCGTGGTGGTGCTCGCCTTCCGCGAGCTCGAAGGTCGCATCCGCCCCTGGATCGAAGCTATGCCTCGTCAAGCCTCGGTCTTTGACTGGACGTGATGTCTGAGACGGCGCCGCCGCAACGAGCGAAGGCGCCTCATCATCCCTGCAAAGCCACTTGAACAGCAAGTCCATCACAATATTATTCTCCTCCTTGTCGAGCCAATCATCTGCAAACATTTCTGCCGCACCCATCGCAACCACCCTTGGTTTGGGCGACTTCGGAGGGAGATCTTTATCCGTCTTGCCCTCCCAGGCCGCGCAGACCGTGCGGTGGATCGGGTAGGAGATGGCTCCGGTAGATAACACGGCTCGGGCCGGTCTTCTTATACCTAAAGTCGCGCCGCGGGGATAGACGAAACTGAGACCGCCACCGTTCGCCGTCGCCTCCTTCAGTGCGTCGCCCTTCAGCTGCTCCCGCTTCGTCTTTCGCTTGCCAGAGATCACCAGATGTTTGTTGGCCACCAAAGACGGCTGCAGGACGCCGTGCGAAACGAACACCTCCTTTGGGTGAAGGTACTTGTAGTACACGGTCCTCAAAACACTATCGTTGCTACACGACATGCCGTAGGGCTTGAGTAAGTCGTTCATGTTCCCTCCATATTTCTCCTCGCCGCCTTCGGCCGATAAACAGAACAGTGAACCGCCTTTTTTCAACCAGGCCTGGATGCACTCAATTTCCTCACCCGTGAACTTTTCTCTCGGACAAGCGGTCACTAAGACGTCCGCATCTTCCAGGAGTTTGGCCGTGATGTCGTCCCGATTATTTACGGGCTTGTAATTGCTCGATCGTAATCGCCGGAAGAGCCGCTTGAAGCCGCTGTTGGGCGAGAAGGCCTCGCGCTTGGAGGCATTCAACAAAACCACTTTAGGTCGCAGGCGGCTCTTGGGCTTGTCGTCCTCCTTGCCTTCGGAGGGCATGGTGGCTGCCCGCTCCCAGGGCGCTGGGCCCGCCGGCCGCGGTGGCGTCTGGGGGCTGTTCCTCGCCGTGGAGTTGGGCCTATAGGGTCCCGGACGTCGTCGGGCAGCCGCGCTCCCCGCGCCCGTGCTCTGCGGCGGCGATTTATCGGGCCGCTTTTCGAATAACTCTTGCCGGACACGGGTTTTGGGCGGCGGCGGAGCGCTCACTTCCGTGCGGCGACGGGTGCGCGCCGTGCCGGAGGAGCGCTCGGGCGTGCTGGAAGACGCCTGGTCAAACCGCGCTAGTGCCTTACATGCCGCTAGCTCAGCCTCAGACGGCAAAAAAAGCTGCTCGGCGCGACAGGGGGACGAGCGACGTGAGTTTTGACGCATCAGTGTGCGTACAGTGCTCACTGTCGGCGCACACAGCCGCCCGCGCCACTCGTTCGAGCGGTGGCGCCGACGACGAGCAGCCTCTCCGCAGCGCACTGTTCAGCACGTACACGCACACGCGAAGAAGATAAACATAAGGAATAATGGCCTCGGTCTCCGGCTTATTACAAGTTAGAGTGCGGCAGGCCAAGGGTCTAGACGCGGCGCCCGCGGCCGCTCTAACGGTCCGACTCCGACTGCTCCCGTGGAAGGAGGAGCAATCGTCGGATACGGCCCAGTGCGACGACGACGGCACGGCGGAGTGGGCCTTGTCCGACGCCAATCTCGTAGTCTTACCGCATCTCGCGGCACACGACGAGGCCCAGCCACAATTATCAATTGATCTGAGGAGTCGCGAGTTACTCGTCTATGAGCGCTGTCTCGGTTTGACCACAATCGACGCCCAGCCCCTACTCATCCCGGGCGAAGAGAATGAAATGTGGATCTCACTCAATGAGAAGACCTCCGTACTCCTACAAACGAAATTCGTCCCGGGCACGACGACCCCGACAGCTATCGCGCGGACGCCGTCCTTGGTGTTGAATGAGGACGTGCGCCACCAGCACCTCTTCCGATTGCAGTCCTACAACACGCCGCAGTGGTGCGCGGTATGCGAAAAACTCATGATGGGACTGCGGCATCAAGGGTTTAGGTGTGAGGCCTGCGGGCTCAGCGTGCATGGTGGCTGCCAGCTGAAAGCGCACGCCGTGTTTGATTGTGTGGGGAAGAAGCCGCCTCCCCTCGAGACGCCGCAACCTTCCTTTGATGAGCCGTTGGTGCAAGGGTCTCCGCGGGCGAAAAGGTCCCCGTCGGGCGACGCTGTGTTTGTCGATGATGTCGAAGAAGGTGTTGGAAGATTAGAATTGCATCTGGCATCGGTCAAATTACTGGAAACGAGTGACGAAGAAGACACTACCACTGGAGACTACTATGTCAGAGTCGTGCTGGCGGGTTCGAGGGACATGCCTCCGCCCAAACGAGGCCGCTTTAATAGACGTACGCATACGGTCTACCAAAGTAGGGAGCCGCACTTCGACGTCCGGTGGCGGTTCTGCGTCGAAAGCTTCGCGGCCGAAGTTCGCGTGGAACTCGTCGACGCGGCTCGTGACAGTGTTGTTGGGAGTCACCGCTTCGGCGTGCTCGACTTACTACAGGAGCAGGCCGATCAGAAAGCTTTGGACTACCTGAAGCAGGCCCAATCAATTATAAAAGCTAACTTACCCCCAGGCACGCAGATACCCTACTTGACGCAATCGGAATCCGCGAAGAGGTACGGATCACCTCCCTCATCCTATTATTTTGACGACGCGGCCAACTCCTACCTGCGAGATAAAGCGAACCTACCGACGGCGGTCGTGCATTGGCCGTCGGCGCGCTTCACGGTGTTTGGGGACAAGCTGTGGTGGGCGCCGACACCGATATCCGTAGAGCGCCCCCCGCAACCAGAGCAGTTCTCCATCGAGATCTCGAAGCAACATATAAGGCGCGCGACCGATTGCGTCCACGCGATCTACGCGTTCATGGACGCTTATGATGCATTTATGAGGTGGACAAGGCCGCTGCAGACCGGTTCCGTGTTTATTGTATTTGTCTCCATTTGTTTATTCTTAGATGCGGAGTATGCCGGACTCGTTCCAGTTACATTGGTAGCTCTCGGGTTGCTCGTGCTAGGCAGGAGACGATTTCTGAGAGGCTACCCTAGAGCTTCATTTTTAGATGAGGCGTTCGAGAAGGCCGACGCGGAGTTGCTGAATGGTGCGACGCAGCGGTTCCGGCCGTGCGGACGGCTGAAGATCGCGGTGTGTGCTGGACGCGGTTTCGAGAAAGATGATGATGTGTACGCCGTGGCGACGTTTCGAAGACCGTTGTTGGATGAACCTGTTGTAGAGAAGCCTCGACCACGCTCGGGCTCGGCCTCACCTAGGATAGCGGAAGCGCTATCTGTTGATACGTCGCTCGACGCTCTGCTGGACGACGCCCAGGCCATGCCGACGCCCGGTGCGGCGCAAGGTACGAAGGCGCGGGGCGACTCGATCATGCTGGACGACGCCCCGCTGCCCGTCTCGCCCTGCGTGGAAACCAACCGGTGCGTCAGGTGCAACTTTGATTTCCACACAGGTGTCACCGACGACCACCAAGGTCGAAGAGGAAGAAATCACGCACCACGAAACTTTATTAGGATACACGGGCACGTGTCGAGGGAGAGATCCGAGGTGGCACGGGTCGCTGGGGGCGACGGTCGACCGGGAGGCCGGGTGGTCCTCGATCAGACGAGTATCATCTTTGCTCGGGGATCACGACCACGCAACACCTTGTATCGTCGAACCCTGGGAACGGCGGGGCTGGCGCAAGAACGACACGTCCCAGACCATCGACAGATGTTTAGTCTACCCCCTGCCGCAGCCCATGGACGCGGAACAAATGCTGGCCTGGTCCGAGGCGCAGGGCGGTGTGAGGGTTGCGGTCTTCCGGACGGGACGATTGGCCGATTCGTGTATAGGAGAAGTCGTCATACCTTTGTGTGATTTAGTGGACAGCGACGAACGGGGCCCGCAACGAGAGAGAAGAGGCTGGCACGAGCTCGAAATTGTGGATGAGGAAGTTCCGAAGAAGCGTAAGGAGAAGCCCGCGGTGCACGTGAGACTACAGTTAGTCTTGAGAGATGACAGTGAGCCGAACAATGAAGAAAAAAGATTGTGCCGCGCCGTCGAGGCCATGATCGACCCCATGACCACAGATACGCACACGCTGACGCAGTCCGTCGGCGCCTACGCGCGGGAAGCTACCAAACCCCTCAGCACCGTCGTGACGGCGAACGAGTATGCCGTTTATGCCCAGAACTTACTAGGAAGGATTTTGGACTTCGGCGAGGGGTTTAAGAACCTGCTGACGTGGACGCACCCGGAAAAGACGCTGTTTCTGTTTCTATGCGCGTGCTTTGGGGTTGTGTTATTTGCGAGGGTGCAGACGAGATACCTGATCCTCGCGGGAGGTTTGTATGAGTTCCTCTATCGCTTGCTACCGGGCGACGGCTCGCCGATGACGACGCGACTCGTCAATGCGGTGAGGAGCGTGCCCCACGATAGGGCACTGAGGGACTGCTACGACGTGCGCGCGAAGGAGCACGCCCAGTTACTTATAGAGAACGAGAAGCGGATGAGGAGACGGGCGCAGCTGCATGCCATCTGGTCGCCGTCCTGCGAAATTAGGTGTCGCATCCATCTCCAGGACAAGTGGCAGGATCGTTATGTGATCTTGCACGGGCGGCGTCTAGCTGGATGGTCCTCGGAGAAGGACGTGGATGGCGGGCGGGCCCCGCGCGAGGTGCTGGTACTGTTAGGCCACGCGGGGCTGACAGCACCATCACCCACGGACTGCCGGGATTTAGATGAGGAGGCGTCGACGCGCGTCCTCGTGGTCTTCGGCCAAGATCAAGGGGGCAAGCCGGCGCGCTGGGCCGTGCTCTGCGCCGAGGAGTCTTTATCTATCTTCAAGGATGCGGTGGGAGGCGCGTGCGCGACGAAGCTCGAGTGATGTTAATAAGTGTGTTTGTTACCCCCGCTTGCAGTAGCACGTCAGGCCCTGGACGTGCTTGAGCGCCAGTTTGCCCTTCTCCGATGCAGCCTCGCAGAACTTGCGGCAGACCTTGCGCGGCGAGGCGTCGCGAACTGTCTTGTCCGACGAAAAGGTCTTGGTCCCGATGGTGCAGAGGTTGGGGGTGATGTAGTAGGGGTGCGTCGTGCCGGCCTCGTAGACGATCGTGGGGCCCAGGGCGCATTGTTCCTGGAGCGCATTCGCGATCGCCGCGATGGTGATCCCCGTGAACGTGATTCCAATCGCAGCGAGTCCCGTTGACATGACAAGTTCCGTGGCCCCATCGTCGTCGTCACAATCGTTTAAAATTCCCTTTATTCGATTGTATATTCTTTTGATTTGGCAGTCACCGGTTTCGTCCTTTTGAGCGACGCCGCAGGACGTTGAGCAGCACCCGCTGCCAGAGAACGCCGAGTTACCTATCACGCCGTCGTCCACGCACCAGCCGAGGTCCTGGTTAAAAGACGAGGCTTCGCGGAACATCTGGTTCATGTCCCTGACGTTGTCGACGCTCCAGGCGCTGATGTCCTGGTCGAAGGCCCTGGCGGCAGCGAACATCTTCCTCATCGTCGTAACACCGGAAGTGTCCCACGCGCCGATGTCCTCGTTAAAGGGCCTGGCTATATTCCTACTGGAGTCGTAGAACAAAAGCGACATGTCCGTCACCCCCGATGTCTCCCATGTCGAAATGTGGCCGTACGTCGCCTCGGCAGCACTCGGGTCATAGAACCAAGTCGTCACCGCCGTTCTAATGCTACTGTCGTCCATGGCGTAGCTCGTGATCGGGTAGCCCGTGATCGGGCAGTTGTCCATTTGCACGATGCCGCACGACGTCGACTCGCACTGGGTCTCGGAGAACGCGCCTTCCAGGCTCACGTCGTTGTCCACGCACCAGCCGAGGTCCTGGTCGAAGGCCGAGGCGCCCTCGAACATGTAGCTTATGTCAGTGACGCTGTGGACCGCCCAATCACCGATGTATTGGTTAAAAGACGAGGCCCCGCCGAACATTTCCGTAAAGTCCTTGACGCTTTGGACCGCCCAATCACCGATGTCTTGGTTAAAGGCATAGGCGCGGAAGAACATGCCGTTCATATCCATGACGTTGTCGACACGCCAGTTGCCAATTGGTTGGTTGAACGCCCAGGCCTCGTCGAACATCCAGTGCATCTTCGTAACGCCGGAGGTGTCCCACGCGCCGATTTCGTCGTTGAATGAGGTCTTTTCTCTGAACAAACCTGACGTGTCCGTCACCTTGTCGGTCCTCCACGTCGAGATGTGGCCGTACGTCGCCTCGGCTGCCGTGGCGTCGGAGAGCCACGCTGCAACTGCAATTCTGATCTTCCCGTTGGCCATGACATTACCATTGCTCGGGATGTCGCAGCCGCCCCACGAGACACCGCACAACGTCGACGCGCACGGGGTGTAGCGAAACGCTAGGTGAAGGTCCACGTCGTCGTCCACGCACCAGCCGAGGTCCTGGTCGAAGGCCAAGGCGCTTTCGAACATCTCCTCCATCGTTGTGACGCTGTGAACCGCCCAACCACCAATGTCTCGGTTGAACGCCGAGGCGAAGGCGAACATCCCGTACATCCTCGTTACGCCAGAGGTGTCCCACGCGCCGATGTCCTCGTTGAAGGACGCAGCAGATGCCGGAAGCACACAGGATTCATAATATTCCGCCTCATCAGGATCGTCCATATAATCCTGCCGCACGCAAAACAAGTGCGACATGTCCGTCACCCCCCCAGTCGCCCACGTCGAGATGTGGCCGTACGTCGCCTCGGCGGTCGCAGCGTCCGAGGCCCATGCCGCGACGGCCGTTCTAATGCTATCGTCGTCCATGACGTAGCCCGTGATCGGGCAGTTGTCCATTTGCACGACGCCACAATACGTCAACTCGCACTGGGTATAAGAGAAAGCAGCTTGAAAGGTGGAGCCTTCCCCATCGGAATACGCAAAGTCAACGTCGTCGTCCACGCACCAGCCGAGGTCCTGGTTGAAGGCGTAGGCGCCGCCGAACATGTCCCCCATGCTCCTGACGCCCGAGGTGTCCCATGCACTGATGTCCTGGTCGAAGACCGAGGCGCCGGCGAACATCCCGCTCATATCCGTGACCTTGTCAACCCGCCAGTCGTTCAGCGGTTGGTCGAACGCCGAGGCTAAGAAGAACATGTAGTCCATCCTTTTGACGCCGGAGGTGTCCCACGCGCCGATGTCCTCGTTGAAGGACGACGTTGATAAGACGCAATCGTCGTAATGTGAATCGCTGTCCATCCAACTCTGCCGCACGCAAAACAAATACGACATGTCCGTCACCCCCCCAGTCTCCCACGTGGAAATGTGGCCGTACGTCGCCTCGGCGGCCGTCGCGTCGCTCAACCAAGCCGTCACGGCCGTGCGGATGCTTACGTCTGTGTGATGCACGCCGTCGTAGTACGCAGTCGGCGCGTAGGTAGACTCGCAGCTGCCGCTCGCAGTTACAAATTGTCCCACCTTGACGCCGCACGACGTCGACGCGCACCGGGTCTCGGAGAACGCCTCGTCGAGGTACGCGTCCACGCACCAGCCGAGGTCCTGGTCGAAGGACCAGGCTTCCTGAAACATCCCTTCCATGCTCATGACACTGTGGACCACCCAATCGCCGATGTCCTGGTCGAAGGCCAAGGCTTCATAGAACATGTAGTCCATCCTCGTGACCCCAGAGGTGTCCCACGAGCTAATGTCCTGGTCGAAGGCGTAGGCGTGGGCGAACATCATGTGCATCGTCGTGACGCCGGAGGTGTCCCACGCGCCGATGTCCTCGTTGAAGGACGCATCTGCATTGATGCAATCGTTGTACCAGTCGTCGTCCATATCCTGCCGCACGCAAAACAACCCCGACATGTCCGTCACCCCGGAAGTCTCCCAAGTCGAAATGTGCCCGTAGACCGCCTCGGCGGCGGACTGGTCGTCAAACCAAGTCGTCACCGCCGTTCTAATGCTATCGTTGTCCATCACATAGCCCGTGAGCGCGCGCCGCTGCGCGAGGCCTCCCGCCGGCGCGCGCGGTGCGTTATTGGTCTTGGTTTTGGACTTGGTGTTGTCGTCGCTGCGGCCGCTGCCGCCGCGGACCGAAGTCTCCGCCGCCACATGGGTAACGTCCCCCCAAATAAGCAGGTAGCCGACGATGGACGAGCGCCAGGCCGCTCCCATCGCCGAGCTACTGCGCCGCGGAACCACCGAAGCGAGTACCTGGAAGAGGCACCAGGAAGTCCGCCCAAGGTAGCTCTGGGCCGCTTCTTCTTCGTCGACGCCGCCCTTGAACTGCATCGTGGTGCCGGGCGTAGGCGCCAGCTCGGCGGACGCGACGTCCAAGACGTCGATGCCTGTTTGCAGCTCGTTCGCGCTGCCGCCTCCATTGGTCGCGCCCGGGGCCGCAAACGGCATCATGGTGCCAGAAACAGGCTGCTCGACGGCGTGGAGCGCGTGCACCCCGCCCGCCTGGTACTTGTTCGGGTCGAGCTCGGTCGTCGCCGCGCCTTTTATAGTCTCGGAGTCGAACGCGTCGGCGTAGAGGCCGTCCGCGCCGTAGTTGTTGTAGAGCTGGCGCAGCGCCGTCGCGGCGGGGCTCGTCGCCAGGGCCTTGGGGGCGGCGCGGTCGAGGCCGTTCTCGCCGTGCGGCGCACACGTGCTGCCGCTTTTGTCGGACGTGCTGCCGTCCGCCCCGTGGTTCTTGTAGAGCTGGCGCAGCGCCGTCGCGGCGGGGCTCGTCGCCAGGGCCTTGGGGGCGGCGCGGTCGAGGCCGTTCTCGCCATGCGGCGCACACGTGCTGCCGCTTTTGTCGGACTTGCTGCCGTCGTACATGGCCATGACCTCGGAGAAACCAGCGAAACCGAGCCGGGAGCCGCTCAGGGAGCCGCCCTCGGGGCAGCCCTTCCAAGGTTTCAGGCAGCTGCCCAGAATGGGGCCGCGCGCGGGGGCCCGCAGCGGCAGCGCGCTGGTCACGGACAACACAGCGCTAACAAGGGCACGCAGCATCTTCAAAAGAACTCGTCGCCTCTGTTAGCGCGCTGCGCGCATCTTTGTTATCATCATTTGACATTTTGACATCACGAATCCAAAAAATCCGCGGTGGCGCAGCAGTCGTGCGAAGTCCACAGTAGCTTTCTTCTAGATAGTATATATGTATTTTGGAAAAAAACGCACGCGCGTCGCGAACCGGGCGTCCGTCGCGCGTCAAGTGCGGCTCGGAGGAAAATAAGCCCCACTCTTCCCCGCGCGGCGGCGGAAGGCACGCGGTACGGAGAAACATAGGTTAGTAGGCCGGCCCGCGCTCGCGGTACGGCCGGTGCGCCGGCAGCACACACGTCCTCGGTTGTTGTTAATACTGTGTATACTGTGTCTTGTGCTGCTTCCGTCGCGCAGCTAGGGCTCTTTCTGTTCAATCAAAACCCGGTATGTTGTTTTTTTGTTTTTTTGTTTTTTGGCCCTTTTTGGCTATTAACTTTTTTTGGGCATTGGAGCCTGTCATCGGTGTGTGTGTGTGTCAGCGATCATAACGCATTGGTTAAGATCTCTGGAAACTCAGCACAAGGCTTGAGCACTGCGTTGCGCCAGCCTCCCGCTGCGCAGGAGGTCGGCCGACCACGGCCAACGTCGTCGACGCGGAAGGCCGACCGGCAGCGCTCGCCGGGCTGCGCCGACAAGTGCGCGCCGACCGTCGCATCGCTCCCGGCGCCGGCGCACCAGTGACCGATGGCCGGCGGCGCCGCGCCCGGCGCGTCGAAGAACGCCGCGCTGTTGTACTTCATTAAAGCGTTTGTTGGACCCGGGTGCCTCTCGTTACCCTTGGCCTTCCAGAACGCCGGGTTGGAACTAGGGTTGGTGACTCTGTTAACCCTGGCCGTCGGCGTGACGCTGAATCTACGCACCCTAGTCCTGTGCAAGCGCTACTATAACACGAACGACGCGCCGCCGACGCCCGGCGGGAGGGTCCACAAAACCACAACTTATGCTGATGTCGCGGAACGGGCGCTGGGCAAGTACGGCCGCATGCTCGTCGAGGTGCTGGTGCACATCGTCCAGCTCGGCGTCTGTGCCGTGTACTTTGACTTTTTTGGCGAGAACATGCGCGCCTTACTGCCGAGGAAGGAGCGGGAACATATCGGTGTTCGTTTATTAGCTCTGTGCATCTTTCCCGTGTATGGCTCTTTGGCCCTCCTCAAGTCCGTGAAAGGATTAGCTAAATTTGCCGCATTGGCCAACGCATTGATCTTCCTGGCCATCGGCATCGTTTTATTCAGTGCGGCGGCGGCCATGCGCCAGGACGCGTCTACCTCTAGACAATATGCCGTCGCGAAGCCCGCGACGCTACCCTTGTTTTTTGGCACGGTCGTCTACTCGTTCGAGGGCGTGTGCAACATGTTACCGGTGGAGAACGCGCTGCGCCATGCGGACGACGTCTGGCCCATCCTCTACGGGGGGATGTCGGTCGTCGTGGCGTGCTACGCGACGGTCGGCGCGTTCTGTTACGCGGCCTGGCCCGACGTCCAATCTGGTAGTATTACGGCGGAGATCGCGAGCCACGACCACGCGTCGTCACTCGAGGCCGCAGGCCCTGTCGTCGCGAACGTGTGTACCGTCGTCGCCGTGATCTTCACGTTTCCCATTCAATTATTTCCGTCCATGGAGCTGCTGGAGGCGTCCTTCTTCTTCCGGGAGCGGAAAAGACGAAGAAGGCACCTCGTGAGCACGGAGGATGGAGTTGAATTGCGACGTCCTTCCTACGTAAAAAAACATTCCGACGTGCACTCCGCCGACGACGTGGGGAACCCCATGCACGCGGCCGACGACGAGTGTGCTGGGGATGATGAGCTGGACGAGGTCAAGACGTCGTCTCCCGTGGTCAAGAGGCCGTCGGTGACGCCGTTGCTGGAAACGCCCGACACATCGACGCCGGAGACGCCCACCTCCACGAATCCCTTGACGAAGGACGAGGCGAAGTCCGACCCCGAGTTCGACAATTTAGTTGATGTCGAGCTCGCGAAGCGGCGCGAGCCCGCCAATACTGAGGTGGGCGAGCCGGTGAGTCCGCGCGCGGTCCCGGAGGCGACCGCCAAAAGGAAGGTCATGACCTGGCCTAGGGTCTTCTTCCGCCTTGGAGTTGTTTTAGGTACTTTCTTGGCTGCCGTGGCGGTGCCCGATTTGGGCGCGCTGATCGCGCTGTTGGGCGCGCTGACGGGTTCGATATTATCGCTGATCGCGCCTGCGTTGATCAATAGAAAGTGTCCGCGCGAGAAAGGTGGGTGGGAGTGCGTCGCGGACGGAATGACGATCCTTATAGGTGTGATCGGAGGAACGCTCGGCACGTACCAGGCCTTCCTGAACGTGGTCAATGGCGGGGATATCTCTGAGTAACATGTGTTAACGTATCCTACCTTGTAACGCGGCCAGCTTGTCGCCGCAGACGCCTAGCAACCGGTCGAGGGACACGCGGCGCGCGGCGCCCAGGAGCTTCGCGACCTCCTGTCGACTCCCGTCCTCCGGTAAAACACTCTCTTCCGGTAATTCCGCCGGGGCGTCCTCGTCCGTCTGGTCGCGTTTCAGAGACGTCTTCAGCGCCGTGAGCAGCGTTAAAAATGAAGATAGAGCTTTTGACAAAGCGAGGCGCCACGCGGGCTCCGCCTCCTTCTCTCGCTTGCCCTTCTTGCCCTTGGCCTTCTTCTTTTTTGATGACGCGTCGTCGGCAAAGCACAACACTACTAACAGAGGCGCCGTCCGTTCCAGGACGACCGCGGCGCTCCTCAGCCTCGTGTGACAAGCCTCTACAGTTGAAGCGGGGTCCAACGCCTCCAATAAAGTAGCGACATCAGCTATTTTCTCAGACACGACGTCGAAGAGCTTTGTAGAAGTATCTCTGTCACTTTTAAACGCCGAGGCAGCTTCGTACGCAGATAGCACCGCGTCCACACAGCTCTGTTCTAGTTTGTCGGAGATGGCACCCCTTATAGATGCCAAAACCCGATCCACCAAAGGCGCGTTCGCCTGCCTGTCCGTTAATAGGGCCGCAAGTAATTCCCTGGTAGCTAAATGATAAGCACTAGAGTTCCGAAAGACAAACTTTTGACGCGACGAGCGCTCCCCATCACTCGTAGAATGGGTCCAGGCCGGCCTCGCTCGTACATCAATATTCAGGGACCCGAAGACCCGCTCGAACGTCTCATCGTCAGAGACGTCGTCGAGGCGCGGGCCCGTTTCCCACTGAGGTAATAGCTCCACAACCTTGGTAGCGGAGTGGCACTGCAATACGAGGTCGAGGCCTATGAGCTCGCATCTAGCCCAGAGCTTCGTCGTCGAGCGGTCTAATTTATCGCGTTGAAACTGCCAGATTTCCGCCGCTCGGGCCCCGTTGCAGCAGTCCAGTGCTCTATGAGCAAATTCGCGCGAATCTCGCCTACACCCGTCGTGCACATGGAGCACGTTGCGACAGTGCAAAGACACTTCGGCCCAAAAGCCACTAGACGCGGCCCACGGCGTAATCAAGTGCCCCAAGCTATCGAGCTGGATCTGCTTCACGCCGAGCGAGGCGTACGTTCGTAGAGCTGCTTCGCCTGCCCCAATAGATTGTAAGGCGTCGACGAAGGCGAGCGTCACTCGAGCGTTTCCCTCGTCGCGCGCATGGGCGCTGTACAGTACTCGACACGCATCTACCTTATTTCCTGCGTCTTGTAAGGTGCAGGCCAGGACGCAGGCCGCGTCTGATGACGCTGACGTATCGTCACCCTTGATGATTGACAGACATTGCTCAACAGGTACGTCGTCACTCAAAAACCGGCGCATGCATAGTAATGACGCTTGTTTCCGAGGCGGGCCCTCCACGGTCAATGGGAGTGATTGGACGCGTCGCAGCGACGTCTCGAGGTCGTCGAACAATGAGGGAGAGGAAGCGTGCGTTTCAATATATCTCAGGATTCTATCTTGTAAAGCATCGCCGTCCACGAGCAACAACGACGCTAATCTAGGCCCGCGGTGCTTCGGCCTTTGTGTTGCGAGGGCGTCGAGCTTCCGTAGCGCGTCATCTTCCTTTTCAAGAGTCTTGCTGCACTTTACATACCCCTCGTACGAGGCCCAGTCGTCCTGATCGTCCAACAGGGCTTCGTACAACTGTCTAGCTTCATCCACAGCCCGCCCTCTCAGCAAGTACGCGGCCTCGTCTCGCATCAAGTTCCGCTCGGTCGGCCTTCGTATGAAATCGCCTTCCGTTTGCGACGCGAGGCCGTCGCGCGCCTGCCGGATGCAGTGGGCCGCTCCTGGATAATCTCCTCGCGCTTCGCGCAACGATGCCAAGAGCTCCACATCTTCCGCGCTACACCTGCCATAACCGCCGGACTCGTCGATACATCGCTCCAACATCTTGTCTCCTAGCTTGAGCGTTAAGAGCTTCGTCGGTGGTGCTGGCGTCGCCGTCGCCTCGACCAATGCGGCGGCCGCGAAGCGTCGCAAATACGAAACGTCTTTGGTGCTCTTATACAAGGCAGCAGCTACGGACCGGACGTGCGGCCAGTCTTGTTGTCTCGCATGCGCCGCACACACTCGACGACCTAGCGACGCATCGGCGGGCTTCTGCTGATACGCGTGCGCCCACAACGTTGTGGCTTCGCCGTCTCGGTTCAGAGCGTTGAGGCACATCGTCAGGGGTGCCAGGACGTTCTCGTCCGTGTAGCCCTTCGTCACAAGCTCGTTGCACGCCTCCGCGGCCTCCGACAGGCGCCGCATCCTTTGTAATGTGAGGCATCGTAAAGCAGCCAATACAGGGTTCTTTTTGGCGTTCTTGTCGCAGAGCTTGAGGGCGGCCTTGTAGTTCCGCGCGTCCAAGGCGTCGTAGACGCGCTGGGGCGCTTCCATGGCTGCCCGTAGCTCTGCCGGCGCTGCCTCTTCGAGGTATGGCGCGGCGCGCGGACCGTGCGACGACGGCGAGTTACAGCGCTCTCCCAAGCTGGTTTTGCACGCAGCGATGCTTAGCGATGCCCAGCGGTTCTCGCGATGCACCAGCGCCCCTTGAGCACTCAAAAGCAAGTCGTTACCGAGCACAGCGGCAGCGGTAGCCCAATGGCCAGCGGAGGCGAGCTCGTCTCTGTATCGTGCGGGTTTTAATGCGTGCGCTCGCAGCGTGCGCAGAGAGCTCTCGCGGCGGGCAGGAGATGGGTCTGAGACGCAGCCGTCCGCGCGACGCTCAAACTCCGAGAGCTAGCGCCGCAGAGTGGCAGAGGAGGCGCGCTGCGGCGCCAGGCCGACCGCCGACCCCAGCACGCCGTCGAGGCAGCCGACACAATCATTTAAGCGCGCCGAGGCAGCCCCTCCAACCAACCATGGGCGTGCGCGGCGAGATCGACAAGTCTGGATGGCACCTGATCAAGCCCAGCCGCAAAGAAAGCAAGTACTACCAGATGAACCTGAGCTTCATGGAGATGGAGTCGTTAGTTGATGTTGAAAAAGCAGTGTTTTTGTGCCACCCGCCGGCCGGCGCGAACGCGCCCCAAGAACCGGGTCCACGCAAGCTCAAGCACTCCTCCATAAGACTGAACAACAATAGTATAGTGGAGTTGTGTGGAGAGGGTGCGAACGTCGTCGATGAGCAAGGAGTAGATCTGGGACCGCCGCCATCTTTGGAAATGGCACTGTCTCATGTGGTAGCCGATCTGTCGATGATCCGGTGGATCGACCTGTCCTTCAATAACATCAGAGTGTTTGGCGACTGCTTCAAGTGCATGCCGTCGCTCCAAGTTTTGAATCTACAAGCGAACAGAATTTCTGATCTGAAGCAGGTGAAAAGATTGGGCGAACTGCCAAAGCTCAAGAAATTATCTTTATTTGGCAATCCGATTGAAGAAAAAAAGCACTACCGGAGCTACGTCATCACGGTCTGTCCTCTGGTCGGGCAGCTGGATTTCTCCGTCGTTACCAATCAGGAGCGCGACACCGCGGCGGGCTGGGCGTTCACGTTCCGGCGAAAGCTCAACCCCGAGGAGAAGGGGGAGAAGTAAGTAGTGTTCCCCGTCTCTTCGCGTCGACGGCGTTGGAGCGGTGCCGACGCCGTGTCACGGTCGCGTCGTCGCGGCGTCGAAGCAGATGTCGAACTTGGAGCTTTCGAGGCGCGCGAGAGCGATTCTCTGAGCGAACTCGTCGGGCATAACGCCATCGACGCGACTCAGACCCGTCTGTACATCCGTAGTAGTACTAGAGCACTCGCCGGCGGACCGTGACCGTCACGGTGACGACCTAGTTTCAAAATCGCGCTTAGACCCCCGTCGACTTCCCCCCCTTCACATGGGCGTGCATGTACTGCTCCCGCGCTAATCTAGAGGTATTCTGCAGATGCTCCTTGCCCCGCGACCGCGCCTTCAGCTTCAGCAAAGCGCGCGAATCCTTGACGCACTTCACACACTCGCATCTAAATTCATAATGCTCTTGGAGGATGGCTCTACGTTGCTCCACCGGTTGATTGGCGTCGACGTACGATATTGTCAGTTCTTCATCCTTCGTAACAGAAGTAGTAGCGGTCAGGACGCACTTTCCGTCCGCATCGACGGAGGCACTACAGTTCGGCGCGCAGCTGTGGTTGCAGTAGCCGACCTTCGCCGACAGCGCGCACGCCACCCTATGATTGTTCCTGAAGACGGCCGCGGCGTTGCCCCGGATCGTTCCGATGAGTAAAGAACAGACGTCCGAAGGGACGCCAGTTAACTTTTGTAAAGCTAACGCCGTCGACGCGTCGATGCCGCCCTTCGTCGTCACTAGTGAACGCACTTCATCGATGGTCTCTTTATCAGTGGACCAGTCGCCGATGTCCGCGGAAGCGCGGTACCGCAGTAGTAATCGGACCGGAGACGTCTCGCCGCGCTTCGACGAGGATGGCAGATTCTGGAACAGTTGACATTCATGAGCGTGCCACTTATGTCTCCCTTGCTCGGCACAGTCTTTACAGGTGGCGAAGCGGCCGCAGTCCCGACAGATGAGTAGGGATGGTCGGATGAACACGGCCTCGAAAGCTGCAGGAGCGTTCCGCAGCGCTTCTAATGCCTGACCGGTCGTCGCCACTAACGCACCGTGGACGCCTATGAGCACGTCTCCTTGTTTGATGTCTGCTGTCGAGTTGGCACCAGTGGCAGACAACCTCGTAACCACCGCCGCCCCATGCTCGTCGTCCGCGAAAACCACACCGACCTTGCCATCTCTCTTCACTAGTTTAATGGTCTTCTTGTCAGTAGTATCGGGCTTAAAACAAAAACCGCAGACCGTCTGCGAGTGCGCGTCGAAGACGACGGAGAGGGCGGGCGGCTGCCTCGCGACGATAGCGCCCTCTTCCAATGATTGGGTCGCAAATAACCCTTGGCCCTTGCCCGGCGTGTCGCGGCGCTCCGTGAGAGATCTTTTCTTTTCTTTTTGTTTTTGTCGCTGGCGGCGCTTCTTGTCCCTTAGCCGCTGGCGCTTGAGCTCGGCCGCGTCGTCGAGCTTTGTTGCTTCCAAGGCCGCTGTGGTGTCGACGAGCGTGGCCATCTCTACGGCTCGCGTCGATAGCGTCTCTATGCCCTCTGCTCGAGCTGCGGACTTCGATTTTTATGTTGGTAGCTAACGCCGTTGCAGGAGATTTTACTGGCTGCGCCGGTGAGTCCCTGGGGTTGTCCAAGTTCCTCGGTTGGCTGATTTATGCCTTTGGTGCAGAGATTGGCAGCTTTTTATCATCAGTTTACGGATTCCAAGTGTGTCTATACACGCTAGCTCGATTATTTTTTGCAATCGTTGGTCCTTGTCTCGGGCCGAAAACGCAGCCCATCGGCGCGTGCCGTGGACCGTACGCCGTCAACGATGGCCTCGACGTCCGTGCTCGTCGAGCTCGTCTGCGGCGAGCTGGGCATCGACGCCAGCAAACCCATGGTCGAGCGCGTGCGAGCCGCGGCGCAATTGGTCGGCATTCAGTTCGTGAGCGTGCGAGCAACGACGGAAGCCCTCGCCGCGCAGCTCCTGCCCGTGACTCAAGAAGAGAGCAGCGACGACGACGTCGTATTGACCCATGTAGAAACGCCGCGGAGCAAGGCCGCGGCGTCACTCGCCGAGGCCAAGCGGACGGGCGCCATCGTACAAATTGACGAGAACGAGCCGCGGCGGCCGCCGGCCTGGTACGTGCGGGCCAAGCACCTGTCGGCGCGGAAGCTCGTCGTGTCTTTGATCGAATCGCGGCTGCGGACGCTGGCGCGGGGCGGCGTTTGTGTGGTACGGAACGCGCGCAATTTCCCGCGGGCGGCGCGGCTGATCGAATTCCGGCTGTTGTGCGACGCGGCGTCGCTGCCAGCCTACCGCGACGCGAAGACGCTCGCGGCGCGCGTGCGGACGGAGCTTCGCATTCTTCGCGACCGGGCGCCGGCCGCCGCGCCGGCGCCCGCCGCCGCGGCCGCTCCGGCGCCTGCACCGGCGCCCGCCGCGCCGAGGCCCGCCGCGGCCGCTCCGACCGCTGCGCCGGCGCCTTCTTCACCGGCCGCCGCTCCGGCGCCGACCATCGCGCCGGCGCCCGCACCACCGGCCGCCGTGCCCGCCGCCGCGCCCGAGGTTGTGGTCGCCGCGCCGACGCCCGTGGCGCCGCCGCCTGCTCCAGCGCCCGCCGCGCCGGCCGCCGCACCCGCTCCCGCCGCTGTGGCCATCCCGGCACAGAGACCGGCTGCCGCGCCGCCGTCCGCGACTCCGAGGCCGGCCGCGGCCGCTCCGGCGCCCGTCGCCGCGCCTACGTCTGACTCCGCACCTGCTCAGGCGCCTGCTCAGGCACCCGCCGCCGCGACGCCTGCTCCAGCACCTGCCACGCCGGCCGCCGCACCTGCGCCTGAAGTGACTGTTCCAACGCCCGCCGCTCTGAGGCCCGACGCGGCCGCTCCAGCGCCGGTCGCCGCGCCGGCGCCTGCTCTGGCACCTGTTCAGGCACCTGCCGCGCCCGCCGCGCCGTCGGCCGCACCGATGCCTGCTCCGGCGCCAGCTCCGGCCCCGCGGATACCAATCGCACCGCCGTCAACGGTCCTCCCCGCCGCACCGCCGCCGCCGCCGTCGTCGTGGCTGCCGCCGGCCCGGGTCCGCCTGGCGCCTGGCGTCGTCGTCGACTGCCGCGGCCCGGCCGGCGGGAGCGCCGGCGCGCGGCGGGCGCCGGCGCCGCGGCGGCGGCCTCCCGCGTCGGCGGGCCTCGCGGCGGCGCTCGCGGCGAGCCGGCGGTCGTTCGTCGACGACGAGCGGAGGCGCCTGCGGGCGGCCGCGGCGGTGTCGGTCGTGCCTCAGCCTGCGGCACCTGCGGCGACGGAGCCGGCGCCATCGGAGCTGGCGCCCGCCGCCGCGTCGACGCCTGCTCAGGCACCTGCTCAGGCTCCGGTTGCGCCGCTGCCTGCCGCTCCGGCTCCGGCGCCGGTCGCACCGACACCACCAGAACCAGCACCAACCGCGCCCGTGTCGTCTACGCCTGTGCCACCGGCGGCGACGGAGCCGGCGCCTGCCGTGGCCGCTTCCGCGCCCGCGCCTGTTCAGGCACCTGCTCAGGCGCCGGCGCCCGCTGCTCTGGCTTCGACACCATGTGAACCGGCGCCTGTTGCCTCAGATCCGGCAGTACCGGAACCGCCGGCCGCACCGGCGCCGACTCCGGTGGAACCCGCCACGCCGCCTGATACGGCACCTACCATGTCCGTGGCGCCGCCGGCGCCGCCGGTCGCTCCGAATCCGACAGTACCGGAACCGGCCGCACCGGTGGAACCCGCCGCGCCACCGCGGCGACCGCGGGGACCGCCGGTCTCGCCGCGCGCCGTCGTCGCGGATGCTCTCCGACGCGACGCGCGGTCGGCGCGGCAGCGCGTCTGGAAGCGGGACCCGCTCGCCGAGGTCTCCGCGAACTGGCGACGGCCGGGCCCGGACGACGTCCCCGCCTGTATTTTCTGCGACGACGCGTACCGCGGCGTCGTCCACAATTCGGGCAAGGGCCCAGACGCGTTCTTCTACTGCTGTACCTGTGACAAGCATTTTACGCGGCGCGAGGCGGACTTTTTCGCGGGGCGGGGGCGGCTAACTTAGTGAACTGTTTTACCCTCGCGACAGGCACGCCGTCTCCTCCTGGAAGCGGGCGCGGTAGTAGCCGACCCGCCGCGGGTCCCATTTCGCCGCCGCGGCGCCGTGCGTCGCCGTCGGCTCTGTCGGCGCGTCCGCGGTCGTGGCGTTCCAGCGCGCCTTGGCCTTGGTCCCCGCGAGATGCCGGAAATTCTTGGCCGCGAACGCGGGCGCCACGACCGTGCGGCAGTCGTCGCGGCACATGTCGTCGCCTGTGTGGATATCAATTTACGGCGCTTTCGTCCTGAATCGACGCGTCGACCTCCACGCCTCGACGCGACGCCTGCTCGATGGCGTGGCGATGTCGGTTCCTCGCCGCTCGACGGAGCCAGGACGGCCGCGTAGTCCTCCAAATTGAGGGAAAATATACCGAAGCTGTGGCGATCCTCGAGGACGTCGAGCAGCGGTGTCGACGCGTCTTTGGCGACTCCCATCCGACGACGGCTGGTGCCCAGCGCGCGCTGGAAAGTGCTCGGGAACGACTTAGTAATTCGTAGTATGTCAGCCAACTCCGCGGCACCTACTAGTACTAACTTGAACTATACTAGTAGTTGTTACCCACAAGTCGACGGGACATGTTAACCTGCAGCTTCAGAAACAATCGTCGAGGAACCGAGCGCGGCGCTGCGACGACGACGACGACGGCGCCGCGCAAAAACGCGCGCGCCCTCAGAGCTCGCCCAGAAAAAAGAGGTGGTGCACGTACCGCGCGAGCAGCGCGAGCAGGACCAGCACGATGCTATTTAAAGCTGCCCGTTCCCGCGTGTCGAGCATATAAATGCCCGTCCACAGGCACCAGTGGTAGTATTTGAGCTTCACGTAATCTACGACTCCTCGTCGCTTCGCGGGCGCGGAGACCCAGTTGCCGTCCGAGGCCATCGTTCGCGGCGGCGGTGATCGCCCGGTCGAGACGCACTGCTCGATCTCGCGTCGCCGCTCGCAGCGTCGTCAAGAAAAGTGTGACGTCGACTACTAGCGCGCCTCGGCGGCGTCAACGTGCGCGCTTCGCGGAGCGTGGCGCTGGCGCACAAGCAGTGCTGGCTTTTGTACTCGCCTCTGCAGCACTTGGCGCGCGCTCTTTTTCGGACAAGCTGCTCCGTAGGGCAACTCTAGGCAGCAATGTGGCCGCTGGTGCCCAGCAGGCTGCGTCGCGTCGAGTTGCGCGCGCCTGCTTGCCTGCTTGCTAGTGTCTTACAACGCTAGCTGCGGTCGGAGCGCGCGCGCGCGCGCGGCCAAAAACGCATTGTGTGAACTTCCCCGGCTGTCAGCCAGTGGACATAACAGACCTAGTTGCTGCGCGCGCGGCACCGAGCACCGCTACGGACGCTAGCCTCCGAGCAGAGGCCACCGACTGCCGACACGCGATCACGCCATCACCGCAGCGATGCTCCAACGACTCGCCGCGCTCGCAGCGCTCGCGGCCATCGCGGCCCAGCTCCTCCGCGCGTCCTGGGACGCCACCGTTTGCGTCGAGCCGGGCGATGAGATCCCGCAGCTCGAAGCGCCGCGAGGCGACGGCTGCTGGGTCGCCGTCAACGCGACGATTGGTGCGAAGTGGGCCACGGGTTACCTGGGAGCTTGCGCATCACAAGACGTCGACATCAACGCGGCGACGCCCTGGACGCTGCACTGCGCGGCCGTGGCAAGCTGTCGGTGGCACGCGCGGCGGCGCGGCGACGAGCTCGCGGTCTGCAGTGGTAATCGGCTCGCGGCGTTGACGCACTTCGTCGCGACGCGCCTGCTAGGCAAATGTCAGCTCCCGTGGGAGGCCTACATGACGTGGTTCGCGCGCGCGCCCGGCGACGCCGTGGTGACGCCTCGCGGCGTTGATCATGCCCCCTGCGGCGGCGTCGAACCGTGGCGGCCGCCGGATCGGCGGCGCGAGGCGCTGGTGAGCGCGGTGTGGAACCGGACGCTGAAAGCTTTCGGCCACTCATGACGCCATCGACGCGCCCGCAGTGTGTTGTGTAATAACAGAAAACTCTATTTATATATTGACAGGGAGACTTCGTTCTTGACAATGTACAGCTTGCTTGGGTCTTTGAACAATCACGGCCGCCGGATGACGAGGAGCGCCTGCGGGTCGTCGAGGCACAGCGCCGGCGCCGCCGGGTCGCGGCGCCAGAGCTTCCTGAAGCGGAGGACGTTGTTCTTGTACGCGTCGCCCACAACGGTCAGCGGCGCTTTCACTCCGTCGAGCCGCCGCGTCGTCGCGCGCGCGACGCTCGCGATCGTGTTGTGGAGGTGCGCGTGGCCCGACGCGCGCAGGCGGGCGGCCTCGATGGCCTCGGCGTCGAGCGGCGCTTCTGGTGGTGGTTGCGTTGAGGCGCGGGCGCCCATCCACATGTCCTTTGTTGTTAACGGCGCGAGCGGCGCCGCTAGGCGCGCGACGAAGTTCGTCCGCAGCGCTAATGCGGCTGCGGGCGTCGCGTGGGACAGCAGTGTCAGTGTTACGAGGGCGGTGGCGCGCCGCTTTGGTCGGTGCATGCTGCTCAGAGCACACACGCTTTGTATTGGGCCGTTCTTTCTCCAATTCTTGCCAGCGATCGGTAGCTCGGATAGTTTGGGGCTTGTCACAGCCTCAGTTTTGTTTGCGATTACGTTTGCGCTGAGCAAACAGGGTCAGAGCGTCGATGACCGGGTAAAAAAAACGCCGCTGAACTCGTTCGAAACGTACTCGGAACGACGATTGAAATCCGAAAAACACGCGTAAAACGACGGCTCTAGCCCCTAGAAGATCCCTCGGGGCGGTCTGTGTCTTGGTGCAGCGGCGCGGCCGCGTATGGCCGCGCGGCCGCGTATGGCCGCGGCCTCGCCCGCCCGCAGCGACCACGCCAGGCGTGGGCGCCCCGGAGGCACCACTCCGGGGAGCGGTCCGCGGCCGCGCACTCCGCCACTAGCCGGCCATCCAAATCTGGAGCAGGCGGCGTCGCCTCGCTATTGGGCCCCCGCGCGCCGGCCCCCCGACGCGCCGCCGCCCCGCTGCCGCCGTCCCAAGGACGCCCCGGCCACGACATAACATCGGCTGCCCCGGACGCCCGCCGCCGCGCACCAGCCGAACACCAAATGGAGGCCCCGCCGCCGCCCCCGCCACAACAGCCCCCGAAGAAGAAGCCGCCCCAGTCGACCCAACCGGAGACGGCGGAGGACGGCCAGACCCTCTTCGACGACGAGCTTGACCGCTTGCTGCCGGTCGGTACCGTAGCGTCTGTGATGAGGGCCGCGATCCCGCCCGAGGCGAAGATCGGGAGAGACGCGCGGGAAGCGGCCCAAGACTGCGCGTCGGAGTTTGTCGCGTTTGTCGCCTCGGAAGCTTCCGACGCCTGCGCCGCCGCGGGTAGTGCGTCGGCGTCCGAATCGGCCCAAATTTGGACCAGAGACCACCCATCGCCTTCTCTGATGGACACGAGTCGCGTCGACGGCGTGCCATCACGCTTTTGACACACGCAGGTAGGAGGATTATGACCGGACGCGATGTGGTTGATGCCGTGGTGCGCCTCGGCTTCGACCGCCAGGCCGCTCCCCTCGAAGCGTTCCTGGCGACTTGTGTGGAGAAAAGAAGAGGAGAGAACAAAGTTAAAAGAGCGAAGCGCGCGAAGGTTGTTGCTGCCCAGGCCGCGGCGGCCGCAACCGAGGAGCCCGCCGCTCCGGCGCAGCCGCCGCTCGGGCCGGCCTTGCTCGGGCCGCAGCCGATCTAGTGGGAGTAAGGGTGTGTTTGCCGTACGTTGCGGACTAATGTACCGCTAGCGGTACATTATTGCGGCGATGGCGTGGTGGGGGTCGTCCGCGGCCGCGTGACCCGCGTCTCGCATTTTCCGGCTTTCGAGCTCTGGGGGAGTCGATGGGGGCCTGCGGGAGGCGTCGTGCGGCTCGATTTTTCAAGAGCCTCGCACGGCATTGCGGGCGAGAAAAAACGCCTCGCTCTGTCCACTCCGCGAGGCCAGAGACAACTTGAGGATTTTAGAGTATACTTTCAGACCGGACAGTGACACGAAGCAAGCGAGCGCGCTGTCCGGCGCCGATCACAGAGAGCTTGACCCCTCTCAGAGCCAAAGTGAGTTTTTTGCTGAATTGACCCGCGGGCGCGGCCCGGAAGATAATGTCGCGCCTCTTAATGATAGCCCTCGCGGGCGTGGCCGCTCTCGCGGTCGCGGCGCCCGATCAGGCCGCCGCGGCGCCCGTCGACCTCGAGCGCGACCAGCGCGCCGCGGCCGCGGCCGTCGAAGGCCGAGGCGCCCAAGGAGCCCGCGGCCGCCGAGGCGCCGGTCGAGGAGCGCGTCGCCGTCGCGGCACCCGCGGCGCCCGCGGCCGGCGACTGGGAGGCCCAGTACAATGCCCTGGAGGCGGCCTACCTGGCCAAAAAAGTCGCGGCGGCGCCCGCCGAGTCGGCCGCTGAGGACTACGACGAGTTTGGCGACGAGTTCGGCCTCGGCGGCCTCTTCAAGTTCGTCAAGGGGCTCGTCGGCGGCGAGACCGAGCGGGCCGCCGTCGACGACGCGCCGCCGGCAGCGGTACTCCGCGTCCCGGACCTCGAGTACAAGGTCGCGCGCGGCGACACGTACTTTCTGCGTCTTGCCCAGGGTATGACGGCGACGTGGCGCGAGTCGCGCGATGCGCCCGAGCCTCAGACCGAGAGGGAGACCTACGTCGTCGAGGAGCGCGACGACGTCCTGCCGTGCCTCCTCGCCGGCGCGGCCGTCGTCATGGCCGGGGGCATGGGCGTCGGCTTCGTGCTCGGGTTGCTCTACGCGTCGCAGCGCCGGCGCCCGGTGCCTGCGACCCTCTACCGCGTCGCCTCGAAGGATGTTGACGCCGCGGGCTTGGCGGATTTGGCGCTAGCCGAGGTCGTCTGATTCTCCCTTCGTGTAAGTTTATGTATGCACTTTGCGGCGATGGCGTGGGGAGGGTCTAGTAAATGTCACAGAACATACAATTACCACCGCTCGCGGCAGCCCGGCAACCGCCAGGGCACGGCCGCGCCGTCGATCCCGTTCACCTCGTAGAGGCACGCCTGGAGGAACAACCCCATGACGTTGGCTAATACAATTCCGGCATCCGCGGCCAGCGCGCCCACGGGCATCGCCAGCTCCGGCTCGTGTCCTACAGATAAGCGCCGAAACCCGTGGACGTAGACCCCTGTGCGAGCATCGACCAGTGAGTCGGAGCCAGCGCCACGCCGTCGCGGCGATGGCGTGGGGCTTCCGTGAACCTTGATTTCCACACGGGTCCGCACCGCCTCCGAGCAGCCCGACCAGCACGCACATCACGAGAATCGACGACGCGTACCAGTACCTTGTTGCTGCATCGACGGCGAAGAGGCAGAGAAACACGGCCTGCAGGCCGCTCGCGGCCCAGAGCCACGCATTGGACGGCGGCGTCGGGAAGAGAGGCCCCGAGCTCCGCGACACCAAAACCCCAACTTGATATAACCAATTCGCGTACAGGTAGAAATCCTGCCTATGCTTCTTCGTCGGTTGAGGCACGCCCATCGACGCCCACACGCCGGACTGCAGCGCGTACTCCGAGAAGTAGACGAGGAACAGGGCCCCCGTCGTCGGCCAGAGTTTTAACCCAAACCTCGTCCGCTCCCAGAACGAGCCGAGCCGCTTCGGCCGGATCTCGTCGGCGCCCGTAACTCGTCTGGAAGCCAAGACATACAACAGCGGCAACGACAGCGCGGCCACTGATTGACACGCCGCCATCGAGAAGCGCAGCGCCCTTGTAAATAACCAGACCCAGCCGTAGCCCACAATTCCCGCGAAGCCCGTTCCCGACGACCACGCGCTCACGCAGCCTTCGTCGTGGCGCGCCGCCAAAGCTAATAGAGTGGCTTCGCCGAGCGCCGACTGGAACGACGTCAGCGCCACTCCTAGTAACTGCAGGGGCCTCCGCGCACCCAAACCGGCGAGGAGGAAGCCGCCGACCATGCTCAGAGCCGCCACCAACAACCGCTTCTCGTATCGAACGAGATCGAACCAGTACGGCGCGGACGCCTTCACGGCTAAACCCGGCCCGATGGCCACGAGGTACACAACCGCGACGCCGCCGGCGTCGATCGATTTCGCGGACGCGATCATAATGACATAACTCGCGTTATTCAATAAGCCGAGGAGCCAGAACCAGTACGGCGCCCTCGCAGTCTGTCGGTGTGCGCCCGCCCGTACCGGCAGCCTCAGGGGCCGGCCCTGCGCGGCTTCGAGCAGCGACCCGGCCGTGTCCTCTGAGGCGCGCGACTCTTCGTCTACACTTTCAATCTGTAGCGGGTTGGCTGTCTCGTCGTCTGGCGTGGTGGTGCTCTCCGTGATTGGGGTGCTCTCAGCCATATTGCGAGTGTGCTGTCCAGCACCAATGGCAATGTAGTGCGTGCTGCTCGCCGCAGCGATGGATTTTGCTACGAAATTCAAGGCGTGCTGGAATAAGTCGTCAGCGTTTACGCCTAGAGCGAGGTCTAGCGCGGTAATTCGAGAGCTTATGCGGTTTTTTTGCTGGCTTGCTGGCTTGGCTTGCTAGTGTCTTACAAGCCGCTAGCTCTGGCCGGCTCCTAGTAATCCTTACCCAACGGACGGCGTGAGACCGAGTCAGAGCCGCCACGGCGGCAGGATCGTCCCGAAGACCTCGAGGCCGCGGACGTGCATGCACTGCCTGTCCGATCCGCCAGCGACTCGAAAGCGAAAGCGAGACGACGCGAAGAAAGACGCACGCGCCGCGCTGCGAGTTTGATGGAAGATTCTCCGTCGCGAGAAGAGGAGACGGCGCCTATTTGCTCTACGCCCGCGCGAACGCGAATGGTGTGTCCAATAAACGGGGCCGGTTTGGTGGGAGGCACGTCCAGGTGGCCTTGCATCGAGGCGACCCCGGTACAAAAGGATGGGGCCCCTTCCGCCTCATCGAGGTCGAGGGTTTTGTTGGTGGTCGTTCATTTGAAAACTTGTATTTTGGCGCCGTCAACGCTGTGGCCGGTTACCTGCTGGGCCTCTTCCCGCTGTCATCACCTGGTCGGCATGCGATCGTGGCGGCGTTCTCGTGCGACGGCGTGCACTTCTCGAAATTTCTGGATGTAACACATGCGGGGAACGCCGGCGCGGGCCGCACGTTCCACCAGCCCTTTGACGGGCTCGTCGTCGAAAAAGGTAGGGTGTACGCCTACGTCCAGGAGAACGTGCGCGGTTTAGACATGGACCGCTATGACGATGATCCGAACTATCCGACGGCGCCGCCGCGCGTCGTGAGGTATGGGACGACGCTTGTGGCGTTGGCGCGGCGCGCGGTTGCCGAGACGCGGGGGCTGGCGGGTTGTTAGGTGTTTTGTGACCCGGATAGACTAGTACCCGGGGGAATGAGCGACTGCCCGCCTATCAAAAGGTACACACACATTCCTTACGCCGACGACGCCGACTTGGGCGACGACGTCCCGAGCGGCGGCGCCACGGTCACGCCGAGCCGCTTCCTTAACAAATCCATGTCCTCATCAAAACATTTCTCGTAGTAGACAGCTAACAACGACTGCGTGCACGCCCGACCTTGACGGGTAGCCCAGGGGACGTGTGCATCGTATAGCCGCCTTCGTTGCTTCGAGGACAGGCGCAAAGGCCCGAACAGCGCCGAGAACGCCGCCACAGGTAAACCGGTATGCACGAGCTCGAACCACTTCAGGACCAACTCCCCATGCACGGTGGGCGGCAGGCCAAAGAGCACGTGCCAGAAATCGTGCACTTGCCTGTACCTCAGCAACACATAAGCGAGCTCCTCGTCGTCGACCAACGCTACCGGAGTTCTGTCATCAGGATCAAAACCATACCTCTCCAGGAACCGCCCGTAGGCGTGGCCGAAGGTGTTTTCATCTAATTGCCGCAATTCGTCGCCATTAATGGTGGTGGAGTCGACCACGGGTCTCTCAGAAAGAATCAACCTCCCTTCCCGCGTCGTCTTCAGGTCACTCCGGATCTTCTCGAGCGCAACGCGCCCCGTCGCCTCGCCCAACACTCCCACCATGTCGGCGCGCCGAGGGTCTTTCAGCGCTTTCGCCGCGGAGATGGCCGTCGCCGCGAGCTTCTGGAGCGGGTTCGTGGGCAGGTGGCCCCGGTAGAGCGACTTGCGATCGGTGAAGAGCGGGCGCGCCGGCTGGCGCCGGGTGAGGGCTGCTACAGCTCTCCGGGCTTGTCGCATCGTGCGCTGTGCGTCCGCGGTGACAAATTATTGCTCTTGCGGATCGCTGCGCACCCCAGGCGGTCTGCTTGACCAAGCCTTTGCGTTGCCGGAGGCGTCGCGTAGCTTTTTTGCTTGGGAGGCCTCGCGCTGCTCTCCTGTGCCACAGCCTGAAATACGGTGCTGGCGCCGCGAGACAATCCGCAGCGCTTGACTTGTGCAACGCACGTGCCTGAAACACACTCACTGATCTCTGCTCGCTGCGCGGTCAACGATGGCGCGCGCCGCCGCCCTTCTGCTGGCACTGAGCACTGCCTGGGCCGCAACAAAAGAAGACGACCGCGTCACGTCGATCCCGGGCTTCGAAGAGCAATTCCAGCAGGGCCTCGGCTTCGACGTCTACAGCGGCTACCTCGACGTCGACGTGCCAAAAGCCTCGACGGGCTACGATTCGCTCTCGATCCACTACGAGCTCCACACCTGCCGTGCGAAGGACTGCCCGCTCGCGCTCTGGCATCAAGGCGGGCCCGGCGGCTCGGCCGTGTTTGGGGCCTGGACGGAGATGGGCCCGTTCCAGTTGATGGCCCAGGGCCCGGTCTACAACGAGAAGAACGCCTGGAACCAGGCGGCGCACATGTTGTACCTCGAGAGCCCGGCCGGCTCCACGATCGCGGGCGCCCAGACGGGCTACTCGACGTGTTTCATTGACGGGAAGAAACAGGACGCCTGCAAGTGGACGGATGTCACTCAAGCGGTGGCCTACGCCCACACGATCGAGGCCTTCCTCGAGAAGTTCCCCGAGTACAAGTCCAGTGAGTTGTATCTGACGGGCGAGAGCTACGCCGGCCAGTACGTGCCGAACATCGCCTACCACGTGCTGCAGTCTTCATATAGTTTCAAGATCACGGGATTAGCTGTGGGAAATGGTTGTTGGGGCGGCACCCAAACTAGCGTCCAGTGCAACGGGCCGAACGCCGAGCGCAACGACATAGACATATATTACGGCAAGGGGATGCTTCCCGACAAGCTCTACACCAAGATCCAGGCCACCTGCGACTGGGACGCCATTGCGGAGGGCGACGACGACGACGACTCGTTACCCGTGGCCGGGGCGTCGGCGGCCTGCAATACGTTGTTAGATCAAGCCGAGGACGCTGTGGGGCCGTTCAACATCTACGACATCTACGACGACTGTCCCTTGCTGTGTGGAAAATCAACCGTGGGTTCGATTTTTTCAGGTGTAGTAATGGGCACAGTCGCGTCGATGGCGTGGCGCGCCTGAAATTTGATTTCCACACAGGCCCGCTCGCCGACGCCTGGCACGCGACGAATCCCCACGTCTCGCAGCGCGCCGTGCGGGCGTTCCACCGCGGCCGCATGCACCTGAGTCGCTTGGAGCTCGACGCCGCGTTCGAAGCGGCTTTTGATGTCAATGGAGGCTACCCCTGGGACTGCAGCTCCGACAGCGCCCTCGACGGCTACTTCACGCGGGCGGACGTGCAGGCAGCGCTCCACCTCAAGGGCCCGGGAAGCGGGTTCAAGTACAAGCAATCCGGCCCCGCGTCGCAGCTCCTCTGGCCCCACCTCGTGCAGCACATGCGCGTGCTCATCTACAACGGCGACGCCGATTTATGCGTCCCCTACAAAGGAAACGAGGAGCTCGTCACAAATCTGGAGACTGCCGGTTCGTTGGTGGAAAAAGCACCGTGGCAGCCGTGGTACGCCGAGAGAGGCTCGCAGAAGGCGCCGGCCGGCTACGTGACGACGTACAGCGTCCCGGGCAAGACGTTTCCATCGAAGGGCCCGGATGCATCCTTCCTCACGATCCGCCTGGCGGGCCACATGGTCCCGACGTTCCAACCGGAAGCCGCTCTAGCCTTCATCGCGCGCTTCTTCCGGGGCGAGGCGTTCTAGGCGCCTCCGCGGCAGCGTGGAGGCCGTGGAGAAGCCACCAGCACGCCTCGCCGCGACCGCGCGCCGCCTCGACGGCGTGGCCATCGCCGCGACGGCGCGATACTAAGTATACTATGTGATTACCCGAGCGCGCAGCCACCAGCATGCGGCGACGGCGTGGGGGGGCACGCCATCGACGCAACTAAGTATATCTATGTGTAAAATTACCCGAGCGCGGGATCCTCGTCCTTCTTCTTCGTGAGGTCGACCATGCCCTCACTCTTACATTGGGAACACTTTTCCGGTTTCCCACCAGGTCTCCCGAAGCGCACCTGCCGGTCCGAACCACACGTACAGATTTTGGTGGTCAGATTAATCATCGCGTCCGATTTGCAGTTGATGCACGCCGTGCGAGGGCCACCTTTAAGACCAAACCGCCGCACCTTCCCGCTACCACACGAACACTTGCCGCCCCAGGACTCCTCGGGCTTTTTACTCAGTGATAAATTGACCATGCCTTCGGTCTTGCAGTCGATGCAGTTCGTCCTCGCGCTTGGACCTTTCCTACCTTGGTCAACCTGGGTCGGAGGGTAGCCGAACCTTTTGACCTTGCCCGAGCCGCAGGAACATTGGCCCGTGGACGGTCTCAGGTTTATCAAAGGCTGCCCGTCTTGGGAGACTTTCTGGTCCTTGCACTCGACGCACGCGACGGCCGTGCCCCCTTTCGGGCCGTACCTCCGATCCTTGCCACTTCCACATTCACAGACCCTCGTCAAATCCTTGAGCTTGACACCATGGGTCGCAAAATAATCGCCCTTGCAGCGGTCACACCCCAGGTACTGTATTTGTCGATTCACGACTCTCCCGTACCGCATGCCGTGCTTCGAGTCACAATTCGTGCACTCGTCCCAGTGCCTCCTGACCCTCTTCTTCTTCTGGGTACTTTCAGGGGCCGGCCGCTTGAGTTGTACAGGTTGTTGGGGCACGCCGCCGAGTGGTGGGAGGGCCGTCTGGATGGCCATGGGCGGCTGGACGGGCATCTGCGCGGCCACCGCTGCAGTCAGGCCATTGAACGTGTCGTACGGGTTCCCCAGCAAGGGCGGCGGCTCGTAGGGCCTTTGGAGTGGAGGCGCGACGGGCTGTGGCACTGGCGGTATTGGCGGGCGGTGCTCCATGGCCGCTGTCGTTGGTTATTGTGGGTCGCGGCGGCGGCGTCTTCGCGCGGCGTGCTTTGCTTGCCAGCCGAATAAGCAAGGGCGTCGCTGCGTGGCGTCCGGCGACACCTTCGAGCCGTGCGCTTGAAAGATTGATGCGTCCGCGAGCTGTAGCGCTATGTTCGGGGGAGCAGTAAGCTTCGATCGAGGCGAGCAAGCCGATCGAGTAGCAAGCCGCAAAGTGATTGCTAGTGTCTCTCAGCCGCTAGCCTGAAAATGAGATGAACGTCTGCGGCCCTTCGCTGCTCCGGATAGACGCGTGGACGCGCCCACGCGTACTAGTGCTACCAGGAAGCGCCGTGACGGCCGACCGCGCGGCAACGACGCGGCGCCGCCGGGCAGGAGACTCGCAGGTCCACAGGTACCGAAACACCGGGAGAAGGCGAGTGGTGGCTTTATTCTCCGCATGCTATGCCTTTGTCCATCAGCCTTGGAAACCCGCGAGATAAGCTGGAATCTTAGAACAAAAGCGCGCTGTTCTCGCGCCAGGCAGCAGGCCGGAGAGTTGTGAGCCGCGCACGCCTTCGTTTGCAGCCTCTCTACCCGCCAGCATCGCTTGCTCGCGAGGTCGCGCATCCCACGGCTGTAAAACCATGCGCCAAGCCAGAGCTGCCCTGCTTTTGATCTCATGCGGGATGACCGCGGGCTTCCACGCGGCGCCAGCGCGGCGGCGCACGCCCACGACCTGCGCTGCCTCAATTTTAAACGAGCTCGGCACGCACCTGCTGGCGTTTGACTTCTCCGGCACGCACCTCCTCGCCTTCGACTTCGACTCGCTCAAGGACTCGGTCTTGGATGCGAGAGATTCGGTATTGGACGCCAAGGACTCTGTGTTGGATGCGAAGGAGGCGGCCGTCGACAGCGTGGCGCAGGCCAAAGCCAGTGCCTTGGAACAGGTCGAAACTACCAAGGCGAACGCCGTCGGTGCCGTTTTGAAGCCGATCAAAGAAGCGAAAGCCGCGCTTCCCCCCGAGGTCCAGTCCGTGCTGCCCGAGAAGGTCGACCTGCCGAAGGTGTCGCTGCCCGGGGCGGTCCCGGACCTGGGCGAACTGGCCGAGCCGGCCGGGCCGTTTGCGGGTATCAAGGCGACGTTCCAGACCGCCGGTATTGGCGCCGTCCTCGGAGGGCTCGTCGGCGCCAAGGTGGGCTGGGAGGCGCGCGGGGCCGCCGTCGCCGCCTCGAACGCGAAGGACGCCGTCGCCGCGCAGCTGGAGAAGGTCCAAAAGGCCGTGAAATAGATGGAGTAAGTCGGAGCGAATCTTAAAAGGGGGGTCTTAGAGGAGGAAGTCCCGCGTCGCCACGGGCGGCGCCGCCATCGACACCGAGGCTCTTTGTATCACACGCTTCGCGCTCGTATCATCTTGCAAGCCTCGATGGATCAGCGAGCGGTTGTCCCACATCGCTAATTGATGAGGTTCATAGGCCACCTGGACGCGAAATTGCGGCTGCGTGACGTGGTTCTGGATCAGGCGCGTCATCTCGAGGCCCTCGCGCGCCGTCATGCCCACGATGCCATTGGTAAAGGTCTCGGAGATGAAGACGGCATCTCTACCGGTCTCCGGGTGGCGCACGACGACGGGATGAATACAATCAGGAATAATTTCCTCTTCCTTTTCTACTGCGAAAGTCATAGAACTGGTTTCGAGCATCGCCTCCCTAGAGTTCGGCGTGGTCTTGCCGTACTTGGCGCCGTCGCCGTAGGCTTTTCCTGCCGAATGGTAGGCATCTAAAGGCAGGAGTAGTTGTTTCATCGTATCGGAGTATGCATCCCAAGCAGCCTCGCAGTGCGCGAACTCCGTGTTATTTGTACCGTAGGGCGTCACCTGCGCCGTCGCTCTCAAAAAAGAGTAGGAGGCAGGTAACGGCTGGAAGCTGTGGTCGCTGTGCCACTCCTCGCCGAAGACTATTTGAGCGTCTTTTTCTCTGACAATTTCTAAGATCTCGGGGTGGTCCGGCAGCCCGTTCGCCACCATGTGCTTTTCTGGTGTTCCGAAGTGGGCCGCAAACGCGACGTGGTCCTTCGGGTGGAGGTCCTGCTGATTGGGAAAAGTGAGGATGCCTCTCACGTCCTGAATGACACGTTTTATAGCTTGGACGTCGTCCTTCGTGAATTGTGCGGCCTTCGTGAGGTCACAATTGGGTACTCGTAGTCCCCAGCCCGTCGCTTCATCTAGGACCGTGGCACCATCTAATAATGAGCAGTCGTACTTGGCTGCGTACGTCAGGCCCGTGTCCTTGCATATGGCCCCATCCGTCGCGCGCTCCCTGATGAGCACGTCTAGCTGAGAGGCTTGGGTTGCAGCGGCGGTGCTGTGCCGGCGGCCCCTGAAGTTGCTGAGGCGGACGACACGCCTCATGGCTGCTTTTCAGAGGGTTGCGAGTCCTACGGCTGCACTTTTTGCAGGGAGTCGAAGGGTGCGAAACGTGACGAGTGCAAAGGACGTGTTTTGCTTGCAAACGCGCGTCGGCAGGCGTCAGTGGCAGCGTTTTTACGAGCCAGTGAGAGCTACAACTCGACCTCCGTCGAGGAGGCGAACTGCCCTTCTTCGCCTCGAGCTGTCGCAAGAGTCGTCGCACGGGTAGGTTATGGCTCTTCGGAGCTCCAGGCACGACAGGCGGCTCGGCGGCAGCGGCCGGCATCATTTTGTGAGACTGAGATCAAATCGGCTCCTGCGCGACGGAGACGAGCTCTCACCTGCTCTCACGCTGCGAAGAGGTAGCCATCAACCCGCTTACTCTGGATTAACAACTGCAGCGTGATCGGCCCGCTGCGTGTGGCCCGAGAGACACGAGAAGCCGAAGAGTCATTTGTTTCATACGCGCACTATATGGAGATCCCCGCCCTCTTTCTCCCGGCCCTCGCCGGCGCCGCAGTGGGCCTCGTCGTCGTCATGCTTCTGGTGCGAAACAAGCCCGAGCCGGCGAGCATTCGCCTCGCGCCCGAGCAGCGGGCGGCGATCCAAGACCATTTCAACTCCGGGCCGACCCTCGCGGGCAGCTACGGCTGGAGCCGGCGCCAGTACGCCCCGATGCACATTCACAGCAAGGCGTTTGCGTCTTTACGCGAGCAGATCCACGAGCAGTTACCGGACCACGCGATCGCCTTCGACGTCGTCTTCGAGTCACAAGGAAAGCGGGTCGACTGGCACGGGGACTACGAGAGCCTCGGGCCTTTTGAATTTGCCGGCGTCTCCTCTATAAGAAACCACGACTTCGTGAGCGTCCATTTCAACCTCACGCCGGACGGAGGCAGCCTCGCGACGCTCGACTGGCCGCTCGTGTCGACGCTGCACCACTTCGTCATCGTTAAGTGGGGCATCTACAGCCGGCCGCACAAGCTCCTGAACTTTCTGTCGCGGCCGCTCTTCTGGCTCTTCGCGACGACGCGGCGGAACGCCGTAGGCGTGGGCAACTCCTTCGATAATATGCGCCTTCACAGCGTCGGCGCCGGCGCGGCGCGCCTGTCGTACGTGGTGCGCCTCGTCCGCAAAGACGGCGGGGTGACGATGTCGCCGGCGACCGTCGCGACGTGCGCGAGTCGCTCGACGGCGTGCGAGCGCCTCACGAAGGTCCTGGCGCCGGCGGTGACCTCGCCGACGTCCGCGGGCGAATTCCCCTGGGCGGGTCTCGCCGCCGACCTCTGAGCTACCCTGTGAGTCGCGGCGATGGCGTGGAGGCTTGTGAGTCGCGGCGATGGCGTGGTGGCGTGTGAGTAAGAAATACATGTACATTACAAAACTACACCATGGTCGCCTCGGGCGTCGCCTCGGGCGAGCGGGAAGCAGGCAGCTCGATCTCCTTGCGCGCCGATTCGCCGGCCAGGTCCTCGAAGTAGGCGAGCATCTCCTCCAGTGACTTTCCTTTGGTCTCCGGCACTAAATACCGAATGAAAATCACGTTCCCGCAACACAACGCGCTGAAGAGTAATAAAAATCCCACATCACCCAGCGCGTTCTTCAGCGACAGGAACGTCGCACTGACCAACGTCGCCAGCGCCCGGTTGCCCGTCGTCGCCATGGACATCGCCTTGCCGCGGATGCCGAGCGAGAACACTTCCGACGCGACGAGCCATATCCCCGGGCCCGCGCCCAGACTGAAAAACGTCACGTACAATGCGAGCGCCAGAATCGCTAGTGGTGCTGAGCTCGTCGCCGTCGCGATGGCCAACAAAAGTAGGCATCCTCCGCAGCCCGCGTTCGACAGCGTTAATAAAGGCTTCCTGCCTAGACGAGGGTGGTCAAAGAGCCTACCAGCCACCACAATGACCACAACCTTGATACATCCAATAAGTAATAATATCCCAAATTGCTTGGACCGCGCCTCGACGCCGGCGTCCGCCAGAATATACAAGATGTAGTACTGGATCGCTTCGATCGCGGTCGTCTGCTGCGACATCGCGACGCCGACGCCCACAATGAGCATGCGCTTCGTCGTCTTCGTCGGCCGCCACAACAACGCGGACCAGCCGTAGGCGTTGGACGCGTTGCGCTCTTCGGTAATTGCGGCTTGTATCGCCGCGACGACGGCGTCCACATCAGCATTAGGTGGATAGCACCTCCGCAGAATGAGCTTGGCCTCCTCGCTGCGACCCTTCGCTACGAGCCAGCGCGGCGACTCCTGCGCGGGGAGCGGGCGCGTCGTGGGCGTCGTGAGATCTCTGGTGGTGGGTCGCGTCGATGGCGTCGCGGCGGCGCCAGTCGAGACGCCATCGCCGCGTCAGGGGCGCACGGAAGCGACGTCGCGGCGATATGGGTGGCACCCGACGCCACCGACGCGAAGGCACGGCAAGCGCCGCGCCGCGAAGAGACGGACGCCGCGCGCGGACCGGCATGAACGTAAACACGAGCACCAGTAACACGGACGGTATAATAGCACCCAGCGCGAGCATCGAGCGCCATCCCACCTCCCCCGCGTTTCGGAATCCAAAACCGGACACGAATCCTAACAATATACCCACGTTCGTTGCGGTCTCGCTCCACGTCACTAATCTACCTCTATGCTTCGGGGGCGAGACCTCCGCGATGTAGACCGGGTCTATTGCTAGGCCGAGGCCGACGCCGAGACCGGTGACGAAGCGTCCGCACATCAATGACGCGTAGGACGTGGCCGCCGCGGTCCACAAAACTCCAATAATGAAGGTTGCAGAAGTACACGCGAAGGCCTTCCTCCTCCCGAAACCGTCCGACGCCGTGTAGGCTACTGCCGCGCCTAGCATTGCTGCTAAACCGAAGATGCCAAAAAATAATTCTAATTGTAGGTCTGATAAATTCATGCCTTCTCCTTTCGCTTGCAGGTGGGGGCCCACACCGCTGTTCACGCCGATGTCGTAGCCGAGGTTGCACGAATTTAACGCGGCGCACATTGCTAGTAAGACGACGTAGCGCGGCACGGCCTCTTCGTTGTCTGCTGGCGCCGTCGACGCATCGGTGGTGTCGGTCGGTGGCGCATCGGTCTCGGCCATCGGTGCGGGCCGAGCGCCCGCGTCGGCGGCGTCGTCGCGCATCGGTTTGCTCAGTGTTTCAAGTTTTTTTGGATTTAGAGATCGCTGCAGCACCTCCGGTCGTCAGCACTGCCTCTTATGACAGCCGGCTACACTATGCCAGCTACACAGGCTGCCTTGGCGCTCCCGCGCCCTTCAAATGCCACTCGGCAAAAATTTTAAAGAATTCGTGCTAGCGGCAGAGACACACTAGAGCTCCAGCCAGCCTGGACCAAAAGACCCCTCGCCAGCCCCTGCTCAACCATACGCGTCGACGTGAAGGTCGTGCATCGCGACCCTACAGCATTCCTCGCTGCGTGAGAAAACTGGGTGTGATTCCGAACCGGCACCAGCGAGTTTGAGGCCCTACATGCTGGTGGCCCGCAGAGTTGCCGTGCGCGCAGCGGCCGCAACAATGGCTTCCTATGCCGCCAACGATCGCGCTCGCAGCGACGGCGACGCGTCGGCGCGACGGGACGGTCCCAGGCGAGACGATGTGTACGACCATCCACCGTTCGCACTGCGCCAAGTGTCACAGACCGAGCGAAATGCTCGTTGGGGCGCCGCCGACGCGCCGTCAAGCAGCAGTAGTGACGACGACGACGACGGCAAGGTCGCTATCCTAAGACGCCACTTCCCGGCGGCGCCGCGGGCCGAGCTCCGACGGTTCGCCGACGCGCGGCCGGACGGCGGCGCCGTCGAATTCTATAGGGCCTACCAGCGCTGGCGTTTAGGTGAGGGCGCGGCCGAGACATTACAACGGAAGGCGGCACCGTTAGTAGTCGGTGGAGAGTCGTCGCCGTCGCGCTTCATCGCCCTTGGCGAGCGATTACATCAGGACGACGGCGTCGGCAAGCGAGGTGATCGTGTAGTGTTAGTAGAAGGTGCGCGCTTCGACCCGTCTCAAATCTCTTCCAGTAGTTACGCGGCGCACGTCTGCCGCACGTTGGATGCGGCCCTCGCTTCCGAGGATGCGGCGCAGTTTGTCGTTCTGATCGACTGTCGAGCCGGCAAGGGCTGGCCGAACCACGGGGCCACGGCCTTCTGGCCCTTGATACGAGAGCTCGCAAGGACGGTGCCGGACTGCTATCCCGAGCGGTTGCGGTGCGTGGTCGTCTACCCTTTACCGCGGTGGGCGCGCGTGTCGCTCGCGACCGCAACCTACCTATTACCGGCGAAGACGCGCCAGAAGGTCTGGGCCGTCGCCGGAGATGACTCGAGGAGGGCGCCGGTGCCCGAGGAGATTAGGGAGAAGGCTCCCCTCGTGTTGCAAGCGGTTCCAGGACATGCCGCCGACAGGCATGGCACCGTGATCGACAACGGTGTCATAATCCGTAGGGCGACATAGATGTATAAGTGTTAGTGTTTCCAGAGCCGGACGACGTCGGAAGCGCCCCAGCACGCGATTGTATTTAACGAAGGGTGCGCCTCCAGGCCGGAGCACGCCTCGCCGAGATCCAGGATTCGCTCCAACACGCCGGTCTGCGTCACGAACGCATACAGAAAACCCTCCTCGGTCACGCAGTAGACGTAGTCGCGCCGAGGCTGGGAACAACAGGCTGCCACAAAAACACCACCCGTCGTAGGCTTCCGCGGCGCTTCCGGTGGCAAAGCGCGCTGCGGTTCTGAGGAAGACGAGTAGGACGCGTGGACCTTGCCCGACCGCACATCTACTAAGATAGCTGTTGCTGATCGATCGACCACGACGAATTTGGGGCCCTCGACAGATAACAAAGAGACGACGGCCACGTTTCTTGAGGTCGAGGCGACTTCGACTCTATCTCGTTTAGCCAGGGCTTCGGGCGCCGTCAGCGACTGCAGCGACGACGCCGACCGCGCGTCCCACAACGTTACCCTTCCATCAGAGGCCGCCGATATGATTGTGGAGTCGGACACGAATCCCACGGAACAGGTAGAGCCCGACGCGGAGTGGGAGAACTGCTGGAGCTGCCGTCCCGACTTCAGGCCATGCGTACGAACGACGCCGTCCGCGCCACCGGTGATGAGTTGACTGCCGTCTCTCGACCATGCGATGCACGTCACGGCGCCCTGCTGGGCCTTGGCGAACTTGCGCGCGCAGGCACCGGTAGACAGCCGCCAGACCTTGAGAGTGCCGTCTCTACATCCCGAGGCTAACGCGGTGGAATCAGGAGATGCTTGTACCGCCAACACGGGCGCGTCGTGCAGCATGAGCTCGTCCTTGGCCTGCGTGCGGTTTCGCGGTCGCGCGGCGGTCTCGCGCCGTCGAGGCGACTCGTCTCCATCAGAGAGGCGGTCGAAGAAGAAGGACGCCGTGGCGCGCCTGGTACACGAGGTCCTGCCTTAATCTGCACAATGCGGGATCCCACACTTCGATGAAGCCGTCTGACGAACCAGTGATCAGCGCCGTGCCGTCTCCACTGAAACAGAGACATAGAGGCCGCGAGCCCTCGCCGAGCCGTAACGCGCCCGCTTGTCTGCGAGGTGGCTTCTCGGCCTCGAGCTTGGCCTTCTTTGCACTACCTCTAAAGATGTCGACGCGGCCTGCCTCACTTCGACCCGTGTGGGCTCTCCACCTGAGTGCAGCGCCGAGGAGTGATGCTAGTCTCTCGGGAGCCACCTCCCCAAGAGCGCTGTCGATGGTCTCGGACAGCTTTCTCCTCTTAACATCTCGGGAGTCCTCAGGGAAGGCGTCGACCGTGTCCTGGGCGCTATACGCCTGGCCCCCTAGTCGTTCAAACTCCGCGGATCTGGAAACGAGTCGTTTCAAAGCATCTAACCTTCCAGGATCCGTCTCGCGCAAATATAGCAGAGGTGACGCGCCCTCCAGGACACTTTTGGCCGCCTTGGGCTCTCTCGATGCCACTAATTCCCTTACTATATGTTCCCACAAATCACAGGACGCTTGTCGCGGCAGGTCCAACCCATTCAACCGCGGTAAGGCCTTCTCCCAGCGGCCCTTGCGCACGTCCTCGACCAATGACGCCTTATTTGTCAACGCGTTGAGTCTTACGTCTGCCTCTCTCTCGAGCTCGGCCGCGGCGCCCGTGAGGCCCGCCTCCCGGAGATACTGGAGGACCAATCTAATGACGTCGGCGTTGTCGATTTCTACGGTTCCGAGGCCGACTTCCATCGAGGTGGCCATTTGTGTCTGCGGCGGCGTGCGAGCGCTGGACCGTGTGGGGTGTGTTTTTGCTGCTGTTTCGTGCCGATTTCGTGGCCGCGCGCGGTTCGCAGTGTTCAGAACTTCTCCGAGAGACCGCTCTGGGCCGCTGCGCGTCTCGCAGGCGTGATATTGGCTGGCTAAAAAACCGCCGCTAGCGTCTTGTAAGACACTAGACAACCAGAGCTTTGCTCGAACGCCACGGTTGCGGGCTTTTCAGGCATAGCGTTGCGAGCTCTCCAGGAACTCTCACGCGTCCACCACAAGCCACTCCGCCTACGACGCCTGTCGCCGCACAAGAAGGACCCGCAGCCAGAGATGTCTCTGCGCGCCGCACGCCTCCTCCTCCAGCGCGCCGCGCCCGTAGGAGCTCAAGCGTGGCGCCGCGGGGCCCCGGCCCTAGCCCTCCGGTCCGCGCAGTCCCTGCGCGCCTTCTCGGACCGTGGCGCCCCGCCGCCGTCCGACACCGCACCGGCGCGAGGCGCCCCGCCGCCGAAGGAACTGGAGCCGCACGACTGGCACCCCGTCGTGGATCCGGAGACGCAGGGCACGTACTACCACAACCCCATGACGGGCCTCGTCACCGCGGTTGGGGTGGAAAAACCGGTGTGGGAGCCGGTAGAAGCGAACGGCGGCGTCTACTGGTGGAATATTGATACCGATGAGACCACGGCCATCGGCGAGCCGTGCCCCGCCTTACAACAGCAACCTGGGCAAGGTGGTCAGCTCCAGCAGCAGCAGGGCTTCGCGCTCGGCCAGCCCCAGCAACAAGGCGGCGGCATGATGTCGGGGCTGGGCCAGACGATGGCCCAGGGCATGGCCTTCGGCGCCGGTTCCAGTGTTGCGCATTCCGTCATGGGGTCGATGTTCGGCGGCGGCTCGTCGTCGTCCCATGAGCCGGTGGACCACAACTCGGGCGGCGGCGACGACTGGGGCGACGGCGGGGGGGATGATGATTGGGCCTAAACAAACTAACTGTCTCTTAGATGTGGCCAGTGCGCCGCTAGGACTTCATCGGGCGTCGCCTCGACGACGTCGTCGTCCGTGCAGAGCCAGACGGTCAGCGCCCACCGCGCCTCATCTAAACGGGTGACGGCGGAGACGTCGTGGACGAGGCGGTCGCTCCAGAAGCACACAAAGGTGCCCGGCGCCGGCGCGACCTCCGCCGTGACGACGTCCTCCGTCGCTTGATATGAGCGGAAGCGGCCCCCGTCGACATCTCCACTCAAATATAATATAGCGGTCAGCAGGCGCGGGTCATCACCACCGCCATTATCGATGTGTTTTGGGTACGACGCGCCGATCGCATCGCAGACCGCGAGTTTGTTCGTCTGGCGACTCGGCGAGAGCGGTCTCACTTGCCCGGCGACGCCCGACAGGGCTGCCGTGAGCGAAACCACGTATTCGGTCAGTCGCGGCGCCTTGTCATAATCGTTCCCTCCCAGAATTTGCGTCGACCGCACGCCCTCCTTGTCGTAGGCGATTGTATTTCCGGCTTCGTAGCGCGTCGACTGTGACGGCACTAGTGTAGGATCTAGGCGTCTTGCTTCCTCAGCCATCGCTTGTACACTCCTCTCGTCGAGGAACGACTCTTTTGCGAAGAAGTTGCCGTCGGCGAGCGCTGTTTGTATGCCGTCGGCGGCGCTCGCGACTGCATTTGAGACGGCGGCCATGTGCTCTTCCGGCGAGAGCGACCACGAGAGCGGCGCCCGCGGCGCCCGCGCGACGGGCGCGGGCGGCGGTGCCTTCTTGAGCTTCTTTTTCTTCTTGCTTTTCGTGAGGCCTCCTCTCCTCTTCAGCGCGAGCGGCTCGACGGTCGTCCCGAGCAGCAGCGCTGCGAGCGGCACCACGACCCGCATCGCTGGCTGGCGTGGATCCGCGACTTTATATGGGTCTGAATGACTGCACCAAGGTATTTTTTCGTGGCCCAGCGGTCGCGACAGCAGCGCTTGAACGTGAGAGCGCTGAGCTGAGCTAGCGGCATGTAAGACACTAGCGCACAGCGCCCCGAGGCTCTCAGGAGGCTTGCGGAGCCCGAGTGCGTCGCGGACGTCCAGCACAAGCCCAACTGACCCTTTCTAAGCGCCAGACGCCCGCCGCCACGGGACGCCGGCCGCCGCGGCGCCAGTGAGGGGCTGCCCCTACGCTCTCCGACAAAGGCCACAGTGTCACGCGGCCACTCTGCGAAAACGATGACCGACGTCCTGCCTCCGCGCAGCGACGACCCCTGGCTCCCGCACGGCGACGACGACGAACCGATAGACCACCACCGAGCGAACTACGTCTACCCGCCGCGCCCGTTACCGGGACCGGAGCCTGAACCGGCGCTCGCGTGGCGGCCGCACCCCGCCATACTGGCGCGGGCGCCGCCCTTCCCCTTCCGCAGTCGAGCGGGCCCGATTCCCGGAAGCTTCTGGGCCGTGCCTGGGCTCTTGATGGTCGGGCCGGATCCCCACTGGGAAAGAAGGGGCGCGCTGGAGCGGCTCGAGTACGACTTCCGCATCGCTGAGGTCGTGTCGGACGACGTCGTGGTGCAGGCGCGGAACCTGGCGCCGCACTTGGTCGAGGGACCTCCGGTCTACGTCTGCGGCCGGGGCTCGCGCGCCTTTGCGGCCTACCTCCTCGCGCAGCTCTACGACCTGCCCCTCGCGCTGGCGTGCGTCGATTTGGAACGGTTAGGCGCTGGGTGGGCGTCGAATTACTTGCGTGGTTCGGAGTGGCGCGCGCTGCTCCGGGCGTTTCCCGGAGAGGACGACGCGTCATCCAGCGACGTCTCGTCGTCCCTGGGGACCTGCGACGCCTCTTGGGTGGATGATCCCGACGACGGCGTTGTGCGTGCGGCGTTCGAGGCTGGCGTCGCGGCGCAGCGGAGCGCGTGGTACGCGCGATGCGTCCGGTAGGAGTAAGAATGGAACAAATTCCCGCTACTCAGAGGGTCGCTTATTGAGCAGCCCCTCTAGCACTGACCCGAGTCCGTCCGCGGGGCGCCGGAAAACCCGTTTTGTGAGACCAATTATATTTTTTGGCACGCCGCCGCGGCGCGCATACCGTCCCCATGGCTACGGACGACGTTGCATCGATGACGAATGATTTCGCCTCCATGACCACTGGCGCCAACTACTTGCCGGACGAGCTCCTGGCTCGTATTTTGGCCCCTGTCGACCTCAAAAGCCTCGTCCAGGCGCGCGCCGTCTGTAAATCCTGGCGGGCCTCGGTGGAGAGCAAAGAGTTGAGCGACCTGCGCGCGACGATGGACACCGAGCCGCTCATCGCGCTGATCGGCGGGAGCGACTATTTTCCAGGCACCAGCGGCAACATCTCAACGAAGATCAGCTTTAGGATTGGCCTCGGTGGGCCATGGTTCGACGGCCCGCCGATGCCGGAGCCGCGCTATCTCCATGGCGCCGCGGCCGTCGGCCGCAAGATATATGTCGTGGGCGGTAGTCACAAATTTGGTGAGGCGCCCGAAAGGACGCTCGTCTACGACCTCTGGACGGCGACGTGGAGCGAGGCGCCGGGCGTGCCGTGCCCCCGCCACGCGCCCATCGTGGCCGCGCTGCCGGATGGGCGCATTATGTGTGCGGGCGGTATTGGTCAGACCGGACCCGAACTCCGGTCGTGCGAGATCTTTGATCCGAAGACGGGGCTCTGGTCGGCCGGCGCGCGGCTGGGTCACCCGCGCTGGCGGGCGGTGGGCGCTCTGCTCGAAGGTCAGCTCGTCGTCGCCGGCGGCCAGGCGTTCGGCGACGAGAGCAATACTGTGGAGCGCTACGACGCGGCCGCGGACCGCTGGGAGTTCCTCCCGCCCGTCAAGGGCAAAGTATTCGGGGGCTGTGCCGCCGCGGTCGGCAGCCACCTGATGATCTTCCACGGGCGACATTGCTACCTTTATGCGCCGCGGTTACTCGCCGTTCGGCGTGGGCGCACGTACGAGGAGCCGACCGTGCTCCGCCGCGTCGAGAAGAGCGACGTCACGCCGGATCGCGTGAGGGGTTGGAATACTGACGGCGGCCTTGGCATCTGCCGGCCGGTCGCGGTGCGCGGCACGAAGGGACGGATCATCGGCGACTACGGCGCGTTCGAACAGTGTAGCGCAGGCCGCACCGGGCCCTTCGACATCCTCGTCACGGACGACGAGCAGCACCTAGAGAAATGGCTCGGCAAGTGGTGGACGGAGATTCGAGAATTGCCGAGCCATTTCTCGCACGCGCGACCGTCGCAGAAGAAGGAGGAGCGCTACGTGGTGGAAGTGGACCGCGCGCCGACGGCCGACGACCTCCGGGCGCTGCAGGAGGGCGTGACGACTCCTCTCTCGGGGGTCAATTACGAGCACTCCACCTGTGTCGTCGTCGGGGACCAGATTATGGTGATCGGTGGGACGAACGACCGTCACGGAGGGGCAAACAAAGGAGAATCTTTGGAGGACCAGCTCGCGCATTTTCGAGAAAATGATGTAGGTGGTGATCGTATGAATCAAATGGTGCTGGAACACGTCAGGAAGACCTATGAAGCCGAAAAGTTCAACTACTGCTGGCGCATCGAGCTGGATGCGGACGGAGACATGCACGAACTCACGTTCGGTCGGGCCGGCGCACGCATCTCGGAGCAGTCGGAGGGCGCCGCCGCGGTGGTCGTGTACCTCTAGATAAGACACACTATTATTAATCGTCCGGAATCTTCCCCAGCGAGTAGTCGCAGTCGCGCCCCCCGAGCGGCGCCAGGAGCCGCGCAAAGTCGGACGTCGGGTCGCCGTCGCCCTCGAGCTTCGACCGCAGGTCGAAGGACCGGTTCCGGAACGCCTCGTGGCGCAGGGCCTGGACCATGGTCTCGGCGACGTCGTCCCTAGGAATCGTGTTCGTCCCCTCGCCGTCGACCATGACGTCGTCGACACCTACGACTAATTCGCGGCAGCCGCCCGGCTTGTCCACCAGGCCGCCCGGATGAATGATCGTGTACGTGAGCCCGCTCTCAATCAAATATTGCTCAGCTTTCCGTTTCCACTGGAGGATGTTCCCTTTTGTCGCAGGGTCGCCGTCGTCCCGCCCCAAGCCGTTGAGCATGTGATCAGGATTTGTCCCGCCCATGCTCGAGCAGATCACGACATGGGTACAACCACACTTTTTCGCGGCGTCAATCTGATTCCTCTGGCCGAGCCAGTCCACTTCATAGGGCTGGCCCTTCGGGAAGCCGAGCTTGGGCCGGCCCGTCGCCGGGTCAATCACACCAGTGTCGAACTCGAGCGTCGCGACTTTCGCCGACGAGCCGATGAGCAACGCTTCGCAGCCCTCGAGCGCTTCGAGGATCGCTTGTGCATCAGTCACGTCGGCGACGCGCACGTTGTCCGCTGGCACTCCCTTCTCGACGAGCTCGTCCCGCCTTTGCGCGTTTCGTACTATTCCTATCGGGTCGAACTCGTCGCGTCTCGCTAACATGCGCCGGAACGCGAGCTGGCCCGTCTGGCCGCCGGCGCCCGTCACGGCGACGCGTCGCGGCGCCGCGGCGGCGGCTGCGGCCACGAGTGAGGCGAGGAGCAGGCGCTGCATGGCTGCGTGTCTCTGTCGCAGTCGTGTGGTGCTGCTGGCAGCGCGGAGAGCACTCCTGCTCTCCCGCACAGTCTGCAGCTTGCGGCTGGTTCGCTGCGAGTGCACTGAAGCGCAGCGATGACGATATCACCTGGGGCCGTAAAATCCAACACTTGGAGCAGCGCTGCGATGCCTGGAGGCCCAAAACTGGCCGACCATGAGCGCGCGAAACCCGTGCGAAATTCCGGCCGCGCTCGCTCCCCCTTCTTGACGGGTCTGGCGGGGCGTTCAAGGGTAGCATACGCCGTGTGGAGCCCTCTAACCTCCGCTCTCCGGCGCTCGAAAGTTGCATTTGCAGCGACTCGTCTTTGCGTCAAGTGAGGCGCAAGCATCGTAGAAGTTGCGTATCGACGCAGCAGCAGCGCACACGCACCGCTGAAAAGCGCGCAAGAGATTGCGCGGACGCAGCAAAGCCAAGCGATTGCAGCAGCAAAGCAGGCAAAGCGAGCAGCACTCAGGCAGCGCGAAGCAGGCGCGTCGCAGTAACAGAGACAACAGCAGCAGTTAAAACCATGTGCGGCATCCTCGGCATCTTCGACGTCGCCCCGGGCACGACGCAATCTACGCTACGAGCGAAGTTGATAGAATGCGCGCGACGCATGAGACACCGAGGTCCTGATTGGAGCGGCTACCAGCTCATCTCCCAGGGCAAGGACAAGCAGGAGCTGGGCGCCGGCCAGCACGCGTCGTCCGAGTCCCTCCAGCGACTGTGCATTGCCGAGCATGGCGTCCGGGGCGCCGCAAAACATGCGATCGCGCATGAGAGATTAGCCATCATCGACCCCGAGAGCGGCGCGCAACCGTTGTTTGCGGCCGAGTGCAAACAGGCCGGCATCGAGGAAGGGAGCATCATCGTGGCCGCGAACGGCGAGATTTATAATTACAAGGAGCTGTATGAGTTACTGAAGAAGGAGGGCGTGCCCTACGAGCCGAACACCGGTTCCGACTGCGAGGTGCTCATCCCGCTCTACGTCAAGTTCGGCCTGGAAAAGGCCTGTAGCCTGCTGAGGGGTATGTTCTCGTTCATCATCTACGACCAAAGGACGGGCTTTTATGGAGCGGCTAGAGATCATATTGGTATTACATCATTATACTTGGGCAGAGGTAGTGACGGGTCGGTCTGGATCGCCTCGGAGATGAAATCGTTGGCGAGAGACTGTCCTGACGTCGAACAATTCAAGCCGGGCCACTGCTGGCGGAGCGACACGCAGCAGTACGCCCTGTGGTACGCCCCGACGTGGCGGTCGGGCGTCTTGCCGTCGACGCCCTGCGACTTTACGAAATTACGGGAGGCCTTCGTCAAGGCCGTCAGTGACTCAGCGTCTTCGTTGAACTTGAACCTGACGCGGTCGCGGCGATGGCGTCCTCGCGATGCCACGATGGCGTCGTCATGATCACACGAGAGAGTCTACGCGCCTCGTGACGGCGTCCGTGCCACACAGGTGGAGCGACGCATGATGTCCGACGTGCCGTGGGGCGTCTTGTTGTCTGGAGGTCTCGATTCTTCCCTCGTCGCGAGTGTCGCCCAGAGAACACTCACGCGCAAGGCGCAGGGCGAAGGCGCCAGTTCGTGGATGTCGAAGCTCCATAGCTTCTCCGTGGGACTGAAGGGCTCGCCGGACCTCGAAGCTGCTCAGAAAGCGGCAGACCACATCGGCACGCAGCACCACCCCTACACGTTTACTCTACAAGAAGGCTTGGACGCGGTGGCCGAGGTCGTCCATCATCTCGAGACGTACGACGTCACGACCATCAGAGCGGCCACTCCCATGTTCCTCATGTCGCGCAAAATTAAAGCCATGGGCGTGAAGATGGTCCTGTCGGGCGAGGGCGCCGATGAAATACTAGCAGGCTACCTCTACTTCCACAAGGCCCCCAACAAGCAGGAGCTCCACGCCGAATTAATTGACAAAGTGGCCCAGCTCAACATCTACGACTGCCTCCGCGCCAATAAGAGCACGATGGCCTGGGGCGTCGAGGCTCGGGTACCCTTCCTCGATGCCGATTTTTTGGAAGTGGCCATGAACATCGACCCGAAAGAAAAAATGATCGACGTGAGCAAGGGCCGCATCGAGAAGTACATCCTGCGCAAGGCCTTCGACACGCCGGACGATCCCTACTTACCAGCAGACATATTATGGAGGCAGAAGGAGCAGTTTAGTGATGGCGTCGGGTATGGCTGGATCGACGCGCTCCGAGATCACGCCGACGCGCAGGTGTCGGACCACCAGTTCGCGGTGGCCAAACATCGCTTCCCGTACAACACGCCGGCGACGAAGGAAGCGTATTACTACCGCCAGATCTTTGATGGGATCTACCCGTCGCTCGGGGCGGCGCGCACGATCCCCGAGGGCAAGTCCATTGCGTGTTCTACCGAAAGGGCATTAGCTTGGGACGCGTCGTTCCGGGGCCGGGCGGACCAGAGCGGTCGTTCGGTAGGCGTCCACACGGCGGCCTACGACGCGTCCTTCGACGTCGACGCGGACAAGAAGAAGGCCGGGCGGGACGACGTGAACTCGGTGGGCCTCGAGTTCTAGGTTTCGGGGCGCTGCCTCCCCGTGTACACAAGATACCTTGCTTATCACTGTAGTAGGGGCGCGCGGCGACGGCGTCTCGGGGCACGCGTCGTATTTCCGTACGGTGCTAGGACTCGTGGGTGGCGTCCGTGCCGTGGGTATTCTAAGACAGGTGCCTCCCCCCAGGGGCTCCGCCCACTAGTCCTAGCATTGTACTTCCAAGCCGTGCGCGAGCTCAGGGAGGGTAGGTGTAAAAAGAAACAGCACAAGTTCCCGAAGCCCAGGGATGCTTGCTAGTGTCTTTATGCCGCTACCGGATTATGCTGAGCTCGAACGAGCGTCTGCGGCTCCAGGGCGTTCTGATCCCCGGGAGGCTCTCCTGCAGGCTTACCTCGGCTTGTTGTGTCGCTTTGGCTCACACCCCACACGACGAAATCGCTACGCCTCCGGACACGCCACTAGTCATCCGAACGGCTCCTAGTACCTCGTTCACGGCTCGGACCGATCGCCCATTTTGCCCACACGGCGGGAGGACGATCTGGCGCGGTGCCTAAAATGGCGTCAATTAGGGTGCCGCTGGCCGAGCAGCCAGTGCATAGCGTCGCGCAGCGAACGCCCCGATATAACTCGGATGAGAAGAGCGTCTGCGACTTGCTAGAACAATACAAATGGCTAACATGCCTTACAACCCAGAAGGAGGGCTGGACTGCCCGTCTCAAGCTCGGGGACCCCTGGACGAACAAATACCTATGCTGCGTGTCGGACGAGCAAGACCTGCCGCGCGCGCTGCAGAAGACCGCCGAATTCAGCCGCGAGCAGCTCCGTTTATTAGCTCATCCCAAGGGCCGCGGCGAGGCGCTCGCCCTCGGCGTCGCGAAATGGCAGCGCCTCCAGACTGATGGGCCCCTTGCCACTACTTTGGCATTCCTTCTCGCCGCCCTGTGGGCGTTTGATAATAAACTAGACCTGCGTTACGTCGACGTGTCGCGCCAGCCGTTCAATGTGCGGATATTGAAGGCGTACGTTCTCCAGGGCCTCTTCCAGCAGAAGGAGGACTTCTCGTTCGCCCGCGGCGCGAAGCTGGAGGCCTGGGCGGCCACGGCCGAGGACGTCCCCGGCGCCGCCGATATATCTGGATGTGGTCGAGACGCTGTCTTAATGGCGGGGCTCGACTCGAAGGACTGCAACGGTCCCGGGTGCAAATTCGGCGGGCAGCGCGACCAGGAAACGATCGATCAGCTACGCAACGAGGAGCGGCGGAGGCAGTACGGCGCGGCGACGGTGAAGAAGGCATTGGAGGCGTGCGGCCCCCTCTCGTATTTGCGCAGCGACCGGAACCTGTCTTGTTCAAATACCGCCTTTTCCTATGACTATGGAAATATGATCCGGGCGGCTCTCGACGATCCGCGGAGCCTCGGACTGGAATTGCAGCTCGAGGACCCGATGTCGGGGAAGATTTTGTACGTTTCTGTGTAGAACTTCCACTTCAAGTCGAGACGCCATCGACGCGACGCCGTCGATGCGACGCCATCGACGCGTCGACGCGACGCCATCGTCGCGTCGACGCCGTCGACGCGGCCGCGAATTTCGCGACGGCGTACGCCTCACGCAGGCCCACGGCTTACAAGATTGATAGGGAGTTGTTAGTGAAGGTGCAGACCGCGGGCGACGTCATGCTCGCGCGGCTCTCCCGCGAGCACCCTGGCCTACGAGCCTTATTCAGGGACGCGGGGCGACTCGCCGCCAATTTACATCTGGATGGTTTGCGGCGCGACGGCGACGGGCAGTCGGAGAAGGTGCCGCACGCCCGCGGCTTGAACACCCTGTTCCGACCGGATCGGTTCTTTTTGTTAGATGGCTACGTCACCCACCGGTCGACGCTCTGCAGTAGCATCTGTTTCGTCGTCCGCGGCGGCGACGGGACGTTACTCGTAAAAGGCCAGGACATCACCGACGCCCGCCTCGCGAAGGCGCGCCGCGCGTTGTATGATGTAGCCGGCGGGTCCTCTCGGGGGCCGGGGTACGTCGAGCAGCTCAAGAGGTCCGACGAGTGCCGGGACGCCATCGCGGCCTGGCGGGCCACGGGCGCGCAGACGCCGAAGCCGACGGTGTCGCACGGGCCACGGCCGCGTCGCATTGTTGCGATCAAGATCAAGTTGGACGGTCGAAGGATCATGGGCTGGGCCAAGTCTGCTTCAGTTAGGTTGGATATTTAGTGTGCGTCATATGAAATCTTGTTACGTAATCAGGGGTCACTCTCAGGATCAGGCTCAGGCTAGTTACGTCGCGAGGCTGAGGCTAGGCTGAGGCTGAGGCTAGTTACGTCGCAGGGTTCCCCGTACCCCTCCCGCTCCCCCCGGGCCCACCCGTCCGGCTGGACTAGGACGCAAGGGCTAAGGCTAGTTGCTAGTGTGTCACTACGCTACCTCAAGTTCGCCTTGCGTCTTGCGCGCTCTACACGAGGAACGCCCAGTTTGAATAGCTGGAGCTCTGGGGGATCGCTTATAGGTCCCTGAAGAGCTGACAGCACTCAGAGCGAGCTCGCGGCGCCTAAGCGAAGCGCGCGGGCAAAGTACCCCTACCTCGGTCAAAGGCAGCTAAATGCCCCCGCGAGCCGCCCGGAGCGCGCAGAACGGCCACGCGCAGCAGCAGAACGGCCACGCGAACGCCGACGGCGGCCCAAGGATGCCGCCGCTGCGCCGCTCGGAAAGCTCGGCGAGCGACTCGAGCCTGCCCGACCTCGCCTCGGCGTCGTCGAGCGAAAGCGAGTCCGACCATGAAGGCGCGGACCCGCGGCCGCCGCGCCGCGAGCCGCCGTCCGCGCCCGCGGTGGCCGTCGCGCCGGAGCCCGAGCCCGAGCCCGAGCCCGAGCCCGTCATACAACCGGAGACGAAGCCCGGCTGCCGCCACGGCTTTATGCGATTGGAGGACTGCGAGACCTGCCAGGCCATCCAGCAGTCCGAGGCGTGTCCCCCAGAATTGAGAGAAAAAAAACGCAAGGACCAGGAGTACAGGGACCAGTGGCGCCGGGCGCGAGTCGTCGTCGCCGAAAGAGCACTGGCTGAGCGAGACCAGACGCTCGGCAAGTCATCCAATAGTTTAGCGGCCGCCGCCAGAGTAGCGAGAAGAGCGTTAGATGAGCTCCACTTCCGGTCCACCGCGAACGCGTCAGAACGAATCGGCATGGACGGGGATACCGAGGTGACGGAGATCTTGCAGCGAGCGCGGGACGGTACTAGTAAAGATAAGGACGGCGGCGTCGTGAACTGCGCGTTGGTCTTCGCGGCCCATTACGGTTTGTTAGATCACGTCATCGACATCCTGAAAAAGTGCCCGCCCCACGTCATCCCCGCTCTGTTGAATTGCACGGCGTCGTTCTACGAACCGTTGGCGCCACTCGCACCAATCTCGTTGGTCAAGGGCGTCGTCGTCTCGAAGGACTTCCACGGCGAGCACGCGAACAAAGTGTTCTGGCCCATGACGTCCGACAAATTTGTGGAAGACACACCATTAGTTGCGGCAGCTAGACGAGACAACACGGAGGTGTTGTTAGCTTTGTTGCATTGCGGCGCGGATCCCGACGCGGCGGCCGCTTGCGGCGCGACCGCTCTTGGTGTTGCGTGTGTTTCTGGTTTTGCTGATGTAGCTGAGGTCCTATTAGGACACAACCTACGATATGCAAATGCCCAGGGCGACCCTGTGGGCGGGATCAGACCTTATTTCAGAACCGAGGAGCCGTACGAGAAGGCCGCGGACGTGACAGGAGATGTGTACAGATGTGTCCGCTCGCTACGACTCTGGGACGAGGCCCACGGCTACGCCGAGTCCCTGGGACCCTTCGAGAAGACCATGTCGGACAACAAGCAGTACTTAGTATCAAGACGTGTCCCTACCAAAGAAACGGCCCTGAAACTGCTGATTGCGCACCAGGACCCGGGCCAGTGCCCCGCCGTCTATAGTGGGAGGTGGCGCGCGGATCCGGACTTGCCCTGTACTATAGAAATGAAGCACGTTGGGTTAGCCTTGGCGCGGACGTCGGACCAGACGCAAGCTACTGCCGGGCAGCGAGTCTCCGGTGCGCCTCTCGAGTTAGCTGTCCGCAGTCACAGTTTGAATGTGATCGAAGTCCTACTGAGAGCGGGCGCGGTGGTCGAGGGCAAGGTCATGGACGGCACGCCGCTGTTCAAGCGCGTCGACAAGACCTGCTTCTCGCGGGCGCGCGACGACGAGATCGACACGGAGTTTAAGGCCGACGAGCCCTGCCACAAATTTATAAGCGAGGTGCTCGGGGCTATCTTATCTCCCGAGATCTGTCGGATCTTGCGGACGCTCGCGGGCCAAGGCCCGAACCGCCTCAACTTCGAGAAGCAGCGGCGCGAGGAGCTCATGTACCGCCTGGGCTGCCTGATGGAGCTCGGCTTCTGCATGGGCCCCGACTTCCGGGGCAACAAGAGGGAAGAAAAGGCCGAAAGGTACGGCCCCGAGGACGGCCCCAAGACGAGCAAGAAATTTAGTGAGTTAACAGATGCGGACATTACCCGGCAGCGCGAAGCGCTGGAAAAAGCTATTAGGGCCTGCCATTTGTACGCTTATGAACTGCGAGGTGATAGTGTTAATTTACCGTCTTCCAAGGATGAATGTGGGAAAGCCAGAGAGATGAACAAGGCCTTCTCGAAGAACAAGGAGCTGACTGGTTCGGATATGGCGAAGACCTGTCTATTTTTGGCGCTGGCTCGGTTGGCTCGATTGGCCGCGAAGCAGTTGTCAACGATGCAGACGTCGGAAGGTCTGCGGCAAGGTGCCGACTACGTCCAGGATTTGGTCGAGGCCGCGCAGAAGGCGAAGGTCTCACACGGTTTCCCGGAGAAGCAGCTGCCGCAGTTCGACGCGGAAGTCGTGATTTGGGCCAAAGCGCTCTTAGCGAAGTGTGATGAAGCGAGGGCGCGGGCGGACACGTTACCGGCCGGTGACGATGCCGTAGCCATCGCCGAGGTCGCTAGATTCTACACAGCCGAAGCGGGTTTTGACAAGATCATGACGTCGTCCGAATTGTTCAGGCTGGGGCTGTGCGAGGGGCGGGCCGCGGGCTTTATTAATGCGGACGACGCTCGTAAACAGGCTAGGGAAAAGGAGGCCTGCGCGCGCGACCCGGACCCGAAATTGTATCTGTCCTACTACGAGAAGCCGTGTTATGGTCCTGATGCCGAGCGGCCGGCGAAGGGCTTTGATAATGTGTCGGCGCCGTCTTCACCTGTTATTCAGCCGACGCCCGCGCCGGCGCCGCCGCGGGACGAATCGTTGACGGCCGAGCAGCAGCGCTTGAACGACGCGTTGCACGCCGAAGATCCGGAGGCGAAAGCAGCTCGAGAAGCGAGAGAGGCCCAGGAGGCCGCGGAAAGGCAAAGGGTCGCCGCGCGCGCCGAGGACGAGCGCCGCCGTCCGTGTACAGCGCAGAAAATGACCTTGAACGTGGCTTCGACGCGATGCGACGTCGCCGCGACGCCGTCGTCATGATCACGTGAGAGTCTACGCGTTGCGCGAGAGAGCCGTCGTTCCCGCGCAGGCAAAAAAGAAGCGAAGGACAAGGCGAAGCGCGAGCAGCAGGAGCGCCAGCGCGCCGAGGATCTGAAGCGGAAAGCCAAGCGCGAGCGCGAGGCGGCGCGGAATCGGGAAAGGGACCGGCGCCTCGCGTTGTGGGATCCCGCGCGCAAGGCCTGCGCCAAGGCCCTGCAGAAGGACGCCGAGACCCTTACGAGAGCACTACCGTGGGCGGACTTGGCGGCGCATTATGGCGTCCAGGAGGCGGCGGACGCGCAACTGCTGCGCGACGAGACGCCTTCATTGGGTGCGCCCAATGCACTCAATCCTAAGGGACAACACGCCGGCACGGTCTATCCCGTGGTCGAGGATGAGGGCCTGTACGCCTCTTCACAACCTTTGCTCGTCGCCGATCGCGTGCGGGACTGGTACGCGTCCCGAGCCAACGCCAATTGGCGCAAGCGACTACTGGAGGTGCTCGCAAGCTTAGCCAAAGGGAGCGACGGGTCCTGGTGCCGTGCGGCCCATCCTCAGTACAAAGAATTTGGTGTTCGAATTGCACTGTTAGATGACACGATGCGCCTCGTCTGGAGCGCGACCAAAGCGTCTGATGGTGGATTACGGTGTCTCGCCTGGTGCTGCGTGCGCACTGGGAGTGTCGATTCGACGTGCGAGGGCATCAAGCAGGCGCTCGACCGACGCGCTTCAGATAAAGGTAAATTAGTAGAGTCGTCGGAACCGTATCTCACGCTCGACGATGATGATGTGTTGATCCACCCCGGCAAAAACAGACCCATGAAGCTCTGGAGCTGTCGGGTTGATGTGCTCGAGAAGATGGCCCAAGGGTCACCGCCCGAGAAGTGGTCTCCCTCGCTACGACTGACGACGAAAGAGCAAGCCGCGGTCCAGGAGGCGAACGCGCCGGCCATGGTCCTCGGGCGGAGCGGCACGGGCAAGACCCACTGCATCGTGGCGCGCATCGCGCGGGACTCCCGGCAGAACCCGTCTGAAAAGTTACTATTCGCGACGCGGAGTAGGAAACTGAGGAAACATGTCGAGGAGGCCGTCCGAGCGGCGTTGCTCGACGACGAGGGGAAGGCGCCGTCACCGCAATCCGTAGCGAAGCCGACGTACCTGGATGCTACGGCCAAATCTACTGCCGACGATTCGTTACTCCCGTTCCTCGAGGCGCAATTGAAGCCGTTACCTGCCTCAAAGCCGTGGCACGACCGCACGCCGGTCCGACGTAGAAGGTTCTACCGGAAGGACGACGTCGATGACAACGAGAGGAGGACTGGAGTATTGTATAGAGCCAAGCGCGACGCGGGCGAAATTACGGTAGAGGATTCCTCCGATGATGATGATTCCGACACCGATAGTGATGAAGATATTCGACGGCCGCAGAAGGCCACGTGGGACGCCTCCAAGTACGTCGACTTTGCGACCTTCGAGCGCTGGCACCGCGAAGTGTGTACTGTTACTAATAAACCGGAACCAGATACGTGCTGGACCCAAATTAAATCTTTCTTGAAGGGTTCTATCGGTGCTCTGTTCTCGGGAGAACCGTTGACGGAACAGCAGTATTTATCTGAAGCTTGGGGCGGCCGCCGAACGCTGGGCATGGACGTGGGTCTGAGGAAGCGGGCCTACCAAGTGTTCAAATCTTATGAAAACTATCTGAGTGACCAGGAGAGGTGGGACGCCTGCGATCGCGAAGTGGCGTTGGTGCAGCGAGCTTTACGAGACGGCTTCGTCGCCAGGAGCAATGCACGCCCAGCACCATTTGATCGCGCGTATGTGGACGAGGTCCAGGACATGACGCAAGCTTCATTAGCTGTGTTACTCTTAGCTGTGGGCGGCGATCCTGAGAGGTTATATTGCTGTGGAGATACGGCACAAGCCATACAAGATGGAGTAGCATTTAGATTTCAAGACCTGCGGCAGGCCATCTTCGAGCTGCGGGAGAAGGTCGCTACTATGTCTAAACAGAACGGCTTCAAAGGTGCTAGAGCGCTCAAGCTCGAGAACAAGACTACTACTGTTAACGCGGGTAGTGCCTCGAAGCTGCGGAAGCTCACGAAGAACTACCGAGCGCACGCTGGTGTTTTAGGTGCGGCCAACGCTGTGTTGGACTTGGTGTATCACGCCTTTCCTACAGCGGTAGACAAGACCGATTCGGATACGGGAGTAGCCTTGGGCCCTAGACCCATTTTCGCGACGTACAAGGAGTATCTCAGAGATGTGGATAGTCGAGCGGTGTTGTTATTCAGGGCGGACGCGTTGGAAGCGGCCCAGCGGCTGCTGAGCGAGGAGTCGGAGGAGGTCGCCCGGCGCCGCGCGGAGGTGCTGCGCATCGCGGACGAGGAGTCCGCCGCGGCCGGCGGCGTCGCCGACGCGGCCCAGCGCTACGACCAGCGAAGGCGAGACTTGTCAGAGGCGGCCGAACAGCACGCCGACGAGGAGATGCGGAGCCGCAAGGCCCAGAAGAAGGAGTATGACGACGCGCGAAGGGAAAAGGACAAGCGGACGAAGGCCCTCGCTAAAAGACGCAAGGAGTGGAAGGACGACGAGAGGAAGTTACGTACTGAGGCTCGAGAAGCGCTGCAGCGGCGGGCGACGCGCGACTCTCGTTTAGTGCAGAGGGCGACGAGTCGGCGCCAGCAGGACGAAGATTCTGGAAGAAACCGCGCCCAACAGGAGCACCAAGCCGCGCAGAAGGCCGCCGGTGCTGCTGCGCAGAGAGAATATATGCAGCGCGCCGACGAAGCTTATAACCGGGCGGTCGAGGAGCACAGGCAGCTCGTCGCGAGTGCCGACCAGGATTATGAAAGAGCTAGAGCGGAGCACGCCCGACGACCGCCGCAAGTAGCGGGCCCGCCGTCGGTCCAGGAATTAGTTAGACAATTTGTTGGGGATCGGGGCTCTGCCGACGCGCTCTGCGCGACGATGGAGGCTGAAGGTGTTGATAGTGAAGTGTTGACGATCATGCAGCCCGACGACTTCGGCGAGCTTGGTATTAATGCGAGTTTAGCGAGGCAGCTCCAGGACGCGGCGCAGCGACCGGCTGCTGTTCGGCCGCCGCCGCCGCCGCCCCAGCGCCGGACGGTGCCCCCGGCTCCTAGAAAAGAGGACTACGCTAGTAAAGATGACATGAAGGCGGCGGTCAGGCGCGCCAAGAACAACGTCGAGAGACTCGCGGCCTTCGAGGCGAGACACGCGCCAAAACCTCTCCAAGCTTACATCGAGGACGAGCGCGCGAGACCGACGACGGAGGTCGAGGTCGACGAGGCGCGAGCCGCGCTGCCGCCCACACCTACCGAGGACGAAGCGATTCAGAACGTCCCTGACGAGGGTCCCGCTGTTGTTCTACCCCCACCACCGCTGCCGCACTCGAAGCAGGAGCGCCAGTTGGTTATTGATGCGTACTTAGATGACCAGTGCAAGTCGATCACCGACGAGGTAAGCCTCGCGGACATCAAGAAACATAAGAAGATGGTCAGAGATCGTAGGAAGAAGGCCAAGAAGGGCCAGTCTACGGAAGACGACGTCGACGAGGCCCAGAAGGCTATTCGTCAGACTGCTCTCAAGAAGCTGCGGGACGAGATCAAGAAGGACCGGAGAGACAAGCTCAAAGACGTGTCCGGAGCGTTCGAGTGCGCTTCACTGATCGAGAACGAAGAGTACGGTAGTAGGGCCTTCTCCGTCCAGGAGTTCAAGGGTCTCGAGCGAGATGCGGTCGTGCTGGTGGACTTCTTCGGCAGCGCGCGCGACGAGAAGATGAAGGGGTGGAGGGAGCTATTGCGAGCGGCGCGCGGCGATGGCCTGCAGGGCATCAACCACAAGGTCGGGGAGAACCGAGCTCTTGAGAGAGATCTGAAGGTGTTGTACACGGCTCTGACGCGCTGCCGGTCGAAGTTAGTTGTCTTAGAAACGGACACCGTCGGCGCGGCCAAGGATGCGAGCAAGTTCTTCCTCCAGGCCGCGGAGCAGGGTCGCAGTGCCTTAGCGGAGAAGGCGGCCCCTCGCGTTGGTGGCGAGGACTCGGACGAGGATGGCGAGACGGTGCGTCCTGTTTCCGGCGACGAGTGGCGCAGTCGCGGAGCATTGAACGCTCGCGTCGCCGCGGAGGCCGCCGACGACCCCATGGCGCCGCCGACCCAAGCCAAGGCTAGGTTAGCCCAAGCGAAGACGTGTTTCGCGAACGCGCAAGATGCGGACCTCAAAGCTCGGTGCGACGTTAGTACGGAGTGTTTGGTGGAGTTGCGGTCCATCCGAGCTTTATTAGAGTTAGCCTCGGACAAGTCCGGCGACGAGAGGTTGAGGTACACGAAGGACGCCGAATCCAAAGCTTCGGCCATGGTTAAAAGAGCTGTGGAAGCTTTGGCGATTGATGATGCTTTAAGGGTGCTCAAGCTGTTCCCCGAGGACGAGGTCATCAAGGGCGCCGTGGAGAAGGTCGAGGCCGTGCGCGACAAGGCGCTCAAGGAGGCGTCGGAGGTCTAGTGCCCGATTAAGTTGATGTAAGCATACAATAAGGTTAGGATAAGGATAAGGGTGTCGTGACTTGTTGTCCTCGACTTGGGGGCGCGCCAGAAGGGAGTCGTCGCGACCTAGTCCTCGGCCATGTCCGCCGCCGTGTAGAGCGCTTCCATCCCCTGAAGGAGAGGAGACACGCGCCCAGGCGTTGAGACGGCGTGCGTACCACATGGCTCCAGCCTGGCGGGGAAGCCGTTGGGCGGCGTGACGAGCCGCGCCCGCTTGAGGCGCGCGGGGCTCGTGAACGCCGAATGGAAGCCGCCGAACTTGGTGGGGTCGCAGTTCACGTCGACGAGGGCCTCGGCCGCGGCGCGGGCGGCTTCCGCGGCGGCGGCGCGGTCCGCGGCGAGGGCCGCCGTCGCCGCCGCGGCGCGGTCCGCGGCATGGGGATCAATAAAGGTATGCACAAGCGCCTCGCGGGCGGTGATGCGCGCGCTCGGTTCGTACGCGAGGCAGCGCTCCAGAAAGTCTGTGGCCGGTCCGGCCAGCGCCGGCGACACGCCTCCCACAACGCCCGCGTGATCCTGGACGACAATGCGTCCCACCACGCGCTCGAGGCGCAGCGCGGGCCAATTCGGAAACACCGGCGAGTAGTGCGGCAGCCGCGAGACTCCAGGCCAATCATAATCGGAGGGCGTTCCCCGGACCCGGAAGATCTTGTACAGCTGGTCAATTTCCGAATCGCCGGGGAACAGCGGCGTCGGCGCGCCGTGCACGGTCAGGGGCGCGGCCATCTCGGCCAGGATGCAGCCGACGCTCCAGACGTCGACCGGCGTCGAGTAGTCTTCCGCTCCCAACAATATCTCCGGTGCTCTATACCACAGCGTCACCACCTCGCGCGTGTGCGCGCGCGGCCGGCCGAACGCGCGCGAGAGGCCGAAGTCCGAGATCTTGAGCGTCCGACGGTCGATCGCGCGCCGCACCAGGATGTTCTGGGGCTTGAGGTCGCGATGCAGGATGCGCCGCTCGTGGAGGTGCGCGACGCCCGCGAGGATCTGCGCCGTGAAGTTGGCGCAGGTCTGGTGGTTCAGAGGCCCGTGGTCGCAGATGTACTCGCGGAGGTTGCAATCCAACAATTCCATCAGGAGGTAGATGCGGTCGTGGACGAAGAGGGCCTCGCGCAGCGGCACGACGTTTGGATGCGCGAGATTCTTGAGCAGCGAGACCTCGCGCAGCGCCGCGACCGGCACGCCTTCCTCGTCGTCCTCGGCGACGCGCATCCGCTTCAGGGCGAGGATGTCGTTCGTCGCCTCGTCGCGGACCTTGTACACCGTGCCGTAGACGCCGGCGCCGATGGACTCGATCCGCTCGAACCGGCCCGCGAGGAGTGCTTCGCGGCGCAGCCTCGCCCGCGCCGCGGAGAACGTGCCCTCGAGCGCCTTTGCGACCGCCGCGCGAAAGGGCTCTGCCGCGACCTCCGCGGCTAGCTCGTCCAGGAGCTCTTCCCAGGCTGCCTCGTCTTCGCTCCGCCCGGCGGGCGCCGCGTCGTCGTCGCTGCTCATAGATAGGATCTCCCCCCGGGCCGCAGCCAGCTCCTCTGCCGCGACGTCCGCGGCCAGCTCGTACAGGAGGACCCGGGCCAGGAGCTCGTCCCAGCCCCCATGTTCGCCGCTCTGCCCGTCCACCGGGGCCTCCGCGGCCTCGGCCATGCACCCGGTGGTCAAAGGACGTCGCGTGCGCTGCTTCTTGGTGGTTTGCGGGCTGCCCCGGGGCCGCGCTCCCCCTCAATTTGCAGTGAGTGCGATCGAGAAGGTGCCACGCAGAGAGAAAGGTTCGAATTGGCACGCGCGCCTCCTGTTTGTCGCGCGAGGGATGTCTCCTCGGTCCCGGCGATGCCTGCTCGCGGACGGTTCGTTGCCGCTGCTTGCTAGTGTCTTACAAGCCGCTAGCAGCGCTTTCTTGTCACAGCTTTGCTCGCCCTGTTTCCACTGTCTACAGCACGATCCGTGTTGAGTTTCTGGTTTCTATGATGCATGCGCTACTGTGAAGAATGTTTGTCCCAGTAATGCGAGCCGTACGCGCTGCACAGCCAGCGCTACGATCTGTGCAGCCAGCGCTGCTGCCGGTCGCAGCGCTCCGAGCCGCATCGAACGCGCCAGAAAGACCTGTAATTCTTCGCGATCTGAAGATCAACGAGGCCGACCGGCGGCGCATGTCTATCGAAACCGTGCGCGCGAGGCTGCACGAGGCCGCGGTGTCGCGACGAATTCCGCAGTACGTCGAGCCGACCACTGGTGGACGAGTGTGGACAGCGTCCGCGTTAAAAGCGGCGGCGGAGGCCTGCGGCTGCCGCGGCGGTTCAACGTCGAAAACATCGGAAGCGCCGTGCCCGTTCTGCGCCGACGACGGCACAACGGCGCTGCGGCACGCGGCCGACGCCAGGGCGGAAGTGAAATCTTCCGAGGTGCTGGCCGCGGGCGGCTCGCGCCTGGCCGCCATGCGTGCGAGGCTGGACGAGCAGGCCGCGCCTCCCTCGCTGAAGGCGACGTCCGGGGGCTTCGGCGGCGGCTGCGGCGGCGGGAGCGTTCCGGACGAGGGCGATGACGAGGAGGCGCCGCCCGCGGTCTGGCGACCGCCATCATAGTGTAAGCTTGTGTGATGACTCGTTCTTTGGCTAGTGCGGCAAGGCTCTAGTAAACAAGCCAAGCTGCATTATTGCAGCTAAAATTTGCTCCCTGTGCACGCACGGCAACGCTTTGTGAGCCATTTGCATTAGTTTTCGCTCGCCATCGACCGCCTCGAGCGCAGCGATCGAAACTGGCAGTGTGGCACAGCTGCACACTGCCTAAAGCTGCACCACTGCCCGCCGCCGACTCGCTGCATCACTCAATCACGCATAGATGTGCCGCCTCCTCGCACCACTGCTGCTCGTCGCAAGCGCCCAAGCCCTCGCGCCGCCGCCGCATTTACGACTCCTCACGTGCGACCTCGACGACACGTTTTGGCCCACGGCCGAGGTCGTCGCCGCCGCGAATACAGCTCTTTCTACCGCGCTGGAGGCGCGCGGCGCCGACTCATCACTACTGGGCGAAACAATGAAGCGGCTGCGGCGCGCCGCCGGCGTGCAAATGTCGTACACGGAAGCGCGCACTAGTGCCATTAGTGAACTACTGGGCGGCGACCACGGCACTGCCGAAGAGCTGTTCCAGTTGTGGCTCGACGCGCGGCAACAAGCGTCGGAGGACCTGTTGTTCCCGGACGCGGCAACATCTTTGGCCGAGGTGCGACGGCGGCACCCGGACGCAAGGATAGGCGCGGTCACGAACGGCCGCGGCGACCCGCGGCGGATTCCGTCGCTCGCGCCCTATTTTGATTTCTGCGTCTCGGGCGAGGACGCGGACGTGCATCCCCAACGCAAGCCGGCGCCGCGCATCTACGAGGCCGCCCTAGAAAGGGCGCATTGCGGTCCGGACGGCTGGGTGCACCTCGGCGACGACGTTTTGAACGATTGTAGTGCCGCGAAATCGTGCGGCGCGCGCACCGTCTGGCTCGACGCGGCGGCGCCGTCCTGGGCGGAGAACGCCTACTCGACGATGTCCGCCGCGGACCGCGAGAAGCGGCGGCTCGCCGCGGAGGCCGTCGACGTGGCGGTCGCCGTGGACCGCACGATTGGGGGGCTTGCGGAGCTGCCTGACGCCGTCGACGGGGCGCTTAGTTAATAATGTCACAAGTGCTTAGTTACGGTATCACAGGCTCTACGCGAGGCCGGGGATCTTGGCCGGGTGGCCGAGCCAGGCTTGAACGGCCCACTCGACCCCGTTGGCGTCGAGGACGAGCTCTTCGCTTTCTCCGCCGTCGAGCACGAGCCTCATATCCCGCTGCAGGAATTCTTTCAAGCCGCCTATATTTTTGATGAGGTATTGCGCGATGATTGTAGTTTTGTGCCCTGAAGGTCCGAAGGTGGTGGCCCTGAGCAGCCACTGCTCGTCGTTATTGACCGGCAAAGGCAAAACGTGTTGAATATATAGAACTTGGCCCTTTGGGATTCTGATCCGCACCTGCTGACCCCAGCCGTTTTCGTCAGTATCTTCCCTGCCGTCGACGTAAAAATTCCTCATCTCCGCGGACTCCTTGCTGGGCACTGGCGCCGCCAACGCGGCCGCCGCGGCCAACGCCGCCTCTGCCGCGTCGCAGGCGTTGAGCAACGCGTCATAAGCGAGGAACTCGGCCTCGGTCTTGAGGTCCGCGAGGCGGTGAACGTCCGCCGCGGCCGCGGCCGGTAAGCGATCCGACCGCATGTAGCGCAGCACGTCGGCAAACACGTCCGGGTCGCGATCTATAAATATCTCGCGGTGGCCCGGCGCGTCGTCGCCGTCTTCCGAGACGCGCGCGCGCTTCTTGCTGCCCGGCAGCCTGGCGCCAGTCTCGCCGAGCAGCGCCTCGAAATAGCCCGCGCCGCTCGTTTTGAGCGTTAATGCCGTCGTTTCGAAGATGCGGCCGCCGGCATTCAGCGTGACGCGGCCGTCGTCCATCGTTGATTTTGCTTGCGTGCGGTGCTGTGCGCTGTGAAACCCGATCGCACGCTGCTGCGGCGTCCGAGTTGCAAGAGGGTCAGCACCTGGGAGAGCTTGTTGCGGCGTGCTTAAGGATGCAACAAAGTGGCGCACAGCAATCGACCTTAGACGACTGCAGCCCGACAGCACCCCTTAAAATATTATTCGCCGCCGTGGCCGCGATGTGGAGCAGGCCACTCTCGGAGAGCATGCGCAGCTACATCCTGTAAGGCACTAGCAAAACGCCGCCGACGCGCCCAGAGGGACGTAGCAGTCATGTGCAAACTCAAGTTAAAAATACAGCTCACGACACGACGCCGTCGAGCCATTTTGAAACCCGCGCGTAGAGCGCCTCCCGCTCCAATTCGTTGAACGTCTCGTGGTACGCCCCCTCCACAATTTCGACAGCAGTAGGACCGCCCCAGGTCGCCAGGACCGAGCGGGTCCCCTCGATGCCCACGACGCGGTCCTCGGACCCGTGGATGGCCAATAACGGCGCCGTCGCCTTTGACGCCTTGCCCATCGACGCGTCCATCGCGTTCAGCATCTCCGCGCCCCACCGCGCCAAGCAGTGGCCGTGGAAGACGAGAGGATCATTCTCGTACATGTCTACGACGGCGAGGTCTCTTGATAAAGCTGCTGCTTTTATTTCTTCGATGGGAGCCTTGGGCAGGAACCTACCCAAAATACGGCACGCGGCCTTGAGCAGGGGCGTGGCCAACTCCGGGTCCGGCTCCACTGCCGGCGCCGACAGAATCACACCAGTAAGTTGATTGGATGCCGCCGCGTGTATGGACACTAAACCGCCCATCGAATGCCCCAGCAAGATCAATTTTTGTTCAGGTTTTCGTTTGAGATATCTAGCCGCGACCTCGACATCAGCGACGTAATCCGAGAACCGTCTCACATGCACGCGCGTGCCCTCGCTTCTCCCATGACCCTGCAGATCTAAGGCACCGACGTCATACCCCGCACTTCGTAGAGCCTCCGCGAGCGCCGTATACCGTCCCGAATGCTCCGCGAAGCCGTGCACTATCAATACGAGAGCTTTCGGTTTTTGTGCTCGCCACGCCCGCGTGAAGAGCCTCAAGCCTTGTGCGTTCGTTACATATTCTCGAAACAACGGGTGCGCTCGGCCGTCGCCCTTGACGGGGTCGTGGTGGTCGTCCGTGATTCGTTTGAGCGTTTTTACGACGGACGCGCTTATCAATAACGCGAGGCCCGCGGCCGCCGACCAGAGGGCCGCTCGTAACGAGTTCGCGGGCGTGCGCTCGGCCGTGAGCTTGCTGGCGAGGCGCGTGGCGAAGCGGAGGGACATTGTGCTGCTTGTGCCTATGCTGGTGCGGCGCGCGTCTGGCAAGAGGTGTGCTGCTTTGGGTGCTTATGCTGGTGCCGGCGCGTCGGCGGCCTCGGAGGCAACTCGTACTAGCGCTTTGCGTGTCCAAATGACTTTTTGAATACGCGAGAGACAGCTAGAGCCCACGACTATGCGTGAAAGACGACGCGCGGCAATTTTTGGAAACTAAGGGCTAGCGTCCTGTAAGGCACTAGCAGCTCTCACAAAGCGATTGAACGTGCCCGTAAACGCGTAAACCAACCGCTGGGAGAGTGCCACTGCTGCGCGCAGTACCTCTTCACGCCCTACACACGTCCGCCAACTGTCGTGGCAGGCCGCGCCGGGGAACCGCACCTCCAAAGGCCGTCGCCGCGACACCATGGGTGCATCGCAAAGCCAGCCCCAAGAAGAAGAAGAGGACACGCCCGCACCGGCGCCCGCGGCGACGCCGCGCCCCGAATCACCGGTACCGCCGCTCGCCGAGCACCCGACCGCGTACTTGATTGGCGACGGGGCGTCGTGCATGACGCGAGACCGCGGCGAAATTTTAGCCTTGCACGGCCAGGGACGGTGCTTTGGACGAGTACGGGGCGTGGGCGGCGCCGAGGCGCAGCGGCACTGGGCCGAACTTGTGTTATCTCCAGAGGAGACGCTGTACTTGACGGAAAGAAATCTGTTGACGGTCTACGACGATGAACGAGAGGTCTCATACGAGGAACTGAGACAGCGCTACGAGGGCGACGAGGCCTTCGCTCGATTATCATTGGTCTACGAGTTCTACCGAAACAAAGGCTGGGTCGTGAAGCCGGGTTTTCAGTTCGGCGCCGACTACATCCTGTACCGGGGCCCGCCCGACGAGTTCCACGCCGAGCACGCCGTTGTGGTCTTGGACGCGGCGCAGCCGACGCAGTGGTGGATCGCGAAGACGGTAGCTAGACTGGCCGCGGACGTGCGGAAGCACCTCGTATTAGCGCGCGTCGACGGCTCCGATATCTTCGAGCTCGTCGTGGACGACGCCTTCGCGCGGCCCGCCGACGCGCTCGCCGGGCGGCGGCGCGCGCCCGTGCAGAAGGGCGCGAAAGCGCACAGCAAAAAGCGCAAGCGCAAGGAGTCGGGCCAGGGCATGGCGCCGCCGGACACGCCGGTCGAGGGGGCGTCGCCCTGACTAAGCTGTATTTCGTCGATGGCGTGTATAGTACTAGGTATTACTTTCACGAGACGGCGCAGCATGATGGCTTCTGTGACCTAAGTTTCGGGTCACCGAGGTCCTCCCAGTGGCTGAAGGCCGAGTCCTCGAACATATTGTCCACATTCGTGGCGTTATCGACGCGCCAGTTGCCCAGCGGCTGGTTGAACGCCTTGGCGGCCATGAATATCCCGCACATGTCCGTGACCTTGTCGACCCGCCAGTCGTTCAGCGGCTGGTTGAACGCAAAGGCGCCGTTGAACATCGCACGCATACTCGTGACTTTGTCGACCCGCCATGCGCCGATCGGGTGGTTGAACGACTTGGCCCAGAGGAACATATTGCTCATATTCGTGACGTTGTCGACCCGCCAGTCGTTTAGCGGGTGGTCGAACGACGAGGCGCCGTAGAACATCCCTTGCATATTCGTGACATTGTCGACGCGCCAGTCGCTCAGCGGCTGGTTGAACGACGAGGCGCCGCTGAACATCCAGCTCATATTCGTGACCTTGTGGACCCGCCAGTCGTTTAGCCGGTGATTGAACGACTTGGCGTCGCGGAACATTTGGCACATATCCGTGACGTTGTCGACCCGCCAGTCGTTCAGCGGTTGGTTGAACGACGAGGCGCCGCTGCACATCAACCTCATCGTCGTAACGCTAGAGGTATCCCACGCGCTGATGTCGTCGTTGAAACCCTTCTGCCTCATGAATAGCTCGCTCATGTCCGTGACCTTACTTGTATTCCACGTCGAGATGGGCGGCAAACTGCGGTCGCCGCTGCACCAGCGGTTCACCCAGACTCGCAGTTCTTCGTTTGTCAGACACTTCACCGTCTCCGCTGCCTCCGGCATTGCCTCTCCGCTGAACGCCGCGGTGACTCGCGCGGCTATTTTTCCGAGCCAAGAGCCAATCCATCCAGGTCCCATGGCGGCGACGGCGTCCAGGTACTCCTCCTGACTGATCGTGCCATTTTGATCTTTATCGGCCTTCGCCATGATCTCCTGCACGCGCTCGAGGGTCACGTCCGCATTTTTCTTCGAGAGCGCCCGGTAGATCTCCTCGGCAGTCAGCTCGCCGTCCCCGTTGGCATCTATCCTTTTGAACGCAGCAATTGCGGCGCGCTGTTCCTCTGCCAGTCCGGCCGTCACCTCCTTTTTCTTCTTCTTCTGCGCGATCTTGAGATCTTTCACGGCGTCCTTCGAGCCGCGCTCGATGGCCTTTTCGAGATGCTCGATCGCCTTGTCCAGGTCCTGCTCGACGCCGACGGCGTGCAAATACCGCACGCCCACTTGGTGCGTCGCGTGGGCGTTGCCCTGGTCCGCGGCGCGCGTCAAGTACTCGAACGCCACCGACTCGTCCTTCTCGTAGCCGCCCCGTCCGAACGCCGACATCTGCGCGAGGAACATCTGCGCCTTTACCGCGCCGCCGTCGGCCGCGATCTTCAGCCACTCGCGCGCCTGGTCCTTGTCCACGACGCCGGTCTTGCCATGGGCGTGCATGAGCGACAGCTCCCAGGCGCCCTCCGCGTTGCCGGCCTCCGCCGACTGCTGGAACGCCTTCATGGCCGCGGGCCATTGCTTGCGCGCGTAGGCGGCGTGGCCGACGGCCAGCATGGCTTCGCCCTCCGTGGTTCGTGACCTGCCCGTCTCCCCCAGCACCTCGGCTTGAGGTTCCTCCGCCGCCACGCCCTCCACCACCACGCCCTCCACAGCGCTCGTCTCCTCCGGGACCTCGCCGTAAGGCTCTTCCGCCGTGGCCTCCACCATCTCTTCGCCGAAGACCGGCGCCTCCGGCTCCGCCGCCAGCGACGACGGCGCCTGCTCTGCTTCCATCATTGGTTCTGATTCCATCATCACTGGCTCTTCTTCCGCCATCATCGCTGGCTCTGGTTCCGCCATCATCGTTGGCGCCTCGGTCTCCCACTGCATGATATATCAGACCACTGCTGCCCTGGCCAAAGGGCTGCACACACGCCCTCACTCTGAGGTGCCGCCAACGAGGCGGGCTGCCCCCGTTCCTCTGGCAATCTCTCTGCAGCGTAGAATCGGCTGCCCCAGGCCGGTTGCGATCTTCGGGCTAGCGGCATGTAAGACACTAGCGAGGCAAGTTTTTGTTTGAATATCGCTTGTAATAGGCCGCAAAAGCAAGTAGAGGACCGAAGCGCTCACACAGCAGCCGCAACTGAACGCCTGTTGCTGCTGCCGCACGCGCCAGTGCAGCACAACTTGCCTGCAGCAACCTTGCCTGCAGCCCAGCAGCGCGCAGCAGCGCCGCGCACGCCGCCGATGCGCCTGCTCCTGCTCCTCGCGGCCGCAGCAGCCAAAACGAAGTACGACGTCGTCGACCGCGACGACGCGACGACCTTCGGCATTTTGATCGACGCCGGCTCGACCGGCAGCCGCGTCCACATCTACCAGTGGGAGAAGCGCGATTTCAACACGTTGCCGCCGCCCCTCTCCCTACCTCTCACCTCAGAACGGTGGACGGAGCGCATCAAGCCCGGCCTGTCGGATTATAATGATGACGCCGAGCGAGCCGCGCGGACGCTGGTACCGCTCATCGAGACGGCGAAGCGGACGCTGGGCAACTACAAGCATGCGTGGTCGCCGTCCGTGTGGAAATCAACCAGTGTGCCCATTTCTCGATGATTCAGCATGAACGCGCCGTAGAATTTTGATTTCCACACAGGTCGTCGTATCCCATCTACGTCAAAGCGACGGCCGGGATGCGCGAACTCCCGGAGAAGAAGCGCGACGCGACGATCGACGCGGTCCGAAGACTACTCAAAGATAATAATACGTGCCCCTTCGACTTCGCGAACAAGGAGCAGGCGCGCGTCATCGCGGGCGAGGAGGAGGCGGCCTACGCCTGGGTTGCTGTTAATTTCGTTGATGGGGCGTTACTCGAAGCTACTGATTCGCCCTTCGGCACCGCCACACCGTCAAGGGCCAGAGGTAGTATGGAGATGGGCGGGTCTTCCGCCCAGATAAGCTTCTACAAGCCGGAGCAGGACATCCTGGCTGGTTTGTTCAAGCTCCAATTGGGAGGAAGAAGCCACATCAACATCTACGCCCACTCGTTCCTCCATTATGGTAGAGTATCATCTAGAAGAGCATACTGGGAGTACCTCGCCAAAAAAGCGGGCTGCTGGACGTACGATGGGGAAGATCCCCAGGCGGCGGTGCCTTGTGTGATTGAAGACCACTGTTTGGTCGGCGCCGAGCCTCGAGTGCACTTGGACCAATTGGAGAGCGTGACGGGGCAGTTCGGCCTGACGCCGCCGCTGCATTTTGGGCCGGTCAACGCCAACGTCACGATAAAAGGTACTGGAATACGTACCAGAGATAGGTACGCGCGGTGCAAGGACGACGTGCGAGCGGCTCTCTTCGACGTCAGATTCAACCAGTGGTGCGAGTACAGCCACCACGGCCAGTGCGCCTTCGCCGGCGTGTACCAGCCCTCATTACCTACCGGTACTGATTTTGGGAACTTTGTTTTGCTCGGGAATTACGTCGATCTCTTTAACATGCTCGGGCTGCCGGAGACGACGAACGTCCACGACATGGGCGACGCGGCTCTGAAGGTATGTGGCGATACCGACGTGCCCTTCCCGGCCAAGGACCACCACACCCTATCGCAGAACGAGCTCTGCTTCGTGGCCGCGTACGCCTACGAGACGTTCGTGAGCGGGCACGGGTTTGATGCTAGAGTGAATTTTACCACTGTCACGGAGACGACGTACAACGGCGCGACCGTCAGTGTGGGCTGGCAGCTCGGCGCGATGCTCTACGAGATCAACGCGCTGCCCTGGTCCTTCGACGCGGGGCCGAACTGCTCCGTCGACGCGGGTGCAACGCACGGCCTGTTCCTTTATACGCAATCATCTCTCGGTGGCGGGTCGGTCTGGTACGCGTTTCTCGGTGTGTTGGTCGTGGTGCTGGGACTGGCGGGGGCGTTCCGGCGGCGGAAGGAGGGGCTGCCTAATTAACTTTAGTAGTGTGCTTAGCTAAGGACCTCGTCCCAGGGCTCCTTCTTGTCGAACTCCTTGTACGCCTCGTCGGCCGTCTTGGCGTCGAGCCCGCAACGCGTCTCGAGGCACGCGAGCGCGTCGGCGGCCTCCGGGCCCTTGTCCTCGTAGTGCGCCACCGCGAGCGCGTTTGTCGCATTGCAGTTGATGTTCTTGATGGCATCGCCTGCGTCGATAATCGGTGAGTCGCGTCGATGGCGCGAGGTCGACTCTCGTCACCCTCCACGCCGTCGAGGCGAGTCGATATGTAAGACGCCGCGTAGCACAGCCCCCGGCCTTGGCGATGTAGCCAGAGAAGGCCCACTCGCAGACGCACCAGTTCCTCACGGGACACTCGAGGATGGCCTCGCTCGCCCCGCCCGGCGAGCCGGCGCAGGGCATTGTCGAGTCGCTCTCTTGTTTTGCGCGACGCGCGCGTTTTTTTGCACGAGCGTTGTGTTGCGCGTACCGTGGCGATAGGTAAGCCTTTTGCGCGTGTCAGGATTTAAATTGAGCTACGCTGCGAGTCTACAGTAATATCGCCCGGTAAGGTTGCTTGTCTGACAAGACACAGACGCTAGTGTCGGTACTACGCTAGCAAAACGGGACTTGATTGTACGCTTAAAAACGGCCCCGTGACAGCTGAGAGGGGTCTCAGACGCCTGCGAAAAAAAAAGTCTGTGGCTGCATGCACCAAAAGCGGCCGTAAAAACGACGTACACACGCCGCGCGTAACACGGCGGTCGAACTACATCACAACTGACGCGACACGCGCGAAACCGAGGCCCGTTCGCGCCCCCGAGGCCTCTCAGACACACGAAGCTGAAATGACCTTCACCACCCAACAAACGCCGGCGCCGGACGCCGCCGACGACGCGGACAAAGCCTCACTCATGGCCCTCCCCGACGCCGCCGACGACGCGGACAAAGCCTCGCTCATGGCCCTCCCCGACGCCGCCGCCGACGCGGACAAAGCCTCGCTCATGGCCCTCCCCGACGAACTGCTCCGAAAAATCGCCAGCTTCAGCCAGTTGTTCGCGTCCGCGCCCGCATTGGTCGTCGCGATCGGCCGCCACGGCGGCGCCGCCGTAAAAGAGGAACACCGAAACATGGCAAGGAAGAGCGCCGCGAAGCTCTTCCCGCGCGGCGTCGTCGCGTCCTTAGAGCAGACGAAGCGCGACGTCGCCCGCGACGCGGCGAGCTGGCACGTCTTCGACACGGTAGAGCACACGCGCGCGCCGAACGTAGGGCGGGATCCAGTACCACAGCTCCATGTACACCGGCCCCATGGAGTGCCGCCCGTGCAAGGATTGCGACTAGGCGGTGTTCACCGGCGCGCGACAAGGCCGCGCCGGACGCCTCCTCTGGACATGACCCCACGGAGGCGCGCGGTGGACGTCTCCGTCCCATCCCCCGTTTATAAATTTCTCTTTTGATAAATTGGGAGCAGAGACGTTTGAACCTATGCATCGCAAGTTATAGGCCGGCCGCGCCCCTACGAGTAGAGCGATGGGTCCGCCGGCACGAAGTCGCGTCCCGCGAAGAACGGTACGAGCCCAATGATAGGCAGCAACGACAGGCCCATGTAGGTCAGCACGCGCGTCTGCTGCGTCGGATCGTCCTCGTCGGGCGTGAAATCGTCGTTCGCGGGCGCGGGCGCCGCGGCCGCGTCGTCGTCGTCGTCCAGCGCCTCGAAGACCTCGGTGTCGCCGTCGGCGGCGCGCGGCCGTCTCAACTTGTGGAGGCGGTGTGTTGGTACGACGAGCGCTGTGCTGGCCGCCAGCGCGCCGAGCAGCGCTACGGTGCGCATTTGCGCTTCGCGTGGCAGCGCACTATGGAGGCTGTCTGCTGCAGCTGTACCTCCGCCAGTAGTGCTCCGCTCGACTCGTGGACCGCAGCAGCGTCGAATTCAGGTGTGATTGGTGCAATCGAGCCGCTGAAACGCGTTGATTCCGCCGCTACGCGCAGCTGTGTGCAGACAAGCTCTCAGTGTGCCAGAGCAAAGCTGCTCATAGACCAGCCACAGCGCGGGGGCGAACGCTGTGCAAACATGTCTGGAGACACGTGCCTGACGCCGACAGAAGACCCGTCCGCAATCAACAAAACCCGTCAAAAACAAAAAGCTGCCGGCGCGTTGCACGCCAAACGGACCGGCGCGCGCCCGCCGACGACGAGTCGCGCTGCCCGACGCGGCCCGTGGGGCAGCGGACGCAGCCCCACGCGCCGCGGGCGTACCGCGTGACCGGGCGGAGGACAGAGACCGGGGGCAGCCCCCAAGGACCCAAGCCCTCGCGCTCCGAAGCGACCAGTGGCAGAGACGCGGGCCCACGCACCACAAGACAAGACCGTGGTAGCACAAAAGACCGGCGACCAGTGGCAGAGACGCACGCACCACAAAGTACAAAGACCTCGGTAGCACAAAACAACCATGGGCTTCATCGAGGTGTTCGGCCTGGCGTTGGGGCTCATCGCCTTCGGGACCGTCATGGCGTTGTTCTGGAGAGTCTTAAACAAGATCTTCCGGGCCATCGAGCACCACCATGATGATGATAAACATTTGGAGGACGAAGAGTCGAGTGATGAGGAGGACGAGGAAGGAAGGAAGGGCTTCAGCCCGCCCTTCTGGGACTTTTTGATCTACCTCGGGTTCCTCGCTACCTTCGTGGCCGTGGTTTATGCGTTGCGCGGGGGCGTGTCGGCGCCGTACGACATGCATCTGGGCCTGGAGGACTGGTTCACGGGCAACGAGTTCCATTATAACGTGCCCTTTTCGGGCCTGAACTTGCGGGACCAGGTCTATACGTGGCTGTCAGCAGTGGTAGTGCCGGGCGTGCTACCGATCGTGCGGAACGACGGGAGCGGCATCGAACTCGGGTGCGTCGATCGATTGACGCTGGGGGACGGCCAATCGCTGCGAGTGGGCGCTATTCGGTTAAGAAAGGTCAGCTCCAAACCGAGTTCTCTGAACGAAGTTACGGATTACCTCGAGGACGACAGGGGCGCCTGGAAGCGGGAGTACCTCCCTCGGGTCTATAGTGATTATATAGGGCCCGGTGTGATGGGATGCTCGTCGTCGCCCTTGGCCAACGAGGAAAAAGGAACTTTTACGAGCACGACGGTCCGCGGCGACGTGCCCCGCACGCTCCCGGGCTACGAGGGCCCGTACTACTACGAGCGGGCGCCGCACCGCACGTGCCCTCCAACACATGCCCCGGCGACGACCAACGGGACGTCTTCACCGACATCCGTCCCTTCACCTAGTCCCACGCGGCCGCCTACTGTAAAAGTCCCGACAGCCCCAAAAACGGGCGGCTACGCCATCGCATGGAGAAAGACGGAGGAGCCCGCGTACAAGTCGAAAATAACGGGAAACATTTATTGTGGGAACGGCCAGGTCTGGGACCTGAGTACGAACCAGACGACGGCGCTCGCGGAGCTCGAGATGCTGCGGGACGACGACTGGTTGATTGATGATGGGACACGAGCTTTGATAACAGAATTTGTGCTGTACAACCCCGGCACGGCGTTATTTGGTTTATTCAGAGGAGTCGTCGAGTTCCACCCGGCGGGGGCCGTGGTCCCGACGTTCGACATCTTGGCCGTCGACTTGGCGGGGACATACACCGCCTGGTCGAACGACGGCGCGAAGATGGATCAGCGGATCTGCGCCTACCTGGAGGTCATGTTGTATCTGCAAGTCCTATGTTACATCGTGCTTGAGTTAAAAGCTATCAAGCAATTAGGATGGCACACGTACCGGAAGCAGTACATCTCGCTATTGACATGCATCAACCTCATCTCGTTCGTCGTCGCGCTCTTCCTCCGCTTGAGAAATTTATCGTGGGTCCGGGACAATTACCGGAAACTCCTGATTTACATGGATCACGACGCGTACCCGGAAGAACTGGCCCAGCAGATCGTGCTGTACAAGACCGTGGACGAATTGAACGCCATCAATGCTATCCTGTCGTTCTTCCGACTGTTCAAGTATTTGAGGGCGAACCCGGGCTTGGCGCAGTTGTCCGATACCATATACTTAGCGACGATGGAACTGGGACCGGTCATGCTTATACTGATAGTGTGCATGGTCGCCTACGCGGCAGCTTTACAAATCGCCTTCGGGCAGGAGTTATTTGATTACAACGACGTGCCGAACGCGATGCAGAGCATGTCTAGAGCTATAGTGGGCGATTTTGATTTTACCGTGTTGATGGGGCCTGGGAGAGCGGTGACCAATAATACCATAGGGATGTGCCTCTGTGTGACGTACGTCGTGGTCACGCAATTTGTCGTTCTGTCGATGTTGCTCGCCATCTTAGATCACGCCTACGAGGACGTCCGGGAAGAGCTGCAACATAAAGTGATTGATGAGGATACGAAACATTTCAACGAAGACTTCGCGTGGGTCGTACGTAGTCCGGTGACGGGCATCGATTACTTGATGCGGCAGGTCGTCCAGTTTTCTTCCGGTACGTCCGTCGACTTTGGGAAATTACGGGAACGACGGCGCGTCGACCCGGCCATGTTACATGTGCTGAAGTTCGAAAAAATGGCCACGGGCACCGACCACGACGCGACGGCCGAGCAGGCCAAGATAAAAGCGGAACGGGAGGCCGCCATCGCGCGCGCGAAAGCTAGGCGGGCCATGCACGAGCACTGCCGCGACACGTTGAGGAATGCGATTGCTCAATTGGATGAATGTATTGATACGCAGAACGAATCGGCTCGAGCATTGGGCGTCGCGAAGGTCAAGAAATACGAGCCGCCGGAGGAGGAGGAGGACGGGTAAGACTCTTCTGTAGGCGGCGCTAGGACTACTGGGCGTCGCTTCGATGGCGTCTTGGGGAGTCGTCGGCTGCTATACGAACGAGGAACTTACCCTCGCGGCTCCCGGTTCCAAGTCCCGCGGTGCCGCCGTGATCAGCCGACGGGTTTCGTGTCGCGACGCGGCCCCTCAGTATTATATCACATTGATAGAAGGTCGTGTACCAATTTTCCGCCGAATTAAGTGTTGTTTTATAAACTCGGAGCTAGCGTAATCGACATACTAGCAAATTCAAAGATACGCCTCAGTAGCGTCAAAAGAATGACTCAAATTCAGAATACAGCCTAGTCGTTTGCCGCGACCAAATATTTGAGAGTAGCGGCCCGGGAACATACCCTCGCGCCTCCCGGAAGGCACCGCCAGTGACATTCGCGGATGAGTCTTACGAGTTTCCAAAGTAGACCAGCGATTGACTCCGCCATTCCCCGTCCAAATGGGACATTATATCAACTCCAGCTCAGTTTTCATACACAATCGACGGAACCGGAGCCGACGGCCCGCGCTCGGAGGGCGGGAAACAAATTCTACTAGACAACTCCCGAGTTTATGTTCGTTTCCTTCCGTTTGTTAGTGGTGGAGTCCATCTAGGCCGATTGAACACGTACTCATCTATTTTAGGTGCTCCGTTGGAGCCGCGCGAAACGAAGAATCCGCGACCACGCGTTTATATACAGATGGGCTCCGTGCCTAGACCTGCGAGTATCAGCGACGCCACCATCCAAATGGACCATAACGCCGTTGTTCTATTCACGATCGACCGACTTGCCCGTTCTCCGCGGACGACGGTGCGTACGCGGGGCACTCAATTGGCCCCATACCGGTGAGTTATGAAATAAATTTGCGTTTGAGGCGTTTCGGTTAATGGACGGGCCAGATAACCGGGCTGGGCGTGAACTACATTGGATTTATTGACCCCTTGGGTCCTCGCGGTCGCTCGTCTTTGCTGCCCCAGGATCTGGCCAATTCGAGCTTCAGACTCAGATCTGCGACCATCAGCCCGTGTACCTTCACCATGGACCATAACGCGATCATTTGTTCCATGATCGACCGACTTGCGCGAGGTCCAGATGCAGATGTTCACGTCCCGAGCGTGGGCAGCCCAAAGTACCCTTCTCGTGGTGTAGATGTTATATAATTGTAGTCGACTATCGGTGGGGTAGTATGGGACCCAACGAGACCGCTATTACGATTCCTGGGGGCCCTCGGGTATTTGACGTTTTTTACGGGAACGGGGCGCCATCGGGTCCAAATTATTTACTTTTTTCGGATCCAGATCGGCTCCTGGAGGCCTCTCGGGGTAGGTCTGGTATTGGGTAAGCGCCTGCACCGCATACGCCGTCGATGCGGCAGCCTAGTGCTCTCGGAGGGCTCTGGAAGCCATTGCCAAGCAATTCATGGTTTACCTACCTAACGACCTACGCAACCGCAGGAACCTAGCCCGGGGCGGGTACTCCTCGAGTCCAGTTCCAGACTTGCAAGGGCAAGCCCGGCTCCGGCACTCCTTTCGCGAGTTTCTGCACCGCGGGTGGCGATGAGCTCGCACGACGGGGGGGGAGCGACAGGGGAGGGGAAGTCGCTTGGGGCCCGTCGTGCTCGACTCAACCAGTTGAAGGCCGACCCGTTGCCCTCCGCAAGGCCCCCGCCGCCGGAGATCGTGTTTGGTATAGGCCACCCGGCAAGGCGTCTCAGGGGACGCGCCGCGCTCGGGCCCAGTCCAATCTCCAGCGTCGATAGCAGAGCCGCAGTTGACAGGGGCGCGACACTCCCTCCGGTCAAAAAGGGGGGAAGGGGACGGCTCCGGCAGGTCGCAGTCGATGACGAGTCCTTGGTCGTGAGCGTGGAGGGGGTGGGGTCCCGGTCTGGTTGTCGTGGCCGCGAACCCGAGCTCCTCCGCGGCAATGGGCGCTCGGAGACCCAGACGGGCCGCCGCGAAGCTTCTCCGGGGGCCGGGCGTCGCGCGACGCAGCGTGCGTGTAGATGGCGCGAGGTAGATCAGGAGCCGCCGCCGTTGAGCCCCTCGTCGATCTCCCCTGGATTGAGCGCGCGCCAGGGCCGCGAACGATCACGTTGATGCCGCCGACACGCCTAGCGCGCCGATCGAGGGTGGGCTTTGATCTCAGGGGGGCGGCGGTAGGCCGCCGGGTCCCACATCACCTCTGCGGCGTCGCGAGTCGATTTGCGACCGCTCGCCGGTCGCGACGCGTCGAGCTCAATCCAGGCGACGCCGCAGATACAACGCCCGCCCGCGGTAGCGGCCGGCTTCCATCGAGCCACGGTAGCGGCCACTGGAAATCAAGTAACAGGCGGGTCGCCGAGGCCACGGCCGCGTCCCCCTGAAATTAGCACGCGTCGTGGACTCAGTAGACCGAGGCGACGCCGTAGGCCGTCGGGCGTAGAATTCGTGGTCGTTCTTTACAAGGCCGCCTATCATCGTGTCAGTTGTCACGGTCGTCACGGCCCCGCGCCGTCGCTGTATCGCGCGGCCTGCCGCCCGCGCGCGTCGCACTTGCCCTAGGCGACGCCGCGGACGAGGGCCGCGCGGTCCGCGACCGCCGGTTGCGATCGCCTCGTGTCGGCTCGAGGGCCGGCGTTAGGTTGGGAGAGGAGAACGAACGCGTCGAGTCGAGCGGCGCCCGACGCAACCCCAGATCAACGCCAATCCGTCGAGGACTACGGGGCCGACGTCTCGACGGCAGGGCGTCGGATGCCGAGAAGCTCGTCCGGGCACGAAACCCGTCGAGTAAACCCCGCACGGCGTTGCACGCCCCTCGTCGATCTCCCCTGGATTGAGCGCGCGCCAGGGCCGCGAACGATCACGTTGATGCCGCCGACACGCCTAGCGCGCCGATCGAGGGTGGGCTTTGATCTCAGGGGGGCGGCGGTAGGCCGCCGGGTCCCACATCACCTCTGCGGCGTCGCGAGTCGATTTGCGACCGCTCGCCGGTCGCGACGCGTCGAGCTCAATCCAGGCGACGCCGCAGATACAACGCCCGCCCGCGGTAGCGGCCGGCTTCCATCGAGCCACGGTAGCGGCCACTGGAAATCAAGTAACAGGCGGGTCGCCGAGGCCACGGCCGCGTCCCCCTGAAATTAGCACGCGTCGTGGACTCAGTAGACCGAGGCGACGCCGTAGGCCGTCGGGCGTAGAATTCGTGGTCGTTCTTTACAAGGCCGCCTATCATCGTGTCAGTTGTCACGGTCGTCACGGCCCCGCGCCGTCGCTGTATCGCGCGGCCTGCCGCCCGCGCGCGTCGCACTTGCCCTAGGCGACGCCGCGGACGAGGGCCGCGCGGTCCGCGACCGCCGGTTGCGATCGCCTCGTGTCGGCTCGAGGGCCGGCGTTAGGTTGGGAGAGGAGAACGAACGCGTCGAGTCGAGCGGCGCCCGACGCAACCCCAGATCAACGCCAATCCGTCGAGGACTACGGGGCCGACGTCTCGACGGCAGGGCGTCGGATGCCGAGAAGCTCGTCCGGGCACGAAACCCGTCGAGTAAACCCCGCACGGCGTTGCACGCCCCTCGTCGATCTCCCCTGGATTGAGCGCGCGCCAGGGCCGCGAACGATCACGTTGATGCCGCCGACACGCCTAGCGCGCCGATCGAGGGTGGGCTTTGATCTCAGGGGGGCGGCGGTAGGCCGCCGGGTCCCACATCACCTCTGCGGCGTCGCGAGTCGATTTGCGACCGCTCGCCGGTCGCGACGCGTCGAGCTCAATCCAGGCGACGCCGCAGATACAACGCCCGCCCGCGGTAGCGGCCGGCTTCCATCGAGCCACGGTAGCGGCCACTGGAAATCAAGTAACAGGCGGGTCGCCGAGGCCACGGCCGCGTCCCCCTGAAATTAGCACGCGTCGTGGACTCAGTAGACCGAGGCGACGCCGTAGGCCGTCGGGCGTAGAATTCGTGGTCGTTCTTTACAAGGCCGCCTATCATCGTGTCAGTTGTCACGGTCGTCACGGCCCCGCGCCGTCGCTGTATCGCGCGGCCTGCCGCCCGCGCGCGTCGCACTTGCCCTAGGCGACGCCGCGGACGAGGGCCGCGCGGTCCGCGACCGCCGGTTGCGATCGCCTCGTGTCGGCTCGAGGGCCGGCGTTAGGTTGGGAGAGGAGAACGAACGCGTCGAGTCGACCGGCGCCCGACGCAACCTCAGATCAACGCCAATCCGTCGAGGACTACGGGGCCGACGTCTCGACGGCAGGGCGCCGGATGCCGAGAAGGTCGTCCGGGCACGAAACCCGTCGACTAAACCCCGCACGGCGTTGCACGGCGTTGCACGGCGCGTTGTGCCGCGGCGCCGGTCTAGTACTTGCAGGGGGGCAAGCTCCGGACCTCGTCGCGGATTCGATGCTCGAACCGGCCCCAATGCCGCACGAACGCGATGGCGAGCCTCAATGAGAGCGTCGCAAACCGGACGCCGTTGCGCAGGGCCTTCGGGCGCACGAGTCCGACCGACACCATGAGCGGGTCCGCGTCGGACGGGAAGATGGCGCCCGCGGCCGCGATCTCGCCCTCGTACTCGGCGCGCCATCGGGCGCGCGTCGCGACGAAGTCGACCGATCGACACTCGAAGATGAGGTGCGCAATGTCGGCCCTCCCGCTCGCGACGTTGGTCCGGCAAATGTCACAGTATCCCTCGGCCGGTCCCCCGAACTTCGACCGCACGTGCGGCACGAGGCGGTACTGCTCGCACAGGGTCGACATGAGGAAGGCGGTGTTGCCCTTGCAGGACGAATCGGCGAAGAAGACGCGCCGCCAGGGCGCGGAGAGGGCCGGCGGGCCGCGGTCCCACGAGACAGCGGCCGCCAGGCGCCGCGACGACGACTCCGTCCTTAGGATGGCGTGGCGCCACTTCCGTTCGAGGAACCGCGCGGCGGTCTTGACGCGTGTCCGCCACTCCTGCGGCTTGTATGCGAGCGTCTGCGGCCGCCGACCCAGGCCTAGATCAGTCGTCGCGTCGTCGAGTGCGTGCGTGATGGATCGTGCGGTGAAGGCGTCGGACCTCGCCGACCGTAGAACATCGAGTACCACGGCCCTCTCGCCAACGGCGACGGCTTCCAACGCGCGCTTGAAGATCGCCCTACTCGCGCGGCGGCGCCACGCCGGCGACCTCGAGCCGGTGATCTCGAGTAAGGCGGCGTTCGGCATGTGCGTCGCGACGCCGCCGAGCGTGACGCGGAGGGTCGCCAGGTACGCGTTCTCGACCTCGCCCGAGAGGCCTCCGTGGTTCATCTTGTCGGGCTTCGACGCGAAGAAGCCGATCTCGCCGGACAGGGGCGTGGTGGGCCCGCCCGGGTACTCCTGCTTTCCGCGAAAGAACGCGTTCATGACGGAGAGCACGTCGGCGCGTCGTAGTTCGGACACGGACTGCACGGAGTCCTTCGCCGCCTTGTAGATCTCCCACGCCTCCCAGAGTCGCTTCTGCGCAGAGTAGTCGGCCGACAGCGACTCCGAGATCCAGCAACCCAAGTAAACGACCGCTTCCTTGAGCGTGTACGCCTCCGGCACGAGGTCGTACGACGCGTAGTGCTGGCGCGTTCTAACGTAGGGCGCGAGCTCGCCCCGAGGCCAAGACCAGAACACGACGCGTCCGGCGACGGACGGCATCCCGACTCTCATAACCTCGTGCTTGCCCAGCGAGAGGTTGAATCGGAACTCGTGGGCCCACGCCTTCACGATGCCGTATGCCAACCGCAGGTCGTTCGCCGAGTCCGCCATCAGGAAGACGTCGTCGGTTTTCAGGACTACCCCACAATAAACTTGGGGCCCCGTCGCTCTTCCGAGCCGCACGCCGAGCCCGGACTCTTCGAGGACGCGCCGCAGATCGTCGAGCACGACCGCGAACGCGTCGCCGCTAAAGACGCGTCCTTCCAATAGGCCCTGCTCGAAATCCACCAGGTCGCTCCAGCGTCCGTCGCTCGTGGACAAGCGCACGCCCGCCTTGCACAAAATATTCCAAAGGGCGAGTAGGAAGGCGCCGCGGCACCCGGCGTGCCAGAGCGCTAGGGCGACGTACTCGCGCATCGTGCTCGGGAAGGCGCGCTCTAGGTCAATCGTCATCACCCACGTAAAACAGCCCAATTCGTACAGTCTGTACGCTAAAAGGTCCTGGACGAGCCACAACTGATGCCGGCAGTCGACGCCGGGGGCTCCCTCGTCCTGGAGCCACGACACGGGGCGGAGTAATGGCACGTAGATGCGACTCCACCGATTTTTCAGTAGACGCTCGTATATCTTCAGTAGGACACTCGCGAGCGCAACTCCTCTGTAATTCGTCCAGACCGTCGGGTCGCCCTTCTTGTATAACCATCGGATGTAGACCTCGAGCCACACCTCCGGTGCAGTACACCCAGCGAGTAGGGCGTTGTACAGGAAGAGGATCACGGTCCAGAGCGCCATACCGCCCGCCCGGACCGCTTCGTACGAGACGCCGTCGCCGGGACTCGGCGCCGTCCCGGTGGAGGTGTCGTTGAGGATGACTTGTTCAAGTTCCGACATGGTGAAGTCGCGGGCGGCCGCCGCTTGTATGTCGTCGTTCGGGATGACGCTCGGGTCCGGGAAGGCCCTCGCCCGCTCCTCCCACGCGGACCATTTCTCCTCGTCGAGCTGGGCGGCGGTCGCACGAGATTCTCGGGCCGACGGTTCGAGCAGGCGCCGCCGTATTCGCTCCCACTCGCGCATCCGGTCGGCGCATGGGCTCGCCCGTCGAACGCCGAGTGGTCGACGGTCTGCCGGTCTTCGTACTGTTGTGCGAGGCTTCGTTCGGCGGCTTCGGCTCCGACTATAAGTCCGTCGCCGTCGCGGATCAGCCGCCACTGTTTGCCGCCGCCATACCCCGCCAGTCGCGGCGCGCGCTTCAACACCGCGCGCTCGAACTCCCCGCGGGCAGGTCGGGCGACCGGATCTCGCCGAGCGGGCGCTGCGGCGACGTCGAGGGCCGCTCGGGATTGCCGCACGCGTAATCTGTATCTTGTAAATCTGCGAGTCTCTTGGCGGCCGCGCGCCTCCTCCGTTTAACTTCCGCCAACTCCGCCTCCGCTTCTATCGCCTCATTTTCTTGTTTCTCGCGCGCGAGCTGTTCCTGCGCGATCCTTTTCCGTCTTTGTGGTGTGTTTTCCGTGGGTTCGGGCGCCGTGGTCGGCGCCGGCGCCGGGTCTCTAGTGCCGTGGTCCATCGCCGTCCGTTACCGTTGCTGCGCCGGCAGCGGTGTTTGTGCGCTTCTCGCTGTCCAGGGGCTGCCCGCTGCGTCTGAGGCGCCCCGGGGGGTCGCCGCGGTGCCTCCTCGGGGGGTCCGAGGGCTGCCGCTGCTGGCGCGCGTCCAAATTGCTGCCCAGAACCGGTTTTGGCGCGAAGTGTGATTGTGCACGCTACCGCTGCTCAATCGCCGCGCGCTTTTCGCTGCGGGGTCGTGGCCCCGTGTACTCCGTCCTGTCAACTGCGCGCAGTCGTGCGTTCTAAATTGCAGTGTCTGTGCGCTCTCCAAATTCGAATTGGTTTTGTGGGTCGCAGTGGTGAGAGAATCGATCGATTATGCCCCTAGCCTGGGCGCATGCGGTGTAAGCGCTTGCGCGTGTCTAGTATCGACCATAGGCGGCCACAGGGAGACCTCGCGGGCAGGGATTGACAGGATTAAACCGGCGCGGCCGCCATCGTCCATGGGGGCCATCGTCGGCGCGAATTAAAAAAATTCCTTTTTCGACCCCCAGTACGTGTCCCATTGATCTCTTTGGACCACTAGCGAACCGGACGATGGTCAAACAGCTGCATGCCGCTGATCTGCTTGCTAGTGTCTTACATGCCGCTAGCCGCGCACTGCGGCCTAAAGTCCAAGCACCGCTTACACCGACACCCAGGCCCCAGAGGCGCATTGGAGCTGTTACTGCAGCCATTAGCACAGTCAGGAAGCACGCCAGCAAGCAAGCGCCCCTCCGCGCATCGCTGCGCCGACTTTGAGCGCCCGCAGTTCAAATCAGCAGCGTGTGAAACTCCGCCGACGGCGCGCCGTCGACGCGCACCGCTCGTCCAGGATGAAGGGCGGCGCCATCCCCTTTGTTGATGATGACTCCGACGATGCGGGCCTCATGTACGACGACATTGGAGGAATAGCGCCCGCGCCCCTCGAGAAGGCGCCCATCAAAACCACAGAACCGACCAACGGCGCTCTCCCGGACCTCACGCCCTCGCCGCAGAAGAAGAAGAAGTCCGGCAAGGACGTGCTCGGCGTCACGACAAAAAAAATACGACCGAAGTTTACCGAAAATGACCTCGCGAAGGACAACGGCCTCGAGTGGCTGCCGAAGCACGCGCCGAAGCGGGCCAAGTTCCAAGGTCGAGATATAACAGATGCTCGGAGACTGGTGGATACGTATCGGGCCTGGGCGAAGCAGCTGTTTCCGTCGGTGCCTCTTGATGAGTTGTTACAAAGAACCGATAAATTCGGCCACAAGATGTTCGTGCGCGGGTTGGTCGAGAACTTGCGAGATCTGCAGCGGCGGGAGGTTAGGTTGGCCAAGCGGCGCGCTCGAGGTGAGGTTGTCGATGAGGTAGAAGAGGAGAAGAATCCCATCGATGACAAGAAGGCGGCGGCGTTGGCCCTCAAAGCGAAGAAACAAGCAGAAAGGGAAGCGCAGCGCGAGATGGAGGAGCTCATGCGCCAGCGCGAGGATGTTATAGACGAAGAGGGCGAGGCGCTCATGGACCTCATGGACGCCGAAGAATCTGGGATGCCGGTTGCGAGGCCGCCACCTGTACCGGAGGACGATCTGGACGCGGCGATGGCGGCGTTCGACGAGGCCGCAGCGGCGGCGCCGTCCGAGCCGGCACCGGCCGAGCCCATGGCCACGGAGCCCGCGGCGGCCGCGCCGGCCGCGGCGGAGCCTTCCCCGGCGCCCGCCGCCGCCATGGACGCGGACGCGGTGCCGCCGACGCAGGACGTGGCGCCGACGCAGCTCGTCCCGCCGACGCAGGACATGGAGTGCGCGCCGACGCAGCCCGTGCCGCCGTCCCAGGCCTGCGACCTCGTGGAAGAGTCCGCGCTCGAGTTCAACTCGCAGCCGTCCCAGGACGTATCCCAGGATGAGGAGGAGGCCGAGTTCCAGTTCTGAGAGTAACTACCTAGTTTAATTCACCACTCACCTTCCTCGGCGCCGCGAACCACGCCGCCCAGTCGTCGTCGCCCAGCAACACGGGCCGCAGGCCCTCCTCCACATTCATCGTCAGGTCTACGGGCTCGCATGTCAGCGCCGCGACGAGCGCCCGGCCGACGACCGCGCGATTCGTGACGCCGTCGTCCCTTTGAATACCATTCGCCGCCTTCATCTTCTGGAAGAAGTTGACGGGCTTGTCCCCGGCGACGGCGGAGACCCCGAGCAGGAACTTGTCCGCGTACTCGTCCGCCTGAAACTTGGGGAAGTCGAACTGCGTGTCGTAGAACTGCCGTGATAATCCTAGATCCTCCAGCTCCTCGCCTGCGTCGAACGACGCCGTCGCGGTCTCCATCGCGGCGAACGCATCACATTGAAGCTCATGTTTCACGCCGCGCCAGCACCTTTGTTCGTGCCCGGGCCGCCGCCTCTTAACTCGTGCACGCGCAGCACGGAGCACGGGATTTGTCGGTCAGCACACGCTTTCCTAGCTGCGTCGACCGCGTCGGCGTTCTTGCCCGCCTCGACGCAGATCGCCACGCTCGTGCACGCGGGCGCGTTCCTTAGTACGGTCTCGCAGTAATTGCCCGTTAATCCAGCAAATCCGGCGCCGGATATGATCAAGCCCTCGGCGTCCTCGAGAATCTCGCCGATGCCCTCGGCGCCTTCCACCACCTTAATTTTGGCTTCGTCCTCACTTGAAAGGTCGGCGCCCCAGAGCATTTTACGGGCTTCGGCGGGTTTGTTGCACGCGACTGATGACGTGAGGCCTTGCTTATGCGCGGTCTTGGCCGCGTTGAGCGACACCCAAGGGTCCCCCGGGCCGAGGACGGCGACCTTCGTCAGGGCCTGCGTCGACGCGGCCAGGAACAAGATTGCGCTGCAAGAGGGCATCGTGCCTTCGCGTGCAAGTGATTTTCTGTGCGGTTATCGTGTCGATGGCGTATTGCCGCAATGCTCTCCCTGCTAGGTGCTTGATTGCTGGCGCTACACTTGATAAGCGGTCGCGCTGTTGCGTCAGCAGTTCTGAGGGGGTTCGACTGTTACTCCTGCAGGCAATGGCTTGCCGTGGCAGCTTCAGCACAGGTAGCTTATGGATCGAGAGGCAAAATGAATGAGGCAACCCGTCCGATATTGTTTGACGCTTAGACGCCGCCTGCGGCGTTGTCGACGCCTCCTCACGCCGTCGCAGCAGTGTGGACGCGTAAAGTCGAGGGGCGATGGGGGCTGATGAGCTCATTCATCGATGCGCCTGACTTTGTCGTACGCTCAAAACGAGCATTAAACGGACACTCAGCGACAAGGGAACGTCTCAAAATGCTGGCCCGCGCCGCCACCCGGCGCGCAGCGCTTTCCCTGCGTCAAAACCGCCGGCCCCTGCAGCACCTAGCATCTGCAGCAAGGCGCACGAGTGTCGCCGCACCCCGCGCCGCGCTGGCGGCAGGAGCCCCGTTAACGCTCGCCTTCGCCGCCACGACCTACGCGCGCGCCGAGGCGACGCACGACGCCGCCATCGAGGCCGCGCGGATACGCGCACAACGATTAGCGGACGCGGCGGAACGAGCAGCACAATTACGACAGACGCCGTCGCGGTGGCGTTTACTGAGAAGAGCCATGAACCTTTCTCTGAGAGCCACGCCATTAATCGTCGGGCGGCTCACGGCGGACGTCTCGCGGATGCTGGGCATTCGAGCAGTCGACGACCTGTGGTGGTCCTGGTGCCTCCGAGAAGTGGAGCGCGCGGGCCCGACCTTTATCAAGTTGTGCCAGTGGGCGGCGTCTCGCGATGATTTGTTTCCGGTCCAAGCTACTAGGCGGTTCGCGCGACTCCACGACCGAGTCGAACCTCATAGCTATGAACAGACGCAGCTCTCCGTGAGCAAAGCGTTCGGGGACCAAGACCTAACGATAGGACCGATCCTCGGAAGCGGCTGCGTCGCGCAAGTGCACCGCGGGACACTACATGGTCGAGACGTCGCGGTCAAAGTAGTCCATCCAGGAGTGAGAGAATTAGTGGACTGCGACATGTGTTTGTTGCGCGGTATCGGGTCCATCGTCGAGTACTGGGCGCCTTCCTTGAAATATTTGGCTGTTAGAGGTACTTTACAGCGCTTCGAAAAGGTCATGCGCGCTCAACTCGACTTGCGGACGGAGGCGGCGAACCTCGAGAAGCTCCATTTGTTATTTGCTCAAGATGAGAACGTGGTGATTCCGAGGCCTGTTTTGGAGGTCAATGGCGTCGATGGCGCGCAACGAGATGTACTCGTCGAGGACTTTGTGGAGGGCACGCCCGTCCTCAAGTACGCCGCGAACAAATCGATCGAGGAGAAGGAATTGCTGGCCACTCATGGTGCGAGAACAGTACTAAAAATGGTCTTACATCACAACTTCGTGCACGGGGACCTTCATCCCGGAAATGTGTTAGTGGAGGAGTCTACCGGAAGGTTAGCTATCTTGGATGCGGGCATCTGTGTGGAGATACCGACCGAGACGCACAAGACGATGGTTCGGGTACTGAGAGCTATGTTGGAGTACCGCGGCGACGACGCGGCTCGGCTGTTGCTCGAGAACAACGGTGGGAGCGACGACTCGCAGGACCAACTCCAGCGGGAGGAGGCGTTCGTGGACGGGTTCGCGAAGTTTGTGGAATCTACTCGGACCCAACCTATTTTTGATTCGATGGCGTCGTATGTGGGCGACGTCTGCGCGTTAGCCGTGAATAATAGGGTCGCGTTGGACGCGTCTTTCGTGGCCGTGGCGTTAGCGGTCAAAGTCGTGGAAGGCCTGGTCGTTGATTTGCAACCGGACTTTCCCTTCGTCGAGATCGCGGTGCCCATGTTTCTCAAAGAAAGTTGCATGCGCGCGTCGCGCGAGGAGGCGGGGCGCATGAGCGCCTACATGAACGGGCTGCTGACGGGGCTGCGGAACGAGGAGAGTCAGTAGAATTGTGTTTTTTTCGGTCGTGCTTGGTTATAAGTATATCCTTCGTGTAACTCTTAGTCACAGCGTCGATGGCGTATGCGCCGCCCGCACGCCATCAAGGCGACGCAGGCGCGGAGACCGGCCCCGCGGCGGAGAAAGAAAGAAACACAAGCCCACGATTACGTTCTCCCCCGGAAGTCCTCTTCGTCCTCCTCCAGCGGTGGCGGCGGCCCGGGATCCTCCGGCCCCGCGAACGTGTGCCGCCAGCCGCGGCCGAAGAGCGCCTCGTGCTTCTGCGACGTGGAGGCGATCCACTCGGCGTGTCGCCCAAAACGCGTAGAATCAGTATTGAAATCATCATCCAGGTCGTTGTTCATCGCGATAGCAGCATCTACTAAGCCGTCGGGGTGCTGGACCGTGGCTTCTACGGCAGAATCGAGTCGATCGAGATACTCCTTCAGCACTTCTTCCGGCACCGTTCGGTCTCGTTGTTGGTTCCGTCGCAAGGCCGTTTCTAGGGACACTTCCACGTAGAGTTGCACCACATCAAACCCCGCCTCGCGCGCTTCCCGCATGCGACGGATTTGTCGCTTCACGCGAGTGCCCGTGCCGTCGAAACAAACAAATCTCCCCCGGCCGTCCTCCTTGCGAGGCTGCCGCAGCATCTTCTGGAACCGCCTCTCGACCCGCTCGTTGGCCCAGTTGTAGGCGTCGATTTTACCGTAGAGCTCCGCCGGCCGCTCCTCGCTGTACTCCGGATGGCGCTTCATCGCGCTGTCCAGGTCGAGCATATCAACAGCATCTAACATTTCAACATTTTCGAGGCCGAACAGGCGATGCAAGGTGTAGGTCTTGCCCGCGCCCGGCGCGCCGGCTGTGAAGACCATGACGGGCCGTGTGCCGGTATAAAACATCGTTAACGCGCCGGACCAGAGCTGTCTGCGCTCGGGGAGCCGGCGCCGCAGCGCGGCCAGCGACGCGCGCATGGTGCGGTTATCGGTGGCGCCTCGCCTCGCGCGGGCGCTGGGATCCACTCACTGTCGCTGTGTTGTGTGCTCGTAATATACCGAGCGGTGCGGCTCACTGCTGCGGGTATGCGCGCGTTATGGGGCCGCGATGCAATACGATCGCTGTACTAAAACGTTTAGCTGCTAATCAAGGCGCTAGATCGAGCTGGGTGGACTGGACCAAAAAACCAAGCTAGCGTCCTGTAAGACACTAGCAAGCACAAAATCTTGGCATTTTGAGGGCTACACAAGTCAGCTCGCCAGTTGCTGAGGTATAGCGTGTCGGAGGGAAACAATGGTCGCCCCAGTGTCACGTCGGCTTCATAATTTTGGGTGAAACCCTTTGATTTTCTCGACATACCTCACTCCTACCAAAAGCAATACAACCAAGCGCGGCTCGCGCCCCGCTCGCGCCCGCGACTCGTCCCACGTCGACGCAGGCCGATGTCACGACCGCCCAGCCCGTAAAAAGCACGGAGGCGCTCGTCGCGGCCGTCGCCGTGCCCGAGCCCGACAAGAAGGGCAAGTTCACGTCCGGCCTCTGTGCGTGCTGCAGCCACATCTGCACGTGTTGCATGGCGATGTGGTGCTGCACGGACGCGGTGATCCTCGGCAAGATGCTGCGCATAAATCAAAATTTCACGGCGCCTTCGTGCTGAATCGTCGCGTCGAGTCGTCGACCACGCCATCGACGCGACGCCTGCTCGATAGCGTACGCACAGGCCAGATGTACGAGAAGCAGGACCCCGAAAAACGCAAGGGCAGCTGCATGAAGATCATTGGTTACTTCTTCTTCCTCTACGTCGTCATCATCGTCTTCTCGTGCCTCGGCTACGACTACTACGGCAGGAGCTCGAACCGCGGCATGCCGTTGGCTACCATCTCGGACATCTTCTACTGTTTATGGGTGATATCGTTCGTCGGCGCCATCGGGTACATTCGCTACGTGATCCGCCACAAGTACGACATCCCCCCCCAGTGCTGCACCTGCGATGAGGAGGGGGTATGCGACGACTGCTGCTGCGCGTTCTGGTGCGGATGCTGCACGACTGCCCAGGTCGCGCGTCCGCGGCGGCGTCCTCGATCATGTCGCGTCGACGCGCGGAGGTCGACGCCGTCGCCGCGACGCGCCCCTCGTCGCAGGCCACGAGTACGCGATTCCCGCGACCGGCACCGTCAACTACTCCTGCACGACGGCGACCGGCGAGCCGTGAGGAGCGGCGTCGGCGGCGAGCATGCTAGAGCGCCCCCCCCCCATCCGCTCCCCGCGCTCCCACCGCTCGCCGAGTAACAACGCTATCCCACGACGGCCCCGACGCGGACCTGGCCTGCTCCCCCTCGCCGTCGTCGCCGCCCGCCGCGCCTCCGAGCTAACACGGGGCGACGGTTTACGGGCGTCCGGTCAAGCAGCACTCAGCTTTCTCCGCCGCGCGTCGACCGGGTAGCTAGGCGGCCTAGCTCGAAGCAAAGCAACTAAACAACGGTTACGACACAAGAAACTGGTCCCCGGAAGGGCACGGCAGCCCCAACCCCAGGGCGTCCATGGCGGCGCATTTTCCGATAGAATGGTACTCGCCGACGACTACCGTCCGCGGCAACGACCCCTCGACGGCGCCGCGGTGCAGCGTATGCGTATCCACGACGAACCCGCCGCCCTTCGAGCCACAGAGCTTCGCGACCTCGTAATGGTCGCGCACGTAGTCATTACTAAATCGTGAAGCACCCATCGCGTCCGTCCGGTAATAGTTCAATAGGTGCGACCCGACGGCCACCTCCGTGGGATGGCCCTCGTCGCAGTCGACGTCGTGCAGAAACACGAAGGCCTTCAACCTATTACCGACGCGGTCGTGGTGCCAGAGGCCCGCGACGTAACTCTCGGTGTCGTTGGACGACGTCGTGTCCTGTGTGGAAATCAACCAGTGAGTTCGGAGACCTTCGTGACCCCCACGCCATCGAGCAGACGCAGTTGATTTCCACACAGGGCCTGACGATGTGCACGACTTTGTAGCCCGAGAGCTGCGCATCTCCCAGATAGCCCGACGCGATCTCATTGATAGAACGAAAGAAGCGCTCTAGACGTTTATCGGCATACCGCGCCGTCGCCACGCGCCCGTTTGATGTGGAAGAGAGTGTTTCCCGCGAGCCTTGGAGGGACCGCGTCGCTTTCTTTGCAATGCCATCGGTGAGGACGCCCCAATCCCGGATACGCGCGACGCCGTCCCGCCGCAGTGCCAGGACGGCGTCGTTTGTGGAAGGTGAAGGGACCAGGCGCCTTTTACCATCGATCTCGAAGTGGACATCACCATTAGGGTCCGAGGCTAAGTAAGCTTCGTAGGCGAGCTCCGCGTCATCTGAAGACGTGCCCTCCCGCAGGACGATGCCAATGGGCGTGACCTCGAGTAAACCTCGCGCTTGGAGTCTCTGTAAAGCAGCCGCTGCCCTTGGATGTCGTTCCAAGAACTCGATAGTCCGTCGTTGCGCTCGGAGCGCATCTCGGCGATCCGCGCCATCAAAAGGTAACGCACGCGCCGCTTCTATATCATCTATGGATACGGTCAACTCCGACAACGTCGCATTGCCTTCACCAGAGACGCTTAGCGCCGCACGCAGGCGCGCGCTTCTCAAAGGCGCCCAGGCGTCGATGCGCGCCATGGCGGCGGCCGTGTCGCGGACGGGACCGCGCGCGCGGCAGGCGACGCCAACTGCTGGCATCGAACACTCGCCGCCAACGCACGTCCGGACGCTCCCATCAAATCCAAGGACGGCGCGGTCGCCGCGCGCCGCCGCGGCCGCGAAGGGCGACGAGATGGAAGCGACGTCCTCAAACCCGAGCCGCGCGCAGGTTTTGATCGCGTCGGCCCGCGTCCAATTACTGGAAGTCACGGCGCGCCAGGCGTCGTCATCCGACAGCTTGACCTCGAGGCGGCCGCAGTCGGCGTTGCAGCCCGCCAGTTGTATATGTGTGGCGCCGCGGAGGAATTCGGCCGTCGCTGTGGTGATGAGCAGCAGCAGGAGCATGGCTGCCCTTGCTCGTCGAGGGCGTCTGGGACAGCGTTATGTGTGTCTCACGACCCCATGGGTAATCCCTAGGACAGCCTCGCCTCGCGTCAGGCTTGGTCGATTTTTCGTGTAGATTGCTAGTGTCTTACATAAACGCTAGCGTGAGATCCCGGGTCGTCTGCTAAACTTTGGAAAAGCGCTGTGAATAAAGCATTGAGCTGCCGAATCCTCTCGCGTGCGAGACTCAGACAACGGTGTGTTGCCGCTGCCTCCAAGACTTTGAGGCCTAAACGTCTCCACAGTCAGTGCAGCCACTGCCCAGTCAGCCGCTGAGTTGTGACTGGATGACCATTTGCGCAGTTATCCGTCACCTGTCCGAAGCATGATGCGGTGCGCAATTCTCCTCGTCGTAGCTAGCAGAGCAACCGCCCTAACTCTCCCGGACGTGTCGCGCGCCGAGGCGCTGCGAACGTTAGCGCTGCCGCTGGGCGGCGTCGCCGCCTTCCGCGGCGGCGCCGCGCTCGCCGTCGTCGGCCAGCCCCGCGCGCCGGCGCTGCCGAGGCCCGTCGGGTGTCGCGTCGCACGCGTCCCCGCTAGCGACGGCTCGGGCTCGTGCCGCGTGAAGATCTTTTATCCCGCGGCGGCGCCCGCGCCGGAAGACGCGCCCTACTGCCTCGACGGACGCGCGACGAGCGACGGCATGGCGGGCCTCGTCGGCTTCAGGCAGCTCGGGCTCGCGTTCCTCTTGGCGCACCTCGCGGACGCGCCGTCGGGCTGCGGGCTCGACGCGGCGCCCGTGGCGACTAAGCTGCCGCTGCTCGTCTACTCGCACGGCTTCGGCGGCAACGCGGACATGGCCTCGTACTTCCTGAGCGAGGTCGCCGCGGCCGGGTCCGTCGTCGCGGCCGTCGAGCACACGGACGGCACCGCGTCGAACACCGTGCTGGAGGACGGGACCGCGCTGCCCTTCGCGCCCGGGCGGCTCTCGCGGCGCGAGCAACTGGACCGCCGGGCCGACGAGCTCGTGGACGTCGCCAAGGCGCTGCGCGGCGCCGACGGCCTGCCGCCGCTCGGCGAGACGTTCCTCGGCGGCCACAGCTACGGCGGCCCGTCCGCGCTGCTGGCCGCGTCGCGCTTCGCGTGCGCCGGCTTCGTGCTCCACGACCCGGCGCTCGGCATGGGCTACGCGTCGGAGGCGGCCGCGCGCACGGTATCCTTCACCTCGGACGAATATGATGCCGCCGGCGTCCGGTGCGGCGCGACGTTCCACTGCCGCGGCGCGTTCCACGGCAACTTCGTGGACGCGCCGTTGTGGGCGCCGCCCTGGGTCATGCGGCCCCTATCCAGCGTGATCCCGGCGGCCGGGCCCGTGGATCCGTCGCTCGCGCACGCGGCGCTCGCGGCGGCCGCCGTGACATTCATGCGCGGCGATGACGTGGCGCCGGACGGGTTCTTCGAGCGGCGGGCGTGAGTAAGTTGTGTGGTGATTGTCATACGAAGGTACTTACTGGGTGCGAGCGCGCGGGCTCTCAGTAGTCGGCCTGGTAGCCGGTCGTCGGGTTGGGGTTCGGGCCGTGGAAGTCCCAGAAGTAGTCGAGCGAGTGCTCCCACTCCGCGGGGTTATCGACGCTCTTGCCGTACTCGCTGTCGATGTTCGCGCGCATGACCTTGGCTTGGATCTCGTCAATGAGCGCGTCGTCGCAGGCCCAGTGACACTCCAGAATGTCGACGCGCTCCTCCACGTACTCGGAGAACTTCGCCCAGAGTTGCCCGCGGAGGGCCGAGACCAGCCGCGGGAGCGTCGACAAAGTCGCGGGATCGGCGAGGCGCCGCGAGAGGACGAGCAGCAGCTGCTCGCGGATGCCCTTCGGCGACGGGCTGTCGTTGGGCGCGCCGCCCGCGCCGTACCCATAGACCGCCGTCTCCGAGGTCCGCTGCCTCGCGTCGAAGATGGCGTGCTCGGCGTCCCACTTGTCCTTGTGGAGCGCGGCCTTGTCCGACCCGTACAACCTGACGTTCCGCAACTTCCCCTCGTCATTCACGTGCGGGTTCCCGCCGGGCCGGCTCCAGTAATCGTTGTCGAAACGCCACAACTCGAGCCTACCGTACCGGCGCTTCCACCCGCTTGACGTAAGCTTGCCCTCCTCGTCCGCATCAAAGGTCAGCCACTGAGCCTCAGCCATGAATAATAATTTATTTGTACACGCGCTCTAGCGAAATGGCTTATTTTTATACAACGCTGACTGCGGAGTATCAATCAAGCGCCGCAAGCGCCGCGTGAGAGCATAAAATGAGAGCAAAAAAAAATGGCCCTGCAAAACCCGTTTTGTTCGGCGACGGGTCGGAGGATGAACCGCGCGGAGGCCTTTCCGCAACCGGATACGTAAAATCTTCGTCGGAAGAAAACTGGATTACACGAGGAAGACCTCTCAGCGGAGACGCGAGAAACAATGCACAGGAGCGCGCGGCGGCGGGCGCGCGGCGGCGGCGCGTCACTTGTAGCCGAGCTCCTCGATGCGCCCGTTCTTCTCCGTGATCTTCGCCTCGAGTTCATCTACGCGTCCCTTCGCACTCTCAAACACGCGCTGGACTTCCGCTTCGTTCGCGAGGGATAACGCATCATAAATTGCGACGCCCATGCCCTGCTTCGCTTGTTTGATTTGCTGCTTCAGCATAACGATCTCCGCTTGTAATTTCGACTTCTCGGCCGTCTTCTTGGCCGCGCTCGCGCCCTTCTTGGCGCCGTGGGTGACAGATTCCCAAAAGGATTTCTTCTGCTGGGGCGGGTCGGCGTCGGCCATGGTCGCGAGGCGAGCGTGCGCGGTAGTGGTAATCTGTGTCGTGCGGGCGACGCCGCTGGCGCAAGCTGTGGAGAGTTTAAGCTGTGGAGAGGCCCTAGCTACACAGGGAGTTCCTGCAGCTAAGACGACTTGCGGAACGGTAACCACTGCTGTTGCAAGCAAAAGAACGTCGCAGCGCGTCGTGATGAGCGCAGATGTGGCACAAATGAGGAACTTTCCAAATCGACGCGAAAAACCCGTACAACCCGAACAATATCCAGACGATAGACAGACAATTATCCAGCCCCACCATCCACCAGCGACAGCCCATCTAGCCGCGCCGGTGCGGGACCGAAGGAGCCTCTGCCGAGCGCCCCCAGGAACGCGTCACGCGTCGACCGCGCGGCCGCGACGACGAGGACGTCCGAGCCGCGCCGGAGCGCCTCCTCGCAGCGCGCGGCGCAGGCCTCGGCGACGGGATCCGTCACAAAAACGTCCGCGATCACTACGAGTTCTCCGGGCGGCAAGGGTGAGGATTCATCTTCTACGTCGAAGAGCTGAGTTGAGACGTCGAGGCCCTGGTCCGCGGCAGCTGCACTCACAAAATCCAGCGCGACAGAGTCGCGGTCTGTCGCGAGGACAGAAACGCCGGCGCGCGCGGCCGCCAGACTGGGCAGCGCGAGACCGCAGCCGATCTCGACCATCGATGCCGGCGCCGCGTCGGCGAGGAGGCCTCCAGCGATCCGTGCTGATGGCCAGAGTTGTGTTGATAATGCGTCGTGCGGGGTGCCATCGCTGCCACCACCGTACGCGACAGCGTAGACGTACAGCCCGTCGATGCCGTCGACGCGGCGCACGGCATGGCCGCGGATTGACGTGCGCTGCACCGCTGCAGCTGTCGTGCGCTGCACCGCTGCAGCTCCCGCGACGACGGCGAGGGCTCGCATGCAGCTATGCGTGCCCAGCAGACGCTGCACACTGGCAGCAGCAGAGTCACTGCTGGTCAAATGAATGCAAGAACTGTCGTTAGCTCGTTGCGCGTTGGGTCCGCGACGTCGAACACGCTTTGTGCACTTGCTGCAGGTGAGTATGGGGCTCGCACGCGGCCGGAGGCATGCCCCAAAATCAGGGCCTCAATGTGCGGGTATGCGGATCTAGAAAACAAGGTCGGTTCCACGCCTTCGCGCCGAGCCTTCGGACCAGTACCGCCGGAGGATGTATCGCAACTGCGCCTCACGCGGAGCCGCGTGCCCGCCCTCCTTGCGCGAGGCGAGCCCCGGGAGCGGCGCCTGCGTTCGCTGGGTCCCGGCGGCACGCGCCGCGCACGGAGGTCCTCTGTCAGAGCGCGCGGCGCTGGTGCTCATGGCAGATGTAAGGTACGAGGCCCGTGTCTTTGGAGAAGATTAATGGGCCAGTCCTGCTGAGATTCGGGTCCGGACGCGCGCTGGCGCCGCTCACCCGCGATACAATCCCAGCACGCCCCCAACCCAGCGCATAGCAGCGATTTGGGCGCGCCCAACCCGCGCGACGCGGCGAAACCCGAAGGCGCGCCCGGGAGAAGAAGCAGAAAAACTCACCCTCCCATTCGCTGCTGCGCCCCCTGGGCGGCGCCCGGCCTCTGGGACACCGGGAGCGGCCTCGCGAACCGCTGCGGACGCCGCCATCGCGCGAAGAGGACGCGAGAGCAGAAAGCAGCAAAACCGACCCTTCAACGCACAGGCAAGCCGAGTCGAGCCGGCGGCGCGACGTCTCCTCTTCGGCAGTGGACCAGCTCGCGCGGCAGCAACCACAAAGGAATGGACGGCGAGGTGACGGTGCGGACGGCGCCGCGGCGCGAGCCGCCGCCCCAAATGTCGGCGAAGTGATTGATGGGAAGCAGTGGCAGTTCAATGCCGAGCAGATCATCGGGAACGGGAGCTTTGGGGTTGTCTTCCGAGCGACGATCGTCGAGACCGGAGCAGTGGTCGCAATCAAAAAAGTGCTCCAGGACAAGCGCTTCAAGAACCGGGAATTACATATCATGAAGCAGTTGCGGAGCGAGCCTCATCCCAATGTGATTCAATTGCAGCACCAGTTCTATAGTTCTGGGGAGAGGTCAGACGACGAAGTGTACTTGAATTTAGTCCTGGAGTACATGCCCGACACCGTCTACGGCGTCGCGAGGGCCTGGCAGAAGGCGAAGACGCCCTTACCGACGACGCATGCGCGGATTTATGTGTGGCAGCTCTGTCGAGCGCTGGGGCAAATTCACGCGGCTGGGATCTGCCACCGCGACATCAAGCCCCAGAATTTGTTATTAGATCCCAAAACTCATGTCGTGAAGCTCATTGACTTTGGGTCTGCGAAAGTTTTGGTGCCGGGCGAGCCGAACGTGTCTTATATATGTTCTCGCTACTATCGCGCGCCGGAGCTGATCTTTGGGAGCACGGAGTACACGACGGCCATCGACGTCTGGTCGTCCGGTTGCGTTTTTGCGGAGCTGTTGCTGGGCGCGCCGCTGTTTCCCGGGGACTCGGGAGTTGATCAGCTCGTGGAAATCATCAAGGTGCTGGGCACGCCGTCGCGGGATGACATCCGGGAGATGAACGCGTCGTACACGGAGTTCAAGTTCCCTCAAATAAGAGCGCACGCCTGGGCGAAGGTGTTTCGGTCGCGAACTCCCGCGAAGGCCGTCGACTGCGTCGCGACCTTCCTGGCCTACGCTCCGGTAAAACGAGTGAAGCCCCTGAACGCGCTGGCGCACGGCTTCTTCGACGAACTCAAAGTCGCGGGCGCGCGCTGCGACGAGAACGGCGGCGGCCCGGCGCTGCCGCCGCTCTTCGACTTCACGCAGCTGGAACTCGCGGCGTGCCCGGGGCTCGCGGCCCTGCGGCCTCCACAGGCAGCCGCCGCGGCCTAGCCATTTTGACCCTCCACCGCTCGACCCAGGGTCCACGACCCGCTGTTAGCTGAACATTGACCATATAAGAGTATTTATTCGATATTGCTCCGAGTCTTCGCGGTCCGCGGTGCTTCCGACGCGTTCCCCCGGGGAGGCGTCGCGTCGATGGCGTTTAGCACTGTTCAAGTTACGACGGCGGACTAGTATTCACGCCGACGCCGCCCGAGTTCTCGAGGTAACTCTGGATGTGCGCGAGGGACGATGCGGGCGGCACGAACGAGAACGCAGAAGACTCCTGCGATACTAATTGTTCCAATGCCTTGTGCAACGACAACCCAACAATCTCGAGCTTCGCGTCGCCGTCGTCGGCCGCCATCGCGTCCTCGACGGCCTGCTGCGCCTCGGCCCGATCCAAAAACAAGGGCAGTACGGGCTTCCCGTCTTCACCTTGCACGGCCATCTCCATGCAGGCGAACAGAGGTAACTCTTGGCCGAGCGGCGACGCGCCTTTGGGCGCGCCCGCGGCCTCCATGCTATCCTGCGACGGGATCAGGACCGCGGCGCCCGTTCGATGCAGCTGGAACGCCTCCCCGAGGCCCATGGGCACGATGTCCAGACCTAACGAAGGGTGCTCCTCCTTCGCCGATTTCAACTCCGATTTTGCCGCATCTACGTCCGCGTACAGCAGTGCGAGCGGTTTTCCGTCGGCCTCGTACTGCAGCGGCTGGCCCTGCTCGTTCGCCACCGTGAACACCGGCAGCCGGTCGAGCAGCGCCTTGACGCGCGGCCAGCCGGCGGCGCTTACGATGGGATCCTTCGGTTTGTCTTCCGCGCGCAGCCGGCTCGGCGGCCGGCCGTCGCCGGACGGCGTGAACGCGCCGACTTGCAGCGCTGCAGCTATGAGGAGGAGGCGCATTGCAGCTTGCTGGTGCGCTGCCTTGCAGCACTTGTTGAGAGGAGCACGCTCGCAATAAGCTTGCGTCGGCGATCAATGGCCGCTTCGCTGAGCTCGTTTAATGCGCGTATATGTTCGTGCCTAGGTATGCGTGCTGTTTGAAGCAGTGCCAAGCTTTTGCGGCAGGGAGAGCGCCAGCTTTTGGGAGTGATTACTCAGCCGATTTGGCGCGGGATACCAAACCAAGCTCGCGTTACCACCAAATCCATCCGAACTGCTGCGGAAGCCCGAAAACGGAGTCATGCGGGCGTCGCTCGTCCCGATGCTGCTGATGCTGCTGATGGCACCCTGCCTTGCCCTAAACCTGGTCGAAATGAAGCCGTTAGCGGCCGCGATGCTGGCGAAACGGTGGGCCACGGACCAGGCAGAATTGGATCAAAAAGTTGGCATTAGGGACGACGGCGTCACCGGCGTCCTGCGGTTCGGTGATGACCTAAAGCGTCGGACCGAGGTGGCCAAGGCGTTGGACATGTGGCAGAAGACGAGTCTGGCGCTCGCGGCGGCGGCGAAGGGCGGCGGCGGCGCGACGGTCTGCTACGCCGGGATGCGAGAGCCGGGCCCGAACACCCTCGCCATGGTCAAGCGGAGTCCCGACGGCTGGACGCTCAATTTTTTGTTGTGCAATCCGAACGAGCGCGACTCGACGTGATCGAAGCGGCCGAGCGCGAGACGCTCGAGGCCCTCGCCGCGAAGGCGCCGACGCTGACGCCGCTCGGCAGCGTCGCGGCGACGCTCGTCTGCGACTTGGAGGAAGTATTAAGCTAGTAGTTAGAATCCCACAGCACAGTCTCCGGAGCGCCGTCGACGAGTGTCTCGGGGGAGGAGTCCCACGGCGGTGGCGGCGCCGCCCCGGTGGCAAAGGCGCCCAGGATCTCGAGCTCGTCGCCGTGGAGTCCCGGCAGCCCGGGGCCCCGCCGGTCCATTGGTGGTAAACCTCTCGCGACGAGCACGTCATCGACGCCCTGAACCGTGACGCGGCCGTGGTGCTTGATGCCCCGCAAAAAGAACGCGACGAGCGCCGGGCAGCACGCCGCGTCGCGTAGCGGCTCGAGCATCGCATCGGTCAGCGGCGGAATCTCGTCCGCGTGCAGGATTTTCAAGGCGTTGAAGCCGGCGCGGAAGATGGCTACGAAGGCCGCGTCATCGATGCGGCACCGCGACACGTCGAGGCGTGTCAACGCTAGATTGGATGGGAGGTCCGCGCACAACGCGCATACGCCCGCCGTCGACACGCGCGACTGTTGGAGATCGAGCTCGACCAGCGCATGAAGCGAGCCCGTCCGCCACGCCCTTCCTAAGTAGTCGAGTCCCACGTCCGTCAGACCGCAGCGGCCGAAGCCCGAGCCCAAATCCAGGGTCACGAGCGTCCGCAACCCCAGTTGACCCAGAGCCGGACACCCGCAGCACCGCAGCGCGAGGTAACTAGCTAGCGGCAGAATTTTGCCCCAAAGCCACTTCTCGAACTCGACGCCTTTGCGGAAGGCTCCACTTCCATCGTCGCGGAACCAGACTCGCCGACAGTCCGCCGTCAGCGAAATCAATGCCGCGTCGTTGCCCGAGTCGAAGGCCTCGCAAAGTTTGTCGTGCCGCAGCACGAGCGACGCGACCGCGCCCGCGCGTCTCGTAGTATTGCGCCACCGCTGCGCCACGACCGCGAGTCTCGACGCGACCACGACGCTCTCTCTTAATTTCGCGAGGTCCGCGTGCTCCGTGAGTCCGAGCATGGTGTCGGCCGGTGACTGCTGCAGCAATGGAGGCGGCGGGGCGCGCACGCCGTCGTCCGTCGACGCCTCGAAGAGGAGGAAGCCAAAAATAAGGCCCAAAACATCATCCGGCGCCTCGTTTAGGATGCGGTCGTAGCGCCGCGGCTCCAGCGCCATGGTGAACGCGTATTTGGCGTCTCAAACGAGCGGCGTCGAGCGTGGTGCCCGGAACGACCCGAATCAAAACGGGTTTTACAGCGACGGCCTCTCGACTACGGGAGCAAAGCGCAAAATTTCAATAAAGTTACTCAGAGGTAGTCCTGCAGCCCCCGGAACGCCGTCGAGTGCCGCGGCAACCGCGGCGCGGGCCGCCGCGCGGGAGTTTTTCCGGTAGCAAAGGCCCCCAGGATCTCCAGACCGCCGCCCCGCAACCCCGGCAACCCTGGCCCGCGCCGGTCCATGGGCGGCAGGCCCCGCGCAACCAACACGTCGTCCACCCCATGTTGCGTGATGCGGCCGTGGTGCTTGACACCTCGTAAGTGTAGAGCAACTAACGCCGGGCAGCAGGTTGGAGCCCTCAACGGCTCCAACATATTATCGGTCAAAGGCGGGATCTCGTCGGCGTGGAGGATCCTTAATGAATCGAAGCCGGCGCGGAAGATCGCGATCATGGCGGCGTCGTCTATTCTACAGCGACTGACGTCCAACCTCCTCAACTTGAGTGAGGAGGGGAGCTGATCACATAAAGCGACCAGGCCTGCCGACGACACCCGAGACCGTTGTAAGTCCAACTCGACCAGAGCGTGCAGACTGCCAGACCGCCACGCACCACCAAGTAAATCCAACCCCACATCGGTTAAACCACAATGCCCGAAGCCCGCGTCGACCAGACAGGGCATGCCACAGAACACGGTTCGCGCCACGACGTCCGCATCCACAGGTTCGGGCACGGTGCCTTTCGCACACAAGCGGTGGAAGCGGCACCGTCTTAATGTAGAAGCGTGGGCGTCCGCGATGGCCAAGGCTGCAGATGCCCTGTTTTTGTGGAAAGACCCTCCAAAATCAACGGCCACTGCGGATAGAACGAAGCGCGGCCCATTGTTGATGAGCTGCACGCGGCCGGGGCCCACACTTATTAAGGTAGAAGGTTGTTTGGTAGAAGCCAGCGACACGCAGTCCGCGACGCAGCAGGGGTCAAAAGCTAAGGCTAAAGGCACCGGCTCGTGAACGGTCATCGTCGCATCTCCTCGCACGACCGTCAACCCGCATTCCGTCGCGAAGTGCTCCAACCGATCGTCGGTTATGTCTCCACTTACAGCCGCGCCGTACGAGTAGCTCTCCTCCATGTGTGCTGGTAATGGTCGCGGCGGCAGGTCGTCCGGTCGACATTGGGACAGGTCCAAGGAACGCAGAGAAGATCTCAATGATGCGACTAAGACAGCCACATCACCCGCAGATAGTCTACAACCAGATATGTCCAATCTCTCTAGTTTGCTAAAACCAGCACCGGCCAATTTGCCCGCGCCCTCGCTACCCACTCGATGGCACATCGGCAAGGCCAAGCGCCGTAACGTGTGCTTCGAGGACGCGCCGATGTGGCCTAGGGAGCTATCGTCGACGTCCGAGAACCCGAGATCCAAAGTCACGACGTTCCGAAACGCCAATCGATCTAAAGCAGGACAGCCGCAGCATCTCAATGAAACACAAGAAGCCAGGGGCAAGACGTCGTCCCAGAGCCAGCGGTCGAACTGGGCCCCTTTCCGGAACGCGCCGCTCCCGTCGTCGCGGAACCAGACGCGCTGGCACGACGCCGTCAGGGCCTTCAGGGCGTTGTCGGCGCCTTCCCTGTGTACCCCTCCCATCACGACCCGAGTGTCAAACGTATCGACGAGCCGGTCGTGCCTTAGTACAAGGGAAGCGAAGGCGCCCGTCGCCTTCATCAGCCGCTGCCAGGGTTTGGAGACGACCGCTAAACGACTGGCGACGGCGGCCCGCTCTCTTAATTTGGCCAGATCCGCGTGCTCCGGGAGACCGAGCGCGGCCGCCGCCGGCGACTGCGGCAGGAGAGGTGGAGGCGGCGCCTTCACCCCATCTTCGTCGGTGGGAGCGTCACTACTTTCAAACAGCAATAAACCGAGCGTGCGGCACAACACGTCCTCGGGCATCCCATTCAGGATCATGTCCCATCTCTTGCGGCTGCGCCGGTGCGGCGGATGTTGAGCGAGGGGGGCTGCCTGCTTCGTGTCCATGGCCGCGTCGCCCCAGTCGTTGGCCCGCCAGGCGTCGCGCAGCTCGTTCAAGGACATGCTTTCGTGCCCTCCTCTCTCTTTGCTTTGAAATGGTACCCGCACGACGTCCCGGAGAGAGCTCTCGTGGGGGGTCCCGCAGGTCCTGGAAAGGCCCATGGAGGCTCTTTCCGCAGGGCGTGCGGGTTCCACTTGTTTCACGGTTTCACGCCGTCCCGACCTGAACGTCGCTTCGTGGGGCCGCGTGCGGCTGCCCCGGCACCGAATTTTGGAAGGAGCCTGCGCCCCGACTTCATTGTGCTTCGTGGGGCTGCCCGCGACGTCGCAGCGTTGTAATATGGTCCGCAGCCACGCCCAGCACCTCGAAGCGCTGCTGGCCGAGCAGCGCCTCATCGCCGCCCAGAAGCCGAACCTTCAGCTCTGTTGGAAGTTCCTGGAGGAGGAAATCGCGCGCGTCAGGGCCGCGGAGAAGGTTAATCCGACGCGTACTACACCAGTGAAGACGCCGTCGGGGCGGCACGTGAAGAAGACGCCCGAGCAGCATGGCGCCAAGAAGACGACGCCAAACAAGACGACGCCTGACAAACACGTGAAGCGCGCCACGCCCGAGCATGGCGCGACGAAGAAGCCCGCTGAGCTGCCCGAGGCGAAGACCGCGCCCGTCAAGGCGCCGTCGATGCTGCAGCGCGTCAAGCGCGCCGTCGGCGCGGACAGTAAAGTGCAGCCTATTGCACAGAAGGAGGACGCCCTCTCGCCGGTGAGGACGCCCTCTCACCGGATGGCGTCGCCCTTGAAGCAGAAGAACACCGATTCGGCGCCGGAAGTCTTGAGTCCCGCGTCGCGGCTCAGAAGGAAGAAGGAGAAGCTCAAGGCCTTCTCCACCGCCGGCGCCGTCGACGAGAAGATCCAGAACGAGTATAGGCGCAAGCGCATCCTCCAGGAGGAGGCCGTGACGTCGAAGCGAGAGTTATGTGATATGGCTCTGGAAGAACGGGCGCAGAAAGCGAGGGACTTTACGTGCGTCGGCCACGACACGGTCTTCATCTCCAAGGCGAAGGCGTATCTACGGTTGCAATTGTTCCTGAATGCGAGACGGGACTACATGCTCGTCTGTACTCGAGCGGCTCAGCACGAGACCTACGAGCCCGTGTTAGTGTCCGAAGCTGAGCTTGCTAGGGCGGTCACGGCCTACAACAAGGGCAAGAAGCCTACCCTATCCAAAACAGGTACGGAGGCCGAGGACTGGGCCCTGCACTACCTGTTCAAGTGCGGTCGAGTCACTATCGCAGATGACAAGTGCGAGATCCTCGGCGTCGACTCGTTTAGTCTGGACGACGCGATGAAGTGCGGCAACTACTCGGACGTGAGTTGCTTCGGCGCGTGGCGCGCGATCACGCTCGAGCACTGGCAGCCCGCCGGCGCCGAGGGCGACAAAATTGCCAGAGCCTTCGACGCCACGTTCGTCGCAGCGGAGGAGGACATCTCCGCCAACGAACGCGGAAGGGAGGAGGCCGAGGCGGAGCGAGTCAAGATGAACGCCGCGGCCAAGGAGCTCCAGGCGCAGCACGCGGAAGACGCGCCCATGCTCGACGGCCTCATCGCGGGCCACGCGCCGGGGCAGAAGCACAGCGCGCATCCCGTGAAGCACCACAGCGCCGGCGATCGGCCGCGGTCGCGCGTGAAGCCGGCTTTGCCGAAGGCCGCGCATGGCGGCCACTAGGGGTCGTGCCGTGATGATACTAAGATCAAGAGTCCACTTATGGCATTGAGGGGGCTCTGAGGGGAAAGGGACGTAGTGAGAAGAAAAAGGGGACCGACTAGGTCTCGATGATGTTCTGGCGAAGTGCGTCCGGGACTTCGTCCTTGTTGTGCCAGGCCTTGCCCATGGCCTCATCGAGGTTTGCCTCGGAGAACATCTGCGACACGGCGGACAGGTAGAGCCGCGAGCGCAGGTCGTCGGCGACGAGGCAGAGCACGTCGATGGCCGCGCGGTCGTCCTCGACGGTGAGGTTGCCGTCACGCGGATCAGTGACCTCGTGGTCCGTGGGGGCCTGTGCGCAAATCGATGGCGTTGATGTCGACGACACGGCGCCGTGAAATTTTGATTGATGCACTGGTGGGGGCCAGCTTGCCCTCCGATATGACGTATCTCTTCACGCCGGCGCACCGGGCGAACTCTTGCTCCACAAGACACCAGGCTCGGCTCCAGTACTCCGGGTGATCGATCGACACGAACGCGTCGCAGGCCGTGATGTATAACCCCAACGCGTTTACACCGCGGATTAGTTCCGCGAGATCGTCCTGTTCGACGCAGGCGAGGTCGAACCAAATGTATACCTTGTCGAGGTCGACGCCCTCCTGCTTCGCGTAGGCCTCCGCGGCAGCGACGATCGCCTGGCGCTTCGTTCCTTGATCGTCATCTGGATGTGTAAGCGTCAGCCAGCGCTGGGAGAAGAAGAGAATCTTGGCGCCCTCAGGCAGCTCGGACGCGTCGACCTGGGGCGTCGGTCCTTCGTCCTTGCACGAGCGTCTAGGGATGGAGTCCCTCGCGCCAAAGACGTCGGCGGGAATCACCTTCATGGCGCCTAGCTTGCGCCCTTCATCATCGCCGAGCTTGGCGAGCTCCTCGCAGATGACCTTGCGACGCGTCGCGGCGCTCTCCTTCCGCGGCAGGTTCTTGATGATCGGGTGGATCTGCTCGATAATCGCCTTGTTCTGCGCGAGCACTTCTTTCCGGACCGGCCGCACGACCTCTGAGGGTTTGCCGTACCAATGACCGTCGCGGGCCTCCATGTCTGAATTCGGCGCGATCATGGCCTTCCACAGCTTGTTGATGTTGGCCATCGACAGCATCGACGGCGCGGCCGGAACCTGGACCCGCGCCACAGCCGGTCCCAAAGGCGTTGCCTGGTCCTCCTCTATTTCGCTCAGCTTCTCAGCACCGGGGAGTACAGACACGCCGCGGTCCAAATTAAAGCGTAGCGCGGCTTGTGCGGGGGATAACGTGTCGTGACCGAGCGATTGCTGGTCCAGCACTGACCCTTGCCCAAGGGGCGTGTGAGCCAAGAATGCTATTTTTTCACGGCGGCAGAGGTCGTAGATGGCTTGCTGGTGGTGGAGGATATGCGCCTCGGCCTCATAGACCGCGGGACGGATCTCGCAGAACTCGAGGAGCCGCTCCAGCTGCGGCGCGCTGATGTTGCAGATGCCGAGAGCTCGCACCTTTCCTTCCCGATACAGCGCTTCACACTCCTTCCAGACTTCATCGAACGCGATCTCGCCCGGCTCAAACTTCTCAGAGAAGCGCACGCAGCACAGCGGAGCGTAGACGTCTATGAGCGGCTGCCCCTCGCGTTTCATAGGCATCATCTCTGCTTCGTGGGCCTCGAGCGACTTCCGGACATTTCCCGGTTCCACGCCCATCTGGAAGGGGTCCGGATGCCCCACCATCACGAAGTCGGACAAATCCTTATCCGAGAGCTGCTCGGCGATCGCCACGCGCGCGAAGGCCTTGTCAAAACCCGGCATCGTCGGGCAGGGGCCCGCGCAGTCGAGCATGCCTGTGCGTTAGAGTAAACTTTGACCATCGCTTGATGCGGACTCCGCGGCGTACGCATGCCGTAGCCGTACGCGATCTCGTGCACGCGCTCGCCCTCTTCAAAATGCTTGTAGAGGCCCGCCGAGCCGACGCCGATCCTTGGTAAGTAGCCGCCGCAGAGGTGGAGCGAGTCCAAGAGCGCCTCGACCTTCGGCTTCACTCCGTCCGGTAGCTGGGCGAGAGCGGCCTCGACGTCCGGGGCGACGGCCTGCCCTTCCATTTCCGCCTTGAACGCCCGGAGGCAGGCCAAATCCAGCGGCTTGGTGATCGCGCGGTTCAGTCGGCGCTGGACGCACGGCTCGAGCGCGACGAGGCCGTGGACGAGGATGGCCTCGTTGATGCCGTGCGCCAGTGACAGCCGCGCCGCCAGCGCTTTGATGTTGTCCGGTGCATCCGGCACCTCCAGCGCCTCGTCCTTCTCAAAAAAGCTACCTCCTGCGCCCATGGTATCTCTCTATACTTGCTGCCTTCTTGCGCAATTCGTTCCTGGCGGACCCTGCGCGAGTTATCTGGCAGCTGCGACGTCCTGGGCAGCGATTGCGCAGCGATCTGGATCCAATAGCGGCGCTCTTCTGTGCATGCTTGGCTCGGAGGGCAGAGGGCCGGCCACGCAAATCAGCGTTCTCGACGCGCCATCGTATATGTGGAGGCGTATGCAGAGACATGGAAATGCTAGCGATGTGAATAAGCGTATTACTAGATATGTCGGCGTCGGACTATACGACGACTTGACATGTGAGCCCGACAGAGGGGCCTAGGTCTTGATGATGTTGGAGCGGACTCCCTCCTCCGCGCCTTGAAATACCCTGTTGCCGATGGCCTCGGCCAGTTGGCCCTCCGTGGACCATTGGGAAATACCACTGAGGTACAAGCGCGAGCGCAGGTCGTGCGCTACGAGGCAGAGGACGTCGATCGCCCCGCGGTCGTTCTCTACTGTTAAATTGCCGTCGCGCGGATCCGTCACCTCGTGGCTAGTGGGGACCAGTATACCGTCCGAGCTAATCACGAAGCGCGGCACTCCCGCGCACCGTGCGAACTCTTGCTCCATCAGGCACCATGCTCGAGACCAGTACTCAGGATGGTCGATCGAGACGAATGCGTCGCAGGCCGTGATATATAAGCCCAGAGAATTCACGCCACGCACGAGTTCGGCTAAGTCGTCCTGTTCGATGCACGCCAGATCGAACCAGATATATATCTGTTCCAGCTCGACGTCCGCCTGCTTAGCGTAAGCCTCGGCCGCGTCGACGATTGCGGTGCGTTTTGTACCCTTATCATCGTCAGGATGTGACAGGGTGAGCCAGCGCTGACTGAAGAATATCAACCGGGCACCTTCGGGCAGGTCCGAAGCGTCGAGTTGGGGGGTCGGACCCTCGTCCTTGCAGGACCGCCGGGGAATTTTGTCCTGCGCCGCGAAGACGGTCGCAGGAATCACTTTCATGGATCCGAGCTTGCGGTCGTCGCCGAGCTTCGCCAGCTCCTCGCAGATCACCCGCCGCCGCGCCGCGGCCGTTTCCTTCCGAGGCAGCGCGGCGATGATGGGCCGGATCTGCTCGATCGTGGCGCTATTCTGCGCGATGACCTCCTTGCGCACGCACCCCTTGTCGTCCGCGGCGGACAGAACGTACCAGTGGCCGTCGTCCCGCCGCACCAGGTCGGCGGTCGGCGCGATCATAGCCTTGAACTTTGAGTTGACCGCTGCTACCGAGAGAGCGACGAAGGCAGCTGGCGGGGGAATGCGCGCAACGGGCGGACCGAGCGGAGTCGCCTGGTCCTCATCAATCTCTGATAGTTTCTCCGCGCCCGGGAGCACCGAGACGCCGCGATCGAGATTTTGCCGCAGAGCAGCTTGCGCGGGCGAGAGCGTATCGTGCGCGAGCAACGCGCTATCTAGGACGGTTCCCTGACCAAGCGGCGTGTGCGCGAGCATCGCGATCTTCTCGCGGCGGCAGAGGTCGACGAGATCTTGCCGCTGGTGCATAATGTGTGACTCGGTCTCGTAGACGGCCGGTCGAATCTCGCAGAACTCCAGGAGCCGTTCCAGCTGCGGCGCGCTCATGTTACACACGCCCAACGCGCGGACCTTGCCTTCGCGATGTAGCTCCTCGCACTCCCTCCACACTTCATCGAAGGGTACGTTTTCGTCCGGCGACCACCCGTCTAACCGCGATGCGCCGAACGGAGCGTAGACGTCGACGAGGGGCTCTCCCTCGCGTGCCATCGGCGCGAGCAGCTCCTGCTGTTTCGCCAGACTTCGCCGGACGTTCCCGGGCTCCACGCCCATCGACCAGGGGTCCGGGTGGCAAATGAGCACGAAGTCGCTCAGATCTTTGGTTGCCATCTGTTCCGCCATGCGCGCGCGGTCGTAGAGGCCGCTGAAGGGCGGCATCGACGGGCAGGGGTCGGAGCAGTCCCACATGCGGCAGCCCTGGTCGTAGGCGTGCTCGTGGGGACGCGCGCCTTCCTCGAAGTGTTTATACAAGCCACCACTGCCCAGACCGATGCGAGGCAAGTAGCCGCCACAAAGGTGGAGCGAATCTAAGAGTGCCACGACCTTGTCTCCGATGCCCGCCGGTAGTGCGTCTAGCGCGGCCTGAACGTCCGGCGCGACGTCCTGTCCCTCCATTTCCGCCTTGAACGCCCGCAGGCAGGCAAGATCGAGCGGCTTGGTGATCCGTCGATTAAGTCGACGCTGCACGCACGGCTCGAGCACGACCAGGCCCTGGCATATGATGGCTTCCGCGACGCCGTGCGCCGCCGAGAGCCTCGACGCCAAGGCTTTGAGGTGCTCTGGCGCATCCGGCATCTCCATTTCTTTGTCGTCCGCCGCCTCGACGAAGCCCTGCGAGGCGCCAGCGCCCATTTTTATCTACTGTTCTGCTGCCTCCGTCCGCAATTCGTTCCTGGCGGAACTTGCGACAATGTATCTGACAGCTGCGATGCCTTGGGCAGCGATTGCGCAGCGATTCTGATCCAGCGCCGCGAAACTCGGATTAGCTAGTGGCCTAGACACACTAGGCTTGGCCGAGTTATTGGCCTTTGCCGAGCTCTGCCTACAGCCGGTTATTTGACCTAGAACGAAGCCTGGGGCTACAGTTCGACGCCACCTTGCTGCTGGTATAGCCAGGACCGAGCCGTCCGCCACAGCACCACTATGGAGAACGAGGCAGCAGTGCTGCGCGACGCCGCGGCCGACGCCCAGGCCGTCTACACCTTCGTGGGCTGGATGCTCGTGATCGGCGCTCTTTCCCTCGTCGCGGTCCAGCGGCGCAAGCTCAAGAGCGCGTCCCTCTACGACCGCCGCTCCAAGGCATAATGAGCAGAGCGCTGCGCGAGCTGGAGCGCGACCTCGCGGCGACGCGCCAGACGCGCGCCGCGGTAGCCGCTGGCGACGTCGTCGACATGGAGGACCCGGACGTGCATGCTACGGACGACGCATTTCTGAACCGCCCGACGCTCTTCGACGACCTGGCACGGACCGAGGCCCGCGACGAGCTCGCGGAGGAGGACGCGCGGGCCGCCGCGGATGCGGCGCGCCACGCATGTTTAAGGGAGGCGCTCGCCGAAGCGGTGGCGCGGGCCGCGCAAGCCGTCGCGTTCCGCCTGCCCGATGATGTCGCGAAGCAGGTAGGCCAATTCGCTGTCGACGCGGACTGCCTCCGCGACGAGTTCTGCGCATGCGGCCAGGTGGGCAACTTCGCTGTCGACGCGGGCTACCTCTGCGCATGCGGCCCGGTGCGCGCCCCAACACTAAAATTCGGCGCGGTCCCGCGCGTCACGCTTGTGTCATGCGCGACGTGCGGCAAATGCCGGGCGCTCTCGAGCGGCCCGGGAGAGCTGGACGTCGTCGACGCGGGGTCGCCCCCGGGCTTTTTGTTGTCCCGCCACTTCGCTCGGGTCGCGATCTGCCGTCACAAGGACTCTGCAGCGGGAGTTCCAATCGTGCAGCGCTCCCCGGATTCGGTCTGGCACAATTTTCGGGCAGCCGTGGCGGACGAATGGGTCACCGGCACGGCGCGCTACAGGGTCACACTCGGGTGCATTATGCGCGGCGCGGTCGCGATCGGCGTCGCCAGCGCGCGGGCCAAAATCAACGACACGAATCACTGGATCCCCGGCGGAGAATTGGAGACCGTTGCGTTCGTGTCGGGCGCTGAAGACGTCACGCCGGGGCTGTACGGGCGACTGCACTGCGACAAAAATTGTCCAGCGGGGGCTAGGTGTCAGCGATGCGCCGATGGTGTTCACCTTCTGCCCCATAAGCCATGGCGAGAAGAACTAAGGACGGGCGACGTGGTGGAGGTGGTGATCCAGCTCCGCGACGTCCAATTCATCGTCAACAACCGACTCGTGGGACACCTACCGAAGCCGGCGGGGCGGCTGCGGGTGTGCGTCGGATTGATGTACGCGCGCGACACCGTGCGCATCGATCGCTTGTAAGAATCTTAACACATTTTTACAATTCAATCCTCCCGCTGCACCGCAAGTCCCGCACCTGGCAGGCCTGGTCCGCCCGGAGCGACGCCCGGCACGTTTCGGCACACGAAGTCGCGCACGCGGCCGCGGCGACGCTCGAGTCCTCGCCGCGCACCTTGCAGCGCCAGGCCGGGCTCGCGCCGACCCAGGCGCAGTCGTGGCCCGCGTGGCCCGCGTGGCGCCAGCGACCGTCGTCGCCGCACGACGGCGCGAAGGGCCGTGCTTCCGCGACCTCCGTCCGCCACCGCTCGATCGAGAGCCTGGCCCAATCGAAGCCCCCGCCGTGCGTCTCGACGGCTTTGAGAACCTTCTGGTGCGCTCTTAGTAAATCGGGCGTCAGCGCGTCCCACGACTCCAACAAAAGAGCAGGCAATCCATAAAACAGCTCGCGCGTCAGCGGCGAGTCGAGGACGATGGGCGCCGCCCCGAGGGCCAACGCCTCCCAGTGCCGGTGGCAGTCGATCTTGGACCCGCGCGGGGACACGACAAAGGGCGTCCGGAGCAGGTCCGCGAAATACGTCTCGTCGGTGCCACCGTAGTACGCATTCTTGACGCCGAAGTTCTCCTGAACTACGGACTTGGCCGTCGCGCGGTTCAGGCCGTGCACCCTGAAATTAACGTACAGCGAGCCATTGCGCGCGTGGAACGGAACTTTCCGGGAAGCCAAGGCGGCGGCGAAGGCCGGGCTCCGTCGCGACACGCCCATGGGCACGTGCCTTAATTTGGGCCGCGCGACCCACGTCTCGTGGAGTTCTGGCTTGCCTTTCGTCGAGTTCCTCGCGTCCTCGATGGCGCTGTCGTGGTCCATGACGAACCAGGCGCTCAGCTTCGACTCGTCGGCGAGCATTTCCATTAAAGCTGGGGCGCAGCCCTCGTGGCCGTGCTTCGCGTAGGCGCGGTCCCAGGGCGATCCATGTTCTCCAGTCGGGTAGGGCAACGTCAGTAACGTATAAGATGCGACATGGTCCGCCCGCTGGAGCAGGGGCGCCGTGACGTTCGCGAACGTGCAAATGGCGGTCAGCGCGTCGGCCTTGGTCGCGAAGCGCAGCGGCACCCAGAACGTCGGGTGCCGGGGCAGCGTCTTCATGTCAAGCGCGCGCACCTCGCTCGCGTTCAGGAGCAGGTTGGTCACGATATGTTGCGTGCGGTTCGGCGCGCGCGCGTAGCACCGTTTATGCGGCGGCTTCTGCGCGACGAGCTTCGCGACGCGGTCGTTCAGGGACCGGCCGGCGTCGGGCGGGTGACAAAAAATGATGTCGTAGCGGTCGTGGACCACTTGCGAGGCGTCCCGCGGCCAGGGCGTCGCGGCGGCGGCGGCGAGCAGGGCGAGGAGCCGCGGCAGCACGACCGGACGCCTGCCGCCACCACGGCTTTCCGCCGCCGCACGGCGTGGGAGCCGCCGCATCGATGCTCGGGCAGCCCCGCGGCGGCTATGGCACCATCAACATCGCCTGGCAGCCATCCATGCGGCGTACCGCTGCCCACAAAAATTGCCCAGCCATCTCCATGAAATTTGCAGCATGCAGCCGTCGTGCCAATCACCCCTGCTGCCGCTATGAACATACGCAGACGAAGCCGACGTGTCTAGAATCGAGCCCTGCGGTCGAGGAGCGCGTCAATTCGCATCGCTAAGGGGCTGCCCGGCATGCCACGATGCGCCTGATGCTGCGCCTCGCGGCGGCCGCGTGCGGCCACGCCGCACACGTGAAGCCCTACGGCATCTGCTGGACGCGCAACGAAGCATCCGAATCACATCCTTCGTTGAATCTGGGCAACCTGCTGCGGTCCGCGACGTCCGCGCGCCGCGCGTCGGAGGGCAAGGTCCCCCTCTGCCTCTTCACGAACCTCGACGAGACCACTATAATGAATGAGGCCCTTACGAAATACGGGAACGAGTCCAAACATCTCTTCGACGCCGTCCTGCAGGACTCGCTCGCGACGTACGTTCCAAAAACGGGCGCCGAAGCTTTGCTCCTCTGGCCCACAACACAATACAAAGTGATACGGTCGCGCGTCGGGCGTTTACTGAATTTAGCAAGGGCGCCCTACGAGATGACCCTCTTCGTCGACGACGACACGTACTTTTGTGCGCCTCATGGCCCCGACGGTTTATTCAACTCAATAAAGTGGCTCCACGATACGAGGGAGAGACATACGCTACGCGCGCAAGTTTTTGGACATAATGGAGGAGGCAAGGAGTGCATCTGGCACAAGGTCCTACACGAGAACGCGTCGTTCTCCTCATCATTAGAAGGCGACTGCAACGATCAGGGACTCGAAAACAAATGCCTTGGAGAGAGGGGCATCCAGGGCGGCGCCTTGGCCGTCACGCGCAACTCCACTCTGACGAAACTCGTCGACGAGTGGGTGGACACTTTTCTCTTCGAGCATACTTGTGTTTTGGGCCTCAATGAGACGTCGGAGTGCCGCTCGTACATTAGGGCAAGGGAGAAGCACGAAAATAAAATAGGTATGCAGGGCGGGACTCTTGGTGATCAGCTGTGTGGAAATCAATCAGTCCGTAGGGTGCATGCTGGCTCCGTCGAGCGGTGAGGAACCGGCATCGCCACGCCATCGAGCAGGCATCGCGTCGATGGCGTGGAGGACGACGCGAACACGCCGTAAAATTTTGATTTCCACACAGGCGACCAGGGCGCCTTCCGGGCCATCGCGGAGCAGCGCTGCCGCCGCAATGCGTCAGGAGACTGGTCGTTGGGGACCTTACCGAGAGCGTTCAACGTCCGCGAGATCCATCCTGCCCGCGATTCCTTGGATGACGTCGCGAAGCATTTACGGAAGCAGCACACGGCGGTCGTCGATTGTAGGCATGACCCGCAGGACATTACCCTCTTCGGGCCCATGTTGATGATTCACTCGAAGCATTATCTGAATGACCTGAGAGATGACGCGTTGATCGAGGAGACCTGTGAGTTAGCTAATCGCCCCGTGCGCAAGGGGGGCATCGCCTGGCGCGGGTCCAAGGACGATAATTATATGTGTAGTTAACTTAGGACTTCGACGCGCCCATTTGCGAAGATACGCAGGCGACTGTTTTGGTTCAAAACGCCGCAGGCCTGGCGGGTCTGGGCGACGAGTCCCCGCGTCGATTTACTCATCCAATGCAAGTAGAAGTGGCTGTGGAGCACGACCGCGGGCCCGTCGAGGGCGCCATACAACGAATCCGACACGTTCGCGGAGCCGCGCTTCAGCACCAGGTCTCCGTCGGTCGGCGGATGTAGGAAGCGCACGTTGTAATTCGCCGGCAGCGCGCCGATGGTCCACGTCGCGTTCGAGCCGCGGCAGCGCTCCTTCGCGACTTCGCGGAGCGGGGGCTGGTCGGCCCCTAGTTGAGTATCATGGCCCCAGGCGGGCGACTTGAGTTCCTTGTCGTAGTAGTACACATAGGCGCCGAACCAGGCGTCCACGAACGCGTCGAGCCCCGGCCCGCGCTTTAGTAAAGCGGCGCCGCCCTGCAGCCCCTGCACGTGCCCGTGCGTCGCCAGCGACGGGCACGCGCCGGCGCCGGCCTCCCACGTTACGTTGCCGGAATTCCGCGCGGCCCGGAGCCGACCCGCTTCCTCGAGGGCGCCTTCGTAGCTCTTGCCCTTGGCCATGGACTCCGGCACGAAGCGCACGGTACGCGTCGCCAGCGCCCTTAGCTTATCTTCGAGATCGTCGGTCGGGCAGAACACGGTGTCGTCGTCGACAGCCAGCGTGACGTCGAAGGGCACGCGCGCCAGGTTGCGCATCCGCATTAATCGTGAGCGGAACTTGACCCAGACGTCGTCGAAGCGGATCACGGCGTGGCCCCGCACCTGCTTCTCAAAGTTTGTGAGCGCGTGGAGGGCCTCGAAGGGCTCCTGCGCGATGATCTCGTCGAAGAGATCCAGTGAGCCGGGATCCTTGCGGAAGCCGCATCTGTGCAAGTCCGCCATGGCGTCGCGCACCGCGGTCGCTGGCGCGTCCGTGAACAGGCATGTCTTGACCGCAGGGTGGAAGGTTTTCAGAGTGATCGCCGAGGCCCGCAGGGGCGCCCAGGGCGCCAGGGCGTCGGGGACGTGGCCGTGGCGGCAGGCCTGCTCCTTATACTGCGGTACTTCGTTCCGCGTCCAGCAGACGCCCACGCTAAGGCTTTTGGCGGCCGCGAGCGCGACGACGGCGCTCATCGCGACACTTGAGCGCATTGCGTTGAAATCAGGTGGCAGGTTCAACCGCCTCCATTTCGTATCCGCTCGTGCCACTGTCCAAAAAGATTAATGGCGGGAATCGCGGCGGCGACGAGGAGTCTGGTCCACTGCACAGGGACGCCTCGCGGGCGGTTCACGACTTGGTGTAGCAGCCCTCCAAGCCACAATAAGTAAACCAAATTCTGGATCTCTCTTGTGCAAAAGAAAATGCAGAAGATGGCGTATGACGCAGCGAAGCCCAGCCCTACCACGACGCATCTGATGCCAGGGTGGTAACCTTGCAACCGCAGCCGCGCGTCCAGCGCATCCAAGAAATCGGGCTGCCGTTGCGCGAAGCCAAAATCCCTTTTTACGTCACTCCAAACTCGCGCGAAAAAGCGTTCCACTCCGCGACGGTCTACCATGCTCTGCCCATCGACAGACTGAGCAAGGGCTGCCCAGGTCCGCTAGGCCGACGTCCCCCACGCCGTCCCACCCGTACCGGAGGCGTCGGGAGAGATGCCGTCGTAGGGCGGGAGCGGTCCCTCGTCCTAGTGGCTCGCTCCCGCCTCGACCTAGCGCTGATTGAGAGGAGAGGCGCAAAAGACCCCGCCAATACGCAGGGAACTGCCCTGGACGCAAACAGACGACGTCGAGAGCCTAGCCGCCCCAAGCAGCAGCTGCCCAACGCCGTTTTTTGGCTCCGCCGGGCAGCCCCTTGACAGCGCCAAGCCTCTCCCCCCCCCGACGCCCGCCGACGCCGCCGCCGCATCACAACAACCATGGCCGACGACTACATCGGCAACCGGAGAAGGCGACGAGAGACCATGCCCGGCCAGCCCGGCTGCCATATTAGATTTGAGACGGCCATCGCGACGGAACTCAAACGCTGCACGGACCAAATCTACGCCGGCAATGTGGAAGATAGAGCGACCATGGCCGCGAAGCTCAAGGAGCGCAAAATAGCCAACACGAAAGCAAGCGTCGTATTGGGTACGGACGAACCCCTGTGGGAGACGGACATGATGCGGAGCATGTCGAATGGCGAGATCACGCCGGAGTTCATCCAGTGCATGATCGAGGACAAAGCGCAGGCCGACTCGTTGGCGGCGGAACTGAAGATCGACCACTGCATCGGCGTGGTCACGGGCGTCGAGCCCACGACGAACTTCACGCAGACGAGTACGATGGCGGACCCGACCGGCGAGATGCACAAGTACACGTCGAAAATTGGAGGGAGAACGGCCTCGAAAGCGTCTTCAGTATATTTCGGGTCGCACGAGCCGGACTACCACACGACGATGCAGGACTGCATGAGCGTCGTTGGGATGGACACGGCTAAGGGTCTGGGTCAGGGCGACGCGCGCGCGCACGCAAAGTTGCTCAAGTCGAAACTCCAAGTATCAAGCTTCCAGATCGGCTACGACGAGCCGACGTACGTCAGTGCGATGCACGAGGGGCATCCCCCTCTCAACGTCGCTGCGGCTCAGAGGATTCTATCCAAAGAAGTGATGGATGATCTCAGAAAAGTACACTATTCACTGGGAGAAGATAAAGTGGTGTACGAGACGGACATGATGCGCAGTATGCGCAACGGCGAGATCACGCCGGAGTTCATCCAGTGCATGAAGGAGGACAAGGCGCAGGCGGACGCGCTCGCGGCGGAGCTGAAGATCGATCATTGTCGGGGGGTCGTGACGGGCGTGTACCCGGAGTACTGCTGATTTGCATAAGGTATTCTTCTCGTAGTCTTGTGGCGATGGCGTGTTGCGGTGCTGGGACTCGTGGGCGGAGCCCCTGCCCCCAGCCCTCGGCAGGGCTGGGGGAAGATGCTGGGGGAGGCACCCGCGCGGATGGCAACTTGGCAGAGCGGGCCCACTTCACACTCCAGCGCACCCAGCTACGCCTCGAGACCTCCAAGGAGACGCCTATCGACAGGTGCTGATCGTCGGCGAAGGCTAGTATATCGCAGCCTTGCAGGCAGACGGCCCAGGTAGCAGTGCTTACGCGGCGATACTGGGACCGCAGGCGTGCGTGCCAGCCGCTGGCACGCTTGCTACCGCACGTTTGAAGCCATCGCAACGACGCCGTAAGCAGTAAGGCAACCATGAGGACGCTGGCCGCCGTGCTGGCGCTGCCTCTCGCCGGGTCGCTCGTGCCGCGCGCGGCGCCGCTGCGACGACGGAGCGCCGCCCGCGCTTCTACAACCATGTTGGTGGGAGCGCCGGCGCCGAGCGACGCCTTCGCGAAGGTCGCCAGCGACGCCGGCGCCGCCGCCTCGTTTTTCGCAAACAGCGGCCCCAAAGTGGGCGAGCTCACGTCGAAGACCGCTGTTGCTGGTGCCGCGTTATTAGCCGGTGCTTTAGCGCCGGGCGGCGTCGTCGTCGGCGGCGCCGCGGCTTTATTGGGTGGCGGCCTCACGCGCGTCGGCATAGCCCCGGCCTTGGTCGAGGGCCGCTACAAGGCCATGCAGGCGCGCGTCGCGTCGTTACTGAGGGATGCGGCGCAGAAGGGCGACTGGACGACCGTGTCCTCGGGCCAGGTCCAATCTATTGTTGAAGAATTTTCTCTCCCGGAGCAGTACGCGACCGCGCTACTCCAGCAGATCTACGCCAAGTACCTGGTGGAAGTCATGCGCATGCCCGACGTCAAGACGGCGGAGATGAACGACCTGACGTCTCTCAGGAACATTCTTAATCTCTCGGCAGAGTCGGTGGGCAATGCCCACTACGACGTGGCCGTCGAGGTCTACAGAGAATTGCAGTGGACCTCTGACGAGGTGTTAGCCGACGAGTCCTCGGCAGAATATAGGACCATCTCCAAGTTATTGTTTTTATCTGATCGCGCGTTCGCGACGTCCGACGGCAAGGACAGCGAGGAGTACGGGTATGAAGTTGGAAGGGTCAGAGCCGTCTTCGACCTCAAAAGATCGACGCTAGACTCTAGATGTTCGTCGGTGGCCGCTCCTTTTTATGAGAGAGCGTTAGCTGGCACCCTCGAGAAGCTCGGGTCTGTAGATGCGGCCATGCTCGAAAGAGCCCGCTCCAAACTAGGCGTCGACGACGAGGACGCGGCGAAGATGCACTCCCAGTGTTTGAACGAGGAGATCGACTTGCTGTTGAAGGATGGCGAATTGACTGATTCCGATGCCGAGCGGCTCGATCAGCTAGCATCGGTCCTGGGCATCTCCAACGAGGACGCGTCGCAAGCCATCGCGGCGAAGACCGTGCCCATCTACGTGGACGCGACGCGCAAGGCGGTCGACAACGCCATTGCTGCTGACGAAGCTGCGCAAAAGGCGCTCGGTGCCGACGCGGCGTCTTCACTGGAACTTCAACGTGACGCGGTCGCGGCGATGGCGTCCTCGCGATAGCGCGTCGCGTCGATGGCGTCTTCATGAGCACACGAGAGTCTACGGGTCTCGTGACGGCGTCCGTGCCACACAGGCGATGAATTGGAGACATTGAGGAAGAAGTTACGATTGGAGGACGCCACCGCGGAAGGCGTCTTCAAGGACGCCGTCAAGGGCGTTTTACAAGCTCCTTACACCGCGGCGTCGTCCGCGCTCAAGCTCCAGAACACTCCTGGTGCGTTGGCTTCTCTCGAAAGATTGATGGACGTGCGACGAGGTGTGGATATAGTAGTAGCGAACGCCAAGTTCCTCGAATCGTCAGGAGGCGCCGAGGCCTTCGCCGAAACTCTGGCCGGTGGCGGCAAGTCCCTACCGCTGTCGCTCTACAAGCTTGTGTACGTGGAGAAGTGCGAGGATAGTGATGCCCAAGAGGAATTATCCAACTTAGCTGCCACTCTCTCGTTGACGGACGCCGACACGAAGATGGTGCGCGAAGGCGTGTTGGCACCGAAACTCGACCTGAAGCTCGCCGAAGCGCTCAGAAGCAACGACCTGTCGGATCTGAAGGACTGGATCTCTTCCGTGGACTGCCCCGAGAATTTAGTGAAGGACAAGTATGTGAGAGCCTACACTGATAAGTTACGAATGAGCGAAGCGATCCCCTCGCCCGAGCGGACGGAGGAGCTCGCTCGCTTACAAGCATCGCTCGAATTAACAGATGACGACGTCTATCCTGCCCAACTCGACCAGTACCTCCCGCTCTACAGGAAAAGCGCCCTGGAGGCGATGGGCGCCAGTGGCGGCGGCATCGTTAATGAGGAGTACAAGGAGGGTCTGGCGAAGTTGCAGTCTAGGTTGAACCTGAAAGACGACGATTGTACGAGAGCCTTCACGGAGGCCGCCAAGCAGCGCCTGAAGCCGCTCGTGGACGACACGATCTCTGCCTTCGAGGAGGCGACGATGACGCCTGCTGAGTTAGCGAAGAAGCGCGGCGAATCGACGTCCTCAGATCAGGGCGAGGACCTCAACCGAGATGCGAGTGGCGGCGGCACCTTCGGCATCGCGGCCGAGGGCGCCGCGGCCGGTCCCGGCGGGTCCCCTGAAGCGGTCCTGTCCAACTTCGCCGGGGTTCTAGATTTCATCGACGGCAACGCCGTGGACATCAACGCCGGCGACCTGGTGCCCGGGAATCTCAAGAAGGACATCTTCAAGCAGTGTGTTTTGGCCGATCTACAGCTGACTGATGCTGGTGTGACCGACGCTAAAAAAGAGAGGTACGAGGCGACGATGGCAAGACTACCGGAGGTCCTGGCGCTGGAGGACAAGGACGTCGCGTCCGCGCGGGCAGAAGTGGGCAAGGCGATTGCTACGAAGTACTGCGCGGCCGCTTTGCAACAAAAGCTGACGCTCGACGCGCAGGACCAGGCCTTCGTCGCCGATCTCGGGGAACGATTGGGTACGGACCTAGGGGATGTGTCTTTCGGTGCCAAAAAGAAAGCATTGCTGGCTCGACTAGGTTTGCCACCTTACGATGGCCCGGAAGGGGCCGAACGAGCCGCGTCGACGCGCGACGCGGCGGTGGCGATGGGCATCGACCTAGCTGCGGATCTCGGACTGCCTGATAAAACGGTGAAGGCACTCTTTGCGGCCGAGGCCACGAAGGCCATCGACGAGGGCGACGCCGACTCTGTTGGAGACGTCGCGGACGGCTACGGGTTGTCTGGCGAGGACGCCTCGAAGGCGTTGGCTGACCTCGCTGAAAGCGTAGTACTAGATTGTGTGGAGAACGCCAAGGCTTCCGCGATCATGAAGAAGCCGGTGCGAGCGTGCGAGGACATGGACCGATTATTACTGTACATCGACTTCACCGACTTAGAAGAGGGCAAGTTGGAAAAAGCATTCGGCAACAAGAAGCAGGACCTCGTGGACATGTACGCCGCGTACTGCGACTCGAAGGGGCCGGAGATCGAGGCGAAGGCCGAGGCGCTGCGGGAGCTCGTCTTCTCCTCCTGAAGTAAAGAGTCCTTTCCCTAGTTGTCTTCTTGTCGCGGCGACGGCGTGCGGCTCACACGGATCTTGCTGCACGGCAACCCCTTCTCACACACGTGTCTCCGCACGGGTTTTGCACTTCGGATGATCGATTAGCCATTCGTTGTTAGCGGCACACGTGGACCGCGCGCGCGTGGTTCAGGACCACCGGCGACCTAATCGCGTCCTTGGGGACCCCGAGCGACATTCCGGGGCTTGAAGAACCTTCAATACAGTCACATCTCTCAGCCACACACATTGTCACACAAAGCATGGCTGGTGGAGCCTGGGTGTTGAGGTGAACTCACAGTGTATCGACCCATTACGCGCTACGCATTCATTATAAGTGACCGAAATTCGGAGCTCTTTCAGTTAGAGTTTGACCCCGCGAGACGCGCGTCGCGCGGCTCGCGCCGTCGCCAACTCGAGATCCCCTGCCACGCAGATCGCTGATTAAAGAAGCAGGCATCGCGACGTCGCTGGGAGTCGTCGTCGCGAGCAGTGTTATTTCCATGACGCCATCGACGCGCTTCTGCTCGACGGCGTCGTGCGCACAGGTCGCCTACTTCGGCTGGTACCAGATGCACGCCAAAGTTCAGAGCAACAACATCAAGGAGTACTACGAGCAGAACCCCACGACGGGCGAGGAAATCGGGCAGTGACTAGTGTACACATAACAGCCCTTAGTCGACGTAGGTCGTCGGGTCCCAGTCCGGCCCCTCCACTTGATCCGCGGTCCAGCCGTCCGCCCGTCCTAGTCTTCCCGATGCGAGGCGGTCCTCGAGCTGGTTTAGGGACCGCATCTCCTGCGCGGAGAGCTGCCAGCCCTCGACGCCCGCCAACGAGTTTTGGGCGATGGCGAGGCGTTGCACCGAGTCCGAAACGCCGGACCGGGGCAGGGGCACGAAGCCCCGCTGGAGCGCCCACCGCACCAAAATCTGGGCCTTCGTCGCGCCGTGGGCCTTGCAAGCAGCATTGAGCGTTTTATAAGCCGCGTCGCTCCCCCAATTGTAGGCGCCCGAGAGCTTCGACCAGGCCGCGCAGGTCACGACGGCGCGGTTGCCCCGGGCCCAGGCGACTTCGGCAGGTCGTTGATTATACGGGGACAATTCGAGCTGCACAAGCGCCGGCGCCGGGCCCGCGATCTCAAACTCCTTGAGGTGCCTGAGGCCGCAGTTCGCGGCGCCTAGTGTGCGGCAGAGGCCCTCCCTCCTCGCTTCATTAAGTGCCGCCCACGTTTCCAGGCGCTTCTCCCTCGGCGCCAGCGGCGAGTGGATGTAGACGCAGTCCGGGGCCCGCTTGAGGCGGTCCGCCGCGGCCGCGACGGCGTCCCGTGCGGACGCGCCGGCGGTCGCGGCCACCTTTGTCGTGATGAAGACGTTCTCGCCCGTGTCGCCCTCTCGTAACGCGGCGCCAAGCTCGGCCTCGTTGTTATATGCGGCCGCGGTGTCGAAATGCCGGACGCCGGCCTCAAGCGCCAGCGCGACGGCCGCCTTGGTTTCTTCCGGTGCGGTTTTGTAGAGGCCAAAGCCGACGCGCGGCACGGCGATGGTACCGGCCGCGAGGAGCGGTTGTTTGTCGGCGGCGTTCGCGGCCAGAGGCGTCGCCACGGCGGCGGCGCCTGTGGTTTTCAGGAGGCTGCGGCGCGAGACCGGTGCCACTGCTGCTGCTGCGGTGCAGACCAAGAGGGCTCGCAGGCAATGCATGGTCCAGTTGGCCGCTCGTAACTCAAACGGTTGAATCTGAGGGCACAAATGCTTCAATTTATCATCAACAAATATGCTGCTGACGTGAACAGTGTTCGTGCGCCGGTGGTTTTGTTGTTGCTCTCGCAGGCAGCTAGCGAACAGAGGTACTAGCATTTCCAGCCACCGGCGCTGTTTTTTGACTCTTAACACAGCGAAAGGCTGCCCAGCCCTCACGAAAGGATCCCTGCGCGTCCCGCCGGAGGCGTCGGCGCAATCCCAGGCAGCCACGAGCGGCCGCACTTGAGACAGCCCCACAAGTGGCAGCCGCGCACCCCAGCGTGCGCGTTGCAGCGAATAAATACACGACACGATGGCCGACGACTGGGGCCAGTCAGCACCAACAACAGAAGAAACCCCGAACTACGTCCTGCCCCAATCGTTAAAGCGGCCCGCGATCCTCGACTTCCGAGATCCAACCATGGAGGGTCAAGCGAAAGCATTGCACGCGCTAGAAATTAGAAGAGTGTGTGCTTTAGCGGAGTCCGTTTTGAGAGATGAAGCGTGGGTCCGGAACTTACCACCTAGCTACGACGACCCTCTAAACGGCCTCACGGTGAGTGTCGCCGAGGAGCCCTGCAAAATTGCAAGGGGCGTGCCCTTCGAGACCGTGTTTACTGTCTGTAGAGCGGGCTGTGCGAAGCGCTACGCCAAGATCCTGAAGGCTGTGGTCGACGTGACGGCCGACGACGTCGTAGACATGGTTCGGTCGCAGCTGTCGACGGACGACGCGCCGGATTTGCATCATGTCTACGGGTATATTGAGGGTATGGAACGGGCCGTGGCGACGCCCTACGTTCCCGACGAGGAGCCGGTCGAGGAACCGACGTACATGACGGAGACGGGCGCGTCCCTCCCGAATCCGGACGCCGAGGAGCACTACCTCGTCGACATGGTCTGCGACCCGGCGTCGCTGCCCGGGCCCATCCGACGAGCTCTCATGCTACAGGGTAAAACTTAAACATCACAATTCGTCCTCGTTCCGGTAGCCGACCAGCCACCTTCGGATCGGAGACAACTCGGAGGCGGAGCGGATCGGCGTCGCGCGCGGCGCGTCGGCGTCGAAGCGGATCGGCCAATGACTGGTAGTCTGGTCGTTCGCAAAGGCCCGCTTGCGCTGTTCGAACACTGCGTCCGACAGTCGCGCGCGCGGCGCCATGGCCACGAGCGCGACGAGGCGTTGCAATTGAGGGACGCAGTCCTTAGTAATGGAGAACTGGCCCAGCCCCGCCAGCGTCGACAACCGTCTTTTCGCTCTTTCGCGCCGTGTTGACGGTGATGCCTCCGAGCCATCTTCAACACCGAACCAACTCACATCGGGAGGCGGCGCGTCACCGGACGAGGGCGCCACAACCCGCGAGTTCGTGTTCGCGTGCGCGACCCTAGAATCCCACAAAACAAGATCGCCTTCCTCACAATTAATGAATTTCGGCCTCACACCGGATAGTACGGGGTCGTTCGGCTGCAGCAGCAAAAACTGGTGATCCGGATTTTCAACCCCCCACCACGTCGACGCTCTTCGAGACACGTCGGCGTGGTGGCGATGCGACCCGGGTACGACAACTAAGCCACCGGACGCCTCCGTGTTGTCCGTCAACGCGAGGAAGCCCTGTAAAGATTCGAACCCATCATACGTTTCCACATTCATGTCGACGTGATACCACCGCTCCGGCGTCCTCCATCGATCCGTACATTTGTGAGGTCTAAAAGCGACAACACCCCCGAAGTCGCAGATCAGGTCCTCATCCTCCCAGGCCGCCGCGAAGACGTCGCGGACTCTTCGCAACTCGCGCACGCGCCACATGGCCTCGCTCTGGCCGACGCCGTAGAGGAGCATAATACCATATTCGTTGACGGGCAGCAGGTCCCAGGTCTCTGGTTTTGAACGGTTTAAAGGTGTAAATCGTTCCTCGAAGAAGTCCCAGAGTCTTGTCCGGATGTCTTCGGACTGTGCCGCGGATGCCGCCTTCGCGAAGACGGCGTAGCCGTGGTCGCGCAGATGTCGAATACCTTCTGGAATATCAGTGAAGCGTTCCACCGGCGCGTAGTCCACGTCTCCGAGAGTGCTGTGGTCGACGAGCGACCGCGGCGCGTGGGGGTGCGTCCGCCCGTCGCATTGCCACATTGCCCGTCGCATCACGGCGCGCCCGACGGCGTCGTGGCAGACTTCATTTATTGCGCCTATCGACGCGCAGAACTCCACGGCGACATTCATGGCGTCTTGGCCGTCCTCGTACAGCACGTATTTCACTGTACGGTTGCTATCCACTTCCACAGGGATGGTGAAGCGGCAGCGCTCCTCCGCGGCTGCCGCTATGGCCAGAGCGAGGAATGGCCGCATGAGTCGTTTTTTATGTTATGTACGGCATGACTCTCGCGGAGGGAGGCTGCCCCGGCGCCAGAGCGGGCTGCCTGGCTCCAGAGCCTTGCAAACAATTTCGGGTTTACGGAGCGCCGCCGGGCCAGATCTCCTGCGCGCGATCCCTGGCGTGCTTTGAAGGGTGGTCAGAGGGGCTAGAGATATCCCCGCTTCAAACATTGCGAAAACGACCGGAAGGCAAGAGTCGTTACTACCGCGACACGAGGACGCACCGCCGCTCGGCGTCGGACCACGCCTGCCCGCAGACGGCGCAGCAGCCCCGCTGGGACGGCGCCTCGAGGCTCTTGCAGTAGGCGTCCTCGGACTTGACCGACGCCTTGCACTCGCCGGGCCCGCTCGTCGAGTAGCCGCAGGCCAGGCAGCACCCGTGGTTCCGTTCCACGGCCTCGCAGAAGGCCGTCTTGCCCGTGCTCGTCGGCGCGGCGCCGCGCCGCACGCGCGTCGACGCCGTCGCGTAGTGGCCGACCGGCGGGTCCCCGTCGACGCGGTGCGACGCCAGGGCGTAGACGTCCGAGTTCGGCGGCACGCGGACGACGAGCGCGCCGTTTTTCGCGCGGCCTGTCCGTAAAGCTCGGCCGTTCGCGAAGGTGCTGACGTTGACGTTCCAATCGACCTGCTGGCCCTTCCAGCGCACGACGGCCAGCACGCAAACGTCGCCGTCGATCGCGGCGAGGCCGCGCGGGCACTGGTCGTCCGGCGCAGCGTCCGTCTCCACCGCTCCCACCGACTGCCGCGGGCCGAACGTAAAGGGGTCGCGCAGGGTGATGGAGAGGTCGTTCTGTAGCGACGTCTGCACCAAGCCCCACTGCTGGGGGTCCGTGACGCGCGACGCGGACGCGTAGTACTGCAGGTACACGGGAACGCCGGCGATGGTGTGGAGGCCGTAGGGCGCGGCCGCCTCGACCGCCGCCGGTCCCGTTGTCGTCAGGGGCGCGGCGAGGACGGCGTCGCGCTGCGTGAAAGTAAGTGATGACGCCGCGCCGCCGACGGGCGCAACGCGGCCCGTCGTTATGTTGGCGATGGCGCTCAGGATGTTCTTGTTGCCGGGCAGGCCGTCCTCGGAGAAGGCGACGGTGGTCTCGGCGCCCGAGGTGGTCTGCCAGACGTAGTGGGCGTGTGCCGTCGCGAGGATGACCAGCGCGGAGCGGAGGGAAGCCATGCGTCCGGGGCGATGCTACGAGGACAGCCTCGATGTTGTTCAGCAGGCTTCAGCAGGCGCTTGGTTGGCAGCCCGCCAGTGTTGGCGCCGTCCGCGATGGACAGATTCGAGTTGTAATGGAGTCAGATGGCGCTCGCAGCACGCGCGCCGTCCGCCACCGGCCCAGCAAGTGAGGCCGCCTCCGCGGAGCTTGGATGGGGCTCTGCCTCGGAGAGGCACGTGCGGGGCGCCGCCGCGCGACCGGCAAGTAAACGACGAGTCGCGACAGCTCCCGCCGTCGGGAGCGCCGTTTGCTAAGCTTACGTTACGACGGTGGCGCGCGGGGGATCCCGGGGAGGGTAGCTTGTCGCGGCCGGCTTCGTCTTGAAGGCCGCGGGGACCTAGAATAGCGCCACCGCGTAAATAGAGACGGCCGCGACGACCGCGACGGCGGCGTCGACGACGAGGCCCTTCGCCGCGTCGGAGTTGTCCGCGGAGCCGCACATCTTCGGGCCGCCAGTTTCGCCGTCGTTCGCCGCGAAGCACGACCGGCCGTTGAACTCGATGCTGGACCCGCCCTGCGCCGGGTAGCAGCACGGGTAGCCGCCGTCGGCGCCGCAGCAGGCGCCGTTGGAGGGGCTATGGTCCGGGCACGAGACCTGCGCGTCCGTGCACGGCTTGCCGTCGAACTGGCCGCCATGCTTCGATTCGGCGGCCGCCGCGGCCGCGAGCGCGAGGATTGCATAGAAGCGCGCCATCGCGCGAGACCTGCGCGTTCGCCGCGTAAGCGCGGCGCGCCCGCCGCTCGCGCGCGAGTCGAGACTCCTCGATTCGAACAGCGAGGCCGCGACGTATAATCTCTATCGCTATGTCGTCTGGCCTCGCGCGGTTCGTTTGTGTTCGCTACTAGGCGCCCAGGCTGGCGCAAGCCTGGCCTCTGTAGAAGAAACAGGAAGCATAATAAATAGCTCTAAAAAGCACTCCAGTAGTGCGAGCCGGCGGTCGAAGGCTCGAAACGGTTGCAATATGATAAAAACATGCACCGGTGGGGACGGTTTCGCAGAGAAGGCACGTGCTAGTGTCTTACAGTACCACTAGCTAATCGAACGAGCTTTGGGAACGGCATTGTCGTTGTGCGCAATCCTCGAGCCACCAGGCTATATAGTGCGATATTACACGGGGGGAGGGAATGAGGCGCAAGGGAGACCCGGTGCGCGGCAACCTTGGGTCTCCAGGGGGGTTTGCGCGGATGTCGCGGCGTCTTGATGAGGGGGGAGGGAGTTCAGACGACAAGGGGTAGCTTGATGATGACCTTCCATGGAATCACATGGAGTACGTCAGGCGGTGCACGAAGCGCGGCCCGAGGTGGTCGTTGCCGCGGTCGACCCGCCGCGGCCGCAAATCACAAGGTGCTATTCCTAAATATGTACACACCACTAGTCGGCAGCGGCGAACTCGACCACGAGAGCCGTCACGTTGTCCCCCGACCCCAATCTCAACGCACGAGCGACCAGCTCCGCGCAGCACTCCTGGGGCGCCTTGCCGTCCTTCAAGAGATTGGACACGACGCGCACGGCCTCCTCGCCGTCCAGCACGTCCCAGAGACCGTCCGTAGCCAAAACGACGAAGGCATGCGCATTGCCTAGCGAGGCTTCTTGAATTTCGGGCTCCGCGGTCAACAGGTCACCGGAAAAACGCCGGGGATGGCCCTCCGGGTACGCGAAGCACGGCGGCTCTCTCTCGGAAGAGGAGGTCCATCCTTTAAAGTCCACGTCGCCCAAAGCGCGACTCACGGCCACTTCGCCGCACACGCGGTGAATTTCGTTGAGTCGGACCCTGTCCTGGATCGACCGCGAGATCTCCGGGTCCTCCAGGTCCATGCTTCGCAACCGCCCCACACATAAATCCGTCTCCGACGTGACCCAGCCCCCCGCTTGTATTACTCTTTCGTACTCGTCCGAGTGCGGAACAGGAGAATGCGGTTTAGATAAAGCAACAGCAGAGCCATTCCTACATAAAACAGCGGCGCAGTCGCCGCAGTTCGCCACGATAATTCGTCGTTGGGAAGGTTCCACGACCAATGCCAGGGCCGTGGCGCCGGCGTCCGGAGAAGCTTCGTTCCTAGATGCAGCCGAGCAGTAGTCGGCATCCAACCTCAAGAAAGCAGCTCGTAAAGCCGTCTCCGCGTCTCCATCCGAGGCCTCGAAGCGCGCGTGCAATTCCCGCGCGCACTTTTTGGCGACGTCGTCACCACTATGACCGTCATACACTCCATAAAAGGTCTCGCCCTCGTGGAAGGCGTCCTCGTTCGTGCGGCGCGGGCCTGCGTTTGATGACGGGGTCGCGGCGATGGCGTCCGGCGCCCCCCGCACGCCGTCGCCGCGATAAAGGACGCCGCGTAAGCACCGCGCTCGCACGCGACGGCCGACCGCCACCGCAGGCCCGCTTGGGACCGCCACTCCGCCACGACGGGCTCGCCTATTTCTTCAAAGTCGTCCAAGACCGGTAAACTCCCTTTGCCGCGCAAGGCCGGCGGGACGTACTTGCCCGTGCAAAACGTTCTGGCGCTGCTCTTCCTATATAAAGGCTCGCCGTCGTCCTGGGAGGGCGGTGTTAATGGAGGGGGAGGCGGCGGTCTCCGCGGCGAGCCCGGCGGCGTCCGCCGCGGCCGGTGGGCCGATTTTTTGTGGAGGTCGTCCGAAGCTGCGCTTTGAGGCGAGCCGTTGTCCGCGGAAGACGCCCGTCCGCGGAACGGCAGGGGCGAGCCCGGCGGCTGCCTCTTTAGTCGAGCGACGACCGCCGCTAAGGAGCGGTGGAAGCCTAATAACCACATGCACATGTCATCATAACTTTGAGCTTTCATGAAGACGTGGCGCCGCCCGCCGTCTAAAACAAGGCGGAAGGCCTGCTCGCCGTGCTGCGGCGCCGTGCCTACTACTCTTACGGTAGTGAGCGCACACCGCGCTACTAGTCGTCCCCGTCGGCCCGGCGCGACGGCGAGTTCATCTAACCGAGCGACAAAATCCGCTTCTTCTCCATCGCTATCGTCACTTACAGTATCGAAGGAATGCCTCCTTTCTCCCGATAGTGGTGATTGCGTCGGGGCTCGTACCGTAAAAACTCCACCGCTCAACTCGCCGTCGCAAGGCCGCCACTCCCCATGTTCATCGAGCCGCTCCAGCTGTCCGCAGACCGAGCCGCGCCTTGCTAGTCTTTCTTCCTCCACAGCTCTGAGACCGTGGCCGCTTGCGTGCGAGTAAGACTGGCTCAGTCGTCTGGCGTCCGCCTGCAGGGCCGTCCCGAGGACGCCCCTTGCTGGAGGGCTTGTGGACGCCGTCGACGAGGGCGAGAGCGGCGGCTCGCTGAGCAGGGAATGCAGCGAACCCTTGGAGCCCTTCGAGCGCGGCAGCGTCGGCGACTCGGCCCTCAGCGCGTCGCCATGGCTTTTGGTGAGGCGCAGCTCGGCCATCTTCTTGAGACGGTCGTCGGGTGGGTCGGGCGGGTTCGTTGCCATCGTGTCTCTACGTCGGCGGCGTTTCGCTTCCTGCAGCTAAGTGGTCGTGGTCGGCGCGCGGGGGCTCGGCGTGCAAGGCGGTTGCTCTCACCGCCGGGTGGCAGTAATTTTCTTGCGTAACCGCGTGTTAGCGGCTGCGTAGGTCGCGTGTAGGCTCTTTATGCAGGCCTAAAGCAAAGGACTTGCTCTCCATAATCAGCTAGCGTTGTAAGGCACTAGCAAGCGCAGAGTATCCGGGCAGACAGAGCCAATAGAGGCCCAAGGCCGGGAACGAGCTCTTTGCGAAGTGATTCGACACCCTCGGTCGACAGGCAAGCGCGGGGCCTCGTCACAAATGGCGCCCCGCATCCTTGGCCTCATTACATGCACTGCCGCGCTCCAGGCCCCTCTATCGCGCCCGGCGCGGGCGGCGCCGGCCAGAGCCGTCAAATCCGCCCTCCTCTCGGATTATGTGCTGGACCTCGAAAAGCGCTGCGGCGCGGGGGACGGTGACGCCTGCGACGCCATCGCGCAGCTCGACACATTCGCGAAATCATTAGAACAAAAGCGAGCACGGCGGGCGAAGGCCGCCGAGCTCCTCCGAGCGGCCGGCCCGCCCTCCGTGGCCACCGCTCCCGCAACGCCGGCGCCGGCCTCGACCGCCGCGAACTTCGCGCCGACGCCGAAGCCGGACTCCGTCGAGGCGGCCTTAATCAGGCTCTTCGACAGCTACGACCAGACCAAATCCGGTGCGGTCGCGCTCGACGCCTTCACGAGCCGCTGGGTGAGCGAGCGGATGCGGACGGTGAGCCGAGAAAACGACCTCACGGGCACGGAGCGGACCTGGGAGGCCCGGCAAGCGCGCGCGGGCGCGCGGCGGATCACGCGCGTCTTCAGCAAAAAGGGCGGCCGCATGACGCAGCGCGAGTTCGTCGAGGCCTTCGCGGCCGAGTACGGCAAGCGCATCGCGCGGGGCCTGCCCCAATCGCGGGCCGTCGCCGAGATCCTCACGAACATGCCGCAGCGCGCGCTCTTCCAGGAGATGTACGGGTCGGAGTAACATGCCTTTTTCCGTCGTTTCCTCGTGTCGCGGCGACGGCGTGCTGGGGATTACGACCATTGGGCCACCAACACGCCGTCGACGCCGCGGGCGCCCCAGCAAGCTAGTGATTCAACAAGAAATGGCTTTTATATTTTGCTTTTTGTGCGGGTCAAATTGTGCAGCACGGCCGTCCGGGCCGCGCGCGGAAAAAGACCTAGGCCGTCGTCGACAGCGCCGGGTAGTCGACGCGCCGCTTCTTCCAGGCCACGAGGTCGTCCAATAAACCGTCGAGGTAGTGCGCGAAGTGCGCGTCGTGCTCCACTTCGTCATGCGAGCGCAGGCGGCGGAGCGCGGCCCCGTCGAGGTACTCGCCTCGCGAACGGTTCCTCCGTAGGGGCTGGCCCTCCTTGCGGTCGACCAGCTTCACGGAGACCGCCTCCGCGAGCGACGGGCACGAATGCAGGCGTACGAGCGGCGAGCCGCGCGCCTTGCGGGGCGTCGGCCGCGGCAATTCGCCCACGGTACTGTCGGTGCGCGGGCGCGCTTCCACATCAGGCAACGGCGGCGCCGAGAAGCGCCGCGGTTGGTCGTCAATACGTTCCGACGGCGGCGTGACTTGGGGCGGCGACGACGCCGAGGAAGGAGAGCCCCGCGGGTCGGAATCATCTCCCGAGGAAGAGGACAATAAGCGACTGGCCATGGGCGACGCCGGCACGCCGCGCGGTCTCTCCAGAACGGACGACGGCGGCCCGTCGACCCAGCGCGGCGAGCCTTTGGGGGACGACGGCGACGGCGACCGTTGCGGAGGTTTGGGCCACGCGGTACCCCAGGCTCCCGACGTCGTGATGCGGATCGGCTCCGAGGCCGGCAGCGCGGCGGCTTTCACGGCGACGGCGGCCCTGATCAAGTCTTCGTCCTTGCCTGGCGAGGCTGGCGGCGAGACCACTCGCCCGACGAAGCGCGGCCTCGCACCTCTTGAACGGCCTTCCTTCACCGCTAAGTCAGCTAAATCGTTGGCGCGCGTGACGCAGACCGCCAATCGACCCTTGGTCGCGGCGGCTTTGCCGCCCGGCGCACTCGAGCTATCGTCGGGTTTCACTACTAATTCCGCGACGTCTCGGATGGTCAATCCCGCTCTAACACCTTTCTGTAATAGTTTGGTAGCAGCTATCAACAGCCGCAACGACTTCGGTCGCAACCCCAAAGCGTCGCGCAGCGCCGTCGCGTCCTTCTCCGCGTCCAACGACAGAATCGACGCCTTGACCCTCGGATCGACCGGCTCGCTAACGGCCTTCCAGTCGATCCAGCACCAGTCGAACCACTCGATGGACAGGACTTCCGGTAAACAAAAACCGTGGTCGATGGGCACCAAGCGGATGTCCTTCTTCTTGTTGCTTGGTACCAGCAAGTTCGCCGCGTTCCTGTCACTGTTCAAACAGCGGACGTCGAGCGCCGCGATGGCTTGCAAGCGCGCCACATCAAAGGTGGAAGGAGCAAAGTCCTCGGCGACGCCGTCGTGGGGCACGTAGACCTGGAAGCTCCCGATCTTCTCGACTACGCGTCTATCAGCATAAGCGTAGTTCTTGTGGGACGAGGTTGCCAATGTTGTCGCCGGGACGCCGGCCAACGAGCCACTGCGCGCATCTAGTAAATAGGCGGCGACTTCCCTCGCGTGGGCCTCGCCCGGCCTCACGCCCCTCCTCAAAGCCGACGAATCGCCCGCGAACAAGCGAGGATTGTTCTCGCAGAACGTCTCCTCGTCCGACGGCTTGAAGCAGCCCGCGTAGACGCCGTCGAGGCCGGCCAAGAAATAAGTACCTCCAGTACCATCTAGAGCTAATTCAGGTTTGCGTCGACCGACAACTAAGCCCCGTCGAGCTTTCAGCAGGGCCTTCCCTAGAGGAGGCGGCAAGGCGCCTTCCGCCTCGTGGATGGCGGCGCACGACACCGGTTCGAGAGTCGGAGAACTCGCCGTAGCTTGGTGAGAAACGTCAAAAAGTAACGTCTCGCCCGATTTATGGACTCCGGATTCTTCCAACGTTCGAGCATCAACTAACTCCGTAGAGCGCCAGAAGAGCCGCTGTCGTTGCGGAGGGATCTTCAGGAGCTTGGCGACCAGTGCTTTCGTCTCCCGAACTGTCGTCCACGGCGTGACTTCTAATTTCCTTCGGCCACCTAGCACGGCTCTGGCCGCCCACGCATCAGCTAAGTAGATGACTAGCGCCGCGTCCGTCGTTTTGAGCGTCGAGCCGACGCCGCCGGCGCTGTGGACGGTCTCGGCGCGGCGCGGCTGGGGGGTCCTTGGGGTGGAGGGGGGCGGGGGGGGAGGCGTCGCCATCGGGGCGGTGCCTCAGGGGCGCTGGGGGAGCCTTGGCCCGGCCTCCCGGCTACAATAAGCAGAGAATGTTGTGCGGCTCGGCGCCCGGCCCACGCGTCCCCAAAGCTTCGTTTGTGGTTGGGAAAGTAGTCAGGGCAAGCGTGGGGGACTGTTGAAAGTTGCGGCAGCGCGGGCAAGCGTGTTTAGCCCGTCAGGGGGTTGCTGAGACACGTGAAAGCTCGTCGATGGCACCGACCTCTGCGTGCGAGGCGTACGAGCCGCTAACCGCGGAGCGCTCGGATCCCTCTTCTACGCGTCGCAGGCGCTCGGGGAAGCCAACCTAGACCTCGCAAGGGTACCGGGGTTGTTTTTGGGATTTATTCAGACGCGGAGGCCGCGACGCGCGACAGCCCACGCCTTTGCGCCCAACCAGACCGGCGTCGCCCCTTGGAGGTGTATTATGGACAGGGAAGGCCGCCCGGGCGGGTTTGGGGGGCAGCAGTGAGTCGAGCCAGTGCCCGAGTTCGTGACCCCACACGCCATCGGACAGCGCGTACCGAGAACTCGACGACGCCATCGACGCATTGCTTAGTTCCACGTGCGCTGGAGACGCTGACGATGCATCGCTCCTCGTACTCGGGTCGCCTGCACGACGACGACGTGGCCGCTTGACGCGTCCAGGCGGCGCTCGGTGGCGGGCTATCTAACTGTCCTGAAGAATAACTTCGCCGGTACGCAGGCAGCGGAAATGGGCGAAGACCCGCCGCTAACTTATTTCTGCCGGTCTAGAGGCACATGCGACGTCACCTCGGCAGTTCGGCGGCGGAGCTCGGTGGCCAGCGGGCTATCTAACTGTCCTGAAGAAGAACTTCGCCGGTACGCAGGCAGCGGAAATGGGCGAAGACCCGCCGCTAACTTATTTCTGCCGGTCTAGAGGCACATGCAACGTCACCTCGGCAGTTCGGCGGCCCGTTCGAGGCGGCGCTCGGTGGCGGGCTATCTAACTGTCCTGAAGAACAACTTCGCCGGTACGCAGGCACCGGAAATGGGCGAAGACCCGCCGCTAACTTATTTCTGCCGGTCTAGAGGCACATGCGACATTACCTCGAGCGGCCCGATCGAAGCAGCGCCGACGCGGCGGCACGACGGTGGCAGCGAGGCAGCTCCAATTCCACGCAAACAACTTAGCGCCTCTAGTAGCATCCTTCCGACGCCCAAGGAGTTGAATGCTGGGACTTGGAAGCGGAGCGTGCGTGCAGCTCGCGGCCACGCCCACTCGGCGTCCACGCAGCCGCCGCGCGGAGCGTCAACTGAAGCGCCGTCGAGCTAAAGGCGCCACGGCGGCCGTCGGCTGCGCGTCGATGGCAGCGAGAGCCGCCCCCGTGCGCATGAGGCGCACATGCGAGCTGCACCTTGCCTAGCCTAAAATCAAATTTGCCACGCGAGCTCCAATGAGCACCGGAGCCCGCCCGCACCTGCATTTCGCGTTCATGTGACGGGCAAGGGGCCAGGGGCAACTTCATGCACCAAATCGGAAGTGGAGTGTCGAAGTGGCACGTTGCCTCCAGCTGCCGCTGCTGTTGCTTGGCAGCTGCCTTGGGAGCCTGGCTGTGGGCTGCGCTCACTGGGCAGCCTCAGGGGCACCTGCGAGTGCAAAGGGCACTTTTTAAGCAAGTCGACCTGAGCTCGCAGGCTAGTACCAATTCTTTCCTTCTAGCTTAATTGCGAGCATCGGTGTTTGATTGGTGAAGTGAGCTATGCCTCCCTGGGCGGCGGTCCTCGGGTCTCGCAAGGGTCAGGAACGAGTCCCTGGCGACGCAGCCCCACGGAGAGGTCGAAAGCAAATGAAATGCCGCCTATTTTCATGCATTAACACCGAAATGTTCTAAAAGCTAGTGGGTTTTCAAGAACCGAGGGCTAGTATGCCAACCGGAAGCTGCGGCCGCTTTTTGTTTGGTCGGTTCGCGACGCCGTCTGCGCGAACGAGCCGCCCGGAAGGGCTGCCCAAAAGCTCGTGAGACGCCCCAACAAACGTACGCAACCACTGCGCGTCGGAGAGCACTGCTCTACTGCTCTCCCTGTCACTGAGAGCACAGCGCGACGTCGTGGACGCGGTCGCCGCGGCGCGAGGCCGGCCCAGCTGCTGGGCGCGAGCTGCTGGGCGCGACGCGCGCGACACGAGCACGTGGCGCAACGCTTCCTCAACAGAAGTCCGTGCAGACGCCGTCGCCGATTCAGAGCCGCCGCCAGAGCCGCGGCCACGAGCAAGAGCGGACGCGACGCCGTCGCCGCGCCGCGTCGCCGCGATCAGCACCCGCGCCCGCGCGCAGCAGCGCTTCGTTGGAGTCGGCGCGCTACCACAAAAAGACGTCCAATTCGGCGCTCGACGCGCCCGCGGGCTGCCGCAGCGCCTCGTGGCAACGCTTCTCGTCGCCACAAGACGTGCGTCGGACCAGCGGTTGGTAGACGCAGACGACGTCCGGACCCGGGCATCTGCGCGCGGCGCGACGTTCCGCGGCCGCCGGCGCGGACTGCAAGGACCTCGAGAACTTTATAATCAATGCTGCTACTGCCGCCGCGTGGAACGAGACTAGTACCGGTACGACGCTCCGCTCTTGTTGCATGCGCGCGGGAGAACTCATCGCCTCTGACGGCGCGTACTGAGAACTCGACGACGCCATCGACGCATTGCTTAGTTCCACGTGCGCTGGAGACGCTGACGATGCGTCGCTCCTCGTACTCGGGTCGCCTGCACGACGACGACGTGGCCGCTTGACGCGTCCTACGGCCCTCGGCCGCTCTAGAGGAGCTTCTACCTTCGAGACGCCGCGAGTAGCGGTCTTGGGAAGTGTTCGCGGAGCCGCGGCAAAGTCGTGGAGTCGCGTCGACTTGGGGAACGAGGTCCTGACGCGCGTCCGCACGACGCGCCTCGCCGGCTCCCAGTCACTTCTCGACGAGCCACTTTCTCGTAAGATTGAGTTGCCGTAAGGACGAGGCCTCGTGGGGCGCGCCGATCTGGCGGTGCGCCGCGCGCGGCGTACCAGACCCGCACTTTCACAGCAGATCGACGCCAGCTAACGCCCGGGCTTGCTCTGGAGCGCCGCAGCCCCGTGGCATGGTATTATACAGCAACACACAGCGCCTCGTCGACGCCATCGCCGCGACCCTACTCTCCCGAGACGCGCGTCCGTTCTGGCTAAGGCTATAAGCCCACTGGCTTTGCTGCCCCGACGACGTTGCTGAGAGCCGCGTACCGGGCCGGAGATCGGGAAGGAGGCAGCCGTCCGCGCCAGCTGCATTGCACACAGCGCGCGGACGCGCTCGGTGAGGAGGCTCTGTCGTCGGTCGCGCGGCGCCGTCGGACGGTCCCGACCGCGACTAAGACCATGCGCGGCCCTGGGATTCTTCATGCGGTGGGATTCTTGATGAATTGGCTCGGCTCCTGCGATTTTATGAATAGGGAAACGCGCGGGTTTTCGCCGGCTAAATCGATTCCAAAGCTAGCCTGGGTGGTGTGCCTTGCATTCTTGCTCACTCGCCGCGCGTCACGCAATCTCTGCGTACGCTTCGGCGCGCCACGCGCCTACTACTCACCGCGCGTCGTTGCAACTCAGGGCTCACAAAGCTTTGTGAGGGGTGCAAGATTATTGGTGACCTACAGCGGCGGTCACGGTACGCGGCGCACCGCTCGAGGCCTGCCTGGGTCGTCGAGGCCTTCGAGGTCGCCTTCGTGGCAACCGCTGCGACGAAACTGCTACGCGACGGCTTTCGAGCGACGTGGTCGCGGTTTCTACGCGAGCATGGATGAGCGTCCAACTAAAAAGGGCGCTAAAGACAAGACGTGGAACACGCCGAAGAAGAAACCAGTAGCAGGCGGGACGGCTGACGCGGAAGAAGCCAACGCGCCGCCGCCGCCGACGCGCGAGGCGGGGGACGCGGCGGCCCTAAACACGACGGACTCATCAGCTGACGTTTTGGTATCGGATGCGACGGGTGCAGCCGCGGCCGGGGCGGGTAAGCCTCGAACGACCCAGGCCGGGAACGTGTTTAGAAGTGAAGTGAAGGCCGGGACGAGGTACGGGTACGCTTTTAAGATGGGCGGTGAAAGATATGCTTCCGGGGCCGACTACGAGACGGCGGAGGCGGCAGCAGCGGCGATGGCCGACCGCAAGGCAGAACTGGAGCGGGAGGCGGCGGAGCGACGCGCGGCAGAAGCGGCCGCCGCCCGCGTCGCGGAGTCTGGTAGTAGAAGGCGGCGCCTGACGGCGCTCGCAAACACGGCGGCGCCGCCGCCGGTAAGAATGGAGGTCGACGACGCGTTTCCGAACACGGGCTCGTGGAGCGCCGCGCCGCAGGAGGAGGCCTACGCGAGCATCATTATCGATCTCTTCATCGCGGGCAAGCTGCCTAACGTACAAGACACGGCGACCCTCACCGCGACGCTCGCCACGCTCTTGCTCTGCAAGCCCAAGCGCGTCGAACAAAGATTGTGGAAAGCGGAGATCAAGGGCGGGCAGCGGTTTGAAACTTCCGGCGATCCGTCGCCCGAAGCCGCTGCGGCGCTGCGGGAGGCGAGGAAGGCGTTCCTGCGCGCCAAGGGTCTACCCGCCGACCCCTCGGAACCGGCGACGGCGGAGGTCTCGGCGAGCGCGCCGACGGACGCCGCGGCGACGCCCTACCGCGTCGTGACGCATCTTCACGCGGGGAATCGCTCTCGAGCTACTGCGGCGCCGGCGCCGGCCAGCAGCGCCAACGCGCCGCCGCCGCCGACGCGCGCGGCGGGTGACGCGGCGGCCCTAAACACGACGGACTCATCAGCTGGCGTTTTGGTATCGGATGCGACGGATGCGGCCGCGGCCGCGGCGGAGAAACCGCTTCCCCGGAACGTGTATAGAAGAGAAGTGATGGCCGGGACGAGATACGGGTACCAATTTGAGATGGGCGGTGAACGATATAGATCCGGCGCCGACTACGAGACGGCGGAAGCGGCGGCGGCGGCGATGGTCGACCGCAAGGCAGAACTGGAGCGGGAGGCGGCGGAGCGACGCGCGGCAGAAGCGGCCGCCGCCCTCGTCGCGGATGATGGTAGTAGAAGGCGGCGCCGGACGGCGCTCGCAGCCGCGGCGGCGGCGCCGCCGGTGGACATGGAGGTCGACGACGCGTTCCCGAACACGGGCTCGTGGAGCGACGCACCGCAGGAGGAGGTCTACGCGAGCATCATTATCGATCTCTTCATCGCGGGCAAGATGCGCAACGTACAAGACGGGGCGACCCTCACCACGACGCTCGCCACGCTCTTGCTCTGCAAGCCCTCGCGCGTCTCACAAAGATTGTGGCAGGCGGAGATCAAGGGCGGACAGCGGTTCAAAACTTCCGGCGATCCGTCGCCCGAAGCCGCTGCGGCGCTGCGGGAGGCGAGGGAGGCGTTCCTGCGCGCCAAGGGTCTACCCGCCGACCCCTCGGAACCGGCGACGGCGGAGGTCTCGGCGAGCGCGCCGACGGACGCCGCGGCGACGCCCTACCGCGTCGTGACGCATCTCCACGCGGGGAACCGCTCTCGAGCTGCTACTGCGGCGGCGGCGGCGGCCAGCGACGGCCGCTACTTCTTCGATGGGCAGATGGCGGACTGTTGCATTGGCGGCGACGCGGCGCGGCCGTGCGAGCGTTTGACTGGGTCCTGGCGCCTCGCGCGGGGCGCCGAGTCCGTTTTTGCAGAGACGAACGTCACCTTTGAGGGTCCGCGGTGGGGCCTCGACGACGCGCCGACGGACGGGACTTGGAGTGGCGATACGGCTTACGACTGGGGGAGGAACGGTTGGAAGGAACGTAGACCTGACCGCATGGCGCTTTCCTTCACCGCGACGGACGACGGCCAAGCTTTTAGTGTCCAAGGCCACGGCGAGCTCGACACGTTCGGCACGTACGAGCTGACCGGGACGGCGTCGCGCGAGGGCGCGGTTTGGAAATTAGAATTGGTGCGGACCTACACGGCCGACGTGCCGGCGCTGCCGCCGCGGCGGCACAAAGGGTACGGCACAGAGGAACGGCGTGCGGCTGCAGAAGAGGCGAGCAGAATCCAAAGGCTATTCGTCTCCGGCTGCCGCGTGCCGTCCGATATCAAGCGGTGCATCGCCAGGACTCCGGAAAAGGTCCTAGAAACGGCGAAATCGCATGTAAAGCCCTCTCTGATACCCGAGGAGCTCGTCAGGGCCGGCGCACACCTGTTCAAATGTCAGACGCTCAACCGTTGTGGGAGCGGCACGTTCCATGTCGGTTCTACCGAATCCGAGGCCGACGCCATAGACAACTGCGCCCTCCAAATAGCGGCCAACGCGGCTTCGTGTCTCCTATGGAGGGAGGGCTCGTGGGAGTTCGATTCGCTACCAGCGGAGGTCCAGGACGCGGCGAAGCTGGCCTACGACGGACACCCGGCGGTCCACGAGGAGGACGACGTCGTGATGGGGCGGCTCTCGCCATTTTTGCTCCCGCCCCGCCGCGGCGTCGTGTCCGTTATGCGCGCGGGCGTCGCCGTGCACTACGCCCTGGTCGCGCCCGGGCAGTACGAGGAGTACCCGACGGCAGCCCTCGCCGCCAGGGCCGCGCACGAGCGGAACCCGAACATCCGCGAGGAGAACGAACGGGTCGATCGCGTGGCGAAGAGACTGGCGGCGCTGGCCGAGAAGCTCGACCGGCGGAACGAGCTGCCTCCGACGCTTCTGGCCGGCGTCTCGACGAGCGTGCCGGGCCCGGCGTCGCGCCAGCTGGTCGAAGCCGACAAAAGGGGCGGCCGAGGGCTGTACTCGGATGCGCTGGCCTACCTGGATCGGGCGAACGATTGGGCGTCGGAGGATGTCAGGGGGGCGGGCCTGCCGCGGTTCTACATGCCCGCGCCCGGCGCGGACACAAAATTTGATCGGTGCTTTGTCGGCGACCGGGCCGGCTCGACGCCATCGATCCGCGCTGTGGCCGACGAGGTCTGGTCAAAATGCCTAGCTACGCGGGCCGGTCGTGAGCGCGTCGAGGACTTCAATGAGCGCGCTTTCAAAGCCAACCTTCACATTTTGGTGCTTGTGGAGTGCGGTTTCGACCGAAGCGACCTCGAGAAGCCTAAGGTCCGGGCGGCCCTCCAGAGGCGCTTGGCCTTCGGGACCGTCCACAGCGACTATGTCGCGTCGCGGCGCTCGCTCGTCTTGACGACGAAGTCGGTCCACGAGCAGTGCGGAAATCAGCGCGACGCCACGCCATCGAGCAGAAACGGCAACAGAGACGACGTCGCGTCGATGGCGTGGAGGGATGACGCGGTTGATCGTGTGTCATGGCGCTCCTCTCATTTCTGAGATCCGCACAGGTGCTGGTCTACGGGGCGGACGAGTCGCACGTGTGGTCGGCGTATGCCCGTTTTTTTTTCGGCATCGCGAACATGTGGGAGCGGGCCGCGTTTACGGAGAAGGCGTGGCGCGACGCGAGGCAGTTGGTTCGCACGGACACCGTGCCGACGTTCGCGAGTTGGGTTCGAGAGTCGGCGGGCGCCGTCGACGCCGACGCCGCCATGGGCCAGGGCGAGGCGGAGGCCACTGGCCCGGATCTCGCCGTCGACATGGGGTTGGACGCCCTCATGGAGGGCTTGGACCTCGACGCCGCCGAGCGGGCCTTCCACCGCTTCAAGGCGCGACGCGCGAACAACAACGGCTGAGTCGCGGCTAGAAGTCGCGGCGATGGCGCGCTTTAACCTTAACAGTATGTTTCTATCAGAAAAACGCCGACGACCGGGGAGGCGCGCCTCTGTCGCGACGCGAACCACTGTCGCGACGCGAACCACCCCGCACGACCCTAATCCTACTAGACAACTGGGACTGCACCTCTAGCCCATTCTCTAGGTTCCATCCAGGTAAAAAGCCCCTTAACTCGGCACGCGGGCATCCTCGCGGAAAACACTTAGTCTACGTCGTGGGCGCGGGCAGCCTGACTACGCGTTGCAAAAAACGCGGCAGCAATTGGGCTGCCTCTCGCCGAGAAAACGGCCAAAAACCATGCAAAAAGCCATACGATCGACTTTTTTGGCGCCGTTGCGAGCCGATCGGGCCACCGCAGCGTCGGACATCGTTCAACATGTGGCCGCGGACGATTTAAGACACTTTGAGGCAACTCGGGCCCATGGGATGCCAGTCTATGTGTGGTCCGCGTTTCTCGCCGGGACGCGGTTTCGGGCGAAAATCGCGCCGTGGGTCGCGAGATTTGGCAGGGACCTTCCCAGCCACCACGGCGTGCACGCGCGGGGGTTTGGGGGCTGTATCGAGGCCGCGGGGCCTCAAAAAGACGTATCGGGCAGCCCCTTGGGCTGAGAAGCGATTTTTGTCAATATGGCATACTAACTGCTGCAAATTGGCTTAATCGACGCGTCTCGATTGCGCCGTCCGATTAAGCCACTTTGAGGCAGTTTGTTTGCCATATTGACTGAGATAGCAGCGCGAATTGCCTCGTTTGCGACCCCTAAAGTGCGGGATTAGAGCGGCAGTTACGCTTTGTATCCAGTTGCCTAGTGGGATTATGGTAGCCCGGGGCCAAGCATCTCTGCACGGGTTTTTCGCTGCGTTTTGCAAAAAGCCTGCAGCTTCGCGCATTGGTCAGTCCGAGACCAATTACTGCTAGCGGCGCACCGCTGCATCGATTCTTCACTCGCTGTGCGAGCCCTTAGCACGCGTCTCGCGCAATCAAGCGAGATCGGCTGCACGTCATCTTTGCAGTGGCTTCAACACCGGTCCCAATCGAGAGCGACTGGGCGTGCCGACCCGTGCTAAGCGCGGCAGCGATACGGTGCAGCTGCCGAGACTACGACGATAGAAGTCTGGCGACGGCGCCCGCGAGCGCCAACGCCGCGCATCATACCGCTGACAAATATGAGGCAGGATGATGTACCCGCAGAAAAACCCTTCGCGCGCGAGTGCGGGGCCCGCACGATCGACGCCGCAGCTCGCGTCGGGCACCGCCGAAGACGTGCGGCACGCGCGCCCGCAAAGCCCGTGGTACGGGCCGGCGTCGGCCCCGCGAAGGTCCGGCGGCGACGTGGACGAATAGCTACATGGAGCCGCCGCCGCGGGCCTACACGCGTCGAGGCGGTCCTGGTCGCCTCGCGGACGACGCTGCGACATGCGCGGTTCGTGGTCGACGTCGCAAACTACGCCCGGAGCCCATTTTCGGACGGCGCCTCGGTACCCCGCGGCGCCTGCGTCGCGCGGTGTTTGGCATCCGAGACATGGTCCTAGCTTCCTCTGCCCTTCGCTTTCAAAGCCTGTCTTGGCATCGCGAAGGAGATTATTATGTGTCAATGAATACTGTTAAGTGGAGCGACCTAGGCGAACCGCGACGGGTACTGCAACTCGACCGCCGCGTGCTCGAAGCGGACGACGGCGCGGTAGGCGTCGCCGGACCACTCCTTCTTGTAGTGGAACAACTTCTCGAACGAGAAGAAATTGTTCACGGGCGCGAAGAGTAAGAAGAAGTTGGCGGGGTCGTCGCAGAGCTTGGAGTTGAGGTGGTCCGTCTGCATCCACTTGAAGTTGACGAGCTTCTCGAGCGTCTTGGGGTGGAGCCGGTGGCCGTAGGCCTTGTGGACCATCGCGTAGTAGAGGCCGGAGGAGACGCCGTGCTCGCGCACGTACTTTAAGTAGTTGCCGTGCTGGGCGCGATGGCTCAGCGGGAAGTCGCGGAAAAATCCCGCGCGAATCTGCGGACGGAAAAAAAACGTTTCGCACTCACCTATCGACGAGTATCCGTCGTCGTCGGAAGTCTCGCGGGCGAGGCGTCCCGACACCGGGCGGGGGTGTCGAGACGCCTACGAATGACGTACAGCAAACGAGTTCAACACCGGCCTGCACCTTGTCGACAATCGGCTTGTAGGGGTCGGCGCCGACGTAGAGCGCCATGGCCACCGGGTGCATGATGATCTCCACCATCTCCGTCTTCTCGATGAGCTGCTTGTTGAGGTCATAGGCGTCGCCGAACTTGTCGAGGTTCTTGAGGATTTGCTTAGGTCTTGAATCTCAAAGAGTGGCGAGGGCCGACGAACGCGTCGACCCCCGCCAATAGCACGGCGATGAGTAGTGTTTTCATCAAGCGCTCTCAATCAAGCTCGCTATCGGAGCGATTGAGTGAGCCTCCCCAAAAAGTCTGGCTAGCTAGCGTCTTGTAAGACACTAGCACACATTATTACCACATCCTCCGCTATGAAAGAAGCGGCCCGCGCCCGCCGCCGATGAATCGGCGACGCGCGGTGTCTCCCCCCCAGGGGCTCCGCCCACTAGTCCTAGCACCGTAACATCGACTGCGCCCCTACCGCCAGGGGCCCCCCACCGTACGAGCTGCGAGTCGCGCCAACCCTGACGCCATCGACGCAATCAATTACCACATACTTACGAGGGCGACGCCTTCCGCGGCGCCGACCGCCGCCGCTTCTGCGCGACGGCCGACTCCCACGTCGTCCAGCGCCCGATGTCCGGGCCCTTGCCGCTCTTCGAGTCGACGTTTGCGTCAAACAACACCTCGTAGGGCCCGTCGAAGAAGGCCACGTGCAAATCGAAGCGCCCGCCAAACGCCCCCCTCGCGATGTTGCGCTGCGGCGGTCCGGTGGCGGTAAAGGGCCCGACGGCGCGCCGCGACTTGATGTTGTACAGAACTAAAGGAGTCCCCTTGACGATGCCATCGACCTTGCCTTTCATGGCGTAGCTGCAGCCCAGCAGGCGCCTATCCAAACACTCGGCCTCGGTCTCGGAGCTGCAGTGGAAGACGTAGGCGCCCGGCGGCGGCGGCGGCGCGCCTCCGTCACTGTTCCCGGGCTGCGTCAAGACCCGCCAGCCGGAGTTCGATGCCGTGTTTGACGCCGCGGCCGCCCGGAGGCCCGCGGCGTGGCCGGCGGCGAAGCCCTCGGCATAGCCAGCCTTGTAGCCGGCCGTGTAGGCCTTCTCGTCGGGCGGCACCTCCGGCTCGGCGGTGGCGTCGTCGACCGGCGGCGACGGCGGCGTTTGATTGAGTGGGTTCTCACTTGGGCTGTCGGGCGTCGCGTACGCCTTCAAATTTGCATCTTCCGGGAAGAGGAGCGCGCTGCGGAATGCCGCAGGCGGCGTCGGCGGCTTGCTGGTGGATTCGCTGGACATGGTGTCGCGTCGCGTAGACGACCTCGAATGCCGCGTCGATGGCGTAGTGGACCCGAATGGCGCGTCGTTGGCGCAGGCGACCCGAAGCCAAGGGTGGCTCTCAGAGCTGGGTTCGTGTACGTGCGTTCCCGCGGACTCTCGTGCAGGGCGGCAGCGCAGTACCTTGGAAGCGATGCAGGGCTACCACGAGAACGTCTATTGAGTAGCGCCACGCGCTTTTTGGCGCGACCCAAAAGAGCGTGATTAGCTAGCGGCGTGTAAGGCACTAGAAAACTGAGGCTGAGAGGGGCCTGTGAGCGGCTACGAGCGCTATTCCTCGCAAGAGCGGGACAATTCGATAGCCCTCGTACGCCCTCGCGACGTGCAGCATCGATTCACAGCGCAGAGCCAACCCACTCGCATCGTGAGCCGCCAGGCAGCAGGAGGGGACATTCACAGGACGCCGTCGCAGCGTAAAAACCATGCGCATCACCGTCCACAACGCCGAAAACCAGCAGCGCTTCGCAATCGCCCTGACCCTCACGGACCGATGGCTCACGACCAAGACCGCGGCCGACGTCGTGCGCCTCTTCCTCAAGCGCTTCGACGCCAAGTATGGTATGAAGTCGACGGATGCCTTCGGGCTCGCGGTGCGGGGTGGCGACGCGATCGCGCCGAACCAACCGCTCGGCGCGGCGCTCGGGAGCCACACGGACCTCGAGCTGCGCCGCGTGGAAAGCAGCGACGATGCGCTCGCCCAGCTGAGAAAGCTGGAGACGATGGAGGAAGCAGCAGTTTCCAAAGCGTACCGGGCGCTCGCGCGGGGAGAGGGAGACGGTTTAGTGCGGGACTTATCAAGGGTCGACGCAAAGACGCTCGACGCCGCGCTGCAAACTTTCTTGGAAGAAGATAGTGCAAGGTGGGCCCTCGCGCGCGAGGTCTACCGCAGCAGCGCGTTCGTCAGAGCGCTCAGAGGCAGAAGCATGCCTTCTCCATTGACGCTCCCGCGGCGTTGCGAAATCCTCGAGCCGCTCGGCGCTTCGATAGAGGAGCGGTCTTCGTGGAGGCGGCCGCCGGCCGACGCCGCCGCGGAGGGCGCCGCGGCCCTCATCCTCGAGAAGGCTCCCGACGCGAGGCGACGCTGCGAGCTGACGCCCTTAGCTTTTTGGGCGCAAAACGCACTAAGCTCGAACGACGTCGTCCTGACGCGCGAGGCCGTCGACGAACTCGCTTCCTATATGAGGGAGCGGCTGGAATTGCGGCCCGTCGGCTTCCGGCCCGCCGCCGTCGAGATGGGTTCAAAGCCGCGCCTCGCGCGCTTCCTGGGCCGGGACGTCGTCGAAGCCGGCAATGCTGCGATGCCCGAGCTCATCGAAGCGTACCGGCCCACGTTACTACTCAACTGCTGGAACTACGGCAATGCGCCGTGGCTCACACAACTCAAAGGCACGGTACCGGACCCCGACTTTCCTTGTGACGTGCCGGAATACGTGCTGATCGGGCCCACGGCCGAGCTCATGCCACTGGTCAAGGCGACGGCGTTGAGATTGAAACGGGACGCGCCCCTCGACAAAAAAAAAAGTGGGTGGGAGGCCTTCGAGGGCTACGACGCGGTTCACATCGAGCGCGTCTCGCGGAAGCTCCTGCACGTCGCCGATTCCAACGAGAACAAGTACGGCCACGCCTGCTGCGTGGCCTTCCGCGCGGCGGACTGTCGGCTGTCGATGTTCCGCACGCATGCCGAAGTCGCCCACTCGAAGGCCCAGGGCGTCGTCGCGCGGGCCTACGCGAACGCCCAGCGGGGCGTGGTGGGGACGCCGGATGATTTAAGGGAGTTGGACGAGGCGCAGCGCGTCGTGCGTTCTACCGACCGGACCGTGCGGGACGGCGTCCGGACGCCGCTGCGGACCGTCTAATTTTGTGTAGTCTTCCTTCCTTACGAGCTAGGCCGCCTAGCTACCCGGCCGCCGCGGGTCTTACTACCGTGAAGTCTACCGTCCGGACGCCGTCGTAACTGTTGGAGTCTTCTAGGGATGCAAACATACTAATCCGCGAGGAGTACCCTCTGGAAGGGCAGCTCGTGACGAATAGATCTGCTTTTTCTGCAGATGGAATTGGGGCCCCGGCGACTCGGGGCGACGGCGTATGAGGGCCCGGGGGCGGGACGGCAACACCGCGGAGGCCCCAATAAGGCACACTCAGCGCTCCATCAGCTCCGCGAGGGGGGGCATGCCCTGGTAGCTGATGTTGAGGTGCTTCATGATTGCGTCCATCTTCTTGTGGAGCTCCTCGACGCGCGCCTCCTGCTGCTCGGCCTTCTTCATCTGCCCGACGTTGCCGCGCGCCACCTTCTTCGCGTTGAGGACCTGCACCATGTCGTCGACCCAGGGCTCGTAGGCGGTGCCGCCCTCGACGAGGAAGCAGCCGACGCAGGGCGGGCACTCCGGGACCTCGCCCTGGCGGCCCGGCCTGAGGATCATCCGGTCCGTCGTCACGGCCTTGATGGGCACGTTCACGCAGCACGCGGGTAACTCTTTGTCGTCCTTGGCGACCGAGCCGAGCTGCGCGTAGGGTGTCCGCCGGTTCTCCGTCTTCTGCCCGAACGGGTTGTGCGGGTGGGCGTAGCTATTGCAGCAGTTCGGCGCGTGCTCGATCGTGTAGTCGACCTCGTCCTCCTCCAGCACCAGGGTGTGCTCGTCCGCCTTCCACCAGCAGCACTCCGGCCACTCCGCGGACCACCGGTAGACGCTGTGGCCCTTTTCGTTCACCTCCACCGGCCGGACGGCCGCCATCGTCTTGCGCGGGCTGCCTCTTGCGTGCGAGCGGGTCCCGGCCTCTTGCGTGCGCGGGCTGCCTCTTGTAAAATAACGCAAGGTGTCCAATCTGTTTCAAGGGCCCCGGGGTATCTTCGATAATAATTGGCACGTGGCACTGTCTAAGGTTTTTTTGTGTACTAGTAGTCTTACTACCGTGGTTATACCGATGTACGTACCATATTCAGCTTAGTCGATGGGGGCTTCCGACGGGACTCGTAACGCGCACAGGGGCTACGGGCAAGCATGGTGGCCCGGGTCGGGCGTGCTCAATTGCACTCGCAGTACTCGTGGATGTGAATCGGCGTCTGGCCGGGCAAGAACTCGTGGTACTGGATGGCGCGCGAGCAGGCCTGGCCGCCCACGGAGCACTCCTCGTCCGACCCGGCGCCGTTCGTCACGACGCACGCGGACATCGTCCCGTCCGTAGCATCCGGGGGGAACGTGAATGTCATACTTTCTACCCTCGAGGAGTCTTCTTCGCAAGTCTTGGACCCGACGTACCAGTCGAGGGTAGCTTCGCAGTTGCCCGGGCCGCATCTGAGCTTGCCCGAGTGCTCAAACGGAATGACGATATCGCCGCTGAAGAGAGGCCCCACCAGCTCGCTGCAGGTGCCCTCCTGGTACGACGGGTCCGTGAAGCCATCGGGGGCCACGTTGTTCTGCGGGTACATGGCTTCCGTGAGCGCCGTGTTCTCGTTCTCGCAGTTCTCGTCCGTGTAGAACTTCTGCAGAACGTGGACGGCCGAAGGGAGCTGGCACGCGCCCTCGGTGTACTCTACGCCTGCGTTCTCGGCGAGGCACGAGTTGTCGTAGGTCTTGCCGTCGGACCCGCAGACTGGCATGTACTCCTTCGTGCACGGGACTGGACAGTCCCACACCTGCGTGCACTTGCCCTCGGCCTCGCACCAGGCCCAACCGCAGGCTGAGCCTCCCCCGCAACAGTTCTTGTCGCCGGAGCCGTCCGGGCCGCCGACGACCACGTGGTTGCGAGCGCACGAGTCGGGGCACGCCTCCGTGGCCCGCACCCCGCCCTCGCCCTTGACGAGGCACCGCATCGATGGGAAGATAGAGACCCAGGCGCAGCCCTTCGTCTCGTCGTTCTTCTTGTGCCAAGCCTCCGTACCCGTATCCTGGCAGGGGCCGCCGCAGGCCCCCTTGCAAGCGTAGGCGGCCCGGAGCTTGGCCTGACCCCAGCCTGCGCGAACGACCGGTGAGCGAGTCGCGTCGATGGCGATCATCCGCCGATCGAAGGCGCCATGAGCGACGCCGCGTAGGCACCCGGGCCCTTGACTGAGCAGCGCGTCTCCGGTTTCTTCGCGACCCAGGCGCAGTCCTTCGCCGGCTCGTCCGTCTTGTGCCAATCTTCCGCGTCCTCGCACGACGCCTGCTCCGGCTCCTCGCTCAGGACGAGGCCGAGCTGGACGCGGCCGTCGTCGGTCTTGTAGGACCACGTCGACGTCGGGTGGAAGCCGTTCGTCATGTACTTCTCCTGCTGAGGATAAGGTTTCGTGAAGGGGTTGGACTCGGTCGCACCGAGGTCCTTGACGTGCTGCTGCGACCTGTGTGGAATCAACCAGTGAGTTAGATTCATCGCGTCGACGGCGTGTGGCGCCTGAAATTTGATTTCCACACAGGCTGCGACGCCATGATCTCCGAGGCGACGACCTGGCCGTCGTAGCTGAGCAGGATGGGCGAGACGCCTGCGTGGAAATCAAATTCTTGGCGCCGTCGACGCCATCGACGCGACGTTGATTCCCGCACGGCGAGGCACCATTTGTCCACGTGCCGCAGGCGCAGCCCTGGTCGTTCGGCGCCGGCGGGAAGCCGGGCACACCGAGGAGGGATAATTGTTGGGCGTTGCAGTCCCGCCAGTCGCCGTTTTCCCCCGTGCTCTTGCACGCCGCAGGGCCCCCGTCCGCCACGTCCTCGGCCGGCAAGAGGTGCAGGCCGTGGCCCGGGACGGCGTGCCCGCCGAAGGTGTCGTCCTGCACGAATCCGGTCATGTAATCAGGGTCGGGCAGGACGTAGAACGGCGCGTTCTCGGGCGCGCTCGCGTCGCAGTTGCCGGCCCCGGGCGGTTGGACGCACGTGCCTGTGTGGAAATCAATTTTACGGCGCGTTCGTCACGGTTCGTGCTGAATCGTCGCGTCGTCCTCCACGCCATCGACGCGGCGCCTGCTCGATAGCGTGGTGGTGTGTACCCAACGCACTGGTTGATTTCCACACAGGCACATGCCCATGAGCGCGACGCGCGCGTCCTCCGTGATGGTATAGAAGTGGATATCGAAGTGGTCGATGCCGTATCCGTCCCCTTTGCCGTCCCAGGCGGGGTGGCCGCCCGGCGAGAAGTTGATGTAGGCGGACTTGAAGGGTTCGCAATCGGACGTCTCGATGGGTAGCGACATGCTGTTGCCCGGGCCGGGCGGGCCCGCGAGCGTCTCGAAGGCCTCGGCGTCCATGTCGAGGTAGATCTTCCGCGGCCCGCCGTCCGTCGGCACTTCACAGACGGCCTTGATGTCCAAGGCGTCCATGACGCCGGCGGCCACGCGCGCGCAGGCGAGCATGAGGAGCAGGCGAGCCATGTTCTTAGGCCTGCAGGATTTGTGTGAGAAAATGACTATCTCGAGCCTGGCGCCCTGGCGCTGGACTGCGCCGGTCTGGTGTGTCTTTGTGGACTGTAGATAACGCGAATCTTCGCTGGATCAGAGCTAACTGCTTTGATCCTCGGATGCCAAGATTACATCGGCGCTCGATAATACCTAGTGATGCTAAGATACTAGCCCACAGAGCGCTGGGCAAAACAACAGCTCTTAGTGCTTCCATATCTACGATCATTGGTCGTAGGTCGTGTAGTAGCAACGCATAGCTGCCAGCCTCACGTCACGAAGCGAAACGTCACGAAGCGAAACGAACGCATGCGGCTCATGGCGCTCCTCCAAGCAGCCTATGCTCTCCGAAGAAGCGCTGCTCTCCGGACGCGGCGCGTCGGCATCCGTGCGGCGACGACGACGCTGCGCGCGACGCCCGACGAGTGGGCGCTCCCGCCGGGCTGGGCCGCAACTCTGAAAGAGGAATGTGCGAGCGACCGGCACCGGCAGCTCCGAGCGTTTGTGGAGGCAGAAAGAGCAAAGCACGAGGTCTACCCGCCGCCCGGGGACACGCTCGCGGCGCTGCGCGCCGTCGATTTGGGGGATGTCGAGGTCGTCGTCGTCGGCCAGGACCCGTACCACGGGCCCGGCCAGGCGCACGGCCTGTGCTTTTCCGTAGCGGATCTGTCGCGGTGCGTCTTCCCGCCGTCGCTGCGGAACGTCCTCCGCGAAGCGTCCCGAACAACGGAACAGTGGCCCGAGCACCCCGACCCCGCGAAGCGCGGCGACTTGAGTAGATGGGCTTCTTCACAAGGTGTGCTCCTCCTCAACTCCGTGCTGACGGTGCGACGCGGCGCGGCCAACTCCCACGCCAATCAAGGCTGGGAGGAGTTCACGGACGCCGTCGTGAAGGCCGTCGCGGAACGAGAGCGAGGTGTCGTGTTTGCGCTGTGGGGCAATTCTGCGAAACGGAAAGTCTCCAATAACTTGGGTGGGCAGCACCGCGTCGTTGCTACCTCGCACCCGTCTCCATTATCGGCGGCCAAGGGCCGCGACGCCTTCATGGGCTCGGACTGCTTCTCGCGGATCAATACTCATTTAACGGAGCTGGGCCGGCGGCCGGTGCGTGGACCAGCGTAAAAGAGACGGGAGAAGCTGCAGTGGCGGCCGCGCTTGACTTCCAACTTACCATATACTTTTGTATAAGCGGCCCGGGCAAGTCAATCGGCCGCACACTTTCTCCCACCGAAAGGAGAGACCGCCTTCGCTCGCCGACGCACGCGCGCATGGTGGGATCTCTCGTTTTCCCACCATCGCACACACAGGTCGACTGGCGGCTTTACGTCGAGGGCGAGGAGGAGGCCGACGCCGCGGCGCTCCTCGCGGACGTGTTTGGCGGTGATGCAGCGGAGGACGCCGACGAGGCCGCGGCGGCGCCGGCTTGCGGGTGGCCCCGCTTCGAGGCTTCGCTGCAGGCGCTCCGGGACGCGGCGGGGGAGGACGCGCCGGCGCCGGCGCGCGATGAGGCGGAGCGGTTCGCGGCGCTCGTGCGCATCCTCGTCTGTTGCCCGCGTGGAATCACTTAGCGGTCCGCCGGCGTGACGTCGTCGAGCAGACGCAGTTACGGGGACAACGTCGCGTCGATGGCGTACGCGGTCGAGGCAATGGTCTCAACACAGGTCGCGCCGCGCACGCCGAGCGCAATTGTGGACGCGGCGGTCGAAGCCTTAGGACCGACGACGGCGGCGGAGTTCGCGTCGCGCGCCGAGGACGACGTCGAGGCTACATTGCGGGAGTGCCAGGTAGCGTTTCCCCTGCAGAAGGCCAAGTATCTCGTGGGCGCGGCGGAGGGGTGCGCGGGCGACTTCGGCGGCGACGTTCCCAGGCGGCCGCGGGACATGAGGAAACTGCCCGGGGTCGGCGAGAAGGGTGCCGCGCAGCTCTGCGTGAGCGCGTGGGACTGCGATGATGCGGGGATTGTCGTGGGCACGAGTACGCACCGCGCGTGCAACGCGCTCGGCTGGGTTGAGACTTCAACACCAACGGAGACGAAGAAGGCCCTCGAGGCGTGGCTGCCGCGCGACCTCTGGCGCCAGCTTCCCGTACTGGTAGGGGCGCACGTCGCGGCGCCGGCGCCGGCCGTCTCCGACCCGCTCCTCGGCCGCGGCGTCGCCGTGTTCCTCCCGCCGGGCCACCGCGACCGCGACGCCGTCGTCGCCGCGTGCGCGGCGCTCGGAGGCGGCGGCGGCGCGCGCGAGTACCGCATCCACCGGTCGAAGTTCGACGCCGACGCGCCCGATGAATTAATAGCGAGCGCGCGCGTGGACTCGTACGGCGCCGTCGAGGCCGTCGTCGAGGACCTCCGTGCGCGGCGCATTTCCTGCTACGCGCGGCGCGTCGTCGACGACGATGTTGTTGTGTAGTTTTTTCAAGTTTTTTTAACACGAAGGGGCTCCCGGGGATGCGGCGCCGTCTTCTCAAGAGTATGAGGACGCCGCGGGAGCAGGGAAGGATGCGCCAGCTCGCGACGGCGGCCCGGGCGTCTCGTGGGCGCGCGTGTCGGGCGGCGACTTGACTACGGGTTCTCACAACTGATGACGGGGTTTTGGATGTATCCAACGATAACCGAAGAACCGTCGACCTTGTCGCCGTTGTACATGCACGTGTCTTCGCCGTCGCCGCCCTGATGAGAAGCGTGAATGGTTGCGCGTATGGCGATGGACACGGCAGCGCACGTTGATCATCTGGGTAAAAATATCGGGAGGATACGACTGATTCGGGTCGCCGGGACCGTCGGGGTTCACCACGGTGAGATCATCGCTGCCAGCGCGGCCAGATACCCAGCAAGCATTGCCTTCGCAGCTGATTTTGTCGGCGTCCGCAGCACCGTACATGGAAATCAAACTTCGGGCGCCCCACGCCATCGACGCGACGTGCTTCCGTAGCTGTGTCTGCGCGATGGCGTGGGGATTCCACGCCATCGACGCGACGTTGTCCCCGTGACCGCGTCGGCTCGATGGCGTGGATAACCTACCTCACTGGTTGATTTCCACACAGGCGGCGACGACAGACCCAAATTCCGATAAACGTATACTCAACAAAGAATACTAGTAGGTTACTAGTAGGTTGCCATACGCAGGCTTCCGGGTACTTCTGAAGGGGGGACTCGACGGTTTTGAGACGGGCGGGTCCCGCCCGATCCATTGGAGCAAAGTCCCTCCAGTGAAAAGACCGCCGGAACCGCGGCGACATTCGCGGATGAGACTTACGGCTTGCCAAAGTAGACCAGCGATTGACGCCGCCATCTACCGTCCAGATGGTACATTATATATACTCCAGCCCAGTTTTCAAACATATCTGACGGAACTAGAGCCGATAGCCCACGTTCCGAGGGCGGGAGAAAAATTCTACGAGACAACTCCCGAGTTTATGTTCGTTTCCTTCCATTTGTTAGGGGTAGAGTCCATGCAGCCGGCCAGAACGTCTAGTGGACATGATCATGTACTCCGTTGGAGCCTCGGGATTCGGCAACTTCGCGCCCACGCGTTTACATAAAGGAGGACACCAAACCTCAACCTGCGAGTATCAGCGACGCCACCATCCAGATGGACCACAACGCCGTTGTTCTATTCACAATCGACCGACTTGCCCGTTTTCCGCGGACGACGGTGCGTTGACGGAGCACCAGAAAGGCCCCAGACCGGTGAGTTGTAAAATAAATTCGCGTTTGAGGCGCTTCGGTTGTGGGACGGGCCAGGCAACCGGTCTGAGCGACTACTACATTAGATGACCGGTCCCGTTTCCAACTCGCGCCTCGTCAGTCTCGCGACCCCACGATCTCGCCAAATCGGCCGAGTTACTCAGACCTGCGACCATCAGCCCGTGTACCATCACCATGAACATTGACGCGATCATTTGTTTCATGATCGACCGACTTACGCGAGCTCCAGATCAAGATGTTCACGTCCCGAGCGTGGGCAGCAAAAAGTACCCTTCCTATAATGTAGATGTCATATACTTGTAATTGACTATCGGTGGGGTAGTATGGGGTCCAACGAGACCGCTACGGCGACTACTGGGGGCCCTCGGGTACTTGACGTTTTTGCCGGGAACGGGGCGCCATCGGGCCCAAATTGCACACTTCTTTCGGGGGTAGATCAGCTCCTGGAGGGCTCTCGGGGTAGGTCTGGTGTTGGGTAAGCGCCTGCACCGCTTATGCCATCGATGCAGCAGCCTAGAGGTCTCGGAACCCAGATCTGCCCTAAGCTTGGTAAAGCTCCTCTGTCTGCTGAGAGATTGGCCAAAATATGCTGTAAGCTGCGGCGTGTGCGGTGTAGGCGCTTGCGCGTGTATAGTACCGACCCTAGGCGACCCCAGGGACACCTCTTCGACGGGGATTGACAGGATTAAACCGGCGCGGCTGCCATGGCCCAAGGCGGCGGCGTCGCCACGAATTAAAACAAATAGTTTTTCGGCCCCCAGTACGTGTCCCATTGATCTCTTTGGACCATTAGCGAACCGAACGATACTCAAACGGCTGCATGCGTTTCGCAGACACGGCTAGTGTGTGTCGAAACGCTAGGTTCTCGCAGAGGGCGACGCTCGCTCTCGCTGGCCTGGCGTGCGCGCGGAGCTGTGCCGGTGACAGCACAGCTTCTCAACAATGTTCAGCCATCATTGTTGACCGCGCGGCCATGACGCAGCGCCGCGGCCGCCTCGAGGGCACCTTCCCTGATGGCGAGACCGACGACGGCACGGTGGCGGAGGGCACCTTCTTCGAAGACGCGAGCGGTTTTGTTAGCGTGCGCATCGGTAGTTGGAAGCCTATCCCAGCGCATCGCAAGAAACAGAACAAAAGGCCTCGCGACGACGATACCGCGGAGCATGCCGTCCGGCGCAAGCTCGCAAAACTCTGGCCAGATAAGTTCGTCCTCGAGCGCCTGGTCTACGTCCACGAGCCGGCCGCCATCGCACCTGAACCCGAACCTCCACCTCCACCTCTACCTGATCAACGACCAAGCCTTCCACCACCAGTAGTATACGATCCGCAGCTCCCCGAACACCGGCGCGACAGGGGTACCGGTGCTCGCCGAACAATCGCCGACGAGACCCACGACGAGCTCCGAGTACTAGTCCGACAGCGAGACAAGATCCTCCAAGTACTAGCAGCAGATCAACTACCAGGCGCTCGGCTCCTGCAAAATGCTCTGCTCGACGTCCTGGGCAAGGACGACAGCGACGACGACGACGACGTGGCGGCGACGCCACCACTAGAACAACCAGAACCAGCCCCAGCACCTGCCCCTCGTGTCCAACCTCGAGAACGTGCAGGACGTGCTCTACGTGTACAGATACGTGAAGCGCACCGGCTACTACGCCTAGGGAAGAATACAGAAGCGGCAGCTGCGCTTGACCGCCTCGAGGCCGAAGGCGCTAGTGCTGATGCAAAGAAGCACGCCGGAGATAGTGTGATCACTAGGCGAGCCAAGGAGATCAGAGACCTGGTTTTCAAGCAAGGCCATCTAGGGACGACGCGAAGGATCGTCGAGGAGTTTCTAGATGCTCCAGAGATGAAACTACTGCTCCCTGCCCATCTCCAACAAACGTCGAAGGACGCCGAGACGGCGAAGATGATGCTTCAGGCCGCCAAAGCGTGGGTCAAAGGTGTAATGAAGACCACGGGCCGACGCTCTGACGAGGATCGTAACGCTCTACTGGCTGGCATCTCTGCTTTGATGCCAAAGGGCCTCTTCGAGCTGAAACGTGGACGTTCCGCCATGCGAGCTCTCGGGCTCTCCCACGCCATCACAAGGCAAGCCGTCGACGCCCGACAGGACTTGGAGGACCGCAGCAAGGGCTGGCAGCGCGTACACACGTCGCCGCACTGCGATAGACTGGACACGACGCCCATCGACAAGTGGTGGCACGAGCAGGGCAGTGTTCCGGACAACGACAACAAGCACAAGATTTCAGTGTTCCTGGGAGTCGATGAAGACACAAATGAGGAGAAGTATACCATACATTACCGGCGTCTTCAGGCCGGTAACGACAAGGATGCTTGGGAACTCTTCGCTAAATCGGACTACGCGAAGCAGTGCCAGGAGAAGTCGAAGACTGAAAAGTGCCCTTTGGGCACCATACCACAGCTCAAGGCCTTCGTCCAGGCACGCTGTCCTTGTATTAAGAAGCGAGGCGTAGGAGAGTGCGACTGCGACATCTGCACCACAATCCACTCGAACCTCTACCCGTATCATCAACAAGTCCTCAAATGGATCGGCGACGGCGACACGTCCACGTGCGCATGCGGTGGTGCGTGCGGAAAGTGGGCCGAGGCGACCCAATCGATGGATGCGTTGTATGGCTTCCTGTTCTGCCCGGCAGAGCACCTGAAGGACTACGACATTGGAGACACGCCCTTCAAGATCATCCCCAAGTCTTGTGCGACTGGGAACTGCAAGCACGCCACGCCGTTTGACACGTCGAAAGCGTGTGGCGTCGCTCTACGGATGGCTCCGCTGTACAAGTGCCCTGTGCTCGCTTCCGACGAAGACGTTCGATGGAAACAGTGGCAGCCGCGCTATACAGGCGATAACAAGGAGACGGGGGTGGCCATGTATCAATCGGAGTTCGTGCCGACGAGGGGTTCGCGACGCAAGTTCCTAGAATTCTTCCAGGACAAGCTCGGGTTCTATGCAGAGCATCATTGGCGTGTGGAATGGACAACCCAAAGCTTGAGGCGCGTCGAGTTGTACAGGCCGCCGAACACGGCCGTTCTTCACTGTGACTTCGCCTCTCAGCTAGCGATCCAACGGCAACACCTCCAAACCTGCGGCCGTCGAGAGTACCTGAACAACTGTGTTGGTGTCATTGGCTACGACCTGCGGGAGGTGCAGCTCATGCGGCCAAAAGTAAAGTATTCGAAGGAGCGGGTCCCGACACCGGTACAACAACAACATGTCGACTGTTTTTTTGGGTTTAGCCCACCGGGCCACAAGCCCGACGCGCGCTACTACAACACCGTGTACCAGGACATGATCTCCTACCTCAAGACGGGCGCGGTTCGGCACGGTGAGTGGTTCTACAACAAGCAGCGCCTGCGGGGCGGCGACCACTCCTTACCGTTGCCGCAGGGGTTCACGGAGATGGACCCCTCGGCCCCCTTCCCTCGACTCGACGAGGTGATAGAAGAGCTAGACGGCTGCGCCTGTCAATTTGCATGCGGAACGCAGTATCGTGCAGTCGCGACGGGCCTTATGGAGCAGGGCGTGGTGCGACGACAGCTTAAACTAGCGGAGAAGCACGGCAAGAACGTGTGCGACGGCGTCTCGAACATCCCTGGGACCGTCCTACGGTCCGCCATCGCTGCGGATAGGGCGCCGCCCCCCGGTTCTCGAGAGACGGTCGTTTTCATGGCACGCGAGCACCCGACGCCGAGCGTGCCCAAGGCTGATACCAATGGCATGTGGAACCTCTCGGGCATTTTCTACGGCCACATCTCTCACAAAGTGATCGAGGCCTGCCACGTCCCCGAGGCCACTACTTTTACTGGAACGAGGAAGTGTCACGACTTCGTCGGATTATCTTGCGACAAGGCCCTGCTGGACGGCGACGCACCTATCCACGCACGCCATGACTTCTGCTTCTGCTCGCCGTGCGGGAAGCGCAAGTTCATTGACTGTAAGTTTAGGCGACGCGCTGGTGCTACGATGAAGAAGCATAGTACGAAAATCAAAAAGGTGACGACATCTACTATCCAAACGCAGCAAGGTGCCTTCGAAAACTGGTGCAAAGAAATGCACAACCAGAAGCTACTCGCCGTTCGTGTCCAGGACCCCAAGTACACTGACGATTTCTGGCTCGCGAAGCCGACCGGAGCCGCCATCGTCGCGACCGAAAACTTCATACATGCCAATTCAGACTATGAGGTGGGGTTTATGATCCTACCAATCAAATGGTACGACATCGTCTCGGGCAAAGAGCGTACCTATACGCTTTTGAACGACGACGTCTACATCCAAGCGAACGCGACGGTCCGACTGACTGGACTGAAGTTCAGCCAACACACAAATGGGAGGTACACAATTACCGAGGACACTCACGAGCGTATCCTTGAAGCTATCTAGGCCGGTTCTAATGTTAATTTGTAATTTTATGCGAGTTTTCCGGAATGTGGATGATTCCGTTCAGCTTTTTCGGAATTTGGGTCGACACTGATCCGAGCGATTATGTGGACGTCGTCCACCCGGGCCCGTCGGGACTGTCGAAGATGGCGAGAGCCGCGGAGCGGGAGCTCCGGGCCTGGCGCTACGGCGGGTCTGACGATAACGGCTCTGACGACGGGTCCGACGACGACGAGCCCGAGGAGACGCGGCGGCCGACGCGGCAGCCGTCGTATCGGCCGACGTATCAGCCCACGGACGCCGGGCCGACGCCACGGCCGCCGACACCGCGCCCGCGGCCGTCGAGCGACTGCCCGGCGCTTGAGCCTCTCCCTAAGGACTCGCCGGACTGCCCAGACGAGCTCGACATCGCGCCCTGCGACACGCCTGGCCTGGGCGTCGGGGAGCTGTGCGAGGGCGACGGCGAGTGCGGGACCGACCGAAAGCTAGATAATTGCTCCAACGACGAGGCCCAGGGCGCGGACATCTACCGCATTGTCGGTTCGACGCCGAATTACCAGCCCACTAAGAAGCCAACGGACGGCGGCGGCGGCGGCGAGTGCCGCGATGATGAATCGTGGTGCTACGGCGACTGCAGTCCGAACGACTGCGCGTACGTTGGGCAGAAGGTCAAGCCGGACGGAACGCTCGCGCGCTGCAAAAAGAAGAACACGGACGGCGAGCGATCGGCGCTCGAGGCGTGCCCGGCGACCTGCGGGACGTGTCCCTGAGCCGCAGGAACTAGTCATAACACTACTACTAAGTTAACTGAGGTACCCGAGACCCGCCAGCCGTCGGATCTGCTCCGTCAGCGGCAGCGAGATGAGAAACACGGGACCGAGCCGCACCACGAACGGCGTGAAGCCGCGGTAGAAGGCCAGTACTCCGTCCTTCCTCAAAATGTCCGCGGCGGCGCCGAACGCGCTCCGGTATGTGGAAGAGGCCTGATACCGCGTCATCACCACGTCCGCCGGCGTCGCGCACACGCCCGCGCCGACACCACCCGCACAAGCGGCCAAGCCGTGCAGAACAGGACCGTCCTCGAGCAGGCCCCGCCGCTTCGCCCAGGTCTTGAAGCCGTCGTAGCCGACCTGCGTAATGGGCCGATGAGGGAGGGACGTCGCGTCGATGGCGTGGAAGGGACCTCAAAAGGCGCGGGCGCCTAACCTGCATGCCCGCCGACAGCAGTGCGCCGCGCACGACCAGCGCGCCGGCGCCCCTCCACAGATGACAGTCCCGCTTTAGCGTCCCCAGGCCTTGCACGAGCGACGCGTAGCGCGGCGCCTTACCTACTGAAGCGCCCGTCGCGAAGACGCCGTTTTCTAAAAGCCCGGCCTCGGCCTGCGCCAGCGTCTTCACCTGGTAGACGGGGGAGGACACGAGGTAGCCGACGGCGCCAGCGAGCAGTCCGGCGACGAACATCACACCGGCATTCTTCTCCGTCGCGCCGACCGCCTGCAGGAGGCCGTCGCGGACGTAGGGGTAGCAGCCCACGCGGCCCACGGAACTGACGCCGATGCCCCAGAAGTTAGCGTTGACTCCCGGTAGCCAGAGGCCCCTCCACAAACCCTCCTGGCGCACGATCTGCCCGGCGAAGCCACGCATTCCACCAGGCTCCGTCGACACCTGGTAGCGCACCTTGAGCGTGTCGAGCGGGTTCATGATGGCTACCGACAAGCCGCCGGCGAAGCCCGCAGCACCCAGGCCCGCGGCGACGTCGTAGTAGGACGTGGTCATTGCTGCAGCTGCGAGATTGCAATGCGGCGACGATGAGGCGCCGCTGCGACGGCGTATCTGGTGCAAGCTCGGTGCAGAGCGCTAGGTGACCAGCAGTTGCACAGCAACCACTGCTCGAACGGCGTAGTTATGCAAGCTGCCCTCGTGGCAGCCTGCAACTAGCTGCAGCCTGCACAGTGAGCTGCACTGCTGCACTTGCAGCCGGGGATGAGCAATGCTACACGGCCGCAGCGATCGATGATGCCCCAGCGGTTGCACGGATGGCTGAAACGACCAGCGATGCGCCAGGTTGCCCGGCTTTTGCGACGATGATGTCACGATGCTAGATGAAGAGACACACTAGCTCGAAAAACACCAATCGAGGCTAAAACTTACACGTCCCCAGGCCACCGCCGTGGCCGAATTTCGGCCGGCGGCGCCCACCGGACCTCGTCCCCATTATTCAGCGGCGTGTCCAGCGACTCGATCCAGTCCGGCCGCCGGCCATTCACTTCGACCGGGCCGTTCACGTCGAACTCGGCCTCGTCCCGCCGTAAATCTTCCAGTAATGCGCCTCGAGCTTCACAAGTTTTGGCGGACGAGCCCAGCGTCAGCACCCTCCCCCCTTCCGCCACCACGAAGACCCGTTCGCTCCGTAAAGCATCCCCCAAGGCCCTTCCAGCTTTCGCACCCAATCGCGACGTCCGCGTCTCGTTGCCCGGACTAAAGGAAGGCACCATCCGGTCCGAAGTCCCGTCGATATACAGCGAATGAGCTGCGGAGCCAAACTCGGCCACGAGATGCATGTCCCGCGTCCGAATTTGCACTTCAAAATCATACACGGCACCATGCAACCTAGTTTTGGCCGTCGCATGTAATGAACGATAGCCGTTCAACTTCGGGCGCGCGATGTAGTCTTTGGTCCGATTCTCGTTGGATCTCCACACTTTTCGGACGCGGTCGAGGACGTGGTAGCACAGCGCGCTGTCGTCCTTTTTGTCGAGCGGGTCCAGGACCACCCTACACGCGACGACGTCTGGTGGCATCTTAACTTCGCCGTTCGTGGCGCCTAATCGCCTTTGTTTTCTCCATATCGAAAAAGGAGCTTTCTCTCTCGCATACACCCGCAACGAAGAGACGCCGTTCATGACGACGTCGTCTTCATACAAGTTTCGTTTGAGTCTACGCGTGACGTCTTCCAGGACGACGTCTCTCTCACTTCGTTGACTTTCGAGCGCATCACAAATCCTACGCCGCGCCTTCGGAGCCAACCGCTCGAAGGCCGCGTCCTCGAGATCCGTTTTTAACTGATTGAGACCGAAGCGGTCCGCGAGAGGGGCGAGGACGTCTAGCGCGTCTCTTGCTAGTGATGAAGGGGCATCACCTAGTTCCTCGACAGTACCACCCGCTAGCCTTTCCAACCTTCTAGCCTCCTCGGCGTCCCTCCGCTCCGCACACTCCTCGTGGAGAGCTTCCAGGTGGCGCGCTAATAACAAAGGCAGCGACCGGAAGTCCCCCGCCACGGCCACTAACATCTCCTGGAGGTTCTGGGCATGCGATCGAGGCAGCCGACAGCTCCTCAAGAGAGCATCATCCTGGTCCCCGAAGCCCGTGATGAGGCCTCTCCTAGGATCGCCCCACATGGTCCCGGCGCCCCACCGCGCCCGTTGGAGTTTACACAAATGAGCGAGGTTGGCCAGATCACGAGATAAATCCGCCGTCTCCGCACCGAGAGCTTCGACGATGGCTTCGTAGGGTAGCGTCGCCGGTCCTCGGTACTCGCCGTACGTCTCCTCGTGGGCGTCACAGAGAAGAGCAGCAGCAACTACTGCGGCGTCGGTGCCGAACGGGGTTCTCGACACATAAGACGCGACGGACGCGCCCTTGTTGACCGCGAGTTGTCTCGCAGCGCCTCCTTGGGAAGCCCAGTCCGTCAGGAGACGCGTGGCCCTATCTGCTGACTCTCGGACGTCGTCATCCTCCAGCGAATTGCGCAATTCGGACCACGTGTCGCCCACGAGCAACCCGTCATCTGCACGTTCGACGGGGAAGATGGTCTGGGAGAGGCGCGTCCACCAGCGGCCGCCCTCGACGTCCTGTCGTCTCGGCTTCGGGTCGAAGGCTCTTCGCCGTTCCACCGACGTTAACAATTGGGCGGCGTCGTCCCAGGGGCGAAACGCCACGTTCACGGCGGAGTCCCAGGACTCCCACGAATTAAAGGACGCGCCCCTGCGCCGCTCGCGCGGCTCGTCGGGGGGCGGGCCCTTTGGCTTGGGTTTATCTGGGGGCGGCGCGGGCGGCGCGCTGAGGCTGGCTACCCTCACGAGGCATAATAAAGCGGCTGCGGCCCAGCTGGCCGCCGCTGGCCGTCTCATTTTGACCGCTGTCAGCTACGCCTACGACCGCGCTACTCCGGCCTCCTGGACGCAGCACGGTGGGCCAGTGACACCGGCAGCTTTTGATCGAAGCGCGGGGCGCTCGGTGTGCCCGCAACTGGCGCAGCGCACAAGAAGATTGTGCGAGCTAGTATCCCTATAAGCTAGCCTGTTCTAGGATAATCGCACGAAACTCGGTATATATCTCCCCACAAAACGCCAATTCGGGCTGCATGCAAACTTCGGAGCAGCGTGGACAGCGTGGGCTGAGGGTCGGGGGCGGGCCGGGTGTACAGTCACGCGGGGAGGCGTCGGCTCCGCGTTCCCTTCAAATCTGAAACATAACACACACTTAAAGCTCACCATCGCGAGGAAGAAAGAACCCAGAACCCAGCACTTCCACGAACCGTCGCGCCACGACGGCCGGCGAATACAGGCGAGCCAACCGCTCGCGCCCGGCAGTCGCCCGCCTCAGAGCTTCAGCCGGATCGTCGCGAATCGCGCGCAACGCCGCCGCCAGGTCCTCGGGCCGCGGCCGCGCCAGGCCGTCGCGGCCGCGGCCGCCCGGATCGAGGAGCCACGCCGTGCCGTTGCCGCCCGTGATATCGAGCGGCCCCGCTATACCAGTGACGACCGTCGGCAGTTGCATCGCCAGAGCCTCGTGGACGGGCAGGCCCCAGCCCTCGCCACGCGTCGGCAGGGCGAAGCAGTCCACGGCAGCGTATAGCGCCCGGAGCTCGCGGCGAGAGAGCTGAACGCCCCGCAGCCACGTCAGGCGCGCTTCATTTCCGGCGGGCCGCATTCTCTCCGCGACGCGCCGGAGGTCTTGGTCGCCGCGCTCCCAGGAGGGGCGATAAGCGTGGATTACCAGCTCCGCGTCGGCGTCGCGAAACGCGCGGAAGAACCCATCCACCAGCACGTCCGGGGCCTTGCGGCGCTCCCACTTGAAAATAGACAACACGCGAAACGCCGGCTTCGGCCCGAGCAACGCTTCGATTGACGAGCGCGCGTCGTCGTCGCGTGCGGCCGCGGCCGGCGAGAACAATGATGGGTCGACGGCCTCGGGCGCGACGACGGCGCGGTCGCCAAATTGCTCGGCATTCCATTGCGTCGGCGCGATGACCACCGCGGCGCGCGCCGCGCAGCTGTAAACTTCCGCATCGCCAGCACCGCGCGTGCGCTCCACCATAAGGCGCGCAGCGCGCGGCCGCAACTGGCCGTAGACGTAGGCCGGCAGCCGCTCGTGCGTCGCTCCTTCGCCGCAGCGCCCGTGCACGATCTCCGGCACTGATGGGTCGTCGTCTCGCAACGTCGCTCGCGCGACGGCCGCGGCCTCCTCCGGGAAGAGCTTCGCGAGCTCTAGCTCGTCGCATCGCAGGCCGCGGACGACGACGCCACCGGGAATAATGGTTTCGAGCGCGGGCAGCAGGCCTAAAAGCTCAACGAAGAAGCCATTGATGTCACAGCCGACCTCGAGTCGCCATGCGATGCCCGGTCCACTGCTCGCGCGCGTTGCCAGGAGGCAGCAGAGGAGCCATGTGCTGATCATGGCATTGCTGCCGCGACGGCTTATTGCTCACGGTGCCACATCCGAGCAGCCGGTCCCAGAGCTCGATTCCACGTCGTAGCCAGCTGGAGGACTCCCAAGGACACTCAGTCGCGTCGTGCACAAAGGCAGAGCCGCTGTGGTGCAGGGAGATGCCATCCAGTTTTCGCCTGGAGCAAGCCGCGGCAAGCGCTAAACGCACGTAAAACCACGTTGACGCACGATCATTTGTCGCAGCGGAGCCTCTGCGAGCGCAAAAACCGTGTGCGCGGCACCTCGCAGCAGCTTGGAGAAGCACAGCCCCAGGGTCTGGCGCAGCGAGCTGCCGACGCGGCGAGCCCAAAACCCACGATGCTGCCAAGACTCGACTTCCACAGTTCATTGAGAGACGCCGTCTTGGATGGAAGCAAGACCGCAACCACGAGGTTAGTCGGCGAGCTCGACTCGAACACCGACGTCGACGGCCTCCGGCCCGGCATGAGGGCCGCCGCGACCTGTCAAGGCGAGACCTTCGCCGAGCTCACCATATTGAGTATCGAACCGGTTTCATATGATGCCATCGACGATAAGCTCGCGAGGGCGGAGGACTGCGCCGATGCTGCCGAACTCAAATCATTACTAAAGAGCTTCTATCCCCGCGCGAAGCCGACGACGGCCTTCCTGGCCATCCGGTTCCGCTGCGCCGCGAATGCGAATACGATCACGTTCGTCGACGCGGCCGCCGCGTCGCTCAAAGTTCTTGGACTCGTCGGAGACTTCTGCTCGCCATTATTAGCGCGCGAGTACCCCCTGGCCGCTTTGTCTTTGAACGCGAACGACGCGCACTGCCTCCTGACCCACCAATTTCCATTATTACCGTGGCTCCTGGTGGTGGTCCTACGACGGACAGCCGAGGACAGCGCCTGCTTCGCTCTCGGCAGGCTGCGGGGCCAGCGCTACGTCGACGAGTGGCTCCCCTCGGCGCCCATGAGTAAAGCGGCGGCCCTGGCGGCCGTCGTGGCCGCGCCGGGCGTGTCGACGTGTGCCCTGGCCGGCGCGGCGGGCGTCTCCTGGTCCATGTTTGGTGGAGTGACGCTCGTCGGCGCTTTGTTGCGAGCTTTGGCGATTAGAGCTGTCGCGGAGCAAATACCCGTGGGCCTGTTGGACGACTGGGCCGTCCGCTTTTTGATCGCGGGCGCGGCGGCGGCCTTACCGCTCATCATCGCGTCGTTGCGCGTGGACCGAGCACAAAGAGGTCATGTGTTGGGCCACTTCCCCTGGCCCTGGACTAGGGCGAGATGGCTGCTGCACCGGCTGTCGCACCACACGAAGGAGGACTAACGTGAGCATATATCTCTGTTGCTTTGCTTAGAGCTAGGCCGCCTAGCCACCACGACCGCCACGCCCCCGGCCCTCGGACGCCGTCGCCCCGAGTATCACGGTGCTACTAGGCTAGCACCGCGCGTCGCCGATTCATCGGTGGCGGCGTCTTTCATAGCAGAACCCGAATGATGTGCAACCGTCGCCGAAGCCTAAGTAAAGAGTATTACGACGAACCCCAGCAAGACAGACGGGACCACCCCCGCAGCGGCGTTGCAGTAGTGCGTCTTGCAGCACAGCGTGTCCCGGTTGTACGGCGCCGCCTCGCGGTACTTCTCGATGTAGTTCGAGTAGACCGTCATCTTGTCCTCCTTGCACGTCGAGGCGCATTTTTTGAAGATGCACCCCGTGTCCTCGGAGGGCGTGAACTCCGTGCGGTCGCCGTAGAACTCCGTCCAGCCGCACTCGATGTTCTGGAGGCTCAGGACTTCTGTCCTTACACAAAACTTGTTCTGGCCCTCGGGACACAGAATTGCCTTCTGGTTGTTCCCGGCCTTGTTGATCTGCGGCTCGTCGACCGCCAGGGCCCAGCCACCACTTATGCCTCCTTTCACCGTGTAATAACATCTCAACCCCCCGATCGGGTAGTTCTGGTCGGCCTGCGCGCCGACGGCGACGCCCCACGTCGTGCCCTTGTAGTTGTCCACGCCATAGGATCGTTTCGCGGCTTCGGCCTGGAGTCTTCGACGCCACCATGAGGGCCGTTGTTGTTTCTGTTTCTCTTCGAGCGCGGCCCAGTAACTAGGCGGCCTCAATATGGAATCGTCGTGGCCGCCGCCGCGCCACCACGGTAGATGGGTCGGGGGCTCCGCCGGTTTTGCCCAGAACCAGTCCCACCACGTCTCTGGTTCGGGTTCCGGTTGTCTACGAAGGTGCCACCATCTCCGTTTACGCGGCTTCTCCACCTCACGTCGCCGCCGCCACCACGGTTCGTTATGAGTGGTGTTAATGTAGGCGTGCGTCCGGTTCACGACATTGACATGGTAGGCCGTGAAGAGGCCCGCATGTGTGGTCGGGACGAGGGCCGCGCCCAGCAGCGCGGCGGCCCAGCCCATGGATCTCTGCTGGTCGTGTGGGGGGCAGCCTCGCTGCTTGCTTCCCGGTGCGTCTGGCGTCGGTCGCCGAGCGCTGCCTTGCGCGGTCGAACGCTGCGTGCCGTGGCGGTCTGGGACCGCTGTACCTTCGCGTAGCGGACCGAAAGGCTGGCGCTTCGCGTCGGGCTCGGCCTCCTTCTTGCGGCTCCGAGGCCTCCGCCGCAGGTCTGTGGCCGTCTGTGGAGCCCTCTCGATGGAAACATCGCGCTAGTGTCTTACATGCCGCTAGCTTTCATCTCTGGCGCGAGACGGACGCAATCTGCGCGCTTCTACGCCGCGCATTTATCGGCAGCGAGGACCCACAAGGACCGCACGCAAGCGCGTCGCGAGCCTGTGCCTTCCGCTGACCTGCACAGACTTGCCAGCGACAAAAGCAGCGGCGCGCGCACGCTTGCCGCCGCGAGACGCGCGAAAGCCGGCGACGACGGTAGAAGATGGCCTCCATCTTCCTCGCCAACTTAGATGCGGACGCGATCGGACTGGGCGCGTCGTGCACGAAGCCCGAGGTCCTGGCGAGAGACACGCAAGCGACGCGGAAGCGCATCACGCTCGAGGCCGAGGACGATAATAATGTAGGATTCACGCCCGCGGGCCCCATCCAGGCGCTGACGAACGGTTCGGCTCAGGTGTCCGTGTCCGACTGCTTGGCGTGTTCCGGGTGCGTGACGAGTGCCGAGTCCGTGCTCCTGGCGGAGCAGGCCGCGCCGAAGCTTGGGATACTCTGTAACGAAGGGCGGCCCGTCGATGTTGTTATTGATAGAGCTGCCTTGGCTTCGGTGGCCCAAAAGTTCGACTCGACGCCCGCGGAAGCCTTGGCGCGACTGCGGACGGCCTGCACTGCAGCGTTGCCCGTTCGAAGGGTCGTCGCCGCGACGGACGCGCAAGATTTACAACTGCTCGAGACGCTGCACGAGTTCGAGAGACGGCTTGCGAGAGAGGACGCCGGTCTACCAGCATCTAGAGAAACACCTCCACCAACAGTAGCCGTCTCCTCGACGTCCTACAAAGATCCGAAAACGAACCAGGTCATCTCGTACACTGTCGAGCCGAAGACCGAGGCCCCTTTACCGTTGGTCACGTCGCAGTGCCCCGGCACGGTCTGTTTTCTGGAAAAGACGGCGCCGCACGCGCTGCCTTATTTATCCTCAACAAAGTCGCCGATGGCCGCCGCCGCGGCCGTCGTACAAGATGCGGCCGTTTGTTATGTGGGAGCCTGCGCCGACAAAAAATTGGAGGGATATCGCCGCGACCTCATGGACGACGACGTGCCTCATATCAGTCTCGTGTTAACTTTGACTGAGTTTGTGGAGGCCATCGGTGCCGATAGGTTAGAGGCGACGCAAGCCGTCCCGACGGAAGCCGATGCGCGGGACACGCGCGTCCACGCCCACTCGCAAAGTGTGTCAGGTGGGTACGCGGACTTCGTCTTTCGGTGTGTGGCTGGTAAGGAGCCGGAGTGGAAGCGCGGTCGGAATAATGACGTCGTCGAGGCTACCTTAGAGAGACCGGGTCTGCGACCGCTCAAGTTCGCGATCGCGACGGGGTTTCGGAACGTGCAGCGCGTCGTCGCCGCGCTGAAGCGGCCAAAGCCCCAGTACGACTTCGTGGAATTGCTCGCCTGTCCCGTGCGTATCCCGCGTCGTCAATCAACAAAGCGCCCTTGACTTGTCACGGTGACCCTTCTTCAATAGTAGAGAATCTCACCCCTCTTCGCGGCGCGAGAGCACGAACCGCACGCGGTGGGATTTGGGCGCTCGTCCCGTCGATGGGGAGGGCCCATTACCGCGTTTTACACACACAGAGCGGCTGCGCGAACGGCGGCGGGCTGTTGAAAGGTGAGAAGGAGAGCCGCGACGAGGCCCAGAGTCGCGTCGCGGCGACACTTCTCAAGGTGCACGAAGCGCCGACCAACGACCCACGGGCCAGCGACGACCCTGCACAGCGCGCGGCGCTGCGGCCGCGGCTCCACACGCGGCACCACCGCGTGCCCGACGCGGACACTTCGGCTTCTTCGTCGCTGTCGCTCGGCAACAAATGGTGAGTCCTTCTTAGGTGTGAGTAATGTGATTTATGACGACGCCGTCGACGAAAAAGGGCCTTAGGCGCGACAGCATCTACGCGCGCGCGCGGACGCAGTCCGGCGGCACGCGCGTCGCCGCGTGGATCGCCGTGCGCGAGCGGACGACGTCGAAGAGCGCCGCGAGCGCCGCGCGGCTCCGCGGCGTCTGGTTGTCCCCCAGCGCCGCCTCGAGGCCCACGACGAAGGCCGCCTTGTCGAGGCGGCCGCTCGCGTCGCTCTGCTCCCGCAATATGGCCATCGCGTCGTCGACGTCGACCGCATTTAAGTTGGCGGCGCCGGCGATCGTCGCGAGCGGCGTCGGTTGGGGCGGCTGGGCCGGCTCCGCACTACTCTCCGTGAAGGCCTCGGGCTTGACCAGCAGCGTGTACGTGTTGGACGCAAAGGCCTGGGGCGCCCGCGCGACCAGCGACAGCGGGCTGCAGACGCCCGCGTCGCTCACGAGGCCCGCGATGTGCGCCGCGTCGACCTCGAAGGCGCTCCCCAGCACGTAGCGGAGCTCGTCCACCAGCATGCCGCTCGAGCAGAGCACGGCGTGGTCGCGGTCGCCTACCCTAACGCGGATGGAGACGGCGTCGGCGGCCATGGTTGTGAGACTGGCCTCAGAAGCGGCTCTCTTCGCGTGATGCGATTAGTAGGCTGCGAGGAGTGATCGACGCGCCAATTCTAATGGCTGCAGCTGCCCTGCAGGTCCTGTAATCAATCTATAAGCCGGCACAGTTTTCGAATGGCTAGTGTGTTACTGCCGCTAGCAACTTTTTGGCGTCGAGTTCTAAAAAACACGCTGCAAGCTCTCATACAATCACACGGTGTTGCATTTGCATTGCTTACTATACGCAGCGTGAGCTCGCGAGCGCTTGAAGCCTGCATCACAACAACAACACCAGCTCTCCAGCCCGAGAGCGCCACGCCGCCACCGCGACACGCTAAGGCAGCGACAGACGATAAAGCAGCGACAGACAATAAGCAGCGACAGATAGAGCAGCACACGACGCAAGACCATGGCCGCCCTCACGGAAAAATTCAAGCGCGGCGTCGAGGTCGACACGACCTGCGCCACTGCACAACCAGGAGACGGCGCCACGTTCCCGAAGAAGAACGACACGCTGCGCATGCACTACACCGGAACGCTGGCGAAGGACGGCTCGAAGTTCGACAGTTCGAGGGACCGGGACAAGCCGTTCGAATTTACGATCGGCACGGGCCAGGTCATCAAGGGCTGGGACGAGGGCGTCATGAAGTTGTCGCTGGGCCAGCGGGCCACTCTAAAAATATCGTCGGACTACGGGTACGGCGAGAAGGGCCACCCGCCCGTCATCCCCGAGGACGCTGATTTGGTCTTTGACGTCGAGGTGCTGGCGATCAACGGCAAGAAGGCCTTCTATACGGCTGATGAATTCGACCGCTACGTGACGAAACTAGAAAGCTGGCGCGCGGCGCAGCTCGAGAAGTTCGACGCCAAGGAGGCCTTTCGGGAGAAGAAAACCGCGAAGCACGGCGACCGCGCGGGCTTCGAGGCGTGGCTCGCCGGCGAGGTCGAGAAGAACAAGGGCGCCGTGCGCGTGCGCTGACGACTTTTGTTAATTTATCTTACTAGTATATCTAGATGGTGCGGGCGCGGGGTCACGAGACGGCGCAGCATGGCTTCTGTGACCTAAGTTTCGAGTCACCAACGTCCTGCCAGGGTTTTAAGGCCGAGCCCTTGAATATCCCGGTCACAATCGTGACGTCGTTGACCCGCCAGTCGTTCAGCGGCTGGTTGAACGACTTGGCACCTTTGAACATCGCGTGCATATTCGTGACCTTGTCGACCCGCCAGTCGTTCAGCGGCTGGTTGAAGGCCGAGGCGTCGCGGAACATGTCGCACATATTAGTGACCTTGTCGACCCGCCAGTCGTTTAGCGCTTGGTTGAACGACGAGGCGCCCTCGAACATCTCGTACATATTCGTGACGTTGTCGACCCGCCAGTCGTTCAGCGGCTGATTGAACGACGAGGCGTAGCGGAACATCCGTTGCATATCCGTGACGTTGTCGACCCGCCATTCGTTCAGCGGCTGGTTGAACGACGAGGCGCATTCGAACATCTCGCGCATATCCGTGACGTTGTCGACCCGCCAGTCGTTCAGCGGTTGGTTGAACGACGAGGCGCATTCGAACATGCCGCTCATATTCGTCACATTGTCGACCCGCCAGTCGCTCAGCGGCTGGTTGAACGACGAGGCTCTGTGGAACATCCAGCTCATATTCGTCACATTAGAGGTATCCCACGCGCTGATGTCGTCGTTGAAGGACGCAGTCTCAGGCACGCAGGAATCATAGTACGAGTCGCCTTTCATCCAACCCTGCCGTACAGCAAACAACCACGACATGTCCGTGACCTTGCTTGTATTCCACGTCGAGATCGGCGGCAGGCCCTCGTGGAAGCCGTCGCACCAGCGCTTCACCCAGTCTCGCAGCGTCTCGTTCGTGAGCGCCGGGCCCTGGCGTTCTAGCTCCTCTGCGAGAACGATACCGCCAGCTTCTGCTTCCGCCGTCCCCTCCGGGACGACTTCTCCTTCCCGCGGCGCCGCCTCGCTCTCCGCCGCCGCCGCTTGCTCCTGCTCCATCCTCATCGGCGCCGGCGCTTGCTCTGCCTGCTCTGGCTCTATGAAGCCCATCATGATTGCTGCTCATGGACCGCGGACCGCTGCCCTGGCGGGCGGCCTCGCTCTGGCTGGCCAGAGGCTGCCCTGGAGCTGCCTGCGCTTGCGTTTTTGGATGTGTGCTGCGCAGACGGGCAGCGTTTCCCTCACTCTGAGGTCAGGCTGCCCCTGTTCCTCTGGCAATCTCTCTGCAGCGGATCGAGCTTCCGATTTTTAGTACTTGCTAGTGTCTTACATGCCGCTAGCTCGATTTTTTACTCCAGGTTTGCGCCTGCAGGCGCACGCAATAGAGACGAAGCGCTGGACAGCAGTCGCAACTGAACGCCTGCTGCTGTGCTGCTATCGGAAAGCTGCGAGCTAGTTCGGCAGCATTTGCTGCAGCCGCTTTCGACTCTAGAGTCGTCGCTAGCAACACTGTAGCTCAGAGGTAAAGAGCAACCCGCCCAAGGCAGCGAGCGATACGCAATCGACGCGATAGCGCACGTCCACAAGCAGTCGAAAGATGCGCCGCCGCCCCACGCACACGAACGGCACGAAGCCCGCGTCGCCGCGTTTAGGTGATACGGCCCTCGCCGTCGCGTGCAAACGCCTCGCCCAGAAGCATCATAATGATGACAACACCGAAAAGAGGAAGATCTCATCCCATTTATCGATGTCAATGGTCTGGGGCGCGCGCCAGTGGCGGGCCCATTCTCGGAGAAGCAGGCACGTGCGGAACGTCGTGGGCTGGTTTAGAAGCACAATTTTGCTGGAGATCTGGCCGGCGTTGTTGGTGGCCATGGGCTGGGCGTTAATTGTAAGACGCTTGGACCTGCCGCCGTTACCGCTCGCACCCTTGGGCTTCCAGGCGTCGTCCATCGGTCTGTTACTTGTTTTTCGCACGAACCAGGCGGCGTCTCGGGTCCACGACGCGCGCCGGTTGCTGGGGGTCGTGAAGACGCGCGGCATCGACGCCTGCGCGACGCTCTGGGTGGCCGCGGTTGATGAGAATGCGAAGGAGGCGGCGAAAACCGCGGCGGCCTACCTGGCCCTCATGCTGTGGTCGCTCAAGGGCGCCGTGCGGCCTAATCATGACGCCGCGTTCGAGGCGGCCCAGGCGACGTTTCTCGACGACGCCGAGCGGAACTGGATTCTAGAAAGGCAGGGCAAGCCCCTCGTGACGCCGGCGACGATCGTGCTGAGACTTAGATACGCGGGCGCGCGGTGTTCGGATAAAGATGCCCGCGATAGGTATGAGTCGTGCATTGATGATGTTGCCACGGCGCTCGGCGGCTGCAAACGTATTTATTCCACGCCCATCCCGCCGACCTATTCCAGACACGCGTCGCGCGCGCTGGTGGCGTGGTTGGCCTGTCTACCATTGGCAACGGCACCCTTGCACGCCTCGGACTGGACGCTCGCGCTGTCGACGGGCCTGACGGCCTTTCTCGTCCTGGGCATCGAGGACATCGGCATGCAGATCGAGGAGCCGTTTGCGGTGCTCCCGCTCCACGACCTCGCCCTCGAATTGTCGCAGCGCGTCGCGGCCGTCGTCGACGGGCCGCCGCCGCCCGACCACCACCTTTAGTTCGATCGCTCGCATTATTTTTAGCCCGACCGTAATGTACATTACTCGTTACGCGCATCGCGGAGCCGCTTCGCCTCGGCGAGGCGCTCGAGCGCGAGCACGCTCCGGGCCCGCAGCTCCGACTTCTCGACGCAGTCGGCGCTCGACAGGCCCGCGCTCGAGATTAGGGAGCGCATCTCGCCGACGCTCTCGGGGACGGCCTCGGGGCGCGGCGAACGGGGCGGCGCGCTGGCCTCGCGGAACGCGAACTCGTCGAAGCGGCCCGCGGCCCGCGGCGCATTCCGATCGTCGTCGCTGTCGTCGCTCGCGTCGGCCGGCGAGAGAACGCGCAACTCGCTCGCCTCGAACTCTATGGCGCTATCATAACCGTCCAGGTCTACCATAAACCAGCCAGGGCGGCCCCGCGCCCTCACGACGCCTTCTACGTCGTCCAGTCTGAGCACGCGATCGCCGACGACCGGCGCTGCGGCGCGCGGCCGCGGCGGCCCGCTGCTGTCCGAGTCGACGTCGTAGCCTTCCGGAGCGGCGGCGTCGGTCGCGCGCGGCCGGCTCGTGTCGCACGCGCTGCAGGCCGCCGCGGCCGGCGCGTTCAGGAGCGTGCACTGCGGGCACGGCCAGGCGTCGGTCGCGACGCCCGGCGCCGTGGCGGCGGCGACGGCGGCCGGCAGGTCGACCCAGGTGATGGCGCCCGACGGATGGACGTAGTCGAGCGGCTTTTCGTAGGGCGCCGCCGCCGTCAGGTGCCACGCGTAGACCTGCGAGTGTCGCGGTGACGGCGTCGCGGCGAAAGTTTCCCACGCCGACGACGACCTTGTTCCAGTTGAGCGCGGTCCGGATGGCCGCGCCGGCATCGACCGCACCCTCCGGCGCCCTCACGCCGTGCGCGTCCTGGAGCGCCGCGAGGCGCGCGTCGTCGAGCGGGCCTTCACAGTGCAAGAACGTAGCCTCACCCCAGCACCGCCCCGTCCCCGACCCGCAGAATCCGATGCGTACACCACGTTTCAGCGAGCTAATCGCTCGCAGCTCTACCGTCTTTTCGCCCGTCATTATCGGCGTCAGCCACTCGGGCAGAATGAGAAGAGCCGTCGTCGGCACCGCGGCGGCCGACGGCGTCGGTCGCCGCGGCACGCGGCGGCACGCGGCCTCCAGCGCCGCGAGGGCGTCTGCGCGGGCGCTCGCCGACATCTTCTTGTTCGCGGCGCCGCGGCGGCGCTTCTTCTTCGGCGGCGCGAAGTCGGCGTCGGCGTCCTCCGAAATTCAGGGGTATCATCGATGTAGTTCGACGAGTCCGATAACGACGGCCGCCAGAGCCCGAACAGTTGGTTGGAGATGGCTTGCGTCCTGCGTGAGGTCGACGGGGTCCTTCTTCTGGCCCTACCACAATTTGTTGATTCTGTCGTTTGCCGGCGGGGCGGGACGACACGTGGGGCGGGACAACTAAAGTAACGACATATATCATTAATTCAACAGATATGCCGTCGACACGACGCTGAGTTGCACAGACTCTGCGAAGCGGGAAAGGGGAAGGGTGCCGCGCCAGCGACTAGAGGACCGGCGGCAAGCCGCCCGCGCCCAGCGACCGAGCCGTCGAGTCCGGCTGCGTCGAGCCGTCCGGCGGGCGGCGGCGGCGCGCCCGGCGGCGGCGGCGCGTGCGCGACTTGGGGACCTCGGGCAGCGCCGCGTCGTCGTCGTCCGACGACGCCTGGAAGTTGCTGGGCGACGCCGCGAGGGCGCTCGTCAGCGCGTCCACGCCGCCGCGCCCGGGCGACGACGCCCTCGGCACCGGCGGCAGCCGCGAGGTGTCCGGCGCGCCCAGGAGGTCGTCGAGCCCGGTCCGCGGCTCGAAACGGTAGCGCGTGCTGACGGGCCCGGCGTCGAGGTCGTGGACGTTGTACGTCTCGATCACGAAGCGTCGCGCGCGGCCGAGCTCCTCGAGGACCGTCGGCGCGACGGTATCGACGTAGCGCTGGCGGACGCCAGCTAAATAGGGGCCCGGGCCCATCGTCTCGGCGCCGAGCGCCACGGCGGCGTAGCCCTCGCGCAGCGCCGCACAGGGGTCGCCGTCCTCGTCCGCGAACGCGGCCGCGACGCGCGGCAGGATCTCGACTTCGGCGATGCGCAGGGCGTCGTCAGCGTGCGGCGTCGCCGCCCGCAGGAGCGCCTCGCGCCAGTCCCGGTTGCCGGCCCACGCCGGTAGAACGGACGTGTCGTCCCGCGGCTGGTCGCGGTCCCAGCGGTAGTCCAAGTCCAATGCGACGCGGCACACGGTTCTATCTAAAGAATTTGCGAGGAGGCAGAAGAGCGGGTCCGTGTAGGGGCACCGGCCGTAGGTCTCGCCGTTGACGACTAAGCTGCAGGGCCGGCCGTAGATAACGCCGCCGCAGCCGTCCTCCTCGAGGAGGTGGCGCGTCCAGTTGCGCGCCCACTCTCTGGGATTCGGCGCCACGTGCTTGTCGTAGACGCCCGCGTCGTACGTCGCTAGGAAGTGGACCGCCGCCCGCCCAAAATCGTCGCGCCAGGTCCCACCGTCGGTCGGGTACTCGACGACCTCCTCGCCGAAACAGCAGACCTGCAAGACGACGTGGTCGCCGCTGCTCAAAGTCTGGAGCACGCGCGCAATGCCTACATTGGCCGGTCGGGAGTACTCGCGCGTCGTGGCGTCGCCCACGAGGCCCTCGCCGTCCAACTTGACGTTGGGCCCCTGGTAGATGGGCTGGTTGTTGGCCACGCCGCCGAAGTCGCAGTCGAGGTTTTTGACGGCCCTAGGGCTTGCAACCCGCAACTGCCGCGGGAGGCACTGCGCGAGGAGGCCCACGCCTTCCGCCTTGAGGCGCAATCCGAAGCCGTTCGGCCCGTCGCGCCAGCGCCGCCGCTGCGCGAGCGCCGACGTCGTCTGCACGCCGGCGGACCTCCGGTTGACGTCGAAGATGAGGAGGCCGCGCACGTTCGTCGATAGACGTGATCTTTCACGGACAACGTGTCGCGACGCTGCACCCGACGCGGCCTTCCGCATGGACGCCCTGATCCGCCGCACCTCCTTGTCGACGAGCGCGAGCAGGCTGGACTCTACAGTGCCGAATGTCAATAAAGTGGTGAGCGGCGGGAGGCGGCCGAACATGGGGTCGCCGCGCGGGCACCGCACCAGCGTCTGGACGCTCTGGCAGACCTCGCGGTAGTTCGTGCCGCCCCACAGCTTCGGCACGTCCGCCGGGTCTACCTCGCCCAGTCGCGTCTCGAGCCGCGAGTAGTAGCCTTCCTTGTCGGTGATCTCGACGCGCCGCGCCAGCGCTTCTAAGAGGACGGAGCGGTTGTCGTCGGTGCGCCAGTCCTGGTTCTCTGACGTAAACGCGACCAGCTCGTCTAGCCGCGAGCCGTTCAACGATTCGATCCGCGCGCGCCACTCAATGATCTGGTCGCCGCGCGCCTGAATCATGGAGTGGCCGCCCAAGGCGCTCCGCGCGGCTTTGCTGTCGTTTCTCGCCCGCCGCGCGGCGTCGCGGTCTCGGTGCCGCGGGTCGTACCACTTGGCGCAGCTGGCAAAGAGCTTTTTGGTAACAGGGTGCGCGATCATCGGGGCCTGGCCCCCGCAGAGCACGCATCTAATCTCGGAGTTCGGCCAGACATCTTCGTCCGGCGAGAGCGTGTAGGTCTGGCTCGGCGGCGGCGTGTTGCGGCCGCAGCTCTTCAGGTGTGCTACCATGGGACCGGCCGCAAATCTCCCGCCGCAGCCCTTGGGGCACGGATCCTTCTTGGTTCTATGTTTCTTACCCATGCTGCTTGCAGGCGTGCTGACCCGCAGTCGTAGAGAATCTGTCACCGCAGTGACCCCCGCTCCGAGAGCGCCGGGACCGCAGTGTGCTGCGAAAGTTGCGTGAAGTGCAGTCGTAGAGAATTTGCAGCTTAATCCCGCTTCCCCGGGATCGAGCTAGCAGCCTGTAACACACTAGCCAAAGGCCGCTTTTGCAGGGCGCGGGGACGAACTCGTCGTCGAACGCCGGTACGCCGCGCAAAAAATAACCCTCACCCCCCGCGAGAGCCGCCGGGGAGCTCTTATAAGATTAGCACAGTTATCGTTACCCCCCGCACCCGTTCCCGCCCGCGATGCGCAGGCACATCGTCGAGGGAAACATCGCGAGGAAGTTGATCGTCACCGAGTAGACCAGCCCCACGCTGATGAGGACGACCGACGTCCACGCGTAGGCGTCGGACTTGTCCCATGATTTCTTCCTAGCCTGCGCTTCCGCCCGTTGCGACCTGTGTAGAAATCAACCAGTGCGTCGGGTGCACCCGACAATTCTTCACTAAGTCGTTTCTCGGCGATGACGCGGCCGTCCTGGCTCGGTCGAGCGGTGAGGAATTCACACCGCCACGCCGTCGAGCAGGAGTCGCGTCGATGGCGTGGAGGACGACGCGACGATTCAGCACGAGCACGATAGACCCCAAGAAAACGAGCCGTTGTAGCGCCACGAGTTCATGCACAGGCCCACCGTTAACACGGCGACGACGTTGCCGAACGTTCTAACCATGTAGACCGAGGTCTGCGTCGTGCCTCGCGAAGCGACAGGCTCGGCCCTCGCCAACGCGACCATGAGCCCGTCCGCCGCGACGTCGGCCACGCAGTACCCCAGCGACGCGAGCATCATCCAGAACGCGAATTGTCCACCCATGTTTTTTGCGTCCGCGTTGCACGCGGCCGCGGCTAAGCCATTTTCTTCCCTCACGTAGGCCGTGTCCTCGGCGTTGACGCACCAGTAGGGCTCCGGTAACGGCATTGTTGCCAACCTAATAAGGGCTAAAGCACAAAGGCACCAGCCTATCACCATGTACGGTTTTCGTCTATATCCTAAAATTGGAAAGCAGTCGTTGATGGCGCCGAAGATGAACTTGAAGGACCAGGGCAATCCTACGATTGTCGCGCAGGTAGCGTAGACATAACCTTCCACATTCAAATAGCCCAAAAAGAAGCCGTAGATCGTCGACGGGAGGCCGCCATACACCACTCCCACGGCGAAGTACTGGAGGTAGAATCCAAATAAATTCCGCGGCGGCGCCTTGGGCTTCGGCTTTTCGCCGCTCTCGGCGGCCAAGAGCGCCTGGGCCTCCTCGAGGTCATCATATTTATTCGCGTCGGCGAAGGCGTCCTCGTCCGACGAGCTCCGGCGGCGCGGCGTCGCGGGCGCCTCATGCATCATCTCGCGCGGCGGCGGCGGCGCTTTTATGCGACGTCGCGGCGGCGGCGCTTTATGTAGGCGACGTCGACGCAGGCCTCACGCCACGCAAGCACGCCGCGGCGTGACTTTTGTCGTAACCACCAGCAGGCTGATTTCAGGAAATCTCTGTCCCGGTCGATCAATAGTCAAGGAGACGCGTACGGTTTTTCACGTGTATCGATGGTCTGTCTTTGCTTGATTACCGGTGGATATTATGCTTACGCTAGCCGTGGGCAAGCCAGGACTGTGCTTGGCTTTCGCTTGCTAGTGTCTTACTGGACGCTAGCTCGCAGCGCCTCGAGGCCCCACAAAAAAAGGCAAGCTGTGCGGTGCATCATAGCGCTGGTGCATTTGGAACTACTTAGGCTATAGCACAAGTCGTCTCGCGCAGCGATTGGGCCCAACTCGCATCGATAAAGCCACCTGCGCAAAGCCACTACGGACCGATCGATGCCCGACCACGAGCTCGCCGCGCTGCCGCGGCGCCTCGACGCATATCTCGCGGCCGCGGGTATTACCGAAGGCGTCGCGACGATCGACGGCGCGCCCGCCGACGGCGCGCGCCTCGTGTACCCAGGAGAAGAAGTCAAGGTCGACGGCGCGACCATTGAACGCAAGGAACGACCGAGCCGCGTCCACGCCTACCACAAGGTAGCCGGCGAGAAGATCGAGGACATCCGACCGGCGGGCTGCGCGGCCCTGAGTCACGTGGGCCAATTGGACAAGAAGACGACGGGCCTGCTCCTCTTCACGGACGACTTCGAGCTCTCCCGTTTGATCCTGTGTCCTGGTTTACTACCAAAGACCTACGTCGTCGAAATCGACGCGCCGCGGGCGTCGGAAGGGCTCACGGCCGAGCAACTTGTAGCGTTGACCGAAAAGAAGCCCCTCCCACAGAATGCGACGGAGCGGCGGAAGGGCCGCAACGAGCGCGGTACGCCGGTAGGCTTCGAGTCCGTCACGTTTCAAAGTTCGAAGCCCATCGGCGACGATACGCGCCCCGCGGGCTGCGCGCCGAAGAGCCGCTTCGCCTACGAGGTCGTCGTCCAGAGTGGGGCGAACCACGTGGTCAAAAGGCTCTTCCACCACCGCGCCGGCCAGGCCGTGCGGACGCTGCACCGTTCGGCGGTTGGGCCCGTCGCGCTCGGTGATCTAGCCGCGGGCGCGTCACGCGCGTTGACGGCGGACGAGGTCTCCGCGCTCTGGGCGGCTGTCGGCGGCGACGGCGCGCGGGCGGCGCTGCGGCGCGCGTCGTTGCTCTGCGGCGCGCGGTCCGGCACCGACGAGCGGCTCCGCGCGTTCTTCGGGGCCGAGATAGATGGTTCGAATCGATGCTACGCGGCCTTTCCCGGCCTCTCGTGCGCGCACGACGACGTCGCCGCGCCGGCGCCGAAGCGCGCGCGCGCCGAAGTGCCGCCCGCCGTGTTGTGATATACTAGTAACTTGAATGCTGTTATTCCGATGCAAACTCCTAGGACCACAGCTCCTGCACATATCTGCCTCCGTCATGCATTGATTGCACGTACTTCTCCGCCTGCGCCCGATCCTTCAGCCGCGCCTCCAGCGCGTCTTTCACGGCCTCCAGCACGGCACTTCCCATGCTCGTCCCACCACAGACATAGACCGAGCCGCCGCCATCAATAATGGCCGAAGCTAACGCCTCACTGTTGTTCTTCTTCCGCATCAAATCCTGCACATACACCTTATGTTTTTGCTCTCGAGAGTACGCGAGGTGTAACGTACAGTCCCAGTCGCTCATCTCGTCCCTATATAAGTGGTCCTCGTCTCTCCTTTTACAACCGAAGTAGAGGATGGCCGAGGACACGCGAGCGGGGCCCCACGGGGCGCCCGATGCTCCGTTACCCTTGAGCGCCGCGGCGCGCTCCCTCAGAACAGCTCTGAAGGGTGCAATACCAGTACCAGGCCCAATCAACACGACGGGCGCCTTCGTGATGGGCGCCCGGAAGGCCGAGGGCTTCACGACGCCTCGTACCACGTCGCCTACTTGTAAATCGGCCAAATAAGCGCTACAGACGCCTCTCTGCTTATGCGGCAGTTCGGCGATGGCACAAACGACATGCAACTCCGCATCGGCCTTCGACGAGGAGCAGATCGTGTAGGCTCTGGGCTGTAACCTAGGCCCTTTTTCTAGGAGCGTGGCGAAGACGGAAGTCGTGTCCTCGACGGAAGAAAATAACGGCTTGAGCTTCGCCACGGCCCTTGCTAAAGTAGGCGCGTCCTTGGCCCACTTCCCAAAGACATCTTTCTGGTCTATAGAAGGCGGGGCATCACTTGGTGAAGCGCCCGCTTGGATAGCAGCTCGCACGAGAGCGGCAACAGTGCCGCGCTTCGGAAAGGCCGTCAGGTCGCAGTACTGCGCCAGCGCGTCGTGAATAGCAACTGGCGACGGGAAGGGGACCCGGTCCTCGTCCGTGTCGAGCGAGAACTGTTTTGACCCGCCGAGCCTCAACGCGTCCACAACCATCGAGACGTCTTCACTACAATTGCGAGGTAAGATACTCAAATTATCGGCCGTCTCGTACGGAGCCTCGGTCGCGAACTCGACGTGGATCGTCGAGCCGCCGTCCTTAGGTGTCCTCAATTCTCTTTTAGCTGTTACGGTGAACGTGGCTTTGCTCCCGTAAAACTGCGTCGACGACTGCAGCGGCTTTGTCGGAGTAGTACCGTACACCACTCTCAGGGAGGCCTGGACGTCTCCCGACTCTTCCACGACTCCCAAGGTCGACCAGAGGTTCTCCCGCCATTGATCGAAATCAGCTTCGAGGTCAGCATCATCATCACCAAGACCCACCTCCAGCACGCGCTCCGCGCCGGCCTTCTCCAGATATTTATCTGTGAGTTTGCCCATGGAATTGAAATGTTGATATTGCCTGTTTCCGAGGCCAAAGACCGCGAATCTTTTGCCATCCAAAATCCCCGAATCCTTCGACGCCTTGAGCCAGTCCACGAACTGATGCGCGTTGTCCGTCGGCTCGCCTTCCCCATAGGTCGCCATGGCGAAGAGCTGGAGCGGCGCCGTCATGTGGTCATCATCAAAATCTTCCAGGTCGATGACCTCGGCATCAAAACCTCTTCTATTCGCTTCGTCCGCGATGGTCTTGGCGTAGCCTTCGGCGGTGCCCGTTTGAGAGCCGAAGTAGATATGGACGCGGCCGTTGGGGGCTTCTCTCTTGACTCGCTTTTTTATTACTGGTTGTTCGTCCTTGTCGCCGCTTCGGAGCACGTAAATAGCTGCTAGTAAGAAGACAATGGACGCTAAGCCGAAGACGTGGGTGAGCTCCATGATGCGTCGTCGATGGCGTAGGAGTCACCGGGTGTGCGCCGTGCTGTGAACTCAGGCGGGATGAGCTGGTCAGCTGTACAGAGCGCGCGTCGACGGCGTACAGGTCAGCAGCCTCGTGCAGCCTCGTGCAGGCTGTAGAGCACGGTTTTGCGTAGCGTTTTCGCAGTGAGCTGCGCACGGCTATGCCTGATTGTCTTTCGGACCTCGGCAGCGTCAGTAGATGATCGATGCGACAGCTGCACAGCGCGCAAACGCACCACGCACAAGTCTCGAGCTCGAATGCGTGCATCGCCGGGCAGCCCGAACACCCCTCGAACGACCGCTCTAGGCCGCGCCGTACCAGCTCTAGCACAATACAGCGGGACGAGAGCCCAAAATCGAAATCCGCGGGCGCGGGCCCACGCCCTCGAAACAAATACATAAAGTACCCTTAGAGTGTCGTGTGCCCCGCGACCGGAAACGTCAGATCGATCAGCGGCTCGATCTTCTGGTCCAGCGGCGGCGCGGGGAAGGTCCACTTCTTCGTCACGGGGTACGACGGCGCGAGAGGTATCTTCTTCCGCTTTTTTTGTTTGGACGGGTCTGCTATGGTCCGGCCCGACTGGCCGGCCTGCAAGGCTGAGTAGCATTTCCGCATCAGCGACTTCGTGGTGAGGCCTCGGTAGTCTAAATCCTGCGACGGCGCTCCATCACTATCCGCTAGTTTTTGCCTCCGATCACCTAGGACTTCGAGCAAGTCCTCGAGCGCCCCACCCTTCAGAGGCTTCGTCATCGCCATATCACAGATAGACGCGACGTGCGACGGTAGGACGGCCTCGACGTCTTTCGTGAGCCCCTGCTTCTTGGAGTTGAACCGCGCTTTTGATAAAGCTAAAGCACCCTCGGGACCTTTGAGAGCAGCCAGACCAACGACCAAAGCGTCGCCGTCGCCCTGCTTGAACAGCCGTTGTAAAGGCCCCGCATCACTTACAGCAAGTGAATCGGCGACCAGAACGACGTCATACGCAGCTTTTCGCTCGCCCTTCTCGATGGACGCTCTCTCAGCTACGGTCTTCAAATTCTGGGCTTCAGACGCAGAACTACACAGATCCCAGGAGAAGCGCAGCTTCCTTAATAACTTCTCGCCCCAGATCATGTCCGAAAACGTCGGCTCCACGTACAACATCTTGTAGGGCTTGAACTCCGACGCGACGCGAATCTTTTCGCCTCCGAGCTGGCCCGCATACACCAATGACCCTTTGTAGAACATCAGAAACGCCGGTAGCGCATAGACGCCGTACCTGTCGGCGATGCGGCGGGACGCGGCCATCTCGACCTTCACCAAGTCGTATTTCGACGCATCCCTCACTTCGCCTCGGACCACCTCGCCCCGACACGCCTCGGCCACAGCTTCGGCCTTGCAACATACCGGATCATCAAAACGCGTGCACAGAACACAGACGAGCTGGTCACCCTTCGAGCCGACGTAAGACTCCAGATCTGCAGGCTCAATGCGAGGTAGAGCCATCCGACCGCTCTCGAACTTCCCGGACGGGTTTCTCGCGGTAGGCACGCCCCCATACACGGGGATGACCTCGTCGTAGCGCCCGGACGCGCCCCGGATCATCTGCGACCGCTTCAGTTTTGGATTCATCCTTTCTAGCTCATGTGCTAGTTCCAGACCGACCAACGATAATGTGCTAGAAGGTTCACACTTCGAGGACGAGTATATAGTGTCGCCCAGACCGACGACCGGACCGGTCTCGTCTCCCGTAAGAGCGATGCGAGGCACCTCACTGCGCGTCATCGCTACCGAATTCTGGAAGGCCTGCCTGCCTCGGAAGACGGCGCCCGGGTTATGTGTTTCATCGTACGTGTCGAATCCCGCTTCTAAAGCCGCGACGATGGATCGCGTGCCGGCGTTCGTCAGGACACCACTCTTGGGGTGCAGCGTGTTCTTCAACGCTTGAGACTTCAGCCCGACCTCCGCGACCCTCTGGGAGAGAGAAACGCGATCTATCTGCGGATCTAGGGCTCCCTTCAATCCGCGAGTAGCCGTGTCGAGGTACGAACCCTTCCGTTTCACCTTGAGAGACACGTCAAAGTCGCGACTGCAATTGGCAAACCTTAAGCGCACTTCACACGTTTCTCTATCAGCAAACTCGAGCGTCAGTTCATTGCTGAGCTTCAGAGTGACCAAGGGCGGTTTCGAGCCTTCGCCCCAGGTCCACTCCCTTCGGATGGTACCGTCGCCGTCGGACCAGATCCCGCCCTTCTTCGACAGGACAAAACGACTGCCGTCCTTCGCATCGGCGAAGCCGCACATTTTGTCGTCGATCGTGCACAGGGGCGTATTTTTTTTGTCGTCTCTATAAAAATAGAAGCAGCTGCTGTACGACGTCTTCGCCGTGCAGCAGGCCGCGACTCTTCCACTCGCGTAGTAGGCCATGCCTCGGCCTTGCTCATCGAATACTAAGCGGGGGGCGCCCATCGTTGCGTTTGGGCTGCCTCGCGCTGGCGGCGTGCAGGGTGGCTGGGCTGTGCTGCCTGGGGCTGCAGCGAAGGGCTAGCCACGGCTGCCCCGGCGCGCGGTAGTGATTCGTCCCGGATCGGAGAGGCTGTGCAGCGCCCGCGAGCCGCGGTGCGTGCGTCTCGCGCGCCGCCGTGCGCTCGTCGTGCGGGAGATGGCGCTAACTCTGCCGCTCTGCGCGGTCGCCTCTCGCCCGCCCACGAGCCGTCGATGAGACGTCAAGGACTCGGAGCACAAGTCTCCGAAACGACATCCGGAGTAGGGCAGTTTCGAGAGAAGGAGGCCGCGCGAGGGTCGCCGGAGCACTCCTACCACAGTACTATAACACGACTTGACATACAGGAACGGGTCATGCACGGCACCGCCGCGCCGCCGCGAGGAGCGCGCGGCCGCGCCGCGTCGGCGCGCCGCGCACGTCGAGGAGCGCGTGCTTCCGCGGCGCGGGCGCAAACGCCGCGGCGTATGGCGCCAGCCGCTCCGAGACCTCCGCCAGCGCGGCGAGGAGCTCCTGCGCCGTCTTCCTCCTCGCGGGCGGCGCCGCGTGTGTTGTGGGCGCGGGCTCCGGCGGCGAGGGCGAGGGCTCGGGCGTCGGCTCGGCCGGCGCAGCCGGAGCCTCGGCGGCAGGCTCCGGCGTCGCAGCCTCGGGCGTCAGCGGGGCGCGGGGCTCCGGCGCCACGACCACAACTTCCTCCAGCTCCTCGAACTCCTCGTAGGACGCGCCGCTGCCCTCCTCGGTGCCGCTGTCGGTGCGCTCGTCGACGACGACGAACTCCTCGTAGGACGGCTCGTCGTCGGGCTCCGGCGGCGGCGGCGGCTCTGGCGTCGGCGGTGACGGCGGCTCGGGAGCCGGCGGCGATGGCGGCGCGACGACGGGCGTCGGGGCCTCGTGCGTAGCCTTGGCCAGCGCGGCGCCGCCGCGGCCGATCCAGGCCGCGTCGGCGCCGCGCCGCGCCCGTGCCGGCGGCGGGGCGGCCACCGACGCCTCGGCGGCGGCCGGCGGCGGCGGCGAAACTGCTGCCGTTGGTGGCGTCCAGCTTACCTCGAAGGAGCGGCGGTTCGCGTAGTAGCTTGCGCCCGTCGCCGCGTCGTGGCACCGGACCCACTCATCATCGGCAGCCTCTGGTACTGCCACCGGTGGCGCTGCGCTGGTCTGCTTTGCGGGCGAGCCGAAGAAATCGCTCTTGCGCCGTCGATGACGCGGCTGGGCGCGGCCGTGCGACATCGATGCGATTTTGGGCTGCCCTTTTTTGCCATGCACTCACTTCTCAAGCTCTCCGCGCCGGCCGGGTTCAGGGCGACAACCAGCCCTCGAAGCAGCTTGTGGCGCGTGCGAGGAGAGATTTTTGACGTCTTCTACGAGTCTCGGCTAGCGGTCTATAGAGGCACTAGAGGTGCCGTCGCCAGGACTCGATCAAAAGCGGGCTTAAACCGTGCTTACGGCGTCTTGTTCACACTGTCGATCTACGAGAGGCCGCTCTGTTGGTCAGAGGCGCAGCTGCTGCAATCGCGTCGCCGTACGTGCCGCACGGGCTAAAATAAGCGACTTGGCTTGCAAACCGCGAGTTGCCCTGTACGGCCGTCTGGGCGCCCGCCTGCGCCAGCACGGGGCACCCGGCATCCCTGCCGGGCGCCCAGCCCTGTGCGGCCGAGCCGCGTGCTGCAAGCGCGCTCGATTGGCCGTCTGCGGCCGTCGGCGGCGCAGTAACGCCAGCGACGGGCCGTCGGCTGCGCGGTAACACCCGCGACGGCACCCGGCGTCGCTGCGGGTAGCCCCACCACACACGAGACGAGCGCGCCGCCCGCGGACGCAGACACTCACCGCCCGCCCCTCACGCAGGTCGACGCCGCGCCAAGATGGGTAAGCGTACGAAGAAAGTAGGGATCTGCGGCAAGTACGGCATTCGGTACGGCGCGTCGATCCGGAAGAACATCAAGAAGATGGAGGTCTCGCAGCACTCGAAGTACAACTGCGTCTTTTGTGGGAAGGACAACGTCAAGCGCCAGGCGACGGGCATCTGGAAGTGCGGCTCGTGCCGGAAGGTGATCGCCGGCGGCGCGTACATGCTGAACACGCCCCCCGCCGTGACGGCGAAGACGACGATCGGGCGCATGCGCAAGATGCTCGAGGCGCAGTCATAAGTTGTTTAAATAAGGTGCAGGTGCCCTGGGGAGGACGCAGATGACATGCGTCGACAGTGGTAGAGATGGAGGTGCGACTAGAGCGGAGGGTCTAGCGCGAGGGCTCCGCGCGCCGCGCTCCGACGAAGACGCCGCGCGCCCGGCGCGCGCCGGCGCCGCCCAGGGCCTTCTCCCGTCGACGCGCCGCTCCCGTACGAGTCGGCATCCCCCGAGATAGGCGCCCCACGTGCATCCTAGTGCCGCCCTAGTGCCCTTTGCCTGGCAAAGGACCATCAACGCCCGCCGTTCGCGCCGGGATCCGCCGCGCCCAGGACCCGGCAGCGGCACCGAGAGAAGTCGGTGACTGCAGGACTCAGCAGCCCCGCCGGCCAACCACTCCGGCCAAGCCAGGCTGCCCCGCAACAGGACACGATGGCCACGCCCCGCCCGGCCGCCACGCCGCCCTGCGACGCGGACCCGCCCTGCACGGAGACCGTAGAAAGTCTCTGGGGCATGGGCAGCCAGCCGGAGGACCCCGACGTCGTCGTCGGCGCCGAGGGCAGCTATGACATGGACATGACCACGCTGATGGCGACCGTCATCGCGATCGGCGTCATCTTACTTTTGGTCCACGCGTGCTTCCGGTTGGGCTTATGTTGCAAACACTTTGCCTGCAAGGGCAAGCCGATCCAGAAGAAGTGCTGCCCGTGCGTCGAGAAGAAGTGTTGTAAAAGGCAGGCCCTTATCCTAAAGATCGCCCTAGCTTTGATATTGGTGGGCGTCGTCCTCTCTTTATTAAGCTACACGGCCGGGTCCGACCGGATCGGCGCCGCCGTCGAGGACGTCGCGGACGCGATGAAACAGCTCGAGGTTATTTTAGGAAGACTGCAGCAGATCCTGGGGAATATGGTGAATAGTGTGACGGACATGACGGTGGGCGTGAACGGCATCGCCTGCGACGCGAACGCGATGTTGTTAGCGGGCAAGACGGACCCGACGCCGGACATCGTCGCCGACCTCACAAAAACGAACACGACGATCGCCACGATGAAGCAGTCGATCTACGACATGAAGTCCGACGTCGAGAAATATAGGAAACGCGCCGAGGACCCCCAGGTGCAGGACATGATCAACTACGCCATCGCATTGATGGTGTCGCTGCCGTTCATCATTTACATTTTGACCACGTGCCTCGGCGTGGCGTGCACGGCCTGCCGCAGCGTCATGCCCGAGGGCAAGGTCAAGAAGATGAGCAAGAACTGCGCCTGGTGCCATTTAAATACCGGCGCGTGCTGGGCCGGCGGGCCCGGGTTAATTCTGGCTTTAGTGATTTTCGTCGCGCTGTTTATTGTCTCGATCGCATTGGCGGACTTTTGCTACGTCGGCCCGGGGCCCGTCATGCTCGCGGCCGCGCGCGACAACAACGAGACGTCCGCTTTAACGTATTACTTGGAGTGCGCGGGCGAGAACCCGATGGCCAAAGACGTCGACGCCATGGCCGCGGCCGTGGCGAATTTGACGGACGCGACGGCGTCGCTGACGAGCCTGCCGACGTGCGACGCGAACCTGGATACCGCCCTGCAACTCTGTACCCATGACGTAAACATGAACCTGCTGGAGGTACCTTCAGGTGCCACCAGTGCATGCACTCCGAGCCACACGGCCGGGTGCGTGATCGGGGACCCCGTCTGCGCCAACGTGCCCGCCGCCGACACGGCCGTCACCACCAGCGTCGCATCATTACTCGCGTCCGTCGCCGATATTAAGGCCGACGTCCTCAACTGCACGAAGTTCCAGCCCATCATCGAGACGGCTTTTCATGATGGCGTCTGCACCGAGGCCGTCGCGGGCCTCTACTACATCTGGCAGGTCGTCGCCGCCGCGGGCGTGTTTACCTATATAGGGATCTGGCTCGTGCCCTTCGCGACGGCGGCCTTCAAGCAGGAGGGGGGCGGCGTCGTCGGCGTCGCCGACACGGACCCCGAGAAGGGCATCTTCGGGGACCAGAGCGAGTACGACGAGACGGGCAAATTGATGGAGGCCGCGGCCGTCGCGGACCAGCCCGAGGCTGACGAGCCGGTCCTCTAGAGTACTAAGTACGTACTTACCCCGGCATGCGCGCGACCGCGGCCATCCGCGCCCCCGCCCGCAGCGAACAGAGGTTCTGGCCCGTCGGCTGGGAGCCGAAGGCGTCGCCCTTTTCGGCCGTGCTCCCATAACGCTTGTGCCAGCGGTGGGGCGTCAGGACCGATGAGGGGGCGGCTCGGAATAACTTTGATGCCGCCTCGGCCGCTTCATTGGAGGCGAAGCGCCAGGTCAGGTCCGACTCACTGAACGCGACGTACGCCTTGCCGGCGAATTGTGATACGGCGTCGTGCAGCGCGAGGAAGGGGAGGTTCCTCGGTTTATTCCCGCATGGCACTACCACAACATCCGCCAGCTCACCGAGCGCCTCAGAGGCAGCTCGTTTGTCATCCTCGTCGCAGACCGCGACGCGTACCACAGAAGCCACGTCCCGCAGCAACGAACAAACAGAAGCTTTGAGAGCTCGTACCTTGATCGATCGCGGCTGTAGACTATGCGCATTGCCCGTGTCCATTTTCGTGGTTGACGCGCCCTCGACGTCCACGTACCGCACCCGAGACACGCCGCCGAAGAACGCGACAATCGCCCCTGTCTTCTCATATAAAGGCCACCGTCGCGGCGTCGTACCGCACAAATCCCGAAGCTGCCAATTTATCACCGCGTCGACGCGCCGCATCGCCTCGGCCCAGGGGTTTCTCGCCACCACGGAATGCTCGTAGGCCGAGAGGTGCATGACATACAACGACTCGGGCAACGCCGACCGCCAGACGGCGGATGCCTCCTTGAAGACGCCGTATGAACTAGCTTCGAGGGGCGCTCCCATTAACGCGTTCCAGGGGACCCGTTGCGCCAAATTCATTGGAGCGAGCCAGGCCCCGGCGTAGACGCTCCGCATGTGCTGCGAGACGAGCGTTTTCGCTAGAGAGAAGTTGGCCTCCCTCGCCACAATGGTTGGGTCGCAGGTGCATTTCTTGGGCGCAGCGAACAGGCGCGAGACGGAGCACGCCACGAAGCACCGATGTTTCGTGTCGCACGCCTCGATGGTTTGCATAGGTTTCTTGAAGGTCGTGCCCTTGACAGAGCGCTGGACCCAGCAGCAGTCGTCGGCCGCCGCTCGCACGAGCAGCACTGCTAGTGCTCTCATCGTCGTGCCATCATGCTAGGGCTGCCTCTATCGATGCGTGCTGTTGGTTGCTGGTGTCCGGGGACGACACTGGCGCTGTGGCCCAACGCAGACGAACCAGTGTGCCTCGCAAAGGGCGTGCAATGGCGGGCAGCCCATTGCAATGCTTTTTTGTCGGGAGCTTGACGGATGGTGATTCATCTCATATTGAAATGGTAAAGAGGGATCAATCACTAAACTCCGGAGACGTCTCCCGGAGCGCGCACTCCCCGGAGCGTGCGGGGTGGCCGCCGCTGCACTCGCGCGGGCGCCATTTCTCGGAGGCACGGCGAGCGCCGTCGACGCATAACGTAGGGGCGTTGCTGCCACCGCCTCACGCAACACCGCGGAGAACCAAGAAAGCTGCCCCCGACGATGAGGCCCCCTCTCCGTCGATTACAAGCGGCACTCGAGTCCACGGATGATGAGGCCAAGACGGACACGGTCGAGCTCTTGTGGGAGATGGGCCCCAAGCCGGACCTCGAGGACTGGGGCGAGCGGGACCCCTACGGCCAGCAACTCGCGGAGCTCGCGGTCGTCTGCACCGGAGTCGGTTTAGCGCTGCTGATCTTCTACGCGTTGTATCGCTGCTGCTTGTCGTTCCGAGCGTGCTGCTGCAAAGACAAATGTTGCACGTGCGTCGAGACGAAGACGAAGGGCAAGGGCGCGGCGTTCCGACTCGTATTGATGTTCCTACTGCTGGGGACGCTCTGCTCCCTGCTGGCCTACTCGCGGGGCCAGCGGCTGGTCGTGGACGCCGTCTTCTCCGTCGCGAAGAGCGTCGAGCGGGTATCGAAGGTCATAGGCAGCCTCCAGGCCATTCTAGGGAGCTGTTCGTCGTCCGTCGCGGACGTGACGCGACGGATCAATACCATCGAATGCGCCGTCGCGGACCAACAGACCACGGACCTCCTGAACAGCTCCCTAGCAACGCTATCGGAGGTGAACAAAACCCTGACAGCCTTAGCACCGGGCTTGGCTCGATTCAAGGACGCCGCCGACGACCTCGAGGCGGAGCTCGTCACGAGCCCGCAGGGGGCGGAGCCCTGGAACGGCAAGGGCCGCGTCCAGTACTGGCTCGAGGTCGGCGTGCCGGCCTTCGTTTCCGCGCCCTTCGTCGTCTTCGTTATGCTGACAATCGTCGGCCTCTTCTTCTCGTGCTGCAAGTGCAAGCGACCGACGTCGTGTTGCCTGAACCTGGGCGCGTGCTGGGCCGGCGGGCCGGGCCTGACGATGGCTCTGGTGATCTTCGTGGCGCTGTTTGTCATTAGTATCACGGCGGCCGACTTTTGTTATCTGGGGCCGTCGAAGGTCCTGACGCAGCGGGCGGAAGGGAACGAATACGCGGGGTATTACCTGAGTGGGTGTATGGGTGAAAATCCATTGGGGGCGGAAGTGAACAACGTCGCGGCCTCGGTCTCCAATTTAACGGCAGTGACGACGGCTCTGGACGCCCTCCCGGCCTGCGGGAACATTAATGGTATTGAGATCTGCCCGGACGAGCCGATCTGTTCGGGTGTCGACGAGGCGTCCCAGGCATTGGAGGATGCTCGCTTAGTGCTCGACCAGGCCGTTTTGGACCTGAAGCGGGACGTATTGAACTGCTCCGTCTTCGAACCGATCATCGAGCACGCGTTTTATGATGGAGTTTGTGAGGAGGCCGTCGAAGGCCTTTATTCTATATGGGCTGTGGTGGTGGCGGCGGCCGTTTTTACGTACATGACCTTACTCGTGCTACCCTTCGCGACGGCCAGTTTTGCCCAGGACTTCTTCCCTCCCGAAAAACCGGAAAAGAAGCTGTATGGCGGAAAGTCCGGCATCCGCCACGAGGAGCTCAAGGCGCACAACGCGGGCGCGTCGCCCCTCGGACGCGTGTGACTCGCCTGGCTCGCGCGCTTAATTCAATTACTACTTGCCAGTAGTCTGAGATTAATACCTTACCGGCCGCCGGGTAAGGTATCGGTATGGTACCTTATACCTCGGTAGCCGCCTTTACCAAAACAAGCCGGCTAGCCGTGGGCGACGTACCGCGGCGTACCGCTCACTGCAGCGCGTTGATACTGCATTGATCGCTGCTCCGCCGCCAGCAGCGCTCCAGCCGCTGCAAATGGCGACCGCCGCCCCTACAGCCCCTGCAGCCGCGCCCGCCGCGCCCGCCGCCGCGCCGCCCGACAGCTGGATGTATTCGTCTGACGGCCAACCGAAGGGCCCCTTACCAGGGTTCTCCCTCCTCCGACTATTAGAGAGAGGCGTCGTGCCGCCGACCGCGACGGTGTGGGCGCCGCATCTAACAGAGTGGGCTACAATAACCGAAGCGGACGGCCTCGCGGTGCGCGCAAACTTATGCAGGAAGCGCTTCTACGTCATGGACCAGCAGGAACGGCGGGGTCCCTTCATTCTCGGCGAACTGCGACGGCGCTTCGAGAACGGCGAAGTCGACGGCCTCTCGCAGATTTTTGTGGAGGGTTCCGAAGCGTGGCAGCAGCTCTCGTCCGTAGAGGGCTTGCGGGACGTCCTGCAGCCGCCCCAGCTCCAGCAGGAAATGCAGACAGAGGCCTACGAGCCCGATCAAACGGAAGAACTGCCGAGGGAGAAAACCCGAAGCTTCAAGGGCGACGACGGCGTGTCCTACGTGTTTCGAGACGGCGACTGGGTGCCCGGCGAGGCCTCGTCCGACGAGGAAGAGGTGGTTCCCGAGAAAGTTCCCGATCAACCCAAGAAAAAAAAGAGAAAAAAGAAGGCCGGCTGGGACGCGAAGACGACGAAGTGCTGGATCTACGTCACGGGCCTACCGCCCGACGTGTCAACGGACGAGCTCGCGGAGCACTTTGGCAAGTGCGGCGCGATCGCGAGAGATCTGGAGAACGCGCCAAAAATTAAATTATATAAAGACGACGCCGGCGCCTTGAAAGGCGACGCGTCGTTATGTTATGCGAATGCGTCGTCCGTAGACGTCGCTTGTTCTATCTTGGATGGAGGTTCTTTGAGGTTTGACGTGCCTCTACGGGTCACGAAGGCGGACTTCGGCAGTGCGAGATATGGGGCCTTCGACCAATCCAAGGTGAAGAAGGTCAACCCCCAGAAGGCCCACGTGGCGCGGCGGGCCCAGCGGCAGGCTCAATCATGGGCGTACGACGCCGACTCAGGTGCGTCTCCGGAGAACGCGATGCGGATTGTGGTTGTTGAGAGCTGTTTCTCGCTGGACGAGGCTCCCGTGCAGGAGGTGCTCGACGAGAAGGAGAAGTCCAAGTATGATCTCTTCGCTGAAAGTGTTCAGAAGGAGCTGTTGGGTCTGCTCGAGGGAGGCGGCGCGCCGCTCGATCGCGCCGTGGTCCACCGGCACGGCGTCGTCGTGTTCAAGTTCAAGGAGCCCTCGGACGCGCAGAAGTCCGTGAAGGTGTGGGATTCACATGAGTTTCGGGGTCGAAAGTTGAAGGCTGCTTTTTGGGACGGGGTGACGGATTTCAAACGCGTCGCGAAGGAGGCCGAGGAGTCGGCGGAAGGCGGGGAGGAGAAGCGCATCGATGCGTTCGGGGACTGGCTCGAGGACCAGGGCGAGCTGCCGCCCGAGTTGCAGTTGCGGGTCGAGGAGTAATTAATCATTGTTTTGTTGCTTCAGATTTCTTGGATAGCCCCTCAACGCCATCGAGCAAAAATAACAACTACACATTTACGCCGACAAACGGAGCGACGCCTCCCAGTCCGCCGCGAACAGTTTGTACAGGTCCATCGCGGCCGTCGCGTCCTCGACAGAGCCGTGCTCGCCCTCCTGGATCTTGCGGTCGAGATGCTCCAGCACTAGATCACGCAGCTTCCGCGGGCGGCGCTTCCCGTGGCGCGTCGTCCGCATCAACGGCGGCCACCGGGCCGTATCTCTCATCTGCTGTCTAGGATGTGGTAATAATAAAACCTTCAGGTCGTTCGACAGCGCGTGACCCACTAGAATCTTGCCTCGCAGTAACGCCGCGACCTTTTGCTGGCAGTCGCGAAACGTGACGCTGTCGTGCTTCAAATCCTTCGCTCGCACACCGGAATACTTCGTCCGGAAGTCCGTGACCCGCTCGTCGACCTGGACGTGCCGGTCGTACAACACCTTGCCTTGCTCGTCGACGACCGAACACCGCGCGAGGGCGCTCTCGCGCCCATTGCTCCCGACGCCGACCATCTCGCAGTCCAACGCGACGTACGTGTCGGGCGCGACCGTGTGGGGCTTCTTGACCGTCTTTGTTGCTTTAGCTTGTTGTAGTGCCTCCGCGAGGTCGCGCGCGGCGTGCTTCGACCCCTTTTTTTTGGCGCCCTTCGTGAGCTGCGGCCGCAGGCGTTCCCAGTTCGAGGTCGTGGGTTTCTTTGTCACGGTTTTTTTATGAGAGGTGCGCTTGGGTTTCGCCATGGTTGCCGTGCAGCGCCTTGTGGGAGCCTGGTGCGGCGATAAGAGCGCGGAAACGCTGGATAGTTGGGCCAAGGAGTGGTATGGGGGCACGAAAAACTGGCTCAATGTTATACTTCTGCGCGTGTGGCGCAGCTTTGGCTGCACAGCGTTTTATGTGTCGCTCGCTAGCGCCTTTACCGACGCTAGCTCGCTTCCACCGCCGAGTTTGGTTTCGGCGCGCTGGGGACTATACATGCACCAGCGGTGGTCGCTAATTTATCTACACTGTGCGTCTTCTGCGAGGAGCGGAAAGAATTGCGTGCAGGACGTCTAAAGGCCTCAACTCTGCACAGCAGCAAAATCTCTCCTTAGCGTGCGCGCCGTCGACGCGCAAGCAATGGGTCTCGTCAAGACCTCCGCAGTGTTAGTCGCACTGTTCGCCGTCGGCGTCCAGTGGTTGGATCAGTCCGGCCAGAGCGACGCGCTCGCGGGCGGATTTTTCGCGAAGCCAGTCCACGCGGCGCGCCTGACGCGGTTCTACCTCCAGCACGCGCCGGACAAGGTCCACAGCGTCCCCGACGTCCTCGACCGCTACGCCGGCCGGGAACAGGAGCTCTACCGCAAGCTGGCTGCGAAATACGAAGTTTCTCCGCAGTGGCGCGTCGACGCGCTGTCCGCCCTGCGGGCGGCGCTCGAGCTCGCGGCCCACCAGGCGTCGATGACGTCGCCCTTCGCGGCCGAGGGGATTCAGAGGCTGAAGAGCGAATCGAAGGGCGCCAGAGCCTGGCGCGCCGGTCTTGTCATCGCGGCGCTCGCGTTCCTGGCCGTGCCGCCGCCGGGGTCGCCGCGCGCGCGGCTGCGAGCGCTCTGCTACATCGTACCGCTGGTCGCTGCTGCTTTCTACGGCCCGGCGCCGTCGGCATTTTCCGTGAAGGCCGTGGCGGACGGCGTCGGCGACCTGATGCGCCGCAACGACGCGACCGGAAGGCTGAGCCTCGTCGGCGCGGCGACGGCGTTTTGCGCTTGCCTCAGGCCTCGCGCCGCGCCGGTGCTCGCCTTGGGGGCCCTGGCCGCGCTCGCCGTCTCGAACCCGGCGCTCGAGGCCGGTAAAGTCGACGCCGGGCTCCTCGTCGACGCCGGCGTCGCGGCGAGCCGCGCGAGCGCCGCGTCGATCCTCGCGGCGCAGCCGGGCCACCTCCGCCTCCACGACTTCTCGCTCGTGTCCGCGGTCGTGCACTCGCCCCAGGAGTCCTGGACGGGCCAGGTGCTCGCGGTGGGCGCCGCCGGCCGGTGGTACGCCCTGGGCACGATGCGCACGGTGGGCGACATGCTCGAGATCCACGCCCACGCGTGCCCGCTGTACCTCGTGGCCGTGGGCCTGGCCTCCGTCGCGTGGGCGGCGCTGACGTACTTCGACGCGCCGCCGAGCGCGTTCGTCTGACCCGAGTACTATGCCAGTCGATGTGCCACGCTACAATGGACGCGGGATACTGCCTATAGATGTGTTTTTCTCATTCTTCGAATTTACGAACAGCACAGCAGCTCGGGGAAAGTGGGTGGAAGTGGGTGGGTCGGCGCCGCCTGACGACGGCGCCGGGGGGCTATGTACCGCGCTCGGCGAGCGCCTTCTCGGCCTTTTCCGCGCGGCGCGTCATCGAGGCCAGCGCGCCCTCGGCGGCCTCCGCTCGCCGTAAGGCCGTTTCGAGCGCCGCCGGCGACCCCGATCCGGACAGGCCCGACGACGAGCCCGACGACGACCCGGGCGAGCCGGACCGCGACCGCGCGCGCTCGAGGTCGAGCCAGCCGCCCGACGGGTCCGAGTCGGTCTCCGAGGATTTGGACCGCGACCGGTCCGAGCCGCGCGAGCCCGAGACCGAGACGGCGCGGTGCTGTATTTCTGGAGACGACCGCGCCGACCAGTGCAGCGCCGACGCGTCGCCGTGCACCGAGAGCCAGTGGCTCGGTTCACTGCTATGACACCGGCGCACGGGCACGATGACAAACTCGTTCTCAAACGTCGACCCGTCCGCTCTATAATTGATCAGCGTGCCTTCGCAGGGCTCGCCCCGGGCGACGGCCGCGGCGAGTCTCCGGACGACGCACGCGTCCGTCTTCGGCCCCTGCAGGTGCCGGAAATTGCGACCGATCACGTCCTCGAGACCATACCCGCATGTGTCGAGCCAGGCCGCCGAGCAGCTCACGACGGTGTCGTCCTTCGTGGACGTGACCTGGTACTGCGAAGCCTCGGTCGTGCACCGCAGGTAGTCGAGCGCGACGGCCGTGTGCTTGCACGTCGTATCCGTCCCTTCGAAGATGGCCTCGAGGGACGCGCCGCGGTGGTGCTCGCGCGGCAGCGGCGACGTTCGGTGCCGCTTGCACGGCCGGTCGGGGCAGACGCACGGGGCGTCGAGGACGGACCTCTGCTCCGCGAGCTTATCCTTCAGGAGGTCGAGCTCGGCGCGGCGGCCGGCGGGCCGCTCCGCCATCGCGGGAACGGCCGCGGCGGGCCCGCGCCTCGCGTTCCGAGGTTGGCCCGGTGGCGCGCTGTGGGCACGCTCCCCGGGCCCACGGGGCGGCACGCTCGTGGCTCCGAACCCTGGCTGCCAGCTGCTGGCTCCGCGGCGGCCGCGCGGGCGCCCGGGGGCAGCCCCGCCGCGCGCTTTGGGTGCCAGCGAGGGCCAGGCGTCCACGAGGCGAGCGGGCGGGCCGCGGGCTGCGCTTGGAAGAGGAATCTGAACGCCAAGCTCGTACGATTTTGGCTCAGCTGCAGGTTCCTTGAAGCCCGGTCGGGGCTCGCCATGCGGCGGCCGGCGGCGGCGGAGTGGAGTGGAGGAGCCCTCCGGAGCGATCCCGCTTTTGTGGGGCGGGCGGTCGGTCTGCTGCTCTTTACTGTAGTTTCTGCAGCCCCCGAGGTCTCGCGACCTGTCATATTGTTGCTTTGAGGCCTGGCGGCGCCAAGCTGGGCGCTTCCGTACATCCCTTTGCGCCTCTCTGCCTCTCTCCCTCACACAGCCTTGGTTTGCCGTCAGGATTAAATGCTCACGATGGCCCGTTCGAGGGCGAGTTTGCTCGCTTTGGGATTCGTGTCGACTTGTGCCTATGTGCAGCAGCCGATACCGCGAGCCTTGCGACTCTACAAACGCCATTTCCCACGCACCTGCGGCCATGCAGCAGCAAACGAGCCGCAGCACCACGCCGTCGACGCACCGCCGCGGCACAGGGCACCTGCAATAACCGCGCTGGCCGCCGCGTCACTCGTCACCGCGGGACCGGCGCTCGCCGCCGACGCGCTGCCCTCTGCGATAGCTGCGTACTCGCACTATCTGGCGTTGATGGGCATAGTTGGTTCATTGACGACAGAAAGATTACTACTAAAAGAAGACATGAGTGAAGAATCGTTTGATCTCTTGGCGACCGCAGATATAGTCTATGGATTAAGCGGGTTACTCATACTGGTCTCGGGCTACTTCCGGGCCACGGCCTACGCCAAGGGCTGGGAGTTCTACGCGCACGAACCCCTGTTTTGGGTGAAGATGTCCCTGTTGGCGGTCGTCGGAAGTGCGTCCTATTTTCCAACGATCAAGATCGTACAAAGAGCCGTGGCGAAGCAAAAAGGCGACGTGCCGCCCTTGTCTCCAGCATTGGTGAAGAGGATGACGTCCATCGTGAACGCGGAGTTGCTCGGCGTGCTGTCGATTCCGTTCGTCGCGACGCTGATGGCGAGAGGCGTCTTCTACGTGGACGGGTTCCCGTGGTTCGTGGGGGCGCTGCCGGTTGTAGGATGTGCGGGCTTCTTCGGGTACCGGTACGCGACGGAGGCGCTGGACTGGGCCGACGGCGACTAGCTGCTGTGCCGTCCCTCCTTCGGTCGCGTCGACGGCGTCGAGCTGGACGCCGTCGACGCCGTCCGGCCTACTACTAGCTGCTGTGCGTGTAATTTAATTCGAAAGACCGTCACGCCGTCGACGCTAGGATACACACCAACCGCGTGCTTAGCGGATGCCCCGGACCTTGAAAGGACCCCGGGGATGGAAGGATGTGTCGGGAGGGTTGGTCAGCCGACGACGCGCACGGGCTCGTCGACCTTCTGCCGCTTCGGCTCGACGGGAGCGGCGTCGCCGCCGCCGCCCGCGTCGGACGAGGACACGCCGGAGAGCGCGAAGAGCGCCGTCAGGGCGCTTTCTTCGTTCGCTTCCCGCGGCCGCACGCGCGGCGACGTCGGCGCCTCGGCCGAGCCCGGCGCGGCCGCTTTTGGTGACGACGGCGGCGACGATTTCGGCGACGCCGCGCGCGTGACGCTCGACAAGGCCGCGGCGTCGGCGTCTCTGGTAAAGCGCGGGTGCGCGTAGGCCATGGGCGGCGCGGGCGCGCCGGGCGCGGCCTTGGCCCTTCGGAACTGGTAGAGCGAGAGCTGGCGCTGGAACGACGCGAGGCGCGCCTGTGTTGTTCCCCCGTTGGTCTCCGAGGCGGGCGCGGCGATGGCGTGCGCCGAGCCTACACCACCTGCACGCCGTCGCCGCGGCGGCGCGAAGGAACGGACGCCGGCGCGGACGTGGCGGAAGAACTTGGGCAGCACGTCCCTTTGCAGCGCCTCGGCGTCGCGGATCTCGAAGGCCGCGCCGTCGGCCGACCAGGCCAGGATTTGATCAGAAGTCGCGTCGAGCATGTCTTTTAGTAAGACGGGGAAGGGCTTTTGAGGGCTTCTTCGCGGCGAGCCGCCCACTATTGCGGGGGGCGCGTCCGGGTGCTGCTGCCTCCGGTGGCCGTCGTCACTACCAGAACCGGAGCCGTCGTCGTCTCTTGAACTTGAACGTTCGTTGCGGTTTTCGGAGGAGGCTACTGAGGAACTTCTCTCCTCGGACGAGGTTCGGCCTTCCGAGTCCGAGACTCTGGGAGGCGAGGCGGATGCGCCTCTATCCTCGAGGTCTTCCGACGAACTAGCGTTCCTCGTCAGTAGTTCCGCGTCGGCCTCGAGCTCTCCCCTTGAATTTTCTCTCCGCAGCTCCGTCGCGGCGACGTCCGCGAGCAGATTGAACGCGCCCTCGCCGACGGGCGGCGCGCGGGCCGAGCGCTGGCGCGCCGTCGATCTCCTAGGAGAGGCCTCGCCGCGCGGCTGGCGCGGGCGCGCGTCGCGGCGGAGGCGGAGGACGGCCTCGGGCTGCTGCCCGACGAGGAGCGGGTGGTCGTAGGCCGCGCCTTTCCGTTGCTGCGCCGCCGTGCCCGACAGGCAGGCCGTGGGCTTGCGCTTCTTGTGGAAGCCGAAGTTGTTCAGTTGTCTCTGAAACGACGTGAACCGGTTGTGTCTGAAATAAACAGACAGCGTCGCTTCCAGGCGCTGGCGATCGTGGATGATGATGCCTCCATCCGGGTCCCACGTGAGCACTTCCCGCTGCTCCTGGAGCATCTGGTACAATTTGATCACGAAGTAGTCCGGGGGCACGCCCGAGAGCTTCTGGGCGAGGGCGGAGCGGGCCGCGGCGGAGCCGGTCGGCGGGGGCGTCGCCATGGCGCTTCTTCTGGGGGGCCTGCGCGGGTTGCTTGTGTTTTGTGGGGGTCGCGGGTTTGCGAGGCGCGCGGCGGCGCGGCAGGTGTGTGGAGGGGGATTCGGGCGGCCGGGGGCGCTCGGACGTCGTCTCCAGGGCTCGGAGCGCGGCCTGAGGCGGGGCGCGCGGGCGCGCGGCGCGGATGTGTGTTCTGAAAAAAATCTCAGCGCTCGGTCGAGTTCCGGCGCCCCACGCAGGTGCTGAAAGTCCGACTTTGATTGCTGTTTTTGCCCGCGGCAGTCTCTTTGGTTGATTGCAATTGCAGAAGGCCGCGCGCAGCGTGTATGAAGACGCGGGCACGTGCGTTCAGTCAAATTTAACAGCAACACTCTGAGGTACAAGTTCGCGGTGCGCGGCGGAGTGACGCCGCGCAGCAGCGTGGATGTTGTCCAGGGAGTCCTTGGCAAGAATTCCGTGTCTTTGAAGCAGTCAATACGGCAAAACTAGCCTTTCTTCACGGCCTTCTTGGTGTAGCAGTCGAAGTACGTCCCTGTCATCACCGGTCGCTAAATTGGCACTTCCCGGAGGCGTGTGCGCGGTAAAATCGTTCTGCTGGAAGCCTCGCTGCTCAGACTTGCCTCGGCGCGCGAAGAAACGACTCCTGCGAGTGGTAAAACTGGAGCGTTACGGCCCACCGCGTCCCGAATAACACCATCCGCTGTCGTACTCGTATATTCGCCCTTTCGATTCCCAACTGTCTCTGGCCCACCCTGGCGAGTGGGGACGCGCGGCGGCGCACTTCACCTGTTACTAGCCTTTTCCTAGTGTTCTTGCCTCAGAGTGAAGCTGCCAGAAAGAGACACGTCAAGCGCCGTGTATGCCACACAAAAAAAGAATTTGGCCCGTGCAAGTCGCCTGGCACCAGCCTGCTACGTTACGTAGGGCGTGCGAGGCGGCAGCCGGGCCGAAGACCCCCCATTGGTCCCCAAAAAAGCACTTCAGCGGCATCACAGGGCGTCACAGGAGCCGAGGATGCCACGGATGCAGCCCCCGGCACGCCAACGCGGCGTGGGCAGCCGGTTCTAGCCCGGGGGTGCTCCGCTCCACGCGTTGGAGCTCGTTCGACGAGACGCCGTCCCGCACGCGATCGCGGCCGCGCCTCACCAGGCCATCCCCCGGCGGCGCCGCACCGCTGGCGCGCGGACCTGGCGGTCACAGCGACAGCGCGGACCGTCGGCAGATCGCCTCGACTGCGCGGGTCGGTGGGCCGCCCGCGCGGGGTACGGGGACGCGGACCTAGGTACTAGTAGTAAGCACTAAGCAAGCTCATTAACCCTCCCCAACTCTACGGGAAGCGAGCCAGATCGCCACGGCGTAAAGTGCGAAGAGCCCCGCGCCCTCCGCGACGCGCCCCTGCCACCAATGGCCGACGGCAAAGCCTATGATAAGGATGAAGTAGGGCACACATTCCAATTCATCTTCTGCGTCCGGCTCACACTCTCCCATCCTGGAGTCAATAGTCCTACGCCGCCACAGCTCGAAGCTCAGGCTCGAAACGAAGAGGCCAAGGGTGCATGGCGCCGAAAAACACCCGAACGTAGCGAAAAGACAAGTGAGCACCCCTGTCCACGTGGCGACACCGAGCAGCCCGGGAATCCAATTTCCAAGATCATAACCGAATATAGGCCGTCCATACTCGACTTGCTCGCCTATGTAAGATGTCGCGAGCCCCAGGACGAGCAGCAGCGCGCGATTCCCGAAAGTAAGATACCGCCTCCACCACACGCAAAACGCTAGCGACGTGAGGCAGGCCAGGAAAATGGCCCAGGCACTGTAGTAGAGGGCCCAGAAATTTTTCCCGAGCCCCTGGCTCGCCGCGCGTGCCTCGTCCAGTGCGCGTTCCAGCCGCTCGCGGCGCTTCGCGTCGCGCTCCTCGCGGTACTGCGCGCGCCGCGTCTCGCCGACCCGAGATACGCGGCACCGGCCGCTCGCGAGGCGACGGAGCTGCACCACGCCGCCGGCGCCGGCCAGCAACGTGCGCCGCCGCTCCGACGCCGGCGACATGCGCCGTCGAGCGTACGAGTTGTTTCGAGCCATCTGCCGGAACTGGTCGGGGCCCGACGCCGGTCCGAAGAGTCCGTGCGTAAACGTGATCGACTCGTCCTCACGACCGGGACGACATCGCCCGCGAGCTCGACGAGCTCTTCGGCCCGTACGACTTCGTGGACAGCGGGCTCGCGCAGGCCCCGCCGCCTCCGCCTCAGGCTCCCCCACCAACCTGGGAAGAACAGTTGGAAGAGCTCGCCGTCGGGATGAACACGTCAGCGGCCGAACTCCAGATTATTGTCGACGGGCTCCTGCTCATCGCCGGCGCCGACGACGGCCCCCCAAAACCCCCGGCCCCCGTCGCGGAGTGGGGAGGATGAACGGCAGGTCTAAATGGCACTTTGGGTAGATCGCTTGTTTGTTCATCTCTAGATCGCGGCGCGTCGTAAAGGAAGACTCGCCAGACAAGACACAAAGACCCCGCCGAGAATCTCTAGAAACGCTAAGTTTCAGACTTGGATAGTTTACCAAGCCGCAACATACCCCCTCTCAGGCGCAGGACTCGGAGCCACAACAACACTCTTCCGCCGCAAAAACGGCGCCATCCCCTCGGCACCCTGCTCGAAGCCAAACCCAGAAGCCTTCCACCCACCAAAAGGCGTGTCCGGCCAGAGGATCTGGTTGGCGTTCACCCAGACGACGCCCGCGTCCAGCGCGTCGGCGCACTTTGCGGCCCGCGCCTCGTCCGCCGAGAACACGGCGTGCGCCAGACCGAACCGCGACGCGTTCACTAAGTTGATGGCGTCTTCATCACTCTCAAACGGCATCGCGCATAGTACTGGCCCGAAGACCTCCTCGCGCCAGACCTCGCTCCCCTCGAGGTCGCCCAAGACCAACGTCGGCGGCGCAAAGTAGCCGCTACCGTCAGCCTGGGCCGCAGGCTGGCGCACGTCGAGGGCCGCCTGCCGCGCCCGCTCGACGAAGCCGAGGACGCGCTCCTGCTGCTCCCGCGACACGAGCGGGCCCATCGTCGTCGCCGCGTCGAGTGGCTTGCCGACGACCACGGCGGCCATCTTCTCTAGCACTCGTTCGACGACGGCGTCGTAGATCGGCCGCTGGATCAGTAACCGAGACGTCGCGGAGCAGACCTGGCCGGCACCTGCGGCGGGAAGGGGTCGCGGCGATGGCGTAGATAGACACTGTCACGCACAGGACAAAATGCCGACCAGCGCCTGGTCCGCCGCCGCCTCGACGTCGGCGTCGTCGAGGACGACGAGCGCGCCCTTGCCGCCGAGCTCCAGCGCCGACGGCCGCGCGAAGGGCGCGGCCGCATTCAAAACAGCTTCGCCGCCGCGGCTCGACCCCGTGAAGCTGCAGACGGCGACGCGCGGGTCCGCCAGCAGCGCGCCGGCGCCCCGGTCCACGGCCGAGAGCGGCGGGCCGCCCGTGAGCAGGTTGCAGGCGCCCGGCGGCGTGAGCGGGCCCAGGATTGTTTGCAAAAAGTCGACGCAGGTCAGCGACGCGAGGGGGCTCGGCTTGAGCACGAAGGGGCAGCCCGCGGCGACGGCCGGCGCGACCTTGAGCACGGCCTGGAGCAGCGGGTAGTTCCAGGGCGTCACGAGGGCCGCGACGCCCGCCGGGTACGTCGCGATGCTGCACGCGGCGTCGAGCTCGTACGCGGCCGGCGGCGGCGCGCGCCGCTCCCGTGTCGCGCCGTCGACCACGAGGCCCGCGTAGTAGTCGAGCATGTCCGCGCAGTAGGCCACGTCGCCCTCGGCCTCCGCGAACGTCTTGCCGCAGTCCTGCGCGGATCAGGAGTCGAGACGACGCCGCGGCGATGGCGTGACTCCGCGCAATCGAGGAACAACGTGAAGAATCAACGAAAATCCCTGGGACGCCGCAAACGCGCGCGCGCCTCGTTCGTCGCGTACACGGTCGCGTCCTCGCGCAGCGCGGCGGCGGCCCGCTCGAGCGCGTCGCGCCGCGCCGCGCCGTCGCGGAAGTACGCGCCCGACGCATGGCACCGCGCCGCCGCGGCGACCGCGCGCCGCGCGTCGTCGGCGGACGCGTCCGAGAGCTCGGCGAGGACCGAGCCGTCGGCCGGGCTGCGCGTATTTATCGTAGCGTTGTCGCTTGCCGGCGCGGCGGCGCCGTCGACGTAGAGCGTGGACGTCGTGGCGAAGCGGCGCCTCACCAGGGCTGTGAAGCGCTGCATGGCTGGTGTTTGCTCTGCCGGCACGGCACGCGGTTTCTCAGCTCTTATCAGTGCTCACCGATGTCTGGAGAGTCAGAGAGCTCGCACGAATGGCTTCAAGCTCGGTCGCGCGAGGAGCACTGCAGACTGCAAAACAGCTCTGGCAGGCAGCTATTCATTTGAATTCTAAGCGCCGCGCACGCGCGTCTATCGATCTAAATAGAGGCTACAGTGTCGTCTGTGCCACCCAGCGCGTCGTCACAGCGCGCCTCTTGAAATCTCCGCGCGCGCCAGCAGCCGTAACCCAAGATGCTGGCTCTGCGGCTGGCCCGCCGCCTCACCACGCGCCGCCTGCACGCCTTCGCCGTCAGCGGCGCAACACCGCCACACCAAATAGCTTCACTACTGGACGAGCACGGCGTCGTCGTCATCGACGACTTCCTCACCACCGAACTCGACCGCGTCGCCACGACGTTACTGGAGAAGACCAATGAAGCGATGGCGTTAACGGAGGGCGTGCCCCTCGGCGTCGGTTCCCGAGACTCCTTCGAGGAGGTCGTACTGAGGAGCCCGCACCGCTACGACGTGCCCGCGCCCTTTGCAGCGTTTTCCGAGGGAGACCTCGCGAAGTGTAGGGCCGTCGCCGAGGCTACATTAGGTGCTGATTGCAAGGAGGCCTTCTGCGGGATTGTGCTGTCAAAACCGGGCGCGCCGGCGCAGGGCTGGCACGCGGACTCCAGACACGACTCCGCGGAGCATCAATCGGCGAAGATCCTTAATGTACTTATAGCGCTGGACGACGCCTGCGCCGACTACGAGAGCGGGCCCACGGAGTTCGTGCCCCGAAGCCACGTCTCTACGAACCACCACACGGGGAGCTTTGATGAGGACATCGTGTATCAACGAGATCATCAGCCGGAGACGGTCGGCTTCACGCTGGCCGACGTGGTCGCGGCGAAGGTGCCGCGGGGCGGGGCCGTGATTTTTGACGACCGCATCCTGCACCGCGGCGGCGCGAACCACTCGTTGAATGACCGGGCCGTGGGCTACTTCTCGTACCGCCGGGCCGACGTCGAGGCGGACACGCACTTCGAGGCCTTTCGATCTTTAAACAAATTGCGGCAACAAGTGGGGACGTTCGACGTCGGCGCGGAGTTCCCGGGCCTGCCGGCCGACGCCTCTTTATTGGATGGCGCCGCGGGCTCGCAGTGTCATCATACCGTCGTCGAGGCCGTCTCCCGCCAAATTGCGTTCGGGGCGAACGTCGGCGGGCAGCATCCGCACTCGCTGGCGTCGACGGATGTATTAAGGGAGGCGCGCGGCGCGCTGGGGGACTTGTTGCATTGCGAGAGCGACGAAGTCGTGTTCGGGCCCTCGGCGACGGCGCTCGTGGTCCACGTCGCGCGGGCGCTGGGCGGGACCTGGTCCGAGGGGGACAACGTCGTGCTTTCCATCGTGGCGGCCCGCGTCTTCACACCCTTCATACGCCGTCGCCGCCACACAAAAGAAAACTCACACAGGCCGACCACGACAGCAACGTCCAGCCCTGGGTCCTCGCCGCGCAGCGGGCGGGCTGTGACATACGATACATGACCGTGCGCGAGGACGGCTCGTTAGACGTGGACGCTCTGGAGACGCTGGTCGACGAGAACACGCGACTGATAGCCTGCGGCCTCGCGAGCAACGGCACGGGCACGATCCACGACTGCCACCGCATCGCTACGCTCAAAAAGAACGCGCTGACGTTCTTCGACGGCGTCCACTACGCGCCCCACAACTTGATAGACGTGCAAGCGCTAGACGCGGATTTTTTGGTGGTGAGCCCCTACAAGTTCTTCGGGCCCCACTGCGGGGCTTTGTATGGGAGAAGGGAATTACTGTCATCTCTGAAACCGGACAAGTTGAGGGTCTCGGACGACGGCCTGCCGCGGGACGAGTCGTGCTACTTATCGCGGTGGGAGCTGGGGACGCCGTCCTTCGAAGCTTTGTCTGGCGCGACGGCCGCCGTGGACTACCTGGCGGCGCTGGGCGACCGCTTCGGCGGCATCACCGACGGCGGCTCGCTGACGCGGCGCGACCGCCTCCGCGCCGGCTTCGCGGCCATTGGCGCCCACGAGCACCTCCTGAAACGCCAGTTCCTCGCCGGCGTCGACGATATCGCCGGCCTATGCGTCTACGGCGTGAGTGACGCGCTCGACGCGCGCGCCGCGACCTTCGCCGTCGCCAAAGAAGGCGTCGCGCCCGCGGCGCTCGTGGAGCACCTCCGCTCCCGCAAAGTCTACGCGACGCACGGCACGCACTACTGCCCCGCGCTCTGGGAGGCCCTCGGTTCTAGTACGGACGTGACGCGGATCTCGTTCCTGCACTACAACTCGTGCAGGGACGTCGAGCACGCGCTCGAAGGATTACGGTCGGCCTGAAGAATGTCTATAGTTTGTGTAAAATTAAATTTAGAAGCAACAGTCACAGTCGAAGGGGCAGAGCGGCGTCCCGCCGTCCTGCTGGTCCATGCCCAGATGGAAGTACTTGTACACCGGCAGGCCGTCGGCGGCGTACCGGTGCACCTGCGGGTTCTCCTGGCGGCCCGGCGGCGTCGGCGGCCGGCCCGCGCGCCACTTGTCGTCCTCTTTTCGCTCGGCCTCGGCGTCGCGCCGCGGCTTTTTCTTCGTCGGCTTCTCGGCTTTCGGTGGTCGTTTCTCTTTTTTGAGCGCGGCGAAGATGTCGTCGACGCTCTCCTCGGCGGCGGCAGATGCTGTGTCGGATGACGACTGCGCGGCAGCGGCGGCGGCGGCCTCGGCCTTCCGTTTCTTGGCTTTCTTTTTGTCTTTCGCCATGATTGAGTGCGTGCGGCTGCCGGGTTACGCCGTCGGCGCCGCTCCCCTCGTTGTGCGCTCGCCCAAAAGGTGGCACAGCGCGTGCAGCCTTGCAAACTCCGTACGCGGTCGCCGGCGCGTTCTCGTTTTTTGCCACCTTGAACACGGCTGGAGTGAGCACTGCTGCACCGTATCAGTGCGTGCAAAGAGGTCGTCTGCGTGGTGAACACAGCGTGTGCAATGAGAGCCAGCTAGCGTGTATGAGACACACTAGCATTTTTGTCGAAGACTCGAAGCGCGCTCTCGTGCCTTTACAGGCTTCTGTCGACGGCGGACGCCTCCAGGAGCACTAGACCGCGGATCGGCAAACGTGCGGGATGAGCACGTTGGGCAGGCGCGCAGCGGAATCGACGCGCTGCAGGGCCGCCGCAAGCTCCGGGCAGCCCAAGATGGCCGCCCAGACGACAGTGAGCGAGCAGCGCCTCGACTGGATGCTCGCGACGCTCCTGGAGAAGATCACGGAGCGGGGCGGCTCCGTCTCCAATCGAGTGAAAACGCTCCTGACGCGCTTCGACCTCGACAACAGCGGCGAGCTGGAAATGGACGAGTTCCGCAGTTGTCTCGAAGATTTCTTGGCCGGGCTGCAGGACTGCGAGTTCGAAGCTCTAGCGCAACGCTTCGACAGCGACGGGAGTGGTTCTGTCAGTATCCCGGAGTTCACGGCAGAATTAACGAAGCTCGCGCAAGAAAAGGAGGAGAACGGGGGCTTTCCGCCGGCGCGGCCGCCTCCGTCCCAGAAGACCACGAATACGCGACGACCGCGAGCGTGTGGCTTGAGGAAGACGGACCCGTCGGAGTTCGAGGGCTACGGTGGTGGATTGTCATTTTCTGAGGCTAGTAAAGCCCCCACGCCGACGGCTGCATTAGATGTGTTCTTTGATGAACTAAGGGCGAAGGCCAAGACGTTGGCATTCCAATCATCGCTGCGAGAGGATGGTATTGATGGGAAACTCCTCAAACGAAGTCTGGAGCGGCAGCGGAGTACACCTTCAGCTACTCACTTGACCGCGGCGCAATTCGAAGAAGCATTGGCCCCCTTCGGCGGCGTCTTTGACGAAGAGAACTGCCTGCCAGCTCGAGTCTGGGCGGCCTGCAACAATGGGAACATCGAGGACATTATGTCGAGGTTCAAGAAGGGCAACGCTCTGAGGGCGCGAAATGATGTCCCGAGGGAGGTGCTCAAATTGAGAACTTTACTACTAGATAAGTTCGTGGGCATGGGCGGTCCTCTTCGCTTGGCCGTTAGAGATCAATTGACGAAGTACGACGGCGACGGGTCTGGAGAATTGGACCGCGCCGAGTGCGCCAAAGCGTTTTCTGGGTTAGTTCCTGGTATTGAGGAAAAACAAGTGAATTTGCTGGTCGACGACATCGATACTGACGGTTCCCAAACGTTAACGGTCGACGAGATCGAGGGCTACCTGCTGGCGGCGCAGTCGGCGCGCGACCCGCAGTCTACCTCATTAGGGCTGAAGCCGAAGAAGCCCTTCTACACGGCGGAGGGGGCGCGGGGGCTGTAGGTACTTAGAATATGCTATGTAGGATGAGGAAGGCGACGAGTAGAGACACGGTCGCGAGGCCGCGGAACGCCGCGTAATTTCTGGGAGGTGGACGGGTACGCTGGCGGTGCCACTGCTCGAGGCGCCACATGACGTCGTCGGGCTTTTTCGCGACGGGACGTTCGGCCCACTCCCTTAATGTTCGCTGTTTGATACTGGTGCCCGCCTGGACGTTGTGCCTGATGTAATCAAGCTCGGCCAAGCACGCTTTGTAGGTGTTTCTTCGGCCCAGCGCCTCGGGCAGTAGACACGCGAGGCCGCAGTACGCGGCGACGATTTCCCGCTCGATGTCCTCCGGGAGCCGCGCTAACGAGCCCGACCCCTCCATGGCTGCGGGGCCCGGGGCGGAGCGCTCCGGGGAACGTCTTTTGCCCTAGCCCCAAATATTTTGGGGCCTCCGCGCGCAACCGCGGGAGCCGTCCGTAGGCGTCAAAAAACACCGCAGCGCCAGCGAGGGCGGCCCTTGGGCGGCGTTGGCGTGCTTTGCTATGTTCGGGGGCATTTAGGGGGCCCAGCCTGAATTTTTTCAGCTGCCCATCACATTTGGAATTTTTTGGGCTCACAGGCACTGCCATCATTTTTGGGCTGCCCAGGCCCGCACAGCTGCAACGCGCACAGAACCGCAGCCATGGCCACCGTGTCGCCCCTGCTCATCCCCGCGGCCGCCGCCGCACCGCTCGTCACGCCGCCGCGCCACTGTGCATTGCCTTCCGATGCTGGCAAGGAACGGCTGCCCGACGGCGCCGTCCCCCGCGTCAGCGAGGACGACATCGCGCCGCCGCGGGCGTGCGACGGCGGCGAGCTGGCGCAGGTCAAGCGCGACCTACGCAATGCGATGCGCCGCGCGGACCGCGCGGAGGCGGCCGCCGCGGCCAACAAGTGCATAGCGCGCAACCTGGCATACACGATTCATGACAAGACGCGGCGCGAACGCGAGCGCCGCGCGGAGGCCGCACGCGCCGCCGAGGCGCGGGCCGCGCGCGCGCGCGCGCTCCGGTACGACGCGCTCGAGGAGCCGTTCCTCGGCCTCTGATTTCTTGTGTGGGAGTAGTATGGTAGTAAAAGTTAGTTGAATTATTATTCTGGAGACGCCTCCGCTGTTAAACATGTTCGTGCGGGGCCGCAATAAACTCAGATTTTGGATGGGCTGGCTCTCGAGCACTGATGGAGCACAAGATGGTCGACAGCTCTGAAGAGGAGGACCGCGAGCTGCCGCCGGAGATCTGGCGCCTCGTCTGCGACTGCCTCGTGCCGAAGCAACTGGGCCGCCTCGCGCGCACGAGCCGCGACGTGCGGACGGCGGTGCGGGGCAGCCCCGCGTTTCGACAACTGCTACGCTGCGACGGCGTATGGGAGGACGTACACGAACGGAGCATTCTTGGTGTCGCCGTGACGGGCGACAGCATCGTCACGGCGTCCGAGGACCATACCCTGAGGATCCTCGCCGCCACCGACGGGAGCTGTCGCGCGATCCTCGAGGGGCATATGAACCGCGTGCGGTGCGTCTGTATCATGCCGGACGGGCGCATCGTGTCCGGATCGCGCGATGGGACGCTCATCGTGTGGGCGCGAGATGGCAGCCACCTCCGAACGCTGGAAGAAGGACCTACGGACTACGTCTGGTGCGTGGCTGCACTGTCCGAAGACCGCGTCGTCTCCGGGTGTAGGGGTGGGAGAATATATCTTTGGGACGTGAATTCTGGTCGCGAGATTGAGATGTTTGGAGCGGGTAGCGCCGTCCGGTGCTTCGCGGCCCTGCCGGACGGTACGTTGATCGCGGATGGAGGAGAGGGCAGACTAAACGTTTTCGACGTGGCGCAGGGAAAGCATGGAAACATCATACAATCGCGGTGCCACACGGGGCCACATGAGGGGAGCATCACGTCGGTTGCTGTTCCGTTCGAAAGCGTCGTCGTGGCTGGCCGTGGGAACGGCTCGCTTTCGCTCTGGGACCTTAATGCAGACGAGGACCTCATAGATATAGATGATATAGATAATGTCTTCACGACACGTGGACACGATGCAGCTGTCTGGGCCTTGGCGAGCCTGCCAAACAAACGCTTCTTGGCGGCCGACGGCGACGGAGTACTGAAGATTTGGCGCGCCGACCTGGCTCTCGTACCCGAGGCCCTTCGGTCGCAACGTTTTCCCGATATCGATTCTGATTATTCTGGTTCTGATTACAGCGCTTTCTATTCCGGTCCTTTTCCCTTGACCTGCCTCCAGACGCTGCGGGGCCACGCTCGCGCGGCCTTCTGCCTCGCCGCGCTGCCGGACGGTAGAATCGTCTCGGGATCCATGGACCGGACGCTTCGATTCTGGGCGCCCGTGGGAACTCAGATCGACCGTGAGCGGGATGCCCCCTCGCGAGTAAGCTGATGAATGTGCTTGTTTGTTTACTTGTCCTGGCTAGCCCCTCCTCAGGCTCGGGGACGGGACCCGGGTGTCGCCACGGCGTCTAGGCGTCATTGTTCTGCGTTTGCGTATTGCTAGTATGTCTGTGCCTTTAGTTTTTGCCAAGCGCGCTCGAGCTCGCCGTACCTCGTACGCTGCGTGCAGCCACAGGCTGGACTCGTGAGAGCTGGAAGAACACCATAGTGATCTGACAGACGCCTCCTCGCAATCTCACTGCACGCAGTGCCCCAGGCGCGCATCCAAGCTCAAAACTCCCTCCAGCCTCGCTGTCAAGGCGCGCGCCCCGTACTGCCACGGGCGGCGAGCTAAGACAAGCCGTGCGCAAACGCGGCGCTACGAAAGCAGAAGACAGTACTGAAAGATGGCCACCGCCCGCGACCTCCAGGCCCAGCTCGCGCAAGCGAGATCTCCGGAAGAATACGTGGACATGCTCCAGCACGGCGTCGAGCACTTTCCTAGAGTTGCGCTCTTTTGGCGGTTATATGCGGAGCACGAGCGCGCGACGCGGGGCCCGGAAGTGGCCTGGAAGTTACTAAACGAAAATGAAGAGAAGGCCCTGTGCTGGTGCCGCTGCGACGCGGACCTGTGGCGCGTCGCCGCCGAGTGTTGTAGAGATGCGCATCCGCGCGAGGAACGCGCATCGGAGTCTACGGAGTTGGTTGGCCGGACCTTCGAGCGAGCCGTCGCCGCGGCCGGCGCCGCGCCCGAGGCCACGGCGCTGTGGCGCGCGTATCGGGACTGGGCCGCCAACTCCGCCCCGGTGGCGCAACGGGCCCAGGCCAAGGCTTCTCTCCTTAGAAGGGCTTCACTAATTCCCGGTGAAGGCAACGACGAATTTTGGCGCGAGATCGAGAAGGAGGCGCGCGAAGGTGGCGACGAAAAGGACCGGGAGCGGGCGCGAGCGCTGGATCCGTTGGCGCAGGCTGCGAGGCGAGATGGGGCGGCACGAGCCCAAATCTGGCGCGCAGCGAGACACGCCCAGACCGACGATGATTTAGGAAGATGGCGCATCGTCATCGCGTACGAACGAGCTTCTATGCCTACCGAAAAAAGGAGGCAGGAAGCCACGCCCGCCGAGAAGAGCGCGCATGCTCTGTCGATCGATGCCGGGCGAAGGCGCATCGCCGCGGCCTACCGCGCGGCCATCGACGCCTGCGCGGACCAGGCGCCCGAATTGTTTCTCGAACTGTCCGACTGGGCTGAGCAGTGCCACGCCGAGGACTTAGCGAGACCGGAGGCGATTCCGGGCGGCGCCGACACGGATTGTCCGGAAGATGAGGCGTTGATAGCGTCACCCTTCTCCCTAGAAGATGAATCCCCCCTCTTCCAGGCGGCTCCCAGTGGTCCCGACGCGGCGGTTCACATTTTAGCAGATGCCGCAAAGACGTGTTCGACCTCGGTCCTGGCCGCGGCGGCCCACGCGGCGGCTCTCGAGCGGTTGGGTCGACCGGCGGAAGCGGAAGCCGCTCTCGAGGCGCTCGTGGCCAAAGAACTGAAGACGGACGACCCCGAGGCGAAGGAGGGCGAACTTTGCGCCGCGCCGTGGGTCTTGCTCGAGCGCCACTGCCGCCGCCACCGAGGCAAGGAGGCAGCCAGGGACGTCTTCGCTAGAACAGCAGACCTGCGGAAAGCCAAGAAGATCGACGCGCGGATCTACGAAGGTCACGCGGTCGTGGAATCGCGGGCAAATAATGACAAGCTCGCCGCTCGTAGAGTGTTTGAATTGGGCTTGGATCAAAGACCGGAGTTGTTACAGAGGCACGACGCGGTCTACGTGTTGACCTTCGCCCATTTTCTCGAAACGGACTGTGGAGATGCTGATTCTGCCTCTGCGGTCATCGAACGAAGTATAGCGGCGTATAAGAAGGAGCAGGACGTGCCCCACGTCCTCTGGGACGCCCTCGTGTCCATCTACCACCGGCACGCTTCTTCGCGGGACGCTGCCATGAAGGCTCGGGCCGTGGAAGTTAGGAGAAAGAAAGCCGGCGCGGGCGGTGTGGGTGGCGCGCTCATGGCGCTCTGGCGAGACGTGTCGTCGGCGGCCATCCTCCCTTTAAATGCGACGGACACGGCCTGGCGCGTGCGCGAGGCCATCCCCGCGATTTTGGTGCGGGATTTGGCGTCCTGTCGAGACCACGCGTCGAAGCTCGAAGCGGCTAGAGCCGATGGCCTACTCGCCGACGAGATCGACAACGGCGGGTTAGATGCCTCGGATCTGGACGCTGGTGATGATGGGGACGCCGTGGCTATATTGTTGAGTGCGGGTACTTTGCCGCCGAATTTACGGAGACTCACGGAGCGCATCCACACGAAGGCCCGGAAGCAGGTCGCCGATCCTAGAGCGGTCCAATTTGTGCTAGATGCTCTGTTGCGGGCGCCGCTGCCGCCGCCGCCCACGAAGAAGAGGGGAAGAGACGACGACGACGAGGACGACGCCGAGGCGCCGCCCGACGCGTTCCGGGCGAGGAGGGCCGCGAAGCGCGCGGCGAAATAAATAAAACTTATTTATGCGTCATGAGCATGTCCAGGCAGTCGCCGCCCCCGAACTCTAGGGAGGACAGGACGTCCGTATGGGACGTCGTCGGCGCCTCGACCCGATCGAGGTCATAGACGACGTCGTCGAAATCAGGGCGGTTCTTGTCCGAAGTGTGCCAGCAGTCCTCGACCAGCCGTTTTATTGACTCGGGGCAGTCGTACCTCGGCAAAGACGGCCGCTCGCCGCGAGGCACCTTCCTTTTTAAGTCAGCGTAGTCATAGCCCAGGAAGGGCACCTCACCCGTCATAACTTCACCCAGCAACACCCCAAAGGCATACACATCAACTTTTCGATTGAACGCTTGCCCCAACAACAATTCGGGAGCCATATAGGACGGCGTTCCTGCTCCCACATTTGAGCATCTAACTAAACCGAAATCGCACAGTTTATACGTACCGGAACACCTTAGTACATTCGCCGTTTTTAAGTCCCGGTGGATGAGATGTTTACTGTGCAAGTACGCCATGCCTTCGGCGACGTCGCGACACGCAGTCAACTTGTCTGCCAACGACAGCTTCTCCGGTGCCACATTCTCGGACTTGGACCCGTGGATGACGCGATGCAGCGAGCACTCGCAGCGCTCCATGACGAAGAACAGATCTGGGGGGTCCACGCAGCCCCCGATAAAACGGACGACATTTTTGTGTTTCAGCGACGCCATCACCAGCAGCTCGTCCAGATACTCCTTCTGGAGAGCGGCGTCGACCTTCGGATCGAAGAGCGTCTTGAGGGCGACCGGTTCGTTGCGAAAGTAGCCCTCGTAGACCAACGCGACGCCGCCGCCCCCTATTTCCCTACCCATGTCGATGTCCTTGATACTAATACGAGTCCACCCCGAATCATCCTCGTCCTTCTCGAAGTCGTCGTCGCTGTAGCTACAGCTGTTTCGCCTAGCGTCCATGCTCCGCAGCATGGGGCTCCCTTGCAGCGCCGTGTGCAGCGCGGGCTGGCGCGTGTTTTTGAGGGGTTTCGGCCGGCGCGCGCGAGGTGGCAACGCAGCGAGACTGGGGCAGCGCGCGAGGAGTCTCACGGGAGCCTCACAGCGCCGATATCGATGCGGCGGTCGAGCCAACGAACCGAACCCGACACTTCGCGCCTCGGTGGTGCAGCGGTCCTAGCTCTCCCGGGACGTCCTCCCAGGGCTCGGGGACGATCGTGCACGGTAATCTGGGCAAGGCGTCGCGACGAAGTGATCTGTTGGTTTTTGGCCGCTGTGGCACTCGCAGCGTAGGACGCGGCGCAGACGACGACAGCGCGTCAAGACGTCCAACTCGACCGCCGGGTCGCGCGCGCGCGCCCGACGCCCGCGGTAGCGGCTCACCGAGCCAGCTTGTCCAGCTTGTGGGAAGCACACTACCGCGTGGTCGCCCCGTAAACGCGAGGGGCCACCATGGAGACCACCGGCAAACACAAGACAGCGACGCCGCAGAGCGCCCGCTGCCCGACGACCGCGGGCGGGCGCACGCCCTTCTCGCCCGTCTACAACACCGCCGGGCCCGCCGTCGTCGCCAAGGCCCAGCTTGCGTGTACGCCGTGGAGGAGCATTGTCCCACCGGAGCAGACGCCGGCCCAGCCAACCGCAGCGCGCGTCCGTATCGTGCCGCCCGCGGAGACGCCGGCCCAGCCGACCGCCGCGCCCAAACCCCACAGCTTCTTCGAAGCCGCGGCGCGCACGCCCCACATCGCGCCGGAGGACGACCTCGTCTCATGGAAACCGGAGCGGCTCGCGGCGCTCGTCGCGCGGGACGTCGGTGGACGGAGGCCGAGCTGCACCTTCGACGCGGCGACTTGTGCTTTCAATGTTGTGAGTTGCATCGCCGTGCGGGCGGGCGATTCTGTCGTCGAGGCGAGCGCATCGCGGACAATCTCTCAGTTCCATCGCCTGCGGCGCGATTTACTCGCATTGATGCCGCGGCTCTCGATGAGCGTGATGCGCGTCGAAGCTCTCGGCGGCGGCCGGGCGCCGCCGGCGCTACCTGCGCTGCCCGCGAAGAGTCTGCGGCGGCAGTCCGTCCGCAACGCTACGGCGCGGGACGTCGTCACTCTCTCGCGCGAAGGAACGGCCAGGCGTCTGGCGACGAAGGGGCCCGAGCTTACGACGTGGATCCGCGACGTCCTGGCCATCCTGCGCCACCGCCTCGGGAGCCGGCCGTCGGTCGCGCACGCGGTCACCGACGCCTCCCGGAGCCGGGTCGGCCAGGGCGCCGCGGCGGCGGAAGAGGCCGAGGCGTTGCTCGTCGACTTTCTGTTGCGCGACGCGCGGCTGTCGGTGCGGCGGGGCGGCCGCGCCGTCGTCGTCCACGACGGCGACGAGCACCTCGTGTGCCAGTCGCTCCTGGAGTAAGTGGAACCACAGCGACAACTAGAAATATATTTACAGATAGTATGGATAAGGAGAGGAGTGTATGTGCATGGTGTGTACAGAAGTGGGCCGCCGCGGCAGCTATGTGCAGTCGTGGAAGTGCGAGAGAGAGTACTTTGGAAGTGCGTGCGTGTACAGCACGAGGCAAAAAGCGAGCGAGTTCACGAGATGGGGCAGCACAGCACCCAGCACCCGCCGGGAGTTGGTGAGGGCGTAAAATTGTCGACCCGCCAGTCGTTCAGCGGCTGGTTGAACGCCGAGGCGTTAATGAACATCCCGCCCATATTCGTGACCTTGTCGACCCGCCAGTCGTTCAGCGGCTGGTTGAACGATGAGGCGTAGGCGAACATCTCGCGCATATCCGTGACGTTGTCGACCCGCCAGTCGTTCAGCGGCTGGTTGAACGACGATCCCCTTATTACCCGTACGTAATAACCACCATAACCATCATCTTTGTAACGGACACAGCTGAACATCCCTCGCATATTCGTGACATTGTCGACGCACCAGTCGTTCAGCGGCTGGTTGAACGACTTGGCGCCGTGGAACATGTAGCTCATATCTGTGACATTGGAGGTATCCCACGCCTGTGTGGAAATCAAAATTTTACGGCGCGTTCGTGCTGAATCGTCGCGTCGTCCTCCACGCCATCGACGCGACGCCTGCTCGATGGCGTGGCGATGCCGGTTCCTCGCCGCTCGACCAAGCCAGGACGGCAGCGCCATCGCCGAGAAATGACTTAGTGAAGAATTGTCGGGTGCACCCGACACATTGGTTGATTTCCACGCAGCCCCACGCGCTGATGTCGTCGTTAAACTTAGATTTGCCCATGAAGAGACGGCTCATGTCCGTGACGCGGCTCGTATTCCACTTTGATATGGGCGGCAGGCCCTCGCGGTTACCAAGTTGCGGGAGATGCGGATCAAATCGGCGAAGGTGCCGCTTTAAATTCCAACGCACGCCGCCGCACCAGCGCCCCACCCAGTCTCGCAGCGTCTCGTTCGTGAGCGCCGGGCCCTCCGCCACCACTATGTCCTCCACAATCTCGCAGCCAGTGCCCAGGAAGACGAGCTTGCACTCGCTGGTTCCATCGTCCGCCGCCTTGGTGACGTCGAGGATGGTCGTCGGCGTCACCGGCTGGCCATTCACGGACAAAAGCGTGTCGCCCTCCTTCGTCGTGCTCAGCAGCGGCGACGTGGGTTTTACCGCGTGCACGGTGCACGTGCCATCTACGAACGAGACTCCAAGCGGCCCAGGCGGGACGCCGACCCTGTACATACCGTGTTTCTCGACCGTCAGACTGCGGCCTTCCCGCTTGGCGAACTTAATGAGCGTGTCCATCACCGCCTGGCCATCCAGGTTCGTCGTGTCGACGTCGCCCAAGCCCGGACGGGTGAGCGAGAGGATGACGTCCCCGGGCACGACCCGCCCCACGACCGGCGAGTCGGTCCTGACCGCGCCGACCGCGGGCGGGCTCCCGACGGCAGTCAGGCCCAGCTTGCCCGCGGGCAGTTCGACCTTGAGGACCACTTTGGTCTTCTTCACTGCCATGGTCGATGGGCAGCGCGTAAGTGGTCGTGAGGTGCTACGCAATTGTTATGCGTTGGCAGCGGTCGCCTCAAGCAGCACAAGCGGCAGCAGCTATCGATACTACTCAGCCGGACCCTGCCACTATGCCCTGCCCTGCCCAGCCTCTCTAGCCTCTCTGCCCGACTCGTGAAAATTGAAGCAGGGGAGCCCGAGACGTCCTCGCGCGCGCGCGACGGACTGCTTGACCCGCGGCAGCCCTCGTTCGACTTGAGCCCTAGTGTGTCTTCAGCTTCGAACCAGCAAACTTTCAAACTAAAATTGCACTGCGCAGTCGAACTGCTGCCCCCCGCAGCGGAATCGACTCACGCGCGCGCAGGCCGGCGCAGCCATCCGCCGGCGAGCGTCACTGCGGCGAAGGACCGCTCGTACGCCATCGACAATGGAGTTTACAGCATGCGCCGCCTCACCGGGCCGCCCCGACGCGGACAAAGTCATGTCTCTCCTCACGGAGAAGATCGAGCAAAAGGTCGGCTCCATGGCGGCCACCAAGATCACAAGGGAGCTGCGCCGCGTCCTGAAGCCCGCCGCCGACAAGGACGGCTTTTTGTCGTCGAAGGCTCTCGCCGAGATGCTGCGGCGGACCTGGCTCGTCGGCGTCGAGCGTGATTCGCTGGAGGCCTTCGCCGACCAATTGACGGCCCAGCAGAAGCACGGCAAGCTGTCCATCGACACCTTCGCGCAGTGCGTGGCGAGAGCGGCGACTGGCGAACCACAGCACGTCGTGACGCCGCCGAAGGCCAAGCAGGTCGAGGTAAGGACGCCGGAGGACAACGGGCTGTACGTGGACCCCTTGCAGGGCGCGAACGTGGCACCTCCGACTGATGCCTCGTCGTCAAAGTTGCGGTCACTATTAGCCGAGGAGCTGCGCCGCGTCGAGCGCGACCGTATCGGGGAAATGGCGCATGCTAATGAAGTCGACGCCGCGGCCCGATCATTGTTAAAAAGGAGGTGCCGCGCGCTTTGTGAGCGCGGGTCGAAACAGACCCAGAGACGCTTACCGCTGGCCCAGTGGTGCGTGGCTCTTCGAGGCTTAGCTATCGCCGTCGGCCTGCCTCCACCTTCAGATCAAGATCTGGCGGAGCTCTGGCGCGACTGCGACCGGGGCGACTTCGTGGCGTTCGGCCGCGACATGTTTTCCTCTTGTGAAGATGAACCTGTCGCCTGCCTGCCTTCAAGGCCTTCGCCACCGGCATCGCCTCCCCTCAAGCTCCACGCCGACGACTGGAAGGCTCCTCTACCTGATTTGACGACGTCACTGGGCGCGCCTTCTCCCCTAGCGATGCACGGCTTCGACGGGAATGGTCAATTGGTGGCCTGGTCGCGGCCGTGCCGGACGATAGTAGTGGGCACGGGCTGCTTCGTTGCGGAGCGACGACTAGATACGACAACACAACGCCTAGAAACGGTACCGGGCGTCACCTGCGTCTGTGCTCATAATACCAAACCTATTTGTGCCGCGCACGGCGTCGACGGATTGCGGGTCTGGTCCATCGGTCAAGAAGGCAAAACCGTCGCCAAAGGATTATTTGAGACAGTGTCGTCGATAGCGTTCCTAGGTGCAGGGTCGCTCATAGCGTTGGTAGGTGTGTATGACGCAAGACCATTAGTTGCGGTCGTGAACTACGAGACAGGAGAAATTTTGGGAGAAGCACCGATCGACCTGGACACGAGGGACGGTGGTCTACTGAATGTCGCCGCCGCGTCCACCGGAACAACTTTTGCGACGGTGGGTGATGGCTCTCACGTCGCGTTTTGGCCCGGAACGCTTTCAGCGTCTCCAGCAAAAAGCCGTGCAGGCAGTCGGCGCAGACCAACTCCCGCTGCACGTCCGCGGCGCCTTCCCGGAGGCGGCGCGCGAGGCGGTAGTTGTCCGTGATCTGTTTCGCGACCTCGACGGCGGTCGTCGCGTTGAAGACGAGGTGCGTTCGACCTTCTTCTAAACCAGCATAGTAGTGCTCCTGGGCCGGGTGGTCCCAGATCATGACGGTCGAGCCGGTGGCCCAGAGGTGGTTGAGGTTCCGACTGTAGGACCCCGTCGTGCCGCCGGGGAAGTGCGCCAGGATTTTATAACGCGCGTAGTCGACGGGATTGACCCAACTCACGTCCTGGGCCTCCGAGAGGCGCTGCACGAGCCCGTCTAGGCCATCAATACGAAAGGGGTACTTTGCGGCGCCGTCCTTGCATTTTGTCGCATGGAGGGCCGTCGCGTTCGTCCAGATGCGCTTTCTTGCCTCCAGATGCCGCACCTTCACGTCAAATTGGTCCGGGTGGCGCAAGGTCAACAGCGTCCCCAAGAAACGGGCAATATTCCCGGACTCGTGGTCGCAGTCCTTGTTCCTCCATCTAATATGGCCGCGCCAGAAGGCTCTGGGATCGCGCTTCCAGTAGGGGTGCTTCCGCGACGCGTCCTCCAACAGCTGCGCCACATTTGACCAATGGTCCAGGTCGCCGAAGTAGGGGTTCGGCACTAACACGCCACATTCCTTCGAGGAGTACTTTTTTGCGATGAGCGTGGTTGGCAAAAGCTCGCCTTTTTTATTCTCGAGGCAGCTCCCGGACGCTTCCGAGTTGTGGAGGTAGGCCACGTTTTTTACTTTGGAATGCCTTTCGCGGACGGCTCGTGAGACCATGGTTAAATGTTGTTGGACCTTGCCGCCTTCTTCGTTCGCGAAGACGCGGCCATTTAAGATGAGAATGCGGCCTAACGCGCCGCGCTTCGCGGGGCTCAATATGTCGCGGACGTAGTCCTGGGCCCCTTGCTTCGTCTCTACTTTATCCCACCTTTGCAGCGACAAACGCATCGCGTCGAGGACGCGCTGCGTCGGCGTCGGCGTCGCCGCTGCCTCTCGCGCGGCGGGCGCCGTCGTCGCGCCGGCGGCCACTGCCGGGTTTCCCGCCCGTTTCGCTGCCCCGACGTCTCTGGCCGCTCGGTGCGCCGCCGTGCGCAGCCCCGCGGCCGCGCGCACGCCGCCCGCCGCCTGCACGGCCAGCGGGGCAGCCACCAGCAGCAGCAAACTTCGTGAATGCGCGCCCATGCCCCGACCGCGCGCCGCGGCGTGCCCACCAGTCACACGAGGACGCGTTTGCGCGACAGAGGCCGAAGCCTGCGGCTCCAAGCGCGCGCTCGGTGCGGCTGTCTAAAATATTGCAGGCCACCAGGCTTGGACTTGGCGCAGCGCCCGCGCGGCGACGGGGCGTCCCGGGAGCGCCGGAGCGCTGCGGGACGTCCTCTCGTTGGGGCCGTGACGCGCGGTTTGAATTTGGAAGATGGGGCTCTCCCTGGTCTTTGGCTCTGGCCCCGCGGCGCGTCTAGGAGGCCCTCAGGGCCCCTAAGAGCGCTGGTTCGCTCGCGCGGCTTGAGGCTGCAAATTCCGTGCTACGTAGGCCAATGCCACCGATGCTCTGGCCGGCGGCGGATGCGCGTTTTTGGTTCTCCATCCTGCGGGGCTGTCATAGCTGGCGCGCCTCATCAGGGCATTCGCAGTATCCCAGCGGTACTCCTGTGCAATTGCCGCGCGCGGAGACGCGCCGCCGCAGTAGAAATCAATAAAAATCAGCTCTGAGGATCAACGAGCGATTTTTGGGACGCGACGCGGCAGCGGTACATATTTGAACATAGAATAGCCCCGCCGCCTGCACATAACACCATGAGCGAGCTCGACGTCCACCTCGCGGCCGCCTACCTCAAGCGCGTGTCGCTCTCGTCGAGCGCGCTCGACGAGCTGCTCGAGGAGGAGTCCACGCGCAAGCTGCGGCGCGTGTCGTCCTCCAATAATCTGGAGGAGGGCCAGAACGTTGGTTCTACCGGTGTCCGGTTCGACGGCTCGCCCAAGGGCAAGGAGCACGGGCGACGGCTGCGCGGCGCCGACGACATGCGAAGAGTTGTGAGCGCGGACGACATGCGGCGCGCGGCGCCGGGCGCCGCGCCCGACGAGACGTTACCGACGGTCTCGGACGACAGCAACACGTCCGTGCCAGCGTCGAGCCCGCCGCCCGGCGACGGAGGCCCTCGATGCCCTGCTGGTGCGCCTGGAAGAGCGGCGCGCGCTGGGCCCCGTGGAATTGGGCCGGTGCTCGGAGCTCGCGGACGCGACGGACGAGTTCGTCCGGCGAGGCTTGTTCGACGCGCTCGTGGCCGCTCTGGACAGAAACGTCTGGAGCGAGCTCGGCGCGTTGGTGGATGTACATAGACGCGCCCGACCCTACGACCTGCGCGACGACCTGCGGCGGGCCATCTGCGTCAATCGGCAAGAAGCGGTCAAGAGGCGGTTAGCCGGCGACGAGGCCGGCGCCTTGGAGGCGATGCGTGATTTCAAGAAGTGCCAGTGGCAGCTGAAGCACGTCATCGAATTTTTTGATGCGCACATCGCCATGTACGGCCGCCGGTGAACAGAAAAAAAATCAGGAATCTCCCCATACCCCCTCCCGGCATTTCGTGCGCGAGCCAGTCGCGCGCGCCGCCACCCCTTCCCTCGCGCCCCCCACATCGACAAGACCGCCGTGACTCACCGCCCAATGGCGGTTACTGTTTTTTTATGATGCGCGGCGTGGCGTGTGTGTCGGGGACTTAGGAGGCGTATCTCGCGCGCGCCAGTGCCACGCCGCGTTCGCGCGTCGCCATCGCCGCACCGCCATCGCCGCCCTCGCCATCGCAAGCCGCCAGCGCGAACGCCAAGGCGCATAGATAACGAGATTCCGCCGATAGGGCCGGGCGATTCTAAGGCTCTTGGGCCATAGGGGCCTCGGGGGCAAAAAGAGCCCGTCGACGATCTTCCGCTGGCCGATCGGGGCGGCGAGCTTGATCGTGATCGGGACGAAGGGGTTGCCTGGACACCTCCCGCCACACCCCGCGATCACGCCCATCGCGACTCGAATTTCGGTGGCGGACTCGATCACCTCGGGCTTCAGCATGCGCTCGACGCCGCTCCTGCCGCTGGCGCAGGCCTTCTGCGTCACGAGCAGGTGCAGCGTAGTCGAGTCCGAGTCGGGCGGATTCCGCCGGTCGAATTGCATTTCCACCTCGCCGATGAAGTCGGGGAGGACGAGGCGTACCTCTTGAGCATCCCCGCAGTCGCCGGTATACTTTGAATCCGGGACGCGTTCGTCGTCGTCGCACTCCACGAGCGGGTTAGCGCCGGCGTCGGCCATCGGAGCGAACCGGTCGTCGACCGTCGGCAGCCGGATTGAGCCGTCCCACAGGGGCCCCTCGACGCAGACCATTCCGTGGAACTCGTCGTCGAGCGCGTCGGCCATTGCGGATATCTCCTCGACGGTGGGGTGGCCAGGGCACGTAATATCGATCTGGACGCGATTGCTCCCCCCTACATACCAGCCGGCCATTAATGTATCATCGTTTTTCCTCTCGAAGAACTGCCTCATCATTGAACTCACCCTCTGCTGGGCTTCAGTGAGCTCAGCATGGCTGTATGAGGTCGGAACAATGTCCTGGCAGAGGTCGAGCGGCAGTCCTGGGGACGTCACGGCATCGCGCCGATGCGGTCGGAGTCGAGGGAGTCCCCTTTTTGGAGTGGCGCCTTGAGCCAGGCGCCTTCGCCGGACCGCGTCGTCGCGGCGAGTCGACGCGTCATCGAGCTCACGCCTCGATCCCCTCCGCAGACGCATGAACTCGAGGGGCTCCGGGGGCACTATGAGCCCGTCGACGATCTTCCGCCGGCCGATCGGGGCGGCGAGTTCAATCTTGATCGGGTCGAGCGGGTGGCCTGGACACGCCACCGCGCCATCCGGCGGGATCACGCCCATGGCGATGCGGATCTCGGTGGCGGACTCGATCACCTCGGGCTTCGGCATGCGCTCGACGCCGCTCCTGCCGCTGCCGCAACCGCTCTGCCTCACGAGCAGGTGCAGGGTGGTGGAATCCGGGTCGGGCGGGTTCGTCCTGTCGAGGCGCATTTCCACCGTTCTGAGGCCTTTGGGGAGGGCGAGGCGTAACCCCTGCCTCCCGCCATAGCCGTCGGAATTGCGGAGCCACACCCCGACCGGCTTCGAATCGGCGTCGACGGCGTCGGCCATCGGAGCGAACCGGGCCAGCAACCGGTCCTCAAGCGTCGGCACCCGTATCGACGGGCGCCCCCAGAGACAGACCTTTCCGTGGGCCTCGTCGTCGAGCGCGTTGGCCATCGCGGCCATATCTTCGAAGGTGTATCCTGACAGGCTGATTTCGACGCGACTGCGCTGCGGGTCGGAAGCGTAGGCATAGCTCTTCAAATTTGGGCGACCGCGCAACTTTTCGAACATTTTGTCGACCTTCTTCTCGGCGGCCTTGAGCTCTGAGTGGGTGTGGGGGGCCCGAACGACGTCGACGGGCCAGTCACCGGTCTCCGGCGGCCGCCGCCGGCGGATCGCCTCGAGGTGGGGCTTCGGGTTGTCCGTGAACGCGAGCACGAACGTGCCGCCCGCGTCGCGGGAGTACCACTCACCCGCATACGTGTCTAATCCTGCCGCCACCGGGCCCGGCTCCTTTTCGTCGTCGTCGTCGTCTTCGTCGCCCGGGCGGTGCTCGTTTTTATACGTCCTGAGGAAGTCCATGAGCTGCTCCGGCGCATTACCTCGCCTTGGCGGCTGGGCGAGCACCCTCGTGTCGATCTCCTCGATGTCCTCGCAGAGCGGCAATTCCGCGGTCGGGTCGAAAGCCGCACGAGGCCGCACGAGGCTGACGATGGATGCCGTCGCTACCGCCGCGGCTGCGAGGAGTTTGATGACGGAGCGCGTTGATCGGCGTCGACGCATGGTGATAACGTTTCAGTGTGCTCAGCAACAAGTGCTGGTGCAAATATTTACCAGGAAGAGAAGAGACAAATTGATTGAGTTCAGGCGTCGTACTCTCGTCGAGAGATGGCTGGCGCGATCACCTTACATAAAGCGAACAATCAACAATGTCAAGGCGACGGGGAGCGCTTTTGACAAGTGTATGCCGTGAATGCTTGCCTTGCTAGTGTCTTACTGACCGCTAGCTACGCATCGAATTTGCAGTTTCGCGCCGAGATCTGTGCCGCAAGCGCTCCTCAGACGCTGGCGAGCAGGTTTCATCACCTTATCAATCACACGAAGCGGTCTGGACGAAGAAAAGCTGCGGCACGGGGCTAGATCAGGAGCAGCCACAAAGCTGCCAAAGACGGATGGAAGCGCGCTTCCTCGAAGCCGAGCCCCAGTCGCCGAAAGAAGAAGAAACGACATCCATCGAGGCGCGCGTCGAGCGCTACGCCGTCAACGGCACGGTCGCGACGTTCGTCGTCCGGGCGTCGAGCGGTCCGACCGAAAGAACGTTGGGCGTGACCTACGAGCAGTGCCGGCGGTTGCACGAGCGGTTGCGGGATGATGGTGGTGTTTTATATGCGGCGAGGGATCGCTTCCCGAAGCAGATTCGGGGTCAAAGATTAGGCTTGCGGCCGACGCCAAGACAAGCTTCAGACCAGTCCCAACAGCTGGACGCGTGGCTCCAGTTGTTGACAAGAAGGACGGATGACCTCCCTCTAGCCTGCCAGAAGGCCGTGAGGAGTTTCCTCGAGCTCGACAAAAAGGGCCCCTGGACCACAGCTGATAGAGCTCCTGTACAAAGGGGCCTCTTCAATAGAGATTCGGTCACGTCGCAACGACGGGTGTATCCTCTGGGCGACCCGCAGTCGCTGCCGGTGTGGAAATCAACCAGGCGTGGCCGCGCTGGTTCCGTCGAGCGGTGAGCAGGTGTCGCGTCGATGGCGTGGAGGTCGACGCGGTGATCCAGGAGGAAGGCGCCGTAACGCCGTCGCGGCGATGGCGTCGCGGCGATGGCGTCGCGGCGACGTGATCTCATGAGGCGAGACAACGTAAAATTTGATGTCCACGCAGGTCGCTGCCCGGCGTCACGCGGCGAGGCCGCCTGGACTGTTTAAGGAACGGCGCGTGGGTCCCCGCGCACGTGTTACTCACACATTTATCCTTGCTGGTGTTCGACCCCGTGAACGAAAGTGACGGGCGGTTACTGCACCACGTCCACGTCACGGACATCCTCTCTATCCTCAGACACGGCGAGGCCGGGGTGGACGCGCCACCCTTACATCATCGGTGCTTTGCTTTAGGAGGTTTGGATGCGTCGAAGACTGTAGAACTCAGAGCGTCTTCCGCAAGGGAGTGCCTCGCGTGGTTACGAGCCGTGGCTCGCGCGCGCGATCGGGCTCTGCGGGCCGTGGCTCGGCTCGACGCGCGAGCGCGGGGCCACGACCTCTGTTTAGCTACCCTAGTGGATGCGAGGAACAAGGAGACGTTGCTGTCAAGGGAGACGGACGCCTACGGCTGGAGAAGGCCGTTACGAGTCGACTGTCGCTCGATGAAAGCGAGATTGGATCTGCGGTGCGGCCGTCGACCTGGATGTTGGGGATTTGGTGCGAAGAGCCCACCACGACCATAGGAGGGGGCTCGGCGCGCCGTCGTCGGCGGAACACGCCATCGCCGCGGCAAAAGTGTCGAGAAGCGCCTTCTGGGCGTCGGTCGAGACCGAAGAGCAAGAGGACACGGACGACTCGAATTTGGAGGTGCTGGTGGCCGTCGACGCTTCTGTTCTACTGGAGGCGTCCAAGAACGACGACGGCGCCGCCGTGCCGCGCTGGGCCGCTGTGCTCGCTCGAAGTGCCTCCGATTTGGTAAAGGAGCCCGCGCGCGGCCTCGCGTCGCTTCTCGAACCTTACGTCGGCCGGCCCGCCGCCGAATCGATCGCATCGATGGCGTCGGTGCTGCTTCTGGTGCATTTGATACGGCGCTACTTCCTCGGAAGGAGTCTGATGTTAGTGAAGGAACACGGCGCCTACCACCTCAAGGCGTCGCTCGGGTCGTTGCTGGGTCTCGCATTTCTAGTATTCATCGTCTTCGCGTTGGCCGCGGCCGCGGCGGAGGTCGACGACGAGGAGCCCTGTTCAGCTTTACGCTACGCGCGGAGCAAGGGCGGCTGCGTCGACGTCCGCTTGGTGGACTGGCGCTGGCGCCAGTCCGACGTAAGTGATGAAGAAGAAGACAAGCCGGAGAGCGAGGACGCGCGACTAGCGAGGGAGGCTTGTGCAAGGGCCTCCATCCCGCTACCGGCGGACGTACCTCGAAGATTCTTGTTGGCTGTGCGAGGCGATAAAGATGAAGCGCGGCGGCGCTGGGCCGAAACTACGGTATGGAGGCAACGGAACCATCCGAGGGAGGTCCAACTAAGGCCGCAGCCCCACTTCGAAGCTATTAAACGGCGACATATCCATTTCTTACATAAAAGGGACAGAAAAGGACACCTCTGCTCCTACGAAGTCATCGATAGACCGAATGCTACGTTCCGACAACTTATTGACGAGGGCGTTTCCATAGAAGATATCGTAGAACATATGCATTTCGTCGCGTGCTGGACCTACGCTACTTTGTTGGATGATGTGGACGAGGTTGGTCGAAGGCCGCTCGATCCCGGCGGGTACTTTCTGAAGATCATCGACTGCCGCAATGTGGGTCTCGGGGACTGTGGGGGGAGCTGCCTGAAGTACTTTAACTTGGTAGGTGCGGTGAACAGGCACTCGCCGGAGCGCGTGTGGCGGACCATCGTGATTAACGCGCCGGCGGCCTTTGGGGTGGTCTGGTCCATCGTGTCGCCTTTGCTGGAACCGCAGGTCCGCGCCAAGGTGACTGTGTTAAGGTCGGACTACGCTTCGACGTTGCGGGAGCTCGTCGACCCCCGGGACTTGCCTCGAGCGTTCGGGGGCGACGACGACTGCGAGGTCGGGGAGGCGCCCGAGGAGCTGGCTTTGAGAAAGTGGGTCGTCGAGAAGTGTTCGCAGGGGCTGGACGATGTTGATTCGTCGCCGTCGCTCGGCGAGGCGTCGGATTCCGGTGAGGGGTAATTGTGGTATCTAGTTATCCGTTATTTTCGCTTGCGGGTTTAGAGCTGTCATCAGCCCTTGTAGAGGGCACTCACGAGTCTTCCGCTTCAAACCAAGATATCGCCAGAATGGCCAATTGGCCAACTGGAAGAGCAGCCTGACGAAGGCTGCAGTTCCTGAAAGCCGGCCACTCCGGCATCTGCAAGCGCAGGAGAAGTTGCCATTCGTCCTTGTCTAGCGCTGCAGCGCGTACTCTCGCAGCGCTGCGCGAGTTACGGCGAGAGGACTGCAGTTGAGCGCACTCAGCTGGCAGCATAGCTGGCCTCCGCAACCGCGCGCAGCAAAAACGCCGTCGACGCGCAGTCCGCGCGACGCAGTGACCGCAGCCATGACGACGCGCAAGGCACCATCGTCGTCTCTACAGACCAACAAGCGTGCGCGCGCGGAGGCTGCGCCGCAACTATCACAAGAAACCAGCACGTCGCCAGTGCCCAACAAGCGCGCGCGCGTCGACGCGGCGCCGGAAGAGCCCAACAAGCGCGCGCGCGTCGACGCGGCTCTGCGATCGCAGCTCGAGGAGCACCGCTGCCCCATCACGCTCGAGCTTTTCGTCGACCCCGTCGTCGCGCCCGACGGCCGCCTCTACGAGCGAGAAGCGATCACGCGCTGGCTCGACACGACGAACCGCGTCGTCGTCGGCCGGTCGCCGGCGACCAACGACATGATGGTCGGCGAACTCATCCCGATCCACCCGGTGCGGTGCGCCATCGAGGCACTCGTAAAGGGCGGTTGCGTGGAACCGGAGGACGAGGCGCCCTGGCAGATGCGGCGCGGGCGGATGCTCGAGGCGCGCGGCGACCGCGCCGGCGCCGCGACGTGCTTCGAGCGCGCGCGCGCCCTCGGGTACGAGGACGACGCGCTTTTGCTCCTGAGGGAGGCGGCCGCGGCGTGCCCCGACGCGAAGCGGGCCCTGGCGGAGGCGGGCAAGGTCTGGCGCACGGCCGGCGGCCGCCTGTCGTGGGGGCCCGAATCGCGCCGATACGACCCGCGGCTCCTGGACGTCGTCGTGAGCGGCGAGCGCGACGTCGACGTCGACGCGGGCTGGCGCCTCGACGCGCGCGCGTCGTCGAAGAGCGCTCTAGTGTGGAGGCGGGAGGGCGAGACGGTCTGGTGGGTGCGGGCGCGGCGCCCGGCGGCGTAAGAACGTTGTGTTTATGATTTTCTTGCCTCCACGCCGTGATGTCGCTGCGCTGGCCGGCCCTCATTAGGACTGCGTCTCACAACAAACAATTACTCAGCAAAAAGGACCGACGGGTCGACGCCGGCCTCGCCCAGCGCCGCGTACCACTCCGCGAATTTCGAATTGGAGGGGTCGTACTTCGACCAGGGTTTTTTGTTGCCCGTGAAGTGGTAATACGCTAATGGTGGAGGCGCCTCCTTGCGGACGAAGGGGCAGGGGAACGCCGCCCAGACCTTTTGCGAGAGGTCCGAGCCGTCGCCCATCGTAGAAACGACGACCTCCCTCGATAATGAATAACGGACCACTTGCGACGGGTAGAAGAGCACCAGATCCCGCGCAAAAAACCTAAAGTAGGCGTACATGTGGCCCTGGTTGCCCCGGGCGTCGAAGAAGTCCCAGCCGGTGTTCATTTCTCTCCCAAGAGCGTTCGTCCAGGCCGGCATCGGCACGCCCCAGCCTTTCGAGATGTCCCACTGCCGCGGCCGGCGCATGCCGCGGTACCAGAGCAGGTCCGTCATGCGCTTGAAGGTCTCGCAGTCCGGTGTCAGCGAGAACCAGCCCGCGTTTAAGACACTATCCTTGCCCGGGCAGCCGACAAATGGAGATGCTATCGGCAGGTCGAACAGCGCGTCCATATTTACGAGCGGCAGGACGTCCGCATCCAAGACTTGTATTCGGCGGTACTCCGTGTGCTGCCAGGCCCACAATTTGTAGTGGCCCATGTGGAAGCCTCTTATTCTAGGTTTTGGAACGTAGCGGTACCGCACACCGGCCTTTCGGAGCATGGCTTCCTCCCCAGGAAGCATGCGATGGTGTTCCTTGTCTTCTTCCAGAGCTAGGAGCGCGAGGACGTCCGCGCGCGATCCGCGTTTGTGCAAAGCGGCCTTCAGCGCTAAGATAGGATATACCCACTTGGAATACTTCCGCTCCTCGGAGATGGGACCCAACACCACGGCGTAGGCGTTCGTCGACGCGTTTTTGCCGTTGATGACGCAGCGGAAGGACTTGTCCCAGATCGGAGATCTGGGGGGCGGCCGGTCCCTCTTACTGCTTTGCAGCGAGGCCTGCCAGGCGTCGCGCGCGCCGGCGGTCGCTGTTGCGACGACTGCCGCTAGGACGGTGCAGCGCAGCATCTGTGCACACGCTGAATCCAGCAGCTCTTGCACCAGTGCTCGAAAACTGATGAGTACCGAAGAAATGCTTGTCCTGCAACGCAGCACAGCGTGTTGGCCAATGAGGCAGCCAAAAAAAAAATCACCAGCCAAAAAGCGGAGCTAGCGGCAGTAAGACACTAGGAATATTTTAACTTTTACATGAGGGAGAGGTGGGAGGGAGGGGTCGGGAGGGTTGGTGGGTCTGGTCGACGGCCGCGAAGGCCGGCGGGGACGACGGATTTGTTTTCGACGTCTAGCGTTCCATAACGTCCATCGCGAACGGCGTGGCGACGCTGTCCGGCAACTTGTCGACGACGTCGAGCGACTCGAGGGACGCGACCGCCGACACGCTGCCGGGCTGCGCCTCGACGACGAAGACCTCCTCTTTCCCGTCCATCACCTCGATCGCGGGCGGCGCGCCGCCGGGCGCGCGGTGGTACGGCCAGTGCGCGTTCGTGCGCACGCAGATACCGCAGTGCTGCGGGGGACGTCGCGTGAGCGGCGAGTCGCGGGAGCGATGGACGCCGGGCCCCGACGGGGTGGCACGCGAAAAAGCAGAGGGCGCACGTCAGCGGGACCTCCTCGTCGCACGGACACGCGATGTTATTCACGACGCAACAGCACTGGCCCTGGTGCTTGATGCACGTCGACGGACACTTACAGCCGAGCGCGCAACAACACAGACCGCACTGGCAGCAGACCTCCTTGTCGACGAACGACTCGCAACACGTGAGCGGCGGCACGCCGGCCTTGAAACAGCAACGCTTGACGCAGCAGCAGAGCTCGCCCTTGCAGGACGCCCCGCAGCACCTGCGGCGTTTCTTTGTCGCGACGGCGGCGACGCCGCGACGCGTCGACGGCGTCGGGGCCTCAGCGTCGCGGCGCGCGCCAGTGCATTTGCCGCGATGCGTCATGGCCGACGTCGTCGCCGCGGAACTGACTTCGGACGCGGCCGCGAGACTCAGGAAAATCCGCGTAGAGCGAGGCGTTGCAGCAAAGACAGCCATTGATTAGGATCAGGCTCGATTCGTTCACGACCTGTACCCAGCCGCCCATTGTTCAGAAATCGAGTTCAGGGTCTCGGAGTCGTCGGCTTTCAGTTACTTAAGACTCTCCTAGGGATTCCGGCTCCGAGCGCTGTTTTTCACCGCATTCAGACTCAATCGACGCGTTCTCGTGCGGGTATTGGCGATCAACAGTCGCACGATCGAGTAGAGCGGCTGAATGCAAGCAGCACTGATGCCAGCCCTACTTTCTTCGGTTGAGGCGAAGGCGCGTGTCGGGCACAACGATGACGCCGCGGCGGCCGCGGCCGGCACTTACTACGTGCGGTCGCGGGCATGGAGGGTGGGCGTACAGAGACCAGGAGCCACTGCGAGCCGCAATCCCCTGCACCGGCTTGACAAATCGTTAACGCTAGCGGTAAGACACTAGCAAAAGCTCCACTAAGTCTTTGCAGCGGTACAGCTTGCAATTGGTGCTAACGCGGCCGCTCTGCAAGACTACAACTCATAACGACCGCTGCTGCGAGCATCGATCAACCGTCGCTGCAGAGAGCACCGCTGGCTGGGTAGCTCACACAGAGAGCGTCGCTCTCAGAGACGTCGTCGCGGTGCGCAAAACAAAACAAATGGCCGCCCAGGCCGAAGCACTAGCAGAACTCGAAGCAAAACACGAGGAGGAGTGGAGAGAATTCAGAGAGCGAGCAGAAACGCAGCGGCAAGGAGCCTCGAAAAAAAAACTCAAGCAGATCGAGTTCGCGCTGCAGCAGGAGGAGTCCGATTTGCGGTATAGGCACCACGAGGAGTTGGAGGACCTTGAGGGCGGCGACGACGCGGCCACAGTGGAAGAACCGGTTGTGGTGGAAGACGCGGCCGCGAAGCGGCGCGAGGAGGAGGAGAGGCAGAGGGCGAAGAAACTTGCGAAAGCGGCGAAGAAGAAGTCTAAGAGAGAAGCGAGGGCCAAGACTGACAGCGCCAAGGCCCAAGCGGACGCCATCGAGGCCGAGGAGGTCCGACGGAATTCCGAGAGAAAAAAAGAATGCGAGGCCATTTCCAAAAAACTCGTGGAAATCAATCGTAAAATAAAGGACGTGGCCGCCGACGGCCACTGCTTGTACCGCGCCGTCGCGGACCAGAGCGGGTCGACCTATACATCAATAAGGGAGACTTGCGCTTCTTTCATGGAGTCCCACGAAAGTGACTTCGCGCCGTTTATTGAGGATGCGAGCTTCGGAGACCACTGCGCTAAGGTAAGGAGCAGCGCCGAGTGGGGCGGCCAGCCCGAGGTCCTGGCGCTCGCGCGGGCTCTGAATAGGCCGATCGTCGTCTATTCTCGGGATAGCGCGCCGCTGCGCATGGGGGACGGTGAAGGTGAGGAGCTCGTCGTGACCTACCACCGGGACTACTACGCGCTCGGCGAGCACTACAACTCGACGGAGCCGCTTAGGCCGTAAGAGGAGACTGTGTGTAACGTGTGCCACTGGCATTGCTGGCACTGCGCGTCGATGGCGTATGGGGGAACAGCCAGAGCGCTTGTAACAGATAGAAAACTTACTAGTCCTCCGCCACGAGCGGCCCGGCCCGCACGAACCCGAAGAACGCGATCACTTCCGATAAATAAATCGCCGCCGTGAGCGCAAACACCGCTTTGAAGGAGCCCGTCGCGTCCAGGACCCGTCCCGTGGCCACGTTCGCGACAATGCCCACCAACACGCCCACGGTATTGGTAAACCCAAGGATCCGCCCTGAAGCGGTCGGAGCGACGTCGGTCACATGGGCGTGCAAACCAGCCGAGGAAAAGGAGTGGGCCCCGAGAGCGGTCACTAACAGTACAAGAGCCGTCGCTGGGCTCTTGACGTAGGACAGCGCGAGTAACGCGCACGCGGGCACGATCGACGACAGCGCGACCATCCGCTTGCGCACCTCGAACGGAGCCATCCGCCGTAACAGAGCGGCCGATGCTTGGCCGGACACTAACGACCCGAGGGCCATCGTCGCGAAAGGTAGCGCCGAGAACAACGCTGATGATTTCATGTCGAGCCCGAGCTCTGTTGCAAAGTAAGTGGGCAGCCACGCCTGCATCACGAAGAAGCTCCAGTTGATGCAGTTGTGGACGTGGGTTAAAGCTGCAAGTTGGAATGGGAAGCTTTTTGTGAATTTTATTGGTTTTTTTGTCGTTTGTATGGTTGTGGTTTGTTCTGTGGTCTGCGTCAGCGCGTATAGAGCCACGACAGCGCCTAAACCACCGGCCACGACCGACAGCGTCCGCCAGCCGAGCAACGTTAATAGAGCCGCGGCGGAGAGTAACCCGGCGGCCGAGCCCACGTTGAAGCCGCACAGGACGGTCGCGATGCCCTTTGCTCGTGAGTCGGCGTCCGGCTGGGAACTCACGACGGCCAGAGAGGCGGGCAACGCCGGGCCCGAGGCGACGCCGAAGCCGAACCGGCACAGGGCCAACGCCGCCACGCCCAGCGACGCGGCGGCGGGCGTCAACGCTACTAAAGAGGACCACACTACTAAACAAAGAGCGAGCACTTTGGCGCCGCCCACTCTATCCGCAGCAGCGCCGCCCGCGGCGTTCGTCAACCCATAACCCGCTAAATAGGCAGCTTGAAGCGCGCCGACGGTCCGGGCGTCGAAGCCGAGCGACGCCTGGAGCTCCGGCATCGCGGCACTAAATACCGTGCGGTGCGCGCTGACCAGTAACATGGCCGACGCGGCGAAGGCGACGCCGCCGCCGTTGGTGCTGCTGCCGCCGCGCGCGACGGGTTCGGCGCGGAGTCTTGGTGATTGGCGCCGCCTTGCTGGAGGCATGGAGAGGGCCGTGGCGACCGTGAGCGTGCTGAGCGTTGCGAAACGCATCGATGCGTTGTATGAAGAGCCCGCGGTGCGCCTTGCAAAGCAGTACCCGCGGTTTGAGCGCGCGCAGGTCTGGCTGTGAGCTGAGAAATGGCAAAGTCTAAAACGGGTTTCAAAAGTCGTGTGGGCGGAGGTACAGCTCACGTCGCGGTGGCCTCACGAGCACGAATCTCCCGAGAAACCGCGGCGGGCGTGGCGAAGGGAGCCACGCGGGCAGCAGGAGGGGCAGCCCTCAATTGGAGCCGCCGCAGCACCTACGAGCCGTCGCCGACACAAACACACCCGCCGGAAACACAGAAACGAGGCGTCGCCCCGAGCAGATTCGGGCCCGCATCTCGGAGCTGTGACGGCGAGGGCGACAGTGCATACTTTCAAAAGCAACAACCATGGCGCGCAGCCTAGGCGCCTCGATGGCGCGCGGTCTTGGCATCCTGCTCATCATGATGACGCTCAGCGAGATCGCGGCGACGCGCGCGGCGCCGCGTCCCGCAACACAAAGGGCTGCTCCATCCCCATGGAGACGTCACCGCGCGCCCCCGCCTCCCGCCCACGACTCGCGCCCGTGTCGTCGGTGGGCCGCGGCGACCGCGTGAAAAGAGGGGGGCAGCGTCGCCGCGGCGCGCCCGATCCACACGCACGCGACACGCGACACGCACACGAAACAACCGCGATCGACGCAGGCTCGGAGTTCAACGAAGACGACTGGACCTTTTACATCGTTGCTGCCGGTATTTGTGCGTTCTTCGCGGCCTTTGGCATTGGTGCCAATGATGTCGCGAACGCCTACGCCACGTCCGTTGGCTCCAAAGCGATTACCGTCCGCCAAGCGGTCATGCTCGCGGCGGTCTTCGAGTTCGCCGGAGCTGTCCTCATGGGTAGTAATGTAGCCAAGACGATCCGCAAAGGTATTGCGGACGCGGGCTGCTTCGAGGACAATCCCGGCCTGATGATCTACGGCATGACCTGCGTCATTATTTCTGTCGCGATCTGGCTCATCCTAGCTTCCTATTTTGAATTACCAGTATCAACAACTCATAGTTGCGTCGGCGGCGTCATCGGCATGGCCCTCATGACGCGAGGTTCGAGATGCGTCATCTGGAACTACACGAGAAACGACTATGGCAACGGCACGACGAACATGGCGTTTGAAAATTTCCCCTGGCTCGACGGCGTCGCCGAGATCGTCGCGAGTTGGTTCCTCTCGCCGATCGCTTCTGGTATTTGTGCGGCCATACTGTATGGAATTGTGAAGTTCGCGGTTATGAGGGGCGACGCGTACGATCTCGGCGTCCCGCGGTGCGGCGGTGCCTTCACGCCATCGACGCGACTCGTGTCCATCAGACGAGGTCGTGGGTGGTTTCTTTTTCGAGTTTGAGGCCGTTCGGACCGAGTCGACCCACGATGCTCCGCGCAGGTACTTCCGGTGCAAGATCTTCTTCCCTCTTATTGTGTTGGTCGTCGTGTGGATTAATGTGTCGTATTGGATCCTGAAGGGCACGAAGGGGCAATGTGAAAGATTTAGAACCTGCCGACTCACGAGGGAGGCCAAGGCCGGCAATTTGTGGCCCGCTCTTTTAGTTGGTTTATATCCGTCCATCGCCGCCGGCGTCGTCGCCGGCGCCATGGTGCCGACCCTCTCAAAGAGGATCGACAGCGGCGACGTCGTCGGCGCGAACCGCGCGCTCGCGGAACGGGCCGCCGCGGGCGTCCGGAAGGAAGCCGCCGACGAGGAGAACACGCGGGACGCGGAGCCCGCGCAGAAGGAGGAGAAGAAGAAGTCGGGCATGTCGTACATCACGGGCCAGCTCGACAGAGATACCCATAAAGACCTAGATACGGACGCGAAGGTGGCCGCGATTCACGACAACGTCACGCGCCACGACCCGCGGGCCGAGCAGTTCTTCAGGTACGTCCAGATCTTCACGGCTATTGTGGATTCCTTCTCGCACGGGGCGAACGACGTGGCCAACGCGATGGGCCCCTTCGCGGCCGCGTACGTGGCGTACAAGAAGGGGAAAGTCGTGAAGCAGGCCGAGATGGACCCGGGGACCATGCTCTGGATTTTGGCTTTGGGTGGCGTGGGTATTGTGGTCGGTTTGGCTACCTACGGCTACAAGATCATGAACGCCATGGGCGTGAAATTGATCGCCATTACGCCTTCTAGAGGGTCTTGTATCGAACTGGGTGCTGCTTTAGTGGTGATCTACGGCACGGGCCAGGGCTGGCCCCTCTCCACAACGCACTGCCAGATCGGCGCGACCGTCGCCGTCGGTTTATTTGAGGGCTGCCAGGGCGTCAACAAGGAATTATTCCTGCGGGCCTGCGGCGGCTGGGTCATGACGCTCGTCGTCGTGGGCTGCACGACGGCCATGTTGGTCGGGCCCTCGCCGCCGCCAAAGAACAGGCCGACCGGCCCCTGGGCGCGTAGCTAGCGGAGCGCCCCGCCCCACTATCCCCCAAGGCTGTAATAATTCATATCGCAATGGTTTCTTTGGAAATTTACACGGATCAACACGGAAAGACAAGCTTCATTTGGAGCCGAGCTTCGCGTTGATCATGGCGCGCAAGTCCTCGGCCGTCGCCGTCTTCGCCTTCTCGCGGTCCGCCAGCCGCTTGTTGTCGTCCTGTTCGCGGCGGCGGCGATCGCGGCCGCCTCTTTTTTCGTCGCCTCGGGGTCCGGGGGCGCCTCCTTCGGCGCCTCCTTCTTCGCGGGAGGCGCCTCCTTCGGCTTCTCCGGCGCCTTCGGCCGGTCGGCGAAGGACTGGGCGAGTCGCTTGTTGATGAGGGCCTGGATGTCGTCCTTCGTCGACGCCTTCTTCATCTCGCCGCGGGCCTCCTCCCTTAACTTAATGTCCTTCTTGGCCTGGGCGACGATGGCCATGGCCTCGGCTTTCACGGCGGCCTCGTCCTCGGGCTCGCCTGCGTTGCGTACGCACGTCGGTCGCGCGCGTCTCGGGTTATCGTCGAGCGGGGCGCTGCCTTGCCCGAACGTGTCGCCCGGCGGAAGCGGGCAGCGTCGGTTCGACAATCATGCATTTCGAAGGATTCGCGGGCGCTGCATTTGTACCAGGGGGCATGGTTGCTGCCATGGCGGCCATGGTGGTAGGCGTGCGCTGGTGCTTTTTTGGCTGGTGCCTGGCAGTCCCGTGTGGACCGTGGGCAAATGACTTCTGCTGCAAAGGTGCTGAAACGTCTGCAATAGGACGCTAAAGAGCTGCAATGATGGCGATACCGAGCTTTAGATAGAGGCACTAGGATTGCCAGGACGCATCCGTTGCACGGACGCTCAGGGGTCGTCGGGACGAAGACGAGATCGCAACGGGCGGGAGAGGACGTCCGACCCAGCAACAAAAAGCCTCTGACTTTGTGCTCATTGCATGCGGTGGACAGCCATAAAACCTCACAGCTGCAACACCGAGGCATCGCATAACTGCAGTGCATCAGGAATAACTCACGTGGCTCGGCGCGCAAGCAACAGCGTGCATCAACGCCGCTGATCATGGCACGTGTGCACATCGCACTTGTTGTCACGTCCGCGCTCGCGCTACGTGTGCCGCTGCGCACACCTATGCGACGAATACGCCAGTCACCGCTGCGCGCGACGAACGACTACCTCGCGAGCATCTCGGCGCCGGAGCCGCCAGCCGCCGCCAAGCCCCGAGCCCTCGACGAAAATTCAATCAGTGGCGACACCTTCCTGGGCGCCTTCTACAAGTTCACGCGACCACACACGATCCGAGGGACGATGCTCGCCGCGTTTGCGGGCGTCGTGAAAGCCATCGGGGACGCGGGCGGTTTACAAAAGTGCTGGTCCTGGGGCCTCGTCCCGAGGGCCTTAGCCGGTTTGATCGCGTTGTTGTGTGGCAACGCCTTCATTGTCGGTATTAACCAATTATATGATGTCGACGTCGATCAAATAAACAAGCCCTTTTTACCTATTGCGGCCGGTGAATTGTCACCCAAAAGAGCAAAACTTATACTGACGGCTTGTGCTTTAATAGGGCCATCCGTAGTCTTCGCTTTGTATCCGCCGCTCATCGTATCTTTATACTTATTCAGGCGTTTCATCGGAACGGCCTACTCCGTTCCGCCTTTTAGACTCAAGAGCCGAGGTCCCATTTTCGCCGGTTTAGCTATTGCGTGCTGTCGGGGCTTTCTGTTGAACTTCGGGGTCTACTACGCCGTGCTGGAGGCGCTCAAAGTGCCTTTTAAGTGGAGTCCTGGCGTGGCGTTTATGGCGCGATTTATGACGGCGTTTGCGGGCGTGATCGCCGTGACGAAGGACTTGCCGGATATTGCCGGGGATTTGGCGACGGGTGTGCCGACATTGGCCACAAAATTCGGGGTCGGGCGGGTGGCCGCGGGGGCGACGTTCGCGTTGTTGGTGAACTACGGAACAGCAATTGCCCAAGGGCTCTTCGGTCCTTTCAAGCGGTTACCGATGGTCGGCGGCCACGCGCTGCTGGCGGGCTTCTTGCTGCGGAACTACCGCCGCTATCGACAGGTGTGCAGAAGATCCGCGGGCACGCGGTAAGGGGCGCTACAAATCTGGGTAAAAATTCTACCTCGACCCCGCTTTTTACTGCTTCATCTAGGTCGTTGTCTTCGGGGTTTAACTTTAGGTTCTCGTTCCTTGTCTCCTTCGACGCTTCGTAACACTCGGGGCGACGGCGCAAGGAGGTGCCGCGCCCATGGCGCGGGGGGGCTCTACGCCCAGCAGCACGCCGTCGGCGCGTCATGAAGTAATGCGAAAGAAACTTACTTCGGTCGACACACAAAATCATGCAGTCTTCGCCTTCGCCCGCGCTCCAAGGGAAGCGCAAGAAAAAGCACAAAAAGTTGCCGCCGCCCCGACCGCAAAAGGCGCGCCGGGCCAGCCGAGCGGCGCCCCCCAGGCGAAGAGCCCACCTAAGACTTTCGAGGACGCCAACACACCCAGCGTGCCTAAGGACGAGAACGACGCCGCGAGCTCGCCGCGCGGTGGTGTCGAGGAAGGGTGATAATCCAGCGCGAGCTGCTGGATGATCGAATCGGCGCCGAAGCCCGGCGAGCCCAGGGCCAATCCTACAAGCATGACCCCGGGATGCGTGTAGTACGACCATATGACCCTTTGTAGGGTGCTACACGCGTAGCCCAGTCTCAGAGCGCCGGCCGCGCCAAATTTCTTGACCAGGGGTCCTACAAGTAGAGCCTGGGACGCCGCGAACGTCGCTCCAACCACGGTCATCGTGAGAGCGAGTCCCTTCGGCCCGGCCCCCCAAATATCGACCATGAACGGCGAGTAGACCGCCGACTCGCCGCGACACAGCGCTTGGCATAATGACGCGCAGGCGAGATACCGCAACGGCGCGCCTTCGCTGAAGAGTCGTAGCGGCGCGACGAACGGGTTCTTGACCTCCGTCTTCGTACGTGTTCCGGCGCCGGCCTCGGGCACCAACACCAATTGACCGAGCAACGCCAGCACGCCCCCGAGGATGGCGACGACGCCCGTGCCGCGCGGGCCGTATTTTGACGCTATTGTGGCGCCTAAAGCAGGCCCCAACAGCATGCCGACGCCCATCTGCATGCCGCCCAAGCGCGCCGCGGTCTTGGCGATTTTCGTCCGGTCGTGGGCGTACGCATCTGATATTGATGCACTGGTGGTGGTCATCGCGGCCACTGTGGCCACTTGCCTCAATAACCACGCGGACCAGAGCTGCAAGGGCCCGAGCAATCCTTCGTGGGCCGCGAGGACGGCACACGCCCCCAAGGCTTGCAGCAACGCACACGCGACGAGGATGGGCTTCCTTCCCAGTTTACCATCACCAATAGCGCCGCAGACCGGCCCTATGATTAACTGGATCGCGCTCCCGTAGAAAATCCAGTCGGCCTGGTACATGGCGACTCTGGCTTGGTCGCCGCCCAGCGCGCTTTTGAGGATGCCCGGTACCACAGGTGTCAAAACCATGCCGCTGACCGACCGCAGCAGTCCAATTGACAGTGCGCGTTTCGCCCAGTGCTCGGCGGCGGCGTCGGCGTCCATTTCTGTTGTTTTTGGGGGTTTGCACATGGTCTGCTGTTTCGCGCTGTCTTCGTGCGCAGTCACCACCTCACACTGCAGTGCAAGCTTGGTTTTTGGCTGTTCAGGCACCTGGACTGCGGATTTCTGCTCCACGCGGTCGATTACGTGCTAGGTGTACTTGCGTACGTCAACAACCAGCTCTACGGCAATTCCAAGCCCGCAGCCGCAAGTTGATTGCAAGTTAATCCCGCGTGGCTAGCGGGCTGTAAGGCACTAGCAATCGGCAATGCCTGCTCGACGCCTTCCGGGCTGCCCCAACAGAAAGCTGTCCTCGCGCGACGCCTACGCAACGCAAACAGTCACGTGTACGAGTCCGACGACGACCAATCGACGCCACCCCCGGACGCCGTTGACGCGCAACGGACGGAGACCGCGTATCAATAAACCATACTGTTAATAGACTCACGCGAGCGGGTACTTCGCCACGTCCCCGCTCATCGACACGCGGATGCCCTGCGTCTCCCCCAGGTCCATGTCGAGCAGCGCCGCCTTCGCGTCGTCGGACGCGCCCGCTGCTTGCGCTACTTTATAAGCGATCGCGTTCAGGAAGACGGCGTGGCCGAAGACGGCGAGGCCGCCGCCGTCGCCGGCGGGCACCGCGGCGGCGGCGAGCTCGGCGCAGACGGCGTCGCCGTACGCCTGGAAGGCGTCCTCGCCGCCCGCCGCCTCGAAGAAGACGCGCAGCGGCCCGTAGCCCATGGTCTCGAAGAGCGCCTCGCAGGTTTCGCTCATGCCCGCCGGGTGCACGCCGGCGACCATGCGTAAATATATAGAGCCCACCTTCTGCTCCTCGGTCTCGGTCCGGTCCGTCATGCGCATGGCCGTCTCGGACGCGCGGCGCGCCGGCGACGTGAGCGCCGCCCGCACGTCCAGCTCGCGGAACCAGGCCGCGGCCGCGCACTGGTCCTTGCCCTTCTGCGTGAGCACGCGCATCTGGTCGTCGATCTTCCAGTCGTGCGGCTTCTCCGCGCGCTTCGCGGCGCCCGCGTGCAGCGGCGCCGAGGACGCGTGCCGCACGAAGACCACGAAGTCCAGCTTGTGCTCCCGGCACTTCGCCACGAAGTCCTCGGCGGCGCCGGCGGGCATCGTGACGCTCTCCGCTTGGGCCCTGGCAAGGTTGCGGGCTGCCCCTCACCAAGGGAGCGTGTGCGCTCACAAAGGTCGCGGGCTGCCCCGCGCGCAGCGAAAGCCTAGTGCGTGTGCGCTCACAAAGGCCGCGCGCAGCAAACGTCGCGGCCCGTGAGTTTGGCTGGAGCGCGGCGCTCTCAGTCAGGTTCAGAGATGCGATTCGCTTTCTCGTCGTGCCAATGCGGGCATTTGTCGTCGAGCAAGTTGCCGAGAGGTAATAGTTCTAGGATGGGTGAGGCGTTTTGCATCTGCTTCTGCTCTCCGTGTTTTGCATCTGCTTCTGCTCTCCGTGTTGTTTTTGCTGTGTGGGCAGCCTCAATTTGCCTCCCTTGCCGCCAGCGCTAGCATTGCTACAAAATCGGACATACTGTGCACGCCTCGACGCCGCGGAAGCGCTTGTGGCACATCAACACGACAGACAAGGGGCTGCACCCCATCTCAATGCGTATCGTCCGCGCCCTCGCCGCCCTCGCGGCGCAGCCGCGCGGCACGCGGCGCCTGCTCACGGTCCGCTTCGCCTCGAACGTCGCGGACGCCGTGGTCCTCGCGGGCTTGGACGATCCTGTGATTCTCGACGTCCGCGACCCCGCGGAGGTCGCGGCCGGCAAGGGCGGCCCGCCGGCGTCGGTCCCGGGCGCCGTGCACGTCCCCCTCAATATCGACGGTGCCAGGCAGAGCGAGCGGCCGACGACGCAGGAGGAGTTCCTCGCGGCCGTCGCCGCGGCGGGCCTCGCCCTGCCCCGCGATCGGCCGGTCGTCACGCACTGCGGCTCGGGCGGCCGCGGCGGCAAGGCGGCCGGACTTCTACGCGACGCCGGCTACGACGCTTATAATGGAGGCGGGCCGGCGCACGTCGCGTCGGCGTTAAAGTTATCAAGTTAAACACAACTAGCGCCGCTTCCGCGGCGGCGGCGGCTCCGAGAACTGGCCCAGGATGAGGCAGAAGATGAGCGAGAAGGCGCCGTAGATGACCAGCAGGATGCCGACCGCGGACACGCCCGACGACTCGTAGACGTCCAGGCCGCTCACATCACTATTCGTGACGTACTCCTGGATCTCGGAGACACGTGATTTTGAGTCGCTCCTACCGACGGACCCGTAGGACATGACGTGTCTCGCTTCGCGCCCGTCGTCGTCCAGGCGCACCACTAATTGAAACGAGTAGCCCAACTTCCGCACCTGCTTCCGCCGCATGTTCTTCGGGTTCACCGCCCGGCCCCTCCTTACCCTGATAGCCTCGGCCCTGAGTAAATCCTTGCCCGGGAACGTGTGGACCACTCGATCTTCATCCTCCGTGAGGACTACGAGCTCACACAAATCCTCGCGATCCCTGGGGCACTTCAAATGTCTCAGATCCGTCGGCTGGCTGAGGAAGCGGATGCCCCACACAATCACCGCCAGTGAAATGACGAGCCACGCCCACGACCCGCCCGTCGCGCAACTTGGTAAACGCGGCGTGCGGAAGGAGGCCCTAGCTGGTCGCCCGCCGTAGTGGTGCATGGGAATCTCGCCGGACGAGCGCTGGCGGAACATGGTCTGCGGTGCCGCGGCGGCTGGCGCTGCCTCGCTCGAGTCAAGCGGGGCACAGCGGTGCGCGGCGGCGGCGGCGACGCGTGCAACGTCGGTTAGCGGTCTGGAAGGACCGGTGGCGCGTCTGAACGCGGCGCTTGCCTGCGCACAGTCGAGTTTGCTTGCTTTTGCGCCGATGGCGTTGCTAGCGTCTATAGATATACTAGCCTTCGCATTGGGCGCGGCTTTAGACAGCTCAAACTCGGCCACAAGTGGTCGTCGGACGCTCTACGCCGGGCATCGTAGTCTCGCCAGTGCACAGGCCATTGCCACCATCGCTTTCCACGTGCCGAGCCGCGCAAGCGTCAGCACCACTGCAGCTCTCACTTGCCAGCTCTCCGCCGCCTCGCTGCGGTCGGCGCCGTGCACCGCACAACTCTCAAATAACAAGATGGCCTACGACGCCATCCCGCAACAACCCACCGCCGAGACCCAGCCGCCGCGCAAGCGCCTACCTTTTGTTGACGGCTCGCGCGGGTTAGCGTCGCTCTGGATCGTGTGCCAGCACTTCTTACCGCACTCGAGCGACGGCCCGTTGGTAAAGAGCCTCTGGCGGAGCAACTGCGCCGTGGACTACTTCATCGTGCTGAGCGGTTTTGTGACGCACTGGGCGGCGCGGTAAATTCTCGCAATCGGCGAATCGTTGGCCTGACGCCAAGCGCTGGTACGGGCGGCGCTTCGGCCGCGTGCTCCTGGCGGTGTGGCTGGCCATGGGCGTGTCCGCTATCCTATTGTATCTGGGTGGGAACGGCGACCTGGACGCGATGCACCTGACGCTTTGTGCGTTTCTCGTAGAACCGTGGCGTTCTGTGTGGAAATCAAATGTCGGGCGCCCCACGCCATCGACGCGACTTGATTTCCACACAGGTGGCGGTCCCCGAACCGGTGGTGCCCCGACGGCCAGTCCTGGACGGTCGCGGCCCTTGCGCCGTCGTGGCTCCTCTATCCGGTGCTCTACGACCCGTTCCTCTACGAGCGACGGCATTTGATGGTCGTGGCGGTCGTCCTCGCAATCGTACCGTCTTTGATAGCGTTGCTATTCGTCTCCGGTGGCTTGAGAGCGGGCGCCTACTTCAACAATTCCGCCCACACGGCGCTCTACCTCTGGCCGCCGGCGCAGTTGGCGGATTTTCTGTTGGGTTGCGTCAGTGCCGAGCTCGCGGCTCGCTCGTCAAGAGAAAACACGGCTTGGCTCGCGGACGGCGCCGTCTTCATCATAACGCTCGCCGTGCTCCTCGTCCCGAACCCGCACTTGGACTACCGCGAGCACGGCGAGGTCCTGTACGACCACGGGCTAGCGCCGCTCTTCGCCGTATTTCTGTGGGCGGCGGCGCGCGACACGGCCGCAGCCTCGAAAGCATCAAAACTCTTTGCCCATCCCGCTTTGTCATCAATCGGCAAGTGCTCCTTCGAGGTCTACCTCTTCCAGTGGCCCGTCCACGCCGTCTTCTACGGCCTCGGCCTGCCCACGAGCGATCACGCGGAGAATTTCGTGGCCTTCGCGTTGACGCTGTATATGCTGGCGGCGCTGTACGAGGTCCACGTCGAGCGGCCTTATGTGCGGTGGCTGCGCGAGCGCTTCGCCGCGCCGCCATTACGGACGGCGTCGCAGTCGTCGCTCGCGGCGTTCTAGGCGTCGCCGTCCTGTATCTAAGCTAATCTGTTGTTACTTATACCTGGGCCGCCAGTCCGGGTGCTTGAGCGCATACAAAAGCTTCGTCCGCGCCCCGAGCGGCAGGAGCAGATCCTTCAGGTCTCCTGCTTCCAGACATATCAACGTTTCCATGTCCGCGGCCTCCTCGGCGAGGAGTAGCGGCAGGAAGTGCGACAGACCAAGCTCGTCCATGAGCCGCGCGACGTCGGGCGCGGCTTGGATGGCCGGCGGCCGTCTTGCCAACTCGGCGAGCTTGGCCTCGCGCTGCCGTCGTTCGGACACGGCCTGCTCGGCCCGTTGCCGCAGCGCGTGGAGGGGTGCCAGGTCGGCGCTGGCCGGCGGCTGCGGCGGCGCGGCGTGTCGCGGTGCCCGCACCGCGCCCGCCGGCGCCGCGTAGCGCTCGTAGGCCTTGCGCTGGCTCTGCTCCGCCGTGTAAGATTGCGCCGACATGGCGAGGGCGCGCTGCAGCTCGGCGTCCTCCGAGAGCGGCGCGGCGGCGGCGGTCCGGCGCGACTCCTCCATGGCCCGTCGCAGTAATTCGTCCTCGCTGCTGGGCGCGGCCGGCCGCGGCGGCGCCCCGTTTGTGGCCGCGGGCGTGGCTGCCTTGCGCTGCCGCTGTCGCCTCGGCGGCATGCTTTGAGTGGGGGTGCTGCCCCGCCGCGTATGGATGCTCGTGGGCGCTGCCCCAGCAACGAAGTCGCAGCAGACGTTCTCTGCGTCGCTTGCACGGCCACTGCGACGAGCCTAGAGGCTTTACGCGACGGATGCGGCCGGAAAAACCTGTGCCTAGTGTCTTACATACCGCTAGCTTGAGCGGTGCTCGAAAATCGGCGGGAATTGACCTCCAGCATCCACCGCTGAGCTCCAAATCGTGCCCGGTGCGAGGCCCCGAGAAGCCATAAAACGCCAGACCACGCAGCGCTGCCACCGAGCACCGCAACAAAGGGCTCTCACTTGCACCCGGTGCTTTCAGAGAACCAATTAAACACCGCCGACGCGCGGACGGCTGGCGGAGACCACCTGTGAGACACGCCGCCGCCGCAGCGTCACACGAAATCGACGGCACCATGCTCCGCGCGCTCAGCCCCCGCCGCAAGTTCTCGTTCGACTTAGCTTTACATAGATCGAAGGAGAAGAAGCGCAAGGATTCCCTGGACGATGCTGCTTTTGCCGCCATGGTCGACGAGACGCTCGGGTCTTCAGAAAGACCGGCGCGGTCGAAGTCTCGCGTGGCGCGCGCGGCGTCGTTCTTTCGGTCGAAGTCTCGCGAAAGAAGTGACTCCAAAGATTATTCATCATCAGCAAGGGCATCACGACCGTCGACGCGGGACACGTCCGCCCGAAGTTCTTGGTTGGCCATGAAGGAGGCGAGGGAGAAGGAACCTGCGAAGAAGAAAATGACGTATGCGGAGCGGCGGGAGGCCGAGAAGCGGGCGGGCAAACATAGGGAAAGAGGTCGTCGTTCTGCGCGTGGTGATGATGCGCCTCGCATCCGGGACTTGTCCCGAGACGCGGCGGCCCGTCTGGCGCAACAGCCTCCACCTCCAAGACGAGCTGTCAGTGCGCAGCCTCGACGTACACAGCCGCCCCCGGCACCTAGAAGGGCGCGGGACGACTCTCATCGAAGGGCGCTGCGGCCGCCGGCCGACGCGCCGTCGTGGCAACAATTAAAGGCGAGAGCGTTGGCCGCCGACGACGCGGCCATGGCGTCGTACATCGAGCGGGAGGGCGGCTTCACGAGCGTCGGTGGGCCCGCGTTCACGGACTGGTTTAGAGAAAGGTTTCCGGAAAATGACGTCTCGAGTGCCCCTGCGGCGCACAAGGCGCTCTGGACGGAGCGAGAACGGCAAGGTAGATTAGATGCGGCCGGCTTAACACCGGCGGAAGGCGAGTCGCGCGGCTACCTGGCGCGACTACGAGGTATACAAGCTCCGGAGTCGCCCAAGACGTTCAAGTCGGGCGCTTCACTTAGAAAGACGTCCGATGGGCGGGACGTGCATGTCGTCACTTGGAGGGTCGAACGCTGGTCCTCGTTGCCGGCCGGCTTCCGGCAAGGCGCTCGTTATAGACCGCCCGGGCCCGCGCCCTGGTCCCTCGACCTCTACAAGGGCGGTATCAAGAAGGAGCGGCCCGGATTTGTATCTTTATACGTGCACTACGCGGCGCCGTCGCCCGATTCCACGGCCAAGGTGGCTGCCTTAGAACTGTCATTATTACATCAGGACGGCGGCGCGCACCTAACGCGCCGCCACGAGGGGAAACGCGTCTTCGGCGCCAAGGCCGACTTGGTGAAGAAGATCTCGACATCAGCGGGCACGGCGGCGCTAGCGCACGTCGTCCTGACGCAGGTCGGCGCTTTTGGATTTGTGAAGGACTACGGTCGTGTTGCGGGCGGAGGTCGAAATGGCACCGGCAGCGCCATGGGTTTTAGCTGAATGTTGCTTATTGGGCTAGCCCTCTCGCACGGGACCCCGGCGTCACCGTGGCGTACCAGCCGCCGGTTTTGACCGGTCGGGCGCGGTGATGCGTCAGTTCGGGACGTCCAGTTTGGAGGAGGTACCGCAAGCGGCCGGCTCCAGGGCGTCGCGTCGACCAGCCCGGGGGAGAACCATAAGATACTTAGACGAGGCTCAGGCTCCCGTCCAGCACATAATCCCGCACGGGCCCGTAGCGCAGCGCGTGCGTGTCGCCCTTCGAGATGAACGCCGTCTCGCCACTACTATCGATCTGCACGTCCCCCAGGTCCTTGTTCGCCTTGATGAAGACGAAGCGGTCCAACGCCGGAGCTTTGGAAATAGCTTTGGCCAACACCTCGGGGCAGGCCTCGTCGCCGTCCTTGCGCTCGTCGCGGAAGGGTTCCGGTAGATCTTCGAGTAACGACGCGCGGTGGTGCTTTTCGATCAAATCCAAGTACTTGACGGCGTGCGTCTTTTCGGCGTCTGAGAGACGACCGTAGGCGTCGTCGTCCGCGATGATGTACCCGCACTGTCTTTCTAATTTACGTAGTCGACAGCGCACGTACGAACCAACCACAAAACGGCACCGCGCGAGCTCGCTCTCGTACAACGGCGCCGAAAACAAGCACTCGTCGACGTCGCCCCCTTGCTCGACCGTCGCCTTGACCATGGCCTCCTGCTGCTCCGCCGCATCTAATAAAGCATCTACTAAATCGCCGCGCCAGGGCAGCACTTCCGGGCAGGCCTGCTCCGACCGCCACGCGGTTAAGAGCTGCTCGTACGCCGGGTTCCGCCGCGGCGCGCCTTGATTAGTGCCGCCCATGTCCATGTCCATGCCGCCTTCATCATTGCCGAGGATGGCGTCGAGCTCGGCCATGGTGCTTGTGCTTGGCGCGTCTCTGGGCAATCTGTGGCGCGTTTCTTCGCGGTGGCCGCTGCGTGCGTGCTGTCAGGCCTTCTTGCGCTAGCAATGAGGTGCCAGGTGTCGATATTAGCCGCTTGCGCGCAGATGGCGCGCGATGTAAACCCGCGAGTTACCGGAAGCTTTTTGATTTTTAAACGGGTTTAGGTGGCCTACGCGCGCGCGTGACGATAACGCTGTGCTTTGGTCGGTTCGCTGCTCGCAAACGCGCCTGCGACAGCTCCGCTGTCAACGCCGCGGCATAGAGCACAACCCTGCAGCCACCTGAGACTCAGTGAGAGCAAAATCACCCCAGCTCAGCGCACAGCGATGGCCCTCACAACAAAGAGCGGCGCGCTCTGGCAGATGAGCCGCGCGGAAAAAGAAGAGGGCTGGACCGACGAGGGCCACGCCTTCGTCGGCCGCGAGGTCGTGCGCAGCACGTCGGCGACGGCGCAGTCCGTCGGCACGATCTACTGCTGGCTGCCGCCCACCGTCGAGGACTGCTACGAGGACGAGGACGGCAAGCCCGCGCCGTTATTTAAGGTGCGGTTTTTGGTGGGGGAATTAGATGGCGACGTTGAGGACCTCGACATCCGGCAGGTCGTCGAGTCGCTCGTCACGGAGAGCGTCCTGCGGCCTCCGGCGCCAGCTCCGAAGCCGACGGCGAAGCCGAAGGCGAAGAAGCGGCCGGTCCCAGTCCCATCCGATGAGGACGACGACGACTACGACGCCGCCGCGCCGGCGCCCGAGTCGTCCGAAGACGACGAAGCCTCTGATTATGAGGAGGCTCGCAAGCCCGCGGCGAAGAAGCGCAAGGCGGCCTCCCCGCCGAAGCCCGCGAAGAAGGCGCCGGCGAAGCGCAAATCCCCGGCGAAGCCCGCGGCGCCGAAGCCCGCGGCGCCGCCCGCGCCCGCGCCCAAGGTCAAGCCTGAGCCGGCGCCGGCGCCGGCGCCGAGGCCGAAGGCGCCCGCGAAGCCCTCGGGGCGCCCGGGCGCGGAGCGCGCGACGGCGCGGTACGCCTGGGAGCCGCTCTCGGCCAACCAGCTCGCCCTGGCCGCGGGCGACAACCTCGAGGTCTGGCCGACGAACGAGTCGTGGTGGTTTGCGCGGAACGCGCGGACCGGCGCCGAGGGCCGCGTGCTTAGCGGCCACGTGAAGGTCGGGCCCTGGCACGAGGACGAGGACGCGGGACGGGACGCGGCGCCGGCGCCCGTGCCGGCGCCCGCGCCCGTGCCCCCGCCGGCGCCGAAGGTGAAGGCCGAACCGGCGCCGGCGCCCGCGCCCGCGCCGAAAAAAAAGAAGAAATGCATCCTGGACACGTCCTCCGACGAGGACGAGGCGCCCGCGGCGCCCGCGGACGATTCGGACACGGACCTCGAGGAGGCCGGGAAGAAGGCCGAGGACGTCTTCGTCTGCCGGCCCGGGTCCGGCGCCGACACGGATGGCTCGGACACGGACCTCTCGGCCGCGGCGCCCGCGCCCGCGGCGGACGACTCGGACACGGACCTGTCGACGTGAGTTTAAGATATGTGATTTATACAGGGTTCGAGGAGCGACGCGAAAGCGAGCGAAGGTTCTTCAGAGCCGGTTCTTGCCGTGGAACACGCCCAGCTTGAGCATAGGTAGGATGAAGAGGTAGTAGGGCAGGTCCAGGCCCGGCCTTTGGAACGCCTTCGGGTGCTGGTGGTGCCACCGGTGGTACGCCTCGCCCATCAAGTTTGATAATGGATCTAACGGAATGTCGCGAGCCTGGCAGGCCCCGGGGAACCTGTCCTCCTCATGGTCCGGGGTGTGGAACGCGGCGTTGAAATACAGCGTGGCGAGCTGGCAGATGATGCTCGACCACGCGCTCACGAAGAGGGCCCACTGGATGCCTCCGTACCGATAGAACGCGTAGTGCGCGGCCAGTACGACGCCGAAATGCAGGTTCTCCATGATCGCGAGCTCCGGAAACGCGAGTAAGTCCCGTACGAGTCGTCGGTCCGTCCCGGCGCCGAGCGCGCCCTCGTTCCCGGGGACGTAGACCCAGCCTATCCACGCCATGAAAAAGCCCTTGACGACGGGCGAGTGCGGGTCGTCGTCCGTGTCGCAGGCCGCGTGGTGCCGCCGGTGCATCGAGGCCCACCAGATGGGGGAGCCTTGGGACGCTAATGATCCTCCCAAGTAGAGTAAGAATTGGACGAATCGACTACACGTAAATCCTCTATGAGCGAAGTATCTATGTAAGCACGCCGACATGCCAATGATCTCCTTGAGCATATAAATGCCAAACATGTGGGGCATCACGCTCCAGCTAAAGTGCTGCCGGTAGTAGATCGATAGCAAAATAACCCCGGGCAGCTCCAGCAGAAACAGGGGGTTGAGCTCCAGGTGGTCGATGTCCTTGAACCAGTTGTGCTTCTGGAGCTTCTTGTTCAAAGTGTCCTCGACGCCGTTCGGGCTCGGGCTGCGCTTGCGCCTTCTTATGGTATCCGGGTGGTCGGCGCGCGGCGCCGTCGCGGTGGCCGTGGCGCTCATTGTACAGTCGTTGTGGCTCGTGCGGGCAACACTTGCTCCGGGAGTCGGGGTAGCAGCTCTTCTATGGTCCGGGCGTCGGGGCGGCAGCTGCTTCTCTGCTGAACCTTGGAACTGCTAGTTTCGGCAGCCGCTGCGAGCCTCGTCGCTGCCGGATTATGGGAGAGTGGGGCGACGGCGCGGTGCGGTACCTTTGAGACCGGTCGGGCAGGTTCTCGGGGCCTGAGCTGGACGTCGGGCGCTAAATAGCTTTGTCTGGTCAGCGGTTGTCCCTCTAGATAGTCCCACTAGCATCTTTATTTAGAGCGCGGCGTCGACGGGGCGTGGCTGCAACAGTCCTTGTATGCTCCACGACAGTTGCATTCTAGTGTCCTAGTGTCTTACAGCCGCTAGTCTTTATGCAAAGACAGCCGCGCGCGCGGCTCTACGCGCATCAGCAGACACCAGTGCTTACGCTGCTTGGTGCGAACAGCGCTCCGCTCCCGACACACAGCTTCGCCGCGACGCATAACTGCGTGCATCGCTGCCAGAAAACTACACTTGCCGCCACTCGCTGTGCAGACACAACTGCGCGCGCGTGTAAGACGCATAACTGCGCAAGCAACGATGCCGTCCCGCTCGCGCCGCCGCCGCAGCCGCAGCAAGAGCAAAGATAGGGACCGCGACCGCAAGCGGTCGCCTCGGGAGACGCCCGAGTCCCCCAAAAAGAAGGACGAGGCCCCGCCCATGCCGGCGGCGCCCGTGGGCCGCGGCCGCGGCGCGACGATGCCGGCCTGGATGACGCAGGGCGGCGCGGCGCCGGCCGGCGCGGGCGCGCCGCCGGCGCCGGCGCCGTTCGCGGGCGCGCCGCCCGGCGCGCCGCCGCCCTTCGGCCAGGCGCCGCCGCCCTTTGGGCAGGCCGTGCCGCCCTGGGGCGGCGCGCCGCCGCCCTTCGGCATGGTGCCCGGGGGTATGGGCGGCCCGCCGCCCTTCGGCGCCTTCCCGGCGCCGCCCTTCGGCGCGCCCCCCTACGGCGCGCCGCCCCAAGGGATGCCGTGGGCGCCGCCGGCGCCGGCGCCGCAGGTGCTCGCGGCGCTGCCGCCGGGCGCGGCGCCGCCGGCGATCGCGCCGGCCTTCCCGCCCGAGGGCCGGCCGGCCCCGGTAGTGCCGCCAGTTCCACCGCCGGCGCAACCGCCGGCCGTCGAGGCGCCGGAGCCGGAGCCCGCGCCACCGGAGCCCGAGCCGGAGCCCGAGCCCGTCGACCCCGAGGTGTTGAGGCGAGACCGCGAGCGGAAAAAGCGCCTGCAAGCGCCCATCACGCGCGCTCTTTTGAGTGATAACGCGCTCTTCGCCGAGGTGTCGCGGGCGCGCGGCGCCGCGGAGGTGGAGGAAGACGAGCTCCTGGCCGCGGACGACGACGGGGCCGCCGCTGATGTTGGTGAAGCGGCCGACGACGGCGACGACGACATGTACGGCGATTTGGGGGGAGGCGACGACGACATGTACGGCGACCTGGGCGGCGACGACGACGTTGCCGGGGACGCGCCGGCGGAGGAGGCAATTGATCAAAACGCCGCGGAGCTGCCCGTCGTCCAGGCCCTCGGCCAGCTCGAGGCGCACTCGTCGAGACCGCCGCGGCGCGCGGAGCTGGCCGGGCGCGCCGCGCACCGCGCGTACCTGCTCGAGGCCCTGACGTCGGGCGCGTAACTTGTCTCGTATCCAGCCAGGGAGGAGTATGCACGACTCGCGGGCGGCGGCGACAGCTGTGGCGACGTCTCCGGCGGGCCGAGTAGGGAGATGGCAGCGCCTCCTCCAGCAGAGCGCCCGTCTCGCAATCTGCGGCTCGCAATACGGGCGCATCGGTCGCGGGACGAGCACACCGACGGCGTACGCCTCGGCCTTGTGCGAAGGCGGCCGATCCAGGGCTGCCCCGGCTGCCGTAGAGACGCCACCATGTTGTTGGAGCACTTGGATGGGTATGAGGCTGCCCAGTGCATCGCCGCGGGCGGCGCGGTGCTCGCATTAGGCGCGGGCGGCTGCACTGCGTACGGCGTCGCCCTGGCCTTCGTCGTCTTTTTGTGGCTCGCGGAACTCGCGCTGCCGCACCACGCCGTCAAGGCGCGCATCCTGTCGCCGCGGGGCACGCCGCGGCCGTCGTCGCAACTGCGGAAGGTGCTCGCGGACGCCGAGGTGCCCGAGATCGAGGAGCAGCTGGCCGAGCTCGGCGCCAAGGCGCCGGGCGACGTCCAGTACCTCGACGACGCCGACATCGCGGACCTCCAGCTGTCGCCCGAGCAGGGCTCCCGCCTCAAGAGCGTCGCGGCGCAGGCGGCGGCGCAACCATAGGCTTACGTCTAACAACAACAAGCAACATTTACAATTCGCCGTGGTCGCGCGCCCAGTCCCAGCCCTTCTGGGCCTTGACGCGATGCCGCCCGAAGCGCCGCGGCTCGTCGATCTCGCACGAGACTAGCCGTCCGGGCGCGAGCGGGTGTGCAAGAGCGAGGCGGCGGCAGTAGAGGAAGAGGCCGATGCCTTGCGCTGGCCCCCATATAAGTGAAGTAGCCGAGGATAGGCGCGCCGAGCGCTCGCCGCAGTGGCGCCGCAGCTGGTGCCGCCGACCCGTGACGGGCTTGAGCGCGACGTCCGTGAGCACGCCGTCGACGGCGCAGGGCGTTTGACCGCGCGCCGTCACGACCGTGGTCGAGGCGAGGCCGTCGATGGGAGCATCGACGGTCCCCGACGCCACCGCGCCGACGACGAGCGCGCCGTACTCCTTGTCGACTTCGTTCTGCTCGAAGGCGCGGCCCAGCGCGACGTGCGCGGACCGCGTCTTCGCGCAAGCCACGGTCCGGCGACGCGTCAAGACGGTGCCGGGGCAGGGCGCCGGGAGCGCGCGTCGGCGGCCCGCGAGGGTTCCAAGACAAGCGGCAAGACGTCGTCGAGGCAGAGCTGTCGTCGCTTCAGCGTATTCCGCCAGCTCATCGCGTGGACTCCTGCTGGTTTCAAAACGACGGCCATCGCGTCGTCCTCGTAGAGCACCTGCAACGGTGGCGCGTGCCGAGTTTCGTCGCGGAGCGCGGCGAGGAGCCGTTCCCGCTTCGAGATCCAGGCGTCGCGTTTCTCTTCGTCGTCAGGTAGGAGCGTCCGCCGCTCCGGCGGCCTTGCGAGCGTCAGCACGTCTCCCGTTTTGACGATCCGTGCGCCCGACGACTTCTCGCCGTTGCATAGGAGTCGGGCAGCCCTGCACGCGAGATTGGCCGCGTTAGTGGTCACGAGGTCGTCGGCGAACGCGGCGGTTGCGTAGCGCCGCAGCCGCGCCTCGTCCGAATCTGGGACATGTGTGACGGTGTGCACCGCATCGGTGCGCGGTCTAGCCCACGCTTTGAATCTCGCCTCTGCAGCATTGCTGAGGGCTGCACCGATGCGGAGTTGCACTGCGATGAATGCATAAATCGCACGCATGGCGGCTGTGCGCAGCCTGTACCGCAGTGTGCAGCGTGTGCACCTGTAGGTACGACCTGTTCTGGCGCAGTTTCCAGCGCAGGTACCGAAGCGCAGAGATTAAGCACGCCTCTGATTTGCTTGTTTGAAGCTCATAGCCGCGCAATTGAGCCAGAGCTGCAAACGAATGCTTTTCTAGTGTCTTACAGACCGCTAGCGAAAAAAAAAGTCGCACGTACAGATAGTTCAAACACAGATACTACACGCTAGCGCCGAGCGGCGCCCGCCGCGTCGCGCCGAGGAGCGGGTGCGCGACGGCCGGCGCCGCGGCGGCGACGCCCTCCTCGAGAGTGAGCTCGACCTCGCCGCCCTGGAGCTCGTCCGGAGGCGCGTCGCAGGCCGATCCTAATTCCGCACAGGTTGGCTGCGCGTCGGGCGCCAGCAACGGCTCGCCCGTCGCGTCGACGGGGCCCTTCCAGCGCCGCCACGCGCTACAGTGGCTGCACGACACCCACCGGTCCGTCCCTTTGTTACGATGCGCGCTGCAGTAGAAGACGTTCGACGACTCGCCGTTGCCCTCGTCGACGCAGCCTCCAGATCTGAATAACGCACAGGGCGCGTGGAAGCTCCGCGGGCACTCCTTCACGCCACAACCCACCGTGGCGCCGCGCTTCCCGCAGGAGAAGCACTTGAGCAGGCGCCCGCGCCGCAACGCGCTCAGCCCGCGGAAGACGTGGCCGCCCGACCGCACGACCTCCGGCGCGAGCGCCAGGCAGGCCGCGTGGTGGAAGACACTTTTGGGACCGTCTTTCAGTGGCCTCGTGCACAAACCGCCGAGCGCCTTGGATTCAAGTAAGGATAACGACGGAGACAGGCAGAACGCGCACTTTTGACCCTCAATGGCGACCGCGTCGCCCCGTCGGTCGGGCTCGACGGCCTCGGGCGACGTAATTGATGCCTTCACTTCACAACTATTACAAGTCGTATCTTCGTTCAGCTCGCAGAACCAGTCGCCCTCAGGCAAAGGAGCGGGCCGCCCCGTCGTTTTATCTACGGTCTTCCAGGCCTGTGTGGAAACCAACAGTGAGTTAGGTTATCCTGAACCTCCACATCATCGAGCCGACGCGGCCACGGGGACAAAGTCGCGTTGATAGCTACGGAAAGCACGTCGCGTCGATGGCGTAAGACGCCCGAAATTTGATTTCCACACAGTCCCAGGCTCTCCATTTAAAACAGCGGTCGCACTGCACGGCGTCCGGCCAACTCGCGTGCTTCCGGCAGTGGAACGTCGTCTCGCCCTGCAACAGCCCGTGGGCCGCAGCACATCTCAAATGGAAGGACTTCGAGCAGCGCTTCTCGCCGCAGCCCACCGTCGCGCCGCGCTCGCCGCACGCGGCGCATTTCAACGACCGGCCCCGCTTGACCGCAGCCAACACGTTGTACAGGTCGCCCTCGCGCTCGCCGTGGACCTCGGCACTAAACAACGCGCACTGCGCGTGGACCCAGACCGGCTTCCCATCGTTCCCGCGGAAGGGCGGGAACAGCAAATCACCCTCGAGCGTGCCGTCGGCGTTCGGCGTGCCATGATGCTTCCCACAAAAGGCGCAGACATCTTTACTGGTTGCTGAGTCGGCTAAGTAGAGGCGTGGATCGGGCCGGTCGCCCTGGCGGACGGCCTCGGCCGTGTGGATTGGCAGCGCGGCCTCGGCCTGCGCCAGGGCCTTGCGCAGCTTTGACACCTCCTCCCTTAACATATCGCGCTCCGCGACGACGCGGCGGTGCTCCTCCAGAGAAACGACCTCGACGGCCTCCGACGCCTTGGGCTTCTTCCGCGCCGGCTCGTCCTTGCGGGCCAGCGTCGCGAGGTCCTCGACCTTCGCCACGCCCGGGTGCACGTAGGCGAGGTCCGCGCCCGTCTTCGCTCTTGAAAACCCGTAGTAGTTGAGCTGGCGCGCGAAGGACGGGAAGGTCGCCGTCCCGGTCTTGACCGTGAAGTACCGCGGCATGAGCTCGGCGCAGAGCCGCGCCTGGTCGCGGACGACGAGGCGGCCGTTTTCCCAAGTAATAACATTTGAATGGTGCGAGACCATCTCGAAGAGCTTCGCGGGGAACTTCGGGGTGCTGCCGAAGCCGCTCAGCCGCCGCTTCTTCCGCGCGGGCGGCGGCGGCGCCGGGGCGTCTCGGACGTCCTCCGTAGCCTCCTCGGCCGTCGGCGGCGCCCGCAGAGCGTCTCGGACGTAGCGGGGCACGCCTAGCGCCTCCATAGCCTCCTCGGTCGTCGGCGGCGCGGTCGGCGGCGCCTCATCGTCGCCGGGCGCGCCCAGCGCCTCCATGGCCTCCTCGGCCGTCGGCGGCGCTGGTCGGCGGCGCCTCATCGTCGCCGGGCGCGCCCAGCGCCGCGAGGGTCTCCTCGGCCGTCGGCGGCGCCTCGCTCGTCGGGCGGGCGGCGACGTGCTGCTCGAGCAGCTCGAGGATCGACGGCAGCGGGCCCGCGTCGGGCGCGCGCGGCGTCGTCCGCTGAAGCGTGGGCTTGGCGCGGGCCTTGGGCGGCGGCCCAAAGAGCTGCGGGCCGGGCGGCGGCGGCCGGTAGCCGGCCAGGTTCCTCAGGATGGCGTCCACGTCCTTCTGGGGCGCGGTCGAGGCGGCGGCTTCACACGAATTATGCGACCCAACCGGGAGGCGGATCGTCAGCTTGCGCTGCGGCGGCGGCGGCGGCGCCACGGTACTATCCTTCTGTGCGCATGGCTCTGCTTTGTGGGAGAGGTTCTGCAGGATGGAGTCCATTATTACTTGGCTTCTGTTTTGGCAGGAAGGCTTTGAATTCAGTGGCCTCCCGCCGCAGGCTGCGCGCCGGCAGCTTTTAACCCCCAAATAGTCTCCAGACCGGTATCTATCGGCGCTCTTTTGCGCGCTGCCCTCCTCGTGTGGCTGCCCCCTGTGTTTTTGCAGTGAAAAAACGGGTTTTTCCGCCGGCGGATCAACGGATGCCTCGCCGACGCGGGGCGCCCGAGGAGTAGACGCCTCGCAGACGCTTTAGCTGGCTTCGACCGCGAGAGCCCACAGCGCAGCGCTTTGCACAGCGCGAGAGCGCAGACGCATTGCAGCGCTAAGGCTGCCCCAGCGACGCACGATGCGCCGCGCGCCGGTCCGCATCCCGACCGCACCCCCGGCCGCCCGCCCGCGCAGCGCCCCGCCGCGCCGGCCGCCGGACGACGAGAGACTGGAGCGCATCAAGCACGTGTATGGGGTCTACGACGACGCCGTGCCGTCGACGCCGCCGCGCGCGCGGAGCCCGCCCAAGAGAATACAGCAGCAAGCCGAGCAGGACGTCGACGACGCCGATCAAAAGTACGTGGGCCGCGCCCGGCGACTCGTGCGGCGCGTCGTCGCCGCGCTGCATCAGGGCGAGGGGTCGCCGAACTACGGCATGATCTTCAAGCAACTCGACGTGTGCGGCCACGGCGGCATCCAGCGCCACAACCTCAAATCGCGGCTCCGGTCTTTACTGAGACCGGCGCCCAAGGACCGGCATATAGATCTGTTGTTCGACGCCCTCGACAGCGACGATAGTAATGAGGTCGTGACCCTCAAGGAGTTCGCCCAGTTCGCGCGGGCCGCCGAGCTGCCGGCCGACTTCCCGAAACCGAAGCCCAAGCTCGACAGAATCGTGAAACGGCCGAAGTCGGCGCCCGCGGTGCGACGAAGAATCCGGACCCTCTCCATCCAACAAAGCGAGCGCGCGGCGCACCCGGCGACGCGAAAGAAGGCCATCGAGCTGTTGCAAGCCCTGCACCGCACCGTCTCCACCACAGACGCGCAGCTACGCTTCACGTTTCCACATGAAACGCGGGACCGCCTCGTCTCGCGCCTCGGCGCGCCGCCGAACCAGCTGACGCCCGCGCGGCTCTGGCACAAGATCGCGAAGTTCGGTGTGGTGGACCGGGATGAATTAAGCCGGCGCGTGCGGGAGCTCCTTGGAAGCGACGTGTCTGATTCTGATGTCACGTGCCTCTACGAGTGCTGCGACCTGGAGCAGCGCGGCGTCGTCACGCTCCAGGACTTTGCGCACTTCGCGCGGCGCGTCGACTTAACGATATCACCGCCGCCGCCCCGGCGGCCGCTCCCCAGGAAGACCTTCGCCGAGACCGTGCCGGCGCGGCCGAGGCCGACGGAGGTCGTGGTAGCGCCGCGGCCAACGTCCGACAAGACGGACCGCATGGCGCGCGCCGCCGCCGAGGCGCTCTTCTACGCGCTGGCGTCGACGATCCAGCGCGAGTCGGAGCAGCACGAGAAGGTCAACTACGCGCGCATGTTCCGCAAGCTCGACGTGCACGGGCGCGGCCGCCTCGACCGGAATGAATTGAGGCACCAGATCGTCCGTTTACTCCCGTCTTCACCGGCGCGCTTCGCTACCGACGCGCTCTTCGACGCCTGCGACACGGACGGCACGGGCTTCGTCGAGCGCGCTGAATTCGCGACGTACGCCCGCGGTTTGGCTTTTGGGGTTGCGGCGCGCCACGCGGAGCGGCAGCGCGAGGTGCAGAAGCCTGCACAGCGCGCGCCGCGCGACGTGGGACGGACGCACATCGCCCTCGAGGTGTCCGCCCCGCCGCGGCGGCCGCCGCTCGCGCCCGAGGACCTGGCGCGCGCCGCGGCGCTCTTCGAGCACATCGCGCGGCGCGTCGACATGGACAGTGCGGATCGCGCGGGCGGCTTCGGCGTCGCGAAGCGGGACATCGCCTACGGCCGCGTCTTCCGGAAGCTCTGCGTCTTCGGCGAGGAGTCCTTGGACGCCGGCGAGCTGGTGCGGGCCTGTCGCCGCGCGTTCCTCGACAACTTGAAAGGCGTGGCCGACGCGGACCTGCGGCTGCTCTACCGGGCCATCGACGAGGACGGCACGGGCGTCGTGGCGCTGGAGGACTTCGCTCGATTTGCGAAGAAAATACGGGGCCGGCTGTTTGACGTGCAGGTCGCGCGACCGGAACCGCCGGCGCCGGAGCCGCGCGCGTCGCGGGTCAACGCGCGCGATAGAGCCAGGGCGGAAGCCATCCTGGGCCGCCTCGGGGAGGTCGTCGCGAGCCGGGGCGGATCGCCTGGATTCGACGACGCGACCAGGGGCCAGGGCGTCTCGTACGCGCGGCTCTTCCGCGTCCTCGACCCGGAGAGCGGCGCGATGGACCGAGCTGATTTGATCGAGGCCGTCAAGAAGCGGACGGCCACCGTGTCTGATGAGGACCTCGCTTTTCTCTTTGACGTGATAGACGAAGACCGCTCGGGCCTCGTCACGCTGGGCGAGTTCCGCGCCTTCTCGAAGCGAGTCGCGGTGCCGAGCGAGGGCTTCCGGACCGGCGGTGGACCACTGTCCGAGACGCGGGGCACCGTACCATTGCCGCCACCGTCAAACGCTCCCCCGGCGCGCGCCAAGCCCAAGTGGACGCCTCGCTCCGTGAAGCTATCGGATCGTAGCCGCGACTGCCGGGGCGGGCCGCCGGCGCGGTCGCGGCGGCCGCTGTGCCTGGACGGGCGGGCCAAAAGCCCCGTGCCCCCCCAAGCTAGCGCATGTTTGTTACCCTCTAGATACAGGGTGCGGAACGCGCGCGTTTCGGATCGCTGCTAGCGGCTTGTAAGACACTAGCACTCTGAGAGCAAGCCGAGCTGGCGTGCGGTCGCAAGAGCCGTGTGTACTGCCCGCTGTCGCACGAGTGCCGTACTGCCTGCTGGCGCACGAGAGCCGTGCATACTGCAGCCTGCTGTCGCACGGGAGCCGTGCGTACTGCATACACACAAGCAGTCAGGCGCATATGCGCCTGGCGACGCGCGCCTGGTGCGTGTCCAGCGCGTCGGCACTGTACGCGAGCCGTGCCCGGCCGCGCCTCGCACGGACGATGGCTACCTGGGTCGACGCCGACGAAGCAGCCACGGTCCAGGCGAATGTCCAGGCCGTGCGCGAGCGCCAGAAACAAAATATCAGAAACCGCGACGCTCATCGCCGTCTCCAAACTTAAGCCGCTCTCGCATGTGAAGGCGGCCTTCGACGCGGGCCAGCGCGACTTCGGGGAAAATTACGTGCAGGAGCTCGCCGAGAAGGCCGAGGCGGCGAAGGACGTCGAGGGCTTGCGGTGGCACTTCATCGGGAGCCTCCAGTCGAACAAAGTAAGGCAATTGTGCCAGGTGCCCCAGTTAGCATGCGTGCACACGGTCGAGCGCGCGAAGATCGCCAATTCTCTAGATCGGGTCTGGGGCGAGCTTGGTAATGTGGAGCCTTTGATGTGCTTCCTCCAGGTGAACACGTCGGGCGAAGAGACCAAGGGCGGCTGCGCGCCGGACGCGGCGCCGGAACTTGCAAAAGCCATCCACGCGAAGCCGCACTTGAATTTAATTGGGCTCATGTGCATCGGGAAGTACAGTGGAGCGGAGGGCGACGCGTCGCCGGACTTCAACGTGCTGCGCTCCTGTCGAGACGCGGCCGCGGCCGAGCTCGGCGTTTCTGCCGATACGCTGGCCCTGTCCATGGGCATGAGCCACGACTTCGAGCAGGCCCTAGGCCTCGGCGCGACGCACGTCCGCGTCGGCTCGACGATCTTCGGGGCCCGGCCGGCGAAGAAGTAAACCTATTTGTCTAGTCTACTACCCCAGGGGTTCCGGCGTCATGTAGGTGACCCGGCCGGCGAGGCGGTCGAAATACCCATCACGGCGCATTTGAGAGAGAGAGCACTTACTCGTATATCAGTCAAGCTTCGTCTGGCCGCGGCTCCCGCAGCCCGGCTTCGTGCCGCGCGCGCACCGGAAGCCCGCCGTCAGGCCGCCCCCATACAGGAACTTGTTGCCGCAGGCGAAGCACGTCGCCGGCTTCTTGCCCTCGTCGCGCAGCTTCTTGAGGACCGGCTCGCCGTGCTGGTTCTCGGTGATGCGGCGCTTGGGCACCGTGATGGACTCCCACGGCCGCGCGCCCCCCACCTTCGCTAAGTCGGACGCGTCGACGGTCGCCATCTCGAGGTCCGATATCTTACAATCGATGGACGTTTCTAAAGCCGCCTTCTCCGCCCAGTCGTCGTCCCAGCCCTGCAACAAATCCAGCGACTCCGGATTCCCGTAGACCATTCCGGCGGAGACGGTCAGGGCTCTGAAGGACTTGATCACAGGCGTGTGTCCGGTGGCGAGGCCCTGGAACAACGTACACGTCGGGGTGACGATCTGCCTCGCCCCGCGCGTCCTCGTAGGCTTGTTCCCGCGCAGCGCGTCCCGCAGCCCGTTCTGTCTCAAAAAGTCGTGCACCTTGTGGACCCCAGGATACTTCTCTTCTAACAATCTATCGACTTCGTCGAAGTCGTCTCGGAGCCGGCCGCGTCCCTTGTCCCCAGTGTAGCAGATCTCCGAGAGCGGCAGCCTCCGAAAGTCGAGGCCGCCGACGTCGATGCATCGGAACTGCGCGGACCAACCGTGAGGTCGTCGCGAAGGGGCGTTCTCTCGACGTGAGTTCTGGAGGACCACGCCGCGTCGATGGCGCGGAGGCCGACGCCGTCGCGCCGCAAGTTGAAGTGTCTACGACTCGGACAACGTGCATACTTCCCGAAGCAGCCGCGTTCAATCGCGTGGGCGATCACGTCCTTGCCGAAGTTGCCTATTAACAGCTTCGTGCCGCGCGGCACCGCCCCGCGGCCGAGGAACATCTCGTTCGCGGCGCGCGCGTGCTGCGGGTTGACGTAGCGCTTGCAGAGGGGCGCGACGTCGTTCGCGGCGCCGTGGAAGCTCCCGTGCTTGTCCGTGCGCAGCGATTCGATCTCGCCCGAGTTCGCCGTGGCGTTGCCGAACGAGCAGTCGATGGTCTGCTTGATGATCGGGTCCAATTTGTCCCTCGTCGCCGCTACGATCCACAGCTTGTGGAAGAGCGACGACGCCTTCGACAGCTCGGCCGTGTCACCGCTCATGTGGCAGGAGCTGTAGGCGCCCTTGACGCCCAGGCCCGCCAACTTGCCCTCCACATCACCATTGACCGTGATGCCGACCTTCTGGAGCTCCGCCCACATCTGCCGCAGGATCGGCCCGTGCGCCGGCTCGGGGCCCGCCCGGTTGGGGTCGTAGGTCATCATGTAGTTGAGGATCTTGTTGATGAGGCGGTTCCACGATGCTTTGGTGAGCGCCGCCTCCCTCATGTCGTTGCAACACTCGAGAGGACTTAACGTTTCGCGGTTGTCGAAGTACAACCGGCTGACCTTGTTGACGACGTCGTCGGCGACGTTGAGGTAGCCGAGGCCCTCCAGGATCTCGATGGTGCGCTTGCGCTGGTCCTCGTGCTTGAGGTACACCCAGTCCCACTCGTGCTTCGGGTAGGTCGCTCCAGTACCCGCCATACAAACCCGATCCCGCGGTGCGTACGCGTCGTCCAGCGCCGCAGCGGCGTGGGCGTCGACGTCCACCGCTTCATGACCTCTGGCCGCCGCGAGGGCGTCCGCTCGTCTCTTACGAGCCGAGGGGTCTTGAGCTACTTTTGGGGCGGGCGGCTGCGCCGCCGCCTCCTCCGCGAGATACGCGAGAAGCTCCGCGCGCTCGCCGTCCGACAGCGGAATGAACTCGCGCTGCGGCTCGCGCTCCGGCGCGTCGCGCGCGGCGCCGAGGGCCGCGAGGGGCTGTCTGGGCTGTCCATTGCCCGCGCGCTGGACGGATGGTGGCGGCACATTGTTCTCTTCGCCGTTGCTGCACTTGTGCGCGGCGCAGGCGTCGGCCTGCGTCTGTGTGAGGTCGGGGCTCTCCATCGTTGTCGTTGCGATGTCCACACCTCGTCTGGTCCCGGGAACTAGCGGATTTTGGCGCAAAATTGGGACCCATCCAGGCTTACAGTCAGAGAACGAGGCGCTTCCCACCGCCCGCTAAGACAGATCGCGCCGAAAATCCCTCAGGCCATGCCCACCGCGTGCTTCGCGTGGTCCACAGCGAGTACGGTCGACTCGCGTACCTGGTCGTAGACCGCGTCCGCCGAGTACACCGGCTCGGCCACCGGCAGGCGCGGCGCGGCGCAGGACGGCACAAGCCGCTCGAGAGCAAAGACGATGAGGGCCGTCAAGCCCGAGGCGACTGCCGCGGCGACCAGCACGAAACCCCAGTGCGAGTCGACGTTCATCGCCGCGGCCGCCGCGTCGACCGCCGTCACGACCAGCCCCGAGGCGATGACCGACCCCGCCTGTGTGGAGATCAAGCGGTGAGTCGAGTGAGTCGGGCTCACTTCTAGGCGACAACGATGGCTGAATCGAGGGGCGTAAGACCCACACCGCCACGCCGTCGAGCAGACGTCGCGTCGATGGCGTGGAGTCCATGAAGCAACCGCATGCGAGAAGATTTGATTTCCGCACGGGACCAAGCGACGTTCGTACTACAGAGCCTGGCTTGCCCCCCAGAGAAGACAGCAGACACACTGCTCTGGACAATACCTACGCAACGCTTGATTTGCTCTTGAATAGGTGGGGTGCAGAAGATAGAGGTGCCCGGCACGGCTTAACCCCGTCCTCGAGGTACGACTTGGACCATGAGGCGGCGACCGCGTGTGCCGAGCTGATTTGGTTCCTTGTTGGAGCCACCTTCGCGCGAATGCTGCCTCTCGGCCAGCGAGGCGAAGCGGATTGCAAGGCGGTGATGTGTGAGATTCGCACGCAGGAAGCCGACTTCGTCCGTCACCGCACCAAGGTTAACAACCCCGGGTGGTCCAAGACGTTCTACGAAGTGACGGCGAGCTACCTGGAATTCTTCGACGCAAAGGCCGAGGCGGGGGCGCAATTCCTGGGGCGACGATTTCGCGCCGCATGCTGCGTCTCCACAAGCTGACGATGTCCCTGACCCGGGACGACGGGTCCTACAAAATGGGTCGAGGCGAGTCCTATGAGGATCTGAAGAGTCCGCGTAAGTATTCCATAGCGTGCGGGTTCGCGTTGGGAGAGCGTCTCGCAGCGCGTGTGCGGGAGCACCGGGAGCGCCGCACCAGGACATTGACAGGCAGCCAGGAGCACCGGAAGCGCCGCCCCCCAGCTTCGGGGCAGCCTCGGGGCAGCCTCAAGCCTCGGGGACACCAGCTCCCAGAGAGCACTCAAGCCTCAGCCCTGAGCAGGGACACCAGCTCCCAGAGCATCGGCAGCCTCAGCAAAAACATGGAGGAGCTGCCGCCGCTGGTTCCGGACCTGACCGCGTGGTTCGAGGCCCTCTTGGCCAGAGTGTCTGCTTTAGAATCGCGGTCCGAGCAGGGCGGCGCCGCCGCCACCGCCAAAGCCGAGGCGCAAGACAAAGCACTGCAGGATCTCCAAAAACAAAAGGAAGCGGACGCGGTAGCCATGACTTCCATGCGCGAGGCGCTGGCCGAGAGAGAAGCCGAGCTCGCGGCGATGAGACAAGAGATGGATTCGATACGAGCCGACCTCGCGGCTCGTGGCGCCGTCTTCGGCGGCTTCCAGGCCGACGTCAAAGAAGTACGGGGCATGCTCGTGGCCGCGCGGCTCCTCAAGACGGCGCGGGACGGCACGGCGGCGTCTGCATCGGTCGCGGGGCTCGAGGACGAGCGCGCGGCGAACGAACAAAAATTCGCTTCGAGGGAGGACGTGCGTATTTTGAGCGAGACCGTCCGGGAGCTCGAGGCCATGATTACGGGCGTCGAACGGCTCTCGGGCGAGGCCCAGGCGCAGCTCGAGAGCATGCGAGATGAAATTGCGGAGCAGCTGCGCGCCGAGGCCGAGGCGGACCGGGAGCGGGTTGAGCGGGAACGGGCGGAACGCGAGGCCGAGGCCGCGCGCCTCGAGGCCGAGATACGGGCCGAACGGGAGGCGCGCGAGGCGGCGGAACGGGAGCGGGCGGAGCAAGAGGCTGCAGCAAGGGATGCTGCGGAGCAGGAGCGAGCTGACAAAGAGGCCGCGGACCAAGAGGCGGCGGAGCAGGAGCGAGCCGAGAAGGAGGCGGCGGACCAAGCGGACCGCGAGCTGGCGGAGCAAGAGGCCGCGGACGAAGATGCGGCGGCGCGTGCGCGGGCGGAGCAAGAAGCAGCGGATCAAGCGGCACGCGCGCGGGCAGAGAAGGAGGCCGCGGCGCGCGAGCGGGCGGAACGCGAGGCCGCCGAAGCCCAAGAAGCCGCGAAGCGCGCGGCCCAGCGGCGCTGGCGCGCGGCGCTCAAGTACGCCCGGACGCAAGCCAAGATGTTCTGCACGATTCGAGCCATGAAGCCGCCGGACCGCCCCATCCCCCTGCACGACAAGGCCGTCTATCATAGATTGAGGGACGGTGTCATCGAACAGGACGCGCTGGCGAAGCGCCTCGCGGCGCTCGAGAATGTCGTGAAGGACGACGCGAAGTTAAGTGCTGATATACTACGGAAAGGCGTCGTCGGCTTGGGCGGTACTGGACCAAGTGACGAAGACGACGCCCTCGTGGAGCGTAGAGCGGCCCAGAGCGCGCTCATGGCCGCACTGGTCGACGGCAAGCCCACCACGAAGACAGAGACGGTGGAGGTCGCGGCCCCGCCCGCGGCCCTGGCCTACGGCAACGGGCGCGGGGCGCTCGCGGAGTTTGACAAAGATATTGACCGGCGCTTCGCGGAGTTCGCCTGCCGCCAGCAGAAGCTGTTAGATGACTTTCATGTGGAGGTCGAGGTCTTCACGCGGGCGCAAGAGAAATTAGAGAACGGTTTAGTGAAGGTGAACGAAGACTTGAATCGTATGACCTCAATCAACGACAAGCGCTACGCCCAGCGCAGCGCCGCGGATCAAGAGCGCGATTCTAAATTAGAGGCAGCGGCGGCTTCTGCTAGAAGAGCAGCCGAGGCCGTCGCTCGACTGGCCAACGTTCCTCCTACAACAAGATACGACTCTGAAGTTCGCCGGCGCCGCGCGCGCGCCCACGGACTTAGGCATGCCCGGGACCGCATCCACACGAAGGCCGACGGGACGGCCGTTCTGAAATTAAGGGAGGAGTTGAGGGAAATCGCCGCTGCGCTCGCGGGCGACCCGGCGCTGACGCGACGACGGAAGGCCATCTGTTCCGGCGCGCTGGGCGTGCGCAAGAGCGCCTACGTGCTAAAAGACGGCGTCGAGGTCTGTATTTCTTGTCAAAGACCGGGCTCTCCGACAAAAAGAGAATCGGTGCAGTTTGAAGAGCGTCCGAAAACATATAAAAGCAGGCCACCCATGGGCGCGCGCGCGAAGCCTTCCGTAGGACGCGTCCGGCCGGCGTCGGCGGGCCCGCTGCGCAATTCGAAGAGACGGGGCGAGGGCGCCTTTTCGGGGCGGATGACGGGCCGGCCGGCGTCGGCGACGGCGCGCTTGCTAGCTGAGGGCGACGCGACGGCCGAGGTCATCGACTTGCGGTACCCCGTGCGGCGGCGCGACGAGCGCTCCGAGGCGGACCGGAGGAGGGCAGGGTTTCTTCCTATCAAACCTAAGTTAAACGGACGCCAACCATGTCCGCCAATGCCCCTGCAGCGCCGCGCGCCCGCCCGCGCCAGCGCCGCGCACGACCAGCGGAGACGGGTCGTACCACGTCGTGTAGTACTCCACGAGGTTGTCCGTGCCCGATAGTGATCCTAGCGGTGAACTTGTTGACACCGACACCAGACCGACGGTCAGTCGCCCGTCTTCGACCGTCGCCGCGTAGCGCAACGCCTCGCCCCGCGCTTTGGCCTCCTTCGCTCGTTTCGCGAAATCTTCATCAAGCGACGGCAGCTTCGCCATGAAGTCGTCGACCGTTAATGAGGCCATCTCTGGAGGGTACAATGGCTCGACGTTCACGTCACTCAACTCGAGCCGCCAGCCCAGCCCCCGCGCCAAGATTAATGCTTTCCGCGCCACATCTACACCACCTAGATCATCTCTAGGATCCGGCTCCGTGTAGCCTTTGGCCTTCGCCTCCAGCACAACTTCGGAGAAGGGCCGCCCGGCCTCGAGCCCGCTCATGACGAAGCCCAGCGTTCCCGAGAACGTTCCGGCGATCTTTCTGACCTTGTCGTCGGCCATGGACAGTCGATTGAGAGCGGCGATTGCGGGTAGACCGGCGCCCACCGTACTTTCGTGTCGCACGTTGTTGTGCCGGATCGGATGGCCAACTAATGCATCGTAAGCAGCTTGGTCCGAAGAAAACGGCTTTTTATTAGCGCTCACGACCTTCTGGCCCCGTTTCAAGGCTTCGATGAGTAGAGGTGTCGTTGATCCTGAGGCCGTGACGTCCACGACCAAAGCACCTTCACCCAACGACGCGACGGCTTTATCAACGTCGCCTTTGGTGGCCCCTGGCAACTTCTTTCCATCGGCTTTCGCGGCCGCGGCGCTTTGCAGCTGCGCGTCGTCGAGGTCGCCAGCGAGGTAGCCCGACGAGTCCGCTAGCACTTTCACGTCGAAGCGCAGACCGTACACATCTTTATGGTGCGTCCGCGCGCCGACCAGCGCCTCCACTAACGCGCGGCCGACGCCGCCGACGCCGAGGAGTGCGACTGGCACTTGTTTTGCAGCCATGCAATCGTCTGATGCACAGGTCTTGTCCGTGTCAACCGCTGCAGCAGTGGTCAGGAGCAATGCGCACAATAACCTGTGCATGTAGCTTGCCTGTGAAGCACTTCTCCGGCGCGTCACCTTGCCCAGCCTGCAGTGTGAGTGGCGGCGATGCAATCGGGGACGCGCATCGTTCCAGCCGCTCGAGGAGGCGTCGGCAACCGATTTGTGCGGTACGAAGGCTCTGTTGTCTCCTTTGCTAGTGGCTTACACCGCTAGCTCGTCTTGCAATTATTTTTTTGGTAAGACCTTGGTCAGATTGCTGCTCGCCACAGCCGTTTGTTCAGCGTGCTGACGCGCGCTTTGTAGAAGCATCGCTGCATCCGAGTGCCCGGGACAGCGAAACTGCACGCCAAAAACGCGGAGGCCTCACTTTTAGCCCCAGAATTTGTCGATAGTCGACAATGCTCCGCCGCCTCGCCGCCGTCGGCGGCCGGCGCGCAACGGCGAGGCCGCTCTCCGCCCTGCCGCGCAGCGACGACGACGACGCGCCCTTCTGCTCCTCGACCGCGGAGCAGCCGCACGCCACGCACTCAGCTTGTTCAGTCCCCTCACCTTGCCGTGCGGCCTTGAAATCAGGAACCGGTCTTTGATGGGCTCGATGCACACCGGCTTGGAAGAGCACAGAGGCCTCAAAGAAATGGCCGCGTTCTACGCGGAACGCGCGAAAGGCGGTGCTGGACTCATTGTTACCGGAGGCGTGGCTCCCAATAGGGAAGGCTGGGTGCTGCCGCTCGCGGGCAAGATGTCGACTGTAGCCGAGGCCGAGGAGCACAAAGTCGTTACTGATGCGGTCCACGAGAACAACGGTAAGATCGCCTTGCAAATACTACACGCGGGACGGTACGCCTACCACCCCTTCGCCGTCGCTCCGTCCAAGAAGAAGGCACCAATTAACGTGGTCACGCCGCGGGCTTTGTCAGAAAAAGACGTACAATCTACTATAGACGACTTTGCGCGCACGGCAGCGCAGCGAGGAGCTGCGGCTACGACGGTGTGGAGATCATGGGCTCGGAGGGTTATCTGATAAACGAGTTCCTGGCCGAGCGCACGAATCAACGGGGAGATGCGTATGGCGGGTCCTTCGAGAACCGGAGTCGTTTAGCTCTAGACGTGGTACAAGCCGTAAGAAAAGCCGCGGGCCCGGACTTTGCGGTGGTCTTCCGGCTGTCCATGCTGGAATTAGTTGAAAACGGCATGGCCTTCGGCGAGGTCGTCGAGCTAGCTCATTTGTTGGATGCTTGTGGTGTGGACATCCTCAACACGGGCATCGGCTGGCACGAAGCTAGGGTGCCGACGATCGCCACTTGTGTTCCTAGAGGTGCGTTCGCGTTTGCGACTACTAATGTGCGAGAAGCTTTGTTATCAAAGTACGGGCAAGCACCGCTCATGTGCGCCACGAACCGCATCAACAGCGCCGAAACGTGCGAAGACGTGCTGGAGCAAGGTGCGGACGTCGTTTCCATGGCGCGGCCCTTCCTCGCCGACTCTAGCATTATCGAGAAGGCCTTTCATGGAAGGGAGGATGAGATCAATACGTGCATTGCCTGCAACCAGGCTTGTTTAGATCATACCTTCAAGATGATGCCCGTGTCGTGCCTGGTGAAGCCCTGCGTGGAAATCAAACAGTGAACGCCGTCGAGCAGACGCAATTACGAGGATGACGTCGCGTCGATGGCGTGGGGCGCCCGAAATTCGATATCCACACAGGTCAACCCGCGCGCCGGCCACGAGACGTCGCTCGAGTTGACGAGGACGGCGACGCCTCTGAAGGTTGCCGTCGTCGGCGCCGGGCCGGCGGGCTTGAGCGCGGCGTGCGCTCTCGGTGAACGGGGCCACCGCGTGACGCTGTTCGAGCAATCGGAACGGGTGGGCGGCCAGTTCCTGCTGGCCGCGGCGGTGCCGGGCAAAGAGGAGTTCTGGGAGACGCTGCGCTACTTTCGCACGATGCTCGACGTGCATTCTGTGGATGTGCGGTTGAATACGTATGTGGATGCGTCGACCGTGAAAGACTTTGATAGGGTAGTGGTGTCGACGGGCGTGCGGCCGCGGGTCGTCGAGGGCCTCGCGTCGTCGGCGAACGTCCGCGTCCACTCGTACGCCGACGTGCTCTCGGGCGCGACAAAAGTCGGCCCGCGCGTCGCCGTCGTCGGCGCGGGCGGGATTGGATTCGACGTGTCCGAGTTCCTCACGCACCGCTCGGGCGACGACTTCTACGGCGAGTGGGGCGTCGACCTGTGTAGAAAGCAACCAATGTGTTGGGTACGCTCATTCGAAGCACCGCGACAATTTGATCTCCACACAGGCGTCGACACCGCGCCGCGCGGCTCGGGTTTAGCTGAGCCATCGAATGTGGCGCCGCCGCGGACTGTGTACTTGCTCCAGCGCAAGGCGACGCCGCTCGGCGCCGGATTGGGCAAGACGACGGGCTGGATTCACCGCAAGGCGCTGCGCCAGCGCGGCGTCGACTTCCTGCGCGGCGTGACGTATAAACGAGTCGAGGCCGACGGTTTCCGCATCGAAGTGGCCGGCGCGGAGCGCGTCCTCGACGTGACGGACGTCGTGCTCTGCGCGGGCCAGACGTCCGTCGACGACTTGTTCCGCGAGCTCCGGAATGATCCAAAATTTCCAGTGTATGCCATCGGCGGTGCCGAGCACGCCGGCGAGTTGGACGCCAAGCGCGCCATCGACCAGGGCGTGCGCCTCGCGACGCGGATCGAGGACGCCGCGCCCGGATCCGTGTTCGGCATGCCGGTCGGGTGGCAGGCGGGCGCGCTGGAGTGGCTCCAGCGGAACGTCATGAAGAAATGAGTCCTCAGGCTGTGTTTATAATGTGCTCTTTTTAACCTGTACCTATCTCTGTACCTCCGGGCACAAAACCCGAACCCGAACGCGCAAGGGGCCGTGTTTTGTCAAAGGCGGATCTCGCGCCCGGCGTGGCTCTCCTGGGACGCAAGCGCACGTTCGACCCGCCTGCCCCCATACGCCATCACCGCGGCAGCCGCAGGACGCACCTTCGAGCTGTGTGTGGTAGCAGCCCCACCGAGGCCCAACAACAAAAAGACACTGCCCCGGGCGGTCCCGACGACAAGGAAATGGAGCGCCCGCCCCTCGCCCCCGCGACGAACCGCCCCGCCGTCGAGACGCACGTCGTCACCGAGGAGGCGAAGCCCACCCGCAGCGGGTCGCCCCTCGCAAACACGCTGCTGGGCTTCGACAGCGCCGCCGCGCGGCCGGCCGCGGAACGCGTCTGCTGCGCGCGCGCGCCGCGGCCGCCGCCGGACGAAGAGGGCGCGCCGCCGGAAGCGGAAAAAGAGGACGACGACGACGACGACGCCGAGCTCGCGCTGCTGCGCGAGCAGCTCAAGGCGACCGAGCGGGCGCTGGAGCGGCGGAAGCGCGAGGAGGCCGCGGCGACGCCGTTCCTGGCGGCCGTCTTCGAGGACGCGACGTTCGCGCCACCTGCGACGCCGACGCCGCCGACGTCGCCGCCGGGCCTCGTCGCGCCCGAGGCCGCGCGGCCCCAGGTGCAAGCCGCCGCCGCGGCGCGCGACCGGCTCGAGCAGACGCGCAAGCCGCGGCCTGTGTGGAAATCAACCAGTGCGTCAGGTGCTCACTACGTCATTCTCGGCAATGACGTGGCCGCGCTGGCTCCGTCGAGCGGTGAGGAACCGACATCGCCACGCCATCGATCAGGCGTCGCGTCGATGGCGTGAAGGACGACGCGACGATTCAGAACGTGCCGTAAAATTTTGATTTCCACACAGGCCGCGACGGCAGCGGCTCTCGGCGAAGAAGCAGCGCGAAACTCCGGTCAGAGTGGTCGTCGTCGACGACGAGCCCGCGGGCTGCCTCCTGCCGAGCTGCTTCGAGGAGACCATCGATTCCGAACAAGTCGACGTCGAAGTCTCGCGCGCGCCGGACGAGAGCAAGAACAAACTCGTGGTCAAGGTGCACCGCGCGCGGCGGCTGTTTGGGGGCGGCTATGGGTTTGAGGCCGTCGGCGCGACGCACCCCTACGTGCGGGCGGTTTATGGAGATCAGACGCGCGAGACGGCGTGCCGGCGGCGGACGACGTCGCCCTGCTGGAACGAGGAGCTCACCTTCGAGGCTCGCGGCGCGACGACGGTCAAATTGCTGTTCTACTCGCGCAATACGTACATGGCCGACTCGCTCCTCGGGGGCTGCGTCGTCGACCTCGGCGCGCGCCCGGAGTTCTCGCTCGGCGCGCCGCGGCCGCTCGTCGAGAAGTCCTGGTTTAGCGTAGAACCCGAGCGGCGGGCGGCGGGGCCCGAGGACTTTTTGTACAGACACCGGACCGCCCTCGGCAGCGTCGAGGTGTCGGCCTACGCCTACCGGGCACCTTAAATACAGAGTCACATTGTTAAGCCACCGTTCCACGGGCCCCCGGAGCACCCTTCCAAAAGTCCGCGCCTCGAACAACGCCTTCCCGCGCGCGGCGACGCGCGCCCGTTCCACGGGCCGCTCCATATAATATTGTAACGTCTCCACCAGGTCGTCCGTGAAGACGACGCCCTCCGCATACGCCGCACACTGGTGCTCCACACCACACGCGCCCTCGCTCACGACGAAGGCGCCCGCCGCAAGTAATTTAGCCAACCTAGGCATCTTCCACTCGCGCGTTTTTGTCGAGTCGAAGGCCTTTAAGTCCAAGACGATGGCGGCGCTCAGGATCAAGGCATCCAAGGCCGGCGCAAAAGTGCCGTCGGTTTGGGCGTTGGCATGGAAGATGGGCAGGTCGTTGCTCCGCAACATTTGGAGGGTGCGCTTCCTTCTGGATGTCAACGTACCATAAAATAAAATAGGGATGTCCTTGTCTTGGATCAACCTCGATAGGTCACGATGGGGCCGCCAGGCCGTCGACCAGCCCAGCGGCACGTGTTCCACACGCGTTAACGTCGAGAGGGGTTCGACGTTCGCGAGCGAGTAGTCCCAGACGCGCGCCGCCTTTTTTAGGGTAGCTAGGGCAACGGCCGTGGCGAAGGACCCATGAGCGTTCTGGACGTGGTCCGTTTTTTGGGATGAAGCCTCCGCCACTTCCGTCGCATTTATTACGTTAGGCACGTACTCGAAGTTGAAGGCCACGTCCATTGAAAAGCGGGGCAGGAAGTCCCCCCTCTTCAGCATCAGTGGCGCCATCGTCGCCAGGTCGAGGAACACCTGCAGGTTGTGCGTCGCGAGGTGGATGCGCCTCTCGTGGTCACGAAAGGCGCAGCCCTGCGAGGCGTCGACGCAATCGTCAAACGTGCTCGTAGGCCCAGCGCCCTTAACCCCCTTACCACAGCTCGCGAGATTTCAAAAACGTGCCTCTTGTGGGCGTCATCCTCGCCCTGGTGGTAGACGACGACGGCTATGTCGGGACATGTTTCAGCACAGCTGAGCGGCGTTTCCGGCGGGTCCTCTTCCTGAACGTCGTCGAATAGGTGCGCGACGGCCCACCATGCGCGGTAAAACTTAGCGGTCTCGTCTCCCGATAAAAGCTTGATGGAAAGGCCAGGGCGCTATCTCCAGAGATGTCGGGAATGGCCACACCAAACGAACCGTCGCCGCCCCGCGCGTGCCGGATGCGCTCGTGCTCGGCGAGGACCTCATTCAAACTCAATTGTGGTGCAGATTGAGTAGCGACGACGACCACGCTCCCTTCGATGAGTGAGGCTTCTCGAGCGCCTCGTCTTCCGTCACGAGCGACCGCGAGGCCCGACGCGCTTTGGTGAGCCGCCCGTGCACAGTCCATCTCCTTTCCGACAAGCACCAGCAGCGTCCCCGGCCTTTGTAAAGCCCAGTCCGCGTGCTCGCTCGTAATCACAACGGCTCGGGCCACGGGCGCGCCTCTAGCTTCGCGCGCGTGCGCGGCCTCGACCAAGGCGTCGCGCGCGTCTTCACCAATAGCGTGCTTCACGGAGAAGGCCGTGGCCGCGTCGACGACCGAGCCGCCTATTGAGACTTGGAACGCGACTTCGCTGCTGCGTGGCGTCGTCGCGGGCGCGGACAAAAACACGGGCAGCGACAGCGGCGGCGGCGGTTTTGTGAAGAGGGCGTCGGGGCACCAGTCGACGGCTTGTGCTGCCCATGGGAGCAGCCAGGCGAGGGGTCGCATCATCGCATGGCAGCCCCTGCTGCTGGTTGCTCCCAGCACGGCCCGCAGTCGTCCCGGAATCGGTGCGTAAGCTACGTTGGCGAGCTTTTTGGTGCCGTGGGGCAGCCCCAGGTGCTCGTCGGTGGTGCGCTGCGCCGCCTGTTCCAGGTATGGCTAGTGTAGCGACACACTAGACTTTTCGAGCGTCGACGTCTCGCGCGCTCAAATCGACTTTAAATCGCTGCTGACGGGCTAGCGGTCGTTTCCTTGGAGTCCTCCGCCTGGCTTCGGCGGCGGACCCGGACGATCGAACGCTAGCTGCCACAGAGCCAGACGATCGAGACCCCGGTGCCAGCCATGGCGGCGCTCGCGGCCGCGCTACCCACGGCCCATAACGACGACGACGCCGACGACAGCGACGACGACGGCTACGAGGACGACTTCGTGGACCCCGAGGACTACACGGACGACGACTTCCAGAGCGTCGACACGGCCGACGAGGATCCTGATTATGACCCAAAGCTGCCGGAGGTCGCGGACGCGAAATTGCCCGTGCCGCGGCGGCCGCGCCGCGCGGCGCTCGCGGCGGCCGCGCCGCGTGCCTCGGCGCCACCGGCGCCGGCGCCGGCGCCCGTCGCGAGCGCGGCCGCGCCGGCATCGTCGTCGTCATCGTCGGCGCCGCCTCAGCTCATTGAAACTACGACAGAGGCAGCTGAGGCACCCGCACCGGCGCCCGCGCCGCTGACGAACTACGACAAGTGGGACAAGATTGATGATGCGGAGCAGGGGTCGCCCCCGTCGCCGGTCGACCACGCCGGCGCGCTGCCCGCCATGCGCGTTTCCGAAAGGGACGACGGCGGCGTCTCGTTCGACTTCACGACGATGCAACCAGAAGCGAACGACGACTTGGTCACGCTGAATCCGCTCGGCGGCGACGACGTCGACGAGAACGAGAAGCCAGGCATCTACCGCCGCGCGACGCCCGACGAGGCGCCGCGGCCGCCGCCGGCGCCGCGCGTGTTAGGTGTCTGCTCCTCATCAACTTGCAGCAAGGACGCGACGCTGCGCTGTGGGGTCTGCAAAGTCGCAAAATATTGCTCTGTTATATGCCAGCGCCGCGACTGGAAACTCCACAAGGCGGTCTGCGCGCCGATCCGGAGCGAAAAGGCGGGGACGCACCTCCGCACGAGCGCCGAATAGTAACTACTGAATGTTAAACACGGCGTCGTAGGCGTCCTTGCGAGGAATACTCGAGCCCGCGGCCGCGACGGGCCAGTGCGTCCGCCCGTTTGTGCGCTGGGGCGCGTTGAGCGGCACGCCCGCCAGCGCGACACCAGAACCCCCTTCCTCAAGAAGCCCGAGGTCCCGCGCGCATTGTATCGGCGTCTTGCCACACCATATGATGTCCGACCAGGCGTCGCTCGCCAGGTCCCGTTGCACCTTGGCGAGGTCCCGTTCGGGTTTGGCGTCGTGGGAAGACTCCACAACAGACGAGCACTCCGTGAAGAAGAGCTCGACGCCGCTCTTTTCCGCGCGGTCGATGAAGGGCTTGTACGTCGCGTTCTTCCGGTTCAGGAGGGGGTTCTTCGATGAGTACGGCTCCCGGACCATGTCCTGGAACGCCTCCGTAGATGAACTCGTCCAGGCGTTCGTGAGGACGCAGAGCATCTTGCGAGGCCGCTCACTCCTCGCCGGCGCCCTCCGCTTCGGCCGCTTCGCCGGCGTCAGGCTCGGCGGCGGGCTCGGCAGCCGCCCGGTGCTTCGGCTTTCTTGGGAGCATAGGGGTTCACAAATTCCGTAGGAATCAGTCTATGTTTGGTATAGATGGGCTTGTCGTCGGGATTGGCCCCAGCGACCGGGTCCAGGCCCGCGTGCAGGCTATTCTAGCTTCGCGGGCCTCGGTCGATTCGTTCGTCGGGCGCACCCTAAAATTCACCTCCCGATGCGGGCCCTGGAGCCACAGCAGCGTCTCGGCCGGGAGCTGCGATATCAACTTCTTCGCGTCGACCTTGCCCTTCGTTCGCGGCGGCGGCGGCTTGGGCGGGTAGCGTTCGATGAGGCGCTTTAAGGGGTCGACGCGCGGCGTCTCGCTCAGGTCCTGGAGGACGGGCTGGAGGCCGACGGGGACGTCGTGGATGGGGTCCTCGGCCATGGGCTGCCCTACGGTGCTTTTGCAGGCTGGCGTTGCGCCGGATGCCGGCTGTTTGCTAGTGTGTTACGGCACGCTAGGTGCGCGCTCGAGCTCGAGACTGTATTGGAGCTTGATTGGCCGTGCACGCAGCGCAGCGTTTTAACGCGAGACGCAGTGATCACCTACCGACACGTCTGCCGCTGCACAAGCGAGCGCGGCACCGCTAAGCAGCACCATGCCCCTATCCGCAACTCTAGAGGGCTCCACCTACGAGTTAGAGGAAGTAGATTTAACTTGGACGCTGCACGAGTTTAGAGATGCTCTAGCGAACGCCTGCGGGTCCTTCAAGATCTTTGACGCGGACGAGTGGCGCGTGCGCAAGGGGCCAGACGAAAAAAAAGACGACCTGGTCGGCGAGACGCTCTCATTGCTCCAGCACGGCGTGCCGCTGGACGCGACCCTAACCGTCGTGCGCGTCGCGGCGTCGTCGCGGCCGCCCGGGACGTCTACGCGGAGGAAACTTGTGGAAGGTCCGCCGCCCGAGTCGTTGACCGCGCGTTTTGATGTTGTGATTGATATTGACGACCAGCCGCACACGAATCAAATTTATGGGGTGCGCACTCGTCTGCGCGACGACGCGTGCGACCGGGAGCTGGAGCGACTGCCGGACGCCAAAAGGGCCGTTTATTTAGCGGTCGACGCGATGCTCAAGGCGGATGAAAAAAGGAGGGTGCTCGACGCGAGCGTTTGTGGTGCTGTGGTTGAGGTGCTGCTCGTCGACGACTGACTAATTGTTTTTGTGGTGTATTTTTCTTTTTTCTAAAGCGTCGTCCGCCTACGCGGATTTCCTGTTATAGTGCTAGGACCCGCGCCGTCGCGATTTCCTTTCACTGCACAGTTCCCTCCAAGCAGAGCCGTCTCGAGGATTATTGTTACGTCTCGGCGACGGATGCTAGTGCCTTACCGACGCTAGATGCGCCTGTTTTTTGGCTGGCTTTTTTAGCGTTGTTTCGCGCTAAACAGGGCTGCGGAAACCGCACGGCTGGGTTTCTGGCTAAAAGCTCTTTATGAACGGCTCAGCCAACCATACGACGCCCGCGAGACGCCGCCGACGTGCTAGCAGACACCAAGCAGCACCGTCCTCGTCGACGCCGTCGCAGCGTAACGGGACGCCGCGGCAGCGTAACGGGACGATGCGCCAAGACAAGCCCCTCCAGCGCTACGCCCATAAGCACAAGCAGGCCCTGTGGCCCCTGACCATCACCGCGTGCTTGATCGGCGGCGCGGGCGTCTTCGAGTTGCTACGGGTCTTCGCCGCGACGCCATGGTGCCGGCCGATCTGCTACATCCTGGTAGGCTTTACACTAGCTCTGAAGGCCTTCTCAGTACATGTGGCCAATGAAGGCGGCCCCATCGCGTTGTTGCCCACACCGTTGAAACGGTGGCTCCTGACCACTTCTGTCTTAGATGCTGCTTCAGAAGTAGCCATGCTCGTCGACTTCCAGCACTGGATCGGCGTGTTTATTCACGCCATCCAGATGCTGCGCTTGGACTCTCACGAGCGCGAGGAAATCCTGCACAAGCTCGGACCTACCATACGAAGGTGGGCGACGCGACCCGGGCTGCTGCGAGCGATCCGGCCCTTGCACGACGCTTTAGTCTGGGAGGAATCGGATGATGACGACGAGGTCCCGGTCGCGCGGCCCGTTTCTGAAACGAGTGACCTCACGCCCGACGCCGCCGCGTTCGTCGAGGCCGCGGCCAAGATCAACCCCTGGTCGACGCTCGTGCACATCCTGTCGACGCGGGCCTACCGCTCGTTGCGGGCGAACTTGTCTCCTTCGGCGCTGGCGGTGTCGGCCGCGGTGCCGGCGGGCCTGGTCGCTGCGGTTTTAACGAGGCGGGACCACCGGATCCTCTTGCAGCGGGAGTTCTCGCGCATTATTCTGACGGGCGGCGCCGTCGCGGCGGCCGTGCCGTTCGCCGCGCTAGTGGGCTTGCACGTCGCCCCGGGTCCCGAGGGCCACAACGACCCGACCTCGCCAGTTCCCGAAAGAGCGGGTCCCGGCGCTTTGGCCAAAGCTGGTGGTTTGGCGGCGGTCGTCTTTTCGGTCTTCGGCGGGCTCCTGTCGCCGGCGGCGTGGCGGACGACGTTCCGGAACTGTTTTATTGGCGGGGGGCTGCGGTAACTATTTTGTGAGTTTGACTTTCTTTGTTTCGCGTCGATGGCGTGGCGCGCGCTGGGCCATTTTGTCCGCGAAAACCCGTCAAAGACCAATCTCAGTGCCGCCTCTCGCGCGCCGGCGTGGCTGAGGCTGCCCACTTGGCCTGTTGAGCGTCCCGGCGCAGCATCGCGTGATCCCACGATGGAACTGACTGATGATCCCATTGAGAACTCCCAGGACCAACTTGATGCTGTGCCTCAGCAGCAGGAAGGAGAAGACATCGATAACTCCGACGACGAGGCACCCGCCGCGCCTGCAAGTGCACCACCAGTAGCGCCGCCGCCGCCGCCACCTGCACCGCCCGTGCCGCCGCCGGTCTCGCGATCGGCGCCACCGCCTCCGCAGCCGCGGCCACAGAAGAGGGCACGACATTCGTCGTCTGGATCCGCTTTTGAGACCGGCAACCTGCTGTTTGCAAACACGGCGCAACGAAGCGTGCTCCGCTTGGTCCTAGAAGACAAAAAGAACGTGTTCTATACCGGGTCCGCGGGGACCGGCAAGTCATTCACCACCCGCCTCATCATCGAAGCGTTCCGAAAACAATACGGAGACAAGTTTAATCGGCGCGTCGCCGTCGTCGCGCCGACGGGCATCGCTGCGGCGAACGTCGACGGCACGACGATTCATCGCGCGGCGGGCGTCGGCGTGCCCGGGCAGCTGCGGGATTTCGGGCGCATCTGGGAGAAGCGCGTGGACGTTCCCGGTTTGTCGCCCGACGAGAAGGCTCCCCTGCTCTGGAGAGAGCTCGAACATCTGATCATCGACGAGCTGTCGATGCTGTCGGGCGAGTTCTTGGATCGGCTCGCTGCGGAGGTGCGCAAGATGCGGGGCGACAGTAGGCCCTTTGGCGGGATCCAGCTGATCGCGTGCGGCGACCTCCTCCAGCTGCCGCCGATCGAGAATAGTTACGAGCCGGATCAGGGCGTCGAGTTCGACGCCGATAATCCCGCGGACGTGACAAATCAGCTGGGCCCCCTCTTCTGCGCCCGCGGTCGCTGCTTCGAGGCGCGATGTTTCTGGGACGCGAGATTCCACTACGTGAAGCTGACGGAGTGCTACCGCCAGGCGGACCGCGTCTTCAGCGGAATTCTCGACAGAATCCGCGTCGGCGACGCTTCTGATCGCGAGGAGCTCAACGAGAACTGCCTACGACCGGCGGGTCCGGGCCTGACGTTATTTCCACGCAACCGCGAGGCCGATGCGCTGAACGACAGGAAGTTCAGAGCGCTGGAGGGCACTGCCGAGACCTGGGCCGCGACCGACGCCGTTTGCCTGTTTCAAGAGGCTGACAAAATTTCGCGAGCGAACGCCGTCGATATCGTATCCGACTGTTTCAAAGACTTCCTGGCGATTGATGAGGTACAGCTCAAGGTCGGGTGCCGCGTGCTAATGCTCGCCAACGTCGACCCCAAAGCATCGCTCTTCAACGGCGCCCAAGGCGAGGTCGTCCGCTGGGCGACGCCGGACGAGCTGTTTGCGCGCGCCATATCCGACGCGGAGACTCTCGCGGAAGATTGCGAGGTCTGGAGGACGGTAGCTACGGCCCTCCGCGGCGGCAACGCGAAAGCCGCACAGGACGCTTTTTCGTGGCGGCGGCGGCCCGGGGCGTCAATGAGTCAGAATGTGGACGTGGCCCCGTTCACGCGCGATGACTTGGGCGGCGAAGAGCCACGTGAAGCGTCGAGACCGCTGCGCGGCGGCGTGGCTCGTGGATCGGCTGGTTGAGGGCGCTCGCGTGCCGGTCTGTCGCTTCGAGGGGCAATCAGAGGTCATTGTCACGGCGACGTTGTTCGAGCGGGAGGTTGCGGGTATCGGCGTCGCGAGGCGGAGGCAGATGCCCCTACGGCTCGCCTGGGCGCTGTCCGTCCACAAATCTCAGGGCATGGGATTGAAACAGGTAAGGTTCGACCCTGCGAAGACCTTCGACGACGGCCAGGTGTACGTGGCGCTCTCGCGCGCGACGACAATGGAGGGCCTCTCGCTCGTGTCTCGGGTTCTGCCGCGGCACCTGCGATGCGATAGCCGCGCGTTGCGCATGATTCGGTACCTCGATAGCCTCCTTGCGGATGGCGCCGCCGACGTCCAGCTGCCCGCGAATCCGCCGGAGGATCTCGTTAGGACTTGGGAGCAGCGGCCTCCGAAGATCCGGAGACGGAGTTCTATGGCGCGCGCGATAGGGTCCTCGTTGTTTTAAGTATGATTGTTGTGGTGTGGATTTTACTCAGTCGCGAACGGGTCCTCGTCAGGACCACTCCGCCGTTCGCTAGCGTCAGACACACTAGCAAGTCAAGGTGCCTCGCGATCGGCGTCTACGCCCGTAGCCTCATACCGTCTCCACGCAAGCTCAAGAAGTCTCCAAAGCCGGTATAAATGATCCTCACACACTGCGCCGCCTGCGCCGCCCCGCTGGGCCTAGCCTTGGGGAAGAAATGCGGCCGCTGTAGCACACGCTACTGCGGGCCTGCGTGCCAGGAGCAGCACTGGAAAGAGGGCGGCCACGACCAGCTCTGCAAATTGATTAAAAAAGCTGGCGGCGCCGAACAGTATAATGCCAACACAAAGTACACGGAGGCAGTATCGGTCGCGGCGGAGGCGTGCGCGGAGGACACGAAGGGCCAGACGTGCTACATCTGCACGCAGGCCCTCCATTGGAAGACGAAGGAGGGTCTCGTGCGCATGTGTGCGTGCCGCGGGACGGCGGGTTTCGCGCACGTGTCGTGCCTGGCGGAGCAGGCGAAGATTTTAGTGGATGATGCAGAGGAGAGGAATCTGGACTACGAAATCAGGGATTCGAGGTGGGCCCGGTGGACCGCGTGCGGCCTGTGCGAGCAAGAGTACCACGGCGTCGTGTTGTGTGCGCTCGGGTGGGCGTGCTGGAAGACCTACGTGAGCCGGCCAGAGGACTCGAATACGATCCGGACTTGTGCGATAGGAGTTCTTGCGCATGGACTTGGGGATGCGGGGCGTCACGAGGAGCGGCTTCAAATCCAACAGACACAGTTTTCCACTCAAATGCGCTTGGGCTTATCAGAGCAAGAATTGCTGGCCACGAGATGTAACATTGCGGTATGCTTAGAAGAACTCGGGCGTGACGAGGAGGCCCTAGCATTACGCCGCGAGTGTTATGCCACGTCGAAGCGGCTTAACGTAGCAAATCCTGGTGACTTATATCGACGCGTGCTAAACCTTTCCAAGTCGTTACTCGACACACACCGTCACACTGAGGCGAGGTCATTTTTACGAGAGCAGCTCCCAAGGCACGACGCGCGCTCGGTCCAGCAGATGACACACTTTTCAAGCTTCGCTGGAATTACGCCCTTTTCTCTTTGCGACACTGGCGCTTCCGAGAAGATGTGCTCGAGGCTACGACTCTTCTTGAGGAGCTATCCTCGACGGCGCAGCGGGTCTACGGGCCCTCGAATCCCGTAGCCGCGGGCGTCAAGAGACCTCGCGCACGCACGGCGAAAGCTCGCATCGTCCACTGACTACCCTGAGGTCCGCGCCCGCATTCTAAGAAATCCACTATACTCAGTAGTCGCGGCGGTCTCGTCCGCGTCGCGGTGCCAGGACCACTCCGCCGCCGCCGCCACCTGTTCCGCCTCCTGACGGACGTCTTCGCGGCCGAGCCCTACGAGCGGTCGCCGAAGAAAAAACAACGCGTAGCCTGACTGAGGCCTCAAGTCGGCGGCTCGCGCGCCAGAAAGCTCGAGCCGACCGCCTCCGCGGCCCGGGACCACGACGGACCGGACCCATTATCTTATCCCCCCCCACCCCAATCGCGAACGTCGTGCACATATGCCTATTTGGTCGCGGCGGCCTCCTCCCCCGGGCCCGCCGCGCCGCCGCGAGAAGCGTCCCGCGGTGTCCATATAAAACTTTATCTTAGTATGTCTCCTCGCGCGGCGTACGAGCCCGCGCCTCGTCGATGGCGTACCGTGGCGTTTAGACTGCGGCGCGCCCCAATGATTCGCCTACGGTCCCCCGGGCGTCATCGCGGCCACCATGTCGCAAACGGAGCTCACGTCGCGGCCGCCTTCGCGAGCGGCGAGCCTGTCTCGCGCAATTCGCAAGTCGTGCTCAATACCCACTACAGCCGGGTTTGCGGCACCGAGAACGCGCCGCGCGGTCCGTGCTGTCTCCTTGAGCGTAGTCTCGGCCTCGCGGAGTTCGTCGAGCGTGGCGCCGGCGTTCAGGTAGAGCGCCCTCGCGTAATTCCACCTCATCTGGAGCGTGAGCTCATTACTCTCGCCGAGAATGCGTCGCGCCACGGGCATCTCTTTGCGTAGCAGCGTCCTGGCTTCTTCGAAGCCTCCTAGATGGACAAGGGACGACGCGTAGTTCAGGGCTGTTACGAGGGTCTTTGGACATTCTTCGCCCTCGAGCCTCAGGGATCCAGAGTATACCTTTTGCTGCATACGCAGGGCCTCTTCAAATCGTCCAAGCTGTCGATATGAGAGCGCAAGATTGCTCTGCGCGGCGAGTATATTGGCTTCTGGTGCGCCAAGGCGCCGCAGCATAGCCAACTCGGCCATCCTTACGGACAACGCGTCCTTGTCGTGATCTCCACCGTGCAAACCGTTCCCAAGCTGCCTCAACGCCAGTACCGAACCACATCCTCCTCCGGCCGCCCCAAGTATGTCTTCCAGCACGCCCACCCGAGCGCGCACGCCACGACGCCGTGGTAGTCTTGCTCGCACAGACTGCACGTGTACCACCGCGTCCACCTTTCAGTCTTCGCCTCGTGATCCAAATTGCTCTCCTCGACTTCCGCGACCAAAATCTTCGCCTGCTCCGCCAGGCACGACACGTGCGCGAAACCCGCCGTCCCGCGGCACGCACACATGCGCACGAGACCCTCCTTCGTCTTCCAATGGAGGGCCTGCGTGCAGATGTAGCACGTCTGGCCCTTCGTGTCCTCCGCGCACGCCTCCGCCGCGACCGATACTGCCTCCGTGTACTTTGTGTTGGCATTATACTGTTCGGCGCCGCCAGCTTTTTTAATCAATTTGCAGAGCTGGTCGTGCCCGCCCTCCTTCCAGTGCTGCACCTGGCATTCAGGCCCGCAGTAGCGCGTGCTGCAGCGGCCGCATTTCTTGCCCAAGGTTAGCCCAAGCTCGGTGGCGCAGACGGCGCACTGCGTGAGGATCATTTACAGCCTCGGGCAGCCCGATGGCGTCGATACAAGCTCCCTTTTTACATGGAGGCCAGCCAGGCCACCGCGAACCCGAATTTGACGATTTAAAAAAGCAGGCGTTGATTCGACCGTTCCACACATCCGCCGCACGCGTGGACGCCTGCGCGGTCGCCCGCGAAGGACCCCCAGATGTGCTGCCATCTTAAAAGCTGCCGCACCGGCTGGCCGCTTTGGGGCTGCTCGTCGCGCACGCAGCAGCCGCCAGGCACGCGATAGGCCTTCGCGCACGAGGCCTCGCAACGACTCTGCGCTCGGGACCACTGCCCACGGACGGAGCGGCCCTGGGCAGCGTGTAGCAGCAGACACCCATACGCAAGATGCCGGCCGAGGCGAAGGATGACGCCGCTCCGAAACGTAAATCGGAGGGCATCACCGTGTTTTTAAGGATGCGCCCGACGAAGCACCCGTCGAAGTTTTATGACGTGGGCGACAACGAGGGCAAGGGCCAAAGTCTGAGGTGGGACATTCCCCCAGACGCGGTGACCAAGGACGGCGAGTACATCAACAACACGAAGACGCAGTGGGCTTTTAAATTTGATCAGGTCTTGCCCATGGACATCTCGCAGGCGCAGGTGTTCGACCGCGTCGGGAAGCACGTCGTCCAGAACGCATTGGATGGCTACAACTCTACCGTGTTTGCGTATGGCCAGACCGGTTCGGGCAAGACCTTCACGATTACTGGTGGTTCCGAAAGATATGAGGATAGAGGTATAATACCAAGAGCTCTCAGTATGATCTTCCAGGCCTTTCGGGAACGGTCGGATTGTAGCTGGTCCGCCCATGTGTCGTATATGGAAATATATAATGAGCAGGGCTTCGATTTGTTAAATGAATCTTCCGGAGCGAAAGCATTGCAAGATTTGCCGCGGGTGCGCATGATGGAGGACGAGCACGGCAACTTCCATCTGAGGTCCGCGACGCAGCGTGGATATTGAGCCTTACGCCATCGACGCGACTCGTCTCCAGGAATGATGGCGGTGGGTGGTCCCGTTTTCGATTTTGAGCTGTTTCGGACCGCGTCGGAGAGTACGCTGTCGCGTCGATGGCGTCTTCGAGACCGTGTCCACGCAGGAACCTCTCCATGCACCGCGCCACCAGTGAAGAGGAGGCCCTCAATTTGTTATTCTTGGGAGACACGAACCGGGCCATCAGTGAAACCGCGATGAACCAGGCGTCGTCCCGAAGCCATTGTTTATTTACCGTATTTTTGGAATGTCGGGGCGCGGGCGGCTCCGACAAGGTCCGCCGATCGAAATTACATCTCGTGGACCTGGCGGGGTCCGAGCGCGTCCACAAGACGAAGAGCGACGGCATCACGCTCAACGAGGCCAAGTACATCAACACCTCATTGTTTTATCTCGAGATGGTCATTGTAGCTTTGAATGAGAAGAACAAAAAAGCTCGGGACCACATTCCTTATAGAAACAGTATGATGACTTCCGTTCTCAGAGATTCATTAGGAGGCAACTGCAGAACAGTTATGATCGCGACGTGCTCCGCGGAGAAGCCCCAGACCGAGGAGTCGATCTCTACGTGTCGCTTCGCGCAGCGGGTGGCCCTGGTGAAGAACGACGCTGTCCTTAATGAAGAGACGGATCCTTCCGTCCACGATAGCACGTTGAAGAGCGAAGTTTCGACATTACGAGCGGAGATCGGCTACTTGAAGGGCGAAGCGGGCGAGGGCGACGAGCTGACCGATGCGGAAAGAGCTGAGTTGCATAGTGCGTGTGAGGTCTACGTGAAGTCGCGGGACCCGGACGAGACGTTGCGCGTCGCGCCCTTGACGTTAACGCGCATCCGGGACTGCTTCGCGCTGCTCAAGAACATGGTCCTCCAAGCTTTAGCTTCGCAAGGCACCGGCGGCTCGACGGACGAGCAGTTGAAAGCTACTCTGAAAGAACGCGACAACGAGATCGCCATTTTGGTGAACATGGTCCGCCAGGCGCGCGGCGGCGGGACCGCGCCGACGCCCTCCATCGCGAGCGAGGCGAAGGAGTTCTCGCCACCTTCGTCAGAGAAGAAAGCTGAACCTGTCCGACGGCTGGACCCGCGGGAGCAGTTAGCTGAAGACCGCGCGAGGATGAAGCATCGGTTGCCCGATGAGGTGGCAGGTGTCTCCATCTATGTGGACGATGCGGAGGTGCGAGACGATCCGAAACGAGCTTGGTTGTATTTCCGCGAGAAATGTAGAATAGCCCACGTCCTCGAGGACAACAAACGCGTCCTGAAAGAAAAATACTGTGAGGCCAAAGCGTGTGGCGAGAAGGTCAACGCCACGCGGAAGGCCATTGCGTATTTGAAGCAATCTATAGAGGCTATTCGTAGAGAAAGAGCAATAGAGGGAGTGGTCAATGAGGACGACCTCCAAAAGGCCGACCCGGAGGAGCAGCGGAAGATCGACGCCATCGCCCAGGAGAAGGAGGTCTACAAGCAGAACTTTGAATCATTGAGACGCTTAAAAACTGAGATCGAGCATGTGCAAAAAATGTTGGAGTCAGGTCGGAAAAAATTGCAGAAGGAGTACGACGAGTGGTACGCCCACGTTTTAAGGAGGGGGCACAACAAACAACCGACGAACGCGTGGGCGACGCCGCCGGCCTCGCCCGCGCAGTCCGCGGTGTCGCCCACGCAGTCGTCGCAGCCCAAAGAAGAGGACGACAACGAGGACGTCCGAGCATTTTATGCCGCGAAGGCGGAACTGGAGGCTCTTAGGGCGAAGCAATAACGGGATCTTGTTTAATTATTATTAAGTTAGGCTAGGCGTCGGCGCGCCGGGCGCCGAATAAAATGCGCTTGTCAGACAAATGTCAGCAGGAACGGCAGCGGCGAGAAGCCCATGACAACCAGGACGACGAGCTTGACGATGTGCTTTCGCAATCTAGCGATTGTCAGCCGCGCCGCACAACCGACCCGCGCGAGCGGCCGTTTCTTCGTCAGACATGCCGCTCGAATGACCGCCACGGTGTCTTTGGCCAGGGGCGCGACCTGTGTGGACATCAACCGGTATGCGTCGATGGCGTGGGGCGCCCGAAATTTGATTTCCACACAGGGCGCGACGGGCTCGGGCGGCCGGCGCAGCGCGGCGCGGCGCCGCGACTCGCGCGACAGCGCCGGCGCCGCGCCGGCGAACACACAAGCAAACGCGACGGCGCCCGCGGCGAAGAGGTAGCCGCGCCGCCGCCGTTTAGCGGTCGGCGAATTCGCGGCGTCGTCGAGGCCGAAGGCTAACAGCAAATGTTTGGAAGGCGTAGTCGGCGTCGACGGCGTCCTCTGTAAGCTGCGCCAGGACTCGTCCCTGACGACCGGCGGTCGCTCGACGGTCGCGGGGTCCCAGGAGACCTGGCGCCTCACGGGCGTCTGCATCGCGGCGCGCTCCGCGGCCTCGAGGCGGTCTAGCAACGCTTCGAGGCGGCGCTTGGCCTCGGGGTCGATGGTGGCGCGCGCGAGCGTGTCGCGCAGGTCCGCCCCATCGAGGTTAGTGCCGCCGTTGGGCATGCGCACGGGCGTCCGCAGCGTCGGTGGCGTTTGGAGAGGCGTCTCCGCGGCGAAGTCGGCCAGCGCCCTTTCCTGTGGCGTCTGCGGAACGGCAACTTCCTCGCTGCGCAGCGCCGTAGGCGTGCTCGCCGCGGCGGGCGAGTAATAGATGCTCGCTGGCTTGGATTTGCGGGGCGTTTCTTTTTTCTTGCGACGGAAGAGGCGCTTCATGGCTGTGCTGTGGCGCTAGCCCAACGATGGCGTACGCGGCGCGTTTTATGCAGCAACTTTTTTGAGTCTGTGCGGTTTTGGGTCTTAGCAGGCTCCAAAACGCTTGAAATTTAGGCAGCAGTTGCAGCAGGCCGTGATATGGCTGCCAGATGTGTAAAAACTGCTCCTGTTGCCTGTAATGCCTCTTTTTGGCTCAGAGCAAATTGCTTGCCAAAAAACCTGATTTGATTGCGTAATTAATTCGTCCTGCGTTGCGCCTTTTATCTATCTCAGGGGGCCTACATTGACTAGGAGACGCATGCTAAGCACCTCTCGAGCTCGCCTCGACGACAAGCATCAAGCATCCACTCAGCCTGGATTTGGACCACGATTGCGGCCGCTATATCGACGCGCCTTGCAAGCATTCATCGCGAAACGATACTACGGCTACTCGCGAACGAATAGCTGCAGCAACAGCAGCGAAATAGACAGCTACAGAGCAGCAATAACACCTAGGTGGGCACAGCTCTCACAGAGGACAGGACACGAATCGCATTACGATGCCAAAACACCAAATACTGCTCCTGGCGACGACAGCCACCGCGCTGCGCCTGGCGCCGCGCCGCACCGTCGTCCGCATGGCCACCACCACCGAAGCCGAGACAAGGCCGAAGGTCGTAGTTGTGGGAGGCGGCTGGGGCGGCTTCGGCGCCGCATTGGCTGCGGCAGAAAATAACTGCGACGTCACTTTGATTGATGCGGGCGACCCGACGAGCGGCATGACGACGGACAGCGGCAAGCCGTTCGAGCCCGGCATGAGGGGCTTCTGGAAGGACTACCCGAACATCAATCAATTAGGAGACGAGCTCGGTATTGAGGGAGCGTACACGGACTTCACGGAGAGCAGTTTCTTCTCGCCCGATGGTCTCGAATGCACCGCTCCTGTGTTTAGTGGTAGTAGGGAACTACCTTCCCCACTCGGACAGGTCTTCGCGTCGTTCGACCGCTTCAAGAGGTTGCCTCTGAGAGATAGAGCGTCGATCGCGGGACTATTGGCGGCGATGCTCGACTTCAACAGAACGCCGGAAATTTTTGACCTTTATGATCGGATGACGGCGTACGAGCTCTTTCGGCGCGTCGGCGTCACGAAGCGACTCGTCGATGATTTTCTCAGGCCTACTTTGTTGGTGGGGTTGTTCAAGCCGCCCGAAGAACTGTCGGCAGCCGTCACGATGGAGCTGTTGTACTTCTACGCCTTGGCGCACCAGACGTCCTTTGATGTCCGATGGCTCGCTCGTGGGACGGTCCAAACGACTTTGCTGAAGCCGCTAGCTGATCGATTAGTAGAGATGGGTGTAAAAATAAAACCGAGAACGTTCGTCACGCAACTCACGTACGAAAATGAGCAAGTGACGTCCGTAAAAACGAGCGAGGGTTCGGTGGCCTGCGACGCCGTCGTGCTCGCTTTAGGTGCAGGGGGCATGAAGCGCGTCCTAGCTTCTTCTACGGAGCTGTCGAAGGCAGCGCCGGACCTAGCAGCGTCGGCCTCATTGAACGCTATTGATGTGGTCGCCGTGCGACTCTGGCTCGATCGTACTGTCAAGACAGATACACCAGTAGGCGTTTTTGCCAAGTTTCCGGAGCTACGCGGTGCTAGACCTGTGTGGAAATCGACCAAGTCATTTCTCGGCGACGACGCGGCCGTTCTGGTTCCGTCGAGCTGTCGCCACGCCATCGAGGTGTCGCGTCGATGGCGTGGAGGTCGACGCGAAACGCGCCGTAAAATTTTGATTTCCACACAGGCGCGGGCGGGACCTTCTTTATGTTGGACCAGCTCCAGAAAGATAATTTGGAGGAGTTGTGGGGTGATGATGACGTGCAGGGTTCCGTGTTGAGTGCGGACTTTTACAATTCGGGTGCGATCGCGCCTCTTTCTGATCAAGCGATCGTCGAGCTCGAGATGAAGTTACTCTCAGAGGCCTATGCTGGGTTCAAGGACGCCAAAGTCGTCGATAGCTGCGTCAAGCGCTACCAGGGCGCCGTGTCGTGGTTCTCGCCTGGCTCGTTCTCGAAGCGGCCGCCCCTCGCTACTTCGGTGAAGAACGTCTGCTGCGCGGGGGACTGGGTGCGCATGGGGTCTCGAGAGCACGGCGCGAAGGGCTTGTGCCAGGAACGAGCTCTTGTTTCTGGATACGAGGCGGCGAACGAATTGGCTTCTCGCGGAGTCTTGAACGGGAACCGGCGCATGAAGCAAAGGCTGGAGATCCGCGACGACGAGCCGGCCTACACGATGGGCGTGCGCGCGTCGTCCGTGATCCAGGGGGCCCTCGATCGACTGGGTGTTGGGTCTGTATGGGTCCGCTAAGTTAGTTGTGTTTCTATAATGGTCTCGTCGATGGCGTGCTGCGGCGATGTCGTTCGGCGCTGCAGCCTCGACCGTAGGCAGGCAACCAGTAGCGCTAGTGTTACGGTGCTAGGACTAGTCGAGGCAAACAGCAAAGGCACGAAGGCACACAACTAAGCGATGCGGCAGCCGCCCTCCTCCTCTTTCTCGACGATGTCAGACTCCTCAGCGGGCGCCTCGACGTCCTCACCATCCGCCGACTTCGAGCGCGGCCGCCGTTTCGGGCCGCCCCGGCCGCCCACGGCGCGCTTGTGCGTCGACTCGCCCGCATCACTGTTCACGAGGTGGAACCAGCACAACGCGAAGAGCGCGATCACGAGGCACATGACGATGGCGAAGAGCATGAGCTTCATGCGCGTGCTGCTCTTTTCGAGTCTACGGTGGCCGGCCTCGTTTTGCATCAATGCGTCCGCCGCGAACTGGAGCGCGTCCATGGCGTCGGAGATCATCGTCGCTCACCTATGGGTCGCAGCTGTGCGGTCGTCGCGCGTGCGGCGCGTATGCGTATGCAACTCTCTGGGAAGCAATTTTTGTCTGCCTTGGGGCAGCGCGCGCGGCAGCCCGCGTATTGAGGCGCGCACCGCGAATTGTTCACGTACCTTCCTTGGGCCGCAGCGGCGTATAGAGTGCGATCCGACCGATGCTGTCACGGTGCTTTTTGGTGCAAAGTGCGGGGCTGCGATCCTCGTCGAACGGGAAGAGTCGTCGCGCGGCTCGCCATAGCATTCTTCGGCGCGCCCGAGAGTTGTCAACGGAGCATCCTCGTGGCGGCCGGAGCAAAACTGAGCAATCCGGAGAGAGAGCTGCCTCTCGGCGCGGCGCCGCAAAAGCACGGACCGCAAGGCAATGCCGGTCGAGGGCAGCCCCGACGAGCCGTTGCTGCCATCGATGCGTGCCGTTGTGTGCTAGCCGTACATATATGAGGCTGCTATGGGGCTGCTCTCTGAGTGTCGTCATGCGAGACATTGAGTGACACGAGGCGTATGATGAGGCTGCTGTCTGTGGGCGTGCTCGCGCTGGGCCCGATATCTGCGGAGGCGAACGGCTGCTACTGGACGAAAGTAGTCGTAGAAAACAACGTAAAAACGGTGCACAAGGGCTTCCGCGACCCCTTGAAAAGGAGAGGCTGCCGCTGGAATCATGATAGCGGACTGAGACCGCCCGAGGCGTATGCGCTGGAAGTGGCCATCTTGGAACGCTTAAACGAACCGCGCAACGCCAGCCAATGTACCGGGAGGTACTTTCCGCGGTTGTTGCGGCGGCACGACAACAATCTAAGCTTCGTGCAGTCGTACGACGGGACGAACTTGTTGGAGAGCCCGTCGACGGCGCAATGCTCATTATCAAACGAGGACCTGACGCGCTTCGCGACGTGTGCGGAAGCGTTACTGGAGGCGGCGCACGTCGTCCACTACGACCTCAAGGCCAAAAACACCGTCATCTCTGGTGACCAGCTGACGGCCATCGACTTCGACCTGGCGACGCTGGATGGACGGCCGTCGCTCACGGACTTGAGTGATAGGCGCTACCGGACGCGGACGCGGACGGCGTACGGCCCCGCGCTGCGGGAGGCGCGCGCCGCGCGGTGCGCGCTCGAGCGTCGGTCCGCGGTGCTCCGTGATCGAGAGGTGCGCGGCCCGACGCACGTGTCGGCGCGCCTGCGGCAGCGCCGCGAGGCCGTCGAGGCGGCGCGCGGCCGGCAGCGCGACTTCCGCCGCACCAGTCCCGCGTCTGCGGGCGGCGCGGCGGCAGTCGAAGCCGCCAGACGATCCGTCGTAAGAGCCTAGACCTAGCGTGCGGGTGCCAGCTCTCCGACGGAGGCGCCGCGGCGCCACGGCAAATAGACGCCACCACGACACACGACGGGGCGCGCACGCCGCCGCCGCGAAGCCTAAGGACACGGGGGCAGCGCCACCGAGGGCGCCGCACCGCCCGCGGCCGAGCACGCAAGGGGCAGCCCCACAACGCCAAGGAGCCAATCGGTCGCAACGCTAAGGGATGTACAGCACGCGGGGCAGCACGCGCGCCAACTGGGCCCACGGCCACACGCGCAGCGCCCTGGACCCCTCCATCAAGCTCCAGGGCTACCCTAATACTTACTCAGCCATCGGCGAGTTCCACCGGCAGGACCTAGATCGGCACGCGCTGGATCCTTTACATAGGCCGTTCCGGGACCACTCTAGAAGGAGAGAGTACCCGTCGGAGACGCGGCTGTGCCCGGACGTCCCTGTGCAACTCGAACCGCGTTTACCGGACGACCGGAAGGCGAGCTGGCTGCCCTTTGAAAGGCAGTCTATCCAAGAGCAGGAGTTCGAAGATGTATTGGATGAACTAGACCAGCGCTTCAACGTCTCGGCGCGGTGTGCTAGACGTAGACGATCAACTCTGAGAATATCGAAGCAGGACCAGGAGGACAATACCGTGTATGAGGACTTCGCGGAAGAGGACGAAAAAGTAGACGTACTGGCGTTGAAGAACGCGTCGCGCTTCGGCGACCCTTCTACAAACTTAAAGAAGGACAAGGACACGCTCCAAAAGATGGAGGACTACTTTTCGTCAAGGGCTACTTTCGAGGAGCCGGGGTCGAGGCCGGGATCCGCTGGAAGTAGACCCGGCTCGTCGAGACCAGGATCTAGACCAGGATCGCGCGGATCGTCTAGGGGAGGCTCTAGGCCATCTTCTCGAGCGCAGCAGCGCGCCGCCGAGGCTAGAGCAAAATATTCGCAGCCTAGAGATGAATGGGACTTGAGGATGAAAAAATGGATCGACGGGAACCGGAGGCGCATCCAGGCGATCGAGCGAGAGAATGCAGAGTATGAACGGCGCCTCTCACTCCGAAACTCGCGCATGAGCCGCGGCAGTTTGGACGACCGACGGCGGTCCCAGTCGTCGCTGCTCGACGCGCCGCTGGGCCTGCTCGGCGACACGACACAACACGCGAAGACAGAAGTCGAGCCGCGCAGCACGATGGCGTTTATTAAGACCTAAATTATAACTCGCCGTAGGCGCTCGAGACCGATCGTTTTCGACGGTCCCGTTCTTTCTTTCTTTTAGCTAGGTCGCGCTTGCGCTTGAGGAGGTCCTTGCGCGCCTGGCGCTGCGCTTTTAGGTTGTCCGCTTTCGTCGCTTTCTTGCCCTCCTCGTGCTTGCGGCGCTGCCACTCGCGCTGCTGCTTCGTGCGCCTGCGTTGTTACGCTCGTGTGTGGGCCCCGCGCCGGCGACGCGACGCCATTCTGCGACGTTGTCCACCCCCGCACGCCATCGATGCGACGCCCTTCGCTGCTCGACGGCGCGTCTCTCGGCCGGCCGCGCTCGCCGCGACTGCGATGAGACGCCGCATCCGCACGCCTTCTGGTGCGCGCGCGCCTGGTTCATGATGTGCTGCGCGTGGTGTTCCCGCGCGTGGGGCTGCGCCGCCGCTTGTACGAGCAGGGCCGCAAGCCAGAAGAATATGAGGGGCTGCCCCAGCGCTGCGAAGCGCCGCCGTCGGCGCCGCCGGAAGTCGCGCATGGGTAGCATGGCTGCCGCAGTGTGTTTTTGAAGCAAATGGGCAGCAATGTGGCTCAAAATCGGTCCGCTGCGCTTGAGATCTCGACGAACTGCACGGGTTTTCTGCGCGCGGACCCGAAACTCGGCCAGGAGGCGTAGCGAGGCCTCTCCTGCAGTCTCGCAAAGTTCCAAGGCCGGGGTGGAGGGGCACTCATTTGAGCAAGGCATCTCAGAGAGGCCGCGCGCATAGGCTGTAACAATAACACACTGCAGCCCTTCGACGCGTTCGCAGCGGAAAGCGCGAGCTATCCATACGCCAAAGCGATGCCCGCGAAGAAAGCCGCCGCCGGCACGCCTGCGGCGAGGTCGCCGCCCCCAAAGTCGGCGCGCCAGGAGGTGCGGCAACTGCGCGGCGAGCTCGAGGATCTCTTGCAGGACATCGACGCCGACGACGCGGCGCCGGCGCCCGGGCCGGGCGTCGTCGACGCAGCCATTTTTGATTCCGGCGACCACGATCGAGAAAGTTTAGCAAGGGAAGCGCTGCGACGAGCATTAGCCCAGGAGCAGGACGCGCACCGGCGGACCGCTGCTGGTGTTGACAGTGTGAGGCTGGAGGCGGAGGAAGCGAGGGCGCACTTCCAGGTCGCGCTCGCGACGGAACGAGCAGAAACGGTCAGACTGAGGAGTTTAGTGAGGAAGCTCTCGGTCGCCTCGTCGGGCCAAGCTCTGGTAGATGACTACGAACGCCAATTGGAGAAGCTCAAGAAGCGCAACGCGCGGCTGCAACGTAGGAATGTGCAATTGGAACTGGCGCGACGCTCGTCTACAACAGCAAAACCGACGCCACTGCTGCGCGTCGCGAAGCGCCAGGCCAAAGAACTGAAAAGGCTGGAGACGGAGAACGACTTGCTGAAGAAGAAGAACCGGAAGCTGCCTCTTGCTTTACGGATAGCCAAGTCGCAGACGTCCGTCGCGACGCGGAGAACGAACGAGGTCCAATCTCACCAAAAATTGTTAGCTGATGAAAGATTAAGGGCCGCGGCGTTGCAGGGTCGCAACGAGCTCTTGGAGGCGGAACTGAGGCTGTGCCAGAGCGACATCCGAGATTTGTCTTCGGATCGGGCCGCGCTTGTAGCTAAATTAGGCCAGCTGCGCGACTTCGTGAACGCTCTACCGGCGGCGCGGTTTTCTGATTATCAGCAGGACGAGCCGAAGCGGGGCGGCGTGCCGCCGCCTCCTAGACGGCGGAACTTCGCGGCGCCCGGGCCGCCGCGGCCGCCGGTCGGGCCGCCGCCTTGCGACGAGGCGCGTTAGTTTTCGGGTAATGGTAGTTTGAGGTATGCTTCTGTGGTGTGGGCGCGCGGTGGGCCACCTTTGTGTCTAGTTTTTGCACCGCGCCGCCGCGCGCCGGCCGATGGCTGGCCAACGCGCCGCCGCCGTGGTTTGTAGGCGTACAGGGGACGGCTCTGGGGCCGCCCGGCGAGCTTTGAGCGGGAAATAGGGGGGTCGGCCGCGGAGGCTCGATTTGGGTGCGCCGTCAAGGAGGTGAGACCGCCCTATTTACTCGGTGCCTGACCGTGCATTATTCATTCGCAGCCCGTTTTCGAACTCTCTTATGGATCATCTACGGCTCGTAGCTTTTGCGTTGCGTGACGGCGGCGGCAAACAGAGGACCGCCTGCTCATCTGCTCATGGCTGGATGGCCTATTGCGGGCCATCCTAGCCGTGCGGCGCGCAGCTGTCGGGCCTCCGTGACGGCGCCGCTCGCCATGGACGCACTGCTCACTTCGTCTCGGCCGAAGGGCCTCCGTTCGCATGAACGGTACGACCTCGGACAGAGCGCGCCAGCGGAGGCCGGCCGCCCTGCGCGGCGCGCCACCTTGACGCCAGTCGGCGTGGCCTCGGCCCCAGTCTGACGCGCCTGGACGCTGCCAGGCTGTCTAGACCGTCCTTGGGTGAGCCACGAGGGCGGCCGCCTCCGGTCGCCATGGCGAGAGGCCTCCACACACCCCAGTCGCGCGACGTCGACGCGCGCCGCCGCCGGCACCCCACTCACCCCCTACGAACGAAACGCAGGTCGTCACGATGGCGCGGACCGTCGCGGCGTTGGCCCTCGTGGCCGGGGCCTCCGCCCTGGTGGCGCCGGTCTCGAAGGTCTCGAAGGTCGTCGAGAAGTACACGGACTCCACATTAAAATCGTCGCCGGGCGGCTTCATGGAGCAGGGCACGGAAATGTTCCAGGAGCAGTTCCCCGAATTTAACAGCTATGGCTGGGGCGTGTCCGTCAAGGCGGAACGGTGGAACGGGCGCCACGCCATGTTCGGCTGGGCCTTCATCATCGCGACGGGCTACTGCAAGGCCCACGGCCTCATCCCCGACCCCGAGAAGCTCTTAGATTTCAAGCAGTGGGGCACGCTCGCCATCATCTCCGGCGGCAAGGGCGGCGGCATCACGATCACGAACGAGCGCGCGTGCATCCTCGTCGCGAACATCCACTTTTTGGTGGTGTCGCTGTGTGCCGCGTTCTGCCCGCTCCCGTTCCAGGACACGCTCCTCCTCGAACCGGGGGAGCCCGACGAGGAGCCCGCCGGTCTGGTGCCGGCCTTCGACACCGGATTAACCCCGCGGCGGCTCTGAACGGCCGTTTGGCGTGCTCGGCCTCATTATCTTCTCGGCGTACAGCATGATCTACCAGATCCCGTTCCTGAACGCTTAGTGGACAACGCGCTCGGCGGGTTGCTGCTGGCGCCGGCGGGCGGCGCTGCGGCGGCGGTCGCGGACGTGGCCGGCGCCGGCGACCGAGGCGGCGCCGGTCGCCTAGCATAAGTTCCCTGGTGGTGGGGCTCGTGTAACGCATCGGACACTGTCTTAACCTTGCCGCGGCGGCGGCGTGCTGGCCAGGACTTGACTTCCAGAATTTCTGCGGCACGGGTTTTTTTTTTGCTCTCCGAACTCATTTTGGCTCTCGGTCGCAACAGACGATAGAGCTAAGCTGGTGGATGCAAGACACTCAAGACACCTTCTACAGGTCGAAATTTTCACAAAAAGAGCGGTATCAGGCGGCACCGCAGCAGTCCTAGCTCACATGGAGGCCTCACTACATGTAGTGCAGTGCGCTCGCGGCGTTGCGGAGCTCAGGCGCCAGAATGTGACACCCGCGAAATTGCGCGGCCTCAAGGTGGCTTTACGTAGACAGAATTGTGCGACCATTGACGGCGACGCGCTGCAAAAAGCACTCGCGACACAGAACTTGCGGATGAATGACGCGAACGCTGCAGCGTTCATTAGGGAGGCGGCGAGGCGGGCCGCGAACAACGAGGAGGGCGCGCCGACGGACGCGCCTTTAATAGGTGTCCTCACTTTGCTCGCGGACCTCTTCGCGCCCGGTTCACAAGCGCCGGCGGCGGCTCCGGCCACCGTGGCGCCATCGGTGGTCGTCGGCGCCGCAACCGAGGAAGCGGAGCGCGCGCAAGCGCCGTCCGCCGACTCAGCTTCGCCACCACCTCCCGCGCCTGTGGAAGACGTGCGCACGGAAGTCGAGCGACTTATAAACTCATTGCGTTCCAGGCAGGGTGCAGGGAAACCCGCTACCACAAAAGCCGTTAAGGCTTTGGGCCAAATCGCCAAGACATCCGCCAATCGTGCCTTGATTACCGACGCCGGTGGCATCGGGGCTCTCTTGTCGGTAGTGACGAACGACGGTGGTATTGATTTAAAGCGGCGCGCCGTGGGAATATTAGGGCAACTCGCCAGTGGGAATAAACTCGCCTGCGACGCTATTAAGAAGGCCGGCTGCATCTCGCCGCTCCTTGAATTCGTGACAACTGCCGGGAATCTCGGTGAGAACGATGAAGACGGGGGGCAGAAACTCCGTCTCGCGGCAGCCGCCTCAAAGGCGTTGGTGGTCATTGCTGGCGACGACGGCGCCACTCGTGCCACCATTAGTGAGGCGCTCGTAGTATTATTTTCAACCACGTCGCCCCCTACTCAGACTCAGGCTTTGCAGGCCTTGGGTGCGTTCGTCAGAAAAGCCGCCAATTGTGACGCCATCGTCGAGACCGGTGCCATCCCGCGGCTCGTGGAAATCGTGGCGAACGGCTCGGAGATTGGCCAGAGATCTGCTGCAAAGGTGTGGCTAGAATCGCCTACGATGCCCGCAAGAGTGCCGTGATCATCGCCGCCGGCGCTCTCGCCGCTCGTGACAGTACTGAGGAACGGCAAGGCCGACGACAAGGCGGCTGCCGCCACGCATTGCGGTCTCGCCCACGACCATGAATCCAAGGCTGCGATCATCGCAGCCGGCGCTATCGAGCCGCTCGACGGAATGCAGAAATACGGCACCCCACCTGCAAGCAGGAGGCCGCGAAGACGTTGCATGCGCTTGGCGAACGGGTACTAGACGGAGGATGCCGGTCGCAACTGAGGGATGAGAACGCGACGCTCAAGCGCAAACTCGAGCACTACGAGCCCAAGGTGGTCGATCTGACTCAGGACGACGACGCTGGCGACGACGCCGCGCCGCCGCCCGTCGAAAACGAGCTGCTCACACAACACGCGCGGGCGACGAGCGAGCGCCTGGTCGCGGTCAAGCAGGAGGCGGCGGACGAACGCGAGCGGGCCGACTTCCAGGGGACGAACGCGATGTATCTCACGGCACAGAAGAGCGAGCTCCAGCGACTCGTGAGCGACGCCGCGAGGGCGCTCATCGAGGCGGACGTCCCCACGCACGAATGCCCGGATGACAAGACGCCCTTCTACTATATGCTCGAGTCGCACCGCGACGACGGCAAGCAGACGGTACCCTGGAACCCCGAAGCCGGCCGCGCCATGACGCTGGCCGAGGGGATCGCGTGGCTCCGGAACAACCCGCCATCCAAAAAGCGCCGGACGAGGCGCCCGGAGTCCGATCGCCTCACTGACAGTCTCAGTAGCTCGAGCGTCCCACGCCGCGCGGCGGCGGGCGGGCGACGCGCCTGAGGACCTGATCGGCGCGGCCGCTGATGTGTAAGAAGGCCATGTGCATAAACACAAGTCCCCACGCCATCGCCGCGACAGCAAGCAGAAACTCGTTCTAATCTCTTATGAACACGGCAAGGGATGGGGGGAATCACACAGTCACACGGCGCCGCCTCACGCGACGACGCCGCCGCGGAGCTTCTTCGCCGCCTTGAGCAGCGCCGGCTCGACGACGCCGACGACCTTCTCGAGCAGCTCCGGGACGGGCTTGTCCTTCTTGACCTTGCAGTTGCCGCCGTCCTCGAAGCAGTGGACCTGGTTCTTCTTCTCGGGCGCCGTGTAGTCCTTGACGGTGGCCCACGCGCACTGCTGCTCGACCTTCAAGCTCCCAAACGCGACGCGGATGTAGCCCATCTCGCCCCAGTACTCGCCCCAGGAGTTCCGCACGATCCAGTACTGCTGGTCGTTCTCCTTGCCCCAGCCCACGACGGAGATGACGTGGTCGACCGTCTCAGGAGCCCTTTGTGCACGGCAATGCCGCTCTGGTACTCGAGGATGGCCGACGCGTCGATGCCGCACGAAATGGGCCCGCGCGCGTAGATCTCCTTCTGCATCGCTTTTTGACCAGAAATAGAACCGTAGTCGTCGATCGTGATCTGCGGGTAATCAGCAATTGCCGCGCAGAAGCCGCCCGCCGACGGAAAGGTAGAACAAGTCCGCGCGACGTTGATGTCGCTACAAGACCAGTCCTGGCCCTTGCAGATGCCGTCCTTGCTTTCCGACGAACAAGCTAGGTAGGGATTGGACGTCTCCAGACTAATACCTTTGCCCTCCTTGGAGAGCTTGTGGAGCCACTGGTAGGGGCCGTCGACACTTCCACCGTGGCAGGAGCCGCCTCCCCCACAATTCAGGATGTGCTGCACCGACGGGTTGAGGTCCACACCCTTAGCTTTTCTAGCGATCTTGACCCGATCGGCCAAAGCCGACACGGAGCCGTGGGCCCAGCAACTTCCACAGTACTGGGGGATGTGCTGGTTCCGCGACATCGTCAAATAATTGACGCCGTCGACATTGCCCCACGTGAACGCGTCCGGCAAATCATCGTCTTTGATCTTCTTGTGCAACAAGTCGTGGCTCGACTTGGCCGTGGCGTTGCCGCGCCAGACGAAGCCGGCGGCCTCGACCTCGTGCTTCTCCCAGACCTCTGCGAGGGGGCGCGGCGTCGGCGTACAGCGTGGCGCGTTTGATGGGGTGTGCGCGCGCACTCATCTTCGTGTGGTCAGGTGTTTTGTTCGCGTGGTGTCGGGACGCTGCGCGGTGCCGCCAACGATAGCAGAGGCAGGTGCCGATAGGAGGAGCGCGATGACGAGCTTCATTTGAGCGCTGAGGTTCTAGCGGCAGTGTACCAGGATTAATCAAGCTCTGATGCGCGGCGTCTTTTTGGGCTAGTAGCTTTGACCCTACCTCCCGAATGCAGACGTCTCAAATCAGCGCCTTCTCGGTGGGAAACTACGTAGTTCAGACAGAAAACACAGGTCACAGGCGAGGCAGAGCCAGGCGCACCGCGCGTGACCGCGCCTCGGGTCGCCCGTACGCCATCGACGAAGCTTCACGCCATCGACGACGACGCGCCACGACACAACGAATAGAAGAAGAAAACATTACTTCGCCTTCGCGGACGCGGCCTTCTCCCGCGCCCCAGATACCATCTCCGCGAGCTTCCCCTTCTCCGCTAAGACCTTGAACAGGTCCACCACCAAAGGCACGTAGTTGTGGTGGCGCCGGACGTTCTCCGCACTCCACATCTCCCGCTTGGCCACCTCTCTAGCTAGATCAGCGTCGCACTCGGCCACAGAACCAGCGTCGCCCGCGGCCTCCAACAAAGCGCGTTTTTCCTGCAACACGGCTCTCTTATCCCGGATGATGGCCATCAGATTGAACTTGATCTCTGAAGCTGAATACTTTTCGATCCTCGCTTGAATTGCGGAACGCGCCACGCCCAGCCAATCGCTACCAGACTCACCTAAATCACAAGGCCCCGGCCGCAGCCCATCCAATTCATAAACGCGACCGCCGAACGGCACGTAGGTGATGAAGTGGAACACGTCGTCGTCCTTCGTCGCCTTGCGATCATCGGACACGAACGGCTCGGGCCTCGCGAACGCGTTGTGCGCGGTTCGTATTTTTTCCGCATTTTCTATAGCTAACCCTCTCATATCAAACGGTAAGTCGGCGGCGAAGGTCTTCAACTCCTCCAGCGCCGGGCCCAGGGTCAAGCCCTCCGCGTCGGCCCTGTTCAGCAGACACCCGAGAATCGCTTGCGTGGCACACGCGTTCGACACGACCTGCTTCGCGAAGAAGAGCCCGGGCACCTCATCACAACAGGGCCGGTCGTCCTTCTCGCCCGTCCACTTGAAGAGAAAAATGAGCCCGAAGACCGGTTGGAGTTGTGCGAGTTCCGCGTCGTCCAGACTGTATAATTCGGCGAACTCGCAGCCGGACGCGCCGAACTTTTCTACTAATTCGGTAAAGACTCCCGGGTCGCTTTCTATCGTGCACCAGGACATCTTTGTGTTGCGGCGGCGGCGTAGGGGTGTAGTTGGCGCGGCGGATGCGGTGTGATCTAGCAACGGCGCAGCGGCTCAGCGTTCTGTGGCGACGCACAAATGCGATAGCGCGGCACAGATGGGCTCAACTAGCCTGATTTCCACAGCCCGCGCGCCCAGGCAGAAAAGCTAGCATGCGAAGACGCTAGCACTGCCAGGATAGGAAAATCGGAGCAGCGCCGCCCACAGCGGTCAACGGGGGGCTCGGAGGGCCGGCGGGACGTCGCCAGGCACGCGTGCAGGCTGCCCCGCTGCCCCTCTGTCGGTGACCCCATTGGTCAGGCCAATCACAAACAATGGCCGGCGGACGCGCCGTCGCCGCGCTCGTCCTCTGTGCCCGCACCGCGACAGCAACCAACGCGACGTGGTGCAGCGCCCGCAACCATCGGCGCTTAGCGGGCGGCTGCGTCCATTCCATAAGGCCAGCCCTGCCCCACGCCGCCGCGGCGCGCCTCGGCTCTTTATTACAACGGGCGTGGCAGCAAAACAGCTTCCTCTACGCCACGAACTGCCGACGAAGCGGCAACGCGTGCGAGTGCGGCAACAAGAAGATGCGCATGAGTACAAAGGACTCCGCGCCGGCGCAAGCCGCCGCTGTATACTGCAGAGATAAACGAGGCGGTTTTATTTACTCGAAGCACGAGCTGGACCGGGCTTCCACCGCCCACGCACTCCTCGAAAAAACTGTGGACGCGCTGATACGGCCACGGCTCGAAGACGCGATCGGCGGGCCCGTCGCGAACCTGACCGACTGGTTCGCGTCCGCGTTCCAGAGCGGCGGCTGGCTCGGCATCCATACCGATGTTGGATTGGGGCACGTGGCCTTCGTCCTGAACCTGACTCCTGACGACAATGCATTTAGGGGGGGTGACTTGGAGTTTGCCGAGGGCCACGTCATGGGCCACGCCGTATCTCCGAAGTTCAACAGCCTCGCGGCCTTCCGCGTCGGAAGTGGCGCGCACCCGCTGCCGCACCGCGTGACGGCCGTCGACGCGCCACGGGAGAGCCTACCCAGACTCGCGATCACGGGCTGGTACACGATTCCCGGGGCAGACCCGCGTGCCGTCAGCCCGGCGATTCTAAACGCGGAGAAGGGGAGACGGACACGGTAAACTTGTTTTTGTGTGACAGAGCGTGTTCCTCGACATTCTTAGGCGGTGAGAGCGCCTAGCGTCGCGACGACGCCGAGGAAGTCCTATATGGGGCAGCAAGGGACCGAACGTCCAGGACAAAGGGTAGGGGAAGGAATGTATGTCGACGACCGCTCCCGGCCGTCGGTGTGATGACCGCCCGCTCAGGAGGCTTGGCCAGGTAGACGCCGCAGAGGACCTGGTCGCGGTAGTCGCGGCCGCAGTGGCCGTGGCGCCCTCGCCGGCGACGAAGTGGCCTCTCGCCGCGAGGCTACAATCAGCCGTCGCCGTTTTAGAGGAGAACTTTCCCGGCTCGCAGGGCTCGCAGGCGTCGTTGCCCGCGCCACTCGAGTAAGCGCCCGCGTCACATTTCTTCTGCGTCGTCGCGCCGGACTTCCCGACGAAATGTCCCGCGGAGGCAGGCCTGCAGCTCGTCTGGCCCGGTGAGTTGGCGTACGTGCCTTTTGAGCAGTCTTCGCACTCGCGAGCGCCGGACGTGCCCAAGAATTTCCCCGCCGGGCACTGCTGGGGCCTTGACGCGCCGTCGGACGGAACGAAGAAGCCGGCGTTCGCCTTAGTAGCCGTCGTCGACGTAGCCGTAGTCATCACCGTGGTAGAGGAGCCGCCGCGACCCGGCCAGCGGCGCCCGGCCACGCAGGCGAGTTCCGCCGGCCGGCGCGCCGGCCAGGGCGCCCCAGAGCGCGAGTGCCAAAACGCCGCCAATCAACCCTCTCATTCCTCTCCGCTAGGGCTTCCCGGCGTGTGGGGAATCTCTTACAACTAGCAGGAAACAGCAGGAATATTCAAACCGTTATAGATGTCGCTCCTTCACGGGCCTGGCCGGATGAAAAACAGTGCAGCTTTGCTAGTGTCTTACGCCGCTAGGGATTTCCACGCTCTGGGCCATCAACCCGGGTTTTGGAGGATACCTGCCATGCTATTCCCTAATTTTACACTCACTCACCCCGTCATGATCGGCGACGACGACGCCCGCGGCCGCAGCGGCGGCGGCGGATACGAGGGAGACGCCGGCCCGAGCATGTCCTCATCATCATCATCGCCGAAATCGTTGTCCACGGCGAGCGGCGCCTCGTCATCGTCGTCGCCGAAGTCCGCGTCGACCGCGAGGGATTGGGGAGGCGGTTCCCACCCGCTCTGGCCCGAAGCGCACCGCTGCACCAACGAGATCTTCTCGGCGCCCTTCAAGCCGTCCCATCTTGACCCCCAGGCCTTCTTGACCTTGCCGAAGGCCAGGGCCATGGGGTCCGGGCCTGCTATAATGGGCTTCGTCAGTCGCAACACGACGTAGAGACTGGCGACGTCCCACTCCGCCTGGGACAACGATCCGGACGTGTCGGGCACGCCCATGCGCTCGAGGGATGCGCGACCCTCCGGCGTCTGGGCCCGTGCTTCGACGAACTCCGCGAACGGTGTGTAGCCGTCGACTCGTAAGCCCGCTTTCTGGGCGAGGTCGTCGATGACCTCTCTAGGTGCCAACCATTCGGGAGCGTCGACCGCCGTCGAGCCGTCCCCATCCAGCAGCCGGAACCAATATCTTAACCCACATCTTGGTGTTTCAGCACCCGGTTCCAACCCACATAATTGTAGATGTCTCTTTACTTAACCACACCTCCAGGACCCGCCTTCGACGTTTGAGGGCGTCCTTTAATAGAGTTAAACCCTTTTCATCCATAGGGGGCTCATGATCAACAACGGCAACATACCATTCTGCTATGTCCGTGGAAGGCGGCGTCATATCCGACGAGGCAGGATTCGCCGTCGATAGAATACGCGCACACAGCGCCGTGCAGTTCACCGTCGTCGCGACTAACGAACCGCCCGGTTTGAGGGCGCCAAAAACATCACTAAACAATCTTGATGCTCTTTGTTCGCTCTCGAACATGTAGTGTAAGGCGAACTGCATCGACGCCACATCAAATAAAGATGGAGGTACGGCGTAGGGTGCCGTGGACCACGTACTGTCGGCGTAGACCTGGCGCGGTGCCGCTTCTAGTATGGATGAGCCGCCCAGAGAGCATTCCACAAGGGTCACGGGCACGGCGCCCCACCGTCTCGAGTCAGATTCTAACCGTTCCACGGCGTCCTCCAGCGACGTCTTCGCGATGTCAACACCCACATATCTACCGGGCGCGGCCCGGATGAACTTTCCGAGGTCGCCGCCCTTCCCGCAGGCTAAGTCCAATATAGCTGGCGCCTCCTTGCCCTTACACGCTTGGGAAATGATCTCGGCCTTGACCCAGTTGTTCAGGCGTCTCAAGTGATAGATTCGCGTCTGGCCTCTTTCCCCTTGCTGTCTTGTTCGTTTCAGAGAATTGTAGAAGTCCGCCGCGGCTCGTTGATTGGCGTTGTCCATCGACGGTGGTGGTGGCGGTACGACGTCGGGCGGCGGCGGGAACGCCGGCGACGACGGCCCGCGGCTCGACATCGGTGAGCGCATTACGGTCAATGACGAGCTCCAAACTCCCGTCGGTCGCCGACGTTAACCAAGCACCTCGTCCCGCGTTCGCGAACTTGTTGCGCTGCCTTAACCAGGTCCCGAACTGTCTTGCTCGCTGGCCATCATCCTCAGATGAAGCTTGTAAGGGCACCACGCAACAGTCCGCCGCCGTCGCTCGCAACAGAAAAGCATGATCTCTGGAATAGGTCGTGACCTCAATATTGGTCAAAGGACAGGCCCCCGGGGGGCGAACTGCGCCGTGGAGTACCTCTCGTCCAGGACGCGCACCGCCACATCGCTCAATGAACCATCTTCATCGAACAAACAGACGGCGCGCCCGTCCCGGGCGACGGCGGGCGGGATGACGGCCGTCGGCCTTCCATCGTTGCTTCGTTGCAGCACGGCAGCTTTGCCGTACGGGTTGGGAGGTCTAGGTTTGGCCAAATCAGCACAATACGCCTCGAGCCGCGCGCGGCCGTCCGCGTCGCTTGGTACCAAAAAGCACCGTCCTCGCAGCCGCGCCCATCTTCCTGAATCTCTTTCGTAGCCGTCGCTCACGTTCACGCGGAGCACCGGCGGGAGGGCGAGGGACGCGGGCTCACATGTTAGTGATGCGATGGCGTTGCCGTCAACTTCGAGGAGGCTCATTTTTCAGCGCGCCGCGGCGCCTGGCGTCTCGGGAGGGCGCTCTGTCTCGCCGGCGGTTTCGGGACCTCCCCTGCGCGCACACGTCGCTTCCGCAGCGCGATACGCAAGGAGACGTCTTGCAGAGATGCCGCCACGTGTCTTATCGCCCTCGTCCGTCCCACACCCCTACTCGGCCGCCGCTGCGAGCTAGCGGCATGTAAGACTCTAGCAAGCAAGGAGAGCGCGTTTTTGACGTGCCCTAGCGCGCGCTGACGGCGGTGATCGCTGGCCGTGGCCACGGCAGGTGAACACTATCTGCTCGGGAATACGCTCGTGAAGAGTTTGTGCGCACTCGTGCCGCACACGCGACGCAACCAACTTGCAGTCATGATGCGACAGCTCACCATCCTGATCGCATCGATGCCTTTGAGCAAAGCTATGACCTATCCAAAGGCAGCTGTGGGCCGGCGCAGCGCATTGGGCGGCGCCCTAGCTGCAACCTTGGCGCCGCCAGCCGTCGCGGCGCCCGACTGGCTCCTCGACGTCCCGACGGAGAGCGCCGACGAAACCTTTGCGGCGGCGCGCAGCGAGCGGCTCGGCCAGGCGCCGTCCGCCGTGATGACGCCGTCGACGCAGCGCACGCAGAGCTCGCGCGAGACCTCCGCAGTCCTTGCGGCGCAGAAGGCCGCGCTCGACGGGACGGCGGCGGCCACGACGACCGTGCGCCTCTCGATGCGCATCGCGCGGCCGGACGGCACGTTTTACGTGAGAGCGAAGGGTGAGGAGGATCCCGAGCCGCCGCGGATCGGCGACGTCGACGTAGAGCTCTTCGGCCGTGCGCCGGCGGCCGTCGCTACCTTCTTGGCCTTCGCGCTCGGCGATCCCGCCGCCGCGGAGGCGCCGACGTACGCGTCGGCCATCCTCGACGAGCGCGCCGCCGACGCGCCCGTCATCTACGCCGCGCGCCGCCTGCGGGGCGTCGAGACGCGCTCGATCGGCGGCGAGCAGATCCTGGTGCGGAGTCGCGACGGCGGCGAGGTCCTCTCGCGGAATGCCGAAGCCATCGCCGCAAAGTTGCGAAAAGAGCCGTCCGCGGTGGCGCACGACGCTGCGGGCATACTGACGCGGCAGCGCGGCGATTCTCCTCAGGCGTTCGGACTGACCGTGGCCGGTTCGAAGGCGTTGGACGCGACGAACCAGGCGTTCGGCCGCGTCGTCCGCGATCCGTCGGGCCTCGTGACCGCCGTCGGCGCGCTCAACGCATATTCCCTGGACGCCGTCGGCCCCTCGACAGACGTGCCGGGGGCAGCCGCGCTCTACCGCGCCCAGAAGGACGCCTTCCGCGGCGCGGCGAAGGCCTTCGGCGACGGCCGCGCGTCGAAGATCTTCCCCGGCAAGCTCCTGCGGCGGGTGGAGATCACGCGCGTGGAGCTGCTGTAGCGCCCGCGCCGATCGCTGCGCTCGACGCCCTCCTGGAGCTGCTGTAGCTCCCGCGCCGCCACGGCGACGGCGTGCTGTTGGAATCCGCACGCCGTCGAAGCCTGGTAACCATGTGATAGAGTACTCAGCTACTTACAAGGCGCTCTCCCTTTCGATCTCCCCGAGCAGCGCGTCGACCTCGTCGTCCTCGAGCTCCTCGAAGCGCTTCTGGATGACCGCGTCCTCGTACTGCTTGAGCTGCGTCGAGTAGGTCATGTCCTTGGAGAAGACGCGGAACACGTACGAGAAGGCCCACAGTAACGACCCGCCGATGACGAAGACGCCGGACAGGGCCACGCCGACCTGGTTGCCGTCCATGCCCGAGGCCTCGAGGGCGCTTTTTAACGCCAATGGCGCTACGATCAAGAAAATAGTCAAGACGATGACGCCGCCGTACGTCCCGGGGTCGAAGAACCAGGGGAGGCGCTTCTCCTCGTCGTCGCTACCGGCGCGCAGCGCCGTCGTGGGTCGCGCGGGCGCGGCGGCGGCGTGGGCCGGCGCTCGCCGCGCGATTGGCCGCGCTGCGGCCGTGATTCGTCGTGCCGGGCAGTGGAAGGCTGCTGTGGCCCAAGCCAGGCCGAGGAGGCCACACGCGGTCCGCATGGTTCTCAGCGATGTCACAGCTCCTCTTTTTGTTCGCAGGGTCGCGCAGGGGCACCGCTAGCGCCTCGTAAACTCCGACCACGAAGCGCTAGCGTCGATAAAGACACTAGCAATTGCTTTGCCATCGCATCGATAGACGGCTGTTAGCGTGTACGCGCACGCACGACAGCGATCGACTAGCCCTGGCACGCCGCAGTCCACGCGCGTGTGAAACTTCCGCCAGATTTGAGCCAAGAGGAGAGCAACTAGTCCAAAGCCAAAAATGGCCCTTCGCCACGCTATCGCAGCGCTCCTGGCCACAGCGATCATCGTCGAAGGCTTCGTCCTCCCACGAACAGCCCACCACAATGTGCACAAGGTGCTGAGGGCAACCAAGGACAATAACCCCGAGCGCCAGCGGACGCTCGACGAGGCCAAACGGATCCTAGCAAGGGCCGCGAACACACCCGTAGAGGCAGATCAAGGCTTAGGAGGAGCTGTCACCGGCGCGCTCGTCGGCAGCTTTTTACTCGGGCCCCTGGGCATGCTGATGGGCGCGGCCGGCTCGAACGTCGGGCAAGCGGCTTCTGCCAAAAAACAGATGGAGCAGCGGCTGGCCTCATTGGGCGTCGACGACGAGGTCATCCGGAACGTCGGCGAGGCTAGTCGCGACTTGGCCGAGGCCGACGAGTCTAGAGGATATGTCCAAAGTGCATTAGAGTCGGCCTCTGCCTTTGCCGCAACTTTGAAACGAGACAGGGACGCGGCGCAGCAGGCCGCGGAGCGGGCCGTGAAGGACGGTGATGATGATTCTGCTCGAAAATACCTCACGGCTCGGATAGCATTGGACAAGCGGTGCGCGGTCGCCGAGGCCGAGGCCGTCGACGCTACCCAACGGTTGAAGCGGGCCGAGGCCGACGTCGGCGCGCTTAGAGTGAGGTGCGACGACCTGGATTACTTGGTGGCGCGGGCTGTGGTGGCGAAGTCGCGGGGCGAGGCCGTGTCGCCGTTCCCGGGCGGCGCGGAGGACTCGCTGCTGGCGCGGTTCCGGGCGCTCGAGGAGGAGTGATAGATGTGTATTTTGTTTTTTTACTTGCAAAATGGTCAGTCCTCGGGGGGCGGCGTCGGCGGAGGCGGGGGTTCGTCGTCCGAGGCGTCCGTCCAGGCGTCCGACTCCGCGCAGGGCGCAGCATCGCGCCGCGGCGTCAGGGCACCTGAGCTGCCGTCCGTCCAAGCGTCCTCGTCGCCCGGACGCGCCGGAGCTGCCGTTTCGGCGCCACCGTCCGCGTCGAACGCTCGGACCTGATCTCTAGACAAAGCCTTCTCGTTCGCCGGATCCTCGAACTTCGCCAGCACTGCCGTCGCGTCCTGGAGCACGCGGCTCGAGGCCTCGATGTGGCGAGCGACGTCTCGCGCCAACTTGAGGACCTCGAGCGAGACGCCGGCGTCGTTCTCTTTGTCCACGCGCGCGCTCGCGGCCCGCGCGCGCCGCACCGCCCGAGCCGCGGCGTCGACGCCGCGCGCCGCGCCGTCGAGGCCGTCACCGTCGTTTCGCACGCGCCGCCGGCCATGGTACGTCGTGTGCGCGCTCGCACCGTCGGCACGGGCGACCGCGCTCGCACCGTCGGCGCGCGCCACCTCGAGCTCCAAGGCGCGTGTCCGCGCTCGTACCTCCGCCTCAAGGGCCGCGCCGCCCGATGCGCTCGATTCCGGTATCTTCGTCGCCTCGGAGGCGAGGTAGCGCTGCAGTAATTTGGAAGGCGGCGTCGGCGTCGGGGCGGTCGGTCGCGGCGCGGGCGACGACGGCGCGTGCACGCCGCCGGGGCACGGGCGTCGGGGGTTCTTCCAATGGCGGCGCGTGCGCGCGTGCCGCGGCCGCGCGCGCCTCGCTGGCGTACCTATCGCGGAACGGCGTCCCTTCGGTCGCCATGGTGCTGCTTCTCGGGTCTGACCCAATCACAGTTGTATGCAGTACAAACAAAACTACGGCACGCGAGGCGACCGTACGGCGTCCACAGCGGCAGAGGGCTGTCAAAGGTGTAGCGCAAGTACTAGTTGCCAATTTGTAGGCGAGGTTAAGCGGCACAGGCCCAGTTTTGCCTCTTCCCTTTTTGCACGCCTAGCGTAACCCTACTAGCCAAAAGCTAAAAAAATTTGGCCAAGTGCTAGCCAACGAGCGTCGCAGGGCTGCGTTGGCCAGCAGCTGCATCGCGCACACACGCCAGGTCTCGCATACGTCCGGCTCACCAGTCTACGTCGCTGCGACGCCGCGCAAGAGCCCCAGGACTGCCACAGACGGCTTCGCTGCCTCGCGTGCGACGCCGCGACGTCGCTGAGACGACAAAACGACTGCAGCAGCACCATGAAATGGCTGCTAGCACTCGCAGCAGTAGTAGAAGCCGGCCTGGGCCCGGACTGCGACCCGCTCGATCGGAAGTGCACGCTCCCGGCGCCCCAGAGGGAACCCTGCGTCTGGGTCGGTCCCCATGACGGCAAGTGGTTAAGGATCGTTGATAGAGAAGACATCCCAAAACCGTGCCCGCCCGTCGGCAGCGCAAGCGATCATGACCAATCGATCGTGTATGCGGCCATCGCCTCATTCAGAGATTCGATCTGCCCGGACACGATCACGAACATGTTTTTGCGAGCCAAATACCCCGATAGAATACGAGTGGCAGTGATCCAGCAGAACCTCCCAGAGGACCTCGATTGTTTAGAAAAGTACTGCGACGACGCGAGAATCGCTCAGAACTTACCCGCAGATGCGCCCTGCCCTAGGAGAGGTCAAATCTCCATCAAACGCTTTTCGTCGGAGGAGGCCAAGGGCCCGACGTGGGCGCGCGCGCAAGACACGGACATGTTACCGGACAGTGCCGAGTTCTGCCTAAGGACCGATAGCCACATGACCTTCGCCCAGGACTGGGACACGTTACAGATCCAGCAGTGGTATGATGCTCAGAACGAATATGCAGTTTTGAGTACGTACGTCGCCGACTCGACGAATTTGAACGACGACGGGTCGATGAGAAACGTCAATGGGGTGCGATCTCGGCGTCCCGCGGTGCTGCGGCGGTTTCACGCCATCGACGCGACTCGTGTCCATCAGACGAGGTCTTGGGTGGTTTCTTTTTCGATATCGAGGCCATTCGGACCGCGTCGCGAGACCGCGATGCTCCACGCAGGTCTGGGAGGTGCCCCACTTGTGTTCGATCCAGTGGGAGAACGGCCACGTGCGGAACATGCAGGCGAAGGCGGCGCGGCTCCTCAAGAAGCCGAAGCTCACGACGCTCTGGGCGGCTGGTTTATCATTTAGTAGGTGCCATGCGGAGCGGACGGTGCCCTACGACCCCTACACGCCCTACATCTTCTGGGGCGAGGAGTTCTCGAGGACGGCTCGGTTTTTCACGCACGGATACGACATATATACTCCTCCCAAGACGCTCATAGCCCACGATTATAAACATACGCAGGGCGATCCCACTCATTTTAAATGGAACGGGCGAGGTGCGATCTCGGCGTCCCGCGGTGCTGCGGTGCCTTCACGCCGTCGACGCGACTCGTGTCCATGCGATGCTCCGCGCAGGTGGACCTCGGCTCAATCGCAACCAGACGATTATCAAAGCGAGAGACGCGGCCAATAAAAGAATATGGACGTTGCTGGGCATGCCGGGCGGTGATCCTTCTATGGTGTCCTCTTTAGGAAAGTATGGACTGGGCACGAAGAGGAGCTTGGACGACCTGATCGCGTTTACCGGTATCAATCTGCGGAATCGGACCGTCTCCGGCTCCGGCAACAGCAGATGTGGGAACATCGATTGGGTGCCCTGGGACTGCGGCGGCGGCGGCTGGGCGGCGCAGGGGCTGGAGCACCTGCACAACTCCATCACGCCGCCGAAATCGCTGCACGACGACTTAGCTAGGGAAATCTGGCGGGGCGAGCAGTTCGTCGAGAAGGAGGCGCACGAGGTCGTCCACGAGGCCGAGGTCGTCGAGCACTTCATCGCGAAGGAGGCGCGTCAGTTGGTGGCGGAGGCGCGCGTCGTCGGCTCGGACATCCGACACCTAGAACAGAGGGCAGCAGAACACCTTCCGCTGCCCGAGGACGAGTCCCTGAATCTGGTGACGGTTCTCGTCGGGCTTTTTTGTTTATGGACGTCGTACAAAGCGTGTCGGGCGGTCTTCGATCGGGGCAACAAAGCCAATCAGAAAGCATTGGGGCTGCCCGTGGCCAAGGAGGTGTAAGTTTAGCTTTATTTTTGTGTTGCTTCCCGGCCGAGGCGGGTTCCGCGTGACCAGGGGGCGCTACGCCTCAACCGGCATGCTGGAATGGCCATAAATCGTCCCTAGGCGTACGATAGAGCGCCCCACTGCTGCCTGGCGCGTTCTGGGGGCCGCCCGGGGACCCTCCGTGACGCGTAGACCGGGGTAGGGAGCTATGGGGCCGGGTTATCCTGGCGCGACGCGGGCCGACGGGACGGCCCCCAGTGGCTACGTACAACTGCTGGAGGCAAGACTGGGAGCCTATGGGAGTGTACCCCAGCGGTTCTAGGGTGGGTGGCTGCCACCGAAAGCTCCCCTGCCTGGGTACAGAGACAGAAACCCCCTCTTCAGGTTTTTGTTGAAGCAGTATTTGCTATTTTTAGCTAAAGTTGTGAGAGCATCTCGCACTTGCGAGCTGCCCCGGGGCGCTTAGGAACACCGTCAGCGACGGATTTGGCAGCAACACTACTGGTATGCTCGCTCACAACGTCCGCGCGCACGAAAACGGCATGAACGCGCAGCATAAGGAGCCCAGAGGCCGGATTTGGCGCTGCCAGCCGCTATTCGACGTGCGACGGTCGACTAAATGACGTAAACCGGTGCTACGCGCAGCGAAGACGCCGTATATGATGTCCTCGACGAATTGGCAATCGATCCTCGACGCTTGGTTGCAAGCGAACATCCGCGTTAGCTCGCGGGCGTCGACGCCGGCGTCTCCGCGCGAGTATCCGTGACCGCCATGTGACTCCAGTGTCAAAGCGGGAGCCTCCGGAGGGGCGAATGAGGGTACTTAGGGCGCCTACGCGGCGGGGGCGTCCTCCCTGGGCCTTAGGGGCTCCGTTCTTACTTTTTGGCTATGCTGTTTGAGGCGTAGCGCCCCCTGGTCGCGTGACCCCCGGCCCTCATACGCCGTCGCCCCCGGGCCTCGGGAGTGAGCTCGGAGGCAGCGACGGCGAGGGGGGCGGAGGCCGGGCGTAATCCAGGACTCGGGCATTAGTACTATGGACATTAGGCAGCAACTCGAATTAAGGCTCCGTGGCGGAGCAGCAAACAATATGTACAATCTTCACGAGGGCCGTCGCAGGGGCCCCGCCAGCTTCGCCTGGGCCTCCCACCGCCGCGCGTGTTTCTTCGTCTGCCAGTACCTGTGTGTAAATCAAAGTTTTACGACGCGTTCGTGCTGAATCGCCGAGTCGGCCTCCACGCCATCGACGCGACGCCTGCTCGATGGCGTAGCGATGCAAGTTCCTCGCCGCCCGACGGAGCCAGCACGGCCGCGTCGTCGCCGAGAAATGACTTAGTGAAGAATTGTCGGGTGCACGCGACGCACTGGTTGATTTCCACACAGGCCAGTACCGCAGGTTCTGCTTCAGTCTAGACAGAGGAAGCATGTCCGGGTCCACGAGGTCGGCGACCACCTGTGCGGAAATCAACCAGTGTGTCGGGTGCCGCCATCGAGCAGGCGTCGCGTCGATGGAACGCGCCGTAAAATTTTGATTTCCACACAGGCCACCACGGTATAAAACGGCATGCAGATGAACGAGAAGAAGCCCACCTGCGACTTGGCCACATCAATATCTGTGGATCGATCACACAAGGGCGAGATCGCCACGTCCAAACTCCGCTCCCGCTCCCCGAGCGCCCAGAACTCGTTCGTGATGCGAGCCGTCCACTCCTCGTGCAACACGCGTTTCTTGCAGGCGTGGCCCAAATCAGCAAATTTGAGAGCTACGGCGGCCACCAAGTCCCGCCCGCACTTCTCGGGATCGAGAAACGGCGACGTCCACGTTTCTTGACCGGAGTTCACGCGCGTGCCGTGGGACCTAGCTCCTTCGAGCATGGCCATCTCATTCAATCTTTCCACATAAGTCATGTGCCGCCCCAGATCCGTCGCTAATACAGCTTTGACGATGGCCTTTCGCGCTCTCGCGTAGCCCGCGTGATCCAGCGGCGCCAAGATGTTCAGCTCCGGCCGCCGCATCAACGCGAAGGCCGCCCGGACGTGGAACTTTTCCAGGATGCCCGCGTCCCCAAAGGCCTTGTGCCTCTTACTATCAATCTTGACCTCGTGCTGATTGGTCGTCCCGGGGTGGGCAAAATCATGCACGACACCCGCGATTAAGACCGCGAGACAAGCCACGGGGTCGGCGAAGCGCGTCTCCATGAGGTCGTGTTCTGACAGAAATAAATGTACTGCAACAGAAACGTCCGCCGCGTGCTGGGCGTTGTGGTACGGGTTCTCGCCGTAGTTCGCTTCAATTGATGCGAAGAAGCTTTGCACTACACTTTGATCGAGTGCGCATCGCTCCATCAGACTATGTCGTTGTAACAAGATGGGCCCTACAGCTGCGAGAGCATGGCCATTCGTCATCTCATGGAGCTTAATCACGTCGTACTCCCACGAATCAATGTCGAACTGGACATCCTCCGTCCACGCGTCCACGGATTTGAACGCGGGCAGCGTCCTGAAATCGTCCTCGGCGTCCGCGTCGAAGTCTTCTCTCGTTCTTTCTTTCAGCGCCGCGAGCCACGCCTCCGTGACCCTTACTTGCACGTCCACATCATCTAATTCGTCCGGGAAGTCGTCGAGCGTCGCGCGCGTGTGTCTCGAGCGACGAGAATACCCTCGAGGTGCGCCCCTTTCCATCAGATAGTCTACCACAGCAGAATGACCCTCGCGCTCCGCATCATCTAACGCAGTACCGCCCCACCTATCTGATACGTCCAATGCCGCATTGAGCTCCTCGACCAGCACTCTAACAACATCTAACCGACCACTACAAGAAGCCAAGTGTAGCGCACACCGCCCGTCATAATCCGCCTGATTCACGCCCTGCTGCTTCTGCATCGCCAAGCGCCGCAACCGTGCCACGTCGCCCTTCTTCGCCGCGTCGCACAAATCGGCACCCTCGTCCCACTCTCCTGGTTGACTGACACCTCTTAAACCACCTCTACCCTCGAGGAAATCTTTGACAGACGTATGGGCATGTCGGACCGCGTCGTCGAGGGGCGTCCCGCCCCACCTATCAATTGGGGAGATATTTGCGCCCAATTCATCGACGAGACACGCTACTACGGTTAATCGGCCGTTCGACGCCGCCAAGTGTAGAGCTGTTCGCTGGTCGTAGTCGCCGTCGTCAATTCTTTCTTTTGGTGTTTTACGTAAAGCTTCTAAATCACCCGCGGCAGCAGCAGCTATGATATCGGTCTGGGAACCTCTCAGTGTTGATACAGACGTCCGAGCGTCCGTCAGGAGAAACGTCGAGGGCAGTCCAGTGACCGACGTCCGCGCATCCGTGACGTCGGTGGACTTTCTCACATCCCGACCTTCTTGGTCCGTACACAAAGTAGTTCTCAGCCACGTCTGGACCTTCTCATTACTGTGGGGAGCGAAGTGCTGGAGGTCGTTCAATGAACTGGCTTTTGAATCGTCGTCGTCGTCGTAGACGCGGCCGTGCTCGAGCGTTGAGATGAGCGCTTCGAGCTCCAATCGCGCGTGGTCCGGTAATAAGGTAGAGTGTTTATCTACGGCTTGCGCGTGGAGGAGGCAGCGTTCCCTATCGCCGCGGCCGAACGCCGAGGCGGTGCTGCCCGTGTCCTCGGAGTCGCGTGAACCTCGGCTCCGGCGGTCGTGCCGCTTGGGCGTCTGCGTCGAGCCGCCGGCGCCCATCCTTCCCTGGGATCACGGCAGATGCAGGGAGAGGCTGCCCCTGGGCGGCGCGCCGCTGCCGCACCGGGCTGCCCACGCGCGGCTGCAGCTGCGCAACGGACTGCAAAGCGCGTGGCCGGCGCTCGGCCGCGCCCTCCCGCGCACCTGCGCGAATTTAGCGCTGGGAGCAAAAACGAGAGGGCACGGCAAATATCGGTGACGGGGGCTCTCGTTTTGAAGTTGGAGCGCGGCTGCGACGGAGCGCGGGAGCCGTCGCGGTGACGCCTCGCGGGGCGCCGGCCTGGGCGGCGGGAGCTTTGGTTAGTGCAACCCCAACCCGCAACCTTTCGCTTGCGCATTTTGGGAGAGAGGGCAATTTGCAGCCGCCGTAATTCCCACGGGCTGCCCCCGGGACCGTCCTTGGGGAGGCAGCACGCCTGATTCAGTGTCACCCCCACATCGTCGCCTGCGGGACTCGTGCGCCTGCGAGGAGGCGACGCGAGGAGGCGCCGAGCACAGCTGAGCAGCCATGGGCTTCTTCTCGTCGCCGAAGCACGCCGATGATGACGACGAGCCCGCCCAGGCGACGGTGCGGTACTGTAGCTGTCTACCCCAGTCCGCCACCACCCGAAAGAAGCGCCTCGAGCGGAATAGAAATAGAAGCGATCTCCTGAACTCCTTCGCGAAGTTCTCGCCGGCGTCTGTCCATGCGGAATTATTAGAGGTCTGCCCGCCGACGTCGCCGAGCGTGCGAGACATCCTGTCGAAGAGCACGAGGCGCTTACCTGCCGCGTGTGATCAGCCGTCCGCGAGGCCGGGCCGCGGCGCGTTGCTCTTCGTCGATATCAGTGGGTTTACGGCTTTGTCGACGTCACTCGGGATCGATGCATTAAAAAGACATATCAACGAGATCTACACGCGAGCCGTAGGTATAATAGCGAGGAACGGCGGCGACGTCTTAAAATTCGCGGGCGACGCGATGCTCGTGCTCTTCCCCGTCGCCGGTGCTGGCGAGGGCGACTTGGACGGGGCCTGTGCGCTGGCCGCGAAGTGCGCGCTCGAGCTCACTAAAGCATCCACCGGTGGAGTCCATAAAGTGGACGAGGACGGCGTTTCCGCCGTGCTGCGGATGCACTGCGCCATCGGGTGTGGTAGCTACGTTTTGTACCGAGTCGGGGACCGGGACCGGTGGGAGTCGGTCATTGCTGGGGAGCCCTTACAACAAATTACGATCAGTGAACCGTGCGCGTCGGCGGGCATGACGGCGTGCTCTCCACAAACGTGGCCGCGGCTCGAGCGCAAGGGCTACAAAGGGAAGAAAACACACAAAGAGTGTCGCATCATCCAAGCGCAGCCGCGGCGCAATTCGTTTGATTTCGGCTTTCGGCGAGACCAGGAGGAACCGTCCTTGATCCAGTTGCAGCACCAAGGGAACAGTAGCTCAAGATTAACGCAGAAGGCCCACATGAGTATTTTGAAGACGTACCTCGTCCCTTCAGTCCGAGAAATTTTTGAACAACTGGGCGACTCCGGGAGCCTGTCGCCGGACAAGAAGAAGTCGCTCGTGGAGAAGGCGCCGGAGGACCATTTAGCCGAACAGAGGAAGGTCAGTACGGTCTTCGTCGAGATTCGGAACCTCGAGGACGCGTTGCTGAGTGGCGACTTGGATCGAGTGCAGACGTGCTTTCTCACTATAAAACTGTGCGTCGAGGACAAGCGCGGGATGTTAAGGCAGTTCATCGTCGACGACAAGGGTCCGTGTCTCGGCGTCCCGTGACTCGTGTCTCACACACGATTTTGAGGCCGTTCGGACCGCGTCGAGAGACCACGTCACCCTGAGATGGAGGCGCGTCGCGACGCCATCGCCGGAATGACGTTCGATGGACACAGGCGTCGTGGCCATCGCGTTCTTCGGCGTCCGGGGCCACTCGTTCGAGGACAACGAGTACCGGGCGGCGCATGTTGCTTTAGCGATTGTCAGTGCCTTGAAGCGGTACGACTTGCGGGCGAAGTGCGGCGTGACGGTCGGCGTCGGCTTTTGTGGACTTGTCGGCGCGCCGAACCGGTCCAGACCAGCGTCCCGTGCTACACTCCTGTCCGTCTCACGATGACGTGGGTGGTTTTATTTCCGACGTCATGACTCGAATCGGCCCAAATTCGGACCAGAGACCTCGTCTCATGGAGACGAGTCGTATCAGTGAAGTGGAGGCGCCGCAACACTTCACATGTCGTCCTCGCAGGTGCGAGTACGCCGTCATGGGCCCTTCCGTGAATTTAGCGGCGCGGCTCATGTGCGCCGCGGCCAAGAGCGATAAGGACGTCTACGTCGAGTCCGGCATCGAGCGAGCTACCTCAGTTTCTCCGCAAGCTCGGCTCTGCGTCTTCAACGCGTGCGAACCCATCAAGGCCAAGGGCTTCTCGGAGATGGTCAAGGTCCGCGATCTCGGCGTCCCACGTCGGTGCCTTCATACCATGCGACTCGTGTCCATCAGACGAGATCGATTTGAGGCCGTTCGGACCGCGTCGCTCCGCGCAGGTGTTCAGCCTCGAGGAAGCAGCTAAAGATAGAGCTCATACTCTCACTCATGAAGACGTGGCCTTCACGGGCAACGATGATGTATTAAGAGACATCAGCGCAGTGTTAGATGCGGTGCGAGGCGATAGTAGGGCGGGCAGCGAGTATTCAGATGAATCAGAGGGCGACGAGTTTGACATCGGCGACGCGTGTCGCGTGATTAGTGTCGATGGGGAGTCGGGACTAGGCAAATCTCGGTTGCTCAGAGAGGTCCGGTCCGTGCATCAAAATGAGTGGAAATGTGTGGAAGCCCACGCGGACGAGGTCTCGCAGGGCCGGCCCTTCGCCGTCTGGCTGTCGATCATCAGGAATCTACTCACCGTCAGGATGAGCGAGCCCGAGCCCAAGGCTCTGGGGCGGGAGTCGCCGCTCACCCTCGACGATTCGGCCCACGAGTTGCTCCACCTGTCGGCACTGGCCTCGAAAGTGGGCAAGGCCCTCGACATAGAAGAGGAAGAAGAGTACGAGGGCGGGGAACGAGCTAAATTTGTTCATGGCAAGATGACGCGGAGTCAGCGCGTCAAGTTCGGCGGTCACCTGTCGTGTTTTGATGAAGACGACGAGGAGTGCGCTCTCCGCGTTTTATGAAGGTGCCTTCATTCGATGCGACTCGTACCATGTCGTGGGTGGTTTCTTTTTCGAGTTTGGGGCCATTCGGACCGCGTCGGGGCCGTCGCGGCGCGGTCGCGTCGATGGCGTCTTCACGAGACAGCGCCGCCGCGACGCCGTCGACGCGATCCCACGAGGGTCTACGTGGTCATCAGGACGCCGTCGACGCGATGCCACATCGGACCGCGTCGCGAGACCGCGATGCTCCGCGCAGGTTGACTGGAAGCCCGGTCTTCAAGCGCGAATTTCTGGGCGCGGTCTTTGCGGCCCTCACCTCAAGTCAGGGCAAGGGCTTCCTACCTAGAAGAACGCTGATACTCTTGGACAACGCCCATCGACTCGACGCGCCGTCGTGGGAGCTCCTCGAGGATTTAACGGCGAAGCCGCCGGCCAGACGTGGTCGAGCGAGAGTTGTCGTCGTCCTAGCTAAAAGGGGCGGCGCGGAACTCCCCGCTGCGTGGGAGCGGTTAGCGTCCTTCGAAGATCGCATCCTCCACCTCACGCTACAGCCTTTGGACGCCTTCGCGTCGTCAAGACTGTTGTGCGCCGCACTAGATGTACCCTTACACGCCGTGACGCCGGCCACCGTAGAAAACGTGAGGAGGAAGTGTGCCGGCCTACCAGTCTTAGTACTGGCGTTATGTGACGACCTGTGTGGAAATCAAACTTCAGGCGCCCTGCGTCTGCTCGATGGCGTGGAGGCTCACGAAGTCCACCTGTCCGAACGGCCTCAACATCGAAAAAGAAACCACCGCAGGACTCACCGGTCGCTGGCCGCGCAGGCGACGCCATCGAGAACCACGTGCGCAAGCTCGAGGACGGCCAGGTCGACGACGTGCTGCCCGACGATAATGAAGATAGAGATGCTGTCAGAGGTATGGCCTCGCCCGAGACGCGCGAGGTCGTGCGGAGCGCTCTCAGAAAAGTGCCGTGCTTCATTAATTTAGATGATGAAAAAAAGTTCTCGTACTGACTCGGTGTTGAAGTTGACCTTGAACTTGATCTGGTGGCGGCGCTGGCGTCTCCACGAAGCCGCACCGCCGCGACGTCTTCATTGAGACCGCATGAGAGTCCACACGTCTCCACACAGGTACGTCTGCCATCGACTGCGTAGACTACATAGCGCACCTGGAGAAACTGTGATCAGTGAAGGAGAGCAGGGGTCGACGGTCTACATCCTGCTGGAGGGGACGATGGAGTGCTTCGTGGCCGGCGTGAAAGTGGCCGAAATTAGCGAGGGGACGGTCGTCGGCGAGCGGGCCATGCTGACGAACGCTGCCAGAAGTGCTACCGTCGTGGCGGCGACGGCCTGCGTCTCCTGGGTGCTGGAGCGGCGCCACGCCCGGTACCTCATGAAGGAGGCGGACGGCGTCTGGCGGCGCGTGTTGGCGCTCGAGTCGTTGTCGATCCCCTCGCCCGACGACAACAGCATCATGCCGTCGGGTCTCGAAGGCATCATCACGCAGAAGCTCGACGCTTTGAGTTTGAACGCGACTACCTTCGCGAAGCTCGCTTCCGCATTTGGCGCAGTGTTTCATAAAGAGGCGCTGCGGACGTGCTTTCCGGGCCCGAAGGATAGCGGCAACGACGACGCCATCGACGAGTTAGTGAAAGCTCAGTTGATCGTGGCGGATTCGCATGGCACCGATCGCAAAAAACACTAGAGCGGCACAGCGCCTAGCTTGGTCGCAACGAATTGCGGAGGAGCGGGGCGATCTAGGCGGTTCGGTGTACGGCGGCGGGCGCGCGTCGAATTATGGGGATGACTTTAGATCTGTGGCGGGCGACGACCTACGGTCCATTGCGGGCGACCGCATGTCGTGTCGCGGAAGTGTCGTGGGTGGCGATAGTTCGGACGTCGGAAGCACGGAAACTAGATTAAGATCGGATTCGGCAGAACCAGTAGATCATGAAGATTTACTGGAGAAGTTTAGAGCATCAGAAAGAGCCAAGAGAAACAGGCGGCCGGCGGGCCTGTACCGGTTTAGGAACCAGCAAATCGCCGAGGTGATTTATGGGGTGGTGCCCGACGAGCAGAAGCGCGAGTACCACCGGCGCATCGCGGAGTTCTTCGAGGACTGTCTATGTGTCTTGGAAGGTCGGGAATGCATCACGCATACGGACGAACGGAGAGCCATCGACACGGTCGTCGCTGCCTTGAAACTCACGACGAAGGACTTGCATCTGTTGTTGGCTGATCATAGCACGAAATCACGGTCTCTAGACGGCAAGGCGAAAGAATATAGTCTGTTGGCTGCGAGGGATGCCACGGCGCTAGGCTTGTACCGAGAAGCGGAACAGCATTATAGAAGGGTCGTAAGCATGGAGCAGCCGTCCTTCGTCGAAGAGGAAGTCGGGAAATTATCGCTAGCGAAAGCTGCTCGATTGTCAGCTTTTCTAGGGTTGGCTGAACTCTATGCGAGGTTTGAATTGGCACCTAGGCCAAGAGATGTGGACCGAGAGCAAGCGCCTTTAGGAGAAGGCCCGATACCCCTCCTCACAAGGGGATTAGAGATGCTCGGCGTCGACTCCGACGAGCTCGCGGAGGCCGACTTTAGTGCTGGTTGTATAGCTAAAAATGAAACTGAGTTACCGAACGAGGAACTCGACTTATTAGCAAGAGCGCTGAACCAACTCGGATGGTGCCTCATGCGTTCCGGAGTAGCTTTGGAGAGCAGACGACGCTGCCGGCTCACGGAGGGCTGCTTTGCGCACGCCGTGCGCATAGCGAAGAAGCGCAACGACCTACCCTTTGCTGCGAGTGCTTTGAACGGCTTCGGGACCTTCTACCAGAACTGCGCGCAGCGCGCGGGGGCCGCGAAAGAACAAGCGGTTGTGCGACGTCGTGCACGGCGACGCGCGGACCGTGCTCCGGAAACCTTCTCTGAAAAAACAGGTCTCGGCGAAGAAATTCGTGAAATATCAGAAGGTGCCTCCACCTGCTAGCGGTCGAAGGTGCTGACTCAGCGTGGTTTCCGAACTTTTCCGAACTTCAACTTCGCGTCGATGGCGTCAACGCGATGCCACACCGCCGTGACGCCGTCTTCATGATCATCAGAGCGTCTGCGCGTCTCGCGAGCGAGCCGCGGCCGCGTCGTGACGCTGTCGTTCGACACAGGTGGGGCTCGGCCTCCACTTCATCAATGGAGGACGACGACTTATATGGATCTACGTTAATACTAGAGCGTTCTGCATTGTACAAAAAGGCCGAGGGTAAATTGATGGAGGCTCTGCGTATCAGGGAAGATGGGAATGGTTCGCATTTGGACGTCGCGCAAGTGGCCGTATCACTAGGATCGTTGACGGTCGAAATGGCCATCTTCGACGCGGCGCGGGCGTTCTTCGATCTGGCATTAAGGAATTACACGTTCGACGAGAGCGCCGACGCGCACCCGCGCGCGGCGCACGCGCTCGCGGGCCTGGCGCGCGTCCGGCGCCATCAAGGTAGCAAGATGCTCCAGCAGCGCGACTCCTTATCTGCGAGGCGGGCCGGGCTACTTGTCTTAGACGAAGCCATCAACTTCCAGGCCCAGGCTGTTCGCAGTAGAGCTTCATTGGGCCAGCGCCACGGCTTGTACCAGGCTTCGGTTGCTGAATTAAGGGCCATGGAAAGTCAAAGGGATCAAGTGGAACGGGCCATGAAAAGTGCCGACGCCGACGCGCCGCCCTCGCCTCCGTCCTCGATGGCGGCGTCGTCGCCGGAGCGCGGCTCGCCCCTGCGCGAGATCAGCCCGTCCGGGCAAGTTAGGGTGATAGCGCCGACGGCTCCTACTTTAGCGGAATGTAGGGGCTCGCCGGCGAACACGCCGCGGAACGGCAACCCGGCGCCGCCCCACGACTGAATTCGTACTTTACCGGACGTCCATCTGCGCGTCCAATCTCTCTCTCTATACGGTGTACATAACACTTGAATTGTATCTCTTACTCATCAGGGGCAGAAGAGGCTCTCCGCCGTATTCCCAGAAACCCGCTTGCAGAGCTCCTTCTGCACGTAGGGCTGGACCACCGCCTCCGTGAAGTCCGCGCCCTCGAAGGACTTCGCATCCAAGATCGTCTGCGAGAACGCCGTGCCCTCGGCTTTCGCGCCGGCGAGGACCGCATCTTTTAAGTTGGCGCTCTCGAAGGACGCGCCCGTGAGGTCGGCTCCTGTAAAATCGGCCCTTTCACAGTCGGATTTGAAGAAGCGCGCGCCGCGGAGGCTCGCCTTCTTGAAGCTCGTGTCTACCGCGTCCGCGCCGCTAAAGTCCTTGTTGTCGAGCTTCTGGCCGTCGAAGTTCTGGTTTTTTATGGTTGCTTCGGCGTAGTCCTTGCCGCCTCCTGAAATGGCGGTCGCGGCGGTGGGCAGCGCGACGAGCGTGCTCAGAGTTTTGAGGGCCGCGCGGCGCGCCACAGGTCGGAGCGCCGTCGCGCTGGCTACGAGGAGTCCTAACAAGCACCGCATGGTGAATTTGGGGCAAGCAGCAACCTGACAGCAGATGAGCACTGGCAGGCTCAGATTCAGTAGTCTCGTGCCCCGGCGCTTGCAGTGGCTACAGGGATCGACGGAAGCAATCAAATGATGCCTTCTCGGTCTTCTGTTCAGCGGGGAGTTGCTCGAACAGATGCACTGACAGCAAATGTCAAGTTTGCCAGAGCTGCTTGCTAGTATCTTACGCCGCTAGATCAAATCGGACGGGTGGGCCCGGGGGGAGCGGGAGGGGTACGGGGGACCCTGCGACGTAACTAGCCTGAGCCCAAATTACTCCCCGGGCGCCGACCACCACACCCTCGGCAGCTCGCGCGGCGCCGGGCGCGGGAGGCCTCAGGTTAACGGCTGCGGCCGCCTGGCCGGCCGCGAACGCCGCGGCCGCGGCCGCGTCGACGCGAGCGGCGACGGCGAGCACAGAGGCCTTGTCCGGCGACACCTCCGCGGGCGGCGCGGCGGCGGCCGGCTTCGACGCCTCGACGGATGGCGCCGCCGCCGCGACGGTCGATGCTGCTGCCGGCGCGACGGTCGATGCTGCCGGCGCGGCCGGCGTCGGGGCCCCGCGCCGCGGCGAGATCGATGTCGGCGGGTCGCGCGGAGACAACGGCCCCGCCGCGAGCGCCGGCGGCGCGTCCGGCGAGAGCGGCGAGCCCGCGGAGAGCGGCAGGTCCGCGGTAGTCGGCCGCGCGGGCGTCCGTTCGACCGGAGGCCGGCCCGCGGCGCTCCGTTCGGCGAGCCGCGCCTCGGCGGCGTCCGCCCTTGCCACGGCCTCCTCGAGTTTCACCTCGGCCGCCTCGCGCGCCGCGTCGGCGTCCTCGCGCGCCCGGAACGCCTCGGCGCGCCGCCCCTCGGCCTTGTCGCGCGCCGCCGTCGCCTCCTTGACGCGTTCCTCGGCGTCGGCCCGCGCCGCCGCCGCCGCCTCCAACTTCGCCTCGACGTCCCCGAAGGACAACGACGCGACGCGCCTTCGTCTCGAGCTCGGCGACGCGCCCGTCGCGAGCTTGGATTTCGTTCCGCAGCTCCCTCACGATCTTATCCCGCTGGTCGAGGTCGTCTCGGAGAGCACGCGCCTCGTCCCGCACTTTGGCGAGGGTCTCCTCGGCGTCCTGGGCCCGCTTTCGCGCATTGGCGAGGGCCGCCGAGTCCTTCTCGACGACACCGGGTTCCGCCGGTCTTTCCCTAAAGCTCCTCACCAATGCCTCCTGGCTCTCCCGGATCAACCGCAGCTCGGCCTTGACCTCCGCGGCGGCGTCGTCGATGGGCGGCAGGGACTCGCGTTTGGCGGGTGTCTCGAAATCAGGCTCGTCGCGCGTCGACGCGAAGTCCGTGGGCTCGTCGTCGCGCGTCGACGCGGCCTCGATGGGCGGGAACGTGTCAAAAGGTTCCGGTTCTCGGCGGCCGAAATGCAAGGGTGATGGCGGCGGCCGCCCGGCGTCGCGCGCGATCTGTTGTTGGAGCCCGGCGATCATGACCGCTTGGTCCGAAGCGGTCCGTTCCGCCTCGGCCAACCGCTTCGACGCTTCGTCGTAGCGCGTGCCAGTCATCATGTAGATTGGGCGACCGGGCTTGTACTGAAGGACTCGCCACGCCCAGGACGTCCTCCGAGGCGAGATAACTCTCGAGAGCGTCTTTGGGCGTCCGCGGCGCCGTCCCGGAGAACGTGATCTGCTTGCCTTGCAACGTTAAGGCTGATTTCAACTGCTTGACATGATTTTGTAGCTCCGCGTTCTCCTGCAGGGCCTCCCGCGTTCGCTCTTCGGCCTCTTCCGCCCTCCGACAGAACTCCTCGGCCGCCCGCACGGCGCCACTCCCGGCCGCCTCCGCCGTCGCCCGGCGCTGGTAGGTGAGGCGTGCCTTCTCGGCGTGCTCTTGCACGGCCTTCAGCTTCTGGCTCAGGTGCTTCGTGCGCTGCCGCAAGCTCAAATTCTCGGCCTGGAGGGTCGCGTTCTTGCCGACGGATGCGGTGTCTTTGTCTTTCAGCTGCTTGGCTTGCTTGCGGCAGCGCCTCTGTAATTCAGCATGGGCTATTCGGAGCGTCCTTAGTGATTCGGAGGCGTCGGCCATCGTGGCGTCACGGCCGTGGTGCCGCGTCGTTGGGGCGTGGCGTCGCGTGTCCCGCCGGCGGTGGGCGTCGCGTCGACGGCGTGGGGCTCACGCTAGGGTGGGGACTTTGCTGCCCGGCGCGCGTCGTTGGGCTGCCCCGAGTCGTAGACGTGGAGCCGTGCGTGTGGTGGCAGCTTAAATGGGGAAACCCCGGAGCCTGCTCCGTCGTACGCGCACAGCCTTCGCGCACGTTGGCTTGCAACCGATTTTAGGCGGCGCGGGTCGCGGAACTCTCGGGCGATCGAAGGCGCCCGCCGTATCGCCGTACCTCTGTGCGCGGCACATGTGGTGTTTGGACTTCTCGAAAAAGCATCAACAAAACGGGTTTCTCTGACTAGCCAATTTCCAGGTTTTTCGAGTGTTTCCGGGCGTGCCGTGGTAATATCGCTAGCGCATTACTCATTTCCGAGCCTGACGGCAGCGCTGCCCAAGTTACAGCGCTCAGATTTAGCTAGAACACATCGATTACAGCATGCTGCGCGCGGTGCGCGCACGCTGGGTGCATCGATGCCGCCGAAACATGGCGCACTTCCCGCTCTTCGTGCAGAACGAGCTGCGCGAAGCGGCCGACGGTGCGACAATCGACATCGAGGACCCGGCCACCGGCGCAGCAGTAGCGACGTGCGCGACGGCCGGCCCAGCGGACGTCGCCGCGGCGGTGGACGCCGCCAAAGCCGCGTGGCCGGCCTGGCGCGACGTAGGGGCCAAGAAGCGGGCAACGATCCTACGCAACGCAGCGCAAGAGCTGCGAAGGCGCGTGCCCGAGCTGTGTGACATAGAGACGCGCCAGACGGGCCGGCCCCGGCGGGAGTACCAAGCACAATTGGGAAGGGTCCCGGAGTGGTTTGAGTACCACGCGTCGCTCGCCGAGACGACGGAGGGCGCGGCGCCGAATTTTATTGGAGACCCGGACCATCTGTGTGTGGTCCAGAAAGTACCGCTCGGCGTTTGCGGACTCATCACTCCGTTCAACCACCCCTTGCTCATCGCGTCGAAGAAGCTCGCGCCCTGCCTGGCCACGGGCAACACGGCCGTCGTCAAGCCGTCGGACCTCGCGCCGGGGTCTATCATCAGACTGGGCGAGATCTTCGCGGTGAGTGGCGCGCCGCCCGGGGTGGTGAACGTGCTCCCGGGCGGCGCCGACGCGGCGACGGCGCTCGCGGCGCACGAAGCCGTGGCCCGCGTCGATTTGACCGGCGGTACGGCGGCCGGGCAGGCGCTCGGCGCGATCGCTGGCGCTCGCGCCGCGTCGTACGGCGCCGAGCTCGCGGGCCACGCGCCTCTACTAATTTTTGACGACGTCGACCTGGACCAAGCGGTCGCTGGTGCTTGTTTCGCGGCTTTCTTAGCTGCGGGGCAGACGTGCGTCTCGGCGAAGCGCATCTTCGTCGCGCGAAGCATCTACGACGAGTTCGCGTCCCGACTCGCGAAAAGAGCGGATGCGCTACGCGTCGGAGATCCCTTCGCGCCGGAGACGGAAGTTGGGCCTCTGGTCTCGGCGAAGGCACTCGCGGCGGCGCGGCGTTTTGTGGATGAGAGCGGCGCCGAAATCTTAGCTGGCGGCTCGGAGCCGTGCGCAGAGCGCGGTTACTTCTTCCGGCCGACGGTGCTCGCCGGCAGCGTGGACCTGCCGTGCTTCCGGGAGGAGTGCTTCGCGCCGGTCGTATGTATAGCGCCCTTCGACGACGAGGCCGACGCGATCGCAAAAGCGAACGCGAGCGCGTACGCGCTCGGCGCTGCCGTGTGGACGCGCGATGTAGGGCGAGCGCACCGCGTCGCCTCAAAATTGCACGCCGGCGTGACCTGGGTCAACTGCCACCACCGGAACGGTCCCGACGCGCCGTGGGGCGGTTTTCTGAAATCTGGTGTAGGGCGAGAGAACGGGCGCGATTCTCAAAACGCGTACACGGCCTCGAAGACGCTCGTCGTGCGCACGGCTAGTGAAGGAGAGGACTGGTTCGGTGGAGGCGCGCGCTACGGTTAATGTTTATGTCTTAAAGCTCCCCGCCGCGCCGCGCCATGGCCTCGTTGAGTAGTCCGGCGATCTTTTTGCGCGTCGCGTAGGGGACCGCCGCGTCCTCCGCGACCTTGAACGCGTTTTCGCCCGCATTGCCAGTTAATAACGGATCCGCATCGAAATCTAAGAGTGATTTGGCGATCTCCAGGTGACCCAACCGGCAGGCGAAGTGCAGCGGGCCCCAGCCACCCGACTGTTCCTGCGTGATCTGCGCGTTCGGGTCCGCGCCTCGTCGCAGTAGGGCTTTGACGACGTTGCGGTCGTTGGAGCCGACGGCGAAGTGGAGGGCCGTGTATCCGGATGGCGTCGCGGCGTCGACGTCGACGCGAGGATCCACCGCATTTAATAGAGAAGCGGCCAGCACGGGCTGCCGCAGCTGCACCGCAATCGACAATGCCGGCACGCCGTGGTCGTCGCGCGCGTTCACGCCCACGTGATCTTCGTTCACGAGCTTCGCGGCGACGTCAAACTCGCGCGCCTTCAGCGCGTCGATCAGCCGAACGTCGTCGGCGCTCGTCACGTGCACGACCTCCGCCAGCACCTTCGCTCCTTTCTCGCTCGCACGATGCCGGAACTCCTCGGGAAACTCGTCAACCTCAACCGTCTCGCCCGCGCAGGCGCCGGTCAGGGGATTGAGGATGCGCCCGTCGACGACGGCGTGGACCCACCGCGTCGTCAGGTGCTCCGTCTTGTCACCGACCGCCACTGACGCGTTGTAGAGCACGTGGGCGCCGGCGCCGGCCGGGTGCTCGCAGCGCTTTGCCTCCTTCTCGTCCTTGCCGGGCCCGCAGTGGGAGCCCGCGCAGTGCTCGCCGCCGACCCATTGCCCCATGTTCTGCGCGACTGCCAGGGTGGCGCACAGTATGACGCGGTGCGGGAGGCCCATGGTTGTGCTTTTTTTCACCAATGCGATGCAACAACAGCCCTACACGCGTCGCTTGGGCAGCCTCGTCGAGCGGAAGTCTTCGTGGGGCGCCCCCGCCGCCGGCGCGCAACGACTCGTCGGCGGCCTGGATATGCCGAATACGCGATATCGGCGCCAGTCACCCTTCTTTTGGTGCGGCTAGTGTGTCTATCTCCCGATTTGGCAGGCTAGCTTTGGCTGTGCCTAGGCGCCTGCCTTGTGGCCACTCGGATAGATCAGGCTGCGCGCATCGCACCACGGCTCGCGAGGAGTAGCGCGCACCTTCGACACAGATCGCTGCCTCCGTCTTTGCCGCGTAACTCGAGCTATGGCCGAGGTGCTCGAGGCCGGCCCGGACGGCTTCGACCTGTCCGCCGAGCTGGACGCCACGTCGATATCAACCACAATGAAGACGTGCAGCGCCTGCCACGAGGACAAGCCGCAGGATGCCTTCTCCAAGAAGGCGTGGAAGGCGCGGCAGGTCCGCCGCTGCGTCGAATGCACGACCGCGGACAAGCCGGTCACGGTGAAGAGCAAGGGCGGTGGCGCGGCGGCGGCGTCGCCGTCGCCACGCGTCACGCCGGCGAAGGGCAAGGCGACGCCGCCACGCGCCGCGGGCGGCGGAGACGACACCGAACTCCCGCTCGATTCCCCGCCGTTCAAGGCCTACGAGCGGAAGCACGGCACGATGGCGGCGCTGCACCGCAGCGCCGAAGGCGGCGACGGGAAGGCCTACGCGGAGCTCGGCTACATCTATGCGCACGGCAACGGCGTCGTCCCGGACCAGGAAACGGCGTGCAAGTACTGGATCGCGGGCGCGGCGATCGGCGACGTCGAGTGCCAGGGGACCCTCGGCGCCCGGTACTGCATGGGCAACGGCGTCCCGATGGACGCGGCCGAGGGCTTCCGCTACTATAAAATGTCCGCCGACCAGGGCTGCGTCCAGGGCCTCAACGGCATGGCCACGTGCTACGAGAACGCCGAGGGCGTCGCGCAAGACCTCGACGAGGCGCGGCGCCTGCTGGAGCTGGCGCTCGATAAAGTTCACGCGGACCCCGCGGCCGCCGGCGGCGCGAAGCGCGCGAAGGTCTACCACGACGACATCATGACCGCGCTCGCGCGCATCGACTCCCGGAGACGCGGCGGCATGGGCGCGGCCTTTGCGGTCACCGGCGAGCGACGCGACGGGACGGGCTTCGCCGAGGTTATGCCTCAGATGCCCTACTAGTAGACTCGCGTAACAATAGATCTCACGCCTTGTCGACGCGCCGTAGTAGAGAAGTGCCGCGGTCGTTATGTATGTAGGAGTTTATTTTTAATTTTTTACTCGTACGTTGCGTCGGCGAAGATCGGTCGGGGGGGATTTGACGGAAGCATTCTCGGCGCAGCGGCCTCGTAATCGCGCTGCTTACATCATGTCGTCGCCCTCCTCGTCCTCGTCGAACTCGCCCTCCTCCTCGGCCGTCGCGTCCTGGTACTGCTGGTACTCGGAGACGAGGTCGTTCATGTTGGACTCGGCCTCGGTGAACTCCATCTCGTCCATGCCCTCGCCCGTGTACCAGTGGAGGAACGCCTTGCGGCGGAACATGGCCGTGAACTGCTCGGCGACGCGCTTCCACGTCTCCTGGACGGCCGTCGTGTTGCCGATGAACGTCGTCGCCATCTTGAGGCCCTTCGGGGGGATGTCGCAGATGGCCGACTTGACGTTGTTCGGGATCCACTCGACGAAGTACGACGAGTTCTTGTTGACGACGTTGAGCATCTGCTCGTCGACCTCCTTCGTGGACATGCGGCCGCGGAAGAGGCACGAGCACGTGAGGTAGCGGCCGTGGCGCGGGTCGGCGGCGCACATCATGTTCTTGGCGTCGAACTGCTGCTGCGTGAGCTCCGGCACCGTGAGCGCGCGGTACTGCTGCGAGCCGCGCGACGTGAGCGGCGCGAAGCCGACCATGAAGAAGTGGAGCCGGGGGAACGGGACCATGTTGACCGCGAGCTTGCGGAGGTCGCAGTTGAGCTGGCCCGGGAAGCGGAGCGAGCACGTCGTGCCGCAGACCGCCGCCGCGATGAGGTGGTTGAGGTCGCCGTACGTCGGCGTCGTGAGCTTGAGCGTGCGGAAGCAGATGTCGTAGAGCGCCTCGTTGTCGAGCGTGAAGCACTGGTCCGAGTTCTCGACGAGCTGGTGCACCGAGAGCGTCGCGTTGTAGGGCTCGACGACCGTGTCCGACACCTTGGGCGACGGGATCACGGAGTACGTCGACATGACGCGGTCGGGGTACTCCTCGCGGATCTTCGAGATGAGGAGCGTGCCCATGCCGGCGCCCGTGCCGCCGCCCATGGAGTGGACGAGCTGGAAGCCCTGGAGGCAGTCGCAGGACTCGGCCTCCTTGCGCACGACGTCGAGGACCGAGTCGATGAGCTCGGCGCCCTCCGTGTAGTGGCCCTTGGCCCAGTTGTTGCCCGCGCCCGTCTGGCCGAAGACGAAGTTGTCCGGGCGGAAGAGCTGGCCGAAGGGGCCCGCGCGGACCGAGTCCATGGTGCCGGGCTCGAGGTCCATGAGGATGGCGCGCGGCACGTAGCGGCCGCCCGTCGCCTCGTTGTAGTAGACGTTGATGCGCTCGAGCTGGAGGTCCGAGTCGCCGTGGTACGTGCCCGTCGGGTCGACGCCGTGCTCGTCGGAGATGACCTCCCAGAACTTGGCGCCGATCTGGTTGCCGCACTGGCCGCCCTGGATGTGGACGATCTCGCGCATGGTTGCTTACGTAGGTGTTGCTTTAGAACCTGCGGGGCGCGGCGGTTCATTCTCCCGGCGCTACTCTTTTTGGGGCTGCCCCATTCTGGCGTTAAGCTGCCCCCAAACGCGCCGCGCGCTTGGGGAGGCGTCCGTCGGCTCCGTACGATGCCTTTCAAGGCTGCCTCGCGCGTCTTTTTATGGACGCGGCTGTCGCGCGGGATGATAATAGCGGCGTCCGGCTGCTGGCTTTCCTAATGGGATGTAACATAAAACCGCCGGTAGCCTGTAGTCCCTGAGATTTAGGATCACAAGGCCCGTCCGCGGCCCCACCGCTCCGCCGGAGCGCCCCTCCGGCGGACCGCTGCGCCCGTGTGGAAGTCTTCCTGTGCTTGGAGTTGCCGCGCGCGGTGACTCCCGCGGTGACTCCCGCTTGCCCGGCCCCTGCGCCGGTTGTGGTGTGCGCCGAGGCGTACTACGGGTCCCGTCGCGGAGCGGTGGTGCGTGCCTGGGACGTTGTTTCCTTTGAAACCGAACTCGGCGCTCATGCAGGCCCACGTCCGCTCGCACTGCCGCTCGGAGCGCGGCTAGTTTGCCGCGCCGGCGGCAAGCAGAGCATCTCGGCGGGTCACTCTGACCGCCAGCTCTCTCGCCAGCTTCGGTCGTACGCCGTCCGCGGCCGCCGAGGCCACATAGGTAGTATCCTCCGAAATCTGACTCGCCGTATACGCGGCGACCGCGGGCCCGCGGGACGCCGCCAGCGCTGTCGGAGGCACACCGAGCGCTGCCGCAGCCGACGCAAACGCGGCGCGACAAAATGCTCCTCCCCAAGGGCGTCGAGCCGGGCGACTGGCGCACGGCGTCGCCGGACACGACTTGGTTGGATTCCCACTCGCCCTTGCCCTCACCGAGACCGCCCGCTAGAAGCTTCGCGGACGTCGACGACCTCGAGCAGCAGGAGGCACCAGTGAAAACCGACGAAGAGTGCGAATGCTCGCGGAGTCGAGGACGGTGCCGGTGGCTCGCGGGCGGGCTGTGTGTTGGTGCTTCTATACTCCTAGGTGTGTGCGCGGGGCCGGCGCGGGGCCAGTTTTTACCTGTTCAGACCGTTCCTGACGTCATCCTCGCGGCTCATACGCGCAAGAAGGAGGCCACGGTCGTACTCATGAGGCACTGCGACAAGGACGAGAAGTACTCGGAGACGCACTGCACGCCGAAAGGTGTTCGAAGAAGTGCCTGGCTCCCCTCGTTATTCGACGGGACTCGCTTCGACCCCCCTTCGTACTTGTATGCGCGGAAGCCGGAAAAACCGCGGAACGTCATGCGGTCCATCGAGACGCTCGAGCCCATGGCCCGGACCTTTGACCTGGAGATCGACGTCCACTTCGGGGAGAGTGACAACGAGGAGCTCGCGAAGGACGTGAAAAAACATCTATCCGAGGAGGGTCCCATCATTATAGCGTGGAAGCACGAGCGCCTGCCGTCCCTGGCCAGGGCCCTGGGCATGGAGAAGCCCGGGACCTGGAAGGCCGACGACTTCGACTCCCTGTACGTGCTTTCGTACGAAAGTGGCAAGCTCGTCTCGTCTCGTAAAGACAAGGAGGGCTACGCCGAGTGAGAAATTCGCAGAAGAACCACCATGTTTTCTGAAAAATGTGTCCATAGTTTGTGTCTATAATTACTTTGAATATGAATTAAACACGTACTAGGAGGGCGCCGTCGCCGTGACGCGACGAGAGTGTGTGCCGGGTCGCGGCGGCGGCATATGGGTGACGCCGTCGACGCGGTCGCCTAGCGCGACGACACCACCAAATGGATGAGGATGTTCGAGCACGCCGCCAGCGACAGAACGATCGCCAAGGCAACCGGACCGTTCTTGTCCTCGTAGGGCCCCGGCTCCCTCCGGCGGATCGCTCTAGCTCTCGCGTAGTATTGCCCGAGCGCGTGCACGACAAAACAAATCGCCACGGGCAACAACACCAACCCCGGCAAGGGCGACAACCCGCTCTTCGTACTGAACCCGATGATGCCCACGGCCATGCCCCCGAGCATCAACGCCATGTGCACCCACGCTAAAAACGTGCGCTCGTTGGCGAAGAAGACCTGCGCGGCGCATCGCGGTCTCTCGCCTCGTCCGATGAGGCATCGCGTCGACGGCGTCCTGATGACCACGTAGACTCTCGTGGGATCACGACGATGGCGTCGCGGCGGCGCTGTCTCGTGAAGACGCCATCGACGCGACCGCTGTCTCTCTGACACGCCGCGACGGCCCCGACGTGGTCCGAAACAGCTCAAAATCGAATAAGAAACCACCCACGTCATCGTGAGATGGCCACGAGTCGTATTGAGGAAGTGAAGGCGTCGCTAGACCACGGGACGCCGCTTCATCACCTTGGGGTCGACCTTGACGGGCTGCACGCGCGGCTTGTCCGCGTTGCTTACACTAGGTTCGCCGATGGCGTCGTAGCCGCGGCGCGGGCCGAACATGGTGGATCCTCCTTTTGAGTTGTTTTGCTGTGCTCGTCGCGCCGGCTGAGCTTGCTTGCGAGAGGCACTGCTGTCTGCGCCTCAGAGGTCCTCGCGAGACGGCGGCGAAGCGCTGTAGTGAGAGCAGGGATCGATGTGGTCCTAAGCGCGTCAACTGACGAGCTATGCCGCTCGCGTAGTGGTTTACGCCGCAGATTCCAGTCTGCTGGTGGGTGATGAGGCTGAAGACAACCTCATTCATGGATTCTTCTGACGACGTATGCGTCGACGGAGACGCATCTTTAACAGCGGAAAAAAAAATAGGGAGGATCAGCTAAATGAAAAAAATCGGGTCGTGATCGTCTCCCAATTTGCGCGGCTTTGACCTGTGCGCGTGCGCATCGCACCGGCAGGCATCATAGAGCGCTGCAAGTGGTTCCTAGCACCGCTGCTTCGACCGCGCAGAAGACGCGAGCTCCAGCGAGCGCGCAGGCGGCGCGCAAGCTGCGATTGTTTAAACCCAGCGAAATCGCCACGCGCGCGGTAGATGATGCGCGGCCCGCGGCAAGACGACGATTCTGTTATAGAGAACCCGCTGAAATTAGGACTCATCCAAGCGAACCCGCTCGCGATAGGATTACTCCACGCGAGCAGAAACACGCGAAAACTCAAAATCACCGCGGCGGCGGAATGTGATAGAGCATTACTAGAAAGGAGCTGCGAGCCCGAGGAACTGAAGGGCGTCAAGTGGTACGAGAGCTACAACGCGATTTTAAGGGACCCCGACGCGACCACCCGAGTGGACTCCGTTTTTATCGGAGGCACCACAAGCACGAGGAGCCAGTGGGCCGTGGCCGCGGCCCAGCACCACAAGCATGTTTTAATTGGCTGTCCCGCGGCGGCGGACTACGAGTCGACGGTCGTCATGCGCGACGCTTGCGTCGCGGAAGACGTCGCGCTGCAGGACGTCGTGCCCTTCTCGCACCACACGCGCACGGAGGAGATCCTGTCGACGATCGCGGAGTCCCGGTTCTTCGGCGAGGTGCGGCGGGTCGACGTGGCCTTCACGATCTCCGCTAGTAGGGACTTTCTAGAGGGGGCCGGGAAAGAATCAACGGCCAAGGACGACCCGCTCGGGTGCTTGGGCGACCTCGGCTGGGCCTGCGCGCGCATGGGGAAGCTCGCGTACGGCGTGCTGAACCCCGTGTCGGCGCAAGTGATCCACAGCGAGGCGACGGCGGAGAACGTGCCGGTAGATGTTACAGCGGTAGTCTACTTCGGCGAGAACTCCACGAAGCCCTGCCACATGCACTGTAGCTACGTCCATCCTTTGCAGCAGTCGTTCAAAGTCATTGGCGACAATAAAATTCTCAGATGCGACGACTTCGCGTACCCGCGCTTCGGCCGGGACTGCTCCTATACGATCGAAAGCTTCCCGGCGGGCGACGAAGGGCGGTCCGCCTTGGTGGACCTGGGGCAGTGCGTCGTGAGCGCCCTAAATACAAGCAGGTGCTTCAATGCCCAGAATCAGCGCGTCTCGATGTTAGATCAATTTGCCGACCTATGTCTACTGGAAGATGAAAATGACTGGCGGCGCCAGGGCTTCGAGGGCAAGCACCAAGCTCGCGAGCTGTTCTCCTCTCAAATTATTGGGACGCAGGCCGTCGTGCAAGCCTTGGTCGAAAGTTTGCGGAACCCGGGCAAGGCCATCGCCGTGCCCGAGGACAACATGCCGCCGCCGCCGCCGCGCGACTCGCGCATGCGCTTCGACTAGCGAGCCCTCTCCCTCTAAGAACACACATTATAACTCCCACCTTTTCGATGCATTTGCTCTCAGCACGGCTCTACACACATTCAAGCGCGCCATGGCCTCGTTGGAGCCGCCCTTGTCCGGGTGATCCTTTAGAGTTCGGGCCTTGTAGGCCCGGTCGATCACCGACACGTCCGCGGTCTCCTCCACACCGAACAATTCCGCGCACTCGCGAATAGCCGCGGTGCGCGACGGCGACCCGAAGAACGAGCCCCGCCCGAAATACCGGTGCGACGCCTCGGCGCCCGTCGCCGCGCCGATCACGTAGCCGAGCAGGCCGCCCACGAGGCGCGTCGCCCCCTCGGTCACGCCGTGGCACGCCGTCGTCCCATTGCCGCAGAGCGCCGTCGCGACGCGCGCCGACGCCCTCCCGCCTAGCAACGCGCCGGCCGCGCCGCCGCCGAGGCCGCCGACGGCCGTGCCTACGGTCGTGACGGCCGCGCAATGTAACGCTTCGAAGGCGTTGTTGCCCGGGTCGTTCCCGTTCAAAATCCAGTCGTTGATGCGCGCGACGGTGGCCGGCGTGAGATCGCAGGGGTGGTCCTGGGCGCCCGCTGCCCGCAGGGCGAGGAGCCAGGCGATTCTTCGCATGACAGGTTCGGGCTGCCCGCTGTATCGCAAGCTGCCGCACCGGAGCCGGAGCGATGGGTGGCGACACTGCGTCGGTCGTGCAGCCTCCGGGAGGACAAATCGAGCCTCCTGAGCCGCGGGAGAGCAGCTTTAATTATTTTCCTAGTGTGTTACAAGCCGCTAGCTCCGCGCGCGACGTGGTTTAGCTCAAAAGCCGGCAAAAGTTGCAGTTTCGCGGCAGCCGGGCGCACACTAGACTGTCGCCAGCCGCCAGACGCCATCGAGCGGCCGCGCGGGCAACTATATCTGATATCTGAGCACAGCCCTGCCCGCGCCAAAGCGCCAAAAGCGCCAAAAAAAAGCGATGGTCGTCCACGACTACAACTGGATTTTAGGAAGCGAGGCGGCCCTGGACTGCGTCGCCAAGTGCCTCACGATCATTTATGGCGAGGACGACGGCTTCGCGCTGCCGCCGAAGCGGAGCCTCGCCTACTACGACGACCTATGGACGTGGTGGACGCGCCTGCGGCCCGTCGACGTGGAACCGAAGCTCGCGGCCCTCGTGGCCAGTTGCCACGCCGACGCCTGGCTCTCCGAGGACGTGGGGGGGAACCAAATTTTCGTGGCGCCCTCGTACAGTATCTTGGGGCTGCTGCTCCTGGCCGCGGGCGCGCGGGCGCCGCGGGACCTGGCCCACGCCCTCGTGAGCGCGGCGCGGCGCGACTGCCAGCGCGTCCTCGACCTGGGCGCGCCCGCCGAGTCCTTCGCGCACGCGCACCGGAGCGAGCTCGTCAAGCGCCTCTTCGCCCACGACTTCGGGAGGACGGATCGGCGGGAGTTAGTCCGGGAGCCCTTCGGGCCGCGCGAGGTGCAGCTCTGCGCGAAGGTCGCGGACGGCGCGCTGACGGTGGGGACCGGCGACGAAGCCGTGCCGCCGTGGTTTCCGTCTCAGAAGGCCGTCGCGCCGCGCCTCGCCGTCTCCGGCCTTGGGGAGGACGCCTGCGCGCCGTGGTGCGGCGCACCGACGTTATTCGCGCTGGCCGAGCGGCGCGAATCAGTTCCCTACTCCCCTCCGCCGCGGCCGGCGCTCTCCACGCATCTCCCGGCGCTCGGCGGCCTCGAGGTCCTCGACTTCGCGCCGACGGCGGCGGAGGCGGAGGCGGAGGACGACGAGCCGCCCGCGCCGCCGGACCTGCGGCGCGAGGCGCCCGACGCGCTCACGACGCTCGGCCACATGGGCTACGAGCCGGCCGCCGCGAAGCGCGCCCTGGCCGCCGCCAAGGGCGACTTCTCCAAGGCCGTGCGGGCGCTCGAGCGCGAGTGCCGCCGCGCGTCGGGCGCGGACCCGGTCCTGGACGCGGCGACGGGCGGGCGGGCGTCGGCGGCCGTGCCGCCGTCGCTCGCCGACGACCAGTCCTGCGACGTCTGCGGCGCGGGCAACTGCAAGCGGCGCTGCGGGCGCTGCCGCGAGGCGTACTACTGCTCCGAGGAGTGCCAGCGGAGCGCGTGGCCCGCGCACAAGGAGGCCTGCGCGGCGCCGGCCGCGAACCGCGTGACGCCGACGAAGCTGTGATAAACTTAATCTTAGACTTTTCGCTTCGCCCGCCTCTCCAGATAGAGCCCGTGGAGGTGCATGGCGTTGCTCTGGCGCGCCTGCGCGAGCTTGAAGACGAGGAGCATGATGATCAGGCGCGCCCAGAGCGGCGTCGGCGGGATCGTCGCGTAGTAGATCGCTGAGGTGCAGCAGACGACCTGTGTGGACACCCCTCGCCATCGACGCGACGGCGCCCCCAGAACCGCGTCAGCTCGACGGCGTGAAGGCTCACGCACACCGCAAGGCACGTGAGACAGCGTCATCGTCGCAACATGTATGAAGTCCAACGGACCGTTGTCCGGGTACAGTAAGTGAATCGTCTGCGCCGCGCCGCCGAACTCCATGGCGACGCCGCCCCCGAAGATGAAGATGCCGGGGGCAGTCGTGAAGAAGAATTGAAGGATGATCACCCAGCACCCGAGGTGGTGCGCCCAGTACATGGCGTCCATCCTCGCGTCGAGCAGGTAGAGGCCCAGGTCCTTGAACATGTACGCGTAGATGAGGAGGAGGAAGATCCGCTCAGGGGTGGCTGCTAGCTTATCCCAGGGCGCCGAGAGCCATTCGATAAAGCTGCCGTCGTACGCCGCGACGCACCACGCCGCCACGGCGGGAAACGCGACGAGTTGCACCGGCAGGCAGCTCAGCCAGTTGTAGAGCGGGGATCCATTGAAGTCCCGCGTCGGCAATAGTCTCGAGCAGATGAACGTGTAGATTAATGATGCGAGGGCCCAGAGGGCGCACTGCGCGACGAACTCCGGCAGCGTCCAGCCCGAGCGCAGGCAGTCATCCTCGGTGCAGTCCTGCGGGTGGCGGCCGTGGACGGTGATGAGGTCCATTGCTGCGTTTGTTGCAGCGAGGAGTGGTAGATATGAATTGGCAGCTGCTTTGCGACAGCCCTGCGTGTAACTGCACCACCTGTGCACGGCGGCAAAGGAGCGCACGGCGCGATCACGTTTGGAGAGCGCGCACGGGTTTTATCGAAATCTGAGGAGAAGGCTCCGGTGCCGACGAGGTCCAGTTTGGCGCTTGGGGAAGCGTACGCTCAAAGGCGCAGCGCTATCTCGCAGCGCTGCGGTTTTTTGTAAAGTGTCTGTGTGGGCCGCTCCCAAACGCGCTGCTGTGCGCTGCGAGTACAAGTCCAGGATTCAATTCTACAGCGTGCATTACAACCACTGAACGGGCGTTCAATTCTACAGTGTTGTTGTTGAGCAGCCCCCACGCCTTGCAAACAAAGGGCAGCCAGTGAGGTCAAATGGAGCCTGTGTGCTGAAAGTGGAGCAGCCAGCGTAGAGCGCCGGAGATAGGACAGCGCTAAAGAAATGGGCGCCGGCGCCAGCGTCGACGCCCTCTCCCTCGACGGCGAGCTGAAGGAGCTCTTGAGCTACTACGACGGCAACCTGGAGAGCGCCGCGGACGCGGTGAACCGCGAGATCGTGCGCGTCGTGCCGAAGACTGGCAGCGGCCGCTTCGTGCCCGAGCGCGGCGAGCAGACCGCTGTGCAGGGCGTCGTGGACCGCGCGACTAAGCTCGCCAGACTCGGCTACGAGTCCGCGTGGGAAGGCTACAAGGCCGCCGACGGCGACGCGGCGCGCCAGAGCGCCGACGATTTCCTCGCGGAAACGAGGCGGCTCGAAGAAGATTTCCCTGATACGCCGCCGCCGCCGCGCTGCGACTTGCCAGAGGGCGCATCCATCGACGCGCTCGCAGCGCTGGCCTATTTTCACGGGGAGGACCTGCTCGAATCGCTCAGGCGGTTCGTTCAGGATGCGGGCGGTGAGTATAAAAGGGGGCCGCGAAAAAGCAAGAGCCGCATCAGACAAAAAACCGAGAAGGACTACGGCGGCGACGTGGCCCGCGTCGTCGACCTCGAGCGCGCGACCGGCATCTTCGACTCCGTGGACGACCTGAGCTTCGCCATCTCGCTGCTGAGGGACGCCTCCCGCCGGGGCGAGATCACGATCCGGCGCTGCAAGGACCGCTTCAGCCACCCGTTCGAAAACGGCTACCGCGACCTGCAACTGAACGTCGAGCTGGAAGGCTTTGTTGGGGAGCTCCAGTTGAATTTGAGGCGTATTATCGAGGTGAAGGCCAAGGCGCACAAGATCTATGAAGTCGAGCGCGTCATCGAGGCCAAAGAAGACAAGGACGCGCTGCAACGCGCCGTCGACGGCCCGGGGCTCGAGAGCGCAGGGTGCGCCTCACGATCGAAGGTGGCCGCTCGATCGACGACGCGTTCGGATCTCTCGCCGTGTTCGAGGCGGCGCTGGCGCGGGCGCTGCCGCCGGGCTGCGTCGTCGCGAACGTGTATTCCGGGGAAAGGGGCGAAGTGCGCGTGCGGCTCGGTCTCGACGAGGTCGCCGCCATGGCCCAGCTGCGGGACGACGTTGTCTTGGAATCGAGGGCGTTTGAGGATGCGCTTAACGAGAGCTTGCCAGACGGAACCAAGATCAGCGTCGACCGCGCCGCCTTCCTCGAGTGCTACTCGCGGATCATGATGCGGTTCGGGAAATTGACGCCGCACCAGCGCGAGAAACTCAAGGAACTGCGAGCCGCAAATGTCGCCGTGCTACTGTCGCCTGCGGGCGGCGGCAAGACGTTCCTCGCGATCCAGCGCGTGCTCGAGGAGCTTCGGGGCGACGCTGGCGCGGTCGTGCTGTTCGCGGCGCGGAACGTCGCGTTGGCGCTCTTCGTCTGCAAGTGGCTGGTCGTGGCATCGCGAAAATCAGCAAAGCATGTTGTAGATCGCGTGCACGTATTGGTGGCGCCCTTCGAAGACGGGCCGCGGCGCGTGCGCGTCGAAGGGAGACGGCTCGTGCTCGACGCCGTCGGAGAAGCCGTGAAGTATGCTCTAGTGGTCGTCGACGAGGCGCACCACCTCGTGAACGACGCCGCGCTGCGTGCGCAGCTCGCCCATATTAGCGCTGCTCAGACGCGCCTATTGTTGCTCGCGGACGCCTCGCAGGCGACGGCCACGCACAAACCTGATCAGATCGCGCGCTCGCTCGTGGATCTGCCGCACGAGCAGAAAGTCGCCGTCGCGACGCTCTCCGAGGTCGTCCGGTCGACGAAGCGTATCGTCGCAGGAGCCGCCGCCGCGTTTCAGCTCGAGGCTGGGCGCAAGGCGGAGACAGAGACGCACGCGGCGTCTATCGGGCCGCCGCTCGTGGCCCGGATCTTTAAACTAGCGGACGGCCAGGACACCTCGGAGCACTACGCGCCGGAAGTCGTCGAAGCACTTTCAGCTGTGCAAAAGCAGCTTACGGACCTGAGCGATCTCGACGACCGCGTCGCCGTTGTCTGTCCAGACGAGGTATTCGTCGAGAAGCTTCGAGGGCCATTGGGGCTGGCACTTGGTGGGTTCGAGCTCGTCGACGCGGCGACGGCGAGCGCGGCGCTGCCTCGTGACGAGGAGCGTAGCTCTGGCTCAAAACCGTGGCTTGTTGTCGACAGCGTGGATAACATGGACGGTTTGGAACGGCTCGTTGTTATTTGTGTCGGGCTCGACCAAGTCATCGATCGCGGCGCGGGCGTGTTCGAGACTCGCTCGCGTTTGTACCGCGCGATGACGCGCGCGCAGCTCGCAGGTTGCTGTTGTGAATGAAGTGTTGCCGGGCGGGTGGCTCGAGTTCCTGGGGCGCGTCGAGCTGGATGATAAGAAGTTTGATGATGCCAAGGAGCGCAGGAACCGGGCGGAGACGGCGGCCGACGATGTTGTCGGTGGTGTGGTTGAGGAGGCTTCGGCGCCCGTGCGTGACTCTGTCGACGCTGACAAGGGCGCTGTTGAGAAGGCATCACCAGAGGATACCGGTGCACCGGCGGAGGCGCCCATGCCGGCCGACAAGGAGGCGATGCGCCGCGGCGGCACTCTCCCACCGTACGCGGAGCCGGACCGCGGCCTCGTCCAGTTCGACGCCTGGCGCGAGCGCATCGCCGCCGAAGAGGAGGGCGTTGCCGAGGAGCTTGTCAGAGCCGTAGAGGAGGAGGCGGTCGCCGTACCTTCGCCAGAAAAGAAGGGCGCGACCGAGGTCGTCGACGCGGACGCCGCCACGACCCCATCGGAAGCCGAACCGATGAAGGTCTTGCAGTCGATCTGGGACGCGAGCGCGGTCGCGACGGTGGCGCGCGGCGACCTGCGGTTTATGCCGTTTTCCGACCCCCTGTCGAAGCTCGTCGAGCTGCGGACGCTGAGAGGGCACTCGCATGGCGTGCGTTTCGTGCGTTGCGGCGTCCACTGTGCTTTTGTGCTGATGTGTCTTCGTCGTAGGTCTGGGGCGTTGCGGTGTTTTTCGGACGGGCGGCGCGTCGTTTCTTGTTCAGGAGCCGAAGTAAGAATTCGTCGCACGGATTCTAGTAGTGATGATGAGTACATAGATAAAGGAGAGATCAAAGTCTGGGACGTGGCGACCGGTAAATGCGTGGCGACGCTGGAAGGGCACTCGGATTGGGTGCGTTGCGGCGTCCACTGTACTTTCGTGATGATCTGGCTTCGTCGTAGGTCCAAGGCGTCGCCGTGTTTCCGGACGGGCGGCGCGTCGTGTCTGGGTCGCGCGACAACACGCTCAAGGTCTGGGACGTCGAGACCGGCGAGTGCGTGGCGACGCTGGAAGGGCACTCGGGCAAGTATGGCGTGCGGCGCGCGGCGTCCGCTGTACTTTTGTGATGATCTGGCTTCGTCGTAGGTCACGAGCGTTGCCATCTCCCCGGACGGGCGGCGCGTCGTGTCTGCGTCGGGCGACAAGACGCTCAAGCTCTGGGACGTGACGACCGGCAGATGCGTGGCGACGCTGGAAGGCCACTCGGGTTGGGTGCGTTGCGGCGTCCACTGTACTTTGTGATGATGTGTCTTCGTCGTAGGTCTCGAGCGTTGCGGTGTTTCCGGACGGGCGGCGCGTCGTGTCTGCGTCGCGCGACGACACACTCAAGGTGTGGGACGTCAAGACCGGCAAATGCGTGGCGACGCTGGAAGGGCACTCGATGGCCGTGCGTTGCGGCGTCCGCTGTACTTTTGTGATGATCTGGCTTCGTCGTAGGTCTATAGCGTTGCCGTGTTTCCGGACGGGCGGCGCGTCGTGTCTGGTTCGTACAAGACGCTCAAGGTGTGGGACGTGACGACCGGCAGATGCGTGGCGACGCTGGAAGGGCACTCGGGTTCCGTGCGTTGCGCGGCGTCCGCTGTACTTTTGTGCTGATCTGGCTTCGTCGTAGGTCTTGAGCGTTGCCGTGTTTCCGGACGGGCGGCGCGTCGTGTCTGCGTCGCGCGACACGACGCTCAAGGTGTGGGACATCGCGACCGGCGAGTGCCTGGCGACGCTGGAAGGGCACTCTGTGCGTTGCGGCGTCCGCTGTGCTTTTGTGATGATGTATGTTCGTTGTAGGTCAATTGTGTTGCCATATGCCCGACGGGCTGCGCGTCGTGTCTGGGGGAATTACGGCGAGCTCAAGCAAGGGGCTGCCGGTCCTGAGCGCCGGCGGCGGCGTCTGAACCCGGGGCCCCCCCGGAAAGCTAACACGTTCAGTTACGGCGGCGGCGGGACCGGCGGCCCGACCGGCGCCATCTCCTCGTCGTCCCCTTCCGTAGGGTACATGCCCTCGGGGTACTCGGAAAGGTCCGGCAGCGGGCGCCCGTCCAAATACGGCGCCCGCTCGTCGTAGCCCCACGAATAGGGCAGGGTGCAGAAGGTCAGGTAGGCCGTGTGGCCCCGCTGCTCGGGGTAAGGCACGGCCATGTAGGGCGGCAGCGGCCACATGCCTTGGTCGTCGTCGACCTTACGCGCCTTGGCGCCCTCGACGACGCGCTGCGGCGGCGCCACGACCTCGGCCATCTCATTTTTAACGACCTCGAACTCGCGCTCGCGGACCTCGATCGTCTTGATGTGGTCGCAGTGGCGTTCTCGTAACTTATCAACTGTTTTTTGCACTTGTTCAATACAAGGACTGTAGGAGCAGAACCGAGCACCGTGTTTACAGGCCTCGATCGCATGGTCGACCGCGAGCCACGGCTC